TAACCCTAACCTAACCCTAACCCTAACCCTAACCCTAACCCTAACCCTAACCCTAACCCTAACCCTAACCCTAACCCTAACCCTAACCCTAACCCTAACCCTAACCCTAACCCTAACCCTAACCCTAACCCTAACCCTAACCCTAACCCTAACCCTAACCCTAACCCTAACCCTAACCCTAACCCTAACCCTAACCCTAACCCTAACCCTAACCCTAACCCTAACCCTAACCCTAACCCTAACCCTAACCCTAACCCTAACCCTAACCCTAACCCTAACCCTAACCCTAAATCAGCCTAACACTACCAAGCCATCTGCAGGGCCCTTCGGGCCCTGCCTAACACTAACCCTAAATCAGCCTAACTAACACTACTAAGCCATCTGCAGGGCCCTTCGGGCCCTGCCTAACACTAACCCTAAATCAGCCTAACACTACTAAGCCATCTGCAGGGCCCTTCGGGCCCTGCCTAACACTAACCCTAAATCAGCCTAACACTACCAAGCCATCTGCAGGGCCCTTCGGGCCCTGCCTAACACTAACCCTAAATCAGCCTAACACTACCAAGCCATCTGCAGGGCCCTTCGGGCCCTGCCTAACACTAACCCTAAATCAGCCTAACACTACTAAGCCATCTGCAGGGCCCTTCGGGCCCTGCCTAACACTAACCCTAAATCAACCTAACACTACTAAGCCATCAGCGCCCAGCGCGCCGCTAAACTTTTAATTGTAGTAAAAGAAGGCTAGCTACGGCTGATGGACCTCCCCAACTGAGCTAAGAACCGCAGGCTGAGCCGGAATTAAAACCTTGGGCCAACTGAGCGCCAAATGGTGCTCCGACAGGTCGATTAAATCCTAAACCCCCTTAAATGCCGAGGTGCCCAGGGGGAGTTAACCCTATACAACACATTAGTAGCACGCCATCTACCGGCCAGCAGCAATTTTCGTGGAGATGCGCTTGACGACCTCGGCGTCCGCCTCCGCCTTGTGGTTGAAATAAGTCTCGGTCGTGACAAAGTCCTCGGGCACACCAGCCTTCGCGAGGCCTTCCTTCCACTCGTTCACCATCGCCCCGTTCCCAATCAAGTGGAAATGCGTCTCGGCGTCGGCAATGTCCGCTATGGATGCGAGCGCTGTGTCTGATGAGATGCGTCCGTCGGTGGAGGAGATGACGTACGCGCATTCGAAGCGCTCCGGATGCAGCACGCAGAGCCGCTGCACAGCGTCCTTGCAACACACGTCCTCCGCCTCTCTGAACCCAGCGAGAACCGTCAGTTTCAGGTCCGAATGAGCCATCGCCTCCTCCGCGAAGCCGAGCACTGGCCCGAATCCAGTGCCAGTAGCGAGGCACACGACGCGCGACGCGCGGTCCGCGATGCCCTCGAGAATGGGTACGTGGAACTTGCCGCCAAAGCGCCACCGCGATCCGACGGGCGACGCGGCCATGACTTCGCTCTTGTTCCCGCACACGCGGATCACCACGTCAAAAGTCTTCTCCGTCGCTCGCGTCACGGTGTACGGACCACGCAGCCACTCGTCGTCCTTTTCAACCTCCAGCGCCAGCACGTGGCCGGCTTTGTAGTCCAGCGGCGCGTCGCTCTCGAGCCGCAGCAAATTGGTGGCGCGCCCGACCACCTCGTTTGCGACGAGCGTCGCATCGATCTTGTCGTACTGCGGCGGGCCGGCGCCAGCGCGCAGCGCGCTCGCGTAACGGGTGCGACGCGGTGGCTGCAGCAGCGCGCTGGCGCTGAGCACAGTGCAAGCTGCAATTAAGGCAAGCATCGCTCTCGTGCCGACCGCACGAGTGCGGAAGATGCCGATAGCTAGCCCTGGTCAGCAATGTGCGCGTACCAGCTCGTTTGACCAGGCCAGCTCCGAGCTAGCGCATGAAAGGCACTAGCAAGCTATGCAAGCCGACGCTTGCTGCATCACGCAGGGCTCCATCGGGGCTAGTTATGGCAGCTTCTGCACTCATTCATTGAGCATCGATGCGGCGAGTGCCAGGTTACGGCTGCTGACGGCTAGCTGAGAGCTGCAGCCATGCTTGTCCTCAGGCTGGCCTGCGTCGTCGCGTCGAGCGCAGCGCTCGCGGCTAAACGTGCACGGGCTGGCTTCGCGCAACCGCCACCCGCGGATGATCGACGCGCGCGACGGCTCGCCCGCGTGTGGCCTGCTGGCGCCAAGGTCGACGCGCCCGCAGCGCCGACGTGGGACGAGCTCTCTCAGCTGTGTGGCGACGCCGTGGCCGCGCGCACTGCCGCAGCAGATGCATCAGTCGTCTTCTGGCGCGACGCCGCACATTGGTGTCCCTATTGCCAGTCGTTCGAGATCGTGCTCGGCGAGCGAAGGATAGACCACGTCGTTCGCTGCGTCCCGCTGCGATGCTATGGCGAGAAGCCGGCCGAGTTCGTCGACGTCGCGGGAGCCGACGCAACGCTTCCGGTCCTAATCGTCGACGGGCGCGTCTACGGCTCGTCGCGCGCCGCGATGCGTGTGTTGTGCGATGAAGCGCGGTTCCCTTCGCCGGAGCACCCGCCAGTCAGCTTCGACTACGCGTTTTCTGCCATCGAACGAGAGCTGGCCACAGCATACGGCGTCTGGCTCGTCGACGGTCGGCGCCGTGGCATACGCGAGCGCTTCCACGCTGCACTCGATGCTCTCGAGGCGACGCTTAGCGATGGGAGGCATTTCTTTGGTGGAACACGACCGTCCTGCGAAGATGCGACTATGGCGCCGACGCTCGAGCGCGCGGCCGCGGTGGCTGCTTATTTCAAGGGCGATGCGACGGTCGCTGGTGGTCGCGTGCGCTCTGATGACGAGCTCGCGGTTCGAGGCATCGACGCCGCACCGAGGCATCCGTTGCTGCAAGCATGGGCAGAGCGCTTTGCGGAACGGGGGCACTGGCGCCGAGCCGACTGGTATACGCACGCGCATTCGCTCCCGGTCCAGCTCGGCGGGCAGAGCTTTGATTCATTTGAGATTCGCGACCTCGTCGATGGCGCGTGGATCTTAGATGACGGGCTCGAAGACTCTACAACTCGAAGGCGCCAAGCGGCGGCACTGCTCGCACGCAACACCGATGCCATCGCGCGCTTTGCTGCCCGTGGCTGCCGGAAACCGACGAAGCGCGAGCGTGACCGCACCACGGCACCGCTCGCCGACGCGGATGTAGTCGACGTGCCCGAGGCAGCGCTCCCTGCCATTGATGCGCTTGTTCGGCTCGTCGCAGCGCGGTTGCTTGCCGAAGATGACACGACGCGCGCTTCGGTCGACGCGGCCGCGGCGACAGCGGCCCGCTCTGTCCCGGTAGCCCCTGCTCACGCGGCGATGGCGTATCTGCGGGACCGAGTTGGCGTCCCACGCGATGCAGACCATCCGGTGGCGCACGAATTGCGGTGTGGTTTGAATTGGATGTGTAAGGTATTGTTGTCTGTCTATGTAAGCAAAAGTTACTCAGCCCTTCTAACCACCGGATTGAGAAACAGGTCGGCGCAAAGATCCGCGTCTGCCGTCCGATGCTGCTTGGCGTAGTACGCGGCTTCAAGCTTCTCCAGGTTCGGCCAGGATTCGTGCCAGACTCTCCGACCGCACGGCTCGCATTCAATTTTAAACGGCGGCGCTTCAAACCGGCGCTTGAGACATTGGTGGTGGAACCAGCAACCGCAGAGCGCGCGCGTCGGGAGTTTACCGCCGAGAGCCGCTTTGCCGCAGACACCACACATCGCACCGGGTAGACTCGTCGCAAACTCAACCAGATATTCGACGGCGGCGAGCAGCGATGGGCGCGGCGTCCCCGCGCCCGGCGAGGCCGTCGACGACGTTTCTGCCTCGGCCCGTTGGTCTCGCTCGCTAGCGAAGCGTGCAAACGACTTGAGGTCTTGCCGCGCAGTCTTTGAGCCCTCAGCACGAAGGTCCGCGATCTGCTTCAATTGTTTCGTGTCCCGGCGGAGCGACTGGAAGTGCTTCGCCGTGTTCGAGACGCGCGGCTCGTTCTTTCGTCGCGTCGACGCACCAGGGCTTTGCATTTCTGCTTGCATTTCGGCTGCATTGAGCTTCTCGCCGACCGACAATTTCCGCGCGAGCTCGGTGCATCGTTTATGACACGCGTCGACGAGCGGCTGCGGGAGCGTCGTGGACTTGAGCGTGAGCACGGCCGGACGCGCCGGGTACTCGGCCGGGACCCGCGCCTCGAACGAGGTGCGGTGGCCTGCCGCAGCCACGACGAACGTTGCTACGCCGGAGACCGCATCCGCCCGGCGCATGCCGCCGCCGCGCTCCTCGCAGAGCTTCGCGCATCTGCGCAGCTCGCGCCACGCGGGCGCGAAGAGGTTGCTGGCGAGCCACGCGCGTGCGGCAGTCACTCCAGCCGCGACGCGCGCCGCCCGACCGCCGCCGTTGGCAGCTTCGGCCGCTGCGGCCGCGTCCGCCGCCGCGAGGATCTTCGCTAGGAGAAGCGGCGGATACGAGGTGTTCCGCAACTCCAATACAAGCCCGTTCTCGCAGGTTCCGTGCGCCACGAGCCTTACGGTCCGGTATGGCGTGACAGCAACGTGCACCACCGAGTAAATTGGCGTGTCCGTCTCGACGACGCATTCCGACGTTTTTAGCAAGGCCGCGCGCAGCCCCGACGCGTTTGCGAGCTCGTCTTCTTCGAGAGTAACACGTGCGAGGGCTTGGGCAGCCATCGCGACGACGACGGCGCGGGCTGGAGGAGAGGTGCCTCTGGGTGCTGCCCTTTTGGCTTCTCCTGGGAGCAGGCGCACGAGGGCGAGTGAGCGCTGGTCTTGGAAGTTTTCCTCCCACACGTTGGGCTGCCAATTGGTGTCGGGCGTGTCGATATTTGCACAATTCTGTCGTCCAAGCTCTGCAATCGAGCTTGGGTGCGGGGTTTGAGCGCTCCGCTCGTTCTATCCGCTCGTGATTCAAACATGAACTAGAAGTGAAGTTACAAGTCGTCACACAAATGCGGCGTCTCGTTGACGGACTCGACGCGCCAGTGGCCCGATCCCTTCCGGGCGAAGCGCATCAGCCCGGTATTCTCCAGGGCAACCTCGTGCAGCGACGCCCAGTCGCTTTTGAGCACGTGGCGCAGGAAGCACTTGGCGACGATGCCGTGCATCACGACGGCGGTTTTCTCGCCGTCGCGCGCATACTTTTCGATCGCCTGAACCGCACGCGCCTCGACGTCTGCCTTCGACTCGCCGCCCGGAGCGGCGAAGCCGCGCGGATCCTCATCAATCTCGGCGACTGTCTTCGCGGTGTAGCACTCGCTGCGCGGCTGTCCCTCCCATTCGCCCTGCGACATTTCCTCCAAAGAGGCCTCGAGTTCCAGCTGCGGCGGATTTTCCAGCTCGGCGAGCATCAGCTGGGCGGTGCGCGTGGCCCGCACGGCCGTCGACGCGACGACGCGGTCAAAGCGCACACCGCGCGAGCGCAGCCAGCGGCCTAATTTCGACGCTTGCGCTTCGCCCTTTGCCGTGAGCGGCGACGCGCTGGCGCGGCCTCCGACTTTATCCGCGACCTCTAGATTCATCTCGCACTCGCCGTGGCGCACGAGGATAACCTCCGTCTTTGTCGACTCCACGTGCGCGGACATGATGGTGGTAGCGGTCGCGGCTAGTGCAAACAACGCGACGACGACAATTAGTGCTTGGCCTGGCTTGGTCTGCTGGTCTTGCCACATGCGCTCGCGCACCGCTGGAGGCGCGCTGCGCAGAGAGCTTGCTTGACCAAGCGGTGCGACGGCTCGTCAGGCGCCGCAGCGATGCTCTAAGGTTCAGGCGCAATCAGTATTGCTGCTCAGAGGCCAGTGCCAAGCTTCGTACGGCCCCTGGCGGTTTTTTGCTCGAAACGCTGTAAAACCCGTGCAGATTGAAAGATTTGCGAATACTTCTAGTACCACAAAACACATTACACACCTCGGTCATCCTTCGCAAACCCCGACGTCATCTCTGGCACGCTGACCGATGCCTCGCGTTGACGGGCCAGGTTCGCGCCGCGGAACGCGGAGAGCCACTCGTAGGCCCAGAGCCGCAGCTTCACGCGGAGATACGACCGGAGCCGCCCGTCAGCGGCGTACAGGGCGTCGGCGCACGCGTGCGCCGTGACGACGTCGGTGTTCGTCGTGCCGCCGAGCGAGCGGTCCAGGTGCCGCAAGCAGTCCGACATCTTTAACAAAAGTAACAATTGTCGCGGCACGCGGTCGAGCACGACCGTGATCTCCTGCGCGTAACGCTGGGCATATTCCCTCAGCATGGCGTCGTCCGCGGCGCCGGTGCGCCGCAGCGAGTCCAGGTCCGGATTCACGACGTCGTCCCACGGGCGTTGCGTCAGCATGGCCGCGAAGAGCGGATAAAGGTCGCCCACGCCCAAAGCCTCGGCGCTCTCGCGAATCCCAGGCACGTCCGCGAGCGCCAGCGCCCGCCACAGGCGCGCCCACTCCAAACGAAACTCATCATCGAGTTCGCGGTAGAGCCCGTGGTCCAGCAGGACGAGCTGCGGCCGGCCCGCCGGCGACGCGCGCACGAGCACGTTCGCCGCGTGCGGGTCGCAGTGCACGTGGCCGTCGTGGAAGGTCAGGAACGCGAACGCCGTCGACACGAGCGCCGCGACTGCCGTCGGGTCGAGGCCCAGCTCATCGCGGATCTCGTCCTTCCGCGTGCCGTTGACGCCCGGCTCCCAGCTCATCGTCAGCACGCGCGCCGACGTCGCCTCGTCGAAGACCTCGGGCACGACGACGTCCGGCCACCGCTCGAACGTCTTGGCGCAGCGCCGGCAGTTCGCCGCCTCCGCGACGAAGTCGAGCTCGCGCGGCAGGTGCGGCGCAATCTCGTCGACGACCCACTGCATCCGAAACGCCGGGAACAGCTTGCCGAAGACGCCCACGGCCGCGCCGCAGAGCGCCAGGTCGCCGACGCTCGTCTCGCGGAGACCGCGGTGTTGCACTTTTACCGCGACGTCCCTTCCCTTCCAGACCGCACGGTGGACTTGAGCTAAACTAGCGCTCGCGATCGGCTCGCGCTCGAACGCGTCAAAGGCCTCGTCCGGCTCGGCGCCGAGCTCCTCCTTCACAACCGCGCGGACGTCGTCCCACGACGACCGCGCCGCGTCGTCGAGGCAGGAGGCAAAGGCCGTCGTGTACTCGGGCGGTAGCAAGTAGTCGAGCTGCGCGCAGTGTTGCGCGATCTTCACGTACACGCCGCCGTTCGCCCTTGCTAGATGCAACAGTCGCGCCGCGTTCCGCTCGTGTGCCGCGTTCCAAGGCGTCGTCGCGCTACCCTGGGCGGCGACGGCCGCCGATTCGCGCAGCACGGCCTCGCGCGCCGCCGCCGCGCGTCGCACGCCCGCCTCGCGGGCGGCGGCGTCTTTGGCGCGCTCGACTTCCAGGCCCGAGAGTTCCTGCTCGGCCATTGCTTTCTTCAAGCGCTCGCTCGCCGACGCGTCCTTGGTTTCATTCGAGAACCACTCGACGCCCTTGTAGTCCGCGGCGACGACGGCGAGCGTGCCGGCGAGCCGTGCCGCGCGGCCGACCGCTTCCGCCTGGGCGACGACGCCACCAGTCGTGGCATCGCCGTCGGGCTTCAACGCAATCGCTGCGCCGAGCGTGCCGAGTGCTGCTACGTTGGCGCCTGCTAATAATCGGATGGCTCGCTGTGATGCGGCAGCCATATTGCTGCGTTGTCTCGGCACGCACTGTGCGCGATGTCAGAGCACACTTTTTTGCAGCGCTTACAGCTGTAGAGTCGAGCCACGCACGTACGTTTTGGACAGCTTCGAGCGGGTTTTAGGCGCTTTTGACGCGCGCGCGTGTTCTAAAGCTTAACCGCCTCGCAGCACGCTCAAGATGCTGCATCATACTCGCTGCTACGCGATAAATAACATCCAAAAGCGATGAAACGCGCCGCACTGCTCTACAGCATAATACACTGCTGCACAGCGCTGTTGGGACCCTGCCGCGACGTTGCGCCACGGACTCGACGCCTCGCTCGTCCGCCAAATAGGCCGGAATTCTTGCAGCGGTTCGAGTCCTTGCGCGAGAATTTCACGCTCGCCTCGCTCCAGCGGCCGCGCATCGATTTCACGCTCGAGTCGCTCCAGCGGCCGCGCATCGCGGCTCCCAAGATCGACGCTGAGGGCCGGCGGGAGATCCGACGAAAGCTGGTCCAGACGTCGCGAGTCGTGCGCGTGTTCGCGGGCAAGCAGTTCGAGCGCAACGTGTTCGCGCTGTTCAATGCGACGGATGCGAACAACGATGGAGAGCTGAGCGAGACAGAGGCGTATCCCATCGTGCTCCAGCTCTACATCCTCGCGAACCGCCAGGCGCCGGTGAACCCGCCGTCGCGCGAGAAAGCCGCCAAACTCTTCGATGACGCGGACCTCGACGGGTCGGGCTCGCTCTCGCGGGACGAGTTCGTCCTCTTCTGTACTAGTCTCCTGGGAAGAACCGCCTACCGCATCGCGGTATTCAATGTGGTGAGATTCGCCGTCGCGCCGGTGCTGGCCACTGCTGTCGCGCGAAAGCTCATCAGCGAGAACTGGATCCTGTCGCTCGAGCCGAACCTGGTGCAGACGCTCTCCGTCGTCATCTTCGTGGCCTTGCTCGGGAACGTGGCGCTCGCCGCGCTGGACACCGCGGAGCGGCTCCGCGACAACCCGCCGGAAATTCCCGTGCTCTTCCGGGAGGAGGGCTCTTTGCCCGACTTTATTGCAGGATTGCGGCGCCTCGTTCGACGCGACGAGGACTCGTCGGGTTCTTGAAAGTGTGTATTATGTGAATAAGTGGAGTACTACAACAAGCTAGGTTAACTCGCGTCGATAGCGTCGGCAGGAGGTCTAGCGGACCCTACGACCGTGTCTGGCGGGTCCGGCGCGAAGCGAGCCACTGCACCTGGTGCGTGCAGCACGAGCTTCATTACAAGACTGTAGCGGGGCCGCGAACAGGCCGCGGCCGTCGGCGCGCAAACGCGGTGCGACACGTCCTGGTCCAGAAACACGACGCGGCCCGGTCGAGGCTCGATCGCGATCGTCTCGCCCGTCGGCGGGTCGAGGAATTCGGTCGGTGCGCCCCAGTCTGGTTGCCATTCCGGGACCGGGTAGACGAGGGCGGAGACGAATCGAGGACAGCCAGGCGCTCTGTTGGGAGCGCGACCGAAGAAATCCGTAAACGGGCCTGGGGGAAGCAACATAGGGTCCGCGTCGATGTGCCAGCCGTACTCGTCCCCGTGCACAGGTGCGTTGGCGGCGATCGGCCCGACGGCGTCACCGAGGGCCGCTTCAGGAAGCGCACTCACAAGGACCTCGTCGTTGCATCGCTCGAGGTATGCGACGATGCGGCTCTGGAGCTCCATGACGGCATCGGAGGCGTAGAGGCTTTTCAAGCGCGCCGACGAGAGGCCCCAGCACGCACCGGCTGACGACAAAGACTCGCCGTCGACGACGTCTCTGAGAGCGCCGCGTCGCCAGCTGCGCTTGTCGACGCCGTCCGGTCGGGCGCGCATCGCCTTCAGCAACGACGCGGAGAGCGCCTCATCAACGAGGCCGTCGACGGCTGCCACGCGCGACGTGTCGAACCATCGGTCGCCTCCGTGGTCCACGTAGGAGCCGTCGATCGCCACGTTTTCCGCTACAACGTGTTTTGCGGCGGTCGGTCGCGTCGACAACGATTTGAGCAACGCGTGCTGGGCCGCGAATTTATCGACGGCAGCCGCAGCTCGCGCCGTTACATTGCACGAGTCGTCCCATGATTGATCGTCGGCGAGCATGAGCAGTGGCGCACCGCCGATCTCGTCCCAGTATTCGATGAGCGGTTCGATGTCGTCCAGTGATTCAAACAAGGCGCAACGTCTGGTATTGTCGATGCGTGTGCTCGCGTACGAGACGCCGACGCAGTCGCGGGCGGCATTGATCAGCGCGTCGACCTCGGGTTGTCGCACGCCGTCCGAGACGGCGACGCGCCGCACACCTTGCGGTACACTGCCACCGCTCAGCGCCGACGCGACCGCTATGGCGGTGATGAGCGCTGCTCGACGGTGCATGGTGTTTGCACGCCGGTTCGCCGGCAGTTTTGGCCGCACGAGCGTCGCACTAGCACTCAGCTACAGCGCGAAGGGCCCGAGCCCAATTCTACGTGCAGGTAACGATTGATGCGCTTTGTGCGAGGCTGAGAGCAGTGAGAGCAGCCTCTTGCAGCTGTGCAAAAAGAGGCTGATCTCTCGCGGACGACTAGCATTACTGCATTTAACGATAGCGGACAACTGTATCACACCGGGCGGCATCATGCAAATGCTCGCAGCAGCGCTGGCGCTGGCGTCCAGCCATGCATTTGTCGCACCGCGAAGCAGCACTGTGCGCGCACCGTCGTCCCGGCTCAGTAGCAGCGTCTGGTACGACGCGCAACCGCAGCGGCGCGCGCTCATCGCGGGCAATTGGAAGCTGAACCCGTCGACGGCGCAAGATGCCGACGCGCTGCTGGCGTTGCTCGCGTCGAACGTACGCACGATGGCAGCACCGCCGGAAATTGTCATATTCCCGCCGATGCCATTCTTGCAAACGGCGCTCGAGGCCGTCGACGGCACGGGCATTGCCGTGGGCGCGCAGGACATCTCGCTGGAGGAGTCGGGAGCGTTCACGGGCGAAGTCGCAGCTTCGATGGTACGAAGCTTAGGCTGTGACTGGGCGCTCGTCGGCCACTCAGAGAGAAGGACTCTGTACGACGAGGGCGACGACGTGTGCAACCAAAAAGTTCTGCGATGCCTCGCGCAAGACGGCCTCAAGGTCATTCTGTGCGCAGCAAGCCGCGCGGCAATCAAATTTCAAGCGTCGCGTCGATGCCTGGAGATTGACGATAGAGTCACACACAGGTCGGCGAGACGCTCGAAGAATACGAGTCTGATTTACTGGAGACGATCGTGAGCTTGCAAGTTAGAAAGGGTCTAGCTGGCGTCGACGTCGCCGATGCCGACAGAATTGCCATTGCCTACGAGCCGGTCTGGGCCATCGGAACGGGCAAGGTGGCGACACCAGAACAAGCGCAGGCCGCTCACGTCGCCGTGCGACGAGCGCTGTCCGAGGTGCTCGGTGCCGAAGCGGCTCGTCGCGTCCGCGTACAGTACGGAGGATCAGTCACGCCCGAGTCCATTGATCGATTGATGGCGCAACCGGACGTCGACGGCGCATTAGTCGGCGGTGCCTCTTTGGTCGCGGAGAAATTCTCTAGAATATGTGAATTCAGTGCGCCAACGACTCCTGAAACGACGCCGCCGCGGGAGATCACGGCCCGCGTCGCCGTCGCGTGCGCAAACGCGTTGGGCGAGTCGCCGATCTGGTCGCAGCGCGACAACACGTTGTACTGGGTGTCCGCGGTGGAGGGCGAACTCTGGCGCTGGAACTGCGAGGACGCGCCCTACAAGATCATACCGCGCTTCGGGACCACGCTCGGCTTCGTCGCCGCAAGGGCTGGCGGCGGCCTTCTTCTCGGAGGCGAGGACGCGATCCTGTCTCTGGACGAGACCGCTCGCGAAGCGGTGGTGTTGGCGGCGCCTCCTGCCGAGGGAAACACGCGACCGAACGATGGCCGCGTCGATCGCGACGGGCGTATGGTGATGGGTATGTACAACAACTACCATCGGGCGGGCGCGTCACAGGGTGAGGACAACTCGGGCCTGTACCGTTTCGGCGCGGACTTTGAATACGAGGAGCTGCTGGACTACAAGTTCAGGGTCTCAAATTGCTGCTGCTTTCCCGCTGATGGTCGAACGGTGTACTTCGCCGACACGCCGACGCGAAAAATCTACGCGTTCGACTACCCGAAGAGCGGCAAGCCGGAGAATAGACGCTTGATCTGGACGCAACCGCCGCACTGGCCGGGCGGCCCGGACGGCGCGCAGTGCGACGCAGAGGGTATGATTTGGGTCGCGCTGAACGGCGCGGGACGCGTCGTGCGTATTGATCCGGCGACGGGCGCGATCGATCTCGTCGTGCACACGCCGGGCTGCCCGACGCCGACGAGCTGTACGTTCGGCGGGCCCGACCTCGACGAGCTCTTCATCACGACGGCGGCGCGGCCGGCGGGCGGACAGCTGTTCCGCGCGAAGATGCCGTTCGGCATCAAGGGATTGCCGGAGCCGGAGTGGCAGGGAGGGGATTAACCTTAAATTAAACAACAACACTAGGCGCTGGATACTCCGTTGTCCCCGAGGCCGAGCGGGTTCAGCGCGCGCGCTCCGATGAACGGCGCCAGAAAGCTCAGCGGCCGGCTCATCGTCGCTGAGTACGTGAGCACGCCGCGGTGCTTGTACTCGTAGAGCAGCTCGTCGCCGTCGACGATGTAAGTGGCGCCGCGCACATCTACATAGCGGGCGTCGCTGACGTAGGCGTCCCAGTTCCCGAGAACCTCAACCATGGCCCGCAGGCGGACAGTAGCGAGCTCGACGGGCCGCTGGTAGCCGGTTTCGTCTTTCCACGAGTTCTCGTAGCGGAACGGACCGAGTTTTACAGGTCCGACGCCCGGTCCGATCTCTATTACGTCACCGACACTGACTACGGCATCCGGCCTTAACCGCTCCGGCGCGCTCTTGTCGCCGAAGTACCCTCTCGCAATCTCCGGCAACGTACCGGGCGCACCGATGCCCGCGCACATTAATAAGTAATTCAACCACGCGTCGCCAACGGGCCTGAGCTGTCCCGCGTCGTCCGGGGCCCCGCCGGGCAGCGTCCCGAGTACGAAGCGCAGCGCGTCGTCCGAGACCCACTCGGGCCAGCTCCAGCCGGGGCCGCGGTGGAGCCCGAGCTCTCGGTGGACGGTCGCTGAGGGGTCGACGCGCAGCCCGCCCTCCGGCAAACCCACGAACGCCTCGAAGCGCTTGCCCGCGTCTGCGTCGCCAACGCCGACGACGCGCAGACCCAAACCGGCAGCTTTCAGGTCGTCTGCTACTGCCGTGAGCTGCTCGCAGAACTCGTAGCTATCAAACTCGCCGACCTGCGGCAGCAGTACGACCACGTTGCGCGACGTCGCGAGGCCGTCGAGCAGCGGTGTTGGTGTGCCAGTGGCAGGGTTGAGGACTGTGGCTGATTTGAGGGTGTTGAGCACGAGTGCGGTGGTGCTTTGGGCTGCGCATAGCAGGGTGAGGCGTTTTAGCAGCGACATGCTGATTTGGAGGGCGAAACACCGCAAAAACTGACCTTGCTCTCCCTGTCAGCAGAGCACGAGCTCGAGCCAAGCGCTGCGGTAGAGCTAGCACGGACCGCGAGACATCGTCAGTTGTCAGTTATTTATGCCAACAGAAGCACCGGTGCAACGAACGATGCAGTGGTGCGTGCTGTCGGCACTGCTGGCAAGCACAACCTGTTTTTCACCTAGACGCGTCCGTCATGCAAGAACTCGCATGCAAGCATCGACGCTGCCAAAGGACGAGACGGGCGTCTCGTATCTTCGAGACACGAACCCGGACGCCGACGGCCGCGGCGTGCTCGTCGCGGTGCTCGACACGGGCTGCGACCTGGCGGCGGCCGGCCTGCAAACCACATCGACGGGCCAACCGAAGTATGTTGATTTTCTGGACTGCACGGGCGGTGGCGATATCGACATGAGCGTCTCCCGGAAAAAGGACGGAACAACTCTCGAAGGCGCGTCCGGCGCGACGCTCACGCTCGGCGCCTGGGCGGATTCTGTCGACGAATTCCGAGTCGGCGCGGCTCCTTTATGGACGTTGTTGCCGGGATCGACGCGCGAGCGCGTCCTGGCTGAGCGAAAGGAGCTCTTCGAGGCGACGCATCGCGCGGCGGCGACCCGGATGCAGCGCGACCTCGACGCCGCCGAGAACTGGACGCCATCGCCGGAGGACGAGCTCGTCTGGGGCGGGCGCGCCAACGCGACCGCCGCGGCAAAAAAGGCGAAGAAGACGGAGCTCGAGGCGCGCCTGAAAGAGCTGGACGCGTTGCTGAAGGACGACTACGACGACGCTGGGCCCCTGATCGACGTCGTCGCGTTCCGGGACGACAACGGCTGGCGCGCGGTGGTCGACGCGGAAGGAACCGGAGACCTCACCGACTCTAGCCCCATGGCGCCGTTCGGGGTCGAGCGCCAGCTCGGCACGTTTGGCTTCGGCAGCGCCTGCACGTTCTGCCTCCAGATTGGCGACCTCGACGACGGCGGCGCGCTTTCGATCGTGTGCGATGCTGGGAGTCACGGCACGCACGTGGCGGGCATCGTAGCCGCCAATTTCGAAGCCGAGGACGACGCGGCGGACGGCGTCGCGCCCGGCTGCCAGATCCTCGCTCTAAAGATTGGCGACGGCCGCCTCGGGAGCGCGGAAACGGGCACCGGTCTCGTCCGCGCGCTCGCGGCCTGCAAGCGGTACGGCGTCGACCTCATCAACTTGTCATACGGGGAACCCTTTTACGAGTCTACGTCTGGACGCGTCGCCGAGACGTTCGACGACGCCGTGCGGAAGTGGAGCATGACCGTGTTCACGTCGGCGGGTAACGACGGCCCGGCGCTGTCGTCGCTCGGCGCGCCGGGGTGCCTCACGGCGCCCATCACTGTTGGTGCTTACGTCTCCCCGGCCATGATGCGCGAGCAGTACTCGATGCTCGAGGGAGACGTCCCGGCCACGAGCTACACGTTCTCGAGCCGCGGGCCGACGCCCGACGGGTGGATTCCGACGCTCTGCGCGCCTGGCGGCGCCATCGCTCCGATACCGCGCCACATGCTCGCCGGCCGAGCGCAGTACCACGGCACTTCCATGTCCTCGCCGAACGCCTGCGGCGTCGCGGCCTGCGTACTGTCGGCCCTCGCGCGCGAGGACCGGCCCTCGCCGCCGGCGCTCCGGCGCGCGCTGGAGTCGACCTGCAAGCCGGTGCCGTCGGCGGACCCGTTCGCCCAGGGCTTTGGACTCATCGACGCGCCAGCAGCGGTGACGTATCTGGAGACCCACGCGGGAAAAACGGCCCACGACCTCGCCTTTGACGTCACGGTGCCGTCCCAGGGCGACGCGCGCGGCGTCTACTTGAGAGATGCGGGCCAAGTCCTGTCGCCGGCGGCGGGCGGCGGCGGTGTGGTTGGTGTCCAGGTCAAGCCTCGCTTCGCGCACGCGACGAGCCGCGACGAAGCCGAGGTCGAGGAGGTGCTGAAGCTCGACGTCGACGTGGCGCTGAGCTGCGCCGCGGACTGGGTCACGACGCCCGCGAGCCTCGTGCTGCAGTCAGGCGTCGCGGCGCGGCCGCAATCGTTCCAGATCAAGATCGATGCTGCTAGTCTGCCGCCGGGCGCGCACTTTACGCGGGTCGAAGGACGCGACGCGACCGACCCGACCCGCGGCCCGCTCTTCACGCTTCCCGTCACCGCGATTGTGCCGCACAACGGCCTCAAAGGGACGAGCGCGGACGAATCGTACGCGCTCTCGCTGCGAGGCGGCGTGCCGGAGCGCCGCTTCGTGCGCGCGCCTAGTGGTGCGGAGTTTGCCAAGGTCAAGCTGAAGACGGGCGCGCTGCCAAAGGGCCCCCACGCGGTGACCTTTCACGCCGTACCTTCTGCGCGCGGCGATCTGCCAAACACGGAGTCTCAGACGAAGGAGTACCCGATGCTCCGGCCTGATGATGAGAAGACCATCATCGTCCCGTGCCAAGGCGGCGCGACGCTCGAGCTCTGCGTGGCATTGGGGTGGATGAGCAATCCGGTCGACGACGTGCCGCTGGACATGGAGGTCGAGTTCCACTCGTACGGGCTCGGGGAGCAGCTCGGAGCCGCCGGCGCCGGCGACTCGTCGGTCGGCGTCCGCATCGGCGCCGCGGACGAGTACGGTCGCCTGGAAGTGGGAGCGCCGCTCCGATCCGAGACCATCGACGCCGAGGCGTCGCTAAAAGCCGTCGACCGCGCGCTGCGCCCGACGAAGTCTCTCGTCCGCGCCGGCTCGGCCGTCCTGGACGCACTCCCGCCGTCCGACGCCGAGCTGCGCGCGGACCCGGCAGCGCCGGCGGCGCTTGTGCACGAAGCTTTGCTGACCTACGATTTCGAACTCAAAGCCGCCAATGCGGACGACGCTTCGGTCGGGCACACGGTCGTGCCGCAGCTGTCCGCGCTCCATAAGCAACTCTACGATTCGCCGATCGACGGCGCGATCTGGCGCGTCAAGGATCAGAACGGGCAGATTCTGGCGCACGGCGGTCTCATTCACGACGCCAAGCCGCTGTCGCTCCGCGCGGGCAAGTACGCCCTCGAGGTATTGTTGCGCCACACGGACCGGGCCGCGCTCGAGGACATGAAGGATCTCCCCGCGCGCTTGCGTTTCAACCTCAAGGATCCGATGACGTGTCCGATCGTCAAGGATCGCGGCACGGCGACCGTCGGCGGCGAGGCGCTCAAAGATGGCTTCCTCCGCAAGGACGCGCGGCGCGCCATCTACGTCCGCCGCCCCGACGGAAAGCTGCCCGCGTGGGTTGAGCGCGGCGACACGCTCGTGGGCTCGCTCGTGCTGGACAAGGAACTCGACGACGATCGCGTGCACGTGCCGCTGGCGTACGAGCCGCCGCCGCCCGCGACGCCTGAGAAGAAAGACGACGCGACGGATGACGACGAGGAAAAGTCCGACGAGGAGAAGGACGCGGAGGCGCTGACCGAGGCCGTCCGCGACGCCCAGATTTCTGCTTTGAAGGCGTTGCGGGGCACGGATCCGCCGAGCCGATTCGACGCTCTCGCGGCCTCAATCAGGACCGAGCACCCGAGCCACCTTCCCTTCCTCCGAGAAATTCTCGACGATGCCGTGGCACGTCTCAACAAGGCCACCGACAAGGCCGACGCAGCGAATAGAGTCGTCGCCGCCGCGGATGCGATCCTGGGAGACGTGGATGCGGACGCCGTCGCGTCTTACTTTGGCCGGAAAGAACCCCGCGACGGCGCGGCCGCGAAAAAGCGGGGCGACGACATGGACGAGCAGCGCGCCGCGCTGAGGCACGCGCTTCTCTATCGGGCGATGGCGCTCTCGTCGGACGACGCCGTCGACGAGCTCGATCGCTGGGCTCCGGAGGTCACCACGTTCGCGGAGGACGACGATAGGGACACCTACGTGCTCGCGCACGCGCGGCGCGACGCGAACCGCGGCCGCCCCGGCGCCGCCCTCGCCGCGATCCGGGCGCGGTTGAAGGTTGCCAAATTGGACGGTACTTGTAATCAGGCGCTCCACGACGCCAAGGCGGAGCTGTTGGAGACGCTCGAGCTCGAGGACTGGGTCCGCCTCGCCAAGGAGGACCTGCTTCGCCGGTACCCGCCGACGACGAACCCTCTCTAGGGACTAAGTGTGTTTAAACTTACAAACCAGTATCCTTAGTCGCGACAGCTTCAGCGCGATGCCGTCGCGCGGAAGAAAGCCGCTCCTCAATCTGCGCGTCCGAGGGCGGCGACAGAATCGGAGACGCCGTCGTCGCGGGCGAGGCCCGCGTGGCGGCGCGTTCCAATTCGCCAACAAGGAGATCCAATTCTCGCATCGACTTCTCCAATTCGACCGCGCGCGGCCGCGCCGACGCCGCCGCGACGCTCCGCATGACGCTCTCCGGCGAGGCGACGTAGACCTGAGGCGGCGGCGTCTGCGTGCCGCACGTCGCCGCCGCGTGTCGTGGCGTTTCAGTCTGCGTCCCGCGTACAGGCGACGTGGTGGCCGCGCGCTGCGTCTGCGTCCCGCGGCCCGGCGATCCTGCGACCGGCGTGGCAAAGGACAGCGTCGACGATGGCGTCGTCACGGACGCCGGCGAGTGTTCCAGCTCCGCCGCCGCGGCTGACGTCGGCGTCGCTTCGAACTGCAGGGCCCCCGCTGGATCGGGCGTGGTCCGGCATCGTGCGTGGTCCGACGTCGGGGCTCCGGCCGGGGACGCAGCTGCGGGCGCTGGCGACGCCACGCTGCTCGACAGCGAGGGCATGTCGTCGTCGGATGAGGACGAGGACGAGCTCGTTGGCATCGCCGCCCGCGCCGCCAGGGCCGAGTCCGGCGGGAGGGGTCCCAGGCCGACGGGAACGGCCGGCGCCGCCAGCGTCAAGTCCGCCCACGCCGGCGAGAACGGCTCCTCAGGGTACGCTGGCGGCGAGGCCGACGTCACGGAGGGCGTGCTGCTCGACGGCGCCGACTCGTCGTCGGCGGCGAGGTCCACCGTGACGGCAGGTTGCTCGGATCGCTCTTCGCGAATTTCGTCCAAGAGCGCCAGGTCCACCGCGGCGGCCTCGGCCGGCCGCTCGGACACATTCAAGATCGCCCCCAGCTGCGACATCGCGTCGTGCACAGCAGGGGACTGGTCCAGCTGCAACGCTCCCGCGACCTCGAGCATCGCGGCCTTCATGCACTCCTTGTAGGTCCTCTTCAGGAGCCTGTCGCCGCCCGCGCCCAATTTGAGTCTGTCTACGACGGCAGCGCGCGTCATCTTCAGCGTCAGAGACCCGTCGATGGCCGCGGCGCGCAAGGCATCAACTTCGCGGATCGCGCCCGCCGTCGCCTCGAAGACGTCGCTTTCGTTCAAGGTGGCGGGCTCGTCGTCGCTGCTGGACGAATCCGGCGGCGTCTGTGCCGTCGGTGGCGTTGGTGGCAGTGCCTTTGGTGGCGGCGCAGGCAGCGGTTCCTCCGCGGGCCGACCGCGCGCTCGCGCGAGGCGTCGGCCGGCGCCGAACGCCGTCCGCGCGCGCTGCTCCGTGGAAGTCGGTACTTCCCACGCGACAGCCTTGCGGTCGTCGCGGATCGGCGCCGGGAAGAACGCCGGCGGCGCCACGTCGCGGCGCGGCAGGTCCCAGCGTCGCGGCGGGACCGGCTCACGCGCGTCGACGAAATCCTCGTCGTCGGCGTACCTCTCGTCGTACCTCGTCGAGGGACCCTGGTCGACGTAGACTACGCGCTGCTCAGCGGCAGCTTCGCGCCGCCGGCCGCCTCTCACAATAATGACGATGTCGTCGTCTCGCGCGTCGTCGACGACCGGAGCCCTCCGACCCGCCGGCCGCAGGTACGCCGCCGGCACGCCGTCGTCGGCATCGATGCTGCGACCCGCCGGTCGCGGTCGCCCCGCGCGCCGCGGCAGCGCCCCGCTTTCGGTTGCTCGGTCCTCCGTCCCGAAGTCGCAGCCCCGCGGCAGGCAGGCCGCGCTTCGCCGCGAGTCGGCCTGGTTCGCGAGGCGCAGCGCGCGACTTTCGTTGTACAATGCGGCCCTCATCGTGGCGTTTGGGCAGCCTCCAGCAAGGGCCAAACGACGACACTGGCAGCACGCTGGCCGCCAGCCCGAAGCCGCGGGCTTCTATTTGCAAACAGCACGTATACCGCGCGTCGGAAAGGTGCGGGGTCAGCCTTCAGGCCTCCTCTAGTGCGTCTATACAACGCTAGCATTATCGATTTGGGCTCGCGCATTTGGAGCCATTCCGCTTCACCTGGGCTGCAAAATGGGTCGTTACGGTGATCGTGATCGCCGCGACGACCGGCGCGACCACCGCTCCAGCGGTGGTGGCGAGCGCCGGCACGAGGATCGACGACGGTCAAGGTCTCGGAGCCGCGGCCGGCGGCGCGGCCGCAGCCGGTCAAGGTCAAGGAGCTATGATCGACGGAGACGAAGAGATCACGGCGCGACGACGTGCCTGGCTCATTAATTTGTTTTCTCGCTCGCCCGCGAGTCTTTCGTTCCCATAGGAGGCGGCGGACGCAACAACAACGACAGACGAGGGAGAGACCGCGGACGGCGGCGCGGACCACCGCCACCGCCGAAGCCCGCGACTGCATCAATGGCTCGTGCGCCCGCCGCGTCATTTTTTAGTAGCTCTCGTCGGCTGACGCCGTCCGACGCAGGCGCACGCGCAAGGCTGCTGGGCGGGGAAATTGCAATGGATGGCGGGCAGCTTCAGGTGTTCGATAATAGGTGCGTCGCGCATATTTCCGCCGCGCTTTACGGCAGTTCGCAGGAGGCCGCCGTCGCCGCCGCCGCAATTCGTGGGACCCGACATGTCGAACGAGCCGGTCGCGCCGGGGCTCGAGCCGCCACCGCCGCCGCCCGCCGCGCCGCCGCCGCCGTCCCGCGAGGAGCAGGTCGAGCGCGTTTGTCTGCGTTGTAGACCGCTCTTCTGCTTTGACGAATCGCCGCGCAGGCTCGCCACGTCCGCGGCAAAGCTCACGCTGACGCGCGTCGACGCGCTGCTCGCCGAGCTCTACGGCGTCCCAGACTTTGCCGCGTTCGCGAAAAGCGAGGACGTGAGTAAACAACAATAGGACCTCTACCCGGTAAAGCTTGCGACGCGCCGCGGCGCCTCGTCGCCGCCACCGCCGCCGCCGCGTCGTCGTCGTCCTCGGCCTCCTCCTCGCCCCCGCTGCGGGTTCGAGACGCGCGCGAAGGCAGCGAGGTCGTCGTCGGACACCTCCGGCGTCTCTAACACCTCTACGACGCGGCCCACGACCTCCTCCGCGAGCAGCACCTTGATGCCTCGCGGGTGCTGGGCGGCCCGCGTCAGGTGCCGCGCAACGGTGCCCCGCGTCTTCTTTCCGGTCGGCTGGTCTTCCTTCTGAACGACGTCCACCACAGCGCCGAGGGGCACCGCGGACCGCTTCTGCGCGGCTGCGGAGGGCGCATCTCCAGCTTGCGGCGCGCGTTGGTTCGTGGACGGCCTTCGTCGTCGTCCACCGCCGGCTGGCCTCCGTCGTCGGCCCCCCGCGCGGCCTCCGGCGTCGTCCGCGCCCGACGCGGTCGCGAGGGCGCGACAGCGCAGAGGCAGCGGACTGCTGCGAGTGAATGCGCCACCGCTGCGGATGGACAGGAGGAGTGCTACGCTGCGTGTGGTGCGGCGGAGCATCATGCTCTCCCAAAATGCAAGTGCTCTCTTGCTAGTGCAGCTAAGTTAGCGCTCTAATACCGATGCGTTTCCGATTGCGTCAATAATAGGCGTCGTCTTTAGAGCCTTTGCTAACTTAGAAACCACGCCCGCGCTTGCTTTTTTGCTCGCACCAAAAGAGAGCAACCCGCACGAAGTGTACAGCGCGGACGCCGCAGACAGTGTGCGTACGTAAAGCCGCTGTAAACCAGCACTACCTCCCATACGTACCGTCGCTGGCAACCGGAGCATCCGTATCGCCGCAGCACCACAAGCTCCCAAGCATGCCTCTGCTGTGAGAGGCTGCAGACGTCTCACGAGGAGCAGCGATCGATTCGGACGTCGCTGAGGACCGGTAGCATGCTGGCTCGAGCCCTGCGACGCGTACGCAAGGACACAGCCCGCGCCGCGCCGCGGCCGCCGACGCGCCAGCTCGGCGGCCTCAGAAAGCGGCCGCCGTCGCCCGAGGCGCTGTCGCTCTACCGCGACTGCCTGCGCGCCGCGCGCCACTTCCACTGGGCCGACCAGAACGGCGAGCCCTGGAACGTTGTTTTGAGACGGTCGACGCGGAAGGAGTTCGAGCAGGCGCGCGACGAGCCGGACCCGCTCATGGTCGCGAAAATGTTGGTTGTGGGCCGGGAGTGCCTCGACAAGACCGTGCGGCAGTTCGAGGCGGCGCAGAAGCGGATCGAGGCCAAGGTCGCGCAGACGCGGACGCGGTGACGGTCTGCTTCCTTCTTCTTCTAGGGTGTGTCGTATGTGTCTTTTTTATTTCTGAACTTATCTGGCTCTTTCGTAGTATGTACGCGCGAGCCGTCGCTAGCCCGTACCGTGCGGGTCCAGGCCCAGCTCGCGCTACGGCAGGGCAAAAACAGCTCCTATCCGCGCTGTCCCGGGGCCCAGCAGTGGCGCGTAGGACCCATCGTGGTCCCGAAGCCTTGCTGCCCGCGGCCCGCGGCTCAAACTTCGTTCCAAGAGCGCCGGGCAGCCTAGACACCTTGGACAAGAGCCCAGCGCCGACGACACGTGAGTTCCGAGCGCGCTCGGGGCAGCCCGACACGACAACAAGATGGTGAACCCCGACGAGTGGGACATCCTCGCGACGCAGATCGAGGATAGGGATGGCAACGAGATCACGATCGCCGAGGCGAGGAAGCGCGACCTCAAGGCCCGGCGGGACGCCATCCGCAAGAAGGAGATCGCCGACGCGATGGCCGCCTTCGAGGCCCAGCCCGAGCCGAAGAAGAAGAAGAAGAGCTGGCGGCCGCGCTGCTGCGTCCGGACGCGGAAGTACTTTGGGTGCTGCTACTGGAAGACGCTCCACGAGGCCGTCGTCGACTGCGACAAGAACAGAATTGTGGATATTATGATGGCGGCGCAGGAGAAGGACGAGAAGAACATCGGCAAGAAAGCTGGGGTGGAAAGGACGCGGCACCAGGGCGAGGGCGGGAATAGCAAGGAGGAGTTCCAGGGCTACGCCGCGAAGATCATGAACGAGTACGACGAGTTCGGGCGCACGCCGTTGTCGCTGGCCATCAAGGAGGAGCGCGAGGACATGGTCGAGATCCTGCTCGGGTTGGAAGCGAACCCGGATCGCGGCGAGGACTACAAGAGCCACCGGGGCCGGCTGACGGGCGCGTCGCCGATGATGGGCGCGGCCCAGAACAAGATGAGCGGCTCGATCCTGGATTTGCACTCGCGCCACGCGAACATCGACAAAAAAAACATGCAGGGCATCACGCCCGTGCACCTGGCCTGTTTGGGGGGAGACGCGGACCTGCTGGAGGTGCTCCTCGAGCAGGGCGGCGACCCCGAAGCTAAAGATAGAGGCGGCTGGACGCCGCTCATCTACGCGGCGTACGCGGGCCACCTCGAGTGCGTCAAGGCCATCCTCGAGACGGGCGCGTCCATCAAGGCCAAGGACAAGCACAAGCACACGGCCTACGACTGGGCCATGTACATCCGGAAGAAGACCAAGTCCTACAAGCACGGCGTCATCGAGGCCTACCTCGAGGACTACAAGCCCGCGCTCTACGTGAAGCGGCGGTCGTGATTTGTGGGGGTGCCTAAGCGTGTTGTGTGTGTGTTTCATCCATAATTTACATCTTCATTATTCGCACCGCGGCGAGCACCGCATCGTCCGTGACCGGCCGTGTGTCGATCACCGGCACCCTTGCGGCGTAGGCAAAGCGGGCGATGACGCTCACGGGCCCCTCGGGCATCGCCTCCAGCAGCGCCAGCGCGACCTTTGCGTCGACGCGAACCGGCGGCGGCGGCTCGGCCGCGTCCTCGAGGGCCGCGCGCTCGGCCGCCGCGACGGCGTCGTCGCGCTTCGATATGGCACCCGCGACAAACAGCCACAGCTTGCGCCGCTCGGCACTCGTCAGGCCGTCGACGCGCGCGACCTCCGTCCTATCTAAATCCCGCGCGTCGTCGACGGTCGCCGCGCCGAGCCAGCGCAGCGCGCGCGCGAACTGCTCGCCGCCGAGATCCGCCTTGAAGAGCGCGTCCGGCAGCGAAGGGTCCGCCGCGGCGACGGCCGCGCGCGCCGCCGCCACGGCCGCGGGGCCGGCCAGCGCCATGCGCTTGTCGACCTTGTCCCTCCGTTCGCGCCGCCGCCGCCGCGGCTTCTCCGGCACGACCTCCAATTTCTCCATCCCTTTGCAGTTCGCGCGGAGCGCCGCGAGGTCGCGCCGCAGTCCGTTCGCCCGGAGCCAGGGCGCCGCCACGGCGACGACCTTGCTCCGCGTCGCGCGCGGCCGCGCCCAGGCGTCCCAGCCGCCCGCCCGCGCGACGCCCTCGAGCAGTCGCGTCAGCCGCGCGCCCTCCTCGATCAGGGCCTGCAGCGGCACGCCGTTCCGCGTGTAGTACGCTCGATCGATGTCCGAGCCCCGCTCGAGGCGCTCCTGGCGCCGTCGCGCCAGCGCCGCCAGATCAAAACCGTGGTCGTTTTTGGCGTCGTGCCTCGCGCCCCTTGCTAATAAATAAGCGACGACGTGTAAATGGCCCCAGACGACCGCCGTGTGGCAGGGCGTGTTGCCGTCGCGCGGGCAGACGCCGCCCACCGGCGCGCCGAGCGTCTCGACCAAGTAAGGCAAGGTCGATTGGTAGTGGCCGTTCATGACGGCGCCGTGGAGCGGGATCGCGCGGCTCCAGTTCTCGGGCAGCGCGACGCGCTCGTGGCGCGCGTCGCCGTCGTGCCACTTCGTCTCCCGCGCCATCTCCTTGAGCTTCGCGAGGCCGTCGCGCCCGCGCGACGCGAGCCAGTCGCAGCTCTCGAGGACGTGGCGCAGGACGCGCACCTCGTAGGTGATCGTCGAGGCCATGTTTTTTGTGTTACGTTCCGCTTTACAGGCGTCCGGCGAACCGCGTACGTATGGGCGACAAAACGCTGCAGCCTTGCTGTGCCACTTTTGGCGTCGGCGTCACGAGTTGCGTTCTCGTTGGCTCGTGGGTTGTTCGCTGGGTTGTCCTGCGTTCGCGAATTTGTGATTCGGTAATTGTGCGCCCGCAGGAGAGTGATTTTTGGCTGCTGCGCTCGGTGACGTTGCTAGCGTCAGTAACACACTAGCCGACACCGGGAGCGTATCGGCCTCAAACGCGGCGTTGAGTGCATTTTGTACCCAAAGCAGTCTCGCGGGACGCGCCAACAGTAGACGACACGCACCAGAGAGCTTGGGCGAGCAACTGCATTCGTAAAACGCTCTCCACAGCACAAAAAACGCTGCCTTGCTGAAAAGCTCTGTTCAGCAGTCCAGAGGGTAAGAGCTTGGAGGGGGGGGTTGCGGCCCAAGCAGTCTGAGCGCGAGAACTATCGAATATACGCGCGAGAATGGCCGAATACACAAGTAATCGCCCGCGCGCCTACAGCAACCCGAACAAGCGCGCCATCCGGCAGCTCCTGGCCGCCGAGGCCTGCGAGCCGATGGCGCGCCGCATGGCGGCCGAGCACCCGGACCGCTTCAAGTTCCACCCGACGACGTGGGGCAAGTTCCCCGACGGCACGGACAAAATCATCATCGGCGGCTACACGCCGACGAACGAGCTCGCGGGGGAACACGTCGTGCTCTTGTGCAGCTTCCACAACAACGACGTGACGTGGTCGCAGTTCCAGGTCATGATCGTGCTGCTGCAGTCGTTCATCGAGTCGCTGACTGTGGTTTTGCCGTTCTACCCTGTCGGCACGATGGAGCGCGTCGTGACCGAGGGCGAGGTCGCCACGGCCAACACCTACGCGCAGATGTTCTCGACGCTGCCGTCGTGCGGCCGGCCGACGCGGCTCATGACCTACGACATCCACACGCTGCAGAACCGTTTTTATTTATCGGGCGCGACGCTCGCGTCGCTCCACACGACGATCCCGTGCTTGCTGCCGCTGCTCGGCCCGGCCGGCGTCGACGCCGTCGCGTTCCCCGACGACGGCGCCGCCAAGCGCTTCAAGCACATGTTCGACGCCGACCGCTACGCCATCATCGTCTGCGGCAAGGTGCGGGACGGCGACAAGCGCGTCGTCACGGTGCAGGACGGCGACGCCACGGGCCGGCGCGTCATCGTCATCGACGACTTGGTGCAGACGGGCGGCACGTTGTACGAGTGCGGCGCGAAGCTGCTCGAGCTCGGCGCGGCGAGCGTGTCGGCCTTCGTGGCCCACGGGGTCTTCCCGCGGGACGCCTGGAGGCGGTTCGCCAGGGGCGGCGACCGCGACGTCTTCTCGAAGTTCTACGTGACGAACTCGATCCCGACGACGACGGACCGGTGCGTTTCTGCGGCGTCCTGTTTTTTTTTGCGCGGCGATGGCGTATGGGGTTCACGCAGGCTGCCGAAGAACGACGTCTTCGAGGTCATCGACCTGACGGACCGCCTCGTCGGCGACTTGCTGCGCGCGCCGACATGACCTGCCGCTTTGTTTGGTAGTAATCATAGAGAAGATTCGATTCCGCTCTTAGGCGCATCCCCTAGGGGGCGGCGTCGCGCGCGGACGGCCAATGACTCAGGACAGCGTCTCCGCCCGGTCGAGCGGCGGCTCCTCGAAGAACTCGCCCGACTCCTCGATCTCGAGGAGGCACTCCTCGTCCGTGACGCACTGCGTCAGCGGGTTCACCTTCATGGCGATGCGCTTGGCGCGCGAGCCGACGAACTCGCGCTTGCCCATTTGCTTGGTCAGGAGGCGCTTCCAGGCGTTGGTCGTGGCCACGTGCCACGCCGGGGTCTCAACGTCGACCTTCTTCGACGACGCCGTCCTGACGACAGCCGGCATGCTGCTGGGCCGCGGCGCGAAGGCCGCAGCGGTGTGTAGCGCGACCGCAAGGAGTGCGAGGAGGCGACGCATGCTTCACGTAGTGCGGTCGCGCGTGGCCAAAAGCCTTGATTGGCTTTGTGGGCTTCGAACAGCCGCCCTGGCGTACGGACGCGAAGCACGCTGCGCGTGGCGACTAATGCGATTGCAAAGAAGCACTGCGCGAGGCCTGTAGGCTGGACAACGCGTTGCCGCGTCGCGCAGACTGCCAACAAAGCCGGATCTCTCACCGATGTTCTCCGGGTTGTCGAGGCCTGCTTGCGCAGTGCGATGATCGCCTTTCGAACCTTAAGATCTCTCTGAGAGGCAATGGGACGCTCTTAGTACGGATCAATTCGCACGGGTTTAGCCCACGTCGGACGGGATTTGCCGGGCCGTAGCGACGCAGGCGTGCAAGCCGGGCGCCGCAAAAGCGACAATGAGCTTCTTATTTGACCAGAGCTACTACCAGGTCGGCAAGAATGGCGTCTCGCCGTTCCAAAATATGCATTTTCATCTGTGTCCAATCGAAACGCGCGTCGGCGACAATACGTCTAATGTAGGTGCGCATACCTTGGCGGTTCCGCCATACAAACCGTCGGCGACAACCCCGTCACCGCGTACCGCCAGCTCGTGCAGCAATACGCGCGGCCGCCGCGTCCGTCGGGAATTTAACGCGCCGTCAACCGTTATCGCATATAGGCCAAGGACCTCGAGGGCAACACCGTGAGCCCGAAGGCCGCCCAGGCCGAGGCCAACGCCGCCTTCAAAAAGAACCCGCTCAGCGCGTCGCTGTCCGGCCTCTGGCCGCGGCTCATCGGCGTCTTGCTGAAGCGCGTCCCCAAATTCGGCTTCCTGCTGGGCTACTCGCACTTTGTGGGCGAGGGCACGCCGGGCTTCGCGGCGGCGACGTGCGCGTCGATCTGCAGCGCGCCGTTTATCAATCCCGTGCGGCTCGTCGAGAAGCAGCAGCGCGCCTACTTTAAGCAGACCGGGACCTCCAAACCCGTCATGGAAATCTTGCGCGAGTCGGCCGCGAAGAACTTCGCGCCCCTTTTCCGCGGCACCATCCCGCTCATGGGCCACTCGCTCGCGTCGGCGATGCTCGGCCTCGTCGGCCAGCCGCGGCTGCAAAAGTACGTCCAGAAGCAGGTCGGCGCCACGGGCGCGCTGTCGGGCACGGCGACGAACCTCGTCGCGTCGGCGGTCGTCTCGCCGATCTACGTCTTCGTCACGAATCCCCTGTCGAGACTGGAAGTGATCATGCAGACGAACTCGCTCAAGGGCAACAGCATCTCCACGGTGGCGGCGCTCAAGGAGCTCAGTACGGACATGGCCAAGTTCGGCCTCGCCGGCATTTTCCGCGGCCAGGGCATCGGCATCGCCAAGGCCATCGTCTCGCTGACGCTCTTCCACGAGGGACGGATCTTCATCACGAACCAGTTCAAGCAGCACAACCTGAAGAAGCTCGAACCGTAGAGCGCTCTCCGCCGTACTCGCAGTAGGGTAACTCGCTTCTAACCTCTCTCGGGATGCCTAAAACAACACCTCTTATCAATCACAGCTCCGCCGCCCGCGCGTCCTTGACCGCGTCGGCCGCGCACGCGCCGGCGACCTCGACGCAGATCGACGCCTCCAAATCCAAGGACGGGATCTCCAGCGCGCGGACGGCGGCGTAGAACGAGTCCACGGCCGCCACGACGTCATCCTCGTGCTCGTCGAAGAGCTCCACGCAGAAGGTCTCGACGGCGAGCGGCCGCGGGTGGCGGAAGGGCGCGTCGTCGCACACGCCGCCGAGCGCCTCGCGGAGCCACTCGCGGGTCTTGGACGCGCCCGCGGCCGTGTGCAGGCCCGCGCGCTTCGCCACAAATTCCAAGTCGGGGACGAGCGCGCGGCACGCTTCGCAACTATCGGTGGGCGCCGGCTTGTCGACGTCGAACGGTTGGCACGCCTCGAGGTCGTCGACGCAGAGCGACTTTTTGCGCGCCAAAACCAGTGCCTTCTCGTCGAGCTGCTGCTTCGACTCGACGTCGAGGTGGTAGCTCGTCTGTACCTGGTGTGGAAATCAAAATTCGCGGCGCCCCGCCATCGCCGCATTGAATCTACCTCACTGCTCGATTTCCACACAGGTCTAAACGCGGTGCAGGGCCTCCTGGCGCAGGTAGCGGCCCGCCTGCTTGATTTCGTCCGAGTAGTGCGTCTCGCGCGCCGTCATCGCGCGCTTGATCTCCTCCGGCAGGATGTGGTCCTCCTCCCGCCGGCCGTCCATCGCGCCCGCCTCGTAGATTGCCGAGAGCGTCTTCTGGTAGTCCTCGACGAAGCTGAGGCAGCCCGTGCAGAGGTCGGCCTGGTGGATCTGCACTCTTTCTGGTTTCTGCTTCTTCTTCTTGCGCCGGCGCCGCTTCTTGTACTGGCCGGGCAGGGCCCAGGCGCAGTAGATCATGAGGAGAGGGAGCAAGCGCATAGCGGTGCTCGGAAACCGTGCGAGGGCGATGGCGCGACCGCGGGAAGCCGCTTCCTTCTGCGCCGCGCGACGATGGAGCAATTCGGGCAGCCTCTCTCCGAGCTGTGCTCTCCGCAAACCGGTTAATCAACCTAGCGTATCAAGGTCTCTAGCAAATTCAAAGATACGCCTCGATAGCGTCAAAAGAATGACCGAGATTCAGAATACATCCTAGTCGTTCGCCGAGACCAAATATTTCAGAGTAGCGGCCTGGGAACATACCTTCGCGCCTCCCGGAAGGCACCGCCCGCGACATTCGCGGATGAGACTTACGGCTCGCCAAAGTGCACCAGCGATTAATGCCGGCTTCTACCGTCCGATTGGTACATTATATCAACTCCAGCCCAGTTTTCATACATAATTGACGGAACCGGAGCCGACGGCCCGCGCTCGGAGGGCGGGAGAAGAATTCTACTAGACAACTCCCGAGTTTATGTTCGTTTCCTTCCTTTTGTTAGTGGTAGAGTCCATCATATCCACCAGAACGACAGCGAGCACGATTAGATGCCCCGTTAGAGCCGCCCGAAACGGAGACTTCGCGCCCCCGCGTTTATGCGAAAATGGCTCGAAGCCTACACTTGCGAGTATCAGCGACGCCACCACCCAGAAGAACCAAAACGCCGTTGTTCTATTCACGATCGACCGACTTGCCCGTTCTCCGCGGACGACGGTGCGGAGACGGAGCACCAGAAAGGCCCCAGACCGGTGAGTTGTAAAATAAATTCGCGTTTCAGGCGCTTCGGTTACCAGACGGGCCAGATAACCGGCCTGAACGTCTACTACATAGGATTACTTATTCGGAAAACTCGGCGCGCCTCGTCCAACTCGCGGCCGCACGATCTCGCACAAAACGGGCAAATTACATGGACCTGCGACCATCAGCCCGTGTACCATCACCATGGACCGTGGCACAATCATTTTTTCCATGATCGATCGACTTGCGCGAGGTCCAGATCAAGATGTTCACGTCCCGAGCGTGGGCAGCCCAAAGTACCCTTCTCGCGGTATAGATGTCATATACTCGTAGTTGACTATCGGTTGGGTAGTATAGGGTCCGACGAGACCGCTACGGCGACTACTGGGGGGCCTCGGATAATTAGCGTTTTTGACGGGAACGGGGCGCGATCGGGTCCAAATTGCACACTTTTTTCGGATGCAGATCGGCTCCTGGAGGCCTCTCGGGGTAGGTCTGGTGGCGGGTAGTCGCCTGTGCCGCATACGCCATCGATGCGGCAGTCTAGTGCTCTCCAAGAGCCCTGGAAGCGAGACCTCGGCAAATCCTACTAGCACTGCGTGGGCTGCTGAGAGAATTCGGTTGAAAATGCTGGAAGCGGCGGCGCGTGCGGTGTAGGCGCTTGCACGTGTATAGTACCGACCCTAGGCGACCCCAGGGACACCTCTTCGGCAGGGATTGACAGGATTAAACCGCCGCGGCCGCCGTGGGCCTATCGTGGCATCGTCGCCGCGAATTAAAAAAATTCCCTTTTCGACCCCCAGTACGTGTCCCATTGATCTCTTTGGACCATTAGCGAACCGAACGGCACTCGAACGACTGCATGCCGCGTTTTGATCGGGCTTGCAAGGCATCCCTAGTGTCTTACACAGCCGCTAGCTAGCTTAAATGTGCGCGGTCATCGAGTCAAACACGCGGTTACCTAGCTCAAGCGGCTTGAGAGTCGTTAGGTATTCACCGCATATCACTCCTGTCGCCTCCGCGCGCTCGTGTCGCTCCTCGCGCTCATTTCCTTGCAAATAATTCTCCCGCGCGCTCACTCCAGCGCGACTACAGACTCTGCTTGCAACAATGGACACGCTCCCGCTCTCACGGGCCGACTCGCTTCCACTCGCGGCGCGGGCTGACTCGCTCCCGCTCGCGGCGTTGCTCGGCGCCGTGGATGTGGTGAGCCCGCGGCGCGCCGCCCAGGCCGCCGCCCTCGCCGCGGCCTCGCCGCCAAGCCCGTCGGCCGCCCACGCCGCCGCCGGCATCGCGCCGCCGAGCCCGTCAGAGCACTACCGCCTGGTCGCCGCGCAGCGGGCGAGCGACGCGAGGTCTTTCATCGCGCTCGTGGCCGGCCGCTTCCCCCGCGGGACGCGCGTCTACGACAACTTCACGCGGGCGCTCGCCGTCTACGCCAAGTTGTCGTGCGGCGTCGAACTGTCCGCCTTCGTCTCGCGTCGACGGCGTGACGCGCAGGTCGGCCAAGGACCCCGCGGCCAAGGACGAGCTCGCGAAGGAGGTCGACGTGCTCTTCGCGGGCAAGGCCAGCGACCTCTGCGTCAAGTTCCGCCGCGAGTTCTACGAGCCGTCCGTCGCGCGCGTCTCGCCGCCGCGCGCGGCGCCGCTCGAGCCCGCCGTCGACTTTCGCGGCTCGGACCCGCCCAAGCGCAAGGCGCCGGCGCCGGCCAAGGAGAAGTTGATGATCCCGACGTTCGCCCCACCGGACGAGCCCGCCGCCGGGCGGCGCGTCTCTGCTGCCTCCTCTGTCCTCCACGAGCTCGGCGGCGGCGAAGACCCCGACGACGAGACGCTGGACGACATGCGCGCCAAGGCCAAGAAGGCCCGCGTCGCGTGAGTGTGTCCTCCCGATTAGTAGTATTAACACATCTAAAACACAAACAAAACGCGCGGCGCGTGAATAATCAACGCGACACCACGTACTCCCGCACCACCGCCAGCACCTCGTCGCCGTGCCGCGCCAGCCGCGCCGGCCCGAGGCCCCAGACCTCCTTCAACTCGGAGGTGGTCGTGGGCTTCTTTGCGACGAGGTCTTGCAGCGTGCGTTCGGGGAAGACGCGGAAGGGGCGCTTTCGGTTGGCCGCGGCCGTCGCCTTGCGCCACTCGCGGAGTGCGACGTGGAGCGCCTCGTCCGTGGGGTCTTCGAAGACCGGCAGCTCGCGCATCGCGCCTCCTCCTCCCGGACCGCCGCGCGAGGGACCGAGCAGCTCCGCGAGGGCGTCGTTCGCGTCGCCACCCGCCGCGGCCGCGCCCCGCGGCGTCACGCCGTTGTCTTCGTTGTAGCGCAGCTGAATTGAGCGACGCCTATTCGTCTCTTCAATCGCTTCCCGCATCGAATCGCTCACGAAGCCGTCGTCCGTATACAACAGTACTTCCCCATTGACGTGCCGCGCCGCCCGACCAATGGTCTGAATTAAAGATGTGGCGCTCCGCAGATAACCGCGCTTCTCCGCGCCGACGATCGCCACGAGCGAGACCTGGGGCAAATCAAGTCCTTCTCTCAATAAATTGCAGCCCACGACGGCCTTCAGGTCGCCACGGCGCAGCGCGTCCAAGACCTTCAACCGCTTCTGGCTATCCAAGTCCGCGTGGAGCCACGCCGCGGGAATGCCGTGGCTCGTCAAAAAGTCCGCCAGCGCCTCGGCGGAACGTTTGGTCAAACAAGTCACGAGTGCCCGTCCCTCCGCGTTGGAAACGGCCGCGAGGAGGTGGTCCTCGAGCCCGCCCGCCTTAGAAGCGTTGACGACCGTAACTGACGGATCGACGACGCCCGTGGGCCGCACCACTAATGACGCGACGTTCTCTGGGCTTCGATCGCACATGTCGAGCACGTCCTCGGACGGCGTGGCCGTCGCAAGCACGGCTTGCGGCACGCGCGCCCAGAACTCCGACGCCGTGAGCGGGCGGTTGTCCAGGGCGGATTTCAGCCGGAACCCGTTCTCCACCAGCGAAGACTTCCGCGCGCGGTCGCCGGCGTGCATGCCGCGGAGCTGCGGGACTGCTACATGAGCCTCATCAACAACAAGCAGCCAGTCGTCGTCGGGAAAATAATCGATCAGCGTCGCGGGCGCCTCGTGCTCGGCGCGACCGCTCAGATGCCGCGCGTAGTTCTCGGCGCCCGCACACCAGCCTTCCGCCCGCAGCATGGCCACGTCGTCGGCAACGCGGCGTCGCAAGCGTTCCGCCTCGCGCCAGCGACCCGCGGCGAGGTGCCGCTCCAGCTCCTGCACGAGCTCAATTTCTATATCGTCGCAGGCCCGCTCGATCTCCTCCGGCGTCGCCGCGTGGTGCGACGCCGGGTAGAGCACGTACGCGTCGACCGTTGAAGAAGTGTCCTCGCCGACGAGGGCGAGCGACTCGATCGTCCAGGTATCGTCACTTACTAAGCGCACATCGAGGCGCAAGTCGTCGACGACGAGCCCGACGGAGAGCGTCACGGCGCCATCATTCTCGGCGAGTGAATAAGAACCGCGGTCGCTGCTGCCGGGCGCGTATCGTAAACTAGCTATCGTGTCGGCGAGCGCCGCCGGCGAGGCCCAGGGCTGGCCCTCCTGCAAAGGGACTGCAGATTCCACGTACTCCGCGGGCATCCCTAGACCGTAGATGCACGACACGGTGGCGACGACGATCGTGTCGCGCCTTTCGAGCAGGGACCGCGTCGCGTCGTGGCGCAGGGCGTCGATGCGGCTGTTCGTCGCCGACCGCTTCTCGACGTAGTTGTCCGTAGCCCTAGAGTAGGACTCGGGCCGGTAGAAGTCAAAGTGCGAGCAGAAGAACTTGACGCAGTTGTCCGGGAAGAGCGAATGGAGCTCGGACCAGAGCTGCGCCGCCAGGACCTTGTTCGGCGCGAGGACGAGGGTCGGCTTTGATAAAGCTTCGATGGCGTGGGCGAGGACGAAGGTCTTGCCCGTGCCCGTCGCGCCGGCGAGCACTACGCGCGGCGTCCCTCGTCCTAAGCCCTTGACGAGGTGCGCGATCGCCGTCGGCTGGTCGCCGCGCGGCTCGTAGGGCGAGCGCATCTGGAACGTCCCGGGCGTCGGCTCGAACGCCGGGCCGGCGCGCTTCATCATCTGATTGGCCGGGAGAGGCGTCGAAGCCGCGACGACGGGACGCTCCTCCGTGTGCGACGGCCGCGTCCACGACAGCAGGGCGTCGTCGAGCCCGGTGCCTTCAGAGGCGGCCTCGAGGAGCCGCGCGAGATGTATAGGGTCCGCGGTCTCGAGGCGCAGGGCCCGCCGCGGCTGCCACCACCGCCGCGCCTGCGCCTCGGCGGCAGCGTCGACCACGGCCGAGGACGCGCGGCGCCGGCCGTCCGCGGCGACGGCGTCGACGGCGCCGCCCTTGCCGACGACGAGCGCAGCGAGGTCGTCGAAATTTTCGGCTTGCTGAGTTGCGGCCGGCGCGGCGAGCCACGACTGGACGGCGGCGGCGTCGTCGCCGATGATGTCGCGGAGCGCGTCAATTGGCGCCTCGCGCAGGTCCGCCGCGGACGTAAAGGCGGCGCGGAGGCTTCGCTTCGCGTCGGGATCGAGGGGCGCTTCGTCGAGCACCGACGCAAACGTCGTCTCGCCCGCGCGACCGCGGGCGCGGCGGTGCGCCAACAGGGCCGCCGCGTGCGCCTCGTCTCGGAGACGTCGTAGCAGCGTGAGCGTCGGCGAGTGCCGCGGCAGCGCGAGAGGCGTCGGCCCAGCGCCGTAGATGAGCTCCTCGCGCTTGGCGAGCGAGATACAGCGCGTCGAGGCGCCGGCCGCGGCGACGGCGCGCGTGGCGGCGTTGAGCTGGGCGATACCGCCGTCGAGGACAAACAGGTCCGGCGGGTCCGTCTCCTCGAGACGTTGGGTCACGGACCTGGCGATGGCGGCCGGGTCGTCCGGCGGGCCGTCGCTGAGAGAGTACCAGCCGTAGCGGTCCGGCGCCAGCACGCCGCGGTCAAAGGCCGACGACGCGCCCACGGTCTGCAGCCCGCAAAAATGACTGATATCGAAGCATTCGATCGTCGACGGCGGCGCGATCGCTTCGCCGAACGTGAGGCCCTCGAGCGCCTCGATCGTCTCGGCCGCGCGCCACGCGCCTTCGTCGATCGCCGCGGCCGGCTCGGGCAGGGCGAGCGACGCGGTGAGTTGTTCTGGCAGCACGAGCCGTCGCGACGGCGGATGGCCTTGCCTCGTGAGCCAGGCGGAGACCACCAAGGCCTCTGTAGTCTTCGCGAGGTTGCGCAGCTTGCGAAATGGGACGCGCATCCTTAGCTGCTGATGCTGCTGATGCTGCTGAGGCTATCTACAGCTGTTGGATGTCGCTCCAACTTGCTGTACTGCTCGTGGCGCGACCGCAATAAACGAACTATCTCAGCCAAGAATGGATGCTAGCGAGCCATCTCTGTGAGCTGGCCTGGCTCGAGTTTAGAAATCCGCGCTAGCGGCCTGTAAGACACTAGCAAGAAAAAAAGACGCCCCACGCAGTTTTTGTGTTGATTGATGGTTCCAGGAGGCCGTGCAACCCTCCGGAACATCACCTGCCACGTCAGCTTTGGCAGCCTCTCACAGAGAATCGATTGCTCCCCCCAACAAGACCAAAAAAGCTGCCCACGCGAACCATGTCATCTCTCGAAGAGCTTGCGAAGCTGCCCGGCTACAACGACGACGGCTCCATTGTCGTAGCGATCCGCGCGGTCATCAATATTTACTTCGAGCCGACTGCCACCTGGCAGCGCCGGCTCTACGCTGCTACGCGAAGGCGCAGACACTGGTTAATTTGCACGCAGGTGCCGACGGAGGAGCAGAAGGCTGATGCCCTGAAGTATGCGACGGAGGTGGGAGGCATGCCTCCGCTCGCCCTCTGGTCCATGCCGCAATTCACGCCGGCGATGGTCAAGCTCTTCACGGACAAGGAGAAGCTCCTTGACTCGTACCCGATGACTTACATTACCGATCCCGAGAAGCAGATCATCTACACCGTGGTCAGCGCCGCGAACAACTGCGAGATGTGTCTCTCGTTCCACGCCATGGGCAGTGGCCCTGCCATGGGCGGTCCTTTATCTCAGGAGGATGTCAAGCTGATCGTGGACGGCGGCCTTCCGACCCAGAATGAGCGAGCGCGCACGATCGCGATCGCCACGAAGTACGCGATCTGCCACAAGGGTCTGCTGCTGGAACGCGAGGCAGCGCACCTGGAGAGCATGGGCGTCACCAAGGAGATGTACGGAGAGATCCTCTTCTTCGCCGGGCAAATCCACGCCAATAACATGCTCATGGTCTACCTGATCCAGCAGGGCGTCGCGGTCGAGGACATGCTCCAGGCCGTCGGACCCTTCGCGTCGACGGTCTACGCGAAGAAGGAGTAGAGCGCTCGCGGAGCGCAGCCGCGGGACTCCCACCGGAGTTTAACCCCAGCGGCTCGTCGGAAAACTTGTCGGAAACGGCCGCGGCGCCGTTTAATCTTTCGATTTTTCTACTATTATGATGCAGTAATTAATGAATCGGCGGTGTCTCCCCCCCCCGGGGGCTCCGCCAACTAGTCCTAGCACCGTAACAATAGAAATGCAGTAAGTTACCGCTAGTGCGCCTGGTCCTCGCTCCCCCGGAACGGGTGTTCGTAGAAGAGCTCCACGCGGCCGACGGGCAGGGGTGGCACCTTTGAGACCTCCGCCAAATGCTTGTTCGCGCCGCCGCGGATGCCCTGGAGGTATTGAATACGTAAGGGCGGCTGCGTCCCGGATTCTTTTCGCGTCTGCGTCGAGGATATCTTCGGCAGGAAGACCTGGGACGCGTTGTCCCGGCGGTAGGAGGACGCGTCCGTTTGGCAAGACGTCGTCGCCGACTTTTTGAGCGCGGCGAGCCGCAGGGCTCGCCGCCGCAGCGCCCACTCGTTGAACTCGTAGGAGGGGTCCATGTTCTTCTCCACAAAGTGGAGCGGCGTCTCGCAGGCGGCGTCCTTCATCACCGGCGGCGCCAGCAGCGCCGCGGCGGCGCCGCCCTGCGCCGTGCGCTGCCCCTCGACGCCGCCGCGCGACGCCGCCCGCTTCGACGCGGCGGCCGCGAGGATCTTCGCGATGCTGGTCCCCGGGTACTGGTCCTGCAACCGCAGCAAATGGACCAACTCGGGCCGTTTGGTAGCCGCAGCAACCACACCCTGTCGCGCGCCCTCGGGGTCCTTGAAGAAGTCCCGCAGCGCCTCGGCCGACGCGAAGACGTAGTGCGCGCCGCGGTACCGCACGACGCCCAGCCCGGGCTTGCCCGGCAGCAGCAGGCCCCCTTTGTTTGCGCATGTCCAGCCACAGAAACCTTGATACTCGAGCGGCAGCTGCATGAACTCGGGCGTCGTCTCGACGGACAGCCGCACGGGCCCGCCCTCGTCGCCCTGGGGCAGGTCGTCGAAGTCCTCAGGGTCCTCCTCGGGCTTGTCCTCGGGCTTGTCGGGCGACGGCGCCGCCTCGTCCTGGATCGGCGGGCCTTCTAACCTTGCCTGCCGCGACACTGCAGAATGCGGCCCGAGCGTCGCCGCGTACGACTCGCGGAACGCGTGCAGCTCCTCGAGCACGGCGACCCGCGACTCGACGACTCGCAATTCTTCGTCGAGCGCGAACCAGGCCGCGGCGACCGCATCAAACTTGGGATAGACGTGCTCCTTGGGCACCGCCGCGCGCCCGCCGACCATGCCCTGCAATTCATCCATCTCCGACGCGAAGGCGTCGCGCTGCGCCGCCACGCGCCGCGCGCTCGCCGCCGCGTCTTCTGCCAAAGACGCTAAATACGCGCAGTACTGCCTTCGGTTGGCCAGTTCCTGCGCCCATCTCTCCAAATTCTCGGCCGTCGCCTCGTCGGGCTTGCGCAGGTGGCAGTACACTAATGTTTCTTGGTAGCGCGTGCAGACCTCGTGCTGCTCGGCGACCTCGGCGTCGAGGGCCTCCCTCAAGTCAGAGACGGTGGTGGCGACGGCGTCCTCGACGTGATCTAGCCCGGCGCCGCCCTTGCCCTGCTCCCGGTTAAACAGGCGGATGCCCGTGACTATGCGCGCCAACTCTTCCAACTGGAGCCGCTTCTCCTCGGCGCCCAACAGCACGAAAGACTTCAGACCAATCCGCGGGAAGACGCTTTCTAAGGCAGCGGCGAGCTCGCGCTCCACGGCGCGTTCCACGGCCGCCGGGTCCGCCTGAGACAAACCTTTCCCATCTAAGCCGCCCTGGCCCCGACTTACGAATTGGAGGTACGAAAAGATTTGCCTGTATAGCGCCGTCAGCGTCTCGAAGTCCGTGCCGCCTTTCGGTCGTACTCCGATGATGCTCCTTATGAGGTCCTTGGTCTTATTGGCGCGAGCTTCGTTCGACTGCGCGAGCTCCTCCTCGTACCTTACCTGTGTGGAAATCAAAGATTTTACGGCGCATTCGTGCTGAATCGCCGCGTCGTCCTCCACGCCATCGACGCGACGCCTGCTCGATGGCGTGGCAATGCCGGTTCCTCGCCGCTCGACCGAGCCAGGACGGCCGCGTCATCGCCGAGGAATGACTTAGTGAAGAATTATCGTGCACCCGGCACCGACACACGGTTGATTTGCACACAGTACCTTACATAGGTCGAATCAAAAGTGACCTGCATCTTGATCGTTTCTAGGGCAGGGTCGTCCTTCTGGCAGCACCGCGCGATGCCCATGCGCACCAGCGTCTCGATGCCCTCATTACTCAACTCCTTCTCGGGCGAGAAGAGCACGGGGTCCGACTCGAGGATTGTCCGCGCGATGAAGGCAGCCAAGACCTTGGGCACGCGCTGGCCCTTGCCGGCGCAGCCCTGGGCGATGTCCGTCACGATGTCGTCGATCTCCTCCATCGTGGTCCTTTTGGTGGCGTTCTTAGGGTGTTCCCCTTTGAGCGTTTCTCCGCGTACGCAGCTTCGCCGACGCAAGGGTTAGTCTAGCGTTCGTGACCGCTTAAGTACTCTCTCTTTGGTGGCTGCCCTTGCAAGCTAGCCCGTGTGGGCTGCGAGAGCCTGCCGCTGGACGCCGCTGCTGCCCGCGGACGTGGCGTGAACTGCCTGGCTTGCCCGCGCGCGTGCTTAGTGCTTAGGCCTCGTCCCCCCACTTTTACGGCGGCGGCGCTAAGCTGCCTATCGATGAGGAGCCCGTCTCGTCCTGCGCCAGCCGTTCGAGGGGTCCGGAGGCGCGCTTCGACCCGCTCCAGGGTCCAGAGGGGCAGCTCGCACGGGTCCGTTGCGTGCGGGTTTCTGGGAGCTCGGAAGCTAGTAATTGATAGAAGTAATTGACTACAAAAATAGGGTAGTTGACAGTATTACATGTATCAATCGGAACGCGCCGCCGCAGCAGCGCGTTGCCGCGCCTCGTGCAGGCCGGAGTAGTACCCCGCGTAGTACCACGAGCGCAGGAGGTCGCCGTACGTGTCGCCCAGCGGCGGCGTCGGCAGCCCGACGGGCGTCGCGGCGTCTGCGGGCGTTGGCGGCGCCGCCGCGGCCGCCGGCGGAGGCGCGGCCGCCGGCGCAGCCGCCGGCGGCACGAAGCCCTCTGCCGGCGGCATCGCCAGCGCCGCCGCAGGTGGCTCGGCCGCCGCGGCGCCGCCCAGCAGCGCGTCGTCGCTGTCGTCCGAGCCCGCGGCGACGCCGTCGACGATCGCGTCGCCGCCGTACGCGCGCGGGTACGCGGCGCACGCGCGGTCGAACGCGTCCACGATCAGCCGGTCCTCGCCGGCGTCGAGCGTTCTACTCATTTCTCTTGCTGCTGGCGCTTGAGCTGCTTGAGCCTTGCTTTATCCCGGATGACGGCCTGGTGCATCAGGCGCTTGTCCTCGACTTGGGCCCAGTGGCTGTAGTAGATGGCCGCGCCGGCGAGCGACAGCGATGCCGCGAACGCCAACTTCGCTAGGTGCTGTTGCATCAACTGAAAGGCACTGATGCGCCACGATGGCTGGCCGGCCTGCGGGGCAGCAGGGGCTAGCGTCGCTTAGACACACTAGCTTTGACGAGGCCGCTCGTACTCCACGGCCGCTCACGGGCCGCGTGGAGCTCTACTGACGTAACGCGCGTCCGCATCTCTCCAAAAGAGGTGCCGCGGCGTCGCACAATCGAAGACCGGCCTTAAAGAGACACCGTACAACCAGTTTACAAAATGGACGACTTCTCAGCGCGAGAGAGGAAGCTAGAAAGGGAGCGCCAAGCAAGGATCGCCGCGAAAAAGCGCGAGCAGGAGCAGGAGGCCGCCGCCGCCCAACGCTACGCTGACCAGCAAGCCGCGCAGCGCGAGGCGCTGGCGAAGCGCCGCGCCGAGCGAGAGCAAGAGGAGGAGCGGCGCGCGGAGGCCCAGCGCGAAGACGCGCGCTTGACGGGCGGCCTGACGTGGCGCCGGACCTACCGCTGCGTGGCCGAGCCGCGCGACGGCGACCGCGTGCGCCTGCCGGACAGTTCGCTCAGCGAGCTCACGAGCGCCGGCCTGCTCCAGGACGCGACGGCGCTGACGCTCGAGCTCGAGCTGGTCGACGCCGACGATGTCGTCAGGGGCGTGCCGACGGACCCGCGCTTTTTGCTCCCGGAGGAGGCCCGGGAGGATGAGCTGCGCGTCTCGGCGACGGCGACGCACGCGGGCGTCCTAGATTTCGCGGCGCCCGACGGCCACGTCGGCGTGCCGCCTAAGACCATGCTCAGTCTGGTGCGGGGCGTGCCCGAGGTCGCGGAGCGGCTCGCCAAGGGCGAATTGCGAGTGAGATGCCGCGCCGTGCGGCTCCCGACGCCGAAGGAGAGCTCCTGCGCGCTGCGGCCCGTCGCCGAGGGTTTTCATCACGGCGGCGCCGACGAGGCGGCCGTCGACTTAGGGGCCGTCCTCACGAAGGAGCTGGGGCGGGGCCGGCACTGCTGCCTGACGCTCGGGGACTGGATCGCCGTGAGCCACGACGACCGGACCGTGCGGCTCGTGGTCGCGGCCTTGCGGCCGGAGCGGGCGTTGTGCGTCCTGTCGACGGATTTAAGCGTCGACGTGCTCCCGCCGATGGTCGTCGAGGAAAGACTAAGGAAGGCGCAGGCGCAATCTGAAAGGGAGCAGCGGTTGATTGAAGAGAGGCGCCGGCGCGCGGCCGCGGCGCGCGCGGCCCTGGAATCGAGGGAGATACCCGCGGACGGCGCGCCCGTGCGCGTGCGGCTGCGCTTCCGGGACGGCTCGCGGAGCGAGGCCACGGCCAAAACCAATGAAAGTGCCGACGTCTTAAAGTGGCTCGTCGACGCCGAGGCCGACGACGCGGCCAAGTTCCCGCTCGACGCGCGTGACTGGCGCCTCGTGAGCAGCTACCCGCGGCTGGCTCTTTCGAGAGATGCGCTGGCGGGTTCTCTCGAGGACACGGGCCTCGTCGACGCGCGGGGCGGCGCCGTCGCTCTGTTGGTCGAGCCGCTCGCGATCGATGATGCCAATGAGGACCCGGAGTCGCCAAAGCAACATAGCACGGAGGACGTCTGGGCGCGGGCCGCCGCCTTCGCGGACGCCGAGGCGGCGCGCGAGCGCAACGCCCGTAATGACGACGGCGCGATGGAGCTCGACGAGGCCACGAAGATCGAGGCTGAGCGCCGCGATTTAGATGGAGCCGAGAAGGCCGCGTTATTCCGCGATCTTGTAGGGAGGGGCCTCTCGAACCAGCTCGCGGCGCACGCGGCGCAGCGCTACTCGTCGCAGCTCGCCGAGCTCGCCCAGATGGGCTTTGGGGATGACGCCGCGCTGTCCGTGTCGCTGCTCGACAAGTACAACGGGCGGCTCCTGCGCGTCGTCAACGCGCTCTCGGACGCGCGCGAGGCCCAGCCGCCGCCGCCGCGCCCGGCGCCGTTCGCGCCGCGCGAGGCGGCCTCGACGCCTTCCGCGCCGCGCACCGCGGCCTCGGACCAGCAAGCGCGCGTCGCAGCAGCCTTCAAGCGCCACGTCGCGGCCGGCCTGCCGCCGAACGAGGCCGCCGCCGCCGCGCTGCGGGAGGTGTCTTCCAGTAACTAGTCATGTGTTTTACGCGAGAAGGCAAAGATGGGGGAAGGTTTCTCGGACACAGAGGTCCTCAGGGCCAGGCGGCCGTGCGCTCCCACCACTCGTTGCAGAGCGCGAGGAAGGCCGCGTCGCCGGCGGGCATGTCCAGGTCCTCGACGAACTCGCGCTCGACGACCTCGACGAAGCATTCGCCGTTCACCTGCTGCGCGGCGAAGGCGGGCGCGTGGCGGCCCAAGCCCACCGCATCCAATAGAGATGCCATGCGCCCATCGTCGTACTGTTGCACGTCCCGCCGCCGCAGGGGCAGCACGGCGCGGACGCAACAGCACGCGGGATAGCATATTTCAGCAGCCTCGCAGCCCGCCCGAGCGTCCGCCTCCGAGAGCAGATCGAGCCGCTTCGAGTCGAGGACGTGGACGACGCACGTGATGTTGTCCGTGCTCCCGGCCATGAGCGCGTACTCCACGAGGCGCTTCGCCAAGTCGGACGGCCCCTTGTACCCCATCTGCCAGGCACACCGCACCAGTGCCCTTGCCTGCTCGATTGTCATCTTCTCCCAGAGGCCGTCGCAGGCCAACACCAGGAAATCGTCGCCGCCGGGATCGCGCTTCCGCGTCGTCACGTCCGGCGCGCAGCTCACGAGCTGCCCCTCGGGCGGCGCGCCGGCCTTCTGCTTGTAGAGGTAGTCGCCGAGCGCCCGCGAGACGGCGAGCACGCCGTTGACGCGGCCGCGCAGCACGTGGCCGTCCGCGGCGGCGATGCGCGCCTTCTCGCCGGCGTCCGTGGGCTTGTGGTCCGTGCTCAGCGCCTCGACGCTCTGGGCCGTGCCCAGCAGCGCCTTCGAGTCGCCGAGCCAGCCGCAGGCGATCTCGTCGGCCGTGACGACGACGCAGACGGCCGTCGACCCCATGGCCTCGAACTTCGCGCCGTCCTTTTCCTTGATGGCGAAGTCAATTAAAGGAAAGACCGAGGCCAGGTACTCCGAGGGCGGCAGGCTCTTTGACAATTCCTTGAGCTTCGGCCCGAGCGCCGCGGCGCCGGCTTTCGCGACGTCGACGCCGCCGTGCCCATCAAAAACGGCCAGCGTCACGGCGCCGGGCACCGCGTCGCGGGAGACGACGACGGCGTCCTCCATGGCCGGCCGCCAGCCGCGCGCGTCGGCGCTGCCCGTGGCCGCGCCGTGGTCGCTGGCGTGGATGACCACGAGCTCCGCGAAGGTCGTCGCCTCGCCGGGCTGGCTGCTCATCTTCCTGGCGGCCCGGAAGAGAGCAATGGTGCTGGGGTGGTTTGGGGCAGCCCCGCCTTCTGCAGGACGCTTCGCGCCGGGGGCAGGGTTCCACGCGCTACCCGGGCAACGCTTTGGTGGCAGGGAATTTGGTTCCTCAGCGCACTCCCGTGCGCCTCCATGCTGCCGCTTTGAACCCCGTCCGAAAATTCGGCGTACGAGCTCGCGTCGCGCGGGGGAGGGATCTATAGGCGTACTCGAGACGCCGTCGAGCAGACGTGGGTGCGGTGACGACAGGCGCAACGACGCGGGAAGGCCCCAGACGTGGAGTGTCAGCCCCCACGCCATCGAGGCGACGCGACGACGACTCGTTGGTCCCGGACGTTACGCCCTAGTGAAGACGACCCTAGGCCTTCTGCTTCTTCGCCTTGGGCTCGGCGCCGCCCGCGGCCTTCTTCTTCTTCGGGTTCGACTGCGAGAGGCACTGGCGCACGTATCTATCTAAGTCGTGGAAGGTGCGCGGGTCGATCTGGTCGATGTTGATCTCGATCTCGTCGTCGGACGTGCTCTTGTCGATCGCGTCGGGGCACTTCGCGTCGAGCTTCTCCACCAACACGCCCAACTCCTCCTGCTTGATGCGGTAGATGTTGTGGCTGAAGCGCGTCTTCTCTTCCAAATCAGGGGCGTGGGTCAGCTCCTCCTCGTCCAGGGCCGGGTTCTCGGCCTTGACCTTCGAGAAGCGCTCCTCGAATCGCTTCGAGAAGCCGTCGGCGAGGTTGTAGAAATCAGAACCGTCCTGGTTGTACTTCTTGCAGTTGTTCCAGATCAGTCGGATGTCGTCCGCGCAGTCGTTCACGCTCTTGTAGCCCTGGCGCTCGATCGTCTGCTTGACCGTCGTCAGGTCCATGGGCTTCGCGATGACTTGGGGATAATCATAAAGGCCCAGGCCCCGCCAGTCCACGGGCTCGCGGAAGGGCACGCTGTCCGGCCTCTGCATGAGCGTGTTGATGATCTTGGTCATCGCGGCCATGCCGTCGGCTTGCGTCATGGTGCTTAGGCGGTCTAGACCGGAAAGCTGCTGGCTCAACGAGTGGTCGGAAAGCTGTTCTGCTCAACGGGTACTCTACGGCAGTATCGCGCCGCGCGGGCTCACGGCGCGCGGGTCACCGGAAAGCTGCTGAGCTCGCTATAGGGCGGCGCGGTGAATCGCTGCCGCTTGTATCAAGGCGAGTGGTTGCGAGAAGCACCTCAGGCCCACGAAAGGGTGAGTGCGGCTTCGCAAGTGCGTGTAAGGCGGCGGGATTTAGGGCGCAGAGGAGGAGGCTAGAGGCTTTTTGTACGGTAGCGCCGGGTTGCGATCTCTCCGTACAGGTCTCCCCGCTCGTCTCGTAGCACTCGTTCCGCGCGAGCTTTCAGTGTGCGGGTTTATGTAAACCCGCACGAAAATAGAAAGAGGAGACAAGTGACTTCGAGGCACAACAAGTTAGATATCTATCACAGAGAGACCAGAGAGCTACCGCGTCGCACAAAGCGCACCGACGCTAGGCGCCGCCGGCGCCCGCGCCGCCTCGAGCCACTTTTTCGCGCCGCGCCGCGCCACGTCGAGATCCGCGGCCGCGGTTTTGGAATCATATCCTACATCATCAAGGTCCGACTCGAGCTGCTGGACCGCGTCCAGCCACTCGTTCCGGAGCAAGTCCAGATAGTCCATGCTCAAAGCCGCCTCCGTCTTCGCGCGTTTGACGAACACGTCGTCGTCCATCGTCGCCTTGGGCTTTGCGAATTGCAATTCCCGGCCGGCGTTGTCCATGTTCTTCCGTAATGCGTTGCCGATCGTCGGGAGCGGTCGCTCGTAGTTCGCGGCGAAGAGCGACTTCGGATAGTATAGTCCGGGAATAAACGGAACTTCTGACGGTGGCACGTTGCCGCCCTTCGTCGGCAGGGATGCGTCGGTGAACGGTGCGCCGCTCAGCACCGTTTGGGCGCAAGCCCTGTCGGACAGCGACAACGCGTCGAGCGTCGCCGCGGCTTGCAAAACGTCGTCGAGCGGTTTTGCGCTGGCAGCGTATGGTTGAGATAGTGCCGCCGCCGCGGCGAAGGCGCCGAGCGCTCGACGTAGCGCTAGAGCGGCCGGCTGCTGAGCTGGGCTTGCACCCAAGCTGCCCAGGGATGCACTACCACGCCGCACCGCTGGTTTCAGGGACGCAGCGCATGTAAATACGACGAATGCTGAGGCTCGAAGCATGCTGGGCTGTATCAAAAAGCCGTGGCAAAACGGTGTAGCTAGCGGACTGTAACACACTAGCAAACACAACAAAAATCGGCCGCAGTCCTGCTGGGCGCGTTATACTTACTGAAACTAACGCTGTGAGCAACACGCGAGCCCATCAATCGCATCCAGGCGAGAAAAGGCCGCTTTGGTAGCTACGAGCAGTCAGCACCATCCCTAAGGTCTAAGCAATAAAGTTCCACAGCCGCCTTCGGCTCCGGACGACCGCGCGGTAGCCCAAATCGATCGCACGCAGCGAAACAAGAAGCAACATGAGGTTCCTCGAGCGTCTAGGCCTGCAGAAGGCCAAGGACCCGCAGGAGGAGATGAAAAAATGGCGCCGCGAATTAAGGAAAGAGCAGCGCGCGATGGACCGCGAGATCTCGAAGCTCGAGCAGATGGAGCGGAAGTCGCGCGACGAGTGCCGGAAATACGGGAAGGAAGGCCGCCAGGACGCGTGCAAGATCGTCGCGCGCGAGATCGTGCGGACGCGCGCGGCGCGGAACCGGATGCTCATGGCGAAGGCCCAGATCAACTCCGTGAACATGCAGCTCCAGACGCAGGCGGCCATGGTGCGCGCCGCGGGCTGCATGAAGAAGTCGACGGAGGTGATGCGCTGCATGAACAAATTGGTCAAGCTGCCGGAGCTCCAGAAGACGATGATGGAGATGCAGCGCGAGATGGAGCGGAGCGGGTTGATCGAGGAGGTGGTCGGCGACGCGCTCGACGAGCTCGACGGCGACGACGTCGAGGAGGAGACCGAGCTGCAGGTCAACAAGGTCGTCGAGGAGCTGGCCGGCGACCTCTTCAAGGGCCAGACCGACGCGCCGGAGACGCTGCCCGAACAGCAGGCCGTGGAGCCCGCGGAAGCCGACGACGACCTGGACACGATGAAGGCGCGGCTCCAGGCATTGTGATATGTAATCGTTTTTCGGATTTTTTGGAGTAGAGCTATTTTACACGGTAGGGGAACGGGGTCGCGGACAGGAGCTAGAGAAAGCTCGTCAGATGCGAGAGGCAGAAGCAATCGGGCTCGAAGGTGCAATCCTTCATCGGCACGCAGGGCCCCGTGGCGTACGGGTCGTCTAAGGCGTGCGTCAGATCCGGGATCGTGCAGTCCGGGTCCGTGTAGTATCTGTAGTGGACGACCTTCGTGTCCGGATCCGCGTCGAAGATCCAATACTGCTGCGGCCGGTACGGGTCGATAGACGAGAACGGGTCTATCACGCAGGTCTGCCACGGGTTCGGAAAGCTGAACTGCTCGAAGAGGTAGCCCTGGTCCCCGACGCGGGAACATGAGCCGCACGCCTTACCGTCTTCCGGGAAGCACGCGAAAGTGCCCTTATCGGTGATCTTGTAGAACCGCGGACAAATCGTTGGAGAAGGACAAAGCGGACTTGGCGGGCAGTTGGCGGGAGGGGCGTCCATGCAGTTGTCACAGCGGTTCTCGTAGCACGTCCCGTCGCACTTCGCGAACGGGCCGAACGCGCCGCCGAGCGTCAGGCACAGCGCCGCGACGACGCTGGACAATGAGTGAGCCATTGGTGTGGGACCTGAGTAAGCTTTGTAAGCCGATGAGGCACAGTGACTCGTGTGGCCAGGAGTTTGGTCCACTGGGTTTCGAGCAGTGAGTGCTGCTCAAGATAGACTCGGCGTCTCGGAATCGACGGAATCGAGAGAGTATCGGTAAACCGATTGCAGGAGACTCCCAAGCAGACGCGAAACGCCCTTGAAAACCCGTCTCCTACTGAGACACAATAGATACTAGCTCCCCCGTCAACCCTTGCGCGCGCCCCCGCAACCCGAATTGACTATAGCTATTTGCATAGATACAAGCATAAACTAGTTACGACGTCGCCACCGAGGGCAACGAAGAATCAAGAACCCCCTGAACCGCCTTCCGCGGCCCGCGCAAGCGCAGCGCAGAACCGACGCGGTCCACGACGACGCCCACGAAGTTCCCCACGGAGCCGACACGGCCGGACCGCGCCGAGATCTGCACCGTCACCACCTCGTTGTCCCCACACCCATCGACCGTCCCGAGCCCGCCGGCGACGCTGACGCCGCTGATCAACGCGCGGCCGTCCTCGGCTACATCCACCACGCCGCCCGAGGCCGCCACAGAAAGCGCGCCTGGCCGCGGTGGCCGCGCGGAAATTTGCACGGTCCGCGTCGCCCGCTGCCCGCCCGCGTCTTCGACGGAGACGGTCAGCGCGCCCGCCCTGGCTTTGTCGGCCGCGGCGTCGTCGCGCGCGCGCCAGCAGTCGTCGGCGACGGCCACGACGCGCAGCGCGTCCAGAGCCTTCATCGCGTCGGACGGACTCGCCGCGAAGGAAAACGATCTGCCGCTCCTTGTCCCATTCCCAAAATGCAAAGCGCCGCAGGCGTCCCGCCGGCAGCCCTCCTCGACGCTCAGGAAGAGCGCCACGTCGCCCGCGACCTCCACGGCCACGCTGACAAAGTCCGCCTCGTCCTCGACGCTCCAGGCGCCCTTGGCGAACGCGGGACCAGTCGTCGACGCCGCCTCGGCCGCGACGACGTCCGTAGAAGCGCCGGCGCGCGCGACGACCGCGTCCACTATTAAGGTGTCGTCGAAGACATCCACACTTACAGTAGGCGCGTCATCCCTTGATTCAATACGGAACCACCACTCCGTTTCGAGCACGCCCGTCGCGTCGCCGCCCGTCGCCTCGACGGCGACCGTCATGGACACCATGCCGTCGACGTCGCGCGGCGGCTCGTAGACGAGCAGCCCGAGCGCCTTCTCGAGTGCGCCGGCCGTTTCCGCCTCTATCCGCATCGCACCCTTCGCAAGATCATCGAAGCTAGCGAAGCTCAAATCGACGGCGTCCGCCGGGCGTACGCGGCCGCTCTCGGGCGCAACGACGGCCACAAACCGCGCTTGCCTCCCACAGGGCGCGTCGAGCGAGAAGTCCAGCGACACCACAGCGCCCTCCGTCACTACCTTAGCCTCGAGAGCTGCCCCCACGGCGTCTGGGCGCACGAGCGCCGCGAACTTTCGCTGCGCCTTGAGAAGCATGCGGGCGGCGCAAGAGGCCGCGCCCGTGACGCTGATGGAGACTGTCTGTGTCACTGACGAAGCATTGTCGGCCGCCGTCAGCGTGACGACGTCATCGACGTCGTCGGCGGGCGGTTCGTACTCCACGTAATTTAGCGCATTGTTCCATGCCTCAACGGCGCCGCGCGCCTCGAGTTTTGCGTGCTGGCCGTCGCCGTCGCCCGCACTCCACCGAGCAAGCGTTCGCCTTGCCGCCCGCGCCATGGTCAGCGTGCCGCGCGCGGCCGCCAGCGTGAGCAGCAACGTGTCATCGTCCACGTCACTCACAACGAACCCGTTGAGCAGGACCCGCCGCCGCGGCAGCTCCAGGTGCTCGCCTAATGGCCCCGCGTCGATCGAGGGCGCGTCGTTGACGGCCTCGAGCAAGAACGCGCGCGACACGCTGTTGCCCTCGGCCACCGAGAGCACCGCGACATCAACACCATCAACATCAGCACCCGGTATCAGTGAAGTATTCCGCAGCACCCTCTGAATGCTCGGACCAACGCCGCGCAGGCGCACCGAGTTTGCCGCCAAGACGGCCTCGACGCCGTCGTGCGTGGGCACCAGGAACGCACAAGGTCCCCGCTCGCACGCCGCCTCGACGGCCACGACGCCAGCCGCCTCCACCTCGACGCCGCCGAACAGACCCGCGACCACCTCATCCTCACGACCCGCCACGACCTCTGCAGCGGCGAGGCGCAGCTTGGGCGCCTTGACCTTGGGCCGGACCACCACCTCGATAACCTCCGCGTTGCCGCCCTCGACGCGCGCCGTGATTCTTTTAAAAGTTGCCGCGCCCGCGCGCTTGCGCGACACGACGACGGCCGCGCCGCCCGTCGCCGTCGCTCGCAGCAACGGTTGGGGCCCGAGGTGGTCGAATTCCACAGCCCAGGCACGGCCGCCGTCGCGGCGCGCGGCTTCGTCGTCCCGGGCCACGCGCACGCCCGTGACCGTCGGCAGCGCGCCGAGCGCCGCTTCAATAACAGAAGCGCTCGCATCCGCGCGCAGCGGCGGCGTCGAGGCGCCCGCGAAGGCCAGCGTCAGCTCGCTGGCGGCGGCGACGCTCCGGCGCGTCGTCCGCACGGACACGTCGCTCGTCGCGTCGGCGGCCATGGCGAGGTTGCACTCTCCCGCCCCGCACGACGCCGCGAACTTTTGTTTCACGGTCATGCCAACTGGTTTATTGCTCCCGTCCCGCACTACGGCGGGCGCCCGGAAGCTTGATGGTGCGCCGGCGACGGTCACCTCCCAGTCGTAGCCGCACGCGTGCTGGAGGCCGCGCCGCACGCACGCGTCCATGTCGACGGGGGCCCGAATAACGCTCACGCCGAGCACCTGCCCGAAGAAGCTCGTCACATTCGGCTTCGCCACGAGCCAGTCGTCGAACTCGGCCTGGGCGCCGGCCACGGTCAACGCGTCGCGCGCGCAGGCATCGAACCCCTCGCGCAGCTTGCCCTCGAACGAGACGTTGTGCTTGTTGCCGCCATCGCCTCTTCTGATATCCTCCGCGTCCCCGCCGGCGTCCCGCGCGGCGCCCGCACCGCGCGCCGCGGCGTCCGCGTCGATAGTAATGTCGACGGTCCGGTTCGCGAGGCGCCGCTCGACGCGCGCGTAGACGCCGGCGAGGCCCATCGACGCGTTCGGGTGCACGGGATCGAAGCGGCTGCCGTTCTTGGTTCCATGATGAAGGATGATGGCCTCCTTCACGTCGTCGATCAGGTAGTCGCAGTTCAAACGAAGCGTGAAGGTCCCGTCAACCAACGCGTTGCCCGTGGCCCAGGTCCGCACGGCAAACATAAAAAGGGAGGGCGGCGCGTAGGCCCGGACCACCTGCACTTCCCTGGCGAGGCGGTCGGAATGATATGAAGGAGGCGCCTCGTAGGTCAACGTCGCCAGGGCGGCGTTGACTCGGTCGGAGGGCCCATTGATAGATACGCTCGGGCCGTCCTCGGCCACGGCGGCGCCTCGCACGGGCGCTACTGATAAAATACCGCCGTCCGCCTCGAGGGTGACGGCCGCCCGCGTCCCACGCGTTGCGATGCCGTCGATGGGCGCGCGGCGCCCCTCGTCAGCGAACGCGACCGCGGGCGCCTCGAGCGACGGCGGCGTCGCCGTCGCCTCGACGAACACGCGCCCCTCGACTTTTGAGGAGGCTTCACCGCTCGTCACCTCGTAGGCGACGCGCCCGAGGCCGCCTTTCACCGAAGCGACCTCGGGGACGTACGTCGCCTTCGAGAGGACGGCCGCGACGGCGTCCGGCGCGCCCGTCACGACGGCATGATCAACGAGCCGGCGCACGTTGACCGTGGGATCGATACAATCCGCGCAGCCGGCCCAGGTACTTTCGGTGCACGTCGCGCAGTCGACGCTACTTTTGAGTTGATCCGCGTCTACCGCGAGGGCCACGCCGTCGTCGAGGCCGTCGACGACCCAGTACGACGCGTTTCTCATGGAGACGGTCGCCGCCGCGCAGCCGGGCAGCCTTCTCAGAGACGCCTCCAGGGCCACGGGCCCCACGTCCACCCTGAGGTCCGACGTCGCGGCGCCGCGCCGGAACGGCGGCGTCGCCCGCAGGCGGAACGAGCCCCAGACCGACGCTGCGCCGCGTCGCACCTCAGTGATCGTGACGGAGGCGGGCCGGCCGTACGGCGGCTCCACTAAGGACGAAAACGCCTCGCCGACGCGCAGGTGGCACTCCTCCGCGCCGGAGTCGCCACAGGTCGCCGACGGGTTCGAGAGGAGGGGCAGGTCGCCGCCGCCCGCCGCAAAGGTCACGCGCCAGCGGTAGCTGTTCGTACCAAGCGCGACGCGCGTCACGGTCACGTTCGTGCCGAGCGCGTTGAGCGCGTCCTCCATCTGTCGCGCCGAGGCGTCGTGCGGCAGCGGAATCGTCGCGGCGCCCCGGAACCCCAGGCGGAAGACGCCGTGGATTCCTGAAGTGTCCATCACGGTCGGTTGCTGCGAAGGCACGCCCGTTCCGTAGGTCGGCGCCTCCGTTTCGAACGTCGGCGCCTCCGTCTCGAAGGTGGGCGCCTCGGTCGGGGTCGCGGACGTTTCGACGGTCTGGACCTCGGCCACGAGCGGCGCGAGGCCCCGGAGCTCCTCCGTAATCGTCACAAAGGTGCCGTTCGTGAGGCCCGGCCCGCGGTTCCACGGATTCAGGGACGTGTATGTCGTCCGCGCCGCGAAGGGCTCGACGTCGCCCGCCAGGCCCGGCACGCGGATCCGCGTCTCGGCCGGCGCGCGCAGGCCCCAGCCCCCGTAGAGCGTCGCGTTCTGGGCCTTGGTGCATTCATTTGTGAGACAGTTGATGGGGCCGGCGCAGAGCCGATCGCCCCCCTCGACAGCGACGCCGTCCTTAGTGTCAATGACGCCCTCGCCCACGAGCCAACCCTGGAGGATTTCCAGGAGCGTCGACCCGTCGCCCCGGCAGGCAGGTAGGGTTCCCAGGCAGGCCGGGAGTACGGCCGGCGTCGGCGCCGCGCCCAACTTGATGGGAGGGCTCTCGAGGCCCTGGAACGTCAACGTGAAGGTCTCATCCTCAGAGTCCGCGTGCGACCGCGCACACCTTAGGAGCTGCACTTCCGTGATAGGATCGGGTACGCGCGCGTCGACGGCGACGGCGTAGGCCCGTTGCGGCCAACCGTCACTTGCCGTGAGCACGACGTCGACGCCCTTCCGCAGGCCCCGCGTGCTCTCGACAGCTACCACGGGGCGCTCGCCATCCCCACCGCCTATTTCGACCACATACCCCGCCAGCGTCGCGGCCCGTAGCTTCGGAGCCGTTTCGACCGTCGCGTTGAACGAGGCAATCCCGGCCGCCTCCGCCGCGGCCGCGAGCGCCGCCGCCACGTCCGCCGGCGCCGCCGACGCCGAGATGGGCTGCGTCGCCGCGCTGAACCCGTCCTGGGCCATGCCCTGGGACACGCGCAGGGCATAGACGCCCACGTCGCGCGGCGCCCGGCCCCGCGTGTCGAGGCGCGCGACGGCCCGGCCGCCCTCTAACCTCGTTTCGTCGACGCCTATGGGTCCGACGGCCCCGAAGCGGCTCGCGAAGGTCAGGCTCCACGCCGCCGCGCCCTCGGCCGTCCGCGACAGCCTTTCCACTTTGATGCCGCCGCGCGTCGAGGGGTCCAGCGCCTCGAGGGCGCTCTTGAGGTGGCCGGCCGGCGCGCGCGTCGCCGACACATAGGAAGTGGTGCGGTCGCCCCAGCGCAGCGCGAGCTCGCCCCCGAGCGGTATTGAGGCCTCCTGCGTCTTCACGACGACGGCCCGCTCGACGCCGGCCTCCGCGGCGATGCGCGCGTCCCAGGCGGGCCGGAGTTTCTGGCAGCACAGCGTGTTCGTCGCGCTGACGTTCTTGTAGCGCTCGTGGTAGAAGGGGCCCACGGCGTCCCTCGGGGCACCTTTCGTAGCGTATTCGCACTCGGGGCACCGTTCGTAGCCCTCTTCCGAAGCCCCCTCGGTGTGCTTGACCACGAGCAGCGGCGCGCGCCCCTCGACGGTCCAGAACGTGACCTGCCAGGCGTTCTCCACGGCGTAGAAGTCGCAGTCCACGTCCAGCTCCGTCGGTAGAGGCGAAGGGAGCTGCGTGGGCAGCGACGTGGGCGTCTCCGACGGGCCCGGGGTCGGCTGGAGCGTGCGGTACGTCGGCGCTTGAGAGTGCGACGGTTTCTGGGAGGGCTTGGCCGACGGTTCCAGCGTGTTGAACGTGGGCGCCGCCGTCAGCGTCGGCGCGTCCGTGTTCTCGCGCGCGGTGCACCAGAAGTAGTTCGCGAGGGGTATGCGCGCGTCGCGCGCGATGCGCTGGACGTCGACCAATCCCACGCCGGGCAGCTGCTCGAGCGCGTCCCGCACTTCGTAGATCGTCGCGTTGTATTGTAAAGGCCGCGTCTCGAAGTCGCCGTCCGCATACGTCGGTTTATCGTACCGCGTCGGCGACCGGTACGTGAGCGTAAAGGTGCCGCCCTCAAACGTGTGGTTCGCGCGGATGGAGATGCGCTGGACGTCGGGCGTCGTCGTGGCTTTTTGGATCTCGGCGACGCGCGCGGTGCAACTCGACGCCCGCGACACGCCCTCGACCAGGGTCCCGTCCTCGACCGTCGGCCCGCAGCGGTCCACGGAGATGTCCAAGAGAGGGAGAGGCTCGTTCTGGAAGGTCGTCACCTCGATCTCGGCGGCGCCGAAGCCCGGTTTCGACGCCCCGAAGAACTCGACGGAAACGTCCACGCGGCCTAATGTAACAACCTCGCCCAGCGCGTCCAACAGGTTCGTCCGGGCCGCCTCAGCAGTACTACCGAGCTCGAAGAACGCGGCGCTCGTCCGGTTGCGGTGCGTCAAACCAATCTCGAGCGCGACCGTCCCGAGGGCCTCGGCGGCGTCGCCCGACGCCGCCGCCTCGACCTTGATGCGCTGGCGGCCGAACACATGGTCGGCCCTCGTCGAGACGGTCCAGACCTCGGCAACGCCCTCCATCTGCGCGGCGGGGCCGCTCTCGACGTCGAGCCGGAACTTGACAGGCGGCTCCCGGAACCTGACCCGGTCCTCGCCGAGGGCCACGCGCCCGTTCGTGGCCTGGACCTCCAGCCGCACCGCGCCTTCCGCGCTTGTCGCGAGGGTCCCGTTCGCGTAGAGTCGCGGCGCGACCGACACGACGTCCGCCGTCGTCGCGTTGACCTGGCCCGGCGCCCAGGCCAGGCCCACGCGCGACCCCGCGGCGCGCACGGACAGCTGGGCCTCCGCAATACCCTCGGGGCCGGCGCCGCAGCCGCCGCCGTCGCGCGCCGTGACGTTCAGAGTCGAGACGCCCGGCGCCGCGGGCCGGAACTCGAGCGCGGCCCGCAAGGCTCGCTCGACGGCCCGCGGCGGGCCGCGCAGGCTCACCTCGGTGGAGGGCGTCGCCAGGACTTCGACGCCCGTCGCCGCCGGCGACAGGCGCAGCGCACCTTTTTTGGATGCGACGCGCACGTCGAGGAGGCCCGCGTCCGCGTCGCTCACCGATATGCCTGCCCCGACGCGCGACCAGGGCGCGGCCCCGTCCGCGTCCGCGGCGACCGCCGTCGTGGCGCCGTCTATTGTTAAGATGGGCGGGTCGTTCTGCGGCAGGACGTTCAGGCGGAGCGTCTTCGAGGTCCAGCCCATATCGCCCGACGAACGCACTTTCAAAGCGAAGGACGGCGGGTCCTCCCGCAGACTGCGGCAGAACCGTTTGATGGCGTCGGACCGCGCGTCCTCGAAGGTCTCCGCGCCCCAGCCGCCGTAAAAATTGTGAGGGGGCGTGAACGCGACGCGCGCGAGCGCGGCCGCGGCGGCTTTTGAGTTAGAGGCCTCGAACCCCAGCGCCGCGCCTTCACTCCAAACCCGGACGTCGTCGCCGGCCTCGAGCTCAAAAATGCCGCCGCACGACGCCTCGACCGAAACGTTGAGCGCGCCGGCGCCTTCCAGCTGGAGTGGAGGCAGCGTTCCCGTCGTATCTTCAAGCAGCTCCATGAACACGTCGCCCTCGTGCGAAACGGTTGATGATGAAGACGCCGCGGCCGTGATCCGGACGTCCGCCGACGCGGACGCGCAGCGCCCCTCGCCGTCTCGGACGATGACTCGGACATCATCCATGCCCACGGACGATGGCGGCGCGTAGGTCACCGCCGCGAGCGCCCGCCGCAGCCGCGCCGCGTCGCCCGCGAGGCGCACCTGTGAACCATTAACGGGTTCGCCGCCGCACTGTGGCAGCGCGGTCCAGGCCGCATCCGGGCCGTCGATCACGGTCGCGCCGGCCGCCACGGCGGCGTGGTTTGACAAGGAGACGGTGCCGTTCGATGCGACGACGACAACTTCGAGCTCGTCGTCGCGGTCGGCGTCGGCCACCTCTATATGCAGTGAGACGGGCGCAACGCCCGCGACCGTCATCTCGGCGTCCATCGTTACAATAGGCGCGTCGCCGACGGGCGTGACCTGGACGACGGTGCGCGCGGCCTCGCCCCAGACGCCCTCCGACAGCGCGACGGCCGCCTCGACAACATCGACGCCGACGAAGTCCGGCGGCGGGACGTACTCCAAGGTAGAGAGCGCCGCTCGCACGGCATCAATAGTTCCCTTGACGATGGTCTCGGTCATCGTTCCGTGGGCCGCGGTCACCCGGACGGCGACGGGCAGCGCGTAACCTACATCGACCAACTCGAACAGCGCCGTCACGTTGGCCGGCGTGTCCTCGGCGAGACGCGTCGCACCGTCGTGCTTCGCTTTCATGCGCGGGGGCGGCGCCGCGGCGCGCACGTCAATAGATGCCTCGACGTCGCCGACCGCGGCCGACACCTTCGAGGGGCCCGCCGTCGCCGGTGCGAACTTCAGAGTAGAGAGCGTCGCCGCGACGGCCGCGGGCATCCCCGCGATGCGCGTCGCGTTCTCGGTGACGCGCGCGCCGGCGTGCGGCGACACGCTCAGGACGCCGTCGCCGGCCAAAGCGACCTCGACGAACTCGCCGCCGCCGCGCAGCGTGAAGTCCAGCGCCACCGCCACGCCGACGTCCGTGGTGACGGATGCCACCGCCGCCTCGATTGAAAAAGGCGCGCCCGTTTGCGGCGCGTACCGCGCGGCGGCCTCGACCCAGGTTACTGAATCGAGCGACGCCCGCAGGAGGGCCACGCCCGTACTCTCGCCGGGCGGGACGTAGCGTAATGAGCCCAGGTCCGTGGACGTCGCCCCGGCGCCTTTAGCTCCGGGGCCCTCGAACGTCCCCGCCGACGCCTCGAGGTGCACGACGGTTCCTTGTGATACGGTGAACGTCGTGGCCAGCGACCCCGTGAAGGCGGGCGCCGCCTCAAGACGGCGCTTGGCTGGCGACGACCGCCGGTTCGCCGTCACGACGAAGCGCTTTGTTTTAGCTACCGCCTCGGAGTCTGCTGCCGCGACCTCAACCACAAAACGGCCCTCTTTGGCGGGCACAGCCGAAACTTTTGTGGAGGAGAGGCTCGCGGGGTGGCCCGCGACCACGACGCTCTCGTCGTCGCGCGTCACGTGCACGGCGAGACCGCGCGCGTCGACCTCGAGGGAAGCAGCATCCGGGGGCACGACGGTGTACGTCGCTTTAATGATAGCGTCGCCGCAGCCGTTCGCGTCGTTATCTGAGAACGTCGCTGCAACGACGACGGCGTCGCCGACGCTCGCCGTGGCGTCGGACGCCTCCAACGTTACCAAAGGGGCGTCGTTCGCGGCTTCAAGGGAGACGGCGACCGTCGCGTTGCGCGCGCGCAGGCCCTCGCCATCCGAAGCGGCGTAGGTCACGACGTCGGCGCCGCACCACGCGGCGGGGTAGGCCACCGACACACGGTCGAGCACTTCTGTGAGGAGCGCGGGCGTGCCCGTCAGCCGCAGCACGTTGTCTTCATTCAGTACCTCGACGCCCTCCGTGTCTACGACCAGGAAGCGCGCGTTTGATTGCATGGCGTGGAGCACCACGTGCACCGTTTGAGAGAAGGCCGCGGCCTCATGATCATCGACGACGCACCGCGGCAGCGCCACGCGGTCCCCCTCCGTCGCTTTTATAGATGACCGCTCCAACGTGAGTACGGGCCGCCCATTAATTTGATCCGGGCGCCGGACCACAACTTCATCAACGGAAAAGAGCCCCTCGGCCAGCTGGCCGTCGACGTCGGCGGCCCGTATCGCAATCAAGTCATCTTCCGACGTCGCGCGCGGATAGACGTAGTCGATGCGCCGCAGCGCGTCCGAGACGCGGTCCGCGGCGCCCAGGATTATTAACCCCGCGCCCTCTTCTATCGTCACGCCAGCGAGCGCCGGCCGCTTGAGCGTCAAAGAGCCGAGCTTCGGGGTCAGGGCGACGCGGACGAGGCCGCCGTCGTCGACGTCCTCCACAGAAATCGCGTCGTCGAGGCGCGTCGACGGCGTTGAAGCTTGAAAGTTGTTTGTCGTGATCCGCGGCGCGTCGTCCACAGCGTCGATCGTCACCAGCAGCGAGCGCGCGCTGATGTAGTTGCCCTTGAGGTCTTTAAGGGTTGCATTCACGAGGTCCGTGCCGTGCCAGTCCTCCGGGGGCGCGTAACGTAAAGCTTTTAACCCCGTATTGAGGTCCGCCGCGCTCGCGCGGAGCGTGACGTACTCGTCATCGACAACGTCGACGCCGGGCGGTTTATTGACAACCGTCAGGGACCCGACGCCCGCTTCAATAACGACCTCGAGGCCCGCGGTCGGGTCGCCGCCGGCCCGGAGGCGCAGGTCCAACGCGAGACTCTCGTCCTCGCTTCCAACAACCACCGCGGCGCCGCCGTCGTCGAACGCGTGGGCCGTCGCCTTGGATGACGACGCGTGCGCGACGAGCGTCGCTTTTGACGAGCGGTCCCCGCACGCGACCGTCGCCTCGACCCTTCCCTTTCCCGTGAGGCGGTCGAGGGGCAGCCGCGCCAGGCCGCCTTTTAGTAAGAGGCCGGCCTCGGTTTTGGATTGGTAAACGCCGGGCACGGCGGGCGCCTCGACGTCGCCCTTCAAAAGAACCTCGAAGAGGCCGTCGGCGTCGTCGGCGTCGTCGATCATCAGAGGAGGCAGGAAGTCCCCGGGCACGGCCTCGCCCCACGCAACCACCAAAGGGTCGGCGACGGCGCGCACGACGCACGGGAGCGGTGTTGTTGTGACACCATCAAGACTGAGGTCGACGTACGCGGTGCCGTGCCTATCAGCAGCCGGCGCGAAGACCAACGACGTGAGCACGTCGTTGACCATCGTCGCGTTGCCGCGGACCCAGACGCCGCGCCGCGTCCGCTTATGTATGTTCCCGTGTTCCTCGCGGCCGAAGTCCACGACACCCAGCCGGTTCCCGGTCACCTCGACCTCGTGAATAGTGCTTCCTTTCGCGACGAGTGTGATGGCGAAGGTCGCGTTCGTGTCCTCCTCCGTTTTGATGGCTCCATTGGTCTTCAAGTGCGCGATGACGATCGGCTCGTCGCGGACGAGCGTGACGGCCTCCTCCTTCTCCTCAATTTCTATATTGACCGACGTTTCATCCCCGTCAATGCTCACGCGGATCACACCCGCGTCGCCGTCGTACGTCGTCGCGGCGAGCGTGCTGGCGACGGCTCCCGGCCCCGCGTCGAACGCGACCTCTGTGCCACTGCGGGTGCGCACGTAGGCCCCGGGCGGCGCCTCCGGCAGCGTCAATGCGCCATTATCGGCCACAACTTTAACTTGCAGGACCGCGTCCGCGTCGCCCTCGACCGTGGCGCGCAGCACTTTTGTGGGCTCGCCCCTTCTCGCTTTGATAGCTTGTAAACTGAGGACCGGCTTGGCGTCGTCTCTTCGCACGCGCAGCGCGATCGTCATGCTCGTCTGGGCCTCGCGGTCGTCTGCTGTTACACTGACGGTCGCGAGGCCGTCGTATCCCGGGGGCGGCACGTACGTTAAACTGAGGAGCCTCTCGGCGAGCCTATCAGAGGACCCCGACGCCTCCAGCACCGAAGCCGCGTCGCCGCCCGCCCACCGCAGCGCGCCGTGCGACGCCCGGAGGGTCAAGGAAAGCACGTCGCTGTCCGGATCCACCATGGAGATTGGTAAAGGCTCCTCGCCGCGGACCTCGAGCATCGCCGGCGCGTTGATGATGGGTGCGTCGTTCACGTTTTTTATGGTGATTGGAATAGCGACCGTGGCGTTGCGCGGCCCGCCCACGCCGGAGTACCCGAGGTCGTCGACCGTGCATCGTATTGTTGCATCTCCGCCCCGCCCTTTCGAAGGCGCCGTGTAGACTAATGGCTGGAGCGCCTTCCGCACGAAGGCCTGGGGCCCGCGGAACGCGACGCCGTCGGCGGCGTCCCTGAAACGGAGGCCCGCTTTGCTTGAGACGTCGAGGCGGCCGCCCGCACAAACGACGTCGAGCTGCCCCGCGTAGTCCTCGTCGACGTCGGCGTCGCTTACATCAATATTCAGGTCAAAGCGTTCGCCCTCGTCCACCGCTACCTTCGGCCCGGAGTAGCTTATGCTGGGTGGCTGGTTTGGGCTTTTAGTGGTCGCGTAGCGCGGAAGCTCCTCCGCTGCGAGCGCTACTGCGACGAATGCTGCTAGTCGCATCATTGTAACTGCATCTCTTTCATCGTTCCATCATGCTTTGCGATTGGCTGGGCTGCCTAGCTAGCGGACCTCCTCCTCTCATGGTTTGTAAAATGGGGGGCTTCCGGGATTTTGCCCGTAGCATCATTCTCCTTGTTTGGCCGAGGCGTGGGGGGGTGGAAGACTCGTGAAAAATGCGGCTAGTGTCATTACCTAGATCATTACTTGTTCCACCACTTTTGCCTGCGCTAGACGTCGCCGCTGCGAACTTCCAGAACACGCAAGCGTGTGTTTCATCGACGCCCGGGTAGTTTCAAGCCTCACCGAAGTCCATATTGTCTCCCAGGCCCTCGCGGCGGAGAAATAGCCCTCAGTGCCCTCAGCCGTGTTTCTGCGTGCAAGAGGCGCCTCGCTGGGTTTTAATCGGTTGAAACACGGTCCTCCTTCCAGACAGATGGCCCTCCGCACGACCCTCGCGCGCCTGGCGCAGCCGCTGCGAGCCCAGAGCGCCGCGTTCAGCGCGATCCCGACGCCGCGGCCGAAGTACACCGAGCGCCAAGAAAAATTAGGAAGGCCCATGAGCCCGCACGTGACGACCTACGCCTTCCCGGCCGTCGCCATCAGCTCGATCACGCAGCGCGTGACGGGCGTCCTCCTGAGCGTCGGCGTCGGCGGCGTCGCCGCGGGCTCGCTCGCCGGCGTCGACATGGCCGCGCTCGCGACGGCGGTGTCGTGCTACCCCGTGAAATTCATCGTCGCCTTCCCGCTGACGTACCACTACGCCGGCGCGCTGCGCCACACGCTCTGGGACCGCAAGCCGGAGACGATGCTCAACAACAAGGACGCCGAGAAGTCGTCGTACCTCGTCATGGGCGGGTCGACCTTGGCCGCCGCCGGGCTGGCGGCGCTGTCGTGGTAGGACTCCTCTAAGAGTTCGTGTTCAGTTTCGTGCGGGTATAGTAGGGGCAGAAGACTCGACAATATCGCGCTGTAACTGCGCGACTAGACATCGCCGACACGTTGTGCTGCAGGGGAGTATTACTTGTGTCATAGCGCTGCCCCCACAGCATTTTCACGGGTCAATTCGCCCTAGAAGCTTCAAAAAGCTCTCGCAAAGCCCAACAGGCTCTCACCGCTTCTCACAAGGCGCAAAAACAAAATGGCAACAGCCGTCGCCCCGAGAATAGTAGGCCTGGAGGACAACGAGACGACGCTCGACCTGCCCGACTCTCTCAGAAACACGGCCGACGCGAAGCGCTCGTTCCCGGCTTTAAATTACGCCTTCGCGGCGGGCCACGCCATCGCGCTCGAGTCCGACGGCGCCGGCGCGCTGAGCATCCGCGTGACGAACCCCGGCGGGCTCGTGCACTCGCAGCAGCTGACCAAGGGCCCGGCGTCGGTGTTCCTCCAACAAAACGACTTCAACCTCGGCTTCTCGCTCTGCGACCTCAGCAACAAGTACAAGCAGGCCATCTACGGCGTCGAGGACGACGAGCTCGAGGGCTGGATGCCGACGGAGCACTCGCCCTACTTCGCCTTCGAGACAAAGTACACGAAGGCGTCCAAGCGGCTCATGACCGCGAAGACGTCGCTGACGCTCGCGACGGCCGGCTGCGCGCTCGACGGGAAGGCCTTCGAGGCCTCGAGCTTCGTCGACGCGCTCGAGGCCGTCGAGGCTCAGTGCTAGACTGAGGGTTCGCATGAATACTCACTAAGTACCTGTACGCTGATCTTCTCCCCTACGCCGTCGAGCAGACGTTCGATTAAAACAGATTACACTTCTTTCACATGGCGTGGTAGGTGATCAAAGCCGCTCCCGGCTGTCCGCCTCTCGATAAAGCGCGTCCAGGCGGTCGACGCACGCGCGCACCGCGGCCGCGAAGGCCTCGAGGTCCGCCCGGAGCGCCGGGCCGTCTGCCTCATAACCGAGCCGCGTCTCGAAGAGCGTCCGCCGGTCCGGCGTCAGGCGCAGCAGCGCGCGCGCGCCCGACCGCATGATCCAGTTGTGGTGCGGCTCGAGCGTCGTCTTGTACGCGCGGTGCGCCAGCTGCGGCATGGGCGCGTCCGATTTGACGACGTCGCGGATCAGCCGCTCGCAGAGCCGGAGGATGCGCCCGTTCCAGAGGACCGCGACGGAAACGGACGCGTCCTCGTCGTCGGTTCCCGCGCGCCGCTCGGCCCGGACCAGCGTTTCTATCGAGTCCTGCGTCTTCTCGGCGCCGGCGTTCTGCAGCTTGACCACGTTAACGCGCACGAGCGGCGCGAGGCCCAGGTGGAGCGCCTCGAGAAACGGATTGAGAGCGTCGGTCGCGCGCGTGAACTCGGCGCTCCGGAGGCCGTCGGCCGTCGCGGCTTTCCGGAAGAGGTCCGTCGCCGTGCGCAGCGAGCGGTCCGCGTGGAGGACCGGCGTCGGCTTCGCCGAGCGCGTCGCCGCGTAGCCGGCGCCGCCGAGGCACGCCGCCGCGACGAGCACGAGCGCCCAGGACCGCCGGCCCTTGGCGTCGGCCTTGCGGGGCAAACGCGGGCCGGCCTCCTCGTCGGACGACTCGGACGACTCGGACAGCTCCTTGAGGTTGTAGTCGCTGCGCTTGGCTTTTGTCAGAGACGACTCGGACGGCGACCGCGCGTACGTGTCGGCCTCGAAGACGGGCAGGCCGCTCGTGGCGTCTCGCTTCGAGGCTGCGAGCTTGGCGAGGTTCTGCCGGCTCCTTTTCAGGGCTGCTCGCGTTTTTTGGAGGGGGGATTTCATCGCGGCGGCGCGTCTGGGCGATGGTAGCAGCGTGATGTCACAACTTTTTGCTGAGCGATGCAAGCGATTTTAGACAGCGTCAAAGCTCAGCCCGCCCAGTGTAAGGTATTTGTACAGATTCGCGTTGCCGTAGCAGCCGCTGTGTCCTTGGCGCGTAGTCGTGAGCGTTCGACGCAACGCACCGTCCACGCTGGCTGGATGCTCCGTGGCCTTGCCCTAGTTTGGCTAGCCTACATCAATAAACGAAATTGGCCCGGGGAACTCTCCTACGGGCCGGCTGCACCGAGCGGGGTTGGTCGTCTTTCGCTATCTCGTTTTTTGGGGCATTCGCGGGCGTGCGGAGCCGCGACGCGCCGATGCCAGCAAAGGACATACAAACAAGATGAAATTACACTGCGGACTTCGTATGACGCAGCAACCAACCATACAGCTCCGGATCCGAGTAGGCGGGGATCGTCGACGCGTGGCCGACCGAACTTGGCCAGCCGGGCGGCGTCGGGGCTTCGTCGTAGAGAGTCAATCGCGCCTGGTCGGGACTCGCCCCGGCGCGGTGCATCGCGGTGATGAGCCGCTCCGAGATGGCCGCGGGCACGATGACGTCGTTGCGGCCGTGGAACGCCCACACGGGCACCTGCATCAGGTCTCGCGGCCGCGCGCCGCCCGCCGGCGCCACCGCTGCACAGGCGGCGAAGACGCCAGTCGTCGCGGCGTGGAGTGCGCCGGAGCCACCCATGCTGTGACCTGTCACGTAGAGCCGCGACGCGTCCAGCGACAGCCGCCCCTGCAGGAATTTGACGAATGCCGCGACTTCGTCGGGAGCCCAGCCGCGACTCGTCTGTGGGGCAACCACGACGAATTGCGTCGACAGCGCTTCGATGGCGTTACCCTTCTCCAGCGCCACCGGAGGCGTGCCGGTGGCGCCTTCCGATATGAGATCGGCCACGTTGCTGCCGGATTCGCCGGCGCCGTGCAGGTACAGTAGCAGAGGCCACGGGCCGCTCCCCTGCGGTTCGTACAGCAGCGCTTCGTAGGTCTGCGGGTCTTTGATCTCCTTGAGATGCTGCCAGGCCATGGTCGGTGGTGCCAGGAGGCAGAACAGCGCGCAGGGTCGCATCGATGGCGGCGAGACTGCCACTTTATAAACTCACAGCATCACACGCTGTCGAGCACAGCGCTGTCGAGCGGCAGAGCAGTCGAGCTAGAGTCGCAGGGGCTCTAGAAACGGCACGCAGTCCTAGTCTACTAAAGATAGGGTTGTTTTTTATTCTTAGTCTGGGGGAAGGGGTACACACAAGAGGGAGACGGGGAAACGCGACAGCGCGGCGGGCCGACATCCGAGTTCACGGCTGCCGGGCCTGCGAGAGAAGCGCGTTCTCAGAAACTCTCGTGCGGACAGAACGAGCGAAAGAGATCGAGCGACCGGACGCCAAGCGATTTGGCGAGGGACGAGTGCTCGTCGCGACGCGTGAGCTTCGGCGTCCGATCTTGTCTCTCCGCGCGCCGCCGAAGCGACTGCAAGCGGCGCTTCGTTTTTTTTGCGCTAGCGGCCTTGGTCGGCGGCTTCGCTGATGGCTTTGGCTTCTGGTTTTCTTTCCTCCGGGCCCGCTTCTTCGACTCGCGCTGCTTGGATGTCATTGTCTTGTGATTGCCTAAGGGCACAAGAGGTACTGCGTGACACACGGTGTTTCCCGGGAGGGGGCAGCCGGGGCCACGCAGTGGAGACGATCGTGCGGCTTTCGTAGTCTGCGGGTCCACGGGCGGCGTGAAAAATGCCATGCGATGCGTTGCACAAAATGTGCTCCAGGAGATTTCCTGTGGGGGCTCTCTCTGCGTTTAAACTTCGCACTAGGCGTTGCACCACTATCGTTTTGGCATGCGACGAAGAAATTGCTCCTTCGCGGCGGGTCCGAAACCCGCCAGCTGCAGACGTCGCGATTTGTGCCGAGCCGAGCGCGGCGTAACTGGCGCGTAAACAAGTCGCATCTTGGATTTGGACGGCCCAGGGTCTGGTTTCGACTCCTTCAACAGCTGTGGCAATACCAAGACGCTTACCCTAACAAACAGGCTGACTCGGTAGGCTGGCCTCGCAGAGCAAGCGCAGCGCACGTGAATAGATGCGATCAAAGATGCCGATGGAGATGGACGATGGTCCGGTGGACGGATTCTGCGGCGATGCGACGGGCGCCATGTACATGAACGGTTTCCAGAGCGCCTTCAGTCGACAAAGCACGTGCCTCGCTCTTTACATTAACGCATTCAAACTCGACACGGCGGCCAAATTTATCGTCGCGTGCCTCGGTGTCGTCGCGTTAGGCGTCGGCGCGGAAGCGCTCGTCGCCGTCCGACGGTCACGCGCCGAGAAGGGCCTCGCGGGCCGCTGCGAGGCTGCTATGGGCTATGGGCTCCAGCTGGCGCTCGGCTACCTTTTGATGCTCGCGGCGATGACCTACGCCGTCGAATTATTCATATCCGCGATTACCGGCGTCGCCCTGGGGCACGCCCTCTTCCGCACCGACCGCGCCGCCGCGCCGCCGTGCTGCGCTCCAGAACGCGCTGGTGTCGAGGCGCCCCTCGAGGCGTCGCTCCTCGACGGGTCGGGCCTCGCGTGAGTCGCCCGGGAATGTGCAAAGATATAGTGTATAAGATGTATTAGAAAGATGTATTTACAAGATCACAACAAACGCTCGAGCTCCTCCTCCGCCCTCCTCCACGCCGCCTCCGCGGCGACGGCGTCGTAGGCGAACGCGTCCGCCGAATTCAGCGCCTGGGCCGGGTTCGTGAACCCGTGCTTCGCGAAGGGGAAGCAGCTCGCGAACGTCGGCAGGCCGCGCTCCACGAGCGCCGCCACCGTGGCCTCGAACGCCGGCACGAAGGGGTCCGCGAGCCCGTGGCACAGGAGCAGCCCCGGCGGCGGCTCGTCCGTCTGGAGCGCCTCCCGGAGACACTCGGCGTCGAAGACGCCGTGGAACGACACCGCCGCCCGCAGGCCCGCGGGGCGCATCGACGCGAGCGTGACGGCCGCCCGCCCACCCAAGCACCAGCCCAGGGCGCCGCAGCGCGCCGCGTCGACGTCCGGCCGCGCCTGCGCGCACCGCAGCGCCGCGAGCGCGCGCTCCGCGAGGACGGCCGGGTCCTTCAGCTGTTCGCGCGGCCCCGCGGCCCAGGCCGCGTCCCAGCCGCTGCCCCACGCGTCGCCGTAGAGGTCCGCGACGACCGCCGTGTAGCCCGCCGCGACGAGGCGCTCGGCCATCCACTCGACGAAGCGGTCGCGCGGGCCCGCGGCCGTGTGGAAGAGCACGACGCCCGGTCGCGGCGTCGCGTCGGCGGCCGTAAACGCGGCGCCGTAGAACGTCGCCGTCCGGTCGTCGGCGCCGTCGACTGCGTACGTGAACCGCTCGACGCGCGGCGCCGGCCGGCCCGCGAGGCGCGGGTCGCTCGCGCGTGATTCCTCCAGCAAAGCCGCCCACTCGTCGTCGCGCGCGTCGCGCGGCGCGTCGCGATGCGCGGGCGGCTTGTCGGGCCAGGCGTTGTGGCGGCGCGTCGCTGTCCGACTCATTCTAGTTCGCGGCGAAAGGTATGCCGTAGCGCGGAGGAGCAATGCAAGGCGTATAACAGTGCGCCGCGCCATCGCTGTGCCTGGAGAGCGCTGCAGCAGTGCTGCCAGCTAGGGGCCTGCTCTGTGCGCAGCCGCTGTCGCGCCGGGGATCAAGGCGACGGCTGGCACTAACCAAGAAGTGTTCAATTAGCAAATTGCGGCCCGTGTAGGCACACAGCGACTGCAAAACGCATGCGACTGCAGGGAGGTCGAAACCCGCGAGTTAGACTGCAATCAGCTCCGTACGCGACGCAGCGGCGCACCAGTGGAATTGCAAGCTTCTTACGAAGCACTTTGGCTGTGCTTTTGGCGTGGCGCACAAAGAAATCCGACGAAATGCGTTGCACCACAGCTAGGATCGGGCTAGCCATGCTGCTACTTGCACACGCAGCCAGCGGCGCCTGGCGCCACGCCATCACTGCAATCACCCTCACGAGCACGCTGCGACCAGCCCGAGGCGAGTGGCAAGCGAAAGGCAAGATGGAGTTTCTGTGGGCGACGCCCGTGATGGAGTACGACGGCCTGTTCAACGAGGAGCAGCTCTGCATGTTCGCGAAGGACGTGCTCGAGGCCTGGGACGCCTTCCAGGCGGCGGGCCAGAAGGATCGGGTGACGAACCCGACGGACACGGCCTGGACGCAGGCGGACCTGGATAGGTATAATGAGAAGTTCTTCGCGTGGCAGAGCGTCACGCCGGTGCCCATGCGCACGTTGGAGACGGTCTGGCAGGCCTTTGTGTTTGCGGTCCGCGAATACGTGAAGCAGGCGGAGATGCCTCCTCTATTATATCAGCGGCCGAACGACGCGGGCACCGCGATCGAGTGGACGACGATCGACCAGCACCCGAATGTACAGAGGGGCAACGGCTACTGCTGGGCGGCCGTGCAGGCGAACGCGACGCACCACGACGTGCACACGCACGCCGGCTCGTCCGTGGCCGGCACTTTGTACTTGAGCGTGCCGGGCGACGGCGGCGCGCTGTCGCTCAACGACCCGCGCGGGCCCATGCCGCCCTTCGACGTGACGTACCGCAAGGCGCCGCGCGCGGGGAATTTGGTGATATTTCCCGCGACGCTGCCGCACGGCGTCTTGCCGACCTTTGGCTCGGAGCCGCGCATATCGATCTCTTGCAACCACCCCGGCCACTGGCAGAACTTTACGAACGGGAAAGTGGTCTTCGGCGAAAAAACCTGGGAGACGACGATGCTCACGCCGGAGGAGCATCGGGCGCGCGCGGCCGCGAGTAAGCCGGAATTGTGAGTAGTAGACTAGCTAATACTCGGGGCGGCGGCGTACGAGGGCGGGGGCGGGGCGGGCTACGCAGCGCCCGCGGCGGGTCGCGGCTGCTCTAAGCAAAGCAGACTATCAAGTTACGTCGGGCACCACGAGCCGCCCGAGGTCGTTCGGGTGCGCGTCGGCGGACCGCTGCCATTCCGGCTTCGGCGGCGCCGCGCAGGCCTCAACGGCGCCGACGAGCGCCGCGAGCGCGACTTCTCCGCCGCCGTCGTCGTCCAGATAGATACGCGCCGTCCGGAGCCCGAACGCGGCCGCGACGCCGCGGAGCTGGCGGTCGGCGCTCTTCGACTTTGGCAAAACCTCGACGACGCAGGCGCCCTCGGGGAGCCAGGCCGCGTGCGCGAGACCGGCGCCTGTGCGTAAATCAACCAGTGAATCGGGTGGTGAGACCCCCAGGGGCACGCCATCGAGCCGGCGTCGCGTCGATGGCGTGGAGGTCATGATTCCGTGGCGGAAACGCAAACGCGCCGCGACAATTTGATTTCTGCACAGGGCGACACCGTGGGGCGCCACGAGCAAGCTCGCATCGGCGTGCGCCTGGATCTGTTCGGCGAGCGTCAGGCCCGTCGGGTCCGGCGCGACGCGCGTAACCTCGCACTTTCCGGTTGAGCCGTAGGCCTCGGCGAGCGCCTCGAAATTCGCGATGGCGAACGGCCGCCGGCCCGGCCTCGCGGCCCGCGTCTGGAACACGCACGCGGCGCCCGCCGTCGGCTCGGCAAAGCGCTCGTGCAGCCAGGCGCGGCCCCGCTCGCCGCGCGCCAGGAGTTCCAACAAAGCGTGGGCCTGGTCGCTCCAGTAGTCCATGCGCGGCAGCACTTCGAGCGAAATGTTTTGAGGTGGCGGCTTCCCGGACAGATCCACCAATCGAAAGTCGTCCGTGCCGACCGCCTCGACGAGCGCGCGCCGGAAGCCGCACCGCCGCACGTAGAGCACCGTCGGAGGCGGTCGTCGTCCGACGGCCGCGCAGGCGTCGTCGCGCTCGCTCAGGCGCGCGGCGAGCGGCAGCAGCATGCCAAACGTAAAATGATACCAGTTCTCGTCCGTGTCGCGGTGCTGCGTGCCGGCGTAGAGGTGCAGCGGGCTCCCGTCGCAGGCGCGCCGCTCCCGCCCGGCGAGCGTCGCGCCGTGCTCGGTTCCCGTGAAGAGCAGATGGGGAGGTGGAAACGCCGCCGCCCCTAAATCGGCGTCGAAGCTCAACGTGTGCGACGCGCCGGCGAACGCGCCGGGCCACGCGCCGCGCGCCGGCCACGCGACGAGCCGGTAGCGCTGCTTCAGCGCGGCCGTCAGGTCCCACTCGACGCGCGCCGGCTGGCCTCCGCCGTAGCACCGGCTCGTGCGCCGCTCGGCGCCCGTCATGGACACCCACAAGACGCAGACCTCCAAACCATCGTCGCCGTCCGCCAGCGCGTCCTCGGCCGACGCGTCGACGAGGACTTTTGTGCGCTCGTCGCAGGTCGAGAGCGCCGTCAGCTGCAGGTCTAGAGCTACTCGCGCCGTGCCATTCGTCTCCTGGAGGTGGGCGCCCAGGAAGCTAGCTCTCGCCTCGACGCAGTGGGCATCGTGCAGGACTTGGAGGCCTTGCTGCGCGGCGGTGGCGTGCAAGAGCAGTAGGCAGGCTGCCAGCCCATTCATCGCTCCTATGCGTGGCGGGCAGCCCCCGGACGGGGGAGGCGATGCTTTCCACTACTCGTGAGTGTAGCTCCGCAGCTCCCGGAGCATCGATGCGGCGCTGCAGGGCTCGAGGCTGCCCATCATGTCTAGTATGTTAGTACGCTAGCTGCGCTATAAATCGGCAAAAGCACGCCGCTAAGCGCTGCGTCGATTGAACTAAGCAGAAGCACAGGTCGACACGAGTCTCCCTGGCGACGTCTGCGAAACGAGAACGTCTACGCGCCTGTGTGCAGTGTCAAATAAGCGGGAGAGCTCTGGCTGATTCAGAGGCCAGAATTGAGTCCCGGCCGACCGCGTCAAAAAGAATGATCACAGAAATACCGGAACAGCTCGCCGGCGAGGCGATGGGCTTCCTCGAGCCGCGCGACCTCGGGAGCGCGTGCCACGCGCTCGGCGGCTCACAAGCGCTCGCCGAGACGGCGTGCTGGTGCGCGCTGCGGCGGTCGTGGGACGACATAGAGCTCTACGCAGCCGAAGAAACGTGGCGCTCCCTCTACGCGGCGCAGTTTGCCATGACCAGAATCCTGTCCGAACATATCATGACCGATCAACCTGATAGCCTTCCTACTCTCAGTAACATCGCCCGCTACGTACTCACAGGGCTAAGGCCTCCCTACGAAATGTTAACAGCGGGCCTCGTGTTTGTCGAGCGCGCGCTCGTGGAGATCGCGCCACTGGTGTCGCGTCAGCGCCTCGTCGCCGCGGCCCGACGGCTCGGTCGCGACGGCAAGTGGGAGGTCGCGGCGGAGCTCCTGCGCGCGGCTCTCGCCGACAACGACTACGACGACTCCGTCGTTACCGATGATGAGTCGACCGCCGATGACGCCGCGGCTTCATCGGACCGAGGAGGCCTCCTCCGCCGCGTCGTCGACTGGCTCCGGACGCGGCGCAACCCCAGCCCGACGCCGCCGCCGCGAGAGGCGCCGCGTGTCCGCCGGGACGCCTTGGCGCCGCGCTGGGCCGCGCAGCTGCGCATCGAGACATCGACGTTCCTCGTGGACCGGCTCTACGCCTCTACGTACGTCTATGCTTCCGATGGCGACGGGCAATGTGTTGCGACGGCATTGCGCGAGGGCCGCGCCGCCGTGCGTGCGCTCGTGGCGTTTGACGGAGACGAGAGCGATGCCCCTGCACCCGCCGACGCGCGCTGGGCCGAAGTCAGCCTCCCTCCGCTGCCCTATCAACTCGCCGAAGCGCGCCTCGCTCACGGCCGCGCCGCAGCACTGTGCGCGCAGCACGTGGCTTTGGGCGCGTCCCACTCGAACGAGGACTGGCGCAGAATCTTTCAGGAGGGCTCGGACGCGTTTGAGGCCGTACGCGCTGACGGCGTCGACGCCGAGCAGCGCGCCCGCGCGGCGGCCGGGCTGGCCGAATTGTGGTACTGTCAGGCCTCCGCGGGGTCGCTGCATCTCCGCGACCACGAATCGTTCGAAGCCGTGCAAAGTCTTGCGCGCCGGTCCATCGCGAAGACGCACGAGGCGCTCGCGGAGATCCGAGAGCTAGGCTTGGGCGAGACGCGGCTTGCAGCCACGATGCTGAAAGATCTCGGCAAGGTCCATGGCTTCCTCGCGAGCATCTTCGGCGGGAGCGAGGCGACTAGTCGCCAGTTTTTGGCCGAGGCCCTACGAATCCAGCAGCGGCTCGATCGCCCCGCGGAGTGCGAGACTGAAAATATCCAGCGGCTCATGCGCGACCGGCCGAACAACCGGGCCGATCTAGACGCGGAGATCCTCACCTTGGACGGGGATCAGATCGACGTCGTTCTCCACGACGTCGCCGAGCAGCAACAAAACCAACCCGACGACGACGACGACGACGACGACGACGACACGTAACATGTATTTTCACACATACTTAGGCAACCGCCCCTCACTCCTAGGCCGCGAAGTCCTGGAGGAACGTCTCCGCGACGACGCGCGCCCGCGCGTTCAGCGCGATGCGCATCGCCGAGATCTCCTTGTTGATCTCCTCCATGAAGGTGATCACGAAGTCGACGAGCTTCTCCTTCCACATCCGCTCCAGGTGAGAATGCGTGATGAGGAACGAGATCGAGTAGCCCGGGCACGGCTTCCGCCGCATGATCACGAACTGCTCGGACCGCTGCGCCAGGAAGCGCGTGAACTTGTGGCAGAGGATCTTCTCGATCTCGTCGGCCTGCTTGATCGCGAACGAGACCCTTACCGAGTTTACCGAGCCCTCGATGAGGCACCGCTCCTGGTCCGTGCGCGCGATCGTGATCGGGTTGAGGAGTAGCTCCTTGCTGCCGCGTACCTCGACCTCGGGCTTGTTGTGCCTTTCTACGAGTTGCGATGGGAAGTTCCTCAGGCAGAGGGCGGCGTCGAGCGTCGAGCGGACGGTGTTGAGGTACCTGCGTGTTTTTTTGTGGGCATCGCGCGGCGGCGGCGTTTTCGCGGACGCTGCGCCGCGCGGCTTGTAAGTGGTAGCCATGGCGGAGGGGCGGCCTTGGGCGCGGCGGAGGCGGCGGAGGCGGCCTTGGGCGCGGCGGGCCAAAAACTCGTGCGGCTGGGCTGATGCGCGGTTTTGAGCTGCCGCGTCGATAACAAGACTGTCAGCTGCCTTTTCCTAGCGTAACCGTGTGCGCAAAGGTGGGCGCGCGTGAAAACAGCGGGCGTCCGCGGACGTCTGCCGGGAGTGCTTTCTAGTGTCTTACTGCCGCTAGGTGTTGGGACCTTTCCGCTTGCTACGCGGCGTAGGTCTCGACGCTCGCCAGATCAGATAAGATCACAAACACAGTTAGCAAGCTAGTGCGTGAAGTAAACCCCGTCGGCCGCGCCGCGGCCATGCTCCGCCTCGAGGTCGGGCCCCATCGAGGCCGGGATGATGCCGTAGGTGTTGAGCGCCGGGTGCGATGTGTAGTAGTGCATCTTGATGTGCTTGATATTCGTCGCGCGGCGCACCGGTTCGACGGACTGGTAGACGTCCCGCACGAAGTTTACGAGGTTCGGGTAGTCGGCAATGCGCTTGACGTTCGTCTTGAAATAGACGACGTAGACCGGGTCGAAGCGCACGAGCGTATGATACAACCGCAGGTCCAGCCACGAGAACTTGTCCCCGCCCAGGAAGCGTTGGGACGCGAGGCGCTTGTCTAAATCTTCGAGCGCCTCGAATAAGCCCGCGACGGCCGCGTCGTAGGCTTTTTGGGACTTGGCGAAGCCGCAGCGGTAGACGCCATTGTTTACGTTCGGATAAACTAACTCATCGTTGAGCGTCTGGAGGTCACCCGCTAAGTCGCCGGGGTAGAAGGTCCGCTCGGGATGCTTCGCGACTTTATCAAAGGCCGAGTTCAGCAGCTTGAGGATGTCCATCGACTCGTTCGACACGAGCTTCCCGGTCTTCTTGTCGAAGAGGGCCGGCGTCGTGAACGGGCCGCTCGCGTCGCCGGCTTTCGCGTAGACGTCGCGGATGGAGGCCGCGCCGGTCGGGTCCGGAATCAACGCGTCGTCACAATCATAGGAGCCGTGGCCGAGCGGGTTCGAGAGCGGGGCGTCGCCCGGCGCGCGGTAGACCCAGCCGCAGTGCTGGTCCTCCGGGTCGTCCGGGCGCGTGCGTTGCCAGGTGGGGTGCACGACCGAGAGCGAGATGGCGTCCTCGAGGCCCTTGAGGTAGAGCATGGAGAGAGCGCCGGCGGCCCACGGGCACGCGAGCGCGACGTGCAGGTGGTAGCGGCCTGCCTCAGCCTCGACGGCGTCGGTGCGGTGCTTGGCCGCGTGGCGCACGTAGGCACCATCCTTGTTGGCGACGGTGTTGGTTGTCGCGAGTGCGCTCATGGTCCTTACGCGCGTCGTCGGCGGTTTCAGTGCGCGAGTGCCTCCGGAGAGCGCGAGAGTTGTGTACAGGAGGCGGCGCGTGGGCAACATGAAGTTGACCTGCGTTGATAATGAGCGGTGATTGCGTTGCTGTGGCAGCCGCAGTAACGCGTGGAGACAGGCGGACGATCTCTGATGACGCGACACGCGTGAAAACTCTGCTGGAGCAACGTGTTGCAGGCCCCCGGTGCCGCAAACGCGCCGCGAGAAGGGTTATTTGTTTCGGTATTGCGGTTCCGCAAGCGCGGCGAGTTGGAGACGTTGCGGAAGAATTATTGGCAGCGCTGCTTGCGTACACGAGTTGTTCGGCGTCTGCGTCGGCCAAGAGAGCAAGGCTTGACTTTTACTTTTGGAGAGGCGCCGAGACGAAGGCCGACGACGCAGAACGACGGGATCGCTCCGGAACTACCAGTCTCACAATAATATAATTACCACCGCTTTCACCCGCGCCCGCGCGAAACCTCCGCAGGTCCGAACTCACCACCGCTCCCCATCCCCCCACCCGAGCATCTCGTACAAGTCCGCGTTCGCTCTTGAAAAGAACCGCCGCAGGTCCTCTACAAGATCGTCGGGCGGCCCCGCGTAGCTCCGCGCGTTCCGCGGCCTCGCGTCGTCGAGGGGATGCTCCCGCAGGCCCGCGTGGCGCTGCGCCAGTGCCACGGCCGCCGCCGCGCCCTCGGACGTCACCATGTCCTCGCACCGCAGCACCAGGATGCGCTCGGCCCCAAAGGCCTCGCGCCACGGCCGCAGCTGCGCCGCGTAGAACCCCCTCAACAAGAGCGAGTGCGCGCCGTGGCCGAGCGGCAAACGAGTGATGTAGTCGCGGAACGCCGCGTCGTCGACCTCGTAGTCGCCGCCGAGGCCCTCTCCTTTAACACACCGCACGACGCCGGCCCGTAGTAATTCGACGAGCTCGGCCTCGGCGACCTCGCGGACCGATTTCCCGAGCCAGGCCGTGCCCCTGCTTCTCCGCTGTTGCGGCGTCGCGGCCTTGTCCGCGATCATGGCGTGGTGGCTCACCGCTCTTAAGGCAGGGTCGCGGACCATGACGATCAAGGGCAGGTCCTTGCGCATCCTTTGCAACCGTGGGATCGCGAGGTTCGACTGCAATAGATACGAAGGCGTCGAGTCGAGGGCCCGCAAGTCGGGATGCAGCGCGTGCGCCTCCGCATCAAAAAAGGTCTCGTGCCACTTTCTTGACAGAGAATCGGCGTCGTCGTCGCCCGGCCAGCGCCAATCCAGAAAATGCGTCTCGCGCCGCACGCCCCGTTTTATCAGAGGGTGCTGGCTCAGGTACTCGAACATGGAGGTGGTCCCCGCCTTCTGGGCCCCGATAATCAGGATGTGCGGCGCGCGCGGGCCCGACCCGCGCTCCGACGCGAGCGCCACGCTCCGCCGCGTCTGCAGCAGTTCGTCGCCTGTACGTAACTGCACCACGGGCATCTCGGGCGGTAGCAGGTAGGGCTCCGCGCGGTCATCAACGTAGTCAAAAATCAAATGAGTTCGGTACTCGTCGCTCAGGTTCGCGACGTAGTGCTTCGCCTGGTTGTTCAGCTCGACGACGCAGCCCTCCTTGAACTCGATGCGGTGCATCTCGTCGAGCGTTCTTCCAGCCAGGAAGACGACATCAGGATTGGTTTTGATCGCGCAGTGTAATCGACGCGACCGCGGGACCCAGTAGCCGCTGTCGTGGTGCGGCGGGATGACGGTCCGCGGCGGCATCGACGCTAATAAACAACGGATGATCCTCTCCCGAGGGACGCCGCAGGACTCCAATATAGGATCGATGAGTGCGCGCCACGACGGGTCCTCCCAGAGCGGCAGCCGGTACACCCTATGCAAGAAGTCATCACAAAAAACAAAGGCCAGCTTCCGGATGCCCCAGCCGTCGTGCGACGGCCGCGCCAGCGTCACGTTGTGCTCGGTCGCGTACTCATCAGACCACACGAAGTCGTCGTCCCTTTCTAAACGCGCCTTCAGCCTTGAGACATCACTGCGGCCCCGCAGGAAGCAGAACGTGCCCGTCGTTAATGAATGGCCCTGCTCCGTCGGCGCGCGCTTGTCGTCGAAGCTCACCTCCCCCGCCGGCGGCGCGAGCGCCGGGAGCCGCGCGAGCTCCCAGCGCAAGCGAAACTTGTCGAGCTGTGGCTGGCCGTCGCCGTACTGTACATCGTCTGGCGCTGCTCCCTGGTCAATGACCATGTTGGCTGCCATCTTTTATCAGCGGTGTGAATTGAGCAAATTGCAGCAGTGCTTTTTACGCTGAGCTGGTGCGGCAAGCGATGCCTGACGCTGCAGCGCTGGGCGACAGCAATCAAATGCGCTAAGAAATTGTTGCTTGGGTGATCAATGCCGATCGCTAGCTCGATTTTGCGCCCATCGACGATCGATTGGGCAAAAACCCGTTTCTATGAGCCCGCTGCTCGAATTCAGGAAGGAGACGTGACGCACCGCTCGGAGGACTCATCCAGCGACCTGTGTGCCTTGCAGCGATCGCTTTGTGGAGCCGCTGGTGCTCACTTTTGAGCGGAGGCTGCCGCTGATCGCTGCACAGAGCGCCCATCTGTCGCCCTCAAGCGCGCAGACGTTGCTCAAAACGTCCGCCTTTGATTGATCTTCGAGCTCAGAGACTCGCACGTCGGCCCTGCAGCAGTAGTCGGCCCTGCAGCAGTAGCTAGATAGAGTGCAGCTGCTGGCGCTGCGCGCGGCAAGATAGCGAACCAATTGCGCGCGCGCCGCGCCCGTCACGGCACACCAGCGACGATGGCTCTCCAGGATGCGCTCCTCGAGATCGGCAGCGACGACGAGGTGACCGTCGACGGCGAGAGCCTCGACGTCGCCGACATATTGAGGGCGCAGCCGACGCCGGACAATTGTGGTGTTGAGGTCACGACGTGCGCGCGCCAGAGCGGCTGGTGCGCGACGCGCGCGCGCGTGCTGCGGACGCGGACGCTGCGCGTCCGCGACGGCGCCGCGACGGCCAAGCACCTGACGCAACTTTCAAAACGGCTGAGCCCCGACGCGCCCCACAAGGTGCTTGTTGTGGTCAATCCGGCGGGCGGCACGGGCCGGGCCCAAAAAGTTTTCGAGCGGGACGTCGCGCCCGTCTTCTACGCGGCCAACATCGAGGCCGACGTGGTGGTCACGAAAGCTCAGGGCGACGCCATGGAGCGGTGCCGTGTGGTCGCGGCGGCGCCGCAGGTGACCTACGATGGGGTGGTCGTGGTGGGCGGCGACGGCACGCTTTCCGAGGTCGTCCGCGGCCTCGCCGACGGCGCGTCGACGCTCGCGGACCCGGAGCAGCGCCTTCGAAGTATAAGAGTGGCGCACTGCCCCGGCGGCACGGGCAACGCCTGCCACGCGTCCGTCGCGAGCGCCGGCGGCGACGTGATTGGAAGTGCGGTAGACGTCGCCTACAACGTGGCGCGCGGCTTTTCCTGTTCCATGGGCTTGGTAAGGTACGAGTTCGGCGAGAGGCGGCCACCGTTCATTTCCTTTCTCGCGATGGAGTGGGGCCTCGTCGCCGACGTCGACCTCGGGAGCGAGGGCTTCCGCTGGCTCGGGGCTTTGAGGACGACGCTCGCGGCCATCTGGTACATTTTGCGCCTGAAGCGCCACCGCGCCACGTTATCGTGGCTGCCCTGCACGCAGCCGGCCCGCAAGGGCGGCCTCTTCGCGCCGTCGCGCCTGCCGCCCCTCGGCGCGCCGCTGCCGCCGCCCTGGCGCACGGAGCGCCGCGACGCGACCTACCAGCTGATGATGGCGTGCAACGTGAGCCACGTCGACGAGACGACGCCCATGGCGCCGGCCGCGGGTTTGGACGATGGTGCGATACACCTCGTCTTCACGCGGCTGCGGCCGGGCTTCCTGGCGCGCGTCGACCTGATCGACGGCTTCCTGAAATTGGACGGCGGCAAGCACATCCACAAGCGGAGCTTCCAGAGCCACCGCTGCCGCGCGCTGCGGCTCGTGCCCGCGGCGGACGACGACTCGCGGACTGGCCTCGACGGCGAAGCCGTGCCGTCGGGCGCGATCCAGGCCGAGATTTTCCCGGGCGCGCTGCGCGTCTTCTGCGCGGCGCCGCTCGCCGCGGCGCGGACCGCGGTGTCGCCGCCGGAGCGCGCGGCCTAGCTTCTCTCGCGTAAGGGTACTAGGTGGCGATTTCATTGCTCATGTTGCGCCGTGGAAGGCCAACACTCCTCCTGTGGGCGACGCTAGAACACACAAGCTCTCAGGTTACGCCCCGAAAGACCGACACCTCGACGCCGTCGGGCTCGCCGTCCGAGTACTCCACGGGCGCCTCGTGCAGCGTCGACGACGCGTAGCGGGACGTGTCTCTCACGTGCTCCAGATAAGGTTTCAGGCTCGCGCCGCCGTCGAAGCAGAGCACGTTGTCCGCGACGACGACGCATCCTTCAGCGCAGTAGGGCTCGAGCGCCACGAGGTCGGCGAGATACCGGTCCTTGGCGTGGTCGATGAAGAGGAGCTGGATGCGCGGGCTCGGGATTTCTCGCGCGAGAGCTTCGGCCGCGGTCTCGTCCGGCGACGACTGCATCACTTTGACTCTTTCCGAGAGCCCCGCGTGCTCGACGAGTTGTCGGCTCCATTTGACGCAATGAGCTTCCGTGTCCAGCGAGACTAGCGTTCCGCTCTGCATCTGCGACGCAAGCAGTACGGCCGAATACCCACAGTAGGCGCCGAGCTCGACCCAGAGCCCCGGCGCCGCTCGTGCTGCTGCGCCACGAAGGATCGCCCCCTTCACGTCGCCGACGTGCATCATCCAGTGGCGTATGCGGCAGAAGCGATCGATGACTGCGAGCGTGTCGCTCGCGTCGCCGCGTTGTGCTTCCGCCGCGACGACGCGCAGCATTTCATCCTCTGTACCGGAGTGAAACTGCAGCACACCGCACGCTCCGGGGCGCTGCACTTCTTCGCCGTCGGAGTCGTCGTCTGAGCCGAAGAGGTCCATGCGTGCAGTAGCAGTGTAGGTACTTCCCTGGTGGCGTAGCGGGCCACTAATGGGCGTTGAATGCAGCGATTTCAGGCAAGCGTGCAGCTGTGCAGCAGTGTGCAGTGTCGCGTGCGGACGCGCAGTGCTGGATCGCGCGCTGGAATCTGATCAGTGACCGAGAGCACTGATCAAATCACTGCAGAAACAACTTAAAAACTAGCGTTGGCGTGCGTGCGCCACACTTTGCGCCAGGCGTGAGCTAGCGGCTTGTAAGACACTAGTAACTCCTCGGTTTTTGAAAGCCTCCGTATACTCGTTTTAGGACGGGAGCGGGGGGGCAGGGGACCAAGAAGGGCGAAGCTACAACAAGCCGAGGGCCAACAGCCCGGGGAGGAGAAGGACGAGGAGTGCGCGCGGGACGGATCCCGTCGCCGCGTTCGACTCCACCGGATCGTCCGGGGACAGGTTCACGATGCAGACAGCATTGGATCCATCGGTGCGGATTGTGACACCTGGACAGGGGGCGCCGTAAGCATAAAGTTCGACGACGGCCCGCGTCCCTTCGACGATGCAAAAGGTGCCGTTGGCGACGTCCGTCCCGTCGAGGCCTGTGTATACCCCTTCGGCGACGTCGAACTGGTAGGGTTTTTCGCAGGTCTGCTTGAGGCGCTGGCGTATCTCGTCGCACTCCGTCACGTCGGGATCGCAGAGGGGACCGATCAGCGTGTAGGTGCCGTTGAGGACGCACCAGCGGCCCGCGATGTCCGTGCCGTTGAGCGTGTCGCAGGCGGCGCGCGTCGCGTTCGGGAAGCACTTGTACGCGTTGCCGTCGTCGTAGATTTTTTGAAACGGCCGTCTCATCATCCAGCATCGCCAGCCCAACTGGAAGGAAGAACTCGTGACGCGCACCGAAAAACAGCTCGAGTACGAGATTGCGTCCATCGCCCAACTCGCTATCAAATATGAGAAGGAGCGCTCGAAACAGATGGAGGACGAAGTGGCCGCCGCGAAGGAAGAACGCGAAAAAGCTAAGTCGCAGAAGAAGAAGCCCCCAAAGAGCTCTGACACGTCCACCGTGACGTCGTCGTGAAGCTGACCCCCAACCATGCCGTTCCCCCAACAACTGCCCCTTCATTGCTTGCGGGCGCGCCTCCACGGCGCGTCACTTGCACGTCGAACCCCATCGCTCCCCCATCGCATAAAAACACGTCATGGTGGTCTAGACTTACAACACTCCTTCCGGAGGCTCCCGCCGCTGCAGCTCGCACTCGAACACGTCCGCGAAGGCCTCCACCACCGCGGGCACGAGCTCGCCGCGCAGGTCCACGGCGCGGCCGAGGTGCCGGTCGAGGCTGCCCACGGGCTCGATCACGGGATCGAGGCCGCAGGGCACGATGGCCCCGTAGCGCTCCATCTCGACGGCGTAGTTCAGCGAGATGCCGTGGTACGTCACCCACTTGCGCATCGCGACCCCCGCGGCGGCGACCTTGTGGCCCGCCAGCCAGACGCCCGTGTGCTTCGGCGCGCGGCCCGCGCCCGACGCGCCGATCTTGTCGCACGCCCTGACCACAACTTCCTCGAGCGCCCGCAGGTACCAGTGCGAGTCGCGCTTGTAGTTGTGCAGGTTGAGGATCGGGTAGGCGACCAGTTGTCCGGGCCCATGGTACGTCACGTCGCCGCCGCGCTCGGCCCGGTGCAGCTCGGGCGCGCCCGGGGCCTCGGCGTCGAACAACACGTGCTCGTGCGTCGCCCCGCGCCCCAGCGTGTAGACGTGGGGGTGCTCCACGAGGACCAGCGCGTCCCGCGCGCCGTCGATGCACTCGTCGACCAGCCGCGTCTGGAGGTCCGTGCACCGGGCGTACGGCACGGGCTCGCCCTCCGTCAGGTCGAGCAGCCGCACCGTCGGCCGCGCCTCGCGGTTCAGTGTCTCGAAGACGCCCTGCGCCTGGGCCGGCGCGTTCTTGCGCTTGGCTTGGGACGCGACCGTTCGCATCGCCACGCCTGCGCCGCGCCGCACGAGCAGCGTTGCGCAGAGCACCATCCTGAGCATCGATGCTCTGGCACTGGAAAGCGGTTACGCGGCACGATAGATTCAGCGATTCGTATTAGTCCTTGCCGCGTCGCGTTGCGCGTGTGCGACAAGTGCAGCCTGCACTCTCCTCAGCTCACTCGTGGAGCACAGCGGTTACGCGCGGCACGCGTGCAGGTCTCAAGTGCTCGCTTTTTGCGGGCACGAGCGGGGCTCACCGATACGTATAGTCCTTGCCGCGTCGCGTGCAGCACAGCTGCTCTCCAGCCTTCAGCAACTCTCTTCAGCAGTCCTGAAGTCTGGACACAGCCGTGGCGCACGGATCAAAACGCGGTAAACCACGCGTGTGCGGCAGCAGCACGACTCGAAAACAACGCTTAACACCGCTGCATCGGCTCCGCGGCCCAACACCATGCGAGCGCTGCTGCTCCTCTGCGCAGCAATCGCGCAAGCCCTGCAGTTCACGACGCAGCAGGCCAAAACGCCATTGCTCCTCGACGCCGCGACGACGTTGAAGGCCTCCGCGCGGCCGCTGACGAAGGTGCTCCTCGACGCGGCCGAGGGCGCCTCGGACGAGGCCCGCGCCGAGACGATGAAGACGCTGCGCGACATGCTCTGCAGTCCCTCGGCGACGCAGCTCGTGGCCTGCCGCGGCGACTCGACGGACGTCATCGCGACGTGCGCGGTCGCCGCACGCGAGGCGAGCGGCAGCGCGCTCCCCCGCCGCGCCCACATCAGCGACTTGTACGTCGAGGAGTCGTGCCGCCGCGCCGGCGTCGCGACGGCGTTAGTGGCGGACGCGCTCGCCCTCGCGCGGGCCCGCGGCCTCGAGTGCGTGACGCTCGAGGTCGAGACGGACAACGCCGGCGCGCGGCGCCTCTACGAGAAGCTCGGCTTTCGGGGCGAGTCGCTCCGGAGCCCGTTGGCGTTCTTCAAGTACGGGACGTGGGCGTGGAACAAAGATATCCTACGGCTCGACATGGCGGCGGGCGACTAGCTGTTCCTTTTCGTAATGTTTGTTGTTTATTTTGTTGTATTTTATGGGTCCTCATTATTATCCCTGCGTGTACGTCCAGCGCGCGCGGCGCCGCCGTGAAACAAAACGGGTTTCTCAGTCAAATGCGCTCCGCGGCAGCGTCTCGCGGCATAATTGCTTCATCGGCGTAAGGAGAAGTCGGTCGTTATCATAGTGTGCCCTCCGAGTGAGAAAATGGACCGCTTCTATGGCCCTTGACCGATAACTCAATTGTGCACAAAAGCTGTCAAAATCACAGCATTGTTGCTCAAAGCATGCGTCGCGGAAGCCTCCTCGCCGTCATAGCACTTGCCGCGGCGCGCGAAAAGCCGACGTCGCGCGCCAGTCGGCGCGCCAGAAAGGCCTGGCTCAACGGCACGAAGCCGCCGACGCTCAACACGTTTTACTTCTACGTGGACCGCGACGACCCGCGCAACACGACCGTGCCGTCCTCGATCACCACCATGATCACGCGCGCGCAACGCGACGCCCGCCGCTGGGGCGTCGACATCCGGGCCGAGGTCCACGGCTTCGTGAGCGGACGGGAGCTCGTGCGTCATGAAGGCCGCCGACCGCGCGTTCGCCGAGACGCTCCAAGGTGAAAAGTTCTACGCGGCCCGCATCCGGCGGGGCGACCGGCTGCCCTGGGGCTTCGAGGAGTGCACTTCGCCGCCCCACGCCGCTGCCAAAATTGTCGCCGCGGCGACGCCGTTTAATATCAGACGCGTCTTCGTGATGAGCGACGAGCCGCCCCGTACGGCTTGGTGGAGAGGTCTCAAACGCATACTGAAGCGAAACCACTCGATGGAGCTGATTCCCGAGTACGACGTGCCGGCGCTCCACGCATTCAACGACACGCTCGCGACGTATTTGGCGGGATTAGCCCTGCTCCACAAGGCCAAGGCCCACGTCATTGCGCAGACAGACTGGTGCATGGCGCGGCGCCCGCGACCCGGGGCGCGGCTCTCGTACCCCGGCAAGAAAGACAAAAAAATCTCCTACATGCTCTCGCGGCAGCGCTACGCCGAGTGGCTCCCGACGGCACTGAACGTGACGGGGTGCTCGACGTTCTCGAAAAAGCGCGGGACGGGTGCGGGCCACGGATCTCGCGGTCACGGCTAGTTTTACAACGTAATACAATTACACATTCTACTTCGGGGGCGTCGAGGCCCTGACCGGCGTGAGCTCATCAATGGCGGCCTCGACTTCGACCTCCTGCGCCGCGGCGTCGACCTGGGCCTCGGTGATTTGATTCGCGGACGTCTGGAGCTGCCTTCGCACGAGCGCTGCATAAACGCCGTCCCTCGCCACGAGTTCATCGTGCGTCCCGCGCTCGGTCACGACGCCGGCCTCGCCGAGGACTGCAATGCAGTCCGCATTGCGGACGGTGGAGAGCCGATGGGCCACGAGCACGACCGTCGCCGACGCGCGCGCCACGAGCGCGTCGAGCGAGGCCTGGACCTTGCTCTCGCTCTCCGCATCTAATGCGCTCGTAGCCTCATCTAATAAGAGCACTCGCGGATCTCTCAGGAACGCGCGAGCTATCGATATCCTTTGCTTCTGTCCGCCGGAAATCCGGACGCCGCGTTCTCCGACCCGCGTGTCGTAACCTCTAGGAAAGGCCTGAACGAACTCGTGAGCCAAAGCCGCCTCGGCGGCCTCGCGCACCTCCCCGTCGCCCACGCCCGCCGCTGCGCCGTACGCTATATTATCGGAAATCGTCGTATCAAATAATTCCGTGTCCTGCGCGACAACACCAAATTGTCGTCGCAGCAAGCGCACGTCGAGCTGCGGTAAAGGCACGCCGTCGATCGTGATCTGGCCGCGGCTCGGGTCGTAGAACCGCAGCAGGAGGTTGAGCGCCGTCGTCTTGCCCGCGCCGGAGCGGCCAACTAAGGCGAGCGTCGACCCCGCCGGAATGTCGAGGCTCAGACCCTTGAGCACGGGGGCGTCGGGCCGCGACGCGTAGGTGAAGTGCACGTCGTCGTAGGCTAAAGCCGCGCCGCGACCGCCGCCCTGTGGAGCGTCACCGCCCGCGTCCGTCGACGGCATGGCCTTCAAAAGGCCCAAGACACGCTGCGCGGCACCGCCCGCACGTGTAAATGACGAGAGCAAATTCACGAGCTGGTTGTAGGACGACTGGATCTTGTTAAAGTAGAGCTGGTAGGTGACGAGCTCGCCCGCCGAGAGGCCAGAGCCTTTTCTCATGGCCTCCGCGCCCCCGTAGAAGAGAATCAGCCAGCCCGAGCCGTAATCGAGAATATTCGTGAGGATAGACGTCAGCGCGTTCAGGCAGGCGTCGATAATACCGCGGTCTCGCGCGGCCATCGTGTGGTCGGCATAGCGCTTCGCCTCGCGATCTTCAGTAGCCATCGCTTTCACGGTACGCACGTTCGCTAACGCCTCAGTGGCCGCGGCATTTGCCTCACCGAGATGGGCTAGGATCCGTCGATTCTGATCTCTGGACCACTGGGCATAAGCCTGGGTCACGTGCACGATCGGTCCCACCGTCGTGAAGGCGAGCATGGAGAGGCGCCACGACGTGTAGAACGCCATCGCGACGCCGCCGATGAGCGAGATAACCGCAGCGACGAGCGACCCGAGCAATGTCGTCAAAGGAAATGTCATCTGATTGACCTGTGTGGCCATCGACCGGGTCGACGCCCACGCCGTCGAGCAGAAATTCGACGCCGCGGCGGACGTCCTGCGTCAGGCGGCTCGTGAGCGTGCCGCTCGCCGTCGAGTCGAAGTAGCTGATCTCCGCCCTCAAGATGGCGGCATACAGCTCGTTCCGCAGCGCGCACGCGAGGCGCCGGCCGACGACCTGGAAGCAGAGCGCCCGCAGGGCCTGCGTCGCCGCCGTGCCCACCGAGAAGACGAGGTAGAGCTCGAGCATCTTGCGGAAGCGGCTCCGATCTCGAGCGTAGACGGCGTCGATGATCTTGCCCTGGTACGACGGCAGCGCCAGGCTCGCGACGCCCGACGCGACAACGCAGGCCAGCGCCGTTGCCACGAGCCACCAGGAGGGACGCATGAGCTTCGCCGCCTCGCGCACGATGTCCCAGTTCGTAATCTCGACCTCGGCCTGCTGCGCCGGGCTCGGACGCCCGCCGCCGCGGCCCCGGCCCCGGCCACGGCCACGGCCCCGGCCGCCGCCTCCGCGTCCGCGGCCCCGGCCGCGCCCGTTCTGCGCGCCGTCTTGGTGGAGCGGCGACGCCGTGGTCTCGTCGCGCGCCTCCCAGCACTTCGGGCAGACGTCGAAGTTGCATGGATGGCAGCGCCACAGCGTCGGCGTCGTGATACGAATCCCACAGATGTCACACCAGTTCGACGTCGTCTGACTGAGCTCGAGCGCGTGCGCGTGCAGCGAGGGTCGCAGCGCCGCCAGCACCCGCGTCTGCGACTGGACGAGGTTGCTGAGGAGCCACGCCTCCGCATTTATGAGTAGAGTCGTGAGGCCGACGCAGACGGCGAAGGCCTGTGTTTTGCATTTTGTGAGTCGCGGCGATGGCGTGGGGGAGAGTCACGCCGTCGAGCAGTCGAAGGCACGAATACACGCTGACACATGCCGCTCGTCGCTCCTGTGGGACGTCCTCCAGATCGTAGACGCACAGCTTGACGCCGACGTAGCCCTGGCACACCGACGCCACCACGAACAAGAACCCCAGCCACAGATCTCGCCTTAAGTCCGCCTTCGCCTTGCGTAAGCCGAGCTCATTGTCATCATTTAGACGTTCGTAGCCATCCTCGCGCGCCGAGTAGCGCGAGACCGCGTGCCACGATCGGTGCGCGACAGTGGCCAACGTGGGCAGCACCAGCACGCGTAAGAGCGCCAGGCCGACTATATCGCTGGCGTCGTGGCGCAGGCTGTACGAGAAATGAATGCGTCGGCCGGCCGCCAGCCACTGCGCCGCTGCACTCAGGATAACGTCCAGCGTGAGCAACAAGACGCCGACGGCTACAACGCGCCGAGCAGCGCTGCCTCTCGACAGTATTTGGAAGACGGAGACGCGGCCTCCCACATTAAAGCGGCCGTTGAGGCCTGCTCGTAGGGCGCCGCCTTTGCCCATTGGTGTTGTGCTCAATGTGCTGTGTGCCTGGCTGCTCCCTCACCGGTCGCAGCGATGAAGGGTTGGTCGCAACGGTCGAAGGGTTGATGAATGCTGTCTCCAGAACCAGGTCTAGGCTAATAATATGCTCGTTTTATGCGAGTTCAGCCAAGCTTACTTGCTTGCTAGTGTCTTACAGTCGCTAGCCTAGCCCCCGCGTTTACCTCTGTTTTCCGCGAGAGAGGTATCTGCAGCGCGTGTTGCGACGGGAAGCGGTCGGATGCGTCTGGCGAATGGCTGGCCTGGCTGGGGGACCTTTGCCCACGACTTTTGGTATCCTCGTGCTACCCAGCGAGGAGCTTAGGTTGGATTGTGAGAGCGCTTTCGAGTTCTCTGAGATACGACGCAAATCGCGATAACCAAAGAAAACTCACGGCCAACGTTGGGAGCGATAGAAACTCTCAGAGCATACCAGAAGCTGAGCTTGCGGACGCGCACGCTAGTCAGCGACGGCAGACGACGCTGGTAACACCAGAAAAATGTCCGCCGCCGACGTCGCCGAGGAAACCAAGGCCGACGTCGAGGCCGTGAAGTCCGTCGAGGACGCGAGCTACCCCACGACGGCGTCGCGCGAGCTCTCGCACACCAAGCCAAGTTTCGCGGCGGACGCGGACCGCGGCCCCGGCGAGCGCGCCTTTTATTGGTTTGGCAAGAACGTCGTCGGCAAACGGCCGTGGCTCGTGCTCCTGGTCGTCGCGGCGCTTTTCGCGGCGCTCACGACGGGGTTATTCGTGGCGAGCAAGACGGACACGGACCTCTTCGGCAGCCTGGTCTTGAGGCCGGGCTCGCGCGTCGACCGCGAGAGCAAGAACACCCATAGAAAATTAGTGGAGGGCTACGAGTCCGGCAGCGAGGCCACGAACGCGCGCGCCACGCGCGGCGGCAAGAACATGCTCACGCGCAAGAACATGAAGCAGGCTATCGCGTTCTACCGCAAGAAGAACGTGAACGACGTCTCGGTGACGCATGGCGGCGTGACCTACGAGTCGAAGGACATGGCCTTCGCGCGCTACGAGTACATACAGCTGTATTACTTCCAGCTGTATTCGATCATCATCGCGTGCGGCCTGTTCTTCGGCGTCGTGATCTTTCCTGGTCTTTTGGCCGCCGCGGGCGAAGAAAACGACAACTGAGTCGCAGTTGACAACCGAGTCGCGGTTTTCTCGTGGGCTCTCGGGCGAACCCACTCCCCTTCCCTACTCCCTACCCCACGTCATTCGCGTAAGATGATGCGTGATGGATTAGTCTATGAGTCTATCTGCGCTGCGGCGTCGTCCAACTCCTCCTTAGAAGTGCCGCCGAGCCCAGAGCGGGAATTAAGCTTTGAACTTCACTATTCGGGGGTCAGTCGGAGAGGTCTGTTTTCAAAAGCCATCCGCCTATGCCTCTATACATGTATACTATGTATGTATACACACACACACACACACATACATATATACGGATTCCTAGTATGTCGATACGCTAGATCACTAGGTCTCGCGGCTCGCCAAAATACACCAGCGATTGACGGCGCCTTCTACCGTCCAAATGATACATCATATCAACTCCAGCCCAGTTTTCATACACAATCGACGGAACCGGAGCCGACGGCCCGCGCTCGGAGGGCGGGAAAAGAATTCTACTAGACAACTCCCAAGTTTATGTTCGTTTCCTTCCGTTTGTTGGTGGTAGAGTCCATCTAGGCCGATTGAACAAATACTCATCTATTTTAGGTGCTCCGTTAGAGCCGCGCGAATCGGCGACTTTGGTACCGCGCGTTTAGATGATACCGGGCAAATAACCTAGACCCGCGAGTATCAGCGACGCCACCACCCAGATGGACCATAACGCCGTTGTTCTATTCACAATCGACCGACTTGCCCGTTCTCCGCGGACGACGGTGCGTACGCGGGGCACTGAATTGGCCCCAGACCGGTGAGTTATAAAATAAATTTGCGTTTCAGGCGCTTTTTTGATGGGATGGGCCATCCGACCGGGCTGAACATGTACTACATTGCTCCGAGACCCAAAGATGCTCGGCGCGGGTCGTCGGTCTCCCGGGCCCACGATCTATCAAAGACGAGCAGCATACTTGGACCTGCGACCATCAGCCCGTGTACCATCACCATGGACCATAACGCGATCATTTGTTTCATGACCGACCGACTTACGCGAGGTCCAGATCAAGATGTTCACGTCCCGAGCGTGGGCAGCCAAAAGTACCCTTCTCGCGGTGTAGATGTCATATACTTGTAATTGACTATCGTTGGGGTAGTATGGGGTCCAACGAGACCGCTACGGCGACTACTGGGGGCCCTCGGGTAATTGACGTTTTTGACGGGAACGGGGCGCCATCGGGTCCAAATTGTCTACTTTTTTCGGATGTAGATCGGCTCGCGGACGCCCTCTGGGATAGGTCTGGTGGTGGGTTGTCGCCCGCGCCGCATGCGCCCGTACTTGGAGCTCCCCAGAGAGCTCGGATCGAAAAGTTGGCGGACTTGTGCTCCAGCCAATGTTGTGGCTGAGGACCTGTACTGATATGTATCCACCGATGGAAGCGCCCGCGCATGCGGTGTAGGCGATTGCGCACGTCTAGTACCGACCCTAGGCGACCCCAGGGAGACCTCAGGACCACGAATTGACAGGTTTCCATCGACGCGCCCGCCATGGTGCCGTCGTCAGTATCGCGACATCCAGAAATTAATTTTTTCACCCCCCAGGAGTCGTCCTATTTGTCTCTTTGGACCATTAGCGAACTGAAGGATACTCAAACAGCTGCACGTCGCGTCGAAAATCAAACCAAATGCGGCAAAACGGGTTTCGCGTCGATTTGTGTCCGCCACTGACACGGCTGCTGTTGCCAATCACGCCTTGCCAGCTGCTTTTCAGACATCTTACGACACCAGAGCAGCGAAGCAACGCGCTTCGAGCAGCGCTACGACGCCTGTGATTCGTATTTGGGGTGGTCTCACACGCTGACGATGCTGTCATCCGTCGTACTGCTGCTCGTGGCATGCACAAGCGATGCATTCATCACACCGACGACGCATTCGACGCGTGCACCACAACTCTCCGCAGCAAAACGCGACGGCACCAGCGATTGCGTCGTCATCGGCTCCGGCTTAGGTGGTCTCAGCGCAGCCGCACTGCTAGCACAGTACGGCTACTCGGTCACCGTCTGCGAGTCGCACGACCGAATCGGTGGCTGCGCGCACGGCTTCGAGCGCCGCACGGCTGCTGGGACGTTTCACTTCGACAGCGGGCCGTCGCTGTTTAGCGGTTGCTCGGCGCCGTCGTCGAACCCGCTGCGCCAAGTACTGGACGCGGTCGGCGAGACGCCGGAATGGAAGTCATACAACGAGTGGACCATGTACGTGCCCGAGGGCGTCTTTCGCGTCAAGTCCGGCGACAAGCGGGCCTTCGAGGCGGAGCTGCGACGCCTCGGCGGCGCGTCGGCGGCTGCCGACTGGCGACAACTCCTCGCCGCGAACGAGGCGCTCGCCGCGCTCGTCGCTGGCGTCCCGCCGATCGCCCTCCGGGCCGATGTGGGCGCCTTACAAACTGCTGTGTCGAGCTACGTGCCGAAGCTAGATCCGACGCTCCTGGCGCGCTTCGGCGCGGATTTCCTGCTCAAAGGAGTCGACCCGTCGGGGCCTTTCTCGCGCGTGCTCGACGCGGCCGGCATCAAGCCCACGTCGCTGGTCTACCGCTGGTTCGACTTTCTAGCTTTCGCGCTCTCGGGTCTTCCGGTCACGGAGACGTCCGCGGCGGCGGTGTCGTTCATGATCAAGGAGTTCTTCGCCGACGGCGCGGTCATGGACGTCCCCATGGGCGGTTCCCCCGCGATCGCCGCGGCCCTCGAGCGGGCCATCACGAAGCACGGCGGAGAAATCTTGACAAAGGCGCACGTCGACGAGATCATTGTGGAAGACGGCGCCGCCGTCGGCGCGCGACTCAAGGACGGCTCCGAGCGCCGCGCGACCCACGTCGTGTCGAACGCGCCGGTCTGGGCGACGGCGAGGCTCCTTCCGGCGTCGGTGCACGGCACCGTGGGGTCGTGCCTCGACGCGACGGCGCCGAAGACGCCCTCATTTCTACATCTGCACTGCGGCTTCGACGCGACGGGCCTGGATCCGCTGGCGGTGCACCACATCATTGTCCGGGATTGGTCAGATGTGACTGCGAATGATAACCTCGTGTTTATCTCGATTCCGTCGGTGCTAGACAAAGACGCGGCGCCGGCGGGCCACCACGTCCTGCACGCCTACTTGCCGGCGACGGAGCCCTACGCGGACTGGGTCGGTTTGGACCGAGAGGCGTATCGGGAGAAGAAAGAGGAGAGGGGAGAGGTGCTGTGGAAGGCCGTGGAAGAGTTTATCCCGGACATCCGCGAACGCGCTGTTTATTCGTCCATCGGGACGCCGCTCACGCATGAACGGTTCCTGCGGCGGCCGGAAGGAACTTATGGGAGCGCTTGGCCTGCTGGAAAGCAAACCTTCCCCGGCCACGCGTCGCCGGTCGACGGGCTCTACTGCTGCGGCGACTCGACGTTTCCCGGTATAGGTGTCCCAGCGGTGTGCGGGTCGGGGATGGCCGTGGCCCACGCTATCGCGCCCGTCGACAAGCATCTTCGCCTGCTGGACGAGATGCGCCGGGCGGGGACGTTGGCCTAGTTCTGTGTGTTTTTTAACAAGCAATGTATACAGTACGGCCTAGAGCTCCTCGGACGCCTTCGTCCATTTCGCGCCGGACGGCGAGCCCGTGACCTGGTCCTCAATGCCGCACTCGTTCTTGCCGCGGACGATGCGGAAGAAGCCCTTCTCGCCCCAGTAGGGGTTCCAGCTGTTCGCTACTTTCCAGTATTTCGTGCCGTTCTCGACGCCCCACCCAACAATCTTGACGGCGTGGCCGCCTGCCGGCTTGCCCGTCGTGCGCTGGTAAATTCCGCCCGCATAGTCCTCAAAATCCGAAAACACGGTGAAGGCCGTCTCGACGGGGCCGCCCTCCATGATCATGCGTTGAATTTTCTCCTCGCCCGACGCCGTCTCCGTCGTGCCGTGGAATTTGTACTTGTCCCCCTTGAAGTCGGCGTGGGACCCCTTGGCCGAGTTGTCGCACTTCGTGGGGCCCGGGGGAGACTTTTCCGACTTGCAACCCTCGGCGCCCTCGTCGGGGTAGGGATCATCTCTCTGGGGACCGTGGTGGTGGCAATGACCGAAGCCCCAGTTCGAGCAGAGTCCCATGTTACCGAAGGGGCCCGTGTTGTTGTACTGGCCGCCGCTCACCGCGCCGCGCCAGCGGATGTAGGTCCAGGGCGTCGTGATCTGGCCGCCGTTGCAGCCGTTCACGTTCGAATTGAAGCAGACGTCCTGCGCAGAGATAGGGAGATTCTTCTCGCCGTCAGTACTGATGCACATGCGGTCCGACGCCGCCTCGGCGCCGGCGAAGGCCCAGCAGCAGCCACAATTGCTCTGGTCGCGGATGTCGTTGATGAGCTTGGCGCACTTGGGCCACTCCTTGGCCGAATCGAAGGAGTCCGGGATCGGGTTGACCAGCTTCGGCACGAATTCGACGACCTCGCCGCGTTCCTTAGCGGCAGCCACGTTTAATTTGTTGTCTCCCAAATGGCCGAGCACGGGAGCGCTGGCGCCCGGCGCCTCGCGCGCCCAGCGACCAGCGCGCGCCTCCCAGGTCGTGGCCATGGCCTTGATCTTGTTCAGTTGTTCGCGGCGCTCCGGATGAATGAGCGTGCGCTCCTCCGTCTTCACGTTGACGGCTGCGGCGCCCACGGCCAGGAAGAATGCTAATTTGGCAGACATGATTACTTGGCTTGCAGGGCGTTTGAGGGCGAATAATTGGGCACACGTTGCGAGACTGCACGATGGAGTGTCACAGGGTGTATAATGTGGCCGGAGAGAATGGCAGCTGCGAGCGCGGGGGGCTGGGCTCGACGCGCGGTTTAGCTAGCGGCCTGTAAGACACTAGCAACGCATCCAGGCGGCTTCAGCGTCGTCGGGACTAGTTCGACGCCATCGGGCTAATAAAAACCGGGTTTAGGTTAGCAAAAGTGGTTAGTCGGCCCCCCGAAGGTCGTGTCCCCGAACTGGCGCAGGCGGCTCTGCGGCACCCTTCCAGAATACAGCTGGCGCTCCGTCTCGGTGGGCTCCTTGACGTCCTCCGTCTGCAGCTGGATGTTACCGGAAGCGTCGCGCGTCCGCGGCGTCTGCCACTTCGACGCGATGAGCTGCCGCGGCTTGGCCACGACGGCGGCCTGGGGGTTCCGCCGCTTATCCAAGGAAGGGTACTCCTTGTCGTAGACCGTGAGCAACCGCTTCTGGTCCTCGTACTGCGCTTTTTTGACGCCGGGCAGCTCGTGGGCCTTGAACGCGTGATTTCCTTTCGTGGCCAACCAACCCGCGTTCGACATGGGGCTCCAGGAGTGGACCGCGTCCAATTCATGGTTGATCGTGTGCTGCTCCTGGGCCTTGATCTGGGACATGCTCGACTCCCAGGAGCTCTTCGTGTTGCTGAGGTCCTCGGCCATGGCGACGGCTGGCGTCCTCTGGGCAGCGTCGCAGCCGTACCCTGGGATGGCAGGGAGAGCACCGGCGCTGAGAGAGTGCGCACCCGTATTGAGGCTACGGGGCAGCGTAATTGGCAGGGAGAGCGCCAGGCGCTGAGAGGCTTGAGTGCGGGCCCAGCAAGACACCGCGCCATTGTGGGAGGACTCGTTCGACGATTCAAAGGAGGCCCAGAGGACTAGTAGGGACTGTGACTGGCATCGCATCTCGAGGCTCCTTTTTGGCACACACGCGACTGGCATTGCAGCGTGCACACAGCCAAACGCGTCGCCTCAAAGCGCTGCAATTATACGTTAGTAGCATTGGTGCACGAATCAATCGAAACGCGACAACAACACAGCAGTGGCAGGATGCGCCTACTATTACTCCTCGCAACAGCATTAAAATGCACATACGCCTTCCGAGGCCCAGCCCTCGCCCCGCTGGCAAAACCGCCGAAGTTGCTCGCGCCGCCGCGGGCCGCGGCCGTCGCGATCGAGGCCGACGCCGACGCGCCGCTGCCGCGTGCGCTGCTGCCGGTCACGCTGAGCGTGTTTGCGCAGATGATCGGCGAGGGTATTGCGATTGCGACGCTGCCGCTGCACCTGACGCGCCTCGGCGCGAAGCCCGTCGAGGTGGCCCTCGCGACGTCGTTCTTTAGCGTGGCCCAGATGGTCTGCTGCCCGTTGCTGGTGCGACGGTCGGGCGGCGCGGGCGGCCGCGGCCAGACGCTCTGCCTCTGTTTGGCCGGCGCGACGCTGGGCAACGTCGGCATCGCCATGTCGCCGTCGGTCGCGGCGATCGTCGTCTGCCGCTTCCTGTGCGGCGCCTTCGCCGCCAGCGTGCCCGTGGCCCAGGCCGCGGCGACGGAGCTCGTGGCGCCGGCGCAAGCGCCCGCGGCCCTCGCGCGCGTCGCGGCGTCGTCGCAGATGGCCGTGGTCGTCGGGCCGTCCTGCGCCGCCCTGCTCATGTCGGCCTTCGCGGCGGCGGGCGTGCCCCAGGCTTTTCGATTACGCGCGGTCTTCTTGACGGCCTCGGTCTTCGCGGCCGGCGTGCTGGGCGTGCTGGCCAGGTCCTTCCAAGCAACAGCCGCAAAAGCACAAGCAATCGCGTCCCAGGACGAGCCGGCGCTCAAGGTTGAGCAGAAGCAAGTCGCGCCTACGAAGCCGGCGCCCGGGATCCTGCCCGGCGTGTCGGCGCAGTTCGCGCTCCGGTCCATCGCGCTCGTCGTCGGCTGGTCGCTGACGCTGTCGGTCTACTGCTACGGGTTGTTCGCGCCCAAGTTTATGGGGTATGATCAACCTCAATTATCAGCGACGTTCTCGGCCGGCGCGCTGACGACGATCGCGGCCCAGGTGCTCTTTCCGACCTTAGTCAGGCGCATCGGCCCGCACCTGACGTCGTGCTTCGGCTTGCTCACGCTGTCGCTGGGCATGGCTTCGCAAAGCATCGTGCGAGCGCAGCCGCTCCACTCGCTCTTTTACCTGATAAACCGCGCGGGCGCCGGCATCTCGGACACGTCCACAGCCACATTGGTAGCAAGGACGTCGCCGACGGCCGACGCGCGCGCGAAGAACCTAGCGCTGATCCAGTCGACGCCGGTGTGGAAATCAACCAGTGTGCGTCGCGTCGATGGCGTGGAGGTCGACGCGGCGATTCAGGACGCACCGTAAAATTTCCGCACAGGTCGACGCGCGCCGCGGCGCGCATCTTCACTCCAGTCGTCTCGGGCTCGCTCTTCGCGGCGTCCTGCGGCTTCCGCCGCTTCCCGGGCGGGCTGCCCTTCCTGACGAACGCGGCGTGCGCTCTACTAGCGGTGCCGATCCCCCTGCTGCTCCGGCGGGCTGAGCGGCGCGCCGACGCGAAGGCGAAGGGGTCGGGCGTCGAGCAGCTCTACTGACCCCAGCATCGATCGTGTTCATATTTATAAGTTTTAGGTCTCTAAACCTCATACACACAGTACCGGCCCGTCGATGTCGAGCGGCCGCCCGAAGAGCAGCACCCACAGGAACCACGGCTCGCGCGCTGACGGGCTCGGCCGCGGCAGCACGATTTTGCGCTTCCGCGGCGTGCCGGTGAGCGCGTAGGCCGTCGCGCGGGGCGACGGCGCGCGCTCGCGCGGCTTCTTTGCGAGGCGCGGCGTCTCGACGGGCGGCGGCGGCGGCGGCCGCGTCGGGCGCGGCGGCCGCGGCGACGTCAGCGCGTCGGGAAGCGGAGCCGAGGTAGTTCGCGCGGCCGGCCCCGGCGCGACGAGCGCCTGGAGCCGCGCGTTCTCCTGCTGGAGCCGCTGGCGGTCCTCCTGGACGCTTCGCACTAACGCGCGCCAGTCGTCGCGCTCCTCGACCTGGAATTTTGTGGTGGTCTCGAGGCGCAGCTGGTGCACGTGGGCCCAACACAGGTCCAACTCGTCGGCCGCGTCGTCTAGCGCGGCCTTGAGCTCGTCGTTTTCGCCTCTCAACTCGGCGACGGTCCGCTCCAAGGCCGCCTCGCGCTCGGCGTGCTCGAGTTTTACGCGGACGAGGTGTTTTTGCAATGCTGTTATGCCGTCCATAATTTAATGTGTGGTGCGGCACTCCCTCAACACCTCCAAGAGATCTCTGGTACAGGCTACGAAGCGTTGCGGAGGCAAGGCTCGTCGTGCCCGGCGTTTTTGTTGCGCTGCGCCCGGCGTTTGTGCGCTGCGGTTTTGCTGTTTTTTTCCTTTAGAAATGCTGTAGCCGCCACAGGCCCAGCCGGAAGCGCAGCACTCGTTTCGCGTGACGCCAGGAGTCGAACAGAGTCCTACTCGCGCTCTATGTGCCACAACGCGGCTGGATGAAGCACAAAAGCGGTGACAGCCACAATGTCATGGCTGCTTTGCTAGTGTCTTACAGGACGCTAGGGGCCTAGCACCGTAACATCGACCTTACAGAAATATATGGCGAACACGGGGTTTCCTATTTGCGGGAGCCTGGTTTTGGTCCCAGCGCACGGGCTTGGCCGCTTCTGTCCGCGTACCGACTGAGACGGACCTCGCGACAGAGCCTACACCCGGTGTCTCCCCCCCAGCCCTGGGCAGAGCCTCCGCCCACTAGTCCTAGCACCGTAACAATTAAAACAGAGCCTACATACACACAATATTCCTTACCCCACGATAACTCGCTCTTCCTCGTCGTCCGGGGGCCGCGCCTGCTCCACGAAATCCGGCTTGGCGCACGCAAAGTACTTGGACAGGTTCTTGAACAGCGCGACCGGGATTTTGACGTATTCTTCTTCTTCGACGTCGTAGGCCACGTCCTCGTCGGGCACCGACGGCGATTTGCGCCACCGCCGCGGCGACCGCGGCGGGGGCCGGTCGACGATCGGCGCGTGGCGCGAGCCGTGGTGGAGCCAGCCCTTCTCGAGTTGCCTCATTTGCGCGGCGTCGGGTTTAGTCCGGCGCGGCGTCTTTCGCCGCCGGCGCGGCGTGACGACGGGCGCGGCGGGTTTCGGCGTCACTGGTGCGGCTGGCCGCGCGGCCGGCTTCGCGTCCAGGGGCGCCGGGCTCGCGTAGTAGCGCCAGCCCGCGCGGCGCTGTGCAAGTCGCTCCGCTTCCGGACTCGACCAAGGCGACACCGTGCGCTGCCCCGCGTCTGGGGACCACGCGAGGCGCCGCTTCGTGGGCGTGACGCGCGCGGCGCTGATGAGCATGGAAGTCTGCAGTCGTGTTGGCATGTCCATGGTGGCCAGGGCTGGCGCGTGGAACGGCGTCCGGAGCTGCGTCGATGGCGTCCGGAGTGCGACAACGATGCGAGCGGCTGCTGCCTCGCGGTTGGGCAGCGATGCGAGCCTTTGGCACGGATCGCCCGTCGCAATTCGTTCAGGGTGGACTCGTGTCGATGCGTGGGGCTGCGATTCGCGCGCGATGCGCTTGGGAGAGGAGCTTTGGCCGCCTCTCACAGATCCGGGTGTTTTTGTCATACTAGAGACCCGGCTTTTGCCTCTGAAGCCGTTGAGCAAAGACTGCTCCTTCCATTCACGCCGTCTGGCAGCAGGGACACGTCGATTTAAGTACGGGCAGAGGAGTCCCCGTCAGATGGCTGTCCAGCTCCGCACAAAAACACGCTGGTCTACGCGCGGTCAGCTCGAACGCACGTTCAGAGGCTGCGACGATCCCGGACACGATACCTTTCCTACGTTTGGGCCTTCGGTTCCATCCGTTCGTCAGCCCGACGCTTTCAGCAGCCATTGTTGAGCTTAGGGTGGCGGCTTGCTTTCGCGCCCGCGACGAGCTAATATCCACTAACATCGACTAATATCCACGACACAACTGACAATGCTGCGACCGACGGCCTTCGCAGTCCTCGCAAGCTGCGCGACGGCCTTCGTGCCCCCCGTGCGCGAGCACCTCCCGGGCCTCCAGCCGCTGAACGCGGCGCTGTCGGCGAAGGAGAAGGCCGAGCAGTACTGGCAGGGCGACTGGGTCTGCGCCGACTGCGGCTACGTCTACGACCGCAAGATCTTCGGCGGCCGCTACTTTGAGGAGCAGACGTTCGGCTTTAAGTGCCCGCAGTGCAGCGGCCCGCGGCGGCGCTACGCGAAGATGGTCGGCGACACGGTCGGCGTGACGCTCGATGGTGGGGATGGGCCGATCCTGCTCGCGAGCGGCGTCGGCTTCCTGATCACGATCGCGATCGGGTTCTATATCAGCAACAGCGATTTCTAGGCGCGCCGTTGTGCGCGCTGCCAGGCTGTGGCGCGTCATATTTGCGAGAAGTAAGTATGGGCATTGTGGTAAAAATAAATCATTAGTCTGGGACGCGCCTCAACGGCACCAATCAAGGCGGTCATGAAATTGCAAAAGGAGAAACGGGGGACGAATTCTGGCGGGGGCGACTAGACGCCCTCGCTCGCGACGATCGATGCCTTGTAGACTTGCGCGGGAGGCGCGGTCAGCTCGACCCCGCTTGGCACCGTTGGCGGCGTGGCGGCCAGGTCTTTTTGCTTGAGCTTCGGAGGCAAGCAACTCTTGCAGCACCCGCACCGCACGCAGATGCAGGCGATGATCGCGGTGATGATGGCCGGAACGCCAGAGAAAACCAAGAGATAGAGGAAAATGAATAAGGCCCAACCACCACCGCTGCCGCCGCCCCAGTCGTCGTCCCAGTCATCGCTATGAACCGCGTGGTCCTCCCACTGGTGACCCGACGCCGTGACCTCCTCGTGCGTGACGGCAACCGTGCAACACGTAAACAGGCAATCGTGATCCCCAAACTCGACCGGCACGTAGCCTCCCGAGCAGACCGGCTCGTCCCATGAACTATGACAGCACTCGTCGTTCCCGGACACGCCGCACTTGTCGTTGTCGCAGGAAAAGCTAGACGTTGGTTTTGGCGACGAAGTCGGCGCCGGCGACAGCGTCGGAGCCGTCGTGGGAGCGTTCACGCCGCAGAGGGGCACATAAGTAGACCACGTGTCGGAGTGGATGGCAAACCAGAGGCCCGACGTCGACACTCTCCAGTTCCATCGATTGTATTGCGGGTTGTGCCCTTCATTCATCACGGCGTGCCGTTCGTCGTAGTATTCACTGTAGTCGGGCTCGCCCGGCGCCCAGTTGTGGTACGAGTCCGCGCCGGCCGTCGAGTTGTCCGGCCAGCGCCATATCTGCTCGAACGCATGCGTGCCCGCTTCGCCCCCGCTCTCCCGGAGCCCAATCCAGCACACGTTGTCGCCACACGCGTCGCGCGCGGCCTCGTTGTCGGCGTCGCTGTGGATCGATGCAATCTCCCCACCGACGCTGACGCAGTACGACACGGCAGCTTGGTAGGACAAGGTGTCCGGTCCGACCGCATAGCCATTATAGGCCCGTGCGGCGGCCAAGGAGCCCAGCACAACAAGAGTACGCATGGTGGCAGCCCCCGGCTCGCGTGTTCAGTTTTCGGGCAGCCTTACGCGTCGATGGCGCGCTGGGCAGCCCAAAAAGGCAGCTCAGCTCTCACAAAGACGTGCGGGGTGACAAACCAGGCATTTATTGCGCCGCCCGGAAAGCCGCAACAGTGCCTTACAGATGCATAATCCCACATACGACGATGCCTAAGCAATTCCGTGCAGCCCTCCTGCTGCTCGGCGCGGCGGCCAGACCATACATAAAAATAGCAGAGCCCCTCCAGGACGCCGTCGTCTACGGGGAGGACGACGGGACGGGCCAGAACATCCGGGGCGTGCGCCTCGTGCTGCACTACTACGATTTGCCGGACGACGGCTACGACCGGCTGCGCGTCGTGACGCGCGTCGACCGCGGCTACACGAACACGCTGGGCCCGCCGCTGCCGGACAGCACGCTCACGCTGTCCTCGCGGCTGGGCACGCACTTCCTCGAAATTGTATTAAGGGATAGGGACGAGCCCGACGGCGACTTTGGGGACGCCGCGACCGTCACGTACGACTTAGTGCCGGCGCCGGGCGACGCTATTTTGCGGGAGGCGGGCGAGGTGAAGGACGTAGAAGGCGTCATACGACCGCGCGGCGACGAGCTGAGCCACGCGGCGTGCCTCGACCGACGGGAGAGGCCGATCCGCGTCGTACTCGCGGGCCAGCTGCAGCTGGGCGGCCAGTCCATGCTCGCGCTGGAGCAGGCGCGGCGGCTCCCCCTTATTAAAACCTGGTCCGGTCGACGGGCGTTCTCCCTGGACTTCGCCTTCGCCATACCCCCGCAGCCGAACCGGACGACCGGGCCGCTCGAACCACTACTAAAAGCGTTGGACGTTCCGGTGCACAAGTTCTACACGCAGATCCCCGGACACTTGGTGAGGGAGTGGGGTCGCGGGAACACGACGAACCGACTGTCGAGCATCCTGGCGGCCGCGCGTCATCTCGACGATTTGGCGGAGGACGTCCGAGGCATCATCCAGCCCTTCGTCGACGTGGTCAAGGGCGCGGACATATTTAGCTTTACGAACCACGAGAACCACCGCCATGATGATAGGACGATGGTCGAGGCGGCGCGCCTCGCGGGCGTGCCTCATATATTGTGCGAGCCGTCGAACCTGTGGTGGGGCTCGCTGCCGACGGGCGCCGACGGCACGGCGTCGGCGCTGGTCGTGCCGTCGCACTTCGCGGGCCGCTTCTGGCGGGAGCGCGGCGCCTTGACACAAGCGGCGGTCGTGCCCCCGGGCTTCGAGGCCGGGCCCATTCTCCGACAGGAGACGAATGTGAGTCGGGTGCGCTTCGGCTTCGTGGGGCGGCTCGCGCCCCAGAAGTCTCCTGGGCTATTTATAAGGGCCGCGGCGGCGGTGGGAGCGGCCTACCGGCACACGCCGCTCGACGTGTCCTTCGCTGTGTTGGGAGACGGCCCGCTGCGCGAACCGCTGGAACGATTAGCTCATAGATTGGGTCTGCGCGTGACGGGCGGGCGCTACGTTTCAGAAGAGAGAGGGCCCGGGACGGAAATGCATTTCGCGGGCTGGCTCGAGCCGTCCGACGTGAGAGCGGCCGTGCGCGAGTCGTTGGACGTGGTGGTGCACTCGAACGTATTGGAAGAAACCTTCTGCATGTGCAACGTGGAAGCGATGGCCGAAGGGAAGGCCGTGGTCACGTTCGGCGTGGGCGGCGTCTCCGAGTACTTACGACGGGGCGACGCGCACGGCATCGTGGTGGATACGCCGTCGGTGGCCGGGCTGACGGAGGCGCTGCTGCGCGTGGCCGAGGACTCGGAGTGGAGAAGACGTCTCGGTGCCGAGGCGGCGCCGCGCGTCCGCGGGCTGCACGGAGGCCAGGACCTGTCCTTCGACCGCATGGCAGTGCAGTACGCGAACCTGTACTCTGGTCTGGTCTGCCCCGCGCGGGATCTTAACCAGAGAGCTCAAGACGTGGCCTGCGTCGGCGTCGACGGCGAGAAAGCCGACGATGAGAACCCCGGGGCTTTGTTAAGAAGGGACGAGTACTGGGCGGCGGCCTGCGGCGTGGCGCGGCTGCTCCCGTCGAACGACAACCCCCAGATGCGCCAATTACTCGCACTGTTATTGGGGGAGGCGACGAGGATCGACCGCGAGAACGTCACGCCTTTACTGAATACGCGGGAGCGCGAGGCTCTGTTGGTCGCGGCGGCGGTCGCCGAGAGCGGGCTGCCGAATACGACGTTAGATCGGCGCGGCGCGCTCACGGCGCTCGCCGCGCAGTACCTCACGAAGGCTCAGGGCGCCGTCGACCAAGCGGCGACGCACTGGGAGGCTCTGTTCAAATTGAGGAGGCCCGTGCTGAACTGTTCTGGATCTCTGTGGTCTTACGCCGTCCCGGACACGGCGGCGCTCGTGTTCATGGAGGACGGGTCGGGCGGCGTCCTGCAGATGGGCGCGACGGGCCTCAAGCTGTCCAATTTAATTCCCGACCGACCGTCGGACTTCGAGGCGACGCCGGGGAAATTGAGGCACGCGGCCGCGCAGTTCGCGCACCTCGCGTCGACGGGCGTCGAGCTCGCGCCGAGTGTCGTGGACGCGCTCGCGCCGTGTTCCGTCACGAGCCTGGACGAGCTCGCATCATCTTACGCCGACGCAGCAGAGCGCCTCTCCGCTATCTCGCAAGACGACGAGACGGACGCGCGGTCGTTAAGGGAGGTCGCGTCCGACGCCGTGCTGCCCGTGTTAGCCACTTTGGATCGGGGCGTGCACCTGTACATGCCGCGATCGATGGACAGCGAGGCCGTGCTTATTGATGAGCAGACCGCTGCGAAAGCGACGGCGGACTTTGAGCGCATTAACCTTTGTGTGATTGATGGTGCGTTGTCGGACCACGCGTTAACGCATTTGCGGAAACAGCTCGTGGAGTCGACGGTCTGGTACGACGCCAAAAGGGGCCACCTCGGAGCGTACCTAGAAGACGGCATCGCCTCGGGTCTACTCCTGCAGGTCGTCGAGGAGTTCGGAGCAAAATTACCGGACATCGTGGGGCCGAAACGCCTCGTGCAGGCCTGGGGCTACAAGTATCATGGCCAGGAGGCGGACATGGGCATACGGCCCCACGCCGACGAGGGCGCCGTCACGGTCAACTGCTGGCTCACGCCGGACCGCTACAATCTTAGGCAGGGGAGCGGTGGATTGAGGATCTACAACGCGTCGGTGCCCGACACGATGCCGTTTCTGCAAGCGAATCGGGATTTCAGGGCCGTGCGCAAGCACGTCGAGCATGCGGACCGCGTGGACGTGGACCACCGCCAGAATCGGTGCGTCGTCTTCCGGTCGGCGCTCGTGCACGAGACGCTGCCCTTTTATTTTGAGCGATCGTATGACGCCTACCGCATCAACCTGTCGCTCATGTACGGCGTGTCCGACTGGCGGAGCGCGTACCAGTCGTCGCCCGATGCTTCGGCTTAGTAAGTTTGTGTGTGTTATTCGCTTCGCATGGTGAGGGCACCCGTTTAAGGTGCTAGCTATGTGACTTTTACGAGCCCCGGTGGCGCGACGGTTCTGCCGAAGACTCCGGCGACTCGGAGGCGCGGGCGAGCTTGTTACGTGCAATTTCCAGCACGCTGTGGACCTTCGGCGTCTCGGGATGCGATTCGCCAAGGACGCGCTTATACGACTTTGCGACGGACTCGAGCGTCGTCACGGCCTCGCGGAGATCGTCGAGCGTGGCCGTGGGGTCCTCGTGGAGAGCCATCGAGTAAAGCCACCTCATCGAAAGCGTAAGTTGACAAGTCTCTCCGAGAACGCGTCGCGCCACGGGAATATTTTTGCGCAGCAGTTTCTTGGTTTCTTTGAAGCGATCTAGTTTCGCTAGCAATGCAGCGTAGTTGTTGGCTGCTATGACGGTCGAGGCGTGCGCCGAGGACACGAAGGGCCAGACGTGCTACATCTGCACGCAAGCTCTCCATTGGAAAACAAAGGAGGGCCTCGTGCGCGGGTGTGCGTGCCGTGGGACGGCGGGCTTTGTGCACGTTTCGTGTCTGGCGGAGCAGGCAAAGATTTTGTGCGACGAGGCCGAGGAGAACAACTTGGACATCAAGGCGAAGAATGAGAGGTTTCGTCGGTGGCAAGAATGTAGCCTGTGTGAGCAGACGTACCACGGCGGCGTGAAATGCGCGCTCGGGTGGGCGTGCTGGAAGACGTACCTGGGCCGGCCGGAGACGGACGAGATTCTGCTCTTTGCGATGGGCGTGCTTGGGAGCGCTTTATCCGCGGCAAAGCAATACGAGGACGCGTTGTCCGTGAGAGAGGCCAGTTTGGCTACGCGGCGGCGCATTGGCGCGCCAGAAGAAAGCATGCTCGTCGCGCTGGGCAGTCTTGCGAACTCGTATCACCAACTTGGACGGCTTGAAGAGACCAACCGCATACTGGGAGACGTATACTCCAGACATTGCAGGCTCTCGGGCGAGGATGGTGAGTCGAGCCTAGCCTCGGCCTACAACTACGCGAATAGCTTTAGTGAACTAGGGCGCTTCGAAGAAGCAAGATCACTGTCGCGCAAAGCGATACCCGTGACACGACGCGTTTTGGGGAAAAATCATGAACTCACGCTCAGGATGAAGTGGATTTATGCGTGTGCGCTCTACAAGAAGCGAGGCGCCACGCTCGACGAGCGCCGCGAGGCCGTGACGACGCTCGAGGAGACAGCACGGACCGCGCAGCGTGTACTCGGGGGCGCGCACCCGACGGCAGCGGGGATAGAGAAAGCCCTGCGAAACGCGCGAGACGTGCTCCGCGCCCAGGAAATTTTGCAGCCGAGGACCTTTTCCCGGGGGTAGCTAGCTCGAGACGGCTCTAGCTAAGTTCTAATCAAGTTATACTCAGTGCACCCGGAAGCGACAAAGCTTCGTCGCCGCCGCGCCCTGGTTGCTCGCGACGGACACCTCGACCGCGGCGACCACGGGCCGGGGCCGCCGCGGGAGAAATTTGGCCGGGAAGCGCTGGGCCGCCGGCCCGTCGGCGTCGTAGGCGAAGGCGCCCAGGTCGTACGTCGCGGACCCGTCCACCGCGAAGCCGGTCACCGAGAACTCGCGCGGCGCCGCCGCCTCGAGGCGCCTCGGACCGTGGGCTTTCGGCGCGTGCTCCAGCACGAAGTATTCCGGCTGGGCCGGCCGGCTGAGCCGGATGAGCACCCTCCCTTGATCCCCGGCAAAGCCCCAGCACCGCGCCGCGTTAACAGCTCGCGACGAGATGACCATCGAGGGCCCGGGCTCGAGCTTCAGGAACCCCCGCACTTTGCTCTTGAGCGTCGGCGGCGCCGTCGCGTTCACGACCACGCCGCCCGCGCGGCTCGACGCGTAGTCGTACGCGCCCGCCCGCGCCCGCGCCGCGGCCTCGACGTGCTTCCGCGCGACGTCGACGGCTCTTAAGTCATCTGAAGCCGCCCGTTCCGCCGCCGCGTGCAGCGCGTTTCGCACGTCATCCGACACCTGCGGCTCGTAGGCCCGGCGCGCGTCGACGGCCTCCGTCAGCGCCGCCGCCGCCGCCAGAGCCTTCTTCGCCGCCCGCTCGCTCGACGAGAAGACGCCCGAGTCCATGGCCGCCTCGATCTTGTCGTTCGCCGCGGCGGCCCGCGCCGCGGCGGCCTCGGCGGTAATAACTTCGCCGCCGCGCCGCGGCTTGACGGCGTCCTGGGCGCGCTGGAAGGCCGCGGCCACGGCCTCGCGCGCGCCCGTGGCCGCGGTTGCCGCCGCGGCCGCGCCGGCCGCCGCGGCCTCGGCCGCCGCTTTGGCCGCGGCCGCGCGCTCCTTCACGGCGACGAAGCGCGCCCAGCCCTGGGCGTGGGCGTCGGCCTTGGTCCGCGTTTCCGAGGCCGCGAAGGTCGCCTGCTGGAGGTCGCGCTTCGCCGCCGCGAGCGCGCTCCGTTTCGAAGCGAGGGCCTCGGCGCGGCGCCGCGCGCTGCCGAGCAGCGTCGCGGCGCGGCTCGCGCGCGCGTGCCGCAGCACGGACGCGTCGAGCGCCCGCGGTGGCGCGTGGCGCCGCGCCTGCAGCGTGAAGGCGCCGCCGAAGGCGAGGACCGCGACGCCGGCGAGGACGTAGGCGAAGGGGATCGTTGTCGTCACGCGCCGGCCGCGGTTCGGCGCGCCGCCGGCGCTCAGGACGTAGGCCTTGGCGGCCGCGAAGGCTGCTTTCGCGGCGTCGACGGCGCGGCGCACCTGGTGGCCCGGCGGCGCGGCGGGCGCGGCGGCAGGCGCCGGCGCCGGAGCGGGAGCCCGCGCGGATCGGCGGCGCGCCGGTGCCGGCGCGGGCGCGGGGGCGGGCGCGGCGCGGCGCGGGCGCTCGACCGTGGGCGCGTTGGCGGCAGCGATCACCGCCTCGTGCTCCGCGGCCGCGGCGGCGCGCGCGGCGGCCGACGGCGCCGACCGGCGGCGCGGCTGAGTGCCCGTCGGGCCCGGCGGCGGCGACCGGCCGCGCGTCGACCGGCGCGGGCGCGGCGGTGGCGCCGGCGGCGCCTCCTCCTCGCTCTCGTCGGGCTCCTGCGGCGGCTGCTCCTCCTCCTCGTCGTCGTCGCCGCGCGCGGCACGGCCGCGCTTCGGCGACGGGCCCGCGACGCTGCTGAAGCGGAGGCGGCGCTTGGCGGCCATTGATCTGTCAGTTCTCTGTCAGTTCTAAGGTCCGCGCGCGACGCGGCAGAGTCCGCGTCGCCTGGTGGCTGGGGGTTTCGGGACCGTGCTGAAACGGAAAAGCGATCCGAGCGAGCAGCGCTGCGACCAATGATTACTGCCGTGTTGCTGCTAGCGTCAAAGTCTGCGCGCAGTTCGAGCACGCGCGCGCGCCGCGATTGCTTGGGTTTGAAACCCGAATTGATTGCCGTCCACAGACGCGCCCCATCCACTCTACATAACTCTCCGAGAAGGTCCTCAGACGCCTCCCTTGCTGTCTAAAAGCGGAAGTTGGCTCGGGCCCCAGGCTTCATCCGTTTTGGCAACTTTTGCTGGCAAACAAACGGGGCTGCCCACACGCCGGCCACCGGCCGACCAAGCGCGAAACCGAGCCGGGAAGCGACCCGGCGGTGGGGCGCCGCACGCCACCAGCAACGACAGCGCCGGTCGCGCGCCGCACGCACCCAGCAACCGACACAGCAATGCCGTACGCCCGGAGCGCCCCGACGGCGGACGCGGCGCACTACGAGCAGGACCGAGCTCTCCAGTGGCAGCGCGAGAAGCAGATCCGCAAGGACGCCGCGCGGCGGCGCAAGCTGCGCGCGCAGAGCAACGAGAAGCGCCAGGCGGCCGAGACCGAACGCGCCCAAAATGAATACGCCGAGCGCAAGCACAAGAAGCTCGAGTACGTGAAATATTTGCGGAGCCAGCTCCGGAAGCGACAAAAGCCGAAGCGGACGCCGCGCGAGCCGACGCAGTACGAGGTCGAGGAGCGGCGCAAGGAGGCGTCGAAGCGGCGCGCCGTGCAGGCGCGCGAGCGCGAGGCCGCGCGGCGCACGGACGCGTTGGCGGCGGCGACGGCCGCCGCGCGCGCGCTCGCGCGGAAGAACGCGCGGCGGGCCCAGGACGCCGATTCAGTTGCGCGGACGGCGCCGCCGATGGGCGCGTGCCCCACCACCCGTTCGTCCTGCGGCGACCTCGCGGCGCCGGGCCTCGACGGCACGCAGCCCTGGTCGGCCGTCGCCGACGCGGCCGCCGCGCGCCTCCAAAGAAGGATAGATAGAGGCAGGCAGGCCCAAGAGGCGCTGTCGCGGCGCCACGAGCAGCACGTGGCCTCGATCTGCGACTCGCCCGCGTCGACGATGCTGTTCCAGGCCTGGCGGGAGGAGGCCGCCGCGGCCGTCGAGCGGGGCCAGGCGGCCGCGGCGGCGCCGGCGCCGGCGACGAATAATGAAGTGTGGTCGAAGCGCCTGGACCACGCCCCCTCCACGCTCTTCTCGTCGCTGGACCTGTCGCTGAACGAGCGCCAGAAGGCGTCCCTGCCGCCGCAGCCCAAGGTCGGGGGCTACGGCGCGATCCACGCGGCCAAGGCGTCCACGCCGCCCAAGAAGGTCTACGCCAAACGAGGCGAGGGCCTCGACACGCCGACGACGGGCTACGCGCGGCGCGCGGCCCTGAAGGGACGGACGCCGCCGCAGCGGACGCCCTCGTCCGGCGCGCCGACGACGGCCTCGTCGCGGCGCACGCGCCAGAAGAAGCCCAAGCCCGCCTCGCCCAAGGAACGGTGGGGCGCCGGCGGCCGCCAGACCGCCGCCGAGCGCGAGAAGGAGTTGCTGCGCAAGCGCAAGGCGGACTTCGCCGCGCGGCAGCGGCTCAAGAACCAGCAAAAGGCCCGGCGGAAGGCCCAGAAGAGCCAGCGCGCCTCGGCGTCGACGGCGGCGACGTCCGTCTATCAAAAACCGCTCGAGCTGCAGAAGGCGCCGGCGCCGATGCCCTGCGAGCGGTCGCCGGACCTGCCCGTGTCGCGGCCGAAACCCCGTCGGAAAGCGCCGGTGGACACGGCCCTGATCTCCGTCGAGGAGCGCGACGTCGCCAAGAGTCTGCGGAGGCTCGACGGCCTCATCCAGGAGCGACTGAAGCGGCGGCAAAAGCCGACGAAGCCCGCGTGGCGGCCGCCGTCTCCGTTAGGCTCGCTGTCGCCCGTGCACGAGTCGCCCGCGCGCCGGCCGTCGCCGCGGCGGCGCCGCGGCGACGCGCGGTCGCCCGACGGCTGGCGCCGCTGCTCGCCGGTCTCGGACGCGTCGCCGCCGCCGCGCCGCCGCCGCCGCGACGACCGCGAGCGGCGACGCGCGCCGACGCAGCGCGAATGGGACGAGACGCCCGTGGGCGGCGGCGACGCCGCGGCCGACTTCGAGAACGCAGCCCGACATATGGGCTCGCAGAAGCCGCGCCGGCGGCACCTGCCGGACCGGCCGCCGCTGCCGGACCGGACGAACCAGGGGGAGGGCCTCGTCGTGCAGACGTCGCTGGCCTACCTCCTCGAGTAGAGTAAGTACCTATTTCTTACACTCGACGCACTCGTTCCTATGGATCTTCCAGTCGGCTTTCTGGCAAGAAGCGGAGCAGTAGGCCCGGCCCTTGCACCGCGAGCAGCGCATCATCGCGGTGCGAGCCGCGACCTTGCGGCAGGCGTCGTGGCCGCAGGCGAGGATGGACGCGTCGCCGTCCTTGACCGACGGCGCGAGTAATGTGGGCGGCGGCGGCGGCGTCTTCGCGGGGTCCACGCCGACGCGCGACAGCGCGTTCGCGAGCGACCCGTAATAATATAAAGTTGGCCAGAGCAGGTTCGGGTCCGACGCGATGAAAAAAGGTGAGAGGAAGGCCCGGTTCGAGACGAACGTCGCGCCCTCGAACTGGGCGTCGTCCCGGCCGGGGAACCGCGTCCCTTCCGTGCCGCCGTCGGCGGCCGCGAGCGTCGCCAACGCCGTGTCGACGTCGCCCAGACCGTAGGCCCCGAAGGGCTCCTCCATCAAAGTGCCGCCGTTGTCGTAGACGGCCGCGTGTCTACCACCCACTCCCCCACTCTCGCTCAACACATAAGCCCGGCGGGCGACGACGTCCAACCGGCGGCACGCATCGTCGAAGCAAGCCTCACAAAAGCTTTGGGGGGTCTTGCGCTCGTGGCGGCAGCAGACGCGGAACGTCGGCTGCTTCTTGTAGGCGTTGTCCCTCGCGGCCTGCCTGGCCTCTTTTGGAAAAGCGAAGGCGTCGGCGAAGCCGGGGCGGACCACGGGCCGCAGGAAGGCGCGGTTCCTCGTCGAACGCTTCTGCGTGTTTTTGTCGGCCTTCAACTCTTCCGCCTCCGTGCGCGCGCGGCCGTAGGCGACGACCAATCGGACTTTCGCGTCCGCCGCGGCGCGGTCGTGGAGCGCCGATAACGCCTCGACGGCGCCGGCGCAGGCGGCGCGGCACTTCTTCTTGCCGACGAGCGCCGTGAGTTCCAACGTTTGTGGCAGGCAGCCTCGCAGCGCGAGGATCAGGGAGCCCAGGTCCGGCGCGTCGACGACGGCCGTGCGCATGCCCTCCGCCGTCGGGTCCGGCTCCGGGCACCGTCGCAACGTCTCGCAGGCCACGTCGTGCAGGCGCCGGCAGTCCTTCGTCAGCGCGCAGCGGTCGTGGAGCGCGCGCCGCGCGACGCCGCAGCCCAGGCGCGCGCCGCGCCAGAGCCAGGCCTCGCCCTCCCTCAACGTCTCGGCCTTGGCGCACAGTCTCAAACCCAAGGGAGCCATGGCCGGCGCGCAGCCGCCGTCCGCGGCCTGGCGGAGGTACTCGAGCGCCCGCGTCTCGTTTGTAGACTGCGACTGCGTCTGGAGCAAAACCGTCGCCGCGCGGAAGGCCGCGGCGGTGTTCCCCGCCTTGGCGCAGGCCTCGAGCTCCTCCAAATCATTCGCGAGGCGCCAGCGCGGCCCGCCCGGCGCGCCCGCCTTGAGCTTGTCGAAGACGTGCCGCCTTAACAAATTCGGCTCGGCCCGCGCGTAGTCAGTACACGACGGCATGCGCGGCGCCCGCGGGTGCGCCGCGAGCTCCATCGCCGCGCGGCCGGCCTCCTTTTCGTCCTTGTCGTCCTTCTTGAAAGTAGGGCCATAGCAATCTACGTGGAGCTTGCACTCCCGGGAGCACTTTTCCGAGCAGAACACCACCTCGCTGCACACGCAGACCACCCGACATCGCGGCTTTGTGAGTACGCCACATCCCGTGCACGCGATCTGCGCGAGCGATGTCGCCACCTGCTCGAGCTTTTGCGCCTGCTTCGACGGGGCAGGGAGCTTCGCCACGGCGCCGAAGGTGTCGTCGTCCCAGGGCCCTTCATCACGCTTATCCAGCTTAATATTGATGCGGTCGGCGCCCTCGAGCGTCCAGGCGCCGCCCTCACTTTTCGTAGAAGGGTGCTGGAGCGCCACGGTCGCGCCGTTCGCTCTTACAGTAAGTTTCGTCGCCTCGAAGCCCACCTCTATGTCATTCATCTTCGCCGGCGCCGGCAGCTTTACGCTGACGTAGGCCGCGGCCGCCGTCTGGTGCCAGCTTAAAGCCGCCTCGCCGCCCGACGGCTCCGCTTCATCTTCGTCGACGGCCTCGAAGCGTTCGTAGTTAATGTCGAACTTCTCCCAGGGCTTGCGCGTGCCGACGCCCATTTTGATATGCTTGTCTGCAGTCAACTGTTGGGCCTCCGAAAGCTGCCCGACCGCTCTGGGCCAGTTGTACGGCGCTCGTACGAAGTGATGCGCAACCTGTACGTTGCGTGCGCCGCGGAAACGACGCACAACGCGCGCAGGCTTCGACGCGAAGCTAGTATGTTACTCGCACGCTAGCTAGATTTGCGCGCGGCGTCGCGCGAACGCACGCGTCCGCGTCTTCGGACTCGCGGTCACTGCCATTTGTTTGCGCCTCGCACGCTCCGGGCAGCCTCCACTACCCGCAGCACGCCCGACAGTCTCACAAGATGTCGGACTCGGACTCGAGCAGCTACGGCGTGTACGCCGAGGACGAGACCTTCGAGCAGATGATGGACCGGATGGAGAGCCGCGACACGAGCGACGAGGAGGGCAGCGACAAACCAACACAAAGGCGCTACTCCGTCGCGCTCGACGGCGCGGCGAGCTTCTCGGTCTGCGACCGCAGCAAGCGCAGCGTCGCCCTTCGCCGCGCCATCGCCTGCTTCGCGGACTACGAGCCGCCCTTCGACTCGGACCAGACGTCGGCCATGTTCGAGGACGCGCTGCCGGCGGTCGCGCGCGGCGAGGGCGCCTTCGAAGTTACGGAAGGGCACCGGCACCTCTTCGTGGGCGGGACGCTCGTGCAGGTCGCGGCGCGTATGGTGGATGCGCCCCTCGCCGCCGTCGAGGCCGTCATCTGGGGCGAGTTGCTCGCGCGCGAAGGCGCGACGTGCCTGCGCCGCCTGTCGGACGACGAGCTCATCTACGTCCAGCGGCGCGATAATGGAGACGCCGTGGTCCACGCACGCATCACGCGGGCCGACGTCGTCGTCATCGCGTGCTGCTCTGTCGAGTGCGACCTCGCGCCGGCGACGCGGGTCCTGCCGTTGCAGGGCTACGTCCTCGCCGCGAACGGCGGGACGACTCAATTGACGTGGGTGCGCGAGGCCGACGTCGCAGACGCGTCTGCTTTACATGCGGTGCTCGCGGCGAACGACGCGCGCGTCGATATGCTCGTGGCACGTTGTGTCAAATAAGTGTGCAAGTATTAGTCGGCGCCCGTCGGGAGCACGTAGCAGCCGTAGCGGTAGCAGGCCGCCGGCGTCGAGAGGTACTGGACGGGCGGCACGCGGTCCTCGACGCGGCCGACGTTGACGCCGAGGTCGGCCGCGTGCACGCCGCTCAGCTCGGCCGCGCCGGCCTCCGTGACGTAAAAGTCCGGCGGCGTCACGTTCCCAGTACAGGCGCGCACGTCCTCGGGCGCCAGCGCGACCTTCTCGACGCGCGGCTCCTTTGCGGGACGGCGCCGCGTCCTGACGTTGGCCATATGGGCATAAACGTCGCTCCGCGTCGTGGCGTCGCCGGGCCGCGCGTCGGCCAGCGGCACGTAGTGGTCCGCGTGGCAGTGGCCGAGCGTAATTTCGTCGGTGGGTTTTTCGGGGTCGGCGTCGTAGGCCAGGGCCTCCGGCGACGCCGTCGAGAGCACGACGACGCGGACGTCGTACAGCGCCGACGCGGCGAGCAGCCGCTGGTCCTGCCGCGCGCCATTCCGCGTGCGTGCCTCGTTCTCCTTGATCCAGGCGTCCAAATTCGCCTCGAGCAGGTACGCCGTGCGCACGTCGCGGCCGAGGCGCTTCAGCACGGTACAAAGCGCCGCGCAGAGGCCCTCGCCCTCGTCGGACGCGGCCTCGGGCTCGACGCCCCAGCTCCGAGCCATGACCTGGAGCAGCCGTACCGCCTCCTCCCGGGTGGTGCACTGCGCATGGGCGGCGCGCTCCTCCTTCGTGGCGTCGCGGGCGGCGGGCGAGGCCCACACATTGCGGAGCGGCATTTTATTGGGTTGGGGCAGCGGTCCTCGTCCGGTACTACGCTGTTCTCGTTCGTGTGGCTGCCAACCGATGTTTGCAAAGTGCGGGTTGCCTCGAGTTCTCGCGCGATGCGATGCGAGGTTCTGGGGCGTGTTGCGATGATTGCACAACAACACTTAAGCTTGGGGCCCGGTGCTGTGGTCGCCCGCGAACGACCTCCCCGCGACGAGCGCGGCGGCGATGCCCGCGACCTCCATCGCGATGGACGTGTGCCCGTGCGCCTCGTACACGACCAGCTCGGCGCCTGGGATGAGCCTCTGGTTTAGTTCCACGTAGGACTCCTTCACCTCGCCGTCCCTCTCGACGTAGAGGAAGCACGGGCACTTGATGGCCGCGATGTCGTAGGACCAGCCCGCGTGGCTCCAGACGCCCTGCATCTCGTAGAGGAGGCCCCTTTTGGAGTTCGAGCCGTAGAGCTCCGCGTCCAGCAACTTGGTCACGAACCAGTGGTCCGAGGCCATCGCCGCGGGCGCGCCGCCGGCAGCCTTCGACTTGTAGCACGCGTAGCCGCCGCACGCGTGGCCCGCGAAGCCGTAGTCCTTGGACTTGTCCGGGTTGTAGTAGAGGCCGGCCATCATGGACCGCACGAAGCCGCCCCAGCAGCCCCTGGCGTCGATCGAGCCGCCGCCGCCCGTGTCGACCTTCTTCCGCTCCGCCTTCGAGACCGAGGGGTGGAAGATGCAGCCCGGCGACGACAGGATCGCGGCGCCGAGCACGCGCTCCGGCAAGGCGGCGGCCAGCTGCATCGCGTACACGCCGCCGCACGAGTGCCCGAGGCTGTAGAACTTGTCCACGCCGAGCGCGTCGAGCAATTCCGCAATCTCCGGAATGCGCTCCGCGAAGACTACCGGCGCCGCGAGCGCGGAGGACCGCCCGTGGCCGAACTGGTTGACCCAGAGCATCCGGACGCCCGGCACGGGCTCCTTGGTCCACAGGGAAGAAACGTTGAATCCCCCCGCGGCGAAGCAGGCGACGGCCGGGTCTCCCGCGCTGCCCTCCTCGAAATACTCGAGAGCGTTGCCGTTCTTCAGTCGGAAGATTTTGCCCGGCAGCGCCGCCTTGCGCGCGAGGAAGCCGGGGTCGAAGGCCGTGAGCGGCGGCGTCATGGGCACGGGCTTCTTGAAGGTCGGCGGCGGCACGGGTTCGGGCAGCACCGACGCGGCGGCCTCCATGGCTGTATTACAATCACTGCGCCAGACTGAGTTGGGGCTGCTGGGGCTGCCTCGGGAGTGAGCCAGCCAGAGCGACCACTCCGCCAGCGCCTAGTGAGCCAGAACGACCGGCTTGAGTCCGGCTGAGTCGGGGCTGCTCTCGTGTTGCTTCTTGCTAGTGCCTTACGACGCTAGATAGCCAGATTTTTGCCTAGCATTTGCCGTGCAGACTTAAGTAGTCTGAACTCTATACCTAAAGGATCTGCTAATCTTGCGTAGTCGCCGCCGTGACGTAGCCATCGTGACTGATCGCTCGGCAGACTCTGAAAACCATGAGATTATTTGCCCTCAGCATCACAATTTTGCTGGCGCGCGCGGAGATAGGTCTCCACCTTCTCGACGGGACAGACACGCCGACGCTCCATCGTGATATAGCCGCACCGAGCACGGTCTCGATCGAAGACTTACTGAAACCGTTCGCCGGCAAAAAGCCGGGCCTCGCCTTCCGCGTCCACGCCGACAACGACGCGAAGGCCGCGGGCGGCGTCGCCGATGCCGTCGTCGCTTCGTTGCGAGAGTCCGGCTTGCCCGCGGACCCGGCGGAGGCGGTCGCCGTCCTCACTAAATCTCCCGTGCCGCTTTCGATCACGCTCCAGTTCGAGTACCTCGAGACCGCGTGGCCTGTTGGCGTCAAGAAACTAGCGGAGGCGTTCGGCGAGACGAATGGGCGGGCAGAAGTTGAGGGAGGCTTGCTGCTCCACGCCTACCTCTCGACGGCTGGCGCCGCTGCGCTCCCATCGCACGAAGATCTAGGTGATATCCTCGTCGTCCAGCTCTCGGGGGCCAAGACGTGGACGTTCGACGGCGATGATTACGTCGTGACGCTCGAGCCGGGCGACGGCCTCGTGATCCCGGCCGACACGCGCCACGCCGCCCGCGCGACCGAGGGCGGCGTCTCTGCCCACCTGACGATCCACCGCATCGGCGAGCACCAGACCGACGTCGCGCGTCGGCAGCTTCGCTTCGACGACGAGGACCCGCGGCGGTGCTACTCGGGAGACGCGTACTGCCCCTCCGCATGCGAGGGCGACTGCGACGACTGCGTGTATTGTACGGACGCCGACACGATTTGCCGCAGCGAAGTCGAGAAGAATCCTTTCTACGACGGCTATCCCTACAACATCTGCTGCCTCACCGTCGGCTACGAGATAGAGCGGGCGGAGCCGTGCGAATGCCCGCGCTGGCCCGGGCCCGACCCCGATTGCTCGCCGACGTACCAGCCGACGAAGAAACCTACCTCGCCAGGAGGATACGCCCCCACGTACAAGCCGACGCGCAAACCCTCTGGCTCGGGAGGATGCGAAGATGACGAATCTTGGAAATACGACGCGGGTGAAAAGGGTGAAAAGGGGTGTGACCACGTCGCTAGCGAGCCGGACAAGGTCGAAAAGCGATGCTCGCAGCGCGTGTCGGAAGACGGCGTCCCCGCGTACGAGGCGTGTAAGCTCACGTGCGGCACGTGTTCCTTCTCGCTCCACGACAGCGACATGACGTACAAACAGTGCAAAAAGGCGTGCGAGAAGAAGGGCCTCCGGATGCCGTGCATCACCTCGAGGGCTGTCGACGAGGCGCTCGAGAGCGCCATAAAGCTAGAACGGGACTATTCCGGCTGGATCGCCTACAATGACAAGGATACGGAAGGCGAGTTTGTCTGGGAGGACGGCTGTACGTCGTCGTACACGAATTGGGACGCGGGTCCGCCCCAAGAACCCAACAACGACCCCAACTTTGGCGGCGAGGACTGTACGATCAAGTGGAACGATGGTACGGTATGGAACGACGTGCCTTGTGATTTCACCTACCCGTGCTACTGCCAGGCCGTGAAGGGAGGCGGGTACTAGGTAGATTCAGACCCCCACCGCACGGAAAATAAGCACAATAATACTATGTACGCCTAGGGGGGTAGAATTCGGGCGCCACGCGCGTCTCACTTCCCGAGCTCGAACCCGGGCGCCTCCGCGAACGCGTCCAGGACGAGTCCCTTGAAGCCGAGGTTCACGATCTCCTCCTGGCGCATGCCCGCGGTGTCGAAGCCCGCGGCGACGTCCGGGACGCGGCCCAGGTCAAAGCCGGCCGGCTCGAGCGCTTCGAGCATGGCCCGCGCCATGGCCATGTTGAAGAGCATGGCGTCGTTATCGCCATTTGACAGGACGACGAGGCCGCGGGGACCGTTCGCGGCGGAAGGACCATCGAAGCAGACCAGAAACAATCCCCTAAACCTGTGTAAAAATCAAAGTGTGTCGGGTGCACCCGAAAATTCTTCACTTGTCATTTCTCGGCGATGGCGCGGCCGTCCTGGCTCGGTCGAGCGGCGAGGAACCAGCATCGCCACGCCATCGAGCAGGCGTCGCGTCGATGGCGTGGAGGACGACGCGATGATTCAGCACGAACGCGCCGTAAAATTTTGATTTCCACACAGCCGTAAACCCGTCGTTGGCCGCTTGGTGGAGCATCCACCGGTCCGGGCTCCGCGGATCGCCTGCATGGAACGATGCCGTCGATGGCGTCAACGTCGAGCTCAATATTCGCGCGGAACAGCACCGGACGCGACATCCCTGATAAAAATCCCGCGGCCCATGCGCGCGCCCATGAAGGCGCCGGCCCCCAAATCCCTGCGCCGCTCGAGCATCAACCTGGCGACGGCGTGCATGCCGTCGCCGCGGTCCCGGTGCGCCTTTGATAGCCCGCAGAGCCACTCGCCCAGCCCGCTCGCCGTGCCCATGGCGCCGGCGGCGAACGGCGGGAACCAGAGCCTACCCAGAACCTCGCCGCCGTCGCGATAACCGACCGCGTGCGTCTGTCCTTCCGGCACGTCGAAGCCGAAGTCGACGAGGCTCTCGCCGGTCGGCGCGCCGTCCAGCTCGTAGCCGAAGCGGCCGCCGCACGGCGCCAAAGCTTTCTCGGGACCGAGCGCGCACTCGAGGAGGTGCTGGAGCACGAGGAAGCCGCCGCCCGAGTACGCAAAGGCCGAGCCCGGCTTCTTGACGCACTCGACGGCCGCGTAGCCCCACTCTTCCGCCCGGCCCGAGACCAGCTCGAGCGACGAAGGTTTTGGTTCGCTTTCCGGGACGCCCGGCACGTAGTGCAGGCCGAGCGCCGAGTGGTCGATCAAGTGGGAGACGGTGACGGCGTCGCCCCAGCCGTCCTGGCCCTCGATGCGCCAGGGCGAGCCGTGCGCGGCCAGCAATGGGTTTACGGCCGCGTCGGCGTCGAAGCGAGTGAGCGCGCGGCGCGCCGCGACCGGCTTTGATAAGCTCGCGAGCTGGAAGAGCGTGGTAGAGGCGACCGGCGTCCCGCTTGCGACGTCGGCCAGGCCTCCGTTCACAGGGATGACTTCTCCGGCATCGATCACTGCGGCCTGCACGCCTGCCACGCCGTGGCGCTTGAGGAGCTGGGCTGCGGTGTCCTCTAGCTGCGCGGCGTCGACGGCCAGGGAGCGCTTGGCTGCGCAGCGCAGCGGTCGCAGTGATGCACGCGCGAGCATCATTGCTGGTTCAGCGAGTGTATGCAGCGATTGAGCGTCAAACGAGAGTCTACAGGGCAAGAAGCGCGCTCTACTCGCAGACTAAATTGAGGTGAGACGCCGAGCTGCACTAGTGTCTTACATGCCGCTAGGCCGGCAAAAAAGTCGATCCTCTCGGAGCGGGCAAACGTCCTCCATCATCATCATCAATCAATACTCTATAGATCATCATGGCCCTCGAACCCATGGACGTCAAGAACATCATCGTCTGGCTCCTCAAGCTCGCCGTCGCGGCGTTGTATTACTACTCTGCGGCAGTCTCTGCCTCGGGGAAACAACCGGACCCCTGGACGGCGCTACTCGCGGCCGAGCTCCTCGAGGGCGCACTCACGGGTATTTGGGCGTGGGTGGGCCACAAGTTCGTCTCGGACCATGTCGCGCGGTCCATCGGATGGCCGACCGGGCACCGTTTCCAGAACGAGATCGCGTGGATGAACGCTGGCATCGCCGTAGTCATGGCCCACGGCCTAATCATCGGTATGTTGAGCGGTCAGGAGATCCGCTGGGACGCCGTCGTGGCGGCGGTCCTCACTCAGGGCACGATTTATCTCGGATGCGCCGAGACGCACTTCATCGCGATTCATGAAGATGAAAATTGGTGCGTTTCAAACGCGGGATTCATGCTCCTGATGGTGGATGACATCGGCTCCGTCCTGCTCAAGGCGGCCCTACTTTTACTGGCGAGCGATTACGGTGCGCAGCTCGACGCCGCACAACTGTACGCCACCGTCGCGGTACACTTATCGGCTGTGTGGTTCACGTACCGCTACTTCACCGAGGTCTGGCCGAACCGCGAGAAGGTATACGTCCCCGAGCCCTGGAAGGGCGACTGAGCTAGTAAAACCTAAGTTAGACACCCCACCAACGCCGTCTCCGCCAGCGCCGGCAGCCCCACGAGCTCAGCCGCGTGGGCGTCGAAGTCCCGCCGCAGCGCGTCCAGCGTCGACGCGGGCAGGTCGTCCGCGGCCGCCGCGTACGCGTCCACGAGCCGTGCGAGACGAGCCGCGTCTCGAAAGACGGCCTCGAGCGCCGCGCCGACGTCCTCCTCGTCCAAACGCAGGGCGTCCCGCAGATCCAAGAGGAAGGCGCGGTGGGCGTCGCGCAACGCGTCGTAGTCGCCCGGCTCCTCGATGCGCTCGCAGAGGCGCCGCCAGAGCGGCTCGACGCCGTCGCGCTGTAGGACGGCCACGATGCATCGGCACAGGGCGGAGCAGCGGAAATGTAAATGTTGCAGCCGCATCAAAGCGGCAAAACCGTCGCGCTCGTCGCGGCGCCGGTGCGACGCGCAGAACTCGCGGCCCGCCGATGAAAGCGCCGGCCAGCACGCGTCGAGGTCCGCGAGCGCCTTGCGCGCCGCGAAGATGCGCGCAAAGGCCGCCTGGTAGTCCTCGCCCGCGGAGGAGCCCGGAAGTAGATCCCCAACGGGCCACCGCGGCGCCACGTCGCACCGCAACGCCCGCGACCAGGCGTCCGCCGCCCGCGACGCCTCGGCGTCGGCCCGGGCCGCTCGCCTCGAGAGCGACGACGAGCCCAACACCACAGCCGCCGCACTCGTCTCCTCCTCCTCGATGTCGTCGAAGGCCAGCGAGAAGCGCGCCACATCAACTGGTGCGTCGCCCACGAGCTCGAGCGCGATCGCCGCGCGGTGTCCGCCGAGCACGCCGCCGACGTCCACCACCACTTTCACCGTCGCCCGGACGGCGTCCGTGACCGCGTCGGCGGCAAAAACATCAAGCTCCCAGCGTCCGTCGACGCCCCGGGCGCTGCGCAGCGCCAATCTCGCTTTTTCCAACGAAGCGGGCCGCGTGGCAACAACTGAACCGTCCAACGAGACCTCCAGCAGGCCCCCGTCGGTGAGCGCCGCGGCGACGGCGGGCCGCCGCCGCCGCGCGGCCATGCCCGGCCTTCTCAAAGCCAGCCGCACGCGCGCGTCGCCGCCGCGCCCCGCCGCGACCGCCTCCAACCGCCACGCCCGCTGGGCCAGCCGCCGCGGCTCGAGCGCCTCGAGCGCCGGGACGGCGGCCGCTTCAGCTAGCGGGAACCGCGGCGTCGCCTCGTCGTCCGACTCTTGTTGGTCTGCGGCCCCGTCGCCTCCGAGCACGACCACATTATCGGACCGCGCGGCGGCGCCCCTCAAACCAAAACGCGCCCGGAGGTCGGCCTCCGCCGGCGACCAGAGGAAGGGCTCCGGGTCGGCCACCACTAAAGCTGTCGTGCGGTCGGCGCCGCCCCGGGCCGCGACGACGGCGTCGAGCGCCGCGCGGTGGCCCACGCGGTCGCCCACATCTAAAGTCGTGGGCGCCGTACGTCGCTTCCCCAAGGCTTCGAAGAAGGCCGCGGCGTCGGACTTGCCCGCGCCCTTGGCGCCGCCCGCGCGCTCGAACGCGCGCCACGCGCGCAGCCGCTCCTCCTCGTCCTCCTCCTCGGGGAGCAGATCGCGCGCCGCCGATTCTAGACACCGCTGGATGCAGAGCGCGCCTCTTTTTGAGTCTGGCGCCTGGGCTAAAGTCGGCCGCGCGAGGTCGAGCGCCCGGCTCCAGAGGGGCCCGCACCGTAGCAAACAAACGCCTCCTAACGTTCCGATGGCCGCGGCCAGCGACCCGTCGCGCACGAGCACGTGCTTCAGCTTCTCCGCGGCGACGCGCGCGTGCGCGTTGACGAGAGCTTCCAGCGCCTCGCGGAGCCGCGCGTCGCGCGCCTCGGCGCCGCAGGCCCCGTCGCTTTCGACGGGCGGCGCCGCCAGCGCGACGACGTCGCGCCAGGCGCGCGTGGCCGGCGTCGCGTCCTCGTCCGGCTCTTCCGCCGGGAGGGGCTCGTCGGCGGCCTTGACCTGTGTGCGGTTATCTGTCTTGCGAGCATCGCCGTCGACGCCTCAAAAACGAGCGAGGAGTTGGCGGGCGCCCCTACTCACGCCATCGCCGCGACGAAGGCACCTTTTCCAAAGACGCCGCATTGTACGAGTCCGCCGAAGCGCGGCTCGGCCTCGATCTCCGCGACGGCGCGCTGCAGGAAGCGCCGCCGCCGCACCTCGCGCGCCGCGGCGTCCCGGCGGCGCGTCGCCGCCGCGCGCAGGACGCGCGTCGCGCCGCCCAGGAACAGGATGCGCTCCGCGAGGTGCTTCGACGCGAGGCTGCGCGGCACGGCGTTCGCGTCGAGCTCGAAGCGCCCGAGCGACGGCTGCGCCCCCAGGACCGGCGCGTGCTCCGCGCGCAGCGGCGGCCAGGGCTCGGACACGGCCCGGCGCGCCGCGCGCACGAAGAAGTCGCGGCAGAGGTCGCCACGGACGCACCACGCGCAGCAGGCTCTTAACACAGCCTTCTCGGCCGCCGCGGTGAGACGCCGCAGCGCGTGCGCGACTTGCGGCGCGCCGGACCGCTGCGCCCGGTCGCGGCAGAAGTCGACGAGGCGGCCGCCGCGCGGCGCGTCGGCCGCCGTAATAGCGACGACGCAGTCGCGGACCGCTTCGAGCGTCGGCGTCGCGTCGCTCAGGAGGTGCCTTAATCTCGTCGCGCCCTCGAAGGAGAAGTCGAGCCCGTCGACGGCGCGGTCCGCGTCCGCGACGCGCTGCGCGTAGTCGTCGAGGACGTTGTTGGCCTCGTCCGCGATGGCCCGTTTGACGGCGTTCGCCGCCGTTTTGTAGTACTCGACGTCGCACAACGCCGCGGAGACGGCGTCCCGCGCGGCGCGGTAGGCGGCGCCCGGCGCGACCGCGGCCTCGACGGCCGCCGCGGTGGAGGCGTCGAGGCCCGCTTCCTTTCTTACTCTGTAGTTTTTGTCGATGGTGCCGCCGACGTGGCCTACGCATGCTAGGCAGAACTCGCCGGCTTGTTTGGGCGAGGCCAAGGCCATCGCGATCTGCGAGCAGCTTCTGCCGCTCAAGCGCTGGCTGCGTACCGCGCGTGCCTTAAGGTCGCAGATCCGCCGGCAGCGATGAAGAGCTACACACAGCCACTGTCAATAGTTGATATGCGTGTCTGTTTTAAACACAAAACACCCGCGCGCGCGCCGCCGAGCTAGCGGCTGTAAGACACTAGCAAACAAGCAAGCCCTCCCAGCGCGTAAAGGAGGCGCTCCTGCCGCCCCCCGGGAATGGTAGTCGTCGCACATCAAAAATGAAACTGCTTTGCCGTCGGAGCAAACAGTGCTAAGGGCTGTGCTCGTGCGCAAGCAGAGGCAGCCCCAACAACTAAATGGCTCATTCAGTGAGTCGTTCGGCAGGCTGACAAGCCTTCAAGCAGCACCCGAGGCCGCCGCGCCTCGTGGGGCAGCCAATCATGCCCAAAACAACATGGATGCTAGTATGTCATATACTGGCAATTACGAAGGTGAGTTTGGTCAAAAGGCCCCTCTTGCTAGCAAGCACCGCCGCGCGCCAGCGACTGGCACAAGACAGCGTGGTACACCAAAGCATCAGACGCCTTGAAATTCACACCATGGGCTGCACTTGCGCAGCACCAGGGGCCTTTTTTATCTCATTTGCGCCATCAGAGACGCTTACCGGTCAAAGAAGGACACGTCCGGCGGACGACACACCGGCGAGACCCCCCGCGGGGCCCGCGGCGCTGGCCTCCTGCCCCCAGAGAGCTTCTGGGAGGACACGCCCCTCGTTACCAGGAGGCTCGACATAACGCCGCGCCCGCGCGCAGGTCGGGTCGTACCTTCGAGGACAGCATCGTAGTCGTCGCGAGCAGTGCGTAAATAAAAAAGAGGAGGTGCCTTCTACTTTTTAGCTTTAGTGGTGATCGAGAGCCGCGCGGGTGCGGCCGCGGCAAAGGCGCTGCTCGGCGACGCGTCGATCCTGGGCGTACACGCGGCACTCGCTCGGCGCCGCGAGCCGGTGCGTCGAGGGCGTGGCGCCGCGCGCCGACGACCTGGCCCGGCCGCCGTCCGGCAGCGCCGGCGCCGCCGCGGACCGGCGCTGCGCGTCGCGTCGCTGGCCCTACGCGCCGTTCCGGCGGGCCTGTGCGAGGCGGCGCGTCGTGGGCGTGGCGCTGGCGCCGCGCGTCGACGACCTGGCCCGGCCGCCGTCCGGCCGATCGTCTTGAACGCCTACTACAAGTGGACGCGAAGACGAGCGCCACAACGAAGTGCTCGTGAGAGGTTTGAGAGAAGGGCGTGTGCTTCACGTACTACTGATTGACGCTGCGAGAGCTCACGCGTGGGATGGTTCGAGAACGCCCACAAATGCGACCGTCACCGCGCAGGCCTTCGACTGCTCTCTACTCCAAGAGCGAGGGGTGCTCTGCCAAGACACGCGCTGCGCGCGTGTAGACGAGCTGCGGGCCCAAGCAAGATGGGCGCCGCCATTACGAGAGTTACAACGCCAGACGTAGAAGATCTCGAAATTATCTCTGGGAGCCCAGTGTGGCGGACGGAGGAATCGGTGTCCGACGAGTATTCAGTGGAGTCCATTTCCAGAGAGTATTCAGTGTGGACGACGCTCTCCGTGAATAACAGAAGACACCGGCTCAGAAGACACCGGCTGTCCTTTGCGGAGCGAGAAGGCGGGCGCGAAGGCCTCCGCGCGTTATTAGCGGGAGAAACACGATTCGACGACAAAATATTGAAACGCATATTCAAGTACCTGACGCACCCGCACATGCCGGCAAAGAAGACCGCGGAGCCCTGGTACGTCGCGATGTATCGAAAGGTCCGGAGGCTCCGGAGCCTCTGGGGCCACGAGCGCGCGTCCTTGATTGATCCGGATCATGAAGCTTTACGAGAGAAAGGCAACGAGTACCCGAATCTGCCGCCGGCCGTCAATTCAAAGATAAAAGTGAACACGTATCTGGGGAACGACAAGACGCGACCGTCTGAGTGGTTCGACGCTGTTGTGCTTCGGTGTACTCGACGAGGGGCCCTAGACAGCGAGCTCGAAGTCCGCTTAGTGTTTCATGATTCTTTGGACCGCCTCCGGTGGCCTGACGAGAAAGCAGACATCAAAGTCGTCAAGGCCGCTGCCTGGGACCCTGAAGAGTTGAAGAAGTGGCACGAAGTATCCATGAACTCCGATTATCAACGCATCGCCGTCGCGTGCGGCAAAGCTTTCGAAGATGTGTTCTACGAGCCTCTTTTGTGGGAGGCTTTTGATGCTTATACGGGCAGACAAAAAGAACGCCTGGTAGAACAACTTGGAGAAGAGGATGCCATGAGGCAGCTCGTTGCCAACGGGCAGATCTTTCGCCGTAGATATGCGAACCTGTCCGTCATCCACAGACCAAATGAAGAAGGTGGAAAACTCATACACGCAATCCGGAAACTGGCGAACGTGAAACTAAGTCAGTGGCCGCTGCCAGTCCACGAAGATTCTGAAAGTAGAAGCCTGATCCAGCCCGTCGACGACAGTGCCTTATTTATTGTTCAAAAAAGAGGGCCACGCCATCGACGCGACGTTGTCCGTAACCTGAGTCACTGGTTGATGTCCACACAGTTCGATCCATTTGCGTGGCGGCCCGATGGCGTGCGCATGCCGGGATGGCCGCTGCGCACATATGTCGACATGTGCACGATACCGTTCTTGGGGCGGGACGTGCTGCCCCTGACCGAGTGGAACACGGCCTTTGGCTCGGCGCCCGATGAAACGCAGCTTGCCCATAATGGTCCCCGCATCTCGCACAGCTTCGCCATGCATTGTGAGATCTGGGATCGGCTGCTCGACGATCCTTCTATAGATGAGCGCGTTCGCAAGTGCTTTAGGGCGCTCCCCGAAGGGCCGGCCAAGGAACTCGTCCGCATTGCGCTCACGCTACGTTCCGGGACCGCCGAGAGCGTCGGCTGGTGCACGTGCATCACCGGTTTTAAGTTTGCGCAATTCCTCGCGATAGAACATTATGGCGTCGATGTTATGGATCTGCGTGACGCGCTCTTCTGGCTCGATCGTATGTTTGGCAGCACCGAGGTCACGTGCGGCGAGCAGGGCTTTGTGAGCACGGCGCTGGAGTGGTACTCGTTCGAGTCGCGGGTGGTGTCGATTAAAAATCTCTACTTTGACAAAGAATGCGAGCAGCACCTGGTTGCGGATTCGCCGCGCAAGGTCGCGAGTGGCGTCAAGATTTACGAGAAGCGCGGCGACAGCGTGTGCTGCTACGAGTGCACTGGAGATCTGCGCCACCACAGCGCATGTGAGTCGATCTGGGAATACATGGTCGTCCTGCCGGTGCCGTCCTGGGCCATTGAGCCTAACGTCGGCCTCGCTTCGGCGCTGGGCCCGCCCGAGAATAATTTCACCGAGCGCCTCAAGCGCTTCGGTCTAGATCGCTCCATCTCTGTATGGCCTGGAGATACGTGTAGAAATGCCTTCGAGAAACTCCGCAAGCGCATGGGCGACAGAGCTTACGAGAAGTCCGAATCCTTCTTCGTCGTGGCTCGACACATCATCAGCGGCCAGGCCGGCCGGCGCGGTGTTGTCATTTTCAATAGAGAAAAAGTCGTGTTCGCATCACTGAGTGGGCCCCGTGACCTGTACGCATTTGAGTATAAGCTGCACCTCATCTCCAAAGAGTGCTTGAACCGCGTCCGGTTGGCGGCCGACGGAACGCCGCACTGGCGCTACAACCGCGCCGTTACTGGCTACCAGCATGTCGTGTATCCGTTTGCCGACTGGGGAACATCCCGTGGCGTGGCTGCTTTGAATTGGCTAGCCCCTTGCTTCGCCACGCCGCACCTGCGCATGTTGCGCGTCGCGCTCGACGCGACCAACGCTACTGTTCCGCCCGCGTTCCCAGAAGCCGGCAATTATCTCACGGCGGAGCGGTTCATGAACCAGGCCTTTGATTACTGCACCTTCGAAGAAGCATACAGAAAAATGAACTCCCAACGTAAAAAAAAAAAAGGGGGGGGGGGCGACTGGAATATACCTCATGGTTTGGCGCGCCCGCTCCACCTGGGAGCCCCGACGCCGCGGGAACTGGCCGAAGGCGCCGTGATCGAACTGGCGGAAGACGCCGCCCTCGCTGACCTGACAGAGACGGAGCTGCGTCGGGTCATGGCGCGGCGCGGGGTCGGCCCGCCCGACGACGAGGGCGACGACGACGCGAAGATAGCGGACGCCTCGCGGGAGGCAGTGCAAAAGCTCGCGGCGCAGTGGCAGAAAATGGTCGCGCGCACGCACACGCACCCGGGCGCTGTGGCGTGCTACTCGACGAAGGCGCTCCCCAAAGAACTCGCGCACGATTTCCTAGACAGGGCCATTGAAAAACTGCGTACTGATAGTAGTGCAACTGCTCAAAATCGTCGGAATAACGCCTGGCGATCCCTGGCCAACGTAATCGGTTTCGCGGTAAACAACAAAACGGATCCGCGGCCGGGGTGGAAGCAGGATCGCGAGGCCGTCTCTGCCGCGCTCAAGGACGTCACGGCGGCGGACTTCCTTGCTACCGAACCCATGGCCGAGGAGCTGGAGTCCTAATTTGTCTCGCGGTGCGCACGTCGCGTCGTCGGAGCTTCGACACACTACTTAAACTAAGCTCATTTATTTATATCATGACTACTAGAGATGCGCGCATGTCCAGCGGCATCCCACGTCCTTAGTCTCTCCGAAAAAAAGCATAAGTACAAAACAAACACCTACCCACGAAGCTCGTAATATTCCCCGGCCTCAGCGATCAAAACGCGTGGATCACACCGCGACACGTGCCGCGCGACGGACGCGCCGTCGGCGTCCAGTCCAAAGTCGCAGAAGACGACGTACTCCGGCGGCGTCCCGAACTCCGCGTGCACCGAGAGGGGGTGCAGGCCAATTTCCCGGTCGGCCCTTAGAGTGCGAAACGTCGCGTCGGCGCCGAACCTGGCCGCGCGAGCGAAGAACCCCGCACATAGCGCTTTCCGCAGGCTGTCCCCGTCCTCGCCGCACGACGCCAGCACGACGCCGTCCTCCTTGGCCATCTCCGACAACCAGCGCTCCAAGTTGGGCTTCGACCGCTCAGCTGACCGCAGTGTCCCCGAGTCCATGGCCCGCTCGGAGCAGAACTGCTCGGGGTGCGGCGACTCGCGGAACGCCCGCAGTGCTTTGACATAAGTCGCGTGGTCCCCATCGAGGTCGACAATTTCATCCCTGAACAATCGTTTCTGCTCCTCCTTGACGCGCCGATCGGTCCGTCTTAGAGTCCGCTTCGTCGCCAGGACACAGGCGACGTCCAAGGCCTCCTCGGAGCAGCCCGCTTCCAATGACGCGAGCAAAAACCGCGCCGTCCGCGGGCCGCACGGCGCCAGCGCCAGCCGCGCCCCGTCGGGCTTGGTCAGCTCGCCCTGATCGTCGATGGCGCGCAAGGCCAGCAGCTCCTCGAACGCGGCGCAGATCAATAGTTCGGTAGGCGGCGACGGCCAGTCGAAATCCAGGACGTTCGACACGCCGACCGCCTTCAATTGAAGCATGGCGGCAGCGAGCTCCGACCGCCGCGACGCGGGCTCGTGCTTCGCGGGGAGGATCGTCCGGAAGGCCTCCTCCGTGTAGAGCCGGTAGCACTTGCCCGCCTCACCGGAACTGCCGGCGCGCGCGGCCCGTCGATCGGCCGTCTGCTGCGACGCGTAGGTCGTCGCGACCACCTCAGCGTTGGCGTTTTCGTCGAAGACGGGCAGGCGCTCGAAGCCGGCGTCGATCACGACTCGCACATCCGCGACGGCCACGGAGGTCTCCGCGATGCTCGTCGCGACGCAGATCCGCCGTCGCGAGGACGGCATGGCCGCCTGCTTCAACGCGCGCTTGTCCGCCCCGGCGTAGACGCCAATCAAATCCGCGGGCTTGTTGCCATCTCTTAGCACCGCCTTCAACAATTGGCAGCACTCGTCGACCTCGCGCGCCCCCGGGAGGAAGACCAGAATGCAGCCGCCCCGCTGCTTGTCCTCCTCGTGGGCCTGGTGCGCGGCGTCGGCCGCGGCGGACACGTAGTCGGACCCGCGCGGCGCGTCGCTGTGGAAGACGTCGACGACGTCCCGCCGGCCGTCGACGTGCGCTATGGCGGTATTTTGTCTCCCAAAGAACTTTTCCACGTCGTTATCTCGGTCCGCGAGCGCTATGACCACTCGCAACGGATCGCCCAATTCCTTCCTTCGTTTCTGGACCTTCTTCACGAGGCCCATCAGCAGGTCCTGGTTCAGGGTCCGCTCGTGCGCCTCGTCCACCACAACGACAGAAAAGTGCTTCAGCAGAGGATCGAGCAGCGCGGTCCTCAATAGCCAGCCGTCCGTCGCGACGAGGATCCGCGTCCTCGACGCGTCCCAGCGCTCGTCGCCCGCCGCCGCCAATCCGACCGCGTCGCCCACGCGGTCGCAGCCCAGATCGTCCGCGATGCGCGTCGCGACGTCCGAGGCAATAGCGCGCCGCGGCTGCGCGCTGACGACGCAGCGCGGCGGCGCCGCCCAGCCGCCCTCGACCAAGTAGCGCGGCAGCTGCGTGCTCTTGCCGCTGCCGGCCGCGCCGATCACGACGACGGCATCCTTGTCCTCGAGGGCGTAGAGGATCTCATCTCTGTGTGCGGCTATGGGGCAGCGGCGGCGGGACATGGCTCCTGATTGATGCTGTTTTGTCCGGAAATCTGTCGCTGGCGGCTAGCGAGCTGCTGGTGCGCTGCGCCAAAAAACGGTGCTAGCGTGCAGTAAGACACTAGGCTCAACTTTTTTTTGCAACGATCGCAGAGCGTGGGCTGCCCGAAGCTGCGGCATGATGAGACTGGCGTTGATGGGCATCGCTCTCGCTTTTAGCAGCCCCCGGAGTGCGCTCGCGGGCTACGTGTTTGACGACAGCAGCATCCGCACGGCCGTCGATGCCTGGCTCTCGAACCCGGCGGCCGCCGAGGCGACGTACGGCCATATTTCTACGTGGGAGACTGGGGGGGTGACGGACATGAAGAAGTTGTTTTGCGATAGCTCCTATTCATGGAGCAGTTGCTACAACTCGGGCGCATCGTCCTTTAACGAGGACATCGGCGCGTGGGACACCTCTGGCGTTACGAGCATGTACTACTTTTTTGGCTACGCTTCGGCCTTTAACCGAGACATCGGTGGTTGGGCCGTCGACAGCGTTACGGACATGAGCAACATGTTCTGGTACGCCTCGGCCTTTAACCAGGACATCGGCGCGTGGGACACCTCCGGAGTTACGACGATGTCCGCGATGTTCTTCTCCGCCTCGGCCTTTGACCAGGACCTCGGCTGGTGCGTGGGCGACGACGTGGACCTGAGAAGCGCGTTCTCCTACACCCCGTGCGCGTCGACATCGTGCGGTGTCTATACAATGGAGGAAGGCACCTGTCGGCCGACTTTAGCGCCGACAACATCTCTGGCTCCAACGATGACGCCCGCGCCGACAGTAACTCCACTGGTCGCGGACGACAACACCATTCGCACGGCCGTCGATGCCTGGCTCTCGAACCCAGCGGCCGCCGAGGCGACGTACGGCCACATCTCGACGTGGGAGACATCAGGGGTGACGGACATGTCGTATTTGTTTTGTGGGGGTTCGTGGGATTCTTGCAACACGGCCGCGGCGTCCTTTAACGAGGACATCGGCGCGTGGGACACCTCCGGCGTCACTACGATGCACGCGATGTTCTACATGGCCTTGGCCTTTAACCGAGACATCGGTAATTGGGCCGTCCACAGCGTCACGGACATGCGCTACATGTTCCAGGACGCCTCGGCCTTCGACCAGGACCTCGGCTGGTGCCTTGACGACGACGTGGGTCTGAGCGTCCGTAACGCCAAGTGCGCGTCGACGTACTGCGGTGTATTTGTCAGTAAGCCCGACGCGCAGGGGATCACGCACACCTGCCCTGGCGCAGTTACCGGCTACGCAATGGACGACAGCAACATCAAAACGGCCGCCGCCGCGTGGCTCGCGGACGCGGCGGCCGCCGAGGCGACGTACGGCCACATTTCTACGTGGGAGACTGGGAGGGTGACGAACATGAGGAATTTGTTTTACACGTGCACCGAACACTGTGGCTCGTACAGCAATCCGGGCGTAGCGTCCTTTAACGAGGACATCGGAGCGTGGGACGTCTCTGGTGTGACAACGATGGAGAGCATGTTCCAGGGCGCCTCGTCGTTTAACGGACCAATCGGCAAATGGCAAACCGGCGCTGTCAAAGACATGAGTGATATGTTCGACACGGCCAAGAGGTTTAACCAGGACCTCAGCGGCTGGGACGTTGGTGCCGTGAGAACAATGGAAGATATCTTCTTGAGGGCAAAGGACTTCAACCAGGACCTCGGCTGGTGCCTGGACAGCAGCGTAAAAGGACTCCCTCCAAATGCAGAAAAACCTCGTGCGTTTGAGAAAACCAAGTGCAGAAAAACCTCGTGCGGCGTCTCTTATAAGGACGGGCTGGGACTATGCGAATGGTCACCACGCGCCCGGCCGTGTCTCATTGGCAACAAAAAGCAATGCCATATCAACTCACCAACACTTATCATCATCATCGTGCTTGTCCTTCTTGCTGGCTTCGGCGCATGCGTCTGCTGTAGGAAGAAGAAGGACGAAACTTACGTCGCCGCCGCCCGCCGCCTTCTCTGCTACAGAACGAGAATACTGCTACATGAATGCGGTCTGCTGCCGCCGGCAGAGTCGCCACGGGAAGATCCCGACGAGTACGCCCTGGAGACGCGCGCCGCGGCGCTCTTCGCCACCAAAGCCGTGGCTGTGGAGACCGTCGAGCGCCCGGGCTTCACGAGAAAGCTATCCTCGTTCCTGTTCGGGGAGCAGGAAGAGGCCTCCCAGCGCACCGAGCCTGAGCCCTCGGCACCGAAATTCGAGGAAATTTACAACCAGATAGCCGCCTGGTACAACCAGCCGGAAAACGCCGCGTTGCGCGCAAGATGGGGCGCATATCCGGACCCCGAAGAATTCCAGACATGGCCCGGCTTTGTCCGGGTCACCAACGCGTTCCTCGACGCCACCGTCCTCGACGGCGAGGCCGTGACGAGTCCCGGGAACGTCGTCGTCGACGCGGAGCCCGTGAGCCCGGGCATTAGTTTCTGGGGCCAGTTCCATTGAACCATGACAACTTAATAACCTAAGTAAACATCACTCCTCGACGACGGGAGCCGGAGGAGGGACCACCTCCCCCACGTCCTCGAGCACGGCCTCGACGTCGCGCGCCGACGACACGTAGCGCACCGCGTCGTCGCCGTCGCGGAACCGCGGCACGAGCGGTAGGCCGCCCCCGAGGCCGCCGCGGCCGCGCAGGTCGTCCAGCGCGTTCTTCCAGAGCTTCGACCGCGCGCTCAGTAAGCCGGCGTTGCCAAAAATAAACAGCCCGTTCCGCGCGCGCGTCAGCGCCACGCAGACGCGGTTGGACGTCGCCAGGAACCCGATCGTCGCCTTTTTGTGGTTCGCGCCGTCGGGCCGGCCGTCGTTCCGCACGAGCGATAGTAGAATGATGTCGTTCTCCTCGCCCTGGAAGTTGTCGACGGACGCCACGCGCACGTCGCCCAACCCGTCGCTCTGCAGCTTGCGTCTTAATGAACCGACCTGGGCCACATATGTAGCTAGAACGGTAATTTTATCTTGGCCGTAGCGCGGCGGCCCCCTTACCAAATACCGACAGAAAGCAGTAACCAACTTCGCCTCGGCCGGGTTCTGCTTCGAGGCGCTCCCCTGATCCTCGGCGTTTTGATGAGACAGGAAGAAGACGTCCTTCTGGAGGCCGCGGATCGACGGCCGCTCCCGCGTCGACGGGTGGTCCCGCAGATTGGGATAGATCTCCTTCACGAATCTGGAAATGTTCGGCTTCATCCTTCTTTGGGTTTCGAGCATCGTCGACTGCACGCCGTTCTTCACGAGGCGCTCGAACAGCGACACGTCCAGATTATAGTCCGTCGCGAGCTTGTAGACGGCCGTGCCCGGTCTTAATTGTTCGTGGTCGCCAATGAGTACGACATGCTTCGTCGTCGCCGAGACGGCCGCGAGGACGTGCGCCTCGAGCACCTCGGCGGCCTCCTCGCAGATGAGGACCTCCGCGCCGATCAACCTTAATAAATCGCGTCGTTTCGCGACGGACGTCGTGGTCAAGCCGACGACTTTGGCAGCGCGCAATACCTCCGCGTCGACGTCTCGATCCAAGCGCTCCATCTCGCGCCGCGTCCGTTCCGCCCGAGCGGCACAGGACCTTAATTCATTAATCCTTCTCCTATGAATGGCAGAGCCCCAGGCCGCCCAGGCCTGGCGTCTTTGCAATAAAGGCCAGCTCCACACGTCCTCACCTACATTTGGAGGAGGCGGCGGCGCGTTCGGCCCGCGCTTGCCCCGGCGCCTAGCCTTGCGGTTGCCTGCATTGACAAAGGGCGCCATGCCGATGTCCAAGAAGACGGCCTCGCGCTTTTTGGGAACGTCGTCGGCCTCGTCGGCCATCGCCGCTTTTGTATCGACGGCGTCGGGGTCGGGCTCCTCCTCTTCTGTCGTGTTCACTTTGGGCTCGACTTTTTTGGTGGATCGGATGTCGGGCGGCTTCGCGAGTAACTTCTCGGGCGCGTCGCTCTCGAGCCACGTCCCGAGGACGTCCTTGCACGGTCGCGAGCACAAACTTCTGAGGTGCTCCTCCGTGACGCCGAGCGGGTCGAAGTCGTCCTCATCACTCCCCTCGCGGAGCCACTGCTCGAGGTCCTGCAAGGAAGCACCCTTCGACAAAGCGTGGGCCTCCTTCGCGAGTTTGGTAATGGTTTCTTCCAGCGTCTTCAAGCGTCCGTACAGCGCCCGGCGCCCGCGGACGTGCTGGGCCCCCAACAAACTTCCTTCGGCCGCGCGCTCGTCCATCTCGCGCCACGCTTTTGAGAGTTCCCTCAAATTCTTATCCGCCAAGGCTTCGCAACTCGAACGCCCGCCGACGCGCACGATGCTACTTTCGAACTCCAGCACGCCCTCGAGGAAGGCGTCCAACGCGTGATTCGTCGCGCACATGACGACAAAAGGATTCTTCGCCTTCGCGCCGCAGACATTTGCGAGCAGCAAACGCATGACCTCCAGCCCGACGTGCGTCTTGCCAGCTCCCGGCGGGCCCTGGATCACGGCGACACTTTTGGTGAGTGCTCGTTTCACCGCCGCGGCCTGCGACTTGTCGAGGGACCCCCAGCCATCGACGGGCCAGGCATCCTCATCTAAAACGCGTCGCTTCTCCGTCCCAAACACGTACTCGTCCTGGGGAAACACGTAGTCCGGTGGAGGTGGTTCTTCCGGTAGACGTAGGAATGTCTGTAATACTCGATTCTGCGCGAACGCTTCGAGGTCCGCCGCCTGGAGGCAGTTCAGGACCCATCGATACGCTTCGAAGTATGTGGAGGTGCACTCGACCAGGGAATAGCTTCTCCCAAAAGCCAACGCCCCTTCGACCTCCAAATCAATGACCAGGCTCTTGTCCTTGCGTAACTCTCTAGATCGAACAACCGCACAGACCCAGGTCTGCTCCCCCAGCGTCGTCGGGTCCACCACAATGACGAGCGCGCCGTTCATCAGCCGGCCCTTGCGCTGGCCCTCGCTGGCCTTCGCCCACGACGCTTTGGCCCAGGGCTCCCGGTCGCCGGCGCACTCGAAGCGATGTAGTAAGCCTCTTCTTTGTATGATACCTCGCAACGCGCACGTCCGGTACACGTCAACGTCTCTCGACGACTCGCCGTTCGACACGGCTCTTAGTCCATCTCGCAAGGGACCGAGGAAGTCCGCCCTGAGTAAATGGAAGTGCGTCGCCACATAGGCCTCGGCCGAGGCCTGCTCGCCCGTGATCTGATTTTTAACAACATCCTCGAGCGGCCGCGCGAGCGTGACGTCTCTTCTGGAAGGGAAGGGCGCGACCCGTCGAAAGTCGGCGTCGGACGACGACGTCAGCCGCTTGGCGTCCGCTCGTAACGCGTCGGCTCTTTGCAACACGGCGAGGGCCTCTTTCCGGGCAGCGACCCAGTCTTGGGACGACTCGCGCTTGCGCTCGTCCACGAGATCCCGGATCTGCTCGAGGAGATCTTGTAAATTCTCATAACAAGATCTATCAGCGTCCAGGCACGCGCCCGCGACGATCGTCACTTGGAGCAGCATCGCCGCGTCGCCTTGTTGCTGCTGTCTACGAGACCCGGCTCGGAGCAGCATGGCGCGCGCGCCCCGGCCGCTCAACAACAACGGAGAGCGCGAGCAGGTCTGGTACACGACTCTCGCAGCCCCACTCGCCGCCTCGGCCGCGTCTTGACTAGCTAGGGCCTTCACCAGACTCTCGACGGCCTTGAAGGGCAGGTCATCCCTAGAGAGCACCTCGCAGACCTCGTTCGGCCTTAGGAGGATGGAAGGCGCGTCCAGCGACACGCAGAAAGTAGTGGCCGCCGTCACGTCGCAGGCCGCCAGCGACTGGCGCTCGACATTGGTACTGTCGTGGCTCCGCACATTGGTCAAAATGGAGTCGACGTGGCCGAAGCGTGTTTCATCTAAATGTGGCGTGGAACCAACGAGATCCAGTTCGATGTGCGAGGCCCGGTCGGTCCCTTGCGCGGGCGGCGCGTAGGTCACGCGCTGCCACTCCCTCAATCGCGAAGGGTCGCAGTCGCAGTCCGCGAAGCTAAAGTACAGCTTCTTGGGCGGCGGCGCGTCGTCGTCGAAGGCGCCGTCCGTCAGAGGTGATATAAACCCGAACTTCTCCGCCCTCTTGAGGACGGCGATCTTGCCCTTGAGGCGCGCTCCCCCATCAGCCTTGGACGAGCCGCCGCCGCCCGCGCCGATGGACTTGGTGGCTTCCTTGGAGGGGCCGAGGCGGCGGCGGCCGCCGGGGCCGAGGACGCGGCGGGGGGGCATGCAACGCTTCTGTGCGTTCCGTCTGTTGTTTGCTGTCTGAAGCGCTAGCGCTGTCGGCAGTGCCGCGTGTCTCGGGTCTCTGGTCTAGTTCTTCTGTTCTCTGTCACGTTCTAAGAGAGGCGTCCTGCTACGCTCCTCGCGGGTTCTCAATGCCACTCGTGCGTCGCGAGCGTCAATAATTTATATTTGGCTGCTTGATGCAATCGTGTGCTGCAGAGCCTGAGCGGTCCGCAGCGTCCCAACAATGCTGCGACTATACGCAGCACTGCGAAAAATCTATCACGCAGCAGCGCTGCGAGCTATCGATGCTCTTTGGTTGCAAAATGGTCGACGACGATGCCTTAGAAACCCGTCACGTTTTTTTCCTGCCTCGAAGCGTCGTTTTTTCACATCGGGTTGGGCGCTTGACGAAGCCTGAAGAGACTTTCGAAGAGATCGGACTCGATTTAGCGGGCAGGATTGGCCCAAACCCATTTGCTGCTCAGCCTTTGGCAAAAAACGCTGCGCACGGAGCTCCTAGTGGATCCGGGACGCAGCAGAAGCTGCGAAAGCGTAGCGACAAAGCCAGGCATCACTGCCCTTGCAGCTTTTCCCGCTGCGTTACCCTCCCGCAGCGAATAGCTCGGGAGAGCATTTCAGGTTCCGGCTGATAACGAGCGACCGAGAGCGCGGCGCGCCCACACAGTTGCTCGGCCGGCGGCGCCATACACCCGGACCCTGCTCCTGCACGCGCGTGCCCCGGAAAATCGTGAGCGCCGTGAAACCGACGCAAGCTCTCGGACGGTGAGAGAACACATTCACAAAATGACGCGCACCAACAACTCCGACCCGCCGCAAGGCTTCAGCGTCGGCCTCGTCCTCGGCCGCGCGGACGCCGCGCGCGACCAATACTTAGCGCGGCACTTCGGCCACACGCACAACCTGTCGGTGCAGACGTTTCCCGACGACGAGTCCGTCGTGTCCGTCCTAGCGAAGCTCGAGACGGGCGACGACAAGGAGCGCGCCGACAAGGCAGCCGCGAGGCTGGGCGCGTGCGGGCTGTCCTCGGTGCCGTCGTGGCTCCGGCCGCACAAGGCCCTCAGTAACGGTGAGGCCGCGCGCGTCGACGTGGCGACGTGCCTCGCGCGCCACGCCGCGTCTCAGAAGCAATTTTGTGTGGTGAACGACTTTGCGTGCGTGGTCAACCGCGACGCGGCGCGGTCCATGGCGTGCGCGGTCGGCAAATACGCGCGGCGCCTAAGAATGTCGGGCCTGGTCCTCGCGACGGCGCACGACGACGTCTGCGCGTACCTCCAGCCGGACTGGTGCTACGACGTCGCCGCCGACACGTTGTATTTGCGCCCGACGGACAAGCCCCTACGCCCGAATGTTTCCTTCGCGTGCGACTGGACGCACGGCGGCCTGCCGAACGCGCGCGACCGCCGCAAGAATCGCGAGACGGATCTCGTGCGGGAGATCACGGCTTCGTATAGTATCGAGCCCGAGGCCATCGAGAAAGTTGTCTTGGGCGACGGCAAGCTGCCCGAGGACTACAAGTGCCAGGTCAAGGTCGACGCCTGCGCCAAGGCAGCGTCGGCGGCGTTCGACTTTGAATTTGACGGGAGTTGTGTGTTTGCGCCGCCGGACTTCCCGGCGTCGAAAATCAAGGGCGCGTGGTCCATCGGCGTGGTCCACGGGCCGAGCGGCTCCGGGAAGACGACGGTGCTGAGACGCGTCTTCAAAGGTGTGGAGGAGGGCAAGGTCGCGACGCGCGAGCCGGACTGGGATATGAACGCGACGGTCGCGAAGCTCTTCCGGGACAAGTTCGGCGAGGCCGACGCGGCCGCGCGACTGGACGCCGCCGCCGTCGACGACGACGAGCGGTCGTCGCGGATCGACCAGCTGACGCAGTGCGGCCGCGCGCGCTGCCAGATCGCCTGGCTGCTGGCGTCCGAATGTGTGTTGGACGAGTTCACGAGCCTCGCTGCCCGGCCCCTCGCGCGGCGCGTCGCGGCGGGCGTCGCTGCCTACGTGGCGCAGCACAACCTGCAGCACGTCGTCTGCGCCACAGTCCACGAGGACGTCGTGGCCTTCCTGAAGCCGCGCTGGCTCTTCATGACGGCGGTCGTGACGACGTGCTGGTGGCAGAAGAACAAGAAGGGCAACGTATTTGAGGACACGGGCGACACGCGCACGGGCTGTTTAGTACTACTACACGCGGATCGCCTCGCGGCGACCGACGAGCCCGCGACGACGGACGTGGCGCGGCTCGACGAGCTCTTCGCGGCGCCCTCGGTCAACTTGCAGCTGCAGCGGTGCCCGTACTACCACTTCGACTCGTTCAAGCGCCACCACTACCTGACCGAGGACATCAACAAGAGCTGCTGGAGCTGGGAGCTCCGGTTGCACGGCCGGCCCATCGGCTTTCATAGTGTCAACACAGCTCTAGGCATGCCCGGCGCCGGGGAAGGGACGAGCGGCGGTAGTCGGGAGCACCGCGTCGTCATCCTGCCGGACTTCCAGGGCATCGGGCTGGGCTGGATGCTGGCCGAGACCGTCGCGGCGCAATTGACGTCCACAGGAAGACGAGTCACGTCCATCACGATGCACCCGACGTTCGGCAAGTGTCGGGATAGGAGCCCGCGGTGGCGCCCGTCCGCCAGAAACCACAAGGCCGACAAGGATGAGGCGACGACGGACGTAAGAGGGCGCTCGCTCGCCCAGAAGGCCGGGACCTGGGCGCCGACGACGCGCGACAAACTTAGGCCGTCGTACCGCCACGAATATGTGGGAGACCCGGGCGCCGAGCGCGACGCCATCCTCGCGAACCTGTCGGACACGACGCCGCCGCACACCTGCAAGCTCGTCGGCTGCGCGCACTGTACTACCAACAAAGCCGAGTTCCAGAAGAAGCTCAAGCTCTACAAGCTCTCGCCGACGAACGAGCTCAAGGGCACGTGCTGGGTCGAGGGCGGCCCGCCCGCGCTGTCCGTGCCGCGGCCGCCCGTCTCGACGCTGAAGCGCGAGGACCGCAGCGTGACGAAGCGCCTCGAGGCCGTGAAGGTCGAGGGCGGCCGCGGCCCGCGGTCGAAGAAGGACGTGGAAGCGGAGAAGAAGGCGAAGAAGGACGCGGACCTGTTACATCGCGAGGCGGTGAAGAAGTTCGACACGCCGGTCGAGTTCGAGGGCGACTGGACGAAAAAGGAGGGGAAGTGGGTCGTGCCCAAGGAAGATAGGGAGGACTTTAGGACGGACGGGCCGTTGATCGGGACGAAGGTCTGGCGCAACGTGGACGGCACGGTGCTCGAGGGCGAGGTCATCGGCGTCGGTTCATTACTAATACACGAGGACGACGAGGACCAGGTCGCGTGCGTGCGAGTTGTGTATGAAAACGGCTTCCAGCAGGACTTGTATCATTACGCGGGCGACGACGAGTTCGGCGCGGCGCGGGACGCGTTTGTGAGGTGGGAGGCGTTTAAGAGGAGGGACGCGTCTTCCTTGGAAGTGGAGGGCGGCAACTGGACGCGGGACGATAGTGGGAAGTGGACGCCGTCGCCGCAGGACGAGGGCGCGTTTTTGCTGGAGGGCGAGCGCATCGGCGATCTCGTGCGGACGAACGTCACTTTACATAATGGAGACGACGTGCCGTGCGACGGCGTGGTCATCGGGGTGGGACGCGTGCAGGCCGAGGACGGCACGTACCAGGCCTGCACGAGGGTCACGTACAAGCCCCCGGAGGGCATCGACGCCATCGATATTCAAGAAGATTTGTGGGAGACGGAGTTCCAGGTCGCCTGGAAGGCGTCGCGGAAGTGGGAGAAGAAGCTGTGGCGGGCCGTGTGGGAATCAATCGACGCGGTTACGGGGGCGTGACGTTTGATGTCCACACAGGAAGCGGGCGGCGCGCGGCGGCGGCTACGACGCCGGCGGGAGCCACAGCCGCGACGGGTCGCCGCGCAGCCGGCGGCCGGGCCACGACAAGACCGACGGCGCGTTCCTGCCCGGTGATAGAGTGGAGGTCGTGGGCCAGGGCAGCGGCGTCATCACAACGGTCTCGAACCCCGTGCCGCAGCGCAGCCGGCGCCGCACGACCGAGTTGTATGGGAAGGCCGAGACGGGGCCGGCGCCCACGATGTACTCCGTCGTCTTCGACACCGGCCCCGCCGCGGGCAAGAGCGCGACGCTGACCCTGGACCAGCTCCTGAGGGGCGCGCCCACGTGCTGGAGCGCGCAGAAGCGGCAGCGCCGCCGCCGCGACGGCGGCGGCGAGGACGAGGTCCTCGACGACCGCGACGACGACGAGGACATGGTCGACGAGTTCGGGGGCCTGTTCCCGACGGCGCTCCAGGTCGGCGAGCGCGTCGAGGTGCGCCAGCGCAAGGGCCGCAAGGAGGAGGTCTGGGTGCTCGGGCGCGTGAAGTCTTCGTCGGCGGTCGGCTACGACGTGGTCCTGGACGACGGCCGCGTCGAGTCCTGCGCGGCGCGCTCCGTGCGGCCGGCCGACGAGGACGGCCGCCACCTGTTGCCGTCAAAGAAGAAGAAGCGGCCCAAGCCGGCCGCGTCGCCGAAGCCGCCGAAGCGCCGGCTCTCGGCCTTTGCCGCTGACTTTTTTGCGGTGGGGGCTGATGTGGATGCGCTGTTCGGCATGGACCTGAGCGTGATTCGCCCGCGTGTGTGTGTTGCGCGCGCGCTCTGTTTGTGTGTTGTGTCCGTCGTGGCGCGTTTGAGTTGGTCGCGTCGCGCAGGCGCCCGATGGTACCGCGGCACCGTCGACGACCTCGTGAAGGACGGCGCCGGCAAGCTCAAGTTCTACGAAATCCGCTGGCCGTCGAACGACGACTGCAACCGCATCGCGCCGACGAAGGTGCGGCCGCACGAGGGGGGGACGCCGGACGGGTGAATTAACAGCTAAAAAATTCTTAAAACTAGAAGTCACAGACAACTTCACGGCAGCACCGGCTGCGCGATCGACCACAGACCTACCTCGACGTCGGCGACGGCCTGGAAGATCGTGTCCGCGAGGACGCCGTCCGCCGAGATGGTCGCGTTCAGCAATCCGGGCGTCAGCGCGAGGCCGGTGTTCAGGGACGCGTTCAGGATGCGCTGCGCCGCGACGCGCCGCGGGAGCCCGAGGTGGCCGCCCGTCGGGTCCAAATACTCCCTCACGTCGTGCCACCAGTAGTCAAAGTTCGTCACGATCACGTAGGCCGACGGGCCGAGCGTCGACAGGTGCGCGACGCTAGCAGGGTCCCGCGCGATGATGTGGCCTCGACGGACGCCCGACATGACAACATACTCCGTCGCGACGAAATGCGCGCTCTGGACCTTGGCTTGCGCCTCGTCGTAGGTCGAGATGCTTTCGATCATGCGCCGCAGCGTCCAGCCCGACAACGGCACGCCTTCGAGCAGATTATCGAGCATCTCGCGGTTGCCTCCTTTGTGCGCCGGGTAGCGCGTGTTCCGCTCGACGACGTATCCGGAGGCGCCGGGTCGGTACCCCGTGAGGAGCGACACGTAGCCCGCGACCATCTCGGCGCGGAACACGACCGATCCGTTCCGCGTGAAGACGCCCTCGTAGACGAGCGGCGCGAACAACTTCACGGGAGCCAGGTCCATGTTCCTAGCGTGGACCACCGTTCCGTCCGCGGTGTTCGTCGCAACAATACCCGTGCAGCCCGGGCCGCGCAGCGGCCAGCTCTCCAGCGCGCGGTACCGGCGCGGCAGCGGGTCCTGGCGCGACGAGCCATTTACCACGGGCACCATGAGCGTCTGCAGTTCGTAGAGGGCTTGCACGCCCTGGACGAACTTCGCGGGCAGGCGCGTCGTCGCGACGATGCCTTCGATCTCACCTCTCATCACGCTGTCGGGCTCCGGGCCTCTCTTATCGACCATGGCGTACAGCGCATTGGTCAACGCGGCGTCGTGCGCGAAGAGCTTGTCGTAGAAGCGCCAGATGGATGAATTGAAACGCGTCGCCACTCCTACGTAGCGTTGCTCGGGCGCGAGGTCCAAATTGATCGCAAACGACGGAACGGGTCGCCACGCGACCGCGCCGCCGGTGCTGCGGGTCAGTGCTGCGTCCGCGGCGCTGGCGTCCGCGACCGCGCCGCCGGTGCTGCGGGTCAGTGCTGCGTCCGCGGCGCTGGCGTCCGCGGCCGCGCCGCCGGCGCTTCGGGTCAGTGCTGTGTCTCGTCGGACGGCGTCGTCCTTAGCGATGGTCGTGATCGCTGTGCATCGTCTGGATATGACCAAAAGCGATCCAAGAAGCAACGCATGCATCGTTTGCGGCCGTGTACAATGAAATCCTCGGTCGGTGCTTTCCCAGGTTGCTAGCATTAGTAAGACACTAGCAAGCTTCCGACGGTTCGAGATTTTAATCACAACGAGTGCGAAAAAAGGGTATGACGTCCATTAGTCATGATGAGAGGCCACATCCATCAATAGCTGATGTCTTGGCTGCCTGTGGGGCTGCCCTGGTCGAGGCCACGCCTGCTATCGATTTCATAGCGCTGTGCGCGACGTCGAAGCGCACCGCGACGGTGACGGATCCCACGGTGCTCAAGGCGCTCGAGGAACAGCTACCCGTGCTGGGCAGCGAGTTCGTCAAGAGACGCCTCGCGGCCACGCACCCGCTGCGCGTCCTGACGAGCCTCGCACAGCAGTCGAGGCAGCGCCCTCGTGACACCGTCGTGACGCGCACATGTGAAGTCGTCTGCGAAATTAAGCTGGACTGCGGCGGACGCCTCGTGCAGCGCGGGCAGCTTACTGATGTCGAAGCATGGGATTATGGTGTCGAGGACGCCCATACTTGTGCGAAACTCGAACTCACCGGCGCGAACCACGACAGGGTAATAAGCAGGACGGGGATAAACTATTACGAACTGTCGGAAGGATGGATGTTCAATCAAGCGCTCCGCCCTGAAGAGGCTCATTTCCTTGCCGCCAGGCCCACCGAAGAGTGGACGGAGGAGGCTGAACGAGCTGCTGGTGGGGTATGGACGGTCTTAGATGAGTGGGAAGACTTGTTGGAAAGACTTGTTGGCAGCGCCAGGGTCTTTCTCGTGCGCGAGGACGGGAAGAGTCTTTTAGTGTTTGAGGATAGACTGCGGCTCAATTTTCAACACCCTCACAAGGAGCAACTGTCTAAGGACCATATAAATCTCGAGGGTTATTATGACACCCCTGAACACGAATTTGCGATGTGCCTGGAGGCCCGACGGTTGGTGAACATGCGTTCCATGGCGACGCCAGTTTGCGAAGCCGAGATTATAACAAAGTCAGCGCCTATTCCCCTGCCTGGTTCTTATCAAGATGGGGACGGCCGCGTTTGCCCGACGCATTTCGGCATCCGCGGCGACGCCGTGAAGTTGAGCTTCGCAGGCATCGCTACCAAAAACCTCGCGGATCTCCTCCACTACCTCGACTGCGTCGGGGACTGGAAGTAGTACAGAAACTTAAAAACTCAAAACGTCCCGTGCGTCCCCGCGACGCCCGCCCCCGCGATGCTCGACATGCGCGCCGCGTCCCGCGCCTCGCGGCGCGCCCGGATCCGCTCCTTGACGAGGCGCATGCGCGCCGACCGCGTGCTGTTCTCGTAGGGGTCGCGCCAGGGGTGGGCCCAGACCAGATCGGGCCCGGGCCACGGCGCGACGCGGTCCCGGTAGCTCGTCTCGTTCGACAAACAGGGGCACCGCGTGACGGCGTCGGCCGTCTCGCCCGTCCGCGGCGGGCAGCGCGCCGGCACCAAGGCGTGGTCCGAGGGCTCCGACTTGTGCACGAAGGCGTCGACGCGAGTTTGTTCCCAGCCCTGCTCGAAGGCCGCCCGTGCCACGGCCAGATCGTGGAACGTCGACGCGCCCGAGCCGCGCGGCAGGATCTCGACGCACGACGACAAGACGTAGTTTTCGGCCAGCGCGTCCTGCATGGCGCGCACGGAATCTCGGGAGGCCTTGAAGCGCGCCGCGCGCTCCAACAAAGGCGCGCCGACGGACCGCGCGAACGCTTCAATACGCTTCTTCGTCTGCGTCGACTCGCCGTCGGCCGCCACGTAGATGCCGTAGCGCAGGTCTCCGTTCTTAAACTCGGGCCGCCGTTTTAGGGCGGAAGCGTAGGTCTCCCGTAACAACTCCTCCGTGGCCCACTTCGTCTTACTGTTGTCCGCCTTGCGGAGGTGGACGCCCACGGCGCACGTGTGGTTCGCGAGCGTCTGTCGCACCCTGTTGACGACGGCCCGCTTCGGTCGTAAGAGCCACCGCTGCAGGAGCCCGTAGACGTACCACGGCGTCGGCATCGCGCACCGCAATAAAGGGTTGCAACTCACGCCGTAGGACCAGCTCCGATCACAGACCGCGCAGACCATCTTCGGTTGCTCGTGATAATTCCCCAGGTCCATATCCAACACCTGCTGGACGGCGTCGTGGCCGTTTTGACTGATCACGAAGGGCCCGTTCGCGCACATTGCGTCCAGGTCCTTGTTCCAGCCTTGCATCCTCCCCCACTTCACGCCGACGGGCGGGTCGAATAAATCATCGATGGACGTAGGGTCGCAGTTCCGCTTGTTCCGACACGCGGACGGCGGCCAGTTTATGACCAATGCTCGTCCTGTCGCCAGCGCGAGCATGAAGCCCCCGATCACATTGTTCAGTCGGTTCCCTAGACCGTGCCGCTTCGCCATCACCACCACAGACCTACCTCCACCTTGGTACACCGTGTGCCTCCGCTGAAATTGTTGCTTCGCGATCCAGTTCTGCAGTAAGTCGCGCAGGTAATATGACGTGCTGTTGCTGGGCATCGGTCCGCAGCCCCACGGCGTACCGTCGTCATGCGGTAGCGGCGGCGGCTGGACGTGCACCTTCTTCTCGTACGGGATGCGGCGGCGGCGGCCGCGGGCAGCCACGCCCACGATGCATAGCGTCACGGCGGACAGCCGCATGCTTCGACAGCGGTGCCACCGCGACGTCGCGTGGCGATACCAAGGGCAGCCGCCTCTCGCGTCGATGCGCACTGCGTCAATGGACTTGAGTGCCACTTTTTTTGCGTGAAGCTAGTATGTTACTACGCTACATAACTCGGAGGCAAAGAGCAGCAACATTCGACTGCGACGACTCGTCGGAGACTTCGAGGTGTCCGTCACTGCCTCCACATTATTGCAAAAGCCATGAAGAGCGCTGGATGCATGCGACTGACTGTGGCGCTCGCAATCACGACATGGAGAGCAGCAGCCTTCATAGCACCCCACACCAAGCGAGCACCACTCCTCGCACCGCTGCCAATGGGCTTCCCGGTGCCGCGGCGCGGCGCCGGCGTCGTTGGGCGACGCGTCGGCAAGCTGCTGACCTTCCAGGGTAAGAACCTCGTGAAGGCGGGGTCTCGCCTGGTCAAGAGCTCGGCCAACTCGCGGACGATGAAGTCGGCGACGCGCGTGTTGAATCGAGTGGGCAAGAAGTGGTCGATCCGGCCGCAACTGAGCAAGATGGGCGAGATCCTGCGGCCGCTCGGCAAGCTGCTCGAACCGCTCACAGATAAAATAGGGTGGCAGCTCATGGCGTTGGCCGCCTATTTCCTAGGAGCCTGGGCCTTCTGGCACCGGACGCAGGGCTGGTCCATTCTAGAAAGTTTGTACTACGGCGTCGTTACCTTAACGACGGTGGGGTACGGCGACTACTGCGCGAAGACGCGGTCCGGCAAGCTGTTCGCGACGGCCTATATTGGTATTGGTGTTACATTAGTGGCCTCCATTTTAGTAGGAGCCGTCGCGAAGAACCTGAGCGCGGCGGAAGAGCGGCTGGCCCAGCGCCTGAAGGAGCAGGCCGAAACTTCCGGAGACAAGACGACGAAGCCCTGGAAGGAACTGGCGTCCTTTGCGCTATTGCTTCTGAACATTGTGGTGGGCGCGACGTACATGGCGTTCTCCGAGGGCTACTGGGGCGGGAAAGGCGGCTGGGAGCACCCCATCGTGGACGCGTTATACTGGTCGGTGGTCACGGCCACCACGGTCGGTTACGGCGACCTGCCGCTGAACCACGCCCGGTCGAGGCACTTTTCCGTCGTGTATCTCCTCATTTCCACGACGCTCTTAACGGACTGCATCGGCCACGTCGCCGCGCGCGCCGTCGCCGCAAAGAAGGAAAAGGTCCTAGCCAGGGAACTTTCTCCAGAAATGATCCGGGAGATGTCGACCATCGAGGGCGCGGGGTCGGAAATCACGCGCGTCGAGTACCTGTCCTCCGTGCTCGTCGAGGCCGGCACCGTCGAGCGGACGGACGTCGACGCGATCCTGGCGCGTTTTGATGAGTTGGACGTGTGCCGGAGCGGCACGCTCGACGAGGCGGACATCCGCATGGCGGCGATGAAGGAGTTCTACGACACTCCGGGGATCATCAAAAAGGAGCCGTCGACGCGGTCGAGGAAGCTGCTGGATAGGTTTCGGAGGCCTAAAAATTAATTTTGACTAACTCGGGGGCACGCCACCGTGAACGGCGCGACGCGCGTTTGCGGAGACCGCCCCCGCAGGATCTCGAGCACGCGGGGCAGGGCCGCGTCCACATCTAAGTCGTCGTTGAAGTTCGCCTTCCAGGCCTTCCGCATCTCGACGGGCCGCCCGGACGGCTCGACCATTTTACCAGAGGCGCACCGCAGCGTCCCCGAGCACGTCGGCACGATGTGATAGTTCACGCCCGAGTAGCGATGGAGCGGCGGCCCGTCGGCCATCAAGTTCAGACACGCGTTTGCCCGTGAAATGTTGTAGTTGTCGGCCATGTTCCCGCTCAGGGTCTTCGAGTAGGGGTGGCAGCCCTCCTCGCAGGTCGACGCGCAGAGCGGCGTGACCTCGACGAAGGTAGATCCCGGCCGCATGAAGACGCTGTTCGCCGTGTTCGAGCCGAAGGGCGCCACGACGACGTCCGACGACGCGTAGAGCGCGATCTGCTGGCGCGGGTCGCCCCGCGGCATTCTAGCTAGCACCTTCGTCGCGCCGAGTCGCGTCGCGAAGTTCTGGACGTTGCCCTGGAAGCGCCGCCGTCGCGCGTCGCCGCGCGTGTACAGCGTGAGCTTTTCCCGCTTTGATGTATCGGTGAGGACGCGCGCGAGCACCTTGTCCCGCAGCCGCGGCAAGGCAGGGAGGGCGTCCCAGCCCACGTTCTCCGCCAGGCGCCCCTGGGCCCTCACGACCAACTCGTCGGCGCAGAGACCTATCGAAGGGAGGTGCTCGAAGCGGCTCCCCACCATGTGCGCGTCGCTCGCCCAGTAGAGCGGTGTTTGCGTTTCGTTAAATAAGGCGTCCACGACCGTCAACGACCAGGACGTGTCCGGCCGGGCGACGGCGGCGTCCCAGCTCTGCCGGCCCGTGAACCACATGACGTTCGCGAACAGCGCGTCGAAGCGCCGCGACAGCGATGACGAAAAAACATCCAGCAACCCGTTGTAGAGGTCGTGGCCGATGTTGCCCGTGAGCGTGAAGAGCGCCACTCGCTCGTATCGTCGCGCCGTCGCGACGGGGTAGGCCTCCATCGACCGCCGCACCCGGAAGCGCGGCAGCGCCTCGGCCAGGACCCCGGCCACGAACGCGTCGTCGTCGTTCTCGCGGCACCGCTCGCGCGCCTGCGGCGCGTGGCAGGCCGTCAGGCCGCAGAGCTGGCCCTTGGCGTCGGCCGTCGACGCGTGCAGCGTGATTGTTGTCTCTTGAACGCAGACGTTGCGTAGCGTCAACATGTTCGACGGCAGGTCGTCGCTGGCGGCGGCCAGCGCCGCGGCGATGAGCCAGCGGCGCCACATATTTTAGATCTATCGCATCGATGGGCAGCCGGCAGCCCGCCCAGTAGTAAATGTTTCCAGTAGATATCCTTCGCACGCGCGCGCCGGCAGCCCAAAAGAAGCAGTTTGCGTTCTTCGATTGCTGCCCCGCCTGATGTCGCGCCGCGCGATGCGGCGCGAACGAGCTTGCTAGTGTCATCGATTGGGCTGGGAGGTTGGTCCTGCAATCTTGCTTGGGTAGCCAGCGACGCCTGCTACGAGGTGGCGGCGTTTTTGGGGGCAAAAAAAAAACCGCGCGGTTTAAATTTACCCCCCTGAGCGTCAAGAGGGTGAGCCCCAAACTCGTTTTTTTGGCCCGGGCCCCACTCGGGCTCTCATCCACCCACCACCCATTTGCCTCTGGTACCCCCCAGAACCTCCACCGGACAACATCGGATCAGTCATGGACAAAAAGAGAAAGATCACGGAGTCCAACAACGAGGAACCAGCTCAGCCTGAGGCTGCTGCGAGCAACCCGATGATCAGCCCCAGTGTGACTTTCAGCAACAACACCATCACCATGAGCCCGCAAATGTCGAACAACCAGACGTCAAGCTCGAATGACCAAGCTCCCATCCAGGGCATGGGAACACCGATTTAGGCCTCCACCCCTAGGCCTCCCTGCCTAAAGATCGGGTTTTGCGCCGCGTTTTGGGCGGTTTGGGGGCTTAATTAGGGCTGTTAACGCCGCGTACGCGCTCCGGGCAGCCGATCCCATGACCAAGGCCCCGCCGGCCTGGCTGGCCGCGGCCAAGGCCCGCGTCGAGGCCCAGGAAAAGCAAGACCAGGACCGCAAGGCTGCCCGCGCCAAGAAGCGCGCGGCGGAACGCGCGAAGAAGGAGGCGCCTGCAGCCCCGGCGCGGGCGCCGGCACGGACGAAGGAGGACTTCGCCGCGCGGCTCGACGCGGCTTTGCAGAAGCCGGCGCGGCGGGAGACGGACGCGTCAACGCTGCCGCGCCTCACGCCGCGGTCCAGCGCGGCGCCGGAGCCGGTCGCCGATCCATTGCCGGAGCAACTCGCCGGCACGGCGGCCGAGCTCGAGGCGGCCGCCGTGGCGCCGACCGCGGACGACGCGCTCGACCGCGCGGCGCTCGACGCGTTACGGCTCACGGAGCTTATCACGGGCACGGCGGCGGCCGTCGCAGAGCTAGACGAGGAGGCCCTCGACCGCGAGGCCGCCGAAGCTTTGGCGGAGAACGAGCGGCTGCGGGCGGAGTACGGCTCTGACGACGAGGACGAGGAGGAGGTGTCGTCGCCGGGCGACATCATGCAGTGGCTGCAGGACGTCATCGACGACCAGCCGTCGCGGGACCCGCGCATCGCCGAGGCCTGGGCCGCCTTCGAGAAGGAGGACGGCGCACTTTCAACGGATAGGATGCCGGACAAGGCGGCTATCGAGGCCGCGGAGCGCGCGTTGGATGAGGAGGCCGCGCGCGCGGCCGGCGTCGAGGTCGACGGCGTCCTCGACGACGACGAGGACGACGACGACGCCGCGGCAGCTGCCCTCGAGCGGAAACTGGATAGGCACCTGGCGCGGTCGGTCGAGAATCGACTCGACGACATGGCCAATTCATGCCGTGCGCGTAGCAAAGCGGCGCGCGCGCGCGCCGAGAACGCGGCCAAGGCGCGGCGGAAAGCGTCGCCGGGCCCGTTCTTGACGGCGGTTGACGACGACGACGACGACGGTCCGACGCGGCCCGTGACGCCGCGGACGGCCTGGGTCGCCGAGTTACGCTCGGCGTGCGACGAGGGGCGCTCGAAGATCGCGTCGCGGCGGGCCGAGCTCCGCACACGGCCGCAGTAGTAAGTAAGGAGATTACTCGGTATGTCTATCGGACGACGCCGTTGCTCATCTCGCGCGAGCCATTCGCGAGCCTGAGCTGCGCATGCGACGGCGTGGACGGCGCGGCGTTCGATGCGCGATGCGCGCGATGCGGCGGCGCATGCCCAGCACGTGACGTGACGGACGGACGGACGGCGACGTGACGTGACGACGCGCGCGCGCGCGCGACGACGGCGTGAACGGCGTATTACTGGCGCGTCTGACCTATCGGACGACGCCGTTGCTCATCTCGCGCTTCGACGGCTTCCGCAGGGCCGCCTGCTCCCCATCAATAGGCGACTTGAAGGGCATGAATCCCACGTCCGCAGCCTTCAGCGACGGCGGCGCGCGGACCGGGCCGAGCGGGTCCAGCGGGCCGCCGGGGCCGATGCCCCCGGCGAGCGGGTCGCCGGCCTCCTCCTCCTTCTTGGCCTCCTCCTCGCTCAGCTCCCGGACTTTGCACAGGTTGAGCTCCAGTTTCGCCTGACCGTCCTTCATCTTGCCCCGCAGGAAGGGCGAGAGGCGCGGATGCAGCCCCTCGGCGCACCACATAATCAACTTCTTCTGCAACGCGACGGCCTCCTTCGGGCTCCCGTCTTTTTTTGCGGCCACGAAGCCTAAGGGTAAAGGCTTATCGCCGCCCGGGGTCGTCAACCAAACTTCCCGGATCTCACCGTCCGCGTCCTTCAGGGCGAAGTAGTTGTCCCACTGCTTGTCCATCGGCTTCGGCGCGCCCTTGATCTGGACGGCCTTGTCCTTGCTCTTTGTCGTCTTGCCGAAGCCTGCCGCGAGTTGTGTCCGAGGGCGCGGTTGGGTTGGCGGCGTGAAGGCAGAGGCCGCGCAGGCCAGGACTACGATGATGCGCGTCATAATTGGCTTGTCAAGTGTTCAGCCTTCAGTGCAGGGCTCTGGGACGCTCTTTCAAGCGCCGACTGGAGTGCTGCTGTCCGCTTGCTCGCCGTGTGCAGCTGAGTGCAGCCTCTATGCAGCAGGGCTCTGGGACGCTCTTCAGGCGCACGAGTGGGATTGCAATTGCGGCACGATCACAAATGAGTGAGAAACGTGCGAAACGCGCTTGTACGTGCTAGCAGGCTGTAAAAAGTGCCCGCTTGCAGTGCTGTTATTAGCTAGCGGCCTTGTAAGACACTAGCAACAAATCGGATTCCCTTCCAAACCCCAGAGCAGCTCCAGGAGAAGTCTCTAAGGCGGCTGGACGGGTGCGTGAGCACCGGACGCGACCCGCTCGGCCCTCGACAAAAACTCGTTTGTTGCGGCGCAGGTCGCTTTTTTGTGTGCTTCGCGGCGACTTGGACAGCGCTGTAGCGGCTTCAGAAGACCGCCAGGCGCTGCGTCGCGCTGTACGCTTCAGCAGCTTCGCGCGCTGCGTACTTGGGGCCGTTTCACCCCCAACAGTGCCGACCAACAAAACCGAGCGCCGCCGGCGCCGCGCTGGAAAGATGACGACCCCAGCAGCCGCCGTAAAAGTGGTGGTAAGAATCCGTCCGCTCAACGCCTACGAGCAGCGCGACGGCGACACGCCCATCGTCCGCGCGTACGCCGGCGACGACGGGCGGCAGAACCGCGTTATTGTCGATGGACAGAGAGAAGAGACCTTCGAGTACGCGACATCGCTGAGCGAAACCGCCAACGAGTGCGACGTGGCCAAGGCCGCGAACGCGCAGCAGCTCGTGCAGCGCGTCGTGGATGGAAGGAACGCCACAGTATTAGCCTACGGCCAGACGGCGGCGGGCAAGACGCACACGATCGACGGCTTACTCCCGACGGTCATCGACCGCATCTTCAAGGCTACGAATGAAGGCGACTTCGAGACCAGTGAGGTGTCGGTGAGTTACCTCGAAATTTATAACGAGCAGGTGCGGGACCTGCTGGTGCCGGCGCCGGTGCAGACGGACCCCGACCGGCCGCCGCCCCAGCCCAAGGCGTTGAACCTGCAGAATCGGCTCCAGGGCGGCGTGACCGTCGTCGGTTTAAGTGAAAGGAAGCCGCGCAATGCCCTGGAGGCGAAGCGGGTCCTGAAGGAGGGCGGCGAGCGTAGAGCTGCCGCAGCCACGGCGATGAACGACCGCTCGTCGCGGTCGCACGCTGTATTTGAAGTAAGAGTGGAAACGCGAAGGCGCGGCGACGCGGCAACGCGGCGCGGCCGCTTTTTATTAGCTGACTTGGCCGGGTCGGAGAGCGCGGGCCGGACGAACGAGAGCGGCAACGCCCGGAGGAGAGAAGCTAGGACGATCAACCAGTCTTTGCTGGCCCTCGGCCAGGTCATCTCGGCGCTGTCGGAGCAGAAAAAGGCCGACCACGTGCCTTATAGGGACTCGAAGTTGACACGGTTACTACAAGATAGTTTGGGAGGCACGGCGGCGACGGTCCTAATCGCCTGCGTGGCGCCGACGTTAGCGTCGCGCGAAGAGACGCTCTCGACATTAAGGTACGCGGACCGCGCGTCGCGCGTCGCGGGCGTCGACCGCGTCCACGTCGCGCCGCCGCGCGCGCCGACGGCCGAAGATTTGGCGGCGCTGGAGCGGGCCCTGGACGAAGCGAAAAGGAAGAACGCCTTCCTGGCCCAGGGCGGGCCCGACGCGACGGCGCACCTCAAGTGCTTCTGCGCGTTAAGGGCGCGCCTCGTTGATGCCGCTCATGCCGCGCATGCCGCTCACGCGGCGGCGACGGTCGACGCCGCGAATTCGAGTGACGCGGCGCATGCGCTCGAAGAGTGTCGAGCGGCGCTTGCCAAGGCCACGAATGATGCAGGGAGAGCCCAGAAGGACGTGAAGCGGGCGCGCGACGCGGCGCGCCACCTCGCGGGCGAGCTCAAGAGTTTGACGAGGGACGCGTCGGAGAAGGAGGCGGAGAACAAGCTCCTCGAGGAGGGCTTGAGCGAGGCGATCGACGCCGCGCGGACGATGAAGAACGAGCTCCGGGAGGAGCAGGCGCGGTCCGCGGCCTGGGCCCAGCGCTGCGGCGCAGACGCGGCGGCGCGCGAGCGGGGTCAGGCCGCGGCGCTCCACGGGCAAAAGAAGTCCATGGAAGACGCGCACGCCGCCGCGCTCGATAAGGTGCGGGCCGAGTACACAACAGCGCTCGCGGCGACGGAGGCGGGGCACGCGACGCTCGCCGAGGCGGCGGACGCCGAGCTCGATTCACTACGAGCGGCGTTCGCCGCGGAGCGCGCGCTCGCCGACGCGCGCGCGCAGAAGCAGTCGAGCGACCGCCGGAAGGAGGCCGCGGCGCACGCGCGCGGCGTGCGGTCCGCGCTGGCCGAGGAGCTCGCGGCCGCGCAAACACAGCACGCGGCGGACGTGGGCCGGTTGCAGGAGGCGCTCGACGCCGCGACGACCGCGCACGCGGCGGACGTCGGCGCCGTCACGGCCGAGCTCCACGCGGTGAAAGCCGAGCTCGAGGCGACGCGCCACCGCGCGGGCGCCGACGCGGCGCGGGCTCTTCAAGCGCTCGCCGACGTCCGATCCGAGCTCGGCGCGGCGAGGAACCTCCACGAGCTCGCGGTGCGGCGCGCGGCGGAGGACGCTAAGAAAGCTGAGGCGGCGTTGCTGGACGAGCGGGCGGCGCACGAGGCGGCGCAGCGCCAGTCGACGGCGGACCGCGACGCGGCGGCGGCGTCTGCATTGGAGGCCGCGCGGACCAAGGCCGCGGCGGACCTCGCCGCGCTCGAGTCCGCGCGCAAGTTGGCCGCGGCCGACCTCGCGCGCGCCCACGAGGACGCCTCGAAGGCGATCGTCGAGGCGAACGACCGCGCTTCGAAAGCGAGCGACGACGCGGCGGCGGCGCGGGCCGAGGCGCAGACGGCCGCGGCCGCCGCGCGGGCCGTCGAACAGGAGCTCGAGCGCGTGCGAGCCGCGGCGCAGACCGACGGCGAAGCGTTGCGAGCGGCCGAGGCGGCGGCCGAGGAGGCGCGCGCCGACGCGGACCGGGCGCGGCGGCTGCTCGAGGGCGTCGGGGCCGAGCTCGAGACGCACGAGGCGGCGGCGCGGGCCGCAGAAGCCGAGCTCGAGCGGATGCGCACGACGGCGCAAACGGAAGGCGAGGCCCGCCGCGCGGCCGAGGCGGCCGCCGACGAGGCGCGCGCCGACGCCGCCGCGGCGCGGGCCGAGATCGACACCCATGTGACGGCGGCGAACGCGGCTGAAGCGGCCCTGGAGCGCACGCTGACGACGTCAAAGACCGAGGGCGAGGCCCTCCGCGCGGCCGAGGCCGACGCGGCCGCGGCGAAGGCCGCGGCGCGGGATGTGAAGGAGGAGCTCGAGGAGCTGCGCTGCGCGGCGGCCTTCCACGGCGACGCCCTCCGAGCGGCCGAGGCCGAGGCCGACCGGCTGAAGAGCGAGGCAACGGCGGCCGAGGCGACGACGGCGGAGCTGGCGGACGCCCTCGTCGAGGCGCGGAACGACGCCGCGGACGCGCGCGCCGACGCGGCGGGCGCCCAGGCGCGCCTCGACGAGGCGACGGCGCGCGCGCGCGACGACGCCCGCGACGTCGAGGCCGAACTCTCGCGCAATGCGCGCGAGTGGCGCGCCGAGGTGCTGCAGGCGCGGCGCGAGGCCGCCGAGGCGACGGCGCTTTTATCGTCGCGACGCGCCGACGAGGCCGACGCGCGGAACGGCGAGGTGGCGCGCGCGCGCGCCGAGGCCGCCGGCGCGCGCGACGCCGCGGCGGGCCTGCGCAAGGCCCTGTCCCAGGCGCGCGCCGACGCGGCTCAAAGTGCAGACGCGGCGCGCGCGGAGGTCGCGACGCTCACGACCGAGCTCGCCGCGGCGCGGGCGCGCCTCCGCGATAGCGAGGGCCAGCGCGATGCGGACACGAACGAGCTCGTCCGGGCGCGCGACGCCGCCGCCGGCGAGGCCGAGCGTTTACGGGAAAAGATCGCCGCCGTCGTCGCCGAGGGCGCCCGGGCCGCGGCGGAGGTCGAGAGCGCGGACGCGACGATCCTGGAGCTGCGGAAGAACTTGGAGGCGGTCGTGGGCGAGGCGCGGTCGCGCGACGTGCGCGCGCGGTCGTCGAGCGCGCGCAAGGAGGCGGAGATCGCGCGGCTCGCGGCGGTGTCCGAGGCCTCCGCGGCGGAGCTGCGGGAGTCGCGGCCGCGGCTCCGGGCGCTCGAGGCTACTTCAGCGGATCTGGCCGCGCGGCTCGCGGCGGCGGAGGCGGCTGCGCTAGTCGCCGCGCCCTCTGTGGCCGCGCCCGTCGCGGCAGCGCCCGCCGAGGCCGCGCCGGTGGCAGATGAGGACGCGTGGAGCATTGCGGCCTCGGCCGACACCGTCGACGCGGCCGACGCCGCCGAGGCCTCGACGGACTCCGAGGTCGAGGTCTGCGCCGCGCCGCCGACGCCCGAGGCCGTCGACGGCGCGAAGCCGCGGGAGGCCTCGCTCCTAGTCATCGGCGCCCAATCGGTCGACGACGAGGCCTCGACGGACGTCGATTCAGAGGCCGAGGCCTACGTCAACGACCGACGCGGCCGCAAGGCCGCCGCGCCGCCACCGACGCCCTACGTCGTCCCGCACGCCGATGACGATGACGCGGTCGACGAGGCGCCCGTCGAGCTGCTCTTCCGCGCCGACGACGCCGTCTTCGCGCGCGACGGCCGCGAGGACCACCCGGCGACCGTCGTCGCGGACTGCCCCGCGGGTGCCGCGAGCGTCCTGGTCAAGTGGCAGAGCACGGGCGACCAGGTCGAGGTTTTGATCGCGGACGTCACGGCGATCGGCGCGCTCCCGCCGCGGTCCTGCCGCCGGCCGCGGGCCGCCGCCGCGGCGCCGCCGGTCGCGGTCGACGAGCCGTCCGAGGCCGACGAGTCGGCGGAGCCGTCGCCCGCCTCGGCCGCCGACGCCGAGGCCTTCCGCCCGCTGACGCCGCTCGACCGGCCGAGCTGCGTGCCGCCGCCGAGCCTGTCGAGCCCGGCCGGGCCGGTCGACTGCAAGGCCTGCGCGACCGGCGACCGCCGGCGCAAGCACACGTGCCCCGCGGCGGCGCGGCTCCGGAACGCGGCGCGGGCGAAGCCCAAACCAAGGCCCAAGAAGTCCGTCCACGCGTGGCGCCTCGACGACGACGACGAGCCCGAGGTCGCGCCGCGGCGGTCGGGCCGGACGCGAACGAAGGTCGTCACCTACGCCGACGAGGAGAACGACGTCCCGGAGCGGCGCACGGCGCGCAAACGGCGCGCCGCGGCGAACGACCGCTCGCCCTTCAAGAGCGCGAACGTCTTCGGGTTCTAAGGAGGAGTTGTCCCTTTTTAGGAGGAGTGTCCCTTTTTCTAGCCCATCAACTGTGCGGCGGCGCCCTCGGGGTCCGTGCTAGAGGGGCTAGCCACAATAAGCGACTCTTAGAAGCGACTCTCTCTCTCTTTCAGTGCGCCCTCGGACCCCGCGGCGCCGCTGGACGGCGAGGCGTGCCAAAGATAAGCGTGACCTGGCCCGGAGGACTCGTGTACCTCTCTCAGGCCTCGTTCGTGTCTCTCGTAGAGTTCCTGCGCGGCGCGCCCCGAACACTGTTGGATTTTGCCTCAGCGCGGCACTCGCAAAAGCGGCTGCCCCGCAGCACCTGCCACCGCGCGCACGCCGCCGACGCAGCCCCTACAGCACGCTCGGTCGCGCCAGACACGTAAACCCCATGGCTTGCGTCGCCTCGCCCCTGGCGCCGGACTCGCCGTCCTGCCTCCACGACGATGTAGCGGCCTTATATGGAGAGGCCCAGAAGCTGTATGCGGACGCGCAGCAGGATTTTAATGGAGACGACGCGCCGGCGGCGTGGGACCTGCCCGAAGCGATGCTGACGGGTGGTATGCCGCAAGGGTTTGAGAACACGCGGCGCGACGTGGGCAGCCTGACGATGAAGATCGCCAACAAGAAGGCCGACATCGAGGCGTTGCTGGAGCGGATGGCCAAGCTCCAATCGCGGTACAAGAACATGACGGAAGGTAAGGAGGAGATGAGCAAGACGGTCAAGAAGGCCGCGCGCAAGTCGCAGCGCGAGAAGCGCCGGCGCAAGAAGAAGCGCGACAAAGCGAAGAAGGCGAAGAAGAAGATGGCGCACCCGCTCGACGGCATCGACGAGTTCAGCACGACCGTCAAGAAGGAGGAGCCCGTCCCACAAGAGGAGGAGCCCGTCCCGTCAAAGCCCGGCGCCCACCCCTTGGACGACCACTTCGAGCTGGGGACGGAGGCCGAGGAGGCCGCGGCCGAGAAGGAGTGCGACAAGCAGGTCGAGCGGATCCTCGAGTGGATCCAGGCCTGCAAGGACCCGGGGAAGGACCCCTTCGGCGACCTCCAGTCGAAACTCAAGGCCGACTTCATGGAGATCGAGAAGGTGATGCATAGGATGGAGGGCTCCTCGACCCAGGTGTTTGGGGAGGCGCCCGCCAAAGGGCCCCAGACGTGCATGCTCGAGGCGCTGGAGGCGCGGGAGCGCGCGCTGGAGGACGCGCGCGACGAGTTGGAGGTCATGGACGAGGAGACGGACGAGGCGGCCCACTTCTGGGGGCACCTGTACGCGTGCGATTCCGACGACGACGAGGACGAGGTCGACGACGAGGCGTGCTCGCCGGAGGAGGCCCAGTTATTATTGTACCTGGGCCACTCGCTCCACGACTACCTCGGCGACGTCGAGGAGCACAAGCACGCGCTCATGAAGGCGTCGGAACAGTTCGAGGGGGGGATGTTTTGAGAGAAGAGAGGTTGGGTAAGACAGGAATACAACATTACTACTAGCCCCGGTGCTGCTCCAGCAGCGCGGCGATGAGCTTCCGAACTACATGATTCGGAGCGAGTGCCGTCGACTCGAGGTGCTGTGAGGTCGCCGGCGACGTGCGCGCGCCGGTGGCGAACCACTGCTCCACAGCGACTCGCTCATACGTATGGCCATCTTCGACGCAGAGAACGGGGTCTTTCATAATTTCACACGTGATGGGACACATGAGATCCTCGGGCAATTCACGAATCCGAAGCCGCTTGATCTCTTCGCGATGCTCTCGGAGCGCTTCCTCGAGCACGCTCTGATGCTTCGCGACGTTGTCGAGCACGTCCTCCGTCTCTAGCTTTTTGTTCTTGGCGGCCGAGTGCGCGGCGCCCAGTATGGTCAAGCATGTCATCTGGGACACGCCCAGGCCAATCAAATCTGACGGGTCCAGACACGGCAGCACGTTATCATTAATTTCCTCGGCGACAAAGATAGGCAAGAGATGAGGCTCGTTGAGGTGTTCTAAAACGCGCGCCACGATCTCGAAGCCCTCGGGCGCGGCGGCGGGCTCCTCAGTTGCCAGGAGGGGCTCTTCCAATTTTGCCTCGAGGGGCGCGGCCGTCGGCGCGACGACTGGCTCCTCTACCTTCGCCTCGGGCACCGGTGCGGCTGATGGCGCGCGCGACTCGGCGACGGGCGCCGGCTCGGGCTCGGGTTCTGGCACTTTCGGCTCCGGTGCCGTGGGTTCCGGGACGGTCTCCTGCACGTCGGTCGCGCGCGTTGGTTCCGGCTCCGGCTCGGGCTCTGACGTTTTTGGTTTCGGCGCAGCATTCTCCGATTGAGTCTCCGGTGGGTCGGGCTCAGGTGCGCGGGGCGTTGCGTCGCGTCGCCGCCCGCGATTCGCCCGTTTCCGGAGGCCCGGGCGGGCGCCGCGCTGCTGCGACGCCCGCGCGCCGGTGCTCGGGCGCTCGTCCGCTTGGGGCGCCCGACCGGCGCCAGGGCCCGACTTTTGCACAAAGCGCCTCAGCCAGCCGACGCTGTCGTAGACGAGCCTGCCCGTGCCGAGCAGGATGAAAAAGCCCCCCCCGGTACGAATTGAGTTGGAAGAATCTCTACCTGGCACGTAACCAGCAATCATTTCCAATAGCATCAGGGCATCAGCGCCGACGCGACCCCAAATGCTGCCTTCTGGAGCAAACCGCTCAAAGACCGTCCAAATTCCGTTCCAAGAGAGGAAAGGCACGACCACCACTATCAAGGCCGTGCCTTTCTTATTTTGCTCCATGTTAAGAACTATAACAGAGTGGAGAAGAGCGACGCAACAGACCGCAGCGCGGAAAAGTGTGGCCCACACGGGAACCGACGCGACCCTGGCATCCGTCACGCGCCCGCGACGCGTCCGCGCAGACGGCGCCAAATCGTCCTGGAGCTCGCGCGCGGCGCGCTCATGGGCGGGTGCGCGGCGCTTCCAGACGTAGAGCGAGGCTAGTACGACGACGGTGGCCATCGAGACAAGCTCCAGCAGATCTTGTACGACTTGTCGAACACCGAAACGCCCGCGGAGTATTGATTGCAGTATCTCTACTTGGCTGATCGCCATCTCCACTCCTTCGAGGTGGCCTCGCGCCTTCACAGCGTCAATCCTGTGCTGGCCAAGCACCAGGAGGTCATCTCCTCGGGCAGCTAGGTATCCGAGCAAGTTTATCTCTGCCAGTGTTGCGTCACCCTTGTCCACATGCACATCGGCGTCCGAGGCCAAGAGTATCAAGGTATCAGTAATGCCCCCCAAAAAGTCGTTGTCATCATCACCACAACCCCCCGCCCGATCGCATTCCTTGTGCTCGGTCATGGCCAGGTCGAGCAGGTAATCGATTGTATCCGTCTCCCAAAGACGAGAATGCAAGGGGTCTGAACGTGCAGGCCGTCGGCGAAATACAGGCCTGGAAAGGTAACTGGCTATAAGGAGGGAGGCGTCCTTCCGTTCGGCCGGAACCTCGAGCTGATGGAGTAGCATCTCGACGTCGCTTGTGGCCATTTTTTCGCCCGACGACACCCTATCCTTCAGATTCGTCCACGCTACCTCATTGACAACATCCGACTTCTCGAAGAGCAGCGAACGGGCCATGTTCGCTTCATGAGCGGACGCGAATTGGAACGCCTCCATGATTTCGGCAGCATGCGAATCAACTAGCGAATCGAAGGCCAGATGAGCTGGCAGCTGATGCCTGGCGGGATCAAACCCTGTTTGCGTGAGTAATAGTAGGAAAAGCTTGGCCAACTGGTCTAGAACGAACTCACACATTCGCGTAGTTTTCTGTACCCGCGTGACCGCGCACCGGTCGCGTTCGCGTGCGGCAAAGTCGAGCAACCATTCGAACGTCTTCTTTCCCCGAAGTCTGGACATCAATGGGTCGTCGTACATGGCTTGTCTAGCCGGCTGAGGGTTGGCCGCGTGATTCTCTTCGATTAAGGTTTTGTATGCTCCAATATGCATACCTATCATTTCGAGGATGTCGCCGCGCACGACGGGTAACTCATCCAGCCCCTTGATGATCAGGTCGATATCACCTTCGCTCAGCACGTGCCGACCCTCGCCAGTGTCCACTTTTAATCTCAGATGTAGCAGCGCGAGTTTGTCGTCGTCGCTCCATCGCTCATTATCTATATTATAAAAGTTGCCGTATCTTTCCCCTAGCGCTTCAAAAGCAGCGAGTGTTTCTTCAGAGAGCGATTGCGCCACGGCGAGCACCGCGACGGCGAGAAACGCCCGCATATTTCACGAATTCACGAGCGCTGCTATCTCGTGTCCGCGGCGACAGCGCGACGGCGCGGCTGCGCCTCGTAGCGTCCCCGCGCGACGCGCCACAAGGAGCCTCTTGCCTGGATTGGAGGCACAGGTCTCCTGGTGCGACCGCGCTATAACGCGGATCGTTTCGGTGGGTCTGCGAACAAATCCTATGAACTACCAGCACCTCAGATGAAGGGGTTAGCGGCCGTAGCGCTTGCCGCCGAACAGAGACCCAGGGGAACGCTAGTGTCTTAAAGTCCGCTAGCTACGTGAGCGCGCGTAGCCGTGCAGAAAACTGCAAGCGCTTCACTGGCATTCGTGCTCATACTTACGCCGCGTCCGAGAATTGTGCGCACACCTACGGCCGCTAGAAGCAAGCACTCCTGCAGCAGCACCACTGCAAGCACGCAGCATGCTCGCCCGCACCACTGTAATTCATGCAGTCAGCGAATACGGCGAAGCATGGACCACGCAAGACGCGGACCGCATCGCTGCTTTATTTACCGAGGATGCAGTCTACATCGAGCGCGCCTTCGACCGCAACGGCACCTTCGTGGGACGAGAGCAGATCCGAGAGTACTGGCTGCGGCAGATCTGCGGCAAACAAACGAGTATTCGGTTCCGCCACGTCGAACGGGACTTGGCCATCGATGCGACGAGACCGGTAGCAGTGGTCAAATGGCTCGCGGAGTTTGACAATTTTCGGGAGAAGCGCGCCGACAAGGCAGAGAAGCTCGTGCGTTTTTGTCAAGTCGCGCGGCTCGAGTTCAGGGGAGAGCAGATCTGCTACCTCGAAGAATACGGCCAGTCCGTGTCGGGGCCGGGCGCGCGCTGGCCGCCTTTAGATGCCTCGGAGGACGAGCTCGCGGCGCGCATCCGCAAGCGCTTCAAGGAGTCCGCCGTCGCGGCGACGTGCGACAAATGTCAGGCGCCCTTCGCCTCGCGGTCGAAGCTCTTCGCGCACCTGCGGGCGACGCCGTGCGGCGAGGGCGTCGTCTCGCGCCCGGCGGTGGAGCCGACGGCCGCGCTGTGCTTCACGGTCAGCTACGACGAACCGCCTCGTTTACAAGAGGTGCTGCACCACGTCGTCGGCCAGCACGGCCACCTGAATTGGGCCGTGCCCCTCCGCGTCGCCCCCGCGGCGATCTGCAACCGCGTCGCGATCAACGTGCCCAAGCGAATGCTCGCGGATCTGCCGTCTCTCGTGCGCCGGTTGCGGGAGAGACTGCCGGACGTCGACGTCCAGGGCGCCGACGTTGCCGACCGGCCCTTCGCGGCGGAGCGGCGCCAGGCTGAGCGGTATATCGCGCTCGTGCCTTGGAAGTGCTGCGGCGCGTCGCCCGTGGCCTCGTCGGCGGCTCCCGCGCCGACGGCGTCCGCGGAACACGTCGGCTGTCCCACGCCGTTTGCGTCGCTCGAGGCAGCGCGATATGTAGACGAAGCGACGTTGCGGCGCATGGCCCACGCCGCGCGCCGCGCCGTCGAGCTCAAAGACGCGGGCTGGCTCAAGACCGCAAAATTAGGCCGCGTGCGCTGCTCGGCGCAGGACGCGCCGCGGGCCGCGTGGTGCCGCGTGTCCATCTCGATGCGCCAGCCGGAGCCGCTCTTCGTCAATACGTTGGTCGCGGCGCTCGTCGCGCACGCGCGAGGCGTCTTGGACGGCGCCGCCCTCGATGCGGTGTTTGAAGGCTCTAACCTGCCGAACCTGACGCCGCTGCCGCAACAATTCGTCGTTCTCGCGGGACCGGTGATGACGAACTTCGAGAGCAAGAACAACCTGGGGAAGCCCGAGCGCGACACGCGCGTCTCAACGGCCGCGCAGCGACACCTCGCTCGCATGGTCGCCGCCGAGGCGTCGGTCGACGACTGGGCGACGAAGATTTGTGTGTAAACAAAACAGTTGTATTAAAGTTTCACAGACCAGTAGAAAAGAGGCGCGGCGCCAGCCGCGCGAGCGTCGACGCGTCGACGGCCGATACGCCGCGCAGGAAGAGCTTCGTCGTTTGCACGGACGAGGCAAACACTAAAGCCTCGGGCGGCGGGTTCCGGCCGTGCAGAATCGACCCGGGGTGCACGGACACCGCCGCGTCGTTGCGCAGGGCCCGAAAGCACCGCTTCGCCGGGTCGCGGACCGCGGCGTTCTGCACACACAAAGCCTTCGCGACGCAGTCGAGCGCCGCCGTCCGCGCCGTGTCGAGGGGAATGGCCTCGGTGGGCGCGAAGATTTCTTTGGAGAGCACGTCGAGCAGCTGCTTCCGGACGCGGAGCGCGGACTCGACCGCCGAGGCGCTGAGGAACCGCTTCCGGCACCACTGCTGGCGGTTCCGTTCGTTCGCGGCGGCCTTCAACGCGTTCCGCGACGTCCACAGGTCGCCGCTGCGGTCCTCGAAGGCGTCTCGGGCTCGGATGGCGTTGTCCCTCGCTTCGCCGCCCCGCGGCTGGACGAAGAGCCCGTGCTCGGAGGAGACGACCGCCGCGACGACCCACAGCACGTCCGGCGCGCCGTCCCTAAATTGCGTAGACGCGAGGTCGACGGCCGATGCTAATAAAGGCGGCAGGGGCAACGACGCGAGGCGCCGCCCGAGCGCCGTCAGCGCGCCCCGGTCATCTAAAGCTTCGCACGCATACAACGTCTCCAGGGCTCGGAGCAACGCGTGCCGCGGCGGCTTCGTCACGAAGTCGAAGGTCTCCGGCCGCGCGACGCCCAGCGCTTTCAAGGAGAGCACGACGCCGGCCAAATCACATCTCAGAATCTCGGGCGCGGTCGCGTCGGGCAGCGAGTCCCAGGCGGCCTCGGGATACAAGCGGTAGCACCGGCCGGGCGCCTCGCGGCCCGCGCGGCCCGCGCGTTGCCGAGCCTGCGCCTTCGACGTCGCTTCTACTCTTAAAGCCTCGAAGCCCCGCGCGTCGCAGCCCCGGTTTTTCGCCCAGCCCGGGTCGACGACGTGCCGGACGCCCTGGACCGTCACGGACGTCTCGGCGATCGTCGTCGAAACGATGAACTTGCGCTTGCCGCTTGGGGCCGGCGCGAAGGCCTCGAGCTGCTTTTCCTTGGATAGCGCCGCGTACAACGGCACCACCACAACGCCAGAGAGCCGCTCCTCGAGCATGGCCACGCAGCTCGCGATCTCCTCCTGGCCGGGCATGAAGACGAGGACGTCGCCCTTGCACGTTTTGTCCGCGTGGAGCTGCGCGCAGCACGTCGCGCAGGCCTCGTGGTAGTCGTCCAATGCGTCGACAGTGTAGAACACGTCGACGGCGTGGAGGCGCCCCGGCACCTTGACGACGGCGCAGTCGTCGAAGTAGTTTTGGAGTGAAGAGATGTCGAGTGTGGCCGACATGAGGATCAATTTCAGCGGTCGCTTCGCCTGCGTCCGCTTCGCGAGGCCGAGCAGCACGTCCGTGTGGACGCTCCGCTCGTGGGCCTCGTCCACGATCAGCACACCATACCTCTGGAGCTGCTCGTCGCCGAGCATCTCTCTGACAACAAGTCCGTCGGTCGCGAAGACCGCAGCAGTCTTCTTCGACGCCTTGCGCTCGAAGCGCATGGCGTAGCCCACCTCGCCGCCAATTTCCACGCCGCGCTCCGCGGCGACGCGCTCGCTCACCGTGAGGACGGCTACTCGTCGGGGCTGCGTGACGCAGAGGCGCCGGCCGTCCTGCGGCGCGCACAGTTTGGCGTCGAGGAGGAACTGCGGCACCTGCGTCGACTTGCCGCTGCCCGTTTCTCCCACCACTAGGACTGTGCTGTGGCCGCGCACCGCGGCGAGGACCTCGTCTCTCGCCGCTAAGACCGGCAGCGACGGGTCCTTCGCCACGCGCGGCCGCCGCGGCTGGAGGTTGGCGAAGGCCTCGTTCGTGAAGGAGGCGGCGGTGATTTCCATCGCTGCTTGCTTTGCGCTGCTCGCTGCTTGCTTTGCGCTGATCGCTGCTGTGTTGCGATGCTGCACTGTACTTGCCTTGTGAGCTAGCACGAAGTATGATTGATGCCAGCACTCTATGCAGACCTCAAATGCGATACGTTGAAGATATGCCAACCACTGAGCGGCCTCGCACGCTGCAAAAATGCTCTCTTCGCGTCGCAGTGACTAGCGTTAAACATACTAGGTTTGCTAGTGGGCTTACAGCACGCTGGCTAACTTGGACGGCGACGATTTGCCAAAGTACCCCTGGTGCCGCCCTGTTTGCACAGCTGCGCATCTCGGGCTCATATATTCATCTCATCAGTGCCCCGCGCTGGTTGATCAGAGCTCACTGCGTCTATCGCCGCCAAATCGCCGGCCATGGACATAGCAGCCTCGCCGCCGAGCCAGGCGCGGCCCGCGGAACTGGACACGCTGCTGAGCTCGCCGGACCAATACACGCCCGAGGCCATCGCGCCCCTGGAGGCCTACGTCGCGGCGCAAGTTCAAAATAAGCAGTACGACGCCGCGGCCAACAAGGCGCTGGCCAAACTCTACCAGTTCACGCCGTCGCGGTGCCAGGACGCCGTCCTCGCCCAGGTGCTCGCGAAGGCGCTGTGCGCCCGGCCGGCGGGCGACGGCTACAATTTGTTGTATATCGTGCCCGAGGCGCTCATCGAGCGGAGCCCGCTCTGCAAGCGGCTGGCGGAGGCCGACGCGTTGTTGGAGGCCTCGAAGTTCGACGAGTTCTGGAAATCCGCGCGGGCCGAGCCGAGCTTCGAGAGCACGTGCCCCGGCTTCGAGGGCCAGATGCGGCGAGGACTGCTGGATTTGTTGAGCGAGACGTTCCAGGCCGTGCCGCTGGACCTGCTGAGCACGGTGCTCGGCTGCGACGCGGCGCAGGCCGCGGCGCTGGCCAAAGCGGGCGGCGGGCCCCTCGCGCCGTCGAGCGGCGCGTCGGCCTCATTTAAGCCGAACGCGCAGAACCAGCAGCGCAAGGAGGTCGTCGAGAAGACGGTCGCGCTGACGTCGCTGCTGAAGCTCTACGACCCGGAAGAGCAGATCTTCGAGGCGGCGCCCGCGACGGCGGAGTAAGTAGGTCACATACAAATAGATTACTCACGACGAGAACGGATCCTCAGGCTCGTCCTCGTCTTCGCGTTCGTCGAGCGCCTTCGCCCACTCATCATTTATTCGCACCGAAGTTCGGTCGACATTTGATCCAAAATCATCGATCGTCGTGGTGTACACCAGCCCACAAATGCCCAGGATGAAGAAGACGTATAAAACGTCGACCCAGGCGACGCCCGTCACTCCCACGCCAGTGCCGTCCAGCACGCCTTCACCAGTGCCAAGGGCCAGGGCCGGGCAGGGCAGGGCCGCGAGCGGTGCGACGCGCGGTGCCACCGGCCGCCGCCGAGGCACGTGAAACGCTGCGGTGCCTGTCGCCAGGGCCAGCACGCAAGCGCTCCCGCCGACGCCCGCCGCCGCGGCGAGATTCAGGCAGAGCGCCATTGCCGCGAGGCGCGGATACGATCGATCCGCCGGCGCGACCGCCGGGCAGTTGCCCCGCCGGCCAGGCCACTCCGAGGGTTCACAAGCACAGACGTTGTAGTACCCCTTGTCACGCCTGTCACTCTCGGAGGCGTTGTAAGCCGGGCCGAGACCCGAGTCGACCGGAGCCTCCCGAATTGCTGCTACTGAGACGGTAGTATGAAGATGTGCATAGAACACGTCCGGCGTGACGTGGAAGCACTGCGCCAGGCAATCGTTGGATTTCGTGGGTTCCTTGCCGGTGGCGGCGCACGACGGCACGTCCACATCACCGACGGCCCGCAGGCCGCCCACGATCATGTCCTCGAGCGTGCTCGCGAGCTCCCGCGGCCGCGACGTCAGCCAGCTCGCAAACGAGTTGGGATCATCCGCGTCGCAGCACTGCGAGGCGTAGCCGTTTCTAGGGATTGATAGCGCATGTGCGCCGACGGAATCACAGCCCGGGGACCTCGCGACGTCGCAGTCTGAACCAAAGCCGCTCCCGAGGTCCAGCGCCCAGTCCGTCATCGAGCCGTACTTGCTGGTCGTCGCGTTGCCGGCGCGTCTGCCTTGAACCGTCGCGCGGCCGTGCGTCGAGAGCTTGTCCGCGTGTGTGCCGTCCGCGGACACGTAGTCCTTCCAGCGGGGACACGACTCGTCGAGGGGCGCGCCGCCGGCGTAGGCGCAGAAGCAGAGCTCGGAGGCGCCGCCGTGGCGCCAGGAGGGCTGGACGCCGGGCCAGTTTCTCAGGGAGCACTCGTCGGCCGCCGGCGACGCGGCGGCCGTGCCCGCTCTAGATTTTAGGTCAACCGCTGCCGCGTCGGCCGCGCGTAGCACGACCAAAGCCGCCAGCAGTGATCGAGTGGTGGGGGCCATCCTGGGGGCGCAGCTGTGCGCAGCGATGCGAGTAGCGACGGAAATAGCTCGGTGAGGCTATGATGCCGTGTATCGAACGATATATGGGCTGAGGGCCGCGAATCGCCTAGCTTGCTTGCTAGAGTGTCTTACGGCCGCTAGCCCAGCCGCGCGCGACTCCGGGCCAAAAACGCAGCATTCACATCGCAGCGCTGGTGGCGGACGACTGGCGCCGTGCCTGAACCGTTGCAGACCGAGAGCTGTGGCAGAGGAGCTCCTGAGGGACCGCACACAAAGCCGCCGCCTTCACAGCCGTGCAGCACACGCGCACGCCGCAACAGCTGCACCAAGATGCCCCTCACCCTCTACGAGGCCGTGGCGACGGCGCTCCTCTGCGCGTCGTGCTGCTCGTGGATTTTGTTGGATGCGGCGTCGATCCACGTGCTGCTCGGCAAGGCGCGCCTCTACGCGTCCGGCTTCCTCCTCATGTTTGTTGGCAGAGACAAGCGCTGGCGGAGGAAACCGCCCTCCCAAAGCGACGTGCAGGCCCAGACCGCGACGAAGAGCAAGAAACTCCTGTTCTTGAGACACGGCGAAAGCGAGTGGAACCTCGTCTTCAACAAGGGGCCCAAGCCCCTCATCCCCTTCAAGCTCGTCGCCGCGTTGTTGCGGGAGCTAAGGATGCTGGTCGCGCTCGACCCGGGGTCGGTGCTTTTCGACTCTCCCCTTAATATGGAAGGCCTGGAGCAGGCGCAGGAGTTGGCACGAGCCTTGAAGGGCGACGGGCCCTTGGACGGCGGCGACGCGGCCGACGCGGAGGCGTTGCGGGGCGGCGGGTCCGCGGTCATATGTTCCTCAAATATGAGAAGAGCGCTCCAGACGGCGGCCGTGGCCTTCCAGCGGCCGCAGCCGCCGCCGCGCATTCATATACTAAGCTGCCTCCAGGAGATCTCGACGAACGTGGACACCGTCGCGCTCGCGGCGCCCGGCGAGGCGCCTCTACTCCCGCGCGTGCCGCCGGACCTGAGCTTCCCGAAGCGCTTCGACGCGTCGCGGAACGCGGGCACGAAGCCGCTGCGGGGCCACGGCGGCGAGCGGCTCAAAGCTTTTTGTGATTGGGCCATGGCGCGGCCCGAGGCGACGGTCGTCGTCGCCGGCCACTCGCTCTGGTTCCAGTCGTTCTTCCGCGAGTACCTGCCCGCCGAGGCGGAGCACGACGGGAAGCGCTTCAAGGTCGCGAACGGCGGCGTCGTGGCGTGCGTCCTCGAGCGCGGGTCGGTGGACTTCGTGCGGCCCGAGTCCATCAAGGCGGTGCACAAGGGGTTCGACCTGAAGAAGAAGAAGGTCGCGTAGTGTAAGGTCTAGTTTAGAAATTAGGGAAGAGTCTTAACTACACGCGCGACTCACGCTTCGGGCTCACTGGTGCTGGCGTCGAGGAACGCGTTGGTCACGGCGACGAAGCCGGGCCACGTCTGGAATTCGTCGGGTTCCGGAAATGCGCCCCAAGTCGCGCGCAGCGCGGCAGCTTCCGGCGCGTTGTTATACCAACCGGCCATCCGCTGGTGCATCTCCTCGGATTTCGGCGCAGCAGGCTCAGGCTCGGCGCGCGAGAACCAGCGCCCTGCTGGCGGAGGCGGCGGTTGCTCGGTTGCTTCCTCCTCGGCTTCCGCAAAGACGGGGAGGGTGGCGGCCTCTTCTTCTTCCTTGGGGGCCTCTTCCGTGGGGGCCTCTTCCCGCTCCCCGAACAGGAACGAGGTAAGCTTCGAGAGGGACGAAGGCTCGACGGACTCCTCGACCGTGGTTTCCTCTGCGGCGGTGCGTGTCTCTTCCTCGTCGGGCTCTTCCGGGCCAAGTTCCGGTGGCGACTCCGCCGGGGAATCCGGTTGGGAGTTGATGCCACTCGGTTCCTTCTTTTTCCTGCAGCAGAGACAGCAGCAGCAGAGGCAGCTGTAGAGGAGGCGGCGGGCGGCGGCGACGTAAGTTTCGTCCTTCTTCTTCCTCCAGTAGACGCATGCGCCGAAGCCAGCAAGAAGGACAACCAGGGCGATGGCTATTGTTGGTGAGTTCATTATGCATTGCTCACTAACACTGGGAATGAGACACGGACGAGCGACTGGGTCGCAAATTCCAATGACGTCCTTTTGCGCGACACCACACGACGTCGACTCGCACTTTGTTCCTTTAAATGCCTCTTTCAGGCCCACGTCGTTGTCCAGGCACCAGCCTAGGTCCTGGTCGAAGTCCTTTGCGTCCTTGAACATGTCGCCCATTCGCGTCACGGCAACAACGTCCCAGCCGCTGAGGTCCTGGTTAAACGACGATGCGTCGCTCAACATATCATCCATGTCTTTCACAGCGCTGGTTTTTCATTTGCCGATCGGTTGGTTAAACGATGATTGTTTGTAGAACATCTCCTTCATATCCGTGACGCCGGAGGTATCCCACGCGCTGATGTCCTCGTTGAAGTTCGAAGCAATCCAAAGGCCGCAATTCGTACAAAACAATTCCGACATGTCCGTCACGCCCCCTGTCTGCCACGTCGAGATGTGGCCGTACTTTCGGATGGCGGCGGCGGGGTTCGATACTGACCAGCTTGCCACCGCCGTGCGGATGCCATTATCGCCATAGCCATCGACGGCGACGAGAGGTGAAGCTGTGGGCGCAACTGTATATGTCGGAGGATGCGTGATAGTCGGCGCGGGCGTCGGCGCCGGGCAGCCAAGTGTGACACCGCACGACGTCGACTCGCATGGGGTGTACTCGAACGCATCGTACAGGCTGACGCCGTAGTCCACGCACCAGCCGAGGTCCTGGTCGAAGGCGTAGGCGCCCTTGAACATCTCGTACATTCTCGTAACGCTGTCAACCGCCCAACCACTAATGTCTTGGTTAAACGACGAGGCTTCGTAGAACATGGAGGACATCGTGATGACGCCAGAGGTGTCCCACGCGCCAATGTCCTCGTCGAAGGACGATGCACCTCGAAACAAATACGACATGTCCGTCACCCTGGAAGTCTCCCACGTCGAAATGTGGCCGTACGTCGCCTCGGCGCCCGTCGCGTCCGCGAGCCACGTGGCTACGGCGGTTTGTATGGTGCTGTCGTCGTGCGGCTCGCCGCCACACACCAGCGTAGCCATGTTAGCACCAGTGCCGCACGACGTCGACGCGCACGGGGTGCCAAAGAACTCGCCCCACAGGTACACGCCGTCCAAGCACCAGCCGAGGTCCTGGTCAAAGGCCGAATACGCGAACGTGTATGTCATGCTTGTGACCTTGTCGACCCTCCAGTCGCTGAGGTCCTGGTCGAAGGCCGAGGCTTTGTAGAACATGTAGTCCATTGTTGTGACGCCCGAGGTGTCCCACGCGCCGATGTCCTCGTTGAAGGACGCCGCGGCAGTCTTGCATCCCTGAGAAAGCCCCGAAGTGCTCGAACTCGCACAAAACAAATACGACATGTCCGTCACCCCCCCAGTCTCCCACGTCGAGATGTGGCCGTACGTCGCCTCGGCGGCTGTCGGGTTCGCAAGCCATGCATCGCGGGCCGTGTAGATGTTGCTGTCGGTCATCACGTAGCCCGTGAGCTGGCGCCGTCCTTGCGATGCCACCCCGGTCGCCATGCTCAAATTGTTGCTGTTGTCGGTGCCCCTGCTGCTGTCCTCAATCACGAAGCCCGCGCGCGCGGCCCGGGGGCTGCTAAAAGCGACAACGCCCATCAAGAAGGTGAGTCTCATCATCGTGCTGCAACTTTGGGCAGCCTACGCTCTGCGATCTTGGCAAAAGTTGAGCTTGATGCTAGTGCCTTACATGCCGCTAGCGATTTCATAATCGAAGTGGAGGTGAAGCAGCCGCAAGCGGGGGTCAAGAGCTGCGGCAACGCTCTGCCAACCAGTGCACTGGCTGCACACGTAAAAACTATGCAATAACTAAACAAATGGACAGCCTCCAAGACGAGGTAAAAGCCGCATTGCGCAGCACCGACCGCCTGAAGCTGCGCGCGAGCAGCGATCGATGCGGCATCAGCACCACGACCAAGACGTCGACGGCGCAGCTCCGGCGCAATTTGCAGCAATGGCTCGACGACGTGGACGGCCTGGTGCTGCCACCGCGCTGCAGCGCCGTGATCCTGCGCCGGGCCTTCACGACGGTGCTCTGCTCGAGCGTCGCATTGGTGTGCGCCCGGCGCGACTACGCCGTCATCTCCGTGGGCACGCTGTCGACGTCGATTTTATATTGGCGCAAGCCGCGGCGCGGCAGCGTCGAGCGCCAGTTCGACCGCCTCTGGGTGCTGCTGAGCTTCCTCTACCAGGGCCGCAGCGCGTGCCGCGAGCTCGGCGCGGGGCGCCTCGCCACCTACTGGGCGCTCGCCCTGATCACGCTGGGCTGCTACGCGCGCGCGCGGCGCCTCGGCGCCGCCGGATCGCTCGACGCCTCGGCGCGCTGGCACTCGGGCATCCACCTCGTGGGCAACGTGGCGAACGCCATCCTCTACGCCGACCCGGGCCTCGACGCCATTGACGCCTGGAGTCGCTTTCCGTTTCTCGTGGCCTACTGGGCCGTCGTCGCGGCGACGTACGTTATTGTGGTGCCCGAGGACGCGCCGGCGCCGAAACGGCCAAAGCGCGCGCCGCGGCGGTCGCCGCGCCTCGCCGCCGCCATGGCTGGGCTGGCGCACGCCCTCGCTCCAACCGCTCGGGCGCCGCCGCGCGGGCCGACGCGACTCGTGGTGCGGCCGAGAGAGCTGCACCGGTGCGATAGCTATGTGGTCATCGATAAGCCGCCGTCGCTGTCGATGGACGGCGTCCAGGCGCTGTACCCAGAGGCAAAGTTCTGCCACCAGCTCGACGCGGCGACGAGCGGTTGCCTCGCCCTGGCGCTGTCGCGGCCCGCCGCGCGGCGCGCGCACGACGCCTTCCGCGCGAGAAACGTGCGAAAAACGTACGTGGCTATTGTCGACGGCGTAATCGATCTGGACGCGTTTCCGGCCCGAGATGCCGCCCCTTGCCTCTTGGAGCCGCCCGCACCTGTTTCCCTGCCGGCTTATGCTTTCTACGAGGGCGAACAGAAGCGGGTTCGTACGTACGGCGCCGCAACACCGCCAGATGAGTTCCTGCTCGCGACGCCCTGGAGTGTGGCCAAGCGCAACGCGACGCTCCGGGCGCCTTTTGATGCACAAGCGGCGGAGGCCGCGGCGCGCGCGCGGGAGCTCCACGAAGAGCAACGCGTTGCCGCGTCCTTGGGGATATATCGCCGCGGCGCCGAGTTGGTCGTCGACGTCCCGCTGACTGATGATCCGGAGCGGTTTGTGGTCGGCGTCGGGACAGGAAAACGAGCAGTGTCGGTTTTCCGCGTCTTCGCGACGGGGCACTTACATGGCAAGCCGGCGACGAAGGTCGAGGTCGACCTACTGACGGGCCGGCGCCACCAGATCCGCGCGCACCTGAAGCACGCGGGCCATCCGATTTTTGGCGACGCGACGTATGGAGGGTCGACCGCCCCGCGACTAATGCTGCACGCGCGGCGCCTCGACCTCGTCGACGGCGTGGCGGCCGACGCCGGCGACCCGCTCGAGCTCGATGACAATGCTGCTGACGTGATCCGAAGCGGCGGCGTCTACGTCGAGGAGTCCTGGCTGCCCCGCGACCTCGCGCTAGCTTTGCGTACTGACGCGCTGGCGCTGCGCGAACTGTTTGAGCGCTCTGGCGTGACGAATGAGGCGGCAAGGCCGAAGCTCTTTGGAGACGAGGACCGCGAGACACTGACGCTCACGAAGCGCGTCGGTGGCGATCGCGCGGCCCGCGCAGAGCTCGACCGGCGCCTCGACGTCCTGCGTGTCGCGCTCGGTGAGGAGTTGGGGCGCCGCCTCTCGGCCGACGAGCAGTACTACTCCGTGCACGGGCCCGGGGCTTATCTCGGTTTGCACATGGACGAACGGCACGAAGCGTTCAAGGCCGAGGGCTTCGCCGAGACGTCGAGGCGGTCGGTGAGCTGGCTCGTGTACCTGAACGAAAAGCCTGTTGGTGGCGAGCTTCGTTCGTATTGCCGCGAGAGCGCTGGCGCCTGCGGCGCGGACGAAGGAAACCTACAAGTGGGCTGGTTGGGTGCGGAACCCGTGTTCCTGGACGCCTACGTCCGCGGCGCCGACGACGAGGCGCTCTACGGACTATACATCCGCGACGGCGCCCGACGTTATGTGTCCGAGCCCTTCGGCGCCGACTCGGCGTCCTGGCGCGCGGCCCGCGGCGACCGCGAGGATTTGGACGCCGACGCGTTCCATGGGGCGCTGGGGCGCATGGTCGATGCGGAGCTTCGGTCCGCGTATACAAGTGTGGAGGATAGGGACGGGTCGAGGATCATCGACGTCGCACCGACGCTCGGCACGCTTGTCCTGTTCGACAGCGCCGCGTCGGTGCACGAGGTCCTGCCTACGCTGGAGGGGCGACGCGTCGCCGTCGCGGGGTGGTTTCACGAGGCCTGTCGCGAGGCGCCGGATTGGTATTGACTTCTTGTTGTTCTTCGAGTAATAATGTACAAGTCTGAGCTTGATGGTCGATGTTACGGTGCTAGGACTAGTGGGCGGAGCCCCTGGGGGGGAGACACCGCGCGTCGCCGATTCATCGGCGGCGGGCGCGGGCCGCTTCTTTCATTCGCGTCGTCGATGTTACGGTGCTAGGACTATCATTCGCGCCGCGTCGATTAGCTAGCGGCTGTAAGACACTAGCACAATCTCCAAAATTCGCTGCGAAGATCGAGTTATTAGGACCCCTGCATTGCAGCGGCCCGACAGATATATACTCAGACGACAGCCTAGCCAGCATGTCTGCTCTTGACGCCGCCGTCTCCAGCGAAGCGCCCAGCGAGCGCCCTCGGCTGAAGCTGGCGCCCAGATCTGCCGCCGCGGCCTCGTCCGGCCCCGCCAAGTCCTCGATCTTCGGCGGTGCGCGCACCCGAGAAGAGATCCTCGCGGCCAAGGGCGTCGACGTCAAGAAGAAGGAGGCCGAGCTCGACGCGAAGGCGCGCCCGAAGCGCCTCACGAAGCAGCAGGCCGAGGAGCTCGCCGCCGCCGAGGCCGAGATCAAGTTCGAACAGGACAAGCTCGCGAACGCGACGACGCCCGGCGAGAAGGCTGTGGCGCAGTCGAAAGTTAAGGAGAAGACGAAGGAGGTCGAGGCCTTGGCCGAGAAGTTCAAGGCCCAAAACTTAGCGTACGAGCGCAAGAAGAACGCGGAACGCGCCGCCGAAAAGGAGGGCGGCACGGAACCCAAGGCGCGGCCCCAGTTCATCCGGCCTAGCGAGAGGAGGCGCATGCGCGAGGAGGCCGCGGCCAATGGACAACCTATGGACAACGACCGCGACGCGGCCTTCTCCTCGTTCAACCAGCGCGGTTCTGGCGGGTCGCGGGGCGGCTACCGCCAGGACGACGCGGCCTACGGGTCCTTCACCAACAATTCTGGGGGCCGCCGCCGCCAGGGATCACGCGACGGCGGCTACGACCAGTCGGGCGTCGACTTCTCGGCCTTCGGGGGCGGGCGGTCGCGGCGCCAGGCCGGCGCGGGCTGCAAGCTTTATGTGGGCAACATCTCCTTCCAGATGACGCAGGCGGACCTCCAGTCTTTATTTGCACCCTTCGGCCGCGTCCAGGACACGTACCTGCCCGTCGAGCGCGACTCGGGCCGCCCGCGCGGCTTCGGGTTCGTCACGTTCTCGTCGTCGAACGAGGCCCAGGCCGCGATCCAGGCCTTGGACGGCACGGACCATGATGGGAGGCAGCTGCGCGTGAACGTGAGCGAGCCGCGCCAGAACTGAGCGTTCTACTAGGGGAGATAACTTCGTCCGAGATATCACTACTAGTCTCCTCCACGCAATCGAGCAGGCAATGATATATCACTACAAAATGCCACTTACGAAGCCGCCGCGACGGGCAGCCCGAACTCGTCGACGTCGTCGGCCTGCACCGGCGCGTCCGTCGGCTGGTCCGGCATCAACGACGGGTCCGCCGGCTGCAAATACGCGGGCGTCGCGTCGGCGTCGGCCACGTCGTCGAAGTCGTCGCCCAGCGCGTCGAGCTCCGCGTCCAGATCCGCGTCGTCGATGTCGTCGCCAATCCCATACGATTGACCCAGGACATCCTGCACGTCATTAACATCTTCCATCATATCGGCCAAATCGTCCTGCAGGTCTTCGATCTGCGACAGGTCGACCTTCTTCACCTCCTTCTTGAGGGTCTTCGAGGCGGTCTTCATGGCCTGGACCGTCGTTAATGTATCTTTGACAGAATCAATAGCAAAGTTCGTCTGTTCCACGTTAAAGGCTTGCCCCGCCAGCTGGTCGCGCTGCTGCTCGTACATGCGCTTCCTCCGCAGTACGCCCATGGCTCGTCGTTTGAGGGTTTGTTGCGCAGCCCCTCGCGCTTTTTTTAGTTTTTCTTTATACCCGGCTAATTCAATGTCGAGCTTGCGGATCTTTTCATCTAACGCGGTCGTGCGCTCGTCTAGTCTTTGGCTCGCGTCTCCCAATGACGGCGCGGGGGCTTTCGCTTTTCTGGCGCCGAAGATGCGGCGCATACTGTTCCTGGTCTGCTGGAGCTTGTGGCCCTGTGGAGTCTATTGCGGGCGGAACTGCTGCGTATTCCTGGTCTCGGCCTTAGCAGGGCTGTCCTGCGAGATTTCTGACGTTGTGTCACGTCGAACGGTGCGGCACAGGAGCGTCCTGAGCGTCTGCGGAGATTTTTTTTTGCCTGGCTAGTGTCTTACCGCTAGCCCGCAGTACCAAACTGCCGATAGATCTCGCCGCGTGGCGATTCAGGGGTACCGGCGCGCGAGGCTTCTAAAACCGCGCGGTCGAGGGCTGCTTGCATAGCTCGACTGCAGAGCGACTGCCAAGGTTGCAGGACGCTGTACGGTTGCAACGAGGTCCCTCTGACTGCATCACTGTATTAGAACATCTTCGCACACGCAGCTGAAGCGTCACGAGCTCGAAACTGGTCACAGAGCGACCTCAACACAGAGTGCAGCCCTAGCAGAGCCATGGCGCCGCACGCACGACGACGCGCCGTCGCCGCAGCGCTCCTCTTGAGGCACGCCGCGACGTTCACCTACAGCAGACCAATGCGGGTGACGACGCGGCTCCGCGACGCCTACCTCATCGACAACGAGGACGTCGGCGGGCCGCTCGAGCCGCTCAGCGACTACCTGCTGGTCAAGGTCGACGAGACGGCCGAGAAGACGAGCGGCGGCATCATGATCTCCGACAAAGCCAAGGAGCCGCCGCCGACGGGCGTCGTCCAGACGGTCGGCCCGGGCGCGCTGCACCCCGAGAGCGGCACGGTGCTACCCATCGACTGCAAGGCGGGCGACAACGTCATGTGGGGCCGCTACGCGGGCGCGAACGTCAAGTACCAGCGCGAGTCCCACACGCTGTTGAAGGACCGGGACGTGCAGATGAGCTGGAACGGCGAGCTGACGTCGGGGAACGCGCGGCCGATCGGCGGCAACATCCTGATCAAGGTCCGCGAGGAGAAGGGCCAGACGACGTCGGGCTTGTTCCTGGGCCTCGAGGCGGCGGACAAGGCGTCGGTCGTCGGCGAGGTGGTCCAGGTCGGGCCCGGCAGGGTCCTGCGCGACGGCTCGCGCGCGCCGCAGCCCTGCGCCGTCGGCGACACGGTCCGCTTCCAGGACCTCGACGTGACGGAATGCGACATCGAGGACGAGGAGTACGTCCTCGTGGACAGCCAGCACGTCATGATGAAGTGGCCGGGGGCGTGAGGTAGTCCTTGCTTTAAGAAGAGTATTAGACTAACAGCCGGCTCTTGACGGCGTCCGGGATGTCGCCCTGCTTGGAGCCTTCGACGACGGACGCGACGACGCTCAGGACGGCTCGCGTCGAGAGCTCCGCCGTCATCGACGGCATCCCGAGGTTCTCATCTTTTGCCGCCATTTCCTGTGTGTGACCAACACATCGCATCGGCGGCGTGGAGCTCGACGCCATCGACGCGACCCCAAAATGAGGACGCCGAGTCGAACCGGCAGCGCCGGGAGGTGGACCCACCCGGCGACGATGTCCCGGCCGGAGCACGCGTCCAGGACGCCGTACATGAGGTGGTTGCACATCAGCGTCCCGGCGTCGCCCGAGATGTCGGCCGGAATTCCGGCGGCGCGCAGGTCGCGCACGATGCGGCGGAGGGGAAGCGTTGACCTGTGTGGACGGGGACAACATCACGTCGATGGCGTGGGGCGCCTAGACTTGGTTTCCACACAGGCGTCGACAGGTACGCGGCCGGGCCGTCTTCGACGACTTTGGTACCCTGCGGCGCGTATCCCGCTTCGTCACAGACGCCATAGCGCGTCGAATCATTATAATTGATCGCGACACGCTCGACGGTCACCATCGCGCGTCCTGGATATTCGCCGAGCATCACAACCGCGTTAGGCGCGAGCTCGTCGATGAACGCGGCCGCCTCTTCGATGCATTTGTTGAACTCGCACGAAACCTGGCGCGCGACTACCTCGTAGCCGCGGCTCCCGTCTCGGTTTGACTTCAGCGCGTTGACGACCGCCAGAGACGGATTTATTTGGGTGTTTCCGTACGGTCCGAAGCCAGTCACGAGGACTCGATAGTTGGACCCGTCCTCCGCAACGCTCGCCATCTTTCCCTTGCGTAGCGCTCGCTCCAAAACACGAATGTACGTGGCCAGTCGCATGCACTGAGCCCAAAACTCGTCAGGCAACGATGGCGCGCCACTCCTACAGCGTGGTCTTCTCGGGCGACTGGCAGTATAACTTAAATGCCGGGATCATGCTGTTTCGCAACGATGCGTTCGCGCTGAAGCTGCTCGACGACGTAGTAGCGCGCGGTGCGCGGCCCCGGCGCGACGGCGAGGGCGGCTTCGTCAAGGGTGAGCAGACGGCCTTGCTCAAATACATGTGCGACGAGCCAGACGTCGACACGTGTACGAGACGTACGAACGCTATGCTCCCGACGGCGACGCGCTTCGCGCCCGAGACGGCTCGGATCGCCCAACGGCCCTGGAACGCGTACATGTTCTCTTATCAGTACGGCGACGCGATCATTCACTTCGCGGGGCTCTCGTTCCTGGGCTCGTACCGAGTCGCGCTGTTAAACCTCTTGCTCCGGCATCCTTGGGCCCTGCCACCGTTCAAGGTCCTTTGCCACGCGGTGTCGCTCGTCGCGATCCCGGTGCTCCAAACACCGCTGCCGCGCGCGCTGCTCGAACGCGCGTATTCGTAACACTAGCACACAAAAACTAACATTCCCCCCGGTGGCACTGCGGCACGTTGTATGGTGCCTCCAACACACATGCGTACTCGCCCTTGGTCTCCCAGTGGAGCACGAGGCGGCGCCCGTCCTTCCGAACGCATCGGCCGCGCCGCCCTGAGAGGACGGCCACTTTACATTCTCCCCGCAGCGACCGCGCAACCCGACACCTGTGTGGGAATCAAACTTCAGGCGCCCCACGCCATCGACGCGACCAACCTAACTCACTGGTTGATTTCCACACAGCCCGAGACACTTCCCCCAACTTGGCATTCAGCATGGCGCCGTGCTGGGCGTGCGACCAGCGGTTGAGCATCGCCTCCGGGTGCATAAAAAGATCATCATGCGAGAGCGGTCGCTTCTGAAGAAAACTCGACAAGCGCTCGACGTGGAATAAGGCGGCCTCGAAGACCCAGCGGCCGTGATGTGGCACAAAGCTACATCGGGAATCGTCGCAGGCGCGCACACATTCTTGGACTGAATACCCCGCGAACCAGGACGAGCGCGCGAAGTCTCGGACAGCCGCCGCCAGGAACGCCGAAAACGGCGCCTCCACCGTCCTTGGAGACCCGGTCTCAAGCCAGCCCAGCGACAGTTCCTCGTCGACGTTGAAGACGTAGCGCAGCGGCAGGAGGACGCCCGAGACCTGTGTGGAAATCAAATTTCGGGCGCCCCAAATCTAACTCACTGGTTGATTTCCACACAGCCCGAGACCAGCGCCAGGTACTGAAGCCCGTTCTTGTAGAGTTCGTCACGGCGACCCCAGACCCCCGTCACGTTTGTCGTGACTCGTGCCAGCGTCGCACGCGCTAGGGCATTCGGAGTCGGACCGTGATCCAGCACGGCGACGCGCACCTCGTCCGCGAAGGCACATGTCGTGTTGAGCCAGGCTCCGTCAAAGGCGTCCAGACGCTCCGTCGCGCGCGCCGTGCCGGCCGCGGTCTTCTCGGCACTATCGACGACGATCACGAACCGCTTGAAGCGGAACGGTTTGACGGTGTTCGCGAGGCGCGCGAAGATGCACGGCGTGCGATCGAGATGCTCGTGGAGGATTGTTAGGAACGCTCCCGTCGTGCTACCAAGGACGTCGGCCGCGTTAGACCCGTCGGGCGTGAGGAACGTGGCCGTTCGAGTCGGAGGCCTCGGGCAGTCCAGCGATTGCGTCCAGAAGTCGGCGTTGTCAACAACCTTCGCGTGGGCGCGTACCGCTGCCAGTGCCAGCAGCAGCAGCATAGTATTCAGATCACCTCATGTGTGTTCGCATTGGCATCTATTGGCTCAGGGCAGCTTCTCGTCCATCGATGCGGACCAGCGCACGCGTCGATGGCGTTTGGGGCAGCTTTGCGCCTCGAGCCCACCGCTTGCTAGTGTGTCTTACTGCCGCTAGCCCCGCATCCTCGGCTGTACTGGCCATTTCACCGTTATCCGCTGTGCGCAAATTGTGGCATTGCTCATTTATATACCTCTGGCTGCTGCACAGCGATTTCGTGCAACCAAATCAACAAATAAGCGCTCAAAATGACGCGCCAGCTTGGTGCTCTCCTAGTCCTGCTCGTCGCCGCGCCGGCCGGCGGCCTCAACATGCTCGACGGCGTCCGGAAGCTGCTCCTGAAGCGCGACTCGGCCTTCCTCTACCAGGAAAAGGCACTATTTATGCCCGGCGCGAACGCCCGGACCGAGGCCGCGGCGAAGACGGCCTGCGCAAGCGGCGATCGGGCCGCGATCTTGAAAGCGGTCGACGACCTCGAGGCCGTCTGCGTGGCCGACGACTTCCTCGACACGGACGCGGCGCGCCTCGACGGCCGCTGGCGCCTGCTCGCCACCGTCGCGGGCCGGAAGCCGGGCGACGATCTTGAGAATATGGGTCGCGCGAACGCCGTCAACGCGTCGGGCCTCGTGCTTGACACGTCGGAGAAGCTGCCGATCCAGGCCTTCGATGTTGCGCGATCAAGGGTAGCGAATGAGATCGGCTTCGACGCGTTTGGGGGCTGTACGGTGCGCGTCTCCGGCGGGTTTCGGCGGGGCGCGAACGGGCGGCGCGCCGACGTGCTCTTCGACAATTTGGAGGTCTTCGGGTCGGGCGACAAGCGGCTCTTCTCGGCGGGTTGGGTCTTTTCGCTCATCAACGCGGTGAAGCCCGACCTGCGCGGCGAGGGCGGCGAGGCGTGGCTCGAGACGACCTACCTGTCGCCGACGATGCGCTGCGGGCGCGGTAACAAAGGGTCAGTGTTTGTCCTTGAAAAAACTGATGAGCCGTGCGCGCTCGACCCGGCGGCGTTCTAGGTGTCTCTGTGAATTTAATGATCGTCCGCTCGACGCGTAATTTATCTCCTGAATGAAATGGACTGCCACGGCGACTCGCGAGCGTGGTCGTCGAACGCTCCCCGCCACGCCGTCGACGCGAGTTCACAGAGATGATAATTAGACCCCGAGCGGGTTCGCGTTCGGCGACGGCGGCGCCGGGAGCGCGGAGAGGCGCGGCGGCCGGCGGAGCGCCAGCGGGCGGTCGTCGTCGATGGCCAGGTCGGCGACTTGCGTCGAGAGCGTCGAGGGCGCGGGCGGCGGCACGGCCTTCTCCTTGACGCGGCGGCTGGGCTTGCGCGCGGGCGTCGCGGCGGACTTGCGCTTCTTCGTGAGCGCGTCGGGGGCCGGGTCCTCGATGGGCGCGAAGCTGCGGTCGTCGTCGTCGTCGTCGACGCGCAGGAGCGCGCGCGCCACGGGGTTCGCCGGCCGCTTGAGCTTCCGCGGGCTCCGGCGGAGCGGCAGGCCGCCGGGCGTCGAGGCCTCGGCCTCGAAGACGAAGCTCGACTCGAACTTCTCGAGGGCGCCGCCGCTATTGATGCTCACGAGCTCGTCGTCGTCGGACCAGGCGCCCGTGCTGGTCGAGCACGACCGGCGGCGGTAGGCGTGCATGGTCTTCCGCGGTGGCAGCTGGTCGCTGTGGTTCAACTGTGGTCGCTGGGGCTGCGCCCTGGGGTGATTTTAGGAGGGGGGATGAGGCAGGCGACTAGCTTTCCAGCCAGAAGCGCACGTGTTAAGGTCGATCTTCGCTGCAGCGCTGCCGCGGCGCTGCTGGGGCGATTTTTACTGCCGTTTCGCCCACCGCAAGGGTTGTCGCTGTGGCGAGACTCGGTCAGTGGGGGCCGAAACCGCGCGGCGGGCCTAGACCTTATTTCCCTCAGGCTCACAGACGCGATTATACTGTTGGCAACCTGAAATGCTCTCAATTAACGGAGAGTGTCTTCAATTTTTTTTTTTCGTTAGGAGGGCCTCGCTTGCAGTACATAACGCCGCAGTAGCACTAGGGAAGGATGGATCGAGGTTGGTAAAGCCTTGCCTGTGAGAGACAACAAGGGCGGCGATGAAAGAGCACCGTCTCTGACCGAGAAACGAGGTTGCACAGGCCACTGAGCGCTGGCATTCTAGCGCCAAGCACTGCTGCAACGGCAGGCCTGCTCGGCGCTAGTCGTCGCGATCGCTGCTGAGCAGCACAACACTGCAGCACAATGTCGTCCGCCGCCTTCCCGCGCGGCGGCTTAAGCGATGAACCGAAAGACCCGAAGCAAGAGAAAAAAGAGAAGCGCAAGCGCAAGGAGAACGACGCGGACTTACTAGCGACGCGCAAGCCCGCGAAGCGCGTCGACAAGGCGCCCGCAGCCGAGCCGGAGCAGCAGCAGCAGTCGACGCCGCTCGACGTCCTCACAACAACAACAATCGTGAAAGCCGCAAGGGGCAAGCCCGCCAAACTAAGACCCGTCCGCTTCGCTTCATATCATGCGGAGACCACCGTGCTCGGCGTCGTGCGGTCCACGTCAACCAAGCACGCCCTCGTCTCATTACCGGGGAACCTGGTGGGTCATGTGGATGTCTCCGGAGCTCTACAGCTCACGCCGAATACTGTTGTAAGGTGCGCGGTGCTTTCGACTTCTAGAGCAGGGGCAGCCCCTGGCTCAAAGAAGGGCCCGAAGCGCGTCGAGCTAGCGATTGATGCCAGGGGCGTCCAGAAAGGATTAAGGCTGGAAGATATCGCTTCTTCTAGAGTGACGACGCTCTTCGGGCTCGTGGCATCGAGAGAAGCTAGAGGTTATGTGGTAGATGTAGGAGTAGGCGGCGCGACGGGCTTCCTGGCCTTCAAGCATTGTCAGGAGGATATAAGGGTGGGCGCGCCCGTCGAGTGCCGCGTGCTCAGGCTCGACCCGGACTCGGGCGTCTGCGCGTGCCGGTGTCTGTCTTCGACTTCGTGGCGCGGCGATGGCGTGCCGGTGGTGTAGAGTCGCGGTGGTGTAGAGAGTCGCGGCGATGGCGTCATTCGGAGCCGTCGTAGAGCGTCGACCCCCACGCAGGCGCGCTGACGACGCGGGACGTCGCCTCCGCAAAAAACGCGCCCGAGAAAACGGGCTGGAGCTTCCGCGCTCTATGTGTAGGACAACGAGTCCGAGCGTGCGTCCACCGCCGCGTCGCTACTGGATTAGTTGTTACGTTCGCGGATGGCGCTCTAGCCGGCGTCATCGAACGGGACCACCTGGGAAGGCAGGGTTCCTTAGTGGACGACGAGGCGTTTATGAATTTGGACGAGTTTAGTGTCGGCCAGTTCCTAGATGCGCGCGTGTTGTTGATTGATCGGGCCGCGAAGGTCGCGCGGCTGACTTGTGCTGAACACTTGCTAGAGTTAACAGGAGCGGCGTTACCGGCGCCGGGAGCCTTCCTGAAGGGCTGCTCCGTCGTCCGCAAGGACCCGAAGGTAGGTCTCGTGTTGCGCAAAGGTGATCAGGGCATCTTCGTGCACAAGTCGCGCTTGCCGGAAGAAGACCTGGAAGCCACTGTCGTAGACTGTCGCGTCGTGGGCGTCGCGCCGCTGGAGGGCTGGGCCCTCGCGTCGATGACGCCCTCGTCATTAAATCCCGCGGTGCCGGTCTCAAAAAATGAACTCGAGCCCGGGACGATCATAAGTGCGACGGTCCTCTCGACCCAGGCCTGGGGCCTCGAAGTGAGATTATCAGAGACATTGACGGGCCAGATCACGAATTTACATGTGACCGAGTCCGGTGGTTCCGTTGATCCGCGCAAACACAGAAAGGTGGGCGACGAAATCAAGTGCCGCGTGTTGCGCGTCGAAGCGCGGCGCATCGAGCTCACGAGCAAAAAATCACTCGTAAAAGCGGCGCGCGTCCTCACGACTTATGAAGACGCCTCGGAGAACTGCGGCAAGTCTTTTGCGGGCTTTGTGACGGGCGCCGACGCGGCCCGAGGTCTCGTAGTGACGTTCTTCGGGAACGTCCAGGGTCGCGTGGACCCGGCGTCGCTGCGAGCGCGAGGTATTGTCGATCCGTCCCAGTCCTTTGCCCTGGGTACCGTGGTCACCTGTTGCGTCAAGGGCGTCACAACCCCCAAAACGCGGCAGGACGGCACGTCGAGAAAACCCAGGATCGCGCTGACACTCGATGACGTGGACGGTTGTAAAGTGGAGGTTGATTCTGTGTTAAAAGCCGTCGCCGTCGAGTTGGTCGAGGCGCGCGCCAAAGGAGCGTCGAAACGAGCACCTAGAAAAGCGGTCGCGTGCCTGTGTCGCGTGACGTCGTCGAAGGGCGAATGCCTCGCGAAGCTACCGGTAGCGCACGCCTGCGACCACGGTCTCGACGCGGAATCAACTTTGAGACGGTTGGCTTCCACTGGAGAATCGTTCGAGTGCCGGGTGCTCGAAGGTTCGTCTGACGGCGCGCCGGCCAAGATCAGCGCGGCGCCGTCCATGATTAATGCTACTACGGGAAAGTTGGAGCTGGATGCTATCCGAACTGGAGTTGTAGTGCAGCTCAAGCCCTACGGTGCCTTCGTGTCCTTCGGCGGGCAGGAGCGAGGATTGATCCCGCGGGCGTTGGTCGCGGATCGGTATATTGGGGATCTGGAGGACTGTTTTAGAGTCGGAGACATTGTACGATGCGCCGTCGATTCCATCGAAGGTGATAGGGTGGTGCTGCGGACGCGAGGTGTCCCTCGAGACGAGACCGGCGCCTTCGGACGTTCAGTACTGCGGAGCTTATCCGGTAACGATGCGTTGCGCGTGGGCTTTGCGTACGACGCTCTCGTCGCTTCGAATGACGACGGCGTCCGCTTCTCCCAGATCAACGGTATCGAATGTAGAGGTTTAGCCCCTCTCAAACACTCGCTGACGTGTAGCGAGGGCGACGTCGTCAAGATTCGACTCATGGGCTTCCGCAAAGACCAAACATTGTGCAGCATGGTGCCCGACGTCGTGAGGCCGGGGCGTACCAAACGTCGAGCGAAAGCTTCGCAAGTCCTGACCGAGGGCGCGTCCATCGAAGCATGCGATTTGCTGGACAAGGCTTTTTCTCAACCTACAATAAAGGGCGTCGGCATATATATTGATAGAGGCACAGGGCAATTGATATGCGTGCAACGGGGCGACTTTCACAGGAGAGATGAAGATATGCGACCGCAAGTCGAGGAGGACCTTGTAGTGGTATCATGTGCAACAGATGAGCTCTACGGGTTGGCCATAGCCTTACCACGAGAAGACCCTAGAAGCAACGAACAGGTGCGACACCGCCGCGGCTCCGTCGCGACCGACGCCAAGGCCGAGGTCGCGCGGAAACGCAAGCTGCCGAAGACCGACCTCAGTGCGTTGGACCCGGGCGACGCCCTGACTTGTAGGGTTGCGGCGCGCGGTTCCACCAGAGAGGCACTACTGTTAACTATACGGGGCGGCGAGGGGCGTGTCAGATGTCGGTTGCACGTTTCTGATGCTCTCACTAAACCTTCATGTAGAACGCCCGAGGCGTCTACCGATATAGCCGTGCCGGACCTGCCGGAGCGGCACCCGTTTCACGGGATAAGGTGCGGCTCGGCCTTTGACGGCGTGTTGCTGCAGAGGACGATTGATGGGGAAGTAACGCGCGTCGACGTCGGCGTCGGCACGACGCATGTGGGGCGGAAGGCGGAGTGGGGCTCTACGGTCACCAGCGCGTCCATCATTTCCAATAAGGACGACTTCGGCTTCGTTACTGTATGTGCGGCGCCGTCTGTCAGAGCAAAGGTGGCCTTCGCCGACGTTGTGGAATCGTTCCTATCGAACAGTGATCTGGACGCGGCCATAACGAGTGCGACGGACGCGTGCGCCGCCTCGACACGATTAAGGGTGGTGAAGACTAAAAATGGCGCGACGTGCCGCTTAGATAAGGACAACATAAGACCTATAAGGGCTGGAGATATAGTCCCGTGCGTGCCGTCCAGAAAACCGGAAGAGAAGCGACGGGGCGCCGCGCGCTGCGGGGCCATGGATCGAAGGTACGTGCTGCCCACCGGTTTAGAAGCTTTCTGTAGTGCTTCGGAGTTTAGTGACAGAGACGCGTGGACCGACTGTACCAATGATTCGTCGATGAGTTTGTGTATTGTATTGGAGGCGGGGCCGCCGGCCCGCATTTCCTTGAGGCCGAGTCGCATCGCATCTCGCAATATAAAACCGGACGAGGCGCTGGAGGTGGGGCGCGTGCGGCCGGGCTTTGTCGTCGGCGCCGACGCGAAGGCCGGCGTGTTCGTGGAGCTGGCGCGCAATGTCGTGGGTAGGGTTTTATTGAAAGATTTGGCCGACGGCTACGTCAAGGATGTGGTGCGGGAGTTTCCCCTCGGGCGGTTGGTCGCGCCGGTGGTCACGCAAGTCACACCGAAGGTTGAGTTATCGTTAAGACCGTCGGCGATCAAGCGCGAGTCGTCAATCCCGAAGATCATGAAGGAGAATGATGTGGTGAAGGGCACGATTACGAGGGTCGAGGCGTACGGCGTGTTCGTGCGTATTGACGACGCGCCGTCCGACGCGCCCAGCGGATTGGCCCACAAGTCCGAGCTGGCCGACGACTTCGTGAAAGATGTGTCATCGCGGTTCGCCAAGGGTGATCGGGTCGTGGCCAAGGTGCTGAAGATCGAGCAGGGTGACACACGGAGGAAGGTATCCTTAGGCCTGAAGCCGTCGTACTTCACGGCAGCGATGGAAGAAGATGAGGAGGAGGAGGAGGAGGAGGAGGATGATGATGACGAGGCTTTAGCTAGAGCCGACGCGTTATTAGCGAACGACTCCGACGACGAGAGCGACGACGATGCAGTAGAAGAGGACGAGGCCGCCGACTCGTCCGAAGACGAGGAGGAGGACGAAGACAGCGACGACGAGAGCGACGACGACGACGATGAAGAGGCCCAAGCTTTACGCTGGGACGAGGAGCGGCCCAAGCAGACGAAAAGACGTAAAACGGAGCCCGCGGACGAGGGCGCGGCCGAACTACAAACGATGGCCTCGGAGGAGGCGCTGCTCAACGACGAGATGCGTTCCAGCGATGATTACGAACGTCATTTGGTCGCTCATCAGGACGAGGCCGCGGCTTATACGACGTATGCTACTTTCCTACTGGAGCGCGAGGACGACGCGCCCGGCGCGCGGAAAGTTTTAGAGAGAGGCCTGAAGACGATCCACTACCGGCGCGAAGATGCTCGCTTGGATGTCTGGGCCTGTTTGTTGGAACTAGAACGGAAGCACGGCGACTCCACGTCATTAGATGCGACGACGAAGCGAGCCGTGGCGAATTGTGACCCTACCAAAGTACTGTTAAGGTTGGGCGCTTTGTTGGATGCGGCGCAAGATTTCAAGCGAAGCGATGCGGTGTATCGTAAATGTGAGAAACGAGCCAAACATCAAGCCAAAACTACAGAAGAGGTCTGGCTGCGCCACGCCCGGTCTCGGTTATTGGCGGGCGACGCCAAGGGTGCGGATGCCGTTGTGAAGAGAGGCGTCCAGGCCTGCGACGGTGCTCCGAAGGAGGAGGCTTCGCTCTTATCTAGATACGCCTGTTTGGAATTAGAGGACGGGAGCCGGGATCGAGGAAGGACGGTCTTCGACAAGTTGCTGGAGCGCTTTCCTAGGAGAGCGGACCTGTGGCAGTTATATGTGGCGAAGACCTTGAAAGCCGGCGACGTGCAACACGCGCGTCATATACAAACGCGGCTGGCCGCCGCGGACCTCCCTCCGAAAATGATGAACGCTGCTTTAAAACGGTTTGCCGCCTTCGAGAGCGAGCACGGCGACGCGGCGTCGGCCGCCGCGGTCAAGGACTTGGCGAGGGCGTACGTCGCGCGGCGGAAGGACGCCATGGACGACGAGGACGACTAGACTTTGTGTGTAACCTTTGGGTGGTCCTCATTGTTATTGCTTTCTTACACTACATAGTGACACACGAGCCGGAGTCCTCCTGGGGTTCCCTCGGTGCCGTCGGGGTCACCCCGCGTCGTCCGGGCCGAGGCCGCATGCGGGGCACTGGTAGACGCGAATACATCTCCAGTTCCGCCCTATTCGCCGAAACCGGGTAAAGCAAGGGCGATTTGTCGTAATCGGGTGGAACTTCGAGGTCCAATTGGCGGTTATATGACCATTCGCCGATCCTGAGCGGAATCATCGCAGGCGCGCCAAGCCGCCTGTTCCTGTACTTAACGTATACAATTAATTCATTGACAGTTTCTGTCGAACGCCTGTGTACAACCATGAAATGTTTCACGTCCTCGAGGCAAGCTCGCAGGTCGTCCGCGGAGTACTGCGAGCAGCGCTCGAGAGTTTTCGTCCAGGCAGTCTTGTCGAGGCTGCCGCGCGCGACGTAGACCGCACATGCAGCGACCATCGACGGCAAGTATTTGAGCATCTTGTGCTCCAGGAGCATCCGCTCGGCGACGCACGAGGCGATCCACACCATGTAACAGTCGTCGTCGGAGCTCTCCGCCTTGAGGTACGACATCATGACGGTACGAACCGAAGAAGATGCATACGTTGCATTTCCGTCCGCGAGTGCTTGGGATATCGTCTTTTCCATTGCAAGGATGGTGGGTCCGTCGTAGGCGTTGTCGGCGCTAAGTGCGATTTCGTGGAGGTGCAGCGCGTGGAGCACAATATGGGAATCACTCTCGCGGAAGCACGCGAGGGCGAGCGCCGCCACACCCACGAGCTGCAAATTAGGCTGCAAAACAGGTTCTGCGACAGCAAGGTATTCATCGATAATGCGCACTGCGAGAAACAGCACCTCAGGAGAAAATCTGCGACTGTGATGGACCGCCGCAATCCAGTCTACCAGACTCTTGCGCATCTCCCAAGTGAGGGCGGGGTGCCGCTGCATGTAGTCTGGATCTATGGCCGCCGCGAGCTCTTGCGCCCGGGATCGCAGAGCAACTAAACGGCAGGCGGCCTCAGCTGACTCGCTCCAGCGGACGCAGACCCGCAGCCCGGACGCGACGTCTGGCGACGTCAGAAACTGCAGGATGAGCTCCGGCTGGACCCGCGCCGGCGGCCACTCGCGCCTCGATTCCAAAGCAGCATCGGCACGAGCGGTAAGGCCGCGCCCGGCAGCGGAGATGGCGCGCAGCTCGAAGTCTTTGAGTTGGTCGGCGACCTTTGCGACTTCCTCTGCCAGGTTTTGAGCCACTGCGGCGTGCTGCATGGTTGCTGCTGTGTCTTGTGCTTTTTTTTTGCTAGCAGTGCGCGTCAAGCAGAGTTCGCTCAACTGGATAACTGAGTTCGTTGCAAGTATAATCGGCACCGCTGCTGATCACTATCGATGCCGCTGCAGCAGCCGTACTGAATGGCTTTCGATGCTGGCATAATAATGTCGAGCTAGATGATGGGCTCTAGGGAAGGTTACCCGTACGGATTGTCGCTCAGCCCCGCCGCTCGACGAACACGATTCGTCTTGTGCACTTGAGGGGGTTTCGTTCCTGCTGCTGTGCTTATGCTCAGCCTCGCCGCTCGCGCGCGGTTACCGCAGGTAAAAGTCCAAACACGCCGTATCACCGAGCCAATACCCCCTGCTAGGACGTGCTAGACATCACGATCACTCTGGCGACGCCGAACTGACGGCGACAATTCCTGACCGTGCGGAACACTCTCTGAAGCACAAAGCAAAGCAACACATCGCAAGGCAGCCCGCGGATTGCCAACGAACACAATTTCACGCGCAAGGCAGCACATTCGAAGCCACGAGCTATTCACAGCAACCGCGCGCACCAAAAGCCAGCACGGACAACAAAAACACAGCAAAAACACAATGGACGACCGCACACCGCGCCCCTACGCCAGCTCCGACGAAGACTTTGAAATGGTTCCTGACGCAAATGGTACCAGCAACACCAAGGACACCCTCACACTCACAGCAGCCGCCGAGCTGAGCCACGTCGCCCCCGCCTGCGCGCGCGCGACGATGGCCTGCAACATCACGGCCGCCGCGTCCGAGGGCAAACGCCGCCCGGACGTCGACGTCGTCGTCGTCATGGACCGCAGCGGGTCGATGGAGGCCGAACGCAAATTGGAACTCTGCAAGGAGACGACCGAGCTCCTGATAGAACAACTCCGCCCGTCGGACCGCTTCGGCCTCGTGTCCTTCGACCACCGCGTCAAGACGAACACGGCCCTGGTCAGCGCGTCGTCGGACGTTGCGAGGGCCGTAAAAAGCCTGCGGCCGGGCGGGACCACGAATCTCTCGGGCGGCCTGTTCGCCGGTCTGGGGCTGTTGTCCGCAGCGCCGGCGGCCGAGCGCATCCGAGCCGTCCTGCTCCTCACGGACGGCCTGGCCAACGCCGGCATCACGGAGGAGCAACCGCTCATTGCGGCGACGAAGAGCCTGCTGGACGGAACTTCGACGGGTCTCTACACGTTTGGCTACGGTTCCGACCACAACGCGTCCCTATTGCAGTCGATCGCCGGCGCCGCGGGCGACGGCAAGGGCTCGTACTACTTCATCGAGACGGCCGAGAAGGTCGTGGGGGCCTTCGCTGATTGTTTGGGTGGCTTGCTCTCCGTCGCGGCGCAAAACGTCGTCGTCGAAGTCAAGGCCTCGGCGGGAAGAATCGCGCGGGTCCGCCGCGAGGGCGCGACGCGCGTAGACGACCGGACGTGGACGGTACCCTTGGGCGACGTCTTCGAGGAAGAGCAGCGCGACGTTCTCGTCGAGGTCGAGCTATTGGGCAGCGCTAGCGTCGAAGTCTCGTTCGCCCTGCGCTACGTCGACGCCGCCAACGGCCGGGTCTCGCACGCGACGGCGACGGCGTCGGTCGCCGTCGACGCGGCGAAAGCCCAGACGGCGGTGCCCGACAACCACGTCACGGAGCAGCGCGCGCGCCTCGACACGGCCGACGCATTACTCTCGGCGCGGGAATGCGCGGACCGAAGAGATATCGCGGGCGCGAGACGCGTGCTCGAGTCGCAGAAGGCGAAGATCGCGGCCCTCAAGGTCGCGGCCGTGACGGGGAGTCTCGTCGAGCGGCTCGCGCACGACCTGGCCGTCGTCCTCGAGGGCCTCGCCAACGAGGATGCGTATCGGGCGCGCGGCCGCCAGTGGATGACAAGCAAGATGATGGGGCATCAAATGCAGCGGTGCATGGAAGACTCGGACTCGGACGAAGAAGAAACCATGCCGCGTCTTATGGGCAGCGTGGGCCGTGCGCGCAACGTCTACCGCAACACGTCAAAGAAGTCGTCCAAGGCTGCTATGATGCGTGGGATGTCAGCCAGGAGGCCTTCTGCACCTCAACCTACAAGTCGGGCGCCGGCGTCTTTCACTCTACTGGGCTTGGTGGTGTAATGGTAGCACGGGATGTTAGGGACATCCTGGCTTCGGTTCGATTCCGGGCTGAGCCCTCTGGAGAACGCCGTCGACCCGCGAACCCCATCGCAGGTGCAACCCCGACATCTTTCCCTCCGCCGGCGCCGGCCCCACGCCAAGGCCTCTTCTCGTCCCTCTTTCGCAAAAGTCAAGCTCCGCTCGAGGACCAGGACCTCGAAGAGTAGAGCGATCTCGAACCTCGTCCCCCCCCCCAAATTTAAGACTTTCTTTTAAAACAACAAAACTACAATTCCGCGAACGTCAGCGAGTGCTCCTCGCCCGGCGGGTCCCCAAGGAAGGCGCGGATCGGCGCCGACCGCCAGTCCAACCCCGAGCCCCAGGCCTTCTCGTAGACCTCCAGCGTCGACCCCGTCCGCGCGCGCGTCATCTGGTGCACGAAGTGGCCCCACGTCGCCCCCGGCTCCGATCCTGTGGAAGAGAGCCACCGGATCGCTTGCTCGGTGAAGCGATCCGCGAGCGCGACGCCCGTCGTCGCATCCGCCGGCGAGGCATAGGCGTTCTCGCCGAGCTTCGCCGAGGCCATCGCGAGTATGCCAGACGTCGAATTGTCCAGGTATTTAAAGAGACTGCCGGCCTGGCACGTGTCCACGACGAGGATGCATCTTTTAAATCGCCGTTTGGCCCGCATCTCGGCGAACGTCAACGCGAGCTCCTTCGCACTCAATTCGTCGGCGTCGTGGAACTTGAGGAACTCGTCTCCCCCATGACCCGTGAAGTACACAAATAGATTCGAGTGCTCGTTCGAGTCCAATCTTTTGGATTTTGGCGTCGTCGCGTCGTACCTTCCTGTCAACAAGTTCCGTACGAGCTCGGGCGTCACCTCTTCGTTCGCGTAGTCCACATCCGCATAACTGCCGTCGTCATCTACCGCTAGATTGTCCGTAAATTTCTGATTGGCGTGCAGGTAGACCTCGCCCCGCATCGGGTTCCGCGCGTCCAATGTCGGATCCTCCGCGAGTAATACCAAGATGCGATCGCGCGGCACGCCAAACCTCCTAGCTGCTTTCCTTACGGCCAACGCGTTCCCGGCGTGGCGGTAGTTTGCAAAATATCTAGAAGCGCCGACGACGACGACCCAGGTGTCTTCACCATAATATTGGTCTGTCGCGGTCGCGGCTGTCGCGGTCGCTCCTGTCGCGGTCGCGGTGGCGAGGCACCACAGGGCTGCTGACAGCCGCATTGTGGAGCCGCAGCGATGGCGTTCTCGTGTGCGTTGCGTTCTCACTGCAAATAGGAGCCCAGCGGCACCCAAGTTTGTAGGAATGCTTGCAATCGCGACCAGTTTGGCGCACGCGCTTGCTGCTTTGCTTTTGCTAGTGACTTCACGCCGCTAGCTCATTACGCGGAGCAGAGTTCAAAGCAGTTCTAAACGCGTCTCCGGGAGTCGTCCTGGTGCCTGGGCGCCCTGCGGCTGCAGGGCCGGCCCAGGCTGACTGGCATCGCAGAGCATTGTTGCTCAAACAGCACGTTCGTCGCGGTGCACGATCATATTTTGGGACAAACGCTGGTTAGAACAGCCGGTTGATGCGGACCATGAAGCCGGTACCTCGATTCTGCCGGCCGTGCGCACCACACCGCGCTGTTCAAATTCAAGGCCCCAAAGGCAACCTCCAGCAGGCCCTCCCGCCGGCGCCCGCGGCGGGCATGGGGACCAAGCCGGAGCCGCTCGCGTTCGCCGGGCCCGGGCCGTTATTGTCGCCGCGGGCAGACGATGAGCCCGGCGCCGGCCCCGCCGCCGGCCGCGTCTGCGAGCTCGTCAACGCGGGCCCGCCGATGATCAGCGGCGAGGCCATCGTCAACGCGTGGAAGGAGCGACGGCGGTCGCACGCGACGCCGCCGCTGCCGCAGCACCCCCAGCTCCCCGCCGACTGCTACTCGCACATCCTCAAATTTATCAACGTCGCGGACCGGCCGATCACGAATCGCGCGTCATTGGTTTCGTATGTGCAGAAGAAAAATAGGCGCTTGGGCGCGATCCCGCTCCTCGTCGACCTGTCCTGGCACGGCGGCACTTGCCTCGGAAGGTACTGCGTCTGTCGAGCCGCGACGCTCCAGGAGCGCATCGAGGAGTACGCGCGCGACGACCGGCTGTATACGTAAGAGATTGTTCCTATCTTGCAGCGCGCCTGTGGCCCCTCGTCTGGCGCAGTCTACTGGCGCAGTACTGCGCAGGCACTGCGCAGGTACTGCGACTACTGCGCAGCTTTCCGGGCCAACCCAGACAAAACGAAGTAGACTCGGCGAAACTTAGAGCGAGAGAGAAGGAAGGGGAGAAATCAACGATTCTTCTTCGCCGCGTCCCGCTTCGAGAGGCCGTAGCCGAGGACTCCCAGCAAAGCGACGCAGGACCCGACGATCTTTCGCGTTGAGGGCACCTCGCCCAGGAACACGGCCGCCGCCGCGAGCACGAAGACGCGCTTCGCCGCGTTCGCCACGGCCTGGCTCACTGGATCCAACATGCCGAGCACGCGGAACGAGAACTCGTTCGAGAGGTAGTACAATGCACCGCTTCTAGCGACGAGCGACAGCACAATCATAGAATCCGTACTCTGCAAGGCGTCGTAGGCCGCGGCCCCCTCCAACAGAAACGCCGGCACGGCTAAACAAACGCACGAGCACAGCGTCAGCAACCCATAAACGTTGGCGCCGTCCAGGTTCCGCGCCTTCTTGACCTTGGGCGACATCTGGCGCTTCGCGAGGACCTTGGCGAAGGCGAAGGCGACCGTGGACACCAACGCCGTGCGCGCCGGGAGCGACGTCAATCCCCCGAAGTCAACGCCACCGGGCTTCGACGCCGCATAGACGACGCCGCAGACGATGGGCACCAAACTCAAGTTCGTCATCAGCGACGGCGTTGAACCGAGGAAGAGGTAGCCTATCACAGTACCGACGATGGGCTCCAATGCTTTGACGACGTGGGCCATGAAGACGCTTCCCGCGCCGAACGACACGACCTGGGCGCCGTGGCCGCCCGCGTGCAGCGCGCCGATGGGCCCGAAGGTCCGCGCCACGAATTGTAGGTCAGCTTTTGGCGGCGCTCGCAGCCCCGACGCCCAGAGCGGTATTACTATCGCGACACCGGCCACGAGTTGCAGCCACGCGACGGCCCAGGGGTAAGGCCACCTATTGAGTGCTTCCTTGTTCAGGACGTTGAAGAAGGCGTTGCAGCCGTACCAACCCAGCAAATTGAGGGCGAGGGGCACTAACGTCGACTCGGCCGCGTCGGCCGACGTCTTCGAGCGGCCGGAGCGCGTGGCGACCATTTTCTGTTGTAGCCTTGCGGTGTCCCCTGAGGTGCTATCGCGGCGATGGCGTATCGATGCGCTGCTGTTTGCACCTCGGCGTATCGATGCGCAGCTGTATGCAACTCGGTGCTTTGTGTGGGCAGTCTGCAACTTGCCAGAGAGCCTATCTGTTGCAGTGTTCGCGGCAGGGACTGAAGGTGTCAATCAAAAGGTCTGTGCACAGCGGCTCTAAGCTTGTGATATGCACTGCTCACCGAGTTTGGCGCTGGTGCAGGCTTGCACTCGCCTGCTAGAGGGGCTATCTCGCTAGGCGACTCCTCCCGCCGACGCGCGGCCTCGGAAGTCGTCGCCGTGAACGCGCACGCCATCGACGCGCCAGGCGAGACGGACTACACTCGAAACCTTACACCGGCGCGGCGTCCGCGCGCGACTGCACGTACTTCTCCCGCTGCAGGCCGACCTGGTCCTCCTGCGAGACGAAGTCCGCCATCATGAGGAGCGCCTGCTTCTCGCGCGACTCCGGCAGCAACCCCAACGCGTTCTTCGCACGCTCGGCGTGCTCCTTCGACAGCGCGACCGCGTGATTTAACCCGGAAGCCGCCTCGACGTCCCCCGACAGCTTTTTAAGAGACGCCCGCGACGTCGTCGCCGCGTTGACGTCGGCGATTTCCGACAGGATCACGGGCGGCGACGAAATAAACTCCTGGAGGATCCTCTCGGAAATGGCCACGTCCGACTCGGCCACATGCGCTAGTTCCAATATCTGATGATACCTTATCGTGTCGAACATGACCTGGTACGACAGACCCAGCGCCGTCGCGTAGTCATAGACGGCGTTCGCGACCTCACTATCATGGGCTTCGCCCGCGAGGATCGCTGCTGAACGACACGCGTCCGCGATGAGTGACGCGGTCTTCAGCCGCACCCGACCTTCGTAGTCATCCAGACTGGGCGCGACGCCGGCCTGCCGCGCTTGCGCCTTTAAAACGCCACCTTGCACGATGGACTCTAAAGCAGTAGCCATGAGCTCGACGACCGTCAGGTCTCCTAACTGTGATAGAGCTACGCTACACCTAGCTAACAAGAAATCACCGGCCAAGACAGATACCTTGTTCCCAGCGTTTTGACTGTAAGTTCTATGAGCCACGTTGCCCAGCATGGACTCCTCGTCGTCCTCCAGGACCGAATCGTGAACAATCGTAGCGGTGCACATCATCTCGACGATCTCCGCGAGGAGACATTGCCTTGCACTTACCGGCTTGCCCTTCTCGGTGGACTCGACGGCCCTTGCTACTAAGAGAACCACAGCGGGTCGGAAGGCGCGTTCCCTTCGCTCAAAGAACTCTCTAGCTGCCTCCTGCAACAAGGGATGAGACCGGCCCGAGCTCCTCGCGCCGCCTCCCCTCCCGGGCTCGTCGAGCGTGTTCTCGACCAAGGCCTTGATCCGCAGCTTCATCAGCTTCAGGTCGTCCCTGACAATGGAAAAGGGGTTCGCCTCGGCCTGGACCTCGGCGACCGCCGCGGCGAACCTCGGCCTGGGCCGCGCCGCGCAAGTCACCGGACCGCGCAGCGCGCGGACCGCGGTTCTCGCGACCGCGAGCATGATGAGGACGCCACGCATCCGCTGGCGTCCGTAGCGCTGGATTCGAGCGCTGGTGCTGTCCGTAGCGCTGGATTTGAGCGCTGATGCTGGCCACTGCCCTGCCTCTCAGTTTCTGCAAAATGCGCTGGCACCGCGATTGCTTCGTCAAGAACTGATGCCCGCAGATTTATGTAGCACTCGCTTGACTTATAGCTCGGTATCACCACAAATGGCGTCGTACAGGCGTGCGGAGACGGCGCCTCGCGGCCAGCTCGATTGTTGGAGAGCCAATCTCGAAGACGACGAGCGCACGCCTGCCGGCGCAAAGCACCTTTGGACTGATGACTTGGACACTTGGGACCGGAGGCAAACAACAACAAGCCGCACCGGCCGGCGGCCGCGCCGATGCTGGAGAGCCATGACCACCGAAGACGACGGCGCCGCGCACGCCTTCGACGCGGCGCACCTATAAACAGACCCATCCGGACACTTGGAACACGGAAGAAAAACAGCGACCGCCGGCCCGCGCCTCGCGCCACCAGGAGATGATAAATACATGCCTACTTCTTACATTTGGGACAGTGGACAGGAGATAACCGGGGTACAGGGGGTCGTCGCCGGCGGCGTACAGTTGTTGACTTTTTGACAGGTGCCGTCGGCGGTGGCGGCGCCTCGTGCAGGCGCGGTCGCCGTAAGGGGGTAGGGGGTAGGGGCTTCGACAGAACAGGGCGGCGGGGTTAGACTTCTTCCGCAATCAGAAGAAGTCCCGCTCAGCCCTCCACTTCATCGAAGATGCTCGGGAGCAGCGCGCCAAAATCCAACGTGTCGTTCGCGTCCACGTAGGCCAGGGAGTCGAGCGGCATCTCCATCAGAGGCATCTCCATGGACTCCTCGACACTGATGACGGGCTCCGGTAAGAACATACAATGGGACGAGCCATCTAACGAAACGTCCTCGTCGCTGGACGGCCCGTCGCAGGGCGTGACCGTGCGCACCTTGGGTTTCGGCGACGACGGCGGCGTGACGAACTCGGAGCCGCCCGGGTCCATCCTCAGCTTCTTGGGCGCGGCCGCGGCTTCCGCGACGGCGAGCGCCAGGGCCACGGCCGACGGCGACTCGCGGCGCGCCTTCTTCTTCTTGGGCTTGTACATAGCTAGGGATTCGGCCTTGCGCGCGGCCCACTCGTCGACGCGCTTCGCGAGGTCGCGCTGGTCCGCCTTGTGGAGTTCTTCAAAACCCTCGATCTCTTCAATAGTATCGATGGTCTTCGTCTTCTTGGACGCCCGCTCAAACGACTTGAAGATGCAGGCGGGGTGGTACCAGTGGACGCGGCGCGCCGGCACGTCCTTGCGCGCGCGCGGCGGGATCTTGCCGACCCTTAGCTCGCCGTCCCTAAAGGCGTGCTTGCAGCGGTGGCGCTTGCACTTCGACCGCAGGCCCTTAGCATAATCAACAATGAACTTGTTCGGTCCCAATCGCCCGGAGAGCATGCCGCCGCACCGCCCGTAGTCCGTCTGGCTCACCTTGCCGTCGACGTCCATGGCCTCGCAGATCTCGTCCCGGTCGAGGGTCGCCTGGTCCGAGTCGACGAGCTGTTTCACCCGTAACGCGCTGAGGCGGACGCCGCCCTGGTAGACGGGCCGCGGTGCGGGCTGGACGTAGAGCCCGCCGTCGTCCTCGTCGACGGAGACCTGGTGCACGAGGACCGAGGGCTTGCGGCGGCGCCCCGACGTGCGCGGCGGCGGCCCGGCGTAGGTGTTGATGCTGAGCGCGTCTATCGTGGGCTCGGGCTTGACGACGGCGTCGAGCTCCTGGAGCGTGGCCTCGGCGGCGGCCATGGTGGGCAGGATCGAGGCGTCGAGGGCGGCGGCGTCGGCCGCCTTGGTCTCGTCCATGGGAGATGCCGGTGAATCCGCGGCGGCGCCGGCGGTGTGGTTGTGCCTGCGGGGCGCGGCCGTAAATGTTGACTATGTGCCGGGAGCTGCGTCGGTGTGGCCGCTGCGGCGTTGCGCGGGCGGGGGCGCCGCGCGCCGCCCCGGCCTTAGCTGGGGCTTTTCGCTGGGGCTTGTAGAAATGCGTGCGCGGGGCGCCCGGGCTGCGCGTTTTTTGCGCGCGGCGTCTCTGTAGGGCGTCTCGGCTACTTTACGCTCACTCTCGTGTGGGCGCGTACCTTTTGGGCTGCGTTTGCGTGCCGCTTTTGAGACACGCAGCTTTACCAACTACGAGTACATTAGCGTAGGTCGCGAATTGTGATGGCAACGGCACTCGAAAGAAAATCCAGAAGTAAGGCAGGTGGCTGGCCTCGTACGCCTGCTACCTCTGGAGACAGGTGTGGGCCCGGTCCATCGCCGCGGGGCGCGCCGACGCGGGCTCCATCGCAAGAAAGCAGCGCGCCATTCTAAGAGCCCGGCGGATCTCTCGGCAGCAATCAGTCCCCGCCGACTACTCCTGGTTTGGAGCCCGCTAGCCGCGCGCGCGGCAGAGCGCTTTGCAAGGCGCTGCTGCCACGGAGATAAATCAGGCAGTGGGCAGCCTAGAACGAGCCATCGATCGATGCTGGGCCCCTCGACCGCGCGCGGCCGGCCCCGCCGCCGCCCCTCCTCTGCAGATCCACCACGGCGCCGGCGCCGCGCCCGGGAGACCGCCCACCGAGCTTTGGCTGCCCAGCCGTGGCAGAGCCCGAGCGTCGCGGCGCTCGTGCGGCAGGCGACGTCCAAAGCGCCCAGCGACGCCTCACCGATGATAATCGAGGGTCCGCGCGGCACGGCGCTGCGAGCCGTGGGCAGTGCTACCGACCACGCCGTCGCGGGCGATGCACTGGGGAAGTGCATAGCAGAGCGCAAGAAAAACGCCGTCGAATTCGTGGAGATGCTGCTGCCGCCGCCGCTCACCGACCACGAGGACGCTCGACGACTCAAGCCGGTGGCGGAGTACGAGGACTTGCCGATCTCGAAAGGCGCGACGCGACGACGTGAGGAGAGCGACCTTGTGTTTGGTGCCGTGCTGGAATACTCGGATGCGTTCGGGAAACCCAAGATCGTGAACTCTACGGCTATGCTCCCGGAGCAGCAGTACCTCGAGGACGGGCGCACCAATTCGAAAGTCTCACACCTCCTGACGGCGGGCCGCGGGTCTTCGAGCGTCGTCTGGGCAGGCGTCGGCCGTCGGAGCGCGGGCGTCGGCGAGGGAGAAATGGCGGTCATCCGCGAAGCCGTCGTCGACAGCCGGGCCGAGCGGCTCCGGATCTCGAGGCTCCGCAGCATCAAGCCGTACAGCGCGCACGGCTGGTGATCTGAAGCTGTCGACGCGACGCATCGATGGCGTGCTGCTCCCGGCCCTACTAGTGAATGGTTAATGTTGTGTCACAGTTTCTTACATGCCACGCTTCTTCGTGATCTTCTTCGACTTGCCCGCGGCGGCTTTCCCCTTCTTGCGCTTGAAGCCGCTCTCGTTCGGCAGCTCGCCGTCGTGCGTGTCCATGCGCTCCGCCTCGCCCTTGCCGGGCCGCTTCGCGCGCGGCCGCTCGAGGTCCTGGAGGATGGCCGAGGCGCGCGCCGCGTCGGAGCCCCGCGCGGACGCGACGCTCAGGAACTGGCGCTTGCGGCCGCGCGCGGGCCCCGACGGCCGCTTGCCCTCGCCGGCGACGACGGCGTCGAACTGGCCGAGCGACGCCGTCGCGACCTGGGCGCGCTCGAGCGCGCCCTTGACGCCGGCCTTGCCCTTCTTTTTCCCTTGCAGGTCGACGGGCAGGCCGGACGGCACGCCCTCCGGCTCGGGCCCTCTTTTCTTTTTGCGGGCCCGCGCGTCGTTGGCGTCGCGCTGCGCGGCGTTCTTGGCGACGCGCGCCTTCTTCTCGGCGCGCGCCTCCTCGCGCGGGTCCACGCCCTCGGCCGCGTCGCGCTCGGAGACCTCGATGATCGGCGCGTCCGCCTCGTCGCCGCCCACCTTGTCGTAGCCCCAGGCCGGCGCCCACTTCTCCCGCTCCTCGTCCCAGGCCATGCGGGACCTCTTCTTTTTGGGGGCGATGCCCTTCTCCTTGGCGAACTTCTCCCACTTCGTCTCGGCGCGCGGCTGGGGCACGGGCTTTTCGCGCGGCAGCGCCGTCGTCGCGGCGGGCAGCGTGATGACGGGGCCCTCGTTCGTCTTTTCGACGGGCAGCGCAAACAACCCGGCGACCAGCAGCTGCGTCGCGTCGCGCGCCTGCGCCGTCAGCGCTTCGCCCGTTTCCGCGGGCACTTTGTACGTGGCGCTCAGGTGGTGCAGGTCCAAGGAGACGTGCTCTTCGATGTCTGGCTCGGCCATTGCTATGTAGCACCTCTGCTGCAGGCTAGCTGATTCTACTGACAGGCGCAGCGCGGCGCCTCAAATTTTTTTTATGTAACGAGCAGTTCACCAGTGCGATCGCTCGCAAATTTGTGGACCGTGCCGATGAGTTATGTCGAGCTGAGGCACGCGTTTTTTACAGCCTCTCATCGCCTGAACCTGAGCAGCCGGTGTTCGTACCGCTCGCAAAAAACACCAAGAGGAGGTATGGTGACGAGTCTTGGCCCGGGCGAGAGGTTTGAGCCGGCGAGCGGGGCCACTAGCCTTGGCCGGCGTCTGTCTCATGTGCCTGGTTGCCATCGCGGCTGCCCGAGTCTCCGCTGCCCCGCGCGACGGCAGCACCGCCCAGCCTCATCTGAAACTCATGGCTTCCACCGCACCCCCGAAGAAGCGCCCCCGCGCCGCCAGCGGCGGTAGTGGCAGCCTCAAGGAGATGCCCATCGTCCAGTTCCCGCCCTATATGGTTAATGTGAAGTCGCCCTATGCGCAGCACCACGAGGCCTACACCGCGTACGAGGTCGAAGTTCGCAAAGCTCTCGCGGCGGAGGACGTGTCGTTCAATATATGCAAATTCGAGAAAGCCGCGACCAAGTGGGTGGAAACCATCGACCACGCGCTGCCCGTCAAGTCCCTACCCATCTCGCGTATGTCCGACAGCATCGTTGACCCTTGCAACGCCTCTTGCAACCTATTCGAGAAACACCTCCCCCCTTTACCCGGTGTCCCGAAGGACGACGGGAAGACGCCGGTCGATCTCCAAGTTCTTTTCGCCGAAGAAATAGTCACGTTGGCGTCGCTCTTGGACAAGGAGTTCTTCGTTAGCATGATGCGTTCCGCGGGCAACGGAACATTTGGCAAAGCCCTCTACTCGACGGCGACGGCGTGGGTTTGGGCCCTGCTCAAGCTAGACTTCGACCCGGAGGGCACTCCCTATGCTGAGGACAAGACCAAGCACCTCCAGGAGCAGGACCGGTTCTCGGACAAGAATAAGAAGCTGAACATGCAGATGTGCCGCGAGATTGTTCGCAAGGAGGCCGGCGACGAGGCCGCCGAGATGTGGTACAATCATATGTGCGCTAATCTCGGAATCGACGCTTGATTTTCTCGGTGCAGCTGGGGAGAGCATCTTAAAATGAGAATTAGAAATTGAAAACGGCCACCCCTCTAGGCATACGCCGACAGCGCCTTCAGCACCCGCGAAGCGCCCGCGCCCACCAAAATCACCACCGCCAGCGCGACGCAGAGTCTATCTAAACCAGCCTCGCGGTGCCACGGCAGGTCCACGTCGGGCCCGCAGACCGTCCCGTGGGCCGCCCAGGCCTGGACCGCCGCCGCCGCCGCTTCAGTGCCGCCCGGCGCCCGGAGCTGCGCCGCCGCCGCCGCCGCCGCGCGCTTATATGTCTCGCCCGCGACTGTGGATACCGCCTCGCGCACGCGCTCTTCCGTCAGCCGCCGCGGCTCGATATACAAACCCGCCGCGGCGTCGGTGACGCGCCGCGCGACGTCCCGCTGGTCGCCAAAGAACGGAACACACAGCAAAGGCTTGCCGAAGGCGAGCGCCTCCATCGCCGCGCCGGCGCCGCAGTGGCTCACGACGACCTTGACCTCGGGCTGCGCGATCGTCGCCAGCAGCGGCAGGCGGCCCCTTACCCTAAACTCGTCGGGCAGCTCGCGCGGCAGCGAATCTCTTCTATCCTCGTCGAGGGCCCAGAGCACGCGCCAGGCGCTCTCGTTGCCCGCCTTGTCCGGCTGCAGGCCCCTGACTAAAGCGTGGGCCTGCCAGCCCTCGACGCGCGGCATCCGTCCCAACGAGACGACGACGACGCCGGGGCCCTCCTTCGCCGCGGTCTCGAGCCAGCGTCGTACCAACGCGGGCGCCGCCGGCGGCGCGGTCGCGTTGTAGGCCGCCATGTCGACGGGGAGGAGCGGGCCTGCGTTGGCGTCTTTGTCGTGGCGCGGCGATAGCGTGCCCCATCTGACTCTACACCACCCTCACGCCATCGACGCGACCCGTCCGCGAGAACAACAACCACTACGCCGTCGCGTCGATGGCGTAAAAGATGGGACGCCGCGTACCGACCGGTCGCGAGGACGCGCGGCGGCGGGTGCACAGCAAAGGGGTCGAAGCCCGGCGCCGTGTTCGCGAGCACGAGCTCGCGCGGCCGCGCGCCGCAGATGCCGTCGTTCGCGCACGTCCCGTTGCGCGGCGGCGGCGGCGGATCTAGTGGTAATGAAGCGCGCGCGGCACACGGGAAGTCCGTTACAGAAGCGGGCCGCCGCAGCAACGCGGGCGGCACGAGCTCGTCGGGCCCCGAATGAATTCGCAGGCCGACGGCGCGCCGGACGTGGTTCGAGGTCATTAATGCGGAAGACGACGCCAGCGCCAGCAGTTTCGGCGCGAGCGCGGCCTGGGCCTTCTCGGAGCGCGAAGATCCGGAAGATAAAGCGGCGCCGGGCGCGCCGCCCGCTCTTCCATACAACAATGAAGGCGCGTTGATGACGAGGGGAATGTCAAAAACATCCGCAGCGTCGCGCGCGCCCAAGGTCGCCACGTCCGCCACGATGACGTCTGGTCTTTTACCACCATTGGCTAAATGTTCATACAAAGCGTCGTAGACGGGTCTTGTGAGTGGCACATACAACTCATTCATCAAACAAGCGAGCGCCCCCAAGGCCGTGGCCTTCCGAGACGCTTTCGCAAATGTTTTCGATGGAGGTATGAGTGACGCGTCATACTCGGAGTCGTTCTGATGAGAGTGGAGGTAGCGCGCGGCGGCCTCGTGGCGCGCGCGCCGCGCCGCGAGTAGTAGTCTACGAGCGTCGAGCGGCCCCTCCTCCTCCTCATTATCAGCGTCGTCGAGCGCGTCCCAGGCGTCCTTCTTCTCCTCCTTCGCGTCGCCGAAGCCCCTCAAAGCAGCAGCCATCAAACCCGCCGCGCGCTCGTTGATGGACGTCGTCTTTTTTTGTGGTGATGGTTCCAGCACGCCCAATGAGACAAACTCCGCGCCCGCGTCCTTCGCCCAGCGTTTCGCTTCCTTTGTACTATGCGTCGCGAGCGTCGCGCGGTGGCCGCGCTCTGTCAGTTGATGGGCGAGGCGCGCGAGGGGAACGGCGTGGCCGTGGAGGCCGACCGATACGAGCAAGACGTCGAGGGGTGCCGTGTCTGCGGCCTCCGGGTCCGGCGCCGCGGCGAGCGCCGCGCAGAGCAGTAAGCAGCACCGCATGTCTCGCAGGGCTGATTGCCAGCACCCAGCCGTTCGTGTGCTAATCAAACTCGTTACGAGCAAGCGGAGACGCCTGCGGCACACGCCTGCAGCGGCCCAGGCCGCCCGCGTCTCGAGCACCTGGGCTTGCTAGTGTCTTTACACACTAGCTCCGGGTTTCGTGAGAGGGCTCGGAAGCCATCGTCATGGACACAGGGGAGGTACACGCGGGAGATTGGTAGACGCAGGGGCCCCTGGCGAGAGGGATTGACAAACTCGACGCGCGCACCGTGTCGGCGCGCCCACGCGGCCCATCGATCAAAATCTCTTCTTCGTCGCCGTCCGAGGCGTCGTCTAAACCGATGCCGCCGAGGCACAGGAGGCCGCTTATTGTGTCGGCGAAGGAGATTTCCACCTCTCGTACGGCGACAGCGTCGGTCGCAGCCATAGAATGCAAATGGTCTGCTGCAGAGATTTATATTTTTTCCGTGCGCTAACCGCGCTCGGTTCGTCAGCGCTCAATAGTTTGGGATTCGAGGGTTTCGTGAGCGTCTCGCCAACCACAATACTTTGACACTCGGGGTGATCTAGGCCAAAATATCGCGCAGGTGGCTCCGCCTAAAAACACTAAAGCGCAAACTAGAAGCAGGTAACAACGCCTCGTTTTAGCCCTCGGAGCATTGTGAACTGCCCTGGAGAGCTCTCGACCAGCTTGCGACTCGGAGAGGCAATTGTGAGAAACACGGGTTTTTAAATCAGAACCGCGCCCGCCGCGCGTACGCGCGCGAGCTGTTTCGCGCTTTTTCATTAGCCTTCGTCTAGTTTTTATTGCGCCGTCAATCGCCGACAACGCGAACTGGGCACGATGAGGCTAATTCTTGCAATTGGTCTCTGCGCTTTGGCGCCGTCCATGGGCATTTCGCCGCGGCGCGCGGTCGTGCGAGGTTCGACGACGTCGAAAGCGCGGCCCAGCGCAAAGAAACTCGCAGCGACCAAAAAGAAACGCGTGGTCGCGGCTCGTTCCAAGGACGAGGACATCGGCGTCGCCCACCGCTACTTCGCGGCGGCGCCTGAGGACTCGCGGTTCTACTTCCGCGCGTTAGGGATCCGCGGCGGCGGCGCCGAGATTCCGCCCGCCGACGGTCTCCCGGGCGGACCGCCGCGCGGCGGCGAAACCGCCGTCGGCAAGGAGCAGTGTGCGTGAATCAAATTTCGAGGCGCCTCCACGCCATCGACGCGACTCACAGCTCGGTTTCGTAAGCAGGCGAGGCTCCCGAGGACATCCTCTCGTACGGTGGTAGCCACCAGGATCAGCTCCAGGGCTTGCTCGCCGTGCTCGCCACGCAGGAGGCTGTGCGGAAATCAAATACAGATGGACGCCATCGACGCGACGTCCACACAGGCAGGAAGTCCAGGAATCCATGTCGGACTGCGAGGAGATCATGTCCATGCAGAGCCGCACGGGCGTCATCTACGCGACGACCTGTGTGGAAATCAACCAGTGTGTCGGGTGCACCCGATAATTCTTCACTAAGTCACTTCTCGGCGATGACGCCGCCGCTCTGAAACCGTCGAATAAGGAACCGGCATCGCCACGCCATCGAGCAGGCGACGCGTCAATGGCGTGGAGGTCGACGTGACGACTCAGCACGCACCGCGAAGTTTTGATTTCCACACAGGCGACGACGCGGGCCAAGCGCTGGGGATTCAAGGGCGCCGGCGACCCCGCGTGGGGCAACCTCGGCCAGGGCGCGCCGGAGACGGGGCCCATCGGCGGCCCGGAGCGTTCTCTGGCCGTCGAGCTCGACGACGAGACGAATGAGTATGGAGACGTCAACGGGCGCCGCGACCTCCGCGACGCCGTCGCCCAGTACTACAACCACTGGTTCCGCCAGGGCAAGAAGTCGCAATATACGGCGGCCAACGTGGCCATCGTTCCAGGCGGCCGCGCGGGACTCTCTCGTTTGATGGCGTCGCTCCACAACGTCAACGTCGGCTACTTTCTCCCGGACTACACGGCGTACCAGCAACTGCTCGGCGAGTTCACAGGAGTGGCGCCGATCGCCATCGCCCACGACCAGGACGGCTTGCGAACGTCGCCCGAGCATTTACGCCGCCAGATCCAACTGCATGGATTAGGGGCGTTTCTCTGGAGCAACCCGGCGAACCCCACGGGCGAGCCGATTGAGGGAGACACTCTACGGCAATACGTCGAGATCGCGCGCCAGGAGAACACGATGATGCTCATGGACGAATTTTATTCCCACTACATGTACGAGCAGGACTCATCGAGTGGCCGACCCTTCCACACGCTCTCGTCGGCGGAGTTCGTAGAAGATGTCAACAAGGACCCTATATGTATTGTGAACGGCTTCACGAAAAATTGGCGGTTGCCGCTCGCCTCCCGCGTCCGTCTTTCCGTTTGCACGCTCCGCGCCATCGACGCGATCTTCCCGCAGGGGTTGGCGTTGCTGCTGGGTGGTGGGACCGAAGCACTGCATTGATGTGTTGGGAAGCATCGGCTCCTTCATGGACGGCGGCACGAACAACCCGCTGCAAAAGGCCGCGGTTCCCTTGCTCGAGCCTGGATTTGTGGAAAAGGACGCGCTAGCGCTGCAGGCGCACTTCCGCGAGAAGCGCGACTACATGGTACGGGAGCTCGAGGCGATGGGCATCAAGGCGCGCGTGCCGAAGAGCACCTTTTACATCTGGGCGGACGTCTCGGTAGCGTACTGCGTCTGCTCGATGGCGTGGAGGCCGACACGAGTCTCTCCGCACAGGCGTTGCCGCCGCCGCTGAACAACTGCGTGGTGTTCTTCGAGTATTGTGTCCGACACAAGGTCATCTGCGTGCCAGGCATATTCTTCGACGTGAATCCCTTCCACCGCCGCCGCTTCCACAAGTCGCCGTATATTGACAAGCGGAGCACCGCGTCTCGAATAATGCGTCCACGGCTTGACTTAGGCTCGATTTCCGTACAGGCTCCGCATGTCGTACGGGCCCGCGTGGCCGAATTTGAAGCAGGCCGTCAAGGGCATGAAGGAGATCATCGACCTCGCGAAGGCGGGGCGGCTCCCACCCCTCGGCGAGCCGACGGACTGACGGGGCCTAGGACTAACGACATTAGTCTACCTTCTTAGTGCTCTTCTTGCGGTGGAAGAACGAGCGCTTCTTCTTCTTCGTGGCGACGCCGCGGAGGTCGATCCCAGGAGCTTCCAACAGAGGCGTCTGGAACGCCGGGTCGTCGAAGAACGACGAGAAGTCCGCGAAGCCGATGCCGCCGATCTCGTCGACGTTCAGCTCGCGCCAGACGCGGTCGAAGTGGTCCTTCGAGATCCGCCGTTTCAGGACCCACTTGATGAGCGCCCGCGCGTCGTCCCTATCTAATTCCCCATCCCCAGAAGCTTCGAAGTGATCAAATACTGCCCGCAGGTCCGCCCGTGATTTCCCACCGTGGGCAGCAAACGCCTGCCTGAACGTCACGCGGAGCGCCGCGACGTCATGCGAGGTTTGCAAAGACGCCTCCAGGACCTCGTCGACGGCGGCCTCGTCGACGCGCGACACGGCGACGACGAACGACGTGCGGTGCACGAGGCGCCGGACGACGTCGCAGACGAGGACGACGGGCAGCGCCGCCGCGACGAAGTACGACCGGGAGACCTCGAGGGCGAGCGCGCCGTAGCGTAATAGTAATAAAGCGCCGTAGAAGCAGACCAGGAGCAGCACGCCCGAGACGCACGCCGACAGCGTGGACGCGGTGCGCGCGTGGTGCTGGTTGTCGTCGAGCCGGCCCGCGCGGTGGTCCCGCAGCGCCTGCAGGCGGCCGACGAAGCCCCGCTTCGGGGAGGTGGGCGACGCGGGCGGCGACGCCGACCGTTCCCTCTCGAGCTCCCGCCGGTGCTCGCGCCGCTCGATCGTGAGCTCGAGGCTCGCCTCGGCCTCCTTGATCGCTTTTTCCTTCGACCGGCGCTTGTGCGCTCTTCTACAGGCCTCGACGAGCGCGTCGTCCGTGGCGCAGCCCAGGTCGCTTCGCAGGTGGGCCCACGCCGCGTCCTGCCGCGTCTTTAACAGTAACGCGAGCACCACCAGCAACCAGCCGCCGCAGACGAAGACGTCCGTCTCCCGCCCGTTCCAGACGTTGAAGTAGCGGCTCCGCGCCCAGTTCGCGCAGACCACGCAAACGACCGCCCCCCACGCCGACGCGTAGATCTCGACCTGGTCGACGATAAATTCCTTCAGCGCCCCTTCGAGGTACCGCGAGAAGGCGAAGGCCGCCGGCAGCTCGCACCGGGCAAAAAAATCCTCCCGCAGCGCAAAGTACGTCGCCGCCTCGCGCCACCTCACGTCGGTATGGGCGACGCGGATCGTCGCTTCCCGATCTTCATTCGATAGGATGCCCTGCAGCGACACGCCCTCGACGGCGTGGTACCGCGCCGTGAGCGCGGCGCAGGCCGCCGCGAGGGACACGGCGAACGCCACCAACACGAGCGCCGCCACGAACAGCAACCGGTGCGCCCACTCGAAGGCCTCCAAGACGTCGTGCGTCGGCGTGAAGGAGTGCTCCGCGACGTCCAACAATAAGGTTAAGACGCCGACGAGCATCAATTCATCCTTCACTTTGTGGAAGATCTCCTGGCCGACGCTCGCGCCGTGCCCGAGCCGGCGGTGCAGCGCGTGCAGCAGCTTCTCGCTCGTTAAGGTGAAGGCGATCAAGAGGATGAGCATGACCGAGACGCTGCTCACGTCGAGGCGGTGCTCGTCGTGATGGGCGTGCTCGGCTGCCATGGTGGTCCGGGCAGCTGCCCCTCACTCCCCTCACTGCTGCCTGCCTCACTGCCAGCTGGGCTGCCTCACGCGTTGAATCGCTTGCCCGCTGCGTGTGCTGGACTGCAACGTCAGCGCTTTGTGCCCTTTTAGGCAGCGTGCGATCCGCGAAGAAAATCGACGCTAGCGGCATGTAAGACACTAGCAATCTGCGGGAACGATTTGTGCCCCGTCGTTTAGGCGGTTTTACGGCAACGCTGCAACACTAGAAGTTCGTCTTCGATCAGTCATTTCGAAACGAGACGCGTGGCGTCATCAATCGCAGCTCTGGATAGCCATGGAGACGCCAAGCGAGCCGCACCCCAAAAAGCCGTGCACCGTGGACTTGCGCGGCGGCGAGGAAAGCGATGACTCCTCCGTGGTCTTCACGGGCTCGGCGCCAGCGCCTCCTGCTCCTGCTCCGCCTGCTAAATCGATCAAGGTCATGAAGGAGGCGATCCGCGCCGCCGGCCTCGGCACGTCCGATTTGCTGGAGCGATCGCACGTCGAGGAGCGCTACGAGCAGGCGCTCGCGCGGCTAGAGGAGGCCGACAAGGCGCCGTCCGCCGCGCCGGCCACGTCGAGCAACGGCTACGCGTGGCAGCCCCTGCTGACGCGGGCCATCGGAGGCGCGGACTCGCCGGGCAACCGCTGCGCGCTCTCGTTCGCCGACGTGATGGCGGGCTCGCCGTTGTGGGCCGTCGTCAGCAACTTCCAGATCAACGGCCACACGTTCAAAAAGTATTGCTCGCCCTTGCTCAGCGTCGAACGCCTCATCGTCTTCCACGGCTGCGCGCGGTCGGCGCGCGACTTGCGGTCATGCGCCCCGAACGCCACGATCTACGACATGACGCCGAAGAAGCTCTCGTTCGGATTCAAGAATGATTATGGCTGCCACCACTCCAAGGCCTTCCTCATCGGCTTCGACGATAGTTTAAGGGTCGCGATCCACACGGCCAATATTATTTCCTGCGACATCAACAACAAGACGCAGGGGATTTGGATGCAGAACTTCCCGATCAAGAAGGCCGGCGCCCCTGCGACCAGCGACTTCGAGGAGCAGCTCGTCAAGTACTTTTTGTCGTTACAGAAGCACGCTGCGCGAATGCCTCAGAGCTGGATGGGCCTCGGCGCGGCCTTCGGCGGCGACGAGCAGCTGACCATCGCTCAAGCCCTACGGAAATTTGATTTCTCGGGTGCCAAGGCCCGATTGGTCGCCTCGACGCCGGGCTACCACTCGGGCGCCGACCTGCACTCGTTTGGCGCGAACCGCGTCGCGGCGCTCCTGGCGAATGAGGGCGACGCCGCGGCCCAGAAGCCCACGGACAAGATTTACTGTCAGTTTTCGTCGTTATCGAGTCCCACGAAGCCACTTGCCGTCCTCAAGGCCGCCTTTCACGCCCCCAAACGGTTGTGTCCGTCGCCTCCGGAAGTGGACCTCAGCATAGTGTGGCCGACCGCCGCGGAAGTGTGCGCGAGCGTCGAGGGCTACGGTGCCGGCGGCGCTCTGCCGAGCGCGCAGAAGAACGTCGACAAGGCGCCCCGCGAGATGCTCTGCCGCTGGACGAAGGACGGGTCGTCCGACTTCGTGACGGCGAGGCGCCGCGCGATGCCGCACATCAAGACTTGGACGCGCGTGTCGGGAGACGGCTCGACGGTTCGATGGAGCGTCCTCACGTCGGCGAACCTCTCGGGCGGCGCCTGGGGCAACGTGCGGGACGGCGGCCGGACGCTCTTCATCATGCACTGGGAGCTCGGCGTCCTCGTGACGCCCTCGATCCTGGGCGCGCCACTCCGGACGACGCAAGGCTCGGAGGGCGCCATCGTGCCCCTTCCCTTCCCGTGTCCGCCGAGGCCCTACGCGCAAGGAGACGTGCCGTTCTCGTGGGAGGCGCGCTACGAGACGCCCGACCGCTGGGGCAAGCACGGCACGAGGTAGACTGTATAGTGTAACACAAGATTAGAAACTAACGGTGGCCGACCGCCGCAACCGCGTCGGCGACACGTGGTCGCCGCCGCCGTTGCTCGTCGAGGCGGAGCGCTCCAGCCGCGTCGGCGACATAGGAGATGCGGCCTTCCGTCGGAGGCGCGCCCGCCACGCGTCGCGCACGTCGCACGTCCGCAGCGCCCGCGGCGCGTCCCGCAGCACGAGCTCGAGCTCCGCCGGCGTCGTCGCGGACAGGAGCTGGTCCCGCAGCAACCCCAACGCGTCCCCGAGAAAGCGCGGCAGCTCGTCCCGCCACCCGTCTAGCAAGCAGTGGTCCCAGGCGAACAGGAGCGCGTCGAGTGGAAACACCGTCGTCAAGTAGACGTCGACGCGCGCCGCGAGCAACGCCCGCAATTGCTGGGGCCCGCCCGACGCCGCGCGCAGATGCCGCGCCAACTCGGGGTCGTGCTCGTCGAGGTCCGACACGACGCGCTGCGCGCCGTCGGTGGCGCCGTCGTTCGAATGGCCCGGCGGCAGCGACAGCAGGCGCAGCAGCACCAAGAGCAGCTCGGAACTGGAGAAGCGGTCGCCATCATCAAAACTTCGCCGGATCCCTAAACAAGCGACCGCGACGGCGCACGTCGACGCGCGTTTCCCCAGCGACGTGCCCTTCAGCGCGTGGAGCTCGATCAGCGCGCGCCCCGCCGCGTCCTCGACGAGTTTAGCATCGTCCTCGCCCAGGACGTGGCGCCAGGCTTGCGGAAAACTTTTGTAGGCGGCGTCGTAGGCCGCGCCGGCCGCGGGATGCGCCGCGTAGCAGGGCTTGCCGTCGTCCTCGAGTCTGGCAACGTCCCGCATCACCCGCCGCGCCATGGGAAGGGGCCCGACGCGGATCCGCCACAGTCTCCTTCTTAATGACGGCGGCAGCGACCAGCCGCGGCAGTCCAGAATCACGCGCAGGGCCTCCGACGCCTCCTCGGGCGTATCCGCCACGGGCGCGTCGTACGACGCCGTCTTCGACGCCTCGTCGTCCTCGATTCTACACCCCCAGCCCGCGCGGAAGCCCGCGCCGTCGACCAGCTCCAAAAGCGACCGGACGTGCTTCGGGGCGCTCTCATCAACATCTTTCGTGGAGAGGACGCCGTGGCGCTCGTACGCAACTCGCAAAGCCGGCGCGAGGGCGGCGCGCGCTTCATTGTAGTTCTCATCCGTACCCAGCTTGGCAGCGAGCGCTCTCTTCACGTTCTGGTCGCAGGCGCGCAGCACGGCGTTGCGTTCGTGCTTCGCGGCGTGGGGCGATCTTAATAACCAGGGCCGCGCCTCGACGCCGTGCCGCGCCGCGCTCGCGCCGAGGAGCTCCGCGGCGGCCGCCTCGGCGACGGGGTGGCGGCTCGCGTCCTCCAGAGTGCTAGCGACGGCGCCTTCCAGGGCACCATCGACGATGTCCGCGACCTTCCAGCTCGCCTGGAGCAGCGTCGCCGACTCGTGCGCCGCGGCGAGCTTCTCGGCGCAGGTGAGCGGATTGTCTGGCACCATGATGCGCGTCGATGGCGTGCCTATCGCTGGGTGCAGGCTGCCCCGGGACAAATGACGTATCGTAGCGGCGTGCTGTGTGCGCGTGGCCCCCTCTGTGATGCGTACGGCCCTGAATTCGCACGGCCGGCAACCGATTTTTGGGAACGTGCGGGTCTAGACGCGACGCGAAGCGCAAATCGCGGCGTATACGCCCGCACAGCGTTTCCTGTGCTCTCCAGCGCACGCCTCGGACCGTCTGCCCCATACGCCAACGCCGCGGCGGCAGCCCAACACCTGCCGAGGAGCACTGTCCCCAGACCAGAGTGGGGCGACTGCTGTGCCGCGCGGCGACCGGACGCACCAGTAGCAGTATCGATCGCTGGATGACCGCAGACCACATCTGAGACGATGCGCCGGTTGCTGCTCTGCGCCGCGGCCGTGAACGGAGGCTTCCTCTCGCAGCACGAGCGCCACGGCATGAAGCCCTGCACGGAGCTGACGCCCTGGTTCGTCAAGTGCATCGATGTGGAGGCGGAACAGGCCGAGACGGATGCGGTGGTGGGCCGGCCGCGCGTCGGGCTGCAGGAATTGAGCGGCGACCGGAAGCGCTGTAATTTGCAGAATAAAGCTCATGATAGACAGGGCAACGAAGGTATAAGAATAGCCATCGCGCTGTTCGGTTTAATAAGACACAACGCGACGGCGATCAACTTCGAGAACATGCTGCTCAAACCACTCTTAAAATATCAAGACCACGCGTACTCGGCGGACGTCTTGCTCCATACCAATGTAGTAGATAGGATCAACAACCCGCGGGGCAAGGAGGTGAATGTGGAGTTGCCGGGCCCCGACGCCTGGGAGGCGTTCCGGCCCTGCCGCTATTCCGTCGAGGACCAGGGCGTCATCGACTACAAGCTGTCGCCCCTCATCCGGTCGTTCCGCAAGACGCAGCTCGCGGGCATCCACCGTACACGTTCTAATATCCAGCAGGGGAGGGAAGAGAATTCGGCGTCGCTCATGAATTTGCTGCGGGCCCTCTACAGCCTGCGCGCGTCGGGCGGCCTCATCCGGGGCCACGAGGTCGCGACGGGCCGGACGTATGATGTGGTTGTGTCGGCGCGCGTGGACACCATTTTCACGCGGGAGGTGCCCGGCGCGACGTATGCGTACGTGCACCGGTCGCCGGTGGCCAAGCTCTTCGTGCCGCACTTCGGCTGCTCCGTGAACACGGAACTCCTGTTGAACGATCGCTTCGCGGTTGGGGAAAGGGAGGCCATGGTGCACGTCTACCTGCCGCGCATCGAGACGCTGAGGAAGCACAAAAAGGAGCACGAGGATTCGAATCGGCACGTCTTCAACGCGCGGTCGCGGCGCGAGCGGACGCGGCGCAACGGCCCGGCCCTCCCGCCCAAGCTGCTGAGCGGCGAGCGCCACCTCTTCGACACGGTCCAGGCCCACGGCGTGCCGACGGCCCGCATCCCGCAGTTTTGTTTGAGGCGGGTGCGCGCGGGAGGCCTCATCTGGGTCAAGGTCTTCACTTCATTGGATTCGCACGAGTGCCCTTTGGAAAAACTGGACCACTGCGACGAGCGGTGCATGGAGCGGCAGCCGGCCTGCGTCGCGGGCCGCGGCTGCCACCAGCGCGGCGTGAACATGCACGCGCGGTTTTTCGACGGCGAGGACTGGTGCAACCTGCCCGACGCGAGCGAGCGGCACCCGACGTGCCTCTACGACTGGGAGGGCCTCGGGCTGGGCTGGATGACGACGGCCTAAGGAGTATTGTCTTACATGCCGTTCGGAAAGAGCTCTAGCGCCCGCGCGTTCATTTCCGCGAGGCAGGCGAGGTCGCCGACCATCGCCGCCAGTTCGGACGCCTCGTGCCAGAGCGGCGCAAAGGTCGGGGCGTGCTCGATGCCCTGCGCGAGGGTTGCTCGCGCCCCACCTAAATCGCCCGTCGCCTTCTGGGCGCGCGCCAGAGCAGAATAGGCCGTGCCCTGGTCGGGCCGGACGTCGACGGCCTCGGCGAAGAATTCCGCGGCCTCGCGAAACTCACCTTTTGCCTCGCAGACAGAACCTGAAGCAAGGAGCGCCGTCGCGGACCGCGGCGCGGCCAACAAAGCCAGCGCCGCGAGCTTCGACGCGTCGCCGCCGCCCGGCGCGTTCTTGATCTCGAGGTCGGCCCATCTCGCTAAAAGCTCGCCCGCGTCGTCCCGGGCCTTCCGCGCGATGCGGTCCGAGGCGCCATCCAACGCCGCCTCGAACCACACGAGCACGTTCGCGTCGGAGAACGCGCGCTGCTTGCGCCAGATCTTCTGCGCGTAGCGCTCCAGCGCGGCCTCGAGCACGTCGCGCGCGGCCTGGAGCCGCTCTCTGTCATCACTCCTTTGGAACAGCAACGCCTCGGCGTGCGCGCAGGCCAGATCCACGGAGGCCGGCACGCAAGCCGCGCGCACCGCCGCCGCCAATAAAGATGCGGCGTCGTCGGACGCGCCCTGCGACAGCTCGTACGCGGCCCAGTCGCGCCAGCACTCGCCGTGCGACGCGTCGGCCTTGGCCGCCGCGTCGAAGCAGTCGCGCGCCGTCTTTGGTGACGTCCGGCGCGCGAAGGGCCGGTTCCGCCGCTCCGTGAGCCTCGCCGCGGCGCGCGGCGCGAGGTCCGAGGACGCGTGCCTTACATAATCTTCGTCGTCGATGCGCTGCTTGGCCTTGGCGAGGCCCAACAAAAGACAGCTTGATGATCGGTCCCGCCGCCCCGTCGTCTTCGAGGGAGGTAGTAATCGCAGACCCTCTTCAAAAACCGCCTCGGCGTCGCGCGGCCGTCTCCGCCGCAGATCCAGGGACCCGCGCGCGTGGTAGACGTAGGCCACGTCTTCGCGGCGCCGCGCATGTTTCGAGAGCCAGCGCCGCGCCGCGTCCAGCAACGTCGCGGCCTCGTCGTACCGCCCCCGGTCGCCTTCCAAAGTTGCCCAGGCGACCCAGAGCGACGGCGCCCAGCGGTTGTACGCTTTCGTATCGGACTTCAGGTCCTTCAAACCGCTGCGGTAGGCGTCCCGGGCGCCCGCGACGTCGCGCCTTCTCAAACGGGACGCGCCGAGCGCGACGAACGCCGACCCGTCGCTCGCGTCGGCCTTTATCGCCGCCTGCAGGCTCTGCTCGCACTCCTCGTAGTTCTGCCTTCTCAGCTCCAGGTCGGCGAGCATGATATGAGGTCTCCCCTTCGTGCGGTGCGCGCGCGTCGCCCTCGTTAACAGCTTGCGCGCGCCCGCGTCGTCGCCTCTATCTATGGCGCACCGCGCCGCGTCCAGGAAGACCCCCACCGGCGGGATCACGTCCCGCCCGTCGAGGGCGGCCTCGTAGAAGTGCGTCGCCCTTTCCAGATCTCCGTTCGCATGTTCCAAGTTGGCGAGCTTGCGCGCGGCGCTTAGATAAGCCCTCGAGTCGGGGTGCTTCCGCTCCAGGAACTGGGCTAATACTCGTCTAGCGCCATCAACATCCCCAGCATCATCGGCCAGCGCGTCGGACAATTCGGCGACGCACGTGTGCGAGTCGTCCACCTCCAGCGCGCGTCTTAACGCAGCACAGCGCTCGCCCGGGCTCCGCGCGACGCGCGCAAAGGCTCTATATGCGACAGCATCATGCCTCGACGGCGACGTCCCCAGCACCTCGAGCAGCGCGTCCCGGAGCCCGCGCTCGTCTCCATGGAATCGCGTCTCCGCCGCCGCCACGGCCAGGAGACCCCGCTGGTCCGTCCCGCCCTCGAAGATCTCGAGGGCCCTCGTTGGGTTGTTGTGCTTGCGTTCCAGTAATCCCCATGCGTGTCTTACGTAGGCCGAGTCGGGGTCCAAAGTTAACGCCCGCTCGTACAAGTGTCGCGCGTCTTCGACGTGCCCCTCGTCCTCTTCGAAGCGCGCCCAGGCGTGGGCTATGTGTACTGAATTGCATTCGTCCGCTTGCGCAAACGTGCCGCGTATTTCGTGTGCTGTGGCGTTCGTCCGCTGCATGACCTTGCAGAGGGCCAGCCACGCGTAGGAGTCCCGGGGCGTGAGCTCCAGGCACTCCCTATACAAGTCGCACGCCGACCGCGTGTGGCCCCGCGCGGCAGAGCGCTCGCCCCGCACGTACAAGGTGCGGGCCATGCGCCGGAGCTTGGCCTTTGACGGTTTCTTCGGTGCGGTTCGTTGTGGTACGGCGCTGCATCGGATCGGTTGCCGGGTTCCCGACGGGGGGGCAACTAATGCTGTGCAGCTTGCAGCAAAGAGCAGGTGCCGCCACATGGCTTGCCTGATGGTGCCCAGCTGCTGAACGATTTTTGGGATGGTCTTCTGCGTAATTGAAAGCTTCTCTTGTTCCAGGAAAGCACAGAGGGCTAGCACGAGGTGCAAAGTCGTGTGCGTGTGACAGCCTAATGACTAGCGTAGTCCTACTAGCGCAACTCGAAAACAATAGAGGGAGTCGAAAACAGTCAAATTATACGGTTCTCCCGCAGCCGCTGGTCCCGCGGAATGTCGTACTTCTCGTGGAAGGGCGCGGGGCGGCGTCTCCGGGCGAGCGCCGAACGTGCCCGTCCCCGGTCGGGCCGCGAGAAGGCCGGCCCCGAGTCGACGCCGCCACCGGGGGACCCAACTTCGCCGTGGAAGGCCGTCCAGGCCTGGCGCGGCCGGCGCCGCGCCGCGGGCGCCGACCGCGGCCGCGGCCGCCCCTGCCAGACGAGCGGGTCGGCGAGCCGCGCGAACGTCGTCCGCGCCTTCGTTCTGATCTTCCGGCGCGGGTTCGCCAGGAACCATTCGTATAAAGGCGGTTTTGATGAGGCGGGAAGATGCGGCGGATAGTACGCGAGCACGTGCGTCGACTCGCCCTTCATCGGCGCCGCCTCGCCCGGCAGCAGCGCGGCCACAGGGTCGTCCGCGGGACCGTGGTCCGGCCGCGTGTACTTGATCTCCGCGCGCGTCCGGCGGGCGCACTCGCCCACACTTACATCGGTGAAGGCGACGGGCGTCGTCGCGTCGTTCCAAGCATGAAAAGCCCAGATGTTCGTGTCGCGCAGGACCTCCGGCGCGCGCCGCAGCCCGACGCTCCGGAGCGCTCCACGCACCGGCGCTATCGACGCAAAGCGCTTGCAGTACTCGGTCGCGGCGCCGAGGCCCCAGCAGCCCGAGCCGCCGGCGCCGATGCCCGTCAGGTGGACGCGCTTCGCGTCGCAGAGGCCTTCGTCCTTGCAGAGCGTCTCTATTAACGCTACGACGCTGGCCGCGACCGTCGGCTCCGTCCAGGGCAGGTCCATGGGCTTCTGCGGCGAGACGACGACGAAGGACGTCTCCGCGGCCGGCTGGCGGCCGCAGCGCTGCGGCGGGCCCTCGAGCGCGACGCTTCGTAAAGGCGCGCGGCCCGCGCTGCGGCCCTCGTCATGCAAGTAAACTAGGAGCGGCCAGCCCTTCTCCGGGCAGTCGCCTTTGGGCGCGAAGAAAAGATGCGGCATCTGCTGGGATTGGATCGTGACCTTGACTTGCTTACCGCGCGCTGACCAGTCGCCCGATCTTGGCAGCCACCAGAGCCGGGACCAGTCTCCTGACGAAGTGTAGTTGCCCGCGCACGGTTTTCCTTGACGTGGTGTTACGTAAGCTCGCACGAGCTCGGGCGGCGGCGGCACGATCTGGTCGGGCCCCTTCGCGGGCGCCTTCGTCACCTCCGGCATTATGACCTTGGGTTTTCTCGCTTGGCGCATCATCTGCTGGTGCTTGAACTGAGTGTTGTATGGTGTTTTTCTAGCGAAGTCCGCAAATTCCCTTAATGAAATCCAGCCCGTGCCGTCGGCGTCGATCGCGTCGTACAACTTCCAGAGGTCCTCGTCCGTGAACTTGAGCAGGGGGAGCTTGAGGTCCCTCCTTAGTACGGTAAGCCACTCCGCGGTACTAATCCGCCCGCTGTCGTCGATGTCTAAACGCTTGAATATTGTTGCAGGAGTCACGTGCCCGCCGAAGTAGGTGCTCCCAAAACCGCCCGCCCGCCGGTCCATCTCCTTGCTCAGCAGCTCGGCGAGCTGTCCAAAAATCTGGGCCGCTTGCTCCTGGGCGAAGGAGTCCTGGCTGTAGCGGAGCTCGCGGCGGCTCTTCCCCCTTCGCGCCGGCGCTGGTGCTGGTGGGAGATGATCCCGGAGGTCCGCCATAATGGCACGCGGGCAGCTTGTGGTGTGAGCGCGGCAGACGTGGGAGTGCCTTGTTGTGCCTCGGGCAGCCTCCGATGCGCGCGTCGACGTGCAATGAGGCGCCCTGCTGCGCGCTGCGGAGTTCCTTGCCTCGGGTGCGCGACGTGCAATGGCAATGAGGCGCTCCGCTTTGCAGCGCCTCTGCCCGAGAGCTTGCGTGGGGTTCAAAGGTGTCGGAGGCTTGCGTACTGCGTGATCTCTTACAGACTCATGGGGCCGGGACGAGTCCTGCGTCTTGACCACGCGGCCTTGAGAGCGGCAGGCTTCGAGAGCCAGGCTCCTAAATCCGGCCCATATCTCCATCCGAGACAGGCGCAATCATGCAAGCCCACCTCGCAAGCGTCCTCAAGGGCGTCGTTAAGGACAAGAGCAAAGGTGCTCTCTCTAGATTGCTGGGAGAGCGTGCGGCGGCGTCGCGGCTGCTGGAGCGCATCCACGATGGCGCGACCTGGCACGCGCGCATCGGCATCGTCCTCGTCGACGACGCGCGCCTCCGGTCCTACACGCCGCGCGCGGCCGTCGAGTGGGCGCTCCGCTACGAGACGGATTTAGGCTTGGAATGCACCAGAGGCGGCACGTGGTTCAGCCAGCAGCCGGGCTCGAAGTTAGTCGATGCGGAGGCGTACGTCTCCCGGACCGCGCTGCTCGACCGCGACGCGGCGCCCGGCGAGGGCCCCTGGACGCGCGCGCCCGACGACCGCAAAGTCATGGCGACGGCGGGCGAGACGCGGCACCTGCTGCGGGCCAAGGCAGAAGGCTGGACGACCGCGGATTTCAAGGGCACGAAGGAGGTTCTGAAGCGCGACGTTCTGTCGAGCGACTCGGTCGCGTCGTCGCCGTTCGGGGTCGACATCGGCCCGGACGCCATCCTCGCGTCATTAGGCGCCTACCACGCGACCTACGAACCGGCTGATGTCATGATCCAGGACGTGGTCGTGGGCTCCGGCGACGACCGCGGCCTCTTCGCCGCGCGGCGCACTCTGGCCTGCGCGAGCAAGGGAGAGGAGAACCTGGATTCGGATCGCGAGCTCATCTTCGGCGAGATCGCCGCCGACACCGACGGCGCCGCCCGGCTCCGCTACGTGCGCAGCATCTTCGACCCCGAGGCCTCCGTGCGCCGGCCGGCAACGCTGCCGACGTCATACCCGCAAGCCTCCCACTTCAGCAACTTCGCGAACCTCTACAACCTGCGGACGACGTACGGCGGCGACCGCCCGGCCGCCGAGGCGTCGCCGGGCATGCCGCAGGAAAATTGGATGGTTACGCAAGAGGCGTAGTAGGAGAGAGGCACCTTCACAGAGTAAAATTACACACTAGTATCGGCGGCGTCAGGCGCGCCGCCCGCCGCGGCGACGGGCGGAGTCGTCGGCGGTACGTCGGCGTCCTCGTACACGTCCAGGAGGTCGCCGGCCGCCGCCGGGACGGGCGAGGTCGTCTCCTCCGCCGCACCGTCGACGATAAGTACGCGGCCGCTCTGTTCGAGCAATGCGACGACGTCGGGCCGCTCCAGCGCGCCGTCGATCACGACGCCCGCCCGCTTCGCGAGGCGCGCCACCGCGCCGAGCGACATCGCGTCGAGCTCGGAACGCGACACCTCGACGGTCGTCTCGGCGACGACGTCGACGCGCGACGACGTGAGGACGCGTCGAATCAGGTCGTCGCGCTCGACGCAGCCACGCGCGGACTCGCCCGCCGCCTTCAGCACGTCCAGCAGCGCGCGGATGTTCATCGCGTCGAGCTCGCGCTTCCTCACGCGCACGCGCCGCCCGCCCTCGCGATTGTGCTCGCGCCGCGTCCGCTCGTAGACCACAGAGTCGGTCGGCAGCTCGTAACGGCACACCGGGCAGACGCAGTGCCTGCTCAGCCACTCCACGACGCAGTCCTTGTGGAACAGGTGGCCGCAGGGGAGGCGCGCCGCGAGCTCGCCCGGCACGTGGTCCTCGAGGCAGATCGTGCAGCACTCGTTGTCCTTCGTCAAGTCGTCGGCGGCGACGCGGACGATGGGGATCCGTTTCAGCGCGCTCGTCGACGCCGGCGGCGGGCCCTGCTGCGCCGCCGCCGCCGCCGCCGTGGCCTGCGCCATCTGCTGCGCCGCCTGGTCCAGGGCCTGCTGGAGCCGCACGTAGCTCGCGCCGCGGTCCGTCATCTGCACGCTGCGCGGCGCGCCCGCCGGGCCCCTCTGCGATTGGTCGCGGCGCCGGTCGGCGCAGCCGCAGCATCGCGCGAGCCAGGACAGCATTTTTCTGGCTCTCTGGTACTGCTCTCAGGTGCTCCTGAGCTCACTCTCCGGCTCTGGCTCTGGCTGGCTTCCTGGTCTTTACTGCTTGTAAGCCGGTATACGCTGTAAGCGCTCTGATTATCGCAAGCCCACGTTAGTGGCAATCTTCAGCTGTGCTCTCCCGGTGGGGATCCACCGCTGAAGGCCGGGGGACGGCCGTGAAAATGCTGCACTGCGAGCCCAGTTTGCTAGGCATCCCTAGTGCCTTACAGGCCGCTAGCTTCCCGTTGGACGTCTTCCGAACCGTCAGGGAAACGCGGAGACTTCATGATCGCCCCTCCAGGGCCTGTGCTCGCGGTTAAAATCCCGCCAGCCACAAAGCGGAGCGCCTGCAGCGCGCGCTCTCCCATCGATTAAAAGGCTGCCCCCTCCACGCCGTCGCGGCTGCAGCCTCCGCCACGATGCGTCTCGAGGCCGAGCTCCACATGCGGGCCCTCGCGCGCAAACAGAAGCGCGACCTGGCCGCCCAGGCTGCGGTGGGCACCGGGCTCGCGGCCAGTGAGCACGGCGACTCGTCGACGGAACACTCGATCCGGCAGATCGGCCTTGGAGGCCAGGAGCGCAGCGTCATGGACGCGCCCAAGGGCAACCCCTGGGACGCGCTGTCAGGTGGCGGTGACACGACGTACGCGAGCTCGCGGCGCACGGGCCGGAGTACGCCGAAACCGGCGCCGCGGCCCGTCGCCATCGTCCGGCGCCCAGCATTACCGCCGGGCGAGCAGGACTGGCTTTTAGATGAAGCGAACGAAATGGCGCCGCCGCGCGGCCCGCCGCCGCGCGCGCTCGGCCAGCCCTTCGGCCGGAAGCTCGTGAGTTTTGAAGGAGACGGCAAGTCCATGGGCAACTCGACCTTCAGTAGGAACCCCTGGGAGCACGCCAAGAAGATGGAGGCCTTCTTCACGGGCATCCCGCCGCCGCGAAAGTCGCTCCTGCCGCCCGAGAGTTCCGTCGACTGGGAGACGCAGTCGCACGCCTTTGGGCGCGACCACAGCGGGTTGACAAATGAGGCGCGCCACGCGGCGCTGGGCAACCGTTTCGCGGACCCCGAGAGGGGTGCTACCTTGACTTTGAGACGGGCGTTGCCGCTCGCGCGGTGCTCGACGCCAGCTTTGGCGTTCCGGGCGCCTCCTAGGAAAGATGCCGGCGCCTTCTCGAGAGACTTCCTGAAACGGACGCGGACGGGCACCGTCGAGGAGCGGTACCACCAGGCGACGCACAAGAAGATGAATATTAGAGGAACGGGCTGCATCGTCGACCGCGACCCGGGCATCTCGTGGGACATGGCCTGTCAGGCGCACGAGGACGCTGGGGCATTGGGCGGGCCCGACGTGTTCGGCGTCGTCGACGACGGCGTGCTGCCGCGGCGGCCGGCGGGCGCGGCGCACGTGCACTGCGCCGTCTACGGCCAGGTGTTTGGGGGGCCGCCGGTGGACGTGACGATGCATTATGATCGCCAAACTAGAGGATTTACCGAAGAAGAAAGACGCATGTTCCTGCTGACGGGCGAGCGCAAGCGGCGGCACTCGGAGCGGCGCCAGCTGCGGACGCGCACGATCCCGGGCTTGGGCGAGTAAACATACATCACGTTACTACTACAGATCTATCCGCGGCCGCTCGAGCGTCTGGTCGAGCATCTCCTCGTCCCAATCAAAATCCATGGGGTTGTCGTCCGCCACGGCGAAGTGGCGCACCTCGGCGTCCGATGGCGTCGGCGCCGCGTCGTCGACGCGGCAGCACCTATCTACGGTCGACGAGAAGAAGTCCTCGAGGCCGAAGAGGCCCCACGACGAGGCGTCGCCCGGGGGCGCCGGCGGCGGGGCCAGCGACGGCGGGGGCGGCGCCGCCATGGCCGCGTCGACGTCGCGCACGCGTCGGAGGAGGGCGTTCTCCTCCGCGAGCTTGGCGACGCGCCGCTCGAGCACGAGGCCGCGCCGGACCCAGACGTCCGTGTTGTCCGTGGACGGCCGCTTCTTCGTGGTGCTCCGCCGCCGCTGGACGCGCCACCGTTCATTCTCCGCACCGCGGCGGAAGTGCGGATGCCGGAAGCGCGCGCCGGAGCCGTCCGGCGTCTTCACGAAATCGTACATGTTCATCATCCGCGCAAACGACGTCCAGTTCCGATGCTTAAAGTACAGGGGGCAGACCTCGTCGGCGAAGCGCTTCGTGTCCGCGACGACGACCTCGTCGCCGGCGTCGGACCAGGCTATTTGTTTCTCTTGCATCATGCGCCCGAGCTGCTGCACGAAGGGTGGGACGGGGCCGCTCGGTGGTTGCCTTGGTGGTTGCGGCCCTTCCATCTATGCAGGCTTCGTCAGCGCGGGCGCAGCGTGTGGTAGGATGCCCTGTGATTATTATTCAGTCGTTATCTCCATCGATGCGGCCTGGGGCAGCCATATAAGCTCGACGCTCGTGCTTGTGTTTGCTAGTGTCTTTCGCTAGCTGCGCGGCGAGAAGAAGTCAGTATAGAGTGCCTCTTACTTCGGGCGGACGCTGCGCGCGAGAGCAGCAGAACTCAGTAGCCGCCGCGGCGCCGGCCGCGCGACCGCGAGCGGGACCGGCGGTCGCGGCCGCGGTCGCCGCCGTAGCCCCGGCGGTCGCGGTCGCGGTCGCGGCTGCGCGACCGGCGCGACCGGTCGCGGCCGTAGTCGTCGCGGCGGTCGCGGCGGTCGTAGTCGCGGCGGTCGTCGCGGCGGCCGTAGTCGCCCCCGCCCCGGCGGTCGTCGCGCCGCGGAGCATAGCCGCCGCCGCCGCCGCCGCCGTAGTGCCCCCCCGGTGGGCCGTAGTTGCCACCACGAGGTCCCGGGCCGCGCCCGCCGCCCCCTTGATTGCCGTAGGACTGGCCCTTGGCCTCCGGAGGTATATAATACCCTGCGGGCAAGCCCTGGTTCGGCTTCTTCTCGGCCATCTCGACGTGGAGCTTCGACCCCTTCAGTTCTTGCCCATCAAAAAAGCTGGGGGCCGCGTGCGCCGCGTGCGGGTCCTCGTAGTGCAGGAGGCAGTCGTCGTTCCCATAAAACTTGACGCGGTAGGGCATCATGTCCGGGAAGACGCCGCGGCCCTGGGGCCGCTCGCGGGCGATCGTCCCCAGGCCGCCGAACATGTCCGTGATGTCGTCGGCGGTGCAGCCCTTGGGCAACCCGCTGATGTAGATCCGCGAGTTCGTGCAGTTGTCGCCGCCCTTGCAGGTCTCGTCGCACTTGAGGTTCACCATTGGTCCTGATTTATGTCATATTTTAGGGTATGAATGATAATAACATTTTGGTACCGAAGTAGTTGCGGTAATGGAAGCGTTGGGGTGAAATAGCAGCCTCGCTTTGGGTGCGTTTACTCGCTCTGTTTAGGTCATATTGTTAGAGAATAAAGGGTATGGGCATGTTGGTACCGGGTGGTTGCGGTGAAACAGCGGCTCCTCGCTTGCTTTTGGGGTTCTCCCTCGCTGGGGCCGGTGATCGAAGTTTTGCTCGCTCACTGGCACCTGGGCTATGTGGGAAGATTTCAAAGCACGCACGCTGCGTCAATAAGCTAGTAGCTGCTGCGTTTTGGGCGCTTTTGCTGCAGCTCGATATTATCTAGCGGCCTGTAAGACACTAGCAAGCTGCTGGCACTGCATAAAAGCCTATTAAAAGGCCGATTCGCCCTCAAAAATAGACGCTAGGAGCTACAATCAATAGTTTTTGTTGCAGCGCCTCGGGGGATTCCAGCGGTACGAGCCATACACCGTGAGGAGCCCCCTTGCAGACACAGCTGTTTTTGGAGCCTGGTAACGCGACCGCTGGCGTCGCTCGATATCTACGCGCGGACCGGACAGTACACGATGGCGCTGCGCGCCTTGATGCAGAAATACGGCCCCGCGGCCGCCATCTCGTACAGCTCCGTCACGCTGACGTTCTTCAGCACGATCTACGCGACGCTGACCTTCGGCTACGACCCGTCGCCCTTTATATTAGAGATCGTGAGCCACGCGGCGATGGCGGGCCTCGACCTGAAGCCCTGGATGACGGACATCGGCGCCCTCGACGCCGCGGGCGCGCCGACGGACAAGCTTCGCCACGGCTCGACCTTCGTGACGACGATGCTCGTCACGAAGCTCTTCGTGCCCGTGAAGCTGCCGCTCGCTGCCGCTTTGACGCCGGCCGTGTCGCGGGCGCTGCGGCGCTACGGCGTCCTTGGGAAGGCGCGATGACATAATATGTTGTGTTTATCTTTTTAGTCGTCGCGTCACGGATGGCGGCGCTTCCTTCGCCTCGGGCTTGGCCTCGGCCGGACTCGTGGAGAGCGCCTTCGCGACCGCGTCGAGCGGGTCCGGCTTCGCTTCCTTCCGCCGCGGCGTTGTCTCCTCCTTTTTCTCCTCTTCTTTCGACTCCTTCGCCTCGGATGCTACACCGAAGACGAGCTTCGCCGGGCCGCGGCCCGTCCTATCTCCTTCCCAGTGCCACGCCTTGCCGTCCGCGGCGTCGACGGACGGCGCGCAGGTCGCCTGAAAAGGGCGCCGCGCGCCCTTCACGACGCGGAGGGGCCGCGGGTGCCAGGGGTCACCGACGCGCTCGTACCGCGTGCCTTTTTTGCCCATCGGCAGTGGTGGGCCGAACATGGTGATTGATTGATGCGTCCAGAGAGGGGGTTTGCCTGGTGATTGATGGCTGCTTTCCAACGACGCGCGGGCGGGGGCGGCCACTGGGGTTTGCCTTACAAAGCTGTGAGCTGAATCGACGCGCGGGGCTGACGAGACGCCACCAAACGCGACGACGCGTGCAGGGGCAGCCAGGCGCCTTCGAAATCAGACGATTTTGCTGGATCGACGCTCAAGGCAGCCCGGCCAGCGCCTCGAGCGGATCAACTGATCGATGTGAAATACCCGCGAGCCCGTGTCGCGTCGGCATCGTTCCACGCCCTAGAAGTACCCACAGACGAGTAGGCGAGCCTTGCGGGACCGCGTGCGGGGAGACACTAGCGGGCCTCGATCGTTTGGATGTCGCCTCCGAAGGAGTGTCCAGACTTCGATCTCCTTCCGGCTGTGTCGAGAGAACGACTGCAGCTCGCAGGCGACCGCCGCTGACCGCCCCATCACCGTGCAGCCCTTTGCGGCCGGGCGCGCTGCTTGGAGCACTGCAAAGCACTCCCCCTTTCGTTCTCTCTGTTGTAATTGATTGTGCGAGCCGCACAGATAAAATAAAATGAAGTACATCGTCCTCCTCGTCGTGGGGCTGCGGGCGCGCCTGGTGTCCTCCTCCTGCGCCGCCGAAGAGTCAGCCTTCCAGACATGTTATACGGCCGCGACGGACCTTACGTACGACGAAGACCCGTTCACGTACTGGGACGACGACGACGAGAGCATGTCGCTGCCCGACTGCGCCGGCGCGTCCGCGACCTTCAACGACCGGTGCGCGAGCGGGCCCGCGGAGTGCCCCGCGGAGTACGAGGCGTGGGTCGAGTGCGGCTACGCGGACCTCGCCGAGACTGAGGGCTTGGACTGCGAGAGTTTCACGTACGACTGTTCGACGCCGCAGCCGACGCCCGCGCCGTCGCTGCGACCGACGTCCGCGCCGACGCCGAGACCCACGCCCGCGCCCTCGTCGGGACCGACGGCCGCGCCGATACCACGGCCCACGGCTGGACCTACGGTTAGACCGACGCCCGGACCTACGCCGCGGCCGAGCGAACAGCCGTCGCTGCGACCGACGTCCGCGCCATCAGTGCGACCGTCGCACGCGCCCTCGCCTCGGCCGACGCCGCCGCCGACGCCCTCGCCTACGGCTAGGCCGTCGCCCGCGCCGTCGCCGGCTCCCACGCCACGACCCTCGCCAGAGCCCTCGCCGGCGCCGTCCTCGCGCCCTACACCTACTCCGACGCCACGGCCCACGCCGACGCCCTCGGTTGTGCCCACGCCGCGGCCCACGCTCGAACCGTCGCCGGCGCCGTCGTCGCGCCCGACACCTGCGCCGACGCCGCGGCCAACTCCACATCCGACCGTCGCGCCGTCGCCGGCTCCGACGCCTCAACCGACGCCGCTGCCCTCGCCGGCGCCTACGCCCCGGCCGACGCCGCGACCGACGCCACTTCCGACCTCGGCGCCGTCCGCGAAGCCTACGCCTCAGCCGACGTCGACGCCTACGCCGCGACCGACGCCCGCGCCCAGCACGCGCCCAACGCCGAGCCCGTCTCCGGCGCCGAGCCCGGGGCCGACCACACGACCTACGCCCGCGCCGTCGGTCACACCGGGCAGCCCGACGGCGTCTCCCGTCTTTGCGCCGACGGCAAGACCCACGCCGGCGCCGAGCCCCAAGCCCACGTTTTTGCCGTCGCCCGGGCCGACGCCGGGCCCGACGCCGGGCCCCTCTTCGCGACCGACGCCGGCGCCCTCGTTTGTGCCCACGCCGCGACCCTCACCGGAGCCCTCGTCGGCGCCGTCCTCGCGCCCGACACCAATGCCCACGCCGCGGCCGACGCCGGCGCCCTCATTTGTGCCCACGCCGCGGCCCACGCCCGAACCGTCGCCGGCGCCGTCGTCGCGCCCTACGCCTGCGCCGACGCCACGGCCCACGCCGGCGCCCTCCTTTGTGCCCACGCCGCGGCCCACGCCCCAACCGTCGCCGGCGCCCTCGCCGCGGCCGACGCCTGCGCCGTCGCTCCGGCCCTCGCCCGCGCCGACCGCGGCCCCGTCGCGCAAGCCGATCCCAATGCCCACGCTGCGGCCTACGCCCGCACCAACAACGGCGCCGATACCCGGTCCGACTCGTGCACCGACGCTGCGACCATCGCCTGCCCCAACGCTGGAACCGACTTCGTCGCCTTCGCCGGTGCCGACATATCTGCCTTCGCCCGGGCCCACGTATGAGCCGTCGGCGGCGCCCTCCCCCGGACCATCCGCGGGACCGACGACGCGACCTTCGCCCTCGCCGACGCCCGAGCCCGGCAACCCGACGGCGTCTCCTGTCTTCGCGCCGACGCCGAGACCAAGCTCGACGCCAACGAAGCGACCGACGCCTGCGCCGTCGCCTGCGCCGTCTCCGAGGCCCTCGCCGCGGCCGACGCAGCGACCTTCGCCGCGACCGACGACGGTGCCGACGCTTCGGCCCCAACCCGCCCCGACGCCGCGACCCACGAACCAGCCCGTTCCGAGCCCGACGCGCGTGCCCACGGCGCGGCCCACCATTCTGGAGACGGCTGCACAAAAGGTCACCGGGAAAACGGACCCGCTTCTCAGCAATGCTGCCCTCATGCTCTACGCGTCGTTCGTCGTCGTCTCCTTCACCGCCCTCGGAGGACGAATAGCCTGGGCTCGCGGGCGGCAAAAAAGCCGCGCGCCTCAGCTACCCGTCAACGCATCACCGGAAGCCACGCATCCGCCGCCGGCGCGCCAGCACCGGCCGCCACCACAAGCCAAACATCCGCCGCCGGCGCGCCACCACCGGCCGCCGCCCCCACCACATGCCCCTAGCACCGTCGACGCGAAGTCCGCGCGATGGCGTCGTCGCTCCCTGGACCTCCCCCCGCCGCCGCCCCGGTACACCTCTGCGACGCCGCCCCGGTACCCCAAGGTCGAATGCGAGGATTCCTCTGGAGATCGTGTGTGGTGGGAAGTCAGTAGCGTCTAAAACTCTGTCAAATAACCGTTACTCCCGGAACCGCAATTCCAGCCCCCCGTCCGCCCCGATCTCCTGGGGCGGCAGGTAGATCCGCGGCGGCCCGCGGCACAACACCGCGGCCTTCTTCCTATCCCGCAAGTATTTCAACAGCCCCGCGAGGCCCGCCCGGTCGCCGGCGACGGTGCAAGTAAACGACGCGTAGCGCGCGACCTTCGGCAGGTCCTTGTCGTAGGCGTCGGGCCGCACCTCTAAAGCAGGCGGGCACATCTCGAAGGTCGTGGAGAGGCCCCCGATGCGCGACCGCGTCCCGTCGGGCGCCGTCGCGTGGACGTCCAGCGTCCGCAGGTCGCCGTGGCGCAGGTCGTTTGGTGGAGGCGGCGGCGCCGCGGCGGCGGCCTTGCGCAGCTTCGGCCGCTTGTTCCGCGGCTTGGCTTCTGGCGGTTCCGCCGCGTCTTCATGCGTCCGCTTCTTCTGCGGCGGCGGAGCCTCGTCATCAATTTCAGGATCGTCCTCCGCGTCGCCCTCCGCTTGCGGACCGTACCAGGCCGGCGCCGCGTCACAACTGAAATTATTTCCAGGGTACCGCGCATTCAACAAAGCGACGTGACCCTCCGAAAAAATCGGTCTGGCTGCCCGGATGCCGTTCCACGCATCTAAAGGCGCGACCCCGCACAGATCTATCAGGGTTGCCACGGCACAGAGCCCCGCCGTGTTGCAGCCGTCCACCGACAGAAACACGACCACAGAAGGATGCTTCCAGGCCTTCCCGCACGCCACGACCGCATTATCCAAATCTTTATTGAGAGGCACGGCGTCCCGGACCCGCACGCAGGGCCGCGCGTCCTTCCTTAGTTCGATACGTTCGACGTCCCAGTCCTCCCAATCCCCGACGTCATGGAAGTCGCCCGGCCGTCGTAACGTCGCGTCGACGACGCAACTTAATCGACGTTTTTTTTCCTGGATGCGTTCGATCAACATGTGCGGCGTATGGATGCGCGCTTCGCCGCCGTACGCCACATCGTATCTCTCCTTGAGCGGCACCTTCGCGAGCACAAAGGCCCGGCCCTCGCTCACTTCCAACGGCGCCGTCGCGCGCGGCGCGGCGCCCCAGCGGTCCCAGTCGCATTTCCGCCAGTCGAGCCAGCCGCGCTTGCCGCTCTTGCTGATGACCTGGGCCTTGGCGGCCGCGAGGTCGCTGGGCGCGAGAAAGCCCGCGGCGGCTGCGTTGTTTGCGGCTTCCGCTGGTGCGTCGCTCGTGTCCATCTCGGCGGTTGGCTCCGGCTCGGCCATTTGTAGCTGTGGAGTCGCTGCGAGTCCGGATTTTACCGCACACGTCGCTGAGGTGTACGACGGTAGTGCCAGGCACACGCGCTGACGATAAATTATGGGCTTGTTGCCCCAAAAACAAGCGCGAATTGCTGCCTGCTTGCTAGTGTCTTACCGCTAGCCCGGCCCAGATTTGCCAAGGCTCTTTTGGGATGGAGCCACCTCGAACGAATCCAAAATACTAACTACTCGAATTCCGCCCGAGGCATCTGCTCCTCACAGAACGGTGCCGTCGTAAACGACGGCGGCACGTGATGCGCCTCCGCGGCGTCGAGCGCGGGGCTGATGTAGAGCGTGGGCCGGAACGGTCCGTCGACCTCCTCCTGGACGCCGCACTTGCGCACGCGTAGATCCGACGTCGTCCCGGTGCCGTTGCCGACGCCTTCGAACGTCGCCGCGTAGGCCCGAAGCGTCGCCCGCGCGTCGCGATCGCGCCATCCCGCCTCGATGCCGCCAAAGGCTACCTGTCCGCCGATGATGGAATGGTGCCGATACGTAAAGTCAGCGTACCGCCGTCGCCGCGCCTTCGGCATGAACAACTTGACGGAGGCCGTCTGGAAGAGCAGGTCTCCCGCGCGGTGGGTGAAAATGAGATTCGATCTATCGAAGGCCTCCGCGAACCTCGCGCGTCCCGGTTCGAGCCACCACGATATTTTCGTTACGTGCCAGTTATTGTAGAAAGCCAGCGCTCCCGTAGAACTGCAGTAGGACTCCCCGCGCGGCGGCGGACGGTTGCCTAGTTTGGGCGTCACGCTCGCGATGAAGCCGTCGACGAACTCTCCAAAAAAAAGCGGACATTCCCTGCTGAGCGTGCGGTAGGCGTACCACGCGCCCCTACGTCGCAAGTCGTTGAAGACGTTGTATTTCACGGGCGACAGGATAAACGAGTCGTCGTCCATGCGCATCACGTACTGATAGCCGAGTCTATGAAGCGTCGGCCAGATCGTGACGGCGTAGAACCGAATCATGAAGCGATAGCCCGCGGACCAATTTTCGTTCGCGGGAATTTCAGAGAGCCACGGCGGCGGTCCCCAGCCCGTCTCCTCGCGCAGGAGGCACATGCGCACGTTCGCGATGGCATCGAGGTCGCCCTCGTGAAAGATTATAACATCAGCCGCTTCTACGGTGCGTCTCATGTTCGCATGCAGCATCTCCAAGGACGCGTTCAGCGTGATGGTTCGCGTCGCGTCGTAGGACGAGTGCGTCCTCTGACCTAAGTAGACGATGGCGTCGCGGCTCTGGCGTCGGCCCGTGCAGAAGCGTCTTGCCGCGCGGCTCGCGTTACGAGCCGCATGACTAATGTTGCGGCGCTGGCGTGGACTGGGATGCCGGCGAGGCGCCGCGTAGTCGCGAGCTGAGTCCTGGGACGCGACGACGACGTATGCAAGCCAGATGAGCAGTGGCATCATCCTCACTCTGCTTTACTAGGCAAATACTACGTTCGGCGGCCAAGAGATTGACTCCTAGGCACTGCCATGTAACCAAAAGGTAGCCGTAAAAATCGCGTGGTATGGCATTACAACTTTTGTTACTATCTCAGTAAAAAACAAGGTACCTGTACTTCGGGAAAACCCGATTTTTCAACTCACAAAAACCACACCGCGCGACGCGAACGCCCTACAGACACCCCGCCAACGCAAAATGATCCTCACAACATGCGCCGCCTGCGCCGCCCCACTGGCCCACAACGCGCCGCGTTGCGTTAGATGTTGGACGCGCTACTGTGATGCCACTTGCCAGCATGACCACTGGCGCCGCGGCCACAAGCAGATGTGCAAGAAAATACACCGCGGCGGCAACGCGGAGCAATACAACGCGAACAAAAAATACAAGGAGGCAGTCGCGGTCGCGGTCGAGGCGTGCGCGGCGGACACGAAGGGCCAGACGTGCTACATCTGCACGCAGGCTTTGCATTGGAAGACTAAGGAGGGCCTCGTACGCGGTTGTGCGTGCCGCGGGACGGCGGGCTTTGCCCACGTGTCGTGCCTGGCGGAGCAGGCGAAGCTTTTGATCGACCAAGGAGCGGGAGTGTAAACCCGGGGAGAATCGCTTCATAGCAGCCTTGAATCTTTCAGTCTCACTGATGCACAACTTCGAACACGCCGAAGCTTGCGTCTTGACGCGTAAAACGATTTCGGCAGCGGTGCTGGAGCTAGGAGAAGACCACGAGACGACGCTATTGCTAAGGCATCAACTCTGTCAAGGGTTAATCAGAGGCGGGGCCCAGACACGAGACGACATAGCTGATGCACTGGAGAGTATTATTGACGCCTTCAAGCGTTTTCAACGAGTCTTTGGTGTTTCTCATCCCCATACGAACGCAGCCTGGCTTGATTTGCTGTACACTAGGAATATGCTCACGGAGGACGAGCCAGAGAAAATCCCCCAGCACGTAAAAGATTTGAAGTGGCGCGGCTCGGGCAAATGGTCAACGACGACCCGAGTAGGCGAAAGCTCAAGGGCAGACGCTGAGGACGAATCCCGCCGCCTAAGATCTAATTCTTTTTAGTTTATGATATTACACGTCCAATAGTACTCTCACCTGGTCCGGCGAATGCACCAAAAAGTCCGTCTCCCCATAGCCGCCCGTGCCTTCGTCCGCGGCGAGCGCGTAGACGGACGCGTGCGCGTGCGCGAGGATCTTGGCGCAGAGCGATTTCGCCTCGGCGCGCCGCGCGTCGGGCGCGATGGCGCCGAGGTCCGGCGCCGGGTCCTGGAAGAGCGCCGAGTAAAACGCGCGCAGCGCCGCCGACAGCGTCTCCCGGGAGATCGCCTCCGCCGCGGGCCCGAGGACCTCGCCCCTGGCCTGCAGCAGCTCGACCTTGCGGCAGCGCAGCAGCATCGGCTCGAGGCCGCACCGGCGCAACAACCGACTCGCGGCCTCGCGCGCGCACGTCTCGGCGCACGCTTCCGCAAAGGCGGCAAAGCGTCCGGCGTACGCCGTCGACGAGGGCGTCGCCAGAGGCAGCGCGCGCAATCTGCGACACGCATCGTCCGCGGCGCCGCAGCACCACGCCGCTGTCGCGACGACGGCGTCCGCGTCGCCGGCGCCGCTCCCGACGGCGTCGGCGCCGGCGCCGAAGGGCGGCCCCGCGAAGTCGCGCGCGACCTCCGCCTCGAGCTGCGCTTTGTACGAGGCCAGGACCGGATCTAAGGCGAGGGCAACCACCGTACCCGCGGCCTCCGTCGCCGCCGGCGCCTCGGACGACTGCACGGGCCGCGCGGCGTCCGCGCGCACGATGGCCTCCGCCACGTCCAACGCCTTCCGCGCCGGCGCCGCGTCCCGCCGCGCGTCCACCGACCGCGCCTCCGCGCCGACCCGCTGCGCGGCGTCGACCGCCGTCTGCGCGGCGCTCTGCGAGGCCTTGTCCAGCGCCTCGGGCAGCGGCCCCCTTCCAATTTTAGTCGCGAGCGCGTCCGCGTAGAAGCCGCACACGCAGGCCACGCCGTGCGCGGCCGCCGCGTCATCAACCAAACGACCGAGGGCCGCGCCGATGCGGTCGCCGACGGCCGCCGCGAGCCCCTCGACGGCCGCGCTCACGAGCGCCTTCAGGCCGTCGTCGCCGAACAAGCCGCGCGCGACGTCCGCCTCCGTCGCCAGCGTCTGGTGCGTCCACGCTAATAAATCGCTGACGAAGCGCGCCGGGTCCGTGGTCTTGGTCGCGTCGCCCGCGGCGCCCCGTTCGGCTAGCGTCTCCTTGAGGCGCGCGACGCAGAGCGCGCGCCGCGACGCGCCGCAGGCGTCGCGGCAGGCCGCATAAAGGGCGCGGCGCTGCGTCAAAGCCTGGAGCGCGCGCTTGAGCGGGTGCCGCGCGTCCGTCGCCGCGGCTTCCGACGAGGCGGCTTTTTGGGCGGCGTCGGTTGCGGTCGCGGCGCCCCGGCCTAAGGACGACGCCGCGAACTCGAAGAGCTTGCGGTAGGCCGCGGCCGTCGCCCCATCCAGCTTTGCGAGGAGGGCCTCGCCCTCGTCGCCCGCCGGCACGAGCTCGTGCTCCTGCGCCTCCGCTTTCGCGCCGTCCGGGTCCGCCAGCGCCCGGCGCACGTCCGCCGCGGCGGCGTCGGCGCGCTCGAGCGCGCGGAAGAACGCGTCCGCGTCGCCGCCGCGCTCCTCGTAGACGCCGCGCGCCTCGAGGGCCGCCGTCTCGTTCGGCGAGAGCTCGTAGCGCGCGCGGAACGCGACCTGTGTGTGTTGCGGGTGCGTGTTGTGTCCGCTCGATGGCGTATGGCCACGCCATCGACGCGATGTTGTCCTTGTAGCGCCATCGACGCGACACCACGAACAACAATGAATGATTTCCGCACGGACTACTACGGCGGCGTCGTGCTCCCGCTGCAGCTGGTCCCGCGTCTCCAACAGCTGCTCGTGCGCGGCGACGACGCGCCGCGTCTCCGCGTCCGTCCTCTCCAGGTCCTCGACGGAGTCCTGCGCCTGCCGGTCCAATAGATCCGCGTTCGCCTCGGCCTGGCGCAGCATATCGCGCATCGGCGCCATCTGCCTCACAAAATCCTCGCACCGCTCGACGGCCTGGCGCTCGAGGTCGCTCCGCAAATTCCTCCTATTCTCCGCGGTGTTGCCCATGCCCTTGCTTTTCCACAGATCGGCGACGACGTCCATGGCCTCGTGCAGCTCGGGGTCCTCCATGTCGATGGCGAGCAGACTCTCCACTTGTCTTCGGATGGCCTCGGCGGCCGGGCCCGTCGGCTCCTCGCCGCTCTCGACGGTCCTGACGAGCGGGTGGGTCGCCGCGATCTGGGCGAGAGTGGCGGGGTCCATTTTTTTTTTGCTTTGCTTAGAGCTAAGCTGCCTAGCCACCAGCCGCCGCGGGCTCTGCGTGACCACACGGCTTTTTTAAGCACTCCAGCTCCTGGCTGGGTGTGGTTGCTTTTTGCGTCTAGACGATGGTTGCGTCCGAACTGCGAGCTATGCGCGCTGTGAGAATTTCTTACGCAGCGAAAACAGCCTGGCAAAACTGCACTCGCACCCCAATCGTCTCCGCGCCTCGAAATTTGCGAGGCTAGCGGTGCATAAAGACACTAGCAAGCAGAGGAAAAAACGACGACATGCAGCTGCTTGAGTACCGTTCTGTTCGCTACTGGTCCAAAGAGATCAATGGGACACGTACTGGGGGCCGAAAAAAGTTTTTTTTTAATTCGCGGCGACGATGCAGCCATTGTCCATGGCGGATGCGCCGGTGGAATCCGGTCCATTCGTGGCCCGGAGGTCTCCCGGGGATCGCTTAGGGTCGTATGTATACATGGTTAGTCGCCTACACCGCATGCGCCACCGCTTCGAGGGATTATCGGCCAATTCTCTCAACACTCCAAGCCATTCGAGCATGAATTACTTGGCAATGGCTTCCAGAGCCCTCGGTGGGCCCAAGCGCCGGCGTATGCGGTGCAGGCGACTCCCCGCCACCAGACCTACCCCGAGAGACGTCCAGGAGCCGATCTGCGCCCGAAAAAAGTGTGCAATTTGGACCCGATGGCACCCCGTTCCCGTCAAAAACGTCAATTACCCGAGGGCCCCCAATAGTCGCCGTAGCGGTCTCGTTGGACCCCATACTACCCCAGCGATAGTGGATTACAAGTATATGACATCTACATTATAAGAAGGGTACTTTTGGCTGCCCACGCTCGGGACGTGAACATCTTGATCTGGACCTCGCTTAAGTCGGTCGATCATGGAACAAATGATCGCGTCATGGTCCATGGTGATGGTACACGGGCTGATGGCCGCAGATCTGGTCATCGAGCCCATTTAAAGCGAGATCCTGGGGTCCGAGACCGACGAGGCGCGAGTCGTAAACGGGACCGTTAATCCAATGTAGTACATGTTCAGGCCGGTTATCTGGTCCGTTCCGTAACCGAAGCGCCTGAAACGCAAATTTATTTTATAAACCACCGGTCTGGGGCCAATTCAGTGCCCCGGCTACGCACCGTCGCCCGCGGAGATCGGGCAAGTCGGTCGATCGTGAATAGAACAACGGCGTTATAGTCCATCTGGGTGGTGGCGTCGCTGATACTCGCGGATTTGGGTGTTGGGCCTGTTTATGCGCAAACGCGGGGCTGCCAAGTTGCCGTTTCGCGTGGCTCTAACGGAATATCTAAAATAGCTCAATGGTCGCTGATTCGGGTTGGATGGACTCTACCACTAACAAACGGAAGAAAACGAACATAAACTCGGGAGTTGTCTAGTAGAATCCTTCTCCCGCCCTCCGAGCGCGGGCCGTCGGCTCCGGTTCCGTCGAGTGTGGATGAAAACTGGGCTGGAGTTGATATAATGTACTATTCGGACGGTGGATGGCGCCGTCAATCGCTGGTGTATTTTGGCGAGCCGTAAGACTCATCCGCGAATGTCGCGGTGGTTCCGGGAGGCGCGCGGGTATGATCCCGGGCTTCCACTGAACTATTTGGTCTCGGTGGACGGCTATGGTGAATTGTGAAGTTGGGAGGTTGTTTAGATCATCGCTCTACCGATACTTTCATTCGCCCGCGTTCGTGCAGCCGCGCGACCACTAGAAACAGCGTACATCCGCGAAGGCGTCTTAGACGCCTGCATACTCTTGAGATCCCTCTCTTGGCCGGGCGGACGCGTGCGCGGCTAACCAGCCAGTCCCGTGGCGACTGCGCGCCGAGACGGTCCTGGTCAAGCTGCGAGCAGCACCGAGACTAACGCGCGACGATACGCAGCGCGTAACATCGCTGTGTGCTGTGCTTTCATCGCTGCGTCGCTTGCGGGGCAAAAGACTGCGCCGCGGCCGCGATATTTCGAGCCACAGCCGCAGTTGACTCGAAGACGCGCGAGACGCCCGCGCGCGCGAGCAAGACAGCGCCGCACAAAGCACCGCAACAAGCGCGCAACAAGCGCGCAGCTAAAAAAACGATGGAGATCGACGCGCCCGAGGCGCCCGAGGAGCCGGCGCCGCCGCTCGGCCCCGGGCCGAAGCTCGGCACCGTGGTTGCCATGGTCGACTTCCGACCGCCGGCGGAGACGGGTCAGCAGCCGTACTATCAAGATGCCAACGCGCGCATGGAGGCGCAGCGGCGCAAGGCCGAGGCCACCGAGCGGCGCGTCCTCGAGACCTTCTACGGCGTGCCCGCGTCGGCGTGGGCCGAGGCGGCGGCGCTGCCGCTCGTCAGGGGCTCGGCGGAGCAGCGCATGGGCCATTCGCAAGTAAGCGAGTGGAAGAAGACGCTCCGCGTCGGCGACACGATCGACGTCCTCCACCAGGGCTTCTGGCACGAGGCCGTCGTCCGCTCCGTCCCGGCCCAGACGTCTAGTCCCTACTCCTCCTACTCCTACGCGAGCTGGTCGGTCGGGCTGACGGCTTTCGACGGCCAGCTCATCTCCTGCGGCCGGTACGACAGGCCCATGGCGCCGCGGGGCATGTTCGTCGGCGACTGGCGCGCGTCGCTCGCCGTCGGCGACCGCGTCGAGGCGCGCCTGGACGACAACACCTGGGCGATGGCGCGCGTCACGGCGGCCGCGGACGCCGACGAAGAGGAGGCGAAGCCGAAGCCGGCGCCTGCGCGCGGCGGAGGCGTCGACATCTGCCTCGTCGTGATCGCCGGCGAGCGGTTCGAGTCGTCGCTCGAGGCGGGCGGCGTCGTGAACAAGGGCGCCGAGTACCGGACGCTTGTGCGCGACACCGAGCCCTTCGGCAGCCTGCGGCGCACGTGGGCGCAGCAGCACGGCCTGCAGGAGTCGGAGCTCACGCTCTGGTCGCGGCCCGACCCCGCGCCGGCGCCGGCGCCGGCGCCGGCGCCGTCGTTGTTCGGGGCGCCAGCGCCGCCGCCCCCGGCCGACGTCCGACTGGACCTCGAGTCGTGCGCGCGCGACCTGAACCTGGCGGGCACGGCGACGATAGTCGTCACGAAGAACTTAGATGTGGTGACGACGGAGGCGACCGGCCTGCTCGAGCTGACCGTGGTCGTCGGCGGCGACGAGACGAAGCTGGAGCTGCCGCGGAGCTCGCCGAGGCTCACGCGCGCGGGCACGCACTGCAAGAACCAGGGTTTGACCAAGCTCAAAGCCCTCGAGCTGATGGGTCCGCCGCTGTGTGGAAATCAACCAGTGCGTCGCGTCGATGGCGTCGCGTCGATGGCGTGGAGGACGCGATGATCAGCACAAACGCGCCGTAAAATTTTGATTTCCACACAGGTCCGCCGAAGGACGTACTCCGGCGCATGCTCTACGAGTACCTGTCTAAGAAAGATCCGCGCCGGTGCCACTCCGGCGAGATCGGGACGCTCGTGCGCGAGTGCGCGACGCAGGAGGACACGCATCGTGTCCTCGCGAAGCTCGCCGAGGAGTTTGGTGATGGCAACTTCCCGCTGCCGCCGCTCCCGGACGTCGAGCAGGCGCCGCTCAAGATCGCCGACGGCGCGCTCAAGCACGAGGCGAGCGGCCTCAGCACGAAGCATGAAACGTCACACCACTACGGCTACGGCAGCCGCTACCGCGACACAAATACGTCCGACGCCGTTTCGGCTTTACTGGCGCCCCGCGGCGCGTCGGCCGCGATGGACATTCGCGCTTCCCTGGGCCACGTCGGGCTGAACTGGACGCCGAAGCGCCACGGCACCGTCTCGCCGGCGCTCGCGGAGCGCATCAAGGTGGCGCTGCTCTGCGCCGTGCGCGACCGGAAGCGCCCGCACCAGGAGCGGTCGCTGGCGCTACTCCCGAACCGCATCTTGATCCACAATATCTTCTCCTATCTGGCGGACGTGAATAGTGTGCGGATCAACGGGTCGCTATTACGCGACGAGACGCCGCCGAACGGCGTCTACCGCGCGGGTTATTTGAGGGATGTGTCGCGCGGCAAGAAGAAGTTCGTCGCGACGCCGCTCTCCAAGCTCGGGGACTCGCCCATCGGCTTCCTCGCGCCGTCCGTCGTCGTCAAGGTGCCCGTGTCGCTGGAGATCGACCTCAAGCCCGACTGGATCAAGCTCGTGACGCCCCAGCTGATGGAACAGGCGAACCCCTACGGCGGCTACGCGCGACGCCGCTACTCCTATACACACATGAGCAACGACGCCTCGCGGCAGCAGCTCTCGACGCTGATCGCGACGCTCGCGCACGCGTCGGCCGACGCCGGCGCGTCCGTGCAGGAGGTGGCCCAGAGCTCGATCCTCGCGGGCACGCCGTGGGCCTCTCCCGAAGCGCCGCCCGCCAAGCTCACGAAGGCGGCGCCGCACCTCGCGATCCTAGAAGCGGCGCGGCCGTCGGCCACGGCGCCGATGGTCCCGTCGCCGCCGGCCATGTCCTCGACGACGCTGCGCCCGTACCAGAGGCGCGCGCTGGCCTGGATGATCGTCCTTCGCCAGTGCGGAAATCAACCAGTGCGTCAGGCCGGCCTGGAGGTATTATTTACTATCGCCTCGACGCAGCGCGAGAGTGCTTTGTGTCCTCGCACGAGGCGTCTTAGGCTTACTCACCCGAACGTTTGATTTCCGCACAGGCGAAGGAGGACGGCACCTTCAACGCCGCGGTAGATGATGCTTCGAACTTGGACCCGGCGTATCGCGAATTTGTGTCGTGCGACGGCCAGCACTTCTACGAGCCGCGGCGCCGCGCCGAGTTTGAACGCGAGCGGCCGACGGGCGGCCAGTTCACGCACGAGCCCGGCGGCATCTTGGCCGACGAGATGGGTCTCGGCCTGTGTGGAAATCAACCAGTGCGTCGGGTGCTGGTCGAGCGGCGAGGAACCGGCATCGCCACGCCATCGAGCAGGCGTCGCGTCGATGGCGTGGAGGACGATGCGATGATTCAGCACGAACGCGCCGTAAAATTTTGATTTCCACACAGGTCTCGGCAAGACGGTCGTCGTGGCCGCGTTGCTGGTCACGCGGCCGCGCCCCGCCGAGGAGCTGCTCCCGGCCGGCCGCTGGCCCCAGTGCTTGATGCCGAAGAAGAACGACGAGCAGCGCTACCGGGCGGGGAAGGTGGCGGAGCGGCTCTTCGAGCTCGCCGGCGAGCGGTCGACGGTGCGCGGTTCGGGAAGACGCGACCGCGGTCCGGCTCGCCGCTCGGGAAGAGGCGCCGCGACGGCCACGGACGGGGGCCGCGCCTCGGAGCGCCTCGTCGAACATAAATTCAGACTCGAGATCGAGCAGCTGAATAGTAAGCCGGAGACGGTGGAGACGTCCAAGCACTTTTAGTGCGTCGACAAAAAACCTATTAGTGATGGCGTGATCAAGCGCGTGCCGATCAAGGCCACTCTGGTCGTCATGCCGGCGCTGCTCGTCCAGCAGTGGGTGACGGAGCTCGCGAAGCATGCTCCGTCACTCAAGGTGCTGGTCTACGAGGGCCCAGCCGACACGCGAGGCGGAAAAGGCGCGGGCATCTGTGCCAAGGACCTCGCGGAGCAGGACGTGGTATTGATGAACTTCGAGACGCTGCAGAAGGACCTCGGCGAGGAGAAGTTCGCGTCGCCCCTGTTACAAGTAGAGTGGTGGCGCATGATGACCGACGAAGCTCAGATGTGCAAGACCGGCGGGCCCGAGATGGCCGTCGAGCTCACGAAGATCAATAGATGGGCCGTCACCGGGACGCCTCTCTCGTCGAGCTTCGACGACCTCGTGTCGCAACTTTATTTCATTGAGTTGGAGCCTTTTATGACCGTCAAGCCGTGCTCTTGCGGCGTCCTTTATTATCTTCACGTTGTTCGCGTTGGCATCGCGTGCCACGTCCACGTCGCGTCGATGGCGCCACGTGTCACGCCATCGACGCGATGCCCCACGCAGCAAGGACGGGATCTGGGAAGGGCTACTAGACGACGCCATAAATCATCATCGGCCGCCGGCCATAGTTGCTCTCACCAACCTCGTGAGACTCGTCATGTGGAGGAACTTGAAGAAACACGTAGAAGACGAGGTGACGCTGCCCGAGCTCACCGTGTCAAACCAGAAGGTCCTCTCCTCGCCCGCCGAGAGTGTGCTGTACGCGCACCGTTATCATCTGTGTGGACATCAAAAATTTATGGCGCGTTCACGCCATCGACACGACGCCTGCTTGATAGGCGTGGTGCATTCACTGGTTGATTTCCACACAGGTTACCACGAGATGCGCGGCGTCCTCGAGAAAGAGCTCCGGGCGCGCAAGGCCAGAGGTGAGTTCGCGGCTCGGGAGGATGTAGATGAAGCCGCGAAGCTGCGAGCCGGCCGCGGCCTGCGTCTGCCGAAGGCGAAGGGCTCCGGCAACGCCGAATCACCGGAAGCCTGGACCTTAGCGTTAAGAGCGATGACCGATCACGCGGCTCTCTTCGGCGCGACCCCCACCTCCAAATGCCCCAAGACGCTCGACACCGACGAGGCGGCGCTCGAAGCCCTGCCATCCGCGCTCGCGGCCGTCGAGCAGACGCGCCTAGATGTGGCCCAGGCCTTCCTCAGCGTCGCGTTCTGTGTGGAAATCAACCAGTGCGTCGGGTGCACCCGACAATTCTTCACTAAGTCACTTCTCGGCGATGGCGCGGCCGTCCTGGATCCGTCGAGCGGTGAGGAACGACCACCACCACGCCATCGAGCAGGCGTCGCGTCGATGGCGTGGAGGACGACGCGACGATTCAGCACGAACGCCGTAAATTTTGATTTCCACACAGGTCGCGTTCGAAGCGATGTCCCCGGATAGACTGGAGGACTCCGACGACGAGGAGGACGACGGCTGGGGCCCGGGCTCTGATGATGATGAGTCGACCAAGAAGAAGAAGAAGCCGGTACGCTACGGGCCGCCCGACGAGGAGGCCGCGGCCAAGGCGCTCCGCAAGGCCCTACGTCATCTCGAGGATAGCGACGACAACAACATCGCGCTGTGGTACAGGTGGCTCGCGGGCCGCCAGCTCTCGGACCTCGAGGAGGACGAGGAGGACGGGCCCATCTTCACCGAGGCGAAGGCCGCGCTGGCGCGGCTCGTCAAGAACGTCACGAAGCCCGCTTCGCGCGTGGCGAAATGGCTAAAAGAGACGAAGGAGGAGCGGGCCCAGGAGAACGAGAAGCGACGCGCGGAGAATCGCCGGCGCATGGCCATGGGCGAGGACCGCGACGAGAGCGACGGCCTGCTGAACGCCGACCCGTTGAAAGACATTGAAAGCTACGTGAAGGGCGACGAAGCGATCTTGCCGCACAAGCGCTTCATCAAGCAAGCCCGCAAGACGCTGCAGCACTCCGCGAGGATCGCCGAGCGCGAGGTCATGGCCTTGCAGGCCGAGCGCTATTTGGAGACTGTGAAGCGCAACGCCGCGCGCTACGGCGAGTCGCTGGCGGCGTCGGGCCTCACGGGCGACCGCGAGTCCGTCGGCGTGCCGTCGCGCGACGAGGAGGAGCCGCCCAAGAAGAAGTCCAAGAAAGGCAAAAAGCCGGCGGCGCGCAAGCCGGCGGCGCGTAAGAAGCGGGGCCGCGCGGCGGCCGCAGAAAAGGAAGAGGAGTTGCCCGCGGACACGCGCCCGGAGCGGTTCTGCGACAGCGCCGAGCCGCTGCCCGCGGCCGAGACGTCGACGAAGCTGAAGAAACTCGTGGATGTTGTGAAGGGGCGAGACAGCAAGGTCGTCGTGTTCAGTCAGTTCCTTTCGGCGCTGGAGCTCGCGCAGCGCGCGCTCAAGACCTCTGGCTTAGCTTGCGTCGCTCCGGCGTTATTACCCGTGGAAGTCCGGCCGGCGGCGGTCTCGGCCTTCGTGAACGAGCCGGCCGTCGGCGTGTGCTTGCTGACTCTGGACCATGCTCAGTCGGCCGGCTTAACGCTGACGGTAGCTTCTACGGTCGTGCTCTTAGATCCCGTTCTCGACACATCCATCGAGGACCAGGCCATCGCGCGCGTCCATCGCATCGGCCAGTCGGTACCCGTGACGGCTATAAGGCTCTGCCAAGGCGACACCATCGACGAGACCATCGTCGCGCTCCAAGCTGCTAGAAGAGGAGCCAAGCGCCAGAAGGGCGCCTTATCGGCTACCGGACAAGTCCGCGTCGCCGAGCTGGTCAAGCTGTTCTCCGTCGAAGAGGAGCAGGTCTAGGCCACCACCCCGCGCCCCCCCAAGTCTAAGTGAACGTCTATGTGCATTCACTCCTAAATAGGACTTACCGATGACTCGAGACCGAATTGCCTTTTTTGGCCAATTTTTGCTACGACCCGCGCCGAGCATCTTTGGGTCTCGGAGCAATGTAGTACACAATCAAGCCGGTTAGCTGGCCGCCCGTCCCGTAACCGAAGTGCCTCAAACGCGAATTTATTTTATAAACCACCGGTCTGGGGCCAATCCAGTGCCCCACGTACGCACCGTCGTCCGCGGAGAACGGGCAAGTCGGTCGATTGTGAATAGAACAACGGCGTTATGGTCCATCTGGATGGTGTCGTCGCTGATACTCGCATACCTAGCTCTCGGGCTCATCTTCCTAGAAACGTGGGGTCGCGGATTCGTGGATTCGCGCGGCCCTAACGGAGCACCTAAAATAGATGAGTACGTGTTCATCCGGCCTAGATGGACTCTACCACTAACAAACGGAAGGAAACGAACATAAACTCGGGAGTTGTCTGGTAAAATTCTTTTCCAGCCCTCCGAGCGCGGGCCGTCGGCTCCGGTTCCGTCGATGGGAGGCGTGGTCATCGTTCCTCCCCGGGGATGCCTATGCCGAGTTAACTAGAATTAGGCTTCAGATAAACGTCGTGCAGTTCACGTAGACGCGGCGCCCGAACACCTTGTAGTCGTCGCTCGAGAGCGAGTCGAGCTTGTGGAGCGTGTACCGGTTGCAGTGCACGCAGAGCCAGCCGCGGAAGAGGAGCGAGAGCTCCAGGTGGTCGCGGTGGAGCGTCTTCTTCTTGAGGACCGTGATGTGGAAGGTGTCGCCCACGCGCGTCACCTTGAAGTAGTCGCCCCAGATGATTTCGTCGGCGCCGGGGAAGTGCTTGAAGAGCTGCTTGATGGCCGTCGTCGAGCAAAGTTCGCACGCGCCGGGCTTGGGCGGCGCCAACGCCAACGCGGCCTTCTCGGAGACTTTCAGCAGCTGGTAGCTGAAGAACGCCGCCCTCTCCAGCTGTAAGCGCCGGCGGCCGCCCTTTCTCATCGGCGCGCACCAGATCAGCAGCATCGCTATCCACGTGCGGGTCGTGTAGCCCTTGCCGGGCTTCGGGAACGGCACGTTGCACTCTACACAAATCTTCATGAGCGCCCGCACGTATCCGCGCGACGTCGTGCAGCGTTTGATGGGGTGGCCAATCTCGTGGTAGGCGTTGACGATCTCCTTGGGCAGCGAGCGGCTCTCCGGCGTCCAGTCGCCCAGCGTGTTGTTGCCTTGCAGGAAGGCCAGCGGTCCTTTCGGGCTCTTCGCCTTGTCGCGCTGCACGTCGCCCCACAGGGCGAAACCGTTCTTCGCGTCCACTTCCCGCTGCTTCTTCCGCAGCGCCTCCTCGTCGTCGTCGTCGTCGGCGACGGGCTCCTCCTCCTCCTCGTCCTCGTCCTCCTCGGTGGGATCCACCCGGAACTCCTTGTCGGCGTCCGCGCGGCCGCGCTTCGCCGGGCGCGGCATGGGCTTGTGCTTTCAAATTAGCAAAGTGGCTCTCTGGGCCACAGATCTATAATAGGTCACGGGCACGATACGTGTGCGAACCAGGAGATCGCTGGAGGGTACCGCTTCACCGCCAAGCGCTGTTGCGAGCGTAAACGCAGAATCGCGCGCGCTAAAAATGCGCCAAAAACCCGTCCAAACCTGATTTGTTTCTAACTCTTCTCCCCATGCGTGCGCGCCCGAACTCGCACGAGCGGTCGTTTACGTAACCATAACAAACAAACAACAATGATCGCGGCCTGACTGTCCAAATCAAGCCGCGGCGCCGATGCTATCGGCGCGCCGTCCTCGCCCGCGCGGCGGCGAGTAGCCTCCGTCGGCTGCGCCCGACACAAGCCCGTGACGCCGTGGCCCGCACGCGACTTCGTCGTCTTTCCCTGCCCCAGTACGCGGCTCCGGGACCCTCGACTGGGGCGCCAGGAGCTGGGGCAGCCCACATCCAGGCGCCATGGGCGAGCTGCTGCCCGCGCATCGTGGCGCTGGCGCCGCGTCGTGGTATCGTGCCCGGGCAGAGCATCGTGCTCGCCGACCAGCGCGCACGCGCGCGCGGCGGGCTCGTTTTTGCCAAGCTGTCCGCAGGCAATTTCAGAGAAGATTGCGTGGTGCGACGCCCACGCGCTTGCCCATCCATCAGCCAGTGACTATGAGCCCGCAGACCGCTTGATGGATCGCTCCAAGCAAAATAAATTCAAAGGCTGGGGCTCCGCCGAGCCTGGTTTTGCGTCGCTGTGCACGGCGCGAGAGGAGCCTCAGTAAGTTAACCGCGCGTTGGCAGCGCTCCATCAATACCTCAATTGACCGCTGCTGCAACCGCGCTACGAGTGGTGCCGCAGACGCCGCGTTTCAGCCGATCCCGCGCTGTGCAGTGGTTGCCACACGCGTGCCGAACGTAGATCGAGCACTCATCATCATGCGTCGGACCGGCGCCAACGCGTGGCCCGCGCGCGCGCCCAAAGCGCCGCTGCGCTTCGCCGACGAGGAGCAATATAATACGGAGCGCGCTCCGAGCCACATAGCCTACGGGGCGGCAGAGTCCGAATCGGACGACGACGACTCCGCCCAGCCCGGTGCGATTACAGGGGAGGAATTCGTCAAGCAGGAAAAGAAGGCGGCCGAGGCCGCGGGCATCTCCAGCAAGCGCGCGGACGCCCCAGTTTACAAGCACGACGCCAGGGCGAAGAAAGTGAGGCTGCCGCCCGGCTGGACGGCCTCGAAGCCCGACGAGGTCGAGCAGTATCTCAAGAACTTGACCAAACCTCAACTCAACGAGATCGTGAGGCTCCACGGCTACGCGTTCTTCTCCGGAGGGTGGGTGCAGAGTGTTGGACAGGCGTCCGCCAAAAAGTGGTTCCTCGACCACGGCCTCGTCGTCGGGCCCTGGCACAAGCCCGGCTTCCCGGGCATGTGCAACTCGGAGGCGCTGGCGCAGCAGCGGTTTCAGAAAGCGGCGCAGGAGGAGAACGACAAGCGCTCCGAGGACGCCACGTTTGACCGGCTGGGGGACCTGGGCCTGCCGAAGGAGGACCTGTCGCACGAGGCGCAGTACGCCTCACTCGTGAAGGACGAACTGGTCACGGAGGCCTTCCTGCGCGGCGAGGACATGCCGAAGGGCGCCGACGCCAAGACGAAGAAGGTAAATGAGTGGTTCCCGCACAAGGTCGCTGACTGCATCGACTGCGGGCGGCGCCGGAAGTTAGTGAGGGTCGAGCACGCCAACGGCGGGCCGGACGACGGCAAGCGGCGCAAGCCGCCGTGCCCCGAGGACAACAAGGGCGAGCGCGCGGCCTTCGACGTGTACGCGGACGCGTTGTACAAGATGGGCGAGGCTGCGACGTCGACTCTGTACGAGGACGTCATAGGCGTGCGGCTCGCCTACGCGCAGCGGCCTGGCGCGTCCGCCGAGGACAAGACGCTCCTCGCCATGGGGCGGCGCGCGGCGGCCGAGGCGACGGTCCTGGAGGACCGGGAGGCCCTCCGCTACGCGTCCTCGCTGCGGGGTCGACGCGTGTGCAACGACTTGGGCCCAACGCTCGAGGAGGCGCGCGCGGCGTTCGAGAAGAAGGAGGAGGCGCGCATGGCGGACGAACGGAGGAAGATGAGAGAGTGGGAGGCGAAGGCGGCGGAGCGGGCGGCTCTACCGCCCGTCAAGGTCGGGACGCGCGTCGTCATCAAGGAGACGGGCGCGCGCGGCGTCGTGCAGCGCACCACGGGCAGCGGCTCGTGGTACCACGTGCAGCTCGGCGGCGAGACCGACACTCGGGGCTACCGCCGGGGCCACCTCGAGATCGACACGCGCAAGCCGGCCGCGCGCAAGCCGGCCGCGCGCAAGCCGGCCGCGAAGAAGCGCAAGGCTGCGGAGCCGGCGCGCAAGCCGGCGTCGAAGAAGAAGAAGTCGCGGAAGTAGTCGCTCTGCGAAGTCGAGTTATAAGCTGCACTTGTGTTATTCCCTATCACTGGCACGGGTGCGGCCCGCGCGAGGCCACCACCCCCGCGCGCCTACCCGCGCCCCCCAAGTCTAACTTACGTGATATGTAAACACAACTATAGCTTAGAACGCCAGCGCTCCCCAAACGCCCCCCACAACGCCGGCCACACATCCCCCACGAACTCCTCCCGGCCGAGGCACGTCTTGCTTCGGTCCGGGAGAGCCGAGCGGACGACGCGCCAGACGTCCTCTTCGCTGCTCCCAACGACGTGGACCGACACGATCTGCGGAATGGCCGCGACGACCACGGGAAAGACGCCCTCCAAATTTGACAGCGCCTTGCCTTCGGCAGAAACGTCGGCACGCGGCGGGGCCTCGTCGACGACCGGTACCGACTCATCCTCCTCGGGCGTCGTCCAGGTAAACGTCCCGTCGGGGAGCGGCCGCGGCGCCGCGGCCCGCGAAATCGGTAGGACCGCCAGATTGACGGCGTCGACGATCGTAGGCTCGGCGGCCGTGGGTTGCGCGACGGAAATCGGCGCCTCCCGCAGCGCGCGCCTCCGCCCTTCGACGGCGTCGGCGTGCGACTGCACAAACTCCTCGAAGCTCAGGAAGCACCACGACGCCGCGACGGCGCGCCGCGCGAGGGCCAGCCACCGGAGCCGCGCCGCGGCGCCCCGGCCGCGCGCGACGACGGCGTTCGACGCCGCGGCGCCCCAGCACGCCGGCTCGGCCAGCTCGAGACCGCCCTGCGGCATCGCCCGCGCGAGCTCGTCGAGCACGGCCAGTTCGCCGCGCTTCGACAGGGTGAAGCCCTTCTCGCCTGTGTGGAAATCAACCAGTGAGTTAGTTATCCACGGGGACAACATCGCGTCGATGGCGTGGGGCACCCGAAATTTGGTTTCCACACAGGGAGGAACGGCGCCGCGCGGCGAGCCGCGCCGCGACCGTCGGCACGTCCGGCGCCGCGGCGTTCTTCGGCGTCAGCGCCGCGACGGCGCGCATCGCGGCGAAGACCGACGAGACCTTGGGTTGTGGGAGAGGCGCCGGCTCCGGCGGCGCCGTCGCGGGCGGCACGTTCTCGTCGACGACTACGGGCGCCTTTTCGTCGACGGGCGCGCGGGGGTCGAGGCGCCACGGCTGCCGGTTGTCCATCAGCCGCCGCCGCCGCAGCGTCGCGCGGCGGGTCGCAGCGCGCTCGTCCCAGGGCTCGGCGCCCTTGGCTTCCGCGACGTCGTCCTTGGCGTCGTCGTCAGAATCCTTCGCGTCCTTCGCGTCGGCCTTGGAGTCCGCCTCCTTGGCCTCTTGCTTCTTGGGCGCGGCGAAGAACGACGGGCCGGTGACGACGAGCGGCTCGCGCCTCGGCGGGTGCCAGCGACACTCAGCCCACGGCCGGTCCGCGTAGGCCCGGCCCGCATCTCTCAAAGCACGCGCCCAGGCGTCGCGCTTGTCGCCCGGCACTTCCGCCCGGCGCCCGAAGAGGCGCCGGAGCCGCCGCCAGTCGTCCTCCGAGACGTCTTTTATCATACTTCCGTGGGGCTTCTCGACCACGGGGCGGATTTCAACAGGATTTGATGCACATGGCAGCCTGACGGCCGCCGCCGCCAATCCCAAGACGCAGCGCGCGCCGCGCACGATGAGCGTCTTGCCCTTCAACGCGTCCTTAATCGCCTCGGTGCTCCCGTCGCGCGTGTCCACTTGTACGATGATACTGCCGTAGTCCGTCGGCGCCGCGCGGCAGGTCGTGCCCGGGCCGCCGGCTCCTACCGCGAGTTTGGACACCTGCCTTACTAACCCCTCGCAGAGCGCCTCCGGCTCACCGCCCTCCACCGATGCGGTAAAGAGGCAGCGCGCCTCGCCCACGAGCGTGTCCCAGGCTTTCAGCATGGTGCCCTAGGTGTGCATTGTTGGTAGGCGTGTTGTCGTGGCTGCCCGCTGTTCCGTTTTGTCGTCTAGGAGCCTCCAAATGCGCTGCGCTCAACGATTGTCCTCGTGAGGATGCGAGTTGCCGCCGTAGCCTTCGCACCACTCATCCTGCACCGGAGAGCGTATGTGTTACGTGGCTAGGACTCGTGCGCCAAAGTCGAATGCTAGTGACTCTGTGACGCTATTAATGCCCACACGAGCGCAAAGGTCGAGGCGCATCACTAAGCGAGCAGCACGACGATCGTACGCTTCAGCGTGGTCTTCAAGAGGCTCTTCAAGCGAACGCCTCAAAGCGAACTGTGAACTTGGCTCTCAGGTTGTGTAATTACAGCACATCGCACACAGCTCACAAATCGCAAGCATGCGCATCCTCATTGCGCTGCTGAGCAGTGGCGCCGCCACGGCGCTCTCCGCGATGACGGCGCGTCCCAGCGCGTCGGCCCGGACCAACCTCCTACAAGTCCTCGCGGACGTCGTGCCGAGCGACCGCTTCAGCGCGCCGCCGGACGGCGCGAAGCGCATCGAGGAGGCGGTCGCCGCGCTCGAGAAGGCCGCGACCGACGACGAGAAGCCGTCGTTCCCGCGGGACCTCATGGTCATCGACGGGGACTGGGATTTGAGATTCACGAACAACGCGCCGCCGCCGCCGCCGGACTGGGTGCCGTTCGACACGTCCGGTTTGGCGGGCCGCGACGTCGTCCAGAAAATTGATGTGATGGGCCGCCGCGTCAAGAACTGCGTGACCGTGGCGCCGTGGCCCTCGGCCGTGCTCGACGGCCTCGACGGCCTGCCGCTCATCGGAGCGCCCCTGGCGGCCCTGTCGAAGGCGTCGGTCGCGCTGAGCCTGGACCACAGCTTCTCGGTGGACGGCGACGGCTCGACGCCCGGCACAAGGAAAGCCGCCGGCACGAACCGGGTGAATATTGTGTTCGAACGTTTAGACCTGCGTGGAATCAAATTTCGGGTGCCCCACAACCTAACTCACTGGTCGATTTCCAGGTCTAGACAGGACGCTCACCGGCCTCGACCGAGACAAAGCGCCGGAATTCGCGGAGCTCTTGCCACAAGCAGTGTATAAATCAACTTTCACGGAGGCGACGTCTGCTCGATGGCGTGGCGGTGTGCATCTCTCACCGCTCGATTCAGTCAGCAACACTGGTTGATTTGCGATTTGCACACAGACCAGAAGAGACGGGCTACGACGTCCCTGAGATTGCGAGAGCAGCCAACGCCGCCTTCGCGGCGACGGGCCTGGACGGCTCGGCGTTCGATACTACCTATTGCGACGAGACTCTCAGAATCTCGCGCGGCGGCAACCCGCTGCGGGGCGAGCTCCGCGTGTTTACGCGTGTGGCGGCGCCGGCCCCGCCGTCTCCGGAGGTGGTAGACGAGGACAGGTATATGGTCTCTCCCGACATGGAAGGGGACCCGGAGGACAGCATGCCGAGCGACTAGCTCCGCTTTGTGTAAATTGATTTCGTGGTTACGTAGATACGCCGAGCGCTCGGACGGTGCAGTGCAGCGACGCGTCGTCGAGCCACGCGTAGCGGCCGGGCAGCAGCGCGTCGACCGCCGAGCGGAATTGCGCAACGAGCTCCCGAAGCTCTGAGCCTCCGATAAACGCCACGAGCGTCTGTCCGGCGGGTGAAGACTCGCGGTACGAGCCGATGCGGGAGCCCGGCGCGTTGACGCGCGGGAGATAAGTCTCCAAATCCGACCACTCGTCCAGCACGCCGCGGACGCGTGCTTGCTCCGCATCCGACGGCTCGCCGTCATCGACGGCCGACCCGAGGGCCACATCGCTGCGCTCGCGGACCGATTCGAGCCCGCGCTGGTCGTACGACACGAAGCTCAGGCGCTCGACAGGCACGCGCAGGCTCAGCTTCGAGGCGTGCTCCTCGCACAGCGCCCGCAGGCGCGTCAATTCCGCCAACGAGAGCGGAGGGGCGTCGTCCTGCAGCGCCGCCAGCGTCGTCTTCGGCCACCGCGAGCCGAAGTTCTCCGGGGGCAGAGCGTCTTCCTCGTTGAGCCTGGCTTTGATGCCGGCCAACACGGGCGGAAAGCCCTCGTAGACAAGCGTCAGCACGCCGTTCCACGCGACAAAATACGTCTGCGGCCGGAGGACGCAGCTGTCGCCCCGCACGAGCGCCCGCAGCCGCGACTCGTCGAACGCCATTTAGTCCCGCTTCAGTCCGAGCACGTAGGTGCCCATCAAGCGCGGCGGCGAGAAACCAGTGACGGCGCACTGCACCAGCATGAACGAGACGAAGAAGGACATGTAGACAAATTTTGGGGAGACGGTGTGCGTCAGGTAGGCGGCGAGGCCGCACATTATTCCACCCATGAGGTGCTCAAACGCTGGAATTGTTAGCTTGCCGCCGCGCACGCACGCCGACGGGGGCACGAGGATGTCGAGGAGGCTCTTCGGCATTTTGCCACCGGAGAGCACCTGCGCTGTGTGCCGCCTAAACCCTTTCTGAAGCCGTGATCGGTGTGCACTCGTTAAAACGGCTCCTCAGCAACTCGCAACCGACTCTTGGGTACTCAGCGCGCGCACTGTGAGACTTTGGTGGCTCTTTTGGCCGATCTGATATCTAACTCGCGGGTTTTCTGTCCGGCGCGGCGAAGGGTAGAAGCGTACGAAGGAGGTGTTCAAGCCGCCGTCGGGACATCTGCGCTGTATATTTCGGAGGAGGACTGGGAGGAGGGCGAGATGTTGGGGCTCGCAAAACCCCAGCCACTGGCGCATCGGCAGCCCTGCCACCGCTCGACCCCCGGATAATGAGCCCTTCACGCCGCCGAAGCGCCGGCGTAGGCTAGTAAGAAAAAGGTAAACACTGGCGCTTCGAGGCGAGACCTCGGCTCGGCCAGGCTCGATATTGTGCTGCCCATCGCAGCGCAAAGGCAAGGAAGAGCCAAGCGCAGCCTCTATCCACCCTCACGCGGTGCCAGGGGCAGCCTCGGGCGACGAAGAGCGACCGCGCGCGCGCGCGCACGCAAGCAGCCATGAACCCCTTCGCGGCGGACAACACAAGCGACAGCGACGACGAGACAACTTTATTAGTAGAGGAGACCGGCGTCATCTACGGCGGCGAGGCGGCCCGGCCCAAGCGACGGAAGCCGAGGACCTGCGACCGCGTGGCCATCGGCGTCGCCGTCGCGAGCTTGCTGGGCTTCGCGGCCGTGCGCCTCGCCCCGTCCACAAAACCGGCGACGAACTACGCCGCGCAGATTAACAGGGAGACGCTCCAGTGGCGCGCGACGAACGACTATGTGGAGACTTTAGGCGTGATTGGGGCGGACTACGCGTGGACCTCTCAAGACACGCAAATCATCGACGCCTGGCGGCCCTTCCAATTATATTTAGATGGCCACACGTCGGGCACGGTCGTCTGGACTCTGACCGCCGCCGACGGTTCTACCATTACCAAGTATGGTAATGGTGTATCGCATGAAATTCAAGAAGTCGGCGACTTTGTAGTGAAAGGCACGGCCATGGACGCCCAGGGCTACGTCGAGGGCTACTCCGAGGGCAAGCTCCTCGTAAGATATGTCAGGAGAGAAATCCGCGACCTGACGCAAGAAGATAGGAACAGATATTTGGATGCCTTGGTGAAGATGTGGGAGATCGAAGGCGTGGACGGGAGGCGGAAGTACTCGTCGAAATATATATCTTCCAACGAATTACTGGCGTTGCACGGCACGAACAGCGCTCTGAGGGACAACGACCACTTTCACAACGGCGCCGGGTTCCTGGCCCAGCATTTGCGCCTGGACACGATGGTCCTCGAGAGCGTGCAGTCGATCGACCCGCGCGTGTCGACGCCCTACTGGGACTGGACGATCGAGATGGCCATGGTCGACGGCGGCGAGCTCGAGTCGCCCTTCGAGTCGCCGCTCTGGACGGCCGAGTGGTTCGGGAGTTTGAATTATGCTGAGGATCCGGTCGTCGTCGGCCCGCACTACGGGTTGTCTACAACAGAATTCTTCGACAAGGGCTTCGAGAACTGGGCGATCCAGGACGGCCGCTGGGCCTTCGCCAAGGTCCGGAAATTCAAGGACACGGATCCGGACCGGGACATGTACCCCCGCAACAGTTACGGCTTCCTGCGATCCCCGTGGAACAACAACCCGTCGCCGTATGTTACAAGGGTCAACTTCGCGTACGTCAAGGATGCTGTGGATGCGGGCCTGTCGCCGGCGAAGTCCTGGCCGACGTGCTCGGACTTATATGACTTCATCCAGCCGGCGACGACGGCCGTGGCCTTCATGACGCATCTGGAAGATATGACGGTCCACGCGAACATCCACCAGTGTTTAGGGGGGACGATCTTCGACGTCGATAGCACGCAAAACTTGTTGGACGCCTTTGAGTCGGTTAATGTGGAAGGATATACTTCCTGCTACCAGACGGTCAGTGAAAGGCACATGTGGCGCATGTACCTGAGCGACTTCCCGGACCAGTGTGACGATCCCCATTCCGACGGTGTCCTGAACTGCCAGCTCACGTGCAAGGACCTGCCGGACGACGACGAGCAACTCGAAAAGATCGGAGCGTGGGCCGTGGACCACTACGCGTGCTGGAACGTCCAGGGCGGCGACTCTTCCGTAACCTATGCGGACCAAGCGTCCTCGGCTTCCCTCAAACGCGTGGGGCGGGCCATCTGCTCGACGACGTTCATCAAGGGCGAGCACCTCGAGGCCTCGGGCACGACGGACCCGTCGTTCTTCATCGTGCACCCCTCTTTAGCTAGATACTACCAGATGAAGCGCATCATGGCGCTCCAGGAGCCGGCGACTTATGTGGATGACTGGGCGCGCGCCGACCACGGCGAGGGCTCGTGCCTGCCGGCGACGGGCGAGTGCTTGGTGTCTTCCTCGAAGGACCAGCCGTCCGAAGAGTGCTGCGCGGGCCACTACCGCTACAGTACCTTCTTCAAGGACAAGATGCGCACGCCGGCGGCCGGGGACACGCCCACCAATGAAGCGGTTATTGATGCGGCGCACCCGGCGAACATGGGCCTGGACAACTTGGTGTTCCAGCACCTGCGCTTCGACCACTGCGAGGAGGACTTCGCCGCGCTCCTGGATCCTCATTCCAGAAATGAAGCGCCGCTCGACGGCTATTTGTATGATGACCAGAGCGGCCCCTCGGCGCCGTGGGGCGTGAACGCGCAGGACGGCCACAAGCAGAACTGGGGCCGCCCGGCGAAGCCCACGGGCGCGACGGCGCCCTGGGGCAGCAACGCCCAGGACGGCCACAAGGAGGCCTGGGGCCGCGAGGCCAAGCCCCACTACCCGGACGCCGAGCCGGGGTCGATGAACGGCGCGCCGCCCGTGGCCGACGACGAGGCCGACGCGTACGCGCACGTACAGGGCATGCTGAGTTAAAATCGTATATATTAATTGAAGACGGGGTGGGGGTATCGACTAGCGAGGGTATGCGGCCGCACGAAGGCGGGCCCAGCCCCATCAGACCTCTGTGACGACCGTCGAGACGAGGTCGCGCATCTTGACGAGCTGAGAGGGCTTCGCGAAGCCCGCCCGGGCGAAGAGCGCTGCGTACTCCTCCCAGGTGCGCTCGCCCGCTCCCGGCGGGTTGGCGGCCATCATGTTGATGTCCATCATGCGCTTCGACATCTCCATGTTGGCGCCGTCGACGCCGAGGATGAAGTCGGTCGTGACGATCCGAGAGCCCTCCTTGGCCACCGCCTTGATCGCCGAGAGGATCGAGACGCACTCCTCGTCGGCCCAGTCGTGGAGGATGAACTTGAGGTAGAAGGCGTCGCAGCTGGACAGCGCGGCGGGCAGCGGCTCGAGGAAGCTGCCGCCGACCGTCGACACGCGGTCGGAGACCCCTAGTTCCGCGAGCACCTCCTTTGTGCTGCTCGCGACGACCTTAGGCTGGTCGAAGACGATCCCTTTGAGCTTCGGGTAGTGCTTCACCATCGCGGCCGTCATGTGGCCGGCGCCGCCGCCGATGTCGCAGACAAGGGCGTCCTCCTTGGGTGGCGCCCAGTCGACGAGGAGCGCTCCGGAGACGTCGGCGTTCAGGCTGCGCATGGCGGCGTCGAATTGGCGCATCTGCGTCGCGCGGCTCGGCTCGTTGTGCCACGCCCACCACTCCTTGCCGAAGGCCTCCTTGAAGCCTGATTGGCCCGACGAGAGGCTCTTCGTGCCGGCCGCCCTCCACGCCTTCGTGGTCTCCTCGTTGATCATCAACATAAATGAGCGGAGGCTCCCGGGATGCTCCGAGCGCAGCATGTCGCCCGCGGGCGTGAGCGAGTACTTGCCCTGCGCGTCCGTGCTCAGGAGCTTGATGCCCTCGCCTGTGTGGACCCCGACGAGTGATTGTCGGCCGCGCGTCAACGGCGTGGACAGGACCGAGAAGACACAGACAACGTGCCCGCGCGCATCATCCGGCAGAGAAAGTCCGGGACGAGCTTGAGCTTCGCAGCCACGTCCTCGCAGGCGACGCCGCCCTCCGCACCGACCTCGTCGATGGCACCACTCTTGGTGAGCGAGTACGAAATCTCTGACTGCCAGTACGCGGTCGCGAGGGTCTTCACCTGGACCGGCGGCGGGCGCGTGGCCACGGCTGCCGCCTCGAAGAACTCGTTCAGCGCGATGGCGACGCGGAATATGGGCCACGGCGGGAGCAGTGCCGTGGGACTGCCCGGCGGCGTCGTGGGAGGTGTGACACCAGCGGGCGAGGTGCCAATCAAGTAGCCGACTAGCACCGCGACGAGCGCGACGACAATGGTGAGGCGCCCCATTGCCGATTGTTGCAACTATGGCAGCGATTAACCCCGCTCAAAACCCCGAAAATCTCAGACTCTTGCTAGTGCCTCACAACGCTAGCTGCGTGATGAACTTCACAATAATTTACCCTTGCGTCTGACTATCAGGCGGCGGCGGCGGCGGCGGAGGAGGCGGCGGGACGACGTTCTGCCGCAGCCACCGGTTTTTCCGGCCCGCGCTCTCGGCCTTGACGTACTCCGCGCCTCTACTCAATACGCCCTGGATGCCGCCGGCGAGGAGCTTCTTCTGCGCCGCCGTCGCGTTCCCCCATTCGGGTACTGAGCCCAGGATCCATTCCCGGATCTCCTTCGTCTCGACGCCCTCCGGCCGGCCGAGCTCCGGCGCCGCGAAGGCCAGGGCCACGAGCTCCGCGTAGGTCGGGCCGGCGGGCTTTGTCTCGCCGCCCGACTGCACGACGACGGACGTCGGCTCGGGCGGCGGCGGGACGAACAGCGGCGGCGGCACGGCGACGGGCGGCGGTGGCGGCGGCGGCGGGGGCGCCGCCACGGTAGAAGCGGCAATGACGGGCTCGCCCTCGCCGCCGGGCAGGACGAAGTAGCACGCGCAGGGGCCGAACTTGATCGCCGACTTGTGAAAAAGGTCGACCGTCTTCCCCTTTTCCCAGAACTTGGTGTCCACCACCACACCATTCTTCGAGTCGACATAAAGCTGCCATTGGTCCCTATCTGGATCCCAGCTGATCGTCAGGTGCCGTCTGCTGACAGATTTGCTGTGGCACGTGCCCATGTGGGGGCCGAGGGACTCGTCGGCGGGGTACGCGTCCGCCCGCCCCAGGAACACCTTCGTGTGCGTGATATCCAAGTTTATGTCTGGCAACCTGTGTGGAAATCAACCAGTGCGTCGGGTGCGTTCATTTCTCGGCGATGACGCGGCCGTCCTGGCTCGGTCGAGCGGTGAGGAACCGGCATCACCACGCCATCGAGCAGGCGTCGCGTCGATGGCGTGGAGGACGACGCGATGATTCAGCACGAACGCGCCGTAAAATTTTGATTTCCACACAGCCGGCAACTCTTCGTCGTCGTCGTTGTCGGCGTAGAGGGTCTTGCCCTGGATCTTGGCGAAGATGGGCATTGCCTTACGGTTTCTGTGGTGCGCTGACGATCGATGCGACCACGCTTGAGTATTCACGACGACTGCTGCTGCGGCCTGACCGGGCTGCTGCAGAGATGGTGCTGGAGATCGTGCTCTCTGCTGCTCGGCTGGCGCGGTGCCTCAGCACAACGACGCAGCGATGCTGTCGCTTGCTTTTCGTGATTTCTCCGGCGCTCGGTTGCCTGCCGCGGCCCTGTTTAGGCTGCAGAGCCTGCGCCGCGCTTTCTAGTGTCTTACATACCGCTAGCTAATCCAGACTTCAGCGCACGCGCACGGCCGACAACAGGGCGAGCTCGCAACGTTCAAGCAGCGCTACTCGGTCTACTTGAACAGATCTTTGCGAAGAAGCACCCATAACTCTCCGGAAGGAGTGAAACACAGTGCCACCTCTGAGCAGCCATGCCCTTCCGCACGCTGTTCCCAGCACTCCTAGCCGCAGCGCTCGCGTTTCACCCGAAACTGCGACCGCGCACGCCGTCGCTGCGCCGCGGCACCAACGACGATCTCGCTGCATTCAGCCTCAACGACCTCAAGACGCTCGCGGCCGCGCGCGGCATCGACGTGTCGGGCATGACCGAGAAGGCCCAGGTGGCCGAAGCGCTGAAGGCGCCGCGGACGCCGCCGCCGGCGGAGGACGAGACACCAAGCGACCCGGCCGCCGCCACAACTGACGAGGTCCCGTTCGACCCGCTCGCGGCGCTGATCGGATCGGAGGGCGTGGCGCTCGACGGCTCGGCCTTCGAGGCCGCGGCCGATCAACCAATGGACGGCCTGGACTTCGACCCGCGCGTGTCGCCGCACGCGTACGAGGCGGCGCCCGCTTCCGTGGGAATAATCATCGTGGACCACGGCTCCAAGGTCGCGGCGGCGAACGAGCGGCTGGAGAGGCTCTGCGAGGGCTACGCGACGACGCGGGCGCCGAAGCACTGGATCGTGCGGCCGGCGCACATGGAGCTCGCGTCGCCGTCGATAGGCGAGGCCTTCGACGCGTTGGTGGAGGCGGGCTGCTCCACGATCGTGTGCCACCCCTTCTTTTTGTCGCAGGGGCGGCACGTCCGGGAGGACGTGCCGGCGCTGCTGGACGAGGCGGCGAGTCGGCACAATATTCCGTACTCGCTGACGCCGCCGCTGGGCGAAGCGCCGGCGCTCCTCGACCTTGTCCATGACGTCGTTTCGGCGGGCGTCAAGGACGCGACGCCCGACGCGGACGACGGCGGCTTCGGTTTTTTTGGCGCGATCGCCGAGATGATCGAGGCAGAGAATGCGCGATAAGTATATGTAGTATCATTCCAAGCCATCGACGCGACGTTGTCTCCGTGGCCGCGTCGCCTCGATGGCGTGGAGGCTCACGAAGGCCCACGCAATATTTCATACAACACGCATCCTTACATCCGCACCCCGAAGTCGTAGAACGACACGACCTCCTCATCGCACGCCGCCCGCCATTCCTCCACCGATCGTGGCGACGGCGCAGATGACGGCGCGGCGCATGTGATCACGGCGCAGGCCGGCGCCTCCTTCCGCACGACGACGTCGACGAAGCCCGCCTCCACAAATAACTTTTCGAGTTCGTCGACGGTGAAGAAGCGGTAGCCGCGGTCGCGCACGGCCTTCGGTAATGAATCAGTCCCCATGGCGCCGACGAGGAACGTCGTCGCGAAGAACGGCGCGCCCGGCTTGAGCACGCGGCGGATCTCCTCGAGGCCCGCCTCGAGCTGGACCCAGCAGTGCAGCGCCGCGCCGGCGTGCACGGCACTTAATGATTGGGTGTTGAAGGGGAGCTGCGCCACGTCGACCCGGAACAGCTCCACGCTCAGGTCGGCCTCATCCAGCCGTCTTTTGGTTTCCACCAGCATGCTCTCGGAGTAGTCCGCGGCGATGACGCGCGTGTCGGGGTGCTTGGCCTTGGCTAGGCGGCGCGTGAAGAGGCCCGTGCCGCAGGACATGTCCAGCACGACGTCCGCGCCCGGGCCGCTCAGCGCGTCGCCGAACAGCTCCTCGACCTCCGCAAATTCCTCGTCCGCGCCCGGGAAGCCGCTCCGCTTGAAGCTGTCGCGCCACCCGCGCTCGTACAGGAACGACACGAAGGGGTTGCGGAACGTGTCCTCCTGCACGCGCTGGGCGGCTGTTCGGCCGATGATCTGTTCCCGCAATTCGTCGGCGATCTCGCGCGCCGTCCGCGGTCTCTTGGCTTCCGCGAGGTCGACGAAGCCGAAGCGCGTGCCGTACGTCGCCGTCGGCGACTGGTACGTTTTCTTCGTGACACCGTTGAAGTATTGGGCTTTCACTGCCAGCGGCTCTTTGCTCTGGGGATCGCATAGCAGCTCATCTTTTGACGGCTGGAGCCTGCTCCTGAGCCTCTGCTTGGGTGTCGTTGTTGTGAGTGCCGAAGCTGTCGCGAGGATAGCTGCCGCGGCGAGACGGTGGCTTGGCATCATCGTGCCGTCTCCAGGCTTGAGGATATTAGCCTGACAGCGCAATACCTCGATGAGCTGTTCTAGAACCTAGGTAAACATGCTAGCGAATTAAGACACGCGCTCCTAGCACCGTAACATCGACATTACACGCGCTCCAGCCGCCTCAACCGACTCCGCGGGTCGAACGGCCACCCCAGCCGCTCGGCCGCGGCGACGGCGTCCGCCTCGACGACGGGCCGCGATGAAAACACGCGGTTGCCCTGGTAGCGCACGGGCGCCGCGAGCAGCGCGCCGAAAGCTGATTGGTAGGCGCGCGCCGCGCGATCCGCGCGCGCGTCCTCGTCGGCGCTCCCCACGTGGAAGTTCGCCACGAAGACGCCGTCGTCCGCCAACGCATTAGCAATACCGTCGGCGAAGGCGCGGTCGCAGAACGGCCGCGGCACGTTGTTCGTATCATCATAGACGTCGAGCGCGATCAGATCGTAAGTACCGGGCGCTATGGAAGCGTGGTCCAGGGCGTCGCCGATCCTCACGTCGACACCTTCCAAACCGAGGTACTCGCGCGCCAGCTCCGCCGCGCCGCCGTCGAGCTCGACCGCGACGTAGTCCGCGTTCTCATGCAGTAACAGAGAAGGCAGGGTCCCGGCCCCGAGGCCAAGAAACAACGCCTTCGTTGGCAGCGCGCCCCGCCTGGCGCCAACCGCGCAGCACGCCATTGTCTTGATGTACTCGTTGGCTATAACAGAATGCCGCGGCGCATTTTCCACAGGGTCCCAGGCCGTGACGCTCTGGATGGACCCGTGGCGCAGGAGCACGCGCCAATTGTTATTGGCTCGGCTCTCGACAATGGCCGAGCCCCTTCTCCCGAGCTCGGCGCCGCGGCCGAGCGCCCACGCGTCGTAGACGCTTTTCCATCTTCCTGGATCGCTCTGGTCCCAGTCGCTCGCCGCGCCGTCCTCGTCCAGCGCGTTGAGCGCCAGCGCCGCCGCGCCGGCCGCGACGAGCGGCGCCGCGGCGACGGCCCAGCGTGATGGGCCCTCCACTGCCGCTATTATTTCCGTCGGTGCCAGGGCGGTCGCGGTGACGGCGCAGAGCGCACAGAGGCTACGTTTTGCCATTGCAGCTTTTGCTGCTGTGTGCAGTCGGCTATGCTGGGCCGTAGATTGCGCAAGCGATGCAGACGATCTGCAGTATGGCTGCCAGCCGTCACGTTCCCAATCGCTGCGTTCTGGGAGTGGTGTTTAAGCGGAGTTTGGTGCCTGCATTTGCAGCATGGCCAGAGAGTTGACAGTGAGACGCCCTGCCAAAACCGTCCCGAACTTCGACTCATCCGTCTTCCAGCTCTCCCAAGGTTGCGTGGACGTCGCTACGCGTACTGACGCGCGCTAAAAAAATCGGCCTGGTGAAGTGCGTCGAGGCCGTGTTTGAGGTGCTTGCGCGACGCTCCTAAGGCATCACTGCAGCATCGAAGCAGTCCATTGGCATCTACCGCATCAGTGCCGCAAGCGCTGCAAGCTGCGTCGACGTCGCAACGCGTCCTTGACGATAAAAAAGCCTAGCAGTCAATTGCACCTGTGCCGTGTCTTGCCGTCGCCGCGCGGCATACCTACGGCTCTCTGCAGCCTCAAAGCAGTACATATTCATCAAAGGATAAGCCTCGAACGGCGCAGCACGTATCACATCATGCCTCGACCAAGACGACGAGCCCTGCTCTGCGTCACCCTGCACGCCGCCCTGGCGCTCGCGCCCGCGCCAACGCGACGGAGGCCGGCGACGCGCCTGCACGCCGCGACCCTGGGCCCGCCGCGCGTCAAGGCCTCGGGCTACGCGCGCAAGCTCGCCAAGGACTTCGGGGTCGACCTCCACAGCGTCACGGGCACGGGCCCGGGTGGGAGAATTGTGGCGCGAGATGTGGAAGGAGCCAAGGGTAGTAATTGGGTGGCGACGCCGGGCGCCACAACAGCCACCCCGAAGGCCCAGAAGCTCGCAAAGAAGGAAGCTGTGGATTTGTCTACCGTAGCCGCGACGGGAAGGTTCGGCCGCGTCACGGAGGACGACGTGAAGCGGGCCCTGGGCACGCTGACGGAAGCTTTGGGCATCCAGCAGGGCGCGACCATTGATGTGTACCCTCAACTAGGTAGTGTACCGATGACGGGCATGCAGCAGGCCATCGCGGCGAACATGGAGAAGACCTTGGATGTGCCCGTGTTCCGCGTGTCCAAGACCATTGCTACGGATGCCTTTGATGACCTGTATCGCAAGCTCAAGCCCGAGGGCGTCACCGTGTCCGCCTTACTCGCCAAGGCCGTCGCCGTCTCGTTGAAGAAGCACCCGTTGATAAACGCGGCCTACGGTCCATCAGGTACGATTGAGTACAACGCCCATATCAACGTCGCGCAAGCGGTCGCGCTCGAAGGCGGCTTGATTACACCGACCCTGAAAGATGCGGACTCCACGTCGTTAACAGATTTATCGGCGAACTGGAAGGAGCTCGTGGGCAAAGCGAGGTCCGGCTCATTGGCTCCCGACGAGTACCAGAGCGGTACCTTTACTATTAGCAATCTGGGGATGATGGCCGTCGACAAGTTCGCGGCGATCCTGCCGCCGGGCCAAGGTGCCATCCTAGCGGTCGCGTCGGCGAAACCGCAGATCGTCCACCTGCCGAAAGCTTTGACCGGTATGGGCATCGAGAAACGCATGATGGTCACGCTGACCTGCGACCACCGCATCATCAGCGGCGCCGACGCGGCGCTCTTCCTCCGGGACCTGCAGCAGGCGATCGAGTCGCCGGGGGCGCTGGCTAAGTAGTTATGTCGACTCGGCGACGGCGTGCGCGCACCTTGTAAAACCTGTTTTGCTGGTGGTGGCGCGTCGTGCGTCGCGTACGCGCTTTGCGCTACGAGTCTGCGTGGCCTCTGGTCATATAATTTGCGCTGTGAAATTTCCCTTACGCATCAATCGGTCCTGCCGGCGGCGGCGGTCCCAAACCCGGAGCAAAAAGTCAATAAGTCAGCTTTAAGCCAAAAGTAGAGGATGGATCAAAATGCGTTTGCGGACCCTCTGAGCGGCAGTGACAGTGACAGTGATGATATCTTTAGCTATAACGAACGGGAGCAACTACCGATGGTTGTCGCCAGTAAATCGGGCGACGTGGACGCCCTGCGCCGCGCCTTGGCGGCCGGCGGAGATCCCGAGACGCTAGATGGTGAGGGTTGGACCCCGATCATGAATGCGTGTTATGTAGGAGACCACTCTGAAATGGTGTCAATTCTGTTGGACGCGGGGGCGGATCCGAATGGAAGCGGTTTATATAATTGGACAACCAATCTTCACATGGCAGCAAACATGGGCAGAGTGGAATGCACCGCGTTGTTGCTCAGCGCTGGCGCCTCCGTCCACGCCGTATCAAAAGATGAAGATTGTAGATCACCGGCAGAAGATTTATCGGATTGTAGATGCCGGCGCATACTAGCCCTGCTTCTGCGCGCCGGCTCCCCGATACCGCGGCTTTCGTTTGGTTCGGTAGCTGAAGGACGGTCAACCTGGCTGTGCAACGGTGAGACTCCGTATAACGCGCAAAACTACCCAATTATATGTGAATACCGCGCCAAGGTCGTCGCGGCGGGCAGTTGGGCGGCATACGAGCGCGCTCACCGCGCGCGCCTCACGAAGGTCCTGGAACCGAAATTCCCCCAGATCCCCGCGGAGATCGTGCCCACGATCGTCGCGTTCGCCTTCCACACGGGCTGGTACTAGAATGGACTAACACATCAGTTATACACGAGTACTTGCCGCCATTTTCGATGCGCCGACGCGATCCAAAAAACCCGTGGCGAGGCGTACGTGACCTGCTTTGCGGCGGATATCTGTGGCTCACAGGCAAAGCATTGCTCGAATAGTTGCATTAGAAAAGAGCTGCTATCATATACGACCACTGCAGCAACTCGTGTGCAGCGCGGTAGCCTACAAGAGGCAAACAAGCCACTGCAATATCTGTAGTAGCAGTCGCATCACTGCCGCAGCGATCAAATGATGCGTCACGCACTGCTGCTGCTCGGCGCCACGCAAGCCTTCGTGCTGCCCGTGCAGTCCAAGCCGTCACGCGTCGCGCTCAACGTTGCAACCACACCGATCGAAGGGATGCGCCCTGGAACCTCGGGACTGAGAAAGAGGACCAAGGTCTGGGAGACGACGGAACATTACGTGGAGAACTTCGCGCAGTCCATCGTCGAGGGCTGGCGCGACGTCGGCGGCTTTCCCGCGAGTGGTAGTGGTACCATGGTCGTCGGAGGAGACGGCCGCTACTTCAACAAAGAAGCGATCCAGACCTTCCTCAAAGTCTTAGCGGGGAACGGCGTTAAAACGATAGTGGTGCCGGTGCACGGCGTCGTCAGCACGCCCGGAGCATCGGCGTTGGTACGACGTAATAAAGCGGATGGCGCGATCCTCATGACGGCGTCGCACAACCCCGGCGGGCCCGACGCCGACTTTGGCGTCAAGTTCAACACGGGCCCCGACGGCGCCCCTGCTAAAGAATTTTTGACCGAAGCGGTGTATGAGAAATCTACATCCATCAGTTCCTATAATATGGTGGATGGTACCGTAGACATCACGACGGTCGGTACCTATACGCTAGGAGACAGCACAGTTCAGGTAATAGACGCCTTAGATGACTACGTGGCGCAACTCCAGGAATGTTTCGACTTCGAGAAATTACGAAACTTCATAAAAAAGAAGCCCTCACTGTTATTCGATGCGATGCACGGCGCCGCGGGCCCGGCCGCTCTCAGAGTCATGTGCCAAGAATTAGGCGTACCCAAATCCCAACTCTATAGATGCGACCCGCGCCCGGACTTCGGGGGCTGTCACCCGGACCCAAATCTCAAGTGGGCCTCGGAGTTGGTGCGGCGAGCGTCGCTCAATGAAGATGGTTCACCGGGCGACTCCCTAGGGGAAGAATTGGCGTTAGGCGTGGCGTTCGACGGTGACGGAGATAGGAACATGATCGTCGGCCACCGTTTTTTCGCTTCTCCTTCTGATTCGTTGGCCGTGTTGGCGGCGCAGGCGAAGTCCATCAAGTGGTTTAAGGATCGAGGTGGTTTAGCTGCATGCGCTAGGTCGATGCCTACGTCACGTGCTCTCGATCGCGTCGCAGAAAAACAGTCCATCGAATGCTACGAGACGCCAACCGGCTGGAAGTTCTTCGGCAACTTGATGGAATTGAAACAACCCTTTCTGTGTGGAGAAGAGTCGTTCGGCACGGGGGCCGACCATGTGAGGGAAAAAGATGGCTTGTGGGCGGCGCTAGCGTGGTTGTCGGTGTTAGCTGACAATGAAGGCATGAGCGTGGGCGATGTGGTGAAGCAACACTGGAAGGAGTACGGCCGCGACTTGTATTGCAGGCACGACTACGAGGAGGTCGCGTCCGAGGGCGCGCAGGCGATGATGGCGCATCTGGGTTCGCTGATCGGTTCTGATGTTTTGCCCGATCCCGACCTCGAATCGGTGTCGTCCTTTTCGTACGTGGACCCCCTGGACTCCTCATCGACGGAGAACCAGGGCATGATCCTCGCCTTTGCCGGCGGCGGGCGTTGCGTCTTCCGACTGTCCGGGACCGGAAGTGCAGGAGCGACGGTGCGCGTCTACATCGAACGGCCCCTGGCGAACCCGTCGGACGCCGATTTAGATTTGGTCGCGTCCGAGGCCCTCGAGGCCCTCGCCGATAAAGGCAAGGCCGTCGCGAGGCTCCACGCGTTCGTCGACCGCGAGGGGCCGAGCGTGATCACGTAGTGTGGCGCAGCGACGTTTTAAGGCCACTTAGGTAGGATTTATACAGAGGGGCGCGCGAACCTACGCCTCGAGCGCGAGGCCCGTGCCCACGATGGCGACGACGCCGAGGAGCAGAGGCATCGGCATGTCGAGCATCGACACCGGGTCGTCGTTCCACGGGTGCGTGTACTGGATGACGCCGGCGCCGACAGCCCAGGCCAAATAAACGCCGGCCACGGCCTGCTTCTGCTTCATGTTGCCGTAGTACGACACGAGGATGCACAAAACGCTGAACCAGATGGCCGTGTTGCCGACGATCGCGAGGGCGTGAAACATGAGTTTCGGGTAGCCGCCCACGGTGACGCCCTTCTTGTTCGTCTTGCCGAAAATCTCTTCCTCGGAGATCTTGCCCCCGCCGATCGCGCCGATCCCGCCGTCCGCCGCGGTCAGGTGCTGGACCCACACGGGCAGGAAGAGCAGCGTGGCCAGGCACAGGCCGTAGGTGAAGGCGTTCTTGACAGGCATTTCGTAGGTATGCGCTTGGTGCGTGAACCGAGGGATATTACCAGTAGGCATGCAGAGGCAGCCCTTTTGGAGTTTTGGAGCACGAGATGGAGCGCGCGCGGCAGCTTTCCAGGATTCGGCTCCTGCTAGTGTCTTACAGGCCGCTAGCAGGTCTCATTTCTGCTCGCGTGCGGGTTGTCGGTGCGATCCGTCAGATGCATGCGTAGTCGGCGTCGGGGGATTCCTCAGTAGACCTCGGATTTAGTAGGTATTTAGTATACCTATGCTATACATATGTATATGTATAAAAAGACACCACACGCTCGGCGGGCTTGCCTCGAGCCCGTAAGCGCGCAAGTACGTAGACGTATATTATTAGTGCGCCGCAGTGCGCCAAAGACGACGCGTACGACGTCTCGGCACGCAAGCCCAAGTTTCCCACAATATTGTATTCCTTACCGACGGTAAATTTGAGACGACCCGCGACAGCAAAAGATAAAGCATGAAAGCGACCGCGCGCTGGCCGCGCGTCGCGCGGGAAAACGCCATCACGGCCCTGCGATGCGCCGTCGCGAGTTGGTTCGCGCTCTGGTGGCTGAACGCCGGCATCGGAGGGCGCCACAACGTCCCGGACAACCTACCGGTCGGCTTCCTCGCCGTGTCGATCATCGTTCTCAGCCGCGACGCGAACTCCCTCGGCGCATGGTTGCTCCTCGGCGCCGTCATGGGAATCTCGCTGGGCATCGCAACCCCCCTGTCCTACGGCGTCATCATCTTCCTGCGCGGGCAGGACCAGATCTCCCGCAAGCACTTCGACGTGGCGCTGCCGTTGACCATGTTCGTCTGCTCGTTCGCGCTCGGGCTCGTACCCGTGATTCCGCGGGCCTTCGTCCCGAGCGCGGTGTTGGTCCTCTTCATGGGCGCTTCGGGGGCGCGGCGCGGCGCCAACCAGTGCATAAATCAAATTGTCGCGGCGCATCTAAAACTCACTGGTTGATTGCGCAGGAGCGGACCCGATGTATGCGTGGAAAGTCTTCGGAACGGCGTCTGTGGGAATAGCTTTCGGTGTGGCGTCGAAGCTCGTGCCGTGGCCGTCGCTGGCGGTGTGGAAGGCGCAAGACCGCATCGACGACCAAAACGACGCCGACGCCAAGCTCGCGCGCCTCGCGAGCGACGCCGTCGGGTTCGGCGCGACGCGCACGCAGCAGCTCGAGGCCGTCGCGACGGGCCGGCGGCTCCTGAAGACGCGCGCGGACGACAGCGCCGTCCCGTATTGTACGCCGGCGGCGGTCGAGCTCGCCCTCGTGGGCCGCTCGGCCAAATCATTACGCGCGCGCGTCGGCCACCTCGAGGCCCGCGGCAAGCTGCTCCGCTCGCTCTTCGACGCGGCCGCTCGCATGCCCCCGCGCGCCGTGGCCAAGACGGCGAGCGTCGAGACGTTGCACGGGTCCTTCCGGGAGCTGGCTGAAGCCATCGCGGTGACGATCGAAGGTGACGATCCAGTCCGCCTCAAGGCGGCGCGCAAGACGGCGGAGGACGCGGTCGGCGGCGCGCGCCGCGAGATCTCGGACGACGACTCGCACGACGTCTGGCTGCCGTTGGCGACGGCCGCGGGAGCGCTCATGCGCGTCGCCGACCACGAGCTCGATCCAGAAGCGGCGCCCGCGCCTCCTCCGAAGGCGTCGCCGAAGGTGTCGTGGCTCCGGCACCTCGAATTTCCCGTCCGCGTCGCCCTCCACATGGCCTTTGCGTCGCTCTGGGTCGCCGTGCCGTCGTGGCAGCGGCGCGCCGACGGGTATGGTTCATGGGTCGGGATCAGCGTCATGTGCGTCGTGCAGGAGTCCCTGGGCGCGACGTTTACCAAGATGTTCCAGCGACTGTTTGGCAATGCGTCGGCCGGCGCGGCGGCGATGACGATTGCGCTCGTGCTGAGCGTCGACCACCTCATCTGGGCGGCGGCCCTCGTGAGCGCCTGGATCTTCCTTTGTCTGGTGTGGTTCGAACCGACGATGGCCTATCTACAGGAGTGCGCGGCGTTCTCGGCGCCGATGTTCTTGTTTGGAGGTTTGGTAGATTTCGGCATCGACGCCACGAACTTGACATTCGTCTCGCTCCGTGTGACCATGGTCAGCATCGGCATCCTGCAGTCGTTCGTCTTCGACTTCCTGTTCTTCCGGCGGTCGGCGCGGCCTGCGCTCAGGACCACGCTGGTTTCGTGGTTCGACGGCTTCGGCGCGACCGCGTCCAGCGCCGCGGACGCCGCCTCTGACGGATCGGAGGACGCGCTCGCGGCGACGAACAAGGGCGTCGCCGGGCTCGAGGCCACGCTGGCATCAGCCCGCGCGCGCCTCGCCGACGCGCGCCGCGAGCCGCCGTGCCAGGCGCCCTTAGACGCCGAGTCCCTGGGGCTCCTCGTCGACGCGCTGGCCGACACGACGCACTCGCTCGGCGCCCTCGCGCGGTGCCTCGCCGGCGTCGCGCGAGACGATTCGCTGCAGCCGATGTTCGCACGAGCGACGAAGGGCTTCGCGGACCGCGCGACCGCGGCGGCGGAAGCTATCCATTTCAACTCAGACGACCGGCTCTCCGCTGCACTCGCCGCGTTCGAGGACTTCCGCGCGGAACTCTCCACGAATCTGGCAGACGCGTGGGACGCCTACTACGACGGGGCCGTGCAGAAGAGTTGTAGCGACGAAGCCGCTCTCGCGAGAATGGGCGCGCTCGCGGCGATCGAACACGCCTGCGTCCACCTCTCCGGGGCGGCGTCGCTCGCGGACAGCGCGGACTTTGAGTCGAAGGGATGCGTGCGGAGCATCTTGGACGTGTGAGTAGTCTTCCTCTTCCTAGATAATATTAGGCCTAAGCCAGCTTGGCGTCCAGCTTGGCGTCGAGGAACGCGTTCGTGACCTGGACGAAACCGGGCCACGCTTGGAGGGCGTCGGGCGTCCCTGGGTACTCACCCCAGGCGGCGCGCAACGCGGCCGCTTCCGGCGCAAAGGTATACCAACAGCCCACCCGCTGGTGCATCTCCTCGGCTTTCGGTGGCTCGCGCGAGAACCAGCGTTTCGCCGGCGGCGGTGGTGGTTGTTCGGTTGCTCCCTCCTCCTCGGCTTCCGCGACGACGGGGAGGGCGGCGGCCTCTTCTTCTTCCTTGGGGGTCTCTTCCATGGGGGCCTCTTCTCGCTCGCCGAACAGGAACGAGGTAAGCTTCGAGAAGGACGAAGGCTCGACGGCCTCCTCGGCCTTGGCTGCGGCTTGGGCGCGCGACTCCAGAGACTCGGAGGCGGTCGCTTCCTCGTCGGGCTCTTCCCGTGGCGACTCCGCCCGGGAATCCGGTTGGGAGTTAACGCTACCTTTTTCCTTCTTTTTCCTGCAGCAGAGGCAGCAGCAGCAGAGGCAGCTGCGGAGGAGGCGGCGGGCGGCGGCGAAGTAAGTTTCGTCCTTCTTCTTCCTACAGCAGACGCATGTGCTGAAGCCAGCAAGAAGGACAAGCAGAACGGCGATGATGAGTGTTCCTGAGGTGATATAACATCGCCTTTTCGTTTTTGTGCCAATGAGACACGGACGGACGGGTGGTAACCATTCGCATATGCCGATCACGTCCTTTTGCGCGACGCCGCACGCAGCCGACTCGCACTTGGTTTTTTTAAATGCGATTCGCAGGCTCATGTCCACGCACCAGCCAAGGTCCTGGTCGAAGGCCTCTGCCTCCTCGAACATCTCCTCCATGTCCTGCACATTGGACAGATCCCAATCATTGAGTGGCTGATTAAACGACGCCGCGCGCTGGAACATGTCACTCATATCTGTGACAGCGCCGACTTGCCATTTGCCAAGAGCTTGATTGAAGGACTCCGCGTTCTGGAACATGTCGTGCATGTTCTTCACCTTGCGGACGTCCCAGTTGCCTATCGGCTCGTTAAAGTACCTGTTCGCTCCCGTCCACGACGAGAACAGTTCATGCATGTCCGTCACCCTCCCAGTATTCCACGTCGATATATGGCCGTACGTCGCCTCGGCTGCTGCCTCGTCCGTAAGCCACGCCCGGACGGCCGTTCTGATGCTGCTGTCGCCCATCGTACCGCCGCACCGTAGTGAAGCCACGTTATTGACACCGCACGACGTCGACTCGCACGGGGTCTCGTCGAAAGCGAGGCGCAGGTCCACGCCGTCGTCCACGCACCAGCCGAGGTCCTGGTCGAAGGCCGAGGCGGAGTAGAACATCGTGTACATCGTTGTGACGCCGGAGGTGTCCCACGCGCTGATGTCCTCGTTGAAGGACCCCGCGACCGTGTTGCAATTACTCCACGAAGAATGAGCACAAAATAAATACGACATGTCCGTCACCCCCCCAGTCTCCCACGTAGAAATATGGCCGTACGTCGCCTCTGCCGATGCGCTGTTCGAAAGCCACGCCGCGACGGCCGTTCTGATGCTACTGTCGGTCATGCCATCACCTGCACACGTGACCGAGATGGCCGAGTTCGGTTGCCAGTACCCGGTGGTGGTATACTCATTCCACGTACCAGAGAAGGACCTAAGGTCCGCGTCCAGGTCCAATGTATAAATTTCAGCAGAATCCGAGCAGGAATTAGGCCCAATGTGCCAATTGGAGTCAAATTGGTACCAGATGTACCTGGTTTCGCTGCATCCCCCCCATTTATCGCACTCCCAGCGGGGCCAGCCATTATTGCACGATCCTTTTTGCACGTAAGTCCCGTGCAATTCGGGCAGGGGAGATCCGGACACGACGACGTTTACGCATTCGTCGAGGCGCCGCCGCGTCTGCGCCGGGCGCGCGCTCTTCACAAATTTGGGCATGCTGTCATTGTCCAGTGGGCTGCTAAAAGCGAGGGCGATGCCCATCAAGGACACAAGAGTCGCTCTCATCATCATTCTGCAGGTTCGGGCAGCCTCTCTGAATTTAAGTGCACCAACTTGCTGCTTATAGTAGCTAATACTCGGAACTTGCTGCTTCAGCTGCAGCCTAGCCTAGCCTCTGCTTAACCGACGGGTTTTTGCGCGCGGTCCTGCGGGACCAGCGCAGATCCTTGCGCTAGTGTCTTACATGCCGCTAGCACCGGATTACGAGCCTCGGATTACTCGCTCGGCTCCGTCTAAAGACCATGCGCAGGACATTTCTGCTATTAGCGGCTGTGTCACGCACTGTCTGCTTCATACCGACAATTCATTTCGGGCGAGCACCCTTGTATCACCCCACAAGAGCGAACAGAGACGCTGCAGAGGACTCTGGTGCTGTGGTGGACGGCATCGATGCCGTTTCAGCACGAAGAGATGGTGTAGAGAGACAAGCGGATGGTGCGGAAGCTACAGAGGACACAGCAGAGGATGTAGAGGACACAGCTGAGGAAGACGCCGACGCCGCGATCCTCCGCGAACTCGAAGATGAAGTAACTCGCCTCGACGCCGCGCGACAGGACTGCGCGGCCAAAATAGAAAGGCTCTTTGCGGAGCTCGATGCCGCCCAGATCGAGAGGGCGCAGACGACGCAAGCGTACGAGCGCGCCTACAATCGATACCAGCAAACGAAGGGCATCCAGGAGCAACTCCAAGCGTCGCGACGGAAAGCGGAGGCGCGCAAGCAATCCCTGGAGAACGTGGACGTCGTCGCCGCGGCCGCGGCACTGAAGAGCCGACCGCAGACCGCGCCTATCGCGGGCTCGTACGTACCGGATGGACTCTCCGCGGAGGAGTGGGCCGAGCTCCAGGCGCGCGAGCGGGCGCCACGAGAAGACCTAGGAAAATGGGGATCGGCGGTAGGAGGCGAGAGCGAGCCGCAGCGCGGGGACTTGATGTCGCAGCCCACCATCTGGACAAATCCCTCGGCGTTCTTCAACGAGCGCGTGGTTGGCGAACCGACCATCCAGAGCGACGAGTCGCGGCCGAACATCTTCGACCTCGACGAGGACGAGTCGGAGGATAATGACTAGTGTTGTTGAATACACTTTTACGTCGGGGAGGGGGGAGGTTCAGAAGACGGCGCTCGTCCTCGGCGGCACGGCACATCCTTTGAATGTCCTCTCGTCCACCACGACCTTGGCAAGATCCGCCCGCTCCGTAAGCCCGTCGGCCCCGCGGCCGCCGAAGGCCAGGAGCATGTGCGTGTCACCGTCCCGCACGCACACCAACGAGTGGCCGGCCCGCGCGCCGAAGGCGCTCTCGACGCGCTTCGGCGCCCGCGACCACTCCCAGAGCCGCGTGTCCAGGATAAACGCGTCGCCGAGGACCGCGCCCGTATCTTCGTCGAGCCCGCCGTGGACTAAGACGGAGATGCCGTCCGGCAGCATGCAGCAAGCCGCCTTGCTCCGGAACGACGGCTTGTCGCCCATGACGAACTGCATCCGCGTCCACGTCCACGCGTCGCCGGCGGCGTCGCGCTCCAGCACGAAGACCTTGTTCGACGGCGTGTCTTTGTCGCCCTTAGATAACGGCTTCCCCGTCCAGACCACGGCCTTCGCGCCGTTTCGTAACACGACCGCGCAGCCGTGCGCGTGCGGCTTCGGAGCCTCGCCCTTGGGGACGGAGCCCTTGATTTTGAGTCGCTTCTGCAGGGCGTCGCAGGTCGTCGTGATACCGTCGTCGCGCCCGCGCAGGCCGCCCAGCGCCGCGACGCATTCCTGGCCTTCGCTATCACGCAGCGATAGTAAAGCGTGGCCCAACCGCGCCTGGGGCCGCGCCGCGCACTCCTCGGCCGTCCACTCGCCCTCGTCGATGTCGAACACTTTAGTGGTGCTATCGCGCACGGGCCGCCCGTCGCCCGACGCGTCGCCGCCGAAGACGACGAGCCGCGACCCCGACGCAACGGACGCGTGCCAGGCGCGCGGGTCCGGTATGTCACCGCCGCCGAGCATGGATTCCCAGCCCGTGGCCACGCGGTACAGGTGCACCGCCTTGTCGTCGCCCTCTCCGCCCCAGATCGCCATCGTCGCGCCGTCCTCCAGCACGGCGGCCGAGTGGCCCCAGCGCGGCGCCGGCCCGGGCTGCGTCCGCGCGCGCTTGGGCGCCGCGGCGGGCGCCGCGGCCGGGCGCTTCTTGGGCGCGGGCGCGGCGTTCTCCTTGCCGCGCGCCTTCGTTGCGGGCTTCGCCGGCGGCGCTTTCGCTGCGGGCTTCGCCGGCGGCGGCGCCTTGCGCGCGGGCTTCTTCTTCTTCGCGGGCGCGGCGACGGGCGCGGCGGCCGCGCCGCCCGCCGCGCGCCGCGGCGGCCGGCGCGCCGCGAGCGGCGGCGAGTCCTCCTCGTCGTCCTCGCTCTCCTCGGGCTCTTCCGCGGCGCGACCGCGCTTCGTGCGCTCGCGCGGCTCCTCTTCGTCCTCCTCGGGAGGCGCCTCGGCGGCGGCGCGGCCGCGCTTCGGCCGCGCGCGGGGCGCCGGCGCCGCGGCCTCCGGTGCCCGGCCCCTCGCCGGCCGCCGCGCGGCGAGCGGCGGCGAAGCCTCCTCCTCGTCTTCCTCCTCGCTTTCCTCGGGCGCCGGCGGCGGCGGCGCGGCCTCCTCCTCTTCTTCTTCGTCGTCCTCGGCCGCCTCGGGCGGCGGCGGGGCCGTGAGCTCCTTCGACCGCCGCGACACGGCCTTGTCGGAGCTCGGGATCTGGAGCTTCCACCAGCCCGTCGTCTTGGCGACGATCTGGCCCACCTCGCCCGTCCTGCCGTCGACGACAGAGTCGCCGACGCGGAACTTGGGCCCCTCCTCCTCCTCCTCGTCGTCATCGTCGGCCACGGCCACCATCACTTCTTCCTCGGCGGCCGGCGGTTCGTCGACATCGGGGGCGGCCGCGGGCGGCTCCGCGATGTCGTCCTCCCACTCGTCCTCCTCGTCGTCCTCGGCCGGCGGGGCGGCCGGCGCCGCGTCGTCGTCGCTCCACTCGTGCTCGTCCTCGGCGGGCGGCGCGGCGGCGTCGTCGTCGTCGATCTCGATGACGCTCTGCTGCGAGGGCTCCGGCGGCGGCGCCCGCGGCGACTGCGAGGCGTCGCTGTCCTCGATGGGGTCCTCCTCGAGCTGGCGCGACGCCGGCCGCGGCGCGACGGCCCCGCCCTTGCGCAGCGTGCCGTGGGGCCCCGTCGACGGCCGCGGCGCGTCGGCTTGGGTGGTTGGCGCGGCGCCGTCGTCGCTCAGGCGGCCCGGCACCGGCGCCGTGCCGCCGGAGTCGCGGTTCGAGGGCGACGGCGGCGCGAAGGCGAGCGCGCTCGACGCGCCCGAGGGCTCCGTCGCGTTGCTCGCGCGCGGCCGGCCCGCGGCGACGAGCTGCCCCAACATGCGCTGCGCGCCGTCGCTGATCTCGGTCCAGACCTGTGTGGAAATCAACCAGTGCGTCGGGTGCACTTAAGTCATTTCTCGGCGATGACGCGGCCGTCCTGGCTCGGTCGAGCGGTGAGGAACCGGCATCGCCACGCCATCGAGCAGGCGTCGCGTCGATGGCGTGGAGGTCGACGCGACGATTCAGCACGAACGCGCCGTAAAATTTTGATGTCAACACAGGTCCACGCCGTCTGGCGGTCGGCGTCGTTGTTGCAGAACTCGTCGAGCGTCCAGGCCGCGTTCTCGAGGGCCCGCGACACGCTTACACAGAGCTGCTTGTGCTTGGCGTCGTAGCGCGCGTCGCGCTCCTTCTGGGACATGGTCTGGAGGAGGTCGTGGATCGCGTCTTCGGCGGGCGAGGCGCTGCGGCGGCTCATCAATTACCAGCTGTGAGCTCAGACGGTTTCGGACCTCGCTGCTAACAGTAACCTCGCAGCGCGCGCGTTGCGGCAGCAAGTTATTGCCACAGCAAGCGCTTGATTGGCCTGGAAGCTCGTATTACGCTAACAGCGCAGCACAAGGACCGAGCGGCGCGAGACCTTTTCGAGTTACTAGCGCATGTAAAGCCACTAGCTAGCCACTTGCAATCCTCCCCAAGCCCCTCCAGGCCCCCCTTACGAAGCGCACCAGGAATCGTAAGCCGCACGAAGTCGAGCTGGCTCGAAATTTGGCAGCTGAGTACCGTCCCGCGCCATCTACACCTTTATTGGATCCTTTATTGACACACAACAACTTAGGAAGAATCGACGTGGTCCGTGAACCGCGCCACCCAGTAGGGCATATACAGCTTCTTCATGTCCACCGCGCGGCCCGCGTCCCGCACGCGCCGGAGCTCCTCCTTCAAAAAGGCCGGCGACACCTCCCGCCAGTCCTTGACGCGGACGACGGGCAGGCCGGAATACAGCTCGGCCATGGCCGGCGACGCGTCCCAGTCCACGAGCGGAATGGCACCCGCGGACAGCGCCTCCCACTCGCGGTGGCACGCGCGCCCGATGCCCTGCGGCGACACCGCGAAGTCGCTCTCCAGCAAATGGGCCGCGAATTTATCGAGCGGCGTCGTCTGGTCGGGCCTCCGCGATGTCCCGGGCGGCCCGCGGTGCGAGCACGTCCCAAACCCGTTCTTGCGCAAAGCTTCGACGACTGCGTACCGCCGTATGCGTCCGTAGACGGAGCCGACCCAGCCCTCGCGCGCGTATTTAAAGGATAAGCCCTCCGCACTCAACATTTTTGATTGGTCCTCGAACTCGCTTCTCAAAGGGTCGTCGAGCGTTTTAAACGAGGCGTGGGGCTTGGGCGCGCCCGGCGCTTCGGATTGAGACGGCACGGGGTGCGAGCTGAGGCAGCAGCACGCTAATAGGTTCGTGCGGTTCCGGGCTTCTCTACCATCAAGTAACGAGGACCACTTGCCCCGATGTTGGACCCCCAACGGCACGGCCTTGAGCTTGGGATGCGCCCCCAGCAAATGGTCGTTGGGGTTCGTCGCGAACCACGCCGCGACGCCGGGCGCCTCCAACAAACTCCGTTCATCCACGAAGCCGCGGTGGCGTCTCTTGGAAACGTCCGCGCGCGGGAGGTCGCAGTCCGTCGACGTCACCAAGGCCAGCCGCGCCTTGTCCATGGTCCCCAATCTAGCTGCCCGCCAGAGCGCGGCTAAGGTCACTTCGCGGTAGGCCCCGAAGGGCGATTGAGGGGAGTGCGCGCCGCAGCCGTCCCCGAAGTGCATCTCGACCCAGCCCGGCGCGAAGTCGCCGACGGGGCCGGGCTCCAGCCCCTTGCCACTTTCAGGGGAGGCGGGCGTGCCCGTGCGCCGCTCGCTCCACAGTCTTGATACGGTGTCGTGGCGGTCGTCGGCCGCACACGCGGGCCCGCGGCATCGCAGCGACAATTCGGGCCCGAGAGCCTTCGTGTGCTTCCCCAGCCAGGCGTTCTGGCGCTTCGTGAGGCGTCGCGAGGCGTAGGGGAGCGTGCCCTCGTGGTTGTGGGCGACGAGCAGCGAGTACTTCGAAGCTTTTTGGGAAGCCAGCTCGGGCACGACCCTCTGGGCCCGTGCCGCGTTCGCGTCCAAGCCGTACTTTTTCACAAAGAACTGGAGGCAGCAGTCCAGGCAACAGGTCACGCGGTCGTGGGCGGTGCGGAAGGGGACCCAAGTGTCGAGACAGTTGCGCGTGAAGGACCCGGCCGCGCACGGCGTCTTGAGGTCGCATGTTGCGGATGGGTCGGCGAGGCAGGTCGCCGTGGCGGCGTCGTCGCGCGGTCGGCTTGCTGCCACTGTGGAGAGGCAGAGCGCCAGCAGTCGGAAAGGTGTCGTCGTCATGGTCGCGCGTTAAGGGCAGCCTCATTCATGGTGTTTTTGGGTCGCGCCGATCGCCGCGCCTTTGCGCTGCGTTCTCGTTCGTCGGAGCCCCGCACGATATTCAAAGCTTTGCTCTGGCTGGATTTTGGGCAGCTTTTGGGACGCTAGACGTCACTAGCTCGACTCCATCGGCAGCCATGCTTGCCTCGCTCCGAAATCTATTGTGGCCGAAGCAGCGGCGGCGTACTGTCGAGCTCAGCATAGCCCAAAAGTTGGGCAGCCTTTCACTGCTTCCGGAGGACGTGTTTACGACAAGAGTAGCGTGCTACTTCCACTCCAGGGCTGAATATCTCAGCCTGCGCGTCGCGTCCAAGGCCATGCTGGGCTTGACGCAGCGCGCCATTGCGAGCGGAAGCTCTTGTTGCCGCGGCGTTCCCACGGTTTGTGAATTTGGACCTCCGCCCTCCACTTACCACGAAACGCTGGACCCGGCTCGCCATATCGCGGCCATGGCTCGCGTATTCGGCGCCGGTTGTAGAATTTTGCACGGACGCGTACGACGGGCGGGGGACTCGGAGATCCGTACGAAAGAGAAGTTAGCCGCACTCGAGTACTTCGTGGCCTCCACGAACGGCGGCCTGACGACGCTCGATTTGAATCACTCCGAGGTGTCGGAAGAGATGTTCTTGCGGATGTGCCGCGCGTCGCCAAAATTGACTAGTCTGCAAGGCCGATCCTATCTCCTCCCAGAGATGAGAGAGAGCACAATCTTGGCCATCATTGAAGCCTGTCCTGACCTCGAGGTTGTAGAGATCGCCAATATCAGCCATAGCCCGGCGGAGACGTGGGCTCGACACATCCCGCGGTTGAAAACCATTAAGTGCGGCACCGGGAAATACTTGTACCGGCCGAGATTTATCGATAACATACGAGCGACGGCGCTTGCGACCCGCGCGAGTCAGCTGGACGTCGGTGGCTGTTATATCACCCGCGAAGTGATCGACGCAGTCGTGGGGACACCCCTCGGCGATCGCATCGAGACCCTGGGCGAGGCCGGCGAGGCCCGCGACTGGTATGAGACGAAAATTTTCCCGGAGGCGCTACTCGCCGCGGCGCGAGGCTTTCCTCGACTCACGGAGTTACATATACCACAAGGCTCAACGATGGACGGTCCTCAGTTCTATGAGCAACTCAAGCGGGCGGCGCCTCAGCTCAGGAGCCTTCACATATGGGACTGCAGTACGACGGCGGCCTGCGTCGCCGCGGCGTGTGACATGCGACTGGAGCGGCTACACCTCGATAGGCTCTACGACCACGGTGACAGGCATATTCTCGACGGGATAATTAATAGTGAAGCTTCACAAACACTCGAGGCGCTGGACCTCCGCTTCATCTCCGAAGAGGTAGGTTTTGAGCTTGTTGTTCGCGCTGCCGACGTCCTCCGAGTGGTACGGGCCTGCCCGAGACTCAAGCGACTGTCGTGGTGGGTCGTTGATGATGGTGAATATGATGAAGCCGATAGACGCGTGCTTGATCCTGATCACGAAACGTACCAAGCCATCAGAGAGCTCCTCGTCAGTCGCGGCGGGATCGACGACTGGCCGGACAGTGCCTTCGACTATAAGCGCTGGTGCCACTAAGAAAGATTAGTAGAAATACACTTATGATGAAAACGGGGGGACACTAGAGCTCGTCCTTCGCCTCGTCCGCGTCGGCGTCGTCGCCGAACGCGTCCAGGTCGACCTCGTCCTCCTCGTCCTCCTCCTCCTCGGGGTCGTCGGGCACCTCCATCTCCGGTAATAAGTCAGACGACTCCAGCGCCAAACCGGACTGGATAATTTTCAACGCCCTCTGCGCGAACGCATCCACATCGGCCGGCTGGAAGCCGCTCTGCATCAGCGCGTTATCGAGCAGCAACCAAGCGAGGTTCTCCGTGTCTTCGTCGGTCTTCTCGTCCTTGACCTTGGTCAACAATTCGTTGATGATCGGGTGCCGCGGGTTCAGCTCCATGGTCTTCTGGGACATCATCATGCCCATGCTTTGTTTTTCGGAGAAGGCCTGGGCGCGCATGATGCGCTCCATGTTCGCGCTGTTGCCGTACTGGCTCGTAACAATAATTGTGGGGGTCGTCTCGACGCGCTTGGAGATGGATACCTTGACCACGGCGTCGCCGTACAGCTCCTTGAGATAATCAGTGAGCGGTTTAAAAGTCTCCTTGTAGAGCTTCGTCCGCTTCGCCTCGAGGGCCTCGTCCTCGTCGCCGAATTTCAAACCTTCCTTCGTGACGCTTTGTAACTTCTTCCCGTCGAATTCGGTCACGTGCTGGATGGCGTACTCGTCGATGGGGTCGACCATATATAAAACCTCGACGCCCTTGGCCTTGCACTTCTCGAGGAAGGGGGAATTTTCCACAGCCTCGACGTTTTCGCCCGCGATGTAGTAAATAGCCTTCTGCCAGTCCTTCATGTTCTCGACGTACTGTTCAAATGAGGTATATCCTTCTCCCGACGTCGACGACTTGTACCTCAGGAGCTTCGTTAATTTGGAGCGGTTCGCGGAGTCCTCGATAATCCCGAGCTTGATGTTCTTGCCGAACTTCTCCCAGAACTCGATGTACGGGTCCTTGGACGCCTCCTCCTCCTCGTCGTCCTCGTCACCTTCTTCCTCGTCGTCCTCGTCCTCATCATCGTCATCAGACTCAGACTTCTGCGCGAGCTTCCGGAGCATCTCCAGAGCCTTGCGCACGAGCTTCTTGCCCATCACCTTGAGCACCTTGTGCTGCTGCAGCGTCTCGCGCGACACGTTCAGCGGCAAGTCGTCGCTATCAACCACACCGCGCAGGAAGTTCAGGTAGCGCGGCACCAGGTCCTCGAATTCGTCGGTAATAAGTACCTTCCGGACGTACAACCGCAGTTGGGCGTTCTTGTTGTGGTAGGAGTCGTACATGTCGAAGGGCACCTGGCCCGGCACGAACAAGATGGACTTGAACTCGACCTCGCCCTCGGCCTTGAAGTGGATCCACGTCGTCGGGTCCGCCGTGTCCTTCGAGAACGTCTTGTAGAAGGACTTGTACTCGTCGTCCTCGACCTCCGACGCGTCGCGCGCCCAGATGGCGGACTCCGAGTTTACTTGGCTCCAGTCCCAGTTCGTCACCGTAGTTGTGCGGGGGGCTTCGTCCTCGTCCTCGTATTCGTCGTCCTCCTCGTCGAGGTCCTCGTCCTCCTCCTCCTCGTCGTCGAGATCCTCTTCTTCGTCGTCTTCCACCTCCACAGTCTCGGTAGACGACTTGTAGAGGTAGATCGGGAAGGTGATGAACTCACTGTATCTGAGTACGAGTTCCTCGAGGCGGTCTTGGTCGAGGAATTCACCGGCGTCCTCCTTGAGATATAAGGTGATCTCCGTGCCTCTCCCCAGATCCTCGCCGTCATCTTTCCACACCGAGAAGGACGAGTCGGCGGCCGACTCCCAGCAGTGCTGCTCATCATCATTATGCTTCGACCGCACCCGGACCTTATCAGCGACCAGATAAACGGAGTAGAAGCCGACGCCGAACTGGCCGATCAACGACAAATCGCCGCCCTGGTCGCCGGACATGGCTTCCACAAAATTGGTAGTGCCCGACTTGGCGACGGTGCCGAGGTTCGCAACCAAATCGGCCTTGGTCATCCCAACACCACTGTCTCTGATGGTGAGCGTGCGCGCGTCCTTGTCGAAGGAGATGCGGATCTCGAGCTCCTTCTTCGAGTCGAGCGCCGTCTTGTCGCTCACGGCCACGAAGCGGATCTTGTCGAGCGCGTCGCTGCCGTTGGAAATGACCTCCCTCAGGAAGATCTCCTTGTTCTTGTACAAGGAATTAATGATGATGTCCATGAGCCGGTTGACCTCGGCCTGGAACTCGAAGGTCTCGGCGGCTGGCGCCTCCGCAGTTTCGGCTGCAGCCACATTTACGGTCACGGCCGCGGCGATCGCGAAGAGCTTTAGAATCGTGCGCATGGTGTGCGCTGAGACCGTTGCAGCGCCTCGCGCTTGCAACAGTGATAAATGTGGCTAGTGCGCAGCCAAAATTTACGCGTGGAGTCTCTGCGACTCGAAGCCGATGGTCGGGTCCGCGAGCCGAAAAATCCAACCGACACTTACAAGCGGTAGAAGCGAGACGTCCATGCGTGGTAACACGGGCAAAACCGCGAGCGCTCGTGTATACTGCAAATGGAGAGCCGCGGCGCGCGCCAACACCCATCCGCCACAACGACCCGCCCGACGCTGCCCCACCCGCCACCCGGTACCGGACAGGCTACTCGCACCGCGAGCTCCCCATAGAGTCGACACCGGGGACACGGAAATGGTCGGGTTCTATCAAAACTTAGCACAAAGAGGAGGGCAAAGAGACATACTCGTGGGCCGCAGGGTCGCTGCCGTTTCGACGCATTCGTCGGAGACGGCCGGGCAGCCTGGCGTCGCGCGCAGTCGAGTCATGAGGCAGCCCGCGCCACAACGAAGGACATGGCTCCTCCTAGCAGTCCTGCTGCGGCCGACGACCACCCAGCGGCTTCGTGGGGGCAAGGATGACGGGCGACGGCTCGGGCACGCCAACTGGCACAAGACCCCGACGCCGCAGCCGACGGGCCCGAGCCCGTCGCCGACGACGTGGCAGCAACTCGCGCTCGTGAGGATGCCCTCGCCGCGCCCGACGAGCTACCCCACGCCGGTCCCGACGCCGGGCCCCTCGATGACGCCCGGGCCCTCGCCGTTCCCGACGTCCCCGCCCTCGCCCTCGCCGACCCTCGCGCCCGTCGCCGCGCCCATCGTCTTCACCGAGGCGCAGCTCCGAACCGCCCTGCTGGACGACGGCTTCGACGCGGACCTCAACGCGACGATCGCGCTCACCTCCACCCTCGTCCTCACCGACAGCTCGCAGGAGCTCAAGTCCAACGACGGGACCGGCAAATTAATCGGAGACGGCACGTTCCGATTGATAGACATCACGGGGACCCCTCCTTCTTCCCGAAGACGCCTCGGCCTCGACGAGGCCACGGTGTCGTCGGAGGTGCGGCTCAAGCACCTTGAGTTAATCTTGGGCGCCGAGGACGACGACTATGGCGGCGCCATCCGCGTCAGCTGGCCCGCCTCGCTCTACGCCCACGACGTGACCTTCACGGCGAACAGCGCGACGCGCGGCGGCGCGGTCTACGTGCACGCGACGTTCGCGCGGCTGGACCACTGTCTTTTCAGGAGGAACAACGCGTCGGAGGTGGGCGGCGTCGCGTACGTCAACGGAACACGAGGTCCCCGCCCGCACGACCATATTGTCAACGGAACGACACTTTACCACATAAATATTGGGGGCAGCCACGCGCCGCGCGCCGCGGGCGCGCGGCTCAAGGTCACGCACGGCACGCTCTCGGAGAATCGAGCCCGGGCGGGCGCGGCCTTCGCGGCCTTCTACGCGCACCTCGAGATCAAGCACACGCGCGCGTTCTTCGAGCCGACGTGGGACTTTCCGTTCGGCGACCAGGAAGTGCATCTGATGGAGAACGGCACGGGCTACGGCTGCCACAACGAGCCCCACTTCAATTTTACCGGAAATAAAGTTGGATGGGAGCGCTGCTGGGACTCGAGCGACGAGGCGTCGATGCTCCTGTACCAGCTGGCCATCTTCTGCATGGTCGTCATCGCGGGCGTCGCGGCGGGCGGCTGCGTGATCGGCAGCATCCGGCTGACGTACGGCTACCTCTTCCAGCACTGGAAGTGCCCGGACCTGGGGGCGCTGGGAGGTCGATTGTGGTACGACGATCATAGAGGAGAGTGCTACTGTGGGGTCTTCTTCGCGACGTGCTTTTCGGCCATCGCGCTGGTCTTCGCTTTTTTGGCTTCCGGCGAGGACCCGACTTTAGTAGAGGCGTTCGGCTACGCGCGGCTCGACACCACGGACCCGTCGACCTACCTCATCATCGGGCTGAACGGTTTTGTCGTCGTCGCCGACGAGATCGGCGAGGACGACACGGTCGCGGACGAGGCGCTGGACGGCAACAAAGTTTATGTACCCTTCGGGAAATCTTTCGGCGACGACGACGCCGCGGGTTCGGACTACGACTGGACGGGCATGTGCGCGACGGCGGGCGAGCAGGCCTACGGCGCGCTCTACCCCATTTTGTTCGTCAAGCTCGCGGCGGCCTTCATCGTCTATCGACGGGTCGACACGGAAAAAGACTCGTGGTACTGGAAGTTCGCGGGCGTCGGCGTCGAGTGTCTGGCGACGGTTTTAGTCTTGAACATGCTCGTCTACTTCTCCTTCGACTGCCTCATGCAGCTGCCGACGGGGGCCTTCTTCGTGCCGGCCTCTGATGATACGGAGGCGGCCTACGCGTACGCCGACGACGACCCGGGGACGTCGTACGCCGTCGACGCGGCGTACCCCTACACGTCCTTCATCTTCACGATCGTGTCGGGGCTGTGCTCGCTCTTCGTCGCGTACGTCCACTGGCGGACGCCGACGTGGAACTCGGAGATGGTGGAGAAGCTGTACTAGTATAAATCTTCTTGCCAATTTGCGCCCCGTCGCGGGACTTGTCGCGGGACTCGCGGCCTTGGGATTCCGGCGTCCGACTTGCTCCCCCCCTCGCAGTCGTCGCCTCCGAGCTAACACTCGGGGCGACGGCGTGTGGGGGCTAGGCGACCTAGCTCTAAGCTTGCTTTGCTTAGAGCTAGGCTGCCTAGCCACCAACGAGTCGATCACCAAGCCGCCGCGGGGCCTGCTTGACCGCACGCCCTCGTACACAGGTGTTCGCTCGGAGGCGACGGCGGCCGCTTCGTTTTCAAGTTATCGTCCCGGCGGAGTTGTCCGTCGGAGAAGCGTCCGCGTCAACCCCCGACGCCATCGACGCGACGTCTCCTACGCTAAGATCTATCTACTCTTTCTTGTCGTTAGTCAGTCGAAGCGCGCGATAGGAACACGGGGGGAGGGGCTAGATCTTGTCGATTTTGCTGAAGTTGCCGCCGCCCAGCCCTCGGCGCAGCTTCTGCTCCTCCGTCAGCGCCTTCGCGTCGGCCTCGGGCGAGCGCTTCGTCATCTGGGCCATCATGTTTTTGTAGTTCATCTTCTTCTTCTTCGACTTCTTCGCGACCGGGGACCGCAGCGCCGGCTCGTCGGGCGTCGCGGCTGGCGTCGGCGAAGGCGCCGGCTTCTCGGCGGGCGTCGCGGCGGGGTCCTGGCTCTCGTCGGAGGGCTTGTGCGTCGGCCGCTCGGGCGGCTCGACGACGCCGCCCGGCGGCGGCACGATGACCTCGCCGCCGGGGCAGCCGCCGCGCAAACGGAGGACGAGGTGGAGCGTCGACTCCTTCTGGATGTTGTAGTCGCTCAGCGTGCGGCCATCTTCCAACTGCTTGCCCGCGAAGATGAGGCGCTGCTGATCGGGCGGGATGCCCTCCTTGTCCTGGATCTTCTGCTTGACGTTGTCGATCGTGTCGCTCGGCTCGACGTCGAGCGTGATGGTCTTGCCCGTGAGGGTCTTGACGAAGATCTGCGGTGGGGTTGGTTGTCGGGTCTTGCGTCGAAGGGGTCTTTGGGGGAGGAAGGGTCTCTGGGTCTCTTTGGGCCGCGTGCGGCCGAAGTGGCTGAAAAAAGCCGCGTCGCGCGGTTCCTCTCGTTGGCCATCGCGGCCGGGGCCCGCCATCGCTGCTCGTCAGCGGAACCGACGGCGCCGTGCCGGGGCCCGCGCCTCCAGTGGGCCGGAAGTGGTCAGAGAACCCTACGGAAGGGAATAATCTCGGCGTGACCCGGGGTCCACCTAGGCCGGCTGAAACGGCCCGCGGCGGGTCCTGAGGCCTCAGCGGCCTCGGTGGAGCCGCGCTTGGGCGGCGCGGCCGCCGCAGAGTGGCCCGCGGCGTCTCTGCGAAGCCCTCCGACGTGGGAGCAGGGGAGGGTCAAGACGGCCGCACCGGCTCAGTTTCGCGGCGCGGCGGGCGTAGGGTCAGCGCTGGACTCACCTGCATGTTTTTCGGCTGGCGCGGCGCTTTTTGCGGCTCTACAGCGGCCCAAAGCCCAAGAGCACTCACGCCCTGCAATAGCGGCTAGCCCATTTCCCCCATAACGGACTTGGTGGTCGACGTCTGATTGGCCCTCCACACAGGGCAGCGTCCCGGCCCACGCACCAGCGTCGTCTACCCACAACGGCAGCAGCAACCCCACAGATCCCCCAAAAACCAGGCTCCCATCGGCGCGGCCCACCCACGTTACGCAACGGCCCAAGCCACACAGCCGCAAAACAACACGGCCAAGGACCCGTCAGCCCCCGCCAAGAACAACAGAAAAAGCGCGCCTCGTGGCCGAAAGCCCCCGAGAAGTCGTGGGCCAGCCGGCCGCCGCCGTCGTCGCGCAACGCGGCTTTCGAAAGCCCCCGTCCCACACTGACGCGTACCGCGCCGAACTCTCGCCTCACAATCTCCTCCTTGTGGGCATCGCGATAAAAAACCCGAGGCCTCCATGGTCTCGGCTCTGCAGGAGCTGTGGGCCCTGTGGCCGCCTTTCAGTGCTCCAGGAGTACGCGTACGCATAGATCGAATACGCAGTCGTCGCAGCATTAAAATTATTGTCAGCTAGCGTCGCGCACGGCAAACCGAGCTCTCGTGGCCCTCAAAGAGCTCCAAAGCAGTCAGTGCATGAGAGCCGCGCTCCTGTTGCGCGTCGTACTGGCAAAAATGGCGCACGAGCAACCCTTCATGGCGGCCACGCCGCCGCCAGGCCCGCTGGACTACAGCCACTCGCACCCGTGCGTGAGATGGTTCCGCTCGACGACGTTACCGCTGCGCGTGCCCCTCGCATTACTGAAGGGCAAGTGGCGGGCGCGGGTGTGCGGCGCAAAAAGGCCGACGTGGAATCCGCGCTTCGAGGCCTATGTCACGGCCCTGCGGTCGGCCACGAAGAACGCCCCCAGAGACGTGGGCCTGCTGCGGGCGGCGACCTCCGTGAGCGTCCCCGGCCCCTTATTACCGGCCGGAGTCCTGCGCTGCACGGAGCGATTGACGCGGCCGGACGGCTCCGAGCTGGCCGTCGAGTTCGTCTGGCCGCGCGCGGCGACGCCGATGGCGGAGCTGTCTAGAAAGTGGAGCACGACGTCGGCGCAGACGACGCCCGACGTCGTCCGGACGACCGAGTTCCGCGAGCTGCTGCGGACCGCGCCGGCGCTCGTGCTCGTCCACGGCGGCGCGCACTGCCTCTGCGGCCGGGGCACGCACCGCGATTTAGCCTTCAGACTCGCGCTCGCGACCGGCGGCGTGATCGCCAGTGCATAAAACAAATGTCGCGCCCACAGCTGAATCACGACCTCCACGCCATCGACGCGACGCCTGCTCGACGGCTAGTCCGACATCACTGGTTGATTTGCGCACAGGTGATCGTGATGCCCGACTTCCGGCGCCCGCCGGACGCGAGCAGTGCGGACGCTCTGGACGACGTTCGCGCGGCCTACGAGCGCGTCCTGGAGCTGGGCGCGTCGCGAGCGTGCGTCGGCGGCGATTCCGCCGGCGGCGGGCTCGCGCTGGCCTTCGCGATCAAGATTCGCGACGCCGGCGCGACGCCGGACGGGCGCGACGGCGCCTGGCGCCTGGCGCCGCCGGCCGGGTGCCTCGCCATCAGTCCGTGGGTCGACCTCGGCGAAGAGCGTACTGGAGGCTCGCGGCTCTCGAACGAGCGGTGGGACTTCCTACCCGGAGACATGATCGACCTGCTCGCGCGCGAGACGGTCGAGGCGTCGGGGTCTGATGCGTCGCACTCGCCAGTCAAGTTCGACCTCCACTCCTTGCCTCCCACATTAATCCAGACGGGCCAGTGCGAGGTTTTGCATGATCAACAGGTGAGACTCTGTGCGGAAATCAAAATTTCACGGCGCGATTGTCCTGAATCGTCGCGTCGATCTCCACGCCATCGACGCGACGCCTGCTCGATGGCGTGGCGGTGTCGGTTCCTCACCGCTCGACGGAAGTGCACCCAACACACTGGTTGATTTCCACACAGGTGAGACTGGCCCGAGCGGCGGCGGCGGCGGGTACGCCGACGACCTTGACCGTGTTCAGAGATATGCCGCACGTCTCGCCGATCTTCTCTTTCTGCCACGAGACGCCGCGGACGGCGCTGCGCCAGGCCGGCGCCTTCGTGCGCGCGTGCTTGGGCACGCAGCGCCGGCGCGGCGTGCTGGTGGACGTCGTCTCGGCGCGCGGCCTGCGGCGCGGCCTCTTCGCCAAGGCGCCGCGCGTGGGCGTCGCGCTGCTCACGGGCGACGGCGGCCGCGGCGAGTTTGTGTGGACGGACCGGGCCGTCGCCGGCGAGATGGAGACCTACGCCTTCGGGCGGCGCGGCACGCGGGGCAACGTCGTCGTGGCGCTCGAGGACGGCGAGCAGGCGCGCCTGCTCGTCGTCGTCGAGCGGCGCGGCGTCGTCGCGGAGACCATCGTCGACGTCGTGGAAGGCGATGTCACGAAGGCCGAGTACGCGCTCGACGGCGCCCAGCCGGTCATCCTGGCGGCGAGCGTGAGCTACGTCGACGACGAGTCCTTCGTGCTTCCGTCGGGCGTGGCGACGGAGCCGGCCGACGCGCTGCCGCCGCACGAGGCCCACCCGCTACCGGCCCATCGAACGCCGTTTCCGAAGCCCCTAATGTGATGTTAAGTCGATGTATACAAAACTTACATAGCGCGTGTCTAGCTACAGCTGGTCACGTGTCTATGTGTCGGCGTTTTCTGTGAATTTGGTGTGAATTGCGGGGGTCGTATGTACAAAACCTCTTTCGAATTGGCCGGGCGCCGCGCCCGGCGGGTGAGATGAATTGTCAGGCGAACGCGACGTCCGGGCGCGGGCCCTTTTTATAGGAATCGGCGAGCGCGTCGTAGGCCGCCGCCAGGCGCGCGACGCGCGCCTCGAGGTCGGCCCGTTCTGAACTCGGCGGCAGCGCGGCGATCAGAGTAGAAACGCCGCTCGTCGCCAGATATCTGTTGCGCCGCTGGTAGCGCTCGACGCGCCACAGCTCGTACATAATATTGAGATCGTGGGGGATGCCCTGGCGCTTCGTCGTCTCGTAGGGGAACAGGAACACGCACCGCTCGAAGCCAGACCACACAATCGCGCTCACGCACAAACAGCAGGGCTCGTGCGTCGCAACAAACAGACACTCCGACGCCCGCGGCCGCTTTTTGAGTTCTGACCATTTTTCTATAGCTACGACCTCGCCGTGGTGGATCGGGCAGGCCGTTTCCAGGTTCGTGGCCGCCACAACCGTGTCCCCAGAAAACGCGTCGAGGACGGCGGCGCCGAACATTTTGTTACCCTTCGCGAGCTCCGTCTTTGTTTGTGGCAGGATCTCCTCCTCGATTGATGAAAGCACGCGGTCGAGCATGCGCGCGTCGAGGACGAGTGGTGGTTGTTGCGGGCCGGGCGGCGGCACGCGGCGGCGGCGGCGGCGCCAGAGGAGGGCCGCCGCGGCCGCTGCGGCCAGCGCTATTATTGCGGTTTGCGTCGTCGGCATCACGGGCTCAGCGTTCGCGCGCCGCGTCGCGCGCCGCGAATAACTGGGTAGCTGGGCCAGTCATGATGACACCCAAATCTAGGCAGCGAGAGGCGTTGAACTTCTAACAGCGACTGCTGCGCGATGGATTCAGCTCGCTGCACGTGTGTGGCCCACTTCTGCGGACGCGATGTGGGTAATATGACACGAGAACGAGCAATTTCAGCACATGAACCCGCACGAGGTCAGTGGCGAAGCGAGGGTCGGAGACGTCTCCTTCGCAAGGCTAAGGGGAGGCACCCGTGAGTCCCCTGGAGCTAGTATGCCAGCAGAGTGCCAGCTGAGGAGAGGCTGGGCAGGCAATAAAGCGCGAGATCATTGCGCTGAGCACAAATTTGGTTGCCCAGTGCTCACATTACTCGAAAAAAACGTTCCCCGCTTGTGCGTGCAAAACCATTGCTCCAAAAGCACTGCATATTGGTCAAAGACACCCACTGCAGCAAAGCAAAGCTCATGACACGGATGCGTTGCCGCTGGACACTGATCACTACAGCCTCGGCACTCGCGCCGCGCTGGCAGCCGCGGTCACTGGGACAGACGGACCTAAAAACCCAAGTGCCGCTCGGCATCGGCACGTGGCAGGCGGGTAACAGGCTGCTCTACGACTACTCGCCGGCGCGCGACGCCGCGCTGCTCGAGGCGTGGAGCTCAGCGGCCAAAAATGGCGTCTCCTACTTCGATAGCGGCGACTCCTACGGCACGGGCGAGCTCGAAGGCAACGCGGAGAGCCTGCTCGGGCGGTTTTCAGAGACAACAGCGAACGTGTGCGTCCACACGAAGCTCGCGACGTACCCCTGGCGGCTGAGAGCCGAGGACTTCGTCGCGGCCTGCGAGGAATCAGGGAGGCGCACCGGCGGCGTCGCGCTCGTCGGCCAGCACTGGTCCGCCGAGTCCTACGGCCTCGGCTTCCTGCAGGACCCGGCCGTATATAGGGGCCTCGCGGCGTGCGTGACCCGCGGCCTCGCCCGGGGCGTCGGCCTGTCGAACCTGGGCCCGCGGGGCCTGCGCCGCGGCGTCGACGCCGTCAACGCGGCGGGCGCGCCCGTGGCGACGCACCAGACCCAGTTCTCTCTATTGTGCCGCGCGCCGCTCGAGGACGGCTCCTTCGACGTCGCGGACGACTGCGGCGTCACGTCCGTGGGCTACTCGCCGCTCTGCCTCGGGCTCCTGAGCGGGAGGTACACGGCGGCCTACGCGGCGGCGCTCGGCCGGCGCGGCGCGGACGCGTCAAGGCTCCCGAACGGCATCCGCGGCTTTTTGTTTAGAACACAGCTGCCGAAGCTCGCCGACCTCCTCGGCGCGCTCGAGGCCGTCGCGAACGAGAAAGGCGCGACCGTCGGCCAGGTGTCGCTCGCCTGGTGCCTCCGCGCGCGCGGCCGTGACAAGGCGCCGCCGCTCGCGCTCGTCGGCGCGCGCACGCCCGACATGGTCCGCGACGCGCTCGGCGCGCTACGCCTCGACCTATCGCCGAGCGACGTCGAAAGCCTCGCGGCGACGGCGGCGCGGTGCCCGCAGGCGCAGGTGAACGCGTTCCAGACGAAGTAGTAATTTGTTGTTCCTGTCTTCTTCCGGTCGTGGCTCTCGATTCGGGGTGATGTTACGGTGCTAGGACTAGTGGGCGGAGCCCTCGATTCGACCGCTAGCGGTAAGGCACTAGGGATGCCAGCAACATTTCACGCTGCGGGGGCGACGCGGCGATTACACGTGTTATAACGGGTGAAGGGACTCGCCACTCGCTGCGCACAGCCCCAAGGGTCTACCGAGTCCGCCCCGGGATTGCCCGCGGTTACAGAGGCTCGGTACAAGCGTCAAGGCCAAGGGAGAGCACTGCTGCAAAAAGTCCCTCCGCGACGCGAAGACAGGCGCCCGGAGAGTATGGAGACGCCCGCGCCGCCTAACGCGCTGGTTAGGCCCCCCTCGCCGAATCCGACGCCCATACCGCCCACAGGGCCGGGTTCCCAACGGCCGAACCGCCTGGAGAAGCACGTGCCGCGGAGCCGCTGGTACACCGACGCGGACCCCATCGCCGACGAGCAGCGCCGCGCCGAGGCGCGGCAGCTGCGGGAGGCCCACGAGGCCGAGCTTGTTGGAGCCGAGCCGCGCGAGCAGCGGCGCCTCAAGGAGCTGTACCGCCGCGCGTCGAACGAGCTGCGGCAGAGACACGTGGCTGCAGTCGCGTTGGAAAACAAAGCTATCGACATCCGCAAGCGGCAGAAGCGCCGCAAGGAGCTGAAGCCCCAGCTCACCGATTTATTCTCGGCGAGGAGAGGAGTCCCTCCTGAGCTCGTCCAGAACATCCTGACCTTCGTCGGATACGACCTGGTGCAGGCGGACGCGCCTGCCTACGACTTGATGCGCGACGACCCGCGGGAAGTGGACCCGTTGGCGTTGAAAAAATAAGCATCTGTATTTACATATACCTGGGATCGGGTTCGGGTTAGTTACGTCACGCGCCCCCCTAGGCGCTCCCGCTATAGCCGGGTTCGGGTTAGTTACGTCGCGCGCCCCCCTAGGCGCTCCCGCTCCTCCTGGACCCATCCGTCGGGCTAGGACAGCTGGACAGCCATTTTTCCGGGTTTTGCGGACTTTGAAAATTTGTCTCTTCAACCAGCCGCTCAACAATTGGAACGTGTCCAGCGACGTGGATATAAGCTACATGTTCTACTACGCCTCCGCCTTCGACCAGGACCTCGGCTGGTGCGTGACCGACCCGTACAGCGACTACGATGACGACGATGACGACGATCCCTGGAACGATGACGGAGGAGGCCGCCGCCTCAGTTGCTTCTTCTGTGGGCCGTTTGACCTGGACTGGGCGTTCTACGGAACCAAGTGCGAGTCGACGTCATGCGGCGTCAGCATCTGCAACACGGACGCCGCGCCGGCGCGCCGAATCTCGGTCGCCGCGGCCGTCGCCGCGCTGGTCTCCGTGCTCATCGCGTAGATGCATTCCTCCCCACCCACCCCCACCCCGAGTAAAAGTGTAACACACAAAAAGAACTTAGAACATCGACTCCTTCCAGAGGTCCCCGCCCTTCGCCGGGGAAGCGTCCTCCTCGTCGCTTGTCAAATCATCAGCGAAGACGATCTGCTTCCGCTTCGGGATTTCTGGCGTGGGCGCGGGTGCCGGCGCGGCCGCCGGCGGAGGGAAGTTTTCCTGGTAGTGCGGGCAGAGCGCGTGGTGGCCCCGCACGTGGAGCCGCCCGTCGAGGCCGCGGCACGCCGGCAGGCAGTCGTCGTAGACCTCGCCGGCCACGATTTCCATCATCACCGGCGCTTCATCATCGGCATCCTCCTTCGAGCCCCGCGTCAGGCGCCGTCCCAGTCGCTTCAGGAGGCCTCCTCGCTTCTCGCCGCCGGGCTCCGGTAACGGAGCGCTCAGGGCCATGCCCCGCCACTTGCCCTTCATGGACAGGGCCGAGAACATGCCCTTCGTCGTGCCCTTGGATACTGGCGAGGGCGCCGCCTCGCCCTCCTCGACGGATGCGCCCGGCGCCGGCGCGGGCGCAGGAGCCGGAGCCGGAGCCGACGCCTCGAGGCGCTTCACCGCAAAAACGTTGACCGAGTCCGCCGCCGTGGCGGCGGCGCCGCTCCGGGCCTTCTCGTCCTGCGATTTTCTAGAAGAAAACCGCCGCGCCCAGCTTTTACCTAACGCAAAAGCCGCCGTCGACCCCTCGGCCGCGTTGCCCGCCTCGCCCCGCAGCCGCCGCTCCTTGGCGAGCTTGTGCTTGCGCCGCGTCTCCGCCGACGCGTCACTCGACAGCGAGTCGTCGGAGCCGTCGGAAGCATCACTTTCATCGTCGAAGGAAGCTCTCCGAAAGGCGCGCTCGAAGCGGTCGTCCAAGTCGTCCTGCTCGGCGCGCGTGTTCTTGCCGTCTCGTAACATCTTCTCGCGCAGCTCCATGGCCTTGGCGCGGTCGTGGCGGTTCATCGGCCTCCTCCGCTGTCTTTGCTGGCCGCCCGTCAGGCTCTTCCTTCGATCGCCCTTCGCAATGAGCTTCATCTGCTTGTCCAGTTCCTCCAGACACCCGTCGGGTAGCTTGTCGTAGGCGACCGGCACGAACTCGATGTCCGGTCGTCTACTATCTTCGGTGTGAAAAGCTAACCCCCCACTGGGTGTCGAGTCCCTTACTAATTTCTCGTACATGGGCGACGACTTCATGGGCTTGTAGGGCTCGCCATCTCTCGGTGCGCGGTTGAGCTTGGCAACTCTAACTCTTCGAGGGTATGCGCCCACAATTGACCTATGTTTCTCGGCGGCCCGAGCTCGCCGCCGCGCCCATCTACACTCCTTCTTCATGCGGTTGTCCCGTTCGTCCTCATCTAGTTCTTCGAGCGACGGGCAGCGCCAGTACTCCCGTCGGGGTGGAATAGCTAATACATCATCACCAGGCTTCGAGATGAGCGGTACCAGCGGCCTATACCTCAAATACACGTCGACGACCTGCTTCGGGAAGTGGTGGTGCAGATTTAAGTCGCGCAGACAGCGCTTCGCTATCGGTATACCTTCCTTGACCGCGTAGGCTAAACAAGGGAAGAGATTGGGCCTTTCGGAAAAAGCCTGGAGCAGAGCTCGCTTCGCCCCGCCGAAGACCACGGCCACCAAGCAACCCGCCAGCACGATATCAGGACAAGGCTGCGGCGCGACGCGACCGGTCGACGACATCGCGTGCACCACCGCGCGCGCCACATTACCCAGAGGCTGCGTCGCACGACTGGGATCTTGCGCCGCGTCCTCGTCGCAGTCCTTCCCAGATCCACCAGCACCCTGCACGCGCATCGTATAGCTATCGGTGGCTTCTTCACAAAAGTCGAGCACGCCCATGCTCCTGACGGCCTTTTGCAATTTGGCCACGACTTTTTGCATGTCTGCCGAACGAGCGACGACGTCTCTAGGCAAGGTGACGACGGCACAAATCAGAGCCGCCGCCGTCGCGCGAGTACGAGTATACGCCAACGACGCCACGCATTCTTCCAAAACGCCCATGCGCACCATCTCCGCTTTCCTCTTAATTAACTCAATGGTCTCAATGCGAATTTGCGCTTCGATGGGGTCCGTGCGATCGGCCTTTTGCGCCCGTTCCTTGGCCGCTCGAGCTTCGGCCTCCCGCAACAACCGAGCCGCCTCCGCGGCCTTCGCCTCCTCATCCACATCATCGTCCGACTCTTCTTGCTCTTCCTCGGAAGACACATAATCCTCGGACTCCCTTCGAATTTTCTCCCGTGCGATCCTAGCTTTCTCGGCAGCCTCGATATCTTTCAGGTCCGGCCAGGAGAAGCCAGCTCTCGTCACGGTAGCGTTGCTCGAACACCCGAGCATGTACAACAACTTGCCTAACTGATTGACGCGCTGTTTCGGCGGTAAGGGCCGCGTCGCCATCTTCGCCATGACCGCACCGACACTACTTTTCACTTCATTGGCCTTGCGCAGAGCCGCCTCATCATCAAACGACGTGTTCCCGAGCATCTCTCGCTCCTTCTGTTTCTCACTCACCGATTCCTTGGGCGCGTACTCTTCTTGGATACAGGTATACTTCGGTACTCTCGCGTAGGGGTCCCAGTACCTTATCATAAGTCCGATGCACATTTGAGTTAATCCAGTTTCATCTTCTAAACGGTACCAGGTCCGATACGGACTACATCTCAACAAATCTTCCGTCGTCAGGCGCAGTCGACCGAGCGGCGCGCCCCCGAAGTCGTCGAGGGGGTCCACAGACTCCTCATCTTCTTCATCGGAATCCTTGACCAATTGGGCCAATTCCTGCACCTGCGACGCGTCGAGCTCGTCCTCCTCGGGCTTCTCCACAATTTCTTGAGTAGGCTTCTCGTCCTTGGACCCGCGAGACGCGCGCGACTTCTGCCGCTCCATGTTCTCGCCGTACTTCTCGTCTTTCGTTTGGGGCTTCACGCCACTTACCGCTTGCGCCCGCAAGTCCACTAACTGTTTCTCCTTCTTCCACCAATTCAAAGTTTCGCGTTCTAACCTCTCTTCCAAGTCTTGCGCGTCCTGCTCCATGCGCGCGTGAAAGTCCTGTTCCGCCTTCACGCGTTCGTACTGCTCGGGGTCGATGACTTTGAGCGTTTCTAGGCTGGGACCTTCCTTTTCGGTACTACCGGTCAACCGCTGCAGTAGCGTCGGTCGCCGCGCCTGCAGGGCTCTCAAACGCTCTTCTTCGGCTAAGCGCGCGATGCGACCTCGCGGTTCCTGGGGCCCGATGTCGACCTTTCGTCTTTTAGCCTTCGCGGCGACATCTCTGGTAGCGGTATCTTGGAGCTCGATCTCGAGGACCTTATCAACGAGCTGGACCTCCTTCTTGAACATGCCGACCTTCTTCTCCTTTCTCAAACTCAAAGTGTGGAAGGTCTGGTCGTTCTCCTTGAGCTTCGGTCGGGCTTGATCTACTGTAAGAGCCTGTGGTGTTAAGCCTGCCGTACCTTTCGTCAGGGCCTTGGCGTAGAGGTCCGCATGGCTGATGAACACGTCCGTTTCCACGAGTTTCTCCCGGCCCCAGTGGAGGACCAGCCTCGGTTTGGTCGGGCGCTCCTTTTTGTCCTTTTTCTTTTTTTTCTTTTTCTTCGGGTCTCTAGGCACGGCGCGGGCCGCGTAGTAGTCCTCGTCGCGGACGTCGTCGGCCATGAGGTCGTCCTCCTCGTCGGGGTCGAGGTAGACCTCTTCCGGTAGGACCTGGGCGCGGATCGATCAGTGAGAACGTGGCTGTTCTGGCGTCGCGTCGACCTCCACGCCATCGCCGCGACGCCTGCTCAATACCGCTCGATGGAGCCAGCACGGCAGCGGCATCGCCGAGAAATGAGACACTGGTCCGCGCGGGCGGCGGTTCTCCCGCCAAGCGCGGGATGTTGACGAGCTCCACAATACTAACCCGCAGCACGCCGTTCTTGTTGATTCGAGGTTCTTCCACCGCCGCTTCGAGCTCCGCACACGTGTCGCCGATCTCGTCTCTTCCCAACAAAAAGATCCGACACGCGTCTATCAACACGACGCCTCCAAAACTCTTGTCGCCTTGCACGGCGATGATCGCTTTGTCGCCGGGCGTGCCGATGAACTCCACCGCCAATCGCTCCCATTCTTTGTTCGAGCGCGCTCGCTTCGACGTTCGGTACTGATCCCTCCCATCGAAACTGATGAGGCGACAACCGCATCGCCCAGGTAAATCTTCCACGTTCTTGCCGCCCTCCATGTCGTGGTAGACGTACAGCTCCGCCCGATACCTTCGCGATTCGCGCGCCTCGATCTCGGCGAAGCACCCGCCGTGCAACCCGCCAGGAAGATGCAACTGCATGCACTGGCGCCCCGTCATGCACGGCGGCCGCGGCTTGTCGCCCTCGACCGCGCCCTCCTCCCAGAGCTCCCAGGGGTCCGTCTGGCCTATCGTGAGTTGTTGCGCGAGTACGAACTGATCACCACTACCAACCGCGTTCAAATCCCTTCCAGTGCTGTTCTTATCGTCATAGATGCCAAAGAACACGCTCCAGGCCCGCCGCGCGTCCTCCGGGTCCTCGAAGAAGAAGGCTTTTATGTAATTGGCGCGAGCCGTCCGGATGATGGACGACGTGCACTTCGTCCCGTCGACGATCATCGGTCGCGGCGGCAACTCCGGGCCGTCGCGCGGGTAGTCCTTCGGGATCTTCTGCGGGAGATCGTGGATCGACGCGACCTGGAACTGGTACTCCGTGTCCGGCCTCAGACCGACCACCGTGCGTACTCGACCTTCCGCATCGTGCGTGTGGTCCACGACGGCTCGGAAGATGCCCTCGACGCCCGGCTTGACCTCCTTCTCGCGCATCATGATGCGCGCGCCATGGAGCTTATATGTTGTCTTCGGCCGCGTCCACCTTAATCTGCAAGAAGTGGACGTGACCTGGTCTACGACCAACAAGTCGACTCTCTTCCCGTCTTCGTCCACATTTTTATGCGCCAACTTGAATTTCGTGGCCAGGTTCTTGCTCAGTTTATTGGTTAAATTGGTTATGGCAAACTTGTCCAAATTTTTATTCTTGATGCGTTCCTCCTCCTTCCTCTTCTCTTCATCGGGATCCTTCTGGTCCTCGTTCTTCTGGATGAGGTTCGCGCCGAGCGCGTCGAGCATGCCGCCGTCGAGCGCGGCGAGGGGGTCCTCGCTTTGAGTGGGCGCTTCCGGCTCCTTGTCGGCTTTGGGTTCCTTGTCCTTCTTGTGCTTGTGCTTGTGTTTATGTTTATGTTTATGTTTATGTTTGTGGTGCTTGTGCTCGTCATTGGAGCCCATGGTTGTGCGCTGTGGGGCAGCCTCGAGAGGCAGCCTCCACCGCGGCCGCTGCCGCCTCGGCCGCCGCGCAGCGATCGATGGACCGCTTCCGAGGCTCCGGGCTGCCGCTGCGCGTTCGATGCGCTGCCGATGGCTGCCCTTTGTTTAGTTTTGATTAGTGAGTTTTGGACTCTAGAAAGCCGAGACGTCGTCGGCCTTGCCTACCCGTCTTGCCCCCGTCTTCCCAGCGCGAGGACAAGGCTCGGGAGACGCATGTACGACGTAAACAATCGGAAGGGGTAAAATGATGGAAGAAGCCGCCCAGATTAAAATTAGCGCTAAACGACACTGCGACTTACCAAATACCGCGCAGTGTTACCTGCCAGCCGCGCAGCAGCTCTAAAATCACCAGGAGAGGCCAGCGCAAAGCGAGCGCGCGAAAACGCGCCGCCGCGGGGGCACATTTGAAAAGTTGCCGCCAAGGCAAGTGCCTATCTCGCGCGCGACGCGCATCACCTGAGGCGCAGCAGCCGCCGGTAGACCCGCCGCGCGGCCCGCGACGGGAAACCCGAGCCAGACAGCAGCGGAGCCGCCGTGACACACGCAGACGCGGCTTCGAGAACTTCGCCTGCCGTCTTCCACGAAGAACAAACACTATCGAAAAGCCAAGATGACGCGGGAACTGGCCTTCCTGGTCATCCTGGGCGCCGCCGCAGCCTTGACGCCGGCGGACAATCGAGCCGGCCTGCTCCACCTGCTCACACAACGAAGTGTGCAGACGAACGTTTATTACCTGACGAACTTTCACGACGAGCCCAAGGCCAAGTGGCTCGCGCGGTACCGCGAGCCCGTCGTGAGCCTGGAGATGGACCGGATATCGGATCGGAGCGTCCAGCCGCGCTATCACGGCTTGGACGCGTACTGTCAAGAAGATGACGAGGCGCCCATCGACTACTTGAGGGACATGATGACGGCCGAGCCCGTAGAATACAAAGTGAGGTACTTGGTAGGCACGCCCGAGGGCGCGCCGCGGCCCGACACCGCGGGCGCGCCCGAGGGCTTCGCGGAGACCACATCAGCAGCCATGGGCATGTGGAGCAACCCCGCGGCGCAATCGAGGCGGAACAACCCGTTTTTGGAAAGGTCCAAGAAGTACATTGAGTACGACGAGACGATCGTTCCCGCGAAGGTCGCGCAAAGCCTCATGCGGACGCGCGAGCAGCTGGCGCGCGAGTGGGCCTGGGACCTGAGGTCGTTATTAAGTCCGAACGCGGCGTTGGAAAGCGCCATCGATGGTACTTCCAAAATAAATGCGCCGGGCATGGACGAGGACTGCTCGCCCTTACGAAGCGGCAACCAGGACTTGTGTGCCCGCCTCGCGACGCGGTCGGCGGCCATCCAGGCGCTCTCGGAGTTGTCGCAACCGGAAGCGAGGTATCTGTCGCGAAAGCTCGCCCCCAAAACGGAAGACGACGACCGACCTCCGCTACCAGTCACCAAAGGGGACCAGCCGGACTACCTGCCGGACCCGATCCACGCCGAGCTCAAGGAGCGGATCTGCGACCTGCAGACCTACGCGGACGCTTTGGGGGATCACAGCTCGTCGCCGGGCGCCGCGGACCGGTTCTTGGACGACATCCGGGGCGATAGCGTCGGGAACGACGTCGACCCGGCCGCCGTCGCCTCCAAAATCATCACCATCCGGGATACCTTGGTAAGGGACTGGAGCGAGGCCGTCGTCGGCTGCGTCGCCGACGAGCACGCGCTCGTCTGCCGCGAGGCCCTCGAGGCACAGCTCGCGCAGGCCGAGGACAATTGAGAGACCACCACCCATGCACATAGCCGCCGGTGCCGGCGAAGCTGAGCCCCTGTCGTGTACATAGGTATATGTACATACCCCTCTCTTTTGGAAGTAACTTTCATTCAAGTATCTGAGATCATATTGGCGGCTGCGGCGGTGCTAAGTATGTACTATTCTATCGCGTCGGCGGCGTTGGGGAGGCGTTGGGACTCTGCCACACATGTACTCACGCGGGGGTGGGCGCGGATCGCGGCTCAGGGCGGCGCCGGCGCGGCCACGTAGACGTTGAAGCACATGGCCGCGGCGCCGGGGAGCATGGCCGACGCTACGTTCTGCACGAGCTCGTCGACGCACCTGCGTCCGCGGAGGCCCGCACGTTATTCAAACCTCGCTTTGTGTCGCATGCCAAATTAGACCGCTTGCCACAGTAGAGGCAGCCCGAACCGACGCGCAGCGCTGCCAGAGGGCACCCGCAGTGGAGCGCGACCAAAGCGCCGTGAAGCGGCAGCATCATGGCCGCCCCTTCATTGCCCGTCTCCGCGGCGGCCTTGCGGCGCGCGGACCTCCTCTTCAAGAAGGGCGACCAGGCCTCGGCGCCGCGCGAGGCCGCCTACGCCTTGTTGTGTGATGAGGGCGGCACCTTCGACGGCGGCGCGCTGCTCAAGAAGTGCCTCGCGGCCGTCGCGCAGAACCCGTACGGCGCGCTGGGGTTAACCACGGACGCGACGGACGCGCAGATCAAGAAGGCTTATAGAAAACTAGCTCTCAAGCTCCACCCGGACAAGAATCCCAAGACGACGCCCCTGTTTCAAGCCGTCAAGACAGCCTACGACGCGCTGCAAGATCACACGGGCAAGATCAAGGCAAAAAGAGCGTATGAGTCCGCGGAACGCGAAAGAAATAGTCGTCGCCGGGAATACGCGACGATGCGCGATTTTGAGCGGAAGACGCGGGGCCGGGCCTACCAGTACGGCGGGAATCCGGCGTGGGGCTGCGGCTACGGTGCGCGGCCGAAGCCGCGCTACCAAAGAGGCCCGACGGCGTCGGAGCGATATGAGGAGATAAGGAGGGCCGAGGCCCGACGGGCGGAGCTGCAACGCGCGCGCGAGCGAGCCGCGGCGGTTGAACGCGCGCGCAAGCTCCGGGAGAGGCAGCGGGAATTGCAGAGGCAGCGGGAGCGGCGACAGGCGGAGGCGAGAGCTCGAGGTCATTGTAGGAGGCCCTCGGCGGCGGAACGCCAACGGGAACGCGACGAAGCCATAAGACGGGGCGCGCGCTTGGCCGCCGAACGCGAGCGCAAGAAGCGCGAGCAGAAGGAGCGCGAGGAACGGGAACGGCAGGAACGCATGGCGGAAGAACAGCGGAAGCGCGACGAGCAGGCCAAGGCGAAAAAACATGCCTCGATGTTCGACGACCTGATGGCCGGCGCGCTCGCCGCGTTTTGAGGTTGCGGGGCCTTCACTTTGTCGATGTGACTCGTGGCCATCTCACAATGACTTGATGTCGCACGCAGGCATGGCGGCAAAAAGACGCGCGGCGCAGATGCGCGAGCAGCTGCGCATGCCGCCGGCGCCCGTTGGGTTGCGGGTCACGGACGTGAATGACGACAGCGTTGAATTAGAATGGTGCTCGGCCGAGGACCACCCGCCGAAGGGCTTCGACGTGCAATGGAAATTGTACCACCAGATCCAGTGGGAGAGCGCGAACGTCATGTTCCCGCGGTGCAAGAAGAAGAATTTAGAAAGGGGCACGAGGTACTGCTTTCGCGTGCGCGTCGCGGCGCACGCGGCGAAGCCGGCGTCGAATTGGAGCCGTAGTATCGACGCGACGACGACGGAGCCCTTCACGAAGGCGCCCTCACCGGTGAAACGAAGGGAGTCGCCTATCTTGAAGAGAGCCGCGTCGGAGTTCATGAAGAACTTCCGGCGGAAGCCTTTTGGCGATGCTTCGAACAAGCAGCCCGCGCCGCCCGCTGGCGCGCCGCAGAAGAAACCCCAAACAGCAAGGAAGCCGCCGTCGACGCGCCCCGGCGGCTGGTTCGAATTACGAGATGCGAACGGCCAGGCCTACTACTGGAACGCGCAATCCGACGAAAGCCAGTGGGAGCCGCCGTCGAAGTGGTACCAGGAAAAGGACCCCACGTCTGGCGTCGCCTACTATACGGACGGAAACCACTCGACGTGGCGCCGGCCCTCGGATTATGTGGAGGTCGCCAAGCCGTCGGGCGGCGACGCGCGCGACTTCGCGCGGCAGACGTTCCGCGCGCGCGCGCCCGTAAGTTAATCTCGATCGTTCAGTCACTCCCGGGTCAGTTTAGAAATTACCCGCGCCGCCGCTTCCTACTACTACTAGTACCATCACGGGGAAAGGAGTCCCAGGTGTCGTAGCACAAGCTGCTGTCGAGCGCCTTCACGTCGATGGGCCGGTCGTTGGCCAGGAGCGGGTGCGCGCGCGCGTGGACGTTGACGCGTCTGCGCTCCACCTGTTCCCCGTCGCCCTCGATCCAGAGCGCCGTCTCCGCGAGGTTCACCGTCGGACAAATGTGCTTCGGCACGAGATACAGCACGTCGCCCTTGGTGATCGAGGCGCACTCCACGGGCAAATGTTCCTCCGACGCCTTGCGCAGGGTGTAGTCCGTCTTCCCAATAATCTGACAGAGCGGGTCGCCCGCGTCCGCGGCCAGAGCCTTCACACCCGCGTCCAGAGTGTAGACGCCCTCCGTGGGGTTCGACACGCAGCGGCTCACGACGACCGCGGCCGGTTCCAAACCCACGGGGCACTCGTCGAACGAACGCAGGTCTCCGAGCACAATGGTGCCGGCCGAGACGCGGTGGCGGCCTGTCGCCGCGAGGCCCGCGTGCGCGATGCTCGAGAGTAACGCCGGCGTCCCGGCCGTGATGAGCGTGCAGGTCGCGCCGAGGGCGCTGTCGATCTCCAGCAGCCGGTCGTAGAGCGGAAACAGCGCCGCGTCGAGCTTTGACCGATCGCCCCGATGCTCCTTGAGGAGACCACCGGCGTGGCCGTCGTACATGTGCAGCCCGCTGAAGCGCTCGCCGACGGCCTCGCGGATTGATCTAGCGGTCGCCAGCGCACGATCGAGCGGGCATCCAGTGCGATTCATGCCGGGGTTGATGTCGAGGTACACGTCGAGGGCCACGGGCCGGTCCTCGTCGAAGCTCCCGAGGCCGCCCTTGTTGAGCAGAGGATTCAACGTCCGGCCGGCCTCGACGACCTCGCGGGCCCCGGCGACGTCCTCGACGATGACGGCCCACGAGACTATGTCCTCCTCCGCGTCGCCGTCGCTCGCGTTGCCGTAGCGGCATGCGCGCGCCGCCGCCGCGATGCGCGCGAGCGTCGGGCCCGTGTGCGGATAACTCACGACCACTTCGAAGGGTCCGTCGCCGCGGCCGCGCAGCGTCTGCCCCAGGAGCTCGGCTTCACGGGACGTCGCGCACTTGAACTGCTTGACGCCGCTGCTGATGAGCTCCTCTATTATCTGTTTCGACTTGACGGTCTTGATGTGCGGCTGCCTGCGTGGGCCACCAATCTGTTGCTTCCGAACGATGCGAGTGCGCCATCGAACGCTGCTCATGCACCATCGTTGCGCGCCGCCGCAGGCCTTGATCACTCGCTCGACGTTTTGGCGCAAGACGTCCGCGTAGATCACTAAACTCGGCGTACAGAGGCGCTGTTCCAGAGCCGTCGGGAGCTTGAACCGCGCGAGCTGCCAGGCTGTGACTGCCATTGCTGGGTCCACACCTCTCAGAATGCTCCGAGACTTGGCACACGTGTGCACGACGGCGTGCAGGCAGCGTGCACGATTTCTATCGATGCAGCTGCTAGGCGTGGGCGTCAAAGCAGCCCCGCAGAGCAAAAGTTTGGACCTACTGCACGGGTTTTCTGCTATTGAAAGAAATTGCTAGACGCAGCCTCCACACGTATCCAACGCGAGAGGACGGCTCTTTGGACGGGCAGCAGACGCACCGTCGATTCAAATAAAGCCTTTCCAGGCTCTGTGGCGCGAATCTCTGGCGTGAGAGAACAGGCAAATTCGGCTGAGCGCCGCGCCGCCCCAAGGTCGCCTCCACCGGATCCGACGCCGCTCCCGCCCCCGCAGCCGCCGGCGCCCCCACTGCCCCCGGAACCGGCCGGAAAAGCGCCGGCGAAGGGGCTGCCCCTCAGCCACTGCCCCGGAAACAGCCAAAGCCCGACGCCAACAGCCCGACACCAAGAATGGACGCCAAGACGACGACGCCCGTCAAGGCCCGCCGCCCCCAGCTCCCGGTCGTCACGCCCCAGCCCGAGGCGCGGCCCCTGAAGCGGCGCCCGTCGCTGGGCCGCCTCAGTTTTACGCTGCTCTCGCGCGCCGCGTCGCCGCGGCCCGAGTCCCCGCGGTCGGGTCGCGCGTCGCCGGGGCTGCCCCTGACCTGGAGCTTCGACGGCGACCCGCGCGACCTCGAGACGCCGCCGCCGCTCAGCGCACCATTACACTCGCCGCCCAAACTCGTGAAGCGGGCGCGCCGCGCGAGGATGACGGCTCCCACGGACTCCTGCGAGTCGCTTTTGGGCCTGCAGCCGCCCGAGGACCCGCCGCACCTGCCGCGGACCTCCTCCGGCTTCTCCTTCGACGTCGGCCTGCAGCTCTCCTTCGACGAGGAGCTCGTGAGCCTCCAGCTCTCGTGAAAGAATTCAACAAAGCCTCCCCCTGTCCACCGCCTTGACCACCACCGGCACCGCCACCCACCACCACCACCAGATCCAGAAGCATTGCGTTGCTTGGTTTGGTACCTCTGACTCCATCGCCGTGGCCCCCGCCGACGACCCGTCCCCTGTAAAATATGATACATGTCTCACAACTTACTCCGGATGAACTTGTAGCGCTCCGCGCACTGCCGCGCGCTCCGGCCCGGCACCTGCGCCGCTATGCGCTGCCACCGGTCCTTCTTGGGCAGGTCGCGCGGGACCTCGGCCAGCGCCTTGTCCAGGAGCGCCTGGTCGGCGGCGGTCCAGGGGGTCTCCTCTTGCGGTGGTGGCGGCGGTGCGGCGGCGGGCGGCGGCGGCGCGGGCGGCGGCGGTGGTGGCGGGGCGGCCTCTTTCTCCACCGCCGGGGTGAGCGGCGGCTCTGGTGTGGCGGCCTTGGCCTCCTCGGCGCCTCTACCTGCCGGCTCGGCGGCGGGCGGCGGTTCGCGCGGCGCCGCCTCGGGCGCCTTTACGACAGGCCGCTCCTTCGCCTTGCGAGCCTTCTGCGTCTTCTGCGCCGCCGGTTCCCGTGGTGCCTCGCCCGACGCCTTCGGAGCATCGGCGACGTGACGGAACGGGCATGCGTCGCCGTTGCGACATTTTCCTTTCGCGAAGAACCGGCAGGCCTGCTTCGACTTCTTCTTCTTCTTTGCCGCTGGCGCCTCCGCGGCCGCGGGCGCCGCCGCCGCGGGCGCCGCGGCAGTTGCGTCCTCCGAGCGTTTCAAGATGCGAACAGTCGGAGTCGCCTTACTCTTGCGCGCAGCAGCCCGTGCCGCGGCGCAGGCCCTCGTCGCGGCCATGATGTCAAAAGCCAGGGAGAGCTGCGCATCGATCACGGCTTCAGAGGGCATGGTTGATGGTGAGCCCTGTGATTGCTTTTTTTGCGGCGCGCGCGACTTGCTCCCTTTCCCGGTGTCTCTGGGAGCCATGCTGGATGCACTCTTGCTGCTCGCGAGCTCTGCTGGGCTGCCGTGGCCTGTGCGAGCTCCTGCCGCTCAAAGCCTGGAGAGAGCAGTTTTGCAAGGCGCATAAAGGAGCTCTAACAACGCGCACTACACGTTCTAGCAACGCCGCCACACAGTCGCATCGATCATTCGACGAGGAGACGCGCACTCAACCGATCGGTGCGGCAGTAGAACTTGGCAGCATGCATAGGCAGTGATGAAGCGCTTCCTGGACTGGCTCAAAGCCGGCGGCGCCGAGTTCAGCCGGCTGCGCGTGACCACCACGGCGAGAGGTGGCCGCGGCGTCGTCGCGACGGCCGCGTTCGCGCCGGGCGACGTGTTGCTGCGCGTGCCCGAGCCGCTGCTGCTGACGGTCGACCAGGCGGCGCGGCGGCCCGACGTCGCCGACGCGTTGCAGCGAGCGCGCTCCAGCGGAGTGTCCACGAACGACGGCAACCTGGCGCTCGCGCTCTACCTCGCGGGCGGCGACGCAGACTGCTTCTGGTCGCCGTACCGGCGAGCGCTCGGCGGCGTCGACCACCTGCCGCTGTTCTGGCCGGCCGCCGACGTGGCGTTGCTGGCCGGCAGCCCGCTCGCCGAGGACGTCGCCGCGCGAAAGGACGACGTCACGGCGACGGCGTCTGCCTTGGGCCTCGACGACGGCTTCGCCGTGGCCGAGGCGCACGTGCTGTCGCGGGCCTTTGAGTTCGACCGGGGCAAGCGGCGGGCGATGGTCCCGTTCGCGGATTTACTCAACACAAATAGGCACCAGGACCGCCACGTCGACTTTGAGTATGAGGGGGACGCCTTCGTGATGCGGGCGATCCGGTCCGGCGTCGTCGGCGACGAGGTCACGGACTCGTACGGGCCCAAAAGCAATGCCAGATATCTCCTCAACTACGGCTTCGCGCTCGAGGACAATAATGATGAAGCGGGCCGGAGCCGGGACGACGCGTGCCTGGACGTCGCCTTACCGGAGCACCTCCGCGCAGCGAGGGGCCACGCGTGGCTCCCGGGCTGCCCGGCGCTGCGGATACGCGTCGTGTCGGGCGACGATGCAGCCGTGGAGCACGCGCTCGCGGCGTTCCGCGTCATCGCCGCGAGTGATGACGAATTCTCGCAGCTCGAGCGGGAGCACCTCGCCCCGGCGCGGCGGCGCGGCGTCTTCGGCGACGGCATAGAGCGACCGGAGATGGCCGCGCGCGCGGCCGTCGTAGGTCTCGCGTCGACGCCGTTTGTCAGCCGCCGGAACGAGCTGGCCGCACTGACCGCGCTCCAGGAGCTGGCCGCCGAGACCGCCGCGGCGCTCGCGCCGCCGCCTTTTGATGAGGACGAATCCGCGAACCGGCGCCACGCGCGGATATACCTCGAGGCCCAGAGGAGCATCCTCGAGGGCGTCGCCGAGGCTTGCGCGGTGAAAGCCATACTTGCGCGCCAGGGCCGGCGCTTAGTTTGAATTTAAGTTGTTTCTTTGTGCTCTACCTGTCTTGCTTGGATGCTGGGGGTGATGAGCTGTCGCGCTGGGAACAGTGGTGCGGCCGCACCGAGGGCCGGACTCTAGGCTAGAGGGACCGCTCCATGCTTAAAATTGGCCTCGCATTGCGCCTATATTCCCGCACAGCTCTGCATGCTCAGACGCCTGCAGTGGCAAGAACTTTCATAATTCTGGCTGGATGACAGCAAACGAGGCCGCCGCGCCGCCTGCGCCGGACGCTGCAAGAACGAGCTCAATGGAGTTGGCCGGTTCTCCAGCGCCGCGCGCAGCCCCCGCTGCACTGCCCTCCCCCGAGGAGGCACCCGCAACCAATACAGAAGCAATGCAGCCGCCGGAGCCCGCGGAGGAGGCCGCGCTCACGCAGGCCGAGGCCGTCGCGCCCGACTTCGAGACGCCGGCCTCGCCCAAGCCGCCCAAGGCCACGACGAACGCCCCGAAGGCGGCCCGCGGCCTCGACCAGCCCGCCAAGCCCCTGCCGCCGCCGCCCCTGACGCCGAACGCGTCCTCCGAGGCGCCGACGCCGTCGCCGGCGCCGCCGTCGAGGCCGACGAGCAAGGACAAGGAGTGGTCGCCGGGCGCGGCCATCGACTCGGGCAACGCCTCCGCCGCGTCGCCCTCGCTGTCGCGGAATGGTAGTAGGGGAAGCGCGACGGACCCGTCGCCGCCGTCGCCGAGCGGCACGCAGAGTTTAGAATGGGAGTCCCAGGCGTCGCTGTCCCCGACGCGTTCGATCGGGCCCTCGCGGCGCCGCGTCGAGAGCGTCGGGAGCGCGCTGCGCCAGGGCGGCCGCCCGGAGCAGCAGGATAGAGTGCTGGTCGAGAAGGCGCCGGGCGTCGGGTTGATCGTCGGCGTCTTTGACGGGCACGGCGGCGCCGAGGCCGCAGAATTAGCGTCGAAGGACCTGTGGCCGCGCGCGCGGCAGCGCGGCGCCGGTTCCATAGAGAGGGCCCGCGAGTCGCTGCGGGGCGCGTTCGACGACCTGCAGACGGATATCGACGAGGCGCACACGGCCTGGCCGCCGAACGCCACCCTAAGAGCGCCGTCGACGGCGGGCACGACGGCCGTGCTCTGCATTGTGAGGGACGTGGGCGATTTGATCGACGTCGCGCACGTGGGCGACTCGCGCGCGGTCGTGGGGCGAAGATTGGGGGGAGACGACGTCAGTGACGGCGACGAGCTGACGCCGCCGCAGCGCGGGCGCGCCTGCCGGGCCGTCAACCTGACGACGGACCACAAGTGTCATGATGTGGATGAACGAAGGCGCATCGAGGCCGCGGGCGGGCGCGTCTACGTCTATGGCGGCGCGCGGGGCCCCGTGGACTCAAGAGTTGGTCTTCCCCGCTTAAAAGCGGACTGCAGCATCCAGATGAAGCGCCAGAAGGTCACGGGCGAGATTGTTGATTTGCCGTTCCTGAACATGAGTCGGGCGTTGGGGGATTGCTGGTCGCGGCACCCGCTGACGGGTATAAGGTTAGTGAGTCCGGAGCCGGACATCACGCGGCACACGCTGGCACGCACCGATAGATTCCTGCTGCTCTACTCCGACGGCGTCTCCGGCGTGCTTTCTGATGATGAGGCGTGCCGCTTTGTGGCGGACGAGCTGCGGGTCATGGACGCGGCGCGCATCACGGGCCGGAGGGGTTCTAGAAGATCGGAGACCAACCGCGCCACGCGCGTCGCTGAAAGATTAGCGGACTACGCGCTCCAGAAGTGGCACGACAAGTTCGGCGGGAACGCGACGGCCGACAACGTGTCGGTGGTGTTGGCCATCTTCGAGGACCCGCCGCCCTCGCTTCCGCTGGAGCGCGCGGCGTCGGCGCCGGCGGTCGTCGGCGCGCGTTCGGAGGCGGCGCGGGAGCCCGTGGTCTTCGCCGAGTCCGCGCCGGCCGACCTCGTGCCTCCCTCACGAGCGGCGACGGCGCCGCTCGCGCGCGCCTACTCCATGGCGCCGCAGACGTCGCCGACGTCCCTCAAGCGGGCGAACAAGGGCGGCGCGGAGTCGTCCGACGAGTCGCCGCGGAAGCGGAGCAAGCAGCCGCTGCCGAGCCTGGCCGAGTAGCCCTCTCTTCTTCCGTGTTTGTTTGATCACCGGGTGGGGCAAGTTACAATAAGCGTTTCTATCGAAAAACATCACATTAGACGTCCTCCTGGGCCGCGCGGAGGGCCTCGAGGGGGACGCCGGCGCGCTTGCAGAACTCAGCGTCCGTTTGGCTGGAATAGGAGAGGACAGGATATGCATCGACGCCGGCGGCGCGGCATACTTCGAGTCGGGCCCGGTACCGTTTGTTTAGACTATAACTCAGACGATTTGGACCCGTTACTATCGAAGCGCGCACTTCAGACACAGGGAGACCAAGTTCTTCTTCGAGGAAGTTCAGCTTTGGCTCCAGGTTGTCTTCGACGCTGTAATACAGCAGTGGCGGATGACTCAGAACCATCTTCCTCAGCTCCGGAGCGTCTAGGTCCAGGCGCGTCTGCAGCCAGTCGAGGTTCGGCTCTATCTTGTCCTCGATGCTTATGCTCAGCAGTGACGGAGACGTCACAACCATCTTTTTTAGTTGCGCATTGTCAAGGTCGAGCCGCCTCTGCACCCACTCGAGCTTTGGCGCCATGTTGCGGCCTAACAGTGTCGGCTGCCGTAGAACAATTTTACGCAACTGTCCCTCGTCCAAGTCGAGGTAGTTCTGCAACCACTCGAGCTTTGGCGCAATGTTCTTTTCGACGCTGTAGCCCAGCAGTGACGGGGCCCATAGTATCACCTTCTTCAGCTCCGCGTCGCTCAGGTCGAGCGAGGACTGTAGCCAATCGCACACGCAATCGATTTGCGTCCGTGTTAGGCTTTCTGCGATATTCGGTAACAACCCTCGTTCGGCCTTGCCAGCCGCCACCGCCGTGCAGCCCAAGGACTGGATGCAGTAATCATATGCTGCGCCTGAACACACATGGCTGGGCGGCCTGGCAACCGGCGGCACCAATGCGACCGTCAATGAGACATGCAGAACGCATGCCCGCATTGCTTTTTCACCTCATCCGGCCGTCCAGTGGTGTGTTTGGGCCCTGGCTCTGCCGTTGAGCTAGTGTAGTAACATACTAGATTACACAGCGCAGGCTGCCCAACGCCGCCGCCGCGGCACCCAAGCAGTCAAGAAGATGCTAGGCTCGCCCCTCGCCTCGCCCTCCGTCGACACGAACAGCTCGAGCCCCTTCAAGGACGCGCCGCCGACCGACCGGCCCTACAAGGACCTCACGGACCGGCAGACGCGCTACCAGAAGGCCGTCTGCGTCGTGAACGCGCCGGGCAAGTTCGCCGTGACGGGGACGCTGCTGATGTGCCGCGGCCAGTGCTGCGTCTTGTTCGGGGACCAGGCGAACGCGCTCGTCCCCCGCGACGCCGGGCAGGCGACGGCCGTCTTCTATAGCAACGGCGGGAGCGAGTCGACGGCGGAGGCGAAGCTCATGCCGCACTTATTGTGGTGTCCAAGGGCGGAGTTCGGGCTGATTCTCTGTGCGGTGGATGGGGAACCGTTACGAGCCCCGCGGGTCTGGCCTTTGGTGCCGTCCCCAGATGCTTTATATAAGGGCGTTCGAGAAGCAAATGGCGACGCGAAGAAGGCCCCCGAATGCCAGCTATACGGCCACATTGACGGCGCGGCGAAGCGGTCCCTGACGCTTTACGTGGACGACTACGACCGCCAGTCGGACCGGATCTACTTCCGGTTCGCGCCGCCCGTGGAAACGCACGGCTGCCCGATATTTTACGAGGGTAGGTGGGTCGGCAACGTCACGACGGAAACGGAGCCGAATAGGTCCGTGGTCGTGCCGGGCGAGCACCGACCTTTGTATGTCAATAAGACTGATAGAGGCATCGGCGTCGGCGTGGTCTTAGCTTCTTTAGGCTGCGCCGGCGTGCCCGCGGAGCAGTGGCCGCCGGAGCCGCAGTCGGACTCCGACTCGGACGCGTCGGAGAACCGGCCGGCGACGCCGCCGCCATTAAACACGCCGTTCGAGCGGCCGCGCCTGCCCGAGCCGGAGTTTAATGGGTATGCGGGCCACCACGTCTTCGACCGTAGTAAACGAGGGCGGAGCTACATTGGTGGTTCTGGTATTGCGTTGCGGGCGCGATTGGGCGACGGCCCGCGCCACCGGCCACAAGGACGGGCGAGACACGACCGGCCGGCGCGCGCGATCAAGGCGGTCCACGAGGCGAACATCGAGGCTCTGGCGGAACTCCAAGCCGAGGACGACGACCCGAACTTTTTGAGAGATTTGAGATTTGCGCGCGGCTGGACGCTGGCCCACGTGGCCGCGACGACGGGCAACGGCGCGATGCTCGTGCCGCTGGCGGAGTGCGGCGTCGATTTGTGGGAGGCGACGCCGCTGGGCGACACCGTGGCGCACACGGCGGCCTACCACGGGTGCATCGGGGCGCTGCGCGTGCTGAAGGCGCGGGGTCTGCCGATCAACGCCGAAAATAATCGGGGCGAGCGGCCCGTGCACAAGGCTTTGCTGCGGCGCCACGAGGCGTGCGTCGCCTGGTTTAAAAGAAGACGCTGCGCCATCCCCGTCCTGCCGAAGGCGGTCGACGAGGACGACGGCAGCGGCTTCCTGCCGCGGTCGGCGGTCGCCGTCGCGGCATCGGTGCACGGGCCGCGGCCGGAAGTCGACCCGGCGGCGTTCCTGCCGGAGGCGTTTGGGCTCTAAGTTTTTGTGTGATTATTGGTGCGTCGTTGGCGGCGTGTGGTTAGCGGGGCGAGAGAAATAAACTTGCTAGTGTCTTACCAAACGCTAGCGTGAACTTTTTGTCGGTCATTTGTCCTACGACGCGCAGGGCACAAGCTGTGCCAAATTTTTAGCCTGCGAACGCAGCAGACACATTTTGACAGCATAACGACCGCTGAGCTGCATCGCTCGCGCGCTGGCAGCCAAAATGCCTCGATAGCACAAAAATCAGCAGCACTGCGAGGCGCTTACCCTCGTCGAGAGCGTCAAAAATAACAGCAAGGATGGTGAATCTCAACCAGCCCATCCGCATCACCACGACGCGCGTGCTGCTCGTGGCCGGCGTCGGCGCGCTCCTGCTGCTGCACAAGCAGGCGCAGCACCACGCGGCGCTGCCGTCGCACCCGCACGTCTTCCATGGACAGCACGGCCCCGATCACATAAGACGGCCACCCGCGCCGCCCGTGACGATGCCGCCGCGCGTCGTCGAGAAGGTGGTCGAGCGCCCCGTCGTCGTCGAGAGAGTGGTGGAGAAAGTCGTGGAGAAACTAATAGAGCGCCCCGCCGCGACGCCGGCGCCCACATCTCAAATCCCGCTCCCGGAACGACGAGCCGCGATAGAGGCCTGGGCGAAGGGCGAGAAGCGACAGTGGACGCGCCTCGAAGCGATCGGCGTGGCCGACCGCCACGCGACTACTCCAGCTCTATGCATCGACGGCTTCCACGACGAGCCCATGTGCGTGCCCCCCTTCTTACAAGTTAGACAACCGTGGAAGGTCTGGATCGTGGAGTGCCACCCGTCGAAGGGCTGGCGCTTCAACCAGCTCATCCACCAGGGGTTTGACGCCCATCCCGCTTTAGATAGAACATATGATCGGAGCGAGGCCCATGCTTTAGTGTGGATCCCGACGTGCATGAATTCCTTCAGTGTAGACAACTGGACGAAGAGTGAATGCGCCAAATTAGCGGTTCTGGACGAGTCGGACAACGTGGGGCACTGGCCTCAAGTTAGAAATACACATTTCGGCTTGTACTTCAAGCGGAGCTGGGTCCATAAAAGAAATGGGACGCATAAAGTTCATCATGATGTGCCGCACGATTTACAACATGTAGACGTGAAAGCAGCTCGAAAAGATCCCCACCTCCACGAGATCTGCGAAGGTAACGGTATACATTGCAAGCACCACGGGCATCGAGCGTGGAAGAACCGGGACCATCCGGATAGAGGCCAATATTTCGCTCCATTGCCCTATGCCGTCTGGGACAACTACACGCACGGGTTGCAGCTGGGTTCGGAGCGGGATCTACGAGTTGTGTCGACCATACGGTCATCTTTGAAAAGACAACCAGCTCGGACGCGCGTCGTCGAGTTCCTCAAAAGTATACTGTACGAGGATATGAAGTTGTCAGAAGATGAAGCCGTCGTGGGAGACACGGGCGGCCACCGCAAAACTTTGGATAATTCCTACTTCGGTTTGATGCGGCGCGCGCAGATCGTGGTCACGTGCAACCCGTCGTTCTGGGACGGCGACTTCCGGCTCTTCGAAGCCTTGTCGTCGGGTGCTCTGGTGTTTACGGACGAGTTGCATACGCCGGTGCCCTATCCCTTAGTTGATGGGGTGCATCTTGTGGTGTACGATCACGCGGATAGAAATGACCTGGAACGTAAATTACGGTACTACCTCGCGCGGCCGGAAGAAGCCGCTAGGGTCGCGGCGAACGGCTTGGCGCATGTGCTGCGACATCATCGGGCCGTGTCTCGCGTCGATTACGTGCTGAGATCATTAGCGGATAAGTGGCAGGCGCACCCGGAAGATGATCATGGGAGGTGGCCGCGGCCTCCTCTCAGAAAGGCGCCCTATTCCGAGACGGGCTTTCAGATACGAGCGTCGCTGGACCACGAGCTCCACGCTTTAGACTTCCCGCCGGACCCGAAGCGGCCGCTCGTCGGGTAGTCTTGTCTTCGCGGCGATGGCGTGCTGGGGGTCCTCTCGCGATTATCTGGTCACGGTAGGCCCGGCGAAATACTCGTAGTATCAAGATTAACTCATAGACTTAGGCGCCATCGACCCCGATGCGCTTTTTAGCACAGACAACTCACCGCCGGTCCCGGCGGGACCGGTCCCGGGACCGGTCCCGCCGCGAGCGGTCGTCGCGCCGCGAGCGGTCCCGCGACCGACTCCGCCGAGACCGATCCCTGCGATCCCTTCGAGACCGCTCGCGGCTGCGGCTGCGCGACTTTTCACGGGGAGGCGGGTCGCCGCCCAGCGCCGCGATTTTTTCATCCCTCCAATCTAAAAACGTGCGCCGTCTAGAGTCCGACGAGAGGTCCTTGTATCTACTATCGTTCTTCGGCCTTATAATACCATCGACGGCGGACCACTTGAGATCAGCATAGGCTTCGGCCGACGCCTCACTTACTTCCTCGTCCAACAGCGTTCGGAAGGCGTCGCAGCGCTTCTTCCTCTTCTCTTCTTTGTGAGCAGTCTCCGCATCTTTCAACTGTTCCACGAAGTCGTTGAAGGCCCGTTGCCGATCCTCCGCATCCAATAACAACCACCGCTCGTCTTTATGCGCGCGGCAGTGCTCCTGGAGCCGCGGTCCACAAGTGCGCCACTCGCTTGATGACGAGACGAAGGCCCGGCCCTGGAAATCACTGGACGCTAATAACTCAAGAAACACGCCCCTCTTCCGCGCCTGCTCCACGCGCTCGGCTTCTTTTTCCTGCTTCTTCTCATATGCTAGTCTTTTCGTCGTATACTCGGCGAACGCTTGTTTCCGTTCACCCTGCGTCCGCACACCTACAACCTCGGGGTCCCGCTGCAACCTCCGGTAGACATCGTTAAAATTCTCCCACGAGTTAATCTCCTTGGCCTCGAGGTGAGCCTTGAACGCGGCTATAGCTGCTACCGGATCGTAGCGGGACTTATCCGAGGGATCAACCTCCTCACCACCGTCCTCCGGCAAGGCGACCATGAAGGACTCGTAGGCGTCGTGGACTCTCTGAAATCGTTGCGTCGCGGACGGGTCGCCCCGGTTCCGGTCAGGATGGTGCTTCAGACTCATCTTCTTGTAGGCCTTCTTGAGTTGCGCTTCGTCGCGACAGTCGGCGGCGACACCTAGCACTAACGCCGCGTCCTGCAGCTTCATGTCGGTCTTCTTTTTCTCTTTCAGTTGTCGTCTTTTTGCCGCGCGTCTTGCCGCTTTTTCTAATTCTTCCTCTAGTCGGTCGAGGAGTGGTGTGAGCCGATCTCGTAACTCCTTCAGATCTTTGGATGCTGGATGTAGTGCTAGACCCTCACCGACGCACTCCATGGCCTCGTGGAGGTGGCCGCGGCTCGCCAGCAGGTCGCCTCTCTTACATAACTCGGCGGCCTGCTCTCTCTTATAAATGGACTCCATGTGGGCCATCTTTGCTCGCTGCTGCGGCGTCCGCGGCTTTTTTGCTGCTGTGTGAGCGATGCAGTGGTAGTGAGTGCTGTTGCGAGCAGCGGTGCTGCTCTGTAGACGAGCGATACAGTCGTGACTCGTGCGCGCAGTGCTAGATGCAATCCGTGCACCACGTCGCTTTCGCGGCGTCGACGACTGAAAAAAAATGTGTTTTCTAGTGTCTTACACGCCGCTAGCTCGCGAACACGGCCACCTGGCTTCCTGGCCGAAGCCTGAGCCTGAGTGATTGCCGCGTTCTATCACAGGGCTACTTTACTCGTCTGCTAGGAGTGGCCGCGAGTTAGTCCAAGGAAAACCCCGCCGACACGACGTTCGCGGGATTCTTCTCGTGGTGTAGAATCACGGAGTACGTGCCGACGTGTTGGAACAATAGCGGCTGGACGAGGTGCACGCCCAATCCATCAGCGCGTGCCAGGCGGTGCGTCGCGATATCCTTCGGGACGTCCGTGTGCCTGCAGAGATAGTCCGCGAGCCGCGTCGCCCACGCCGCCGGGAAGACGTGCGCTTGGCTGCAGGCCGCGACGGGCACACCGACGAGGCGCGGTGCGGGCCTTATCACGTTATACAGTCGAACCCAGCAAGGTCGAGTAATATCCACGACAAACGCCACGGCGAGCGCCCCGACGCCAGCGCCGAGAATTATTGATCGCGAGGCGAACGCGGTGGCGAGGCCGAGCGCCAGTCCACCGGTCGCTATCGGTACGGCGTGGTAATCCTCAAATCCAGTATATTTGTCCGGTACGAACAACTTCAGATACGCCCAAGGTCCTTTCGACTCTGCGGCCTCGACCGCCCTGTCGAGTTTGTCAAAAAGATGTCGCGTAGGCGGCCCAAAACTTAGTCAACGCGCTTGGAAAGTCAGGACACTTCGCCGAGGCCAAAGCATTGTTGCGAGAGCAGATCCCCAACATGCGTCAACTGGGACCCGATCACATGAGCACAATCTCGCTTCGTCTCCTCCTGGCCAAATGCCTCAAGGAGGACACCAACGCCACTGAACGTGATGTTAAAGAGGCCGTGGCGATTCTCGAGGACGTCGATCGGAGAACGCGGCGCGTGCTCGGTAGCGGGCACCCGCGTGCGAAAGATGCCCGTGGTTCCCTAGAACGTGCACGCCAGCTACTCGCCAATTTCAAGGCCTAAGTAAAAATTCTACGCCTCCCCCTCGACGACGACCCCGTCCGGGAACCGCGTCGACGTCGAGCCGTCCGCGCGGACTGTTTTTGTGGTGCCGTCGGGGAAGCGGATGTCCTTCGCGCCGTCGGCGGAGTGCGTCTCGACCTGGCCGTTGGGAAACTCGAAGACCTCGACGCGGCGCCGCGGGTCCGTCGTGTGCGTCGTGTCCGCCGCAGCATAATAATAGATCGTCGCGCCGCTCGGCTCCGAGGTCTTCACGTCGCCGTTCGCGAAGCGCACGACGCACGTCCCGTCCGCGTCGACGCGCTTCGTGGTCCCATTCCTATAAGCTACTTCCCGGCTCCCGTCCCCCAACCGCCGCTCGCGGAGCCCCTCGCGGCCCCGCACGGGCCGCCAGGGCGGCTCGGCATCTTTGTCGGCGACGGGCGTCTGGGCCTCGCGCACCGCCGGGCGCTTCTTTTGAACAGGCTTTGATGGAGCGAGCGCGAGGGCCTCCTGGTCGCGGACGCGCGCCGTCAGGTCGTCGACCTCCCGCTTCTGCGCCTCGTAGGCCGTCTGGAGCTGGTGCTCCCGTTGCAAGAACTTCTGGCGCCGCTTATCACCTTGCAACTGCAAGCGAGCCACAGTTGCCTTCAACGCCTCGATCTCCGCGTCTCGCGACGAGTAGTCCCCGTTCACGGCGTCGTCGTCGGGCCGCCGCCTTTCTCTCGCCACTCCTTTACGTTCCTTCGCGACCGCACTTCGCTGCTGCGCCGCCCAGGCGTCGAGCGCCGCGTCCTCGGCGTCCTGGCGCGCCTCGACGTCCGCAGCTCTCCTCGCCGCGTCCGCTAAACTCCTCTCGAGCCGCCGCTGCGTCTCCCTTCCTCTAGCTAGGTCCGCGCGGCACCTTTCCAATCGGTCCTCGAGTTCCTTCGTCGCCTCGTCCTTCGGCGGCACGACACTTACAGTGGCGGCGTCGTCGCCTCTCCCTAATCGAGGAGGCGACCGCCGGGGTTGGGCCCGGGGCGGCGCCCTCCTCACGCGGCGCGCCGCGGGCCGCGCGACCTGGTCGGGCGCGCTCCGCTGGCGCTGGCGCTGCGCCGCGTACATGCCCACGACGGCCTGGTCGCGCGCCGCGCCCTCGCTGTCGTCTCTCCGCATGGACCGCTCCGTGGCCACGAAATCATCCAAAGCCGCGCGGTCCTTCTCGCGGCTCCGCCGGAACATGGCCGCCAGCGCCTCGGCGCTGATGTCCTCGTCGGAGACGTCGTCGTCGAACATTTTTTGTTGTTGGGGACCGCTACGACGGGGCGCGAATCGGCGCGCGCGCGGTTTCGAGCTGTCCTCGGCACAGCGAGAACGGATAGCCTTCGGATCGCGGCAGCTTCCGAACACCTCAACAACGGTGCGTTTGGAAACGCTACGCGTCGACCAGCGTCGGCAGCTAAGGCGTAATTAGGATGGCGGGGCCCCCGGACTTTTGACAAACCCGTCACTTGAAATACCCGTGCGATATCAAGGACCGCTCTTTTTCCCGCGAGCGGCACAACAGAACCATCAGAAGACGCGTGGAACCCTCACGATCACGAAGCGACGGCCTGCGCGATCATCCCATTGTAGCAGTCTATTGTGCGAGATATCGGTGTTTTTCAGCGTCTTTTGCAGCCAACAACGGTGTCTGGAGCCCATGGCTGACAGCTTTGAGATCGCGTGAAGTGCTCACGAGAAGATAGCTCCGCCTGAGGCCCTGTGGTCGCGTAGCAGCACCAAAATCGCTGTGAATGCCACCACAGCCGCCGCCGGCCGCGCGGGCTTCTGATCGTCGACGCGGAGGCGCGCAGCAATTGCCGTCGCCCGCTCTGGCACGCTGCGGCATCGATTCCTGCCCAACATTCCTGGCGCGCTCGATGTCACGGCGGGCCGGCGCGCGGAAGTTGTGGCTGGGCCTAGCTGGCCGTGCTTCTCAGGACACGCCGGCGGCCTGACATGGTCGCCGCGGTCCCAAGGACACAGCAGCGGTGCTCAGCTGGCCGCGCGCGCCCCCCAGGACACACCGGACCCAAAAGAACTCCCGACGCCATCGCGCAACCGCCGACCGCCCCCCCTCCCCGCACGCAGACACGATGCAGCGACTCATCGCCGCCCTCGCGCTCTCCAGCGCCGCGGCGTTCGTCGCGCCGGTGGCCCCGGCGGCCTCCACGGCGCTGCGCGCCGTCGAGGAGTTCGAGGTCGGCGTGCAGGCGCCGGCGGGCTTCTTCGACCCGCTCAACTACTGCGAGGACCAGCCCGAGTCCTTCGCGCGCCGCCGCGCCGTCGAGCGCAAGCACGGCCGCATCTCCATGATGGCGTTCGTCGGCATCCTCGTGCACAACGCCGACATCGAGTTCCCGGGCTACATCTCGAAGAGCCAGGGCGTCAAGTTCTCGGACATCCCCGACGGCATCTACGGCTTCTCGAAGATCCCGGCGGCGGGCATCCTCCAGATCTTCCTCCTCACGGGCCTCATCGAGCTCGCGTGGTGGCCCGCGTCGAACTACTCGGGCGACTACGGCATCGGCTTCTGGGGCAAGAAGTGGCAGGGCGAGGACAAGCTGCAGAAGCTGAACGCCGAGATGGCCAACGGCCGCCTCGCGATGCTCGGCGTCGCGGGCAACATGCTCGCCGAGGGCCAGACGGGCATGACCTTCAAGGAGCAGCTCCTCGCGCTCAACTTCAACCCGTTCGCCTAGGTGTGTTGTTCGGGGAGCCTCTAATAGTTTCTGAAACAAACAACATTATGACGAGGGCTGCGCCCACGTCTTCAGCGGCTTCCGGCTGTCGCAGCCGCCGTGGCAGCGCTCGTCCTTCGCGGGGACGGCCCAGCGACAGCTAATTTTGCTCCCCTGCATGAAGGGGAAGAAGGACCGCACTTTCCCATCTTCGGCGGGCGGCTCCCAGACCGTACCGGAGACGCCGGCCTTTATCAATCGATCATAGATGTGGTAGAGCCAGTAGGGCAGGTAATACTTGCGCGCGTCGCCGCCGAAGCGATGTGAAGGGAGGTGGTCGTTTCTTACTGAGGCCCAGGCCGTGTCGTTCTTGATTAATAAATGGGGCAGCTCGTCGTGCAAATCCATGAAGGGCCCGCGCTGGGGCGGCCACCGCGGCCGTTCTAGGATGGGCACGGCGCCGGCGACGATCGCCTCCGTGTCCCTGTAATTGACGAAGCCGACGCCCGGCGGCGACGGCACGTAGGTCGCGTCGCTCATGGCCTGGACGTAATACCCATGATCGACCTTGCCCGTGTGCGCGTCGTTGCCCGTCGCGGGGCAAATGCCGTGCCGCATCAAAGCGCGGAACTTCTTGACGCGGTCCCGATGCAATTTCATGCCCACGCACCGCACGTGGACGCTATTCACGTTGTCGAGGCAGTGGTCCCGCCACGGCCTTAAGTCTTTCACGCCTCTTGGCAACGAGTAGGCCCCGCCCGGGTGCGTCGGCCGCTGGGGGTTCCTCAAGAGATTCTGGGCGAGGATCAGGGCGTCGGGCTTCGCACTTTCAACATTGATCCACCCGAAGCCCAGCTTCGCCAAGACCACATACTCGCGCCACACGGGATGCACGCGGTCCGCGGGGGCCATCATCTCGTCCTCGTACGGCACGAGGATCTTGGGGTAGAAGGCCGCCGCGAGCTTCATTAATGATCTTTGATCAAAAATGACGTCGTCGGCTCGGATGTCAAACACGTCCCACAATCTACCTTTGCACCGCACATGTGGGGGGGCTTTACGGTAGGTATCTTCGAGGCCGAACTTCGCGTTCCAAAACGCCAAGCAGCACTGGAACTGGCGCTTGACGCAGGCCGGCGGTTTCGAGAAGGGGATCTTTTCCAGTAAGCACTTGAGCGGGTACTCCTTGTCCGCGGGACATTGTACGGGAGGCAAGCCGCAGCACGTCCGGTTCGTCGGTATGCTTTCCGGCGCCATGTTGTACAACCTTACATCTTCACTTCCATCGTCTCGTAATGAATCATCGAAGGGAAAGCACAAATTCACGTTCGCGCGCGACCGCGGCTCGTCGCAGCGCCAGGGCGCCGGCCTAAAATTGTCCTCGTACCAGTGGCGCGGCGGGTGCGCGTGCGGTGCGGCATGGGCGTGGCCGAGGAGCAGCACCGCGATTTGTAGCATTTTTTTCACTCTTTTAGGCTGCCCCCCACAGCACCACTTCCTGGTCCAATTGAGCGCGCACCGATCGAGAGTCGCTTCGGATTATCGTGGTGGGCTGCCTGCAGCGCTTGGGCAGCGCTGCTGCGGCGTCGTGATGCCCTGGCCGAGTGGACGACGCCGGCGCCGGCGTCTCGAAGCCCAGCTACCCCTAGTGCTAGCGTAAAATTCAGTCTTCATTGACACGTGACTCTGTCCGGAAGTGCTCCATCACACGGCTCCAATGATTTGAGTCTAGTGTGTTTATCAAAGAGCATGCTCGAAACGCGGCGCGTTACGCCACGGATCCAGTCCTCTGGCGTTCCGCAACAGGACCTGACACGCTACCGTCGGCCCTAGGCCCGCTACACAGCTGCTCCGAGCTTCGTGGCCCGTAAAATTTGACCTAGCAACCAAAAACAAGGGCTGCCACTCTGAACTGCTTGCGGGGCGCCGCGCGACGACGACGACGCAAGCCACGATGGCCGACCTCCCGCCCCGCGCGCCACCACCCCGCACGGACTCGCGCGACTCCCTCCTCTGCTCCGAGGCGAGCGACCCGCCCGAGCCCAAGTGGTGGCTGCTGGAATGGATGAATTATTTGATCATGGCCATCTTCCTCGGTTCTGTATGCTATCATGTACAACAGACGACCTTCGCGCCGAAACTCCAACGGGACGCGACGTCGTTACTACCGATGTTGACCATTTGGTCGTGCTGCATGGCCTACTTCTTCGGTTTTTTTGGGATCAGTTTCGTCGACAAGGATGAAGACCTATTGATGGAGTTCGAACACACACCGTGGGAACCTACAAATGTGGAGGAATTACCTCGGACGCTCGGGAGCATCGTCGAGGACACTGGTGCGATGACGCACACGCCGTCGCAGACGACGCCGCGGGCGCTCTCTACTAATGAAGAGGAGCCCGTGCAGGACGCATTAAGGAATGCTGATGATGCGGAGCGCGTCGCGGCGGTGCTCGCGCGTTCGCGTTCACTAAAGGTGGACGTCGTGGGACCCATAAGCGTTGATGGGAGAGAAACGCTCGTGCCGCTCGCCGACTATAGTGATATAGCGCGCCTCGTCGGCCGGGGCGCGCGCGTCCTGCGGCTGGCCGGCGGATGTATAACAGCGGCCGGCAAGATCCGGGAGGTCGAGATCGGCGTCTGCGTCGCCTGTCCCACGCTGGCGACGGCCCAAAGCCTGACCGACGCCGCTTTAGCAAGAGCGGCGCTCGCGCGCAAGGCCCCGGGCGCCGACCCCGTCGCGATCGTCGACGCGACGCGGATCGGGCGGTGCTGCTACGCGCGCGTGGCCTGCGCCGACGCGGCGCGGGCCGTCGACGCCGTCCGGAGGCTGAACCTCCCGAAGAACGCGCGCGTCGCGGCCGTGTCGCCGCCGTCGTCCCAAACCTCGCAGATCGCGTGCGAGGCGACGGTCCCGGGGCCGCTTCTGAAAAGACTCCTGGGCGCGAGCGTCGCGGATTTGTGCGCCGCGTCGGCGCGGCGCGGCGCCGGCGCGGGCGCGGCGCCCGTCTGGCGCGCCGACGGCCGCGCGCGCGCGGTCCTGGACGCGGTCGCGCGCGCGACGGGCGGGCCGGCGTTCGAGGGGGCCGTCGCGTGCGCCGTCGAGCCCGCGAACCGGGGCCGCGACGCGCACTGCTCGCTCCACGTCGAGGGCGTCGCTGCGGGCGGCGGCGGCGCGTTCGCTGCTTTGTTAGATCTGCGCGGCGCGGCGCTCGATGGCGCGCGCGTCCGCGCGGCGGCTTGTTTGGCTGCTGAGCTGGCGGGGCTCGCCGACGACGTGGCTTGCTCCTCGTCGTCAGGGTCCTAACTTTTTGTGAATCATACAATGTTACATTTAGACTTTCCAGTTCCCCCCTTGCGCGTTCGCCTGCTGCGCCCAGGCGTCGTGCTTAAAGTTGCTGCTGACGTCCCGTCGAATGAGGTCGCGGAGGACCTCCTCGGTGCGCGCCGCGACGGCCTCTTCCTCCGTGCCAAGCCAGCGCAACGACCAGATGTAGCCGTCCGTGTCCGCGCCGCCCCACATCTCGAGACCCACGACCTCCCGACCGTCAACCTCCTCCTCCGCGAATGCGTCAATAACGTCGTCGGAGAGGCCCTTCGCCCGGAGGTGCTCCGACAGCCGCTCGACGCTCCACTCGCGGACCTCGTCGCGCCAGAGCCGCGATAGCTTGTCATCCTGAGCTTTCCGTGCGCCGGCGGCGCCCCCGGCCACGAGGCGGTCCAGCACGTCGTCCTGTCGCAGCAGGTCTGCCGCCCGCTGCACGAGCGAGAACCGGTCGGCGCGGTCCAGCGCGGACGTGTCCGGATGGCTGTCGAGCGCGGCCTTGCGGTACGCCCGTCGTACCTCTTTGGCACGGGCCGCAGTGTCCAGCACCGCGAGAGCGCCGGCGTCGAGGCCCAGCACCGCGAACGGATCGATGTCTTCGACCGCGGCCGCGCGCCTTCGTGTACTACTGCGTTGTGGTGCTCCGTGGTACAACGCTGTCGCGGCGGTTATCAACAGCGCGCAGAGTGTTGGTGTGTGCGCCATGTCTCCTGAGAGCCCAGACTGATTACTTGAATTCGCGCAGTGCAGTTGCAGCTCTCTCGCTGGAAAACGACCGCTTGCGATATAAGCAGTGTCCTCCTACACCTACATTGACATATCCATGCCCTCAAGGCCACAACAGAGCGCAACAAAAGTTGGACTCGTGCCCTGCTAGTGTCTTACCGCTAGCTCGCGACGAAAGGGCAGGCTATGTGGAAATAGCGTTCTAAAAAAAATATTCCGCGGCGTGCGGTCGTCCTACTCCTCGATGGCGTAGAGTCGCGTTCGGCGCGGCCGCGGGTGGCAGCCTTCCGTAAAATAGCGTTCTACGCGGCCCTCGTACCAATGCCGGACACCACGGAGCTCTTCGAATATCCGTGAGCGCCGGCCTCCAGAATTACGTTGGAAGGTTGCGGGCGTTTACTCGAAGCTCTGCGAAGCAGACCGAGATTGAGGATACAATAGCGCGGCATCGGCGCTGTCCCTGACGCTGTCCGCGCACCCAGCGGACCGCCGGCACCCGCGGCACGCAAAGGGGACCAAAAAGCGACCTTCACGCACCGTCGGGCAGCCCTATCTCACGATCAACACAGCCACGATCAACACAGCCACACCAAGATGTCGGCTCACCACCAGCTGGCCAACGCCAGCACTCCGGCGCCCGCGCCGCGCCGCAAGTCGCTCCAGGCGCTTCGGCGCATCCTGCGGCGCCCGCAACGCTTCAGCCGCAACAAGGTCCTGCCCGCGGCGGCGCCATCCCCTAAAGGCGAGGAGTCCAAGGAGCTCGGCGGCACGGGAGACATCTCGGGCGCCGTCAACATACTTCTCGGCGACAGTAGCGCCGCCGTCGCGCCGGCGCCGGCGACCGTCACGCCCACCGCGGCCGCCGCGCCGTCGGCACCGTTAACACCATCAGCACCGTTGCGCGTCGGCTACCTCTGCGCCGAGCCGCTGGTCTGGCGCAGCTCGTCCGACGGCAGCCTGAAAGCGTTGCCGCCGGTGCAGCGGCATCAAGGGGGAGAACTCGCACTCCTGAAAACAGTGCTTGGTCGCGCGCCCGCGCGCGTGCGGCTCCGCGCCGAGCCCTGCGCGACGGTGGCCGCCCTTCGGAGTCTGTTGACCGCGGGCTGCGACGTCGTCCACTATACGGGTCATGGCGTCCGCGGCGCTCTGACCTTCGAGCTCGAGGGCCGCGCGGAATTGGATGTTTGTACGGAGGAGACGCTCGAACGATTAGTCGCGGCGGGTGGCCACAGGACGAAGGTCGTCTTTCTCGCGGCCTGCGACTCGGAACGGCCCGGAAAATCCCTGGCGAGGGCGGGCATCCCGCACGTCGTCTGCGTGCGGGCGGGCGCGCGCCTGAGCGACCGGACCGCGCGCGCCTTCGCCGAGCAGTTCTACGACGCGCTCTGCCGCGGGAAGACGGTGAAGGAGGCCTTCGACGTCGCGACGGCGGTCGACGAGCAAGGGGCCTACCTCTTATTGCCGGCTGGTGCTTGTTATAAACACGACACGGTAATCTGTGGTGACTCGTCTGAAGAGAGCCAAGGAGCTCAAATCGAAACGCCGCGGCTCTGCCCGGTGCGCGGGCCGGCGCCGCCCGAGCGATTGGCCGGGCGGAACGACGCCGTCGCCGAGGTCGTGCGACTCATCGGTTTTGAGAGAAGGCGCTGCGTCACGGTCCGAGGCGCGCGGGGCGTGGGCAAGACGGCCGTGGCGCGCGCGGCGGCGGCGTTCTTGGCCGACCGCGGAAACCTCGACGTGGTCTGCGAGGTGGCGCTCGGCGACGTGCAGACCAATGCGTCGTACGAGGACTACTTCGGGCTGTCGCCGGCGAGGCGCGACGACGCCATCCAAAGACGCATCGAACGTCGGTTGGTGAGCGTGCTTGCGGATGCGTTGGAAGCGCTCTCCGGCTCGCCGCGACCGGACACGCCGGTGGCGCGCCGCGTCCAGGACCGCACCACCATCACCGAGAGCCCCGACGCCCTCGCCAAGGCGCTCGCTTCATCCGAGAGACGGTGCCTCCTCGTCGCCGACGGCGTCACGGCCGAGAACCGCGTCGCCGTCCGGAGACTCGCGACGCGGCTCCTCGCGGCGGCGCCGGCGCTGAGCGTGGTGACGACGGGCCGCGTCGAGCTGAGCGCCGGCGACCTCGGCGAGCGCGTCGTCGATCTGGGCCCGCTCGAGGCCGCGTCGATGGCCGAGCTGCTGACGGAGCTCGCGCCGCGGCGTTTGTCGTCGGCTGAGATGCTGGACGGCGGAGACGCGTCGCCCTACTCGCCCGGCGCGGCGCTCTCCTTCGACCGGCCGTTCTCGCCGCCGGCGGCCCTGCTCGGCGGCGACGTGCGGGCGTTCAAAGCCTTCGGACGGCATCCGGCCGTGCAGGCGTTGCGCGGGAATTGCTCTGCAGCAGTCAAGTTCGCCCCGGAGTTGAAGCGACCCCTGCGCCACCACCAGGCGCTCGCCGCCGCCGCGCGGGCAGCCGTCGTCGAGGCGGACAACGAGGCGAGCGTCGGGTCGTCGTGGGACTGGGCCTGCCGGGCGATGAGCGCCTAACACTATTATTGTGCCTTGCTTAGAGCTAGGCCGCCTAGCCACGACCCGCCGCGGCCCGGGGCGATGACGTGGCCCAGTGGGATCCAGTGGGCGATGCGTGGACCGAATGCCCGCCCCAGATCCCGCCCCCGCCCTCGTACGCCGTCGCCCCGAGTGTTGGCTAATTCAAGTTCGGAAAAGGGTCCTCTTTAGGCCTGAGGGGGGCGGCGCCGGTTCTTGCGGAGCCATCGCGGGGTTCGAGTCGAGCAGTCACACAGTTGGGAGAGGGGAGTCAGTTGTCAGATCGTCGGCGCCTGGTCGTCGGTGAAGGCGAAGGGCGCGGCGTCGTCGTCGTAGAAGAGCCCGTCCTCGAAGCCCAGCCCGGTCGACCCGTGCGAGTCGCTCCGCGGCCGCCGGTCGACCAAGATTGACGCGCTGTAGAGCGCGTCTAACGAAGAAAAGCGCGGCAATGCCGCCGCGCCTCGTTCAGTCCCCGTCGCGATGTGCGCCAGGGCCTCCTCGTCCCGCCGTCGCTTGCCCGGCGGGAGCGCCCACTGCGCCGACGGCCGCCGCGGGAAGGGTTTCGGTGGGGGTGGTGCCCGGTAGACGGGCGGCGGCGGATCTTTCAGAGGCTCGCCTCCCGAATCATCCTTCCACTCGATCTGGGCCGCGTCCCGCAGCAACTCGTCCAAGCGCCCGCCCCGGCGATACCACTCGGGCACCGTCGGCGGCGGCGCCGGCCGCGACCGCGCCTCGAGCTGCTGGTGGTGCAGGTCCGCGGCCGGGTCGTCAAAAATCGTCCGCGCCATCTCATTCACCTTATCCGGTTTGGAAGGTAAAGCTAACGGGCTCAGGAATTTGAACAAGCCGGCGGCAACGTCGGCGGGGCCCGCGTGGCCGTTCTGGCCCGTCCCCGCGGGCAGGAACTTCCGTAGCGCCAGCGGCACGGCTATGGGTGCGGCGCCTTCATCTAGCCCGTCGTAGTCGCCGAACTGTCTTCCTCCAAACCCCGCACCGGCGCGGCCTCTTCCTCCAGAGCCAGACGGCTGCGCCCTATCTTTTTCGAGCTTCTGGAAGTATTTTTGGGCGTGGGATCGGACTTGGACCGTAGTTCTAGAACCAACGACGTCCGCGACCTTCGTCCACTTCTTGCCGAAGAGCTCCAGACCGTGGAGGAAGCGCGTGTGCTCCTCGTCGGTCCATCGACCCGTTTTCTCGCCCGTCGTCGTCGTCGGGGGTGGGGCCGAGACCTGGGCGGCGGTTGGGGGCTGGCACATGGTTCACGTGTTTTTTTTTGCTGTTAGTTGTCGCGGGCCGCCGTTCCGACGCTTGGCCTGCCGTGGGAGGCTGGCAAAGGGCTTTTGAAGGCGGCTTGCGTTTCGGCGCGCTCCTCCGTAGCGGTGAAAAGAGTTCTTTTCGCCCCCGCGACCGGTGCTCACGCGCTGCTGCAGCCGCCTATGCGTCGTTTACGCGGCGTGGCGGCTGGGTAGGGCGTACCGCGCGCTCAGGCTGCAAAAGCTGCGCCTTGCCTCTGTATAGGGCTCTGAGCGTCTCCCACGCGTCCGACGGCGCTTTTTTCGAGCCTGACGGCCTGACGGCTATCGAAACTCTACCCCAGTGCTCTCTGGCTGGCAGCGGGGAGGCTAGGTGCCGATGCTCTTTGGGCCGCAAGCCGGGCCTACGTCGACGGGCCGGCTAGGCAAGTGCCCGAATCAGCGTGCCACACGCGTCAGGACCTCGAGGGGACGCCTCTCTGTCCCTCCAGACGCCTAACTGGGCGAAAAGGCTGGGCCGCTTTGGGGCCTGCAAAGCTGCTCCGGAGCCTGGCCTTGGCGCGCGGCGCAGTGGACGTGCGCGAGGGTAGGGGCCTCTGCACGCTGTCGAACATCACGATTCATCAATATCTATGAGGCTGCGATTCGCAGCCGCAGCGTTAGCAGCGCTAGCGGTCCTCTGCTGCACGCCAGCCGCGAAGACGCGACTCACTACTGCGCTTGGCCGCTTCTTCCGCGACGTAGCCCGCGCGAGAGCACGCACGCGGCGCTACGGCAACAAGTACGCGCTAGCCCAGATGGTGCTTAAGACAGAAGCGCCGCTCGACCTCTCCGAGCCGCAGCACGACGGCACCGTTACTCAAAGTGAATTGGAGGACGGCGACGGCGTCGACGGCGCTCCTGTGTACGTGGCGCTGCGCGGCCGCGTCTACGATGTGTCAGCCGGCGCAAAATTCTACGGTGCGGGCAAGCCGTACCACCACTTCGTCGGCCGGGACGCGTCTCGCGCCTTCGCGACGGGCTGCCGCGCCGCGGAGTGCGTCTCGGCGGACCTCGACGGGCTCGATCCATCGCAACTCCGCGAATTAGATCGGTGGATGGAGATGTACGAGACCCACGACAAGTACACCTTCGTGGGCACGCTCGTCGAGGACCCCGTGGACAAGTATGTGTAAGTGAAATGTTGTTACTCTACCGCCTGGCCAACCACTTCAAGGCGAAAAGCCAATTTCGTCGCCTCGGGCTCGTCCTCCGACGCCCGCTTCAAGAGACGCGTAAACCGCCGCGCCGCCGCCCGGAAGTGGGCCGTCGAGTCGTCGAGCCGCGCCGCTAATGTCTGAGCTCGAGAATCGCCCGCGACGGCATCAGCAACAAAGGCATCGACCAACGCGCAGAACCGCTGGGCCGCCTGTAACACTGCCTCGAGGTGCGTCGCCAGCGCCCCCGCCGCCAGGTCCTCGTCGGGCGGCACGCCCTCCTCCGGAATTCCCGAACGCGGCGCGAAGAGCGCGTCCGACGCGATCGCGTCCAAATACGAGCGGTGGGCCCGTCGCACGGCGTCCAGGCCGTCCGCCTTACTGACGTCCTGATCCAAACGCTTCCAGGCCCCGGCAAACGCGTCGGCGACGTGCGCGCTCACCGTCGCCGAGAGCGTCGCCATCTCGTTGCGCGCTAGAGCCGCTTTCCGCAGTGCCTTGCGCTCCGGCGCCCCGAGCCCGCGCACGCGCCGCGCGAGCGCCAGCGACCGCCAGGCGTCCGTCAGGCGCGCCTCGACGCGCCGTCGCGACCGCAACGCCGAAAACGCCCTTCCGTAAAACTCGCGCGCGCCCGCGTCCACCACAGCGTCGATCGGCGGCTGCGCGTCGTAGTCCAGGCCGAAGGAAACGCCGTCGCCTTCGAGCACGACCACTTTCAGACGCTGCACGGCGCCCTCAAACAACCGGCACGCGTTCGAGTTCCGGACGGCCCGGTCGAGCGCGGCCACGGCGTCCGCGCCGGAGCTCCCGAAGGCGCCCCGCCTCTTTTGGGCGGCAGCGTCGAAGCCATCGACCAATTGCAACGCAAAATCCCCTTGAGCTAACAAAACGCACGACTCCAGCGCCTTCAGGTGGTCCAATAACCGGAAGTCCTCCTTCAGCGCCTTGAGGACGCGCTGGTTCGTCCGTTCATACGCCTCCTCGACCACTTTCTCAAGATTCAGACTCCCGTAGGCAAAGGCCTCATCACTCACAGAAGCGAAGGCCGGCCGGTCGTCCCCACAACACCGTCGCAGGAACGTCAGCGTCTTGCCCACCACTAAAATCTTGGATGCGACGTCCTCCGAGAGGAAGGCCGGCACCATGCGCGGTCTCAAACAGAACCGCGCCGCCCAGAAGTCGTCCTCGTCACCGGTCTCTTGGACGAAAAATTCCCCAGCTGGATCTGGCAGCAACTTCCCGGAGCAGACCCACCGCCGGATCGCGGCGAGGACCGGCTCCGACGTTTTCGCGAGCAGACCCTCGACCAAGTCTCGGACGCGGTCGTCGCCGTGCGTCGCTAATCGGGCTAGTGATGCGCAGAGGGCCCCTCCTTGCAGATCCTGGGGCGCGCACGCGTCGCAGGCGTTCGCAAGGAGCCGTAATCGTTCGAGCGGCTCGACGAGCCACACGAGTAATCGTCTCAGCGACAAGCCCTCGTCCCTCAATTGCGCTTCCAACACGGCAACGAGCCGATAGTAATCTGAAAGCTCGTCGCGCACGGCAGCTCGCAACGCGCCCCGGCATCGCCCCTCGTTCGTTGACGTAGAAGCGCAAAACCGATCGCAGCGTTCGTACAACCAGCCCAATTCACAAACCTCGCGCACGCCGTCGACCGTCGATAATTTGGGAGCGACCAATCGGTCCACGCTCGGCACGGTATCATCCAAACTCCGATCCCGTGAAACATACCGCCCGTCGATGCCTTGTAAGGCATACAGGCAGTCCCTCACCAGTAACCGCTCCTCTTCAACGACGTCCAGCCCCGTTTTTGAGGGAGGCGGGCCCGCGCGCCACCCTGCGAGGCCCCAGTCCTTCTTCGGAGTCTCTGTTTCTTCCTCGAGAGGGGTCTCGCGCGAGAACCCGCCTCCTGTTCTACACACGGACGCGAAGGGCGCCGCGGTCTGCGCGTCGCCGCTCACGAGCCCCAGCAACTCCACGAGGCCGTCCGCGCCCCGGACGCTCAGCGCGTCGGCGTCCCGGAGCTGCGTCCTTAATTCATCAAAGCGGAGCGCGGCGCGCGCGCCCTTGGCCTTTTCGACCTTCGTCCGCAGCGCGTCGACGTCCCTCAACCGTTGGGTGCTGCTGCTGTCGCGCCGTGGCGCCCGCGTCGCGAGCGTCGAGCCGAGCACGCGGCAGCACAATGCCACGACGGGCTCCGGCGCGTCGCGCACGCCCATGACTGAGGCGGCGAGCTTGTTGAGCTGCTCGAGCATGTCCTCGGGTGCAATGGCCATTTTTGCTTGCGTGCGGCGCCTCGTCGACGGCGTAGAGCGCGCGCCGGGAGGGAGAGCGGCACGTCCTAACTCAAATGGAGGCCGGTTTGAAGCGACGGCTGCGTGCGCGCGGGAGACACCGTGCAGAAAACTTGCGTATCCGGTCCTTTGCCAAATCTGTGTACGCTCAAAACTGGCGCGCGCGCCTCAGCTTGCTAGCGTCGTAGAGTCTCTAGCGGTTCTGCGTTTGCGGAGGACCGGAGGTGATCCTCGCGCAAAGCAGGGACGGATGGAAAAATGCCGCGACCCCCCAAGCCATCGCCGCAACCCCAAAAAAGAAGACACGCAAGGATCTTACACGTCCGCGTCCATGTCGAACGCCTGCTCTGAATTGCCCGCGACGTTCGCCTTGGCGTACTCGCCCACGCGCTTCTCGAAGAAGTTCGTCTTGCCCGTCAGACTGACCAATTCCATGAAATCGAAGGGGTTCGCAGCGTTGTAGGCTTTGGGGTGGCCCAGAGCTGATAGTAATCTATCAGCCACGTACCGGACGTACTCGCACATGAGGTCGGCGTTCATGCCGACTAATGTGACCGGTAGGGCATCAGTAACGAACGCCAACTCGACGGCAACGGCCTCCGTGATGATCGCGGTCGCGTCTGCATCTGACAACCGTTCCTCCGGCGTTAACCGTTGATATAGAGCACACGCGAAGTCGCAGTGGAGCCCTTCATCTCGCGAGATCAACTCATTGGCAAATCCCAGACCCGGCAGCACGCCCCGCTTCCGCAGCCAAAAGATGGAAGCAAATGACCCAGAGAAGAAGACGCCCTCGACCGCCGCAAAGGCCACCAACCGAGCCGCAAACGACGCATCTGGATCAGCAGTCCAGGACTGGGCCCATTCCGCTTTGGCTTTCACGCACTGCAGCGTCTCGTGGGCCCTCGTGAGCTCCTTGCGTTCGTTCGGGTCTTCTATATAGGTTTCTAGTAACAGAGAGTACATTTCTTGGTGCACGGACTCGATGGCCCCTTGGAACGCGTAGAAAAATCGAGCTTCGGGCAGCGTCACTTCTTTGCCAAACCGCTCCATCAGGTTCTCGGCCACGATGCCATCAGAAGACGCGAAGAAGGCCAAGACCCTACTCAAAAAATATTTCTCGCCGTCCCCTAGCTGGTTCCAGTGCAACTTGTCCTGGCCGAGGTCGACTTCTTCCGCGGTCCAGAACGACGCCTCGGCCTTCTTGTAGAACTGCCAGAGCTCCGGGTCTCGCAGCGGGAAGAGCGTGAATCTAGAGGCGTCGCGATCGCAGAACCACGGGAGTTTCTTGTTTCTTAGTCCTGCATCGACGGCCGCGGTCTTCGTCGTGTTGCTCTCCCTGAGATCTCGGTCGTGGGGGAGCTGGCCCCTTTGATTGTGGGGCCGCGGGCGCGTGGAACCGCCGCGCGGGGTCGGGCCGCGCGGCAGCGCGCCTAGCTGTTCAGGGAGCGCGGCGGCGATGATGACCGCTGTGAGGCGAGGAGCGCGAACCATCTTGCGCGTGGCAGGACTGAGCTGTTCTGGTGTTCCGTTACGTTACGTCGTGACGATGCGCACAGGGCGGTGGAACAGCCTTCTTCACTCTCGCGCCAGCTTAGTGAGCAAGCGTATAAGAGCCACTAGCGTTGCGTCGGACGTAAAGGCTGCCCCCGCACGCCTCCGACGCGCACCATACGTGCTGTTTTCAAATAGAAGCTCGCGGCCTCGGGTTGGTGGTCCAGCGCCAAGCGCAGCGGTTTGGCGCAATAAAAACACTGCTGAGGCCAACGACAAGGCCCAGCGGGCGCGTCGGAGCCCGGCGGAGACGCAGGCGCACCCCTGGACGCCGGGTCGCAGCATTGGGCAGCACAGCGTCGGGCGGGCAGCGCAAAAACCGCCTAGCAGCAAGGGCAGTGTACACGATGGCGGCGACGCACGTCTTCGTCAACGGCGTGCCCTTGGCCCGCGGCAAGTTCGACTTGTGGATGGAGGGCGGCGGCCCGCAGCTCGTTGTGGACGTGACGCGGCCTCTGGAATTGCCGCAACGAGTCGAGAAGAAGAAGACAACCAGGCCGCAGTCGGCACGACAACGACGGCCCCAGTCGGCGTTGGCACGGCCGCAGTCGGCGCGCATCGGACGGCCGGCCACGGCGAAGCCGCCGCCGCCGCCTGAAAAAGTGTCTCAAAACGAGACCGCCGCCGCCATCGAAAGGTTGCGGAAGCAGCTCGCGTCGAAGGAGAACAAGACCGTGGCGCGCCTGCGCAAGGCCCTGGCCCAGGAGAAGGAACTCTTGAAGCGAGAACGGATGCTCGTGACGCGCGAAAGGGCGAGGGTCGCGCGGCTGGAGAAGAGTGCGGAATTAGCGAAGCGCATGTCGAAGAAGAAGGGTCCTACGAAGAAGGCTGCTGAAGAGGAGGATCCCTACGCCGACGACTTCGTCGAGCCCCCGGTCAAGAAAGACGATTCGTGGCGCGGGAAGCACGGCCGGAAGAAGACGGCGTTTCTGCGGGAGGCCAAGGGCGCCGTCACGCCGTCCAGTGGCGACGGCTTCGTGCTCTCGCCGGCCCGGCCGGCGTTCTCTCCATCTCCATCAGAGAAGACTCCCAAGTCCCCCGAGGAGCGCGCTTCGGCCCGCAAAAAAGCTGAGCAGGAGAACAAGCAGGAGCGCGAATCCGCCAAGAAGCGCCGCGAAGCGGAGCTGGCCCTGCGCGCGAAGGAGCGCCAGGAATTTGAAGAACGCCAGGCGGCCGCCGCCGAGGAGCGCGAGGCGGCCGAATCGCACCACGCGGAGGAGGAGCGGAAATTAAGGGAGATCGCGGAGAAGGACCGCGTGGCTGCCGAGGAGCGGGAAGCTAGGGAGCGCCGCGAGGCGGAAATCAATGCAGAGAAGGAGGCCGAGCGTCAAGCGCGGAAGGAGGAATTGAAGAGGGAGCTCGTCGAGCGCGAGGCGGCCGCGGCGGCGCGCGAGGCCGAGAAGGAGCGCGAGGCTGAAGAGTGGGCCGAGCAGTTATGTGGTGCCGCGGTGCGGCTGCAGGCGGCCGAACGGGGTCGAATTGCGAAATTACGAGCGGCCGCAATCGCCACGGCGAAGACGCAGGCCGCCCTGACGTCGGCCGCGACGCGCCTGCAAGCCGCCGAGCGCTCGAGAACGGCCAAGCTCAAGGCCGAGGCGGCGCGCGCGCGCCGGGCCGAGATCGTCGCGCGGGCGGAGGCGGCCGCCGCGGCCGAGGCCGAGGCGGCTGCATTAGCTGAAGCCGAACTACTCGCGACGGCGGCGACGCGCCTCGCCGCGGCGGAGCGGGGCCGCGGCGCGCGGAAGGAAGCCGAAGCCGCGAAGAGACAGCGCGCTGAAGCTCTCCAGCGCGCCGAGGCCGCGGCCCGGGCCCGGGCCGAGGCCCAGGCGCGGGCCGACGCCGAGGCCGCGGCACGAGCGGAGGCCGAGGCCCTGGCGCGGTCCGCGACGCGTTTACAAGCCGCGGAGCGCGGCCGCGTCGCCAAAAAACAAACGGCGGAGCGGCGCGAAGTTATCACGATGGATCGGTCGGCGACGCGATTGCAAGCCGCGGAGCGGTCCCGCGGCGCGAAGAAGCGCGCCGTCGCGGCGCGCGCCGCGCGGCTCGAGGAGACGATGCGCGCCGAGGCCGCGGCCGAGGCGCTCCGACAAGAGGAGGCGGCGGCGCTCGACGGCGCCGCGGCGAAGCTCCAGGCCGCCGAGCGCGGCCGGACCGCAAAAATTGAGATGAATAAGCGGCGCCGCGTCCGCGACGACGGCGCCGCGACGCGGTTGCAGGCGTCGTACCGCGGCCTCCAGGCGCGCCGGCGGCCGCCGCCGGCCGCGCCGCCGGTCGTCGAGGCCGTCGATGAAAATGAGGCGGCCGTGACGATGCTCCAGGCGGCGGAGCGGCGGCGCACCGCGCGGCTCGAGCTGCGGCAGCGGCGGCAAGTGCGAGATGATAGTGCGGCCACGATGCTCCAGGGCTCCGTGCGGAGACGCAACGCGAAGCAAGAGCTGTCCCAAAGACGGCAGGTGCGCGACGACGGCGCCGCGACAATGCTGCAAGGCAGTGTACGGCGGCGCAACGCGCGGCAGGAGGTCCAACAAAGGCGACAGGTGCGGGACGACGGCATGGCGACTTTGCTGCAGGGCGCCGAGCGACGTAGAAGGGCGAAGCTCGAGATGAATGAAAGGCGCCAGAAACGCGACGACGGCGCCGCGACGATGCTCCAGGCTTCGGAAAGGCGACGGACCGCGCGCCTGGACATGCAACGACGACGAAAAGAGCGGGATGAGCAGGCCGTCACGCGGCTCCAAGCAGCTCTACGCGGCCGCACGGGCCGCGTCGAGGCCAAGAAGGTCAAAGACGCCCAGAAACCGAAGGAACAGCCGGCGCGGTGCGAGTGCCGCGCGATCTCGAGCTTCACGGCCCAGAACGACAACGAGATGTCTCTGAATAAAAATGAGCGCGTCTACTGCGACCGCAAGGACCTCGACGATGCCGACGGCTGGCTGCTCGCGAAGAAGGTCGATGGAACAAAAGACGGCTACGTGCCCTGCGGCTACCTCCAGATCGTGGGCGAGGAGTCGGAAGACTACGGCACGGACTTCGGGGATGATAGTTATCGGGACGACTTTTCTGCACAGAAGTCCGAGACCTACGGCGACGACTTCTCGAAGGACAAGTCGGCCGAGGACGAAACGTATGGAGACGACTTCGTTGATGAACCGAAGGAGGAGGAATCTGATGAAGCATTGGCAGCGAGAGGTCTCAAAAGATGTGTCGCGGTGCACGCGTTTAATGCCGACGGCGAGACCGAGCTCAGTGTGACCAAGGGCGAGTCAATACTAGTTCCCATCGCCGATTTAGCTGAGGGGGCCGACGGCTGGGTCTACGCGACGGCCGTCGAAGGCGGTCGAGAGGGCTACTTGCCGCACACGTACGTCCGGCCCGTCGGCGGGTCCTTGGCGTCCGTCGCCGAGGAGGACCCGTCCGAGAATTATGATGATGACTCGGTCGAGGCGGAGGAGGTAAGTGACTAGTACTTGACCGTCCGTGCGGGAGCTGAACCCGAATTAACCGGGTCCGGTCAGGTCGTCTCCGTGCTCTGCTCTCTGCGAGAGCGCGAACGTCAGCTGCCGCAGCCCCTCCACACGGTACCCAATAGCAGCAAACTATGGTAAGCCGCGCGGTCCAGAACGCGTATCAACTGAGTGTGATCGGGGAGGAAGCTGTGGGGTGGTTGGACGAAGCAGAGCAATCATGCGAAGCGGGAGAATGTGTTCTGTCCTTAGACGCGCTCATCAGCGTGGGTTCCAAGCACCTCGTTGTGCTTGAAAAGTTTGAAAGCGTCATTGCTTCGAACCCCCTTGGATTGAAACCGTCGGTCCCCGTGGCGCCCTTGCGCCAGTGGATCGGGCGCTGGCGAGCCGCTGCTGCTGAGGCCGAGACGCTTGGGCTGGGCCGCGACATTTCATACAAGTACTGGCAAAAAAACATCGAGCTGCCGGAAGTGGTCATCAGGGCGACAAAGTGGTTTGATACTGCTGAAAGATTAGCACAAGCGGTGGATGTGTCGCGTCTTATGAAATTCGCAACCGATGGCAGACGTCACATTGAAGCCGTCAGGGCGTGTCTGAGTATACCCAAACTCCGTCGCTGGTCCATACAACGAAGCTTCGTAAAGTGGAGTTTGCTGGTGGTGCGATGGGTAGATCAAGCGCAGCAGGCGGAAGGGCCCGAGTCGCCCGACGACTCTACCACCATGGAAATTATCACCCTATACGAGCGGATGAAGATGGAAAGGCGAGCAAAGAAGGCGGACAGGCTCAAGAAGCGGACGTGCTCCCACTGCGGGAAGAAGGCTCCCCTCTCTCAAGTATCGTTCGCCTACTGTGGGGGTTGCCGGCACTCGGGCGTCGCGCGCGAACACTGGACGCGCTACTGCAGCGAGGCGTGCCAGCGCGCGCACTGGGCCGCGGGGCACAAAGACGAGTGCCCGTGCGCGAAAGACTTGTAAGATTTTTTGTCCTAAACCTACCAATTATCACGACGCTCTAGCTCGCGCCCCCGACGTACGCCTCGTCGAGCGGCCCGGCGTCGCCGGCCGCGATGTTCGCGCCCTCGTCCTTGCCGAACAGCTCGCCGTAGTAGTCCGCGAGGATGCCGTAGTTGTTCGCGCGCACCTTCGTGTCCCTGGCGTAGGTCGACGTGACCTGCATGCCGGGCTTGAGCTCGTGCTGGTCGTCGGCGCACCATCCCAAAAAGGCGTCGACGGCCGGCTCGTACAAAGCCGCGGCCTTCGCGACGGACGCGTCGTCGGCCGGCAGGCGCGCGTCCACAGCAACCGGCGACGCCGCCTGCTTCTTCAGGTCGGCTAAGGAACCCGCCGGCGCCGCGTCGCCGCCCACCGACGCGCAGAGGTCCCGGACGCCGTCGTAGTAGCGCTTGTCCAGGTCCGCGCGATTGCCCTTGTTCATGAAAGCTTCGCGCGAGTCGGGCTCGGGGTAGCTCCCGTCCTCGAGCATCGTCTCGTAGCCCACGGCAGCTCTAGGCCGGAAGTCCATCAATACATCCACGCCCGCGTCCGTCGCCGTCGTCCTCACGCAGAGGTGCGGCACGTCCTTCAGCGGCGCGCACCAGACCGTTAATGAAGCGACCGTCGTCGGGCCCTCAATCCGTAAATCGCTGACCCAGGCGATGTTCGCCGGGCCCGGCGCCTCCCAGGACTGCATCGCGCCGGCGCCGCCATTGCTGGTCGTGAACGTGTCGAGGCCGAGGTCCGCGGGGTAGGTCTTGGCGTCTAATGGTAAAGCGGCTTGGATCTTGGCCAGGGCCGCTTGCTGGGCGGCGAACAGCGGTGCCGCCGCATCCTTGGGGCTGAATGCGGCAGCTGCAGACAGCAGTAGTGCAGGGATGACAGGCTGCATCCTTATTTTTGCTTGCCCTGGTGCACTCTGCTGCAGTGCGGCGCAGTTCTGATGTAGTCCGTTGCTGCCGATGCAACTTCGTTGCAATGCAAGGCTTGGCTGAGCTTGCAAACCGGTTGCAAAGTCGTGTCACGGAGAGCGGATAAAGCTATTGTGTCGAGACACACTAGCGTCAACATACCAATACTTAGAGAAAACTACGCGAGCTCGATGTCCGACCCGATGTCGGACGCCGGTGCGCTGTTGTAGGGCCGTCCCCGCTGCGGCCCGCCGCACGCGCGCGCCGTGTGATAGCACGTCCAGAAGACGCCGAGGCACAGGTTCGCGACGACGACCGCCAAAGCGATGGCAGGCGCCATCGCGAGGTAGAAGGACGCCGGCGGCTTCCACTCGGCGACCACTTCAGGCGCGTTCAGGGGCGGGTTGATGACCTCGCCCGCTAGCAAAGGCAGGTCTGGCCGGTAGAACAACGACCGAAAAACAGCACCGGCCAATCTATCATACCCCGCGTCGTTCGGGTGGCAGGCGTCGCACGACTGGTAATCACAAAATAACTCTGGCGCGTTTAGCGCCGAGCCGCCCAACGCATCAAAAACATCAATGACGCCCGTCGCGCCCGTCTCGTTCGCTATCTGCGGTATTAAGGAAGGAAAGATATGATTGATGACCGTGGCGTTCATGTCGTAGGCGCCGTCTTCGTAGAGAGGAGGCGGCACGACCAAGTAAACCTCGGCGTCCAAGCCCTGGAAAATGGAGACCATGTCCCTATAATCCTGCTCAAAAGCCTGACGGTCCCAGTTGTAGTGCTTCGCGTCGTTCGTGCCGAGGCCAATCACGAAGGCGTCCGCCTTCGAAGCTTTTGCTCTGTTAAATTCAGGGTCGTCCCAGTAGGGGTTGTCGCCACTCCTGGTCATGGTCCGCCCCGAAGCGCCGAAATTCAGGACGCGGACCGTCGGGTCCTGCCAGAGGTAGCCCCGTTGCAATTGCGCGGGCCAGGCCGTCCGCGCTCGGTCACTCGCACAGGTGCCGTACGTGATGGAATCACCCACCGCCGCGATCGTCCTTAACGAATTGTGCTGGCGGAAGTGCTGGCAGTGGCGGGTGCACGCGACGGGGTGCGCGTCTGCGCCCATGGTGCTCGTCGTGTTCTGTGCGCGCTGCGGTGGCGTCCGAGCTGCTCTGAGAGTGTGTGCTTTGTTGTGTGCTCGCTGATGCGCTGCTGCTCTGACAGGCAAGTGCTTATTAGTGTGGCTTGTGCGCGCTGCGGTGGCTCGGAGTCACGAAATTTGTACAGTAGTGGTATGAGGGAGGCCCCTGCGAACTGCTCGCGAATCGTGGACTGCCAGCGCGTGTGACTTAAGGCGTGCTGCAAAAAATTGCGGGAAAGTCGAGCTAGCGTCCAGTAAGACACTAGCCAGCACGCTCTCACAGCTTTGCAAGCCAAAGGACTGCCGTTTGGCTGAAACAAGGGCCACGAGAAGACGTCCTTAGTACTGCGACAGCCCGTCGAAGCGCTTCTGTAGTGGTATCATGCGCTGGCTCCTCCCACTGATGATGCTTTCCGGCAGCACTGCCTTTGTCGCACCGGTCGCGCCCGCGAGGCCACAACACGTCGTCAGAGCCGAGAAGGAGGGCGAGGCCGTGGCCAAGAAGAAGGGCATTCCTCTCGCGCTGCTCATCTGGCCCCTAATTGCCGTTGGAGACGACGTCCGCGCCCGCGTAGATAAATCAACGCGCGTAGTACGCCATCGACGCGCCCGAGAGACAATGCACCGACCCCAAACACGCAGATCTACGTCTCGCAAGTCCAGCCGCGCCTCGCGGAGCAGGGCATCGAGACGCCGGCGCTGCCGTACTCGAACACGAACTACCTCAAGAAGTAAGTTTCACATGTTATCTAGGCCGTCGTCGTCGGCGACGCCGTGCGACGTCGCTCCGAAGGAGTATTTCACTTGTTAATCACACGGGTCTAGATCATCGTCCGCGATGCGCCGTACGACGTCGCTCCGAAAGACGCCGACTGCGCCAACGAGCGGCACGAGCCGTCGCCGCGACGAAAACGCGCGCGTCTGCGCCGGGGCGTCGACCGCCGGCGCCGGCGGCACGGCAGCGACCGCCTCGGCAGCCAGCGCCGGCGCGGCATCGGGTGCGTCGGCCGCTGGCGCCGCCTCGGCCGCCGGCGCGGCCGCGGCGGGCTCCGGCGCGACGACCGGCTCCGGCCGCGGCTGCTCGGGCAGGATGCCCGCCTTGCCGAGGAGCCACGCGACTTTCGAGGTGGGCTGCGCGCCGCAGGCCATCCAGTAGCGGATCCTATCTGCTCTCAACCGCACCTCTTTGATGCCGTCCTTGCCAGGTAAAGGATCATACGTCCCGACGCGCTCGAGGTGGCGGCCGTCGCGTGGCGACCGCGCGTCGGCGACGACGATGCGGTAGAATGGTCTATGTTTTCTGCCGAAGCGCGCGAGGCGGATGCGGACGACCATCGCTTTGTTCTTCGCGCCGCGTCGCCGCGTCGGCTGCGTGAGGCTGCAAGCGGTGGGACTGCCGTGCGGCGAGCGGCGACAGCGGTGACAGCGTAGTGGACGAGGCGGCGTTGAAATAGTCAGATCTAGCTCCCGTGAGCGCTGGCGGCCGCGTAGACGAGCGCTGCGCGAGTTGAGCGGCTTGAGCGCCCTAGCACCCATACCTAGCGTGCGCTATCGATGCAACTAGCGGCGCATCGCCCTCACAGCGAACCGCTGGCTCTCCCAACGCCGCATTACTTAGCATTCATACCCCTTCTGACGGTCCGTGCACGAAAAGCGCTTGCGTTAGGCTAGTCCGCACATTTGCAGCCCTCGCCAGCCCAAGTGCTCTCGACGCCGTCGACGAGACAGCAGCGACCATGTCCCTGTCGCGCCGCCAGGTCCGATTGCGGAGGGAGTACCTTTACAGACGGAGCCTCGAGGGCCGCGAGAAGGAGGTCTATGAGAAGAAGAGGAAAGTCGCCGAGGCGCTGGCCGCGGGCAAGCCCATCCCAACCGAACTCAGAGATGAGGAGGCGGAGTTACGAAGACTGGACGAGCTGGACCCTAGTCGAGGCGGCCCGCTGAACCGCGCGCCTGGCATGCTCGATGATGAATACGCGCGCTCTTTGACCGGAGAACGCCAGGCCAAAGTCTGCGTGTCGACGTCGCGCGATCCCTCGTCCCGTTTGAAGCAGTTCGCCAAAGAATTGAAACACATGCTTCCGAATAGCACGCGAGTCAACCGCGGCAATGCGCGCGTCTCAGCTTTGGTAGAGGCTACTCGGCGAGGCGAGTTCACGGACTTGATACTGGTGCACGAGACGCGGGGCCAGCCCGACGGGTTGGTCGTGTGCCACCTGCCGCTCGGACCCACCACCTATTTCACCCTCGAGAACTGTGTACTGAGGCACGACGTCGACACGCCGCCCAAATACTCGTCGGACATCGCGCCCCATCTCATCTTCCACGATTTTGATGAAACGAAACCTCTCGCACGGCGCCTGAAGACCGTGCTCACTTGTTTATTCCCGGTGCCCAAAAGTGAAGGCCACGAGCGCCTGTGCACGTTCTATAACGCCGAGGACCGTATCAGCTTCCGCCACCACGCCGCGTCGCGGGAGGGCAAGGAGGTCGAGTTGAAGGAACTGGGCCCGCGCTTCGAGATGCGGCCGTACATGATCAAGCTCGGGACATTGGATCAAGCCGACGCGGACGTGGAGTGGGTCCTGCGGCCGTACATGAACAGTGCGAAGAAGATTATCTAAAAGAAGGTTGTGACTTAGTCCCCTAGTAGATTCGCGCGATACGCGAGATACTTGCTCGGTATATCGTCGAGGCTCCAGTCGAGCTGCTCATCGAAACACTTCAAAAATGAAGCAGCGATCTTGCGCGTTAACGGGTGATCGAAGCCGAGGACGCGCGCGGAATCCACGTGCATAGCTCTATGCATTTCGATGGAACCAGCTAGGAGGCGGCGGTATCCATCGTGGCCGAAGAAGTGTAATTTGTAAACGGCTTGCGCGAGCTGAAAGTGGAAGTTGATTGTAGTCGCGTGGTCGCTCCCGAGTGCATCCTCCGCCAAGACGGTCTCCTCTCTTAAATGACGCAAGGCTTCCTCGACCCAGTGCTCCGCCAGCAAGCACTCCGCAAGTCCCAAGGCCAATACGTGCCTGATGTCCTCCGTCGGGACGTGGTCGACGGCTAATTCGAACACCGCGCGACAAACCATGAGCCCGCTTTCGCTCTTCTTTTCATCATCCTCGTAAATTACATCGGTCTGCCACCCGAGTTTGCTGCAGCACGAGGCGAGGCAGCCCCGAGTTAACAAACGGTTCGTTAAATCCTCCTGATAGAATCCTTGCGCGTTTTTGCTAGGCGGCCGGCTCGCGGTCGTGTCCACAAGGACGCCATCGACGCGACCCCAGAGAGAATGGAGAAAAGCACTTGTACACGTGGGGTGTAGCACAGGTGACAGACGAGTAGGGGGGGGGGTTCGGTTCCGCGCGTCGGGCCGGGGAGCTACAGCTTGTAGGGCTCGTTCGGCAGGAAACGCGGAGGTTCTTCTTCGTGTGGTGACGGCTCAGGAGAGGAAAACCTGCGCTCGACGCCATCACCGCGACCCCCAGGAAAGAAAGGACGCCGCGCTCGCGCCTTCATCGTCGCCTTGACCTCCTCGCGGCAGACGGGGCACTCCTTTCCCACGAACTGGCCGACACAATGGCTGCACATGGTATGGCCGCAGGGCACGCACGCCGTGTCCCGGTCTCGCTCGAGGCAGCAGGGGCACTCGTTTGTCCGCACCTGTGGAAATCAACCAGTGAGTCGCCACCCATCGAGCAGAGGGGGACACCGCGCGACCCGCGGGCCAACACGGCCGCGCGAAAGCCAACAACGACTCGTAGTAAGAAAACACAACTACAACGAGTCATAGACGTAGATTCGTATTCATTAGTACACTAATATCCGATAAGGGTGCTGAATTGTCACTGCGCCGAGCCGTCCGCGACCTCGATGAAGAAGTAGCTTCTATTTCCGGAATCGCGCTTGCGCATGCCGTACTGCTTGAGGTACTGGTCGAGCCACTTGATGCCTCTAGGTTTTGGTAGTCCCCTATGAGCATTGAAGAAGCGGTCGATCTCGCCCGAGCGCATTCTACCTTCCGGTCGTGTCCCGAGCCACGCGCGCAGCGCTTTCAGCGTCGGCGCGACGGACTCGGGGGACGTGTCCGCCGTCTTCGTGACTGTAACAGAAGCCTTCTCCTCCCGACGGGGCGGCGGCCCGCCCGCGGCGATCAAGCGCGCCGCGGCGGATGCGGCCCGGTTCTTAATTTGCTTGTCGCCCACGAAGCAGGCCCGCACGAAGCCCTCGACGTTCCGGAGACCGCGCAATCCATTGGGCGAGTCGAAGGACGCCGCGACCCGGTCCTGGTCCTTCGGGGCGAGCGTCGCGAGTAAAGCAACAGCAGCAGACGTCAAAGCGAGTCTATCGGCGGACTTGCGCAGAGCGAGCGAAGGCAAGACGTCCAGTTCGGCCGCCGTCGCCGCGAAGTCGTCGCCCCGCGTCGCCGCGGCCATGACGACGGCGCTATCGACCGGTCGCGCCTCCAACCTTCTGAGGAGTCGGATCTGGTCGCTCGCCTTGAGGCCGCGCATTTTGGCACACGCTCTCGAATCAATGTTCTTCGCCCGTAGAAAGGCGTCGACGCGTCTTTTCACTTCCGGCGCCGACGGCGTTGGATCGTAGGCCGAGCCCTTTTCGTTTTTGGTCGAGGGCAGCTTCTGCGGCGCTCTGACGTTTGACACGGTCGCGAAGGGCTGTGACGGCGCGTTCGCCCGCGCTTGCAGGGCCGCCTCGTCGTCGGCGAGCATGCGCCGCGCGAGCGCTAACGACGCCGCCTCGTCGCGCGCGGTCTGCTCGAGGCGCGCGGCCTCGGCTTCCCGCGCGCGTAAAGCCGCCTCGCGCTGCTCGCGAGCTTCGCGCAGCGCCGCCTCGCGCGCGGCCTGTTCCGCGGCGCGCAGTTGCGCCTCGCGCTCCGCGGCTTGGCGCCTTTGTAACTCTTCGGCCTCCTGGCGCCGCCTTTGATTTTCCGCTTCCCGTAAAGCATTTTCGCGCCGCTCCAGCTCCTCCTTGCGTCGCTTTTCGGCCTCGTCCTCCCCAATATCGCGGCCGGCCATCAAGGCGCGGATCGCCTCGCGGTCCTGGCGCTTGATCGCGTCCTGCATCTTTTCCTGCAAAGATCGAGAATCTACAGGAGGTTGAGCCATGCCGGGCGGCGGCGCCGGCGCGGCGGCCAGCGCGTTCAGCCCGCCGAGCCCGTTCCCGAAGAAGCCCGCCGACGCCGGCGCCGGCGCGAGCTCGACGCCGCCCAGGGCGTCGACGAGCGACGGTCTAGCTTCCTCCCTCGCACTCCCAAAGCCCGGCGCCGCGCCCCAGCCGGGCAGCGTGCCGCCGTTCAAGCCGTTGTTGTTCGACGGCACGCCCGCGTCGCGCGCGATCAAGTCCGCGAAACCCCGCAGCGCCGCGTCGTCAACGAGCTCGGACCGTCCTAGAGTCCGCGGCTGTGACTGTCGGGGAGGACCGCCCCAGGCGTTCTCGGGCGGCGGGCCGATATCCACTTTCGGCCTTGGAGGGGGCGGCGGCGGCGGCGGCGTGTAGTCCACCGACGCCTCTCGCGAGCGCGGTAGACCACTCAACCCCTTCGGGTCCCGCGGCCGCGTGTCTTTCTTCACCGTTAACAATCTCCCATCCACATCATGCTTCCCAAGAGCCTTTTCGGCCAGCTGCGCCGTCTCGAACGTCACGAAGCCATAATACTTGCCCGGGACGACGGAGCAGTCGACAACCTTGCCCACAACTCTTTCGAAGTGGCGCTTGATGGCCGGGGCTTTAGTTTCTGGTCCTAATGAACCAACAAACACGGTCTTCGAGAGCGCCGGCCCGCCCTCCACCCTAGGAGCGTCGCACCGCCGACAACTCGACCGCCGCGAGAAATTGACCTCGCCGCACGGGCAGCGCCAGTCCGCCGCCTTGGTCCCGGAAGGTTGTGATGGTACTTGCGTTCCCAATGTGCGTAAGTCTCGGGCAACAGCATTAGGACCGCCGTCCGCCGCGTCGGCGACGTAGGACACGAAGACGCCGCTCCTCAGAGATTTGGCGCCTCGGACGATATCCGCCCTGGCCACGAAGACGTTCGACAGCCCGTCGTCAAAATCCGTCCCCAGCGGCCGCACGAAGCCGATGCCCCGGTCTTCGCGGTACCACACCACGACGCCGACGTCCCTCGTCTTCAGCAGCTCCAAGAACGCTTCCCTATCACTATCGCCGTGGATGCCCAGCTCGACGAGGTCGTGCTTTTGGAGTAGCTTCGCCGACGGCAAGTCTAAATCAGCCGCCTGCAGCTTGTGCGTGAGGTGGCCGAGGCCGAAGTCGCCGAGGAGCGCGGGCAAGGCGCGCGGCCGCAGCTCGCGGTCGAAGCGGACGGCGTCCTCGAGGGTCGCCATAATTTGTTGTTTCTAGCGTCCCGTGCGCCGCGCGTCGTCCGAGGCGCGTCGCTGAGCCTTGCCAGGTGGTGGAACTCGCTGCTCGCACAACTGCGCGCAGCTGCGTCAGCGATTCTCGTCGCCGCAGCGCCGCGTCGCGGGCGATATATATGCAACCAGTTGTGTAGCCCTGGGCCACTCAGGTGCCCTATACAGGCAGTCAGGCCGACTTTTTGCGATTCGGCCTGTTTGCTAGCGGTCTTAAGGCCACTAGCTTTTCCGAAACGCATAGCACAGCGTCGCATGGGCACCAGGAAGCTTCCATTAATGCGTATTCATACTTCTTAAGCTAGCTAGAGCTCGTCGGGCGACGCCCGGTCCTCGAAGGACACGATCACCGACCGGAGCTCGCCCGTGAGGAACCACGAGGACAAATCAGAAGAGTCGGCCTCGATCACCGTGTTCAACAAAGTGAACAACCAGGCCGAGTGCGTCGCCACGATGATCTCGGACTCCGGTCGCGCCCGCACCCAGCGCATGAAGTCGTAGCCCCGATCCGAGACGGATCGGGCGGACTCCCTTTCATCAGGGTCGAAGAACTCGTCCTTCTCCGAATCGAGGCGGCCCCACTCGACCCAGGGGAAGTCGTCCTGGATCTCGGACCGGTCCCTTCGCCTATCGCACACGTTCACGCCCGACGTCTCCTGGACCAACGGGTGGCCGATCCACGGCACTATATCTTTCAAATGAGGCATCGCTAAAGCGGCCGTCTGGGCCGCCCGTTGTAAGGGTGACAACACAACCAGCTCGATGCCCGTCAAAGCTCTTGTCGTCGGCCTCAGGGCTTTGGCTTGTTGCCTTCCAACAGCAGTCAGGGGCGAGTCCTCGATCTCCGGTCTCACATAAGGATTGCCTGACTTATCACCGCCCGTGCTGTCGACCGTCTTCCCGAAGTCTCTATATAAATCCCCGAGCAAGTTGTGGAAGCCCTGGCCGTGCCTTATGAGGTGCAGCATCTTCTCGCCCTCCCGCATCGGCACGCCGTCGGCCAATCGTCCTCGGATTCTTGTTTTCCTAACTATACCTAACACGCCTTGCCGCTCCAATTCGTCGTAGTGCTGCTTGCCCTCGATCTGCGCCGTCGCCATCGCGCTCGCCGAGTAGAGCTTCTTATCCGCTAGGGCGGGGGCTTCGCGCATCATCGAGGCCATGATGAATGTCGTTACGTATCGCATAGATCGCCGCGTCGCTGGCGTGCTGCGCAAGCCCTTGCAGCTGCACTGTGAATCTCCGCTGGCACTAGTGCAGTGCTGCGGGCAAGACTCGAGCGTTGCTGTAATTACGCTGTAAAAAATATTACTCTGTAATTACTTTTACGCTGTAATTACACTGTAAAAACGACGTGCGAGTATAATGCTGCTAGCGTCACAAGGCCACTAGCTTTTCGAGGGCAGCCCCGAAAAACGCATCGATAACACCCACACCGTGGCTCGTATGCCGCGCATGGGTACTCAGAAGCCGCCCGCGCCAAGGGCGCGAGTGAAAAGCTGCGCATAAAAGCTCGGAGGCAGCCAAAAACACCGCACTCCCCACCACGGCCACTCGCCGCCGCGCCGGGGAAACGACGATGGCCAAGCTGTGGTGGCTTTACGCCGCCGCCGTACTGGGCCAACAAACCGACTACGAGGAGAAGCTGGCGCGCGACCCCAACAAGCGCGACCCGGAGACCAAAGTCGACATCGCGATCATCATGCACGGCCTCTCGTCGCCCACGAAACATAAGAGGTATGACGGCTGCACCACCACGAACGCGGACTGGCGGCCGACGGCCCACCAGATCATGACCTATTTAAGGCCGCACATCGACGCGGACCTGTTCCTGCACACGTGGTCCGGCAACGAGAGTGCAGAAGTCGTAACGGCGTACGAGCCGACGAATTATACCGTAGAGGATATGATGGATTTTGCGGACGAGTACCACCAAATATCCCGATCATTAGTGTATGACATGGACTGCCGATACGATAGGAGAGTGAGCACGGGCCAGCGGTGCCCGCAGGTCCTCCAGAACAAGTACGCCCACTTTTATTCGATGCGAGAAGCTATAAGGTTGTCGAACTGGTACGAGTGGGAACATCGGGACGGGACGCAGTACATGCTGTTCATTGTTTGTAGGTTGGATTTGGTATTTACTTTTGATGATGGAAAAATGGGCCCGCTGATGATCCACCGCGGCAATCTGAGGCGAGTGCGGCATAGCAGGATCGCCGTGTTTGGGGCGACGCATCCCGACAACTCGACGCGGAACGTCATGGACGATTCGTTATTCATGGGCGACGCTCTCGTGAGACAGGCGGCGTTGACGATGGACTACCTGGTCCCGCAAGGTGAAGTACGAGCAAAAGATGGGTTCGAGTTCACGAATCGAGCTTGTTTAGAAAGGCAAATAGCGGGCTTCGAGGACTGGTATCCTCTTAAGAGGAGGGTCAAAGCCGTCGAGGCGTCTTCATTGGAGCCGCTCTGCCACGTGTTGCGGCGGGAATCAGATAAAGCGTGTCCGCGACTCACGGTGAACCGAAGACCTGATCCGGCCTACGACGCGTGTAGGGCCGCAACCTTACAACGGCCCGTGGCGCCTTTAATAAACGTCGATCTATCTATTACCATAGACGACGACCACCACACCCTCAAAGTCTATGCGGAGTCGTCGGCACGTGAGGTACGACGCGTCGTGGACACGTTCCTCCACAAGCGCTGGTGGTTCGACGGCAAGCTCCCGCTGCAGCCCCGCTTCACGAACGACTCGAAGCTGCTCGACGACGCCGCGGGGCGATTGGTAGACGCCCTGTTCGAGCAGCAGGCGTTGCACGGGAACGCGTCCAACCAGCATTTGCCTCCATTAGAGTGGCTGCGGGCGCCCTACGACTACCCCTACGAGTCGGCGCCCACCGAGATCGACGAGGACCTCGCGAACCGGAGCCCCGACGACTTCGAGCGCATTAGCGAGGAGGAGGCGGAGAGCTACCTCTACCCCGTGGGCGAGGAGCCGGGGCGCAAGCTCGCGGACTGGATCATGCACTGGTACGACCCCGACGAAAAACACGTCTACAACGACATGGGAAAACGGCCCGGCACGCGGTACGAGACGGTGATGCCGTGGGAGCACCCGTCCCGCACGGGCGTACCCTTCCCGCCGATAGCTTGGAGCCCGTGCGGCACGTCGCTCGAGCCCGTCGACCCAGAAGACTGCCCCAGAGATAGCGACCTGGCCACCTGCGACAGGGTTGCATGCGGCGTGCTCTGCGAGGGAGACGGCGAGTGCGGGACCGATGGAGGTCTGGACAACTGCGGCGGCTTCGACGTCTATCGCAAGATCTGTGGGGGGAAGGATGAGCCGGCGCGCGCCCCCGCGCGCCCCGACCTCGAGCCGCGCGCGTTCCTTTATCAAAAGCCACCTGAGGAGGAGGTCGTGTATATCGACTAAATTGTGTTATGGTTTACTCACACGGGCGTTCGACAGACAGGGTGATTCTTCAGACGCGCGGCGAGTCGGCCTGAGGAAGGGCATCTTCGACTTTTAGCTTTCCTTGAATATGAATCATACTAAGATGGTTTGTTTTTATGTGGGGAGGGACCAAAAATTTTTGTATCTCCAGAGAACTATGGAGATTGGAGATCAGCGCGGTCGAGGAGCACGTCCTTTGCGGGCCGACTGGGGAGGGACCAAAAAGTTTTTCATCTCCAGAGAACTATGGAGATTGGAGATCAGCGCGGTCGAGGAGCAGCGTCCTTGCTGGGAACTACCGTGGCGACCTGTGTGGAAATCAACCACTGTATCGGGTGCATTTCTCGGCGACAACGTGGCCGCGCTGGCTCCGTCGAGCGGTGAGGACCCGACATTGCCACGCCATCGAGCAGGTGCCGCGTCGATGGCGTGGAGGCGAACGCGCCGTAAATTTGATTTCCACACAGGTGGCGACCGCGGGCCGACTGGGGGAGGGACCATAGGCCGCGCCTGCAATCCTAGCATTTCGATTGATTTCGCAAGATTCCGCTAGCCGCGTTTCTCAGTCTCTCGCGCGCTCAGAGGGTAGAATGGTGAACTGAGTGTTGACGCGGAGCGGTCACTGTCTTGCAACCACTTGTTTGCTACTACTTTTTTGCCTCCAAAAACCACCTCCATCACATAGCCCCGCTAGGGGAATTATGACGCTAGCTTCCTCGCGACCAGCGACTCCCATTCGTCCTCCCAGGCTTGGGACGGCTGCCCCTGTCCGGGCAAACGCCCGCGCGCCTCGAGATGGCTAGCTCTAAGCAAGGCAACAATCTTAACTCACACGGGCGTTCGACAGACAGGGCACCACCGCTTCTCCGCAAGCCACCGCTCGAGGCACGCGCGGTGGAAGACGTGCGCGCAGGGCAGCCGCTCGCCGGCGCTCCCGATCGTCTCCTGGCAGATGACGCACTGCTCCTGCCGGGAAGGTTTCTGTGGCGGAGGCTTCGGCGGCGCGCGCGCGAAGACGCCGGGGTCGCGGCGCCGCTCGGCGACGGGGCGAACGCGGCTCGTCTCGAAGCCCGTCACTTCGTCGAAGGCGTCGCCGCGTTGGCGAAACTGGTCTCCCACGATTTTTCGGACCACATCCGCGGCCGCGGCGCGAACGGCGGCGAGGGACATCTCCGTCAGGAGCGTCACGACGAGGACCGTCCGCGTCCGTCTCCGGTCGTCGCCCGACGTGTGCTCGTGGCCCCGTTTATTCTGCAGCGCCGCGACGACGATGGCGATGGTTGTGAGGGCCATGATAGTTCCGAGCGCCGCGACAACGAAGCGTGGGAACGCTCGGCCGTGGCGCAGCCCGCGCAGCGACGCCACGCACGCGCCGAGCGCGAGGCCGCCCGTCGCCACGGCCAGCCACAGCGCTGTTATTGCGAGGCCGCTCCGCTCGTCGAGGTGCGGCCTCGCTCCCGCGAGCATCGCGCTCACGAGCCCGAGCGCGCCCAGTTCGGCGTAGAGCTGTACGGAAAGCGTGACGCGCGAGGCGGCCACGAGCGGTGAGTCGCCCGCGCGGCAGCATAGAGCGGACATATGCGCTGCTGCGATTGATGTGCTTTGTCACGTCAAGCGCGGGTTGGTGCACGTCAAGCGCGGGCAGCCTCACAGACTCTGGTGTGAGATTGTTGTGTCTGGATGCGATTGTCGCGTGCCGGGGCAGCCTCACCGAGCGGAAAGCTCACATTTACACGAATGCATCATCTGTATCGACAGAACGGCAGCTAATGCCGGCAGTGCGGCCGAGCAACTTTTGGCTTGCTAGAGTGTTACAGGCCGCTAGCTGCGACAGCGGCCAGAGCTCAAAATCGGCTATAGGAAAGCACCACGCCAGGCAGAGACGCGCACGCGTCGCCAAATTGCACTGCGTCTACGACCCACTCGGCTCGCTAGCGCGTTTCGCAGTGCGGGAAAGCACAAGCGGGAGAGCATCGAGTTGAAATTGGGCAAAGGACTCGCGCACACAGCCAGTGTACGCCCGTCGACGGTGCAAGCCAGCTCTCGTGTGCATCTCGCATCGGTACACAGTAAAACAAACGGGAGAGAGCGCAGAGCTGTAGTTGAGCGTCGAACCGCGAGCGTGAAACAATGGGAAACAAGAAGAAGAAAAAGGACCCCGCGAAAGAATTAGCAAAAAAACAGAGAAAGGCGGCGAAGCAGGAGCGCTGCGCCGACAAGCGCGATCGCAAGGCAGGTCTACTAGATGAGCAGCAGGACCTCGCGCAACTCATAGCACAGCAGCGTGCGAAAGATCTCGAACGGACCGAGGTCACGGTCACGAGGATTGAAAGCGAGGAAAAGTTCGCCCCGCGGTGCAACGCGACTTTAACAAATGTAGGGGATGACCTCTACTTGTTCGGCGGTGAGTCGAGCGACGGGGACCAGACGACTGTGCTGAATGACCTCTACAAGTACCGAACGACGAAGAATGAATGGTTTAAAGTAGAGTCCCTCAACACGCCCTCACCGCGCTGCTCGCACCAGGCCGTCTCGTTAAATGATCACTTGTACGTGTTTGGCGGCGAGTACGCCACACTGACCCAGTTCTACCACTACCGCGACTTGTGGCGCCTCGACGCCAAGACGCTGGCCTGGGAACAGGTCGAACCGTGCACGAAAACGATGCCTTCTTCCAGATCGGGCCACCGCATGGTCGAGTGGCGCGGCAAAATACTGGTTTTTGGCGGCTTCTACAAGGCGTCGCAGGACCAGAATGCGGTGTTTGTGAACGACACCTGGCTCTACTCGCCAGCACACAACGAGTGGCGTCCCCTCAAATTTACGGACGCGCCCGGGGTCGCGAAGCCGCCCTTACGATCGGGCTGCGTCCTGGCGCCTTGTAGTGATTTTTCCGTGCTGGTCTGGGGCGGCTACTCGGAAATACGGTGCGACAACGCCGTGAAAGCGCGAGGCAAGCCCCACACGGACTGCTGGGAGTTAAAAATAGCGGACCCGTTCGACGACAGTAGTACCTTGTCATCTTGGTCTAGGGTCAAGCTAGGTGGAAGTATAGGCGGGTCGGCGCCGTCGCCGCGATGCGGCGTGTGTGCTTCGTATAGAAACGATACGACGCACGTGTTCGGTGGTGTGTATGATGTGGATGGAGAGGGCTTATCGACGGAGTCGACGTTCTACGACGACCACTACGTTCTAGATACGACGAAAAAACGCTGGAAGAGGCGAGACGCTTTACAAGACCCCGACCTGCCGCCGCCGCCACCGAGAGCGTGGGACCGGAAAGCGCTGCAAGCTTCATTAGTAGCGGTCTCGTTAACGCCGCCGCCGCGCATCGGCGCCTGCTGCGCGGTCGCGGGAAAAGTCTTGTATGTACTGGGGGGCACCCTGGAGGTGGGTGACACCAAGGAGCTTGCATTAGATGATGTATGGTGCCGTGACGCGCGCAAGAAGGACGCGCCTTGGACGCGGCTCGTGGGCGGGACCATGAGCAAGCGGTCGGCGCACTGGGCGGCGGAAGAGAGTGAGAACGAGGACGAGGAGGAGGACGAGGAGGAGGACCTCGGCTCGACGTCTTCTGATTCTGACGAGACGGCTGGGGAAGAGGAGGAAGTGAAGCGGGACCAGTGGACGCGCTAGGACTAATGTGACTCTCTGTGTCTTAGACCCCTCGCTCGGGCTCCGACATCCCGCGCGACAAAGGAGTGTTCGGCTCGCGCCGGCCGCCCGACCGCCTCGAGGCGCGCGCGGCCGCCGCCGATGCAAACGCCGACGTTGCGTCGACGGGCGAGAGGCTGTCCTGTATCACTGCCATCCGGGCCCGCGGCTCCGGGGGCGACTCGAAGACCTTGCGCTCCTTCACGCCGAGCGCGCCCGGCGCTAAATGTTCGCCGTCCAGAAAAAGCACTTGTGGGGCCACGCCGACGACCAACGCCCGCGGGCGATCTATCGGGTTCCCTTCGACCCACAAACTCCGCAGGCCTCGGTTGAAACACAGAAGTCGCAAGCCCAGCTCTCCGCGAATGTGGTTTTCACGCAGGCCAACGATGCGCCAATACGTTGACAAGGTCGCCGCGGCCGGCTCCTGGGCCGCCTATGAAAAGCAACACCGCGCGCGCCTCGTGCGAACTTTCGTGCCCAAATTCCCGCGACTCCCGCCGGACGTCATCCCTACGATCGTCGCATTCGGCTTCCATACGGGCGACTACTAGCAAGTAAGAAACCAATCATTAACGAAACTTCGCCAGCCGCTCCTGGAGCTTGGCGATCATCGACTCCGCGCGCGGCACCTTGTACACGTTCGCCTTCAGCGCTAGATCGTCGGCGCCCGCCATACCGGCCCGGATGTGCAAAGCGACGACGTCGCGCTCGCGCGCTCTAGGAAAGGTCAGCTTCACGAGCTCCGTGAGGTGGTGGTTCGACTTGACGCGCCCCTTCGACCCGAGCTTGACCGTCTCGCCGAACGTGTCGAAGACGAGGAGCCGTTCCCGGTTCACGCCGACGCAGCGCAGCAGCTTCCGCTCCGCGACCGACGAGAGGCCGAACTTCGCGGCCGTCTTGTTCGGTTTCAGCTTGATGGCCATAAATAGTATGGTATCAGGCAGGTGGTCCGCGTCGAAGATGACCTCGTCGCCCTTGGTCAGCCCCGCAATTCTATGCTGCGCCAGCGCCAGCGACTCCTGCTCCGCGGCCGTCAGAGGCACGGGCTCCTTCTTCGGCCGCGGCGGTGTCGATTGCGGCGACTGGTAGTCGAGCTCGTCGCCCTCTTCATCATCACCGATGGAAAAACAATTGGCCGAAGGCGACGCGGGGTCCGTCGCCACGGGCGACGCGAAGGCGGGCTTCCTTTGAACGGGCTTCTCGGGCGCCTTCTTCTTCTCGCGCAGCGCCGCCATGGACTCGGACGCGCGGCGGTGGAAGTCCATGGCGGCCGCGCGGAAGCGCTCGGACGCCTTGGGGCCCGCGGGCTTGGAGGAGGGCTTCGAGGCGAAGCGCGCCGCGGCCGTCGCCTTGGCCTCGGCGGCGAGGCGCTTCATGCGCTGCATCGTCGTCTCCTTCACGGCCGGCGGCGGCGGCGCGTGGTCGAGCTCGTCCGACAGCTGGCCGCTCATGAGCTCCGTCGATGGCACGCTCGGCGGCATCTGGAGCTCGACGGGCGACGTCGGGGGCGTCTGGAGCGTATCCAATGAAGAAAACTGGGGCGACACGCCCTCGGGCGGCACGGGCGAGTTCCGGAGGCTCACGTCCGCGAGCGCCGCGGCGGGGTCCTCGGGCTCCGGCGGCGGCGGCGCGGTCGCGCTCGAGCCGCTCGCCATCGTGACGACGCGTGCGCCGGCGGGCGTGCGCTCCTTGGTGCTCGCGGCCGGTTCGGGCGCCGGCGAGGTGTAGAACGCGGGCTCCGCGGGCACCGTCGGTTCCGGCGTCGACGGCCGCGGCGGCTCCGCGGCAGGCGCTGGCTCCGCGGCGAGGAGCTCGTCGACCTCCGCTAGCACGGACGCCGCCGACGCCGCTTCCGGGCTCCGCGGCGGCGGCGTAGGTGCCGGCTCCATCGAGAGGAGGTCCACGCTCTCCGTCGGTGCTTCTGCCGGCGCCGGCTCCATGGAGAGGAGGTCGACGTCGGCCGCTGGCGCCGGTGCCGCCGGCTCCATGGAGAGGAGGTCGACGTCGGCCAGCGGCGCCGCCGATGCGGGTTCCATCGAGAGCAGGTCGGTGTCCGGGGCCGGTGCCGCCGGCGCGGGCGCGGCCGCCACCGACGAGAGGAAGTCGATCGCTGTCGGTGCGGCCGCCGCGGGCGCCGGCGCGGGCGGCGCGGCGGGCGTGGCCGTCGGCGAGACGACCGCCGGCGCAGGCGGGTTCGCAGCCTCGGGCGAGATGACGGCGGCCGGCGCGGCGGGCGGCGGCGTCGCCGCGGGCACCGGCGCCGGCGCTGGCGGCTCGGGCGTGGCCGGGCGCGGTGGCTCGGGCGCCGGTACCACAGGCGCGGGCGCCGGTGCCACAGCGGGCTCGGGCGCTGGCGCCGGCGGCGGTGCGGGCGCCGGTTCCGGCGCAGGCTCGGCTGCGGGCGGCTCAACGGCCGGCGTCGGTGGCGCCGGCGCTACGGGCGCTGGCGCCGGCGGCGGTGCGGGCGCCGGTTCCGGCACCGACGGCGCGGCGGCGGGCGGCTCGACGGCGGGCGTCGGCGGCGCCGACGGCGCGGCCTCCGACGGCGCGGCGTCCGACGGCGAGGTGATCGAGAACTGCGCCGCGGGCGCCGCGTCGGGCGTCGCCGGGTCTTCGTCTTCGTCACTCGAGTCCGCGAGCCAGTCCATCACCTTCTGTTTGGAGGCGCTATCCATGGCTTCGCGCGCTCGGAGACCAAAAAGGCCGCCTGGGGTTTGCTGGCGGTTTTGGCTATTGCACAGCTGTGTCTCGGACGGACGTATGGCTCGGTGCAGCTACGATAGAGCTCAAACGCACCAGTGACGTAAGCTAGCAGCGCATAAGCGACGCGTGCTGTCTTGCGCGGAGTTTGCTTTTTTGCTGCTAGTGTCTTTACGACGCTAGCGAGCCTAGCTCTCCCAAAACGCGCTGGCGGCGCTTCTACAGCTTCGCGGCAATCCAGAACAAGCGTACAGCCTCTCCAGCTTGTGGGGAAGCGCTGCGCCGAGTCCCAAAAGCCACCGCTACGCGTGGGCAAAAGTAGCTTGTAGGGAGAGCAGCGGATCGCGAGGGCCGCCACGCGCCAGCAGCCGAGCAAAAGAGCCGCGGATCTCGCGGATAGTACTACACACGCTACGCGCCCAACATGCGAACACTTCTACTACTAACGGCGGCGACGGCCCTCGTGCCGCCGCACACAACAATACGCCCACCGTCGAGCGTGGGGATGACGGCGGGCGGCCTCGACGGGACGAAGATTTTTGAAGCGCTGGAGTGCTTCTCGCAGCACTCGGGGTTGTGCGTGGTGGTCAAGTACGGCGGCCACGCGATGTCGGATGAACGGGCCGCCGAGTGCTTCGCGCAGGACATCGTATTGATGCAGAAGCTAGGTGTCAGACCAGTAGTGGTCCACGGCGGCGGCCCGCAGATCGGCGACATGCTCAAAAGATTAAACACGACGTCGCAATTCATCGATGGATTGCGGGTGACCGACGCCGCGACCGTGAAGGTGTCGGAGATGGTCCTGTGCGGGTCGATCAACAAGCAGATTTCTGCCGCGATTTCTCGCCTAGGTGGGCGCGCGTTAGGCTTGTCGGGCAAGGACGACTCCTTAATCGTCGCGGACAAGCTCGTCAAGGAGCGCCTGAACGAGAAGGGCAACGTCGTCGAGATCGTGGACCTGGGCTTCGTCGGCGAGCCGGCCGAGGTCAACGCGAAGCTCCTCAACGACGTGCTAGATGACGGCCGCATACCGGTGGTAGCGCCGATCGCGGCGGGCCGGAACGGCGAGACGTTCTCGGTGAACGCGGACACGGCGGCGGGCGCCGTCGCCGAGGCATTGAAGGCGTCGCGCCTCCTCCTCCTCACGGACGTGACGGGCGTCCTCGACGCGAACATGGAGCTCATCCAGCGCATCACGCCGAGCTCGGCCGACGCGCTCGTCAAGGAGGGCATCATCAAGGGCGGCATGATCCCGAAGCTCCAGACGGCGGTGCAGGCCGTGAACAACGGCTGCGGCGGCGCGGCGATCGTCGACGGGCGCATCGACCACGCCGTCCTCGAGGAGCTGTTTTCCGACGAGGGCGCGGGCACGCTCGTCGTCGCCGACGACGAGGACGAGGAGTAGATTTGGGTAACATATTATTCACACTACTGCGTCGCGCGGCGTCTCATACGACGGCGGTCGCGCGCGTCGCCGCGCCGCGCGTACGTCGCCATGATGTCTACCAAAGGCAGACTGACGCCCAAATGAGCACAGGTCCCCCGGATCATGCCGATGCACCTAATCACGAACATGAAGGAATCGGGGAGGCCCTGGATCTTCCGGCCGCCCTTCTCGCGCACGCCCGCCGCCTTGTCGGCCTTCATGCGGTCGCGGATCGCGGTCATGCGCTCTTTGGTTTCGCGGCGCGCCGTCTCCTGGTCCGACGCGTCTCTCAAAATAAAGGCCATGAAGTGCACGTTCCGCGCCGCGTCTCGTCCGTCCTGGTTCGTCTTGTAGCCGAGAGCCGCCAGAGCCTTCGAGGCGCGCTCGACGTCGGAATCGTACAGCGCCAGGGCCAAATCACGCCAGCCCCTTAATTCTGCAGTCGTGAGGCGGTGCGTCCAGCCCCAGTCAAGTAAGAGCAACCGCGCCGTACCCGTACTTTCATCGAAGCGTAGAGCTACATTGCCCGGGTGAGGATCGGCGTTGAAGAAGCCCAGCTCGAAGATCTGAGCGCACATCACATGCGCGAAGTGCCGGGCGAGTGCCGTGGCGTCGACGCCGTGGACCGCTAAAGCGTCTTTATCATCAACCTTGCAGTGGAGCTGTTCCCAGCCCATAACAAAGGCTGAGGGTGCGCTGAGCTCGGGTACGAGGGACACCGTTCGCGAGGACGCCCGCTTCGACGCAAGGAAGCGCCCGACCTCCGTGGTCGCCGCGACTTCGTAGGTCAGGTCCAACTCCTTGTGGGCCTCGCGCTCCCACGCGCGGCAAATGTCCGCCTGCACCTTGAAGACCTCGTTGAAGCGCGCGCAGAAGTCGAAGATCTTGATCGCCCTTGATAGGTCGCCGCAGAAGACGCCCACGATATGAGCGTGCCGCACCTTGACTGCCACGGCGGAACCGTCCTTGAGCTCCGCGCGGTGGACCTGGGCGATCGACGCCGACGCGACGGGCGCCCACTCAAAGGACGCAAACACCTCCTCGACCTTCTTCCCAAAGGCCCGCTCGACGGTCCGCCGGACGACGCGCGGCGCGTCGGCGTCGAGGTCGTCCTGGAGCGCCTCGAGGAAGCCCTTCCAGGCCGGCGGCGCGAGGTCTGCTCTAGCCGAAATGTACTGGCCGAGTTTCACGTAGAGGCTGCCCAGGGCCGCGAGGCGACTCACGACGAACGGCGCGGCCACGGTGTGCCTTCGCTCCCAGAACGCGTCCGCGTCACTCCCCTCCAGCCGCAGCACGTACTTGTTGACGAGCTTCGCGACCAGGTAGTAGACGATGGCCGCGCCGGCGACGCAGTAGACCGTGACCGCGCGCATCCAGCCCGACCACGCCCGCAGGATGCCGCCGTTGACCGCCGCAATAACCAACGGAGAGAGCGGCGGCGGCCGCATCCAGCGATAATCAGAGGCAAGAGCGGCGGCGGCCACGTCCATCATAAATTCATAATCGTCCGCGAGCGCCAACGCCAGCGCCAACGCGGCGACCATCGGCCGCGCCGCGAACCCCACTAAAAACGCGTAGCACAGCGCGAGGCGCGGCCACGCGCTCAGGAGGTAGAGCGGCAGCGCGTAGAGCACCGCGGCGCACGCGTCGCCGAGCCCGTAGCGCGGCTTGGTCGGCTTCGCCCGCTTGAGCGCGGCCCGCAGCTGGGCGCCCTGGCGCAAGCGCGCCGCGAAGCCGGCCGCCGCGAAGGGGATCGTGGCCCGCAGTTCGGCTCCCGCGGCGAGGTCGGCGGCCGCGGCGTCGACGCGGGCCGGCGTCGCCCCGAGCACGGGGTACAGCATCCGCGCGGCGCGCTCCGTCGTGCACGCCTTCGCCGCGGCGCGGAGCCAGGCGTCGAGCGCCTGCTTGCGGGCCGTGCCGCCGACCGACCGCGCGGGGAAGCCGTCGTCCATCGCACACGCGAGCGGTCCAGACGAAACACCGGCGGCGGCGCGCAGCTCCGAGTAGCGCTTCGTGACGGTCCAGGCCTCGGCGCCGGCCGACACCGCAATATCGTAGACCGTGACGCCGTCGGGGCGGATGCGGGCGGCCGTGACGCGCGCCTTGAGCCCGCCGGCTAATAACGTCGGCGGCGCGTCCACGAGGTCGCGCAGCGTCGCGCCGACGCGCATGAGGACCGGCATCCAGCGCGCCGCCGCGTCCCTTACAGTATCGCGCGCGTGCTGCTGCGCGCCGTCGCCGAGTTTCAGCTTGCCGTGGACCAGCGCCGTGAAGGGCGAGAGCTTCTTGGAGGCTAACGCGACGAGCGTCGTGGTCGTCGTCGTCACCTTGATCGCGCCGTCCTCCTCGCCGTTAATGAGTTGGGGTCGGCTCGTCGCTTGGTCCCAGCGCAGCGTCCAGCTGCCGGCGTCTTCGAGCGCGAGCGTGAGACTGGTCGCGCCGGCGAGGCGTTCCGTCTCCTGATTGCTGAGGCCGGCCGTTGCGTCCGTGAGTGCTTGCGCGGCCTTTGCGGCGAGGGTTTGCGCATCCATTAGCGTAGCGCGCTTGTTTCTGACTCCTGAAGTAACGCGCACACGCGCAAAGTCGCTACGCGACCTTAAGACAGCACCACGTAACACTGCTCTCTCTGAAGGCCAGGCTCTGTATGGCTTTCTTGCACGTGTTGGTTGTTAGCACCGATTGCCCAATGTCTTGGCTGCGTGATGCTGGTTTCGTAACTCGCCTGTGGGCCCGTGTAGGGCAAAACGCGACAAGGGCCAGCCGAGCTAGCGGTATGTAAGACACTAGTAAACAAGCGGAGTGAGTGGTTTCGCTGGCCGTACGGCGCTATTCGTGCCCGCGCGCGCGTTCCAGGCAGCGCCTAGCACCTCCTCTAGCACGCAAAGGCCCTGCGCCCGCCGCCGCGCCCGCTGCGCTCTCCAGTAGCAAGAGAGAGCACCAGGGTAAAACCATGGCCGACTTCGACAGCGTCGCCGCGGCTCAGCCCCAGCGCCCGCAACTCCCGGCGGGCTGGCAGCCGAACCTGCAGAGGATGCTCTCGGACATCGTGCCCATGCTCTCGGCGGAGTTGAGGCACGCGTTCCGCGAGTTCGTCAAGAGCCTGAAGGCCAAGCGCGACGCGCGCGAAATACCGTCGTTGTCCGTAGCCTTGATGGAGCAGGCCCCCCAGGTCGTCGGCACGGACCTCTGGCAGCAGTGCATCGATAGGCAGCGCCAGGAGGCCGTTGCCGCTTCCGGGCATCGAGTCCCTCAACAACAACAGCCGCAGCAACCAACGTTCAACCAGCACGATGCCGACCAAAGACGGATGGCTAGAAGAGCCACGCTCGAGGCCGATATTTTTAGAAGTACGCGGGCGCCGTCGGTGGATGTGGGGACTGATGTGCTCGAGGACGGCGACTTGTTCAACGAGGACCAGCTCGAGAAGCCGCGGAAGCCGAAGAAGAGCCCGCCTTCTGATTTCAAGCGCTGGGCCGAGTGCAACGTGCTGGACGCGGCGACGTGTCGCGCGAAGCTCGAGAAGGCGGCGGCGAAACGAGGCATCACGGTGGATCCTTCGGATTCGGCCTGCGAGTTGCTGTCGCGGGCCGCGGAGCTGTTCGTCAAGGACGCCGTCGAAGCCACTATCGTTCATAGTAGAAGGCGCCGCAACGACGAAGCGAGACGTATTTCAAGGCAAGGGCCCGAGTACCCGCTCCAGATCCGCCCTTCTGACATAGATGTCAAGGCACACGTCGCCGCGTCAAAACGCGTTGCGGAGAAGGACGGGTTATTGCTCGACGCGATGGTCGACTTTGATGTGCTCAACGGGAAGCCGGAATCATCGAATGCGCCTCCCCCTCGGTCGGTCTGGGCGACGGCAAAAAGACAACGGGGCCGGGAATTGGAATCGGCGCGGCGCCAGGAGTACGGCGGCCTCACGGAGGTTGGTGATAGATTGGAGCTGTCCATGAAGAAGGTCAAGAAGGAGGATGAAAGAGCGGAAAAAGCGAGGCCCAACATCCCCGACGCGCCCGACGTCGTCACGCGCGACGACGTGGCGCACTACCTCCGCGAATCGAGGCCGGAGCTGGCTCCCGAGGTGCTGTTCTGCGGGTGATGGTGTGTGCGGCCTAAAGTATAGTTATCTAGCTTTTGTCGAGGCTAGTGTGTTGACACACACGCTAGCCTTCACCAAGTTTAATCTGTCGCGAAAAGCAAATCATCTTGATTTCTACACATACCGCTGCCGGCAGTGCGTTGATCCTTGAAAAGATGCGTACTCGCAGCCGCCCCAGCGGGAGGTGGCTGCTGGCACTCGCCATCGCCGCGCCGCTGACCTCAGGCTTTGTTGCACCATCTCTAAGCCAGCTTGCCCGCAGCCCGGCGGCCGGCCCGGCGCAGGTTTCTCAAGCACGGAGGAGTCGTGCCTCGCGAACTCGCGTAGCAGCTGCGCCGGCCGCGCCGGAAAGCGCGCCCGCGCCGGTCGACCGGCGCATCCAGCTCGCGAAGGCGTTCGTCGTCGATGATTTCGGCCGCGCCAACCCGGACCTGTTGCAGGACGACTTCGCCTTCGAGTTGGGCAGCTCTTTGTTGACGAAAGACCGGTACCTTAAAAGCGACGACCTAGCTCGGCTAAGGGAGGCATGCGGCGATACTCTGAGAGTCGCCGCGTCCGATTTTAGGATAGACCCCGGTGATGACGAGGCCGTGCTCTTTACGCTCGCCGTCAGTGGCGTCCAGTCCGCGCCCTATAAGGGCCTGGAAGATAAAGACGCCCTAAAGGGTAGCGGCCCCTGGAAGACGCTGCCGACCTGCGGCCGGTGCGCCTTCGACGCCAGTGGGAAGTGTTACGCCGCGACTCTTGGCGCGCCACTCGACAGAGATGACCGCTCGCGCGGCGTGGAGACGCTAGCCGATGCGTGCTGGGTCGCCATGGGCGGCAAGCTTGGCGGGCTGAACGTGGGACTGGCTCTGTCCGAATTAGTCACGCGTCGAACACCCGCGACGCCGCGCGGCGCCCCTGCAACAGAGCCTCTGATCGACGCCGCCGACGCGGTGGGAGTCGCGGACGCGGCTCTGCGAGAGCTCCTTCTGAGGCCGGAGGGCGCACCCCTACCTGATGGTGTAGCGGCTGCTTTATTTGCCGACGACTGCGTCGTATTGGGTGAGGGCTTCGCCGCGATGCCGCTCAAAAACGCGGCGAAACAACAACCCTGGGGCGGTTCATTTGATGGCGCATCCTTCTGTAACTATAGGATTGCCGCTGACGACGCCAGAAGGGTACTGTGCGACGTCTTATTGCCGTCTGGGCGCCTGGAAGGGGCCTCAGTTTACGTGGATGCGGATGAGAAAGCTTTCAGATGCTCTGTGGGGTGGGTTATCCGCGAGGGCGAGAAGGCGAATTATCTCGCGGAGCTCCAGAAGGCTGCGCTGCCTTTGGACCGCGCCATTGACGCCGCGGTCGAGACCTACGAACAGCTCGACAAGACAGTACTCCAACCGACCGCGGAATTTCTCGACAATACGGTGCTCTCCTTAGACGCGACGCAGGCGGCGTTAGGGGTCGCCCTGGCCGACGCGGACAAAGGCGTGGCAAACGCTAAAGCTGAATTGGACAAGGCTCTCGCTGCAACCCAGGCGTCGTACGAAACGCTAGCGGCGGGGCCGAAGGCACTCGCGGCGGAAGCTGAGAAGGCCGTCGCGGAAGCTACGTACGAACTAGACAAGGCGGCTGCCGAGCTGCAAAAGACCGCAGACGAAGCGGACGCCAAATTGCAGACAACCCTCAACGAGGCGAACGAGACGCTCTCCGCGATTCTGGAGGACCCGGCGAAGGTGCTGCAGTCCGGGGCTCTTCCCAAAATAAATGCGACCACGGTAAAGGCGCCGAAACGTGAAGCTCCGCAAAAGCCCGCGCCTGTGAGCGACCCGGCCGAGGACCTCAAGCGGGCCGAGGCGCGCCTAGCCGCCGCCGAAGCGGCTGCGGCGAAGGTCAAGGCCCAGTCAGAAGCGGCCTCGGCAGCGGCGCGTAAAGCTGCCGAGGAGAAGAAGGCGTTGGTAGCCGAGGCACTAGAGAAACCGCCCCCAGAGCCCGTCCAAGAGCCGAAGGGCGCCATAGCTGTAGCTACTGTGGAAACCGAGGTATTCGACGAGGCGCCCGACACGCCAGGAGCTCGCCTAATTGCCGCAATTCCGCGGCCGCCGCCGGAGGAGATCAAGCCTGAGCCTGCTTTCGAGCTGCCGGAGCTGCCCGACTCTTTCAAGGATTTCACGCCGCCGAAGATTGAGCTGCCGAAGCCCGCGGCTCAGCCCGTGGCGAAGCCGGCTCCGAAGCCGGCGTTCTCGTTCCCGCGCCCGGCGCCGGCGCCGAGGCCCGCGCCCAAGCCGGCGTTTAGCTTCCCCCGGCCGACGCCGCAGCCGGCGCCGAAGCCCGCGCCAGCTCCTTTCTCATTCGGCGGAGGGCCGCCGAAGATCGCCACGCCCGCGCCCAGACCGGCGCCCAAGCCGGCCTTCTCGTTTGGGCCGCGGCCGGCGCCGCGGCCGGTCTCCAAGCCCGCGGCGCCTGCGTTTAGCTTCGGGGGGCCGAGACCCGCGCCGCGCCCGACGCCGCGGCCGGCTCCTAAGCCCGCGACACCATTTAGCTTCGGAGGACCGCGGCCTGCTGCCAAGCCGACTCCCCGACCGGCGCCGAAGCCGGCGTTCTCGTTCGGAGGGCCGCGCCCGGCGCCGCGGCCGACGCCGCCGCCTCCCGCCCCCAAGCCGTCGGGTGGCGGCTTCAATCTATTTGGGAGCAAGCCGGCGCCGAAACCGGCAACGCCGCCGCCGGCACCGAAGCCGGCGAGCAGTGGCGGATTCAATCTCTTCGGCGGCAGCAAGCCTTCGCCGAAGCCTGCCCAAGCTCCGGCACCTGCGCCGAAGCCGGCGGGTGGATTCTCGCTGTTCGGCGGTAGCAAGCCGAAGCCCGCGCCGGCTCCCGCGCCGGCTCCCGCGAAGAAGGACGCGTCGCCCTTCGGGGGACTCTTCGGCGGCGGCTCGGCGCCGAAGCCTAGCGCGCCGTCGCCGTCGCCGGCGCCCGCCGCCAAGCCGCCGCCGGCGACCACGGGTGGCGTGCCCGACGCGTTGGCGAAGGCGGCGGCCGAGGCGCGCGCGAAGAACGCTGCCAAGCAGAAGGCGGCGGCCGACGCGCGGAAGCGTCAGGCACAGGAGCGCCGCTCGCGCTAGTAGGGGTGATGAATAACAACCAACATATCATTACTACGCCAGTCCAACGCGTGCCCGCTTCCGACACAGTGGGCACGAGACCTGGACGCCCTGTCGCGTCGTGTTCACGCCCTGCTCGGCCTTGTGCCGGGCAAGCGCTTCGCCGCAAGTAGTACATAAATGGTGCCCGCAATTGAATGATTTCACTTCACCGGACCGGAACGGCTCGTAGCAGACCGGACAATTCCCGGTCGGCATCTGCGGCCGCGGCGGCTGAGATGGCGGCTGGGAGTCCGCCGCCGGCCGCTTCGGGGCTGGCCGTTTCCGTGGCGCCGGTGTTTTCTTCTTCGGCAGCGCCTTCTCCAGCACAGCTTTCGCTTTGGCATTCGGGCCGGAGACGGGCAACGGGTCGTCCGGCGGCGAGTGAAAAACATGCGCAGCGTAGACGCCCTGCCGCTCGCCATCATCGAACACGACCTCATACCTCATTTCCTCGGCGACGCCACTAATGGAGATAATCGTCCCGCCCCACCAACTCTGAGGCAAGCTGTCGTCGTCGAACAGCGCCCAGACGCGCGTACCCGGCCCAGGCTCGTCGGGCTCCTCGGCGGGCGCGGTCGCCGCGGTAGAGCCCCGCGCCGCGCGGAACCTGGCCTTCGAGTCATCGTATACTTGCTCGCAGCGACGAAAGATGCACGGCCTTCGGAGCGTGTTCGCGCCACCGCGCTTCGTCTGGTCGAGGCACCACTTGCACGTTCCACATTCGTCTGCGAGGCAGCCGTCGCAGGCGCCGCACCGACCCCGCCTATCGCCCGTCGGCGCGCTCCGCGACCTAACTTCCGGGGCCGGGTTCGCCTCACACGCCTCGCAGCAGAACCATTTGCCACTCGGGATCGCATCTAACCCTGCACAATGGAAATGGGCCTCATTGGCGCAATTCCAGCCGTCGCACAATAATATCGTCTCCGGATTCGCGCCGCTTAGGCAATACGCACAGTCACTCCTCGCCCACGAGAACGTCGAGCCCTTGAACGCCCTTCCCTTTTCGTCGTTGTCCTTATCGTAGGCGTACGGTTTGCCCTTCTCGATACACGAGACGACATTTGACTTCCAGAGCTCGGCGTCGGGCGCGTCAGGGTACAATGCCCTCGCACACGCGGCGACGCTACAGTGTCGCACGATGACGCCATCATCACGCGTCTGATCGACGCCGCGGCCCATATTTGCCTGACACGAGCAGAACGGCTGGCCAGTGGAGCACTCGCGCGTCTCGCACGATAGGCGCTGGCGCCTCATTAAAGTGTTTGAGGCGGCGAACCAGTTTTCGGGCGCATCGTCACATTTCCAGTCCTCCTCGTCCTCGATCGTAATACCCGGCGGTACGACGCGCACTTTGCGGCACAAGGTGCACGTAACGCGCGGCCGCGCCTCCGCTTTACGGCTTCGGACTTCTTCGGCCCAGTCTTTCGCATAGCGCAGCACATTATTGACCTTGGAGACCTGTCTCGTATTTAAGCACTCGGCGGCGCGGCTCCGAGCCATGCCAAGCGCAGCCGCGGCCCCAGAAGGTGAACAGTAGGTTTCAACAATGCGACCTTCCGGCGACACAGACACGACAGCTCTATCAACGCCGGGCGCGTGACATTCGCACTCCGGGTCTTCCGCCGAACACTGCACCTTCTCGCAGGAGACGCCGACGTCAGCACAGGTCCAAGCGGCGTCGCTGGCCGCCGAAGCTCCCTCCGGTAGTAACCTCCACCGTTCGCACGACGAGCACTGCGCCCACTCCGCCGGCTTTCGTAGCGCGGCCATCGCGGCCGCCGCGGCGGCAGCCGCTGCCGCCGCGTCTTTTTGCCGGGCGGCAGCGGCCTGCTGGGCAACCTTGCGCTTCTCGGTCGCGGCCTTAGCTGCCTCGCGCCGTTTGATTTCGCCATCCCACGCCGTCGCGTAGCGCAGGATGGGCGGAGTACTAGACTCGATCTTCGCTTTCGTCAAGGCTTTGGACGAACATCGCCGCTGCGCGTCCTGCCACGTCATACCGTGCGCGGCCGCCGCGCCCGCGGGCGAGCAGTACGTCGCGGTGATGGCGCCCGCAGAAGTGAGCAGCACCACTTCGCCGTCCCACCCGCGTCGGTGACACGCACAGTCGGCGTCCTCGAGCGAGCACGCGACCTTCGAACACCTGCGCGGAATCATCGTCTCGCTCCACGCCATCGACGCGACGTCAGTTCGTGATTTTCACACCGTGGAGCACGAAAGGCCGATGTCGCCACACTTCCAGTCGTCCGATAATGTGGCGGCTGAAACGTTGGCCGGTAGGACTCGCCACTTGTCGCACGCAGCACACTGGGCCCAATCGGCGGGTGGGGGCGGTACCGCGGGCGCCACGGGCGCCGGGACAGCCGTACGCCGCCAGAGCTGCACGAGCGAGGCGTCGGCGCCATCGACAGCGGCGGCGTCGCCATCCCGCCGTACAAGCTGGTACTGGTATCCGTGGTATTGTTGGTTGCCGTCGCGCGCGACGAGCCGTTGCGCGCAGAGGCCCCGAGACCGGTCCCGCGGATCCCACCACGTGAGCTCCCGTTCAAGTCGCTGCACGTGGGCGTTCAACAGTTCCGTGCCGTAGGGAATCTCCCGCCCCCTACGCCGAGAGACGAAGTAGGCGTCGTGGGGCCCGTCGAACGGCGCAAACGGGACCCGGTGTTTGCGCACCGCGAAGGCCGTCGGGAAACTCGTGCCTGAGGCGATTCGCCGCAGCAAGACGTAGCACCCGCTGAGGTCAACCGTAGCGCCCTCGGTCAGCTGCCGAAGAGTGTGCGCCTCGAGGCTGCGCCGCGCGTGTCGCAGCCGCTCCCACCCTCCTGCATGCACCAGCGCTGCTGCTCCAGCACTATCAAAGTTTCCGAGGAAGCCCCAGTCGTGGCCGAGCTGCACGCGGTACCGATCGTCTCCGACGCGATAGACGCCCTCGCTCACGCGTTCGGCGCCCGGAGGGACAGGCCAGCGCGCCTGCCGTCGAAAATGCAGTCCGTTGACTGTGTCCACGTTGCCCTCGACGCATCCGCGGATGTCCACGTCGCGCACGCCCCATTCTTTCGCTGCAGCACCACAAGTAGCATACGCGTACAGATCGACGCCGGAGGCTGGATCGTACCACGACACTGTCGCCGCGGACGCGATCGGCGCGCTAATTTGCCTGAGCGTGTGCTGGAAGCGCTCGAGCGTCCTGAGATTCCCGTCGAGGATCCGAGCCACGGCCCGCCGCGCGGTGCTGGGCTCAATCTCGCCGCGACGGCCCCTGATAAGAGCTTCAGCGAGCGTCGCCCTGGTGTCGGCGCCCAGGGCATGCATTGCCCCTAGGAAGCTGTAGGTGTGCCCAATCCGCCAGTCTACGTTGGGCGGGCGATTGTGTCGACTCGCAATGTCGACGGTGCGCACCATGTCCGCTCTGAGGCGGTCCAGGACGCTCGCGGTCTCCGTCGCGTCGACGTCCATCGCGCTCGCGGCCGCGGCCGGCGCGTCATGGGCCGGCGACGGCGTTGTGTCCATCGGCGCCGGCTCGTCGGGCGCCACGGGCGCGGGCGACGGCGTCCGCGCGGCGGCGGGCGGCGCCAGCTCTACCGCCGGCGTGGAGATTGGTGGCGGCTCCGTCGCCTCGGGCTCGGTCGTCGCGACCGGCGCCGGCAGAGCATCGGCCTTGTCCAGCGCGTCGACGACCGTCGCGGTGGCCGTGCGACACGACCCCGCCGCGTGGGCACGCGCGCCGGCGGCCGCGGCGACGGCCCGGTCGCCGGCCGCCGCGCGGTCCGCCGCAACGGCCTCCGACGCGTTCGACGTCGCCTCGACCGCGGACCCCTCGGCTGCGTCAACCGCCGCCGCGGCCGCAAGCGCCGCGGCGCGCCCGGCCTCGAGCGCCCGGTCCATCTCGCTCTGCTCCCGCCGGGAGCGCTCCTTTCCCGCTTTGACGTCTAGTTCTGGCGTGGGCGGTCGCGCGGGCGCCGTGGGCTCGTCAGACTCCGGGGCCATCGGTTCCGGCATGGGCGCGGGCGGCGCTGCAGGCTCCGACTCCGGCGCGACGGGCTCTTCCTCGGCCATCGGCGAAGGGGCGGGCTCCGCGGGTTCCGACTCGGCGTCGGACGGCTCCTCCGCCATCGGCGAAGCAAGGGGCTCGGGCTCGGCCGGCGCAGGCTCCGACTCCGCGTCGGAGGACTCCGCAACCGGCGCGGGCGGCGGCGGCGCTCGCCGCGCCCGGCCCCGCCGGCGCGATAGCGGTCGCAGCAGCGAGGGGTGCACGCGGCTCTCCGTGTCGTCGTCCGTGTAGCGGAGGTCGACGCTGCCGTCCACGCGGGCGACCAGGACCAGCGCAGGGTAATACCGCTCGCCGCCCTTCCACCTCGCCTCTACTTGATCGCCGACCTGGTAGCGCGGTCCCTCAGCAGGTGCGGGTAAGGCCGGCGGCGGCGGGCTCACTGGTTCCGGCGCCGGCGCCGGCGCCGGGCTCGGCGGCTGCGGCGCTTCCGCCGGCTCGTCCTCGTCCGTGTCGGCCGCGGCGTCGTCAAGCGCGGCGTCGTCGGCGTCGTCGACGTCGTTCTCCCCTCTCAGTTCGCGCCACGCCCTCAAAAAGCGTTGTCGTTCTAGCGGCGGCCACGTACTCAGCGACAGTTCGCTCTCGAGATCCTCGAGCTCGCACGATTGCAGATCTTCCAAGGACCCTCCGCAGGCCTGTCTTACCTCGGCCCGAAGGTTTTCAGGTCCCAGGCTCGTCCCCAGCCACGCGTCTAGGTCGTCCATCAGCGCGCGTCGCCCGAACGTCGATGCCCACCACAGGAGGCACCAGCCGAACTTCACTGATATGTGCTCGTACGGCACCGAGCAAGGCCGCCCGCCAGAGATCTTGATCGTAGCTGTGGCCACGAATGCTGGCACGTCTGCAGCGTTTGTAGCACCGCAGAGCGAGCTTTGTAAAGACTCAGGCGCCTCGCGGCCTAGATCAATATAGTCACTAGACCAGCGAGATCTATTCAAACAACCAAAGTTAGTTAGAGATCTCGAGCTTCGCCCGCCGCCGACAAAGTGGACACGCCACCGAGACGCCGCGCCGCGTCGAGACGGCGCCGGCTTCGGCCGTGTGCCGGGCCAAATCAGACGAGCAGCTCTTGCAAACGAAATGCTCGCACTCGAAGATGATCGCGTCGCGCCGGCGCAGAACCGGGTCGAGGCAAATGCAGCACGTCGAGTCTTTGGGGAGCGGCCCCGGCGAACGCGGCGGCGGACGCGGCCGTTCGGCAGCGTCATCACTATCGCTATCGGATTGGGCGTAGGATTTTGCTGGCCCGCGTCTCGTCCGCGTCGAGCGGCCGTGGGTGGCGACAGGCGTAGAGCGCCGCGCCCGCTTCCTCGGCCGCCGGCCCGAGAGCTTTCGGAGAAGTTTCTTGGCTGCCGCTGTTGGGGTATTGATGGGCAGCGGCATGGGCTGCTCCGTCTTCACACGCTGCTCGAGTATGCCTAGCCGCTCGCCGTCATCAAACACAATATCAAGAACACGCGAAGCTCCGGAGCCGCTCGCGCCGACGACTGTCCCGCCCCACCACCGTTGGATACCTGGATCCGCCTCGAACAGAGCCCACACACGTGGGGTAGCTTCCTTCTCGGACTCGTCGGCGGAGTCCGGGCAAGAGCGCACCTTCGAGCTCGTCTCGTCCCGCGCGGGCACCGACTCAGATACAGTGTCAGGCGTCGTGGCGCCCTTGGTCCGCTGCTGCGTCGCGAGCGGTACCGCCGGCGGCGCTTCGAGTCGGGGGCTCTGGCCCGAAGCCCGTAAGCTCTCCTCGTACTTGCGCGTCCAGAGCACGCGGATCGGCCGCTTTTCGGTTTCGCCCAGGGTCTTCCAAAACTCCTCCGACGCCGCCGCGTCGTTCTCGAGCCAGAACTGGAACCAGGGGCCGGGCTTTGAGGTTTTTCGCGGAGGCTCGTGCGGGCGTCTCGGCGGCAGCGGAGGCCGCGCCATGGTCGACACGAGGTCGATTCCCAGGCGTCCGATCGTCTCCGACGCCGCGTCGGCAGCGTCGCCTTCGGACCGTGAAATCCACGCGGTCGCGGCGGCGGACGGCGTCTCGTCCGGTTTTGCAGTCTGTGCGACCATGCGCTCGACCGTAGCCCTTATCGAAGGGTCCACTGGTGGCCGCGCCTCGCGCAAGTCCACTGATGTTTGCGCCGCGAGCCGCGGCGCCTCGTTGGCCGACGGCGGCGTCGGCGTCGGCGAGTCCGAGGAGGCCACGTCGTCGTCCGACGCCGCGAGCGCGCGCGTGACCGCCGGCGCCGTGGCGTTCTTGTTCTTGATAATCGCCCACCGGTGCTCGGCCGCTGACGCTGTTCGTCGCGTGCCGATCGCCGCCGCGATCACGTCCCACTTGGACGGGGTCTTACTGTGCTCCGCGTGGAGGCGCCGCAGCTCCGCGTCCTCGCCCGGCGTCCACCTGGGCGGCCGTTTCTTCTTCGGCGGCTGATCGCCGGCGGGCGCCGCCGCGGGCCCGCGCTTCTCGTCGGACTTGGACTCCGAGTCGGCTTCGTCGTACATCGTGCGGTAGCGGTCGCGGCACGCGCCCGGCGTGCGGTTGTCGAACTGCGCGGCGATGAGCGTCCAGTTGCTCGGACTCTTGTCGTAGGCGACCTTGAGCTTGATGCTGTCGCTGTCGGTCCAGCGCTGGCCGCCCGACGCCCGCGGCCGCGGGGGCCACGTCGGACCGGGAGCATCGGCTCGCGACTCGCTCTCGGGCGGTGTGGTCACCGTCTCGTCCAGGTTCATAGTATCGTCCGTACCGCGCGCCGCGTGCGTCATGTATCGTGCACAGCGCTCGCGAGCGGTTTCGCGGTGTGCAGGCTTCTCTTACTAGAACCCGGAGGGAACGCATTTGCTAAATTTAGCTAAAATCTTGGCGCAAAATCGCATTTGCGCAGCCCCGATGGCCGATCCGGGGGCGGGGACGCCCGCGGCGGACGGCCAGGGGTCCTGGGAGTCCGCGCTGCTGCCCTTAAACCTATCGTCCATCACCATCGCATGGGCCAAGCTCCACATCCAGAAGCACGCCGCCGAAAGCATCCTGCAGGAGAAGGGCTTCATCGTGAACATCTTTGCGCCGCTCCTGACGACGGTGCTGCCCCACGCAAGGAAGAGTTGGCGAGCCGTGGATAAAAAAGTACGCGCCGCCCTCGACGCGACGCGCGCCGCAAGGGCTGCCTCGGCCGCTCAAGCCGCCCTGGCGGCGACGCCACAGGTGGGCGCCGACGCTGCGGCCGAGGACGACGAGCTGGGCGACGACGAGGTCGAGCTCGAGGCGCGTCGCGAATGTACGTTATTTTGCGGTCGCCTTGTATGACCTTTCGACCTCTCACAGGCAACGACGCGGCCCTCGACGTGCTCAACCTGGGCGGCGCGGCCGACGAGAGCGACGAGGACGACGAGGGCGGCCACGCCGAGCGCGCAATCGAGAACCTGGGCGAGGAGGTCCAGCGCCAGCACTTCTACTACAAGCGCGAGCTCGACGACCTCGAGCCGGACGAGCTGCGCGCCCAGCTCGAGCTGCGCGGCAAGGCAACCCAGGGCACGAAGGCGGACCTCGTCGAGCGCCTCTGGGTGATGGTCCAGGAGGAAGAGAAGGTCGAGGAGGGCGGCGACCAGTCCGTCAAGATGAACTTGCACCGCCTCAAGCAGCTCTTGCTGCACCTGATGCTGCGGTGGGACGGCAAGACGCTCGGATGGAAGGGAGGGGCGTCGGTACGGTCCTTAATTGTTGAGCAGCTCGAGGACGACGCAGACCTGCAAGCTGCGTTCTACGCGTCGTGCGCGCGGCGCTCCGTCGTTGGCGTGGCCTGGTCCGGCGAAGTCGCCGTGGCCGCCGCGTGCGACCGCTCGTCGTTTTTTGCGAACTTCTGGCGTTTCTTCGAGGTGGAAGTGCGGCTCGCGACGGTGCCCTACCAGAGCTGGGTCGAGGGCGATCTGCTGCGCTTTTTGGAGGCTCTCCCGTCCATTACCCTCCAGGTCTGCGCCGCGCCGAAGCCCTTGATCCGAAAATACATGCTTCTGAATATGGAGCGGCTACTCCACTACAAGGACAAGCACCCCGACGTCCTCAAGTTTATCTCTAGAAACTGCAAGCGCCTCGACGAGGAGGACGTCGAGCTCACGAATGCACTACTCGGGCGCTTCTGCCACGCGCGCCAGGTCGCCGACATCGATACGTACATCCACGTCTCGGGCCTGCTCGGGGGCCTCCACCAGCTCACGGCGGAGCTGGACGCGCGAGCGTTCAATAGGAAGCCCCAGGCGTCCGAGCACGTGCGCCTGCGCGATTTATACTCGACGCCGTCGTGGAAGGAGTCGAACGCGGTTCTCGACAATTGGATCTTGGATACGGCGCTACGCGCTGCTGCCGGGGACGCGCAGCTCGATGCGGCCTGGGAGCGCGACGACCGCTTCAAACGCGCGTTGGACAACATGCCGATTTGGGAGGGCCAGCTCGAGTCGTGGCTTAAGACGAAACGGCGGCGCGAGGCCGCTCCAGGGCCTGGGCCGGCGCCGGCGCCCGGATGAGTATGAGGCGGTTCCAGGGCCTGCGCCGGCGCTGTCGTTCGGATCGAGTATGACATCTAAGTAAGACATACATTTTCTTAACTACAGCGCTCCTACCGCTCTTTGAACACGCGCCACACACCCGTCGCCGTGTCCCTCACGTCGTACGCCGCTCGCTGCATCAGGAAGAGGTCGTCGCCGGCCTGCACGTTGCCCGGGCCCCAGTCCATCTTGATCCAGCGCGAGCTCGGCTTCGCGGCCTCCCGGGTGTCGCGCACGGTCGACAAGCATTCGGCCTCAACCGGCACGGCAACCCTCTCGCGCAGCTTCTGCGCAATCTTATACCAGGTTTTCTTTTGCTCGTAGAGCTCCGCCGCCGCCGCGTCGTCCTCGTCAGCGCCGTAGACGCGCAAGACGACGCCACGGTACGCCACGTCCTTGTTCACTTTGGAGCCGTCGTCTTGAAATATTTGCGTCCGGTAGACCCGCTCGACGACGCGGCCCACGAGGTCGACGTTGATCTTCGGGCACCTCTTCTCGGCGGTGAGTTTCTGGCTCTTGATCGCCGGCGTCCGCTTTTGCGAGGGGGCCTTGAACGGGAGTGGCGGCTTCTGCATCTCGAGCGTGCGCGCGTTGTGCAAAACAAATTCCGTGTCGACGGCCCAGACCCAAATCGACTCAAAAATGCGGCCCGACGTCCACTCCTTGTAGCGCAATAAGAATTTGAGGACGTGGTCCTTGAGGCTCGACGACACCATCTCTATCTGCGGTAATATTTTGTTGTCGTGGAGTCTGTGCTCCGCGCGGTTCGGCGGGCCGACGTCGGCGCGCGTCACGAGCCCTATCTTGCTGACGTCGAGCACGCACGGAAACTCGGAGCCATGTGCTTTTTGCATGACGCACTTCGACCCGTGCTCCCTCCAGAAACGCCGCACACTCGCGCCGTCGTACGGCGTGTTGATGGGGACTTCGCGCTCGGACGGCGGCGCGAGGTCGTTCTCGTACGGCGGGCAAATAGTTCCAGTCGCCGTGCTGACTGCCCTCAAATTTCCTTTGCTTTTGATGTAGCGCGCCGTCTTCGACGTGTTCGTGGCGTAATTGTCGTGCTTCGTGATGATGACGCGCGCTATTCTCCGCCCGGCGACGCGTCGTGCCAAGTCCGCCGGCAGCGACGCGTAGAGCACGCGCGCGCGGGTCGACGCGTCGCTCTGGCGCTTCCGCACCAACGACTGCAGCTTGACCGCCGCCGCGACTTGGCGTACAATCGACTTGGAAGACGCCGCGAGGGCGCGACGGTGTCTCCACCGCTGGAGCGTCCTCGCCGCCCCGAGGCGTTCCGAGATCGCCGGCGACGCGTCGAGCATTTCATTCAAGCGGTCCGGGAACGTCGCCACGTACGCGTCGGACATGAGCCGCCGCAACCGGTACGTCGTACGGTAGGACGCAGCAACACTAAAGTGCGAGTCGTGGCCCTGCGACTCGTGGCTCTGGCCGTGGCTCGTGCGCTCCAGCGCCAAGTAGAGGTGCAGCGGCGTCAGGATCTCGTGAGCGCCGTTGGTGTGCATGTTGACGATGAAGTCGAAAAGGTAGGCCAGACCGTCCTCCTTCTTCTCCCTACGCCTCGAGACGAAGGCCTTGAGCGCGCGACCGCTCAGCAACGTCCTGCGATGCCAATCCTTGTGGGCCTTGCCCTTCGCGAGCTTCGCCTCCGCCGAGCGCTGCTCGGCGACCCACGACGGGGCTTGTGTCGCGGCCTCGAGGATGGTATAGAATTGCGGTGCGTACCTCTTTTTCATCGCCAGGTCTGCCTTCCAATCTAGAGACACGAGCTCCCCGCGCTCTTCGACGTACGCACCGACGCCGACGCGACGGTTCCGTGCTTTGAGCACCTTGTAGCGCCGTCCCATGGCGCCTTTCAAGGCGCCCATCTCACGCTTTGAAATCGACGTCACGAAGCGCTTGAGCTCGGTCAAATCCTCGGGCCTGGCACCGAGATTGGCGTTCCCGACCTCGCGCAGCAACATACCGTTTTTGCGGTTCTTCTCCGTGACCGCCACGTACAGCGCGGCGAAGGCCTCGCGGCGCGCGTCGCGTCCGTTGGCCGCTGCGATGCGGCGCCCGAGCTCCCTTGAGGCATCTAGGAGGCCGGACGGTAGCGCGGCCGCCGCTGCGTCGTCTTCGAGCGCCGTCGACGCGAGGCGCGCTGTTAAATCGGCGACGAGCGCGTCGTCGCGGGAAGCTCGCGCTTCGAGCATAGCCGACCGTTCCGCCGCTTGGGAAGACAACTCAAATATACGTCGGTTCTCCTCTCGAAGTCGAGCGTTCTCAGCGAACAGGCACCCAGAAGCCGTGGTCTGCGTCGAAGTATTCAGGAGCCCCGTCGAAGTATTCCGCGGCGGCGATAGAACCCGCTTCGCGCCGCGCGCGCCTTCGTCGTTGGGCGCTGGCGTCGGTGCTGGTGCTGGTGATGGCGTCGGCGCAGGCGCGACGTCGACGGCGTCGCGGGACCGGGGCTGCTTCCGTTTAGGTAATTTATCTGGAGGTACTGCCCGTTTCCGTACTGACGGCAGCGGCGGCGGCGCACTTGCATCAAACGTCGACGAGCGCCGCGGCGCGCCCACGCTGCGACGCGTCGACTGCCGCCTCGACTGCGGCTGCGGCGGCGGCGGCGCGGCGCGCGCGGGCCAGCCCCTGCGCGGCGGATCCACACCATATCTAACAGGCTCGTCGACGATGCGCGCCCGCAGCGCGTCGCGCTCGTCGGCTTGTAGGGCAGCCCAGCCGCTGCGCAGCGGGTTGGATTTGTCGATCATGTGACCCGGTTGCGTCAAGGGAGCAGCGCCGCTGTGGTCGATGTAGATCCAGACAACGTGCTGAAAGTTTCCGAGACAGGCGAGCCGCAGACCATCGGCTCTGGCTACACGAAACATCCACTGGTTCGGCTGCGACGTCGTCTCCGCTCGGAACCAGTCGTCCGGTCCAAGCAGGGCGCGGACGGTCTCGAGCGGGACGTCAATCAAGTGGCACAACGAGAAATATGGCCCGAGCTCGTTGCGATCGGCAACGATCCATCGCTGCTGCGGCGCCCTGCGCTCGATGCGGTCCAACAGCGCTTCGCGGGTGGTCGGCACCGCGTCGACCATCGTTTGTGGGGCAGCACTGGGCTGGCAACGGCTAGGCAATGAAACGTGGCAGTGAGCGAGCTGCGGGCTGGTACGGCTGCACGAAGCTCCGATCCGAGCCACTGCCACGATAGAGGCAGCTCGGACTGAGTTCTCGGGCAATGTCAATTCCCCCGACGCCGCAAGGCCGGACCTCAGCAGAGATCACCTAGTTACATAAAGTACTACCGGGTATCGGTAAGTGGGCTTCTCTCTCGCTCAGTATTGGCTCCAAGTCGTTATGTTGCAAAAGCTTTACGCGTCGCCGCGTCTACCGGACGCTATTAGTCAGGTAGCACGCAGATGGACTGCCAAAGCTCGCTCTAAAACCTGTAAAACCCGTGCCGAACTGGGATGAATGACTACAAGGTTAGTTACGAGGAGAGTTCAAAGATCCGCCGTGAAGAGGCGAGGCGCCCGCCACCCGTAAACCCTCGGCTTCATCGGTGACCGCGCGGCGCGGCGAGCCGCGCGCGCTTCGTCGCGAACGTCGCGTTCGCTCCGCGACCGCTTCGGCGCCGCGCCCAAGATCTTTCGGATAAGGGACGTCGCCTTCGCCGTTGGCGCCGTAATCTCCAGCTGTACAGAAGAAGGCGGTGTCTTCCGGACGTCGCGCTCCAGCATGTGCATCCGGTCGCCGTACGGTCGCGTCGCGGACCTGTGGAGGAGCTTTACGGGACGCGTGCTGGAACCGTTCGAGCATCCTCAGGTCGTCGCCGAACAAGCGCGTCACGACGCGTCGAGTCCGGCTTGAACTAATATCGCCATCTTCAGCGCCCATTTGTGAGCGATGGGCTTGTTCGATAAATTGGCGGTGCGAGGCGCGTCGAAGTTTTCTCGCGTTCTTGTATGATATGTGGGCTTGCGATGAGCGCTGTTCAGGTATCAAGTGTGTACCAGCGTGGGACCACGGCTTGCTCGCTTTGCCGCCTCGATTACGATTCGATACGCGACGTCGATGCGAGGATACCTCTGAATACGTCTCTCCATCGCTATTGAGTCCTTCCATGAAATAAACACCAACCGCGGGGCGTTTTGCGGTGGCGCGAAAACCCGACCGTCAAGCAGGCCGCGTTGGCTCGGTGGCTAGGCGGCCTAGCTGTCGGCAACTTACTTTTAGATAATGATACTAGATACAATCGCTCGGCCGCCGGTCGCGCGGAGGCTTCGGCACCGCCCCGTTGTTGTTGAGCCGCTTCTTCCGCCGGTAGCGTCGGAAGCCGCGGATCAATTGCGCCAACCACACGCCCGACGCGCCGATGCCGACGAAGAAGACGCCGTAGGCGAAGCGCATGGCCGGGGGCGCGCGCGCGCCACCGTCGCGGCCGAATATCGACACCGCGATATCTCCCATGGCCAGCGGCATCAGCACGCCGCGACACACTGCAAACCCAAAGGTGAACAGCGGCGACAGCGCGTCGTAGACCTGCTCGCAGCCGAAGGCGCGCGCGAGCTCCCAGCTCAACTGGAGCGGGTTCGTCACCTCCGCGAGCAGCGTCGCGAGGCTCACCATGGCCCAGCCCCGCGGCGAGCAGACGATGGGTAAGGTTGCCGCCAAGTAAGCTGCATGATGCGCCACGAAGACGGGATCCGGCTCGTTGCCGAGGACGTGCGCGAGCTCCTGCACGAAGTAGCCTAAGGAACAACACAACGCCTCGCGCGCGCCGGGGAGCTCATTGCTCGCGTCATAAGCCAACAGCGGCAACGCGCGCCCGAGAAATCTCACGACAGGCCGTCGCTGCGCCACGTCGCGCAAAACATTCCAGTGCCGCCGCATGAGCCGCGCGTTCCACGCGAACGAGCCCACGGCGTGCACGAACGACGCCGCGCGCGCCGCCGCGACCTTGCGCAGGGAACAGCCCGCGTAGCGCGGCACCGGACCATCTAAATCGACGCCGCCGGGTGTGCGCTTGTTTTTTGGGGCCGCGACGAGCGACAGCGCGTACGTCGCCCGGTGCACGGCGTAGTAGGCTCCCGCCCAGGCGCCGACGCGCAGCAGCGACTGCGCGCGGTCGTGGCTCTGGAACCATTCTGGTAATCGTTCCAGGGTGATGGAGAGTTGTGTGGTGCGGAGACTCATGCTGAGACTCCACCTCTGCACCTCTTTGATGCGCAGCGTGTGGTGCACGCTGCGCTGTCGCGGTTGCACCAGTCCGGGACCGTGCAGCAGAGCCCGCCGCCTCGCCCCACTCGCGCGAAACCGAAGCGATGACTCGATACGCCCTCTTGTGTGGTTGTGAGAGGCGGGGGCTAGCGGCCTGTAAGACACTAGCCTGCAGTCATTCTCAATCAGAGCTCTCTGCGACCCGTCTATAGGACTCGCGAGCACCCAAAAGTGCCTCCCGATCGGCCCGCACAGACGGCCTGCAGCTGCAGGGGCAGAGCCTGCCATTTGATTGCCAAGGCACGAGTGCCCGCCGTGCGCCAGCCGTAGCAGGTTGCGAGAGAGGGCGAGCATAACTCCTCAAACCGTATCGTCGCATCAATCGAGTTAGGGCTGCCCGCCCCAGCGGAAGAGAGCATTTAGCAAGGAGCAATGGGTAAAAAGAGCAGGAGGCGCAAGGGCTCCAGGGACGAACAGCCCATCGAGGTGACCCTCAGCCGAGCCCAAGAGGTGCGCGAGGTCAGCCTCCGCGACGCCGCGGCCGACGCGGCGTATGCGGCCGCCGACGAGGACGCCGCGGCGGCGCCGGTCGTGGCCGACGTCGACATTGTCGTCGACGACGGCGACCAGGCCGCGCTGTACTTTTCAGTATCATTGTGGCGCGCGAGGAGGCTCCTCGGCAACAACAACAACGCGCGAGGCAAGACCTCGGACCCGTACGTGCTGGTGAAGTACGGGGACCAGGAGATCAAGACCCGGGTGGTCAAGGAGTCGCTGGACCCGGTCTGGAAGCACCACGTCATGCTCGAGTACGACCCATCGATACGAGAGGTCGAGTTGTATGTTTTTGATTATGAAAATTTCTCGTCGGACGATTTGTTGGGGCGCATCACGCTGTCCCTCCCGGACCCGCTGCCTACGGAGCCGGCTTTTTGTGTTCTGGATAGGGAGTGGCTACGAGTAGAACCGTGCTCGACGACGGAACAGGACAAGCTCAAGACCTTTTCCAATGTAAGACGCTCCCTGACCAAGGCCATCCGCGTCTTCCACGACACAGAGTGGCTCCACAAGCAAGAGGACCTCGGGGAGATGTGCGTGTCGCTGACGGCGTTCCGCTTAGATGAATTACCTTCACTGGTAAGGCAATCGAAGCAGACGCGGCGCCTGTCGCAATCAGTTGTCGGTGAGGCGACGCTGCGCCTCGAATCGGAGCTGGGCGCGGCGCGGCGCGACGCCGACCGGAGTGAAAGGGCTCTAGAGGTCGAGCGCGCGAAGACGGCGAGGCTCGAGGAGGAGGTGGCGCGGCTTGAAGAGAGGCACGACGCTGCACACAGAGAATTGCGGGAGGCCGCGGACACGCAGGCGGAGCTCGACCGGCGCGAGTTGAGGTTAAGAGGCGTCGCCGAGGGCGCCCAATCGGAGACGGACGCCTGGCGCGAGCGTGTTTCTAGATTGGAGGCGTCCATCTCTGCGCTGGAAAATGAGCGCGACCGCGAGCGCCTCCGGGCGCGGAAGCTGGAGAGAGAACGCGACGACGCCGTGCAGCTCCGCGCATCGACACCCATCACAACGGACGACCTATCGCTCGAGGACCTCCAGGAGCGCATCCACGGCCTGACGCTGGCGTACTACTACATGAAGCGCAAGCAGCCTCCGGTCGCGCCGGCGCCCTTGCTGGACCACGTGAACCGGTACTCGCTGCCGGGGGCGCCGGCGCTGAAGGCGATTGGGGATGGGTCCAACGCGGCAGCGGCGTCGTAAATTATTTTAGGCATACTTAGGCAACCTCAAAAAGGTTCAAAAAACGACAGGTCTTCACCCTCACGATTCCGAAAAATGCTGACCCGCGGACCCTCGTTCATGGCGTAGCCTTCGCCGTACTCCAAAAGCACGTCTAATAACATGCTCGCCAACTGACGATCCTCCCAGTAGTTCTGCACGAGGTGTACGAAGGAGTGATAAGGCCGGTATTTCCACCAAAGGAAGTTCCGCGCGATCATAAATTGTGCTCCGACCTGTGCACCCACGCCGCCGTAGAGCCCCACGTCGGCCTCCGTAAATATCTCCCAAGCCCGAAGCGCCGGGGCGAGCGAGTCCTCCGACAGCACGTCGACCAGGACTATATCATCTCCATCTTCATCAACCGGACTAGCTCTGAACCACCACGCTTTGAAAAGGAACTCTGCATCAAAGTAAGACCTCGACAGAGGCTCTGGTTTAAAGCGCTCGTGCTGATACGGAGCGAACGCCGCGAGCATGCGTCCGTAACCGTTGATGCACGGTTCGACGATTTCTAAGTAGCGAAGTGCCGCCTCGATAGCCCTGCGGGCCTCTTCGGTTCCTTCGAAGTGCCCGGGCCCTTCGCACCATGGTACGGGGAGCGTACCCCAGGTCTCCATTGGAGGCCACGAACCCAGCTCGACGAGGACCGCGCAAGGCTCCAGGCTCCACACCTCCCGGAACAGGGCCTGCATCTGTTCAGGGACCTCGGGTGGCGGCACGCCGCGTTGGCGATTTATACGAGGCCCTAGTACCGCCTCTTTGCCCCGCTCGCAAAACAGCTTCAGCGGCCGCCAGCGCCCGCGCGTCAGAGCATAGCGCGCCGCCGAGCGGAAATTTTTCGAGACGCGCTTCGCATCTAAAATCCGCCGCAAGCCGAAATACGACCGCGTGACCTTTGGCTCATACGGCTGCACTTCAGCAAATGGCAAAAACTCGAGACAGTGGGCGCAGAGCTCGCGCGGCAAGCTCTGGACGTTGATGGTCCTTTGGCTCCGGGTCAGAACCATCGTCTGTCGTTGTCGTATCCTCGGTTAGGCACGTCGTTCACGACAATGACTCCATATGCCCTAGCGGCAGTAAGGCACTAGCCAGCAAGGCGTCGAACTCGTAGCAGCGCTCTGGCACCCAAGCAACGATATACGCACGTTGCAAGAGCAGCAGGACTCGTCAAGACAAAGCACTGCTGCGAACAAGCGCTCAAACGCCACGCCATCGCCGCGTGCGCCAGCATCACTGCTCCACAAACGCTTGTGCGGATCACGCCATCGACGCGATCGACGCGACATCATGGCCACCTTCGCCACAGAAGTCTTCGAGCCTTTGTCGCAGTACGACGAGCAGTACACGGCGCCGGGCGACGAAGTCGGGAGAGGCGCGTCCGGCGTCGTGCGACGCGCGACGCGGCGCAGCGACGGCCTGCCGGTTGCCGTGAAGACCATGGATTTGAGGGCGTTACGGTTGGCGGGCGGCGGTGGCTTCTCCATAGCTAGATTACGAAGAGAAGTCGACGTGCTGCGAAGTCTGCGACATCCAGCGATAGTAAGGTTGTACGGCGCCTACGGCGACCAGGACACCGTATTATTGGTGATGGAATTGGTAGAAGGGCGAGAGCTCTTCGACGCCATCTTGTCGCGGGGCAAGTTCGACGAGCCATCCGCGCGAAATATCTTCTCGAAGCTCTGCCAGGCAGTCGCGTACATGCACGCGCGAAATATCATCCATCGGGACGTCAAGCCCGAGAACGTCCTCGTGACTGGTACTAATGAAGATGAGGTCAAGTTGGTGGACTTTGGCCTGTCCAAGCTCGTCGCCGGCAGCATGGTCGGCGCGTCGCGCGCCCATACCATGGTCGGCACGCCCTCGTACCTAGCACCTGAAATAGAGAACATGAAGACCAAGACCCAGTCGCTGGACCTAGATACGTTATCGAAGGAAGAGGATTTGGACCTGTCTGATGGTATCGGCGCTTACGATAACAAAGTCGACGCCTGGTCGTTGGGTGTTACGTTGTATGTCATGCTCGTCGCGCGGTTTCCCGTGTATGATAGAGATCAGGACGGCACCATCGTCGGTGCTAGGGTCCCCGATGATTTATCTCCAGACTCTCGTCGACTGTTACTGAGGCTGCTCGCGGCGGACCCGGTCCAACGATTGTCGGCGACGGACGCGCTCCAGGACCCCTGGCTCTTACCCTCGTCGGAATTGGCGCTGACGCCGCCCGCGTCGCCTCCCGAGAAGAAACGCGAAGCTTCATCCGAAGAGGAATCGACAGATAACCCCATGGGCCTCGCGCACGCCCATGCGGCTTTGGTGGCGTCGTCGGCGTTAGGATTACCTCCGGAGCTACGAAGCGCGGGCCTGGATTACCACGAGCGGGCCGTCGCGTCGAGGGCACTGGCGACGAAATTACGCGGTACTGCATTACTCGTGTTGGAGATGATCGACGACCTCAAAGCTGCGTTGGACGCTAGGAACGCCGACGCCGCTAGAGAAGTGCTCGGGGCCGTGAGAAGGTGGACTTCTGATCTAGAAAAAGAGTGCGCTCTGGCCAAGAAGGGCAACCTCGCGGCGATGCGGCGGCTCGCGCAGGCCGTCGGCGAGGAGGCGCCTACTGAAGAGAAGGCACCACCACCGGAGACGCCCGCGCCTCGGTTGGCCGGCGCGACGGCGTCCATGTCACTTGATGATCCGGTGCCGGAGACGCCGGACGCGCCCACTCCCTCCAACGCGAACACGCCGCTGGACCTGAAAAACGACGAGGTGTTGGAACTGATGCTGCCGGTCACGGCGGACGATTTGCGGCCGCCGCCCGTGGCTCGCTCTAGTAGGCCCGCGCGGAACCACCTGTTGCGGTGTTTGGGGGAGCTCCACGTCGTGTTTACGAGGATGGAGCTCGTCTGGTCCAAGGTCGAGGTTTCGTTGGATGCCGTCCTGAAACGGAGCGAGGCCTTGGAGGTGCTGCTGGGCTTTGCGGACACGCCTGCTTTGAAGGGACGGCTCGACGTGCGGCTGGCGAAGTTCAAGGCCTTCTGGAGTGGTTTGGCGGAGTGGGATCTGGATGTTGCCGTGCCGGGGATCGCTTCTTCGGCGGCGGGGGCGTAAGGATGAATCTGTATAGCCGTGCATATCACATACTCTTACTCGAGGGGTAGGGACCGGCCTAGTCCTCCTCGTCGTCTCCCGAGGCGTTGTCAAAGCCCGCATGCCACTCGTCGCTGCAGTGCGGACAGTCCCAGTACTTGTCCCCGTGCGGGCAGTACTTCCAGCCGTGCTGGGCCTCCCACTGCTCCCTCTCGTCTCTCTCCTGTTCTAGCGCCTCCTCCGCCTGAAGCCGCACGCATTCCGCCACGAAGGCGTCGGCCCTGTCGCGATCCCGCCAATCCCTCGCCCAGCGCTCGTGCATCTGCCGGTAGCTGGGTTCCATAAACTCCCACTCATTGTAGTCCTCACGCAAAGCTTCATACATCCCCCCCTCTTCAAAATAACCATCGTATTCGAGGACGTCCCGTACGAAGCTCGCCGCGAGTTTCGGGTCCGTCCACCGCTCCAGCCCGAGACCAAATAATTGATCCTCCGCATCCCGGTCTAGGAGTCGTCGGTGGTAGTCGGGACGCGGGGGGTAGCCGAGACGCAACTTGTGGCCCAGACTGCTCGCCCAACTTCCCACAAGCCGCACAATTCCGTTATCACCATCATATGCCTCTTGCGCTAACTCGCAGGCGGCGACGATCCGCGACAGCCCTTCGATGTTCGGCTCCACTATTTTGAGGAACTGACCCGCGCGCAGTGCAGCATACCGGTAACTGTCCCAGTAGGCGAGCTCAAAGAACACCTCCCCGGGCTCGAGCGCCCAGACCTCCTTGAAGGTCTCGTGCCACGACGAGAGGTCGGCGCCGTATTCAAATCTATTCCGGTGCTCCTCGGCTTCCTTGGAGAAGAGCGCCATCGGCCGCCAGCGCCCGCGCGTGAGCGCCCGCCGCGACGCCGAAAGAAATTCGCTCGAAATGAGCTGCGCCTCGCAGTATACCTCACGAACAGGCAAAAACTCCAGGCTGCGCTGCAGGAGCTCGCGCGGCAAAACGCCGGTGATCCGCGTCTGCGAGCGAAGGCGCGGCATTGTAGGCGTTTTTCACTAGGATTTCAACGTGTAATGCCTGGCGCGAAAAGGCGCTCCTTGCAGCGTATCGTGAAAAACAAAGCGCCGCAGAGCAAAGCTAGCGTCCTGTAAGACACTAGCAAAATCCCGAGTTTGCAGCGCCGCAGAGCACGCAGCGGGAGCGCAACACTCCGGCAGTCGCAGGGCTCCAAACCCAAAGGAGAAGGGGCTGCCCCAACACATATAATAAAATGGACCAGCAATTAGCCCAGGACTCGGTCCTCGCGCCCTTACAGACGCCCGGGAGCCGCCGGCAACGCGATGAAGCCTCCTTCAGCTCCAAGAGCCACTTCAGTAGAGCTTCTGGAGCCGTGTCGCCGAAGAAGAAGCGCACGCCGCACGACGCGCGATCCGTGTCGTTTGCCGTCCAGTCGCCCGACCGCGCGCTGGCCCATCGGGACGAGGCCTTCTCCTTCTCGGCGGTCTCCATGGGCGACTGGTCGTCGCTCGAGCACTGGGAGACGCGGTCCCAAGAGAATAAACCGCTCACGCCGTCCACACCAAAAAGACACCTGAGGAAGCTTAGTACTCGAAAGGAGCCAAAAGTGAGGCGCCACCTGTCCTGGCTTGTTATGAGAGAACCGCAGAAAAGGACGCCCTCGGCCATGGATGTTATATTATTAAATGAAGCTCTGAGAAGTTTCAAACCGGATATTACCCCAGAACAGGCTACGACTGATGTGGTCACGGGTCGCGTGGCACGAGCAGCAGCCGCTTTGTATGATGCATGTGGCGCTCTGAATGAAGGTGCGCCTGCTTCGAAGGTCTTGGCGGCCATCGACGATGCCCAACTCGCGACGCGCGGCTGGTCCCGTGTATTGGCGGGCAAAGGTAGCTCAACACCACTATTGTGTTGCCCCGAGGTGGCCTCGATTCGGTACTATGAGTGGTTCCTGAACGCGATTCGAGATGCCATTGATCTGTGGGGTGCTGAGCTACTCGGGCCGGACTATATGGACGTGGTCAAAGGTAGAAATCAATGGATCTCAGATACACCGGAACAACCATCGGCCTTTGAAAGGACCAACCTCGTTTTGTTGAATGTATCTAAAAGACTAGTGGAACCGCCGCCCTCGTCACTCCCCCAGCGCGCCCTGCAAAAGACGGTCTACTTAGCCGAGACGATACACAAACGATCACGAGAAGCCGCCATATATTTGGCGGTCGAGGTCGCCTTTGCTGCTTGTGAGCAATTAGTAAATGTTCCAGGAAAGGCCGTGCGCGAGGCAGGCATTGGGATGTTCGCCGTAAAACGCCACATGAAGGTCCTAGATTTGGACACCTCCGTACGTAAGTTAATGCAGAAGGGCCGCGTCGCGAACGCATTGCAGGCCGCCGATTCACTAAGAGAGGCCGGCTTTAGAGCCAAGCTCTGGGCCAAGGACGGGGCCGACGACATCCTTTGGAAGAGGCGGAGCGACTCGTTCCGGACCTTCGTGCCGGGGCCCATGTACCATCCTGGATCTTCAACGGTCGCCGACCACGACGCGCGCATGGCGTTGAGCGTCGCGCCGGCGTCCGACTACTACGAGGTCGAGGTCGCGACGGCCGAAGGGGCTTCTAGACTGCTGCACAAGACGTCGGACGATCGCGTCGTGTTCCTCAATCCTTCCGTAATTCCACCAGGAGAATATACTGGTACTGTGACCGAAACGTTATCGAAACGGACAGTCCTAGATAAGGTACCCTTTACCGTTGATAAAAGGAGCAACGCTTCCCCATGTGTCTTCGAGGCGCCGTTGCGGGCGGTAGAGTGGAAGCTTCTGATGAACGGCGAGGAATGCGCAGATTATAAGGTCGAGTGCCACATCAAGCCTGCTGTATACTTTGATGCAAAAAAGGTACAAAGCGAGGCCGAGAAAATGAGGATCTCGGAGTTACGATCAATATTGGGAGAGAAGGGAGGCATGAAGAAGAACCTTGTATCAAGGTTCGTGGACTTGAAGCGACGCGAGGCGGAGAGTAGTGGAGGCGAGCCGTTCCCGGTGAAGGGCGTCTGCAATTCTGATGGATGTCTCGAGATGACGCTGCCGGGCGGGCGGTGCTTTGATATAACGGCGTCCAAGTCGCGGCATCCTACTCTGAGAAGGAATGAATCTCTAAAACTCCCGGGCCCCGCGCCGCCCGAGCTCCACTGGGCGATGGCGGCGCCGAAGAAAATATGTCTCTGCTTCAACGCCTCCGATATATTTTGCGGAGTGAATATACCAAATGCGACGCGGCTCGTGGTGCTCGATGCGGGCGGTCTGAAGAGCGGCCGGGAGCGACCTAATGAAGCCGCGTCCGCGTTCCTACGGGCCGCGACGGTACCGATGGCCTTCGCGGCCTGGGATGATGGGACCTCCTTCCCCTGGACGCTGGCCGAGGCCACGGAGGATACCTTGGCAAACTTCTTCACAAAATGGTCGAAATGCGAGCGGACACGTTCAAAGCCCATGCTCGAGGACGCAAGCGACGTCCTGGTGGTTGTGGACGCGGCATCATCCAGGGGCTTCCCGGCCGACGGCCTGCGCACGTTCATGCGCGACTTCCCGGAGCAGACCTTCCACGTCCTCGTGGCGTTGGAAAGTCCGGACACGGCCGTCGACGAGGCCGTCGCCGACGTCGCGATGGCGGCGACGGGGTCTATATTCTACGTCGCGCCGCCGGGCGAGGACGAAGTCGAGGCGCCGGCGCCGGCCGCACCCGAAAAGGACTTCGGGCCGGAGACGCTGAGCGAGGGGCAGCTCGCGGACATGTTCGATTCGATCTAAGATTCTCTGTATTTACTTATGCCCCTCTACGACGCGCAATCGATTTTCTTGCAGCCGCAAGCTCGCGGTGATAATTACGAGTGCTTGGATGCTCGCTTCCGAGGACTCGCTGCGCGATCTTGACGGCTTTCTCGAGGTTGGCCACCGCCTCGGCTAGCTGCTCGGCGGTCACGTCCACGTCTCTTGTAAAGGCTCTAGCCCAACCCCACTGGAAGTCGAGCGTGATTATATGATCAGATCCAAGTACGCGCTTGGTCAGTGCCACCTGGTCGGGCATGAAGGCCCTGGCTTCGGCATAATTTCCGGTGTCGACGAGGGCCGTTGAGAGATTTACGGCCGAAATCAAGCTTTCTTCATGTTCTTCGCCGTATTGCTTCAAAGTTCCAGAGTATACATCTCGCTGCATCGATAGGGCCTGTTCAAACCGTCCGAGTTCGTGATACGTGTTAGCGAGATTATTCTGCGAGACGAGAATGTTTTCTTCTGATTCGCCAATGCGCCGCATGGTAGAAAGCTCGGTCTCTTTCACGGATAATGCTTCCTCGTAGTGCTTTGCAGAGTGTAAACCGCTCCCAAGCAGGTTCATCGCAGTGCGCCGAGTCCAGTCCGTCTCCGGCCGGCCCACGTACGTCTTCCAGCACGCCCACCCGAGCGCGCAAAACACGACGCCGTGGTGCTGCTGTTTGCATAGGCTACAATTGTGCCACCGCCTCCACCTCTCAGCTAGTACCTTGCCGTACAAATTGTTCTCCTCGCCCTCCGCGACCAAAATCTTCGCCTGCTCCGCCAAGCACGACACATGCGCGAAACCCGCCGTTCCGCGGCACGCGCACCCGCGCACGAGTCCCTCCTTCGTTTTCCAGTGGAGGGCCTGCGTGCAGATGTAGCAGGTCTGGCCCTTCGTGTCGTCCGCGCACGCCTCGACCGCCTCCGCGACGGCCTCCTTGTATTTTTTGTCGGCGTGATATTGCTCCGCGTTGCCGCCGCGGTGTGTTCTTTTACAGATCTGCTTGTGGCCGCGGCGCCAGTGGTCATGCTGGCAAGTGGCATCACAGTACCTGGTCTTACATCTAACGCATCGCGGCGCGTTGTGGGCCAGTGGGGCGGCGCAGGCGGCGCAGGTTGTAAGGATCATTTTGCGTTGGCGGGGTCTGTATCGCGGCGACGGCGTTTGTGATTTTTGGGAGCTGAAAAAATCGGGTTTGGCACGGTCTGCGGACGCGAACGCGTCAAATCAGTACAGCGCATCATACGCAAGCCCACCGGTGACTGTACTAACTGTTGGCAACGCCGTCGTGCCTCAGATGAATGAATAATTAGTATAATAAGACCACATGATCACATTATTGCTCCTCGCGGCGGCCCAGCGCGTCAGCGCGTGGGGCAACCACACCTGCAAAAAGCCCATCAAGCGCCGCGGCACGCAGACGACGCACAACGACGAGCGCTGGCGGACCGCGGCGTGCGCCCGCGAAAAACACCCGCACAAATTCCTCGTGCTGAGTAGCGCAAGGAGCGGGTCGAGCTACGTCGTCGAGATGCTCGACTCGCACCCGGAAGTCTGCTGCGGCTACGAGCTGTTGATACCGCAATGGAAGGACCCGTGCGGTGCCGTCGGCCACAAGAACGTGAGGACGTGTCACTCCGCCGTCGGCAAGGCCATTACAAGCGCCATCGACGCGATCCACAACAACGCAAAAACGTGGTCGCCGTCGCGCCCCGACGACGCGATCTCGAGGAAGGCCCTCGCGCACCTCGAGAAGGCCTGGTGGCCGCGCTTCGACCAGTACCGCTTCTGTCGTCATACAAGGTGCTGCTCTAGAGGATTTAAGTGGTTCCCGCGGTCCCAGGGGTTGCGGACAGCGGCCGGCGTCGAACATGCGGCGCAGTGGGCGTCACAGAGCGACGTGCGCTTCGTCGTCCTGAAACGCCGGGACACGCTGGCATTAATCGCGTCGCGGTGGCGCAAAGATAAAATGCACGAGGCGTCGAAGGCGTTCGGGACCGCGACAGGGATCGAGTTGGCGGGGCACTCCGGGAAAAAGTTAAGGGGCGCCCTCCCGACGGCGGACCTGGCCTACGTCCGGGACCAGTGCCGCCAGCTCCAGGAGGTGGACAAACTTAATGATAGGTTGCTGCGGGCCGTGCCATCAATGAGGAAGCATCACGTCGCGTTCGAGGACCTGACCGGTGCGGAGGGAGAGAGTTATTGGCGGCGGCTGCTGGCCTTCGTCGGGGCCCGGGACCTCGCGGCGTCGCTCGAGACGTCGCTGGTGCGGCTCGGCAACGCGACGGCGCGGCGCTTCGCGAACGAGGAGGCCGTCGCCGCGGCGCTGCGCGGGGCGGGGTGCTGAGCGGTTGTCTCCTCGCGGCAGTCGTCGTCGGTGTCAGGAATGTAACGTAGGTTTTCTGAAGGATCTTCGCGCGCGCGGTCGAGGCCTCCTTTTTTGGGCGCTCGTCTGTCGGCAGCCCTCCGTAGTCGTAATGCACTTCCTCGGAGGGCCTCCGGAGAGGAAGCGCCAGATCGTCGGCGAACCCGCACTCACGCTTGCCTGGTTGGAAGTGGACAAGGTAAATCGGTGATAGCGCAGCCCATCCGTCGATTCGCGGCACGTCGCTGCGTCCAAAGGGTCTCATCAACCCACTGTGCGCCTGCGCCACAAAAGCGCGCCGGCGCAGCACTCACAGCCGCAGCACTTTGCACCAAACAACATGGTCGCATCTCTACCAGACGACTGGCGCACGCCGCGGCCGCGCGACGAGGGCCTGCCCGCCGCCTATCTCGGCAAGCCCCATATTGGACAATTAGAACACACGAGCGACGTCAAGGCCGTGGCCTGGTCCCCGGACGGGACGAAGCTCGCGGCCGGCGGCTACGACAAGAAGATTATTGTGTGGGACGCCTCTACCCAAAAGAAGGTCCTGGAGGTGGACGTCGGCGACTGGGTCGAGTGCCTCGACTGGAGTGGGGATGGAAAGACGCTGGGCTGCGGCGGCGGCTTCGACAAGCAGGGGAAGTTGTTCGACGCCGAGGACGGCGAGCTGCAGGAGACGCTGGACCACGGCGGCATCGTCTACGCCTGCGCCTTCGCGCCGACGCAGCCGGTCTTCGCCTGCGGCTGCTTCGAGAAGAAGGTGACGCTCTGGCACAAAGATCGGGGCCACCTCCTCCGCACGCTGTCGTGCGACGGCGTGCTCAAGGCGTTGGCCTGGCGCCCGGACGGTAGCATGTTGGCGTCGGGCGGCTTCGACGCCGCCGTGACGGTTTGGCGGGCGGACGCTTCACGCACGAAGCAACCGGAGGAGATTGTGTGGAGATCCAAGCTCGACTCGATCGCGGCCGACTGCCGCGACCTGGCCTACACGCCGGACGGTTCAATCCTCGCGTCGTGCGACTGGGCCGACAAGGTCATAGGCTTCGACGCGGCGACCGGAAAAAGATTGTGGGAGATAACGAATCCCGCGGAGCAGCACTTCTTCGCGCTCGCGTTCTCTCCGGAAGGTGATGTATTCGTGGCCGGCGGCTGGGACTTCCGCGCGACGATGTACCGTCTGGAAGATAGGAAGAAGCTCGCGTCGGAGTACATCGGCCCGGAGACGGAGGACCACGTCGGGGGCCAGACCGTGCGATCCATCAAATTCGCGCCGGACGGCAAGACCGTCGCGTTCTGCTCCGACGACCGGTCCGTGCACCTCTGGGCGCGCGACGCGGCGACGCGCGTGAGCGTGGCGGAGGAGGTCGAGGTCGAGTAGTAGGCGCCTCCTTGGATAAGTGTCGAGCTTTGTCCTTTCTAGTGACTTACTGTCACTAGCTCCCACTACTTTTGCGCTTGACTTTTTGGCAGCCTGTGTGCACGCCCTTCGACGGTTAACGCTTCTCCGAGACGTTCTGATACTACAGTGATAGCAGAGGTACGATTCGTAACAAATGCGGCGCTTCGCGCTGTCGTCGAGGACCTTGGCTGCGAGGCCCCGCGTGGCTTCTGCACGCAACGGCGCGGCCGCACCCAGCCTCGTGCGCTGCGCCTCGTCGACGACGCCCGCAGCAGCGCTAAGAATCATTCATGTCACGGACGTCTACACTTTAGATAATTTCCCGCACCTGAAGACGTTGATCGTCGAAAAACGAGAGGAATTTGAGCAGCAGCACGGCCCGGACGCCGTCACGATCAGCGTGTTGACGGGCGACTTTCTGATGCCCTACCTCCTCTCGGCCATCGACAAGGGCCGCGGGATGATGAAGATGCTGAACCGCACGCCCGTCGATTATTTGATCTGGGGCAACCACGAAGATAATTTGTCGCCGGCTGATGTCTTCGCGCGGGAGCGCGAGTACCAGGGCACATGGCTCAACACGAACATGCCGACGCACGAAACTGTCGAAGGTTCCGCGTGCCAGGCGACGCACGCGTGGCTCACGGTCGGCTCGAAACGAATCGCCATGCTCGGCGTCACGTCGCACACGTCGCCGAAGCCCGGCGCGTTCAACGGCGCTCAGATCCTAGACCCCTGGGCGACGTTGGCGGAGTGGGCGCCGCGCCTTCATGAAGAGGGGGCCGACCTCGTCCTGCCGCTGTGCCACTTGTACGAGGATCAAGATGAAAAAACGGCAAGGGACTTCGACTTTCCCCTCATCCTGTCGGGCCACGACCACCATATAGTGGATAAAGTGGTCGAGGGCACGCGCATCATAAAACCGGGCATGGACGCGCACCATGCCCAGATCGTGGACTTAGTATGGGATCCGAAGTTGAATATCGACGCCCACGTCGCGCAAGTCGCGTCGTACAAAGCGGACGGCGACCTCGCCCTCGCCGCGGCGAAGGCGTATGCGGTGTTGGATAAGATGCGCGAGCCGGCGCGGACGTCCCTTCACGCCACCGACGCGAAATCTGCTCGACGGCGTCGAGCTTGATATCCACACAGGCGCCATACGCAGCTGGCCGTCGTCCCCGAAAAATACAGGCCGCTCTCATCCGTCGATTCGCGGGGCCAACTCGTGACGATGGGCGCGTTTCTACTTTCCGAGATCCGGGACGCTTTGAACGCGTACAGGGACACCGTGGATTGTTGCATCATCAAGGGCGCGTCCTGCCCGCGCGCCGCCAAGGCTTATGACGATGACGCGTACGTCTCGCTAGAAACGTTGAGGGCGGAGATCCAAGCCAAGGACGACGTGAACGTGTATAAGCTTTCCGGTCATGCGCTGTGTAGAGATCTTGTCCCCGCGACGACGCCATCGAGCAGACGTCGCGTTGATGACGTGGGGTTCGACGCAATGATTCAGCGCGAAGGCGCCGTGAACTTACATTTCCGCACAGGTCATGCGCTGAAGCACGGCGTGCGTGAGCGGTGGGGCCACGCTAATCCTGGATATATGCAGATCGACGACGGGATTACGGTCGATGGGGAGGGATACGTGACGCACGTGCGGGGCGAACCAATTGATGAGGAGCGGATATATCGGGTCGCGTCGTTTAAGTCGCTGGAGAGAGAGCGGGACGGCGAGATAATCGGAAAGGAGCTCGCGGCGCATCCGGAGCGCATGCCAGGCGAAGACGATGGGGTCCAGTGCCACGCGTTGCTCGTGGGCCACTGGGCGCGGCGGCTCTGGGAGCGGATCTACGCTTTGGCTGATGCCGATGGAGACGGGCGGCTGTCGGCTGAAGAATTTGCCACGCTGGACTTGGACGGCTCCGGGCGGATAAACCGAAAGGAATTGAAACATGCGATCGCACGAGCTGGCTACGAAACGTTTTCGGGAGAGTATACGCTCGTCGAGGCGGTGCTCGAGGCAGCTGGCGATCTCGACGGGGACGGAAAACTATCGCGCTGGGAGATCAACGCGCACGCGAAGCAGGAGGTCGCGCGGCACCGGGCTCGAGACGTGGCGTAGTCAATTGTAAAATACCTTTGTATGTATTTACGCTCCTCATCATAGGAAGGATAGGATAACTCGGAACATCGGATCGGGCATCCGGCGGTATAGGTTGTAGATCACGAACAGCGCATCTTTTCCGAGCATCGCGCGACGCCTCTCCAGAAGCGCCCGCATTACAATGTGCGGGCCGCGGACGGTCCGGCGGTGCGCGCGCGTGAGCGAGAACGGGGGCGGGAAGGGACCGTGCCGAACGGATTCCCACCAGTCACTGTAACACGTCTTCACACACTCTCCAAAAACAGCCAGGGCCTCAGGGTCCTCGAAATCTCCGCATTGTATAGGCACCATCTTCGATAATTGAAGTCGATCCTCCCCGACAGTGTACGGCGGGTGGACACAGCGACTGGAATTCGACAGGGCAACAACGCGCCGCCCTTCTAAAACGCGACAGAGCCCTTTGGTAAATTCTGACATTTTTTCGATGTGAGTCATCCGGTGCTGATGACCGCTGGCAGTATCATCAAGGATGACAGTCACCCGAGTGGGCAGCGGCGCGAAACTTTCCCACGGCACTAGATTTGCTTTATCATCATCACGCGCAAACAAGTGTTCCTCAAACGCCACCGAGCGCTGGTAATTTATGATGGTTGCCCCATAGGACCCAGGCCGCGAGCATACTAGGGCGGCCTCGTCGTCGAACACTATCAAGGTGAGAATTATTTCACCTGGCCCACCATCGCACAACCGATTTGCATATCCCCGCCCAGCGATTTGCCCAACCGTGTGTTCATAAAGAAGAGGTCGTTCGCCCATGTGCGCGTTGATGCGAACCGTGTCGCCCGCGCGGCTCAAGAATAATCGCTGCACCAGCGGTCTTAAGGGTGCCGCTATCGATGACAGATACCTTGCTTCGCGCAGAAGTTCTGTACGGTCCTCGCCCGCCTCATAAGCGCGCACCAGCTCGCTTGGGTTCCTGCCTAGCGGAGGCATCCCAGGGTGAGCTCCCGAATCTCTTGACTCGCGGTACGCTTGTCGTACCGCAGCCGACAGGTCAATAGATGACACGTCCATAGCTAAGTGGCGGGCGAGTCAAACCCAGTAGTGACCGCTGGCCGAGTACTCACACCCACACGACCACTGGGAAAACGGGTTTTACAGATGTGAACCGGATACATCCAATTAAATTTACCCATCATCATCCCATCAGAGCCCCTTCACCACCGGAAAGTCCTCGTGCGCCGCCAGGTCCAGCGCGAACTTGGGCGGTGGGTCCGCGTCCGCGTCCGCGCGCGCGAGGCCCACGCGATTCGACACGGCGACACGCTTCAACGCCACGAGGTCGTCGGCGTCGGCCGTGGAATACAACACGGGCTCCGCCGTCTTCCCGAGCTTGATCGCGTGGTCCACCAATTGCGCGGCGTCTCCAAAAAACTTGGCCGCGGCCGTTGGAATATCGTCGCAGGCCGCCCGTTGTTTCAATGAGATACTTTCATAGGCCTCGTACTGGATGGGCGCCGGCTCGGCGAAGCAGGCAAACGCCGAGAACCGCTTCGCGAAACGAGTTCTACGAGAAGCATACACGTACGTCTGCCCGCCGTCCGACGTCGCCGCGTCCCGCGCGGCTCGCGCCGCACAAACCAAATGCGTCGCGCGACACAGACACCGCGCGCCCCTGAGTGAAGCCTCGAGCGCGGCGTCGCGCGCGTCCGCCAAAGCATCCAAGCGCCGCTCCTCTTCCGTAATTCGCGGCGCGTCGGGCTGTTCTGCCAATGAATCTCTCAGTAGTACACGTTGCCGCCTCGCGTCCTGCGCCAGCGTCGATCTAGCTGCAAGCAAGTACTCGCGGTACCAAAAAACATGCTCCAAATCAGAAGGAGTGACCACTAACTCGAGCGACACGTCCAACGCCAACGTCCGCTCCATCAACAACAGGCTATATTTGAGGGCCCAGGTGCCCAGATATCGCGCGTGCTCGTTGGGCAAGCGTAAAGCTTCAGCACATCTCATATCGGCGCGGCGCGCATCTTCCACAAGCTGCGCCCAATCTAACAACAGTCCCGGAAGTTGTTGTCGTAAGCGCGCTCGGTTCGCCGACGCGACGGCTCGCAAGACATGCAATACGCGCAACGATGCTCGGGACGCGAACTCGGCGCCCGCGCGGCACTGGACCACGCAGTTCGGCGCGCCACCGCTCACGATCGAGTCGACGACCACGCCGAACACGGACGCCTTCTTCGGCCCCCGCCCCAAGCGCGTCGCCGACGCCTCGGCGCCAAAGTCGTCCTGATTCAGGAGTTTCCGCAGCGGCGCGCCGGCGCCCCCCAATTCCAACGCCGCGAAGGACCGAGGCAGCACGAAGCGGCCGCCGCCCCTTGATTGATGGCCAACATTCAAGCACAGTCTGAGGAGACGACTGTGCGCGTGCTCGCAGCGCCGCGCATCCACTGAAGGTAGGGCCGGGAGCTCGGTCGACTCGTCACTGAACCTTAAAAATGCCAGGCACCTCCTCAGGTCCCAGACCCGGTCCAAACCCCTAAGCAGCTGGCGGCAGGCGTCCCGCGTTGCTTTCCGTTCATCTGATGACGCCCAGCCGCCCTGCGGCGGGCTGACGCCTCTCGTGGTGGCGTGCTCGTCGCGGCAGGTCGCGAACCATGCGTCCGCAATCGTCGCGTCGCCATCACTATGATCCGCATCCAAGGCATCGAGCTGGTCTAGAGCGTTCCGGGCTCGGTCCGTCGCGCCGCCGTCGTCCTGAAGGGCGTGCCGCTCCGCGCCGAGGCGCGCGACGGCCTCGGCCAGGGACCGTCTCAGCGCAACGTGGGCCTGCAACCGCGCGTCCTCGACAGATTCATCAACGGGGAGCGCCCGGCCCCGCCGCCGCGCCTCCTCGACGGCCTTGCTGACCTTGGTCGTGGACGTCGCGAAGTCCTCCTCTTCAAAAATGTCCGCCGCGACCACAATTTCGCGCGCGGCCTCGCAGACCCACAAGGTCAAATTCGCGGCCTGCGCGACGGCCTTACTTGCCGGCGACGCGTCGCTCAGCGCCGCCGTCGCGGGGTCCCGCAACGCGACACATTCTAAAATAGAGTCGTGCAGCGACGCGCCGCCGTGGTAGGACACCTCGAGCGCGAGTAGCCTATCTAGTATAATGATGGCCGGGCCGGGCGCGAGGTCGACCGGCAGGTCTTTCAACAACTCCGCCACGGACCGCTGCGGCGGCTCGGAGCCCAGCGCGTCCATTTTGGGATCCATCAATTCCAGCGCGGACATGCTGTCGTAGAGCGAGAACGTCGGCGCCCGGAGCAGCTCGTCGACGTCCAGCGACGCGGCGACGCCGGCCACGTCCTCGGTGACGTCGACCCAGCGCTCGTCCTCCTCGTCAACAGGCGGCGGCGGCGGCGCATCGCTGGCAGCCATGGTGGCGACCACGATGGCTAAGGGTGTCTACCGCAGCAGCGAATGCAGCACTCGTGTAGAAACGGGTCCGAGCACGAATGACAGCGATGCTGAGGACTCTTTTTACAGAGCACCGCTGCGCGATCAGCGCGAGTCCAGGCACGAGAGACGCCGCCAAGCTAGCGGTATGTAACACACTAGGCTAGCCACGGTCCATCGACGCGTCGGGCCACCAATCACTCAACCGGGCAGTTTTTCACTTTTTTTTCTAAGCTTCTATACTATAGTTATCTGGTGGCGAGGCCTGTCTGAGAATCTCTGAGCTGACAGGAGAAAGGCCTGGAAATTTTGGTCTAAGCCACACAAATAAAAACCACGCGTCGATGGCACGGATGAGGTGGCTCATCGGACTGATCGGCCTCGGTGTTTTTTCACAAGCGCAGTCGCGGCGCGCGGCCATCCTGCTAACGGGCCACGTGCGCACCTTTGATCTCACGGCGCCGACGCTCGACGAGTTTCTCATCAAAGCGAATCCGACGTACACGTTCTCGATCTTCTGCGCGACCTACCAGGAGCGCGAGGCCCACGCCATCACCAGCCGCCAGGGTAAGACGGAACAGAAGAGCCTCGACGAGGACGAGCTCTACGCAGTCTACGCGCCCTTCGTCCCGCGCGACCGCTTCCACGCCGAGCTCTATCGGCCGTGGGATATCAAGTCTGGGTTGCCGTTCTTCAACCCCCAGCATGCCAGAAACCGGACGCAGGCCGGCATCCGCAAGTACAAAAGTTATTTGAGAAGGATCCGGCACTCGTCGATGTTCGAGCTCATCAAGCGCGGTTACTTGATGATCGAGCGGCGGCCGGAGGCGTATGACGTGATCATCAAGTTCCGCTTCGATCTGGGCCTCAAGGCGCCCCTTGTCTTCAACGAAAGATGGATCGAGCGAGGGCTCGTCGTGCTACCGGTGCAGATCGCCGACGGCGGCGCGGGCATCGTACCCAGGGCATTGGCGACGCGGCCCTGTTCCAAAGACGGAAGCGCGAGCCAACGGCCGAAGTGGGTGCAGGACCACGTCGGCTACGCGTCGCCCGCGACGTTCCGCAAGTTCTCGGTCAATGTCCAACGCTACAACCTCCGCAAGGCGACTCGCGCGCATCCGGGGCAAGCTCGGAACCCCGAGCACTACCTCGCCGAGAGCCTCAAGGAGCAGAAGGTCCGCATGAATTGCGACGCTTCCATTCAATACACGGTCAAGAGGCGCTACATAAAGCCGCCGAAGTGGAATTGGAACCGGAACAAGACGGCGCCTTCTCGCGCTCGTGCGGTGCACGCGATGCGTGCGGACGCGGCGCGCATTAGTGGGCCGCGGCGCGGTGCGGACGGGCAACCGCGATACGCTATGGCCATGTACGTCGATGACAACAAGCATGTATTAGGTCTGTACAGCATTCTTCGCCAGGCGATCAACACAGGAATGGTCGCCGACGGGATCGAGGTCGTTGTGGCCACGACTGCGCCGCCACAGTATCATTCACTACCGCGCTACCATGAGCTCCGTTACCTCATGCGGTGGCGCGACGAGGGCTTGATTCACAAGCTCGTCCCCGTCGACAACAGTATCATCATGAAGAAAATCCACAACAAGGGTCTGTGGGAGGGCGTCTTCCTGTGTGGAAATCAACCAGTGTGTCGGGTGCACCCGATCGGCGCGTCGATGGCGTGGAGGACGACGCGATGATTCAGCACGAACGCCGTAAAATTTTGATTTCCACACAGGAGTCTTCAACAAGCTCTTTTTCTTCAATTTCACGGAATACGACAAGATTATTCAATTGGACTGCGATATTTTCATTCGACAGAACATCGCTCACTGGTTCGACTACGCGACGCCCATCGCCATCCAGGAGCGAGACACGATGGAATGGAACACGGGTGCCATGGTCCTCACGCCCAACCGCACCGTGTTCGACGCGATGCTCGCCAAGCTCCCCGAGGTCCAGAAATTCGACCACAACAAGGCGACACGCGACGACCCCGACGGCTGGAATTCCGCCTACTACGACCAGGGATTCCTGTCTGCCTTTTTCACCGCGAGCACCGATCCAACGGAGCGAATGAAAACCATGTCGACCGGCGACGCCGTCCTCATCAGTTCCCTGCAGACCGACCGGATGAGGTATTTCTGGTTCCACCGCAACCACGTGTTCTCGACGGTCCACCTCACCACCGCGAAACCCTGGAGTAGCAAGTGCAGACCGAAAAGCCCCCTTAGCCGGTGCAAACCGAAAAGCCCCGTGGCCTGCGACGTGCTGCGCGAATGGGCCCTGTCGGTGCGGGGATTGGAGAAGTACGACCTCCAAGAGGAATACCGAGACGTCGCCAGCAGCACGCCGGCCTATCTCGAAAATTGCCCCAAGGCCGCGACACCGGTGATACCCGCGTACCTCAGATTTCCGAGGCGCGCGCCCGAACCGAAGGGTTCGCTCTAAGTATCTAGTCTTTCACTCAAAGCCTTACTCACCCCGTCGCCTCGACCGAGTTCGTGATCGAGAAGAGCGGCTTCCGCGCCCAGTCGCGCGTCGGCGTGTTCTTCTTCGGCGCGGGAGCCGGCGCCTCGGCGGGCGCGTCGGGCGCCGCGGCGGGCGCCTCGGCGACGTCGACGACCTCGGGCTCCGTCTCCGCAGCCGCAGAGGCCTCAGCGACGGCCTCGACGACCTCGGGCTCCGCTGCCTCCTCGGCGACCTCGACGACCTCGGGCTCCGCGGCCTCAGAGGCCTCAGCGACGGCCTCGCGCGGGTCGGCCCACTGCGTCTGGCCCGTCGCCTCGTTCTCAAAGTACGGGTAACTCGAGGCCGGGTCGACGCGCGCTCTCCAGGTCACGCCCGCAAGGTCGAACGCCTCGTCGTCATTCGGGGCCGGCGGCGCGTACTCCGCGACGAGCGCCAGCACGTGACCCGACGCGCAGTCCGACGGCGTCTCGCCCATGTTATTCTTGGCTTGCGGGTCCGCCGCCGTCTCCAGCAGTAGGCGGACGCACTCCAGCGCGCCGGCGCGGCAGGCCACATGTAAAGGCACGTCGCCCGCATTATCTCTAGCTTCGAGGACGTCGTCGCCCGCCGCGTCCAGCAATACTGCCAAAACGTCGCGCGCGCCGTCGGCCTTGGCTCGGATCGCGACGTGGGCCGGCGTCGCGCCCGTGCCGTCCCGCGCCCTCGCGTCGGCGTGATGTTCCAATAGTAATTGCACCAACAAAACGTTGCCCGTTCTTGAAGCTCCATGCAGAGGCGTCTCCATCTTCGCGCCCGTGTCGGTCCCGTAGCTCCTATTAGCTAGGACCGCGTCGCCTCCATTCACCTTGGCCGCTGCTAAGAGCCGCCGCGCCGCGACGCAGTCTCCTCTTTCTAAAGCCAGACGGAAGCGCGGCGCGGCCACGTCATGACGGGGAGACCCCAGTAGACTATCAGAAGCCACGGAGCGCACCTCCTCGTCGTCCGAATCGACGGTCGCGTTGTCCTCGTCGCCCGCAAAGCGCTTTCTACGAGCAGTCTGCAGGACCTGGATGGCGCCCCGTAACCCGCGGCGCCAGGCCTTGGCGTCGTCGCCGTCCTCCGCGGCCAGATCTAGTGTTCTATCTTTGCAGACCAGGGACCAGCACAGGTCCTCCGGTGGTATCAATCTTCCAGCATTCGCCTGGACCCACCAGGCCTGGGTCTTGTGGCCCGGTCTTAATTCAAGAACATCCTCCAACGCGACAGACCGATCTTTGGAGGCTGTGGCCTCCGCCTTTTCAGAAGCCCCCCAGGTGATGACGACCTCCTGCTGGTCCGGCGCATGACTTGGCGCCTTCCTCAAAGCTACGCGGAACCACCGCTTCTGCGGGGCGGCGCCCGTGGCATGAAAAGGGACCTTCCACAGAAAGCTGCCTTGCCTGAGTTTCTCGGGGAACTGGTCCAAGCATGAAGCGAGCAACCCGACGTGGTCCTCCTCTTTTTTGGTGGAGAAGAAGTCCTGGGAAGAAAAAGGCGCGGTCTCGAGGCACGCCGCCGACGCCGGCCGCGTCTTCTTCAATTCCTGTACTAATTCGGCGTTGCGCTTCCGTAACTGGCGCACTTCATCGGATTCATCTTGAAACACGTCGACGGCCGATTGCGAACGTAACGGCAGGCGCTTGATCAGTCGACGAGGCTGCGTCTGCGACAGCGACTCCGGACTTGATACAGACGACACGGACGACCTAGCGCTGTTCGGAACCCCTCGAGGCCCCGTCGGCAAGGACACCGGCCGCCGCATGGTCTTCTCCCTCAATTCACTGATCTCTCGGTCCTTTTCTGTTCTGATTCTAGCGACCTCGGCCTCCATGCTCCGACGAAGTTCCGCTTGGGCTAACGACCTTTCTCGCTTGAGTTTCGCGAGTTCCGAGTCCATCTGGTGCTTCAATTGCTGTTTGGTCCGTTCTTTTTCATCCCTCAGTTTCCGGAGCTCGCCTTCCATGGACGACCGCATCTCCAGGGCGCTCTTGGCGATGGCCTCCATCTTCTGGGTCGGGTCGTCCATGGCTCGACCTACTCGTGACTTGGGGCGCATCGTTGACTGTTTTCTATGTACTATTTCAGGTACCAGTGAGTCCATGACGTCGACGTCGGCTACTTTTTCACCGTAGCGATTCTTCTGGTGGCGCTCCATCTCCTGGAGGGCGCCGGCCCGTCGGAACCGGACGGCGACGCTGTTCTCGTTCTCCTCGCTCGTCAAGTGGGTCGGCGTGCGCGGCTGGCGGCCTTTCGGGGGGGCGAACATCGTTGTTTGTCGGCTGCCCGGATGCGGCGCGGGGCGTGCGCGGTGGGTGGCGTTGTGCGCTTGCGTTTTGTCGCTGGCAGCGTGGAGTCCGTCACGCGATTGCGCTTCGGTGCGAGCTGCCAAGCTGAAACGGCTTTTCTAGTAGCCCCCTAGTATCGGGACCCCTCTCAGGTCTTTGAGAGGTTCCGCGGACTGGCTTTGGAGGCTTCTTGCCTACCGCTACTCGCTGCTCCATCCCCCGCTGGGTTGCTAGTGTCTTACAGCCGGTAGCATCCCGTTTTGTCCGCGGTTTTAGAGCCGTACTCCTCACAGACAAGCACATTGGTGACAAGAGATTTGTGCCAGCTCCAGCTCGACTGCTTGCAACGTCTGCACCCAGTGGTGCGCATCAACGAGCCCTGTACGGTGCAGCAGTTTGCAGCCAGTACACTACGCCGTAACAGCACGCGCGAGCGGCAAGCAGCACACCATCACAAAATGCCCTTCGCCTCGCCGTCCGCCATGGCCGCCCTCGGCGAGGTCAAGGCCGCCTGGGGCCTCGAGCGCTGGAAGGCCCTCGACGCCGCGACCAAAACCAAACTCTGGAACGCGCGCCGCGCCGGCGAGGACGGCTGGACGCCGCCGGACTTTGCGCCCGCCGTGACGCCGTCGCCGCCCCGGGACGAGGACTCGAGCAGCGGCGAGGAGGAGGTCGTCGAGAGCGGTGCCGTGGCGACGCCGGACAAGGACGACGACGGCCTCTCAGGAATGCTCTCGTCGCTGTCGGTCGCTCCAGCCCCGGCACCGAAGGACGTAGACGGACTAGAGGAGGCGCTCGCGTCCATAAATCTCGGACCCCAGACGCCTCAAAAGAAGCCCGCCGCGGGCGGCCCCGCGTGGGACTCACTAAGGCGCTACCAGCGCGCCCTGGTCCTGGACGTCGAGGACCGGCTCCGGTCGCCGCGCGCGCGCACGGCGGCGCGGCCCTTCGCGTCCGTGCTGTGTTCGCTGGCGACGGGCGGGGGCAAGACGCGCGTCGCCGCGGCTTTTCTGGAACGGAACTGTCGTGGGGAGGCGGCGCTCTTCGTCGTCAATCGGACCGTGCTCTCGACGCAAGCTCAAGATGCTTTACGGGACTACTGCGCCGTCATCGAGTGGGACAAAGGAGACATTATCAAGCCGTTGGCGGACGACCGGCCGACGGTCTACGTGGCGACGATTCAAGGGTTAAGAGCGTCCGGTGCGTTACAAAAGCCCTTGGACGGCGTGGCTTGCGTTGTCATCGACGAGGCGCACCACGGCGCCGCGGACTCGTACCTATCTTTACTGTTCGCGGGCCTGAAGTCCAACGCGTCGGCGAAGGTGCTAGGTTTGACCGCTACGCCATTTAGATTGGCTCGCGATGCGGTCTTGGGGTCTGCCTTCTCGTCGGCGGCGCGCGGGCCGACGGTGCAGGAACTCGTCTCCATAAAAGCGCTGGCGCCTCCCAAACTAATCGCGTCGACGGCTCGAGATCGAGTCGAAGCTAGAGGAAGGGACGAGGACGCGACCGAGGCGAACCTGGCCAAACTGCTCTGGTTGCGGGCGCGCCAAGCGGGCGCCAAGACGGCTGTGGCGTTCTGTCGCGATATCCGGCGGTCGCGGCTACTCGTCGATGTCCTGAGAGGCGCCGGAGTGCGCGCCGAGCACCTCGACGGGAGCACGTCTGAGAAGGATAGAAAACGTACATTGGCCGAGCTGCGGGAGGGCATTATCGAAGTCGTGACGAACGCATCATTATTAGCCGAGGGCTTCGACGAGCCCAGTCTGAGCGCCGTCATATTGGTGCGGCCGACGCAGTCGACCGCTTTGTTCGTGCAGCAGGTCGGCCGCGCGCTCCGGCCTTATCCCGAGAAAACGTGCGGTTTTGTTATCGATGCCATCGGCGCGGCCGAGCAGCACGGGTCGGCCTTCGGCCGCTTGCATCGTCTGGAGCCGGACGACGGCGGAACTTTGGCGCGGGACCTCTCGGACCGCGCAGCCGCCGACGCGCCTCCGACGTTTCGGCTGTCGGCGAAGAAGGCGCCGCGACGCCGCGGCATCGTCCGCGGGCCGCCGCCGCCGCCGGACCTTATTGCTCTTGGACGGAAGCCCGAGAGGCCTCCGCCTCTTCCGGAGCCCGAGGACGTTGTGGCGCTCGGTAGCCTTTCCGTCGCCGACGACTCGAGCGGTGGCGAGGAAGAGGTGGTCGAGAGCGGACGGGCGCCCGACCCCGCGCCGGAAGCGTCGACGCCACCGTAAATTTTAGTTGTTGTGAGCTAGCGTGCTGTTAAAGACACTAGCAAGAAGCCACGCTGGACACTGACGCCCTGTGTTCGCCCCACAGGGCTTGTTTTTGCAATCGAGTTGGTGTGACTTCGTGCTGGTGTGGCCTCATAGTGCAAGGCAAGTTTGTGAGGGCTGCCGTGCGCCTGAAACGGCGCTGCCAGCCTCGCAGAGCACCACACTGCAACAAAGCTTAAAAATTGCCCCCCGTACGGTATCGAGGCGAAGCTTGGCTCCCAAAACAGAGCAAACTACTGCAGACCGGTGAGCAGCCATGTGCCGGCCCCCGCCCAAGCCACGGGACGACGACGCGACGGACGACACCGAGGCGACGCACCAGAGCAAACGCTCGAGGACAAAATCCCTCGCCGACCAGCCGCCGACGCCCTGCGAGTTGAATCGGCGGGCGGGCAACGACGAGGCCCGCGTCGAGAAGATCGCCGGGGCCGTGTCCACGATCCTGGAAGCTTTAGGTGAAGATCGGACCCGACCAGGCTTGCAACAGACGCCGAAGCGCCTCGCCCAATTGCTCGTGGACTGCACGTCGGGCTACGCTCGCCGGCTGGACGAGGTGTTGAATGGTGCCGTTTTCGAGGAGACCTACTCCGAAATGGTTGTGGTGCGGGACATCGCTCTCTACAGCCTGTGCGAGCACCACGTCGTCCCCTTCCACGGCAAGTGCCACATCGCCTACGTGCCGAACGGGCGAGTTCTAGGATTATCGAAGCTCGCGCGCATCGCCGAGATGTACGCGCGGCGGCTGCAGGTCCAGGAGCGCCTGACGCAGCAGATCGCGCAGGCCGTCCAGGACGCCTGCGAGCCGCTCGGCGTGGGCGTCGTCGTCGAGTGCTCGCACATGTGCATGTGCATGCGCGGCGTGCGCGCGGCCGGGTCGTCGACGGTCACTTCTGCTGTCCTCGGTTCCTTCCGGTCGGACTTCCGGACGCGCCAGGAGTTCTTCGCCAACATCTCGATGGGCGCCCGCACGCTCTAGCCTCGTTTCGCCTGTACAATTAACTATTATTCCCGCTACAGAGCCCCTCGACGTAGGCGAGGCACCGTTCCACTCCACCACACGGGTACAGATGCAACCGCACCGACGCGTCGTCTACACTATGCCTCTCGAGGTACGCGGCGAGCGCGGCGACGTCGCGCGCCGGCGCCACGACGTCGTCCGCGTCGGCATCGTCGGACACCGCCTCGACGGCGGCGCTCGGCCCGACGCCGCACAAGTCGTAGAACCGGCGCAGCGTCGCCCGCGGCGCCGGGCCCGGGACGCCGACGAAGATCGCGTCCGCGTTTGGACGCGTCGCGTCGAGCCACGCGTCCAGCACGAAGGGCAGGTCCCGGCAGAACTGGGACACGACGCTCCCGCCGTGGGCGCGCAGCTTCTCCGCGAGGCGCGCGCCGCCGCGCGGCACGTACGGGTGGCCCTCGGGGAAGCCCGCGAAGACCGGCCTCATTTCCAACAACGCCGCGGCGCACGCGGCGACGTCGTCCACGCGCGCGCAGATGTCCGTCCAGTCGTTGCCCGCGATGATGAGCGCGGATGCGGCGCCGGCGTCGCGCAGGGCCCGCAGCCGCTTCACCGCCGCGTTCTTCACGCGGCTCGCCGGCACGTGCGGGACCGGGTCGAGGCCCGCCTCCCTGAGCACGGCGCAGGCCGCCTCGACGGCCGCGAAGTGCTCGTCCTCGGTGTCGACGAAGTTCACGAAGACCGTGCGCGGGGCGCTCGGTCGTGCTTTTGCCAGTTCCGCGTAGCGTGTTGCTTGCCTTGGAGCGATTTCGATGGACGCCGTGCGGCCGAGCTGCCTCAGGCGCTCACTGGTCGTCGAGAGCGCTCGTACAGCACATACCGCAATGAGCGCTGCTCGGCGGCGCGCGAGGGCCAGGGATGGCATTGCTGCTGGCTCTCACTGTCTGCAGGTGCTGAACTCTATGCACAAACAGCATTTATTGTGGAGTAATTGCTCTCAAAGGCCTTCTCAGAGTTAATGCTAGTGTGTTACAGACCGCTAGCCAATTCTTACACAAAGATGGGCACTCATGACGAGGGAGTGAACGACGCCCGCGCGAGCGCCGCGTCGTCGTAGCTTTCTCCTAGGACGGGCCATGTATCAGGCGCCCAGGGCGCTTGGGGCACCCCGTCTTGCAACACTCGCCATCCCTGAGCACGATCCGTCCCTCGTCGTCGATAACTCTTATGAATGACGGCAGAGACGTGCACCTGGACGCCGGCCGGCAAGTACGTGTTAACGAGCTCCAAAAATTGCGCGGACGTTTCACATGGTAAATTCACGCCATCAAAACACAAGATAAGCGCCTTGAGACGCGGTGGCGCGTGCGCGAACACCGAATAGTTATCTCGCAGGCGCCAAGTATCGTACTCACTATCAATAGTCAACGTCAGCATTTCGAGAACCGGGCATGCCGCAGAGACGTTTGCAAACAGAGGCTCCAGGTTCTGAATCTGCAATTCGGACTCGTTTAACACTAGGTGCAACACGTGGGGCAGAAGATTCGCAGGGACAGTTCCATTGACAAAGCAAGCGCCCCTGAGCCCGCTGAGCTCCACCAGTTGCGTGACACGCTGGCGGTCCAAGAACCCACGCCCGTTGCCATCGTCCGGTACCAGGAGGCCGTGATAAAAGAAGCGAGTCGCGTGCTCCGCACGCATGAAGATTGGCACATATTCGTCCGGTAACTGGAGACGGCGAACGTTCGGAAAGTTTTGTAAGAAGTCTTCGGCGCGCTCCGCGCAGAGGAAGGTCTGGTCATCGCCATGATGACTCAGATAACTACTGAGACAAGCAACACCGAACAAGGGCTGTAGCGCAGCGCGGTCCGCGGCGTAGCCTTGTGCACTATTCCCGCACTCCACGCAACAAACGACTTTATCCAGACGCGCAAAATTTTGTCCTGCGAGACCGCTGCCCAGGTGATAGGGTCCCTCGGAAATACGGGTAGCGCCTGAGGGACCGCCGTCGGTAATCATCACGCAGCGCGTGTGCCGCTCGACCACAGACCGCAATCTCTGGGGCGCCCGCGCCCACGCGGCGCATGTGCAGTGCGCACGCCCATTGTCGGCCGGAAGCGCTGTGAGCTTGAGCGTCCGCCAGAGTGCGGGGGTGTCGTGAGCGCGCAACCACGCCCTGCTGACGAGCCACTTGCGCGCAGCCGCTTCCTTTGGGACGGACGCGTACTCCAGCACGCGCGCGAGTATCTGAGTTATGAATTGCAGCCATGGCTTTGTTTTTTGGTTTGACCAGCCGCGGCATGTAAGACACTAGCAAGCGCAAAAAATCAGGCACAGCCTGCAAAAACGGCGCCTGCGCGTGTGAATCTAAAAGAGGGACTGCTGCGTGCTGCTGCAGCACACTGCGACCGGCTGCTGGCAGCTCTGCGCTCGCTGAGCACTCTTAGCACGCACAGCAAAAAATGGGCGCAGCAGAGACAATGGCAAGCGCCGACGCCGCGCCTAAAATCGCCGCCTTCCTCTTCCTCGAGGAAGTGATCGCCTTGCAGCGCTGCAGCAGACAACACGCGCGCCGCTTCGGCGCGCCCGGCGCCGCATTGCGGAGCCGCGTCCAGCCGCGGTCGCGCGCGGCGTTCTGGGCCGAAGCGTGTAGGGTCGAGGCGGACAAGAAGCGCGCTTTGAATAGGCGGACGGCGACGAACGGCGGCTTCTTCGAGAGCTGCGCCGGGTTGTTGGACGGCGACGGCGGCTGCGCGCGCCTCAAAACAACCGGCGTCGAGGGCACGATCGCGCGAGATGTCCGACGCACCTTCGCGCAGCGATCATTTTATGGAGAGGGTGCGAAGGGCCGCGACTTACTAGCTGATGTGTTAGTTGCTCTCGCGACGGCGTCGCCGGAGACGGGCTATTGCCAAGGCATGAACCTCGTCGTGGGCGCCTTACTCGAAACCGCCGCGCGCGCCGGGTCGCTCGAGGATGACCACAAAATCATCTTATCAGCCGTGGAAGAGCGGCGCTGCCAGCGAAAAGCGTTCTGGTTGTGCCACGCTATTGCTCATGGCGGGCCGAAGTCTACCCCAAAAGATTCGAGATTAGCCTTGAGCGAACTGTGGCGGCCGGGCATGCCCTCGCTGCAGATGCGAGCGTTCCAGCTCGACCAGCTCTGCCAGACGTACCTACCTAAATTAAGAGTGCACTTGAAACGAAGTGGTTTGGCACCTACACAGCTCGCGGCGCAGTGGTACCTGACGTTATTCGCTTATGTTGTTGATGCGTCGTGGCTGCCTGCCTTATTTGATGCGATCTTTCGCGACGGCTGGAAGGCGGTCCATAGGATAGCTCTGGCGTTGTTAGCGGTGGTGAGGGACGATTTGTTGAATATGAAGCCGGATGCGTGCGGCAAATATTTGAGGGACCGGGACCGGTTGAAAGAAGCCGCGTCCGAACGCGTCGGCGGCGTCGACGGCGTTTTACGGTTAGCGGCGACGTTCAAGGTGACAAGGACGTCATTAGCAGCATTATCAACGAGGCACGGCTTCTCCATCGTCGAGGACCGAGGCGCGCTGAAGGCCGACGAGATAAAGCAGCGACCTAGGAGAGATTTGGATGGTCACGGCGGCGTCGACGTGCGCGCGCGATTAGGTGCTTTGGACGACACGGCCAAACGCGACGCCAGGACGCTCATGGCGCGCGTCGAGCGGGCCAGTCGCGCTCGTAGAACCGCTCTGGACGCGGCGAAGGAGACAAAAGCTGTGGTAGAGACGCGCAGGGCCGCCGTCGGCATGCTCGTCGACGAGAAGCGCCGCTTCGAGTCCGAGGCGGTTGACGTCTTCGACGACGTCCTGGGCGACTCGCTGCTGGCGGCGTCGATGACGCCGGTGCGGACGCCCGTGCGTCGGACGCAGTCGGAACCGGTTTCGAGGAGAGGCTGGTTCTCGTTCCTGCGCTCTCCGAAAACGCCGGCGGCGCCGCCCGCGACGCCGCTCGCCGGCGCCTTGGCCAAGGCCCGGGCGGTTCAAACGACGCGGTCGCGGCGCCTCAAGTCGGCCCAGCGCGGCGCCGAGAAGGTGGAACGAGCTCTAAGCATCGCGCGGCGCCACCTCGACGACGCGCGGCGCGCGCACGCCCAGGCCCAGGGCGACGTCGACGACGCGTCGGAGATCTGCCTGCGCGTGACGGCGCAGCTGCGCCAGCTCATGGAGGGCGTCGACGACAAGCGGCGCGCGACGCTGTCCGACGCGGCGTCGCAGACGAAGGCCGAGCCCTCCATCGCCGAGCGCTTCCGCGCGGGCGCGACGCCGCTGCGCGCCGCGACGACGCCACCGCCTCCTTTACTCGATGTGGCCGAGGTCGAGGGGCGCTCGTCCAGCTTGTCGCTCGACGAGGCGCAGTTCGAGAGTGTGCCGTTGTATTGACTAAGGTTGTTGTTACTTACTCGCTCACGCCTTCTTTCTTTCGCGCAGCACGATGCCACGAACAATCGCATGAGCAACGACAAGGCAGAAGAAAACGAAACAAAACCAACAGCGACCAAAAGAAAACCACTCGTTCTCCAAGTCGACCCAGCGGTCCCAGCCGACCCTGCGCGCAACCGTCCCCGCGGCAATAATTACCATCAAGGGGGTCAAAGCTATGATCGCCGCCTTATTCACCGCGATTTCGAGCGTTTTGTGGCGTATCTGGAGCTGATAGCCGCGTATCTTGCGGCGAGCCTCCTCAATTTTATTTTCATCCTCTCGGATGCTGTTCTCGAGAGAAGCCATTTTGGCGGCGTGGGCAGCGGCTAAGGAGGCATCAAGCCGGTCGGCGATGAAGTAGTATATCTCAGAGAGTTCCTCCGTGCAATCAGGCATGGTCGCTAGAAGAGCCCGGCGCACGTCGTCGTCGACCTCGCCCCAGCGCTGGATGCTCAAATCAAACACACACGCCACATAATCCTCCGTGCTAGAAAGCGCGGCCCTCGAATGTTCCGAATCGATACCGATGTCCGCGCCGCGTCTGATGAGTTTCCTAGCCACGTGAAGTTTAGTCAACACGCTGTCGAGGTCCTCGCAGTAGATCGTCGGCTCGTCGTTCTCGTCGAGCTCATAATCGGCGGCTAGAGCCCACGCTAACGCGGTCGTCCCAGCTAGATTTTCGGGATCGCATCTCGCATTAACGTCTGCCCCCGCATCGAGGAGCATGGCCGCGAACAGGAGCGATCGTTCGTGCCCCGACCCGCTGACGTAATGCAGAGCCCTGCCCGCTACGCGTACCTCTCCGTCGATGGTGGAGGATGTCTCAACATCCGGGACTGCTCGGTATGCAAGAAGCGTCGGTATAATGTCGCTGTCAAAATAGTAGCCAGCCGCGTTCTCCACGAGTACAAGGCCCGCGGCCTGCCGGTCGGAGAGCGCTGCGGCCTGCACGTGGTACGAGTGCAGTAATAAAAATTCGGCCTCGCGTATCGTCACTCCTCGCAGAGCTTCCTCGGCCGCGTCGACGCCGCGGCGCAGGGCGGCCCGCGCGTCGCCGTCGGCCGCGACGGCGACGACGATCTGCGGCCCGTCGACGTAGCTCGCGATGGCGGTCAGCAGATCTCCCGGGAGCGTCGCAAAGGTGGCCATTGTCAAAGTGACTCGAGGCTCGAGCACACGAGTCTCGGTTGCTTGTCACGAGCCCTATACGTCACGCAGTGGGGCGAGGGGGGCCAAACGTGTCGCCAATCGATGCGTCACGGTCGCACTTACCCAATAACCACGCGAGCGGCCGCAAAAAATGGTGAACAAAACGGGTTTTTCAACATTCTTCTAAGACACACAACACTTTACCCGCCGCTAAAGAACCCCTCCCCCACCTCAATATCAGGCGGGCACCCGTCCGGCAGCTCGCGCATGAAGTAGTGGCCGACGGCCGGCAGCCCCACCGAGAAGTTCGACCACCCGTGCTCATCCTCGCCATCAACAAAGGCGATTTCGTCGTATCCATAATGCTCCCGCACGACGTCAAAATACGGTAAACCGCGGTGCACCGACGCGTAGACCACGACGTCGAAAAAGTGGTCGCGGAGCCTCTTCGCAATATCGGACCGGTCCACGCGCGGGTCGTCGCGCAGGCGATAGGCGTAGGTGAAGCCGTTGCCATACAGTTCGGACCGCGCCGCCAGATCCCAGGGCGCCGCGACGCGCGGCTCGTACAAGTGAAGGGGCTTGATGAAGTCGACCGCTTCCGCTCCAAGCCGCTGCCGGAAGCCGTGGACCACGGACTCGCGGAGGAAGTCCGGGGCGGGGTGCGCCGACAGAATTAGGACTTTGCGAGCCTGGGCCTGGCCCATGGTCTCGAGGATGTACCGCGCGAGAGCTTCGGTAGTAAGCCGCTCCCGCAAATACGTCAGGAGCCCCGCGGCGAGTTTACTGTAGGAGCCGCTCGCATCTAATACATCGACGTCCACGGTTCCATTCGGAAACACGCCGGGCCAGGTCCGCAGATCCCTCAACAGTCTTTTGGGCCAAAACGCGAGCGTGGCCGACGGCGCTTGCGTCGGGTCCTCGTCGAAGAAGGGCACGGCGCCGCTCGCCACGATCTCGTAGTGGCGCATGCAGTCCCAGCCGGCCTTCTTTTTCGTGGAGCCGAAGTAGCTTTCTCTATAGGCGCGCTTGTATTCACTTTCTTCATGGGGACCAAACGCGTAGGCGCGGTCGCCGAATTTTGAGTGGTGGCCTCCCCTAAACCCGTAGTACTTGCGCGGCACGCAGTCCACCACTTCACTACGGGGGATCCCGATGAAGATCGGGTATAGAGAGTGGGAGCATTTTCTGGGAGGCGGATACCCGCGCATGAGCTCCCGGAGTTCAGGGTCGTCCTCGATGAAGTCGCGCGCCACGCGCTCCTCCACTAACGCGTCGTTTGTGGCGCATTCGAACGAACAGAACGGGGGCGCGCACGGCGCGCTTACGTGCCGCGGTTCTGCCGTCACAGCCGCCGGCGGTCGTGAAAGTTGTGCTTGCCGCGCGACCTCCAAGGCGCCCTGCCGCCGGTACTCGACGCCCGACACGCTCACGCGGTTCACGCCGACGCCGCCGCCGTCCATCTCGATCCGCATCGCGCTCGTCAGCATCCGCACGACGCAGTCCCTCCCCACGCATCCCTCGCCGCCCTTGAGGTCGTGCTTCGCCGCGAAGGCGTCCGCGATGTGTTCGAGGTCGTCGCCCTCCCTAAAAGTGAGGTAGGCCGGCCCCTGCTCCAGCTCGAGCCGGATCTCGTGCGCAGCGGTGGACACCGCGGCGAGCAGCCGCAGCAGGCGGGCCGTGCGGTGCATCGCGCACGTGTGCGGCCACCGGTGCGCGCGTTTGGGCAGCCTCGCGCGGCGCCGCGATAACCAGCTAGCGGCTGTAAGACACTAGCAAGCACTGCGAGGTGCAGGCATCGATAGCGCCTCACAGGACGCGCCAATCCACACCAAAAACCATATTCGTCAAGGCAATCAGTGTGTGCCACTTGCTACAAAATATTAGCCCCAACCGAGCAGCAGCGCCGGAGAATAGCTCTTGCATCAATTGGCTCTGCCGAGCAATTACTCCGCGCACGATGCGGCTTGCACTGTGCATCGCAGCTCTCCACGTCGCCGCGGGCCTCGCGCCGCCGCTCGCGACGAATAACAACCGGAGGATCGCGCCAAATAACAAGCGGCGGGTCGCCGCGCGCGCCACAATCGAAGCCGCAGAGTGGGACGCGACTGATGACGCCGCGACACTAAAAGAGAGGCGCGAGGCGTTCCGGACTGATATCTGGAGGAAGCGGCCCCTCCTCGTCCGAAATGCTGTTGATGCCGAGGTGTTGCGCGCCGCCGGCGACGTCGACGACGTCGCGGGCCTCGCGTGCGAGCCGGACGTGGCGTCGCGCCTTGTCGACGCCGCGCTGCGCGTGACAACAGGGCCCTTCGACGAAGATCAACTAGGGGCGCTGCCCGAGGACGAATCTTGGAGCTTGCTGATCAACGACGCGGACCGTTGCCTGCCCGCGCTATCGAATCTCTGGCCCGACGTCCTCCATCAAATTTGGGGCGATAATGGAGGCTGGCGCTGGCGCCGCGACGACGTCATGGCCTCCGTCGCTTCCGACGGCGGCGGCGTCGGTCCTCATGTGGACAGCTCGGACGTCTTTCTACTCCAGGCGTCCGGTAGGAGGCGCTGGAGCGTCCAGCTCGAGTACGTCGACGAGGCGGCGCAGTCGGACGCGGCGGGAGTCTGTCGGACGCTGCCTGATTTTAAGGCCGACGCGGCGTGGGTCCTCGAGCCCGGCGATTTATTATATGTGCCCCCATACATCCCGCACGAGGGCGTGGCGCTCGGCGGCGCCGAGGTCTGCTCCACGTTATCGTTCGGGCTCCGCACTTATGATTCGAAACAGCTCGCCGCGCGATGGGTCGAGGACGAGCTTCTTGGGGGGACGGCGGCGCTCGTCGCCGCGCCCTTGACTGGAGACGCGGCGACGGTGGGCGCCGAGGACGTCGCTGTCGTGAGGGACGCCGTCCGGACCGCGCTGCGGGACGCGTTGGACGACGACGCCGCGTTCGCCCGCTTCCTCGGGGCGCTGGTGACGGAGCCGCGGGCGCCGCCGGTCGCGGACGACGACGACGACGACTGCTGGCGCGACGCCGTGGCCGAGGCCGCGGGCGGCGTCCGCGTCGAGTCGTTCGACGCCGCCGACGCCGTCTGCCGCGGGCCCGGCGCGCGCCTGGCGCGGGTCGGCGCCACGCAGCTCTGCGCGGGCGGCGTCTGCCGGGAGGTGCCCGCGGACGTCGCGTCGACGCTTGCTGGTTCCGATGAGATTCCTGTCGAGGACCTCGCCGCGTGTCCGCGGGGGCTGCTCGAGGAGCTCGCGGAGGCGGGGGATCTGGTGTTTGTGGCTTTTGAGTCCTGATCCTCCTCCTCGGGATTCTTAAGTTAGTTGTGTTTTTTTGGTCTTGCAAAACGGGTTTTTCCAGCAAATTTTGCAGCGCTTGCAAAGCGTATCGCGCGCCAGCGACACGCGCAGGACGACGATTAGAGACGGCGGCTGTCGACGCGAACGCCCGTGACGTCGCGAAGCGCTGATCCACACAAGTTTAACTTAAGCCTCCAAGCTTGCAAGCAGGAGAAAAAGGGCATCATACTTCATGGGACGGCGCGGCCGTAAAAAGGGTGTATTCCAGGACGTTTCTGGTGGTCCGAGTTGGGAGAGAAGAACCTCAAACAAGTTCACTGAAGTCCTCGGACAAAAACAAGGGCAGCTGAGAGAACGGAGAGAGCGCCTTGCTTACGATACGGCTCTCACGAAAAGCGTCCTCGCGATCATCGGCATTGCGCTCGTCGCGTTGTTGTTATGGCTAGACCACAAGGGCTATTAACGATGAAGCTCCTCGTCGTCTCGCTGGTCGCGGCGGCAAGCGCCTCGTCGAATCACACGGCCGTGTACGGCGTCCACCCGCCGGGCCTCGGAGCCGGCGTCTTCAGCGGTCTCAGCAACATGCAGCAATGCCTCTTCGCGCTCGTTTTGGACGCCAAGCGCCATCCCGGCGGCGGCGCGGCGATCTCGCTGCCGTCGCTGCGGTGGCGGGGCTCGTGGTCGAAGGCAGCTAGCGGGTCGAGATATGTACCGCACGAGCAAGTGTGGAGTCTAGACGGGTGGTCCTCACAGCTGCCGCCGCTCGTCGACGCTCTTCCGACCATTGTCGACGGCAACAAATTCCGCACCGAGCCGCTGTTCCGCAAATACAACCAATACATCTCGCTGCTGCGCAAGCGGCCGAGATACGCCCGCGACGCCGCCGACGAAGCGCTGGACGCCTCCTTCGTGCCGACGGCGCCGATTCTCGCCCGCGCGGACCGCCTCGCGACCGAGCTGGGCCTCACGAACAACAACTACGGCTGCCTCCACGCGCGCATGGAGAAGGATTTGTAATTCCGGCGTCGATGGCGTCGAGCGCATACGACGCGTCACGGACTCATCTCGCAGGTATCGAAACTTCATGGGGCATAAGATGCGGTCCCTCGGCCTCCTCAACTTCGCGCGCCTGGCGCGGGGGCTGCGGCAGCGCACGGAACTCTCCGGCGTCGACAGGGTCTTCGTCGCCATCGACGCGGCGCACATAACCAACGACACGCGGAAGGGCCTGGGCCGCGGCGCGTGGCGCGGCGTGCCTTTTGTCTACAAGCGGCCGATCAGCCCCGAGGCCAAAGGGCCGTCGAGCCCCGTCGAGAACACGCTGTTGGCCGACGCGATCGTCGACCGGACATTGTGCGTCCGAGCGAAGTGGTTCGTGGGCTGGCCGGGCTCGACGTTCAGCAATCAAATAACGCTCTCGCGCCACTACGCGCTCGGGACGAACGCGTCGAACAACTACTACTACAACGCTCGCGGCGTGTTCCCGCGCCTCGACGACGGACGGTTGATCCGGGACGCGTACGACCGGCGCGAGCGGCCCGGTAAGAAACGACGGGGGCCGGAATCGCCCGCGGACTGGCGCCGCGGGCCTCGGCGGAGACCTAACCTTGAGTCTGCATGAGTAATTGGAGTAGATACTATGAATGAAAAACCCGTTTTGAGAGTACTCAGTGCACGCTCTCCGAGCAATTCGAGCAATTACTCGCCTCCAGACCATTGGCGGCTAAGGTGCTTGGTCAGACACTGTTCTCAGGCCAGAAGAGTGTGACCTTGGACCGCTGCGACGAGGAAATGCGCCACACGAGGCTACTGGCAGTCCTGCTCCCCCAACTCTGCAGCATAGCAGCAGGCCTCGTCGCGACGACAAGTCGACGAAGAGGTCACGTAGCATGCCGAGCCAGCGCCGACGACGAATTCGTGCGGAACGCCTGGGCGACGTGCAAAGCGAACCTGCCCGCGATCGTCACGGGCGCGTGGGACGAGTCCGCGGGCGACGACGAGCCGGGCGGCGCGCTGGCGAACCTCGCGCTCGTCCGGCTCCCGCTCCTCGCGCTCCTGGCGTACTACACGCAGTACCTCGCGCTCGACGGGTCGCCGCTGATCGTCGACTTCGGCTTCGACGACGTGCCCCAGGTCGTCCCGCCGGGCGTCGTCTGGACGATCTTCGGGCTGCTGCTCCTGCCGATCTTGTAATGTGTCTTCTTATGTATACCTATCGTGCCCGCCCCTTCATCGGCGAAGTGATGGAGCGCCGCTTGACGGGCGTGATCGGCGCGCCGACGACCTCCCGCGCGAGCGGCAGCGCGAGGCCCCCGAGCGGGTTCACGTCGACGCGCCGCTCGCCGAGGATCATGACGTCGACGCGGAACCGCACGCAGTCGTCCACGACGAGTCCCGGGTGCCCGTTGCCCGCCGCGAGCCAGACGCGCGGCACGAGGCGCGCCGAGCCCCAGTTCGTCACGACGCCCTGGTCGAGGCGCGCCGTCGCGCCGAGCAGCGCGAGGCCGGACCGCCACGCGACGTCGGGCCCGCCGCGCTGGTCCACGACGGACAGGCGCAGCCGCAGCTCGAGGCACGGCCGGTCGCCCGTATAGCGCAGGTAGGCGCCGACCGACGCCCTGCCGTCCTCGCGGAAGCCGCCGGGGTAGAGGTCGATATTAAATGCATGGCCGCCCCGCTCGAAATCCATGGAAACGACCCGCGCCCGGAACGGCCGCTCCCGCACGGACTTCCAGTCGCCGACGTCCCAGAAGAAGGGCGCCTCCCAGTGTTGACCCGCGATGCGCCGGCGGTTCCGCGCGTAGCCCCTTAGCCGAAAGGCGTCGAGCGACCACGCGCCGACGGACCGCGCCCACCGTCGGAGCGACACGCGTAGGAAGCTCTTGGCTTCGCTCCGTTTGCGGTGGAGGTAGCCGGGCGCCTTCGCGGGGCGCTGGCGCGGCGGCCGCTTTATCGTAACGTCTTTCATTGTTGCGCGCGGCGGCGTGCGCGGCGGCGTGACGCAGCGCGGCGGCGGCGCCCCGGTCACCTCGTCGATCTCGCAGGACACGCGCGGGACGGGCTTCTCCGCGGCGGTCAGGGCCGAGAGCTCCTGACCCATGGTGCTTTCCCGCTATGGCGTTAGGCTGTCGCGGCGGCGCGACGCGTCCGAGAGGGCAGCGTGCTTTTCCGCTATGGCGTTAGGCTGTCGCGGCGGCGCGACGCGTCCGAGAGGGCAGCCCGCGGTGATGAAACGGTGCGAACGGCCCTGTTCGCGGCAGCCCCTGCAGCCGGGCGCTTCGACCGGCGGTCACACGGCGTTTGATCGTCGCCTCTCTGTAGCGCCACGCTCGACATCTCGATTGGAGGGTGGGGGTGAAGCAAGGCTCGGATCCGCGACGCAGCCCTCTCCGGGAGGTCTCGTGGGGCTGGAGCCACGCCTCGGACGCGAACGAAACGAGGCGCCCCCGGGCGGGGCGCTGGGCAGGCAAAGAGATCGACGGCTCAGCGCGGCAGACATCGATCGGGCCGCAGCGCGCGAGAAACGCTGCCCCACGCTCGGCAGTGACCGGAACGTCGCGAGCAGCACGCACGCGCCGCGACCAGTCAGCAGCCGTCGCGCAGGGCTGCCCACAGCAAGCACACCCCAGCGCCAGCAGCCGTCGTGCAGGGACAGCACGCCCGTGCCGCGACCAGCCAGCAGCCACAGCAGCCACACCCGTGCCGCGACGAGCCAGCAGCCCTCGTCAAAGATGATGGACCCCATGGCCAACCTCGACATGGAGAAGAAGATGGGCTTCGGCATGAAGGACGTCGACGAATTCCTCGAGAAGGCGAAAGAAGTAGAACAAAAGATCAACGACATCAAGTCCGGGAAGATTTCGGTGGAGCAATTGGAGCGGGAGCGCGAACAGGAAGAACGGGAGAAGGCCGAGGCGGCGGCGGCGAAGGCGAAGCGTTTAGCTGACATCGAACGAAGAAGGATAGAACGAGAAGCTAAGGAGAAGGTCGAAGAACATGCAAGGTGGTGGGAGGGCGCCGACGTGCTCTACCCTATTGATAATGATGAAGTGTTAGATGATTCCGTGCAGAACCATGACGGGGAAACGGCTCAAGATATAGCAATGAGGAAGTACGAAAACGACTACGGGAGGTGGTCGACGTGGACGCCGAGCGACCCCGCTTCACTGGAAGAGCAGCAGGAGTTGGAGCGGAAGAAGACGGAGAAGGAGAACGCGGAATTTGAAAAAAATAACAAGGATTTTTGTGATAATTTCATTGCAGACCAGAAGAAACGGGAAAAAAGTAACGCCAAAAAGGACGAGACGGCCGGTGGGAAACGCTTGAAGGGGAATCGCTACTTCAAGGCCAAGAAATTCGACGAGGCCCTCAAGTTATATAGAGAAAGTCTGAGTGTGCGGCCGTATGAAAAGGCTACTTTACTCAATGTGGCCCAAGTTTACTTGAAAAAAAGAGCATGGGACGACGCGCTCGAGTTCTGCCATCGGGCGGTAAGGATAGGTAGAAGGGGCGGCGCGGACTTCCACGCCAAGGCTTTGTCTCGGAGGGCGACGGCGTATTCCTCGCGTAAGCATGCGGGGGATTTGCGGGAGGCCGTGAATGACTTGAAAAAGGCCATGGCACTACTCCAGGAGAGCGAGTCGAAGGCGTCGCAACAATCCTTGAGTTTGATAATGGCGCAGTTCGAGCAGGCGACGCAAGCGTTGCGGGACGAGGCGTCGGAGTCCATCGTCGAGGAGAAATTAGATAAATTACCACCGCCGCCGCCCAAGAAGACACAGGAGGAGGAGTCGGCCGAGTTACTCAAGCAGCTCCGGGAACTGTCGACGAAGGACGACCCTCTAGGCGAAATGCTGAAGGGTGACGGCGACGGCGACTCCTTAAGGGCGGTCGAGGATGCGATCAAAGAAGCATGTAGTGATGATGCATTGCCGAAATTAGCTGGGGCGCTGCGTTCTTCGCCAGACGCGCGCGTGCTGTGTAGGGTCCGGGGCGGCGTTTCCATGTTATTAAGGCGGCTCGGCGCCGAAGCGCCGAAGGATGCGGGCGCCATCGACCAAATAGAGACGGGCGGCTTCGATCTGGATGATGCAGTGAAGGTGGACGTGGACGCTCATACAAGGGAAGTGACGCGCGTCGAGGAAGCCAAGGCGGGCCTCGTCCTGTCCGCTTTGGCGGCGGCGGTGCGCGAGGAGCCCAAGTCCAAGGTTGTGGCTATCGACGGCGGCGCGCTGGCCATCGCCGTCAAGTACCTCGCCGACACGTCCGCGGGCTCGGCCGCGGAGGCGCGCGCCGCGGCCTGCGAGCTCTGCGCCGAGCTGGCCGGCGCCGACGGGTCGTCGCCGCAAGCCGTTCAAGCTTTACTGAAAAACGAAGCCATCCTGGCGCATTTGTCACGGTGCTGCGGCGCCGGCGCCGCCGCGTTTTCCAGCAAAGCGACCGCGGCCCTCCGCCTACCTAAAGCTGCGGGCGCCGCGCACGCGGCGCGGTGTTTGAGAGATCTTGCCGCCGTCAACCACGGTCCTCTATTATCTGTGGAGCCGTGTGTCGTCGAGACTCTAGGTGCGCTGATGAGAGGCGCGTCGAAGCTCAAGCCAACCCCACCAGGCGAAGATCTGTTGGGGGCCATCGGGAACCCGGATGTCCTGTGCAGCGCCATCGCCGGCGAGGCCGTGGGCTACGCTTGTTTTGGATTGGCCCACCTCGCGAAGGACGACAAAGCCCGGAAACGTTTTGGGGTGGCCGTCACGGGGGACGCGAAGGCGACGCCGATTGGCGTCTGCGTGGCCGTCGCGGCCGACGCGAAGCATGCGACGGATACGCGCGGCGCCGCTTTAGTGGCCGCGGCGAACGCGTGCTTCGCGTGCGCCGAGGCGACCGCGGCGTGCGAGGCGGCCGGCGGCGTCGCCGAGACCTTCAAGCTTCTGAAGTCGACGTGTGATCATGAGGTCAAAGCTAGAGCGGCCGGGTTGCTGGCTCGATTAACAACGGCGCCCGGGTCGCGCGGGGCTGCCACTTTACGGAGCGCGCCGGGCGCGCCCGCGGCGCTGGCGCAGGCCGCGGCGGCGGCTGCCGCGAGGACGGATCAGTGGGCTTCGATCGAGCGCGACAACGTCGTGCGCGCGCTGGCCGGCGTGTTGCAGGGCAAGGACACGACGCCGGAGACGATAAACGAGTTCCTGAAAAGAAAGGGCTACGAGCTCGTCCTTGCGCAATTGCCGGAGCCGAAGCGCGACCTCGGCGCCATCACGGCGCAGAGCGTCTGCCAGACGCCGGCGAACCCGCCGTCCGCGAACTGCGCGGGGAACGCGGCGAAGATCGTCCTGAGCGCGCTGAACTCGTCCGACGCGGAGGTAAGGGGCGCCGTCGCGGACACGTTGATCAAACGGGAGGGCCTCGAGCGCTTGGTCTGCGCGCTGGCGAACTACAAGGAGATCACGGTCCGCAAGAACTGCGCCGTCACGCTGGCGAAGGCCATGGCCGCGCGGCCGGCGGCGAAGGAGCGCGTCCGCGAGCTGCGGGGCATCGAGATGATCACGACGCTGGGGGATAAGTTGACTTCTTAGTTATCTACTCCCCCCCGACGAGCGCCCCACAGAGCATCTCCGCGGGATCGTCGTCGTCGGGGGGCGGCGCGTCGTCGACGACCACAGACCGCGCGCGCGGGCCCGTCGACGCGTCCTCGACGATGACGGGCCGCGCCTGTGGTGGGCCCGTGGACGGGTCCCACAACGTTGCCGGGCCGTTTTCCTCGGGAGGCGGCGGCCGCGCGGGCGGGCTCTGCCGCGGCGACCGACGAGTCTCCGTCGTCGTCGGCACGCGCTCCGGAGGCCGCTCCGTGTGCGCCTCGACGAAGTCACGCACGAGCGCTGCCGACTCGTCGTCGGCCGAGAGCGACGCCGGTGATATGTGCTGCGCGAGGAACGCGGCCACGTCGGCGCGGCGAGCCACCAAACGGTCGCAGGCGTAGCTGCTTTTGACCTCATCTGGAGTCGGCGAGGCGGTCGCATCCCGTTGTGGCGGCGGTGAACTTGGTCGTTCAGCTTCGTCGGCATCGCTGAACAGGGCTGGATGCTCGGCGACACTTTCCTCGGCCTCCCTCACAAGTTCGGGCAGGATCGCGGCGTGGTCGTGTTGGCCCATCAACTTAAGAAGTTCGTCCTTGGGGAACGACAGCATCTCGCAGTCGTCGAGCGCGAGGATGTCGAGGCGCCACGTCTTATCCAGCACGCAGCCCGGCAGGCCGAACGTCGAATCGGGTCCCCACGTGTACCGCCTATCTCGATCCGCCGCTTCGTACGCGAGCAACTCATTATCAATGTCTCCGCCCAAGTCACTCAAGCCATGCTTGATGGTGTTCGGCGTCGCACATTTCGGCGTCTTCGAAGCGTGCTCAAAGGCCGCGAGGTCGCCCTTCACGACAAAGACCAGCGCCGAGGCAGACACGCCCGTCGCGCCGACAACTTCCAGAGGGGACGCGACGACCGACTTGAGCAGAGGGCACACGTCGGCGACGAACTTCATGGGCCTTCCCAAGAACCACGGTACTCGCTCGACCAAGTCCCTGCGCGTGTGGAGCACGAGGCGCCGTCGCAGCGGTTTTGATAGTGTTTCGATACACAGATCTACCTCAGGCTCGATATACTCCTGGCGCATTTTTTTGTCCCTTAGGCGTAGAAAGTGAAGTATGCGCTTCGCCAAATCCGGCGGCACTTCGTAGTCGTACAGGTAGTTCCGCATCGCCTTGGTGTGCGATAGCTTGTTAGGATCGCCGGCCATCGCCGTACCGATCGCCTGGATGAGCATCGCGTAACCGGACACTCCGGTGAAGATCACAACAATGGTGAAGATCTTCTCCTCGGTCGTGTTGGGCGAGATGTCGCCGTAGCCGACGGTCGAGAGGGTCATGACCGACCAGTACAAACACGTAATGTAGAGGTACCAATTCCCCCGGTGCCTGTGCGGAAATCAAATTTCAGGCGTGGGTCGACGCGACGTGGAGGTGAGTTCCACACAGTGCGGTGCGGGTGGAGCCCGTGGACCTGCATCCAGGTGCAGGCGCGCGCCGGCACGTCCGCCGTCGAGCACTCCTCCGAGAAGTCGTCGGCGCCCAGATAGAACCATATGCACGCGAAGACGTGGTTCACGACGAGCCCGAGCGTGCCCAGGATGACCAGCGTCGCCGCGTTGGGAGGGACATGGAGGTGTGTCGCCAGCTGGTTGATGACCTGTGCATAAATCAAATTCTCGGGGCGCGTCTCCACATCCGCTGGATCATGGCCTCCACGCCATCGACGCGACACCTGCTCGACGGCATGGACCCGACTCACTGGTTGAATTATGCACAGCTGATGACCTCGTCGAGCTTGTAGGCGCGCGTCAGCTTCGTCATCTTGAGCACGCGCAGCGCTTTTATTAAACGAGGCATCTTGAGCAGCTTCGTCAGCGGCGATGCGCCGCCCGACGCCCCCAGCACCAACGCAAAGGGAAATGTAGATATAGTGTCCACCCAAAAGAAGCACTGGAAGTACTCCGCCGCGATCCACTTGGGATTCGTGACCCAGCCCTCCTCGTTCTCGTAGGGCGAGCAAAAACTCAGGATGATGTCGACCGAGAACCACACTAACTGATACCAATCGAACCAGATGAAGTCCCCGACGTCCAGAAACGCGATGGAGAACGGGATGTAGAAGGCCAGCACGAGTAAGAGTAAAGCAGTGCAGCCGTCGAAGGCAGCTTTCCAGAACGCCATCGGTTCGATGACGTACCACTCCGTATCATTGTAGGCGCCCCACCACTGTTCTTTCCGCTTCTTGCGCAGGTCCTCGGGGTCCTCCGTGAGGACTACTGACACCATGGACGCCATGACTGCTCAGTTTCTACGCTCGGGCTGCCTTCTTGGCTGCAACCAGCTACTTTGTTGCTGTTAGGGGCGTTGTGGCAGCTGCCCCGCGATCGACGGGTGCGTGCAGCCCGAGCGACGGCTGCCCGCGGGCTTCTCGTGAGCTGTTTCGCTGCCGCTGCAACGATAGAGGGATGCGGGCACTGTTTCAGTGGTGCGCTCTCGTGCGGACGAGGAGCAGGACCCGCACGGCACGCCGCCGACGCGATCAAAACACACAACCTTACGCCCGATACCTAGATGTCCACGATGACGTACAGGTCGCACCGATCAGGCTTCTCGTGGATCTGCATTGCCGAATAGGTGATGGCTTTGACCTCCGTGCCTTGCGGATGTTTCTCCAAATCAAATTTCTCGCCCGTCGTTCTGACGGTGGCCTTGAAGATTGGTTCGCGCTGATGCACTTTAACGGAGACCGTCCGGCACGCAATATCGTCCCCAGTAAACGCGTACAACAACTCGTCCAGGAAGCGAAAGATGAACTTCTTCATGTCCGCGCCCTCGATTTCATGGGTTCTTGCGCCCTCTTCCGTCTCGTTTATAGACACAATTTCCGTCACGTAATCGAACAAGCAGCATCCTAATGCCTCCAATGCCTTCTCAAAATCTACCCCCCAGGCGTGGAACTGGACGTCCGCAGTGTGATCTAAATGCTCATAATCACCATGCATGACCTTCTTCGTGGCTTCTGCTACTTCGGGTCGTCCCCTGGCGTTGGCCGCCGCTCGCTGCGCGACGTTCGCCGCGACGGCCTCGGCGTTGGCTTTTGCTTTCTGCTCGAAGGCGGACACACTAGGTGTCGGGTCGCTCTTCTGGCGCTTGCGCCGCCGCGGCGGCAGGGGCTGCCAGCTGGGGGCGTCGGCCATGGCGGTACGACTGCGCGCAGTTCAGGAATGAGGGCAGCAGTGCGGCACTGATCCAGACACACGTACAATGCCGTAAACGAGCTCAGCGGAGCAGCAGTGCGGGGATAAGCTATGCGTGCCTGCTGCAGGTGCAAGTAATGCTAGCGCCTCTGTACGCTAGTTTAGTCGAGAGTCAGTACTTAGTAGATACTTAGTATAGCACGTGCCTAGGCGGCCGCCGCCGCCGCGTGCTTCTTCATGACCTCCTTCAGGAACTCGCGCTTGGAGAGGATGCGCCCGTCCGGCATCTTGACCTCGAAGTCGACGCCCGCCCAGATCGTGTAGGTCGTGTTGCGCTGGCACTGGTAGTGCGGGTTAAACACGTTCACGATCGAGATCGGCTCCGCGATGTCCTCGATGTCCAGCCCGGCGAAGACGAGCTGCGCGGCCGTCTCCATGACGCGGACGGTGTCCGACTGGCGGACCCACGACTCTTCCGACGATGCGAGTTGGTCCCACGACGAATTGTGGCGCGAAAGCGCCGCGAGCGCCGGTATCAGGTCGCCGATCTTGTGGAACTCGGTCCAGCGCGGCGCCCCCTCCGGCGCCGCGGGCTTCGCGAAGGAGATCTCGAACTCGAACGGCTTCGCCGCCGCCGCGAGCGCGTCCGCGCGCGATGCGAACACGGGCGTCGCCGTCGCGAGGGTCGGCGCCGCGAGGACGTCCGAGCCGCCGAGGGCGAGCGAGACGCCGCCCGAGACGACCGAGGACGCCGCACCGCCGTACGCGACGACCTCCAGCTCGCACGCCGCGACGCGCGGCGCCGCGAGCTCGGCCGAGCCGGCGCCGACGTCCGCGAGCGCCGCGAGCGTGAGCTGGTGGCTGCCGCCGAAGAAGGCGGCGTGGGCGGCGACGTAGAGCGCGCTCTTGCCCTTGTCGAAGAACGCCTGGTTCGTCGCCTGGCAGAGCTCGAGGAGGACGGCCGACGACGCGATAGTGATGCCGTTCGGGAAGTTGAGCTCGACCCAGCGCGGCAGGAGCGGGAGGTCCGCGACTCGCACCTCCATCGGAATCCAATCTAAAGGCAGACCCAAGCGCAGCGCGTCGAGCATCGTGAAGCCCGCCGTCCAGAACAGCTCCGCCCAGAAGTAGCGGCCGAAGACGCAGTAGTAGAGCGTCAAAGCCATCTTGTCGAACTTGAGGCGCCCCGCCACGAAGGCCCTCGCGAGCGCCAGTAAAAGGACCTTGAAGATGTAGAACTCACAGACACCCCCGCCAGTACGCGTCTTCTTCCGCTTCCGAGCGTCCGCCGCCCGCATCCTTTCATAAGCAGGGCCGCCCACGCACTCGTCGCTCGTAGGGTCGTATCGCATGAGTTCAAATTTCTCAAGGATCTCCCCGAGGCGACCCGTAGGGGTATGGGACCGTGACAGCGCGTCCAGCGCCGCCGCAGCGTCCGGCATACGAGGCGTCGCCTCGGCGTCGCGCACCACTTGCGAGATGAAGCCCGGCTCCCTTGGATCCAGACTTGGCTCCGCCACATCTGCAGCAATCGAAGACGCGCCATCTAAAGTCCTCAGACCGCGCGCCGTTCCGCTAATGTCGTCTCTATCAGCACCGCCAGAGCTATCAACGTCCGAACCGGCCGCCACTAATGAAGCAGCGAGTAGGCTTCTCGGCGGCGACACATCCTCCATCCGCGTGTCGTCGCCGCCCGCCACGACAGAAGCGTGTAATAAAGAAACGTCGTCGCCCAGCGCGGCGTCGCAGAGCAGCGCCCGTTCCGGGAGCGAGTCGTCGTTCGTCACGTCGCCGAGCACCAAGACGCAGCGCCGCGAGGCGAGGCGCCGCGCCGCGAGCCGCCGCCAGTGGCGCTCGGACGCGAGTTTAGCGAGCCAGGTGCGCAGCTGAAACGTCCGGGCGGCGTTCGTCAGGCAGCGGCTAACACTATCCTGCTCGCCGCGCTGCCACGTCTCGTTCGACGCCTCCGTCTTCAGCATTTCGTCGGCGACGGCGACGCCGAGGTCCTCTAGCTTCCTCTTGCCCATCGCCTCCTCGACGCAGGCGATTGCGGTCGCGCTGTCCGCGTCTTTGTCGCGCCAGTAGTGGTTGCACTCCCTGTGGCCCCAGGGCGCCTTGCCTTCGTTGTCCTTCTCGCCCGGCCGCAGCCAGTCGGGCGTAGTGACTTTGCGCTCCGACACGCGCCGCTTGCCGTCGTCCTCGGCCTTCTTGACCGTCCGCTCGTCCTTGCGGCGCTTCGCCTCATTATACGCCGCTTTGTCGCCGCCCCGCCGGTAGAACTCTTCACACGACATTAAATAAGTATTCGTCGCGGGGTCGTAGCGCGCCGCGATCTGGGCCTCGAAGTCGCTGTCGCCGAGCCACAGGCCCTCCTCCTTGAGCGTCGCGATCTCGGCCGTCCGCTCGGCTTCTCGCGCGGCTTCGGCCGGCGCCGCCTCGGCGGCCACGATCTTCTCCCTCATGTAGCCGTGCAATTGTCGCCGCGCGCTGTCCCCACCCTTGCCGCCGGCTTCTAGGAAGACGACTTGGGTCCCCAACTCCTCGAGCGACAGCTGCGTGCCATCAAAGAGCTCGGGGGCGTTCGACCAGTCCCACAGGGTCAGGTCCTTCGGGTCAGTCGGCATCGGCGACGCGACGCCGCCCTGCGCATCTTTAATCGCGTCTCCGTAAGCCTTCCACCGGTTGTCGCGTATGCGTATCTCCTTCTTGGTTAGCGTCTTCTGCTTCTTTTTTGGCGGCATTGCGGCGACGCGTCGGCTTGCTTCGTGAGCGGCAGCGGCGCAGCGGCGGTCGAGCGGCGGCGTCTCGACAGGTGTGACACGAATTGACGCAGCGGCGCCGGCGCAGCACCGGGGCGTCGGGGCGCTTCTTTCAGCTGGAGCGCGGCGCGCGTGAGCCGCGTGAGCCCGCGCTAGAGCGCTGGGACACCAGGGGCAAATGTGCTGTAAGCTGCAGCTACAGGCGCCCTCGGCCCGTAGTACTCGCTCACGATTTCGCCAGGTATCCGAACAGATGTATCGTTGCCTCAGCAGACGCAGCTGCGGCCCGTGTGGCTTGCGCGCTGTGTTCTTGTTGACAGGGAATGGTTCAGGTCTTTTGTGTCGGGTTTTTCGAGTTTTCGAGCAAGACGAGCGAAATTCGGCGAGAACGGCATTTACGGAAACAACATCACAATAAAATACATCAACTGCGGCCTGGTTGTCAGAGTCAAGCCGCGGCGGCGTGCTATCGATGTGCGCGTCGACGAGCCGCGTCCAACGTCTGCGCCCGGCGAAAGCCCGCGACGTCGTGGCCCACCGCGCGCGGTGGCTGCGCTGTCTATCGTGACCCCAGCGCGCGGCTCTTCCGCTGGAGCTCCAGCGGGAGCCCATGGGGCAGCATCTGATGAGACAGCACGCCAGGACTAGGCACGCCCGCGCCCGCGGCGCTGCGGCGATGGCGTCGAGGCGCCGTTGCGCCATTGTGCACGCCACGCGGCTGCCCCGCCGGCAGGCGTGTCGTGCAACGCTTTGCGCTGCGCTGCGCTTGGCCTGCCCTGTTTTGTTTTTTAGTGGACGCGACGTACGCGCGGCGGCATCAATCCCATGCTTTCGCATACCGCCGGGACGCCTAACATGGCGTAGCCGCCGGAAATTCGCTAATGTACCGCATGAGGGAAGCCGCATCTGGAGGCCGCGTCGCCGCGAAGCCCATGAAGTGGAGGGACCAGCCAAGCCGAGCCCGTCTACAACCCCTCCTACTACGAGGCCGTCGATGCGGAGCGGGACCAGAGTTGTCGGGGTTATTAAGTGAGATCTGTTAATTTCGCCTGAAGGGGGGCCTTCGTAACTAATTCCCCGCGCTCGGGTCACGCCTCACGTACACGACGTGGGACGCGAGGTACTCCTCCAACCCGTGCTTGCCGTCGGCGCCGCCAATTCCCGACTGGCGCATCCCAGCGTGGAAGCCCTGGATCGCCTCGAAGTTCTCGCGGTTCACGTACGTCTCGCCGAAGCGCAGCTCATTCTTGGCCCGCTCGGCGATGTCCACGTTCGTCGTGTAGATCGACGACGTGAGCCCGAACTTCGTGTCGCAGGCGAGCTGGAATGCTTCGTCCATCGTCTTGAACGTGAGCACGGGCAGGACGGGCCCGAAGACCTGTGTTAAATGAACCGTCACGAAGCCGCCGCCACTAAAGTAAACACGAAGACACATTGTTCCCGCTCAGAAACACACCTCCTCTTGCACGATCTCGTCGCTCTGCTTCACGTTCGTCAGGACCGTGGGCGCGAACCCATAGCCGACGTTCGTGAGAGGAGTTCCGCCGCACTCGACCTTCGCACCGGCCGCCACCGCACGGTCTAACATTCCTTTCACTTTGTCGAACTGTGCGGACGATACCAACCCACAGCAATCGACACCGTCGTCGGCGGGCGCGCCGACCTTGACGCCTATGTGAATACGCCGTGAGCAAGTCATCGGACACTGAGACGTACCCTCCATCGCCGCCACCAATTTCTGGAGGAAAGCCTCCTTCACCGACTCGTGGACATAAACCCGCTCACAGCAATTACAAACCTGGCCGCTGAAGCAGATGCGCGACGCGAGAACTCCCTTGACGGCGAGGTCCAAGTCGGCATCAGCACACACGATCGCCGGCGCCTTGCCGCCGAGCTCGAGGCTCACTTTGGTCATGTGCTCTGCCGCTGACTTCATGATTGATTTTCCGGTGGCCACGGAGCCCGTCATCGAGACCTGTGTGCAAATCAACCAGTGAGTCGCGGGTCGACGAATGATTCAGGAAATGACAAATGCAATTTTGATTTCCGCACGGACCGAGACGATGTCCACGAGCGGCGAGGACACGAGCGCCGCGCCAACCGTCGAGCCGAGACCCGTGATGACAGAATAAGTGCCCTTCGGCGGCAGCGCCGCGTCGTCGGATTCGGTCCACAACTCAGTAATCCGGGCACAAGTTAAAGGCGTGACCTCACTCGTCTTGACGACGCAAGTGTTCCCAGTGACGAGCGCCGGTGCGAGCTTCCGCGCCATCACAAACACTGGGAAATTCCAAGGACATATACCTACCGAGACGCCGAGCGGGATCTTGTGCAGGTAGATGTGCTCGTTGGGGTCCTGTTAAAATCAACCAGTGAGTTGGGTGCATTCGGCGACGACGCGCGTGAGGGACCAGCACCGTCACGCCATCGAGCAGACGTCGCGTCGATGGCGTAGGGGTCGACGCGAGGGTGCTGTGAATGTTGATTTCCGCACGGACCGAGACGTCGCTCGAGATGATCTCGCCGGCCTCGTAGATGCGCGCCCAGCCCGCGTAGTAGTCGAAGTATTCCTGCGCGGGACGGAACCGTCACGATGGCTCACGATGGCGGAGGTGGTGTCGGTCCCACCGTCACGCCATCGTCGCGCCCATCGTGAGTCGACCCCCCTCGCAGGACGCCGTATCATACCGCCGTAAAATCTATCTCGACCTGGGCCAGGCCCGCGACCTTGGCCTGCTCCGAGGCGAGGAGCTCGGCGAGCTCGACGCGGTTCGCCCGGATGACGCGGGCCATGGCCTTCAGGGCTTCGCCCCGCGCGGCCGGGGCGGTCTTGGCCCAGGCCGGCTGCGCCTGCTTCGCCGCGAGGAGCGCGGCGTGGGCGTCGGCCTCCGTGCCCTCCGGCACGCGACCGATGAGCGCGCCCGTCGTCGGGTCCTCGACGTCGATGGTGCCCGCTCCTGAAGAGGCCACCCACGTGCCGCCGACGCACTGCTTCAGCGGCGCCGCGCGCAGCGCCGTCGACTTTTGCGTGGGCTTCTGCGTGTAGTGGCTGAAGGCCAGTGATGTTGGCGCCAGCGTGGCGCCAGCCAATGCGAGCTTGCGGAGCCAGAGAGATGACATTGTGCTGGGCGAGCTGGTGCGAGATTCCGCCGGGCAGTGGCGCGCTGCAAATAGTGCTCCTAGAACGCCTCCTTTGTAGCAATAAGTACGCTGCAGCGATCAGAGCCGCGGATCTAAGTGACAGGCTGGGATCGCGCGAAACCCGTACGCTTGGCCGTGTTCCTCCCTCAGCAGTTCTGTCAACTGCTCTCGCACGAATACAACACCCAAGCATCCGCGGTCGAAGGGTCCGACGCATGCTCAAAATTAGAGCTCCCAGGCATGTTATTAGACCCAGCCTCTCTGTTCAGCGCCGTCACCTAGTGCTGAACCGTGCAAGTAAGCTTATCGGGAGGCTACAGCCTGCCTACGATAACGCACAAATTGCCTCCAGCCTATTTGCCGTGCCGGCAGAGATAAGACCATAAAGGCACAGCTGTGCATCAAAGCTGTTTACGAAAGCAGCGGGGCTATATATAATTCTGTGACTCCGTAGAGACGTAGCCGCAGCCCAGCCACTGCTTGCATCGCAAAGGCGCCTCGCGAGGAAGCGGTAAAAAAAGAGCCGCGGGCCGAAACCTCTCGACCCCGACACACAAGCTAGCAAAAATGGAGGAGCCCACCTCCGAGGAGTCCGTGCCGGAACAGGACGCGCCTCAACAAAGACCCACGGAGCCGCCGCGCGCGCTGCTGCCCGAGTTCCTCCACCAGGGCGGCGCTTCACAAAAACTCGCGCCCGAGCAACGAAAACAACTCGTCGCGAGCGGCGGCACGTCGAGACTCGAATCAGTCAACTACGGCGACGCCATCCTGACGGACAACTGGCCGAGGGACGGGCTGTTACTAGCTAGATCCACAGTAGCGGAGAAGATAGTGGTCGAACAATATAAAATAGACCGCCTGAAAATCCTGGAGGAGAACACGTGCCAGCAGTGGTGGCCCGCGCGCGCCATTGCTGTTGAGGAATACCTGGAGTACTACGCATCCACTCCAGCTAGGTTTCGGCCGAAAGTGGATGCTGTGGCTGTGGTCTTCCTGAATCCCTGGTGGTCGGCAGAAGTGAAGGACAACGCCGGGGAATCACGCATGTTCGAGCTCGAAGCCGTGGAAGCGAAGGCGACCCATGCTAAACCGCTACCTTTGACATATGACCCTCCGGAGGCACCACAACCCATCAAGGAAGCCGTAGCGACGGCGCACGCCGACGCCGTCGCTCTAGCATCAGCCCTGAAACAGTTCGCGGCGAAGCACATCGACCCCATTGAGAATGGAGACGCCTGGCCCCGAAGGGCGGCTAGACTGAAAGCGGCGTTCGAGGCCACGAAACCCGCACCTCGCGAAAGAAGGCAGGGCCCGCCGGGAGACGTCTCTACCGCGCATCTAGATGTCGCTTGCTACCCGCCGCACGTGTTGCAACTGCCCTGGCGGAAGGTCGTCGACGCGGCTCGAGCTAGAGGTAGATCACTGGATCTAGATGATTTACCAGAACCCTTCTCGTCGACCTTCAACAAGCAAGCCCTCGAGTACGCGCAGCGTCCGAAGACGCCGGTGGTCTTGGAAGAGCCGGCCGCGACGTCGCGGAAGCGAGGCGGCGAAAAGAAGTCGCCCGTGCGGGCGCCGCCATCAGATCCGCCGGATCCGCAACGCGTGCGCGCGGCCTTCGCGGCGAAGGCGTCGAATTTCGACGAGGGGAGCTTCCTCGAGGCCATCGGCGCGCCTGCGGCCGAGGCTCCGGACGTCAAGCCCGCGCTGCCGGCGATCCCGCCGCCGCCGCCCGCGCCCACACCGGCTGAGTCGCCCAAGCCCGCCGCGCGGTCGCCGCCCAAGCCGCCGGCCGCCGAGAAGCCGGCCGAGAAGGCGAACGGCCAGTCACCGGCCGAGACGGCGCGCTCGCCGCCAAAGGCCGAAGACGCGCCGAAGCCGGCCCGCCGCCGCTCGTCGTCCGGGGGATCCGACAAGAAGGCCCCGCCGAAGAAAGCGAGAAGAGCCTCGGAAGACAAAAAGCCCGAGCTGGCGTCCGCGCCAGCCTCGGCGCCGTACCGGTCGAAGGGCAAGGACCGCCCCAAAACTACGCCGGAGGAGAAGCCCCGGTTTGCGATTGGTGATTTAGTGGAAGTAGCACCTCGCACGCACCCCGGCGTCAACTTCCCCGGCGGCGCGGCGACGATTCGCGAGATCCACGACGAACGATTAGTCGACCAGGGCCCCATGCGCGACGGTTCTGAAAAAAGGACCACGGGCTTCACGTACGCCGTCAAGTACGTCCTTGGTGGGAGTGAGAAGCGCGTCGACGCGCAGCACATCTCAAAATCGGTAGATAACGGTGGAAGGCGGTCGTCGTCGCCTCGCGCGTCCGAGGAGAGCGCCCTCCCGCCCAAGAAACGACGGTCCGCCGAGAAGCTGAACAAGGAACCACCTAAAAAAAGACCGCCTCCACCCAAGACCGAGCCTCCCAAGAAAAAGCCGGCGCCCCCGAGGCCTTCTGACGACGTCGAGCGGCGCGCGCGCGCGACGGCGCGGCAAGAAGCGGCTGCCGCCAAAGCAGCGGCCTACGAGAAGATCCGCGCCGAGGAGATTGCTAGAGTTGGGATCAAACCAGCATCACCTAGACCTCATGAGACGGCGAAGAGCCCGCCTCGGGAACCGGTCCAGAAGGCGCCGAAGAAACGACGAGAAAGGCGTCCTAGAGAACCTTTTGAAGATACCATTGATGATGAATTTTCTGGACTCAGTTCTTCGCAATTAAGAGAAGCCATGCAGTCGCGCGGCATTGGAAGGGGCGCGTACGACACGCCCCAGGACTTCCTGCGGAAACTGCGAGCCCACAAGAAGCGCCAGGACCCCTTCGCCTCCGATAGCGACGACGCCCTGCCCCCGAAGTGTGATAAATGTGATGGCCCTCACCTCACGGACGACTGTCCGCACTTCCCGAGGGAACGGGACCCGTCGCCGGAGCCCGGCGCGAACCCCTTCAATCCGTTCAAGCGGAAGAAGGTTCCCTCCAAAGAAGAGTCTTCCTCGTCTGATGAGAAAGAAGAGGAGCCGAGACGGGGGCCGGGCCGGCCGGGCAAGGACGAGAAGCCGAGGCCGCCTCTCAAGAAGCGGCAGCGGTCGCCGCCCAAACAAGAGGAGGAGGACGAGGAGGAGGAGACGCTGACGTGTCGCAAGGGGTGTGGTAGAGTTTTCTCTCATCCTCCTGCTCGAGTCGCGCACGAAAAAAGTTGTAGAGGGAAGCTTGATAGTTCTAGAGCGGCACGAGCGCGCGCTAGAGCGTCATCCGACGACGCCGACGACGAGGACGAGCCGCCGCGAAGCCCGCCGCCCAGGAAGACTAGAGCTGGCTCCGCGACCGAGCCGCCGCCGCGACGGACGCCGCGAGCTTTATCACCGAGAGGCGCCGCTTCGATAAGATCCCCGCAGAAGGACGGCAAGGTCCTCCCGGAGCCGCGCCGCGTGCGCGTCAAGCCCGAATCGTGGCATCAAGCGGCCGACGAGGACCAATTTTTCGACGCGGAGAATTTTGATAGATGGTCGGACCGGGGCGCTCCTACCTTACAGATTCCCTCTGAAGCTCCGGTCGATGTGGGGCGGGCCTTGGCTTACTTGCGGGAAGGTGATGCATCTGATTTATGTGGTGCTCGAGCTTCCGAGGCTTCTAAGAGTACGAAGAAGGCCCTCAAGGCGTGCAAGGGGGCTGATGGACAACGAGCGTCTGTTGCTAGAGAGCTGTGGCTCTATTTAGCGGCGCGGGCTGGACGTAGAGGCTCCTCTACAAGTTGTGCTTCTCTGTCGGACGCGGCGGCCGAGAGGGACGTCGCGGCAGCTCTACAAGACCTGGAGGTCGTGACGCTGGCGGCGGCGGCGGCCGGCGCTAGGGCTTGTTCGCGCGCCAAGGCGCCGAAGAAGCCGTCCAAGTCGCAGAATGTTGGGCCCATGGCGCAGGGGTCCGATGATCCCATGAGTGAATCCTCTTCCGATTCTTCTGATGATGAAGGTGACGATGTGGAGCTGAAGAAGCGCCTCGTCAAGTGTCGCAGTGAAAGAGCCGCGGCGCTGGAAGCGTTGGAGCGCGTCGATGGGTTGGTGCAGGGGTTGTTAGATAGGGACGACGCTTTGTTAAGAAGGACATGTGCGAACGCGGCCACGGACAAGGTCGATCGGGACGTCGTCGCGCGGCGCGCCGCGCGCAATAGAGATCAGGACGCCAAGGCGGCGGCCGAAAGAGGCGCCAAGGAGGCCCAGCGCGCGTTGGACGACGCGCGCGCCGCGCGGCGGGAAGTGCAAGTTACAAGGGACGCGTGGCTGACGCATCGGAATAGGACTCGAAGGCGCATGCTTGCGGGCGTCGCGCGGGTCACGTCTTCTGATGAATATTCTTGGGACGCTCCTGGTGCCCCTAGAACACTATGTGTCTACGACCGGCGGTGCCGCTTACATAGCACGAAGCCGCACTGCGTCGAGCAGGCGCGAAGGGCCGTGGCCGCTGCTGCTGTCGTCGAAGCGCGAGCCAGAAGGTGTTCGAACAAGCTCTGGGTCGAGCGCACGGTGCACGGGTCTTATCTCCAGCGAGCGGCGTCGTCGCTAGCGTACGCCCACACTCGGAGCTACGTGGGCGCGGTCCGGCAGCGCTGCCTCGACCTCGCGACGGAGGCCACGATGATCTTCGGCGGCGAGGACGAAGACACGTGCGGCAATCGAGATACCTGGGGCGCGGCCATCGCCGCGTCCGCTGCCGTGATCCAAGCGGTAGATGCTGTCCTCAGTGGAGAAGCTAGAAACGCTTTGTGTGCTGTAAGACCACCAGGACACCACGCCGGCGCGTCGATCAATTCCTTGGGGGCGCCGGGCAACGGTTATTGTTTACTGAATCACGCCGCGCTCGGAGCGAAGCACGCGGCGCACGAGCGGGGGCTGAAGCGCGTGGCGGTCTTCGACTTCGATGTGCACCACGGCAACGGCACGGAGGACATTTTGGCAAGGACCTTCGACCCGCGGTTCATGTATTTGAGTTTACATGCCACCGGGGAGGACGTCTTTCCTGGGAGCGGCAGAAGAGCGAGGCCGGACCATCCTGGTGTGTTGAACGCGCCCCATCGCGCGGAAAAGGTGGTCACGACGGAGTGGGTGCTCGAGGAGGCGCTGCCGCGCATCCTGAACGCTTTGGACGCTTTTAGACCGGACCTGTTGATTTTATCCTCTGGTTTTGACGCCCATAAACGGGACCCCGTCGACTTGGGTCGGTTGGACGCGGCGGACTACGGCGTATTGACGCGGCGACTCGTGGACTGGGCGGAGCGCAAGTGCTGCGGGCGATTAGTTTCTGTGCTCGAAGGGGGTTACGGTGTCGACTGCGGTCCCGGTGGCGAATACGTCACGTCTGGTAGGAAGGAGGCCTTCGACACGTGTTTACGGGCGCACGTCGACGAGCTGGCGGGCGCCTTTGTCGAAGCCGACGTCGACGAGGACGCCGATCTGCGCGAGGAGGCCGACGCGATCCGGGCGGCGGACGCGGCCGCCGCCGCCGCCGCGGCAAACTCTATCCGGGCCCACAAGGCCGCGGCGGACGCGTTCTTCCGGGACCCGCCGGGCGAGGACGAGCCGTCGGACGACGCGCCGCGCCTGACCGCGTCCGCCTTGTCGGGTCTCGGCCGCGACGGCGACCAGGACCGCGTGGACATGTTGCTGGACAAGGAGTGATCGTGTTGCATTATTTCCCCCTTCCCTTGTGCCCCCGACGTCTAAGTGTGACCGGGTTGACCACTTCCTAGTTTACCCCGTCCCAGACGACGACGTTTCGCGGGCGCGGAGCGCTGCTCGGGACTCTTGCAGTTCCCGCTCAGTCTCCTCTGTCATCGGGTGCGCTCCACCGAGCACGCGCCGCGCGATGCGTTCCATGTCCTCGAGCGTCGTCACGGCCTCGCGGAGATCGTTGAGCGTGGCGGTGGGGTCCTTGTAGAGCGAGTCCGCGTAAATTTTCTTCATCTTGAGTGTGAGTCTATGCCCTTCTCCGAGCACGCGGCGGGTCACGGGCATCGTTTTGCGCAGAAGTGACTTGGCTTCTTCGAAGCGCAGCAGATCGCGAAGGGACACCGCGTAATTGTTGGCTGCTACGAGGGTTAACTCATGTACTTTTCCGTGGAGCTTCAAATGTCCGGAGTAAATTGCCTTCCGTAAACGCATGGCCTCGTCTCCCCGTCCTATAGCTTCATACGTGCACGCAAGGTTGCTCTGCACGGCGAGAATGTCAACCTCTTGTCCGCCAAATCGCATCAGTATAGATAACTCGGCCCTTTCCGCGGACAACGCGTCCGCGTATGCGCCTATTTCGAATAGGCCGTTCCCAAGCAGCCTCATCGCGCTGAACTTAAGTCTATCCGTCTGCGCCATCGAGCGCACACTCTATGTGTCGGAGCTATTTCCCGCTCGACAGAGTGCGCCTTCAGCGTGCCCTGGCTACATTGGGAATTGCCTATGCAACGAACGGTAGAGAAGAGGAGGCGATCCGGGTACAACGGGAGCTCGCCGCAAGCCCTCCGGCTGAAGTCTGCAATCACAGATCACACTCGGGGGCTTCCGGGGCGACGAATCTCGCTCTGACGCTCCTCTCGACCGGCCGCATGGCCGAGGCGAAGAAGCTCCTGCGCGACGAAATCCCGAAGGCCAAAGCGTCCATTGGCTACGAGAACCAGCAGACGCTGAACATGGTCGCGGTCTACGCGAAGGCCCTCTACATGGACAGGGGCAATATTTCTGAACTTATGGAAGCGTCGATGGTGCTCGAGGACGCCGAGAAGGTTGCGCGCCGCGTCCTCGGCCCCGCGCATCCGCTGACGGTGGAGATGGGCAACGACATCAAACGGGTCGGCGAGCGCATGAACGAGCTTGCAGAGCTCGCGATCGCTCACTCCAAGAATCCGTCGAGCTCCGCCGGGCGGGCGGTGAAAACTTTCTCCTTGGATCAGCTGTCTGGTCTTATTGACAAGCTGGCGATGGACAGCCCCGCCTTGAAGAAATAAGTAGCTTATAAACACAAGAACTTTAGACTTCTGTCCATCGTCGGGCCCGCACGCACAGTCAATGCGCGCGCGGACCGTCATATCAGGAGGAGGCCAGGCACAGATCACGGGTCGAGCGCGGCGACGACGGCGTCGATCTCGGCGCCGATCTCGACGCGATTCACGAGGCCTGCAGACAGCTCCGGAGCGAGCGCCGCCGCGCCGGCCTCCGCGCCGAGGAGGGCACCAAGAACGGCACCGGTGTGCACGTTCTCGCCGCCGCGGTTCGCGTTCGCGAGCAGAGCGCTCCAGACGTCTCCTCCGCCGTTCTTCGCGGCCGCGAGGACGTTCGGGACGCTCTGCTCGAGGTATCAGCTCACCATCGTCGGCTGGCGCGGCACGCGCATGCCGAGCGCCGACGCCATGGCGTCCGCTCGCGACGCCGCCGACCCGACGCCGTGGATCGCCCCGTGCATCGCGTCCCCCAACGCCGCCGCGGCCGTCGCGAGCGGTCTTGACGCCCGCGTCGTCGCCGCGACCGCCACGGCCGCGTCGCGCGCAGCCGCCTTCCCCTCAGCACCTGGCCCGCCCTTATAAGCGGCGCAGGCCGCGGCCACGGACGGCAACACCAAACCATCAATAGTGTCAACGTTGTGCGCGTCGTTGTCCGGGCAGTCCTTCACCGGCTTCTGTTTGTGAAACAAATTGGCGAAGAACATGCGGTGCGCAGTCGACGCGTAGGAGTCGTTGTGCGAGCCCGGCGTCTGCATGAACTTTACGTACTGGTCCCGGAAGGCGTCGGCCTCGACGGACTTCGTTGAAGCCACGGTGCGCAGTAAGACGCGCACGAGCGACGCCTCGAGAGTTTCTTCACCGGCCCTTAAGGTGGCGTGGTAGTGGTGCGACTTCGCCGGGTCCCAGTACGGCTTCTTGCCATGATTAATCACGCCGCCGATCACGGTCTTCCGATTGGCGTTGTAGCTGCCTCGTCCGGCGCCGTCCGTGTTGGACTTGGGCATGATGCTACCCATCATCGTTTCTCTGGGTTTCACGTAGCCGGTGATGGGTCCATTATAATCACCTTGGACCTGGCGCTCGCCGCCGTAGTACCAGTGCGTCGGGCTCGCGACCGCATCACCAGCAAACAAGCCCCACAGCGCGCCGCGCAGGCGGTCCGCCGCCATCGCGCAGCTCTCTCCTCTTGCGCGCGCGAGTGCTGCGGCCGCCAACGTGAATCGACGCATGCAACGTCGCCTGAGCTGCTACTTGCACGCTCAGATTCGACGCCTACGCACGATGCCGCCGCTGCGCGCACGCGTGCGTGGTTGTGAGAGCGTCAGGTGTACGAGTGCTTCCCAGCGTCAGTGCACGAGGACACGGCTGCACCAGACGCAGCCAATCCTGGGAGCACCCACGAGAGCACGCGTAGGCGCTCTCGATGCCGCACGACGCTGTGCCAGCTCTTTTTTGCAGCTCAGACTCAGGGCTAGCGGCATGTAAGACACTAGGAGCAAAACTCCAACCCCGCAGCCAGCCCTCCGAAGACCCACCGCCCGTCCAAGCAACCCTCGACAAGTCCGGAGCGAGAAGGCCGCGAGGACCCAGCGCCATCTCCCAGCGCCAGAGAGACTGCAGGTCAAGCGCGAGCTCGCAGGAAAAGGCTGCCCAAGATGCCGGTCAACTTCTTCCACCTCACGTCCGTCGCCACCGACGCGGCGGAAGCCGCATTGAACGAAGCGCCGTCGCCGGTCAATGACCAAAGACCCAGCACGGCCCCCTACAAGACCCTGGGCCAGGCCCTGGCCGCGCGGCCGGCGACGGCGCCGGCATCATCTACAGAACGACCGAAGACTCCGCAAGACCGACCGCAGACGGCCAGAGACAAGCGGCGGTTTGCCGACTCGATCCCGCGCATTCCCCTCGCGCCGACCTACCAGGGCGAGCGGCCGCCGCGACGCGTGCCCTGGGCGCTCGGGGCCGTGTTTACCACGGTCACAGATGAAGATTTAAAAAGATACAAGCAGAAACAGCGTAGTAGAAGAAGGGGCAAGAGCCTGCATACTATGTACGCCTTAGCAGTTAGAACCGCATTACTCATGAGGAAAGTACAAGATGCAAGACAGCGCCGCAAGGACGCCTTTCAGCGAGATTTAGCGCAGCGGCAGATCGCATCATCCTGGCGCAAGGACAATCCAGTTAAGAGAAGAAGAAAGCGCGCAGAAAAAATAATCCACGGCCCGGTGTTAGCGAGTCTAGGCAAGAACGCCCGTCTGGTGATTCGCACCCGGTCCGTCGATAGGATCAAATTTTTTCTGGGAGAAGCGCAGCACCTGCCGCCGTTCAAGCTTGTTATGGTCAAGTTCCGTGAGGAAATCAAGGTTCAACTTGTGCTTCAATTCGGGGTCTCTCGCGGTCGGAGGGAGGTGCTGCTCGCTCGACGCGGTCGAGCGTATCTCTCGGAGGTCGTGTCCAAGTTTGGGCCTCTCAGATGACCGCGGTGCCGAGATAGCGAGACGCGATAACCTGATTGATTTCCACACAGGTCAAGTTCCTCCACGCGGTCCGCAATTGTCAAAGGATCTGGCGGCACAAGCTGCGGCCGCATTTTGCTATGATTGAGGTCTTAGGGAGGGCCATGGACCGGGCCCAAGAAAGGCATCGCACGGACTTGATTTATTTTGGCAATTTAGTAAGGGCCGGTAAAGTGGATTTGGCGATGGTCCAGGCCGAGGAAGAACAGGCGCGCATCCCCGTTACTTATGGAAGGCGCAGTCGACGGTCCATGTCCTCGGTGAATAGTGGCGTGACCGAGGAGCCGTCACTCATACATGAGCAGCCGAAGCCGACGCTGGCCGACAAGCGGCGCATGTTGCTCGAGGTGCCGCAAGCATTGGAACAGGAAATAGATGAGGTAGAGGCGCACATGCAGGCTATCATGAATGATACGCTAAAGATGGACCGGCGCTCCAAGACGAGAGCCCTGAGGAGGATCAACGGCAAATTAAGTCAGTTGCTGCAGGAGCGCGACGACTACCTGAGCGGGAAGAAATTGCGGCAGTTCGAGGCGTCCTTGGTCTGCAAGAAGGCCCCGAAGATGAGTAGGAAGCCGGGCGACGACTGGACGCCGGACGCTAGGCGCTACTGCAAAGAACGCAGGAACAAGTTGGTACGTATTGAAAGAAAAGCTGACGACCTGATGGGCGACGCGGAGAAGGAGGAACTACGTAGACAGGCCGAGGCCGAGGCCGCGCGCCAGAACCAGAAGCTCGAGGCGGAGGACGCGGCGGCGCGCAAAGAAATTCTGAGGAAGTTTTTGGTGCGACGAAGGCTGGCCCACGAGCGCGACCATTTCGCCAAAGAACAGGCGGCGATGCTTGCATTTGATGAGAAGGACGCCCTGAGCATGGTCGAGGAAGGGACCAGCCCCCGGAGCATGCTGAAGGCGCCCAACGGCTGGTCGCTGAAGGTGCTATTTGCGACGACCGACTTTCGATTACCAGTACCTCCTTTGAAAGTATTTTCTCCAACGTTGGACGCGGAGATGCTGGCTCTATTGCGAAGGAGCCTCCTCGAGAAGCACATCATCCACAAAGCGGCCAGAAGGTACGCGCGCGCCCAGTGCGTGGGCTACCTCAAGAAGTGGCTCCACCTGGCCATGCTCGAGAATCCCAGTTTAGCGACGTGGTCGTCCGAGCGCAAAGGAGTGGCCGATCTAAAAGCTCTGCAGTTCCGCGTGCGCAAGGAGAAGGACGCCCGGTTGCGGAAGTTGACGGCAGCGATGTTTGTCGGGGGGCTGACGCGGGGGAATTCTATTGATGACGTGGTGGAGCGGGCGAAGACGCCGCAGTAATAGTTGTTGTTTATCTTTTGCTGATGCGGGGAGGGCGCGGCGCGTCTGGCCTCTGCGTCGTTGGCGTGGGGGTGGTGATTCTGTCTCAGGGGGGTCGGAGAGGTGCCGGGTGGCTCCTGAAGGCATTCAAGCGGCAGATCTCCGTCCTTTGTGGGATGTTCAACACGCCCGCGGAGGGTAGTCGGCTTGATTTAAATTTTGTATGCTCCACAGCTCGATGCAACTTAATGCGGGAACTGTAGGCGTACAAAGGACGCTTGTCCTCTCCTCGCGCATGGCCCACTAGACCGGGCGCACTGCCCTCTGCCTTCGCGGTACTAAATTGCTCGATTCGCAAACAAAGTGCACTGCGCCCCCTTTTGGCACGGCGTACAGCGACGGCGCTGTGCTGTCGCTCTGCCAACGGCGCAAGTCCGGCGACGAACGGCTCATAATTCGAGCAATACCGACCGGCACGCTCTGAGATCCAGCTGCGGGGCACGCGGCCCTCACGCCGCCGCAGCACCCTGGGCCGCGCGAGCCGCGCGGGACAGTACCAAAGGCCACGGCCCCGAGTTTCGGGGCGCTGCGAGCAGCCTTGGAGGGCGCCGCCGCGTTGCCGTCAATCGCGACGCGAAGAAGCAAAAATAGCTGCGCTTACGCTGCCGCGTTGACGTGCGTAGAAGCGAAGCAAGACAAGCGATCATGGCCCTCGCCCGCCTGAAAGGCAAGATCCCCAAGGAGATCCCCTTCGAGCTCAAGCGCTGCGAGAGTTGTAGAAGAGCGAAGCAGGGCGCGATCGTCTGTCGAGTGGTAAGAGCCCACGACGGCATCACGGAACCGGACGGCGGCGACTGGGCGCCGCCCGCGGGTTTTAGGGAATGGCTCGCCGCGTGGAAAGAAGGTGATGGCAAATCCACTGTAAGGACGCCCACGAAAAAACCGAAGCGCCCGCGGCCCCCGCCGAAGCCGAAAGACGAGCCAGAACCGGAGCGCCGCTCGAACGCCACGGCGCGCCAAGAGGCCGCTCGAGCGAAAGCTGCCGCATATGAAAAAATAAGAGCGGACGAGATCGCGCGGACGACCAAAGCCAAGCCGCCGCCCCCGAAGAAGCCCAAGAAGGAGCCCAAGGCGCCGCCGCCTCCACCCAGTCCACCGCCTGCACCGATCGGCGCGACGGCGCGCCAGCAGGCCGCCGCCGCGAAGGCCGCGGCGTACGCGAAAATCCGCGCCGACGAGATTGCAAGGGGAGAGGCGAAGCGCAAGGCCTCGCCGCGCGCCGGCGTCGCGCCGAAGCGCAAGGCGCCCTCGCCGCGGTCGGCGAGCCCGCGCGCGCCCGAGGTTGAGGAGGCGCCGCCGCAACAACCGCCGCAACCGGCGCGCCGCGCCCCCCCGCGCCGCGCCAAAGAGCCGCCGCCGCCCGTCAAGGCCGAGGAGCCCGCGCCGAAGCGGCGGCCGCCTAGAAGGCCGCCCGCGCGGCGCGACGCCGCGCCGCGCGCGCCGCGGTCGCCGCCTCCCCCAAAACCCGTCGTGCGACGGAGACGCCTCTGGTCGAGCGCGGAGTCGGATGACGACGATCCGTTATTGCCGCGGCGGACGCCGGAGATGCGGCGGAAGGATCGGAGGGTCGCCGCGGGCTCTGCTTGGGTGAGAGGGGACCTCGACCCTGCTGCCGTCGACGACTTCATCGCGAAGGCTAGAGAATTAGGTATCGGCGAGGAGAAGGCCCTCGAGGAGTTAAATGATCACAACAACGACGTCGAAACAACTTTGGCAAGCTTCGGGACGCCACCTCCCGACCAGACGCTGAGCTCGGCCGTCGACGCGTTTCTCGCGGCGGCGGCGTTGTTGGGCGGCGAGGCTCCAGCACCGCCGCCCAAGAAGAAGCCGAAGAAGCCTACGAGCATAGACAACGCGAGACGGCGAGACTGGTGCGACCATGACTTGCATCGGTTCGCCGAGGCGTTGCTGGATACGGACCGGGACTGCGCCCAGGCTCTCAAGAAATTACAAAAAGCTCCGAGGGGTGGCCATCGCACGGAGAGCGCGGCTTCGTTCGCGCGATGTACCGTAGGCGATGCCCTAGATCTATATTACGGCCGGTTCAAGGGTTCTCCCCAGTACGCCGCGTGGAAAGTGCGACTGAACGATCAACGAGAGGCCTGGAAGAAGCGCGAGGAGACCATAGGAAGATTACCCGGCGCGCGCGGTTTTAGGTTACAAGCGAAACCTGTTGATATAGAAAAACCGCGCCCGGAATGGAACCCCGCGGGCCTGGCCGACGTTGATACAATAGTGGAGACGGAGGCAAGACGACTCGTTTCTCAAACGTCGAAGCATGGGACACGTCTACAGGATGAGACGAGGAAGGCTGAGAGAATTGACAGGAAGGCGGCGCACGACGCCGCTTTGGCTGCTCGGGAAGCTCTAGGGGCCCAGGAGCCGCCTCCACGATCTTATACGCCGCCTATTTCTCCTTTTGTCGGGCCCTTCGACGCTGCGACGGAGGAGGCTCGACGATTGATCGCGTATTCTCGATATGACCCCGCCGCGCCTCTCGAGTTTGCGTGTCCCTGCGGTTGCGGGGATAGGGTCGACAATCGGGGCCGGGCGACGTCTCACCGCCGGAAGTGGGCGACACGAAGTTGTCGGGAACGAGCCTCGCGAGATCCTCGACTGCGCGACGTCTTCGAACAGCTGCCTCCGAATAGTGCGGACTTCAACGCGCCGCCGCCATCTGTACTGGGGAACTACGAGCCCCGGGAAGATGATTTATGTGTCTGCTTGTGCGGCTGCGGGAAATCGATTGACAATCGCGGGCGGTCCGCGTCGCATAGAAGGAAGTGGGCGTCGGCGGCGTGTCGGCAAAGAGCGCATGCTGAAAGGGCGCGGGATGCTCGTCTAGGACGTAGGATGTCCGTCTGCGCGCCAGACGACGTGATTAATGCCAGTCGTAAGGGCTCGGTCGACCACCAGCGGCAACCTCGCAGAGTTTTAATACATACGGGCGTCATGGTCGCTCGGTCATTCGATGGGCGCGTGCTAGCCGGCGACGTTATTGGTAGAGCGGCGCCTCGGAGAGATTCCGTCAGTGGGGCGTTGGTGCGAGCGTGGCGCGTCAAGTTCACGGACCCTGAGGGGGAGGATCGAACATTAGAACTGAGCGCGTCGGAAATCGCCGATCTTGTATTGAAAGGCGCCGCGCCGGAGGCGGACCAACGGCTCGCGGAAGAGCTCGAGGCCGCCGAGGCCGCCGACGCGTCGCAGCCGGCGCATCGCCGGTTCCGGGGCGTGACGCGGAAGTGGTACGGCGATGCTGCCAGATACAACGCTGCTTTCTCTTTGCTAGGCGATCGGTTTTCATTAGGAGGCTACGACTCACCGGTCCAGGCCGCGCGCGCCTGGGACCAGGTCGCCTGGCGCGCCGGTAGAGGTGATGACCTGAACGTCGTCAAGTTCCACGGTCCTCCCCCACAACCGTCGCACGACCAGCAGCGGTTACTGGCGCAGCGATTGCGGGACAATGTGCGGGTCCGGAACGCGCCCGTCGACGCCGACGCCGTCGCGGCGTCGGTCGTGCCGTCGTCTCCTTTACCGAAGCGGCCCCTCGACGATGGTGACACGCCCTCGAAGAAGAAGGCGCGGCCCTCACTAAATGAGGAGACGCCGTCGCGGCTGGACTCGAAGGATGATATTTTTTCGTCGGACGACGAGTCGTTAAAGCCGCCGCCGGCCGACGACTTCCTGCAAAAGTCGCCGGCGCGGCTGGAGCTCGAGGACTCTTCTGATGATGAGCCTGTCGGGGATTTGCAGCCGCCGACGCCGGCCGCGCGGCACGATGATGTACCATTGGTGCCGCACCCGGACCCCGTGAATAGGGTGGTGACGGAGTCGCCGGCGTCGTCTACGCGCGAGTCTCCTCCGGAGCCGGTCGTGTTCGCGCCTGATGCGACGACCCCAGCGGTGTCGCCGCCGCCCGTCGAGGCGCCGAAGCCTCCTCCGCAGCTGCTCCCCGACGAACCTATGCCCTGTCTAAACTAGATTTATCCTATCACCTTTCTAGTGGCCCTATCTAGTGAGCGGGCTCGACCCGTGGCCGGCCAGTTGGACAGCTGCCGAGTTCGAAATCTCTGGGCCGCGCAGGCCTGCGGCCGGCACCAGACGCGTGGCTGGCAGAATGTTGCTTCGACCACAGCCGAACCGAGCGAGCCGAGCGCTGCTGGGCCTGCGCTTCCTGGTCGTCGCCGTGGGTCTCCTCAAGCTCCAGCAATTGACGCGGCAAAACGCCGCGCAGGGGCGCACCGTGGCCTGCCTGAGAGCACAGCTCGCCGATTCTGCGAAGCTCGGTGCATCGCGAGACGTGAATGCCTGCGGCGTGCCGGACGACGTCACGGTCGCGCCAACTCCTGAGGCTTGCGCGGGCACCGATGACGCCGCCGTCGAAGACACTGACGAGGCGTTCACGGCGCCGCGCCTCGCGACGCTTGCAGCGACGCTGGTCTGCGTCGCCGCCGCCGCGGTCGCGCTCCGACGCATCGACGACCTGCTGCCGGCCCGCGACGGGCACCGGGCGAGCGAGCGCCTCGCCTACCGCATCGACTGCTGGTTCTCCTCGAACCCGAACGCGAAGATCCTCGCGCTGCTCTACGTCTCGATCGCGATGGTTCTCGTCGGTGGCCTGTTGCTCTACGGCGTCTCGTCCACGGGATTTGGGGAGGCCGTGTGGGAAAACGTGGCCCTCGTTGGCATCGACTTCACGGCCGCGTCGGCCACGGAAAGCTCGCTATCGGCCCGCGTCGTCGCCGTCGCCTCCGCCCTCGGCGGCATGTTCATCACCGCCTTGCTCCTCGGCATCGTCTCGGACGCCGTCGGAGACTACGTAGATGACCTCAAGAAGGGACGAAGCGACGTATTGGAAACGAACCACACTTTAGTTTTAGGATGGAGCGACAAGACGTTACCCATCGTCGAGCAAGTGTCCAACGCCAACGAGTCCGAGGGCGGCGGCGTCATCGTGATACTGGCGGAGATGGAAAAGGAGCGCCAGGAGGAGTTGATTGGGGAATTTGAATACGAGAGTCTGGGCACGCGCGTCATTTGTAGAGAGGGCAATCCTCTGTTGGTGGCAGATCTCAAAAAGGTGAATGCCGCCGGTGCCCGCTCGACCATAATCTTAGCGGGCGAGGGCACCGCCGACCAGGCCGACGCCAAGTCTCTGCGAGTTGTTTTGTCTCTCGTCGGTCTCCGAGCCAAGTGCGCCTCGAAGGGCCACATCGTGTGCGAGATGTGCGATGTGGATAACGAGCCTCTCGTGAAAATGGTCGGCGGCGAGGCCGTGGAAACAATTGTAGCGCATGACGTCATTGGGAGGTTGATGATCCAATGCGCGAGACAACCGGGCTTGGCCCAGGTCTGGAACGACGTCTTAGGTTTCGAGGGCTGCGAGTTTTATTGTTCCGAGCATCCGGAACTCGTTGGTTGTTCTTTCGATGATGTGGTCCTACGCTTCGCCGACGCGGCGCCGCTCGGGTTGCTGCGACATAAAAATGTGATGATCAACCCGCCGCGCGGCGAAGTCGTGCAAAGGGGTGACCGGATCATCGTATTGGCCGAGGACGACGATTCGTACGAAGTCGGTCCCAAGCCCTCCGATATAATTGTGGAGCACGAAGAAGACGTGCACACACCGAAAACACCGAGACCGGAGCGCGTGCTCTTCTGCGGCTGGCGGCGGGATCTGGATGATGTGATCCAGCTCCTGGACGATTTCGTGGTCGCCGGCTCGGAGCTCCACCTCTTCTCTGGGTTGGACGTCCAGGAGCAAAAGGACCGCCTCGCGCGAGCTAGGGACCAGCGCAAGCGGCCACCTACCTTAAGCAAGCTCAAGGTCGTCCACGCGACGGGCGACCTGTGCTCGCGGCGGGATTTGGAGAGGTTACCTCTCGAAAGATTCACGTCGTGCATCATTCTCGCGGATGACGCCGCCGAGAAGAACGCGACGGACAAGGACTCGCAGGCCCTCGCTACCTTACTCCTATTGAGAGACATCCAGAACACCCGCATCCGGAACGCGCGCGAGCCCCTGTCGCCGCGCGGGGAAGAGTCGAAGTCGCCCTGGGCCGTCGCCGACTGGGCGGGCGACCTCTCGCAAGCGAAGGATAGGTGTGTTGTGCTCTCCGAGATTTTGGATGCGCGGACGCGCGCTTTGATCGCCGATGCGGGCATCAGCGACTACGTGCTCTCGAACTCCATGGTCTCGGACGCGATCGCGATGGTCGCCGAGGACCGCGACGTGAACCGCATTCTGAACTCGTTGTTCGAAGAGAGCGGCGCGGAGATCTACATCCGTCCAGCGGGCCACTACATTCCCGACGGCGCGCACCTGTCCTTCTTCGACGTCGCCGCCGCGTGCCGCGCGCGCGACGAGCCGGAGACGCTCGTCGGCTTCCGGCGGACGGGCGACGACCGCGCCGTCGTCAACCCGCCCGACAAATCCACAAAACGCGTCTGGGACTACTACGACATGCTCGTCGTTTTGGCCGAGGACTGAGCAATTCGAATTTAACCTTATCTATTTATAACTCTACAACAGACTCTGCTCCGGGTGCTACGCCGCATTGCATCCACCGGGCACACGAGAACACACGTGACATCTACGCGGCCGCCCGGCTCTCCGCCGCCGGGTCGCCGCCAGCGGGCTCCACCGACGCGGTGGCCGCGGGCGCGTCGGCAACCGTGGCCGCGGCGATCGGCGCCGTCTCAGGCGCGTCCGCCGCGGGTGCCTCCTGATCCGGGAGCTCGTAATAGTCCTTGTGCTCGCTCATGCACTCGGTCAGGGCGCGCGTCGCGGGCACGCAGCCCTTCGCAAAGTCCTCGTCGCGGCTCCGGTGGTCCTCGACGCACTTCTCCCACGCGGTGAAGACCTCGCCGCAGGGGCCCGCGCGCATGTAGGTGCAGAAGCCGCAGTCCTCTTCTTCCTTGGACTCTGCGGCGTCGCTCGTCGCTGCGGCCTCTGGTGCTGGCGCCTTGTCAGTCGCCTCTGGTGCGGCGGTCGCTGCGCCATCGCTCGCTGCGGGCGAAGGCATAACTGTAGAGCTGCAAGCGAGCACGAATGCGTTTGCAGACGCCCTGGGGCTGAGCTTTTTGTCCTCTCATCGAGCTGGCTGACCTAGCGCAGCGACACACACTAGCACCAGTTCTCCCTCTGTGGAGTTTCCCTCAAGAAGCCGCTCCAGGCCTCCCTGGAGGAGTCGTACGGCATGAGTGTCGCTTCGCCGTCGACGTGGAGCACTACCGCATGGACTGCGCGAGCTGCAAGCACGCGCGACCGAAGGTACAGGTGTCGTAATTGTAAACTTATGCCCGGGGAACGCTAACGCCTAGAGCCCCGTCGAGTTCTGGTTCGTCATCTCCGCGAGCCGCTCCTTGCGCGCGGTCTGGGCCTGCCGCTTGGCCGCGAGGTGCGCGGCGCGCTCGGCGGCCGCCTCCTGCTTGTCCCGCGCCATCTTGTCGAGGTACCTCGTGCCTTTGTAGAGCACGGGCGGCTCCGACTCCTCCCACTCCACCAACTTCTCGTAGAGCCGCTCCGTGAGCTTCGGGAGCTGCTTGACTCGCCGCATGGCCTCGTTCTCGTACTTGCGCTCCGCTGCCGCGCCGGGGCCCCTTCGTAAAAGTCGGCCCGCGTCCTTCTGGAGCGAATGCAACGCCGTCCGCTCGAGCAACAACTCCTCGCGCTTCTCTACTAATTTAAGTAACGGCTGGAGCTGCTCGCGCCGCGCCTCCAGCCGCGACACCTCGGCCTCATGTAAAGCAAGAAAAGCCTCCGTCCTTTCACTCACTTCATCCCAGCGCGGCGCGAAGGCCTTTCTCACGCCCTCCGGCGTCTGCAATTCGTCCCACAACCCATCGATCTTCGCTCTAGCTTTGTTGGTCAAGTCGCCGCACCGCGAACAAAGCTCGGCCCGTAACGACGCGAGCTCCTTCTCGCCGAACTCGAACGTCACGCCCCGCAGCCCGCCGTGCTTCACCGCGTCCCGGAATTCGATCTGCCGCGCCTCGTCCACGCCTAATCGTTGCCACAACCTAGAAATGTCCTCGCCCAGCGAGGCGAGCTTGGCCAATCGCGCGGCCTTCTCGTCCTTGAGGGCTTGGAGGCGAGCTTGGGCCTGGTCGATCCGTGCCGACGCCAATTCCGCACCCTCGACGACAGGCGCGTCTGAGACATCATCAAGCTCCTTCTCTAGAGCTGTAGTTGATTTCTGTAGGGACTCCAGGCGATTCCTCCGCTCGGCCTCGAGCTGCGTTGAGGCCTCCAAAGCTTTCCGGAAGCGTAGGAGTCGCGCCTTCGTCAAATCAGCGCGGCCGACCTCGGCGCAGTCCGCATCTAACGCGTCGCCCAGCTTCTCGGACGACGCCTTGAGCGCGACCCACACACTCTGGAACTCGTCTCTCCTGGATTGGGTCGCGGCCTCGAGCTTGGCCTGCTCCTCCTCGAGCTTCATGAGGCCGTGCGACAGTCGCAACCTTGAAACATCTAAACCCTCGGGCAAACTACCAGTACCGTCATCATCCACACTCCGCGCGAGCATCTCGCACTCCGCAATCTTAGCCTGGATGTCCTTCTTGAAGACGTCGCGCACTTCCACCTCCTGCGCGAGCTTCGCTCTCAAAGTTTGCGTGAGCTCGTCGCTGAGCTTGTCCATCTGGAGCCGCCGCTCCTCGCCCGAGTAGCCGACCTCGTTCCAGATCGCCTCGAGCGCGTGGACGACGTGGCCCACGTCTGCTTGTACTTTTTCCATGAGGCCGGACTGCGCGTCCTGGACGATGGAGTGGTAGGGCGAGTCGGCGCCCACGGACGGCGCCGGGCTCTTCGTGACGCTCGTCGGCGGCGCTTGGGCCGCGAAGTCAGCCATGGTAGCGCGCGCCGCGTGTATAGAGCGCTCCAACAGTGGTATGCGCCGAAAGCGTTATTTGCGCAAACGACGGCCGCGTGGAGAGTCGCTACGTCTTGGTGGCGGTGAGCACGCTCTGAGACACTGCTGACGGCTTTGAGAGCCGCCAACAGCCGGCAGCTGTGGCGAGCTGCCGTCCTCCGCAAAAGGCAGTTGCTTAGCTAGCGGCGCGTGAGACACTAGCAAGCAAAAACTCGGTACGCTCACGCACTTGTTTGAGCATCGTTCGGTTCGCTACTGGTCCAAAGAGACCAATGGGACACTTCCTGGGGGCCGAAAAAAGAATTTTTTTTATTTCGCGGGCGAGGGCGCCCTGCGGTCTATGGCGGCCGCGCCGGCTGAATCCTGTCAATCCCTGCCCAAGATGTCTCCCTGGGGTCGCCTAGGGTCGGTTCTATACACGCGCAAGCGCCTACGCCGCATACGCCGCCGCTTCCAGCATATTTCGGCCAATTCTCTCAGCACTGCGGCCCACTAAACCATGAATTACTTGGCCATGGCTTCCAGAGCCCTCGGTGGGCCCATGCGCCGGCGTATGCGGCGCAGGCGACTAACCACTACCAGACCTACCCTGAGAGGCCTCCAGGGGCCGATCTGCCCCCGAAAAAAGTAAATAATTTGGGCCCGATGGCGCCCCGTTCCCGTCAAAACGCCAATTTTTTAGGGGCCCCAGGAATCGTAATAGCGGTCTCGTCGGACCCCATACTACCTCACCGATAGTCAACTACAAGTATATGACATCTACACGGCGAGAAGGGTACTTTTGTGCTGCCCACGCTCGGGCCGTGAACATCTTTATCTGGAGCTCGCTCAAGTCGGTCGGTCATGGAATAAATGATCACATTATGATCCATGGTGATGGTACACGGGCTGATGGTCGCAGGTCCAGGTATGGCGCTCAAATTGGCGAGATGTTGGGCCCGCGAGACCGTCCACCCGCGCCGAGCATCTTGGGGTCTCGTAGCAATGTAGTACACAATCAAGCCGGTTAGCTGGCCCGTCCCGTAACCGAAGCGCCTGAAACGCAAATTTATTTTATAAACCACCGGTCTGGGGCCAATTCAGTGCCCCGCGTACGCACCGTCGTCCGCGGAGAACGGGCAAGTCGGTCGATCGTGAATAGAACAACGGCGTTATGGTCCATCTGGGTAGTGGCGTCGCTGATACTCGCGGGTCTAGGATCTGGGCGTGTTTTCCCATAAAACGTGAGGTCCCGAAGTCGACGAATCGCGGGACTCCAATGGAGCATCTTACATAGCTCAGTGATCGCTGATTCGGCCTAAATGGAATCTACCACTAACAAACGGAAGGAAACGAACATAAACGCGAGAGTTGTCTAGTAGAATTCTTCTCCCGCCCTCCGAGCGCGGGCCGTCGGCTCCGGTTCCGTCGATTATGTATGAAAACTGGGCTGGAGTTGATATGATGTACTATTTGGACGTTAGATGGCGGTGTCAATCGCTGGTCTACTTTGGCGAGCCGCAAGACCTGGTGATCTAGCGTATCGACACACTAGGAATCCGTATATATATATATATGTATGTATGTATGTATATACATACATATAGTATACATGTATACAGGCCTAGGCGGATGGCTTTTGAAAACAGACCTCTCCGACTGACCCCCGAATAGTGAAGTTCAGAGCTTAATTCCCGCTCTGGGCGGCCGCTCCGCGGGACTTGGAACCGACATACATAAATACGACCAAGAACATTACACCCCTCACACCATCGCCGCCGATGGTCGCTTCATCCGTGCCCATCCCGCCCCCGGCGCGGACAGCTCGGAAGGCGCCAACCGGACGTCGACGTAGACCTCGCGCGCGCCGATATCTCGGAAAAGCCCACGCGCGGCCTTCGATGCGATTTCAGCCGATCGGGCATCCGCCGCGATGAGATGCGCGAGACCGGCCGCGGCGAATGGCTGGTCCCGCAAAACGAGCAAAGCGGCGCCGTCGACCTTCAACACGCCGTCGAGCGCCGCGAGTTTGCCCTTCAGACCGGGCTGCGCCGACTCGTCGAGGAGGTTCCGCGCCGCGCGCGCGCCCACCGGCCACGCCGCCGCGCCGATCGCGAAGCCCAATATCAACGATAGCGACGGGTCCAAATATCGCAAAAGGAGTCGCCGCGTCCGCCGCGGCAGCTTCGGCGCCGCGTACTTCAACACCAGCGCCTCCGCCAGGACGACGGCGCACGTGACCGCGTCCCCCGCGAGATGCGCGACCAGCGCCAAACGCCCGACGCCCAACTCCTCCGGCTTCGTTGTAACCTCGCCGTCGACCGACAGCTTCCGCGGCGTCAGCGGCGACGGCACGATCGGCGCGCAGCAGACGCACGCGGAGCCCTTCGGCTGCCCGTCCTCGGAGATGCTCAGGCCCTCGTAGCCCGTGGCGCCGTGGCCCAAATGGACGTGTGCGCCCCGCACGCCGCAGCACGTGAGGACCGCGGAGACACCGTTGATGACCACGCCGAGGAGCGACGTTAGGGCCAACCACTTCAGATTTGTCGGAGGTTCGGGATCAAACATCCGACACGTCGCGTGGAGCGCGATGGAAAAACAGAGCGCCTCGAGCGCGGCGACATTTATCAGCGCGCCGACCGTCGAGGCGCGCGAGTAGCCGAAGGGCCACCGATCCCGGTCGAACGCCTTGCTCTCGTACGTCTCCGCCAGGTGCGCGACGTAGGCCGCGAGCGCGTCCGAGAGCGTGTGCACGCCGTCGGCGACGAGCGCCAGCGATTTCACAGCCGAACCCACAGCAATCTGCGTCGCCGCCAGCAACACGTTCATGGCGACGACCCAGCCCAGCGCGGACGAGCACCGCGCGGTGGGCTTGCGAGCGCTGGTCGCGGTCGCCGCGGGGCCCGGCCGCGGCGGGCGCGGGCTCGAGACCATCTCCATCTCCTTCATCATTGTTGTTGCGTCGCGGCGGCGCCGGCGTCGACGGCGTCGACTTCGTGTGCGGACGCGCGCCGGTGGCGTCTAGCGCAGAGCCAGGCCTGATTGCGGTGTCGGCTTAACTCCTCAATTCCTGTGTTCCTGTGCCTGTTCTCGCGCGTTCCAGAGCCCAATTGTTCAGCACGGTCTATTGGCGATGAGTACTCGCACAGAGCACTTAAAAGGGCAAGGAGCAGAGGCAAATGCATGCCGCAAAGCGTGAAAAACCCGTGGTGTCGAGGTAATCAATGTTACGCGATGGGGGAGGGGGAGGGGGAGGGGCTTCAGCCGCGGCAGCGGAAGCACGCGTAGTCGTCGGGCGCCTCCGCGTCCTCGGCGCCGCCCGCGCACGCGGCGTGCTGCCACGACCCGCACTTCGAGCACTCCCACATGGCCGTGCCGTCGTCGAAGTTCAGGCCCTTCCGGCCGCAGGCGCAGTCGAAGGTCCACCAATCGTCCGACATGTCCTTCGGGTCGTAGTTCGCCCGCCTATGGACCGGACAGAAGAAGGTCTTGTTCGGCCCGAAGGTCCAGCCCGTGTCGAGGCAGCACCGCACATGATAACTGCGCTTGCATGACGCGACGGAGCAGCCCGCCGTCGCGCCCGATTTCCTGGGCCTTGTACATTTTTTGCCCGCGGCGCACTTGAGGCCTCTTCCTCTTTTAACTGCTTTCAACACGTTGCAGAGCCTAGACTGCATATCAAAGTACACCTCCGACGAGCACGACGCGCAGGCCTGGTGCACTAGAACGCGCTCGTCGCCCTTCTTAAACGCCATGAGCGGCCCTTCTACAGCCTCGTCGTCGGCGCCCGCGCCGCACAGCGCACACAGACCTTCAGCAACGTCCTCCTCGAGAATGTCTTCGACGACAGGAGCGCAGTGCGCCCGTCGCTGCGCCGCCGCGACCATGGCCATGACGCTCCGCTCGGTCGTCGCTTTTAGTGCTTCGGCCCACTCGGCGCCGGTGCTCGTATCGATGGGCGGCGGGCACTTTCGTTGTTTCGCAAATCTTAAAGACCGCCACAACAAGCGCCGGTGGGCCAGCCAGCGCGCGTAGTCTTGTTGGACGAAAGAGCCGCTCCAAATTGGAGCGCCCTCGCCGCCGTGCAGCCCGCCGGCCTCGGCGACCGTCAGCGCGACCATCTCGCCCAGTAGTTCGGCGCACCTTGCTTTCAAGTCCACCTCCGGCATGCAACGCGCCCTCTTATAACCGCCGGGCCCGCCGAAGAAGTCCTCGTCGTCGTCATCATACCTATCTGGGGCAGCGTCGCAGACCCAGGCCAATCGCGGCAGCGTCTCCGGCATAAGATCGGGCGGCGGCGCGAGGCCGCCCGCCTGCTTCGTCAAGCGCTCTATCAATTCCGCGTTCGAGCACGCGTTGACGTCCTCCCTTCTCCTGAGGAGGAACGTGTACGCCGGCGCGCCCATTTCCTCGCCTTCGGCGGCCGCGGCCGGTGCGATGGGGGCCAGCGCCAGCTTCGCGTCGGCGGCGTCGTCCCCGGCGGCCGGAGTGCCGGCGTCCGGCTCCGTCTTCGGCCCGCCGCCGTCGCTCGCGTCCGCCTGGGCAGCCGCGGCGGCCGGCGCGGAGGCCGCCGGTTCCGGCGCGGGCTCCGGCTCAGCCTTCGGCGCGGCCGTGGGCTCGGTCTCCATCGCTGCGGGCTCGGCTGGAGGCGCGGGCGCAGGAACCTCGGGCGCCGCGGCGGTCTCGGCGACCAGCCCAGGCATCGGGCATCCGTCGTCGCTCGCGCCGGCGGCGTCGATCGGCTGCTCGTAGCTCTGGCGCACGGGCGGGACGACGAAGTTGGTCCCGGCGGTCGGCGCCGGTCCGCGGCCGTCGCAGTCCATGTCGTCGTTACCCAAAGTCTCTGCCGGCGGCGGCGGCGGCGGCAGCGCCTGGAGGCTGTCCGGGCGTGCGGCCGCGGGCGTCGACGGAGGCCCCTGAGGACTAACAGGAGGCGCCTGGACGACCGCGGGCACTGCGGGCGGCGGCAGCGCCTGGAGGATGTCGGGCCGCACGCCGCGCGTCGCCACGGTCCGCGGCATGGATGGAGGCGCCTTGCGCTTCTTGCCCTTTCGAGAACCGGGCGGCGCCTGGCTGGGTTGTTTGACAGATCGGTTCCCCTCGTCGTCCCACATGCACGCGATGTCATACAAGCCGTCGTAGCGGTACTGCGCCGGCTCCTTCTTGCCATTCAGCAGAGGAGGCGCCCACGCGTTCGCCAGCTTGGAGGAGCGAAACACCCGAATGGGCTGGCCGTTCGTCACCAAATTCCTCCATAGAGCAGCCGCACCCTGCTTTCGAGTTGATGTGTACCGCAACCACGAGACGCCGTCGGCCTCCCGCATCTTCGAAGAACACCGCGACACCACGACGGACTCGGCACCTCTCTCGAGCGAACCACTGACCCCACGTTGCGCTTGGTTGTGCCCGCCCGTCGCACACAAGTGCTCCCTGCTATAATAGACACCTTCACCTTCGTCGACCTTCGCAATTTTCCCGAACCGGCCGCCGTTCTTTTCGTAGTCCCACCGTTCCGGTGGTTCTAGGGACGCGTTCGGCGTGCCCGTGTCCGCGCCCTCGGCCTTAAAACGGGGCTGGCCTTCTCTCAATATAGCTACGACTCTCCTAGATCCGTAAGAAGGCACCTTGGGCACTTGGTGTTCATACCCGATCTGCACGCCTCGATCCATCGTATAACAATCGCCCTCCTCGATCCACAACTCGATCTCTTCGTCACCATCTTGCAACGGCCGTTCCCCAATGTGGTCCTTGCTCCGCCGCGTGATTCCATTGGAGTCATCGTATTTCGCGTCGGGCGTCTTCGGCCGGAACTGGACCCGTCTCGGACCGCCGCCACTTTGTAATATTACCGCTACTATGAGTGTTTCGCCCTGCGTGTCGTCGGCGTGCCAGCCGCAGCTGTCATAACCATCTCTATAGGCTACTACATCCACACCAACGTTCCACTCCTTCCCGAACTTCTCCGTGCACTTGTCGGCCAGAACCTTGACGCAGGGCGCCTGTTCGATGGAAGAAGCGCGCATCGTGACGCCGTGGTAGCTATACGCGCAGCCCGGGGCGGACTCTGGCGCTAAGAGCATGTGTACCCTAGGCTCGGGAACATTGCCGAATTTGTACTGGCGGAACAACGTCGTCTCGGCCACCGTCGCTTGTAATACTACACGATCTTCCAAACTCTCGAAGTTGCGGTAGATGCGGATGACCCCCCCGTCGCGCCGCGTTCGGTACGTGAGGCCCTCCTCGGGGACGACGGTGTCGACCCAGGGGCCCCAGCGGCCGTTCCGTCGCTCGCGCTTGCGGAACGTCGTCACGGTCGGATCCGTCCGCTTCTTCCGCGCGACGTCGTTCGACGTCGGGTTCAGCAGTCGCGCTTGCAGCGTCTCTTTCAGGCCGTCTACACTTAAACCTTTGGCCCGTAACGCGTCCCGCAGCTCGGGGCACTTCATGCGCATGACCTTGGCCCTATCCTCAGGCTTCGTGTCGAGGTCCTTGAGTGAGACCGGGTGCTGCGTCGGCGGCGGCGGTTCCGGCGGGGGCGTCACCGTGCCCGTTGGTTCGGTGTCGTCGTCGGCGCGCTCGTCGCAGCTTCTTCCTACCAGAGAACAGGTCCACTGTTTCCCTTTGTCGACGACGTGGTCCTTCGGGAGGAGCCGCCACTTCTGGCAGGCGTCGCACTGGGCCCAGGCGTCGTCTTCAGTTTGTTCCGCGACCGGCGGCGCGGGCGTGGCTACCGCTTTGGTTTGTTTCTGCCGCTTGACTGGTGTTTTTGGAGGCTCGTCCTCGGCGTCCGCCGCCGCCTCGCGCGCGCGCGCGCTCGCCTTGCGCGGGCGCGACGACTGGCGCAGCTCGGACATTGTTGTTTTCTCACTTCTTTGTTGTCTCTCCGAAGGCGGAATTCGCTCCGCAGTTGATGCTCTGCCTCCAATCTGCAGAAGCTCTCCGGAAGCCAAACTCGCCGGCGGGGGCCCGAATCGCTGCGGAATCGGGCTGGAGGGTTCGAGAAGGCTCTGAAGCTATACCGGTACGGCCGAAGGCAGGTTTTCAGCGTCAATTCACCGCGTGCTGGTGCTTCTCCCTTCGCAAGTGCCGGTCGCACGCGAAACCCGATACAAAAACGCAGTCCGTCGGGGAGCGCTCGCACGCATGCCGCTCCTCTCGTTACGCGTAGCTCGTCTAGGAACCCGCACGAGGCTACAAAAGCTGCCATTCATTTGCATTAAAGCTGCCCAAGCATCGCGCCTGCCAATACCTAGACGCCCAGCGCTAGCCCGACGGTTTCGAGGCTGCCCGCGATCCAGTAGATGGGCTGCTGACAACACCAGCCAGAGAACCACCCAGAAGAGGGGCTGCCGACAACACTAGCTGCCCCGAACCAGTGAGGGCAGCACAGGCAAAATGGACGACGAGCCCCCGCGGCACAGCCCGAGCAGAGACGACGAGGCCGCCGTCCAGCGCCTGCTCGAAAAGGTGCTCACGGAAACGCTGTTGTACCGACCCGAGCGGCCGCTCGAATTTGTTGTGCAGTACCTCGACGAGCTTTGTGGGAGTACGACAGAAACGACGAAGGCCTTCCGGAGGCTCGTGGCGGCACAAAGGTCGCCGGACCAGTTTCTGGACGAATGCGCGAGTGTCTACGCGGCGATGGCCGCTAGCTGTGTGGAAATCAACCAGTGCGTCGGGTGCACCCGATAATTCTTCATTAAGTCATTTCTCGGCGATGAATTGACTATAGCTGTTTCCCCATTTCTCGGCGATGACGTGGCCGCGCTGGCTCCGTCGAGCGGTGAGGAACCGGCATCGCCACGCCATCGAGCAGGCGCCGCGTCGATGGCGTGGAGATCGACGCGGCGATTCAGGACGAACACGCCGTAAATTTGATTTCCACACAGGCCGCTACTTCTCTGCAATCACCGTACTGCGGCCGCGACGATTGCGCGCGCTTGGCGAAGGCGTGCGCCGTCGACATGCCCGAGCACATCTCCGACATGCTCGTCGAGCGCATTTCTGAAAGTTGTGGTGTTATTGTTGATTTCGAGCAGTTCTCGGCCATCGCGCGCGTCTGCGTCGATTGTAGGGGAGTGACGCGGGATTGTAGGGACGCGTGGCACTTATTGGAGCCGGGGCGGCCCGACGCGGTCGTCGAGAGAGAGGATCTGTTGAGGATCGCTCCCCAATTGGCTCTACCGAACCGGAGCTCCTTCAGTCTCGAGGACGTCCTCGAGGCCGTCGTGGAAACAGTGGAAATCGATACGACCCCCGGAGAAGACGTCGGGACCTACGACTCCTTCCTTAGGAAAAGTGTAACTTAGGCCACGAGGTCCTCGGCTTGCGCTCGGGTCGTAGCCTTCAATGTTGATGTGAGACGCTTCTCGCGGTTGTGCGCCTGGAGGCACTTCTCCTTGTAGGCCGCCGACCGTTTCCGCTCCTTCTTGAGCTCCGCCGAGGCCTCCCTCCTGATAGCGTCCGTCTCGGCCCTTATGGCTTCGGCGACGTGGGCCTTGTCTTCGGCGATTTGGGCCCGAACATCGCCCAACTCGCGAGCATGAGTCTCTCTTAAATGAGCAATCTCTTCCCGGAACCGTTCCGCCTCGCGTCTAGCTTCAGCATACTTCGTCTCGGCCTTTTTGACGTCCAATACAGCTCGGTCCTTGTCGTCCACCGCCTTCAATGCAGCATTCTCCGCCGCTTCTAGAGCATCAGCTCGTCTTTTGTGAGCATCTCTATCCAACGCCACTCGAGCCTTCTCGTCTTCCAACAACTGAATCTTCGGCTTATGAGTTTTTTCCACATCACCCTCCAGTCGTGCGACCTTACCAGTAAGTACTTTCAGTTCGGCCTGCAGCTTCCGCGACTCGTCAATGGCCTGCTGCTCGAAGTCGCGCTTCTGCTTCTCCGCTGCCGACTTGTCGAGGTCTTGTTGTACGAGACGTTCCTCGAGTGACGCACACAACTCGCGACATTCCTGTCTCGCCGTATTGACCGTGGCGTCGCACTGCATCCTTGCTTCAAAGGCCTGCCGTTTCGCCGTCGACAGTTCGGTCTCGCACTGTTCTAGTTTTCTCCCATACATATCAGCGTCTCGTTGTAACTCAGCGCGCGCAGCATCCACTTCCCTCCTAAGATCGACGGCGGCGCTCTCGGCGTCCGCCACGCGCTGCAACCGAGCTCTGTCCCTTTTTTCGCTCTCCATCGACGCCAGCCGGTAATTTTCTTTTGCTGCGTCTAAGTCTCGCTGTTTGCTCTCCACATCCTGTTCGAGCTTCGTGATGCGATTCGTCGCCTCGGCCAACCTCCTTTCTAGACCCACTACATCAGTTTTTAACTGTCCAGTTAACGCTTTGGCAGCACACGCGTCCTCCGCCCTTCCTTGTACAGCAGCATTTTTATCACCAATGGCGCCGTCGTGCTCCCTCCGCAAATCATCATTTTCCTTCATCAATTCCCGACATTTGACCTCCAACGCGAGGACTTTGGCCTCCAAACCGCGCTGCAAATCCGCGCCATCAGGACCATCGGCAGCGGCAGCTTCGAGCTCGACGACTCTTCGACGCAACCCCCGATGCTCCGCATCATGCGTCGCGCGGTCCGACGCCCGCGCGGCCTCCTGGTGCTCGGTATAGGCCGCGAACTCCGTCTTGGACCGCTCGAGCTCCCTCCGCACATTGAAAAACATCTGTTGGAAGGATCGCGCCTCCGCCTCGAGGTCCGAAATCTTCTGCTGGTGCGGCACCTCGAGCTCCTCTTGAATTTGGATCCTTAACATATCTAAGTCCTGGGGCACTAACTTCTTTTGCACCTCCTCGAGTTCTCTGGTCCTCGAGTCAAGCTGGACCTTCCACTTCGCCACGAGCGCTTCCGTGGCCCGATCGGCCTCGATCTTGGCTTTAGCTTGTTCTACTAATTCAGTTCTATTGGCGGCGACCTTTTCCCTTTGCCTAAGTACCTCCTCCCTTGCTTTATCGTGGTCCCTCTGCAAAATCGCGTTCTGCTCCCTTAGGGAATGGCAGGTCGTGATGGTCTGTTGGAGGTCCGCCTGGAGGCTCTCGACGGTGTTCAGTAAGGTGGCGTAGGCGGCGCCGTCGTCTCCAGTAGGTGTTCCATTTGGTGGAGGTACGGCGTCGAACATCATGGCTGCGGCGGGCTGCCCGCTGCGGCGCGCGGCGCTTTTTGGACGTGTGACGCGTCGACGCCGTTTGGCGTACAGCCTTGCGTGCGCGCGAATTAGCACCGACGCTTTGGGCAACAACTGTGGCGGTTCGGCCGGGGTGGCGCACCCGCACGAGATTGGGAGCACTCCGTCTCTCGCGGGAGGCATCGGTGGCAGGCCGGACGCATGCCTGCGATCGACGCGAAAAACCCGGTTCGATGAATGAGCGCTCGAGCTCGAGCTTGGTGCAGGCTGAGATCGCATTGCTCGAGACGTAGTGCTCAGTGACTGATAGCACAAAGCAGTGCCGACACCCTGCAGATTCATCGACGACAAATAGCTGCTGTGAGAGCTAGTGCACAACAAGCATGTGGGACCTAATCCCCAGCTGGCTCGCGGACCCGTCGGCCTACGCCCAGCCGGAGAACCTGGATATGACCACTGTTATTGTAGTAGCATTGGCCAATCTGTTCTTCGGCCTCTGCTGCCTAGCAGTGTATGAATGCGTGCGGCGCAAGACGCCGCGGACCTACTCTCCTAGAATCAATCTAGGCCACGCGACGCCGCCGCCGCTGCCCACAAGTTACCCGTTACAATGGGTCGCGCCGCTCATGCGTCTGGACGAGGAGCAGATCTTAGCTATTGGCGGCTACGACGTCCTTGTGTATCTGCGCTTCCAGGCGCTGTCCCTGAAGATCTTCGGGAGCTTCGCGCCCTACGCCGTTATTTTGTTGATCGTTAACATGAGCGCGTCTTATGACGATGGGCCCTCTTTACCGAACTTGTTCACGCGCTTGTCGCTAGCGGTGATTCCCGAAAGGGACCCGCGGCTCTGGGCGCACCTGCTTGGTATTGTGATATTAACATCAATAACCTTCCATTGGTTAGGAAGGGAGTGCCGCTGGTACACGCGATTGCGGCACCGCTTCTTATTAGAAAGGCCCGACGCGCGCGTTGTGTTCGTGAGGCGCCTGCCGCCGAAGCTGCGGGGCTCTCGCCAACTAGCCACCTACTTCGACGAGCTCTACCCGGGCAAGGTCGTGGGCGCCGTCGGCGCGCGGCGGACGGCGACGCTCGATTCATTAATCGCGGCGCGCGACGCCCATAGGGTGCGCGCGGCGCGCCTGCGCCGTAGAAGGGCGCAGCACAAGGGCCGGGGTTTGTCCTGTGTTGATAAGGCCCACGCGCGGCTGGAGGACGCCTACGACCCGCTCTTCTGGACGCGGTCCCTCGACGCGGCGGCACGTTTAAGATTACACGACGAGCGCGCCGCCGAGCGCGACGACCGGCTTGTGAGAGAGCGCCAGCGCGCCGCGGCGCAGGAGCCGCTCGTCGCTTCTGGTCAAGCGGCGGCGCCGGTGAATGGCGAGAAGAACGGTGAACACCCTAACGTCGCGCGGCTCTCGAGCGGCGCCTGGGAGGCGGACGACGAGTGCGCGGGCGGCGTCCTTTTTTCTTTTCCCCGCGGCGATGGCGTACGCCGTACGTCTACCCCGCCAGCACGCCATCGACGCGACGAGAGTACCCCGACGGTCGCGCCGATCGCAGGTGGGAGGACGTCGAGGCGCCCTGGGCCGCGGCCTGGGCCGCGCTGCGCGGCGGCCGCGCGAGCGAGGAGACGACGGGCCTGCTTTCAGGAAGACGGCCGCCGGGGAAGATGGGGCCCTCCTTCGGCGCCGGCTTCGTCGGCTTCCGGACGCTGAGCGGCGCGGCCGTCGCGACGCAGGTCTTCCACGCCGAGGCGCCGGGCGGTTTAGTGGCCACGCCCGCGCCGGAGCCGCGCGACGTCATTTGGAGGAATATCGGATTCGACACGAACACGCGGGCGACGCGCGGCGCTATTGCCGATTGTTTAGTGGTATTGTTGCTGGTGTTCTACGTCGTGCCCGTGACGTTGGTCGCGATGGCTCTGTCGGAAACAGCTTTGTGCGACCGCTATTCATCGATAAACAATCTCGTGAAGAGCTCGTTTATAGCGGACGCCTTCGTGAAGACGATCCAGCCCATGGCCCTGGTCGGCATCATGCTGTTATTGCCGCCCCTGTTCCTGGGTTTAGGAGTCTGGCAGGGCTGCCACTCCTGGACCGAGAACACGTTATTGCAGATGTCTCGTTATTATTCTTTTCAGATCATTAATGTCTTGCTGGTGACGACGATCTCGGGCAGCGTCGTGAATTCGATCGAGGAGATCCTCCAGGAGCCGGCGTCGACCTTTTCACTACTAGGCGGGTCGCTGCCGCGCGTCTGCGCGTTCTTTTGCTGTTACGTGTTTATGAAGGCCTTTGCGGGGCTTCCTTTAGAATTATGTCGCGGTGTCGCGGCGGCGCAGCAGACGTTGAAAAGGTTGATCTACCCGTCCGCTACACAACAAGACCGGAAGCACGCCTTTCTTGGGTTGCGAGACATCGCCGGGCCGGGCTGGTTTTCCTTTGGGAAATATGGTGCGCAAGATCTGTTGGTCGTCGTCGTCATGATGGTTTATGTCGTCATGTCGCCGGTCGTGCTGGTGCCTGGACTCTTGTTCTTTAGTATTGGTTCGGTAGTCTACCGGCACCAGCTGCTTTTTGTCTACGAGCCGCTCTTTGAGAGTGGCGGGTTGTTGTGGCCGCGGTTCTACCGTCGAATTTTATTCAGTGTCTTCTTGACGCAGTTCACGATGGTCGGGCTCTTCTTCTCGAAAAAGGCCTACATGCAGGGGTATTTAACTCTAGCTTTGAGCGCGGTCACGTACCTGTATCAGGTGCGGATGAAGACGCTCTACACGACGTCGTCGTCGGTCGCGCACCACCTGCCCATGGAGCTCGCGTCGCGCGGCGACGAGGAGGCCATCTTGGATGAGGTGGACGACCTGTCGCGCTACGTGCAGCCATCTTTAAGGTCGGATGGCGACAACGGCGTCGAGGCGGCTTCGGAGACGGTGGCGCTCTAAGTTGTTTGTTTGTTTTTTTTCTCTACTCCTAGGGGTATTTAGTCATCCGCTGTGGCCCCGCGAGACTCGAGTGAGCCCGGTTGCAAGGTAAAACCCGAGGCCGGCAGCCAGAGGACGGGTTTTCAGAATTGATTTTTCCAAACGCAAAGCGTCCGCAAACATGGATGCGCCTGGGATCCTTACAACATGCGCGGCCTGCGCCGCCCCACTGGCCCACGACGCGCCGCGATGCGTTAGATGTAAGTTGCGCTACTTAGTGTTTTAATAGCCAGTTTCTTGGGAGGAAGTGAATCCCCTTCCGCGCCCATGCCGAAGATTCCGTTCATTACCGGTGACCTTAAAATTGTCGGGTCGATGGTGGCGACGTGCGGCTCGGCGCAGCCCTTCGTGGCTCTACGCGAGGCATCGGGAAATCGGCAGCAGGGGCACGGTCCTGTAAATGCAGCAGTCGCCACGCGCGTGCACTCCTCGGCCAATCTTCGCGAGTTCAGTAATTTAGTCCACAATGGAGGGCATAATTTCTTGACTATTTGCGGGCCTCGGACCGTGTCTCGAACGAGCTTTGGTAATAGAGGTAAAGCGTGTTTCCGTAATTCACCTGCAAAGGGTACCGTCTCCAGTAAGTCGTCGTAGGGTAGAATCAAGTAGAAGCGTTCTTCCTTCCGTTTGCGCGGCTTCCATTTAGTCATTAAATGCGTATGAATGACGGCCGCGACGTCCCTGTAAAAAGCACGCCGCTTGCTGTATTTTTGTATGTACGTGAGCACGTTGCGCTACTGTAACGCCACTTGCCAGCATGACCACTGGCGCCGCGGCCACAAGCAGATGTGTAAGAAGATACACCGCGGCGGCAACGCAGAGCAATACCACGCCGACAAAAAATACAAGGAGGCCGTCGCGGTCGCGGTCGAGGCGTGCGCCGAGGACGTGAAAGGCCAGACGTGCTACATCTGCACGCAGGCCCTCCACTGGAAGACGAAGGAGGGTCTCGTGCGCATGTGTGCGTGCCGCGGGACGGCGGGTTTCGCGCACGTGACGTGTCTGGCGGAGCAGGCGAAGATTTTGGTCGCGGAGGCCGAGGAGAATAATTTGGGTTACAAGGTCTCGTTTGAGAGGTGGGGACGGTGGTCCGGCTGCAGCTTGTGCGAGCAAAATTACCACGGCGTCGTGGCTGGCGCGCTTGGGTGGGCGTGCTGGAAGACGTACGCGGGCCGGCCGGACAGGAACTGGGTTCGGGGAACTGCGATGAACGTGCTTGGGAGCGGTTTATCCTCCGCACGCCACGACGAGGACGCGTTGACCGTGAGAGAGGCACTTTTGTCTATGATGCGGCGCTTTGGCGCATCGGAAGAAGACGTGCTCGTCGTGCAGGGCAATCTTGCGTGTTCGTATAACAGACTTGGACGGCGTGAAGAGGCTCTACGGATCGAACGAGACGTATACTCCGGATGGTTGAAGCTCAATGGCGAAGAAAATGGAATGACCCTCGCAGCAGCCAACAACTACGCAGATTCCCTTCTTCGTCTACAGCGCTTCGCAGATGCCCTGTGGCTGTGGCGCAAAACGATACCTGTGGCGCGGCGTGTTCTCGGAGAGGGCAATGAGACCACGCTCACGATGCGATGTAATTATGCGCAGGCGCTCCTGAACCAGAGTTCCACGCTCGCCGATCTCCGCGAGGCTGTGACGACGCTCGAGGACGCGAGGCGGATCGCGCGGCGCGTGCTCGGTGGCGCGCACCCGAGAACAGTGGAGATCGAGCGGTCCCTGCAAACCGCTGTCGATGCGTCGACTCTCAAGACGCAGATGGTTGCACGCGAAGCAGTAATGGCAGCAGCCATTGCGGACATGAGAGTGTATAAGGCGGAGATTGCTGCAAACGAAGCGCAGATTGCTGCAAACGAAGCCGCAATCCGCGCCCTCGAGATGTCGCCGCCGGGTGATGCGTAAGAATATACTACTCCTCCTTATCCCGCGCGGGCCCCGACATCCGGAACTGGCCCGACGGCCGCGCGTCGCTGTCCAGCCGCCGCGGCGAGTCGCCCTTCTCGAAGGCGAAGCCCGACACGCGGATGGGCCTTCGCGAGAACCGCGCCTCGATGCGCTGGCCCCGGTCGACGTAGCCGCAGAAGGCGACGCGGCCGCCGGCCACGTCGACCTCAAACTCGCACGTGTCCAAATGGGCGGGCCCCGCCCGCACGCGCCACCGCGGCGGCCGCAGCTTTAACGCACTGGGAGCGGGCGCGTCCATCCGCACGGACCCGCCGTCCTCGAACGTCACCGACACGGGCCGCTCGGACGCGTCGGAAGACGTGACCGACGCATCGTACGCGACCAGCGGCCCGCCCGCCGCCGCGACGGCCTCGTCCACCAGCGTGACGCGCCAGGTCCCGACAAAGTCCGGCGGGTGCAGGTTGTCGATGCCCTGCGAGCCGCGCGCGAGCGAGAGCCGTCTCCTCAGCTTCATCTCCCACTCCGCGAAATCGACGTTGACCCTCGAGAAGAGTGGATTGGCGTAGCGCGCGACCGCCGACGGGTAGTCCTCCTCGGAATCTTCCTCAAAGTCGGGGGCCTGGCCGCCGCCGCCGGCGATCGCGCCGCGCCGCGTCAGCTCCCCCAAAAAGCGTTGCAGAGCCACGGCGTAGGCGTCACCTAGAGCTGCCGCCGGCGCTCGAGCCGCACCTTCCGCGTAGAACGTCGCCAAAGCATTCTCCTCGACTTCCGCTTTTCGAGGGTCGTACTCGCCTTCCGCCGTCGCGAGGGCCTGCAACCTATCGAGGTACGCGTCGCAGGCGTCGGGCACGTATCCATCCAAACCCGACAGCTCCGCTTGGAGCGCGACGAGCCCCACCCTTACTTCTTCGACGGACGACCGGTCGCCGTAGGCCGCGGCTCGCAACAATGAATTCGAGGCCTCGTTCAACGCCCGCGTCGCGGTCATCGGGGCTAGATCAACTCCCCGTTGGACCTCGACGTCGAGGGCGCCCCGCCTCCGGTCTGGGAGACTCAGGCAGAAGTCGACCTCTTCCCTCGCGCTTTCGACCTCGGCGGCGAACTTGGCGTAGGCGTCGCCGCACGCCCCGCGCGGCGGCGTCGTCGCCGGTAATAAAGCGGTGTTGCCCGTCAGCACGCTGTTAATCGCGTCGCAGAAGGCCTGGGCGTCGGCGTCGCCCGAGGCCGACGCCTTCACTACTTTGCATCTCTCTCTAATAGCGTCGGCCGCTTGTGTGGAGCGTCTCAGTGCCACATGCTCCAGAGCAGCCGCGGCCAACGCCTCGAGCGCGTCGCGACTTTCGCAAGAACACTTGAGCGGAAAAAAGGGCGGCCGCCGCGTGTCCGCGTCGCCTAGCAAGGCGCGGAGCCGGATCCACTCCAATCCCCGATCCTCCTTGACGAGCTGGCCCCAGTCGAACGTCTTCTCGCCGGTCGTGTACTGGAGGGACACGTCCCTGCGCGCCATGTACAGCCGGCTCCGTCGTCGACGAGGCCGTGGTTTGTTGACGCGGAGCGTGGTTGGCCGGAAGGAATTGTGTGCTGAGGGGATCAGCACCAGCAGCAGGGGGAACATAGATGGCTTCATCGGTGCGGCGGCCCGCGCGGCAGCTTCCTGCCTAAGGGCAACGAACCCGCAGGAGCAGACCCGCACCGGATACCCCTCCCGCGAGTAATTAACGTCCGCGGGGCGCGAGTATGCAAGTTGCTCTCAAGTGCACGAGATCACTGCTGGCAGGGGTTTGACGCACACCGTGGCCGGCGGCCCGCCAATTTGAGCGATTTCTTGATGTATCACGACAGCGGTTCTCCCAGCGGTCGCGCCACCCGCGGGCGCTCCACCCTGGCTCACCAGCTCCGGCTGGCTGCACCACGCTTGCTAGTGTCTTACGACCGCTAGCTAAATCGACAGACGCATGCTTGACGCATGCGGGGGTGCAAGCAGCGGGAGGGAGGGAAGGACGCCTCGACGGGGGCGCCTGGAAGGGCAGTCTACGTGCGGGGGAAAGTCTTAGGTCTTTCTTCAGCATGGCACCTCCTAGGCGACGCTCTTGATGATGATGATGTTGCCCGCGTGGTGGCGGACGAGCGCGTCCGCGAAGGAGCCGCGCTCCTTCTTGGGCCGCGTCGCGACGCAGACGTAGTCGACGTCGACGAGGCTTTCCCGCTCGCGCAGCACGTCGAGCGTCGACGCGTCGTCCGCGATGAACTCGAAGTTCGATCGCTTCTCGTACTCGCGGAAGCACCGCACCAGCCCCTCCTCGGAGCCGTGCGTCAGGGAGTGCAGGAAGGTCAGCCGATCATCCTTCTGGAGGAAGCCGTCGAGGATCTTCATGCCGTCGATGCAGCGGTCCGTCGCGTCCGCGATGTAGACGAAGTGGCGTTTTGTCGCGTTGACGGGCGCGTGCTTGCAGACGACTATCGGGCAGAATACGCTCCTCATCGACATGTCCGCGACCTGCCCGACGACCGTGGGGTCGCTCTTCTTCGAGGAGCGGCCGGAGAAGCCGATGCAGAGCGCCGTCGGATCGGGGTGCGCGCGCGCGGCCGTGTGCATCTTGGCGCGGTCGTTCGCAAAGGCCGCGACGACCTTGGACGGCTCGACGGCGGACCTGGGCACGTGCATGAACTGCCACCTCTTTTTAGGGAGGAACGTCGTGAGGTCCGTCTCCTGTGTTGATGATCGACCAGTGAACGCCATCGCCGCGATCGAAGGATAACACACTGGAAGCGCACATAGCGGTGGCGGATCGCCGCGGGCTGGTGCTTGGCGTCGTGGCCGTGGCAGTCGGACTCGATCGTCGCGACCGTGAGGCAGTCCTTCGAGTTCGGCCGGATCAAGTTCTTGGCGCAGAGGTAGGCCGTGTGCGCCGTCTCCGTGCCGTCGCAAAAGGCCACGACGATCTGCGGCGCGCGCTTGTCGTGCGACTTGTTCGACGCCCGGACCAAGTCCTCTACCAACCCAACCTCGCCCTCGGGGTGCTTCTTCCGGAGCCGCTCCCGCAGCAGCCACGTGCCCGGAGAGTGCGGCTCGTGCATGTGCTCGTGCGGCTCGTGCGTCTCGCTGACTGGATCCGGGACGTTCTTGCGGGCGACGACGCGCGTCCACGACCCGGCGTCGTGGAAGGCGACGGCGAGGCCCAGCTCCTCGAGCAGCGCGTCGCCCGCCGTCGCGAGGGCCGCCTGGTCCTTGCGGTGCTCTCGCTTCAGCGCGTCGTAGCGCTCCTTCGCCTTCTCGAGCTCATCGCGCGGCACGTCGCACGGCGTTCCCCCATCAACATCGTTGATGGCCTCGCAGGGCTTGGCGTCCCAGTCCGGGCAGCGGCTGGCGGCGCTGCCCATGGTACTTTTTTGCGGCAGCCCTCTTGTCGACGCTCTCGCGGCGATGGCGTTGGGTGCTTCGGTGCTGGGGCAGCCCCTGTGTGTCTGCCGCGGCGATGGGGGCAGCCCTTTGTGACGCTAAGAGCGTGGTTTTGTCCGGAGAGCTTGGGCGCGTTGCAGCGCTCGGGCTTGGCGCTGGGAGAGCGAGTGAGCTGGAGGTCTACCCCCGGAGATGCGTCGCAGGACTGCCTGCGGAGATCGAGGACCTCTGCGAGGGGCAAGTACTCCGGGCTCAATTCCTTACCTGAGCGGGCGCGCGCGTCTGGTCGGTGCGTCTAAACCGCGTTTTTCTATTTCGGGAGTACACCTTGGGACCTCAAAAGACCCCTCGGGGTTGCTAAGGAAGTTTTGGCGTTAGAACCAGGGGCTTCTCTCCCCATCGTGCGGGTTTTACACTCTCTGCCGCGATAGAGGTCTTTCTCTCTTCGGATGCCGCTCTTCACGTCCCTCGATGTCTACGAGGCGCGTTTGGAAAAGTACTATTTGGCTCGATTTAGCTCTCTGCAGCGCCGGCAAAAACAGAGCGCTCACGCGGCCGTAAGCGAACCAGTGCAGACATAACCATGTTTCACCCTCCTAAATACACCCTCGCTTCCCCCCTACACACCTTCGAGACGGTTTCAACAAGCGCCCGCGGCGTAAAAAATGCTGGGTCGACGGCGCCAACACCACGGGCGGACGCCCACGGCGGAGCCCACGGCGGTGCCCACGGCGGTGCCCACGGCTAAGCCTACGAGCGAGCCTACGGCCAAGCCCACGTACCCGTCGAACTACGAACTCACCTGCCGTAGAAAGTGCCTCAACTACGGGCAGACTGCCGCCTTCTGCGACAGTCTCGCCGTGAAGTGCGGGAACTATGAGTCGCCCCTCCAGAACTGCTTCAACCCGGACCCAAACCTCGTCGACAGCGAGTGTGTGACCAGGGGCCCCAACTCTTGTATCAACCTGGCGGGCGGGGCCAACAACCAGAAGGGCCCTTGCAACTATCACTGGGACGGATATCTCGCGCCCACGGCCGAGCCTACAGCGGAGCCCACGACCGAGCCCACGGCCGACACTGTGGAGCCCGAAGGCGGGCCTACGGCTCAGCTCACGGCCGAGCCCACAAGTAGTCCTACGACTTCGACGACGACGCACACGACGCAGCCTCCGCCCGAGCCTACGGCCGAGCCCACGGCCGAGCCTACGGCTGAGCCTACGGCTGAGCCGACGGCCGAGCCGACAGTCGGGCCTACGGCCGGGCCGACGCCGCGACCGACGGCGCAACCCACGGTGGAGCCGACGTGCGCACCCGGCGAGGTCAAGTCGTGGTCGCTGACCTGGACCGAGAAGTTCTCCGGAGACACGCAGTGGAAGGCGCTGGCGGCGAGCGAGGACTTTGGAACCCTCGCGTCGGCGGGCGCGTCGACCTATGTCGCCGTGTCAAACGACGGCGGAGAGAACTGGTCGCAGAACGGCAACCAGGGCAGCTACGATGCAGTCGCGGCGAGCGCGAGCGGCCAGAAGCTGGTTGCTCTGGACTACGCTCTGAAGAGCGGCATCTGGGTGTCCAATGACTGGGGCGCGACGTGGGCCAAGGCCGCGGGGCAGCCCGAGCCGACGTCGCAGATCGACTGGCGCGGGGTCGCCTCGAGCGCCGACGGCATGAAGCTCGTGGCGGTCGCCGACTACGGCGACATCTGGCTCTCGCCGGACGCCGGCGCGTCGTGGACGAAGAAGGAACTCGAGTCGCGCCACCACAGGTGGCTCGACGTGGCATCGAGCGCAGACGGCACCCGGCTCGTCGCGGTGACGGGCACGGGCTTTTCCAACGACGGAAGCGTCTGGTACTCCGCCGATTCGGGCAACGCCTGGACCAAGGTGTTGCCGGGCGGGACCACTCGGAGCTTCTGGGCCGTCGCCTCGAGCAGTGACGGCCTCACGATCGCCGCCCCCGAGTACAACGGCAACATCTGGATCTCGGTGGACGGCGGCGGCAACTGGACGGAGCACTCCGTCGTGGGCGCGACGCAGCCGTGGCGGGACATCTCGGTGAGCGCCGACGGGACCAGGCTGATCGCCGCCGCCGCGACCGGCGGCCTCTGGGTCAGCGGGGACGCCGGCCAGAGCTGGACGGAGGGAGAGGCGGGGTCGGGCCTCAGCTGGATGGCCGTCGCCGCGCGCGCGGACGGCTCGGAGTACGCGGCGGGCGCGTGGGACGGCGGCATCTGGGTCGGCGAGGCCACGGTGTCCTGCGTGGCCACCGATCCGCCCACGGCCGCGCCGACGACGCCCGAGCCGAGCGCCGAGCCTACGAGCGAGCCCACGGCCGGGCCGACGCCGCGACCGACGGCCGCGCCGACCGGTGAGCCATCAGCCGGGCCGACGCCGGTGCCGACCACGGCGGAGCCGACGGGCCTGGACACGACCCGCTGCATCGCGAGCATTCCGACGGGTTGGCCTCATGAGGGTCAGACCTACTGCTGCCCGGCCGGGACCACGCGCTACGGCGACGGGAGCGCGTGTTGTCCGGGCGGCTCGATGGGATCAGCGTCCTGCTCGGGAACAGGTTGCGCCATCTACGGCAACGCAGGACTGGACCGGTGCGACGGCATCACGCATTTCCCGACATCCGCGCCCACGGTCGAGCCGTTCTGCACGATGATCGGCAAAATGGATTACGCGACCTGCCAGGCCCAGTGCGCTGCGGGCGGCATGATGATGCCGTGCCTCAAGTCGGCCGAGGACGAAGCGGCGCTCGCGGACGCGTACAATGGCACTCTAAGCGTTTGGATTGCACTGGACGACTTGGAGACGCAAGGTACGTACGAATGGCAGGAGACGTGCGATTCGGACCTGGTCCTGCATACGAACTGGCTCAGCGGTCAGCCGAACCACGCCGATCAAAGATGCGTCGGCCACATCAACGACGGCTGGGGCGATTGGGATTGTAACGACTCGTCTACCGTCGATTGCTGCTGCCAGCCAAAGCCGCCGACGGCCGAGCCCACATCCGAGCCAACGCCGCGACCGACGGCCGCGCCGACTCCAGCGCCAACCACGACGTCGACGACGGTGGGCGGGCCGACGAGCCCGGCTTGCACGATGACTCTACCGGCGTCGGGCTCCGTGTATGTCGGCAATGGGCAAACGTTGTGTCTCACTGCCCCGAATGCAGCAAACGGGTACACCAACCCCTGGAGCGGTTCTCTTACGGTCGGACCCGGGGGTAACGTGGTCGTTTGCGGCAGCGGAAACTTCAAGATTTGGGGCTCTGCGACTATTCAACCCGCCTCCGGGGGGCTTCCCGCCGCGGGGTACTACCGCACGCCAAGTACCAAAATCAAGATCAATAATAACAACCTTGCTGGTACCACCAGCAACAGCTGGTCGAACTGCTAAGGAGGCCGCACCGGCGCCCGCGAACAAGGCCGCGGGCAACGGTCGCCTCCACAAGACAAGAACAAGACCAGGCCGCACCGGCGCCCGCTTTATACGGGCAACGGTCGCCACAAGAACAAGACCCAGGCCGCACCGGCGCCCGCTTCTATACGGGCAACGGTCGCCACAAGAACAAGACCAGGAAGTGTGGTCTGCTGCTCGCAACATACGAACAACACTGCCATACTGCCTATTTCATAATCCAATATAACCAATATGGATTGCATGTTAAGACCAGGCCGCACCGGCGCCCGCTTTATACGGGCAACGGTCGCCACAAGAACCAGGCCGCACCGGCGCCCGCTACTATACGGGCAACGGTCGCCACAAGAACAAGACCAGGCCGCACCGGCGCCCACGGGCAACGGTCGCCACAAGACAAGAACAAGAACCGAGGCCGCAACGGCTCGCGAACTAGCACCTCGCGAGACGGACGCCTCCATCCCCAGCGGCCGGGCCGGCACGGACGAGTGCGCGGACGCCGACTGAATCCCCATCCCATCCCTTCCCGGTTTGACACCCGCGTAAGGCTTCTTTCCCCAATCTTTAGTCGAGTCTACGCGTCCTGCGTCTCGCCGAGGCGGAACGTGCCGAACCGCGCGACCTGGATGTTCTCGCCGAGCACGGCGACGTAGCTCGCGACGAAGTCCGCGACCGTCATGGAGTCGTCCTTGATGTACTTCTGATCCAAGAGAATCTTCTCCTTGAACATCTTGTTGACCCGCCCTTCGACCATCTTCTCCTTGATGGCCTCGGGCTTGCCCTCGAGGTCCTCGCTCTTCATCTCCAACGCGCGCTCCTTGGCGCGCGCCTCTTCCGAGATGTCCTCGGCCTTGACGTACTCGACGCCCGGGCACGCCGCGATCTGCATGGCGAGCATTTTGCAGAGCTCCTTGAACTTGTCGCCCTTGGACACGAAGTCCGTCTCGCAGTTCACCTCGACCATCACACCTAACTTGCCGCCCGTGTGCACGTAGGTCTCGATGAGGCCCTCCTTCGTCGCGCGCTCGCCCTTCTTCGCGGCGGACGCGAGGCCCTTGACGCGCAGCCATTCCGAGGCCTTCTCGACGTCGCCGTCGGCCTCGACCAAGGCCTTCTTGCAGTCCATCATGCCGGCGCCTGCGTTTTTGTGTTGTGTGTTTTTCTGTGTCGCGGCGATGGCGTCGCGGCGGCAACGCACGGCTGGAGAGCTCGCGCGTCCGAGCGGCCCGCGCGACCAGTTTGAAGGCGCCGTTTTTCTTGCATTTCTTGCACCGGTTGGTACCGGAGGCTTTCCGCAGCGCACTGACGTCCTTGGCAGCGATCGTGGCCGCTTGCAGCACCGTCGCTGGCCTCTGAGGGGCAGGAGCGAGGAAACCATTGGCCGCAACAGCGAGGACGACGAGCGTTTTGGTGAGCGACGGCATCGCTGCTTCTCTGATTTGCAAAAACGTCAAGTCTGATCGGTTGCAAGCCGGGTGCGAGCGGGCGACAGTGAGACACGCAGTAGCAGTGAGACACTCAGCAGCAAGTAGGCTCGCGAAACTAAACCACCTCCTTGTACCATGAGACGACGCTTCCGGACGCCTCTGAGCCCTGGAAGAAGCAAAACTCGGCAGCTTGCTTGCTAGTGCCTTACCGGCCGCTAGCCCAGGGATTAGCGGCGGCCGCAAAAAAAAAGCAGCGACGCTGCGCGCGAGCGAGCAGCAACGTCCTTACGTTACAGAATAGCAATTCATACGAGCGAGTAGCCAACTAGCAAAGCAGCCGGGCGCTCCAGCACCCTTTTAAGCCCACCAGCCAAAAAGGCTAAAAAGGTGATAAGCACCGCCGGACCTAAAAAACCATGCGCGAGCAGGAGCTCACCACAACGAGCGCGCCGCAGCTCGACACGCCGCGGCCCGACGACGACGACAACGATGACGAGTCTGATGGGGGCACTGGCGTCGAGGACATGACCAGCCAGCCCGTCAGCTACCGCTTCGTGCCCGCACGTTTAAGGAGAAGGCACGTGCCCGTGAGGCAGGAGCCCGATTCGACGTCGAGGTGCGTCGCTTCTATTCAATCGAAGCCCTTCGGCCAAGCTCGAGTGGTCAACGCGTACAAGCGAAGGGGCGGCTGGCTCTGGGTCTGGTGGGACGGTAGGTTTGGGTGGGTCGACTCCACAAGAATCTACGAGACGTGTGGGTGGAGGTGTTCACCAACAACGAATGTGGACCCGCGCGAGGCGTGGCCGGGCGACAACTATCTCGGAAGGAAGGGGAGGTTTGTATTAGGACCGGACACGTCGGGGTTCGCCGCGACGAACGCCATGACGACGATTCCTACTCTCGTAGTGTGGTGTGCTACCCTTAAAAGTTCTGACGATTTCGGCTGTTCGTACGACACCTGGCTCATCATGAGATGTTTACTGGTCATGATCTACGGGACCTGCATGTACCTGCTGTGGCGGGCCGCGCTCATGGATCCCGGCGTCATCCCGAGGAACCCGCCGGACGCGAAACCGAGCCTCCCGCCCGGCTGCGAGGACGCGCCCGACCTCAAGATCTGCCACACATGTAACTTAGTACGACCAGCTAGGTCGAAGCACTGCGGGTCGTGCAACAACTGCGTGGAGCTCTTCGATCACCATTGCCCATGGCTTGGCACCTGTGTGGCCAAAAGAAATTATGCGTACTTCGCGTTGTTCCTGAACTGCGAGGTGCTGCTGATCGTCTATGTTGTTTGCATTACCACCTTTAGAATGGTGCTGGCCTTCAAAGCTTCTGAGTTACCTGCTACGGCTTTTGAAATAGAGGAAGTGCAGACGGCGCCGTGGCCGTTAGGAGCCGCGGCCGTCGCGGCGGGTCTAGCGTTTCCGGTGGTCTCGTTACTCTGCTTCCATTTAAGATTGGCGGCCATCTCGCAGACGACGAACGAATCCGTAAGAGGCGTCTACCGCCACGCGATCAACAGCAACGATAAAGGCTGTAGACGCAACTGCTACAACTCGATCTACGCGACGCTGCGCGAGGCGACGCCCCCCTCTAGGTTGGAGCCGCTCTTCGCGCGGCCCTGCGCGGACCAGTCCTGGGGCGCGTACGGCGCCGTGCGGTCGGACGACGTCGCCTAGCTCGTTCCCCCTTTAAATGTTTGTATCCTCTACTAGTAGCTCTGGCGACTCGCGTCGATGGCGTGGAGCCCGGCGCTTCTAGACGTCCTCAAAACTTCTTACCGTATGCTACGTGGTGGCGAAGCGACTCCCTCGCCCGCCCTTAAACGCCGCCGCAGCGCCGGCACGCCGTTCGCGAAGGCGACCAACCGCGCGGCGCGCCAGGATATGCCTTGAAGCGGCTCCGGCGCTCTATCGAGAGGCAGCGCAAACGTTGTCCGCACGTGGGCGCGGCGCACGTTGCGCTTCGGCGACATCTCGCCCTCATCTTTAACGCGGAAGCCCTGCGAGCTCTCGAAGCGGCGGCTGAAGAGGGACCGCGCGTCCGTGCTGTGGCTCCAGACCACGGTCCTATTCTGCGCGTCGCGCGCGACCTTGACCTGCGACGCGATTGTGATCGGGCGCGACTCGCGTCAACCTCCACGCCATCGACGCGACATCTGCTCGATGGCGAGTGGAGATCGGACGCCGCATCATACCTCAAACTTCGACGACCGCGGCTCGAGGCCCGCGGCCTCCAAAATAACGGCAACGACAGGCTTGTCGATGGCCTGCGTTGTTATTCCACAACCGAGCTCCTCGGCGACGGCCAGCCACAGCCTCACTAACAATGTGGCCAAACCTTCGCCCCGGCGCTTCTCGTCAACATGTAAACCCCTTAGTACGAGTCGGGGGCCGCTCTCGACGCGACACAGCACGTATCCTATTTTTTTCTTTTTCGCGGACAGAAAGATCGACACATCATCATAAGCCACTTTCGCGTCCTTCGCGAGGGCCACGTCGAAGACCTCCCCGCCTTTGGCAAGCGTCGCTATCAAAGAACGGCGCGGGCGCTGCGCGTCGACGTGGGACCGCGCCGCCGCCAGGGCTTTGACAAGTATGTCGACGTTGTCCACGGCCGCGAGGCCATGGAGGAACCGGGCGACGCACGGCGCTGCGGTGGTCGCCTCGATGACACCATCGTAGACTATCGTTTCGGACGTGATCTGTTTCAGATTGTGCGAGGCGCAGGTGTCGGCGACGGCCCGCCGGCACTGCACCCACGCCAATGCTTCGGCCGCTAATGTGATGTTGTCTCCTTGTAAATCGAGGCGATAGGCAAAGGAGTACGCCTCTTCCGGGTCGCGCTGTGCTGGCTTGCTCCGCGGCGGCGTCTGTGGCGGCGTTTGCGGCGGCGGCGCGGCGTCGTCCGCGGCGATGAGGTTCCGCAGCCGCGCGACGAGCGCTTGAATGTGTTGCTTATACGCGTCGACGATCGCGTCGCGGCGCTTCGGTCGTCGTCGCGCGAGCAGCCAGAGAGCTACTGGGAGACTGCAGGCTAGGCCTGCCGTCAATGCGAGGGCTGCGCGACCGGCGCCCATTGTGACCGTTTTGTGTGATCACTTATCCATATTGAGCAGCAGCCATTTGGGTGATTGGGCCGTTCGACGCCGTCATTGCAATTTGCTCATTTTGCTCTCTCTGGCACCACTTTTTGGTGCAGCCTGCATGCCGTGCCTGTGGACAATTCGTTCCAAAACTAAGCTCCGCACATCTAGCAGTGTCGAAAAGTGCCAGGGATGAGACTGCTCCAGCCCTTTCTGCGGAGCACGCGGCGTACAGCCTCCTCACTGTCACAGCCGCGAGCCCTGCTCCTGGCGCCGGGCCAGCAGTCGCTCAGGAACGAGTACTACGCGTTGAGGCACGGCTGGTCAAAGGCGAACGAGGCCGGTATCATCGTCAGCCGCATCGATAGCGGCGCGCGGCTCGAGTACGGTGCGTTTTCGGTGTGGGAAGGTGCCTTTCAGGTGTCGCGTCGATGGCGTACCGTCGGCCTCCACGCCGTCGAGCAGACACGAGAGGGGCAGACGACGTCTTACCGCGCAGGCCTCCACGCGACCGGGCGGGAGCAGGCTAGCGCCGCCGGCGACGCGTTCAAAGCGATCGTGCGGACGCGACCCGTTACGATCCTCTCGTCGGACTTCTCGCGCACGTTCGAGACTGCGAAGATCGTCGCCAAGGCGGTCCATGCTGACGTCGAGGCCGAGCCGGCGCTGCGCGAGCGGGACTTCGGCGACTTCGAGCTGGGGCCGAACACGGCGTACGAAGCGGTCTGGGAGCAAGACGCCATCGACGCGACGCATACGGCGTGGGGCGTCGAGGCGGCCTGCGCCGTCTTGGAACGCGCGGCGGGCGCGGTCCAGCGCGTCGAAGGCGCGCGCGAGGGCCACGCGGTCCTCCTCGTGTCGCACGGCGACTGCCTCCAGATCCTCCAGACGGCGTTCGCGGGCGTGGACGTGTCCGCGCACCGGTCGTTGCCGCACCTGGAGACTTGTGAGCTAAGGCGGTTGGAGTTGTTGGGTGTAAGTTGAGTGTATAGTGCAAGCTCAAATACGAGGACTGTGTGCGGTACGACAGTTTTGCCTCTAGACAGCTGCCTGGGTGCTCTCCCTGCGTGCGGGTTTGTCGCGCGTCGCGTACCCGTCCTTTTCGTGAGCCCAGAGGCCCACCCGTGTGCCGAGTGCTCTCTTTGGAGGTCTGAGGCGTGTTTGTAGTTGCCGTCTTAGCCGTCCAGAAATCGAGCAGGGGGCAGCAGCGGGAGGCATAAAGGAAGCCGCTCCGCCGCTAGACTTTTATAAGCCAAGCCCGCGGTCAGGATCGATTGGCCTTGAGCTGTGAAGCCCTCAAGAGCGCAATTTCAGCGCCCCGGCGGAGGAGCTCGCAGTAAAAGGAGCGACCTTCACCTCTACGTGAGGACCGCCGCGCGACGTAGCGCAAGCCCCCCGAGACGTTGCGGTGACTCGCGCTGGATAGGGCAGGGCTCGGGAAAGGCTGCGCGGGCGATAAAAACGCGAAGCGCCCACAGACCGACCTGTCTTCCGCCCGGCGCTAAAGAAGGCGTCGCACAAGAATACGATAGAACACGATAAAACACGATAAAACACGATGAGAGACAACGTAGACGAAGGCGACCAGGCTCTGGACAGCCTCTTCGGCCCCTACGACTTCCTCGACAGCGGATTGGCCCAGCTCCCGCCCGAGTCCGAGCCGAGCTCGGGCCGCATGAGCGAGTCCCCGGAGGACGACAAAATTCGCGGCCAGGGCGTCCTCGACGCATTCCCCGACCCGACGGCCGGCGCCATGCTGCCGCCGGAAGACCGCTTCCAGCCTGTTAAGTCAGAGGAGGATCGAAAACCGGGAAGCACGGACGGCTCGGAGGTGTCGTCCGAGCAGGCCCAGGCCCCCGCTCCCAAGAGGGGTCGGGCCGGCGCCCCGTCGGGAAAACAACTCCAACCGCCGACGAAGGGCGAGCTCCAGGACAAGGCCGATAGGTGTAGAGCGAGGAACCGCGAGCACGCGAGACAAACGAGGCGTAGGAAGAAGGAGTTCGTCGAGAATTTACAACTTTCTGTGACCAACCTAACAAGAGAAAACGAGGCCATGGCCCAGCGGCTGCGCGAGGCGGACGCGAGGGACGCGAGGCGGGCGCGGCGCGTCGAGACCGTCGACGCGCTGCTCAATCTAAGAGTGGCCGACGACCCCCAGATCGACCCCGACGATCCGGATAGCGAAGAAAGATTGTGGAACGAACTCGTGGAGCCGGACTTTGAGCTGCACCTGCCGCACACGCCTTATAGATCATTTGCGCCGTACGAACAAACCGTCTCTGGCAGAACCGTAACAGGAGTGCGCGCGGCCATCTCCGACGTCAAGTCCCTGAGGACCTGCCTAGCAGCTCTCACACGATTACCTAGATCGCAAGGCAGCGAGGCCGAGGCCGCCGCGGCGCGCGCCGCCGCTGCTGCAGCTAGAGCCGCTTTGGACGAGCAGCGGTCGTCGTCGGACCAAGGTGAATCCGGAAGACAGACGCGGAGCGGCGGGCGACGCTCGAAGGAACCGGAGCACGACGAGAGCGAGATGCCCCCGCAGGAGGGCCGCGCGGAATGTGTGCTAGAAAGAGCTTCTGTGGCCTGGACGGCGGATGGGACGCTGCTAGCTCCCTGGGTGCTGCGCGTGGCGAACGCCGAAGGTAGGTGCGTCCTCAGCCAGAGAGGTACCGCGAAGGCGATGTTCCGGGCGGCGCCGCGCGGTGTCCGCGGCGACCGCGTCGCTCGGCTCGAACTTACTTTTGACACCATCGGCCTGTGGCAGCAATTGACAAGGGCCTCGAGAAGCCCCGTGGCCGAGCCTTATGCCGCGGTGCCCAATACGTTGGAAGATGCTCTACAAGAGTCAAAAGATGCTCGGGTCGTCACTTCGGCGACGCGGCCCTTCGTCATCGAGCACGTCAACGACGCCTGGGTCCGGCTCTGCGGGTTTAGTGCCGACGAGGCCGTGGGCAAGACCCTGGCGTGCCTCCAGGGGCCCCTCTCGGAGCGCGACGAGATCACGAAGATCGTCGACCAGGCGGCGCGGGGCCATGCGTGTTCCGCACTGATCACGAACTACACGAAGCAGGGCCAACGGTTCCAGAACTTCCTGAGAGTCGTGCCCCTGGTCCGCGGCAACGACGACGCGCAACCGTCGCACATGCTGGGGGTCCTCCAGGACGTCCAGCCGCAGCTCGCCGGCTAGCGACGCTGAAAAAAAAAAAAAAAACAGAAAAACAACACAAAAATTCGACCGCCCCAACCCCACTGACTGACTGACAATACCCCACGCCATCGCTGCCCTTGCCCCGGACGGTGTAAGGCCCCGCGTTGGTACTTTCTAGTCTCCCGGGTGACGTGCGGCCTGGGAGAGCGGTCCTCGCCGTGGGGCGTCGGGCAGTGCTATTCACGGAGCTCCGGGCCTTACCGGGAACATCCTTGCGTCATCATACCAGGTCCTCCTGGAGTGATGTCACGCGCCACGACGACCCTGCGTCCCCTGGGAGCCTTGAAGACCTCCGAAGCCTGGCTAGTGCCTTACAGGGCCGCTAGCTAATATCGCGCCAGCCGCGCTCTCGGCCGATTAAGTCGAGCAGAGAGCGTGCAACAGGCCGCACAGCGCAGCAGCGCTTCATCACAGACTGGTGCTAGCCGCGCGGCACCACTGCGCGTGCGTTTCGCCTCACAAAAGCAGCAGCGGCTCGCTCGCGCCTCTCGCCGCCGCGGCGGCGTCAAACGCTTGCCGATGTCGGACTCCGAAGATGACTTCGCTCCATCAAAACCGGCGCCTGCGGACTCGGACGACGACTTCGCGCCAAGCAAACCGGAGCCCGAGCCGAAACCGAAGCTCAAGGGCGAAGAAAAAAAGGCGCAAGAAACCAAAGAATTCGACGAGATCTGCGAGCAGGGCATGGCCCACGTCGAAGAGGAGGAGTGGAAGGACGCGACGCTATGCTTCGAGAGAGCTCTCAAATTAGATGCGAAAACCGAGGGCAGTAAAGAAGTTTCTGAAGAGAGAGCTGATTGTGCTTTCAATTTAGCGTGTTGCCACGCCCAATGTAATAGGTTGGACGATGCGGAAACGTGGTTACGTAGAAGTGTAGCCTGGGGCGTGCGGGACGTGGACTTGATGAAGGACAAGCACCTGGCGCCTTTGCGGGCGCACGACGTGGCCTTGTGCATGAATTTGATGGAGGCGTTGAGGCCCGCACCGGTCAGACAGGCCGCAGTCCTGCAACGCTCGAGAAGGCAGAGGTCCGGCGGCGCGATGGCGGCTCTGATCCGGCAGGAGAAGGAGCGCCAGGCGCAGCAGGAAGATGACGACATCGACGACTTCTGGAAGGACGAGAAGGACGACGACGAGTATTCGGGGAGTGCGGAATCGGAGCACGAGCGGCGAGATGTGTTTGATTCTGACTTCGACGAGGACGAGTCCGAGTCCGAGGAGGAGGGCTGGGGCTTCGACGACGACCAGAAGGAGGCGAAAGCTCGCGAGAAGCGTATTGAACAGAGAAAGAAGGAGAAGGAGAAGGAACGTGTCGAGAGGGAGAAGGCTCAACCTGTCGGCGGGAAGCGGCGTCGACGGGCCGCGGCCGAGAACGCCGAGGAGCGCACAAGGCAGGAGCTCGAGGGCGACACGACGAAGGACGACAGTGACGACGACTTCAAGGACGCCGCCGCCGACAAGGAGTTGAGTGAAGGGAAGCTTGGTGTGCGCGAGCGGGCCGCGCCGTCGTACCGCGACGCGGTCTCGGCCGCGAAGCGGGAAAAGCTCGTGGCCAAGGCTGCGGCCGACTTAGGGTTCGATAGTGATGACGACGAGGAGATGGCTCCCGCATCGCGCAGCGCATGAATCAAATTTCCCACGGCTGAACCATGGCTCACTGGTTGCTTGAACACAGGCGCCGAAGAAGAAGAAGAAGGTCAAGAAGAGCCCCGATTCCAAAAAGAAGAAGAAGAAGAAGCCGAAGAAGCGAGATGTTCTAGCTGGAATCTTCGGGTCCAAGGGTGCTGCGGCCATCGTGCGACGGGCCGATCGTAGCATAGAGGAGCGGAAGCACGCGCCGCCACCGAAGTCGAAGGACGAGATCCTCAAGAACCTCGTGCGAAAACAGAAGGTCGTCGAGGAGCGGCGCTTCGGCGGCGAGACCGTGCAAGTGACGAAGACGAAGTGGGAAACTAGTGACGCGAACACGGCGAGACGGAAGGCCCACGACCGCTTGGACCATGTCTTGGATCTGATCGCGGGCAAAAAAGAGATCACGGCCACCGAAAAGTCGGCCCAGGAGTGGGACCAGTACAAGGAGAAGCACAAGCTCGAGGACTCGCTCAAGGGCGGCACGGGGTTATTGGCCAAGCGCGACTTCCTCGAGCGGACCGATCATCGTAGATTTGAGATCGAGCGAGACGCGCGGAACGCGGAGAGGGCTAAAAGGGACGCCGAAGGGAAATAAGTATGTTAGTCACCTATCATGGTCTTCGACATCATCACCGTTAACGGTTGGTGCGTGTCCCGTCGTTGACTGATCGTTTGTCTAGCTTCGTCGGCCTCGGCCATGATCTCCTCGACGGTTCTCGGTGGCGGGTCGTCTGCTCTGTGAAAGCGTCTCGTCCGCTTCTCCGCATTTTCACGTCCTGTCCGTCTCCGTTGAATCTCAGAGTCGACTTCGATCCACTTGTGGGCCGTAGGTGCTAAATCCTGTATGGTGTCGTTGAATCTCACCCTCGACGCGTCCGCCCCGGAGTTGATGGAGTACATGCCCGCCGTCCTTTTGAGTCGCTCTTCTATAGCGGCAGTAGTAGCTTCGATCGACGGTCGCACATATAAGATATCATCTTCATCCTTTGCAGTAGGATACAATGATTCATCCAACACGTCCACCATCGGCCGATCAACCAATGGGATATCTTTCAGCTCCCTCTTGATGGGGTCGCCGTCCTTATCGACCAACCCCATGAGAAAGTTCATCTTCATAGGTGATACTTGATGCGGTGAAAAGGCCCAGAGCGGGCATTTCAGTTTATGTAAACCGGAAGGTGGTCTTTTTTCGACGGGTAAGGCTCTTAGGTTAGGATCGTACGTACTGACACTGAACTCTTCCATGAGCTTTCGCACTCGGTGCACGTGTGCCGCGGCACTGCCCGCTGATTGTTTATATGTAGAATCCGAGGATAAAGAAGGTAGAGGGTGTTTCGCCTCTTCCACGCCTTCCACACGTGTCGGCCACTTCTTCTTCGCGTAGTCGCCTTGTTCAGAACCGCAGATACATGTGCTGTCTAGAGTCCGTTGGACGCGTTGTGTGTTGACACAATACGCATACCGCGGCGTCTCCTCTTCATCGTCGTGCACTAGATCACCGACTCTACTCCGCAACAAAGTAAACTCGCAGTCGTCCGGATACGTACCTCCGGCAGGCGTAAACCAGGCTCTCCAGCAATCGCGCGCCGATAACGGCTGCCCGAGCACCTCACTTGCCAAGTCGGCGAACTCGTCGTCGAGCAGCCACCTACCGTTCGTGTCGACGGTGGCCAAGTCGGCGATGAGCGCTCTCCCTCCGAACTGGTTGGGCATCTGCGTGGGCAGCCCTCTGGTCGGGCAGCTGTGCGCCGTCGCCGCGCGGGAGCGACGCAGGGCTCGACCGGGAGCTCGGAACGGCTCGCAGGCACCCCGTAGACGCACGCACGGGCGGCGTTTAGTTGCCCAAAGTCTCGCACAGCGCAAAATCGCGCCGAACCCGCACTTTGGCGGCCCGGCCGCGGACTGGCTTCCCTTCGAAGGGAGCGCTCGGCCGTCCCAGGGCACCTTTGTTATCTATCCGTGCGGGTTCGGCGCCCTCTCGATCCACAGCCTCTCAGCTCCTTGCAAAGGGCTGCCTCTTAGGTCGCCCACCGAGCAGTAGAACATGATCCTTACAACCTGCGCTGTCTGCGCCACCGAGCTTGGGCTAACCTCGGGCAAGAAATGCGGCCGCTGCAGCACGCGCTACTGCGGGGCAGCCTGCCAGGTGCAGCACTGGAAAGAAGGCGGGCACGACCAGCTCTGTAAGAAAATAAAGAAAGCAGGCGGCGCCGAGCAGTACAATGCAAATAAGAAGTACTCGGAGGCCGTCGCGGTCGCGGCGACGGCGTGCGCGGAGGACACGAAGGGCCAGACGTGCTACATCTGCACCGAGGCCGTCCATCGACACACGGGTGAGGGCCTTGTGCGCGGGTGCGCGTGCCACACGACGGAGGGCTTTGTGCACGTGTCGTGCCTGGCGGAGCAGGCGAAGATTTTGGTCGCGGAGGCTGTGGAGAATAAGTTGGGCGGCAAGGCATTGGGTGAGAGGTTCGGGCGGTGGCACACGTGTAGTTTGTGCGAGCAAGGATACCACGGCGTCGTGTATTGCGCGCTCGGGTGGGCGTGCTGGAAGATGTACGTTGGCCGGCCGGAGACGGACGGGCTTCGAAGTTGTGCGATGCAACAGCTTGGGAGCGGATTATCCGCCGCAGGGCACCATGAGGAGGAGTTGTCTGTGAAAGAGGCCCAGTTGGCTATGATACGGCGCATTGGCGCATCAGAACACGACACGCTCGCCGCGCAGCACAATCTTGCGACCACGTATTCATCTCTAGGACGGGCGGAAGAATCCCTGCGCATGCGGCGAGACGTATACGCCGGGCGTTTGAGGCGCAACGGCGAAGAACATGCAGTCACCATCATAGCAGCCCAAAACTACGCGACATGTCTTGCTGGTCTACAGCGGTTCGAAGAAGCCAAATCAGTGTCGCGCACAACATTGCCCGTGGCGCGACGCGTCCTCGGAGATAGTGATGACGTCACTCTCAGGATAAGGTGGACCTACGCGATGGTGCTCTACAAGGACCCCGCCGCCACGCTCGACGATCTCCGCCTGGCCGTGAACACGCTCGAGGACTTGGATCAGACCGCGCGGCGCGTCCTCGGTGCCACACACCCGCTCGCATCGGGGATTGAGATATCCCAACAAGAGGCGCGGGCCGCGCTTGGGATAACCCTACGAGACACGCTAGCCGCGCTCCGCGCCCGCGAGGCGGCGCCGCCAACGGGGGACGCCTAAGCTAGACGCCACCGACGCTAGACACGATTGAATAGACACTTAGCGCCCCCCAGCGACAAGACTACTAGTCCTTCTTCAGGTCGCGGACGGCCTTCGGGAAGTGGATGCCCTCGGTGCCCTCGACGTACTGGCACTCTTTGGCGGCTTTCCACATGCTCGTCACGACGCCGTCATGGTCGTAGTTGTACAATCCTAACGGCTTGAGGTAGGCCTTCAGGTGCTTAGTAGCCTCTACAGCATGGTAGCAAGGTAAATTGGAGAACAAATGGTGGCAGACGTGCGTCGAGCCGATGTGGTGGTGCACCCAGTCGAAGAAGCCGAACAACTCCGCGTAGGGCCGGTCGATGGTGCACAAGGCGCCGCGCACCCAGGTCCATTCGTCATCACCAAAATGAGGGACTTCTGGCGACGTGTGCTGGAGCCACGTGTAGAGGACCAACCAAAAATTGACCCAGAGGTAGGGGCCCCAGTAGAAGCAGGCTACTGGTATTATCCCAAACTTGTACGTCGCGGCCCAGATAGCAGTGAAGCAGGCGATCCAGCACGTAGTCCCAACATAAATACGACGCTCCCAGTTCGGCGGGAAGAGCTTCGACCAGGGTCGGAAATGGTCCAGCGTGTTGTCCTCGATGGGCTTGTGGTTGTAGAGGCGTCTAGCTCCAGTCGCGTTCGTCACTAAGTAAGCCGGCCACCCTACGACAAGATGCGCAAAGAGCTGGAACCCAGCAAAGCCCTCCTCCCCGATGGCGTGGAACAGGGCCACATAACCGGCCTCTTCTATTTCAGCCTGGGTGTTCGGATTGTGCGTCTCGCCGTCCATCAGATGGTTCGTCTTCGCGTGGTGCTTGGCGTGCGAGTACTGCCACGAGTAGTAGGGGACCAGCAACACACTGTGGAGCACTAATCCCACACAATCATTGACGAACTGGCTCGCGGAGAATCCGCCGTGGCCACATTCATGTGCGAGGACCCACCAACCCGTCAGAGCGGCGCCCTGGAAGAAGGCGTAGGCCTGCCAGCCGAGAATGTCCACAATAGTCATGTTCGACGTTCTCAAGAGAGATGCGGCGAGAAACGCAAACATGGCCACGACGGCCGTGTCCCGGATGACGTGGGCGAACGCCGACACGTAGGAGTGCTCGAAGCACTCCGGGGGGATGGAGTCGCGGATCTGCTTTTTTGTAGGGAGTTTCTCCTTCGGTAGAACCGCGGCGACGAGCGTCGCGTGCTCAGCGGTGATGAGCGGCTTGCCGCAGCGGCTCGGCCGTGACGAGGTGAGGAAGTCCTCCTGCTTCGGGGGCTGCTGGCCTCCTTTGCCCATTGTTGCGAGTTTCTAGAGCTGTTGTTGCGAGTTTCTAGAGCTGTTGGCTAGTCTGTCGCGCGTAAGCGAGCGTAAGCGACGTAAGCGACGAGGATGCGAGAGGCTGACAGATGCAGCACCTAATTCCTCAAAAACGCACGGATTTGGCTCGCGTTTGCTGATGTAGGCGCGCTATACACTCTGGCTAGCTGATGAGCAAGCCTGGTGAGCAATGCGTGCTGTGTGGGCGCGTAGCGGGCGATTTCGTCGAGATGCTGGCGCGACCACGCCACCACATACTAGAATTCTCGTCGCCCCGTCGCCCCGTCGAAAAGCATTCAGGCACCCTTCGAACAGCCCAGAGCACCACTCCAGCGCGAAGGAAGGAAGGCCTAGGGCCGTACTGTGTTCGGCGCGCGAGTCGAGTACAGCTCGAAGCGAACCAGCGCACGGTGCGCATCACGTAGACTGGCGGGAACACTAAAAAACACACACAATTACCCTTCCTTCCAGAACACGCGCACAATATCCCGCACGTTCGACCGCCCGTCCTCGGCCGACCACACCACTTCACAACAGAGGCGATCGACGCGACCGACCTCAGCCTCGAGGGCCGCGACGCCGCCACCACACCCAAAATAGTAGCGCTTCGTCGCGACGACGGCCTCGCCCTTTACGGATAACGTCTTCGCGATGCATTCCACCAGAGAACGCGTCGTGTCCTCGCGGTACGCCGTCTCCGCGCTCAGGATCAGGTCGAACGTCCCGAAGCCACGCAACGCCGCGGGCAGCCCGCGCCAGTCGCCGCCGTAGAAGTAACATCGGCCGCCGACGCGCGCCGCATCAACTCTAGTGTAGCGCTCCAGCACGTCGGCGTCGTAGTCGCTGAAGACCACTTGTTGGGCGCCTCGCTTGAGGCACCAGAGGCCGGGCAGGCCGCGGCCGCAGCCTAATTCTAGCACCGTGCCGCTCGGTCGCCGGTGCGCGGCGAGCCACTCCACGAGGTCAATCGCGCACTCCCAGAGCTCCCGCCCGCCCTCGTAGACGCCTTTTTGAACAACTTGTGACGACTCGGCGACGGCGAGGTCGAAGCGCTCGCCGCCGGCCTCGACGGCGCGCGTTTCGGCGGCCGTGGCCTGGACCGCTGCGATGCGCGTGATTGGGCGCGATGTCGCGCTGGCGGCGTCGGCGTTTTCCGATGCCGGTGCTGGCGCTGTCGCTGGAGCCACTGCACCAGAGGCATCAGTGGCATTATCAGCGGCGCCAAAGTCGAAGCGAAAGCTGCTCATTGCTGGATCATTTTGGCCATTAGATGACGCATTCGCGGCGAGCCCAAATCTGTATGGTTTAGGCGCTAGTTTATGGCCTCTGCCAGCTGCAGCCTCAGCACCTGAGAGGCGTCGAGCAACCAGGCCGTCGCGTGGTTGCAGAGCAGACAAGGCAGCCGCAAATCTCAGCATAGATCGAAACAGCACTGGACAGAGGCACGCGCCTCCCAAAACCGCACGCCGCGAGCCCGAACAAGTGCAGGCCGGGTCAGCTGCAGCTGCGGCTCCGTGACGCGCGGCGCAGCACAACGACGCTCGCCCAGTGCGCGAAGCGACGCGTAGCCGCGGAGCACGCGGCGCACGTCGCATGCCGCAGCAGGAGCTGCAAACCCTCTTCGCGACGCTCGGCGCCTACTTCGCGCTGCTCTTCCGGGCGCTCGCGCGCTTTGTGGGAGAGCCGGGCGCCGTCGAGAGCGAGGGCGAGTTCGAGGCGCTTGCTTTAGCCGCGTTGCGCATAGAACGCGCCGAGGCCGAGGCGAACTACCCGCTCGGCTGGACGATCGAGGAATGATCCTGTGGCTCCTGAACAAGTTGTTTGGGACGGGCGACGTGTACGAGGACGTCTCTGAAGAGCTGCCTTATGAAATAGGCGATAGAGTAGGCGGCGGCACGTTCGGGAGCGTCTTCGTCGCGACGCGTGATGAGAAGAAGGTCGCGGCCAAGGTTTTACTGAAGCGCGTGATCATAGATGAGGATAGGAATATCGTCCTGCCGCGGCGCGCCGCTTCTCTTAGGGAGGAGGTCGCTATATCAAAGGAGCTGGGCGGCAAGCACCACTGTGTTTCCTGTGAAGGTTACCACGAGGCGCCGGACCGGCTCTACGTCTACTACGAACTGATCACAGGGGGCACGCTCGCGGATCGACTGGAAACGGCCCACTTCCACGCGCGGCGCTGGGCGGCGCAACTGCTCGACGCGGTGGCCTGGTGCCATGCGAAGGGCATCAGTCATAGGGATATCAAGCCCGAGAATATACTCATGACGCGCGTCGAGAAGGGGGGCAACCGGGGCTGGCGGAAGTTAAATAAGGATGACGAGCCGGAGTGTGACGTGAGGCTCTGCGACTGGGGCTCGGCGCGGCGGCGCGGCGCCTCGGTCAACGAGGCGGAGATCACGGGCTTCTGGAGCGCGCCCGAGGTCCTCTCTGGAAGGTGTTCAGATGATATGAGCGCGGACAACTGGTCCGCGGGGCTCGTCGTCCTGGCCATGGCCGCGGGCCGGCCCTCGGAGGCCGACGTCCGCGAATTGCATAGAGGCGGCCTCGCGGGCGCGGAGCACTTCCGAGCCCGGGTCCTGAAGGTGCAGCCGCTCACGCACGACGCGCGCGCGCGCGAGGTCGTCGCGGAATTGTTGGATCCGGACCCGACGGCGCGCCTCGCCGCCGGCGCGGCCCTGGACTTCGAGTTCGTGCGGGGGTTTGTTGCCTAATTTATTGTGTGAAACGTGGGTCTATGGTCAATTATCCGGAAGCGAAGGGAAAAAGCGCAAAGTGTCTGGTTTGCTAGTGTCTTACATGCCGCTAGCAATTTATATTGCCGCGCATTGGCTTTTCGCGGCCTAATCTAGGTCAAATCGCAGCCAATCACAGGCAGCAAGCGTATACTTAATAACCATGCCGCTGTGCGCTGCGCCTGTCCCGCACGGGTGCGAACGGGCCCGAAACTCCGCACCCGGGCAGCCGAAAGCAGCGCCGCGAGCGCGCACGCCGGCCACGAACAGAGCGCCGCGCTCGCCGCCGGCCACGAAAACAGCGCCACGAGCGCCGCAAGCGCCGCGCGCGCCGGCCACGAACAGAGCGCCGCGCAAGCCGCCGGTCACGAACAACACCAAGTCGCTGGCAGCCTACGCGCGCGACTCCCACTGCGAACTGCTGATTCTTCCGATCGTCCTCGCGCACGTCCTGTTCCTGCGCCGCCGCCGCCGCCGCGGCGCGGCCAAGGCACAAGACTCGGAGCTCGCGTACCCGCTGCCCGTGGAGGACACCAAGCCGCGCGCGCGGCCGCGGCCCTGCACGACGTCGCCGCCCGCACCCCAGCGGAAGAAGCTCTGGGACGGCGGCCCGACGACCGCGGCCGTGCACGACGCCGCCGCGGCGCAGGCCGGCCGCGACGCCAAGTCGGGACAAGAGGCGACGGAGCGCCAGCGCGCCGTCGCCGAGAGCGAGAACGAGTTCCTGCGCGAGTTCGAGGCGTTGTTGCGCGGCGGCTTGGACGTGGACGTGCGGCCGTCGGACGAGTGGCGCAAGGCCAACGGGAGCCGCGCGACGGTGGAACACGCGCTGCTCTCGCTCGGCACGGACACGCGCGGGCGCGCGCGCTGCGCCTGGACCGTCGCTGAGCGGGATACGGCGTTCCTCGTCGCGGAGATGCGCTGCGTCGCGCGGCCGCTGCCGGCGGAGCTCGGCGAGCTCTCGGCGCGGAGCTTCATCGTGCAGCACGACGGCGACGCGACGCTGGTCCACTGCCCCTCGGAGGACCTGGCGGACCTTTGTGTCGCGGGCTTCAATCTTCTTGCTGATCGCGAGGTTGAAAAAGCGCGCGCGAACGCCTGGAAAAAGGGCAAGACGCCGTCGGCCAAGAAGGCCCTCGGCGACTCCAACTGACTCCCCTGTTTAATGACGACGTGAACTGAACAAATATTAGTCAATCAGAGCTTCGCGTCGAGCTCGGGCACGGCCTCAAATAAATCGGCGACCAGCCCGTAGTCCGCGACCTGGAAGATGGGCGCCTCGGCGTCCTTGTTGATGGCCACGATCGTCTTGGAATCTTTCATACCTGACAAATGCTGGATCGCGCCACTAATGCCCACGGCAATATATAATTCGGGCGCGACCACTTTCCCGGTCTGGCCGACCTGGAGCTCGTTGGGCACCATCCCCGCGTCCACTGCGGCCCGAGACGCCCCTACCGCGCCTCCTAACTTGTCGGCGAGCTGCTCGAGCATGGCGAAGTTCTCTCCGCTGCCCATGCCCCTCCCTCCGCTCACCACGACTCTCGCGGCCGTGAGGTCCGGCCTTTCGCTATCGCCACTGCTCTCGGAGATCTTCTCCGGGAGTTCCGGCGCGACGGCCGCGTCGATGGATGCCGCTTCGACACCGGCGGCGCCGCCCTCTTCGCTAACCTTCTCGAAGGCCGTCGCGCGGACCGTGGCTACTGTCACAGATTGCGTCGTCTTGACCGTAGCTAACGCGTTGCCCGCATAAAACGGTCGCACGAACGTGTCCTCATTCAAAACTTCGCAGATGTCCGTGACCGGCGAGACGCCGAGCGCCGCCGCGATGCGCGGCACGAAGTCTTTGGTGTTGTTGGACACGGGCGCGAAGACGTGCGAGTAGCCGCCTTTCTCCACAAAACTGGCGATGCCCTTGGCCGACGGTGGGGCGTCGACGTGGAAGACGGCCTCGACGCCCTGGGCCTTGGCGGCCTGCTCGGCGACCGTACTTGGCGCGCCGGCGACGAGGACGGCGCTCGTCTCGTTGAGCTTGCTCGCCGCAGTCAACGCGGCGAGCGTCGACGGCGTCATATTCGCGCCGTCGTGGTCGGCTAGAATCAGCGTGCTGGCCTGGCGCCGCGCGGCGACGCGGCGCAGCGCACCAGTCGCGTGTCTGAGCATGTTTACTTGTCAGCGCAGTAATCTTGCGCAATGTATTTGTCGCTCAGCGTTGATCTCGTGAGCTGTTTCAGGTGCTCGTGCCGAAGGCTACCTAGTGTGTTACATGCCGCTAGCTAATGCGGGGTCAAAACGGCTGCCCATTAGGCTTCTGGCATATCACGGATCGAACATGGCTGCCCAAACAGCGGCCGATGCCATGCGGACGGCGCTGGAGTTGCATCGCGAAGAGTCCGAGGAGCACCATACACTCCAACAACAATTGAACGTGTCGTTGGACAGACACCAGACTGCCCTCGACCAGATGGAGCGGGTGGCACTCGCGGCGGGCGCCGACCCCGCTGTTTTGCGTCAGATCCGCGAGGCCATCCGTAATCCTCCGCAAGCGCCGGACGCCGGAGGCGCGGCGGAAGAGCCGGCCGAAGCCGAAGCCGAGCCGGCGGCGCGAGAGGAGCCGGTACCGCCCCCGCCCCCGCCCCCGCCGCCCGTCGAAGCGCCGGCGGCGGAAGCGCGGCCACGAAAGCGCGCACGGCGGGTCACGGACGACGACCTGCCTTCGCAGCAGGACCTGGGCCTCACCCAGCGAATCACGCGGAACGATTACGACAACAATCAGATCCGCATTCCGCGGGTGGTGAAGACGAAGATTCCAGTTCATAATGGCACGGTGTTAGTGGCCGTGTTCGACGTCATCGTAGAGTGCAAGTGTCGTCAAATGGACGGGGGACGCTCCGGGATCCTGAAACTTGCTATGAAGCGGAGGTTTTCCTTCAGCCAGATGGAAGGGTTACGGTTTGTGATGCATTCTGTACCGTGCCCGGAGTGGCAGCGCCGTTCGCCCCACTCGCATGTATTAGACCTAGACGAGTATATAAAAGCACAATAAGTAAATTTCACGGCGTATCAGCTTGCTGAAGCAACACCTAGCAAGGAACCCGCACGCAGCCATCAATCGATCGAGGCTCATCGAGACGGAGGCGCGGAGAAGCTGCCCGCATCGATGCTAAACCTGGCGGTCGATTGCGCCGCACGATGAGACACATCAATAGAGGCAGCCCTGCGATGGACTAAGGATGCGTAGGCTCGTACTGCTGTGGGCCACAGCGGCAGCCGTGCGGCAGCCCCCCCTCCCGAAGAGCCCATCGGCCGCAGCGGTGCGCGAGGCCTACTTGTATGCGTTCGCGACGTATGCGCGCGACGCCTGGGGCAGCGACTGGTTACGACCGGTCGCGCGGCAGTCGGTGGACGCCGCGGCGGCCGGCCCGCTCGGCCAGACGATCGCGGCAGCGGCCGACGGGTTGTGGCTCATGGGCTTCGATGGCGTCGTGCGGCAGTGCGGCGCCTGGGCGGCGGACGAGTTTTCTGCGGGGGACGCGCACGTGGCCACCTCCACGAGGGACGCCACAAAAATACTGGGAGGCCTCCTGGCCATCTATGTTCTGTCCGACGACGCGCGCTTCCTCGGGGCCGCCAAGAAACTAGGAGACCGGTTGCTGCCGGCGTATGGCGCGTCGCCGACGGGCCCGCCCTACGCTCATATTTTTGACCTAAGGGAGGGCGTCGTCAGTAAACCGACGGTAAATGTCCAAAACTCCGAATCGTTGACGGCTGGATTGGTCGAGTTGAAAGCCCTCGCCAAGGCGACGTCGAAAAAACGCTTCGCGGAGGCCTCCGATCGACAATTACAAGCACTCTTTGACATGAAGGGCTGGACCTTCCAAGGCTCGCTGGCACCGGCTCGGGCGTCCATCGAAGCGGGCGCCTTCGAGGATTCAAATACAGGACGCTGTTCTGCTGGTGAGGGCGGCGCGGAGCTCTACGCTGCCTTAGTCGCGCGCGGGCGCCAGTCGAATGATGAATTAGCGCGCAAGGCGTCAAGGCTTGCGGCTCGCGCGGCCGTGGCGTCGTTAACCTTCGTGGTCAGTGACGAGAACGGCACGGTAGCCGCAGACATGTTACAAGGCGAGCGGGGGCCTCCCGTCTTCCACCAGCGGGCCTGTGCGTTGCCCGGGTTTCTGGCACGAACTAACTGGGGCTACATGCCCCAGGCGGTCCACGACCCTGATTCTGTCAAAACTATCGCGCGCGATTTGGTGACGACTTGTGTACAAAGAGCCTTGCAAACAAAAACGGGCCTCGCTCCTTCATTAGATCAGGCGACGGGCCGCGTGGGGGATTTACGGCCAGAAACGGCGTCGTCGTTGTTCTTCATGCGGCGCGCTACCCAAGACCCGTACTACGCTTCACTAGGATATGATCTATTCCGGAAACTGAACGCCTCATCACGTATACAGGGAGGCGCCTTCGCGACCATTGACGATGTTGAGATAGGCAACAAGAGGGACGAGCAGCCGCCTCACGTTTTCGAGACCCTCAAGTATTTATATCTGCTACTGTTGGAGAACGAAACACAGAGTACTTATCTTGATGACTACGTCTATGCAGCGGGAGGCCACCTGCTGCCGGTCTATGACGGCAGCGAAGTCCTGGATAAAGCGAACGATGACTTGCGGGCGACGGTCGTCGTCGTAAAAAAAATAGGCCACGCGGTCGTTCCCGACGACGAATTGCATATTGCGGATAGTATAGAACGCTTCGCGGCGACGGCGACGAGCGCCGGGCATGTAACTTTCGACGAGAATGCCTTGAACGAGTCATATACCATGGTCGCTGGTCAAAGGCCGTCTGGCAGACCTCTATCCGGTACTGCAATGATTGCGGGCTTCCAGGAAGGAATCATCCCGCCGAACCAACCGGGCAATGCTACTGTGTGGGGTGTGTCGGGCATCGAAGGGCCCGCGCGCTTCGTGTCGCGCGTAGCCCAGGCTTTAGTCAAGCAGGGGCTGCCCGTGTCGCGCAGCTTCGTCGAAGATACGCATGCGTCACTCTGCAAGCTCAGGCCCTGCGGCCACTACGGCACCGCCCCGAGATATGATTTACCCACTAATCTAACGGTGAGCGCGGACCCGTTAGGATCATTGACCGTAGAGCCGTGGATGGAGCCCGCCGACGCCATCGAGCAGTTCGCCCGAGCAGCAGCGGCAAAGGGCCAGGACATCAAACGGGAGAGCTGTGTGGAGATGCTGAGCTGGTTCTGCAAACGACGGCGATGTGCCAGGCAGACGCTACGAGAAGATAGAAAAGCTGTAGTACTTGTAAGTACGGGAGAGAAGGACCTCGAAGCCACAGCCACGTGCGAGTTCTGGTCGCCGCCGGAGTGGTGCGCCGAATTGCTGAAGGATCGACTGATCAAAGAAGGCGTACCGGTCGACTCGGCCCTGGCGGCCGGTATGGAGGTAAGAAGGCACTTCTGCGAGACGTCGACATGTGGGCAAAGATTGCATACTAGGCTGTCGTTAGACATCTGGGACCACGACAACGGCACGGTCGGCGCGGCCGCGTGCGGGCCGCTGTCGGACCCGGCGGACTGCGTCGAGAAGATGTTCCGCGGGTCGTATCGTGTCGGCTTTAAAGCGAATGAAACGACGGCAGAAGCGTCGATGACGCGCATGATGCGCTGGTTCTGTAAGAGGAGGGAGTGTATAAGGCCGGTCGCGCCGGCCGTCTCCATCACACATAAGGGCGACGTGCTGGAGGTCAAGCCCTGGGACGAGCCCCGGGGTAAGCTAAGGGAGTTCGCCCAGCGGTTCAGTGATAAGCGCGAGCCTCTCTCACAGGAGGAGCTCAAACAACTTTCGTTCAAAGTCTGCTCCGCGAGACCGGGCTGGTGCGTGACCCTCCCCAAGACGGTGGGGGTGGAAGTAACAGGTGTGGGAGAAGCGACCTGTCGACCCTGGGAGGAACCGGCGGACGTCTTGGATACGTTGCACGCCCATGCTTTGAGGGCGGGTCTGGAAGTGACCGATCTCCAGTTAAAGAAGTCGCTGGAACTCATGTGCGCCCAGCGCAACTGTGATCGGAAAAAAGTCAAGAGTATGGCTCGAATATTTTTCATGCACCCGGGCAAGACGGCCGGTAGAGCTATTCAAGACGCGACGACGAAGACGGACAAAGTGTTCGTGTTGGGCCACGACGACCGCTGCGACGGGCTATCGAAACCTTGTTATGTGGTACTAAGGGACCCGCGCGAACGTCTGGTCTCAGCTCTAGCCTTCAAGCAGCAGGGCGGCGAGTGGCGCGGCGAACGTTTGTTGGGCAACACGTGTCATGGGTGGTTGATGGGCAAGAACCTCTCTACCATCTTGGCGGATGTTGATGGATTGGATCAACACTGCGAGTACTTTCAGGCTTCTCCGGATAAAAAGACGCACTGCGTCTTCCGGCCTCTCGAGTGGTGGGTGGACGGTCACGAGGACGACATCAACTTCCTCTGCTTTCCGGAATTGACGACGAGCTTCTCGGCGTTGATTGCGCCGTTCTGCAACGATACGACTTGTGCGTTACCGAAGCGCAACCCCTCGAACCACTCTGAGTTGTATGGCGGGCGGCCTAGTTCACACGGCGCGGCCCTGGACGCCTTCGCGCGGCGATGGTATTCAAAGGATCTGGAGCTCTATGAAAGGCACTGCGGGACGGTGAAGGGCCCCCGTTTTTGCCGGCGTCCCCTTTTTATTGGCCTTCGCGGCACGCCGTCGCCGCGACGCCCATTCACATGCCGACGGCGGCCACCCGCACACACTTCGCGTCCCGCAGGTCAGGTCTACGGCAACGCGTCTGCGCAAGAAGCAACTGTGGAAAAGGGTCCCTTCGGCGAGCCGATCTTCGCGTGGGAACCGTAGTGACCTAGTCCCCGACGTCCGTGGCGCGTCACTGTCGCCGTGGTGACTGCTACGGGGCGACGGCGTGGCTGATCTCGATCCTAGGCCTCGTCCGCGACTCCTAGTAACTGCTCTTAATAGACTCTACTGCTGCGCCGGCGCCGGCGCCGGCGGCGGGGCCGCCGCCGGGGCGGCCGCGTCCTCCTCGCCCTCGGCGCCCGCCTGCATGAAGCCGTGCGCGCGCCACTCGAGGACCATGCGCTCGGCATGGAACAACTGCAGCACCATCTCCTGGTGGCGCTCGCACGTCTCCGCGATTTTCGTCTTGGCCCGGTCCAGGGCCTGTTGAGCGGCCGGTTGTGACGGCTGATCACTAGAAGTGTCCATCGCGTCCGGCGCGGGCGCCGGAGCGATCGCCGCCGCGGCAGCAATTGAAGAAAATTCATCCTCGAGAATCTTTTTTAGTTTTTGGGCGTGCTGGTCTAAGACGAGCTTCAGGAGATTCGGGCCCTCGTCCTCGACGGGCACGGGCGCCGCCGGCGCCTGGAGATTCTCTTGACTACCAAACTGGAACATTTTTGGGTCTTTCGGGGCCGGCGCCGGGGCGTCTGCGACGGTCGGTTGCGGCGGTGGCGCGGTCTTCTTCTCCCCCACCGCCATGGTCTTGCCATCTGCACTAACACTGAGTGATAAGACGGGCGCTCTCGCCCTATGCGTGGAGAGGGGATTGCCATTGGAACAGTCGAAGATCGCGACGGCGCCCTGGGCTTCTGCTAACTCACCACCAACAACTAATCTAATGCCGCTGCAGAAGGCCACGGCGCACGCCGACACCCACGGTTTACTGCCATCCGTTAACGCGCGATCTAATACGATATCACCATTGACTTCGATCGCCAACTCATTCAGTTGAGCTAACACGACCCTAGACCCGCCGCAGACCGCCACGAAATGTTGATTAGTAGCACCAACGGTGGTGGTCGTCGCCACGGACCGCGCCGAGCTCCCGCACGATAATTTCAAGGACCTCGTGACGGTCTGCGCGTCGTCCGCGGCTTCGTCTTCCATCTGACGCTCCTGGAGCGAGGCCTCCGGGTTGCCGAAGGGCGCGCAGGGCGCCATGTTCAAATCACAAATAGTGGCTTCCGACGCCCGTGCTACGACGAGTTTTGAGGATTGTGGGGTCCAGACCACACCGACACAGGGCGTCGGGGTTGTCGGTGGTCTCGGTGGTATGGGTCTGTCTGGTGTACACCCTGCGAAAGGAGCTCTATGGTCGTACAGCTCCTCAAAACCTCTCAACCTCAATCGTTGGAGGATATCACCCGTCGTGCCGTCCACCACTTCCACAAAGCCGTCCGTTCTCGCCAGAGCTAGTTTGGTGTCGTCCGGTGAGAATTCTAATGATAAAACCGGCGCCGGCCGCTGGGTGGCGAAGCTTCTCGCACCTGTAAGAGCCGTCGAGCACGTCACGAAACCCAAGCGGGGCGCCGGCGGCGCGGTGCCGGGCGGCGGCGCGGGCGCCGCGCCGCCGCAGGCCACCCTCAGCCCGTCGTGGCTCCAGCTCGCCGCCGCTACGCTGTGCGCCGCTGTGCCCTCGATCTCCGCGACAAACGCCGAGCTCGTCTTTACGACGGCGGCGCCGTTCGCGCCGACGCGGGCCAAGCATATTAAAGAGCCGTCCGGGCTCAGCGCAGCTTGGAGGGCGCCCTCGCACTCGACGGACTGAAGGTTGTCCATTGTTTTTTGCCCTGTTTATGCTCAGAGAGAGCGGCGGCTTGGCTTCGGCCGCTGCGTGCCGCGCTTGCTAGCTCAAACGCTTGTCTGCTAAATATGTGACAGAATGTGTCTAACAACTGCCTGCCACGTCTCTATGGCAGCTCTAGCTCCTTTTTTGGAGCAGCGGCGCGGCGGCTGCGAAACAAATCGGGTTTTACGCGCGACGGCGGATGCCTCTAGCCCGCGGCGCCTGGATGGTCGCCGCCGCGAGCGGTCCTGGCCGGCCGCGTGCTCCAGCTCGCGTGCGCGCTCGCGCCGTGCTACGAGAGGCGCGCACCGTGGCGCCAGTCGAGGCCGAGGCGGGCCGCCTCTCTGGGCCGAGAGCAGTCGGGCGGCGGACGACGCCGACGCACAGCGCAAGTCGGTCACGGGGCAGCCTCAGGGGCAGCCCCACCCCACCTATTTCCGCCCGAGGCGCCCCCGCGCGAGAACTACCCGCCCGAGGCCGTCCGGCGACCTCTCCGCGGCCCCCGCGACCGCGCCGGGGCCGTAAAGGCGCACATGAACCCTAGAGGGGTCCGTGCTAGAAAAACTAACGCTGCAGAGAGGAGGCGGCAAAGCGCGGCCCCCATCGCATCGAGGAGCTGCCCGGCCGGGCCAATTCACGGCGCTACGTGACGCCGTCGTTCAGCGGCCGCACATACGGCAAAAAGAGGCAGCCCCGGCGGCGCCCCAAGGAGAAACAGCCCGGGGAGGGCCAGGGCGCCGCCACAGTAAAGACGCCCGAGGGCGCGCCCGAGCAACGCCAAGATGTCGCTCATGCCCAAGGGCATGGCGAAGCAGCACGCGCGGGAGCCCGGCCATGTCTCCGTGAGGAACAAGACGGTCGCGATGGTCGAGGGCCACCTCAACAAGCAGCGCTCCGCCTACGACCACTGGATCGCGGAACTTTGTCGCGACGCCGAGGAGAGCGCCATGGAGCGCGACCGCCTCAAGGCCAAGCTCGCGGCGTTGCGGGACGACCACAAGCGCAAAGTGATGACTAAAATCATTGGGAGGCTCGGCAACATGAACTACTTCGTGGCCTGGAACCACTGGCACACGGTGACGATCAAGGATGCCCAGAAGAGGGCTGGGGAGCGGATTCGCGAGCTCAAGAAGCAACTGAAGGAGTGCAAGAAGAAAACTGAAGAATTGGAAGCGGAGGCGCAGCGGCGCGCCGACGAAGCGGCCGCGCTGGCGTTCGGGGCGGCTACCGACTCCCAGAAGAAGCTCATCTGGAAGATTCTTACAAGGTTATCGACGCTGAAAGTGCGGCTGTTCTGGGGCCACTGGTACAAGCAGACCTTCGGCGCGAAGCTCCAGAAGCTGCTCATGATCAAGATCTTGAAAAGGATGATGCACTCGTTCCTCAACAAGGGCTTCGGCATGTGGCGCTACGTGACGCAGCAGTGGGAGCTGATCAAGAAGCTCGAGCTGAAAGATCAATTGGTCAAGGAATTGGAGGAGCTCGAGCGGCTCGCGAAGAAGTACAAGGACGACGCCGAAGAGCGCCAGAACCAGGCGGCGTCTGCCGCGTTTAACAGAGCGACGGGCGCGCAGAAGGACATGATGATCAAGATCCTGTCCAAGCTCACGGGCAACATGTCGATGCTCAGCTTCAAGGTCTGGAAGCGCAAGAGCGACGAGTTCACGCAACAATACAACTTGCTGAAGAAGATCATGACGCGCATGATGAAGATCAAGATCTACACGTCCTTTCGCCACTGGCACAATGTGGTGTTTTTGTCGGGCCTGTCGAAGGTGAAGATGCGCGAGGCTTTGTTGGAATCGCAACGGGAGAATTTATCATCTACCCTTGCTGAAAGAGCAGAGGAATTGCGCAAATTGCAGCAGGAGGCGACGGATCTGTTGGCTCTCAGTCAACAAAATGCGCAGCGAACCGCGGAGGTCATGCAATGCTCGGACCACTTCGCCGACGCCCTGCATCTGATCTTGGATCCCAAAGCCCTCGAAAAGAGGAATGCGTTATCGTACGAGGACATGGAGCGCATGATGGCCGAGGGCGCGGATCCCGCGCAGTTCCAGAAGCCGCCGTACGACCCCGTGCCGCCGCCGAACCCCTACGCGGGCTACGGCGAGGCGCCGGAGGCCGAGGCGCCGGGCGGCATCGGCGGCGGTCTGGGCTTCCTCGACACGCCGGCGGGCGGCGGCCGCGCTGCGCCGGCGAGGACGGGCGGCGGCCGGGCAAAGGCAGGGGGCGGCGGCGGCGACCTCGAGGGCTACAAGCCGCTGCCGCCGGGCGACTACTACTACCGACCCGCCTCGCCCTGACTCCGAGAAAGACCAAGTGTTTCCTCCCCCGGCCCCCTGATCCCCCTTATAACTCGGCCGAAATGAATTTTGTGTCCTAGTGCTGTGCATGTGTGCTTACGCTCGCTATGTTCAGTCAGTGCTCAGTCGTTCTTCTTGGGCAATTTGGGCAATTTCTTCGACGTGATGATCGCCGTGACCAGGAACGCCATGTCGATGGAGATGTCGTACAGGACGTGGGCCCCGTGCTTGTAGTACCAGCCAAACCCGTCGTTTGCGGCGTTGCAGCAGCGGCTGCGATGCAACCCGTGCTCGAGCAACACGGCGGCACAGGGGAATATCATGGCCAGGCCCAGCTCAAAAGAAACGAGGGGCCGGAAGTCGGGGAACTTCTCCACGAACTCCTGCGATCGGAACGCGGCGAGGAAAGCTAACATGAGATGAGTGCCGCTTTCGAACAAATATGTTAACTGAATGTACCGCGGGTCCATGTCGTTGGCAAACACGTCCTTAAACGTAGCAGTACCGTCGTAGAAGATGGCAAATATGCCTAGCGCGATACTCAGGGCCGGGCTCTCTCCCATAAACTTGTAGCACCAGCCCCCGTACGCGGTGAAGGTTACGAGGCTGTATAGCAGGATGAAGCCATAGATGACAGTTTGGCTCATATTTGGCGTCCGGCACTCTAAAATGGCGCCCAGTACATAGTGGACCGCGCCGTTAAAAAACGCAAAGACGCCAAGCAGGGCGCACGTGCAATTGAGCTCTCGATGCTTGGAGGTGAGGCCCACGGCGAATATCGCGACAGCAAAGAAACAGCCGACGCAAAAACACAAGAAGTGGGAGTTGTGCGCCGCTGACATGCAAGCGCCCAGCCTAGGATCGTAGTACATCACGCAAAATCCCCCGAAGGCCTGGTATTCACAGTCCATGGATCGATGCATTATGATAGGGCATCCTAGCAAGACCATCACTATGCAGATGAGCCACGGCCACTTCTCGTCTAGGCTGAAGCCAGGAGGCGGAGTAGAGGTCGTGTCGCCCTACAAAACGGCGCGACGCAAGGAACCAGACCGGCGTCCTTCACGTCCGTCAGCGCGAGCGGCTCGACGTATTGTGCCGGAACGCGCGTCGCCGGCGTCGGCGCGCACGTGGGGATGGCCGTAGGCGCGTCCACCACCGCGATCGTGAGGTCGCGGAGCTCGAGCGCGGCGTTCGTTCCGTTGACGACGAAATGGCGCGCGCCCGCCTGGGACACGGTGAAGCCCTTGCCGTCGATGACGCTCGCTGCGTTCGCCACGACGGCGGGCTCGCCGCCAAGATAACTGTCCGCGGCGAGCTCGATCGCCGGCGCGCCGTTCGCGAGGGCCGCTTTCAGCTCCGAGCCGTCGCGCACGACGAGCGCCGACGCCGTCCACAGAAGCGCCAAGTATTTGAGCGCTGGGGCCATCGTCGCGAGCCGCTTATACGCGCTTTTTACCTCTTCTCAGCACAGTGAAAAACAAGGTCTCTGGCGACACGACAGTGCAAAGTAGCCTTTACACCGAGTCGACCTATCTATTCTTAAAGCGTAATCACGCACGAACGACGCGTGGACCGCGCTTCGGTCCAGGCAGACTTGGCCAGGCAAAAATAGTAATTAGCTAGCGGCCTGTGTAAAGACACTAGAAAGTACGCGCGGACGGCTAAACCACCTCGTGACTGAGCATAAGATAACCCCAACACCGTCGCCGCGAACAAAGATAACCCCCACGCCGTCGCCGCCGCCGCGCCACAAAACCAACGGATAGGTCATCTTATACAAAGGGTACGCCTAGGCGAGCCCGTCATCCACGACCGTCGCCTCTTCAGACGAATTGTTCTGCACCCAGAGCCCCGACGCCTCGCAGGCGTCCATGTGTTTCTTCGCCTCTTCCGGCTCCATCGCTTCTAACGCAACCTGGAGCATCTGCGTGTCCTTCTTCTCGAAGGCCTCCTGCATCGATTCTGGGAGCGTCTCGAAGACCTCGACGGGGTCCAGGCCGCCGGGGCCCAGCCTTTCTTCCCTCGACAACTCTACTGGTTCCTGGGCGTCCATTTCTTTCCTCTTATCAATAGCCCGCTTCTGAATTTTGGCGATGAAGTCCTGGACCGCTTCTTCGAATCCGCTTCTATATCTGGGGTCCTCAATACGCGAAAAGAAGGGCAGCACGACATCCCTAGGATGTCTGTTCAGCGACGCCGCCAGATCAGTGACATGAGACAACACTTGGCTATTTCTCGACGCGAGTTTCATCTTGTCGGGAAAGCCGTTCATCTCGTCCTCCAAACAGGATAGGAGTATATAAGATTGCGCATGCTCATGCAGCAGCGTCCCGCCGTGCTCGTGCAGCTTCTTTTTGCAATCCTCCAACTCGGTAGTAGCGAGGTAGTCCTCAAGCACTTGCTCATGTTTATCCACGAAGTCCGCATACGCATTGACAGCCGCTTTTTCTGATTGAGGACCCACAGGCCCATCTTTATTGGATTTCGTGCCGGTCATCATCCCGCCCACCAAGTCCTCCTTCGACGACCCTTTACCTGACAGTATGGTTCGATCCGTGGCCGTGTGACTCAAGTTGTCGACGTTCCACTTCTTGTTCTTCTCCATGAAGTCGATCTTGTCGAGCCGGTCCTTGACGCGGCCGCGGACCTGCGTTCGCGATTCGTGAGCGTTCCACGCCGTCGCCGAGACTCTCCCCGCCGCGGCGATGGCGTATGACGAGTCGCATGGCATGCCGTCGACGCGACGCTCTCGACGCGGCGACGGCGCGCGGCGGTGGCGACGCCCCCCATACGCCATCGACGCGACGCGACGTTGCTTGCCACGCCGGCCCGCGCCTCCTCCAATTCGCCCACGAGCGCGTCCTCGTCCTCGTACTCCGCCGCGTCCCCGCCCGACCGCACTTCGGCCAGCAATCGTACGATCTCCCGTTCTCTCTCCGAATCGGCCTTGTTCTCCTTCTCCATCGCCGTCTTCTCCATCTTCTCCGTCTCCTCGCGCTCGACGCGGCTCCGATGCTTCATGCGGAACCAACTCGCCTTGTCTATATTAGGATGCGTGTCGGCCTCGTCGTCGCTGATCTCGATGTTGTCCCACTTGCTGTAGTCGAAGGCGAGCTTGGACATCTTTGCTTGTTTTTGTGTCGCGGCGTCTGGCGTTCGTGGGCGTCTTGGCGGGTGGCTTGTGCCTTTTGTAATATGGCGAGCTAGGCGTACCGCGGCGCTGCAGCGGCTGGCGTAGCAGTGAAGGACGGATGTGTGGTGTCGCCCTGAGGCGCTGGACTAACCCTGGCTCCTCGTAGGCAGCGTAGAGTCCTGGAGATGTTCGATGCGATTTGCTTGCTAGTGTGTTACATGCCGCTAGCTCGTGATTTGCTTTTGGTCCTTTTTTAAAAGCCCGTGCTTGCATCAAAGCATACTTTTGGCGGCTCGGGCATCGATTCTCTCCAAGCTTTTAACTTCTAGCAGCAGCGCAGTCGCGGACCGCGAAGCTCACTAACCAAGCCTCACGTGCTGCAGCAGCAGCCCAGCACTTGCAAAAGCGATCAGTTTTCGCAAAGCCTGCAGCTGCAGGCTATCATATTTTGCAAGCAAACACTGCAAGCGATCGTTTTTGCAGCCATGCGACCAATCCTCCAGCGTCGCGCTGCCGCGCGCCTCGCGGCCGCGTTGCTCACTCCATTCATCCCGGAGCTGCGGCAGCAACCCGCGCTCGCGATATCGGCGACGACGATGAGCGGCAAGACGCGGCCCGACACGGGCTGCGTGTTGGTGAGCGAGCCGCGGGTCGACAGGGTCGGCAAAGCGCAGGTATTGAATGCTGAGCTCGTGACGTCGGACGGCTACGTCGCGACGGCGTCGTTCGAAACGCCCTGGTTCCTGCAACTGGGCAACTATTATGATGTGGAAGTTAGAAGTAAGGAGGGCGGCGACGGCGCGTTCCTCGTGTCGAAGACGCCGCCGCAGGGGACGAGTTCTTCAGCCTCATGGTTCTCTGATAATATATTTGGCATCAGCGGACGCTACGGCGCGTACGGCGCGCCGCAGGACGTCCGCGTCTTGCGGGACGAGCGCGACCGCTCCGTTGATGGTGGGCGTTTATTGGAGTACTCGTTCACGGCGCTGAAGGGGAACGCGGAGGTCCAGCGCCGCGCCTTCGTGAAAGCCGTGTCTCCGCCGGGTTCGAAGGACGTCGTCATCCTCGTCGCCGGCACGACGGCCCGCGCCCCGGCGTCCTTCCCTTCGACTCGCACGGTCGCGGCGATGGCGTGCTGGTGGGGAAAGACGCCACCTCCACGCCATCGACGCGACGTGTTCCACCCACAGGCCAGCCGATGGAAAAAAGAAAACGGCGAGAAAACCTCGCGGGCCGTCGTCGACTCGCTGCGCGTGTCTTCGTCCAAGACGAACCTGAAGAAGGACGAGGCGTCCGACTACCGGACGTACAAGTCGAAGATGCCCGATTTATCACCGCAGAAGGAGGGCGGCGGGGCGACGTATCGTGACTAATTTGAGCCGCTCTACGCGAAGAACCCGCCGCCGCGCCAGACGCCGCCGCCCGCGATCGGGGAGACGCCGAAGCCTACGCCCGCGACCGCGGAGCCGGCCGCGACCGCCGGCGTGTGCGACGTATCGTAGACTAACAATGTGACTTATGCTACCCTGTAGATCAGGTGCACGCCCGACGACGACGCGACGGTCTTCGACAGCTCGTGCACGTCGAGGTTGAACGCCGCGAGCTCGAAGGCGGCGCTCATCTTGCCCCGCCGGAACATGCCGAGGTCGCCGCCCTTCTTCGCCGAGCCGCACTCCGAGAACTTCTTGGCGAGCTCCTGGAAGAGCGAGCGGCGCCGGTGCGTCGGCGCTGCGTGCGTCGCGGCGGTGGCGTTATGTGACTCCTCTCGCGGCGATGGCGTATGGGGCCTCTCGCGGCGATGGCGTGTGGTGTCTCTCGCAGATGGCGTCCAAGCCCACGTCGGGGCGTCCGAGCTTACGGCCGAGCCCACGTATACGCCATCGACGCGACGCCATCGACGCGATACGCCATCGCCGCGACGCTCGAAGACCAAAGGACACAGAACACAAACCGGCGAGAAGCTTCGTCCGCATCTTCTCCAATTCATCAGTCGCGTCCTGGCGCGTCCGGTCGATGCGCCGGCCCGGGTGGCGCCAGGACGTCGGGTTCCGCGCGTCCTTGTGCTTGCGCACGATGTGCAAGCAGTGGACCTGCTCGAGCTTGAATAAACCGGAAGTAAACACCTTGACCGGGGCCTTTTCCTCCGGTTCTGGGGTTGGTTGTTTGGGTGCGGGCGCGGCCTTCTTTTTGGGAGGCGGCAAATCCGCGAAGGGGTCGAAGCGTTTTTTCTTTTTCGGCGGTTCTTCAGCCGGCGCTGGTACCGGTGCTTTGACGGTCTCGGGCGCCTCGACGTCGACACATGGCGCCCGCGCGAAGAGCCCGGGGCCCTCGAGGCCTTCTAGCACGCGCTCCTTCGCCTTATCCACATTATCGAGGTAATAGCCCAAACCTTGGTCGCCCGTCTTGAAGACGTAGCCCTTTCGGCTTCCATAAAAAGCGCTCGCGGCGGAGAAGTCGACGAGCTTCACTTTTTTTGGTTGCGGTTCTTGTTGTGCCATGGTTTAGCGCTCCCGGCGGTTTTATCAGTGCTGCAGCGCTTCGAACTGGCTGCGCGACGGCAATACACCACAGTTTTCGTGCTCGTGTATCGATGAATGAGTGGGCAGGCTGTGTACGAGCTTGTACCGCGCTCGCGCTTGCTTGCAGCGATGCAGCGCTGCACGAAATGACAAATGCGAGCGAGCTGGCTCAGCACAACACCGTAGTGGCCAAAAAACGCTGGCTGGCCGAGTTTTTAAACACTGAGTGCTAGCGGCCTGTAAGGCACTAGCAAGCAAGGCTACTCCTTCCACTCCTCCGGCTACTTCCGCATGGGTACCTGAGCAATCGGACCGGTGGCAAAAGGCACTCGAAAGCCACAGCCCAATCCGCTCTTCTCGGCAGACAGCTCATCGTATCACGGGAGGCGGCCCAATCACGAGGCTGCCCGAACAGCGCAAAAGCATTCGTTCGGCACGCACGTGCGGCATCGCTACGCTGCGCGGCGACGCCATCGACGCGCACTCCACACACGCAGCACGCCATCGACGTAAAGCGGCCGGGTGGCTGGGCAGCCTAGCTCTAAGCAAAGCAAAGCAATCATGTGGAATCGGGCCCGGGCAGCGCTCGAGGAGGCGCGCATCATGGGCGTGCCCACCATCAATACCTCGACCTGGTTCGGCGCCGGAACCGCCTCGGCGGCGGTGCTCACGCCGGCGCAGGTCGCCGCCGTCGCGCCGCTCGTGCGCGTGACTGCTGCTTATATCGTGATGTACTACTCCTTTTGCTTCTTCCAGTCGTGGTCGAAGTTGTATTTGTCCGCATCTCGGCGTCCTAGCCTTTTTCTTGTCCGTCGACTCGTGCTCCTGCGCCTCGTCCTTGGCGGGGCTCTTTGATGAGGCTCCTCCCTTTGGCGAGCGTCGCGGCGATGGCGTGCCGAGTTCGGCATCGCGAGATCGGGACTGCTACGCCACCCCATACGCCATCGACGCGACTCACGCCGTCGACACAACGCAGGCGGCGGACGCTGCCCCCGAACGCCGACGGCAAGAAGCCGACGCTCGTGCAGCTGAAGTACGGCGCCTATGGGTCCAAGAATAATGGTTCGCCCAGGACGCGGACGCTGCGGTTGTTGGGCGATCGGACGTTTTTGAATACATTGGAGCAGGCGCCGCCTTTCTTGGTGTCGCTCTGGGCGTGTGGATTGCTAGCGGACGTTGAATTGGCCGCTTTTTGCGGGAAGGGCTACATCTTCTTTCGGTGTTTGTATCCGATTGTATTCCGGAAGGGCATGCCGTGGTTATTGCTGTCGACGGTGCCGTGCTACAATCTGATCTGGTACATGCTGTTTCGGGCGGTGGTGGCTTGTGCTTGATGAGACTGTGTGTGCTGGCCTTTGCTTCTATATAAAAATACTTCGCGTCTCGCTCGCGGCGACGACGTACGACGCAGTCGGGGTTATATGTCCGGAAACTCATCAGGATGCCGCCAGAACCCTTTCCTAGGTGTATGTGGTTGAAACAGCGCGGGTTGGCCCGCGGGCAGCCATTTTGCGTGCGATCGTGTTTTTGGGTCGCGCGCGCGTGTTGGGGGTTGAGGAAGTAAAAAAGAGGGGGTGTCCCAGCCCACCTGAGGTTCGTTCGTAGTAACAAGTTCGCACAATGGAGCGCCAAATTTCGTGATGGTATGCGCAATTCTAAGGTCGGAGTGGATTGTTATGTGGCCATCCTGATCCGGTCCTCCGGTGTTCAAAACTCGGCAGACATTTAGTTGACAGAATGTCACGCTAAGTTCCTCAGTCATCGATACCGCAAAATATGTAGCACTTGAATCCAGGGGCTCGCATGCACACACGCCGTTCCGCAGGTGCATAGCTCCGAAGTGAAAGGACAACTGGAGTCTTGATTTAATTGGCTATATAAAACCGACTTGGTGCGGGTTTTATGCGTCGCCCGTAGGCCGGCCGTGCCTATTAGCCAGCTGCATCGCGCAGCCTTTGCGAGCTCCCTGAACCTCAGCGAGCAGACAGAGCTCGAAAAATCCGCACGCGGAGCCACCAACGCACTCAATCGCAAAACAAGCCCTTTGCGATCGCTGGAGCAGCCGCCGCAGACCGCGACAGATCAAATTTCTGCAGCGCAACTGAACGAGTAAATCCTCCGGAAGCTCTGTACAAAATATCACGAACAGAGGACGAATTTTCATGACAATGCGGACGACGCGCGCCGCAGCGTTACTCCTCCACGCCGCCGCCGCGATCACCACACAAACCACAACAACCACCACAACGACCCTGCGCCCGCTGCCAGCGAGCGTCGTCGACGCGAACGGCCTCGTCCGCTACTTCGCGTTCGGGTCCAACCTCGCGAAGTCGAAGATGGGCTCGCGCGGCAAGAACTCGTCGGCGCTGGCCTACGAGCGGCGCTGGCCGGCCGTCGCCCACGACCAGCGATTAGCGTTCAACATGCGCGGGTTCCCCCCTCTCGAGCCGGCGATGGCCGGCATCGAGCCGAGCCCCGGCCAGGAGTGTCCGGTGCCGGCGCGGCGTGGGAATTAGCTTCAATTTGACGTGGTCGCGTCGATGGCGTTCTCATGAGACTCGTTCCGTGCAGGGCTGCGTCTACGAGATGAGCCGCGACGCGTACGAGGCGCTGTGGCGGAGCGAAGGCGGCGCCATGAAAAAGACGCCCTACCAAGAGGTCGTGGTCTCCGTCCGCGACGCGAGTGGACGCGACGTCGACGCGATCACGTGCCAGGTCTGCGCGCAGCGTGGAAGAAGGTGCCTTCGACGAGTCGTGGCGGTGGCGCGCTGGTTGGGGAGACGTCGCGGCGATGGCGTATGGGTGGGATAGACGTAGACAAACAACAACACAGGTCTCGGCCTGGGCCGCCCTCAGACGCGACGGCGTCCCGTCCGCGAGGTACCTCGGCATCATCGAGGAGGGCGCGCGCGAGCTCGGATTAGTCGAGTACGCCGAAGCTTTATCAAAGCGGCCGCGCGCGAATCCGTCGCGATTCCTCCGCGCCGTCGCCGGCGCGCACGGCGTCGTGTCGCTCACGCTCTATCGGCGCAACCTGAGCCACCTGCTCGCGCCGCTGCGGAGCGCGTGTTTCGTGCTGACCTACGGCGGCCGGCGGCCCTGGCTCCGCGCGCTCTCGGAGGCGCTGACGGCGGCCGTCCTGCTCCCGACGGCGGCGGTCGGGTCGGTGATCCGGCTGTACCGGTCGGCGCGGGGCCTGCCGCCGATCGTGTTCGGGCCGCCCGAGTAAGTAGCATCGTTGTGCGCGCGTCGATGGCGTACGGTGGCCAGTACAGGCTCAGGCCAGGCTAGTTAATACTCACTTACTCTAGTTACGTCGCGGGGATACTGGCTAGTGACTCTAATCTAGAGTTAGTGAGCACTAATTCCTGGACGACTGCTCGACGTCCGCGCTTGAGGTTACGCTCGATTTCTATCGAGAGCGCACCGCTCAGACGATAAAACACGCGTGCACGCCGCCCATCGACCGGGCTTGATCCAGACAAAACTCCAGTCTGAGACAAAAAAAGAAAGGCCTGGTTTTCCTGCCTACGCACGCGCGCACCGGTCCATGTTCGCGGCCATCTTTAGCCGCGGCACTCGCCTTCCCGCGGACGTTATCCCGAAGATCGTGGACTTCTGGGCCCACCTCGGATGGTACGAGTACAGCGTCCCCGGGACGGGGTCCCGCGTCGTGGCGACGGGCCGGGAGGAGTCGTCGTCTTCCTAGTTTCGGTAGTGTAGCTAAGAAAACAAGCCTTACGCCGCAATAAACCCATCCGGCACGTGCCGCGCATGCGTCCGCTTCAAGGGGTCGCCGACCGGGTGCCCATGACACACCACTTCGCCTTCGACGTCCAAAACGCAGAGGTGGCCGTGGCCCATGGACACCTGCTCGAGCGTCCGCCCGCGAAACGCGGTCTTCTCGCGCGTGTCGTACACGTGCGCGGCCGCGCCGAAGCACTCCGCGTGGCTGCCGCCGTCGGCGATGGCGCACGTCGCCTTCGAGCCGCAGGCCACCTGCTCCCAGGGCCCGTCGACGTGTTCTGGGCTTTGTCCTTTCCGGTTGTCGCCCCAGCACTTCAGGTCGCGGGCGCCGAGAGTCAGCCCGCACGCGTGGTCGACGACGTTCGACGTCGCGATCTGTAGGAACTGGACGTCGTCCGGCGGCGTGGACTGGCCCTTCCGATCGTTGCCCCAGCACTCGACCAGCCCCGACGGCCGCAGGCCGCAGGAGAAGGCGTTGCCCGCCTGAACCTGCACGAATTTTCCGGCCGGCGGCTTCGTGCAGCCCGTGTCGTGGTCCTCGCCCCTGCGCGGCGTGATTGTGAGACGCGTCGACGGCGTACGCCGTCGAGCAGTCGCGGCGATAGCGTAGGAAGGCAAAAAAAAGGACGCCGCACAACAAACCAGCACTTGACCTGCCCATCTTTCCTCAACCCACACGTATGGACCGCGCCGCACGACACTTGTTGATACAACCCGGGCGGCTCGAAGCGCTTTGGATTGGGACCGCCCCAACACACTAGTTTTTCATCCAACGTAATGCCGCAGGAGTGGAAATGCCCGGACGACAACTGGATGAAGGTCAGCTCGACAGGAACTCTGGAGACCGCGCCCATCGTGTCCTCGCCCCAGCAGTGCGCAATTCCCCCAAATGGTGCCGAGGACTGCCTTAACGCACAGGTGTGGTGGTGGCCCGCCGCCACCGTCGAGCCGGCGGGGTCCCTATGAAAGCCCGGCGGCGGGTGGTTCACGCTATCAAAAATACTTGGCACTTCTTCGTCCTCTTGCTCGGCTTCCGGCTGCAAGTCACTCAAAACGGGCTCTTCTTGTTCCCTAGCTTGCTTCGCCGACGAGCTCCCGAAGAAGGGGCGCTTGGGCGCGTCCGCCGCCGCCGCGGCTGCCCTCTTGCTGTCCTGGCCGTCCTCTTGCCGCCGCGCGTCGCCGGCCGAGGCGCTGCCGAAGAAGCTCAGTTTCGACGGTGCCGCCGGCTCCGCTTCTTTGGAGCTCCCGAAGAACGAGAGCTTCGACGGCGCCGGGTCCTCGGCGGCTAGTGTGAGGAGTGGCAGGAGCGGCCACCACGGCCTTCTTACTACTGTTCGTCGCATGGTCCGCGCGTCGTTTCGATGGATGCGGCGGGGCTGCCCTTCCAAACGTGGCGCGGCGGCGGCGTTTGGGTGTGGTTGCTTTGGGCTGCCTCTGTGCCTGGGGTTTTGGGCTGGAGGGCGGCGGGCGCGGCGACGGCCTCTCGCGGGAGTGATGTGGCGCGTGTGGACCAACCTCCGGCGGCGTCTGAAGGTCGCGGTTGCGCGAGAGAGACGGCCTTTACCAAAGTGCCAGTGGGGGGCTGCATGAAAAGCGCTCGGGTAAAAGCAGATGAAAAGTTGCTAGTCGTCGGCACCGGGAGCACGCGGTGTGCGATTCGTGGCGACGGGTCGGCGGCGTGTTCACGCGCGCTAGCGGCCGTAAGACACTAGCAAGCCAAGCAAGCTGCTTGGAAAAAGCCCAGGCTGCCAATAGAGCTGCATTTCGCTCGACGCAGACGCAGCAACAGCACAGCCATGGATTTCTTCAAGACCGTACGCTGCAGCGTCGGCAGCCAAACCTTTCCCCCTTTATCAGACAAATCCGCATGACATCATTGGTGGACAGCGCTGCGCGCGACGCCGCAGCAGCCGCACGCGTCGCAACGAAACGCCTCACCCTACGATTAAAAAAAAACGCACAGGTCCAGGACGCCATGGGCGAGGCCGCGCGCGTCGCGAACGAAAGGATAGACACCGCGAACCGGGGCAAGAAGATGCTCGACGAGGGCGGGCCCGACGTCGAGTTGAAATTGAGATGCAAGCGCCAGTGCCGCAAGACCGTCGAGGACGACGGGAAACAAGTACGAGCGTTAGATCAGTTAGCGAGGGATTACGACGACGCGATCTCGAAGCTGAAAGCTTCATTGACGACGGAAGCGCTGCAGCCCGAGGAGAAATATGATTTCGAGCAGCTCGTCGGGTTGTACGAAGAGCGCAAGGCGGCCTGCGAGCGCGCGTCGGCGGCCCTGGCCAATTTACCTCCTCCTTCACCCTTCATCTCGCAAGAAGAGGAAGATGCCATCCGCATGCTCGCCGTCAAGGACAAGTACCAGGTCGCGCAGCGCGAGGCGTCTAATTTAGCCGCGGACGCGTCGGCCGCGGCGCGCGCGGCGACGAGCTAGCCGCGTTCGTTCGAGAGTGTAAAAACTGTGCGTACCGTTACTCCCCGCTTTGGGCCGGGGTCCCCCAGTGGTGTGGGGCGACAGGGGCAGCAGCGGACGCGTCGGCCGCGGCGCGCGCGGCGACGAGCTAGCTCCTCGTGTGTGTAACTGTGTTCGGGCGTATTATTCCCCTGGGTCCCCTTTCGGACTCGTTGCTCTCGAACGGGTTGTTGGCGTACCAGGAGGCGGCGGGGGCGTCACCGGCGGCTGGGCGGGCGTCTCGTCCGTCGTCGCGTCGACGGCGTAGCGCCTCACGATGTGCGAGACCTCGGTCGCCAGCGCGAGCCGCTCGCCAACGTGCCTGCGTCGATGTCAAGGGTACGCGGCGGCCGCGGCGACGGCGTAAAACCTCCACGCCATCGACGCGACGACGGCGTAAAAAAGGACGCAGGAAAGCACAGTCCGTTCGGCGTGTGGCGCTCGGCGAGCTCGTCGAGCGCGTGGAGCACGAGCTGCGCGCCCGCCGCGGAGCCCGACGCGTGGATCAGGACGTCGCTCGTCACGCCATTAGATAAAAGCAGGTCGCGCACGGCGCTTCTACGAGAAGGCACGGCGCCTTTCAGGGCGGACGCGACGATGTGGTCCAGCGCGCCGTCGTCCGTCGGCTTTTTTGAGTCCTCCCAACTCTCACCTTCGTCGTCCGTGTCCTCGGCCTTGGGCTCCTCCGTCGCGACCCGGCGTGCAATATCGCCCAACCAAGGTTCGGCGTTCGCGACCATGGTCCGCGCCCTGTGTTCCGCTCTTCGCCGATCTCGCGGCTTATCTAATAAAGGTGCGCCGATGGGGTTCCAGGGCATCGCGATATGCGGGAAGGCGTCGTTGCCCCAGATGAAAAAGACGTGCTGCAGCAACTGGAAAACCACGAACACAACACCGGTAGCGACAGCACCTCCCAACCAACCGGACTTGAGCCACGCGGCGACGCTCACGAGCGCCAACATGATCAGCGTCTGCCACCAGAGCAAGGAAATAAATTTGACGTAGAAGCCCGCGCGCGCGACGGCCGCATAAATCGTCTCGGGCGTCGAGCCGCTGCACGCTAATATAGAAAAAAGAGTGATCATCGTCGACATGACCGACAGCGCCGCGAGGGCAGCCTGCGCGAACGGAACCGCGTCGCGTCGATGGCGTGGAGCTGACGCCATCCAAAACAAGGACACAGCGTCCGTGCGAGCAGCGTGTTGTAGGCGAAGGCCAGCCAGTAATTTGATTCCTTCGACAATTTGAGCGGATTTAACGCGAGCGCGACGGCCGTCGTCATCAGCAGACTGCAGTACAGATTGACGGCCATGAAGATCGTGACGGCGCGGTCCCAGACGTGCTCGGGCGGCACGCAGAGCAAGGACGCGATCTCCATCGACGTCGCCGGCGCGGGAACGGCGTACATGCCGCGCGCCTCGGAGTGCACGAGGTCGCGCAGGCTCTTTTTTATCCGCTTCGCATCGTCCTTCTCGAATTGGGCATGCGGTGGGACGGCGTGCGCGGTTTTGGCCGCGCGGCGGCGGCGGAGCATGATTGCTCTTTGCACTGTGGTGCTCTTTGCAGTGTGTGGCGCAATGGGCTGCTTCGTTCGCAAGGGCTTCAGGCTCAGTCACGACGCGCAGAACTTATGGATACGATGTGTGCGCAGGTTGGGCAGCGCTGATGGCGTGAGGGGCTGCAATGATCGGCTTGCACGTCAAGAGCCGCACGAAATCTAGTGGGTTACAACTAGCTCAAATATCGGTCACTAGAATGCTCGAGTTGCGAAGAAGACGCGTCGAGCAGAATACTAAAATATCATTAGAAAACCCTAGAGCCAGCAAATAATCACCGGTGGCTCCGCCGCCGCCCCCGCTTGTTCGTCTGGAAGCACCGCGCGAAGACGACGAACGCGTCGTGGAACGCGTCGCGCCGCGGCGGGTCGACGGACACCGCGTTCAGCAAATCGCCCGCGATTTCGGTGGACGCGAAGTTCGCCGTGATAACTTCCAGCGACGCGCCGCACCACCGCGCAAACACGTCCGGCGGGCAGAAGAGGCGCAGCTTCCAGAGGCAGCCCAAGAGCGAACCGCGCCCCTCCTCGAGGAACTGGGCCGGCAGGTCGCCGGACAAGGCCGCGAGCAACCCGTCGACCAAAGCGCGGCCGCCGTCCTGGTCCACGAGCAAGCGTCTTACAGATTGCGCCGCTGAACGAGCCAGGTCGACATCTTCTTGACTTCTAGGAGCGTCCCTCGCTTGTAGGGGTTCATCTGAAGACATCGCGGGCGGCAGGGGATCGCCCGACTTCTTCAGCGCGAGCACGGCCGCCGCCGTGCACTCGCCACAAAAATGCAAGACGCCGCGCAACGCTTCGCGATGTTCGACCCGCAGCCCCGTCGACGCCGACTGGAGGATGTGTCCCAACAACGGCGATGACAATAAGCTACCAGGACAATAGTCCAGGAAGCGACTGGCGAGGTAGAAATACTCTTCCACCAAATCGGGATGCTCCGCGAAGTGTTGGGGAGATTGTAATAACGCGAAGCACGCCTGACTTACGGAGGACACCATCTCGAAGAGCTTCGGAATCATCCTCGCCTCGTCGCCGAACTCCGTAATACATATACTACAGCAGTACACGAAGGATGACAAGGGAGCCGAGGCGGAGTGCCTCGAACCGTCTTGTAGAGTGGGAGAACCGGCATTCTGGACGCCGTCCTGCAGCGATTTGATGAGGTGGGCCGTCATGCGATCGAGCATCGGCTCGAAGTGCTTTCTACAACTTCTCATGGCGTGCTTGTAGCAGCGACACAACTTCTCTATCACCAAGTGAGACGTTTTCATTTTGATGGAGACGGCCTCGAAGACCGGCCACAGGTTCGCGAAGACTTCTAGCACGGGATGCGGCCGCCCGTTCAACAATTGCGAGGAAGGCGACGCGCAGCGCATGACCGCCGTCAGCCGATCCAATTCGTGCGCTACGGAACGCGGTTCGGCGTTGTCCGATTGGGCTAGCAACGCCAAACTTTCAGCAGGGGGCCGCGCGAGCATCTGCGTGCCCTGCACTACTGACTCATACGTCGCCGACGCCGCCACGACGGCGCCCAGACCCTCCAGGACAGACAGTTCGTCCTTAAGAGGCACATTATTGACGATCTGGTCCCGGACCTGCACGAAGTTTGCTGCTGCGAGCTCCGCGGCGCAGCGATGGCACAGAGCCGTCAACGCTCGTGCTGCTCGCGACGCCGACGGCTCCCTCCTTCGTCGTGTCGGTGCGCGGACCTCCTGACTCAACTCTTCGAGGAGAAACTGGACGCAGGGCTGGATTGTCGTTGGATGCCGCTGCAGCCACTTCGCGTAGGAGCCGATGAGCACGGCGCCTTGGCGTCGAGCCCGGCGCCAGTCTTGCGGTAAGGTACATGTTAATTGTAAAGCAGGCTCGATGACGTTGTTATCAGAATGGCCCACATAATCGGCCACGCCCCGCAGCGCGAACAAACATGACTCAATGCCATCATTCGTCGCATGTTCTGGTGCAGCAGCGACCTTCAGCTCCTCCGCGATCGCTTCCAACACCGCCTGGTTGCCGATGACGCAGCAGCAGTCGCCCAACGCCTCGAACAGGTCCTGCCGATGGCTCTCGTACTCGTCGCTATCGGCGTCCTTGTCCTCGCCATCCAAGTCGTTTTCCGTTCGCGCTGAGAGTCGGACACATAACCGCGCCAACCGGACATAGGTCGAAGACATCACCCCACGAAGCTTCTGCTGCAGGGCCGCGTCCTCCGTCTTCGAGATGGCTTTTGCTAAGTGGTACCAGAACCGAAAGGGTACTTGGCTGACTTTCCGCGACGGGAACTCCGTGCAGGCCATGAGCACTTCCACAATAGACGCCTGGTTGCAGTCCCGTTCCGACGCGATCATGGGCAGGTAGGCCTCGCCCATCTCGCAGAATAACCTACATAAACCTAGACCCTCGTCGTCGTCCTCAGATTGTTTTGCTCTTTCCAGTCTGGGAGCGAGGGCCTGTGTGGAAATCAAGTTTCGGACGCCCCACGCCATCGAAACGACGTCGTCCCCGTAACTGCGTCTGCGCGATGGCGTGGCGATTCCACGCCATCGACGCGATGCTGCGTCCATTCCTGCCTCGGCTCGATGGCGTGGAGGCTCACGAAACCTAACTCACTGGTTGATTTCCACACAGGCGGGGGCCATGATGCGCGGCGCCACCAGCCCTATGAGGGGAGCACACCGCGGGTCCCGACAGTCGAACCTTCTCAAACTTTCAACGACGACATCCGTAGCCACCTCGAAGAGGGAAGGGTGATCTAGGGCATCAAACGCGCCGGCGAATAAAGGTGACTGAGCCAATTTCTCGGGCGGGATGTCGCAGAACGAGATCCACGCGCTCAAACACTCGAAGGCCGCCACCGTGAGGCGGTCCGCTCCAGACGGGGAGGTTGACCTTGCTGTGGAGGACGCCCACCCCACCAGAGACGTGAGGACGTCTAGCACGCCTGCTGAAGCATCTCTCAGATACCTATTGAAGTGCTCCCTCCGCGACAGAGGCACGTTGAACTGCTTCGAGAAGCACTGCTCCGGTAGAGCGGCTAGGAGTTCCACAGCTACCGCTCTTGTCCGACACGCTTTGTCGACGTCCGCGTCACTACCTTGCAAGGAGTTCTGGACATGAGGCAACGCCCCTTCCCAGGACGTCGAAACGGCTAAAGCGGCAACGGCCAAACAAAGCTTCTTCGGGACCGCAATCGGCACGTTTTGAGCCGACCACGTGTCGAGATGCGCCAGAGCGGCTTGTCTGAGTGCGGACGCCTGGTCGCCGCTCAGTTCATGTAAATCACCAGACACCTTGCAGTGCAGCGTCATGGACGCAAATGTCACAGCATGTGGTGAGACGGCGTCCGCATCCAGATTAGGCGGGTTCGGCGCGAACGGCGTCCGGCCGCCCAAAATAGCATCAGCTAATGCCCAGGACTCCGGGCCCCGCTGGATCTTCTGGAGGAAGTGGTCCGCGCGTCGTCGCGCCGCATCGTCGGTGCCCAAATATAAACTTCGCAGGTTTTCCGCGAGGACCGGCACTAAGTCGGGCGTCGCGGCCATGGGTTTTGTTTCTTTGCAGCGATGCCGCGCTGATTTATTTTTGTCTCGTCCTGATGCGTACCGCTGCAGCTGCGCCGCGCGCGTGCGCTCGGAGATCTCTCGCGAGCGCGCGGTTGGCTAACACAGCTTTGCACGGCCGCTGCAGGCTTTTGAGCGCACGCGATCGTCTGGCGCTGCTGCGGCTGCAGCGATTATGTTGTAACTACAAGTACCAGCCGCTCACGCGTGTCGGATGGCAGCGATTTTGAGCAAAACCGGCTCAGGCCTAATCCTGTGTGCCTAGTGGCCGGTAAGACACTAGCACGAAGTACGCTTCGCAGGAAAGCGTCGTCCCGCTTTTTTTTTCTCTTGCGTATGCCTGTAGAGGCATTGAAACTCGTCCAAGAACGCCTGAAATAATCGACTCTGCCTGTGCCTCCTGCTGGCCTAAGTCTGGCGAAATAAACGGGCCGCCACGACGACGCGGTGCCCGTTCAATCGTCGTCGTGTAGACCTCACACGGCCTCGACGCTTGGAGAAACGAAAACGCGCCCGCGACGACTAGCGCGAGAGGTTCAGCTAGGCATTAGCTAAAGGCCAGCCCAGGAAACGCGCCTTACGCGCCACCCGCGGCCACCGCGCCGTCGCCGCGGACGGCTGACTACGCCACGCGCCGCCGCCGCGAGCAATTTCAGGGCCGGACGTCGAGAACGATGCCCCGCCACGGCATCGCCTTCCCGCGCCAGTCGAGCGGATTAATACATGGCGCGGCCCGCGGCGTGAGGAACGCCTTCAAAAGTAGAGCAGAATTACAACGCGAGGCGGACCGGAGAAGAGTCGATGTTTGTATTGAGGAATTATTATCCGTCGTCGACAGCCCGCCCGGCACTCGTCTCGTCGCGCGCGCACTTTTGATTTTATTACTCGACACGCCCGGCGACGATTGGTACCAAATCAGGGCGGCTTGGTCCCCGGACGACCAGTTCATCGTTGGGACTTCGTGGGATTGGTATTCTACCGTCCTCGGCGTTTTCGACGCGGCGACCGGAGCGCTCCTCGACAAGTTCAGCATCAACATGGACGAGAGCGGTGTCAACCACCAGACGCGCGTGGATTTTGTCGGGTTCACGGGGGATTGCGGCGACGCGTGTCAAGACCTCGTGGCGAGCGCGACGCTCCAGGAAGGGGATAAAAAAGACGAGACATACACGTTCGCGAACAACCTAACTTACTACGACGTCGTGACCCTGGACGCGGACGACGCTCGCTGCCAGCCGACGCCTGCGCCCGTGCCGGCGCCCCACCACTCGGATGGGGCCACGGCGCTCGCGGCCGGCCTCGCGATGCCGGCGCTCGCGGCGCTCGCTCTCTAGGCACGAAGGCCTTCTCCTCCTCTTTTCTCCGTCGCATCCCTGGAGTAAACGCCTATACATCGACAATAGACAATAGTGACAACACATTACCACATTCATCGGGACCAGCAAACGCCGCCCCCGGCAAGACTAGTCCTTCCGCGGCGACTCCAGCCGCTTCGCCGCGATGACGGCCTGCGCCGCGGCCCGGAACCTTCGCTGCGGGGAGCGCGGCGGCGCCCGCCGCGGCTCGTCGGCGGGCATCCGGAACGGCCCATCACCACATTTCTGCGCGGCCTCGGCGCAGCGCCGCACGTTCTCGCTCAAAATGTTCTTCCGCTTGCGACACTGCGGGTGCCGCCGCAGAATCGCCTCGACCACCAAAGGTGCATCTCCCCCAAACAGCGCACATAAATCGTCGACCACGTGATCGTCCAGGTCCCCCGGCGGAGATGATGAAAGCGCGTCGGCCAGCGTGCGCAGGACGGCCGTCCGTTCCATGACGCTCTCCGGCGTTCGCAGGTTCGCCGACGCGAGGTCGGCGTCCTGCGTGAACTTCGGCAGGAAGTAGCTTAGTAATCGGTTCTGGTCCCTGAGCACTAACCTGTGCAGAAATCAACCAGTGAGTCGGGTGCGGCGCGACGATTTGTGCACACAGGTACGAACATGGCCGCCTGGTCCCCGTCCCGGAACGCCGGGTCCCTCGAACTCCTCAAAAATCGATCCACGTAGGCCTGCACCAACCCGTCGAACGCCGCCCGGACCACCTTCGCGTATAAGTACGACGGCAGCCAACATCTAAAGTCTTGTAAGTAATCATCGATGGTCTCCGTGCCCACGTCAATCGCGTCGGCCCGACTTTCGTCGGCCTCCCACAAGTCCCCAAATAACGCATGCTCAGAGTCAGGCGCGAAGATGGCGTCCCGTAGATCACATAACGGTGCGCACGCCGCCGCTTTGCAACAGGACACCGCTGCTTCGGCGTAGTCGCCCACGACCTGGTCCTTGACCGCTTCTACGCTCTGAAACGCGGGCCCTTCCAGTGGAGCCGCGCCTTCCTTCGTTCTACACTTGAGACCTTCGATGAGCGTCTCGCACCGCTCCTGCACTCGCAGGCCGTCATTCGCCACGGCACACAACGCCTCGACCTCCAGCGAAGGCACAGCGCCGCCGTACGAACCCAACGAAGACGACCGCGCGTTCCGCGGCTTTTGTAAATCATCATCTGAGGAACTCTCCTTCTGATCTTCGGACGGCCGCGCCTTGTACGCTTCAGCAACATAGGTCGACACGGCGTCCGTACATAATGACGCCCGCTCCACGGATCTTCGCGCGTCGCCGCGTAGCTCCTCCAGACACCGCAAAACAACGGTAGCGACGTGCTGGCCGCCGTCGTCCGCACTCTTCAACGCGTGCTCCCTCGCAATACTGACTTGCAACTGGACGATCTGGAACATGTCTTCCGGCCGCGTCGTCACGGGTCGCCCATGCTCGTCGAGCCTCGGCGCCGCCTTCTTGGCCCGGATGTTGCCGAACCAGCCCTCCACCTGGTCTCCGACTCTTGCGAGATATTGCGCCATGAGCTTCTCTGCCGCTTCGTTGAATAGGGACGAGGGTCCCCTGAAGGTCAATGGTGGTAGTTCATCATCGTCATCAGAGAAATTGTCCTCTTCACAAATGGGGTCTATTTTATCCACCAAAGCGTTGTAGGCCTGGAGCCACTCGTAGACCTTCATGAGCTCCGCCACTTCCAGCTCGTCGCGAGACCAGAACGGCTGGAGCTGCGACGTGACGTGTGCTTCCACCGCTGCTCGGTAGATTCTTACCAAAGGCCATCTGGGCGGAACGCACGGCTTTAGCTTATCATGTGAACTTTTGAGATCATCTAAGCATGCCGACGCGGCGCCGAGAGAAGCCTCGACCCTCGAAGAACCCTCATCCACCAGTCGCATCTGCGTCTCCGCGTAGACGCGGATGCACCGTGTTCGGGCGCCTTTGAAGAGGCGTTGCAAGGCATCTGATCGCGCAGGAACTCCCGTCAAGGAATGGCGCAGCCGTTCCAAAGCTTCCTGGGGCGCCTCGCCGGAACGTTTCGCGTCCTCCAGTGCCGTTGGTATCAGAGTTGTTCGTCTCAGTCTAGCGTGCAGTTCGACGACGCGCGCTGCGGCGACCACATAGTGCGGCTCGTCATTGACAGCATGCTCCAACGCGTTGTCTCCGTCCAACGGTTCTCGAGCGGCATCAAACACGTCGTGGACTAGTTCAGCAACCGCGGCCACTCGTGTAGATAGAGTTCTAGACAAGGCAGCTAACTCCTCCAACCCGTAGTCCGATTTATTTCCATGGTCACCGGACGCTTCTCTTGATCGAGCGAGGTCCGTCTCGATGCTCACACGTCGCTGTAGCGCCGCGCGCCACAATTCCAACTCCATGGCCTTCTTATAGGTCGATACGAGAGATTGGGGGAAGTTCTGCCTCAGATCATTTCGCAACGAAGCACATCTCTCCGGGATTTGCGCATACACATCTAACTGCGTAAGTAGAGCCGCGAGGTTCCGCGCGGCTAATCTCGCATCTTCCAACTCGGCGCGGGGGAACTGTTCTAGCTCAATGCGCGCTCTTGCCGCGTTCTCCGTCAGGGATTCGAACGTGGAGTCCATGTCATTACATAGCGACGCGGTCTTATCTAAAGCGTCGGCGCCTTTACTGACGGAGCGGCGCTTGGCGTCCAATGCTAACGCACATTTTCGCGAGGCCTCCTCCTTCTTCGCTTCGTATTGTCTCGTTAATGAATCGATCGCGGCCAAGGTCAGGTCGCCGCGCGGGCCTCTCGCTTCGCGGATGGCGTCGCGGGCGCGCTCCTTGGCTCGCTCGGCGAGCGCGGCGACGCGGTCGCGCGTCGACTGCGGCACGTCGTCCTCCTCGTCCGTCAGCGGGGACGGCGGTACCGCTGGCCGCGGCGGCGGCTTCCGCTCCGGCGACCGCCGCCTTTGCGGTGACGCCGTCCTCCGCGGCGGCGACGGTCTCCGCTGCGGCGGCTCCGCGGCTCGTGGTGCCTCCGCGCGCCCGCTCGACCGTCTCCTCCGCTCGATGCGCGCGCGCAGCGAGTCGGACACGTCGAGGCCCTCGGTCGCGCGCGCGAGCCGCTCGACGCGCTCGGGGAGCGGGGCGCTTCGCGCGTCTCGCCGGTCCGCAGCACTCGGTCTCCGTTCCGGCACGGCTGTGGCGCTCGGCCGCCGTGTTGGCACGGCTGTGGCGCTCGGGCGGCGTTCCGGCACCGCTGCGGCCCGGCGCTCGCGCGGCGGCGCCGGTGGTGGTGCGACCGGTGGTGCGACCGGGTCTCGCGGTGCTGGCGGTCTCGCGCTTCCAGACGCCGCCGCAGCCTCCTCCGCTTCGCGCCGCGCCTTCCTGGCTTTGCGGGCTGCTATCCGGTCTGCGAGCGTGCTCATTGCGTAAAATCTCACCAGCAGAATTATGTGGCTATAAGAATGAGTCCTTTCAGCAAATATGCGACGCTCCTGAGCGTCTGAGCGCGCGCGGAGCAAGCAAATGTTTGAGTTATATTTCGCAGCTAGCGGTCGTAGGACACTAGCCTGCGAGTCGTCCAACACATAACGCGCCCGCTTAACCCTCGCCGACTCGGCGCCATCAAAAAATGATCCTCACAACTTGCGCCGCCTGCGCCGCCCCACTGGCCCTCGACGCGCCGCGTTGCGTACGCTGTAAAGTTCGCTATTGTGACTCGACTTGCCAACATGACCACTGGCGCCGCGGCCACAAGCAAATGTGTAAGAAAATACACCGCGGCGGCAACGCGGAGCAATATCACGCCGACAAAAAATACAAGGAGGCCGTCGCGGCCGCGGTCGAGAAATGCGCGGCGGACACGAAGGGCCAGACGTGCTACATCTGCACGCAGGCCCTCCATTGGAAGACGAAGGAGGGCCTCGTGCGCGGGTGTGCGTGCCGCGGGACGTCGGGCTTCGCCCATGTATCGTGCTTGGCGGAGCAGGCGAAGATTTTGGTCGCGGAGGGCGAGGAGAACAATTTGGGCCTCAAGGCGAAGGAAGCGAGGTGGGAACGGTGGCACACGTGCAGCTTGTGCGAGCAACGCTACCACGGCGTTGTGTTGTGTGCGCTTGGGTGGGCGTGCTGGAAGACGTACGTGGAAAGGGAAAAAACAGACTGTCACCGGTTCCATGCGATGGCCATACTCGGATCAGGTTTACGAGCGGCGTTTACACTGGGAAGTCCGCAGAAGGAGAAGGAGAAGTTTAGCAAAGAAGCGCTCAGGGTTTTCGAGGCGCAATTGTCTGAGCTACAGACTTTACATAAGAAAGCAAAGGTAGAATTACAATTGAATACAATGATGAACATCGCCGCTTGCTATGCTGACCTCCGTTGGCACGAAAAGTCCCTGTCAATGAAACGCGAAATGTACTACAAGGCGGAGGCGTTCAACTATCCATTCGAGGGCCGGCTGCAGATTGCTATTAACTTAGCGAATTCTCTCATCGTTTTAGGTCATCACGCCGAGGCAAAGTCATTCCTGCGGCAGACCATAGATATGGCAATAGGCGTTTTGGGGCCCACTGCGAAGTTAAACCATGTACGAGTTCTAACTCTCCGGGCAATTTTGGGCAATGTATGCTTCCGGTCTGCTGCCTCACGAGAAGACGTCGCGGAGGCAGAGAGGATAATAGCTGACGTCCTTAAGAATGAGCGGCGGGTCCTTGGACCTGCGCACCCGGAGACGCTCAGCACCCAGAGGGATCTGGAGAAAGTGCGTGCGGTCCTGCGCGCATAGAGACTAGCAAGTAACACCTATCATACTTACGACGACGCCGGTAGAAGCTAGAACATCTTCAGGATGTCGTCGTTCGACGTCGCCGGAGCACTGGAAGGCGCCGCGAAGACGTCGAACGGGTCTGATGGAGGCGGCGCCTTCGCCTCCTCCGCGCCCGACGACGAGCTCTCCTCCTCGCTATCATCAGAGTCCGACGCCGACGACGCGTCGGCCGACGATTCCTCGCTATCGTCAGAGTCCGAACCCTCGGAGGACGACGCGTCGCTGTCGGACTCGTCGCTATCAGAACCGGAGGACGACGATTCCGTGGAGGACGACTCGTCGTCGTTGCCGTAGAAGGCCCCCGGGTTCGCCGCGACCTCTTCCGAGGAGATGCCCGTCTGCCCCGCGCCGGCGCGGAACACGCTCCCGTTCGGCGGGTTGCGAATGGATGGATCGGACGGTTCGGTGGCCCAGGGCTCCAGCGGCAAATACCCGTCGACCTCGTGGCCCATCATTGAGCTGAGCGAACCGACCGTAAACTGCGGCACGCCTTCCGGGGCGACGGTCCCATGGCGCGTCGAGGGGGGCTGCTTCTCGCCCAGGATTAATGAGTGTTTGTTCGCTTTCAGTTGTTGTAGAGCAGCTTCATCTGATGTTTCAGACCCAGGCACGCTCAGACCTAGAGTAGCGGTAAGGTACCTACCCCTATCTCGGAGGTCGTGGTCCGTGTCGAAGCGAGCTAATTCTAAGATATATCTCAGTAAAGAGTCGAGGTCGTTGTTCGCAGGATACGCCGTCGCCGCCTTCACTGAGAGATTGAGGATCTGCTGCTTCACCTCTACGACTTCGCCAGAAAAGCGAGATGCTAACAATCGAACAGCGTCCGGCAGTAAATCAGAAACATCATCACGAAACTCCCCTAATATAAAACACGCCGACGCCCTCGCGGAAGCACCCCTTCCGGACGCCGTCGGGACCGGCGCGCCGCCCCTCCGGCCCTCGTCCTCCTCGACCGAAGGATTGGTAGAAAATGCTCCCTTGTTTTTAGGTTTCAGGAGCATCTTCGCTACTTGCCGTACTACATCACGTCGTACAATGACCGGATCTTCAGCAGATACCCCGGCACCCTGCTGCAGCAACTGCCGGATCGCGACCAACGCACTCGACACCACAGAAGCATCCACGGACCGACACTCGTCGCGATCGTGGCTTCGAGCCAAATCAAGTAACCCGCGAAGGACGTCGTCCGCACATTCCGGCCGCGCGTCCGCAACCCGAGCCGCAGCAGTCGCAGCATCACATACGAAGTCCTTTTCCGTCCCGCGACAGTACGTCTGTAGCTCCCGCAGGATCTCCTCCACACTATCGGGAGTAGCTAACCGCACGAGAATCTCGAGCTTGATCTCGCGGTTGAATTTGGCGTCCGTACCCTTCACAAAAAAGTCCCGTAAAAAAGGGGCGAACATGGCCTGCGTCGCGGCGGGTTTCTGGCTCTCTCTCATCATTGATACGACTCGTCTCCATCTCACGAGGTGGTGGGTGGTTTCGGACGCCGCGCGACGCACCGGCCGCTCCGAGGCCATGACGGCGATCGATTTCAAGACGACGTACTGGATCTCCGGGCGGTTGCGCAGGATGCGGACGAGGGCGCGGCCGATCGTTTCCCGCTCTTCATTTGTAGGTGCTCCGCAATGATAATGTAGAGAACAGACCGCGAGGACGACCCCGGAATTCCTCGACTTCAGCAGAGGTAACGATGAGGTCAACGCGAGCTTGTGGTCATCTTCCAGCGCGGGGCCGTCGTCGTCCCAGGGGTCGTCTTGTACGACGACTTCCTCCTCGGACTCGTCCTCGTCGTCGCTATAAAAGGCCTTCTTGACCTTCCTTCTGACAATGCGTTGCGGTTCTGATGATGTTTGCGGCTTGTCCGGCGAGGGATCGACGAACTGCGTCCGCAAATACCTGGCTAGTACGCCTAGTATCGTGATCTGGGCCCACTCGTCGCAGTCCGCCAATAATTGACAAAGCTTCCGGTAGTTCGGGTGGAAGATGGCCCAGTTCTGCGGGCAGACTTCGGCGAAGGCCGTGACCGCGCTCCCCAGAACCATGGGAGACGTATCGTTGAGGAGCGTAGCCACGAACTGGTCGCAGCTCTCCTGCTCGGCGCCGTCCGATAACGAGACGAGCTTGGCGATGGCGTTGGCCGCGCACTTTCTCACATACGGCGAACTATCACCGGCGCACTTCTTCACCGCGAGTAACTGTATTTGTATGACGTCCGGCACCCTTATTGAGGTCATCACCCGCAAAGCCATGGCTCTAACTAATTGATTCGACGCCGCGAGGTCCTTCTGGAAACTATTTATAGATAATAGAGCCAGTTCTCGACACTGGTGGTTAAAATCACAATAATGACTGAGATACATGTACACCATCTTCTTCACTTCCACGGACTTGGCTACCACATTCTTGACCACATCGGAGAAGAACTCCGACGCGTCGCGACCCTTCGACATCATGGCCAGGAGCCACTTCATCCCTTTAACCTTGTCGTAATCTTTCCCGCTGTCGAGGTACTGTTTTATCCTCGTAGGGTTCATCTGCTCCTCGAGGAAGTGGGAGTCGCCGCCGGCGTCGGCCATCTTCTTGGCGGCCTGCGTCGCCTGCTGCATGTTGACGTTCATGTTTCAAGGAGCCGCGGCGGCGCCCGAGTCGACCCGCGTCTGGACGTCGGCTCGCAGCGCGGTGCGGCTTCGCGGTTTTAGAGAATGAAACTGCGTATACAGCTGCGCTCACGGCGTCAGCGCTGCGGCGCCGGTCGCGCGCGCGGCGCGAGGCTGCGCAGGAGTTTCTCGCCGGCGCGGGCTCCACAGGCAAGCGCGAGCGGCACCGCTGCAGAGTTGGCGCTGCTGCGGGTTATTTGTGCCGCGCACAGTGTCAGCGCTGCGTAACGAGCGCTGAGGGGCCGCAGCAGGGCGCGTCTCCGCTTTTTGCAAAATAATTAGCTAGCATAGTAAAGTCACTAGTCGTTACGGACACCTCTTCTATGCTTCTCAGTCCTCTCAGAGACGGGCGGAACGGTGTTTTCAGAGGCGGCGATAGCGAATTGAGCAGGCGCGCGCGAGGCTAAATCTCAGCCTCAGCTCCACAGCCTCTCATTTGTCTCGCCGACTCGAACGAGTTTGCGGCGTAGCGATCACGCGCGTAGGCCTTACGAACAACGTAAGCCGTTCGAGACTGAAACTCCGAGAGCCGTTAGCTCGGGAAACACCAGAGAGCATAAAAGCTCTCAGACAAGTAGCGAGACCATGGCCGTCAAAAGCGCGGTTTACGACTACTCACTGTACACGCCGGACTACTATCTCAAAGGATTCTTGGCCGGCGGCGTCTGCTGCTCGGTAACGCGCTGTGTAGAAATCACGGCGCCGTCCGAGACTCCGAGCGGCGAGCGCCGAGCGGCGAGCGGCCCTCGTGCGGAATCGTCGCGTCGACCCTCCACGTCCTCGACGCGACGCACTGCTTCATTTCCACACAGGTGACGCACGGCGGCGCCACGCCGATTGATTTCGTCAAGACGCGCATGCAATTGGTGCCCGAGCTCGGGAGCAAGGGCCTCCTCGGCGCGACCCGTGAAATCATCGCGAGCGAGGGCGCGGGCGCGCTCACGACGGGAATGTCCGCGACGGCGGCAGCGTACGCGTTGCAGGGCTCGTTCAAGTTCGGCGGGTTCGAGTTCTTCAAGGTCAACCTCGCCCAAGCGTACGGCGACCAGGGCGCGTGGGACAACCGCTTCCTCCTCAACTCCATCGCAGCGGCCTGCGCCGAGTTCATTGCTGATATATTCTTGAGCCCGCTCGACTCGACGCGCATCCGCCAAGTCTCGGACGCGGAGATGGCGTCGATGTCTATGGGTATATATATAGCATTCATGATTTTTCTACGCGCCCGGGACGGCCGATACCCTTCCTTGATGGGCTGGTCGCAGATGCACCGCCTCGCATTGGAGGCCGCGCCATAGACGCCGCCGGCGACGCGGACAACACTTAAATAAAGTTACCGCGCTCCTAGACACAAACGGACCCGATCACCGCGACGACGAGCAGCGCGCAGAAAAGACGCCTACAAACGTCGCGCCACGACGCCGCCTCGACATTCCCCACCGAATAGTCCACGGCGAAGGCGACAGGGCAGGCCGCCAGCGCCGTGCCCCGGCAGGCGCAACACAACCCAGATAATGCGGCGAGCTCCAATAGACGCTCCTGGCTCTTCGCTCGCTCCGCGCCCGCCATGACGCCGACGGCGAACAAAAAGCCGACGAGTGACGCGGCGCCATCCCCCACTAAACCAGAAACGGCCCGCGCCGCCGCCGGCTGGCACCAGCACAATATAAAGAACCAGCGCCAAACTGCTAACCCATGATACGCCACGAGCGCGTACGGGGAGACCTCATCGACGGCCTCCGTCGGCACGGGAGCCTTCTGGTCGGCGGGCCGCGCGAGCCAGTCGTCCAACGCGTTTAGATTTTCGTCGTCGTCGTCGGTGTCCGTGTCGCTGTCGTCCTCTTCCCTGGGTTTTAGGGTCTCGACCACGACCTGCTCGGACTTGCGTCGTAATACGTTTGCGTTCGCGACGCGGTCCTTGGCCTCCTTTTCGCGTTGCACGGCGCGGTTGCGCGCCGCGACCTGCGTGCGCGTCGGCTCGATGGCGTGCCCCTCCACGCCATCGACGCGACGGCGAATCAAGACGCTGGCTCCGAACCGCGCCGACGAGCGACGGCCAACGGTTATACGCTATCATAGCCTGGCCCAGCAACGCCAGCACTAGTAGAGGCGGCTCCGGCGCGCCCAGCGCCAGGTCCTCGATGGGCGCCGACCGCGCCAGCAGCACGAACAAGCACGGCGCCGCGACGCCGAGCGACAGTTTGACCAAATCGACGACCATCGACTTCCGGTGCCGCTTTCGAAAGAAGCAGTACACGAGGACCGAAAGCACCAAGAACCCCGGTTCTAGACGAGTCATCCTTCTATGATGCTCGAGGTACGCGCGTTGTATCAAAGACTCCGAATCTTGAGGTAACGCGCGGTTCCGCCAGGGCCGCAGTTTCTCGAAGTCCCGCGCCTTCCGGTATTTGTGGCACCAATGCACCACTCTCTCACCTTTCTCTTGCGGTTTGCCGAGGGGCGCGAGCGAGCCGTAGGCTCGGACCGTGACTTCGACATCTAAGAGAGTGAGCTTGCGCAACGCTCGCGGCACGATAAAGGTCGCGAGGCGCTCGTTCTTCTCGCAGCTCTTCTCGTAGGCGGAACAGGTCGGCGCCGACGCGGACGTCGCTTCCCGCGCTTTACTGCCGCGGGGGTCGCACATGTCTTGGGGGAAGGAACCGAACGCATTCACGAAGAAGTTGAGGAAGGAAGCGGACGTCGTCACGTCGACGTCGTAGGACGTGACGTTTCGGCCGCAGGCTCGAGCATGGGGCCGCCACGGAATCACTAAATGGGTGCCGTTGTCGCGCGGCAGCGACCACCTCTCAATATGGTCGGCGGGCTGCTTCGTCGAAAAGCCATTTCCATTGGAGTCGCAGAAGCCGACTTCCAAGCCGTGGCCCATCCTGTTGCTGGGCTTGGGCATCGTCTTTTTACGTGTTGCAGCTCGTCTGCGTTTTGTTCGGCGGTCTGCTGTTCTACGAGGGCGCGCTATATCACTTTGATGTGTATTCGACTGCGGCCCCGACGGGACGCAGCTCTGCCAAGCTGCGAGTTGCTGATGTGCAGCGCTGAGTGCAGCGGCGGCACCGCGAGCCGGTGCACAAGGAGCGCCTGTATGCAAGCGAACACAGCGAATGAGCACTCTCAGATGCTCGCACAGGTTCCAGCGAATGCCTGCAGCGAGTGAGCGCAAAAGCGTGTGAGCAGCCGCTTGCTAGTGTCTTACATTACGCTAGCAAGGAATTCCCAGCATCGAAAAACAAGCAGTAGACTAAGCAAATACCGTGAGCCGTCACCGCGATAGGTTGATCAAAGATGACGAACAAGATTGACTACTCCAATAAGCGTGACGCGGCGCCGTAAGAAATCACTCAGTGAGAGCTGGTTTGGCCACTCATTGGTTTTGAGCGCCGATCGCGCGCGACGACCATGAATGGTCCTGGTTTGTCCTTTATTTGACTCCCCTCGCAGATTTTTCAGCTCGCTGGGGTCGATGAGCGACAGCGACGAGGAGCGCGGGCCGGCGTCTACTATCGCGCTCTCGTGTCGCGCACGCCAGCGGCTGTCAACAACCAGCGGCTGCCAACAACACGTCTCGCAACGCCGTCGACAGTACGTCGCGCAAAACGCCGTCGACGCGAGCTCCGCGCGCCTCGCAGGAAGGAAGTCCCGCGCGACTTCCTGAAGGGCAAGATCGAGAAGTTCACGGGCAAGCTAGAGCGGGCCAAATCCGCCGGCAACGAGGAGGATATCACGAAGTGCCGTCCGGCGTCTCAGAAACCTCCACCACAGAGTCCACGCCATCGACGCGACGCCATCGACGAGACGCCATCGATGCGACGCCATCGACGCGACGTCGTCTAGGTACACGGCCAAGGTCGCCAAGTTCCAGGAGCAGTTCGACGCCCTCCCCCCGGAGAAGATGGAGCCCTACGAGCTCCCGGAAGGCACGACGGACGACGACGCCGACGCCTACGTACGATGCAAAGTGAGATATTGTGACTCGACATGCCAGCACGATCACTGGCGCCGCGGCCACAAGCAGTTGTGTAAGAAAATACACCGCGGCGGCAACGCTGAACAGTATAATGCAGACAAAAAATACAAGGAGGCCGTCGCGGTCGCGGTCGAGGCGTGCGCCGACGACACGAAGGGCCAGACGTGCTACGTCTGCACGCAGGCGCTCCACTGGAAAACAAAGGAGGGCCTCGTGCGCATGTGTGCGTGCCGTGGGACGGCGGGCTTCGCGCACGTGTCATGTCTGGTCGAGCAGGCGAAAGTTTTGGTCGCGGAGGCCGAGGAGAATAATTTGGACGCCGAGGCAATTAATTCGGAATTGAGGTGGGGGCGATGGAGCAATTGTAGTCTGTGCAAGCAAAATTACCGTGGCCCTGTGATGTGCGCGCTCGGGTGGGGCTGTTGGAAAACATACGCGGGCCAGCCGGAGGACTGTAACTCTCGGGTGAATGCGATGACGGTTCTAGCAACCAGCCTAAGGGACCCAAGCGAAGCAATTCGCGTGCACCAGGCTCACCTGTCCATGGGCCTGCAGTTTGGGGCGCCAGAAGGCTGCATCGTGCAGGACATGTATAATATCGCCGGTTGCTATAAACAGCTCGGGCAGCTTCAGGCGGCGCTAAAAATGCATCGAAGCATTTACGCCAAGTCTCAGACTATTTTCGGGCGCAACAATAAGTGCACCTTGCAATCTGGAGTTACCATCGTAGGCGTGCTAATATCGTGTAAAACTGTCGAAGCAGCACAGGAGGCAAAATCCTTTGCGCAGGAGTTAATGCCCCGAGTTTTCAGCATTTTGGGGGAGGATTCCGCTCTAGCTCTCGACCTCCGCGAAATGTTTGCTAAAGCAGTCTTGTTCGATGAAACGAGCAATATATACGAGGCTCGCAAGGCTGTTACGATCATGGAGGATGTTCTTCGAATAAATACACGAACTCTGGGCCCGATGCATCCCGACACTTGCCGGAATCGCAGCGATCTTGATCTCATGCAAAAACGAGTTGGCCGCGCGGAGGGGGAGTGGCGTGAGTTCAAAGAGTGGTCGCTACGCCACTGGAAGGTGTACAGTACGAAATACCCCGGGCTCTCCGACCAAGAGCTCATTGGGAAGATGAGGGACGCCTGGTGCGCGCTAAAGCGCAAACAGACGCCCCTACAGAAATAACCAGGCCTCGCGTCGGGCTCCGCGCCTAGGGCTATAAAAAGGTATCCTGTCTATCACGAACACATTACTCCGCACAACTACACTCCGCAAGCCCCGCCGCCGCGCACCCACGCCCGCGCATGCCCCGGCCGCAGCCGCACATATTGCGGCAGCGGCCAGGTCGCGTCGGATCGGAAGCAGGAAGAAACCTGACCGAGGTACTCGTCGCTCCGCGGCCAGTTGTAGCGCGCGCGCCTCCGCCCCTTCAGCTGGAAGATCGGGTCGAAGAGCCACGCCTCCGACGGGCCGCGCGCCGCCGCCGCGAGCTCGGAATAGGACGAGCTCAGCGTCCCCACGACGCGCCTACTACGAGACACCAACAGAAAGTCCGCGGCCGCCGCCCAGCGCTCGTGCGCGTGCTCGCCCCAGTCGCGGCCCATCTGCACCGCGCGCTCGTCCGTCCGCGCGATACTATGGAGCCGGAGGCGCACGTCGGGCGAAAGTTGCGACGCGTTCAGGAATTTAAATGAGCAGCGCCGCCCGAGCGCCTCCTCCACTTTCGTAAAGAGCCCGCGGAGCCGCGACGGCCGGTCCGTGGCCACGAAGATTACTGGATCCGCGACGCCCGATAGAGCTTTAGCAGCACAGTTAGCCGCGTGCCGGTCCACGAAGTCCAGGGGCTGGGACCGCCGGTGTCGCACGTGCAAGCCGAGGTCGAAGTCTTGCGCCGAGTGCTCCCTTACTAGATCATGGAGGGGATGCGTCGGCGCCTGTGGGCAAATCAAACAGTGTTGCCACCACGCGTCGATGGCGTGCGGGCCACGATGCCACGACAATTTGATTTATGCACCGGTCGGCGCGTCCTCGGGCTGCGGGTCCAGTAAAGTAGCGTAGAGCTTGCCCCAGGTGTTCACGCCCTTTGGAAAGAGTATACGAAGGCGCCGGCGTATATACGGATCCAAGGCGCTATTCTCACCTAACAAAGGCGCCAACCACGTGACCGCCGACCGGATGTGTACGATGTGCGCGTCGCTGTGCGACAGCGCGCGGCCGTCGCAGAGCATCCACTTTATACCACTACCGCACGTCTTCTCCTCGAGGCACCGCCGGTTCATGGGGAAGAAATCCTGCACGACCTCCGGCCCGCACCTTCGTATTTGGCTCTTCAGCGCCCACCGCCGTTCGACATCCCCAAGATACTTCCAGAAGCCCGCCCGGAAGCGCGCGTCGTCCGAGATGAGTAGCGTGCGGTTACTTGCGACGGCGAACGCCAGCGCGTTTAAGGCGACGTTCACGGAGTTGCCCAGTCCCTTGCCCCAGAAGTCCGCGGCCACGAAACGCCTGTCGCACGTGTTGATGTCTGCCAGCGACGTTGACGAGTGCTGCCTTACGTAGGTGCGAAGCATCGCGTCGACGTCGTCGACCGGTGTGGCTGTGGCAGCCTGTGCCAGCAGCAGTAGTGCTATTGTGCTGAGCCGCATCGATGGCGTACAGCTTGCGCGCTGTTCGCAGGCGCGTCTCAGGGCTTACGTAGCCATGTGTGTGCACGCCTCGAAGCGTGTCTGCATGTTTTAGCCCGCAAGCTTGGCTGCACAGCTAGTGTCTTACCGCTAGGTTTCGCATCCATGAGCCACCACCCTTCGCGACATGCATCCGCGCGGACGGACGACGACTCTTCGGCGACCAACTTCCAGGGCGCAGCGCGGCCTCAGCCTCTCACACAGCGCGGAGAGAGGCAGCCCAAAACGAGCCTGCAGCTTACGGCAGCCCTCGCGTGGCATTTGTTCCTTCGCACGGAAATAATTCCTCGGCGACCCTATTCCGGGGCCAGCTTGGACAGCGCAGCGGCATCTCACAGCGCGCGGGAGGGGCAGCCCAACACGAGCCTCCAGCCGCTTACGGCAGCGAACACGGACCGCGGACTCGGGCAGCGAACGCCTGCCGCCGCGAGCAGCAAGGACCAAAAATGAGCGCCCCCGCGACGGCCCGCTCAGGGGCCAGCAACACCGCCACGAGGACGAGTCTACCGCAGACGTACTCGACAGGAGTAACGGCGCGAGAACGCCCGCCCCTGCCGCGACTCGGGAACGGCTACGAGCCGCCCGGGAAGCTCGATTGCTTCGCGGATGGAACGCCAGCTCTGGGAGAACCCCTGCCGGAGCAGTGGACGGAGACCATCAAGAAGAAAAAAAAGAAAGCAAGGAATCCCCGGAAGAAGATGCCTCCGGAAGTGATGGACGCCGTGCACGAGAAATTGGTCGAAGCGACCAATAGAAGATGTGACCCTGACCGGGGCGATTTGTTCGATGTCGCCGACAAGGACGCGAGCGGCACGATGGAGCTCGACGAGCTCAAAAAACTGGTCAGAGTGACTTTACGGATACCGCCCGGCGAATTGAGCAATGATATGATCAAGGGCGTCTTCCAAGCGATCGACTACTCGGGGAATGGGAGCATTGAAACGTCCGAATTCGAAGCGTTCCTCGAACATGGGTCGAGTGTCATGCACATGTCGCAACAGATCACGGAAGTAGTTACCAGTGTAGTGTGGCCGGTGGAGACCAATCCATCTGCTGGTACTGTTAGGATGAGGGAGCTCGACAAGCCGTTCTTAGAAGATGCTCTCAGAGAAACTAGGATGGAGAACAAAAAAGATGAGGAGGTTTTAGGGGAGAAGCTCGTGTTCAACCTCGCGAAACAGACGTCCAAGGGCCTCAAGGAGCATCTGGGCGTGCACTGCGAGATGACGAACGTCGCCAATGTGGTTCGACTCGCGATACGGAACGAAAACAAATCTGCGGCGGAGATTGATGAGATGAGTAATGGGGAGGAGGTCCGGAAAGCGCGCGAGGTGTTGAAAGCGGTGCGCCAGTTCAATTTGCGGAAGGTCGCGAAGCTAATGAATGTTGACGTGCCACAACCGCCGACGTGGGGCGGGCGATCTAGGGTGCAGACGAGCGAGGACCCTGCGGTCTCGCTCCGGCGGCTAGTTAAGTAGGCTTATGCATCTTCGCTCTCATACTATCCGCCTGGGTCGCGAGCGCGTCCGCCGCTTTTTTTGTGAGCAGTGCCAGATGCTCGTGCAGGTCCGCGCCGTCGTCGTTTTTTATAATGATATCCCACTTCCCATAAGCGTCCAGGCCGCACTCGGACTCGGCGTCGTCGACTCCTGTAGAAAAGACCCAGCCCCGCGCTTTCCGTGTTTCTTGTGAAGCCTCGACGCGCACCGTGACGACCTTCGGCACATTATCTTTAAAGAAGGCGATGTCGCCCGGCCGCCGCGCGTCGGAGATGATCAGAATTGGTCGTGAAGCTGCTGCGAGCACCTTTCTCGCGAAAAAACCGGCGTCGGCGTTTCGTCTTTCTTCCCCCCACGTGATCATGCGCGCGCGGTGCTGCTCTTTATATGCCGAGGCCGTCAGTAATTCCGCATAATCTAGGTCGTGCTCCTCGGCATACGCTTTTTTCAGCGGGCCGGACAGCCGCCCGATCTCGGCGACCTCGTCTCCGATCAACGCGAGGAGCCGGTCGCTGCAGTAGTCCTTGCCCGACTTGCGCTTGCCCGCGAAGATTATGGCTAATTGTACTGGGTTTCGATCTATGTGCGTGTGGGGCACGCGCGGCGGCGGCTGCAGGGCTGCCATCCTGCCTTACAATGCTTGTGTAGGCCTTGAAATTGGCGCACGCGTCGTCGGCGTGGAAAGGTGGCTGCGCACCGATGCTGACTGCCTCTAGAAGGTTGTAACTGTGGTCTAGCGCACCACAGCGTCGTGTAAAACGCGCGCCGGTCGAGCTAGCGGCCTGTAAAGACACTAGCGGCAGGGAAACGCACTCCGTGCTCCGCCGACCAGTCCTGGCACCGTAACAGATCAATAACAGGCAAACTACAGAAAAAACTTAGTCGTCCGAGTCCGACTCGTTCGCCGCAAATTTGGGCGGCTCCTCGACGAGGATCTCGTTCTGCGAATCCGCGTCCGCGGCCTTCGACGCCTTCACGCCGGCCTGCAGCCGAGAGACGACGTCGAAGGACTTGGCGGACGAGGCGGCGGACCCGTCGTCCTGGAACGAGCCGCCCATGTCCCGGCGCGCGGCGTCGACTAATTCGCGAGATAATCCAATGGTCGCGCGCTCGTCCAATAATCTTTCATATTTGCTACCCAACAGGTCCAGGTCAAACCTACAGTCCGCCAGCAACCCCTTGATGCGCGCGCCCTCCATTTTCCGTTGGGTGGAAACGGCCTCCGAATGACTTAGTTCCTGCTTCTTCGCTTGTAGAGAGTCCTCCAGCCCGAGGCACCGCTCTTTCAACTTGGCGCACTCCTCTCTGGACAAATCGAGCTGGTTCTCGAGGTCTTCTATTCTTCGGTGCGCCGTCGCGAGTTGGTCGTCTTTATCACGAAGGGCGTTGAGCACTCGTCGGACCCTCACGTCGGCCTCGATTTGTACCCTCTCAATGCCCAGACCGTCCTCGGAAGTAGCAAAGCGGTGCGCTTGCTGGGATAACCGTCTCGCGCTTTCTCTCCTTTCACTCGCGTTGGCCGCCTCCGATATTCTTAGTGTTTCTCGCAGCGCGGACACAGCAGCAGCCTTGGCGACGGGGCTCTGCTCGCGCGGGCCGTCGGGCGTCTTGGCGCGCTTGATCTTGCCCATGTCGCGTCGATGGCGTGATGGGCGCTGCCCCAAGCTCGTGAGCTGTGGCTTGCCGCTGGCGTCCGGGCGGCAGCCGCTCCGCGCGCCGAGGGATGTCGTCCACGCGTGCGTGCGATCAGTGCAGCCCTCCTCGTCTAGAGTGTGCGCGCCGTGGCTGAATGCCGCCGGAGAGCTTGGCGCTGCGATGTTGCGGGGTGCGCGCGTCGCGCAGGCATGCACGCATACACGGAACCATCATTAGCCAGCAAACACACCTAGTTTCACTTAAAGTGATGTTCCGCTTGGTAAATTACGCAGACCCCGCGTCGCGGCGGCTGGGCGGCCTAGATCTAATGAAAGGAAATATTAAAGAAGGCTATGCGCGAGGCGATACGACTTGAAATGCGCACATCCAGATAAGGGGAAACTAGGGAAAGACCGCACAGAGTCAGAACGCCGACGCCGCGCACCCCAATACGAGAGAGATCCGCGCCTTGCCCGCGGCGTCGGGGTGGGGCATCGCGCGGTGGACCCACTTCCACCGCGCGTCTCCCGACAACAACACCAGAGTTCCAGGCTTCGCGACGATACGCGTTGGGGCGCCAGGAGCGTCCGCGTGGGGCGCGAACTCCATGATCGCCGGCGCCAGAAGCGTCGAGATGGCCGTGATCTCGCCGTTCGCCGCTAAATCGGTATGCCACGGAAAGAGCGCGCCGCCCGCCTCCGCCAGGGCGTCTTCCGTGGAGGCCTTGTAGTCGTTTAGCGTCAATTTCCAATGCAAATTCTCGCCGAGCGACGTCACGGCCTCCTCCTTGAGTAGGGCTGATAGTATCGGCTCACACACAGCGGGAATATTTTCGTTGCCCCGGAAGTAGCTCAGCGCGTGGGCCGCCGAGCCGTATTCCGCAAAGTGCTCGCAGCGTCTTTCTGAACTGTTGACTGGGTCCGTGACCTTAAGCGGCACGAACATCCGTTCTCGTTGCAAGTTGTGCGCCCGCGAGATGCGGCCCTCGAGCGGCTGCGGAATGTCCGCGACGCGCCCCTCACCACCGCCACTCGCCGCCGCGTTGACCGCGTCGATGAGCGCGCGCGCGCCGTTCACGACTCCTTTCGCCGTCTCTGGCGTCGGCGCGCCAAAGTTCTCGAACACAAAAAGCCCCGGCGGCCAGCCCGCCGAGCCCGTCGTGACAGCCGCGTCCGACGAGCACGTCGCTCGTACCGACGAGAAGTCGTGAACGCCCGACGGCCAGCCCATCGGCACGAAGTCGTGCACCTGGGCGGCCGTGAGGGTGCCGCCTCGCCGCACCTGGCGCTGCCCATCGTACTCCATCATACTCATCGGCGCTCTCGTCAAGGTGCGGCGCATAAGGCTGCACTGTCGCGCCACACGGGCTGCAGCGACTGGCCTTATCGTGAACATCGTGAACATCGGGCAGCGTCTTTGCGCCTCAACTCAACTCCTTCTGTGCTGCGATCTCAGCTGATCAGGAAACTTGCTGGGCGCGCGGGTCTCCGGAGCCCTCCGTCTTGCATGACTCGTACAGCCATGCCTCAAGAGCCTTCCGAACGGATCGAGGCATCTCGGAGCAAACACCAACTCGCGAGTGGCCTTCTCGCGCGTCGCGCCCGCTGGAGAAGATCACTGGAGATGCCCACTGGCAATCTACTGGCGAGGTTGTTCCGCGATAGACGAGAGAACTAAATACACGAACTTGCTTATGTGCGATTCCCACGCGCTTATTTGAGGATCTTCTGGACGGCCGTGTCCTTCATCTTCGTCGTCATGCCGTCCTCCCAGACGATGACGTACGTCGCGGGCTTCGACGCATCTATGCTGTCGACGACGCCGTCGTAGTACCCAGAACCGGGAAACTTCTTGTTCACCTTGCGACCGACCAAGGCCCCGAACGCCGCCTTCTCCTCGGTCGCGGCGACGTGCGCCCGCTTCGCCGGCGGCGCGGCCGGCGTGCCGTTGGCGGGCGACGCCGCGCGGCCCTTGCGCTTCTTCTGCGTCGCCGGCGCCGCGGCGGGCTTGGCCGGCTTGCGCGTCGCCGGCGCCGCGGCCGGCTTGGCGGCCGGCTTGCGCGGCGGCGGTCGCTTGATGCGTACGATCATCGGCGCGGCGGGCGCGGGCGCGGGCGCTGGGGCCGCGGGGAGATTGAGGAACGAGAAATCCATCGCCTGGCCGGGCGCCGGGGCCGCCTGGCCCACATCCATCGGCGCCGGCGCCTTGGCGTTCAGCTTCTTGTTTATGGCCTCGAGCCGCGCGACCTCCGCCCTTAACTTCGCAACCTCGGAAGGGTCCGAGTCAGAGTCAGACTCGTCCGGATCGTCTTCAGGATCGGACGGGAGGTCGACGACGGCCTTGCGCGTCCGCGCCGACGCCCGCAGGCCCGCCCGGCGCTTCGGGGGCGGCGCGTCGACATCAACGGCGTCCTCCTCATCCCACTCGTCCTCGTCAGTAGCTTTGGCTGGAGCCTTCTTCTTCCTCGAGGCCGGAGGTAATTTGGGCGCCGCCGGTGGCCTTAATACAGGTGGCCCGCCCCTTTTCAAATCCTCCGCGGTCTTGACCTTGACATGGGCTGCTCGAGTTGTCGTGACGTCCTGTATTAAATCCGCCGTCGTCTTGGCATCGGACAAATCAAATAAGGTATTGAAATCGGATAAAGATAGTCGAGGCGTGTCCCGTTGGATGGTGCCGGCCACGACCGCAGGACCGTCGTCATCAATATCGATCGCAGTGGCTTGATCGGCACCGGGCTTCGGCGCACCACCCGACGAGTAGAGCATGGTCATCACGCGAGCTTCGATGGAGTCCTTGAGGATGAAGTTCGTGACGCGCACGGGGCGCGTCTGCCCCATGCGATGCACGCGGCCGATCGCTTGCACGTGCAGCGCCGGGTTGAGACAAGGTTCCAGCACGAAGACCTCGGAAGCTGTCGTTAAGTTCAATCCAACAGCACCAGCTCGTAACGACAGTAAGAAGATGGTTGTCGGAGGATCGTTCCGGAAGTCGCGCAGAGCTCTCGCCCTTGCCGTCTGAGACATATCCCCAGTAATGGTCCGCGAGGCCATGCCGTGCTTCGGCAACTCGGCTCGTAGCCACGCTAAAGTATCGGCGAACTGCGAGAAGACCAGTACTTTAGTAGGTACGATAGCTTCCTCTTCCTCATCCTTCTGCGAGATCTTCTTGAGCTCCTCGACCAGAGCTGTTAGTTTCGAGGTCAGTAATGAAGCCCCTAAGCGCGTATCTACCGACGGTTTGACGTCCTCCGACTCTTCTTCCTTGCCCGCTTGCGCGATGTCGGTCTGGATCGCGCCGCCGGAACAAGCTTGTCTCAGTGGTAACATCAAAGCGTGTAGGGAGAGCATCTTCGACGTGGGCTTCGGGCCTCTTAGTAGTTCCGCCGCGCGTCGTCGCGCGATGGCTTCTAGACGTGTATAGGCCGCTTTTTCCTCCTCATTCGGGACGACCTCTAGACGTCTCTCGGTCTTCGGCGGCAGTTCCAACAATCTCGACCCAGTCGACGCGAAGAACGTCGGCGACTTGTCCGATGATAAAGCTACAATCCTATCGGCAGAAACACCTCTACAGGTACAATCCCTACCCAACAACTCCACGGACCACGTCTTGTACGCCGGTGAGAAGGACGTGACCTTGCCGGGCACCCACCTCAGCAACGAATTACGTTTGAGTAACTTGGGATCATTTTCCGAGAGATATTTTCTCACGTCGTCCTCCGTACCTACCCACTTCGTACCGTACATACTATTACCATACGTAGGATGCGTATCTCTTGAGTATGAACCATCGGTGACAGGCCGCGCGTAGGCATGGAAATGCTTCGAATCCTTCGCAATGCGTTTTCTACGCCAGTCCTGCCGATCCAACGCATCCCAGACCACAAACCACGGGGCGTCTTCACTGCCTTCTTCTTCGTCGTCGTTGATGGGAACCAGGGCTAAGACTCGATCGCCCTCGGTCCATAGACAGCCCGTCCTGACAGGTGCCTCCACTAAATCGGCCGGTACGGATCTGAGAGTAGTCGCGCCGTCGAAGGCCACTCTGATAGAATCGCCGTCGATCTCTCTCACAACACCGCTCCGGAAGGCGCCGCAGTCCCTATGATACCGTGCGAGGCATCTCGCACCTACTACTGCTTGAGATTTCTCGGATAACCGCGCGAATGAAGGTCTTGGTGACAAGTCCTTGAACCGAGCTTTGCGGGTTTGTCCCGAGCGGTAGCCGCTGTCGACCAACTTCATGGTGACGTCGCTAGGATCTTCGACCCCCAGCGGGTCCTTCTGGTCCGGGTGCACCGCGGTCACCCTGCATAGCTCGTACCTTTCAGCACCTTCGACGAACCGCAGGACCGAATCACCGACAGCAGGCCGCTCCCCCAAATCATCATACGACGCGTCGGGCTCGACGTGCATGGCCGACGCCGGCACCTCCCGCGACGTCCCGAAGCGTTGCGCTTCCTTCACATAAACGACGCCCGCCTTCCTATCATGATCTTTCGCTAGTCGTAACCGTCTAAACGACGTCGGCGCCGCCTGGGGGTCCTGGCAGACGTCGCCATCGACGTGGCCCACCAACACGTGGGCCCCTTCCAACGACGAACCATCAGTAGTTTCTATAGGATCTGGCATTGCTGGCGTCCACGCGTCGATATCGTCCTGCTTGGACGACGGCGTGCCGCCCTCGAGGTCCGCTCTAATGAGTCGCTGCTCCTTACTATGTCTGATTTGAACTCGACGAAGAAACGCGAAACTTTGAGCTCTCTGACTCAAAAAATGTTTGAACCGAGACATATCGCTGGCAACAGAATCACACCCGAGGAACTTGAACTGCGACTGGAGATTCTCCAAGGACAATGGTGCTGGTGTCCCCGAGACGCACCACCTTCGGTGCGCCGACAGCATCCGCACGGCCTTCGCCATGGCCGTATTCTCCTCCTTGATGACGTGCGACTCGTCTAGTATAATGCGCCAGAAGCCTAGCTTGGCCAGAGGCGGCACGTAGTTCGCGCGACCCTTCCTCGCGATCTCCGCCTTCGCGAAGCCGCTCCGCGCGTTCATGTCACTCACTAAAACTTGGTAGGTCGTGATGACAATATCATTATCCTTCAGTATGGACGGGTCGGTCGTGCGCTTGCCGCCGTAGTACTGGTAGACCTTTAAGGTACCCGGTCGCGTCTTGTCCATGGCCTCGTCGTACCTGTGCGCAACGGACACCGTCGCGAAACTGCCTCTGTACATTCACGAGGCGCGCAGACTCTCATGCGGCCGCGTCGAGGGCGTCGAGGCGGTGCGGCATCACGTCGACGCCGTCGATGCGACTTGAAATGCGGAAAAGTTCGGAACAGACGCGGAGTCAGCACCACTGGCTCACGAGAGACACGGGGCACACGACCAAGGTCGCTCGCGTCTTGATCGCGCCCTGGCCCGGCAGGGAGCCCGCCGGCGGGCCCCACGTTGAGGTAGGCAATGCGGGATTCAGCAGCACCAAAGCCAGAGAAATAATTGTTTTGCCCAGACCCATCTCCTCGGCGAGGATGCCACCTTTCGGCCCGTCCGGGGCTTTTTCGGAAAAGGTCTGTAAAAATGGAGAGTACCACAACTTCTTTCTTGTTAATGTATCAGGGGGTCCGTACGTCCCAGGTACTTCCGCGAACAAATGCGACTCGATGCCACCTTCCAGCGCTTCCTGGTCCAGGCAGAACTGGACGCTCTGGCGCTGGTAATCCCTCAACGTGACTTCGAGCTGGGGTATTTTTTGCGTGACCTCGGCGTGGCACACGTTTTCTAAATGAGTGATCGCGCCTTGCAACCCAGACGCTCTTCCTCCAGAGTTTAAGCGTCTAGCTTCGTTCCAGACGCCTTCGAGCATGGCCTGCAGCGACGTGTCGGTGTCGGCCCAGCCACCTGAATTAGCGCCGGCGCTCGACGCGAGCATGGCACTTCCGGTGCGAGCACCCGGTGCCTTCAAGTGGCGCTTCGAGATGGCCTTCTGCCGCGCTGTCAAAGCGGCGTCCGGCGGTGCGCTTCGTCTACGTCTAGAATTCGCCTCCTCGTACGGGTCACTCTCCAAGCCGCACCTATCCAGCAGATGCCGGGCGAGGTTCTGCCGCCCGTGCACGTCCTCGTAGTGGCCACCTCTGTACCTTCCGCCACTGCGCTGCTCCATGGGGCGGAAAATGACAGAGGTGAGGGCGAGCTTGGCGCTGACTCGGACTTTCGCCTTTTCAGTACCTGAAGAGGGCACGAACGCCGTCTCGAGCAGGCAGATGCCCACGTCGCTCCGCTTGAAGCGCGCGTGTTCCAGTAGTTTTACGATCTTTGCCTTTTCGCCGTTGACCTCAGGAGGTTTCGAGAAGTACGGCGTCTGCGAGTGGTGGTTGCCGGCCTGCTGGAGCGTGACGCCGCGATTGCTCTCGGCGACTGCGTCGCCGAGACACTGCTCGTAGATGATCCGCTCGCTCCTAGCCTTAAAGCGGTCGAGCGTCGCGGCGTCGAAGTTCGCGGTGCGGTTCTCGCGAACCGCGGCCGTCGTGCCTCGGCCGAGACCTTGGACCTCGTACTCGCCCTCGGCCTCGGCGACCACATACATGGCGTCCGACTTGTGGGAGGAGCGCGTCAGCTCGCAACTTTGGGCCGCGCGCTCGAGGACGGCCTTGCCCGCCGCAGGACCCTCGACGACCTTGCCCGCGTAGCTCTCGACCACGGGCCCGCGCATCGCGCTCCCGCAGACGTCGCACGCGAAGACCTTGGCGTGGCTCGTGCGGTCCCATTCCCACTGCGGGCCCTGGTAACTAAAGCCGCAGCACTCGCAGTACGTCGAGCGATACGTGACGTGGGCCGGCGGGGCCTTCGTGGGCCAGGCCTTGCCCCGGCGCCCCGTCGACGTCGGCGGCACGGGCAGCTTCGGCCCCTTGTCGGAATACAGGGTAAAGTCCTGGATGGCCCACTGGCTATACGGCTTGCCGAGCTTGTAGACCCTGCGCCCCGACGCCGTCGATGCCGGCTTCCACACAATTACACCGTGGCTGGTGAGCGTCCCGCCGGCGCGTGACACGCGCGCGGCCTTGAGGGTCGCGTTCTTGCGGGCCTCGGAGAGCAGCTCGTCGAGCGCGCTGTCGGAGGCGCCGTTGGTCAGGTAGCGGGCGTTGCCAATCGCGCTCGACGGGTAAGACGCGTCGCGGGTCACGGCGTAGAGCTCCCTCGCGCTGTTGTCGGCGGCGAAGGCCGCGAGGCCGTCGCGCATGGCCTTCCTCTCGGCAGAGAGCGACGGCGTCGCCGCGGGCCGCGCGGCGGGCGCGCTGGCGGACTTGTAGTAGCCCATGCCCCGGTAAGAGTTCTTGAACTGGTAGCCCGGCCGCATGCCCGTGTAGCGCTTCGCGGGGATGAAGTCCGGCTGGTAGGACGACGACGAGGGCGGCCTCGGCGGCGCGAGCGTTTGTTGTTTCGGCGGCGCCGGCGCGCCGCCCCGCTTCACCTCGTTGCGCCGGATCTTCCAGTAGGCGGCGTTTGGGCCCTTGTCCGTGGCGTCGCAGTGAACGGCCCAGCTCGTACACTCTTTCGCCGGCTTGTCGCAGACGTAGCAGAAGCAGGTGGCGCACTTCTCCTTGTTCTTCGCTGTGCCCTGATGTCTCAGCTGTCCACCCGGCGGCGCGACAAAAATATGCGTCTCGCAGGCGCAGCGCGCGTGCGGGAGCTGCGCCTTGCCCGTCGGGTTCGGAATGAAGACGACGTCGTCGTCGGAGTCGCTCATCTTTTCTTGTGTTCACTCGGTGGCTGCGGGGAGCAGTCCTGCGGCTCGACGGCCGGCGGCGCGGTCAAAACGCTGCGTACGAGCCTCCTGGGTCAAACGCTGCCAAGAGCGCAGCGGGGGCCCGGCGCGGCGACGCTCGGCTGCGCTGCAGCTCGGACTGGCCTTCGACCACTGCGAGACACGACGGCTCGGTGAGTACCGCGAGATATGCGGTGCTTGAATCGTTCCCGGTGCCGCACTTTGATTTGTGTCAATAATCAGCTAAGCCTATCGACATACTAGGATTACAAAAATCCGCGGAAAGCAAAAATGAATAAATACAAGAAGTGAATACTAACCCTTCCCCCGCGAGAACAACCCCGAAAAGAAATTCGAGGGCTTGTCGGGCGCCTCCGCCGGCGCCGCCACGACGCGCGGCGCCGCCGACGGCTCCCGCGCCGCCCACTCGCGCCGCAGCGCCTCGACGAAGCCCGGCAGCGCGGCCTCGAGCGCGGGACAGTCGCAGGCCGCCAGCGCGGCGAAGTCCCCCGCCGACGACGCGTGCGCGGCGGCGAGCTTGGCCGTGTCCTCGGCCACGTTCTCCAAGTCCACGGCCAGGTCCAGCCGGAGCCGGTCCACGAACCGCTCCAACCAATTCCCGAGCGCGCGCCACGTGTCCACGTCGGCCTCGGCCGCCCGGTGCGCCACCGCGACGAGCGCATCCAGTATTGTACCGACCGAGTCGTCCCACACAAAGGCCCGATCGCTATCCGTCACCATCGGATCCTCGGCCGCGGCCAGCGCGTCGCCCCACGCTCCAAAAAGCTCGTCCAGCGCATCCGCCGCTTTCACTTCTGACGCCGTGATGATGGACGCGAGCGGCTCGAAGAGCGCCGGGTACGTGTTGCAGACAAAGTCCGCGTAAGCGTCGTCCCCATACGCCTCAACCAAAGCCTCGGCGCGTCTTCGGTACAACTCGACCTGCGCCGCGTGGTCGTCGCCCAGCTCGTTTTCGGGCGTGTCCCTGAGGTCGTCCGGCAAGCTATCCAGCCCGAGCCGCGCGCGCGCCAAAGCCTGCGCGACCGTCTCCGAGCCGCCCCGCGTGAGTTTCCGCCGCGCCATGAGCTCCGCCAGCCCGCCCACGAAGCTCGACGAGTTGGGCACGACGCCCGCGCGCAACGCCGTCGCGAGCGTGTGCCGCGGCACGGCGTCGTACGCTTTCTGGGAATTGCGCAGGGCGTCCGTCCGCGGCGTGAGGGTCCTTCCCACCCTCCGCAGTAACAAAGGCCGCGCCGCCGCGATCACATGCCTTAGTTCCTCGGGCAGCTCGTCGACGTTCGAGCCGGACCGCAGCACTTCTAAAGCTGTGAATTTCCCCTTCGATAACGCGTCCGCGGCCGAACCACAAGCCTTGCGCAGCGCCGCTTCCAACGACGCGTCGTCGCCCACGGCCTCGCGCGTCGCCAGATAAAACACGGGCCGCGCGACGAACTGCACGAGGTGGTGCCGCGCGCCGTCCTCTTCATTGGAACTCCCGGCCACGGCCTCGGCCTTCTTCAGCAGCTTCGGGATTTCCTGCAGGCCCGCGTCGACGGCCTCCTCGGGGACGAGGGGGCACCGCTTCATCTCGGCCAGCGCGCCCCGCAGCACCGGCGCGTCGCCCTCACCCGAAAAGACGGCGTCGACCTCGTCGCCCAACGCTCGTTGCAGGAGCCAGGCCAGGGCCAACGCGTTCGATGACGGCGGTTGCGTCGCGGCCACTTCACCGGCGACCCAGGTCGTCGCACCCGTTTCATCAACATCATATTCGCGGCCGCTCTCCGCGTCGCGGTGGCGCGTGTGGCCGGGAGGCGGCCCGCCCGTGGCGAAGGCTTCCGCGGCGGCAGCGACGCGCGCTTCGGTCGCCAGGCGCTTCTTGGAGCGCGAAAAGATGTCGTTCCTTAGTAATGCCTCCCAGCGCCGTCTTAAACACGCGCGCCGCGGCAGCCAGAGCTTCAACGGCTGCGCCGCGCCAGCCACCGTTAATGTCACGTCCGAGACGGAGTAGGCGCGGTCCACCCGAGACTTCTCGATTTTTGTGGCCGTGATCACGCCGTCCGCTTCTATCTCACCGTCGGGCCGCGGCGCGAGGCCCTCCACAGAATCCGCGCGCCAGCACCTTATCCTCCGTTTGTCGAAGAGCTGGACGCAGACCGTCGGCGCGACCTCGAGCGGCCATCTTCCCAGATGCATCATGGACGTCAGCAATGGTTTCTCACTCTCATCATGAAGCAGGGCTGCCCCGTCGACCGTGGCGTCGTCGTCGTAGCCGTCGAGGCGGCGGGCCCTTAGCATGCCTGCCATTGTGTGGCTTGTTCTGGGTGCAGTCGTCGCACTGCTTCTGGTCTAGGGCTTCTCGATGATGGCTTGGTTTTTGGAATGAGTCCAGAGGCTGACGACCCGCACGCAAATGAAAAAGAGCGCTCCCGCCCGATGGCAGGGATCGGCGACGAATCCGCCTGGGGCTGAGGCGATCAAGAGTCGCGCTGCCAGCTGGAGCTGAACTGCAGTGAGAGCGAGGCGTTCCGCAATTGCACGTGTTTAGCCACATAAATACGCCACTGCACGCCAGCTGTTGCAAACGGCACGGATCCGACGCAGTTGCATCCATACAGTGATTTACGCTGCATTAAATACACCACAAAAGACATCACACAGACAAGTGAGAGACATCATGATGCGCTCGCTGGCGTTCCTGTCATGCGTGAGAGCCTTCACGGCACCCAAAACCATTGCGCAGAGAGCCCTCGCACTGCGCGCGGGCGACGCGCCGGACGACAAGACGCTCTTCGCGCTGGGCGTCAACGTCGCGACGCAACTGAACGACATACGAACGCTCTTCAAGAAGGAGGAGATCCCCAAAATTGTGGAGGGCATCACCGCCTACTTGAGTAAGGAGGTCGTGGACCCGAAGCCGGTCCTCGTCGAGCAGGGCAACGCCATCAACCAGTTAATTCAACAGCGCATGGCGTCGGCTATTGATGATGAGAAAGCCAGAGGCGCCGAGGCCGTGGCCGCGGCCGCGGCCGTCGAGGGCGCGGAGCAGACCAAGTCCGGTTTGGTGATTGAGCACGTCAAGGAGGGCGTCGGCCCGTTCCCGACGGCGGCCTCGACGGTGTCCGTGCACTACGTGGGTACCCTTATTGATGGCACCGTGTTCGATTCGTCAAGGGCGCGAGGAGAACCGGCGCAGTTCGCCGTCAAGCAGGTCATCAAGGGCTGGCAGGAAGCTTTACAGCTCATGCAGGAGGGCGGCACGGCGAAGCTCACGATCCCGGCCGACATCGCCTACGGCGACGGCGGCTCGCCGCCGAACATCCCGGGCGGCGCGACGATCTGCTTCGAGGTGGAGCTGCTCAAGGTCCTCACGGGCGGCGTCGGGGGCCTAATCCTTTAAGTTATATTACTCGCGCGCCCAGAACTTCCAGACCGGCACCTCGGCGGGCGACCGCGCGTCGGTAGGCGTCAGAACCCCCAGATCCTCCTCGTCGCCCGCGACGTCCGCGTCGTCGTCGTCGTCGTCGTCGCTGTCCTCCTCGGCCAGGCCCCGGTACGCGGCGTAGCTGTTGGCGCGCGCGACCGTGTACAGTCTGTGCGACGTCTTCTGGTCGCTGTAGATGGCCTTCGGGACGATCTGGACCTCGACCGTCATCGCAGCCAGGCCCGGCGCCTGAAATTTCAAATTGACATGCATACAGTACGGCTTGGCGTGTTCGGCCAATTTGTTCTTCAGGCGAACGACCGTGAACGCGCCGCTGTCCGAGAGCGCCTCGTAGGCGGCGACCGTGCGCGCCGCGTCGGCCGTGACGACCGACCTGTGTGGGAATCAACCGGTGAGTTAGCTTATCGCGTCGACGGCGTGGGGCGCCCGAAATTTGATTTCCACACGGTCCGGGACGCGCGGAGGCAGTCGCTGAGCCGCTTCGCGCGCGGCCACACCGTCTCGTTTTCTCTTCTATACTCGTCCACCTTGGCCCGCATGCGCGCCGGGGCTTTGACGGCGAAGTCCGCGTCACATTCCAATTCGACGCCCTCCGTGTCTGGGGGAAACAGCTTCTCGAGCGCAGCTCGAAAGGCGGGGAAGGCCGCCGTCGCCAGCGCGTGCAACGTCTCGACGCAAACGGCCGCATCCAACTCAACCTCGAGCGCCGCGCCGCCGACCTCCTCCTTGAAGGCGTGGAGGCTCTTGCTCCGCAGCGCGGGCTGGTGGTGGTCCCCGAGGTCGAAGGACGCGAGCTTGGCCAACGTCGCGCCGCCCTCTTCTTCCTCCATGATGTCGCGCGCGGCCGTCGCGATGCGCGCTTGCGCGCGTTGATTGAGGTCGTGGGCCACCAGGGCCAAGTCCAGGAACCGCGGGAGGTGCCGCGGCCGCTCTTTCGCCGCAACTCTACTTACCGCGGAAATCTTCTTCGCGGCGTGCTTGAAGCGCTCGGCCACCTTCGACGGGCTCTCGTCCTTGCTCTCGGCCGCAACGGGAGAAGAGTGGCTGCCGGAGTTGCGCAGCAGCGACCGCGCCGAGAGCTGCGAGCGGCTCATGCTCGCCAGGAGGCTCGAGTTGGTATGCCCGCCCTGCATTAAACCAAGAACCGACATCGTCCGAACCAAACCCCCGACGACCGCGCCCTCCTCGTGCTCCAGGAAGAAGTAGGGCCGCAGCGCCAGGGCGTAGACCTGCTCGAGCGCCTTCGCGCCGGCCGGCCGGCCGAGCTTTTGATATGCGGCGACCGGCGAGGCGCCTCCGACTAAACTCTTGCGCAGCGGGCCGGCGACGACGTCGACGGACGCGTCGACCTCGCGCGCGTTCAACTTGAGTTGAAGGTGGCTGCGGACGTAGGCCTTCGCTCGGTACAGGATCGCCTTGACGTGCCACTGGAGCACGTCCGCGGCGGCGACGTCCTCGGTCCAGACGCCCTCGAGCTTTAAAATTGTGTGCGTGAAGTAGTCCCAGTCCTTGTCGTCGAGGTGTCCATCAAACGCCTGGCGCAGCGCGTGCCGCCCGCACTTGCGCACGACCTCGGCGATGTCCTGCTTGTGCGCGCCCCCGAGCAGCGCCTCGACCTCGTCGATGTCGACGGGCTCGCGCCGCCGCAGGCGCCGCGCGACGGACCGGTACGACTCCGTCCGCCACGCCCGGTAGGCGAAGGGCAGGACACTCAAGTTGAGGGCAAACACGAGGATTGCCACGACAGAAGCCGTCGTGCTGTCTAGGATGGGGTCGCTGCCGTAGACGGCCACGGCCACGAGCGCGATCGAGAACGTCGCCCGCATCAGCGCCTCGACGACGAGCTGGAGACCCGTCGAGGCGTAGGGCCGGAACTGCAAGACTAGCGTGCGGTGCACGACGATGACGAAAAAGGACATGATCAGCGAGACGCCCGGGCTCACGAAGAGGAACATGCCCGTCACGAGGCTGCGCGCGACGAGCGCCGCGACCTCGAACCACCAGAATTCGGGCTTCACGGAGCGCGTCAGGAACGCGAGCGCGCCGTCGTCCACGGGACGCTGCTCGTCGCGCGCGAGGCGCCGCGCGCGCAGCATCCAGGCGACGTAGGTCAGCGGCACGCCGATCGCGTACACGACGAGGGCGACGGTGGCGTACGTCTCGTAGAACGCGTGCTCGGCGGCCGAGTCCGCGTCGTAGTAGGCGTCGTACTCCACCGGCGCGCGCGGCCGCTTTACGTACTTCGTACTGCAGCTAATAGTATAATCCGCCGCGAGATATCGGAGGCCGCTGCTGCCTTGACCGTCGGCGATCTTGTAGTTGATAGAGCAGTTGAAGGTGTTGAAGATGGTGCTGCAGATGCCACTGTGGAACATCGTGAGCACGGCGAAGACGACCATGAGCCCCGCGTCGAGGTCGCGCTGGACGCTCAGCGCGAGGCGCTGGACTTGCGGCAGCTGCTCCTCGTCCTCGAGTTCGCGGTCCGACACGAAGCGCGCCTCGCCGCGGCGGCTGTCGGTGGCCGGGTCGGGCGGCGCCCCCGCCTCCTCCACCCCCGGCCCGCGCACGTACACCGTCACGAGGCCCCGGAGGATCGCGAACACCACCACGACTACGACCAGCGCCGGCGCGAGCAGGGTCCAGAACAACAAGAAGTCAAAGTACGTGACCTTGGAGCCGCACCTCAGGACACTTTGGATTGATGTTAGGTCCAGGGAAATAAAATCGAGCGCCCACATGTACTTAAAGAGCGGGTCCGGCAGCGTGATCTGGTGAATCCCAACAAAGCGGCTCATCGTCACGAAGAAGAACACGAACTGGATCGCCACGGCTTCGAACCAGTCGCGGTGGAAGCGCGTCCGCAGGGCCTTGACGCCGAAAAGCACGGCGAACCACGCGGCGATGAGGACGACGGTCGCGACGAGCTGGAGCGCGAGTTGTCCGTGACTGTCGCAGCTTTTGCACTCGGATTTGTCGCCCTTCGAGCGGAAGGAGCCCTTCTTGCAATGTAAGCAGAGCGGCCCTTCTGCGTTGTCGCGGCAGAAGCGGTCGCCGTAGTACTCGTCCTCGGAGTCGACGAGTTTCGAGGGGTCCCACCCCCCGCAGGCGTCGTCCTTCTCCGGGCACGGGTAGACGACCGTCGCCTCGGGGCTGAAGCGGAAGAAGCCCTTCTCGATCTCGAGCGTCGCCACCGTGCGCGTCTCCGGCGTATCGCACTTCGTGCCGGTGAGCTTGTAGTCCCCGTCGTCCGTGCCGCACTTCGCGCACTTCTGACCTACGAGAACGTAATCCTCCGAGCAGCACAGCGCCGAGCCCGGCTCGGGCGCGTCCATGCCCGCCGAGCACGCGATGCACGAGCTCACGCCGACCGTGTTCTTGGCCTGGGGCTGGTACGTTCCGGCGGGACAGGCCTCGCAGCCGCCGGTCGCGTCGTCGAGGTAGGATCCCACGTCGCACCCCGCGCACGTGCAGCCGCTCGCGCGCTTCGAACCGCCGCTCAGGTCGTAGCAGTAGCCGTCCTCGCACGTGAAGCCCTCGTCCTCGCAGTCCCCGTCAGCAACGGGACACGCCGCGACGGAGTATGCGGTCGCCGAGAAGCCGTCGTACGTCGCGCCGGCGTCGTTCTTGTCTGTTTCGAGGGTAAGGCTGACGCTGGAACTCGATATTTCGTAGGTCGCCTCGGCTTGGATTTGTACGTTAGTATCGTTTCCGGCGGTTCGAATGAGTACACGGTCGCCTTTTAAACCATCGTACGCCTCGAGGTTTAGTGTCTCCACGACAACGCGGATAGTTTCGCCCGCGTTGGCCTCAAATGACCAAGCGCACTCCGCCTCCGGGGGCAATGGCTCGCCGGGCGCCTGGGAGATCATCTTCGCGCCATCCGCGAGAGTCAGCGCCTGATGAAGGCAGTGCGGCACGGTACAGGAGAGCCCGCCGTAGCCGTCGGAGCAGACGCAGGTTCCGCCTTCGCACGTCCCGTGGCCACCGCAGAGGCCGTCTTCGCCGCAGCCGTTGTCAGTCCCCACGTAGGTCGCACGAAACCCGCCGCGCCGTCCCTTATCATCTGATTCAAATACTAGCTCGGCCTTGCCGTCCGTCGTCGGCACCAGGATCGTGGCCGTGTCTTCGCCGGAGAGGTGCGCCCAGATCTTGTCGCCGCTCTTCACCGTGACGAAGTCAAAGGTCGGCTCCACATCGTACGTGATGGTGAATGAGACGTAATTGGTCTCGACTTCTGCGACAAAGTGGCACTCGGCCCCGTTCGGGTACGGAGCGGTGCTGTCGGGCGCCGTCGGCGACGAGCGGAATTCGCCCGACTGTGAGCTCGACGTCATCGTGCCGAGGCAGGATGCGAGAGAGCAGTCGGCGCCGCCGTATCCCGCGTCGCAGATGCACAAGCCCGAGACGGTGTCACACTTTCCATTGCCGCAGGTCGAGTGGTCGGCGGCACATGCCAAAGCTGCCGCGTCGTAGGAAGCGCTCCAGCCGTCAGTCAACTCGTTTAACGCGCGCTCCGTAACACCGTCCGTAGTGAATTTCACCCGCATCTCGCCGTTTGTACGCAGCGGCGGCAAGGTGGGGTCGAAGCCGTGGAGCTTCGCGACGAGGTCGTTGCTGGCGTCGTATACTTCGACGAAATCCCCCGCCCAGACCCGGAACGCGTCGAAGCTTAGCTCGACGACGCCGCTGGATGCGATGCGCCACTCGCACGCGAGGTTGTCCGAGTACGAGGTCGCGGCACCGTCGGTCAACGTTCCAGTCGCCGCCGTCAAATCCAACGTGCCGGAGCAGGTCGAGTCCGCGCTTGTTGGGATTGACGCGAGGTTTAGATCATCGTCAGCGCCAAGGACGTCGACGCCCACGGCAATCAGACCGTCCTCGAGGAACTGGGCGGTCGTCGTGTCTACGTACAACGCGTCGACGTCATCTCTCTCGGCTGGCGCGACAGAAGCGATGCGGCCGATGTCATAGAGGAAGTCCGCGGTCTCGCGCAGAGCCGCGGCGGTGCCTCCTCCGAGATAGTCCGAGCCTTGCATCGCGGTCGGGTCGACGAATTCAAATAGCGCCAGGGCGTCCGCTGCCGCCGTGCGGTTTTTCTTTAACGACTGTGCCGAGTCGCCCGGCAACAATTTGTACGCAGCCGCTATCGAGTCCAGGTAGCCGGTCGAATCATCGACATTCCAGCGCGTCGGATCGGCATTCAGGTAGTCCTCGTCGAGGCGGGCGACGACGCCAGCGACGCGCTCGACGACGGCGGAATGATCCGCAGCGAAATCGTCGCGGACGCTAATCGTGTTGAAAGTCGCCTTTTCCCAGTCGCTGAGTAGTTTTGCGGGGGCGAGCATCGTTGCGCCCAGCCCTTTCATGCTCTCCATCACCCCGCCCCACACGAAGGCACCGTCGATGCTGCCGGCGGCGTATAGAGTCGGACAGTCCGCATTGCAGTCGATGAGTTCGAAATGGAATTCCGGGAACAACTTGCGGGTGTATAGCATGTGGTAGTGCGCGGTCGAGCCATATGGTGTGCCGAACGTTTTATCCTTCATATCCAGGGGCGAGCCAATCTCGGGTCGTACCAGAAGCCCTTGCGACGTGCCCTTCATGTGGGCGACGTAGAACGTATGCATGGCCACGCCGCGCGCCAGGCCGGTCGCGGCTGGCGTCGAGCCGAGCAGCGCCACATCCAAATCTCCGTCGTCGAGCTTCGCCACGGCGAAGCCGCCGCTCGCCTGCGGCAGGCAGACGACTTGGAAATCGTCGCCGCCATCTTCGGTGTCGAACCAGCCGCGCGCGCACGCGACCTGGAACGGCTGTGCTTCCCCAAAGTACCCAAGGCGCACGGTTATTGTCTCCGCCGACGCCGCCGCCGCGAGCATCAGCCACAACAGCTGCCGGCGCGTCATACTAATGCTTGCTTCGGTCGCGGGGCAGCCATTTCGTGGCTCATTGCGATGTGCACTGTTTTTTTCACCCACACAACCCGCACCCTAGGGACTACTCCGTCGAGGCAACCTTACGCGACTGACTACGAAACAGCACACGATCCACCATGCGCTTTGTTCAACTTTCGCACGGAGAACCACGGCCGCGCGCGCTTCCGCGCGGGGTCCCAGACGGGCTTCGCCGTGGCCTGGGCCTGGTCGAGCGCCTTGAGGAACCCATTCCAGTCGAGCGACGGGTGCGGCAGGCCGTCGCAGGCCGCCTCGCCCAGAATCAACGACGCGAAGCCCGGCAACTCGTGCTGAGCTAAAGGTCGTTCGTCCAACAAATCGAAGAGTTTGTTCGAGGTGCCCCACTCCCTTAAACGATGAAGGGGCGCGCCGTAGGTCAGCCATGGCTGGGCCTCGTTGACCTCGGCCGCCTCGCCCTCCAGATCATCAAGCACGTCCATATCCAGCTCCAGGTCCTCGTCGATCTCGTTCCAGTACTGCACGACCCGATCGTCGTCCGTGCACAATCTCACAACGACCCAGGCCGGCAGGTCCCGTAATGGTCTTAACGCCGCCGCTATGTCGCCGTCCGTCGCCTCACCATCTGAGGCAATCACGACGCAGGCCTTCGTGCCCGTGGCTCGTAATTCGGAAGCCCGTTGCTGGATCTGCCGCGTGACCGCGCGGATCTGCGCGCAGAGCGGCGTCCTTCCCGTGGGCTGGCTATAGACCAGTCGATCGATGCGTCTTAATTCATCTTCTGATTTTGCGTTGTCACCAGTGCCCACGGCCACGATCTGCGACGCGCCCGAGCCCGGCTGGTTGAGTAATCGAAACTCCGTCCAGGCGCCGAGCTCCACCGCTAATCTAGCGTGCCAGCCGATCGCTGAGCCAAGCTCCTCCCAGCGCGAGCAGGGCACGAGGCCTTGCCGGCCGCCGGCGCCGTCGACGACGCGGTGGCCGTCGTTCGTCCCCATGCTGCCACTGTTGTCTATTATCCAAAAGCGGTACGAGAAATCGCGGGCGCTCTGGACGAACTGCTCGGCGAGGCCGCGCGGCATGCCCATGTGCTCGACCGTGCGGATTGCTTGCGCCCGGTCGGGATGGTGCGATTGTACTTGTTCTACAGTCATGACCTCGGCCTCCGGCAGCGTGAAGCTGCCGTCGTGCGGTATGGCCACGGCCGGGGCGCTGGCGTTTGAGAAGTAAGACATGCTTTTGCTTGATGTGGGCTGTGAAATGAGTGCTTTTGCTTGTGGGCTGTGGAAATGAGTTGTGGCGCAAGGTCAGCCGAAATTCGAGGAGTGCTCGGTTTTTGGGAATCGACCAATAGCGTGGTGGGCTTTGCGGCTTTGTTTGGGGCCGCAGCAGAGCCGATTCGCAAAACACTTGGCAGAACGTGCTAGCGTACTGTAAGACACTAGCTTGGCTTTTTTGCCGGAAAAAGTGCTGTTGACGTACGTGTGAGCGCAAGCCAGTCGTGGCAGCGTGTGAGCAGACGCCAGTCGCAACCAGTTTTGTGTGCCCCTAGCGCGCGCCCAGCTATTAGAGCTCTGGACAAGGAGCTAGGTGTGCGACCAGGTCAGCTCGCGCTCCATTTGCTTGCCTTGCGCTGCCATGAAGCAACCAATGAAGCAACCAATGGACCACCCCTGGCGCAGCGCCGGCGTCGAGACCACCGCGCGCGCCTGGTCCTGGCGCGCCTGCGCCGTCGCGGCGCTGTGGTGCGGTCTCTACGTAGTGGTGCTACTGCCGGCGCTGGTCGTCTACACCGTCGTGTGCACTTTCCTTGACGCCGTCGCCGCGGTCGTCAGCAGGACGCCAGCGCCGGCGCCGCTGCGACGCGACGCGCGCCCGGAGCTCGTGTTCCCCGGCACGTGCACGTGGGTCTTTTGGCAGCTCGGAATGGTTCATTACCTGGTCGAGAGATATGATCTGCGCGACGTCCGCGTCGTCGGCACGTCTTCGGGTGCTGTCTCGGCCGCGGCGATTCTGCTGCTCGAGCATGGTGATCCCTCGGCGGCGGAGGTGCGCCGCCGGGCCCAGAAGCTCCACGAAAGGCTGGATGCCAAGCTGGAGCGCATCACGGGGCACCCGCTGGCGTACGTCGGGCGCCTCGACGGCGTCATGGCCGAGCTACTGGACGAGACGCTGCCGCGCGACGATGCGGCCTATCGCACGGACCGCATTCTCATCGGCCTGCGGCGCTGGACCTGGACGCCGCTGCCTTCTTTGTCTCCCGCCGTGTCGCAAAGATTCAGCGGGCGGGCGGACTTTGCGCGCGCCGCGCTTGCTTCCGCGAACGCCCCGCCGATCGCCTCGCTGCGGCCGGCGATCCGCTACGCCGGCGCCTGGTGCGCGGATGGCGTCAACGCCTTTTCGCTGTGGTGCGCCGTGCCCTACATGTGCGCCGTGATGCGGGGCGCCGCCGTCGCCGCGCCGCGCGAGACGGTGAACGGGGCCGCGGCGCTGCCGTGGAACCACATCTACGCCTCCTGGAATTTTCCGGTCCTGGACCACGTGCTACGGCGAACGCGGGGCCGCCGCTACTTCGTGACGCCGACCGCGGGCGGCCACGTGGACCTCAGCCGCCTGCTACTCGTCTCGCGGCGCTGGGTCGCGACGCTCTGGGCCGACGGGTACCGGCACGCGGCGGCGCTCGACGCGGGCGGCTACTTTGCGGGTCTTGCGCCGCGGCGCGCCATCTAGACTTATTTATTAACTATTTGTGCATATTTTGATTGGTTCGAAAGTCGGTTTGTGCTAGTTAAGACCCACTAGTTGTCTCCCCAAAAATTTGTATGCCTTCGCGTCGCATCAGGGCACGCCATTGCCGTGCATTGTATTATACGATAGCATTTCGACCGCTGCGCGAGGGCTGCCCCGCGGGCTGCACACGCTGCCCTTCCTAGGACCGCTAAGGTGCTGCTGCTGAATTGGACAGCTAGGATGATGCACGCCATCGCCGCGACCCTGGTCCTCGGGCTGCTGCCGGCCACGGCGCACGGATGGCTCGACGCCAACGGCACGGACTTTGTCGTGAAGCCGTGGAGCCAGCTGCAGACGCTCGCCGTGCGGCGGCGCAAGCGCGGCTGGATTGCCATCCAGCGGCCGGCGGCGTGCGAGCCGGAGCACGTCGTCTGCGTGGCGACGCCGCACAACACGAACACGCGCCTGACGGGCAGGCACTGGCAGCACGCGCAGCAGTTATTGCTGCCGTGCTTTTCCTTATTTCGCCGGTTCCCCGACCTGAAGCCGACGCTCGAGCTGCGCAACGGCGTGCCCCTCTCGCGGCACCACCCATACACGCGGTTCATGCTCGAATTGATGGGGGCCGACATCCGGACGACAAATAGCACGACGGACTGCGATTTCCTGGGCTGCGATAACATCCCAAAGGACTATAAGCGGGAACACTGCGAGGTCCTCGGCGGCTTACGGAGGAAAGCGGGCAACGGCGAGGCGAAGACGCCCGCGCTCTGGTTCACCAATAAAACGGACGCCAGGGATATGAGGCATGCGGCCGCGTGGTCGGCCGCCGTGATGGCCGCCGAGGCGCGGAGCCACACGAACATGTGGAGCCACGAGGCCGCCATTTATGCTGACCCTTCTAAAAAGCCGCGCGTCGGCGTCCTCAACCGGCCTTCTGTAAGGAACCGGAAGTGGCTCCACGGCAGCGCCTTCGCGGCGTTGGTTGGTGCCGACGAGGTGCTCTTCGAGCAGAAGGCGCCGGCGGAGCAGGCGCTCTGGGTGCACGCCCACGACATCATCGTCGCGCCGCACGGGGCCGGTTTGTCGAATGTGGTGTTTGCACGCCCCTGCACCGTCGTCCTCGAGCTGTACCCGAAGCACTTCTACCTGCCCGGATTTTATTTGCCACTCGTTTCTGATTCAGGTGGCCTGCCGTACACGGGCTACTGGACTCAACTCTCGCCCCGGGAGGCGAGCTCGGAGCGCGCGCGGCGGGGCTACCGCGGGCGGCCCATCGACGCGTCCGCGGCGTCGATCGCGCGCGAGATGCCGCGGCTGACGCGGGCGTGGCGGAAGTGTATCGAGGAGCGGAAGGGTAATCTTACCATCTAGTCATCCCCGTCCGAACCGTCGTCGGACCCGGACCCGGGACCTTCGGGCCCGGAGAGCGACTCCCACGGTATCGGCTCGTTGCCCGGGTGGCCCTCGGGGAACAGCAGCGGGATCATGTAGCCGTCCGCGCCCTCGAAGCTGTCGAAGATGAGGCGCGGCCGCGCCGCCCAGAGCCGCTCGCAGGCCTCCCTAGAGATGTTCGCGCCGTGCGGGAACTGCACGCGCCAGAGCGTCTTGTTCCTGGCCACCCAGTCGCAGGTCCTGTCCGTGAGGGGCGGCGCTTCCTCAGGCCGGCTTTGGAAATCGAGCGTGCGGAGCGACTTTATCTTGCAGAGAAAGGCGACGCCCTGGTCCGTGCATCCGCCGTCCGAGCCGTCGGGTCCCGGGGATAGCTGCAACTCTTGGAGGCGGGATTCCTCGGCGAGCCGCGCGAGCCCGTAATCGCAGCAGTCGAACTCCTGGAGCGAGAGGAAGCGCAGGGACTTGCATCGACCGATCGCGGCGAGCACCCAGAAGGTTATATTTTGCGACCTGGGCATCTGGACGTGCGCGAGATGCTTCATGTTGTCAAAGAGCGCGGCCCAAGTCTCTGTTTCTACCGCTTCCGCGTCGCCGTGGCAAATGTCCAGTTTCTCGAGGAGCGGGCAGCATTCATATACGGCGCGCACGTCGTCGTCGCTCAAAAATCGGGCGTGCTCGTCCTCGTTGACCCAGACGTGAGACGATTCCAACTCTTTCAGACTGGGGGCGTGCTGGAGCAGCTCCCTTAATCCTCCGCAACACGCCTCCATCGTGAGAGTGCGTAGCCGCGGCGAGGCGGCCACGAGCCGCACCAGCGCCGCTTTCGTCGCCGGATCCGCTTCGACGGGCAGCGAGAGGCGCTCGAGCCTGCCGCGCGAGTTCTCCCGCAGCGCGTCGAGCAGTCCCGGCCTGTCCGTAATTTTGGGGCAGTTACTCCCGAGCAAAAATTCGGTCAGGTTCCGGCACGACTCGACCACGGCGCGCGCTCCGGCGTCATCGATCCAACTATTGCCGCCGTGTTCGAAGGCCCACCCGGCGAAGTCGAGATGGCGCAGCTTGGGGCAGCGCGCGAGAGCGCGCAACGTACGGGCGCATTCCCCGCTTCCGAACACAACAAATGACTCCAGCGTCTCGCGGTGCGCGGTGACGCATGCGGCGGCGGCGGCGTCTTGGACCTCGGTGCGGTCGATGTTCAACGCGCGCAGCGGGCACGGGTTGCGCGCGAGTGCCTTGATGACCGCATCGTCCGCGGCGGAGCATTGATTTCCGATGTTAAGCACCTGAAGATTCGTGCACCACCGCGCGATGGGTTGTAGCGTCGCGACTTGCTCTGCCACGTACATGGGAAAGTGCAGCTCTTGCAGGGTGTCGGCAATGTAGACAAAAGCCTCCAACAACGCTTTGCTGGGGTGCGGACACCGAATCCATATGCGGCGCAGCGGGCAGCGCCGCACGAGGGCCACAAGCGCGCTGTCGTCGCCGTTTTCCGGCTCCTCGGTAAGATTCAATTCCAAGACCCGTAGCTGCTGGCAATTGCGCGCGAGCGACTGAAACACGTCGAAGGAGAGACACGGGCCGATTGCGATTCGGCCCGCTTGGATGTCGCCCTGCCCGGGCATACCGACGAGCTTCATCTCGGTGGCCTCCGTCCGCCACGCGACGGCGGCGTCGCGGCACGTGCGGTTCCACTGCGCGACGTAAGCACTCAGCGTCCAGGGCTCCAGGAGATCGCCGCGCGTCTGGAGCAGCTCGACGATCTGGAGTAGCGGCCGCACCGCCTCTTCCCGGGCCGCGCTGCGGGTCCGCCCGGATCCGCGCCGCGGCCCCTTCGGCTTCGGGACCCACTTCTCCCGCTGCTTCGGCCGCTTGCGCGACACGGCCGCTTGCACGACACGGCCCACTTCTCCCATATAATTTGCGATGTTGCGCCGGATTTGCTCACGCTCGACACTGGAGTTCCCTCGGAACATGTTGGTTGGCTGCCCAGCTGCTCGAAGTGACTGCCAATAACCAGCCCCAGTGGCGCGGCCAAGTTCAGTGCCAGAACAAAAGCGGGCAGCCGCAACAACGGCCGCAACAACAACGTTCGGGTCGAGTAAAGCTAGTGTGTCAATCGACGCTAGCCTGGTCGACCGCTGATAAAAAAAGCTGTACGTGAGGGGCACACCCGAGCTTGCCGAGCTGTTTACATCCTGCGCGCTGAGCTCACGCGTTACGCGATCGCTGCGCCAGAACTAGATGTCCGCCCTCGCCGCCCTAGGGAGCTATGGCGGCTCGAGCAGTGACGACGATGACGACGAGCCGGCGGCGCCCCCGCCCACGGCTTTACTAGAGAGAAGAGTGGTCACGGCGCCCCGCGTCGTCGGCGCGTCGACGCTCGCCCTCAACCCGGCGCGCGCGCTGCAGCCGGGCGCCGACGGTAGAATGGTGAAGGAAATGAAGACGAACCTCCCGGCGTCGATCGTCAAGGCGCCGGTGGCGGGCCCCGCGCGGCCCTTTGATAATGCGGCTCCTGGGGTCGACAGGGCGGCGCCGAACGTCCACAGCGGAGGCACCGCCGAAAGAGCTGCAGTGGAGGCGTGGTCCTTCGACGAGCAGTTCCACTCCTTCCAGGGCCACGGCTTCGCCCAGGCCGCGCGCGGGAGCGGTGTTGTTGGAACGGTCCCTGACGTGGTCCAGAAGCCCCGGAAAAGAAGGCGGCCCGTCGAACGGGAAGATATTGGCGACGAGGACGAGCACGGCGTCTGGGCGCCCGAAGCCGACCCTGAGGAAGAGCAGGAGAAGATCTCCCAGGATCGGCTCCAGGAGATCGCTTCGGCTCTCGAGAGCGAGCGCGCGAAGAACAAGCGCGGATATGACCAGAACGAGGACTTCGATAGAAGGGACGAGCGGAAGATCTCCCACTTGTTGCCGGCGAGACATGATCGGGACACGGTCGCTTGCGAAGCGAGAACGGCCTTCCACGGTGAACAAGAAAGGGATTATCAAGGACGGCCCTGGTGCATGCCGCCGCGAGGTGGTATTCGTTCGAGGGTCGACGACGGCCACGACTGCTTCATTCCCAAGCGATGCATTCACAGATTTACGGGCCACAGCAAAGGCGTTCAGAGAATACTACCGTTCCCGGGTTATGGGCATTTACTGTTATCAGCGTCGTTAGACGGGTCCTGTAAGATCTGGGACGTGCTGAATGATCGGAGGTGCATGCGGACCTATGCGGGGCACTCGGAAGCCGTGAAAGATTGTTCATTAGCACCAGACGCGTCGCAGTTCGTGAGTTGTGGCTTCGACCGCTTCGCGAGGGTCTGGGACGTCGAGACGGGTAAGGTATTGCACACGATGACGGCGGAACGGCAGATGATGAACTGCGTCAGGTTCTACCCCAAGGACAAAAATATTTTGGTGGCTGGCGCGGGCGACGCGACGTCGGGCAAGATCTTCCAGTGGGACTTGAGGGAGAAAGGAGAACCGACGCTGGTCTATAACCACCACCTGGCTCCTTGTAATTCTATAACATTCATTGATGACGGGAAGTCGTTCATCTCGACGGGGGACGACAAAAAGATTTTTGTTTGGGAGTATAGCATACCCGTACCTACCAAATATATAAGCGAGCCGCACATGCACTCCGTGCCCATCGTCCGGAAGCACCCGACGCAGCAGTTCTGGTGCGGCCAGTCCATGGACAACTCGATTGTCACGTACACGGCCGGGGAGCGGGTCAAGCAGCAGCGGAAGCGGACGTTCAAGGGCCACCTGAACTCGGGCTACGCCTGCGGGATTACGTTCTCGCCCGACGGCAAGTTCGTCGCGTCGGGCGACGGCGAGGGCAAGCTGTTTTTCTGGGACTTCAAGTCGACGCGGACGTACCGCAAGCTCCAGGCGCACGACGCGGGGCCCTGCATCGACTGCGCCTGGCACCCGCTCGAGCCGTCCTGGGTCTTCACGGCGGGCTGGGACAACCTCATCAAGCTGTGGGACTAAGACACCATTCGTTTTACTAGGGCGTTTCCTGTCGCCCCTGCGTCGTCGCGTCTCGCGTCGACTGTTCCGTCGACGGCGTGCTTGTGCCGCAAAGACTCCCCCTGCTTATGGCGTCACGTGCTTACTCCCGACGAGGGCAATCAAGTTGCATATCGTTCAAGTTCAGTCCGCGGTGAGATTGCCGCGCGCATCTAAGCGAACTGTGTAAAAGATTCGGGTAGCATGATTCGGTAGTGCCCACCGATCCGTAATCGTGCCCACCCTGAGCAAAGCACGTTGGAAGAGGGATTCTTCGTGTGGTCATAAGACGTTCACCGTACCCCGTACCCTGCACAACGAGCTCGTGCTCTCGGCCGAGTGCTGGCGCCGGCACCTGCCGTCGCTGGTGCGGGCGTTCTTCGTTCCTCACGACGCGGTCCCAGAAAAGGTCGCCCTGGCGGTCGAGACGCGCGACGAGTTCCTGCGCACATTTCGCCTCAGGGCGTCCGCCGCGCCCCTCGTGAGCTACGACGCGCGGTCTCCGGAGGCGCCGTTTTCGCCGTTCCATCACTCCTAACTATTATCATCCTGAGTCACCTTTTATTGACGGACGCAATTCCCCGTCACAAACCCCATCAAAGGCCCGTCCCAACGTGTCGATCGCGCCCGTCGTCTGCCAGACCGGGCCGCTGCTCCAGGTTCTCCCGTGGAGGAGCAGGACGGCGTCGTCGGTCTTTGTTGTTTTGCTGGCTATTACGGAGAGTTTGTAGCCGTCGCTTGCTGGGGGACCGTGAATGGCCTAATTTAATTTACCCTCCCCCCCCCTCCAAGTTCTTAACCTAGCCCCCGACACATCCCTGGACTAAGACTTACTCGTAGTACTAGATGTGTCCTCGCGCGAGGACTCATCCAACCTCAAAAACCGCCGCATCGTGTCCCGGTCCTGCGCCGCCGTCACGCACGCCGCGCAAATTAATGCCCCACCAGCGATGTCCTCGGGTTCCAACGCTTCGTTGATGAGGAGCGCGCCGAAGACCGCGGCCCAGAGCGGCTCCGTCGCTAATAATACAGAAGCTTCCGACGACGTGACCTGGCCCAGCGCCGTCGTCTCGGCGACGCGGTTCGCTGCAGTTGTGACCAAACCGGTCCACGCCGCCGCCGCGGCGACCGCGCGTAGTGACGGGTCCAGGAACAACCCCGGGATCGTGTGCGTCGCTCTCAACGTATCGTCCAAGAGCCAGCCCCCGTCGAAGGGGCCTATTCCATACCCATCACAAAACGCCCAGACGGCGGAAATGAATGCGGTCACCGAAACCTGCGCCGCCGTGATCGAGAGAGCTTGCGTCGGCTCCTTCTGCATCATCCTTTCGGTTAAGTAGAACGACGTCCCGAAGCCCACGGCCTGCAAGACACTCAACGCGTCGCCCGCCGACAGCAGGTCGCCGCCGCCCGCTAGTACTGACGGTAATTCAAGAAACCCGACGCCGACCAAGGCCAAGATGGCCGCGACCCAGACTTGCGGGGCATCGCGAAACCCTAGGTCCGTCCGCTTCTCCACGAGGAAGGCGCACGTGGGGCACACGACGACGGTCAGCGCTCCCAAAAATGCGACGGTCGCGGCCGGCGTGTCGACTAATGCTAAAGATTGCGTCACGTAGCCTAGCGCCGTGAAGCAGCCACAAACCAGAGCGTCCCTTCGCAAGTTCGGCGCCAGCCTCAATAAAAAGGGGAAGAGGGCGACGCCCGCTAACACGAAGCGCGCCGACGTCGACGCGGCCGCCGGCAGCGCGTCGTTCATGAGTCGCCCCAGAGCGAAGTTCGTCCCATACAACACGGACGATCCGAGCAGCAAAGCTTTGGGCCAGAGCGGCGTCTCCGCCGGCACGCAGACAATCTCCTCCATATTCTCGTCAAATTCACACACCTCCGGCTCCGTCTCGTCGATCACACACACACCTCGCGCGCAGTTGACTTGCGGGGCGTCGAGGAGGTCGTCGACGGTCTCGATGGTGATGGGTTCGGCATCGGTATCCGTCGTCGTCGTGCTGCGCAGCGCTGTCGGCCGTCGAGGCGCTGGCGGCGCTGCCGACCAGCGATGCGCCGGCGGCGAGACCAATGCCAGCGCTGCGATCCATGCGCGCGCTGCTATTGCGAGCGTAATGAGGCGCATGCTGTTGCCTCCGCCAAGACTTGTTGCAAATAACGTCCAGCTGGCGGAAATCAACTATAAATTGTGTTTACCGCCGCAGCCAGCAATACCGCTCGATTTGTGATCTATGTACAGTATGATCTCGCAGTGCAGCGAGCAATATCCACTGGTATTGCCGCTTCGTAAAGTTAGGCGATTGGATCGGCAGCCCTGTCACTTTTGAGCCAGGTTGGTGTTAGCGTTTTGGCGTGGAATTGATCGATCCAGCCAGCCATCCGCACCCGTCGCACAAGTCGACAATCGCCCCGGCGCGCGCGGCCGTCGCGCAGGCAGCCCCGCACCATGCAAAAGTGGACCGAACCGTGCCACAACGTTGTGCTGCCGGCGCCGCCGTCCGGCCAAACAACGGGACGACGATGGGCGTGCTCGGCCCGCCCAAACCACCGGCACCACTGGACGTCGAACCGCGGTGGCAGCAGCGGCGCCACACGACCTGGCACGGGAAGCAGGAACTTAGAGCACACAACCGCGCCTTCGACGCGAGCCAGCTCTCGAAAAAGCGCGCGCAAGCGCAGCGCGGCCCGCCGACGCCGCCGCGCGTCGTCGACGCGGCGGCCGTCCGCAAGGCCCGGGCCGCGGCGCACAAGCGCGTTTTAGAATACAAGCGGCGGCAGCAGCACGTACCCGTGATACACGCGGCGCCGACGCCCCAGACGTATGATGATGATAGCTTTGAGTTCGAGGAAGCGGCGCCCACCAAAATGCCCTGGTACTCGCAGGACCGGGCCCGGAAGCTGGCGTCGCAGCACGCTAGAGAGAGGCGCGAGGCCGCCCTGCGCCGGAAGGAAGCGCAAAGGAAGCACCGGGAGACTGTGGAAAAGCGGTTGGAACGCGTGCAACAGACGATTTTGAGGAGACGGCGCGACCGGCAGGGCACCTTCCGGAAAGGTTCTGCAGTGCTCGTCGAAGAAGCACCAAAGCACGAAAAGACGCTGAACTGGAAGCCTGAAACAGCCTGGCGGCCGGGGCCCTACCCGAACCCCCAGAAGACGTCGATGGCGCGGACGAGATTGTTTGGTCCGCCCCCGGTGGACTCGAAAAAGGCCTTCCGGGACGTCGTCGAGGCGCTCAAGTCGCCGACGCGGCCGCCGCGGAAGATCGCGGCCGCCGCCGCGGGCTGGCGCAAGGCCTGGTCCGCCGTGCGCGAGTTCATGCGGACTGATGAGAGGTGCATTCAACGAAGGAGGGAAATGTTGCAGGCGCAGGTACTTGAGATGAGGGAACGTCTGGGCATGTCTGAGGCGCCGCCGCCGCCCGCAAACCTTGTCAAGGCCGAGTCTGTGCCCGTGTCGCCGCCCGAGGTGACTAGCTGTGTGGAAATCAACCAGTGGTTAGGTTGCGGACCTTCGTGATCCTCCACGCCATCGGGGCGCCCGAAACTTCATTTCCACACAGGCGCCAAGGGGCTTGCGCAAACAGCCCGGCTCGCCGCGTTCCCAGCGCGTGCGCGTGCCCGGCGGCGGCGGGCCCTCGTTCTCAACGCCGAAAATGCCCGCCTCGCCGCACCGGCCGCCGACGCGCAAGCCGCCGCCGCCGCCGCCACCGACGCCGCCGCCCAATCCGCCGGCTGACGCGTCGCCGCGCGACATTTTGAATCGCTTGCGGCAGCAGCAACCTTCGGCGATGGACGCCTCCGCCGAAGGCAGCCTCCTGCGCTCGAGCCGCGAGTCGCTCCCGGCGGGCGCGGTCCTCGGCGGCCGGCCGGCGCGATCCGCGCCGCTGGCATCCTCGGCGGACGGGTCGGCCCTTGGCAGCCGCCCGGCGGCGGCGCCGCCCGCTCCAAGCCGCGAGGAGCCGCGCGAGGAGCCGAGCGTCGACGCCCAAGTCGACGCACTTGCGGACACGCTGGACGACGATGGCGACGACGATGACGCCGCGGAAGCGTCGTCGCCGCGGGACATCCTCGAGCGGCTCCGGAGCGAGCAGCCGTCGGCGTCGGCGGAAGGTTCGTTGCTGCGACGGAGCCGCGAGGAGACCGACGCGCAGCAGGTCGATGCGATAGCGGATATTCTAGATGCGGATGACGACGCCGCGGCCGCGCCGGCGCCAGCGGCGACCGACGCGCAGGAGGTGGAACGATTAGCTGACGTGCTGGACGACGATGCCTCGGACATGGACGTCTTCGCGCAGGGAAGCCCGCGGATATCGATGGGCGGAAGCTCGTTCGCGGACGAGTCCAAGGCCGACGACGCGTCGTCTTCCTTATTAGAGAGCAAGGATTTTCAACTCCATGGATCAGGCGGCTTCGACTCGGACGCATAAAACTAAAACATGATTACTACTAGCGCCGCGGCCGCACGGTCTGTTGCCGCGCCTCGGCGGAGACCGGTGAAAAAGCTTTCCTCACAGAATCCGACGGCATCGCCTTCACCCGTAAAGCCGAGTCCTGCTTCTTCAGTTTTTTGGACCAGACTCCCCTACAACCGCAGCACTTCGCGCAGCACTTCCGGAGCTTCCGGAAGCAGCTTTTCGATTGTCGCAGTTTTTTCCTCGCCTTCGCGAGGTCCTCCTTACTATCGACACTACCCAGCTCGACAGCTCTTTCCAATTCATCGACCGCTCTCTGTAAATCTCGCTCGCACCCGACGCCGTACAGCAATCGAACACCGAGCTGCTGCACCGCCTGGACGCAGTCCTTCTCGGCCGCTCTTCGGACGTACTCGAAGGCCACGTGCTCGTCCTTCTCGAAGCCGCCCCCGCCGAACGTCGACATCTGCGCCACGAACATCATCGCGCGGACCGCTCCCAGGTCCGCCGCGGTCCTTAGCCACGTCCGCGACGCGTTTTTGTCCACGGGCGTGCCTCGCCCATGCGCGTGGAGCAAAGACAGCTCGTAGGCCGCCTCGGCGCTGTCGTCCGTTTCTGCGGCAGCATAGGCGGCCTCGTAGCAGGCCCGCGCTTCCCTATATGCCCTCGAGCGCCTTTTGTTGTCGCCGCGCCGTTTCAATGTTCTGGCCGCCTCGGCCGGTGCCAAGTCCGACAGTTCCTTCAATAGATCATGCGGCGTCTTCTCCACCGGCGTTTCTTCCGAAGCGGCCTCGCTGTAGGACCACCGGGCTTTGGCTCGCGCCCACCATCCAGTAGCCTCTGGTGCGGCCTCTTCACCGTTCATGGGGGCAGCCCTTCGTTTCTTACCGTTGCGAGGATCGCTGCCGCGCGTGCCTGAGTTATAGCGGCAGCAGATGCCCTGTATGGGAGCCGAAACAGGTCGATGACAATCGCATCGCGGCCGCGTGCGGGTTGCGGCGGCGGCCTTCTGGCGCGTCCAGGGACTTCCTTGTACGCCTAGGGCGGCCGTGGGAGGCGTGCCTGACATTTTCTAGGAGCCGCGCTGATCGAGACCGTCCTCTCGCGCCTCTGGCATTTGGACAGCCACAGGTCCGCACCAGCGCCCTCACACGACTCGCCACTCCTTGTCAGAAGAGCTCTCATCGATCACAACGGCCACCCGCAAGCGCGGCGACTGGTATCGTCGCGGTAGGCTCAAAGTTTGATTGACCCAGCCACCTGCCAACTCGGCAGCGGCGTCGCGCGCACACACACATTACAGGCTTTCGGCAGCGCGCTCGCACCGCTGCGCGACGTCGCCGCGCGCGCCCAGAAGACAAACAAAGCGCCACTCACGACGCGCCGCGCGCAGGAGGCACGACAAAAACAAAACAAAAAAGAAAATGGCCACCTTCGCCGTCGAGTACGCCAAGAGCGGAAGAAGTACCTGCAAGGGCACCAAGGAGCTCATCCCCAAAGGGGCGCTCCGCCTCGCCAAGGTGACGGAGCGCGAGCACGGCGACAAGACGATTAGCATGGCGGCGTGGTACCTGCCGGTGCCCTTCTTCCAGATGATGAAGCGCATGCGCAAGGGTTCGGCCATCGTCGAATCTTCAGCTGATCTCGCGGGCTTCGACGAGCTGAAGGACGACGACAAGGGTGCTGTGGAGAAGATGATCAGCGACTACCACGACGAAGACGTCGACTGGCCGCCCAAGCCCGCGCCCAAGCCCAAGAAGAAGAAGGAGCCGTCGAGTGACGGTGACGCGACGCAGCCGTCGCCGAAGAAGGCCAAGAAGACCATTGAAATTCCCGACGAGAAGCGCGAGGGCGTCGAGATGGGTCAGTTGCGAGACATCGCCGAAGAACTCTCGGAGCGGTTGCGGGGCATGGGCTACAACGTGCCCGACGCCGACAGCGCGCGCCAGCAGTGCGGGCCCGTCTGCCGCGAGTGTTTAGTTGATGGCGTGTTAGATGTCGGAAATGTCCTGAGAGGCATGGCGGCGAAGTGGGGCCTCAAGGAGACGATCGAGTGCGTCGTCGCCGAGAACGCACCCTTAGCTGGCGTCTTCAAGGAACTGAGCTCCTTTGAATATAAAAAGGGCGACAACATCAAGGGGACGGCCTACAAGAAGGTGTCGGCCGCGCTCGCGGCGCACACGGCGCAGATCACGTCCGGCAAGGAGGCGAAGAAGCTCGCGGGCATCGGGAAATCTTCCGCGGACAAGATCGACGAGTTCCTCTCGTCGGGCAAGGTCGCGAAGCTCGAGGAGTACAAGCAGGGCGTCTAGTTCTGGTGATTTGTGTGATTTCCCTTTCCCCCCCTGGACTAAAAGCTGAGTCTCCTTCCTCTTACACGCGTCGACGGCGTCTCGCTGGGCGCGCTCCGCTGAGTCTTCCTCTTACGCGCGCGGCGGCGGCGCATTTGCTCGGAAGACTCGCAGGTCGTGCTCAATTCCTATCGTGGTCGGGTGCGCTGTACCGAAGACGCGCCGCGCGATCCGTGCCGTTTCCTCGAGCATCGTCAAGGCCTCGCGGATATCGTCGGGCGTGGCTGCGGGCGTCCTCCTCAAAATCGCCCTCGACGCGGACGTCGGGCGTCAACGCTGCCCCGAGGCCGGTCTCCTATCGCCAGATCCGGGCTTCGCCACACCGCGTTTGGACCGCCTCCAGGTCTCGCAAACGCCGCACCTCTCGCGGCGAGGCCCGTAGCAACTGACAACCGTTGAACTACGACCGGAAGGCAACCGCCGTTACGCCGACCACGAGCGGGCACCGGCGCGGTCGATGATGTACGTCTGGCGGCTGGGCGAGTCCAGCACGCCTCGCGTGATCACCATCCCGCCGCGCTGAAATTTTCATCGAGTTACGACCGCCGCGACCGGTTCCCCGGGTTCACAAGTTCCGCGGCGCACCGCTAAGGCGGCTGCGTGCCGCCGGCGAGCGCGCGCGTCGGCTCCTGCCCCTGCTGCAGAGCCAGCCGTCAAGGCGGCTGCATGCGGCCCCGCGGCGCCGGCGATGCGATCCAAGCTTGTTGAAACTTCGCAAGGGGTGCGAGGCATGTCTCAACAGCAATTGCACCGCTCAGAGGCTGGTCTTTGCGGCTCAGCACGCGCGTGAAGCTGGCTGGGTAAAACCCGTTTTAACGCTAACTCGCGCAAGCGTCCTTTAGCCGTCCCAACGTTTTAGGGCGAGGCGACAGCGTCCCTAGCGACGCGCGAGGAGTTTGCGAGAGGGCCGAAATCAGCGCTCGCGCAGGTCTATACATCCGAGGCTCTCGCAAAGTCTGTTTGCAAACGCTGTGCGCACGCATTTGTGCGTGAAGCCAGCGCGCGCAGCAGTGCACTGCAATGAGAAATCAAGCCTGCCGTCCGCGCCGCGCGCGAAACTGCGCGCGCGCCGCGGCGCGGCACCGATGGTGGGCCAAATGCCAACCAGCCAGGCCAGGGCCGCCCCAGGCGTGCGTCTGCGCTCCGGAGACGTATCCGAGAGCGCACGCTGGATTTGAGGCAAAAAAAAACAAAAAAAAATTTGAGAGCTTCACGATTTGATCTCTGCCGCTGCGAGGTGTGCCTGTGGCCACATTCGTGCTGCAGAACCGGTGCGACCCAGCGTAGGGAAGATTTCAATAGCATACGCCGGCGCTGGCAGCTTGGCGAGCTCGACAGCGCTGCGCAATGCAGCCTTTAGCTCGAGCGCGCCAGCCTGGCCTTCGCGCTATCGCATCGATTCAAAAACAGCGCCCCTGGCAGCGCCGGGCTGTCGAGGCCGCCGCCGGCCGCAGCGGAGCGCATCGGCCGCGATCGAGTTGTAGTGAGAGCTTCGGCCGCGAACGCGGGCCCGTCGAGACGGCGCCAACGCAGGTCCATCGGCCGACCGCACGACCGCACGACTGCACGGCCGCACGACCGCCGCGACGAGCCGGGCGACCAGCTCGCCCGCGACGCACGTTCAGCGACGCCGCGTAGAAGGCGCGTCGAGCTGCGCCCGCAACTTTAAGCGGCCTAGAAGCCGCTTTTGAGAGTGAAGCCGTGACACGCCGTGTCCTTTTTAGCAAGAGTGGACGCCTTCAATCTCGACTTGATGTGGTCGACGCGGCTTCGTTCCCGCGCCCTCGCGAAGGACCCGCGGCGAGCTGAGGACGATGAGCGCCTCGTCGCGCCCCAGGAGCTCTGCGAGAGAGAAGGACGTGAGCGCCGCGTGCAGCGGAAGGGCGTCGAGAGGACGCGCGTGCCCGAATCAGTCATAATTGAGACCGTCCCTGCGCAGGTCGTCGGCTTCTCCCCTAGACCTCTTCAGTGAGCCGCCGTGCCCGCCTCCCACGCGCTAATGATGAAAATTAGCGCGGGTGGCGCGTCACGGCGCAGCGAGCCGAAGATCGTGCGCGAGGCGCCTTCTACGGACGCGGCCGCGCCCGCCGCGGCATTGGCGGACGTTGTGCCGCCCCAGGACGAGCTGCGGCCGCCGCCGTCGTCGGCTACGACGCCGCGCCCGGCGCCCGCGCCTCTCGCGCCGACGCAAGGGCCGGCCGCCGTACTGGCGCTGGCGAGGCACAGGACGGCTGTAAACTTTAAGCTGTGTGTGAGTGCATGAAACTCTAGAGTCGGTCGAACACGCTAAGCGCGAGCGTCCGAAGATGCCTCACTTCTCGGGAGGGCGTCGCCGAGGCGCTTCTACTGCTGAGACGGAAGAAGCCTGCCATTACGAAAAGACGTGGACCGCGAAGATATCTATCCACACTTATAGGCCCCCCTCATCAACTCAGACGTCCAGCATCGCCGCAAACGACGACTCGATCTCGGCAACCAACTCGTCGTAGTGCGCCTTGATCTTCTCCTCCGACTCTTTGGGCTCGACGAATTTCGTGTCGACGACCTTCTGTATAATACCTGCTTGTGCGACTTTTATGGTGGCCCAGGTCACCTTCGCCTCGGCCGGACTATCCGCGATGGCCTTCTGGCAGTGGTCGTAGAAGGCCATGATGCACTTGAGCATCCCGACGCTCTTGACGAGCGGACACGTGAAATCGTAGTCCGTGAAGGCGTTCTGTTGCAAGAAATCTTCTCTGATGATCTTGGCGACCTCCATGACGACCTTCTGGTCTTCGGACAGCGACTCTTTGCCGACGAGCTGCACGATCTCCGTCAGCGCGTCCTCCTGCTGGAGGACGTCTCTCGCTTTATTGCGTGTAGCGGAGTAGGACGGGTCGAAGTCGTTGAAGAACGGTTCTAACACTCTCATGTACTTCGTGTAGGAGATGAGCCAGTTGAGCGACGGGAAGTGCTTGCGCTGCGCGAGCCTGCGTTTGATAAAGGGTCGCGGCGATAGCGCGTGCATGGCGGGTCGCGTCGATAGCGCGTCGCGGCGATGGCGTGAGGGTGGACAACACGCCATCGAGCAGGCGCAGCGACGCCGCCGAGAAGACATGAAGAAAGGACGCCGCGGACCCACTTCTTGTCCAGCCCCCAGAAGACCTGGACGATGGATAGCGTCGCCGCCGTCACGGGATCACTAAAGTCGCCGCCCGGCGGCGACACGGCCCCGATGACCGTCACCGTGCCTTCGCGCGTCGGCGACCCGAGACACTCCGCCCGCCCCGCGCGCTCGTAGAAGGCCGCCAGGCGCGCGCCCAAATAAGCAGGATAACCGCTATCGGCGGGCATCTCGCCCAGCCGCCCGGAAATCTCGCGGAGCGCCTCGGCCCAGCGCGACGTCGAATCGGCCATCATCGAGACGTTCATGCCCATGTCTCGGAAGTACTCGGCTAATGTAATACCCGTGTAGATCGACGCTTCGCGCGCGGCGACGGGCATGTTCGACGTGTTTGCTACGAGGGCCGTTCTTTTCATGATGCCGACCTCCTTCCCGTCTATAGTGGTAGTGAGTTCAGGAAAGTCGCACAACACCTCGGCCATCTCGTTGCCTCGTTCCCCGCACCCGACGTAGATGACCGCGTCGCTGTTCGAGAACTTGGAGATACTTTGTGAAATAACGGTCTTGCCGCAGCCGAACGCGCCAGGTACGGCACAAGTACCACCCAACACCGACGGGAAGATCGCATCTACCACTCGTAGACCGGTCGTGAGGGCATGATTACCAGGCATCTTCTGGACGATGGGTCGGGCGCGTCGCACGGGCCAGTAATGGGCTAGTTTCAACTCGTGGGTTTTTCTAGTTTGCTCGTTGTAGACTTCTAATACAGTATCTGTTATGGAGTACTGGTCCTTGCCATCCGCGGCGTCGCCATAGACCTTGACGACCTTCCCATACACGTTCGGGGGGACCATAATTTTATGTTGTGTTACTAACTCATTTTCATACACTGAACCGAAGATGTCCCCACCCGTCACGAGGGAACCTTCCGTAATGGCTTTGTTCGGCGTGAACTCCCACTTGCGATGCTCGTCCAAGGGTGCCACATCGACGCCTCGCGGGATGAATACATCTCCGGTCTTCTTGCCGATCGTCTCCAGGGGTCTCTGGATCCCGTCGAAGATCTCGCCCATGATGCCCGGGCCGAGGCCGACTGATAGGGGTTTTCTTGTACGTAAAACAGGATCGCCGACGCACAAGCCAGACGTGTCCTCGTACACCTGTAGGGACGCCGTGTCCCCCTCGAGCTTGATAATTTCACCGACAAGCTTCAAATACCCGACCCTCACCAACTCGTACATGGCCGCGCCGGACATGTTCTCCGCGATGACGAGCGGGCCGCTGACCCTATGGATGTAGCCGTAGTCCGACTCTTTTTCGTCGAGCCAGTCCGTCATGGTTTCGCGTTTTTGTGCAGGGATTCTCTGCGTTTATTTTTGTGGTTTGATTCCTTTCGCGGTGTGAACGGACCGAGCTGCGCGGTCGCCGCGGCGGCGTCTGCGCTGACTTATTATTTTGTGGTGACTTGAGCTAACTCTGCCGCTGCTAGGGCGGATGCGGTCGGAAGCTGTCAGCCGCTTTGCGCTGGCGTCAAGTGCTTCTACAAGCCGCGGCGCTTGCTCTCGGCTGCGATAACGCAGTCCTTTTTGCGAGGCGATTTTGTGGTCGAGCCTAGCGTCCAGTAAGACACTAGCAAGCACGCGAAATGCAACCTCGAGGGCCCAAGGGTCTCCAGACTCGTGCCGCACGGGGTCCTGGCCATAGGAGGAGAGATCAAAAGCTCTTTAGGTCCACTAGACTTTCATGCTCGCGGTCCCGGCGATTCAGGCAGTAAGCGTGCTATAAGACGTGTGATACGGTGCCACCGAGACAACTCCCTTCACAGCGTTACCAGACGACAGCTGTCGACCGCCGAGACGAGCGAGCAGCGGCCGCGACGGCTAGCGAGCGAGCTAGACCGGTTGAGCCTGCACTGCTGCCTGCGGCGCGCGCGGACGCGCTAGCTCCCGCGGCGGGCTAAAAGCCGGGCGCTGGACGACTCCAGTCGCAGCGGTGCCCTGGCTAAGTCGCTCGGACGGGCGTGTGGGCTCCGTAGCCGAAGACGGTCGAGCACGCGCCGCCGACCACACGAACAGAGCAGTGACCCCGCCCCCCCACGCGCAGGCACGCGACATAAAACCATGGCACCAGCAAAGAAAGGCGGCCGAGCAAAGGGCGAGGCCAGGACCCCGCGGTCCTACCCGGCCTACGACGTCAAGGCGTCGAAGGGCCCCGCGCACAAGCAGAACCCGCAGAAGCTGCGGGAATCGCTGAAGCCCGGTGCCGTACTGATCCTGCTCGCGGGCCGATTTCGCGGCAAGCGCGTCGTTCTCCTCAAGGCGCTCGAGTCTGGTTTGTTGCTCGTGACGGGCCCGTTCGCCGTCAACGGCGTGCCGATCAAGCGCGTCAACGCGGCGTACGTCATCGCGACGTCGACGACGGTCGACCTGTCGAGCGTACCCATCCCGGCCAAATTAAACGACGCCTACTTCGCGCGGGAGAAGGCGAACATCGGCGAGAAGGACGACAACTTCTTCAGCGCGGACAAGCCGGCGCCGCCGGTCGAGACGAGCGACGAGCGCAAGAAGGACCAGAAAGCGATCGACGACAAGTTATTGAAAGTGATCGAGAAGACGCCCATGCTGAAGGCGTACCTGGGCGCGCTCTTCACGCTGACGAAGGGCATGAAGCCGCACGAGATGAAGTTCTGAGCTAGTTTAGACCTTAATCTTGTAGTTACGTTATCATGCCTCGTTGTTATCGTCCGACCGCGGCCATAATCGAGATGTACGCTTGCTAGTGTCTTACATGCCGCTAGCCCACGCGGCCGCCCGCAAAATCGCTTTTTACCGCGGCGCTGGCTCAGTGGCGACTTGTGGAGAGCCGCAGCGCTCGACAAACTTACCACTCGAACTCAGAGAACCCCGCTCGAGGCGCCGCACCCGCACCGCACAGTCTCCCTCAGCAAGGTGTGCACGCCAGCCGCCGCGCCGCAACAACAAACATGCCCAAGCACGACTTCTTCTCCCCGAAAGCGATCTCGAACCGCATCAAGGCCAAAGGTTTGCAGAAGTTAAGATGGTACTGCGAGATGTGCCAGAAGCAGTGCCGCGACGAGAATGGGTTTAAGTGCCACCAGACGAGCGATTCCCATCTGCGGCAGATGCGCATCTTCGCCGAAAATCCGGGCGCCGTCATGCATGGTTATAGTTCAGAGTTCGAGAAGAACTTCCTCGACTCTTTGAGCAGGAGACACGGCACGAAGCGCGTCTACGCGAACGTCGCCTACCAGGAGTACATCGCCGACAAGCACCACGTGCACATGAACGCCACGAAGTGGGAAACACTGACCAACTTCGTAAAATACTTGGGTAAGAGCGGTCAATGTGTGGTAGATGAGACCGAGAAGGGCTGGTACATCGCCTGGGTCGACCGGGATCCTGCTGCTTTAGCTAGACAAGCGGCAATGGATAAAAAGCGAAAGCACGAGATGGACGACGAGGAGCGGGCGCGTCGCGAACTGAAGCGCCAGGTCAAGGCCGCGGGCGGTGTCAAGGAGGTCCAGGCCGACGCTGTTGATTTGAGTAAAGGCGTCAGTTCCTTCGGCCTCGCGGCAGCAGAGAAGCCTCCGACAGTAGCACCGAAGCGACTGGCGGCGTTCCGGAGCGACTCCCCGGACGAGGAAAAAGCTTCAGCAAAGAAGCCGACGAGCGCCCTCGACGAGATCATGCGCGAAAATCTCTCCAAAAAACCGAAGGTGGAGCGCTTCGAGAACTGGCTCCATGATGGCATCGTGGTCAAGTGTGTGAATTCTACCGTTGCTGATGGTGCTTATCATAGAAAGAAAGGAGACGTTTTGAGGGTTGTGGACGATTTCGCGGCGGTGGTGCGGATGCGCGACTCGGGCGACGAATTGCAACTGGATCAAGATGATTTGGAGACCGTCATCCCAACTGCTGGGAGGCGCGTGCGCGTGTTGAATGGCTATGGTAGAGGGCGCACGGGCACGTTAAAAGCGATCGACGTCGACTCGTTCTCCGTGTCGGTCGAGTTGGATGGCGGGGAAGTGCTGGAGAAGGTCGACTACGAGGACGTGAGCCGGCTGGTTACGTAAGTGTGTTGTTGTATCTTTGGTCGATGGCGTGTAGTGGGGTCCCGTCGCGGGAGTTTGTTTTGTTATCCTCCTGGGATCCCCCCGAATCCTGGGGCGGCGCCCGGACGTCTCGCGGCCTCGGGTGGCACGTCCGCGCGTGCGCTTCGCGTCGTAACCCCGTACCATCTCAAAACTGGCTCTCCGGCGGGCAGCTTTTTGCGCGCGTGGAGGGGCACGTTCGACCGCATTATTGCTCCTTTGTATTGCACAACAAGCCGCCGCTCCAGTGCAAGCCGCCGCTCCAGTCCACCGGGCCAGCAGTAGCAAACACAAAAGCGACAGGGCAGCCCACCTAGCTCCTTAAATAACAAGCCGTCCCAATCCGCACCGCGGGAGCAGCAGCAACCGCACGGACAGATCAATGGAGGTCTGCTGCGGCTTCTTCGGCTTCGACGCCGGCGACGCCATCGAAGAACAGGAAGAGGAGAACCCCTTTCATGCGCCGGCACACAAACCAAAACAGAAGCACCCGCTCGGCGTCGCGCGGCACAAGCCCGCGCACCACAAGAAGAAGAAATCCCATAGAGTTATTCCGAAGCACCACCACGCGGCGCGCGCGTCGACGGTCGCCAAGGGCAACGGCACGCGCGACCACTGCGCTCTACCCAAACCGACGGGCGTCGCCTGGGATTCGTTAACGGCGATGATGCCCATCACGGACCCCCAGTGGGAAAAAGATTTCATGGAGCGGCTCGATCGGATCGAAGCGTCGGACCTGCTGCGACCGTCCGCGACGGACGGGTCGACGGTACTCATGTTTGCTTGTGAACATCGAGACGCGCTGGCCATGTCTCTGATCTTAGTACACCTCCACGACTACGAGCTGCGCCACGCGATGATCACGAAACGGAATGCGAACGGGTGGAACGCGGCGTGCTACGTGAATGAAGTAAAAGCGGGCCACCCCGTCGCCGTGCTGCTGAACGAGGAGATGGCGATGGTCGGCATCGAGGAGGGGGAGCGGGACACGCACGTCCTGCCGGTGGCTCCAGCTACTTCGCCCTTCGCGAAGGTCGGGTCGTTCTTCAAGCATAAGCCGGCCCAGTAATACTTACTTCTTCTGCTCGGCAAGTAGCCTCTCGACGCTCGCGTAGATAGGGGCATTGCCTTTGCAAGTGCCGCCGCCGCCGCGCTTGCGCTCCCACGCGTACCAGGCCTTCGTGAGCGCCGCGAAGCGCTTGACCGCGAACCGCGCCACGGGGAACGGCACCCACGAGGGTAAGGGGTTAAACTCGCGGAAATCCTCCCAGTCGCTGCGCGGGGGAAGTGGTCGCGTCGGCTCGACGCCGTCGACGCGGAGCAATCGTTACTATTGGACGCCGGGGGGAGACAAGGGCCCGCGGCCCCGGGCCTCGACCATCTCGCGCGTGTTCATGGGAGGCTTCAGCCGTTCGACGTGGAACTCTTCCTTGCGCTCGAACATGATGGCCTCGCCGGCGCGCAGAGGTGGGAGATTGACTGCGCCCGTCGCCTCGTCGAAGGCGTCGTCGGCCTCCAGAATTGTCGCGAGCTCGTTCGCGTCCTGCATGGCCAGGTTGCCGCCACCGCCGACCTGTGTGGAAATCAACCAGTGCCTCGGGTGCTCGGCGATGGCGCGGCCGTCCTGGCTCGGTCGAGCGGTGAGGAACCGGCATCTCCACGCCATCGAGCAGGCGTCGCGTCGATGGCGTGGAGGACGACGCGATGATTCAGCACGAACTCGCCGTAAAATTTTGATTTCCACACAGCCGCCGACGCCACAGTTGCGCGGCGCGTCGCCGATGCACACGAGCGGCAGGGTCAGCCCCTCGCGTAACTTGGTATCGTCGCCGTGCATGTACTTGCCGCGAACGGTGACTCGTTCTAACCCGCGTATCGCGTCGCGCCACACCTCGTCGAAGGACTCGTGCATATCTTGTAAAATCCACTCCTTCGCGGCGCGCAGCTTGTCGCCCGTGAAGATGCCGGTGGAACGGGAGGTAGGCTTGTCGATGCCCATCTCCCGCAATACCCCTCCTTCGCCGTCGGGGCGGTTGATGTGATAAAACAAGCACGTGCGCTTGTCGTCGGCGCCCGCGCCGAAACGCTGCATCGTGACATGGTACCCGCGTCCCAGCGTGAAACACGTCCCGAACCGATCCATCCGTTGCGCGACCGACGGACACGTTTTTCCAATATCGTTGATCACGCCATGAATCAACATCTCGCCCACGTAGTGCTTGCCGACCGAGTCGACGACGCGCAGATCCCGCCTGTGTGAAAATCAAGCAGTGAGTTAGGTTATCCTGAGAAATGCGCCCGAAATTTGATTTCCACACAGGATCCCGCAGCGGCGAGTGCAGGCCCATCGCGTCGATCACGAGATCAAATTCACCCAGGGTCTTCCCCTCGCGATCGAGGAGCTCGGCGCCGCCCGCACCTAGCCGCCCGAGACCTCGCGGCAGACGGCGGCAGTCCCAGGCACCGCGCTCGTAGTGCACTTCCGTGTTCCCGCGCGCCGCGAGCGCGTCGAGCAAAATGTCCCGGAGACCGCCGCGGTTCGTTTCGGGCCTCGCGGCACTGCTCTCTGGGAATAGCCTCATCGTCAGTCTCGGCCAGAAGATGTTCAAGAGCGGCTCGCCGCCGCTGAACTGGTAGCCGACCGCGGTGTCGGAATACGGGTAGGAAATGTCCCAGTAGCGGTCGTAGACGCCCGCGCGCACCAGCGCCTCTTGGCCGTGCTCGTCGAGGTCCAGGCCGTAGCCCTGGTCGCGGTCGCGCCGCGCTCGTTCGAAGACCGTGAGTTGGACGTCGCGCGTGCCGTTCGACAGAATGCCGGCGAGCGTCAGTCCCGAAACGCCCGCGCCGCAGATGGCGATGCGCGGCGTCGCGGCACCGGTGGCGAACGCATGACCTCGCGTCAATGTCGCCCTGCTGAGATGCCTCAGCATGTTTATACTCCGTCGCTTGATCACTTAATTACTGTAGCTTGCTTCGGGAGACTCTGAGTTTTGGCTCGGGACTCGAGGGGTTTGGTGGGTTTCAGTGAACTTACGCGCGAAGATCGTTGAATTTCGCGTGTCGGCTTTGTTTTCTTTGCCCTTGCTAAACTTAAGCGGTCTCTCGATGTGGCAAATGCTCTCCCGAGCAGCCTCCGAGCTAGCGGCCTGTAAGACACTAGCAAGCCAAGCAAGCAGCCGACTTTGCATAGCAATAACTCCGTACCTAGGCACCTAGGCGCTTAGCGCAGCAAGAGCAAGGCAGCGACTAATTGCGCTGCGGCGCTCGCGCCGTAGGAGTTTTGCGATCAGTTGTACGGCGTAGACCTCTCACAGAGGTAGGCTCTCCCTAAGCAAAACTTGAACAAAACGCCATCGACGCGCGAAGCGATGGCCAACATGCTGGTGCCAACCATGTGTCTGATGCTCGCCGTCGGGCCGAGCAATTATATCTTGTACAAGATCGCCTTCACGAGCTACGGCGCGTCGAGCGCGCTGTTCGCGATGCAAATGGTCAATGCATTATTCGTCGTCTACGGCGCCGTCGCGCTGTACGCCGTCCGCGGCGCCATCACGGACGAGATGCGGGCGAGCTCGAAGGTGCCGTACGCGTTGATGGCGTTGCTCGACTGCCTCGGCGGTCTCTGCGCCGCGTTGGGCGCGGCGCGGACGCCGGGCCAGCTCCAGACGCTCCTCAGCCAGTCGCTCGTGCCATGCACCATGGTCGCGTCGGCGGTCTTCCTGAAGACGCGCTACGGCGCGAAAAAAAAGCTCGGCGCGGCCATCATCCTTATAGGTGGGGCGATCGTCGTCGCGCCGGCGTTCCGCGAGAGCGCCGAGACCAGCGCCGTCCTCATCTACTGGGCGAGCAACATTCCCATGGCCCTCTCGGCGGTCTACAAGGAGTGGCGGTTCGCCGACTCAGAGGTCCATGTTTTATATCTCACGCAGTACGTGTCGTGCTTCCAGCTGCTGTTCGGGTTCTTGCTCTTTCCGGCGCAGTGCCTCACCGACGGCCTGCCGCTCGGCACGGCCACGCGCACCTTTCTGGACGACGCCGTCCTCGTTGCTACGGGCGCCGACGCGTACCGCACGTCGCTACTCGCGCTCTACGTGCTGAACAACTTCATCCTCAACACTTCTGGTATCGTCGTCCTCAAGCTCGGCGGCGCCTCGCTCACGGCCATTCTCTACGCCGTGCTCCTACCATTGAGTACACTTGCGTTCGGCGCCCCGATCCTCGGACAGTATCAAGAACCGATAGTAGCGACGACGCTCATCGGTTTGGCCGTCGTCCTCGTCGGCTTCAGCTTGTACGAATCGGACAGTCTCGTGCCGAAGGAGGTGTCGCTACGCGGCGTCGCGAGTGCCGCGGTCGCGCTGCGCCGGCGGCGCTTCGACGTCAGCGAGCAAGACCCCCTCGCTCCGCGGCGGCGTCGTGTCCATGTCCACAATCAGCCCGCGTTCCACGAACGGCTCTTGTTGCCGATCCTGCGTGTGAGGAGTCGTAGCCGGGAAGCCCTCGCGGAACTCATCGGCGGGACCCCCTCGCCTAGTGTGTGATAAATACGTTGTATGTCTTATCAAAGATGGGCATGGGGGAAGGGGTCGTGTGCGGTCGCGAGGACCGCGGAGGAACTTGTGTACACGACGATGATTTGATTCTCGTCAGTCACGGGAAGTGACGTTCATGGTCAACTGCAGGGGGAACTTGTGCTCAGAGGTCGGTCTCGTCGATGCCCGGCGTGACCTTGACCTTCGTGGACGCCGACGGCCCGTGCGAGATCGGGGAGATGGCGCCCCGCGGGGAGATGTGCCCCGTCTCGGTGACGTTGTCGACGGTCTTCATCGGCTCCACATCCCCGCCCTTCTTGCCGCACGCGCAGTTCCGCTTGAGGGAATTCATCGCTCCGTAGAAGCCCTCACCGACAACCTTGTCGTGCTCGGGGTCGTAGATAGGAGTAGGGCCGCCCCAGCCGGGGATCATGGACACGGCGTAGAAGACCCACGGCATTCCAGCAAAAGCACCGAGGACGAGCAACTCGTGGGGCACGCCGTACCCGTTGAGGAGGTAGCCGAAGACCGCCGCGCACGAGCCGGCCAGGAAGGCGTACGGCAGCTGGGTCTTAACATGATCGATCGTCTTGACGCGACACGACGCGGCGGACAGCACGGTCGTGTCCGAGATCGGGGAGCAGTGATCGCCCCAGACGGCTCCGCCGAGGATCGCGCCGATGACGTTCTCGAGGCGGATCGTGAGCGAGCCGCCCGACGCGTTGTTGGCGAGGGGAATGGCGATCGGGAAGACGATCGTCATCGTCGCCCACGAGGAGCCCGTCGACAACGCGATGACGGCGGAGGTGATGAAGACCACAACCGGCAGCGCCTTGCCCGGGATAGAGTCACCAATCAGATCCACGACGGCGTCGGGTAACATCATCTGCTGCGAGATCTTGCCGATAGCAGACCTGTGTGGAAAATGAACCAGTGTGTCGCTCCGTCGAGCGGTGAGGAACCGGCATCGCCACGCCATCGACGCGCCGTACATCGATTTCCACACCGTAGCCGACGCCATCATGAGCACGACGGTACACTCGATGAGGTCTTTGGTGCCCTCGAGCGCGCCGGAGATAGTCTCGGAGGGCGTGAGAAGCATGCCGCCCCACTCCTTCGAGTACTGGACCGCGTACAAGACGATCTGGAACATGATGCCGAAGCCGCCGAGCCAGAGGAGCGTGCCGTAGGCATCGGCGTTGCCGATGATGCGCCGAGCGGAAGCATTCCAGCCCGTGTTCTCGTTACCTGCGCGAGGTACCAAGCCGCCGCCGCGGCGTCGCATACCGCGCAATCGCGGCCGCGACCATGGTCGCAAAACACCACTTTGACCCCGCTTTCCACGCAGGCGACACATCGTCGCACCGCTCGGGCGGCCCATTGCTTCTTGCCAAAATCGACTCGACTTTTGATTTTGCCGCAGGCGCTACAGGTCTTTGAATTCTCCAATCCACTGGTGTCTGGCGCCATTAATTCGCTGGTTTTCGGCCCTTGCGCCTCTGCGAGTCCGCAGGAGAGGCCCGCGCGCGCGCGCCAGACTGCTTGAAAAACCCGTTTTTTTGCAAGCCCATCAGTCCCCGCACAACAGTATATGAGCGACTTGCAAGCTTCCAAGTACACAGGACATACATTATGCTCCCTCCCCAGGAGGAGGGCCGACTCCCTCAAGGGCCGCGCCCCGGCGGCGGACCTCCTCGCGGGCGGCGCGGGCCATCATGGACACGTCGCGCAGCGCGGTGACGCGGACGTCGCGCGTCGCTTGGGCGGTGAGCTCCCGGAGCGCGACGAGCACGGGGCCGACGGCCGTCGGAAACGCGAAATGAGCCGGGTGCCCAATCCTGTCGTCCTCGAGGAACGCGAGCCCCCGCGTCGTCCGACAGCCCACGTCCTCGCTCCACGGTACTCCGAGCCTCACGAAGTCGAGGACGCCGTTCGTCGGCGCCGCGAGCCAGTCGGCGGCGCGGCCCGGGAGCCCGGCGCGCCACAGCAAGGCGTCGGCGGCGGCGGCCGCAAGGCGACCGAGCTCGTCCGCCGCCGCCGCGAGCGCCTCGTCGCCGTCGCCGCGTAGGACCGCCGGCGGGCAGCTGCGGCGCAGGCGCGTGCACGTCGACATCGCCACAAAGTGCAGCTCGACGTGAGTCCGGGCGGACGCCCGCCGTCGCCGCAGCGCGCAGTGGAGCGCGCCCTCCCACGTCAGAGGGATGTGGACGTCGCTGCCGAAGGACACGTGGATCGACGGCGCGGCGCCGGACGCGCGGCACTGGTGGGGCACGCCTCGCGGCACGTAGAGGGCGTCGCCGGCGCGCAGCTCGACGGCCCGCTCGACCGGGTACGGCGCCGCGCCGGGCAGGTCGCAGCCGCCGTTGCGTTTATTTTCGCGCGGCGGCACGGGCGGCGGCGGCCCGTGAGCCTCGCGCACGAGCCACGTCTTGGCTCCCGAGACCTGCCAGGCGTAGACGTCGTGGCGGTCCGCGTGCGGCCGCACGCAGCGCTCGTCCGGCGGCGTGACGTAGATGTTGGCTTGCACCGGCGCGCCCGTCGCGCGCTGGAGCGCGGCGGCCGCCGCGAAGACGCAGGGGATGCGCCACTCGGCGTGGCGAATGGTCAGCGAGTAGCCGCCCTCGAGCGCGCGCCGGGCCGTCTCGCTACTCGGCAGGTTCTCGTACTGGTATTTCCAGAGGTCGAACCGGTCCCACCCGCCTTTCGCGTTCACGCGTCCGAGCTGGAAGTCGAGCCCCTGGCGGTAGCTCGCCGCGAGCGCGGGAAAGCCGTAGCCGCCGCTTGGGCTTACCGTCGACTCCCCGTCGAGGGCCGCGAGGAGGCGGTCCAGCGCGAGCGCCGGGCAGTCGATTGCCGCGCCCACGCTGTGTGCGCAGCGGCCGCCCTCGAAGACGTCGTCCGCAAAGTCTTCGCGCGCAAGCAGAGCTGCCAGAGAGGGTGGGAGTGGTGCGTTTTCGACCACCTGTTCCATCGCTACGCGCGAGGAGTCACCGCTGCGTGCAGCAGCAGAGTTTTGCAATGAGCCTTGCACGCTAGCCTGACGTCCAAAAAGTTTTGCTGCAACCACGCAGCGGTCACTTTTATGAGTCGTGCGCGGGCGGACGTGCCCCGAAGCGTCGCTCTGGTGAGTCCGCGTGGTTTTGCCAGGCTGGAGCTAGCGGTAAGACACTAGCAAGACATCCATGCGTAAACAGCGGAAGCAGCCCTCAAGGCACCTTCAGGAGAGCCCTCGGGGGGCCGCGAGCCCTAGTGAAGCCAAACCCCGCACGACAGCAAAATAGCGCTGCCCAGCCAAGCTCGGCTTTTTGCGCTTGGTGCGCCCTACACGCGCTGCCCGGGAGGTCACCAGCGGTCCGCCCGGCATCCGCCCGGGCCCTCTGCAGCGCGGGCAGCAATCGTCTCGTCGGACGGTAGCCAGACACCTGGGAGCTAGCTCCAAGTTCCCGAGACGCTCCAGCGCCACAGGAAGCAAAGACAAAAACAAAGATGGCCCCCACGCGCCCGCCCGGCGCGCGCATCACCCCGCTCAAAGTCGACAGCGACAGTGATGCCGACGATGAAAGGGAGGCCGACGCCAAAGCACATGAAAGTTTCAGCGCCGAGCGCAAGGCCATGTCCGTGAAAATAAAAAATGTGTTTGGGAAGCAGATCATGGGCGGCGTGTTTGCGAAGAGTCCTTCTTCGTATGAGGGCGTTCTGTACAAGTCGCGCGTGACGGCCATCAAGCCTGAAGAGGTCGAGGACCACTGGGACACGGGCTCGGACCACTCCGGTGATGTGCTGGAGCGGCCGTCGCACCTGGGAGAGATGGATGATGAAAGACCACCATCAACAGCAGGTGGTCTACCGGCCGACATGGCTGATGATGTGTCGTCCGCCGACGAATCGGAGCCGGAGGACATGACGCAGCGCCAACAGTTGGCTGTGACGTTGCGGAACTACTGCAAGAAGGAAAACAACGTCAAGCATTTATTGGATGAAGGGGCGGTTGTGGCCTTATGTGGTCTTGCTGGGTTAGATGATGACCGCATCCGATGCGCTGTTGCTGTTGCATTATCAAACTTGACGAAACGGGGCGACTATATCGATGCCTTGCTCAAGGCGGGCGTCATGGTCGCCGTGTTGCAACTCGCGACGGGCCTACCGGCCGCGACGGCGCGAAGACAAGCTATCTTGAAGAGAAGATGGGAATACGGCATCGCGGACCCGGCGCCCGGTTCGGAAGAACGACGCAGAGAAACGGCGGGTCTACGCGTAGCCTTGCACTGCGCGCGCACGCTCGCGAACATGTCGTTCTGCCGAGGAGGGGAAGAGGCCATGGTCGCGGACGGCGTCGTGCCGGCCTGTCGCTTGACGTTGGCCCACGGCCCCAAAAGCGCCGCGAATGCGTGTGTCCAAGCCTTGTACAATTTGACGACCGTCGACGAGCCTTACGACGGCCTCGACACGGTCGTAAAAGCGGCCTGCGCTTTGCCCGTGACCGAATTTATGGACGCGCGAAGAGTAGCAGCGGCCTGCTGCTGCAACGCTTCCGTGTTCTTCACGATGCGGGCTCGACTCATAGAAGCTGGGGCATTAGTAACACTCAAAGCGGTCGCAGATGATGATAGCCCGGACAACTGGCCCTTCAAGGCTTTTAGGGTGGCCGACGCCGTGGCGAACGCCATGCACAACCTGGCCGCGGCGCGGTCGTGTCGGAGCGACCTTGTTTCAAGGGGTACGGTGCCTATATTATGCATGCTGGCGGACTACTGCGATCCGCAACGTTTAACAGCAGTGGCGCAGACCCTGGCCAAACTCTCAAGAGATGTTGGTTCTAGAGATCGCATCCTGCGGGATGGCGGTCTCGAGTGCGCGAGAGACATCGCGATGCGGGGCCGAGGCCTCGCGTCGGCGACACGACCGTTAGCGGAGGCTCTACTTAATCTGTCGAGGAGGAAAGGTAGCATCGAACGCATTTGTGAAAGAACCTATGAGGTGAATGACGAATCCCTGCAAGCGACCAGAGACGCGATGGCCGAGAAACCCGAGAAAAGTGGATTGGATTTCGACTTTAACAGTGGTAGCACTATTGATGAAACCACGTGCTGTACTGGTGTAGTAGCTGCGGATGTTCTCGTGTTGTTGGCCTCCAGTCAAGACCCGTCCACTCGTTTAGGATGGAGTCGAGCATTGGCGCAAATCTTAGCTGACGTATCTTCTCATACCTCATTCATCGTGCAGGGCGGCGTGCTCAAACCCATCATCACTATACTGGAAGAACTTGCGAAAGGAGGAGAGACGTCCAAGCATGCCGGCGGCGCGTCGGTCCAATTCGTCGAAGCTTTGGCTCTAGCGTGCTACTACGTTTCGACAGGAGGCGAGACGGAAAAAGCTACGGAACAAGGTATCGGTGCTGCTTTGGTCAATATCGGAGAGTGCCTGAAGATAGCTATACAATGTCATGGGTCCGACGATCAAGTGAAGCGGGACCGCGCGAAGTTGCGAGGTGGTTTGACCGGACCACCTGTGGATGATGAGGACCCTGCGGAAGAGAGAGTATTAGGAGTGGTCGCCGAGGCGCTGGACAACCTGGCCGCGTGCGCGTCGCCGCCGTCGATGGACCTGCTCGTGCAAGGTGGTATGTTACCTTGCTTGACCATGCTACTGCGGGGCGACGCTCTAGCGGTGCAGGCGACCTGTGCTACGGCCCTCGCAAATGCAGCATTCGCCAAGGATGCTATTTTTGCGGCGTTTGTGGAGGGTGGGGATAACTCGCCGCTGACCGATTTCAGTAATGCGTTACGGCGCCACATCTTCGAGCCGGATCCCGAGATGGACCCGTCGTCTCCCGAATATTTGGGTGCTGATGTCGTGGGTGCGTGTGATGCGGCCTTAGTCGGTGGGTGCTGCGCGGCTCTCGCGTCATTGTCATATGATAAGACAGCAAGGGCCCAAATGCAAAAGGCCGGCGCACTAAGGGCTGTGTTGGAGATCACCAAGACCTGTCCCGTCCAGATTACTCCGGGGGACGAGGGCCACGTCATTACGACGCGGTGCGCGACGACGCTCTGTAACGTCTCGTCGGACGAGGACGACGAACGACGCCTACAGTTAGTGGAGGACGGCATCGTTGCTGCGTTGGGGCGGCTGTCCGAAAGCTACTCCGAGGACATGCAGAATGATATAGCAAGGTGCTTCTGTAACCTGGCTCATGCTTCCGAGACGCCTTCCGCACTTGTGAAAAGTGGTGCTCTCCAGATCCTGATGCTCGTGGGCACGATGCGGGCCTCCGCCGTCACGACGCGAAAATGCGTCGCTCAAGCCCTGTGGAACATCTGCACGCCTTCGACGCTCGAAGCGCTGATCGCGTCGTCGTTGGCACCTCCGGCAGAAGAGGAAGATAAGAAGAAGGCCCCGAAGGACAAGACGGACGCCATGGCCTTCGCCCACGCCTTCGGCCTGCTGGCGGCGCAGGACGACGAGCAGACTTTAGAACTCGTGGCAGCTTTATTTGCCGCGACGTGTATGACGAGTGAAGGAAGGAAGATGCTAGTGCTAGCGAAGAACAAGGTGTTGCACGGTGCCTATACCTTGCTACGGTCGAAGACGCGCTCGACCCGTTTAACCGCCGGTCTGGCGGCTTGTAACTTGTTGCGGGACTCGGGAACGTCGAAAGACGCGGCTCGGACGGGAGCCTTACACGTCGTGCGCGTCCTGAGCGTCCAGGGTGATGATGCGGCGTCGTTGGCGTGCTGTGGCGCATTAGCAGCGATTACGGGGAGAGGCGACGAGGACCAGATCAAACTAGTTGCCAGAGATGGCGCGGCGCCCGTGCCGGTTCATTTAGCTCTGACTCATGATGTGCTGGTTGCGAGGGCAGCGGTGCGAACGATCGCGTGTCTCGCGATCCATGAATGTTTGCGAGGTCCTCTGGTCAAAGCCGGCGCGCCGACGGCACTAGTTGGTGCATGTTTACGGGACGCGAAGGACCGCGACGCAAATGCGGACGCGGTGGCGCGGGGCATGTTGTACCTGTCGGCGTCTCCGGAATTAGTTCCGGACATGGTCTCGCAACGAAGTGTCGCCGGTCTAGCTGTCCTCGGCAAGCACGTGGCACGACGAAGATCTAAGGGAGACGCCAACGCGACAGCTAGATTGGCAGATGTGCCCAAAGCGGTCGTGGCCTGTCTTCGGAGGTTCGCCGCGGATAGTTCCGTTCATGAGCAGCTTGTCAATGATGGCGGCGCGGCTTGCGTCGCCCAACTTTGTATTGGCCCCGGTAATGATATAGAACACTGCGCAAGGGACGCGGCGGCCTTCTTCTGTGATATTGCAAGGACGGCGTCACTGGCGTCCGATCTCGGGCGGGATGCGTCAGGAGCCGCTCTACTCGCCCTATCATCACAATCATCTGTGAGTGACGATCAAGCAGGCCAGTGGCGTGTACTAAGGGCGCTCTTTGATTTGACGCATTATGATCCTGCGAGGAGAGGCGATCTTGTGAATTCAGGCTGCTGTCTGGCCGTCGAAAAGCTCTCGACGACGGCCAACGTCCAAGCGAGGCAGTGCGCCGCGGCGTGTTTGTGCTACCTGAGCGAGCATAAACCGTCAAGATCAAGAATGGTCTCGGACGGCGCGGTGGACGCGCTCGTACGAGCCGCGGAAGATACGCGAGCGAACGACGTCACGAAGCACTGGTGCGCCGTGGCACTGGCGAATTTGAGTGCAGAAACCGAGGTGAGCAAGGGCGACGTCGCAGCTTTACTCAACGTTACTTTCAGTGAAGTCACGTCATCTCCAGTCAAATCGAATTCCGTGTCGTCGTCGGAGGAGGCTCCCTTCTCGCCGTCCGGCACATTGACCCGAAAAATGACGACGCGCGTCAAGGCCGTCTTACACGGCGTCGGCGAGGCCTCGGCGTCGACCAATGAACTGATGAAAGGGAGTGGCAATTTACTTGATGCTTCTCCTTTGACTCCTGATTGGTCAATATTGTCAGGAGAGGGCCACGCGGCGTTCGTCGCGGCGACCTTGGCACAGGCGCCCGCGGCGCACCACGACGCTTTACCTCCGCGCAAGTCCGCGGGCGTCGCCGAGGCCGCGCGCGTCACTGCGAAAGTGGAAGGAGTCGACCCGCCGCGGGTGGTGCATGACTTCACCGAGTGCGCCGCGTTGGAGGACTCCGTGCCGCTCGAGGACTTCGCCGCCGACGACGTGCTCCACGTGGGCTTTCCCAAGCTGCAGGATCCGCCGCCGCTGGATCCGCCGTCTGAGTAATGGAGTACGGTAGTAGTTTCCCGGGCGCTACGGCGCGACACCTTGTCCCTGGCCATACGAGCTTTTTTTTTTTTTGAGTTGTCAGTGCCCGGCAGCTTCCCAGAATTGCGCGGCGTCTTGCCCGGCGTCTGAGCGTAAACACAGCCCAAACGGGTGAAAGCGGCGCCATCTGGACATCGTTTGCAACGCGTACCGTCCCTGCAGCGCTTGCGGCGGCCCTGAAGAGCTAGCACCAACAAAGATGCCTGCCCTGGAGAAGCTGCTGCCCCTGCTGGCGCTGCTGCCGCATGCGGCGGCCACCAGCATGAAGATCGACTACCTGCGCCTCACGAACGTGCGCACCGACCCAATTACTGATCCCGACGGACTTTCGCCGCACGTCCACAGCTTCTACGGAGCGACCGAGGCCGCGCCGGGCACGACCTACGAGACTCTGCGGAACGCGGCGGGGAACACGGGCAACGTCGAGGAGAACAAGAGTCTGTATTGGCACCCGACGATCTACCGGTACGTCGACGGACAGTACGAGATCCAGGACACGTCCTACTTCAGCACGTACTACATCTGGCCGACGGGCGCCACGACGGCCTTCCCCGACGGCCTCAAGATGATCGGCGGCGGCGCCGGTTACGAGGCGGCGCGGCAGGAGGCCGACTGCTCGAACCCGGGGCCCTGCCCCGACGGCGTCTGCGACCGGTGGAACGACTTCTTCCCGGCGACGAGCTGCGACGAGCTCGAGCTCTCGATGCTCATGCCATCGTGTTGGGACGGCGTCAATTTGGACAGCTCCGACCACCGCTCGCACATGGCGTACACCAAGAACAGCGAGGCCGACGGAGAGTGTCCCGGCACGCACCCGGTGCGGCTGCCGCAGATCGCCGTCTTCACGCGCATCGCGCCCTACCATGGCGGCATTCATCTTTTTAGCGATGGCACCGGCTACTTCCACGCCGACTATTTTAGTGGGTGGGAGGCCGCACAACTCCAGAAGGTGCTCGACGAGTGCGAGAACGACTCCATGCAGTCGGCGCCGGACGCCTGGTGCGAGGACCACGTGACCTTTCGCGACGCGCCGAAGTCTGAGGACGTCGAGGACGAGGAGCTCCGCGAAAAGCTCGTCCCGTTCCAGCCGGCGCCCTTCGACGCCACGCGGATCCTCAGCGAGGCCGTTGACGGCGTCGCGGACCTGCCCGGGGGGCTCCAGCCCGTCATCGACCCGACCGCCTCGACGGCGACCAATACTGAAGAGCACTGCTTCGCCGATGCCACGAACACGTTCCACGTCTGGGTGGATCCCTACGCGTCGGAGCTCGGCAGCTGGAAATTCCTCGAGTGCGGCGACACGCCGATGCCCATCCTCGCTGTCGAGAAGGGCGTGACCTACACCTTTGAGCAGTTCGACGCGTCGGTTCCCGCGCGGAAAACTTCAGCCTGGGCGCGTGGCCGTACGCCGTCGCCGCGACCGCGATCGGTCGAACACGCAGGTCGAACTGGTACCACCCCCTGGCGTTCGGCACGGAGCCCGACGACGACGAGGACGACCTGGCCACGTACTACCTGAACGGTAATCAAATAGACGAGGACGCCTACGAGGACGCGTTCGTCGTCGCGCGGGAGGCGTGGCTGGACGCGTCGGGCCAGAGCCAGGACGAGGACGAGGGTGAAGGCGGTGACGAGGGTGAGGACGAGGCGGAGGAAGCTGATGAGGAGGAAGCTGACGAGGAAGAAGGCGACGAGGAGGAGGATGCCGGCGAAGGCGGCGACGAGGACGCCGACGCCGACGAGGACCGCCGCACACTGCAGGCGGCCGCGGGCTACTCGGTGACGCTCACAGTCACCGACGAGGTTGGCGACGAGGGCGAGGACGCCGACGAAGACAGGAGACTGCAGGCGGGTGGAGACCTCTTCTACATGTGCAACGGAGTGCGGAAATCAACCAGTGCGTCGGGTGCACAATTCTTCACTAAGTCATTTCCCGGCGATGACGCGGCCGTCCTGGCTCGGTCGAGCGGTGGGGAACCGGCATCGCCACGCCATCGAGCAGGCGCTGCGTCGATGGCGTGGAGGACGACGCGGCGATTCAGCACGAACGCGCGGTAAAATTTTGATTTCCACCCAGGTGCAACGTGCACAACTACATGGCCGGGCGCATCAAGGTCTACGAGAACGGCGCCCCTTTAAATCCGGAGGACACGCCGGCCCTGCTGAAGGAACCTGATGTAGTATCAGAGTACGATCAATCTTGCGGCACTTTTGGAGTCGGCGACTACACGCGTAGTTCCGGGAAGTGCCCCGCCGATGCCTTCATCTGCACCGAGGGCGACGAGACGCCCGAGCAATTACTATTCGGAGAGTGCATGTACGCGCTGGACTGCCACATGCAGTACAACATGAAATCGATCCTCGCGAATAGCGACCCCATCGTCACTTTTATTCATCAGATGATCCCGCACCACCAAAACGCGGTCAACATGGCGAAAGCGCTTCTCAAAACGAACACCCTCGACGCTTCCGACGAAGGTGATAGGGAGATGGAGAACATGATGTGGGCGATCATCTGTGTGGAAATCAACCGGTGCGTCGGGTGCACCCGACAATTCTTCGCTAAGTCATTTCTCGGCGATGACGCGGCCGTGCTGGTTCCGTTCGAGCGGTGAGGAACCGGCATCGCCACGCCATCGAGCAGGCGTCGCGTCGATGGCGTGGAGTTCGACGCGAACGCGCCGTAAAATTAGATTTCCACACAGGCCATCATCAACGGCCAAAACTTCCAGATCCACCAGATGCAGGACTACCTCGCGGAGAAGAGCTACGCGGAGTCGGACATCTGCGAGGACTCGCCGTCGATGGCGCCAATCTTCGCGCCGACGCCGCGCCCAACGCCCTCGCCGACTGTGTCTCCGGGCAACCCGACGTCAGCGCCGGCGCCCGCGCCCACGACCGCCCCCGTGACTCCCGCGCCTGTCGCCCTCGCTGCCGCCGCCGAGATCATGCCGGCCGCATCTTCATCATCATCGTCGGGCAGCTCCGACACGATCACGACGACGGCCTCGGGCAACATCATCGCGACGATCTGCGTCGTCGCTGCCGTGCTTATTGTTGGGGCGTTCGTCGCGGGGCGCCGGAGCGTCAAGACCCCGGCGCCGGCCCGCGAGTACTTCGGCGAGTCGGGCCGCGACGCTGTCGAGACCGACAAGGTCTAGCTCACTTCTACTGCTTGAACTGCTTGATGCTCCTCGATCGCCCACGTCGGAGGAAGCTCGCTCTTTTAACTTGGCTGGTTGTGTTTTTTTTCGAGCCTGAGCCTTGTGCAATAGGGTACGTCACGCAAGTCGTCACGCCGGCGGCCGCCGAACTCCGGACGAGGGGGAACACGATGCGCGTACAGTGGCGGCTCTGAGTCGTGGCGGTCCTAGGACTCCGGGAGACTGCGGGTCGTCGATTTATCGGCGGCGGGCGTTTTTGTTTGGTAAAAACCCGTTTTGTGAAGAATACACAAATCGACTGCAAACGCCGTCCACGCCTCAAGTACCACTCTCTGACCCCTGCATGCGTCGCTATGCGTTCTCTGCTTGGCATTTCGCGGAGGCCTCTGCGAGGCTCACAAAGCGGCTTGGGGCCGCCGCCGCATTTGTCTAGGACCGCCGTGGGCGTATATTTAACATAGCAGGACTCATCAGTCCTTGCCTTTAAGCCGCCTGCTGCAGCACCAGCGCCTGCGCGCGCCGCCGCCGCGGGCGACCCGAATTTAACAGAGAGAGCGGTCTCCCGCTCCGGCCGCGCTTACGCCAACGCAGCGCGCGCCGCACGCGAGCGACCGAAAGAGCGCAACAACCATGGCGCAGCTCGGCGACGAAGCCCTATTACAAGCCTCCGAGTCGGGCGACCTCTTCGGCGTCGGCGAGTGCTTAGATGCGGGCGCGTCCGCCTCCGCTCAAGATGCAAACGGCTTCACGGCGTTGATCAAAGCCGTGGCGAATGGCCACACTGATGTAGTTGATTTGTTATTAGCGCGGGGCGCGCCCGTCAACACGCCCGCGGGTACGCATACGGCTCTGAGGGCAGCGACGCTGAACGGCCAGGCGGCTTTAGTTGATAAACTGCTGAAGGCCGGCGCCGACGCGTCGATTGTATCGAATAACGCCCGGACGCCGCTCATGGGCGCGTGCTACCCGCGGCACGGCGTGCCCGAGGCCTCGACGAAAGCGTGCGTCGAACTCCTCTTAAATGACGCGAATGGGCGGCGAACGCTGGGCTGGCAGAACGACGACGGCGACACGGCGCTGCATCTGGCCTGCTTCGGCGCGCCGGCCGCGGCCTTGGTGCTGGCGAAAGCCGGCGCGCCGCGCGACGTGCTCAACAATCGAGACGAGACCCCTGATGATTTAGCAAGGCGCGCCGGCCTGCGGCTGGACCCGGGCGTGCCGCTGCCGCTGCCGCCGGCGCCCGCGCCCGCACCTGTATTTATTCTGTGTGGAAATCACCTGCTCGATCGTGCGCCGTGGTGTAGATGTCACACTGGCACGCCGTCCCCACGCCATCGACGCGACTCGACTCACCGGTCGATTGCCACGCAGCCGCCGGCGCCCCCCGCACCAGCAGCACCAAGGCCCAAGCCGCCCCAACAAAAGGCGAAGCCCCCCGTGCGCGTGCCGACGGGCGGCAAGTACGCCAAGCCGCGCGGGCGGGCACCATTGAACGCCGAGGGCAAGCCGGCGAGCTGGGACCCGGACCTCGGCGAGTGGGTCGGCGCGTCTTCCGGCGTCCCATACGACCTTCAGCCTTCTCACCTGTGTGTGTTGCGACAGGCATCGACCCGAACTCGTACTACTACAGTACTACCGGTGTCCCTATCCCCGTCCGATAATAACGCATACACGCAGGCGTCGTCAAGAAGAAGAAGCCGAACGGCATCCCGAAGCCTCGAGGAAGGGCTCCGTTAGGTGCGACGTGGGACTACGACAAGGGCGAGTGGGTCGGCGGGAGCGGCAAACCGAAGCCTCCGGGAGCAAAAAAGCCGGCGCCGAAGAAGAAAGATGTGGTTCCTCTCACGACGGCCGAGAAGGCCGCGGTCTTGCACGCGATTGCCCAATTGGACGGGAAAGCCACCCAGAAGAAGGTACGACGGGCGGCGGAGAGTATATTGGGCGCGCCGGAGGGGTCCCTCGATGCGAAGAAAGCGGCGGTCAAAGAAGTTTGTAGGGAGGAAGTGACGCGGATGGAGGACTCGGCGAATGCCGGTGATGCGCCGGCGGCGCCTTCGATCCATCCATCCCAGGCGATGCTCGGTGAGGAGTAATTTGGGGGTTTCCTGTATCTTTCTTTTTGTGTTCTCGCCGATGGCGTTTCGATGCGGCGGACTTTGTGTTGTGTGGCTTGGCCGTGGCCCGAGGCTGCCGCACCGGGACAGATTGCGAAGATTGCTAGTGTCTTACGGCCGCTAGCTTTATCATTTTTGGTGTCCTATGGGCCGGCGCGGCGGCGCGTCGCCGGAGCTCGCCGACGCGCGGAGCCGCGGGCGGTCGGGCGAAATCTCGACGAAGGAGACCTCCTCGCCGCCGACGATGGCGCACTGGTTGAGCTCGCCCGAGGGCTGCGTCGTCACGGGCGGCGGCGTCGTTGTCACAGGCCGCGGCGGCGCGTAATCGCCGCGCGGCGCGTAGTGCGCCTCGTCGCCGGAGCTGTCGCCCGCGTCGTCGAGGAGGCCTTTCGCGGCGTCATTGGACTCGCCGCGCGATACTTGGGGGAACAGCGTGCTCGTCGGTGTCGGCGACTTCGACATCGTTCACAGAATGAGAGTCTCTGCTGGCGCGGTTTATTCTGTGGAGATAACCGCGGCTCTGGAGAGGCTTGGGCTTGCCCGACGCGCGCGCCTATCGCCCCGCCTGTCCGCAGTAATTTGATAGAAATGCGGATTTTGTCGCCTACGGCTCACGAGACGCCCGCGCGTCTTGCCAGCGTCGGCTCACGGAAACATTAGGCCGCGCGGCGACCTCTGATCCTGCAGATTTGCCCCTCGCGCGCCTCACGAGCCGGATGAAAACACGCAAGCAATTGCTGATAATTTATTTATTTTTTGCGCACGCTCGCGAGCACTCCTCTTCCGCTCCTCCACGGCTCCCTCCGTGCGCGCGAAGAACGGCGGCGCTCGCTGGTGCCGCGGCGTCGGCGTGCGGGTCCTCGCGTCGTAGCCAAAGCAAAGGCCGCCGTGACTTGAGCCGTGAGCTCGGCGCCGATAGCGTCGCCTGAAGCCAGGCGGCCATTCCTCAGCGCGATTGCTAGCGTTCGACACACACTAGCTTCCACTCTTGCAGAGTTCTAAGCCTTCGTGTGCTCCTCACAGCCACACCACTGCATACGGTGCTGTGGAAATCTGTGAGTGCGGAGCTCGTCCATCGCTGCGGCGGCTGTGCGAGTCTCAAGCAACAAGAGTACGCGCAGCGCGAGCAAAGCAGCGACAGCCAGACCAGCCAAAGATGGCGGCAGAAGCGGCAAAAGCAGAAGGCAACAAGGCTCTCCAAGCCAAGAACTACGACGAAGCAGTCAAGAAGTACACGGAAGCCATCGCCTTCGACGCGACGCAGCACACGTATTTCAGTAATCGCGCCGCGGCCTACATGCAACTGAAGGATTATGAAAGAGCCTTACAGGACGCCGAGTCGTGCATCAAGCTGAACCCGACCTGGGCCAAGGGTTATAGTAGGAAGGGCGCCGCCCTGCACGCGATGAAGAAGTACGACCAGGCCGACGCCGCGTACCACGAGGGCTTGGCCGTGGCGCCCGGCGACGCCTCCCTGAAACAAGGCGTCGTAGATGTGAACAAGGCGAAAGGAGTGCAGCAGTCTCAACAAAACAACCCCATGGCTCAAGCGTTCGGTCCCAACCTCATCGCGAAGATCGCCCAGGACCCGAACTTGCGACATAAATTAGGAGACGAGCAGTTCATGATGAAGCTCAAATTGCTGCAGTCGAACCCGCAGCAGATGATGTCTACCATGTTCCAGGACCCGGACATGTTTGTATGCAGCGTCTGTCATATCTACTGGTGTCGCGTCGCGGCGATGGCGTCGCGTGAGAGCGATGCGTCTGCGTCTCGTGTTTGCGGCGTCGCGGCGATGGCGTGCGGTGGGCGCGTCTACGCGTCGACGGCGTCGATCGGTGGCGCGCCGTCGCATCCGCGGCGTCGACGGCGCCGCCGCCGCGGCACGCGCGACGCTGACTCGTGATCGGGCGGGAGAGCGTACGCCATCGACGCGGGAAACTCACTCGCACGAACGCAGGTCCCAGGTCATGAGCTTAGCCCTCGGCATCAACCTCCAGCAGCCGGGAAGCGCGCAGGACGCCGGCACCGCGCCGCCGCCCCCCCAACCGCCGAAGAAGGAACCCGAGCCGGAACCGGAACCGGAAATAGAGAGAACTCCAGAAGAACAAAAAGCCTACGACCAGAAGCAGCTCGCGTTAGCCCACAAGGCCAAGGGCAACGCCGCGTATAAGAAGCGCGACTTCGACGCGGCTCTCAAGCATTATGATGATGCGATCGCCGCGGATCCCGGAGATGTGACCTATAGAAACAACAAGTGCGCCGTCCACTTCGAGAAGAAGGACTACGAGAGCGTCTTGTCGGAGGGTCGGGAAGCCATCAAGGTCGGTAGGGAACACCGGGCGGACTACGAGCTCGTACACAAGATCTACGTGCGGATGGGCAAGGCAAAAATGAAGCAAGGTGATTTGGAGGGAGCGTTGGAGGAGTTCAACAACGCCCAGGTCGAGCACCGAGACAAGGCCACGGAGCGACTCGTGAAAAACCTGGAGATGGACATCAAGAAGAAGAAGCGCGAGGCGTACATCGACCCGGCGAAGGCTCTTGAGGAAAAGGAGAAGGGCAATGTCAAATTCCGGGAGGGCAAGTTCTCCGAGTCGGTCCCGTTCTACGAGGAGGCCATGAAGCGGGACCCGAAGAATCCCGCCTACCCCAACAACTTGGCCGCGGCGTTGACGAAGCTCGGGAACTTTGCCGCGGCGAAGCAGGCCTGTGAAAAGGCCCTGGAGCTGGATGAAAAGTACGTGAAAGCCATCGCCAAGAAGGGCGACCTCGAGATGCTCATGAAGGAGTACCACAAGGCCATCGAAACATATAAAAAAGGTTTAACTATTGAGCCGGCGAACGCGGCGTGCAAGCAGGGCCTCCAACGGGTCCAGACGGCCATCTACAACGAAGGAGGAGATAAAGGAAGGGCGGAGCAGGCCATGAAGGACCCGGAGATCCAGGCCATCCTCCAGGATCCCATGGTCCGCCAGGTCATCCAGGACCTGTCGGGCGGCAACGGGGCGGCCGGTCAACAGGCGATGAACGACCCGGTCATGCGGGGCAAGATCGAGAAGCTGATCGCGTCGGGCGTGCTGCAGACGAAGTAGGAGTGCCCCTTTTTCTAACTATTGATGACTTCGTCGACGGCGTGTTGGGGGGACTACTAGGCTATCCTTACTCGGCGCGTCGTCGCGGACAGGATGGGGGAGCGGCCCGCGCTGCTTAGTGGCGGGCCTTTCTTCATTCACTCGTCGGCCGCGTTCATCGGAATATCATCAGCGGATTCGTCGCCAGGGCACTCGTCGACGTGTCGTCGCCGAAGCAGTGCGCGGCCGTAAGGACTGTGTCAGGTCGTATCAACGTTCCACCACAGAAGTGGCCCACCGGGTCGTCGTCCGACTCGTCGTCGGCGGTCTGGAGACTGACCATCCAGGGGAACTTGTCGTTCGGCGCGTCCTCGCCGCCGACGATCGCGTCCGTTACGCCCGCCGCGGCCGCCGAGGCGCCCCGAGCATCCTGCTTGATAAGGAAGACGGCGGCCGTCGCCGCCGTTGCTGCGAGAAGCGCCACGACGACCGCCCGGCGCGTGATCCGGCTGCTCTGTGTCGGCATTGATCAAAATGATGCAATTTGTTGATTGCGGAACTCTGTTGTCTTTGATGGTGATGCTCGTGATGACAAAGCGCCACGCGTGTCCCGCGGCCCTTATATGTGTCTAAAACTTCCCCGAGGCGTTGCGTTTTTCCTGCGCTAGCGGTCTGTAACACACTAGCAACAAGACTCGATAATTCACTCATTACTAGCACACATACGTCACGCCCGAGCCCGCTTCGAAGCCAGCACCTCGTCGTCCGAATCCCCCAGCAGATCCACGACCTCCGGCGCCTTGCGCACGCGAGGCTGGGGCACGGGCGGCCCCCGCTTCCGCACGGCCGGCGGCTTCGGGGGCGGCGCCGGCGGTCGTAACGCCGGGTTCCGCGCATCACATAGATCGCAGCACGGCCCCCCACCTGAAGACGGACCGGGGTCCTTCCCGAAGTGGCCCACGAGCTGCCGCCGTCGACACCCGTCCTTCATGCCGCAATACCGCGCCATATCGTCCAACCGATCCAAGTCCCGCTGCAACTTCGGGCCCCGTCGCTTCTTCCGGCCGAACCCCCGCAACAACTTCTGGACCTTGCCCACGTCCTGATCTCTATAGAGCATCAAACACTCCGACGCGCGGCCGTCCCGACCCGCCCGACCGGCCTCCTGGTAGTAGCCCTCGAGCGACTTGGCGAGGGACGCATGCACAACATATCTAACATCGGCCTTGTCGATGCCCATGCCGTAGGCGATCGTCGCACAAACGACGTCCAACTTCCCCTGCTGCCAGGCCGCCTGCACTACGCGCCTTTGTAATTGCGTCATGCCCGCGTGGTAGTGGTGCGCCGTCGTGCCCACGTCCTTCAATTTGTCCGTCAGATGGTCGGCGCAGGCCTCGGCGTCGGCCTGCGTCATGCAGTAGACAATGCCGCACTGGCCCGCGCGGCGCCGCACAAAGTCGACGACGGCGTCGCGGACGTCCTCCTGCGCGTTGTATGCGTCGGCGGCGTGCGGAGGTAACGGCGATGGCGTGCCGGTGTGAGGGTGTGTTCGTGGCCCAGACGCCATCAACGCGACTCGCCGCGTGTGGCGCTCCTGGCGCGGCGATGGCTTGGGGGGCGTAGCGTCTGGTGGAGCCCATACGCCATCGACGCGACTCGTATGACTCAAAAAAAAGGACGCCGCCGCGTTTACGGGAGAGCAGTCCGAGAAGTCGCGCACGCCGAAGCGCAAGTTCGGTCGATCCGCGGACGTGCGATGCGCGTGGGCCGTCGGCTTGATCTTGAGGGACTTGCGTAGATCGCTCTCGCAGGCTTGCGTCGCGGTCGCCGTGAGCGCCATAAATGGTACTCCAGGTAAGAAGGAGCGTAATTGCCCGAGCTTGCGGTAGTCCGGCCGAAAGTCGTGGCCCCATTCCGAGACGCAGTGCGCCTCGTCTACTACTATTCTGGCCAATAAGTTCGCTCTATGGAGCTTCTCCAACACATCTCGAAAGTTCTCGGACAGGGCCAGTCGTTCCGGCGTGACGTACAACAATTTGAGGGTCGGGTAGTCGACGCGCCCCTCCGCCGCCGAATGTAATTCTCGCAAGATGGCTCGGGAGGTCGTTTCTTTCGTCGAGGAGGTCAAATGGGCCGCGGGCACGCCGCCGCAGCGCTCCAGCGAGATGAGCGTGGAGACCTGGTCCTCGATTAATGAGAGTAATGGTGATACTACTATAGTAACACCTCTCGTGATGACGGCCGGGAGTTGATAACACAAACTCTTGCCGCCGCCGGTCGGCAGGATGACGACGCAGTCCCGGCCCTGTGCCGCCGCCCTACAAGTCGCGCGCTGGCCCGGCCGGAAGCCCTGGTGGCCGAAGACCGCACTTAGAGCTAGATCTAACTTCTGGTCGAGCGCGTCCGGTTCGTGCGCGCGTCTTGCTTGCGGTTGTTGCGGCCGCGCCCTCGGTAATGCGTCAAACAGAGTTGTTTGGCGCATCTGATGGGCCGGCGGGGGCGGTGGCGTCTTGGTGCGGGCCATTGTCGACGCTGTGCCAACAGCGTAGCAGAGCTGATGTTGCCTTGCCTTGCCTGCTGTGCCGCAGTGATGCGCGCGCAAGAACCCAGCGGTTTGTCGTCACTTATAGCGCTGCGTGCTCGACAACAGGCGCGTATATAGCGCTTTGCGCGGCCGCGCGGCAAGTTTTTGGAGCTGTGAACGATCTCTAGTGCGTTGGTGACGCTAGTGATTATGCTCAGAGCCAAATACAATTTGAATAAATAAATAGGCGTAGAAGCGGCCAGCGCACCGATACAGACCGCCAAAAGCTCACAACTAACTGCCAGCAGACGTGACCCAACGCGCGCAAGACAGCACGACGCACACGCAGAGCAAAATGAAGAACAGCTGCCTAGTCCTCTTGTTCGGCGCAGCGGCCGCGCTGCGCCCGAGCTTAAGAGGCATCCGCAAGAGCGTCTTCTACGCGACCAGCACGCGCAAGCGCACGCAAAAGCCGAAGGCTCCGCCGCAAGTAAAGGACGAGATCCCGATCTACACCGCGTCGCCTACGACAGAACGCGTGCCGCCGCATCTCGTCAACGCCGCCATGTACGAAGCGGAGCTAGAAGAAGAGGAGGCCGCGCGGGCGAAAGATGATCTTTGTCGCACGATGTTCGCTCGCTTTGCCCGCGGCCAGGAGCTGCTGCGCCGCAACCACGGCGCGCCGGTGTTACACGGTCCGGACACCCTCGACCTGTTTGTAGGGGACTTGGCCGCTGGTGGCGTCGCGCCGGACGTGATTGAGCTCCTCCAGCGCATGCGAGAAGGCGCTATGCTTAACGGCGCCGGAGGGACCCAGGGCGGCCGCCTCCAGCTGAGCCTGGCGTGCCTCAACAAGGAAGAAGAGTTCCAAGAATCTGTCAAGGAGGCGTTCTTCCGCGAGGGCGACGTGCACTTCGAGCTCTTCCCGTCCACCACCAAATCGATCGAGAGCTTCTGCTCTTTACTAGCGGCGGAAGCGTCGCTCCGAGAACGCCCGATCAAGATTCTCCTGCCCGCCGACGCGCACTACGCCTGGACGAACGTGCTGGCCCAGTACGAGGCGCACCCGTACTTTAAGTCCATTGACCTCGCGCCGGGCGACGACTTGCAAGTCCTGAGAGAGACGCGCTTCCGCCCTGGAGATCTGGTCGTCGGCGTCTACACGCTTGCCAACACCGTGTCTGGTAGGGCGACGCCGGTCGAGTGGTTCCAGGACGTGCTCGCGTACTGCGAGGGCGAGGGCGCGTCGACGGCGCATTTTGTGGACGCGGCGCTGGCGGGGCTATGCGTCGCCAAGGACACGTTGGACATGCGCGCGGACGAGGACGTGGCCGAGATCCTCGACGGCGCGATTGGGCTGGTGCAGAGCGGGTTCAAGGACTTCGGTCCACGCCTGTGTGGAAATCAAGCTCAGCTCGGCGACGACTGCTCGATGGCGTGGAGGACGACGTTTGATTTCCGCACAGGTTTGAGCAGCATGCTCTTCCTCGACGACGCGGAGTTCGAGTGCTGCTCTCATCGAAACGAGCGGGGGCTCCAGAACGCCGTGGCCGGAGGCGCGCACGCTCTCATCAAGCACGCGCCCGTGACGTCCATCCCGGAGAGCCCGACGCTGGCGTTCCTGCTCTACGCGAGGGAATACACGGCCTTCCGGAAGGAATCCTTCGAGGCGTTGTGCACGAAGCTCCGGGCTGCGATTCCCGACGAAGTAGACTACGAGCTCCGGCCGCTCTTCCCGCTGCTCCATCTCGAGTTCGCCGATGCAGACATCACGGCCGCACTCACCGACGCGCTGATGGCGACTTATAGTCTCATCACGATCGATGCCGAGCCGAACGTGGTCCGGCTCTGGCCGACACCCACCAATCACGACGTGGCCGACGCGATCGCCGCGTTCTTCGAATGAATGCTGTTTGTACCCATCACCGACCACCCCCTGTGTAATTTCGACATATGTTCACATATCTTATCACACATACTAGATGTTGCTGTGGTCGTCGCGGCCGGCTAAGCGCGAGAGCTCCGCGTGGACCTTCTTGTAGACGACCATAGACGTCCCGTTCGCGATCGAACTGCGGACGAGCCCGGGCAGCAGGCCCCGGAAGAGGGCGCCCTCGCGGAAGGCGTTCGCCAGGAGCGCCGGCGCCGACACGCCCGGGTGGCGCCCGGACTGGCGCTGCGTTTTTACGACGTCGAAGGGCCAGACCTGTGTGGAAATCAAAATTTTACGGCGCGTTCGTGCTGAATCGTCGCGTCGACCTCCACGCCATCGACGCGCCGCCTGCTTGACGGCGTGGCGATGCCGGTTCCTCACCGCTCGACGGAGCCAGCACGGCCGCGTCATCGCCGCGAAATGACTTAGTGAAGAATTGTCGGGTGCACCCGACGCATTGATTGATTTCCACACAGGGCCAGACCGTCAGCCACGCCAGGTTCGAGCACGTCGCCCCGTACACAAACGGCGAGTCTCCGAGGTAGGGCCGCAGCAAATCCATGTACACGACGAACGCCGAGAACAGCCCGGTGTTGCGGCCCATCGTGACACCCAAACCTGAGAGAGCCTCGCGGTAGGACCACTGCGCGACGATCTGCTGCCGGATCTTGAAGAACTCCGTCGGCCCCTCGACGACGGCTCTTCCTAACCCGCCGCACATGCCTGCTAAGACGATGTGGCTCTCGACGACGCCGCCGATTTTGAATGACGGGATCGACGAGTCCCGCAGCGCGTCTCTCGCCAGGTCGTTGCAGCCGAACTGCGCGCTTCGCATGAACGTGCCCCCTAACACCAACGGCAGCGACCCGCGCCACAGTCCTTTAATAATACCGCTCTCGGCGATGACTTTCCGCGTCGCCGCGACCGTGCCCTCACCGCTGCTCTGCACGACGGTTTTTATGGTGTCGAAGGGCTGGCCGACGGCGACGGTCGTCATGCCGTAGGCCGCGCCCGAGGCAAAAGTGATGCCCGTGTCGACGAGGTCGTGGTCCTTCGGCGCCATGCTATGCGTTTTCGAGCAGTGCGGCAATGCAGGACGTGCGTGCGCGCAGGGACGTGCAAAGGCAATGCTAGGCAATGTGGTCTGTGCGCAGCGGCTGAGCAAGTTACGACGTGCAAACGCAACCCGCAGCGATGAGTAGTTGAATCACGCAGTACTGATGCAATTGAGGCCGCGCGCACTGAGGACGAGCACCGTGAAACCAGGCAAAAAAGTGAGCTAGCGGCATGTACATACTAGCAAGGCAGCAATCGAGGAGCAAGAGCAGCGGAGCATCTTGGAGCAAATTCGCGCAGCACTCGTTGCCCAGAAACGCTCCTCGGACTGCCGCCTCGTCCCTCGATCGCTGGTGAGCCGCCACTCGCCTAGAGAGCAGCTCTCCCTGCGCTAACTCAGCGCTGCTCAGAGACGCCAATTTGCGCCGCCGCGGCGAGCGGGGCGCACAAAAGAAGAAAGATGCTCGACGGCCGCGACTGGGACGCTAGAGAACATGAACAAATAGCACAAAGACAACGCGCGTTCCAGACCGGAGTATTTTTGTGCATGATGCTCCTGATGATGGACGTCCGGGATCCGCGGGCCGTGCAGGAGGAAGCTTTGAGGAGAGCGAGAGCCGAGGCGGAAGAAGCGGCTTTGCGGCGGCAGGCGGCGCCGACGTGGCTGGACAACGAGATCGTCGGCGAGGGGTCGACGCAGAACGTCACCGGACTCTATAGAGGAGGCTGGGTCTACAACACTCATAACAGTTCTACGGGCCCCGGCGGCCACGAAGGGAGAGCTGCCTTACAGATGGACATGTTTAGGGTGGCTTCCATTGAAAAAGTAAGTGTAGTGAGAGCAATGGTCCAGCTGGCGGCCCCACCGGGCGCCGGTCGGAGCGGCGACGTCCTCGCGTCGGCGTTTGGCGTCTACTTCCACGGTTCGAGACGCGTGGCGCTGCTGGGGAACGTCGGCGAGCCCTCGGACGATGGTGCGGACCCGGCGTCTTTGTTCATTCGCGCCGCGGCGGCCTGGCGGGGGACACGCCATCGACGCGACGTCTGCGCGACGGCGTGGAGTTGACGCGTAAGATTGGTCGGCGCCGCCGCGAGAGAGAGCCGACTCGACGCTCCCGCAGGCGTCGACCTCCGGAAGCGCGCGAACGCGACCCATGATGACGATGATGACGAAGCAGAAGAGGAGGACCGGCCCTTTCTGAGGAGGAACCGGACGCACCGCCCCCACAATCGCCTGAGGCGCCACTACGACGCACAGACGGGCCGCCGACTCATTGCACGATTGGCAAACAAGCACCCCTTCGTCAGAGCTCATTTAGCTTCGAATAGTGGTAGTGCGGCGGCGCTATCCAAGACGCTGACCGACGTGACGTCGAGGCGCCTCGGGGAGAAGCAGCGGACGCGCCTATCTACTAGATCATTACCGGACTCGCTCTTTGAGGGCGGTTCGTATGATTTGGTCGTGGCGCGCTTGTTGGGCAAGAAGGAGGACAAAGATAGACCCATGGATGCAGCAGTTACATCTACGGTAGTGGAAGATACTGAAGATAGAGCCAAGCTTAGGGTCGACCCCTCCAAAACTCTCAAAGGCTACGGTCAGACATTGTGGAAGAACGGCGAATGTGCGCTGGAGATCGATCTCGTAGCGTCGGACGACAAGAAAACGCGTAAAAGTGCACCATCAAAGAACGCGCCCTACGTCACCGAATTGATCGGTTCCGTGCGAGCGCCGTCCTGCGGCTTCTCGCTCACAGTCAACGCCTCGGCAACGCGCGTCGACTGGCGCGCCGCCGAGGACCAGGCGTCGTGGTATTCTTCATTGATGACGTTCGTTTGCGTGTGGCAGATTTACGCGTTGTTCAAGCAATTGCATTTTTGTAGGACGCAGGCCGTGGCGCTGCGAGTTTCTCTCGTGTCGCTGGGCATGCAGGCTTTGTGGGATGCTGTCTTATGTGTTGCGAATTTGCTGCTCTGTGCGGCGGTGCCTCAATTATTTAGTACGTTCACGACTGTCGCGTTTTTGGAATTGATCGTGTTCTGCGTCATTGAGATGAGGTACTTGTTATTAGTGTGGCAGGCCCACGACCCGCAGCGGAACTGGGACGCCGCGGGCTGGGTGCAGCTACGAAGAGAGTTGGCTACCGTCCACGCGCACTTCTACGTCGCTTTAGCTGTCGTACTTTTAGTTTTGTACGCTTCGAGGGACGAGCCTTCTCTCATACTACTCGCGGCGTCGTCGTACTGGGTGCCCCAGATCATTCGGAACGTGAAAACGAACGCGAGGGAGCCGGTCTGCGACCATTACCTGTATGGCATGGCCGTTTCTCGTTTATTGTTACCGGCCTACCTACTCTTGGTGCAGGACGCTCTGCCTCGCGTCCTGATGGTGCCGTCACCGTCAGCAATCACACCTTCACAAAGATTGAAAGTCTTCCTCTCGTTAGTTGTCTGGCAAGCAATACAAGTTGGGCTACTCAAACTCCAACGTATCAAGGGCGCTCGGTGTTTCGTGCCGGACTATTTAGTACCGAAGCCCTACGACTATCAACGAGATCCAGCACATATTTTAAGGGCGGCGGGCGCCGACGGCCCCGAGTGCGCGATATGCATGGGGCCCGTCAACGCCGTGACCGGCGAGTTCATGGTGACGCCCTGCGACCACATGTTCCACGAGATTTGTTTGAGGCAGTGGATGGACCTGAAGATGGAGTGCCCGGTTTGTAGGGCCGCCTTGCCGCCGACGCCGAACGACGATGAGGAGGGGGTGGGGGAGCCGGCGGACTCGGCCGTATAAGTAGTTGACTTGTAGTAGCGTCCGCGCGTAGGCGCGCGTGCGCCAAAAGGTGCCCTAGCGGCCTGTAAGACACTAGCAAGCACGCTTTACTTGGTGTTTGCAAAAACCGGCCCTCGCCCCTCGCCCCTCGCTATTAAACCCGCCACAAGACAGAACATTTTCGATGGTTCGGCGCTGTGTCAATCAATCTTTCCGGTGGCCGGGGCCCGCGCTCCGCCCAAACAATGGCTTACTGCTCCTTCGATGTTGCGCCCCCTCCGCGCGCCGCCGCCGCGCCGCCCCCGCGGCGCGCGCCACCGCCAATCGACCCATTTCGGCTGGTATTCTCACATAAATTTGGGGCGCTGAACGCCTCTCATGAACGAATACCTGAGCAGTCGAGAACCGGCCCGAGGATGTTTGCGCGCGCAGGCCATCATGCGGAACGTCTTACTCGCCCTATGCTTCGCTTCGGCGGCCACGGCGGCCAAACAAGCCCGCAACGACAAGACCAAACAAGCCCTCGACGACAAGACCATCCGCGTTGCGGTTAGGGCGTGGTTCCACGACCGCGCCGCCGCCGAGGCCGAGTACGGCCACATCTCGACGTGGGAGACTGGGGGGGTGACGGACATGTCGCGCTTGTTTTTAGGGGCATCGTCCTTCAACGAGGACATCGGCGCGTGGGACACCTCTGGCGTCACGGCGATGGAGCGGATGTTCGTCCACGCCTCGTCCTTCGACCAGGAGATCGGCGCATGGGACACCTCTGGCGTCACGTCGATGTACTGGATGTTCCTCGAGGCCTCGGCGTTCAACCAGGACATCAGTGGTTGGGCGGTCCACAGCGTCACGGATATGTCGTTGATGTTCCACGAAGCCTCGGCCTTCGACCAGGACATCAGTGGTTGGGCGATCCGCAGCGTCACGAGAATGCCGGGGATGTTCGCCTACGCCTCGGCCTTCGACCAGGACCTCGGCTGGTGCGTGGCCGACGAGGTGGAGCTGGAACTGGCTTTCATGAACACCAAGTGCGAGTCGACGGCGTGCGGCATCGCAGGAGTTGACTGCGACGTCTCGCGCACGGACAACGTCATGGTCAACTGGAAAATCAAGCAAGCAGTCGCCGCGTGGCTCTCGGACGCGACGGCCGCCGAGGCGGCGTACGGCCACATCTCGACGTGGGAGACCGGCGGGGTGACGGACATGTCGCGCTTGTTTCGAGGCGCCTCGTCGTTTAACGAGGATATCGGCGCGTGGGATACCTCCGGCGTCACAACGATGGAGGACATGTTCCGGTACGCCTCGGCCTTCGACCAGGACCTCGGCTGGTGCGTGGACGACGGCGTGAACCTGGACCGGGCGTTCGTCAGCACCCCGTGCGCGTCGACGTTGTGCGGCGTCTCGTGGGGCGGCTGTGACATCCCGAGCAATGGTAATGTCATGGCCAACGGGAAGATCAGAATTGCAGTCGCAGCGTGGCTCTCGGACGCCACGTCTGCCGAGGCGACGTACGGCCACATCTCGACGTGGGCGACTGGGGGCGTGACGGACATGTCGAAATTGTTTTGTGGAGCGTCGTGGGAAGAATCCTGCAACTCGGCCTCGGCGTCTTTCAACGACAACATCGGTGCGTGGGACACCTCCGGCGTCACGTCGATGCACGAGATGTTCAAGAAGGCCTCGGCCTTTAACCAATACATCGGCGGTTGGGCGATCCAGAGCGTCAGGAACATGTGGATGATGTTCCAAGGCGCCTCGGCCTTCGACCAGGACCTCGGCTGGTGCGTGGCCAATAAGGTGAAGCTGAACCGCGCGTTCGACAAGACCAAGTGCGCGTCGACGTCGTGCGGCGCCGTGCAAGTTGCAGACGTCGCCGACTGCCCGACGCCCGCGCGGAAGGCCGAGGCCGACCGCCTGCGCGCCTCGCGCGGGGTCCGCGCACGCGCGGAGCCTCCGGAGGTCGGCGCCGAGGCGCGCCTCGCCGCCGCCCGCGCCGCCGCCGCGCGTCCGCACCGTCCCAATGAAGAAGCAGCCCCTCAAGGAGTCCCTCAAGAAGGTCACGCGGGTCGGGGCATCGAGGTCGTCGGCGGGGTCGACAACGCGAGGAAGGACCTCAGCCGCCTCAAAGCGAACCGACAGGCGATCCAGCAGTTCCGCCAATTTCGGAAGGTGCACGATCAAATCAGAAGGGAAAACCCACGGATGCGCACAGGGTCCATCACCAGCGAATAGATTCGTACGTAGCCGGCGTCGAGAGACGCGATAATTCGGACGCGTCCTGCCCGCGCGGGGCGCCTTCCTAATTATCGCATGCGATGCACAGAAACATAGCTACTTACAAATCACGCGTCGTCAGGGGGCCGCGACGGCGTCTTCGGCGTCCACGACCGGTGCCGCCCCGGCACGAAGCCCCGCGACGCCTTGTGCCAGCCCGACCGCGGCCGCGCGGCCGGCGCGATTAAGCCGAGCGCGCGGTCCAGCGCCTGGTCGGCCTCGCCGTCGAGCTTCTCGAGGCGCTGCTCCTCCTCGAACGCGGCGACGGCTTCCTCGAGACCTTCCACCGGCACGACGCCTTTGTCGACGGGCAGCTTCCCGCCGTCCCGCGTCAGCCACTCGTAGAGGTCCGGCCGCGCCTGCCCGACTTCCTTCTGCAGCACCGTCAGCGTGACGGCGCCGCCGTGGCCGTCGAGCATCGCCGCGACGGAAGGAGGCGTCTGCTGCTGCATCCTAGCGGCTCTTTCCGCTTCCGCCGCGGCCCGCGCCTCGCGGTCGGCGTCCATGGCCTCCTCGGCCGCGCGCCGCCGCCGCCGCTGGCGGCTCCGCCGCTTCCGGATCTCGGCGGGCGTCTCCACTCGTATTAATTCGGGCGCCGCCACCGTTTGACGACGCTTGCCGCCGCGGGTCTTTGCCGCGAGCGGCCGCAGGGCGAGCCCCTGGAATGAATCAGAAGGCGGCGCCGGCGCGTCGCGCGACCGGCGCACGAGCTTCATTGTTGTTGGCGCCGGCGTCTTGGCCCGCCGGCACGTCCCACACAACCGCATGCCGCAGACCTCGGTAATATCATCGGCGCGCCCGCACCAGGCGCAGCCAATAGAAGCGACGCGCGCGACGGCCTCCGTCGCGCCGGTCACGCGGTCCGCGAAGCGCACGGACTTCGGTCGCCGTTCGGGCGAGGGCTGCGGGCTCAGGTTCGGGACGTCGTCGCCCCAGGACGTGACGCGCACTCTTGGATCCGGGGAGGCCGCGGTGCCGGGCCGGTCGAAGCTCGGCCGCGACGCGATGCGCGGCCGCGCGTCGGTTGCGGATGGCCGCGCCTCCGATGTGCCCGGCCTGAGCCGTGCGTGCTGCTCCGCTCGTAACGCCGTGCCCGACGTGAGCGGGCGCGACGCATCCATCAATGGTTGGGGCTCGAAGAATCCACAACCAGCCAGCCTCGCGCGCGCGGCGACGGGCAGCGTGTGCGCGGCGTGCTGCTGGCGCTGGTGTTTGATCCATCTCCCGAGCTCAGTGTCGGGTGGTGCCGCGAAGGTTCCCTTCCGCTGCCGGAAGGCGAGGAGCTTCTCGAAGCGATCGAGCCAGTCCTCGGAGAGCTGCTCTGCGGTCTGGGCGTGGAACCGCTTCGAGGCTCGGGCCCAGGCGCGAGGGTGGGGCTTGGGCTGGCGCTGCAGGGGCTCCATGGCTGTTATCGGTGGGGCATCTGCCTGTGGGGTTCGGGGGCAGCTTGCAGTGCGTTAATCCGGTTCTCCTACGCCCGCCGCGGTGGCGTTCAGCGCCGCGCTTTGCGAGAGGCCAAGGGAGATGGCGCTGCGGCCGCGCTCCGCCGGTGGATGCCTCTTCTAGTGGTCTCTGTGGTCCTCCAGCGATCGCTGCAGGGCTGGAGGGAGGCGTTTGGGACGGCTGCAAAACCCCGCACCCTGACAGACGAGCTGGTTGCACCAGGCTAAAAGTGCGTGTAGAGGCACCGCTGAGCCAGGAGCAGCGCGTCAGCTACTCCCTGAGGGACACCATGAAGGTCCACTACGCCCTCGCGGCGATGGCCGCAAGCGCAAGCGCGCTCATCGCCCCTGCAGCGATGCCGAGAGCGCTGGTCGCCAGGCCGGCGCCGACCGCCGACGCCACCGTCCTCGAGGTACCGCGGCCGCGTCATCTCTTTTCTATGTCCTTCGAAATGGCTCTTGCGGCTGGATAGCCTCACCAGCTATTCGGTTGCACCCGAGAGCAAACTCGAGAGCGAATTGAAGCGGGCGAGGCAGCGCCGTCTCGCGACGGAGCTGATTCAGCCTATTGTATCCGTGGCCGAGTTGGTCTTTCTTCAACAAAAGAAGAGCCAAGAAGGCGTTGGATTTAAGCCCCAATCTCTCCGGAGGCGTGGGTTCGAACCCCACCGGATGCAAACTCATCGAGAGACCGATTGGCGCAACGGTAGCGCGTCAGATTCCAGTCCTGAAGGTTACGTGTTCGAATCACGTATCGGTCAAGCGCCCGACGGTACAACACGCAGGCCTGCCGACGAAACACGAAGAAGGAGAAGCGCCAGCGCAACCAGGAGAACATGCGCAAGTTCAAGAAGGGCGCGCCGCCGACGGCGCGCGGCGGCGGCGGCAAGAAGAAGACCATGTCGCGCAAGAAGCTCACCCTGAAAGCGCAGGCCGCCGTCGAGAAGGGCCGCGAGGCGACGTTCATGTCGAAGCTGTTCCTGGCGACGGGCGGCGCGCTCGAGGAGAAGCTGGACCTCGGCGTCCTATAAATACGGGGAGGGGTGTGTCTATTAAGTACCTTTGCTTAACCGTCCCCGACGCGGCCCGTCATCTCGGTCGCAGGGGCCTTCCGCTGGTCGATGATCCAGTCGTAGGTGCCTATGCCTAGAAAGGCGAGGTACGTGTGGAAGCCGAACAAAGCGGCGTAGGCCAATAAGATGCCGAAGCCCAGCAAGCCGCACGCGCCGATGACGACCAATGTGCCCAGAGCTATTGCCCGTCGACACGAGACGATGATGAAAACACAGATGGCCGTATGTAAGGCGTATTGGACCGTGCCCGCCATACTCAAAAGATAGAACGGAACATAATTCTGCCGTCCGACGCTCACGTTCAACCACGTGCAAAAATGGTCGAGCCCCTCGATCGACGCCTTGTGCTCGCGGCAATAGCGCTTCTTCGTCCAGCGCGGCGTGTCTCCTAAACAAGATCCGAAGCACGACGCTTTTGTTGGGTTATGTGTTTCCATAAACAACCAGCAACACAGGCCGACCAAGACGCACAGAACGTGCGGTATGACCATAATAGCGACAACGCGTTCGTTGCAATGCCTTCGATCCCGCAACAAGACCCAAGCCACCACACCATAAAACCAGGCCGTCGCGAGGGCGTTTCCTATCCAGCTCGCGAGCTGATTTGTTGTTAAAGGGCGGTCGAAGCCGCGCGTTCGGGCCATCTCTTTTTATTCGTTGGTGGACCGCGGCGGCGTGCGCGTTCCGGCGGCGTTAATTAGGCACAGTGTGCTGCACGCCAATGGTGCAGCGGCGCTACTGAGCTGCGAGTAGCTGGCGCTGTGGCGGCGTATTATTGGAGTACTTTTGCCGCCGCCAGGCTATTCTGACTGATCTATAGGCGCGACATGAGCCAAACACCGTAAAAATAGCCGCATCCTAGTGCCTGTGTGCACGCTAGCTAGTTTTTTGGAGGAGCTGTGCTTCCTGGTTTTGAGCGCTTTGTGCTATCGCGAGTACGTGATACCTGTATTCTTCGTACAAATCGCAAAGCTCGCGATTTCGCTAGACCGGAGCTCTTCACAAGAGCATTTCAGCCGGCTACCTCACACAGCCAATTTCGACACATGACGCGGGAGCGCAGCAGCATGAGTCGCCTGCTCCTCGCCGTAGGCCTCTGTGGAACCTGCGCTGCCTATGCCCCGACCGGCAGTCCCAGGCCGCGCCGCGGCCTCGTCGTGCGACGAGCCGAGGACCGCGCCGAGCAAATAAAAAAACTGAACGATATGTTCTACGGCACCAGTACGACGACAACCGACGCCGCTGGTGACGCCAGCACGGACGCCGCCAGCGCAGCGGACGACGCCGCCGACCCGCTCTCCGACCTGCCGCTCTGGCGGGTCCAGTGGAATGCACTTCCGGGCGAGCGGCAGGTCTACAACGTTCATGTGCCACATTATACAGCATTGTTCGAGAAATTAGTTAGGGGCCCGAAGCCCTGGTATTTCGGCCATATACTATTACCGGGCGGCTCGGCGAATTTAAGGATCCCGAAGTATGCCCTACCCGACGGGCCCGAGGCGACGACGCTGGGCACCGTGATGGAATGCCTGGCAGTGGAAAGAAGGACGGACGGGTGCCTCGTGGTCGTCTCGCAGGGCGTGGGGCGCTTCCGCGTGCGGGACGTGAAGCGAACCTTACCCCACGACGTCGTCGACGCGAGCTGGGTCTTGGATAAGGAAGAAGGCGATCACGAAGCGTGGCGGGCGTTCGAGTTCGGCCCCGGCGGCGTGAAGCTGTCGTCCACGTCGGCCGAGGTCGCCGAGCTCTCGCCGCTGCGGCTCGACCGGGCGCCGGTGCAGAGCGGAATTGTTGTAGAGGAGATGGCCGAACCGGTCGACGACGACACGGCTTCTGACGACGTCGAGCAGCGGGTCTGGGACGCCGTGGCCGTCGACGGCGGGCTTCTGGAACAAATACTCATGGCCGACGGCACGCCGGCGGAGCAAGCCAAGATCCGCCTCCCGCCGAGTCTGCTCGCGTTGAAGCCAGAGGCCGCGCCGGACGCGTGGCCCACGGCGCGGCGACGGCTCCGGCTTTCCTTCGCGGTGCCGGCGGCTTTAGGTCTGGTCGACGTCGCGGAGGGACGCCAGGGCCTGCTGGAGGCCGGGTCGACGGCGGACCGGCTCAGGCAGGTCGAGCGCGCGCTGACGCGGCGGGCCGCCCACCTCCGGGGCATCCTGTCCCAGAAGCTCCAGAAGCGGCGGGAGAACTGAGTGTTAAATTACATGTGTATTAGTAAAACAGACATTAATAGGGTTCGGCATCACCACCCTCGGGGTAGAAGACGCGCTCGACGCCGAAGAGCGCCGTCCCGTGCAGGTAGATCCCGAGGAGCATCGCTTGCGCGACCATGGACGTGTCCGTCGCCAGTGTGCACAGGCACGACCCCACAAAGCCCAGATAGTAGTGGTGGAAGTGCGCCGACGCCGCGCCCGGCGCGAGGACTAAGGCCGCGTGCGCCGCGATAATAACGAGGAACACGCCCGCACAGTCGGCGAGGCTCGGCGCGGTCGGATCGACGCTCGCGATGGACGCGATTCGGAAGATTGTGTGCGCCACGAGGCAGCCGACGAGCGACGCGGCGAAGACGGCCACCGCGACGGCGTACACATTCCCGACGCAATTCGCCGTAAATTCGACGTTGCCCGCTCGCAGCAGCTCGAACAGGACGCAGTAGCCTATTGTAAATGCGACGACGTACGCCGCGAAGGCGAGAGGCGCCTCGTCGAGGCGGCCTCCTATAACACCGCTGGAGTAGGCCAGCCCGCACAGTAGGGATTGCCTCAGGAGATCTTCCTTGTGGCGCGCCATGGTTTTCTCGTTGTGCTTCCATCTCCTTCTACGTGCGAGGACGTACTGGATCGCGTAGAGCGCCGCGCACAAGAGCAGCCAAAACGCGAGGCCTTTCGCGCTGCAGTCGCGTCGCACGTATCGCGGGCTTTCATCGGTGCCGACGACGATGCCTTCGCGCAGCAATGCTGCGACGAGTGGTGCTACGAACAAAGCTAAGGTGAGCAGGAAGGCGCCGTGCGGCACGCCTTCGGCCGCTGCGGCTGCTGCAGGCGTGACGAGGGCCTCGATGTCGTCTTGTGAATTAGGCATCGCTTTTTTTGCGGTGTTTGCGTGCAGAACTGCTGGCGCTTATGTCGTAGAGGAGTCCTATGTCCAAATCGGCTCGTGTGCAGTACTGCTGTGGGGCTGTGTGCAGTGTTGTGGCTATGGGGCGTGCTAGGCGTGCGGGCGGTTATGTGCAGCGCGAAGTGACAGCACGGGGGCGACGAATTTGGCCTGACACGCTCAGGCTCGTGCGCCGCGAGCAATGCGGCCTCGGCTTGCCCCAATAGCTAGCGGCATGTAACATACTAGCAACAAGCAAGAATTTTACACAGCCAGCCGTACGTGCGTTTTGCACCATTTAAGCCACAAAATTCACGTTTAATTCCTGCCGCCAGTGCTCGGTTTCGTTCGCAGCTTCGCTCGCGAGCAAGACAAGTCAAAGGGTAGAGCCCCTACCCAGCACAGAGTGCAGCCTCTGCAAAGAGCATCGCAATGGAGTTCAGCGGCAAGGGAGGCCTAATCCGCGAGTGGCGGCGCCGGGACTCCTTCGAGGAGACGGATTCCAGTGATGGTGATGTGGATCCTCTTGAACAAACCACAAATCCGCGCGACCTCGCCGCGGCCGTCGCCGCGTCGCGCGTCCACAACCTGCGGCAAACGACGAACCCCGCGGAGCTGAAAAAGGCCATCGCTTTGTCTCGTGTGTCCTCGGAAGAATCCGAGAAAAAACGGAAAGAGTCGTCGGAGAACATGGCCGAGGCGATCGCCGAGAGTAGAGCATATGAACAATCACGGGAGGACGAGGCCCGCCGCCGGCGCTTCGCCGCCGAGGACGCGGCCTTGGCGGCGGCGCGGGAGTTCTCGGCTCTGAACGCGCGGACGCGCGAGACCATCGCGGCGATTTTGGACGGCGACCGCGACTGCGCCACCGCGCTGCGCCGCGCGACCGAGGCCTACGCGGCCGAAAGCACGTTAATCAGATCGAAGCAGCGCTTGGCGCCGCCACCGACCTTATGCCGCCGGTGCCGCGCCTACCACGCGTCGACCGCGGGGTTGTGCTCGAGCTGCGCCGCCGTGCCCGTCGAGGCGCGCTTTATTGATGAAGACGACGCGCGCGACCTGTGCGTGCCGAACCTCGTCAAGCAATTTAGGAGGATGGGCCGGAACCGCCGCCGCAAGCGCCTGCCGGCCCCTCCGTCGCTCGGCGACCAGCGGAGTGGGAGGGAGCTGCTGGCCGCGCGCCTCGCGAGGCACGGCCGGGCGATCGTGAACGTGAGCGGCGACGGCGCGTGCCAGTTCCGGGCCGTGTCCGTGGGCCTGTGGGACTCTGAGCGGCACCACGCTTTAGTAAGACGGAAAGCGTTGGAGGTGCTGCGGGCGAACCCCCCTCCAGTTCATGACTGCCAGGTCTACGTGTCGCAGGGCCTCCAGATCGGCACGGTGGCCGTGGGCGACGACTTCGACCAGTATATAAATGCCCTGGCCGACGACCGCTCCTGGGGCGACCACAACACGCTCCAGGCGTGCAGCGACGCGTTCCGCGCGCGCGTGCTGCTCGTGACGACGCACGCCGAGAACTACGAGCTCGTCGTCGAGCCGCGCGGCGCGGAGGCGGTCTGCGAGATCTGGATCGGTTTTCATTCGGAGATGCACTACGTCGCGGCGGCGGCGTTGTAGTTGTGTGCGACGCGTCGACTGGCGTCGTGTGGCTACCAAAGTTCCTTCCTCGCCTCTAGCCTTTTTCCGGGACTGAGTGAATCCGTTGTGTAAGAATTGTCATACCAATGATACCATACCATATACCATAACTTTACCATACATGTATTTAGTGCGCGTGCCTGATTGCGCGTAGGGTTTGGTGAACTTGAGGACGACCGAGCGTAATCGTCGCGCGAAAATCCCGTCTTCCAGGCCTGCAAAAGCCGCCTGAGCTCAAAACATTTAAAATGCTCCAAAATCTCACCAAACCGCAGGAGGGTGAGACGGCCGCCGAATCAGTCCAGATCGCGCTCGCCGCGTCGGCGCCGGACGGGAATAACACCCTGATAAGCCCACTCCACACGCCGGAGGGATCGCGGCACGGATCGGACGAGCCCGCGGCCGCCGGCGCGGCGGCCATGCCGGCGCCCGCCGCCGTGGAGCCGGAAGCGCCGCGGCTCATGTTCAAAGGCCCGCGGTGGAAAAGGACCGCTGTGGCCGTCCATTGTCTGCTCTTTTTGAGCGGCTGCGTGATAGCTGCCGCGATGATGTGGAGCGTCGAGAAACCGCATGAAAGAAAGCACCGGCGACGGGCGAAGCGCCGCGAGAAGCAGATCAACAGCGACCTCGACGCCATCATCGCGAGCTTCGAGGCGAGGAACGACACGCAAATGGCCGAGCTCACGCGAGAGCTGAAGACGCGCGTGGACGACAACTGCGACCTCGCCGTGCCGTCGCAGTACTACTGGTCCGCGGCAGGATCGCTCTATTTCGTGGCGACCGTCGTGACGACGATCGGATACGGCTCGTTCGCCCCGCAGACGACAGCCGGCAAGGCGCTGACGTGCTACATCGCCATCGTCGGGATTGCCTGGTTCGCGTTTATGCCTGTGCGAAATCAACATTTACTGCGGCGTATATGAACGATCGCCTCGATCTCCACGCCAGGTTTATCCTATCGATCCTCGGCGACCACCTCCTCGCGCTCGTGGCGTGGATCGACCGCAAGGTCCGCTGCGACAAGATTGGAAGCGAGACGACGAACTGGCACATATTCGTCCAGGCGTTGATTTGGAATGCAGGGTATATCCTCTTCGTCACCGTGGTAACGTCGTGGTGGCTCGGAATTACCTTCGGCAACGCGGCGTACTTCGCCGTCATCACGTTCACGACGGTGGGCCTGGGGGATTTCGCACCACCGTTTCTCCACCACGATACGACGTATGCGGATGTCGTGGGCCAATACCTCTTATTCGCCGCGTCGTCGTTGTTGGGCCTCGTGTTGCTGGCGTTACTGCTCAAGGCGCTCGACGAGCTCCTCCAGAAGCGCCTCTCGAAGGGCATCGACCGCGTCGCGGCGGGCGTCCTGGCCATGCGGCGGCGCTACTCGTCCGACGGCTCGCGGGGCCGGCGGCGCGGGCGGCGGGCGAGTGGTGGGTCACGCGACGACTCGCGTGCATCTTCGACGTCGGCGTAACAGCTCGCCCTCGATAGACTTTGCTTGCTAGTGTCTTTCAAGCCGCTAACGATTACAAAAAGCGCGGCGCGACTCGCAGCGTTTAGGACCCACAGCGGTGCATCTACGTGCGCGCGCATCGTCCAGACACGTCTCTGCAAGGTCCGCATCAGATCGCTGCGTGCCTGCTCTCCTCGCTGGCGCGTCGCCGACGAAGCTGTCTGTGACCCTCGCTGCCTTCCACGCGCGCGCGGCCGCACCGCATCAATTCCAAGACCGGGATCCACGCGCGGCAGCGCCAAACAGCTCGCAGAGACAAAAAAAGAGACCAATGGCCACGGATAATAAATACGACCGCCAATTACGACTGTGGGGCGCGCAGGGCCAAAAAGCCCTGAGCGAGGCCCACGTCTTATTGCTAGGAGCGGGTCCCGCCGGCACGGAGACGCTCAAGAACTTGGTCTTGCCGGGCGTCGGCCGGTTCACGGTCGTCGACGGCGAAAAGGTCGAAGAGCGCGACACGGGCAACAATTTCTTTGTGAGGAAGAGCGACGTCGGACGGCCGCGCGCGGCGGCGACGGCGGAACTACTTGCTGAGTTAAATCCGGATGTGAGGGGCGCCCATCGCGTCGCGCGCGTTTCTGACCTCGTGAGCAAGGAGCCCCAGTTCATCCGGCAGCATTCTTTAGTTGTGGCGGCTCAAGTGGATCCTCAAACCCTACAACAGCTCGGCGAGCTGTGCTGGGCGGCGAATCTACCTTTAGTTGTTTGCAGGACCTACGGGTTGTTGGGAAGTGTTAGACTGCAGATTCGCAGTCTAGACATTGTAGAAAGCAAATCAGAAAACAAGCTCTGGGACTTGAGGCTGAGGGAGCCGTTTCCCGAATTAGATAGAATGACGGATGCGTTAGACTTAGATAGTTTAGACGACCACGCGCACGCGCACGTGCCCTGGGTCCTTTTACTGGCAAAAGCGGCGAAGAACTGGCGCGCGCAGCACAACGGCGCGTCGCCTTCCACCAGAGACGAGAAGGAGGAGTTCCGCAAGTTGATCGCGGCCGGTGCGAGGCAACTAGCGTCGAACGTCCCAGAGTTAAACTTCGAAGAAGCGGCACGAGAAGCCCACCGGGCCTGGGCCGACCCTAGGGAATTACCCTATGAAGCGCAGCAGGCCTTCGACCACGCTCGCGATGTGGCCAAGAAAGCGCGGCGCGGCTCGGACGCGTCCGCGTCGGGCGACGCGCCGCCTTCCGTGGAACAGCTCTGTTTGCGGGCCGTCGACGCTTTTCGCACAGAAAATAATGGTTTACCGCCTTTAAGTGGTCCTATTCCCGACATGCACGCCGACACGAATTCGTTCGTGGCTCTCCAGCGATTGTACCGGGACAAGGCTTTGAGTGATTTAACAGCGGTCCAGGTGCACTTCTCCACATTAATCAAGGATGCGTTTAGTAGGGCACCGTCCCAGGAGGACCTCCAACTACTATCATTAGTTTGCAAGCACGTCGGCGACGTGCGCCACGTGTCCACCAAATCCCTAGCTGATGAATTAGTAGCACCAAACCTCGCAGAAGTAGCTTTCGAGGGCCTCATGGAGATCGACGAGCCCAAGCTCAAGCCCCAGGCGCCGGTCTGCTGGTACGCTGGGTTGCGAGCCGTTGATCGCTTCTACGTCAAACAAGGTAGGTATCCGGGCCTGGACGAGAGTTCCTTGGCCGCGGACGCGTCATTACTCGCGGACGAGCTTAGAGCGTTTGTGCAGGAGGCCGGCGCGGCCGAGGCCATGAACGAAGCGCTCGCAGACGCGCACGCCCAAGAACTGTCGCGCTTCGGCGCTGCTGAATTGCACGCCGTCGCGTCGGTCGTGGGCGGCGTCGCGTCCCAAGAAGCCGTCAAGGTCATCGCGCGGCAGTACGAGCCCGTGGACCACACCTACGTCTTCAACGGGATTGCCGGGGTGGGAGGCGTCGTCGCGGTCTGAGAAGTGTCTAATTATGAACTATTATTTCGGCGGGACCGCCGGGGTCTAGTTGGTGCCGGGGCTGCCTCGCGGCGCGCGCGGCGCTGGGAGCGCGTCGGTGGCGGCGGCGGCGGCGGTGCGCGGCGCTGTGACGACCGGTCGCGCCGGCGCGGCGGCGGCGGCGGCGGCTGCTGCTGCTGCTGCTGCTGCCGCTGGGCCGCTCGCCGCCTTGGCCGCCGCTCCGGCGACGGGGACGGCGACTGCGCCGGTCCCGACTGCGCGGCCCGCCGGCCAAGAAGCTGATCCTCTTCCCACATGATGACCTCCACATCGTCCCAAGGGCGCCCGCGCAGCTCGGGGGGCAATTCATCTTGCCGCGCGGCGTGCGCTTGCTCCATGGCCCGCACGCTGCGCCGTTGCGCGCTCTCGTACTGCCGCTGAAGGTCATCGCGCAGCTCGCTGGGCATATCCATGATCACGCCGTTCCCCAGGGACGCGACGTTCCGGCGCCGCGACGGTGGCGGCTGCCGCTGGGCCGCCCGCCGCCGCGTCGGCCGCCGCTCTGGAGACGGCGACGGCGAAGGCGACGGCGACGGCGGCGTCAAGCCTCCCATGCGGGCCGCCGGCATCACGCCGCGGCGCTGTCGCCGCCGGGGCGGGGGCGACGGAGACGACGAAGGCGACGGCTGGGGCGTATCGTCACCCATACGGGCCGCCGGCATGATGCCGCGGTGTCGCCGCCGGGGCGGGGGCGGGGCCTCCGGCGAGGGAGACGGAGACGGCGAGGGCGGTCTCGTCCGGCGGCGCCGCGCGGGCGGCTCGGGCGACCCGTCGCGCGGCGCGTCGCGCCGCCGGCGCCGCGGCCCGCGTTCGCCCATCAACCGGCGAACCTCGCCCTCGATGTCCGGCCCCATCTCCTGCGCCGCGGCGACGACGTAGGCCTCGATGGCGTCGTTGGCGGCGAAGACGTCGTAGCCGTGGCCCATCCTCCCCGCGTCGGCGTCGGCGGGCGACGCCACGAAGGCGCGGCGCACGTCGGCGTAGCAGGTCCCGCGGCCCTCCTGGAGGGCCTGCGCAGCTCTTACTAGTGCCGCCGCGACAGGGCCCGGGGCTTCTGTGGGGTCCGGCCGGTTCACTAACGTTCTTAGCTCCTCGATGTGCACCTCGACCTGCAGCACTTGCGCCAATATGCGCTGGAGCCGCACGTCCGGGGTTATGTCCGAATCGTACGTGTCGAGCTCCGACCGCTGCGCCGCCAAAAGCTGTCCGTCCAGATCCAACATATAGGACGCCCTTTCTTCCAGACGCTGCGCGAGCCTCCGCTTGGCCTGCATGATGCGCGCCGGGACGGGCAGCGACGGGTCGTCTTCATCATCGTCGTCCGACGAGTCGTCGTCCGAGTCCACCCCATCTTCTTCGTCCCTGACGTCGATGCCCACGTCGATCCGCGCGTTGTTGCACCTTGCACAGAACTGCTCGCCGAGCTCGTTCACGTAGTCGCACTGGGCGCACTCCCAGGCCACGACCTCGCCCGTGCCGCCTTCTTCGTAGCTGAAGCGTCTTTCTCTTCTCTGTGGCGGCAGCGCCGGCGCGGGATCCGCCGCCTCGTCCACCAACCGGGCACCCAGTCTTCCAAAGCAGTCCTCGCAGACGGCGTGGCCGCAGGGCAGGGCCACGACGGGCTCGCACGTCTCGAGGCAGCAGGGGCAGTGCGCCTTGGCGAAGACCTTGTTGCCGCACGCTTGCTCGTGCGGCCGCTTGCGGCAGGTGGGGCAGGCGAGGGGGCCCTCCATGACGGCGGCGCTTTGAATTTGAGTTCGTGTGCTCTCTTGATGGCCTGAAATAAGGCCGCTCGTGTCCAGCAGCGACGGCGCTTGGGCGGCTGGCTGCGATTGCTGTGTGGGTCTCTGCGATGCGTTTGTTGAGTCTACAAAGGCTCCGGCGCTGTTGTTTTGCGCGACTCACAGGTCGCACGTCGACTGTGAGTTTAGTCTGTCTCCGCGCAGGAAAGGTCGAAGGAACAGGTCCGTCGTGGTTGGATCGGCCGCTTGGCGACGGATAAGCCTCGTTTTTGAAACGTACTCTAGAGTTTGAGGCTCTAGAGTTCGAGGCTGTCGATGATTGTGACGTTTGATGCGGCGGATAGACGCTCCGCGCTTCGTAAGTGGACCGATCGCACGCTATCCGATACTGCGGGATCCATCGTACGACGAGTAGCTGCTCCACACCTCGAACAGAGGCACAAAACTGCAGCTACCTGCCTCAAACAGGAGGTGCAACGCCGCAGCAACGCAAAAGCCATTACAAAATGGGCAAAGGGGGCCAACAACCACCCCGCATCCATGGCGCAACGTCAAAGGACGAGCAGCGCGCCGCAATACAAGCCTTCGCCGCCATGGACGTGGACGGCGACGGCGAGCTGACCGCCGAGGAAATCTATAAAGCTCTATCGAAGCACGACGCAGCCATCACCATGGCTAGAGTAAGAGAACTGGTGGCCAGGGCCGACGTCGACAAAAACGGCACCGTGTCGCGCGACGAGTACCTGAACGCCGTCGCCTCGGGCGAGAACTGGACCAAATCCCTCAGAGATTTTATCGGCCACGACGCCGAGCACCAGGCCGCGCATCGCGTCGCGGAGAAGGCCGGCTTCGCCATCACGGAGCAGGGTTTGCACGTCGGCGAGGCCTTGGCCACGCGCTTTACTGAAGACGTCGCCGCCGCCGCGCCTCGAAAGGCGGGGTTCTTCCGCCGCGGCGCGCCGCCGCCGCCGCCGCCGCCATCCAAGCTGGCGCGCTTTGTAAAGCGCATGCCTGTGGTCTTCTGGGCGCTGCGTGTCGTCGTGCCGGCGTTTGGGGTGTGGTTGCTCGCGCACCTGGCGCACCACGATTTGGATAGAGCTAAACGGGAATGGCGGACTAAAAGATTACGGTCGACGACGCTGCTCTTCTGCGTCGCGGCGCTCTGCGACGCCTGCGACTGCCTCGTGCACGCGTTCGTGGCCGTCGCCCACGCGTCGGACGCGTTCGACCACCACGCGGTCCACGTCGCCGAGGAGCGGGGAATTAGGCTGGCGCTTTTGGGCTTCGCGTGCGCGGTCGTCGGGGAGATCGCGTCGAACAACCGCGTCGGGCGCGCGCTCTCTGCGTTGACGCACCACCGGAAGCAGGACTAGGAATAAATAAATTACAAATCGACTCGGACGGAGGAGGACACGACACTTCGAGCTAGACGACCTTGACGCCCCGCGCCGCGGCGAACTTCACAAGCGAGGCCTTGTGGTGGCCCTGGCAGATGATCACGTGGTGCGGCATACCGTACTGGATGACCCAGTCCTCGAAGCACGCGAAGAGGTCTCGGCCGCCGCGGTCCGAGAGATCCAGCTGCACAAGACCATTATTTCCTGACAGCGGACGTTTCGCGGGCTTGGACCGGCCGTTGCAGATCATGGCGTGATACGCGCCGTCGCAGACCCAAAACCGGCAGACTGTTACATCCATACCTGTGAAATCATATTTTACGGCGCGCTCGTGCTGAATCGTCGCGTCGTCCTCCACGCCATCGACGCGACGCCTGCTCGATGGCGTGGCGCACCCGACGCACTGGTTGATTTCCACACAGGTCCATGCCCGGTTTCAGCGTTGCGTCGACGACGGCGGGCTTCTTGTTATTGAAATGAGGGCGAATACGGGGGCCTCCGCCGTCCCCGGGGTCGCTCGTGAGGCACGTGGGGCACATGCCTCCGTGCCAGCATACAAAACTCGTTTGGTCGTGCTCGAGCCAGTCCGAGATGTAGGGCGCGCCGCAGCCTAGGAACTTGCAGCAGAGCATCGTCAGAGCACCATCAACATCTCCTTCGCATGCAACGGGCAGGCCCTCGTCGGCGAGGCGCGTCACGGCCAAATAAGGCCACTGGCCGTAGTCGCGCGGCAGCTCGGGCCAGCAACGGATCGCGATCGCATCCAAGTTCTCCGCCTCAACGAGGCGCTTGAGCGCGATGTAGAGACGCGATGATCGTTCGTCGTCCACTCGGTCTGCGAAGGCCCCGGGCACATTAACTTTGCGGTCCGCGTCGACCTGTGTGGAAATCAACCAGTGAGTCGGGTGCGCATCGATGGCGTGGAGGACGCGCCGCGACAATTTGATTTATGCACTGGCGTCAACGCTAGCCTGGTCGATGCCGTCCGCCGCCTGTACAAGATCCGCGAGCCCGACGTGTTCGAGAACACAGCCCTGGAAGGTCTTGTGCAAAGCGAAGGGATCTGGATGTAGATCGACAAAACCCGGCGCCTGATGACCAATGAGCCCGATCTTGGCCGTCTTTATCCTAGCGGTGCCCGCCGCTCGAGCTATAGCGCGACTCAATTGCGAAGCGGCCGCGGTCCAGTCTTGATCTTGATATACAAGCTCGACGTCCCGCCTTCCGAGCTGCCGCAACGTCGCCGCAAACAAGTGCGTGCCCACGAGCGAATTGGACGAGACGCCGCCGACGGGTGAGCCGCGCACGTCGGGGTTCTCGGGCGTCGCCCACAATACCTGTGCACAAATCAATCAGTCAGTCAGGTGCAGTGGATCGAGCTGGCGTCGCGGCGATGGCGTGGAGGTCAAGATTTATGCACTGCACAGCACAACAGGCACGGCGCAGGCCTGCGCGAGCACCGCCGCCAGCCTTCCGTCGGAGATCGTGGGCTGCGTGGCGACGACGACGTCCACGTCCACGTGGGCCTTCTGCAGCGCTCGCCTCAGGCTTCGGTCGTCGGCCACGCGCTCGTGGTCGCCGTTGAGCGGCTTGAGGGCGTAGCCGTTGTTGCCGCAGATCGTCACCAAAGCTTCCCAGCACTTGCCGCGCGTCTTTTTGCCCCAGGCGACGTCGAAGCCATCACGTTTCCGTTCCAGGACCAAGAGACCGACGCGGTATTGGGGCTTCTGGGTCCAGCGGTCGCCCGCAGACGCCATAGGTGCTCTCAGAGTCTACGGAGCAGAATTTGATGCCGTTTTCCCTCGCAGGGCTGGGGCAAGGTCACTGAGTAGCAGAAACTGATGGTCTGCAGACACGTGCAGCGTCGTATGGCGAGTACAGCGCGATTCTGGTGCAGCACCCAAAATTTCTAGTGCGTTTATGTACGCTAGGCTGTCTCAGCTTTGCCCAGCACGTAAGTGGCCGATTTGCGAGCAAAACGCGCAATAAAACACGTTGCCGCATCGGTGTGAACTACTGGCGTCGAGCGCTGCGTTATTGGCGCAGCCGTAAGGCCCCCCGCACTCATACACAAAAAGCTGCGATTTGAGGCCCACGTCCGCGCGCGGGATACTCTAGCTCGACAGCGTCAAAAACATGAGGCTACCAACACAGCTGCTCCTGCTAGCGGCCACAACAACCGCGGCCCCCTACGCCGACCTAACGTACGACGCGATGCGATCCGAAATAATCGCTCTAGCCAGGGAGCAGCCGCGCTTCGTGCGGCTCTTTACGGGGCGCGAGGCCTACGGCGACCTCGCGAACGTCGTCGGCGGCCGCTGCTCGGCGAAGCACGCCTGCGAGCATTTCGTGCTGGTGCTGACGGAGTTCGCCTCGCTCCCGCCGCACCAGGCCGGCGCGGGCCGCGCCGCGGACGAGGGCCGGCGCGAGGATGCGGTCGAGCAGCGCCGGCCGACGAACACGTCCTCGAGGGCCGAGGTCTTCCTGAGCGGCGCTTTGCATGGCGACGAGCGCGTCGGGCCGCTCGCGACGCTCGCCACTATTAAGTTAATAGCGCGCGCGAGCGCGTGCCACGCCGACAAGCACAGCGCCGAAAATTGCCCCCACCTGACGCCGGGCGAGCGGGCGAGCTTCGGCCAAGGTACATTGGCAGCCAAACGGCTGGCCTGGCTCTCTCATTTATCCAGGACAAGGATCGTCTACGCGCTGCCGGCCACGAACCCCTGGGGCTTTGCCAATCACAAGAGAACGGAGGTTAGAATAGATACGAACCGCGACTTCGCCATCGACACGGCGCCATCCGCTTGTGCTCAGTCTGCTACGGGCCGTGTGGTCAACGAACTCTTCAGAAGACATATATTTCAAGTCGGCATCACGTTCCACGGCGGCATGGAGGCCATCGCGTACGAGTGGGGCGCGCCGACGTACAACCAAGCTCGGAGGTTCCATTCGCATGGGAGGCGGTTGCGCATGGCGCCTCCTAGAGATCTAGCACCGGACGACGCGTCGCAAGTCGCTATCAGTGGAGCGATGGCCCTGGTGGCGGGCGAGGGCTTAGGCATACGAGCCTACCGAAAATCGAGGATGAACTCGATCGTGTACCCGGTCCACGGCGGCATGGAGGACTGGGCGTATGCCGCGTCGTGGGACCCAGCTTTATCGGTAAAAGGCGGCTGCAGCGTCAAGGGCTATGGTCGAGAGCGGACGGCGTCCTATGACGACGCGTCGAACCGCTGTTCGATGTTATTGGTCGAGACGTCTAATGCTAAAGCGGGGCCTCCTTCTCTCTTTGGTTCTGAGGATAAGCTGTTCGACATGGGGCCCGGGCACGTGACGCGGAACGTGCGATTGGCGCTCGTCGCGGTCGACGTCGTGGAGCCCTACGCGGCGTGGCGGGATTCTACGGAAGAAGGCTGCATTCATAGGGCGTCATCGACAGATCTCAAGTTCAGCGTCGGCGGCGCGGCGCGCGTCGAGTCCAGTACCATATATTGGGGCTGCTACGACGCCTACGCCAAGTCGGTGTGCGGCTCTGTCGAAAAGCTGCTGGTGCGCGCCCATAAAACGACCAATGACGAGACGGCGTCGCCGGCGCGCTGGGGCCACGCCGACGCCGCCGACGCGCTCGGGCCGGACGAGCGGTCCGTCCGGAGCGTTTCATTCGACGCCGTGGAGGCTCGTCAAAAGTGCGGCGGCGATGACGTCTGGGTCGTGGCGGGCGTGCGCGTCGACGGCGCCTGGGGCCGGGCGCCCCCGGGCGCGCGGCCGGCGGGCTTCCCGCCCCAGACGCACCTCGCGCGCGCGCGCACGGACGCCGGCTGGCGCAAGCTGGGCGCAAACGGAAGGGCTGTTGTGGGACGTACGGAGTGGTTCACGGACGTGCTCGTCGTGTCGCCGCGCCAGCGCCGCCGCCGCGCCGGCCGCCGGCCGCGGCTGTTCTTCGGATGAGGGGCTATATGTGCTAAGATTGTTACGAACACAAAGAACTATTAACTGGGCCGCGCGGGCGGCTCGCGGTCGTAGCCGTAGCGCCGCGCCAGCGCCCAGACGCGCGCGGACAGATCCGCATCCAACTCATCAAGCCGCGCCCACGTGACGCGCATCGTGTCGCCGCCGTGCTTGCCCTTCTCGAAGGTCGCCGCGGCCTGGCGCGCGGCCGCGACGCCCGCGCGGCACTGCTCGATTGAGGCCCCGGCCGCGACGCACAACTTTTCGTAGTCGGCCTTCTCGATCTGAAACCGAAAGTCGGCGACGCGCTCGATCATGGCGTTCCAGGCGAGCCAGTAGAGGCCGAAGCCCTTTAGTATAGAATCGATGGAATGTTGCGGCCAGGCCCGGCCGCCCTGGGGTCGCGCACGGTGCGTCGCGCGGTTGCCTAAGATCGCGAGGCGCGTCGCTCTCGTCAGATCCACCAACGAACGGTTCGGCGCCGCCTGCGCCATGGGCGGCACCGTGAACTCGTCCACATGTAACCAGCACTCGACGCACTGGCCGAAGGCTACTGACGAAGAGAGCACTTTGAGCGGGTGCCGCACGACGTGCGCCACGACCCGATACGTGCAGGGCGCCCGTCCTTGATGACGGGCCCACGCGACCATCGGCGGTCTCAGTTGTTGTTTGGGCACGCCCCATTTCCCATACATATTTTGGTGGTCCAGTAACGCGGGGCCGTAGCGCGCCGCCCAGGACACGAGCACCTTGCTTGTTGGTGACGGGTCCTCGTGAGCTACTTTGCCGAGCTTTCGCGTGGCCGCCAGGAACGACGCCACGAAGTGCGTGCCCGAGCCGCCGCAGCCCGTCACGAAGAGGGGCCTGATGCAGCGTTGTTGCTGCAGGCGGCGGCGCGCAGTGGAGAGCGGCGCGTACGGCGCGGGTCTGTCTGTAACCCCGGCGCAGTTCTGATCATGCTTCAGCAGGAAGCGCTTGAATGCGCAGGTCCCTCCAATTTCGTCGAGCGCGCGCCGCTGGTAGGCGAGGTAGCGGCCGATGGGCGTCTCCTCTTGTGCCGCGGCCGTAGCGAGCAGAAACACCAGCATCGGTGGGCAGCCTCGAGGTCTTGCAGTTATATGACGCATGCGCGGCCGGGGCAGCAATAGGGCCGCGTCGACGGCACACAGGCGCTGGGCAGCCCCATGCTAGTGTCTTACAAGCCGCTAGGTAGTTTGCACCGTAATTCTATCGGAAATTCACAAAAGATACTTATTCCTAGCTAGTTCGTCTTCTCCTCCTCCGCGGCCTCCTTCGCGGAGCCGTCGCGCAGTGTCAGCGCGAGCGCCACGTCGACGACGGCGCAGACGACAGCGACTGTTTTGACCCCACCGGCCGCGAGCAAAGACGTACCCATGATAGGACCTACGACGCGCGCGCCGGCAAACAAAGCGTGCTCAAGGCCCAATAATGCCCCCTGTTCGTCGGCTGCGACCAGCCCAGTCGTCTGCGTCGTGAGCGAAGTCGCCAGGACGTGAGCCGCGAGCGCATGTAACACCGACGCGTGGCACACCTGCGTGGACATCGATGTCATCTTGATGACGCGGGGTGGGTCTGACACGGCCAACACACGTACGTCGTCCTATGCGCCAAGGCCTGCTCGGTACCGTATGCATCCGCTGCATACCCGACGAGGACCGAGAATAGAAGCACGAGTCCCGCGCGCGCCGCGAGGCCGTAGCGGGCTAACCGACGAGGCCCGAAAAAACCGACCAAAGGCGCCATCCCGAACGCGCCCAGTATCGCGACCGCGATCGACGAGGCGCTCATGAAAAATCCGAGCGTCTGGGCGTTGAGGCCGAGGTCCGTGGTCAGCACGAGCGGGTAGGTCGTGCCATACATCGACGACGCGACGGAGCCCAGCACCTTCACCAGGAGCAGTCCTCGCACGTTCGGCCGCCGCGCGATCTCGAAGGAGCGCCAGATGCCGGTGCTCGTCTTATCGCTGTCTTTCCGCACCCACGTACCCTTTGGCAATCCAAGTGATAGCAGGGTAGAGAGCAGCGAGACGCCGACCGCTAGCCTCGCGCCTCGATAGAGGTCTCCGGTCGTTCCCAGATAACCGCCCACGGTTGGCCCCACCGTAGCTCCGATCGTATACGCGGTGGTCAGGCGGCCGAGCGCCGCGGCTCGGACGGTGGGCGGCGCCGTGGCAGTCGCGGCGGCGACGCCAGCTTGCGCGACCAGGAACCCAGCTTGCAGCGTCGCCGCGAGCTTCGACAAAAACAGATGCGACAGCGTCGTCGAGGAGGCCAGGATCGCGTAGGACGACGCCGACGCCAGAAAGACGATCACGCTGCAGTAGCGCGCGCCGATTTTGTCCAGCAGCGCGCCCACGATGGGCGAGCCGATGGTCTGCGCGGCCTGGAAGAAGGACTGCAGGCGGCCGTACGTCTTCGCCACGGTCTTGGCGTCGGCGCCCTCGCTAAGACTTTTTATCAGGAACGGCTCGACCGGGCGCTGCAGTTGATAGGCGAACGCGTACATGACGACGTTGAGCAGCACGAGGCCGACGGTGGTGTCGGTGTCCGATGGCATCGTTGCGTCTATTTCGAGACGTGCGCGTCGACGTCCGAGGGCTGCAAAGCGTGCCTCAGTGGTATCACTCTATGCTCGGCTTCTGGCGCGAGGCGTGACTTGTGGTTCCAGGTGGTGTTGTGGCCGTGATCTGTGAGTGTAATGGTGCTCGTACACGATCAATAGCCCTGCAGGTACCGAGCTACGCCTCACTGAGTCTACGCTGCTGCTTGCATGCTAGTGTGTCTTACAGATGCTAGCTCGAAGGCCTCTCCCAAAAGGATTCCTCGCTCCTGCGCTGCCTCCCGCTGCCCCCGCATGACAGACGAAGAAGGATTCAGTATCAAGTGCCACGCCACCCTCGATTCCAGCGGCACCAAGCTCGACAACGACGCGCCCCCACCTCCAGGTTTGATAGCCTGGCACGAGGCGCGCTCAAATCTTAGAGCGCCGGCCGACGCGCATACCTGGACGCTCGCCGACGTGAACCTTTATTTCCTCAGCGGCGGTAGCATCAGACCATGCGCGACAGCGTAGTACTAACGCTCGCGGCCGCGCCGCTCGTCGCCGCGACGTGGGCGCTGCGCCTCGCGTGCGAATCGGAGGAGGCGCGCGAATCGGAGGAGGGCGTCTGCCACGGCTACCTGGCCCACCCGACGCTGACGCTGCATACGTTAATCTTTCTCACCTACGTCCTCGGCTTCTGGGCCCACTCGCTCGTCGCGGGCTCGACGTGGCTCCTCGACGCGGCGCGGCCGCTCCTTCCTATCAGCATACAGCTCTACTACCTCTCGCACCCGCGGGCGGTCCATTCGGAACGCATGGTCATCGGCGCGGCACTAATAATCATGTGGGCGCTGCGCCTCTTCCGCGCGCACGGCCGGCGCTACGAGTGGGCGCTGAGCTCAAAAGAGGACTGGCGCCGGGCGGACCTGCGCGAGGCCTTCGGGAAATGGTGGCCCGCCGCGTCGCTGCCCGTGGCGTTCATCGCCGAGCAGGGCGCCGCGTGCGCGCGTTGTTTGCCGCTGCGGAGCCTCGCGGGCTTCGCGGGCGCCGGTGTGCCGTTCCTGCCGTCCTTCGAGGACGAGAGTGACGACGTCGCCGCGTTAAATGTGGATGCGCCGCTCGGCCTCGCCGACACGGGGGCGCTCGCGGTCGCCCTGGTCGGCCTCGCCCTCGCCTTCAAGGCCGACGAGGAATTGCTAACGTATATCCGCTCGGCGGACAAGAAAAAGCCGCCGGTCTACACCGAGGGCCTCTGGCGGCTGAGCCGCCACCCGAACCGCCTCGGGGAGCACCTCTGGTGGCTCGCGCTGGCTGGTGCCGCCTGCTGCGCGAATGGCGGCTTCTGCCCGACGGCGCTGGGGCCCCTCATTGTTTGCTTCGGCGACGCGTCCGTGGACATTCCGCTTTTAGATAGGCACGTGGCGATGCGTCGCGAGCGCATCAAGGCCTGGATGGCCTACGCCGAGCGGGTCCCGGCGCTCTGGCCGACGCCGGGGTCGGTCCTGCGGTTCTTCAAGCCGGCGGCGTCGGAGGCGAAGAAGGGGGAGTAAGGATCGAAAAATTGTTAGCTCAGACCAAGATGCTTTCGAGCCGTCCCTCCGAGCGGCGCCTCGCCCGCTTCGGCCTGCCGGAGCTGCTCCGACGCCGCCGCGTGGTCCGCCGACCACCAGCTCCCGTTCGCCAATGGTCCGCCCCGACGGCAAGGATGGAACGGGTCGTCGGCGTTCATCGGCCGCGCGCGAGGATGCCCTTCCCGCATCACCTCGATCATGCGGTCGCAGGGGAGATGTGCGCGGAAGAATTTTGATGCTTCTGCTGGATGGCCGAGCACGAGCTCTAAACCCAGGTGCTCGTGGTACGCTTCGAGCGTCGTTCTCAACCAATTAGCGAGGCACAGAGGACATAGTAATTGATCGTGTATCTCCCGTCCTGCCCTCCCGATGGCCTCCGCCGCCGCCGGATTTGCCTCGAGCGCGCGCACCGTTTCGGCGACGGAGTGGCGCGACACGTCGAGATAATTGGCGCCAGGCACGAGCGCTGGAGTGTACCATTCGACGTACGGGGCGACCCACCGCAATACGACACCGCCAGTTCGCCACCTATGTGTAAATCAACCAGTGAGGAGTTAGGGAAAAGCACAGCGGGCACTGTTCGCACAAGTGGTTGGCGTTTTTGGAATAGGAGCCAGTGAACGCACCAGGTAGCAGGAGCAAGTACTTCGAGCGCCGGAACGTGTCGAAGCGTGCATGTTCTCCGTGCACGTCCTCGCCCTCCGCGAGGCCGCTGTTATAGTCCTCCACGGAACCAACGCACTGCGGCGGCGGCACGCGACACTTCGTTTTTGTATCGCCGCCGTCAACGCAGGCGGCGTCGACGAGGTCCGGATGCTCCACCGCAGCGGCGAAGGCTTGCAGGCGGGCGTAGTTGCCAAATGCCGTAGAAGCGCAGGCCTCATCGGTATCCCACGTATCGTGGTGGAGCGACCCACGAAAAAACGCAACGGGGCGCCGCTCGCGGAACGGAACGGCGTCGTGCGACACCGCCTCGGTCTCCCGTGCCCACCGTATCAAAGAGCCGTGGGTATTATCGAAAAAAATGTTTGGAATGAGAACGCCGCACTGTTCGTAGCCTGACTGTTTGTTGATCGTGAGCGAGACGGGCCGGCCGTTGCAGCCGCTTGGTCCGCGGGTTCCCGTGTTTACGGCGTAGATAGCGTTCGGCAGACCAAGGAGCGCCGCGGACTCGCGGATCATCGTCACGTGGCGAGCATGGTCTGCGGCGTGATAAAACTCAGTCGGCACGTAAACTCTATTATTGTAGACCAAGACCCAATCGCCCGTCTCATTCAGGGCTCGCGCCAGTTCTCGCGCCGCGCCATCGGCGGTCGTGACCTGTCGTCGCTCCGCTCGGAGCGAGCGCCAGAGCTCCTCGAGTACCGGCTTCATCAGGTCGCGCCGCGGCGGCGGCGAGAGCTTGAGATTGCTCGGGGCGCGATGCGCCGCCGCCGCGCGGAACCCGCGCTCGAACATGAGTCGCGTGAAAGTCTTGGACTTCACGCTGTGGCAGGAGCAGTGGTCATTTGTGTGCGCGGCGCTTTGCGCGACCAGGACCCTGAGCAGGATGAGCCTTGGCAATGCCAGACGTAGCATCGTCTCCAATCAATCTGCGTCGGCTCCGTAAGTGTGTAATACCCCGCGTCTCTCGGCGTTTTTCCTCATTTGGGCCCCACGCGTTTGGGCCCTACGCGATGTACGTCGAGCAAACTGGCAGCTAGCGTCGTGTAAGACACTAGGAAGCGCAAGCTCATCGCGATTTTGCGCATGCGTACGCGTGCTATGAAGGCTTGTTGATAGTGCAATTGCTACCGCAGTTTTTGCTGCACTCCAGGAGCGCTGTGCGCGGCCCCAGCGGCGAAGCGCTGCGTCTACAAACGCGTTGCAGTGACGCTGCAAGGGTGCAGACTGTGCAGCAGCGTAGGGTTACGCGCTCGAGCCACTCGCGATCGCATACATATCGAAAAGAAGGTACGCGACCAGTGCAAAAACAAAAATGCAAGCAAAAACGCAAGAAGCAAAAAACCCACAAGCCAAGAGCGCGGCGGCCAACTCCAGCGGCCGTCGTGTTCCGTTACACAATCTGTGGAAGAGCACTCCTCCGGTATTCTAATGTGGCCGCGCGCAACACCCGGCGGTCTGTTTCGCAACCGGTGTACACACGCAGGTCCCATGCTTCGGCAGACGCTTGTTTTGTTATGCGTGGCGCAATGTGACGGTCTGTCCGCGCGGCCGATGCGCCTCGAGCGCGATGGCAACGCGTACAAGTTCGTCCCTGCGACGGGTATGTACAAGCTGGTCGAGGGAGACGGGCCGACGTGGTTCGACCCGGACGGTTCACAAGAAAATTTCCTCGAGGCCCGCGGCTGGGGCGTGATAAGTAGGCCGGGGGCCGACGCCAACGATGAGAGTGCCGAGGACTTCGTCGGCGACGGCGCTGCTTATGTTCCCGCGTTTACGACCGATGCCCAAGCGGGCGACGGGCCGCTGGTGATTTCGTCGCTAGGGTTTGACATAACGCCTCGGCCACCGGACGTCGCGGGCTTATCTGAAGCGTCGGCCGACGTGCTGCTGCGCGGCGAGACCGAGAAGCCCCATTCTGGTGTCACTGCCGACGGCGTCGCGTGGACCGAGGTACAGGACCTCGAGGGACCCATCTTGTTCTGCTGCGCCGCGTCGGGCCTGCCCGTTTTTGCTTCTGAAGATCTTGTGGCGTCGACGACGGGCTGGCCGTCCTTCGCGCGGCCGATCAGTGAGGAGCACGTCATCTACAGGCCAGATGGAGGCGAGCGCGAGGTGCTGTGCGCCGCGAGTCGCACTCATCTTGGTCATGCGATAGCGGAGGGCACGCGGACTCGCTACTGCATAAACGCGGCGGCGCTGACCGTCAACCGGATACCTCGGCCCGTGGCGTCCGCTGACGTGCCGCCGTCGCTTGCGCATGTCCTGGGACGGCGAGAACTTTTGACGGCTCGCTTCGCCATGGGCTGCTACTGGCACGTGCAAGACCTTTTCAGTAAGGTCCCCGGGGTCCTCTCGACGACGGCCGGTTTTGTGAACGGCGCCGAGGCCGTCGAGCTAAGGTACGATCCGCACGTTGTCTCGTTAGCTTGTCAGTGTTCGCTTCTCCCTCCATGCAGTTGCCGCGCACATTCGTCGCCGCGAACATCGCTGATCGCAGGTACGAGGAACTTGTCGAGTTGTTTTTTGCCTCCCACGACCCGTCAACTTTCCGCGCCGCTGGCGAAAAGGGGCCTGGAGGAAAATATCGCTGCGAGATCTACGCGCTCGACGGCCAACAACGCGCGACGGCCGAGACAGTGCGCGCGCGAGTTAATCAAGCGGCAGGCTGCGCCGTCGCGACGCCGGTACTCTCTGCTGACGCCCCATTCCAGCCCGCGCCCGAAGCGGAGCAGCACTACTACCTGCGACGGCGCGGAGATGCCTCGCCGGAGAAACTGCCCCTCGCTGTCCTCGCGGCGTTGCCGGTGAAGTTGGAGGACTAGTAGTTTGTACATTGTGTTTTGTTGTTTACACGCAACGTTGGGCTATAGATAGACAAGGGCGTGCGGGGAGGGAGGGAAGAAGGGTGGTTGCTCAGGCGGAGCCCTCCATGAGCGCGACGAGGTCGGCGACGGCCGCATCGAGGTACGGCTCCCCGACGAAGGATAGCATCTAGTACAGCGCGGGTTTTGACCGGTAATTTTTTCGAACCTAACTTGGGGCTCGTGGCGCCTGGCGCATTTTGGCGTCCTCTCTGACACAAGCCCACGGCCGCCGCACGATAACGGGACGCCCCGCCGCCGCGCCGCCGCCGCGCCGCCGCCGATTCCAGCCCTAAAAGCACCGACTAAAAAACGCCACAAAAATGAGCGCGACCGCGGCGCCGGCGCGCCAGGCCTCCGCCGCATCGACGCCCGAGGCCACGTCGACGTTATCGAAGCTCTCGGTGATCAGTGCTGCCGTGTGTGCGGCCGCCCGCACGAGCCTCTTCCTCTTTAACGTCATCAAATTGCTCGGGTACCACAAAGCCGCCTACGTGACGGTGGCGTGCGTGGCCCTCGTGCTGGTCGTCGCGTGGGGTGTCTACTCCCTGTTCGACGAGGACGGGGCTACCGCGATCAAGAAGGGGTCGTTCCTACTGGCCGAGTCCGAAGCGAAGTGGTTTCGCAAAACCGCGTTTTCGTGGGAGCATGTGAAGGTCAATCTTTTCATCCTCGACATGGCTTGGTTCGTCCTTGATGTCGCCATTGCTGTGATGATGGTGCTCGAATGGTCGTCGTACGGAGGCGCGACGCCGCGCACGGAAATCAAAATTTTGCGGAAATCAAATTTCACGGCGCCCGATTCACACGTAAAATTGTACGCACAGGTGCGGCGGTGCGGGACTTCCTCGAGGCGAGGAGCCAAATCTTCTACATCCTCGTGGCGGCCTTCTTCGTATGCAGCTTCGTCCTCGACTACTTCATGGATGGTCGTTGCGTGATCCCCAAGCTCTTGCTCGTCGACCTGCCCTACAAGGTGATCGAGGGCATCATCAAGGGGACGCAGCCGGACACCGAGCACGAGCAGGAAGTGTTCGAGGCTGGGGTGGGTGTTGGGGTGGGTGTCGGGGCGGCCACGACGGCCGTGACGGCCGCGAGGCTCATGTCTCAGTCGCGTTCGGCCAGGGCGGCGACGTCCGGCCTCAGCGTATCCGAGTCGCTCGCCTTATGGGATCATCTCGCGACGGTCATCCAGCAGTTCGCGCGCGGCGCCGCCGCGCGCCGGCTCGTGGCTGTCGCGCGCGCCGAGGCCAAGGCGTCCGCGCCGTCGTCCCCGGTGCGCGTGGAGCGGTCGGTCGCCGTCGTCTCGCCGACGCCGTCGATGGCGGTGTAGATGCCTCGCACGGTCTGCCCGTGCGCATCGCCTCCCCTCATCCCCTCATCCTCGGCGGTGCGCCCTTAAGTACGCGATTCTCCCTGTCCGGGAACGTGCTCGCGTCGAGGCCGTCGAGCATGCTAGTGTCTTACAGGCCGCTAGCGTGATCACGCGATTAAAACCGATCGCAGTTAGCCAGCGCGCTGGGCAGCCAGCGCTCTAAAAAAAGGGCCTACATCGATTCGATAACATACAACAAAGCAGCGCTGAGCATCAGTAGGGACCGCCGCGCCGAGCTAGAAGCTACACCATGAAGATACTACGCCTCCTGGCGCTGGCCGCGGTCGCCTCGACGGCTCGGGGAATGACCGACGACAACGACGAGCCGCAGCAGCGCCGACTCAACCAGCTCGGCGCGTCGTTCGGCGACACCGCCGACTTCATCTCGACATTTCGCCCGGGCGGCGGCTCGTCAGTGGAAGTTGGTACGTCTCAAGAGGACGACCCGCCGCGGCGCCGATTAGAGGTGGCCGGCGCGTCGTTCGGCGCGGCCGCCAACTACCTCTCGACATGGCGCCCGGGCGGTGGCACGTCCCCGAGGGTAGCACTTGGTACGTCCTCCCAACAAAACGAGGCGAGCGATGAACCAGCCGTCAAGAAGCTTTGCGTCCGCGCCGACGCCGAAGAAGTCGACGTCGAAGAGGAGGTCAACAACCGGCAGAAGCTGCGCATCAAGGCGACCGGGCGCATTGGCTATGTCGCGGAGTTCCAAGATACGGGCCATCTCCGCGTCGAACTCGACGGTCCGGAGCTTGAATTGATTACGACAAGAACAACGCTTGTCACGTTCCTCGACGCGGCGGGCAACGAGATGGACAAGGATGCCGTTCGCAAGCCGTATCCAGCGAAGTTCATCGGAAAAACCGGCGAGAAGAGGAAGTTGGTCAACAAAATTAAGGAAGCGGCGGGTGCGTACGACGAGGCGACTCCTCTCACCGAGTCAGACCTCAAGGCCAAGGTCGTCGCCTGGACCAAGTTCGACGTAACGAACGTGCTCGGCATCCCGGTCGAATTAGCGCCCGAGATGGACGTTTCTACGGAGGTCTTCGTCGCATCCGGCAAGGGTGGAGTTAGTGAACGTCGAAGGGTGCGCGAGTACCTGCTGGACCTCTACGCCCAACGGGTCCGGCATCATAAGGAAACGCTCAGGACGACGGATCACTTGGAGAAGGGCGTCGACGACCTGTACGACGCAGAGACGAACTCGTTTCGCTACACTTATATAGAGTGGCGCGACGGAAGTGGACGGTGGACGGTCTGGCGCGCCGTCTCCAAGAAAATCAAGGAGGTCGACGCGCTGCGCTGCCCTCACACCAACACTCTCTCGAGCGCCGACGTCGACCGCCCCGACTGCCCCACGGCGTTTTACCATGACCTAGAATTCAAGAATCAGCTCGAAGCGCGCTCTATCGAAGGGTTGGAGGGCGAGGAGACTCATCTAGCGCCTAAAACTTACGTCTATTTGACGGACGAGGAAGATTTCAATGGTGTTGGCGGTTATGTGTCTAAAATTAGCAGGAGGCTTTACTGGTTCTGGGAGTTTGCTGTAAGAGGTCGAGGTCGACAGACGAGCCCTGTATTCTACAATACAAAGGAGGAGGCGCGCGACGCGCGGACGGAGGCGATGTACGTCTTCGACTGGCCGCCGCTCGCCGACGGCTGGCTGGACGAGGACGAGTCTAAAAAGAAGTACATAGACTACGGGCCCTTCTGGGAGGTGATTCGAGACAACGACGACGTCATGCATCCGTGGGACGTTAGGTTCGGTAGCGACTACTCGGAGTACGACAACCCGGACTTCCGCTACCACTGCACGTCCGCGTACAACTGGGAACGCCACCACGACATCATCATGAGCTTTGGCCTGAACTTGCGGGCCCTCTGCGACGACCCCGAGAGCGACGTTCCGCACTCGAGGTGCGGCGAGCTGCTCTGGGCCTGCGCGACGATGCGGGACTGCTTCCGCCACTGTCGCAGCCCCATGACGGTCAACCGCCACGTGGTGAACGGGATTAACACGTACGACAAGTGGAACGAAATCGTGATCCTGGCTTTACCGAAAGAAGGCTGGCAGAAGAAGGCGATGCCCGCCTACCTGTTCTCGGGCGCTTACTCCGAGGGCCCGATCAAGCCGGTCGCGTGCCTACGCCGCGACCTGACGGACGGCAAGGAGGGGTTGGACGAGGCGCGGACCTGGGCGGCGGCCGGGCACCCGGACGTCTCCGACTCGTGCTACTGAAGGATGACCGCCGCAGCCGCTGATGTAGTTGTGTAACTATGTTAGTAAAACGACCGTGACCCACGTGTCAGAGAACGCTATATTGCTACCATTACACATGCCCCGAAGGCGACGACGGCGGCGGCGCCTCGCGTGGGCCAGTGGGGCGGCGCAGGCGGCGCAATTTGTGAGGATCATTTTGCGCTGGAGGGGTCTGCGAGGGTCGCGGCTGCGGCGTGTAAGCGTGAGAAACCCGTTTTGTTGCTTTTGAATCCCACGAGACGCGACCTAGAGCTATTTGAGCGCCGTTTTTTACGACCCTTCCGCCTTCCGAGCCGTCGGCGAAAAGGGACCAGGTGGCAAGTACCGGTGCGAGATCTACGCGCTCGACGACGACCATAGCTCGTGAAACCACTCTCCCCTGAGGCTTATCAGTGGACCTCAGTCGCTCAGGCGGCGACAATCGAGGGGCCTGGATGGATCAGCCCATAGACAGCAAAACCAAAAAAATAGCAATCTCACTCCTCGCGTTGTCTGCTCTCGCTCTGCTTGCCGAACGGCCTCGACGAGACGCTGTGGGACTACGGCGAGGCCCACACGTTCCTCGACTACTTCAGCGATACCGACGGAAGCGAAGATCCGCGGGAGCGAAGGGACCGAATCCTCGCCGCGGAGGATTTGGAGCCGTGGGACGACGGCTACGTGGACTTCGAGAGAGCCATGGACGCTGATTCGGACTCGGACCTGGAACCGGACGAACGCTGGTGGCGGCGTCGCGTTAAACATGAAGGCCGGGAAAAGAGCGACGAACGCAACACGCGCAAGGCCTGGAGGGAGATTCCCGATTGCCCGCCGGAGCTGCACCGCCTCTCGTCGCCCGCCGTCGTGACGATTGAGCTCGGCTAGAGACCGTGACTTGTGAGTAAGACTTGGCTAGGGGCTTTGGACCACGCCCGCCCGCGCGCGCCGGATATGCTAGTTGTAGAAATGGTTTTTAGTGTTTTTTTTTTTTTGGTCGATGAGCGCTGCACCCCGTCAAGAGGGGCGGTCCACCTGTTTTTTTTTGTCGATGGGCGCACGCGCCGGCGCAAGCGCCGGCGCGGTCCACCTGTTTTTTTTTCGGTTGGGCGGGCCACAAGGGCCCTGCGGTGCTACCACGTCGGCGCCGCGGGCGTCGCGCCCCACGACGACGAAAAGGGTGATGGAGTAGACGCCACGCCGCCCGCGCTCCAGTCTAGGGGTGCGGCCGCGAAGGTCGCCGACGACACGCGGTGCGCGCCCGTCCGGTACGGCGCGTACGTCGCCGGAATGGGCCGCGCGGCCGTGCCTCTAGCTGGCCCCTGGACCAAGTAGGCCCCGGCGAAGCCGTTGTGGTCCTTCGCTATTGTCGAGGAGTACCCTTGCGCCGCCAGGTAATCTCCAACAAAATTGAACAGCGACGCCTTCTTCTGCTGGTGACTGTTGCGCGGCGCGTGATGACCAGAACCAGTAACGACCCAGACGCCCGACGGGTTGGCTCGTATGGCAGTATCTAACACGTGCTGCAGCACGACGGGAGCCGTCCGCGACGACTGGAAGTGCAGATCGACCACGTCTCTGCGATCGTGATTCGCCGCGACCATACGGTACCTTTCCAAGGGGTCCTGGACCTCGAAGACTCGAGCGTTTCTCAAAGGAACCCAGATCTCCCGCGGGACTTTTACTGAGGTAGGTTTGGCACCTCCATTCAGTGAAGGACCGCGGTAGCCAGAAGGCGCCTGAGGGACAGCTGCAGGCTTCGCGGCCTGGTCCGCAAACGACAACCCGTTCAAACTCAGGTCGTTCGCCGTATTCCCGAGGTTCAAGCCGAGGGCCGACAGCCCAGGAAACGCCGACTCGTCTAGAGCCGGCGCGGGCGGCGGGGCCACCTGCGTCGGCTCGGGCTCCTCCTGCGCTACGGCCTCACCGAGCGTCGCGCCGCCTTGGCCGTTGGTGTCGCCTCGGACCACGTAGGAGTCGACATAGTTTGCGGTATTGGCCGAGTCCGGCGGCGGCTCGTAGCGCGAGAACCCGAACAACGAATTGAGTACGGTGGTAGCTTCTCTTTGAGAACGAGAAATCATCGCACCAACATCCTGGCCCTTGCGCGTCATCTCGAGCAGGTCGTAGGCGTGCGTGACGAGGACGTCCTTGAGGCCAGCCCGGAGGCCGTTCTCGAGCAAATACTCGTCCAAAGCTCTACAATCATCTCTAGTCAAAGGCGTCCGCGTCATGGGGTTGCAGAACGTCGCCGTCGACACTAAGTATGTTGCTAGGACAGCACCGTCGAAGAAGTGCCACACACCCTGCTCTTGCAAGCCGAACGGGGGGTACTCGAGCTCCGATAAAGGCTCCAACGAAATAGGATCGCAATCTCGATCACCGAAGACGGACGCGTCCGTCCACCACTTATCACCGACCGGCGCAGTCTGTGGTGCTACAGTAGCGGGCGCCGGAGGCAGCGGCGCCTCCCGCGTCCTCCCACTCCCCGTATGATCATAGAGACAATTCGGGTTCGCGCAGTCCACGCCGAACCGACACGCGATCGACGCGCACGTCTCGCGGAACTTTTGGGCTTCCGCCTTGCCGGGGTGCCGCATGTGGCACTTCTCCGCGAAGGAACAGCACCCGCTCACGTAGTGGACGCAAATTTCACTGGTTTTGGGCACGTGGACCTTCTTCGGCGGCTTGGGCGGGTGGCGGTACACACAACCCTTGCGCGTGCACGACGTGCCGTACCTGTGAGAGAAACATGTCGCGTCGATGGCGTGCTGGTGGGGGAGAGCGGACGTCGTCTCGTCGCGTCGGCCGCGTCCGGTCGGTGGGAAGGCGCCAGAAAGCTTTGTGGACGGTGGTAACGTGCTGGCACATCGGAATCTCCTGCTTCTTGCCCCTAGGCATGGTTATTCAGCCTCTCGTCTGCTCAAATTCGTCGTCCGCCTGCTTTAAACCTCGGGGCTCTCCGGCGCCGGCACTGCCCGCACGGCTACCTCGATGCTCACCAGAGGGTCCCAGGGCCTAACGGGGTCCCCGGGCCAGCCCTGCTGGCTCCGCCGCGGCCTCACGCGGTCGTGCGGCTCGAGCCACGCTCGTCTCTCGTGCAAAAGCCACTAGAAACCCGACACGAAGCCGAACCACAGGAAACAGTTCTTACCGACTCCGACGCCGTCGCCGCGGCCGCGCTGGCGACGAAGAAGAAGCCGCCGCGTCGACGTGCGCGACGACCTCGGCCCGCTCCGACGCCGTCAGCTCCCGCGCGGCGCCCCGCTCGAGCCCGTCGACGGCTAACGGACCGAAGGCCACGCGCTCGAGCCGCACGACGGCGTGGCCCACGGCCTCGGCCATGCGCCGCAGCTGGCGGTTGCGGCCCTCTGCTAGTACAAAGCGGAGCCGCCGGTCGCCCTCGCGGGACACCTCGCACGGCCGCGTTCTTTGGGTGGTCGTCGCGCCGGAGCGCTGCTGGGGCGTCTCGATCTCGACGCCGTCCGCCAGTCGTGTGACGTCACCGTCGTCGACGTCCCGCTCGAACTCGACGACGTACGTCTTCGCCACCTTGCTTTTTGGTTGCAGCAGCGCGTCGGCGCATTTGCCGTCGTCCGTCAGCAGGACGAGCCCCTCGGAATCGGCGTCGAGGCGTCCCACGGGGAAGACGCGACCTGCCGAAAAGTAGCGCTTCAGCGCAGGCTGGAACCGTAGCGACCGCCGGTCGTTGTTGTCTGTGGTGCACGTGACGCCTACCGGCTTGTTATAAACCAGGAAGCGTCGGGCGTTCTCGTCGAGGCTCGCGGCGAAGGCCTCCCAGTCCTGCTTTCTCCCGTCAAGGGTTACCACATCGCCAGACTTCACCCTCAAAGCCGGTTTGGCCACGCAGCCGTTCACCATCACGCGCCCGTCGCAAACGGCCTTGTCCGCATCGCGCCGCGACAGCTTCGGGAAGCAGCGCACCACTCGAAAGCCCGGGCCCGCGTATTTGCGCGGCGGCGCCATGGCGCGTACTGCACTTATGAGGAGGAGGAGTGGCAGCATCGCTGCGGCGGCGTTTTGCTGCAGCAGCCGTCTGCACTTGCTGCAGCGTGCCCTGCAGAATGTAGCCGTGCAAGCAAAGCAATTTATACGCCTGAGATGCACCAATGCGAGACGCTGCACTCGACCTCGAGCTGCATTGCTAGTGGCTTTAAGCGCTAGGCCACGAGCCGCCGCGGCGACGCTCGGGGGTCCGTGCTAGAGGGACTAGCCCAATAAGCGACGCTCTCTCTCACTTTGCAGGTGTAGCGTTACCTTAGGGCCAAGGCTCGTGAACGCGGGGAAAAAACGAGTCAACCTCTAAAACATTACTTCGCCCCCACCAACTTCAGCGCCTTCGCCTTCAGGTCCCCCAGCCGCCCGACGACCAATTTCGGCACGGCCTTCTTCGCCCAGATCCGCGCGGCCAACTCCACCTTCTGCGTCGCGCGCTCGACCAGCGACGGGTCGTCGTACCCGGTCAATTGGGCACTCCCGCCCGGTTTTATTTGGGTGGAGACTTCCTCATCCTTCAACGCGACCACAACCACCGAACTCCCTTCGCATTGGACCTCCTCGCCCGTGACGAGTTTCGTGATGCATTCGTAGGTGACCGTCATGTCGACGGCGAAGCAGCGATTTTCTAGATCGACATCACCACTACACCTCACCTCAGTGACGCGGAAGCGCGCCTTGGCGACCTCCACAAAATCTTTTGCTACTAAGACCTTGGAGAGCCACGCCCACAATTTTTTGGTACTTTCATTGCCCGGTTCTGCCACTAATTCCTCACCGTCAACGTCCTGGCCCTGCCCTTCTCGTACTTTCGAAACAAACCCCTGCCAGGCCTCCCGCAATGATTCCTCCGTCCGACTCCGTAGATAAGGCTTCTTGTTTCTCTTCGCATGAGCCTTGGCACACGGACCGCACCAGATGCGAGGCGTCGACCGCACTTTCCTAGTTTCCCGCTCCTCGTCCCCTTCAAGGTAGAACATGATGTGATCCACTCCAAATTCACCATGGGTCACGGTCCTCTGGCACACGAAGCACTTCTCCAGTTGGAGCTGGTCCGTGCCGAACTCTGCTCGTAGCTTCTCGAGCTCTTCGGTGGAAGTACGCACGCGGTGACCGACGAGCAGCGTGTGGTCGACCTGGCCCTGGATCAGGCGCCCGCCGTCCGTGTCGTGGTCCGTCTGCAGGTAATGCGCCGCCATCTGTGTTCGTAGTTCGAGCTGCTGGTCATCTACCAATGATTGTTGTTTGGTGCCCTTCTCCGGGGCTCGTAGGAGCTGGGTGGCCATATTGGTTGTGGGGGCAGCCTTTGCCAGCAGCAGCTGTGGCGGCGACGGCGTGCGAGGCGATGCAGTGGGGGGCAGCCCTTATTTAAATGTGGAGTCCCGCTGCGTCGTCGTGCAGCAGAGCACTGGCGGACACCAATAGAGGGCAGCAGCCGGTGCTCGATTTTTATTTTTGGACTTCTCGCAAGACCCGAACGGAGCCGAACGCTGTACTCGTCGACGCGTCGCGCCAGCACATCAAGACCGAGAAAATAAATATCACAAAACCACAACCTTACGAAGCCTCGGCCTCGGCCCGCGCGGCCTCCTCGGCGAAGAAGACGAGCGACTCGCGCGACGGCGGCCGGATCAGTCTCAAGGAAGACCGAATCGACGCGGCGCTCCGCGCGGCGATCTCGACGATGGGCGACGGCGTCCTCCTCACAGGCTCGTCCTCGCGACCCCCTTCGCGGGCGCGGAAGTGGGCCTCAACACCCTCCTGAGGTGTAGCATGGCCCGCGCGGTAGTTGAAGAACTTTACCGAATTTTGTTGGTGCTCGCCGTTGATGCCCGGCGGCGTCTCGACATCCTCGACGACGTGGACCGGTGGAGCGTCCACCTGTTCGCCATTCGCAATCTTCGCATATCGTTCTTTATTAGCGTTCAGCACCACCAAACATTCGTCGACGATGCGCGTCCTCAGGCCGACTTGGTGCTTGTTCTCCACTTCCAGGATGGCTTTGCCCAACAGCTTGTACAACGGCACCACAACAAACCCAATAAATCCTACTGAGGAACTATTCGTGTCATTTTTATGTCGATCATGTAAGTTCAGCACCTGTCTACCTCGCTTCCGATCTTGGTCGCCCTCGCGATAGAACTCCTGGTACACCCTATCGTTCCACTTCGCGGCGACGTGCCGCGGTCGCGCTTGGTTCGAGATGTCCGCGCATTTCAGTATGAGACCCAACAGTAACGCAACAGAAGCGTCGTCCGCCAACAGGTCGTCTCCCTTACTAATCTTCTCGCGGATCTCGGACATGATTCGGTCGTGCTGCTTCATGTCGGTGGCCAGGATCATCCTTTTGCCGAGGAACTTGATTCGATCCAAGGAGGTTGTTATGTTATGTATTTGCAGTAACCGCTCGAACCGCTCGTAGTGGTGGTTCTCGAGGCACGACTCCTTGTGGCGCAACCTGTGTGGAATCAAATTTCGGGCGCCCCACTTGCTCGATGGCGTGGAGGCTGCACGCCATCGACGCGACGATGTTCCCATTGCCGTGTCTGCTCGATGGCGTGGAGGTCGACGAAGGTCTCAATAACACACAGGTCGCAACCAGAACTCGGTCCGCTCGTTCTCCTGGTACTGGTTCGTGTACCCGGGATGATCTAAATCGTGGCACAGCGCCGCTAGTATCGAAGCAGCGACGGTAATTGCATCGAGGCTCTTGACTAAACGCGTCGCGATCAAAATGGAATAGAAGCTCTGCGCGACATCCGTAGCATGAGAAAAATTGTGGTACGGGTGCGGGTGCATGTCCTGCCAGACGTCGCCGGCGAACGCTTTTAAGGTAGCTGGACTCAATTTCAGCGTCGAGGGCACCTTACAATTTTCCAGTATTCTGAGAACAATGTTCAGTTTCATCGCATCAGTACCTTCAAGAGCGTCGAAGTGCATCGTGCACAGCTCCGTATCGGCCAGGAAGTCGTACCAGTCCAACTTGCCTCTGTCACTTCTACAAGCGTCGGGCCGCGGCCCGCGACAGTAGTGCTGCAGTTTATGACCTTGCTCGACAGCAGCGCCGCCCGCCTTTTCGAGGGCGGCTTCTTGAGCTGCCAAGAGCTCCAGGTCCTGCTGGCTGCCATGCGTGTTCGACGACTTATCACTCGTATCATCATGGGTCGGCGACTGCGACCGCCGGAAGCTCTTGAAGAAGGATGGGGAGGCACTTCGTTTCGGCGAGGACTGCGACGACTCGTCGTCGTTGATGGTCGAGCGGGACCAGCCGAGCCAGGAGGTTAATTTCGACAACGGCTGCGGCCGCGGTCTTTGTGAGATTTCCGGTTTCCGGTCTTCTTCCCTCAGCGAGTTGGACACGTAGTCCACATTCAAATTGTCTTCGGTGATCTGGCTGCCGAACCACTTGAGGCGGGACGGCGTCGGCGGTACCGCTGTCTTGTGTGTTGCTTGCTCGGGCGTCGTGCTTTGATGGGGCGGGCTCGGGGCCGCCATGAGCGCGCCGTCGGCCATCGCTTGGGGTGTCGTGGGCTGCCTCTTGACGGCGGCGCTGCCTGTTTTGTGGTTGATTGGCGGCGCACGCTCTGCTTCCTGCAGCCTTGGCTTTGAACAGTCGGCCCCGGGACGCCTCTCTTCTAGGCCTCGATGGGTCCTTTAGGGAGTGATGGCGTGGCTTCGATGGGCGGTCCTGGCATTTGGGTGGGCTTGGGGTGGTCTGTTGTGTGATGCGTCATTTTTTTGCGGTTGTGCTCGCCTGAGGGGTCGTTCGGACGCGTGGGGGAGGGGTGGAGGCTTCGTTCGCTCGCCGGTCCAGGGCATCATGGACTTTTCATCGAACAGGACGCCTCTGCGCGAGCCTGCCATTTGCCGCCGCTGCGCATTAGTGGACCAACTGCGGCAGCTTGAGAGGCGTATCTGTACATTTCGACAGCCTTGGCGCAGCCGCCGAGCTGCGCGCTGGTCGAGCGGCCTAGAAAAGCTCTCAAAGGCCGGACGCCGCCGGCGCGCGCCGATAGACCGCGCCAGGAGTTTCCGGGCCCACCGCCGCCACGCTTAAGAGTGTTGGCCCACGTGGCGCCCCCCGCAAGCGTCAACCATGGACGACTTGGACGCGGCCGTCTGCGGCACGCACGAAGGAGCGCGCTACTGGTGCAATAAACGAGATAACCCGGGCGCGGTGATGGCGTCCATGCTCTGGGTCCTGACGTTGTATGCGGACGTCGTGGTGACGGTCGTGGCCGTGGACGGCGGCTGGTCGATAGCGCACGTGCCGATCTACATTTTTTTCTCGTGTTTAGCTTTGATAGCCCAACTGAAAACGATGTTCACCAATCCTGGAGCGGTACCTAGGCACGCCCAGCCTCTGATCCGAGCATCCGAAAGTGGAATCCCGGAAACGATCTGTGGGCGGTGTGATGCGTATAAACCCCCTAGATCGCACCACTGCCGCATCTGCAACCGATGCATCGTGAGGATGGACCACCACTGCCCCTGGATGAATAACTGCATCGGGGCGAACAACCAGAAGCACTTCATGCTGTTTTTATTTTATACTTTGATTGAGGCGACGTATGCTCTGGCCCTGATTCTAGCCAACGTGCGGACGGGCTACGTTTATAGTTCATCAACAGTAGCGGGCCTCGCCTATGCTCTGCTCGGGATTAGTATAGCTACGCTGTTATTTGTAGCGACGATGATGTACAATCAAGTGTACGCGATCGTGACGGGCATAGGTACGATTGATAGAATGCGGAAGCGGGGCCCGAAGGGCAACTTCGCGCCGGTCCCGTGGGTCGACGTGTTTGGTGTCGACCCCTGGCCCCTGTACCTGTTGCCCACAGACGTCAAATATAGGGACTTCCACCGGGTCATGGGCTATAAAGTGGCGACGTGGGAGATCTCGCCGGGTCCCGTCGCCGTGCCGCGCGACGAGCCGCCGTCGCCGCCGCTGACGCCTTCTAGGCCCGCTGTCACCGTCGAGGAGCGGCCATCATCAACGGAGGACGGCGCGCTCGACGAGCCGCTCGTGCGGCCATCGGAGGAGGTATAAATTTGTTTAAACTAACTACTATGCTGGGCTGCCTCGGCGGCGCGTCGGCGCCGTGGACTCGAGCAGCAGGAGGGTGAGAGCCCGGAAGATATTTCACTTACTACTTAGCACATGGCACAGCAGACGGCCTCACGGCACGTGCGGCTCCGGCGTCGTGTAGGTGACGCGGCCGGCGAGGCGGTCGAGCGAGCGGAGGCACCACTGCGAGAGCGGCTCGTGCGCGCCGCGGCCGGGCTCGTACCGCCCGACCTTGTCCTCGAGCCCGTCCAGGCGCCAGGCGCCGTCCGCGAAGACGAGCTTGCCGCCGGTGATGTAGTTCATGATGTAGTGCAGCGTCGTCGTGATGCGGAAGCCGTGGTACTCGGGAGGCAGGTTCTGCGTGTGGATGAGCAGCGCCCCTTCGCCCGCGAAGATCTGGTAGTTGACCTTCCAGACCCAGAGCATCGCGTCCCGGGGCGAGTCGAACGCAAAGGCCAGAACCTTTGCGTCGCCCCTGTCGAAGAGGCGCAGGCTGGCGACCGGGTCCGCCCCTCCGCCCGCGCTGCGCGGCCACCGCGCGCGCACCTCCGGCGGCGACGGCGCCCCGGACACGATGGCGTTCAGCGCTTCGAGCGTCGCCGCGCTGACGGGTACCTCGTCGGCCGGATATGAGCAGTAGATGCCCAGCACGACGTCGTCGGGCAGGTCCGGGATCCGCTCGGACGCGGGCACGTCGGAGGGCTTCTGAAACGTCTTCAGTTGCTCGCGTATCTCCTCCGGGCCTCCGAGACCGCGGCCACACGCCATTTCGTTGATCATGTTCTGCTGCCACTTGCTGATGAGCCGGTCCTGGAACTCCTTCTTCTCGACGAACGTGGCCAGCGTCTGCGGCGGCATGCCCTCCGCTAGCAGCGCCGCCTTGAGGTCGCGGACGCTCATGGCGCGGACGCTGCTCTTCATGGCTTCCACGTCACTTCCGTACGCTGTGACCATTTTGTCCGCGCCTCAGATGGCCTTTGCCACAGTGAGAGCCTTTTTGGCTATGCAGCGGCAAAACTCCGAGTTCCAGCGCAGAGTTCCAGCGCAAGGCGTTGCGGCGGTTGCGTCACGCTTCCAACGGCACCCGCGCGGTACTCGTATGGCTTTGTAGCGTGCTGGCAATAAGGCTCAGTGAATTAGCTAGCGGCCTGTAAGACATACTAGCAAGTTCGGAAGCGTATTTATAAAACAGGAGAGCGTACGGTCGTATCGAGGCAAATCGCTGCATTCCGCAGCCCAAAATATTGATGCGATGCGCCTGCGCTCGCTTCCTTTGACGAAGCTGCCATCTGTATCTAGAACAAGGGCAGCCATCTCAAGGAGGGCAGCCTCTTCATCGACCTTCACGCGCCGTAGCGCTGCGAAATTCGCATCGGACTTCGACCACCATGCTCCTGGCATTGCACGGCTGAATCACGGCTCGTTTGGGGCCACGCCCGCGCCGGTTCTAGCAGCGACGGAGGCTTGCCGTGCGCGCTGGCTCGCGCAACCGGACGAGGACTACTTTTCGGGAGCGCTCGACGCCGACTTGCAAGAGGCGACGGCCGCCGCGGCCGACGCGATCGGCGCTCCGGCTGAGGAGACTTCACTCGTGGAGAACGCGACAGTGGCTGCCGCGATCGTCTTCCGGCGCTGGTGTCAGCTGGACGGCACGGTCCTGCTGCCTGCGAACGCCTACGGCGGCGTCAAGGCCTCGGCGCTCGCGGCCTTCGGCCCGCAGCGCGTCAAGGAGTGGCCGTTTCCCTTCCCGGGCACGACGCATGCGCACATTCTGGACTGGCTCGACCAAGCACTGAAACAGCACGACCCGCGCTACGTAATCATCGATCATGTTTCGTCGCAACCGGCTGTTGTCTGCCCCGTCGCCGAGATGGTGGCGCTCTGTCGGCGCCGCGGCGTCGCTGAAGTTGCGGTGGACGGCGCGCACGCCCTGGGGCAGGTTCCAATTAACGTCGACGCCATCGGCGCGGACTACTTCTTCTCCAACCTCCACAAGTGGGCGTTCGCGGCGCCGACGGCCACGATCCTACACTCGCTCCGTGGGCTGCGGCACGTCGTTCCGTCCTGGGGAGCGGGCGACTTCGCGGCGGAGTGTCGCTGGACGGGCACGCGGGACTACGCCGCGATGCGCGCGGTCCCGGCGGCGTTGGCGTACCTCCGCGACTGGCGGTCGCTCGACGGGCTCGCCACGCCGGAGTTCAATCGAGTAGGCCTGCGGCGCGCCGTCGACGAGTTGTCCGCGGCTTGGTCTGTCGACGCGCCGTACCACGAGGAGTGTCTCGGATCCATGGGTATGGTGCGCTTACCCGCGGGCCTCGACTTATCTCGGGACGTACCGGGGCAGCCCGTCGGCCCCGACTCCGTCCGATCGCGGCTGCGCGACGGCCTGTGTGGAAATCAAAATTTTACGGCGCGTTCGTGCTGAATCTTCGCGTCGTCCTCCACGCCATCGACGCGCCGCCTGCTCGATGGCGTGGCGATGCCGGTTCCTCATCGCTCGACAGAGCCAGCACGGCCGCGTCATCGTCGAGAAATGACTTAGTGAAGAATTGTCGGGTGCACCCGACACATGGGTTGATTTCCACACAGGCGACGGCTATGGGGTCGAGGCGGCCGTCGGCGGCTTCCCGGATGGAGGCTTCCTCCGCCTCTCGCACGCGGTATATACGTCGGACGACGATCTAGAGCGGCTGCGCGACGCCGTCCTCGAGCTTGTGTGAAATTTTGTGTAACAGTACTTATTTAATACAACCACCAACACATCCCGAGCCACACCGCGGCGGCGACGGGGCCCATGGGCCCGATGTGGTCGACGGCGCCGACGAGTATCAAAGTCGGGCCGCCGACCGACGCGGCGCGCCACATGGGAAGCCAGGGTGGCGGCCGGCGCGGGCTCTTCATCCTGTCGACGACTGCCCTCTCGTCCTTCACGCTCACGATAATATCGGCGAAGTCTCGCATATTTGAGTAAATCAGATTTCGTGCCGGCGAGAGCGGATGCACGAACGCCGGTCGCTTGAACCGGAAGCCCTCGAGGTACGGCGGCGCGGCCTTGACGTGCTCGTATAATATAACGTGCACGTTCTTTTCGCGCCCGTGCCGCGTCTCGCTCTCCAGCAAGTCGATGAGAATAGATTTCGGGAACAAGCGCGTGCGGGGGATTAGCCCGGCAAATACTATTCCTGAAGACGTCCACTGCGCGCAGTTGCCCGCGGTCTTTCTGGCATGACGAAACTCGTCGGCCACGATTTGATGCGCCTTCGCCCCGGGTGCGGACCGCTTCCCGCGCACGAGGAACTCCGTCGCGTTCTTCAGCTGACCAGCCGCGCCCGCGACCAGCCGGCCGAGCGGCGGCGGCAATTGCGCTGCCAACGTCGAGAGCCGCGCGTCGACGAGCTGGAACTGCGCGCCCCCGTCTTCGATGTGCGAGCGCTTGTTCAGGGCCTCGTAATACGCGTGCAAAGCGTCGATGGCGCCCGGTGCACACCGCTCCACTCGGACGCCCACGAAGTCGCGGTTGTAGGCGCCGCCCTGCTGCGCGTACGTGTCCCAGCCATGGGTGCCGTAGAGATAATCGCTTGGCTCCACCATATTCACCATGTCGGCGCCCTCGACGCCTCCGAGAATGTTCATGACGCGTTGCCGGCCATCTGACGTCGTGTATCGGACGGACACGTGGCCGTAGCGCAGGAAGAGCGTGTGCGCCCATTCAGCCGCCGGCGAGTCCACCGCTGTCAGATGATCGGCGAGCAGCACTTCGAGGTCTGGCGGTCGCCCGCCCGTCAGCGCGTCGTCGACGTCTGAGAGGATTGACGCCTTGTTCGCGATGGCACCGCCATTTCGCCTACCGAAATCCGATGCGTAGCGCGAGGCGAGGCGGAGCCGTGAAGCAGTGCAGGCTCTGCGGAGCGCCGGCAGCATCATCCTGCTGTGTGGCAACGCTGTAGGTTGCAGCCCGCCAGCGCGCGGGTCACAGCTGCAACGCGTCACAGCTTTCTATGCATTTATTTGCACCACTTAGGTCGTTTTTTTGTCGATGGCCGGCCGAGCTAGCGGCCATGTAAGGCACTAGCAAGCAAAAGCAAACACGACCTGCAGCCGTTTGAGCACCGTTCAGTTCGCTAATGGTCCAAAGAGATCAATGGGACACGTACTGGGGGCCGAAAAAGCTGCTTTTTGAATATCGCGCCGACGACGCCTCCATGGTCCATGGCGGCCGCGCCGGTGGAATCCTGTCAATCCCTGCCAAAGAGGTCTCTCTGGGTGAGGGTCGATGCTATACACGTGCAAGCGCCTACACCGCATACGCCGGCGCTTCAAGCCTTTTTGGCCGATTTCTCTCAGCAGACCACGGAGATTTAGCATGAATTACTTGGTAATGGCTTCCAGAGCTCCCCGAGAGCACTAAGCCGCCGCATCGATGGCGTATGCGGCACAGGCGACTACCCACTACCAGACCTACCCCGAGAGCCCTCCAGGAGCCGATCCGCCCCCGAAAAAAGTGTGCAATTTGGACCCGATCGCGCCCCATTCCCGTCAAAAACGTCAATTACCCGAGGCCCCCCAGTAATCGTGATAGCGGTCTTGTTGGACCCCATACTACCCCACCGATAGTCAATTACGAGTATATGACATCTACACCACGAGAAGGGTACTTTTGGCTGCCCACGCTTGGGACGTGAACATCTTTATCTGGCCATCCGCACCTACGAGAACAAGTCGTTCTTCTGAAGAGGGCCTTCTGCGCCGCCGGCGCGATCACGTCGACGGCGCCCATGACCACGTCAAGAGGTAAGAGAGACCACCACCACCCCCCGAATCAACGCGTCAGCTAAGGTTAGAGCTTATTAACGGACCGCGTAGAGCAGTCACTTCTCGCCCGCGGCGCGCAGCTTCGCGGCCAGCTTCTTCTTCGCCGCGCGGGCGCCGCCCCGCGCGCCGCGCGCGCGCCGGCGCTTGCCGCCCTTCGCGGCGTCCTCGCCGTCGCCGACGCGCAGGAGCTTGATGGCGAAGTGCAAGGCCGCGTCGGGCGGGATCTTCGGCGGCGCGCCGGCGGCGCCGTAGCCGAGGTGCGCCGGCACGACGAGCTCCCGTTCCCCACCCACAGCCATGCCCTCGAGCCCGCGATCCAAACCCTCGACGACGGCGCCGCGGCCCAGGATGAACGTAAAGGGCGAGTTCGGGTTCGACCGGTGGTCGACGCGCTTGTTCGTCGCGTGGAGCCGGCACGTGTAGAGCACGGCCACCGTCGCGCCCGCTTCGGCGGAGGCGCCGGTCCCCGCGGCGGTGTCGCGCACCCAGAGCCCCTCGCCCAGGTTCCGCGGCGCCGCGGCGGCGGCCGACTGCGCGTGCGTGTGCGTCGTCGGCGACGTGAGGAAGAGCGACGACACGCCGGCCGAGACGGACGACTTGCGCGCGCGCTTCGGCTTGTCCGCGTCGCCCGCGGTCTCGCCGCTCCGGCGTTTTTGAGGGCGCGGCGTCGCGCGTGGTTTCGCGGCGGGCACCGGCTTGCGCGCCGCTGCAGCGGGCGCGGGCGCCGGGGCGCGAGCGGGCGCGGGCGCGGGCGCCGACGCGGCGGCCGCGCCGCCGGCGCCGGCGCGCTTGCGGCGCCGCTGGCTCGCGCGCGAGCCCTCGCCGCCGCGGCTCGCGCGCCGCCGCTCCTTCTCCGCGCGCGCCTCGGCGAGGCCGCGGACGAACGCGTCCTCGGGCGCCTCATTCCCACCAACGTCCTCGAGGGCCTGGCGGCCCGTGCGGCCGTCGGCGAGGCACTCCCGGCCCGGCGCGCAGGTGCGCATGCCGCGCGCGCCGCGCGCGCCCCACTTGGCCTTCTGCTCCTCCCACGACGCGCCGGCGGCGTCGTCGGCCATCTCTATAACGTGCGCGTCGTCGGAACGGCTCCCACGACGAACGCGGCGCCGGCGTCGATAACGTGCGCAGCGGTTGCGGCGCAGCGCGGCAGGGCTGGCGATGCAAGTTCCGGGCTGATAGCAGCACCTCGCGGTCGCTGCACGGCGGTTTCGCTGGGGTAAGCCTAACTGTTGCTGTGCAGCGCGTGGCGGTCGCTTGAAGCCCGGATTCTCCTTCTCTTCCGCACAAGGCCTCACTAAGCTCTCCTCCGAGCTGCAGCTACGCGCCTGGAAGCTCGCAGTAGCCACAAATCTGCAGCACGCCAACGGCGCTTGCTAGCGTCAGTAAGACACTAGCAAGCCTGGAAAAAAGCACCAAAAGGCTGCCCAGCGCCAATCGGGCTCGAAAGGGCTGCCCGGCGAGGCCAAAAACGATGCCCTCCTACTGCTTCCTCTGCGCCGAGCCGGCGAAGTTAAGATGTGGCCGCTGCAAGGGGCCCTGGTACTGTAGCAGGGACTGCCAGCGCGACGACTGGAAGCGGCACGCGCCGGCTTGTGCCATACCGAAGAAACCGGTGCCCAAACCCGTCATCCCCCAAATTCCGCGAAATGTCAAACCGAAGACGTGCGCGACGTGCGCTTGTGATTTGCCCGAGGACGTGAGAGACATTGTATATAATAGCTGCTGCGGTAAAACGTGTTGCGTGGAATGTGGTCGCAAACACAAAGACCATCGGTGCGGTTTTTGTGGAGTTAAGCCTTGCGAGACGACGACCGAGGCGTTGGAGCGGCTCGAACAAAGGATCCAGATCAATGAGCAGGACGCGGGCCAGGCCTTGAATCTGTTGAGCGGCCACCATATGCGGGGCGAGGGCATTCCACAAAATCCGAACGAGGCGCTTCGATTGCGCGACATCGCCATCGCCAGAGGCGATCGCGAGTCGCTGTGCAACCGAGGGCTTGATGAACTACAAAGGGAGGATCCCAAAGCACGAGAGACGCTAGGCAAGGCGGCAGCTTTACATTGCCCCGCGGCGCTCCTGAAGCTGGGCACGGCGTGCTTTAATGGGGTCTGCGGCCCGCCGGACAAGACAACAGCAAGACGCTGCTTCGAAATACTAGCGGCGCAGAAGGGCAGGTTGGAGGGCGAAGCGAGGATGAAGCTTTGTAGCTTACTCTCCACAGAAAATAAAGAGGGAGACCGGCGCGCGGCGTTGGCCGCGGCGGCAGGCCAAGCGGCCCAAGCCGCGAAGCTGGGCCACGCCCTCGCGCCGTTAGCTTTAGATTCCCTCAAAATCGCGGCCGTGCGCGAGCAGAAGACGGCGCTCTGCGGGAATTGTCTGGCGGAGGAAGTGATCCTCACCGCGGAGTTGGACGTGTTGAGCGTCCAGGCGGGTGATTCATCATCGGACGACTCGGAGCCGTGCGAGACGAAGCGAGTGGTCTCTAGTATTAGAAAGCGCATCGCGGCCTTCGAGAAGCTTTCCGAGAAGCCGTTCGAGGACGACCGCCAGTACCTCCTCCTCGACGACGATATAAGGCCGGGCCGCGGCGCGCGGCGGCGGCGGCGCGCCGCGGCGCTCGGCGCGGCGGCGATGATTAGTGGGGCCTAAGCTCGGTGTGTATTATTTTTGAAGGCGCTTGACGCTAGTGGCCCTGGGGTGCTAGGATACGCACGACTGGGGGTACACCGGGGTACCCCCAGCACCTGGGTGTTACACCCACACCCTGGGTGTACCCCCAGTTGTGCGTATCCTAGCACCCCAGGGCCACTAGCACAGGCGCGGGGCGACGGGCGCGTCAAGTCATCAACAGGATGAGCTTCGGTAGTAGGGTGGTTTTTGTAAAAACCGGGTAAGATGATGTTGGCGCGCTCGTGGGAGCGGCCGCCGAAGTCAGCAAGCGAGACGCTTACTTCTTGGACGCCGACTTCTTGGGGAGAAGCGTGGCGTGGATGTTCGGGAGAACACCGCCGGACGCGATCGTGACCGAGCCCAGGAGCTTGTTGAGCTCCTCGTCGTTGCGGACGGCGAGCTGGATGTGGCGCGGCACGATGCGCGTCTTCTTGTTGTCGCGCGCGGCGTTGCCCGCGAGCTCGAGGATCTCGGCGCAGAGGTACTCGAGGACGGCGCCCATGTAGACACCGGCACCGACGCCGACGCGCGAGGCGTACTTGCCCTTGCGGAGGTAGCGGTTGAGGCGCGCCACCGGGAACTGGAGGCCAGCCTTGGACGCCGACGACGTCGAGCCGCTGGACTTGGACTTGCCCTTGCCGCGGCCACCTTTTCCTTTGCCAGACATGATGTTTTGGGGGTGTTTTTTTTCCGATGTGTTGGAGTGGAGAGGCAGCCCGCTGGAGCGCACACATTTCCGGGGCGTCAGCGCGCCGCTAATTTTTGGCGACGAATCATTTTGCGACCAGATACTAGGGTCACAATTTCATTCGTCGCCAAAAGTTAGCGGCTCGCCCGCGCCCCGGAAATGTGTGCGCTCCAGCGGGCTGCCCTCCACACCAACACATCGGAAAAAAAACAACACCACCAGCAACATGGCCAAGACCCCCTCCAAGAAGTCGGCGAAAGCCCCCAAGAAGGCCGGCGGCGCCAAGAAGAAGAAGTCGCGCACGGAGTCGTACTCGACGTACATCTACCGCGTGCTCAAGCAGGTGCACCCGGACACGGGCATCTCCAAGAAGGGCATGTCGATCATGAACTCGTTCATCAACGACATCTTCGAGCGCATCGCCCTCGAGGCCTCCAAGCTGTGCCGCTTCTCCAAGAAGGCGACGCTCTCGTCCCGCGAGATCCAGACGTCCGTCCGCCTCATGCTCCCGGGCGAGCTCTCCAAGCACGCCGTGTCCGAGGGCACCAAGGCCGTCACCAAGTTCTCGAGCTCGTAAGCGCTCACTGCCGTCTGAGTAGCAGCTCGCGCTGCGATACGCTCTTGTGACGACGGCACCCACATTACACCCGGTTTTTCTAAAAACCACCCTACCCACCGAAGACACAAAAGACGGCAGCCTCGCGCGTGTTTTGGGCTGCGCCTTCCTTTTGCCTTTTCGCGACCGCCGTTCCCCGCGTCCCCTCGTCGCCTACGCGTCGCCGTGCGCAGCAGCCCTCTCCCCGCACTCCTGCGGCCCGCCCCCGTCTTGCGCCTTACGCTTCCGTTTAAGGCAGCTTGCTTGCTAGTGTCTTACAGGCCGCTAGCTCAAGACTTGGCAAGGGTCAAATCGCTGAATTGAACCCCATCGCTGCTCAAAATCACAGAGAGAACACGTCATTGCACTGCGAGTGCAGAGCCAAAAGCTCGCCAGCGATTCGCAGCGCGCAGCCGCGCGTAACACACTCACTGCACTGCCTGCCTGCAATGGCAAAGGGGGAAGAGAAAAAGAAGCGACGCCGCGACGACGATGCATCGCCAGACGCCGCAGCACTGCCAGACGATGCAAAACGCAAGAAAAAAGACAAGAAGAAGAAGAAACGGCGCGAAGCCGACGCCGCGCCGCCAGCCGCCGAGGCCCAGCCGGTAGCAGGGGCCGTGCCGCCAGCGCCGGCGGACGCACCGGCAAAGAAGAAGAAGAAGAAGCCGCGCTGGCGCGACCAGCGTGCCCTCACGCTCGTCGTGACGCAGCTCTCGTACGAGGCCGACGCGAGCGCCGTCGCCGAAGCGCTGGCGGTGGACGGGCGCCGGCCGACCGTGCGGCTCGTGACGGATCAGGCCGCTTCTGCTAATAACCGCAAGCACGCGGGCCTGGCCTACGCTGTGTATGATACGGCGGACGACGCGACAACGGCGGCGGCGACGACGTATACAATCAATGGCCGCGCCGTCCAAATAAAGCCGCTCGACGCCGACCACGACGACACAGGAAGGCGCACGGCGGCGGCGAAGGAGAAGAAGGGCTCCGCCGACGCCCAGGCCGTCGATTCATATATCGTGGAGAAGGGCTTGGATGGGGTGCTCGACGGCGGCGTCAAGAAAGCACTACAAAACGCGGGCTACCGCGTGGCCTGCCGCGTCTGTAGGGACGTGGCCAAGGCCCTTGGTGGCGACGCGGTCGTCGAGAACCCCAATGCTTACGCGCTCGGCGTGCTCCGGAACGCCGCGGCGGACGCGCCGGCCTACCGCCTCACCGCGGCGCACGTCGACGCGCTGATCGACCAGAGCGTGGCAGCGGCGCCCGATAAACTGGGCCGCGCGGACGTCGATCAAAGGTGCCGGTCGTACATGCGCGAGTTTTCCGAGGGCGAGGTCGTCGACGCTCTTTCCAAATGTGTGAAGCGCATGGGGCGGCCGGGGATCGGCTCGGCGTCGGTTTATTTGATGGGCCTGCTCAAGCACTCGAAGGAGAAGCCTCCCGCGCCGGGCAAGGGTCGCGGTCGTGGCCGGGGCAAGGGCGCGGACGGCGGCCGCGGCAGGGGCAAGGGCAAGGGTCGAGGCAAAGGGGGGCGGGGACGAGGACGAGGACGAGGGAGAGGTCGCACACACCCCGGTCGCTTCTTCCTCCCCGCCTAGTTTTACTAAATGTGCTGTTACTTGTCGACCTCGGCCCGCACGACCGCTAAATAGGCAATATTCTGCGACCGGCCGCCGGCCCAGGGGATCTGGTCCTGGTTCGGCGACACTTCGATAGCGGACGGGGGCTTGAAGCCCCCCGCGTAGTGGAAATAACTACCAACCACGAAGACGTGCTCGAGGTCGTTCGTACGGAGCCAGATGTCGACGGCCTTCGTCGGGAAGCATCTATTGGACAACGCCATCAATGCTTGCCCGCCGGGCTTGAGGACGCGTCTTATCTCCTTGCAGATCGCCAGGGGTTTGGTCAAGTAGTCGATGGACACGACGTTCGTGACCACATCAAACGAATTGTCCTCGAAGGGTAACGTCGGATCTTCATTGAGATCCTTGACGACGTACGAATCGACCTGACCGTTGTTCCTGAGCTCCTCCTCGTTCATACCCAACGCTACTCTGTTACCAGCGAAGTCAGCAATGTCCGTCGGGAAATGAGAAACATGGGACGCGCAGATGTCGAGAATGGCGGGCTTCTCCCACTCCCTCAAAGCCGTGCCGTAGAACTCTGTTAAAGCAGCAACAGCAGCGTCATCCACATGAAAACAGAACCGCGGCTGATCGTAAAAATAGGGGTCCGGGCTCTCGTCGCCCCGCATGAAATCGCGCGGCGAGTACGGCCACTCCGCCGGCCATTTCGGAGACGCCAGCACATCGGCGACGCCGACGGCGCGCGCGGGAAAGCCCGGCATCGGCGCGAAGGGCACGGGCTTGCCTCCTAAATTCTTGAACGGAGAGAAAGCGCTGGCAAAGCCTCTTAGGGCCATGAGCATGGTCGACTGGCGCAGCATGGCGAGCAAGGCTGCAAAAGCTGTCCTTGGCCAGTCTCAGCAGTAGTGAGGCTACGTTATGCTGCACTGGGACGAGCAATGCACTGCGTTGGTGGCGTGCACGCGTTCCCTGACGACTGAGTCGATTATCTAGCGGCCTGTAAGATACTAGCAATCAGCCACTTTTTGGGCTCGAGCGGCCAGGAACCACTTTACGCAGCTCATTTCACGTTCGCAGGGTCCTCAGGTGACCGAACGAATCACACATTTGAAGCGGTATCGCGAGATTAGGTTAGGAGCGCGCTAGAGATAAAAGAATGCCTCAGCGGTTTTTGGCAGCCATCCTTGCGACCGCCGTAGGGCTCCAACCAACACATGTCAATAAAATAGTGTGCCGGTCACAAAGATCACAGCTGCACGTGCTTGCGGCGCCACAGGACGAGGACGTCGCCGCGCTGCTCCAGCAGCGAACGCTCCTCCGACAACAAAAGAATTATGACGAGGCCGACGCGCTCCTCGACCGCGCCAAGCAATACGGCGCTATCGTGAGAGACCACGCCAACGGCACGTCGACATACACGCTGCGACGCCGCGCCACCGACGCGCCGTCGGTCCTCGATTTAGCCAAGGCAGCGCGTGACTACGCCGCTCGAGGCGATCTCAGCGACGACGACGTGGCAGCCTTCGTGGCTGATCGGGCCCGAGAGGCGCGTGAAGCGCTCGCGGAGCCCGACGCGGCGCCGGGCCGCCAGGCCTCCGACGCGGCCTTTGCGTTCGCGCTGGCGGGCTGCCGCGACGACGCGCTCTTCGATTTATTACTCGACCGACATGCGAGCAACCGGGCGAAGCGGCGGACGGTCAACGACCTCCAGGCCGAGGAGCGCCTCGGCGCCTGCGGCCTGCGGGGCCGGGACGCCTTCTTCGCGCCCCGCGCCTGCCAGTGGAGATGGAGGTATGCCAGGGACGCGCGGACGACGCCCGCCGCCGACGTGCTGAGTGTGGCGTTTCCCCCAGGGCCGCTCGTGCTGGACCTCGGTTGTGGCATGGGCGGCTCGGCCATCGGGCTCGCGCTCAGTAAAACAGACGCGAACGTCCTGGCGGTCGACACTAGCCGTGCTTGTATCAGAGCTGCGCGCGGCTTCGCGAATCGCCTCGGCAGCAGCTGTCGCTTCGCCGTGGCCGACGCCTCGGACGCGCTGCGGTGGGCGGCGACGCACGAAGGCCCGGTCTACGTCCTGGTGCAGTTCCCGACGCCCTTCTCGCTGGGCGGCGAGGCCACGGTCCGCGAGGGGCGGCCGTTTCTCCTATCAAGGGATGTGGCGGAGCTCGTCGCGACGGCCGTAGGCACTGAGGGAGCCGCCTACGTTTCTTCGCAAGTTGAGGACGTGGCTCTCGCTTCGGCCGACGCCCTCGAGGGCGCGGGACTCCGTTTGGAGCCGGCCGAGGAGCCCGTCACGACGGAGGCGCCGAAGCGGCTCAGGGATGAACGCGTCGGCTCGGCAAGGCGCGCCGTCGGCGGTCCCTGGCGGGCAACGTCGCCGCTGCCCGCCGACGCGGCACCGGAGTCGGAAAAACGCTGCGAGTTGTTGGGCCAGCCGGTGCACCGCTTCGTCGCGTCCCGGCGGCCGCGGCGCGGCGACCGGTTACGCCTCTTCGCGGCGCCGCGCGACGACCTCGACGGTGGCGACGACGCCGACGTCGTGCTCGATGCCGCCCTTACGAGGGTCATGCACGCGGGCACTTACGAATTCGTTGAGGACACGAGCGAACCGAATCGCGTCTTCCTCGGCGCCGACGGGCGAGCTACAGCCTTGCGCGATATCTACGATGATAGCTCGGGCGCGGGCCGCGGCGGCGCACAAGATGGTCGCTGGAGAATAGAGCGGATCCGCAACAACTCGACTCATTGCAAGATCCACCTGTCCCTCGGGAGGTACAACCTGCAGGGCTCAGTCAGCTCGCGGGGAGGCGACGCCGTCGAAGGTGTTGTATTGGAAGGCGCGAGCGACCCTGATTTTGTCGGAAGATTCCGCCTCGCGCTGACGTCCCGCGCGGCCAACGAGTCCACCGTCGACGCGGCGCTAGAAAAAGCGGCGACAAAACGCGCCACGCGCCCCGCGCCTCCCGCTCGCGTCGGCAAGGGCGCGCTTGCGGGCCGCCAGTGGCTCCTGTCGGCCACGGTCGACGACGAGCAGTGCTTCTTCATCCTCGACTTTCAGGAGTCGGGCGACTTCGTCGACACGGCGGGTTCTGACGCCCCGTGCGAGATTGGCGGACGCTGGGGCGTCTACGACGAGGGCGTCCGAGACCCGCCGCGCGACGGCCGCGGCTCGCACGTGTGGATATGGATCCGGCGATCGAAGTGTCGGGGAGCGTCGGGACTGCACGGCGACCTGCGTTTGCACGGCAAAATCGAGTACGACGACCCCCTGGCGGAACTGGCCCTGCGGAGCGGCGTCGACCGCCCGCCCGACCGTGCTTCAGGGCCTGTTCTATTCGGCGACATCCCGGACATGGAGTACTCGGCGCTCGTCGGGTCCTTCGTGCTGACGCCTTCGGGATCGCTCCCGGACGAACTACGACGAAGACTGCCCGTCGGGGGCATGGCCTGGAGCTAGCTCTACGCCTCCACGCCATCGACGCGAAATGTGATAACTGTTTTTACTACATGGACACCCCGAAGCAGGTCACGACGCAGTACATCCGCGGGTCGTAGGCCTGCTTCTTCGAAGCCAACGGATACGCGATGCGCGCGCAGTTGTCGTTCGCGACGTCCCAGAAGCAACTCTGCCCGGTGTGCACGCCCGCGCCGTTCTTCTGCATGAGGATGCAGGTCACGACGTATTTGAAGGGCTTGTTCATCTGCGTGAGCTTCTGCATGCTTTGGTCGCATATTCTATCAACCCAGGTGGCGACCTTACTTTCGTCGTAGACCTCGTTCGCCAGTACTTTTGCGACCACATCATTCAGGAGAGGTTCGACCTCTTCGGGCTGGAAGGCCGTGTCCTCGGAGTTCTGCCACTCCTCGCCCATGTTTGTCCCGCGGCTCTACCTGGGCAGTAGGCCTGGCTGGTATTGGTGTGGCTCTCCCCGCCGCGTGCGCGCTGTGCGACGGATGCCCTCAATGGGTGAGGCCTTGAAACAGACGGATAGTGGTGTAAAGGCTGCCCCACGCTTCCGTGCGCGCGCGTCCGGTGGGCAAGCGCTGTGGCATGCGAAAACCAGGGCCTCGCAAATCCCGACGAACAGGCGCCAGACGCCGCGAGGGCGTTCGTAAGTCGTATGGGAAGCGCCAGAGGGCTGCTTCCGCTGCCCGAAAATTCCTAGCGCCCTTATCTAGCGCTTGCAACTTGCCCTTGGACGAAGCTAGCTTTACCGCAGCGTACGCGTCAAAATGCGTCTCGCTGCGTGCCTCGCGCTCCTGAGCAGCGCGTCGGCCTTCCGCGGGAGTCGGGTCGGCCGACGACCGCGCGTCGATGCAGTCAAGTACCTCACGAGGCCGCAAGATGTGGGCATCGCCCGGCCCGACGCGCGGCGCACGCATACGCTCACGTCGCGTCCCGCCGCCGCCGTCACTTCTGATAGTACGGCGCAAGCACAAACACCGTCAACGGGAAAGAAGAAGAAGGTCCTCTTCCTCATGTCTGATACCGGCGGCGGCCACCGCGCCTCCTCCAAAGCGCTGGTGAATGCCCTTGAGAGGTTATACCCAGGAAAAATAGACGCGGAGATCGTCGACATCTGGACGGAGCACGCGGGCTGGCCTTATAAGAATTTCGTACCGTACTACGCAGTGATGGCCAAGCGCACGTGGATGTGGCGCATGATGTGGTACTACGGGCGCTTCTGGCCGACGCGGAAATTGCAGGAGATCGCGACGCGGATCCAGTGTTCTCGTAGATTTGGCAAGTGCATCGCGGACGCCAAGCCGGACTTAGTTGTGTCCGTCCACCCGTTGTGCCAGGACATACCTCTGAGGCAGCTCGCGAAGATCGACGGAGGTTCTCGCAAGACACCCTTCGTCACCGTAGTCACGGATCTGGGAAGCGCACACAACACCTGGTTCGACGGACGAGGGGATTATACGTTTGTACCCTCAGATGCCTTGGAGAAGATGGCCTCGAGGTGTGGCGTGCCGGACGACAAGATCATCAAGCGGGGCCTACCGCTGCGGGAGGGCTTCTGGGACCTTGCTGGTTCTGAAAAAATCAAAGAAGCGACACGCAACAAGTTGGGACTTACCACAGGTGTCCCTACAGCATTAGTCGTCGGCGGCGGCGACGGCGTCGGGGGCATCGCCAAGGTCGCGACTGCCCTTGGTGATGCTCTAGGCGAAGCGAAGGACCCGTCGGGACTCGTGGTAGTCTGCGGCAAGAACGCGCAAGTAAAAAAGGAGCTGGAGGAGAGACAGTGGCCCGACAACGTGAAACCCACGATCCTCGGTTTTGTTGATAACATGGACGAGTGGATGGCGGCGAGCGACTGCATCGTGACCAAAGCTGGTCCCGGTACGATTGCCGAGGCCGCGACGCGGGGTTTGCCTTGTTTATTATCTTCCCACTTGCCGGGGCAAGAAGCCGGCAACGTGAAATTTGTGGTAGAGAATGGCTTCGGCGCGTTCGTCAAGAAGCCCGCGAAGATCGGCGAGACCATCGCGAAGTGGTTTTCGGACTTGAATCTGCGGGAGCGGCTGTCGTCGAAGGCGCTCGAGGCCGCGCGGCCGTCCGCGACGCTAGACATCGCGCGGGACATCGGCGGACTGCTCTTCGAGGGGAAGGCGCCGCAGCAAGCGTAATGTGGGGATTACTAGTCTCGCGTCGATGGCGTTGGGGGTCGACTCGGAGTCTTGCGTCTCGAGCCTTCAAAACGGGTTTTCCCACGGCCATTAGCGAGCGTGTCCTATATCATCAGCAGGGCGCGTCATGTTACGGTCAGAATGCGAGACGGCACAACTGATCCACTGCGCAGAGACTGGAGACGCGGCCAACTTGCGGAGACTGCTCGGCCACTATGGCTTGACACGCGATTATTCCCAAATTCCCTACTCTCGGACTGTACTTCATAGGGCGTGTATTGCTGGTCAGCGCGAGTGTGTTGTCGAGCTCCTCAAAGCGGGCGCCGACCCAAACGAGGTCGACGATAACGTCAGTACGCCTCTGCATTTGACGATTAATGTTCCAGAAGCCGATGTTGACAGGGTTGAAAATGGCGACAGGGTTCGCATTGTAGACTCGCTCTTACAAGCCGGTGCAAAGGTGGACGCGGCCGATCATTGGGGCGAAACACCATTGCACGACGCGGCAACGTGTAGCCTCAGCGAGTGCATGCTTCGGCTCATCAAGGCGGGTGCGAACGTGAACAAAGCGAGCGAAAGGGGTCGGACTCCGCTCGATAACGCCTTTGTCTCGTACGATGATCCGGCCAAAGAACTTGTGAACACGAGAAAACGCCGTCGCATCTGGCCTCTACTCCTCCGTGCCGGTGGAGTGTCACAAGATTATGATATTGACAGGGTGAAGAATAAACCGGGCCACGACTACATCCACAAAGTGGTGTCCGCGGGCGGCTGGAAGGCTCACGAGAAGGCGCACCGCGCGCGGCTCGTCGCGACGTTTGTCCCGAAGCTCCGCATCCCCGCCGACGTGGTACCCCTCGTCGTCGACTTCTGGGCCCATGTCGGTTTTTACTAAGCGTATATGCCTTATGCACGGGGAGAAGGGAAATTCTTTGGTCTTGCTTGGCGAGCCGCTCGGCCTGGAGCGCGGAGATGGGCTCCTCGTGCGCCGGGTCGACGGGGAGGCCCTCCTCCTGGGCAAGGGCGTTCTCGAAGCGCCTCAGGAGCGCCATGGCGCGGCCGGCGAGGGCGGTGTCGCGTCCGGCGTAGTGGTCCCGGGCGCTCAGCAGCAGGTTGCGCACGTCGACGGCCATGGCCGGCGCCGACGGGTAGAAGTCGATGCGCACGCGCGCGCGGATGATCTTGAGCGTCATCGGCTCCTTCGAGGGGGCGGCCGAGAGCTCCGCGGCGCGCTCGTCGTTGGCCACGATGTCGAGGAGCGCCGGCAGGGCCTCCAGCGGGCCGGGCGCCATCATGATGATGTCTATGCTGTCTTGCGGGGCGCCGGGCGGCGGCGGCCGGTAGAGCGGCGGCGACGCCAGCGTGAATTCTTTTTGTCGCGTCCGCGACTCCGCGTCCTGGGGTCAGACGGTGCGGCGGCGCGTCCACGGCGGCGGCGGCGGTCAGATGGGCGAGGGGCGTCGCGTCAGTGCCCTGGGGGTGTCGCGCGGCGCGCGGGCGCAGACTTTTTAGGCCGGGCACTTACAGCTTCGAGTGCTCCGCGCTATTCAGGGGCGACGCGTCGAGACCGGCGGGCGCGTGGCGCGAGAATACGTATACACAGCCTCCTTCTCAGGGAGTGGCGACACCTGAAAGCCCTTGGGTGAGTAGCTGTGAGCTCCAAACGACTCAGTGCGGCAAAATAATCGAGCAAACCGTCGATAGGTTGAGAGCAATCCCGCGCGGATGGGGGATCAAGAGACCCCTTGGCCGGGCGGGAAGCGATCCTGGGCCTTGCTGCTTGCTAGTGTCTTACAGCCGCTAGCTAGACTCAAATTTGCAGGAGACGACAGGAAACGGGCTGTAGCAGGCTCTATTCGTGGACCTGGCGCTATAGAAGCTACGTGCGCGTAGCGCTGCAGCTCTTACGCAAAGTTCTTGGAGCGTTCACGTGCGTGCGCTGCCCATACAATCGAATTCGCACCACAAGGCAACTTCAGCAACGCGCGCGCGGCGCGTAAAGGAGACCAGCATTCATGTATGAAACGACAAGCTACGACGTCGTCGGCGGCGAGGTCGCAGACGAGGTCAAGGACGAGGAGAAGCAAATCGACGTGACGGGCGTCGAGGTCGCGCTCGACGAGCGTCCGCCGGAGCCGCCACTCGCCGCTGCGCCGCCACCGCCGCCTGACGAGCCAGCAGCGACGCCCTTCGACGAGGAGACCACACCACAAACAATCGACGAGCCGCCGAACCCGTTCGACCAGCCCTTCGACGAGCCCACGACGCCGACGACGCCGGCGCCGATCCCGCCGAACCCATTCGCCGCGGAGGACGCCGGGGCGGCGCCGGCGCTGTTCGACGAGCCGACAACACCGACGGGAGCAACGATCCCGCAACAAACAGAAGTACCGACGCCGTGCCGGCGGGACTCGGAGATCGCGCGGGAGCTCCACGAGGCGGACGCGGCGCGCGCGCGCGAGCTCGACGAGGCGCGGCGGCGCGACGAGGAGCTGGCGGCGCGGCTCGCGGCGGACGACGAGCGCGAACGGGACGCCGCGCGGAAGCGCGACGAAGAGCTGGCGGCGCAGCTCCTCGAGGACGACGAGCGGGAGGCCCGGGCGGCCGCGGCGCAGCGCGAGCTCGACGACGCGGCGGCGGCGGCGCGCCTCGCGTCCGAGATGGCCGACGCCGAGCGCGCTCTGGAAATGCGGGCGGAGAGCGACGCGGCGGTGGCGCGGCGCCTGGCGGGCGAGGTTCCGCTGCGCCGCGGGAGCTCGGACGAGGCCTACGCGCGCGCCGTCGCGCTCGCGCTCGAGGACGAGGACGAGGAGGACGAGGCGCGGACGCGCGACGACGCGCTCCTCGCGCGCGCGCTGCAGCACGAGGAGGCGCACGACGCGGAGCGCGCGCCGCGGCGCCGCGGCGACGCCGACCTGGACCTCGCGCTCGCGATGACGCTCGACGAGGAGGAGGCCGCGCGCCGCGACGCCTACGAAGCGGCGGGCTCGGACGACGAGGCGCTCGCGCGCGCGCTCCAGTCCCAGGAGGACGACCGCCATCAAGCTTTCGCCTTCGACGATGAGGCGCTCGCGCGGCGCCTCGAGGAGGAGGCGAACCTCGAGGCCGTCAGGCGCCTCGCGGCGCGCGATGAAAATGAAGACGCGCGCCTGGCCTTCGAGCTCGAGCGGCAGCAGCACGAGGCCATGAAACGGGCCGAGGACGACTTTTCGGTGGCGGCGCGCGTGCAGCGCGAGCTCACGGCGCGCGAGGAGGACGAAAAGGCGGCAGCACGGCGTCGCGAGCTCGAGCCGCCGTCGCGATTAACGCGGCCCGCCGAGGCGCCTCAAAAGGAGAACAGAAAACAGCGGCGCGAGCGCATGCTGCTCGAGGAGGCCCGCGAGATCGAAAAGAGGGCGGCTATGAGCCTGGGCCGGGACCCGTCGCTCGACGAGCTCGCCGACCAGGCGGCGCGCGACCAGGCGGCGGGCGCGGCGACGACCAGCCGCACGTCGGCGGCGCACGCGATCGCGGCGCAGAGCGGCGGCGACGTCTTTGGGAACATCGACTACGCCCTCGGGCGGGCCGCCGACGCGGAGCGCCTCGCGGCGGACCGCACGTACGACCAGCGGCGCGAGCTGCTGGCGCGGGCGTCGCACCGGCCGGACGACTCCAACAGGTTGCGGGCCGCCGCGCTCCGCCAGCGCGCGGAGAAGCAGGGCGACCGCGCGGCCGGGCTGTACTTCGCGGCGAACAACGGCCACATCCTCGACGAGGCGCGCGACGTCGAGCGGGCGCGCAATTTAGGATTGGAGGGCGTGCTGAACGAGGCGCTGGTGAATTTACACGCGGCCTTTTCGAACGGCGAGCGCGTCCAGGTCGACCTGCACTGGCTGACGCGGCGCGACGCGACCTTCGTCGTCGACGAGGTCCTGGACGTGCTGCAGCGCGCGGAGTGGCGCAACGACCCGGACCTCTTCTTCCAGGTCGGCCAGGGCCGCCACTCCGCGGGCGGGCGGCCGGTCCTCCACGGCGCCGTCTGCGACTGCCTCGAGAAGGACATGCGCTCGTCGCTCCGCGCCCGCGAGGGCCTCGACCACGTCCACGTCTGGCACCGTGCGGGGCGGGACCGGTACGCGGCTGGGTAAGTGTGTTGTTTGACCTTGCTTCACCTTTCCATTGTATGATATATCGCAACGGTGTGCGCGCGTGCCGTGTCGTAGTAGAAGTCCGTGTAATCACGCCACAATCATCTTTCCCGGTTCGGTGCTAGTGTCTCACCGCTATCCTCTGCCCGGCCGCGCTCTCCCGATTTTCGCAAGCCAGAGTCCTACCGTTGCGCCCTGGACCGGCTGCGCGAAACAGCTGCCCCGCGCGCCGCGAGCCACGTGCAAACTGCTGCCGACGGCGAGGCAGCCCCCTGCGTGCACAGCATTGAACAGGAATGCCGCGCACCTGGACCAGCGAGATCGCGTTGGCCAGCGGCGGCGTCGCGCTGTCCGTGGCCGCGGGCGCGCTGGGCGCCAAGCTGGCCGGGGCCGTCGACGGCTTAGGGTTTACTGAAGCGGTCAGACGATTCGTCGCCGGTGGCATCTCGGGTGCCGTCGCGAAGACGATTAGCGCGCCCCTCGCGGCGATCAAGCTCAAGCTCCAGTGTACGGAAGACGACGACGAGGGCGCGCTCGACTGCGCGCGGCGAATTTTTGAAAGGGAGGGCTGGCAGGGGTTCTACCGCGGCAACCTCGCGAACGTGCTGGGCTACTTCCCGACGCAGGCCTTCAACTTCGCCTTCAAGGACAAGATCAAGCGCCTGATGCCAAAGGTGGACCGCAAGAAGCACCCCTGGCGCGCCTTGGCGGTGAACGTCGTCGCGGGAGGCATCGCGGGCGCCGGCTCGCTGTCTTTGGTGTATCCACTCGACACCGCCCGCACGCAACTTCTTATTTGTACGAATGATGACGGGTCGCCCAAATACGCAAATATGGCCGACTTCTTCCGAGACTGGAACGGCGACGTGCGGAGGCTCTACGAAGGCTACGTCGTCTCGGTCGCCGGCATCATCCCGTTCCGGGCGATCTACTTCATCGTGAACGATACGCTCCGAGCAATCCTGCCGTGGATCCGCGACGAGGGCCTCAAGGGTATCGTTTCTAAATTCACGTGCGCGCAGTCCGCAGCACTGTGCGCCGCGTACGCCAGCTACCCCTTCGACACGGTGCGCCGCCGCCTGCAGGCGGACGCGCAACGGCCCCTCGGCGAGCGCCGCTACAAAGGGAACCTGGATTGCCTCAAGAAGATCTATCGCGTCGAAGGCGTCAGGGCGCTCTTCCGTGGCGCCGGCTACAACGCGCTCCGCACCATCACCTCCGCCCTCGCACTCGTCGCCTACGGCGAGTTGAAAAAGCGGAAGCGAGCGTAGATCTCGCCCCACTCGTTTCACATACCTCCTCGAATCTCCCGTTATACGCCATCGACGCAAGTGTCTATATACTAAGTCCGTTAGACGTCAGGGGGGAGAGGGACGGACAAGCTCAGAACTGGTACGTGATCTTGCGCGCCTTGAGGTTCGCCCAGCGGAAGCGTTTCGTATACCCGGCGACCAGCGCCGCCAGCCCCAAGGCCGTGATCCACCGGAAGCCACCCTTCTTGCGCTCGTCGTGCTCGGGCTCGGCGACCCAAGCTAAAAACACTGCCACATCTTTCGCCATCTGCGAGACCGTGGCCGGCGTGCCGTCGGGGTATTCGACCTGCTCGTCCATGAGCGGTGCGGGCATGCCGATGGCGCCGCCCGCGAAGTAGGGGTTGTAATACAGACCAGGAAGCATGGCCTTGCCGGCTGGGGCTTCACAATATCCAGAAAGTAGAGAAAAGATGTAGTCCGCGCCGCCGTGCCGCGCCTTGACGATGAGTGATAAGTCTGGAGGTAAGGCGCCGTTGTTGGCCGCTCGGCCGGCCTCCTCGTTCGCGTACGGCCCGGGCATATAGTCCGACAGCTTCCCAGGCCTTTCGAACATCTCGCCCTCGTCGTTGGGCCCATCCACAATCTCCACCTCCTCGGCCATGGCCTTGACCTCCTCCTCGGACCAGGCGCCGTACTCGACCAGATTGCGGAAGGCCAGTCGTTCGACCGAGTGGCACGAAGCACAGACCTCCTTATAGACCTGGAAGCCTCGCCTTACGGACTTGGCGTCCAATGCTGCTAGTGCCCCATGGTTGGACCAATGTAATTCCTGGGCCCCGATGTGGTCCTCGTTGCAGGACGCGACGGCGCCGGCGGCGACGGCCGTCGCGGCGGCGCCGATGGGTCGGGCCGCTTGGGACAGGGTCCTCGCGGCTTGGCGCGCGGCCCACATCTTTGCAGCTTTTTTTAAGAGGTGCCCCTACGCCGCGGCGCCCCTTCTTCTTTGTGCAGCTGAGGTCCAAGCCTAGCTGCTAGGGCCCTGCGCAGCGAGGCTCCCAAGCGCACACGTTGCACGTCGTCTACAAAAGCGTCTGCGACGAGCAGTACGCCTACCCCGCGTGCAGGAGGTCGCGCGCGGCGGTGCTTTGCCTCAATCTGCCCCGCGGCCAAATTCCATGTCTGGCGTCAGGACGGAGTCATCGACGCGTCGTCGGGCGTCGTGAACGCCTCCCTTCAGGCCTCTCAAGCCCGAACTAAAACGCAAAAGGGCGGGGGGCCTGGCTAGAGAGTCTCAGCTAGTGAGCAGCCAAGTCACTTTGTTTTTATTTGTTTTTAGGCGCTGCGCAAGCGTCACGACACGAATTACTGGACGAATGTGCTCTAATATAGCCAGCGCGTGTGCTGCGGTCGAAGAAACGAGAGCTTTTTGACGCATTTGCGAGCAATGGCAGAGCTCGCAGCGCCGTGGGCCTGTCCAGCCTGCACCTACCGCCACGAGGGAAGTGAAGCCGGCTTCTTGCAGTGCGCGATGTGCGGCGGCAGCAAAGCCACCGAAACCGCCGCTCCGGCGCCGGCGGCGCGGCCCTCGCCGCCGAAGAGGCGCCCGTCGCCGTCGCCCAAGAAACCGGCGAAGCGGCGGCGCTCGTCAGTGTCGCCGCAAAAAGGCCCGACCATCGCCGACTACTTCCGCCGCCCGCCCAAAGGCCCGCCGGACGAGGCATCGGCCGCCGCGATGGCGCCGGCGCCGGCGGCGTCGCCGCGCAGCGAACCGGTCGTCGTCGACCTCCGCGGGTCAAGCGACGACGAGGCGCCGCCGCCGCCGCAGCCGCGCCGGTACCGGCTCTCTCTCGGCGCCGCTGTCGAGCTCGTCGGTTTATCAAACGCCGAGTTCAACGGGCGCCGCGGCGTCGTCGCGGCGCCGCCGGCGGATCTCGCGGCCGGCCGCGTCGCTGTCACGGTCGACGGCCGGACGCTGGCGCTGAAGCGCGAGAACATTGTCGCCGCGCGGTCGGCGTCGCCGCCGCGGGCCGCGCCGCCGCCGCCGCCGCCGCCGCCACAAACGCCGACCGTCGAGCCCTCATCCGTCGACGACGCGCTCCCGGACTTCGACCCGGCGCGCGGCCTCGACGCCGTCTTATCAGTAGATGGCCGGCCCGCCTATGCCATCGTCGCGCGCGCACTGGACGCCGTCTCCGCGACGCGGAGCCGCTTGGCCAAGGAAAACGCTTTAACAAACGCCTTACGCTGGGGCCTGGCGGCGCCGACGACGAGCGCGCAAGACCTCGCGGCGCTGTGTTACCTCCTCGCTCCGACGCGCGACTCGCAAGGCGGCGGCCACCGTTTGGAGCCCGACTGGCAGCACGTGGCGCTCGGACTCCCTTCCAAGGCCATAGCGGCGGGCTGCGCGGCGGGCGCGGGCGCCTCGCCAGAAGCATTGAAAGCCGCCGCGCGGAGAACGGGCGGCCTCGCGGATGCCGTCGTCGCCGTGCGCGCCGGCCCGCCGTCGTTCTTCAAGGCTAAAGCGCCTAATCAGGCCGTCGCGCGGTCGCGGGCCGCCGCGGACGTCCGCGCGAGCCTCCGCGCGCTCGGCCGGGCGCGCTCGGACCGGGCGAAGGTCGACGGCATCGCGGCGCTGGTGCGCATCTGCGTGGAAATCACATTTCAGGCGCCCCACGCCATCGACGCGATGTCTTCCCCGTGACTGCGTCTGCTCGATGGCGTCAGTGGTTGATTTCCACACAGGTCCGGATGACGCGGGGCCACGAGGCGAAGTGGCTCGTCAAGACGCTGCCGCCGGCGATGCAGGGTGTGGGGATCTCCCTGGAAGCCACAGTGCTGCCGTGCCTGGGCCGGGCCGCTCTCGTGCGCTGCAAGGGCCCACGTGTTGCGAAGACCGACCTCCAACGGGCCGGCAAGAGCATCCGTGAGGCCTACGCGCGGCGCGGCGACGTCGAGGTCGTCGCGGACGCCGTGCTCGGCGTTATTCGTGGTGGTGAATCAGATTTCCACGGCGCGCTCGTCGAGGCGCTCGGCCGCGCGTGCTGCCTCGCGCCCGGCGTGCCGCCGGCGCCCATGCTCGCGAACCCCGCGAATTCTGTGAAAGATGCCGTCGCTCGCCTCTTGAAATACAAGAAAGGAACGACGGTCATCGGGCGATACCCGGCCATCGCCGTCGAGCGCAAGTACGACGGCCAGCGCGCCGCGATCCATCGTACCGCGTCGGGTGAAGTCCGCATCTTCTCGCGCAAGAACGACGACATGACGGCCAAGTTCCCGGACGTCGTCGAGTACGTGAACGCCGCAGCGCCGCGTGGCGTCGCGTTTTGCCTCGACGCCGAGATCGTCCCCGTCGGCGAAGACAACAAGCCGCGCCCGTTTCAGGAGCTCTCTACGCGGAAGCGCGTCGACGTCGCGTCGGCGGTCGTGGACGTACGAGTCAGGGTCGCCATTTTCGACTTGCTATGGTTAGGAGCCGAGGACATCACGTCGCGACCGCTCGTCGAGCGGCGCCGGGCGCTGAAGGCTGCGTTCGGGCCACCGTCGCGAGACGTCTGCTACGCCGACGACGGTTGCGCGGACGTGACCGTTGACGGAGACGACGACGAGGAGACGATCATGAGCGCTTTACACGACGCTGTCGATGCCGGGACCGAAGGACTTATGCTGAAGCGGCTCGACGCGCCCTACGAGTTCTCGGCGGGCCCTCGCTCCAACGCCTGGGTCAAGCTCAAGAAGGATTATTTAGATGGCTTGGGCGATAGCTTCGATCTCGTCGTCATTGGTGGGTGGCGCGGGCAAGGACGCAAGAACAAGTGGGTCTCGCCGGTCCTGGTCGCTGCGAGAGATCCGGCGACGGGCGCATTAGGAAGCGTATGTCGTGTGATGAGCGGGCTCACGGACGTATTTTACCGGGATTTCACGACGCGGGTGCTAGGCGGCGAGATCGTGGGCGACCGACGACCGAGCGGCGGCCTGCTCCGCAACGGACCAGCGCCAGGAGTCGTGACCGGCGAGACGTGTCGTTTTTGGTTCGAACCACGGATCGTCTGGGAGATCAAGGGCGCGGACCTGTCGCTGTCACCGGTGCACAAGGCCGCCGCGGGCCTCGTGCATTCACAGCGCGGCATCTCGCTCCGCTTCCCGCGGTTCCTGCGCGAGCGGCCGGACAAGAGTGTTCGGGACGCGGCCACCTTTGCGGAGGTCGCGGAGCGCTACCGCGCGCAGAGCAATGTGAGTAAGTAAGAGAAGTGTGATTACGACAATTCACAATATATGTACAAGCGCGTCGACCGGCGCAGGAGCTGTGTTGCTCCTACGGGGGGACACGCACGCCATACGCCGCGGCGTCGCTCAGATTTTGCGCTTGTGATTGCGACAATTCACAGTCTATGTACAAGTCGCGCCGACCGGCGCAGGAGCTTTGTGGCTCTTACGGTGGCGGCACGACATCACCATTTCAAACTTGAGACCAACTGGCCGCGACGGCCTTGCGCCCCGCGTCGATGGCGTCCAAAACAGCCGTCATGGCAGGCCGCTTCTCCGCGTCCTTCTGCCAAGCCTTATCCAGCATCGCGCAGAGGACCTCGGGCGCGCCTCGACGCCGACAGGCCTCGACGTCCGGCCGCGAGCCGCCATCGAGAGCTTTCAGGAAGCGCTTCATGTCGTTGCCGTACTCCAGATACGGCTTCGGGTCCCAGGCCAGTAGCTGCCATAATATGAGAGCGTACGAGTAGACATCAGCACCGAAAGAATAAGGTCGGCCGAACACGACTTCGGGCGCCATCCACCTAGGTGTTCCACAAACCGACTGGTCGGCCCCGTCGCCGACGACCGCGGACGAGTAGCCAAAATCTGCAAGTTTCGCTCGATCGCCGTCCAAGAGCACGTTGGCCGGCTTGAGGTCGCGATGGAGGATACCGACACCGTGTAAATGCGCCAAGCCCGCCGCGACGCCGTCCGCCAACTGCAAGGCGACGTCATCTACCGACGGTAGATGCGGCGCCTCCAGCCTTTGTTGTAGGGAGCCATCCCTGAGAAACTCCATGACCAAGCCGTGGGCGCCGTATTTGGGATCACCAAACGTACCAAAAAAAGCGACACAATTTATATGTGATACACGTCTAAGCATAGCAACTTCTCGGTCAAATTCCGTCCTCAGCTCGGACGGGCCCCTTTGTCTTGTAGAAGCCAGCGCCTCGGAAAAAACAAGCTTGACCGCGACATCCCTACCCCGATACACACCTCGCCGCACAAGACCGCCCCTGCCTTGCCCGATCTCCTCCCGCAGCTTTATTTCTTCCGCATCAAATTCTTTTTCACCAGTGACTGCTAAGGCCGGATTGCCCCGCTCCACGGCGGATTTCGGTCGTCCTACGACCCTCGTATTTTCCGTGGGTGGGTTCTTTCGCAAGAATCCTAGCAATGATCTTTTTGACGGAGGTTCCAAGCACGGTGCGAGCACGGCCGTCTCGAGCTCCAATCCTAGCGCATGCAAGTCGTCGATCCAGCCCGTCATCAAAGTCATAAATCTTTTAGCTCGTCTTCTACCGGCCGCGGCGCCACCATGCGAGGTAGGCGTAGCTCTCAACAGTAAGCGAGCTTGCAGTGCTTCCAATTCCTTGGGCGGGGCCAACAATCGAGCTAGTTCATCCGCATCCACACTACGAGGCGCACAGAGCACGCACGACTCGGCCTTGGCCGCGAACGAAGCACCGGCGGCGAGCATCGCGCCCCGCGCTTCTCCCACGAGCTCCTGGGACACCAACGCCCCGACGCCGTGGGCTCGTTGCGCCATGGCCGCCTCCTTCGCCTTTAAGAAGAGCAAATGGAACAGGACCGGCTTCGGTAATTCTTCAAAAGCTCTACGCGACGCCGCCGCCAAGGCTGACAGCAGCCGGTCGTGAACCGCCGAGAAACTTCGAATAATCCCGTACGTATCGCGAGGCCCCCGGTGGTGGTCCACGCGATAGCGCTCCGTCTCGAGCGCCGCTCTAGCTCGAATACACGCGTCGTCCCACATACTACCCGCGCTGGCAGCACAAGCGGCCCAGACTGCGTCCGTCCGGTCGCGCGTCGCCTTTAATCTTTCACGATCGAAGTCGTGCTCTTCGAGGGACGGAGGTGTCGGCGGCCGCACGTCGTCGGCGAAGGTCGTCTGGCTGTCGCTTCGCTTGAGGCCCTCGCGCGGGCCGGCGGCCGAGGCGACGTAGCCCGTCGACGCCGCTCGTTCCACGCCCGTCTCGTGGATGATCGTGCCGACGCCGTGGAAGAGGGGCGCCAGTCTCGCGGGGAGGTGGCGCGTGCTCTTGTCCATGGTGCTGTCCTGTTTTTAGATTAAGGTGGAGCAAGAAGGCAGCTCCACCGCTGCGGCCTCGCCTGTATTGATGCTTGCTGCTGCCTGTTGCCTCTTGTGCTTGACAGCTCTAAGCCATTGTTGCGCGCGATTCGAGAGCTTTCGCGCTGGCGACTATTGTGGTCAAAAGATGCTGCAGCGATCGCGCGAGCTGTGGGCACGCGTGGGCTTTAGTTGCCTCGTGCGACGCCGGGCTGCTTTTTGGTGCAGCATGACGCTCTGGGGCTCGGTCGGGGTTGATGGACGACTCCCCGGCACCCATTCGGCTCCAGGGAGTGGGTTAAGAAAACACAGAGAAGCTTAGTTCACGGCGGCGACTCCGACTCGGACGCGGCGGCCGCACGGGCGAACCTTTCGCGTGCATTTGCCAGCGCATCATGGATCCTCGGCGTCTCGGGATGAGAATCACCGAAGACGCGCCTCCATAAAGGTGCGACGCTCTCGAGCGTTTCCACGGCCTCGCGGAGCTCGGCGAGCGTGGCGCCAGGGTCGCCGTAGAGCGCACCCGCGTAACACCACCTCATCGAGAGTGCAAGTTGATCACTCTCTCCGAGAGTGCGTCGCGCCACGGGCATCATCTTGCGCAGCACCGACTTGGCCTCTTCGGAGCGCTCTGCTGAAAAAAGGGACAGCGCGTAGTTGTTGGCTGCTAGGAGGGTCTCTCTCTGTTCTGCGTTGAGCCTCAGACGGCCGGAGTATACGTCCTTCTCCATCTGTAAGGCGGAATCAATCCGCCCCAGCTTGGAATACATGGCAGCGATATTAGCTTTGACGGAGAGAATGGCGTCTTCTGATCCGCGGCCATGTCATTGGTATGGCCTTCGGGGCTGTTGGTGAGGCCAGCTCGAGCGTGTTGGATCACGCGAAAGCCTGTGCGGAGGCGATAAGCAAGGAAGCTATGTCGGAGGGCGATGTGGACGCAGTGACAAAGGATACGGGATACGGTCGCGTCTTGGGCGAGATCATCAGGGATTGGGGCGTCGCGTGCGCAAAGCGGCGGGCGGAATGTTTGATCAAGCTGGTGTCCAAGACCGTTCCTAACTTAAGCACGGCCAGTGGCGGAGGTCGTTTGGCGACGGACTACAACAAGTTCACTCGGCGTACGCCGGCGCTCGACGACTACGGCCCGCGCCTGCGGAACGAGGTCTACTTCCAGCAGGAGGAGTTCAACCGCATGTTTCAGGAGCGGCGTTCCTTGGCGATCAAGGCGGCCAAACAGCGGCTCAAGGGCATTACTTCCTCTGAAAAGCCGGACCCCGACGAGTCGCGACGCGGCCTCGGCATCGACCCCCTCGAGTCCAGCATTCTGGGCCCGCGGAAAGCTAGGAATATCCGGAAGAAGGTGGAGCGCGATCAGATCTTTGAATATCAAAAGCAGGCGTCCCGCGACGGCGAAGACTGGAGCCACGTTTATGATGAGGTCGCCGCCCAGGTGAACGCCGAGGGAAGCGCCGCGCACCAGCTCACGGCCGAGAGCGCGGCCGCGGCTCACAAACTTGCGGAAGCGGAGCACCGACAACTCTTCCGGGAGTCGCCGTCAGCGCGCTACATTTTCTCTTTAACTCCTGCTCGATGGCGCGGAGGTTGATGAGACGGTCCACACAGGTCGCCGTCGCTCCAGAAGCTCAGCCTGATGACGCCCGTCGCGACGTGTCCCGCGCGCGCCAGGCGCCGCCGCGAGTCGTTGTCGCCGACGGGCGAGCTCCCGACGCGCGAGGACTCGCTCGTCGCGCTCGAGGAGCTGTCCACGCTCGAGAGCCGCGTGGTCTGCGACGCGAGCGAGTCCGGGTCGCTGCCGTCGCCGATGTCGACGCCCGAGGACCCGACGATGCTGCGGCCGCGCGACAAGTTCCACACGCGCGGGCCCGCGTCGAATCACACGCCATCGACGCGACACCTGCTCGACCGAGAGCTGAGTCTGTGGAAATCCCGACTCGATACCACACACAGGCTGATCCGAGCGGACTCGCTCAACAACCACCGGTGGCAGGAGACCGAGGCCAAGTTCCTCTCCGCGGGCTCCTCCGACTCGCTCCCGCCCCAGGACCGCTGGAAGACGAGCCTGCCCCCCGGACAGAACACGACGGCGCCGCGACCGCGACACATCTGAGTGTTCCGCGGCGGCGGCTGGCGAAGTATGTAATATTCACTTTGATCACATTAGTCAGCTCGCCGCCTTGGCGCCACGGCTCCAGAACTCGAGCTCGAGCGGCCGGCTCGCGTTGCGCAGCCGCTCCATGACGACGTCCGGCGCCTCGCCGACGCACGACTCGCCGTTCAGCGCCGCGAGGCGGCTCCCTATGATAGGTTTCTCCAAAGCAGCATCGTAGGCGTCCGTCGTGCCGCTCACGACCAACGCCGCCTCGCGGACCTCGAAGTTGATGCCGATCGTCGGCCGCTCGTATTTTAGTACTTGCACGCCCGGGAGGCCCGCGATCGGCGCGTCCTCGTCGGTCTCTAACCAAGACTCGTCGGGCTTTTCAGAATCAATGGCGGCGTCGTCGTCCGGCGCCGAGAGGCCCTGGCGCTCGAACTCCGCGGCCGCCGTCCGCGCGACATTCAGGTCGAGCGCTTGCCGGATGTCGGCGCGGAAGGCCGCGCGCCGCGCGTCGGACGCCCTTGCTGCCTCTTCGTCGTCCTCCGGCTCCGGCGACGGCGGCACGGCGGGTTCCGGTGCTGCCGGCGCCTCCTCCTGCGACGCCTCGTCGGTGTCTTCCGCGGGCGGCCCTGCTTGGGCGGACCGGCTCTTCTTCACCTCTCTCACCAAGAGCTTGTGGCGCGCCCGCAGCGCATCGTTCGCCGTCCGCAGCGCGGCCACGTCGGCCTGCGCGTCTCTCGCTTGCTGCTGGGCCTCCGCGAGCTCCGCTGCCAAATGCTGTCCCGCCTCTCGCCGTTTTTCCGCCTGGGCCTCGTGTTCTTGTTTTAGGGAGGCCAAATCTGCTGAATGAGCATCTAACAACGCCTCGACGGCCGCCAATAAAGCATCATCATCACCGGGAACGGGCGGCCTCACGTCGTCGCGCTGCGCGACGCCGCGTTCATAGATCGACGCGACGCCATCTAGAACGCGCTGGCGCCGCGCGTCGGCCGCCAAAGCTGAACGTTTCGCCTGCTGCTCCGCTTCTGAAGCGGCGGCCGCCGCGCGTTCCAAGGAAGATATATCAGCAGCAAAATCGTCGCACTGCTGCCTCATCACTTCATTCGCTTCTTTCAGGCGCGCGTAGGAACTCCCCTTGAGGGCGTCGATCCAGCCGTAGCCTTCGCTCTCGCCGGGCGCTCGCAACGAGAAGATCAGGGGCTTGGCGTTGTCCGCGCCCGGCGGCGCGGCCCGCGCCAATTCAATCGTCACGCGGCCGTCTTGATGCACTTCTCTGCAAGATACAGAAGTGAAAGCCTCGACGTCCACACAGCCGAGCGGCTCCTCGTCGGCGTCGCTGCCGAAATAATACAGCATCGTCGTCGGCTTCAGGACGAAGAAGCGCCGCTTCCACTGGTGGTTCTCGCCTAGACCGTGGAGGTAGCCCGCCTTGACGCTGGCCCTCGCGAGTCTTGCCGCGTAGGGCTGGCCGCCCAGCAGACCGTCCGCGGCGCTCGACGCCGCGTCCGCTAAGCGGGCGCCGAGGGTGTGCAGCATCTTTTGTAGTTCTTCAGCTGTAGCGCTGCGTCTCGTTGGGCCGCGGCGGCGGTGAGTAAATGCGTGCGCGTGCTGTAACTCGCAGCGCTGCACAGCGCCGGCGGCGTTTCCGCTTTCTAAGCGTTTTTACGCGGCAAAAGCAAGCGCAAGCGGAACGTGTGATCTCTGGCAATCAAAATGTGATGCTGCCACCACAGGTGCGAGGAGTGCGCCTCTAAAAAACCGCGGAGAGCGCGACCCAAGATGTTGCTTAGCGTCCTGTAAGACACTAGGATCCGTGCGACGAATTCTACCTGGGAAGGATGCGTCGCGTTACCTCTCCTCCCGAGCCCGTCGTCGCCGGTTCGCGCCTGTCGGGCTGCCTTCAGGTCCGTTCCAAATGCCCCCGGCCTAGCGCGAGGCGCTTGCCAAGGCAAAAGCACCCAAAAAGCACGCCCAAACACCACCGCGGGCCTAGTGACATTCAGTCGGACTCCCTAGACGCCACCGCAGCGCCAGCGACCGCGAGACGCGCGGACCGGGCTGCCCCGCAGACCGATAGCACCGGGCTGCCCCGCGACGCGACCATGGTCGCCCCAACGCAAACAGCAACACGAACACAGCGCCCCCGGTACAATGAGGAGGACCTCCAGGGCCTCACGCTCATGTCGGACCCGAGGGTAATACGAGGATCGACGCACTCGTTGTATCGAGACGACTCCCTACCTGCCGCGGGCTCGGCGCTCGACGCCGTCGCAAGGCGCCGCCCGCGGCGACGGCGCGCCAAGAAGCGGGAGCCCACCGTCTTCGAGAAGGCCCAGGTGCCCGCGCCGCGATATGTGCCGCTCGACCTGACACCGTACCTCACCGAGCGCGAGGAGCAGCGGAGCACAACGACTGCGAGCGAGCAGACCGACGGCTTCCTGGAGCAGCCGCCGCCGGCGCCCTACGTCCCGCCGAAGACGGGTATTGATGTGGAGACGGACATGACCGAGAGCCAGCCGTTCGACGAGGGCCGCGAGGGCGAAGACATGTTGGTTGACGTCCTCTGTGAGAAGACTTTGGAACAAGCTCTCCTGGAGGCGGAGCAGGAGTTTGAATTAGAAGGCATCCAGGCGAGGAACGACGAGCTGACCGCTGCGAAGAATGCGGAGGCAGCGAAGGTCAAGGCCCTCGAGAAGGCGACGATGGACGACGAGGCCCAGAAGCTGTCGGACCTGGAGTACCACAAGCAGCGCTTGGCTCGCGAGCGCGATTTGGCTCGCAAAATTGGTGCTGTCGAGTTCATGGCGCAGAACGTCGACCCTATTTTTGAAGCTGCGTTCCAGCACTTTGAGAGCCGGGGCGCGTGGCCGGACCCCGTGGAGTACGAGATCCGCAAGGAGTTCCTGCCTTCTCTTATCAATGGTGTGGCGGAGCAGCTCCAGGGCGAGATGCTGCTCGCGCAGAAGGTGCTCGACGATGTCATTCAGGGCTGCGTTGATGGATGCAATTATCATCCGGAGCTCGAGCCGCCGAAACCGCCGCCGCCGCCCGAGGAGCCGGAGGAGGAGGAGCCGGAGGAGGGCGGCGACGACGCACCGCCGCCAGAGGAGTAAAAACTACAAAGACTACGTTGTTTGTGCCTCCAACCCGCCACGGTGGACGACAATCCCGTGGTCCGGCGTGGACGGCGTCCGTCATTGTTGAATAATCACTTAAACACAGGACAACACACACCTAGGGCCCGTCGCCGTACTTGGCGTGCTGGCTGTCGACCTCGGCGATGTAGGCCGCGATGGCGTCCGGCTTGGACATGCCCTTGCGGCTCGCCCACGCGTCCCACTTCGCTCTAGCTGTGACTTGCATGGCCCAGGGTTGGGGGGTCGTGTTGTCGCCGACCGTCACCTGCTTGAAGAGGCCGTAGCACGCGAGCTTCTCGGCATTCGTGACCTTGCTGCCGCCGTAGGTCCAGCTTTTGACGAACGCGACCTTCGCGTCGAAGTCGCTTTGCGTGGACATTTTTTAGAGTGCTAGTTATGAGACAGTGCTTGATGACTGATGCTGCAGCGGTCGATGGCACGGCGTCTCTGGATTGCGTGCGCGCGTCGGCAGTGTGTGGATGAAACCGCAGCAGTACTGTGGCGGCTAGAGTTTTGCACTGCAGACGACAGAACTGCGTCGGTCGTGCCTGCAAGCTGTTAGCTATTGACGAGGCTGTGCGCGCGTCGCGTCGGCGTGACAAATGCGCGGTAGCGGCCGACAAAGCAAAAATTATCCCGGCGTGAGCTAGCGGCCGGTAAGACACTAGCAAGCCTTGGAACATCTCAGCGTACTTGTACGCGGGGCTGCCCGGGCAGCATACGTCGTCTTCGACGATGATGCGCGGCCTCGTCGCAGCACTCGTCGCAGCCGTCGTGCGTGGCACGGATGTGGCCGTGCAGGCCGACACCCTGGAGCTGCTGGAACCGAAGCTCGGAGGCGTCGCACTACAGCTCAAGGAGCTCGAGGCCATGAAGGCGCGGGGCACGCTCAACGACATGACCTTCGCGCACGCCGTGCACGAGACGACCGTGCTCGGACCGCTCACCGCCTCCTTGGCGGCGATGGGCGTGCTCCACGACAAGGGCCAGCTGTCCGACGAGGAGCTGGCCTTTGCTAAGTCAGTGGCCTTCGCGCGCTACGACCGCGACGAGCAAGGCCAGGTTTTACTACCTGGCGACAGCAATCCATCAACGAAACCGGCGAACGTCAAGCTCGCGACGGCCGACGACAAGCGTAGGGAAGCAGAAGCGGCGGCCGAGAAACGCCGCGAAGCGACGAAGCTCGCCATGGCGGCGGCCGAAGAAAAAGCTAAAGCCGAGGAGCAGCGGCGCGCGGCCGAGAAGGCGCGGAGGGAGGAAGAGCGCGCCGCGAAGAAGGCGGCCGAGGCCGCGGCGTTCGAGCGCAGGGCCGCGGAGGCGGCGGCGGCCGCCGCCGCCGCGGACGCCGCGGCCGACGCCGAGGCGGCCGCGGCTTTGAGAAAAGCGGAGCAGGGGCGCGTCGAGGAGGCGGAAAAAATCGCCGCCGAAGCGCAAGCCTACGCCGACGAGGCGAAGCGCGCGGGCAACACCGAGGCCGCCGCCGAGGCCGAAACTATCGCCCAAGAGGCGCGCGCGGCCGTCGCCGAGGCGCGCGAGGCGGCGGAGGCGCCCGAGGCGCCTGTCGTGCTCGACACGAAACCCGCGGAGCCGGAGCCGGAACCTGAGCCGGAGCCGGAACCTGAGCCGGCGGCGGCCGCGGACGACGACGAGGCCGCCGCGGCGGCGTTCATGGCCCAGGCCGCGGCAGAAAAAGCTGCCTTCGACGAGGCGGCGAAGCAAGAAGCGGCGGAAATCGCCGCACGAGAAGCGAAGGCCAAGGCCGCGCTCGAGCCGCTCGCGAAGGCGCGCGAGGCGGCTAGAGGCGCGACGTGTACCGGATGGCACCAGACGGGGAGGTGCACGCCCGACGGCCCGCGGGAAGCGCACTCCGACCGGTCCTGCGACGACGACGTGCCCGCGGGCGCGTCCGGCTACTGTGAATGTGGCGACGGCAAGGCCGCGAAGTCGGACTGCGACCACGCCTCCTTCAAGTGCCAGGCGATGTGCGCCGCGCGCCAGGCCTACACGAAGGACGGCGACGTCTGCGAGGGCTGGCGGCAGACGGGCGGCTGCTCGCCGCACGGCCCGCGCGAGGCCGGGAGCGACCGGGGCTGCGCCGAGGAGGTCCCTGCCGGCGCGTCGGGCTACTGCGAGTGCCACGACGGCACGCGAGCGCGCGAGTCCGACTGCGACCACGGTATCTTCACGTGCGGCGAGGCTTGTGCTGTGCACCTCGGCCTCGCGTACCCGGACGGCTAGCTGTTCGCGTAAGATTGAAGACTAAGTTGTTTGCGGTACCGGGACTAGTCGGCGGAGATTCGCATCGACGGCGCGGCGCGGACCGATGCTGATTATTGTTTCGGTGCTGGGCGGCGCGGGGATGGCGCGGGCATGGCGCGGGCCGACGCGCCGCAAGTAGCCACCAGCGACGCTCCCTTTTTACAAGACAGCGTAGAGCTAGCTTCCTAAAGATCCCTCTAAGCAGCCACTCGTCCCGCTTGCGGTGCTGAGACGAGTCGGCGGATTCACATCGGCGGCGGGCGCGTCGACGCGCGGTCCCGCCACTAGCCACCACGATGCCGCCGTTTTGCAAGAGCAGCAGAGAGCGAGCTTTCGGAGATCACTCACCGGACGCTTGCGCCGCGGAGCCCTGCGGCGCTGGGCTCTAGCGCCCCATCCGGCAGCGCCCTCCCAACCCATCGCGCAACGCGTTGCATCTCGGCCGCTCAAAAACCGGGAGCAGCCCGCGGCTGCCTCCACACCGCTCCACGCACGACGAAACAGTGCGAGCTGCACGCAGACTCAGGCGACGCGCGGCGGCTGCTGCCCAGCCATCGAGTAGCATAAGCACAGCATAGCGCTTGCTGCTGGACCAGGCATCCGGTGCAGCGGGGGCGCGAAAGCGGCCGACACGAGCCGAGATGGCCAGCCCCCCGGCGGGCATCAAGGAGGCCACCGGTCAGGCAGATGAGGCCATCTTCGCGAACGAAGTGTTCTTCGATAAACGAGATCAATCTTTGTATATACCCGCATACCTCGCCGTAGTGGTCAAGTCGCTGCGGAACATGAAAGAGGAGGAGGAGACGCTCGACGTCCTGCTGACCATGGTCGTGCGCATCCAGTTCAAGGGCATCGATGAACAGCTAAGGCAAGAATGCCTCGACAAGATTCTGTTGCGGGTCAACGACGTGCCGAAGCCAGAGGCGACCGACTTGAAATCCAGAGACACGAACTTCGCCTGGAAGGGCGATTTAGCGATGATCACGTCGCGCATCAACCTAGAAAAGCATTTGTTCACGTCGTCGGACAAGGAAAAGGGCTACGGCCAGTGGGGCCGCTTCCCGTTCGACCACCCGGAGATCTTCATCAAGATCGAGGCGTCGGGGCATACGATTAACGTGCCTGGTTTTTTCAAAGGGTTTAAGGTACGATACACTTTGCATGAAGTGATAGCAAAAGATGATGCGTATGACAGAGTCAGGACGATGGTCAGTTTCAAGGAAACGACCGATGCGTTACCCGCGTTCGAGCTCATGCTTTCAGGGGTCGGCGTGAAGTTCCCCCAGTCGAAACGGAAGCATTCGAAGTCGTGGTACTATCCTGCAGTCGTGTATCGAGTACCATTACTACGGCATCCGTTCCCCGTGATCCGCAACATGATCATCCCTTTACTGATCACTAATTTTGCCACCATCAGTACGTTCAGGATGCGCGTCTTCCCGCCGCCGCACGAGGGGTTTAACGAGCGGACGGCGACACTCGTGACCATTCTTTTGGCATTGTTCGCCTTCCTGTCGGCGGCACATTCAGCGTTACCTGATCTACCGGTCAATACCTTCATGGACCAAGTTATTTTTTACTCTATCATTGTTACTTTTTTTGGGCTCTTGGACAACATGTGGGCCTACGAGACGGTGCACTGGGCAGCGCTGACTGTGAAACAAGGCTCCATGAACGCCTACGCGCGAAAGCGGCGGAAACTTGTAGGTAGAGATACCTTTGAGGCGTTTGAGCAGAATGCCGTCGAGCCCATCGGGAACATTGCCGATGTATCCATCTACGAGTACGACAAGCGGGACGAGCGGTCTTTTGAGTTTCTGAACATCTTCGTCGAGAATGGGCTCCAACGGACTAAACTCGCGCAGCTCCACCGCGGCGTGCGCTGCGCCATTTTCCTGGGCGTCATCTCCCTGACCATGTATCTCATCATCAAGCTCATTCTCAAGGTGCGGGAGTACCGGAACATCCTGCTGATCGACGAGCTCATTTTGAATGATGGCCAGACGCAACCGAGTAAAGAGCAAAAGATGAAACGGTATAGCAGCGGGAAGAAGTACGACGCGAAGAACTTCTCGGTGCCCTTCACGCACGAGGAAGGCTTCGTGCCCTTCATGGACATCGTGAACTCTGGCGGCGCGAAAGTCCACGCGATCTTCGAGTCGAACCGGGAGGTGCGGTGGTACGTCACCGACGGTGAGAAACGGACGGAGTACGCCGATGCTGTGCAGAGGAGGCTGGAGGAAGCCTACCGGGATCTGCAGAGCGGTAGCGGCCCGCAGTATCCTACGGTAGCTGTTGACGGCGGAGAGGTCTCCCTGAGGAACATGCAGGAGATCTCGGCGACGGGCGTGACGAGGCCTGTTATCAGAGAGTAATATTTATGTATCTTACCCGGGGAAGAGCGTCTGCCGCTCGAACAGGTTGAGTTGGACCGAAGCAAGGAACGCCGGCACCGAGTTGCAGAACTTGAGGTTCGCGAACAGGCGCTCGTCGAGCTGGTCCGCGAAGGGCGTCGCTAATAAGTTGACGCCGTCGTCGCTCCAGGCGAAGAGTAAGGAGTCGTCCTCGCGCTCGGCGAACATCGACCTCAGTCGAACTTGCGGGTGGCCCTCGCCCAGACCCTGCATGTCGACCTTGAAGCCCGTTAACAGATACACGGCGTCGCGAAACCAGTTCAGGTGCTCCCGGAACCGCTCCTTGAGCCGCGCGTGGAGCGTGGCCGGGTCGACACCACCCTGTACCTCCTCCTTCTTGGCCGCGGCGCGCTTCGCCGCGGCCGCGGCGGCGGGGTTGTCGACCAGATGGACTATCCTAAATTCCTCGGTCTCATTTTTTGAGGGTTGTGGCGCCGCGTTTGCAGGTTCTGAAGCGGGCGGCTTCGAGTCCCTTAATGCTTTGGCAGCGGCCTCGAGCTGCGACTCGAGGTCGCTCACACGCTTCTTGAGGGTTGCGTCGGCATCATTGTCGTACGTCGCCGCCAGTCTCCTCAAACTCTCGGTCTCCTTGATATATAACGAGCGCTCGCCCTCCCATGCTTTTTTATCCGCATCTACTCGGGACAACTGCGTCCGCAGCCTTCTTGTTTCAGCGTCGGCGGTCGCTAAGCGACTCTCGCACTGCTTCAGCGCCTGCTCGTGCTTCTTCGACTGCGACCGCGCGTCGGCGGCGTCGCAGTCGGCCCGCGTTTTCGCGTCGATGGTCACCTTGAGCAAATCTAAAGCTTGCCGCGCGACATTTTTGTCATCATCACTATCAACTAATCCTCGAAAGCGCGTCGCCCACTCGCGCCGTTCGGCTAGCAACGCGTCGCGCTCGGCCCTTACCTTCGAGTCTTCGGCGTCTTGCTCAGAAAGAACTTTAATTTGAGCCTCTAACGCGCGCACTTTTTCTCTCTCAAGAGCCGCGCCGCGGGCCTCCCTTTTAGATTGATCAATCTCAGCTCGGAGCCTCGTCGTAACAGCTCGTTCTTTGGCGAGGTCGGCCCTTGCAGCAGTAGCTTGAGAAAGGGCGTTCTGCGCATCTTCACTTAGTTTTTCGACCGAGGGCTTTACTTCGAGCGCGTCGAGGACAGAACCGGAAGGCGCGGGCGGCGGCTCCGGTATGTCCTGCGCTTTACTTTCGGCGATCTCGAGGTCGCGTTTCAGGGCCGCGACGCGACATAGAGCGGCATCCAGCGACCCGCGGTCGGCCTGCTGCTTCGCCTCTGCTTTTCTCCGCGCCTGGTTGGCCTTCTCGAGCTCGAGCTGTGAAGCAGCGGCGGCCGACGTTTTCTCCGCTTGAGCGCTCTGGACGGCCTTCTGGGCGTCAGCAGATTCACTCTCGAGGAAGGCGCAGCGCGTGGCCAGCGCGTCGCGCTCCGCTTTCAGGGCGGCGGCCTCGGTCTCCTGGGCGAGCCGCTTTTTTTCTGCTTCACGCGCGGTCTTGTGCGCGTCTTTTAACGCAGCGGTGGTCCGCACGAGCGCGTCGGTCGGGTCGTCGTCGGGCTCTTCTTCCTCGGCTCGGCGCTTCTTGGCGCGGCCGCGGCGGGTCGTGATCATGCTGTTTCCTTCCCTGTCTACGGGTGGCCGCGCGCCGCGCTGCGTTCCGGGCGGCTCCAGGGTGCACGGCTGTGCGCGCCTGCTGGGGGGTCGGCGCGCGCCCAGTCGTTTGAGCGATGGAAGGGCTGGTCAAGAAGGACTGCCAGCGCCTATTCACTGTCGTCCCGGCTCGCTCGTGGGGCCGTACCTCGACTTTGCCAATCGGCCTGCGCTAGCGTCGTGTAAGGCGCTAGCGCTGCCAAATCGGGCTCGACATCTCTGTTGCGGCTTGTGCTCGCTCCAGAGGCCTTCTGCTTACGCGTGGCAGCTTTGTTCACCGTCCAGCAGTGCCACAGAAGTCATGGGCCGTCGGCGAGCAGGTTCCGGTGGCGGCGGCGGCAAGGCTAAGAGTCCAGCCCCGGCGCGCAAACAGATATCATGGCGCCTTCAGCACTGAAATCCGGCGGTGAGACAGCCGCACTGTCACGCCATCGAGCAGACTCGCGGCGATGGCTTGGTGGTCGACGCGATGGCCGCCGCGGCGCCGAGCGACGCCCGCCCTGGTTGATTTGCAAGAGCAACGCACCCAACGACTCACGATTCGCCCACAACGCAGGCCCCGCCAAGAAGAAGCAGGGCGGCAAGAGCCCCGGCAAGAAGACGGTGACCGTCGTCGTGAACCAGGGCGGCGGCAGGAAGAAGAAGGGCCAGCAGCAGAAGCAGCAGCAAAAAGGCAAGAAGCAGCAGCAGCAGAAGGGCGGCCGGGGCCGCGGCGGCGGCCGCGGGCGCGGCGGCAAGGGCCGCGGGCGCGGCGGCCGCGGCAAGGGCCGCGCGAAACCGAAGACGGGCGAGGATTTAGATGCCGAGATGGACAAGTACTGGTTCAAGGCCGACCCGAACAAGGCCTTGGACGCCGGCATGGACGCGTACTGGGCCGCGCCGTCGCCCGCGGCCGAGGAGGACGCGCCCGCCGCCGCGGAGGACGCCGCGGCCGAGCCCGCCGCGGAAGAGGCGGCCGCCGAGGCGTAGAGCTGGCCTGGACGCGTGCTATCATGTCGTACTTAAGATCTCATTACACTACTGCTTGCGTCCTCGCGTCTCATACGTACTGGCCCGCCCAGAGGCCCGGTCGGCCGCCTAGAAGTTTCATGTGTCTCCCAGGGACACCTGACGCGCGCTGCAGACGCGTTCAATTTTTAAACAACTGCGACGCTAGCGTAGTACCGCCACTAGCCCAGAGAGCGGGCGCGGCAGGACAATCCATTTTGAACGTACCGACGTCCTAGCGCAGCTTATCCGTGGCCAGCCTGCGTCGAGGTCAATATTCCTCTCACCTGCATCCGCTGCTCGGCGCGCAACACTCAAAATCCACCAGCGCGCGCGTTCTCGGCTCAAAACCAAAGCAGCCTCAAAACCGCTGCTGCGCGCCCGCGCAAGGCTGCGCCGCGCGCACAGCCCACACGACATGAAGAAGCGACCAGAGAAACCACTCCCGCCCACAGAACGCGCCGTCGCCGCGCCGCCGGCCGAAGCGGACCGTTCCGCCACGCAGGTCCGAAACCGCGCGCCCATAGAAGCAGCCGCACAACAAAACAAAGATGTCCGGCTACGGCGGCTACGAGTACGACAACGCGAACGCCGACAGCGGCGGCGGCGGCTTCCTGAGCCAGTCGAACCGCGAGTCCGAGGGCGGCGAGAAGGAGAAGAAGCCCCGCGACAAGCAGACGCTGACGCCCGTGACGATCAAGCAGTTACAAAGTGCCGAGAAGGGCGTCGGCGACGACGATGGTTACAAAATTGACAACGCCGAGATTCACTCCGTGCGCGTCGTCGCGTGCGTGCAGACGGACGAGGTCCGCGAGACGAAGGCCACGTACAACATCGAAGACGGGACTGGGTCTGTGGAAGTCACGTTCTGGCTGAACGACGCCCAGGACGAGGACTCGTGGGCGCGCCAGAAGCTCGCGAAGATGACGCCCGGCGCGTACGTCGTGGTCCACGGCAACATCAAGGAGTACGACGGGCGGCTGACGATCTCGGCCTACGACATGCGGCCCGTCGAGGACTTTAATCAAGTGACGCACCACTATTTGGAGGCGATCTACGTGCACGCCAAAAGAGTGGGCAAGATCCAGGTGTCGTCCGGCGCCGCCCCGGCCGCGAAGCGCGACTCGATGGCCGGCTTCCACCCGACGACGCACGGCCAGTCCGCGGCCGGCGGCGCCGACGGCGCCGACGGCATGACGTCCTTACAGAAGCGGGTCCTGGACTACTACACGGAGAACGGCACGGGCGACGAGGGCTGCAACACGGACAGCGTCGCGGCTTCTTTGGGATTGGACCTCGGCCAGGTCAAGGCCGCCGTCGAGTTCCTCTCGAGCGAGGGCCACCTCTACTCGACGATCGACGAGGACCACCACAAGTCCACGAGCGAGTGAGTGAGTTTCCCTTCTTTCTTCGTCCCTGTGCCCGCGAGTAAAGATGCCGAGCTAATACTCGGGGCGACGGCGTATGGGGGCTGCTAGGCGGCCTAGCTCTAAGCAAAGCAAAGATAGCGATACAGACATACATCGTTAGTAGGTCCCGACGGCGTGGCCGAGGACGCGCTCGAGCGGGCCCGCCCCGAACACGAAGTCCGCGCTTTGTACGGGCGCGCGGAAGGCGGCGACCTTGCCCTTTACGGATGCGAGGTCGGGCGCCGCGCAGCCGACGACGAGCGTCAGGTCCGCCGCCCGGAGCGCGTCGGCCAGGGGCTCGTCTGGCGCGTGGAATGACACTTCGCGCGCCGACGCCGGGGGCCGCGGGTGCGCCGCGCGGCTCGCACTCGCATAATCGAGAAAAAATACGAGCACGAGGCGGTCCTGGCCCTCGTCGACCGCGCAGGACCGGTGCGTGTACTCGTCGCCACGTAATAATACCGCGGCGCCGGGCTCGGAAAATAGGACGAGCTCCTCGTTGAAAATGAGCCCCGCCGTCTCGGGCCGCGACGCCGAGACGTGGACGACGACGGAAAACGGCGAGCCGTCTTTGTGGTCGCCGAGCTGCGCGTTCGTTCTCGACGAGTAGAGCGTCGCGTTCGCCTGGAGGCACACGAGGCGCTCGCCCGCGATGCTCGACGCCGCGGCCTCGATGCCAGGGAGCAGCGCCCGCAGCGGTTCCAGGTCGCCGCTGAGCGGGATCGGCGGCTCGGAATCGGCGTTGTGGAAGAAGTCCGAGCTCTTCCAGTTCGGGTAAAACGAAAGCTCGCGCGGCAGGTGTCGCCGCCGGATCCAGGCGTCGAGGTCGCCGGTCACCAAGGTCGGAAGGACGCAGTAGCCGCTTTGTCGGAGCTGGCGGCCGTGGCTCCGCGCGGCGCGGGCGTCTAGGGCGCGGACGGCCATCGATGGCGGTGTATCGCGCGCGTCGACCTCGTCGCCACGGCGGCGCTTCACTGGCCGCTCTGCATCGCTGCTGGGCGCCAGCGCAGCGAGCGCGCGCATGGCGTTGGCGTTTATCGAACCATGCACGACGACGACGCGCTCCGCCGCCGCCAAAGCTTGCCGGAACGCAGCCTCGGCCTCGCGCAGCCGTATCCAACTTGCGAGACAGGAAACGAGCTCGTCCTGCGAGCAGTCCGCGACCCTCGCGTCCGACACGACGGCTCCAGCATCGCGCTCGGCGTCCGTGAGGCGCGGCCAGAGGTAGCAGCGCACGTTAAACGCTCGCAGAAGATCCGCAGGTGTCGTGTCGGCATGCGACTCGCAGTACGCGACGAGGGAGTCCTCTAATTCGATCTGTTCGCCGCCGCTGGCGTCTGCTGTGGCAGCTGCTGCATCCGCCATCTATGCAATTTCCATAGGTAAGCGATGCTGTGCAGCACCGGATATACACAGAGGACAGCTGCTCTCAATTTCGTGTAACCTTGTGGTGCGTGTGGTACGATTTCAGTACTTGAGTCTTTCGCATGGCTGCTTGCTAGTATCTTACATGACGCTAGCATACTAGCCGTAAATAGCGGCGGATCAGACCGACTTGAGTCCAATAGGCACACAATGGCCCGTAAGACTGCGTCGAAACTGCGAGCCTTACACAGAGGCCAGAGGGAAACCTATGAGAGGGTACAAACAAACCTAAATGATAATTTAAAAGAGCCGGGTAAGGAGGCCGACTTCCTCAGCACGTTACTGAACAGAATTTTTGTGGTCATGATCGTCGGCGCGTTATTGTCACTTTGGCTCTCCTCTAGTACGTAACCACGATGCTGCGCCTCCTCGCGACGCTCGCCGCGGCGTCTGCACAAAACGCCAAACTAGTGATCGTCGCGCAGTTCAAGAACGAGGCCGAAAGCCTCCCGCAATGGCTTGACCACTACTTGACGGACGAGGGCGTCGCCGCGATGCTACTCGTCGACGACAACTCGACGGATAGCTGGCGACAAGCCGTCGAGCCCTACGGTGCGCGCGTGCGCGTCCGCAGCGGACACGCGCATAGGCAAGTCGAGAACTACAACCTATGGCTGCCGACGCTTAGAAGTGAATACTCAGATGACTGGGTCCTCATCGTCGACGTCGACGAGTACGCGTACGCGCGCCGAGACACGCTCGCCGATGCCGTCCGGGCGATTCTGGACCCGGGCCCGGCAGACTCCGTTCTCGTGGCCTGGAAGCAGTTCGGTAGCGCGGGACACCGGCGGCAGCCAAAAAACGGGACGGTCTGCGGCTTTACCACGCGACGGCGCTATGGCGGCCGGCCGTACAACCCGCCCTTGCGAGGGTTCGGACTCGGAGTCGGCAAGGCGTTCGCGCGCATCAGAGCGCTGGAGAGTCTGGGCGTCCATCGCCACCGCATGAGGAATCAGCCGATGCTGCCCGTGCGCGACCGGAATCAAACCGAAGCGTCGCTCGCGTCAGCGGCGTTCGCCTTGAATCACTACCCCATGCAGAGTCGCGACTGGTTCCAACGGACGAAGATGCGTAGGGGTGACGCGCGGTCGAAACGGGGCGGACGAGGCAAGCGGACGCTGCATCACCACCGAGCATTCAATAAGATGGTAGAGCTCGACGCCGTCGACGACTCCGAGCTAGGAGGCCGTCGCGGTCGCGGTCGAGGCGTGCGCCGAGGACACGAAGGGCCAGACGTGCTACATCTGCACGCAGGCCCTCCACTGGAAAACAAAGGAGGGCCTCGTGCGCGGGTATGCGTGCCGCGGAACGGCGGGCTTTGCCCACGTGTCGTGCCTGGCGGAGCAGGCGAAGATTTTGCTCGCGGAGGCCGAGGAGAATAATTTGGATGACGAAAGGATGGTAACGAGGTGGAGGCGGTGGTATGCGTGTAGCTTGTGTGAGCAGAAGTACCACGGCGTCGTTCGGTGCGCGCTCGGGTGGGCGTGCTGGAAGACATATTTGGGGCGGCCGGAGACAGACCGGGCTCGGATCTTTGCGATAAGCCAGCTTGGGAACGGCTTATCTGAAGCAAATCAACACGAGGACGCGTTGTCCGTGAAAGAGACAGAGTTGGCTATTCTGCGGCGTGTTGGCGCATCGGAAGAACGCATGCTCGACGCGCAGGGCAATATTGCGAACTCGTATCATAGACTTGGACGGCTTGAAGAGACCTTGCGCATGCGGCAAGAGGTATACTCTGGATATTTGGAGCTCAAGGGCGGAGAAGATGAGGGGACCCTCTGGGCAGCCTTCAACTACGCGCTGAATCTAAAAGGACTACATCGCTTCGAAGAAGTCAAGCCGCTGCTGCGCAGAACGCTACCCGTTATGCGACGCGTTCTCGGCGAGAATGATAGAATCACGCTCAAGATGCGGTGGATTTACGCGGTGGCGCTCTGCCTCGACACCAGCGCCACGTTCGACGATCTCCGCGAGGCCATGACGATGCTCGAGGAAACGGAACGGATCGCGCGGCGCGTTTTTGGCGGCGCGCACCCGCTCACAGTAAAGATGGAGAGCGATTTGCGAGCTGCGCGAGCCGCGCTCGCCCGCGAGACGCCCTAATAGACCAATAATTTAGTAAAAACACCTACTTCGTCGCCCGGAACTCCTTGACCAGCTCCGCACACGCGTCGTAGACCGCCGGCCGCAAACCTTTATCATCAGACTGCAAGTGCGACGTGATCAGCGGGATCGCGGTTTGAGGCGTGAGCGGATCGACGTCCAGCGACCACTCCAGCGGCTCCTCGTCGTCCACGACGTCGCACGAAACATCCGGAAATGTCATCGACCCCTTCGCGACCGCTCCAGCATCATCGAGGGGAAACTCCCAATCTAGAACGAAGGACACGTCCAGGACCCACTTCTTCTTGCCCCGCGCTTGGGCCGTCGACGCGTCTCCTTTTATATCTTTGATTTTTTTTACCGTGAGGTAGCAGGGCACCGTCAGAGCACCGACCTTCCGGTCAGGCAGGTCGACCATAAAATCCCGGAACTTGGATTCCAACCAAGCCCGCATCCACTTCGTGTGGTCCTTGCTCTCGAAGGTGCCGGCCTGGTTCCACGAAGAAGCCCCGGCGTCGACCTTCATCTGGGTCGGTGCTGACACTTTCTTGGGCGCAATATCTCCTATCAACGCCTTGGTCTTATCATCAAGTTCATTGTTGAAGAAGGTCGTCTTGCGGCCTTGCGAGTCTACTTTATAGCCGCGCATGGACGTGTCGCCTGCGTCGCGGTCGCGTCAATTGTCGTCGCGGCGATGGCGTGCGGCCGCCTCCACGCCGTCGACGCGCGGCGTGATTCCGACGCGGGCGCGGCACCGCTCTTCCGCGCGTTCTCCTTCCCCTTCTCCGGGATGGGCTGGGCGGTTCTCGGTGCTAACAAATCAGGCGCGGTCTCGGCCTTCTTCTTCGGCTTGGCCTCGTAGGCTTGTTTGGCCTTCTCCAGCTTTAGGAGGGACGAGGGCCAGACCTTGGACTCGGGCTCGAGCTCTTTGCCCTTCTCGTACGCTTTCTGGGCCTCTGAGAATTTCCCGCACTTCTCGCCCGCCTGCCCGAGTCGATAGTAGCCCTTGGCATAACTACTGTCCGTTTGTGTCGCTTTCGTCGCGTCCTCGAAGGCGTCGTCGAAGCGTCCAAGGGCCAGTCGCACCGCGGATCTATTGGAATATAAAGGAGCGTCGGGTAACACCTTCAAAGCTTTCGAATAAAGAGCCTCGCAGACGGGCATGTCCCGTCGCGCGAACGCTTTTCTCGCCCGGTCCTTGATCTCGTCGACCAATCTTTGTTTAGATTCAGGATCCGTCGGCGTCTGGCCCAGGACATCCTGGTGGGCGCTGCCGAAGGGGGAGCCTCCCATTCCAGACATGTTGCAATTGGTTTTGCAGTTCGGCAGTGCTGTCCGAGCACGGATGCGGCACTACAGCGAGCGCTGCTTGTCGGGCGTGCCGTATGCAGCAGGCAACAAGGCTACGATGTCGGTCGAGTTTTTGCTCTCTCTAGTGCGTTTGTGAAACGGTAGCTGAAACAGGCGTGAAATGCACGCGCGGACACGTCAACGGCGTATGCAAGCTTGCTTAGAGGCGTCGATGGGCGTTTCGCGGAGGCTGGGCAGCTCATGAGCGAGGCGGAAGCGCTTGCAAAAACGCTGGGTGAGAGCCGCACAACTGGACGTTTGCTACGAAAATGGCTGCAGTCGTCGAGAACGCCGTGATCTTGCAGTGTAGTGAACGACGCCCACCCTTATGCGAGAGAGAGATAGGGAGAGCCAAAACAGTAGGGAGAGCCAAAACATGAGAACAGCAGACGTGGACCAGAGAGCACGTCACCGCGCCGCCGTCGTAACCCTTACAACGCAACGCAGGCCACGGACGCCGCCGTCGCCGACGCCACACAAGCCGTCGCCGACACTACCCTAGAGGAAGCCCCGAAAAAGCCGGAGATCAAGATCGTCAAGACGACGAGCGACGCTCCTGTTGTAGAAAACGCCTGCGACGAGAAGTGGACGAGCGCCGAGCTCGCGGCGAAGTGTTGTGATACCATGGTCGCGGCGGGCAAATTGCGGGCGACGCCCGCCTTCATCCGCGAAGACCGCGAAGCCAAGCTCGTCAAGATCTTCGAAGGCGCCAAGCTCGACGGCGCCAAGGTCCTCGCCTGCAAGAACGCGCGGGAATTGGAGGTGATTATCAGAAACGCCACGGAGGGCGAGGGCTGGGTCGACCACGTCCAGTCGGCCATGAAGACCTTCCTGCCGGCCGACGTGCAGCGCGTGAAGGTCGGCACGATGGAGAGCGAGGCGGCGAAGAAGGCCAAGGAGGCCTACCGGACGAGGGTCTCGGAAGGGCGGACCAATGCCACCAGAGATCGAAGAAATTCCCAGGACGACGACGCCTTCGCGTCGTTTGGGGGCGGTGGTGGCGGAAGGACGTGCTACAACTGCGGCCAGCCGGGCCACATTAGTAGGGACTGCCCGAACCCGCCGTCCGGCCAGCGCCGCGAGCGCGACGACGCGTTCGCGTCGTTCGGCGGCGGCTCCCAGAAGGAGTGCTACAACTGCGGGCAATTAGGCCACATATCGCGGGACTGCCCGAACGCCGGGTCGCGCGACGACGCCTTCGCGTCCTTTGGAGGCGGCCGGTCCTCCGACCGGGCCTGCTACAACTGCGGCCAGACGGGGCATATCTCCAGAGACTGCCCCAACGCGCCGAACGGCGGCGGCGGCGGCGGCGGCGACCGCCTCTGCTACAACTGCGGCCAGCCCGGGCATATTTCAAGAGACTGCCCGAACGCTCCTAGTGGTGGTGGCGGCGGCGGCTACGGCGGCGGCGGCTACTAGGTCCTCTTCCCTTGTCGCGCTTGTCGCGACATCTCTCCCCCCGCGCACGTTAAAAACACTTCTCGTTATGACATTCTACGTGATGAGAGCTTGGAGCCGCTCGCGACCTGCTCCTCGATCGCTGCGAGCCGCGCGATGCTCAGCTCGACGTTGTCGATGCGCTCCTGCAAGGCTACCAAGTTCGGCACGCGCATCTCGAGCTCCAGCACCCGGGCCTCGAGGGCCTGGCGGCCGGTGGTCTCCATGGCCTCGACGGCCGTGACGCGCTCCTGGAGCGTGACGCGCGTCTCGCCGAGCCTCCGCTCCATGTCACCGACGCGCTCTTCTAGGTGAGTGTCCTCCGGGGGCGGCGACGGCCCGCCGGCGGTGAACTTCTTAAATATCCGTTTCGCCTCCTCGCGCGCTTCCTTCAGTTGGGGTGCTCTCATAGCGGCTAAAGACGCCAGCCCGGCCAGCACGCCGGCCGTCACCGCGGCTCCAATAAAGACGCCGACGGAGACGGCAGTCCCATACGCGCGCATGCGCGCTACCAAAGTTTCGGTCGGGTTGATCGCGTTCATGGTCTTGTTCGTCGCGGCCGTGAACTCGTCGGTCCTCGCTTTGAGCTGGTCGATGAGTTTCGACACCTTGTTGTCTGAATTTGTTGTTGTTCTTTGTAACACTCGATCCATGCTCGTGAAGGCGCGGTGGGCTTCTCCCATTCACGCTTTTTTGTGTTTGTGTTGGTGCTGCGCGTCGGCCGCGTTGCTCTGCGCGCAGTGCAAAGCCTCAGCCTTAGCAGGGCCCCTCACGGCTCCCAGAACGCCCGGTTTTGATTGATGCCGAAAGTAGGCACTGCGGGATTGCCAAAAAGCGCGAAACCAAGTTCTAAGGCCTTGCGCGCTGAAAAAAGCCCGATTCACAGTCGTGGAAAAACCCGTTTTATGAACTTTAGCGAAAAATTCAAAAATGAGAGGTCTTTGGAGCTCTCACGGGACGAGTCGCGTGCATTTCGGACCTTTTGGCGGGCGCGGGCAGCGTGAATAAACGCACTTGTCACTACCTTCAGCAAAGTGCTCCGACCCAACGTGTGAGCTGTCGGATCGAGCCCACACGCGTTCGATCGCTGCAAACGTGTCTACTAAACGATTTCAAGGCCCTCGCAAAACTTCGTGCAGCCACGTGCCGGCGTTGAAGAGGACAGGCCATACGAAAAAACTGCTACAAGTGCGTGTTGCGCCTCTCGGGCCGCTGTCTGGTGATTCTACTCGCTCCATAGTGTACACGGTACGCAACTAACAATGCGCAACATCAGAGCAAGCTCGCGCCGCCTCGCGACGTGCGCGCGCCGCTTCGGCACGCCGCGGCTCACCACGTTACCAGTGCTGGCGACGACGGCGCGGCAGGTCCGCCGCAGCTCCTCGCACGGTGGAAATGGAGGCGCCCACCTCGGCTCGAAGTGCCCGAAGTGCGGCAGCATGTCCTTAGTATTTGCTAGAGCATCAACCAAGGAAGAAGACTCGGCCTTCTACTGTTCGGTCTGTTCGGGATGGTTCGTGGCGAGCGAACATCGGTTGGTGGAGGAGCCGGACCAGCCTCAAGAAGCCCCAAAGCAGCACGTCCCCACGCCGCGCCAGATCTTCGCCGGGTTGGAAGAACATGCTATAGGACAAAGATCGGTCAAGATGGCTTTGAGCGTCGCCGTGCACAACCACTACCAGCGCCTCGCCGTCGCCAAGGAGCGGGAGGCGAAGCACAAGCCCAAGGAGATCGAGCAACTACTCCCCGACGACCACCTCGAAAAACCATTGAGTTTGCACAACCTCGCGCAGCTGTCCGGGACGCAAGAGGAGGAACAGACAAGCGAAAAATCACTAGACGTGGAGGCCGTGGAGCTGGACAAGTCCAACGTGCTCCTGTTAGGCCCCACAGGGAGTGGTAAAACGCTCATGGCCAAGACCCTAGCCAAATTGGTCGACGCGCCGCTTGCGATCGTGGATGCGACGTCGTTAACGCAAGCTGGTTATGTGGGAGATGACGTCGAATCAATACTCTACAAACTCTACAGAGAAGCGGGTTCGGACGTCGCGAGGGCGGAGCGCGGCATTGTGTATATCGATGAAATAGACAAGGTTTCAAGGAAAGGTGGCGAGAACGTCTCCATCACGCGAGATGTTTCCGGGGAAGGCGTCCAACAAGCATTGCTCAAGATCTGCGAAGGTACTACTGTTACCGTTCCGAAGGATGGTGCGAGGAAGAATCCTCGCGATCGCGACGCGCTGACCATCGACACGTCGCATATTTTGTTCATTTGTGGCGGGGCCTTCGATGGCCTGGAGCAGATCGTATCTCGACGAGTTCAGAGAGCCTCCATAGGGTTCGAAGCACCTTTACGGAGGAGCGAGTTAGATCATGATTTTAGGGAGAAGAGTAATGATGACCATCGGGCGGACCAAGCGTTCGACGAAGTCATGTCACGGGCGGAGCCGTCGGATTTGGTGAGGTACGGGTTGATCCCCGAGTTTGTTGGACGGTTCCCAATCATCACTACCACAAAGCGGTTGACGGAAGGTGAGTTGAAACAGGTCCTGACGGAGCCGAAGAACGCTCTCTTAAAGCAGTATAGATACTTGTTTGCGTTGAATGATGCGGACTTTGTGGTCACGCGGGACGCCATCTCGGAAGTGGCTCGGTTGGCGATCAAGAAGCGGACCGGAGCTAGAGCCTTGCGGAACATCTTGGAATCGATGCTCTTGGAGGCCATGTTCCAGGCCCCGGATGACGATGTGGCCACGGTTCTGGTGGACGAACTGGCCGTGCGCGGCGAGGAGCCCGTCAAGTTACTCAGCGAGAAGCACGACGAACAATCTTGGGAGGAGGCGACGAAGCCCGACGAGAAGGTCGCCGCTTAGTTCGCGTGTCCCGCACTTATAAATACCGAAGTCTCTTACTAGAGTCTTAGTAGTCCCCACTGGTCGCATCGATGGCCTGTAAGACACTAGAATACTCCTCAGGTTTCATAGACCTACTCTATACTTAGCCGCGCCCGAAGACTACACCCTCAGTCGACGCGGCAGACGCACGGCCGGCGGTTGCACGTGCACGACCGCGCCTTCTTCGCCGCCGGCTCGCTGACCTGCGCCCAGTGCCCGGCGCCCGCCGCCGCGTCCTCGCTGCTCCCGGCCGCCGTGACGTTCTCGTGCTCGCGCTGCGCGACGGCGGCCTTCTTGAGCGCGCGGCGCTCCTTGCACTCGCGGAGCGAGGAGTCGATGATCTCCTCGTGCTGGCCCTTGGCGCGGAGCACGCCTGCGCGTAACACGTGGCAGAGTGAGTGGCGCCACCCGGACACCTACGACAACGCGATGAGGTCGAGGGGACGCTGCGCGCGTGCAGGCGACGGCCGTCACGGGTCCGATGGACCGCATCAACTTCTTGAAGGTGACCGTGCCCTCCTTGGGCGCGCCGTCGGCCGCGAGGATGAGCTCGACGCCGTCGTCGAAGAGCGTGCTGATGGGGAGGGAGGCCATGACGCCCAGGACGCCGTCCTCGAGCTTGTGCTCGATCTGGCTCCACTGTTTTTTGCAGCAGGATAAGATGTCGTTGTCGAACTTCAGGTCACCCGGCTTGGTGACGCACAGCGGCACCATTTTGCCGAAGTCCGTCGACTGGATCACGTCGCCCGTGTTGAGGCCGTACTCGCAGGCTTCGCCGAACATCGTGTTGGCCCCTTGGAGCGACGTGTCGAGGACGACCTTGATGCTCGCGACCTCGGGCATGATTGTCTGCGAGAACTGGCTGCTGAGGGGGTTGACGGAGAGCTCGTCGAACGGCCGCCTATGCGCCAAAACACACTCGAGCCCGCCGTCGCGGAATCGCGGCCGTTTTTGCCCCGCAGTCCTCCATCGCTGGTGTGGGGTCCCTCGCACAGGCTCCAGGTGGGTAGAGGGCCTGGCTAGGCGCCCGAGCCGCGCGTCGTCGCGGATCACGGAGTGAGACGGTTTCGTCGCCTCACGCCGTCGCAGCGCAGCGCCCCGCCGGCCACGCCTTGCAGGCACTGCTTCGGGGCGTCCTGAAGCGTTTGGGGTGGCAGGCTCGCTGCACGCGGGCGTGAGCTGGGAAGATACCAAATCGCGCGGCACATGCTCAGTTTCCGCTCGTTACGAGCTGTTCAGAAGCTGTGGAGCTGCCATGTGTTAGCTAACCACCGCAACTAGCTAGGGAGCGAGTGTGTGTTTTGGAGAGTTGGATGACAAGTCTGCGGACGCCGGGGAGCTGCGAGTCGAATCCAAGTCAATGTTTGCCTCTCAGGAACCCGAACTAAGAGTCTTGAAGGCATTTCGTACGGATTATCCGAAAAAAAACGGCCTGCGCCGGCTGAGGTGCAGCCGACCTTGCCCTCAAGCTTCCAGGCTCCCCGGATTTCCGGAGGCGCCGGGTCCGGGGGCTGCCTGCGGCGTCCTCCTGCAGCCTCTTGCATGCGAGACGCCGCGTAGGGCAGGAAGCACGCCCACGGCCGTCGACGCCCACGCCTTCGAGTTGGAGTGCCATTCCAAGCCTGGCTCCTCGCCATCGCGAGCGCCAGGGCCGCGCGCCATCGACGCGCGACGAGGTGTCGTACTATCTCTAGAACGCGTGCGGCGGCGGGAGGCGAGTCGGCGCGGCGCCTCGCGCCTGCAAAAGCTTATTTGGAGTAGTTGTGGTTCGAGCGCGGCGCACGGCGCTTGCGTCCTTCGTCTCCTTGCAGCTTGAGCTTGACCGCTATCATGCGTCTGAATCGTCGTCGTGCGGCGGCATCCGCACGGGCGCGCGGCCGCGACGTTCTCGATACGCTCAACTCTCAGAACAATACGCGTTGCGCGGCTGCCTCGGAAGGCGTCCGCGCCCACTGCCAGCAGATCGCGCTTCGTGAAACGTGTGGTTGCGTTTTATCTACGGCTCGGGCTGTTGAGCCGTGGACGGAGTCGGAGCGCTTGCGGAAACGGTTTTATGAGAGAGAAGGCGCCGAATGTATCGGCCTACGTCCGTCCGCGTCGCATCCCTTCGCCCCGCGTGCCCGTCTCGCCGGCCCGCCTCGCGGCTTCCGTGGCGCCACGCCGTCGCCGCGCGCCTCGACGGACCGGCGATGCTGGGGTTCGTGCAAGCGAGGCGTGAGGACGCGGTCGGGGCGTCCTTAGGCCCATAATCAATGTTGTTATCGTAGCCATCTAGCCATCCGACGTATCCGAGGCCTCGCCGGATGCGCGCCCGAGGCCCCGTGGCCTCGGTTACTAGACGGGGCGATTCTACTTCTTGACGGCGTCTGCGGCGGAGATCCTTCGGCGATGTGGACGCGCTCCCCCTTCGAGATCACGTGCATAACACATTACGCGCCCCGGTCGCGCCGACTAAGGCTGCGGCGGCGACCCGACCCCTTTCTTCCACTTCTTGAGCCACCCCATCAGCTTCTTGTCGAAGGCCCGCGCGTCGTCCTTCGCGGTGGGGCCGCTGAAGGAGAAGAGCCGCTTCGGCTTCTTCGTCGGCCGGAAGCCCATGCGAGCGAGGGCTTTGTTGCTGAACAGACTCTTCGGGATCTTCATCTGGTACGTGCCCCGAGCGTAAGGTCCTGTGACGCGCTGCGCCTGGGCGTTGATCTCGGCCTGCGGCCGCTTCGTCTCCGGGTGCAGGCGCACGCCGCCGCTCCGATCCCCCTTTCGAGATTTAATGCTGGGGTTGTTGCCCGGCGCCGCCGTCTGTGTCTCGTAGGACGGCCGCAGGTTGGCCGGGCGCGCTGCGACGGCGCGGTCGCGCTTTCGCTTCGCTCGAGCTTGCGCGCCCGTCTGCACGACCTTCATCTCCCGCAACGTGACTCCACCAGCTGCATTCAATACCCGCTGAACATACGTCGTCGAGAAGCCGTCTTTGTCCCTCAGCGCGGCGCCGGCCGCGCGCAGCTTCTTGTCCCGCTCGACGCGCCGGCGAGACCTTTCGACCTGCTCTCTGAACTTGGCGAGCGGCTTACCGCTCCGCAGCGCGGCCGCGAGCAGGGCGAACTCCTCCTCGGACTCCGGGTCTATCACCTCTTCCAGCGTCTTTAAAGGAATGCCGCGGTCCACCCACTTGGCGAGGTTCAGCTGCGATTCTAGATCGGCGGCTTGCACCGTCTCCTCGACGGCGTCTTTTTGTGCCAATCTTCTCGCGCGCTTTCTCGCGCGCGGCGCGGCGGCCACCACCGTCGAGGCGTCGACGGTGTCGTGGCGTCGCTTGTGATCACGCTTGGCCCTCTGTACCTGGGCGAGAGCGCGCGATCCAAGCCTCCTATTTCCCATCCCGCCGAGCCGCGCGCGACAGAAGGCGCAGAAGTTGTTAGTGGTGTGTGTCTCGGTTTCTGACTGTATAGCGCGGCTGTTGTGCAGCAAGACGAGCTGGATACGGCAGGAAAAGAGCAGACGGAAAAAGCTAGCGGCGTAGAGATACTAGCAAAAAAACAACTACAGGACAAAAAAGATTATGTCAGTCAAAGTAGATCCGCTGCTTCGCGCGGACCGGCTCCCGGCAGAGCGGGCACGCGACGACCGTCGGCGCGCACGCCTCGCAGACGCAGAGGTGGCCGCACCCAAACGCCACGGACCGCGCGTCCTCGAGGCACACGACGCACTCCGTCCCGGCGTCCTCGGCCGCCGCGCGCCGCGCGCGCTCGATCGCGCACCTTCTCAACAGATCGGGCAGGAGCTCCATGGACGCGTCCAGCGCCGCGGGCGAGAGGCGCCGCGCGTCGAGGGCCTGTAAAGCGGCCAGCTCGCCCTGCTCGGGCCTTTCCGGAGTTGGGGGGTCGCTCACGGTCTCCACGACCGCCACGGCCTCGGCCGCGGCGCGCTCGCGCTCGCGGCGCAGCCGCGCGCGCGCCCCGACGCTGAGCCGCGGCTCCGGCGGCGGGGCCGTAGTACTGCGCGGCGACTCGCGCCCGCGGCGCTCGCGGCCCTGCGGCGACTCGTGCGGCGGCGGCCGCGGCGCCTCCAAGCCCGGCGGCGGCGACGACTCGCGCCGCGACGTCGGTGCGTCGGCGTGCGTCCGCAGCGACGTCGTGGACTCGGTCGAAGGTCGGCGTCGCAGGGGCTCCTCGTCGGCGCGCGGGACCGGCGCCTTCGCCCTACCAAACCACGATTTATCAACCGCGAGGACCGCGACGCCGACGGCTAATAAAGCCCACAGGAGCGAGCCTATCGAAACATCAGCATCGAGCGTCACCGTAATGCGCCGTTTCAAAGCCCGGACCCACCTCTTTACAAAACGAACCAATTGCTTCCCCACGGCTTCCCGGGGCGGCTTTTGAATCACATAACCGCAGGCGCGCTCCAAGGCGCGCACGACGTTTGCATCGTGCTCCGACGCTAATGCGGCGTGGGCCGCGTCTTCCGGGAACGGCATGGAATACGCGCAGAGCGTCTCCACCAAATGCGCGTGCTTCTCGGATGCGGCGAGCATGACCGCGGTCCGGCCATGCGCGTCTCTCTCCCCGGCGTCGGCGCCGGCCGCGAGCATCTTCGCGACGAGGGCCACATCAGGGTCGCTCTTCGCACACTCATCTCTCAAATGGCGCCCGGCCATGCGTTGCGCGAGGGCCGCGCCCGTCGTGATGGCCGCATCCACATCCCCTACACCCATTTTTCTCACCGCGTTTATGGCCGTGCCGTCGCCGCCTTCCAAGACACGAGCGGCGACCACTACTCTAGCCAGTGCTTCGGCGATGTTCGCATCTCTTCCAGCTAGCTTCTTCGCCGTTTCGAGTTCCCTTATCGAGGACGGTAGATCCCCGGCATCAGCTAAAGCACAACCCAGTAGTAACCTCGAGAAGGCGTCATCCGCATCCAAGGACGCCGCCGACGCCTGGAACTGCGTCTCCCTCGCTGCTAGTGCGTCTTCCGTCAGAAAACCGGCACACGCCTCCGACCGCCGCGCGTCCCGCGTGCCACAAGCCGCAACTCTAGTCTGGTTCTGCACGCCGTTCGCGCCCACCGTCAAGCGCCCCAACAACCGCGAAAAGCTCTTGTCCGTCTCCTTGAAGAAGTACCACGCGCTCGTCTGGCCCTCCTCGATGGGCGGCCGTCTGAGGAGATTATTTTTTGCTACTGCCGTGAAGAGCGCTTGCGCGGCGTCGTCCTGCTGGCTGCGCACCCAGATGGGCTCGACGCCGTCCAGCACGTTGCGCACGTGGTAGACGATGGGGTCACCCGCGGCCGCAGTCAAGATTATTGCTAACAGGGGCTGTCTCATCTTCGGGCCGCCGGGGCTGCCGCGGGAACGCCGCGCCTCTACCTCAGGCTGGCGCGCGGCGCGATCCCGTCGGTCAAGGGCGGCAAAGACGGGCGCAGCGCCTCCGCTTGTCCAGCAACAGGACAATTCGGCGCGCTAGCTTTAGGCGCTAGCATTAAGCGTCGTCTTGGGCAGCCCACAAGGCGTGGGGCAGCGCCACGATGCGGAAACTTGTCACCGTCGTCGCGGTCGCCGCGGCCTGGCAGCGCTACGACGAGGGCAGTGACGCGCGACGTCGCATAGTCGAAGCCCACGCATCAGGAGACGCGAACGCGGTAGCACAACTAGCGCAAGCACAGCTCGACAGCCATGGAGAGGACGGCCAGAAACCATCATTCAACCATTTCTTAGGATGGGCCCGCTTCCAAAGGGGCGACCTCGGAGGCGCGCGCGACGCGTTCCTGGCCGCTGTTGAGCACGATCCTCATGATGCACGGAGCTGGCTGCACCTGGGAGCGTCGTTACTCAGCGCGTTCCAGATCCCGGCGGCGACGGCGGCCTTCGCGAACGCGAACGACGCGGCCATAAAGACCGGGGACGGCGCGACGGCGCGGGACGCGTTGGCCAAGCTCGTGAAAGCGAAAGCCTGGGTCGCGGACTGGGCCGGCTTCGACTACGCCGTCGAGGCCGTCGCGCAGGACGCTTCTTCCACGGAAGGCCTCGGGGTGGCTCATGTTGCTGCTCGACTACCTCTAGATGTGTTGAGGGAGCTCGCGAGGCACCAGCCCCACGCGTCCAGTATTGATGGTGTTCCGTCATCACCAACAAGTCGAAAACGCGGCAAGCTGCGCGTCGGGTTCGTTACTTCGGACTTCGGAGCCCATCCCGTCTCTGCGACTTTAAGAGGGGCATTGCTGGCGCTGGACGCGCACTGTGACGTACGTGTTTATTCTCTCGGTTCTGGTGATTCTTGGTGGCGGCGGAACGTGTCCGATACGCTCCTGGATAGATTCGTGGATCTGGGCGATACGTATAGTCCAGTGAAGGCCGCATCGAGGTTCCTCGGAGATGACCTGGACGTCATTATTGATTTGCACGGCCACACCTTACATAGTGGTTTACCGCTATTAGCGCACCCTTCACTGTCAAATGTACTAAGGTTGAGCTTTTGCGGCTGGCCTCAGACGACAGGCGCGTCGTTCATCAATTCTATAGTGGCCGACAAGGTCGTGGCCGTACCTGAACAAGCGTCGAGGGAATTCACGGAGAAACTCATCATGCTTCCTGAGTCGTATCTGCCGGCCGACCACGCTAATCTCGTGGGTTCCGTTCTATCGCGACCGCGAGCTACAGCGGAGGACGTGAACCACACTTCCGGTTTCGCCTTCGGTTCCTTATCGTCCTTCCAGAAGCTCGATTCTACGATTTTTGATGTGTGGGCGAACATCCTGCGACGAAGTTCCAAGAGATCCGTACTCAGGTTGATGCGCTACGCCTTGCACGACCTCGCCGAACCGAGACTGCGCGAGGAATTGGCGGCGCGAGGTGTGCATCCTTCAAGATTGGAGTTCATCCAAATGGCACCCTGGCTCGACCATGTGTGGCAGAAGAGTCATTTAGATGTGATGTTGGACTCTATCGTCAAGTCGGGTCATTCGGTAGTGCAGGACGGCTTGTGGGCTCAAGTTCCGTCTATCTCATTAGCTGGGAATCGCATGGAGGCGCGCGCGGGTGCGACGGCGTTACGGGCCGTGCGCCTATCAGCTTACACGGAGGCGTTGTCTCTGAGAGACTACGAGAGTTTAGCTGCTTCACTTGAAAGCGATTCTAGAAGATTGATAGCTGTCCGTTCGTTACTGAAGAAGCGCCTGACCGCGGCGCCGCTCTTCGATACTGAAAGGTGGGCTAGATCATTCTCTCATGCCTTACACGCGGCCTACGAGGCCTTTTCTCATGGCAACGCCCACGTCGTCGTCAAGGACGCGCAACATGCATCAAGATTCGACATCGACGACGTCCACGACGGAAACGAGTCCCAAGCGATACTACTACGAATACATGGCCAAACGCACAAGGCCGGCTGGCGCAACGTCCACACTGTACCAGGTGAGAGTGTAGACCACGTCCTACAATTGGACAATCTCAAGGACTTCGAGGACGCGTCCGTGGCCGCGATTTACGCCGAAGCCCAGACACTCGAGGAGGCGCCGCCATCATTGCATGTCCTCCAAGAGTGGTGGCGCGTGTTACAACCGGGCGGCGCCTTCTTCCTGAGCGCGCCGGACATGAAGGTGCTGTCGGCCTTTCTGGCGCGCGACGACCTTGCGCCGGCCGAGCGGGACGCGCTGACGGAGCTCATGTTCCAGAGAACTGCCGTCGACTTCGATCTACTAAATCGAACGCTCAGCACGGCGGGGTTCTGCGACGTCGAAAAGGTGCGCGGCTTCGGCCTCTTCAACGACACGTCCGCCGTCGCGTTTCGAGGAGAGCGCCTCGCGCTCAACGTCGTCGCGCGCGCGTGTCGGAAAGAAGGGCACGCCATCACGGTCCAGTTCCCGGGCATGGAGACATAATATACTTACTTGTGTGGTCTTGATTGATGAACAGAAATTTGCGTGTTGGCTTTTTTTTTGGGGGGGTGTACAGCGTGGCGCGGCGGCCCCGTGTGACGGGGCGGCCGCGCCGAAGAGAAGACCATAAAATGGTCAAGCAAGGGGCTTGATCAAGGGCCGCGCTTGCGCGCGGCCTAGTAGTACCAGTTGTGGTCGCCGAGGGGCTCGATTGGTACTTGGGGGTGGTAGTTGCGGCAGCAGCCCCGGGCGAAGAAGCGGCACCGGTCGCCGAACTTGCACGGCGACGGGCCCTGCGGCGGCCGGACGTGGTAGGCGCTGCCCGAGGGCCTTCCCGTGGGGTTGTCGCCGGTCCCGGTGAGGTCGAAGGCCGCAACGAGACAAAGGTGGTCCGACGGCCACGGCGCCACGGGCAGCTGTTGCTTACGGTCGACGACGCCTAATACACGGGACGGCCGGAGACCTTGCCCGTGGTAAAAAACGTAGTCGATGCAGTGGGGGAACGCCGGGTCCACGGACGTGTAGCACGGCTCGGCGCCCTGCACGTCCGCGTAGGCCGACCGTAGCGGTAATCTGCACGCGCCGCGGTCCGCGCCCGCCCGCTTCTTCGCGGACGGTTTTGGGGACGTCAACTGCTCGAAGGCGTCAGGTGGCGCGATCCGGGGATCCCAGTGCTTGTAGGAGAGGGTGTTGAAGTCGCCTGCTACTATAACCGGCAGGGGCACGGCCGCGCGGCCCCAGTAGCTCGCCAGCGCGGCCTGGAGCTGCGCCGCCGAGGCGACTTGAGCCTTGGTCATGGGCTGCCCGTTGCGCAGCGGCACCTCGAGGTGCGCCGAGCCTAAGGCGACGCGCTGACCCGTGCCGAGGTGCCGCGCGACCGCCAGGACGGCTCCCTTACCCGAGGCAAAGCGCACCGTGCGGACCTTGCTCTCGAGCGCGAAGGTCCGCACCCGCACGTAGAGGCCGACCGTCAGGGGCCTCCCATCCCTCTTGTAGTCGCCGTCGAAGCCCTCTCCCAGCAGCTTCGCGTGGAGCTTGGAGGCGTGGTCGAGGCTGCAACGTCCAGAGGCGCAATGCGGGCAGTCGTGCCGCGTGCAGCGCTGCATTTCTTGCAGACATAACACGTCCGGCAGGTGCACGAGGGCCTGGTCCAGCGCCGCGAAGGCCGCCTCCCAGTCCTCGCCGGCGGGCCTGGACCCGTCGCGCCGGCCGTTCGAGTGGCCGGCGCTCTTGGCCGCGTCCGCCTCGAGGTTGAGCGTCGCCACCGCGAAGCGGGCCCGCGCCCTTTCATCGCGCGGCGCCTCGACCCAGCGGCGCGGGTAGTGCTGCGCGTGGAGGGCAATAATGCTCGGCGCCGGCGGCGTCGCGGCCACGTGCCCGGGCGGCGGCGGCGGCGTGCCCCAGAGCCGCGCCTGGGCGGGCGGCGGGGTGACGGTCTGGGGCCAGCGTTCGGCTGCCCGAGCCTCCCCACCAGAAGCCATTACGGGCGTCCCCCATTGGCCGCCCCAGCCCGTCCGCGGTGTCCATGGCCCACCGGCCGCTGGGGGGCTCACCGCCATGGGCTCCATATTAGGAGGCCATCGCGCTACGAGGGAACGAGTCCACGCAACGACGGCACTGTTCGCGGCTGTCTGAGCCTAGTGACGCATGTTCTAAACTAGCGCAGCTGTCCGCAGAGACGTCCTGGAAGCAAGGGGTTACGGTCGGGCAGCCGAAAGAAGTGCGGCTGCTTGCTAGTGTCTTACAGGACGCTAGCTGCTCCAAAATGGAGTTTGCCAAATTGCCGACCGGAGCGGCACCGATCAAGCACAATTGGTTGATTCGTACGCCTGCGCATCGCATCGATGTCGCGCTTCGACAGAGGCCCAGCCGGCACGCCAGCCGCCGCGCCAGAGGCTGCACCGCAGGCTGCCAGGCCGCGCTTCGACGTCTACGACGGCGACGCATTGGTCGACACGATACGCCTGACGGAGGGGTCGCACTGCTTGGGACGCGACACGGACGCGTGCGACCTGCCACTCGAACACGCGTCGTGCTCGCGGCGCCACGCGCGCCTCGCCGTCGACGCGCGGGGCGGTGTATTGATTGAGGACCTGGGCTCGGCGCAGGGCACGTTTCTCGACGGCGCGTCTACACCTTTGGCGGCGCTCGAGCGCGTGCGGCTCAAAGAGGGCGCCTCGGTCACCTTCGCGGCCCTGCCGCGGCGCTACGTCTACCGGAGCGGCGCTCAGGCGCCGGCGTCGACCGCGCCAGCGCCGGCGCCGGCCGCGGCGCCCCTCGACGCCGACGCGAAGCGCAAGAAGCTCTGGGGCGCCCCGAAGAAGGACGCCCTCGAGAAGTGGGGCGAGGCCGCCGGATCATTGGGAGGCGCGCGCGGCGACAAGTTCCTCAAGCTGCTGGGCGGCGCGAAGCACGGCGCGACCGCAAAAAAGCGCAAGGCCGATTCCAAGGGAGAGGACGATTTGGAAAGACAGTACGAGTCCGCGCGTAGGAGAGGCGGCGCGTGGAATAGGCAAGGACTAGGTTAAAGGCCGTTATTAACAAAGTCGAGGTGGTCCAGCGCGCGCGCGACGACGGCCACGGGGTATTCTTCCAACGTGCCCTCGCTTTCCGCAGCGAGGAACTCGTCAAATGTGAATGGAGAGGGCAGCCGCTCGTTCACGGCACCGGCAAGCTTCGGATAATCAATAAACTCGAGCTTCGCGTCCATGTACTGCGCGGCGGCCATCTCGTCCATCAACGACTCCCACTTGCCGTCCTCGTCATACCCCAAGTTGCGCGCGCGCTGGCACGATAAAGCGAGGGCCATTTTTAAATCGCCGGCGTCCACCGTGCCGCACTTGGCCCAGGCCATGAAGCTTGTTCGTCGGTGGCGCTTCGCGAATTGTGCGCGGACGATGGCGGCCTTGTCGTGCGCGGCGCCGTTCGCGGACCCCCAGTTCCAGCCTTCGCTCCCCCAGGACGGCGGCGGCTTCTCCTCCAAGAAGCTCGTGTCGATGGGCTCGACGTCGCGCGGCAGGTCCGCGTAGCTCGGGCCGTCCTTGGGCGCGCCGTGTCGTGCCGGGTGAGTCCTCCGGGGGCGCGCCGCCGGCGCCAGGGCGCGGGCCGTCGCAAGTAAGATGCAGGTGAGTGATGCGCGCATCCTGCTGTACGTGCGTGGCGCTTTGCCCGCGGTGAGTTCTCGGCGCTAATTCCCGCGGACAGTTCTCTGCGGACAAATTACACTGCTCTCCTTGCAGATGAGTTGGCACGTGCAGGGCGACACTTGGATCGTAGCGATAACCGCACAACCGCGCCTGCAGCGATTTCGATCTGCAGGCGGGATGAGGGGATGCTGCTATAGGCAGTCTGATGCGTAGATTGCACCAAGCTCGCGTCGGCCTCGCGTATTATTAGCTAGCGGCACAAGGGCACTAGCAAACAGGCTCTGGCAAAGCAAAACTGCATAAACAAAAGCGCTTGAGCACGCGAGCGATGCCTTGGTGCGGTCGCTGCAACGCCATCGATGCGATGCGTGTGCTTTTGCTTGTTGCAGTGTCTGCAGTGTGCAGCGCATTGCGCTACTCTGCAGTGCTGCCATCACCCAACCCGAGAGCACCCGTAAACAATGACGCACGCGGCCGCATTCGCCGCCGGATCGGTCGCATTGACAAAAGTGAGCTGGGCGGCCGCGTGTTCTTTAAGCCGGGCGACGACGCCCCACCACGCAAAGAGTGGCATCGCGTGCTGCGCGGCCCGCTCTCGGTACGGATCGTTGCGGCTGACCTACCGTCGTATGCGACACGTGCCGGCGTGCTCCCAAGCGTGCCCGACGCGACAAACCTAGCCGACGCCATCCTCGAGCACACCGAGTGGAGCGCTGCGCTCGACGCGTGGTCCGCGTTCGGCAACGCTGTCACGGCGCCGTTGCCCGCCCATGTCAGATGCAAGCGACACACGACGGCGGTCTGGGCGCCCGCGGGCATCTCGCCGCCGCTGCGGCGCGCTCTAGCCCTTCGCCTGCCGGAGGCGCTGACGCCCGAGCCGCGGCGGGAAAGAGCGGCCGTCGAGATTCAGGTCACGCTGCACGAAGAAGGCGTCCTGGTCGAGCTCCTGGCGCTGAAGCAGCGCATGGATCGGGACTTGCCCTGCCCGGGGTTTCGGCGCCTCGAGAGCTACGTCGTGGCGCAAGCCGCACGAATAAAGCCGGGCGACGTGGTCTTAGATCCCTTCTGCGGCAAAGCGACCTTCCTTGCCGAGGCTCAGCTCTGCTGGCCGGGGGCCTCGGTGATCGGCGTCGACTCGGACCCGGCACAACTTGACGCGGCGGCGAACAACCTCGGTAGTAACGCGACGTTACTGCACGGCTCGGCGACGGCGCTGCCCTTGGAAGATGGCAGCGTCGACGCCGTCGTGAGTTGTCCGCCCTTCGACCGGCAATATACGGCTCAAGACGGCCTCGACGCGCTCTACGCGAAATCGTTTTCCGAGATGCGGCGCGTGCTCCGACCGACGGGCCGCGCTTCGCTACTGCTTGACGAGAAATCGCTCGAGATCGCGCAAAGGCACTGGCCAGGTCTCTGCGTCTTGGGAACGATGCCCCTGGGCCCGTGGGTGCGCACCGTCCTCTGCGCGTGGCCCGACGGCGACGCGTGGGAGACGTGGGACCGTAAAGCGTGGGCGCGGCGCCGCGACGCGGCGTTGCCGGGCTTGGAGCCCGTGTGGTTGTTGTGATCATAAATTTAAAGTTATCCAAGTAGGCCATACCACCCAATCGCCGCCACCGCAACAAACATCCCAGCGATGACCAGCCCAGCCGTCGCCGCGGAACGCCGGTTCGCCGGGGTCGGCTCGGGCGGCTTCGCCACCGCCGGCGCCGCCGGCGCGGGCCGCGCCTCGGAGAAGCCCTTGGCCACGGTCTTGCCCCCGAACCGCGCCTTGTCCAAGGCCTTCTGCCTTCTAACCGCGTCCCGGACGCGCTGCAGCCCGCGCCGCGCGTCTTTATTGGAAGCGTCGACTTCAAGCACGCTCGCAAAGGCCTGCTTCGCCGCGGCCCAGTCGTCCATTTCGAGGCAGCACCGGCCGCGCCGGTACAGGGCCTTGGCGTGGCGCGGCTCGCTTTCTAAAACCTCGTCGCAGTCTGAAAGCGCCAGCTTGAACTCTTTCACTTCTAACCGCGCCGCGGCCCGGTTGAGATACAATGCGCTCGCTAACGATCGTCTCTGTTGAATGGCTTCGTCGTCGAGGTCCGGTTCCAGGTCTTTCGCAGCGGCGTCGATGCCACCACCGTACCGCCGGACGGCCTTGGCGAAATCTCTGGAAGCGAAGGCCCGGTTCCCGCGGGCCTTCATGTCCGCGGCCCGCTCGATGCGCTGGCGCGGCTTCAGGTCGATCAGCGCCTGGCGCCTATGAATTCTCTCGAGCGTCACGACGCCTTTTGTAGAATCCATGGGGCCCTTGCCATTAAAGTCCACGCTGGCTCTTTCACCGGGGCGCAGCTTCCCCACCACTTGTTCGAGCGCCGCGCCCGCAACATTTTCATCATCATCGTCGAGCGTCCACGTCAGGTTCAGCGGTAATGTAGTTACGTCCATCTCTTCCACGCAAACGACGACGTCATCCAACGGTTCGGGGCAGGGCCCCTTTGAACCAGTATTCAGGACCTTGTACGCGACGCCGTCATCAAGGTCGACGGCGTTCCGGACGCCTTCGAGGATGACACGGTACCGCGCTTCCGCATCATCGCTTCTCCCTGCATCGACATGGGTGACCTCGGCCGTTTCGTCGACGGCCATTTTCGCTACTGCTAATCTGAGAGGTGGAGATAGCGATGCTAGCGCCATGAATTGGGGTTCAGCGCCGACAGATGGCGTGCATTCGACGTCGCCGACGATCTCGTCATCAATGACCCAGAGGCCCGACGCTACTCTCAACTTCACGTCGCCCTTTGTGCCCCTAACAGCTGGCTCCGAGTGCGCCGGCGCACTAATTTCAAGCTTGAGCACGGACTCGTCGCCCTCTTCCGAACAGTCGACGACCGGCCGCACGCGCTCGACGTCGAGTCTATGTATCATATCGCCCGCTTCGACCAACGCGATGTCGCCCTCGCAGAGCCCGTTCAAGGCGTTCCCTAACTCAAAATCGCGCGCTCGCCCTCTATACGCCTCGGCACCTTCGGGTGCATCTACCAAAGCCCCGGCGGCCGCTAATTTAAAAGCCGAGAAGCCCTCTACTACAGACTTTCGCACGGACACGTCGGCGAGGGGCGTGATGCCCTTGTAAAGCTCTTCATTATGCCGCGCGACCTTTCGCTTCAGGCCGTCGCAGTCGTCTACTCTATAAAACGTAACCAGCTCTAATTCACACGCCGCCGGCTCCAATCGGTTGGAAGTCTTGGACACGTGCAGGCGCAGGCGGACCGTATCGCCGATCTCCATGAGCGGCAACGCGTCGTGGATGCCGGGGGGCTCGTAAGGTATTGTATTCTCCCCTACTACGTGCGTGCTCTGCGTTCCGACGATGCAGGGCTCGTCGCCGTCCGAAATGTTCATGCCGTCGGTCCAGCGCTCGCGCCACCGTACGATGCACTCGTCGCCCTGTTTCGGGTGCCGCTTGCCGATGACGGGCGCGTCGCGCCGCTTCGTGCGGTGGAAGAGCACGGTGCCGTCTCCGGTAATGTCGCGGCCCTCGGGGCCCTCGTCGACGATCATCTCGTCGAGGATTTTTTGCGGGAGGCTGTAGGAGGCGGAGGCCATTTTTTTTTTTGTCCTGTGTTTGCGCGGCGACCCGTGCGCTTCGCGGCGACGGCTGCACAGTGTGGCAGAGGCTGGCTGCTCTGTTTTTGCTTGAGGTGCGCAGCAGACCTGCTCGCTTGTGGCGCGCGCGTCGCACGGATGCACGGTACGTGCAATCGCTGCACTTGCGACCTTAATGCGTGTGCTGGCGCTCGCAAATGCCAAGCAAGAGCTAGCGACATGTAAGACACTAGCAAGCAAGCAAGGGCTTGCGAAAGCGTCCCGGAGCGCTCGGGCCCGGCATCTACATGCAGCAGAGACAAGCCCAGGAGGCCTCCCCTCGGAATCCTAGTGGGGAAGCCCCTTTACTTCGTATCATGAGGAAGGAGTCCATTCCAAGCCATCTCGCGTCAAAAGCGGGGCCGCGACGGGCGCAAGAGGCAGCCCCGAGGCGCAATACGCGGTGACCTCGCCTCCAATAGCCCCCCGGGCACGCCGCTATTTATATTTGCGGCCCTGCGACGAGCGCGGGCCCCATGGAAGGCAGCCCAGCGAGGATGGATGATGAGGAGGAGGCCTGCACGCCCGTAGCGGACGAGACCACGCCGCTGCATGGGGAGAAGCCGGCGCGCCGCCGCTCACTAGTGCTCGGCGCCTGCGCCACGCTTGGTCTCTTAGGCGCCGCCACAGCGACGGGCCGCCGCACAACAGCAGCTTTGTTCGGCTGGAGCGCGACCTGGGGTAATGATTATCAATGCCGCGATGGCGGCTGGTTGGAATTATCAAAATATACCATCACGACTTCAAGCCCAGAACTCGACGCGGAGTTTGCGACGCGCGTTTTTGGGGCCACCGACCAATTAACGGGCGGCGACGAGGGCGCCGACGACGACACGACGAATTTGGAAGATCCCTCGACGTACTGGGACTGTAATGGGAAGGTCCATATTCGCAAGTTAGCTTTCGGGGCCGTGAAGCCCATGGAACTGCATTTCCCCTACATCCACGACATCACGCCGACGGGACCGCTGGACGTGAAGTACTGGGACGACTACCAGAAGGCGTTGAACGACGAGTCGTTCGCTACTAATACGTGGAACCCCTTCATGCACTACGCGTTACACATGTATAATCCCGACCTGACCGCTACTGCGAAACGGTTAGTGGCGGACAACGAACCTTTCCTAGCGAGGAAGGGCCAGTCGCCGTTGGATGGGCGGACTTATTATACGTTAGTTGTGGGTTCTCCCACGGGCAAAGTGTATGAATTGACCTCACCAAGACTCGATGACGGCATCGTTGAGCCTATCGAGTGGACCGCGGACGAATGTCCCGCGTGCCACTTCTCGAAGGTGTATGATGGCGACGTGTTAGATCAATGGTGGGCAACCAACAAAGACTATCAAGGGAGGCTGCCTACCGCCGATCAGTGGTTCCCCGTCCGCGTTTCGATAGGCGCGGCGCACGTCGATAATGCTGCTAATTTTTGGAGGACGCACTTCCCCGTCCTGGACTCCGTCGTGTCGAAGAGCGGACTGTCTCGCGTGTTAACGGTGAAGAACATCCACTACATCTTCCAGGAGGAGATGCAGATCGAGTTATCTTATGTCGAGAACAACGCTCAGTTTGGTGGGAAGCACTCCGTGGTGGATTACGTCGAGTACATCAACTCCGTGCGTGATGCGTATGCCGGTTCAAATTACGGATGGAGCGCCTGGTACGACCGCCACCTCGGTTTGGGGCTCTCCGCGTGCCCCTTGGACACGTACATGCGCGCCTTCACCTCTGCTGGTATTGCGTTCACGCCGCACGAGACGTCGGCCATCGGCGACCACTTCCACTCGGAAGGTGTGGAAGGGTATGGGTTGGAATTCCAGGGCGACTTCGACTACTCGTTCCAGTCGTCGTATTCAGGCTTCGACTTCTGCACCTGGAACACGATGGAGGACTCCTTCTATTTGCATCAAGGTTTAGAACCGCCGTCGATGCCGGATCCGTCGCGCGCCTGAAACCTCGGCGCGCCCGATCGCTCGCTCCATCGCTCGCTCTTGTGTAAGAATTCGAATCGACTATTAAGGTTAGACGACCGGGACAGGGCACACAGGGGAGGAGTCTAGTACTTGTCCAGCGCGAGCGCGTCGTAGCAGCCCTCCGCGAACTCCACGAGCAGCTCCGCCGACTCCGGCGCGTCGACGAGCACGCCGACGCCGATCTCGACGACTAATAACTCGGCGCGCTCCCGCGCCTTGCCATCTGCAATCTCCGACAGGTCCGGCACCGACGCCGCGCCCAGGACGCGCCGCAGCAGCTCGCAGCCCAGGAAGCCGCAGACCTCGTCCATTTTCGGGTCGCCCTGGCGCGCGTCGGCGTAGGCGCGCCAGAGCGCCTTGACGGCGTCGCCGCACGACACGCGCCGGATGCCCGCCGCCTCCGCGTCCGCGGCGTGGGCGTCGGCCGCGCAGAAGGCGAAGAGGTAGCCCGCAATCAGAAAAGCAATATCCAAACCCGCGGGGCCGCGGCAGGCGAACTCCGCATCTATACAAACGGTGCGCGCGCCGTCGACCATGACGCTGCCGGCGTGGAGGTCGCCGTGGCTCAGGCAGTCGTGGGCGTCGTCGAAGGCTTTGCGTGCGTTCGCGACGGCGGCCAGTAAACCCGCGTCGTTGCGCGCGTTCGCGACGCGGAAGCCCAGAGCTGTCTCAGGATCAATTTTGCGGTTCGTCTCGTCTTCTTGAAAAGGCTTCGTGAAGACGTAGTCGCGCGTGATCGCGCGCATGGCGCCGTTGTCGTCCTTCCCCAACATCTCGGAGAAGTAGGCGTCCTGTTTTTCCCGCGTCTCGTTATAAACCTTGGCGCAGAAGCGGCCGAGCGACACGGCCACCGATTCCTCGATGACGCCCCTCAGGAGATCGTCCCGCAGTAACCGGAAGTCCCGCAGATCCTCGAGGATCATGGCGCACCTATAGTCGTCATATACCAAAACTTCAGGGGCGTTGTCCGCCGAGATGTCGCGCAGCGCCCGCAGCACGTTCGCCTCGACCTCGGCGCGCTTGTTCGTCAGCTTGTAGTCTGCGCCGAGGCACTTGATGAAGTCGGGCGCCTGCTTGACGAAGACCGACTTGCTGGAGTCGTCGCGGTCCCCGCAGCGCCAGGCGAAATTCAGGTTGCCTCCATTAATAGGTTGCGACTCCAGTCGATAGAGGGGCACGTCCGGTAAAACCCCGTGGCCGTGCACGTACCACGAGACCGAGGCTAATGTGAGTAGGACTGGATACTCCTGGTCGCCGGCCGGGTTGTCCTGGGTGATCGGCCGGTTCGCGGCCTCGGCGTTCGCCTTCTCCCAGGCCTCCTTGTAGGCCTTCATCGCGGCGCGTCCTTCCGCTTCCGTCTGGGGCGTGCGCTGCGGCAGCGGCGGCGCGTCCGGCGCGTCGGCGCTCGCCGCGCGCGGCGGCGGCCGGCGCGGCGGCAGCGGGGGGGGCACGGTGTCCTCGCCGCCCGAGAGCTCGGCGTTCTCCTCGGCGGTGTAGGGCACGAGGATTTCTTTGATCTTTTTGATGTTGTGTTGCATGTGGGGCTCCATGGGCTTTGTGTGGCTGTGAGTGATTGCAAAGGTTTCTGTCTACGACAGGTCTTTGCACGTGGTGCGGACGAGCTGCAATTTTAGACTTGTGTGTGCCTGTCCGATTGAGCAGAGCACTTCTTCTGTGGAAGCACGCGCAGTGAAAGCCTCACTTGCTGTAAAATGCTAGTGCCCTGCAACGCTAGCTCACAGAGCGGACTTACACACGGCGGCGACGCTTCCGCTTCACCACGACGAACGCGTCCATCATCGGCTGCCGGGGATTGATATAGCGAAGCCATAATCCGCCGTGCGTGTACCGCAGCCCATCCGCCGCGGCATCACGAACGGCCTCGACGGGGTCGTAGCGCATCACGTCCACGACGGCCCTGAGGCATCTATTGCGCCGCCGCCGGGAGGCAACGCACGTGGGTTGCCAGCCGGAGGCAAAGCACGCGGCCTCGACGGCGGCGATACGTACAGCGATCGCATCGGCAAACATGTCTCGTTCCGTGTACACCAAGCTGGGATAAGGGTCACCAAAGTACTCGTACAAGGTTTCGGTCGGATACGTCGGCGGTAACGTCGCGTCGCCGAGCAGCGGCTCGATGCGCTTGTACGCGAGGTCCCGCGCTTCCTCGCAACTCCCGAAGTACTTGGAGGGATTCTTGAAGCATTGCTTGATCATCCGGCACGCGATCTCCCGCACCTCCTCGCGCAGCGACGTGGCCAACAGGCCGACGGCCTCAACGGTTCGCCGCGACAGGTACGAGCGCTGCGAGCGCTTGAATATGGCATATCCCTCGTCCCGCACGCTCCGATTAAGATCTTGTGCGAAGAGCAACGCGACGTCAAAGCAGACGTCGTCTTCGGAGCGGGCGTACCAGTACTTCTCCGCCGAGAGTGCGGCGAACGGAACTAGGCGGCGGCCGCGCAGTGCCCGCAGAAACCGCGCGCTCGCCGATGCGTCCAGGTTTGCGCCCGCGCCGGGCCGGAGTATCACGCATTCGAGCAACGCGACCGCGGCGACGCTGCCGATCGAGACCAACGTGCCATCGGGAATTGGATACAGCGATTGATCGTCGAGCAGACTCGCGAGTTCAGCGACGTCCGAGGCGGCGCAGCACCGGCCATAGGCACGAATTATATCCATTCGGAACTTCCGTCGAGCCTCGTTCGACCGGCGCGTCACTGGCGCATCGCGAGCGCGCTGCTCTGTGATTTTGGCGGCAGCGTTGGGCACGCTGACGTCCATTGTGCGCAGAGCCGACAGCGGGGGCGCGACGAGCCGTGCCGGGAGCGGCTCCCTCACGAACGGAAGCAGGCTGTTGGCGAACCCGATCGGATCAGCGACGGTGCGTCCGGCCACAAAAGTGGCGGCAAGACCCGAGCGCGCGTACGCGTAGAAGACGGCCGAGCTTGCGTACGCGTAGAAGACGGTCCCCAGCAACGGCGTGGGTCCGCGAGCCCGGAGGTCCTCCATGCAGGCACAAATAACCACGGCAGAGACGTCGCCCCGGGCTGCGCTGTTCGGTAAGGGGGACATGCCGTAGCGCCTGCCCTCGACCCACGCAGCGAGAATGTTGGTCATGAGCGCGTCCGAGGCTTCGTTGCGGGGGCTGTCCCGGTAGTAGCCCTGGCCGCGGTCGCCCCGCCTAAAGACCATGCCCGGCCGGCGCCCACCGTAGGCCGCAAAGGGCTCGAACTCCGATACGTCTGCAGGCGCGAAGGGATCGTCGGTGGTACGTGGGTTTTCCCGGTAAGCGTTGAGCACCAGTTCGGTCGCGCGGCGCACGTGATCTAGCGACAGATGCGACAGGAGCGAATTGTAGATGAGCAGCGTCGGTTCCGTCGCCAAGCCCCAGCGCAGCGAAACGGCCGCGAACCTCTCGACGAAGCTATCGAGCCCGTTCGTGAAGGCCTGCTTTATGGCCGAAGGCAGGCCGCTTTCTTCGCCATGCACCAAGGCCTTGATGACGTCGAGATTCCGCCGCGATATCCAATTTGCGCGGTCCGCATAACCGTTACCTAACGCCCATCCGACCGCGGCCGTCACGCACGCGGAAACATGTTCCGGCTCGAGGCGCGAGCATGCGAGCTCGATCAAGGTATTGCAGTTCGACACGATACGGTGAGGTATCCGATTCCCGAGCAGTTCATTCAACAGATACATAGCCTTGTGTGCCGACGTTCCACGCGCGACATCTTCCAGGACGCGCTCCGCGACGGCGCGCGTCTTCCACGACGCCTCCACCTTTTCGTCGGCGAGGTCGATGAGCGAGGAGATATCTAGCGCTTCCGGCCCCTGCCAGGCGCCGAGCCGGCCCAGCAACTTCACGTAGCGCTCCCGACCGGTGAGGTCCGATTCTATGCTAGCAGCCATCGCGGGCACGATCTGACTGGCGTACGGCTCCGCCGCCCCACCAACGGCCAGGAAAATCTCGACGGCCTCGCTGGCTGCCGCTTGATCCGTCCCGACATCTGCGACGATGGCAGGCAGCGCGAGCAGCTGCTCGGCCAAGGGCATCCACCGCAGCACGCGCCAGGCGAACATGCGCGCCATCCCGGGCAGGTCCGTGTCCGACGCGCGCGGTATCCACGTCGCCGCCGTCGCGTCGTTCACGCGCGCCGTGGGCATCGTGTGCAAGAAGATGCTTTCGACGCTCGCGCCGACGGACTTGTTGCGGTCATAGTAGTTCTCGACTCTCGAGGCTTCTGCGAGCTCGGAGAAGTGCTCCATGACCAGCGTCGGGTTTTCCCTCAGGATCATCCCCGCCGAGTACGCGACGCAGCGCTGGACGTCCCGCTCCCCAAACAAAACGTCCCAGTCTAGTAGTTCATTGTCCGCCGGGTCTGACCAACGCCACTCCTCTGAAAATATCCGAACCGCTGCCTCCGCTACGCCGGTCGCCAACGGACAAAGACGCAGCAGGCGGAACGCCGCCGCGGCGATGCGAATGTCGCCCGTGGTTTTTGCGTACTGCGACGCAATTGGTTGCGCCACCAATACCAAATGTGATAGCTGTTTCATGGAAACGTCCTCCAACTCGTCCAGGGCTCTGACCAGGATGCCGCCGGGCTCGCCAGACAGCGGGGCCACCGCCAAGAGCAACGAAACATACGACGACGGTGCAGTCTCTCGCCAGGCGCGGCAGGTTGCGCGCGCGGACGCGCGCGCGTCCGCGAAGCAGTACTCCCGCAGGATGCGTCGCAGCGGGTCTGTCACCGGGCCCACACGGCCCCAAGCAGATGTCCCGCGGCGCCGCGGCCGCGGCGACAGCTGCTGCCTCAGGTAGGCGCGGTGGGCATTAATTTTCTCGGCCAATCCGTCGAGGAAGTCCAGCTGACTTGTGGTCTGGTCCGGCAGGTGTCGGAGCATGGAACTCACGGCGGCGTAGAACTGAACGTGTCTATCACGGTTCCAGGAGTGACCGCGCTTCGGCCACGACTTATAGATCATCTTGTAGATGTCTGCGGCCGCCTGGCTGTGATAGTCGTCAAATTCGTGGTGCCAGTCCTCTGAAGCCACAGAGCTTTCATCATCTGAATCAGCCATGATGCCCGTGGCCAAGCAGAGGCTGCCCGCGAGGTGTATTTGAGCAGTTTTGCACGGAACGGCAGTAATTCTCGGGCGCGGGCAGCAATCAGCCGCGCGCACGCCGCCGCTGCGCCGCAGAGCTTTTTTGAACAAAAGCTGAACCCCGCACGCTAGCTATAGGCAAACACTTACCCAGGAGGAGAGGATATATATAAATCAGTGCAGGTGCATTGGCTCCGCCGGCCGGATGATGGGCTTGTCCGCGAGCGGCCCCTCCGTGAGCCCCGGGTCCACGAGCACGTCCTTGCCGCCGCCGAACTCCTTCGTCCAGTCGGCGTTGGCGAAGGCCTCGCCGGACCACGCGTGCTGGAAGTGCGCCTCAAAATCAAAACCCTGCGGGTTCGCGATGCGCTCCTCAATCACGGGCTGGAAGCGTCTAATTAAACCTTGGACGGGCCAGGCCGCCGCGTCGCCCAATGCACAAATCGTGTGGCCCTCGATCTGGCGCGAGACTTCGTCGAGCATGCCGATTTCCCTCACGTCCGCGTCGCCGACCTCCATGCGTTCCAATAAAGTCTCCAACCACCCCGTGCCCTCGCGACACGGCGTGCACTGGCCGCACGACTCGTGTCTATAAAAATGAGACAGTCTACGAATCGCCGCGATCATGTCCACGGACTTGTCCATGACCGTCACGGCGGCCGTGCCCAGCCCACTCCCGCGCGCCTTCAGGTCGTCAAAGTCCATGAGCGCCTCTTCGCACTCGTCGATCGGTAAGACGGGCACCGAACTCCCGCCGGGAATCACGGCTTGCAATTGGTCCCAGCCACCCCTAACGCCGCCGCAGTGCTTGTCGATGAGCTCCCGGAAGGGAATGGACATCTCCTCTTCCACCACTATGGGATTGTTCACGTGGCCCGAAATCGCGAAGAGCTTCGTGCCCCGGTTGTTGGGCCTTCCGAACGACGCGAACCAGGACGCGCCCCTTCGCAAAATCGTGGGAGCCACGGCGATGGTCTCGACGTTTGTTACGGTGGTGGGACACCCAAACACGCCGACGTTCGCGGGAAACGGCGGCTTGAGCCGAGGCTTGCCTTGTTTACCCTCTAAAGATTCAATAAGAGCCGTCTCCTCGCCGCAGATATAAGCACCAGCACCACGATGCAGATAAATGTCGAAATCATACCCGCTATCGCACGCGTTCTTGCCCAAGTATCCAGCAGCATACGCCTCGTGGATCGCCTCGTCCATGACCATCGCTTCATTAAAATACTCCCCGCGAATGTAGATGTAAGCGGCGCGAGCCCGCATGGCGTAGCCCGCAATCAAGCACCCCTCGACGAGCTTATGGGGGTCCTTGCGCATAATCTCGCGATCTTTGCACGTGCCCGGCTCGCTCTCGTCGGCGTTGATCACGAGGAACTGGGGCCGGCCATCGCTGTTCTTGGGCATGAAGGACCACTTCAGGCCGGAGGGGAAGCCCGCGCCGCCGCGGCCTCGTAAGCCACTATCCTTCATCTCCTGGACGATCCAGTCGGGCCCCATCCACAGGATGTCTTTTGTTCTGTGCCAGTCGCCTCTCTTCAAAGCGTCGACCAAGCGCCAGTCCTGCTCGCCGTACAAATTCGTGAAGATGCGGTCCTGGTCCGCGAGGCCGCCCCACGACGTCTTTTCCACGGGTTCTTCCTTTTTCGGTTCGGCGGAGAAGCAGCGGCTTGCGGCGGGAGCCGTTTTGTTTCCTCGGGCCGCGGCGCGGGCGAGGCGCGCGAGGCGCCGCGCGGAGAGAGCCATGGTGGCAGGTGCAGCCAGCACTTTGGGGGTTTGAGGCGGCGCGCGGCGCAGCGCTTTCGCTAGCGTTGTTTGGCACGTCGAGGAGAGAGCCGTGCGCGCCTCTGTGAGTCTGCGCAGGCCCTCGCGTAGAGTCTTCCACGGCTTAACTCAGATTGGTGCCAGGCGAAATGAGCAAGCGGCAGCGAGGGCCAGCAAAGAAGCATCCACCCGTCTTGCCGGCCTCACGAGGGATGGGAGAACGCGCACACAAGTTGTTGCCTTGTCGGGCTAGCGACCGGTAAGACACTAGCAAGCCAAGCCAAATTTGGCCAAGCGAGCTAGACAGCCGCTATTGCTGCGCAATCAAGCGATTGCACAGCGCTCGGACACGTTCGCAGCGCCGCGCAGCCCACCGCGAGCGCTGGCTGGCAGAGAAGACCCAGCGGCCAAGTAATCCAGGCTAGGACCAAAAAGCGCAGCGGTGGCCGCAGCGCTGCAAAACGATGGACACCTCATCGACGACCGTCGCCACAACAACGGACAACCCTTTAACAACATTACGAAGAGGCCACTCGTCGCCGCGGTCACGTAGATCATTAGAGACGCCGCGCCGGCGCATCACGTTCGCCGAGACGGACGACTCCAGCGCGCGGTCCAAGGAGTCGACGAGCCCTCAACCTACGTCGAATGATCTGGAAGATGTGTCGTTGGAAACACCGAGAGCGGAGGCGGAGCCGCACGAGTATCCCCGCTCTCCACGAGATTTCAGAGAACGAACGCTGGACCGCTTCTACCTCCACGACAACGGTGATAGGGAGACCGTGAGATTACTCATGAGAGGCATGCCCATCCCCTGCACCTATGGCCTGCCGAACACGGATGGTGGTATCCTATCCAATGCTCGCGAGTTCACGTACCTATTCCATCCTCTAGTATCAGTATTCAAGGTCCACCCGTTATGTCCCTTCACGGCCAAGGAGCGCTTCGTCGTCTTCTTTTGTTCGGTAGCGTTCAATTTTGTGTGGACGGCGTTCATGGAGTACCATCGGGGCAAGATTAGTGTGTTGTTTGGTGGTGGTCGTAGTGGAGACGAGCGCGGCGCGATGTTTTATCTCGTGAAGAACATCGTCACTACTCTATACGCTGTCTTGATCAGACAGATCGTCATCTGCCCCTGCTTGTATGGTCCCCTAATAGCAGCAGCGTGTGAGGGCGACGCCCCCACAGGCCTCTGGAACGGCGTCGGCAAGCCTAGTCAAACAATACATAAAATAGACGATCGCAAACTCGCAAGAAGAGCCCAAAGGGTCAAAAGGTGGAAGCTGCGCGGCGACCGGGGTATCATGTGGTTACTGGTCATACATTTCGCCGTGGTCTTCACGGCGATATTTCTACTCGCTTCGCATTTGGAAGGCGCCCCGTACCTCGGCGAGCGAGAAAAAAACACGCCCCAACGCCACCACGCGGCTCTGTTGATTTTCTACTCGGAGGTCATCAACTTTTGGTTCTGGTTCGTGAAGTTCACGCCTCTGTTTCTGGTATTGTATCCCATCCATCGGGCGCAGTGGTACCAGGGCGGTTCTTTAGCTGATTATTTACTCTGTCGCAAGTCCTGCTGTTCCTACAAACGGTCGCAAGCCTACAAGGACCCGCAGTACCCGCGCTGCGTGCGACCCGACACGAACAAGATCTCGGAGACGGGATTGACCAATTTGCGCGGACTCGCGCGCGGTGGCTCGCTGTCGACAATTAGAAGACGCCACGACCGCGATGCCATGCTGTCCGTGCGGCGCGGCGAGGCCGATCCCTACGCCATGGCACCAATGCCGACCCCCCAGGCTGATCTGGAGGCGCGCGCCGAACCGGCCTGGGCGAGCCCCGTGCCGCCTCCGAGCCGACTGGGAACTCGGCGCGACTCGGAACCCCTTCCTCAGCAGGAACCAAATTGGGCGACGGCGCCGCGCGCGCGGGGCCGCGACTCGACGGAGCGCGTCGGCGACGTCTCCGTGCGCCGCCTCTCGTACACGCCCGGCGCGAGCGAGGACCCGCTCGCGCCCGACGAGACGCCGCAGTCCGCGCTCGAGGTCGTCGTGCCGGACTCGATGGTCTAGTCGCACTCCCTGCGCCGCTCGTGAAGCGACACACGGAGGCCTATCTGTGATAACGATAGTATTACTGTGAACACAAGATTCTTAGACAGTACACGCCGTCGCCGCGACGCGCATTCAGACCGTGCCGCAGACGGGACACTTCGGGTTCGTCGCCAGCCACCGCTCCAAGCACGGCGCGTGGCACGCGTGCGGGCACTTGGCCATGCGCCTTAGAACATCTCCGACGGCGATGTCCTCCATGCACACCACACAGCGCGCCGCGTCGCCGCCCGCCGCCCGCCGCGCCTCCACGTCGGCCTCGGAGACCTCGAAGGTCGTCGTACTCTCGAGCGCCGCCGCCGCCGCCGCCCGCTCATCAGTCGCCGTGCCGATGCGCTCTTGGAGTTCAAGGAGTTCCTCGTAGTCCATGTCATCCACATCAGCAGCGTCCCCTTGCGCGCTGCCCAGCGCCGCGAGGACGGATCCGCGGACGACGCGGCCGCGCGCGTCCGCCGGCATGGCTACCAATGTAAGGCCGTCGTCCAGCCCTAGTGTCGCGAGCGACTGCGCGCCAGGGAGCTCCGCATCGAAGACGCGGTGCGGCAGCGACCGCACGAGCGCGAAGGCGCCCTCCACGCCCGCCGCCGCGATCGCCTCTCGCAGCGCGTCGAGCGTCGCGTCATGTGCCACGGCGACGGCGACGGCTCGGGCCGGCGCGCCGGCGGCCGCAGGGAGGCGGACGCGGAAGCGCCGCTGGTCGCTTGTCGGCGGTGGCGGTGGCGTGGGGGCGGCTCGCGTGGGAGTCGCGGCGGGAGCTTGGCGGTCGCGCCGCGCGGCAGAATCCGCAGCCCAGCGGCGCCGCTCGAGCGCTCGAGCCGCCGCGTCCGCCTCGGCGGCGCGGCGGCGTTTTTCTGCCCGCGCTTGTATTTCCTCTGGGCTCGCGCCAGCCGTTGCGCCCTCCCGGCGGGGCGGCGGCGGCGATGTCAACGCGGTCGCCACTGGCGCGGCTGGTGGCGCCGCTGGCGGTACGCTTGCTGCCGGCGCCGCCGCTGCGGTGATGGCGTCGAGCGCCCGGTGAATCGCGTCCGCTGAGGCGTCGGCCGGCAGCACGAGCGTGCGGCCGCGCAGCTCGAAGCGGCACAAGGCCAGCAACTCCAAGGCGCCATCGTGTCTCAGGAGGCGCTGCTGGAGCGCCGCGTTGTCGAGCTTGAGGGTGCGGTACTTCTCGTCGGCCTCGCTTGGCAGAGCAACCCTGCTCAGGATCGAATAGAGCGTCTTCTGGGCGTCGCGTGGGAGCTGTGCGCAGAGGGTGGCCTCCGCGGACGACATGGTTGTGCTGTGGTCACAATGCTCTGTGGTCTGTGCGTCTCGGGAACCGATTGAAACGGGCTCTTCTCCGGCAGCGGCCTCAGAGGGGTCAGTCTGTCCACGAATGTGGCACGGGCCGATCGCTTGTTGCTTTTTTGCGCTGATTCAGCTGAAAACGCAGCGGCTTGCTAGTGTGTTACAGACCGCTAGCCCGCGGCGCGCGCCAAACTTTAGCCAGCAACACAGCTCGCTGCAGGCAATCACAGACCGCTGTACTGCTCCCTGCAGTGTATTTGACCCATACGAAGCCACAGCAGCGAAAACGCCAGTCGTCGCGCGCCCAAAATGGCCGAGACCAAGAAGAAGGCCAAGACCTCGAGCACTTTTCAGAAGGCCGACCTCACGAATGGCCCGCCGACGGCCTGGACCGCCGAACTCAACAATGGCCTACGCATGCCCGTGCTGGGGTATGGCACCTACAAGCTGAAGGAGGATCAGGTCGGAGGCTGCGTCCGCAAGGCCGTGGACGTGGGCTACAAACTTATTGATACCGCACATGTTTATGGGGGCGGGAAGACGGAACCGGCAGTAGGAAAAGCCCTATCCAAGGACAAATCCACCTTCGTCATCACGAAGCAGTGGCGCGGATTTCACGGTTATGCTGAAACAAAAAAATGTTTAGATCAATCCCTCAAAAGACTGGGCCGCTCCAAGGTCGACCTCCTACTGATGCACTGGCCGGGGCCCGGCTACTCGGCCATGGGCCGCTCGAAGGAAAGGATCGCCAAGGAGGGCATCCAGTGCTACTACAAGAAGGGGCACGAGGACATCGCTGCCCTGCGACTTGAGAGTTGGAGGGCCATGGAGGACGCCTATTTAGCAGGTAAATGTAAGGCGATCGGCGTGTCGAACTTCTCCGAGTCTCATCTAAGAAAGCTGCTGGACTGGGACCAGCTGAGAGTGCGGCCTTCGGTCCACCAGACGGAGTTGCACCCGTACCTCCAACAGAAGGGCGTTGTTGCGTTGTGTGAGAAGGAAGGCATACTCTTGCAAGCCTACGCTTCGTTGGGCGGCCAGGACACGAAGGACGGCCACTGGAAGGCGTTGAAGCAGCCGGCTCTGTTGGACCACCCGGCGGTTCTCAAAGCGGCCAAGGCGCACTCTTCTACATCAGCGTGCGTTCTACTCAGGTGGGCCCTCCAGAAGGGCTGGGCCGTGATCCCGAAGTCGTCGTCCAAATCACGTATCGCTTCCAATATTGCGGTCGACTTTTCTCTTTCATCTGATGAGATGGCCGCGCTCGACGCGTTGGATCTGGGCGGCATGAAGGGGCGGCTCTGCTGGCGGCGCGACGAGCTGCGGGATTTGGAGTTCGAGTGAATGCTCCCTCCCTGCTGTGTAACTGACTTCGTCTCGTAGTAGAGATCTCCAATCGCTTGTTACGGTGCTAGGTATAGTGGGCGGAGCCCACGGGGGAGACACCGCGCGTCGCCGATTCATCGGCGGCGTAGTTAAGTGAGCAGCTGCGCTCGCGGCGCGGACCGCGAACGCGCTTGACCAGACCACCGCTCCCCGACGCCCCTAGCACCGGGACTACTCTTCTCCACAGGGCTCTTCCTCGCCCATAGAGCTCTTCAGCGCGCTGAAACCCGGCCGAACTAGCGGGCGGTAAGGCACTAGAGCGAGCCCTTGTGATGCATCAGTCGCAGTCACTGCTACCAGGCTGCTCGCACAAGGAGTGGCTTAACGCTGCGCATCGCTGGACGATATCGCAATAGTTGCTCAGCACTCGTGCCTGCTGCGTAGTGGCTGAAGCACTTGCAGTCTCTGTGCACGTCTGCAAGTAGCAGTAGGGCTGCAAGCAACTGCTGACTGATGCGCGGCGCCCTCGTGATGATGCTGGCGACTTGCCGAGCGCTGCGACCCGCAGCTCTGCGGTTCGCCGCACGCCGCCGCAGCGGTGCAGCGCTCACGACGATGTCCGCCGCCGCGCCGCCGCGCAAAAAAGTGAAGAGTATAGTAGAAGTCACACCCGACTCTGTTATTGGAGAGACGGTCACGGTCAAGGGCTGGGCAAGAACGGTACGAGCGCAGAAGGCGTTGGGCTTCTTGGAAGTCAACGACGGCTCGTCGTTCGGCGGGCTGCAGGTCGTCTTCGAGGGCGATTTAGTATCTAGCTTAAAAGGCGTCGGGACGGGCTGTGCGGTCTCAATCGAGGGCGAGGTCGTGAAAGGTGGAGGAAAACAACCAATAGAACTGAAAGCGTCGAGTTTCGAGTTGGTCGGAGGCTGTGAATCAGACTACCCTCTCCAAAAGAAGCGCCACTCTTTGGAATTCTTGAGATCCATCGCACATCTACGACCGCGCACGAACACGTTAGCGGCAGCAGCACGGATTCGCTCCACCCTAGCGCAAGCAGTACACGCGTTCTTCGACGAAGAAGGTTTTAATTATGTGCATTCGCCCATCATCACGACGTCGGACTGCGAGGGCGCGGGCGAGATGTTCCGCGTGACGTCGCTCGACGGGAAAGAACTTTCGCGTTCGTCGGAGAAAGACGACTTCGCCGACGACTTCTTCGCGAGGAGCGCTTATCTGACTGTGTCAGGACAGTTGAGTGGAGAGGCTTATGCGTGCGCGCTGGGCGATGTCTACACCTTCGGGCCCACGTTCCGCGCGGAGAACAGCCAGACCGCAAGACACCTCGCGGAGTTCTGGATGATCGAGCCGGAGATCGCGTTCGCGGACGCGAGCGGCGCGATGGACAACGCCGAGGCGATGATGAAGTTCGTCATTAAGAAGGCTTTGAGTGACTGTAAAAAAGATTTGGAGTTCTGCGACAAGTTTTATGGTAATAATGAGCTCATTGACCGGCTGACGTCCATCTCCGGGAGCGAGCCGTTCCTGCGGTTATCGTACACGGACGCCGTGTCACTCTTACAGGAGGAAATCGCGAAGGACCCGAAGAAGTGGCAGTTCCCCGACGTCGAGTTCGGCACGGACCTCGCCACGGAGCACGAGCGCTGGCTCGCGGAGGTGCACGCGGGCGGGCGGTGCGTTTTTGTGTATGACTATCCGCGGAGCATCAAGTCCTTCTACATGCGCGATAACGACGACAAGCAGACGGTCGCGGCCTTTGATCTCCTCGCGCCGGGCGTTGGGGAATTGGTCGGCGGCTCGCAGCGCGAGGAGTCTTATGATAGACTTGTCGCGAAGATGACGGAGTTTGGTTTAGATCCGGAGGACTACTGGTGGTACCTGGACTTGCGGAAATATGGAAGTGTGCCGCACGCGGGCTACGGCCTCGGCTTCGATAGATTGGTGTGCTACGTCGCGGCGATCGAGAACATCCGGGACTCGATCCCCTTCCCGCGGTACCCGGGGTCGGCGCAGTTCTAGGCGCGTAAGTGTGGGAGAGAGAGTCGCTTATTGAGCAGCCCCTCTACCCCGTACTGGAAACCCGTTTTTGTCACCCGAACAAAACCTATCGCGCGCGCGAAGATAGTAGCACCGATGGCGCCGTCTGCGTACCTACTCACAAACTGCGCCGCCTGCGCCGCCCCACTGGCCCACGACGCGCCACGATGCGTGCGATGCCGATCCAGATATTGCGATGCCACCTGCCAGCAGGACCACTGGCGCCGCGGCCACAAGCAGATCTGTAAGAAAATACACCGCGGCGGCGACGCGGAACGATACCACGCCAACAAAAAATATAAGGAGGCCGTCGCGGTCGCGGTCGAGAAGTGCGCCGAGGACGCGAAAGGTCAGACGTGCTACATATGCACGAAGGGCGTCTTTCAGCGCACAAATGAGGGCCTCGTGCGCATGTGCGCGTGCCGCGGGACGGCGGGCTTTGCCCACGTGTCGTGCTTGGCGGAGCAGGCGAAGATTTTGGTCGCGGAGGCGGTGGAGAACAATTTGGATGACAAGGTCTATCAGGCGAGATGGGACCGGTGGTCTACGTGTAGCCTGTGCGAGCAAGAGTACCGCGGCGTCGTTGCGCACGCGCTTGGATGGGCGTGCTGGAAGACGTACTGCGACAATGTATTTGGGCGCGTTGCACTGAATCGTCTCGCAACGAGTATGATGAAAGATGAGCGGTGGGAAGAAGGACTTCTCGTGCACCAGTCACAGTTGGCGAAGCTTCGTACGGAGTTCCCTGTTAATCAAGAAGGAGTCATAGACGTCCTGAATAATCTGAAAGAGTGCTACGAGAAACTCGGCCGGACTGATGCGGCTATCGCCACCTCACGCGAGATTTATTGCGAGAAGGGACAATTTTATGGAAATTCGCACAGATCGACCTTATTGGCTGCCGGGAAACTAGCAGCGGATCTCGTACACCACAGGCATTTGCACGAGGCCAAGGAGCTATTGAGCAATTTATATGACTTGCAGAAGGTCGGGGACGACGTTGATGAATTCCACTTGAAGGAATTGTACGCGATGACCCTCCACGATTTCCACTTCTACGGCTATGACGACTACCGCGAGGACCTGCGCAAGGCCCTGGAGATCCTCGAGGAGTTGGTCGAGACATCGATCCGCGTTCATGGCGAGGACCATGTCATGACCGAGAGCTTGTGGGACCTTCTGTGGCAAGTACGTGACGAGCAGCTCGACTGGAGTATCGATGATCTCACGCCGGAGACCCGTTTGGCGTACCATTACGACGGTAAGTACGAGTACTCGGCCGACTCGGAGGAGGACGCCGACACGGCGGCGACGACCACTTCGTATATATCAGAAACGAGCGATTTTGAAAACGCGTAAACTACAGATACTACTTAAATAACGCCCCCCCCAGCGCCTCCAAACCCTCGAGCCCGTCGAGGTCCTCGTCGAATTGCGGCGCCGTCGCTATACTCAAAGACAGCTCCCGCGCCAAGGAATCCAAAGCCTCCAAATTCTCGCGCTGCGTCTGCAGACTGCTGGACGCGAAGTTTTTGCAGGCCGCCTCATCCAAAATACCATTGACCACCAACCGCTGCGCTTTCACGCCGGACTCGTCCAGACTCCTCTTCAAATCGTCGGTCTCCGTCAGCGACAAATCGGTGGGTGCCGCGACCATCACGAACTCGCACCGGTCCGCGTTTTTGAGGACCGCGTCCATGGCGAAGGCGTCATCTTGCAATTCTCGTACGCGATCTCGAGCTTCTTCGATGGAGTCGTCGACATTTCCAGAGAGAGATGCCAAAGCAGCACCGACGAGGGGGTTCCGCTTCAGTCTATCTCTAGCTGCTGCGGCTCTTTCAGCGAAATCATCTAGTAACTCAGGTAGAGCGAGCAACCTTAAAGTATGGCCGGTCGGCGCCGTATCCAACACCACGCGATCGTATTCTTTCGAACGGAGTAGCTCCAACACCCGTAACAAAGACACCAATTCATCTAGACCCGGTGGGGGCGTCTCGAACGCATCAGCTAAATCAGCTAAACCGGAATCAGCACCCGACTGCCGTAATTTCTCGCCCAGGTTCGACGCTAATACGGAGGCAGCGTCTCTTGCCGTAGAGTCCGCGTCGACCTCCAGCGCGACTAGTTTCGCCGATGCACCGTACGTGTCCACCTCCGTCAATTCCTTGCCCAGTGTCAAATCCAGAGCGTCTCCCAACGAATGCGCCGGATCTGTCGAAACGATGGCGGTACTCAAGCCTTGGTCAGCGAAGGCCACCGCGAGCGAAGCCGCAACAGTAGTCTTGCCGACGCCGCCCTTGCCGCCACAAACAATGAGTTTCGATGATTTGGACGGTGCGAACAGATCCGTCCAATCAGAAAACAAGGGTCCTCCAAAAAAACGTAGGCCAAACACACCCACGAGCTCCTGGCCCGACGTCGCTAGGGGCGCCTCCGTGCATAACGTACCTCGTAACTCCTTCTTGAGGTACCTATCTAAGAGTAAACGTTGCCTCGTCGCTAGTCGCTGGACCTGCTGGTCTCCGAACGTAGCTTCATCGACGACGCGATTGACCACCACTGTTTTTAGTTTGATGCCGCCGCCTCTGGTGTTTTGAGCTAGATCTCTCGCTAATCGCGTCGTCTCCGCAAAAGCTAATTTGGTTGGCAGACACACGGCTAGGAATTCTGTTCTACTACCATCCGCTAATGCACTGCGTACCGCTGAGATCTTATCTCGTAAATCGTCTAGCTTACCTGCTACCGAATCAATATCAGAAGCGACACTATCCACCGCTCCACCCAGCCCGAACGATCCGGCTAATGAGGCCAGGGACCCGACCCGGTCCCGCAGCCTCAACAACCTATCGACGAACTCGTCCGCGAAGTCTGGTAAATCTAACAACCGCAACGCGTGGCCCGTCGGCGCCGTGTCCACCACGACTCGATCATAAGTGTCGTCTCTGGCATACTTGAGAATATCAGCCAACGCAACTAATTCATCAACTCCGGGCGGCGGGTTCGCCAGCAGTTCGACGAACTCGTCCGCGCCCAAGGCCCGCACGGCCTCCACGCCTAAAGGCCCGTACCTCCCGGCGAAGGACTCCGCATCAAACGCCTCGACGGCTTTCCGCCACTCGGCCATGGCCCCGTCGGCGTCGACCTCGACGGCATCTAGACCGTCGGCGATTCTGATGGGCGTGCTTTTCAGTTCCTTCTGGACCGCATCGCCCAACGAATGGGCCGGATCCGTCGACACGATAAGCACGCGGCCGCCTTCGCGGCTCCACCGCTGCGCGATGGCTGCCGAGACGGACGTCTTGCCGACGCCGCCCTTGCCTCCGACGAAAAGTAAGGATACGCCGTCGTCTATGCTCAGACCGCCTCGCAGTGGTGCGAGGCGCCGGCGTGCTGGCGCTGGTGCGAAGGCTGATGCCGCAGCGATGAGCGTGCACCAGCGCATGGCTCCTCAGATTCAAGAGCAATGAGAATCGATGCCAAGGTCCAGCAGTGTGTGCACGGCTCAATCGCGTGAGCAGGACAGAGCCTGCCGCTTGCTAGTGTCTTACATGACGCTAGCACGATTAGCTGCACTTGTGAAACTCTCCGCTCCGAGTCGGGACCGCTCTTCAGTCAGGAGTCCAGTGGCACCACCAATCAATGGAGACGCCGCCTATTCACGTTCTCCTCGCGCTTGACGCCCAGATTCTCGGAGGCAAGGTGGGCTATGGCACTTCAACTCCTTCAAGCCCGGTGGTGAGCCTCACTGGTCACGACGACGACGATGAAGACTGGTCGCCGGAATCTCCGGCGTTGGGCCGCGATGGACCAGCGACTGTCGCGGACGAAGGCGAAGGTACAACGCGGACGACGACGTCGCGCTTCTGGGGCGTGTATTGGCATGAGGAAACCAAGAAATGGCGGGCGCAATATAGAGACGCGGCCGACAAGAAGCGCACCATCGGCTGCTTCAACGACGAGGAGGAGGCCGCCCGCGCGGTTAATAAAGCGATCCGCGACGCCGGCCTCGAAGGTAGGCGCCGCATGAACGCGGCCGACGCGACGGGCGCGTTAGTGCCGAAAGCGCCTGGCTCGCACAACCGGCGAGACGACTCCGCCGTCGTCGCTCCGGACCCGGCGCGTGCGCCGTCGGCGACATCGTCCAAGTTCTGGGGCGTGTCGTGGAACAAGGAATCGCGACGATGGGAGGCGGGCTACCGCGACGCGAACGGCAAGAAGCGCAACCTCGGCTACTTCGACACCCAGGAGGACGCGGCGCACGCCGTCAACGCGGCGATCCGGCGCGCGGGCCTCGAAGGGAAGCGCCGGACGAACCCGGTCGTTGACGGGCAGCTGGTGCCCCGTGCGCGCAAGGCGAGCGGCCACGGGAAGCAATCCGTGCGCAAACGCCGCCGCGCCGAAGCCGCCGCTACGCCATCGACGCGCCCCGCCTCGACTAAGGAATCATAGCCACCACCTTACCCCAGCCCCTCCACCACGTACCCCGGCGCCTTCCCGGACCGGTTCTCGTCGACGAAACAGAAGAGCGGGATGATGTAGCGCGTGCCCGCCGTGATCTGCATGCCGCCGTGGCGCGCCTTCCCCGCGAAGGCGACGACGCCGCCCGCGTCGGCGTTCAAGACCTCCTCCTTCCAAGGATCGGAAGAGCCGGGCCGCCGCGCCCGCTCGAAGCGCGTGCCGCCGCCCTCGTAGTCGCTCATGTCGTTGAGCGCGATCGTGAAGGAAAACGCGCTCTCGTCGACGTGGAGCGGTAATGAACGTTGCCCCTCCATGTCGTATTTGACGATGAACGCGTCGTGGGCTCGTATATCAGCAGCATCCTTTATTTTGTCCGGGAACCTAGAAGCGAGCATGGGGAACAGCGTCGACTTGAGCCGCGAATTGAACCACTCGAGGATCTCGGGCACGTCCTTCACGTTCATGTCGGTCGTCGCCGCCTGGGCGTGGCGCGCCTTCTGCCAGCCTCCCATTTCTTCGGCGCGTTTTTCACACAACGCAATCACGCGGTCGCACTCGTCCTTTGGGATTAACGGTGATTTGGAGGCGAAGGCTCGCGGCTCCTCCGGCTTCCAGCTTACAGTCCTGTGATCTTCGATCTGCTCCGGCCCGCCGACGACCCACTCGTCGAACTCTACAGCGTTGGTCCATTCCGCACAGGGCCCCCGATGGTAGGATAAGGAGTGGCCCCGGTAGGTCATTTCCGCGGCACTCAGCATTTCATCATCAAACTTCTCGGCCCCTGCCGCGAAGACGCGCTCGGCCTCCGAGAACTCGCCGCCCCGTACCAACACAGCTCCGAGCTTCAGCCAGGCCTGGGCCTCGCCCTCCTGGTCCCGCACTTCTTCTAAAGCGGTTGTCGCGTCGCGGACCGCGCCCCGAATCGCGCGGGCCTCCTTCTCTTCGTCTGTCAACGTTGTCTTCTTCGGCGCGGCGCCGAAGCCTCCTGTAGATTTGGCGGTCTTCTTCTTCTTCTTGGTCTTAACTTTGGCGTTCAGTGCGACTCGTCTTGTGGGCTGTATCGTCGGCGGCGCGAAGGCCGTGGCTGTTAGGGCTGTGAGGACGAGGGCGGCTCTCCGTCGGCCGGTGGGGGCCATCTTGTCGTACGTGCTCCGGTGACGCTCTGTGAGAGCTCAGGCCTGGTTGCCGGCGCTAAGCAGTGTTGCGAGCCGCGTCGACGTCGTCGCAGCAGCGAGGCTATAGCGTCTGGTGACTATTCGCCCAGCTTTTAGCCGTGAGCGCGATAGATTTGGGCCGCTTGGGCCTCGTTTGCAGCTGCGCGTTTATTAATTTTTCGCTGGCTAGCGGCTGTAAAGACACTAGGAAGGCAAAAACAAAACATATCAATCCACCGCACGCGATCGCGCCAACGGCCCCGCCAACGCAAAATGATCCTCACAAATTGCGCCGCCTGCGCCGCCCCACTGGCCCACAACGCGCCGCGATGCATAAGGTGTCATACAAGATATTGTAACAAAACTTGCCAGCATGACCACTGGCGCCGCGGCCACAAGCAGATGTGTAAGAAAATACACCGCGGCGGCAACGCAGAACAATACCACGCCGACAAAAAATACAAGGAGGCCGTCGCGGAGGCCGTCGAGGCGTGCGCCGAGGACACGAAGGGCCAGACGTGCTTCATTTGCACGCAGGCGCTCCACTGGAAAACAAAGGAGGGCCTCGTGCGCGGGTGTGCGTGCCGCGGGACGGCGGGTTTCGCGCACGTGTCGTGTCTGGCGGAGCAGGCAAAGATTTTGATGGACGAGGCCGAGGAGAACAATTTGGGCGAGAAGGCGCGGATTGAGAGGTGGATGCGGTGGGATTTTTGCGGCCTGTGCCAGCAGTATTACCATGGCGTCGTGGCATGCGCGCTCGGGTGGGCGTGCTGGAAGACGTACGTGGGGCGGCCAGAGGACTCGGTTCGGTGCTTGGCGATGAACCTGCTTGGGAACGGTTTACACGATGCAAAACACCACGAGGAGGCATTGCCCGTGAGAGAGGCCATGTTAGCTACGATACGGCGCAGTGGCGGAATAGAGGTTAGCATACTCGACGCGCAGAACAATCTTGCGAACACGTATGGAGCGCTTGGACGATTTGAAGAGGCCCTGCGGATGCGGCGAGACGTATACTCCGGACATTTGAAGCTCCACTGCGAGGAACATCAGAGAACTATCATGGCAGCCAACAACTACGCGATGTCCCTTGTGAAACTAGAGCGCTTCCAAGAAGCCAAATCACTGTTAATAAAAATGATGCCCGTGGCGCGGCGCGTCCTCGGCGAGGGTCATGAACTCACACTCAAGATGCGCTTCAATTACGCGCGGGCACTTTACTTGGACACCGACGCCACGCTCGATGATCTCCGCGAGGCCGTGACGACGCTCGAATGTGTCGCAAGGACGTATAAGCGCGTATTTGGCAAATCGCACCCTGAGGCCCGAAGGGTCCAGGGCGGGATGGAAGAAGCGCGGGCGAAGCTGGCAGCGCGAGACGTAGTTCTCTAAGGCACAATCAACACACTCTTACTCACTCGTCCCGTCGACCACTCGTCCCCGGCGGCGCGTCGAACTCCTCGACAGCATCATCTTCATACGGAAACGGGTCGAAGGGCATCGACGCCCCAAGCTCGACGCCGTCCGCGTCGTCGTCCGCGTCGACGGTCGCGTAGGTCCCCCGGGCGCGTAGCGTCGCGAGACGCCTTTTCCGGAACGCGACGCAGCGCGCGGCGATGACGGCGGCGCAGAGCGACACGACGAGGACAATAATAGCGAAGCGCCACCGCGCGCGCGCCGCGGGCCCCCCATTAATATCCTCGTCGCAGGCCGCGCCCGTCGTGCCCGGGTCGCAGTGGCACGCGGCGCCCGTCTTCGCCCAGACGCACTGGCCCCTGTTGGAGCAGGCCGCCCCGTTGCGATCGCGCGCGCAGCCGAGCGGGCAGCCGTGCACGCTCTCGACTTCAGTGATGGTGGCACAATCTGCTGAAGAGATCAAAGTAGGTTCAGACGGCTCGACGGCGGCTTCCGAGCACCGCACCCGCAACAGAAAGGAGCACCGGTCCGGGCCAGAATAGGCCAAAGCGACGCCCTGGGTGGGGTCCGCGCCGACGAGAGGCTTGAGCGAGGCCATGTCCGCGTCGGCGGCCGACCCGGCGACGGCTTTGCACGATTGCTTCGTGATCGCGTAGGCCGCGGCCGGCTCGGGGTCGGCGCAGACCTTCGGCGGGTTCGCGTTCGCGCAGACGTTGAAGATGACCTTGGACGCGCCGTCCCGCGCCTCGTAGTCGAGTAGGGACGAGGTCCTCGTGAGGCCCTTCAAATCCCAGGAGGCCACGGCGCCGTCCCTTTTCAGCGTCGCGCCGCACGTCGCGGCGGCCGCGCCGCTCCCGTCCTCGCACGGGTCGTCGCGGCCCACGCAGCGTCCCGAACTCCCGCAGAAGAAATATCCTGCGGAACTACAGCAGCCGTGGGCGTCCCTGACGCACTCGAAGGCCGCGTCGGCGGCTTGTATAGCTGCCAGCGCTGCGAGCGCGCGGCGCATGGTGGGTCCGCACGCCTCTGGGCTGGGCTCGGCTGAAAAAAGTGCAGCGCTGTGGCGATTCAAAGCACTACCGAATTGTCTAGCGTGGTTCTGCGGCGCTTAAGCTCTCGGCCAAGAGCGTCGAGTTTTCGCACCCTAGTGTCTCACCACCGCTAGTCCGTTTCCCGCGATGCCTCGCGCGCCTGGTTGGGGGCCTGGAAGGGCTAGGATAGGAGCTCGGAGGACGGTTCGTTCTCGCCAATTCAAAGGTTACTAGTAGGAAGGGTTGCTCTGTGCCCACTTGAAAAAAGAGGTGACAACCACTTGAGTTCGGCTGCCGCCCGCCCTCCCTGGCGCCGCGGGCAGCAGAGGACGCCGCGCGGCACTTTCATTGAACCCGTAGCTCGGCCCAGAGCGCTTGGGGCAGCTCCTGTGGCAAAGGCATCTCGCCTAAAAAGCACAGCACCAGAAACATGGACCTCGATGCGATCATCGACTACCTCCAGGGCCACGCGACGGCGCGCCACGTCCATTTGGATCAATTGGACGAGGCGGCGCCGGCGGCTCGCTTGAGACCATTGGCGAGACCGGACGTCCGTCAATTGACGAAAAAGACGCGGCAGCTTCACCTGAGTGAGCGGAGGCGAATCGGAGCGGCCGAGTCCGCGTTGCTGCTCGAACCATTGCTGGTCGAGATATTTGCCTTCATCGGTGCTGATGACATGTCGAGGACGGCGGCAGGCGCGGGCGGCGCCTGGGCGTCGTCTCTACGCGAGGCCCATCGCCAGGGTCGGAGATGCATGGCCGTCTGTCGAGCGTGGCGTAGTGCCGCGACGCAGGCTTCGGCATTTTTCGGGCGGCTGCTCGTGCCTTTGCATTTGTGTGCACCTGATAGTATTTGTAGAGAACACGGCCCGCGCACCAAATGGGCGACTCTAGATGGTGCCGTATCAATAAAAAACAAGGTGGAGACGCCGACGATCGACGCCGCGGCTCTCTGGCGGTCCCTCCGCTCGTTGCCGTTCCTCGAACGGCTAGAGCTCACGCGAGTGACGTTCACGCCAACAAGTCATTCGCCTTTATCAATATTAGATTTCACGCGCGTCAAGGAGCTGTGTTTGTATAAAGTCGCCGGCTTGGGCGCCGACGTCCTGTCCGAACTTATTGCCTGCTGCCCCTGTTTGGAAGCCCTGGAAACGCACCACGCGAACCCGTGGCTTGATTTATATCGGCGAGAAACGGCGCTACGGGACCCGAAGAAAGCTCTTGCAGGATTGTCGACGTGGCAGGACACCGACGACTCCGTGGCGGCCTGGTTGTTAGGCGCGGCCCAGACCGCGCCGCGGTGCTTATCTACATTACGTCTCGGCGACGGCGTCGACGACGCGGCTCTAAAAGCGGTGCCGCAATTCGCAAACCTGAGATGCCTCAACGTCATGCGGACCTACGCGGTCTCGGATCTGTTGCGTCTCCTGCCGCGCGTTCTCCAGGCACCACTCATCGCGCTGTCGCTCCACGTCGACGGTCCTTCCCAAAACGCGGACGCCGTGGCACGCGTCCTGGCCTCGACGCCGGCCGCGGCATCTTTGAAAGTATTAGCGTTGTCGGACCACGCGCAGACGGAGCGCAGCACCTTCACCGATAGAGGTCTGGAAGCGTGCGGCGCTTTCCCGCAGCTGGGCCGGTTGCTGGTCGACGACGCCGGCGCGCTGACGGTGCGCGGCGTGGCCCAGTTTTTGAGGGAGGCGCCGGCCTTGCGCCAGCTCGGCCTGCGGAACTGCTTCGGCGAGAACTTCCGCGGGGCGCCGGAGCTTCGGGCCGCGGCGGAAAACGCGGGCGTGGCGCTGCTCTGGGAGCCGCGGGCCGCGCGGCCCAAGGAGCGGGCCTACTCCGAGGAGGATATAGTCGCGGGGGTGTAAGGTCTTCTATCTGATTTTTTGAGACCTCGCGGAGACCCCGCACTCGCGTTTCCTGCAGCTTCGATCCGCTCGACGCATGACGCCATTGCGGATAGCGGCGCAATTTACGTAGGCATTGACGAGCACCGCACCACCGAAGCGAGAGCTCCCCGCGGTGCGCGCACGAAGGAGTACGCAGCCGCACGGACCTTTGATTGTGAGGGGCAGCCACTGCACACAGGCAGCAGCGATGCCGTCGTCCATCGACGACCCCTCGGCGGGCTTGTTGGGAGACGAGGAGGCGCCCGGTGACTGCCACAGCGCCGTACGAGGTATTGGTGTGGTCACGTTGGCCTTCGGCGGCCTCGTCATCACCAACGTTTGTGTGCTACTCTTCAAGGAGCTGAGCCAGATTGATGGCGAGTACCTGTACAATCCCGCATCCGCATTATGCATGGCGGAAATCGGGAAGTTCCTCGTGTCGTGCTGCGTTAGAATAGGAACAAAGGCTCATTACGAACCATTTCTGCCGAAGACCGTACCCGTGGAGTTGAGCTGGGCCGCTACTGGTTTGGCTTTGTTATATGCCGTTTATAATCAATTAACATTCGTCGTCCTCACGAAGGCGTCCGCGTCAACGGTAGCTCTGTTCAAAGCCACGACGCCCACCCTCGTAGCTTTGTTGTTATGGTTACTACACGGTGAAAGAATAAATAAGCTCCAGTGGGCCGCTACCGTCCTCCAGATGGCCGGGTTGGTCCTCGTGGCGGAAGGTGCTGCAAGTGAAGGTATTCTGGAGGGCGAAACCGAATGGTGGGGCGCCGTCGAATTTTTACTGGTCTTGATGGCTGTGTTAGGCGCTCTAGCAGCCGTCTGGAACTCGAAAGCGTTGAAAGGCATCGACACGCCGATGCCGATTCTCAATATGTATCTCTATTCGAGTGGAGCGTGCTTCAACTACATGATTTTTGCGCTGAAATTGGCCTATTCGGACCAAGATTCTTTCTTCGGCGGGTATGCGACGAATGTGTTTGCATGTTTGGTCGTGGTCAGTAACTCATTAATCGGACTGTCGACGTCGGTGCTGTATAAATATGGAGACGCGATCATTTCAAAGTATGCGGCGGCGTGCTCTGCTGCCGTGTTACTAGTGCTCGAGATTGTCGTGTGGAGGTTACCTACATCTTCTACGAATATAATAGGTGCATTTATCGTGGTGACGGCCGCGGCAGTATACCTGGATATCGCCGTCAAACTCCCGCCGCAAGCGTGGCCCTTCGACTTCCCCGGCGCGCATGCGATCGCGCGGTGCGCCGCTACTGAAGAAGGTAGGACGAAACTCCTCCGGTCGCGGTCGTCGGCCGAGGTCCTGCAAGTCGTCGAGGAGGCGGAGTCGAAGTTACTGCGACCGTCGTTGTCGAGACGGCACGGCGTCGAGTCGGGCCGCGTGGCGTTTTCGAGGGGCGCCGTCGACGCGATCGCCTTGGTCGCCGTCGGGTGCGGCATGGCGGCGCTCGCGTGTGTCATAAGCGGGCACCGGACGCTGCTGGGGTACTAAGGGAGTTGTTGTGTTTTCTCGATGGAATTGGTTGCGTCGATCCGATGGGACGCGTTTCGCGACTCTCGGAGAGCGCAAAGCATCGTCGGGAGCTCCAATAATTTGGCACAAATTGCTAAACACCGTGCAGCTCAGCGCCCAATTCAATGTGCCTTCGACCTAATGCATCAGCCGGAGGGCTAAGCGCACGTCACGCCATCGATGCGATAAAATTATTCATGCCAGTCGATGAGCCAAGCTGCACAGACCCTGATCGAACTCGACTTCTGCGGGGTCGATGCTTTCACATCCGCCGCTGGCGTCCTGCGTCTTGTCCGCGGCTGCCCGAAGGTCATTTATTTGTACTGGTACGCCAGTAGCGATAGGATCCTGACGCCCCTCACCGACGGCAACGGACAGGACGTCGATGAACTCACCGAGCTTCTCGATAACCGTGCCCCCAGGAAAGGCACCTACCTACCTACCTACGAGATCGAAGTCTTTGATGAATACGGGCCGTGGAAAGCTGACAGCTACCACTACAGCAATACCTGAGTAGACGGCCGCGCGACCCCGAGTAAGGAACTCTAGAGTAGAAATGAATGACGCGGTTACCACGCGAGAGAAACGATACGATGCCTACTTCTCCTTGCCGAAGAGCTTCTTCGCCCGCGTGAGGAGATCCACGGACTCGAAGCGCTCCTTGACTTTTCTATCAAACTTGACCGGCTTGACCGGCATGAAGCGCCACGCGACGGCCATCGACGAGCCCGTCAGCGCCATCCAGACCACGGACACCGCGGAAGGCACGCGGGCGGCGAAGGCGCCGAAGTGGAGCTTCGCTAGTAAAAAGCCGAAGGCCGAGCTCTTCATCGAGGTCTCGATGGCCATCGTTCTCGACGACGTCTCGCCGAAGCCGAGAGCCCGAGCGCCCCAGTAGCCGACGATGCCGCCGACCAAGTGGAGGAGCATTACCGGTAATTGCAGGTTGAGGCCAGCCGCCAGGATCGGCTCGGCGACCTGCCCGACAGCCGCGGCCACCAGCAGACAGGTAGAGACCATGCCTATGACGGGTGTCACAGGAGTGATCTTCTTCACGACTTTCGGGAACTTGGCGTTCATCGTCATGCCTACTAAGATGGGCGCGAGGACGACCTGTAGAGTAGAGACGACAATGCCCGCGGCGTCGACGGGCACGACCGTCCCCAGAAAGGTCTTGCACAATAGGGGAGTCATGAAGATAGCTCCAATGGTGGTTGCCGTCGTCATGAGCACCGAGAGGGCCACGTTCCCGTTCGCAATGAACGTGCAGAGATTCGACGCCTGGCCGCCGTTGATCGAGCCGACGAGGACCATCCCTGCCACTAAAGCCGGATCTAGCGCGAACATCTTGCCCAGGGTCAGGCCGAGCGCCGGCATCATGCCTGCGAGAGTGTACCGTCAGCCTCGTGTCCGACACACGATTAACTCTCAGGACTGGCATCTGATTGGCGAAACCGTCATCGGTCAAATGTGTGCATCCGGTGGGGTTCGAACCCACGCCTCCGGAGAGATTGGGGCTTAAATCCAACGCCTTAGACCAACTCGGCCACGGATACGAACGTGCGGCATGGAACTCAAGTGATGATGGTGGGGTTCGAACCCACGCCCGAAGACTGGTGCCTAAAACCAGCGCCTCTGGTCGCTCCCAGGAGCTTAGACCACTCGGCCACATCATCAACGTGCGCGATAGTGACAGGGTTCGAACGCGCATCGATTTTGTAGGAATCGATCCTGCGACCCTTGCGGGAGTAGATTTCAAGTCTACCGCCTTAACCACTCGGCCACACTATCTCGCTTTGAGTTCAATTCCGCGGTAGACCGACCCGGGAGTCGAACCCGGAGCCTTCAGATTTCCAGTCCGTCCAGATTTTGTGTGGTGTGGTGCGTCGCGGCGACAGCGTGACGCCGTCGAGCAGGCGCGCCACGAAAGATCGTGGTGCGTCGCGGCGGCGGCGTCGCGCCGTCGAGCGAACGCAAACAACTCCGACGGGACTCGAACCCGCAACCCCCAGATTCGAAGTCTGATACGCTGTCCATTGCGCCACGGAGTTGTTTTTGTGTGTGTGGAGGAGCAGGGGTTTGAACCCTGGGCTTTCCGCATGCAAAGCGGACGCTCTGCCACTGAGCTACACCCCCTTTATGAATATAGGACGCTGGCCGCGGTACCGTAGCACAGCGCGAAGTTCAATAACACCGCATTGGGCCGCGTCGCCACTCTTTGGAAGTCCTTCGGGGCCAGCGTAATACCCATACTCAGCATGAGAATCGCTAGGCCCGCCGTGAAGTATTTAGTGGTCAGCCAGGCGAAGGCCGACGGGTCCTTGAGGGCCCACAACGTGAAGACGACCGTCCAGACCGGAAATAAGTTGGTCAAGGCGCCGGAGACCTTGGTGTACGTGTCGAACCACGTCGGTTCGGCGTCCTCGACGGCGGCCGCCGCGGCCTGCGCGACGACGGCGGCGCGCGGGGGTTCTGCCTTCGCTTGAAGGCGGACGCCTGACCTCCGCAGCTTCTGCGCGACGCCGCGGCCGTTGTTGACCGCCTTGAGCACGGGCCGCGCGGCGCGCGGCGCCGGGGCCGGGGCGAAGGCCGCCGCGGCGGCGAAGAGCGCCCAGAGGAGCTTGTTCATCCTGCCCTCGCTTTGAATGCACTCGCCGCAAGCAATGTGCTTTAAATGCAACTCGCCTTAAAGTCGCTCGCCGTGCACGCCGCTTGCAGCAGACGTAGTCGAGGACTTTTCACAGCTACTGGGCACAGCTTGAAGCCTGGCGACGTCGCTCGACGCGCCCAAACTGCTGTGCAAAGCTGCCCTCGCCGGCCACACCTCCCTAGTGTCATTCCACGGCGAGCTGGACTATTCCTCCCTCCGGGCGCCTGGAAGCGTCAAGGTCGAACACCGCGACGCGTGCGCGGGAGAAACGTCCGCACTGCAGCTAGCGCTAGTAAGACACTAGCAACCCATGGACTCAGACGGCACGGCGGCCGAAGCGCGGCCCTATCGCTGCGTTGAGCGGCTCGTACAACCTACCGGTCGACCTGACTCGCCGTACGCAAAGTTGCGCAAGACCTGAGGCCGTACCGAGCAAGCACAAAGGAGTGCTCTCTGAAGCAAAATGAAACGCAGCCAACAACAGGCCGCAGCGATCGCCGCAACCGCCGGCGCCCTCGCATTACTCGCAGCCAAGCGCCGCGGCATCAGCCTCCAGAAATGGCTGCGCGTGCAGGCCGAAATCGCACAGATTATCGCACAAAACGCAACCAAGGACGGAAACTGGCGGTGGTCTCGCTTAAGAGAACTGCTCTTCCTGGCGTCTCTAGAAAGAGCAAGAAGACTGGAAGTAGCGGAGGCCGACGCGAAAGCGCCAAACGATAAAGATGCGGTGTACCGGTTGCACCCTTTAACGCACGTGAGGACGCAGCGCCAACTCTCATCCACAGGGACAAAGGACATGATGGCCTTGCGGATGGAGGCTGATGCAAAACCGGTCGTCACGGATCTGGTGCTCGTGGGCGGCGGCCACGCGCACGTCCATGTCTTAAGGATGCTCGGCATGTGCCCGATGCCAGGAGTTCGTCTCACATTAATCACGAGGGACGTGGAAACCCCATACTCGGGCATGCTCCCGGGCCACGTCGCCGGCGTCTACTCGCGACGAGAGGCCCACATCGACCTGAACAAGCTCGCTCGAGTGGCACGGGCTCGACTCATAGCCGGCGAGGTGACGCATATTGACAGTGATGCACAATTGCTCCACCTCAAGGACGGTCGCCCACCTCTACCGTACGATGTATGCTCAATAAACGTCGGCATCGCGCCGTCGAAGCCGGCTGCGTATGTAACTCCAGTCAAGCCGATCGCGACCTTCGCTCAAAAGTGGGACGCGCTGTTATCGAGGCTCGACGACGATGCGAGCTTCCGGTTGGTCGTCGTGGGCGGCGGTGCGGGGGGTGTCGAACTTATATTAGCCATGGTCGCGCGAGTCTCTGCGGAGTTGCGACGACGAGGACGGTCATTAACGTGCCTGTCCGCTACTTTGGTCGCAAGGTCGTCGGAACTGCTCCAGGGCCACGCTGTCGGAGTGAGGCGTTTATTGACCGAAGCCGTGCGGCGAAAGGGCATCCGCGTCTTACTGTCGCATGAGGCCCTCGAGACGTCGACAGATAATGGCGAGAAGGTCCTCACGTGTCGCCATGAAGGCCGCACTGTGTCGATACCTTTTGACGAGTGCGCGTGGTGCACGCAGGCGGCCGCGCCTGAATTCCTATCAAGGAGCGGCTTGGATTGTGATGAGAGAGGCTTCCTCAGGACGAACCTCAAACTCCAGTGTCTGCAGAACGACATTCCACAGAGAGTCTACGCGGCCGGCGACTGTAGTACAGTTGACGGGCATCCGAGACCAAAGGCGGGCGTCTTCGCGGTGATGGCGGGGATGGCTTTGTACCAGAACCTCGTGGCCGACCTTAGGGGAGAGGAGTTCGTGGAGCATGTTCCGCAGACGCGACTGTTGGCTTTAGTCGGTCTTGGTGATGGGACTTGTGTGGCTTCTCGAGGAGATTTAGCTTTGGAGGGTGAATGGTTGTATCGATTGAAGGACTGGATCGACCGCAAGTGGATGTGGCAGTACACCGGTGGCTTGCCTTCACTAGATGAGGAGGAGGATGTCGAGGATGCAATTGCTTCTCGCGCGAACGCCCTCGACGTCCTCCGCAAGACGCCGATGCGCTGCGGCGGCTGCGGCGCCAAGGTTGGTTCGAACACGTTGACCAGGGCCTTGTCGTCCTTGCCGGACGTGCCCTCGTCGGATAGATGTGTGGTGGAGGTCGGACTCGATGCCCCCGACGACGGCGCCGTCGTCGCCTACGACGACACGCGACTCGTGCACACCGTCGACTTTTTTAGATCATTCATAGGAGACGCCTACGTCTTCGGCCAGGTCGCGGCGAACCATGCTTTGTCGGATTGCGACGCCATGGGTGCGAAGCCCGCTTCCGCCCTCGCGCTATGCGTCGTGCCGTATGGGGGGGAACGACAGACCGAAGATTCATTGAGGCAGATGATGGCTGGGGCACGAAAAGCTCTAGATGAAGCTGGTTGTTCGCTAGTGGGAGGCCACACGTGCGAAGGGAGTGAACTCGCTCTTGGATTTGCCATAAACGGTTCCATAGATGAGGTCCTGGCCAAGGGCAATCTCCAACAGGGAGACGCTCTGATACTCACGAAACCCTTAGGCACGGGCGTCGTCTTCGCCGGCGACATGCGCGCCTTAGCTGACGCGTCTGACGTCGCCGAAGCTTTGCAGGGGATGTGCCGGTCGAACGCTCATGCCGCGGCTACCTTACGGCGGTTCGGGTGCCTCGCGTGTACCGATGTGACAGGTTTTGGATTGATTGGACATTTAGCTGAGTTGTGCCGCGGGTCAAATGGGGCGCGCGTGCGTATCGATTTGAATGACGTGCCCATGCTACAAGGTGCGCGGCGGCTGGCCTCGATGGGTGTTGTGTCCTCTTTACACCCGGAAAATTTAAGAGCGCGGCGCGCCGTGGCGAACCACTCTGAAGGCATCGAAGCAGGTGCGGCGTACGAGCTGCTCTACGACCCGCAGACCGCCGGCGGGCTCCTCGCGGCGGTGCCCGTCGATCGGGCCGCGGCCTGCGTCGCGGCTCTACGCGCGGGCGGCGACGCCTCCGCGGCGGTCGTCGGGGAGGTGCTGTCATCCAATGACTCGTCCGCGTTCCCCGCGGCGATCGAGATTAACTTGTAATGATGTTTGCACTTCTTGCTGCTCGCGATCTATGACCAGATAACCTTACGCCGAGAGCCTATGGCCGCGGCGTGTGGGTGGATGTGGCGATCGCGCAGCCGCTAGAGCTCCCCGCCCGTCTCTAGGTCCGCGGGCGGCGGGGCCTGGGACGTCGTCGTCAGCGGCGTCGGTATCAGGTCGCGCGGTGCAGCCGTCGCGAGCGGCCGAATGAGGCGCGCCGGCACCCTTGTTTCCGAGTCCCCGTCTTCGTAATCCAAATCATAGGAATTTTCGTAGGAGTGGAAGGCCTTCACGGTCGCCGGGTAGAGCTGCCTCTTGCCCTGCCACATCGCGTTGACCTGTGTGGAAATCAACAGTGCGTCGGGTGCACCCGATAATTCTTCACTAAGTCATTTCTCGGCGATGGCGCGGCCGTAGCGGCGAGGAACCGGCATTGCCATGCCATCGAGCAGGCATCGCGTCGATGGCGTGGAGGTCATGGTCTAGCCGTAGACGAGAAGCGCCGCGAAATTTGATTTCCACACAGGCGTTACCTTCTCATCGACGCTGAAGGTCCGCACGTCGGCGGCGCTTATCTGGACGTGCTGGCCCTCCTCGACGATCACGGCGCGCTTGACGCAAACGTTCCCCTTGTACGCAAACAGCGTGGCCCCCAGGTTCATGGAGGCGGTCTTCGTCTCGCCGGCGGCCAGCGTCCCGAGATCAATCGCCTGGTGTACGTAGCACGGGCCGCCCTCCCAACAATTATAGTCGCCGTCGTACCAGTTGAGCCCAAGCACGGTACCCTCCGCGTACGACACGCGCACGGAAACGAGCTCGACCGCCGATATCTGGCTATTCTTGGCATGGACGCCGGCTCCCGATCCAGCGGTCATTGTGCGATCCGACTGCGTTGAGATCCGCCGCATTCACTTGTTCTTCAGCTTGTGGCATGATGATGAGGCCCTCGAGAACACTACCCAACATCGACACTTCTTTGAACGCCCACTCGATTTCGACACCCTCCACCGCGTCCTCTCCGAGCGGCTCCGCTTCGCGTGAGAGGTCGCGTCAGTGAGTAATATATCAAAAATCATTCTTGTCAAGCTACTGCAAACGCGGCTAGTGCCTTACAAAAAGCTAGCAGCATCCTGAGTCTCACAAGCCAGGCTCCGGCCAACGATATCGTCGCGCTGGTCCAAGAGCTGCACCGCTGCACGCAAGACACTCTCGATAGTCATTTGCCGCGGCTGCGCTCATCGTTTTCACAAATTACAACGCATACGACGCGTACGACAGCAGAGACACGACCATCTTAAAAACAAAAATGTCCCGCAAAGCCAACATCTCCGCCACAGAAAAGGCCTCGTTCGGCCGCCCGCGCCTTTACGCCGTCCGCGCGCACTACGGCCAGCTCGACAAGCAGCCGGATCAATTCTCCGGGGCTGTTGTCGTGCTGGACGACGAGGGCGGGGGCGTCGTGCGCCACGCGGCCGCCGCGCGAGCCTTGTGCTTCGACGAGGATACCACGGTCGTCGTGCTCGACGTGGCAGCGCTCCGCCGCGACGTCGACGCTGCAGCTGAAACGCGCGACACGAAGAAAACGAGGGGCCGCGGGAAGCGCGGCTGGCAGCAGGCTCTGGAAGCCGAATGCAAAACGAGGGACGTGCTCGGCAAGGACTGCGGCCGGCCCATCGCCAAGGCGCTGGCGAGATTATTGATGCGCGCGACCACGGGGGCGACATTGGTTGCCAGAGGCGCGCTGGCCGGAGTCGCGCTGAAGCTTGCGTTGTCGCGCGACCCGCACGCCGCCACGTGCAACGTGAGCCGCGTCGTCCTGGTGGAGCCGACCTTATCGGCCGTGGCCGTAAACGGCTTGCTAGCATGCAAGACGCCGCCGGCGCGACGCATCACGGTGGACGCGGCGTTCGCCGACGCCGACGCACAGATGCGGCGCGGGCCCGCGATAGCCGCGGCCTGCGGCGAGGGCATCAGTGTCATCGCCCCGGACGACGGCGGCGACGCGGTCCTGCGCGCGTTTCTTCCCAAAACGGAGGATGACGATGAAGAGGCCGCGGTCGAGGCGGCGTTCGGCGCCGATGACTCGCGCGGCCGGCGCCTGCGCTGCGCCGAGATCACCGTCGATATGTCGCCACTGACGAAACAGCCGGAGCAACGCTTCGTCGAAGTGACAACTGCGGAGCTCCTCCGCGGCGACGACGAAGCGGACGAGCCGGCGGCCGCTTGCGACGCGGATGATCGAGGCGAAGCGCGTGTTGCCGCTCTAGTAGTGCGAGGAGGCAGATGCATCCTAGCGCGGTCGCTGCGAACCCCTAAGGCCTGGGAGGGCATGCGGCTGCCCTCGGCCCCGGCGGTCGCGGGCGAAGACGCCGTCGCGGGGGCGAGACGCGCCATAGCGGCACAGCTCGACATCGACATTGCAGATCAGGCGGAGCAGATGGCCCCTATCCCCAACTTACCGCCTCTGATGCTCTATCGCGCGTCTGGTGGTATCTCGACCGTCGTGTTCATGAAGGCGCTGCAGCCCCCCGTCGAGCCCCAGGAGGACTACGACCTGAGCGATGAAGACGACGATTATGACTGGTACACCCTCTCACGAGCCCTGCCTCGCGTCGACCCTCCGACGGCCTGCTTGCTGCGGACGGCGGCCTTCGCGCTGCACGGTGCCGTGGAGGCGGGCGTCGTGGCGAAGGCGTGGGGCGGCGTCTTCGGCGGCGAGCTGGTCGCGGCCGTCGCTGGAGACGCTCCGGCCACGCCCGCGCCGTCGTCGCCCGTCACGCCGCCGCGCGTCGTGGGCCCCTGCCACGACGAGGCCAATCATGAGGACGCGTGCTCCTGCGCGTCCGACCCCTTCAGTTGTTAAAATATTAGTTCTAAAAGTCGTCCCCGCGGCTCACGACCTCCTTGCACGTCGGCCTCATCAAGACCGTATGCTCGTACTGCGCCACATAAGAGCCCTTGATGTCGCACAGCGGCGGGTAGGGCTGGACGATGCCGACGTCGCAGAGGTTCTTCAAAGCTCCTAGATACTTCTCCTGCGCCGCGCCCTGCGCACCGTGCACCGCCGCGGACCCGCCGTCCGGCCGCTCCAGCCACCTTCTACAGAACGCTAGCGTGCCGAAGGTCTTGTTGATATGTGAGAGTAATTTCTTTGCCCGCGGCATCCGTAAAGGTACATGAGGCGCGTGGAAGTTCTTCATGTAATGACTACACTCTAAATCTTCGACCACATGACCCCTTCCAGTACTACCAAAGGTCTCAATCGCATAAAACTCGCCCTCCTCCATGCGCGTCGCGTCGCCTCCTTTCACTATTGGTACACTCTTGCCCGCGTGGATCTGGTAGGGGCCCATGGAATGGCCGTTCAGGTTGCGCACGCACTTCACCGGAAATACTTTACCGTCCAACTCGACCTCGTAGGACTCCATGACCTCCTCCACGGCCTCGCCGACGTCGCATAACCTAACATCGATGCCCGCCGTTTTTATGCCAGTATTGGTAGCTTCTTTCACCGCCTCCAACAATTTGTCGTACTTGGGATCGAAGGCCACGGTCCAGGCGCAGTCGATGATGCGCCCTTCGATCTGGGTCCCAAAGTCGACGCTCATCACATCTCCTTGTTGGATGATCGTCGTATCGCCCGTGTTCGGCGTGAAGTGCGCCGCGATGTGGTTGATCGAACAGCCCGTCGGGAACCCAATGCCCGCTTGCAGGCCCGACTCTTCGACCAAGTCCCTGTTTTTCTGCTCGATCTTCTCGCACATCTCTGTCAATGATAAACCGGGCTTGATGAAGGACTGGGCGTAGCGCCTCACTTGCCTATGGACCTCGGACGCGTGCCGCACTTTGTTCCAGAGGCCCTCCTGCATGCGGTCCGCGGAGCGCTTCTCGGCGTCCGTGACTCGTTTCGCGTTTCCCCCTTCATAATCTTGAATCTCGCCCACGGGGAACGCGTCGGCCTTGAAGAGTTTCGAGACGGGGATGGTGGGCGGCTCCGTCTGGCCGTACCTTACGTAGGAATCCGTGAATCCTCCCAACAACCGAGACAGGGGCTCCTTCGAGCCCGTCCCCGTCGGCTTCTTCTTCTTCGAGCGCTTCTTCTTCTTCTTCTTCGCTGCCGTAGGTTCGCCGTCGTCGTTGGCCTCGGCCGCGTCGTCGGCGTCGTCTTCGGCCGCATCGTCATTCGCATCGGCGGCGCCCTCTTCAGTCGCGGCGGGCTTCTTCTTCTTCTTTTTCTTCTTTTTCTTCTTGGCTGCCGTGGGCTCGCCGCCCTCGGCGGGCGCGGCGGCGTCGAGCGCCTCCTCCTCGGCCTCGTCGCGCGTGGCTTCGTCCTCGGCCATTTGTGCTAGTTGTGCGCTATTGCTGGTGCTCTTGCTGCCCTCTTTTGCGAGCCGTAGCTATTGGTATGCTTGCACAGTGGTGGCTTGCAGTCGCTGCTAGTCGAACGAAGCTCGGTTCGCTGCAGTCGCTAGAAGCGGTATCACGTTTGCTGTTGCAGAGTTGCTGTGCTGTGGCGTGCAGTGTGGACAGCGTAGGATCAATTCGCCAATGACCTCCGCAAAATGCGATTAGCTAGCGACTTGTAAGACACTAGCAAACGGCGTTTTAGGCGCCTAGCTCCAAAATCAGTCGCAGAATACTGTGCACGACGATAAGGAGATAGCTTTCGTTACGGGACACAGAGAGGGGGAAGGAAGCTACTAGGGCGCGTCGAGGACCTCGTCGTCGTCGTCGTCGTCGTCGTCCGCGGCGATGATGCCATCACTGAAACCACGCGGCGTCGTCGCCGCGGCGTCGACCTCGCCATAATCATCCAACATCATGCGCTGCCGCGCGTCGCCGCCGCGCGCGCGCCGCGACGCCGCCGCGAGCGGCGCGCCGCCCGCCCACCTATCTAAACCGCGCAGGCCCCCGCGGTCTGCCGGCCCCGTCGCCCGGCCCCGCGCCACCAAATCATGCTCGACGCACGACGTCCGCAGCAACAACCCGCGCACCTCGGATAAGTACGAATTGCCCCGCTCTAGTACATCGCGCAGCGCCGCGTCCCTTTTTGATGATGTAGACGACCGCAAGGCGTGGTCGACCAGATCGACGCGCAAATCGCCGAGTTGTCCACTACCAACTAACCGCGCGACCCGATCTTCGAGCGCGTCTTGCTCCAAGGAGAAGGCAGAAGCCATCCTTGCTAGGTCCACAGTTTTGTAGGGCTTGCAGTACTGCGCGATGAGTCGATCCACGGCCTTCTCTTTGAGTGCTGAAGCGTGCGGGGCTAATACCGGATCCAGCGCTAATTCATCACCAAGAGCGGCAATAAATGAAAGCGCCTTCGCGTAGTCTCCAGCATAACACACTTCCACGACGTCCTTGGCCGCGACGGAGCCGCGCTGCGCCAGAGTCGTTTTGTACGCCGCATCATCGACACATAAGCTCTTGAGCTGGGACCGGTCGAAGGAAGATACGGCTAACAATGCCGCCTGCGCCGCGACGTCCTGCGACGGCACGAAGTCGAAGCCCGGTGTGGCTTCGTCGTCCTCGTCGACCAAACCCGAAGCCACGGCGACGGCCTCGCGCGCCGCCTCTGCATACCGCTTCCCGTCCAAGTGCGAGGCTAATTTACACGTCTTTAATCTCCGTCTATGGATCGTGTTGTTGTTTCTGGCGACCCCGGGCGCATCTAGGGCGTGCTCCGCCTTCGCGCAGTAGGACGCAACGTTCGACCAAGCGCCATGCGCGGCCGCCGTCACGGCGACCATGACGCAAGCTTCCACTTGATCACTGGAACCGGCCTGGCAGTGGTCCCTCGCTCTACTAAATGCTTTGACGGCCGGCGCGAGGTCTCCTCGCTCGACATGGCACGCCGCGACGTTGGCGTAGGCGGTCTTCGTGGCTGATTTATCTCTTGCTGTCCTAGCTCGTGCAAGGTCGGCCTCGGCCTTCCGCAACTTGTCTCTCGATTGCGTGTCGGCGGCATCCGCTTGAGTAGAGTCGCCATTACCACCTAGATCCTGGACCTTCTGCGCCGCCGCTCTTATAGAACTAGCGTCGCCGCCCGGGGTCGCTTCGAACAACGCGAGCTCCGCCGCTCGCTTGGCTTGGTCCACATTAATCGACCGGTCCGCCACAAATAATAACCTTTTGACGCGCTGCGGCCTACTCAGAGCTTGCAAACCGTTCGCGAAGGCGGCGAGGTCGGGGATGACGAAGGACGTTCTCACGACTTCGGGCGCGGGCGCCGGCGCCGGCGGGCCCGTGGGCTCGACGGCCATCTCGACGGCTTCCGGTGGCGTCTCCATGATCGCTGCTGATCTCTGCGCGCTGGCGCGGCGACCTCGCGAGCGACCCGCTTCCGCGGCGAGGGGGCCTCTTGGCGTCACGGCGCGCGCAGCGATCACAGGCTGAACGCTGCGCTGCTGCGAGAGGACGGAGCGTCCTGCAAAAGGCGCTGGTGTGCAGATAAGGAGCTGGCGGCTCCTGCGCCCGCGCGAGACCGAAGTAATGCTAGTGCCTTACAGGACGCTAGCGGCTTTGACGCGGCGTCGTATTAGCCTGCCTCAGCCCGCCTCAACCCGTCCTACAGCGCCAGAGACAGTACGCACCCGTGATCTCGCTGCCCAACCCGTCCTACAGCGCTTAGACAGTACTCGGCTGCGTGATCTCGCTGCCTCACCATATAACAGTTCAGGAGGCTTCAGGAGGCCTCCACCTGATCATGGCTCCCATCCACGCTGCCGCGTGCGACGCGAATGTTGGGGCGCTCCGCCGAATCCTTGCAGAAGGAGTCTTGCCGGATGCAATCGATGTTACCTTCGAAGGAACGCCTCTTCATGCCTTGTGCAAAAGCGATGCCGGCGACCGCGTCGCCTGCTTCAAGCTCCTTCGCGACGCTGGGGCGAATTTGGAGGCTCGACAATTTATATCAAATTTTACACCGCTTCACTATGCGGCATTACGCACGAACGTCGAGTTGGTGTCGCTGCTAATTCAGGCGGGCGTTAATCTGAATGCGCGGGCACACGACGGTTCCGCGCCGCTGCACATGGTAGCACACCTTCGTAACGCCAGGGCCATCGATTGCTGCGAGCTGTTACTCAAAGCAGGCGCCGCGGTGAATTTGAAAACCCACGATTATTCGACGCCTCTTGATGTCGCACTCATGAGGGGGAATCGCCGTATTGTGCCAGTATTTTTGCGCGCCGGCGCCGAGTTTCGATACTCAAACCTTAATGCGTACACTCTACGAGTCAGAGACGCCGGCGGCTTAACACGGTACGAGCAGCCCCACCTCGGCTTCGAGAAGTACGCGCAGAATCACCTCGCGCGGATCACGGCAATCCTAGCGCCGACGCCCCTTCTTCCGCCGGAGCTCGTCCGGAAGATCCTCGAGTTCTGGCTCCACGCGGGCTATTACTGACCCTCCTCGCGGACGCGCCCCTGTCACGCCATCGAGGCGACGTTGTGCCTGTCTAATGTCAAGTTCACAGTCTATTGTTACATTCCCGGCCCCCGCGACAAGCGAGGGCAGTAGCCGTCGCCGTAGGTCGAGACGCCGGCGACCAGGTCGAGCTCGCCGAGCGCTCGACTCAGCTCCACGTGGCGCGACGCCATGAAGCGCTGGGCGATGGACGTCGTGAGCTTTTGCTTGGCCATGATCCACCGCACGACGTCGGCGGCCGTCGCCTCGTCGAGCGCGTCGACGGCGTCCGTCGGAATTAAGTCGGCATGCGCGGACAGCGTGTCGAGCGCAAGCTCGCGCAGTGACTTGCAGGGCGGTCGCTGCGGCACGAATCGAACGCTCGTCGGCCGGGGGCGCGGTAGCTCTTCTGATTCCGGTGGCGGCGGTGGTTTTACGACGCGTGGTCGTCTCAACGCGTCGCCCAGCGGTGGCGCGGTCCAGGTGTCCGGTCTCGCGTCGCGCGGCCGTCGTCGCGCCTCGTCGTCCAGCGCTACGTAGTCCGAAAATGCAGTGCCGGCTTCGTCGTCCGACGATGAGTGCGCGTCGTCTTCGCGCGCGTCGTCTTCGCGTGGCTGTTGTGGTGTCATATGGCTGCACAGCTGTCTACAAAAGGGAGTTTCACGGTACCGTTCACGCAGGCGCTTGCCGCCAGCGATCAATGTGTTAACGCACTGTCGCCGCGCGCACCGGGCATTCTCCTGCGCTGTAGGAGCACGCCTAAAACGCAAAAAGGTCGAGCCAATATAGCGGTTGACATACTAGTTTCAAAATTTGGTCACCCGCATTCAGCATTACGAACGCACGAACGTCGCGCGGAGTAGCCGTCTAAGCGTGCCAGCAATTTTTGGAATTTAGCAAGCGCGTAGACCTCGGGCCAGCGTGGGTATTAAAACGCGCCAGACAGGGGGAATCCACGGCGCGTTAGAGCATGGCGCTCAAACGAATTAATAAAGAGCTACAGGTGCTCATGCCAGCGTAGAAAAATTGGAGGACGGCGCGCGTGCTGGGGCAAAAAAGGAGTAGCGCGAAGGAGGCCTCCCGGGCCGGAGGCGAGGCGTGAGGCGCTGCGGCGCGCCGGCAACCGCTGCCGCCGGCGCGGCGCCACTTATAAAAGAGATTGGCCTGCTGCTCTCGCGGCCGCTTGCCTTCATTGGCACAAACGCCCGAAAGACCATTCCCGCCGCCACTTTCTCAAAAAGCCCCCGGGTGCCCCCGGACGCCATCGCCGCGGCCCTGGACGACGGCCGATACATGCGCCGGGCCATAGCCACCGCGCGAAGGGACGCGCCCACGCCCCCTCCCCGCCGAACCCGCCCGCCGTCGTAACGCGCCCCGTTATCAACGCAGGACCTCGGCCGCGACCCGCCGGCGAACTGCAGCGCCGGCCCCGTCGGCGACGACCTCTTCCACTGGCAGGCGACGATCATGGGCCCCGAGGACAGCCCCTACAGCGGCGGCGTTTTCTTCCTCAATATTCACTTCCCCGCGGACTACCCCTTCAAGCCGCCCAAAGTGTCCTTCACGACGCGCATCTACCACTGCAACATCAACGCGAACGGCGGGATTTGTCTGGACATCCTGAAGGACCAGTGGTCGCCGGCGCTCACGATCAGCAAGGTCCTGTTGTCGATCTGCTCGCTGCTGACGGACCCGAACCCCGACGACCCGCTCGTGCCCGAGATCGCGCAGATCTTCCGCACGGACCGCGGCAAGCACGACGAGACCGCGCGGGAGTGGACGCACAAGTACGCCATGTGATCCTGCCCGTCGTCCATTAGTAGTTCTCTCCCGTTAACCGAGAAGTGATTTCATACTCCTAGTTTTTTTTCCGCGTGTCCTCCCGGCGGCGGCGTCGAGGCGTCCTCTCGCTCCGGCTCGCGCGTTTACAAGGACCATGCGGCCACGTATGCGGACGTATGCGACGTATGCGGGCGTATGCGGACGTATGCGGACGTATGCGAACGTATGCGGGCGTATGCGACGTATGCGAACGTATGCGGACGTATGCGACGTATGCGACGTATGCGGGCGTATGCGACGTACGCGACGTATGCGACGTATGCGACGTATGCGGACGTATGCGGCCTCCGTGGAAGTCTTCGTGGGGATCTCTCTAGCGCCCGAACCAGACCCGATGTTCACACATGCTTCTACTTAGGTCTTGCTTGGGTCTTGCTACGCGCGGGCCCGCTTCCGGACGCCGAGCTTCTTCTTCGTGACGACCGGTGCCGTTACTGAAGCCGACGACGACGACGGCGCCGCCTTCAATAAAGCCTCGGGCACAGCTAGAACGCCGGCCTCTTCATCGGTAAAGACGCCCGCGAGGTGCGCGAGGTCGACGTCGTCATCACAAGACTCGCCGACGCGCGCGCAAGCGTCCATGACGACGCGTCTTAACCTCTTCCACTTGGCGAGGTAGGCGTCGTGCTTCTCCTGGGCCGCGCGGAGCTCTTCGGGCGTGACGAACGTGCCCGAGGATAAGACAGAGACGCGCGCGGCGAGCGTGGCGTCGTCGACCCGATATTCTTGCGAAGAAGCCGCCTCGGCTTCTCTCAGCAACGCGTCGAGTTCGTCGTTCGTCGGCTCCTCGCTCAGAAGCCGGGCGCGCTTTTCGAGCTTGGCGGCCTGGGCGTCGGTCTGCGCCGCATCACCAATGGTCTCCGGCAGCACGTCGAAGCACACGTCGCAGAGCGCGTCGGGCGTCGCGAAGGCGCCGTGCTTGCGCGCCATGGCGTCGGGCTCGGCGTAGTACAAAAGCACCTTGCCGCCCTGGAACTCCTTGACGGCGATGTCGCCCTCCGCGGCGAGGCGCGCGCAGGCCTGCGCGGAGTGATGCCGTCACGGAACTGTTCCGCAGCACGCCATCGCCGCGCGCGTCCGGGACGCTGGGCGCGCACCGCCACGATTTCCTTCTTGGCCACGACCCTCTGCGTGTTCTCCCAGAGCTGGGCCGCCGTAAAAGGTCTTTGAAATTTCTCTAAGTGTGTCTGCACGGCTCGCGCAGCGACTACCACGGCGAGATCGCCGCGGACTTTTTGGGGCTTCGCCTTTGGCTTGTGCGCAGTGGCGGCGAGCGAGGCGGCTGCCGGCTTGCTTGCGCCGGCGGCGAGCGATGCGGGCTTGCGCGCGCCGGCAGCCAGCTTTTTGGCAGCCGGCGGCTCCATGGTGTCTAGTGCGCCGCGGTCCAGCCGACGCGGCGTGCAAGCACAGCGCAGCGTTGTTATATGTCACAGCGAGTCCCTCCACCAGCGCTGGGCCCCCAGTTGCAGCGCTACGGCGCGCCACGCGGTTCGCGCCTGTCTTCCTAGTGTGTTACTGGAGCTAGCTCCGCTTTTGTCTCCGGTGCATTTTCGTAGGCCTCCAGATACCTAGGGCTTTACGGCACCCGCTGGACTACCGCAGTACTTGCGACACTGCGCGGTGTGCGCGGGGAGTGGAATCCAGCCGTGCCGGTTCGCGCCAGCTCTGCCGAAGAGCGTGGACCTGGTCAGGCAAGGTTCGGCCGCCACGCGCCAGGCGGCCGCCCATTACGACGCGCCGCCAGCGCACGCGCGCCGCCAGACGCACGCCATCGACGCAGAACAGACCAAAAGAAAAAGATGAACGTCTACCGCGTCTACCCGTCGGCGTCGCGGCCGACCGAGATGTTGTTTGTGGCCTTCAATCAGGACAGTGGTTGTTTTGCCTGCGGCACGGACAGCGGCTTCCGCATCTACAACGTCGACCCCTTCAAGGAGACGTTCAAGAGGAATTTCAACAACGGCATCGGCATCGTGGAAATGTTGTTTCGGTGCAATTTGCTGGCGCTCGTCGGTGGGGGGAATTCGCCGCGCTACCCGCCGAACAAGGTCATGATCTGGGACGACCATCAAAACAGATGTGTCGGGGAATTGAGTTTTCGGTCTGATGTACGCGCGGTCAAGCTGAGGAGAGACCGGGTTGTTGTGGTGTTGGCGACGAAGGTCTACGTCTACCGCTTCTCCGATCTCAAATTACTAGATCAGATCGACACGCAGCCGAACCCGCGCGGGCTCGTCGCTTTGTGCCCGCATCCCAAGCACAACGTGCTCGCGTGTCCGGGCGTGACGCGCGGCCACGCGCGCGTCGAATTGTACGACGCGCGCAAGTCGACGGTCGTGGCGGCGCACGAGTCGGATTTAGCTAGATTGGCGTTGAGTGGCGACGGCAGCTTGCTCGCGACGGCCTCGGACAAGGGCACTTTGATCAGAGTGTTCGATTCGCATTCCGGCGCGCAGCTCCGGGAGTTCCGGAGAGGCGTGGACCGAGCCTTGGTCTACTCGATCGTGTTCTGTCCCGAGACCAAGTATTTGGCGTGTTCCTCGGACAAGGGCACCGTGCACGTCTTCAATCTGAAGAGCGAGGGCGGGCGTGTCGTCGCGCCGAACGCGTGCGGGCCGGCGTCGCAACGGAGCCTTCGTCTCGGCGTGCCGGCGGAGCAACATATCGCGCGACGACGCCGTCGCCGCGCAGGTCGTCGAACCGACTGGCGCCGTACGTCGAGGACCACGCGTCGCAGAACAACCAGAAGAGCCACCTCGCGTTCCTAAGGAAAGTGGTCCCCGGCGGCTTGGCCGCGGCCTACCTCGAGTCCGAGTGGTCCTTCGCGCAAGTGCGCGGCGTGCACGCGCCGACGATCTGCGCCTTCGGCAAGACGCCGAACACGGTCGTGAGCGTCGGCGCGGACGGCGCGTTCCTGGTGTCGCGTTTTGCCGACGGCGGCGAGTGTGAAAGAGTAGCTTTCTGAGTCAAACTAAAAATTCACGGCGCCTTCGTGCTGAATCGTCGCGTCGACCTCCACGCCATCGACGCGACGCCTGCTCGATCGCGTGGCGGTGCTGCTTCCTCGCCGCTCGACGGAGCCAGCACGGCCGCATCATCGCCGAGAAATGATTTCCGCACAGGTGGCCTTCCACCGCTTCATCAAGTCCAAGGAGGAGGAGGAATTCGACGTGCCGCCCTGGGAGGACCCCCGGACCTTCGGGCCGGGCGGGCCCCTGCACACGCCGCCGAAGCCGCCCGAGCCCGGCCAGCCCTTCATCGATCCGAAGGCCGGGACGATCTCGGCGAAGCCGCCTGCGGATCTCCCGACGCCGCACGAGCGCGACGCGCCCTCTGACGATGCGCCCGCGGCGCCGCCGCCAGCGCCGCCGCCCGCGCCTCCCCCAGTGCCCGACGTCGAGTACCCCGACCTCGGCGCGTCGATCTACCACGAGGCCTCCGCGGAGCCGCCCGACGAGGAGGCGACGGACGAGGAGGACGAGTCGCCGCAGGTCGACCTGGGGCAGTCGATATACCATGAGGCCCGCGCGCCGTCGGAGAGCGGCGAGTTGTCTAACTAGTAATTTCACGTGGCTCATTGCGGTTGCGTGGCGCGTTGTACGCTGTCCACGACAAACCGACGTGTATTTGCTTGCTAGTGCCCATAGGCCGCTAGCCGATTATTGGCTTTTTCTCTCGCTCGGATTGCGACCAGAGATACGCACGCTGTGGGCGGGACAAATACTGTGTCGCAAAATAAGCTCGGCACACGTGCAGCCGGCCGCCCCACGCCCAAGCAAGAGTGGGGTCCCCCACGCAACGATCGAAGAACACCGGATGCCGCCTGAGTTCATCGGTCCTCCCCGCGCCGCCGTCGCTGAAATTTCCGCGCCCCCCCGCGCGGCGGAAGGTGTGTCCGGGTGGCGCTCTTAGGGGTTTGCCCTTTTGAGCGTTTCTCCGTGTACGCAGCTTCGCCGGCGCACGAGTCAGTCTAGCGTTCGTGACCGCTTAACTCTCTCTCTCTTGAAATTTCCCAGGATACATAGCTGTAACATAGCCATACGCAAAAAGGTCGGCGCGACAGAGATAGTTGTGAGGGCGCGTTGAGTGAAGTGAGTGAGGTTGGACGCCGCCGACGCACGGTAACTCCCGTCTTTAGCGCGTCACAGCCAAAAAAATGTGCCTGGCATAAAGCTAGCGGCCTGTAAGACACTAGGGATAAAAGCAAAGCAAAGCTAGCGGGGCGCCGGCGGCTTATAGGGTTTTGGAACGACGCGCGCAGTCGTGGAACATATTTGAAATTGTCACAGCAACACCTGCGATCGCGCAAAAGTGAATACGCGCAGCTCTGCCGCCACTAGGCACAAGCAGGCAGCACACAGGGTGTGAGGGCGCAGCGCAACGCGGAGCGCGGGACGCGCAAGGAAGCGCTGCTGCACGCAAGCAAATAAAATGGCCGACGCCCCGCCACCAGCGGCCGGCATAAAGCGCGAGCGCGACGGCGCCGCCAAGGGCAAGGGCGGCAAAGGTGTTGTAGCACCCGCCGCCCCAGCGAAGCGCGTCAAGGACGCCGCGGTCTGCTGTCCCCTCGTTTATGGTTCTCTAGCATTCTGGCTAGGACGAAAAGCAGACGAGTTCCACACGCACAAGTGGACGTTATTTGTCCGGGGCCCGCACGGCGAAGATCTGGGCTACTTCGTGGAAAAGGTCGTCTTCAAGCTCCACCCGTCCTTCGCCCAGCCCGTGCGGGAAGTCACAAAACCGCCCTTCGAAGTCAGCGAGAAGGGCTGGGGCGAGTTCGAGTGCCACATTCGCATCCACTTCAAGGACCCCACGGAAAAACCTGTCGAAGTGTCGCACATCGTCAAACTTTATGATGGCACGACACCCCAGGCCGCGAACCAACCGGTAGTTTCGGAGGTCTACGACGAGGTCGTCTTCACGGACCCGCGGGAACCGTTCTACCAGCAGCTCATGGCCGCCTCCAAAGAACCGACGGAGCCCCACCCGCTGAACGGCCACTTCTCGAAATTTGAAGACGCCGCCGAGGTCGAGACTTTGGTGAAAGCAGGGGAGTACGTCGCGGGGCAACTCCAGACGGTGAAAGATTCGATCGCTCGGTTAGATCATCAGATCGGCCTCGCGCGGCAGCTCGAACAGAGCCGGGCGGCCCAGGAGCACGCCGCGCACCAGCAGGCGGCGGCGCAGCGCGCGCAGCAGCAGCGCGCGCAGCAGCAGCAGCAGGCGTATAAGTAGGTTTTATCTTTTCGTGTCGCGGCGACGGCGTGCGGGTGGGGTAGAAGAAGCAAAGCAAGCTATTACATCACGGTCCCCGCCGCCGCCCTTCGTTCCGCGGCCCGCCGCGACGGCGCCTCGACGGCTATTCTCGAGGGAGAAGCGGGCGGCGACCGCTCGCCGATCGACCCGCGGAAGTCGTCGAGGACCTCCTGCGACGCGCGCCGCCGCCGCTCCGCGTGCTCCGCGGAGGCTTCCAGCAGCCGCGCGAGGACCGCCGCGCGGACGACGTTGAACCGGTCCAAAAAAGCGGCAACTTCCGACGCGAAGCGTTTTCGGGCCTCGGTCACGGCGCGGTCCGCGTTGAAGGCCTCTTCCTCCGCCCTCCGCGCAGCATTGAGGTCCGTCTCGATGGCCGCTCCCAACGAATGGTACTGGGCCTGGGCCCGCAACGCGACGGCGGACAGCGCCAGGGACAAAGTTGAGCGTTCTGGGTCGGGGACGTCGTCCTCGGGCACCTCGATCTCGGCCGCGGCCTCGTCGGCGCGCTCCGCCGCCTCCAGCTTCGTCTTGCGCGCCGTGTAGGAGGCGTGGGCCCGCTCCCGCCGCTGTCTCATCAGAAGACCCCGGCGGCGGAGGCGGTCGACGGCGAGCGCCGCGAGCGCCACACTCTTGAGGTGGCCCCGCGCATCATCCAAAGCAAGCAGGGTCTCCTCGCAGGGGCTTTGATGCAACGCTTGCTGCGCGCAGATCTGCGCCCGCCGCTGCGCCGCGTCGCCGAGCACGCTCAGGTTTTGCTCCGACGTGACCTTCTGCTCGCCGGCCCAGAACGTCGCCGTCAGCGCCTGTGTCGAGAGATCGCGTCGATGGCGTGGAGGGGCTGAAATTTGATATCCACGCAGGGCAGCACGGCCTGCCACGCGCCCGACAGGTCGCCTTCGCTGCGCTGCAAGACCTCGACGCGCCGTTTAGCTTCCAGCAACGCGTCGTCCTGGCCCCGGCGCCACTCCAGGATGTCGGCGATGACGGCGGCCGTCTCGTCGGCGTCGATGTTCGCGTGCTTGTCCCGCGTCGCCTCGTGGAGGGCCAATCGAGGTCCTAATGGAGCTACTTCTTCACCGAGCTCCAGCAGCTCACTGGCGATTTTCTCGAAGCCCTCGAGATCGACGAGAAACGCGACCGCCGCGCGACACCGCCTCAGTCGTCCATGCCTCAGCAATCCCTGGGCAAACGCGTCGACGCCCTGCTCGTTCTCCAGGGTTAGCGGCGGGACCAAGCTACCAGGAGCGTCGTGCACCAAGGTCGCGTGCAGCCTCAGGAGCTGCGCCCGGCTGCGCACGGCGGCGCCCTGCGTGGCCTGGCCCTCGTACTCGCACGCGTACGATAATGCGACCTCGTCGGCGCCGAGGCCGTCTCCATTTACAACGAGGCTGCTCCGGCGCCATCCTCCGTCCGTCCTCAGGTCCGTGACGCTCCATCCCTGCCACTGCGACGCCGTCTCTGGCAGGGGCTTAGCTCCCCCAAGGGCCACGGTCAATGGATCGGTGATGGCTGCGAGCATTGGGGCAGCCCTTTGCGGCAGTGATGAAACTGCTCGATGGCGTGCGGCGGATGCGGCGCGGCTGCCTTGTTCGTGTTCGCTTCGCGAAGCTGCCGATGGCTTCGGATGCATGCCCTGCCACCAGCATGGCTCTCCGTAGAATTCAAATGAATTTCTGCCTCCTCCTCCGGCGGGAGGCATCCCGCAGAATGCTCGCGACGCCTCTCCGTCTGGAGCGTTTAAAACCCGTTCCCTGAAGCCATGGCGCCGGCTCTCTGCGCATAACAGCTCGTACACGCTTTGTACGGCCCGGTAGCAACGCTTTGTATAAAGCATAGAGCCACAAGTCAGTGTGTCGAACGGCATTCCAGCGCGAGGGCGTGTAACAAGCGGCCTGCTTCGGAGAGCATCACCCTTGTGAGAGCATCAGAGCATCCCAGCGAGGGCGTGAACAAGCCCTGCTTCGGGGAGCATCACTCTGTAAAAAGAGCGTCAGAGAGCACAGAGAACTCAGGGAGCAAATGGCACCCATCTTCGAGAATACCGACCTGCTCGCACACACATGCGGGTTGCTTGATGCCGCAGACATCGCTAGGTTATGCCAAAGCTGTAAATTCGTGCCGGATCACATAAAAGATGTAAAGACGATCAAGTTCCTCTCGACGATGCGCAGCGACGCCGTCCTCGGGAACCTGTCGACGATCGAGCGTCTAGCCCTCGTGGAGTCGCTGCGCGAGTGCAGCACGTGCATCGATTTCAAGGTCTTTAGCTGCGACCTGCTCGAGTCGTGTCTGCCTGCTCTCAAGCGCTTTGCGGCCTTGATGCAGCGGCACCGGTCCTTTTCCGTGTCGATCGAGGCGCACTGCGGTCTGGAGGCTCCGCGCGACGCGGGGTATATCTTCGCCCGCGAGCGCGGCCGCAACGTAAAAATAGCGCTCCTCGCCTGCGGCCTCGAGCCGGAGCGCCTCCAGGTCATCTCCTACGGTAATAGAAGACCGCTCGTCTGGGCGTTCGGTAATCCATCGGACGAAAAGGACGCCGGTTCGGCGAACCGCCGTGTCGAGTTGTTTGTTCGCAGTCCCGACGGCTTCGAGGTGCCAGCTAGGCGCTCCCCCGACGAGTACGCGTCGTCTCATCACTCAGACATCGGTCCCGACGGCCCGGGCATCGTCGACGACGAAGACCCGGACCCGGAGGAGGAGCCCTCGGACGTCGAAGAAGACGACCGGGACCCGGAGGAGCCCGACGAAGAAGACGAGACTGTGACTGACTGGACTCGGGCACTCGTGTACTAAATATAGTTGCTTTGCCTAGAGCACGCCCCTATACAGTGCTAGCTATAGTAGTTACCCCAGACTCGCGAAGAGCGGATCTAAAATCCCGCCCTTGACAAGACCCGTGTTTTCCACGAGCGCGGCGCCCGCCTGCATGTAGGGGTGGGCCAGGTACGCTCCCAACGTCCCGACGGCAATCAACGCGTAGGGCGCCCGCAGCAACTCCTTCCAGTAGTCCGGCGGCAATTGCTGCCTTCCATCCAATATTGCGGCGAAGGGGACCACCGACGTCCTTTCTCTAATCAGCTCAAACCGTTCACCGTGCTCATCCTTCAAACGTCTATCCCCATTCCAGACCGCGAAGACGTGGTGGCCCACCAACAGAATCATCGTCAATAAAGTGAACGTCGTTCCCACCATCGCCAGATGCGCCGCCGACCACATGACCTGTCCCACCATCTGCGGGTGCCGCGTGATGCGGATTATTCCTGTTTCCCACAAGTGGATTTTCGGCTTTTCTACCGCGGCGACCTCCTTCAAATTGAACACAGACGGATACAAGAAGAAGAAGCTGAGGAAGTTGATGGTCCATGCTAAACCGTGGACCCATGGAATAGGTTCGCCGTTCCAGAATTCGAAGCCGTCGTGGGCGTGTCCAATAAAATAGACGATCCACGAGTAGGCTAATGGTAAGGAGCAACTTGCAAAAACGACGCGCCAGAACCGCGCGCCTACCACTTGTTCCGCGAGGGGTCGTAAGGAAGCTAAACCCGAGTGGACGATGGGGAAGAAAATCCCGAACGCCAATGTGACTAAGTGCGAGTTGTCTCCACAGACATCGTGCTCAAGCCAATGTAAGACGTCATCACTATACCCGGTCGCGGGGTAGATCCAGAGCACCGCTAATGCGGTTAAGATCGCACCGACCGCCAATGAAAAATTGATCCAGCCCTCCTTCTGGGCCTCAAAATCATAAACGCCGGCGTCCTCGGCGATCAAGGAGTTGGCGGCGCTCGACGGCACGCTGACGTAGAGCGGGTTGTCCCTCCTCAAGAACCAGGCGAGCGGCCCGCCCGACTCGGTCGCCTCAAGCTCGTCTAGGGGCTGGCCGCGTTGCAGCGCTGGGATGCGGCGGTGCGGCGTGACGAAGGCTGTCGCGAGCGGCAGCAGCAGCACAGTGCGCATGGCTGCTCACGCAGCGGTGGGGCAAAGTACTGCTGGAACGAGCTTATTTGCTCAGCCCGAGCAGAAGCGTCTGACGAGCAATGCGACCTTCAAGCAATAGGCTAGTGTCTTACCACCGCTAGCTTAGTGCTTATTCGCAGAGACGCCCCGCTCCTGACGACGCGAGATACACGCGTGCTCGACTGTCCTCTGGCGTCGTCCTTTCGTTTCTAAAGCGGTCAAGCGTAATTCTTGACCTCAGCAAGTGCCTGACAAGTCCTAACCAGCTGGCCCGACTCACAAATGGGCCGAGGCAAGAATCCTGTTGGTATTGAAAAGGGCAATTATGGAGACCGGCTCAGTGACGCGAAAAGAGAGCGACCGGCTCGCTATCAGCCGTCAAAACTCCCGAACATCGACGTCCACGGCATCCTCTTCGCCATCGTCGCGGTCGTCTTCGTCCTCTACCCGTTAGCGCAGTACTTCCTCGGCCTCTGAGCATGTATATCCTCCTGCTCGCCGCCGCATCGGTCCGCGGCCAGCGAGAGGCTGTCGTGGTGCCCGTCGGGCCGAAGAACCGCACAGAAGCCGAGCGGCAATGCGTGCGCCAACGCCTCGAAGCGATCGTCGACTCCAGCGGCGGCGGCCGTTTGAGCGGCCGTCCCGTCTACGCGCTCTCGAACGAATCCTGGGTCGCGAGCGCGACGCAGACCTACGGCGTCGTGCAGCAGCAAAACTTCACGTATTTCGGCTATCATACCAGTCCGTGGCGGTCGTTTGCCGGCCAGCGGTCTGGCGTGTCCAAGCCGGCCTTCGTCCGGTGGCTGGCGGATAGCAAATATGTGGCCGCCTGGCACATTGAGGAAGATGTGTTCTTCACGGGCCGCTGGCGCGACCTCTTTGCGTCGGCACCGCCCGGGGCAGACCTAGTGGCCCGCTTCTCAATTGTCAACGGAACGTGGAACCCATCTCCCGGAATGGTGAAACAACGGCGCCTGAAATGTCGCATCGGCTCCAAAAAGTGCACGAGCGGGCTTGTGACACGCACGGCCTGGTCCGTATTGCGAATGACACGGCGATTCGCGAAGAGGCTGGCAGAGGCCTTCGACGCGAACGCGGCCGAGGGCTACCACGAGGCTCTGACTGCACAATTCTGCTATTCCCTCGGGGACTCGGATTGCAAGTGGGCCGATTTGCCAGAATCGGCCATCGGAACGCTAGGCTTCGGTGGCGAGCGCCTGTGTGGAAATCCGTCGATGGCATGGAGGCCATGATTCAGCCGTGGCGGAGACGCGCTGTGACCATTTGATTTCTACACAGGCGAGCGCGTGCCCGCGTCGATGGCGAACGAGAAGGGCTGGCGCCGACGGCCGAAGGACACCGAGTATACTCTCGACTTTGCCGCGACGCTTGGCGGCAAGCTTGTGGCAGGCAAGAAACTCTACCACCCGGTAAAATGCGCCGCCGACGCGAAGCTAGGTGCCCTCGCCCGCGGCATGGCCCAGGGGCACAATTCCATGGAGATGTCCACGCCGCGGCAGGACATGCTGGTCGGGGCGCTCGAGGGCTTCTTGGAGGACTTACCGAGTAGCTAGTAATTAGGACAATAACAAAACTCTGCCCGGGGCACAGCCGAACGCCGCCGCGAGCCGTGCGCGCTGTCCATCATCGAAGCCGTTCCCCGACAAGTCGACGCGCCGCAGGCGCGGGTTCCTGAGGCAGGCGCCGAGGTCGATCGTAGCGTCACCAGCCGCGTCGTTGCCCGCCGCGTCGAGCAACTCGAGCGCCGGCGCGCAGAGCAGCGCCGCGACGCGCCGCGCGTCGAGGCGACAGCCCCGCGCGGACAGGTGCTTCAACACGTCGGAGCGCTCCAATTCCGTGAGGATCGCGTGCGGCGCGACGCGCTCGATCTCGGCCGAGACCACGCGCCCAGCCAGCACCGTCGCGAGCTCCGTCGCCGCCGTCCGCCCCGTGACGGAGAGCATCTCGATCACGCCGCGCGCGGCGGGCCGGCCGGCGTGCAGCGCCAGCACGTCGGCGTCGTCCAGTATAATGGTGGAGGCGCTCCGGACCGCGCCCGAGAGGTCGCGCGCCCACGTCGCCTCGGACGCGGAACCGAGCACGGCCGGCCGCGACACGTCCAGGGTATCAGACGGCGGCCGCAGCGCCAGCGCGGACAGGACCTCGCGCCAGGCGCCCGCCGTGAATGCGTTGTCCTGTATCATAATTCGCGAGGGCGGCGCGTTCCGCTTCCGGAGGCCCCGCGCCAGGGCCGCGGCGACGGCGTCGCCTCCATCAAAAGGATAGGCGCGGCTCTGGGGCTCAACGCACACCTGCGCCATGTCGACGGCGTCGCAGCGGAAGGCCAGATCTTCAAGTGCGCGCGCGCCCGCGCTCCGCGCCTGCGCCGATGGGGACCGCCGCCCCAGCAGGTTCGCGCTCAGGTCCACGCGCGTCAGGTGGGGTAGCCGCCCCTCGAGCGGCGCCAGCTCGTCGAGCGCGAGCCCGCAGCCCATGAGCGACAGCGACGTTAATCTTGATGCCTTGGCCGCGGCCGCCGCGAGCGCCGCGCCGCCCCGGCAGAAGCGCAGCGCCAGTGCCGTTGATGTACAACGCCGCGCCGCGGTCGCCACGGCCCGCGCGTCGGCGCCGCCGAGCGTCAGCGTCCCGTTTTCCGTTCTCTCTTGATGGGAGAGGAGGCCCAGCTGGGCCGCGAGCGTGTCGATCGTGTCGACGCCGCGGGGCGACGCGGCGCGCGGCGCTCGGCGCGGCGCGGCGCGCGGCCGGAGCTCCTCTAGTGGCTTGTCGTCGCTGCTCGATTCGTCGTCCGACGACGACGACGGCGCGGCGGGCGGCGGCGCCGGCGGTGGCGGCGGACTTTCCCTAAACTCGAACTCGGCCTCGTCGTCGGCGTCCGTCCGCGGCGCCGCGCGGGCCGCGGGCACGGGCGGCCCGCGGCCGGCGCCGGTACCGCCAGTACCGCGGCCAGTACGCGGCGCCGCCGCGGCCGGGCGTTTTCGCGGCGGCGCGGCGCCCGGCCGCCGGCGGCGCCCCTTCGTCGGCGCCGCGGACGGCCGCCGCTGCGCAAAGCCGTAGTTGTCGCCTCGAAGCCGCTTGGCGCCGGGCCCGCCCGTGCCGCCTGCCCGCTTGGCGCCAGCCCCGCCAATGCCGCCGCGGCCGCCCCCGGCACCGCGGCCGGGGCCCCCTGTACCGCCGCCAGCAGGAGCGCCTCCGAGGCCGCCCCCACCACCACGACCAGCCCCGCGCCGCCGCTTCGCCGGCCGCCCGTCGCCGCGCACCACCGAGACGCCCGTCGGGATGGCCAGGTGCACGAAGCGCCGCCGAATCGCGTCGCCCGGCGCCTCCGGCTCCCGCTCATCATATTGTAAAGGGCCCTTCAGCGCAAACCCACCACTCAAACATTCCAGGGGTTCTTCTTGCGACATCTCGTTATACAAATCGTCGTCGTCAATACTCTCCAAGCTTTCCGCCTTGACCTCGAATTCGGTCAAATCAACCACAGAATCGTCATCGCTCTCTTCATCGATATCATCCAAGTCGCCGCCCGCCGCCGCGTAATTGCGGGAAGCGGCCTTCGCTCCCTCAGTATCACCCGACTGCCTCCTCGCAAAAACGCAACCGCGTAGAGCATCCAATAAAACGCCCGGGCACTTCGCCGCGACGTCGTTCAGACATAGGACCGCTCGTTCATACAGGACCGCAGCTACGTTCGCATGCTTCTCCATCCTACAAAGGCCGGCGTAGACCAATGCCCGCCCCCGCATCTCCTTCAGCAGATCAGCGTCGGTCCTTTCTTCGTCCAGCAATCGCAGGAAACCCTGGGCTGCCGTCTCAAATGAGCACGCCGCATCCTCCTTGTTCCCCGCCAGCTCGAACGCCAAGCCCGCGTTGTACCTAGCCCTTGCAAACGCGTCCGGCCACTCGCCGCCTTCGTTCATATGGAGCGCGCCGAGCGTCGCGGCCCTTTCAAAGTCGCCCAATGCTTCATTCGCCAGGTGCTTCTGTTTTAGTTGGTCTTCTTCCGCAATTGCTCGATCTAGCCAGTGCCGGCCGCGGTCGATGTGCACTCGCTCGATATCGTCAGGATAATCTCGAGCCGCCTCGAAGGCACTGGAGAAGGCCGCCAACGCCTCCTCGTCCCGTTCTAAGTTCGACAGGGCCCGTCCCAACGCTCGTCCGCAATTGATCGGGTCATCACTCAATTGCTTTCGCGCCGCCTTCACGAGCGCCTCCCAGTCCTCGTTCTCCTCGAGCTTTGATAGGTCCACAACTTCCTTACTACTCTCGTCGTTAACAACCTCGCCCTCGGTATGCTCCGCGAACATCTCCTCCGAGCCCTTGGCTAATTGATCGGGGTCGTGGCCCGTTTTTCGTTTGACGGCGTCGATGCCCTCCTCGTCGTCACTCGAGTCGCTCGCGGCGACGTTCCGCCGCAGGCGACCTCGCTTGACGGGGGCGGTCGAGGAATTTCCTCGCTTGACTGGAGGTTGGGAAAACTCCTCGGGGCCCGTCAGGTCGTCGCCGCGTTTCAGTTTGGTAGAGCCGTGCCTCAATTCCTCGCGCGGGTATTCTAGAGATAGAGCGCTGTCCCTTCCCAAGATCTCCAGCGCTTCAGTTGTCGATCTTTTGAGAGCGTCCGCGCAGGACGTCTTTCTTTGTTCGATGGCGTCGAGCTGCAATGCGAAGCGTTCGCCCCGCTCGCTGTCTACCTCATCTAACCTCCGCTGGGCCTCGTTCGCGTCGTCCTCGGCCTCGCCGCTGTACCTTTTCCCCTCCTTGTAGTAGCGGGCCACGACCAACCGTTTCCGCGCGTAGGGGAAGCGGCTCGCGTCCACAACCAAACCCCTTAGATCGCCGTTCGCGTGGTATTCCAGGGCGTCGCGCGCTCTTAGTAACGCGGCGAACCAGCGTTTTTTGGGCAGCGGCCGGACCGTCGCGGCCGCGAGCGCCGCCGCGTGCTTTTCTAATCGCGCGACGCTGGCGTTGAGTCTGGGCACGAAGTATTTCAGCCTTGCTTCGAGCTGGGCGGGCGTCGGGTTCGCCATGGCGCTGCTGCGGTACAGCTGCTCCTGGGCGCCTGACGCTGGGCAGGCGAGCTCTGTCGTTAGCCCTGGCGTTAACCAAGAGCTGCCACTGCTTAGTGTGCCCCGTTTGCACGGCTTTGCGCCTCCAGGCCTCTGCGGCTGCGCGCGCGCCTAAGCTAGCGGCCTTGTAAGACACTAGCAAGCAAAACCAAAACGCGGCATGCAGTCGTTTGAGTACCGTTCCGTTCGCTAATGGTCCAAAGAGATCAATGGGACACGTACGGGGGGCCGAAAAACTAAATTTTTTAATTCGCGGCCGAGGGCGCCCTACGGTCTATATGGCGGCCGCACCAGCTAAAACCTGTCAATCCCGGCCAAAGAGGTCTCCATGGGGTCGCCTAGGGTCGGTACTATACACGTGCAAACGCCTACCACGCATACGCCGCCGCTTCAAGCATTTTTGGCCGATTTCTCTCAGCAGCCCACAGAGCAATAGCAGGTTTTGCCGAGGACTCGCTTCCAGGGCTCTCTGAGAGCACTAGACTGCCGCATCGACGGCGTATGCGGTGCAGGCGCTTACCCACAACCAGACCTACTCCGAGAGACCTCCAGAAGCCGATCTGCCCCCGAAAAAAGTGTGCAATTTGGACCCGATGGCGCCCCGTCCCCCGTCAAAACGTCAATTACTCGAGACCCCCCAGGAATCGTATTAGCGGTCTCGTCGGACCCCATACTACCCCAACAATAGTCAATTACAAGTATATGACATCTACATTATAAGAAGGGTACTTTTGGCTGCCCACGCTCGGGACGTGAACATCTTTATCTGGACCTCGCGTAAGTCCGTCGATAATGAAACAAATGATCGCGTTATGGTCCATGGTGAAGGTACACGGGCTGATGGTCGCAGGTCCGGGTCTGGTGCCCCGATTTCACAAGATCCTGTGGTCGCGAGTCCGTCGACCCGCGCCGAGCATCTTGGGGTCTCGGAGCAATGTAGTAGGCAGTCAGGCCGGTTATCTGGCCCGTCCCGTAACCGAAGCGCCTGAAACGCAAATTTATTTTATAACTCACCGGTCTGGGGCCTTTCCGGTGCCCCGCGTACGTACCGTCGTCCGCGGAGAACGGGCAAGTCGGTCGATCGTGAATAGAACAACGGCGTTATGGTCCATCTGGATAGTGGCGTCGCTGATAGTCGCGGGTTCAGGTTTGTGGATCATCTTTGTACAAACGTGAGGCTGCCGAATCGTCGATTCCGGCGGCTCTAACGGAGCATCTAAAATAGATGAGTACGTGTTCAGGCGGTCTGTATGGACTCTACCACCAACAAACGGATAAAAACGAACATAAACTCGGGAGTTGTCTAGTAGAACTCTTCTCCCGCCCTCCGGGCGCGGGCCGTCGGCCGCGGTTCCGTCGATTGTGGATGAAAACTGGGCTGGAGTTGATATGATGTACCATTTGGACGGTAGATGGCGTCGTCAATCGCTGGTGTAAGGAACCCGTTGTTTTAGGATCCATGGCTAATGTATATACACACTAGTGTTACACGCCGATTTCATCGCTGTGTAGTGTGGCATCGCTGCAGTTGACACCGCTGCTGATACAGCTGAGGTCGCATCGCTTGCTCGCAGCATTAACCTGCATCGCTGAGGAGGTGACGGGAGGTGACGCGTGCAACAGAGGTGACGCATCCAACAGCTAGACACCGATGCGCAGCATCATGCGCTACTACCTCGCCGCGTCGCTCGCGCGCTCGGCAATAGCATTAGTGCGGCCCGTGCCGAGGAGGCGGTTCTCGTTAGCAGCAACAAAAACCGATGAAAGTAGGGTCGCGATCGGGGAAGTGGTGCTGACGGAGCCGGGCGTCGCGGTCATAAGGGATACGGCGGGTGTCGGCGGGGCCGACGTGGTCGCGGGCAGCCGCTTGGAGTTGGGGAACGGAAGACGGGGCACGGTCGTGCTGACGCGGAGCCCGCTCTGCGTCGTGTGTCTTGATGATGATGGCGACGACGCGGGCGTCGACGACGCGACGTTAGCCCTGAGGCGCATGGCCTTGAGATCCGGCGAGTCGGGCGGCGAGGCCGACGCGTTCATGGTCGGCGAGATGGAGAACAGTGTGGACGTCACGAAGCTCGCCGGACGAGTCGTCGACGCCTTCGGTTGTGCCGTCGACGGCCAAGGTGCTGTTGCAGGAACGTCCTACAAGATCTTCCAGGAGGGTTTGGAGCAGGCCCAGATGGCGCCCATCGACGAGTTCGTGAGCGTGGGCGTCCCGGCCATCGACCTGATGACGCCCCTCGGCAAGGGCCAGAGCGTGTTGTATGTGGGCCCGCCCGAGGCCCGCTCTTCCCTAAGGAGACTGGCACGCGTCGCCGTCGCGGCGCAGTCCCCCGACACGGTCAAGATCTACGCGGGTCTCGACGAAGCGGGCAATAAGCGCTCCCAGAAGAAGAAGTTCTGGGGAGAGACGGGCATCGTGGCACCTAGGAAAAGGGCGTCGGCCTTCGCGTCGGAATGCGAGGCCGTCCTCTGCGCCCACGCGGCGATGGCGCACGGCGCCGAGGCCATGGCGCAAGGCAAAGATGCGTTGGTCGTGTTGGACGGCTTCGAGCCGCTCGTGGACCTGTGGACGCGGTCGACATCAATCCTGGCGGAGCGGTTCGGCGCGGAGAACGTGGGATTGGGGGACGACTCGGAATGTAGAGCGTTCTTTTCCGCAGTCCTCCAAAGGGCGGGCAACATGCAGGGCGGCGGGTCCCTCACAGTCGTCGCGCTGACGGCGGACGAGCCCCCGAAGGAGGAGGAGGTTCTGTCCACCGAATCCTACACGCTCGACCAGTTCCGGGCGGCGGGCGCGCGCAAGTCCATCATGGACCGCCTGGAGGCCCTCGACGCGCGGGGCATCGCCATCACGGACGACATCCTGGGGAAGATCGGCGTCGCGGCGCCGAACACGAACAAAAGACCCGACGCGCCCGGCACGAAGCGGCGGTCGGAGGCCTGCGAGATGCTCACTTCTATTGGCGACGCGCACGTCGAGGTCATGAGGAATGAGAAGGGCGTCTGCGACGTCGACGCGTCGGCGTCTCTACAAAGAGTGGGCGTCGGCGCCGACGTCGGCACGGACACGCGGCCGCCGGCGCTCGTCACGCTGGGCGTGGGCAACCGTTTACGGTTGGAGCTCGCCGCGGCGACGAACGTGGAACGAGAGCGCGTCAACGAGGAGGAGGCGGCCGACGAGCAGGCCCTCGTGCGCGCCGCGGCGTGGCGGGCGGCGCTGCGCGTCGGCGCCGACGACCCGCCGCGGTCGCTTTCCAGCGTCTGCGGCGTCGCCGTCGCCGTGCAGCAGGGCCTCTTCGACGGCGTTTCTGCCGAGGACGCGTCGGTCAAGGTCGACAAGCTGCTTGCGGCGCTGCCGGAGACGTCCGTGGACGCGACGAAGGCGCTGTCCGACGCGGACCTGTCGGCGCTGAAGGCCGCGGCGGTGGAGGCGTTGGAGTCATAACACTCTTGGGTATGTTACACATCACTACTAGTAGCCCTCAGGTCAACAACACAGCCCCTCTTCTTGCACGATGCGATGAGAGCGCTCCAATGGTGCGAGTTCGACAGTGTCACCGCGTCTCCCACGACTACGAGCCCTCGCTTGGCGCGCGTGAGCGCCACGTTGAGGCGCCGGGCGTCGCGCACGAATCCGAGCGAGCCGTCTTGGTTCGAGCGCGTGGCCGAGAAGACCACGATGTCCGCCTCCTGGCCTTGAAAGGAGTCGACGCTGCCCACACGCACGCCCTCGACGCCGGCGCGTCTCAACGCAGTACGCACCTTACTAACCTGCTTTGCGTACGGACTGAGGACCACGATATTCCCCTCTTCTTTTCTGAGAAACTCAGACACGACTTCCACAACGATCTCGGCCTCGGGCGCGTTCGAAAATCCGGCCTCGTGTTTCGTCTCTCCTCCGTCAAGGTCCAAAAATGCCAGTGGCAGCCCCCCCACGGGCCAGACGAAACCGCGCGGTACCACCCGTCGCAGAACGCTGTCGGAGCTTTGTACCACGCCTCGGTAGAAGTGCCGCGAGGGAAATTCGACAAGCGCGGGAGGCATGCGGTATTGCACGTGAAGCGTCTCCAACTCAACACCGCTCCGCTCGAGGCGTTCCATCGGCGAGCGGCCGAGCGCATACCGTAGCTCGCGATCACCGCTCACGACGGTCGGTGGCAGCTGACGCGTGTCCCCGAAGAAGACCACTTGCTCCGCCTTCGCGGCGGCCAATGCACAACACAACGCGGGCTCAGTCGTTTGTGCGGCCTCATCCAATACAACCAGCTCAAACGGCCCCGCTTCCGCCTCGATTAATGAGTGGGCACCGATGCACGAGGCGACGACGACCTCGGCGTGGCGAGCCAGGCTCGCCTTCACGTCTTCGACGCACCGATACGCCTGGCGCATCGCGTCCGACCGCACATATGAAGGAAGCGACGCGTTGTTGGCACGCTTGCGCAACGATATGACTTCAGGATGCCGCTCGGCGAGCGCCACGGTCGTGAAGCGCCGCGCTTCTGGCGCGACCGCGGTGGGGCGGCCGGCTCGGATGGCATTCACACCCGCGAGGTGCAACGCGGCCAGCAGGACGTCTGCCGCGCCATTCGAGTGCGTTACGGCGAGCACGCGTGGCGTCTTCTTGTCGGCACCGGCGAGGCGCAACGCTGACGACACGAGGAGGCTCGCGGTTCGCGTCTTGCCCGTGCCCGGCGGGCCGCGCACCAATCCCACGCTTCGACCGAGCGCCCACGCGACGCAGTCGATCTGCCGCTCGTTTGGCAAAAATTGCGCGTCGGCAGAAGCTCCAGCGATGGCGTTGCGAATGCCGATCTCCAGCGTCGGCGCCGTCGCTCCGCCTGGGATTCCCGCGAACTCAACGACCGCGCCTCCAGCCAGGCGGCGCGGCGGAGCGGCACACGCAGCGTCGTCGAGACCGGTCGCGAGGCTCGCCGCAGCCGCGCCCGCTTTGCCCGCCGCGACCCGCGAGAGCGCGTCGCGCTGGGCCGCGAGCGGCGCGCGCGGCGCCGACTTGTCGAGGCGCACGGCCACGGACCCGGGCCGTCGCCGCGCTTCCCACGTCTTCCCGGGCCAGGTCTCGCCGACCGCTACGGTCAGCCAATCAACCCCCGTCTCGACAACGGCCACCTCGCGCGGCGCGGCGGCCGCGTCGAAGGTGAGTGTCAGCACGTCGCCGCGGGTGAACGATTCCCGCACGCGACTGCTCTCGCCGCTGCGTGTGACGCGCAAGATCTTCTCGCCGAAGAGCTCCGAGTGCGGCGCCGCGGTTCCGAACAGCGAGACGCCAGCTTCCTCGAGTCGACGCTTTGGCCACGTCGCGCGCTGCCGGCGGAGCTCGGAAGCCGTCGCGCGGTATTCCTCGAGGACAAGCGCATCCCAGCGCTGCGCATAGTCGTCCGCAGCGCCGTGTAGCGTCCGCTTTTGACTGGTGAATTGACGAGGCTGGAACGAGTGGGTGAGGCTGAGCAGCAGTGCTGCTTGCAGTGCAGCTGTCATCTCAGCCTCGGCGTGGCATTGGCATCACGCTGCGGCTGCGTCAGGGAGAGCACTCGCTGTAGAGTTTGCAATTGGTGAAAAAAATTGGACAGCACTGCGGCATTTGATCGCTTTGCAGCGATTATTCAGCCCGGGTCATGCAGCGACGAAGCGGTACAGCGTGGCGTTCTATTAGTTTGTATTAATAGCCCAGCCCCCGTTCTCCTGTAGGTGAAGTTAGTGTAACTAGGGTATCTCCGCGATCTCTCTGCCAACGAACGCCTGCGGCCACAGGGCCCTCCTCGCGGACCTTTACAAAAAAATGCCAAAAATGCCGAGAGTAGGGGGTAAATGCTTATTTCCGACAAGTGGTGTTTTTAGCGACGCCGGACTTGCCAAAAACGACGGCGGAAACGGCCCCAGCGGCCCCAACCAGTCTGTGCGCGGACACGATGCTCCCTCCGCATGTTCTTTCTGGTCGGGCAGCGTTTTTATGCTCGGCGGCGTCGCACATGGCATGTCACCAAAATCCGGTCTTTTTGCGGTCGTCGCGGCCGACGTAAAGCGCCTTCACGGACGGAAGTGACCCTCGGAGGGGCCTTGCCCCCTGCCCGCGGCGACCTCGACGACTTCGTTACGTCGCCGATGCATGACGGCACGCGGTGGGCGGTTCCACGCACGGCTCGGCGCGCGGTTGTCGGACTGGAGTAGCTAGACGCCCTGCTTGGGTTGGTCACGCTGCTCCTATCGTGACGCGGGGACGCCATGTGTTTACGGAAGCCGGAAGAGTACACGGATCGTGGCGGGCGCCGCGCGGCGACGATTCGCGACCGCGATCACCCCCTCGCTCGTGAGTGGGACGCCACCCCCGTCGATTCCGTGCGGCGTCTCGTCCGGCCTCACGCGCCCATCGTTATCCCGGCGCTGCGCCTCGTTCGCGTCCCGGCGCGTCCACGTCGGGCCTCTTGCAACTCTCCGCCAGTGTGTGTGTGTTAATATGCCTAATTTATTTAAGTTACATTATACCATGCCACTACAGAACTACGCAGCTAAGGGCCGTCGGCGCTTCGCCTCGGCTGGCGCCGGCTCGGCCCGGGGTCGTTTGCGGCGCGTGCGGGTGTGCTGTTTGTAGATATCGTACTTGTCTTGGGTCGTCAATTGTTTCCATACAGAGGCTGATACGCCGCCGACGGAGGTCCTTCGGGAGAGCATGGTGCACGCGGCGCACGTAGTGTCCGCCAGCTTGGAGAAGCCCTTTAGCCTCATATCCTTCGTAACTCCAACGAGGAAATATGCCAGAATGTCGTTCGGTCGTGGCACCGCGTGCACCGCCAGTTCCTTTACGCCTTCCTGTGCCGCGAGGTAACCGAGGTCCAGCCGTCCCGCGGAGGGCCAATGGCCGACACCGCGGCACTGAGCCCGCAAAAGCTGGGCGGAAAGCCGGAAGCACGCCCGGCCAAGAAGAAGGACGCCTCGCCACTGGCGCCGCGGCCGGCACAGCCGCCCGCGGCGCCACAGCCGCCCGCGGCGCCGCCGCAGGAGGGCAACGATGACGTCGGGTACCAGAGCATACTGACGTACGTCAACACTCTCCGAGATTCCTTCAAAAAAGCACAACAGACGCGTGACGCGGCCGTCGCCGACGCCAACTCGACGCGTGCCGCCATTGCCCAGAAGGATGACAAGCTCGCGAATCTGAGGGGAGCTTTGGAAGCCCGGAAAGCGCTTATCCAGGATACGAAACAAAAAACCGCCGCAAAGCGCAAGGCCATGGACGCGGCGCACAAGGCCATGGCAAAGAAGGCGCGAGATGTTGAAGAGGCAACGTACAAGGAGTGCAACGAGATGCTGAACCTGGAGTTTGCGAGGCGCGGGTGAACGCCCCGCCATCGACGCGAACGCCCCCCCCCCCCGCCACGCCACCTAAGAAGGTTCAAGCTCATTTCCGAACACCCTACAAGACACGAGGAATTCCGGCAGGTCGAGACGGTCGACGGGTCGCGCGGCACGGCGGTCACGGTGGCCACGGCGACGAAGGAGTCAAGGGGGGGGGGGGGCGGCGAGAAGCTTACGGTGGATAATCCCAAGTCCAAACTAATAGACCCGCCGTACCGGCCAGTGACACTGCCAGCAAAGCGCCGTAGCTAGCGGCTGTAAGGTACTAGCAAAAGTGGCCTAGACGAGCTCGATCGGCGCTCTGCGCTATCACGGCTCGTCGCGCACGTGCGGGGCTGCCCCGCGACATCACATTCGTGGAGCCGATCGAGTGGTGTTGCGTGCAGCAACGCCTGCGAGCCGTTATAGATGGAAAAAGCAGCAGTGGACCTCGCAAAGCAGCATGGCCCGTACTACTACGCGCATGCGGCGAAGGCCTGGGAGGTACCCGAGGATGCAAAGACCATAAGCGGTGAGGGCCTGACGCACACTGGCCAGGGCCCGCGGCGCCTCGACGGCGCCGCCGCGACCGTGGCCGACGCGCCCGCTGATGAATCGATGGAGGGGTTGCGTGCAGAAGTGGCGCGGCTGCGGGCGCGGCTCGCCGACGCGGCGCGCGTGCGGCGGCCGGAGACGAGTCCACTGAAAAAGTACGCGTTCGCCGACGGCGAGGAGACGTGCAAAATTTACATCGAGTTCGCGGCGGGCGAGCTGCGCGCGCGCCGGACGGAGGAGGACGGGTCGGCGCGCCATTGCCTCGACGCGGGCGTCGTGGCGTCGTTCGAACGGCGCCGGGTACGCGTCGTCGTCGTCGTGCCGGACGCCGCGGGAGACGACTCTCGCCGGGAGTTCGCTGTGAACCTGGCGTGCGACATCGTCCCGAAACACTGCTCCTACAAGGTCGTCGCGGAGAAAAACCGCGTCGTCGTCTCGCTGCGCAAGGCCGAGGCGGTGCCCTGGCCGACGCTCGCCTGCGCCGCGCCCTAGCTCGTTGTTAAGTCACAATTAATGTTACCGCGAAGCCCCGGGCGGCACCATGCCCGCGTTCTGGAGCAATTTCGTCAGCGTCATGAGCATCTCGCGCGACTCCGGGTCGGCCATGTGCTTCTGGAGCGTCATGGGCCCGCCGCCCTTCATCACGTCGGCCATGATCTCCTGGAACTTGGGCTTCTGGACCATGGCCATCACCTCCGGGTCGTTCATCAGCTTGAAGACCTCGTCGGGCTCCAGACCGCCGGGGATGGCGCCGTCCTCGCCCTTGATCGCTTCCAGTTCTTCTTTGGACAGATTCATGGGGTTCTTCTCCTTGTCGAACATCGCTTCCGCGGTCGCCTTGTTGAAATTGTCCAGGACGTCCTTGCCCGCTCTCCCGGATAACCGGGCATCCTTCAGCTTCGCTCGGAGCTCGTCGGCCTCGATGCAGTCCGAGTAGTCGATGCCTCTTAGGTCGAGTTCGGCTGTCAGCTCGCCGACCTTCATTTCCTCGGGTGTCTTGGCGTCGTCCTTGCCGAGCGCCGCGTTGATGTCCTCGCTGATTGCATCTACTATCGAGGGCGACTTGAGCGCCTCGTCGATGGCAGCGTCGATGTCGAGCGGTCCATCATCCTCGGCTGGTTCGCTGCCGTCGCCCCGCGTCTTGCCATGCAGCGCGAGCGGTGCCCGCACTCCTGGCCTGAGGTGCTGGAAGGCGTCGCACGCGACGACGAGGCAGAGCGCCAGTGCAGCGAGCTTCATATTGCAATAGCTGTAACGCGCAAATTTATGCGCTGAGTGCCGTTTCTATAGGCAAATTCAACGCGAATTCGACTGCGAGCTGTTATTAACGCAAGTACAATTGCTGTGTGCCGTGCGTCAACTTCAAAGCCACAAAACCGAGCTAGCGGCATGTAAGACACTAGGGAACCAGCAAGCCAGGTTATACGCGCGCGGGGGCTTACACGGGCGCCGGTGCGATTCTTTTGATCGATTATTGACAAATCTGTCGCTTCTGACAGAAATAGCGCGTTTGCGTCAAACTTAAGTGAGGTCCACAAGAGACTAGAGGCGGCCGACGCGGTGCTGGCGCGACTTAGAGGGGCCGACGCGGCCTGTGTGGAAATCAAGTCACACGCCATTGACGCGATTGTAAACCGCATGGTCCGTCCACGCCATCGACACGACGCTGGTCCCGTAACAACGTCTGCTCGATGGAGTGGAGATCAACGAAGATTGATTTCTACACAGGACGTGACACGTGACGCGCCGGTCCGGCGGCGCGCAGCAATGGTTCGGGTGCGCCGTCACGTCGACGAACGGCAGGCCCTGGCGGCCGTAGAGCGTCGCGCCCGCGACCGCATTCTGGACGAAGAGGAACGCGTTGCCGGCCTCGGCGGGATGGTCCCCGGCGACGCCGGCCGTACCAGCGTCGTCCTTGACGACGGCCGCGAGGTAGACCGCGCCCGTCGGCGTGAAGTGGACCTGCGGGGGTCGCGACGCGTTCGCGCGGTCAATTAGTACTGAGACGCCGGAAACGCGCGATCACATTGCACGACGGCAGCCAGTCCTCCTGTGCGGTTGTGACGCGTCTACGCGGTCATATATGAGTACTGGGACGCCGGCGGCGCACGATGCCGTTGCCCGGGAGGCCGCTCGTGCCCGGGTTGTTAATGTCGTTGTTCACGTACCTGTGTAGATGGCGAATATCGTGGCGATGGCGTATCCGTGGATCCGATTCGAAGGCGCCTGGAACTTCGGCTCCGCCGCCAGGCATCGTCGCGGGCCAATTCTGGTACCAGAGCGTGCTCCAGATGGCGATGAACGACGACGGGATGATGCAGACCATGCCTTTCGGATTCGGGTCCGACCATGCTGCGAGGGGGTGGACGGTTCGCGTGCGCTCGCAGATACGTCGACGACACGGCGTCGCACAGGACTGGAGGAAGCATCCTCGCGAGTTACCGTCGCCGCGGAGCCAATACTCCCAGCCGGCGAGCCGCGCGAGCGCGAGGTTCGGCGCGCCGCCGGGTATCGCCGCCAGGTTTTGAGCGCCGAGTACAAATGCGATCGCTACCGCGCCGAGGCGGTGGCTGTCGCAGTCTAATCCCAGGTCTAACTCCTGGAGATGCTTGTAGCTTTTTCTCTTGCCGCCGAAGCCCACGTTCGTCAACGCGGTAGCGACGGCGGCGTACGAGAGTACGAGTTTTGATAGCAAACGCATCAAATGATGCTCAATGAGCCCACAATAATTGGGTCGCCACAGGTCTGTCACAGGACCCACTCACAGGTGACACTATCTCAACGGGCGCCTTGGCATACTCATGCACGAGCACGCTGGACAGGTCCATGGGTGCTTCCGATGCATCCAAGGCCAATCCTAGTGTGTCAGCGACGCTAGCCTCTCTTTGTTGCGGACAAGTGGCTTGTTGCCGCTGCCGCATAGCTGCCTTCCGTTGCAGCTCGACGCAGCAAGGCAACTCAGACTCGCCGATCGAACGCCGCTGTGGCGTATTATGCTATTACGCCGTATCCTACTGACCAAGGGGTCGTCTTGCAGCATCCTCCGCGCCTCTGCTGCTCGCCGACACCCGCTCCAACGGTCGCTCATTACCGCGATGGAAGCGCCTCCGACCCTCCTCGATGATCTGGCGAATTTGATGCGGAACGTGCCGAACTACCAGAAGAAAATCCCCGACGTCGACGCTTACGTTGCGTCAATTGATATCCCGGAGACCGTCGAGGGCCCCGTCGGCGGCTGCGAGCAACCCGAGACGCGATTTGTTCGAAGAGCTTCGCCGGAGGGCCAGGCCATCGTCGCTGCGCAGCTGAAGCGCGAGCGCGAGACGGAGCTGCGGGCCATGGAAACGGACCCCGCTCTCGAGGCCGCGGCGCCCGTGCAGCCCGAAGCGGCTCCCGTTGTCGTGCCGACGCCCGCACCGGCCATCGCGGCGGACGCGACGTTGTCTCAGCATCAGCGTGCTGCTACTGCATCAGGACTGGCGAGACAGGAGTTGGCCCGATTGGAGCGGGCTTTCTGGAAAGCTTTAGTGGGGACGGACCTCACGCGGTGGCAGGACATGGAGAACGACTGGGACGGCAGCAAGGCGTGTCCGCCGTTTGATATTGTGTCGCCGAAGTCGGGCCAGCCAGGAAGGGCGCTTACCTTCTACGAGGGCGACATCCCGGATGGCCTTAGCCTCGAGGATATGCGCAAGAAACACTGCACGACGGACAAGATGAAGGCGGACTGGGCCGTCGCGGCCGCTTTTAGCTTATTGGCAAGAAACCTCTACAAGGCCGAACACGAGGCCTACGACAATATGTTGCAGCTCTCGAAGGCGAACGGCTTCAACGGCGGTACTAGGGGACGCGAGGAGCGGGTGCGCTACGGCGACGACGCCGCGTACTCCAGTTTGATCCGCGAGCTGGTGGAGAAGCAGCTGCTGCAAGACAAGAAGACGTACTACGGCAATTCTAAGGAGTCGTTGAAATATCAGATTGCGAAATGCGACGACATCCTGGACGCGCTCGCGGCGCCGTTCGAGGATTTAGATGGGTCCGCGCTGGTCAAAATTAAAACATTTGATGGCCGACGCCAGTTCGTCTCACCGGTGGCGCCATCTGATTTGCCGTGTTTCAAGGGCCAGCCGCGGAAGACGAACATCGACCACGTCGACGGCGGCTGGAAGGGCGCCGTGCTGGCCGTTCGGAAGCTCTTAATTAGGCGCCTCTGCGACGAGGCGTTGAACAAGCGGTTCCCGGGCATCGAGTTCTACCTGGACTCGAAGAACGCCGCCGTGCGCGCGTACATAGACGCCTACATCCCCAGCGCGTTGTGCCACGACCCACGCGGGCGCACTGTATTTAGATTGAAATTCGAAGTCGACCCTATCACGTGGCATCGGATGAGTCGGACGGAGCAGCAAGGGTTGGAGGTGGACCGCATCCGGCGCGTGCTGCTGAAGGGCGCCATGCAAGCTCTGAGCGACGACGAAGTGGAGTTGGAGGGCCCGGACGCGGTGCGACTGGCGCTGCTGCAGGAGCGCTACCCGGGCCTCACGTTCAAGCGCGCGGCGTCTTTTGTTAAACACGCTTGCGGCCGCTTCTCGGCGAAGTTCCTGGACCGCGGCGTCATCGAGATGGTCATCGACCACATCGGTCTGGCCACGGTACAGGGCAAGGACGACGGCAAGTGGTACCGCGAGGTCGGATTTCGCGGGCTGCTGCCCGAGGTCGAGAATCGCTACGCGAGCGGCTACGAGTGGATGAAGATATTAGGCCTGGAGGAGTATTGCCGCGACTACCTCGCGAACCCGCTTTACAAAACGGGCTACAAAACGGACCACGGCGAGGTCGTCGCCGCGGCCTTCGAGAAGGAGTACGGGCCGAATCCGTTCAAGTGGAATCTCTAGAGTCGGCCACGCCTCGTCCGGCAACGCGACGCGCCTGTGGGTGGCACGCTTCAATTCGCAGACTAACTTTAGTGTTGTGAGTAATAAATAATGGCAAAATATCTACTTCCTCCCGGGACTCCTTCACGACCTCGGCGCACGCGTCGTAGACCGCTGGCCGCAGGCCCTTGTCGTCGCTTTGGAGGTGGGACGTGATGAACGGGATCGCCGCTTGAGGCGTCAAGGGTCGACGTCCAAGGACCATTTCAAAGGCTCCTCATCATCAATCACGTCGCACAGCCCATCCAGCCCCACTGTCCCGGAGAAGCTCCGCGCGGCTTTCCCGCGCGAAGGATCCCTCGGGCGCGGCGCGCAGGAAGGCGGCGAGGTGTTGCTTCGCCAGTAGCACACAGGGCGCGTCGGCCGGTGGATCGTGCTTCAAACACAACAGCACGTCGTCCACGAGCAGCTCCGCGTCCTCGGCGGAGCAGGCGCACGCTTCGACGTCTACGCGAAGGTGCGCTGCCGTGCCTGCTAGGCCGCATACGCGCCACACGGCCGCACGCACGCCCGGCGGGAATATTGGTTGGAGGAGCAGGCCCAGCGCGAGGCGCGCCGACTTTGTGGAGGCGGGAAACTCCGCCAATACCAAACCGTTGAGGCGCTCGATGGTAGCACCGAACGCGGCGTCACGCCTGCTCTCCGGCGACCTGTGCGCAAATGAATGTGGAGACGCGTCGCGACATTTTGATTTGTGCACTGCCGGCGACTTGGTGGCCTCGCCCTGGACCCACTCATGGAGAAAGGCGGCGCCCTCTACGACGTCTTCATCTATCAGACGAGCCACAGTGTCCGTGAGCAAGGATTCCACGTCCACGGAGGGACGCGCAGCGCGGCGCAGTGCGTGGGCGAGTAGTGCGCCGCGCGGGACCGCGGCGACCTGTGTGGAAATCAACCAGTGCGTCGAGTGCACCCGACAATTCTTCACCAAGTCATTTTTCGGCGATGAAGCGGCCGTCCTGGCTCGGTCGAGCGGTGAGGAACCGGCATCGCCACGCCATCGAGCAGGCGTCGCGTCGATGGCGTAACGCGCCGTAAAATTTTGATTTCCACACAGGCGGCGACATAGCTCGCCGGGGGCGCGGCATCGCTCGCGGCGAGGGCCCAGGCCGGGGGAAAAGGCAGAGCGCCGCCGCGCAGCGCGGCCGCGCAGCGGTTCTGCAGGCCCGGATCCTCCTGCTCACTCTCAGCAACGCAACGCTCCGCGTAGCGCGCCTGCCGGCAGGCGCACGGCGCCATCAATGCAAATGAGACCGCGTCCGCCTCGCGTAACCGGCGCGCCAGGACCTGTGTGGAAATCAAATTTCGGACGCCCCACGCCATCAACGCGACACCTGTTCGATGGCGTGGCAATCTCTTGATTTCCACACAGACCGGGGACGCAGTGAGCCGCGTGGAAGGCGCCCCGGCGGTCGTCGGCCGCGTCGTCAACGAGGACGTCGTCGTCGGCCTCGCTTTGCTTGGCCGGGGCGTCGGTCGCGTCGTCGTAGAAGGCCGCGACGGCGTCGCGGCAGGCGCGCCGCTCGGACGCGCGCGCGGTCGCCGCGAACGCCGCGCGCGCGTTGCCCAGCGCGGCCGCCGTCTTTTGAGGCAGGCGCGCCGCCGCCGCCGCCGCGAGCGCGCAGGCCGCGCGCGCCGCGGCCCAGTCGTCGTCGTCGGCGGCTCCGGCCTCGCACCTTTCTAGAACCGGCGCCAGCGCCCCGGTACCTCGCGCCAACGCCGCGAGGGCCCGCGCGTAGTCGCTCCGCGCGGCCGCCGACGCGTGTGCCGCGCGGCAGAAGGCCGTCAAGGTCGTAGGATCGTCGCAGGCCGCGAGACGCTCCATCAAAACGTCCGCGGCGTCGGCCTCGGCCACCGTGCCTCCCCTACAACACTTGCGCAGGAGCGCGGCCGCGACGAGGCCCGCGGGCGCGGCATTTGACGCGGCCGCGGCCCGCGCCGCGACGCGCGCGGCGGGCCACTCGCCGTCCGCCGGGGCGCGCCGCGCGAAGGCCGCGGCGAGCGTCGCGGCCGCGAGGGCCCAGGCGTCGACCTCGTGCGACACACACGCCGCCATGGCGGCCCGCGCGTCGCTCACGGGCGCGCCGCGCTCGACGAGCGCCGCCGCGGCCAGCGCGCCGTTCGCGTCGCCACCAACGCAGGCCCGGACGGCTGCCGCCGAGGCGCCCCCGTCGACCAACTTCGCCGCCGCCGGTTCCGACATCAGCGCGGCCCGCGCGACGACCGCGAGCGCGTCGCTCGTCCCCTGCTGGATCAGGCCCTGGACGGCCGCGGCGTCCCAGGCATGTCCAGCGAAGGCCCGCGCGTCGTCCTTGGTTGAAGGAACGTAGTCCGGCGACCGCCTTAACAACGTGATCAATCCTGACACGGCGTCGCGGCCGTTCTCCCGCTTGTACTTCCCCTTGTCCGCCAGACCGCGCGCCAGCGCCTCGAGCAATCGAAGAGGCGCATCTGCAAAAGTCATGGCGCCCTCGAGGACGACCTCCCTCACCAAGGTGGAGAAGGCCGCGCGCCGCTGCGTCACGGTCAAATCTTTTTGAGCGGCCACGAAGGCCTCGCTGAGCGCCGAGGCGCTCTTCGCGGCGTCGTCGTCGTCGGCCTCGGCCGTCCAGTCAAGCTTGGCGCGTTCGGTCGGCGGCAGCGCCGCGCAGGCGGCCGCGAGCTCGGCGTCGTTCGTGGGCATGGTGCCCGGCGGCAGGGGCCGCGGCTTCGGGGCCGGCGGCAGCCGCGGTCGTTGGAGCTTCGCGGCGCCGCGCTTCCGCAGAAACTCGACGTTCGCCGGGCTCAGCGTCGCGCGCACGTCGTCGAGCGCGTCTCTTACTTCATCCGGCGACATGGCGGCGACCTTGCGGCCCGCGTCGTCCGTCGGCTTGATTGGACGCGCACTCGCGGGCGGCGGCGGCTTCTCGGCGCGCGGCGTCGGCGTCCAGCGCCGCGTCGGGAAGCCTCCGCCGCCTGGGGGCGGGCGCGGCGGCGCGCTGCTTCTTGTCGAAGGCGTGCGCTCTTTTACGCCGGAGACAACCATGGTGCTTGGCGGCGAGCGGTGCTTGTTGCGTCCTGGAGCTGTAAGAGCTGGGCCGCACCGATGCACCGCGTTCTCTGTGGTGTGTAGCGTCTGTAAGAACGATAAATTGTGAGCTCTGCGAGCAGTAGCGGTGCTGTTTTAGGCTTTTTGCGGACGCTAGTGTCTTACTGGCCGCTAGCTCGCGCGCCTCCAAAAATTCCAGTGCCGCGTGTTTTTGAGCACCGAACGTGTGATTTGCAGCAGCCAGGTGCTACGAGCGTTGCTGCGACAGCCTTTTCCCTGCTGCGGATTTGCGAAAGCGCGACTACCAGCCTCCTCTTGCGGCTGGATCTATACGCCGTCGACGCGCGCCGTCACGTATCGGCGCCGCTGATCTGCAAGAGCACCGGTCGAAAACAAAAAAAACACAACACGATGGGCGTCAACCTCTGCTTCATCGCGCGCGTCGCCGACGGCATGTTGCTGGTCGCGTCGACGGACCCGATGCGCTCCAGCGACAGCCAGGAGACGATGGACGTCTACAAGAGCCAGGCCAAACAGATCCTCGCGGGCCTCACGGAGCGCTCGCCGTCGAAGTGCTCCATCGACAGCGGGCCCTTTGCGTTCCACTACGTCATCTCCGACGCGGTCGTCTACCTCGCGATGACGCCCAAGAGCTACCCGAAGCGGGCGATCTTCCGCTATTTGGGCGAGGTCGCGCAGGAGTTCGTCCAGGAAGTTACAAATACATGCAACGGCGGCGACTGGCGGCAGGCGGTCGCGACGGTCGGCCGGCCCTACGCGTACATCCAGTTCGACCGGCGGCTCCAGGCGAAGCGGCGGCAGTACGCCGACCCGCGACGGGTGGGCGCGGCGTCTCAGCTCGACGCGGACCTCGCGGACATCCACAGCATCATGCGGCGGAACATCGACGAGGTGCTCAACCGGGGCGAGCGCCTCGACGCGCTCGTGGAGACGTCGCAGACGCTCCGGTCCGAGGCGGGCAAGTACAAGTGGGGCGCGAAGAAGTTTAGTTTGATGGTCGCGTGGCAGCAGTACGCGCCGCTCATATGCCTCGGCGCCGTCGTCGCGTTCGTCGTGTACCTTAAGGTTCGGTTCTAGTGATATAGCCCCCTGTGTTCGAACGCTCGCCCGCCGGGGTCACACTATTCTGTTTTACTCCAAGGGCAGGAGGTGGCGGAATCAGCAATCCACACCATCAATAGACAGCTCCATGACGTCGACGGACTCGCCCGCCGAGACCGTCGCGCCAGGCGGCGGCGGCGGCGGCGGCGGCGCGTCGGCCGCGGCCTCGCGCGACGGAGTAAAGACGCCGCGGAGCCTGTCGAGGACGCCGCTCCCGAGCGAGCGCGTCGGACCCTGCCCCGACGGCGTCTCGTCCCGGGCCAGCCCGGGCGCGGCCGTGGCCGCGAACGAACTCAAGCTCGGCCGGCGCGGCGTCGGCACCGCGACCTCCTTGACGACCTCGGCGAAGGTTGGCCGCTTGTCGGGTTTGTGGGCCCAGCAGCGGCACATCAGGGTGCGGAGGTTGGCGGGCATGCCCTTGGGCACCGGCGGCCGCGCGTGCTTGACGATCACCTTGGAAATGATCTGGGCCGGCATGAGGCCCGACCACGGGATGCCTCGGTCGTAAATCTCCCACAGCACGATGGCGTAGGAATACACGTCAGACTTCTCCGTGAACGTCTGGTCTTCCAAAAGTTCCGGGGCCATGAACGCCGGCGTGCCTTTGAGGTGCATCGCGATCGTCGACGTGAGCTGGGTGCGCAGCTCCTCGCAGCGCGCGAGCCCGAAGTCCACAACTTTCACCCTGCCTTCCGCCGTGAGCAAGCAGTTCGCGCACTTGAGATCCCGGTGCTCGACGCCTTGCGCGTACAAGTAGCGCATACCCGCGGCGATGTCGGAGCACCACGTCCGCCGCACGTCGGCCGCCAAGCCCAAGCCGGAGTCGAGCGCGTTGCGCACGCTGCCTCCCGACATGTACTCCATGACGAGTCCGAGATACCGCGGGTCTGTGCTGACGACGCCGAGGACGCGGACCGTCCGCGGCGAATGCAAGCGCGCCATAATAAGAAGCTCCGTCTTGAACTGGCGCAGCAGCCGCTCGCGCCCGGCCGCGGTGCACCCGACCAGCGACACTTTCTTCAGGCATACTTCTTCACCGGCCAAAGTTCCGTTAAAAACCTCGCCCTGGCCGCCCTGTGCGAAGGGCACGTCCTCCACGCTATCCAAGGTAACCTCGAGCTGCGCCAGCGTGTCGCTTTTGAGTGACCGCACGGTCTCCGCTTGGGTCTTCTTCGTCAGCGAGTTGGCGAGGCTGCCCAGCCTCTTTTTCAGCGACGAATCGCGACGCAACAGCTTCTTCCGGAGGGACGAGTCGCGGCGCAGCAGCTCCTTCACGTCGGCCCGGAGCTGTATGTGGAACTCTCGTAGCTCGGCGGCGAACTCCTCTGCCGGCAGGTGCGCGCCGACGGCCTCGACTGTCGCCGCGTCCTTGGACAGCGCCTCGACGGCCGTCGCTTTGGACTCGCCGGTCGTCTGCACTCTCTCGGCCACAAGCCGCTCAATGGCCTGCTCGATCCTGTAGGTTCGCTCCAGGTAAACATTGTCCACCGCGAGCCGGTAGGCGTCTCGAAACATCTCGAGCTGCAGCTTGATGTCGCGATCCAGCTCCGACAACGAGTCAACGTGTTCGCGGATCGTCCACATTCTCTTAAACCAGCCCCGCGTGCCAAAGGCCCGCACGGCGGCGTGGAAAGATTGCAGCAGCTCTAGCAGTTGCCGCATCCGCGCCTCCACGATATCCTTGCCTTCTATCAGCGAGTCCGCGTTCTTCGTCATGAGGTCTACCAGCTGCAGCACCTCCACGACGCGCCGCGCCGCGGTGACGACGTCGTCCGCCTTGTCCCCAAATTCGCTGGCGGAGCCAAAGAACTCGTTCGCGACCTCGGCGATGTCTCCGACGAAGGGCACGAGAGAACCCGCTGTGAGCAGCGTGTTCACGAGGCTCATGCCCGTTGCCACGACTTTGGTCACGTCCCGGTGGCGCTCCAGCGCCGCCTCATTTGATCCGAGTTCGACGTCGATGGCTTCGTCCGTCGGCCGCTTGGGCTGCTGCCTCGCGTGCTCGCGGCGCCACACAGTCACGGCCGACCCGATCATTATCAAGAAAAGCACAGCGCCACCGACGGCAATCAATATGATATGGGTAGACGCCAGAGCAGGGCCGGTGCCGGAACCGCTGGCGCTGGAGTTCGTGGGCGGGTCAAACGAGCTTTCGGCCGCTCCGGGAAACGTGATTCTCGGGGTCGGGCCCAGCGTAGGCGCGGCGGTGGGCCCCGGCGTCAGGAAGACGAACGTATATGACGCCGCCTCGATCGCCGCTTGCGTCGCGTCGACGTCTACGGCCACGGCAGAGAACGCAGGGTCTGAGGCCTGCAGCGTGGCCAAGAAACTACCATCATAGATCGCTAACGTCATTGCGTCCATAGATTGCTCCAACAAATCCGCCGAGGCAGCCTCGCCGTCGGTGCCGTCGACGCGCGCGACGCCCGTGTATGATATTTCGACGACGTCTTCCTCCTCCTCGTCCTCCTCCTCGTCTTGCATGGACGTCGGCGCAGCTGTCGGCGAATACGTTGTTTGCAAGCGCCGTCGCTGCTCGGTGGCCTCGATTTCGATGATCTCTTCGAAGAGCCCGCCGACGCTGTCGATGATCGACTGCGCAAACGCAGCTTGCATGCCGTCCTTGTCGGCATTGAAAACGACGGCGACGATGCCCTCGAGCGTCACTGACGATGTAATCTGGACGACCATCTGGGTCGGCGTTGGGGCCGGCGTCGTCGGCCTCGACGTAGGCGCTGGAGTAGGCCTCGGCGTAGGTCTGGGCGTCGGCCGCTGCGTCGGACTTCCGGGCACCGGTGACGGCGCCGGCGTCGGAGTAAAGGTCGGGCGCGGCGTCGGCCGCGGCGTGGGCCTGAGCGACGGAGCCGGCAACGGCGCGGGTGTCGGCGGCCGCGACGGCAGGGGCGACGGAATCGGCGTGGGCCGCGGTGTAGGCCGCCGGGTCGGCGACGACGTCGGTTTCGGCGTTGGCCCAGGCGTAGGGCGTGCGCTCGGCGCGGGAGTCGGCATGGGCGTCGGTCGGGGCGTAGGATTTGCTGTGGGCTGGGGAGTTGGTCGAGATGTAGGCCTTGGCGTCGGGTTGAAGACAGGGCGCGCCGTCGGGCTGCCCGGCACGACGGTGGGCGACGGCGATGGCCGCGACGTAGGCCGAGGCGATGGCTGCCACGAAGGGTGCGGAGTCGGGTGCGGCGTAGGCCGAGGCGTTGGCTGCCACGACGGGTGCGGCGTCGGCTGCGGCGTCGGCATCGGCCTGTGGGCAATTCGAACAGTGAATCGGGGGCGCACGAGAATTCTGCACCAAGTCCCCTCTCGGCGAGAACGCCGCCGTGTTGGCCAGAACCAGCGGTACCAGACCACGACGCCACGCCATCGAGCTGGCGTCGCGTCGATGGCGTTGAGGTCATGCTTCTTCAAACGCGCGGCGAGTCGGCGACGGTTTGATTTATGCACCGGCACTTGCGTCGGGCCCGGAGTGGGCTGCGGTGTCGGCATCGGCGTCGGGTGCGACGTAGGCCGAGGTGTTGGCTGCCACGACGGTTGAGGCGTCGGCCGCAGCGTCGGAGGCAGTGACGGCCGCGGCGATGGCTGAGGAGTTGGCAGCGACGTAGGCCGAGGCGTTGGCTGCCACGACGGGTGCGGCGTCGGATGAGGAGTAGGGTGCGGCGTAGGCCGACGAGTTGGTTGCCACGAAGGGTGCGGCGTCGGATGAGGAGTAGGGTGTGGCGTCGGCTGAGGAGTAGGGTGCGGCGTTGGGTGCGGCGTCGGCTGAGGAGTAGGGTGCGGCGTCGGGCAGATGCCGCTTTCATCCTTTTCCGAGACGCCGCACGACGTCGACGCGCACGGGGTGTTCTCGAACGCGGTGTGAATGTCGTACCCTCTATCATCGGGATCAAAAACGCCATCAGCAACGCACCAGCCGAGGTCCTGGTCGAAGGCCTCGGCGTCGCGGAACATGTTGGTCATCGACACGCCGTCGAGCAGGTTCCAGTCGCCGAGCGGTTGGTTGAATGCCGAAGCTTCGGCGAACATGTAGCCCATATGCGTGACGCTTTCGACGCTCCAGCCGCTAATCGGTTGGTTGAACGCCCGGGCGTATATGAACATCCCATCCATATTCTCGACATTGCCGACTTCCCAGGCGCTGAGCGGTTGATTGAAGCCGTCAGCGGTGTGAAAAATGCCCCCCATATCCGTGACACTGTCGACGCTCCAGTCATTAATTGGTTGGTTGAACGACCTGGCTTTTTTGAATAGGGCGAGCATATTCTCAACGTTGTCGACCTGCCAGGCGCCGAGCGGTTGGTCGAACGACCTGGCATTGTAGAACATGTAGCTCATATCCGTGACCTGATTGACTGCCCAGCCACCAATTGGTTGGTCGAAGTCCTCGGCGTCATAGAACATGTAGCTCATCTTCGTGACGCTAGAGGTATCCCACGCGCTGATGTCCTCGTTGAAGGATGCAGCGGCCGCGTTGCAGTTAGCAGCCCAATTTGACGGCGACGGCGACACGCAAAACAAGGTCTCCATGTCCGTCACCCCCGATGTGTCCCACATGGAGATATGGCCGTACGTCGCCTCGGCCGCCGTCGGGTCCGCAAACCACGCGTCGCGGGCCGTGTAGATGTTGCTGTCGGTCATGACGTTGTTCACAGTTGGGCGTGGCGTCGGCTGAGGAGTAGGCTGCGGCGTCGGGCAGATGCCGCTTTCGTCCTTTTCCGAGACGCCGCACGACGTCGACGCGCACGGGGTGTTAAAGAACGCGTCGTGAATGTCGTAGCCTCTATCATGGGGATCAAAAACGTCTTCATCAACGCACCAGCCCAGGTCCTGGTCGAAGGCCGAGGCGCCGCTGAACATGAAGCTCATGTACGTGACGCCCGAGACATCCCACGCGCTGATGTCCTGATTGAAGGCCGAGGCGCCGCTGAACATCAGGGGCATTCTCGTAACGCTTGAGGTGACCCACGCGCTGATGTCCTGGTTAAAGGCCGAGGCTTCGGCGAACATCCAGTCCATCATATAGACGTTGTCGACGTCCCAGTCGCCGATGTCCTGGTTAAAGGCCGGCGTGTGGGCAAACATGTCCCGCATGGAAGTGACGCTCTGGACCGTCCAACCACCGATGTTTTGGTTAAAGACCGACGCACCGTCGAACATCGAATCCGTGTTCGTTACGCTGGAGGTGTCCCACTCGCTGATGTCCTGGTCAAACGACGAGGCGTGGTGGAACATGGCGGACATCTTCGTAACGCTTTGTACGTTCCAACCACTGATGTCCTGGTTGAACGACGAGGCGTACCAGAAGACCCCGCTCATCTCCGTGACGCTGTCGACCGCCCAACTGCCGATGTCTTGGTTAAATGACGAGGCTAGGAGGAACAAGTGCGCCATGCTCGTGACGCTGCCGACCTGCCAGCTGCTGATATCTCGGTTAAAGGCCGAGGCGCCTCGGAACATCTCTCGCATCGTCGTGACGCCAGAGGTGTCCCACGCGCCAATGTCCTCGTTAAAGGACGCTGCCCCCGAGTTGTAGTAGTCACAATAGTCCCCGGCGCAAAACAACTCCGACATGTCCGTCACCCCGGAAGTCTCCCACGTAGAAATATGGCCGTACACGGCCTCGGCCGCCGTCGCGTCCGCAAGCCACGCCGTGACGGCCGTGTAGATGTTGCTGTCGGTCATGGTGAGCTTGCGTCGCGCCTGAGCAAACCTTTCCGAGAACGGCGCGACCGACGCGTTCGCCGGTCCGAGCCGAGCCGCCGCGAGGTCCGGCAAGGCCAGTAGCGCGACGCACTTGCGCCAGGCCGCGCACCTCGCGGAGCTTCTAAAGTCATTGAGGGCCGCCGCGAGCAATAGCAGCGCGGCGACGGCGCAGAAAAAGGCCCAGACGCACGCCGAGGCGGCAGCAGCGCCCAGCGACCGCCAACTGTTGTCCTCGCCTAGGCTACTCGCCGCGCCGAGCAGACCGGACCACTCGCCAGAGCAGCGCGTGGCCGTCGTGCGCGCCGCGAACGCCCAAAACGCCGCCGAATTCAGCGTGGAATTCCAAATCTGACTGCAGAAGCCGCCCTTCTTCTTCACGGCCGCCGCCATCGTCGCGTGCGTCGCAGTGAGCGCCGACAGCACGAGGACGACGCTCCCCGAAGACACGGTGTAGACGCACGCAGCAGCAAAAAGAGCCGCCGTCGAGCACCGGCCGATCGTGCGCGCCGCCGCCGCTCCGACGCGGTCGCTGGCGCCGTTCGCCATCCCGCGCGCCGCCGCTGCGTTCTTCGGTCCGCGCGGGGGCGGGCTCGGCGCCACCGCTGCTGCGCCTGTCGCGGTATTGGCGCTGTCCTTGTTTTTCATGGCTGCGCGTCCACGCACGTCGAAGGGCTGCCGGACGGTGGCGGCGTTCTTTTGCGGCGCTGTCTCGCTCGTAAGGGCTGCCCGGGCGTGGTCCACTGTTCCGGGCGCGCACCAAATGATCTGAACGATGCGCGCTGCGCGCGTCTAACGCCAGGTGAGAAAGCCGTTCCCATAAAAGCGTTCGACGTAATCTAGTAGTCTTCTTTGGGACTTAATCACTACTCCCCAACCGTCGTTGCTGCACTCTAGTGTGTCTCAGCCGCTAGCAACCTGCAAAGCGGCCCAAGTTCAGCTTGCAGCAGCGCATCGATTGCAGCGATGGCCGCAGCACTGCTAGCATTGCTGCTCTTGCCTGCAACTACTGCACTCTACGCACCGCCAACAAGCGTACGACGACCAAGCCGCCTGCAAGACGCTCTTACAGAGGGCAACAAATGCTACATGGCCGGGGACCTAGCAGGCGCCAAAAAAGCCTACGAGGCCGGCGCCGCGGCGGGCTCCGTCGACTGCCGCGTCAACCTCGCGAGCGTGTGCCTCGACAGCGGCGACGAGGGCGCGGCGGAGCATCTCTACCGCGAGGCGCTGGCGGAGGCGTTCCATCTCGACGCGGCGCAGAACCTCGCGGGCGTGCTGCAGGCGCGGGGCGGCTACGAGAGCACGCGCGAGGCCTCGCTCTTGCTGCGGGACGTGGTGCGGGCGGACGCGACGCGGTGGGACGCCTGGGCGAACCTGGGGAGCGCGCTCGCCGACGCGGGCGCCCCGAAGCTCGACGCGATCAAGTGCTTCCAGCGGGGCATCACGCGGGCCGAGGCCGTCGAGCGGGACCCGGGCACGCCGGCCGAGTTGGTGGAAGGCATCCGCCGGTCGCTCGGCGAGGTCTACTACGGCCTCGGGGCCTGCCTCGCCGACCTGAATAGCGCCCAGCGCTTCGAGGCCTACGGCGACGGCGAGGTGCTGCTGACGGCGCGCGACGAAAACGTGAACCTGTACGACGGCTCCCAGGCCGACGCCGACGCGGCCGTCGCCGAGACGGCGGCGAACGCGCTGCGGGCCGCCCTCGAATTAAAGGGAGGCGACTTCCCGCTCGCGCAGCACGCCCTCGACGCGCTGGCGACGCGCGAGGGCGCCGCCGCGCCGGACCGGGCCTCGCCGGCCTTCGTGCGCGCGCTCTTCGACGACTTCGCGCCGACTTTTGATGATCAGCTCCAGAACGTGCTCCAGTACAAGGCGCCCGAGCTCATCGCGGCGAAATGCGCGGAGCGTGGGCCGTACGCGGCGGCCTTCGACGCGGGCTGCGGCACGGGGCTGCTGGGCCCGCCGCTCCGCGATAGTGTGGGGCGGCTCGTCGGCGCGGACCTCAGCCAGAACATGGTCGACAAGGCCCGGGAGCTCGGCTGCTACGACTCTTTACTAGTAGGCGACCTCCTGGACGCGGCGTTGTATGATGAGGCGTTCGACCTCGTCGCGGCGGCGGACGTGCTATGTTATTTCGGGGACCTCGCGGCGATCCTAGAAAGGTGGCACGGCGCGCTCGCGCCGGGCGGCGACTGCGTCTTCTCGTGCGAGCGCGCGCCGGGCGACACGTGGGTTTTGGGAGCTTCGGGCCGCTACGCGCACGCCGTCGACTACGTCCGGGCGACGGCTTCAAACGCGGGCTTTTCGGTCGTGTCCGCGGAGGACATCGTCCCGCGCGTCGAGAACGGGAACGACGTCCCGGGGACGCTCTACGTCCTGAGTAAGAGCTAGTAACGTATCCCGTCGAAGACCTCCCCCCACCCAGGGGATCGGCTCAAGGCCGGGGGCTAAGTTAACTTTATGTAATAGAGGCACTCCGCCGAGGCGACGCCGCGAGGGCCCTCTGCTTGCTACTGGTAGGCAGGGTTCGCAGCCACTCGGCCCGGCGTGCCGCGGCCTCGCGACGCCGGGCTGCGATTGGCTCGGCGGGACTTCCGGGGGCAGCGAGGGTATGTTCCTTGGTTGTGGCTCATGGGGGACGCGTCGATGGCGTAATGATAGCACAGAAATAAAACCACACCGCTAAAACTTACTCGCCCTGCGACGGCCCCCGCTTATTCTTCGCCCGCCGCCGTCTGACGGCCTCGGCGCGCTGCTGCTGCGCGAGCCAGGACCCCGCGGCCGGTTTTTCATTGCGGGCCGCGCGCTGCATGGCGGCCCTTTTACGGGCTCGATCCAAGGCCGTCTCTTGGGCTGTGTTCGATTTTCGAGGTGCCGGCGCCGGTGCTTTATAATTCGGCCCGTGGCGGCAGCAGCTGGCGACTAAAAGAAAGGGCTGGCGCATGGGGCACTTGACCTTTGAGCGGTTCGGAAAGACGGAGCAGAGCCAGGGGCAAAACGCGCGGCCGGGCTCGGCCGCGCGGTGCGCGTCGATCGTGAGGTCGAGGAGCCGGTCGTCGATGGCGATGGCATCGAGCTCCGCGCGCACCGCGGCTACTTCACGAGCCGTCCAGTGTGCTTTTCCCCGAGCTGGAAACATGTTGCGCGGCTGGAACTCGCACGCGAGTCCGAAGGTGCGGTAGGGGGCGACGTGCTCCGGCTGGTTGTTCCTCGACGGGCGCAGGGTCGCCTTCGCGCGGAGCGTGAGGAACGCGGACTTCCAGAGCTGATGGTCCGGATGCGCCTGCCGCACGGGGCCTGCAGGCGCGGACTTCCAGGCCCGCACGCGCGGCGGCCGGCTCGCGTCGTAGCGCTCGCCCGACGCCGGCGCCGGCGCCGGCATCACCGGCCGGCCCCCGACGAACGGGGGCGCTTTGGCCTTGCGGCTCAGCACCTCGATCTCGCGCTCCCGCTCCTCCCCCCTTCCGATCGCCTCCAGCCCCGCAGCGTCGAGGCAGCCGACCGCGCAGCCCGGCTCCGTCGCCGCGACGTCGAAAGCGGTCGCGAACACACTGGCGGTCCGGCGGTGCATCATGAAGAAGTGATCGCCCCGGTTGGGCGTCGGCATGACAACATCATGTGGTGCCCGGAGTTCCCGCGCGTCCACGTCCGCGAAGAGGACCACGTCCGGGCGTGTAAACACGACAGCGTCATACTCGAAGCCGCGCGCGCGCTCGTGCCCGCTCAGCAGGACCTCGGCCTCGCGGATCGTGTAGGCCCAGGACACGGCGTTTTCGCTGCACCTTAGAACGGCATTTACTACCGGGCAGCCCGCCAAGGCGCCGCGCTTGATCTTGCGCATCAAGGGCTCGTTCCGCGCGAAGGCTGCGCGCACAGGGGCGTACAGCTTGTCGAAGGCGTCGGCCAGGCTCGGGTTCCAGCTGTAGATAAAAACGTCGGCGCGGTTCGGTTCGATGATGTGGCGACGCAGCGACAGACTCGTCGTCCGGAGCCAGGCGGCCAGGAGAGGGTGGCCCGGGTCGACATTCTGTCGTCCGTCGAACCTGTGCCCTCTGCCGTACCGGACGTCGTGGAAGCCCGCGGTGAGGAGCACGGCCACCCGCGAGCAGCCCCGGTCGGCTGCCGGGCCGGGACCGCAGGCCGTCGACGCGTTCGACTCACGCACGACGAGGCCCTCGACCTCGGTGGCGTTCAGAGTCCGCGCAGACCCTGGGACGATCAGCGTCAGCATTGCTATCATCCCTAGGTGCACCATTGCTGTCATCGTCCATTCCTAGGCGTGGGGCAGCAACTGCGGGTGGAAGCGCGAGTCATTCGGCTCTGTGCGAGGCGCGGGCTGCACATCGATCAGCAGAATCTGATCTACTTGCTAGGGATGCCTAGTGTCTTACCTGTACAGGCCGCTAGCGCGAACCCCGTACGCCGCGATCGGCGCCCCTTGGTTGACGCCCCCCACAGGCTGGAGTTAAAACACGCGCCTTCGGCCCTCACGACGCGGGTTTCGAAGGACAATTTTCCTTGAGCCAGTCGAGACCCTCATACAACCCGTCGCCCGTCGTCGCGCAGCAGGCTGGTAGTTCGGGTTTACCCTGGATTTCTCGGAGCGGAGGAGTCGTGGCCTATACTCGAAGGATATGTAGTAGTACAAATTCAAGTTTAAAAAGGGGCCTAGCCGAGCGCGTGGTTGCTTGATGTCGGCGCGTCGCCGGGCGTCGCGCCGCCCTCGCCAACAGCATGACCAGCGTCACCACTCCGCCCATTATTACCAGTGACCGGCGGCGCGGGCAGCGGTGGTGCCTCTGGAAATGGTATCGTTCTCGGAGGCGGTCGCTTCCGCGCCGCGTCCAATGCCGCGGTGTCGACGGCACTCTGGATGTCCAGCGCGAGCGTGTCCGACACGATCTGGAGTTGTAATGATCGTGTAAACGGGTTCTCGATCAACGTCCCGATCTCCCGCAACCCAAACAAACCCCAGACAATAAAGGCCGTCGCCGGCGCCGTGAAGAGGCCCAGCTGGTCCACCAATGCTAAAGGTAATAGGAAGCACCACAGCGACAGGAAGCGTGAGGCATGCCTAGCGTAGTGCAGCGGTACGGGCGTTTGCGCAATTCGTTCCGAGGCGCCGACGCACTGCCTCAATTCGTTGATCTTCTTCACGAGCTCCAGCCGCTCGCGACTAGTCCACCTCAAATCTTTATCGTACGGCACTTCATAAGCCTCCTGGGCGATCATCCGACATATGCCTAGGGGCGGGCACCGTTCCCTTGCCAAAGCGGCCACGGACTTGGCCGGCAACAATCGACGCAGGGCGAGCGGGTTGTAGTACGTTTCCAGTTCGTAGACCGTGACGGGTCTATCCTTTTGCCGCGTGACACCGTACTTCAAAGCGTGCAATTGATTCAAGGCGACGCGCGTGTCGGCGTCCGACGGCAGCGAAAATAGCGCCGCCAATCTTTCATCGTAGCGGCAACTTTCCACGAACGCGTCCAGGGGAACCCTCGAAGATTTGTCGGGGTCGACGCCGCCGCGGCGCTGGATGGATCTAAATACTCTCCTCAAATCCGCCGACGGGTCCGCCCGCAGCGGCTGGCCCTGGAGGTGGAGCTGCAAAGCTAGCGGGAAGGCGCATAATAAGTCACCTAACTTGCGGACCCGGTCCGCGCCCAGTTCCGCCCGATACAGGCCGGCGAACTCCGCCGCGTCCCTCGAAGCCACAACTAAACGGTTCCAGACGCCCCTACCTTCCCAGTACCTTGTATACGCCGTATTTGTTCGGAACACTAGGAGTAGCGAGAGCGCACTTCCCACATACCCCATGGCCGACGCCACGCCCTTTAATGGAGCCGAGGCCCCGCAATACGCGCTCCACGACGCACTACCAACGACTCTATGCAGGATCGAGATGGTGAGCGCCCACAGAGACAATATTCGAAGAGGCGAGGCGATCCTCCGAGCAACGAAGGACTTTTGGATGGATGCTAGAATTTTCAGCCAGTCTCGGGAAGCATACGTGGCCGCGTACCTCGACCCGTCGTAGACGATCTTGGAATCCGCCCTCACGCCGCGCATCGCGTCGTACTCAAGCCTAATAACGTCGATCTCCTCGATGCTCTCGATCTTCGACGAGCCCGCCCCGCGCGTCCCCTGCAAATTCTTGAGAATCCAGGCCGGCTGCGTCCGCAGCGACTCCCGCAGCTCGCCCGCAATCTTGGGCGCCTTTTCCTCTTCACCTTCTTTGGTCACGAAGCGCGTGAACTCCTTGAGGGAGATGGCCTCGTTCTTGTCCGCATCCAACATACGCCACAGGTCCCGCAAATCCTTGGGGCTCGTCTTGATGCCCAAGCGGTCGAGCGCCACGCGGAATTGCGACCGCGTGAGCGGCTCGTCGTCTTCCGGCGCGTTGGGCTTGTAGAGCTCCGACGCGGCACTGGGCGAGGCGTTGAACTTGTCCTGGACCTTCCACGGTTGCGTGGCTATCCTCCACGGCGCTCGCGCGACTTTGGCCGAGAGGCGGCCGGCGGGCTTCGCGATTTTTCGCGGGGAGAAGCGGAGGGCGCGCGCCGACAGCGTTGTTATCAGTAAGAGGAGGCGCATGCTGCTGCGTTTGTGCGCGCGCGTCCCAAGTCGCGCCCGGCAGTGGCTGGTGCTCTTTGGGTCTGTACTCGTGTGCTGTGTAATGTCACGGGCCCAGGACAGCACCAGCGGTGGCAATGATGATGCTGGTCGCGCACCACAAATGTAGACTCAATTCGATCGATTGCAGTCGCGTATTTGGGTCTGGCCGAGGACGGCTGCTCTTTGCTTTTTAGTTTCCATCGAGCTAGCGTGACACACTAGAAAAATCAACAAACTACTAACTTATGCCTCCTCCACCGGAGAAGAAGAAGAAGAATCAGGCCGCTCGGGAGACAGCTGGTCCCGCAGCACCCGCAACGTCCGCGAGACGAGCGAGTCGGACGACGAAGAAGACGTCGTGGTCGTCGGCGTAGGCGTCCGCGACCGGTGCGTGGCGAGCGCGTCGCGGACGCCGCGCTGGCGGGCCTCGAGCTCAGCCGCGCGGAGCGCCAGGGCGTCGCGCCGGTCCTGGGCCGCGCTCGAGAGCGACTCGTCGGACGGCGTCAGGCTCGCCCGCGGCGGCGGCGTTGCTTCGGCGAACGCGACGCTTCTAAACCCTCGGGGGGACGGCGATCGGCGCCGCGCCGTCGCCGGGCTCAGCGGCGAGACCGAGGGTCGCCGCTCGCGCTCGAGGCGCCCAACGCGGTGCGCCGCGTCTCTGGTGGCAATCTCGTCTCGCAGCTCGAGGCGCCCGAGACGCTGCGCCGCGTCTCTGGTGGCGATCTCGTCCCGCAACTTCCGGCGGTCCGCCTCCAGCTCCCGCGCGCGGACGGCTAAAGTAGCGGCCCGCGCCTCGGCGGCCCGCGCCTCCTCGAGCTGGGTCTTGAGCATTTCCAGGTCGCCCAGCGCCTCCTTCGTCCGCGCGCGCCCGTCCTTCGCAACAGAGCGCCAGGCGCGCGCCTTCTGTCCCAACCGAGCGCATGCGGCGGCGCCGGCCGCCACCGCGGCCGCGGAGGCGCACCGCCGCGCGCAGTGCTCGACGGAAGCGAACGCGTGGGCAAGGCGCCGCTGGTCGCAGGCCCGCGCGAGCGCCCCGCACGCGCGGTGCGCCGCGTCGGCGGCGAGGCCCAGTTCCACGCCCCGCGCCTCGCTCGCGGCGAGCTCGCCACGCGTGGACAGGTCCACGTGGGACCGCCACCGCGCCCACGCGCGCCGTTGCGTTAACGTCGCCGCTCGCCTTAACAAAGTCCGGAGCCGCGCGCGGCGCGGCGCGGGCTTGGACCGCGTCCTGGACGCGATCGCCGCGCACTTGGCGACGAGGGCCGCGTAGTGCTCCGGCCGCGGGCGCGCCGCGTGCACGACCAGACAGCCGTTCCGCACGGGGGCGCACCAGGCGCTCCCGTGCGCCTCGACCCCGCCGACGGGCGTTCGATCGCAGACCGCAAACTCCCAGGACCCCGCCGTCGGGACGACGACGCGCGCCCGGATCTCGTCGGCGCCGCCGTCGTCGAGCGCCGCCGCCACGAGCTCCTCGACGTCGCCGCCCGCGGCGACGGCGTCGAGCACGCCCCCCGCGCGTCGCGCGCCGTCGACGGCCTCGAGGGCCGTGGCGTCCGCCGCCCGCACGGCCCGGGCCGCGTTCGCCGAGGCCTCTCTCAGAGATTTTGCGGCCGCTTGCAGCGCGCGCGCCTGCTCGAGGGCGCGCCCCGTCAGTAAACACCAGGCCTCGAGCTCGGCGCGCCCCGCCGCATCCAACACACCCGTCGCCACGAGGCCGAGCGGCCCATGATCTGCGGGGATCTGGAGCGACGTCTCCCTTCTTGAAACCGTGCCGCACTGGGCGCCTCCAAACAACGTCACCTCGGCGTCGCTCGCCGCGATGGCCGCGGCGCCGTCGCGGACCGCCTTTACAAGTGCCGCCTCGTCGCCCGTCGCCGCGGCCGCGAAGAGTCGTGACGCGCGCTCGGCGGCCTTTTGCGCAGCTAAAGCGACGGCGCCGCCGCAGCTCCGTTCCCGGCGCGTCTCCTCCGCGGCGAGCGCGCCCGCGGCCCGCGACGCGGCCGCCCCCGCCTCGGCGGCGTCGACGCGCCGGGCGAGCTGGCGCGCAGCATTCTCAACGGCGGGCGTCCACCAGTTCGGCGGCGCGCCGTGGACGCGGAGCGCGACGCGTTGTGCAATTGCCGCGACGCGCGCCGTTATGGTGATGTCCTCGATCCACACCGCGAGGGCCTCCTGCAGCCGCTCGCGGCGCCACCGGCCGTGGGCCCGGCGCATGGCCGTCGCCACGGCGACGAGGCGCCGCTGCCGCAACCGTTCCTCGCCCGCGGCGCGCCACGCCGCCTCGTCGCGTCGTATGAGTCGCTCCTCGTCGAGCAACCGCCGCAATTCCACGACCTCCCGCGCGGCGGCGGCGCCCGCGGCGTGCTGCGCCCGCTGCGCGTCGCGCGCAGACCGGACGCGGTCCTCGCAGGCGCGCTCCATTTCTGAAATCCGCGCGTCCGCGTCGCGCTCGACGTTCCTTAACATTTCTTCGGCCCTTTGATATTTCTCTTCGGCGCGTGTTTTCTCGTGCTCGGCCCGGGCCCGCGCGTCCTCGGCGGCGTCGCGGGCCTCCAACGCGGCGCGGCCGTCCGCCGCGAGCGCGGCCAGCGTCGTCCGGAGCGCAGCATCTTTCGTGGCATCCTGTCGATCTTGCGCCGCCCGCATCGCGCGCGTCGCGGCGCGCAGCGCCGCCTCGCGATCGTCCCTCGACGCCGTCGACACCGCCGCCGCGTCGCTTTTCGCCCTCAGAACCGCCCGCGCCGCGTCCGCGACGGCCCGGGCGCCCGCGGCGTCCTTGCGCGCGGCCGCCCAGTCCGCGGCGTCGTTCTGACAGCTCAATGATCGTCGGAAATCCGCCCGGAGCGCGTCCGTCGCCGCGGTCGCCGCGCGGAGCGCGTCCTCGACCTCACCACGCCGCTCGCGCTCGCGCTCGCCCGCCCGCAGCGCGTCCGCGAGGCGCTGCTTCCGCTCGCGGCCCTTGTCCTGGAGTTCCTCGACGCGCCGCTCATATGTCTCAACCTCGCGCGCGTGCGCGACCGCCTCTGCGGACCGCCGGAGCGGCGCGGCGCACGCCTCGGCTAATTCAACACCTTCAGTTGGATCGAAGGGCCAGGGCGCGCCTCTGATTTCCAACACTCCGACAACTTCCTGGTCGATCGCCACGGGCCACGCGCGCCTATCCGAAGAGCCCTGCCGCGCTTCACAAGAAACAGCCGCCGCCTCGGCCAGGGCCTTGTCGTCGTCGCAGCTCCAGTGCTCCTCGTTCGTCGAGGCCTTCGCGACCCAAAGCTCGGCCCGCTCGCAGTTCAGCGCCGCGGGCCCGTCGTTTCGGACGAGTTGTGCCGCCGCCGTGGCGTCCGCGCATTTGAGTAGAGCGTCGACGAGGGCCCGCCTCAATTGTAAACGCGGGTCCTCCTTGGGAGCGTAGGCGCGCCGCGCGGCTCGTCTGAAGAAGTCGCTCGCCGGCTTTGTTGTGGGCGTCGGCGGCTCCGAGACATCAGAGTCGCTCGGTAACAAATCGCGTCTTAAGCGGCGGCGCGGCGACCGGTTCTCCTTGCTTTGGAGCGACGATGCGTCCGAGGAAGTGTCGCTCGGTGCGCGCTTTTGCGGAGGCGGCCGCGGGAAGTGGTTGCTCCTCCCAGCTAAGATGTTGCCCAAAGCAGCCTCGAGTTTGGGGGTTGGGCCGCCGCCGGCCACCGCGTCTCCCACCTCGGCCCAGATTTCCGCCTTCATTACGCGTGGTGATTGCTTGGTGCTGCACCGCTGTTGCCAATGGGCTTGCCCTATGGGGCAGGTGCAGCCGCCGCGGCCCGAGACTGCACCTGGCACCACGGCAGCACCGTTATCGACTGCAATTAGGCAGCCCTCGCCCGGAGCCGCGCGGCTCGAGCACAAAACGACCGCGGCGCACAAACTTTGAACCCGAATATCAGACGCAATTAGCAAGCGCCCAAAAAAGGCGTCCTTGGAGCCACCAGAGGAGTCCGGGGGGGCGTATTTTAGCTCCGGACGCGTCGCGGGAACCCATCCGTTCCATGAAACCGCAGCAGCGCTATCCGCTCTCTGTAAAAGGCGCGAGGAGCGGCGGGCCCAGCGTCCTCATTGGGGCGTCGAGGAGCTACCAGCGACCTTATTGAGAAGGGCTGCCCAACAGTAGTGGCTGCCACGCAAAGGGCTGCCCTCGACACCAATGGGCCGGCCCAGGGAGCACCAGGCGCGGTCGCGGCCGCAGCAGACGAATCTGTACGACGCGCTGCACCGACGAGAAGCGAGGAGACGCCCGCCCCAGAACTTCGAGGAACGTAGGGTAGGTTCTCTGTCGGACGAGGTCCTCTGGCACGTCGACGACGCGTACCGCCAGAAGGACTCGAGGGTCAACGCCATGCTCGTGGACCCGCGCTCACCTTTGAGACCGTTCATGCCCACGCTGGATCAGAGGAGGGGCTTTACTCCCGCGCGCAGTAGGAGGGGCCCGCGGCCGCGGACGTCTTCCGTAGCACAGAGGGGCGTCGGCCACGGCTACGAGACGTCCATGAATTTTAAAAGGATCGCTCATAAGTCCCATCCGAGGTTGAGGACGTCGGAAGGTGTGCGCGTGGCCCAGGACGTTCCCACGAAATCTTATCTGCGAGGCTTGCACAAGGGTCCTGGCCAATACCCAGTGGTCTCGCCGGTCAAGCAGGCTGACGACGCGACGGTCGCTTCAGCAACATCAGCTCTGTCGCCCATGACGACGGCCTCGCAGTTCCCCTCCGACCTATTATCTTTTACGTCCGAGATCGGAGCATCTCGATCATACAGGACTGGTCTGAGCGGTACGGGTTCGAGATTTGCTGTGGACGACCAGTCGACGGTCTCGGCGTTCACCACCTTCCCCGAGGATTCTATTTACTTGAATAAACCCCCCGCTCAGTTACCAGACGACGACAAGAGCGAATACCAGTTAACGCACTGGCAGGTGCCCCAGCACGGCGACTACTCGCGACCGTATTGTACGGCGTGCCATTTCACGGACTGCGAACGTTGTACGTACTGCTTCTCCCACAAATTGACACGAACGCCGAGGATGCACATGGAGCGCCTTGGGGAAGCTCTACTACATATGAACCCGGACATGATGGGCAAGGAGATGCTCCACATCTTGCAGAGGTATGCGAGGGCGGACAAGTTCGCGCTCGACCTCAATTGGAGGCTAGGCTGGGTGCCGCCCGAGGGCGCGTTTTGTAACGAACATCAGAAGACCATAGACCACCTAGAAGCTATCGAGGCCGAGGCGTCGCTCAAGTACGAATCTACGCTGAAAGAACTCCAGAAGGAAAGAAAAATGCGGCAAAAGGCGGAGAAGGCCTGTGAGAAAGCGACGCATGCCTTGGAACTGGAACACGTCGATGAAGGTGACCTCAGACATCTGTTAAAAAAGGTGACGATGCAGTTCCACGACTTGGAGCATCAACACCAAGAGGTCGTGGAAGACCTGAAGCACATGAAGGTTAATGTGGTGAAATGCATGAAGAAGGGCTCAGTGGAGGAGATGCGGGGCGCGTTGCATCGCTGCGTGCGGAAGCTGGATTCGGGCCACACCGAGGTCCACGAGCATGTGGATTCTTCTTCCCAGATATCTGTCGAGGTACACCACGAATCTTCGCAATCTGTCAATCCTGGTGAGTTGCGAGCGTTGTACGCGGCGCAAGGTGATTCATTCGGGGATCGGGAGTGGAACGCCTTGTGGGGTGCTGACTTTGGGGACCAAGGGTTGGATGAGCGAACTACAATGGGAAGGCCTCAGACAGGTACCAGTGTTCAGAGGCAGGCCTCGCCCACGCCCATGGTACAACATTCGTTCGATCTCAAGGAGGCGCAGGACGCCGCCGAAATACTTAGACAAGAGCTGAGCATCCCCGACGCGCCCTGGGAGACCATTTCCGAGGTGGCTGGTGGGACGCATGGCTATCCCGAGATGGCGGCCGAAGCAGCGGAAGAGGTGCGGCCCCAGTGCGGCGAGGTCCATAGTTATGACTGGGACGTGTTGCGAGGTTTTGGGGAATCTCAAAGCGGCGGCGGCTGTCGCATGACGAATAGGGACGCGGCGTTACAAGAACGTAAAAGGTTAAAAGAGGCCGGCTTCGCTATCAGTGATGAGGACTTTGCTACACTATGCCAAAGCGGTGAGGGAGACAAGATCGAAGCGAAAAACGCCGAGGTCATCCGGAAAGAATTACAAGATAAAGGGGCACCCGTAACGGCACATACGTGGGACGTGCTGCGAGGTCTAAAACCGATGATCATCCTCCACAAGTCGCCGGAGGCCGTCGCGGAGGACATGCGCCACACGCTGGAACACAAGGGCGTGCGGTTCTCAGAAGGTGATTGGAATACGATCCGGGGCGCGACGGGGTCCGGCGCGGACGGTGCGCGGGCCGCTGAAGAATTGCGGAGAGACTACGCCGCGAAGGGGTTTTCATTCAGCGCGGGCGACTGGGATAAACTACGAGGCATGGAGCCATCTCAGGTCCCAGATTCCAAGCGGGAGGAGATGTCTCAGAAAGGTGTCACGTTCACGGACAAGGAGTGGATCATCCTCCAAAACGCCACGAAACAGCCAGAGCAGGCCGAGGAGCTGCGACGAGCCAAGGAATGTGAAGGTGTCCACATCGACGCGTGGGACTGGGACCAGCTGCGAGGTGTCAGGCACGCGGTCGTCGCCGACCCCAAGACTATCCAGTTGGAGAAGCGGTGTAGTGCCTTGAAGTCCGAGAACGATCGCATACGAAGGGAACTCCAGAAGCTCCAGAAGATGCGCAACGACGTGAGGCGGCGCGCGGCTTCTCTACCAAGACCGATGGTCCTGCACGTCAATCAACCGGAGAAGGTGATCCACGAAACGGAAATTATAGAGAAGGACCACGTCGTCGTCGTGCCCATGGCCTCAGGTGTGGAACACCACGAGCACCTCGAAGAGCACGCCCACCTCGACTTTGCGGACGATAGTACGCAAACGGACGACGCCGCCTTCTCTAGTTCACCAGCGAAGCCCGACGCCCACGCGCATCATAGGGAAGAACACGTCCAGCAAATTGTGAAGAGTTCCAAGGGCGGGCCCCTCGGCCACTTGATGAAGAGGACGAAGTCCTTCTCGGGGAAGCTCGAGGCGGGCGCCGGGGAGGAGGAGCACAAAGACGACCACGACGACGAGCATGATCACGAGGATGATCACGAGGACGGCGAACACGATGAGGAGGGCGACGACCACCACGGGAGCCGACCGCACTCTGAGGGCGGGAAACACGGGGGCCGCCCGGGTTCGTCGGAGCACGGGGCGCACTCCAAGGGCGGCGACCACGACGGTGACGACCACCACGGAGGAGGCCACAAGCACTCCAAAGACTCGAAACACGGCGGCCACGCAAAGAAGCGCGGCTCGCCCAAGAAGCACTCGAAGGGCATGGGCGACATGAAGCGCGTCGACCTGAAGCATTTGATTCCGATGCTCGGCGACATCTACGAGAAGAAGTTGGAAAAAGATACGTCGGAATTGTCGGGCAAGAAGTCCAGCATCGAAGAACGCGAGACGAAGCCTTTGGCATCATTCTTAATGACCTACATGGTCGACCACTACGGGGTGAAGAACATCGCCAAGGCGCGATTGAGGCAGTTTATTGGTTCTGTGATGCACTGGGCCGAATCGTCTCGTAGAGTGCGGAACTTTGCGAAATTGTGCGGCGTGTGGCCCGGTCGAGAACACGACTATGTGCGCGACCTAGGAGATATTTTTCTCCACTCGTTGTTGCACATCATTCCCAAGGGTGCGATCAAGGGCGTCGGCGAAATTTTGAAATCGCATCCCGACGGCGAACTGAAGTGTTCGTGTAGACAAGCAGTGCACGCTTTGGTGGGCATGGCCAAGTCGTGCAACCTGAAACAACCTAGAACGTATGACTGCCCTCTGCTGGCGTCGTGGTTGACACCTCAACAACTACTGGAGCTCGTAAACAACTTACTCGCATTAACGGAGGACAAGGCCTGCGACTGCGGCGCGCACCTGGGTTTTGTTTCCGATCCTGTTGACTTAGATCTGTTCCACGAGGTCGTCATCGATACGCTGATGGACGCCGTCAGCCAGCAGGAGACCATGCTCGCCCGCACATTTACCAAATTTGAAGGTTTGGATGACGACGAAGGCCTAGCGTTCGACGAGTACGAGGCTATTCTCAATTGGGCGGTCCCCGCAGCGTATACGCTGGAAGAGCGCCAGAAGCAGTTCAAGGCTTTGTTGAGGAGCGCCGGCGACGAGGATAATGATGGAGACATCGACAACGCGGGCGACTTCGCGATCGCCGTGATGCGGACGACGAAGAATCCATTAGTCCATCCGCGGACGACGCGGCGGTACTGGATGCTGCCGTGGGATTTGGAGGTGTAAAACACTAGTTCTTATACAGTGCGCCCGCGCCGCTCGAGCTCCGCCGCGATGAGTCGCTTGACCGTGAGATTCGGCACGAGCGTGATCGAGTCGAGCTGCGCGTTGGTGGTAGGCGACGTCCGTGCGCCAGTCGCGAACCACTGTTCTATAGCCGCGCGCTCGTACGTGTTGCCGTCTCCGACGCACACGACCGGCTCCGACATCAACTCGGTGGTGATCGGGCAGCACAGATCCTCGGGCAGTTCGCTCGCGCTCGAAATCTTCAACCGCGCGAGCTCGGCGCGGTGCTCTCGCAAGGCCTCCTCGAGGACGCTCTGGTGCTTCGCGACGCCGTCGAGGAGGTCGTCGGCCTCCAATTTCTTCGCCTTGCCGCTCGCCGCCGCGCCCGACAGCGCCAGGCAGACCATCGGCGGGACGCCGAGCTCGACGAGGGTGCTGGGCTCGAGCGTCGGCAGAACTGCATCGTCGATCTGCCGCGCCTCGAACAGCGGCAACAGGCGCGCCTCGTCGAGGTGCGCGAGCACGCGCGCGACGTTCTCGTAGCCGCGCGGCACAGGCTGCGCGACGGGCTCTTCTTCCTCCTCGCCTTTCGCCTCCGGCGCCGCGGGCGGCGCCTCGGACTTCGACTCGGGCGTGGCGGGGGTCTCGGGCTTGGACTCGGGCACGGCGGCCGCCGGCGCCGGTTCCTTCGCGGACGGCGTCGCGCCGCGCGCGCGCTCGCGGCGTCGGCCGCGCGGCGCCCGCCGGCGGAGCCCCGCGCGGGCGTCGTCGCGCGGCGCGGGCTCGTCTGCTAGTAGATCGGCCGCGGCGGCGTCGGCGGCGGCGACCGCGGCGGCGTCAGCGCCCCTCCTCCAGCGCGCGGACAGCACGGCCTTGAACGGCTCGATAACGCGCCATGCTATCGCGGCGACGCCCTCGGCGACGGCCCGGACCATCGCGAGAGCGCACCTGGCCATTGCACTGACCAATACATCGAGCGAGGTGTTAAAATTTTCCCTCACCCAGAACTCGAGAATAACAGCGCAGAAGAATATCAAGAGGCCGCCGACTTGAAAACTAGATAAAGGCACGTGTTCGGGGGCCGTAACTTCCTCGGCCATCGACTTTTGTGCTTCCTCGGCGGTCTGAAATAAGTTCGGTCTTACATCTACTGGTGGAATCGCTTTAGGGTAGTTCGAGTTTATATCGGAAACCATGTAAATTAACCATAGAAAACCACACGCGATCAGACCGAAAAACGCATACACAACCCAGGATATGGGCAGTTCCGCCCACTCGGGAACGTGAATGACAAACTCTCTACTCCGCCGATCTTCCGGCCAGTGGGTGAGAAACGCTGGAGAGCCCCTTCGGGGCGCGGGGGCCACGAAGCCGCCGCCCTGCAGGTGCCATACGTTGCAGACGACCGGCTTCGGGCCCCCCTTTTTTCGTGCTCCGATCAGCGGTTCGCCCTCCCAGACTTCCTTTGTCGTGCGCTCGATCTGTCGCCCGACGGCGTTGTCACACGTCGCGCCGCCGCCGAACACCAAAGCTGGTTTCCCGTTCTTCGTTACGGGGGCCGTGTTCATCAGTGGGGTGAGTGGGAGTTCGTCCCATCCCGGTCCCGCGCGCGCGACTGTCATCGACGCCGCTTCCGTGTCGTTAATTTTGTCCACGCGTCTGACGGACATCCCGTCGAGCCTTGGTATTTTCAACGCGTCAATCCGCTGCCGCGCAATGCGCTCGGCCTGGGTCACCATCTTGCTGCTCTGCCTCTTGCCGCTAACGAGCTAGCGTTGCTGCAATTTATTCTATGTGGCTGCGCTGCGAGTCACTGCTGCTGCCGGAAGCGCAACCCAATTTATACGTCCACTGCTCGGCTCAGCGCCGGCCGCAGCAGCTTTGGACTTGGAGCTTGCTAGTGTCTTACCGCTAGGGATGCGTCTCGAGGAACCGTCGCGCAGCTATCCCTCGAACCGCGCTACAGCTCCATAAGCGCAAGAACGGCCCCGGATCACTCGTGCGGGGTTCATTTCGTAGCGCGGCCCAAGCTGCCCGCCCGTGCCTAGAGATAGCCAGCCTAATGCGTCGTCAAGGACAGCGGTGGTGTTTCACAAGGTGACCTAGCAGCCCGGCACGCAGACGCGGCGTCGGGCTGCCTCGCGTCGGGCAGTCATGCGCGTCGACACCGGCGGCCACCACGGCCGCCGTCGCAGCGGCTCGCACGAGTCGACCGGCGGCCATGACGGCCGCCGCCGGAGCGGCTCGCACGAATCGCCGACGGTGCACGACGCGCGGTTGCACATGACTCGTAGATTGCGGGAGGCCTGGACCGACGCGTTCGTGCTTTTTCCCGTGCGCGATTTGGACTTGTTGGCGCGCGCGACGCCGGCCGTCATGCGTCTCCAGCCGTCGCCAAAGACCTTTCCCCAGCTCTTGGCTGCGCTGCGGAGCGTGGCCACGGAGCACGACGACCACGAGCTCATCGACGCCATGGCGCCGATCAGTTACCGCCTCGACAAGGATCTCGCCGAGGACGCCGACGCCGGACCGCCCGTCGCGGGCTCGCCGGCGCGGTGGCTCCCGCGCCAGGACTCGACTGGGTCCGCCGGCGCCGCGTCGCCGGGCGGCGGCCGGCGGACCACGCAGCGACGGCACGCGCGCAGCCCGCAGCCGGCGCCCGGCGCCGCGCCGGCACCCGCGCCCTCGTCGTCGTCGCGGCGCGACCGCCACCGGCGGCGGCGGCAGCAGACCGAGGCGGCGCACCGGCGGGCCCTCGCGCGTTTGGATAGGCTGCGCCTCCCGGACGACACCCCGAACCCGTACCAGGCGAAGGCCGCACCCGGGAAGCGTCGGAGTACGGGCTAATCTTAGTATTGCAAAAGTCTCCCCGGGCGCGGCGAAGCGTGTCGGAGTACAGGCTTCTTAATATTTCAAACATGGGAATTAATCATTGGGAATCTTCACACAATCAGGCCCAGTTCAGGAAGTGGTTCAGGCGAGGCCGACGAGCTCCTTGAGCAGCACCTCGTCCTCCTTCTTGACAAAGCGACCTTTGACGCGGAGGCGGGTGTCGGCGAAGTTCTTGCGCACGTCGTACTGCACGGACTTCTTCCAGACGCGGCCTGTGTGGAAATCAAACATCGGGCGCCCACGCCATCGACGCGATGTGTCTCCAAAGCTGCGTCTGCTCGATGGCGTGGAGTTTTCACGTTGTCGCCGTGACCGCAAATAACTCACTGGTTGATTTCCACACAGGACGCGACGCTTGCGCTTTGCGTGGAACCGCGCGATGCGCCTCTTCCGCGCCTCGGGGCTGTAGGCGCCGACCCACCCTAACCGTCTGGGACCGGGCGGCGAGAAGGTAATGATGCGCGGCGGCGGCGGCGGCGGCGGCCGGCGCTGCGGCGGCGGCGGCGGGACACGCGCGTGGGCCAGGGACGTCAGCAGCTCCGACGTCTCCGTCATGGAGTCCGATCGCGTCATGCCCGTGTCGGTGCGTTCTAGCGAGAGGCGCGGCTCGGGCGCGAGCGCGAAGCGCGGCCGACTCCCGCCCAGCTCGAGGAGCGCCGCCTCGGCGCCGCGCGTCGGCGGCAGCTCGGCCGCGGGCGGGCGCCCGTCCGCCTCGTAGCGGTCCAATGCGGCGTGGATGCCGCCGAGCGGGTTCGTCGTGTTCATGGCCACGCGTAGCTAGGATGTTTCCCTTGTGACGTTCAAGCAAGAACAGAGCTCAGCTCCGCCGCTGAGTGAAGGCCAGACCAGAATTCGCGTGCAGAGTGCTTGCAGACAGTCTGGAGAACGCGATGATGAAAGCTGGCCGTCTGGTTTTCACCAGTGTGCGATTGCGCAGGCTGCAAATCACTGGCCTCCGGCTGCCTCCAAAATCAGCAGCCAATGAAACATCGCCCAGCGAACCGGTCCAGAAACCACGCCAGACGTCCTCCAGCCCTCGCGACACGCCAGACACGCATCCCGTTCGACGGGGCGACGCCGAGCCAAGGCCTCTAAGCTCCCAGCGCCGCGGGAGAGCAGCAATTGGCAGCAATGGCAGGAAACGGCGTAAGCGATCAGCCAGGAGGCGCACTCAAAGCCGGCAGGCTGCCCGCGAGCGCTCCCATGGAGGAGCCACTCGACGAGGCTGCTCTAGCAGCAGAGCTGCACACAAGGCTGGCCGCCGCGACGCAGAGATATGAAAAGGAGCGGGGCGCCAAGCCGCCATTACCACAATTGCCGCCTTCCAACGAAACGGGCTCGCTCCACTTATTTCTAAACACAGCGAAGCCGAGGACGCCACCCGCAGTCGCGCGCAAGACAATAAAGAAGAAGAACCCGGAGAAGCGCCCCGAATCCTTGCCTTATGTCGGCCCCTACCGCGCGTTCACCGACGAAGACGATTTCACGCATATCAAGACGGACAGAAAACATAGGGTCGTAAGGGAGGTCGAAAGACCAAAAACACCAGAGATCTGCGTGGACAAGCCCGACGAGTGGGCCAATTTCGAATTGCCCGCCGATTTTAATTTGCAAGAATGGTTAAAAGAGGACCCCGAGCAATATGATGCATGGCTCCTGTATCACAAGGGTATTGGCCCCAAGCCTATCAAGCATGTCGTCTCCGACGAAGCCAAGGCCCTACTTGCGAGCAGTACAAAGGTGGATCTCGGCGAGCTCATGGACGAGGCCGTACCTAGATACCCCGTCACGTCGAAGATGGAATTTGATTGGAATGATGACGCGTCCGTGTCATCGGCGGACGAGGAAGAAGTGCAGGAAGTCGTACAAGTGCAGGCCAAAGGTCTGAAGGCTCTGAAACAGCGACTATCGGCCATGAGCCACCTTAGATCGTTCAAAGCCAATGATCCCGGACCTGGAACTACTACGTACAAGCTCGAGGAAGATGCGAGGCGGTTCGTCGGCGCGGGCGCGCGGAAGCGCTTCTTCGGGAGGTTGCGCCTGTGTCATCAACAGCGGGAGATCGTGCCCGCATCAGTTGTTCATGTCAAGGAGTACGGGGACGCGGATACCGTTGATACTGAAGAGAGTTCTACCATCGTATCCAGTGAAGAGTCCACTACGTTGGGGTCGGGGACGACGGCCGACGGGCGGAGGCGTCTCAAAGAGCTCACGCTGATCAACATGCCCAAGCCCGAGGACGACAGCGTCGTCACGGAAGAGCCGTCTACAGCAATTTCTTACACGACCTGGCAGACGCCTTCCGGGGATGTCGACGACAATTTACTTACGAGGGAAGCGATGACGCCGCGCCAGAAATACTTGAGAGAGATTTTACGGAAGAAGGCCCTCCCGTACCCCGTGCTCTGTCGAAGAAGAAAGGACAAGCCTGGTACTTTGGATCTGACGGGCGCCGGCGTGGGTGACGTCATAGTAGAGTCCCTAGCGCAAGTCCTGGACGGTTTGCATGACGTAGACACTCTACTCTTAGCGGACAACCGCCTCACCGATCTATCGTTGGAACCGCTCCTCGAAGCCATAGCCTCACTCCCGCACCTAACGTCCCTGGACCTGTCCGGAGCGAAGATGGATGCATCATCAGCTAAACTGAGGGAGTACCTCGCTTCACCAAGTTGCGCGTTGACATCGCTAGTAATGAGTAGAGCTGACGTCGACGACTGGGAGTGCGCGGTAGTTCTTCAGTGTCCTATTTTTGGTGAATCCCCGCTCGCTTCGCGTCGACGGCGTCCAAGAGCGTCGTCAGGCACTCCACGCCATCGACGCGAGTCGCCCATAGGACGCTCACGCCCACGCCATCACCGCGCGACCGCACGCAGGACTTCATGGCCTCGCTCCAAAGTAATGCGAGTCTGACGTCGTTGTCGTTATCCGAAAATTTGATTGGAGATGCGGAAGCCTTAAATAGCGTCCAACCTGAGTTAGAAACAGGTGGCGAGGCGCTCGCGTCGATGCTCCGGTCGAACAAACACGTTACTTACTTAGATGTGTCGTGGAATAAGATCAGGAGGGACTCGGCGCAGGATTTAGCTCAAGCATTGGCAGAGAACGAAACGCTTACCCAATTGAATGTGGCCCACAACGCGTTCTGCGATTTGCCGGGTCAATACCTCGGCATTTCTCTAGCTTCCAACAATACTCTACAGTCATTAGATCTGTCGTACAACTCCTTGTCGCCGCAAGCGGCCATTGTGATCGCTGCATCCTTCGCAACGAACACGACATTACACTACCTCAGTGTCGCGGGCAACCCCCTCGGTAGAGCAGGTGCCGAAGCGCTCATAACAGCTTTGAGAAGACATCAGACCGAATCGAGGTTCCTACACATCGACTTCGCGAGTGCTGATGTGGACACCGATCTAGGAGCTCGGGGCGGCGGCGTGCAGTTTTCTTCGGTCGATCCGACGGGCCGATATAGATTGGACATGCGCACGCCCTACTCGCAGATGATCGCTCGTCGCTTGTACGAACTGGCCTCCACGAGGATGGGCTGTTCCTTCCAGAAATGCGTGTGGTCCTTCAAGCCGCCGGAACCCGAGGACGACGAGGAGGAAGAAAAGAAGGACAAGAAGAAGGACGACGACGAGGACCCCATGAGCAAAGGGCGGGTCGAGTTCACGTTCAAGCGGAAACGGGTCAAAAAAGGTAAAAAAGAGAGGACGTCGCTGTCGTCGCACGAGACCGATAGCCAAAGGCCCTGGTACGACGCGGTTATGAGTCTGTATGCCGCTGTTCGTAGCCGAGAAAAGGATTTACATGGATATATCCTGGAGTGCCTGAAGAGCATGGGTCTCGCGCCTGATGAAACTTGTATGCAGTTCGTAGCAGAACATTTTGACAAGTCAATAGCGAAGGATGTGGACGGCGTTTTGAGTGCTTTGTTTTTTGCGTTGTTTGATGGTATCGATGAAGATCGATCAGAAGCGATTGACGTACGAGAGTTGCAGAGAGGTCTACAGCATCTAGGATGCGTCGACAGCTCCCTAGAAGCTGCCACTAGAATTATTGAATCCTTCGATAGTGACGAATCAAATACCATAGAGCGGGAGGAGTTCGTGCAGTGGAGTCTGGCCAAGTTCCTCGCCAAGCCGCCGACAACCTTACCAGAACTGTTAGATGCGGAGACAAATAAAGCATGGAAGATTCCGGACGAGGGCGGTCTCGAGATCATTTTTGTACAAGAACCGCACCCGCCGTCCTACGACATGTGCTGCACGAATTTGGGGAACGACGGCTTCGTGCGCAACTTACGATTGTGTGCCATAGAATCGGACCGCACGAAGTTGTTCGAGCGAGCCGTAGCGAACACTGATGTTTATTTTACCTGCTACCAGGCCCAATCACTGATAGATGTCATGAGTTTGGACTTGTTTTATGTCGTGGAGAAGCTGTTGCCAGTCATGGCTTCAACGCATGACGCTTGTCTGTTACTAGAAAAGAACTTGAGCTTGGACCAGCGAGTTCGTCTGAGAGAAACGATGGGTCCTTTGTATGACGCTGTGACTGGTAGTGTATCTGGTTTCTACTCATTGGACTTAAGGGACCCGAGAGATAAACTATGTGCTAGGAAATTGTGCGAAATAAACAACGCCCAATCCTTAACGTCAAAGTCCTCGAACAGAAGCGACACGTCGCAAAAGGGCGACTGGTCGAACTACCGGAACGAGTTTTACGAAGGTAAAGCTATATCACTATCTTCGGCATTTTTCGCAGATTGCCCTATCAGAGGTAGGTTAACGTTCGACTTCGTGTCTACTCGTAGACCGAAGCGGTCTTGCAAAGCGCTGTCGACGAAAAGATTCTTGAGCCTGTGCAAGGTGCTTGGTTTGGGCGAATTATCAAGGGTGTCAAGCTTCTACGAGTCGATGAATCCTTTGCGGCGGAACCTAGCGTCGTTCTACCACGGTCATGAGCAGAGGGTTGGTGTGGGGAGCCGGAAGCGGGACTACGGCGTCGAACCTGATGAGGAGGAGGACGACACATCGATCCCTGAAGAGGAGCGCGCCGACGCGGAAGCCTGGCGTCAAGCGCGGCGGGAGGATGAACGCGCTGTTCAAGCAGAACAATTGGAAGAGAGACGCGCTTCGTATCGACGAGCATCAATAGCAAGGACCGAGACGCCCGCGTTCGAAGACGACTCGACGACCGACGAGGAGTCGGACGACGACGCAAGGGTCAAAATGCGGCGTGGTTCCACAATTCTCGCCTGCGAGCTGCCGTGGTATCTCAAGCGGCGGGATGTCGTGTCAAGGTGGCGCGCGTACAAGCAGTCTACCTACTTAGTAACGGAGTGGCTGCCCGCGGAGAAGGCTCGTAAGGTGAAGGACAAGAAGAAGAAGGGCAAGAAAGAGCCCGCCGTCGAAGAAGTTGTCGACCATTCGGACAGCGAGGGCGAACCTTCGATAGATGAGTTCGAGGTATTTCCTATACAAGTCCAATCTGCCTCGGAGGCCGCGAAGTCCATGCCCTGTCGAGCTTACGGCATCGTCTACCATAGATTGGCTTTACTAAGGGTCGCGACGACGTCCTTATGGTTGTCGACGGAACAGATCGAGTTTATTATCAAACAATTCCCTTCACATGATTTCTGTCGCGTCTACGCGTGTGTCATCCTCCATGCTCGGTGTTTGGATTTGGAGAATTTTCATACGATCTTCAAGTTCTTAGAGCCGCGAGAACAGCACGAGCTCGTCCATCGACTGGGGTGGCTGAACGTAATGAACCCGCTGCACCCGGAACGAGTCTATGTGTTAGATTTAAGACGGTATGAAGACAGAGAAATGTGCAAGGTGCTCGTGAAGTTAGCTGTGAGTGAACCGGGCGCGAACTGGAATGATGAGGGTTATAGATGGTCTATAAAAGACCCTTACGTCCCTGGCTGGGAGCTGCCGGCGGAGTGGGCGTCTCCCGACAAAGACGACGGAGGTCCGCGGCGGTTCGGTAGACTACGGCTGCGCTACACTTCTGATAAAGGGAAGGGCTGCGACCCGAAGTGGGACGTGAGGAGGGCACTGATGACGAGGTTCTTGTGCGGGGAGGCGCTCGAGTTCTAACTTAGGAGTGTTAATAACATAAGGTTAACTCAAATTTCGGGGGCTTGTGTCTGCTCGATGGCGTGGAGGCCGACGGAGGCCTCTCTGGGCCGCCATCGAGCAGACGAGTCCGCGGCGTCGCGCGTCGCCGCCACCACGCCATCGAGCAGACGCCGTCGACGCGATTAGACCGGATAGCCCGTCCGCCGCCCCAGTAACAAATCGAGCTTGCGGTTCATCGGTCGAAAAAAGTCATCGAGCGCCGCCGCGTGCTCGTCGCTCAAAGCCGAGACGCCGCCGTCTCTGGCCACATTGCGCTTCGCGCCCGCCAATGCGACGACCGCCTCCTGATCTTTGTAGCCGTTCTCGCCGACGTAGGGGAGTTCGAGCCACGCCACCATTCTTTGTATAGCCGCATCGTCGAAGCGTTCTAACACATCAACGTAGACGCGCGAAGGGAAGTGCGCGAACCAGGGCAGCAGTTGATAATAATAAGCCGACTTCAGCACGTAGGCCTGGAAGAGGTTCCCGTGGAAGTTGATGGGGGCGCACCTTCCGGAAGCTAGGTCGCCGATCTTCTCACTTCGCGTCCAGGCCACCTCATGTGCTGCGGACTCGTTCACCGATAAACCCAGAGCGTCGTCCCAGCACTTTGAATAGTCCGCCGTATGCTTCATGCCGTCGGTGACCGCCTTCCAGAACGTCCTTTTGTCATTATACAACGCGACGCGCATGTGCGTCTTCATGACGTACTGGCTGAAAGCTCTCTTGGCAGGATCCCGGAGCATGGCGATGTACCTCGCGTTCATACAGTTTACATTGCCTAATTGGAGAGACGAGCAGATCTTGTCTCGCAGACCGCCCAACACCAAGTAATGGGGCGTGTACTCTAGTATGAAGTATGGACCATCCCTAGAATTCTCAAGACGCCATCTCCCTTGTAAAGCCTTCTTCGCTAACGATTTCCGCTGTAGAGGTAAGGCCCGCCGCAACGCTCGTAACGTGTTCTCGCCGTCGTGCCGCATGATGTTCGTCCCTTGGGGCGGGCTCCAGACGTGCGTCTCGCCGTGGGTATGGGGCTCCGGATACATGGGGGCGATGCGTGGGTGCGCTGCCAGAGCTTCATAGAGCGTTGTCGTACCGGACTTCGACGCGCCAATCAGAAACAAGTTCGGCAGGCACGCCGCCGCGCTACACTCGTTATTCTGATCATCATCAGCATCATCCCCGGCGACGTCATCTAAGTCGCCAAGCTTCTCCTGCGGCTTCTTGCGGTCCGCCTCGAAGGCCTCGCGCCACGTCCGCTTATGCAAAGGCACGCAGCCGTCCGGTAACATGAATTCTTCGGAAAAAGCCGGTCGCCGTCGCTGGGCGTGCTTCACGAGCTCAAAGGCCTTGATGCGATTTTGCGTCGATTTGAACAATGATCGAGCGTTCTGGTCCTCCGGTAATGAGTCATCGTCCTCGTCTTCTCCGGTGGGCGTACAGACGCCGCCGAACTGAGGCAGCCAGTCGTCCACAGTCGCGTTGTGCGGCGGCCGCGGCGAGTGCGCATATCTCCGGTCCCACATCGAGGCCTTGCCGATGGCCCGGTCCTTTTCTCGGTTTTGCCTGGACCGTCCTATTCTTATGCGACCGCCCCATTTTGAGACTCTGATTCGCGACGGTGATCTTGGGGGACGGGGCGGCTTTGGCCGGTGGTGGTCCCGCACCTCCGGTGCCGGTCGTAATGCTTCGCGCTGGTGCGTGTGGAGGTAGACGTGCAGCCCGATCGTGAAGACGCAGAGCGCGACGACGCAGGCGTTGAGGTTGCAGCGCATTTTTTTTGTGAGCCTTTCGCGCGGCTTGCTCCTCCGCGAGCGCTGTGTGTCTTTCGCGCGGCTTGCTCCTCGCGAGCGCTGTGTCGCCGCTGGGTCAAGACTTGGTGTTGTGTGGCATTTTTGGCCCAATTAATGCGCGCGAAGTTATGCTGAGCTGCTACCGCAGCCACACCGCTGCGTCTTTCGCCGCGGCGCAGCGTCGCGCTGCACGTGTGCGCGAGTAGCGCAGCTTCCAAAGCAGGTTTTACTGTTCGCTAGTGCCTTACAGTCCGCTAGCCCTCAGCACGTTAAGACTTTGCCAGCCTTTCCTGGCCAGCCACCGCCCTGGCAAACAAATTCCGTGCATTCTGCAGCACTTTCACTGTCAGCCCGCCTTGATCTCTGCTTTTTGGAGCCGCCGCGCACGTAGCGCCCGAGCATGGCCGCCCCGAGCACCGACTTGCTAAAATCCTTCGGCGCCGAGCTGCTGGCAGCGCTCCCGCGGACAGATGAGCCGGCGGCACCGCAAGCCATGCGCAGGGCGTCGGAGGAACTGGAGGTCGCGAGAACACTTTCAGCGTGTGGAGACCTCGCGGGCGCAGAAGAAACACTCCTCGCAGTTGCTGGTGCTGCGCGCGCACGCGCCGCCGAGACCCTGTCGACGCGCGAGCTGTACACGGTGATCCGAGCCTCAGCGGGTTTGGCCGAAGTCAGCGTGGCGAGAGACGACTGGGCGGCCGCCGAGGACGCCGTCAAGTTGGCGTTGGCGGTGCGCGCCCGGCGTCCCTCAGTGACGCTCGCGGCAATGGCGTGCTGTGGAACAGTGCCGTGACGGCGTCACCCCGCGCAGGCGTCCGAGGCGCTCGCGCCTGAGATCGCGAACCGCGAATTAGCTCTCGTTGCGAAGCCGCTCGCCGTCGCCGCCGTCGGTTCGGGTCACACCGAAGGTGCAAAGGCTCTATTAGCCTGGGCCGCGGGCGTGCTGCGCGCGGGCCCGGCGCCGCGGTCGCGCGCGCCGGCGGTGGAGAAGGCGGCGCGCTCCGTCGCGCGGCTGCGGCGGGCCCTCGACGCGCGCGCGCCGCTCGCGGCCCTCTCGCCCAACGTCCGCCGAGCCTTGAGCGTCGGCGCCGCCAAGCCTCCTCCTCGTACGTGGCCGCTGCGGGATAAGCCTACGGCGGTGGCGCGCGTCGCGTCGTTCCTGGCCGTCCGCGACGCGGCGCGATTCTCCGTGTGCGCCAAGGCGACGGCGTCCGCGGTGGACGTGGCGACGCGGCGCGACCTCCGACGGGTCCACGGCGAGGCGACGCCCCCGCGGCGGCGCGCCGCGGGAGCGTCGGACGACTGCTGCGTCTGCTTCGACGCGCTCGGGGACAAGGCGACGATACTCAGGTGCGGCCACGCGCTGCACACGAGCTGCCTCGCCGCGTGGCGCCGGCGGGGCGGCGACACGTGTCCGCTCTGCAAGGCGCCGGCCGCGCGGCGGTCGCGCGTCTCCGACGCGCTCCTGCGGTCGCCGTCCGACGAAGGCGCCGCCGCGGCCATCAAGCGGGCCCTGCGCCGCGTCGCGACGGCGCGCCAGGCTGCGTGGCACCTGGCGCGGGACGCTGGATCCGCGGCCTTTTGTGCTCGCGTGAACCCGTCGAGGTCCGTGGACGAGATTGTGGATGCGATGGTCGTCTTCGGGCCGCCCGGCCTGCGGGCGAAGGCGGCCCGCGATATTGGACTGAGTGACGCGACGAGCGTCGAGATCGGAAACGTTTTAGATACGACCCATGTCAATGGACCGCTGAGGGTCAACGTCGTCGCGACGGCGCCGGCGCGGGGCCGTCAGGCCTGGACCGTCCACGTCGTTGCGGCGCCGCCGCCCGACGCGCGGCGCGCCCACCTCGCGGTCGGGCTCGGTCTCGACAAGACGCGCCGCGTCGAGCACTTCTCGGTGATTTCCCGCTCCGCCGATGGCCAAGTCCGGAGGGGCGCGCTCTTACGCCAGACGTCGTGGGTCTTGCGGTTCCGAGCCGGCAAACATCCGCTACTTTGTGCCGAGAACGGCGACGCGTCGGTCGACGGCCGGGACGCCTTCCGCTTCGCCACGGCGGGCAAAGACGCCGCAACCGTCTGCGCGGGGGACCGCATCGACTTGTTCGCGGACCTCGGCGCCCAAACTCTACGCGTGCGGCACGGGTCCCGGGTCTACGAGGTTTCACTGAGGCGCTTCGGCTTCGACACGGGACGCCTCCGCCCCGTCGTCGAGGTGCGCAACGGACAAAGAAGTGAAGGCGCCGGCGACCCGCTCCGCCAGACCGCCTCGCTCAAAGCTAGAATCGCGGCGAACCCCTGGGACGGCTGGCGTTTGAGGGTCGAGCCCACCACATCCATCCCTCCCGACCTCTTCGCCCCCAAGGAAGTACTCACATTCTAAGTTAACTCATCCTCCTCATCAGTCTCACATTCCAAAGCTCGGTAGGGGTCGAACGGCAACAAGACGGGCAACCCCCCTTGTATAAGTTCGTCGTGGGCCCAGAGCGGCTCCGGGAACTTGCTCGACTGCGAGACGCACTTGTTCACCACCTTTAATAAATGGGGGTTCTCGAGCGCGGCCGCGACCCTTTCTTTATCCGCCAGCTGCTTGTTAATTTCGTCTTCCGAGGCGTGCGCGCCCGGCGCGATGGCCACGCGCAGCTTGAATTTTGATGGCAATGATCGTAGTAGTTTCACGGACAGACAGAGACCGATCAGCGTCGCCATGGAGCAGTGCGGGATCGTCGGCGTAAAAAAGACGTCGACGTACGGTGGTGATTCCCCGACGTGCACGTCCTCGATTCTCGCAACCCGCAATTCCTCGAGCGTCGCCTCCTCGTGCTCCGGGTCCCGCACGTCTCTTATGAGGTCGAAGATCTCTTCCCTTGTGACGGGCTCTCTTTCTCCGTTCGTCGCTCCTCGCAGGTCGATGGTGATGCGTTTTCGTCGCGCCACGCGATGGATTTCTGGATTCAGATTCTGGCCCGCCTCCTCGGCGGCTTTGCTTTCGGCTGCACTGATCGGTTCGGCCATTGCACCAGTGTTATCGCAGTGCAGGGCTTAGCTGTGCGTCTGCGGCGCGGGCGCGCTTGAAACTGGGCAGGACTGGTCACAGCAGCTCAGGGAGTGCTGGGAACTTGTTGTGTACCTCGGCAAGTGCGGGAAGGCAGCGCTTTGGCTTGCGTCGATTGCTGTGCTTTTTTTCTAGTGCCTTACGGCCGCTAGCTCTACGGCAAGCTCGCAAAGCCGTTTTGGCCTGAACCGAATCGCGTGAGCACAGCAACGGGCTAGGACAGTGTTCAGGACCTTGCGTGATCGTTACTTTGCCTCTGGGTGGCGTGGTTTGCACGGCGTAGCCCCACAACCGTCGGAAACAGCAAACCACAGTTGACGCGAATCGGAGCGCTTTAGCCGCGCTGCCGGTTTTGGAGCTGTGCTAGCGACGCGGCAGCCATGGAGGACATCATCGAACCATTAACGGCCCTGAAGCTGCGCCCGAAAAAACTAGCCCGATTATCGGGCGAGCAGTGCGCCCTACTACGAGCGCTCGCGTCGCCGGCGCCCCACTCAAACGCGAGGACCTGGAAGCGCGCCGTGCAGACCGCGCCAAAGTGCGACGACGCGACGCTATCAGCAGCTTTACGCCGCTACGACCTCGACGGCTACGGGCTGGTGCGGCCGGGCGTCTTCGACCTCGCCTTGGACGCGTGCGGTATTAATCTAGACAAGGACGAGAAGCGGAGGTTTTTCGAGAGTTTAGATTATGCGCGCTGCAACCGCTGCGACGCCGAGGTCTTGGTGGCGCTCTGCGCGCACTGGCGGCGCAGTCCCTTACAGGAAGAGAGGACGCCCCTCGCGGAAATCAACGCGACGTACGACCATGAGGCTCAGTGTTTCCTGGCCGACGCCCGGGCCTTCAAGAAGCGGTTGGCCGATGCCTGCGAACGATTGGACGTGAGCGGCCTCGGCGCGTTGCATGGCGACGCGTTTTCGTTGGCTTGTAGGGACGCTGGTTTGGCCGCTCCGTCCAAGGACGTGTTGAAGAGGGTGGCGCCACCGAGAGACGATGGTAGACACGACTACCGTTTACTTCTTGACTTAGATGGTGCGGATGCGGAAAGACTAGAGCACCACGCGCCGGGCGCGGGCGTGTGGAGGGAAGCGGAGGAGGTCTGGCCCGAAGCGAGAGCGTTCTATGTCGACGCGAGCGCCGACGGCTTAGGTGCTGCGCTAGCGCGGGCCGGGCTGCCGCTGGGGTCGGATGACGTGCTGGGGTTGTGGCGTGCTGCTGGTCGCCGAGGCGACTGTTCCCTTGCTTCTCTGGATCGGTTCTTCCGCCTACCGCCCACAAAAGAGAAGCCGCCCAAGGTCCCGACATGCGTGCGGGAGGAAGCGCCCTTTGCCTGTGGTGGGGACCCCCGGAACCTGTGGCAGCCGCGGAGGCCCCCGTCTCGCACGTCGGGCGTCTGGCGCGCCGACGAGGAGACGGAGGGCGCGTTTGATGGGTGGAACCACCTCGAGATGGTCGAGAAGCGTCCCGCGTCGAAGGGTGACTTTGCGGTCTGCCCGCCGTCGCCGAAACGGAAATCGGAGACGCACTTCCTCGAAGGCAAGGTCGTGCCGCCCTTCTGGACGGCGGACGCGCCGCCACCGCCTCCACCCCATGGTTGTGGGGACCACACGACGAAGCGGCATATCCATAGAGGTGTCAGGGAGCCGTCGCGGAAGCCCTTTTTTGGGGGTCCAACAGTCGAGGGCGCCGGTTCGGATCGCATGGAGGAGGGGTTGGGTGAGCGGACGCCCGAATTAGCTAGAAGGATGCGTCAAGCGGCTCAAAATGACGAGAAGTTGGCATCTACAGCTAGGTCGCAGTTCCGAACGGGACCTTCGTCTTTATCAAGAGGTGAGATCTCGGGCCTGGCCCAGCACTTGGGCTGCGTGCCCTTCACGGCGGCGGACGTAGATCGGGTCGAGCGGTGGCTGGCGTCTGGTATTGTTCATTCCAATGTAGTGTACGATGTCGATGGAAGAGTTTTGCAGGAGCGCGACGATTCCTTGCGGGCGCTGCTTGGGTTGGAGCGGCAGGGGCATTTGGAAGAGGCTGCCGCTTGTCGTGAACGGGCTGCTAGGTTGCGAGGTAGACGAGGTTTTTCTGCTATTTCCGCGTCGGCCAGGAGGGCGTGCTATCGTGTCCTGCGGGCGTCGGACGCCGTCTCCCGTAAATGTGAGGCCGCCGACGCCGAGGGTTTTGGATATTGCGGTACTAGAGCGCTCGATGCCGCTTTGAGAGCGGACGCCTTAGTTTCAGATGCTAAAGACCGAGAAGACATCTGCGACTGGTGCGCCGTCGAGGGCAAGGTCGACTATGCAGCGTTGTACGAGACGTTGTCTCGCGTGTTGGCCGAGGATCGGCGGCTGCGGAAGGACCTGGACGTGCCTAAGAAAACATCGAACCGGTTGACGCAGGACTCATTAGCGGTCAAGTACGACGCGGCCCACACGCCACTACTCCCGGGCTGGGTCGGCAGCGACGGCCAGCCGCCCAATAAAGGCAGGAGGATGGTCGACGTCGACATTAGCAATCGGGCGGGCGCGGTCGGCGGCTTTTCGTCAGATGGGAGTTTTGCCATCGCGCAGAAGCGGCACTTCGGGAGCGATCCCAAACGTTATCATAGACACTTTGACGACGGCGACGAGTTCGGGGACGGCCTGGTGCCGCAGGAGCACGCTAGACATTATAGGGAGGGCGTGGTCCGGGCGCGGCGTCCCCCTTCGTTGTCGCAACGTTCTGGTGTGTCGCGTCGATGGCGTATGAGCGCCCCACGCCATCGCCGCGACGCGTCACGAATTCTATCCACACAGGCTGGCGGCGAGTCGCTGCGCCACTTCCACCGCTACCACGGCGACGGCGACGACCTCGGGCCCTCGCTCGTGCCGAACGAGGAGCACAGCTTGGTGGACGAGGTAGGAAGGGCGGGCCAGCGCAACCAGACGCACTACCACCGCCACTACTACGACGGCGACCAGCTCCACATGCGCTGGGAGACGGCGACGCCCGAGAAGCGCATCCGGCCGATGGTCGACGCTTTACCTGCCGACCCTTCATTAATAGCGCGGGCGGCGGGCGCCGAGGAGTTTCGGGGGGATGATTTGGATGCACGGGAGAAGCGCCTCGAGGCCCGTAAGTCGGGTCGAAGGAGCCCCGTCGACGTGCGCAATAGTGTGAGGGACAAGCTCAAGAACTCGGTGGCCTTCTCTGGTAACGCGCAGACGGCGGCGGTGCGGCTGCGCCACGCCTTCAAGCGCCACGCGCGGCGCGGCGTGTCCGCGGGCGGCGGCGCGTTGTTACTTCTTGGAGCGAGGGGCATGGTCGGGTCGGGCGCGGGCGCCGTCGCCGCGCCGACGGACGTGGGGCAGGTGCTGCGGGAGCTCGGCGTCGAATTGGACGAGAGCGAGCTCGAGGCGCTGCTCGGCGAGGTGCAGGGGAACGCCGTGCCCGTGGAGGCCGTCGTGCGCGACGTGGCGCGGTGCGTGGCGGGCGTCTGCTAGGTGCTTCTTTTCCGCGCGGCTAACAATTTTACCCTTCGATACTTACGGAGCACTCCCCGTTTCGCGGGCGCGGAGCGCGGCTCGCGCGTTTCGCAGGGTTTTCTCCATATTCACTACTTCCGGATGCGCGCTTCCCAGCACGCGCCGCGCGATCCGTGTCGTGTCCTCGAGCGTCGTCGCGCTCTGGTGGAGATCGTCGAGCGTGGCGCCGGGGTCGTCGCAGAGCGCCGCCGCGTAAGTCCACCTCATCGTGAGTGCGAGATCATGAACCTCTCCCAAAACGCGTCGCGCCACGGGTATCGTTCTGCGCACCAGTGCCTTGCCTTCTTCGAAGCGTTTTAGACCAAAAAGGGACATACCTGTTCTTTGGCGCGGCGCATCGTTCCACGAGCCGGGGCAGGATCGTCAGGGAAGCGGAGCGGCCGAGCGAGAGGAAGGTTATTGATACGCTCGTCGGCATGTGGCAGGCGCTCCCTGCGGCGGACAAGGACCGCTGGGCCAAGACCCGCATGCATACTCGCGGGGGCGCGCCCAAGCGGCCTCGACGCCGTCGACGGCGAAAAAGGCGTTTCGAGCATGGATTATAAAATCACACTATTACTTAGAGCTCTCCCCCACCGCGACGCCCCGCCGCCGCTGCCAGCCGCTCGATCAACTTCGGCGGCAGCAGCTCGAGGTCCGCGAGCGGCTCCTTCGGCGGCGCCGGGGGCTCCTCGGCCGTTCGGATAGCCTCCGTGACGTCGTCGCACAGCTGCACGAGGTCGCGGCCGTACTCGTCGCCGGGGAAAGCGTCCCGGAGCGCGGAGACGTCAACCGCGTTACGGGACCGCCAGCCCGCGCCGCAGTGCGGCACGGCGGCCAGCACCGCGCGCAGCGGGCGGTCCGCGCGGCCGTCGGCCGGCGCCTTCGCCAACACGGCCGCGACGGCGTCGCACGCGTCGGGCGGCACCGCGCGGCCCTCCTGCACGAGGTCGCCGATCAGCGCCGCGACCTTGTCCGCGACGGCCCAGGCTTGTTGATTCCCTGAGTCTTCCAACGCTGTTGATGCAAGCTTTGAGAGAGCCGCCATGCCCCTTCTTCCAAAGGCGCGCTGGACGGGCGCCGAACTTCGTAAAGCGCAGCCGAGCGCGTAGACGGCCGCCTTGCGCGCGGGCCAGGTCGCCTCGTCGAGCATATTCACCAATCGCGGGAGCACCTCGGCCTCGAGGACCCAGGCCTGGAAGCCGTGCTTCGCCGCCGTGCCGACGCACTGCGCCGCGCGCCGTCTTACTTCAGACGCGTCCGCCGAGAGGAGGCCCGCGAGCGCCGGCCAGCCGCCGAGCGCGTCGTGGAAGTCCTTGGCGTTGTCGAGGTCGGAGAGCTCGAAGTCCCTGCGTTTTGCGATGTTTGCGTCTTCTCTCTGCGCCCCACTCTCTGCGTCCAACGCCATCGATCAGGCTGTTGTCCTCTCCTCTCTATGTCCTGAGGGACGAGGGTCCACCTCCGACGCCATCGCGCAGACCCCTCTCTCGCATATACCGAGCACCACGCGGTCGACGCGAAATTGGGACCGCTCCCACCTCCACGCCATCGACGCGACACTGATACGCACAATTCGTCGAGCGCCTCGAGCTTCGCCTCGTGGTCGTCCCGGAGCAGCGCTTGTAGCCGATTCTGCAGGGACTTGGCGGCGTCGCTGAGCTGCTCCGACCACTTTCGTAATGACTCCTGCCGGTCCGCCCAGAGCGCGTCGAGCTCGGCGTCCGTTAACGATTCGACGTCGCCGACCTCGTCGGGCGGCAGGCGTTTTAGTGAACTGATAATAGTCTCGCGCCTCGTGAGGTTCGCCGTCGTGTCCTCGGCGCGCGTCGCCTCGTTGACAGATGTGCGGTAGCGGTGCTCTAGGAGCGTCGCGTTCACGTCTATATCTACTTCTACTTTGTTGGTATTGATGTTGATGCGTGTCGACGCGCCCTCCGGGACGGCCTGGCCTGCGGGCCACTCTACCCACTCGGCGCTGGCTGCTGCTGCTAGCAGCAGCAGCAGTGCTCGCATGGCTTCTGTTATCACGTCTGTGCAGCTAGTTTGGTGATCAATGCGCTGCGTTTTAGCAGCCTGCAATGTGCCAGAGAGGAGCGCCACTTGGAGCTCAAATCGGGTTCCGGATGCCGGCGTAAACTTGAGCGCGATTCCTTGCACGTCTCCAGAGGGGCTGGAGGCTGGGGTCAGACATAGGGGAGGCGAAAAAGTAATTTCTTTTTATTCGCGACGTTGACGACGCCGCGAACGACGCGACGCGTGGCGTGTTGTTGGGGTGTTGTTGTTGTGTTGGGGGGGGCGGCGGCGCGAGGGCGCGAAATCGCGACACCTCACTCTAAAAAAATTATCCCAGACCCTCAAGGCTTGTGCCAAGGGGCACGTGATTTGCCGTACCGTACGGACCGAGGTCCGAGTGCAATGGCCGGCGCCTCACGTCGGCAGCAATCTAAATGATCATTGCCACACGCTGAGCAGGTAAGTATAAAAGTCGGAAAAGACCTCGTGAAGCAGTCTTCCAGCGCCTGATTCCTATACGGAGATCTGGAGGACTGCTACCCCCCGGACCAAAGTCGAGCGCGAAGCTGCCAAGCTCCTCGTTGTTGCGTGCCGCGCGACGAGCACGCCCACAGCGCAACAACAAAAACGGTTAGCACAGTGCGACCGGAGTAGCGTTCTCGAAAGACCGCGTTTCCAGCGGTCGAAACGACGCGGAAACGGCCCAGCGCGGCGAAAGTGAGACAGCAACGTTACGAGCTCATAGCCGCCCACGCGGGTGGTACCACTCCACCAAAGCCTGCTCCTGGCCACCGCGCGAACCTCGCCCGGCGCAACCATGGAAAAGCCCTCGTTAGCAAGCCCTCTGGACGCGCATCTCCCGTCCGCCGTCGTCGGCGCCATCCTCATGAAGTACCTGGACCCGGAAAACTGGGCGCGCCTCCGGATCACCGCCAAGGGCTGGGAGACGCCCGCCTTCGCCGCGCTGCTGCACCCCTGGCGGGCGCGCGCCGCGGAGCTCCAGAAGCTCGTGCACGCGCCGGCGCCGCCGCCCTCGTCTCTCACCGAGACGCTGGCGCTCCTGCAGCACTGCTCGCTGGCCGACGACAGCAAGAGCGTCGGCGTCGGCGTCATCCCGCGGCTCCGGGTCGACGCCGCCAGCTGCGCCCGGAACGTCGAGCTCCGCTGCCCGCGGCGCAGCTGGCGGCCGTGGATGCCCCTCGGCCTGCGCTTCGCGGCGGAGGTGGATGCGGCGCGCGAGGTTCGGCGCGTCGCGCCCATCCCGCCGGTCTGCGAGCTCGTCGCGCGGGACCCCGAGTCCGTGTCGGCCTTGAGCGCCTTCGCCGAGGTGTTGGATCAAAAGGGCGAGTGCGGAGTCGTGGCGGCGGCGACGTGCGACCTGCTGCTCGTGCCGCGCAAGGCGGTCCTCAAGTGGCTCGACGACTGCCTTGCCGTCGAGGCGCGCCACGCGGAGGACCTCGACTTGCAGGCGGCGGCGGCGCGGCGCTTGGCGGCGCTCCCGCCGCGCGGCGACGCCAGGCACGACGCCGCGACGCTCTGGGCCGTCGTCGTGCCGCAGAGGACGACGCCTGGCGACGCGCCCGCGGCGCAGATCGGGCGGCTCCTGCGCCTGGCGCGGAGCTTTGGAGGCTGAAAGACATTTAATACGGTAGTTTAGTTCGCTGTGCTTACTGGCTCCCTGGCGCCGCCCGTCTCGCGGGCGCGGAGGGCGGCTCGCGCTCTTCGAAGTTCGCCCTCAGTTCCCGTTGTGATAGGGTGCGCGCCGCCAAGCACGCGCCGCGCAATCCGCACCGTCTCTTCGCCCGTCTCTACGGCCTCGAGGAGATCGTTGACCGTGGAGCCTGGGTCGCTGTGGAGCATCCGTACATAATTACCCCTCATCTGGAGCGTGAGAGAATCATTCTCGCCGACAACGCGCCGCGCCACGGGTATCGTTTTGCGATACAGTAATTTGACTTCTTCGAAGCGCTGTAGATCAACCAGGGTCGACGCGTAGTTGAGGGCTGCTACGCACCTCGTTCCGAAAGAGCTCGTGCCGCTGATCGTCGAGTTCTCGTTCCACGTCGGCTTCTACTAGAGGTGGCGAGTAAGTAACATTGTGACAAGTTAGACAGGCCTACCACTCCGTCTCCCCATAGTCCTTCAGGAACACACCTGACAGAGGCGTCTCGCACACGATTCCATCGAACACGGGATGAAGAATCCGCGCCGCCGCGTCCACTTCGTCGATAGGCGTCTGGAAGCCCGTCTGCGCCGTGCGGTACGCCTTGGGAGCGGGGTTCTCGTCGTTGATCCAGCCCGTGTCGACCGCCGTCATGTAGATATGTAGTCGTTTGGCGAGGTCCGCGCCGCAGGTCCTCACCAACATATTCAACGACGCCTTGGCCATGTTCGTGTGCGGGTGGTTCGGGGTTTTATACCGATAAAACTTGCCCTCCATGGCCGAGACGTTCACGACGAAGGCCCGATCTCGCAACTGCGCCGCCTTCGCCAGTAACGGCTGGAGCTTCGAGCACAGGATGAACGGCGCCACGCAGTTAATCGCCTGGGCCTCGACGACCTCGGCCGTCGCCACCTCGTCCAGCGTCGCCGTCCAGGAGTTGTGCTCCCGGAGGTCGAGCTGCTGGCCGTTGACGTCCGTCTTGCCTTGGACAAAAGAGACGGTCTCGTCCTCGGGCGCTACCACCGCCAACGCCTTCGACGCGTCGTTGCGCGACACGACCTGTGGAAATCAACCAATGAGTTAGGTTGCGTCGATGGCGTGAAACTCTACGCCATCGAGCAGACGCAATTATAGGTACAGCATCGCGTCGATGGCGTGGGGCGCCCAAAATTTGATTTCCACACAGGACACGACGGCGATGCCATTCTCACCACCACTACCGTCCGTCAGGCTCATGCGCCGCTCGCCCTCGACGAGCGTCGAATAGTAGCGCGCCGGCCGTCTTACCGTCTGGCACGCGTTGTTCACCAGGACGTCCAGGGCCTCGTGCCTCTCCGCGATAAACGCGCAGAACGTCTCGACGCCCCGCAGATCCCGCAGGTCCAAGCCGTGCACCTCCAAACGACCGCGCCACTCGTCCGCGTCGGCCTCGCGCCCTGCGCGGACGCGTGCGTTCGGGGGCGAAGACACAAAAAAGAACGCCGCAAGCATACCGTAGCGCGCCGCGAGGTCGTGGGGGAAGCGCGTCGTCGCTATTAAATAAGCGCCGGCCCGCAACAGCTTGAGGCCCGTCTCGAAGCCGATCTTCACGCGCGCGCCCGTGAGCAGCGCGACGCGGCCCGACAGGTCCTCGGTGCGCGACCGCATGCGCCAGTTGAGCGCAGCACAAGACGGACAGAGCTGCGAGTAGAACTCGTGGAGGCCGTCGAAGCGTTTTTTACACGTGTAGCAGTGTCGGAAACTATCCGTCGTCTCGGCGTTCAAAGATGATGTACCTTCCTTGGCCGCGCCGTCCGGCGCCAGCAAAAGGGGCCCCTGGTCGTTCTCCAAGGCTTTCAATTTGTCGATGCGCTGCTTTCTCAACTGCGTCGAGTCGCGGTGCTTCTGGTCTAGGTCGCGGCGCCGCGTCGCTCTAGCTTCCCTCTCCTTCCGGAGCTGCCGCCTTCTCCCGTGGACCAAACCGTCCATGCCACCGAAGTCGCCGGCCGTCAGGGCCCCGTGCGCGGCGCGCACCGCGCCGCGCAACCTTCGATGTTGCGGCGTCCCGAAGGCCGCGGGGTCTTTTGTGATCCTGTCGAGCACGCGGAGGCACGCGTCGACGTCGGGGTCCGAGACGTCATCCAACAAAGGGTTGTCGTCGTTCTCGTCGCTCGTGTCCGGCGTGATCGTTCGTTGCGCGGCGCTCGTGTCCGGCGTGACCGTCGCGTCGTTGGCGTCGCACAGTGCGGTGCCTGCAGCGCTCATGTCCTCAGCAGTGGCACTTGTGCCGTTTCTTCGTGCGGCATCGATCGATGGCTCGCAGGTGTCCAGCGATGCCATGCTCTTTAGCCTCGTGCGTGAAGTTTAGAGCACAATATGCAGCTTTTTGCAGCTCGCTCGAAGAGGCTTCAGATTCACGAGCTGAGAGGCCAAAACGCCGAACGCGGGGCCACCAGTCTTAATTGGCGTATGGTAGTGGGTGTTCGAACAAAAGCGCGCGGACGCGTGCTAGCGGCCTAAGACACTAGCAAGCGCGATTCCCCTGTCTCGACCATCGGCTTTGCGAGGGCTAACGAGGACACCTGTCGCGTGCTGGCGCTCTCTGAGCAGCCATTCGAGCAGCGACAGCGCGCTCGGCGAGCTGTCTCGCCCGCCGCGCCTCAGCCGAGGCGCGTGCACCTAGAGAGTCAAATCGAGTCATTTGCCCTGCGCGCGGTCTCGCTGCGCAAGCGACGCCTCCGCAGCACCGGCTGACGGCAGGCCAACGCTGCGCTGCGCGAAACTAGCGCATGTCCTTCCTCCTCGACGCCGCGGCGCTCGACGGCGCGATCGGCCTCTGCGCGACGGCCGAGGGCCGCTGCGCGACGGCCGTCTTGGTCGTGTTATTGACCTGGGCCGTCCTCGCTGGAAGAGTGTATGTCCTCGCGCCGCCGCGGTCCGTTATTAATAGAGAACCCGCGAGCCCGACGCACGACGACGACGACTGGGTCGCCCCGAAGACCATGTCTCGAAGGCGGACGGCGTCCGTGCCGTCGGTCGAGGAGACGGGCATTGCGGATGAACACGATGAAGGGTGGAAGCCGGCGCAACTCCCGTCATTAGCGGGCAAAGCGGTGCGGTGCCCCCGCACCAAAAGACTACTATTGAGGGACGGCGCGTACTGGTGCGGGTCGCCGGAGGCGTCGGCGTTTGTGGTTCGCGGTCCAAATTATTTAGTTGATAGAGTCAAAATAAAGTGCGGCGAGCCCCTCTTCCACTTGCTAGATTGTGATCTATTCGATGTGGACCAGCCGGAAAACCACATGGGCCGCCACTTAGGCGCCAGGATGGAGCAGTTGTGGCGGGAGAGCGGTCTACTCGAGCCGGACAAGAAGCCCTTCACGTGGTTGATTCAACTGCAAGTCCCGGGCCCGCCCTACAAGTCGTTCTGCATGTACTTTGGATGTGCCGACCGATCGAAGCTGTTCGACGAAGATACTCCTATTGCGAGGTTATCGAAACGCTTCTTCCAGCGCGTGACCTCTCCATCAAATGCTGGCGTGAATACGGGCAAAGGCACCTTTTCCTCGAACGACCAACTCCACGAGTGGCGCAACAACACCTTTAAACTCATTCCGCGGTGCGTCAACGCGCCGTTCGTCGTCAAGAAGGCGGTGGGCGAGGTGCCTACATTGCTCGGGAACAAGATCGAGCTCCTGTACTACGGTCCTGAAGGTGGAGACTACTTCGAGACGGACTGCAACATTGCCTCGTCGAAGATCGCCCAATATACCATAGGGTTGGCTATTGGGCGCGCGTCGGTCGTCGTGGCAGACATGGCCTTCCTGCTCCAGGGCGCGGCGCCGGCCGAGCTGCCCGAGGAGCTGTTCGGGTGCGTGCGCATCGAGCACATCGTCATGAAGGACGCGCACAAGCTGGACCTGTCCGGTGCGTCGACGCCGCCCTAGAAGGGGGTACTTATACTATGCTGTGATTAGTTGGTCTCCCGCGGCGATGGCGTGCCCCGTACGCCGTCGGCGTCACGCGACCCGTGCGCGCGAGCGGCCTCGAGGACGCCGTCGACGCACCCACAAAAAGAGGTGGGCGTCACGGTCACGGTGCGGTCATGCGGGGAGGCGTTGGCTCAGGACTTGCGCAGGCCTAGGTCTAAGCAAAGCAAAAGAAAGCAAAGACCGAAGCGAATTCTTAAACCTAGAGATCGTGGACCCAGTCCACGCGGACCTTCTTTCGCCCCTTGAGGAACCTGTCTATGCTCATCGCGGCGATGCACCCGTCCGCCGCCGCGACCACCACTTGTTTAAAGGGCGTATTTCTAATGTCGCCGATGGCGAACACGCCAGGAACACTGGTTTCCATCTCGTCGTTCACGGCCACGCCGCCGTCGTCCTGCAGCTCCACCGCGTTCTCCGACAAAAAGTCCGTGATCGGTTTCGAGCCGGCGACGTAGATGAAGCAGCCCTCCACAGCTAATGATTCTTGCTCTTCGCCACCTTTCCGCTTGAGCACGACACCGTTGACGCCCGCATCATCTCCCACGACCTCCATTAATCTAGTCGCGGACCAGTGCTTGACGTTCGGATGATCTCTTAACTCGACAGCATGCGGCACCTCGTCCCAGCGCGGGTCGAACTGCGTCACCCAGTGCACCGTCGACGCGAATTTTGTCAAGTACTCGGCCTCCTCGATCGCCTCATTTCCTGAACCGACCACACACACTTCGGCATCTCTGTAGAAGGCGGCGTCGCAGGTCGCGCAGTAGCTGACGCCCCGCCCCAGAAATTCCGCCTCGCCGGCGAAGGACGGCTCGTGGCCCAGAGCCCCGGTCGCCAGAACCAACGTTTTGGCTTTCACGGTCACATCAGGCGTGTATACCACTTTTTGTTCCCCTTCGACGTCGACCATAAACACTTGAGCCCTCCGGTAGTCCGTACCATAGCTCACGGCCTGCTCGCGCATCTTGTCTAACAGTTCATCCCCACCCATCGTCTTGTCGACGCCGGGGTAATTCGCGATGTGCGACGTGATGGCCAGGGCACCCACGCTCGGGTTCTTGTCCAGAATCACCGTCCGGTGGTCCGCTCTAGCTGTATACAGCGCGCAGCAGCAGCCCGCGGGGCCGCCGCCGACAATAGCCACGTCGCACTCGACCTCGTCCATCATCCTCAGTTGCGTCCGTCGTGTTTGGCGAAGTGGTCGCCTCGACAGCGTGAGGGCATCGGAGCATTTACATACAGCGAATAACAACGCGAGGCGGCTGGGGGGGCGCCGCCGCCTTGCTTGGATTGGGAGAGCCATGGCGTGGCGCGGCGCGGGCGGGCTTCTGGGCTAGAGTTTGGGCTGGAGCTGTTGCGCTATTGCTGGTGATGCTTTCTGAGCCGCGTGGCCAGCTGAGGCAGAGGTCTTTGCCCTCGTGCGCGTGTTTTGGCTCTTTTACTAAATCACGGGTTTTCAAGCTCGGGATTCGGACCTGTAAACGGGCGAGCAGCGTCGGCGGAACGATAGGGAGACATACATCGCGAAAAGAGAGGCGTCTCGAAGCCTCGGCCCAGGAGGTCCTCTCCGGCCTCCATGTCATCGATATTAGTCTCGACCTAATTAACCGCGTGCAGCAGCGTCGCATAACACAGCCGTTGCAGCCAGAGCACTGCGCCACAGCGCGGACGCCAGCGCGCGAGATCCGCCGCCAAAAAAGCACGTTGGTACTACGTGGTGGCCAAAAATAGCCAATTTCTAAAAGCTGATATGCGACGGGCGCGGGACCGCCGACGCGCCGGTTTCCCTTGCATCGCTGTCGTTGGCGTGCCGCCCCCCCCCTACGCAAGCTGGCAGCGACGCAAACCGCCCCGCAGGTTAAAACAAGATGGCGTCCTTCACCGGCACCTACAAAGACGAGCTCATCGCCACGGCCAACGCCATCGCGGCGCCGGGCAAGGGCATCCTCGCGGCCGACGAGTCGACGGGCACGATCGGCAAGCGCTTCGCGCCGATCAACGTCGAGAACACGCAGCCGAACCGCGTGCGCTACCGCGAGCTCCTCTTCAAGACCAAGGGCCTCGGCCAGTACATCTCGGGGGCCATCACCTACGAGGAGACCCTTTTTGATACCGCGACGTGCGGCACGCCCATGGTCGACCTCCTCAAGAAGGAGGGCATCATCCCGGGCATTAAGGTCGACAAGGGCGTCCAGCCCTTGTTCGGCACGAACGGCGAGACCGTGACCCAGGGCATCGACGACCTCGGCAAAAGATGCGCCAAGTACTATGCTCAAGGTGCTAGATTCGCCAAGTGGCGCGCGGTGCTCAAGATCGACGCCGCGACGCACTGCCCCACGCCCTTATCGATTGACCAGAACGCCGAGACGCTGGCCCGCTACGCGGCCATCTGCCAGGCCAATGGTTTGGTGCCCATCGTCGAGCCCGAGGTCTTGATGGACGGCCCCCACTCGGCGGAAGACGCCGAGAAGGTCTGCGAGAAGGTCCTGGCCGCCGTCTACAAGAAGCTGTCGGACCACCACGTCCTGCTCGAGGGCACGCTCCTCAAGCCCAACATGGTCCGCAGTGGCGAGAGTGCTGCCACGAAGTGCGACATGACCGAGGTCGCCGTGCGCACGGTCCGCTGCCTCAGCCGCACGGTGCCGCCGGCGGTCCCCGGCATCACCTTCCTGTCCGGTGGCATGTCCGAGGAGGACGCGTCGCTCGCGCTCCAGGCCATGAACGTCTGCCCGGGCAAGAAGCCCTGGTCGCTGACCTTCTCCTACGGCCGCGCGCTCCAGCAGTCCGTCCTCAAAGCCTGGAAGGGCTCCGACGCGAACATCGCGGCCGCCCAGAAGGAGCTCATGATCCGGTCCAAGGCCAACAGCGAGGCGAACCTCGGCACGTACAAGGGCGGCGCCGGCGGCGCCGCCGCGACGGCGTCGACCTTCGTCGCCAACTACTCGTACTAGAGCAGTTGAACGACCAAGCCTGAAGACGCCTGTGCCCACATTCCCACCCCCTCCCGTCGGTAAATGACATATCGCTTACACTCGTTTGCTCACGTTCGCCTCCGACGCCATCGAAGCGAGGCTGTCGCGTCGACGGCGTGCAGGAGAAGGTTCTCACATTTTAGGCGTGCCTACAGCACCTGCTCGTCGCCGTCGCCGTCCACCGGGTCCTGGTCCTCATCATAATAATCGCGCATGTAGTCGTCGGGCTCGTCCTCCTCGACGGGCGGCTCCTCCTCCTCGGGCTCCTCGCGCTGCGCCTCGTCGAGGGCCACGAGCCGGTCGCTAAACACCGCCGCCTCGCTCATGGACCGCGGCCGCTTCTTGGCGGGCCGTCGGGGCGCAGGCGGCGGCCGGCGCGGCGCATGTCCAAGCAACTCGGGCGGCAGCAACGCCCGCGCGGCGGGGTCCGTCGGGAGGCCATCATTCAAGGGCGCGGCGTCGTCGACGGCCTGGCCCAGTCTTGCTCGCCTCGCGCGTTCCATGGTCAAAAAGTCGGGTTGGGCCCGTCGCGCGCGCGCTAACCGTCTCATATCATCCACGAGCGCGCGGTCGTCGTCCGTCCACGGTTTTGTCGTCGGCGGCTGCGCCTCGGGCGCGGGCCGGTCCGCCTCCGAGTCGCCTCTTGCTCTACCGACCTCCTCGCCGATCTCTCTTCCTAATTGCGCTGCTGCTGACTTGCCTCTGCCGCGGCCGCGGCCCCGGGCCATTGTTATGCACTGCCCGACCGCTGCGGCACGAGCGCGCCGTCACCGCTTGACGATGGTGGGCGCGGTTTTGCACTTGCCGCAGTGATACTGTCACAACACAATCGCCACCGATGCGGCCAGAACAAGCGCGTGATGCGGCGTCGCGTCGCCGCTTGCCGATTGCTCTGGCGACACTGGGAGCTCTTTGACGGCAGCTATGTGTCCCACGAATTGCAGATGCACTTCGACGGCACGAATGCGAACGGTAGCAGCGCGCTCACGCAAACCACTGCGCCTGCCGCAGCGCACAAGCAATGCGGCAAATCGAGGCAGTATGATACGGGTTTTGCAGCTTCGAAATCGAGCGCTGCCGCAGCCCGAAGCCCTTTTCAGGCCCTGGACGGACGCTCAGAGGTGAGCATCTATTGCTACGGTCGCTGCACGGCACATCTACATACGCTCGCGCTGCACCAGACCGCACACAGTGCCCACTGCTAAATAGCGGCTGCACGCCCTCGACGCGAGCCGTGCCAAAGAAATGGACCCGCGCGTCGTCGCCACACTAATAACAATAGCGCTTGCGCTGGGCTACACTAGGTGGGCGAAGCGCAATAAAGTAAATGTGCCGCAGTGCTCCGTGCCCGAGATCCTGCACGCGCTGGCCCACGGCGATAGTACCGTAAGAGCGCTGGCGGGCCGTGCTTTACGAAGCATTATCTTCGGCGAGGTCGACGTGCTGGAGGATTTGTTAGATGACGTCGCAGGCAAGCACGCGGACGACTTCGGAAAAAAACGAGAGGATGGAAGAACTCTACTGGATATTGCCGTCGAGGACGCGTCAAACGGCGACGCCGACGCTATTTCGCTGCTCTTGGCCGTCACGGAGCTCGACGACGCGTGGGACGTCGCCGAGGACGAGTGGAATCTGCTCGTGCAGCGCGCGCGGGGGGAGGTGAAGAAGGCGGCGCGGGGGCGGCTCCAGGCCCGTCCGTCGGAAGGCTCAGTTGGGTTGGCGTGCCTCGCGGCGCGGCTCGACGCGCCGTCGGCGAAAATCGCCACACCAAACGGTTTCCGCGCCGAGGATGATACATTAGTGCCGGAGCCGCTCTCCTTCAACACGCGCGCGCGCTGCGCCGTCTGCGGCGTCGGGTGTGCCGAAAGGCGGTGCGCGCGGTGCCGCAACGTGACGTACTGCTGCGACGCGCACCGCGACGCGGACGCGGCGCGGCACGGGTACTGGTGTCGGTGACTTTTGTGGTCGTCGATTTTTGTGGTTTTGCTCTCCTCGTCTCGTTTACGGTGCGCGGTAAGGAGGTTTTGAGTTTTGCTCTCCTGTCTCGTTTACGGTGCGCGGTAAGGAGGTTTTGAGTATGTTTCGGTTTGCAAAGGCCGTAGACCTCCACGATGAGACGTCCTGGAGTGCTTGGGGCATGGGTCGGAGGCGTCCCGCGCGGCCGCCGTCGGCTCCTCGTCCAGCATGCCGCAGAGCGCCTGAACATCGCTGGTCGTACAGCCCACTGACTTCGTGCGACGCGGCGAGGCTGCCAGCGACACGCCTAAGATCTGTTCCGACCACCACGCGGTCTTTGCCAGCCGCCGCGCGGCCCAGGGAGCACCTCAACTCAGACCAAGTGAATATCCCCACCGCGAAAGCCCCACAGGGCGCGCCGCCGCCGCCGCACGCTCACTACACGCCCAAAACAGCTGCGCGGCCACGCCAGCCGCCGCGCTCCCGAAAAACGCGCAAAACCGCGACAAAGAATAATCCCGAGACGATGGCGCGCCAGCCGCGCATCCCCATGAAGAGCGAGATCGAGCAGGCTTTGTTGGTGCTAGAACACACGGAACGATCGACACTGGTCGACTGCGGCGCCGACAAACGAATCCGGCAGCTCTTCAAAACCACCAGTACAAGACGCAAGGCCCAGGATTTTGATAAGAGCGAGATGTCGCCGACGAAGCTCGCTAAATTGTCACATAACCAGGGCCGATCCGCGTTATTGGGTGCCGAGTTCTGCACGGATCTCGTGCTGGAGACCTGTGATGTGGAAGCGGCCGGCGCGCTCGCGTCGACCTGCGGTCTAGCGAGGGTGCGCTGCGAGCCCAAGCTCAAGGCCTGGAAAGCACTACGAAGGAAGATCCAGAACGCGGACCTCGGTACGATAGAAACCATACTAGACAAGTACGTGACGTCGCCTCGAACCATGTGCTGGACGCTCAGTCGTTTGTCGGCCATGGGCGGCGAGGGCGTGGCCTACGAGCACGGTAGGCGCCTGAAAGTCAGCGAGGCCAAGGGTTTAACTCCAAAACACGTCACGGAGATAACCAAGAAGTTGAGGGCCGCCGAGAAGAGCGAAAAACCGCTGTACGGGCCGAACGAGCACATAGGGTGCCCGCCGAAGCTCGCTAGATATGCCGCCAATCATTTCTCGGTGAAACATGTCCGAGCGGAGCGACCCGACGTGCACGGGTGGACGCGGCACGCGGGCTCGAAGTACTGGTTAGGAGTGTGGAAACTACTGGCGAATTCAGCTGTTTCAAGGAACAAGACGAATGGCGGGCGCTACGTCCTTGAGAGGTTCGTGTTCCCAGCTCGCTCGGAAGAGTGGGTCGCGGTGGCCGAAGTGCGCGTCGCGAAGCGGTTTTATAGTCATAGATTGGAACTGGTGGCGCAGCTCGAACAGACAGGGCCGACGCACTACCTCAAGGTGAAGCCCTCTTTGAGGGGTAGGGCCGACGACACTATTGATCAAAAACCGGCCACATTCGAGCAGTGCGGCGCGGCGCCGGCCTGGGAGGGCGAGACCTTCGAGGTGCCGGCGGCGAGCATGGGCAACCCCTGATTTGTCCCTGCCCTAAGTTTACCATTCGTCTGGGTTGTCTTCTGCGGCGCGCAGTCGTGGTCCGCGCGTTGCGGTCTAGCGGTCCTTTTGCCTTTCCTATGTGTCTTTGGGGGTGCCGTCGAGGCTGCGACTGGTCGTCTTGGCCGCGCGAGACGTCTGTTGCGCAACCCGAACAGGAGAACGACTCGAGCAAGCTCTCCGGCTTTAAGCTTTTGGCCGCCGCGAACTCGCTTCCTCGCGCCCTATAAGTGCAGCTCGCTGCACGTCTCGCTGACATTTCTATCGCTGCGAGCCTCCACGGCTTGCGGCGCACGCATCACGGCTACCTGTACAGCAACACCGCTCGCAGTACTCGACCGCATGCGGGTCTCCTTTGCCGGAGCGTTTACCAAGGACGCCACGGGCGACGCAGCGAAGCCGCGACCGGTCGCGAGCAAGACGGCGTCGCGCCAGTTCAGCTCTGACAGCACGCCGTCGCGCCTGTCGAGCAGCGGCAGCAACTCCGACGCGGACCTCGCGAGTAACGTATACCGCTCGCTGAGCCTCACGGTCTCCGAGGCCGATGACGAGACGATGGCGTCCAAGAGAGGCGCGCTCGAAGTAGAAAAGCTTTTGTTGGAGGCGTCCCTCGACGACAATAACTCGGACGTCGTCGCCGCGCGGCGTTGCTCGACGCGGCTCCGGGAGGTTATGATGCAGCTCGAGGAGGTTCGGCTCGCCGAAGAAGCTTTGGCGGAGTGCAACGCCCGGCCTCGCGCCATGAGTTCGGCCGAGAAGCGGGCCGCCGAGAAGCGCCGGCTCTCGCGGCGCCAGTCGCGCAACGAGGCCAAGCGCCACGCGCCGACGCCGTGATCGTGTCCCCCTCGCCCCGGACCAGACACACCCCTCCTCCTTTGTTTGCGAGTAACGTTAAATGTTGAAATCCACGCCATCGACGCGACGCCTGCTCGATGGCGTTAGGTGATGCCAGTGTCAGTACTTATTTGGAACCCACCGGTCGCAGTTGTGCCCAGTATATCCTGCGAAGCACGAGCAGCGCCCCTCGTTGCAAGAGCCGCGGCCAGAGCACTCGACGAGGTGCTGGTTGCCCTTGCGCCCGACGCGGTTCAGCGGGTCCTGCGCTGGTCGCGATGGTCCGACCGCCTGCGCCGCCGTGTCGTTCCACGCGTCGTTCGGGTCCGTGTTCCGGATCCAGGGGGCCACGCCCGTCGGACACCTTTTTTTGGAGCAGTCCGCGCCGTAGTATTCGCCCAGCTGGTACTCGTCTGGCCCGAACCCGACGGGCCACGACGAGTCGCACGCACACCCCATCATCGTGTTCCAGTCCCACGTGCCCGTGTGCTCTCTCACAGTATGGTCGTCCCCATACGACGACATACCTTCAGATAAAGGAAGCGCCTCCTTCGCTCTCGCTAAATGGTGCATGGGCAAACATTGTCCATGACCTGAGCACTTGCCGCCGACGCCGCACGTGCTAATGCGGCGTTGACAAGCGTCTCCGGTGAACCCGTCGAAGCACTCGCACTCGCCCGACTCCGCAATACAGAGACCGGCCCCGGAGCAGGCCATGGTCTGCGCGACGTGGCCACCGTCCGTCTCCGAGAGGGGCATGCTGCCCCACCTCGGACCTTCGGGGCACTCGAACTGCGTGCAGTCCATACTACCGGTATTCTTGTAGTTGTCCGAGCCGCCCTTGCCGGGCCAGCAGTAGCACTTCTGCTGGCAGAAGTCGCAGTCCCCCACCAAGCCGCAGTCCGAGATCTTCGAGCAGCCGTTGCCGACGCGGTCGCCGTACTCGATCTGTTGCTGTTGACCCGTCGCCTTTGAGGCGTTCGTCCACATGAGAAAAAAGTCATTGTCCGTGTTTTGCGGTCTATCATACCCACAGTAGACCTTGATGTTGTTCGACCGGTAGATGCGGACTCTGAGAGATGTGCCCGCCGGGATGGTTACTTCTTCCTGCACGTACAACGCGAGCGTCGAGTTGGGGAACGGATGTGTGAGGTTATTGAACTCGCCCTCGATCCATCTCCCCTCAAAATAGACCGACGGGCTTATAACTAATTCGCCTCGTGGAACGTTGGGCCCCGGCTTCTTGCCTCCTCCCCCAATGGTGAATTTGGGCAGCTGGACGTATATAACATCGCCCTGGATCCCGTTCCCAGTCAGTTCATAGGTCGTGAAGAAGTCTATTTGTATCTCAGCAGCCTCCTGCGGCTGCGTCGGGTTCACGTAGAGGTAGGTGTCCGTGAAGTCGCTCGCGAGGGCTGATACTGTAAAGAGCGTGAGGAGGGGGAGCTGCCCCATGGCTCTTTATGTGCGCACCGGCGTTGACGCTTGGTCAGCGTCGCGGCGGTGGCGTGCCGGCAGGACTGCTCAGCGTGCGGTACTGGCCCCTCGGCCAGGGGCTGCCTCTCAGGAACTCCTGAGGGACCTCGCCCGGCGACGCGGGCAACCACTATGCGTCGTGGGCACCTCGTGTCGAGGTGTGCGGTCCGGAGGCTGCCTCGACGGCGTCTTTTGCGCTATCCCAGCGGATGTGTGTCCGCTTGTTTGCTAGTGTCTTACAGCCGCTAGCTTCGTCATGATTCCCCAGCTCGCCAACTAGTCCTAGCACCGTAACAATAGTGGCCATGATTCGGGAAAACAAACATGTATACGCACGGGAAATTTCTTCAGGGGAGGGGCGCCTCGTCCTCGTCGCCGGAGTCCTCGAAGGCGGGCTTCTCGTCGTCGGACTCGTCGAACGTCGTGGCCTCGCCGAACATGGCCTCGGCGGCGCGTTCGGCGGCCGGGATCGGGGACGGCGTGACTCTGCCAGTCGTGACGGCGCGCGGCTCGTCGTCGTCCTCCTCCGAGTCGTCGAACAATTCCTCGTCATCGGTATCGGACTCGTCAAAGGTCGCCTCGGTCTCGGACACGACGTGCGAGTCCGGCTCCGCGACGACTGGGACCATCTTCACGACCTCGGCCTTCGGCGCGGTGCCGCGCGCGCCTCGGCCAATCGCGAGCCCGAGGGCCAGCGCCAGCAGCGCGACGAGCCAGACCGGGGCGGCCGGTGGCGCCGTTTCGGCTACTCGCGGCGCGGCATCTACCACGGCGAGCGCCGCCTCGCGCGACGCGGCGTGCGGCACGGCGGCCACGAGCGCCGCGCCGCCGCCCTCGAGCGTGTAGGCGAAGGCGGCGAAGGCGCGATTCATGAGCTCCGTAGCGTCCGGCACGGCGATCACCAACCGCGTCGTCGTGTCGCGCACCGCCTTGCCGAAGGCCTCCGCGGCTTTCGCGGCACGCGTTAGGGCCTTGGAAACATCATCACCTAGTCCGGCCGCGACGACGACGAGCTTTGTGCCGTCGTGGCGCTCGAGCACGGTTGCGGCGTCGCGTCCTCGGCGGCGCTCGATAGTGGCGCCTTTGACGCGCTTGCGGAGGCCGAACGTGCTCTTGACGCCCTCGCTCACGAAGACCGGCGCCAGGGCCCGGTCGCGGGCCGCGTTCATCAGGGAGGGCGCCCACTTCGGCGGCGCGTCGAGGACGACGGCCTTTTCGAGGGCGAACGCGGGCACGATGACCCACGAGCCGACGACGAGCAGCGTGACGACGGCGGCCGTTTGATCTAGATTGAATGGTATGGCGCTTGAGCGCCGGCCGGAGCTCAGGCGGCGGAGACCGTGGCGGTGCGCCCCCATCTTGGAGTCGAGCAGACGAATAGGCTCGTGCGAAGGCTTCGCCCGCGCTCCGAGTCAAACTCGCGTTTTAAATCGCGCAAAGCCGCGGCGAGTGCGCAGCGGTTGGGAGAGTGCGTGGATGAGTCCTGCGGGTTGCCGAGGACTGCGTTGTGCGCTGCGACGGCGTGAAAATTGAAACAGCAGCGGCCAGTCTGTCGTGCTGTCCTCGGCACGCGCTCGAGCAGTTACAAAATGGTCGGGTTTTGTCGATCAGTCCAAGGAATCTGCGCAGGCGCACGCACCTCTCGTCCTCGACGCCCCCGGGGGAGGATTACTCCACCGTCGTCCGACCCGAACTCGAAAACCCTCTTTGCTCACACAAAAACCAAGACACAAAACTTGCAAAAGGAGAAGCAACGGGCTGCCCCACCGGCAAATGAATGGGGCAGAGCCAAAATGCACATAATGTAGCACCCAATGCTGCTGCTACTATTGCTCGCAGCGGTCAGGGCCAAGGACCCCACGGCCACGGAGCTCAAAGAGTACGCCGACCTCTTCCGCTGCGGTCCAGTAAAACTGGGCGACCAGCTCGCGACAGTAAAGCGAGACGCGGCCTGCGGCGACAGCCGCTGCACGCAAAAAGCCTCGCCGCGCGACGCGTGCGCCAAACGCTGCGCGCGGACGCGGCACTGCGGCGCCGTGGCCTACGGTGATGAGGAGTGCACATTGTATAGGACCGGCGCGCTGAACGGGTCCACTAGCAACGCGTGCGTCGCTTCGTATAGAACGAACGAGCGGCCGGCGGCGGGCGAGGTGCTGCATCGCTTCGCGCCGGGCCTGGCCTACCGCTTCTTCTCCGTCGTCGATCTTAAAGAGAAAGTGTACCTCCTCGCGCGGGACGGCCTCTGGCCGAACGCGGCGCCCGACGAGCGGCTGTGGATGTGGGCTACGAACGAGCGGCTCGAACTCACAAGCGAGCCGGCGGAGGTACGATTACCACTGCCACAAGGAGTAGACGAGCGGCCCGCGCACAACTTCGCCGCCATCATCAAAGACGGCCGCGTCCACGGCTTCGGCGGCCGCGCGCGCGGCGGCACCGTCCTGCCCAAGGCCTATCGACAGCGCGGCGTCCACTACTTTCCTCCATCTCATCAGCCCCTGACGTTCGAGACTGGATCAATCAGAATAACGGGCCGCCACGCGGGCTGCCAGGAGCTGCGACGCACGCCCGTGACCTGCGAGTGGGACGGCAAGCTCTCCGCGGCGTTATTTGGAAGCGGCGTCGCTTTATTTGGTAGGTTAAACACGGCGCACGGCCGGCGCTGGGTCCAGGTCGCCGTCTCTGATAGTATTGAGGGCGCGTTCTCGGCCTTCGAGCCCATCAGAATTACGGGATGGAACGGCTGCCGCGTGCGGCGCGCGTCGATCTACTACATTGTTGTGGAAGAGAATCCCGTCGACGCCCGGACATTACTGGGCCTCTTCCCCATGCATGAAGAGAGAAGGTGCTACCTCGCGCTCTCGTTCTCCTGCGACGCCGTCCACTGGTCGACACCAAAACCGCTCGTCGACCTGGGCTGCTCGAACGAAGCCGGCCGCGTGCGCGACTACCCGGCCGACGGGCTTGTTGTCAGAGGCGATGTTGTCTACTACTACGTGCACCGCGACATGCCGACGTCAAATTTGGTGCTGAATCAGGACATCCCCCGGGACGGGTCCGCCCTCGTGCGGCATACGCTTGATAAAAGTTGGCTCCGGAACGCGTCCCGGGCAGCGCTGGCGGACCTCGGCGGTTCTATAACATGTGAGGCCGCGCTCAAGGACATCACCGCGCCGTTCCGCGGCGCCGTCTTCGACGGGCGGGGCATCCACCAGGACCGCCTCCCTCAATGCACGCGCGAGGACCGCCTCGCGCACGTGGCCGAGGTACGTAGTGCAGACGAGGTCCTGAGGGAGCGAGCCCGTCTCGAGGAGAAATCCCGGAACCACCATACTGTGACACTGTAATAAGACAAACATATTTATAACAACAACGGCTGGACGGTCTTGACCGCCTCGGCGACGTCGTCGGCCGACAAAAAAGTGAGGTCGCGGCCGAGCGGGTTGTAGGTCGGCTGGGCCGCCGCGAGGCGCCATCGTCGCGGAATCGCGTCCGTCTCCTGCAGTTCCGACACTACCCGCATGAGCGGGCACTGGTTCGGCTTGCACGGGTCGGCGAAGACGACGGCGTCGTACGGAGCGAGGGCGGTCGCGAGACCCTCCGCCGACCACGTCAGGCACGGCTGCTCGAAGACGTCCAGAGCGACGCCGTCGTCGAGTAGCTTCCGCGCTCGAAGTGCCGCCACGACACCAGTACCCCACGTGACGCAGGCTACTCTGCGAACGGCGTCGCTGTCATCAGGGCGCTCCAGGACGGCGTCGAAGGCGAGCTCGTCGCCCTCGGCGGGGTAGCTCGTCAACCACGCTTCATCGCGACCGTGGACGTGACGCAGGTTCAGCAGATACGTGGCGTCGACCACCATCACCACGCGGCCCGCGCGCGCCTGGCGTACGGCGTGGCGCATGGCTTTCACATACTCCCGCCCGGTCGACGTCGCGACCACGTCCACGCCCGGCAGTAAGGGCAGCCAGTTGTGCGTGTGGAAGTTGCCGCCAAATAAGCCCCGGTCGAAGCCCTGCATGCGAATCACCATACCGTTGGGCTGCCGCCCATTACTCAACCAGTGCATGACGGCGATCTCGGCGAACTGGTCGAAGCCACCTGTGTGGAAATCAAATTTCGGCATCGACGCGACGTGGTTGATCCCACACGGGAAGCCACAGTCCAAATATTTAGCGTACGGCACCTCGACAATCGGTACGAGCCCGCGCTGCGCCAGGCCCGCCGCCGCGCCCAACAGAGCCGTTTCGTCGGGCGGAAAATCGCGCACGCGCCGCCCGTGCTTGGCCTTGAGGCCCTCGCTCACGAGGTAGTAGCCGCCGTGCTCGACGTCCTCTCCTATGTAGACGACGTCCTCATGTTTTGATAGCAGTTCATCTAAAACGCGCGTCGCATGCTTCCGGAGCACGTCTTTTTTCCCGGTTGTTGCGGCCGGCGTCGGCGGCACGGGCGCGAGCGGCGCGGCGACGCGTTGGATAAGGGCCGCGCGGTCGTCGAGCTTCGGCTCGGCCGCGGCCGCGTCGAAGGCATTTCGCGCCGCGCGCGCGATCTCGTCGTTGCGCGCCGCGACGGTCGCCGCGTCCAGCACGCCCCGCTCGACGGCGTCGCCGATGAAGCCGGCGAGCGGATCGCGCGCGCGGCGGCCTTCGATTTCCGTCGGCGAGAGGTAAGCGTCCTGGCGGTCCGTGGCCGCGTGGCCGAAGCGGCGGGGGAGGTGTTGGAAGACGAGCACGGCCGGGCGTTGCTCCTGGCGCGCGTACGCGAACGCTTCCGATGCCGCGCGAAAGACGTCGGACCCATCCGCGCCGTCACAGCAAAAAACCTTGCAGCCGCCCAGGCGCTGCTCAATGAATTTGGGGAGCCAGCCGTGGCCCGCCAGCGAGATCGACGCGTCATTGTCGGCGACGCCGAAGACGACCGGCATGCCGGCGCCGCGGTGGGAGCAATATTCGGCAAAATTAACCGCGCTCAGAAAGTGGGCGTTGTTCACGCTGCCGTCGCCCACGGACACGTACTCGACGCGACGCTCACGTCGTCGCCGCGGCTTGAAGGCGTCGGCGAGCGCGCGGCCGACGGCGCGCGGCGCCTGGCTCGCGAGCGTCGACGTGACGAGCCAATCATTATGACCGCCGCCGACACAACAATGGACCCCACCACAGGCCGGGTCCGCGCCCGAGACGACGTAGCCCCGCGCCCTGGCCAGGAGCAGGTCTTCGAGCGCGTCGCCGCGTCGGAGCGAGCGCACGACGTTCGTGGCGAGGTGCCGGTAGTGCAGGGCCGCGCCGTCGCCGTCTTCGAGCACGAGTCCGACGGCGCCCAGCAGCTCTTCGCCGCAGGGACCGATCGTGTAGAAGCCCTCGCCGCAGTAAGCCGCGATCCGCGCCTCGACGTGTAAATGAAACGTCGCCAGGCCCGCGTCGACGACGAGTCTCGTTTGGTCCGCGTCGAGCGGCGGCGCCGACGAGGTTTGAGTCGGCAGCGCCCCGCTCGCGAGCTGCTGGCGCAGCGTTTCCGCCGCGACGACCTCGGATAGCGCTGCGAGCTCTTTTGCGCTGTTCAAGCGCTTGTCGGCGAGCGTCGTTGGCGAAGCGCTCGTGGAGAAGTAGTCGACGCGCCCGCGGTTGGACTTGACGTCCCGCCGGCGCCGCTTGTCGGCCGTGCGCGCGCGCTTGCCGTCCCTCGAGATGCCCTCCCGCTGTTTCCGCGCCTTGGGCGGCGCCCACGCCTCCTCCAACAACTCCGCGAGCTTGGCCTCGCACGCCTCGCGGTTGCCCTTCTGCGTGCGCGCCGTCTGCGCCGATACGACGACGACGCGCTCTTTGGTCAAGTGCTTGGTGAGCCGGTCGGCCACGTCGCGCGGGAGCGCCGCTGTATCAGTAGCGCGGTCGAGGTCGAGCCGCAGCTCCGCGCGCGTGTTGACCTTGTTCACGTGCTGGCCGCCGGGGCCCGACGCGCGGCTGAACTGCCAATCGAGTGCGCTCGTCTTTTGTAGCGCTTCGAGTGCGCGCCGGCCATTGGCGCCGAACCAGCGCACCTGGCGCAGGAGCATCATTACTCGGTGGCACTGCTCGAACGCATGCAATTCGATTGATCCTGCCAATAGTTGGTGTGCAGGGGACGCCTCGCTGGTTGTAATTGCAGCACTGAGCCCGCACAAATTGGGTTACGGCCCGGCACTTGCTTGGTTGCTAGTGTGTTACAAGCCGCTAGCTACGGTTTTGGCACCTCCTTGGTAACTCGTGTGAGTTCGCGCCAGGCGCGATTCTACACATACTGAGGTCGATATTTGAAGACCTAGATCATTTCTGCGAGTGCCGGCCGCCTGCATTGTCGTGAAACTTCCTGCATTACAACTTGAGTCACTTGACTCGTCGACGCAAGACGTCGCAACGCGTTGCACGTCATTGATTGTGACATATGTCTCGCCTCTTCGCATGCGCCGTCCTCCTTATCGCCGCCGCGGCGAGCGCGCTCGAGACGTCGTCAGAGACGTCGGAGCGGGCCGGGCCGCCTGTAATAATCGTCACCGGCCTCGCGCACGGCGGCACGACAGTGACGAGCGAATTGATAATGACGGCGCCTGGTCTACTCGGACCGTTCGAGACCGGCTTCCTGCTCCCACAGCGGCCCGCGGCTTTCATCAACACCAAACCTTTTTCCGAGTGGACGCAAGATACAGGTGCCGGCGCCCTGGGCCTCGCCGGCCCGCGTTTCCGCGAGCTCCTACGCCAAAGGACGCACCTGGACATGTACGCCTATGCGCTTCGCGAAGCGCCGATGTTCCACGGCACAAACACCACGCGCTTCGTGGACAAGACCCCCGCGTACTGGGAAAAGCTCCAACTTATTCTGCGACGAGCCCCGGGCGTGCCCGTCGTGTTCGTCTACAAGACGCGCGCCTCCGCGCGCCGGTCCTGGGTCGAGAAACGGCACGCGGGCGAGGCGTCCTTCAAGGGCATGTGGAATCGTTTCACGTGGCAGCTCGGCATCGCGCAGCGCCACCCGCGCGTACATACGGTGTCCTTCGAAGATTTGTTCGTCCACCGCAAGGGCCGGACGCGGAAGGCGCTCTTCGAGTTCCTCGGGCTGAAGGGCTTTTCGCCGGACTTTTCTGGAAGAGCGCTCGCGGCGAAACGGGGCCGGTGCCACCTCTGTGACCACAGCGTGGCGAAACATCGGCGCCCACGCAATGAGACTAACACATAGAATAGTTACCCAGCCGCGTCCATGAGGTAGCACCCGACCTTGCGCCCGAGCGCAAAGTCCGGCGCCCCGCGCCGCAGCGCCAGGCCGCCCGCGAGGCCCGTCGGGCCCTCGCCATAAAACGTGACGACCTCCGCCGCGCCCGTCGGAAAGCGCGGCAGCAGCGCCGCCTCCAGCAAGCTTCTCAAGCTCGCCTCCGTGTCGAGGCGGCCCGCCGCGTCCCGTTGTTTCGTGTCGAGCTCGACCCGCAGCTCGTCGCCGTCCAGCGACACGACGCGCGACGCCGCGACGCCGCGCCGCGCCACGCGCACGGGGAAGACGACAAACTCGCCCGGCGTCTGTGGCGCCACGCACTGGAACGTCTGGCTCTTGATGGCGCGCTGCGACTGCGCCCCTCGCGTCCGCGCCCTGTCGCGTCTGCGGTCGCGCGCGTAGCTGAAGAGCAGTATCAGCCCGCAGACGACGGCGACGACGGCCGTCGTCCTCCGCGCGTGGTAGTGGTGGTCGTCGACGCCGTGCGCGCTCATCGCTTGCGCCAGCGCCCAGGGAAACAAGGCGCCGAGGCCTATTATCAACGTGCCGGCGATGGCGAGGCGCCGCTGCAGCGGCGTCAGGTGGAAGGGGGCCTTCGGGCGGTAGTCGCGCCGCGAGGGCAGCATCTCTTTTGGTGGTGAGTGTGTTCGGATGGGTGCTTGATGCAGCCCTTGCGATGAGTTGTGATGGGTGGCAACGCAGCCCCTTCGATGTGTTCTGATGGGTGACGATAAATTGCAACCCAGCGCGGCCCGCAGCGGCCCGAAAGCGACTGCTTTGCCGCAATCACCGAATGATGCAGGCTTGTTTCGCTAGTGTCTTACTGTACGCTAGCAGCCAGCCCAAGCTAAAAGCGCTCCAGCTTGCAATCGCACGCGCAATCCTTCTCCAGTCCTTCCTTTGCAAGCCCTTAGTAGCTGCAGCGCAGAGCACCGCTCGACGGCAGCCATAAAGACCACTCTCAGGGCAGCTCTCCCAGAGACAGCTCTCCCTACACGCCAGCGCGACCGTAGGACGCTCTCCCAGACAGCTAGCTCTCCCTACTACGCCGCCAACGCGACAGCTCTCAAACAGCCGTCTCTACGCCAACACAACAAAGCAACCATGGCCGTCGCGACGACCATGCTCTCGTACGGCGGCTTCCTCGGTGCCTGCGGCTGGTACGGCGCCCACACGAGCGGTGCCATGCACTCGCTCTACGCCGGCGTCGGCAGCGGCGCGCTCATGATCTTGTGCGGCGCGAACTCGTTCGGCGAGCCGAAGAAGGGCGACAAGGACTACAAAAAGTGGATGATCGCGGTGCACCTCGGTTTGATGTTCAACGCCCTCTTTACAGTGGTATTTTGCGTGCAGTACCTGCGGTCGCGCGGCGACCCCGACAAAGCCTCGCGGGCCTTCCTCTTCATGGTCATGACCGCGGGCTCCGCACTATCAATGTGGACGCTCGTCAAGCTCAAGCCCAAGAAGAAGACTGACTAGGCACTAGTACATTAAGATTTTAGGACGCCAGCTCCAGCTGCACCTTCTTGGACCGCGGCACACGACTGGTTGTAGCGAGCGGGTGCCACGGCGGCAGGACGGCCGCCAGGCGAGGCAGGTCAGCGTCGTCGTGCAGCGTCCGCGCCTCCGTCGGCGCGAGGGGCTTCTTGACTTCGTCCTCGGCCGCCTCCTCCTCCCTAGCTCTTTTCAATGTGCCGGCATCTGCATTCTCCTCGGCCTCCTTCAGCGCCTTGAGAGCGGGATTTTCCTCCTCCACAGCTAATAACTCCTCCTCCTCCGCTTCTCTCGCGTGGCGCACTTCTCGCCTTTCCAGCGCGACCTCCTTGGCCACGGCCACCTCGTCCTGGTCGTCCCCAAACACGAAATCTGGTAATTGTTCCCACGTCAGGTGCTCGAGCCTCACATCCAAGTCATCATCGAGGTCGCGGTATTTACAGACGTCTTCCGTCCAGAACTCGGTCCACGTATGTGTTAAAATCAAAGTTTCGCCCTCCATCCTCGTGACGTCCTCCTTGATGCCCAGGAACCAGCAGCCGCCGTAGTCCGCGAGGCCTTCGGTGGTGGTCCTTTCAAATTCTTCGGGGAAGAGGTGGATGGCTCGCAGCGGTAGGTAGCCCAGTCGTTCCACCAGCTTTCGTAAGCGAGACCCTAAAAAACCTTTAAAGGAGTTGAACGACTCCTCGTCGCCGCCTAGTACATTCACGGCAAGATACGCGTCATACTTGTCGAAGAAATCTGTTCTCTCCAACAAAGGCGCCCAGAGCTTCAGCGGGTCTTCATCGGCATTCTCGACGATCTCCTCACAAATGCGACTGCCTCGCTTGAACTCGTCCCTCAACACGGCAAAGGACCACGCATTGACATTGGCCGACGAGTTCATGGCCGGGTAGGCCGGCGTGACGATGGGCATGAGGTTGTTCCTGCGCGCGGGAGGCGTGTGTCGCGGCGGCGGGCGGACGCCATCGACGCGAGTACGGCTCATACGCCGTCGACGCGAAAACGCGGACGCCGCCGATTACCGCAGGTTCGCGTACGCCATCCGCCCCCGTAATTGATCGGCGTGCTGGCCCCAGACCTCGAAGCCGTAGCCGTGGTCCACCGGTCTGCAAAGGATAGCGGGCGACGGCCAGTTCCAGTCCGCAAATATGTGGAAGAATTTCGTCAATAGATAGGACGGCGTCGCCGCCGGGAAGAGCTGGCATACTAATGCTACCAAGATGTTGAAGTTGACACCACCCAAGTAGCCCATCTTGTTACTGTAGATACCTCTTTTTTTGGCCCAGACTCTTGCTACTCGTAGAGCCACTAAGAACGACCCGTAGTTGTGTTCTACTAATTTATAAATCAGGTTCGTCACGCGAGGACCATTGAGAGATTTCTCCGTGGCCTCATCAACACCCTGTAAAACAGCATCTTCATCAACATCCAAATGGGCGGGTATGGCATTGAGCGGCAAGTGCGCAAATAACAAATCAATGTTCACCTCACAAAAATCAAAGGTCATGATGGGCACCACGGCCGTCTCGACAGACCTCAGATTGGTCACGTCGGGGTGATCGAGCAGAGCCGTTTTTAGGGTATCGAAGAACTCGGTGCGCGTGCAGTGGTTCGGGGCCACACACACGCTGTCGATGTCCGCGCCGGGCTCGTGGACGCCCAACCGGTAACTCCCGGACGTGTACAACCTTCCTCCGGCCTCGTTCGCGAGGTCGTCTGACAAGCCTTTGGCGCGGCAGACCTGGCGGACCCAGTCCTGGAAGATGCGCTTGAGCTCGCCCAGGACGCGCTCTCTCGTGCGTAAGCCGGCTTCCTTTTCTACTGGTACATGTACTTTCATGAAAGCTTCGAGAGAGGCGTCGAGCTTCTTGTAGTTCGCCGGCGGCGCGGCCGTCTCGAAGGGTTTCAGCAAGGGTTCTACTGCCGCCATGGTTGTTGCTTGTGGCTGCGGCGGCGCGCGTGCGGCGCTGCTGTTGGCTGCTGCGGCGCGCGGCGACTGCGCGCAGCGAGGTGCGCTGCTGTGTTGGACTGCTCCGGCGGACGACGCGGCGCGCGGGTGCGCTGGGCGTTCTAGATTGGTTCAAGAAGCACCGATGCTGACATACACAGGCGGCAGCGCTGCACAGAGCCTGCAAAACGCGGCGGCGGCCGAGCTTGCTACTTTTTGCTAGTGCCTTACACCGCTAGCCCACGCGCACTCTGCGATTAGTTCTACCTTGTCCTTCGCTTGTGTCCGACGCTACAACATATAGACCCCATTCCGCTCCTTTTTTACACAAAGAAATACATATATACATTCTAAGAAGAAGGCGCAGCATCGGAGGAAGAACGCCTCCGGTCCACCGTGACACCTAGTCGCCGCGCCCTCATTGGAGACGCTGGGTACACGCGCGGAAAGAACGCGTCGTGCACGACGCCGTCGCCGAGGTCGTAGCGACCGTAGATGTAGTCCGGGTCGCGGCGGAATTTCACGTCGTCGCGGATATAGTGCAGGCCTAGAGCCCGCCGCGGCCGATCCGGCGAGACGTTGGCAGCGCTCCCGTGCCAGACGTCCTGGTGGTGGAAGACCGCCGAGCACGCGGGCACCTCGTGACGATCCACGACGAGCTCGACGCCCGCCGCCGCGGCCGCTGTTGTCACGGGGTCGGCGCCCGCGCCGTCGTGGAACGAGGCCTTTGCGCTTGCACGGGGCCAGCGGTGCGAGCCGCGCGCGTACTCGACGACTCCTGAGGCTTCGTCGGCGTCGTCTAGAGCAATCCACACGGTGACGGAGTTGTCGTCTCTGGGCATGAAATTGTCCGAGATGTACTTTCCGTCCGTGTGATAGCTTACGCCTTGTGCACCTGGCGGCTTCCACAACACGTCGTCTTGTGCCAACCGTGCGCCACGCCAGCCCATCAATTCCGCCGCACGTTTCCCAATAGAGGCGTCCAGCGCCACCGCCGCGACGCTGTCGTCGAACTTCCAAGCATTGACTATTTCTCGGAACGCGTCCGGCTTCGAGATGCCTTCTCGCCAGTGCCACTCGTCGGGATAGATCCCTGTGTCGAATTCTCCGCTAAACAACCGCTCGAACGCAGCCACTAACGCATCGCGGTCCTCCGGTCGTATGACGTCCGGTTGCAGCACGTAGCCGTTCGTGGCGAAATGCTCGCGTTGAGCTGCCGTCCAGCTTGGGCCGCCGCGGCTCTTCGCGGCGGCTAGCGCTGCTGTGCAGCAGAGGAGGGTGGAATGCAGCATCTGTAGAAGGTTACACCACTCGCACGCACAGCTCGCACGCCACAGCAGCTCCCACAGCTCGTATAGTTGTAGCACACGCTCGCACAGCTCGCACAGCTCGCAGCGCCAGTGCAGCAGTCGAAACCGATCACGTGCGCACTGTGCAGGCCTACTTTAAGCCAGCACTGAGGCCGGCTTTGTTTTTTTTGCTTATGATGGGCTAGCGGTGTAAGACACTAGCAAGCATGACGTACGTGCTGGAACTGAACATAGGTAGTACGCCCGGAGTCTTAGTACAAATATTAACATAAAAAAGCCTTTTGTTCGCGAGGTGACGCCAGGGTCCAAAACAGACAGGCAAGGTGGGAGCACGCGTTCCAAGCGGCCCCTCCCTCCTGCAGGCGTCTGGATCGCGTCGGCGAGCGATGGGTGCCGGTATTCAGCGGCTCGTCGCACCTTGGAGCTCGCGGCCAACGAGACTTGCGGCAGGATATCCAGCCCGAATTGCGCGAGCGCATGCATGCAACATCGCTAGAATAGACTTGCGGTAGCGTTCCTTTGTTAATTTTGCTCGCTTCTGCAGCCGCAATCGGCACGCGCCGCGCCTCGCATCGCCGAGTACGTGCCTTCAAGGATGGCCCATTGGCAGCCAGGCGACGCGCCCGCATCAGGCTTTGCTGAAAGTGCGGCGCCAGCACCACCACGGCAGCGGCGGAGGGTGGACGTCGACGGCGTCGTCGCGGCGACGTTTGGTCTGGAGAACGGCGGCCGCTTGCCGCACGCGGTACCGCTCCGCGACGCGGTTCAATTGTTGGTGGCCGCCTGGGACGAGGCGGCGGACTGGTCGCGCTACGAGAGCGGCCACGACCCGCGGGACCGCGGGCGCGACCGCGGCCCGCCGCGCGACTGGCACCCGCCGCTCGCGCCGCGACGATTTAGTCCCGCCGCGCGACTGGCACCCGCCGCTCGCGCCGCGACGATTTAGTCCCGAGGCGTCGGAGATCATCCGCCAGTACCACGCGGGCTTGAGGCCGCCGCCGCCGCCAAAACCTCACGAGCGCTTCGGAAACTCTGACGAAGACGTAGCCCGATGATCCGGCGGGCCGTGCGGCACCGACCAGCCGGCGGCATTGTGAACTATTATGCTTTCTCTAAAGTTCGATCTCGTTTCTAGTTAATCTCCCATGGGAGGAAGTAGGAGGAAGTGCTTAAAACCCGCACAGTACACATCAGCTTTGTGGCTTGCCGCAAGCCACGACGCGGCATTCGTGCCGCTGATTGCGCAAGCTTCGACTGCACCTACGCTGTTCTTGACCACGACTAGCGCGTTTCCCAGCGTGCACGCGGCACTGGAAGGGAGCTATACAACCGTGCTCTCCGACACCAGGGAGAGAACCGCACCGTACGACCGCACACATCATCGTACAGCGCCGCCACAGTGCGACGATGCCGCGACGACGACACCCGCTGTTACTTGCAGCACTCGCCACGGCGGCGGCGCTGCGCCAGCCGCCGCGCCGCATCGCCGCCGAGAAGACGCTGCGCGTGCTCATCGCGGACGTCGGCGACGAAGTCCAGTGGCTCCCCGGCGACCGGCGGACGATCCGACGGCCGTCGCCGTCGCAGGCGGCGGCGCTGAACGCCGCCGCGGCGGAAGCCTTGTTTTCCGAGTCGCCCGCGCTCGTCGCGATGCTGCCGACGGTCGCGCAGGAGGAGTACCCCCAGAACGACGAGGCTGTGCTCGCACCGGGCGGCGGCGGCCGGCGCGTGCGGTACCAGGAGGGCGTCCACGACGAGGGCACGCGCCGCGACGGCCAGAGCGCCTTCCGGCGGGCGTTCATGGACGCGAAGCAGACGTCGTCGGGCCTGCGCGTGGCCGCGCTGTGCGCCGTGCGCGGCGTGCGGACGGCCGGTAGTCGCGAGGCCAAGGGCGTGCGGCCGATTATTGAGAGAGCAACCCTAGAGGTCGTCGGCCGCGTCGCGGTCAAGCGCCTCGAGGTCCTGGCGGAGAAGGACGAGGCCTACTGGTCCGACGACAAGGCCGCCGGCGGCACCGGCCTGGTCGCGGCGGTCGGCGGCTCGGCCGTGCTCCAGGACGCGTGGGTCGACGAAATCAAGCAGAGTCCCGTGCATGCCGTGCATCGCCTGAGGCCGCTCGCCGACGACTGCGCGCGCTTCCACGACTTGATTCGGGAGCGGCTCCGCGACACGTCGGACGAAGTGTGGAAATCAACCAGTGTGTCGGGTGGGTGAGGAACCGGCATCGCCACGCCATCGAGCAAGCGCCGCATCGGTGGCGTGGAGGTCGACGCGGCGAATGCGCCGTAAATTTGATTTCCACACAGGTCGGACGAGGTCGACCTGGCGGTGGACCGGTCGCTTGTAGATGCAGCCGAGGCGGCGCTGGCGGCGACGCGCGAGACCGAGGTCGGCGACGCCGTCGGCGCGACGCTCTACGACGCCTACGGCGATATTGTAGATACGCCCGCGGAGATCGACGAGCTTCGGGCGCTGTCTTTCGCCGCGTGGCGCGCGCTGCGGCCACCGAGAGGCGTCGCCTCGGCAAACGACGTCATGTGGGCGTTCGGAACCCGGTCGACCGAGTCGAGACTCCAGCGCGCGCGAGAGCTGTTGCTCGCGCAGTGGGAGGCGCTCGAGGAGGAAGCAACGTCCTAGCTTATTAATAGTGTGTATAACATTAGTCCCAGACCGGAGCCCAGAACGACAAGACCTTTCGGAACAATTCTTTTGGCAGATCGGGATCGAAGAGGCTTCGGAGGAACAGTTCTTTGCCCAGACCGCCGGCCCAGCGCGCCCGGGGCCGTTCGCCCGCGCAGAGCGCCCGCAGAGCGACCAGCTCATAGCGTTGCCCGATGTATTGCTCCCACGACCCGCCCGCGAGACGGACGGCTCGAAGCAATTTTTCGCAGCGGAACTGGCGATACTGCCGCGCGCGCGCTTCCGCTGTGACGTGGTTGGCGTCTTCGGCGTTCGCCCGGGCGCCGTGCCTAAGCAGGTGAACGACGACCTGATAACGACGGTCCTTGACCGCCTCCTCTTCACGCCGGCCCAGGGATACGGCAAAGTGGAGGGGCGGCAGGACCGCGGAGCCTTCCATCGCCGGCGTCGACGAGGCGTCAGCGCCCGCTGCCAAGAGTAAATCGACGACAGCGACCTGATGTGTCGCCTTGGAGGCAGCGGCGTAATGGAGCGGCGTCGGGCCGAGGCGTGCGCCATCGAGCGCGCCGTCGCGGCGGCCACCACCGGCCGGTGGATTCACGTCCGCGTCGTACTTTATCAATAGTTCGAGCCCTGCCAACCACGACTCGAAGGCGGCGTGTCGTAAGAGTGCGTACAACCTCGTTTTGCGGTCGGCGTCGCGAACGGACGTCTTGAGCCAGGTCTCCAGGGATTTGCAATCTTTTCTGATCATGGCCGCGCGGAGGTTTGCGGCCTCTTGCCTGGGGAGTTCGCTGGTGTAATACCACGAGCCAATCACGCGGACGGCCATTCCGCGGTACGTGAAACCCTCGCGGTTGTTTTATCTTGAAAAAGATGATCTCGGACAGAATTAATCCCTCGTCCGCGCGCCGCGCCCGCGTAACCGCCGCTGGATTCCTTGAGTCAAGGTTGTCAGTCGATTCTCGTCACGAGCCAAGCCTCTCGGATCAAGCCTGTAGTACTGTGGGGCCCCGCCAATAAGCGCAGGTCTACCGTGAGCCGCAAAGTGCCGTGGAAATTGCAGCAGACTCTCGGGCTTGCTCTTGCTAGTGTCTTACACGACGCTAGCACGCGAGCTGCTCTCCCTTAGAAATCCTAGCCTAACGCGCCTCACACGGCTTACAGTGCAGCACAGAAAGCCATACAGTGTGGGCTTTGGCCGTGGTTAGCTTCGCTGCACAGTTCCGGGAGTAGTGCGAGTCTGCATACCTTGCAAGCACAGCGATCCGCAGCAGCTGCGCAGCGGAGGAATGACGCGGCTGCTCGCACTCCTCGTGGTGAGCGCCGGGGCCATCAAGCGCTCCCCGCGCGGCGGTGAACGTAGAAACCGCATCGCCGTCGTCGGTAGTGCCAACCTCGACACGACCTTGGCAGTGGGCGCGCGCCTGCCGACGCGCGGCGAGACGGTGTCGACGCGCGGCGACCCGCTCGTCTGCTGCGGCGGCAAGGGCGCGAACCAGGCTGTGGCGTGTGCGCGATTAGTCGACGATACTCTCGAAATCGCGTTCTACGGTAGAGTGGGATCGGACACGGCCGGCGAGGTCTTGGTGAAGGAGCTGCAACGTGCGAATGTCGACATCAGTGGCGTGCGGCGCGTCGCGGGCGGCAGCGGCCAGGGCTTCGTGCTCTTGGAGGACGGCGGCACGGTACTAAGTGTGGTGAACAAGGGCGCGAACCACGGCTGGGATCTGCAGAGCTGCGACGACGCCTGGGCGGCCGAGGTCGTCCAGAACGCGCGCGTCGTGCTGCTGCAGCGCGAGGTTCCTGAAAGAATTAACGAAGTGGTCGCAAGAGCGGCACAAAAAGCCGGCGCTATTGTGGTGCAGGACTGCGGCGGTGAAGAAAGAGAGATGAGCGACGAGCACCTCGCGAGGTGTACGTACGTCGCGCCGAACGTGTCGGAGCTGGCTCGCTTGACCGGAAGGGATCTCGATAGGAAGGATGCTTCCGATGCGGATGTGGACGCCGCGTGCCACGTCTTGATCGCAAGGGGCGCCACCAAGGTCCTGGCTACACTAGGCTCGAGGGGATGTCGCCTCGTCTCGAAGGACGGCGTCGTCGTCGGCGACGCGTGTACGTCAATAAAGGCCGTCGACGAGACGGCCGCGGGCGACGCGTTCCGAGCGGCCTTCGCCGTCGCCCTGGCGGAAGGTTTGGATGAAAGGACGGCCCTGCGCCACGCGGCGGCGGCGGGCGCGGCGGCGGTCACGAAGGAAGGCGCGCAGCCCTCTCTACCTTCTCGAGAGGAGCGCGACGCGTTATTACCTTCCCTGCCCGACGTGCCCCGTGGTGGCGGCAAGCGCAAGTGGTGGTCTTTGAGAGGCGGCGACGCGTGCCCGTGGAAGTTCGCGTCGCGATTGAATTCGATGAAGGACCGGCGCGACCTCGCCGAGGGTTTTAGTGATGACCCGCTGGGCTGGGTGCGAAGGCAAGGTACCATCGACGGGTTGGATTTAGTGGATTTCAACTTCCCGGAGCACCTTGGTGATTTGAACGTGGAAGACGTCAGGGCAGCTCTCGACGAGGCTTCACTAAAGTGCGGCGCCGTGTGCTTGCGCTACCCGGCCTCCAAATTTCGTAGAGGCTCGCTCACGCATCCTGACGAAAGTGTCAGGCGAGAAGCCATCAAATTAACAATTGATGCGTGTGTTTGGGCCCAAGCCTTGGGCGCCTCCGAAGTGGTTGTTTGGAGCGCCTGGGACGGCTATGACTACTCGCTCCAGTGCGACTACGACCAGCTCTGGTCCCGATTGGTGGCGGGCTTCCAGCAAGTCTGTGATGCTGCACCGGACGTAAAAGTCTCATTGGAGTTCAAGCCGACCGACGAGAACACGCGCTTCTTCGCCGTGCCGTCGACGGGGAGTGCTTTGGTGTTGTGCCAGGACGTCGATCGGGAGAATTTTGGATTGACGATAGATATAGGCCACTGTCTTGCTGCTGGTGAGAACCCCGCTCAATCAATAGCGCAGGTCGCTTCTCGCGGAAAGTTGTTCGGCGTGCAGCTGAACGACGGGTACCAGCGGATAGGAGCGGAAGATGGCTTGGTGTTTGGGAGCGTGCATCCCACGATGGCGCGCGAATTCGTCTATTGGCTGCGACGGAATCACTTTGACGGGCATATCTACTTCGACACGTTTCCGCGGTCGGAAGACCCGGTGCGCGAGTGCGAGCTCAATATTAGGACCGTGAAACGGTATTATGGTGATGCGGCGGCGCTGGAGGCCGACGGGCTCCAGGGGAATTTGGACGCGCACGACGCCATGTCCGTGCTGGAGCTCATGGAGAGGCACGGGATGATGTGAGTAAAAAACAACTGAATTATTTATTCGGGCGGCAAGTCCGGAAGCATCGGCACGTCGTCGTCGCGCTTGGATACCGCGGACAAATGGAACTCGACGCGGCGCCCGTTTTTGGTATCCATCGGCGGCCGCGACCCGGCCAGACCGACGCCCTCGACCCGATCACCCCCGAGCGACGCCGCCACGGCCTCCGCGCGGCTTCGGGAGAAGCCCACGGCGCCGCCCCGCGCCCCGAACAGCTTCCGGCACTTTTCGTTGGAGCACGGACCGGACCCGTCGCACTCCAATCCACAACCGGTAGAATGCGCCTCGCACCGTATGAAGAGGCCCGGGTGGCTCCGCAGCGCGCGCGCGGCGACGGCCATTAATTTCTCGTCGAGGACCCGCGACCCGTTGCCCGCGAAGCGGACCGGCTCCGACAGCCAGAGGCGCCGGCCGCCGACGTCGAGCGCCGCGGTCCGGTCCTTCGTTGCGTTCGCCTCCTCGAGATACCCCGTGGAGAAGTCGACGGCGAGGCGCCGCTGATCGTCCCCGTTTGGCAGCGCGCAGCTCCGGCAGAGCGCAAAGGCACTACCCTCCACACAGCAGTAGCCCGCGCCCTCGACCGTGGCGCCGCAGCGCTCGCAGGCGTGGTCGCCGTCCTGGTCGTTGTCATCCAACCGCCGCAGCCCGTGCGCGTGCCGCTCCGTATATAAATAGAGGGGGTCCTCGTGCTGCACGTACGCGGCCGTGACCGCGGACTGGGCGAGGCCCTTCTTCGCGAAGCACGCGATGAGGTAGCGGCCGCCCTTCGGAATAGTAAGGAGCGCCTCCTTGGCGCCGTCGCGGCCCGCGTCCGAGCGCCGCCAGCCGTCTAAGGAATCCGGGAGCCGCCCGTCGCGGCCGACGGCGTAGACGACCTCGTCGGCTTTTTGGGCGGCAATGCGCAGCCTGAGCTCGCCGCGCACGCCCACGTTTATTATAGAAGGCGGCGCCACGACGCGCAGGTGGTCGTCGTTCTGCCTGACGCTGATCAGCTCCCGCACGCGGTCGCCGTCGCGACAGCGCATCTGTTCCTCTTCGAACCTAGCTCTAGCTTCGGCCTCGGCCACGAGGAGCTGGTAGGGCCGGCCCGCGTCAAATTCTAAAGCCTCGGCTCTATCCAGGTCGGCGGCCGCCGCTTTCGTGCTCTCGTAGGCCGGCGTGTCGAGGGCTGCCATTTTGTAATTTTGTGTTCCTTTATCTCCACGCTGGCAACGGTTCTGGGCTGCCGCGCAGCGCTTCGATCTCTCATTTTTTGCCTGCTTGCTAGTGTCTTTCAGCTAGCTGCGTCTCAAAGTTCAGGATGTGCTCGTCCGGCGGGAGGAGGGCGGGGCCGTCGTTGGGGGCAGAGTTCATCCCAGATACAACTTAAACAACATCAACGAAAATCCCCGAGCCGCAGCCCGCGCGCCGCCACGGCCGGGTCGATGCTCGTCGGCGCGTCCTCCGGCTCGCGGCCGAACGACACGTAGAAGAGGACCCGGTCCCTATCTCCAAAGTTCGGCGTACCCGCGTGCTGCAGCCGCGACTCGTAGAGCGTCGCGTCGCCCGCGTCGAGCACGGCAAGCTGCGAGACCGTCTCGGCGTACGCCACGACGGCCGCGGCGGCGTCGGGCGCCGCGAGGGCGTCGGCGAGCGCTCCGTGCGCGTCGGCCGTCGCCGTGTCCGGCAGGAATCTAGTCGGACCGAGCTCCGGCCCGACGTCCTGCAGGGCCACGAAACACGTCGCGAGTACCAAGTCCTCGGTCCACTTCGTGTCGCTGTGGCAGGGCTGCGGCGGAGACCCGGGCGCCGAGACCACGGCCGAACATTCACGTAGAACCGCATCGGGCCCGCAGAGCTCGGCGAAGGCGGCGCCGACGGGGCCCGCTAGGAGCTCTTGGACGACGGAAGCGACTTCAGGGTCAGCGGGGTCCATGAACACGTCCCATCTCGTTTGCGGCGCGTCCGGTATGGAGTTGTCGCTGGGGCCGAGGATGTCGCCCACGAGCGGTGAATCGTCGCGCACGCGCAGGACGTGGTCCCGCAGAGCTCGCGCCCTGTCCACGGCGACGGCGCGCGGCAGGCGTCCTACGCCGCCTCGGCCGTTTCGTCGGACGGCAGCGACGAGCTGATCCGGCGCGTGCGGCTCCAAAGCGTAGACCTCGCCGCGGCACTCGAACGCTTCTTGCTGGGCCCACGCCGTCTCCGACGAGCCGCTCGCTTGGCGGCCCGCGAAGACTTGCTCGAACGCGCTATATTCTAATTGCACGTCTTCAGATGCTCCCACCGGAAAGGCGTCTTGCAACGCGGCGTACTCACGTTTTGCTTGTGATGAGGCGCCGGCGAGGAACGCTTGGATTTGTGGTGGCGGCGGCCCGGACGTGGCCGCTCGCAGGCTCTCTGCAGCTTTGCGCAGGAAGTCTGGTGGTTTCAGAGCCGTGCATGCGCCGAGTACCAGCGCTGCTGTGAGCGGTCGTCGACGCATACCCGAGAAGCTGTTTTGCGCCGATTGGCTAGTCCGCTGGACGATTTATGCGATAGCTTGGCTGCTCACAACCTCTTTGCTCTCACAGCAGTGGCAGAGCTGCCAGCTTCTCTCTGCCCTTCGCGGCGAGGCGTGACGCAAAGACGTCGTCAACACACGCTTGGTGATCTTTCCATTGCCCTACGCGCACTCATTGCATTGCTGCTGCGTCCGCTGGCACACTGGAGTGATGCAGCTTGTGTTGGCATGGATTGCAGCGGCCACAGCGATGACCCCACAGCGCGCAATCGTCGTGGGAGGCAGCTCCGGAATGGGTAAGGCGGCGGCAAAGCAGTTTGTGAAGAATGGCGGCCACGCGTTGCTCGTATCGCGTAGTGCCGACAAGCTGCAGCGCGCGCGCGAGGAGATTATGCGTGAGACGGGCGCCGACGCGTATGCGGTGGACACGGCGGCCGTCGACGCCACCGACGAGGCGTCCGTCGCAGCGTTCGCGGCGGGACTCGCTCCCGACAGCTACGATGCCTTGGTCGTCTCGGCGGCGGGCCGGGCGCCGCATGGACCCGTCGCCGAGCTTGACGTCGCGGACGCTCGAGGCATGATGGACTCTAAATTCTGGACGGCGTGGCACTGCGCCAAGCACGTCGCGCCTGTTCTCGCCGACGGCGGATCGATCACGTTTGTTGCGGGCGTCTTGAATCGACGGCCGGGCAAGAACTGCGCACCTCTGGCCGCGACGAACGGCGCACTGGAAGGCTTGACTCGTTCCCTGGCTCTGGACCTGGGCCCTCGATTGCGAGTGAATTGTATGTCTCCCGGCTTCTGCGATACGGAGCGCTTCGATCATATGGATACCGAGAGGAAGGCGGCGATGCTCGCCAACACGGCGGCGTCGCTACCGCTCCAGCGAGTAGGGGAGCCCGCGGACATGGGCGCGGCGATCCACTACCTCGCGTCGGCACAGTTCGTCACGGGCGTAGTCCTGGACGTCGACGGTGGGCACGGCGTCCGCCAATACGCGGACGCGGCGACGGACCCGATGAGGCGTGGGGACGGGTAATTCGATTCTGCTTACTTGTTCGTGTCTTACAGGCCGCTAGCTAATACGCGGACGCGGCGCGACGGATCCCATGGACACGATCTGCTTACTAGTGTCTTACCGGCGCTAGATAACATGAGAGGCGCATCACATTGAATAGAGCCTGAAACGCCATCGCTGCGCGTTGCCAGACACAGGTAGACCGCCACACATCTCAAATTTTGAGCTGTGCGGCCGCGCCTCGTTCCAGCCGCTGCGAGTGGCGCCGCGTGGCATCAGGCAAGACGCGGCGCGCCGTCCTCCTCGCGGTAGCGACGCTAGCCGCGGCGGCGAGCGGGCGGAGCGCCAGACCGCGCGGCGTCAGGATGGCCCAAGCCTCTCTCGAGGACGAGGCCGCGGCGCGCGCCTTCCTGGCGCAGCCCGGCCCGCGCGCCGTCGTCTTCGCGGTGAATAGCCTCGCGCCGCTCGCGTTGATCTGCTCGGCCGAGGGATGTACCGTGGCCACGTGCGACGCCAACGAGGACGACGGCGAGGAAGCGGCGCTCGCGCTCGGCGCTACTTCTCTCCCGTGGGTCTCTCTAGCCTTGGACGGCAAAAGCGCGGGCTGCGCGCCGCACGACGTCCCGAAGACGCTCGCTTCCTTAAGAGGCGGCTCGACGGACGTCCGGTCGAGCGTGCGCGACGCCTACGCGGCGACGGCGACGGGCGGCCACGGCGTGCTACCGGGCGACGTCGGCGACGCGAAGAAGCGCTCGGCGAAGCTGGGCTACGAGGGCACGGAGCTCGAGGAAGGGGCGGATTTGGGACTGGGCTGCGGCAATCCTCTGATCGCGGCCCGGCTCCAGGAGGGCGAGGTCGTGCTCGACCTGGGAAGCGGCGCCGGCGTCGACTGCTTCGCGGCGGCCAAGCAGGTGGGCCCGCAGGGCCGCGTCATCGGCGTCGACATGACGCCCGAGATGCTACAGCGCGCGCGCCAGACCGCGTCGGCCAAGGGCTACGCCACGGTCTCGTTTAGGCTGGGCGAGATCGAGCATTTGCCGGTCGGCGACGGCGTCGTCGACTGCCTGATCTCGAACTGCGTCATCAACCTCAGCCCGGACAAGCCCGCCGTCTACCGCGAGATGAACCGCGTGCTGCGGCCCGGCGGCCGCGTGTCCATCTCGGACGTGTTAAGGACAGCCACAATCCCCGAGGAGCTGCGCACGGCCGAGGCCTACGCCTGCTGAGTCAGCGGCGCCAGCGCCGAGGACGAGATCCGCGACATGCTTGTTGCGGCCGGCTTCCACGACATCAAAATCACTGTCAAGGAGAACGGCCGCGACATCGTCAAGGATTGGATCCCCGGCTCTGGCGCCGAGAACTACGTCACGTCGGCCTACGTGACGGCCACGAAGCCGCGCCAGGCCCACGGCTTCCGCGACGGCGTCTTCTACGGCGCGTCGGCGGCGTGCTGCGCCCCGTCGTCGTCGGCGGCGGCGTGCTGCCCGCCGGCGCCGCCGGTCGCCGCCGCGCCCGTGGCGCCCGCCGCGACAGGTTGCTGCCCGCCGGCGGGCGGGTCGGCGAAGCCGGCCGCGTGAGGCTAGGCGCGGCGGCTTCGCGTGATTTCTCATCGCAAACGCGCCGCCGACCCGCGACAGACCACGTGACCCGCCCTCGGCTCCATTCATGGGCCTTGGCGGCGAGAGTCTGTTGCTGGTTGGTGGTAGTGCGCGGTGCTCCCCCCCTATTCCCCTGTTTAATGAATTTGACTCTGACTTTGTGTGACGCGCAAACCTGGTGCGTTCGACACGTCCATAGCGGCGTACTGTGGGATTGGTTAGAAAACCCGATTTGAGAGCCCACAGCTGCCATGCCACAGCCACTCACTTCAGAGCGTGCTGTGCGTCGAGACGCGTTATAAATCCACACGACTCGTCGCCGCGCTTGCGTCGTCGAGCATAAATTGTCAACCACGTCGTTTCTCGGCCTTAGAAGTCGGAGTCCAGCGCGCCGAGGCAGGGAGAAAATGGGCAAGGATGAATCGGAGATGGTTGCCCTTAAGGAGGAGCCAGGTTACGGCGGGACCGACGCGGAGGAGAGCAAGATTGATATCTCCGACTTTAAGCCCGCGGCGCCGACGTGGGTCCTCGACGGCTCGTTAAGAGCCAAAGAGCAGAAGAAGTTTGAAGCACTCATTGAATCGGCGTCGTCGAAAGCCCCCGGAAAGATGGCCGGGTGCTTGAATGCCACGAAGCCGTGCCTCGCAGGCATCGCGGTGTGCTGCGAGGTCTGCCTCCCGATCTACGGCCAGATCGCCTATTACATTGCCAAGTTCTGCGCGTCCTTACCTACGGATGTCTTTGGTGTCGTCTGGGGCTTGTGCTTAGTCTTCTTCGGCGGCTTCTATCCGCTCACCATGGCCGCGTTCGAGGCCGCGCGCCAGTGCGGCGGCAGCGACACTTACGAGGCCCTGCACGACATCGCCGTGGAGCTGTCCAAGTATAAAAAGGCCTCGGCGGCGGACGACTTGGTAGATACGGACAACAACGGTATCGCTGATGTTGAAGAGATCACTGGAGTCCAGCTCGCGAAACGCAAGCACGGCGTCTTCCTCAAGGCGACGGACCCGCACGTCCTCGACAAGGCGTTCAAAGGAGTGTACACGGCCTGGGTCGCGGTCTTGGCGGTGCTCAAGATTCAATTCGCCCAGATCTGTGTGGAAATCAAACACTGCGTCGGGTGCATGCGACAATTCTTCACTAAGTCATTTCTCGGTGATGACGCGGCCATCCTGGCTCGGTCGAGCGGTGAGAGACCGGTTTCGCCACGCCATCGAGCACGCGCCGCGTCGATGGCGTGGAGGACGACGCGATGATTCAGCACGAACGCGCCGTAAAATTTTGATTTCCGCACAGGCTCAGATGATCGCGCTCGGCGCGGCGATTGGTGACTTCGTCGCACAGCTCCTCCGGGTCCCGGCGACGCAAGTCATGGTCCACGTGATGGACAAGGACTCGCATAAGTGCGGCGCCTGTGTGGAAATCGAATTTGGGCGCCCCACGCCATCGACGCGATGTTGTCTCTGTAGGTGGATCCCGACGTACATCTCGTACACGTGCAAGGCCATCGCCGTGATCATCGCGTACCACGTCCAGAAGATAATCACGGCGTTCTACTCGGCGACGCGCGGTGGCCTGATGGTCTTCCGCTCGCTCTTCGCCATTCTGGACCGTAGGGGCATCGTCCACGTGGACCACAACGAGACGTATTTGGACGAGGTCCTGGGCTGGACGCTGGCGGCGGTGGGCTTCTATTTCCAGTACACCCAGATGTTTTCTCCTCCGTTCGTCGTCGAGCTCCTGCTCTGGCCGCTCCAGACCATCGAGTACGGGCTGCTCTACGCCGTCGCGTCGACGAGCGCGCCGGCCGCCGCCTAGGTACGTGCTCTCCCCAAGGTGTCCATAAGTACAGACTGTCTACTTTCCAAGGTCCGTGATGCTACGGAGTGGGTGCACAACGCGTACGGGGAGCTAAGAAGGTTAGTAAAATTTTAGACGTCTCGCGGGGTGGTTTTTAGGGCGCGCGGGGAGTCCGGGACAGGACAGGACATGGTGGTGCGACGGCGGCCTACACCTGGGTCGTGCCGTAATCGGCCGGCGGCAACGGACCGTCTCCGCGCAAAGCCTTTAGTTCGGCCTTGAGCTTGGCGATCTCCGCGTCGGCGGCGAGCTCCTCCTTCTGCTCCTTGGTTTGCTTGAGCGCCTCGGGCGCCCACGTCTTGGGCGCCTCGGCGGCAGGAGCCTCGGCGGCGGGCGCCTCGGCGGCGGGCAGCGCCGGCTTCGTGGTCCAGGCGTTCTCGAAGGCCGAGGCGTCGTCGACGCCCTCGAAGCTCAACTTGGCCTCGGCGTCGCCGAAGCCCTGGGTGCGCGTCTCCGTGAGCTTCTTGCCATCGCGCGCGAGCGAGCGCTCCTGGAAGGACTTGGCGCCGCCGTCGGCGTCCTTGAAATTCTTGCGTACCGTCGTCCGCGTCTCGCCGTTCTGCGTGACGGACGAGCTCGACCACGAGTAGGCGTAGCCACGCGGCGCCGCCGGCGCGACGGCCTCGGGCGCGTCGCCTTCGGCCTTGGGCGCCTCGTACAGCGAGCTCGTGGACTCGTCGGTCTTGGTGGGCGCGTCTTCCTTAGGCGTCCCGAGCTGGCGGCGCTGCCCTAAGGGCGTGTCCGCGAGGAAGTCGTCCTCGTCGACGCGCTGGAGCTGCTCCTCGAAGGCTTGCGAGAGGCGCTTGAGCTGGCCGAATTGCTGGGCGAGCGGCGAGCGGCGCCGCATGCCCCACGGGTCGCGGCGCGAGAGGCCGAACGGGCTCCACGGGTCCCCGAAGACCGAGTCGAAGACGTCGTCAATGGAGCTGTAGTCGCGCCGCACGACGATGCGGCGCGGCTGCTGCGAGTGCGTGAACGCGCACGCGGGGGCTAGAAGAGCGGCGTAGCGGAGAGACATGATGTGCTTGAGAGGGCTGAGCTGAGCGTTTTTTAGCTGCGGTTTCGTGAGCGCAGCGATTGCAGGTTTGTGGGATTGTGTCGTAGCCGTGCTTTGAGAGCGCGGGACGAGCTGTGCGGTCGTTTGCGATGCGTGGTGAGCAGCGCTTGTTTTGCAGAGTGCTCTCGATGGTCTAGAGCCTCTCAGCTTGGGCCTCATAACGTTCCGTACGTGGCACCTGCGGATGTATATCGAAAGAACATGAAGTCGAAGTAAGAGCGGACCGCCGTGGAGGACGTGTGGGGAGGGCCTGCGGTACTGCTGGCCCCAGGACATGCCCGTCCGACGCCCGCGAGAATTTTCTCCCAGGGAAGCGAACGAACACGAATCCAATTCACCGTGCAAGGCCCGCCGGCCGACCCGTGGGGAGCGCCTGCGGTTTCTTGAGCCGGACCGACGCCGGACAGGTCCGACTGGAGCCGACCGCGAATGGGAGCCGGCTACTAGAGACGTCCCTCAACCACCGCCATTTCGTCGACGCTCATCGCTGTCGGATCCCTCTTTGCAGTCAGGGAGGATTCCGGGGGGGGGCGAGCGCTCGAGCCAGCTGTGTGTCGATCAGCTTGCCAGCGTGGTGTCCAGGCTGCGCGCGAGTCGAAGAGCCAAACAACATTGCACTCGGCCACGATTCGCATTGCTCACAGCTCGTTTGATAGCATTGCAATTGGCACGGCTGCGAGCTCTAGTTAAGCACAGCTTAAGCACAAGATGGCCAAGCTGCTGCTCGTGCTGGCCGCACTCGGCCATGCGCTGGTGCCCACCGCCGTGACGCGCCACCCAACAAAACTCCACTCAACAAAGCAGGATAATGTGGTAGAGACCGCCGGGCGGGCCGGCCTCATGTCCGCCGCGACAGTCGCGGCGGCCGCCGTGAACCAGGCCGTCTCGATGACGACGCTCGACGCGCCGGACGTCGGCCGCAGCTACGTGGCATTGAGGGATGACAAGGACGGCGCCACCGACGCCGAGACCGGTTTGCCTTTGAGCTACGACAAGGACCGCATCCAGCAGTACTGGCTGAAGCAGGGTTCCGCCCTCCAGCAGCGCTGGGGCGAGTTCCTCCGCCTGAGCGTGCCCTTTCTGTTAAAAACGGCGACGTTACTGGTCCAGGGCGGCGTCGATGCCCTACAGGAAAATGATGCGGAGCTCGCCCGAGATGCACGGGTCATCTGCGAGCAGCTGGGACCGACCTTCATCAAATTGGCCCAGACCTTGAGTGTGCGGCCCGACGTCCTGCCGCCTTCAGCATTAGCGGAGCTGGCCGTCTTGCAGGACTCCGTCGTGCCCTTTGAAACGGACGTGGCCATCGACATCATCGAGAAGGAGCTCGGCGGGCCGCTGGGTACTTTCTTCGCTTCCATTTCCGAAGAACCGGTCGCGGCGGCGTCGTTGGCGCAAGTCTACAAAGCAGAACTAGATGATGGACGTTCCGTGGCCGTAAAAGTGCAAAGGCCCCAAATACTGGAGCAGGTCTCCAAAGATTTATATGTTTTGCGGAGGGCGGCGGAGGTCTACCAGCGACTGATTGATAGGTTTGCGCCCCAACAAAAGACGAATTACGTTGATTTGTTAAATGAGTGGGCCGTCGGCTTCTACACGGAATTAGATTTTCGGTCGGAGATCGACAACCTGAATTCCATAAGGGACGTGCTCGTCGAAGGGGCGCACGAGGACGCGTCGACAACTGTACAAGGCGTCTACGTGCCCTACGCGCTGGAAGAATTATGCACGGCGCGCGTCGCCGTCACGGAGTGGATCGACGGCGTCAAGCTCTCTACCTGCGAACCGCACGAAATCAAGCGCCTGACGCCCGTCGCGCAGGAGGCGTTTTTAGTCCAATTGCTCGAGGCAGGGATATTCCACGCGGACCCCCACCCTGGAAACCTGTTCCGGAAGGACGACGGCCAGCTCGCCATCTTGGATTTCGGGTTAGTTGCTCGGGTACGCAGCGAGGACCAGGACACGATGATCAATGCCATCGTCCACCTGGCCAATAAAGATTTCCCGTCATTGGTGGATGATTTCATCGACCTCGAGATCCTGCCGAGGGATACGAGTCGGGGGACCGTCGTGCCGTTGATGGATAAGGCCCTGTCGCCGTACATTGCGGGAGGCGGGGCCAAGAAATTTGAAGAAAGAGTCCGGGCGTCCTACGGCATCGACGCCGACGCCGATCTAGGGAAAGCGGTCGGCGGCTTCCAGGCCATGACGCAGGACGCGCTCACGGTGCTGAACGACGTCCCGTTCTCGATCCCGCCGTACTTCGCTCTGCTTGGCCGAGCTTTTGTGACCCTCGAAGGCATCGCTTTACAAGGCGATCCCGACTACGCCATCATCCAGGCGGCCTACCCCTTCGTCTCGCGCAAATTGCTGTCCTCGGACCGGCCCGCGGCGCGGCGTGCGCTCCAGGAGGCGCTCTACGCCGGGGCCGGCCGCGACGACGGCTCGCGGCGCGCCCTCAGCCCGCGGCGGCTCGCGTCGCTCGTCTCGTCGGCCCTGGACGAGACGGGCGAGGACACGATTGTCAAGGGCGGGTCGATCGACTTCGACGCCATCGGGGAAGATGCCAACTCTACTACCCTGGCGAAGTACGTATTGAGCGACCGCGGGAGTGCGATCCGGGACTTCTGCGAGGACGAGGCCGTTGTGGTGGCGGACGCGCTGGGGAGGCAGGCCGCGCGGCGCTTGTTCGACCGCGCGGCGAGCGCGCCCGGCGTGGCGCTCAGGCGCCTGCCCTTCGTCGGTGCGCGCCTCGAGAAGGCGCTGCCGGACCCGGCGACGACGCCGGCGCCGTTGCTGTTGCCCGGGGACGGCGCGCCGGCCTTCCTCTTCGCGTCGCCGCGCGAAGTGCTCGACGCCGTCGCGCCTCCATTAGACCGCGACGACGAGCTCTACGCCCTGGACGTGACGAAATTACTCGAAGATGCGGCGCCGGACGACGAGGCGCGCGCCACCCTCGAGACGCTGCTGGGCGGTGGGAGCGGCGCCGCCGGTCCTGTCGCCGCCGCGCGGACGCTCCTGGACATCGCTACCTCCGCGTCGAAGATCTCGGACGACCGGCGCTTCGACGCGCTGCTCGACTCGGCGGCGGCGGCGCTCGGGCGACGGGACGCGCACGCCGAGTCGCTCCTGCACGTCGCGTCGGAGCTCGACGACGCGGAGAAAGCGGCGCTGCGCGACAGCGCGGGCCGCGTCGCGGCGCGCCTGGCGGAGCGCGTCCGGGGGCGGCTCGAGCCGCTGCTGCTGGCGTAATTTGGTTTGTGGTTTTATACTCGCCTTGCTTGGATGGATGGATGCCCCGGTCGTCGCGATTTGTCCGATTCATCCGTAGGCCACGATTCATCCGTATGCCACGATTAAAACGGGTTTTACACGCAAAAAAAATCACTCGTGTGATTTGTGTGGACTCTGCGGCTCTGAGCGACGTTCAATACCACTCTCTCAATTACCACGGTGTCACGGATGGCGGCCGTCGATCTCCGTGCGAGCAAGACTGGCTATCTCACGCTCGACCAAGCGGCCGCAATCAATCGAAGCGATGAGGCTATGCGTCGATTCGTCGCTGGCCTGCCAAAAGCAGAGCTACACCTTCACATAGAGGGTACGATAGAACCCGAGATGGTCCTTGCCATCGCGCGCCGCAATGGAATCGAAATGGAGGGCACCGACGACGCGGAACGCTTCTGCGCCGCGCAACGCGCGAAACGGTCGTTCCGCGACCTGCAGGAATTCCTCGACCTGTACTACTCGTCGTGCGATGTGTTACGGACCGAACAGGACTTTTTCGATATTTGCGCCGCCTATCTCGCTCGAGCTCACGCGAATCGGCAGTGCACAAATCAAACGTCGCTGCGGCCACCCGCCTCACAGATTGATTTGTACACAGGCAAATGGCGTGGTCCGCGCGGAGATCTTCTTCGATCCGCAAACGCACATGGTCGAACGCAACGGCCTCCCACTCGCGATGGTCGTAAATGGTCTCTACAGCGCGTGCGCGGCGTCGCCCGTCGACGCGACGTTGATCATGTGTTTCCTTCGCCACCGTCATCCGCCGCTGGCGCCGGCCGACGAGGCCGAAAAGATCCTCGACGAGGCCCTCGCCAACCACAAGCATCAAATAATAGGCGTCGGCCTCGACTCGTCGGAGGCGGGTCATCCACCACGACTCTTCGAGCGCGTCTTCGCCAAGGCGCGCGCGGCGGGGCTGCGTTGCGTGGCTCACGCGGGCGAGGAGGGGCCTGCGTCGTATGTCACCGAGGCCCTCGACCTCCTACAAATCGAGCGCGTCGACCACGGCGTGCGGTCCCTCGAAGACCCCATGTTGCTCGCTCGCCTGGCGCGCGACGGCATCCCCCTCACGGTCTGTCCGTGCTCGAACCACCGGCTACAGGTGAACCGGCGCTTTTTTGGAGGCGAGAACCCGACGCGCCAGCTGCTGACCAAGGGCCTCAAGGTGACGCTGAACTCCGACGACCCGGCGTATTTCTTCGGGCACACCGATAAATATGGGAAGACACACGGGGGCTACGTCGATTCGTGCTACCACGCGACCGCGCGCGAGTGCGGCCTCACCGCGGACGAGTGCGTCCTCCTCGCGCGCAATTCGCTCGAGGCGACCTTCGCCGCGCCCGAAGAAAAGGCCGCGCTCGTGGCGAAGCTCCGCGCCTACTGCGAGGGCTTCTCCGCGTGATCGGTTGTACATATTGCTCTTGTGCATAATATTTTGTCACATACTTACAATTAACTATGGCCGGAAGTACAAGCACGCGTTCCGCCCCTCGAAGTCGAGGCGCGCCTTCCGGATGCGCGGGTCCTTCGCCAATAAATAAGAGACGAGGTCGTCGTAGGACTTGACCGGCGCCCCGTTCATCCTCCTATGAGGGAACTGCTTGCTGCACGTGCAGCACCTGCGTGGGGCATCGCGTCGATGGCGTGGCGCGTGGCGCCATCGACGCGATGTGGACGTGGCGCGCGATGCCGACGCGAACAACGCGAAGAGAATAAAAGGACGCCGCAAGAGCACGGGACGATGGCGAAGGCCTTGCCGTGCGCGAGAGCGAAGTCGATAATCGGTTCCGCGGCGCCGTCGCAATGGAGGCCCACGAGCAGGTCCGCCCCTACGAGCGCCGCGCGCGCCGCCGTCGCGGACCAGGCGTCGTCCGGCGCCGCCACAAGGTCGGGCGGCGGCGGCAGGAGCTCGAGCCGCCCGTCGACCTTGACGTAGTTCTGCTTGCGCGACGACTCGCCGATGAGGACCTGCTCGGTCCAGCGCCGCGCGGCCGCGGCGAAGAAATCGTCACCGCCCGACACCGTCCAATCCACGAGCGCGCCGTCGAAGAACAGGCGCAGGTGCCGCGGCCGCCGCAGCGCCAGCTCTACGCCGGCCTCCTCGTGCTCCCTCCATCGCCGCCGGAAGCCCTCCGAGACGGCCTCGTCCCCGTTGTCGAGGAAGCTGCGCGCGCGAAACCTCCGGAAGCGCTGGCTCACGTCGTCGAGCATCGGCGCCCGCGGGTCCACGACGACGCAAGCGACGTCGTGCAAGTTCTCCAACTCGAAGCTCAGCTCTCCCTTGCCGCCCGCGACGTCGACGACGGCCGCCGGCCCGAACTCTTCGACGATGAACCGCCGGAAGACGCCGACGCGGCCCGCCTTCGTGAAGGCCGCTTGCGCGAACGCACCCGGCACGTCAACCAGAGGCGGGTGCGCGAGGGCGCAGCGGTCGCCGAGGTGGCACACGCCGCGGCGCACCCAATGCGGGCACGGCTGCGGCGTCGCCGGCGCACAGGCCGGATGAACCCAGCGAATCCGCCCGTTCTGGCCGAGGAGCGGCGCGATCGGCGTGTCGACCGCGATCGGCGCGCCGCAGGCGACGCAGGGACTCGTGCGCCGGGCGAGCTTCATTTGCTTGCTGCTGCTGCCATTAATGAGCGACGTATTGATCGATCGATGCGGGCTGCGGAGACCCGCTGCTCCGCTGCTGCAGCCCGGCAGAGGCCGCTTGCTTGCAGCTGGCGTACTACTCGGCAGGCAGAGGGATGACAGCGATGAGAGCCCTTTTCCTTTTGATGGAGATAGAGCAGTGATGCTGATCTCCACGAGTTCAGGCGCTGCGTGCCTTAGCGCCGCCGCGGGCTGCTTTTTTTGGTGGCTTGCTAGTGTGTTTGTTCGCTACCTCTGCTACGTACAAAGCAAAAAAAAAAAAAGCCTCCAGCGCCAGACAGCCAAAGCCGGGACCAGGCAGAGCCAGCCAGGGCCATTTGGAAGTCAGCTGGACCGGGCAGCAGAGTCATAACTTGCGTAGAGGCCCGATAGACTACACCATGCGCTCGATACGTGTGGCAGCCCTGGCCGCCTGCGCCGCCGCACTCGCACCGACACCCACCGCAACGCCGCGGCAGCGCCTCGGGACGCGACGCTCCTTCGGCGGCTTCAAATTCGAGAACCCCTTCGACGACCGGCCCGGCGCGACGGTCGGCAAGCTGCAGATCGCGCTCGCGAACGAAGACATGTCGGCGACGCGCGTCGTCGCCGACTGCGCCGCGCGCTTCGAGCGCGACCGGAGCCGCGCCGCTCTGCCGAAATTCATCGCGGACGTGGCGACCTCCCTCGCGCGGCGGGCAGACGCGTGGCTCTACGCCGCGTCCGTCGGAGAGCGCTTCGACCCGGGCCGCGTCGAGCGCTACGACCACGAGACCGCGTACGAGAACCTCGTGAACGCGGAGGCGGCGAAGTTCGAGGAGGAGCGGACGCCGTCCAGCGCGGAGCTGGAGCAGACCAGCGAGGGCGTGCGGGGCATGTGCGTCGTGTCCATCGTCGTCTGCCTCGAGGGCGACGAGACGGAGCTCTTCGCGGACGCGGCGGCGTCGGAGCCGCGGCTGCGGACGGCGCTCCGCGACCTCGCGACGCGGTGCGGCGTGCAGGGCGGCGACCTCGTGTACAACGCGGAGGTCCTGTGGACGCCGTCCTCCGCCGACGAGGCGCTCTTCAAGGACGAGATGCTCGTGGACTTTCCGGAGTTGCTGGCGCTGTAGTAGTAATAGAATAGGATTAGCGTGCAATGCGGGGGACTCCGGGGGGGAGGGACTACTGCGGAGGAGCGGGGCTCACACCGACAGCGTGCTCATGCGCGAGTTCGGGCTGCGGACGCCGTCGTCGTCCGGGAGACCCAGACCATGCGCGAACTTGACCGCTGGAGATATCTTTGGCGACAGCGGCGTCGTCGTTGTTTGGACCTCGTCGTCCTGCATCGTGACCATCGTCGGGTGTCGAATGTCGCGCGTCACCGCCAGGACGCGAAGAGCGATCACGATAAAGAAGCCAACGAGCAAAGCGGTGTTGTGCTGGCCTGTGTGGAAATCAAGATTTTACGGCGCGTTCGTGCTGAATCATCGGGTCGTCCTCCACGCCATCGACGCGAAGCCTGCTCGATGCGCACCCGACGCACTGGTTGATTTCCACACAGGTGCTGGCTGGGACAGAGGCGGATGATCAGGGCCGTGGCCAGCGCGCCGACAAAGCACGGCGACGCGTATATCTCTAGATAACTATTCATGATCCGCACGGGCTTCTGCAGGAATACGTCGCGAAAAATGCCTCCAAAACATCCGGTTGCCGTGCCGGCGATCGCGGAGGCGAACACCGTCACGCGTTCGTGGTTGTCCTCGCCGATGGCGGCGCCCGTGGTGAGGACGACGCCAATTATGAGGAGAGTGGTAGTGCGCGGGAATTTTATCCAGTCCTCCTCATCCTCGTCGGCGGTCTCTTTCGTTGTGACTGGTTGGTTGTTCTTGGTGTAGACCAGCACTTGTCTTGTCGAGGCTTGCCGCGATATGCGCGGCCGGCGCGAGTCGCGCGACGTCGCTTCGCCTCGTAACGAAAGCACGTTTCTAGGCTCGAAGGCAGGCTCGGCAAAGACGGAGATGTGGCGGTCCAGGGGCATATTGCAGAGGACCCCGCGACGTAATTAGCCTTGGGTTTTAGCCTGAGCCTGAGAGGAGGAGTTAATCCCTCCCCTGAGTATAGTTGGCAAATTACCCGGTAACGAGATCTCAGGGTCGGTAATTACCGGTAATTACCGGTAAATTACCCTGGTAACGGAAATTACCGGTAATCTGGGAGGTCCAAGGTGAGCCGGGCCGGGGCAGCCTCCCAGAACCCAGATAAGCATTTCCAATGGGACTGACGCGTAAAAAGCTCACTTGGGACCGTGGGACGATGCCCCTGGGGCATGGGCTTGGCCATATCCTGCCCATAGTCCAAAACGCGTCTGCCGCGTCCACCCTTTACTGACGCGTTTTACCTTTCCACCCCAGGGGTCATTACCCGGTAGCCAAAAATCGACTCCGGTAATTACCGGTAATTACCGGTAATTTCCACTACCGGCAATTACCCTGGTAATTTGATTGCCTACTATACCCCTGAGTAACGGGCACTCCTTCGTGACCGCTTAAGTACTCTCCTCCTGCGAGGCGCAAACGTGCAGTGGTAATCTCAGGACCCAGGATACAGGACGACAGGAGCACCGCAAACCTCCTGAATACGTTTTTGCCATACGTCAATTGCAAAACCCGCGATCTAAGAGCCGCTCACGAAACAACAGAGACTTATGATAGAATGCCGGCAGCTCGTCCTACCCGGGCGGCGGCGGCGGATCGGCACCGGCCAGGCGATCCAGCGCCAGGGCCGCCGCGCGCTCGCCGTCGGCCAGCGCCGCCTGGACGCACGGGTCGAGGCCTACCGTGCAGTGCTCGCCGCAGAAGAGGAGCCGGTCGACGGGCGCGCGCAGCGCCGCGCGCAGCGGCAGGCAGCCCGGCGACGGGTACGTGTAGCCGCCGCGGAACTCCGGCTCGGCGCCCCAGTCGGCCATCGCCGTGCCGACGCAGGCCGCCGTCGCGCGCCGCGCGCCGAACATGGCGTCGAGCTGGTCGAGCAGGCCCCGCGCCGCCGCCGGCGCGCCCAGCGCGGCGACGGCGTCCGCGCGCGCGCCCGTCGCGAAGCCCACGACGACGCGCTCGCCCGACCGCCAGACCTCCGGGAAGAGCGCGTCGCCGCAGACCGCGTTCCACCAGCCGCTCGGCCAGACCGGCCGGTCGAGCGCCACGGCGACCTTGAGCGCGTTCGCCACCGGCAGCCGCCGGATGGCCTCGGCGTGCGCCGGCGGCAGCGCCGGCGAGAAGGCCGGCGCCCCCTTCTTGAGGACGCCGAGCGGCGCGGCCACGACGCAGCACCGCGCGCGCAGCATCTCGTCCCGGCGGCTCCGCACGCTCGCGCCGGCCGCGTCGCGGTAGACGCGCGCGACGGGCCAGCCGAGGCGCACGTCGAGACCCCGCGCGAGCTCGGCCGCGGCGTCGGCGAGCGTGCCGTTCCGCAGGACGAAGTAGTCCTCGCCGCCCGTCCAGTGCTTCTGCTCGTGGGCCACCTCGGCGGCGCCCAGCTCCGACGCGCTCTCGCCGTAGTCGTTCGCGTAGACGGCGTCGGCGACGTCGAGGCAGCGCGACTTGACGCCCTTCCGCACGAAGTACTGCAGCAGGGACTCGTGTGCGGCGTGGTCATCCTCGATGGCGTCGAACGCGTCGTGCGCGGCCCGGAGCTCGGCCGGCGCCCCGTCCGCGTCGAAGTGGCGCCGCTCGCGGCCGAGCCAGTACGTCGCGGGCCACGCGCGCGTCTCCACGTCGACCTTCGCTCGCTTCAGGAGGTCGAGGACCTCGCCGGCGGCGCCGTGCACGTACTCCGCGCCCGCGGCGAACTCCAGACCCTCGAGCCGCCCGCGCCGCGCCCGGCCGCCGACGACCTGTGTGGAAATCAACCAGTGTGTCGGGTGCACGATAATTCGTCACTAAGTCATTTCTCGGCGACTACGTGGCCGCGCTGGCTCCGTCGAGCGGTGAGGAACCGGCATCGCCACGCCATCGAGCAGTGAATGCGCCGTAAATTCGATTTCCACACAGGCGGCGACACCCGTGGCCTCGACGACAACAACACTCTTCCCCGCCCGTTGCAGCGCCCGCGCCGCGCCGAGGCCCGCGAAGCCGGCGCCGACTACGAGAACGTCGGCGTCGAACTCGTCGGCCATCGCTGCTGCACAGTGAGATGAGGGCTCGGCTGCGAGCGATGCTCCCGGTATTGGTGTGCGCGCTGGTTGGAGCTGCGGGTGTAATGAGAGCAGCAGCCTCCTCTTTGTATTAGGAGTCTAAATGTCGCGTAGCGATGCAGTGCTTTGCGTGCTCTGTGTGCACGGTGCAGGTGCTGCACGAACAGCAATTCTTAGGCTGTGGGGCGAGTTATACGATCGCGTCTAGCTTGCTTGCTGCGCTTGCGGATGCCTAGGCATCCCTAGTGTCTTACTGGCCGCTAGCTCGCTGGACACGTGGGTTGCCGTTGTCTCTGCACTCCCTGTGCAGCAATCAATCAAGCTCAGCAAACGACATATCTGCGATGTTGAACATCAACCCGCTGGCCGCGCTGAAGAGCACCTTCGGCCGCCGCAAGAGCACGGCCAGCCGCCTCTACCACATCAAAAGTGGTCCTCTCGCCCAGGCCCGCGAGAACGTGAGGCGCGTTCACCGACAGGTCGCGGATTTTGAGCGGTCGTGCGCGCGGCGCGAACTGGACGAAAGACATCCCACGCTGCGATACGTGCGCGGCTTTTTCGCGGCCGTGCGCCACCACGAAAAAGCGCTGAGCGGGTACAACGAGGACAACGTCGAAGCGCATGACTCGCTGGAACAAGCCACGAACCACCTGATCGAGGCGGTGTCGACGTACAGCACGCTCGACCCGAGCGAGTTCCAGGCCCAGCTCGGCGTGGCGTTGCTCTCGGCGGTCCGCGGGCTGAACTGCCGCGAGGCCTTCGCGCAGTACCAGGCCGACCTCAAGGCGGTTACCGAGGATCGCCTGGGGCGCGCGGTGCAGCGGGAGAAGGTCAAGACCGAGGGCTACACGGACCGCAAGGGCAAGGAGCACTCGCCGGCCGAAATCGCGGCGAGGGCGGAGCGCGGACGCCAGTGCAGCGCCATGCCCGGGGGCCGCGACGTCGCGCTGGAGTCGAGAACCTCGGCGGGGGGGCGCGGTTTGCAGAACGAGGCGGCGACCAATGCGTCGATGCGGTCGCTGCAGGATGCGTCTGCTCGATGGCGTCGGCGCAACCCCACCCGGTGGCGCGACGATATCATTGCGGTGCACGGCGTGGACGCGGTGCCGCCGCGCGGCGCCACGCTGAGCCCGAACGGCTTCCTCGTGTGCTCCTACATCTCGCAAGGCCTGCAGTTCCCGCCGACCTGGGACCGCAACGAGATCGTGCGGATCGTGGCCTACTGTCGCGAGCGGAACAACGTGCCCGAACGCGACCAGAGCGACTTCGGTACGTATGTGTCCCCCAACTGCGGTGGCTGGGAGGTTCATCCGCCGGTCCATATGCGCCGTCCGTTAAAAATGAGCGGCGACCCTATGCGCGTTTACTGCCCCGAGACTCGGTCCTGCGTCTTCTCGGACAAGGACGTGGCCGTCACGGCCTATGAAAAGTTCATGGCTCCTTCGACGTCGAACGACGAGCGCAAGAAGATGCTCACGGTGCCGCTGGAGGCCTTTACTTGCGCGTATTGCGACCATAGACCGTTCGGTCGAATATGTGATCGTGTGAAACACGAGAAGCATTATTGCAAGTCGAGGCCTGACGCGCCGGAGCCGTCGTCGTCCGAGGAGGAGGAGTCCGACGAGGACGAGTCCGAGGAGGAGGAGTCCGAGGAGGTCGTCGCGCCGCCGTCGCCGAAGCGCGCGCGGTTCTTCTCCTGGCCCTGGTAGTCGTCCGAGTAAGTATGTATGTGTCTACCAACCCGTCGTCAACGCTGCAGCTTTATGTCGGCGCAGGCCGCCGGGCGTACGTACACTAGATCATGCTGCCGTCGCGCGGGCGCCACGACGTGCGAGTAACTTCGTATCTCTATGCCATGGTCGGTAGTTCGTTCCTTCGTCGGCGCGACCGCCGCGCCCATCGACCGCCTCGAACTGCCGTCGTCCGCCTGTCTATAATGTAGTTCTTCCTAGTATTCTGTTGCGAGTAATGCGTCCTACCTCATCCCATTAGACCCCCCACGGCACGCGCCCGCAGTAGAACCCCGCACTTTGACTAAAACCGGCGTCGCGACGTCGAACGCGCAGCGCAGCATCATCGATGGCATAGGCTGCCCAACCAGCAACATGGTTAAGGTCCGCATCGATCTCCTCAGGGACGATGGCCTGGCGGCAGCCCCAGAGGAGCCGGCACCCGTCAGGGCTGCCGACGAGGTCGAGACACCAAAAGCCCTCAAGAAACGCGGCGACGCCGCCTTCCGGCGCGGCGAGGCGGCGGCGGCCGCGCGACTCTGGACGCGAGCGGCCGCGGCCGGGCGGGACGACCGCCGGCTCGCCGTGGCGTGCCTCGCGAACACGGCACGCGCTCAGCTCGACCTGAGCCGCGCCACCGACGCACTGCGTGCGGCCGCGGAGGCGCTCGCGCTCGATCCGGACCACGCGCGCGCGCGCTACTTCCGGGCGCGGGCCCTCCTGGCGCTGGGCCGTCGCGCCGACGCGGACGAGGCGATCGCGTGGCTCGTGGCGAGAGAGCCCGGCAACCCGCGCGTGCTGGAGCTCGAGGCCGAGGCGGCGCGGGTCCCCGAGGCCGCGCCGGCCGAGGTCGACGTGCCTCGCGCCGACGGCGACGCGGCGCGGGCAAAAGCCGCCGCGCCGGCCGCCGCGCCGACGGATCCCACGGTCCGCGCGAGGGCCGCCGCTCGGCCCGCATTCGCCACCACCTGGACGGCTATGGCCGCGCGCGAGGCCTACGCGCCGCCCGCCTCCCGCTTCAACGTCGACGCGCCGAAGGCGCCGCCGCCGGCCGCCCGGGCGGACCCTGCGGCGGCCGAGGTCGCGCGCCTGCGGGCCGCGCGGCGGCCGGAGGCCTCGACGGACGGCGCGCCCCGGTCCGTGCACGCGATCCTCGCGGAAAAGCGCAAGGCGCGCCGCGCCGCGCGGGCAGCGCCCGCCCCGGCGAGCGCGGCGCCCGCCACTGCCTGGACGGCGATGGCCGCCGCCGAGGCCGCGGAGGTCGCGAATGCCATTACGCGCCGGCCCGCGGGCGCCCCGCCGAAGAGCGACCGCAAGGACCGCGGCCCGAGCGGCGTCGAGCCGATGAACGCGGGACCGCAAGTCGCGGAGGCCTGGATGTCCCTGGAAACGGACGAGTCCGCGAAGCAAGCGATCGCAGCGTGTCGGAACGACGCCGGCGCGACCGAAGGCGACGCGACGGCGCGGCGCAAGGCCAGGCAGGTGCTCCAGGAGGCGCGCGCCCGGAAGAAGAGCGGGGTCGTGCGGGCGCCCGTTGCCGACTCCTCCCTCGCGGAGCTAGAGGATGAACACCGCGAGCGGCTCGAGGAGTACCGGCGCCGCAAGGAGGCGCTCGCGGCGACGCGGGCGAAGCTCTCCACGAAGAAGGGCGGTTCCAAAGTTTAAGTTCAAGTTTTGTGAGTTTGGTCCTTCGCGAGTAGCGTCTTCGCTTTTTTTGTCTTTTACTGGGGAGATGGGCAACTCGGCGTTCACGACGCGATGACGCTGCGGCACCTAGCATCTCCGGCCACGGCGCGAGGACGGCTACCGCGAGGGCTCGAGGGCGAGTGCCCGTCCTCGGGGCAGCTGCGGTAGCCCTGCGGCTCCGCGTGACCCGCGCGACCCCGCGGGGCGCAGGTGCGCAGGGGTCGTCCGGGACGCTTGGACTCGCCGCGGCGGCCCGAATACAACTAATATGTTGGGAGGCTTGATCTTGAACGCTGGCGCGGACTTTTGCACTAGAGTAGGCCAGGTTACCCTAGTTAGATCGCACCGGAAGCCGCGGCCGAAATCGTCGCAGCGCGCAAGCGCGTCGTGCGCAGCGTCAGGCAGCAGCCTGCGCGTTCTCACACCATCAGCGCGAAGCGATGGTCGCGGAGACGATGGGGCCATCGGCAAAACAGGTTTCACACGCTTTGTTGCAGTGGCATCGGCAACTTTACGATTGCGACGCGCGAACGACAACCAAGACTCCTGACGAATTATGGCCGCAGCTCTCCAGCTCACCACGACGGTCGGCGAACACAAGTCGGCCTACGACGACCGCTACACGGGCTACACGGGTGCTTTAGTTATTCAAGCCCCCAGCTACCAGCAGGCCAAAAGAGATCTGCTGGACCAAGGCGAGCAGTTCCTAGAGGACACGTGGTCCACCCTCGTCACGGTGCCGGACGCCGCTAGGCAGTTCCTCGACAAACAGCAGCTCGGCGTGATCGGCGACGGGTTTCTCAATCACTGCGAGCGGTCCATCCGCGGCTTGTGTAAGTTGAATTTGGCGGACCAAATTCAAGAACTCCAAGGCCCGACGGGCCGCTACCCGGGACCGACCTGGTTGTCGTCCTCGCGCCAGCTCAGCACCGACGGTATTACGTTGCTCGTGTCCTACGTCACGCCCGTGTCCTATGCTGCCTATCTAGAGAAAAACTTCGAAGGGGAGAGCAAGAAGCGCAAGTACCAGGGCGAGACGGTCATCGACCAGACGATCCAGGCCGCCGACATTAAATGTGTGACGTGGTTGCACGATCATGTCGGGACGGCGGGCTTCACCATGGACCAGTTCAAGGACTTTCGAAAGGAGTTCAAGGACTTGAAGCTCGACCACGAGAAGTACAAGGCCGTCAAGAGCGGCCCGGAGTTCTACAAGATGATGTCGGGCGAGAGCGACCCGGTCAAGAAGGCGTGGATGCAGTACCACATCGACAAGGGCCTCATCGACACGCGGCAGATCCCCCAGGAGGTCATCGTGTACTACAAGGGGCTGGGTGTCAAGTTCCCGGGCCTCTAAGGAGGTTCTCACGTCCGAGTTGCGCGCGTCCCTTCGGGTAATTAGGGGTGCATACTTTACGAGCTAGACTTATTGGACCCCTCGTTTGGCGGGCCGCGTCGGACGTCGTCGCGGCGCGGCGTCCGTTCAACAACACGAGTACCTTCGCGGCGGCCGCCGGTCCTCGACGTGTATTTTATTTATTGACAACTCCTGCGCCGCGTAGACGCGCCCGCACGCCGCGCAGGCGTCGCGGCGCGCGTGCGCGCACGCCTCGGCGCCGAGCCGTACCGCGTCAAGCCACACGGCGGGCCCGCGCTCTGAGGCGTCAGCGAAGGCAAAATTCAGAAACTGTCCACGCCATCGCTGCGATGACCGCGCCGCCCTCGGAGCACCTTTAGTCGGTCGACGGACACGTGCGCGCACCCGCGCGGGCCCCAATAACGCCAGCACGCGATGGCGCCAGAAGCAGGCCGCGACGCACAAAAAGCTGTGGAACACTATCACACGACGACTTCACGACAAAATAACGTCATCCAGCCCACGACCGTCCTATCGCAAAAGTGCTGAACCACGAACGACGGCGTGGTCGCGACACGGCGCTGATTACCCAAAACACCGGGTGCCGCGAGTCTGTCGGCGTAAATCTAGAGAGATTCTGGAGATCGGCGCCGACGCTCTGGGCGGGCCTGCTAGCAGCCCGTCGATAATCGTTGATGAAATCAGCTGTGCGCGGACAGCGGCGCCGCGCGTCTCTGTGAGAGGCCAAGCCGCAGCCTCAGGCCCAGGAGAGCCTTTTTTTTCACGTCACAGCGATGGCGTTTTCTGGCACGGGCTGCTGCGGGCACGCGTGTTAGCATTCAGCTCGACGCTGACGGCTGGTACGACCGACACGGCCGCTTAGCCGCTGGAGCGCGGCTAGCGTTTATTGACATACTAGGCATACCGAGGATGAAGATCGAACGGCCAGAGCAGCAGACAGAGCAGCAGACCTAGCCGTATGGCGCACGTGTACTAGTCCGCAAACAGCACAAGTCCTCGCAGCGAACAGCCGCACGAGTCCTCGCAGCGAACAGCCGCACGAGTCCTCGCAGCAGAGAAGCAGCTGCCGTCCATGGAGGACATCGAGCGCCAGCTCGCGGCGGCGACCCTGCGCGCGGTGAGGCGCGAGTCCGAGGAGCGCCACAGCCGGCTCCAGACGCTCGCGCCGACCCCTCGGCGGCATCAGACGCTCCGGCCGCGCACGCTCTCGAGCAAAAACTCCGGGCGGCGGTCCGTCGTCGTGCAGCGCGACGTCACGGCCTTGACGCCGCTCACGCGCGAGATCGAGCCGCGGAGCTTCGCGGAGTGCGCCTACGAGCCGCCGCGGCGCGGCGCGAACGACGAGGAGCAGATGGCCGGCGCGGCGCGCTGGGAGATGCTCGGCACGGACGAGGTCCGGGCCTGCGTGCTCAAGCTCTGCGCCGACGACATGGGCGCGCTCGTGTGCACGCACCGGGCCTTCGCGGCGCCGGTCGAGGAGGCCGCGCGCTACCTGCTCTCGAAGACGCGGGACGCGCCGGCGCCGCGGCGGTGCCGCATCTCGAACGCCTTTTGCGAGCCGGCGTGGCGCGCCTTCAAGGCCTGCGCGCGGTACCACCCTGTGTGGAAATCAAAAATTTACGGCGCGCTCGTGCTGAATCATCGCGTCGTCCTCCACGCCATCGACGCGACGCCTGCTCGATGGCGTGGCGATGCCGGTTCCTCGCCGCTCGACCGAGCCATGTCGGCCGCGTCATCGCCGATGCACCCGACACACTGGTTGATTTCCACACAGGTACCACCGCCTCGACGCGCGGAGCACCGTCGCGGCCGGCGGCGCGCACTCGCTCCTCCTGGGCGCCGGGGACGACGAGGACAACCTGAGCGTCTGCGGCCGCGGCACGTGCGGCCAGCTCGGGCTCGGGAGCGGCCGCTGCGACGTGACGCGGCCGACGAGGCTGGCGCTGGGCCGGCGCGTCGCCAGCGTCGCGGCGGGCGCGCACCACTCGCTCTGCGTCTGCGACGACGGGAGCCTCTGGGCCTGGGGCAAGGCGGCGGACCACCAGCTGGGCACGCGCGTTGACGACGTGATGGCGCCGGCGCCGGCGCGGGTGCGGCTCGAGGGGGACCTGCGGGCGCGGCAGGTCGCGGCCGGCGCGGCGCACTCGCTCGCCGTCGACGCGGACGGGGGCCTCTGGAGCTGGGGCCGCAACGCGCACGGCCAGCTGGGCCACGGCACGGCGCGGCCGTCGCCGGCGCCGCGGCGCGTGCTGCCCCTGCGCGCGCGGCCCGTCGTGCAGGCCGCGGCCGGCGCCTTCCACTCGCTGGCCGTGCTGCGCGAGGGCGCGCTCTACGCCTTCGGCCTCGGCGCCGACGGCCGCCTCGGCCTGGGCCACCAGCTCAACGCGACGCTGCCGGAGATGGTGCCGCTGCACCAGTTCGTGCGGCAGGCGGCCGCCGGCGCGACGCACAGCGCGTGCTGCGACTCGGCGGGCTGCCTCTACACGTGGGGCGACGGCGCCAAGGGCGCGCTCGGCCACCTCGGGCCGCGGCCGCGCAAGAACAAGAACGACACGGGTTTGGCGTCGATGCCGTCGTGGGAGTCAGCTTTACGTTTAGGCGAGGCCCTGCAGCACTCGGCGGGCGCCGCGCCCGCGGCCGAGCTGACGCCGCGGCCCGTCGCGGCGCTGCGCCACGTGCGCGTCGTCCAGGTCCAGTGCAACGAGCGCGAGACCGTCGCCCTCGACGGCGACGGCGTCGTCTACGTCGTCGGCCAGGCCTCCGCGCAGGCCGCGGGCGCGTCGCCGACGCTGCCCCGGAAGACGCCCGAGACCTCGCCCCTCGCCGGCATCGGCCGCGCGCGGGCGCCGTCCTTCGGCGGCGGCGGGCCCAAGCCCGCGGCGTCCTCGAAGCAGAAGTCCGCCGTCGTCGCGCACCGCTTCCACGCGCCGGTCCTCGAGGTCGCGTCGTCGGCGCGCCACGTTGTCGTGCGCACGACCGAGGACACGTACTTCGCCTGGGGCGGCGGCGACGGCGGCGCGGGCTTAGGGGTCGGCGACGCCAAGGGCCGCGCGCGGCCGACGATGCTGCCGCCGTGGAACTGAACTCTCTCGTCGCCGTCGGAGTGTTCTCCTCCTCCCGAGCGAGCCAGCCTATTAAGAACTGAACTAGCTAGGTTCGCTTCCCGCCCCGTCGGTCCAGACGCCGGGTTTTTCAGCCAAAAAAAAATCGAGCATCACGCGCCTCAGGCGAGAGACCCATTTAACTTTGACCCGTTCTTAAAAAGGCGGCGTCGCCACGACGTGAAGAAGGCGGCACACAAGTGATATGGGCGTCAACGGATTGTGGCCGGCCCTCGACCAGGGGAGCAAACCGGTAACGGCGGAGGACCTCCGGGGTAAGGTCCTCGCCGTCGACCTGAGCATCTGGCTCGTCGAGGCGTGCACGTCCAAGCTCCTGAAGACGGAGCACAAGCACCCGCACCTGTTCCTGACGCTCTCGCGGGCGTCGTTCCTGCTGCGCCACGGCGCCCTGCCGATCGTCGTCGTCGAGGGCGCGCGCCACCCGCGGAAGCGCTGGAAGTCGGACCGGCCGGATCCGGGCCGCGCCGCGCTCGCGGCGTGGTCGCGCCAGGCCGCGCGGCTCCTGCGGGCCCTGGGCGTGCCGACGCTCGTCGCGGCCGGCGAGGCCGAGGCCTGCTGCGCGCGGCTCACGGCCGCCGGCGTCGCGGACGGCGTCGTCACCGAGGACGGCGACGCGCTGCTCTACGGCGCGACGCGCGTGATCCGCGGCGCGACGGTCGACGGCCTCCAGCGGCTGACGGCGCGCGTCTATGACGCGGCGGCGCTGCCCTGGTCGCGGCGCGAGCTCGTGGCCCTCGGCCTCCTCTGCGGCACGGACCTCGACGCGGGCGCGCGCGGCGTCGGGCCCGTGCGCGCGGCGGCCTTCGTCGCGTCGCGGCGCGGGGCGGAGACGGACGCGCTGGACGCGCTGCGCCGCTGGCGCGACGAGGACGGCGACGACAGCGTCGTGGACCTCTGCGACGACGACGACGACGACGCTGACGATGGCGAGATCGCGGCGTACTGCGCCGCGCACAAGTGGCCGCCCGAGGACCTCGTCGCGACGTACCTCGCCGACGAGCCGATGCCGCGACGGGCCTTCCGGTGGCGCCGGCCGAGCGTCGACGCGCTCGCGTTCGCGAACGCCGAGCGGTGCGTCCACGGCTTCCACGCGCGGCCCTCGCTGCGCTACGTCCTCGCGCGCGTCGCGCGCCTCGTCGACTGATTCCTCCCCCACCACCACGACTAAGAAGAAGACACACAACATTTAGCTGGGGTAGCCCATCTGCCGCAGCTTCGCGTCGTCGGAGCGCCACTCCTTGGACACCTTGACGCGCAGGGCCAGGTGGACCTTGGCGCCGAGGAAGTCCTCGAGCCGCCGCCGCGCCGCCGTGCCCAGGTCCCTAATGCCCCTGCCTCTTTTGCCGATCAAGATGCCCTTCTGCGAGTCGCGCGCGACGAGGACGACGGCGTCGATGGCCACGAAGGGCCGGCCGTCCTTGGTCCGCTCCTTGAAGCGGTCGACGCGGACCTCGCACGAGTAGGGGATTTCTTTGGAGAACTGCTCCAGGATCTGCTCGCGGATGATCTCGCCCACGAAGAAGCGCTGCGGCCGGTCCGTGAAGAAGTCGGGGTCGTAGAGGTAGTTTGACGGAGGCAGGTTTGAGGCGAGCGTTTGGGCTAGGTCGTCGATGTTGTCCCTGGCCAGGCCCGAGACCGGCACGACCGCGCACGCCGCGGGGCAGCTGGCTTTCGTTCTCTCGACACAATCCTCGAGGGTCCCTACTCTACTTGCGGCGCGGTCGCCGAGGAGGCCCTCCTCGAGCAGGTCGACCTTGTTCAGCGCAACCACAACAGGCGGCCGCTGCGCGGGCAGGAGCTCCTCCATCCACGCGTAGGCGTCTCTTACTTCTTCTTCGTCTTGAAAGATGTCCGTGACGAAGAGGAGGCACTCGGCGTCGCGCGCCGCCGCCTTGGCCGCGACCATCATGCGCTCCTGGAGCTCGTAGGCCGGCCTTTCTAAAATCCCCGGCGTGTCCGACAGGACGAGCTGGTAGGCGTCGGCCGTCACGACGCCCAGGATGCGGTGCCGCGTCGTCTGGGCTTTGGACGTCGTCACGCAGAGGTCCTCTCCCAACAAGGCGTTGGTGATTGTGGATTTCCCGACGTTCGGCGAGCCCACGACACCGACGAAGCCGGCGCGGAAGCCGGTCTTCGGCGCGAGCGGCGCCGTGGCCTCGAGCTCCGCCGGGTGCGCGACGCCGGCGTCGTCGATCGCGGCGGCGGCCGCGTCCGCCGCGTCCGCGGTCGCCGCCGGCGCGCCGTCGGCCTCGAGGATCCGTTCGATCAGGACCGCCTTCGTGCCGCTGACGGGCAGGCCCAGCGCGCGGCATTGGTCCTTGAGGTCGGGCACGCGCAGCTCGGCCAGTGCTTCAGCATCAGGCGCTGCACTCAGTGGGCGCATATACCTCACACGCGTGGGCGCATGCCAGGCGCTGCAGCGTAGCACGAGGAGCAGGGCGAGGCGTGCAACCATTTCGAGCGTCAAATTGATGCGTCGCGCACGCGTTCTCACCTTCAACGCGGCCCTGCTTTTTAGCTAGCGGCTGTAAGGCACTAGCATTAAGGCAAAAAAGCCAAAACAGCAGCCTTTGCGGCTGACTAATCGTGCGTGCGCTTTCAAGGACTCGCAGAAGCTTCTGCGACAGCGCAAAGCCGCCCGCAGTCGAAACGAGCACCGCTGAGCCAAACCCAGCACTCAGCCCTCAGCACCAGCTCCAAGGGAAAGCGAAAGCGGCGAAGGAAGCACGCATCGCTCGCCTACGGTCGTCAAGTGTCGCAGATTGATGGACCCCACCGAGCTCAGCACTCAGCTCCGCCGACGCGCCCGGCCGGAGACCGTGCACACGAGCGACGACCTCCAACAAAACCAGGAGTCGTACGCCGACGCGAGCTACTGGCACGACCGCTACGCGACGCAGGACGCCGCCTTCGAGTGGCTCTGCGGCTGGCGCCCGCTCGCGCCGCTCTGGCGCCGCCGCGTCGGCGCCGCGCGGCGCGTCCTCCACGCGGGCTGCGGCACGTCCACGGTCGGCGCGGACCTCGGCGCCGTCAACGTCGACGTGGCGCCGGAATGTGTGGAGGCGATGCGCCGGCGGCGCCCGGACGGCGACTGGCGCGTGGCCGACTGCCTGGACCTGCCCTTCGCCCCTAACTCGTTCGACGCCGTCCTCGACAAGGGCACGCTCGACGCGTTCTGTTGCGACCGGGACGCGAAGCAGGCGGCGCGGCGCGCGGAGCAGTATGTCCGGGGCGTGTTCCGCGTCCTGCGGCCGGGCGGCGTTCTGTTCGTGGTCAGCTTCTCGGAGACGCGTCTAAGACATCTGCAGCGCGTGCCCTGGGCCTCGCACACGGTCGACACGCTCCGGAACGAGCGGAACCAGGCCGTCCACGTCTACGTGTTGCGGAAGCCGCGGCGACGGCGCTTCGTGGTCGGGGCGGTTCTCGCGGCGCTCGCTTATGCGATGCACCGCCACGTCCGAACGCGCGCCGTCGTCGCCGCCGAGGATTTGGAGCCGACGGCCGGCGCCGCGCAGTGCAACTACGAGCTGCTCAAGTCGTTCACGCGCGTCGCGGCGGGTCTCGACTGGACGCTGGGCGCGGGGACGCTGCTGGGCGCGCTGCGGTCCGAGCCGGCCGGGCTCCTGCCCTGGGAGCACGACGTCGACGTCTACATCCCGGCGCGGGACGCCGCGGCGCTCGCGGAGCGGTTACAAAAATGCGCGCCGGGCCGTCGGGACGCCGCCGCCTGCGGCGCGCTGCTGTGGCGGGGCTTCGTCGACGGGCGCGGCGACGAGTGCTGCGGCTTTGGGTACAAGGCCTTCCACGCGACGTCGACGGCGTGCGAGCTCGACGTCCTGGTGCTGGCGGCGTCCTCCTACGCCCCCTGGACGCACGGCAAGCGGTTCGGCTGGACGTCTTGGCCGCCGTTTCCTAGGGTCGTTGCGGCGTTTTCACATGAAGCGGGCCCGCTCGACTACCTCGTGATCCCCGAGGACATTGACCGGGGCAACCTGTTGCAGGGCGACCGCTGGGACGCGGCGGGGCGCTTCCGCGGGCCCGAGGTCGCGTTCTTCCAGGACGAGTACTTTGGGCCGGGCGAGTTCGCGCCGCGCGAAGCGTTGGCCATGTACGACCTGGAGGTCTTCGTCCCGCACGACGCGTGGGCCTCGCTGAACCGGACCTACGGCCCGTCGTGTAGCTACACGGCACGCGTCGACGAGCACGGCGGCGTTTACGTGGATTTGCGCCGCCGCGAGCACGCGCACCTGAAACGGCCGGCGGATATCACAATTGTGGATGTATTCGGTAACAATAATTAACTAGTTGGCGAAGGCATGGGCCTCTTCGCCGGCGGCGGCGCGCCGTCGTCCTCGTCGTCGCTGGCCGCAGCGATGATGCCGTCGTCTTCCGCTGGCGGCGCCGGCGCCGGCGCCGGCGCCGGCACGCAGAGCTCCGCGAGGCGCTGCCGCACGTCCGCGCGGTCGAAGATCGCTGTGGCATCATCCAACTCCACGAAGTTGATCGCGCGCGCCGCGTCGGCCGCGCGCGCGAGGCGCCGCGCACAGACGGGCTGGAGCCAGCCCTCGACCACGAACCGGTGCTTGTCGTCGGCGCCGGGCACCTTGACCGGCCGGTTGAAGACCAAGGAAAGGGGCTTCATGGCCGCGTGCTGGAACGCGCCGTCCGAGAGGACGCAATATGTCAAGCGCGGGTCGTCCTCCGCCTGGCCGCGCCGCCGCGGCCGCTCCTTCACGTCACTATTCAAAACCGCGTTGAGCGCCGCGCGGCACGCCGTCGGGCCCCGCGCCGCGGCGACGTCGCGCGCGCCCCGGATGACTTCCGACCGCTTCGCGGCGGCGTCGACGGCCTTGACGAAAGCGTCGAAGGCCCGGCGCTCCGTCGACGACACCAGCACCGTCTCCTCGTCCTCGTGACGCGTCCAGAGCACCGCGAGGCCGCCCGCGCGCGCGTAGACGCTCTCGGCGTTTCCGGCGCGCCAGCCCTCGTAGGCGTCGTAGAGCGCCATGCACCACTCGCCGTCGCCGCGCTCCACGGACGCCCGGAGCTGCGCCTCGTCGTACTCCCAGCGCAGCGACGCCGCGCGGTACGTCTCCGCGGGGTCGCCGCCGCCCTCGCGCTTCGTGAAGGACGCGGCGCCGGCGGCGCGGCCGCGCGCCGTCGCGTGCTTCCAGGGGAACGGGCTCGCGGCCTCGAGCGTGCAGCGCGTGGCCAGCGCGTACGTCGCGTCGGCGAGCGCCGGTCTGCCGTCGAAGTCGTCGTCGTCGCTGCTCGCCTGCACGTCGACGGCGCCGTCGTCGTCGCTGCTGCTGGCGTCCGGTGCGGGTGCCGGCGCCGGTGCCGCCGCAGTCATGAGCGCATCGATCTCTGCCTCGGACTTTGGCGCGAGCGTCAGGTCTGCGAGCTCCTGCAAGAAGGCCATGGGTGCTCCTACGCTCGTCGTGCAGCGGCAGCGCGTCGGTGGCGGTCGTGAGGCCACGAATGTGATCGATGCGCGGTCACGCTATGAAAGACTACGAGTTATACCGCCCTGGAGCTCGAGCTCGCAATGGGGCTAGTGTCTTACCACCGCTAGCTCGACCGGCAGGCTGCTTCACATTTGCGGCTTGATAGCGCTGTTACAGTTGACGACGAACAACAGAGAAAAGGCAGCCAACACTGCATGTCAAAACTTGTGACTTCCAGGACCGTCCCACCATCCCTCGACCACCTGAAACAAGCCCAGAGAGAGATGTCAAACTTCGGCGCCGCCGTCGAGCAACTCCTGAAGCAGCCTGCGCCCCAAAACGAAAAGCTGCCGACCAAGGAGGAGCTCGCGAGCGTGAACTCGGAGTTCTCGGGCCAGCGCAACGAGGTGCGCCAGGAGCCGCCGACGCAGCTCGAGGTCGCGCGCCTCGTGGCCGCCATCAAGCGCGCGAGCGAGTGAATGGGCGCGCGGTTCAGCAGCAGCAACCGACGCCCCGGCCGCGCGGCACCGGCCCCGGCACCGCCCCGCGGCGACCTCGTGGCGTCCATGCAGCGCAGCGCGTCGTCCGTCGGCGACGCGTTCACGGAAGCGGTCGCCTCGGCGTCGCGCTCCGTCGGCGCGTTCGGCCTCGAGCGCGAGATCGCGAGCTACGAAAGCAAAATTCGCGCGCGCAAGCGCCAATTCGGCGTCGAGGCCTACGCGCCGCTGCGCGCCGCGGACCGCCAGGCGCTGGCACTGGTATTTAATGCCGCGCGGAGCGATATTTCGGCGCTGCAAGCCGTCATCGATCGGAAGCGCGCGGCGCTCGCCGCGCTGCGCGATTCGGCGACACCACAGCCTGTACGGGACAACGGCGACGCCGCCGACGCGCTCGCGCGCGCGCTCGACGTGCCCCGCGCCACCGCCGCCGACGCGCTCCGCCGCACGAACGGCGACCGCGACGCCGCCGCGGCCATGATCCTCGAACAGCGGCAGCCGGCGCCGCCGGTGGAGGCCGAGGTCCTCTCGTGGGACAACCCCATCGAGGCGACGCTCGTCGAGGAGCCGCGCCCGCGGCGGTCTTTGTCGAAGCGTATCTCCGACCGGATGCGGGGGAGGCTCTAAAAATACATAGCACACTATACAATGCCCCTCGCGCCCTCGGCGAGGAAGTCGTCGAAGTCCGCCGGTCTCGCGAACACTGCGAGAGACGAAAAAAACGTGTCGCCGTAGTCCCTGTAGAAGCGCGAAAACCCTTGTGGTGCGAGAGCTTCCGCCCACGCCTGATGCAACGTGGGTCCTGGCCCAGCGTGCGGCGTGAAGTCGTGCACCAGTAAGAGACCTCGCCGCGGAAGCCGCGGCGCGACGACGTCGCGGCAGAACTCGAGGCGGTCGACGTGGTCCACGAGCACGACCGACGCCGCTCGTATCGCGGCGTCGACGGCGTCGTTCGCGACGGCGCCCGCAAGGTCCGCCTTGTGGAAGCGCATCGACGGCAGCCACACCTTGAGCACGTCGGCCGCCCGCGCGTCGACGACGTCGGAGGTGTCCAGCGTCCCGCCCCGCAAGGCCGCCGCCACGCCGAGGTAGAAGGACGTGATGCCGCCGCCCGTGCCAAACTCCGCGATGTTGCGCACGTCGGCGCGGTGCCTCGACAGCACGAAGTCCAGCAGGATGCGGTCGCCGTGGCCGAACTCCTGCCGTCCAAAGTCGACGCCCCAGAAGCCGCGCGCCCCGCTCGCCGTGCCGAGCACAGCCTCGCGCGACGTGCCCACGACGCCGTAGCAGAGCGGCGACGCCTCGAGGTCAATATAGACCTCCGAGCGCTGCACGGCGGAGCCGTTGCCCTCCACGCCGAACGCGCGTCGCCCCTCCCGCTCGATGGCCTCGCGGTAGTTCGTGGCCAGGTCGCTCCTCGCGCGCAGCCGCGCCGCGCACTTTTCCGGGGGGCCCGCGACGAACTCTCGCTCGGCCTCCGCCACGACTGCTTGCGTGGCGACGTCGCGCAGGCGCAGCCTTGCGACGTACCCACCGTTCGCGGGAAGCGCGACGTCGACGGCCGTGCCGGCCTCGAAGCAGCCCCCGATCGGCGCCAGCGCGGGATGCGTCAGCTCCCAGCAACTCTCGCAGCCGGCGCCGCCGGAGTCCATGAGCTTGACCTCGCGGCCGCTGTCGACGCGCGCGCCGGGTGACAGTATGACTGCTGCGGCCTGGCATTCTGCAGATGCTGCCGGCAGGAAGATGAGGAGTAGCCATCGCATCTTGTTTGGGCGCTCACGCAGCGCGTCAGAGCTTTGCAGTGTATCCGCAGCAATGTCAGCAGCGATGCCTCCAGTGCTGGGTGATCCAGGGCTGCCCATATGGCTGCCCATACATCATGGTGTCGAGCCGACTGAGAAATGGGGCCGGAAGCCTCCACGGGCCGGGGCGACCAGGGAGCGTTCCCGGGCCGTCCTTAATGCCTGCCGGGATGCCTCGGCGCGCCACAAACCCGCACCAGGTCTATGTTTCCCCGCTCAGCGGGCTGGGCAGCGCTTTGCTTTGCGGCGGGAGGACCACGCCGTCGAGGCAGCCGTCGAGGTAGCGAGCGCAAAGGACCGACCCACGCTCCCACTCACGCCCGTCTAAGCAGCGACGCGGCGGAACACGCAGCCATGGCCGAGCCGCCGGCCTGCGCGCCGCCCGCGAGCCTTCTCAAGCACGACGAGCCCCTCTTCGTGGGCTTCGATGGCGCCGACAGCGCGGCCAAGCCCGGCACGGCGGCGGGCGGCCAGCTCGGCGAGATGGTGAATTCCATGCTGCCGCCGCGCGAGTGGACCGAGCCCACGGGCACGTGGATGCAGTACGTGTCCAAGGCGCCGGCGTCGCGCACGGACGTCATCGCGATGCAGGAGGCGTTGGATGCCAAACTGCTCGAGCGACAGGCGCGCGACGCGGGCATCTGCCCGGTCAGAGAGGACCTCTACGCGCAATGCTTCGACGAACTGATCCGGCAGCTGACGTTGGATGGACCCGAGCGCGGCTTGTTGCTCCTGCGCGTCCGGGACGAGGTCCGGATGACGGTCGACGCCTACAAGGTATTGTACGACTCGTCGGTGACTTTTGGAGTCCGCAAGCAGCTCCAAGCCGAACAAGGCATGGCAGAGCTCCAAGGGAGGGTCGCCGAGCTCGAGGCCGAGAACAAGGATCTGGAGAACCGCGTCCTCGAGCTCCGGAACGGCGTCGAGGTCGTGGAAAAGAGAGCGTCGGAGCACAAGGCCATGGCCGACAAGAAGCGCAAGGACGAGATCGACTTCCTCAAGTACCAGGGCCAGCACCTCGACCAGTTCCTGCGCCAGCTCGGGCCGGCGGCAAAGTAAGTAGGGTCGCGTGTTTTATTCTTGTCGTAGTCCAAAAGGTTCTTTAAAGAACCTTTTGGAATAGGGGCAACCCGCACCTTTTTTCGTTTCAACTTGTAACTCAAGCACATTTGTGCTCTTGTTGTAGACGGAGCATGGCTGTAAGATGTTGGGAATGGCGCGCTTATCGAGTTTTACAGCGTTGGGTAATACGTCTTTAACCTCAGATGCAATGGAAATACACGTCTAGTAGGATCCCAGAGCGGCCGCCGCCCCGTCGCAATTCGCCCGGGGCCAAACTCGTCGTAGCACCTAGCTCGGATAGAACCTGCTCGCAGAGCCCCCCGCAGTCACCGCCTCCGAGCTAACACTCGGGGCGACGGTGCATGATGGCTTGGGGCGGTGCGGTCACGCGGGTGGCGGGCCTCGCGTCGGCGCGGCGGCCAGGTGGCCTGGCAGCTCTAAGCAACACCCCTTCCCCAAAAAAAGACCTAGCTAGACACCCTTACTCCGTCGCCGCCGCCGCAACAGGCTCCGCCGGCACGGAGCAGCCCTGCGCCGCCGTCAGCGTGAAGTCGACGTCGCTCGTGACCGAGAGAAAAAAAGGCCCCGTCTGGCCCGGCGCGTACGTCGCCGGCACAATTAAGAAGGGATCCTCGGACTTGTCCAATCTAAAAGCTTGTGGTGTTTGCACGGTATGTAAAGGTGTAAAGGGCGACTGCGTGTAGGGCTCCGGCTCCACATCTTTCAAATTGGGATCGACGTGCATGATGCAGTGGTCCGGATCTAAGGAAGGACCCGTGCCGTTCGGCCCGTCGGCGCGGTGGATGTAGAAGCCCATCATCCGGCCGACGACGTCCGAGGAGTTCCAGTACTCGGCGGGCCTCGTCAGGTCGACGCGGACCCGCGGCCTCGCGGTGGGATCCGCGAACCGCACTCTGTATATAGGGTTCGTCGACCAGGACGGCTGGAGGTGCGACCCGCCCGCGTGTCTTGCGGTCCACTCGCCAGCTAGTGTTTTCGACTTAGAAGCTGATATCATTTCTAGAGTAGTGGGGCAGTCCGCATGCAATTCTAAAACGTACTGTCCACTAATACCTCGTTCGCTCAAACACGGCGTAATGACCAAGCCGTGCGGGAATTTTGATCGGACGAGCGTCGGTAAGTGTAGCACGGCCACGGTCTCGTTGCCGAAGGAGCTTAAACGGTGCCACTCGCTCGGGTACAAGCCGATCTTCTTCGGCGCCGTCGTGATGGAATCTTCTGACCTAAGATCGTTGTCCCAGCCGTGCTGCGGGCCCGCCAACCCATCGAGCAGTTGCGCCGCCTGGCGCCGCTTCTTTTTCAATGTACTAGGTTTGCCCTTCGGTTTCTCACCCAACGCGTTGACCTTCGGGCCCGTCTTTTTGTGTTTCTTGCCCAAAACGACTTCCGGCGCCGGCCCGCGGAAGACACACAACCCAATCTGGGCCTTCTGGGCCTTGTCCGGCGTCGGGTCCGTCCGTCGTAGCACGAGGGTCACGTTCACTTCGCCCGTCGTGGCCTTGGGGTGGTCTGGTGGTGGTTCCGGTAAATTCAGGAAATACTGCGGCGACTGGCGGAACGTCGGGTTCGGGATCAATTGATCTTTCTCAAAATGGAAGGGCGCGCCGCCCGCGGAATCGACCTCGGCGGCGCCGTTCCAGCTTCCTGGCAAATATGACGATTCGCACTCGTCGAGCGGCTGCAGCACGAGTTCCCTCGGCGAGAAGACCCGCAACGCGAAGGGCGCTTCCCGGCCTCTCTCTGTTGCCGCTCTTGCTACCACACAATAGGTGTAACCGGGCTCCAATACCACATTAGATAGAGACACTTCCCGCATGACCGGTTGGTTGACTTCTGTAGATCGGTAGACGTCGCCGCGCTCCCAGACGCGGCCCGGCAAGGCCGGCGTCTTCTTCTCCCTTATGACTTCGAGGCACAGCTCGAAGCGCTCGCCCGACTTCGGCGGGCCCTGGAGCAGCGAAATATGAGTTGTAGACTTGTGCTTCACTTCCACCCGAAACTGGGGGTTGTTGAACCAGCACGCGTCCTTGTCCGTGCGCGGCTTCGCCTTCGCCGCGATGAGCTTAGCGAAGCCCGTATCAGTACTCACGGGGACGCCCTCGTCGGGCCCCGCGGCGGTCTTGCCTGCCCAACTACTTAAAACTTTATACTGCTTGTACTGTTTGTCGTCGAACAAGCGGCATAAATGCAGCGTGTCGAACTTGCTGCAGAAGTCGGAGAACTCCATGAAGAATGAACCATCGGTCTGGTCGATGCCGTCCTCCTCGCGCGTCCAGCCGCTTGCCTGCTTCAGGCACTCATCGAGCACCTCCGGGAAGTCCTCCCATTGCGACGACGAGTCGGCCCAGGGGCCCTTCCACGTGCCGCCCCTCCCGCTCCACGGGTTCCGCAACCTCACGAGTTTCTTGTCCTCCACCTGGATGCACTGCATCACACCGTACGCGTGGCCCGGTAATAGTCCTAAAGCCGTCTGTTTCAAATCCGGCGAGGGCACGCCGCCCTGGCCGTTGTTTGCTGGGTCGGCCGTGACGCAGAGGACGTGCTTGTTCTCGAGATAATCTTGACATTCCTCGAATAATGTACTAGTTTTCTTCGCGGAGTCTTCATTCAGTAGAATTTCTTCTCCAGAGCCTCCCGTGAGATCCACTAGGGCTTCCGTCACACTACCTTTGGACAGGGCCTCGTAACTCCCCAGAACCTTGGCGTAGGCCTTCTCTAATAATTGAACCCACTGCTCCCGCGGGTCCACACATCTCCCGTACAGGCACTGGGGCCCCGTCGGCTCCTCGCCCTCTGCTGCCGTAAATCCAGACAGCGCCGGCATCCGCGTGTCCGCACAGACCTCCACCCACGAGCCTTCCCTGTAAAACCGACACGTGTAGACGCCCCACTCCTGGAAGTCGTCTGGATCAGAACCGAACAAGTTTTCGATCAAGTACTCGGGATGGCCCCATAAAGCAGCCATGGCCCCTAACAGCCACCCATCTCCATTGCGACCTTCGACCACGCATCCAGAGACACCAATGGCCCCATCCACAAAGTACTGCGGGTCCCTACATAACTCACCGGGCCTCAACCAGACGATCGGCTCGTCCAGGTTGCTGTCGTACGGCGGCACGTCCTCCTCATCCCTGTACAGAGCCGCAGGTAAGCCCCCGAAGTGCACATCAAAATACTGCTCGTCTTCCGTCCGGCTCTCCCGTAATTGCTGGATGACGGCGTCCTCCTCGCAGATCTGCTGGGCCATGTTGCTTGTGTACGGCCGGCGTGCCTGTTTTCGCGGGAGGGCTGCGAGCGATGCGTCGCCTGTCACGTCAGTAACGTCGGGGCAGCCGCTCGGGACGCGTCCACCGTCGCCGGCGCCCAAAAGCCCCGTCGTCGAGTGCAGCGCCTTCAGAGAGGGCTACGCTAACTACCTGTAGCTTCGGCATATTCGAGCCGCTTGCAGCTCTAAAGCCTTGGAAGTGGCGACTCCCAGCCCGCGGCGTCGACTCGCAAGCGTCGAGTGACATCTCGAGACCAGTGTGCGACGGCGCCGTCGCGGCGGCCGTGAGCCTGAGATCCCGAGATCTCTTGAAACCAACAGCTCGATACTACGCCGGGTCATGTCACACTATCATTACTCCGAGCCTCCTGCGCGACTCTCACGGCAGGCACTTGTCGTTCTGGCTCTTGCCGGTCTTCGCCGCACGCGGGCCCCCCTCCGACCGGCCGCCCTTGGCGCCGCTCTTCTTCTGCGGCCGCGCCTTGGCGTTCGCGAGGGCTGCCTGCGCCGCCGCGGAGGCGGGCTTGCCCTTGCGGCCGCCCTTCTTGGCCGCGGCACGCGCCTTGAGTATCGCGGCCACATCGACGGGCGCAGCCGACGGCTTGCCGTCCTCCGCGGCCGCGGCCGATTGCATGCCGTCCGCCGCCGGCGCGGCGTTCTCGTCCGTCACTTTGTCGGCAGCGGCGGCTGGCTTCTTGCCTCGGCGGCGGCGCTGCTTCTTGACTTTGTCGGCGGTGCCATTCGGCTCTTCTGAGCCCTTCTGCGCAGCATCAGGAGTGCCGGGCTGCTCCGGAACGACTGCTTTGGCTGTCTCCGGCGCGGCACAGGCGTCAACTGCGTCCAGAGCCAGGTCTTGCATCGCGTTCTCTACACAGGCGGCCATTTTTAGCACCGTTTCGATTGCTATGCCACGCAGGGCAGCTTACGACGCAAATGCAAAAGCGCTGCGCAAAAACGTTTACCGTGTCTCAAACGAGCGCTGCAAAAATCAAATTTGGCAGAGAGCTTGCTAGTGTCTTACAGCTAGGTCATTATCGGAGCAATATCTCCGGCGCGCCAAGCGACTCTCTCTCTACTAAGATGAACAACGATCTAGAGTCAACACAAAACGTTAGTCGTCGGGCGGGTCGTCGTCGTCCGGACGCCCCAAGACTCGAGGCGCCTTCGCCTTCCGCATGACAGAGGGCCGCGGCGTCGGCCGCGGCCGGGGCGCCTTCGTCGGCTCGAAACAAAATCGAGACGGCGCGTAGTCCCGCTCAAGATGGGGTGGAAGCGGGTCGCAGTACCGCCTTCGTTGAAGGAGCCGCCGCGCTTTTCGAGTGAACTGGAACGACTTCGTCAAAGGACAGTACTCGAACGAGTCCCGGAGCTTCCGGTAGTGCTCGACGGCGTCGCGGTGGCGGAGTTCGCCGGAAGTACGCGCCAAAGCTTTATATGTGGCGAGCTTCCGTTCCAGGACGGGGATCGTGATCTTCGTGAAGCCGTAGTGCGCGACGGCGGGTCCCCGGTAGATCGTAACCCCATGACAATCGTTGGCGCGCTGCGCGTGGACGTGGCGTAGGTTACGTCGTTGCGTGCCACAGGCGACGGAGTGGGCGTTGATGTACCGCAACCTCTTTCCTGCCGCGTCGACGGCCGGCACGAGCGTGTATTTATTAACGTTCGTATCGAGCAAACCGCCAGTGAGTCGACACGACCGCGGGAACTGGTAGTCTATGGATGAGCGATTGTTCATCTTTGCTGCTCTTGGAAGCGGCCTCAGACTGTTGAGGTGCCAATCGTATGCGACGCGGTCGACCATCTGGCCGCTCAGGAGCCCTCCCTGGTCCATAATATTCAACACTTCGCAGGGAAAGGCGAAGAACTCGTCCAGATCGGGGTAGACGAGCCAGGCGTCGTTCGGCAGGCTCAGGAGGAATTGGTTGGCTGCCTCGCGCTTCGTCTGACTGGACCACTCGTTCGAGACACGGTAGGTTATCTCGTACCGCCGCAAATACACCAACGTCTTCTCGAGCGCTACCGGGCCGCTCGCGTTGTGTACAAATATTCGCCCCTGGTTCTTCAGATCTAGACCGAGGTGGCGGTAGTACCTTAACGCATGCCCGAGCAGGTGGTACAGGTCCGCCGCCACAAAGGAAAAAAAGTGCACGCGATTCGCGTAGATCGGCGGGAAGCGCTGGAGCGTGCAGTTCGATTTTATAATCTTCGTCGGCGGCGTCGACGCGTTGTAGGCGTACGCCGCCGCCGCGAGGAGCAGGCAGTGCTTCATGGTCTAGATGGGGTTTACGCGTCGCATGGCTGCTCTCCGCGGCTTCTTGAGGCTGCCCGACAATGCGTGCGGCGGCCCGTGGGCTGACGACGCGCAAAGCGGCAGCAAAAGCACGCTGTGCGCTCGGCACAGCACAGGCCGCACAGCAGCGCAACCCGAACTTTGCGAAGCGAGTCCTCCAAGTAGTCCTCCTGCCGCACGCCTAGACCGCACGCCTGACCTCGATAGTGTTATCATATAGCTCTGTCGACCCCCTCGTTAGTTAGCGCCCGGCCGAAGAATGCTCGGCGGCCGGCCGGCCGGCGTCGTGTGACAACGTTACTGTCGCAGGCGCGCACACGGGGAAGGGAAGGGGGATGATCGAGCCTCTAGAGGCCCATGGCGTCGGTGAGGCGGTCCTTGAGCGCGGCCTTGAGGCCGCTCGTGTCGAGGCCGAGCGTGGTGAGCGCCTCCTTGAGCTTCGCGACCGTCATTTTCCCGATCTCGTCGGCCGTCCAGGTCTTCTTGGCCTCGTCCGCGGCCTCAGCCGGCGCGGCGGCCGGCTCAGGCTCGGCGGCGGCGGCCTCCTCGGGCTCGTAGGGCTTCTCGTCCTCCTTCTTGTCTGCCGCCGGCTCGGGAGACTTCGACTTGCTGCGCGACTTGCTGCGCGACTTCGAGCGCGACTTCGAGCGCGAGCGTGAGGACGATCTAGAAGATGCGGAGCGGTCGCGGCGGCGCCCTCGCGAACGGGAGCGGCTGCGCGAGCGGGAGCGGGACCGCGAGCGCGACCGCTTCTGGTCGCGGCCGCCGCCGCCACCGCCGCCGTAGCCGCCGTAGGACGGGCCCGGGCCCTGGTAGCCGCCGCCGCCGCCGCCGCCGCCGCGCGGGCCGAAGACCGTCGGCCCGCGGACGCCGCCGTTGCGGAGCCGCACGGGGCACTCTCGACCAAAGTGGCCGATCTCGCCGCACTCGTAGCAGGCGTTCGAGCCGAAGCCGCCGCCGCCGCGCGGCGGGCCCGCCGGGGCGTTCCCGTCGTGCGAGTAGCGGCAGTTGTCGCCGCGGTTGCACATGCCGCGCTGGAAGTCGCGGCAGATCTCGAAGCCGCCGCCGCCGCCGCGCGGCGGGCCGCCGAAGCCTCCGCCGCCGCCGTAGCCGCCGCCACCATACCCACCGCCGCCCTGGCCCTCGCCGTAGCGCTGGCCGCCGCCGTAGGGCACCGCGTAGCCGCCCCCGCCGCCGCCGTAGCCGCCGCCGCCGCCATAGCCGCCGCCGCCGTAGTTGCCTCCTCCTCCGTAGTTGCCGCCGCCGCCGCCGTACTGGCCGCCGCCATAACCACCGCCGCCGCCGCCTGCGAGGGAAGAGAGTGTTATAATGCTGCTGTGTCTCGACGCGCGCGACGCGCCCCGCGCTGGGATTGCGCTGGGAGCGATTGAGAAACAGGCGCTGGGAGTATACCGTAGCGATCGCCACCTCCCCCACCGTACGAGCCTCCGTAATCGCCCATGATCAGTAAGGTGCTGTGTGCAAACGAGGGTCTTGACCGGCTGTCGTAGCGCCGCGGCGAGAGGCAGAGCCCAAAAGTTAATCCGGCTAGCGGCATGAAAGACACTAGCAAGCCACACGTGTAGTGCGAACCGGACTACTTCCTCTCGCGCGGCATTCCTCGGCGGCGCTACGAGGCTGTGGCTGCCTAGACTGAGCTTCATGGTTTGCACATGAGAGGAATAATATTTGGTGAAGCATCAGAGGAATGCAAACATACGCGCATGGCACGTCTGCAGGCTCGCAATGGCCGCAGAGAGCCGGCTGAGAGCGTGACGCGGTGAAGGGCTGCGGTACGATGCACACCAAAGCCAGGCTGGCATGGCTTGTCATGGTGCTGCCCCTGGCAACGCCACGAATCATCTACAACTATAGAAGGAGGCGCCCACCACCGCAGCGCCCGGACAACCCCTACAGCCAGGCCGAGTGGGACCGCCGCAAGAAACGCGCAAGCCTGCCGCCGCCGCCGTTGCCGTCGCCGAACGCGCGCTGCGACCTTAGTGGATTAACAAAGGGCGTGACCATCGTGACGACGGCGACGGAGGATCGGCTGTGGAACGTGCGGAGCATGTGCGAGCGCTGGCGGGGCCCCGTCTCCATCACCGTCGTCGCCGCGGACACGGACCTCGATGCCGAGGCGGTGACGTCGAACTACATCGACGGCTGCGACGAAGCGCTGTCTCACGTGGGCGTCGTGCGCGTGCCGAAGGGGACGCAGTTCCCCGTGAACCAGATGCGGAACCGGGCCTGGATGCGCGCGAGGACGACGCACGTCTTTTTATTGGATGCGGACTTCTGGCCAGGAGCAGGCACGTACAAAATGATCGCCGACGCCTTACATGTTCTCACGGAGGCGGACCTGGCGCTGGTCGTGCCGACTTTTGCGTTGGAGGGCAAGGACGGCGCGCGCGCGCGCGCGGGCAAGAAGTTGCGGGCCACGGATCATGACAGTTTGAGTGCGCTCGTGCCGCGGACGCGCGACGGACTGCTACGGTGCCTCGCGGCGAAGAACGACTCGTTCAAGCACGACTGGCAAACGAAAGGCAATTTGTATTGGGACGCGGGCCGGTCCAACACTGTCATCAAGCTGCCCCCGTCGCGCATCCGCTGCGAGCCCTTCCACCACCACGGCTCGACGCGCTTCGACGCGTGGCTCGCCGCGACGGCGCCGGAGAAGCTGTCCTGCTTTCTGGGGAATTTTTACGAGCCCTTTGTGGTGGTGCGCAACTGCGCCGTGACGCCGCGCTTCGACGAGAGGTACGTGGGCTACGGCAAGAACAAGCTCGCGTGGATCACGTCATTACGAGCGGCGGGCTTCCACTTTTATACCGTCCCTAGAGCGTTTGCGGTGCACGTGCCGCATCAAGTTTCTGAAGAGCATAGGCTCTGGGCCACGCATTCTCGAGCCATCCCCCAGAAGCGCGTGGTCGACGACATGTTCTTCGAGTCGTTGTTCGTGCGCAAGTTATATGCGGACGGGATCCGGAGGAGGTATATCCTGTCGAACACGACGGCGTCGCGCGAGGGCGAGGTCCCCACACCCTTGTGTGCGGCGGCCGGCGCGGACGTCGACGATATCGAGCGGCGCGAGAAGCGCGTCAACCTGCTGCCCGCGGTCGCGCGCGACTGTTTGCAGGGCGCGTGCGCCATGTCCGAGGTCTCGCGCGCGCGCTGGGCGCGCATCGACGCCACTACCCGCAATGCGCCGGACCTGACGGCGTGCCTGATGGCCGGGACGCGGCGCGACGATGCTACGCGAGAATGTGGCGGTGGCCACGCACGGCGGTCCTACTCGCGGCGGCCGCCGCGGTGGCGGGCGCCCATGCACGGCTGAGCTTCCTTCCTTCTTCCCCCCTGTGACGTCGTGCGCGGAGAGCGCAGACGTTATTCCCCTTGTGACGTCGTGCGCTCGCGGAGAGCGCAGACGTCAAGATCACAATTTTTCTAGTGCCTTTCAGGTCGCTAGCTTGGCTGTGCCGCGCTTTGCATTTTTTGGGCCACACGGCTCCTACAACTGCGCGCGCGAATCGGCAGAGCATCAAAAGTAGTCGTGCCGCGCGCGTGACGACACCTGTGACGTAGCCGACGCGCTGCCGCGCCCGTGGAGGCCGCTCAAGCATGACCAAGTTTGCGGCGCCGGAAGTCGACGACGAGGAGCCGACCGCTTCAACCGCCGCCACAACAACACCATACCTCGACACGACCGACGCGGAGCGTGTCGAGTACCTCTACAGCATCCCGGACGATAATGAACCGCTAGACGAGGACTTCGCGGACGAATGGCAGCGAGCTGTGACAAAGGCCGCGGCCGCCCGGGGCTGGCTCGTGCTCGACGCGGATGAACTCGCAAAAGCGCTCGCCTCGGACGAGTACGGCGCGCCGCCGGGGCTCGCGCGGTGCTTAGAAGCGCGGTTTCGGCCGGCCGCCGCACTCACGCGCGCGGCCGAGACCGCGCGGCGGCGGCGCCAGGGCCGACCCGTCGCCGCCGTCGTGTCCTACCTCCAGGCTTGGAGGGTGGCGGCCCGCGGCGTGTACGTCGTGGCGGACGCCGCGCTGGACGCCGCCCTCGACGCATTTGTCGACTATGTGTCGTCACTGCGGGGCGCCGAGCGCTGCTTTGCGTTGCGGAGCGCCCACGTCGACGACGAGCTGCGCGTCGACGCCGCGCCGGCGTCGCTCGCGGCGGCGTGCGCGCGCGCGGCCCTAGCGACGAAACCGCCGGCGTCGCTCGCGCTCGCGCGGTGCGCGCGCTGCGTGCGGACGCGGCGCGCGTTGCTGGGTCGCGGTGTAATAAAGGGCGTCGCGAGCGTGGACGACGCCGCGGACCTCGAGACGCTCGGCGAGGGCACGGTCCGGATCCGCGGCGCCGTGGCGCCTTCCGACGCGGCGGCCGTCGCGCTACGAGCCGCTTTATTACGATCGGCGCTCGCTTTGAAGCGAGCCGAGGCGCGGGAAGCGTCCGCCTTGCAAGCGTGCCGCGGCGCCAAGACCGCCTTCAACGCGCGCCGGTGGAAACTGTCAAGGGACGACGTGCGCAAGCGTCGGACCGTCCACGCCCAGCACCTCGAGGCGCCCCACGACGCGTTGTGCGGCCTCTGGGACGACGGCGAGACCGTGCAGGCGATGACGCTCGCCGCCGACGCTTTAAAGCAGGCGCGCTTGGACGGTGTGACTGTTGAAGACGTCGCGGCGGCGTCGGAGGCCCTGCAGACAGAAACCGCGGAAGTTGCGGCCGTCGACGACGCGCTGCACGAGACCTTCGTCTCGCCGGAGGACGCGGACCTCGAGCGGGAGCTCGAGGCCCTGCTCGATCCGCCGGCTCCGGAACTGCCCGACTTTCCGTCGGTGCCCGTCGAGGAGTTGTCGCTCGCGGGGCTGTCGCTGGCGGAGCCCCCCGCGCCCGCGTCGCCTCCGGTCGCTCCGGCGCGGACTCCGGTGCCAGCCTAATCTATCTCTGTTGTTTTTTCCTCGTGTCGTAGTCGTGCATGGGGGCGGAGATGCGTCTCTGCGAGAGGACGCGGCCACGGGCTAGTGTCTTACAGCCGCTGGGCCATAGAAAAAGACGCCAGCTCGACGCGAGATCTCACGGTTATCGTTTGATATCCGGACGTCGGGGCCTCTCCTTACGTCGCCGAATACCACAACAAGTCACTCGTCATGCGTCTCGCCCACATTGCTCGTGCAACTGCCAGGGCCACCCAACCAATCGTGCGCCGCGCGCCTCTAAGATGCCTGTCGGCGCCGGCTCAGCCCATCGACCCGTCGACCTCGCCCCGCGTGACGGTTACGGACAGCGATGGACCGCACACTCTCAAGTTTTTAGGCGAGCAGCAGGTCCGCGTGATCAAGCGCGCCGCCGCGTCAGACTTTTCCACAGCGTTACGCCCGCCGACGCGCCACACCGCGCAGGTCCGAGCTCATGGCCGCCGACAAGAACGGCGACGGCCGCCTCGACGCCGAGGAGCTTAGAGCTTTACTAAAGAAGCACCGCGGCACGTTCACCGACAAAGAAGTGGAAGATTTGGGCGAGATGTTCTACGCTGTGTGGAAATCAACCAGTGAGTTAGGTAGACGACGCGGTCCTTGGGACAACGTCGCGTCGATGGCGTGGGGCGCCCGAAGTTTGATTTCCGCTCAGGTTCTACGCGGCCAAGGCCGGCGGTAGCGTGTCCTACGACCGCTTCATTCATGCCTTGGACGTCAAGCTCGGCGACGAGGGCGAGGTTGGATTGGATATGGGCAACCACTTCAAGCGCGCCGTCCGAGTCCGAACCCCACGCCATCGACGCGCCGTCCGAGTCCGAACCCCACGCCATCGACGCGACGCCGTCGTCCGAACCCACGCCATCGACGCGACGCCGTCGTCCGACCCCCACGACATCGACGCGACGTCGTCGACCACGTAGGACCACGGGCACGAAGCACCCGCTCGGTGTGGGCAAATGTAGCGTCGAGTACCTCGCGGGCGGCTGTGTGGAAATCAAAATTTCGTAGTACTTCCAGCGCCTTCCGCCCACCGGCTGAATCATGACTTCCACGCCATCGACGTGATGCCTGCTCGATGGCGTGGCAGTGCCGGTCCCTCACCGCTCGACGGAGCCAGCACGGGCGTGTCATCGCCGAGAAATGACTTAGTGAACCGCACCCAACGCACTGGTTGATTTCCACACAGGCCGGCGGCCACTCCGTCTACTCGCCCGAGGAACTAGATGTGAAATTGACGCATACTCCACCGAAGACGACGACGGACAAGGCGGCCTACTACTCGACCTGGTTACTACCTGTGTGGAAATCAAGATTTCACGGCGCCTTCGTGCTGAATCGTCGCGACGACCTCCACGCCATCGACGCGACACTTTGCTCAATGGCGTGGCGATGCCGGTTCCTCACCGTTCGACATACCAACTCACTGGTTGATTTCCACGCAGGTTATTGCGCAAGGGCTTCGACGCGGCCACGCTCTGGAACATCGGCGAGCTCACGCAGAAGAAGATTATGTTAAGGGCGATCTTCCTGGAGACGATCGCTGCCGTGCCCGGGTTTGTGGGGGCCATGTTCCGCCACTTCAAGGCTTTGAGGACCATGGAGCGCGACGGCGGCTGGACGAACTTGTTGTTGGAGGAGGTCGAGAGCTGTGTGGAAATCTACCAGTGCGTCGGGTGCTCGATGGCGTGGAACGCGCCTTGAAATTTTGATTTATGCACAGGCGGAGAACGAGAAGATGCACTTGTTAGCGTTCATCAAGATGTACCAGCCGGGCACGATGTTCCGGCTCGCGGTCATCGGCGGCCAGTGCGTCTTCGCGACGTTCTTCGGGACGATGTACGTCATCAACCCGACGTACTGCCACCGCCTGGTCGGCTACGTGGAAGAAGAGGCCTGTAGCACGTACACGAAGATCATCGGCGGCATCGAGGCGGCGCCGGAAGGGAGTGAATTGGCCGCGTGGCGCACGCAGATCGCGCCGGCCATCGGGCGGGCCTACTGGCACCTGGGTTCGGATCCGGCGTCCACGATGATGGTAGACCTTTCTCACGCCACTCACCGGTTCACGCAGGCGAGGAGGGTACCGTGCTCGACCTGATGCTCGCGATCCGCGCCGATGAGGCGAACCACCGCGACGTCAACCATTTAGCTGCTGGTATGAAACCGGGCCAGATCAATCCCTTCTTCGACCCCGAGGCCAAGCTCGACAAGATGCTCCTCAAGTACGCGCACGACATCCTCGACAAGACGCCCGAGGACGTCAAGCTCCGCACGATGGGGCCGAGCGGCGCGTGAGCCTCTCTCTTCTCTGGGTAGACTCATCGACACATTTCCCCTCCCCCCAATAGCCTGCCCTGTGCACGTAAGACGCATGATAATTCTGCTGCCTAGTGTCTTACAGCCTCTAGCCAGTAGCGCATGTCGGCAGCTTTTTAGCGCGCTCCTGCCCGTATCGGTTCGAGCCAGCTGTCGCATTATCGATTTGAGACACTGCCGCGCTGCCGCACCCAAAGGCACATCAATTGCACGCGGCAAGCAATACTACACTCCACCAGCAGGCTGCCTACCTGCCCCCAGCAGTCGCGAGAAATGCATTAGCTCGCAAGCCGACGGCGGAATCACGAAATAAACAAGCAAGCCGACGGCGGAACCGAGAACTAAACAATGCAACTGCAAGCACTGGCACTCCTGTTCAGCGGCGTCGGCGCGCAGCTCGTGGGACCGGGCGGCGTCGTGCCCTACGGCGGCGGCGGCGGCGGCCCGCGGCGCGTCGGGACCGTCAGGGATTGGGCCCAGGGCTTTTTCGTCGCCGGCTCGACGTTAGATGACCTGAACGGCGTCTACGCGCTCGTCGATCCGAACACGCTGCGGCGCGCGTGTCGAACGCGGCGCTGCAAGGTCGCGTACCGCAACGAGGAGTCGGACTGGATCTTAGCGTTCGCGGGCCCGCCCGTGGGTCTCAAAACCAAAAGCGGCAAGGAGACGGAGTGGGTTTTTATAGATCAGAGCGGCAAAGATAGGTTCGAGCACGCGGGCGACACGGTGATCCCGGGCGCCGGCGATTCGTGGAGTCATAGTCATAGACCCTCACCCTACGAGCGCACGGCCGCGGAGGACATGGCGTCGGGCGACGACGATAATGTGGATGAGCTGCCCTGGCAGGTCATCTACATCGGCGACCGGAACATGGTCTGGAACTTGGTCAACCAGCGGCGGCACCACAACGCGGTGATCCGCAACGCCCTCGCGGGAAACGCCGTGTCCGAGTTCGGCTCGCTCCAGGCCCTCGCGGCGCCCGACGGCGCTACTGCGCAAGACAGTCGAGAGCCCCTGGCGCCGCCGGCCGACCTCGTGGCCAAGGCCGACGCGAGCGAGGCGGCGCGGTTCGCGGCGAGCGGCGACTACGGCAAGTGTGCCGACGCGTGGAAGGCAGGCAAGTACGCGATCCAGCCCTTCTGGAACCGCGCCGAGGACGCGGAAGTCGTCAAGTGGGCGTCGGCCCTGGCTTCATTAAGGCGGGGCGAGTGCTGTAGAAGATCAAGGCGCTTCGACGAGGCGCGAGATTCGTTGAGGGAGGCGCTTGCATTATTCCCGACGTACGGCGCGGCGCTCGTCGCCGACGCGGCCCTTGCATTAGATTCAGGGCGCGCCTCCGACGCGCTGCGCAACGCTGAAAGATTAGCGTGGACCGACCGGACGCGCGACGGCGTGCGCGACGCTGTCGTCTTCGCCGCCGTCGACGTCGAACGAAGGCGCCTCGCGGGTGGCAACGAGTCGCACAACCACTACCTCGTGCTGGGCGTGACTCGCGACTTCGGGAGCGATGAATTACGGAAGGCTTTTCGGGCCGCATCTCGGAGCGCGCACCCCGACAAAAATGATGGCTCGACGGCGGCCTTCGAGCGCGTGTCGGCGGCGCACGACTGCCTGGGCGATCCGGAGAAGCGCAAGGCGTACGACCGCGGCGATGACTTGGACCGAGGGTTCGAACGGGACGGGACGACGCAAGGCATGCCCTTTTCCGAAAGGGTGTTGCGGCGCTACTTTCCAGAGGATTTCAAGTACGAACCGTTTGGTGATCCCTTTGAGCGCAAGCGGGACTACGAGCGCGAAAAGCGGCGGAAAACGCCGGCGCGGCCGAACGGCGCGACGATTCCGCCCGGATCTTATTTAGGGTCCTGCGAGGGCTGCGACATGGAGCCAGGCGGGGTCCTTCTCTGTCAAAAGTGCCAGACGGGCTTTCGGGGCCAGGTCGAGGAGGCGTCCATCGAGCCGTCGGCGTGTGCCGACGACGAGCATGTGGGCAACCGCCACGGCGCGCTGATCTGCGAGAAGAAGCCGGAGGTCGAAGCGCCGACGCTGCCTCGCGGCGATGAGCTTTAGTTTCTAGTGTGAAGTAATCGTTCGACCGGTACAACAACAATTTTTACTCTCATCTCCTACAGCGCGTTCAATTGTCTCAGCAACTGGTCCGTGTCGTCGGCCTCAGCGGCTTCGGGCTCGGGCAGCGCCGCCGTCGGCGCATCGTGGAGGTCCTTCGTCGTGTTCAGGCCGACCTCGGCCAAGACCTGGTCGACGACGGCGTCAGCCTCATCCTCGTCGTCGTCGAACGCCTCCGAGAGCATGTCGCCCATGGCTTCCTCCGTCATATTCATGCGCTCGGCTTCCTTCTGGAAGGCGGCCACGGACATCGCCGACTTCTGCACCGACGCATTCATTTTATTCATGACCTTGCTGGTCTTTTGGAGCGAGTCGGCCACGGTTATCGACGCCGCCATCGCACTGGCTTGTGCAGACATGCTTCCCACTGTGCCGCGCGCCTTCAGGAGCCGCTCCCGCGAGCTACGTAACTGGACCAAGTTCCTCGCGAGGACTCGCACACTGGTCTCGCGCCCATCCCTTGCTTGCTTCTTGATGTCAGCTATTAGCTGCGCCTCGCGTCGATCAATGTCTCGCAGTTCTCGGTCCAGCTCGCGCTGGCTGCTGCGAACCTCTTTTTTTACGCCCTTGGCCGCTTCTTTCGCTGTTGGTTGCTTCTTGAAGGGGTTGGAGAAGTTCGACATTGTACACTGCCAATTTCGTGCTAGCAGGTACGAGTAATGCCAAAAAAAACGGAGAGTTTTGCTGTCCTGAGAGCTTCTAGTGTGTTACATACTGGCATAATGCCCCTCACTCACTCCTCGAACGCATCGTGAGAAAAGCGTTTTTACGTAGAAGAGACATAGACAGGACAGCGCAAGCGCTGACACAACATCATGACTTGGGGAAGAGGAACACGCGGGAAGGGAAGAGGAGGGACCGGGAGAAGAGGAAGCGGTCACGCGCCGTTTCAGGCACGCGTCGCGTCGCGGACGTAGGCCCGAAGGAACTCGCCCGACTCCGAGAGCGAGTCCCAGTCGCTGCGGCACGCGCCCGGCGCGAGCGCGGCGGAGGACTCGCTCTTGTCGGCCCAGGACCACTGCGCCATCGACAGCTTGATGCCGCCGCCCGAGCCGTCCTTGTCCGAGAACACGTCGAGGAACTCCTTGGCCTCACACGCGCACACCCCTCCGTCGCCGCTATACGACGACGTGCCCCACTCTGAGACGAAGATAGGTATCTTCGTTCGGTAGTCCTTGACGCGCTGCAGCAGCGAGCCGTGGGAACAGGCGTAGAAGTGGAACGCGTACATGACGTTGTACGACTCGGCGACTGGCTCGTCCGCAGCGAGATGAATGTCCTGGGACCACGTCGTCGTGCCCGCGATGATGATCGATTCCGCGTCGATGGCTCGGATCGCCCCAATAATACGATTGTGGTACTCTTTCACGCGAGACCAGGCCACGCCGTTCGGCTCGTTCGCGATCTCGTAGATAACGTGGTCTTCGTCCTTGTAGAGCGTCGCCATCTCGGTCCAGAAGTCGACGGCGCCCGAGTAGGTGTTAGCGTTGGGGTCGCCCGGCGTGAGGACGTGCCAGTCGATGATGCAGTAGATGCCGAGCTGCTTCGTCCACGCGACGATGTCCTTGACCTTCTGCTTGACCGACGGGTCCGACGCGTAGCCGCCCTCGCCGACGTACATCGCCGCCCGGAAAACAGTAGTGCCCCAGGTTTTGACCAGGTGTTCGACCGCCTCGAAGGTGTAGCAGTCGGGGAACCAGTGGAGGCCGTGACTCGACATGCCCAGGAGCTGCACCGGGGCGCCGTTTTCATCGACGAGCTGGACGCCGTCGAGGCGGAGCTTGCCGTGCTTCTCTACGAAGCCACTGGCGTCCACCGGCGCGCCGGCCTCGGGAAGGTCGCACGTCGCACGGTCATCAGTGTCGCCGTCGTCGGTCACGGGCGAGCCGCCGTCGCACCACGTGTGGCCGCAGTCCTCGACGCACTCTTTGCCTGTGTGGAATATAAGGTTCACGCGATACACGCCATCGACGCGATGCACGAGACACTGCTCCTTGCGGCCCTTGGCGCACCAGTTCTCGGGGCCCGCCGGCGACGTGCACTGGCCGCAGCCACCGGGGCCCTCGGGCCAGAAGCAGCAGTAGCCCTCGCCGCCAGACGAGCCGTCATCGTTGTTGGCTTGGGGTCTGGGCGTCGGCCGGGGCGTCTGAGGCGCCGCGGCCGTGGGCTTGACGGTCGGCCGGGGCGTCGCCGGCGCGGGCTCGTCGTCCGTCACGGCACCATCGCCGCACCAGGCGAACTGCTCGCCGCAGTTACCGCAGTTGCTCTCGCTCTGGGCGCAGTAGTTGCCTGGCGGCGCGATCCACGAGCACCCGTCACACGACTTGCCGTCGTTCTGGCAGCAGTAGGCGTCGGCGTCGTCGTCTTCACCACCGGAGGCGGCCGTCGGCTTGGAGGTCGGGCGGGGCGTGGCGGGCACCTCGTCTTTGATCGTCGGGCGCGGCGTCGGCTTGGGCGTGGCGACGTCGCCCTTCGTGGGCCGCGGCGTCGGCCTAGGCGTCACGGGCGCCGCGTCGCCGTCCGGCGTGATCGCGACGTCGGCGCACCCGACGAAGACCTCGTTGTTCTCGTACGTGTCCCACCGGTACGAGAGAATGGTGTGCTGCGAGGCCGGGAAGGACTCGGGGATCTTGAGCTTGTAGCGGGCCATGAACCCGTGGTCGCACGTCTCCTGCGTGTTGACGCACGCCCAGTACTTGCCCTCGGTCGATTTCTCGTCCCGGCAGTGCAGGAATTGGCCGGGATCGGAGCAGGCGCCCCAGTCTTTAGCGTAGGTGTCGCAGACCTCGACCTGGGAGCAGTCCTGACCGGGGACGTCGTCGCACCGCAGAAGACCGCGTTGGAAGCACTGCTCGAGCGCCTCGAGGTCCGCGAGGCTCGGCGGCTTGTCGGGCGTCGTCACAGCTGACACGAGGCCTTCGTCATCGCATAAGCGGAACTGTGGGATGCCACCGTGGTCTGCGGACACGCACCAGGATACGTCAATCACGTCGCCGGCTTTGTAGGTGGTCTTGGCGCTCATGCCCCAGTGCCCATCCAGAGGCGTGTTGTAGTCGTTGTCCCGCGACGGCGAGGCGCCGCAGACGCCGAGGATGTTGCCGCCGGTCCCACCCATAATGAAGTCCAAATGCTTCGCCGTACCGGGCTCCGACCACGGGTTCGGGCCGAACCAGTCGCGCGACCGGCAGCCGTCGCAGTCGGCATACATGCCTCCGGCAGCGACGCCATGCGGATCGTACTCGGCCACTTGGTTCGGCCAACCGTTCGCCTTGTACGCCTCGTACTGGCGCGAGGGCGGCTCGGTCATGTAGCCGTGGCCTTGAACGCCTGCGCGCGATCCGGTTGATGTGCTTTCGACCGAGCGCCGACGAGCGCGGGCGTATGATTGATTTTCGGGAAGTTTCATCGTCGCGGCGTCGAGAGCGTCCCGGCGCGGGACCTCGTGCTCCGCTCGCCCGGAGCGTTGGCGCAATTGCGCCATGTGGGGTATGTGAGCGTATGTCGCGGCGCCACGACGACGCGCGCCCGCCACGAATGACGACGCGTGCGCTGCGAAAGCAAATTGTGAGCTGTGTGACGCGGGTGATGCACCTGGCGCCGCAAGCGTGAGGAACAGCAAGATGTGTGAGGACATGTGAACAGCGCAGCAGCTTTTTTCGCAATGGCAGTGCTTCACTGTTCTACAAATGCTGTGAATAGCAACGGAGTGCCAAAAGCACAGCAATCTCCTGGTACGGGTCGCAACATGACTCGTTGGTGATTAAATACAACTAAATAACATTAATTTCCAGGTCGCCAGAAGATCAATCCCTTCCAATTGACCAAGAAACTCCAGACGCGGGCCAGGGGCGGTCCGACCCGCGCACTCGCCTTGGCGACGCCGCTCGTCACCGCAGCGCCGACCTTGGTCGCGGAGACGCTACTGTACGCTGAACCCACGGCCGAGCCAACCTTGGCCGCGAGCGGTGCAAGAGAGGCGGAGGCCGATCCGGCCGCCGCCGAGATGCCGCCGCAGGCCGACGACGCCGCCGCGCCGACGCTACTACAAGCCTTGGCGCAGGCGGGCGCGGCCGCACCATACGCACCGGCCGCGGTGGCGGCGACGGAGCCGTAGGCCGATGCGCAGATGGGCGCGGCGGCGCCGCACGCAGCGGAGAGCGCGTCCGTCGCCGGCGCCGCCACTGCTAATAAGAGCGCCTCGAGCGACTTCTCGAGGGCGAGCGCCTTCGTCCGGACGCTGATCAAGTACTCCAAAAACCCAGGCGTCAAAAACAACGCCACCGCGGCGCCGCACACGAGGCCTCGCCAGCGGAGTTTGGAGTTGCGCGGTGCGACGACGGCCTTCGTCCTCGGCGTCGTCGTCACGGCCTCGACGACTACGGTGCCCCCCTGCTTCGGTTTCTTGGGCTTCGGCGGCGGCGCCGCGCGACCGATCTTGTCCTCGCCGTAGCGCTCGGCGAGCTCCAGTTGGTACTGGTACAGGCGGTCCTGGTCTCCTTTTCCCAAGTTCTTCGCGATGTCCTCAAAAATATAATCGTCGCCCTTCTTCTCGAGCGACGCGGCGCGGAGGCGAGTTGTCTGGCGCCGCGTCGGCGCGACGAGCGCGGTCGCGAGGCTCAGCACTGCCAGGAGGTGATGCATGGCGTACAGCGGCACGGCGACGGCAAGTTCTATATGCAGACGGCGCGGTGTCCGGCGAGTTACCCGCGAGTTTCTCTAAACGCGGTCAGTGAGCAATTGGCGTGTCGAGCACCGATGATGGCGCTGACGTCGCAGGCGTCGAAAATACACAAGGACTGCGCCTCTGGTCTAGTCGCGGCTGCAACTGGTCCAGGGATCGCGGCAAAAAGGCGCTCGCAAAAGCGCTCGGCGCTTTGCTAGTGTGTCTTACAGGCCGCTAGCGAGTCGAAAGCAAGTTCGAGAGCCAAATTAGAAAACAAATCCTCCTTAGAAACAGCAAAGGGGAGGGGAAACCGCGCGCGCGCCGCCAAGGCCCGAAAGGTTTATCTCGGGAGCGGCACCAGTATCGGTGCCGCTCCGTCATCAGCATCGGACCTCGACGTCACGCCGCAGCGATCTAGTGCGGGGGGAAGTAGCCCGCGCACGATTCGGGCACGGCCTGGCCCGCGTTTTGCACAGACTGGCACACGACGCCCATCACTCGAGCGGCCCAAGCCCCGAACCCTTCCTCCGTGTTCGTGCCGCCGTAGGCCGCGCCCTCGGCATAAGTGTATTTGATGCCGTCGATGGTGACCCAGAGCGTGGCCCCGTCGTCGGCCTGGGCCGCGCGGCCCGACGACTTCTTCGCGAGCCGCGACACGTCGCAGGTCTTGTCCAGCGAGGACCACTCCACCGAAGTGTATTTCGAGAGGCAGTAGGACGTGACGCCGTCGAGCGAGCAGTCGCAATTCGCGAGGTCCGTCTCGCCTCCACTCAAAGTGAGGTCGTCCTCCGAACCACTCTCCGCTTGATCACAAGTGGTCGACCCATCATTATCCAGGCAGGCCTGCAACCCGAACATGCAGTGCGCCGTGGGCCACCACTCCGTCTGGTCCAGGTCCGCCTCGTGCTGGACGCAGAGGTGATTCCGGTTCACGTCCAGCAGCACCATCCCGTGCTCCTCGACCGAGGCTTCGTTCCCGTGGAAGTCCACCGTCAGGTCGATCGCCGCCAGCAGGTCGTCGTTGCTCAACATCACGTCGTGCAGCGACATCGCGTGCCGGCGGCAGTCGGGTCACAAGGCGTCCGCGAACGCGTGGACCTGGACCCTCCGTCCCGTCGGGTTCTGCGCCGTGGCGCGCAGCGACGTCGTCGTCCGGATGGCGGACGTCGCACCGAGGGCGACCAGGGCGGTAGCTGTGACAACTCCCACCGCGTACCGTTTCGCCTGTCGCGGCGCGTCCTCGCCCGGCAGCTCATCTATGGCACCGTACTCCATGCTTTCGGCGCTCCGAGGCAGCCCTCGCAGCGTCAAAGGCAGCCCGGCGCCTCCCGAGCGCGACGAGCTTGGACGGGGAAATAACTTCACCATCCACCTGGTGCGGGTTAATGCAGCTCATTCTTGGCAAGGAGTCGCGGCGACAGGCGTGGAGGGCTCTCGCGCACCTCGGACCGCATGGGGGCCGCACCATCGACGAGCCATCAACGCGCGCCGGGGCGGCAGCTCAGGGAGCACCACAGGCTCACCCGGGCAGCGCGAGCGGCGTCACGAGCGCTCGCTGAAGACAACGGACACACGCCGTCGACGCTATATGCAAAAACAAAAACAGTTAACAAGCCAAAAAAGCTACCGCCGCCCGCTCCTATCACCAAAGACCTCCTGGCGCACGAGCTCGTAGACGTAGAAGTTGAGGCCCGACGCGGGGAAGAGGCACACCTTGCAGAGCTCCGGCGCGAGGCCCCGGTACAGCTCCTTGACCCCGCCTATCCTCACCAGGTCCGACGCCACGCGCCAGAAGCTCACGCGGCCCTCGCCCGAGCCTAGGAGCTGCTGCCGCCTTCTCACGAGGTCCAGCGGCTGCACTAAAGTAGACGCCACCAACCCCGCACACTGGCCGCAGACCATGGAGTAGGCGAAGGACGTCCGTGGTCGTCCGTCGTCGTCGACGGTGCGCCAGGACCGCGGCATCGCACGCTCGAAGGCGGATCTATAGTATGGGTTCGTGTTCAGCGTCTCGTAGATGCCGAAGTGGAGGCCGATATTGACGCCCTGGCAGAGCTGCGTCGCGGGCAGGCCGCGCGCGAATCCAGAAAGGCCGTGCGCTTTGTATAACAATGAAGCCGTCTCCACGATGCCCGCCCACTCCGAGCCGCGCGCCGCCGCCTCGTGGGACGAGGCGATATTTGTTCTGATTAAATCCAGAGGGTAGGCCACGGTCACGTTGATGGCGCCGGCGAGCGTGCCGCACAGGAGTCGCGCCTTGAAGCCCACATCATCAGAAGACGACCAGCAGAACCGCAACGCTTCCTTCAACCTTTCGTACACAAAGTAGTTCGAGCCCGTCGTCGCCATCTTTTGGAGGATCGACACTCCATTGCCTTTCCAGAAGCTCCGCAGCCCTTCGGTCGTCGACACGTGCCTCAAATACTGCGACGCCTGGACCAGGGCGCCGGAACCGTTCGTTTGGAGTTGGTTGCGGCCCGCCGTCTGTAGTAAAATAGTAGATCGAGAGAGTGGTGCCGTGAAGGTCTTGACGGTGCCGCCCGCGACGGCGCCGGCGACGAAGGGCACGGCCGGCGCGTACCAGCGGTCCTGGGCCATCTGTGCTTCTTCCTGGGAGTCTCGATGCGCACCGGGGGCGCGCGCAGCTGAGCTGACTGGGAGAGCTCCCTGTGAGATGCTGCTCTCTGGGGCAGCAGAGTCGGCAAGCGATCGAAAAACGAATCACAGCTATGCGTAGGGCCTCACACACGATGCTATCGTGGATAGCACCACACGTACAGCCGCAAAATCACCGCCAAAAACGAGACAGCCTTAGATGATAGACACACTAGACTCAGATGTCAGCAAAGCCCAACAAAGCATAAAACCTCAGTCACAGAGCTCTACGCGAGTACGCCTATAGCAAAACCTGGCTCCTTGAACCGCTCTCTCCTGGCCAAATCGAGAGGGGCTGTGCCTTCCGCAAATTCCCCTAAACGCGCACCAAAATGGGCATCTTCGGCCGCCGGCGCAGCTACGGCAGCCCCAAGACATCGCCGCAGGCGAGCTACCGGCCGCTCGACGCCGCGCCGCCGAAGAAAGGCAGCCCCCAAGCCCCAACAGTACAAGGAGCGGCCTGCCGCATCTGCTTGAGTGACGAAGGTGAATTAATCACACCCTGCGCGTGTAGGGGCGACTCGGCCCACGTCCACGTTCATTGTTTAGCGCGCTGGGCGCGTTCTGTGGAACCGCGCGTGGACGCGTGGCGGCGCTGCGGCGTCTGCCTCACAACTTATGGAGGAGCGGGCGCCGTGGCGCTCGCCGAGGAGTTTTTGGAAAGGAGCCTGCGGAAGGAGTCTCATTATATTCCGGCGGCGCGCCACGCGCTGGGAGCGGCGCTGCTGAACTGTGGTGATTCGAGGGCCGCGGCGACGTTGGAGCGAGCCTTACGGGAGAAGCGATCGTATGGAGAAGACGGCCCAAATGTTGCCGCGGTCTTGAATGATTTAGGCATCGCGAGTGGCGAGGAGGAGCGCTTCCGCGAGGCCCTCGAGATTTATGCCCATCGGAACATGTTGGAGACCAAGGACGCGGCCTGCGCGCGCCTCAATTTAGGCAACGCGCTTTGTAGAAGAGGCCGCTACCGCGAGGCGAAGCATGAGTACGAACGGGCCCTCTCGGTTTTGACCCAGATGCACCCTGGTAATGACGCGGACGTCGCGAAGGCTCTCGGCAACCTGGGCGTGGTCTCGGATTACAATGGAGCGTACGACGAAGCTATCGATTACCACAAGCGGGCTTTAAATATGCAGCGCGCGGTCTTCGGCCGCGACGCCGTTACTAGTGACGTCGCGAACTCGCACGAGAACCTTGGGGTTGCTTTAGGCCACCGCGGCGACTACGTGGAGGCGGAACGTCATCTGGAGACGTGCGTGGACATGCGTCGTTCATTACCTTCTCAGAACCGCGCCGTCGTCCGCGCGCTTGCGAAGCTAAACGAGGTGCGGGTGCGGAAAGCGCGCGAGTGCCCCCAGGCGCCGCAGCGGGCGCCGGCGGCGTCGCGCGTCGCCGCTCTGCCCCCGGGTGTTGTGTTGCCCTACCTCGCCGGCCCCCTATAGATCCTGTCCCCCGTCTAAACCATGTGCCTCCAATAGACCTTCGGTGGATGGCGCGGCGATGGCGTGCCGCGGCCTCGGACTCGTCGTCGGCGTCGTGCTCGATCGCGACGCGCGCGGGGGGGCGGCGCCTTCCGTAGCGGGCCCGGCGCCGGCTCCGAGACCGGCCGCCGACCCCTAGTTGACACGCCATCGACGCGGCCCAGAAACGCAACCAGAAGACACTAACGTGAAACTATTTACTCTCCTCAGCCCGTCGAGCTTGGAACTCCTTGACCAACTCGGCCTGCTGGTCGGGCATCACTGAAGTGTGCGTCTTGTACTCCATCGTGAACTCGCCCTTGCCTTGGGTTTGTGAACGAATATCCGTCGAATAGCCAAATAATTGCGCCAGAGGTACGTCGGCGTTGATGACCGACTGGGCCCCATCAGTACTGTTGTTCGTGATCATGCCCCGCCGCTGATTGATGGAGCCCATGATGTCGCCCTGGAACTCCGTCGGGGCGCTCACTTCGAGCGCCATGACCGGTTCTAATACTTTCGCGCCCGCCTCGCCAATGGCTCTTTTCACGGCGTACAACGCCGCGGCCCGGAAGGCCTGATCTGAACTGTCCACAGCGTGTGCGGCCCCGTCCTGCAACACAACCCTCAAACCCTCGACGGGAAACCCGACGAGATCGCCCTTCGCGATCGCGTCTCGACACCCTTTCTCGACAGAAGGTATAAATTCCGAGGGTACATTCGTGCCCACACACTCATTCACAAACTCGAAAGTCTCTTCCTCAATGGGCTCGATGTATCCTATGATTTTGGCATACTGGCCCGAACCTCCAGTTTGTTTTTTATGTAAGTAGTCAAAGGTAGCTTTGCGCGTGATCGCCTCCCGATAATTCACCTGGGGCTCACCTACCTCCACCTCAACCTTGTACTCGCGCTTCATCCGCTCGACGTAGACATCTAGGTGCAGCTCGCCCATGCCACTGATGATCGTTTGTTTGGACTCATTGTCGACATGTACTCTGAGAGTAGGGTCCTCCCTTGTAAAACGTTGCAAGGCGTTGCCGAAGGCGTCGACCACATTGGGCGGCGCGCCCTTCTTCGGCGCTACCGCTAAACTGATCACAGGCCTCGGCACGTACATCGACGCCATAGCTAATCGTGATGATTCACCTCGCTTCTCGCCCGAAACGAACGAGTCCATGGAAGCACATTCCACGCCAAAAATGGCCACCACATCACCGGCCGACGCCTCGTCGATCTCCTCCATGTCGTCGGCGTGCATCCGTACCACGCGCGGTACTTTCGTCCTTGACCTAGTTCGTACGTTCTGGATGTAGTCGCCCTTCTTCAACGTGCCCTGGTAGATCCTGACATACGTCAATTGCCCAAACCTAGATTCTTCCAGCTTGAACGCTAATGCAAGGAGTGGTGCATCACTATCGCACTCGATCGGTACTGGAGCTTCATCGTTCTCCAAGTCCAATGCACACACCCCTTCGCGAGCCGTCGGCGCCGGCAGGTACGACACGACGCCATCGAGCAAGGGCTGGACGCCCTTGTTCTTGAACGCCGAACCCATAAACACCGGCACAAACTCTCTAGCTTTCGTCGCGCGCCCGATGGCATCCGTCAGCACTGAAGCATCGATCTCGTCACCTTCGAGGTACAGCTCCGCGAGCGCATCGTCGACATCAGCTACCGCTTCTATCAACGTATTTCTCCTTTCTTCCACTTCATCTACCAATGAAGCAGGTACATCCGTCTCCTCGACCTCCTCACCTTTCACACCTTTGAAGGTGTACGCTACCCTTTTAACCAAGTCCACGACGCCCTCATGGTTTTCTGACAGACCAATCGGCATCTGGACGGCACAAGCATGTAAAGCCATCTGCTCTCGTAACTGGTCCACGACTTTGTCCGGATTCGCCCCGGCTCGATCGAGCTTATTGACGAAGGCCACTCTCGGAACGTCATACCGCTTCATCTGCCGATCCACAGTTAACGATTGCGATTGGACGCCCGAGACACCACATAACACGAGAACGCCGCCGTCCAAAACCCTCAAAGCTCGTTCCACCTCAATCGTAAAGTCGACGTGCCCCGGCGTGTCAATGATGTTGATATGGTTCTCGTTCCAAGAGCAATGGGTCGCTGCTGACTGTATGGTGATGCCCTTCTCCCTCTCCAAGTCCATGGAGTCCATCTTTGCGCCCACTCCATCTTTCCCTCGGACATCATGGATGTTGTTGATGCGGCCGGTGTAGTACAGGATGCGCTCCGTTAACGTGGTTTTGCCGCTGTCGATGTGTGCGCTTATACCAATGTTCCTTGTTAGATCGGCGGACGCGGGGGCCGCGGACAACGCGCGTAGTGCTCCCTGCGGCGTCCTCGCGCCGGCGGAGCCGCGGCTGACGGTGGCGAGCACACGCCACGCCATGTCACGATGCTCGCTACTGCCTAAATACGAATTTCGCCGCCGCAGCGATGCTCCGGCAGGTATGTTAGTTAATATACGCGAGCCGTGCAATTGGCACTTGACCACAGAGGCCGCTACGCTGGCCAAAAAGCGGCGAGCTCTCCGAGTTTTACTAGCGTCATAAGGACACTAGCGCAAAAGCAAAGCGCTGCAATCGCGCCGCAATAGCTGCAACACGCGCTGGCCGGCGTGCGGGCACACTTACAGTAGTGCTGACCACGCTAAGTGACTTGGTGGACACGACGCCGCCGCCGCTCCCACTTTGACCTTGGCCCTCACCCTTGCAGCAGCCAAAACCGCTGCGCGCAATGGCGCTGGGCGCGGTGACGGCGCTCCTCTGCCTCGCACAAGCAACCGCAACCAAAACCGTCGCCGTCGACGCGCTCCCGCCCAACTTATTAGCGTTACCCGATGGTTTCGCCTTCGGCGCCGCGACCGCGGCCTACCAGATCGAAGGCGCCGCTTCAGAAGGAGGCCGCGGCCCTTCTATATGGGATGCCTTCTCCCATGAAAAAGGCAAGACCCACGATGGCGATAGCGGCGACGTCGCCGACGACCACTACCATCGCTACCCAGAAGATATTGATTTGCTGGCCAAGGCGGGCATCAAACACTACCGTCTATCAATATCGTGGAGCCGGTTAATGCCGGACGGTAGGACTTTGAATGACGAGGGCGTCGCGTTCTACTCGGCGTTGCTGGACCTACTGGTAGAAAAAAATATCGAACCGCGAGTGACACTGTACCACTGGGACCTTCCACAAGCTCTCGAAGATGAGTATAACGGCTGGCTCTCTCCATCAATAGTGGAGGACTTTGCTGCATATGCTGAAAAATGTTTTGAGCTGTTTGGTCATCACGTAAAAACCTGGACGACGTTCAACGAGCCCCTGACGTTCGTGGGGGGCGGCTACGGCACGGGCGTCATGGCGCCGGGTCGGTGTTCCGATCGATCACGATGTATTGCTGGAGACTCGGAGACCGAACCGCTACTAGCGGCTCATAATGTGTTACTAGCACATGCGCACGCTGCTTCTAGGTTTAGGGCACGATTTTCGAAAGGATACAGCATAGACATGGTGAACTGCGGCTGGATGGCCTGGCCGCTCCGGGACGGGTCGGTAGATGATATGAACGCGGCTTCGAGCTTCATGGAGGCGCAGTGGGCCTGGTTCCTCGACCCGTTGGTGCGAGGGGATTACCCGCCATCATTGAAAGCTCGGGCACCGGCACTGCCCCAGTTTACCATCGAGGAACAAACACTACTCAAGGGTTCTGTGGATATGTTAGGGGTGAACTACTACACCAGTCGCTATGTCGCCGCGGCCGACGCCGTCTACCCCGCGGCATCCGTGGGAGACGCGGCGGGCATTCCCGCGCTCAACGGCGAGTACCACCTCGCGACGACACGATCGTTATCAGAAGGCGATCCAAGAATTGGCGTCGTCGGTGGTTCGCCCTGGCTCTACGTCGCTCCTGATGGTCTCACGGATGTCCTCCTGTGGCTCCAAGACCGGTATCATCTACCAATGGCCGTCACCGAGAATGGGTGCGACCAGCCTTCCGGCGAAGACGAGCGCGACGATGTCTGGAGGATCGACTACTTGAGGAGCCACATCGACGGCGTCGCTACAGCCATACAACGGGGCGCCGACGTGCAGGCCTACTACGCTTGGTCTTTGCTCGACAATTTCGAGTGGGCGGACGGCTACTCGAAGCGCTTCGGGCTGGTCTTCGTCGACTATAATACGTTAACGAGAACACCGAAGCGGTCCTTCGCGTGGTATGCGCGTCTTATACATGCGCACGCTTCCTCATCTTTGCTGTTGGTAGACGATGTGGCGCCGGGACGGGACCTGAAGATGGTGCGGGCCGTTTCTGCGGTGTTGCTGTTTCTCCTTTGCGTGATGGTCGTGTCGCGATTTCTTCCTAAAAGGAGAAGGTTGCGAGCGCCGCGCTACATCGAGATCTCCGAGGTTGTTACGATGCCGAACGTCGAGAGCGGCGTGGAGGTGTTCTAAGTACCTGTGTTGTTTCTTTGTCGCGTCGATGGCGTGTTGGTTTGTGATCCCGAGGAGTCCGATCCAGAAGGAGTCCGAGCCTGCCGCGGACACGCGCCGAGCCCGAGTCGGAGGCGACCGCCGCGCCCGATGAGGGAAGAGTCGTCGCCTGGTGGGACTGGTGAGTGTATGCGGCGAGTCTTGTTTCGTTCGTCCGGCTCGCGAAGCGGAGCTGATCTGCTGATTCTGCTGTAGCTCTGCGTCCAGCACACAGCTGCTGTCCGCTGTCAGTGTCTCATACTCGTCGCAGAGCTTCGTTTTGACAGCAGTGCTCGCCTGGCCGACGGCCGTTCGACAGCTCGACGCTGGCGCGCGCTGCAGATACCTACAAGCCCAGGGGTGCTTTTGGCTGCGCGGCGGCGCCGTCCGGGGCCCTCCGCCCCCCGTGCCCAACGAGAAAGGCACCTCGTATTACGTGGAGCGGCTCGCGGAGTTTCGACCGCCGTGCTTTACGAGATGCGCCATCGCCGCGCGCGCCGCGCGTTGACCAACTACTCACAGGCACAAGTTCATGCGCCTGAAGCGCCCCTCCGTCCACGTCGCGCGCGGTGTCACGGCCCCTCCACGACGTCGAGGCGTCATTGTGGTTACTACACAGGTCGCGCGGGCGATCGACCGCGCCCTGTCCGGCGAGATGGTGAAGACATTACGACCCGCAGCTAGAGGCGACGGCGACGGCGCGCCGCGCCACGTCAAGCACGCCCACAAGGCCAAGAAGCCCGACGCGTTAGTGCTCGCCTTCCAGCAGGCGTTGTTAAGGAACCCGGCGCCCGGCGCGTTTCAGCCGCCGCCGGCGCTCGCGCCCGCCGCCGCGGCCGGCCGGAACCGCCGCCGCGCGAAGATGCTCATGGTGCGCAAGAAGACCAAGTCCTACGCCAACGCGCAGGGCATCAAGGCCGTCTCGACCAAAAGACCGCTCGGCATCCGCAAGCGCTAAACCCCGAACCCCCTACTAGTAGCACGAAGGCTAAGAACAAGAATTAGAATGCCCGCGCGAAGAGCGCGACGTGCGTCGCCGGCTCTCCACTATAAAAGCACGTCTTGCCTTCGAGGTCGCCCTGAGCATCCAAAGGGTAGCAGCGGATCGTCGCGGCGCAGTCCTCCTTGATCGCCTTCTCATTCGCATCGTCGGCCTTCCAGTAGACGCGGAAAAAGCCGAGGTCCTCGTTCGCAATTCTTGTCTTCATGTCCTCATAAGTATCGATATCAATGGTCCTATCAGACAACCGCTGAGACGCGTCCGCAAACAACTTCGCCTGCATCTCGTCCAGACGTTGTTTGAGGTACGAAGGCACCTCGTCCACGGCAATAGTCTGCTTCTCGCCACCGAGACGAGACGCCACGACCATGACGTTGGAGGCAGCATCCCGCGGACCGACCTCCAACCTTAGTGGAGCCCCTTTCCGCTCCCACTCGAAGTACTTCGCGCCGGGGCGCATGTTTTCTCTATCATCAACTTTCACGCGGAGACCCAATGCTTCGCACTCGTCGACGACCTTGTCGACCAACGACATGACGGTCTGTGTACCCTCGGGGTCCTTCTCCGCGCCCTTGACGATGGGCACCAGAGCGACCTGCGCGGGGATCGACCGGTGAGCGTACGCCATCGCGCAGACATAGGAGGACGCCGCGCGCCACCTGCACCGGCGCGATTCGAGGAGGCAGCACCAGCCCCGCATCATCACTATGCGTCATCACCAAAGCCCCAAGCAACCTAGTAGAGACCCCCCACGAAGTAGCCCAGACCAGATCTCTCTTGGCCTCCTTGTTCTGATAGTAGACGTCGAACGCCCGCGCGAAATTCTGCCCCAGGAAGTGCGAGGTACCTGATTGCAAAGCCCAGCCGTTGGGCATGAGTGCCTCGATCGTGTACGTCTCGTCGGCGCCGGCAAATCTCTCAATGGCCGACTTTTTACCTTTGACCACTGGTACCGCTAACACGTTTTCGACGACGTCCGCGTAGACATCTAACATTTCTTCGGCAGTGGCAATAGCCTCTGCAGATGTAGCGTGCGCCGTGTGGCCCTCCTGCCAGAGGAATTCACTACTTCTGAGAAAGGGCCGCGTCCGCATCTCCCACCGCACGACGTTCGCCCACTGGTTGATTTTTAGGGGCAAATCGCGATGAGACGAGATCCACTTCTGGAACATGTGCCAGATGATCGTCTCGGAGGTCGGTCTTATTATCAGAGGTTCATCTAGTTCTGCATCAGGGTCTGGTATGAGACCGTTCTCGTCGCCTTTGAGTCTATGATGAGTAACTACGGCGCACTCCTTCGCGAAGCCGTCGACGTGCTCCGCCTCCTTGGACAGGAATGATCTCGGGATGAGTAAGGGAAAATAGGCGTTCTGCGCACCCGACTTCTTTATTTTTTTATCTAATGAATCTTTGAGACCGTCCCAGACGGCCATGCCCCACGGTTTAATCACCATGCAGCCTTTTACTGGTGATGAATCGACCATGTCTGCTTGTCTTATCACGTCGCTATACCACTGGCTAAAGTCCTCGGACGCACTACAGATCGAGTCGGAGGCCTGCGTGGCGGCTCCTTTTTGTACTTTTTGTTGTTTCTTCTGCTGCTGCTTCTTCTTCTTCGGCTTCTGCTGCTGCGGCGACTCCGTGGCCGACCAGACCTGCACACTACGTCGTAGTGGAGCGCGCACGGCGGGCCGCAAAAACGCCCTCGCAGCGCGCAGCGAGAGCATCGTCACCACCGCGCGACGCATCGGGTTTCTACGCCAGCTCGATGGCGTAGGAACGCCCGGCGATGACTTATGCGACTGCTACTGCGGCTGCAGCGCTAATTGAGGTGGTGCCCTAGCTGCACACCTAGGAAGCTTCCCGCAGTGCTGAGCGGCTGGCGAGCAAGGAGTGCTTCCACTGAACGATTCGACCAGCTATCGACAGCACAACAGCTGCGCGTCGCGTCGTAGCTGCAATTGAAGTGCTGAGCTAGCTAGCGGCTGTAAGACACTAGCACCAAATTTTGGCCAATCAATCGGCCGGATCGGCGCAAAAGAACGCGTACCGATGCGCTGCCACACCATGGTCGCATAGCTAAGGCCATGCGCACACTCTGGGCCATCGCTGCCGCCGCGGCAGCAACAATGGGGCAGCCACCCCTAGACGTCCGCCGCCGCCTCTCGCGGAGCGACGGCGTCAAGTGGCGCGGCACGCTAAATAGCTCAGCAATAGTGAACCAGTACCTCTACGTCTTCGTCCACATCCCGAAGAACGCCGGCGCCTCATTTATGAAAGACTCGCCCCGACACCTACCGAGGGGCGCGATCCTCAGAGGCTCGCACGAGAAGGCGCTGTGGCACGGGTACACCCAACACTTGATAAATTCCTACCCGCGGACACGTTTAGTATTGATGTTACGGCATCCGATAAAAATGGCTTATAGTCAATTCCTCATGTGCAAGTACTCGATACGAGTTCAGGACAAGGGCTTCCCGCGGGAAGGTACCGGCGTGAAGAGTGGTTTAAAGTTGTGGGCCCAGCGACTCTTGAACCGGAACGCTACTTATGCTTTTGCTTGTTATCACTCGAGGGATATACAAACGAGATATTTAGCGACGGCCCAGTCGGCCTGGACCGTGCCCAAGCATCCGCCTATGTTGTCAAAAGCATTAGCTTCGTTGGGTAAAGCCTATTTTGTTGGATTGGCCGAGGCGTATCCCCAGTCGGCGTGTTTGCTAAGGATGCTCACGACACATTCACCTTTGGAGTACTGTCGCTGCGGCAGTACGGAACTAGGTCCTCGCTTAACCCACGAGCGCCACAAGGTGCCCTCGGCGAACCTCAACGATTTAGATCAGGAGGAGCTCCAGCTGCTGGCGAAGCTCGTGCCGCGGGACATCCGGTTGTACGCGCGGGCCGTCGTGAAACTCGATGCGCAGCGCCTGAAGGTCGACAAGCTGTTTGGTCAGGGCGCGGGGGGCTGCGCCGTCGCCGACGAACTACGCCAAGGGCTCCGCGACACGCTTTGTAGTGCGTACCCGTCTCAGACAGGAAACTGCTCCATCCCGGCGAGGTACGGCTGGGCCGGCGGGAAGACTCCCGCGGCCCGGGCGTACCGCGGAGTGAGAAGGTGGGAGCGCGCGTCGGGTGGTAACCTCGCGCGGAGCGCGGGGTACGTCGAGTAATTGTTGTTATGACCGAACGTTCATGTTCTGGAAGCGCACGGACTGCTGCGCGACGAGCCCCGGCCGGCCGGCGCGCGGGTCGGGCTTGTCCTTCTTGAGCCCCATCGCCCGTTTCACCCCTAGACTCTTCTTCTTCTTCTTCGGCACCAGAATTCGAGCGTGCTCGCTGTCTCTATCAACACCGTTCTTCCGCATCTCCTCCTCGAAGAGCTTCATGACTGGTAATTCCGGATCCAATTCATGCACGTAGCACGCCGCGTTCTTGCCCGCATTATTCCTAAGAGTCAATAACTCGTACCGCTGCCCATAGCGCTGGCAGTGGACAAAAATCATCTTTCCGGCCAGATGCGCATGATACTCCGCGGCGAACATCATTACTGTGCTACCGTCCGTCGATGATGGTTCTAGAAGTTTTTGCGACGGGTGGGAGTGCAGCAACTCAAAAAAGGCCAGCTCCTTGTCCGGCGTGAGGGGCATCATGTCCACCAGGGGCCCCCAGACCACGTCCGTCGGCGCCGGTAGGGAGCACACGGGTCGTGGTGAGGGCGGTGGGGCCGGAATGAGCTTCTTCGAGGACTTCTCCGACGGCGCGGCGAACTTGACGGAGCGCTTCTTCCTGAGTTTTTTTGGAGGGGGCGACTTCTTCTTTGGTTCGTTTGGTGCGGCGACGAGCTCCTCCTCCTCCTGTGGCTCCTCGAAGCAGGAGATGCCGAAGCACTCCATCATCACTACGGTGTGCTGCGTCGGTCGTCGGTGTCGCGGCGACGGCGTCGGGCTGCCCTCCCAGCCTCCCAGCCTGATACCACCTAGGTATGGATTTGGGAGTTGACTCTCGCTCACAGCTGCTGTGCTGCGATCACGTGTGCGGGCAATGCTGGGTGCCGGATCAACACGTTCTTGCCCAATTTGCGGCTGCCCTTTTCGTGGCTGGCCTCGCTCCCAGGCTGATTTGGCAGGCAGCTCTCCCGAAGTTTGGAGATGACCCGTACGATCGCGATCGAACGCTACGTGGTCCAATTGAGAGGTACGATTACCCCTTGTACGCTTCGGCCCCGCCCTGACGCCGCCGCCGACGAAACTGCGGTGATTTTCCGTCGACGGCGCCGCGACTCCACCCCGAAGCCATCGAAGCGCCCAGGTTGAGAGGCTTCAAACTTAGGTCATGATGGGGGGAATGCGCTTGTCGATGTGCCGCGTGCCGGATGAACAGGGCGCCCCGCTCACCATAGCGGAAGGGGGCAGTCTCGGCTGCAGACACACGCGCTTGACGCAGCACTGCTTCATCTTGCCCGGGCCGCCGAACTTCGGCGAGTCCTTGCAGAACTTGCACTCGCCGCAGTCCGCGGCCTTGCACGCGGCGCACGTGCGGCACCGCCGTTTCCGCGGCGCGCTGTTCGATGAGGCTTTCTTGGCCTTCTTCTTCGGCGGCGGAGCAGGTGGCGGCGCCTCGACCACCACGGGCTTACAGACGAAAGCATTCTCGCCCTCGACGCGCCACCGCTCGAACAGCGGCACGTCGATGCGCACCGTGTCCGCTTGGCACTTGCAGTGCGACGCCTGGCGACCAATCTCACTCCAAGTATCAGTGGCAAAATTCGTAGACTCGGCGACGTTGTAGCCGTGGTTGAAGCCGCAATGATACCCAGCAGGAAACGTGACGACCATCTCGCCCGGTCTTTGGACACACTCGACCAGATATTGATCTAAATCCCACTTCACGAGCAAGTCCGGACTCACGACGACGGTCTTGTGCCTTAGAAAATCTTTACATTCTCGCGCCAAGTCGGGGAAGGCCTCCCTACATTTTTCCTCGAACTTCGGCGCGGCCCGCGGGTCCAGCGCGTACCAGGACTTGGGCGCGCCGCAGTGCAGGTAGTTGACGCTGTACAGGTTCGCGTCTTCCACGTGCCACGCGAAGAAGGCCCGCGGCGCCCCAAAATACAGCATGCCGTTCGTCACGCCCGGGATTCGCGCTTTCAGGCGCTTGAGGAAGGGTCTCAGGCGGCACGAGGGTATCGCGTCGAGGTGCCAGCCTGGTACTTCTCCCTCACTCGTCTTGTCATTATCCGTAAAACAAGTCGCGTCGACGTCGGCGCCGTAGAGCGGCGCTTCATTTAACGGCGTCAGCGCCTTCCAGAAGGCCGCCTCGACGCCCGCGTCATCACTCACATCTTCAGAGCCTCGCGCTTCGCAGCCTCTCCTCTCGAACCGTTCTCTAGCTTCTCGAGCTTTCCTTTCTGCTTCTTCTTGTAGTTTCAGGGCCGTCTTGCGGAATTGTTTAGCTGTTGTCTGTGGTTGTGGCAGGATCGCAACTTCGAAGGCGCCCTTGGGCGTGCCTGGTGGGCGGCTCACCGCTTGCCGGATGGGCCTCAACTTCAGCGTATCCAGCAGATTCTTGGCGCGCCGGCCGCCGCTCGTCTTCCCCGGTATCGTATCGCCGTTGAATGCTTGTGAAGCCTCGGCGGCGCCGTCCCACCATCCAGATGGAGGCACGATTTTGACGATCCCGGCGCCCTCGGACTCCATTTCGGCCCGGCGCATCAGGGTCTCGATGTCGTTGAACTCGGCGAGGGTTGGTCGTAGGACGAGGCAGCTGGTGCGGCTCATTTTTCAATGCTACTCCGTGCACAGACTTCTTCTGCAGCCGGGAGTTTTCGGCTTGGGAGCTCTTCGTATGCGTTCAAACCACGTAAAAAAAGTACCGCTGTGCGACGGGTATGATGATGGCGACCCGCGAAGCCTATCACGGCAGTCTCTAGCCCGGGTGCGGCCGCAAATGGAGGCCTGCTCTCAACTGCAGTTCGGCGGCTAGCGGTCTGTAAAGACACTAGCAAGCACGGAAAACAGGCCCAAAGACGCGTGATCAACACTGCGAGGCTCCGGGAATTCGCTCGGCGGTCCCTGGACTCATCCGTGGAGGGCCTCGCGGTCCTCACAAAGCCAGCCGCGGGAGAGGAGACGCGGGCGACGCGGCCGGCGCGCGCGCTCGTTTGCCGGTTCAGTGGGCATCGCTGCGACGACACTGCTCCCAGATGCCCAGGCCAGCGACAAAGGTGCGCCGACCGAGTAGGAGATGACAGGACTAACTCTTTCAAAACCGCGCGGCGACGTCCGCGCGCCCACGCAACATTTATGCGCGGCTCTCGTTCCGCGCGGCCAACGCCGCGCACGCGCGCGCAACGCGACCGCTCACGCGCGCGCCTCGCAGGCCCTCGCCGTCGCGGCCGCCGCCGGCGTCGGCATCGCCGCGCTCGTCTGGTGGGCGCGCCAGCAGAAGAAGGACAGCGAGCTCGACGATGAGGCCGACGCGCCGCCGCCGCCGCGCACGGAGGAAGCGCCGAAGGACGCGGCGTCGGGCGAAGCAGTCAAGGCCGAGTTCAACAGTTGCAAGCAGAAGGCCTTCGAGCTGTTCAAGGCGAGTCCGCCGAGGTATGCCGAAGCCGCCGAGTGGTTCTCGAAGGCCATCGATTTAAGCATTGCGCACGAAACGCTCGCGCCGCAGCGGAAAGCACTTTATAACAATAGAAGTGCGTGTCGGGAGCGGTGCGACGACCTGGAGGCGTCGCTCGAGGACTGTGCTGTCGTGTTAGCGTCGGATCCGCAGCACGCCAAGGTCAGGAGGAGGAGAGCGCGCATTTTTGATAAATTGGGCAGAAACGAGGAAGCGCTCGTCGAAATTTGTGCGGATTTACTCATCCAGAGGGAGGCCTTCAAGAAGGCGCTGCAGGCGGGCCGGCAGGCGGACCAGCCGACGCCGGTGGACAACGTCGAATCCGTCATGCGCGCGGTCGGCGCGGCCGCCGCCGAGGAAGTGTTGGCGGCTCGTAGAGCTTCTGGAGCGAAGTTCGGCATGCCCTCGTCCAACACGATCACGCAATTATTGATGACCTATGCTGCTTACGATTCAAGGGCCCAAGCGGCATCGACGGACTCGACAGATTACGCCACATCAATCAAGGCAGCACGAGCTTCGGGCGACGACGCCGAGACGATCCGACTGCTCCTCCAACGGGCGGAGACGGCGACGTACTCGAAACGCTACGAGGCCGCGAGAAAAGATGTTGAATTGGCCTCCGCTCAGAAAGTGAAAGCGGAAGCGAACGGCCAGCAGTTCCCGCCCGCGTTGGTCGCGGAGCTGGAACGGGCGGCGGGGCTCTATAAACACTTGGTCCACGATCTGAGTGGTGCGGCGGAGTGCTACGAACGAGCTCTTGCGCTGGAATCGGATCCCGCCAAGCGGGTGGAGACGCGAGTACGGTTGGCGGGCGTCCACGTGGACAACGCGGACATGGCGTCAGCGGATGCTTCCTTAGATGCGGCTCTGGCAGATGCGGATGGTGCTTCGGTCTCAGACGTCCACATGCACCGCGCGCAACTGAGGGTGATAAGGAGGGACCTGGAAGCCGCCAAGAACGACCTCGAGGCGTGTATTGCGGTGGCTCCGGGCCATGTGCTCGCTAGGTTGCGGTTGGCTACCGTACTCATACATTCAGGTGCTGATGCACAATCTGTCGAAGAGCAGGTCGAGGCCGCGGAACGGTTGGCCCCGACCATGTCCGAAGTGTACCAAGTGAAGGGCGAGGTGTTGCTGGCCAAGGCCGATCTCAGAGGCGCTATAAGGCAGTTCGACGAAGCAATTAGGCTCGACGAATCCAATCCCGTACCGTTGTACAACAAGGGTCTGACGCTCATCCAGATGAACCAGTTCGAGGCGCACAACGCCCAGAAGCTCTTTGAAAGTGCGTTGGCCGTGGACCCGACGTGCATGGTCGCACTCATGCGCCTGTCGGAATTAAAGCTCCAATTAGCTGCTTCCTTCGATCAAGCGCAAGCGGTGGTCGATATGTTGGGCGGCGCCATGCAAAATTGTAGGGACAAGGACGAGTTGGTGGAGCTGTCTACCGTGCGCGCGATGGCGGTCGCGCAGCTCGCTGCTGCTAGGGATGTCGGGCTGACGTCGTTCCAGATGTAGGGTGGCGGCGGCGCCGTTGGTGAGGCCTGCGCGCCGGCGGCGTGGCTGGTGGGGGCCTAATACGTATACTACTCTCTAGAACCTGGGCGGTCCCGCGCGCCGCGGCTGTCGCGCACGCCGCCGCCGAGTGCCAAGACCAGCACTGCGAAGAGAGCTCCGGACACGAGTCTTCTGCGACTGACGATTGGCGCACCCCAGGCAGGGCTGAATCTCTCTAGCGGCGATGCAGAGCCAAGGTGCTTGGACCAAAAACGTACTCGGTTCCGCAGAGATAGCTGTTACTGTTAACACGCCGCGCGAAGTGACTAGCTTGCATAGCTTGCGCAGTGACACCCGCAAACTACGACGAAAACAGCCTCTGCAGCGAGGAGATAGCATAGCAGCTTCACAGGGAGGATATTGCAATGGCGCACCGCCTCATATTAGCGCTGCTCCTCAGCACTGCCGCCGCCTTCGCGCCCGCTGTCAAGCCGCGCGCCGCCACACAGCTGCGCGCCGGCGGTGACGGCGAGATCACCGCCGTCAGGGCGTGCGAGACAGTGCATGAATCAAATTGTCTCCGCCACTGCTATTATCATGGCATCCACGCCATCGACGCGTCTCACTGGTTGATTTGTGCACAGGTGCGAGATCCTCGACTCGCGGGGCAACCCGACGGTCGAAGTGGAAGTCGACACGAAGCAGGGCACGTTCCGCGCCAGTGTACCTTCGGGAGCGTCGACGGGTATTTATGAGGCCTGTGAGCTCCGCGACAACGACAAGAGCCGCTACCTGGGCAAGGGCTGCCTGCAAGCCGTGAAGAACGTCAACGACGTCCTCGGCCCGGCCGTCGTCGGTAAGGACTCCTCACAACAGCGAGAGATCGACCAGTTGATGATCGACTTAGATGGAACACCTAACAAACAAAAATTAGGTGCAAATGCCATCCTAGGCGTATCTCTGGCGGTGAGCAAGGCCGGCGCCGCGGCCAAGGGCGTGCCCCTCTACCAGCACGTGGCAGACGTGGCAGGAAACACAAAAAATGCCAACGTCCTCCCAGTCCCGGCGTTCAACGTCATTAATGGAGGCTCCCACGCGGGCAACAAGCTCGCCTTCCAGGAGTACTTCATCATACCGACGGGCGCGCCGTCCTTCAGCGAAGGTCTGCGGATCGGCACGGAGTGCTACCACACGCTGGCCAAGATCATCAAGAACAAGTTCGGCGGCGACGCGACGCTCATCGGCGACGAGGGCGGCTTCGCCCCCCCGTGCGATGCCCGGGAAGGTGTGGAACTCGTCATGGAGGCCATCAAGACGGCGGGCTACGAGGGGAAGTGCGAAATTGGCATGGACGTGGCCGCGTCGGAGTTCAAGGTCGAGGGCGAGGACTGCTACGACCTGGGGACCTTCTATCCTCCGGGCGAGAGGGATGATCCGGCTCTCAAGATGACGGCGGCGCAACTCGCGGATTTCTACGCCGACCTCTGCAGGGAGTTCCCGATCGTGACCATCGAAGACGCCTTCGACCAGGACGACTGGGCTGCTTGGTCGAACTTCTCGCCCAAAGTCAAGGCCACGGTGCAGACCGTCGGGGATGATTTGACGGTGACGAACGTCGCGAAGATTTCGGAGGCCATCGACAAGGAAGCCTGCAACGGGCTACTCCTGAAAGTGAACCAGATCGGGTCCCTCTCGGAGTCCATTGACGCCGTCAAGATGAGCAAAAAGGCGGGCTGGGGCATCATGACCTCGCACCGGTCAGGGGAGACCGAGGATACGTACATCGCGGACATCGCGGTCGGTTTGTGCACGGGCCAGATCAAGACGGGCGCGCCGTGCCGAAGCGAGCGGCTGGCGAAGTACAACCAGCTCCTGAGAATTGAAAGGGAGCTCGGTAGTGAAGCGCGCTACGCGGGCAAGGACTGGCGCGCGCCGGCGTGGATGGGCGACTGAGGCGTCGGTTGCCTTCTAAGACATCGTACTATATAGCTCATGATCTTACGACGGGTCTCGACTAGCCCGCGCCGCCTCAATCATGCGTCGCGCATTCGCGCCCGCGATCGACCCGAGCTTCGCGTCCGGCGTTTTCAGCAAATAAGCGTCGATGCCGCCCGCCCTATCGATGCACCGCAAGGCGTGCGTCGTGAGGTTGAAGCGCAGCCAGCAGCCGAGCGTCTCGGACCAGAGGCGCTTGCGCTGCGCGTTCGGCTTGAAGGTCCGCCGCGTCTTGCGGTGGCTAAAACTGATGTTGTTGCCGAAGCGGATGTCCTTGCCCGCGTAGATGCCGCGCTTGCTCCGGTTGCTCGCGAAGGCGCGCGTCGTTGTGGGCGCTGCTGGCCGTGCAGTGAGTGTGAGGCGTGATAGCGCCGAGCGGAGCATATTATCGGTCCAGATCGCCTCCGCGCCGCTACGACTGGGCCCTGATGGAACCGTGGGCGAGTGATGAGGATATATAGGGGCAGTACGGAGCCGCTGTCTTGCTTGCGCCAGCTAGCGCCACATTGACATACTAGCGTTATCCCAGCCTCCTAGGCCTCCTCCTCCACAAAAAAGTGCCCTTGCTCGCTGTAAAGCGCCACAGAACACGCTCCGGGTCGCGCATCGCTTCAAAGATATAGCTGACCCTCACGCCAGGTGCTGTGCGCGGTCAAACAACCCCTCGCTGTCGCCTCGCTGTCGCCTCACATCCAGAACGCCGTCGCCCGCGAGCAATAGCTGAGCGGTCGCCGCATCTTTCAATCTCCTTCGCTGTCGCCTCAGAATCACGCCAGAACCACAAAATGGCCGCCCGCACCGTCGTCATCGCCTCGACGGCACGAACGGGCCTGGCCAAGTCCTTTCGAGGCGGCTTCAACAAGACGCACGGCGCGGCGATGCTCGGGCATGCCATCGAGCACGCGGTCCAAAGAGCGAAAATCGAGCCGGGCGAAGTAGATGATGTGATCGCGGGCTGCGGGTTCGGGGAAGGCGCGACGGGGATGAACATCGGTCGGAATGCTGCTTTGTGGGCGGGGTTACCGGCTTCCACGTCGGGCGCGACCATCAACCGCTTCTGCGCGTCGGGTTTGCAGGCCGTCGCCTCCGCGGCAGGACATGTGGCCTCGGGCTTCGCCGATGTTGCGATAGGCGCCGGCGTCGAGTCGATCAGCATGGTCCAGCCGGTTGTCGCGAAGACGACCGTGCCCGAGAAACGACTGTTAAAAACGTTTCCAGCTCTATGGATGCCCATGATCGAGACGGCGGATATCCTCGCGAAGAGGTATGATGTCTCCAGAGAAGACTGCGACGCGTATGCCTTAGAATGTCAGAAACGAACCGCCCATGCCCAGTCGTCCGGTTATTATGAGCATGAAATAGTGCCGATGGACACGATTATGACCGTCAAGGACAAAGAAAAAGGTACCAGTGAGGATATCAAATATACAGTATCTAAAGACGAGTGCAACCGGCCCTCGACGACCCTAGAATCGCTGCAAGGCTTGCAACCGGTCCGCCACGAAGATGATCCACACGCGACCGTGACGGCGGGCAACGCGTCGCAGTTGTCAGATGGCGCGGCGGCGTGTGTGGTCATGGACGGGGATTTGGCTTCGAAACGAGGTGTATCTCCTCTAGGAATCTTCAAGGGCTACGCCGTGGCCGGCTGCGCGCCCGACGAGATGGGTATTGGGCCGGTCCACGCCGTGCCCAAGCTACTGAGTCGTTCAGGTTTGACTGTGGACGACATCGATTTGTGGGAGATCAATGAAGCGTTCGCCTGCGTGCCGCTGTACGCGATGCGCGAGTTAGGGATAGATCCACAAAAAGCGAATGTGAACGGCGGGAGCATCGCCATCGGCCACCCCTTCGGGATGACGGGCGCGCGGCAGGTCGGTCATATACTATTGGAGGGGCAGCGGCGGAAGGCGAAGCACGTCGTTGTATTGTTTCAGTGTCCCTACTTCAGTCATGAAAGCCCGATGACGCAACCGACCCTTGACGGAAGGATTATTAACCCATTTTTGACCCGACCTATGTCGAAAGATGTCTAGGACGTTTCCGAGGGCTTTTCTTTCGCGGTTGCTTTTTGTTTGTTTGTTGTTGTTCGTTGGTTATCTTTACTTACACAGGTCACGATGTGCATCGGCGGGGGCATGGGCGCCGCCGGCCTCTTCGAGGTCTGTCTGTAGCTTTTCGCGATGCCATCGACGCGACGCCTGCTCGACGGCGTGGCGGTGCGGACCGTTCTCTGCGGCGGTCTGCGGCGGCGACGCGTCTAGGCGTGGCGCGGGGCATGGATAGTAATATTGGTCAAGTTACAGGCCTCGCGTCGACGGCGCCGTCGGGGCTACGTCTACCCCACCAGAACGCCGTCGCAGCGACAGCGCATCAGTGCGGCCCGTGCGCGCCCTGGAGCCGCGCGAGCGCCTCGGCCTGCGTAGGAACCACACCGTACAAGGACGGTCCAAGAAAGGCCGAACGAAGTTTGAAGCCACCACCGACGCTACCGACGCGCCTCGCGCTCGGCCTTGCTCTTCTTGGCCTTCTTCCTTCGCCCGAAGTCGTCGTACCCATCGTCCTCGTCCGGCGGCGGCGCGCGTCGATCGGACGCGTCGTCGCGCTCGTTGAAGCCCCTGCCGCGGCCCTCGCGCGGCGCGAGGTTCTCGGGCCGCGGCTTCTGGCAGCGGTTGCAGACCTGTGTGTGGTGATCACGACGCAGCGACCAAAGGTTGTAACGTACCTTGCGCCAGCCCCAGTTGTCGTTCTGGCAGTGGCCGCACCGCCAGTTGTCTTCTTTCGGGGGTTCGCCTTTGTGTCTTCCGCGTTCGAACTTGCGGCCGCCATCCCTGCTGCGGCTGCGGCTTCTTCGACGATGACGGTCGCGCTCCTCGCTCCGGTCGCGCGGCCGCGGCCGCCGATATCTCGGCTCCTCGTCGTCCCGAAGCTGCCGCGCGCGCGGTTTTCTGGGTTCATAGGGTCTCGCTGCCCCACAACGGTGGCACTCCATGCGCCGCGCGAAATTCACGTTCGGGCACTCGGGGCACTGCCAGTCGCCGTCTCTTATGCCCGAGGGCGGCGCGCCGGGCCGCCCGCCCCGGTAAGGTTGTTGTGTTTGGGGCTTCGGTGCGGCCTCCTCGACGAAGACCGTGTTCCGCGCGAGGTTCGGCGTTTCTCTCATGCGTGCCGTCCAGTCACTCGTGGCTCTCCAGTCGGCCATGGTGCTGCTTGGTGTGCTGCCGCGGGGCGCACGCGTGCTCTGCGCGGCTGCGTCAGCGGTCGGCGCGCTGCGATTGCTGCTGCCTGCTCTCCCTGCTTTGTGGAGGGTCCCGCCGCCTCAGGGCGCACGCGTGGCGATGCGCGGCGGCTTACACGGTTGGCGCGCAGCGATTAGCCGGTCGCCTGCTCCCGGCAGGCGTCGCGCGGCAAATGCAGGCCGATTTAGCTTGGGCAAGCCAAGGCGCAGCTAGCGGTCTGTAACACACTAGCAAAAACGATTCGTCTCCCGGGACGCCATCGACGCGAGTCCCTCGAGAAAAGTAAGAGAAGTTAACGCGCATCACCTAGGGCGCCGCCTCGCAGGCCACGGAAGCCAGCACCTCCTTCGCCAATTCCACAACTTCATCCCGATCGTCCCCGACCATCGTAATGTGACCCATCTTCCGGAAGGGCGAGACCGTCGACTTGCCGTAGAGGTGGGGGTAGACGCCGGGCTTGCCCAGGGCTTCCCGCAAGCCTCGGTATAGCGGTTTGGAGCCCTTGGCGACACTGGGCGACCCGAGGATATTGACCATCGCGGCAGCCTTCGCCCGTGTTGGGGAGACGTCACCGAGCGGCAAATCCAAGACAACCCGCAGCAACTGCCCAAATTGGGACGTCGCGCACTGCTCGATCGTGTGGTGGCCCGAGTTGTGTGCCCGAGGGGCTAATTCGTTGACCATAATTTTACCAGTGCCCTTCTCCAAGAACATCTCCACGGCCAGAATGCCAATGTAGTCCATCGCATCCACTACTTGCTTCGCGAGGGCGTTGCAGGTAGCTTTTTGTTCGGGAGTTATCGACGCCGGACTCACGATGAGCTGAACCACGTTCCCGCGAGGATCGAACACGCACTCCGTCGGCTCGTAGCACTTCGTGTCGTACGCAGATCTTCGACATACTACTACCGATAACTCCTTCTCGATGTCAATCTTCTTCTCGAGGACGCAATGCGCGTCTTTGCCTTCGAAGTGGGAAGAAGACGCGTCTTTGAGGACCGCGACGCCCTTGCCGTCGTAGCCGCCCCTTCTTAATTTCTGGACGACGGGGTAGCCTAATGCGCTTCGATCACCATTTGCCATCTGGAGGGCGAACGGAGCAGTAGCGATGTTGTGCTTCTGGAAGAACTGCTTTTGCAAGCCCTTGTCCTGGATGAGGGCGATGTGTGCTGGTTTTGGCACCACTCTCACACCCTTCCTTTCCAGAGCTTCCAGGCCCGGGACGCTCACGCCTTCGATCTCGATCGTGATACAATCTAAACCAGTACCAAAAGCCTCCACGGCCTTCGCGTCGAGCAAGTTGCCCTGGACGAAGCGCTGCGTCAGGTGGGCGCAGGGCGCGTCCGCTGACGGATCCATGACTTCCACGCGCGCGTCGAGGTCGATTGCGTCCTGGATCATCATCCGGCCCAATTGGCCGCCTCCTAAGACACCGATGCGGACTGAGGGCCCGCCGCAGTAGGGCTTCTCGCGGCTCGGCAGGCAGTTGGCGAGGGTGGAGAGGATGCCGCTCATGCTGCTGTGAGTTTGTTTGTGGCGCGCGGCGACGGCGTGCAGGCGAGCGTACTTAGCTGAGTATCACGCGCGCGACCGACGGCGTGCAGGCGGAGCTTATTTGAATTTAGAGCTGTGCGGAGCGCTCCGGTAGGTGCGCGTGCAGCGATCGGTTATTTTGTACCGAAATCACTTAATGGAAATGCACGAATGCTGCTGTAGGAGCAAAGCGCGCGTCGCTTTTGCCGCCTTGCCGCTGTTGCTAGTGTCTTACAAACCGCTAGCTGAAGTTTTGCGGCTTTAGTCCTATGGCGGACTATGGACTAGACACAACGAGGGAGGGCGCCGGACTCAATTATTGTGGCCTGCGCAAAAACGCCCGAGACTTGCGGCGATCGCTGAAGAAGAAGAGAGATAAAAAAGCGCCTCTGCAGGACAACTCCCCAGCGGACGTCAAAAAGCTCCTATTAGTGCTCGGCGGCTTCCTTCTAGCGCTCTTCCTGGTCACGAAGATGGCTCTGGGCCTCTAAAGCGCGAAACCGCCAAATGACGCGTGCGACCCGCGCCGCCGTCCTCGCTCTAATCGCCACAACAGTCGGCGCCTGGCCCGCCCTCGACGAAAAACTGCAAAGCTACCCCTCAATACATGCGCGCGAGACGGCCAAAATTAAAGCCGGCGACGCCAAGGGCGCCCGCTACATTCTGGTGAACGCGTTCCAGGCCGAGTTGTCTATGCTGCAGCGCCTTGGCGCACCAGCCAAGGACTTCCTCACCGCGCAGACAAATCTTGCGATCTCGTATGGAGATCTTGGAAACCTTGAGAAGGCCCGAAGCATGGAGCAAGGCGTTTACTCCGGACGTTTAAAGTTACATGGCGAAGAACATCCGGAAACCATCAAAGCAGCCAACAACTACGCGTCGTCCCTTGTCCAACTAGATCGCTTCGAAGAAGCCAAGTCGCTGCTGTGCAAAGTGATGCCCGTGGCGCGACGCGTTCTCGGAGAGAATGATGATCTCACGCTCAGGATGAAGAAGATTTACGCGATGGCGCTCTACGCGGACGACGGCGCCACGCTCGACGATCTGCGCGAGGCCGTGACGACGCTCGAAGAGATAGGACGGACCGCGCGGCACGTGCTCGGTGGTGCGCACCCAATCACAGAAGATATTGAGGACAATTTGCAAAACATGCGAGCGGCGCTCCGTGCCCGCCATAACGCGGAGCTGCGCGCGGCGTACAAGGAGGACCCGTCCTCGCTTTCGGCCGACGATCGCGCGCGCGCCGAGCAGCTCCTAGCGCGCGACGCGAGGAAAGCTGCCAAGAAGGCGGCGCGCGGCGTTTCAAGCGAGACGCCGTCGCCGGGGACCGCCTAAAGTCCAATTCACTCGTACGCAACGCAGGGATAGCGGGCAATACTCCGCGCCCGCGAGGCGCTGGGGACTGCCAAGTTCCGGGTACAGATTACTCGCACGCGGAACGCAGGGATAAGCGACGTGGTGGGCGGGATTCGGGGGAGGGCACAAATTAAAACACGCGGGCGACTCACTTCGCGCCGGACGCGTACATCCGCGTCCACTCCGCCGCCGTCCGCTGCGCCGCGGCCTCGTCCCGGTTCCACGCGTCCGCGACGCCGTTATCTAATGGGTCGTCGGGGTTCGGCGCGCTCAGCAGCGCCTGGATCGACAATAGGACCGTCCTTATTTGTAACGCCGGCGACCACTTGTCCTTCAGGATGTCGAGGCAGATGCGCCCCAATTTATCGACGTTCGGGTGGTAGATCTTCGTGAGAAACCGGACCTTCGGCGGCGCCATCGGGTAGTCCGCGGGTAGAAATAACTCCAATCTAAACACGCCCGCCTCGTAGGGCGAGTCGTCGGGCCCGGAAATGATCACGTTGAAATAGCGCATGTTGTCCTCGAAGGGAATGGCCGTGATGCCGGGCACGGGCTCCTGCGTGAGCCGCTGCGTCTCCTTCACTATTCGCCGCGGGAGCGACATGGCCGCCAGGGTTGCGAACGGGCCGCGGCCGCGGGCTCGGCGCCGCGGCGGCGGCGACGAGTCTGGGGCTGGGGCTGCGGTGGTGGCTCGTCGGCGCGGGCGCGACGACGAGGCTGACCGGTGGCTCGTCGCGCGCTAAGCGACCAGGAGCTGGTTTTTGACCGAGAGCGGCGCGGCGCGTCGAACCGGCCGGTGCGTCTCGGCGCGAGAGGCGACGAGTTGCTTCCCGAGCGAGGCGGTCGCAGCCAAAGTTGGATAGCGGCCGGTAGCGTGAATTGCCGTCGACGTTGGCTAGTATGTATGATGCGCTAGGACGATTATTGCGCAACTTCAGCGGCCAGCGCGCTTGCCCCGATACTGCACCTCCCAAACCAAAGAGCTCGCCTACAGCCGCATCGATCACTTTCAGATCGATCACGCACAAAAAAGCTGCACAAAAAGCTGCACCAGCCATGCTGCGCCACGCCCTGCACCGCGCGGCGCCGCGCCACGCCCTGCAGCGCGCGGCACCCGCAGCCGCCGCCGCGGCGAGGCGGACCTACCTCGCGCAACCGAAGCAGCGCTGGCACCTGGTCGACGCGGCGCAGGGCGTCAGCGTCGGGCGCCTCGCGGCGGCCATCGCGCCCGTGCTCCGGGGAAAACATAAGCCCGGGTTCGAGCCGCACCGGCACGAGCACGGCGATAATGTGGTCGTCGTGAACGCCGACCGGCTCGTCTTCACGGGGCGCAAGTGGAAGCAGAAATTATACAGGCACCACACGGGCTTCATGGGCGGGCTAAAGGAGCGGACCGCGGCGGACCTGCAAAGGCGGAAGCCCGGCGAGGTGCTGCGGCGGGCCGTCCTCGGCATGCTGCCGAAGAATAAATTAAGGACGATCTTCATCCGGCGGCTGTGGATCTACCCCGGGCCGGAGCACCCGCACACGAACGTGGCCCCGTAGTGCGTCGCGGCGTCTTTTTTTCACGGCAGCCTCCGGTATCTCCCGCGGCGACGATGAACGTGTCGCCCCGGGTCAAATGGCGAGGCGAGAGCACGGGGAATCGCGCATACATAGTTGGCGCGGGCTCGCTTTTTTTTTTCCGTCCCGCGCCTGGACCGCGGCCCGACACGCAGGTCCTCCGCGGCGGCGGCGGCGTCGTCAGCTTAGTAATTTGTGCTTTGGTAATCCCCCTCCCTTCATGTTTCTGAATGGCGACTCGAGTTGTTATACGATGGGGAGACTCCGGGGGAGGGGAGTACTGGCTCCGGGTAGGGAGTTTGCGCGCGGCGCCGGCGTCGCCACGGCGCTTAGCAGCTGCCGCACGTTTTGCTGCAGGCGTACTTCGCCAGTACGCCATCGTCCGACACGCGCTTCGAGCAGCGCTTGTCGATCAAGTCCTCTTCGCTCGCGACGTGGTCGCATCCCTTCGAGCCCTTGTCGCCAGCGTCGTAGCGCCACTCGTCATTGTCGGCGCAGTCGCAGTTGCCGCACGTTTTTCTGCAGGCATAGTACGCCGGGACGCCGTCCTCGCTGACGCGCTGCGACGCGTTTTACCTTTCCACCCCATGGGTCATTACCCGGTAGCCAAAAATGGACTCGGGTAATTACCGGTAATTACCGGTAATTTCCATTACCGGTAATTACCGGTAATTTCCATTACCGGTAATTACCCTCAGAATTACCGTAACAATCATAGCGTCGAGAGACGCGCCGTGGGAAACAGAATACTAGTACTCTTAGTACAAAGGGAAAAAAACCTCACACGGGCGCAACGGCCAGCAAGTACCGCACGAGCGCCTCGCCCCACAGCACGTACGACCCAACGACCACGAGGCAAAAGACCACCCAACCCACCAGCGCCCAGTCGTGCGCCGCCGCCGCGCGCGCGGCCTGCCGCAGCGCGCGCTCCGTCTCCGCCTCGCCCGACCGCCGCCGCCGGACGCCGGACCGCGTATCACCAAGACCGTCGCTGAACGCTGCGCTGAGACACTTCCCGTAGGCGGCCTCCATGCGGGTCGTGCGGCGTTGCGCGGCGCGCGTCTTCCTCATCAACGCCGCGGCCTCCCTGTTAGATTCGATCGCTTCCAAACAGGCGAGGGCCTCGTCGTACCTATCCAACGCCAGGAGCGCGGCGCCCTTGCGTAGACGAGCCTTCACGTGTCCGCCGTCGATCTTCAGCGCCTCGTCGCAGCACCTGAGACACTCCCGCGGCCGCCTCAGCGCCAGGTAGGACGCCGCCGAGTTCGTCCAGAGCGGCAGGGCGACACTACGCAGCGTCGCCTCTCGGTCACAAGACAAATCGAGACCGGCCATGGCCTTGGCGTACGTCCGAATCGCATCAGCGTGGTCGCCTCTCTCAAACTGCGCGTTGCCTTCGACACGCATGGCTTTCCCGTAGGCCAGGCGCTCGTCCCTAGGTAACCTTTGTACGGCCTTCACGGCGGCCTCGAGCTCGGCGTCGAAGTCCGCGGTGGCGAAGTCGCGGTCGTCGGCGGGGATATATGAACCGTCGGGCGTCCGCTTCTTCACCTCCACCTCGACGCCGGACGCGGCGCTGCTCGCGTTGAGGCTGGCCATGACCTTTGCGTACGACATGGCGAGTGGCGCGTCGATGGCGTCTCGGAGGGGCGTGACTTCTGCTACTTTTTGCTTGCGCGCAGCCCTTCGCCCGCAGCGATGGACAGCGGGTTCCCTGGGGTGTGGCGACGACGTCTCGCAGTCAGCTGCCTGAGAACCGCGCGGCGGCGCGCTTCGTGCTCGCAAGGACGAGGCGCCCGAGAGCCCAAGGCTCAGCTCAGCCCGTACGAAGCAAGACAAACGAGTGGAACGGGAGGTATTCCGACAGCTCCACGCCGGGCGGGTCCCGCCCGGACGAATGAAGAACCCTCACGAAAGTGCCACGAGAACGCGCGACGAAGGACGGACGGGACCACAGTTACTTCAAGTTATCACAAACGGCAGGTCGCTCAAGTCCTCGCCGCGGTGCAGCCGCGAGTACAGCACGGCGTACTTCGCCAGGAACCCCTCGATGGAGAACGCCTCCGCCGCCGCGCGCCGCGCCTGGCGGCCGAGCGCGTCGCGCCCGCCAGCGTCCTCGAGGAGCTCGAGCACGGCCTCGGCCAGAGCCTCGGGCGTCGCGCGGTCCACGGCGACGCCCGTCGGCGGTTCGGACGGCGTGCACCCCCGATACTCCGGGGACGCGTTGCACGTGTCCCGCGTCGGCGCGGCCACAAAATACTCGCCCACACCTCCCACGCCAAAGGACACGATGGGACGCGCCGACGCCATGGCCTCCAGATTCGCAATACAGAACGTCTCGGACCAGGCCCGCAGCGCCGGCTGCACGACGACGTCGAACGAAGCATAATACGAAGCGACGTTTTCTGCTCCATACACCGCGCCCACGAAAATGACACGATTTTCAATGCCGTAGGCCCGCGCGAGTTCCTCGCACATGTTTCTGGCTGCACCGTCGCCCACAAAAACAATACGCGCCAACGGTCTTGCAGCTAAGATGATGGCCGCGGCGTGCACGAGTAATCCGGGAGACTTTTCGGGAGAGAGTCGCGCTAAGAAGCCCACGATTTCGCACGACGCCGCGCAGCCCTTGGCGCCGTCACGTTCCCAATTCACGGGCCAGCTCGCATTTGCCAGTGAACATTCCACCGGACACGCCGCCCGCTCGACGTTGCCGTAGATTGTGGCATCAACACCGGGAGTCACGACGGCGACATGTGGACGCCGATCCACCGGTAAACTATGTACAGCGTCCTGCACGGAGAAGTGCAAGGCCGCGTAGTGGCTCGGAGCCACAATCAAATCCAAATCCCAGAGCTGGGGCCACAAATTCGGCAGCTCCATCACGAGCTTCGCGGACGGTACCGCGAGCCGCGCGGCCCGACATAGAATGAGGTCCGACGGATCCCGCGCGTTGGCAAAGACGAGGACGTCCGGCCGCAGGTGCCGCAAGTTCTCCACTAAGTGTAACCATGTACGGCGCACGAAGGGCGGTGACGTATTTTCGGGCACATTATTTGATAAGGCCAACGCCTCCAGCAAGTAATTGTTCAATCCATCACTGTTCTTGCCATCGAGTCGATCGACCAAGGCTCCGAGGTCGGGATGGCTAGTTGATGCCTCGTCCCCCGAAATGGGCGGGATCGGCCGCCAGACCGGCTCCACACCCAATTCCGTCAAAATGCGTGGTAGCTTCGTGAACGTCGCCCGATCCTCGTCGCCCATGAACGAAGCATACGTAAAGTTGAATCTAGTTCTATCCATATGTGTGAGCTGCTGGACATAAATGTTCTTCTGGCCGTCGTACTTCATGCTGCCCACTATCAATATATTGACTACTTCGAATTCGTTGTGGGGTACTTGCGGGATGTATGAGGATAAGGGCGGTCCCGGCACGCGATGGCGCACAATTTCCTCGTCTGTAAGCACGGCGTCGAAAGCCAGCTGCTTTTTGGGCCCGAGCGGCGTCCAGCCCTCGGCGTTGCCGGGCAGGTAGTGGTCGTCGAACAACCCGACCGTAAAACCGAGGACGTGCGTCGCGGGCTCGACGCTCGTCAACACCATGGACATCATGTCCACGCCGAGTTGGGCCGGGGCCTGGGTCCCGCCCTCGAACTCGACCTTGATGACCGCGTTTTCCGGAAAGGTCCCGGCCACGTGAATGAAGATCTCGACGGACGCGTTGTGGTCCTGCGAGTAGCCCACGGGCGGGTAGGCTATTAAGACCCTCGGCGCGTCGTCGGGCGGCGCCGGCTGGATCAGGACGTCGACGTGGGCCGGCGGGCGGCAGGCTCGGCCGCGGCCGTCGACCGGCTGCAGCGACAACACGGCCGGCACGACGCTCTGCGTCTCGTTCGCTCGTCTCGCGGCGAAGGCCAGCGGCGCTACCAGCAGCGGATGCGTGTTCTGGATGCCTTCGTTCATATTATAACAATTCGGCGCCGCCGCGGCCGCGTCGGCGCCCAATCCTGAGGCGGTTGCGCAGAGGCCCTCTATCTCTACATCCTCGACCCAGGGCCACAGCAATTGGGGCGGGAGGACGACCGCTGCCGCATTTGTTCTTGCTTCGCCGCGCACCCATTGACGCTGAGCGATGTGCCTTTGCGCTGTTGCGCATGCGAGGAGCGCTACGAGTCGCATCGCTGCGCTGGGGCAGCTATGCGATGAACGCGCGGCGTGCGCTGCCGCCGCTGGCGCCGGGGGGCAGCGATGCGATGGAAGCGCGGCGTGCGCACCGCCGCTGGCGCCGGGGGGCAGCGATTTGGCCGTCAGTCGAGCGTTTCTAGTGTCTTACAGCCCGCTAGCTCGGAATTGCGCCGCGCGAACGAGCGGGACAGCCGACTGGGCAGCCTCGCCTTGAAGGAAACTCCTACAATTGCGCAGTGATGGATGACGAGCAAAGAAGCGCGAAGGCGGACGATGAGGATGCCTTGTGCTGCGATGTGTTCCCTTTCATGAAGCTGCCCGACGAGATGCGCGGACGCGCGCTCGAATATCTGCTGAGCGCGTCGGAAGCGAATCTGAACGACCCTTGGCAGACCCAGAACGTGCCCTACTCCGCCGCGGCGTCGCTCGACACGCTCCTCTTCCATGCGCGGGACATCAAAACCGTGTGCAAAGCCATCGCCAGGGTCGTACGGCTCATGGAACGGAGGATCACGACGCCGACCGCGTGGCTCAGAGGATTATGGGGGATTACCAATCCTAACTACGGGGCTCGGAAGCAGAGGTCGCGAGCGGACGTGCTCCAGGATTGTCGCGAGCGCGCGAAGATCGCGGTGCAAGCTAACCTCGTCGTCGAAATGTGTGAGCGGCTTACATTGGCCTGTGATGAATCCCGCGACTTATTCGTTCAGATGCCCAAGGGCTGGTCTCAGAAGCGGAAAGCTGCTGTCCGGAAACTTCCAAGGGAAGAGAAATGGGCGCACATCCGCGTCAGGTCCCAAGACGAGGTCAAGCGCGTCTCACCCATCGAGCGCCTTGTCCTCTTAGATGTTTTGGACCGCACGGCGACGTTTTTCAGCATGGACTTCGCTCAGCATTCGTGGACGCTTCGGGTCTCATCCGTCTCACTCGTCTACCGGGGCGCCACGGAGGGGGACGAACTGGTCGACGCGGACGACGCCGCGTACGACGAGGTGGACCGGCGGCTCGAACAATTCTTCGGGGCCGAGACGCTGCGCTCCGAGCATTGGATCCAAGCCTGGGCCAATGGGGGCGGCGAGGCTTGTGGATCGACGATATCTCTCGAGAGCGCTCGGGTTCAGAAATGGGCTCACGACGAGAGCCGACCGCCAGTCACACGCATCCGTGACATCCGCCTCGGGCTCGAGCAATATAACGGACGTAAGCCCGACACCATCGAGCTCACACACGACGCGAGCGAGTATTATCCGAGTTTCAGTATCGGGACGGTCGACATCCGGTTTAAAAAAGACGCACGGGCTTCTCCGCAAATGCCCGGCGATGAGGAACCAACAAAGCCTTTCGCCCCACCGTACTTTTTCGTTGAACCCGTGGCTTCGGTGCAATGGAAAGGCCAGGCCCGTGTGAAGACTAGCGCCGCGTTCAAGGTAGAGGGTACTAGAATCGAGGAGGGCATCCTCTTCGTAGAACTCGTCCCAGGAGTTTTCGATGCGCAATTGTATTGCACCGTGGCCGGCCTAAGTTGAATAATCCTATTACGCCCCGCGAGCCGGTTCGCCGCGGAGGAGCGACTCGCCGCGGATGCTCATCCGCGCGAGCAAGCTCCGCCGCGGGTCGGGCCGCACGCGCGAGCGGTGCACCTCCGGCCGCGCGGGCTCGTACTCGTTCAGCGCCGCGGCCAGGAAGCCGAACGGCTTCGCCGGCACGAGGAGCTCGTCGTCCAGGCGCGTCACGCCGTCGCTCCGCGACGCGCCCCCCTGGTCGAAGTCGCGACTCAGGTTCCGCCGCGCGTCGCGCGGCAAGGCCGTCAGCGCCCGCAGGGCCCCCACCAGCAGCTCCGCGTCGCGCTCGTCCGCGCACTTGAAGACGAACTTCCGGTGGCGCCCGCAGCCGCACCGTTTCAGGAGCGACTTCGACTTGAATCTGACAACATCAGGCCGGCGCACGTCGTAGAGCGACACATCCTTGAAGCAGACTTCTCAGCGGCCGCTCGTAGGCGACGAGCTTCTTGAAGCCCGTTTCTACCGAAACGACCGCGTCGAGGACGTCGGACATGCCCTCGTGGGCGTAGCCCGAGATTCTAGAAGTTTGAAACGGCTCGTTCAGATCGTCCGTCGGGCAGCCCCCTTGGCCGAAGAGGGCGAAGCGACAGTTTTCGCGCAATCTACGCCCCGAGGCCGTCGCCGGTGTCGCGACGACGGCTCGGGTCGGCGCGTAGGCGACGTCCGTCAGCGCGGACCGGCATGCGGCCACGCCGCCGTCGATCCACTCGACCTTCAAACGTAACCGGACCGCCCCGCGGCTCTCGGCCTGCGTCTCGTGCGCGGAAGCCGCCGTCGCGAGCGGCTCGTCGGCGACGAGCGCGCGGCTCCGCGCCGCGAGTGCCTCGCCGTCGGATCCGCGCATCAATAACGGCAGCCAGCAGTCGTAGGTGGACGAGGGCGCCAGGGCCCGTAACGCTATGGAACACCGCCCGATGGGCCAATCCGTCTTGCCGTACTGATCAAAAACCCCACAGAACAACGTCGCGGCCGGATCCGCGACGGGGAACCGAAACGCCCGCCGTTCGTTTCGCTTCCAGGCCGGCGCGACGGCGTCGTCCTTCGTATTCGTCTGGCCCACGCCGCCATCCACAATCAACAGCACGAAGACATCCTCGGCCGAGAACGCGTCGCCCATGTTCGCGCGCGTCCAGCCGCCCGCCTGCAGGACCTCGACGGAGACGAAGCCGACGCGCCCCTCGCGTACATGGTGGCTGTCCGCGTGCACCTCGACGTAATGCTCCGAAGGGGATTCATCGACGGGGTTCGTATGGCCCTTCCGCTGCAAGGCGCGGCCCTTCGCCGCCTTCCAAGCACCGTCGGCCTGGCGCGCCGCCGAGTTCAGCAAGTAGGCGCCGATTTTGGACGAGGCGAGCGCTTGCGACGGATCCAGCGAATCGATCCACTTCACGAAGGCCTCGAAGTGGCTCGGGAAATTGATCAGGAAGGAGACCGTCGAGTAGACGACGTTCCAGGCCGTCGCGGCCCTATCCAGCAGGTTTTGCGTGAGTTGGAGTTGGCGTGGCATCGTTGAGTTTTCACGTGGTTACTACCATGCGTATCGGCGCGTCGGCGTCGGAACTGCGACAGTACCCCGCGTTGCCGCGACACCCTCTCGCGGCGCGTGAAATTGATGGCAGAGAGGCAACAGCAGTTTTTGGCTTTGCCACAATCGCGGCGTCGAAGTTTCGATAGTGTTCGACGAGTCGTGTGTCAGCGAGAGTCACGTCTACAATCTCTGTCGATCCCACACCCGCCTCGGGCCGCGAGCCCTGCAAAAACAGGGAGCACACAATAATGCTAGCGGCCTGTAAGACACTAGCAAGCCAAATTTCAGAGACGCTCGTTTCCTACCCGCATACGCGGCCGCAGAGCCCTGCATCCAAGCGTTCTCTGCAGGCAGAAGCTCACCGTCCATCCGTGCGGCGGCTGCGCGAAGAGGGGCAGCCCAGGATGGCGGGCCTGGCACAACACATGCAGGGCACCAATGGCGTCATCAAAACCACGGGCGCCCACGCCGTCGTCAAAACGCTGAAAGCCTTTGGCGTCGACGTTATTTTCGCGAACCCCGGCACGACGGAGATGCCGTTAATATCAGCCCTCGACGACGTCGACGGCGCGCCGCGGTGCATCTTGTGCGCGCACGAGACGGTTTGTTCCGGCGCCGCCGACGGGTATGCTCGGATGCTGCAGAAGCCCGCGTGCACGATACTGCACCTCGGCGTGGGCCTCGCCAATGCTTTAGCTAATTTACATAACGCGAAAAGGGCGTGCAGCCCCGTGCTGAACCTCGTGGGCACGATGGCCGCGTGGCACGAGGCGGCGGACGCGCCCCTGGAGTCGGACGCGCGCGCCCTCGCGGAGTGGTGCGGCGGCTGCGACGTGGCGGTCGGGTCGGACGCGTGCGGCCCCACCGTCGAGCAGGCTTTACTCGGCATCCGCGACTTTGAAGGAGGCGAATCGCGCGTCACTACCGTCCTCCTGCCGCACGACGCGCAGCGCGACCCGCTGACGCGGCTTCGAGGCATAGACCCGATGGCCGAGGACGACGGCGGCTTCGAGGCGGCGCTGCGGGAGTATCCCCCGTATGTTGACCACGCGAAGGCGTGCGCCGCCGCGTTGAGTCGCGGCGGCGCCGCGTTAGTGATAGGAGGCAGCGGCCTGTTTGATGAAGAGGCGTTTGCAGCATTACAACAGCTCGAGGCGGCGACGGGCTGCGCGCTGGTCGTGCAGAACAACTTTAGTAGGTGCGACCGGGGCGGGACGCGGCCGCGGTTCCGGCGGGTCCCCTACTTCCCGGCGGCCGCGAAGGCCTTCTTCGCCTCCTATAAAGCGGTCGTCTGCGTCGGCTGCAAGCCGCCCGTCGCCATGTTTGGGTACGAGGATAACATTTCAAGAGTCGTGGACAATGCTCTGGAGCTGGACGCCATGGACGTGGTCGGAGCTTTAAATTACCTGGCGAAGCACGTGGTCCCGGGCGCGCCGGCCGCTCAAGTGCCGCCTATGGCCCGGGGCGACATGGATGAAACGGGTCCCCTGACCGCGCCTGTGCTTTGCCAGGTGTTAGCTTGGCTCCAGCCCGCGGACGCGATCGTCGTGGACGAGTCCCTGACGACCGGCGCGACCTACTGGGATTGCAGTCTTATTGGGGGTCTACCGTTCACACACCTCACGCTCACGGGCGGCGCCATCGGCAGCGGCCCGTGCCTCGCAGTCGGCGCGGCGGTCGCCTGCCCTCATCGACGAGTGGTCAACTTCCAGGCCGACGGCTCGGCGCTCTACTCGACGCCGGCGCTCTGGTGCCAGAGCCGCGAGGGCCTGGACGTGACGACGATCATCTGCAAGAATGATGCGTACAGAATACTGGACGTCGAGCGCGCGACGCAGGGGCTCGGAAGTGGCGGTTCGAAGTCGAAGCGCCTCACGGATTTGTCGGGCCCGGCCGTCGACTGGGTCTCGCTCGCGCGCGGCTACGGCGTCCAGGGCGTTTCCGTGAAGACGGCGGTGGACCTGCGCATGGCCCTCGCGGAGTCGTTCCGGACGCCGGGGCCTTTCTTGATCGAGGCATGTATACAGTGATTCTTAGCACATTGTTTGGGGGGCCTAGATGACCGCCCCTGTAGGCTTGTCGTCGATCATGGACTCCTGGAGCTCGACGAAGGGCGCCGCGTACGTCCCGTCGTCGACCGGCGCGCGGTCGAAGCCGTCGCGCTGCTGCATGACCGGCAGGCGGAAGCCGTGCTCCTCCAGATACGGCTTTCCAATGGTCAGAGCGGCGTAGGCGACCACGCCGAGGCCTATAATAACAGCCAACCAAGTCACGACGGTGCCAAAGGCCGAGCCGCCCTCGTCCTTATCGTCCTTCGAGGACGAGTGGTGCGAGCTTCCTTCACCACCGATGCAGTGGAGGAACGTGTCCGCGTTGATCGTCGCCACGTACAGGCGGCCGCTCGCGACGGCGGGCTCGCCTCTCACTTTATCCCCGAAGTCGTGCGACCAGAGGATCTTGCCCTTCCTCGCGTCCAAGGCGTAGACCTTGCCGTCGTCATTACCAACATACAAGGTACCTTCACCGTCTAACACGGGCTCGGCCATGACCGGGTGCCCGAGATCGGTGGACCAGCGCTTCTCACCTTTATCTGAGACAGCGTGCACGACGCCAGACGTCGACGGGATGTAGACGGTCTTCCCGTCTCTCGCGACGGCCGGACTACTAATAACATCATCATTCGTCCGGTAGGACCACTTCACTTGACCTGTTGAACCGTCGATGGCGTGCAACCTATTGTCAAACGAACCTACATACACGGTCCCGTCCCTCCGACTGACAGCTGGCGATGAATCAACATCAGGATCATCTGGGTCGTCGGGGAAGCCGCCCGTCTCCCACTCCCACTTGCTCGTGCCCGTCTCACTATCGACGGCGTGGACGAAGTTGTCGATGCCGCCCACGTAGACCGTCTTCTGGTCCGCGCTCAAAGCTGGCGAGCTCCAGACGGGCTCGCCCTTCGCGTCGAAGATCCACTTGACCCGTCCCGAGGCTAGTTCCACCGCATATAAGCCGTCGGCGGCGCCCACGAACGCAATGTCGTCATTACTAATAACAGGCGAGGAGTATATGTATGGTTCGTTTCTACCGTAAGTACTTTTTGTTTGCGCTTTCGTCCACACAGTCCACTTCGTGAGGCCGGTCCTCGCGTCGACACCGTAGATGCCGCCGTTCATGCCGCCGAAGACCACCAAGTTGTGCTTGGTTGACACCGCCGCGGCGCTGTTCACCACACCTTTATCGATGCGAAGGTACCATCCGAACGTGCCGTCGCTGTTCACGCCGTAAAAGCCGTCCGTGCCTCCGACATAAACCATGGACTCGTCGGGGTGCACCGTCGGCGCGCCCTGCGACGTGCCGCGCAGCAAAAAGCGCCACAACAAATTGTTCGCCTTCGGGCCGACCGTGGTTGTGGTGCCGTCTCTGTACGGACCGCCGCGGAATTGACTCCAGCCGACGGCCGCGGCGCCCGGCGCCAGCGCTAGGAGAAGGAGGGTCCGCATGAGGTCGCTTAGTGTAGTTTCGTCGCGACCGGGCTCTCTGTCGCCCGCAAGCGCTGTGAGAGCAGCAAAGATGTTTTGCGTCTAGCGCAGCGACGCGGCCGCGTTTTCGCACAGGACAAGCTGCGACGTGACGGACTGAGTACAGATGCACTATATACACCGCCTCGAATCACCGGTAAGGTCGCAGCGTCCACAAATCGATGCAAAACTGGATGCGGAGGAAGACTCTTTGCACTATCAATTCGGGTTTCGTAAAGTGCATATATAAAACACGACACGATCACTTACGCCCCCGCAAGAACGCCATCGCCGCGACGCCGCACGCCACACCAAGAAGAAACGCGTCCCGCGCCGCGCGCGAGAAGGGAGGCGCCTTCCTAAGCGCCGCGAGCGCCTCAGAATGCAGCTTGGAATTAGCGGCACAGAGGACCCGCCCCTTCGATAGGTCGTGGTTCGGCAGCGTCAAGGGCCGGCCCTCCCAGTCAGTCATCACGCCGCCGGCGCCCAAGACCACGGGCACGACGGCCAGGTAATCATAAGGCATCAGGTCCGCCTCACACACGAGCTGCACACTCCCAGAAGCACACAGCCCATACGCGTAGCAGTCGCACCCATATAAAGCGCGCTTGCATCGCGAGCTCAAGTAGTTCCATGCTCGCGTCTCCAACCCAGGCGCGAACATCTCTGGCGTCGTCGCGTAGACCATCGCTTCTTGTAACGACGTACAGTCATCCGTCGAACAGGGCCGCCCGTTGAACGTCGTCTTGGTACTAGTGCCCTTCCAGCGCTCCTTGAGCACGCACTGGTCGATGACCCCCAATACCGGTTTGCCGTAGTTCAACAAAGCAATGAGTGTCCCAAACAGCGGCTTGCCCGTGATGAACGACTTCGTGCCATCCACAGGATCGAGCACCCACGCCCACTCGCTCGTTCGGCCGTCGCCCTTCGCGCCGTGCTCCTCGCCTAGGATAGCGTGGGCCGGGTAGCGCTGCTCGATCATATCTCTCATCACACGCTCGGACTCGCGGTCGGCGATCGTCACGGGCTCGTCGGCGAACACGTCGAGGCGCGCGTCCTTGGAGATGACTTCTACCCTTGTTCTCCAGTACTTGCGGATGACCGCGCCGGCGGCGTCGGCGAGCTCGTCCGCGAAGGCGGAGAGGTCCGCCGGGACTTCGGCCATCGTGTAGCTCTCTCTGGCACACAGGGAGAGCTTGGTGTGCAGCGGGCTCCGGTGCGCGTGGCTTGCGTCGACGGCGTCGGCGTGGGTCTGACGCTACCCTGGCGCAGCGTTTGGGAATCGGTAAGGGTTACTACGCTCGTATAGGCTGGCTCAACACTCGACGCAAAGCGCCTGCGTGCGGGCTCCTCAGCCTCTTTCATTTAACGCGGCGCGCTGCTAACACAAGATTAAGACGTGTTTGGACACATTCGAGCAGCCATTGAAACCGCACGCTGCGTATCAGCTGCAACGCGTAGCGTCCAAGCACACAGAGCTTGTGCACCACCAGTGCTCTGCAGCCATTCGAGGTCGCGCGACGCCACCAAGCCGTACAAACTATGGACTCATTCCTCCGCTGGTGGCGCGGCGGCTCGCGGGGAGAGCGGCGCACCATCAACACGACGCCGCTGCCGCAGCGCTACGAGCTCTACCACCGCAAACGGCGCAACGAGGGCGTTTCATTAATAGCCGCGTGCTGCATCGCCTTTAACCTCGTCATGGGTTCGGGCTTCCTGGCCTTGCCGGCGGCCGTGGCGCGGTGCGGGCTAATCCTCAGCCCAATAACGATGGGCGTCGTTTGTCTGGTTATGCTCACGTCGCTCGCCTGGGAGGCGGAAGCCATGGCGCGCGCCGAAGCCTTGGAGGCGCGCGCGCTACGAGGCCAATCGTCGTCGCCGTCGCTGCTCTCACGAGTCAGACGACCATCACTGTCAGACCGCACTTTTGAAGTGTGCGAATTGTGCCGCATCTTCTGCGGGAAAAAGCTGGAGATGGCCTACGCGGGGACGTTTCTGTTGTACTACCTCGCGACGCTCTGGGCCTACGCGTTCGTCTTCGCCGAAGCGCTCTCGACGTTCTCCCCATTGTTCGGCCACGAGGCCTGCAAGCACGACGTCGCGTGTGTTACGTACCGGAAGTGCACCTTCATTTTTGGTATATTAGCCGTACCTTTATCAATACTGGAGCCGGGCGAACAAATAAGCTTCCAGATGGTCATGTCGGTGATGCGCGTTGTCATTGTCGTGCTGATGGCTTCTACAGCATTACTGTCGGCGTATGGGGTCGACTTCGGGCCGGGCTTCGGCCCCGGCGCGGCCACGAGCACCGCGCCCTTCGTACGCTTCGCTGGTTTAGGAAGATTGCTACCGGCAACTGTCTTCGCGCAGAACATGGGCGGCCAGGTACCACTCGTAGCAAGGGAGATGCGAGACAGGGACGACCTGAACAAAGCGCTGTGTGCCGGTTTAGCAGGAAGTTTTGTGCTCTACTCGATCCTAGCAGTTTCGGTAGCCTACTCGTTTGGCTCCATAGCCAAGGCGGCGAACTGCCAGTGGGACGCGTTCGGCGTTGGCATTCCGTATTCTGTGTTGCTCGATGGCATACGGTGGCTCGTCGTGCTCTTCCCCGCGGTCGACGTGTTTTCGGTTTATCCTCTCAATGTCTCGATCGCCGCCGACACGCTCGTGACGCTGTTTGCCGGTGATCGTGCGGACCGCGCACAAAGACAGGTCGGCTACCGACGGGCCATGCGCGCCTGCGTGGCGCTGCCGCCGATAATCGGCGCGGGCTGCATGGCGAATCTGACGGCCATGATCGACACGGCGGGCATCCTCGTGTTTCTGATTTGTTGCGGGTTCCCCCCGCTGTTGTCGGTGCTCGGCCAGCGAAAATGTCGCGCGGCCTTCGGCGACGGGCGGTTGGATACGACGCGTTATACACCCGATGGTGGGAGGACGTGGCCGAAGTACGCGGTCGCCGCGTTCGGTACGGTCGCGTTTGTGATCGCCGTGGGCACGCCCGGATAGCTTATCTCGATGCTCGTTCGACATATCGTGTGCATATTTATATAAGTTTGTGAAGTTATTCCCGCGCGTGCGGGAGGGGGGCAGATCTCTAGCGCCGCCCGCGGGCAGGAGAATTCTTGCGCGGCGGCCGCGCCGACGCCTTCGCGGGCCCCTTCTTCCGCGCGAGCAAGGCGAGCGGCAGCGTCACGGGCAGCAGCACGATGCGGAGGGGCAGCAGCGCGAGTTTGAGAGCAAGCGACACCGCGAGGACCACCAACGCGATGGCCAGCTTAATCAGCATGAGCGGCAGGCGCACGGCGCGCTTGCCCACGGCGACGACCAATTTCTTCGCCAGACCCAATAACATCCCCACCAAATGGTAGGCCGCGATTAATAGTAAAACGCACGCGGCCACCGCCCAGCAGGCGACGCACGCGGACGCGAGGCGCTTCGCCGGCGCGCACGGCACATCGCTCGTCTCGTCGCAGGCGCCCGCGGCCACTAACAAGGCGTGGAAGCGGAGGGCCACCACTTCCCGCGCCGAGTCCGCCCTACTCTTCAGATCCGCCGACGTCGGCAGCTTCTCCTTCAGCTGCTGGACGCGATCATGCAAGGCCTGCTGGGCGTGGGCAAAGAGCTCCCTTAATTCGACCGTGGCCAGCGCCTTCCGCTCGCCGATTTCAATCAAAGCGGCGTCGACGTATTTTTTCGCGTGCTTTTCATATAATGAAGGAATCTTGTCGTAGCACACATCCGAAGTGATCGAGGCGGCCTTGCTGTACGCGACGGATACTTTCTCTTCGACCTGAGACTGCGTCGCCGGCGCAACATATTCATTGGCCACGGCGTAGCCCCAGGCATTACCATACGCTTCCGCCGTCTTGGCCTTGCCCTTGTCGACGGCACCGTACATCGCATCCACCGCATCCTCGCCGAGCTTCTTGGCCTCCTCTGTCGGAATGGCGTCGACGAGCGCCTGGTAGCCCGTCTTCGCGGCCTCGCCGGCCATGGCCAGCGCGGCCCCGGCGCCGTTCTGGGCCGCTATGAGTCCATCCGTGGCGTTGAACGCCACGGTACCATCATTTGAGATAGATACCCCAGGCACGACGGGCTCGGCATGGGACGTGGCGAGGGCCGCCTTCGTCGATTGGAGGGCCTCCTCGAGGCCGTCGACCTGGGCCTTCCAGTGCTTGGCGTCTTTTTTCGCCTCGACGACCTTGGCGATCTCGTCGTCGACGTTCTTCTGCAATTCCACGGCCTTCTCCTCGGCTATGGAGGCGCGCGTCTCGGCGGCGGCGAGCGCCTCACTCAAATCCTCGGGGCAGGTCTTCGCCTCGGCCTTCTCGGCGCGTGCCGTGGCTGCTGCTAATTCATCCGAGAGGTCCGCGGGGCACGCCGGGCAGTCCTTTTGTTTTTGCTCCTTCTTGGCGTCTTTCTTTTCCTTCTTCGGTTTAGCATTCTTCTTCTTCTTGGGCTCGTCGGCAAGCGCGCCGAGGGCACACAAAGCGACTATGAGCCATGCTGTGGCGCGCATGGTGCCCGCTTCGCCGCGTATCCGGCGGCGCAGCAAGCGTGATGGCTGTGGCGAGACGCAGCGGCTTTGCCAGACCAAACCAAGCTGTCCACGCTGCACGCAAAGCTACGCGCGTTTGAGGCCTCCAAAGTTTTCGCCTCTAGTGTGTTACAACGCTAGATTCGATCAGCGTTCGGGCCCGTACTACCTGGGGGTGGGTTCAATAAGCGACTCTCTCTCGATCTTTCGCGGGATAGTGTCTGGAGCCGACGCGCCCGCCGCCGATGAATCGGCGACGCGCGGTGTCTCCCCCGGGGCGCCGCCCACTAGTCCTAGCACCGTAACATCGACTCGACGCAGTGCACAGAGACTACTTTCCACGCTTAGGCCCCCACCACATCACGCCCGCGCCGCTTGGGCAGCCTTCTTCTTGTCGATCTCGGCGACCTTGTCCATGGCCGCTTGTAATATATCCGAGCCGTCCGAGTCCAGAGTTAATGTGAGGTGCTCGAACATCCCATCTTTGCACTTGGCCAGCGCGCCCGTGCCGTCCAACGTGCGCACTAAACAGCTACCGGACTTGTGGCCGTCGCCGCCCCTTGAGAGACGGCCGGCGCGCAAACCCCAGCCCGACGCCTTCGGGCTGTCGCAGGCACCTAAGGTCGCCCCGCCATCCGAACCAGCAACTAAGCAGGCAGTAGAGTTGTAGAACTTGTACAGTTGACTTTTGGGCGCCCCACTTAACCAGTCGAAGGACACGCCAAAGCCCCAGCGCAGATGAGCATCCTCATCCGAGCAAGGCCGGAACTGCACGCCGTCGAAGCAGTGCGTGTCGGCGGAAGCCAACATGAAGCCGTGCTCGTGGACGTTCGAGGTGTGCAGCTCGAAGGACGTGTGGCCCTTCGCGCACTTGTGCAAACTGACGGTGTTATGTGCTACATGAGTAGGCACTTTCTTCACTAAAGTAGCCGCGTCGTGCCCCCTTTGGATGGACTTGCCCGCCTTGACGGCCTGCTGGAGCTGGGCCCGATGGCTCCACAGGTGCGCGTCTCTCACCACACAGTGCTTTTGCCGATCCTCCGTGACCGCGAACTGCTGGCCGTCGCGGACGACCTCCCAGCGCTGGGCCGCCTTGCCGCCGCAGGCGCCGCCCCGCGCCGAAGCTTTGACTCTGGTCAAGCACATTTGTCTGGTAACAGGCTCAAGTACAGAAGCTAGAGACCACTTGTCCTTGCCCTTGCGCGGGACGTAGACCCACATGGCGTCGCCGTCGCAGGGGCCCAGCGTGCCGTGCGTCGTCAGACATAACTGGTCGGACGGGTCCATGATCCAGAAGGCGTCGTGGCCGCGCTTGCGACCGGCGGCGCCCGCGGCCGCGGCGTAGCACAGGGCCAGCCGCGCGAGCAGCGGTGGCCGCCACGCCGTCGGCATGGCTGCGGCGGTGTTTGTTGCGGTGGTTCGTCCGCCGCCGCGCAGGGCTGTGCTATGGCGAGCGAGAGCACAGCGGCAAAACGCCTGGGTTGCAGCGCCGCGGCGGCAGCGTCAAGCGAGAGGCGAGTTGTTTGGCTGTCTAAAGAGCCACACAAGGCCTGGCGATCGTCTGAGCTGCAGCAGACGCGTATGTACAGCCTCGCAAAAGGACTGCAGCTGAGGGAGGGCAACATGCAGCCAGCTGGAGGCCGCGACGCGCGGAGAGATCGGCAATTCTTAAGCGTACGGAGCAATAAGAGAGCAGCACAAGTCCGGAGCAGCAGCGCGAGTTGCACCCCGCGCGGGCAGATGCGAGGGGAGCTCCCGACGATTCCTAAGAAAACTTAGACGAGCCCGCTGTCCCGCGCCTCCGGGGTCGCAGGCGGCGGCTGCGACGGCCGCGGCGCCGGCGCCGGCGGGCCGGACCGCCGCGCGACGTACCGGTTCCACGCCGCCCGCCCGAGGCCGAAGGCCATGACCAGGACCGGGATCTCGACGGCGATGGCGCCCCAGGCGTCCGCGGCCGTCGAGGAGATGGCGTCGTCGGCCATCGCGGCGCTCGCCGTTACAAGCACAGCGATCGTTCTATAAGTATCGGCGACGACGTGCGTGAGTGCGGACCGGATGTTCATGCCGCCGTCGGCTTCCAAGGACTCGGGCTCGGCGAAGACGAGGACCGCCTTGTAGGCGTCCGGGTAGGCGCAGAAGAGCACGCCGGACGCGATGTCAATCACGAGGTTCGCGAGGCCGAAGGCCAGGACCACGACCAGGTTCACGCCGTCGCCCGACGCCCCCGAGGCTAGTGTGGAGACGGCGTCGTAGAAAATGTAGATCATAGCCCCTATGAGTACGGACGTCGAAATGACCGGTCCTAGCACGGCCCACTTGTCCTCCTTGCCCTGCTGCCGTGCTCTTCTTATGGCACAGCCGTTGAACATGTAGGTGCAGGCGTCGACCATCATCGCGACGGCGTCGCCCAACAAGGCCATCGAATTACTGGAAAACGCGTAGATCATCTCAATCACCGAAAAGGCCATGAAGGCGATGGTCGTGAACCCCAACGTGTACTCCTCGCGCTTGGTCAGCTTCAGGGACGGGTCCGGTTGTGGCGGTGGTGGGTCGGCCATCGCGCCGAGCAGCGGCCGCGCGCGGTCGGCGGCCGTCGACTCAATGTTGAACGCTGATTTGCGCCGGGGGGCGCGGTGGATTGCGCGGGGCGCGGGCGGCAGCTTGCGCGCGCAGTTGTGTGCGCGGCGGCGCAGCAGTCAGCGGCCTGCTTGTTGGCTCACTGCCTGCTTGTTGTCAGGCTCACTCTGCCGGACCACCTGTTGGCTGCGGCGAGTGCTTATTGGCCGTCGTCCCAGCGATGGGTTAGTGGTAGCCGCGTTATCCTCCAGGCACGCGGCAGCTGAAAAAATAATCGAGCTAGCAGCCAGTAACACACTAGCAAACATAAAAACTCGGCCGTACGAGCTTGTAGGGCACGCGCGAGCGGCACACAGGTTTTTCACGCGGGTTGTTTTGAGTCGTTCCGCCGGTCCACGCATAGCGCGCTTGGGCTGCCGTCGCGGTGCCGAGACAAAGTCGGGCACCGGCCTGAACACACTTCAGACTCACGCGCACGCTCCCGGCGCGGTTGGACATTTGGCTCACACGCTCACCGGGACCAGGGGAGAAGGACAAAAAAAGTTAAGATACTTACACAAGTTCGACGACGCCCTCGAGGCCGGGGTCGTGGCGCGGCGGGCGCTCGGGCGAGAACGCCGCCGGGAAGGCGTTGGAGGGGACCCGCCGCCAGCGCCCTCCATCATCTCGGAAGTAGTCGCGCGCCCAGCCGAGGCCCTCTCTACCATAATGCAATAGAGCGTGCCCGGCCTGGACCGCGTAGTGGTACGCGACCCAGAAGGCCGCGATTGCCATTTTCTCGGCCCTACTACACGCCCGCGCGCCCTTCCGCCAGTATTTGAGAGGCGGGTGCACGACGCGGCCGGGCCAGGAGTCCTGCGATTTTTCTGAGGCGCCGAACGTCGCGTTCTTCGCGAGGGACCCCTGGCCGCACGTGATGCAGAATAAGCGCCGCGCGTCGACGCAGCCTAATAAAGTGCAGACCGGCTTCATCAGCCACGTGTCCTTGTCGACGCTATGGTCTCCATAAACACCACACGCGACCGCGCACGGTAGTAGTAATGTGACGCCCAGCGCCGCGAACAGCAGCCCCTCTCTTATATATCGATAGCCCAGCGTCGGCCGGCAGCAGATCACTATAATACCAGCAACCACATAGCACGGCGCCCTTATTAAAGCTTCGGCCGCCGCGCAGTATTGCTCACAAAAATTCGCGTGGAAGTAGAAGCAGCACCGCCACTGGCGCATGGTCGGCGCCGTCTCCGCGTAGACCTGGCGCGCGGCGGCGTCCGCCCTTGATGAGGGCAGCATCTCCACGTCCTCGTCGGACTCATCGTCCGAGTCGTCCTGCGACCGCTCGCGCCGCCGCGGCCCCAGGTCCACCAGCTCGAGCTCGTCGTCCTTATTTGTGAGTCGGTCCGTCTCCGGGTTCTCGGCTTCGACGCTCGGCTCGCTCCAGCCCGGCGGCTCCGTCCAGCTCGACGCGCCCGTCGCCGCGTCGTACCAGTAGTGGGTCTGGTAGGTCGTGTCGAACTCGCGCGTCCAGGCCATGTTTCACTGTCTTGGGCAGCAGTGCGGCGCCCCAGCCGCGGCGCGTCGATGGCGTGCCGGTTGGGCAGTCTGTTTGGGCCGGCAGCCCTTAGCCGCAGCCCGGCCCGCTCATCGCGCTATACGATCAATGCGTCGCATAGCTTGCCCCTGCGCGTCCATTCGCGGCCGCTTGGGCTGCCTCCACATGTATAAAGCTGGTGTAAGTTGTGAAGCAAAAAAACCGTGTTTGCTAGTGTGTTACAGACCGCTAGCGCGGATGCCCTGCTCGCCTTTTTTGCATGCTCTGTGCAGCGCTGCCGCCTGTACGCCAGCATCGGTGCTTCTTGAACCAATCCAGACCTCCAGCGAACCTCGCGCGCCGCGTCGTCCCGCCGGAGCAGTCAACACAGCAGCGCACACCTCACTGCACGCCGCCGCCGCAGCAGCCAACAGCAACGCCGCCGCCGCGACAAATAAGACAAAAATGTTCAAGAAGTTCGACCCCGCCGAGGCCGTCTCCAGCCGGTCGCAAGTCAAGTCTAGCGTGGTGCGCGGCATCCGCGCGGCGTTGGTCGAGCAGTACCCCTTGATCGAAGATGTTATTGATGAGATCCTCCCGAAGAAAGACATCTCCATGGCCAAGTGCCAGAACCACGTGAATATTTTGTGCGCCGCCCAGGAACCGCTGTTCTTCCAGCAGCGCGACGGCCCGTGGTACCCGACGTTGCGGTTAGTTCACAGGAGGAAGTCGTGCTTCGCCACGAGCACGTGGCAGACCGACGCCGGCGCGATCCGCTTCGTCCTGGGCGGCGCGAACATCATGTGCCCCGGGTTTACGTCGGAGGACGGGGCGCTCGACCACGACTTGCCCAAAGGCTCTCCAGTTGTTATTGGAGCCCACGGCAAGAAGCACGCCATGGCCGTGGGCCAGGTGCTCATGGGGCGCGACGCCGTGCGCGAGGTGAACAAGGGCCACTGCGTCGAGAACCTCCACTTCCTGGGGGACGGGCTCTGGCAGGCGGAGAAGCTCGACTAACGTTTATCTTTCTTGTAAGCGACGATGGCGTGCTAGTCACGGTACGAGAATACTACGATCGGGCGAAGGCGAGCGCGTAAGGGGTCATGACGGCGTGTCCGCGTCGACCCCGTTCAGATGGTCGCGCGAGTCCAGGGCGACCTCCGTCGCCGGTTGTGCCGCATCGACCGCCGCGGCGACGTCGACGTCCACCACATTAATGCAGCAGTTGCCCTGCTGGATCTCGCCGCACTTGTCGATGCCCCTCCCTAGCAGCGAGCTCAACAAGATCTTGTTGAACCGCCCGTGGCACACGACGGCCACATGCGTATGGAGAGGTCCATCTTTCTGGCCGAGCAAACCCAAGCCTGCTAAAGCTTGCCGTCCTCGTAACTCCACATCTCTAGGGCTCTCGCCCGCGGGCCACTTCCTCTCGACGTCGCCGCTCGCCCACGCGGCATTCACCTCCGCGTAGAGCGATGACTCGGCGGCCACGGCGCCCTCCAATTCACCGAAATTCATCTCCCTTAAACCAGGATGGATGCGCACGCCCTCCACGCTAGGACACGCAACATTCATCGCGAGGTCCGCCGTGCGGAACGCCCTCGACAACGGACTCGCGGCGACGAGCGTTATGTCCACACTTTTCAGCGCTTCGCCTATCAACAACGCCTGCCGCTCGCCGAGCTCGTTCAACTCCCGATCCACGGACCCTTGTATTTTCTTCGCGGCGTTCCAGTCGGTCTGGCCGTGGCGGCACAGGTACAGCCGCGTCTTGCCCTTTGCTGGCGGCGCGAGCTGCGAGAGGTCGCCCAGGACTACTCCCGCCATCAGTGTCGCGAGCGATGCGGCGCGGGGCATCGATGCACGTCGCCTTGTTGCAGCAATACGCCTGCAGCGTGCAGCCTGAGACGCAGCGATGCACAGCGATGCTGGGAGCGGTCTGCGGTGACTATGCCTCACAGGTTTGGACTTCTGCACGCAGCGTAGGGCCGCAAAGTCGCAACTAAACGATCGACAAAAACGCGAAAACCCGCGGGGAATTTTGCGAGCCTCTAAACGCCGTCGACGCGCGGTAGAATATACGTAGAACTCTTACTTGAAAGAGCGGGCGGGGAGAGGAGGGACAGCGACTAGGGGACCGGGTCCGGGTTCGTCTTGCGCACGATCCACGGGTGCCGCTCCACTTCCGACAAGCTCAAACGAGTCTTCGGGTCCTTGGCCAGCAATCTCGTGATCAAATCGCGCGCGCCGGCGGACACGTAGGCCGGGAAGTTCAGGTCGACCCGAGAAATGCGCTTGAACGTCGCCTTCTTGCCCGGCGCGTCGAAGGGCGGCTCCCCTACCAAGAACTCGTAGCACAGCACGCCGAGCGACCACAAGTCCACCTTCTCGTCGTAGCCGCGCACCTCGACCATCTCCGGCGGCAGATAATCCAACGTGCCGCAGAACGTCTCCCTTCGCAGCGACGGCGCGTGCACGGACCAGCCGAAGTCCGCGATCTTCAGCTCGCCGTTCAATCCCAAGAGGAGGTTCTCGGGCTTGATGTCGCGATGAATAACATGCTTCTGGTGGCAGTAGCCTAGAGCCCTAGCCATCTCGAGAACGTAGCGCGCCGTCTCCTGTTCGCTGAACCTTCCTTTCGCCGTGAGGCGCTTGTAGAGCTCGCCGCCGGGGGCGTACTCGAGGATCAGATAGATGCGCTTCTCGTCCCAGAAGTAGCCGTACATGCCTGCGTGGGCCGCGTCGTCGCGTCCTCCCTCACGGCGTCGCCGCGACGCGTCGCACACTCCCTCACTCCGTCGCCGCGACGCGTCGCACAGCGCACGTCGAAGGGAAGGGACGCCGCGCACGCGCGCAGGATGTTCTTGTGCACGAGGTGCGTCTGGATCTCGATCTCGCGTCTCAATTGGTGCTCGACGCCGTTCTTCTCGAGCTGCGACTTGCGCAGGACTTTCAGCGCGACGATGTACTTGTCGCGCTTCGTGCGCGCGAGGTAGACGCGGCCGAACTTGCCGTTGCCGAGCGGGCGGCCCACTTCGAAGTCGTCGAGCGTCATGTCGCAGGCGTTGTGCGGGCCCGCGCGGTTCGAGGGAGGCGGCGCGTCGGCCTCGTGCATCTCGGAGTCCTCGTCGAGGGGCTTCAAGGCCTCCTTGCCGCCGGGGCTCCGCGCCGCGACGGGCACGCGCTGCGCCGAGCCGAAGCGGCTCGCCGAGGTCATGGCCTTGGTCTTGCCGAGCTGGTGCCTGTGCGTGGATTGAAGCGTGATGCGATGCGGGTGCGACGTTGGTTTCCGCGCCGGTCGGTGCGGCGTCGAGCTCGAGAGCGCGGCGAGGCCCTGCATGTCGTTCTGGTTGCGCGCCGCGTCGTTGCCGGACAGGCCGCCGATGGCGGTGAACTTGCTGAGCATCGACGTCATCTTTTTGGGGGGTCACAGAGGAGCGGTGCGATCGGTACAACAATTTTGGGGCCTGCGCGCGCGCGCACGATTGGCCGGGGCTTCCGTGGGGCAATGAGGGCTGTGGGACCGCGTAGGAGCGGCGCGGGCCGGACGCGGCGACTGATGCGGCGCGCTTTGGCCCTGAACTGCGATATCGTTGTTTGCCAAATTTCTCGCTCGCACGCGTCCAGGGCGCGCAGCGCGCGGCGTCCGGCGAGAAAGTGTCGACGACTTGCCACCAGACGCTGCGGGCGCACCGGTAAAAGGGGCGGAAGGCCGTGCGCAGCGGCTGCTTTTTTGCTACCGGCGTCTGGCAAAAGTCTAGAGGGGAGAGAGGGAGGGGTCGAAGAACGCCGTCAAAGCTCTCCAGCACTGCCTTCCAAGGGCTGTAAATCAGTCCGGCGCTGTTTTTGGATGCCTACAAAACCCGAGCTTGGCAGAGCTGTCGATCGACTCGAGCGGCCCAGCTCAGCCTGTGTGCCATTGCTGCTGCAGCTAATTATCAGCAAATATCATCGACAATGATGAGAACCGCCATCGCCGCAGCGCTTATCGCTTGCGCGAGCGCGCTTGCACCGCGGCAGACACGCACTGCTGTGCTTGAGGCGTCCCCACGCCGCGCATTGCTGCAACGACTGCCCGCGGCGCTCGCCCTCGTCAGTGCGCCAGCGCTCGCCGCCGACGTGGAGGACCTGGCGCCACCGTCGCAGGAGGAGATCGAGGCGGCGCGCATCGCGCGCAAGCTCGCGGCGCAGAACGCGGGATCTCGAGGCGGCGAGCGCCAGACGGCGGCGCAGCGCTTGGCCGCGGAGCAACAGAAGCAGCGGCAGGAGAAGAAGAAGAGCAAAGCCGAGCAGCGCGAGGACCTGTGCGAGCTGCTCGGGCGCGGCTGCTAGCTATAACTTTGAGTGTCGTTTTTTTTCTAGGCGTAGTCGTCGACCGCCTGATGCTGGTACGGCGCGCGTCGACGCCGCATGCTTCGTTTTTACCTAGCGGCCTGTAAGGCGCTAGCAAGCCTGGGCCGAGCGCTGCAGCAGCGCCAGGCTCGCCACACGCAGCGACATTGCTCATTGAGAGGCTGTCGAGCGGGCGACAAGGACCACGACTAAGCATCGCTGCAGCGATCGTAGTCCAGTATACTCTAAAAAGCTCTTCTCCAGCACACAGCTCTCCAAGCTCTCCGTAGCTCTCCGTAGCAAATCTCTCGCGCAACCAGTGCGTTGGCCGCCAGAATCCATAACGCACACCGCACACCGTCGTGCAAGCAGTAATAATGACCAGCATCCCCAAAACACACAATATAATAGTTGTGGGCGCCGGCTGGGCCGGCCAGGGCGTCTGCGAGGCGCTCGGTGCGGAGACGCCGCCCAACACCGTCGTCACGTGCATCGACGCGCGCGACACACTGAGTGTAGGCGCGACGTGGCAGTTTGGGCTCGACGGCCGCGCGAAACCAATGGAAGTGCCGCTCTCCAAGACGTCCGCCGCGAAGTTCCTGCGCAAGGGCACGGTCCAGTCGGTCGACTACGCGGCGAAGCACGTCAATCTGCAGTTTGGAGTGTTACCGTACGACCACCTCGTCCTCGCGTGCGGCGCGGTGTCGGACCCGAGCCCCATCCCGGGCTTGGAGGACCATTGTGTGGACCTGACGGCCAAGAAGGACTTCGCGAACGATATTGAGAAATTCCTCGACGCCGTCGAAGCCGGCGGCAAGACTCGAAGAGTGGTCATTAGTATCACAAAGTGCCCCTACAAGTGCCCGCCGCTGCCCTTCGAGGTGGCTTGCCTCATCGACGACGCAGCAAAACGGCGGGGCAAGGGCGTGCGCGACGCCGTCGCCATCACGGTCACGTCGCCGGTGCCGTGGCCCTTCGGCGGGCCCAAGGCTAAAAAAGCGTTTACCGAAGCGATGGCTTCGAAGAATATCACGTACCTCCCGGACACGCAAGTGGTTTCGGTTGATGAGCAGGACGGCCGCAAGTGCGTGTCGACCAGTAAGGAGGACCTCGTCGCCGACCTGGTGCTGGCGACGTTCCCGCACCGCGCGCCGGACTTTGTGAAGGACCTGGCCAAGGCCAAGGGTTCCGTGCCGGTCGACCTGCGGACGAACGCCGTCGCGGGGAAGGACGGCGTCTACTGCGTCGGCGACGCGTGCGCCGCGCTGATTCCCTCGGCCGGCGTGCCCATCCCGAAAGCGGGCGAGTTTGCGTACAAGGGTGGTTTGGCCCTCGGAAAACGCCTGGCAGCTCTAGTGCGCGGCGAAGAGGCCCCGCTGCCGACGGAGCGGTCGGCGCGGTGCGTGGCCGAGACGGGCGGCGGCGAGGGCATCACCGTCGGACCGAACTTCGACGCGGCCTTCGCGGACCCGGAGAACGGCAAGCCCGCGTTCGCGATCGAGCCGCATGCCGACGGGACGACCGCCAAGGTCGCCTGGATCCAGGGGTACTTGGATCGGTTCGCGCCGGACCAGGGCATCGTCTTCGAGGCGGGGGCGCCGCGGAACGCCGAAAGTTAAGGACCATAGAGCAACGCGTCGATAGCGTAAGGGCACTAGTCGCGTTTTTTGCGCTGGGTTTGGCCGGCGCTCTTGGACAAAGAGATAACGAATTAGATCCAAAGCGGTGCTCGGAGCCCTTTGCACCGTCGCGCTCCTGATACCGCAGCGAATCGCATAAATTACAAGCCTCGTCAGCTAAATGGCAGCACGCAGGATCGCCGCGGCGGCGCTGCTCGGGCGCACACATTGTGCAACCGCCCTCCGCGCCGGCGCCGCGCGGCAACCCGCATTCACGTCCACGCAACGACGGCAGCACACCACCACTAGCAGCCGCGCCGCGGCCGCGGCCGTGGTAGTAGCAGCCACGGCGACCGGCGTCGCCTCCTGCGACGTCATCGACCAGTGGGAGGCGAAGCAGGGCGAGCACGCGTGGCTCGAGGAAGTCCAGGGCGAGCGGGCCCTCGCCTTCGCGAAGCAGGAAAACGCAAAGACCGAGGACGCGCTCGGCGACCCGACGGCGTCGCCGACCTACAAGAAGATCCTGAGCGTCTTGGAGTCGAAGGAGAAGATTCCGAGCGTCTCGAAGATCGGCGAGCACTACTACAACTTCTGGACGTCGGCCGAGAACCCCCGCGGTCTGTTGCGGCGCGTCGCGTCGTTGGACGAATTCCGGAAGAAGGAGCCGGCCTGGGAGGTGGTGTTGGACGTGGACCAGCTCGGCAAGGACGAAGGCGAGTCGTGGGTCTACAAGGGCTCGGCGTCGTGCCGCGAGTACGACGAGCAGAATAGACCCATTAAAGGCAGCGTGACACGAACATTAATCTCGCTCTCGCCGGGCGGCTCCGACGCTATTGTAAGACGCGAGTTCGATTTAGTGACGAAGCGCTTCGTCAACGACAAAGCGTTCCGCCTCGACGACCCTTCCAAAAGCCGCTGCTCGTGGGTTGATAAAGATACTATTTTTCTCGGTGCGGACCTCGGCCAGGAGGGCGACATGACGTCGAGCGGCTACCCGCGGCGCGTGAGGGCGTGGAAGCGCGGCTTGGATCCCGCCGAAGCACCTATAGTGTTCGAAGGAGAAGATGGCGACGTCAGCGTCGGCGCCTACGTGTCGCGGAGCCGCGGCCACGCGTTCGAGTGGCGCTACCGCACGACGTCGTTCTATACCTCCAAAAGGTGGCTGCGGCGCTACGATGGTAATGAGACGTGGCGCGCGTTGGATGAATTGGGCTTCCCCGACGACGCGTCGGTGTCGCATACCGGTAGCTGGTTATTGATCGACCCGCGAAGCCCGATCGACGTCGGCGGCCGGACGTACGCGGCGGGCTCGTACCTGGCCGTGCAGTATGACGACGTCGTCAACAATGGGCTCAAAGGCGCAAAATGCCGTGCCTTGTTCGAGCCGACGCCGACAACATCTCTAGCGTCCGTGTCGACGACCAAGGACCGGCTCATCCTCAAGGTCTTGGACAACGTCCAGTCGCGCCTGATTTTTCTAGATGCGGAGACCTTTGAAGACAGAGGCAGCGAGAAAACACCCGCGATCCGCGGCATATCGTGCTCGGCTGTCGATGCCGACGACTCGAACGACTACTTCCTGCGCACGTCTACCTTCCTCGAGCCGAGCACTCTGAAACTGGGGGACGCCACGCAGGGCGCCGCCGGTCTCGAGCGGGCCGAGTTCCTCAAGGCCCTGCCGGCCTTCTTCGACTCGAGCGGCATGGAGGCTTTTCAATCGAAGGCGACGAGCAAGGACGGCACGACGATCCCCTACTTCGTGATCCGGACGAAGGGCGCGCCGGCGCATGCTCCTTGTCTGTTGTATGCATATGGTGGCTTCGAGATCTCGCAGACGCCCGGTTATGCCGCGACGATCGGCGCGGGCTGGCTCGAGCGGGGGGCCACTTATGTGGTCGCGAACATTCGCGGCGGAGGGGAATTCGGCCCGACGTGGTCATTTGCGGCGTCCGACCCTTCGGAGCGAGCGACGCCATCGACGCGGCGCCCGACGCAGGCACCAGGCCGCGAAAAAGGAGAAACGCCACGTCTGCGTCGAGGACCTGGCAGCGGTCGCCGAAGACTTGGTGAAAACGGGCGTCGCGCAGCATGAGAGTTTGGGTATTAGGGGCGGGTCGAACGGCGGGCTGCTGGTGGGAAATTTCTATGTGCAACGACCCGAACTGGTCGGCGCGGTGGTCTGTGCCGTGCCTTTGCTGGATATGAAGCGCTACTCGCACCTGCTGGCCGGCGCGTCGTGGCGCGCGGAGTACGGCGACCCCGACACGGACGACTGGAGCTACCTGAAACACAACTCCGCGTACCACAACATCGATAAAGCAAAGGCGCCCTTCCCGAAACTATTAATGACGACCTCCACCAAGGACGACCGCGTGCACCCGTACCACGCGCGGTCCTTCGTGAAGCGCCTCCAGGAGCTGGGCGTGCCGGACGTTTATTATTATGAAAACATCGAGGGCGGCCACGGCGGCGCGGCCGACGCCAAACAGAGCGCCTACGTCGTCGCCTTGTACCAGGACTTCCTCTTCTGCGCGCTCGGCGGGAAACGCGCCGGCTGCGGCGATCCATGAACAACAACTCCCGCCTCGTGCCGCTCGCGCTATCCTTAGGTTATGAATTAATTAGTTGACTTTAACCCTCAGGTGCTGGCGCCGGCGCCTCCGATTCGTCGACGTCGCCCTTGGACACGCGCTCCTTCAATTTATTGGCAGCCTTCGTCGCCGCGGCGCCGCGCTGCATGGCCGATATCGCAGCTAAGGCCATGACGCCGGCCTTGAACTTGCGCTTCGCGTTATAGACCCGCATGTTCTTCTGGAAGCCCTCCAACTCGGGCTTCTTCTGGGGCTCGTCGACGGTCATCCAGGGGTCCTCGAGAATTTGTTTACACGTGGCTCGCTTCTTCGGATCTACTACGAGCATTGATCGAATGAGGTCCTTCGCTTGATCCGACACCTGATCCCAGTACGGCCGCGTAAAGGTATACTGGCACCGCTGGATCATTCTGAAGAGTTGCGGATTATTTTCCGAATAAAAAGGAGGAAAACCACATAGTAAGATGTACATGATCACCCCCAGACTCCAGATATCCACTTCCTTGTCGTAGCCGACCTGCGCGATCACTTCCGGCGCGACGTAACCCGGCGTCCCGCAGGCCGTAGCCAGCGCTTCGTCGGCCTTCAGCATGTTCGCGAGGCCAAAGTCGGCCAGCTTGATGACATCCTTGTTTTCGCCCGTCTTTGCCTGGTACAGTAAGTTCTCGGGTTTGAGGTCTCTATGCACGATGCGCAGATCATGGCACGCGTCCACCGCACTCACGATCTGCTTCATGGCTATGCGCGCGTCCTTTTCGCTGTATTTTTCTTTTTCGACGATGCGGTCGAACAACTCGCCGCCCGCACATAGCTCCTGCACGATATAAAAGGTACCTTCCGACTGACACACCTCCTTCAAAAAAACAATATTCGGGTGTTGGAGCTCCGCCAGTTGCTTCATGATCTCGACTTCTTTGGTCAGAGCCTGCTCGTCCTCCGGGGCCAATACCCTCTTATCAATAATCTTCACGGCCCACTTCTTCTTGTCGCCCGTCTTCTCCGTGGCCTCCTTCACGGTCGCGAAGGTGCCCTTGCCGAGTCGTCGTCCGATCTTGTAGTGCGCCAGCAGCGGGTCCCGCCGGAAGAAGGCCGAGAGGAGGCCCATGGCGCTCCGCGGCCGTGGCGGGTCTTTTCCCTACGATTCTACGGCGCAAGGCGCGACGGCGTAGGCGCGATGGCGTACGGCGCGACGGCGTTCGACGTGGCACACCAGTCAGGGGCAGCCCCTTGACGCGTCCGACGGCAGCTGTGCGCCCGGTGAGGCCAACACAATGCCTTTTGCGTGCCGAGCGGAGCTGAGATTCGCGGCAGCGGTTCCACCCGGCTGTGGGGTATTGCGGTACGCTCCGAATGCTTACTCGCAGTAGACCGTGACTGCTTTGCGGGCTTTATCCGGCGCGGCGGGCAGGCCGGCGCTGAGATGCTAGTGGGGCTAGTAGCTCGTAGACCGCGGAGGGCTCCGGCGGGCAGCCCGCACCGCGCGGAGCGATGCGCAGGCCTGCCGGGGAGCAGTGCGGCCGGCCCCGGCCCGACCTTGTGATGATGGGGCTGCTGGGCCTTCCTAAAAGCGTCCGCAAACACCTTGATAAAGACGCCGCGTGCTGCCCCACCACACGTAAACATCATTGCGACGCCGCCGCCGCGGCACCTCCCAACGACGCCTCGAAACGGGCCCCCCAATCCCCAAAGCAGCTAGGCACAGCCCACAGCCAGACGCCGCCAAAGCACCCATGGACGCCACGGCCGCCGCGCTGCCCGTGGTCGTCCAAGACAAGGGCAAGACACCAACGCCGAGAGGGCCGCCGCTCGCGTGGCGCCTCGGCGTCTCCCTCGCGGCCGTCGCGCTGACGTGGGCGACGAGCTTGAGGGTCGCAATCAGTGTCGCGGGCGCCTTCGTGGTCGTGCCGCCCGCGTCACTCGTGAGGGATACCTGCTCTACCTTAAAAGACGCGACGACGCACGCCGAAGCCGTTTACGTCGAATGCGTCGACGCGCAAGCGTTGAATTGCGACCGCCACTACGACGAGGTCCTCGTGGATGTTGAGAAGACGCTCCAAGATAAACAGATGAGGAACGAGGCGACGCTGTCGACATATCGACAGATTTATGACACGTGCGCGGCGCACGCGAACGCGCTGACGGGCTATGCTTCATATAAAATTGCATCCTTCAAAGCCCCCTCTACCAGCTTCGAGGCGTCTCTTGATAAGAGTGCCTGGACGGCGACGTGCGCGGACGCTTCGAAGCTGACGGGCGCGGACGTCCTCGAGGCGCACGCGGCTCGAAGCGAGGACGCGGCGGCCTTCGCCACGGTCATTATCCAGTGTCCATCCGAGTTACTGTTTGATGTTAACACGCAGGAGAGCGCATCGACTATGAACGCTTTAACAAGATATGCCGAGGACCGCGCGCGCTACGACGCCACTTACATCCGCGGCGTCTATGCAAGTGTCGAGGCCGCCTCGTCACAATTCAAGCTGCCCTCCAATACGACGTGGCCGGGCGTCGCCACGGCCCTTGGTGATATAAGGGCGTGTTTGTCCATAGACGCGAACGTCTCATGCAAAATACAACCGGACGCGCGCGACGCTTTCGGGGACTACGCGTCTCGTGTACAATTGCAGGTCGCCATGGCCTCGGACGTCGTCGCGGCCTTCTCGAGTGAAGCCGACGCGTACCAGCAGCGGGTCGAGGACGCGTTCGACGCAATGGCGGCGTTCTACGACGCGGCCATGGAAGCGGAATCGAACAACTTCATTGAAATAGACCCGCCCGGGGCGATGGTCGGCGTCGGACTGGAGGACTTTTACGCCTACCCGGGCGCGTGGCCCGACGGGCTGACTCTACTGTCGTTCCCGTCGGCAGACGAGCTGTATCCTGCGTCCTTATCGGCTTTCTATGATGATGTCTTGGCGAACGTGTCGCTGCTGTACGCCGATGCTGCCGTTGTCATGAAACGGACTTCATTGGAATTGCGAGAAGATCTGCAACGGGCCTTCGCGGGCTACGACCCTCCTTCCATAACCGACTACCTCGACGCCCCCACTCTGAAAAATGCCTCGGATGCATACGCGGAGAAAGCCGAAGCCTTCGCGAACGCGAGCCTTCGTGTCGTCGACTACGACGTCGACCTCCTCACGACATCGTCTGTGCGTAATACGACCGCCACGACCACCACTACTTTCATGGAGACGGCCCGCGACCGCTTGCTGGGCTGGGCCGCGCTCGAGACCGACGTCGACGTCAGCGCCACGTTCGCTCAGATAGCAAGGTCCGCGTCCCTCATTATCCTGCTGGACTACGCCTGGCGCGTCGCGTCTTCTTTGAGGACGATCAAGCGGTTTCTGGATAAGTCGGCCGTGCGCTTACCAAAAGCGCGCGTCCGGTCCGTTCGCTCAGACAAGGGCTTCTACGCCGCCGTCGGGTGGGTCGTGGCGTCGCCCTACCCTTCCTTGATGGTGGCGGGCGCCGTGGGCGCCGCCATCTTTGTGGGGGCAGCTAGAGCCTACGCCCCGCTCTTCTCGGCCTACGCGGAGACGTGCGTCCGCGGTCATGGTACGCTGAACAACGGCACCGTCGTGGCGCGCAATTTGTACGCCGTCTCATATAATGCGGCGTCGTCCGACGGGCGCGCAGCTCAATCTAGGTTCCTCGACGCCTACGACGCGCGGCGCGCGGAGGCCTGCGCATCGCTATCGACGGCGGACGCCCGCGTTCGCAACGACGAGGCGGAACAGCTCCGCGTTCTGGTGGATGCGCAATCTGAAGCGGCCTCGCGCTTCGCATTACTCAACGCGTGCGTCGACGAACCGTTGAATGATACGGCGTGTCTCCATGAGACGTGGGCGCTCGATTCAAATCCTTTCGACTGCGGCTCTCTTCCAATGTGCGACATCACCTGCGGCGGCCCCTCGGTCCAAGTGTTGCGGACAGCTTCACAACACTGCGCCTGCAGCGCCGAGTGGTGGCTCCACGCGACGATCTTGAGGTTGGGCGCCGCCTTCGTTATTTTCCTCGTCCTCCAACTATCTCGTTCTTGGATTGTGGACGGGCTCTGTCGGTTGAATTGGCGCCTGTTAACCGACGCCGTCTTCGCCTACGAGGCGTCGTGCGATATCGACGGGAACCCGACCGTCGAAGGCGACTTTCGAGCGCACGTGCGCGCGGACCTGAAGCGACGGCTCCGGGCGTGGCTTTGTGTTGGGAGGTTGAAGGTCATTGGAGCGGTGCTCGTCCACGCGGCGTGGGTCGCGCCGTTGGTGCGGTTGCGGCGGGACGTGGCGTACGCGCCCCATTGATCTTGCGTATCGTTTTTCGTCTTTTATCGCGTCTCGGGGTCCACCTACCCCTCCCGCTCGGTGCCTCGAGCCAAGGGGAACTAAGGTATACTACTATGCGTCCTGATTGTTGCTAGTGTCTTTACAGGACGCTAGCGCGGAGATTTGCTCGAGCTTTGATCAATCGCATCAGAACGTGAGCCATTGGTGCCCAGGACGCTTCGGAGTTAGCGTTCTAACGCTCGTCGTGCGATCGAGCTCATCCAACCTGCAGCAACCGCAAAGTGCACAGATATGCAGCTCTGCCAGCTGCTCTGCGCTAGCGCAGTTGTCGCGAGCGCTCTCCAAACGCGAGCCACGCAACAACGACAGCCCACGCGGCGACCTGCCAATTTTCTGGAGAGCTTCGCCGAGGCCTTCGCGAACCCGCCCCTGTCGGCGCCGCGGGCGCGGCCCGAGGCGGCCGACGAGCTCCAGCGGCTCGTGACCGACGGCTGGAACGGCGCGCGAGTCGACGCCGACCGGTGCTCGCAGCTCATCGATGCGCTCGCATTAATGGGCGGTCCGTTCGATGCGTCGGACTTAGGAGGTGGGCTGTGGCTCGCACTGCACTCGCGCGGACTGGTGCCCAAGTGGCAGAAGAACCAGGAGCTGCTCAAGGTCTTCGGCGTGCGCAACCGCGCCGGGCAGACGTACTTTCCGAAGGACAAGCGCGTGGAGAATTATGGGGAAGTCGTCGGCGGCCTCGTTTAACGCGGCGTCCTTTCCTCGAGCGTCAATACGCCATCGACGCGACGCATCGCTCGTTGCGGACGCCATCGACGCGACCGCTTCCTCGCAGGTGACCTTCGGCGCCGAGGGCACGTTCGCGCTGCCGGCGGGCCCCCTGCGCGCGCCCTGCGACCTGCCCGTCGAGATCACCGCGGGCGGCCTGACCGTCTTCGGGAAGCGTTTTGAGTTGCCCATCGCCGGGCCCGGCTTGGTGCGAGTGCTCTACCACGACTCGACGATGCGGATTTTTGAATCTCCCTTGACGTCGCAGGACAAGTGGGAGGAGTCGGGGTTGGTCGTCGTTCAGGTGAGAGAGAGTGCCGTAATAAATATTTAGACCCTAGGCGAGCCGCTGCTTCAGGATCGAGTAGAGCAGCACGCCCGCGATGGCGACGGTGGTCCCAACCATGGCCACGGGCTCCATGGCCTCGCCGAGCACGACCATGGCCGCGGCGATGATCACGACGCGCTTGACCGTGTTGCCGACCGCTAGCGTGACGGGATTCACTCTTGCCAAGCACATGTACATGACCTCGTTGTTGAGGTCTGCGCGGACACGAGTCGCGTCCGACCCCCGCGCCGTCGCCGCGGTGCGAGCGACGAGCCGCGTCGATGGCGTATAAGCGCACGTTGAAGGAAGGACCCAGGACACCGAAAAGCACAGTGAAATAGGCCCGACAGCGCGACCTGCAGCGCGACCCGGTTCGTATCGAGGTCGTCCAACACAGAAAGCTTCGAGCCCTCGACCACAAAGGCCAGCGGCGCTAATATACAAGCGGCGCCGATCGTCGCCGCTCCAAATAGTTCCGGAGCCGTCTGCTTCGTTCGTTCCAAATTAGCCTTCGAGAGCACGGCCCTGAGACCGGAGAACAGGTTCGAGGTCATCGCCGCACTAAATGATAAAGGATTGAACGATAAATCGGTGGCGATGGCCACGGCGACGCCGCCGACCACTGGCACTAAAGCGGCATAGACCGGCAGCGGCAGGATTTCGCCTCGCACAACGGCATTCACAGCAGCGGAGAAGAGCGGTTCCAGGGCCTTGACGACGTGCGTCATGGACACCGCGCCGGCACCCAGCGAGATGACGGTCGTGACCTGCTGGCCGCAATGTGCGACCGCGACGGGCCAGGCGTCTTTCACCGCTGCGCTTACCGATGAAGGTTCTGGGCGGCCGATGGTCCATCCTACCATAGCGTACAACGCTCCAATTACGAGTTGGGCCCACGAAACCAACCAGGGCAGTCCCACGGTCTTCAGCACTTTTTTATTGATGATGTTGTAGTAGATGTTTAGCGCATACCAGCCGCCGAAGAACGCGCCGACCTCCAATCTATGGGCGAGTCCCGTCGTGGCGCCGCCCGTGACTTTCAGCTTGATGTTCTGCAGCGCTTCTGTGATGGCGACGGCCTCGACGTCGGCTTTTGTCGTTCTTATTGTCGCCTTGGGCTTGGGGCGCTCGAGGGCGTTCGCGCTGACGAGCAGCAGCAGGACGGTGCGCATTTTTGCCATGGTTGAAGACTGCACTGCTTACCGCGCGTTACTGTTGCGCCGGCCGCGTTTTGGTCGCGCCGCGCGTGGGTGCTCTGCGCTTTCTTGCTGACCACTGCTTGCACAGTGTGATGCGAGTGTTTGTTTGCAATGAACTTTTGCGTGGTGAGAGATATTACTGCGACGCTTCAAATGCAAGCTCGCAGCGGTCTCAGACGATCACTGCGTCAAGCACGGACGCACACCTCAATCAGAGTGTGGCTCAAAAAAATGAGAATGGCAACCTCAATTTGCATTTTGCACTTGTCTGGGGCCGCGAACACACGTCGGCAACTAGCAAAACGAGTGCCAGTACCAGTGGACCATGCGGTTGCTAGCGGCTTGTAAGACACTAGCAAATACAAGCTCGGCGCTTTTACGGCCGCAGACAGGCGCGCTGGAGCCCGCCGTGTCTCAGCTGTCAGCCAGTGGATCCATCTGACAGCCCGCGCCGGCGAGGCGCGTGAAGACCCGCTCCGCAACGGCTGCGGAGGAGAGACATCCACGCATCCGGAGAGCGGTTTCTAAACATGAGCGCCCAAGAACTCGCGGACCTCGAGTCATTATATGCAGACGGCGTGCTCGACGAGGACGAGTACAAGACAAAATTAGCGGAATTACAACCCGCGAAGGAGCGCACGCGGGCCGACGAGTTGGCGGACCTCGAGGCGCTGCGCAACGACGGCATCCTGGACGACGACGAGTATAAAGCAAAGCTCGCCGAGCTCCAGGACGACGAGCCTCCCGCGAAGAAGGCCAAGAGTGAAGAAGAGGACTACGAAGCACTCACGGTAACCAAGCTCAAGGCCAAGAGTAAAGAGCGAGGCCTCGCCGCGACGGGCGAGAAGGGTATACTCATATGGCGCCTCAAACTCAAGGATCGGCATGCGGATGTTCGCTGTTCGGATGGAGCAGACCCGTTTTCGTTCCGAGGAGCAGCTCTCAAGAAGGCGGCAGCAAGACACGGCGTGAACTGCATGGGCTCGCCCGAGGAAATGCTTGAAGGTATCGTCAAGAAACTAGCGGCCGATGCACCTCAAAAACCGGCGCTCGAGGACGACGGGTCGCAGGACGCTATCAAAGCGGCCACGCGCGTGCTAGAGCTCGCCGCGGAGGACGCGTGGGAGGAGATTTTGAGTTTGGGGGCGCCGGGCAAGACGTTGGTCCTGTGTGGAAATCAACCAGTGCGTCGGGTGCACCGATGTCGATCGGTGAGGAACCAACATCGCCACGCCATCGAGCAGGTGTCGCGTCGATGGCGTGGAGGTCGACGCGACGATTCACGAACGCGCCGTAAATTTGATTTCCACACAGGCTGACGGCGATGTCGCCCCTGAACGATCTGCGGGGGGCTTATAGGCGCCTGTGCCGCCTCGTGCACCCCGACAAGCTACGGGGCTTCGACGGCGCCACGCGCGCGTTCCAGGCCCTGGTGACGGCGCTGGATCGCGTGACGGGGTCGGACCTCCCCGTAGAAAGCGAGGAAGCCGACAAGGGGCCTGGCATCGAGCGCACGAACGAAGGATGTCTTAGGACGATTGTAAAGTGCCCGCGCTGCGAGGAGCCCTGGGGCGCTTCTGCCCAAGAGGGCCTGCCCCCTTACGCGTACAACCTGCTCATGACGGGGTTGCGGGAGTACACGTGCTCGACCTGTTTATGTGAGTTCGGCTGCGTCTCGGCGACGCACTCCTGTAGAAAGTGCGAGGCGCCCTTCGACTACTCTCCTGCTGATTTCCACCGGAAAATAAAATGCGGCGAGTGCGGCGACGAATTTGGGTTCCGGTCCTACCACGTTTCTGCCAGGAACATGGCCAACGCCGTCGCCGAGGCCCGAGCTGCGCATGAAAGGAGGGCTAAGTCGCGGTTGGCGAAGCGGCGACGAGCCGACGCGGCCCAAAGGCGTGGTGCTCTTTTCGACGGCGAGCGCTGTTTTTTGAACGGGCTGTCGGACGACTGCCCGCGGTGCGGCGCGTTCTTCGGCGTGGGAACGTCGATGGACGACCGGCGGACACACCTGAAGGCGTGCACCGACGCCGCCGCGCACGACGCGCACGCGAAAGCTCAGGCCGACGCGAAGGCTAAGAAGCGCCAGCGCGAGGACTTGGACGACGCCGCGGCGACGGCGCAGGCGCGCGCCGTGTGGGAGGCGTCGGGCGCGCAGACGTCGAAGCTCTGGATGCTGCCCGACGCGGCGCTGGTGGAGATGATTGGAGGCGACACGGACGGCCTGGATCGAACCGAATTGATCGCGCGGGCCGCGGCGTCGCGCGACGCCGGCGGGAGGCGGCTCCTGACGGACGGTCGGTCGCCGCGCAAGGCCGCGCGCCGGCGCCTCACGGCCGACTCGCTGCCGGCGAACTACGCGACGTTGGACGCGGCCCAGCTTCTCGGGATCTGTGCCGCGCACGGCTACACGCCCAAGGGCACGACGCACGCCGAGATCCTCCACGAGATCGAGAACGAGCTGACCGGCGACGCCGTCGAGCGGCCTTTATTATTGACGGACGGCGACGGCGACGGGCGGAAGCAGCCGGACGACGACTACGTGAGCGATGGGGGTGAGAGTGAGTAATACTATTAGTCTGCGTCCGAGTCCGAGTCCGAGTCGAGGTCGGAGAGCGGGACCTCGAAGCCCGGGCCCTCGTAGTACGGGCTTCTCTTGCAGTACGGGATGGGCGCCGGGTCGTATTCCTCTATCCCCAAGACGGCAACCTCCTCCTGGAGCCATTCAATCCATATCTTCTGCCGCGCTATGGTTCTCCGGTTCCAAGCATGAAGACGGTCCACGAAGTCTGCGGCAGGGCTGGGCTCTGGATCGGGCAGTGGATCGGGCGGGGCGACTTCCTGCTCGAAAATGGCGTTCAGCTGCCTCGCGGTAAGTGGTTGCGCGTCTTCCTCGCCGTCCGGAAAGTAAAGATCACGGTATAAAAATGAAAAATAAGTGTGTGAGGCGGCCCGCATTGAGGGCACGGCGCCAATAAGAAACCAGAGGACGGCGCCGGAGAGCATCTGCACCACGCCGCGACCGCGACCCTCGGGGACGTTTTCCTCAGAAAAAAACTTCGACTCTTCCGGCGCGCCGGAGAGCATCCTCTCCACGCCGCGATCGCGACCCGCCCCGACGACGTTTTCCACGAGAAGAGGCTTCGACTCTTCCGCTGCGGTGGGGCTGCCCCAAAGCACCCATGGGCGCTCCCACGCGACGCATACCGCTGAGATAGCGTCGCGCGCGCTCCAAGCATGGGCGGAAGCAAGCGACCCGGTGGTCAAAATAAAAAATACGAGCTTCAGCATGGTGTCCGCTGGCGGGCTGCGGCAAGTGACACAGTGGGCTGTCGCTACGTGCGTTTGCGCGTGCAGGCTCCACGCAGAGTCCGAGAGCGCGGCGCTTTTGCCAGGACGGTCGTGACCTGCAGGAGGCCCCCCGGGCGGCGTGACCGCTGCCAGCCCAGGGCCTCTAGGGGCGACCGGCAGAGTGTCCAGCGATCCGATGGACATGAAATTGAATCCAATCTACTCAGTTCTAGTAGGAATAAACCCTCTAGCGCAATTTTTGGATGGAGCAGCCCGTACAGCGGCTGCCGGCTTGCAGCTCGTGATGGAGGTGCGCCGGGAGGCGCGGCCTCCTGGCCTTGCACCAGAACGACGGAGGCCGTACTGGCTTGCGGTCTGCAGCGCCGCGCTGGTGATCGCTGCGTCAGTTGGGGCTGCCCATGGCACGGTGCGGCACCGGGAAACCGGCGGTACCCGCGGCGGCGACGCGTTAAGAAGGCCAGCGACGCGCGCCCGCGCGAGCGACGGTGAAAGCGCTGCGGTGGCCGCGGCCGGAACGTCTGCCGCGGCGCGCGCGCCGAGCCGCCGGGATGCAGCCGACGCGGCGCGGCCGTCGGCACAACGCGACGCCGTCAGCAAAGCCTTGGGGGACGTCTCGTACTCGAAAACGGGGACGGCGCCGCCGAGCATAAGCGCGGCGCCGAGCTACAACCCGACGTACCAGCCAAGCCCCGCTCCATCAGTGACGCCGAGCCCCACGGACCTCCCCAGCTATATGCCAACGACGCCGGGGCCCACGGGCGTGCCGACGGCGAACCCGAGCGGGCGCCCGTCGCCGCTGCCGTCCTACGCGCCGACGACGGCAAGGCCCTCGGACCAACCGACGCCCGCGCCCTCGCACAAGCCGACGATCTCGCCGGAACCGACGCAGACGTTCGCGCCGACCTACGAGCCGACGTCGTCCGTGCCGAGCGCGGCGCCGTCGTACCAGCCAACGACGGTGAGGCCGAGCGCGGCGCCCTCCGAAGCGCCGTCATATACACCGACGGCGGCCCCGACGTACTCGCGGGAGCCCTCCGCGGCGCCGAGCTACGTCCCGACCACGGGCGCGCCGTCGTCGAGCACGCCGACGAAGCTGCCGAGCACGTACGCGCCGAGCTACGTCCCGTCGCCGCTGCCCTCGTATTCGCAGCCGCCGACGCATGTGCCGAGCTATAGCCCATCGTTTGCACCGACGGGCTCGGCGGCCCCGTCGACGGCACCGTCGTATCTCCCAACGCCGCTGCCGTCGACGGCTATACCGAGCTACGAGCCCACGCCAATGGCCACGGAGCCAACGTACGCCCCCTCGAAGACGCCCACAGCGCCGAGCTTCTACCCGACGCCCGCGCCCTCGCGCGCGCCGACCAAGATCCCGACGCCGGCGCCGTCCTCGAGCTTCTCGCCTTCGTACACGCCAACGTCGGCGCCGACGTCAAAGCCGTCGGCCGTGCCCTCGTCGATCCCGTCGCCGCTGCCCTCGACGCCGATGCCGAGCGCTGCGCCGACGCCGATCCCGTCTCCGCAGCCGTCCGGCATCCCTTCACCAGAACCGACCTACAGTCGCCCGCCATCACCTTCGCCAAGCTCGCTGCCGACGCAAGTCCCCACAAAGTGGCAGTGCCACCTCTCCGAGGAGGACTTCGCGACCTCGATGCAGTACAAGGTCTACGCGAGCTGCCCCTGGTCCGCGGCCACGGTCGAGAGCACGCCCATCAAGTACTCGGCGGACTGCATCAGCCCGCCGGCGGGCCACCCCGACCACGGCACGACGCGGACGCCGGAGGAGTGCGCCTTCGGCCCCTGCGCGACGTGCGGCCACTACGACACGTGCGACGGCGTGTGGCAGTCGAACGCTACGTATGCCGACTGCGTCACGTGTACGGAGGGCTACGAATTGGATGTGTTGTACGACGACTGCACGGGCGTCTGCGTACCTAGTGGCGTGGCGCTGAACCCGCTGCTCTCGCACGGCTCGTGCCGCTGCTTCTCCGAGAACCAGGCGGCGCAAGGTATATCAGCGTTAGGGTCGGGCACGTGTGCCCCGACTGCCGCGCCCTCGGGCACGCCGACGGTGCCGCCCACTCCCTTTGACGGCACGACCGAGACGACGATCCTCGTGAACGCGTCTATTGTATTGGAGGGCGTCGCCGAGCCGCTGGAGATCAACATGGCGGGTCCTAGGCTGGAGGCTTTGCAGACCGTACTCATAGAGTCCGCTGCAAAACATAACGTCGTCATCAACGGCACGCGCGCTGTGACGAAAATGAAGGCGTCGTCCTACAAAGGTGCGACGCGCATCGACTACTCCTTCTACACCTGGATCACGGAGGAAGGTGTAAGGAATAGGACCGCCACGAACATCATGGCTCGTGAGTGGTTAGTTAGCTACAAATCAAACCTCGTGACGCAGTGTGAAGATGGTACGATGAATGATATCTTGGAGGACCACGCCTGGACGGCCGAATACACGGCCAATTCCACATTGACACAACAATTGTTGTTCGAGCACGAGTGGCGCCCGCACCATGTGACCGAGGTCGACACGACGTCGATGAACCTCGACACGACTCTGAGGGTCACGATGACGTCCTCCCTGAAGTTCAACTCTTCATCATTAGATGCGGATGCCTTCAACAACGATGCGACATCAGTATCTCAATTCAAGGAGGTGATATCGCGCGTCTGGCCGAACGTCACGGCCGACGCCGTGGAAGACGTCGTGGCCGAAGAAGAGACCGAGAAGAAGCTCGTGCGCATCAGATACTCCTTCGACGACTATGTTGTTGCGCACGGTGCTACTGTGAACGACGCGCAGAACAAGTCTGACGAGTACAAGACGTCGTTCGTGAGTCGAAGCAAGAACCAGGCGACGAACGGTAAGTTACAGACGCATATTTCCGACGTCTGTTCCGGGAATCGTAGAAGACTGCAGTCCTCGGCGTTTTCTTCTGCACAAGCCGATCCGGTAGCGTGCGCGGCCGCGATCGAGACGGAGACAGTGAGTGAGGTCGAAGTCATGAACACGGCGCCCTCGCCCAATCCCACACTCTCGCCTACACTGTCCCACGCCCCGACGACCTACACACCCACAACGGCGCAGCCGTCGGCCACGCCCTCGTACGTGCCGACCACTTATGAACCGACGCTATCCCCAACAAAGTATTGTGGGGACGACGTGTGCTGGGCGGACCAAAGCGTCAAGGAGTTCGACTGCGACAAGCACACGGACCCGATCCAAGTCTTGGAAGCGGAGGGCTCGAGTATATATTCGTTGCGGGAGTGGTCGTCGACGGGCGATTTCGAGCTGATTCACGAGCTGGACTACTTTGACGGGCACGTGAACGCCGTGGGCATGTACGAGGGGCCCTTCGACGGGACCCAATATGCGTTAGGAGCCTTCACGGAGGATCCGGATAACGACGATGCTATCTCATACTTGTGCCGCTTCGATAATAAAAGGAAAGTGTGCTTTGACGACCAACCGCTGCACCTCTTGAAGCCGAATGCTGGAGCTGTATTAGGTCTAGATTATTACTACGGCCTGAACCTCGGCAGGGATGCCGCATCGAGGGGTCTGTACTGGGTCGAGAACATCCACAATCTTTATACTCAGTCGCATGAAAATGCAGCATTGGAGATCTCGGAAGACCTGTACGGCGGCGGCGTTTATGATTTTACGGCCATCGTCGAGGACGGCCGCGACGTCTTCGACGACGACTACAACAAGGACGGCAAGTACCTGGTCGGTCTGGCGGACGACGCTTCTCTGATAGTGATCCACGTCGCGGCATCAGGAGCGCCGGACGCCTACGCGGTGCTGGACACGGAGGTCGACTGGGCGCTCGCGCCGACGCCGGAGCCGGTGCCCGTGCCGAGTCCGACCGCTTCACCGGACGAAGAGACCTACTCGTACGAGTACTCGTACGCCGTACCTAGCTTGGACTGCTTCAACGAGTCGTTGACCGCGTTCGCCTGCCAGCTGGACCTGTACCCCGACGACGACGCCGCGATGCTGGAAGCCTTACAAGATCCGACGCTCATGGGCGACGACGACCGCTGGAACGCGTCCGGCTCCGACGACGACGTGAGCCTGTCCGATGACGTGACGTCGTGCGTCGACGTCCAGGCGGACGCGGGCTTCGCCGAGCAGTGCGCGGCCCAGCCGCAGATCGTGCAAGACGCCTGCGGCGACAAGTACGACGCCTTTACGGAGTGCGTGTACGAGGCCTGGGCGCTCGAGGCCGGGCTCGACTGCGACCTCGACTGCGACCAGGTTTCGCGGAGACGGAAGCTCGGCGTGCTCGACTGGGCGCGGCGCCTCTTCTCGCCGTCGACGACGCGACCAAGTACGACACCCAATGTCATACGGCGCCGCGCGCGCGACGCCGCGCTGGACGTGCTGCGAGGGCCGCCGCCGACGACGAGTCGACGGAACCTGAAGAACGTGAAGGACGTCCAGGGCGCCTTTACGGACGTCAAGTTCGGCGCCGCCTACAGCTATAGGTGGCGCGAGGACGACCCGCGGTGGTTGGTGCTCTTCAGCGAGAATGGTGGAAGAGGGCTGTTTCAATTAGAAACGGATGCCGAGATCAAGATCCCGAAGAGCTGCTGGAACAAGGCGTCGGACAAGCTCGCGAAGCACGAGCGGTGCGGCGAGACGGCGCAGTTGATGTACGTCGGGCCTTCGTCGATCTCTGACAAGAATGATGGATTGAACTGTTACGAAGGGGGCTTCCTCCAACCCGCGCCGACGAACTCGCCGACGGAGGCGCCGTGCCTCGATCGGATCTGCTGGGAGACGAACCGGAATAAAGTACAAGCGTTTGATTGCGAAAACCACCCTTATCCGATTCAAATATTCAAGTACAGCGACTCGGATTACTACAGCGTCAAGGAGCTCGACCAGGCGTCGGGCGCCTACAACGACGTCTTCGATTTGACGTGGTTCGACGGGCACATTAATGCGGCGGCGTTGTATGACGCGGGCGAGGACGGCCAGTTCGCGTTCGCGTCCATGGGCGGCGAGCTCTGTCGGTTTGACGCCTCGGACAAGGTATGCTTTGATACGGAATTACAACTAGGCGGCAAGCCGAACGTCGGCGCTATTATCGATACGACGTATTACTATGCGCGGTCGTTGGGCGACGGAAAATCCACGGGCCGAGCCATCTATACCGTGGACGGCCTGCAGCACGACGCGCCGACCTTCTACGACGATGTCTTGGTCGAATTCTCCGAGGACGTGATCTCGGGCAAGATCCTGGACTTTGCCGGCGTCAAGGAGGATGCGGGCGGCGTCTGTGTGACCACTGCATGTGATGGAAGGTACTTGTTAGGACTGGCGAAGGACTTTTCGCTGGTGCTCGTAAGGATCAACGGCGACTCGCACCTCCCGGAGGCTTATGCATACCTCCCGTCCTACGTCGACTGGTCCCTCGCGCAAGCGGCCTTCGGCGCGAACTTCACGGGTGTCACGGAAACGCAAGAGGGCTTCGGCGCCGCCTACGCCTACGAGATCAACGCCGTTAATTTGCGAGTCTTCTTCACGGCGAACGCCGGCGAAGGTCTGTTCGAGGTCGTCTTACCCATTGATGTGGATGCGCTGGACGGCTGCTGGAACGAGGGCACGGATAGATCAGAACACTCGGCGTGCGCCAGCGCCCCCGCCGGCACCAGTGTGGTGGTCTGGGCGGGCCCCTCGGACTCGACGTCGAGCAACGACGGCCTGAATTGCAAGGACGGCATGGGCCGGCCCACGCCCCAGCCGACGCACTCGCGCCCGCCGACCTCGTCGCAGCCCTCGCGCATGCCCACCCCCCAACCGTCCTACGAGCCCACGCCCAAGCCCTCGCCCCAGCCGACGCCCATGCCCACATCCTTCATGTACCCGCGCTGGGAGGACGATAGTGTCCAGCCCTGGGACTGTGCCGAACATAATTGGCCTTTACAAATCCTCAAGGAGGAGGGCGCGTCGTCCTACAGTCTGGAGGAGCTCGACACGACGACGGGCCTCTACAACAAGTTGTACGACATGCCGAACGACCCGAGCCACGTGAACGCGGCGGCCATGCATATTGGGGCTCAGGAGATTTACGACGACGACTTCCCGACGGTGTACACGATGATGGCCGCTATTGATGGACACTTATGCCGCTTCGATTCCAACACTAGTATTTGCTTCGAGACGGCGCTGGAGGAGAAGAAGCCCAATTCCGGCGCGATCCTCTCGAACACCTACTTCTACGGTAAAAGTATCGGCAAGTACGGCGGCGAGCGATTTTATTACGTGGAGGACATCAATACGGACACCCCCAAGTTCCACGACGACTACAAGTTCAAGGTCTCTAATTCTTTGTTTGCGGGCCAGATTCTGGACGTGTCCGCAGCCTTAGAAATCGGCGACGAGATTGTGGAAGATGGCCAGGCGGGCATGCAGTACCTCATAGGGATGGGGGGCAACTACGAGGTCTTCGTCGTGCGCATCGGCCCGACGGGCGAGCCCGAGGCCTATGCGGTGGTGCCGTCGGACGTCGTACCACCAGGCTCGGAAAGAGCCGTCCCGGGCCTCATCGAGGGCGTCGCCGGCGGGACGAACTACGGTAATATTGGCGTGGCGTGCTCGTCCCCACTCAACGAGTTCGTGGAGAATTTTGCGTTCGCGTCGGCGGACGACTGCTGGTCGTCCTGCGCGGCCGCGCACGGCGAGGCGCTCGTGGCCGTGACTTTTTATCCCGCGGACAACGGGTGCTACTGTCAAGATGATTGCACGTGCCTCGAAGCCTGCGACGACTGCGAGCTCGTCGCGCGCCAGGGCATGCAGCCGCCGGACAACTGCGCTTCCGGGGACGCGCAGTACTCGTACTCGTACGCCTGCGGCGAGGAGGAGAGCGCCGTCCTCGCCTGCATGTTCGACGCCCAGGCCTCGGGGACGGTCCTAGACGACGACTTTTACGTCGGCACCGACGACGATCCCACCGATGACGACGGCGTCGTCGTAGAGACGTGCGCCGACGTCCAGGGCGCGCCGTTCTTCGTCGAGTCCTGCGCGAGCGCGCCGGCCGTGTGCGGGGATTTGGTCCAGAGGCATACCGAGTGCCTTTACGAGCATCAGGCCGCCGAGGTCCTCGGCTTGAACTGCAGCCTCAACTGCTCGTCGACCCTCGCGCCGACGCCCGCGCCCGTAGCGGCGCCCGCGACGCCCGCTCCCGTCGCGGGGCCGGCGCCAGTCAACACTCCGACGCCCGCGCCCGTCGCGGGCGCGGCGCCCGCGACGCCCGCGCCGGTGCACACCGCGTTCACGGAGGGTGCCGGCACGTGCTACTACGGGCAGGTGGGGGTGGCGGAGGGCGCCGAGTGCGACGTCGACGAGGCGACCTGCGGGAGCGGGGGCGGCACGTGGTACGCGCCCGACTACATCGTGACGTCGCCCAACGGCGGCACGGGCTGCTGCCTGTGCGACGCCGGCTGCGACCATTCCTTGGAGGACGCGAGCGCGCCGCTTCGGCCGGAAGGCGGGTGCGACTACATCGACGCGGAGCGGCGCCGACGGCTGCAGCGCGCGCCGCCTCTACGGAGGCGCCTCGAGGACGCGACGACGGCGACGGCGGCGCCCACGGCCATGGCCGGGACGGCGCGCGCGGAGACGAGCTTCGGGGCCTCGTTCATGTACCGCAACGACTACGAGACGCGGCTCTTCTTCGCGTCGAACGACGGCGCGGGACTCTTCGAACTCATCCTGCCGGTCGTCGTGCCGGACGACTGCTGGAACGCCGACAAGGACTGGGAGGACCACGTCCAGTGCTCGTCCTCCGTCGCGGCGCTCGTGCGCCGCTCGGACGCGGCCGAGGCGGCGTCGAACGACGGCCTCAACTGCCCCCTGGGCGGCGGGCCGGCCATCTCGCGCTACTCGTCGGACGCGCCCACGATCACGCCCGTGCCCTCGTCGTCGCCCTACCCGACGACGGCGGCGCCGACCGCCTCGTTGGCGCCGACGACGCCTTCGCCGACCACGGCGCAGCCGACCCCACAGCCCTCCACGGCCGCGCCCTCGCTGGCCGGGAGCCGCGCGCCCACGACCGCGTATCCCACCGCGACGCCCACGACCCCGGCGCCCTCGGCGACGCCGACGCCCCGGCCCACGCCCATGCCCACGACCGCGACGCCGACGTCGTCGGCGACGACGCAGGGCCTGTTTGCTTTACAGCTCGTGGTGGACTACGGCGACCTGACCGAGGCCGACGGCGACGTGCTCTGCCAGGCCGTCCTCGCGTCGTTGGAACTCGCGGCGGGCACGGACTGCGAGCAGGTCACCTTCGAGCCCGTTTCCGGGCGACGGCGGCTCCAGGCGACGGGCTACGTCGTGACGATCGTCTTGGAGGCGACGTACCACCCGAGCAGCGAGGACGACATCTCGTCGCGGTTAGTCGGTCAGCTCCAAGACTCCTTAGGTGATGGTTCTTTTACAGCTGCTCTAGAGACCGCCGCGGCGGGCACTGATTCTAGTTTAGCTTCCCTGAGCTACGCCGACCTCGAGTCGGGCGTCCTCGTCGACGAGACCAATCAGATATTGGACGAGGCCCTAGCAGCGGACCCCGGCCAGGCTCTTGTGTTTACGTGGACGCCGACACCGAAACCGACGCTCACACGCAGCCCGACACCATCCCCCACAAAAGCCTCCGTACAATCGGCGCCGCCCACGTCATTGGCGGACTACCAGGCCTCGAAGGCGTCGGGCGGTGCATCGGCCGACGCCGCCGGCACGGACGCCGTGATCGGATCACTCATTGCGGTGATTTTCGTGGTCATGGTCGGCTACGCCGGCTTCCAGCACCACCGCCAGAAGCAGCTCGAGCAGGAGGAGAAGGAGGGCATCGAGGCGGGCCACTTCGAGGGCGACGAGGCGGACCCCGACTTCGCGTGTGAAGACGTGGACCCGGCGAAGGCCGTGCCGATTGATGACGTCGAGGCGCCCACGGAGGACGATAGCAGGTCCTTCAAGTCCTCGGAGGCCATGGACTCGGACGTCTTCTTCCACCAGCTCATGGAGCAGACGGCCCAGGCGTCGGAACTCGCGTCGCTGCCCGAAGGGTCGGCCTTCGAACCCTCCGTGGTCGCGTCGGAGGTCGGCGACGACGAGTGGGACGCGATGCTCAACGACGTGGACGACGAGGAGAGCACGGAGACCTGGAATGAAGATTTAGCTTCGACGCTACTGTTCAAGCTGGCCCAGGGGGATTGTGAGGAGGGCTTTGCGACGCGAGACCGGCTGGCGCAAGCTCTCCAAGAGCGGCCCGACTTACTGGACATGCTGGGGATCATGGGTATTTCCGGGGACGAGATCGAGTTCTTCCTCGAGACCATCGAGTCTGACGGCGACGTCGTGTCGCGGTCGCAGTTCTTGCGGGTCCTCGAGAGGTGGCGCAAGTCGGACACGCACTCCGATTCTGGTACTGTCTCGTCCAAGGGCTTGGCCGATTTACCGCCGCCGGCGCCCCCGCCGAGGAAGATGCAGCCGCCCGCGCACCCGCCGCCGCCGGGGCCGCCGACGCCCGCCGGCCCCGTCGTCGACGACGACGCGGCGTCGTCGGCGACGGGCCCCGACGTCGCGTCGCGCCTCTTCCCGCCGGCGTCTCCGGAAAACGCGCAGGAGGCCGAGCCCCTGGATTCCGAGGACGCGGAGCTGGCGAAGCTCGCGGCGATGGACGCCCGTTTTGCGCCGCCCGCGCCGGCCCTCCCCGCGCGGCCGGCGGACGCCGACGGAGGCGAGGCGCCACCGCCGGGCGACGACGACGACGACGAAGCCCCGCCGCCCGGCGACGACGACGAGGACGAGGCGCCGCCGCCCGACGACGACGACGACGAGGCGGAGCCGCCGCCGGCGGGCCCGGGCGGCGCGCCGTTCTCGCCGGACATGAGCTTGCTCCAGTTCACGCGGCGGCGGCGCAGCGCCATCCTCGCGCCCGGGCGGCGCCCACCGCCGCCGCCGCCGGCGCGCGGCGCGTGGTCGCCGAGCGCCCTCTTCCGGCCGCCGTCGCCGGACAATCTCGTGGCGCCGGCGTACGAGCGCTTCCGGCGGGCCCGTGACAATTCACCTAGCGACGCGTCCCCTTCCCCCAAATAGTTAATCTATGATGTCGCTATTACCCGGGCTACTTTTGCATCTTCGCCTCGACCAAGAAGGCCTCGGCGATCGCCTCCCCCGCCTCGCCGTGTCTCGACGCCGGAAGTTGCTTGACCATGTTCTTCGCCAAAGTCTTGGCGTCCTTGAGGAGTAGCGCCTCGCGCTGCCCCGCGATCGGCACGAGAACGTTGCGGAATATGACGTCCGCTCCATTAAACATGGGAAGCATAAGATAGAGCGTACTCGCCAGCGAGGCGGTGTAGAGGCCCAGCGGCGCGCCGGCCGTGCGTTCGACCAAGGTCATCACGAGAGTCACTATCGAGAAGCACGACCAGTACGTCAGCCACTTGTCCTCGGCAACAGTATCCCCCGTAGAGGCGGCGACCATCGTGGCCGCCACTGGATACGCCGTCCCGACGCCAACGACGGCGAGGCGCTTCAGTGCGGCAGGAAACATTGTGAAAACGCCAGCAAAGAACCAAATGTGTCCTGCATTGACCGCGCCCAGAACAAGAGTCGCGAGCCAGCCCTCGGCGGCTCGGACCGTTGGCTCGATCAGCGGTGTGATGTAGCGTTTGGTCACCTGATCATTCACCACGGCCGCGCCATCCGTCATCGGAAGAATCAGCCACAGTACAGAGTAGAACTGGAATTCGTAGAAGTGGTTTACAAAACCGGGGCCGAACCGTTCTAGGAATCGCCCGGCGTCCTGCGAAATCACGCTCAAGCACCCGTGCAGGATCCAATACTGAAGCCAGGCGTGCTCCGACGCAGTACTCGTGCTCGCGGCGGCCTTGATGCTTTCGACCAATGGGAACACCGTGCCCAACAGGACCACGCCGGCGGGGCTGAAGACGGCATTTTTTAATCCCTCAGGCATGACGGCAAGAACGAGAAAGCAGTGTGCTACGTAGCCCAAATGAAACAGCACCGCCGCCGCCGCTTCCGGCACGCCAAACGCGGATAAAAAGCTTACAATCTGCGCGGGCGCGCGGCCGCCCGAGCGCGGGAGTTTTTCTACAAGGTAGACCGTCATCCCGGCGAGGAGGGCGGCGCCACCATAGGCTGCCACCTGACCGGGGGTCACGAGGGGCTTTTCTTCGCCGCCGCCTCGGACCGCGAGCGCGCGAAAGAAGAACCGGCTGTCGTCTATTGCCGTCGAGAAGTAACGGTGCGCGAAACCGACGTCCTCGGTCGCCACCTGCTTTTTGGTCGATGCCGCGGGCTCTTTTTTGACTTTTGACGCCTTCGGGACATCGACGCGAGTGCGCCGGCGGGGCGTAATAGCGACGGCGGATGGCGCGAGCAGGAGGGCAGAGATTAGAAATTTTGTATTCATGATCTCAGCTTTGAAGACAACGCGCGACGCTCGCAATTCGCACAGTCAGTGAGGGAGTTTTGAGAGACAATTTAAGCTACGCCGCCGCCCGATACGAAGCGAAACGAGAGACGGGTTCTAAAACCTGTTTTGGCTATCGGTACCTTACTGTACACCTATCGTACTACCTCGAGAGTACTAAATAAAATTAGGGAAGGCCCAATATTATGGCAATAAATAATGGACATCCTCCTGGGCTTACTTAAATTATAGCCGTAAGGGTCTACTAGGAGGGATATAGCACCTACATATCTATCAAGTAACCGCGACCAAACACTACCCTCGCTCAAACTTATACCCTACACAGCGCGTCGACCGGCGCACCGCCAGCGAGCCCCGCGGCGACGACGGCAGCGACCCCACCCCCAACAGCGGTCGCGGCGGCAGCGTTCGCGTTACCACTTCCACTTCCAGAGAACATCGACGGCGGCAGCTCGACGTCGTCGTCGTGGTGCTGGTCGCCCATCTCGTGGTGGGCCACGATCGCATCCAAATGATGGATGCACAGGTGCTCGTTGCCTTCGTCGCCGACCATGCGCGCGTCCTCCGCGCCGTCCGGCGCTTCGGCTATCTTTACGAAAAAAGGTTCCTTGTGCACCGACGACGACTTGTCCTTCACCTCGTCGCGCAATAACCCGATGTGCTCCTTCATGGACTTGGCCTTGCGCAGCGCGTGGCCTCTCGCTTGCCGCTTCTCGACATTATATTTACCGATGGCGGTCCATCTACAAATTTTGACGTTATCAACATAAGGATTGAACTGCTGGCCGAGCGTCATCAAAGGAAAGTACGCGTACTTGTTGAACTGGCCCATAATAAAAAACTCCCAGAAACACAAATATTCTTTATTCATCCGATCGAAGGCCGTCCAGGCCGCCACCGCGTTCACCAGTATAAAGTACGCCGCGATGATTTGGGAAGAGTAGAAGCCGCACTTGACGACCTTGTGCCACCGCTCCTCCATCGGGTCCCGCTGGTTCTCAAACACGTAGCAGGGGCACACGAACAAGTGGAACATCATCTGATTCAGGATCAAACACGGCACGGTGACGACGCCGACCGTAATACCATACTCGATGAGCCGCTCCTTGAGGTACGCCCCCTCGGCGTCGCAGCGCGGCCGGCCACCTATAGCTCTCCTAGTAAGCACGAAGGACTCCGCCACCGCATAAACCATGTAACTTAGGACAACAAACTCCTTCAGGATCAGCTGGCACGTCGTACACGGGTAGTCCGGGTCCCGCAGAAAGAATTGGAGGAGAGGATGGTTGTTGCACAAATGGTAGTAGTAGTCCTGCTTGTAGCCGCGGCCCCAGAAGCACCGGCCCGTCGTCAGACCTTTGCATTTGAGATATCTTATTCGTTCATGGGCGAGTTTTTGGATAAAATGGCGCCACTCGTTCTCCTCAATGAGGCCATCCCCATCTTCATCTAATTCTGCAAACAGTTCTCTGAATTTTACAGGATCCTCCATGCTCCTCATGAGAGATACAAGTACAAAATTCCTAGTAGAACGGAGCAACCGTCGCACATACGGCGACTCGCCGGCCTGCAGCAGCTCCTCGACGTCGACGCGGCCGTCTCGATTTTTATCCAAGTAAGCAAAGACGTTCATGGTTTCCTCCACATTGACCACGGACGTAGCCGACGTACACAACGCCGCCGTGTGCGCGTTCCAGGACGCGTCCCCGAACGTCTCGCCCGCCTCCCACTTGCGCCGCTTGTTCGCCCATTGGCTCACCTGCTTCATCATATTTTTTGGGAGAAAACGGTCATGCCATTTCCCGTGCGTCTCGTGCTCGCCCGTGCCCTCGTCGGCCTCCAGCACGTGGATGGCCTCGGTCTGCACCCTTAACTCCTCCTGCTCGCGCTTCTCCATCTCTCGTAGTAAACTCGAGCTCGACTTCTTGTCCCGGACGCTGTGCGCGGGGTCGCGGAAGCTCACGGTGCGCGTGCTTGTGAGTGATGGCGCCTCGTCGTCGAAGTGGTCCTTGGACTCGATGGGGTGGCTCAGGTTGCGCGGCGTCGACGGGTCGGCGAGCATGCGCCGCTCCGTGTCGTCTCCTTGTTCATCGAAGCTGCCCTGCCGTTCGAGCGGGGGCTGCCCATCGTTATTCTCCTCCTTCGGGGCGCTGCCGCCGGCGCCCATGTTGCTGCTGCCCTATTTCTTGCTGCCGCAGCGGCGCCGGGAGATAAAAATTGTGCTGTTGCGAGACAGCGGCGTGGGGAAGAGCGCGCTCGCGCAGCGATATGTGCGCGCGGCTGCCCGTCGTCGCGTAATCGATGTATTCTCACACAGCGACACCAATCGCAGCGGCTTTTGGCACCTGCTGCTCTGTGCTGCTATGACGCGTCCATGGGCGTCGCGAGGCGTCCTCTGAGGCGGGAGGGGTCGGTTTCGCTAAAAAAATAAATTCGTCGGGTCCGCTAAAAATCGCAATTCCTTCGCGCGCAGATCAGTCTCTCTGTGGACAGCACTGCGCGCCGCTGCGTCTTAAAACTGAGCTCAAGCACGCGTGAGACTCCAACCTGACAGCCCTGTTGCTGTGAACCTCGAGAAAACCGCGCGCGGTGCCGCAGCGGGGAATCTAGAGAGCAGAAACGCGGGGTCACTGGTCCACCGACGCCGCGGCGGCCCCCGCGGCCTCACACATCGTCTCCGAGAATCCAAACCAGCGCTGGCCACCACAAGACGCGCGAGAGCAGTAACGCGGGTCCCGGATCCCACGCCGCCGACGCGATCCCGCGGCCCTCACACAACCAGCGCAGGTCACCGAGTCACACCCAATAAACGATGGGCCGCGGCGAGACCATCGCCCGCTGCCTCGAGTCCTGCGCCGTCGACGCGGCGACGGCCTTCGCGTCCTGCGGCGACCTGGCCGAGGAGTTTAAAGTGATAAGAAGGGCCTACCACCGCAAGGTACTCGCGACGCACCCGGACAAGGGCGGCGACGCGCAAGAATTTAGAGACGTCCAGTCGGCCTTCGAGGTGCTCCGCGAGTTTTACGACAGAGGTCGCGTCATCACCTTCCGTTCGGAGGAGAACAACCAGACGTCTACCTCTGATGTATTCCAGAATGCGGCGGACTACTTCGCGGCCAAGGAAGCTCGAGGTGACACGCAGTCCTACGACTACTACGCCGAAGCGGCGGAAGAAGATGTCCCTACTTATAGGGTCGAGCCGGCCAAGAGTGATAGAAGCACGTGCACGGCGAAGCACAAGGCCTCTTGCGGCGAGCAGAAAATCCCCAAGGGCGCGCTGCGCGTCGGCCAGATCAACCTCGAGGCCGGGAGCTATACGCGCTGGGTCCGCCTCGGTTGCTGGCGCATCCCGGCGAAGATCTGGGAAGGTTTACCTGATCCTGCTTTAGGGAGGGAGTGCGTCGAGGACGCGTTGCGGCGCATGAACCGCGTGCTCCTGTGCGGCATGGAGGAGCTGTCCGAATCCGATTTGACGGAGTTCGTGGCCTACTGCATGGACAAGTCCCACTGGGCCCGCAAGCAGACGCGCAAGCCGAAGCCGGTGGACCCCTTTGCTGCTAAATATGCGCCGCCGCCCCCTCCGAAAGTCGAGGCGGCGCCGTCCACAGCCTTGGCGCTGCCGGACGCGCCCGGCGCCGGGCCGATCGCGCCCAAGCGCCCGGGCGGCGCCTTCGTGATCCCGAAGCCTGGTATTAGTGGCGTGGAGGGCTGCATGGCCGGCCTGACCTGCGTGTCCACGGGCATCTTTCCTGAAGTGGGAGGCGGTTCGGGATTAAATCTAGGCAAGGACCGTGTGAAAGCTATGGTCCAAGCGTTCGGCGGCCGCGTTACTGGTAGTGTGAGCGGCAAGACCAACATATTAATAGTGGGCAAGCAGCCGGGCATGTCCAAAGTCAGCAAAGCTCGCGCGAACCCGAAGATTACATTGATGTCGATCCATGACTTGAAGACGGGCATCGAAAATGGTGATGTCTTAGCAGCCTCGCAGCCGGTCCAGATCACGGAGTTCTCGTCTGGTTTTAGGGGCAACGGCCTGGCTTTACTCGCCTCGGAGGAGGAATTGAGAGAGGCCTCGGGCATGGACCAGGCTCCCTCCGTGCCGGCTCTGCCGGACGCGCCCGGCGCCGGCGGGTCGCAAGAATTGGCCTTCCCCGCGCCGGCCTCCATCGCTAGTCTCCAGACGAACGCTATTTGTGCCCCTCGCCCCAGAAACACGGCCGTCGTGCACGGCGATTATGATGAAATTGAAGAACAGTGTGCGAAAGCAGCCGGCGGCTCGCCGGCGGAAGTCGTCGCCTGGGCGGCCTACGGGAGGTTGCGCGTGCCCGAGTTGGGGGAAGTGCTTGCCATGAACGGCCAAACCAAAGCGGGCAACAAGGCCTTCGTGCAGCGGAAGGTCATCGATGGGGCGGCGCGCGGCGCGCCGGCCATTTGTGATTTATGTGGGAAGGGCAAGCCCAAGCCCGTCGAAGATGAATTGGGCAAGTGGTTCTGCAACGGTTATTATGACGAGCGGTCCTTATCTTATGTTCGGTGCCCCCAGACCTGGACGGACGCGACGCTCCCGAGAAAGCAGTGGATCGACACGGCGCGCGGGTTTGGCGGCCGGGCGAACCCGCCCTCCGTTCCCTTGCCGTCGTCCTTCACGCAGGAGGCCGTCGACGCCTTCCACGCGCAAGCTAGAGAGCGGCCGACGCCGGCGCCCCTCGACGAGGAGATGGAGGAGGCGAAGCCCAAGCCTAAGAAGACGAAAAGAGCTACGCCGAAAGCGAAGCGGCCGGCGACGCCCGAGCCCGAGCCGACGCCCGAGGTGCCCCCGCCCGAAGAGGAGGAGGAGCCCGCCGACGAGGAGATGGAGGAGGCGCCGCCGCCGCCGAAGCGCGCGGCGCGCGGCAAGAAGGGCAAGAAGCCCGTGCGTCGCGGCGTCCCAGGGATTTTCGTTGACTCCTCACTTGACTCCTCGATTGCGAGGAGACACTCCATCGCCGCGGCGTCGTCTCGATGCCTGATCCGCGCAGGCGGCGAACTCAGCCAAGAAGCCGGCCGCGAAGAAGCCGGCCGCGAAGAAAGCCAAGAAGGCCAAGAAGGAGGTGCTCGCCATCGAGGCGGCGCCCGCGCCCGAGGGCGTGCGCCGCTCCACGCGCGTGCGCAAGGCCGTGAAGCGCTGAGCTGTGATGACTCTTCCCTCTTCCCCTGGCGAGCCGACGAAGCGGCGCGCCCACCTCTCCCCCTCCTGTGATAACCTGAGAAATATATACTTCAGCGTTACGTCTGGCCATTGTGTTCAGGCGCGCTTGGCCTTACTTATATCTGAGAAGACACACGTGTGGGACGTGGCGAATCGCTCGTGGCTTTTGCCATTCATCGCGGAGAAGGCGACGGGCGCCGAACGCGACATTTTATTGACATTGATACGACACGCGAGCGCGCACCAACCCGAACATCGACCTTCCTTCGCTGAGATGGTGGACCATCTTGATCGGTTCGAGCACCAAAAACGGGGGAATTAACATTACTACACATTTACCTTAGAAAGCGCACATCGATGCGCCGCTTCTCCGCCCACTCGCGGACCTCCTGGCGAGTCTTCGGAGGAACCTCGGCGTCGACGTCAACTTGGTACGCGCGCGCCGCCGGGGCGCCGTTCCCGCGCCAGCACGCCCGCTCCCGCAGCGTCGTGGACCCCGCGCACCCGGCGGGCAGCAAGTCCGCGACGCACCGGAGCGCGTCGAGCGGTTCGGGAACGAGGCCCTTGCGCGTCGCTGGCGCGCGCCACTGGACCAGCGCCTCGGGCAGCACGAAGTCCGCGTCGTTCACGCGCCGTTCGAGTTCGTCGAGCACGTCGTCCGCGGTCGCGTCCTCGACGACGGCGATGGTCTCCGTCGTCCGTAAGTAGGCGCTCCGCGAGAAGAAGTGGACCTCGAGGACTTTTCCGTCGTAGGCGCAATCCATCTGGTGATCGACGCGGCCGTGCGCGTCCACGTTCGACCGCAGCAGGGCGTCGCCGCGGCGCAGCACGCACCGCGCGCCGATCTTGGTGGCGACAGCACCCTCGGCGTCGACGTCGTCGACGTCGACGACGCGTCCGGCGCCGAGCCGCGGGAAGGTGCACGCGACGTCGCCGTGCACCGCGACGGCGAGCGTCGCGCGGCGCGAGAGCAGGCCGTCGGGGCCCAGCGTTGCCGGGTTGCGCGCCGGGCCGGCCGCCGCGTCGACGACTTCGACGGCGTCTGCCGGGCACGCGTCGACGAGCGTCCGGGCGCGCTCGGCGATCGCGGCGTGATCACGACCTTGTTCGCGGCGCGCACCTTGGCCTTGACCTTGGGGCACCCGAGGAACTCCACGGGATGCTGCGTCGTGATCTTCTGATGTAAGCCAGGAGCGGAAGAGCGTCGCGCAGCCGGGGGCCGGCGGCTCGCCCGAGACGGCGACGGCACGCGGCGGCAGCGGCAGCGACGCCGTGTCCGTGCGCTCGACGGCGAAGGCGGCGCCCGCGGCTCTAAGATACTCGACCGTCGCCCGACGAATGGAAGCCGGCAGGGCCGCCCAGGGCCGCGGCGGCGGCGCGGGCGCGCGGACGACGCGTTCCGCCGTCGCGCCGTCCGCGAGCTCGAGCGTGTGCGGCCCGACTTCGGCGGGCCGCGCCGCGACGCGGCCGCCGTCGACGTAGGCGTCCACGGCCGTCGTGGGCCCCCGCAGCACGCCGCCGCTCGAAAACCCGTCGAAGAACTCGAGGGGGAACTCCATCACATCAACTGCACCATCGCCGCGGACCTCAAGCTTCAAGACGTCCCCATCCCTCAAACACTCGCCGACCTCAGCCAGTAAACCGAGCTCGACGCGGGTCTGCGCCGCGCCGTCGAGTCGGAAGACGCGGAAGGCTTTTGAGGCTTTGAGGTAGGCCCTCCCTAAATCGCAGACGTTCCTTCTCAACCAGGGCCCCGCGAGCGTGAAGCGCTTGGCGTTGAGCGTGATTCGCAAGGGCGCCGTGCGCTTGTCCCGCGTCGGGCCCCAGCTCCGCCGCTCGATGACCACGTCCTCGGGGACCTCGACGGCGTCGAAGCGGCTGTAATCGACGGTCGTGTGGTCGCAGCTGCGCAGGGCCGCTTCCGTCGTGGCCCGGTCCGGTTTGCTTCTTGCCTTCTCGGTCTCGCGCTGGTCGTCGTCAATGCTTGTCATGCTTCGGTCGCGGGCTGGTCGTCGTCAATGCTTGTCATGCTTCGGTCGCGGGCTGGTCGTCGTCAATGCTTGTCAAACTTCGGTCGCGGGCTGGTCGTCGTCGATGCTGGACAACATGCTTGGGTGTGTTATGGATGCACTTGGGCGGCGGCTTGGGTCCGGCGCGGCATCGGTCGCTTCAGCGTGCTCCGTAACAACGGATTGGGCAGCCCTGCGGGCGGGCACGGCGCCGGGCAGGCGCTGCTGCTTTGGATTCCCTAGTGTCTTAACTTTAAGTAAAGCTAGACACGCGGGATTTCAGACACGCGGATTTCCTGCGCGGGAGCCCTGGAAGCCGCGCCCCGGGGAGCGGTACCACAAAACCCGATCTTCGTATATCAACACATACTTAGCGCACGCCCGTCTCATTTCTGGTCGAAGCCCTCGGCTTCGATGGCCAGGCGCAGCTTGTCCTTGAGCACGTCCTTGGTCGTGTACGGCGGACAGTGGAGCTGGTAGTAGCACGTCGACGTCGTCGGCAGGCGGTTGGTCTCCAAAACCTTGCCGTCGACGAGCAGCTGAAACGGCTTCGCCTCGCCCGGCCGCGTCGCCGGGATCGCCGCCAGGCCCGACACAAACTTGAAGAACTTGAGGCGCTCCGCGTCGCAGAACTCGGAGAGCACGGTTTTCAGATGGCGCATCGTCGGATCGTCCTCCGTGTATAATCCAAATTCGCCCGAGGGGTGATCGTAATCGATAAACGTCTGGCTGTAGGCCTCCTCGTCGAAGGTAAAGAGGCTCCAGAGCTTCTCCGCATCTAGCTTGTCGTCCCCGCATATGAGGTGCACGAGTTCCTTCGACGACGGGAAGAGCGTCCGTGTTAGCTGCGGGACCATTTCCACCGTCGCGAAGCCCCGCCGCATCGCCTCCAGCGCCTTGCGGCGCGGCTCGATCAACCGGCGCTGGACGAGGCGCTCAAACACTAATATGCGGAAGGCCGGCTCGTCGCTCCAGGGCATCGCCAGAATCTGCGCGTCTGAAGCCGCAGCTCGGTCCTCCGTCGAGTTGTAGCACAGCGCGTCGCCGACGGTGGTAAACACATCGTTAAGGGACTGTTCGGCGTTCAGAATCCACTTGCCGATGCTCGAAGCATTGTCCTCGTCCATGAGGAGTAGTTCTTCGAGGAGCGCGGCCTTCGAGAGCGGGCCCCGCACCATGGCGCCGTTCGCGTCGAGCGCGGCCGGCTCGACGCCTTGGAAGAACCGCAGCACGATCGTCGACGCCAGCGCGTTCGGGATCGGCCGCCCGTCGACGACCGCTCGACACATGATGCGCCCGACGGTCTCGAAGTCCTTCTCGATACGCGCGGCGTCCGGCAGCGCGGTCCACGTCGCGTCCTTCGTCGGCAGCGCGCGCGCGCAGAGCTCACCCGCGCTCTCGGAGGCTTCGAAGAGGTCGGGGCGCAACAGCAGCAGCTGTTCGAAGAACTTCTCGTACATTTCGTTCCGCAGGCCGCCGTCGTCGACGCCCGCCTCTTTCCCTTTTTCGCTGGACTTGCCCGACCGCTGCACCGCCCCACAGCGGTCAAACTCGACGCGGATCGGTCGCATAAACATCTGATCTGCTGTCCATTCCCGAGTAGCAGTGGCCGGCCCGAACATCGTCATCACGTTCTCGACGAGCGTGTCCCGCCCGACCTCGACTTTTCGGTAGATCTTATCCCAGATGCTCAGGGCGTCCTTCTCGCCGAGCGCCGTCCGCATCGTCGCGATCGCCGACCGGAACGCCTGGACGCGGTCGCCGAGCGTGGCAACGTCGTCGTCCTCGTCCGCGCCGAGCAAGACCTGGGCGTTGGCCCGCGTCCTCGCTAAATCCGCGTCCCTGGCATCTTCCTTGGCTTTCAGCTCTTCGAGGTCCGCGCGCAGCCGGTCGCGCTCCCGCTCGGCGGCGCTCTTGTTCGCGTCCGCCATGCTGGCCCGGGCCTCGGCCTCGCGGCGGCGCGCTTCGTCGCTGCGTCGTCTGAGCTCGGCCTCGCGCTCCAGATGCTCGTTCTGCGCGCTCTGTTGTCGCTCGCGCCGGAGCTGGTCCTCGAGGCCCGCGATGCGCTCGTTCGCCGCGTCGGTCTCCTCCTGGGAGTTGAAGAGCGCCAACTTAGACTCAGCGAGCTGCTTGCTAATTTTCTCCGTTCGCTCCTCCGCCTTTGCCGTCGCCTCGCGCTGACGCGAGCGTTCGGCCTGTGCCCGGGCCAGCGCCGACGCGTCCGCGATCGCAGCTCGTCGCGGTATTGCAGGGGCCGCGCGGGGCCCGCCGCGCCCAAACATTTGGTAGCGCGCCTCCATCAGGTCCGGGAAATCTCTTGTAAGCTCCGTCCCCATGTCGTTGGGCAGCACGTCCCAGCCTCCCGCCTGGAGAGGCGTTTTAAGGGCGATGCGCTCCGCAAGCGCCCGCCTGCGTGAGCAACGCCTCAGCCATGCGAGCGACGCGACTCTCAAAAGCGAAGGCACCACTAGCAATCGACGCCGTGAACGAACAGGAGAACTTTGTGATAGTGCTCGCCCGACAAAACACCTCGGCTCCGACAGTGGGAGTAGAGTGCCTTGACGGATTTAAGTTTCCAGCCCTTGTCGTTGCAGTCCTCTTCTCTCGTCGCCTCTGGAAAATGATGACTCTGACCACACCGTCTACTAATTGGGCACCTGGGGTTTGCTTCGGTGCAGCACGTGCCTTTGGTTACAAACTCGCGCAGGACGTCCTCAGCATTCTTGGGCGCCGCCGCAGGTGCTACGGGCACCGGCGCTGCCGACACGGCCCAGCCTCCTTGGGACGGCGCGGCCGGCGCGCCCCAGCCCGTTTGCGCCGGTTCCGGTGGTTGAGCGCCCCAGCCCGTTTGCGCCTGCTGCGGTGGACCCCAGCCGCCTGTCCTTGGCGGTGGAGCACCCCAGCCCCCTGTAGCGTCCTCGGGCCGCGAGCGCGGCGGTGCTCGCTCGCGACTCCTCGGCCGCGAGCGCGACCGTCGCCGCCGGCGCGAGCGTGAGGACGAGCGCGACCGCCGCCGTTTGCGCCTATCGTCACGCGAGCTCGACATACCGCCGTATGGTCTCCGGTCCATGAGTAGTCTTGACGTCTCACACGCGTCTCACACTCTTCGGCAGTTGTCGCACGGTCTGCGTTTCGCTGCGCAGCGTCACAAATGCTCCCAACTAGCGCGGAAGCACAGCTGTACGCAGGCTCCGCAAAAAGTGCAGAGCACTCGCGCTAGCGTCTGTAGAGACACTAGCATCACTGGCAGCTCTCAAGCAAAAGCTGAAAAAGAAGAGGCACAAACTCACGCGCACGCGCGTAGCTTCATTATTCGTGGCATACGTAACCCTGCCTGCTCGGCTCCAATCGCTTTTGCACGCGTTCCTACTCCAAAGCAAATACAAGCAGTAGCAGAGGCTGCAGAGCGCTGCTCAGCGGCAGAGCGAACCACGATTCGTGCACTACTCGTCATTGGTGCGGCACGCGTCGCCGCGATGCGGCTGGCCTCCCGCGACGTCAAAGGGGTCGCAGCGTACCTGGCGAGCGATGCATGCCAGAAAGTCGTCGTATTGACGGGCGCTGGCGTGAGCTGCGCCGCTGGCATTCCGGACTTTCGGTCGCCAGGAGGAATGTACGACACTTTACGACCTGAATTGATCACGGCGACGCCGCAGGAGCGCGCGGCCATGGCACGGGACCCGACGGCGGTCGTCCTGAAGGACATGTTTCTGCAAAACCAGTTCCCGTACCACGAAGTCCGGCGCCCTTTTATTTTGGGCACTCAGCGGCAACAGTGGAAGGCCACGCTGTTCCACCGGTTCCTGGAGGTGATTGACGCGAAGGGCAAGCTCCTCAGACTCGTGACGCAGAACATCGACGGCCTGGATTTTCAGACGAGTATCGATCCCGCCAAGATCTGTGCGTGCCACGGGAGCGTCGGCCGCGCGGCCTGCGAGGGCTGCGGCGCGCCCATAGACTTCGACGATTTTTGTCAGAGGGTGCGAACTTCGATCAAGGATATCTACGGCGTCGACGCCGACGCGCCGGCCGAATCGTCGGAGATGCTCTGTGATTCATGTCAACGACCGCTCCTCAAGCCTACTACCGTGTTGTTTGGCGCGTCGCTGCCGCAGTCGTTCTTCGAAGTGCTAGAGAACGACCTGCCGGCCGCGGACCTCGTACTAGTTGCCGGCACGTCGCTGGTCGTCTCGCCCGCGAATCTGATTGCTCTGGCCGCGCCGGACAGCGCGCCGCGAATCATATGTGACCGGAACGACGTCGCCTCCGGCGTGGGCATCGACTGCTCGTCACATGCGCGCGAGGACGTCTGGCTGCAGGGGGACGCCGACGACGTGGCCGCGGACCTCGCGACGGCGTGTGGATGGCTCGACGACCTCGCCGCGTTCGAGGACGCGCTCCCCGAGGCGAGCCGGGCAACCTTGGACAGGGTAAGATAACTAAATGCTTACAGGCTGGAGCGCTTCGCGCAGCGCCGACCCGACCGCCCGCGCCGCGTCCTCCATCATGTCCGCGGCCGGGAGGACTCCCGGCGCCGCGACGTGCAGGCGCAGGCCCGCGGCCCGCGCGAAGCTGCCGAAGAGGCGCTCGACGTGCTCCGCCGCGAAGGACTCGTCGACGTACTCGTCAGCCACGCGCACGTCCCACGTTAACGAGCCCTCGGAACTCCGGGCGACGCAGGCCGTGACAGCGCCGCTCGCGCCCGCGCCGTCGCCCGCGACCGTCCCCATGGCGGCCGCCACGGCCGCGCCGACGGCGGCCCCGACGTCCGTTGATAGGGCGCGCCCGTCGCCGTCGCGGTCGGCGGCGCGGACCTGCAGGCGCCAGCCCGCGACGTCGGCGAGCGTCTTCAGCAACGCGTCGACGGCCGCCACACCCGTCGCCACCTCGGATGTCTCGTCGGCCTGGTCGAGGTCGATGGTGCAGGCCGCCGCCGCGCCCGTGCGCGGGCCGCAACTGATACTCTCGCCCGGCCGCGCAACCCTCAATAAGCGCCCGCACGCCGCGAAGGCGGCCTCGAGGCAGTCGCGCGCGTCGCCCGTGCGCTGCGACGCGAGGCGCAGGCCCCTCCCTAAATGGAGGCCCAGGGCCTCGAAGAAGAGGGGCGTCAGGCACGTCCGATACGTGCCGACCCGCAGCCGCCCGCCGCGGGGCGCGCGCCCGTAGGGCGCCGCGTCGCAGACGACCGCGCCCGCGCCCCCCTCGAGCGTTGCCGCCACGACGGCGCCGCCCCGCACGACCGTGACCTTGGCCTGGCCGAGCTCGCGGAAGGCCGCGCGGCACGCGGCGCCGATTGCCGCCCCAGCACAAGAGAAGAGCGCCGAGTCGTGCGGCCGCGATGCCGTAGAATAGTCTACATTGAATTGCTGGCGCTGGCCGCCGATCGTCGTTTCTAGCGAGAGGGTCGCGTCGGCGGCGTTGGCGAGGACCGCGACGAGCGCGTCCAAGAGCGGCAGGCCCGTCGCTGATGATGACGGCGCTTGGACGACGCACGTGCACGCGACGGCCCCGCAGCGCGCCGTGGCCGTAGTACCGTCGACGGTGACTTCCAGCGCCGTCGACGCGGGCGGCGTTGATGGGGAGGGTGGTGCTGGCATCGGCGGCGCGGGCGGCGGCTCGAAGGCTTCGGCGGCTGCCGGCGACGCCTCCGCGCCGAAGGACGCGGGCGACCCGAAAACAGGGGCGGCCGGCGGCGACTCGTAAAACGTCGACGGCACGCCACCGAACATGGCCGCGGCCGCCGGCGGGAAGTCCTCGGGCGGCGGCACGTGGCCGTTGACGCCCGGCCCGTCGTTAGACGCTTGCTGCTCCGGTGGCGCGCCGAACATGGCCGCCGCGTCCTGAGGGGCGTCGAACGCCGCCGCCGCGGATGGTTGCTCCGGCGGCGCGCCGAACGCCGCGGATGCGTCAGGTGGTGGTGCGCCAAAGGCCCCGGGCTGGGTCTCCGTTCCGAAGGGGGCGGAGGCGAATTGCGCAGCGGCATCGGTAGGCGGTGCGCCGAACGCCGCGGCCGCAGGTTGCTCTTCGGGCGCCGCGCCGAAAGCCGCGGCCGCATCGGGCGGCGGGGCGCCGAACGCGGGTTGCTGCTCGGGCGGCGCCCCAAACGCCGCGGTCGCGTCGCCCGGCGGCGGCGCGCCGAACATGGACGCCGCCGCCGGCTCCTCCAGCGCCGGCGCGAACGCCGCGGCGGCGTCGGGCGGCGGCCCTCCGAACGCCACGCTGGCGTCGGGCGGGGCGCCGAACGCGGCCGCCGCCGGCTGCTCCTCGGCCGGCGCGAAGGTGAATTCCGTCTGGAGCTCCGCGGGCAGCTCCTCCGGCGCGCCGAAGGCCTCCGCGGCGGCGGTCGGCGGCGCGTCGAACGCGGCCGCGGCGTCGGTCGGCGGTGCGCCGAACGCCTGCTCCTCCGGGGCGGCGCCGAAGGCGGCCGCGGCGTCGGTCGGCGGGGGCCCGAACGCGGCCGCGGCCGGCTCTTCGGGCGCCGGCGGGAACGCGGCGTCGGCCGGAGGCGCGTCAAACGCACCAGCTGCCTCCGGCGGCGCGCCGAACGCAGCCGCGGCGTCGGGAGGTGGCGCGCCAAACGCCGCGGAGGCGTCAGGCGGCGGCGCGCCGAACGCAGCCGCGGCCGCGTCCTGAGGGGCGGCAAACGCCGCCGCCGCGGACTGTTCCTCCGGCGCCGGCGCAAACGCGGCGGCCGCGTCGGGCGGCGGCGCGCCAAAGGCGGTGTCCCCGGGCTGCTCCGCCGCCGGCGCGAAGGTGAACTCCGTCTGCAGCTCCACGGGCTGGTCCTCAGGTGCCGGGGCGAACGCCGCGGCGGCCTCGGGTGGTGGCGCTCCGAACGCCCCAGCGGCGTCGGTAGGCGGCGCGCCGAACGCCGCCGCGGCGTCAGCAGGCGGCTGAATCCCGGCCATCGACGCCGCCCGATGCGCTTCCGCGTCCCGAGCAGCAGTAAACGCATCAGCGGCCGCTAGAGGCGCCACGTCACCTCCAAATAGCTCACCGGTGGCGACGCGGCCCGGCGGCTGCCCCGAAAAGGCCTCCTCTTCCACGATCGCGTCGAACATTTCCGCGACGGCCTTCTCTTCCGGCTGCGCCCCGAACAGCTTCTCGGCGGACTCCGCCTCTTCTACTGCATTCGTCACGGGCGCCGGCGTCCAGCTCTGAGACGGACTCATTCCAGCGTTCTCCATGGTGGACAGCGCGCGCCGCATCTCTGTAGGTTGTTGCGGCGTCTCCGGGACGCGCGGCTGCTGGGAGGCGTTCTCCATGTTCGACATCGTCGCGCTCATGACCCGCGGTGGCATCGACGGCGGCGTCGTGATCACCGGTTCACCGTACTTCCTTTCTATATTCGCGAAGAGCTCCTGTTCTCTTCCTGAATACTCTTTGAGCAATCTAGGCGCGTTCCCTGCTTTTGCTGGATTGTGCCTCATGAGATAGTTTGTGAGCGTCTCTAGGTGTGGAGACGGCGTGTCGGGCTCGTCATTCCAGACGCCCTCATCCTCATCGTCGCCTAAATCCTCGACGCCCCAGCCTAAATCCTCGCCTGATTCTTGCGGGGGCGCGGCGAAGGGCTGCTCCTCCGCCGGCGGCGCGTTGATCTCGGGGTCCGTGCTCCCCGAGGGCGGGCCCCACAATCTTCCCAGCAGACTGCCGTGGCGCGGCGCCGTCGCCTCGGGGTTGTCTCCAAAAGTTGTGGACGCCTCGGGCGGAGCGTGCTGCTGCGCCGTCTCCTCCGGCGAGGCCTCGCCGAGCGCCGCCGCCGACACAACTGACGGTCTATGCTCCTCCTCGGGGGCCGCGGACAGCGGGACGTCGTCGAATTGGGGCTGCGTTTGGTTCGGTGACCGCGGCATGGGCGGCGGCGGCGCCTCTCCAAAACTGCCGAAGAAGTCTTCCGCTTCTTGATTGGCCTGGCGGTCGATGGCGGGGCTCCACATCTTTGGCCTTTTTTGTGCGCCGCGCAGCGATTCACACGCGCGGACCTAGGCGGTTTTGGCTATTGGTGTACAGCGATGCAGCGGTCCGCTCGCTGATTGTGGTCAGCAGCGGTGCGATGGAGGCGACCCGCAGGCGACGCACTACGCTGTAAAAGCGCAGCACGCGTGAGCTTAGGCCAAACGCGTCCAAATTACGATTATGTAGCGTTTAGACATACTAGGTTGCGACCCGAATTGAGAGGATTTCAACGAGTTCAGAATTCAATCAATAGTGTTTGCTAGCCGTGCGTAGTAGATTACGCAGTTGTGCAGCCCTTCGCGCCGGCGACGCGATCATACGAGCAAGCGGGCTGCCGCACCGGTAAGGGCAGCCCCATTGTACATACAGCAGCTGCACAAGTGCTAGCGTTGGCAACCAAGATGCTCGCGACGCCGCGGGTCCGCAAGAGCCACGTCGACAGCATCGTCTTCGAGGCCGAGTCGCGGCGCCAGGAGGCCGCGGCGTCCGCGGCCAAAAAGTTCGGTACGACGAAGGGCGTCTTCGTGCCCACCATACAAAACATCATGGGCATCATTTTGTTTGTCAGAGTGCCGTTCATCGTGGGACAGGCCGGCATTATTCAGGGACTCGGTATTGTTTGGTTGTCGTGCGCTACGGCACTACTAACAGCCATGTCGATGTCCGCGGTGGCGACCAATGGTAGGCCTAAGTCAGGAGGCTGCTACGCCATCGTCAAGAATTCGCTCGGTGCGCAGTTCGGCGGCGTCACTGGGGCGTTGCTCTTCTTGTCAAAAACTTTTGGGGCCGCGATGAACGTGCTAGGATGCGTGGAAGTGCTGCAGCTCTCCTTCCCATCTACTTTTGGTGATTTGCCGATGCGGATGTTGGGTGCTATTATATTGACAGGACTGGCGGTTATTGCTTTTGTGGGCGTCGAATACGTGGTGCGATTCGCGGTAATGTTCTTATTTCCAGTGGTATTAGCCGTGGCCGCGATCTGGGTGGGGGTTGTCGTGCACACAGTCGGTGACGGAAAACAATCGCAAGGCATCGTCGGCATTTCCGGACAAGTCTTAAGGAACAACTTGGATGCGGAATACAATCAAAGGGCGGGCGTCGAGTGGTCCTTCAAGGCGTGCCTGGCGCTGTTTTTCCCAGCCGTTACGGACGTTTTAGCGGGCTCAAGCCTATCAGGGGATCTGGAGGACCCCCAATCATCAATACCACCAGGAACAATCGCCGCGGTCGTCGTCACCACTATTGTTTTCTCGATCCAAGTCATCCTCGTGGCGGGCGGTTCCGTGCGAAGAGATGCATTAATAGAATTCCCGCTCAAAGACTTCCCGCGTGTGCCCCGGTTTGTGGTCAAAGACTTGGCTTGGCCACACGAGTTAATCGTTGTAGTGGGCGTCTTCCTCTCGACGCTGGGTGCGGCCTTACAAAGCTTGACGGGGGCACCTCGCGTACTAGCAGCGCTAGGCAAGGACGACCTCGTGCCCATCCTGAGGCATTTCGCACCTTCGGGAGACGGCGCGCCGCGCAAAGCAATATTGTTCTGCGCCTCGTTGTCCATGGGCCTCGTCATGGTCGGAGATTTAAATGCAGTAGCACCATTCATCACGCTATGGTACCTGACGTGCTACGCCATTATAAATATGGCATGTGCCTATCTCGGATATGAAAAACACCCGTCCTTCCGACCTACTTATAGGCTGTTCAAGTGGCAGGTGTCTCTACTTGGTGCATGTGTATGTTTCTTCGTCATGTTTTATACGCATGAGCTGAATGCGTTGGGCGCTTTGGCTGTCGCGGGCTTGCTCTACAAGTACATCGAGACGCAGCCGGGAGCGAGTACAACGACGGCCCACGGCGAGTCCGAGCTCCCGATCTTCGAGCGCGAGCCCGAGAGTCCGGGCGCGTCCGATTCGGAGACTGAAACGATGTGCGTGTCGCCGGCGCATCGACAGGGTCCGTCGGACTGGCGCTCCGGCAGCCGCTTCAAGACGGCACGGAACGCGATGCTCGCGCTCGAGGAGGGCGACCTGCAGTTCAAGTACTGGCGGCCCTTCGTGCTGTTCCTGTGCGACATCGATGCTGATGCGAATTACATGTGGCAGCGAGGCATGCTCGACGCGTTGGCGCAGCTCGTACGACGGGGCAAGGGCTTGGCCCTGGTGAATGGCGTCGTCATCGACGAGGTGGCGGAACCGTCGCTCCGGAAGGCGCGGAAGGCGCGGCGGCGGCTCCGGGCCTTGCTGCGAGATCGGGGCGTCCAGGGCTTCGCGGACGTCGTCGTGTCGCCGTCGCACGAAGAAGGCCGTAAATATCTCCTACAAACGAAGGGCCTGGGGTATTTCCGGCCGAACACCGTGGCGCTGGGCTGGCCTACGGATACTAAGAGGGACGCTCGAGGTTTCCTGAGGACCATGGACGACACCACGGCGATGCTGAAGACTCTACTCGTGTTCGCGGGTGACAGGGTTTTCCCCGGCGCCAAGGACCCGCCTCTACGAGGTAGAGTTGATGTGTGGATGGTCTTCGACCTGTTCCCCGCTGCGGGGCTGTTGTTACTGATCCCGTTTTTGCTCTTGAGGGACGACAAGTGGACGCAGTGCGAGCTGAGACTCTTCGTTGTATCGCCACGAACGGACGCTGGGATAGAGGACGACGGTAAATTGGAGGAGGCCGTCAAGTCCATGCTCAAGGCGGGTGGTGTTTTGGCGAAGGTGCTGGTGTTGCGCCTGGGCGAGGAAGATGACCCTCGATTTGCCAGGGACGCGTCTTTCGCAACACCGACAACACCGACGCGCCAGCAGTCCATGCGGACGCGCGCACGGGGGCTGACGCGCGGGTCCTCGTTAACTGCTGAAGAAAAAGAAGTTTTCGCCGAGGCGTTTCCGCCACTGCCCCCGGAGCCGCCCTCCCCGATCTCGCCGCCGTCGCCCATGCGGCGCATGGAATCGACGGCCAAGACGAAGCTCACGAAGCTGTTGAACGAGCATTCGGGGTCGAGCGAACTCGTGCTGATCCGCCTTCCCCCCCGGAAACGCGGGCAGCCTCCACAAGAATGGATGGTCTCCGTGGATCGCCTGATCGAGGGCCTGCGGCGCGTCATTTTGATCCGCGAGTCGGGGGCGGAGAAGGTGCAGTTCTTTCAGTAGTGTGAAGTGGTCTAGTTCTAAATGATGATTCAGGTCACTCTCAAATCAAACTTACTCACAGTAGCGCCAGGTCCGACTCCGAGAACCCGTTGTTCGCGCCGTTCGCATGGCCGTTCGCGGCCGGCGCGCGGAACGGCGTCCCGTTGCCCGGCGCGTAGGTCGGCGCCGCCAGGCGCGGGGAGCCCTCGTCGAGCTCTTCGCGCAGCTTTCGCGCGCGATCGACGGCCGCGGCCGAGGCGCCCTTGTGTCGCTTCCGGACGGGGTGCGTCGGCGGCGACTCGGGCTCGGGCGTCGGGCTCCGCGGCCGCGGCACGACGGCGGAATAGGGCGGCGGCACCGCGCGGGGCTTCTTGGCCCCGGCGACGCCCTCGAGGTCGAAGCCCTTGGTGCGCCGCTTCACCTTCGCGACGACCGGCCTGGCTTGGATCGTCGCGACGCGCGCCGGCGCCGGCGCCGGCGCGGTCACGGCCGCGCGCCAGCGCGGCGGGTCCCGCTGCGGCGGCAGCGTCGCCGGCGACTCGCGTCGCTCGAAGGCGCCTGGCCGTCTACCGCCCGGCGCGGCGGGGTCCCGAGGCAATTTAGCCGGCGACCGCGAGCGCTCGCGCCGCTCGGGCCGCGCGCGCGGCGCGGCGGCGTCCCTCCGTCTGCCGCGCGGCGGCGCTGCGGCCGCCACCGCCGCCCGCGCGTGCACTTGAGCTTCCTCTAGGGTCTCGGCGGCAAGGATACGGCGGCCCAGGGACGCGATCGATCTAGCAGGTGCCGGGTCGTCGGCCTCGTAGTCCGGCGCCAGGCCCGCGGCTCGCGCGCGGTGCGCCAGGAACGCCCGGCCGAACCGCGGCGGGCCGTCGTCGTCCCGGTCGAGCGCGAAGTACGCGCCCACGTCCTCGTCGTCGGACGAGTCCTCCCCGAAGAGTTGTTGGGACGTGGACATGCCTTCAAATGTGGGAGATGGCTGTGGGGGCCTCGACACGCGCCGCCAGCAGCACAAATGGTCCGCGCCGGCTGGCGTATCGCTGGAGCTCTTTCACCACAATAAATGCGCCTAGTATTTCGCGGTTAATGCCCGCCCACGGCCATTTTTGTCCGGCTTCCTAGTGTCTTACATGCCGCTAGCTTGGCATATGCGCGCAAACACGCGAGCTGGCCTTGTGAGCGCTTTACGCTTTCGGCGCGTCGCATTAGTGCGAATCATCCGCCTCCCGAGCTTCTCTTGAGCCTTATCGAGCGTTCAGCTGGGCTGCGCCAAGGTTGTTCAAATGGAGCCCTGCCCAGCAGCCGAGCCGCCGCCCAAAAAACAGCGCACGGAGGAGGTCACGCCGCCGCTCATCGCACCGGAGCTGCAGCTTTCCTCGGAGCAGCAAGACATCCGCGAGCAGCAGCTCGCGCACGTGTTTGAACTATGTGCGCGTTCAAGACCAGGAAGCCCGATGCGAGCTTTTTTAGCCCAGTTCCACAACCGATTGAGGCAGGGCTGGAGCCGCTTCGAGACGATGGACGCCCTGCAGTACGCGCTCTCGGAGGAGTGGACTCTGTTAATGCGCCACGCGCCGTGGACGCCGCGCTGCGTCGAAACGAAGATCCCGGCCTTCATCGAGGAGCCCGATGAGAAGGGGAAGGCGTCCCCCTCGAAGAAGCGCCCGCCGCGCGGGCCGCGCGTGTTGTGTTGCCAGTGGTTGAAGAGTAACGCGAACCGACCGGTGCTCGAGGACGCGTGCCGCGCGAAGAAATTGGAATTCACGAAGAAGACGACGCGGTTCCAGCTGGCGCAGCTACTGCATCCGGAGCTGCCCGACTTCTGCGAGAACCACGAGCACAAGCGGCGATGACGATCGTGCTGCTGTGTAACTTCTGTCGTTGAGTAGTCTCCTCGTTTTTTTTTGGTCGCGGAGTTTTCGCGTTCACGGCGTGTTCGCTTGCGGTGCGCGTCGATGGCGTCGCTGTAAAACCCGTTTTTACGAGCCCCATTTTTAGCCTGTGAGCCCCCAGGGCGTTTGCCGACGTCGGGGGATGTCAAGGCACACACGCGCGCTTAATAGATTCATTATGTCCGGCGAGTCACGCCTGGAAAGTCTCCGGCGCCGCCACCCTGATCTCGACGAGAGGGGCTTGCAAGCTCTACAGGATGCACTAGATAGCCTAAATAGACGTGATGCGTTACCTGAAGTGCGCGCTTGGCTCGATGCGGGAGGAGATCCAAACGCGCTTTTAGGGTCGTATGGACCTACACCCAAAAGCATACTATCAGTCGCTCTGGCGTATGGCCGTGTCGAGTCGGTCCGCCTCCTCCTGGCGCGCGGAGCGCTCGTGGAGGATAGGCACTTCTCCGACGCGATGCACGGCTGTTCACCTGAGCAGAGGGCGCTGCCGATCATGAAACTGCTCGTAAGTGCCGGGGCGGACGTGAACAAGCCCCGAGGCGGTGGCTTATGCGCGGGAGTCTCGCCTCTCATGTTTTCTGTCACCATGAAGAAATACAACGTCGCGAAGTACCTCTTGAGTCAAGGCGCGGATGTCAATTACGTCGCTCCGGACGAGACGTGGCGTGCGGACGCTTTGGCCCGTGCACATTACAACGCCAATAACCCAAATTGGGAGGGCTATGAATCTCGTGCTCGTGAATCCGATGTCGACATCGAGTTCTACCACTTTCTTCGGAGTGTGGTGGACGCCGGCAGCTGGAAGTTTTACGTGAGGGCGCCGCGAGTATCTCTCGTCGTGCTCCGTCGCTTGTGCGAGAAGGAACGCGCGCGCCCGCCACCGGAGCTCGCTCGCCTCTTCACGCTGGACAAGTTCATATTCTGGCGCGTGCTGTCGTTCTGGCGGAATGACCGCGACCTGCCGCATCACATCACGACACGCGATACGACGGCGCCTCCCTAGTAGTACTCCATGTTTAAGATATATCAACTCACCGGACGCCGTCGCCGCGTTGTGTCTTAGAACTTCTTACCCAACCCCTAGTACAGCGCCCGGACGCCGTCCTCGTTGTACTTTTCACCACTTTTTTGGATGACATTCCCATCATCATCGATAATATCGCTCTTCTGCTGGCGCACGAAGCGGTTGAAGAACTTGAGCAGCGTGCGCGGCTTCGTGAGGTACTCGACGAACGTGCCTGCCTCCGTGGTTGCGAGCATCTTGGGCACCAAGTCCTGGGCGACCTCCTCCGGCGTCGCCGCGAGCACCCCAAAGGGGAACTTCCGCAGCTCCGGCGTGCTATCCTTCAGTAATAGATCGGTAAAGACCATGCCCGGGGACAGCGTGTGCACCTTGACCTGGCCCGGGCTCGACGGCGGCCAGTTGTAGCCCTGGGTCTTGCCCTCGAGTTCCGCAACCAGGGAATCGGTCATCTGCGGCAGACCCCGCTTCGCGGCCCCATACGTCACATAACCGGGCGTGCCGCCTCCTCGGACACCACTCCCCACAGTATTAAAAACGTGGCCCGTCACGCCGCTCTGGTCCAGCATGAGCTCCATGGCCACCTTCGTGCAGATCAGGACCCCGAACATGTTGACCTTGACCACAGCTTCAATAGCTTCATCAGAAACCTCGAGGAAAGGTTTCCTGCCACCATTTAACGCGGCGTTGTTGATCCAGTAGTGGACCGTGCCCAGTTTTTCTTTAGAAGATGCGGCGAGCTTTCTGACAGAAGCCGTGTCGGAGACGTCGCAGACCTCGCCGAAGATGGGCGCGTCGGCGCCGTACTTGTCTTTTAGAGCTCTGACGGCGTCGGCCGGGTCCCGGATGTCGCAGATCACGACCTTGTGGCCCCTTCGTAAAAATTCGTCCGCATAAGCGTAGCCCACGCCCGCCGCGCCGCCGGTGACGACGGCACCAAAACTGCCGGACGGTAAGGAGCTGTCCTCCGGCGGCGCGGCGACCTGTTCCAGCAAATCGCCGATGCCGTCGAAGGGGCTGTCCCTCAGAATGGTTCCTCGCGGTGCGCGGCTCTGCGGCGCGACGTAGGCAGCGCAGGCTTGCAGCGCTAGGGCTAGAATGAGTCGCTGCATCTTTGCTGTGCTAGGAGAGCGTTTTGAACACGTTGCAGGAAAACAGCGGTAGCGAGATTTTGCACACGGTAGCGCTAGCCGATGAGTGCACCTGTCGCAGCGTCTGTTTGTAACGAGAGCTGCGAGTGTCGACGTATGCGGCCGAGCAATCTTTGTGATGCGATGCTTGCTGAGTTCAGCTGGTGCGGGTCGCACGACAGGAAGCCTCGAAACCGGACACAACGGGTCCTCCGTGCGACCCATGACTCCGCAAAGACGAGACAGCAAGCCGCCTCCTAGGAAAGCGCCACCGCGCGCGGCGCGAGAGGCCGCGACCGGGGGTGAAACAACTCGAGGCCCCGCGTCGCCTGGCGCATCGACGACGAGGCAACGGCGACGCCATCGACGCGCAAAATTGAGAAAAAGGGAACTTACACAAGAGCTATGAAGCAGCGACCGCGGCCGCCGGCGCGAGCAGCTCGCGGAGCTGCCGCACCACAGAACTGCGGGTAGGCGCCTCGTCCTCGTTCAGCCGCCGCTCGCAGGCTTGTAAAATCCGACGCTTCTGCTCATCATTTAAATGTATGGGCCCGACGAGCGTTTTGACCAGTTGTAGAGACACCGTCGGGAAGACGGACGCATCACTCAACACCGCCACCAACCCGTCGACGCCATCCACCACAGTAGCTGACGGTATCGGCGACGGCGCCCGCACCGCAACCGGTTGTGGCGCGGGCGCCTTCCGCTTCCGCGCGGGAGCAGGTGGTGGTATGGGCTGGCCCGACGCCGCCGCGGCGGCGGCGACGTAGCGCTTCATCGCCGACGAGTTCCACCTGTTTTTTATGGCGTTCTCTGACCTCCCCTTAAGTACTTTCGCTATTTCGCACCACCTATTACCTAGTTGCCTCTGCAGTTTCAGCAGCGTAGCGTTCTCCGATTCCTCCCAGTCGCCCTTCTTCAAGGTAGGATCCAAGTGGTTGAACCACCGCTCGCGACACTGCTTGCCGAGCCTCGTACTACCATTGCCTGCGACGCCGTTGAGGCTCGCGGCGATCTGCGCCCACTTCACGACGCCCTCGGCGGACTCGCGCTTCATGCGCTGCACTTCTGCCCGTACTAAATCATCTTCCTGCTGGAGCCAGGGGCCCTTGTTCAGGCCCGGTTTTATCACTTTGGTCCACCGATGCAAGCACTGGATGTCCGTCCTGACAGTACCTAAGAGTTCGGAAATGCGCTTCCACTTCTTCGGGCCGTGCTCTTCCACTATCTTGAGTAATTTTTGATCTTCTTCGGGCGTCCATTTCCCGCCAATACTCGGTTTTCGAGGTCTCGCTCTTCGATCTTCTTCGCCTTCCAGCTGTCGCAAGGCTTCGTCCGTCGTAATCGGTGCCCCCAACGGCGCCAGCTGCGGCGCGACGGCGCCCCACTGATGTTGTAGCGGCGGCGCCACCGGGACGGGCAGCACCGGCGCGGGCGGCGGCATCTGGGACGGCGGCGCGAGGAGGTCGTCGTCGGCCATCGTTTTTGTTTGATGTCTTCTTTGGCAGCGCTGCGTCGCGCGCGGCGGAGTTTTAGATTTTTGTGGGGCTGTGCTCTTTTTTGCTGCACTGCACTATGCGTCTATCCGTGGCGCTGGCTGCGCCCGCGCTCGATGAAGACGGCTGCGACAGTACTTGTGCAGGTCACACAGCGTTCGGAGGACGTCGGTGCGCGTCGCGCCTATCTAATTTGCGGCTGCCTGCCGCAAAACGGACCGCAAAACGAGGCGTCCTCCAGGGCAGACGCGCACCCGTCGCCTGCAAGAGCACCCCATTTCCTACGTCTGGGGGAAATTTGAAGAACATTCGTTGCTTGCTAGTGTCTTACAGGCCGCTAGCTCTCTAACCAGCACTTGCCAAAAACGCCGCGCGTAGCCCGTCTTACAACATTCCAGCGGTTGCCAGACACGCATGAATCATAAACCGACCGGATGCGGCGGTAGCACGAATTTCTAAGGCACGCAGAGCGCTCCAAAAGCACTCACAGTGAGAGGCCCTGTTTTACAGGATGCCCATCCGCAACCTCATCGTCCTCGCACCGAGCGGGTTAGTGCTCTTCGAGAAGGAGTACAGCAAGGAGAAGATCGCGCAACCGCGCTTGCTCGGCTCGCTGCTCACAGCGATGACCGAGTTCGCCACTCAGACGACGGCGATGCGCCCGTCCTACATCGAGATGTCGTCCTTGGCGGTGACCATGTGCCGCGAAGACAGCGTGACGTGCGCCTTAGTGCATGACCGAACGGATAAAGCCTTGTTCGGCCGCCTCTTAGCTGGAGAGATCTTGATGGCGTTCGTCGAAGAGTACGGCGGGCCCGGCCGAGAGCTCTCCCAAAATTTGAAAGATTTCAAAGGGTTTGGCGAAAAGATTGCGGGCGTCGTGCAAAACACGGTGCAGGCCGTGCTACATGATCTGGGCACGGCAGCATGTGTATTACATACCGCGGTCATGGGCGAGGACGGCTACCAGATGCCCTACCTGCACCACGACGGCCGGTGCGAGCCGGACTATATTAGTCTGTTAGCCTCGTCGAAGTACATGTTCCAGGCGTCGGACCTGATGCTCGAGTATCGACGGGACGGCCCCGCGCGGCTCATGACGTTTGACGACGACATGAACGAGACGCGGACGTTTTTATGGAGGATCGAACACGTCGTGTTCATGGTCTGCGTCGTCAAATCGAAAGATCGGGACATTCTGCGGGAGTGCTTCCGGGAGATCGTGGCCGCGAAGGGATTGATCGAGCAGATCATGCGCCAGGCCGACCAGCTCCGGCCGCCGGGGTACCTTCGGTTGCGTAATCAGTGGTGTTAGTGTGATATGTGTATCCGATTGGCGGCGACTCGATCCACCGCGGTGGACGGCGTGGTGGCCCGATTCCGGCGACTAGGGATCCTGTGCGACGGAGCTCCACCGGCACGCCGTCGCGGCGATGGCGTCGAGGCGGGCGGATAAGGATAAACACAACAAACTTAGCCTTCTGCTTTCGACTCCTCGGCGCCCTCAGGCTCGAGCATGTCGTCCAGTTCCAAGGAACGCGCCTCGAGCGGCGACAACGCCGGCCGCCTCGATGATGGCGAGAACGGGTTGCCGCGCGCTGTCGAACCAATAGTAGCCGCAGCAGAATCCAAAGTGACCACGGACATCTCGTCCTCCTCCGGACTGACCACGGTTGTGTCCCGCTTGACGAGCGCTTTCGACATAAAGTCCCTGACGTTCCGCTTCGGCGTCGCCTCGACGTCCTCGACGACCTGCTCCATGACTGGTTTAAAAGCCGTTCGCTTGAACGACGGTAGTCTAATAGACCGCTTCCGCATCGCCGGTGCCGCGAGAATCTGCAGTCCCTTCGACGCCAACACGGACCGAGGCGCCTTGCTTCCCTCCATTCTATGAGGCTGTCTCCCCCACCCAGCATAGGCGGCCATATCTCTCAATCGTTTCTGCCGTTTGAGTTTCGCCTCGAGCCGGTTCTCCCTGTCTTGAGCTTCTATCGCCTTCGCGCGTTCCTGCATCTTCTGCAGCTTGTCGGCCTTTTCCTTCTCCTTCCGCTTCACCTCGGCGACAAACACAAGACCCAGGTACTTCGCTTCCAGTCTTTCCAGCACCTGTCGTTCCTTGAGGTCCGGTCGCTTCTTGTTCTTCAAGCCAGCGAGTCGAACATCATCGCCCGAGCGCTTCATCGAGGCCTTCGCAGTCTCAGTATCCTTCTTGCGGTTCTCCTTCATCTTTCTCACGGCCGGAGAGGCGTCATTTTTGCCCGCCAGCATCTGTGTCCGGTTATAGAACTTCATGGCCCTTTCTCGACTTGTCATGTCCTTCCACTCCTTCTCCTTCGGTTCTGTAGGTTTATCGTCGACATAGACCGACTCCCCACCTTCTTCAGCCTTCTTCTTCATGGCAGCGCCCATAACTCCGAGTAATGCGTTGCCCTTCGCGTGGGCCTTCTTGATGATGCTTTTTCCCGCATTTTTGATCCTTTCCTTGGCCAAATTGGCCGCTTTATACCTATCTGTTATGTCTTTGGTCTCCTCATGTAAACGTAAGTTGACATGAGCTAACTCTTTCACAGTTTGTGGATCATCAATACCCTGCGTCGAACACATCTCGTGCAAGAAGCCGTAGCGGTTCATCGGTGACCGGTACTTGTCCTCGATTTTCTTGGCGAGGTCCAAGGCGTCCTTGCGCGCCTGGATGACGCGCTCGCAGTGATGCCGTCGCTGGAGATGCCTCGCGTGGATCTTGTCCGGATGCCTTGAGTTCGAAAACGCCTTCGCGTTGTTCGTCTTGCGCCCTTCGCCGGGCTTCTGCTGTTTCGGGCCACTTTCCATTTCATTTAAGCGCTCCAGCATCTTGGCGTGCTGTTCTTCCGGGGTTAAATTCCCTTCCAAGGGGACGAAGACCATCTTTGTGATGAGACGGCGGCGGCGTTTGGGGCTACCCTGCGCCGCGGCGCCGCGGCGGCGGCGTGGGTCACGGCCCGCGCGGCGCTAGCGCTGTGGCTGCCCCCCAGAGGCCGGGCGAGGCGCGAGAGCGCAGGGGCCGACGCAGTGCTGCCTCGGGAGAGCACTGGACAGTAGCACACGACCAGCGTCCGCGTCCCGGGCGTCCCGTCTCTTGTCGCGTTGCTTTGCTCTCTCTCCGAGGCGAAGCGAGCCTCACAGGGCGCGCGCGAACGCCATCGACGCGGCCGAATCAGACGTAGACTCACAAAGAAATTACTCACAAGCGCCGCCGCCGCAGCTCCGCGGCGACGTCTTCAATCTGCGCGAGCGCCGCCTGGCGTCGGGTCTCCTCCGTCACGGCGCTGCCCCGCAGGACCGCGACCGCCCGCAGCAGCCGCGACGACGGGAGAACGCTCGGTTGCGACGGCGCCTTCGGCGACGAGAGGAGCGCCGCGCGGTCGATCGTCTGCGGTTGCGGCGGCGGCGCCGGCGGTGGGGCCCGCGCGGGCGTCGGCTTCACGAACGTCGTCGACGTCGAGGAGCCGGGCGGCGGGCCGGCGGGAACGCGGGCGCGCGGCGGCTTGACCGGCGCGGCGCCGTGCGTGTGGACCACCTGGGGACGCTGCGGTGCCGGAGCGGTCCGCACGGGCGGCAGGCCCCTTCCATCAACAAGCCGCTCACTTATATCCAAGAGCCGCGGCACCGCCGGCGCGACGTGGTTCTTGTACCTCATTAAAATTTCGAGGGCGATCTGTTCTTTAGCGCCGCCCCGCAAATTGGGCGCCGCCGCACAAATTAGAGCGGTGCAGCACTTCTCCGTCACGACACTCAGCTCCTTTTGATGCGCGTGGCATAACGCGAAGAGCCCGTCCCACAACTGCAACAGGGCGGGACACGCGATTTCGCGGCTGAACAAGAGGCGGCACCACCTGAGTCCATAGAGCTGCGGCTCGACACTGTTAAACCCATTGCCCAACGAAAGTAATTGCGAACTTTCAGTCTGGAACCTCCTACACAATTTCAGCACCGGAGCATCGGCCCCGAGGTCCGTGGCGAACAACGATGCTTGGTGCGCCATCAGCGCGTCAAATAAGACATACGCGTCCGATTCATGGAAGGGCCCATCACTAACAGCTCCGCTCTGCGCAAAGTTGTTGAAGCCTTCGCGTTTCTCCTGCTCCAAGACTTCGCATAAAACAGCTAACAATTCGTGCATGCCCTGGCGATAACCTAATGAATTACGGGCCGCCCAGACCGTCAACACGTCCAGCATCAGCGTCTGGCGCTGTGGATCCTTGAAATGGGACTCCGGAAACCCGTCGACCACTAACCTTTCTAAGTCCGTGCGGATCTCCTCGCGGTTTTCCACATTCGCGTGGAACCGCGCCCAGCCATCATTATTCTTTGCATCGTCGAGCAAGCCCGAGAGGGGGTCGCTATCGCTACTGATGCTCGCCGCGTCCGGTAAGGCGTCGTCTTTGAGTTTCTTGTAGTTTATGTCTGTCGATGCTCCTAAGAAGACGCGCCAGGCCGACGCTCTTTCCGCGTCGGTGAGTTGGCCGCTCGTGGCGCGCTTTTTGAGGTCGCCGCTTGCTGGGGCCATGCTTAATACTGCGGCTGGTAGCGCTGCGCGGCGATGGCGTGCAGGCAGTGGGCAGTGGGTGCAGTGGTTAGCTCGGCTGCTAGGCCTTTGCACAGGAAAATTCTTAGCTGGCGCGTTGATATGGTTCAACGCAAGGCTGCTCCCGTGCACACGTTGCACTAATGCCTCTACTTAGAGAGCTTAAGCCCCCGCTTTGTCCCAAGGAGCTGCTTTTGCTAGTGTCTTAGGCCGCTAGCTCGCGATTTCAGGACTCCTCGCAACCATTCCGAGGCCTCGCCGCCACCCCTTGAACGCTCCAGGGCCGCGATCCCAGTGGCTTTGCTCCGCGCCTCTCAGCGCTGTGCCAGGGAGAGGCAGGCGCTGAAAAGGGCAAACGCCGTCGAGCAGGCGGGCGCTGAAAGGGCTGCCTCAAACGCCTCGCGAACGCAGGAAAAATGCTGCCCCAGCTCACCGAACAGCCCGCACGGGCGGCCACGGCCACGCGCGGCCTCATAGGTACTGATAGAGGACCGGCGCAGTGGGGCGCCGACCGGCGGAGGGGCTCGCGCGAGTTCACGAAGCCCACGACATTGACGAGGGCCGACGCCGTCGAAGGGCGGGCAACCAAAGCGTTAAGGCCTCCTGTGGACCTCGCCGACGCGACGCATCGCGCCGAAGTGTCGCTCGCCACGGCCTCCGCGATCACGGAGAAAGCTCTCCTCGATTATCGAGAAGCGCGATGCCGCGGCGCCGCGTGGCTGTGGGCGCGAGCTACTAAAAGGGCAGGTGGTTCTCGGACGATCGTGTTGTTTATCTTACATCTGTGGAAGAATCATACAATCAAAGCCACTGCGGAAAGGAAGCACATCGAGCAGATCATTGCAAGGTATACGTTGCGTAGAAGAAGATTTCTAGTGAGGGAGTGGCGTAGAGTTGCTCGGATCCAGCGAGCAGAAAGGCGTGCAGAGTTAGAGGAGGAGACGCGCCAGAAGGAATTGTCCGAAGCGAGAGAGGCGCAGCAAGGAGCGGAAGATAGGTGTACGGAGCTCGTCGCGAAGGTCGCAGACCTCGAAAAACAACTTAAGGCTTCCAAAGAACGAGAGCTCACCGACGAGGAGCGCCAAAAGATCAAGACCAAAAACGCTACCTTCAGAGCTCGGGCCGAGAAGGCCGAGAACGGGTTGCTGGCGTTGGTGGGCGTCCAGGCTCTGGACATGGACGCTTTGCTTGGGTCTGGGGAACGAGCCTTGTTCAAGGGTCGCTCTTATCCTGCAGATGGTGAGCCTGCCGGCGCGCCGCGCTACATCGCGCCGACCTTCATCTCTCCTAATGAGATAGAGGCCCTTGGTAGTGAACCGTCAAAGAACTTACCTGAAAAAATACTAATGCAGTGGGCGAACGCCGCCTCCAAACGAGCGGGCTTGGGTGGCGCGCCGAAGAGCGCCGTCGACTGCTTGCCGTCCTACGTGCCCTTCGAGGACTGGCGCGCGGCCTTCGTCGACGGGCGGCAGCTGGCTCGGATTATCTTCGCGGAGATGGAGGCTTGCCTGGAGTGTCGCGCTTTATGTGGTGTCGAGACCGAGGACACTTTGCCGCTATCTATCGCGGGCATGGGGCCTCGTTTGCACCGCCACCGCTTGAAGGATCGGGACTTGCTATCGTATGCTTCCGGTGTGAGAAGTAGATTAGCCCGACCGAAGGACCTCGCTTCCTGGGTGACGAACCAGGCCCACGACAAGCTCGGATTACCGCCTGATCTACTAGATGCGGAAGACATCAAGACGAGAAACGTGGACTGGCACTATCCCTTACTGACTTATCTGATGTGCAAGGGCTGCTCGCGCGTATCTGACGGTCCAGATCTGACCTATGAGACGTGTGCGAAAGAATTTACGGAAGTGCAGTCAAAGTGGAACTCACTGCGAGAACGCTTCGCCATCCCCGACGACGGCCCGCCCTCGGAAGATGCGTTGACAGAGCTCCTCCCGAAGACGACGCGACGGTCGGACCACGGCGGCATTGGGGACCTTTGTGAGCTAGCCATGGACGCAAGTACTCTAGCAAAGTCCATCGCGGCATTAGAAGCGGAGCAGTGGCGCTCTTCCGTGCTGTGGGACCGCGCAATTGCGTGGAACAAAAGTGCTTCGCCGAGCTCTCGAGACGGGCGCGAGGAGTGACGGACTGGAAAGGAGAAATAGATAAGAAGTAAGAACTTAGTTCAGGTAGACCGCATAAGCCGTCGCGACGCAGAAGATGGAGTCGTTGGTGAACGTCTCCGACGCGTACGCGTCGGTATCTCTATCCCAGAACGTGCGGCAGCCCATCCGGACGCCCTCGCCCCGCTGCTCGCCGACGACGACCTGGACCATGTACTTGTAGCGCGGCAGTTCCAGGAGTTTGAGGCGGTTCTTCACTCGGTCGGCGATCTGCTTTGTTAATTCAGGCGCCTCGTCCTGCTTGTAGGTATGGTCTTTCAACATCTCATTCAAGACTTCGCCGATGCACTCCTTCATCTTCGCCGTCGAGGCGCGCTGGCCCCAGGCGGCCATATTGTTGGCTCCGGGCGCGGCTCGCGACTCGCGTGGCGCGCGCTGGAGACTGGGGCTGCCTTGTCGGTCCGCCGCTGCGACGGCGTCAGGTGCTACGACGCGCCGTAGGCTTGTTCCTCGCAGCTCGAACGCCGCCGAGCGAGACGAGCCGCGAGGGAGTTGGCTGCCCACGCTCGAAGCCCGAGGGGAGACGCGACGAGTCCGCGGTGAGCCGCTGGAGGGTTCGGCGACGCAGAAATGGAGATTGGTCTGCCTTCTGCGGGCGTGGGGCAGCCCTAGCAAATCGTGGCCGCGGCCGCTGTACGAAAGCTAAGTGCCTTACTACCGCTAACTAATCCTGCCAAAAGCGGAAAGCTAGCCGTAGGGCTCCTTATAATAGGCCCGGAACAGCCAGAGAGTCACCATGCTTACTCTCAGGCTGCAACGGTGCTTTATCTGTGCCATTGCGCTCGTCTGCGGCTTCCAGCAGCCACGCCATCGATGCGAGCCAGCAACGCGAAGGCGTATGATGCGCGACGACAAGCGCCTGTTCGTGGGCGACGCTGGCATGATCGTCGCCGCCGGCGCGACGCAGAAACTCGTCGAGTCATTTGCAGCAGGCGACTCAATCCTCTCTCCCGTGACCGCATCTGACCTCGATGCGTTGCCCGCGCTATTCTTTTCGAGCGCCGTTTGGCTCCTGTGCTGGCTCGGCCCGGCGTTCTACCGTGGCGTCTACGACGACGCGGTTAGCGCCGACGCGCCGGCGCGCGCCCTCGACGCGGCGGTAAACGCGGCGCAGCTGCGAGTGCTCTACGAGCTCGGGCGGATATACCTCCTGCAGACGCCGACGGACGTTGTCGACGTCGCGATCGGCATCGTCAACGTCGTTTTGTATCTGGCGGCGTGGCGCGCGCTCTACGCGTATCGTTTCAAAGGGTATAAATAAGCACATGTTGTATTAGTCCTTATCGTCCGAGAGGCCGAAGATGCCGAGGTTCTTCTGGGCCTTGCCGAGCACGTTGAACGCGCCGCGGAGCCCCTCGGCGACGGCGCCCGACTCGGCTCCAGGTTTTTTTGCCGCGCCGCCACTACTCCGCGGCTTCTTCGTTCCCACAAAATAGTCGCCTGCCGCCGCCGTCTCGAAGCAGGCCGCGACCTCGTCGAGGCTCGAGGCCTCGCCCATGACGCGGAACGGCACCCAGACGTCAACGCCGCAGACCGACTCGGCGGCCGTGCCGAAGCGGCCGGTCTCGAAGTCCTCCTCGTCCGTGTAGACGGCCGCCGAGACGACCTTGACGCATTTCTGGAGGCCGCGGACGTCGTCGACGGTGCAGCTCGTGAGCTGGCCGGCGCCGAGCCAGTACTCAACTTTTACGGAGTTGTCGCTCGGATAGACGCGCTGGATGGCTGGTCCGCGCCCTGGGGTGCCAAAGACCTTGAGCGCAGTTGCTTGTGCGAGCGCCAGCAGCAGGAATGCGTTGCGCCGAGCCATGGTATCGATCGAAAAGTTGCTCTCCTTGCACGGCCGCACGAATGATCTCGTTTAGGTAGAGTTGTGGGCAAAAAAGCTACCAAGATTGCCTCTTTCTAGTGTCTTACTGGCGCTAGCTAATGACCTAGGGCCCGCGCAACGAGATCACGACTGGACCGGCTCATTTCGTGGCGTCTGGACGTCGCCGGAATACCTTAGAAGCGACCGCCGTGACGAACGCCGCGCCGCGGTGGCCCAGGACTGGCCACAAATTTGAAACTCACGGTTACTCACCTCCTTTGACAGGAACTCGCGCCGCGCGCAAGATGGTAGTCCCCGAACACGTTTACTCGGCCGCGGTCAATGGCGACTTGAATGTACTGCGCGAGTACTTCGCCTCGGGCGACCGCGACCCGAACGACACGCTAGAGCGAAACGGCCGGACGCTCCTCGACGGCGTGTGCGCGGGAAGTTTGCGTCACGCGGTGATCTCTCCACCGGGATACCCGGTCCAGACGACAGAGGAGTACGCCATCAAGTGCGAGGCGGTTTCGTTCCTGCTTTCCCAAGGCGCCTCCGTCGATTTTCAAGATCCCAGCGGGACGTGGCATCGTCCGCTCGTCATTGCCGCAGCCACGTGTGCTGAGTATGGATGCAATGGTGTCGAGCCCATGGCTCTGCTCATCGACGCCGGCGCGGACGTCAATGCAGACCCGGGAGTCGGGGCCGCGGAAGGCTTCACCGCAATCATGCAAGCGATCGTCGAAAATGACATAGACGTGCTCAAGTTCTTGCTAAGCCGCGGCGCGAGGCTCGACGCCGGTATCGAAACTCGGCGGGCCCGCGCCCTTAGTCAATGTCGGCTCCATGGAGTCGGTCGCGCCGCAACTCGCCGGGAGGTGGACGAGCAGACGCTCGAAGATTGGTGCCGCTTAATCATCGAGACACAGGCCGGGTATGATGTTCAGATTGAGCGATACCGGCGGGCGCCGATGATCAAGTTCTTGGGCGACTTCCGGGCGGCCGGCGGGACCGTGAAGAAATTTTTCTGGGCGCCCCGCGCGGACCTGTGCATGCTGCGAATCCTGTGCGAACAGGGTCGCGCGTCGCCGCGGCTCGGGCAGATCGGCGAGCGCATGGCCTTTCCGCGCATTGTCGATCGCGAGGAGCACGACCTCCTCGTCCGCGTCTTCGCCTGGGCGCCGGCGCACCGGACGGACGCGCGCCGCCGGACGCGTTCCGCGCAAGTCCACGCCACCGCGTCGCAGAGCCCGCTCCCGCGCGACGTCTTCAAGCTGGTGATCTCGTTCTGGGCTCCCAGTCGTGAGGTTTGGTGGAACGGCGGTTATGGTTCCTTCTGCAAGTACAACTCTCGCTGGATTGGCTAGGCAGTCCCCCTTCCTCCCCCGAGTAACACACTAATCTTACTGGTCTGGTAATCGCTCCACGACGTACTTGCGAGCTTGAATATACATGATCGGCACGCCCGGGATCTTCCGCAGCCGCTTCTTCAAATCCTTGTCGCACGTCGCCACGATGAAACATCTATGGACCCGACAGTGCTCCACGATATCATCATCGGCATACGTGCCTCGTTTCAAATACGAAGGCATCCTGAGGAAGCGCGGGTCCTTCGCGAGCCTTAAAGCCAATCGGTACTTCGTGCCCAGCTTCTCGAGCTCCGCCATGACGCTATCTAGTATGACAGGAACACATTTCGCCAGCAAACAGTCGGTCATGCCCTTGACCAGATCGATCTTATTTTTGATCGAAAAGTTGATGAAGTTCGTGTCCACGATCACGTGGAAGGGCGGCCCCAGGCCCGTGTTGTGCGCGAAGAACATGGAGGCCGGCGTCTGGTCGACGTGGCGGTCCGCCTGCTTCTTCTTTTTCTCCTCTTTTTTTTTGACGCGGTCCTGCTTGTCCTTGAGGCGCGGGTCGTGCTTCGGGTTCACGGTGCGCTTGATGGCGCGGACTTTGGCAGCGCGGAACTTCTTGGCCTTGCCCATCGTTACGCTGGAACTGTTTGGCGCACGCGGCGTCGCGTTGCACACTCTGTGCAAGTGGCAGCAGCAGCAATTACAAGCCTGCTATCGGGTGGCGGGAGCAAACGACTGGCGCAAAGCGGTGCCCACGTAGTGCAGTGATGCGTAGGCGTGTGCTGACGAGCAATGCGCCGTCTACGCAGTCGTAAGCCAAGCCGTGTGTGTGCACAGAGCTCACGATCATCGCCGTGCAAAACGGGTTTTACAGCGCACGCGACAGCTCTTGAGCCAACTCTCGCGACTCTTCCGAAACCTTCGGCTACCGACGCGAGGCCTTCGACCGCGCCGAGGCCGACCGCTGGAAGCGCTGCAAGGCCGCGCGCGCTGTGCCTCGCGCCTGGTCGCGCGCGCGCTGTGGGGCAGCCGCACGACGCGCAGGCAGCGCAAACAATCAAAGGACTGCAAAAGGGCAACGCGCGCAGACAAACGCAAGGACAAGAGGCTGCCAGACAAGCCCCAGACAAGAGGCTGAAACATGGGAGCCGGCGCCAGCGCGAGCGAGCAGTCCCAATTATTAGCAGAAGCGAGGGCCGGCGGCGCGACGCAGGAGGAGATCGACGCGTATATCGCTGAAAACAACTTAAATACGGCGCAGCGACCAGCCCAAACGCAGCCGAGCCACGCGCAGCTGACGCAGATGGGGTTTAGTCCAGACGCCGTGGCCATGGCTTTATCATTAGGTTTAGAAAGCATGGAGGACGCGACGCAGTGGTTGCTGGACCATCCCGACGCCGGTGGGGGCGACGAGACCGACGCCGACGTCAGGGACGAGGAGGCGTTGTTGCACTACGCGATCGCGGAGTCTATATTGCAAAAGTCGCGCGATAATGACTTGACAACTGACGAAAAACGTTTAGTACCGTGGGCCACGGAGGTCGCCGAATTGCATGAAGCGAGACGAAATGGTGCTAGGTTCGATGAAAAAAGGTTCGGGGAGCTGCGCGAGGCCCTTAAAAGGGAGAGAAACGCCATCGATAGAAATGCTGTCAGGGGTATGCGGGCGGACTGGGTCACGGCCTTGAATGAGGTCGATGATTTGAGGAGGACGGACGCGTCGGCCACGCGACTGGTGTCGAAGATCCGCGAGTTAGAGAGAGAATTGCTATCAGCCGCGGCGCACAAGTCCGAGGTCGACGAACTGAGGAGGAGAGCACGTTTGTCAGGAGCCGACGCCGACGAGGCGGAACGGAAAGCAGCTCGATGCGACGCGTTACTGCGAAGGAGTGCCGCGGCCCACGCCGAGGCCGAAAGTCGTAGAAGTGAAGTCATGGCCTTCAGCGAAGATTCGGGTGTCGGCAAGGAAACTTTGGAGAGAGTCTACCTGTACCTCAAGGACAAGGTCCACAACAAGGAACCTCTGGAAGCCGCGGACGTGAAGGCCGAGGTCTTCGGGCCCCACGGTGTGGATGAACAAGCTGGTGCGGAACTAGTCCCCAAAGTGCTGCAGCTCATCCTGCTCGAGGAGGACGAACTCTTGTTAAAAAATCTCGTCAAGGGCGTCTTCGTCGATGACCCCGCGGACGATGTGGATGAGAGCGACGACGAGCTGGCGCTGGCACCGGTGGAAGCCGTGTTACTGGCCGCCAGCAAGCCCGATACTCGTGTGGAAGCGGAGGAGTCCAAGCCCCACATTCCCCCGGAGTCCGACGACGAGAGCGACGGCCGCGGCGGCTGGCCCGAGCCCGAGCCCGAGGCTGCGGCGCGCTCGCCGCGTCGCGACGACGACACTGCGACGCGGTCGACCCTAGAGCAGAAGTTGCGCGACGCGAAGGAGGCCTCGACACCACCCGGCTCGGAGCTCGACGTGTCGATGCTGACGTTCGCAGACCACGACGCGCAACTCGAGGCCATCGAGGTTTGTCTGATGGAACGGAATAATGCAGAGGAGGCCGCGCGGGACCGGTGGCACGACGCGATCCTGGCCAAGGCTCAAATAGACCTGCGAGTGATCGAAGAGGACGCGAGTGAAGCGGTAGCGAAAGGCCTTGATGACGTGCGTGACCGGTTCAAGAAGAAGCGCGACAAGGTCGGAGCCGACGCGGAGAAATTACAAAGGGTCGACAAGGAGGGCCACCAAGCTATTGAGGACGCGCGCGAGGCTTTGGAGCGCTTCGCTGAGTGCGCATCGCGTGGCTTGGAGGAGGCGGCGGCTCGATCATTAAAAAATAGAATCGCAGCGAGGGCGCGGTTACGCGCGCAGCTCGAGAAGCGCTTCTCACAGCGCATGGCTGCTGGAGACATTAATGACGTCGAGGCGCAGCTCAAGCGGCAAGATAACGCATTACAAGCGCACCAGGCCGCATCGCTAGAGGAGAGCGTCTCGGCGGAGCACCTGGCGATGGTCGTGGCCGACGTCGCGGCCCGCGACGCGCGCGGGAGACGACGGCGCGCTGATGAAAGAGCTTCGGATCGCGTCAAAGCGCGACGGAGGCTGCTGGAACGACTTTCAATGAGAACATCGAATGCTGAAATCGAGTTTCGCGAGTGGGCCGAGCTCTGTCGAGACGATGATCAGAACGATCTGAGGGAAAGAAGGCTGGACGAGGCCAAGTTGTGTGGTGACGTCTACGGCGAGCTCAAGTTCCTGAACGCGCCCGTCGATCCCGTCGATATTACGAGACTCACGAGGGACCACCACGACCAACGCAAGCAACTTTCCGATCGCCTGGCGCGGCGGCACGCGGAGAAGCGCATGCGCTGCATCGAGAAGGTGCGGACGGCCGATCGAGATGTGAGTGACGCCGCCTTGGAAGCGTTGGATGAGAAATTGTGTGATGAAAGACGGCAAGCTTTGGATGCGCTATCAGATAGGCATGTCGACGCCTTGCGAGGCCGGTTACTACTAGCTAGAGTCGATGCGAACAACGTCCTGCAAGTCCTGCCCGCGGCGCAGCGCATCGGGGATGGACTGGCGAAGGCCGTCACCGACCTACAAGGAGACGACCTGCGGAAGCAGGCTTTAAAACTCATAGAGCGCCACGCGGCGGAGCACGAGAGGGTGGACGACATGCTGGCGGACGCGCGCTTGAAGCAGCAGGAGGCTTTGAGACGAAGAGTTAGGGAGCGCCTGATGCGGTCCAAAGACGTCGCGACTGATGAGCTCGACGAGTGGTCGGAATTAGAGAAGGAGGTCGACCGGCGGGAGGTGAAGGCTTGTGCTGCTCATCATGCTTCTTTTTGTGGCGAAGCGGTCGGTATTTGTGCTCGAGCGGGTGGTTCCGCGGATATGAGTGCCGTCGCGGACCTCGTGAGGGACCACGACGAATGTCTGAGGGCGTTGGCGGCGCGCTTGCATGACGATCGAGCCCGTAGAAGAGGTGACTTGTTGCGTCGGTTAGCTGAACGCAAAGGAGATGTCGAGGGCGAGCTCGTGCAGCTCGACGCCGACCTAGAAGCCGAACGGCGCCAGAAGATGCACGAGTTCGTGGCCGCTAGGCGCTCGAAAGTACTAGAATGCGTGGCCCAGAAGGGCACGCTGATTGTCGTGGAGTCGAAGGGTACGGTGGATGAGACGAAGAGCCAGGACTCGTCCGACGACGAGCAGGTCGTCTCACAGAGTGAGAGAAGGCGCTCCGAGGACTACCGCGCGCTCTTCGCGACGCTACAGAGGAACGAAGAACGCGCGTCGGAAAGTCGTCGGGAAAGACGGGTCGACGACGCTAGAAGACACAAGGAGTCTATAGAGAGGCGCCTGGCGCGACGGCGCTCGCAATCGCGACAAGGTCAGCGACAAGCCAATGGGATAATGTCGCCGTTGACGGACGTCGTGGCCCAGATCGAAGCCGCGAGGGACTCGTCGTCCATGGCTAGAAAATTAGACGCGAACAGGAGAAGGGAGTTCGTGGCGCGCCCGGCGCCATCAATGGCACCTGGCCCTTCATTGGCCTTCTCGCCGTCGACGGGCGCGGACGCCGTGCCCGCGCGGAAGTTTGGGAGAGGCATGGGCTTCTCGTCGGGCCCGAAGTCGCCCGAGGCGAAGAAGGAGCAAGGGCCGAAGCGCGTGCCTCCCGTGTTACGGGCGGGGTCGGTCCGCGCGGGCGCGGGGTTCTCGTCCAAGGCCGTCGGCGTGGCCGAGGCCAAGGAGGAGTCCAAATCGTAACTTAGTTGATGTGTTTTTTTTAGTCTTCGTAACTTCCTGTTTGCTAGGGATGCCTAGTGCCTTACAGGCCGCTAGCTCGATCTGACAACTCAGGTCAAAAGCTCCCTGGACGCTGCTTGCGGCGCGCAGGTGACTGTGCTTCGGCAGGAGCTCATCTGGCTTGAGCTGCGCTGCGCGAGCTCGCCTAAGCGATCTCTATCAAAGCCTAACGACGCATAACACTGGATCAAAACATTTGTTCCGCTGTGGGTTTCATCCCCCCGCGCTTGGATTTTCGAACCAAAATTTAAACAGATCGCATCTCGATAGGAACTGTCCCGCTCGTGTTCAGTCAACAACTCCATAGTTTTTAGTGGTGAAAGCGAAGACGGCGACGACGACGAGGGAAGCAATGCGCCACAACCACGCCGTCGCTGGCGCGCTCGTCGCGGCTCTGCTCGCGTACTTTGACATCGTCGGCTTTGGGCAATGTATCGTCTACTTGTGGCCCTATTTCGGGCTGCAGTCTTTTCTCATTCCCGGGTTGATTCGTTCCAAATACAAATCAGCGACTCCCGCCGCGCGGGTGGGCCTGCCGGCGCTGCGCTACGGATGGTCGCCGTACGAGTTTATTGGAGGCGATGACGTCGGGCTTGTTTTCTACCCTGGTGCGGCCGTCGAGGCGGCCGCGTACGCTCCGCTCTGCCGGCGCGTCGCCGAGGAGGCAAAGGCCACTGTAGTACTGGCGCGTCCGCCTCTCCGATTCGCGATCACGACGGCCGGCTTTCGTAAACTGACAGCACGGCATCCTGGCATCAAGACCTGGGCAGTCGGCGGGCATTCGCACGGCGGCGGGACCCTCGGCGCTATGCTCGTGGCCGACGAGGCGTCGCCAGAGGAGGTCCGGGGCCTCGCGATGCTTGGAGCTAGCCCCATGGCCTGGGGACGTGATACGGACCTGTCGACCCGGCGCGACCTATTGGTCCTGAACGTGCTCGCCAGTGAGGATGAAATCTGTTCCCCCAAGAAGGGCGCGGTGCTGAGGTACGGGGGAGGGCTCGTGGAGGAGCAGTTCAAGAAGCTCCCCAAGTCGACGCGGCGCGTGGTCATCAAGGGCGGGAACCACGCCGGCTTCGGCGACTACGGCATCCAGGCGTACGACGGCGAGCGGACGATCTCCCTCGAGGACCAGCAGGCCCAGGTCGCGCGGCACCTCGTGTCGTTCCTCAAGCGCGTCAGGAAGCGCGGGTAGTTCTAGAGTAATGTGAGAACTCGAGCGTCTCCCGCGACATCCGACTTCGACGCCGCTGTACGTCATCGCCGCGACAGCCTCCGCGGCGATGGCGTCTACGCCCGCTGCACGCCATCGCCGCGGCATCCTCGCTACGATGGCGTTGTCGAGCATGCCAGATGTCCGACTCGGACTCGGGTCCACGCCAGCGGGTAGTAAGAGACCCATAGTTACACGCGCGAAATAAACTACGAATGCCGAGAGAGAACGAAACGAGACAATCAGGACGCGACCCAGCCCTCCTGGAGCATGGAGTCGTCCGCGTCCTCGATGCGCCGCCGCATGCCGAACGCCTCGACCAATAGAGGCCGCACGTCGCGCGCGTCGCGCATCCGATCCAACAGCGGCTGCAGGTCGTCCAACTCCCTATCTTGAGGATCGTCGTACCACGACTCGATGGGGATCGCGTTGTCCGGCTGGAAGCCGAACACGTACGGCGTGTTGTCCACTATCGCGACCTTCGACAAGTCTCTCCCAAGAACGTCTAGATCTTTCAGGTACAGTCCATCTACGGTAGCGCACGCGTCCCTATATAGTCTATGTTGGATCCTCGTCCTCCTAGGATCGATCTTATCCAGCAAAGTCTCGGCATAGGCCCGGTGCGACGCCGTAAATATCACGACCTCGAAGCGCTCCGACGCATAATCCAGGAACTCGGCCATGCGCGGCCTCGCCTTCACGTAGACCGTGCTAGTCACGCCGCACAGCTGGACGTCGAAGACGAAGTCCGCGTCGGTCCTCGGCTCCATCTGAGAATGCACTAGCGTCTCGTCGAGATCCAGCACGAGTGTGACGGGCTTCCTCGTTTGATTAGGAGGCAACCGCGGGTGCGCCGCGTCCCAGCCTTCCCGGCACGCCGCTGACTTGGGTGGGAGATGCTTCATAAATAAGTAAGGGTCGAAATCACCGGCACTTTCATCATCCTCGTCCTCGTCGACCTCCTCGCCCATGCTCACGTCGGGCTGCGCGGCTTGCTGCAATTCTGCCTGATCAGCGGGCTGCGCCCGCCTTCGATTCGACGCCATGGGCGAGTTCATGGCCGGCCGCTCGGCGCGCGTCATGAGCGACGACGCGTCGATGGACCCGACTTTTGGTGGTGGTGTCCCGGGCGGGCCCGGGGCTCCTCGTTGCGCGCGGAACGCGGCGGCGCCATTTAAATAAGCGTCCAACGCCGCCGTGTACGCGACATCTACGGACTCTCGTTGTTGTAATTCCACCGCATAGGCCTTGACCAGCGCTTTATCCGACTCTGGTGCGCCTCTACCGGCGAAAAAGGAATCCAATGCTAATGAAAAGGCGTTCTCGGGCGTCGCGCCGCCGGCCCTCAACAGCGTCTCGGCCTTCCTTCTCAATTGCCGCGCCTCGGTCTCGTGGGCGACGGGGCCGCTGCCGTTTAGGGAACTGGTCGGGCCGCCGTAGGCGCTGCGCGGGGGACGAGGGGTCAGTTTCGGCGCGGCGACGGGCGAACGGCGGCGCGCGTGACAGCTCTGTCGCGTCCGAGCGCGCGCGCGCCGCCGGGGCCATCGCTTCGCGCGCGCGGGGGCATTGAGCCAGGGAGATCAAATAGACTCAGGGCGCCACCTAGCCATCTCCAGTAGCGCTCACTTGCTGGTCGACTGCTGTGTGATATTTATGATGTTGACAGCGATCCGTGTCGCCTGCCGTCGTCCAGGCGCTGTGTATGCGGCCAAAGCGCGCGCGTCGCCGGGCCGCTGTTCGAGCTCTTAAACAGGCGGCTCGAACGAGCTGTCTCGTTTCGATTGACGTGTTCGTGGATGCCTTCGTATGAATGGAACAGACCTTGCTTCTGGCCGGTGCTAGCGGCATGTAAGACACTAGCATGGCAAAAGCGCGGCCGCGGCACGGCATTTGGCCGCATCGATACCTTTCAGCCTGTGCTGTTTGTGCAGATTGACGCTACGTACTCCCAACCTCGCGCCACAACGATACAAGCAGTGCCAAACGCCGACGACGCGACCCCAGCCTCGTACAAAAAAGAGCTCGATTGCGCGCGCCGCGATGGCCTCTCATCAAACCCTGGAAGCCTTAGCGGCCTGGGCGCGCACCTTCGAGGGCAGCGAAAACGCCACGACCACTTCATTAAGCAAGGACCTCGCCACGGCATTTTCAATTATTAGCGAGACCCCGTGCACCCCCCACAATTTACTGAGGCGACTGAAAAGGTGGTACGCGCAAGAACTGTCGCGAGACGTCTCTTCATTAATAGACGAGGCTTCCGACGACGTCGTCAAGCAAGCGTCACTCGTATTGGGCGCGGCCGTGCAAGGGTCACAACGAGAGCACCACATCACCATTATTATGGGACTGGACGACACTGTACAATCGGAGCTCATGATTTTAGTCCAGAGTATCATGAATACGACGGCTCAAGCGCCGTCGTGCTCCGTGGATGATGTGCATGAGGAGGACCGCTGGGCTTCTATGCAAGAGATCGCTCGCCTGAAGGATGAAAAAACTCAATTACATGAGAAGAATAACGAAGCGTTGGAAAAGGAAAGGCGCAAGTCCGAGCTATCGTTACAAGCGAGAGACGAAGCTCTACAAGCTAAATCAGCAGCTGAAAAAACACTCGAGAAGGTCCGGAGTACACTGCGGGCCTGCGAGCTCAGGGAGGAGCGGTGCCAAAGGGAAAAGCTCGAGTTAACGAAGAAATGTGAAAGACTAGAAGCATCATTATCATCGTCGAGCGACGCCCACAAAACTTTATCAGACGAACTCGACGTCGCGAGGGCACGAGCGCGGGACGCCGACGCCGCCGAGGCTAGAGTACTGAAACTCAAGAAGAAGCTCGATGATGTAAACTCATCCCAAAGGGAGCTCCAGGAGCTGGATGAGGCCAATGCGAGGCACGTCCAGGAGATCACGCGGCTGGAGGTCCTCCTGAGCAGTCGCGAGAAGCGCGACGCCGATGTGGATCAGTTACGGGTCGAGAAAGCTGCTTTGGACCAGCGCGTGTTTGACTTAAACAAAGCCTGTGAAGATAAGGACGAGGAGCTACGAAGATTAACGCTGCAGAAGGAAGAATCCGACGCGCAGCGCCGCTTCTTCGAGGACGAACTCGCGTCGGCGCGACCGGCGCCGCAGTCGCCGGAGCAGATGGCTCCGGTCTTCGAGGAGTCCGCTTCGGAGTTGCGAGATCGCTTGCGAGACGCGCAGCGAAACGTCGCGCGTCTGGAGGCCGAGGCCGAGGCTCGCGCAGACTCGGATGCGAGTGAAATTGGATCACTGCGAGATAGAATCGCCGATTTGGAATTTGAGAAGGCGCAGCTGCAGGAGCGCCCGCCGCCGCCGCCGCCGTCTCCATCGTTAGACGCGACGCAGCGCATGCATGCTTTAGCATTAAAAGACGCCACTATTGCCGATCTGAGGAAAAGGATTGAGTCGAATACGGACCTCGAGGAGTTGAAACGTAGGTACGACGAGGCGTCGAAAGCGGCGATCCGCGACAGGGAGGCCCAGGACGCTACCATAATTGATTTGGAGAAGCGCCTGGCCTCGGTCGCCACGGAGCGCGACCAGATCATCGGAGATCTCCAAAGGCACCTCGCCGAGGAGTCGACGAACACGCTGAACGCCGTCGCGGCGCAGGACGCGACGATCGCGGATTTGAGGAGGAGGCTCGCGAATAACACGTCCGAGGGCATCGCGGAACGGGATTCTATAATAGCTGATTTAAGAGAACGCATCGCGCGCAATGCGTCATCTCCCGCCGTGGAAGATGCTCTGGGCGACCTGCGCCAGCGCGTCGCGGAAGCGCAGCAGCAGACCGCGGCCGAATTGGCCGAGCGCGACGCGACGATCGCGAAGCTCACGTCGGATCGCGAGAAGCTCGAGACCTACACGAAGAAGACGCTGGGCAACGTCCAGGAGAAGTACTCGGTCTTGGTCCAGACGTACAAGAACCAGATCCGGGACAAGCAGGAGCGTATTAGTAGGTTGGAGGGCGAGCTCGAGAGACATAGGAGGGAGCTCGCGTCGTCGCGGGAGTTCTCGGCGGTCACGCCGAACGGTGGTGGCGGCGAGACGTGTGTGTGATGTGTAAGACAAGATCAAGATTTTGCTAGTGTCTTACAGGCCTCTAGCTATTATTTGGGCAGCCGCTTCAGAGCTGGCGCGGCGCCCGTCAAATAGGCGGCAGGACTTGCTCGTCGGGGAAGTGCATTGCAGCCGGCACACCTCGTTGCCCCGCGAAGCAGAAGTGCCATATCCCCTCTGGTGGCGTGAACCAAGCTATCCCTTATTGCCACCCTGGCACCAATTATTTGAATCCGCGGCGGCGGAGCGTGCCTGTGTGGTGCGGAGAGGTGCCTGCGTGGCCCGGAGAGTTGCGCGAGATGGCCAGCTGTGACGTGCTGCCTGACGGTGACGCGACCGCCACGGTCCTCGCTGTGCCCGAGGACCTGGCCCTCTACATCGCGAGCTTTCTCGGCGGCGAGACGCTGGCGCGGCTCGGTGCCGCCTCCAAGGCGTGCGGTTCGCTTTACGCCAACGAGGCGGCCTGGGAGGCCTGCGTGCGCGCGCGCTGGCACGACCCGCGGTGGCTCGACGTGCCGATGGATTACTATAGAGCGGCGACGAACGAGGTGTTGGACAGTCTGCGACGGGCCCGGCGGTCTAGCAAGAAGCCGCGCGTCCATCCGAAGCAGTGCGGCGCCTCGAGCTGGTCAGCGGCCTACCGCGAGCTGCACCGCCGGAACGCGCCGCCGCGGTCGTGGCTCACCCCGCGTCACGCCAAGGTCGTGGCGCGCGGGCGCCAGGGCGCCTGCTCCGCGTGGGTGTTGGTGCAACACACGCCGGATTGCCGCTGCGTCGATGGCACCGTGACGCTGCGAGTCGTGGTCCAGAATACGGGCGCAGCGGACAGAGTGCGCGTCCTCGTGGACGATTGCTCCCTGTCGTGGCTCGTGGCCGAAACGAACGACAACGCGAACGCAATCTTGCGTGCGGCCGGCGCCCGGGAGCTCCAAGGGCGCGAGCACGCCGTCGCCGTGCCGCGCACGGGCACGATCCTCGAGTGCAGGCAGGTGGCGCGCGGCCACGAGCGTCGGACCTTCCCCACGGACGCGCTCGGCAACGCGTGGCTCCAGCCCCTCGAGTGGGTCGCGATGGAGGTGCGCGTGGCGACGGACGACTGCGTCCACGAGCACGATTTCTTGGAGCGCGCCATCCAGCTCTGCGTGAAGGCGCGCGACTGCTCGACGATTTCATCGACCTCAAGGACTGCTGCGACGGGCCACATCAAGCTCGCATTCATCGACGATGCCACGGTGCACCGCATGTACTCCGAGCTGCCGGGCGGCTACGTCATGCTGAGCGACGGCGTCTAGTACTTTTTTGACCTGCGCGCGGGAATGCCTCGCGGCGGCGGCGGCGTCGCTGCGTGGTACACGCCATCGACGCGACGTGTAGTTAATTCCAAGTTTATATACATGCTTCTCCGCGTCGCGCGGCGGCGAGGCGCCCCTCGTAGATCTGCACCGCCGCGGCGTACAGCTCCGTGTCCCGGTCAACGTAGTCGTCGAGATGCCGTACGGCCGTCTCGCGGTCGTAGGCGCCGGGGCGCGTGTTGACAGCCGCGCGCTCGGCACTGAACGGGGCCGCGCCGCGCATCGTCCGCGAGAAGAGCCACAAGGACTCGCCCCACCGCTCCTGCAGGCCGACGAAGGGGAAGCACTCGCGGAGGCGCCGGATCGCCTCGCCCACGTCCAGGCTCGCGTCCGCGCGGTCGGCGTAGCGATAAATGCCGAGAATCATCTTCGTTTGCACGTTCCGGACCTCCGGTCGTTTAGCATACTCCCGCAGCGCCTCGGCCTCCGGCAGCGCCCGGAACCGCTCGCAGAGCGCCGTCGTCACCTTTTTTGGTAACGACGCATGCGTCTGGAAGCCCATGCATTTTTGGTCTCGGCCCTTCATGAAGAAGGCCGACGCGAGGCGGGAGCGCGGCTCCCTAAATATCGCGACGCCCGCGTGCGCGCATTTGTTGGAAGTGGCGTACGGCGCGTCGCCTCCCCTCATCCATTCCTGGGCGCCGCGCGCGCCGTTGCGCCTTTTCCGGCGGGTGCCGTCCTCGAACTTCGGGAAGAAGGACTTGTGGTACTTGAACGACTTCTCGTCAAACCGGTACAGTGCGCTCGCGTTGCGGGCGCAGCGCTCGAGGCGCCGCGTCAGCGCGAGGTCCGCGGCCGCCCGGGATCGCGGACTCTCGGGTCGCGCCGGCGGTCCGCACGAGTAGTCGACCAGAAACTCGCGGAGGCTCGAGCCCGTCTTCGGCGCGTGGAGCCAGAACAACGGCTTCGCGTCTTCGTCGGCCGCGGGCCAGCAGAGGGCGGCGGCCGTCGCGGCGAGCAGCAGGAGTCTCGCCATCTTTTAGTAGCCGAGCGCCCACGAGACTACGATCACGAGTAGGACGACGAAGAGGACCGCGTGGACCCAGGAATTATCAGAGGTCTGGTGCCGACGGCTGCGCGTGTCGAGACTGTCACGCGCGGTGAAAGCTGAGTCTAACCCCTCTCGGGGGATCACCTCTGTGGGGACGAAACCGCACGCGTTTTTATATTCAGCGTAACTCGTTCCGTCTTTCAATCGCTTCCTCTCCGTTTTGGAATACGAGCCGTAATACTTGTTACGGCCCATCAGATTGGAGCGCCGTCGTCGCGTGCGAGTCCTAAGTATTTTTAACTATTAAACCGGAGGGTAGTGATCGCCGGCGATTCGCCGCCGAGCTCGGAAGCGATGCAGTTAGCGGGCGCGCTGTGTAGGTCCGATTCCGAATATCAATTACCACGCCTAACCGCGCACGCCCCTTACCCGCCGTAAATTTTGGCAGCACCCGGCTTCCTAGTGCCTTACAGGCCGCTAGCTCGAAAACATAGTCGAAAATCGACACGACTCGCGAGGATTCGATTGGCGCCGGGCGGCCCTGCTTTACGGCAGGGACCCGCATTGCTGCTGCCGCAAAGCGAACAACCATCTACGCAGCCGACGCAGCCGTAGCGCTACAACAGCAGCCTCTATACATTGACAGCGATTGGCGGAAAGCAGCATGACCAACACCACAGACAAAATCCTGGACGACGACGCCCTCGGCAAGATAAGCGACGTCTTGGACCAGGGCGTCCAGCCTTTATATGTCGAGAGCGGCGGCTGGGAGGAGATCTGGATCACGTGTAAGCTCGACGCGGCGATTTGCTTTTGTTTGTTACTCCTCTTCGAATTAGCAAGGAGAAAAACCTCAGTCTACCTCTGTAGATTGAAGCACGCGCTGCCCGATCGGAAGCCAAAAGACGTGCCCAAGAGGCATCCCTTCGCGTGGGTCGTTTCTTCCTCATCCTTGTCAGATGACCAGCTAAGGCACTGTATTGGTCTGGACGCGTACTGTGCGATCCGGTTTCTCATGATGTGCCGGGGGTTATTTGGCTGGACGTCTATCGTATCGATAACCCTTATTTTAGCATACAAGCATGGCGCGTCGCATCTGGAAGGGTTCTACGGTTTGACGCTGGGGAACTGCGAACACGTGCTGGAGGATAGATGGCGCTTATGGCTCGCTGTGGTATTTACCTACGCGTTCACAGCAGCAGCTATATACTTGGCGACGCGAGAGGCGCGGCACTATTTACGACTGAGAAGAGAATACTTGCGAAGAGGCGACGGCGCCGGTGAAAGTCCACAACCGAGATGCTCCGTCCTGGTCGAAAGGGTACCCCCTCGCTTGCGGAGCGACGCGGCGCTGCACCAGTATTTTGCGGCGTTGTTTGGACATCGGGACGTGCATTCTGCCGTATCATTTGTGGACTGTGCTCATTTAGAAAAGCTGTTAGATGCGAGAGACGCGGCGGCCGACGCCTACGCGTGGCGGTCGGAGGAGGGCGGGTATGGCTACGCGACTATTACGTCTGACGAAGGCCTCTCCGACCTCGCCGCGATCCTATCGGAGAAGGAGCAGGCCGTGCAGAAGTGCCAAGAAAGTATTCGGGAGGCGAAGGAAGCGCGCGCGGCTGAGGTATTGGAGGCCCACGCGTTGCTACCGACGACGCCTACAGACTCAAAATTAGAACAGCAACCTAGCTTCAACCAGGCCGCGTCGAAAGCGAGGGACGCCTCGTTACAAGCCATTTCCTTTCTAGGAGCTGTTGCTGGCCTGAACGAGATCTCGAGGAGATATGCAAATGAGGACGGTGCATCGAGTACCGGTGTCGTTACTTTCTACTCACCAGCTGTGGCTTCCGATGCGGCCCAACTAGTACTAACAGCTCGTAGAGGCGACGTCCACGTCTCATTAGCACCGCCGGCGTCGGACATGTTGTGGCCGAACGTTTCTATACCCAAGGACGAAGTGGATGAAAGGCTCGGCGCGGCCAACGTCGGGTTATTTTTTCTGGCGTTGCTCTGGACTCCATTAGTTGCATCAGTACAAGCCTTATGTAATCTGGAGGTGCTGGCGCATTACTGGAGCGCGCTCAAGCCTCTAGCTCGCGAAGAAAAGTACGAGTCGTTACGTATCTTGGTGAGCGGTTCTCTCCCAGTCTACATCATGCTCGCGTTGCTGGGGGCCTTACCCATTGTTTTGGATGCGGTCGCCGTGTCGTACGCGGGCGTCAAAACGAAGTCGGCGGCGCACGCTTATGTGTCATCGCGATACTTGTACTTCCAACTCCTGCAGATCTTCGTCACGGTGGCGTCCGGCTCTTTACTCTCTGTTCTTAGACAATTCTTAGACCACCCCAAGACCTTGTTAGATTTGCTAGGGAAAGCGCTGCCGGGGATGGGGTCCTACTTCCTCCAGTTAGTCATCGCCAAGGTCTTGTTTTCTTTGGCCTTCGAGCTCGCTCGACCGACGGCGTTGATCGGCGTCGTCGCGCGGCAAGGTGTGACAAGGTCAAAGTATTTCAAGGTACCGGCGCGCGTTCGAAGGCGACTGCGGCGGCCGCCGGAGTTTGACTACGGGTCGTACCTGCCGGACTTTGTTTTAGTGGTATTGGTCGGTACTATTTTTGCGCCGATCGCGCCCGTCGTCGCGTTGGTTTGTTTTGCTTACTTCGCCGTTGCGGTTAAGGTCTACTCGCACCAGTTCTTATACGTTTATGTGCGGGCCTACGAGACGGGCGGCGCGTTCCCCGGGCCGACGCTGGCGCGGTTCTTCTTCCTGGCGTTGGTGGTCGGTCACTTGACGCTGATTGGTCATCTCATACTGTTAGATGCGACGCACCAGGCGGTGGCCTTGGCGCCTCTGGTGCTGTTCACGTTGCGGTCTCGCTTGGATGTGCGGAGGACCTTTGAACTCCCAGCTAGATACCTAGACCGGGAAAACGCCGTGCGCTTCGGCTTGTATGAAACCAGAAGAGCGAACCGGCACGCGACGCCGCGGCGTCGAAGGAGGTCCGTCGGAGAGTCTTCTTCCGACGAAAAGGACGACGATTTATTGGCCGTGGACTACTACATCCAGCCGGCTTTAGCGGCGGGGCCCGTCGAGTTCGACGCCGCGCCTCAATCAGAAATGGTCGCGCGCGCGCCGGTCGACCGGAAGGGTGATCGGCCGCTGTCGCCGGTTTGATCTAACCTTATAATTTTGTGTACATCTTCTTAAGTGTATGGGAAGCGCTTGGGAGGAGCCCCGAGCAAGTCGGGAAGCGGCGGCCAGAAAGAAAGGACGTGGCGAAACGCGTCCCGGTTCAGAGCCGCTGAGGCTTCGACGGTTGCGTCGTCGTCGGGCGCCTGTGGCGGAAAGAGGCGCGCGAGGGGGCCGTCGCTCGTCGAGGCGCGACCCTTCTCGCAGAGCACGCGGAGCACGAGCAAGCGTAGACGATCGCGGTGGACGTAGGACCGCCACCCGCCCGCGGCCTTGACGTCCGAGAGCAGGGCGCGCGCGGGCGTTCCCAGTCCGGCAATCTGGATAGCCGTGTGCCCGTACCGGTCCTTCGCGCGCAGATCGGCGCCGCGGCTCAAGAGGAGACGAAGCAAGGCCAGCTGCACGGGTACTCGTTCCGCGGGGCAACTCCGCGCGCGGTCGGCGCCCCGCATGAGCGGCGTGCGATCCGGCGGACTCACTTGATTCAGCCTCGCCTCGATGTCGGCTCCGAGGTCTAGTAACAGCTTCGCCCTCCAGTATTTACCTTCCCACAGGGCCTTGTGCAGCGTTGTCCCATCGGTCCGTCGCCGCCGCCGCCGCCGCCCGCCGACACGAAGCCGTCGAAGAAGCGGGCCACGTCCGACGCCGGCCTCTCCTCCGAGAAGAAGAAGAAGAAAAAGAAGAAGAAGCGCGCGTCGTCCGCCGACCCGGACGCCGACACGCAGCTCTGAGCGGGCCGACCCCTCCCCACCGCGCGCCGCGGGTAAGCGTCGTGGGGTAGTCTCTCAGTCGCCGCCCGCGCGCAGTCTATTTGCGAGCTAATGACCGCAGCGGTACGTCAGTGCGAGGAGAGTCGTGGTCGCAGCGGCTCTGCGGCACACGCGGCCGTACGCGCCCGCGCGCTCGACTGCCGCTTCGCAGACTCCGGCATCCCGTGCAGCTCTCGGAAGGGAGTGCCCTGACCATTATGAATGGTACATCAACGCAGTTCACAAAAACCGAATTCAGGGGGCGTCATCGTGCGTGCAGCCCGAGGATCAGCGCCTTCGCGTTGCCGCATAACTGGGTTACACTGATATACGGCTGGCGTCTAGGGCTCATCAATAGCACAGCTGGCTCTGCTGCACGCAGCGTCGCTCGTGGTGCCCCTGAGGCCGAATAACAGCTCTGCATAGATCCACACGCTGTAGAGCTGTAAACGCGGAGCCACCCAGAGCGACAACAACACCACAGAAAGATGTCAATCATAGCCACCTTCGCGCGGGCGAACCCCATGGCCTTTGGTGTTGGTTTTAGCTGCGCGAAGACGTCCGTCTCCGATTTGGTGGTCCAAGTCTTCGTGGAGCGACGAGAAAATATTGATTGGAAGCGCAACGCGGCCTTCGCGTCGTTTGGATTCGGGTATCTAGGTATCGTGCAGTACTCGTTATACGTCCCAGTATTTTCACGGCTCTTCCCGCAAGCGGAGAAATTTGCCGCCAAGTCCCTGAGGGAAAAGGCCGCCGACTTCAAGGGCCAGGCCGCTCTAGCCGCGCAAGTCTTCCTCGACCAGTGCGTGCACCACCCGTTCATGTACTTCCCGGCGTTCTACATGACGAAGGAGGTAGTATGCCTTGGTATGGAAGCCTCACCGACAAAGGTCTACGAGAGGTGGTCCGAGAACTTCTGGCCGGACCTGTTTGCGCTCTGGAAGCTCTGGGTGCCGGCGACGGCCATGAACTTCGCCTTTTCTCCCATGTGGATGCGGATTCCGGTCGTCGCCTCGACGTCGCTGATCTGGACTTGCATCCTGTCTTCCATGCGGGGCGGGTCCGACGAGACCGCGGCGGAAGTGAACGCGGAAGTCTTGCACGAGAAGGACGAGGAGCGGGGCGGGGAAGTGATGCTTGGTTTTGGAGGTGTCGATGCGAGAGCGGCCGAGTTGTTTGCCCAGGGCCTGGCTCGTAGGGTTTCGAATGTTGATGATTACTTGGAGAAGTCTCCGGTGGTGCGGTCGTTGACTCGGCGAGTGACGCCCGCCGAGCAGCAGGAACCCAAGCCCGTCCAGACCCAAGGTCTGGCCCACTTATGCGTGACGGCGTCGGGTAGAGATCGGGTCGGTCTCGTGACGCAATTGTCGAAGTGGATCTACGATCGGGGCGGTAGCATAACCGGTAGCAAGATGCTTCGGATGAATGATGATTTTACGGTCGTGATGCACGTTATATCCAAGGACAAGACGTCGGCGTCGCATTTGCGGGCGGACTTGTTGCTGGGCGAGGGCGCGACCAAGGACTTGAGCGGCTTGCACGTGACGGCGCGCGAGATCAAGCCGAGTTCTCATCCTGGTAGTATGCGCGAAGCTCGCGTGCGGTGCACGGGCTACGATCGACCGGGCATCGTGTATCAAGTGACCGAAGTCTTGGCTTCGGCGGGTTTCAACATTGATGAGTTGACCACAGATACTATAAGAGTATCTGGGAAAGATGGCAAAACGAGACCCTTCTTCCTGCTCGAGGGCGTCGTGACGGCGCCCGAGAAGGTACCCATCCAGGCCTTCGAGAAGAAGCTCGAGGGCCTGCGTTCTTCATTAGATGCGAAGATCACGGTGACGTGGTCCTAGCCGTCTTCGTGTAATGATATATATAGTCATTTCGCGGTGTTCCATGTCTTAGGCGCTCCCCGGCGGCGATGGCGTTTCGCGGGCGCGGAGCTCCGCTCGCGACCGTCGCAAATCCTGCTCCAACAACACTACTTCCGGGTGCGCGCCGCCGAGCACGCGCCGCGCGGTCCGTTCCACGTCCTCGAGCGTCGTTATGGCCTCACGGTGATCGTCGAGCGATGGAAGACGTACGTGGGCCGACCCGAGGCGGACCAGTTTCGGATATTGGCGATGTCACAGGTTGGCAACGGTTTATACGCTTCACGCCACTACGAGGACGCGTTGTCCGTGCAAGAAGCCGAGTTGTCTTTGCGGCGGCGCCTTGGCGTATCAGAAGAAAGCATTCTCGCCGTCCAAGCTAATATCGCGATGTCGTATGAACGACTAGGACGCGTCGAAGAGGCCCTGTGCGTGAAGCGAGATGTATACTCCGGGCGTTTGAAGCTCAGTGGAAAATCACATGAGGACACCCTCCGAGCGGCCAACAACTACGCGGCGTCCCTTCTCGATATGGAGCGCTTAGAAGAAGCCAAATCACTCTTACGCAAAACAATTCCCGTGGTCCGCCGCGTCCTCGGTGAAGGGCATAGACTCACGCTCAAGATGAGGCGCATTTACGCGGCGGCGCTCTGCGAGGACCCCGCCGCCACGCTCGACGATCTCCGCGAGGCCGTGACGATGCTCGTGGAGACGGCGCGGACCACGCAGCGCGTGATGGGTGGCACGCACCCGCTAACAGCGGGAATTGAGGAGAATCTACGAGACGCGCGAGCCGCGCTCCGCGCCCGCGAAACGCCGCCGAGGAGTGCGTAAGTACCGACACTATACTAGAAACAAACTTACCCCTGCTCGAACTTCCGCGCGTCGAGGAACTGCGTCCCCCGCATGCCAGCTCTCTCAGTAAGCAACTCACCGCGCGCGTTCCGCTCGCCGGGCTTCGCGTGCGCCGCGGGATGCTTCTCGAGTTTCTGCGGGATGTCCGCGTCCGTCTGTTCCAGATACTCCCGCAACTCATAAAACATGGCCTCGTCGCTATCCGTAAGAAGGGTAGACGCGACGCCGTCCTTGCCCGCCCTACCGGTACGACCGATGCGATGCGAATAGTTCTCGATCTTCAGTGGCATGTCATAATTGACAACGTGGGCCACGTCCGGAATATCCAGGCCTCTTCCGGCCACGTCCGTCGCGATGAAAATCCGGAACGTGCCGCGCTTGTAGTTTTCTAGGGCAGCTTCGCGCTGGTCCTGGGTCTTGCCGCCATGGAGGACCCCACACCGTATTTGCGCATTTTCTACCACCTTCTTCAGAGCGTCGCAGCCGCGCTTCTCATTGCAGAAGACGAGGTACTTCTCTGAAGGTTGTTTCCTCCTCAGTAAGTCTATCAGGGTCTGCTTCTTCTGCTGCTCACTAATGAACAGCACGTGCTGCCTGATTCTCTTATTCTTGCCGGAGTCCTCATCGCCAATACATACTATTGCAGGGTGCCGCAGAAATTTCTTGGCCAGTTTCTCGACGCCAGGAGGCATGGTGGCGGAAAACATCGCAGTAATACGATAACACGCCTCGCCCCTACTTAACGCGGCGCGCTGCTGCTCCAACAACATCTCGTCTTCGCTCATCAACAGCCCCCCCATGGCCTCGAGTATCGTATGTACTTGCGGCTCAAAGCCCATGTCGATCATGCGGTCGGCCTCGTCGAGTACGACGTAGTTCGCCTGGTTCAGTACTAAGTATTGCGATTCGAGGCAGTCATTTATTCTTCCAGGCGTCCCGACGATGATCTCCACACCCTCGCGCAACAAAAACCCCTGGTCCTCTATACTTCTACCACCTACTATAGTGGTCGTCTTGCACGACAAGTAAGTACTGAGCTTGGCGATCTCGTCGTTGATTTGTTGCGCTAATTCACGGGTAGGAGCTAGAACCACAGCTAATGGACCGTCTTCGGCCAACGACGCAATACGCTGTGCTGGTAATTGCGCGACGTAAGCGAGTAACGGCACGGCAAACGCCGCGGTCTTCCCTGAGCCAGTTTCCGCGACACCGATCAGATCCCTTAATTCTAACCCAACAGGTATAGCTTGTCTTTGGATAGGTGAAGGATCTCTATATTTGGCATCTTGGATGGCTTTGTGGATCCCCTCCGGCACGGCCATCTCGTTCCAAAATCTCAACGGCGGAGGTGCTTTCCCACCTCGTATCCGAATGTCGAAGTCCTCCTTCATAATGCGCCAGTCGCGCGCGTTCATTTCTTGTAAAGGTTTTTCCGTCCAGTGCAGCAATTTCTTGCCTAGGGCCGTGGCCTCGACCTTCTTCTCTTCCGCAGCTAAGGCTTGTGTTAACGCATCTCTTTCCTTCTTTCTTTGGGCCTCTCGTTTCTTCCTCTCGGCCCGAGCGAGGCCTTCCGCCTCTTCCTGGGCTCGCGCCTCTGAGGCTCGCTTATCGTTCAATGCTTGACTAAAAGTATGAGCTCTTCGTTGCTCCCGCATATCTAAGCCAGCTAAGTAGCCTCGTCCTAGCATAGGCTGGATCGCATGCCGTCGAGCATACAACGGATTCAGATCCTGACTAGTGTCGTCGTTCGCGTCCCAGTCGAACTGGAAGACGCGCGCGAACTTCTCGGAAGGTTTAGGTTGCTTTTTCTTGCCTTTTTTGCCCAGATAGTTCTCGCGGATTTGCGCCAATTCTCGTTCCTTATCAGTATCCTTCTTTGCTACGGGCTTTTTCTCCCTCAATACCGCGTAATCATCGATAGCCTTCTTGATCGAGGGCTCTTTCCTAGGTAGCGGTGCGGAGAACTTGGGGCCGCTCCTGAGTTTCTGTTCGCGTTCCCGTCGTTTCGCTTCGAGTCGCTCCAGAGCTAAGCGTTCCCGTTCCTTCTTGCTCACAAATTTGGGCTTGGCCTCCTGTTCCTTTTTCAGTGCTGCTACCTCGGCCGCCGACAATGCCACTCCTCGTTCCTTGGCCGCCGCTTGGGCGGCTGCTAAAGCCTCAGCTCTTACGGCCGTTCGATGCAGGCGTTCCGCTTCTTCTCGTTCCGCGGGCGTCATCTCCGCGCGCGTTCGTGCCGCGGCCTCGTCCATCGCGTCGGCGTCGTCCGTCCGCAGGCGCTTCGCGGCGTCTTGCGGGTCTTCGCTCGCGCCGCGTTTTGTTGAGGCGGTTACGATCGTCGCTTCGTCGACCTCCATCGTGGCGCCTCGTTTTATGCGCGGCGGCGTCTCGCTGCTTGTTTTATGGGCTGCAGAGCCCTCGTGTCCCCAAGTCGTCGGCGCGGTCGATCTGTCCGCAGCTCTCTTACTGCAGCAGTCCTGAGGTCTTCTAGCCTGCAGCAGGCCACGATATGACCTTGCGCGACGAGCAAAAGCTTTGGGCCGCGCGCATAACCGACCTAGCGTCCTGTTACACACTAGCGCGACACAGTCGACGCGTCGATGTCTCGGGCCCGAGCCTCTGTGGTCCATACAGCTTGTTGGACGCTCCGAGCGCTTCTCATCTAGACCGCATCGCTGCCGGCGACCGCTGCTTCACCCGCGAGGCGGCGCTCCCACAGCTGTCACACAGCACAACATCTCACAGCCGTACGCCGCCGCCGCGAAAGCAATACGCCGCGCCGCGCAAGTCATTCGTCGCAGGAGCAGCCGCAAAAGACTGATAGCAACCATGGGCAAGAACCAGCACTCGAAAGATAGGATGTTTATAACGGCCACCGAGCACGCCGGCCTCTACGGGGGCTACAAGAAGAAGAAGACTATTGGACTGACCGGGGCGTTACCGTTTGACTGCTGCGCTCTATCTTTACTACCCTTCGATTCACCAGTGTGCGCGAGAGATGGGATTTTATTCGACGCGTTGCAGCTACTACCGTACGTGCAGGAGAAGGGGGTCTCACCGGCGACCGGTAAGAAATTGGCTGTGAAGGACGTTCTACGGCTGAAAATGGCGAAAAATCAGGACAACCAGTGGCACTGCCCCGTGACCTGCAAGGTGTTTACGAATCACTCGAAGGTCGTCTGTATCGCTACTACTGGCAACGTCTTCTCGAAGGACGCGGTCAAGGAGCTCTGTTTCAAGCGGAACTGTTTGGAGGACCTGCTGGACGCGACGCCCTTCCGGAAGGAGGACGTTATATCGTTACATGATCCTGACGACAAGGATCTTGTATCTCGTAGGGATTTGGCCAACTTCTGGCACCTGCAGGAGGAAAGGAAGAAGCGCGACGCCGAGTTGGGGTCGAAAGGATCGTTTAAACAAACAGACGCCCAGAAGGAGGTCCTGGCCGAGGCGAAGCGGAACGTCCAGGAGCGCGAGGCGCAACGTATGTGTGTGTGTGGAAATCATAACTCTATCTGCTCGATGGCGTCACCGGTTGCTTTCCACGCAGGCCTGGCCAAAGAAAAGGCGCGCCAGGAAGCTCTCAATGCGCCCGACCGGCCCGAGAACAGGGGCCTCACGGAGGCGTATTTAAGGGTAAGGCAACTGGGAGCAACCACCGACGAAGTGACGCCGGGGTCGAAATTAACGTCGGGCGCCACGTCGGGCTCCTTCACGTCGTCGGCCATGGACCGCTCGACGACCGCGGCATTAAGGGCGGCGACGGACGACGAACTTAAAACTGCGCGGTGGAAAGTTTTAAGATCGCTGGGCCAGAAGGGCTATGCTCGCATACGAACTTCATTAGGTGATCTGAATGTGGAGATCCATTGTGACATGGTCCCGCGCGCGGCGGAGAACTTTCTGGGTTTATGCAGGGACGGCAAATACGACGAGACGCTCTTCCATCGCGTCGTGCGGCACTTCGTCGCGCAGGGCGGCGACCCGACGGGGACCGGCCGGGGCGGCGATTCGTTATGGGGCGCGCCCTTCGCCGACGAGTTCGATTCAAGGTTGACGCACTCGGAGCGCGGCGTGCTCGCGTACGCGAACGACGGGAGGGATCGGAACAAGCAGCAGTTTTATGTTACTTTCAAGTCCTGCGGCCACCTGGACAACAAGCACACGGTGTTTGGGAGGGTCGTCGGCGGGCACGACGTTTTAGATCGGATCGAGCGAATTGAGGTAGACGCGGCGGACGACCATCGACCCCTAAAGGACGGCGTCAAGATCCTCGGGACGGACGTTTTTGTGGATCCCACCGTCGAGGCCGACGCGAAATTCGAGGGGGAATTGCGGGCGAAGATCGCCGCGCGCGCGGCCGCCGCGCCCGCGGGCTTGCGGGCGCTGCCCGCTTCCGCGCCGGCGCCGGCGCCGAAGCGCCCCGCGGACGACCGGCTGCCCGTCGCGACGGAGCGACCAAAGCCAAAAAAAGCGAAGCCGTACGGGGACTTTTCGGGGTGGTAAGAGACCTCTTGTTAGTCAGTCGCTCCTAGCGGCCCTTGCGGTCCATCGGCGCGGCGGCGGGAACGGGCGCCGGCGCGTTGTTCCCGCGGCGCTGGATGACCTCAGTGTCGGCGGCGGGCGGCGCGCCGAACGGGTCGGCCGCGGCGCCGCCGCGAGACGCGAAGCGCGCGAGGCCGGCCGACGCGCGGTTGCCCAGGTACCACTCGATGGCGTAGTTCTTGAACTTGCCGTGGCTGTAGCTCTGGAGGAAGACCTCGCCGGGGCCCGTCAGCTTCGTGTTGAAGAGCCCTTCGCCCGCGCAGCAGCACGTGCAGCAGCCGCCCGTCGTCCTCACATCAAATTCGACGGAGTCCTCCCAGGACACGAGCGAGTTCGTGTCGACGAGGAGCGTCTCCCCGGGCGCGAGCGTCTTGTGCGTGATGACGCCCATGGCCCCAATAAAGGCCATACCGTCGCCCTTGATAACCTGGCGGATCAGGCCCTGGCCGCCTGTGTTGAAATCAAATTTCAGCCGCCCCACGCTTGTCTCCGTAGCTGCGTCTGCTCGATGGCGTGGAGGTTGACGAAGGTCCACGCAAAACGTAACTCACTGGTTAATTTCCACACAGCTGGTCGCCGCAGCAGCAGGTCAGGGGGTTCGTGTCGACGTCGAAATTCACCTCCACCGCGCCCAAGGACGCGAAGAACGCCCGGTCCTTGGCCAGGAAGCGGCGGCCGCCGAGAAAGACTGGGAGCACCTTCGCGGGCCGGACGGGCGTCAAAGCGACGTACGTGTTGTCTTCCTGGGCCTCGAACGTCGCCATGCAGCAGGGCGAGCAGGAAATGCACCTTCCAAAACAGTCCGACTCGTCGCACCTGCGCGCATACGAGTTCGATCGCCGCGGCCGCATCTTCGACAGACGGGAAGAGCCGGGAGAGGAGCGCGTCGTCCGTCGTCGCCCGCCCCCGTTCGCAGAGGACACGCAGGACGAGCATTTCAAGCCGATCGCCGTGGAATCCCCGTCGGGCGTACGGCCGCCATCCGCCCGCGGCGCGGACGTCGTTTAGAATGGCACGCGCGGACGATCCCATAGTGGCGATCTGGTGGGCCCGGTGGCCGTATCTATCGCGGGCTTCGAGATTCGCGCCGTGATGCAGGAGAAGCTTAACCGTAGCGAGTCGTGCCGCCTCTTCCTCTGCCGAACATGGGAGGCATGCGCGGTCAGCAGCCCGCATGAGCGGTGTGCGATCCCTCGTATCGTCGCCTTGGAGTGGCACGTCGACATCGACGGCGGCTCCCAAATCTAGAACGAAGGCCGCGTCCGAGTACCGCCCACGCCGCACGGCTGCGTGTAGCAAGTAAGTTGGGAAGTTCAGATCCGCCCCCCGCTCTACCATAAATCGCACGACGTCGGCCCTCCTTTTATCCACCGCTTTGAGAAGCAACTCCCCGGTAACTTTGGTGTCACTATTATTACCAATCAGAAATTCGTTGGCACCAGCGGTTCGCTCTGCTGCATCGAGCGATTTGCCGTGGTTGAGTGCATCATCTATTTGCTTCTCGGTTATGTATGGATCAAATTGAGCGTCTCCGTTCCAGCGAGGGAACGTAATGTCCCCAATCAGCAACATGTCTCTAGTCTTGCGGTGGCTTACTTTTAGTACTAAGTAGTACCCGAGGCGTCGACCCCGACGGCTCTCGCGGACACAGCGCCGCCCAGGCCGGCCAGACCGTGGTCGTCGCCGCCGCACGTCGAGACGACACGCCCGTCCCTCGCGACTAAGCTGAAAATTAGCTAGCGGCCTGTAAGACACTAGCAATTCGTAAGCTGCTGCCATTTTTTGCTCGTAGGCAGCCCAACTGCTGCCATCTGGCCCGCGGCCGAGCACTACGCATGGTCTCCATGAATAACAACTAATGGCCGACTTCTTCGCCCCCAAGCCGCGCGCCGGCCGTGTGGCGCCGGAGCCCGGCTTGGGCTCCATCCCCGAGAACCGGGACGCGCCCGCGACGCTGCCGCGACCAAAAGAGGACCAATTCGACAGCAAGGAGCACGTCGCCGAGGCCGTCGACGCGTACGTCGCGGCCCAGTCGTTCCGGCCCGCGCTCGCGCGCGCCGTCGCGAGCGCCGCGCGGAACGTCCCGGAGCTGCGGGACGACGTTTATGATCACGTCCTGACGGCGCTGCGGCGCACACCGTCAAGGGGGTGGCCGCTGCTGTGCGTCGTCGCGCTCACGTGCCCGCCGGCGACGGACGGATGTAGACGCAAAGTCGACGCCGCGCTCACGTGCGCGTCCGCGGATTATACGCGCTACGCGTTGTTCGTCCACGAGGTCCTCGGCGCCGTCGCGAGCCCGCCCTCCGAACAAAATATAGCCGCGTTTGATATGAGGCCGCCCTCGGTCCTGAGCGTGACGCTCGTCGACGGCGAGTCCTTGGTGGAGGCGTTGCCCGTGGCGCCCTGGGTCGACTGCGCCGCCGTCGCGCGGCATCTGGTGACGACGCGGCTGCGGCTGACGGACGCGCGCCGGTCGACGTTCGGCCTGTTTTTCGCGGACAACGGGCGGCCGCTCCACCGCAGCGAGTTCGTCGGCGATGTACATGAGTCCGCCTTCGTGTTCAAGCGCATCCTGCGCTTCCTCCACGAGCCGAGCCGCTCGGACGACGTGTTATTTGAGCGGCTGAACTTCCTGCAGTGCGAGGACGACGTGCTAAATGAGGGCCGGCTGCCGATCCCGCGCAAGGACGCCGGCGCCCTGGCGGCGCTGTCGCTCTTAGCGACGATGGGCGCCGCGACGCCTATAAGGGTCGAGGACCTCGCGGCGCTGACGGAGGACCTGTCGATCGGCGAGTGCTACCCGCCGGCCTACGAGGGCGAGGAGCCCCTGACATTGGCCTCGCTGGCGGCGCCGCACGTCGCGGCATTTAGAAAGCTGGACGCGCGGGCGCTGCACCGCGCGTTCGTCGACCGCTGCCGCGCGCGGCCGCTCTACGGCGCGCACGTCTTCGAGGTCGACGTCGTGGGCGGCCTCGACGCGCCCGGCGCGTATCGGCTGGCCGTCGGTTCGCGGGGCCTCGCGCTGCTCGACGACGACGACGTCTTCGGCGTCGACTGCCGCTACGCGGTCGGCGACGTGGCGTCGTGGGCGTCGACGGGCGACAGCGTGGAGGTGCGGTTCCGCGAGGCGGCGCCGCTGCTCGTCGAGTCGGCGCAGGCGCGCGGGATCGTGGCCGCGCTGGACGTGTGCATCAAGCGCCTCGGCGTCGTCGTCGAGGAGCCGTCGCAGCGCCGCGACTGGACGGCCCACGGGCTGTTCGCCGCCGAGGAGGGGGCGGAGGAAAGTAAAGGTGATTAGTGTGCAGGTCAGATTGCAGGTCGGGCGTTCGGGCGGGGCGGGCGGGGGGGGACAGGAAGGGGGAGGGAGGAGGGAGGCGCCGATTACCGTGCTGTCGTCGGTTTATACGACGGCGTGATCGGCGCCGGAGTCGGTACGTAGGTGGGCGCCGAAATGGGGACCTTGGTCGGGACGAAGGTCGGGCTCGACGACGGCATATAGGTAGGGACGCCCGCTCCCGGCGGCTGCACGACGGGCGCGGGCGTCGGCCTGGGACTCGGCCGCGGCGCGTTCGGCGTGCCCATAGGGCCGTGCTCTTCTTCGTGCGCCGCGAACTCGGGCGCGACGGCTTGGCAGTACAAGTTCGAGAAGCGCCTCCCCAACGGGTACGTATCGCCGCCCGTGACACAGGCCTGGTAGAACAGATTGAAGAAGCCCAGCGTCGTCGGCGCCGGCGTCGCCGCGCCGATGTCGGGGTCGAAGCTCTCCGTCTTGATGTTGGCGAATAAGTCCACCATCGTAGGATCAGCACTAGCCGCGGCGGCCGCCGTGAGGGCCGCATCGAGGAGGCTCGGGTCATCCCTGGCCGCTTGCAGGTCGTCCTCGACGGCGGCCTTCTCGGCGGCCGTCACGCTAATCTCGAAGTCGACCACGACGCCGTCCGAGAGGCGTCGGCGCGCTGACGCCTCCAAGTGCGTGAGAGTCACGCGGTTCTCGGTGATATTGGCCGAAAGGCGACCGATCGCGTCCCGAAAGACGGCCTTGGCCGAGGCATCGTTCGCCTCGTCGTACGAGATGCCCGAGAACGTGGCGGAGCCGGATATCACCTCGTAGGTCGTCACGTTGGTGTCGTTACTGAACACGACCGTGTACGCCACCTCGACGTCTGAAACGACAAAAGCCTCCTCGCAACCTTCGGACGCGGCGTCGCCCGAAGCGTCGCAAAACGCGCACGCCAGCGCGTTGCAGTCGGTTTCGGAGCACGAACAGTCCGCCGTGGCGGCCGCGACGACAGAATCCGTCGCCGCGCCGACGCCGGCGGAAATCTCTTCCGCCTCGAGGTCCGTTTCGATCTCCATGCCGACGACCAGCTTCGAAGCGTCGTCGGTGACCGAGCCGTCGTCCACGTTGCACGCCGGGCCGCAGACTTCGTCGATGTCGTCGTCGCTGGCGACGACGAGCCTCCGCGACGCGCGAGCGGGCGTCGCACGCTCCCTCTCGTCCAGGCGGCGGCCGCTGATGCCGTTGTCTTCGAGACACCCGTCGTATTCTTCTCGGCTGGTACTAGTGCCGAGCACGCAGGGGTTGTGACCCTCGGCGATGACGATGGTCGCGCCCACGCTGTCGGTGGTCACCTCGCCGAAGACCGAGTCTGCGCCGAACGCGACCGACACCATCGTGTGCGCGTGCGTGGTCATCTCCTCCTCGTCGCCCATGTAGCCGTAGTAGGTCTCGCTGGCCCAGAAGTCGACCCACGCCGGCGACTTGCTCGCGCTGAGCGGCGCCATCGTGTAGCCCATGTTGACCGACACCGCCGCGACGGCCGCCGGCGTCGGCGCCATCGTCTCGAACGAGTACGAGAACGAGTACGAGAACAAGTAGGAGACGTCGTAGATGATGTCGTACGAGTAGGAGACGTCGTAGATGATGTCGTACGAGAACGAGTACTCGTATCCGCCGGTCACGCCGTCATCGCAGTCGACGCCTCTCGCGCGGAAGACCGGCGCGCACGGAAGAGCGGGATCGGCCTCTCTCGCGGCCTCGCAACCGAGCGCCATCGCGGAGTCCATGAGGACTAGGTTGTTCGGTTGCGGGTCCATGTTCATGTTGTCAGCCCCACACGACCCACTAGCCGTGGTGAAGTCGCCCCAGCCAAGAATGAGGTGCGGGCCATCATGCGGCGAAATTGTCCCGTCTTCGTTGACGACCCAGCTCCCGACGGACTCGTGGTAGTTTCCGAGCGCTATCGCCTTGGCCCCCGGCGCGTAGTCGTTGCAGTGAACGTGCAGACCGACGTTGATGAGGAAGTCCTCGTCGATGGACGGCGGCCGCGTCGCGTCCGTCGTCCACTCGTCCGGCATATCCGGGAAAACTATGTTGTTGTCCGTGCTGCGATGAAGCATCTTCGTGCCCTCCGTCGTTTGCGTGCTGACAAATGTGTTGCTGTGGACGTTTGGAGTCTCGTCGGCGATGTAGTGTCTGTCGGCATGATTCAAGCCCACCGAGAACTCCCCGTCTGGCAGGCCCAACATTGCCTGGGTGGCTGGATCGGGCTCAGACGCCACGAGGACGAACGGCTGGCCGGCGACGTGGTCGCAAGTCGTGGGCGTACCCACGTTGGTCGTCGCGCACTCACAAATCGCGTCGCTCGAGCTGACCGTTCCGTCGCATCCGAGGTGCTCTTTCACGTTACAATCATCGTCTTCCTCCTCCCAACCGTCGACGCAAGTGAGACCGATGCCGGAGCAGTAGCCGCCGCACGTGGAACCATACGTTTCCCAATTCACGAGCGCCTTGCACGCACCGCAAACCTCGTCGTCGAAGTCAGGCCATGAAGAAGGGTCGCAAGTCGTGGGCGCCGGTGTGGGAGCCGGAGACGGGGCCGGTGACGGGCGCGGCGTCGGCGCGAGCGTCTGACTTACGACGACGACCGGGGCCAAGACCGTCGTGATGGCCTCCGCATGCGTGGCGGCCGCCGCGGCCTCGGCCGCCTCCGTGGAGCCGGCCGGCGCCGCCGCGGCGATGGCCTCGACCTCGTTCTGCACGGTCTCGACGAACGTGTCGGCCGCCGCCACGAGCGACGTCGACACGCCCGACGAGAGCGCATCTACGTCGTCGTAGCCGCTAGCCGCGGCTGTCGCGGCGGGCACGACGATCTCGTACGTCACCTCGACGCCGTCCGTCAGGCGGCGGTTCACGGGCACGCCGTCGACTCTCAGGTTCGTGACCATGTCCGCGTCCACGCCGGTAATCGCTGCGGCCACCGTCGTCTTGAACGCGTCCACGAACACGGTGTTCTGGAACGCGTCCGCCGTGACGCCCGCGACTGTGCTCGTGACCTCGACGGCGATGATCGGCGTAGGTGTTGGGGATGACGTCGGCTGGGCCGTCGACACGTCGTAGGAGAACGAGTAGCTGTACGCCGCGAGCGGCGCGCACTCACAGATCGCGTCGCTCGAGTCAGCCCTTCCGTTGCATCCGAGGTGCTCTTCCACTTCGCATGTTTCATCAACCTCCTCCCAACCGTCGACGCAAGTGAGGCCGATGCCGGAGCAGTAGCCGCCGCACGTGGAACCATACGTTTCCCAATTCACGAGCGCCTTGCACGCACCGCAAACGTGCGTGTCCAAGTCGGGCCATGACGAAGGGTCGCAAGTCGTGGGCGTACCCACGTTGGTCGTCGTGACGCCGTCGAAATCGTCGTCGACGCCCGCGTCCGTCGCGGCTTTGCTGATTGCGGCGTCGACGTCTGCTGTCGAGCTGCTCGAAATCGCGCTCGTGACCGTTTGAGCCTCGTTCGCGGTCGCGACGCCCACGGTGTACGTCACCACGATTCCCTCCGCAAGGCGACGGCGGCGGGCCTTGGAGATTTCCACGGTCACGGCGGACGCGGCCACGCCGCAGAGATCGGCGACGGCGGCGACAAAGACGTCGGTGTTGTCCTGCGCCGCTTCGTACGTGATGCCTTCGAAGGTGAGGTCGCCGGTAACGAGGACTTCCGGGCAGTGAAACCGGTAGCCGCAATAGTCCGAATCCGACGCGCACGCCCCGAAGAAGCAACAATAGTCCTCATCCTGGCAGCAGTGGTCCGCGGAGTCCGCGTCCACGACATTGCCGCTATAGTCGAGCGCGTCGCATCCCGCGCCGCGGCTCTTGTCCTCGTAGAGGGTCACGGTGCCGATATCAACCGGGCAGCACGTGTATTCACAGTCGTCCTCGGACGGGTTTGACGGCATCGGAGTGTAGCCGTTCGCGCATGTCGCCGGTTCGCCCCAATCCATCGAGGCGCAGCAGTCCTCACCCCAGGATGTGCAGTAGTCCGGGCGGCAGCCGCCGTCCCACATCCAGTCCTCGTCGTCGTCCTCGTCCTCGTCGCCATCCTCGCCCTCGTCGGGGCCACACTCGTGCGGCAGCGCGCCGACCCTCGAGTCGCGCGTGATGAGGTAGCTTCCGATGTCGCCGACGTCCTCCATGCACTCGCACTCGTTCTGGCAGTAGCAGCTGCCGCCGTCTTCCTCGTCCCAGTCGATGGCCACCACGCCGTCGCCGTACTCGTCCTCACACATCGCCCAGCAGTCACCTGGCGACGCCGCGCAGCCCACGTGTTCGTCCAGGTCGCTGTAGCACCACCCATTCCCGGCGCCGTGATTCGTCGTGCCGCTTGGCGAGGAGCTGCGGTCGCCGGACGTCTCGATGTCGCATTCCTCGTCCTCGTCCTCGTCCCAGTCCAGCCAGTCGTCGTCGTATTCCCCCTCGCACTCGTCCTCGTCGCCCTGGTCATAGGAAGAAGGCCCGGTTGCGAATATACGCAGATAGCGCACGGTATCGCAGCCCGGCGTGGCACGACACTCGCACTCGTAGCCGCAAACGAGCACGGACCCTTCGTTGTACGTATAAGCCTCGCCCCACTCGGTTTTCACCTCGATGCCACAGCCCGGCGAGACGCGGAAGAAGTCAGTGCCGCTGCAGGCGTCGTCGTGGATGTCGATCCACTCTGCGCCGTCCGTGCCGCGCCACTCGACGCCGCAGTATCCACCGTTCGTGCCACAGCAGGCTTCATCGGAGCCGTCGTGCATGCCTCCCTCGCACGTGCTCTTGGGGTCGCAGTCGCAGCCGACGGACTCGTAGGCGCGCACCGTGCACGACGCCGGCGAGGGCGTCGGGGCTGGCGTGATGGTGGGCCGCGGCGTGCCGCCCTGGCACCCCATCGTCTCAAAACAGCCGCCCACGCGGACGCAGACGGCGCCGAGGTCGCCCCACTGCTCGCTAACCTGGGGGCAGTAGCCCCGCGCGGGCCGCGTCCAGCAAAGTTCTTCCTCATCTCCATCCCAGCTCTCTCGATGTAAGCAGGGCGGGTGATTGTCGGCGAGGTCGTCGGGTCCGCCGTAGGGCCCTTCGGCGCCGCCGTACTCGTAGCCCGAGCTGAGGTCCGCGGCTCGTTGGCAGGCTCCCTCGGTCGCCGGGAAATCGTAGCCCTCCGGGCAGCCCGTCATGTACGGCGCTAGGTAGATGTCGTCGGCGCAGTCCGCCTGGTTGTTGTTGCAGAGCGCGTGGGCCCAGTCACCGTTTTGGGCGTCGAACCAGGTCCCGTCGTAGACCTCGACGTCGCCGGCATTCATGATCGCGTCGGCCTCCGGGCCGTAACCGTCGTCGGGCTGGTCGTACTGGTTGTTCCAGTTTTCGTAACTGGGCGCCGAGCCGTCGGACCAGACCCAGGCCCCGTCGTGCGTGACCTGTGTGGAAATCAAAGTTTTACGGCACGTTCTTGCTGAATCGCCGCGTCGACCTCCACGCCATCGACGCGACGCCTGCTCGATGGCGTGGCGATGCCGGTTCCTCACCGCTCGACCGAGCCAGGACGGCCGCGTCATCGCCGGGAAATGACTTGGTGAAGAACTGCATCCGACGCACTGGTTGATTTCCACACAGTGCGTGACCTCCTGCAGGTCGAGCCAGCACATGGCCATGTCGCACTGGCTCAGCGCGTTGACGTTCTCTTCGGCCGCGTCGATGCGCGCGAGGCCGTCGGCGCCGCAGTACTCGCGCGCGACCTCCTTGCTGGCGACCTCGTCGTCGGAGCGGTAGTAGCTCGTCGTGCACGTCTGCGCGCCCCCCGTCTCGCAGACGGCCTCGCAATTCTGCCGGGCCTCGAGCTCTTCATTCTGATCGAGATGATCGGCGCACGTGCCCTCGTGGAACTCGTCGCAATCGTCGTGCCAGGAGATCATGTTGCACCGCCAGAGGTAATAGCACAGCTCGCAATGCCCCTCGCCCTCCTCATCGACGTAGCAGAACTTGCACTCGCCCTCGCAGTCGTCGTTCGAGTCGCAGGGCTCGTAGCGGCGCTCGTCTTCGTCCTCGTCCTCGTCCCAATCCTCGTCTTCGTCGCCGAGATATTCGCGATTGCAGCACTCGCCGTCGCCGTGGGCATCGCAGTCGCAGTCACCACAAGCAGGAAAACCACAATCCCCACAATTGCAATTGTCCGGGAGATAGGGGTCGTTCATGCAAAATTCCCTCGTGATCGGACAGCAGCCGCGCAGGGACCCGCAGCCCTCGTCCCGGAACCAGCGACCGATGTCCGAGCCGTCGTCGAAGTCGCAGCCGCCGCTCACGAACGCTGTGAGCTCGCTCTCCCCAATGGCGTCGCGGCACTCGTCGCAGTCTTCCCCCAAACAGTCGCTGCAGATCTCCGAGTACGGCTCGTCGCCTTGGCACTCAGCGTTCACGCACGCGAGGCAGCGGTCCATCGTCTCGAACGAGTACGAGAACGAGAACGAGTACGAGAACAAGTAGGAGACGTCGTAGATTTCGTCCTCGTCCTCGTTCTCGGCCTCCGAGCAGTCGGTGTGCTGGCATTCGCCGACCTCCCCCATGTCCTCGGGGGTGCCGTCGAGGTCCTCGTCGTAATAATAGACGATGGGCGACGTGCCTGGCTCACAGGTCAATCGGCCGCCTGTCGCCGCCGTATGGTCGAAGGCTTCGCAATCCTCGCACGAGGCGCACCCGTTCCCGTGCATCAGGGTCCCGTCGTCGCGGCACTCGTACGTCTGCCAGCCCGGGCTGCAGTCGGGAGGGCACTCGGACATTCTGTGCCCCGGGCGGCAGTCGTCGTCCTCGTCCTCGTCCTCGTCGCCGTCCTCGTCGCCGTCCTCGTCCTCGTCGCCGTCCTCGTCCTCGTCCTCGTCCTCGAAGTACTCCGGAAACGCCTCGCCGGAATCCTGGGGTACACGGCACGTCGTCCAGCCGCTGTGGTCGTCGTTGCATTGGATCGTCTGGCCGCGCACGTCCGCGCCGCCGTCGTCGCAGAAGCTCGGGTTGCAGCAGCCGCGATTGTTCCCGTCGTCGTCCTCGAGGCAACACTCGTCCATGTCACAACCGAACCTGCCACAGATGCATCTCTGACCCGAGCACATGAGATCCTGGCAAGGAGGATGCGGACTGCAGTCGACGGCAAGCGCGTAGTTGCCCGCCGCGCCCGCGTCGCGCGCGTGGTCGGTGTCACAGTCCTCCCTGTCTGAGTAGCCGGTGACCTGAAGCACGTACGTTTCGCCGGCCTGGAGCGGCTGGGAGGTCCAGACGTCCTCGCGCTCCTCGCGACCGTCGAGTGCACGGCAAACGTTCTCGCCGTCGTCGTCCCACTCGCCGATGAGCTCCACTTCGCCAGCGTGCGGCGCGGGCGATCGGAGGCAGGTGTCCGCCTCGTAGTCGACGACGTCGTAGAGGTAAAGATAGGTGTCGTAGTCGGAGCCGCACGTCGAGAAGTGGTAGTAGGCCGTCTCGGAGGGCGTGATCAAATAGAAGTGGTCGGGCGCGTCGTTGCCCGAGAGCCAGTGCGCTGCATTGGCTGTGGACTCATATCTAGTCTCACCGCACGCGATATTTTCGACGAACAGGCAGTCTTCGTACCCACATTCCTCCACCGCCTGCTCGACGCCGTCGAAGTAGTAGGTCGCCGTGCGGCTCTGGTCATAGCTGTACGAGTACGAGTACGAACCATCGGGGCCGTGTAGGAAGTAGTAGGTCGCCGTGCGGCTCTGGTCATAGCTGTACGAGTACGAGTACGAACCATTGGGGCCGTGCAACTCGCAGGTGGCTCGGCCGCCAGTGGCCGCCGTGTAGTTGTACATCGCGCAGTCGCCGCACGAGGCGCAGCCCTCGCCGCGCATCACCGTCCCGTCGTCGAGGCACTTCACGGAGTGCCAGCCCGGGGTGCAGCCCTCGTCTTCGTCCGCGTCCTCGTCTTCGTCCCCGTCCTCGTCCTCGTCTTCGTCCCCGTCCTCGTCCTCGTCGCCTTCGCACTCCTGGGGTAACGCCGTTCCATCGCGCGTGATGAGGTAGCCTTCGTCGTCGCCGACGTCCTCCATGCACTGGCACTCGTTCTGGCAGTAGCACCCGCCCTTATTCCAGTCGATGGCCACCACGCCGTCGTTGTACTCGTCCGGGGGGAAAAAAAAATCACACATCGCCCAGCAATCGCCCGGCGACACCGTGCAGCCCACGAGGTCGTCCAGAGCGCTGTAGCACCACCCCTTCCCGGCGCCATGGTTCGTCGTGCCGCTTGGAGAGGAATTGAGGTCGCCGGACGTCTCGATGTCGCATTCCTCGTCGTCCTCGTCACCGTCCTCGTCCTCGTAGCCGAAGCTGCCCGTGCAGCAGTGGTCGTCGCCGTAGACATCGCAGTCGCAATCACCACAAGCGGGGTAACCACACCAATCGCAATTGCAGTTGTCCGGGAGATAGGGGTCGTTCGTGCAAAATTCCCTCGTGATCGGACAGCAGCCGCGCAGGGACCCGCAAGCCTCGTCCCGGAACCAGTTACCTACCTCCGAGCCGTCGTCGAAGTCGCAGCCGCCGCTCACGAACGCTGCGAGCTCGCTGTCCCCGATGGCGTCGCGGCACTCGTCGCAATCTTCCCCCAAACAGTCGCTGCAGATCTCCGAGTGCGCCTCGTTGCCCGCGCATTCTTCGTTCACGCACCTGAGGCACGCCGCCATGGCATCGTCGTCCTCGTCCTCGTCGCCGTCGTCGTCCTCGTCGTCGTCGTCGTCGTCGCAGTCATCGTACCAGCACTCGCCGAACGGCCCCTCGACGTCGACATTGCCGTCGAGGTCTTCGTCGACATAGTAGGTATTCGTACCCGGCTCGCAGGTGTATCGGCCGCCCGTCGCGGCCGTCAAGTCGTACATTTCGCAGTCGTCGCACGAGCTGCATCCCTCAGCAGTCGAGGCCATAAGGGTCCCGTCGTCGAGGCATTCAATCGCCCCCCAACCCGGGGTGCAGTCGTCCTCGTCGCCGTCCTCGTCGCCGTCCTCGTCCTCGTCCTCGCTGCAGCACTCGCCCCACGTACTACAGCACCACCCATGGCATTCCGCCGCCGCCGCGCAGTTGTGCTCGTCGCCGCATTCCGGGCAGAGTGCTTCCCAGTAATCGTAGTCGTCGCCGTCCTCGTCGCCGTCCTCGTCCTCGTCTGCGAGCCGGCGCGCTGAATACCCTTCGAGGCGGCGCGAACCCCTGGCCCGCGCCTGCCCCTTCGCCAGTGGCGTCTGTCCAGTGGCGTGTCCACCGACTGTCGGCATGACGGCCGCCCAAAGCAAGGCAAGGCGCGCCATTTGCTTGCGCGGGGCTGCTCCGAGGCGTAAACGCCCGGTGCCGCTGGTTCCTCCTCCGGGGCACCCGGACGCGCGCTTGGGCAGCCGCCCCCCGCGCGCGCAGGTCCGGACCGCCCTGCCTCACCCCGCGGCCATATGCGGCCGGGTCATGACCAAACACTAGCGCAACCGGCACTAGGCCCCGCCCGCCGCCGATGAATCGGCGACGCGCGGCGTCTCCCCCCAGGGACTCCGCCCACTAGTCCTAGCACCGTAACAATAGAGAGAAGGCGAAAACTTTGAACACGACTTAGGGCAGGAAATGGTTGACGTCGCCGATGCGATGGGGCCGATGGGGTAGGTTGGTCGACGGACCTAGGAGCACTCCGCGAAGGCGTGCTCGATCCAGGGGAAGAGCGCCTCGAGGTCCTCGGTGTTGACGGTCGCGCCGCACCAGATTCTCAGACCCGCGGGCGCGTCCCTATAAGCGCCGATGTCGTAGGCCACGTCGGCCTCTTCCAGCATCTTGACCATGGCCTTGACGTTGGCCGGGTCCGTGTCGAGCGTCAGGCAGACGGACGTCGACGACCTTGTACTGACGTCCTTGGCCAAAAAATGGGCCCATTCTGTGTTATTGACCCACTTCGTGACCGCCTCCAAGTTCGCCTCGGACCGCTTAATCAATCCATTCAACCCGCCCTGGGCCTGGGCCCACTGGAGCGCATCGAGGTAATCTTCGACGCAGACCATCGACGGCGTGTTGATGGTGGCGCCGGTGAAGAGGGCCTCGTCCAACTTGCCCTTCTTCGTCATCCTGAAAATCTTCGGTAAGGGTCTGTTGCTTGGCGTGAACGATTCCAGGCGCTCGACGGCTCGAGGCGACAAAATGAGCATGCCGTGGGCCCCTTCGCCGCCCATGACCTTCTGCCAGCTGTAGGTCGTGACGTCGACCTTGCTCCAGTCGATGTCCATGGCGAAGACGGCGCTCGTCGCGTCGTTGAAGGTTAAGCCCGTTCTATCGTCGGCGATCCAATTCAAATCAGGGACGCGGACACCACTGGTAGTGCCGTTGAACGTGAAGACGACGTCGTGGTCCTTGTTCGTCTGTGAGAGGTCGGGCAATTCCCCATACCCCGCCGTGATCTCCGTGACGTTGTCGAGCTTGAGCTGAGAAGTAACATCACCCAACCAACCCTTGCCGAAGCTCTCCCAGTGGCACATGTCGACGGGCCGCTCCCCTAACATAGACCACATGGCCATCTCGATGGCGCCCGTGTCCGAGGCCGGCACGACGGCTATTTTATAATCTGAGGGGATGTTCAGCACTTGGCGCGTCGTCTCGATCGCCTCCTTGAGTTTGGCCTTGCCGATTGCCGAACGGTGGCTCCGGCCCGTCGCGGCGCTCTCGTAGACCGCGGGCGACCAGCCGGGCCGCTTCGCGCAGGGGCCGCTCGAGAACTCGGGCCGCGCCGGTTTCACGGCGGGCTCGGCGGACGTGATCGGCGCGGCGGAGAGCGCGCGGCGCTGCGCGAGGGCCTGGCGCGAGGCGCGGCGGAGGAGTAACATCTTTTCTGGGCCTGCGCGATCAACGTAACCGTGCCGTGCGCGTGCTGCAAGGCGGCGAAGAAGAAAGTGCAGCAATCGCGATACCGCGCCAAAAGAGCTGCGAAAAACGTTCGCGTGCGACGTATATGTGATAGCTTCACACGCTGGCGAGCTCACGTGGTTGGATTTGCAACACGGCACGATTACGAGGTGCAAAGTTGTCGCTGCTTAAGCAAAAAAGCAAAAAGAAGGACCCCCCTACTGCACATCAAAGTGACGCCACGCACGCTCCTCGCACGCTCGGCGTGTGAAACCCAACGTGGGACAGCCGAAGCAACAGAAGCGTCGCAGGGAACGCTGAGGCTCGGTGGGTTTGTGGGCGCGGCGGCCGCGGCCGCCGCGAGCAAGGTACCAGCCCACCGCTGCGTTTCCTTGGCAGCCCCGGCGCACGAGCGAAGGCTGCTCCCACGCGTGCGCGCGGGAGGAGAGGGCTGCCGCGCGTCCGCGCCCGCACAGGCTTATGTTTCCCTGTTTTCAGGGCAGGGCGCATCGATCGAGGGCGCTGCCCCGCAGGCCGCCTCGACGCCGCCGCCGCGCAAGCAGGCGAGCCCATCGAAACCTCGAGGCCACCCGTCGACCGTCGGGGCAGCCGCGCGCTCGACGCACGAGCAAAACACAGAGCCATGGCCCTGCCGACCTATGGCGCCGTGCCCAAGCAAGAGATCCCGCAACAAATAAACTGGCGCCGGCGATTACGAAGGGCCGCCGTCTGCGCCGGCGCGGGCCTCATGGTGTCGCGGGCCCTCGTGAACCAAGGGGGAACGGTCGTCAATGAATCAAATGCCGCGGCGGCGCTCCACATCCGCGAGGACGAGTTGGACGACCGCATGACCGAGGACTGCAACATGAGTGATGGGCGGTCGACCTTCATCGAGTGGGTCCAGTACCTCATGGGGTACGCGGCCGAGGTGACGCCGGCCGCGGGCGCCGTGCTGTTGGATCGGGGCCAGTTCCCGGAGGAGTTGTATCGGACACAAGATCCTTTGTCAAAACGGATCCAGAACATGCTGGACGGGTATGATGATGCGCTGAACGACTGTATGAGGGATCCCGATTTGTGCCTCGCGGAGCAGTTCTTCTACGACCCTTCGGTATCCTGCACGGCGATGCAGAACGCCGAGACCATGCCCTGGCCCGACATCGCGTGCGCCGAGTCGTGCGTGGAGACCATGGTCAAGGACCAGCGGCCGGACCTGGCGACGTGCTCGGATCCGGTCACCGCCGCGATGATCGAAGCTCCTACCCTCTTCAAGTCCTTCTTCGAGGAGGGGTCTGACGGCCGCGCCTGCGTCGACAAATGTATTGAGCAGAACGCGGAAAACCCGTTCACGATCACGTGCAGCGCCACGGAGACGTTCACGGTGCACCACAATAATGCATAGTTTTGTTTAAGTTTACTTCTCCTTATGCGTGTCTATCCTTCTGCGCCCTCGCTCGGCGCCGGTGCCTGCTCGATGGCGTGAAGACGGTCCGCCGCGCATCGAGAGCGTCGCACACATACTATGCTTTCGACGTCCGACGGAACACGACGCGGCGAGGTAGCTTGTGTAAGTTTAATCCTCCTTATGCTTGTCTATCCTGGGCACGCTTCTTGAAGGCGGCCCTTCTGCGCGTCGACGTACGACAGGTCCGCGCTCGGCGCCCTGGCGTTGGCATTCGCCTCGCAGATCGTAACGCCCCCCGTCGGCGACGCCCTGGCAGTCGACGTACGTCTTGGTGGGGAAAATGCCCTTTCGATCGAGCGCGTCCACCAGGCGCTGATAATTGAGCGCCCCCGACGGCACGGCCCACTCCCTGTCTTCATGGTCAGCAATGAGATAAAAGTTGTCCATCATCAACCACTCGCCGCACTCCCAGCAGACGCGCGTGATCCGATCCCAGGTCACGTCCTCGATTTGGGACTTGCGACCCGGCCAGCGCCGCTCCCACGTGAACCCGGCGTCGTCGCAGTCGATGCGCCAGAACTTGGCTACGGTCGCCTCGTCGCCGCGCCACGCCGTCAAGGCGTCGGCGGTCGACCGCCACCGGTCGTGATCCGCGTCGCCGCGCCGGCCGTACGCGAGCGGCGCTAGACGCGGACCGCGTCTCGGCGGCGGCGCGAAGGCTATGGTAGACGTGCAAAGCGCGAGGATCATCGGAAGAGCTGGCCGCGCGCCCAGGGGTCGCACGCCGGCGCGCGGTACGCGGCGCCGGTGCTCGCGACGAGTTGGCGCACCTTGCCGCTGTCTTGGGGCTTCTTCTGGAGCGCGAGCTCGCCGTAGCGTGCCTGGAGCGCGACGCGGAGCTGGGGGTTTGGCGCCTGTTTCTTCTGCGCCGTCGCGAACTGGCGCTGCTAGAGCGCTCGTCTGATCGACGGATCGTGGTAGATGGAGCGCGAGGCCTGTCGGGCAGCGACGTTGCCCATATTTCTCCGTGTGTGTCTTTAGTATGCAGTGCTTTTGGGGCAGCCTCTGTCTGTTTCGATCTTGGAAGCTTCCTCGGAGCTCTGCGGGTTTGCAAGAATCCTCTCCGCTTCTCGCCCGGCGCGAACCTATTGGGGGCGTCTGGGGTGTCCGTGTAGATCGTGCGGACTCGGTGGTGCGAGTGTGTGGACCTTTACCTACCATCGCGCCCGCGGCGCCGCGATACAGAAGCCGACACCGGCGAAGGGCTCAACGGCCACTCGCCACCGGCCCAAGCTCGTCCGAGTCTGGGGTAAAACGTGTTCGTTCGTATTGCGCTAGCGTCCTGTAAGGCACTAGGCTGCCACAAAGCCGGCGACAAGTGCAGCCTGCATTTGCTCCTGGGTAACCTGCACCGACTTAGAGATCGTTTTTCAGAACTCCAACATCGATTCTGGGTGCGGGCAAGCATTGGTTGATCAGCTCCTCGCTTGCGGTGGCCACTGCACACTGCACACTGCAAAAGGGCTAGAGCAGGGCGCAACACGCCGCCGCCGCGGGCGTAGACCACCATGCGTCCCTGCACCGACGACGAGTTAAGGGCCCTCCTCGAGAAGCTCATGAAGTTCATCGGGAAGAACGTCGAGCTATTATTACACAAGGCCGAGGAGCCGCACTGCTTTCGCGTGCACAAAGGGAGGATATACTACGTGAGCGAGAAGCTCATGCGCATGGCGACGAACTTCAAGGGGAGCGATTTACTAGCCATGGGCACGTGCTTCGCGAAGATCACGCACAGCGGCAAGATCCACCTGCAAATTACCTGCGTCGATCATTTGGCCAAACATGCTTTGCACAAGGTATGGCTCAAGGCGAGCGCGGAGAACTCGTTCCTGTACGGCAACCACGTCACGAAGCAGGGGCTGGGTCGCATCACGGACGCGGCGCCGCAGCACGGCGGCGTCGTCGTCTTCAACTTGCAGGACGTGCCGCTCGGGTTTGGAATATTGGCGCAGCCGACGGCCGCGTGCAAGGACCTCGACCCGACGGCGTCGGTGGTCCTGCACCAGGCGGACGTCGGCGAGTACCTGCGGCTCGAGAGCACGCTGTTCTAAGTATGTTTGATCGTCTCGTCGTCGACGCCGGTGCCAAATATGAAAAACACCACATTAACAGTACTCCGGGCGCCCCCGCGCGTCGCGGCACACGCGGTCGCATCCTTCTAACGTCCGGAACTTCTCGCGCGCCAGGTCGGACAGCTTCCACGAGGGGACGTCCAGGCGCACGATGCGCGGCCGCGGCTGGCGCCCGGCCTTGTGGAGCGCGATGCCCGGCACGTCGCGGTGGACGTAGATGTGGGTCGAAGGGCCTCGCCTCAATAGACCGTCGACCGGGTGGTCCGGGGCCCGGCCCAGCGAGGCGCCGCCGGTGCAATTCAGGAGAGGCTCGAGGTTCGAGAAGTGGACGCCGTCGCACGACACGGCAAGCCCGACGTACGCCGAACCGTCCGCCCGCGACACGGGCGCGAGCGCGACGAGCGCGTCCGCGGCGTACTGGTGCCCGCGGTGGCGCAGCACGAAGGCCGGGTGCCTGTTGATGGCCGCGAAGTAGACCTGGTCGTCCTCATGTAAACCCTCGAACGACACTTGCTCGAAGGGCGACCATCCATTTGCACCGCGCCGCGACACCTGCACGCCGCGGCCGCCTCCAGCTTCTCTAGTGTTCGCCCGCGCGTACAATAGTAATTCGTTGCCCAAGGGCGCCAGGCTCAGGCGCCCGTCGAACTCGCAGAGCCCGCCGAAGCCGTCTCGTCGTTCCACGCAGCCCGGGTGCCGCCCGTCGATCACCGCGGTCCGCGTCCAGGTCAAATCGCGGGTAATATCAAAGACCTCGACGCCCTCGTACCGATCGGAGCCGTGCAGGGGCTGCACATTTCTATATAGAGAAGGGTCCCTGCTGCGGTAGAGCCCGCCCGCGGCCACTAACTGATCATCATCAACAGCTACGGCGAGGTTGTGCGCGACGCCGTCGCGGCTCACGAAGCGATGCGGATTTAGGGATGTGATCAGTCTGTCGTGACTACCATTGCGCCACAACAACTGGTCGCAGGGCGCGCTCTTGCACGAGTCCGCCCTGTTACCACCGCGCGCGGTCAGCCAGACGTCGCCGTCGACCTCCAGCAGCGTGAAGTAGCGCGTGCGGCTGCGCAGCGTGTGGACCAGCGCGACCGCCTCGACGAAATCCCGGTTGCGGTCCCGGCGGTCGCGCCGTTCCAGCAGCGCTCGCGTCTTGGGGTCGTGCAGGTCGCGGTCGAAGGCGTTGGTGTGCTGCCAGGTGCTTTTTGTCGCGTGCGCCGCCGCGGCGAGGAGCAGGACTGCTTGCATTTTAGGGTGGAGCTTTTTTTTCGCCGCAGCGATTGCGTAAAGTCTGGTGTCGATCTATGCGGCCCACAGCAGCAGCTTTCGAGCTGGACGGGCCATGCCGGGCTGCCTCGGGCTGCGTTTTGTTAAATTTTTGCAAAATCTAGCGTGTCACACCTAGCCATACCGAGCACCGCTCGTCGCGACGGACTTGCCTGAGGTCCTTCCGGTCGTCGATTAGTGGGCCGCGAGCCACGCAGACGACCTCGTTGGCGTGGTAAAGGCGCTGCCCCCGCCTCCGCAATCATGTGCTGATGGCTCATGGGCCTCCTCCCTGGAGGCCAGTCGTGCCACGGCGGAGCGCCCGTGGCCGCCGAGGGTGCTGGGAAGCAGGTGAAGCTCTACACCTGACCCACGGCCGGCTGGGTGGAGTGCGGCCGATACCCCGTCGCCGACGCGATTCGCGAGAAGCTGCCCGGCGCCGTCGTCGAACATAAGTGCGGCCTGCCGTTCATGGTCTATTCCACCGTGGACGGCAAGAAGTCTGCAAAGGAGTGCCTGCCCTTGTACTTCTTCTGCCCGGCCTGCTGTAGCAAGCGGCTCTGCAAGAGCGCGCTCGACAAGACGGCCGACCACGCCGTCGCGGCCTCGGAGTCGGGGGGCGGGCCGAAGGCGGAGAGCATGGAGCGCTAGGCGGCGGTGCGGAGGCGATCGTGACGCCGCGGCGCCTTTCCTTGGGCGCCGCGGCCGAGTCCAGCTTCCCGCTAGTGTCGCGCAATGTAATTATTTCGTGAAACCATTTTGTTACGGTGCTAGGACTAGTGGGCGGAGGGGAGACACCGCGAGTCTCCTTCCTCCCTCGGTACGCGGTCGATGTTACAGTTCCTCCCTCGGTTATGCTAGCGTGTAAGACACTAGAAAACCGCGCATTTTTACGGCTTTTTTTGTGACCTTCAAATCAAGCACTGAGGGCCTGGTTCACTGGTGCTGGCCATGAGGGCTAGACCATGGCTCGTCTTGCTGCTGAGGACATCAGCGCTGGAGTTTCCACCGAAGAAACCGGTCCACACGCGGCGGAGTGCGCTTCGGAGCATCGGAGCTGTCATATTGACGCCGCCGGCCGTAGCGCTGGCTGCACCAGTCACGGCAACGCCCGTTGAGGCGCCGCCGACACCCGCTGTGCCGCGAACGAACGCGACCGCGACGCGAGTGGCCAACGCGACCGCGCCGAGGCCGGCCAACGCCACCGCGACAAGGCCGGCCAATGCGACGGCAACGCGGCCAGCGAATGCGACCGCGACGCGGCCAGCCAACGCCACGGCGACGCGCGCCGCCAACGCCACTGCGACGCGGCCAGCGAATGCGACCGCGGCGCGGGCGGCGAACGCGACCGCCGCGAAGCCCAAAAAAGCTGCAGATACAAAAAAGAAGAAGAAGAAGCCCCAGCTCGCCAAGGCCAACGTCACCGAGGCCCTGTCCAAGAACAACATGGTCGTCAAGCGCCAGGAAAGCTTATTAACGGAATTCGTCGTCGATCCCATAACTGGTGATGAGTTAAGAGAACTGCGGCTGCCGCCCTGGTGGCCGCGGGCCCTACGGCCACCCCGAGAATTTTATAGGAAGGTGCCCAACGCGGAACTGGCGTTATCCGCCTGCGTGGCCGGTGGTTTAACTGAAGTGGCTAGGGCCGCTGTATTACATCCAGTATTAACACTGAAGAACCGCGTCCAGGCCGGTAAATCAACCGATCCGAGGCAGCTGAAGAATTTATATGCGGGCGTCGGGCCCGCTTTGGCCGCCTCTGTGCCGTACGCGGTCACGTATTACGGCGCGCGCGAGATTACGAGACGGCTGACGGGCGTACCTTTAGTACCTACCGATTTAACGCAATTTATCGCTACCGTTGGTGTCGCGGAGACCGCCGCCATTGCGGTAAGAGCGCCGGCTGATGTTTTGGCAACGCGCGCCCAGGTCTCCCAGCCGGACACTTCCATACTCCCGTGGTTCCGGAAAGAATCGATAGAGGGCCTGGAGTTTGGGATACAACGAGCGCCGGCCCAGATCGCCTCCGAAGTACCCTACGTGTTGCTGCGGGTCGGCACGATCGCTCTGCTCAACAACATCGCGCCGCTGGACGGTGGCGTCGACGCGCTCACGGCGAGGACCGTGGGCGTGGCCATCGTCGCGGCGCTCGCGACGACGCCGCTGGACGTCGCTCGGACACGTGTTTTAGCGGGGGACACGCCCGGGGGCATCCGGGATGTGCTGGAGACGGTCTCAACCATATCGAAGAAGGAGGGGCCGCAGGCACTATTCCAGGGCGCGGAGTACCGCGTGCTCTACAATGGGGTGGTGGTGGCCGCGTTCCTACCTTTGCGGGCGCTGTTCTACACGGGCTTGAGGGATCTGCTGATCCTGGACGGCGTCTTCGAGTTCGACGGCTTGGGGCCTTTGGGTCATGTGTCCAAGGTCGTGGGGGAAATTGTAGCTTAACTCTTGTTGTTGCTTTACACAGTAGTAGGGTTCACAGGAACGAGACGACGACGCGGAAGAGGTCGTCGGACGCGGGGATGCCCTCGAGCGTGAGGAGCCGCCGCTCCGGCGTCTGGCCTTTTTCGTTCTTCTTGAGGGCTAGCTGGCGCGCGACGATGTACGGCATGCGGCGTCGCGCTGCGGCGTCGCGTTCGCGTATTGTTAGGTCGTGCACTCGTTGCTTGATGAGCGCTGTCCAAGGATCGTCGTCGGCGTCTGCGGCCGTGCAGAATTGCTTCACCCACGGCTTGGCATGAGTAAGGTCGGGGTCGAATGGGTAACAGCAGAGATCGGACGGGTCGAAATAACCCACGGCGGGCGAATAGTAACGTCGGGACGACGAGGCCATGATGCACTGTGTTGGAGTGTGAGCTCAGGTGCAGCCCCACGGCTCGCGCGTCGCTGCGGCGGCGTGTCGCGTGGTACGCACAAGTGCAGCGCAACCACTTGTTCGTGTTTTTATGCGCGTTGCGCGTCGTAATTCGCCGCGCTCTCACAGAGTCTGTGACCCCTCTCGAGCTTCGTGCGGGGCGGGAATGCAACACGGGCCACGGAGCCCTAGGAGGCATCTGCGGGGCGGCCGGGAAGCCCCTGCAGGCCTGGGGCTGGGTGCAGCTCCGGTCGGGGCTGCGAAGGTGTTGTTGTTGGTAGCGCCCGCGAGCACTGCGCGCATTAGCCTGGCCGCTCGTGGCCACCGCCGCAGAGGTTTTGGACAGGACCACTGTTGGCAGAGCAGGCTAGCGCCCAAGCGTTCGGAGCGTGCCAGCGCCGAGGGGCTGCCCCATAGGCAGCCCCAGCCACCATGGCTTCAGCAGAGTTCTCGGACGAACGGCGCCTGTCCAACCCCGATCTAAGCGATGATCGAAGAAAGTCGAGTGTGAGACGGTTAAGTGTGAATGAGCCGGGGAAGAAGAACGTGAAGCGGGGCTTCCAGGCGGGGCTCACCGCTGAAATGGAGGACGAGCACGTGTTCCGGCCGGACAAGAACCAGACCATGTTTTCCAATAGCGAGGCGTTCGCCGTCGCGAAGGCGAATTTCGTGAAGTTGGTCGGGCAGGTGGAACCGGTGGCCGATCGCATCGCTCAGGAGGCCGAGCAGCCTCGGACAGCTCTGCAAAAAGAAGTTATGTTAAGGAAGAACCGGTTTAGCGGGGCGCATAACTCGTCGTCGTATATCGCGAAACGTAACGAACTGAAAAGATGGAAAGAAACCAATAAGGAGATCGCTGGTCCCGCGGGCAAGCGGGCCTTCGCGCTCGAACTAGACAGAATAAATCGCTCGAAGGATGATGATGATGTCAAAGCCCAGAAACGCCTGGAGTTGCAGGAGAAGATGATCGCCGCCGGCGTGAAGGAAGAAGAAAAAGTTTTAGTAAAAGAAAAGGGCATAAAACCGAGGGTCAATTACGACTTCGTCGAATGGAATCCCGGCGACGACTCCTTCCCCTGCCCGACGGCGGCGAACTATCGCGAGCCCGACGGTCCGGCGCATTTCCGGTTGCAGCAGCGCATCGAAGAGTTTAAGCGCGAGACTGAACTACAAAGTGCGGCGCGGCGCGAAACGGACCGGGAGCAGGAGGAAGGCACGCTCGCTGCGGTGCTCAAAGAACGACGCTATCAGCGCATGCGCGACTACTTCAATTCTACGGTCAAAAAACACGAGGAGGAGGCGGCCGAAGGGATTAGTGTCGACACGGCCGAGAGAAAAAGACGAGCATTACTAAGGTCAGAGCGTCGAAAGCGCATGAAGGAGAACCCCCACGGCATCAAGTTCAAAGGTAGTCGGAAGAAGAGCATCATCCCGATGAAGATGAAGAAGGGCCTGTGCCCGTGCTTCGGCAAAAAGCGCCGAGCGGGCACGGCCGACTCGCAGTACACGGCGACGCCGCCGTCCACCGCGGGTACTTCCAGACCAGGAACAGCAGAGGATCATCTCAGTGGCTTCAAGACCATGTTCTTTGGGGCCGCTTCTCGGGCCTCGACCGCGGCGTCGCGCGCGGGTAGCGCCATGGCCGAGAAGACTGCTGCTGCAACAGGTGGTAGGTTCGACCCCACCTCCTGGTTTTCGAACGCCAAGGAGGCGCCCGCCATCGAGCGCATCTGCGTCAAGGGCTGCGGCTTTTGCGGTAGTGACGAACAAGTCGCCGAGCACGAGAAGACCTGCACGTATATCTTCGAAGCTGGCGCGCCGGCGCCGGCACCCACCTCACCGGGCAAGAAGAAGAAGAAATCTAAAAGAAACAAGGACTTCGACGATGACGGCGCGTGTAAGTGTCCGAAGGGCTGTGGGTGGTCCGGCGACGCGAAGGAGCTGAAGAAGCATGAAAAATCGTGTGACTTCGTCAAGGACCCGACGAGACGCGCGTGCAAGAACAACTGTGGCTTCTATGGGTTACTTGATGCGACGGCTCGGCACGAGGTGAATTGCGACTATATCGATCCTAGGATAGCGAAGCGGGAGGCGCGTTTGGCCAAAGAAAGTCCTCCTAAGAAAGAATCGAAGGGCGCCCGTCGACTACGCCTCAAGGGCCTTTCACCCGAGAGTGAAGCTCCGGCGCCGGCGCCGGTCGAGGACGCGCTATCTCCGAAACGACGACGTACGGGCCGCGCCGCCGGTGGTCGCATGCCTTCGCTGGACGACACGCCAACGATCGAGGAGGAACCTCAGAAACTCTCGTTCTATCAAAGGTACTACCCCAGAAGTGCACACAACAAACAAATTAAGTTGAAAAAGAAGCTCGATAAAGCTCAAGAAGCCGTCGATGCATCAAAGCAAGCTTTGAGGGATGCGGAAGCACTCCCGACGCCCGGGCCCTACAAGGAGAAGAAGATAGCAGCGGCCAAAGTGTCCATAGAATCAACCGCCAAAAAGTTCACAGAGATACAAAAGAAGTACAATAAGGTGCATGAAGCGAAGGCGCCACCACCAGGCGGTAGAAAGAAGTGGTTCTTCCGTAGCAAACGGGGTTCCTTCGTGCCCCCGACGCCCGATCTCGTCAAAGAAGAAAGAGCAGCTAAACTAGCGAGGGCCGCAGAACAAGGCATCACGGTGGAGCAACTGGAAGAGAAGGAGGCCGCCGAGGCGACGATGCGGATGAGTACACCTGTGGATGAGGACGCCCCGATCAAGCCCCACCGGAGAAGTGGCGTGACGCCCTGTAAACGACCGGGCAAGACGAAGCTTAGGAGAAGGGTAGTGGTCCCGGTCGATCCCGACGCGGTGAAAGAGGAGGAAGAGCCACAAAAGAAGAAGAAGCGGGAAAAGCCGATGAAGGTCCCTCGCGACCTGCGGGAGGAGGTCCAGCCCTTGGCCGAACAGTATTTCTTGTTCCTGGGGGATGATTTGCTGTGTCCCGTGAATGATTACGATCTGTTGGACGCGGCGGCGAACAATGAAGACGTGATCAATTTTGTCAAGAAAACGGGCCACAAGATGTTCCAGTACGTGACCGTGCCGCACTTGCTCGATCCGGCCATGAAGGAGACGCCGACGGACATGCCGGGCAAGTTTATTGGAGAGGAGTTCGTGAACGCGGTCTACAAGGCCATATCTACGAAGCTCACGATCGATGAATTGCGACGGCAGGAGCGCCTCAAGAAGCAGGAGGAGAAGCGCATGAAGGAGCTCCAGATGGTCAAGAAGCTCCACGTGTCTACCGCCGAGGCGGAAGAGGAAAAGCGCATCCAGGCCGCGATCACCGAAGAAAAGGAGAGGTACAAAAAGAAACATCTGGCGCGGTGGGAGCGGCGCTTCTGCGGCTGCTTCGTGGCCCTGGACAAGGACGAGCAGGTCTGGCGGGAGGAGGAGAAGAAGCAGGAGGAGGAGCTCATGGCGGACATGTCGTACGAGGAGAAGCAGCAGTACCGCAAGGACAAGAAGTGGAAGAAAAGTATCGGATACAAAATACATAAATTTAAGAAGAAGTACTTCTTCTGGATGCGCTATCCTCGGATTGATGATTTGTTCGTGCCGTATCGCACGGTGAAGTGGTTATATGGTAAGTGCGGCATACCTCGACCTTTGATTAAATTTGCGTTGTGGTCCGTGAAGACCGGTGAGTCGATTGCAACCTGGTTTGGACTTAGATTAGCGAAGATCTATTTCGGTCTCAAGGTCGTCTACAAGGCCCTGTCGAACTTTGTCAGTGGGGCGGCGCAGTACGACTACGACGACCTCACCGCAGCTGTCTTGGAAGGTAATGTAGATATGTTGCGGTTGATCTTCATGGACAAGCACTCGGCCATGTCAGCAGAGGAGACCTCATTAGATGGCAAGACCATGCTCTTCATGTGCATGGAGCGCTTACTACATACCGAGCACACGCTCAAAACAGAAATGGCCCGCTTGGCCAAGGAGGGTCGCGTCGCACCGAACCTCTTCTACCTACCCGTAGAGCAGCAAAAGCGCGAACTGGAGGAGGTGCAACAAGAAGATGACGCCAAAAAACGAATAGCGGACAGGGAGGCCATGAAAAAAGAACGGGAGGAGCAGAAGCGCATGAAACGAGAAACGAAGAAGGGCACGAACATCCAGTCCGGCATGGCCCACTTACAGAAGAAGAAGAAGAAGATGAGCAAGCAAGAAAAAATGAAGGCCGACGCGTTACGCGAGGCATCTGCATTGGATCTCTACAAGAAGGCCGAGAAGCTCGCGAAGACCTGCGAGTTCTTGGTGAAGCGCGGGTCGTCGATCAACACGCAGCAGGACCCGCGGAAGCACGATGGAAGTGGATGGGGCCTGCTGCACCACGCCGCGGCGCACTCGAACGTAAAGCAGATGAAGTGGATCCTGTCGAAGGGTGCTCTTGTTGATTTGGCCACTGAGGAAGGTGAAACACCTTTGATGATGGCCGCGTTGTCTGGTGCTACTCGCGGGTGTCAATTTTTGATAGAATATGGGGCGGTGGTCACGAAGGCAGCAACTAACGGCTGGACGCCCCTACACTTCGCGGGCCACGCCGGCGCCAACGACACGGCCGCTTTGTTGTTGAGGGCAGGTGCCTCAAAAGATGCGAGGACCATAGGGGATACGTTACGCCCGGCCGACTGCGCGGTGCGTGCGAAGCACAAGGACACGGCGGAAATTATTAGGTTGTATCGGGAGCCGCCGGTCCCGGTCAAGGAGGTCTTCGACATGATGGACGCGCACGCCAACAAGTCTGTCAGTGACAGCGCGTCTGCCTTACTAACGTCGCTCGCGGGCGAGACGATGGCGTCTCTGGAAAGCGCCCAGTCCATGTTCGGCATCGCCTAGTTATGTTAAGTTGTTAGTAGTGAAGCGAGGCGGTCGGCGAGGTCCTTCGTCGGGCCCCGGTTCGGCGCCTGCAACCGGGTCAACGCCTGGTGGCAGACCTTCCAGCCGAGCTTCTCGAAGGAAGCTGAGGAGACCTCGCCGTCGACGCAGACCGAGGCCCGGACCTCATTCAAAGTCCACTCCGTCTTCTCGGGCGGGGCGTCGCAGCGCTTGTATTCGAGCCACCCCAACACAGCGTCCTGGAGCTTCGACGCCGCGCCGACGGTCCGCGCGCCCGGTTTTATTGTTTCCGTGAAGTCCTCGAAGTCGTCGTCGCCGTAGCCGTCGGTCGTCTGCGTCGCCGTCGGGCCCGGAGGGAGTGCCGTGCCGCCGTCCGACGCGTCCTCCTCGGGCGCGACGGCGTCCGCGACGTTCAGGAGCTCCGCGCTCTCGCGCGGCTCCGCCGGCGGCCGGCGCGGCGGGGCGACGTCGATCGTCCGCTCCGGGCGTTTTGCTGTTTCGGGCGTCGGCTCCGGCGCAGACGGCTCCGGCGAAGTGGTCGTAGGGCCCACGTCGAGCGACCGCGTCGTCACGACCTCTTCTCGCACGAGCGCCGCCGCGACGTTCGACTCGTGATCTCCGTCGTCATAGGCGACGTCGTAAGCGTCCCCGTCTACGCGTTCGATCACGCCGGCGTACCACGTCTCGCCCGCTTCGAACCGCGCCTCGACGCGCGCGCCGACGGCGAAGCGGGGCGCTTGTCCCGGCTCCTCGGGCGCGTCCGGCGGCGTCGCGAGGGCCATGACGATCGACCCGTCCATGCTCGCCTCCGACGGCGTCGGCGCGGCGACGGGCTCGGGCGCTTCCGTCGACGGCGTCGGTGCGGCGCCGGGCTCGGGTTCCTCAGGCTCGTCTGTCGACGGCGTCGGCGCCGCGACGGGCTCAGCTGCCTCCGTCGGCGCCGAAACGGGCTGAGACTCCTCAGGCGCGTCTGCGACGGGCCCAGACTCCGGTCGCTCCAGCGTACTAGGCGCGGACGTGGGCTCGGCAGTCGCTTCCTCCGGAGGCTCCGCGGTTGCCTCCTCCCGGGCCGCCGGTTCGCCGAGGTCGAGCTCGACGCGGATGTTCACCGTGTCCTCGAAGAGCTTGAGCCCCCGGATCTCGCCGCCGCCATTTAACCGCACGAAGGCCGCGGCGGCGTCCTCCGTGAGCGGCTGCGTGGCCTCGGGCCGCGCCGGCGGGCAGCCGGCGGGCGGCCGCGGGTTTATACCGGGCGGGCCGGGGTCGATGACGACGCGGCGGCCGGGCGCGGCGGGCCGCCGCGGGCCCTGGGGCTTCGCCGGCATGCGCGGCCGCGGCGCCGCCGGCTTGGGAACGGCCGGCCGCATGGGTTCGGCGCCCGGGACCTCGGGCAGCACTTTCTCAGGTTTGGCCGGCTTCTTCGCCGGCCGGGCGTTGCGCTTCGGCGCGAGCGGCTTCCGCCCGGGCCGCGGCGCTGGCTTCCACCGCGACGGGGCCTGCTTGGGCGGCTTTGGTTTCTTCTTCCCGCCATATGCGCTCCTCACGGCCTCGACGGCGTCGTTCCACGCCGGCTTTTGCTTCGCTTGCTTCTTGGGGCCGCCGCCGCGTGCGAAGGCCAGCTTTAGGAGGAGGTCGTCCATCTCCGGGCTGTCGACTGACGGCATCGTGACCCCTTGCTCGTGGATGTCCGCACGATGCGTTCGACCGCGCGTCGAGGTCGTCGGGGCTGCCCCTCCGGTACGATGATGAGTTGCTGCTTCTCTCTGAGCTTACGGAGCTGCCTTAGGCGCCGCGCAAGCACGTTTGCAAGGACCAAACGACGGACTAGTGTGTGTCGATACGCTATCTCGAAAACCTAATCGCGGGAGGAGGGGAGGACGAGGCCATCGCCAGCAGTTAGCGATCGACGGATTCAACCATTTAATCTTCGCCGCATTGCTGCAGCGCTGCCGCTCGATCCCGAGCGCTACATCGCATCCTCCGCTGGCGCCACACAAACACCTCTCTCTTGCCCTACACCTAGTCAAGGAAGCGACGCGTGCAAGCATAAATCGCAGCCATGGGTAAAAAATCAAGGAGCAAAGCCACCCACGCCCGCAAGCCGCCACCGCCCCCGGTGGACCCTTTGGACGCCGTCCACGCGGCCGCGACGACACCCGCCTGGCTCGTAGCCACAAGAGACGACGCCGTCGCCGTGAAACTCCTGGAAACGCTCGAGCGCGCCGTCGCGAAGCTGCCGCGGACGTCCCCACCCATACCCGGGCCCACGGACGAGTCACGCGCGGCGCTCTACGCCTGGGCGAAGGACAACGGCTGCGCGTGCGAGCACATCAAGCTTGAGAGTTTTGAGGACGGCCAGACGCGCGTCGTCGCCGCATCAAATATAAAAGAGAACGACGTCGTCATCTCAGTGCCCGCGGCCTTGCACCTGCGCGCGACTGACAACGACCCGATGGGCGTCGCGGCCTTCGCGAGGACCCACAACCTCGACGCGACGCTCGCGCTCGCGTTGAGGTTGTGCGCCGAGGCCGTCGCCGACGACTCGTTCTGGATTCACTACGTCCGCTGCCTGCCTTCTACATATGACGTGCCGACGTTCTGGGCGTGGGAGGACGTGGCGAGGTTGCGGGGCTCGGCGAGCTTTCGGCGGGCCTGCATGTCGCGGTGTGCGGCCGCGCGGTCCTTTGTGTTGGTTTCTAGAAGTCTCGGCGAGGAGGCCTCGTCCGCTTTGTCGTTGGATTATGAGAGGTGGCGCTGGGCGCTGGGCGCCGTGCAGACGCGGCAGAACTCGCTAGGCGGGGCGCTGGCGCTCGTGCCGCTCTGGGACATGTGCAACCACGGCGAGGACGCGGGCGCGTCGCGGCTGGCCGAGGACGGTTCCCTGGTGTTGATGACGACGGGCGTCGCTGGTGGCGAGGAGGTGCGCATGGACTACGGCGACCGGTCGGCGGCGAACTTCCTGCTCCACAGCGGCTTCGTGCCGCCGCCGTCGCTCCGCGAGGGCGCCGACACCGCGACCGTCGACGTGGCGCTGCCGGCGACGCCGCTCGCGGCCCTCCTCGCGCGCTTCCTCGATTCAAGGAAAGTGCCCCGCGCGCCGGCGCCGCCGAACGCGCCGCCGCGCTGGCGCGGCGCACTCCTGCGCATGGTGGCGACGGCCGGCGGCGCGGCGCACGCGGTCCCCGACGCCGCGCTGAATTCAATAGCCCTCGCGGCGGGCGCCGACAACAAGGCCGACGCCACATATCTCCTCCGCTGCGCGCCCGACGCGGCCCTGAGCCCCGCGAGCGCCGCGCACGCGGACCGCGCGACGCGAGCGCTCGCCGCGGCGACGGCGGCGCAGGCGGAGGGCTACCCGGTCCTACCCGAGGCGACGACCGCGCACGGCCGCCTCGCCGACGCGCTCGTCGCGCGCGAGAAGGAGATGCTCCGCCGCGGCGTTTGTAAAGGCAAGACGGCCTGAGTAATTTGTGATGTTTTCTTAGACGCTCAAGGCCTTGGTGCCGAGCGGGGTACGTGTGCGACTAGTAGCCGGCGCAGGCGCACGGGCACGCGGTGCTGACGAGCACATTGTTCTGCATCTGCTTGCAGTGCTTTTTGCGGTTCGCGTTCTGCCAGACCCAGGGGCAGTAGCTCTTGATGATCTCGCCGTTGACCGTCGCTTGCCACGACACGGAGTCTTGGTAATTTCCCCCGTTGACCTTGCACTTCTTCTGGTACTTGCCGTTGTTGATCACGGTGTCGCCGGAGCTCACGGTGTTGCCGCCGTGGCCGTGGCCGCCGCCGCCCGAGTACTCGTCGCGGTAGTGTTGCCCGATCGCCTGGCCCATCTGCGCATACCCCATGCCCATGTCGTAGCCCACCTGACCCATGTCGCGGCCCATCTGACCGTACTGCTGGCCCATCTGCTGGCCAATCTGGCCGTACTTTTGGCCCATCTGCCGGCCATAATTTCCGGCGGCAATGCCCTGCTCAGCCCACTTGTTATAGAGCGACGGCTGCGACGCCGTCGCGGACGAGCGCGAACTCGACATGGCCGCTACGAAGCCCAGCAGGCCGAATACGCCGACCGTGGCAATGACGGCGAAGCGGCGCGGCCTGTGTGAGGACTTTTGTCGCGTCGATGGCGTGAAATTGATTCTGCGCAGGCCTCGACGTGCCGACGCCGGCCGCGTCCTTGATGTGAGAGCCCGTCGTTCCGGCCTCGAGGTCCGTAGCGCCGTAGGAGTTCTTGTTGGTGTTGAGGCTCATCTTTGCGCGAGCTGTGAGGTGCTACGTCTAGTGTTTTGCTGCGGCAGACCTGCAAAAGTGGCGTTTTCTCGCGTGCTAACGCGGCGCGCGCATTTTTTTTTGGCTCGCGGGCGACAGGAATGAAGGCGCGTCACCTCTCAAGCGCCCCACTGTCACCCGACACGGATTCCCACAATGCTCTGTACTGGCAAATTCTGTTCCTATTTTTCCACTTCACGGGAGTCTCGCGCAGGCGGCCCCATTCATCCGCTCCCCCACTACGACGTGGGAACCAATGCGGCAAAAGGTAAGCGGGCGAGAGTAAAAACCCGCGTTCTCTGAAAATGTTAGGCAGAGCGCTGAGTGGATTCGTGGTATAAGAAGCTCCCCGCTTTCGACTGGGTGCTGTAAACCTCTCTGTCAAGCCACCGATCCAAGCTTTCGAGCCCTGGGCTGCCCTGGGCTGCCCTGAAGCTGCGATGGCGTCCGCCCGCACGAAGCACCTCAAAGTGCTGGGCCTCGACGAGAAAGCGGACGAGGCAACCATAAAAAAAGCGTTCAAGAAGCTGGCGCTCCTCTACCACCCCGACCGAAATAGCAACAATGTGGAAGAGGCGACCGAGCGCTTCAAGCAGATCAACGAGGCCCACACGTATCTCACCTCCGGCGCCGCGCCGTCGCAGCCGCGCGCGAAGACTCCGCCGACGGAGCCGGAGCCGGCGCGGCCGCCGCCGCCCGCCACGCCGCCGTCCACGACGCAGCCTGAGCCACCGCCACGGCCAACGCCGCAGCGGCCGCCCGCCGAGAAGCCCCCCGCGGAGGCGGACCCGCTGGCTGAGGCGCGGAGAAAGGTCCAGGAAGCCGAGGCTCGACGGCGCGCCGCCGCCGCGGCTCGCAAGCGAGAAGCGGATGAGATCCAAGCAAAAGAACGCGCCGTTGCGGCGGCTCGCAAGCAGGAAGCGGACGAGCTCGCCGCGCAGACGACGCTGGCGGAGATCGCCGCGCGGCGGGAAAACGATCGGCGCGTCGAGCAGCGCAAGGAGGCCGTCGACGCGGCGCAAGCAAAAAAAGACGCGAGGCTGCGCCGCAAGGCCGCCAGGGTCGAAGAGGCGGTCATGGACTGGCCCGCGCGGTTTTGGAATTGGTGCCGCAACAACTTGTATCATTACGGCTACTTCAAGTCTATATATAGCAAGAACGCGGCGGTGCGGCCGCTGCGGTCGACCTTTGAAAGTCTGGGCCTGAAGGAAGATGATGTGGCAAGACTCCACGAGCAGTTTGTTATTATTGATAAGGACGGGAGCGGCGCGATCGAACTGTGGGAGCTGCTCGACTACCTCGACTTGCAACGGAATCGCTTCGCGAAGCGCGTCTTCGCCATCTTCGACGCGGACGGGAGCAACCAGATCGACTTCAAGGAGTTCGTGGTCGCGCTGTGGCAGTACTGTACCTTGGGAAGGCCGCAGCTCGTCATGTTCGCCTTCGACCTGTACGACCGCGACTCGTCAGGGGCCATAGACTCCGACGAGTTCAATGCGATGTTGAAAGAGTTGTACGGCAAGCGCTACTCGAAGAACACGACGGCGGTCAATCTGCTGAGGCACATCAACGCGATGACGAAGCGGCGCGACACCGACGAGGTCGACGTCGAGGCCTTCGCGGAGTTCTGCCGGACGCACCCGGCGATGCTCATGCCGGCCTTCGCGATGCAGACGACGATGCGGGCGCGGATCATGGGCGGCGCGTGGTGGGACCGGCGGTCCAACGAGCGCGTGAAGGTCGGCCGGCACACCATGCGCATCCACGACCTGCTCAAGGCCCACCTGCAGGAGGACGCCTTCCACAGCTTCATGCGGGCCGTGGACTCGGGCGACGCCAAGGCGCTCAAGCGCGACGCGGACAAGCACCGGGACTGGAAGTCCGCCACCGAGGTCACGGGGACGGTCGCACAGCGGCGGCGGAAGTCGGGCCAGCACGAGCTCCAGGACCGCCCCCTCGACAAGTACTCGCGGTCGAGCGCGCGGCGGCGCGTCAAGAGCCTTGATGACACCCGAAAGGTGCGGCCGGATCAGAACGCCGCCCTGCGCCGGGCGTCGTTCGAGACAAAGCCGCGGGGCCGCGAAGCCTTCGGCTCGCGGCTCTCGGCGGCGGTGCGGAAGGAGCGCCAGGACCGCGCCGAGGAGCGCAAGAAGCTCCTCGGCGCGCTCGACGGCCTGCCGCGGAAGGTCGGCGAGGCTGGTGTGGGTGCGGCTCGACGCCGGGCGACGTTCTCGTGAACGCATCCCCGCCAGAATTTTGTATGTGATAAGTATTCTGTGGATATACTTAGAGACGCGCGCGTGCTCGGAATTCACGACTCAATCCTCAGGCGGCGGCGAGAAGAAGACGTCCTCCCACCAGTCATGACCGCATCGCGCGTGCCACCAGTGCATCCGCGCGCCCTGCTGGAAAGTAAATCCGGCCTCACAGCTATGCAAACTGAAGCGAAGATCCGGTATCGCCAGCGAGAGGGGGCGCAGAATCGCATCGCGGCGAGCGATGTCCGCGGCGCGAATGGGGGCGCCTTCGACGTCCGCGCCCAACCTTGTTGCTGAAAGGTCGAGGATTCGTAAGGTCGTCATCGTCTGGAGCGACAGGGGAAGCGTCTCTATTCCCGTCCAGTTCAGATCGAGAACGACGTCAATTGACAGGATTTTTTGACCAGGTTTATATACTGTCGGGCCTTTGAACATCCCATAATCAATATAAAGCTCCACGAGAGGCAGCGCCCCAAACCATTGTGGTAGAGACTGGATAGTCATGCAGCGCATCGAGAGCGACCGGAGCTTTCTGAAATGCGTTAGCGCTGCGGGCAGCGCACCGGAGCCGGCCCGTCTAGTATAATCGTCGCCGTCGCCGTCGATCGTGAAGGCCTCGCAGCCGTCGAACCGCGTGGCGAAGTCGGGCGGCAGATCGACACAATCATCGGCCCTCAGCGCGAGCTGCCGCGTCGAGCCGTAAGTTATGAGGTTGCGCCACTGCGTCGAGACGGTTCGTAACGCGTGGACCAGTTTAACGTGCGCTCGCGTATTGGCGACGCCGTTCTCTACGGTCGTGCTGTCGTAGTAGTGCGCTACGTCGGGCTCGCTCGCGAGCCGGTACTCTACGAATTCGTCCAGCGTCCGGGCTCGCGCCGCCAGATGTCTGGCGCCGGCCGCGGGCCCGGCAAACGCGAAAATTATGCGCCAGAGGTCGTCTGGCAAGCTCTCCATTGAAATGACCCAAATCTGTGACCGCTGTATCTCGCGCCAGAGCGAAACGTTTGGTGGCGAAAGCCGTACCGTTTGGTGGCAAAACGGCACGCCAAATAGTGCGTCCCGTGAAGTAAGCGGTCTTAACCAAAAAACGACCTACCCTCAGCTAGCGGCCGTAAGACACTAGCATTAAGCAAGCAAGCAACCTTTGCGCCGGCCAAAGTCGCTGCTGCGACAGCGGTGTAGCTATCAGAGATAACAAATAACAGCTTGCCTGAGAAGTGGTCGAGCGCTGCGATCAGCAGAGCCACGTCCAATACACTTGCGGCACTCGAGCGGGTCGGCGTCGTCGCACGCGCCGCCGACGATGGCCCAAGCCTTACAAGATGCCTCCACAGCCTTACAAGCAGCAATAAAAACCTGCGACGCGGCCGGCAACGACGACGCGCGCCTAGCGAGCAGCGCATCGGTCGCCACGAACCTCGCTTTATTAAGAGAAGCCACGGCCGACATCTCGACGGTCGAGGCGCTCCGCGAGAACGCGTCGCAAGCGAAAGCCTGGGACGCCGTCGAGGCCGTGCTGCGCCACCCGAAACTCGTCTTCTCCGCGTCGCTGGCGAACGAGCTCGCGTGCACGGCCGAAGCGTTGTATGCAAGGGGCGACGCCGGCGGGCAGCTCTACGCGGCCGCGCGGGGCCTCCACGAGTGCTGCGGCGACGTCGCGTCCATCGCCCAGTCCCTACAATCGCAGCAGAAGCTCGTCATCCAGCCCGGCGCGCGGGCTGCGGCGTGCGTCGTGCTCGGCGCTTTGTGTGCAACGTACCCGCGGCGGCTCGGGCCCGGCGCGCTGGGCGAGGCGCGCCAGCGCCTCGCGAAACTCGCGAAGAACGACCAGTCCACCAAAGCCGCAGCGGCCCGGGCACTGGGCCGCGTCGTCCTCGCGTCGCCCGACGAGGGCGTCACGGGCGTCGCGCCGCGGCCCGTGCAGACGCAGCAGCACAAGCAGGCCCTCGTGTGTTCCGGCAAGGACTGCGTGAGTGCGCTCGCCAAGGTCTTGAAGGGCTCGGACGATTCATCATGTCGCAAGGCCGCCGCGGCGTCACTGCGGGACGTCTCACAAAGGGCGGCCGAGGCTTCAGATAGGGCCGTGGCGAACCTGGCTAGTGTAGTAGCGGACGCCGCAGAAACGTCCAAAACCGCCCCGGCGCCGGCGCCGGCGCCCCCGAAGAAACAAGGAGAGAAGGAACCTGTTCCTGATGATCCTGTGAAGAGGGCGCGGTCGACGGTGGACGCAGCGCTGCACCTGCTCGACGCGTCGGTCGCAGTGTGAGTCAGATTATCACCGGGACAACGTCGCGTCGATGGCGTGGGGCGCCTGAGATGTGGTTTCCACGCAGGTTGGTAGAGACGGCCGCGCGCCATTTAAGTGACGAGGACACTCTGGTGAGAGTGCACTGCGGCCAAGCTGCGGGAAGCGCATTGGCGGCCCACGTCCGGTGCGCGCGCGCGACGCGCGAGCGCTTCGCGGCGACGCAGAATAGAGCGGATGAGGAGAAGAAGCCTCATGACGGTGCGAGCCCGCCTAGAAGACTGGGCAGCTTCCCGAAGATCCAGATGATGTCCTCGAAGAATTCAACCACCGAATTCGCGAAGCGGACGTCGCCCGTCGCCAAGGCCTTGAGTGGTGGCGACGGCCGCGGGCCTACATCGGCGGACGCCTGCGCCTTCGTGTCCTCATTGATGATGCGCCAGGTCAAGAGCTCTTCGAGAGCAGGCGTCGCTGGAACAGGTGGCTGCCTCGCTTCACTCCTAAAGAGTGTCGAGGAGGAGGGCCTCCAAGCTACCATACGAGCGGCGCTCGCACCGTTACGAGGCGTGCCGTCGGAGCACCCTTTACATGCAACCGTCCGCGCGGCCATCGCCGACGCGCTAAGACGAGGTTTAGGCGAGGTCCATGAGAGGAGACAACGAGAAGTTTTAAGTGCTCTACTAACATTGGCGGGCGCCGTCGACCGGCACGCCGACGACCTGAAGGAGAAGGGCCGGAAGCTCGCGGACGGCGAATTGCAAGTGGTCTTAGCGGAGTGCGCGCACCTCGCCGCTGCTTTAGGCGAAGCCGCCGCACCGGAAGCCGAAGCATTAGAAAGAGCCGCATTGTCGTCGGCGTCGGACCCGGCCTTCGGCGTGCGCTGCGAGGCCGCGGCGCTCGGCGGCGCTTTGGCATCGGCCGTGCCGGGGCGGGCCGCGCCGCTGGCGACGATGGCGTTGCGGGGCGCGGCGGCGGAGCACCACGCTTTAGTCGATCTCGCGTCGGCGCCGCCGGCGGGCGCGCAGGCGCGGCCCCGTAGAAGTGACGCGGCGCAGCTGCTGCGAGGCGGCATGTGTGCTTTACATGGTGGCACGGCTTTAGCCTCTGCCGTTTTGCGGTCGTCTTCGGATAGTTCGCCTTCATTATTAGATGAAGCCTTGGCCGTCGCGGAAGGTTTGGTCATGAGACAGCACGACGACTTGCTCTCAGCGGGGGCGCTGGTGGCCTGCGCGAGGGCCGGCTGGGGCGTCCTGGGCGCCGTCGTGGCGTCCTCGCCACCGAAGTGGTTGCGGACGAAGGCCCGTAGATTAAGCGAGGTCTGGCAGCGGAGCGTCCAGTGGGCCGGCGACGACTCGAGCCAGGCGGCGGCCGAGGTGCGCCTGACCTGCCTGGAGGCTTGTTTATCTTCGGTCGCCGCTCTATGTGAATCGGGCTCGCCTCTACTCGAAGGCAAGCTCGGCCAGGATGTTGCGCAACTACTGACGCAGACGCGGTCCATCCTCGCGTCGAAGCAATTGCAAACATCTAGAAGCTTCGCGCGTTTAGCTCTGTGTGCGGCTGCTTTACTCGAAGCCCAGGCCTCTCTACCAAACAAGGACGACGCGACGCTTTCATTTAGATGGTGTTGTGGCTTATTCCTCGGGGCGGCCGGCGGCGGCTCGGCGCACGCGGCCTTCGCGGACTGCCCCATCGCGGCTTTAAGGAGCGAGACGCCGGCGTGCACGACGTTCGAGCCGCGCGACGTGATTGGCTGCGACGACGACGTCTTGCTGGCGTCGCACGCGTCTCCCGGATTAGGACCCCCGGATGCGGTGTTCCTGGGGGCCGGGGCATGTTCGAGTGTAGTTGACGACGCCTACGCGTCGAATTTGGCCGTGAGGTACGGGGACGCTTTAGGTCCTGGGGAGAGAGACGTCCTCGCGGCCTTGGCCGTGGGTCGGACGGGCGACTTGCCCGCGGAGCGGGCGGGCGAGACCCGTGCGAGGTTAGTGGACGCGTGCGTGCGGTGTCTGCGAGCGCTGATACCGCGCGTCGACGCCGACGCGCAGCGCCAGGGTTTAGATGCGTTGGCGGGCGCCTTGGAAGCCGCCCTCAACCCGGCGAAGCTCGCGATGATGGCTTCTGATGATGAGAAGCGCAAGCGGGATCTGCGGTGCGCCGCGTGCGCGCGGAACGCGTCGATGGCTTTATTAGCCTGCGTCTCGAACCTGCCGCGGACCTACGCGACGCGGCCGGACCCGACGGCGGACCCCTTCGGGCCCCCGAAATTATTGTCAGATGCGCCCTTCGGCGACAAGCCGCGCGACGCGCTCGCGCGCGCGCTGGCCGCGGCGTCGCCGTGCACGCGGCGCGCGGCCGCCGCGGCGTTGGCCGCTCTGGCGGCGCGCCTGCCGGACGCGCGAGCTAGACTCGGCGCCGCGCGCGCCCTGGCCGACGCCTGCGGGAGGCAGGACGCGCCGAAGAATCCGGGAGACTCCGCGCGGCGCGCGGCCGCGGCGCCGGCCGTCGCGGATCTGGCGCGGGAGAAGGTCCTGACGGCGCCGTCGGCCTGCGACGTCCTGGCGACGCCGCTGACCAAGGGGTCTCTTCTATTATCGACGACGGCGCGGGCCTGGGCCGTGCGCGGGCTGAGCGACGCCGTGCCCGGTCTAGTCCACGCGGATAATGAAAGGAGGCGCCAGGCCGTTTCCCTGGTATTGGACGCGCTCGAGGCGCAGCTCGCGGCGCCCTTCGCCGAACCGACGACGAAGTCGCCGGCGCAAGCCATGACGGAAACTAAAAGACCGGAGAACGTGTTTGGGTTCGACGGCGGGAGCGTGCTGGCGTGCTGCATCGCGCGGTGCGTTGGTCATTTAGTGGAGCCAACGCAATTAACTGGAGACGTCGATTTGGCGAGACGCTACGCGCGCGTCGCGGACGCCGTGTCCAGGTTAGACTTTGCTTCCGTAGAAGCGTATGTGAAGAGAAACGCGGCCAAGGCGCTCCCGGCATTGACGGGAGTCGTGCGCGGCCCGCACCTCGCCCTCAAGTGCGCGGCGCTGACGGACGCCGCGGCGCGCGGCGACGTGGAAATGTTACGGACGATATGTCTCATCAAAACTGATGAAGACGCGTCGCAAGCTATCAAGCGCAAGTGCGCGGCGCACGCTTCTATAGTATGCGTCGAGCGGGCCCAAGGACGTTTAAGTTCGGGGACGGCGCCGCGGTGGCGGGGCCTGTTCCTGCCGCGCGGCTTCGAGCGGAGGGAGGCCGTCGCGCGTTTAGCGGTTATTGATGCCCATTCATTACTAGCCGCGACGGCGCGAGCTGACGTGGACGACTGCCGCGCGGCGACGGCGTGGCTCTGCGTGCTCGGCGCGGAGCAGCCGCGGCGCGAGGAAATTGGCTTAGGAGCGGTATTGGACGCGTGCGCCGAGACGGAAGGCTGCCAGCGGTGGGTGTTGGGCGTCGTCGACGAGGAGCCCGGCGACGTGTCCGAAGTTGTGGAAGAGGAGGAACCGGTCCAGGAGACGCTGAATTCGTTGCGACGGCAGGCGATTGACGCGAATCGCACGAAGGCGGCGGCGCCGCTCGCGCGGCTCGGCGCCGCGCCGCGCTGGCAGACGCGGTGCGAGCTCGCGAACGCGGCCGCGGCGGTCCTCGCACTCTTACGAGACCCGCTCCACACGGATATGAGGGAAGCGCGCAAGGCTGTAGACCAGGCCGTGCGCGACGCGCGCAAGGCTTTAAGGAGAAGGGACTTCGCGGCGCCGGCGCCGGACTACGCTTCTCTCAGAGCGGCGCGCGTCGCCGCGGCGGCGTGCTCGCTCGCCGGGTCGACGGTGGGCGACGACTTTGCGCTCTCCGAGTTGCGGGCCGCCGGTCTAGATTTGCTCGCGGCGTGCGCCCGCTATTTGGGAGGCGTCGTCGACGTCGACGACCCGCAGGGCGCGAAGGCCCTCGACGTCTACGCGCCGCAGATGTCGTCGTCGCTCCGCGCGGCCCTGCGGCCCGGCGCGTCCTCCGTTGAGCTAAGGAGCGCCTTCCGGGCGGTCCACGAGGTCGGCGGCTTCCTCGACGCGTCGGCCTGGAAGCGCGTCGCCGACGTCGCGGCCAAGGGGGACTCCGGAGGCGTCTGGCGCCAGGCGACGGTCGCGGCCATTGTGCTGCGGGACCCATCATTGGCCGTGGACGCGTCCGCGTGGCGCGCGACGTGCCGCGACGGCGCCCTGCTGCTGGACGACGGCGGTCCCGTGCCGGAGTACCTCGCGACGATCGCGTGCGCCGCGTGCTTGTTTCCGTCGGAAGATTCGTTCCCGGACGACGCGCTCGTGGCGCTCGCCCTGCGGATTTGTGGCGACGACGAGGCCCAGCTTTCAGCAGTAGCGGTGCGCGCCGCTGCTTTAGCTGACGACGACCAGCGGTCGGCGGCCCTGGGCGAGGTCGCGCGGCGGGGCGCGCCGGGCGCCGCGTTCGACGCCTGTGCGAAGGCGGGCGTCGCGCCGCCGGCCGCCGTCGCCGCGTCGGTCCTCGACCCGCTGGAACGCGCGCTCGCCGATCAAAGGGACGCGGGTGCCCCATTGCGCGCCGCGGCGCGCCTCGCGACGCTCGACGACGTCGGCGCGACGCGACGCTGCCTGCTACTCGCTTTGCGGGCGTGCAGATCGCCTTGGAGAGCGATCGCGGAGGACCCGGCCGTCGCCGCGCTCGCACCCGCGGCCGTGTTGCTGGCGAAGCCGCTTCCTGCCGACGTGGCGGGCGTGCTCCCGGAGCTGGCGGTCGTGCGGCGCCAAGCCTTTTTGAATGATGGCGCGGAGCCCCGCGTCGCCGACGCGGCCGCGGCCGCCTTACTAAAAGCTTGGGCGGCCTCGAAGCCCGACGCGGCGCAGGCTGCGGCCGCTGGTGCGGCGCTCGCCGAAGCTCTCGACGCCGGTTTGCTGAACGTCGTGGCGGCTTACTTGCCGCCGCGCGGTGACGCCGTGCTAGGCGCTTCTGCCGCGGCGTTCGCGGCGGAGGTGCTCCCGCGCCTAGCAGCCAAGGCCTCGACCGGCGACGCTGCATTAGATAAGCTGGCGACGCCCCTCCTGATCGCGGCGGCGCTGACGGCGCCGGTCTCCCACGAACGAGCGGCGCTCCTCGCCGATTTGCTCGAGGCGCCCCTGAGCGCCCTCCTGAAAAGCGACGACGGGACCGGCGACGTCCTCGTGAAAGTAGCTACGGGCCACGTCGAGCTCTTCAAGGACGCCGTCGGGCGGTTATCTCCGTCCGCGCTGGCCGACGTCAAGGCCGGCATGGGGCGCGCCGCGGCACGGGCGCGGGCGCCGCAGCAGCCGGTGTCGCCGGCTGGAGGTGGTGTTCGCTTGGATATGAGTGCGTATCGGTCTTAATTATGTGTTGTTCTAGTCTTACGCTAGCGGCTCCTCGACCGGCAAAACCGTCGGGTTCGCCCGGCCGAAGCTTCGGAAGCCCTCGTAGACAACGAAGCCATCGTCGTTGCGCTGGCGCTTCGACTGGGGCCCCTGCGACGGCTCGCTCGCCGAGGCCGTGTCCTCGCGCTCCTCCGCGTCCGAGTCGGGCTCGCCGAAGATCCTCTCGCACTCCGTCTGCGCAGCAACCCCGCCCTCAACCGTCGGTTGGGGCGCGACGCGCTGCTTGGGCCGGCGCGCCCGCCGCAGCGCCTCGACATCCTCGTCGTCGCTCGACTCGTTGGTGGGCGGCGGCGTCAAAGCGGCCGGCGCCGGAGCAGGAGCCTCAGCGGCCTCGTCATCCGACGACGACGAGTCGTCATCGGAGGAGGACGTCCCCACGCCCGCGCCGCGGCTCTGCGGCGTGCCCTTCGCGTAGCAGCGCGCCGGCGCGCCGCGGTGCGTCCGCCCCAACGTCGTGGACGGCCGCGCGGCGACGAACTCGTGCTTCTCCCTCGAGAGGTCGAGCGCCTCCCCCTCGCCGTCGTCGTACAGGATGGCGTGCTTCTCGCCGTCGAAGGACTTGACCTCGCCGGCGTACCACGCCGCGTCGTCCGTCCACCAGACCCGGACGCGCCGGCCGACGACCTCGTGGCCCGGCCGTGCGGCGACGGCCGCTGGTGGCGGCGGCGCGGGCGTGGCGACGGGCGCTTTCTTCGCGCGCTTCGCCGGCTTCCGCTTGCGTGCTGGAGGCGCCGGCGGCGCGGGAGCCGGCGCGCTCGCGGGCGTCCGGCGGCGGCGCGCGAGCGGCCGCACGAGGTGCACCGGCACCCGTTCCTCGAAATCGCCATCCGTATACTTGAGATCGAAGGTTTTACCGCCGTCTCTGACGACGAGGACGAGCGCCGGATAGAACACGTCACCGCCCCGGAACCGCGCCTCGACCAGAGCTTCGACGGCGAAGGCCGGCGCGCTGTCGCCGTCGCCGCTTTCAGCCGCGGGCTCGGCAGCCGGCTGGACCGCCTCTGCTGCCGGCTCGGCGTCCGCGGCTGCCGGCTCGTCCACTGCTGCCGGCTCGGCTGCTGCCGGCTCGGCGGCGGCCGCGGCGGCGTCCGCGGCTGTCGGCTCGGTGGCCGCCTCGGCGGCCGCGTCGTCGCTATCGTCTGAGACTTCCGGTGTCGACCGACGATATATACGGCGCCCAGCAGCGAGCCGGCAGGGGCTCGAAACCGCCCAAGCCGCGTGGCCTGGCGGGTCTAGCATCTGCAGCGAGTCCAGCGGGGCATGCAGCACGTCCGGGTAGTGGGTACGTGCGATCTCGAGGAGCGACCGGTACTGCCTCGTCTCACCCGGCTTGCTGTAGTAGGGGTCGCGCCCGGTCTTGGTCGTGGTCCATTTGTCGCGCCGCATGTATTGCTCGAGCTCGGCCTGTTCGCCGCGAGAGAGACGCCTTTTCGGCGCCGGCTGCTTGCGCCGCGGCGCCGCGGGCGCACGCGCTGGCGACACGGCGGCCACTTTCGTGGTCGACCGCCTCGGCCGCGCGTCGCCGATCGGTATCACCTTGTCGACGGCGACGCGCATGACGCGCGCCGCGGTCGTGTAGCGCACGACGGCCTCGGCGTCGCCCTCGACGCAGTCCTCCAGCACGACGGCGTCGTGGTAGTTCACGGGGGTTGTTTGGCACCAGACGGCCGAGCCCTTGGCAAACCTTATAGGCGTTTCAGCCATTTTGCTTTCGGCTGGATTTTGTTTCTGCTGCGGCCCCGAACGATGCGGAACCAAGACGAATAGGTTGCAGTTGTCTGATGGAAACTCCTGTGAAGCGCAGCCTTTACGAATGTCAGTGATGCCGTCGTATGAGCCGGCCAAAGTGCAGCTCTGCGACTCCTCTGTTGTGCTTGGGAGAGGCACTAGCTCTAAGCATCGGTACTCCTCCACGAGCTCACTTGGACGGAGAGGGGTAACACCATGAGTCCAGAAACTCAATCGTGGGCAGATTCGTGGGCCTGGAACTGGAACCCGAACGCAAAGCAGACTCTCGCGCCATCTGGATTTAAGCGTCCGCGGCGACCACTTTCGGCTGCCCCCGCAAATTCCTGCGACGTCCCAGGACCGCCAGAGCATACCACTTGCGCAGGGCTTGCAAACGCCCGCCGGTTCGCGGCCACGCATTAAATCCCCTTTGATCACTGGGATAGCCATGGCCTTCTTCGTGGCGGCCAGCGCCGACTCGCACGTCGAGACGCTGCTCAACAAATTAGAAGCAAAATTCAAGACGAAGCTCCAGGCCTTCCGCTACTTGGACGAGTCGAACAACGGCTACGTCACGGCCGACGACTTCGCGGTGCGATACCGCCGCATGGGCTTCGAACTGAGCCAGGCCGACGCGCAGCGCGTCGTGGAGCGCTTTTCGGGAGACGGCGCCCAACGTGTTTCTTTCGACGACTTCGCGCGTTTGTACGACCACGCGGGCATGACGCTGCCGCCGCCGCCCGAACCCAAACCGGAGCCGGCGCCCGTCGCGTTATCGGATGTGGAGAAGCTCGACGTGGCCTTCAGCGCGGCGCTGAAAGCTCGGGAGCCGACCCTCCGCGAGGCCTTCCTGTCGATCGACCAGAACCGCACCGGCTTCCTCACCTCCGCGGAATTAGCGGCAGCTATGGCGCGCTGCGGCATCGCCGCGTCCACGGAGCAGACGGAGGCGCTCTGCGCGCTCTACGACCTCACGGACAACGCCAAGATTAGCTATGCGGAGTTCGCCGCGCGCGTCCGCAAGCGCGCGCGCCAGTACCGCGGGCACCTCGACCGCCAGCAGGACGACCTCCTCGCGCGGGGCAACCTCCTCGCGCCTGTGACGCCGGCGCAGGCGCCGCCGCCGCCGCGCGAGCCCCGCCCGTTCTAGTCATCATTCGTCCGCTGCTAAGGCGCCGTTTTCCGATCAGTCTGCAGATCTGTTACGGTGCTAGGACTAGATCAGTCCTTCTGATCAGTCCGGGTAGAAACCCGCACGCTAGCTTTTGCCTCTTGCTCTTTTTGCCTGTGCATCGATGCAATGCTCCACGAGTACAGTTCGTCCGCGCCGCAGGAATCATAGTTTTGTGCTTGCGGTGCGTCTGCACGCGCTGCGTTGCGTGGGGCAGCGTTTTGTGCACGTATGAAGCCCCCAGCGCATTCGTGACATGAGGTGCTGGCCGCACGTCCTCGTCGCCGCAGCCGCTGCGGCGGCGAAGCGAAGGCAAGGTACGTCGCAGTGGTCCACGCCAGTAGTCGTCGTGCCCGCTCATTACCGCGAGTGGGGCCGCACGCCGCCCTGGGCGACGAAGCTGCCGCCGTGGGCCTCCACGTATATATACCAGCGCACGAAGAAGGGCGCGCCGCGCTACTCGCCGAATTATGGGTATGAGGCGGGGGTACACCTCCAGTTCATCAGCGAGTTTTATGATGACCTCCCGGAATTAACGGTGTTCACGCAAGCGAAGCCGAAGCAGCACAACCCCCTCTTCTTCGATACCTTAAAATGCCTGAATTCGCGCACGAACTACACGTCCTTGAACTGGAACTACCAGACGCGCGGCACGACCTACTGGCGCAAGTTCGCGCTGCAAGGCGTCGTCGAGCAGTGCTGGCGCGATTTGTTGGATGCGTTCGGCGTGCGGCTGCCTTCGAAAGTCGAACCGGTCGCGTCGTTCTATTGCTGCGCGCAGATGGCCGCCTCCCGGGCCATGATACGGCGGCATCCGAGAGCCGCGTACGAGGTCCGCGACCGGTGTCCACCAGCACGCCATCGACGCGGCACAATAACTTTCTCGTCCTCGCAGAAAGCCTACGCTATGCTCGGCGGGGCCGGTGCCTGCCACAAAGGCGAGCTCGACTGGGAGACGCTCTCCGTCTACGCGTCGAGCCGCACTCGTAAATGGGACGCGCCGCGCTACAACCGGCATACCGCGGGCGCCTGGGAGCACCTCAACCACGTCATCCTCGGCGGCGAGCCGCTTAAGTCGCGGCGGCGGGCGCGCGCACGGACCCCGCGCTGCGCGCCGAGCGACTTCGGCTCGCGCCAGCTGGCGGGCGCCGAGCTAACAATTCATAACTTACTCGGGAGGGTTCTGTCGCCGCAGCACGCAGCGCGACGAGTACACGGGGCCCGTCGTTGTGGGCGGCGACATGCCGCCGGACAGGGGCGCCCGCGCCGGCTCTGGCTCCGGCTCTTTTAACTCCTCGAGAGCCGCGCGCGCCTCCTTTTCTTCCGCCGCGAGCGCCGTCCTGTCGCCCGCGTCGCCCCGCTCCCGGAAGACGAGGTGCAGCGCGCCGCCCCAGGCCTCGCCGAGCGCGTCGCGCGCCGCGGCCTCCCGCCCCAACGCCGCGAGCGCCGCGGCGCGCTTTATTGCGACGCGCACAAGGGGGCCCCGGCCGGTCCGCGGCCGCCCGCCGAAGGACCGTCGGCACGCGTCGAAGGTTGCTTGCGTCGCTTTCAGCAGGCGCCGCGGGTCGCTTTTCAAATCGTCCGCGGCTTGCAGTGCGTATTGGGCGGCAATCTCATCAAAATCGCTCGCGAGGCGCCCGTATTCGTCCAGCGCGGCCGACGTGAAGCACGCCCACGTCTCCAGCGCTTCGACACAATCCTGGGTATTAGTGTAAGCTCGTGCCGCGTCGCGCTCGATCGCCTCCAGCGCGTCCTTGAGTTCTCCTGAAACGTCCTCCCCGCGTAGGACGTGCATGGCCAGGTCGTTGCGCCCGTCTGATATTTTGAAAAAGGCCGCGAAAACCAAGGAAGCCGGTACGCCCAGCCGCCTTAGTGAATTCACGAACGCCACGTCGTCGCCCTCGAAATTATTGGAGAGCACCGCCCTGACGAAACTCTCGTTCTCCGCGTCCAGGCACGCCGCCGCGTCCGCCTTGATGAACGGCTTGACTCCAAACTTCTCGGTGAAGGCATTTCGCTCGTGCTCGGGCCACGGCTCCGCGAATTTGGGGGAGGGCGGCTTCTTCTGCGCTTCTACCGCCTTCCGGATGGCCCGCAACCTTGTTAAAAACGGGACGGCCGAGGCGTCGTAGATTTGTGTCGAAAAGTCCGTCAGGTCCGCGGCCTCCTCTAGATCAGCGTCGCTTGATAACAAGCCCGCACTCTGTGCTGTTTCCAGAAACGGTCTGAGTCCTTCTGGATCATCGGACCCAACCCTATAAGCGTCCACCAGTACTTCCAAATCATAGGGCCCCGTCTCCTCCTCGACTGCTTGATTGAAGGCGGCGCGCCGCTGCGTCTCGAGGGCCTTCCGGAACAATTCTGACGAAGCTTTGTCGCCGGACTTGGCCGCTTGGCCGAGATCTTCCAAAGCTGCCGCGGCATCCCCTAATTCCAGAGCGGCCTTGCCCCGCCGATAGCGCGCCTTGACGTTGCTCTCGTCTAGCTCTAAAGCCTTCGACGCGCTCTCCGCCGCTAGCTCATATTCTTTGAGTCGTAAATAGGCCTCGGCCTTGTTCGCGTGGCACTTGGCGGCCTCGGCGCCGTCCAATGCTTCCGCGGCCCTATCGTACGCGGCCAGGGCCTCCCTATATTGGCCCTTCCTAAATTGTTCATTGGCCGCCTCGCGCATCGTTATACCGACGGGCTTCTCCGGTACTTTAGGTGGTGCGACGTCTTCTTCTTCTGAGTCCGAAGTTTGCTCCTCCTCGGGCGGAGTAGGTAAAGGACCGTAGAGCTCCATAAGATCCCTAGCGTTTTTAGCTCGCTCCTCCGGCGTTTTGGCGGCCTTGCTCCTCTGGATGATCTTGCGGACCGCATCAATGTCTTTTGTCCTTCCTAAGAGCGAGCCGACGTCCTGGAGCGGCACGGCTTCGTTGTCCTCATCAGAAGGCGTCGGGCCGCGCGGGCCCCACGACTCTGCTTCCTCCTTGCGCTTCCGGCAGTCCTCCAACACTGCTTTCTGGGCGGACTCGATGATCTTCTTGCGCTCCTCTGCTGAGTGGTGTTTGATGGCAGGCATGGCTGTCTGTGTGCTTTGTGGTTTTGTCTCGGTGATTGATCGATGATTGATCGATGATTGATCTTCAGCTGCGACGATCCGTTTGATTTTGATTGCGGCTGCCGCTTGTCGCGCCGCGGGCAAATGGGGCAGCCTGCTTTTTGTGGAACTCTTTATGTTTTCTATCTAGCGTCATCGATACTAGCATCTTACCGGGTTGTGTTTTTTTGCCAGCCAGGGGGGCCGTACCCCCCTTTTAGAGACGTCGTGCCACCCCCCCTACCCCCCTCCCTGGGGCCGGCCGGAGAAATGAGACGACCCCCCCTACCCCCCTCCAAAAAATGCGTCCTAGTATGTCCATACGCTAGCTCGCCAAGTGTTGCGGCTCGCCAAAATACACCAGCGATTGACGCCGCCATCTACTATCCAAATGGTAAATCATATCAACTCCAGCCCAGTTTTCATACACATTCGACGGAACCGGAGCCGACGGCGCGCGCTCGGAGGGCGGGAAAAGAATTCTACTAGACAACTCCCGAGTTTATGTTCGTTTCCTTCCGTTTGTTAGTGGTAGAGTCCATCTAGGCCGATTGAACATTTACTGAGGTGCCTTAGATGGTCCGGAATATCCTCGGGATTCGTCAACTCCGCGACCCCGCGTTTATACATAGATTGGCTCAAGACCTGAACCCGCGAGTATCAGCGACGCCACCATCCAGATGGACCATAACGCCGTTGTTCTATTTACAATCGACCGACTTGCCCGTTCTCCGCGGACGACGGTGCGTACGCGGGGCACTGGATTGGCCCCAGACCGGTACTTTGTAAAGTAAAATTGCGTTTCAGGCGCTTCGGTTATGGGAAGGGCCAGATAACCGGCCTGAACGTGTACTACATTTGATTAACGGTACCGTACCGATAAGCTATGTGATTGTGGCTCGGTCAGGATGGTCTGCGCGTCCTTGGCCTTGACCGGGGCGGTGTACATGAAATCCGTGACGACGCAGCAGCCGTCGAGAGCGTGCTCGTAGCCGCCGACGGCCGTGGGCTTGAGGTCCGTGGCCAGGTCGAAGTCCCAGCATTCCGCAGGCTCGTAGTCCGCACGCGCAGATGCCGATCGCCCATGCGTGGGGACGCGGCGCAGGTTCGCGAGCGCGCAGGCGGCGCAGTCGCACGGAACGGGGCGCCATCGGGTCCAAATTATTTACTTTTTTCGGATGTAGATCGGCTCCTGGAGGTCTCTCGGGGTAGGTCTGGTAGTGGGTAAGCGCATGTACCGCATACGCCATTGATGCAGCAGCCTAGTGGTCTCGGAGGGCTCTGGAAGCAAACCATGGCTAAAAGATGGCTAAACCGAGTGGTCTGCTGAGAGAAATCGGCCAAACATGCTTGAAGCGCCGGCGCATGCGGTGTAGGCGCTTGCGCGTGTCTAGTACCGACCCTAGGCGACCCCAGGGACACCTCCGCGCCACGAACCGACAGGATTCCACGGGCGCGGCCGTCATGGTAGGACCGTCAATATCGCGAATTAAAAAAATTATTTTTTTCGCCCCCCAGTAAGTGTCCCATTGATCTCTTTGGACCAGTATCGAACCGAACGATACTCAAACAACTTCATGTCGCGTCTAGGAGTTCCTCGCGGAATCCGCGCCCGGCGCGCGCGACGGTAGTCACCTCCGGCAGCCTTCGACCCCCCCCACCCCCCACCCTCGAGCCGGCGAGTAATGAAGGGTGAACCCCCCCCACCCCCCCCTAAAAGGGGGGTACGGCCCCCCCCTGGCTGGCAAAAAAACACAACCCCGTAGACTTAGCCAGAGCTAAGAACTTTAGCTGATTGCGAGGCACCAAAGCACCCGTTCGCTGAGGGAATCGGCTCGGAGGACTTTCGCGTTGCACCGCAAGCCCTCGCTGCAATCCCGATCCAAAACAGAGCCCCAGACAAGCTCTCCGAGCCACAATGGCCCTCGGATCCCCCGCTGACATATTGCAGCTTTTCCTAGCGCTCGCCGTGGGAGGCCTCATCCTCAGCATCGTGGTCCTTGTCGTCGCCCCGGCGCGCGGTGAGGATACTTGCACGGTCGACGACCTCGACGCCCTCGACGACGCTGGCCCGGCGTGGCCCGCGGAGCCGGGGCCAAAGATGCCCTGCGAAACTTCTGTCGACAGCAACGCTCTGAGCTTGGTATCGGTGCTCGCCGCCGTCGCAGCAGCAATGTTCTTGGTCGTGAGAGCTCTGCTCACGGCGTGGGTGGGCCTCGCCGAGGCGTGGGTGCCCAAGTGGCTCTTCGTCGTGCTGTGCTTCTTTCCGCTCGCCTTTATAACCGGCTACCACTCGGCGACGGCCGAGCAGGGCGCGGCCTACGCCTCGCTCGCCAGGGACGTCCTCGCGCGCGAGCGGGCCTCCGACTTCGACCAGCGCGAGTCGCCGGGCGTCGTCCCGCAACAAAAGGGCTTCCGGCGCGTGCGCTCGAACGGAGACCTCCGGCGGCGCGCGGGCGGGCTCCCGCGCTCGTCGTCGGGAAGCAATCTCCGGGCGCGGTTCCGCCGGCATCATCAGCGCTGATCTGTACATTCTCCCCCCTTGCACTAAATTGCACAAACAATATTACATAAATCACGCCGTGGGCGCATGGAACCAACCGATGAGGCACGTCCGTTCCCGCCGCGTCGGCCGCACCTCGTGCTCGACGGCCATCGAGTCAAACAGGACGAGCGATCCGGCGTCCGGCAGGATCTCGTAGTAGGCGCCGTCCGAATGTACGCGCAGTGCGCCGCCGTCGCGCTCCGTCCATGCGGGCGCTCCGGGGTCGTTCAGATAGCAAATGAAGGATACGCTCCTGCGGCTCGGGGCGCCGTCGTTCGCTTCGTAGTCGTCAACGTGGCGCTGGAAGTAGCCGCCTTCGGGATAGCGCACGTAGTGCACCTCGACGTTCTCTATCAAGTCTCTATCTAATCCTTCCATGAGTTCTTCCCGCACTATGCCGAGCCGCTCCCACAGCGCGGCGAAGGCGTCGAAGCATCCGACGTCTCGAGGCCGATCAATCGGGTCCGCGAAGAGTGCCGAACGCATGCCGGTGTCGCCGCCGGCGCGCGGTCCGCTGCCGGCCGGGCCGAAGCGACCGAGCTGCTCGAGCGCATCTATGTCATAGCGCAGGTCGTCGACCAGTCGTTCTGGGGCAAAGCCGACTTCTCGGTGCACGCGACCTGCTGCTAGCGCTTGTTTGAAGCTTGGATCCAGTACCAGTGCGGTGCACTCGTGGGCTGTTAGCCAAACAACCAGTGCGTTGAACATCATCAATGAGAGCTAGCTCTGAGTGCAAATGTCCTATCTCTGCGCATACGCAACGTGACACTGCAGTTTCTTCTGTCGCAGGCGGCGCAGGTGCATGGAGGCTTCCAACCTGTTGTTCTTGTGCACGGGCAGCGAGTCTGTGGTACTCCTTGCGGCGCTGCTATTTGAGGCTAGCGGCCTGTAAAGACGCTAGCAAGCAAAACGAAATGCGCCATGCAGCCGTTTGAGTATCCTTCAGTTCGCTACTGGTCCAAAGAGATCAATGGGACACTTACTGGGGTGCGAAAAAACTCATCTTGATTCGCGGTGCGGAGGCGGACGAGGCCACAGGGCGGCCGCGCCTGTGGAATCCTGTCAATCCCTGCCCAAGAGGTCTCCCTGGGGTCGCCTAGGGTAGGCACTATACACGTGCAAGCGCCTACACCGCATGCGCCGCCGCTTCAAGCATTTTTGGTCGAATTCTCTCAGCAGCCCACGCCGCATTTAGCAATTTTAGGCCTATTTTGCTTCAAAAGCCCTCCGAGAGCACTAGGCTGCCGCATCGATGGCGTATGCGGTACAGGCGCGTACCCACTACCAGACCGACCCCGAGAGACCTCCAGGAGCCGATCTGTCCCCGAAAAAAGTGTGCAATTTGGGCCCGATGGCGCCCCGTTCCCGTCAAAAACGTCAATTACCCGAGGGCCCCCAGGAATCGTAATAGCGGTCTCGTTGGGCCCCATACTACCCCAGCGATAGTCAATTACAAGTATATGACATCTACACGCCGAGAAGGGTACTTTGGGCTGCCCACGCTCGGGACGTGAACATCTTGATCTGGACCTCGCGTAAGTCGGTCGATCATGAAGCAAACGATCTCATCAAGGTCCATGGTGATAATACACGGGCTGATGGTCGCAGGTCCAGGTATTGTGCCCCGTTTGTAGAAGATGGTGGGCTCGCAAGGCCGACGAGGCGCGAGGAGCATATCGGGGTATCGAAGCAATGTAGTAGGCAGTCAGGCCGGTTATCTGGCCCGTCCCATAACTAAAGCGCCTGAAGCGCAAATTTATTTTATAAACCACCGGTCTGGGGCCTTTCCGGTGCTCCGTCTCCGCACCGTCGTCCGCGGAGAACGGGCAAGTCGGTCGATCGTGAATAGAACAACGGCGTTATGGTCCAACTGGATAGTGTCGTCGCTGATACTCGCGGGTCCAGGAATTTTGCCGATCTTTGTACAAACCCGTGGTCGCGAAGTTGCCGAATCCCGCGGCTCGTACGGATCAAGAGACTGGGCTCAGTAAATGTTGAGGCGGGCTGGATGGACTCTACCCCCAACAAACGGAAGGAAACGAACATAAACTCGGGAGTTGTCTAGTAGAATTCTTCTCCCGCCCTCCGAGCGCGGGCCGTCGGCTCCGGTTCCGTCGATTGCGGATGAAAACTGGGCTGGAGTTGATATGATGTACCATTTGGACGGTAGAAGGCACCGTCAATCGCTGGTGTAAATTGGCGAGCCGCAAGACCTAGTGAGCTAGCGTATGGACACACTAGCTTTTTACGGGCTCGGCCAATCGCTTTTACTCGCTCAAAACGCTCTCATTTTACCAGAAAGTGTGCAGCGCGGCGTCTATGCACTGTGAGATTCGCCTGTAGACCGAGCCGCGCTTCCGACCTAGTTTTCGTTGGTTTCCAGAGGTTTCCCCTTTTTGCAGCGGCAGAAGCAAGGAACAGAGACGCCCGTCGCAGGCAGCAATGGCTTTTTACAACACTGTGCCCGCCGAAGACACCCGCCTCCAGGAGGCGCCCAAGTCCTGGAAGCTCAAGAAGATCGTCGTCGTCTCCGCGGCCCTCTCGTTCTCCCTCGGCGCCTGCGCCGCCACGGCCCTCTCGTATCGCGAGGTCGGCGCGACCCAGCTAGACTGGCAAGTACCCGTCCCGGCGCAAACTGATTGCCAGGCGAAGTACCCCAATCTCTGCTCGGACGACGGCTGCAATTGTAGATGCCCGCCGTGGAATGGCAAACCATGCCCGACAAAGGGTTGTGATCAATCGCACTGCCACGACAAGACCGTGGTCAAGTGCGCCGGCGGCCAGTGCAATCAAGCCACGGCCACCGCGTCGGGCGAGATTTCGTGCTCCGACGGCGGCTGCACCCAAACGCCCGGGGTGAAGGCCGGAACGCTTTCCTGTTCGAACGGGAACTGCGACATGACGGGCGCGGTCGTAACCGGAAGCGCGACTTGCGGAAATGGCAACTGCCATATGAACGGCATCTCGAGTAACACCGGCGATATCTCTTGCGGAAACGGCAATTGCCCGCAGACTGGAGCCAAGGCTCCGAAGGGCTCGATCACGTGCCGTAATGGCAACTGCGCCCAAAACAACGCGGCGGCCGGCATGAGCATTACCTGCGACAACCTGTGTGGAAATCAAAATTTTACGGCGCGTTCGTGCTGAATCTTCGCGTCGACCTCCACGCCATCGACGCGACGCCTGCTCGATGGCGTGCACCCGACGCACTGGTTGATTTCCACACAGGCGACAACGGCTCGTGCGACCAAAGCAACGCCAATGCGGGCCAGACGATTACTTGCAGAAATGGAGGATGCACGCAGACCGACGCGACCGCGCCGAACGGGGTGACTTGCAGAAACGGCGGGTGCCCGGGCAATTCCGGCGGCGGTTCTAGCAGCGGTTCTACGTGATTGTTTCACCCCGAGGCCATGCCACGAGGCCCTCCGCTGACCTTCATCGTCTTCGTTTAGGCGCTCTGCTTTAGTCTTCTTCTGCCACGCTTGAAGCCGCTTACTGCGGCCCATCGTGGGCCAGTTTTATAACCGCGTCGAGCCTCACGCCGCGATGCGCGACCTGGCTACGGGCCAAAACGGGTTTTACAGCGACGCCGCCGCCGCACCCCTCCCCCCAAAGGAAACAAGTAGGATTAGGGCAGGCCCCCGTTCGCCGCGACCTTGAACTTCTTCCGCCCCCCGAACTCCGTCATGTCGCGGCCCGACCCCGTCACGCCCACTTTGCCATCCACTGTCGTAGGAGCGGCAAAGATCGACTCCTTGCGCACGCCCTTCATGGACCCGGCAACCCTACGTTTGGCGCCTTTTTGCTGGAAGGCCTGCCACGAGTTCTTCGACTGGTCGCGGGCCGCGTCTTGTTCACTTTGTTTGAGTTTCTGCTTCAACGCTTTCACGCGTCTTCTTTTCCGCAATCGATCCTGCTCACTATCGGAAGGGAGCACCTTCAAATGCTCCGGGATGCGATACGTCCCATCTGCTTCTCTTACTAAACCCTCATTGGCATCGGGCAACTGGCCCGTCTGCGACCGCACCCTCAAATATTCGAGAGGCAACTCCTCCGAATTCCCATATTCCGTGAACGACACTTTGTAGCCGAAATCCGTGACCGCCTCAACCACCACATCATAGTACTTCCCATCACCGGAATACCTGCCAACGAGCTCGGCACCGACCACAACTTGTGCCGGGTCCAGGGGGTCGTCGCAGATGAGTGGGCGAATACCATCGGCATCCACAACCTCCGTATTGCCGAACCCGATATAGACTACCGTGTAGGCCCCACCAGCGACGGCAGTGATCACGGCAGGATACCATCCATCATTAAACTTGCCCTCGCAGCGCATGCCGACTTGGAACGGATCTATATCGATGCCCTCCTGTTCTTCGCCCTGCGTCGCGTCTGGTTGCTCCTGTTCCTTTTTTTCGTGGTCATATTTCAGCAGATCTTCTGTTAATTTAGTGACTTCGAGCAAATCTTGTCTCAACTTCTTGAACTGCTCGTTGTCCGGGTCCTGGGCCAGCAACTGCTCGACTTGCGCGAGCTGCTCGCCGTACGTCCGCAGCTTCTCGGCGAGGTCGGCGGACGAGCCGGTGGGGGCGGCCATTTTTTTTGTGCGCGGCGACGGCGTCTGGGTGCGGCGGCCTTTTGGGGGAGCGCTGCGGCCACGCGGCGTGGCGGGCTGCTTAGAGAGCTCTTTGCTGCTTTTATCTGTGGCGGCGAGGCGTGCGGCTTCGCTCTACTCGCGAAGGCTAAGGGCTGCGGCGCGGTGAAAACTGGTCTTTCAGACCTGTTCGCTTCAACCAGCGGGCCGTAGCGGGCGCGAGCTGGGCGTGTTGCTTTAATGCCGCGTGTGCTAGCGGCCTGTAACATACTAGAACACGGATGCCTCCTCCCATGACTGTGGCGCAGGTCGACGTTGAGCAGTTGAATCCAAAACGGGTTTCGTAAAAAGCGGTGGTAGCGGAGGCGAAGGTATAGTGATAAATTAAAGCAACGTAAGCCCGTCCCGCGTCGTCGCCGTCGACGCGCGCTCGGGCGAGTCCGCGTACTGGTCCGCGTGGTCCTCGGAGTCGCCCCGCCGCCCGCGCGGCGAGATAAGGAGGCCGCGCTGGACGCCCCGCGGCCCCGAGGCGGCGCGCGCGTCGGCGGCCAAGCGTGCGGCCCGCCGGTAGACCATCGGAAATTCTTACTTCGAACGGCGAGAGGTCGAAACAGGTGATGGGCGAGAAACATCCATTGACGAAACAATTTTTCGTGAACATCCTTGACTTGTTTACGAGGATGTCCGCCCGCCCCGAGTGCCCGGAGTCCAGCGCGCCGTCGCCGGCGGCTTGCGAGGAGAAGTCGGGGGAAGCTGGTAATCTCGAGTAAGCTAAACAATACATCTTACACACTAATAATCAGACCATCTCCACCTCCTTCTCCGATGAAAACGACGGCGCAAACACCACCGATTCGTCGGGGTCCTTGCGCTCCTCGTCGTCGTCGACGTCATCGACGGCGGGCGTAGGCGTCGGCAGCCCGCACGCGGCGGCGATCGCGGCAACAACGAGGAACGCGCGCGCGCCGTAGGGCAGGTACGCGTAGACGCCGGGACACGTTTCCGCCGCGGCGCCGCTGTCGCGCGCGAGCGAGAGCGCCCCGGACCACGACGCGCCGCCGCCGAGGGGCCCGAGCGCCCTCATAGCGGCAGCTAGAGTCTGACCCAGTCCGTTGACGGCGCCGAGCTCGGACATCGGGGCCGACGTGTTGACCAGCAACATCACTTGACAGAACGCAATGGTCTGCGTCACGCGCAGCGACACGTACACGGGGAACAACCCAGCGAAGGACGACAGCGCCGGCACTACTATACCCAGCGGCACATTCACGAGATTGCAGACCACGAAGACGCGCGACGCGTTGCCGCTCGACAGCCGGAGGACGTGCGGCGCCGCGAAGGACCCGATGAGCAGCGAGCCGCCGCCGAGCGCCAGGAACCGGCCGATCCGCGGCGGCTTCCACTCCAGGCAGCCGCGCGCGTAGAGAGGAAACAGTTCGTCGAACAAAATCTGCGCGCCCGCGAGCAGCGCGTAGGCGGCGCAGGACAGCACCGGCCCGCGCCGGCGCCAGACTGGGAGTGATGTCGTCGACGCCGCGCCGACGGCTTCGTACGCGGCCGTCCGCGGCGCGTCTCGTAGGACCGCGCACGCGAGCAGAGAGGTCAGGAATTGATAGACCGCGCAGACCAGGAGCGGCAGCGCGTAGGGGTACGCCTCCCAGAACTCCGACCCAAACACGCCGGGCCAGGTGTCCGCCGGCCGCGCGAGGGCGCCGCCCAGATAGGACGCGCTCACGATGCCAATCCCAAAACCGACGGGAAAGAGCGAAAAGGCGTGGGGTCGATTCGTCTCGTCCGTGATCTGCGAGACGTGCGACTTGATGATGCCTATTGTGCCATTCAGCAGACCGCTCGCGACCCGCGCGACGACGGCCCACGTCACGTTCGGCACGAACCCGAAGACCGCCGACGAGAACGACGCGGCGAGCCCGCCGAACACGAGACAGGCCCGGCAGCCGTAGCGGTCCGCGAGGCGGCCCCAGTGATAGCTGCTGAAGACTTGCCCGATGAAAAAGGATGCACCCAACAAACCGCTGTAAAATCCTAAGTTCCGCTCGCTCACGCCGAGATCACGCAACATAAACACGACGAAGGGAAAGAGCGCGAAGCCGCCCAACGCCTCGCTGATCTGGATGAGGAAGACGACGGCCATGGCCGCTTTTGGGAGCGGCGTCTGGGGTGTTGCTGCGGGAGCGCCCATGGTATTGTCCCGCAGGCAGCTTTCCTGTGTGGCAGCACGTCAGCGGTCGTCAAACGCTCTGCACGGATGAAATCACTGGCGCTCTGCCGTCGAATCAATCTGCACGACTGATATCGATCGTACGGCTACGTCTGGCAATGTATGCCCTGAGGTGGCCAAGCCAAAGCTGGAGTTGGAGAGATGCTTCTAGTGTCTTACAGGCCGCTAGGTCGTTTTCGCGCGACTTTTCGCGCGATTCATTGCTCGCTCGCATCAGATATACACCTATATTATCATTCACACACACAGCTAGCGCCCAGCAGCAGGCGGCGGCGTCTCGGCCTCCGGCGCGTCGTCGGGCGCCTTCGGAGGAGGAGGCGGCGGCGGCGCCGACGAGAACAGCGATTTCGTCATCGACCGCAAATACGTCGACGCCTGATCGGCCATGGACGGACCCTCCTCCCCCAACAAGGGCACGGGGCACACACACGTCGAATTTTTGGGACCGGCGACGTCGCCGCCACACCTCTTACAAGTGACGACAAACGCCTTTTCCGTGAACGGGCCCCGCTCCACTTCCTCCTCCGATGAATCGCGCTTGACCTCGGGGGCCTCGGCGAGCGCCCGTTCCAGTACAGCTCTATTGGCGGCCTCGGCATCAGACAAAGCCTTCCGCGCGTTCTTCACCTCCCGCACCAACAACCGCTTCTGGTCCTGGAGCTCGGTGACGCGCGCGTCGGCAGCTTTCGCCTGCTGCTCGACGACCTCCAAGTTAAGCGTCGCCTCCTGCGCCTCCCTCCGAAGCTCCTCGGTCTCCTCGTTCAATCTTGCTGAAGTCTCCGCCTCGTCCTGGGTCCGCGCTTCCTCCCGTCGCAATTCCTCCTCCAATTGTGCGACCTCGGCGCCGTGCCTCCTGAGTTCCCGCGCGCGTTCTTCCGAGGACGCCTCCTTCGACTCGAGTTTAGCTTCGAGCGCGGCGATGCGCGCCATGGAGCGCCTTCCATGTCTCTTCATCCGCGCTAAAATGGAGGACCGGACGTCCTCCTCCAGATCATCACCCTCGGAGTCGTCGTCATGTTCGTCGAGCTCCCTGGCGATGGCCCTTAATCTATCGTCGAGCTCCGCCTCGGCTCTAGCTGCCGCGACGTGGCGTCTTTCGGCTTCGTCGTTCGCCTCCGTCGCCTCATCTAGTGCATCGCGCGACGCCGCCGCCTGGGCCGACAGGTCGTGCTGCAAATCTCTATACGCGTCGCGCTCGTCCCGCACATTAAAGTAGCGCTCCCGCACCAATGCGGACACCCAGGCCGCGGCGTCGTCCGCCGAGTCCGCCTGGAAGTAGAAGCGCCGGCCTTCCGTGTCGTGCGTGCCGGGCGTGACGATGTGCACGACGTTGCCGTCGCCCACCGACACGTCCGCGCCTTCTAAGTCTATTACACCTCTTGGAGCGTCGGCGCTGCTGTCCTCGAAGTAGTAGAGGAACGCTTGCGGCGCTAATACGCAGAAGCGCCGCCGCCACTGGTGCTGCTCGTCGCGCTTCGCGAGGTAGCCGCTGAGCGCGCCGAGCGCCGCGGTCGCCGGCGCCGTTCGCGAAGCGCTGGATTTCACGGCCATGGTCGTGTTGAGATTGCTGAATAGTAAATTGTTCGACAGCCCGGCGGCCGCGAGGAGCCGCCGCCGGTAGCGGTCGCTCTGGCTGTGGGCCGCGCCTAGGGGGCCTTGCCTGGACATTCTTCTGGGGCTCGTGCGACGACGTATGTGGGTGCCGCGGTGCTTTTGTGCGCTTTGTGGAATGTCAGGGTGGCAGCCTGGGTATATCCGACGGCCCGACAAGAATGACCGGAGTCGTTCGTGTACGTGTGTAGCACTGCTCACAGCTTCTGACGAAGCGTTTGAGCGGCCCGCGGCAGCTATACGCGACGCTGAAGTTCAGGAAACAGCTGACTGGCTAGTGTCTTACATGACGCTAGCTCTCGCTGTGGTCGCCTCGTTTCTTTTGGCTCTCTCTGTGTCCAATCGACTGTCAGAAAAGCTTAAAAAGCTCATTGCTTGACCTGAACGCTGGGCACCGCCTTGGAACAACGCCCCTGCGCTGCTGGAGCCCTCTTGCACAACGCACACAACATGCCGACTGCTCGGTCAAAAGCACTCGCGGCGCGCGCGGGCCGCTCTTTCATCGACCCCGTCAAGCAGACCCTGCCGAGCGAGCGCGCGAAGGCGCAGGAGGAAGGACTCGTCACTGTATGGAGCGAAGACTCCTCGTCTGGATGGCGAGTAAATGGTCAGCCGCGCCCGCTGGTGGTGCTCGATAAAAACGGACAATGGCGACCCGCACGGTCACTCTACGAATACGTGCAGCAGAACGTGGTCGAGATATGCGCCGCCAAGATTCACCACGACGAACACGGCGATCCCCCCTCGTACGAGAACAATTACAGTGACGGCTGGGAGGACGCGACGGAAGTCTACGCGAAGCCGGTCGGGCTCAAGACCTCAGGAGGAATCGACACATTTCTCTCGGACGTCATGCCTTCGATTGCTGGTTTCATCGTCAATCAGCGCCGGAACGAGGAAAGCGCCATGCGGTTTTTGCGCGTGATAGCGCGACGCGTCAACGTGCCTGATGACTGCGTGAAACACATAGAGGCCTTCGCCGGCCTGCTGCCGGCGCGAGACTCGGTTCCGTGCCGGCGCGAGCAGCTACCGGCCTTCATGCAGCGGCTTTACGAGGTGCACAAGGACGAAATCTGCCTGAATAACTCACACTTCGACCACGTCTCGTTGAAGTCGGGCCACGCGGGCAGCGCGGAGGTGTGGAAGGGATCCTTTGGCGACGAGTACTCGTCTGATGACTGGACTTTACTCCCTCGGAAGCTGGTGCCGCAATTTCACGAGGTACCGACATCTTTTGGCGAGAATCGGGGCGGCGAGACTTGGTGGCCGGAGGACGTCGTCGACGAGTTAGCTCCGGAGGCCCCTGGCCACAAGACGTTCCTTTACGGCGAGTATAGCCAGGACGGTCGATATTACGAAAATTGCTACACCAAAACGATCCCGTGGTTTGAAGAGCGGCCGTGGGACTTCTACCTCCAGCCCGTCAACGCGTGGCCGGCGGGGACGAGCATCGACGACGCGGCGAGGCCGCACCCCAGGGACTCGAAGTCGGACTCCGACGCCAACTCGTCGGACTCGGACTCGGAGTCGGAGTCGGACTTGTCGGACCCGTACGCGTCGGGCTCGGAGTACCGGGGCTTGGACCTGGACTCGGAGTCTGGGCAAGCTCGGGCGCAAGAAATATCTCGAGTTTACAGGGAAAGGAAGTGGAAGAGGGAAAAGGCCCTGACGCGGAAAAAGGAGCGCGCCATTAAGCGCAGCCGCAAGAACGCGGAGCTCATCCTCCACTATGGCTATGGAGTCCGCTGGTCCTAATCTAGCGCCTGTCCCCCTCTCAAGCATAAGTCATCACAAAATACTACTAACTCAAACTCACCTTCAGCACCACGCGCAGCTCCTTCGGCACGCCCAAATCGTCGATGTCCTCGTCCGAAAGCAGCTGCAGGTCCGCGACCTTCCGCGCGCCAAGGGCGCGGATCCGAGGCGCGTAGGCGCCGAGCCCGCGGCTCTCGAGGTACAGCTCTAGCCCCCCTGACCGCGCCGCCGGCGCCGGCGCGGCGCTCGTGTCAATGCGCGCCAGCGACCGGTACCTACCTTCCAGACCGGGCGACGGCTTCTTCGGCGGCGTCAGCGCCAGGGGCCCCGCGTCGAGGCGGTTGCGCGTCGCCATCGATTGGTAGTCCACGACGCCGCTGACCGCACTCCGCCCCGTGTGCGCCATGCAAAACGCGTCCTCGCCGAAACCTGTGTGGAAATCAACCAGTGCGTCGGGTGCACCCGATAATTCTTCACTAAGTCATTTCTCGTCGATGACGCGGCCGTGCCGGCTCCGTCGAGCGGTGACGAACCGGCATCGCCACGCCATCGAGCCGACGTCGCGTCGATGGCGTGGAGGACGACGCGACGGTTCAGCACGAACGCGCCGTAAAATTTTGATTTCCACACAGCCCAAAACAAGAGATCGGCGGCGCGTCGCTCTCCTGGAGACGCGCTCCGGCGTTCGCTCGCGCCGCGTCGTCGACATACGCCGCGTAGACCGACTCTAGACGCCTCTCAGCGGCAGCGTCGAGGCGCGGCGTGGCGTCCTCGCAGCTGCCATCGTCGACGGCAGCATCGGCGGGCGCCGGCCTGGCAGCCGCGGGCGCCGGCTCGGGAGCCGCGGGGGCGGACCGCCCGAACCAGTTTCGTCGTCGCGGTGCCTCCGTCGTCGTCGCGGCGCTCGCGCGGCGCTCCTCGTACGATTCCTCATCGGTCGATTTGCACGAGCACGCGTCCAGTCGCGCTTTGCATGTTTTGCAGTGCGCCGGCGGCGGGCCGCGCGGCGTCCGCTTGCGGAAGAAGAAACTCATGCTCAAGCTGCAGTGGCTGGCTGCCCTGCTTGCAACCAATCCAGGGCTGCCCGACTCCCACCGATGCAGCAGCAAGCGGTCCAAAATGAATTATTCGTCTCGCAGCAGTAACGGCGTCGATTGATGATCGATGCGCCGGCCAATCGTGTAATTTGCGCTCTTGATCTGCATGAGCAAAGAGAGCAACTGCGGAGCTCGCTCTCTAGCCGTCTTCACCGCGCCTGTCGAAGGCTCTCAGTATTCTTAAAGTGGCGGAAGATGCGTTGCTTGTACACATCGCGCAAAAGAAAACGGGTTTTCGTCCGGCTTGGCAACGCTTGATTTTTGCGCAGTGCAAGCCAGCAGGAAGGTGCAAACGCTGCGACGTAGCAGCATCGCTGCCCGCGATCCAGTATCGCTGCAAAGAATTGCTCAATTTGCACTCCTGCGCACTGCTTTTGCACCAGGCGCCAGCCCACCTCGCCGCAGCGCGCGCGCGCGAACGCATCGCAAAAAAGCGATGGACGACCTCGGCGCCATGAACTACTCTCTCACATTACTGGAGCAGGAGGAGTGCGAGTCCGTCTGCGCGCGCTTTCTCATTGATGATTTCTCAACGGTGCCCGCGGCGCAGCTCGCGCAGATGCGCCGCGAGGGCTTGCTGGACGAGGAGAACAGACCACGGTTGATGCGAGAGAAACATGTGCAGTACCTGCGCAAGGGCCTCGCCGGCTTAAGTGGGGGATTCGTGGCGCTCGACGCAAGTAGACCGTGGCTCGTTTATTGGATTATTCATGCTTTGGACTTGTTGGAGGCGTTGGATGATGATGCTGAGATCAAGCAAAGATGCATTTCCACCTTGAGAGCGTGTAGAGCTGAAGGCGCGTTCGGCGGCGGGCCGAGACAATTGGCGCACCTGGCGCCGACGTACGCCGCGACGCTAGCGCTCTGTTGTATTGGTTCAAATGAAGCTTTCGAGACGATCGACCGGCCCGCTTTGTATCAGTTCTTGTTGTCGATGAAGGACGCGTCGAACGGCTTCCGGATGCACGACGATGGCGAGGTCGACGTGCGAGGGACGTATACGGCCATCGCCGTCGCTGCTTTAACCAACGTGTTGACACCACAACTAGTAGAAGGCGTCGCGGAGTACGCGGCGTCGTGCCAGACGTACGAAGGGGGGTTCGGGGGCGAACCGGGCGTCGAGGCGCACGGCGGCTACGGCTTTTGTGCGATCGCGACGCTGTGCATTCTGGACGCGTGCCATCTGGTGGATCTCGACGCCCTGGACGCGTGGGTCGCGCGGCGCCAGACGAGCATCGAGGGCGGCTACCAGGGCCGGGCGAACAAGCTCGTGGATGCATGCTACAGCTTCTGGCAGGGCGGCACGGCGCAATTATCCGCCCATGCGAGGCGGGGCGACCCCCACCACATCGAAGCACCACAAGGCGTACGGTGGCGGCCCGGGACGACATCAGCTGACGTCCCTGCAGCGACGCCTATCCAGGAAATCGTGGACCCGATCAAACTCCAACGGTACATCTTGTTGTGCGCCCAGGTCTTCCCGGACGGCGGGTTGCGCGACAAGCCGGGCAAGGGCCGCGACTACTACCACACGTGCTACGCGCTGTCCGGGTTGTCCGCCTCGCAGCACCCGGACTGCACCGCCCCGGCGACCGTCTCCGGCTCGCCGGCCAACCTGCTGCCGCGGACGCACCCGGCCTTCAACTGCCGGCCGGAGAAGGTGTCGCGCATGCTCGACCACTTCTCGGGGCTGCCGGACCTTTAACCTTAGTATCTCTGTGAATCGAATCGCGGTCCTTTAGTAGTATGATTATTAGTCCCTCTACATCTCTACGGAGGGGGCGCTCGTTCGCCACGTCGCCGAGCGGTTCAGCTGCGGGCGTCGGCCAACAGGCGCTTGCACGTTCTCCTCGTCGGTTCTGGAAGCAGTCGAGCCGCTACGTTGCAAGGTGGAGCCGCTACGTTTCACTCGTCGCGTCCGGTGGCTGACAGGACGAGCTGGAGCCCCGCGGAGCAGAAGGCGTCAAGCTGACCGTTTTTTAAAAGGTACATCGTCTGATTCTCGGCCCGGACGCTGTAGAGCGACGCCTCCGCATAGCGCAGATTGAGGGCGGAGCCGTAGCCATTAGCGACGTTCTCCGCCAGGACCACGTCGCGCATTGTGGTGCTTCCGCCGTTAATATTTGCGAACCCCCCGCCGACTCTTGTGTCGCTGGCGGATTTTGCGACCTTTTCTGCGCGGTTCGCAGTCGCGTCGCCCTCGAGGTAAAAACTGTCCGCGAGCTCTATCGACGGCGCGCCGCGCGCGAGCTCTGCGCGTAGGCTCGCGGCATCGCGCACGACTACCGCCGAGGCAAGCGATAAGACAGCTAGGAGCTTTGTTAGCATTTTTCTATTTTTGGCCAACTTTTAGTTGCTGGCGGCGACCCTCGACCAGGGCGGGCGCCAGGCGGCGAAGATGTGTCCTACTTCAGGCTCTTACTTTTACGCCGTGGTCCACTGATATAGCGCAGGCCAGGCCGCGCAGTCCGCATCATGCCATCGCGGGTTTTTCATCGCTTGCGGTCCGGACCGGTCCGTGCCACTTGAGCGAGGGGCTACCTCAATAAGCGACTCTCTCTCTCCCTTCTACACTTACTTATTTAAACAACACACAAGACTTATGCCATCCGCGGCGCCGGCAGCAGGTACTTCGCGGCCGGCTCCACGCGGTCCCGCACGCACCCCAGTAATCTATCAGACGTCCGGTCCACGGGCAGGTCCATCAGCGCGACCTCGCACGCGAAGGCCTTGGCCCGCCGGTTTACATGAGGCAGTTGTCTAGGAGGCGGGTCGCAGGGCGAGATCGCGTCGTGCGCGCACTTTTTGACATCGAAGGCCTCGACGCCCTTCTGGAGCCAGTCGAACAAGAGCTCGAAACAGGCCGCGTTCCACCTACTCCCCGAGTTGCCTACCGAACTCTGATGACCGACGTGGACGAAGAGGTTGTGGCGGTAGGCCACGAGCTTGCCGTTTTGTTGCAGAGCCCACTCCGTGAACGCGAGGTCGGGCGGTTTTTGTGATGCGCGCTGCTCGACGTGCTTGGCCAAGGAAGCGAGGCGTGTTCGAGGCACGATTATTCCATTCAGGCCGTAGGACACGCGCAACGCCGCGAAATTCGTCCCGTGCACCGCTTCTGCTCTATGGACCGCAGTAAATAAATTGCCCAGCAGGTTGGGGCACGCGACCCAGTCGTCCTCCAGCAGAAAGGCGTAGGTGAAGCGTTTATGCTGGAGCGCCAGCCTCATCGCCCGCGCGACGTCCCGCGCTTGCCGCGCCGTCTTCTGCGGCGAGCCGAGGAGCCGCCTTCTACCAGATGAGGCAAGGCGGACAAAGCTCACTATCGGCAAGCGGCCGTGGTCGCGGCGCGCACCGATGAAGGCGTCCCTTTCAGCGCCGGGCGTCGCGTCCACCACCAGAAGCCGCAGCAGCGCCGTCTCGCGGCACTCCGTCAGGAGCGACGCGAGCGCTCTCCTTAAATAATTCTCGGGGCGGTCGACGTGCATGAGGATGCCCTGGATCAGGGTCGGCGGAGCTGGTGCTGCTGGTGCTGCTTGTGCTGCTTGTGCTGCTTGTGCTGCTGGTGCAGTGGCGTTCCGCAAGCGCTCGAGGGCGACGCGCTCCGTTGCGAGCGCCTCTTGCTGCCGCCGCAGGTCGGCCTGGACGGCTTCGAGGCGCTGGCGCGCGTCTTCGAGGGATTGCAGCAATTTGTTCGCTTCGGCTTTCTGTCGCGTTTCCAACGGGTGCAGGTCTGGGACCTGCATAGCCGTCTGCTTGTGGACGAGCAGGAGCTGTACGGCCACAATGGCTGTGATTAGCAGGCCTAGCGCCAGGCAGGTAAAACTCTGCCTTTGCGGCATTGTTATTATGTGCGGCAGCCGCCAGTGCAGTTTTGTGGCATCACTGACTTATGTGCTTCAGCGCGAAGCATCCCCTCGCCACCGGCGAAGAGCGTTTTGTTAACTCGGGCGCGCTGCGAGCTAGCGTACACAGACATACTAGTGGGCAAAACACAAGAAGAAGCAGCCGCCCACTCTCGACTCGAGCGGGCTTTACACGTTGGCCAATGCAATTCTAAGGCCATCTACGATCGATTAGGCCCGCTTAAGGCATTCGTAGCGTGTGAAACCCTCGATTTCAGGGTCAGATTGCTCGATCTTAAGTAGCGTTATCCTCGGGCACACCCGGCCGTCCCGGCGAGCTGGCGCGCGTAAATCATGCGGCGCTACCTGACTGGCCTCCTCTGCTGCGGCGGCGCGGTTGTATATCTTCTGTTCTACACACTCGAGAACCGTGGCGCCCGGCGGCTCCGCGGCGCGTCGCCACGGGCGCTCATCAGCAGCTCCCACGGCAACGGTTCTTCTACCAATCCCAAGCCGAATTCCACGACGACCAAAGTGCCGGGTGCGACGTTCCGGTACCACGCCGATGATGGCGAATGCGACGTGCTCCTTTGCGGCATGAGCGGCGTCGGCAAGTCGACGCTCTTGCGCAACATAAAGTTGGGCACTGTCGAACATGCTTGTTACCCCGTGCCGCGCGAGTGGGACACGTGCGTGGCCGTGTGGAACTTCGTGGCGCCTCGACGGCGTCGAACGGTCCGTCCCGCGCAGGTTCGAGGAGCAATTGCGACTGCACGGACCCTTCGTTGATAACACCTTCAAGGTTCGGCACGTCGACACGTGCAGAAAGCAGTGCTCCGGGTGCGGCACGACGCGGATCAAGATGACCGCGGACTTAAGTGTCCTCCGGCGCCATTGGACGGACCGCGTCCTGGCGCAGTACAAGGGCGGCGTCTTATATGCGATGCGAAAGACGATGTGGAATTGCCTCGGCCAGTGGGCCCGATCGCAAGACGTCGACGGCTACGACCTCACGGTGAATGTGGGTCTCGACGGTCGGTACTGCGTGCGGGCGGGAGGCCGAGCAAATAAAACACACGCGTAGGATATCCTCTCAGGATCCCCGCTGAGCCCTCTCGTGAAGGCCCATTTGCGACTAACGATCAAACTTAATATTGTGCGACCTCACACGGCGTAGCCAAACAATCCGGGTGGTCCTCGGCCCACGCAGGCTGGACGGCCTCGAAGCGCGGCGCGCCCTCGTCCTCCGAGTCGTCGAAAACCTCGTCGTCCTCGCGACACCAGGGGTCCTCGTCCTCGTCCGGGTAGTCGTTCGCCGGCGCGTCCTCGGCGTTGCTGTCGTAGTCCGGCTCGCCGTCGGAGGACGCCGCCCCGTCGTCCAAAACGTAGCCGTCGCACTCCGTCCAGGTCTCGCCGCAGGCCGGGACCACGGCCGCGCCCTGCCCGAGCGCGTCGGCGACGGCCTTCTCGAGCGCGATGCCCGCTTCTGTGGAATCGCCGCGCTTGACCGCGTCCAGGTAGTAGTAGTCGTAGGCCGCGTCGCGGTTCTGCAGCGCGTCCTCTAGCAGGGAAGCGCAGTTCTCCCCGGACCGCTTTTTTGCAAGCGCGTAGGGCGTCAGGCCGTGCGCGTCGGCGAGCGCCGGGTCCGCGCCCAGCGACAGCAACGCGCGGCAGGCCTGGGCGTCGCCGACGAAGGCCGCCGCGTGCAGCGGCGTCGCGCCGTCGGCCGGCCTCATAAAATTCGCGCCGGAGCCGTGCGCGTTTTCCGCGACCAGGTTGATCATCGCCTCGAGCGCGCCGGGCTGGTACGGGACTCGGCACGCAGACACGATCGCCTCGTCTAGTCGACGGGCCATGGGCGACAGCACCGCATTTCTTTTCGTCGGCGACGGCGGCGGCGGCGGCGGCGGCAGCTTCGGCTCCGCGTCGTCGAGAACGAGGTCCAGACAGCCGTTCGCGTCGACGGCCCGCAGAGCCGCTCGTTTCGTTTCCTGGGGTTTCGCGTCTTCACTAGCTCTCCGCCGCTTCTTCCGATCCTTCAGCGCTTGCAACGCGAGCTTCCGCGCGGCCGCCTCGGCGTAGCCGCTGACCGGCGCATTTTCCAATTTACGGAAGCGGTGGAGCACGTTCTGCGGTTGCTCCGTGGACAGGGCCGCCAGCGATTGGTCCAGCGTCCTCCGTTTCGACGGCGGCGCCGCGACGACCAGCGTTTCGGGGGTGGCGTCCTCCTCGCGCGCGCGTTTCACGCGGAGGATGAGTGGCTGAGCCATGAGTGCTGCGCTGCGCCCCCGGATGGCAGTCCTTTTGCGTCTATGCGATCTATGCGGCCAAAATAGGCAGCTTTGCTCCTGGCTTGCTTGTTCCTAGTGTCTTATAGGCCGCTAGCTCGATTTTACGCGTCGGGCGCTTTGGGTGGAGTTTTCGACAGAAACAGGGGCGTGGGACATGCCTCGTGTGCGATAATCACGCGAAGCGCCTGTCTAGCGTAAGTGACAACTCTCATACACAAGTCTATAACCCTACTGGAGGCTGCCACGCTCGCGTCGGATCAGCAAATGCGCATCGATAATGCCGTCAAGGACTCTAAAAGGAGCCCTCATAATTCTACTCGTCGGCGCAACCGCGAGCTTCTTAGACAAGTTCACGTCGCGGGAATCAGGGTGGAAATCAAACATAGGGCTGGGTGCACCCATAGGAATATTATTAATTAACTAACTATCATTTCGGCCGGCAGACACCTCCTAAAAATTCCGCGCGCGCGTGTTACCCCCCCTCTTGACCTATGCGTCGATCGTCGCGGACCTCGAGGTGCTCGGTTCCTGCGATGCCATTGTGGGCACGGCGGCGTCGTGGGTTTCGAGATTGATCTTCCTCCTGATCGTCGGCAACACTGGAAGAACCCCGCCCCACGTGTTTCTGGATCAGCGGTTCGGAGGGCCCGCCGACGTATGGTAAATACACTAAGTACACTTAAGGCCTCCGCTTCTTCAGCTTGATACGCATCGCGCCGTCGTCGCTCCCGACGGGCTCGTACCCAACCGAAGCCCCCCCCTGGATGAGCTTCATGAAGCTTCGATCGGACATGCCCGCGTAGTCGCGCTTCTTCGACCGCGCGCGCCGCTGGGACGGATCGCCCGAGAAATCCCCAAAATCCGACCTAGATTGCGTCTTCGCCTGGGCGCGCTCCAGCGCGGCCGCGTCGGCGCCGTCGCAGCCCGCGCGCACCCATGCCGGGACTTCTTCGTTCGAATACGGCGTCAAAGCTTCTCGTCTCGCGTCCACGGATCTATAGAGAGCGATCTCGTCGCTCGACGCGGCCATCGCCTCGCATAAATCGTCCCGAATGTTATCCTTCTTGTCCTCGTCGTTGGACTCGTCGGACGGTTCCTGGTACTCCTTGAGCAGCTCCTCGACCATCTGCCGTCGCTCGTCGGCCTTGGAATCTCGAGAAAATTGGCCGGCCTCCACTACCAAAGAATTCATGTTGAGCTTATCCGTGGCGCGTTGTAGAATCCTTTCTTCCACGGGAGACGTCGAACACAACCGAAAGACCCTCACGTCGTTCTTCTGGCCGATGCGATGGGCCCGATCTTGCGCCTGCGCGTCCATCATCGGGTTCCAGTCGCTGTCGAAGATGACTACTGTATCTGCGGATGCGAGGTTTAATCCTAGACCACCTGCTCTTGTTGAGAGGAGGAACACAAAGGCCGGCGACGAGGGGTCGTTGAACCGCGCCATCCTCCTTTCTCGTTCGTCCGCGGCCGTACTCCCATCGAGCCGCAGAAACTCGTAGGAGCGATATCGGAAGAAATCTTCCAATAGATCCATGAGCGCAGTCATCTGGCTGAAGAGTAGGACGCGATGGCCCGCCGCTTTGAGCTTTGGGAGCATGCTGTCTAAGAGTAGAAACTTGCCTGACGAGCGAATGAGACTTTCATCAACGGTCCAGGCGTCGCTCCGAAACAAGAAGGGGTGGTTGCACACTTTTCGCAGCTGCATCAGTACATTATTTAAACCTCTTGAAATAGGAGGCGCGGCGACGTCGCCGTTTCTAGGAGAATCTCTTTTTTGCACACCGGTCTGTCGTATCTGCTCGTAGAGGACCTGCTGCCACGCCGTTAAGTCGACTCGTAAAACTTTCTCGACCTTCTCCGGGAGCTGACCTAGTACTGCCGACTTGACCCTTCTAAGAACAAAAGGCCGCAGCACCTCGTGCAGTCTGTGAATAACGAGCATCCGCTCTTCATGGGCCAGGCCCACGGCCTCCTCCTCAGAACCGTGGCTCCCGAACTGCGAGAAGGGCTTGTTGAACCAGCCCTCAAACGTATCGACACTGCTGAATATTGACGGTAGTAGGAAGTTGAGTAACGCCCATAATTCTGGTAACGAGTTCTGCAGAGGTGTTCCGGTGAGTAGAAGTCGTCGTTTCGCCGTGTACATATTACCTAATGTTTGGGCGAACTTGGAAGAGGCATTTTTCATCCGATGGCCCTCGTCTACGACGATATACTCCCAGCCGACGCGTCTGAGGACGGCTCGATCTCTCATCACATATTCGTAGGTCGTGAGGAGGACGTTGAGCTGGCGCGAGCCTTGCTTCGAGGCTTCCCTCGCGGCCGCGGCCGCGGCGACGCCGCCTCTTCTACGTCTGCCGGCGTCGTTCGTGTATAACGATGCCAATTCCTTCTGGGCCTCCTTCCTTGCTGATGGTGGGCCCTTGTAGGTTAAAACGGTCATGGCGGGCGCCCTGCGTTGTATAACATGAGGGTCGCGTCGACGGCGTCTCTCGAGCGGTTCCCCCGCACGCCGTCGACGCGACGCCGCGGCCATCTCACGAGACGCATGGACTCTCATGTCGACGCGGCGCCGCGACGATGAAAAGGACACTGGCCAAGGACCACTTCGCGAACTCGTGCGACCAGTTCGACAAGGTCGAGAGAGGAGCCACGACCAAAAACGGCCCCGGCACGCCCCGCTCCAAAAGATGAGCCAACAATGCTATAGTTTGTATGGTTTTCCCGAGACCCATCTCGTCGGCCAAGATGCCATTTAACCTATTATTGTGCAGACTTACAAGCCAGGTCAGGCCCGCCAACTGGTACTCCTTCAGGCGACCCCCTACTAAACATTTCGGCTGGCGGACCTCTTCCCCAACAGCGTGCGTCACCTTGTAGTAGTCCTTCGTCGCGTCCCTATGCTCCTCATCATTGTCAATCGCAAACCCGTTCTCCTCCCGTTTTTCTTCCGTATCTAGTGAAGTCCCTTCCTTGGCAGCCTTGCGTTCCTTGGCGCGTCTCTCGAGACCTTCCTCCTCCCGTCTCAAAGAACTGACTTGGGACGTGATCTGTCGTATATATCCATCGGTCTGCTCCAGTAAAAACTTGAGGCGGTGATTTTTTGCTTCCTCTACTAGCTTTGCATACGAGGCCATGTCATGAGCTCGGAGAGCTTGCAACCGCTTCCTAGCGGTCCGCGTCTCCTCCGCTTCGCGACCTCGTTCCTCCTGCGCTAATTTCTGCTTGCAGCCGCGCGCGCACCGCGCCGCGTCCGCACGCGTCGCTCGACCCCGTTTCATCACGTCTTCTCGATGCGCGAGGAGCTGCCTCATAAACTTCGCTTGGGTCCGCCTTCTCCAGTCCTCCTGGTCCGTCCTTCTACGACGTTCTTCCCGCTCAAGCGCTCGCGTCTCCTTGCACTTGTGCGGGTGGCGCCAGGGCGCGTGATATTGGTCGACGTCGAGAACATCGTGCGACGGCAAGGACGCGAACCAGGGCGGGAAGCGCGCGTTCTGCGGATCCGGGAGAGGATAGGGCTGGCCTAATTGCGTTCTGGACGCGTTTTGTTGTAATTGCCTCAAGCCTTGGCGCTGAAACGACGTGAAATCACTCGGTGTTTCCTGGACGTCATCGACGCGTTCTATGAGTAGAGGACAGTCCTGGGGCTGCTGCCACTGTTGATGTCGTCTTGTCACCATGAACAGGGGCTTGGTCGTGAACTCGGCGCCGCGCGCGCGGGTCTGGTCGCCGTCGCTCGCCATGGTGCTGTTAGTGTTGCTTTTTCCGACGATTTCTTTGAAACGGATAGTTTCTATATCTATGAGCGCTGCTATCGGGCGTCACCTGTCGCGCAGCGACTTGCGCGCCCGAATTAGTGGCAGCTGAGCTGTGAGCCAATTTATGACAAAACCACGGCGCGGCGGGAGTCGGGGAGGCCTCAGGGCCACAGCACTTGTTCGGCAATGACTTTCCACAGCTTCGTTGCCCTGCGCTCGCGGAGAGCGGCCAACCAGACTCGCAGACAAAATGGCACGCTCGTCTCTGAAGCTGGCGGAGCTAGTAGGGGGGTCGCTGCGAGCAGGTGCAAAACCATCCGAAAGCACCGGTTCCGGACGGCAACTGGCCCGCAGCTACGAATAGGGCGATCTCGGCTGGTTTGGGGCAGTCGCGAACGTCCGTCGACGCGCGCACGCGACCAACAAGACTACGAGGGACAAATCTTGCTTACAAAAGGGGGGAGGACGACTCAGTCGGTACGCGTCGGCGTCGGCACGAACTTGCGCATCATGACGGAGTCCGAGTCCTTGGCTATCTCGGCATCGACTTCTTCGAAGCCCAGCTTCCTATATAAATTGTAGGACGGCTCGTGGTGCTTCACGCACGTTAACAGAAATTCTTGGAGGTCCCACTCGCGGACGATCTCCTCCGCTCTATGGAACAACGCCGTCGCGACGCCTTTTCTCCGAACTTCCGGCTCCGTCATGACGTTGGTCCCAAACGCGCGCTCTACCACTGGTTCATCCTTGAGAGGCGCGTGGAGGACGTTGCCGCCTCGACTCCGCAACACTTCGAACCAGCCGACCTCTCCTCTCGCGTCCGTGGCCACGATCTGCGCGTGCTCGCCCTCTTTTTTCCACTTCGTGAGGACGTCGAAGGACCAGCGGTCCTCGCGCACGCCTCGGATCTTCTTCGGGCGACTGGCGCGCGGCGCCATGGCCACGGCGCTCGTGATCAGGAGGAGCTTAATCATGCTTTTTTGCCGCTATTTTGCGTTTCGCGGTCTGGGCGGTATCGACAAGGTTAAAGACGAATACTCCCACAATAAAGGCGCAGAAGGCGTAGAGCAGTATATCGCCGAGGCCCATCGATGGCGGGGGCGCCTCACGCACCGACGGCGTGCTCTGGGGCGTTTCCTCTAGCAGCGGCTCGATGTCACGCCCGCCAAAGAGGCTGATCGCGGCGGTGGGCCGCTGGGAGCTGTTTGGACGGGTGCGTATCCGTCTGCGGTCCCACTGTGGGTCAGACAAGAAGTCCTGGCCGCTGCGCTTGAAGGTTAATGCCTAGCGTGTCGTAACACACTAGCTCATCAGCCTGCGGCGCAAATCCATCGTGCGCGCGTGTCACCAGGAGCATATAGCTGCCCCCATGTATCTCACAAAATGCGCCGTCTGTGCCACCGAGCTTGGCTTAACCATGGGCAAGAAATGCGGCCGCTGCAGTACACGCTACTGCGGGCCCGAATGCCAGGTGCAGCACTGGAAGGAGGGTGGGCACGACAAGCTCTGCAAATTGATAAAAAAAGGAGGCGGAGCCGAACAATACAACGCAAATAAGAAGTACGCTGAGGCGGTTGCGGTCGCGGTCGAGAAATGCGCGGACGACACGAAAGGCCAGACGTGCTTCATCTGCACCCAGGCCCTCCACTGGAAGACGAAGGAGGGCCTCGTGCGCGGGTGCGCGTGCCGCGGGACGGCAGGGTTTGCGCACGTGTCGTGCTTGGCGGAGCAGGCGAAGATTTTGGTCGCGGAGGCGGAGGAGAACAACTTGGACGACAACCAGTGGCATCGGTGGCACACGTGCAGTCTGTGCGAGCAGGAATACCACGGCGTCGTGAAATGCGCGTTCGGGTGGGCGTGCTGGAAGACGTACCTGGGTCGGCCGGAGGGGGACTGGGCTCGGAGTTCCGCGATGATGATGCTTGGGAACGGTTTATCAGCAGCAGGGCACGACGAGGACGCGTTGTCCGTGAGAGAGGCCGAGCTGTCTATAGAGCGGCGGCATGGTACATCAGAAAATGATATTCTTATCTCGCAGACAAATCTTGCGAACACGTATCAGAAGCTTGGGCGGTTTGAACAGGCCAACTCTATGCTGCGAGACGTATACTCCGGCTGGCTGAAGTTCAGTGGCGAGGAGCACAGCTCAGCCCTCATAGCCGCCAACAACTACGCGGCGTCCCTTAGTAGCCTCAAGCGCTTTGAAGAAGCCAAGTCGCTGTTGCGCAGAACGATACCAGTGGCGCGACGCGTTCTTGGTGAGAGTGATAATATCACGCTCAAGATGAGGAGAAGTTACGCGGGGTCGCTAGTCATGAACAACGGCGCCACGCTCGACGATCTCCGCGAGGCCGTGACGACGCTCGAGGACGCGGAACGGATCGCGCGGCGCGTGCTCGGTGGCGCGCACCCAAACGCGTGTTTGATGGCGGGGTCCCTGCGTGAAGCACGAGAAACCCTCCGCGCCCGCGAAATGCTGGCTACACTCCCGGCCCCGCGCTTCAAAGTAGGTGCACGTGTGGAATGCAAAGTCGAGGCAAAATTTTTAGAAGGGACTGTCGTGCGCCATCACTACCGCGAGTCTGACTGGGAGCCCGGCGTCTTCGCCCCCTACCAGGTCAAGCTCGACGGCCGAAGGTCCGGCCGTGACCTTGTTTTTGCGCCTCGGGACGATGACCGGTCCATCCGGGCGGCCGGCGCGGACTCGGACGCCGAAACAATCTAGTAAGACAACAGTATTACCTCCCCTTCTTCTTCCGCCGCCCTCCCGACGGCTTCTTCTCCGAAGACGCGTCCCCGAGGCCGAGGCGCTTCAGCTCCTTGGCGATGGCCTCGTCCGCGCCCCACTCCTTAGCTAAACAAGACTCGACGGCCTTGCGCCCGCCGAGCAACCCCAATAACTCCTTCGGCCGCTTCACGGACCAGCCGCACCCGACCATCAGCACCTCAACCACATACACGTAGCGGTGCAACAGCACCAACGCGAGTCGTCGCCAGTCCTCGCTGTCGTCGAGCAGCCACAGGATGTAGGCCTGCTCGCCGGCGTAGGCCATTCCTAACAAGTGGGTCGTGCTCCACACACCATAATCCGTCGCCTGGGTCGCCGGTTTCAGGTCCGAGTGCAACGAATCGCCGCCCCGCGCGTCGAGGACCCGCCCGATCGCTGCGATGCCGGCCTCGAGCTCGTCTCTGACTGCTACAGCACTTTTAGATAACTCGTCGGACGACGGGTTGCCTTTGCCCAGGCCGCAGACGGTGGCCGTCACATAATAAGCGAGGGCCCCCCGGCGCCAATTCAAGGCCTCCCACGTGTCCGTCTGCAGCGCCAATGCAGCCGGCGCGGGGTCGTCGCCCGCGTAGTCCTCGAACTGCGCCGTGCCCCGCCGCAAGGCCTCGTTCACCAACCTTCTAGCCTCCGCCTCGGGCACCGGGTCGGGCCGGGCCTCGCACGAGGGCCGCTGCTCCTCTTCATCATTTGTTTTCTTGGTGAGGCCCAAAGCTGCCACGAGGTGCGTCTCGGCCCACGTTGATGTGGCGTCGTAGCACTTGTTTAATGTACTGACCAGTTCTCTATCACCCTGCTGCACGAACCGTCGACTGGACGCCGCCTTCTCGAGCGCGTACGTGGCCACCAACATGCCGCCGACCCACTCGCGCGCCATGGTCTCGAGCGTTTCCGGTTTGTCGCAGCCCTTCGCGGCCATGACGCCCCGCAGCGCGGCGCCGCGCTTCATCTTTTTGAGGGCGTCGCCCTCGCTCGCGTCCAACTCCACGCCGTCGAGCGTCGCGATGACGGCTGCGAATTCGGTGACAGCTTTGTTGCGCAGCGCGTCGGCGTCGTCTGCTGCGGCGACGTGGGAGGCCATGGTGCGTCGCGCCGCGGCCAATTACTGCTGGCTCGCTTATGCACTCGTTGCAGCGTATTATACGTATGATCAAGCAGCGCAAATATGGACCAATTTGGGCGGCTCGTGCTGGAGTTATCGATCGATAAAGCCGCCGCGTCGTGAGCCTAGTGTGTCAATGCGACGCTAGCTCGCTGTTTTTTTCAGCAAGAGTTTCGGCGTTTGGATTTAAAAAGCGCGGTCGCTCACCGGACCTCAAGGCTGCATAGATGCTGCACAGAACCGTATCGTTGGACGCCTTCTCGACAGTGAAGGGAATCTGGGCATCCGTTCGCACGGCCGCGCAGCCTAAAAGTTATCCAGCTGCCCGCCGCGGGGGTTTCCATGGGCTACTGCGAGATCTGCTACGCCGCCTGCGAGGCGCGGTACTGCGCGGGCTGCGCGCCGTCCGCCCCCGCGCCGTCGCCGCAGGTCGTGCTCAAGCGCGAATCTAGGTTAGACGGCCACAGCGACCGCGTGTATGACGTGGCCTGGGGCTCGGACGACCGCCTCGCGTCCGTCGGCCAGGTCGGCGGCTTCGTCTGGTCCATTGGTGAAGGGAAGCAGCTCGCGCCGTTGGACGGAGACGAGCTCATGCGCGTCGCCTGGCACGGCGATTCCGTCATCACGGGCTCGTCCCTGGGCAAGATGCAGGTCTGCTCCCCAAATGACGGGAGACCGAAGGCCACGTTAGATACGAATCAAGAGGATGAGGTCTACGGCCTCGAATCATTGACATCGAACCTAGCCGTGGGCGCGGGCGACACGTTGCAACTGTGGGACGTGGAGAAGGAGACGTGTCTGAAGCGAGAAACGTGCGTCAAGAGCCCTAATGGTATTGTCTTCGGCGGCCACCGGAACCCGGACCAAAAATCCTATGTTTTCTCGATGGCGCGCAAGGGGGACATACTCGTCGCGGCGGTGTCGGACGGCACCGTCCGTCTCAATGATGCGCGGACACTCGAGAGTGTAGACTCCGTGGACCTCCACGCGCGGCGCGGCAATTCAGCGTACGCCGTCGCCGCGTCTTCTACATCTCCGTTAATTGCGTCGGCGGACCAGCGCGGGTCGGTGTTGCTGTGGGACATGCGGCATATGGAAACGCCGGTCGCCGAGTGCGCGAATCCAGGGGCGGTTCATGCTTTGGCCTTCGTGGACGACCTGGTCGTGAGCGCGGGCGCCGATGGTAGATTAAGGGCGCACGCCTCGAAGGATTTGACTGTCGAAGCGTCGGCGAGCGTCCTGAATTCCATATTGTGCGTCAAGGCCGAGGGATCACGCGTCGCGTCGGCGGGCGGCACGGGCAAGACCATCTCCGACGCGGGCATCCAGCTCTGGCGCGTGGCCGTCGAGGGTGGCGAACCGGCTGTTGCGGGGCCGACGGAGACGCGCGCGGAGAAGCGGCGGAAGCTATGATGGGGATTGTGTGGTAAAGTTTTTGTCCATACTTTCTTACCCGGGACCATTGGGTGACCAGTCGACGTATTCCGCCCGCCGGTCGGAGATCTCCGCCGGGCCGTACGCGGCGAGGCCCTGGACGAAGATGCCCGTCGTGATGGCCAGGCAGACCACAGAGGCAGGGTGGTCGAAGGCACAGAACAGCGTTCCAATCCACGCGATGAGATAGTGATGGAGCTCCCACGCATCATTATTGACGTCTAGGACGATGATGTACGCGGCATACGCGCCGACGACGGCCAGGCGTGGTGCCAGATACGGCATGACGCCGAGTTTCGTGCTCGACCGCCGCGCATACCACACATGAAACCACAATCCGAGAAGAACAAAAAATGCGACAGCACACGAGACGGCGATGTAGGCCGCGCCCTCGCCGCCCCTGGACGACAGCGACGTTTCGAGCGGCGTGAGATCGGACAGCAGGCTGAATACGCATCCTGTGACTGACGCGACGACGAAGAAGCCCGCGTTTGCCGTCCAGCGAGTCAGTAGTCGTCGCTCGGGCGCGAGCACGTGCGCGAAAATGGCTGTGCCGCACGCGTGAAGGATGAGCATCTGGACGCTTTCTAGGATGAACGTCGCGCGACGCCCGGTTGGGTCGATACCGTCGGATGGCAGGCCCGCGGCGACCATGGCACGTTGACCCGCATATACGAGCAAATTCATTGCGATCCAGGCGAGAAGACGGGTCACACATTTATTCGCCGCGGCGACGTCGTGCTGCGGGCCGCCCTGGCACGCGCCGCAGCACCGACACACTGCTTCGACCTTACCGCACTCGATCTCTTCCATCTCTTCGGCATCGTGCATTGGTGATGGCGGCGCTTCGCTCAGGAGAGGCGCCCGGCGGGTCTCCTCGGGTGATTGCTCCATTTTATGGTCTCCCTGGTCAGGCTGGTCTACCTGGTCACAAGGCCTCGGCTGTTGATAGAAATTGCACAGGCGATCAATGCCCGTATAAATCTTGCCCTAGACGTGCGATGCCTGTGTATTCAGCGTCTCTGCGTTGTGCTGGGACCCGAGCTCCGAGCCGCTGCGTGCTAGTGTCTCACTGGCGCTAGCTGCCGCATCGCGTAGCGACTACTATACTTAGTGTGTTTGAATTTATGTCACCTCGAAGATTGCCGAGACGATGCCCGCGAACCCGGCCGGCTGCCTTGAGACTTCTCCTTGATGCGGCGCGCGGCGGCCTTCGCGGCCGTCAGCTTGTTGATCTTCAGCATCACCATCTCGTTGGCCTCGCGCTCGCGACGTCTCTGGGCCGCGTGGAGCGCCTCGAGCCGGCCCGGCCGCGCGCGCAGCGCCACGAGCGCCGCGTCCCGCGCTCTCCTGAGATCGCAGGACCCGGGCGACGCCTTGAGGCCCTCGGCGAAGGCCCGCACGGCGGCCTCGTAGTTCTCGAGCTCGAACTCGGCCACGCCGACCCGAAAGTGGGCCACGGCCATCGTCGGCACGAGCCGCACGGCCTCCTGCGCGTCGCTCTTCGCGCGCTCGTGCTCGCCCGCCGCCGATAATAATGCAGCGCGCCTTATCAAGATGTCCGGCCGCTCGACGCCTAATAATTTATCTCGTTCCACAGCGTCCGTGTACCTACACAACAGCTCGCCGAGCTGCTCCTCGCGTAAATCCGCTAATCTTGACCCCTTGGGCGCCACGACGCCGGCGTCGCTCTCTAATCTATCTCCAAACACCTGGCTCCGCGCCTGGCCGCCCGCCGCGGCCGTCTCGAGCTTGACCCGCTCCAACCTTGGACTCAGGTCGACGCGCTCCGGCGACGGCGCGTTCAGAACCTGGTAGTGCCGCGACGCGTTGCGCGGCGAGTAGCAGCAGACCTCGCACGTCTCGAGCTTCTTCTCGCAGATGTTGCGCCAGCACGTGCACAGGGCCTTGGGCAGCTTCACGACGGCCTTGTCGTCGTCGGCGTAGTGGGGCGAGACGTAGAAGGTGGGCACTGGTTTCCCGGTGGGCGCCGCGTCGGCCTTGCCCTTCTTCTTGCCCATGGCTTACGCTGCCGCTCCTCCGACGATGATGGCGGTGCTGCCCTTCGAGCGCTAGGCGGCGGTGAGACGCAGCCCGCTCTGCCTCGCGCTGCGCGCGAGGCGCTCGAGCCGCTAAATCGTGAGCCCGGACACGTCTCTGCGCGCTCACTAGCCTTCTTACGGCATCATATCACATACGAGGCGATGGTGGGCACCAGGTCAATCGCGGAGAGCCGCGCGGGGTTCGGGCACGAGGACGCGGTCCCGAACACGTTCAGGTGCACGACGATCGAATAATACTGGCGCAGGATCGTCCGCGCGTCGTCCGTCACGCGATGGGCGTTTCGAATTGCGAGGGGCGACGCGCCGCGATCCAAGAGGAGTCGCATCAGAGTCCGCTTGGCCCCTGGCGTCAGAGCCGAGGAACGTTGATGGGCGACGACGCACGCTGGACCCCCATTAGATACGGTCGTAGGATAACGTGGATCCTCGCAAGCCACCAGCACGAGCGGCGTCGCGCCGTCGAAGAGCGCGTCGACGTCGGCGCCTTGGTCGAGGAGCTCCGTCGCCACGACGCTGCTTCCGTTCAAGATGGCGTAATGCAGAGGGCTCCACTTGCGCCAGTTGAATCGGTTCGGATCCGCGCCGTGCGCGCAGAGTAGCCGGATGAGCCGCACCTTGATCTCGTCGCTCTGCGGCCGTCCGCCCCGGACGCCGGCAGCCGCGGCGCAGAGGGCGGATTGCCCAGAAGTAGAGGTGTTGCCGTCGAATTGGCCGCTCTTCAACATTAATGTCACTGCCTCCACTTGGCCGTCGTAGCAGGCCACCACGAAGTCACGGTCGCTTTTGGCCATGAAATTTAGTTTGGGCAGCGGTAAGACGCTCCAGCAACATCGCATGGCAGCCCACGCGTCGTGAAGGGGTAAATACGACCAAAATGACTGCGCGCAGCTGGATTTGAATTCAACGGCGCGCTGCCCTCGCCCCAAACGCATTGCCTTCTCGCAAAGGCTGCCCGGGCCACAGTCAAACTGGAGAGCGAGCCACAACGACGCCATCATCGCCGCGACGCGTCTCCCCACAACAGCAGGAAGTATAGAGTATTAGTAAAAAGCGACTACGACAGCGCGCAGCCCGCGTCGGAGCAGGACCCGTTCGGCCCGGCGCAGAGCGGTAATGGATCAATCCCCTTGTCCTTCTCCGCGTCGATCTGCTCGAGGAAGTTGATGACGTCCGCCTTCTTCGCCCGCCGCGCTACTTCCAAAGGCGTCCTTCCACTTCCGTCGACCGCGCGCGCGTCGACCTCGACCTCTACGACCAAGTAAGTGACCACATCTAAATGCCCGCGATAACAGGCCATGTGGAAGGGCGAGATGCCGTTCTTTCCCAGTCGTGCGTCGGCGCCGTTCCGCACCAGGAACTTGACCACGTCCAGGTTGCCCTCTTGGCACGCGAAAAAAAAGGGCGTGCTCCCTTTCTTGTTGACCGGCGCGATGTTCACGCCGTGCTGCAATAATATTTCCGCGATATCCAGCCTTCTATGTTGCGCCGCGATGGCAAAGGGCGTGTTCCCGTTCGCGTTTGGGGTTTCCAAATTTACCATCTGGCTACACAAAAACCGCACGATCTCGACGTTGCCCCGATAGCACGCGATGAAGGCCGGCGTCGCGCCGTCGTGGATCGGCGTCTCCATGTCCGCGCCCAGGCCCGCGAGGTACCGCACCACGTCGACGTGCGAGTTCTGCACCGCCGCCGCGAACGCCGTGCCGCCGTGGATCACCCTATTTAATTCTAAATCAGGATTGCCCTGCACGATCCTCTGAACTTCGTCCAAATTGCCATCAAAACAGGCCGTGTAGAACCTCAAAGCTTTCTCGTCGCCCTCGCCGTCGGCCATGGCTGCCATGTCCTCGGTGCCGCCGCGCGCTGCCGCCGCGCGATCCCGCTGTCGGTTGATTTGCTTTGCTTAGAGCTAGGCCGCCTAGCTACCCGGCCGAGCCTGCTGATTTCCTTTTAACTCGTTTTGGCTTGGTGCTCCTTCCCAGCGCAGCCAGAGGCGTTGCGATCGCGAGAGCGCGTGGTCAGCGCTGCGGAGTCGTCGACGAAGAGCTGTGACTCGGCCAGCGGTGGCCCAACCCCGTAGATTTTGAGCGCCGGTTTCAGCTTTTTTTGACCTAGCGTCCAGTAAGACACTAGGAAGCCCAAGACCAAAAGCTTTTGCGAGGCAGGACAGGGCACCTGATGGCTGTTTGCCTTGTTTCTTAGCGATTTCGAAGTACCCGATGCGAAACGCGATCGCTTTCTACGCCTGCGCGGCATCCGCATGGCTGCCGCCCACACCCCTGCATTGTACTCGCACGCGCGCACGCCCTGCAGCACAAAGCGATGATGATAAAGTCGCTGCGGCAGAGGACGAGTCGATCGGTCGCCGCCGCTTCGTTGAGGTGCTTGACATAGAGCCGCGGAAGCCCAGCGCAACGGAGGCGAACCGGCGCTGGGACGCTTCCTTCCCGACGTGGCTCGTGTCGCTCGCGCTGCTGGGGCCATTGGAATGGCTGATTATTGCCCCGGTGCTCGGCTTTCTACCGGCCAAGGACATGTCCCCGGACGTCATACGAGGCGTTCTCGCGACCGTGGCGTTGTTTTTTGTGGTCCGGGACACGGACGAGACGCCTCTAAGAGCGGCCGTGGCGCTGCCGCTGAGCCCGCTGCGCCTTACTATTGACGACGAGCAATTACCTGTGCGGGTCGCGCGGCGCTACGACGAAGACAGCGTGACGGCATTTGCGGCGCGGGGTGCGCTCGGAGCGACGTACGTCGTGATGTCCAATTTATACGCGCACGGCATCGCGCAGCCGTACGTGCGTGACGCGTTCGTGAGGCTCGCGTCGGCCGCCGCTTTGACGCCGGAAGAATTATATGGCGATCCCGAGCGGGTATTGTGGCCGCTCGTCGGCGCGGGCCTCCAGGGCGCCCTTTTGTTCGCGCCGCTCGTCGCGGCGGTGCTCGCAGCAGGAAGCAGCTACGCCGTCGAGCAGGCGATCATCGCGCCGTGGCGGCCCGCGGCGCCGTCCGAGACGGAAATAGAGGAGGCGTGCGCGAGGGCGGAGAAATACTTCCAGGTCACGGCACCGCCCGAGCGAGCGGGGCCACGAGCCGAGGCATTTCGAGAAGCGGCGGACCGATGGCGCGACGACCGCCGCGCCGACGAGCGGAGGGACTACTACCGCGCCGCGGCGACGGCCGGCTCCGCGGCCGTCGCCGGCACGTGGCTCGCACCCTGCCTGGCGCAACTCTTCGCGTTCGGCCTCGCGGTGGTCCGCGACCGCAAGGGAGGGTCGTCACAGGGGCTAGAAACGACGTAATGAGTATGTACATTAGCTATGGGAGCACCGACCCGTCCATCGTGAGGTATTTCTCGAAGCGCGTCCCCCGGAGCTTGGCGACGACTTCCGCCCAATTAGTGATCGACTCCGCGACGGTTGCCGCGTGGAGCTTGACGTCGCCGTCGTCCTCGCGGCCCGCGAAGGTGAAGTTTCTCGCGCAGGCGCCCGGCTTCGGGAGCACGAAGCGCGCCACGCGCGCGAGGCCCGCGGCCTTGTCCTCGGCGCACCCCCGGCAGGGCGCCTGGAGCCCCTCGTACGTGACCGCGAGCGTCCGGAGGCCTCGTTGTTTAGCGTCCGCCGCGATCTTGTCCAGGCGCGCGAACTGCGCCTCCGTCTTCTCCTGCGTGATGAACGCGTGCGGCGTCGCGGCGTCCGACGCGACAGAAGGGACCTCTCGACGCCGCCGGGCACCATGTCCTCTATTAATACTTCGGTAGGCAGGCGGAAGCGCCCCGTCACTACTCTACCATCGCCGCCGGACAGCGCGTGGCGTTCTTTGTCGTACCACGACAAGAAGTTCCTCAGCAAGTTCTCGCGCTTCAGGAAGATGAGGGAGATGCCGTGGTTCTGCGCGAGGCGCCCGAACCACGCGTCCCAGGCCAGGTCGACGCCCTGCGACAGCATCCACTTAAATCCACAAGCCTCGGCTTTTAGACCCGTCGTCTGTTGATAGACACATCGGTCGCGCCACTTCGCGTGGTTGTGGGGCACGCCCTCGAGCAGCGGGTCTTGGTGGTCGAGATTCGCATTTATTAACGCCGCGAGCATCTCGAACTTCGTGGACTCCTTCCACGTCCACGTCGTGTGGCGCATCTTGCCCTCCTTGGCACTTAGAAATAATTCGCCGGCGCTACTGATGCAGGAGTGTGAGTCGAGCTCGTGCGTGAGCCACGTGCTCCCCGTGCGCTGGATCGTCACGACCACAAAAAGTTTGCGGTCGCCCCGGCTTACATTCGTGGCCGTCGCGCCCCGGTCCAGTTCTCGTTCCAAGCGCGCCTCTAGATTGTTGAAGGGCGCGCCCAGCGCCCGCGCGAAGAGCGCGAGGCGGTCCGCGGGAAAGGTCCGGCTCGAGTTGAACGGGCCCGGGACGCCGCGCGCCGATTTCAGACGGGCGGCCTGCTCTATTTGCAACCACGCGCGCTCCGTCGCGTCGAGGCCATGATATATAGCGTCGGTGCCGCCGAGGGCCCGCCAGAAGTCGTACCACGGGCCCCGCTGCATGGACCCCGACGCCACGCTCGACGATCTCCACGAGGCCGTGACGACGCTCGAGGAGATAGAACGGACCGCGCGGCGCGTGCTCGGTGGCGCGAACCCGCTGACACGAGGCATTGAGTTCGACCTACGAAAGTCCCGATTTGCGCTCCGCGTCCGCGAGACGCAGCCGGGCACGCGGTGATTAATACTTGTAGTTACTTCAGCCACGTCTCCAGGAACGCGAAGACGCGCTCCTCCTGGTAGGCCCGGTCCTTCTCCGACCGCGGCGAGTGCCGCTCGTTCGGGAAGCACAGCAGGTCGTAGGCCTTTCCCGCGTCGACCATGGCCTGGGCGATCCTAGCGGTATGCCGGAAGTGGACGTTTTCGTCGACGAGACCGTGGACCAGCATAAGCGCCCCTTCGACGTTCGCGACGTGCGTGCAGACGTCGCCTTCTTTGTACCCCTCGGGATTCGACGAGGGCGTGCCCATGTACCTTTCCGTATAATGCGTGTCGTACCCATCCCAGGCCGCGACCGGCGCGCCCGCCACGGCACACCGGAACACCATGGGCGCCTTGGCGAGGCACATCGCCGACAGGTAGCCGCCGTAGGACCAGCCGAAGATGCCCACCCTCGTGGGATCCGCCTTGCCACATAACACGGCCCACTCGACGGCGGCCACTTGATCGTCGACCTCCAAACACCCAAACTTATTCTGGACCGCCGCCTCAAAAGCTAAACCTCGTCTTTTCGACCCGCGATTGTCTACTTTGATAACTAAGTAGCCCCTTTCTCGTAGATGCTGCGCCCGCAGGTCACCGGTCATCGTCGCATATTTATCGGCCACGAACTGCACGTGGGGCCCGCCATAACAACTGACGACCGTCGGCCACGGCCCGGGCCCGTACTTGTTTGCATCGGGCGCGTAGTAGGCGCCCCGTAACGTCGTCGCGCCGTCCGTCGACGGGATCTCGAAGAACTCGGGCGGCTTGAGCTGGGAGACTAACGGTGCGTCCGACGCATCTTTCAGAATTGTCGTGGTCTCACTTCTTAATTCCGCGACGACGGGCGCATCCACAGCACTATGCTGGAGGAAGACCGCGCCACTCTTGGAGACGGCGGCGGCGTCGAGATAAACACCCGCCGCGTCGTCGACGCGTTTTGGTGGTGATGACCCATCATAGGGCACGCTGAACAGATGCCTCTCGGTACATTTCGCTGGTTCGACATCGCCTCCTAGGTAGTAGACGAGGCCGTTCTGGATATCAATTAACTCTTCGACGACGCAGTCCGTGCCCTCCGTGAGCCTTCTCAAGACCTTACCGTCTCCCGTACTGTGGACGTAGAGGTGCTGGACGCCGTCGCGCTCCGACGCGATCAGGACTTCACCCTCCACAATACCCCACCTGAGACAGTCGTTCAGGTTCAGCCAGGCTTTATTGGTCTCCTCGAGGACCACTCTATCTGTGCCCTTATCGATATCGTAAGCAACTAATCTCATCGTCCGCTGGTCTCGCGATTGGACGCAGGCCAACACGGTGGCGTCGGAGGCCCAGTATACTCTCGCCAGATACGTATCTTCGCCCAGTCCGGCCTTTGTTAAATCGAGCCACGCGACGTCTCCACCACTCACGCCAACCACTCCTAATTTCACAGAGGGATTCGTGGCACCGGAAAAAGGGTACCTATGCTCCTCGGCCGCGCCCGGGTCCTCGGCGTCGCCGGGCCGCGGGATTTTGAGTAAATACACATCAGTCTCGTCCACTTGTTCGAAGCAGACGCGGTTACCAGTAGGAGACAGCCAGAAGCCCTCGTAGCGGTCCATCTCCTCCATGGCGCAGTAGTCGGCGACGCCGTTCGTCACGCCCTCCACGTCCCTCGCGCCGGTCGTGAGGCGCCGCGGGACGCCTTCATTAATGTCGACGGCGCAGACCTGCGTGTTTTTGTTGTGAGAGCCGCAACGACAACGTTCTCTCATTTCATCGATATGTAGCGGTCTCGGAGTATATTGGGATGTCACGGGTCATTCACGGACAATTCAGAAGTCTGAGTGTATATGTTTCGTGTGAGTTTTTTTCATCGACCGACGCTTCATACAAGAGAGACGCTGGTGGTCACCTCATCATTCCAAACAAACACAACCCTTGAACCATCCTCAGACAGCTTCGCATCTAGGGGAGGGCCCCGGCCGACGTCCGGGAACGCATCGACATCGAAGAGCTTCGTGGCCGCGCCAGCAATACCCTGCTTCACGAACAAGGCGCCGTCCGCCGGCACTAATAAAACATCAGCATTCTTCGCCCACGCGTACGTCGTCACGCCCGTCGCCATGACTCTGGCCCTTTCCCGACGCATCTGCTCTTCCTTGCTCAGCGTGAACGAGTCCTCGTTCGTCTCGGACCCGAAGGCCAGTTTGGTCGTTCCAGTGGCGACATCCGTAGCGTAGAGCTGCGTCGTCAGCGAGCCGTCGCCGGACTTTAAATAGGTCAAGTGCGTGCCGTCGGGCGAGAACGCGGCCTTGGCGACGCCTTGGCTACCTGGTCTTGGAATCCGCGCGATGTCGTCAAACGTTATTGCGCTGCCCTTGGCCGGTCTGAGCGTAGACTGCGGGGTCTTGGGTGCCGCCATCGATGCTGCGCCGCGGAGGACGAGGGCGAGGAGGCTGCTGCTGCGGTGGCGCATAGGTCGTGGCCTCGTGGCGGCTCAATGCGCTGCGCTGTGTGACAGCGCTCTCACAGTGCAGCTTACGGCACGTCTCAAAGCTGTGAGACGATGCCTGTGTGCGGTGGCGCGACTGCCTGATGACTGGCTTGCTAGCTAGCGTTACAGACACTCTAGCCAACACGGCGCCTTGGGCTTACCTCGCGCCTAGCTCCCACATAAATTGCTTAACGCGTGTCCAAAGCGCCCCACAGTGCAGCGACAGTCCACGTCTCGCTGCCAGAGCAATGCCCGCCACGCGCGCGCAGCGCCAGCGCGTCCAGCAGCGACGGCATGCAAACCTGCCTGATGAGCTAATAAGAAAAATCATCGACATCGCGGGCCCATACTGCGTCCTCGTGAAGGGCGGCCAGGCGTGCACGCTCGACATTCCTCGCACCGCCGGCCGCACGGCCAAGGCGTATCTGGCGCCGGTATCGAACAACCTGATCCGCGTGGGCGTGGGCGCGGACACAATCCTGGCGCGGTCCGAATCCTTGGCAGACGCGATCGCCCAGGCTCGCGACGGCGACACGATACTCGTGGACGATGGCTTCTACGATTCCCAGAGGGTTATCACTGTGCCGCCCATACGCCTTCAGATCGTGGGCAACACCAAAGGTTTAAATTACGGCACGCGGCGGACGCCGCGCGGCGAGTTCGAGCACAGCGCTCACCGCGAATCCCCCTGGATTTGCGGATCTGACGAACCCCGCGTCGGCGGCGGCGAAGAAGACGACGGCGGCGTGTTCTGGGTCGAGGGCGCGGGCGCGCAACTGACGCTCCGCAATATTGCGTTTTTGGGCGTCTCTGACGACTGGGACGAGGTAGAGGAGGAGCACGAGCCGGTTGAGTTGGGCAACTACGACTGCGGCATAGTTGCCACCCAGGGCGCACGCGTCACTATCGAGAACTGTTGGTTCTCGAACTTCGGCCGAATGGCGCTCCGGGCAAGCAGCGGCGGGCGTATCGAGGCGAGAGACACCACGGTCAACCGGAGCTATTTCGGCGCCATCAGCGAAAATTGCGATGAACCGGAGGGCCCGCAGTCTAGCATGGTGCTCGAGCGCGTGGATTTCCAGGGAGCCAACAAGTACGCCTGCATGGCCGAAGGTGGAGCACGAGCGGATTTGCAGGCGTGCCGCATTCGCTGCTGTACGCATTCTGGAGTTATTGCCAAGGATGCAGGGTCCCGGATCCGTTTCGACGCGTCGACTCAATTCGTGTCGCAACATAGAAGTTTTGGCCAACTCCCGGGCCGCGGCCCTCCTTGGGTCAAGCGGGCCAGCGTCATCGAAAACGGCAGTGTCACTTTCCCGGACGAGATACCTGGCGTTGGCAAGGTCGAAGGGCCTTGGTTGGGTTCAGCGCAACGCCGCGGGGCGCGCCAGGGGCCTCCTCTGGGACCCCCGCCACGAATTGATTGCCAATCGGACGTCGAGTGGGAGTCGGATGACGACGACGACGACGACGACGAGACGCGCTGGCTGACCGTACGACTTATACGCGACGGCGGTTGGGAGTCGGGCCACGAGCGTTGCATGAACCCGGGCCAGGAGGGCTGGTTGCCGCTCTAGGTCGCCGCCTAAGTTGTGAGTACTATTCTTATTACAAATCAACATTACACAACCCCCCGGGAGGAGGAAGGAGTCAAGCCTCCAGCAGCCACCGGTCCGCCGCCGCCTGCGACCCGAAGACGCGGACCTTGCGGAAGCGCGCGAGCCGCGTGCACAGGCGCATGAAGAAGAGCTGGGGGCCCTTGCCGACGACCGCGACGCGCCCGAGGGATGATCCATGCCTCAACAAAAACCGGCGGCAGGCCAGGATACACGTCGTCGACGCCGCGGACGCGTCCGTCATGTCGACGAGGGCGTCCACCGAGCCCGCGTCGGCGCGCGCGCGGGCGATGGCGTGGCCCAGCGCCTCCGTCGCGGGGCGCCCAATACTCGCGCTCCCGAAGCCCGTCAGATTGATTTTCAGTTGTGGGGCGTTGCACGTCGCGAACTCGATCGCGCACGCTCCACTACTGTCGCGCCACTCGTGGTCGATGCTGGCTGCCGCCGGCGTCGAGCTGGTCAGCGCGCGCCAGCGGTGCCCGAGCTGGTGGGCCCAGCGGCGCTCGACGGCGACCGAGGGCGTCGCGAGGGTCGCCAGGAGTACGATCGTGCGGGCGACCATGACGAAACGGCGTCGCACGCGGTGATGCGCTGGCTGCCACAGGCACTGCTGTCTTGACTCGACCTTTTGACGGCGGTCTGAAGCAAAAAACGATGCGCACAGAGAGTGTGCAAGTACTGAGCTCCTTGGCACAGCTTCGCACGTCGCGGTAGCTCGTCGTTGCGAGCCAGCTACGAAGAGCAAGATTGAGCCAAGCCGAGCTGCAGACCCGGGCCGGTGCCACAGATGCCGCCATAAGCACGGACCAGGCATCGAGGGCCTGGACAATGACAAATGATTGGTACTCGGGGCAAATTAAGCTAGAGCCATAGCGTGCTATGCACTAGCCTCGACAGCGGCGCTATTGCGGAGGCTTGGCCGCAGTGCCGCGCCCGGACAGGGACAAGACCGGCGCAGGGCACTGGGCAAGCAACCCTGAGCGCTCCTCAACCAGACGGGCAGCCCCAAGTGGACAGGGCCAAGGCCGGAGCAGGGCTGGGCAGCAAGCGCAGACGGGCAGCATGGAGCCCCAGCAGCTCACGCGAGAAACGCTAGTGAGGCGCCACCAGCTCCGGGGCAGCGTCCTCCCCGTGCTAACCTTAGCGTACAACCGGCGGCGCCAGCATTTATTAACAGGAGACGAGCAGGCTCTACGATTGTTTTCGACAAGGAAGGAACTGGCCGTGTTGTGGTTGGACCCGCGGTCGCCTTCGCCGATCTACATCGTCCACCACGCGCCTCGAGACGTCTACGTCGTGGCGTATGATGATGAACCCTCGAAGCATGCCGACGCGTCCACCGTCCAGATCCTGCACGCTTCGCTCGCGCCGTTGTTGCGGTATAAACCGCACGACGACTTCCTCGCGAGCCTGGTGATCCACTCATCCGGTTTAGTCATCACGTCGGGCGAACAGGAGCTCAAGCTGTGGCGCTTGGAGAGCGATAGCGAAGTGAGCCAGGTATGCACCTTAAATGAGCATTCGACAAGGGGCGCGATGCACGTCCTCCACACATCTCAAGATGTGTTGTTAGGTGCCGTCGACGCGACGGTCTGGGTCTGGAGGCTCGGCGACGCGATGAAAGATGTGATAGAGCCGCGCCTGGCGCTGTGCTGGGAGGCCGGCGGGCGCATTATGAGAGAAGACCCGCCGGCCATCACCTCCTTGCTCCACGTGGGTGGAGGTAGAGTGGTAGTAGGTCTAGACGACGGCGTCATCCTTATATGGGCGGTGCCCGCACTCAACGGTGAACGGGGCCCGCCCGAGGCGCTCGCTTGTATTGCGGCACATATCCACGATAAGGTGGAGAACGACGATGCGAAAGGCGTCTTCGAGTTGAGTGGCTTGGAGGACCAAGGACATGGGAGGTTCGAGTTCTTTTCGTGCGGCGGTGTGTCGAGGAGCGTCAAGCACTGGCTCGTCGGTGACTCAAATGGAGAAGAGTGCAACCAGATCGTGCGGAATGGAAGTCAAGACCACCCTTCCGTCATTGAGTTAACAGCAAAACACATCCCGGGCGAGCCGGCGCCGGCCGAGGACGACGACTACGCCGCTTGGTTGCAATCAATATGTCGGGCGACGCCCATGCGCTTGGTCCTCATGGAGTTGGCGATGAACGACGAGGCCGTCGCGCGGCGCACGTTGATCGCGGCGTGTTCTGGTGGGTTAGTCACGCTGTACGAGGTCCATGCGCCGGCCTGGCACGCCGCTTTGTGTGCGGATCGCGTCTTGGATTTGCGACGAGGGTTACTGTTGGATGACCGGGAACACTGTGTGGTAGCATTGACGGACGGCGGCCACGTCGAGGCTTTACATGCCGAGGGCCACTGCCTTAGAGTGCCGCCGCCCGCTCCCGAGATTCTGGCCAAGGCGAACAAGTTGATGTCTATCAATCGATCAAAGGATAAGAGGCCTCCCGGCAAAAGGTTGCAGACGGGACGAGCTGCTTTAGTCGGCATCGGGCGGTCCGCGCTACAAGGTGATCGCGTGTCATTAGGCTGGCTGCCCGACTGTTCGTCCATTGTCGTTGGGAGGTCCGATGGTGTGTTAGAAATAGTCGAGCCGGACTGGGAAAGTAGTCTGAGAGACAGAGCAATAGTAGACCCGGCGACGAACGCGATGGGCACCGCCTCCGTAAGCAGAATAGACGGCAAGGGCCCGATTACACGAGTATGTCCGTTACCGTCAAAGAACATCGTAGTATGTGGAGACGCCGACGGCTTTTTAAAACTGTGGAATATGACCAATAAAAAATGTCTGTGGTCGCAGCAGGCGCACACCTCTTCCATTTCTGCCTTGGCGTCCGGTGTCCTAGCTGATCACAGAGGTTTCCCGAAGAAACTCAAGGGCTGGGAGGACCCCCAGACGCCGCGACGAAGTTACGCTACGTTAGTAGTCATCGCGTCGGCCTCCGGAGATGGGGTTGTTCGATTGTGGCGCGCCACTACCAACAGCTTGGTGATTGCGGGCTACTTCGTGGCGCAGGGGTCCGTGACGGCGTTATGTGTGGCCCAAGCGTCATTGGGAGAAGCGCAGACCTTCGTTGGGTTCGACTCGGGGTTGATCGAGGCCTGGCCGATCGACGCCGAGCAATTACGGGGAGAGGAGGAGCCGAAGGATTTAGATAGGGGCGCTCGCGGGGGTCATTTGCAGGAGGTTACTTCACTGGATGCGTTGCCTTCCTCAGCATTCGTGTTATCGGCTTCGTTAGACCGAAGCCTGGCTCTATGGAAGGCGATCCAGGGCGCCGATACCTTACAATTACAAAGATGTATCGTACTTGGGCATAGTATAATGAGCGCGATCTTGGTCCGGTCGCGCCAGGGCCTGGATGCCGTTTTGGCGGACGGCGCGCGCGTGGCGCGCGTGAGCCTCGCCGAGGACCCACAAGATCAATCGATAGTCAAAGAGAGAAGTGTAGCCACGCCCCACAAGATCATGAAAGAAGTCTCCGTCTCATCAGAGAACGACACGGTCCTGACGGCCTCGCGGACGGCCGCTCGACTGACGCTCGACGTCCCGCGCTTATTTGATGAATCGGGCGCGGCGACGCCCTTCTCCGCGCAGCCCCAGTTGAGTGTGGAGGAGGCGCCGTGGCTGACGAAAGCGTCTCCCGAAATGCCGTGGAAACGACCGCGGAGCGTCGCCGACCGGCCGATCATTTCTGCCGAACTGAGACCGGCGTCGGGCGCGGGCGAATACTTGTTTGAGGGCAGACAGGTCCAAGAGGAGCCTACTGTATCTGACGATGAGGAGCAACAACCCATCAGTCCCATCCGAAGGGAGGACCTCCCCTCTCAACAAACGTTGTTGGCCGACGAATCACTACGGACCGCTTTCCATCTGAGGGACTTCGGCAAGGGTTTTGTCAATGGTGCTGCGTTACCAGCAATCCTCAAGAACTGGTGGCCTATCGTCACACCGGATCAGGTGGACGCCGCATCACGAGAAACGTCGGTCTTCGACGCGGCCGATGAAGAGGCCCTGCAGTGGCTCGGGCCCGAGGACGAGGACGAGGACTACGATGCGGATAACCTGGAGCGATTCCGGCGGAAGCGCGCGGACAAACTTGATATGTTGAGACAGAACCGGCGGCGGGGCGCGTCGATAACGTACGACCAGCTCTGCGACGTCGCCGCGCATCTCTGTCGTATTTTAAATGATACGCCTACACAACACGCTCCCTGCCTAGATCGGGGCGGCGGCGGCTGGTCCCGGACGCAAGAGAAGAAGCGTTGTTCGGTCAAAAGGTACAAAGAACTAGCTCGAGTCAAGCGGCGCAAGGTCTACGCCGACTGGGGCGAGGCTTATATGGTCGAAGCGACGCCACTAAGTGATTTAGTGGCGCCGGACGCGCCGCTGCCGACGCCGTATCCGCTCCGAGCCGAACCTCGGATCCCGACGCCGGCGACGCCGGCTCGCGTGCCGACGGCTCCGCGCCAAACGAAGCCGCCGGCCGAGGTGCCCGAGGTCTTCGATGCGTTGTTTACGGACCCTCGGCTCAAATTCGCTAGAGCTTTGTCCGAGACGGGATCCATGCCGAATAAATCCGAACCTCTCCCCGAAACTACTTCCGTCAATGCGATGCCGCCTAGAGTGTGCATGAAGGAGGCCCGCAAGGTCATCGAGGCGCACGCCGAGGAGCTGAGCGCGGCGCACACCGCACAAAGGAAACCGAACACGTTCGCGGCGTCCTGCTATGCCTTATTCAGACAGAGCTTCGGGCCGCGGCAGATCGCCGAGGCGCATGTTGTTTCATTTCTCGACTCATTATTTGTGCACGGTCGGAAAGCGCCCTCGTTACTAGCGTGCGCGCGGCTGTTTGGCGTTGATGGTTATGACGCATTCCCGGAAGGAGCAGCGGTGAATTATATTGATGCGCTGGCCTGGTTGAGAGATCGGGCGTTTCTGTACGGGGACATTCCGAGCGACGTGGATGTTGTGTATGAAGCGGCGGCGAATGATGGCTTATGTTATTTATCAGCCTCGAGAAGAGCGTGCGCGTCGGCCGCGAGGCAGGTCTGCTCGTCTCCGGTGGTGGCCTCGGCGGTCGTCCGCGAATTAGCTTCATTGAAAGGGTTGCGCGGAAGTCCTTATGGTCATTGGGACGAAGCCGTCGACGCGGAGGCCTTCGCGCTGATACTGACTTCAGAGATTGTACGAGGTGATGCTGTCGCGGCGCGATGCGCTTCCACCTTATTCGCTCTTGAGAGAGAGGAGCGCATTGTGGCCTCGAGACATGGTCCCCAAACTTCGGTAGACGACCTGCAGTGGAGCCGCGACCTCCAATCTTTACGAGATTTACTTTTGAGATTTGTGGCGAAAGATTCATCAAGAACGGGCGTTTTAAGTGGTTCCGAGTTTGGGGATTGTATACGAGGCGGCACTACGGGGTGGGCTCCGTGGCCCTCGCCCACCTTCCAAAACCCGGTCGACGACTCTTTATTGTCGGACAACGAGCTCGCATTGAAACAAATCGTAAGAACTTATTCCGACCCCCTGGACCAGCAGGTGTGTTATCTGGACTTCTGGGCCATGTTGTGGGTTGATAGCACCTTACACAAGCGGTTGCCGCCATTGCACGCTTTATATTCCATAGCTTGTGAACAGCTCATAGGCATCGACGAGCAGATGGGTTCGATCCTACGGACGTACTGTTCCTACGTCGGCGTGCCCAAATCTTCACCTGTGTTTGTGAGATCCCCAGCCAAGAAGTCGCAATTGGCAAGCCTCTTCCCGGGCCAGCTCCAAGTGTCGGAACTCGTGAATTTTGACAAGCGGCCTTCTTTATTGCCCGGTACTCTGACTATATCCAGACCCGCGACCGTAGCTTCCGAAGAGTTAATAGGGGACACGGCCGGCGCTTCGAGGGCGGCGACGGCGCACTCGCGGCGTCGCGCGCGTCCGGAGAAACCCGTGCAAAGCATCCGGAAGATGAACCCGGGCATTACACTAAAAGCGGAGGGCGTGCCTTTGTTCATGTCCGACGTCTCAGAGCAGGCGGCGCCGCAGTTATCACCCCCAAAATACGAGACGGCGCGGCCCGTCCAATCCTTAAGTCGTTCAATGGCAAAGAAAGAGGTAGGTAAACAATTAGCGTGGCCGCATCCTACCGTCAAGCCGGGCCAGCACCGGTCGTTAGCAACTTACACATATATCGGCGACCCCTTCTACGAAGCGCGACAACTCAAACAGGAGCCCTCCTCGAAGCAATTGCAGTTCAAGTCGGCCTTGGAATGGCAGGCGAAACTAGGCGAACGGGGCGAGCACCCGCCCTACTCTATTAGGGAGGAGATGCTACGAGTAGAAAGTGCGGCTGGTCTATACAACGCGCTCGGGAAAGGCGTCTCTCCCGTACGGTTTTTACCCCCCGATGAAGTGGCCCGACTCAAGGCGGATCTAGAGAAGAAGCGTAGAGATGGATTAGCCGCGCAGCGCAAGAAACAGCGCGCCGCCGGCCAGGCCGTCGCGCCGGGCCCGGCTCCCGCAATTCATATCCCGGGCATGACGCCGCCGGGCACGGCCACGAAGAAGCAGCGCGAGGACATGGCTCGGCTGCTCGAGGAGCAGATGCGTGCAAGACGAGCTGCTTTGGCCGACGAAGAGGAGCGTCGGAGGCAGGCCGAGCTTGACAGGTTGGAGGCTGAAAGACTAGCTGCTCTTGAGGCCGAGCGACTCGCGGAGGAGGCTAGAGAACGAGCTCGCGTCGAGGCGGAGCTCGAGGCATTACGCGTACAAAGGGAAGAGGAGGAACGCGCCGAGAGACAACGGTTAGAAGCTGAGAGAGCTGTAGCGGAACGGTTGGAGCGGGAGCGCATTGCGCGCGAGCAGGAGGAGCTGCGGAAGCTGGAGGCCGAGAGATTGCGGATTGCGGCCGAGAAGGAGCGCCTCGAGGCAGAGAAGCGTGCGCGCCAGAAGCGGAAGCGCGAGGAGTTACGTAGAGAGAAGGATGAACGTAGTAAGATGGAGCGCGAGGAGCACCTGTCGCATGAGTTGCGAGACTTGGTCAGAGAAGAATTCCGATTAGCCGAGGAATTAAGGTTAAGGCGCTTGGAAGAGGAGCGTTTAGCGCGTTTGGAAGAAGAAGAACGCTCGATGATGGCTTCTCACGAGGAAGAAGGTACGTTCATCCGAAAACAAGTCGAGGAGGAACGTTTGGCCGAGGAAGCGAGATTGGCGGAGATCGCCCGGCTCGAGCGAGAGGCCTTCCTCAAGCAAGAGATGAATAGAGAATCAAATGAACGAGCTCAAATGCAAGCGGAAGAGGACTACGAGCGGGACTACATGTGGCAACTGGCGGAGGAGGAACGAATCGCCAAAGAAAAGGCCGATGAACTGCGAGCGAGGTTGGACGCCGAAGGGCGCATGCGCGAGGAGAACGAGCGCGCCGCGGCCGAGTTGGCGAAACTGAAAGCGCGGAACATGGCCGGCATGTTCCGCGCGGTCGAGCAGAATATTAGTGATCAAAGGACGAAGAAGATTGGGCACGTTTTCAAGGGCAAGTTGCTGGGCAAAGTGGCCCAACGACGAAAGGCGGCGGAGGAGGAGGCTCGCCGGAAGGAGGCCGAGGCTGAGGAGTTAGCAAGACAGATGGCCCTTGCCGAGGAGGAAGAACGGGAACGGTTGGCCGCGGAGAAGGCTCGGCTGGAGCGGGAAGCCGAGGAGGCGCGCAAGCGGGCTGAAGAAGAGAGTAAACCGAAAGTCAGGCCGGTCTTCGGTTGTCAATTCGCGTTCTCCGAGGACCTTAGATTTGATCCGTTCTCCGAGGAACAAAGGCCGTCGAAGCCTCCGATGATGGGTCCCGCGGCGGTTGAGTTACAGAAGTCGTTAGATGTCTTCGGCGAGGAAGGCATGGCTGAGAATAGCTTACCTGACTCTGTGCAGCGCATCTTCCGGGAAAGTCGGGGAGAAAAGTTGGAGTATGATGATGAGCAGTTTCACGTGAAAGATACGAAAGTGTACGAGGCGGACGTGGTCGTACCTGTCACCAATGACTGGCGCAGGTATTTTGACAGGAGGTTTGCTGATGATTTTGCGGACCGGGATAAAGTGGATAAGGCTTTACTTGTTAAGAGTGACCAGTCGCAGGAGGAACGAGATCGAGCGCTGGAGAAGGTCTTGGCTCAATCAGCTCGCTTGTACGCTTCGCTTGGCGTTGAGAAGGCCGAAAGTCTCTTGAACGGCAAGACCGTGCAAGATGCTTCTAGGACTTTTGCCGAAGTGATGGGTTCATCGTCAAATGTGCAGTTTGCGAAATACTCGTTGGATCTCGGTGATTCTAATTTACTACTCCCAGATGAGTCCAAACCGTTGACTTGGTTCCGCGTCGAGCACGGCTCCGTTTCCCGAGAAGCGTTGTACAACTTCACGATACCACATAACGGCGCCGTCGCGACGATCATGTTGGTGTGCATCAAGGGCGACGCCGACTTGTTGGTGGCCCACGGTCGCATACCGACGTTGCAAGACTCAGATTGGCGCGATACCTCATTGAGACAAGAGAAGAAATGTGTAGTGCAGCCTGATCACTCTAAATATAGAGTCGGGAAGTACGGCGTCGCTGTCCGTTCAGCTTCTAAAGCGCCGTGCCACTTCGCGATCTATGCGGCTTGTTCCGGGTTACTTGATCAGGGTGACGAATCGGCTACCTTGAAGCGAGTCGAACCCATCACGCGCCGACTGAAGGTATTAGCCGAGATGCCCGCTTCTGATCTAGTAGAGGACTTTGCCGCTGCTCTGGAGGACGCGACGAATCGCGTCGAGAACGAGTTGGCCTTAGAAAAGGCTATAAAAGAAGGTAAAAAGGCGACGGAGATGGAAGACGATTTAGTAAGGGGTAGCGTCCAGGACCAGCGGAAACAATTTAGGGAGCAGGCGAAGAAGTTGAGTATGTCCTTTTCTGGGGTTGTGGAAGAGGAGGAAGCGTGCGTCCCGGCGCCGGCTCCTGGTAGTGACACTCTGGAAGCCAAGGCCGAGGCCCAAGCGTCCATGGAGGCCTGGAACGTGTCGCTGGATGAATTGAATAACCCGGAGAACGATGAAGATGCGGTTGCTTTTGAAAAGCTCATGTACCGCATGGGCCTCGCGCACATGAAAAGTGAGGACAAGGAAGCGATGAAGCCCCTGGCCGTCGATAACGCGCATGCGCCTCTCGTGAAGAGGAAGAAGAAGGGGAAGCGGCGGCGTCGTCGTAGGTCTGTCAGTCCTGATCGCGGCGAGACGATGGAAGAACTAGACGAGAGGTGGACGATCGCGCGCGGGTCCGATTCGTGGAAGAGTCAGGTGAAGGCGACGGTGGCGCCGCGCGTCGATCCCATGACTCTTGCTACTCCCAAGCCCATGCGGTACCACCTGCTCATCGACGATAAAAGGTACGACCACAAGCCCCCACCCAAGTCGCCGACGACGGGCAAGCGCCCGACCATTCCTTACAGCATCCAGGTGACGTCGGCTTCCACGCACGCGCGGCGGCTCTAGAATGTAATGTGAATTAAACAACATATCAACTAACATTGCCCCGAACGCCGTCGACGCGGTGTCGGTGGTTTTCACGTCGCATCCAAGTAGATCAAGCCGGCGTCGCCGTCGGGCGAGTGACTTGGCGAGCGGCGATGGAGCTGTTCAGCGCCGCCGAGCGTCTCGGTGGGCACGAGCTCGAACTCGTTCGTGGAACGGAGCCGCCGCTCGTCGGCTTCAAGCGTCAGGGTGATCGCCGCATTAACTAGGGAACCGACGCCCCAGCCAAAAATGGTCGCAATTACGAACGCCCGCCGGCGACCATACGCTCGCACCAGTCGTGCAATAACAACTGGGCCGAACCCTTTACCGAGGTCGTCGAACAGAGCAAACACGGCAAAAGCCGAGGCTCTGGCCCGGGGAGCGGTCGTGTTGGTCAGGCAAGCTCGAACGATCGGGCCAGTTTGCGTGGCGAGCAGGCCGAGCACCACGGCTACGGGTGCCAATTTTTCGAAGCTGGCGTCTGCTTTGGTCGTCGTGAGAATTACGACGAGTGGCGGGACCGACAGCAATTCAGCTATGGACATATGCCACGCCGCTGCAGACTTGCGCCACGAATAGAGTCGTTGGCCGAGCTCTCCGCCAATAAATTGGCCGCCGAAGCCGCCAATTGCAAAGCACGTGAGCACCATTGCGCTTCGCTCGAGGCTGAGGCCGAGGTCCGCTTGTAAGTAGTCTTGTAAATAGACGATAATGACGCCCCATGGCACGCAACCTGGTATCCCTTGTAGAAACACGAGCAGCGCCGTCGGCGTCCGAAAAACCGCTGCCAGATCGCGTCGTGCCGTTTCGGCACGAGGCTCGTCCTCGTCCGAACCCGTGTCATCGAACGCGCCACGCCTCGGTTCTATGAATGCAATCCAGACGATCGCCGCAAGGGCGACGAACAGCACGCCGACGACTACGAAGGGTGCCCGCCAAGATGCTAGCCACGCGCCAAGAAAGCCGCTCATCGCTTGTCCGAAGCCGACTCCCGCAGACATGGCCACTCCCACGCGACCGCTCGCCGCCGTCCGCTGCGACGGTGCGAACATGTCGCCCACGAGTGAAAACGTGACAGGAAGAGCTGACCCGAGCGACACACCGGTCAAGGCGCGCATCCAGAACAAGTCGGAGTAGCTGCGCGCGAGCGCAGTGCCTAACGACGCGGCGCCGCCGACGAGCAGTATGATGACGAGGAGGAGTTTCCGAGGATAGCGATCGGCGCACGCACCGATCGCGAGAGCAGCCGGCGCTCCGAGTAGGAATAGTCCCATCGCAAGTTCGCCGCCCAGCTTTTCGTCGCGCTGGACGTCATTCATGCCGAACTCATGGGCAACCGTCGTTAAGTGCGGCGCTAGGAGATTCTGATCGGACTGCAGCAGAAACGAGCAGGCGAGAAGCAACAGGGTGTTCTTGTCAAGCAAGGACTGTGCCATCCAGATCTTGGCGTGTAGGGAATACTATGGCACACGGTCTGCTGTGCAGGCAGTGACTATGATTTCTGTCGCGCACACGAGCTATGCGCTCAAACCGTGCGGTTGTAGGAGCACTACACGCTTTTTTTGTAACCGGGCCGCCGAACTAGCGTCATGTAAGACACTAGCATGCCATTTTGTTCAACCGGCGTGGCACGTATAGATCGTATCAAAGCGCTGCACCACCATGAAACGACTACTCATACTATGCAGTAGTGCTTACGCATTCATCAGACCGCCAGCGATTTCGTCGTCGCGCGGTCCACTGCTGCATGCTGCTACGCTGAGTGAGTTGGACCTCCAATCGTGGTGCGAGAATGCCGGAATCAATGCGGACAAACTCTCGTTCGACGGCGACAGCGCGACAGTGAAGCAGGACGTCGCTGCCCTCGAAGTGCTCGCACGCGTGCCGCGCTCGCTCACACTCAGCGCACCACGGAGGAAGGACTGGCCCGGGAAGCTTACAGCTGCAGCAATCGAGGCCATGGAAGAAGGCGGAGACTTGGGAAGCTGGGTGCGGTCATGGCGCGGGGGAGGCTGGGCGACGTCGAGCGATGATCTCGAAGCTAGGGACAAAGAGACCGTCGATTCGCTGCTCGCGACGGGCAGCGACAATGATTTCGAAATTTTCAAGAAGTTCGGGATGAAATGCACGCGCCCGCGTCGGAAACCTCCTTCGCCTCACGCCATCGAAACTCACGCGTCGACAACCACACAGGCCACCCGGCCGTCGATCGCGCCGCCTACCGGCTCTCGGCACTGTGCCGCCACCGCAACGAAAAGGCGGCGCGCGCGGCGCTCGTCGAGCGAGGCTATGCGTGGCGGGAGTGCAGAGAGGCGCTCATTCCTCTGGTCCGAAATCCGACGCGTACCGAAGGCACGGCTAGACGGCGGCGCGAGCTCGACGCGGCGGAGCTCTATTCTCGGGCACTCTCTCGGGCCGCGCGCGTCGGTGACGATATTGTCGTTTGCCCTTTGTACGACACGCTGCGCGACGGCGCCGCCGGCGCGACGGCAACACTCGTCGAGGACCCCGGCGGCGACGACCTCCTCGTCGTCGCCTCGCGAGCGCTCGTGGCGGGCGACGCCATCACGCGCGACTACGGCCGGGCGCCGAGCCTCGGCTTCATCGACGGCTCCGACGCGGACCCGGGCAGCGAGAGCGAGGTCCTGCGGAGGCTGCTCCAGTTCGGCAGCTATCCGCAGTGGTCCTCATAAGTGTATGTAACTTATCTGGGGAAGCGGGATAAATCCATCACGCCGCCGGCGCCGCAGCCGGTGCCTCGCTGACCGCGGCCTCTCCCGCGCTCGGAGGCCGGCTCTCGCCGCCATCTGCCGCGCCCGTCGCAGTCTCTGGGACTGATACCCCGCCGCCCCCACCAGCGGTTACGGGCTCGGCAGCGGGCTCGGCCGCGGGCTCGGCGGGCTTCGCTGGCGATTTCGCGGCCTCCGCCGGCGCGCTGTCGGCAGTCTCCGCGGCGGGCGGCGCGCCGCCGACCTGCTCCGCCGGAGCAGGCTTCTCCGGCGATTTCGCGGGCTCGGCGGCCGCCGCGGGCTCGGGCTCCGGCGCCTTCGCGGGCTCCGCGACGGGCTCGGGCGCCGGGGCCGCCTTGGCCGGCGACGCCGGCGCCTCGGTCGGCTCGGGCGCGGGCTCCTTCGCCGGGCTCTTCGCCGGGCTCGGGACCGGCTCCGGCTCGGCGGGCTTCTCGGGCGATTTCGCGGGCTCGGGCGCCTTCACGGGAGACGGCGCGGCCTCGACGGCCGGCGTCGCCTCGGGCTCGCTCCGCGCCGAGGCCGGTGGCTCCTCCACAGGAGGCGCGGCAGCCGGAGCCTCCGCCGGCTCCTTCGCAGGAGATGTCGGCGGCGAATTGGGAACAACGCCCGCGCCTTCAGGGGGCACCTCGTCTCCATGTCGATCCATCAAATTCGGCGCGAAGGGGTTCACGTTCAGCGTGCCCACCAATACGACCGTCGGGTCCATCAGCAGCGTCTTGCAGGTCACGTCCCCATAAATCGACGCCGCGCCGCAGAGCTCCAGGTGGTCCACGTTGATGTTGCCGATGACCTTGCCGAAGACCACCAAATCGGCCATGTCCCGGACATCTCCCACTAACTCGCCGCGCGGGCCCACGATCAAGTCACCCGTGGATACTAAATCGCCCTCGAACTTGCCGTCGAGTCGCAGTAATCGTTCGAACCTTAATGTCCCTTCGATCTGCAGCGTTTCGCCGATGACCGTCTCGGGCTCGCTCTCCAAGATGTGCGGCTTCTGCGGGGCTTCTTCGACGGGCGGCTCCATCGTCGCCTCATCGTCCTCCTCCGGCTGCTCGTCCAGAGCACCGGCCTCATCTTCCACAGCCTGGCGCGCGGCGTTCACGGCCGCGAAGCCCGACCCACCTACCGGCTGTTCGTCAAAAGCGTCCTCATACGGCGCCGCTTGGTCCGGGTCGTAGGACGTGAAGCCGTAGGGGTTCGCGCCCGGGATGCCCTGGCCGTAGGGATCATCCGCAAAGGGCTGCTGGACGGGGGGCTTCGGCGCCTTGCGCTTCACCTTCGAGCGCGGCGGCGGCGGCGGCGCGGGCGAGGCGCCCGTGGCCGGCATTGTTGTCGTTTGTTGCTCTCGCTTTTCGAGGCAGCCCCCGCAGGTTGCGGCTGCAGCGCTTTACAAGTCGTTGTACCGGCTGCCCCCACGCAGCGCTGTCACTAGCGCCCCAGCCCGCCGCATCGGTGTTTAGGGAGCGCTACCGGTCTGGACTAGGACGCAAGGCTCCCCGGGTGAGTCCTGGACTGGCCTCTCTAGTACCTTACTCACTTAGCTTGCAAATATTGCAAAGCTTGCTTTGCGAGGCCCGACCTCCGTCTCTAGGTCGTCCTGTGGCCTGCCTGCAGCTCTACGCTGCCATCCAACCGAGCCGTGTCGGCGGGAACACGTGAAACTCTCGAAAAAAAGCCTGAGCATGAGGCAGCCTGTCTGCCAGTAGTAAGCACAGCAGCATGTCGACGTCGCCGCCACCGAACCGACGCCTCGAAGTCAAAGCACAAGACCTCGCGCAAGCGAGGAATCTGCACCACCACTCGCAATACACGGAGTGCGCCGCGCTGCTACTAACCGCGGAACGCGGCGCGGAGGACGCGACGGCCCTCCTCAAGGCGGCGCTCGATAACATAAGGAGGCACCCGCGGCAGGCGCTGGGACTTAATGAAGAGGCCAGCGCCTCGGACGCGAAGAAGGCTTATAGGAAGCTCGCGCTCAAGCTGCACCCCGACAAAACAAATGGAGCCACGTCCGAGCTCTTCGCGGCGCTCACCGAGGCGCACAAGGCCGTATCCGGTGAGAAGCGGCCCTCACGGAAGGCGCCGCCGCCTTCCCGGAAGAGCAAGCCCAAGCCCCCAAAAAAGCCGCCGGCACCGGAACCGCCGGCACAAACGCGCGTCGACCTCGACGAGAACCAGGACCGGGACGCGGCCTGGGAGAAGCGCTACTGGGCCCTCGCGGCGTTCAAGCTCAAGAAGGGTCACTGCTACCCGGATGGTGTGTTAGGCGACTGGTGCGCGGCGCAGCGGCGCGCGCGCGAGGAGGGCAAATTATCTGCAGATCGGCGCCAGCGGCTCGAGCAGCTGGGCTTTGATGTGGACGACGACAACTGGCGGGCGAAGGCCGCGGCGGCGGCGCCCTCCGACGCGGACCGGGCCCAGGCCTACTGGCGCCGGGCCAAGTCCGAGCGGCGCGCGAACGGTACAGACCGCTCGCCGCGGCGCCGGTCGAGCGAGGTTCCAAGAAGGCGGAATCGCGTCGACGACGCGCTGAGCGGCGCGGCGGCGGCGCTGCCGGGGCGCCGCTCGGCCAATCGCGTAGCGCCGCCGGACCGGGCGCCGGCCCCGCCGCCGCCGCCGCCGCCGCGGGCGCGGCCCGTGAACAACAACGACGACGCGGGCTGCACTGGCGCGTCGGAGGGCTGGTCGTGGTCGCGGTCGCGCGCGAGTACCTCGAATGAGGCGCGCACCGAGCGCACGACGCGCGAGTTCACGCTCTTCGGTTATGTTGTGGCACGCTTCGAGACGACGTCGGCGTACGGCCAGCCCGCGAACGAGTCCTAGCTTGTATGTGAAGAGTAACTGTAACTGTTATCGACTTCTAGAAGCCACAAAAGTAGCCCGCCCGACGTTCGCGGCGTTCATCCGCAAAGCGGCCCGGACCTTGGAGGTCGCCTTGCGGCCCCGTTTTGTGATCGGGAGCCGCGGCAACGTGACCTCCTCCTTCTCTTTGGGACGGGCGGCGGCGACGGCACGCCGCGCGTCGGCCGCCAATTTGCGGATGTCCTCGGTGGACGTCGACTCGCGCGCCGCCTTGCGCGTTCGCAGCGACGACATGCGCGCCACGGAATGAACAGCTAAGGCGACGGCGCCGGCCCTTTTGCGCACCGTCTGATCTTCGATGAACCGTCTGGCCAATTGCACGTTCTTGTAGCGCGACTGCTTGACCCGGTCCCAGGGGTTCGTGCCCGCGACATCTAAGAGTGATGCACCTAATGCCCTTCCAACTTCCCGCCAGGAGTCGGGCGTGAACGGCTCCGGGGTTATGGTCGCGGGTCGTTCCGGCGAGGCGCCTCGTTGTGCTCCTTCGCCGGAAGCTTTGGGCACATTATTTGTCAACCGCCCGCAGTTGTAGTTGCACTCCAACGTGTAGGCCCTTGCTAGACCCGTATAACGCATGCAGGCGACGCGCGCGGACCCTTCCGCACTTGCCCCCGGCGTGGCTGCACTGGGACCGTCGCACCGTAACATGTGCTCTTTGCTAAAGTTGCACGCATGATAATCGAAGTGCGACGAGTTTACTGAGAGTAGTAGAGCGTAGAGGCGGTTCTCTATATGTTGTTCGGTATCTTCCAGGTGGTTGCCGTAGATAAACACGCCCCGCTTCGACGCGTGAGCATGTAAATCCACGAAGAGCGCCAGGCCCTTGGGTCGCGTGGATGCGGCCTTGGCCAGCACCATCAGAGCCGCTTGCGCCGGGGCTTTTTCAGAATCTGGCGAGGGCCAGTAGACCCGGTTCAGATTCACGCCGTAACTATCATGTCTATAATGCCCACGATGGACACCGTCCGGGTTGAGTTGCGGGATGAACCGGAACACATAATTCCGTCGCAGTACCTTCGCCCGTCGGTCGTCCGGCCTCAATAACAACTCTAGGAGTCCATCTAGTACGAACGACGCCGGCGTCTCGCCGGGGTGCACCCTCGCACTGATAATGACCTCGGCTTTCTCTGGATACCTCGGTGGCCTTGTTGCCGTGCCGTCCCGCACTTCCGGGAATAAGTGGGAAGTAGAAGCTACATCAGCGTGGTCGTACAACAGGTCTTCTTCTCGCTTATCGGCACCGTGATTATCGGTGACGGTCAGCATCTCGATTCTCCGCCCTTCCGCCGAGAAGCACAGTAACTCGTTGTACACCACAATATCGCCAGTAACCCGCTTCAGCACCTCGCGATGCGTCGCTAGCGATTCTTCGTAGGCATAGGGGAAGCAGAAGGCGAACTCGACCTCGTCGCCCTTCTCTCCAAACAAATAATCAAATTGTAAATCGCCGGTTCTATCACCTTGGTCCCGATAACTGCAGTTGTTCAGCCGCTTCCAGCCGCCACTTCCTGTTAGTGTAGACCAGCACTTCTCATTACCTAATTGTTGTTTGTCCTTCATGCGACGCACCACGGGCCGATGACCGTGTTTATAGAGTTGGCCCTGGCGCGCCATGCCCGCAAATCTGAATCTAGCTTGTCGCTTCGGGCCTTCTCTCTCATCTCTAACTCGAAAGTAGAACCACGTGCTGCTCCGCTTTTCGTTGCTCGTATTTTCGGCGTCCTTCGCCATCGTCAGGTCCCACGCGCCGTCCCTGGCTCTTTCGGCATGCTTCAAATTGGCGTGGTCAAAACTGCTGTTGAAGACGAGGCCGTCGGCGTCGTGGTCCGTGAGGCTTGGGGGCGGCGGGCGGTCCATCTTTTGTCGTGGTCTTTGTCGTGGCGCCGCGGCGATGGCGTTGGCTTGGGCAGCCTTTGTTTTGTGCTCGGGGCAGCTTCGCGCGCCGCCAAACGCGTGGGTAGCGTTCGCAGGGAGCGTCCGGAGCCAATGCTGCTGGCCGTGTGCTCGCGTGGTCCGCGCGGGCAGCGCCGCCAGTCGTTGATTGCGCTGGCTTCGCGCTGTCCCAACGTGCGGGAGTGCGTCGCTGCCCGGGTCCTGGGAGCCCTCGGTACGCTTCCCGCCGGCTACGTAGTCGTCCGGACGCGGTGGGAGGCGGTGGCGGTGGCTCCTTTGAGCAACGCCCGCGACGCGCGCGCCGCGGACTCGCGGGCGCCCTGTAGGCCTCGCGCCGGGGTCGCGGTCCACGCAATCGACGCGACGTCTTTTAAACCAATCTTACACACACACGGGGACCTGCCGCCGGAGAAGCTGCATTTCAATCATTTCTGGGGCGCGCGGACGTTCGGCTGGGGCGACGCCATCCCCGACGAGCTCCTGGCGAAGACCGACGAGTACCGCGTCGCGGCGGAGCTCGCCGAGGCCGTGCGCGCGTGGACCGCCGTGCGGCGCCGCCGCCTCGGGTCCGAGGCCGTGCAGCCGCCGCCCGCTTCTTTCTTAAGCTCATAAACTTACACGGGTGGCCACACCCAGCTCGACGCGCCCGTCTTCGAGTTGTAGTAGTATGTCTTCCCCGACGCCTCGTCGACGGCCGAGACCCACTCCGACGCGTCGAAGTCCTCGGGCACGGCCGCGGTGGGCGCCGACGCCGCCGCCTGCATGAACTCGCCCGACACCTGCTTGCCTTGGGCTGCCCAGCCCGCTTTTAAAGCTTCATCCCTAGCTTTCTTGAGGGCCGCGAGGTCCGCCTCCTCTTTCTCTTTCGCGGGCGCCGCGGCCGCGGCCGCGGCGGCGGCTTCCTCGCTCAACCGCTGGGCGGCGGCCTGCGCCGCGGCCTCCGCAGAAGCTGCATCGACGGGCGGCGCCGTGTCGCAGACCAGCGAATACTCGAGGGGCGTCGACGGCTTTCCGTCTCGCAGGTCCGCGCACCAGTCCGCTTTTACAATCGTGCCCGGACTCACGAGCAGAGGCCTTTCTCGGAGAGGAGGCAAGACAGTAGGCCAGTGCGAGAGCCGCATCTCCCCCAACGGCCCGCGCGTCTCGTAGACCACGGACCGATCCTGCTCGAAGACGATCGTCGGCCAGAGGGCGATGCCCGTCATGGACCGCGCGACGTCCTTGGCTAATCGCTCGACATCTAGACCGTTGGCCTCGATGGCCTCGCGGTCCTGGCCCAGGATCTCCCCGAACGCGCGCTCGTTCGCCGCGATCCTCTCAGGACTTACTGTCCATTCAAATGAAGCCTCCTGCTTGTGCTCTGGTAGTTCACCGGCGAACTGGATGTCCTCCACGAGCACAGGATCCGCCAACAACTGCATGGAATTGTCTTGCGAGTCTATTCTGAGAGCAGTCCCGTCGTTCGGTAATGATTGGGAGCCGCCGGAATGGTGGCACAAATCCGTGCCCGGCGCGCCCCAGGTCTCATAACTGAAAGGCACGAAGGAGTCGGGGTTTCTTGGTTCTTTCACGAAGCGTTCCCGCGCGTCCTTGATGGTCGCTGTGTGATATTAGAGTGACGACGGCGCACGAGCTCTCGCAGACTTTCAATGTGAGTCGCGTACGAACTGTCCCGAACCCTACGCCATCGACGCGGCACGTTGAAAGACATGGACGCTGAACACAAACCGTAGACGCCCTCCTCGGACGCGATCGACCCCGCGATCTCGCTGATCAGGATGTCGACCTTCTCCGGGAGCTCCACATCCGTCGAAAAACCGCAAACGAGCTCGATGACGCCGGGCTCCACTCCTGAATTGTCCGCCGCCTCGAGCTGGGCTAATTCTTCCCTCGCTTTGTTTTGCGAGCCCGGCACGGCCTCTATAGCATAAACTTTCCTAGCACCTGCGGCCGCCGCGGCCTTCGCAAACAGCAGGTAGGGCCCCGTTCCCAGGTCACACACCACGGCCGTCTTCGGCGGGAACTTCGCAAGCTTCTTCTCAAGGGTCTGGGTGAACATCTCCGTTCGACTCATGTCCGCGTACATGCTCCGGTAGTGCCGCTCGTCGAATTCGATCCACTGGTCGTTGTTTTCCGAAGTCGCGAGCCATTTTGTACTGTGGGGGCCCGGCGGTTGGTCGTAGTCGGCGACGTAGGGCGACTCGGCACTTCGCAGTCGCGTTGTTCGCTGCGGGGTTTTGTGTAGCGGTTGCAGGGCGCTGCATAAGGTTAGAGTGATACTGAGCGTACGCATGGTACCACGTTTTCCAGTCGTGCGCCTCGACGCAGGCTGTTTGCAGTCGCTGCACTCAGCTACAATCTGTGGTGTCCTCGCTGACCCTCTCGCGTTGCGGCACGAGAACTGGTGATATCACGCAGCTTACGTATGAGAGTGCACTCTGCAAAATGCACGTGCTGCTGTGCCCAGGACGACGCGTTTGCTGCATGCAAAGTCTGTCATCGGCCAGAGCTCTTGCTAGTGTCTTAGAGCCGCTAGCAACCGCGCGCCCGACGTGTTTTTTTGCATATACGAGCGAGTCCCTGGCCCGCGACGAGTGCTCTCCGCGCGAGTCGTAAAACACTCTCCGGACGGCTGCAGACACATCATCCATTCGCAGCGCACGCGCCCAAGCCGATCGCAATTATTGCATTGTGGATCAATAAGACCACAGTGCTGTGCAATCAATAATGCACTCGTTCGCCGTCGCGCTTCTGCTGTCCAGTGCAGCAGCCTTTGCCCCCAAGGCGGCGAGCCGGCCCAGCGTAGCCGTCGCGGCCATGCCGTCGCAGGACGAGCTCAAGAAGCAGGTTGGGTATCAAGCCATCGACGACTACGTGACCAGTGGCATGAAGGTCGGCCTGGGCACGGGCTCGACGGCCGCGTTCGCCGTCGAGCGGCTGGGCATGTTGCTCAAGGATGGCACTTTAAAAGATATCATCGCCGTGCCCACTTCGGTCAGGACGAAGGAGCAGGCCGAGGAGTTGGGCATTCCTTTAACCACTTTGGATGAATTTTCCAGGTTGGACGTCGCGATCGACGGCGCCGACGAGGTCGACCCTGACCTCAACTTGGTCAAGGGCGGCGGCGGCGCCTTGCTGAGGGAGAAGATGGTCGAGATCGTCGCGGACAAGTTTATTGTGATTGTCGACGAGTCGAAGCTGTGCGATGCGCTCGGCCCCGGCTTCCCGGTGCGATCTCGGCGTCCCGCGGTGCTGCGGTGCCTTTACGCCATCGACGCGACTCGTGTCCATCGATTTGAGGCCATTCGGACCGAGTCGAGCGACCGCGATGCTCCGCGCAGGTACCGGTCGAGATCACGCCCTTCTGCCACGAGCACACGATTCGCGTTGTTGGTGACTTGCCCGCACTCAAGGGCAAGTGCAAACCGGTCCTCAGGATGGGCTCGTCGTCGAACAACCAGAACGACGGCGACAACATCGCGGTCACGGACAATGGTAACTACATCGTCGACCTGGTCTTCGACAAACCGATTGAAGACGCGCCGGCGGCGGCGGCGCAGCTCAAAAACACGTGCGGCGTCGTCGACCACGGCTTCTTCATCGGCATGACGACGGCGGTGATCATCGCGGGCCAGGAGGGGATCTCCGTGAAGACGCCCTAGGTAGCGGAGTAAGGGTGTTTGCCGATTTACTCCTCGAGTGGGGGAGGGGTTGTGTCGACGTCGTCGACGACGACGCGGATGCCGCGGGTAGCCGTGGGACCGAACGTCAGCGAGACGCCCGGCGGCGTCCTGTAGCAGATGATCCACTCGCCGTCGTGCACCGTCCAGCACGAGAAGAGGACGATCGAGGCGACGTGGGTCACGTGGCACGTCTGCAGCGAGGGGATGCCGGCCATCAGCTGGTGGAGGGTTCGCGGCGTGAGCGCTCCCAAGGGCGCTGGCTCGCCGCCGACGTGGACGTCGCCGCACTGGTCGTCAATTATGAGTTTCTTGAGGGACGGGCAGAAGGGCAGCGCGGAGTCCCAATTGAACGAGGATCGCCATCCTACCTGAATTGAGAGGGTCTCGAGCTTCGGCAAGCGCTCAGGTAGCCAGCCTACTCTGCTCTCGGGAGCGACGTAGCCAAAGAATGCCAATGAGAGATGTTTGAGGGTCGGATGATTTTCAAAAGCATCGAGGGAGCCATTGGGATCGGCTACTAAAATAGAACTCCCTTGGGGCCCCGGCACACTCAAAGTTAATTTCAGCGAGAGTGTCGTCAGGGGCGCCGCTGCGATGGCGTGGCGGATGGCTGAGTTTACTCCACCGACACTGCGTCGTGTGCCACGAGCGCGCGCGGGAAGTCGCCTTCGATCCGTGCGGTCACTTCGTGTGTTGCTCGGAATGCGGCGAGCGCGTGTTGACGTGCCCGCTATGTCGTGGTACCATAGAAGGAAAGCTCCGGATCTATGTAGGGTAATACTTAGACGCCTACTACGCCCCCATAGCCGTTTTGCTAGTACCTTTAAGGGGCTAGCCCCTGCCAATAACTCGTGCAGAGGTTGGAGCCACAGCAAGGAAGGGATCACCAATCGATAGCGAGACAGAAATGGCTGCGCTCCGCAAGCTCGCCGCCGCCGCCACCACATCCGCGCTGCTCGCGGCACCAGCGCGCGCCGCCGAGGCGCCAGCAGACGAAGCGCAGGCCGCCGAACTGCGCGCCAAGTTGCTCGCGTTGGCAGCCGCCCAGCGCGAGCGCACGGACTGGGAAGCTAGGAGATTGCACCAGCTCATGCGCGCCGTCGACGAGGAGCACTCCCGCGAGCGGGCCGCCACGTTGGAAAAGGCCGCCGCGGAGGACGCCAAGGCCTTCGCCGAGGAGCGCGCGCGGACGGCGGAGCAACGCGACAAGAGCGACGAGGCGGCCGCGGTGCGCGAGCGCGCCGAGGCGCGCGCCGACGTGCGGCGGCTCCTCACGGAGTACGACGACGCGCTCGCGGCGGTCTGGCGCGGCAAGGTCCAGGGGGCCGAGAGCGAAGCCCACGGGAAAGCTCGAGAAACGTTATTAGCCGAGATCGAGGCCGCCGCGAACGAGCGGGACGACGCGCCGCGGCTCCAGACGGTCTTTGAGCGGCGTCCTCCGAAGCGCCCCTCCCCCCCCTCGCGCGCCTGCTCGACGGTGCCGATGGCAACGAGAGAGCGCCAAATCACCAGTCGTCTGCCGTTCGGACGCCGTCGACGCGACGACTGCTCGAGAGCGTCGAGGCAATGGCGTGCGGGTGGGATCTACCTCGCCTCGACGCCATCGGCGCGACGCCTGCTCGATGATCGCGTGCCGCGCAGGCCCAGGAACTCACGCAGGAACTCGAGGCATGCACGTCGAAAATCGCCACGAAGATGAACCGCGACGAGCGCTCCGCGGCCGCTCTGGCGACGGCGCGGGCCGGTCTGCGGTGCGCCGCCGCTCTGGAAGGCGACCAGCTCGACGCGGGGCCCTGCGCTTTATTGGAGGCGGCCGTCGTTAGAGCTGCGGCCTCCGGCGTCCGGGGCGCGCCGTCGCGAGAAAAGCTCGCGGGCCGCTTCAAGCACCGCGTCGAGGGGCCCGCGCGGGCGTGGTTATTGGTGCCGGACCACGCGGACGGCGTGCTCGGGCACGCCTTCGCGGCGGCGGCGGCGTGGCTGGGGGTCCGGGGCGGCGTCGGCGGCGCGGGCGACGACCGGCGCCAGGCGCGCGACGAGCTCGACGCCGGGGCGCGGTGCCTGGAGATCGGCGATTTGTCGGGGGCGGTCCGGCGCCTCCGGGCGGCGCGCTCCGTGCGGCCCGCCTCGATCGCGTCGCCGTTGGACGACTGGCTCGCGGACGCCGAGGCGCGGTTGAAAGCGGACCAGGCGGCGTCGGTCGTGCGGGCGGCCGTGGTACTGGCGCAGGGTCAGGCGGCGGCGGAGTTTGCTAAGTAGAGGTTGCTTATGCTAGTAGTAACTCCCATCCAACGACGTATCCAACGCGGCGTGCGGCTACAACAACCCACTCAATGCGTGTTGAGTCCCCCCCCCCCCTTTCGTAATGTACAAGTATGACATTCTTAAAAACGACCTCACAACAGGTCTAGCGACTACCGCGTCGTCCACCAAGGCTTCGGAGACGCTCCGATAAAGCCTGGTGCCGCTCCTTCAACGGCGATGAGTACGACGACGGCCTCGGCGACGACGACGGCGAGGGCGTCGCCCGCGGCGGTCGCTTCTTTTTGGGAGGCGGCCCGCGTCGTTTCTTTTTGGGAGGCGGCGGCGGCGCGTCCGAGTCCGCGTCCGAGCTCGAGTTCGAGCCCGAGCCCGAGCCCGAGCCCGAGTCCGAGTCCGAGTCCGAGTCCGACGACGACGCGTTCTCCTCCGCGTCCATCGCCATCTCCTCCTTCGCCTTGTCGAGCAGCGCGCGGACCTCCTTGACGTACTTCGCCTTCGCCGCGCCTTTGAGCGACGCGAGCGTCTCGGCGACCTCGGCCACGCGCTCGTCACACTCCTGCTCGGCGACGAGCGCGATGTCCTCGTCCGTCACGCCGACCGCGCGCGCCGCGACGTACGTAACTACGTCTCCACCACCTAACGAGTCGCCCTCGCGCTCCCAGCGCAGCTTCCGCGCCGCCCGGATCGCCGCGACCTTGAACGTATACTGCTGGTTCTCATTAGCTAAGCGATATTCGTCCCGGGCGAAGGCGGTCCAAACGTGGCTCTCGATGTTCGCGGTTTCAAGCACCACGTTCAGCGCGAGCACAATGGAAGCGCGCGACGCGAGGCCCTTCTTCAGCATAAAGCCGAAGCCATAATACTCCGTGAACGCGGCCGCCTGAGTCTCATCTAAATCATAACCCGCCTCCGCCGCCACCATCAAATGCAACTTCCGCGCGATGGCGAGGCGCGGGAACACGTCCTTCACGTGGGTGCCCGTCCGAGCCGCCTCCTTCAGCGAGTCGTCCCAGATCTCGTCCGTCTCCAAGCGGAGGGCCCTCGAGACGCTTGCGTCGTCGCCCAAGAAGTATTTTTGATGCGGGCGCCACGCCCCAGGAGCCGCGGCAATAAAATTCGCGACGCCCAGGGCGCGAAAATATAACGTGACCTTTACGTTCAGGCCGTCCAGCGTCTCCAGAGCCTCGATAGCCTTGCCGCGCCCCTGGTCCAGCGGCGCTTCAGCAAACGTCAGCGGCGCGGCCTCGGCCGCGTCCCAGGCCGGGAGCCCGCGTCGCCGCCGGACCGCGTTGTAGTCGCCGATAAATTTGCGCCGATCCTCCTCGTTCCGCGCTGCGCCCGGATTGGCCTTCACGCCCCTCTCATGGGCGACTTTGCGAGACGGGGCGCTCTTGAACGTCCGAGGCTCCGCAGTTGCCGAGAAGTGGTGCGCCTTGCCCTTGCGGTCTATTGTAGTCCGCTCGCCGGGCAGGTTCGCGACGATGTAGTCCGCCAGGTTATACTCCTTCCAGGGCTTCCCCTCCAACGCCTTCCGCGTGGCCTCCTGGATCCTAGTGGACATCTTGAGGTAGATCGAGTCCTCCTTGATGTTCGGGACGTTGCGGTAGGACAGCGCGGCGCCGATGGCCGCAATCGCGGCCTCTTCTCTGATGTCGGCGTCGTCCGGAGCTCCGCGGCAGCAGTAATGCTTTTTTGTGCCGCCTTTGCGGCCATCGACCTCGCACACAACCACAATACAGTCCGGCAGCGGTTCGTACTGCGTCGGCTTCACGGACTTTTGAGCCGCCTTCACCAGCTCCCCCTCGGAGTCGGGACCGGCTCGCTCGAGAAGCTTCCGCATGTACGCACCAGAAATCGTTCCATCCCCTCCCTTAAACCAGGGCTCGCCGGTCCCTTTGGTGTAGCGGACGCGCTCCCCAAACACGATCTTCTTGGCATCCAGCACGGGATTCCCGTCGACTACTTTCGTGGACACACATGGCCATATATCTACTTTTTCCTGTCCCACGTAGACAGAGCTCACAGTAAGTCTCCTTTGCTTAGTTGTCCAGCTCTTGGGCGGGTCTTTCCTCTTCGGCGCGACTAGTTTATATACGAAGGCGTTGGGGTCGAAGCCCCACGTCTCGCCGGGTTTGTCTTGGAGGGCCGCGAGAGCCGCTACGGTAATTTGTTCGCCGATCGTGTCTCCTTTCTGGAGGCGCAGCCTGACCTGCTGAGGCTGCTGGGCCATGGGGTGCGAGGCGACAGCGCGGTAACGCAAGAGTGATTCGAGGCAGCTGATAAGAGATACTTCGGTGGAGTTTTATGGGAGCAGGGGCTCGATATTGAGACCACTGGGGCCGCGCAAAAACACAAGCCAATGGAGCTAGCGTGTTGACACATACTAGCTTTCAGCGCACACGCACGCGTATAAGCGAGCTACGAATCTCTGTGCGACAACAGGCCACGCACGGAGCAGCAGCTGATGCCTCAATGTCTCAACTGCACCTGTGCGATCTGAGGCGCGCGAATCAGCGCCGGGCAAGGTGGCTGCTCTGCTGCTGCAGCATGCAGCAGCGGTGCACGCAAGGACCGCGCGGAGCGGCGGCTGTCCCAGAAGCATGACCGATGGCGCGCGCACCAGTAGCAACGACTCCGCGACTGACGTGTAGCCACCCCATGAATGCAAATGGCCGCCTGGCGCACCGCTGAGTGCGGCTGCTGCATGACAGCATCGTCGTGCGTGTGAGGCGCCAGCGAGGGCCGCAGCATCCAACGCTCCAGCTTCGTCGAGCGCGGGTGGCCGCGCCTCGTGAAAACGCGGCGAGAAGACGGACGCGGCGCGGCCACCAATAAGCCATAAGCCGCCGCGCGCGTCGTCACCGTCTCCGAGCCTGTTCCTTGGGGTACGAATGTGCGATCTCTGGCGCGAACACTCACCCGTGCAATCCCAAGCCCGCCGGAAGATTCGGGCTCCGCCTTCTCGCGGCCCCCCATGCTCGTCGAGGCGAGTAAGGAATGTTATGCGCCTAGAAGCGGCGGCCGTAGCTCCACTGCATCTCGTACGCCTTGTTGACGTAGGCCACGATGCCGTCCCACGCCGTGCCCGTGTAGAACTTCTTGAACTGCTGGAGGGTCTGGAAGGAGAACTGGTTGTTGAGGCTCTGGCGCTCAATTGGATGAGCAAAGAGCACTCCGCGCCCGTCGATTTTCGCAATCGCGTTCCACTCGATGAAGCGTGTCCGGGGCATCCTAGCACGCCTCAGACTGCTCCGTCGCCTACAGCGGGGTCTAACCTGCGGAATCAACACGCGGACGGGACGGACGGAGGACGAAGCCTCCCTTGTTTCCCCGGCGGGACCGTCGCCTATATGGCTCACGTTCTGCCCCCTGTTTTCCCCCGTGTATATAAGCAACGTACACTATTATTATCGTCCACCCGCGAGCACGCGCGCGCGGAGCGCCTTGACGTCCTCGCCCGCCCGCCGGACGGCCTCGAGCATCTCGTTGCCTTTAACTGGCGCGCCGCGCGACTCGAGCGCGAGCACCGCGGCGTCGTCGCGCGCCGCGTCCAGGACCACGTCCACGGCGCATCCGCCGCAGTCGACCGAAACCGCCAGGGGTATCGCTCGCATCGGCGCGCGCGCGTCTAACAACGCCAGCGACGCCGCGTTCAGCGCGCACCGCTGCGCCGCCGTCTGGTCGTCGGCGATCACGAGGCAGAAGACCGTCGTCACGCGCCGCGGGCACGCGGCGGCGTCGAGCGCGGCGCCCAGCGACGCATGTAACGCGTCCTCCACCGCCTTTTCGGCGGCGTTGCGGTCCTTGACCGACGACCGCGCGGCGAGTTGCGCCCGGATCTCGAGGCCGCCGCGACCGGGGTCCTGCGACGCCGCGCGGTCGGTTCGATGCGTGGGGCCGTCGACCGTCGCCACGACTTCGGTCGCGCCGTCGCGCCAGCGGCAGGAGCCCTGCGCGTCCTCCGTGCAGCCCTGCTCGAAGTCGACGCCGTCGCTCCTGTCCTCGCTGTCATCAAGCTCCATGGTGCAGCGATGGCGTGCCCGCAGCGATGCCCGTTTGCGCCGAGCTTTGTGCACTATCCCGTATGCAACCAGAATGCAGGTAATTAGCGCCTGCACCGACCTGTAATGGCTGCAATGGCTGCAATGGCTGCTGCAAAGGAGGTATAGACATACTAGATATCGTCCGCCGCTCTGAAATTGGTGCATAAACGGCTGTATATCCAGCTTGTCGCACGTGCAGAACATCGACGGACATTCTAGGAGGCGCCTACATAAAAAAAAGGCAGCCCTCATGGCGTGGCACAAAGCTGCAGCCAAGGCCACGATCCACTACGGCCCCCGCGTGTTCCTGACGATCGGGAGCATCTTGATGGGAGCGCGTATTCGAGTACGACCCATCCCGGACGCGCCCGCGATGACGGGCCACACGCTGGCGGTATGCGCGAGCGCTGTCTTTTTGGGACGCACCGCGGCGACGGTGGGCTCCGCGTTATACGCCGTCGCGGCGCTCGCGGGCCTGCCGGTCTACACGGGCTGGCGGCGAGGCGTGCACAAACCTACCATAGGCTACGTCGTGGGGTTTAGTGCGTGCGCGTGGCTCGTCGGCAGCGGTAAAAATAAACCGCTGGCCGTCTTCGTGCGGTGCTGCGTCGGCCAATTCGCGACCCTCTTGATCGGGTCCACGTGGCTCATATTTCCGGGCTACGCGGAGACGCTGCCCGCGGCCTGGACACTCGGCGTGCGGCCCTACCTGGGAGGAGCGCTCGTCAAATCCTTCCTCGTCGCGTCGGCGGTCGCGCTTTGTTCGTTGACGCCGTGGCTGACGTGGCGAGCGGGCAAATGGGGCCTCGGTATCCTCACGCCGCTCATATTTTGGCGCATAATCTGCTCGGCACCGGTGCAGCGGTTGATCGCGTGGATCGACGAGACGACGGTCGCGGACGTCTGGGCCTGGGAGCCTGGTGGTGGGGGTACTAAGAAAGATTAGTAAAAATGATTAGGGGTGGAATATCCTAAAGAAGGACACGACGACGACGCGACTCGTCACGGGACTCACCGCCGTCGCGCTGGTCGTTCGGTGCCGGATCGAGGGGAGCGTTATGCGTCATACGTCGCCGCCCCCTGCTGGACGTCGCCGCAGGCCTCGAGGTCCTTGACGTCGTCGACGCTGCCGCAGAAGTATGATGTTCGCGCGTGAATATCGCGAATGTCCATATCCAACACGTCGCCGACGCCGTCCGACGCGTAGCCGCCACACGCGTTGGCCACGAACGCGAGCGGCGCCGCCTCGTAGAGCGACCGGAGGTGCGGCCGCGGATTACCCGCCCACCCGCCGGTGATAAGAGTCCGGTGGACGTCCGCGACTAACGCGCAGACGTAGCGACTGGAGTACTTTGTGCCCGCAGCGGTCTTGCCGCGCTTGGCAGAGTATACCCAGGACTGCAGACCTGCTGGCCAATCCGGTTCGCGCGCATCGTTGAGACTGTAGTATGGTCCGCGTTTGGGCGTCTCTTGCATCGTCCCCGCGTCCCGAAACATTATGCCGTCGAGGTAGAAGCGTCGCGGCAAGCCGTCGTCTACTGTCGCCACGACGAACTCGCACGACGACGAATAAAGGCAGTAGCCGGCCGCGACCAGGTTTTGCCGCGGCTTTCCGAGGAGCGCGTCCCCCTTGAACACGCCGAAGATGGTGCCCGTTGGGAGAGAGACCGCAACGTTTGACGAGCCGTCCAGCGGGTCGAACGCGATGCTGTACGTGTCGCCCGAACCGGCGATGATCGAGTCTGCCTCTTCCGACGCCAGCGTCTTGGCGAGCGGTCGCAGCGCGTCGTTGAGAAGCGTGTCGGCGAAGACGTCCATCGGTGTCTGCTTTTCGCCCTGGACGTTCACGCCGCCACCGCCAGAAGTCTCGCGCACCAATGGGGAAGACACCCGCCGCGCGATCATGGCGCAGCAGTCTGTGAGGAAACGACTGCCGGTTGGACGTGGCGTCGATGGCGTAAAGCAGAGATCCAGAATATAATTGAAGGCATGTCTATAAGGACGCCGCGTCGCGCCGGCCGTCGTCGCGACGATGTCCACGAGTTCGGGCTCCCAGTGGTTGAGCGCCGCGCGCACCTGGGGCTGGAGCGCCGAGGCCACGGCGGCCAGCGCCAGGAGCCGCCCGCGCGTCGAGTAGCCCGCGAAAAGCACCGAGACCGCGTCGCGGAGTTTTCGCCCGACCTGCGCCATCGGGTTCTCCATGACGCTGTCGTCGCCGCCCTTCCAGCAGCTGTGGATGCCGTGGCCCTCGACCTCATGTAGAATATGCTCCCGGTTCTTCTCCGTGAGCCGCTCACCGGGGCGGTGCGAGTTCCACGGCGGGCAGGCCTCATGTAACAAAGCTGCGGGCTCATCCGGCGCGCAGACCTGTGTGGAAATCAACCAGTGCGTCGGGTGCGGTGAGGAACCGACATCGCCATGCCATCGAGCAGGCGTCGCGTCGATGGCGTGGAGGACGACGCGACGATTCAGCACGAACGCGCCGTAAAATTTTGATTTCCACACAGGCGCAGACGCGGACGTCGGGCGGCTGGCCGCACCGCATGTGGCCGGCCTTCACGAGATCGTGGCCGTTGATCCGATGCCCCCTCCTGCCGAGGGATTGGCCCGCGTGGCGCAGGGCCAGAATCTCCTGGCCCAGGCCCTTGGATTGGGGCGCGTGGACCGTGTCGAAGCCTTCACTTTTGACGCGCTCGAACCTTTTACGCATGGGCTCGCCGGGGCCGCGGAACTCGTTCTCCGTCTTGTAGAAGCTTTTATTTGAGGCCTGGGTATTTTTCGGGGCGTTCTTGTTGAGCACGAGGACATGACCCGTGTAGATCGAGAGGCCGCTGCCCGGCATGCGGTAGAAATACAAGTTCTCGCCCTCGGCGCCGACCTGCGTGGAAATCAAACTTCAGGCGCCCCACGCCTTCGTCGCGACGTTGTTCCCATGACCGCGTCTGCTCGATGGCGTGGAGATTCTACGCCATCGACGCGACGTTGTTCCCATGACCGCGTCTGCTCGATGGCGTGGAGGCGCACGGAGGTCTCCGCAATATTCCTCAGGATAACCTCACTCACTGGTTGATTTCCACGCAGGCGCCGACGGGGCAGTGCGTGACCTCGACCCACGCGTTCGACGGAAGCCCCCACGGCTCGAGCGGCGGGTCCCGCAGGTCGGGCGCGTTTCCTAGTAAAGTGGGGACCATCGCCGAATCCTTGTACTCGTAGGTGAACGGGAAGTAGAGCAGCCGCGGCGGGATGGGCCGGGGCACCATGCCCTTGTCGCCACATAAATGGATCGTCCTTAACGTAGCGTTGTCCATGAGCGACAGCCAGAGCAGGCGCAGCTGCGAGCAGCGCGGCAGCTTGTGCCGCGCACCGTAGAGCCGCTCGCTGTACGAGCCATTATTTAATTCCTCGTAGAGCGCGGGAAAGTCCGGCGGGAGGCCCGGCCGCTTGGCGCAGTCGTTTTGTCGTGAGACGTTCGTGCCATTTGTCGAGCGGTTGGTTTGCTGCGCTTTTGCGAGCAGCGCGAGCGCGAAACCGACGAGTCTCGGCATGACATGGTGGGCTGCCATTACAATGTTACCCGTGGTATGAGCAGCCGTAGAGTAGCCGTGGACAGTATACGCTGCGAAACGACTCCCGCGTCTGTACCAAACGACGATTAGCACGCGTATCAGTGCGACGTGAGCTTTGGGGCTTCGTGCGTAGCTTTCTAGTGCCTTACTGGACGCTAGCATTTCCGGCGTGCGCTTGCACGTTTAACGATTACGCCTACTACGCCTGCATTAGCGTAAGGTGTGATATCGCAAGCGTGCTGCAGCCACACAGCCACGCCATCGAGCAGACAAGACAATGGCAGACGCCGGCGAATCACCAGCCGCAAAACGCGCGAGGCACGAGGCCATCGGAGCACGAGCACTAGCGCAGTGCCGCGGTTATGGTAAGCTCATATTATTCGGAGAGCACTTCGTGGTCTACAAGGTGCCCGCATTGGTCGGCGCGGTCGCCGCGTACACGGACTGCGACTGCGAATTTCTGGAGGAACCGGGCCTCACAGTAATCGACGAGCGGCCGGCGGTGCCGCACTACAAGGTCAAAAAGGCCGACGAGGCGCAGGAGGCCATCCAGCTCACGCTGAAGCATCTGAACGTGGATACTACCAAGCGGGGAGTAAAACTTACGTTCGGCGGCGACCTCTGCGCCGTCTCGGGCATCGGCGCGTCGGCGGCGCAGGTCGTGGCCTTGGCTAGAGCAGTGGGCCGTGCTCTACCACTGAAAATGAGCGAGGACGAGATAAACGCGGCCGGCTACGAGGGCGAAAAGGGCTACCACGGCACGCCGTCGGGCATTGACAACACGGCGGCGACGTTCGGTGGGGTTTTACGGTTTTGTCGGACGGACGGCGCGCCGATCTTCGAGAAGAAGAAACTGAGGGAGCCCATTAGAATTGTTTATGCGTCGACGGGGATTACCGCCTCGACCACAACTGTTGTCGGTGATGTTAGAGCGAAGAAAGAAGCGGATGAAGCTTGGTTCGCGGGGTTGTTGACGAAGTACGAGGCTCTATTGAAAAGAGGGGAGAGTGCATTGGACGCGGGCGACGTCAACGCACTCGGGAAATGTCTCGACGAGAACCACGCGTTGTGTCAAGAGCTCACGGTGTCCTGTCCGGAATTAGACGCTTTGGTGGACGCGGCGCGGTCTGCCGGTGCTATTGGCGCGAAGATGAGCGGCACCGGGCGAGGGGGGTTGATGATCGCGCTGACGCCGTCGGCGGCGGTCCAGGACAAGGTGAAGGAGGCTTTGTCCAAGCTCGCGCCCCAGGTCTGGACGACGTTCCTCGCGTAATTTAGGATTTCTATTAGTCTCCAGCACGCCATGTCGCGTCGACGACTAAAAAGCGCAGCTAGCGGCCTGTAAGACACTAGCAAGCCAGTTTGCCCCCCGCGCCGCCATACACGGCAGTAGTGCTGCCCCCCGAGGAATCTGACACAGTTCCGATACATTCTCAGTGAGGACCAGCTCTGGACGACGCCTGCGTGACATCGTGACAAGTCGTGATCGAGGCAGGGCAGCCAGCAGCTGTACCAATGGCGGAGCATGGCCGAGCGCCGAGGGGCAGCCCCGGCTGGGCCCCGGCAGTCGGACGACGCATTGCAAAAAACGCGGCAGCAAACGCGGCCCTTCTCGCACCTATCACGGGCAAATCGGCACATACTCTCCTCTACGACGACACCATGGCTGCCAGCACCCTTCACGTCGCGGCGGCGGCTGCCAAGGATAAGACGAAGGGAAAAAAGGCCGCTGGCCGCCTGTTAATGTTTGCTTACGTCGCCGCGGAGGCGCTGGACGACGCCGAGGCGACGAGCGACGCACATGTGGTGGCGCGTGAGGCCGTCGACAAGCTGCGCATGGCGGTCACGAACGAGGACGGCGATGCGGCATGCGAACGTGCGAGGGAAGCGGCCGCCGCGGCCCTCACGGACGCGGGCCTCGGCGACGAGATGCGGCGGCGGCTGAAACGCGCCCGACCCGGAAAATTTGCGCTCGTGCACCAGGTCCTCGAATATTTATACGTAGGCGGCTGGGCGGCTCTCAACGACGACTGCCGCGTGCTCCGGGAGCAGAAGATTAGTCGAGTGTGTTCCGTCGTCACCGCAGACACGCCTCGCACGCTGCCTGCGTTCGTGACGCATCACTTGCACGTCGTCTGCCGCGACGACGAGAATGCGCCGCTCGCGAACGCGTTTCCACAGATCGCAGCTTTCCTCGACGAAGCTCGACGGGCGCGAGAAATCGCGTACGTCCACTGCGGGGCCGGCGTGTCGCGGGCATGCACGTCCGTCGCCGCCTATCTCATCTGGAGCGGCTCCTTGTCCGCCGGCGAGGCGCTCCGCATCGTCCAGAATCGGCGGCCGCAGTGCCGCCCGAACGCGGGCTTCAAGAAGCAGCTCGGGGCGTGGGCGGCGCGCTGCCGCGGCGGGGAGAAGCCTGCCATTTGTGCCGCGTCCTCTCAGGGTCGACGGCGCGGGACGGTGGTGACGGTCGTTCGATGTGATATGTCCGAGTAAATGAGGAGTTGTTAGAGGGGAGGGGCTTGTGAGACGTTAGTTCGTCTTCTTGGCTACGCCTTCGTTGAACGACGCCACCACGGCGGCCTTTTGCTCTTCCGTGAGGCCCTTGGTCGTCTCCTCGGCGAGAACGCGCGCGTCGCGGCGGAGTAGCTGAGCTTTCAAACCGAAGACGGGCACGAGGATGCCGCGGAAGATGGAGTCGGCGCCGTTGAACACCTGTGTGACATGTCTCGTCGACGGCGTGATATCTCTTAATTTCTGCGCGGGTGAGCGTGCCGGCAACATAAGGTAACAGACGAACGTGAGCATCGCCGAGTGGTAGCCCGGGATCCAGTACAATATGTCGTCCGAGGCGAGCATGACGAGGTACATACCTGTGGGGGGCAGGGACGTCGCGTCGATGGCTTGGGTGACGCATCGGTCGTCCTGGCGCCCTACTCAAACTCAGATTCGATTTCCGCGCAGGTGCGTACTGGCGAAGCATACCCAATACACGAGCCACTGCGTGTCGTCGTTGGCCATGTCCGTCGTGACCGCCACGATCGACGCCGCGATGGGATAGAGGCAGCCCGTGACGACGACGATGAAACGCTCCACGCTCGACGGTAGGATGATGAAGATGAAGTAGAGGAACATGACATGACTAGCGCTGACGCCGAAGCCTATGAACTTGGCGATGGAGCCGAGGATGGAGCCGTCGTTGAATTTTGAGACATAAGGCTCGAGTAACGGCACGGCGATCTTCTTGGTAACTTTATCGTACATCAGGGACGCCCCGTCCGTCATCGGGAGCTGGAGCCACATGAGGATCATAATCGCCGCATGGTAGAAGTTCTTACAACGGACTCTTCGATTCAGTATGATCTCCCGTTCCAGTTGCAAGTTACAGCGTTCAGCTTCGGATTTTCCACCTGCGCTGCAGAACACTTTTTCGATTGGACGTTCGAGGCCTTCGATGGTGGGGAATGGCGCCAGCTCTACTTCTGCGCGCACAGTCCGTGGCCTGGCGGGAATTATAGCGGGCGCACCCACCCCGTTATTTTTCGGCACTTGGGCGTCGCCGGCGCCTCGACCCGCTTCCGGATCCGGCTGATGCCTCCGCAAAGCCACCGGCCTTTTCGATGCATGCACATCCGCGGCCTCGAGCTCTTCGGCACAATTCTCCCGCCGTGGCGCCTCGACTAGTATATGCGGCACGCCGTCGCCGCCAGTTAATAAAACTTACCAACGCTTAGGACAAAACTACTCACTCAGAAGACAACACCTCCGCGGACAACACCTCCAGGCACCCGAACCGCACCGCGCACGCAATCCGCACTGTATCACCATCACTCACAGACAAGCCCGGCCGCAGGACGCACGCCGCGCAGCGCCAGTGCGACAGGGGCCCGCCCCCATCCAGGTCGGGCCGCGTCGAGAGCGACTCCGCGTCGTAGCCGAGGCGCCACCAATATAAGAGAGCGTCGGCGACGCCTGTCGTCGCGACGTCTAACGAACACGCCTCGGGCACCGCGGCCGGGTCCGCTCCTGTCACAAAATCGACGCGGCGTACCATACCCGTCGCCGTCAGGTACGTCAAATCAGAGAACGCGCGCGGGTCGACGTCCCTTGCGATAGGCGACGCGAAGGCGTTCAGCGGCTTGACGTCGAAACCCAGCGCCTCGTCGCAGAAGTAGGCCCGTCGCAATGATGGAGACGCGACGAGGCGGCCCACGCACGTCGCCGCGCGCGGCACGACGCGGACGGCCCGCGCGAGCGGCAGGTCAAAAGCAGCCGGCCGCAGGAGCCCGGAAGCCTCGACGGGCGCGTGGGAGACGACGACCTGACCCGGCGTTGGAGTCGACCCGGCGAACAGACCGCACTCGCAGACCGGGGCGTTCGTCTCGGCGACTGCCTTTTGCACGGCGCGCGCGTGCGCCGCGGCGTAGACGCCATCGTTCGCGCGCTCGACGTCGTCGGCGGACGGGGCGTCGTCGCTCACGGCGGCCGTCGCTTGGGAGGGCGCGTCGTTGATGCCGTAGGCCAGCCGCAGGACGTCGATGCCGCCGTCGGGCGCGACCGACGCTCTTAATCTCAAAACGTCGCCCGCCTTGACGACGGGCGCGGCGTCGACGTGGAAGAGGGCCTGGGTCCAGGACACCGCACGCGGTGTATTCCCGGCGTAGAGGGCCGGCGCCGTCGTGAGCCGCGCGTCCCCGTCTCGCAGCTCGAAGTACACGGCGAAGCCCTCGAGGCGCCCCCCTTGCATTACAACAGCCTCGGCCTCGCCGAGCACCGTCTCCCGTCTGCCCTGCAGGGCGACACTTACCAAGTCGAGCTCGCCGAGGTCCAACGTCGCCAGTTTCGTATGGGGCGTCGCGTCGAGGTCGCACACCGTATACGGCTCGCGCGCCCGCGCGGCTCCGGCCGCGTAGCGGCTCCGCAGCTCGGGCGACTGCACCGCGACGGCGTACAACGCGGCGCGTCGCGGTATAATTTTCGTTGTATCGTGCGCCAGCCGCTTTGAAACATCAGCCAGCGTCGCGAGGCAGCCCTCGCCAAACAAAGCGGCGTCGACGACCTCGGCGACGACGACGTCGTACCTGATATCCGTTCCGTAACGCGTCGACTCGGCGCAGTGCAGGGTGACGTCGCTCCTATTCAGGCGCAGCACCTCGCTGCAGACGCGCGCCATCGCCGGGCACCGCTCGACGGCGTCGACGCGCGCCGCGCCGGCCCGCGCCGCGGCCATCGCCAATAATCCGGTCCCGCTCCCGACGTCCAAGACGGTCGTTGCCCCGGCGGCGACCGCCCGCGCCACCGCACCGGCGAAGAACTCGTTCCGCGCCGTGTCCGCGAGCATGCGTCAGTGCCAGTTTTCTATGAGCGCGGCGCCGCACCGTCGCGCCGCCTCGGCCGCGACGGCGTCGTCGAGGGTCGCCGCTTTCACGAACGCCGCCCGCGCCTCCACGAGCTTGCCGCGCGCGTGCGCGGCGACGCCGAGGCGCGTCAGGAGCAGGGCGTTGGCGGGGCAGGCGTTGATGCAGGTCAGGTAGGCGCCCACGACGGCGCGCCACGCCTCCTCACTGCCTTTGTTTTGCGACCGGTGCGTGGCGAGCGCGTCCGCCGCCTCCGCGAACTCCTCCGCGAATGCCGTTGCTAGTTGCGGTGCGAGTCGAAAGGCTTGGGTGAAGTGGGCCGCGGCTTTGTGGCACTGCTGCTCGTCGTTGAGGAGGTTGGAGGCTGTGATGATGGCTTGTGCTGCGGCTGGCGGCACTGTGTCTTCCATGTTGCTGCACTTGCGCTTGCGCTGTGCAGCGGCACTTGTTCAACAATTTGATGTCTTTGACCTGTTTCTGCAATCGATGCGGCAAAACGCGGCTTGGCCGCAGCCGCAGCTAGCGCTTGTAAGGCACTAGCAAGCCCAGCATTTTGCAAGCAGAAGAAAACAAAGCTGCCAAAGCTTGTGAGGTGCTTGGGCATCGTTATTCGTGGTATCACTGCAGCCGCAGCGACAGCAATCCATCGGTAGCCAGCTTTTACAGCACATTCATTGATTTGGGTGATTTGGGTGCAGCCCTGCTCACGCCAGACGCGACAGTAAAAAAACGCGCGCAGCGATGGCACAAATGGCCACACCAGAAACAACAACCAGCCCGTCGGCGCAACGCAAAGCCCTCGACGCCGCCGACGAGGTCGTCCTCGAATACGTCGCCTTTCGCGGTTTCAACGAGGTCTTTCGCGCGCTCAACGCCGCGAGAGCGGACGACGCCACGAGACGGGGCGCCTACGACGCAACCTTCGCCACCGACGCTTTATTGAAACCTATCCAGACGCTGGACCACGCGGCTTTGCTCGATGCGTGGGATTTTCTCTCGAGTCGCTTCTTCCGGCGCCTGGACGCGGAGATGACGGCACACGCGCAAGCGTTGGAACGGGGTGTGTATAGGGCCTACTGCGTGGCCGCGGTGAAAAGAGGCGAGCGCCAGAAGGCGACGCAACTCCTGACGGAGCTCGCCCGCCGCGACGCCGCCGACGCGACCAGCAAACCGCCATCAGCACCAAAGCAGGACGCCGAGGTCGTCTGGGCTTTATATGATGACGACGACCGACCAACCAAGCCGCCGCCCGTCGACGCGCGCAACGGCGCGCGCTGGCGCGAGTGGTTCGCCATGCCGCACGTGCCGCGGCCCGACCGCGACCCGCTCTTCGCGCCCTACTTCAAGCGGGAGTGGCACGACGCCCTGGTGCTGTCCCTGCGGAACTTCCTCGCGACGGTGTTTGCATCGGCGCCGCCGCCCAAGTTACTCCTGTTGCAGACGTGGCACTCGTCGCAAGCGCAGCAGAAATTAAGGGAGGAACTGCAGAGCGCGCGGTCGGAGCGCGAGGCCCTCGTGGAGGACTTGGTGCGGACGCGCGCCACGCGCGACACACTCGCCGGCACGGTGCGCGATTTGCTCGTCGCGCACCACCACGGCCACCGCGCGTCGCCGGCCAAGCCGCGCGGCGGCCTCTTCGACGACGAGCCGTCCGACGCGGACGACGCTCGAAAAGCTGGCGCCGACGCCGTCGAGGCGGCGCGCCGCGGCGGCGACAACGCTGCGCTCGACGCCTTGTGTGCGAAGGCGGGGCGGTACTTGGACCTCGTGCGGGGCGGCGGGTAAATTGTTGACAATATTTGGAGACTACGGCGCCTAGCGCGTCGTGTGTTTCATATGTAGTTGTGTCATAAAACAACAGAACATTAGGCCTCCAAAAGATGCGCCTCGAAGACCACCGGCGCCATCTCGCCGGCCTCAGCGGCGCTGGACAAACCTAAGGATCGCAGCGTTTCAGTTCCATTGATCCCCACGTCCGTGTCCGGCAGGCGAAAGCTCAACTTAACTCGGCGCCCTTGATACACTCGCGCGACCACTTCGGAGAGGTCGTCATTCATCAATCTAAGGTAGCGTTTAAAGAGGATCCGGAGACACATTTTTGCATCTACAATAAAGTGAATAATCCTCGATGTTGTGGCGGGAAGACCAGAGAACATGTCAACCACTTCGATGATTATCTTGCGACCCCGGGAGCCCAGTAGAGTCTTGAGAATTACACCTTGGACATCAGTAGGCAAGCGCCGATGGCGTGCAATGAGATGCACAGCCAGGCACCCGCGGTAGCGTGTCTCCTTGTAGGTGTTAAAGCCTCCCGACTCGTGCACGCGTCTTAAATACTGAATCGTAATGGGACAATTCTCGACGCGGCTCCGGGGCACGATCGGAGAAGCTCCAAACCACTCAGGAATCACATTCATTGGATGTTCTACGCCCGGTATCTCCCGAAGCTCTGCCCCGCTGCGAAGTAGCATCAAAACCACGTCAAACCTCCCGCGGTATGCCGCCACATGCAGGCCGGATGCCCTCGGGTGTCCCGCATTCGGATTGGCGCCCAGGGAGAGCAGTTCAGAAGCGACGTCGAGTCTATTTTGGCTCACAGCCCAGTTCACCGCTGCCCACCCTAAATCGACCGAGTCGATGTCCGCGCCCGCGCGGATGGCCGCACGGATTCCGAGGAGGTATCCCGTGTCGACGGCGGTCCACAACCGTCTGTTAGCTCCATGAGCTACAACATTATCAGGACCTCTCGCGTCTCCCGTGACCTGAGTGTATAGGCTGTGCCTTCCCATCCAGGTAGGGCTGAATTGGCCACCCACAGCATCAGCATCAAGTCGCGCCATGCAACAGACCGATGCAACAGTGCCTTGAGCACTGGCTGCAGCCTTATGGTAGCAGCTGGACGGCTGCGCGCGCAGACGTGCGCCGCAGAGCCGACCCAAAAAACGAGCTAGCGTCCTGTAAGACACTAGCTTTTTTGCCGATTATCTCTCTAGCACCGTAACAATACTCGCGCGATTATCTCTCTCTAAGCGAAAATTACTAAATAACCTAGGCCACGCCCGCGTCATTCATAAACGTCAGACAACCCGCATAGGCGCCGAGCATGTGGAAGTCCGGGTCCACACACAACGACAACTTGGTCTTCTCCGTAAAGTACGGCACGTGCTCCCGGTTCATGCGCCTGAACCAGGACCCGTGCTCGTGGTCGACCCACTTGTCCCAGCTGTAGCGCCACAATTTATCATATATCTGCCAATACTTGTCCTCGCCAGTAGTGGAAGCGAGCATCGCGGCCGTCCCGATCGATTCGCACTGGACCCAGAAGATCTTGTCGCCGTTGCAGACGGCCCCATCCAAATCAATCGAGTAGCACAGCCCGCCAAACTCGTCGTCCCAGGCCTTGTCAGTAGCGACGTCGAAGAGGAAGCGCGCTTTCGGTAAGAGCCACCACCGCGCCTGGCCCGCCGCTTTACAATGCCGATCAATCGTCAACAAAAAGCGCGCCCATTCCACCTGATGGCCAGGCCTGTGTGGAAATCAACCAGTGAGTTAGGTTACGGGGACAACGCGTCGATGGCGTGGAACCTCCACGCCATCGAGCAGATGCAGTTGCGGGGACAACGTCGCGTCGATGGCGTGGAACCTCCACGCCATCGAGCAGATGCAGTTGCGGGGACGATGTCGCGTCGATGGCGTGGGGCGTCCGAAATTTGATTTCCACACAGGGTCCGGCTGGAAGCCCCAGGGCCGGAAGATCTTGAGAGCCTCGTTGTCGTTGTCGAACTCGAGATTCGCGGTCCAAGTTTCGTCGAAGTGCTCCCAGACGAGACCCTGCGTCTGGCCCGCCGCCTTATTGCAGATCCGGTCCGCGACGAGCAGCGCTCTATCGAGGAACTTTTGATCACTCGTAGCTTCGTAGCACGCGATGAGCGCCTCGGTCATGTGCAGGTTGCCACTTTCACTTCGATATTTATCAATCTTCCAATCTGATGAGGCCTCCTCGGCATACAAACCGTCCCTTTCCACGAATAATCTAGTTTCAAGCGTCTCCCACGTCTCATTTAGGTAAGGCGCCGCGGCCTTGCACCCCGCCCTGAGTGCTGCCGCGTAGGCCAGCAGACACTGCGCGAGGCCGTAGGTGAATATTTTAGACGACGTCGGTTTTCCATCTTTCAGTGCCCAGTGGTAGGCGCCATTTGCTTTGTTCCGCAGGGGTCCCGTCGCCAACCACGACACCCCGTGCTCGACGGCTTTGAGATATTTGGGGTCTTTCAGGTGCTCCGCCGCGACAGATAGAGAGAAGATAAATCTAGCTTGAGTGACCAACACTTTAGTGTCCGCGTCGAAGATCGAACCGTCCGCCGCAAAGAAGTGGAAGTAGCCACCACTCTCATCAATAGCTCGTTCGGGAGAGAAGAACTTCATGCTGTGCCGCATCTGGTCGAGGACGAAGGCCTGGGATCTTAATTTCTTCGTTGGCGGGCACGGCGGCTTCGCTTTGGCGTCTTTCTTTGTTATTAATAGGCCGTGCTTTTCGTCTTTTTGGTGCGCTTCAGCCGCTTCGGTGCGCTCTTGGGCGCGTTGGTGGTCCAGTAGAGTCATGAGTGCAGCTGCAAGTGCTGTGCTCTGAAGTGCAGGTGTAATGAGCTTCCGATCGCGCAATCAAAACGCAGCGGCGACGGATGGATGCGCGTCAAGTAGTGCTTTCCTCTTTTTTTAGCTCTGAGATAGTGTGTTACACGCTGCCTGCAGGCTAGATTAATCGCACAATTGCAGCAGCGTAGCTCGCGCATCGGTGGTTCTGACACATCAATCGCCTGTGCATTGCACCGCTGTACAACGCAGCCAGCGTCTGCAGCTGTAGCTCGGCTTAGAAATGGAGAGGAAGCGAAGTGCAGCAGCCGAGGCCCGGCGTGCAGCGAAACGCGCGGCCCTCGCACCGGCACCGGCACCGGCACCGGTACCAGCAGCACCACAAATGACGCGCCAAGAACAGTTCGCTAGGCAAAGGGCCGAGAAACGCTCACCCGCGGCGATGGCACGGCGGGCTGCGCGACGGGCGGGCGCAGTGGCGGCGCCGGTGCCAGCGCCGGCTCCCATACCTGCACCAGCTCCCGTACCTGCACCAGCTCCCGTACCTGCACCAGCTCCCGCGCCGTCGTCGGCGCGCGCCCCTAGATCGGCTGCGGCCGAAGCGCGCCGCGCGGCCAAGCGAGCGGCGGCGCCCGTCGGTGAGGCGCCTCCGAAGCGGGCCAAGAAGACGACGGCCTGGGGCGCGCAAGCCGACGAGACGACGATCCGGCGCAACGCGGAGCTGCGTGCACGCTTCAAGGAGGACCCGTCCTTGCTCTCGGCCGACGACCGTGCGCGCGCCGAGCAATTAATTGCTCGTGACGCGCGCAAGGCCGCGAAGAAAGCTGCCCGTGGAGGAGAATCGAAGCGGGCGGCGGCATTCAAGAAGCGCATCGCGTCGGACGCGTCGGCGGGGCGCGGGCGGGGTGGGCGCGGTCGCGGCGGCGGCGGGCGAGGGCGTGGCCGGGGGAGGTAAAACCTACAGACGAGTCTCCTACTTCGACGAGACGACACCTCCCTTGAAAGGTGCGGGGTCCGCCTCGCGCCGCGGCCTCTCAAAACACACCAAAATACGACGACGACGCTGGGGCACGAAACGTAGCGCTGCACCGCTCACCACCGGCACCAACAGCACCGTTTGAGGCTGCCCCATGGCCTCCCAGATGCTGAAACTGGAGCCGCAGTCCGCCATCCTCGAGGAGGCGCTCGGCGCGCGCTTAATTGACGGGAAGCGCGAGCCCTGCGAGGTGAGCTGCGCGGACTTCGACGATGCGTTGTTTAAGCTCGTCGTGCTGCCGGGGCAGGAATCGGTATTGACTTTACACGCAAAATTGCCGTGCTACGACACGTTACTGGAGCACGGCGGCGCGCGGTGTTTGGAAACGACCTTTGCTGGACTAGTAACGCAACCGGAGAATGGCTATGACGTGGCGTTGTCGGTCAATGCGGACGAGTGCGCGGCGCCGACGGAAACGCTGCGGAAACTCGCGAGGATAAAGAGGCATTTAGTGGGAGCGCCCTTCGAGGCCGCCTTCGAGGCGTTAGTGAATGGCACGGCTCGTGATTTACCAGTGGCTCGATTACCGTGGCGGCGGGGCGAGTCCGCGTACATCGTCGCCGGCAACGACCCGGCGTCTCGCGACTCCTGGGACCGCGTCACGGTCATCTTCGCCGTCGATTTTCGCGAGGAGACGGACAAGGCCTACGCGCGCGTCTTCCTCCAGCAGTTCCAGGAGCGAGCGCGGGCGTTGGGCGGCGCGCCGCCTTGCGTGTTCTCCGAAGGTTCTAGGCCGCCGCGCGAGATCCAATCGGTAGGTGCCGAATCCCCAACGATAGCGGGCTACGTGTCCTTTGTGATTTTCAGAAGCCACGTCGCGACGCCGCAAAAGCTCGAGAAGACGTGCGATTTACTGGTGGGTTTCCGGAACTACGTCCACTTCCACATCAAGGCGGCGAAGACGAACATGCACATGCGCATGCGGCGGAAGGTGGCGTCGTGGATCCAGGTCGTGAACCGCGCGGTCCTGACTTCCGATAAGCCGCGCGAGATGAAGACGGCTGGCGGGAAAACTTTTACGCGCAAGTAATGCTGCACATTGACTACTAGTTAAGGGGGTACCGACGGCGTCGCAGGGCGTGTCGCGTCGATGGCGTCACGGCGGTCGGACGCGACTCCAGAACCGCGTCTCGCCGCGTCACGCGCCGCCGCCGCCTCGACGCCATCGCCGCGCGCCGCTGCGCCACGGCGTCACAACGCCAGCGACGCGTGTCTCTAGAACCCGCGCCGCGCCGCCCTTCTCTGCGCGGCCCGCATCGCTCTATTAGCTCGCGACTCGCGCGGCGGCCGCGACTGCGGGTCGCGCGACATCATCTGCGTCGCGTCCTCCAGGGTCTCCGGCATCGGCAATCCTGCCGTCTGCCTCCTCAAAAACCAGCGGTGCAGCAGCACGGTCTGGTCGTACCTCGTTAATATATCAGCACAATAACTCCGCGACTGCTCCGACGCGCGCGCGACGCGCGTCAGGCGCAGACCTTCCACTCTATTACTTCCATCGAGCTCGTCGCCTTGTAAGGCATCTAACACCTTCATGGAGTCCTTCATCTCGGCGACCTGGGCGGAGCCGCGCACGCCGGGCAGCATGGTCTTCCAGGACTCCTTGTCCATGCCCTCCTTGAGGTGCGCCTTGAAGTGGCCGAGCGTCCAGCGCGGCGCGGCAGCGAAGGCCGTCGTGAGCTTGGCGAAGGCCTTCTTGGCGGCGGCCATCCTTGCGGTCGCGGCGACCTTTGCGCGATCAGTTGCCGTGCGGGAGGACGGCGCCGGCGCGTTCACGGCAGTCGCTTACGAGCGCTGGCAGCAGTCTCTCTAGGCACAACCAAACGGCTCCAGCGATGGCGTGGCGCTTTGCTGGCGGCCGGAGGGCTGTGATGAGCCGCGCACTACGTCGCGCGGAGAGTTATGTTGCGATAATCAGTGTGCGAGAGGCAACCCGACCGCTTGGCTCAGCTAAAAAACCCTAAAACAATTCACTTCTTAAACGGGTTTTCCAGCGCAATGGCCCCGGCCCTGCGCGGCGCGCCGGGCACCTCCGAGAAAACCGAGATAGGGGCGATCGCTCCGCCCCACGCCCGGCCCCCGGTCCAAAGGAGACGGCCCGAGGCGCCGGCGCGGCGAAGAAATCGACGGACTTGGGAAAACGACAAATCTGCGCGTTACTGTGGAGGGAAACTCGTCGCGCGGCGCTAAAAAGGTGCGCGAGAGTCGCGCCGGGAGATATGATGGCGCTGCGACGGGTCGGAGAGACAAATGGGCTGGCGGACTGGGCGCGGCGGGCGTCGCCGCGATTCGGGGGACAGGCGCCTCACGGATGCGGTGCCAGCCTTGAGCGTGATTCGGGCCGTAGAGACGTTAAGGGGTGTCCAAAGGACGCCGCGGTGCCGCGCTGCTAGCCGCCGAGGCTATTTCGAGGTGATAAAGCCGCGACGAGGAGATTTTCGAGGTCGGTGCCCGTACGATCTCGAAATCTCGTCGCAGCTAGTAGCGCGATTTGTGGAAACGGCGTCGACACGCGTCTAAACGACTGATCGAGTATGAACGAGATCTGCTGTCGGCCGCGCTTTAAATTTGGACTTGTGTATCGCCGGCGATTCACCCAGTCTACGAAATGACTAGGTTTGCCCTTCTCCGGCCGTCGGAGCGGCACGGCCGGCTCCCGCGTTGTGTTTCGAGACGCCTCGGGCTCTACTACGAATTGCGTGCCTCCAAAAAAAGGGCTAAGTGGCTTTCGTGCACGGGCCGGGGACGCCGCGCCGGGCCCCCACGCCTGGGCCTCCTGATCGCTTTTGGGGGCTAATAACCTTCGCGTAGTACACTAGGGGTACGTTGGATGTCTCCTTGACATCTTTGCAGCGCATTCGCCACAAAGGCATTTTTAGCTATTAATTAAAATTCATATTATAGTTGGCAAATTACCCGGTAACGAGATCTCAGGGTCGGTAATTACCGGTAATTACCGGTAAATTACCCTGGTAACGGAAATTACCGGTAATCTGGGAGGTCCAAGGTGAGCCGGGCCGGGGCAGCCTCCCAGAACCCAGATTAGCATTTCCAATGGGACTGACGCGTAAAAAGCTCACTTGGGACCGTGGGACGATGCCCCTGGGGCATGGGCTTGGCCATATCCTGCCCATAGTCCAAAACGCGTCTGCCGCGTCCACCCTTTACTCACGCGTTTTACCTTTCCACCCCAGGGGTCATTACCCGGTAGCCAAAAATCGACTCCGGTAATTACCGGTAATTACCGGTAATTTCCACTACCGGCAATTACCCTGGTAATTTGATTGCCTACTATAATTCATATGTCGGCACAAGTAGGCGCGCGAACGACACTAAGCCCTCAGCCTAAGGCTCTCGCGGCATCAGACGTCCGCACCCGTCCCACGGCCGAGTCCGACGGCGCGCTCGCCGTCAATTGTCGTCTACGCGCCCGGCGCGCCCCGTCGGGCGGTCTCGGACTCTCGGGGCGTCCCGCGCGGCTTGACCGCGGAGCCGGAAGTCGTTTCAAGAACACGCCGCCCACGAACGCGCCGCGGAGGGACCACTCCTTCTGCCGTTTCAACCAGGCGCCGCCCCCGCAGCGCCAAGGGCGTTTTTGGGCACGTCGCCGAAAACGCCGTCCCGCGCTCGATTTTTTTTCTCCGTTACTGTGGAGGCGATTTCGCTCAAAACTTCAGGGACGCTCGTTCAGGTCGTGATCTTGCCACAATAAATCACAGGGCTGGGTCGACTCACCATAAAGCCAACCGGAATCATCCATAATACGGAAAATAAGTTTTTCGCCCTTAGACTACCTAATAATACCCCTCAAGGCCCACGAAAGCGCGCGGCTGTGCTGATGGGTGCGCGAACCCCACCGCGGTGCCGCCGCGCCGCTCGACGACGGTCGCGCGGTCGCGGTCGACATGCTGTTCGTGCGCGCCGCGTGTCCAGGGCAGCCTTCGGAAGTAGCCCGTTCGCGCCCGCCGTCCGGGACGCGGTTCGGGCAGCGATTAGGGCGCGCGTAGCGCCTCCTTACACTGGTCTTGCTGGTTGGCGGCCTCTGTGGCGCAACGCGCGCGAATTTTTCGGCGCGCGTGGGCGCCGGCGCGCGTGGACGTCTTATCAAGTGCTGCTGTGTGCTGTGCGTACCGATTGGGCCGCGCGCGGCCGCAAAAAGTGGGCTGCTCTGAGCTCGTGCGGGTCACGAGGTTTGCTAGCGGGTCTTTTCACTAGAGGGACTTTACTCCAATGGATCGGGCGGGACCCGCCCGTCTCAAAACCGTCGAGTCCCCCCTTCAGAAGTACCCGGAAGCCTGCGTATGGCAACCTACTAGTAACCTACTAGTACTTTTTAAATTCTTTGTTGGGTATTCGTTTTTGGTGAGTCGACCCGGCTCCCCGTAGGCCCCAGCGGCGACGGAGGAAGAGTTTGCGCTCAGGCATCGTACCGAGACAAGGCCGAGTTCTCGGCATCCCGCGCGTCGTTTTGCACGCGCCCGCCGCCCCTCGGCCGGCCCAAGGGTGGCGTAGGACAGACCGATCGCCACAGACAAGCGTCGCGCCCTACGTCTGGCGCACGCCGCCTTTTTTGGCAAATGGCCGAAATGCGGTCAAACCGGGTTTATTTTGTGAGCCCAGCGGTCGGGTTGCGAGAGGTGTGGCTGGTTTGCTAGTGTCTTACATGACGCTAGCTATGCTCTGAACGCCGTGTGCTGGTGTTTGGCCATTTTTGACGACTCACGGATCGGTTTCGAGACATGCGATCGAGACTGGGCATCCTCGTTACTGCTGCGACGGCTTGCAGGGCGCTCTCACTCGTTGCGCACAGGAGCTCAGCATGCAGTGCCGTCAGCTGCTCGACGACGCGGCCGCGGCCAGGGCTCGCGCACCGATGCGCGATCGCATCGCTGGCGCTGACGCTGTCGGCGCTGTCGCCGCGACCAGCAATGGCGGACGGTGCAGTTCTCTTCGAGGCGAAGTGCGCCGCCTGCCATGCCGGTGGCGGTAACGTTGTGGCCCGCGGCAAGACGCTCGATCGGGCGGCACTGACGGCCAACAACGTTGATATCGCTACGATCGTGACGATGGGCAAAAATCAGATGCCCGGCTTCGGGGAAGCGTGCGCCCCCAAACCGGCCTGCACCTTTGGCGCACGCCTCTCCGACGCGGACATCGCTGAAGTGTCGAAGTGGGTCGACGCGCGCGCCGACGACGGGAAGTGGTCCCAATAACCTTGTTTTGTTGTATTATTCTATCGCCGGCTCGATGCGGCGAGGATCGCTCGCGCAGCCTCGCGTGCGCGTTCCTCGAGCGAGGCAGCCGTCACCCGGTCGCCTGCTGCCTTGAGAGCACCGCGCAGGACGTCGATTTCGGCGTCGAGGTTCGACACCTCGTCGCGGAGCGCCGCCGCGACGCCGTCGTCCGAGTCCGGCGTGTCCGGGGTCCGCGGCCGCGGCGGGGGCGGCCGGGGCGGCGCCACCGCGCGCGGCACCTCCTGCGTTGGCGCCGCCGGCGGAGCCGCGGCCTCGCGCGCCTCGGCCTCGGCGGCTCGAAGCTCCGCGGCCGCCGCGCGTCGCTCCGCTGCGACGGCCCGCGCCTCGGCGGCCTGTGCTCTGGCTTGCAAGTCAACCGCGCGCGCGTCGGCGCGGCGCAGCGCCCGTCGGTAGTTCTTGATCAGGTCTTTGACGCCCGCGTCGACAGCCGGAGCCGCCGGCGCGCGCACGGGCGACGCGGCGGCGCGGCGTTGGGGCCGCCGCGGCGACCGCCCGAGGCTCGTCGACGCCGCGCCGCGGCCGAGCGACTTGCGGCCGAGGCAGCCCGCGAGCCGGTGGCGCAGGCGCTCGTTCTCGTCGGTGAGCCGTCGCGCGTGGGTGCGCAGCTCCAGGAATTCCGAGCGTGCTCTGTACGTGTCGATGTGGTCCGGGATGGACTGGCTCACGTCGCGCCTTGCCTTGCCCCAGCGGCTCATGTTGTGCTGTTAATCGACCGCCGCGAGCTGCGCCTCGGCTTCACGCTGCAGAATCCGAGTAGAGGTATTCGTTAAACAACGCTCCTGCGTCAGAGGCTAATTAGGTGCCGAGCTTACGCTCAGCTCGAGGCGAAACGGGCAAAAAATAATAACTAGCGGTCTATAAAGACACTAGCAACAGCCTGGCAAGCCGGCAAGCCGGCTACTAGTAAGCACGCGTAGTGCACTGCAGCGCTCACTTGGACGTGTTCTGTTGCTTCGTTGTCCACGCCGCCGCTGCTTGGACCGTAAGCGCAGAGGGCACGGCTGCCCACCGGGCTGCCCATCAAAAGCCTCATGGCAATGGACATGAAGGCCTGCGAAGCCGTCGCGGTCGTGGCCGAAGCGGTGCCGATCACGGCCGAATTAATACAAGACGCCGACGCCAAGTTATACGACGACGCGCCCGTGGCGGCGGTGTGGTGCGACCCCGCGCCCGCCGACGCGAAGCACTGCATCGAACTGGAGGCGAAGGAGCTAGACGTGCGGGCGGATCCCGATGGCGTCCGACGGAGAGTGGTTGTATTAAGGGACGCGCTCGTCCGCGGCGCGCCGCTAGACCTGCGCGACGACGCGGCGTCGGGGGGTCTCGAGGACGCGGCGGCCCTGAGTCTGAGGGACGCGGACCTCGGGAGGACGCTGCTGCACCACGCCGCGGATCTCGGTCGCGCGGACGCCGTGCGCGAATTGCTAGAGTACGCAGGTTCGCGTTCGCGAGAGTACTGCGCGATGCGCGACGAGCGAGGAAGTACCGCGCTCGACCTGGCGCGCGACGGCGCCTGCGCGGCGCTGCTGCGCCCGCACGACGACGGCGCGGAGGCCAAGTAGTCGTCCCTGTATACGTCCGCCTCGACGCCATCGACGTGCACTCCCCTCTGTGTGTCTCCCCACGTCCTAGACCCACGTCCTCGTCCACTTTCACGCCAGCGACGCGGCGCTTCTCTCTTAAACTGTGATAAACTATTGATATACGTATAAAATTTAGCTGATCGACGCGCCGTCCGCGACCGACGCCGTGCACGGCGCCCCGTTTATATCGAACGGCTTGTCCTTGTAGTAGCAGGTCCCGTTGCGGACGACGAAGTGCGGCTGTGCCTTCGCGAAGAGCTTCTTCTTGTCGACCTGGGCCTCGCTCGCCGGCGGGTTCGCAAGGCCGGGCAACGCGACGGCGTCGCCCGGCTTCGCGCCCTTGGGCGGGTCGACGAAGGACAGCGAGCCGGCCGTCGACGCGCAGAGCACCATGCCGTGCGAGGGGAAGCCGCCGAGCTTCTTCGCCTTGAGGTTCGCCGCGACGAGGACCATCCGATCCTTCAGATCCTCGACTTTATAGTGCTTCTGCAGGCCCGACGCGACTTCCCGTACGCCCCCGAACGCCTCGCCGCAGTCGATCTTCTCGCAAAATAACTTGTCGGAGTCGGGGTGCGGCCAGACGTCTACAATCTTGCCGACCACGAGCGCCAAACGAGAAGCGGCCGTGTCGTCGGCGTCGCCGTAGTCCTCGAAGGCCGCAGCTGCTGTCTTGGCTGGTTTCGCCTTCGGCGCCTTGGCCTTCGCCGGCTTCCCGGCCGGTTTTGATGCAGTGTCCCACTCGCGCTCGTCGCGCGCCGTCGAGCAGTCCAGGACCCAGGGCTTGAAACACGCGAGGAACGCGTCGACCGGCACGCCTAATTTAAAGGCCTCGTGCCCGCCGCCCATCCAGATGAACCCCATCTTCGACGCCGCGTCGGAAAGCACGACAGGAACTCTAGATTCGGCAAAGCCGAACGGCGTCACGGCGTTGTGCTTGAAGCCTGACAACCTGTCGTTGTCCGCCTCGTCGGCGACCCGAAAATTGAACGCCTTCGCCGGCAGCTTCGTGCGCTCCACGAGCGCGCTTCGCAACCTCCCGGCATCAAAGGTCGCCGCGTACTGGACCACGACCAAGTAAAATCTCGCGTTGCTCGGGTCGAACTCGTCCGTCCCGCGCCATTGTTTGTTCTCGAGCAGCATCGACTTGCACATCTGGCGAACGTCGCAGTTCAAAAGTTTACTACGGTCGCGCATGGACCTCCCATAGTAGTCGTCGGGGACCCACCGCGTCGCGACGCAGTCGGTGGCCGCTCTAGCGGCTCGTAATGCCGTGCGCGCGCCGCCGGCCCTTCGGTCCTCCAATCTTTTGACGCGTTTCTCGAGCGCTGCGAGGCGCTTCGCGTCGGCCCCGTTTGTTGTGGTTTTTGTGGCACCGCTGCTGCCCTTCGCAGCACCGCTGTCGCCCGCGAGCGCTTGCAGCAGCCAGCCGTGCGGCTCATGCTTTAGCTGGCTGCTCAGCATGGTGTGGTTTGCGCTATCTTGGCGGCCCGGCGCTTATCGCTGGCGGGCCAACCGCGAGGCACCGATAGAATAAGTCGGCTCCGCACCACTGAGGACCGCGAAGGCTTCAATCGCGATCGCTACGGACGATTTTGCCTCGAGGTTGGGAATGCTAGTGTCTTTACGCAGCTAGTTAATGCGTGTTCTGGCTCGCTGAGACCACCGCTGCTGCACAACTATTTCACTCTCGCAGTGCAAAGACAGCTCTTCGCTTAACACTCCAACATGCGCACCGCTCTTCTCGTCTTAGCGCTCGGCGGAGCAAACGCCATCAGTGCCCCGCGCTCCAAGGCTGCTCTGCAGCTGCGCGGCGGCGGCCTCGACGACCTAGACGTCGTCCAAGTCGGCGCCGCGGCCCTGGGCGCCGCGGGCCTCAACCAGTGGATCTCGCCGAAGGCGAGCTTCGAGGTCTACGGCGTGACGAAGACCGACGCGTCAGCTTTAGCGCTGCGCCGCGGCGTCGGCGCGTGGCAGCTGGGGCTCGCGTACCTCCTCACGGCCGAGAATCCCCTCGCGGCCGCTCCGCTCGTGTCCGCGGCGTCTCTACTAGCTATCGTGCCAAACTGCGAGCCGTTCGACGCGCCGAAGGAGCCGATCCTGGCCTGGATCGCTCTCCTCGTGGCCATGGGCACGAAGTTCACCGACCTGTCGCCGTGGGTCATCACCGGGCTCTACCTCGGCAACGGCGTGATGTCATACTTCTTCACTGAAGAAACTCTCAAGATGTACGGGTGCTCGGGCAAGAAGGGTCTCTCGAAGCTCGGTGTGGCGACGCAAAAGCTCTCGGGAGCGATGATGCTCTTCTCGGGTGCGTACCTTGCCGCGTTGGCGGCCGGCAAGGAGCCGCTCGAGGCCTTCGGCATCACGGCCGCATTGATCTGCGCCCACGTAGCCATCTTCGTCTTCCACGGCGCTCCGGACGACTACAACAAGCTCCCGCTGGCGTGGCTCGCGCTCTTCGGCGCGCTCGCTTTCAAGGCGCTCAGCTAAGACCTACCGCGACGCGACGACCCGTGCCGCGAGCGCGTCCCCGTCTCGAACCGGGGCGCTAGATAACTAAGCCAAGTAGCATTTCTTCTATTACAGGGGGTGGTGGTGAGACAGGGTCGGGGGCATCAATTAGAGCGCCAGCGGCGGCACGTCGAAGTCGAGGCGCTGCGCGACGCTCACCGGCGACTCGAGAAGCTTGATCTCCGTCTGCTCGAAGACCTTGGTCGGCGACGCCACCAATGTGGGCGACGCCGGCGTGAAGACCTCGGGGTTCCGGTTCAGGATCGCGTCGCGCTTGAGCACGGAGCGCAGCGTCTTGCGCTTGGCCGACGGCTCGAAGTGGCACTCGCCGTTGAGTTCGACCAGCAAGCGGCCGCTCTGCGGCTCGGCCGGCTCGGGCGGCGGGTTCAGGATGCCGAAGGCGCGCTCCTGGAACTTGACGCTCTTGCGCCGGAAGCGCGGGCCCTCCAGGAGCAGCACGTCGGGCTGGTCGAGGGCGACGCCCGCGCGGTCGACGATGAGCTTCGGGCTCGAGGGCGGCGGCGGCGGGTCGAACGGATCGTCCATGACGAGGGGCTCGTGCGGGGCGGCCAAGTCGAGGCTGTCCCGGCGCGTGACGGCGTAGCAGGCCATTATTACTGGGTCGAGCTAATCAAGCGGTCTGTCTGACGGTGTCGAGCGGCTGCTGGCGTCTCGAAGGGTCGGGACGCAGCGTTTGCACTCAAACTTTGAGGCAGCTCTCAGTTCCAAAAGCGCCTGCTGGAGGGTCGCGCGAGCTGTGGCTGGTTTGGCGAAGTACAGGCGACCGAAAGGGCTGCCAGGAGTGTTCAGAAGGTCTCCAACCGCGCTAGATGGCTCACAAACAGCGTGAAGCTTGGCAGAACCCTGGGCCGTCACAATGTCAAGTCGTGCTGCTTCTGGGAGCTCCTACAACCGTCAAGTAACTGCCGGAGCCTTGCTTGAGCAGTCAAAGAAGCACGGATCGAAATTTAGCTGCTTGCTAGTGTCTTTACAGGCCGCTAGCCACAAAAGTTAACTCGTTTCACCAGCCCAACACCTGCGCCATTTGAGCGATTACGGGACCACATAGCTGCCGAAAAGTGGTCCTGAGCAGCTCTCCTCGATAACGACGTGCGACAGCATCGAAACGAGCGCGCGAAACGCCCAGGCAGCCGCGTAGCACAATAGCACAATGGAGGCCGCAGACGCCGCAGCCGAAACGATGCAAGCGATCGACGCGGCGGCCGCCGCCGCCGAGGCCATGGTCGCCCTCGAGCGCCACCCGGACGATAACTTGATTGTATCCGACGACGACGCCCCGGAGTCCCTTAAGGAGTTAAAAACATTCAAGCCGGCCAAGGGGACCTTGCTGGGCTTGATGGGCCTGCCCGCCGCGGGCAAGAGTACCTTATGCGAGAAGCTGATGGACGTAAAAACGCACGATATCAAGATAGTGCGTTTTGATGACGACCTGGAGGCGACGGGCGCTTTCGATGAGTGGGCCCCGGAGAAATATCATGAAGCGCGGGCCATTTCTTTGAGAAGGGTCGCCGGGCTCCTGGAGACCTCGTCAGCCTCGATCATCATCGCGGACGACAACAACCATCTGAGGAGCATGCGCCACGCGCTCTTTAGGCTCGCGCGCGATAATGGGTGGGCCTACGCCACTATTCGATTAGATTGCTCTCAAGAAGTCGCGGAGGCGCGCAACGCGACGCGAAGTGGGAGGGAGAAGGTGCCTGCTGAAACAATAACGCAGATGGCGCGCGACCTGGAACCGCCCGACCCCCTGCGGATGGGCTGGGAGCGCTTTGCTGTTACTGTATCAAGTGATCAAATACAGGAGGTGTTGAATGCGGCCGACCGAGCTCGGCAAGCGGGCCCGCCCATCCTCCCCGAGGATCTTGAGGTGTTACAGGAGCGCGCCCGGGAGGCTCGGGAGCGGACGTTGGCCTCGAAGAAGCACGCGCTGGATCTTGCCTTACGAGCATGTGTTGGGGAGGTGGCGTCGGCCTGCGCCGAGAAGCTCGCTAAGAGAGATAGAGCTACGCTGGGCAAAGCCCTCGCCGCCGCGCGCAAGGACGTGCTGACCGTGAGCGAGCAGGCGAAAGCGCTCGACGCGCCTAGATGTTTGGAACTGTTCGCCGCCTACGCTCTCGGAAGAGTAGCGTTGGGGGAAGGTTCATTGCCCGAAGGCGACGCGAGGAGCGTCCGGCAAGCTTTAACCGCGGCAGTCTCGAAGCAAATCTACCGGGGCGACCTGAACCTGCACGAGCCGCCGCCAGTACCCTCAGAAGCCAATTGCTTCCCGCCGCAACCGTTAGAATGCGCGCCGCCGCTCATCTTCGAGAAGGTTCTGGAGGATTGTGATCTGGGCAAGGAGGGCTTCGTCGACCGGATGCGGGGCGCGATCCTGGAGATGGAGGCGGGCCTCGCCGACGCGCCGGCACCGGCTGAGGCGGAGGCGCCAGCGCCCGCGCCTGGCGTTCCGCGCATCGCCGAGGTCGAAGACTAAAGGTTTTGTTGTGTACTTACCTTGGGTTGATGTGCGCGGCGACAGGCGTCTGGCGAGTTTTACTTGCTTTGGGGGCGACAGGACGGCGACAGGCGTCTGGCGAGTCGCGACCTGTGGTGGCGGCGCGGATGCGCGAGATTCGTGCGCGCCCTCGTTTCGCCGACCGCAGTGCTCTCGTCACGGCGGCACCCGTCGCGTAGGGACTCCGAGCCCCTACATGGCGAGCCACAAAGCGAAGCGCGCGATTTCGGCATCCAGCAGCGAGCTGCCCGTCATTCGTGGATAAGCAGCTTACTCGTCGACGCGGCAAGCAAGCGCTGCTTGCAGAAGCTGCTTGAAGCCGCAGGACGCTGCCCGCCGCGCAACCGCTGCACAGACCAAGCGTGAGCACCAAAAAAAAATCATGCCTGGCCTCGAGACCTTCATCGGCTCCAAGCTCAAGGGCCCGGTGCAGCGGCTCATGAAGTGGCAGGCCGGCCTCGAGTGCGTCGACGCCTCTGAGAAGAAGGAGGACCTCGAAAGTCATCAGATCGTCGTCCACGACGACCGTTTATATTTTAGAATCATCTACAAGGGCGCCATCGCCTTCGGCGAGGCGTACATGGACGGCGACTGGACGCCCGGTACCAAATTATTTGATGTACTGAAGAAGGGCATCGAGACTGGTAGTCTGGAGTCGCGGTTCCAGGCGTTTTTCAAGTTTATCCAATTTTTTGCCGCTAATTTGGGTTTGTTGAATCCGCAGTCCATCTTCCGGTCTCGGAAAGTCGCGAAGATGCACTATGATCTGGGCAATGATCTCTACGAGAAGATGTTGTGTAGCCACATGCAGTACACGTGTGCGTACTGGAAGGGCTGCAACGACTTAACGTGGACAGGCAACATGGTAGGAGGATTAGAACAGGCCCAGCGGCAAAAACTGGACTTGATCGGCCGCAAGCTCAAGCTCAAGCCGGGCATGCGCGTGCTGGAGCTGGGCGGCGGCTTTGGTGGTTTGAGCTACTACCTCTGCACGCACTTCGGCGTCTCCGTGCACGCTTGTGATTTGAGCGTGGAGCACGAGGTCTATAGCAAGGAGCATTTCAACCATGAGAACAAGACGTTCGAGATCATCGACTACCGGGACTTCCTCAAGCGCCACATCCGGGAGGGCACGCCGCTGTTCGATCGCGTGGTCAGCGTGGGCATGATGGAACACGTCGGTCCTCGCAACTTCCCGAACTTCTTCCGCCAGATCCGGAAGGTCATTAAACCGCAGGGCCTGTTTTTACTGCACACGATCGGCAACAGTGTCGACGATAGAAACCAGGACCCCTGGTTCGAGAAGTACGTCTTCCCGGGCGCGTGCATCCCGGGGCCCCAGACCTTCTTCCAGCCGGGCTGCATCGGCGACGGCTGGAAGCTCGAGGACTGGCACAACTTTGGGGTCGACTACAAGCGGACGTGCCAGGCCTGGTGGGACAATTCTATCGCGGCGCGCGGTGAGTTACCGGCCGAAAAATACGACGAGCGCTTCTGGCGCATGTGGGAGTACTACCTGCAAGGGAGTGCCGCGGGCTTCGCGGCGCGGTCGATCCACCTCTGGCAGTTCGTCCTGTCGCCCCAGGGCCTGCCCGACGACTTCGAGGGCCGCGGCGGCTACGAGCGCGAGAACTAGATCCTCCTATCCATATCGATTTCGTACGGGCCGCCGAGTACATTTCACACCTAACTTAGCTACCTTCTCCCCTTGAGCGTGTTGAGCGGACGGGCGCGGATCTCCGACGTGCGGAGCGGCCCCCAGACCCGCGAGTCGACGGACACGTCCGCGCAGTCGCCGAGGACGTAGACCGAGCCACGGGGAACCGAGAGCTCCTCGACGGCGATCTTTGACCGTCGCGCGTCGCCGAGGACTCGTTTGAGCTCGGCGCGCGCCTCCGGGAGATCGCAAACGCGGTCGCCGGCCGGACTCCGCCGCGGCGCGCCGTTCACCGAGACGCCGCCGTCGTCGTCGACGCGGACGCGGTCGCCGGCGACCGCCGCGACGCGTTTCACGTACAGTTGCGCCTTGCTATTGCCGCTGACGCGTTTCAACGCGGCGGGCGCGTCAAACACGACCACATCGCCGACCGCCGGCGACCTGAATCGAGGAGTCACGCGTTCCACGACGAGCGTGTCGCCCGGCTCGATCGTAGGCGTCATGGACAGCGTCGGTACCTCGACGAGCCCGCCAACTTGAGTTGCAAGAAAACCTGCGATCGCCAGCCAAGCAGCCGCGACGCCCGCGAAGCCTACACCCGTTAACGCCGTGTAGTCCGCCGACGACAGCGCGACCGGGATCTCGTCCTCGCGGACGTCCACGGGCCAGACCCGTTCCAGGCGCCTCACCAGTGGATACGCCGGCCGCACCGTCAGGATCGCGCCCGGTGCTGCCTCGAAGGCGGCCTCGCCATCCACCGAGACGCGCTCGACGACGTAGTCTACGCCGCCGTAGCAGCCCTTCTCTCCGAGGTTGGCGCGCTGCTTCAGGTCCCGCCAGATGGGTACAAACGTCGCGCCCGCGTGCAACTCCCGCTTCGGCCGGACGTCGGCCGCGGGGAGCGCGTCTGGCCAGGACACTGCTTCGGTCGGTGGCCACTCGGTGACGTCGCATTCGCAACATACGGTGCCGTCTTCATCTACAAACCGAGGCAATATTTCTGGAGTTACGAACGGCACGCCCTTGCTCTCCCGATTCTTCGCCGTGAAGCGGCAGCCGCCGTCGGCCTCGACGGCCACCTTCTCGCCAATGAGTCGCAGCGTCCACGTCGCGTCGACGGCCCTCTCCGTCGAAACAATGATAGACGACCGCTCGCGCTCGCCGGCCTTGCGCGACCGCCCGCCCGCGTAGAGGTCGAAGCGGTACGGGCACGTCGCGTCGTCCACGTCTCCTCGCACTGCGGTGCCCGGCTTCGCGAAGGCGCTGACCCTCTTGAAGGTGACTTTGTACTGCACCGCATGGCAGCACGTGAAAAGTAGCACGTAGCGCATCATCCAGCCGTGAGCATGTGCTCGATTGCTGTGCAGACGGCGCGCGGACAATTTATTTCGAGCGCTGCGAGCGCTGGCGCACGCCCGCCAAAAGCTCAGCTGAAGCTGGCAGCGCCTCGCGGAGCAGAGAGCGTCGAGTCCTAGTTCCGCGACGCCGGCTAGTTACACGGCGACGAGTGGCCCAACGATGCGTTAAACAATGCTGCTCGTGATGCTGCTATTTATGCGACGCGTGGCGCCGTTGGTGCGCAGCAGTCCTGTGCAGCACCTGCAGCACCATCGGCGCACGGTCACTGCGGCGGCAGTCGACGCCTGGCGCGCCTGCGAGGCGTGCAGCAGCGTCGGCAGCATATACACCAGATCGCGGAGACGACGACGAAACGGCGGACCGCCACCACGCAAACGCTGCGAAACGTGCGCGGGACGAGGCATCGTCGCCGGTGCGCCACAATCGCCGACGACGAACGCCACCGTGGCGATCGCGGGCGGCGGCGTGGGCGGCCTGGCTTTAGCGTTGGCCCTGCAGCACCGCTCCATCAATTGTGTGGTCTACGAGCGCGACGCCGACGCGAGCACGCGGAAGGCGGGGTACGGCCTGACGATGCAGCAGGGCGGCCGCGCTCTGGACGCCCTCGGTGTGAGCGAGGCGGTCCGCGCCGCGGCGACGCCGACCGACAGGCACGTGTCCATCGATGCGAACACGGGCGCCGAGCTGGGTGTGCACGGCGAGCGGTCCGCCGCGGCGCGGCGCGGGCGCGGGGCGCGGGCGAAGGCCGCCGCGACGCACCTGCCGCGCGGGACGCTGCGAGACGTCCTGCTCGCGAGGCTCCAACCGGACACGGTTCGCTGGGGCGCGAAGCTTGAATCGGCATCGCCTTCTGAGGACGGCTGGTCGCTGACGGTCGATGGCGTCACCGAGTCGTGTTCGATTCTGGTCGGCGCGGACGGCGTGCGGTCGACGGCGCGGCGGCTGCTCTGCGCCGAAGACGCGGCGGCGACGCCTCTGGGCGTCTTCGTGGTGCTGGGCTTCTGCTCGACGCCGTTCGAGTACGCCGCGGACTGCTTCGAGGCCGTCGACGGCACCGTGCGGATATACACGATGCCGTTCGACGCGACGCGAACGATGTGGCAGCTCAGCTGGCGCGGCGACGGGCCGGCGGGCGGCGACGGAGAAGCACTCCGCGAGGCCGCGCTCGCACAAGTCTCGGCCTGGCCGGGCTGCCCCGACGCGGCTCGCCTCGTCGAAGCGACGGCGCCGGGCGACGTGACGGGGTATCCGATCGTCGATCGAGACCTGCCTGGTGCTTTACCTCCGTACGCTACGCTCCTGGGCGACGCCGCGCACCCGATGGCGCCCTTCAAGGCCCAGGGCGCGAACCAGGCGTTGCTCGACGCCGTGTCGCTCGCGCGATGTCTAGTAAAGACGGACCTGGCGCCGGGCCCGGCGCGTCGTTCTGTGCCTGAAGCGCTCGCCGAGTACTGGGCGGAAATGGCGCCGCGCGCGTCGGCGAAGGTCGCAGCGTCCCGCAATGCCGCGCGTCTGTTGCACAGCCCGGCGGCGCTCGTGCGCGCGGAGGGGCTGACGCGGGCCGCGGCGGCGGCTGGTATGGCCCCCAAACGAGCCTACACCCTGAAGCGTCGGAATCCCTACGACGTGCACGTATACTATTCTGATGCGGAATCCCGGGCCCGGGCCATGGAGCTGCGGGAGAGGATGCAGGTGAAGTTTGAGTGGATGCGCTTCCACCGGCCGTTCGATCGACCAATTGGGCCTCATCCCGTGCCGATGTGGGAAGCTGACTTTTCGTCCTACGAAAACCGGAACCGGTGGGACGAAGTGCGCGCGTGGCTGGAGTCGGAGGCGGGGGATCTGTCGGTGTTGATTCATCCCCACTCCACCGACAGCGACTACGCCGACCACACCAAGAACGCGTACTGGGTGGGGGAGGCGCTGGAGCTGCGCATCCAGGGATGGAAGCGAGACTGACGCGGGCCACCGCCGCCGCGAGTCGTTCTTTGACATAAGTGTTTTGTACTTCTACGAGCTGATGAGAATCCCGCGCGTCGCGAGGTGCATTTTAAGGAAAAAAAGCGAAACCAACGGGCCCTACCCGTCCTGGTTGTTGCGAGAGATCACTCGCTCCGTTTGATGCCTCATACGATGCCCCGCCCGGAGGCTCCTCTCCAAAAACTCGAGATGACGGTGTTGCGCTCGTGCCGCTGTTTGCGAGCCCATTAATTGCTTGCATTGACTGCTGGGCATTTGAAAGCGACCACCGTACATCGGTGCCCCACTGGGCAACAAACCGCGTGCTCGGAGGACGAACAGCGCGAGATATTGCTGCTGCAAGACAAGGCAGCAAAATCATTGCAGTAAAACGACACGCAAGCGAACTCGCCATGTCACGCATTGCCACCACAGTCCTCGGCACTCTCCTGCTAGCGTCGCATGCATTTTCGCCGGCGCGCCAGCTGAGGCCAAGCACGCGACTGCGCGCCGCGGCCGTCGCCGACGAGCTCAAGGCCCTGGCGCCGGCGCAGGGCGCCATGCTCGTGACGAAGTGGAAGACGGGCGTCGAGAACGACATTGCATTGGGTTTCCTGCCGGAGCACACGCACCCGGACCGGTCCGTGCAGCGAAGCATGTTCGTGCAGAAGGCGTATTTCCGGGCCTACAACGACATGCGGACCTTCGCGACGGCGTCGATGGCGGGGCCCGAGGCCATCGCCAAAACCTTAGGCGAGGACTGGAAGGGCGCCCAGGTGTACGGCATTCTGCGGAACTCGGAGACGCAGGCGGCCGGCGTCGCGTGCGTCCAAACCAATGAAGACCGCTTCGACATCGTGCATTTACTGATGACGCCGGACCAGCGCGACCCTGATGTGGTGGTGCGCTCGGAGCGCGGGTTGTTGGACATCGTGGCGGCGCAGGCGCCGCCCGGTACGAAAGTACGGTTGTCAGCGCCCGCCGCGGAGGCGCTATTATCGTCGGCCTCGGAGTTGGGACTGGTCGGCGTCGAGGGAGGGGCGTCGGTGAAGGACAAGCTGGCGCGCGAGGACGCGAAGCTCACGGACGAGCGGTACCGGGACGTCGACTGGCTCGACCGGGAGGCGTAAAGTCTAGTTTCAAAGTCTACCGCGACGCCATCGTCGCGGTCTCGCCGTGACGCCATCGTCGCGAGTTGACAAAATTCAAAATTAACAGCTATAGGGCTTTTCAGGACACTTTGACTCGGGCGGCTTGAGCGCCTCATCATAAAAGCCGCGGTCGAAGTGCCAGAGCTTCTGCTTCGCATTCAATGAGGCAGCCCACGCGGCGCCCGTCGTCGGTTCCGAACCCAAAGCGTTGATAGATTCAAGCATCTCGTAGTCCATGGCGTAGGCTTTTCTCACACGAGCAAGGAGCTCGGGCGTGTAGTACTGCTCCGTTTTGCTGGAAGTACCATCGGCGTGCCAGGCCGTGTTCTTCTGAAACATACTACCGGTGGGCCCCCGCGCCGGCACCTTCCCTGAACCTCCTGGTGCTTTGAGCGGCCACCCACGCGCACCGAACTCCTCCCACAAGTTAGCCTGTCTCAGCATCAACTCGGTGTGCTCCCTCAGATGAGTAAAGGACCCCACGAAGGTGTACAGCGGTAAAAACTTCTCCAAATTGCACATGAAGCGCTGCGGCCGCCAGTGCGGGTTCGTGTGCGGGTGCAACCCATCTGGGTTTGATCTTCGTTTGTTCACTCTCTCAATCCGTTCCACAAACCCCGAAAAGTTCATCTTCGGATCTTTGAAGATACGTAAACCATACCCGACGCGATACCTCGACCCGTGCTCGAACTTGTCCAAATATGCTGAAAGTAACCTCTCCGCAGGGTCCCGGAAAAACACGAATTTCGTGAAGTTTTTGTCGTTCATGGCGTGCGTGGCTTCCTCGGGCGTCGCGACTTTGTTGAGAATTGGTTTGTCGGGCCGGAAGTGCGGGTCGCCCTTCCAGCGGTTGCGCTGCCGTTCGGTCATTTGAGTCGCACATTGGCCCACGGTGGCACACTTTTTTTTGGAATCGGCCATGCGGTGGAACAAACGAAAGAACTCCGTGCACGCGACTTTGGGGATCGCGCAGTACAGCAACTTGTGCTCGAAATCAACATAGGCGTGGTGGCTGGCATAATCGAGCTCGTGCTTTCGATATTGCAAATGAGGTAACTGGGGCTTGCGCGGCGTTATTCTAGCTTGGCCGCGCGTCTGCCTCGTTGGCCGGATCGGCTTCCTCGCGAAGCGCTCGTTGCGCTCTTTCAAGTCGCGCCAGAGCTGGGGCTGGGCCCTTGTCGTGGTGATGATGAGGAGTGTGAGTGCTAAGCGCATGGTGATTGCGCGTGAAAATTCGGCCGCTGGCTTTGGCGTGTGATTGCGCGGCGGCTGGCGTACGGCTGAACGTTCGATTGCACACCGGCAACCACCAGTGAGCCGTGCGACTTCTGAGCCAGCAAATAGGCACGCGGCGGCCCTGTGGCAGCGCTGAGACCTCGATCACATTCGATGGCAGCTAGCGTCGAGTAAGACACTAGCACGCTACTCGAGATTAACCTTTGGCCCCAGTTATCGGTGGTTGATCACGTTCTACTCATAGAATAGCTCTAGCGAGCAGCCACGAGCGCTGTGCTCTCGATCCTAGGTGAACCGACGCGAAAACGCCGCGCAGCAGCTTCCAGGCGCCAAGTCACTTGCGCAGCTCGGCTAGACCAGACCACGGCGCCGCGGCGCTATTCTGTTCAGGCCAGCGTCCGGGCCGCACATAAAAGCGACGCCCGGTCCATCGGAGGCCTGCGCAACGCGCCGCCCCAGATGGCGCAGCCGCCGCCGCAAAGAAGAGGCAGCGCACCACCCCAAAATAGCCAATACTTTTCCGAGCAGGGCAAGAAGGGCGAAGTGAATGAATTGAGAACGCTACTAAGAAGCCCAGCGGTGGAAAGGGACCCGAAAAGAAAGCGCGAGGTCATCAAAAAAGTTATTGCATATATGACGTTAGGGATAGATGTGTCTCCGCTCTTCAGCCAGATGGTCATGTCCGTGGAGACGCGGGACTTGGTCGTGAAGAAGATGGTCTACCACTATCTTTGTAGTTATGCGCACGAGCAGCCGGAGATGGGTCTCATGTGTGTGAATACGTTACAGAGAGATTGCTCGAATGATGATCCCATGGTTCGTGGTCTAGCGTTGAGGAATTTATGCTCTCTACGATTACCTATTTTACTAGAGTACATCCAGCCGTTGTTGCGAGGAGCTCTCAAAGATCGGTCCGCGTACGTGCGAAGAACGGCGGTCATGGGCGTCCTCAAGGTCTACCACATGGACCAGTCGACGGTGCGGTCTTCGGATTTGATCGATGTGTTGTACGACATGTTACGCGACACCGATGGGATGGTCGTGAGTAATTGCGTCGTAGTACTCGATGAGATCATGCTCGAGGAGGGCGGCATCGCCATCAACAAGGCTATTGTCCACCATTTGTTATCAAGGTTGAACGACTTCAACGAGTGGGGGCTGTGTGCCACTCTGAAATTAGCCGCGAGATATGCGCCCGAGTCGGATGACGAAAGATTTCAGGTGATGAACGTCCTGGATCCTGTTTTGCGCACTTCCAATGCCGGCGTCGTGTTGGAGGCCATCGGTTGTTTTGTACAGTTAACAAAAGATCTACCAGAGTTACATGCGCAAGTCTACGAAAGGTTAAAAGCCCCTTTGTTGACATTAATGTCCAAGTCGAACAATGAAGGGTTATATTGTTTACTTAAACACGCCGAATTACTCGTATTCAGGTGTCGGGAGGTCTTCGCGTCGGAATATCGGCAGTTCTACATTCGATACGACGAGCCGGCCTGCGTGAAACATCAGAAGGTCCAATTGCTGGCGCAATTAGCTTCTGAGAGTAGTGCGGAGGATATCTTATCGGAGCTACGAGAATATGCCGGCGACTGTGACCCTTCCTTAGCCAAAGCGGCGATCCGAGCGACCGGCGTCGTCGCATCAAGATTAAGATCAAAAGCGGAGGCGTGCTGCTCCTTATTAGTGGAGTTTTTAGATTTGGAGTACTCCTACGTCAAGGCCGAAGCGTTACTGGTCGCAAAGGACGTATTAAGGAAGTACCCCGAGAGACGGGGCGACGTGCTCCCTTCATTGGGAAGATACTTGGGCGAGTTAGACGCCGAGGAGCCGCAAGGTCGAGCCGCGGCTCTCTTCCTAGTAGGGCAGTGGGGCGAGGAAATACCGTCCGCGCCTTATGTGTTGGAACCGCTCATCGATGCTTATGCGACCGAGACCTCTGTGGACGTCAAACTCGCACTCTTAACGGCGACGTGTCGCTTGTTCTTCAAGCGGCCGCCGGAGGTGCAGAACATGCTCGGGCGGTTGCTAGATGCGGCTTTGGAAGATCAGACGTCGTCGGACGTGCGGGACAAGGCTCTGTTATATTTCCGATTGTTACGACGTGATGTCAACGTGGCACAAAGAGTGATATCCGGAAGGGACCCCTGCTCCATCCAGGGGGCCTTCGCCGAGGACAACTGCGCGGTCATGGACCGCCTCGTCGACGAGGCGTTCAATACCTTAGCGGTGGTCTACGGCGAGACGCCCGACCAATTTGTGGATAGGGCTCATCGGGCGCGCGACAAGCCCGACGCCGACGACGAGCCCCTCGTTTCTAACGATGCACCCCTTGTTTCAAACGATGCACCGCCGGCGGCGCCGGTCGAGGACAGCTTCGACTTGTTGGGCTCGGAGGACGTCGCGCCGCCCGCGCCACCATCTAGATCATTGGTGGAGTCTGCGGGCTCGGTCACGGGCGACCTGTTTCAAGCCAAGTGGGCGGCCATCTCCGACCAGGACGAGCGCACGTTGCGCGTGGGGCCCGTGACGCAGGGCGCCGATCTGGTGGATGCGATGCTCGCCTCATTAAACGTGCACACGATGGCGTCGGGTGAGGTCGGCCAGGAGCTCAAGTTCTTCGTCTACGCGCGGGATTCCCTGGGGGCGCTGTACCTGGCCCAGGCCGTCATCTCCACGGCCGATTCGTCGACGCAGCTGACCGTCAAAACGGAGGGCGCGGGCGACGCGTCGTTCTTCGCGGGCGTCGTCGAGGAGGGGCTGCGGGCGTGTAGTTGAGGTGGTCCTAAGGTCGTGTTATTATATATCCTGGTTAGTCGTTTTTTTACGTCGCGTTCATTGCTTCCAGCGCCCCGCGGATGGCGCTCACGTCGTCACGGGCACTGAGCGCTGCTCGCGACTCTCGCAGGGCCTGTTCCATTCCCACTGAATATGGGTGCGCGCCACCAAACACGCGCCGCGCGGTCCGTGCGGCCTCCTCGAGCATCGACACGGCCTCGCGGAGATCGCCGAGCGTGGCAACGGGGTCCAAGTAGAGCGCCATCGCGTAAGTTGCGCTCATCCTGAGCGTGAGTTCATTGCTATCGCCGAGAACACGTCGGGTCACGGGCATAGCTTTGCGCAACAGTGCCTTGGCTTCTCCGAAGCGCTGTAGACCATTAAGGGACACTACGTAGTTGTTGGCTGCTTGGAAGGTTTTTGGATGTTCCTCGCCTTTTAACTTTAAGTATCCGGAGTATACGTCCTGTTTTATTCTCAGAGCCTCTTCGTTTCGTCCAAGCTCTACATACGAGTTCGCAAGGTTGCACTGAGCGACGAGCATGTTGTCTTCGTCTGCGCCAAGGCGCCGCAGCATAGACAACTCGGCCTCTTTCACCCTCAGCGCGGCCTCGTGGTGGTCTGCAGCGGTTAAACCGAGCCCAAGCACGTTCATCGCCATTTGCCGAGCCGAGTCAGTCTCCGGCCGCCCCACGTACGTCTTCCAGCACGCCCATCCGAGCGCGCATTTCACGACGCCATGGTAGTGTTGCTCGCACATGCTGCATGTGTACCACCGATTCCACCTCTCATTCTTCGCCTTGGCGCCCAAATTGTTTTCCTCGGCCTCCTCGCACAAAATCTTGGCCTGCTCCGCCAGACACGACACGTGCGCGAACCCCGCCGTCCCGCGGCACGCGCACCCGCGCACGAGGCCCTCCTTCGTTTTCCAGTGGAGGGCCTGCGTGCAGATGTAGCACGTCTGGCCCTTTGTGTCCTCCGCGCACGCCTCTGCTGCGGCTCCGACGGCCTCCGCGTACTTTTCATTTGCGTTGTATTGTTCCGCGCCGCCTGCTTTCTTTATTGTCTTGCAGAGCAGGTCATGACCACCCTCTTTCCAGTGCTGCACCTGGCATTCAGGCCCACAGTAGCGCGTGCTGCAGCGGCCGCATTTCTTGCCCGAGGACAAGCCAAGCTCGGTGGCGCAGACGGCGCACTGCGTGAGGATCATCTTGTATATGGTCAACTCGCTCGGGGGCAGCCCTACGATGCAAAGCGCTCGAGCCTCCTGCATGCTTTTGTAGGCTAGTGTCTTTACAGGCCGCTAGCAGTATTGCGCGCCGCACTGAATTCCACACAGACGCAGCCCCTCGCCGGGACTATGACTCGCAGGGATCGGGGTGAAGAAGCATCTGCAGGTGAACCCGAACCCGAACCCGGCAAAATTGAAACTGGGCCGCCGGCGCGAACACGGCATCCAGCAGCTGCCCAACAAACGACGGCGCACGAGTAAACGGTAGACTGGTGGAATAGCAGCGGCGCACCAGCAAACGGGAGACTCGTGGCATACCCAGCGAACAAAAGAGGATGGAGCCTCAAGCCCGCGTGCCGCGGACGCGCGACTACGCGCTGAGGCGGGCCGCCGCCGCGACGAACACGAGCTTCTTCGTGGCGCAAGCTAGAGAAAGGGCGGCGGCGCGCGCCGCCGCCAAGTCCAAAGGCAGGAAGCAGCGCAAGGCCTGGGACGCGACGCCGCCGTCGCGACCGGCGGACCGGCAGCGCGCGCACGACGAGGCGGTCGAGAGGAGGCGCATCGCGCGCGGCGTGCCCCCGTCGAGGCCGCAGCTCCCGGATCCGGAACGAGAGATCAATCGCATCGCGACACCGAAGTCCGCGTCCATGGACCTGGATGAAATAGAAGCCCCATGGTCGCGGACACCAGCTGAAAAAACAGTATCATTACTGGACGACGCCTTCCTTGAGGGTAGGAGGGCAGCCGCTAAAAGGCGAGCAGCCGCACGAGCGCCGCGCACGCCCGTCGAGGAGCGGGAAAGGGCCGCGACGCGCGCGTTCGCGACACCCTCTGATCAGGAAAGAGCAAGGCGGCGCTTCCCCTCGGATTCCGATGTCCCGAGGTCCCGCCGCTCGAGCCGCTCGACGACGCCGCCGCGGCGACGGAGCCGCGGGTCGAGCGGCGACTACACTTCTACCTCGTCGAGCCGCCACCAGCCTACGCATCGAAGAAGACGGTCCATCGTGCACGAGGAATCGAGCGTCACGTCAGAATGCGTCGGCGAGCCCGCACCAATGAGGGGGAGAGGGTACACGAGCGCGCACGTCGGCACGCGCACAAGAGGTACCTCGCCCTTCGACGACGCGAAAATTGCAAGGTCGCTGGCCGCGTACGACAGTAACGCGCACCGCGCGCGGCTGGGCGCCGCGGCCGCCGCGGACCCTTTTTCCGCCGAAGCGGCTCGGGCTTATACGGAGTATGCCGCAGCCGAGGCCGCGTCCTTACCTGTGAACGACGAGCCCACGGCGTTAGCGGCGGCTCGTAGACTCGCAGCGGCAGCGACGGCGAACGCGGCCGCCGCCGCCGACGCGCAGAAGGCGCACATCGGGGTCATTTCCGACGTCGGCGCGATGGCGCGCGCGGTGAGTGGCTTGGTGGACATGGCCGCGAAGCAGGTTTCGAAGAGTGACGCGTTCGCGCTGGGCGGCGGCGAGAACGGCGCGCCCGCGGATTTGAGGGAGTGGCAGCGGAGCGTCGAGGCGAAGCTCCAGCAGACGCTCCACCAGCAGCACCAGAATCTGTTGCGGCAGTTGAGAAGGCCGCCGCCACCTTCTAGAAGACCCTTCGCGCCCCTGAACCAGCCGCCCTCGGAACCCATGGGCATCCCGCCCGCGGACTCGACGGAACTCCTCGACAAGCTCTTCTCGAAGATCTGCGACATCGAGCAGGCCGAGAGCGACTTGTTGGACACGGTGTCGCACAAGCCGAAGAAGCGGCCCGAGCCGATACCGCCACCTGTTAATGATACGATAACGGTCCCCGAGGACGTCGCCGCTCATTTAGGTATTCCAAAACCCGACGTCGTCTTCCATATACCTGAAGGTAACATGGCCCCGGAGGTTGAACAACCGAAGAACCTGCACGCCAAGGATTGTTCTGTTCCACCCAGAGTGGTGGGGGAGATCCTCGAGTACCGCGACGCCGTGAAACGAGCGGCGGAGCTTTCCGCGGCGGAATTATTTGGGACGGGCCTGACCCAGCCGCAGATCATCGAGGCCCTCGCCGAGGAGCTGCTCGATTCCGTGTTATCGGAGGCGACCTCAGAGCTGGACCTTGCCTTAGATGAGTGCTCCCAGGCTATCCTAGAAACAGCGTAAGTACTAGCCATTTAGGAACTGCTCCGCGATCTTCTGCTGCCGCCGTCGCACGTTGAAATTGAAGTGCGTCCGCAACCCCCCGAACCAGTCCGCCGTGTTCCCTAGTCGTAGGACCGTAGGTAAAGGGTGCGGCGACGCCGTCACGATCAACGAGTCGCCCCGCTTCAGACACACCCTACTTCGTCCATCAAAGGTGACCCACGCGTCCGCGCGCGCGTCCGGGTCAACATCAAAACGTAAAGTACAGCTATCGGGGAAGACGATGGGTCGGAAACTCAGCGAGTGGGCACAGATGGGCGTGAAGACCATGGCGTTGACGGACGGGTGGACCATGGGGCCTCCCGCACTTAACGAGTACGCTGTGGAGCCTGTTGGTGTCGCCACAATCAACCCATCGGCCTGAGCTGTTGTTAAATGTTCATCGTTGCAAAAGCATTCGACCGCAGACAAAAAGGGCGAGTTGCCCCGGTCCAAGGCTACTTCATTTAATGCCTCATGACCACCCACGACTTTACCAGAAGCACCGTCCACGACGCGACACCGCAACCGCATTCTGAGAGAAACGGGCCAGGGCTCCAACTCGCCTTCGCCCAGCGACACGGCCTCGTCGAGCGTCTCTTCTACAGTACCTCCCGTCTGTTCATCATCGACGTCGAACGGTGCGAGGAAGCCGAGCGAGCCCGCGCCAAACGCGACGACGGGCGGCGGCGGCGTGGCCTGGAACAGCGTGTTCGCGTACAACAGCAACCCGTCGCCACCGAGTGTGGCCACGAAATCCGGTGACCTCGAGACGTGCTCGCCTTGCCATAATTCCACTGCTGGTAGCCTTTTGCCGATCTGCTCGTACAACGGATCAGCTAGTAGCACGTCCACCCCACAGGCCTCGTGGAGGTGCCTTGCAATGCGGTAGGCCACATCGAGCTCTTCATCGTCCGCGTGGCGCTTCGCCAGCACCAACACCCGTTGTGGCGTTCTATCCCAGGCCACGTGGTGCTGACTCTGGGCGACGCAGCGCACGCGCGACGTCTTCTCCTGGGAGACGTCGCAGAAGGCCTCTCTCCCTATGGTGGCCTCGGCGTGGGACTTCGTGAACTTCCAGGGCGGCTTCTCGGCCTGGACGGCGGTATTATAAACGTCCTGTTCAATGTCTACGGCGGTGATCCAGCTGGGGTGGGAGCTCTGGGCCGCGTTGTGCAGGCGGGTGAGGGGTGCTCTTCTCCTCGGTGTTTTGCAGTGGCCGCGGGCAGCGCGGGCTGGTGGAGATGCTCTCCTTGGTGGTGCACCGTGCTGGAGCGACCCGGCAGTGCCGAGGATCAGCACGAGGCTGGCGCAACGCATGGCTAGTGTTCAGGGCCGGTGTTTTTCAGACGAATGATCGCTTCGTCGGCGTGAAATCCGGCTAGCTTGCCGGCGCCGTCGTTAACTAGCGCAGTAAGATACTAGCATTGACGCTGCCCAAATTCAGACCGACAGTTGAAAGCTTGCAGTGGGGTCCCACTTTGCTTCTTGGGGCAGCTTCGAACGGTGACACTGTGATGGACCCGCGATTGCGAGCGGCTGCCCTCAAGCGTGACCTCGCGGCCCTTAATCGCGCTCTGGCCGAGGGCGCTGACCCGAACGCCATGGACGCTGACGGCTACACGCCTTTGATCTTTGCGGTGTGCAACAATAACACAGATTGCGTCGCGAAATTGATCGAGGCCGGCGCGCACCCGGATTGTTACACAGACAAGGGTCGAACGCCGCTAAACTCAGCCGCCTCGAGTGGGTACACAGAAACAATTCGCGTGCTTTTGGCCAGCGGTGCTCAGGTTGATTTTGTTCCACCATATGGGTATGGGTCCCTTACACCGCTGCACTACGCAATTGATTTTGGGCACGCTCAAGCTGTCCGTGCGCTACTAGCGGCTGGCGCTGACGTAAACCGCCGCAGTGAAGACTTTTCGAAGCCTGTGTCGCCGCTCGTCAGAGCCATCAGGTTCACCACTTGTCCACACCGAAGGAGGGGCGAAAACGCAGACCACTCCATTATTACGGTGCTCTTACGTGCTGGCGCGTCCATCAACGAACCCGCAGTTACAGAGTTTTTTGAACTTTTGGACGAGACCAACGCCTTTATCAGCCCTTCCGAAAGGAAAGTCATTGAGTACGTGCAAGCCGTGCACACGGCCGGCGGCTTTCCTGCCTACGCGAGGGGACACCGCTCCATGTTCGCGGCAATTTTTAGCCGCGGTAGGCGCCTCCCTGCTGACGTTATTCCGAAGATCGTGGAATACTGGGCCCATCTCGGATGCTACCAGTACCAAGTCCCCGGGACCGGCGGGACAGGGTCCAAAAAATTGAACTTGCCAGTGGGCCGCCCCAGTGGTCATCTTCGGCTACGAGCTCTCGCCGTTCTGCGGCCGCGCGCGCCAGATGTTGGAAGATGAGGGCGTCCACGAGAGCCAGATCAGGGTCGGAATGTGTAACAACTCTTATGTATCATCGTCCACCACATCAAGCCGCGCCGCCAGCCGGTCCGCCACCGCGGCGTCCTCAACACCAGCGAAGAACTCGAGCAGCCCCTCGACCGCGGCCGGGCCGACGCCCCGCGCCTCGGCCAGCGCCGTGCGCAACGCGTCGTCCGCCGCCGTCGTGGGGGAGAGAGACCGCCGCAGCGCCGTCCACGACCCGCAAATGCCCGCAACTTTTTTAGCGGTCGCCTTGCCGATCCGCGGCGCGCCCAGCGCGAAGACGAACGCCGCGAGCGGGATCGGCGTCGCGGTGCGCGTCTCCAGCGCGTCGAGCACCTTCTCCGAGGACGTGGCGCCCCAGCCGTCCAGCGCCGATAGTTTGGAGAGGCTCGCTTCCCTTTCATCCACGAAGTCGAGGAGGTCCGCCGCGGAGCGCAGGACGCCCTCCTCAACGAGTTGCTCGACCTTCTTCGCGCCCAGGGACCCGCTTCCTAGGTCAAGCGCGCCTCGACCCAGGGCGTGCTGCAGCCGACCCGCCGCCTGGGCGTCGCATTGGAGACCGGCGGTGCACGCGACTTGGCCGTCGCCCGTGACTCGTGTCGGCGCGCCGCACCGCGGACATTTCGAGGGCGGCGGCCAGGCGTCGCCCGTCCCTTCGATCGCGGGCGCGATCTGCGGAATCACGTCGCCGGCGCGCTTCACTAAGACCGTATCCCCAATGCGCGCGCCGCCGAGGGAGGCCCTTAATACATCAAAATTGTGGAGCGTCGCCGACGAGACCGTGACGCCGCCGCAGTTCACGGGCTCCAGTTTCGCGACTGGTGTTAACGCACCAAGCCGCCCGACGCCGATCTCCACATCCAGTAGAGTTGTAGTAACGACGATAGCGTCGCGATCGAACTTGAGGGCCACGCGCGCGCGCGGCGCTCGCGCCGTGAAACCCGCTTGCGCGTCCGCTTTGCACGAGTCCACCTTGAAGACGACGCCGTCGATCTCGTACGGGAGCTCGTCCTTCTTCGACGATCGTGTCCCGGCGACGGCCGGCGGCGGCCGTTGCTCGCCGAGTGAAGCGTGGTAAGCCGCCAACTTCTCAGCACAGGCTTGGAGGTGGTCCGGTAAAGCATCCGCGGGCACGTCGTCGTCGACCTCCACTCTTATGGACGGTTGTGCCACCTCGAAGCCCCACTTTTTGGCCTTTGAGCGTCGCTCCGTGTAATTCTCAGCACCACCAACCACATCATGTACGACGAAGCGCAGACCTCGTCCGCTAACATCCGAGGCGTTCTTCTGGCGCAGCGAGCCCGCCGCGTAATTTCGGGCACTTACTGCACTATCTTTCTCCAAGCCTCGAAAAAAGGCGACGGGGACGATGACCTCGCCCCGCACGTCGCCCGTAAAAGCATCATCAAGTTGCGTCGGTATGGCCGTCCCCTCCAGCATCTGGTCAGTCACGTCGTCGCCCACCACGCCGTCGCCGCGCGTCGCCGCCTGCGTCAACACACCATCGACATAGGTCAGGGAGACGCTCAGCCCGTCGAGCTTCGGCTCTCCGACAATACCGTGCATCGCTTCTGGGGCGCAGGCTTTGATTGTTTTCTTGAGCCATTTCGCTATAGTGGTTACGGTTCCGTCCTTGACCTTCAACGTGTCCAGGCTCAGCATGGGCGTCGTATGTGGTGTGGCTTTGGCGAGGGTGCCTCCCCTTTTCGCGCCGACGCCGCGCGGCGTCGTTCTCAATTCATCTACTTTTCGCGCGAGCGCGTCGTAGGCCTCGTCCGTGAGCTCCGGTTTCGCTTGGTTGTAGTAGAGGTTGTCGTGGCGCTCTAATTCTTTTTCTAGGGACGCGAGGTCATCGCTCTTCGCTGCGTAGGCGCGCGCGCAGCGCCGCAGCGGCGGGCGTGCTGCGCGTAGCAATGCCCGGGCCGCACACAGCAGCATCGCTAATAAAACTTGTCGCATGGCATGTCTGCGTCAAATGATGCGTCTCAGTTGATATAATAGGTCTCCGCGCGGCCTCGCGCTCGAGAAACCTTGCCAAGCGCACCTAGCGGCATGTAAAGACACTAGCAAGCCGAGCCGGGACCGCTTAAGCTGCTCAAAGGGCACGCACTGGGTGTGAGGATCACGCGTGTGCTTCGTCTCTGACCCGTCAACGTTTGCCATCCATCGCTTTGAGCCGTGCGACGCTAGGCGGCGCGTAGTGGTAAAAAGCGATGCGGCGCCTGCTTTGCACGCTGCTGCTGGCAGCGACGGCAGGGGGCATCACTCATCGCACGCATCGTCGCATCTGCCGCGGTGGTGCTGCCGCCGTCGAAGCGCCGAAAAAACTCACAACCGCGCCGCCGCGGTGGACCCGCAGTCGCGGCGGCACCGGAGCAAACACAACAACTTACGACGCCGTCGTGCGGGTCCACCGCGGCGGCGCCGGAGAAAACACAACAACGTACGACGCCGCCGCCGTCGCCGCGCTGGAGGAGCGCGTCGCCGCGTCGACCCCTCAACATCCGTACGCCGGCTTCGCGGAGACGACGGCGCTGCTCGCCGACGGCTGTGGGAACGTCGCACAACTCGCCTCTCGTTTAGAACCGACCTACCGCCTGCACGTCGCCGTGCTGCGCGCGAGGGCCGCCAAGGCCTTCGCCGACGCCCTGGATGCCAATGATTCGCCCGAGCGCATCGCGGAACAGGCCGTCGAGGCGGAATTTGCGTTCGCCGATGAAATAGAGCGTTGCACGAGTTTGCACTACGAGACGGACGACGCCGTCGAGGCGTTTCGGGACACGGTCGCCACGATCGTCGAGGACGCGCTCGCCGCGCAGTCGCTTGAAAGTCTCCAAATGAGCGACGGCGACCTTCCTTCACAAAGGGAGCGGCTCCTCGCATTCGTCCGGGAGCACAAGCGGTTCCTGTGGCGGGGCGGCGCTCTATTGCTCAACATCGTACAAGCGAGGGTCGCGGCGCGGCAGGCGCGGAAGGCCGCCGAGCGGCGAGACCGGGAGCAGCCGAAGATACCCCTATTTTGATAAGAGCACATTATAGTTATAACGCACAGACAGGGGATGGGGAACAAGCGCGCGTCACTCGTAGGGGGGAACAGGGGATCGACAGAGGAGCGCTGCTGCAGGCACACGACCTAGCGGAGCGGGTTCGCCGTACCAGAAGGAATCACGGTGAAGACCATGTCCGTCTTGCCGACGTGGACGACGTCTCCAGCATTCAAGAACACTCTACCAGAGACCGTCTTGCCGTTCACCTTCGAGCCGTGCGAACTTCCAAGATCCAGGAACACGACGCGGCCGTCCTTGAGCGAATCGATGCGCGCGTGTTCGCGCGAGACGCGCTTGTCGTCGTCGACGGCGACGTCGCACTTGTGGTCCCTACCGATCATGACGCGTTCGGTCTTCTCCGTAGAATGTTTTAACGAAGTCCAGGCCTCATACACCCTTTTCCCGGAGCCGTTCTTGATCGCATCTAGCGCTTTCAACTTCGTAGAACACTTGGGCATCTTCGCGAGCCGTTCTTTTAATGCAGCGGGATCCTTGGGCGTGTAGATCAACACTCTCTCACCTTCCTCAACAGGTTCACCGAGATCTTTTTTCGAGAGGCAGTACTCCTTGTAGTCTTGGGTGGTCTTGAACTGGTCATAGGCTAGCGCGTGGAGTTCCGCGACACATGCGGCGCGCACTTCGTTCACCGGTAAAGCCTTCTCGCCGTGGGGGTACATAGCAGCAATACACTCCTTTCGAGCATCGACAGCAATCTCAGAAGGTAATCTACCGCCGTCCTCCAGGAAGTCCTCTACTAACCTTTTTTCGAGCTGCTTGACCAGTACCGAAGTATCGGCGAACTCCAACGGATCAAATTCCGACGCGTCCTTGTGTTCTCTGCAGAGCCGCCAACACGCGAAGACGTCCTTCGTCTTCTTGTCCTCTAACGAAGCCACAAACCTTTCGAAGGCGTCGAGGCCACTGTCGTCGTCGATGAGCGAGGCGAGATCGACACCTTCCGTCGCGTCCATCTCCTGGAGCTCGTTGAGGGCTTGCAGCGTGTTGCCCTTGTCGTCCAACTTCGCCGTCGACCGAATGATGGCTTTCAACCACTCTTCTAGGGCTACTTGGTGGGCCGCCCGCACGACGAACGTCCGCAACGGCGTCACCAGCGAGAAGACCATATCACCACTCTTCTCAATAGCATCCGCATCTAGCACAACATGCAGATGGTTCAGCGACACGACGCCTTCCGGGTTGGCCTTGGCTTCTTTTTCGGACGACCCATAAACTAACGTCTGGTCGCTCCGTAACACGCAGTAGGCCTTGGCGAAGCGCGGTTCACTCGTAGAAGAATCCTCGAGCAGCTTGCCGTAGAACTGCTCGTCCTCGTACTCGGCGCGCCTGCGCGGAGCATCTCGGTCGCTAATGGCCTCAAACTCGAAAAAGAAACGACCCCCGGCATCGTGCGATGGCCACGAGTCCATCTAAGGAAGTGAAGACACCCCAACACGACGGGACGCCGCGAGCGCGCTGGAACTCGAGGTAGCCCTTCTTGAGCGACTTGACGCGCTCGTCCTGCACGACGTAGCCCGTGCACTTCAGGGAGGCCAGGATCTGGTGCATGCGCTTGAACTGGCGCTGGGCCTGATCTAATAATAAGGGAGCCATCTCCTGGAGGGCCGTGGCCTTGGCCTTGAGTTCTTCGGCGTCGTACACCTGCTCGCCGGCCGCTCTGAGCGCAGCGACCCAGGCGCGCTGGGCTTCCAAGTCCGGAGCATATAAGGTGAGCGTTCTGGTAGGAGTATACACGTAGAAGGACGAGCCCCGGTTCTCGAGGTCGGCGACGAAGTCGCGGTCGACGTTGCCCGATATCAGGGCTTCCGTGCCGTGGGCGTAGGCCGCGAAGGTCGCCGCGCCTGCGTGTGTGTAGAGTGATCATCATGAAGACGGCGGCGCGGCGACCGCGCCACTGCTCTCACGAGACGCGTCGACGGCGTCGAGGCGTCGCGTCCGCGTCGACGCCATCGACGCGACCGCGAGACGCGTAGACTCTCTCGAGACCATGAAGACGCCATCGACGCCGAGGGACGCACCGCGCGCGGCCTCCTCGTCCGCGTACCGGACCAGATAACTTCCGACGAGGCGGTAGTAGCGCCGCGTGCTCCCGTTGGGCGTGGCCCAGGCGAGCCAGCCCTCCTGGGTTGGAGGGGCATGATACGTAGACTTGGTGGTGCCGGCGCGCGGCGGCTCCGCGCCGGCTTTGGGACCCGCCCTCAAAACGGCGACGTGCTGGGCCATGGCCTTCTTGTCGTCCTGGCGCATGGACGCTCTTATCAAAGCGGACTTGCGCTTGAGGCGCTCCTGCGGCGGAAGGCGCGGCAGTGTTTTTTTTTAGGGACGCGCGGCGGCGGCGGAAAAGGCGCGCGGTGGCTTGAGGGGACACTGGACGCGCACGGCCTGGACGTGGGGCACGCTGGGCCGCCGGTAGTTGTTCTCCTTGTCGGCGTCCCCCACAAACAAGGGGTTGAGCTCCTCGTCGGCGCCGACGTCGCGGGCGTTCTCGCCGCAGGAGGCGCCGTTGCCCATGGTGAAGGGTCTGCGCTTCCTGTTTTGTCTGCCGGGGCAGTCGTGCGGTCGTGCGCGCTGCCCAAAAGCTGGTTTTTCAGGCAAACAAGGCTCATAGAAAGCTACTAGCATCGCTGCCCCGTCTGGTCGGCTGGATTCCTGCGGGGCAACGGGGCGGGAGTGGCCCCGCAGGGATCATCGGACGGGTAGGCCGGCTAGTGCGTCTGTCTCTATGGTTAGCAAGCTGATTATCGAGGCTGTTGGTGCGGCTTAGTTTAGCATTCGTGCGCTTGCGTTGCTGTGCGTCGCGTCAAAATACAAATAATTCATATTCGGCCGCTGCTCGCAGTCCCGTGCGCTCTAGGTAGCGCCTTGGAGGCAAAACCGCTTTCAAAGCCAACTGCTGGGACGGGCGCGCGCCGCCGCTTTCAGCACCAGAAGATGGCCGCGACCGATGCCGACGACGCCTACGTCATGGATCTATCCGAGCGCCACCTCTCGAGCCGCGGCCTCCACGACGCGCTCGCGCGGCTGCAGCGCGTGCTCCACGACGAGGACGAGCGCGACGGTGTTACAATAGCGCGGCCCCTGGAACTGCTCTGCGCGGGGAACGACGTGGCGAAGTTCGCGCTGCCGGCTTCTGAAAAGCCGCCGCGGCCAGAACCCGCACCACGACAGCGCCAGCCAGAGCCGGAGCCGCCGACGGTCGAGTCCTACGCGGAATTACATAGATCACAGGGCGGTTTGATGGACATGATGATGGGCTGGCAGGACGACGACGACGAGACGGTCGACGAGGAGGACGTCTACGAGGAGCCGCCGCCCCCGCCGCCGCCCCCGCCCCCGAAGCTCGCCGTGCCGCTGGCATCGCGCATCGTCGTCCTCGACCTTGCCGGTAATAGACTGGGGCCGGACGCGACGCCGTCATCAAAAGCTTTATCGTCGTTGAAGAAGTTGAGAACTCTAAACCTCGCCGACAACGGTTTGGAGACCTGCTCCGGCTTAGCTTCTCTCGTGAATCTCGAGGCGCTGTTCCTCCAGAAGAACTACCTGCGGAGCGCCGACGGCCTCTGGGGCCTCTCCAAATTATCTTCGTTAGATTTAAGGGACAATGATATAAGGAGCGTCGCGGCTTTAAGGCCGCTCAGCTGCAACGCGGCCTTGCGCTCCTTGGACGTGCGGGGCAACCCTTTGTGTGATGATGCGGCCAAAGCTAGAGACGCGCGCGCGCGTTTACGAAGCGTGCTCGTGCGGCTCGCGCGCCTCGGCGTCGGCCCCGACGCGCGCGACGCGGCGCCGTCGCAAACTACCAATAAAGCGCTTGCGGACATCAAGCCCGCGGCCGCGGGCGGCGACTCCTACGCGGGGACGCACCGGCGGCAATTGGAAAGGCGGACCGCCCCTCAAACGACGACGCGGACGGCCCGGTCGGCGCCGCCGCGGTCGCGGCCCGCGCCGCCGCGCCGGCGGCGCGCGCCCTCGCCGCCGCCGCCGCCGCCGCCCGAATTGTCGCCCGAGGCGCCGGCGCGCTTCCGGCCGGACAAGGAGGCCCTCGCGGACCTGCCCTGGCGCCAGCCGCCCAACCCCTTGCCGCGCTGGATGCTGGAGCGCGAGGTCGGCGCGGCCGCGGCGGACGTCGTCGTGCGGACGCGGCGCGGCGCGGCGCGCAGGGACATCCGGCGGGCCGCGCGCCGGGCCGCGGCGCCGCACCCGCCGCCGGATAGAGCCGTCGACGAGGTCCTGGGGGCCGTCGAGCGCGTCATCTCGGGGCACGAAGCGGGGCGGCACCGGAGCCGCGTGAACGCTCGTGCTGGCAATCCGCGGCCGTTCGCGGTTTAATTTTTGCTTGCTAAACATAACATGCAGGGGGACTTATGCCGTCGGGGAGCGGGTGGCTTAGTGTCAAAATGAAAATATTGCTAGTGTCTTACAATCGCTAGCTAATTCCTATCGCAGAGCCGTCGCAGAGCCCTGGGCCAAGCAGACGACCGCACCGCTCGTTTTGCAATCTTTTTAGACCCCTATCTTATCGCTCCTGAGGCTGCTCTGCCGCACGCCAGCGACGATGCTCGCCCGCGCCGCATGCGCAGCCCTGCGGCGACCGCTCCTCCGCCGCCTCTCGACGGCGCCCCCGCGCAAGCTCGACCGAGCAGCAAGAAGAGCGGCCCGCGAGAAAAAAGCCGACCCGACGACGAAGGACACGGGCACCACAACGAAGCTCTGGGTCTCGGTCGGCGGCACGACGGCCTTTTTGAGTGTAGGCATCTATTCGCTAATGGCGGACCCGAACGAGTCGGAGCTCGCGAGAAGTGCGCAATCTACATCAGTAGGTAAGTGGCTCACGGCCAACGTCGGCGAGATGGCCTCGACCTTCGTCAACCCTTGTCGGGAAAAACTCCTGCCGGACTGGCCCCCGGACTACTTAAATTTGGATTCGAACGTGCCCTGCCCCCACACGTTAGTTTTAGACTTAGATGACACGTTGGTTCATGCGTCCTGGGACCGCAAGTTCGGCTGGCGCCACGCCAAGAGGCCGGGCGTCGAGCAGTTTCTCAGAGATATGGCCATGAAGTACGAGATTGTGATATTTTCGTCGAATATTGCCGGAGTTGGGGATCCCGTGGTCAACGCCTTGGACAGGGAGGGCTGCGCCATGCATCGGTTATACAGGGAGTGCACGCACTTCATCCGCGGCACACACGTCAAGGACCTGTCGAAGATGAACCGGCCCTTGTCGAAGATCGTCGTGCTCGACAAGGACCCCAAAGCCCTGCAGTTACAGCCCGGCCACGTCATCATCGTGCCGCCCTACACGGACGCGACGGACAAGTCCGATTCATATCTCGAGGACATCACGCCCTTTTTACAGGCTCTGGTGAACGAGGGAGTGAAAGACGTCCCCATGGCTTTGGCCAGGTTTTCCTCGCACAACGCCTCGGATATTGCCAGAGAGTATGCAGAAATGCTGGAGACTGCGAAAACGAAGACCGAAGGCGTCCGTTCGCTAGGTTTAGGTGGCTTCGTACGAAGTTCGCAGAAGATGCCCGAGCCCGAGCGCAAGGCTGGGAGCTTGTTGGCCGAGGCCGGTCTGACGGCGTCGGCCATCGCCGGCGACGCGCCCGACGCGAGGCCCAAAAAGGGGCGCCTCTTCGGCTTCTGGGAGGCGCGCGCCAAGAAGGCTGAGGAGGACCAAAAATTAAAGATGGCGGCCTGGGACAAGGTCCTCCAGAAGCGCCAGCAGCAGAAGCGGCTCGCGGCGGAGCGGCTAGGTTGATTCTCGTAACTCTTGCTTTGTTCTATCTATTCTCTTCGCGTCGACGGCGTCTATATTTCCTGTTCGTTCAGGGGGAGGCGCCAATCTCGTGCGCAGCGCGTCGAAGGAGTACGGGTTCCCATGTTCGAACCATGTTTACCGCCCCGGGGCGCGGCTTTTAGGGCTGCGCTAGCGGCCTGTAAGACACTAGCAAAGCATGTTTTGATTTGACCACAAGCTCGACGCGCTGGGCGCAAACACTGCGAGCTGCACTGCACCTCGGAAAACGTACGCAGGGACCGCAGCATTACTCGCTTCCAAAAGGGCTGCCTTACAAGTGCTGCTCCGACGCACGAAGCACACTTAAGCAACAGAGCAGACCAAGGACTTGAACAGAGCAAGCGGACATGTCGCGCGGCTTCAACACCTCCATGCTCGACGCCGTCGCGGCGCTCGGAAACGCCGCGACGTCGCCGTCGTCGCGGCACTCGGGCTGGAGCGACTCGGACGAGTCCGACGACGGCGGGCCGCCCGAGCCCGTGCCCACGCCGGCGCGGCGCGCGTCCAGACCGCCGGCGCGGCCGCGCACGGCGAGCCGCCCGGCCATCGACATGGCGCGGCGCCAGGACATGCTCGACGCCGCGTTTCCTTTGAGACGGCGCCGGCCGAGCGCGACGCCCGCGCCGCGCCGCGCGTCCGCGGCGCCGCCGCCGACGGCCGTACGCGAGGCGGCGCCGCCGCCGCCGCGCGCCAAGCCGCCGCCGCCGCCGCCCAAGCGGAAACCACCGCCGCCGCCGCCTCCCAAGAAACCGGTCGAGGACTGGGAGCACAGCCTCCGCGAGCCCATCCGCTCGAAGCCGCCGCCGCCGCCGCCGCGAAGCCCCATCGCCAGCCTCTCGGAGCTCGAGGATGAATTAGCGTCGCTGAAGCGCGACCTGAAGGCGCAGACGGCGCGGAACGCGGAACTCGAGAGGCGGAACGCCGAGCGTGAACGCGACGCGAACATGCTGCGCGCGGACCTCGCCGACGCCGAGGCCGAGCGGACGCGGGCGCTGCGGCTCGTCGTCGGCGTCCTGGGCCGCGACCGCGTCGAACGCGCGCTGGCGAACGGCGGCATCGGCTCGCTGCTGCGGGACGGGCGGACCGCGTACCGGCCGACGGGGAGCATGGGCCCGCCTTCCGACGCGGGACGGCGGTCGCGGTCGGACGAGATGTATCACGTAACGAGTTGGTAAATTTCAACATAAGATTACCCCCGCGCGCCCGCGACGACGTCGCCGAGACTCGTCTCCTCACGAAGCCCGTCGACGGCGCGCGCAATAGCGCCGACGAGCGACGCGTCGTTGGACCACTTCGGCCGCTCGCCGCGCCGCGCGCCGACGACGCAGGCCACCCCCTCGGCGAAGTCCGGCGCGCCGCCGAGCCGAGCGTTCGCGGCGAGCTCCACGCGCCGCCCGTAGCGCGCCGCCGCGGGGTCCGCGTCGCCGCGCCGCGCCGCGAGCCTATCGACGGCATCTAAAGTGATCTCGAGCGCCGTCGGGCAGCCGCGCTGCAAACCGTCGGCCGCGGCGTCGAGCACATCCAGCACTCCGTCCGCGGCCTCGCGCGTCGCCCAGCCGCAGGAGCCCTGCAGCTTCTTGGCCGCCTCTCGCGCCGTCTCGAGGTCGGCGCGCACCGCGTCCACCGAAGTACCTTTTTCAAAGGCGTCGCGCACGGCCTGCAGCGTCGCCTCGTTGAAGAGGCCCGACTCCAAGCGCCGCGGCGCGTCCACGCCGCGCCGGTCGAGGGGCGTCGCCAGTTCCCCCGCCGGGGCGCTCGACAGCTCCGCGTAGAGTTGATCCAAACCTAGATCTTCCTTGTCCGGCACGTAGCGCGTCGCGAGGCCCGTCCTGTACAAATCATGGGCGTTGAGCGGCACGCCCGTCAGTGCCAGATACCGCGCGACGGCGGGCTCGCAGTGCTTCGTGAGGAAACGTAACGCGCCGGCGTCGGGCACGATGCCGATCCGGCACTCGGGCATGGCGAGCCGCGACCGCTCCGTCACGATGCGCTCGTCGCAGGCCATAAAGACGCCCGCACCCGCGCCGAACGCCAACCCGTCCGCGACGGCGACCGTCGGCGCGTCGCGTTCCTGGAGCTTCTCGAGCGTCTCGTATTCGAGCCGCAGGAAGTCCCTACGCTCATCCACGGGTTCGCTCGCGACCGCGTTCACGTCCGCGCCCGCAGAAAACGCCTTGGCGTCGCCGCTCGTGATCAAGAGCGCATCATTTGTATCCTCTAGGACGGCGTCGAGCGCCTCCCACATGCTCCTCGTCAGCGCGTTGAGCTTGCCGCCCCTATCAAGTTCTACTCTCACTAAGCTCGGGCCGGCGCGCCACGTCGCAATTCCGCAGTCTGGCGGGAGAGTGAGCGCGCTGGCTGCTGCCATGGTTATTAGCAGTCTTGGCAGCATGGTTCGAGCGACTCTTGCTCGCGCGATTCGATCACTTTGGCCCCGGAGAGCACGTGCTGTCCAAGCTGCAAAACGCAGCAACCGCTGCAGCAGCGGTTCTCCAGCAGACGTTCGATCGCCAGCGATGAAGAAACGCGTCTTTTCAGCGCCGCAATCCCAGCGCTAGCGGCCCTCTGCTCCTTAGGCTTCCTTGCTAGCTTGCTACTTGCTAGTGTCTTACACCGCTAGCTCCACCTCCCCCGAAGCAGTCTTAGGCACAAAAAGCACGAATCAAGAGACCGCACACGTCGAAACCGCCGCCGGCGCGACCAAGACCTCGCCGCGCGGGACCGGCACGCGCTTCTGGCCGCGCCCCGGGAAGCGCTCGCGGACGAAGACGGCGTACGCCTCCGACGCGACGAAGGCCGGCAGGAACCGCGTGTCGAGGTCGCGCTTGACCGTGTCCACGATCCCCTCTACACAATCGAGGAGGCGCCCGGCGTCCGCGCGTTGGACCGCCTTGGCCCGCTCGTCTCCGAGTCGCCGCCGCGTCGTCGCGTCGCCGGCGACGGCGCTCACGTCGGCGAACGCGTCCCAGGGCCGGGCGTAGACCCGCCAGAGCCCGTCGAAGGCCCTTAACACCTCAACGAAGGGCCGATCTCTCAGTACGAGGACCGCATCGGAGTCAACCAAAAACCGCAGGGGCTCGGCGTCGCAGCGCCGCGCGAGATATGAGGAAGCGTGCTTCGCGAAGACCGCGTCGTCGCGCAGCAACTCCGCGTCGACGCCTTTCAAAGCGAGCCGCCGCTCGAAGGATCGCAAACGCCGCGTCCGGTCCGCGTCGAAGCCCCCGGCGGCTTTGACTAGTGCCGCGTCCGCACTGTTCACGGCGTAGCATCTGCAACGGTCCGAGGCGACTCTGTAAACGCGTGTTTCGGGCGCGCCGTCTAGTATCACACACTCGTTGACGAAGAACGGCGCCTTTAGCAACCGCTCGTCGGCCTCGACGGTCCCCTCGACGACGACGACCATGTCCTCCCCCAGCTCCAGTATTTCGTCGTGGCGGTACCGCCGCTCCCGTAACGACGAGAGCGCCCAGCGCAGCCGGTCGCGCGCGCTCGCGTTGATCGTCGTCCGGTCGATGCGGAAGAGGGCGCACCAGTCGTCCACACTTAAATTCTTGAGGTCGCGGAAGGACGCGTGGCGCCGGCCGGCGTCGCGGCGTCGCCCTTGTTGCTGCGTTGGCCGCTGGGGCTGTTGTGTCTGCCGCTGGTGGTGTTGTTGTGCCGGCCCCGCGTCTGGCGCCGCGTGTGTGGCTGCTTCCATGATTGTGTGGCTTGTCTTATAGGGTGAGCTGACCCGCATCCGGCCGGCGGGGCAGCCCTTTTGGGCTGCCATGCGCGACACAAGGCTCATCGATTTTCAGGCCGAGTTTTTTTTTAGCGGTCCGCGGGTCCCGAGTCGTCCGACGAGGCGTCGCGAGGCGCAGGAAGGGCTGGATGATCGGTCGCGGGAAACGCGGCGTTCCAGCATCTCCAGCATCTCCATGTAGCGCTGTGAGAGCTTGCCGCGGGAGCGCGCCCGCCCCACTATTTAGCGCTTGCGCTCGGCACGGAGACCCAAAGGCTTTCCGCTCCCGTAGCGCCGACGCAGCGGCTGCCCCCCCACCCCGCGCTGTGCAGCAACAGACTGCCAAAAGAGAGCCAGGGCCCGGACGCCAGCCGACGCCAGTGCCGCAAGACTGACCGCGAAGCTGCCCCCAACCCCACAACAGCAACAGGCTGCTGTCCAAGAGCAGGAGGACTGACAGCGAAGCACCATGAAGGCCCTCGCCTTCCGCCTGCCGCAACCAGTCGGCGCCCGCGAGGACCCCTGCCGGGCGAACGCGCGGCGCATCCTCCGGAACTTGGTGGGAGGCGACGCGCGGGACTACGGGAAGGCCCTCAGTCGATTCCAGCGCCAGGCCGCGCGCGGCCGCGCCGACGGCGAGGCGTTGTTAATTTTACTAAAGCACACGCCCGACGAGGCCTCGGCGGCGGCGCTGCTCGCGACCGCGGCGGACGCCGGCGTCCGCGCCGACGCCGCGATCTGGGCGGCGCTCGAGCGCAAGTGGCGCGTCGCCGGGGATATTTCCGCGGCGGCCCGCGCGCGGTCGTACCTCGTCGAGTTGGACGCGCCGCCGCCGCCGCCGCAGACGTCGGAGCGCCTCGCGCGGAAGCGGACGCTCTGGCTGAGGAGGCTGGCGGCGCGCAGCGAGCACGACCAGTGCGCCGCGGCGGTCAGCGCCTTCGTCGCGTCCGGCGCCGCGACGCCGGCGATGCTGCGGGCGGTGCGGCGCGCCGCGGATGCGTCGAAGGCGCTCGACGCGGCGCTGGCCCGCGACCCGTGCCTGGAAAAAGCGTTCGAAGCCGCCGCCGCCGCGCCGCGCGAGCCCCGGAGCCGCCGGCCCTTCACGGCGCCGCCGCCGTCGCCCGACGCGCCCGTCTCAGCGACGCCGGACTCGTCGGTGCCGTCGTCGCCGTTCGGGGCGTCGCCGGAGCCGTCGCCAGAGCCGTCGCCGGCGCCGAGCGACGACGAGGCGGCGTCCGTGCCGAGCGACGACGACCAGTCGTTGGCCACGTTCATGAGTGGCCTCGGGTCGCTCAACGGCGTCGTGAGCCTGACGGGCAACCGCGTCGGGCCCTGGTCGGCGCCTTCGTCTCGGGCGGGGACTGCTCGACAATCGACCCGGTCGCGGAAGAGCTTGGGGGATGACCCGGAGTAATGTTTTCAAGTGCATACGAGTAAGTTGTTATGACGAGGAGGGTCAGCAGTCGGCTCCGGCCATCGACTGCGCGCGAGTCCGAGACTCGTGTGAAGCGCCCTACGCGGGCGGCCAGACCGGGTCGCCGGGCGGCGCGGGCCGCGAGTTCTCGGGCGCGCGGGGCGGAGCTCCAGGTTTCGCGTCCGCGGGCCGCTCTCCGCAGAGATATACGGGCGGCGACGACACCGCGAAGGAGCCGCAGATGAAGCATACTCCCGCGCCTAGGAAGATCAATGAAGCGATGATCCATTCCGGCTTCTTGCCCCACATGAGGAAGCCCCAGAAGATGAAGAAGCACCCCTTGCCGAGGTAGCTGTCGAGGATGAGCATATACTTGACCACGTTCGGCAGGTAGACGCACTCCGTCGCCACCGCGAAGGCACCAAACCCAACCATATAAAGGCCGAGAATGAACTCGCGAGCCGCGTCGATACCCTTCTCGGAGGCGGCCGCGCAGATTGCTATGCCGATGACCATTAAGAGACCACCCATGAGGGCGCCCGCCAGGTTAAAGATGCGGTTGGCGGGGAACCGCGATTGCTGCGCGGGTTGGTCCGGCATCGTTATTGCTGTTCTGGGCGCTTGCCTCGTAGATGGTCAATGACGACAAGTACTCTCTCTCAATGACGACGCGAAGCCTTGTTTTGGCTTCTTGGCCAGGGGAGGTGGCACAGTGGTTTGCGCGGCGCGGCTCCGTTTCTTACGGCGGTAGCGTTGTCTCGCTTCTCCCGCGCCTCGGCTGTGGGTGGTCCTTAGTGTGCCAATTCAGGTTCGCCTGCCCAAAAAAAATTCAGCCCCGGGTTTTTGCAAGGCGTGTGATCGCTTTTGCTTGCCTAGTTCAATGAAAAAGGCCCTTGGGGTGGGTTCGACGGCTTTTAGACGCGAGCCTGATCTCCTGCGGCGCCACCAAGCCCTACCCTGTTGCCGCACTTAAGCTGTCCCAATTTCACTGAGGAGTTACGCCCAGTCTAGCGCGCCCGCCGTACTATCTCGCGTTACGGATTACGCGCACGCTCGCGCCATGCCATTGGCCGCGGCCGGCGGCCTGCGCGCGCCGGGCCGCGTCAATCCCGAGTTAGAGCCGACGGACGACGAGATCGAGGCCGAGCTCAACACCATGCTCGGCGCGCCGGCCGCGGCGGCGGCGCTCGCCGACGTCAAGCAGGAGGCCTAGCTAAGACGAATCCACCCCCCACATCACCATCTCGCGTAATACATACCTGACATACCTGACTTACAACACATATGCCCTGGCTCGTACGACATCGCGGCGATGGCGTACCGGTGAGCTAGAAGCACCCTCTACAACGACGTGTCATCTCCGCGCCATCAACGAAGCGCGCCGGCTCACGGCTTCTTCTTCACGAGGCCGAGCTTCCTGGCGATCACCGACTCGGCGGCGAGGTTCTGCACGCACCACGCCAGCGTCGCCGTCGGCAGAAACTCGACGGGGATCGGCAGCCACTCTTCGAGGAGTCCCGCCACCGGAATGGCGAACGAGTCCTCGAAGAGGTACCTCAGCACGAAGTAGTCGAGGGGCCCGAGCGCGAGCTCCAGGAGCCCGTGGAAGGGCAGCGACTCCGACAGATCCCCGGCGGCGTCGAAGGCGATGCACAACAGGAGTTTCTGCCACTGGTCCGCGGGGATCGATTCGACGATTTCGAGTACTTGTGCCGCCGGCGCCGCAGCCGCGCGGGCAAGTGCAGCCGCGAGCGTCACGGGAATCAACGCAATGCCAAAGGCCGGGACCGCGGCGAGAATGGCGAACGGTCGCACGACGTCGGCGATGCCGTCGCGAAAGTCCTGGAACGATGCGAGCGCGAGCGTGGAGTCGCACAGCGTCGACGCGTCGAGCGCATGCAACACTGACGCGTCGACCGCATGCTGCGGTGCGACGCGGAGGACGCTGTGAGTGCCGCCCGGGGCCACGAATGCGCCAGCGCAGGACGCCAAGAGCAGGAGTGGCAGCATGGGTGCCGTTCTCCGCATCGATGGAACTGGCCTAAGATGCCTCGTCGTTGAAGCTAAGGGGTCGGTCGACGGCTGCTGTGTAGATTTGTGGCTAAAACGAGCGGCGGCTGTGGAGACAGGGCCGCCACGAGGAGATGCTCTCCATGCATGCTCAGCAGCAAACTCGAGCACGAAAGACGCGATCGCTGCGACGGACGCTCAGCAGCGGTGAACCAAATCACTGGCAAATACCACAGATCATCTTGCGACCGCTAAACGGCGCACCGCATCGACGCATGTGGCGCATGATGCTGCTGCTCACCTCTCTGACACGGCGTGGCGGACGCGCATTCGTGGCGACGCCGCCGCGGCGCTGCGTATCACGCGTCGCGCGCGGTGCGGCCGCCGACGGCGTCGATCCGCTCGATGTCCGGCGCGCCGCACTCGTCGACGCCATCGACGCGGCGCTGACGAAGGAGGCGCGCAAGGCCGACGCCCTGCGCAAGGAGGCCAAGGCCGCCGCCGACGCCGAGGCGATGGCGCACCGGGCCAACCTCATCTTCTCGAACCTCTACCGCATCGAGGACGGCGCCACCCAGATCTCGGTCGAGGACTGGGAGAACGGCGGCGAGGTCGTGGAGATCACGCTGTCGCCGAAATTCCGGTCCGCGAAGGAGGAAGCGGATGCCGGTTTCAAAAAGGCGAGGCGGCTGCGGCGCGGGTCCGCCGTCGTCGAGGAGTTGCTCGAGGCGTCGTCGGCCAAATCGACGGTTTTGGAGGGGCTGCGCGGCGACGCCGTCGACGCGGACGACGACGCGCTGGAGATGCTAGAGAAGCGCGCGGCGAAGAAGGGCGCGACCGTCGTAGAAGTCGAGGCTCTACCCAAAACAACACCGGTCGAGAAGAAGAAGAAGTCGACCTGGACCGGCCGGACCTTCACGAGCCCCGCGGGCGTGCCGATCCTCGTGGGTCGCTCGCGGAAGGAGAACGACCGGCTTTCACTCGTAATAGCGCGCGACGGCGACTACTGGTTGCACGCTAGAAATGCGCCGGGCGCGCACGTTTTATTGCAGCTCTCGCGGGCGCCGCGCTACTACAGCGAGCCGGAGCCGGACTGCCTGCAGATGGCCGCGGACCTCGCCGCGTTCTATTCAGATTTAAGAAATGAAGCGCGCGCGGACGTGACGTACACGTCGCCGAAGCACGTCACGAAGCCGCCGCGCGCGCCGCCGGGCGCGGTGCGCCTGCGCGAGGAGCTCGGGACCCACGTCGGGCGGCCGGACGCGGTGCCCGACGAGTGCAAGGAGAAGCGCGGGGAGTCTGGGCAGGTGGCTAGCTGGTGATAATTTATGTTGTTTGTATTACATCATATCTGCCTCCGACTCCGAGTCGTCGTCCCGGTCTGACGCCTCCCCAGGTCCAGTTGACCAGACCTGATTCGGCGCAGCCTTTTCGTACCATACCTCAATTTCTCCAATTTTTGATGTACTAGTCGAATAGTTGTACAGGTGAAGCGACGAGAGTGGCCTGTAGAAAAATTCCATGTCCCGGGCGACTAGCAGCCCGTTGACCAAAATATCGACTTTGCCCACGCCCGACGTCACCGATTCATGATGGACGAGCGCATCGACCTCATAAAATGTTTCAGCCGTCACAGCATCGATGAGAATTCGAGAATTACCCCTTTTCCCTGCCAACCACATGAGTGAAAATGCGTTTCCCTCGTCGTTATTAAACATAGGACCTGCCATAAAATCATCCCATTGGGCAACATCCTCATCATCGCCCGACTGCACGTTAGGACCACAGAGTGATGCGTAGCCCGCCGCGCCCTCTTGCTCACAATCCACAAAGCCCAGTTTCACCCGGAGTCGCGTCACGAGCAGATTTTCGCCACGGAAGTGGTGAGTAAGTGCCTTTTCGTGACCTCCTAAATCATCCTCCAAATCCCTATCGAGCCTGACGAAGCCACCTTCGTGCGACGGAAACACATTGACCGTATACGCATCAGGCGAGTCTTCGCTCCATTGCTCCAAGCCTCGCTCCCACCTCTCGCAAAAGTGCTGCGGCTCGCCAACCAGCAGCGCGTCGAGCAACGCGCCGCGCGTCGTCTGAGGACTCGGGACGGTGGTCTTGCCGCGGCGGCGTATCGCCGTAATAAGCAAGGACGTCTGGACCGCGCGCAGCGGCTTGGCGACGACGGGGAGCACCGCGATGGCTTTCGTCGGCAAGAAATCGACTACTGCGGTGCGCACGTCGTCGCGCGACCAGAGGGAGGCGAAGGGAGCGCGCCGGGCCATGGGTCAGGCTCAGTGAGCGCGCTGGGCCACCGGTCAGCTCAGGGGCTCAGGCTAATAATTCACCCTGGGCAGTAGCGGTCAATTTTTTTTTGTCGCTGCGATTCCTGCGAGAGTTTTATACACTGACGTGCTGCGTCGGCTCTCTACTCGCCGCGTGGCAGTGCCCAGGCCACAAGCTTTTTGCTAGTGTCTTACAGGCCGCTAGCTAACTTTCACGCTCATTCGCTCAATCTGGCCGCAGTGGTGCGCTGTCGACGCCGCTGGCTACGAAAATACCACTCATACTGCTCGCCAGCCAGCGATCGCTGCCGCATCAATCTTGCACCGCTATCGCTGCAGACACTATTAGCCTATTATACACAAGCATGGCAGCAATCACAGCCGCCTCCGACGCCTCGGACGCCTCCTACGAGTTACTAGTAACACCGGAAGAGCTGAAGGGCGGCTTAGTGGTAGACTACAACTACGAAGCGTACGCACGAAAAGCGTTGGAGGGAGACGCCGACGACATCGAGCGCGCGTGGGCGAGCAAGCTCGAGACGCACCCCAAGACGTACGACGGCTTCAAGTTCCGCCTCCACGCCGTCGTCAAGAGTGACGATAAAGTCACGCTGCAGGTCGGCCTGACGGGCTACCGGGAATTTGTGGGAACGCAGACGAACCCGCGACTACGGGCGGCGGGCAGCGCGCACCTCTCGAACGCCCTGGGCTGCGAGTGCGTGCTGACGACCTCTGATAACAAGATTGTACTACTGAGGAGGTCGACAGACGTAGCGTTTGCATCGGGCTTATACAACGGGCCTTCGGGCCACGCCGAGCCCCAATACGTGTGGAACAAGAATATTAGTAGGGAGGTCTTGCGCGACGGTATTATCAGGGAGATCGTCGAGGAGGTCGGCATCCCGGAGAAAGCTTTGTCCGAGCCGCGTTTAATTGGAGTGATGAGAGACGCGGATCAAAAGCCGGACTGCCTGTTTGTTTTGGAGACGACGCAGACGTCCAGTGAAGTAAAGGAGGGCTACCGCCACGCCCTCGAGGCGTGGGAGAGCGAGCGGCTCGCGTTCGTCGATTCCGAGGACTGCGGCCTCGCGCTGACGCCGGTGACGCGCGCGGCGTTCGCTTGTTTAGCGAGGGATCGGGCTTTGTAACTTTTTGTGTTGTGCTATCGCCGCATCGACGGCGTATACGGGGAGGGCGTCGTCCGCTTGCTAGTGCCTTACAGGCCGCTAAGCCTACGCATTTCCTGTGCTTTGCTTTTTGCCAGTCTAGCGAGCCCATTTTAGCCGCAGTGGGGCCCATCCTGTTTGAGCGCTTCACTAGTGTCCCAGGGACGAGCATTTTTGGGTACGAAACCTCAGAGATAAGGCTTGCCCACACTCAGTTTCCCACACTTAGGGGAAAGCGTGAATCAAGCGAAGCGGCGCGGTACCGGAGCACCCGCGCGAGCCAAATATTCAGGGCGCAAACAAAACCGGGACATAGACTGGTGAAGACGCGAAACCACGATGATCGTGGCCCGTGCCGCCGTCGCCGCGCTCGTGTCGCTGGATAGCTACGCGTTTCCGACGCACGAGAAGTCCGTTACATTATCCGCCGCAACGACGAGAAGTAAGATGGCGGCGATGAAACTCCAGGCGTCCGAGGGCGACGGCGACGAGGACGCGCTCTCCCCTGTCTAATCATGCTTGTTTTTAACTAAGGGGGCTTAGCCACTGACACCACGAGCTCCCGGCCCGGCAGCAGCATGAGTTGGGGCGCCTTCTCCGGCAGCACCGTGTCCACGAGGTAGCCGCGCCAGAGGTCGTCCTTGCGCTCAACCAACATAAACCGTGCCGTCGCCTCGACCGTGTCCGACTCCTCGCCGTCGGACTCGTCGCTCGAGAAGTCGTCGACGGCGGCCGTCACGGTGAGTTCCACGATCTCGCCGGCGGCGTAGGCATCGACGTCGGCGCCCGGCTTCAGCTCGAAGTCGTGCCGGTCTAAATCTGGCGCGAGCCACTTGAAGTCGCCCGGCGCGCCCGCGCCCGCCTTGACCAGCATCTCGACCAGAAAGTGGTTCCGCCGCGGCAGCGGCCCCGGGTCCTCGCCGTCGGCGTCGTCCAGTCCAAGGTCCGCGAAGTTCAAATCGTCGACGTCGTCCGGGTCGCCGGCCGTCGCGATGTCCAAGGCCGTGAGGCCGTCCTTCGCCTTCGCGGCCGCGTCGGCGCCGTTCGTCAGCAGCGCGGCGCACGCGTTGACGGCCATGGCGGCGGCCGCCGCGTGGAGCGGCGTCCAGCCGCGCGCGTCCGTGGCCTTGACGTCGCCGCCGCCCGCGACCAAGATGTCTATGAGCACTCTCGGGCAGTTCGCGTCGACCTGGTGCAGCGGCGTGCGCCGCTCGACGTCCCTCGCGTTCGCGTCGGCGCCCGCGTTGAGGAGCGCTCGCGCACACGCGGGCTGCGTCTCGCCGACGGCGACGTGCAGCGCCGTCGCGTCGTTGAACGTGTCGTCGTGGCCCTTGGCCGCATTCGGTTTTTTATCCAGCAAGGCCTGCAGGCCGTCGGCGTCTCCCTTAAATACCAATCGCACCGCATCGAACGTAGCAGCTTCGTCGTCGACTGGCTCCTCGCTGACGCCGAATGCGGCCATCTCTCTGCAGCGAGTTTACAGCCAAGCTTAGCCTTTGCGACGAAGAGGAGCTACTGCGTCTTCGAGTTGGGGCCGTGCACACACCGCAGCAAACAAAAAAGCAGGCAAAAGCCGAACCTAGCGGTGCGTAAACACACTAGCATCCCGCAGAGCCAACATATAAAACTGCCAAAGAACTGCGTACGCATCGACAATTGCGCGCAGGACAAAGCTGTGTACGCCATCGATGGTGGACAAGCGCGCCTGCATCATGGTCGCCCTGGCAGCCATTGCTGTGGTGGGGATATCGAGCGCGCTCAAGCGCCTGCGCGTGCGGACGGCCTCGTCGAAGGCCCAGGACCTCGCGAGCCTGTGGGTCGGCGGCATCGAGACGATGCTCGACGTGCCCGGCGCGGGCACCATCTCGCTGGCGCCGTGCGAGACCGCCGCGGAGTCGCGCGAGAGCTTCCCGGACGGTCTGCGGGCCATCCCGGCGGGCGGCGCCGCGTTCGCCGTGACGGCCTTCGACCCGCCCGGCGTCGCGCGGACGCGCGACGAGAACGCGCGCGAGAACGGCAAGCTCTGGGCCATGCTGAAGACGGCCGGCGCCGATGCCGCGTGGCGGGCCTACGGCGTCGACGTCACCGAGGGCTGGCGCGAGGACGGCTTCGTCCTGGCGTTCGCGGACGCCGCCGCGGGCCGGCGGCGCGTCGCGGCGGCCGCGCGCGCCTTCGACCAGGGCGCCATCTACGAATACACTTTAACTCAGGGCGCCGTGGCGCGGCGGACGCTCGGCGTCGGCATGGCCATGGACGAGACGACGTTCATGCGCCGGATGCCGTACGACGAGCTCCTCGCGCGGCGGCCGGACCTCGTCGGGTTGCCCTGGGCGGGGCCGAGCGACGGAGGGGTTCTGCCTTAATTTTTGTAATCAATATGTACAAACAAGAACTACCACTCCCTCTCCGGCACGACCTTGGCCTGCAGGACGGGCTCCCCCGCTTCTTCTTCGGCGTAGCTGACCCCCTCGACGACGCCCACGGCGGGCGCCGCCGGGGAGGCGACGGCGAACGTGGCACCGGGATACATGCCCGCAGGTATCTGGACCTGCATCGGCACGCCCGCAGGACTCGTGACCTGCATCATCTGGCCCGCGTGACTGCCGGGCGGGACCTGGACCAGGAAGGTGTTCTGGCCTGTGACCACCGGGCCTGTGATCACCGGCTGCACCGATTGCCCGGGCGGGAACCATAGGCGCAGATAGTTTGGCGAGTGCTTTCCACCTCGCTGGTACGTCACATGCGTGACTACTCCCCGCGCCCGCCAGTCCTCAAAAGCTTCCTCGTAGAGGCGCGGGACCGCGCACGCCGAGGCGCAGATGAAGAAGATGATAAATGGAATTGGCAGCAGGTAAGGTATCAGGAACAGGAGCGGCCAGGTCACTTCGTAGTCCTTCGCGGGGCCCTCGAACATGGTCTTGCACTCCCCCTCGTCGGAGAGTCTCGCGGGGCAGCTTCCGCAGCCGTAGTTCGCGTCCCTCGGCGTGTGGTCCTCCGGCCGGTGCTCGTCTCCGTCGTGGTAGAGCGAGCACCGCTCGTCGATCCCGAAGTAGGCTTCGCTCGACCACACGTCCCAGCTGGTATTGTAAGGCCGCGCGGGGAGCTCGTGGTGATGTTTCCCCCCGTCCATGCCTTCGCCGCAGCACCAGAAGACGCAGCACGGCTTTCCATGAGGAAGGAGGAGGGGGTCCTCGCCGCGCGAGCATAGGCGCGCCTCGCAGCGGAGCCGCTTCTCCTCGTGGAACACGCCCATCATGACGCCGAATAACGCCGCGCCGAGGAGGAAGCAGGCGAAGCAGCCGCAGATCGGCCAGCGGTACTTTCCCGTGCCCTTGGCGACGTGGGCGTTGACGCCGCGTATGTACTCCCGCGCCTCTTCGCCGGAGACGCGGGCCAGGACGCGCTGGTCGTTGGCCACCGTGTACTCCTCCACACGCAAAGGACCGCAGTCGCACTGCTTGCCGCCGCCGCGGAGCTCGATTTGGAGGCAATTTGGGGGTGGCGACCAGGCGTTGCCCATGATGCCCCTGGGAGGTTGTTGGGGGCAATTTTGAGAGGGGAACAGCTGCGGGTGAGAGGTGAGCAGCGGCGGCGCTGCTGCCGTACGGCACAGTGAGACGGAAGAGCGGGGCAGCCTCTCAACAAGCCGTGCCACGCCCGTGGACGGGCCAATTTCTTACAATTACACTCTAAACTGGCGCGGGTTTTTGCCATCCACAGAACGAGATACAGAAAGATCTACAGAACGTATCTTTACAACAAGAAACACTACGTCTCCGAGGAGGAAAACACGTCGAAGGCGCCGCGGTGCCGCGCGCGCTTCGCGGCCGCGCGGTCAGTAGGAGCGCTCCGCTGCGCGAACGCGAGCGCCGCGAGATCTTCGAGCGCCGTCCGCCGCGCCGCGTCGTCGTCGGCGGTCGCCTCCACGGCCAGGCCGAAGGCGAGGCAGCGCTTCACGCGCAGCGCTGCGGCGACGGCCTTGCCGGAGCCCGGCGGCAGCGCCAGCATCGGCACGTCCCGTCGCCGTGCGAGCTCGACAACACCATCAAGCAGTGCGCGCGGCTCCGCCTCGTCGCATAAGGCGCACCAGCGCACGCCGTCGCGCTCGAGGCGCCGCGTCAACGCATTGAGACCCACGATTACATCCGTTCTGCGCAGGGCGGGCAGCGCCTTCGCCACGGCTCGGGCCGTGTCGGGCGGCGCGAGCGTGTACGGAGCTTCGCGGTCGCGTCTTTGCTCGGCTCTGCGCTTGCTGGCCTTTTTTGTGACTGCCTTGTTGAGCGCCGACATCTGTGCGTTGCACTGCTGCACTTTTTGGTGGCTCTCGCCTCGGCAGGCGTCTAGCGCTTCAAGCGCTGGCCCGTTGCCAAGAGTGTGATCTATAACGAACCTGCTGTAATGATTTCTGAGAGTTGTGGCGCCGCCCAGCAGCTCCTTGCGGCCCTCGTGAAGCTAAAAAGTGCGAGCTTGCTAGCGGTCTGTAAGACACTAGCAACCAGATCAAAAGCGACATGCAGCCGTCCGAGTACCGTTCCGTTCGCTAATAGTCCAAAGAGATCAATGGGACACGTACTGGGGGCCAAAAATATTCATTTCTTGATTCGCGGTGCGGAGGCGGACGAGGCCACAGGGCGGCCGCGCCGGTTTAATCCTGTCAATCCCCGCCGAAGAGGTGTCCCTGGGGTCGCCTAGGGTCGGTACTATACACGTGCACGCGCCTACACCGCATACGCTGCCGCTTCCAGCATATTTCGGCCAATTCTCTCAGCAGTGCGGCCCACTAAACCACCAATTACTTGGCCATGGCTTCCAGAGCTCTAGGAGCCCCCAAGAATCGGCACATGCGGTACAGGCGACTACCCGACCTCAGACCTATCCCAGAGGGAGTCCGGGAGCCGATCTACCCCCGAAAAAAGTGTGCAATTTGGACCCGATGGCGCCTCGTTCCCGTCAAAAACGCCAATTACCCGAGGGCCCCCAGTAGTCGCCGTAGCGGTCTCGTCGGACCCCATACTACCCCACCAATAGTCAATTACAAGTATATGACTTCTACACGCCGAGAAGGGTACTTTAGGCTGCCCACGCTCGGGACGTGAACATCTTGATCTGGACCTCGTGCAAGTCGGTCGGTCATGGAATAAATGATCGCGTCATGGTCCATGGTGATGTTACACGGGCTGATGGTCGCAGGTCCAGCTCTAAGCCCGAAATGAGAGAGATAGTGGGGTCTCGAGTCCGACGACCCGCGCCGAGCATCTTGGGGTCTCGGAGCAATGTAGTGAGCAGTCAGGCCGGTTACCTGGCCCGTCCCGCAACCGAAGCGCCTGAAACGCAAATTTATTTTATAAACCACCGGTCTGCGGCCTTTCCGGTGCCCCGCGTACGCACCGTCGTCCGCGAAGAACGGGCAAGTCGGTCGATTGTGAATAGAACAACGGTGTTATGGTCCATCTGGAGGGTGGCGTCGCTGATACTCGCGGGTCCTACTCATTTACCCGTTTATGTGTAAACGTGGGGCTGCCAAGTTGCCGTTTCGCGCGGCTCTAACGGAATATCTCAAATAGCTCAGTGGGCGCTGATGCGGGCTAGATGGACTCTAGCACTAACAAACGGAAGGCAACGAACATAAACGCGAGAGTTGTCTAGTAGAATTCTTCTCCCGCCCTCCGAGCGCGGGCCGTCGGCTCCGGTTCCGTCGATTTTGTGTGAAAACTTGGCTGGAGTTGATATAATGTACTATTTGGATGGGAGATGGCGGTGTCAATCGCTGGTGTATTTTGGCAAGCCGAAAGACTCATCCGCGAATGTCACGGGCGGTGCCTTCCGGGAGGCGCGAGGGTATGTTCCCGGGCCGCTACTCTGAAATATTTGGTCGCGGCGAACGACTAGGATGTATTCTGAATTTGGGTCATTCTTTTGACGCTATCGAGGCGTACCTTTGAATTTACTAGTGTGTCGATTACGCTAGCCCCAATTCGTCCGAGTTTAAGCTGCAAGGGGGTTAAACAACACTTAATTCGGCGGAAAATTGGTACACGACCTTCTATCACTGTGGCCTAATACTGAGGAACCGGAATACACAAACAACTGTTACTCCTTCTCGGGCAGGACCCACACCCGCGGCGGCGCGCCGCCGAGCGCCGGCCCCTGGATCGACGGCTTCTCGGACACGACGGGCTTCTCGAAGCGCAGCATCTTGCGCCCCGACGAGTTCCGCAGCACCTCGGCCATCCTCAGGACGTCGGCGCTCGACCGGTTCTTCGCATCCAGGACCTTGTCGTCGCCCCAGACGTAGGACCCGCGCACGACGGGGTGCTTGCCTCTTCCTAATTCCGACCGGCACTCGACGGCCGGGTTCGCCTCGGCAAACTTCGCAAACTCCTCGAAGACGAACGCGCGCGCGCCGCGCGACGAGCCGCCGTGGGGGCAGTAGCGCACGACGAGCCGCTGGAGCTGGGGCACGCCGCGGATCATGGCTGCTCGTCTCTGCGGCTGTGCGGCTGGCGTAAGCGGCGGCCGGCGTCGGGTGCAGCGACTGGCGGCGGTGGCGTCGGGTGCAGCGACTGTCTGGCTGGCGTAGTTGTGTGACGGTGCTGGTGGCCTGGCGGCTGGCTGTGGTCGTCGGCAGCGGACAGCAAGCAGTCCTCGCGCACGCGTCCCGCGGCGATTAATGCGTCCTTTGCGTTGGTCGGTCGCGCAAAAGTCGAGCTAGCGTATCGTAACATACTAGAAAAGGAAGCAAAACGCCGCCGCGCGACGCTATTTATACCTCCCGCCCACTGCTGCAGGCAGCGCTCATTCGCATAGAATCTCGGACGAAAACAGAACCAGACCACGAATCCGCCAAGTCGAGCAAGGCATTCAAAACACCAAGCCGCTTGCCAGCCGCACAACAACACTTGTCCATTGCGAGGCGGGATATTTAGATCGTCAAAAACAGGTGCGAAGCGCGCAAAAACGATGGACGAAACGCCGCCCACCTGCGCCGCAAACGCCCCCGACCAGACGACGACGACGACGCTCCTCGCGGTGCTCGCCTGCTCGAACGTCGTGCTCCTCTTCCTCGTGGGCTTACTCATGAGGCGCCTGGAGCGCGTGCACCGCAAGGTCAGCTCGCTCCTGAAGGCGACCTACGGCGCGCCGCCGCGGAGCGCCTCGAAGCAGTACCTGGGCGCCGCGGGCGCGAGCCCGCCGCGGCCGCCGAGCCCCGTCGACCTGCCCGGCGCGCGCGCGCCGTCGCCGCTGCGGCCGGCGCCGCGCGCGCCGTCGCCAGCGCGGGGCGAGCTGCGGAGGACTCCGTCGAACGAGTCCATCCGGTCGTCCGCGTCGGGCGACGACTACGCGTCGCTCCAGTACATGCTCGGCGACGAGGGCGGGGTCGGCTAGAGTATTGGTCTTTTTTGCCCCAGATTGCTCTGCCTCCATCCCAACGCGTGTCTTGGGGCTCGGCGCGATCGTGCGGGCAGGCGCTGTTTTTGCCTTGTCCCAGACTTGGCAAAATCGGGCATGGGCGGCTGGTAAGGGCCTCGTGCTGCAGGAATTTTTGCACGGTCGGCGTCGGGCAGGGGCCCGAGATACCCAACTACTTCCCAAGTTGACACAACAAAGTTAAACAAACCCATCAAGACGCCCGCGCAGCCAGCCGCCGCCGGACAACGGGCGCGACGACCCGCGACAGCCGCGCCTTGACGCCGTCGCCGAGCTTCGACAGACGCCCGCGCCGCCGCACGCCGCGCGCGTCGGCGTCGTTCAAATCCAGCGCCTCGACGGCCATGGGCGCCCACTTCGACGCTAGCGACCACTTCACGCCGAGGCGCGCGGCCAGGCCCTTGATCAAAACCGAAGACCGGGCGACAAATACTAAATCTTGAGGAAAAGACTTGAGCGACATCGCCGGCGCCTTCGGCGACAGCTCGCTCTGCTCGAAGCCGCCCGGCAGCGGCTCCGACGCATCATCAAACAGCCACATGGACACGGCCGCGGGCCCCTCGGGCCGCAGCGCGCCGTCCCTCAAAACCACGCCTAGCTCGTCGCCCAACTCCGCGAGCGGCTCGAGGTCCCTCAGCACACCGTAGGGCTCCTCAGTAGACCGTTCCCGCCGCGCGAGGGCGCACATGACCTTGCCCAGGGTACATCTTGCTTTGCCCGAGATTTGTTTCACTTGGCCGAAGTCGATGAGGCCAATGCGCCCGTCGTCGAGCACAAATAAATTTCCTGGATGGGGATCGGCGTGGAAGAAGCCCGTGCTGAAGATGCACCGCCCGAACGCGTCCGTTAACGCAGCGAGGAGCGCCTTGCCCGCCGGGCCTAAATCGGCGCCCTCCGGTAAGCGTTCTGCTAGTCTTGATAAAGGTTCTCCTCTCAGGTAATCCATGACCAGCACCCTTTTTGAGCATAACGACGGCACGGTTCTAGGTACCACTAGCGCGGCGCCGCCGGGAGCCTCATTGAGAGTAGTGCCAATCCTTTCCATGGCCGCGGCCTCCCTTATGAAATCGAACTCGTCGGCCAGCTGCGATTCCAACTCTTGGAAGACGATGTAGTAGTCGACGGGCGTCGTGCCCCGCAGCGGCTTCGCCAATCTTTTTAACTGTTTCACGTCGCCGAGGAGCGTCGTTTCCACACCTGGTCTCTGTACTTTAACAGCGACCTCCTTGTTCCCGTACTTTTCACTCAAAACCGCCCGATGCACCTGGGCCACCGACGCCGCGCCGAGCGGCGCGTCGTCCCACTCACTAAAAACGTCTTCCCAGACCTCGCCAGGTCTCAGCGTCTCCTCGGCCACGACGCGCCGCACCTCCGCCGACGGCAGCGGATCGACGAAGTCCGTCAGGCCCGCCAGCGCATTGGAATACTGCTTTGGGAATAAATCCTGGCGCGAGGCGACGATCTGGCCCGTCTTGACGTAGAAGCCGCCCAGATCGTCGACGGTTTTCCGGAAGGCCGACGCGCCGCTGACGTGGGCGTCCTCCCAGGCGACGGCGCACTCCTCGTCGGACAGGCACGTGCCCGAGAGCCTTTCTTGTAGTTCGATCGACGCGAGCTGGCCGAGGTACTTGGCGACGACGGGCGTCGCGTACCTCCAGAACGTCGCCGCGCGGCTGAGCTGGGCCGTCGGCGTTGATAGAGCTGTGGCGCTCGCGAGCAGCGCTGCAATGGCGTGCAGGCGCATGGTGGTTGTGTGCCGGCTGCGTTGCGTCGGTGGATGCAAAGGCGTCGACGGCGAGAGCTGGCTGTTGACGGCGAGAGCCGGCTAGTTCACGCGAGTGGTGCGTTTGCTCGCACGCTGCCTGGCGTGTGCCTCCGAGCTTGCTCGTTCTAGTATGTCAAGACGCTAGCTCGCCCGCTGTCTGCGGGAAGTCGCGGGACAAGTTGATTGAACGGGCGAACGTTGCACATTGTTCGGGGGGGTTTGCCGAGGCGGTTCTGCTTAGAAGGAGGTACGCTGTTATGAAAGAAGCGGCCCGCGCCCGCCGCCGATGAATCGGCGACGCGCGGTGTCTCCCCCCCAGGGGCTCCGCCCACTAGTCCTAGCACCGTAACATCGATATACTCCGACCGGCGACTCCGCCCACTAGTCCTAGCACCGTAACAATATATTACGTGTAAAAAACTGCACAACTACTTACCATCATCATCATCAACAACAAAAGAAGCACGCTCCCTCGCCACCGCCAGGTTCGACGCGTGCACGTCCGACGGATTCAGCGCGTAGGCCCGCTCGAAGAACGCGACGGCTGCCGTCGTATCGCCGCGATTGATCGCGTTGGCCCCCGCGTTCTGCAGCGCCGACTCGTGCGACGGCGCGCAGGTCAGCGCGCCGGCGTACATCCGGCCCGCCACGTCCAGCTCGCCCTTCTCGTCGAAGAAGACCCCGAGGTTGTAGTGCGCGTCGGCGGCGCGGCCTTCACAATTATCGGTGCTCTCCAGGTACGCGAGCCAGGCTTCCGCCGCCCCGTCGCGGTCGCCCGCCTCGTGTTTTGCGACGCCGCGCGCGAACAGATCCGGTTCTGTCACCTCGGCGATCTGGTTCAGCAGTTCCCCGATCTCGTTCAATTCCGCCGTGAGCTTCTTGATCTCCGCGCGCGTCGACGCCGCGTCCGTCGCGTAGTCGGCGGCCTCGGTCGGCGCCAGCGCGTCGAGAGACTTCTCCCAGTAAGGTGCCCGTGGCGCCAGGAGGCGCCGCGCGAGCGCGAGCTTCGTCTCGTTTACAGCTGTGGCCTTGACCACTCGACCCGCGACGGAAGGCTCCTCCAGTCCGAGGAACCGCGCCAGGCCCCGCACTGTCTCCGCGGGCCGCGCCACGACGACTTCGTACGTGACTCGCAGCGTCGGCGCTTCTAGCGCAAACAACTGCCCGAAGAGCGCGTCGGCGTTCCTTGTAAACGAGTCGCACGCCAGGACGATGTCGCCGCCGCGGAAGAAGCGCCGCGCGGCCGATAAAGCCGCCCGCGCCGGCTCGCGCCACAGGACCACGATAAAATCCGGCTTGGCGACCGCAAAGTTCGGCCGCCGCTCGACGTCCCGCGGCTGCGAGTGGGGGTAGCTCGAGGTCGCGAAGAGCGGCGTTTCTGGGGTCGCCCGGCGCTCCCACTCGTCGATGCTCAGGTTGCGCAGCAGGGCGTGGCCCGTGCCCTCGCAGCCGGCGACGGCGACGAAAGGGACGTCGCCCTTCTGGTCGACGGCCTCGTCGCGGTTGCAGGGGTGCGCCCCGCCCGGGTCGCGCTCGCAGAAGGCGGTGACCTCGAACGTACTGGATACGACGTCGTGCGACGGCGCGACGCTATCGAGCCACGCCTCGACGGCGTGGCCGCCGGGCCGCAAATATAGAGGATACGTGACGAAGCCGTAGTTTATTGAACGCGCCATCGGCGCCGGCGCCTCGACGCAGCCGCCTTCAATACCATCAACGCGGAAGCAGATCCGCAGGCCCGCGAGGTCGCCAGTCGTCGTGAACTTGATCGAGACAGGTGACACCACGCGCGTGCCTCGGTCGCGCGACCAGGTGCAGCCACCCGCCGCGCACTCAGGTACCATGAGGTCCCCGCAGCCGCACCTTTCGTCGATCTCTATATATGTTGGCGGCCAGGCCGTATTCCGCGCCCAGGCGCGCCACCGCTCGTCGTCCCAGGGCTTCACCAAGCGCACGAGGTGGTTCCATGCTGGCGGCAACGAGGCGTTCCCTTCGCACCCTTTTCTCAGGTCGTAGGCGCGGACGCCGTCGCCTATCGCACAGGTCGCTTCGACGAGCGACGCGCAAGAGAACTCCGGCCCCGCGATCACATCCACAGCGACGTACAAGGCGGTCTCGTAGCCCAAACGGGCCAGCGCCGCCGGCGCGACGTTCCCGTCGGCGACAATAACGTGCACGCCGATCGCGGCCAGAGCGACCGACGACGCTGGCGCGGGCTCGTCCAGGAAGAGGAATCGGTCCGCGTGCCGCCCGCATCGCAGCGACGCGAACGTCGCCGCGTAGTGCTGGGCGTGGCTCGCATTGGCGGCGCCGTACACCGCTGCTTTCGAGGTCCGGCGGACGGCATCGATCGTGGCCGCATCGATGCGCAGTAGTGAGAGCACGCCTATGTATAGGCGGCGCATTTTAGGCTGCCCTTTTTTTGAAGCTGCCCTTTTTGCTCTGCTGTCACCGCCGCAGAGCCTTTTGAATCCAAAGCTCAAAACATTCAGGAAGTGCTGTGGACCGGTCCTCTGGCAAGGTCAGAGGGCTCCTGTGAGCGCGAGAAACCCGCACGTTATTCATCTGTCGGAAGTGATGTCGGCCGCCGGCCGGCTGCCCACGCGGAGCATTCCACTAAAAAAACCGCAGCCATAAGCGAAGCATTGCCAAAATAATGCCCAAACAAGGGGACCAGCCCGCGCCCAAGGGGCCGCCACCCAGGCTGATCGATCTGTGGCGAAGTGACCCGTCGGAGACGATAGCTGCCTTCCTGCCGTTGAAAGCGATAGCCACGATGGCGGTCTCACGTCGCTTTCGCGACAGGCACCCGACAATATTGTTCTCTGTGGCGCGCCGCCACGGCGCTCTGGCCGCTGGCACCGGCGCGCTCCTCGACGCGGTTGTAGCGACAGGGCGCGACTGGAGTCGTTTCTCCAGTGATTCTGCCAACGATGCTTGGGATACTCTATCACCCGCGCTTTCTGAGGGTAGGTTCACCTGCACGACGAATACGTCTGGCGGAAATCGTCACATACAGATCGGCACGACGGTTGCCACGGGTCACGGAGGCGGACTTGTGCGGATGTTTGATTCCGCTGACCGGTTGTGTCTACGCCGGGTCAAATATCGGTTCAGCTTCTCCGACCCGGGTGCGGGCTCACACGGCTTTGCATATTTCTGCTTGAATGACGACGGGGGCCTGTTTGTCTCTCGGACTTCAACAGGTGGTTACGAGCTCAAATCGTTCGTTCAGACGGAGGAAGAGCAGTTCCCTCCCGTTGAGCCGGACACTTGGTATGATGTAGATCTGACGTACGATTGGACAACCGCATTAGGGAACAACACCCTCTGGGTGGACGTGGTGGTCAAGGGCGAAGATGAGATCAAATATCGAACGCGTTGTAGTTGCGAGCCCCTCACCGCCATCACGCTCTACAATTTCGGCCCTGGCGTCGCCCGCTATACAGCGATAGAAGTGAATTACTCCAAGCAGACCTCGCGCGACAGAAGTTTCGCGAGCTGGACTATGGAGTAGTTGTGTAAAATTCCATTACAACGCACTAAGCGCTCTTCGGCGAGTCCACGTCGCACTCGCTCGGCGACTGCACGACCGGCGCCGACGCGTCCCAGATGTGGACCTTGTCGGCCTGGTTGCAGATGCGCGCCTTGTCCACGAGCACGGTGATGATGCCGATGTTGTCGCCGACGATGAACTGGCGCTGGCCCGCGCCGTTGCGCTCCAAATGCATCGCGCGGTACCGCTCGGCCGCGGCGCCCGTCTCGACCTGGACGCTGCCGTAGAGCGTCACGGAGTACGTCTGCGCGTAGTCGCCGCTATGACCGGCGGCCCGCGCCGACGCCGCGGCCGCGCGCTGCCGCTCCTCGGCCGGGAAGTCGTGGATGAGCACCGCGACCCGTTTATTTTTGAGCAGCGCGCGGTATTTGGTCGTGTCGCGCCGCGTCGACATGATGATCTTCTCGTCCGCGGGGCAGTACGTGAAGTTCATCAGCGACAGGTGCGGCGCGCCGTCGGCCAGCGTCGACAGGTAGCAGAGTACCGACGACCGCAGCAGCTGCACGACCTCGTCCGGGAACGGCGGCCGGAGCTCGACGCAGCTCGTGCTGTTTTTCGCGTCGTGGCGCTTGCGCTGCACGAGCTTGCCGAGCTGGTAGGCGGCGTAGCTCGCGACGGCGATGCCGACGCTAAAGGTGGCTATCCTTGCGGCGCGTTGGCTGTCCATACTTTGTTTTTTGACGCTTGTGTCGCTCCAACGAAGTTATAAACTATCAATCAAGCTGTCGAATGATGGTGAGTGCACGAATCACAAGCGGACAGCTACGGTGATATCGGATTCAGCTCGTAGGCAGCGTCCAAAAAGTGCGTGTGCCGGAGAGCAATAATGTTAGTAATGTTAGCGGCAGTAACATACTAGCAAAAGCAGCTCTCCGCAAGGGGCAGCCCATGCGCGGCGTACTCGTGATAATCGTTGCCACGGCGATGGCGTCGGACGGCTGGGACACTTTGTGGTGGCTCCCGGCGGACGGAGACGTGACGCCCGGCAAGCAAGTGGCTTCCCACAAAACAATGCCCCATCTCATGTTCGTTCCCGACGGCACGCCGCCGGCCGGCGGCTGGCCGCTACTGGTCTTTCTGCACGGCCAAGGGGAGAGTTCTCCGACGCCGCTGCCTCGCGTCGCGATCCAAGGGCCGCCGCAGACCTGCGGACGCGCGCCAGGCACGATGAAAATGGCCGTGTTGTCTCCGCAGAAGCCCATGTCGTCACAGTTCTACGATAATGACGTCGCCGACGACATCGAGGCGCTCGTCGATCATTATGTTGCGTCGCAAAAGCTCGACGTCCGGAGGATATACCTCACGGGCCTGAGTCAGGGCTCCATCGGCACTTGGAATTTGGCCGCGGCGAGGCCGTCGCGCTGGGCAGCGATAGCGCCCGTCTCCGGCGGGCTGCGACCACCGTTCAAGGAGGCGGCCAGTGCGCTCAAGGACACGCCGATCTGGGCTTTTCATGCGCCAAACGACGTGATTCTGCCGGTGGCCATGTCCGACAAGTCCGTCGACGCCTGCAAGCGACTCGCGACGCGGACCGCAGAGATAAAGTACACGCGCGACGAGGCGGGCGGGTCCGACCCGTCCTGGGCCGCCGCCGGTATACCCGACATGCCAGGGCACGGCGGGATGAACTCGCTGGCGTACTACCCCGGCGAACTCTACGAGTGGCTCCTCCAGTTCCGACTTAAAAACAAGTGATGTTAGGTCCGACTATCCCGCAGCTTCTTGAGGAACGCTTCCGTGTCCCCCATCAACCCCTGGATCTCGTTCGCCTTGACGTCGGACCGCGCCTTCATCGCGCCGATCGACGCGACGAGTTGTGGATCCACGGCCGGGCCGTCGGGCGCGCTCCGCTGGCAGACGGCGCAATTTTTGAGAGCCGGCTCGTTCGTCCGGCCGCACGCGGGGCAGTGCCACGGCGCCGTCCGCTTCTTCGGCGGCGACGGCGCGGGCTCGCGCACGCCCGCCGCGACGAGCTCGATCTTCGCGGCGACGCGCCGTCTTACAGAACGCACGGCGTCCGTCGACGGCAGCGCGTCCAGGACGGAGCACATGTACTGTTGGGTGAGGTGGTCCGCGAAGCGCTCGCGCGCGTCCGGCGTCGTATCAGAATTCTGGGCGAGCCAGGCGTCGACCGCCTTCGAAAAGTCGCGCTCGACGCCGGCGACCTTCTGGGCGAGCGGGTCCTCTTTCGACGCGTTCGTCGGCGTGCTGCCGCCGCTCGCCGTGGGCGACTTGGAGGGCGGCGGGAGGCTCTCCTTTTTTGGCCGTAGCGGGCGGCCGTCGGGGCCCAGGAGCTGCGCTTCCTCGGACGGCGGCGGCGGCCGGCGGTGCCGCGCGAGCGCCCGCGCGACCTCCGGCGGCTGCTCGGGCGGGCCCGGCCGCGCGAGGTCGGGCAGCTGGCGCGGACCCGTCTCGGACAGCGGGTTCACGCGCGCGTCGCGCGTCCGGCGCGCCTTTGGTTGAGGCGGCGCGGCGTCGAAGAGGCCGCCGCCCTTGTCCGCGTCGAACGAGCCAAAGTCGAGCGAGGCCGGCGCACGAGCGGGCGACGGCGGCAGCCGGTCCTCCGGCGCCGGCGAGTGCTTCGGCGGCCCGCGCGGCGCGTGGACCTTCGGCGGGCTCGGCTCGCCCGGCGGCGGCGCCGGCCGGAAGTTGAGGGACGGCCGTCTCTGTGAAGACGCGTCGGCCTTGGGCGGCCCGCGCGGCGGCGCGGGCTTCGGCGCCTTGGGCGCGGGCCGCGCGCGCCGCGCGGCCGGCGCCGCGACGACGGGCGCCGGCGCGACGACGACGTCGGCCGGGCGCCGGTCCCGCGAGACCCGCTTCATCCGGCGCTCGCGGGGGCCCGTGACGGCCGCGAGCGGGTCGTCGTCGTCGAGCGAGTACCGGTAGCCGCGCGCCTTCGCGGCGCGCGCGGCTAGTACCGGAGACGGCGTGTCCCGTCCGACCGTTTTCGGCGGCGGCGCGCCCGCGGGCGGCGCGGGCTTCGGGCTCAGGCTCTCGCCGGCCGGCCGTCTTAGTAGGTCTTTGCGCGGCGGCGAGTACTCGTCGGCCGCGGGGCGGCGCGGGCCGCCGCCGCGCGAGGCCGCGTCGCGCCACTTGTTGCGCTGCTGGAGCTGCTTCGTGTGGAGGCTCGTGAGGCAGTCGTCGAGCAGGCCGATCGAGGTGTCTCCCATTTTGCTGTTGTGTTGTTCTCTGTTGAGGCAGCAGCGCCGTTATTGAGGCAGCCCCGAAGCGCTTGGCCGGCCGAACGCGTTCGCGAGCGTGTCGCGGGTTCCTGTCCGGTTGTTAGGCGTGGCGCCTTCGCCTCAGAGCGGCTGTGTAGCTGTGCCTCTTGGCGCCGAGCCCAACGCAATCGGCCTGAGCCAGATGCTAGAGGGTAAAAGTAAGCTACTAGCAACTTCCGGGGCTACCTCTCGAGCCCGGCTCTTTAAACTCGCGAGAGCTCTGAACACACGCAGGTCCCGCGCGGCAACGCCTGTCGCAAGGTGGCGCGCGGCAGCGGCGCAGCGCAAAGAAGATGTGTGGGCCGCGGGCCCTCTCTACTACCCTGCTTGACGCCGTCGACGCGACGATGCATATTCGACTGTCCTCCGACTTTACGAAGGGGGACTAGGGGAGCTTCTGACGTCCAACGACGGCCTCGCCCGGGCCCGGTCGCGCGTAGGCGGCGCGCGCCGGCCCGTCGTCATCGCCACATCCACGTTGAGATGTAGCAAGTCATCGCGGCAAGAACGTCACAGACGCCAGGCGCTTCAGGATAGATTTAGAGCTCGCTCTTGGCGAGTTTGGCCAGGTGCTCGAGCATCGACGGCGCGCAGGACGACTCGGGGTAGTCGTCTCCAGCCGGATCGTCGGGCCGTTCCGAGATCTCCAGGGCCTTGACCACACCATTTTTGACAATGGCCGCGAAGCGCTTGGTCCTTCCGAACAACCCTTTGCCCTGGGGCCCGGGGTGGTCCAAGACCATGCCCAAAGCCTTCGTCAACGCTCCACTGGGATCGCCGTAGAAGGTTAAGAGAGACTCGTCGGCCCCTTGGTCCTTCTGCCATGCCGTCATCACGGCGCCGTCGTTGACGCAAAAGACCATCACCTCCTCCACGCCCGCGGCCTTGAGAGCTGCCTGGTGCTCCAAGTACCCGGGAATCTGCACCGAGGATCAGGTCGGCGTGTAGGCTCCCGGCAGGCCCATTAGTATCACCGTCTTTTGTTGGGTGTACTCGAGGACGTTGACCTTCGACGGCGGGAAGCCCAAGTCGATCTCCACGGACGGTACCGTGTCTCCCACTTTGATGGTCTTCTTGCCGAAGGGGCCCGCGGCCGCCGTCGCGCAGAGCGCCAATGCTATTAAGGAGCGCTGCATGTTACGCACTGGTACTCAGAGCACAGGTGGCGGGCAGTGCGGAGATGCGCCTGCGCTGCTTCAGAGCGGCCCAGACGCGTCACGCGCGCGACGCAGCGACTGTTTCCAACCCAGAGCGACGCGAGGCGCCGCGCGCCGTTAGGTACAGTGCGGGTTTTGTCCGCGGACGAGGAGGCGCCTATCGGCCCCTCGCAGACCTCCAGAAGGCCACCGGAGGACGTGGAGGGCTCTAAGGAGGCGTCCAAACTCTCGAACCCGGTAACACGCCCCCGGCGCTCGCCTCGGTCAATACGCCTCCCTGTGGCCCCGTAACGCAAAACTGCGCTTCGCCCACGCTTGCTGAGCATCTCTACAGCCGAATACTAGCAGAAGGAGCGCGCGCGGCGGTCGCGCGCCCCTAAAAAGGTGTTAATGGCGCGTGCTGCTTTGGTGGTGGCTTTGGCGCTGGGAGTGGGCGCGCTCACTCCGCCCCCGGCCCCCAAAACGCCCGTGACGGGCCGCCAGGCCGTGGTCAAAGAAAGGAAGCAGTTGTTACCGCCCACGGTCGCGCCGCTCGTCGTGGATACGGCCCCCGACGGACCTTTACTGGCTGATGCGCCGCCCCTCCTCGACGAGAGCGGCAACAACCAAGGCCCACCGACGCTTGCGACGACGACGATCCCCCCGATCCCGGACGAGCTCGAGGACGCCGTCCGGAAGCGCTCGGCCGAGGAGCAGGCCGAAAAGGCCAAGGAGCAGATCAAGATCGCGCGCAGTAAGAAGAAGGGCGACTGGTACAAGTTCGGCTTCCAGACCAAGGAGTCTGTGAAGCAGCCGAAGGTCACCATCGACATAACCGTGCCCGAAGGCGCCCAAGCGGGCGACCGCCTCCAGGTGACCGTCCCGCAAGATGTAGATGTACTGGAGTACCTCGGCGTCACCGAGCCCAAGCCGCCCTGCGTCACAAGTGAGGAGTCCGAGAACTCGGTCGCTAAAGAATTAGCCGGCTTCACGCTGCCGTTGTTACTAGTGTGGCTCGCGTCGCCCTTGCTATCATTGGTCGACACGGCGGCGGTCGGCGCGTCGCGGCCCACCGCCGAACTAGCGGTCCTAGGCCCGGCCTGCGCGGCCTGCGATAATGCGGCCTTCCTGTGTACGTTCTTAGGCATCGTCACGACGGGCGCCGTCTCAAGGGCATTAGCCACGGGCGACGAGACGAAGGCCAAGACGGCGTCGGGGGCCGCCTGCGTCGCGGCGTTGGTGGTCGGTGGATTGTTGACGGCGGCGGCCTGCTCGCCGCTCGGGCCGGCGGGTCTCGGCGCGATGGTGCCCCGGTCGACGCCGGGCTTTTCCGCGGCCGTCGCGTACACGCGCATCCGCTCGTTAGCCTTCGTACCGGCTTTGCTCATCATGGTGCTGCAATCTACCTCACTGGTGCGCGGGCCGCGTCCTTTTCTTACCAGGTTCGACTCCTGGCGCGAGTGCTACTTCGTAATTTTTCGAACGCGAAAAAATATCCCTGATATTTCTTCGTCTGTCGCTTATGTGACGCCGCCCGCGACGCTCGTCGGTTGAGCGCTACGTGTGACCCGCATCCCAACGCAGGCCCGGCGGAACGTGCGAGCGCCGCTGAAGGCCGCCGGCTTATCTGGTGCTGCGAACTTAGTAGGCGACGGCATCCTCGTGCCGACGATGGGCTTGGCCGGTGCCGCGTTGGCCACCACCGCGGCGCAGATCGTCGCGTTGATCGCCCTGCTCCAGGACGCGGCGAAAGGCAAATTTTTACCGTCGTCGCCAAAGCAGTGGGCCCGGAGCGCCGGCGCGCCCTTCCGCCAGATCTTCACCAAGGGCGCGCCCGTGGTTGCGGCCTTGTCCGCCAAGACAGCCGTCTTGCTCAGCTTGAGCTATGCTGCCGCTAGCACAGCGACAAAAAGAGGCGACCTCGCGGCGTTGGCCGCCCACCAGATCCTTGTTGGATTATATTTCGTCTTTGCGCCCGTCGGCGACGCGCTGTCGCAGACCGTGCAGACGTTTTTGCCGCGGTCCATCGTGGCCGACCAGCTCGACGAGGTCGACCGGCCGCCCCAGAAGCGTTCGAAAGCTCTGGGCCCGAAGTCCCGAGCCGTGGTCAAGGGCGCCGTCGCCGCGGCGTTGGTATTAGGTGGCTTGGACGCCGTCATGGCCTGGGGTTTACCTGCTGGTTTACCTACTCTCTTCTCGAGGGACCCGGCCGTCGCCGCCGCATTACGAAGGACGGCACCTTATTTAGGTGCGGCTCTCATGGTCCACGGCCTGTCGAGCGCGACGGAGGGCACGATGCTCGCGAACCGCGACGCGGGCGTGCTCGGTGGGTTGTACGCCTTTGACGCTGCAGTGGTTGTGGCGGCCTTCTTCGCCGTAGCTAGAGCGGCGGGGCCGGTCACGAGCGTCTGGCGCGTGTTCCTGGGCTACAACCTCCTGCGCTGCTCGCAGTTCGCGCTGCGGGTGACGAGCACGGCGCTGCGGCGGCGCAAGACCGCATAGCTCGCCCTCCTCCCTCTCTCCCCCTCCGAAAAAGCAAGTAACCTGTTGAAATGTCATTATGTTTGGTCGATGGCGTGGGGGCGCGTCGACGCGAGCCGCGCTCTGCCGGAGATCACGGTGGAACCTGCGCCGGGGATGTATTGAGGGACGTCTACGGGGGTTCTTCTCGTTTTTTTCGACGCCTGCCAGACCGCAGGAACGCGCCTCAACCCGCACAAAACAGCTTTGTCACCGCTTGCATTTTACACGAGCACATAAACAATAACACTCGTGCGCGACGGCGTCCCAGACCTCAACACGACGTCGCCTACGCCCCGCCTTACTTCGCGAGGCATCAATAGCGAAACACGCGACGCATAAAACCGACTCGACTCTGAGGACCGCAATAAGAGCGTTCACCAGCGTGTTGCCGAGCAATAAGGTGCAGAGCAGCAAGTTGCCCCGTTTACGTAGGGGGTAGATCTTGGCCGCGTCCCGCTTCGCCTGCTCGTCCGCCGAGCCCTCCATGACGACCTTGAGCTCGTCCGGCGCGAGGCTCATGAGCCCCAGATTCAATCCGCTGAAGAAGCCGCTCATGACGATGAGGCCCGCCGCGATGAGGAAGAACCACCAGGGCGTCGACATGGTTGTTTTATGCAGGCGTCGCGTCGATGGCGTGGAGGTCGATGCTACTCAGGCGCGCGATATTGATCGCACACTGTGGTTTGTCTGACAAGTGAGATAATTGAAAGGCTTTTGGCGGCTTGCGATTGGCGCCGTCTCGTGGTGTGGTTGGCAATAGTCCACCGACCTCTCCGTATCTTGCCCGAAGCGCGGGACGACAGGACAGGCTTCCACGGCACGCGCCGCCTCGCGATTAGCTAGCGGCATGTAAGACACTAGCACGAGCGCCGACTTATGCTCCAGTGTACGCGCCAGCGGTCGATCGAGAGACTGCGATTGAGGTAGCGAGCACACACTGCAATAGTGCAAGCATTTCGCGCCACAGCTTCAACGGTGGAGACGCAGCACAGCACAAAACCACTGTGCTCTCACACTTGTGCACTGACACAGTGATAAAAATGGCCATGAAGACGGTAGCCACCCAGCTGCGCGCAAAACTAAGACTGCCGGCCTTCGGCGCACCCTTATTTATTGTTAGCAACCCCGACCTATGCGTCGCCCAATGCAAGAGCGGCGTCGTCGGCTCGTTCCCAGCCCTAAATGCGCGGGGTTCCGACGATGCGTTGGACAAGTGGATCACGGACGTGAAGAGCAGACTCGATCCCGAGCACGACGCGCCCTTCGCGGTCAATCAAATCGTGCACCGGTCGAACGCACGATTAATGCACGACATGGAGGTCATAGTTAAGCATGAAGTGCCCATCGTCATCACGTCGTTGGGTGCGAGGCCGGAGATTAATGAAGCGGTGCACTCGTATGGCGGTTTAGTTTTTCACGACGTCATCAACAACAAGTTCGCGCGGAAAGCAGTCGAGAAGGGTGCTGACGGCTTAGTCTTGGTGGCCTGGGGCGCGGGCGGCCACGCGGGGACGCTGTCGCCCTTTGCGCTCGTCCAGGAGGTGCGCGAGTGGTGGGACGGCCCCATCGCATTGTCGGGCGCCATCGGCAGCGGCCACGGCGTCGCGGCGGCCGTCGCGGCCGGCGCCGACTTCGCCTACGTCGGGAGTCCCTTCATCGCGACGCACGAGGCGAACGCGTCCGAGGCTTATAAGAATGCGATCGTCGAGGGCAGCGCCGAGGACATCGTCTACTCGAACTTGTTTACCGGAGTGCACGGCAACTACCTCAAGGCGTCCGTGCGGGCCGCGGGCCTCGACCCGGACGCTTTGCCCGAGTCCGACCCGTCGGCCATGGACTTCTCGGGCTCCAAAGCGTGGAAGGACATCTGGGGCTGCGGCCAGGGCATCGACGGCGTCAGGGACGTCGTGAGTACGGCGGCGCTCGTCGACCGCTACCACGAGGAGTTCGAGGACGCGTGCGCGCGCGTCGCGGCGTACGGCGCCGTCTACGAGGGGAAGTAGGATGTTGTAATCAAGTTACTATGATGACGCGTCGACGGCGTTTTGGGGCGGCGTTTCGCGGGCGCGGAGCACTTTTCGCGCGTCTCGCAGGGACTCCTCAATCCCCACTACGTCCGGATGCGCGCCACCGAGCACGCGCCGCGCGGTCCGTGCCATCTCCTCGAGCTTCGACATGGCTTCGCGGAGATCATTGAGCGAGGTGGCAGGGTCCCTGTAGAGCGCCCGCGCGTAGACCCACCGCATCATGAGCAAGAGATGATTGTCCTCATCTAGAACACGGCGTGCCACGGGAATTATTTTGCGCATCAACGATTTGGTTTCTGCAAAGCGGTCTGCGATTAGAAGGGCAACCGCGTAATTGTTGCCTTCTCGGAGGGTCTCTTTATGTTGTTTGCCAAGGAGCTTCAGACAGCCAACATATACGTCTCGATTCAAGATCAGGGCATCTTCATGCCGTCCGAGCTGTTTGTACGTGAGCGCAAGATTGCCCTTTGTGAAGGCGCAGACACATGGACAACCGCCGACGGTGCTCCGGCCCCTCGCGCCTCCCGGCGCGCCGTCGGAGCGGAGGCGCAATCGGAACCCGCGCCGCGACGTTCCGGTTCCCGAGAATGTCGAGACGGTGCCCATGTGCTTCAAGCGAGCAGCCGCGTCTCAAACCCATGGAACGGGGACCACACTCACCCGTCGACGCCCCCGCAGGTGCGGCTGGCGCAACTGTAGGAGGGTGCACCCGCGGCGCTGCACCGGGGCCAACGGGCCTTGCACGATCTGCGGCACGACGAGCCACGCGACGAAGTACCACATCGAGTTCGAGCGGTACATCGCCGCGCGCAAGCCCCGACCGCCGACCGAGCCCGAGGGCGAGGACATCGAGGCCATGATGCGCGGCGTCGGACTTTCCGATCCGCCGCAGCCGGAGGGCGACATCCCGCCGCCGGGACCGGCCTCGTCGGGCGGACCGCCCGGGTACCTCTAGTTCGCCGCGGGACTGCCTCGGTAGTCTAACCCCGCGGCAGCTGTTCATATTTAACCTTATCTCAGATTATCCGGTGTCCGGCGTTCTCCCCCCTCGTTCGTACCACGTTTCGTACCTCCGAGCTAACGCCCGGTCGCGCGGACCGCGTCCGAGTCGGCCAGGCTACTAGTACTCAATAGGCAAAAACACCCTTAGAACGACGACCGCGACGCCTTCTTCTTCCGCGACTTCGTCGTCACGGGGTCCCCGGCCTTCGAGCGTTGGTACATCTTGGTCAGTGTTTTGGCTTTGATCTCGTCGCGCGTCAGCGGCCGCGTGTCGTCGTTGTCGTCCTCCTCCTCCGACGAATAGTCCTCGAGCTTCGGCGGGTTGACGTGGATCAAATCCTGGCCCATCGGAGTGGTCGGACCCATACCCAATACGGAAGGCATCGGGCCGGTGTCCTGCTGGAAATCGTCCTGCGCCTCCTCGCGCTGCCGAACTTTAACCTCGGCGTAATCCGAGATAATCGCATTCGCTCGCTCTTCAATTGCAGCGAGATAGTCCAACATGTTGTTCTCCGTCACTGCTGAGTCGGCAAACGCGGCCGTCCGAGGACATTCCGTCTTCGTAAAAGTCGACGCGATGGCCTTCTTCAGCTGGTCCACGATCTTCTGGTACTCCTCGCACTTCGACTCGTACTTCTCCGCGCTGCTTTCCGTCTCCCGGACCCGTTTCTCCAAGTCGGCCACAATTAGCTCGTGCTTCTCGACGTCCGCACCTCCCTGCGACGCGTACTTGGCCTCCTCCTCCTGGAGTTGGGAAATGGCTTCCTGGAGCTTCTCGATCTCGTTCGTCTGTTCGGTCACGTAGTTAAATAACGAAAAATTTTGGTCCTCGTTTTTCACGAACAGCCGCACGAGCTCATCAATCTCCTCGATGCCCGTAGCGGCCTTGATGCGGTTGAAGGCCTCCTCGAAGTTCTGGACGCGTTCCTCGCCCCGCGCGAGCTCTTCTCGTTCCCGTTCTAGCTCTTCTGCTGACGAACGCTTTTTACGTGAAGGACTCCCAGCGGTCGCGGTCCTCGCCCTTTCCGGCGGCGCGGGCGGTTTCAATTCCGTCTCCAATATTCTCCCTAACTCGACCATCTGGGCCTCGAACTCGTCCTGCTCCCTTCGATTCGCCTGCTCGATCGCGGCGATTTCCAACTGATAGTTGTCGCGGTGCTCGTAGGCGTTGTTCGAGATCTCAATGACGTTCGCCATCTGGCGCTTCTTCTCGCCTAGCTCTTTTTCTAATTTTCGATAGATAGAGTCGAACACCACCCTTTCTCTTCTAAGGTCATCGATGTCCTCCCTGAGCTTCTTATTCTGCGCCAGAGACTGGTTAAACTTCACCAAGGCCTGGTCCAATCTATTCTCCAGAATTTTAACTTGCTTGGCGACCATCTGGTTGTTCTCCCTCGCGGCGTTCACGCCGCCCATCTCTCGCCGCAGCTTGTTCATCGCGTCGCGCGTCGTGTGGATTTGACCATCCAACTGTTCGAGCTTCTTCGTCTCGTCGAAGACGTGCCGTTCGTACTTCTCGACTTCTTCCATGAGCCGAGCATTTCTTTTAGCTTCATCTAGACCGTTCGGGCCTTTTGTGGACGTCCGGGTCTCGGCCGCCAACTCACCCTTGAGACGCTCGTTGTCCCTCCGCAGTTTCTGGATCGTCGCCTGCTGCTTCCGCAGGACACCGTACGACTCGTCGGCATACGACTTGCGATTGAGCTCCATGTGCCGATATTCGCGCTGGAGCTGCGCGAACTCGGCCTGGCTCGCGTCCATGCTGCCCTTGGCCAGCGCCATGGCTGTCTGTCGTCCTACTCGCGTGCGGCGCGCGTCTCGGGGCTGCCCTTGTCAGCTTGGGCAGGCTTTGCGGAGTCGACTGGTTCGCTACCTCGCGTCGAGGGCGTCTGAGGACCGCTTTTTAATGGCTGCCTCGCGACGATGGCGTTCGCAGGCTCGCCTGGGCAGGGCCAAAAGCGTCGCGCCGCTGTGCCGGCCGGCCAAAGGTATGTAGCTAGGGTAAGTTAAGCCGATGCGAGAGCCGACATATTTTAGGATGGGACCGACGTACCCGTGCCAACCACTGCTACAAGCCGCCGGGACGACGCTTCCTTCAAGGAAAAATAAAAAACAAAGCTCGATGGCACTGCGAGCGCAGGCCGCACCATCGGGCAGCCCCAAATACGTCCAGCCATGGACGAATCCGACGACGAGTCGTCGGCCGCCTCCGAGGAGCTCACAAATGCAGCACCCGTCGAGTGCTGCGTCGACGGCTGCACGCTGAGTGTGAAACCATCTACAAAATGCTGGCAGCTCGCGGCGCGCTACGGCCGCTTCCTCGCGCGCGCGCAGGGTCTCGATGATGACGCGGCGCCGCCACTCGTATTGACGAGAGATGGCAAGGTCGTGCCCCATTCTACACTTGTGTCGTCGCTGGCCGGCGTCGAGTTAAATGCAGTCGGCGCGGACGGACCGATATCAAGGCCGCGCCCGCCGCCTCCAGAACGAGGCGACGACTGGCGCGACGCGACGTCTTCCAGTGATGACGAGGACGACGTGGCGCCGCCGCCGGTGGGCCCAGTTGACGACAGTGAAATGAGGTGGCGGCAGGAAGCGAGCGACTCTCCGGAAAGCTGCTGGGGTCGTTTACTGAAGCTGGAGGACGTGGCTGGTGATGATAGAGACCCGGTTTGTGATCAACTCGTGAAAGCGCTCGAACCGCTCGATGTAAATGCCGCCTGGGACGACCGTGATTGGTTAGGAGGCACCATGACACTACGAGAAGCGGCGCGATCATGTAGCTTTGTGAATGCTGTCGACTTGATCGTGGACGGCTACGATCCTGCCACGCATACGCCTAGGGACGCGGGCCTCCAGCCCGATTTTGTGGAGTTGCCTGATGCAAGGGACGCCTGCGGCATGTTCTGCGTGTTTGGGTATCCGCACGTCGCGGCCTGCGTCATGGGCCAGATCCTATCAAAAGCACGGCCGACGATCGCGTGGCGCGTCGTTAGTGGAATGCACTACGCGTGCGTCCTCGGTCATGAGTATGTGATAGACGCATGTGCGGCGTACTACGAGTACGACGCCGCGAGAACATTAGCCGAGGACGTGCGGAACGGTGTTTTCCAAGTCGTGCCCTGCTTTGGCGACGGGTCGCACGCGACACAAGTTGCGAAAAGGGTCACCTTTAAGAAACGGAGCATGGCGCATGAAACGCTGACCATCTCCAACAGATTGGAGACGCTGCCGAACCGCGATTCCATCACGAAAATCCGCTTCTTGTTTGACAAAGAGGGCTCCGGCCCGCTCGCGGACGACCATGATGCATCAGTACCCGTGGCTTCACCAAAGCTCTGGCTCTCTAAAAAGGACGAAGGGAATCAGTGTTTCCGAGCGCGCAACTTTCAAAGCGCTCTTGGCGAATACGACGCGGCGCTCGACGCGCTGCGCCGCGCTACGAAAGTACAACTGGAAGCTGTCGCCACGGTCCTTGGCAACCGGGCCGCGTGTCACGTCGAGCTCGACAATTCCTCGGAGGCCCTCGCCGACTGCCGCGCGGCGAAGGCGTGGTGGAGTTTACTCGGCAAGGAGCGGCTCAATACTGATGAGGTGAAGGCCAAGCGCGCCAAGCTCGAAGCCAGGCGAAGGCGCCTCAAAAAGGCGAAGCGGGCCGCGTCCGTGATCCTCGTGACGGATCCATCGAAACGCTCATACGTGGAGCGCGTCGTAAGGTGCTTCCTTGCCCAAGAGTCGTCGGAGCCGCTGGAACTGCTTGTTGTGGACGACGACGACGGTAGTGATGGAGACGCGCCGCCGTTCTGGGTTGAATTAATGAAGCGGGACCGGCGCATCCGCTACGTCAAATTACCGGAAGGAACCTCGTTGGGCGAGAAGCGTAGAATAGCGTGCGAGGAGTCGCGGTTCGCGACGCTCGTCCATTTCAGCGACGACGCGGTCTATGCACCTTCCTATGTTTCAATGATCACGGAATTGGCCGAGGCCGTCGTCTGTCTAGGCGCGTGGCACTGCTACGACACGGCGAGCGGCCGCGGCGGTTTTGCGGATTTTGATGATGACGCGTTGCGGAAGACCGTGCCTCCCGAGCTCGCGCAGCTGATCAAACAGGGCGTGTTGCACGGTGGCTTTGGGCTGTGCTACGCCAAGAAAGTCGCGGAGCGGCTCTACCCGTTTGATCGAGCGATGGATGCGGACGCGGCGTTCCTCAAGGCGTGTTTGGACGATGATGATGTCAATGTGTGCTCGGTCCGCGACGCCGGGGCTCTATGTCTTCAAGTTCTCCCTGGTACCGCTCGGACCGTCGCGCTGACGTCGTGCTCTTCGGCTTATCTAGAAGCGTCCCCGGTCGGGAAACTGGTCGAGCTGGGATCCAACGACGCGCCGGCGAAGCGAGGTTTATTTGTCTGGGACGCCGAGGTGCGGGCCGCGGGCGACGAGGTCGCGGCGACGCGTGTCTTGGAGGCGTGGAACCGGAGCGATGCGGGGTTTTCTTAGTGTTGTGTGTAATATGCTTGTGAATAATTAGGCGCTCCCCGGCGACGGCGTCTCGCGGGCGCGGAGGGCCGCTCGCGCCTTTTGCAGTTCGCTCTTAATCCCCGAGGTGAGCGGGTGCGCGCCACCGAGCACGCGCCGCGCGGTCCGTTCTATATCCTCGAGCGTCTCCACGGCCTCGCGGAGATCGTCGAGCTTGGCGCCGTCGTCACTGTAGAGCGCACTCGCATAAGACGTTCTCATTGCGAGCGTGATATCATGATTCTCCCCGAGAACGCGTCGCGCCACGGGTGTCACTTTTAGCAACAGCGACTTGGCTTCATCGAAGCGCTGCAGTAAACGAAGCGAATTCGCGAGGGTGTAGGCCATTCTGATTGTGTTCTCATCTTCCTCACCGAAGAGCACCAAGCGTCCTGAGTATATGTCTCGCTTCATCTGCAGTGCCCGCTCATGCTGTCCCAGCAATCCATACGCAATCGCAAGATTGCCCTGCGTGTTGAGGATGACTGTTTCTGGAGCGCCTATACGCCGCAGCATAGACAACTGGGCCTCTTTCACGGACAACGCGTCCTCGTTGTGATCTGCAGCGGATAAACCGGCCCCAAGCCGCCCCATCGCCACGCTCCGAAGCTGGTCTGTCTCCGGCCGGCCCACGTACGTTTTCCAGCACGCCCACCCGAGCGCATGACACACGACGCCGTGATAGTCTTGCTCGCACAAGCTACACGCGCGCCACCGCCCGAACCTCTCATCCACCACCTTGTCGAGATTGTTCTCCTCCGCCTCCGCGACCAAAATCTTAACCTGCTCCGCCAAACACGACACGTGCGCGAAGCCCGCCGTCCCGCGGCACGCACAACCGCGCACGAGGCCCTCCTTCGTCTTCCAATGCAATGCTTGCGTGCAAATAAAGCACGTCTGCCCCTTCGTGTCCTCGGCGCACGCCTCGACCGCGACCGCGACGGCTTCCTTGTATTTTTTGTCTGCATTATACTGTTCTGCGTTGCCGCCGCGGTGTATTTTCTTACACATCTGCTTGTGGCCGCGGCGCCAGTGGTCATGCTGGCAAGTCGAGTCACAATAGCGAACTTTACATCTAACGCAACGCGGCGCGTTGTGGGCCAAGTGTGCGTTACTAGTGGGCGGACCGGACTGGCCGACGAGCGTGTTGTGCGGCATCCTGAAACTACCGCTCCTACCGATCCTGATAGGGACATTACCAGTATTCTTCCTGATCCTACCTACTACCATCGGCGGTGCCTTTTTAGTAATAAACGAGTCCTACGCGCCCGTCTGCTCGGTGCTGTTCGTGACCGCAGCCGCCGCACTGCAGGGCGGGAGTTTACTCGTCGCGGCATACTACCTCGACCAAGAACTGACGAACCGCAAGGACGAGATCGACCGGATCCCGTTCGACGAGGAAGTCAAAAAGGCCGACGAGGCCGCGAAAGTGCGGTCAGAGGCGCTACGAAAGAACACCGTCTGGAAACGCGTCCCGCTCGCGTGGAAGGCCGTCCTCATTTTAGCGACGGCATTGATGACCGTGTCGTGTTACCTCGTGACGATCTGGGCGTCGCGGTGCTTCCGGGACTTCGCGATTAACGACACGGTGTCGAAGCGCCTGAAGGGCCGCTGGCAGAACATCATACGACCGCTTGGCGTGGTAGCGGTCAGTCTGTTCATGGGTTCGTGCTTCCTCCATTTGTTGTTTGACTGCTTCTGGTACCGCCGCCAGGGCCTGGTCGAAGACGGCGGCGACAGCGTCCCCGCGGACGGCGGCGGCGGGCCCGTCGCCGCGGAGGGCGAGGAACTCGAGCCGCCGGCGGACGCGCCCCCGAACGAGGAGCCGGTGGCGCCGGCACCGGCCGCGGCGCAGACGACCAACCAGTCTACGAACGTACGCGGCCTCAATCTCGAGGGCTCCTGGACGCTCCAGGAGCACGTCGATACTGGGCAAGGGCAACGCAATAGTGGGTAACGAGAGTTTGCTTGCTTGCTAGTGTCTTTACCGCCGCTAGCTCGCTCCGCCGCCTTGTTTTTGAAAGCGAGGCAGCAGCGTAGGGGCCGCATACGTGCGTGCGGAGGTAGCCCAGAACTGTGACAGTGCCGAGCAAGCGAATCTTGCGGCCAGGCTGCACGCCGTCGCCGCGCAGCCTTCACAGAGCAACTTTCAAATCAAACTCAGCCGGAGCGGCGACCGCGCGCCGCTGCATAAACCATGCCCCAAATCAACGACCCCAACGCCCAGGAGGCCTTAGCGGTCCTTCGAACCTACGTCGAGCAGTGCGGCGGCGAGGGCAGCGCCATCGACGGCTGGACGACCGAGCTCTACAGCCGGTCCATAGGCAACTCCGCCGGCACCACGGACCGGTACTTTTTTGATGCGAGTGGAAAGAAGTTTAGGTCCAGGGCGGAGATCGCGAGAGCTCTTGGCCTGTCCGGCGCGCCAGCTATACGAGTCAAGGGCGACGGGACCACGTCGACAGGAGTTCTGAGACCAGGAGAAGCCCCGGCGACCTTCAAGTACGAGTGGGGCGATCAGACAGAAAGGACCTTCGAAGAAAGCGCCAACGCGTTCAGGGTCGAGGGCGACTTCCGGGAGTTCGATGGCAGGGACGCGATGGGCGCGGAGGTGTCGCTCATGTACCGGAGACAACCCAAAAGATGGAGGGACGTGCTGGAGAATCAGTATGTGTGGCCCGCGAAACGGGAACCGCAAACTCAGTCGTCGGAGTGGCCGCGGTGCAATTGCGTCTACGACCCAAACGACCCGGAGGGCGGGTGTGCGGGCACGGACTGCGTCAATCGCGAGTTGTACGTCGAGTGTCCGCTAGATTGCTGCATGGGCGGCGCGCCGGACCCGGCTTGCACGTCCACCACGGAAGTAGTTGTGGAGAAGTTCGACAAGGTAAGGGATAGGAAAGGTCTGGAAGCCAAAATGGCCAGTGATGGGTGGACGACGGAGGAGAAGCAGCGCGACGGTTCGACGCATGTGGATCGGTACTTCATCTCTCCCGACCAATCGAGGTTCAGGTCCATCATCGAAATCGCGCGGTCGCGATATCCTGAGTTTCTGCTGGATGCCGAAGAACCTTTAGGTGTGGGTTCCTTCGTGACCGTGACTCCCGATACGTCTCCAGGCAACAATAGGCAGGGCGGCGGCGGCACGATCATGGCTATGCATGACGACGGCACTTTTGACATAAAACCGGGCGTCGGAGGGGGCCTGTGGCGGCGCGTGACGAAGGAAGATATCTCAAGGGAGTCGTCCCAACGGCGATCTCGACGGTCGGAGCAGCCCAAAGAAGCGAAGAAAGGTGGTCGATTACCATGTGCCAATACTGTCATACAAAGGAGGGCCTACCCGCCCGTCGAAGTGTATGATACTGGTACCATGGGTTTTGGACTGAGAGGTCGAGTAGCGATCCACAAGGGCCAGAAGATCGGCGAGTACCGGGGCGAAGTGGTGGATCAAAACGAACTGCTCGAAAGACGCTGTAAACGCAAGGCGGAAGACCCCTTCTACATCGCGGCGCTAGGCGACGGGCTGTCGATCGACGCTGGTAATAGAGGCGGCTACGCGCGCTTCGCGAACCACTCGTCTGCGGGCGGCGTCCCTTTGTGCCTTCGCGTCGACGGCGTCGCGTCCGATGGCGTCGCGTCGGTAGCGTCGATGGCGTCGCGCCGACGGCGTCGAGCGTGTCGTTCTCACGCAGGTGCGCCCCGAACTGCAAGCTCGAGAAGTGGCGCGTGGGCGAGGAGCCCCGATTAGTCCTCGTGGCTCTACGGGACATCCCGCCGCAGGAAGAACTATGCTACGACTACAACGCGGGGGGCACGGAGGCCGACGCCACAGTGGGCCAGGAGTGCAAGTGCGGCGCGCCGAACTGCATTGGAGTGATTGGGAGCAAGAAGAACGTTGTGAAGAGTAAGGGCTACCAGTCCGGGAGTGATGACGACGACGAGCCGGCCAAAGGTCGCGCGGCGCGCGCGAAGCGGCGCGCCGGAGAGGAGGACGAGCCCCCTCCTCCCAAAAAGAATACGAGGGAGCCCGTCTGGACGCTGGAGGACGTCATGGCCCTCGAGGAGGCCGTCGAAAGTGGCATGGACTTTGATTCCATCGTAGAGGAGACGCTGCCCGGGAGGACGGCGGCCCAGCTCGAGCGCAAGTATGATGAGTTACGACAAGTAAAGCAGCGTAGAGAGCCCAAAGGTACACCGAAGAAGAAGAAGCAGAAGCTCCAGGAGGACGGTCCTGAAAGTTTGGCCTGGGCGGCGCGCACCCATTTGGAATTGATCGGCACGGAGGGCGGCGCTCCTGAATTAGCTGAAGCCTTGTATGGCGCCGCGACGAGACACGAAGAAAGATCAGGTAAGGGCGACCTGCACTGCTTCTGTCGGCTGCCGGAGTTTCCGGAGGTCCCCTGTGTGTCTACTGATGGTGATGCTGCAGAGTTGTTGTTTTGCGACGCCTGCGCGGGCTGGGTCCACCCGCGCTGCATCCGACTCGAAACGATGCCCGGCGACGACGACGACTACATCTGTCCGCTCTGCGCGTACTCGAGGGGCGACGGCGTCCCTTTGGCCACAGTCGCGACGCGCAATGGTAAGGTATTGTGGAAGCGCGCGTTGGATGATACGACGACGCTAGAAACGTGCGAGAAATGCTTAAACGAATGGGAGGCGCTGGAGATCGACGACGGGCTCGTCTACGCGGGCCTGGCCAAGAACTTCCTTGAGACGATCGTCGGAGAGGCCAAGGCCTTCGCGGAGCGCGCGGCGCCGTTTTTGGTGAAGAAGGACGCGCTCTCGCCGGCGGAACTGCGGGGTCTCGCGGAGCTCGTCTGCGAAGGCCAGACGCTCGAGCTCGTCGATGGTACTCTGCTGGACTCGCTGCGGGACGCGCTGCGCTGCGCGGCGCTGGCGGCGCGGGAGGTCAGTCCTGAGAACGCCTAATTTATATTTCCGATACTATCGTGAGTTACGGTGCTAGGAGAGACGCATTGTTGCTGGCGATAATCAAATAAACCCGTTTTGCTAATCATAAAAAAAAAACGACGCCCGGGGCTCTGTCTTAGGTAGCGGCGCACGCGTGACGCCGGGGTCTCATCGCTTCGCGCAAGGGCCGTCGGGCCACCGACTTGCTGTGACGCGAAAAAGATCGGTTAAAAACACCTCTGTGCCGAGATATAATTTTCGGCTCGGCTGAAATCCGAAAATTTACGCTTCCTATCTCCGCGTGTTGACTCTCAAGCGTCTGTGACCGCTTAACTACTCCCGCTGCGTCACCATGGCCATGAATAGCGCTAACGACTTGGAACTGCTCTCGCTTGTCGCAAAGATGCCGCGCACGTCGCTCGAGGCGGTCGTCCTCGACATGGTCGCGACCGGCCACCCGATCAACGAGGGGGAATTGGAAGTGGCCGCCACCGAGGACGAGGCCTGCTTGGGCGCGTGTGCGGTGGCGCCGGCGCCGCAGGTCCCGCAGGGCCTCGAGTATGAAGCCGGCGTGCTCTCGGGCCTAGAAAGGGACACCGTCGAGCAGCTCGTGCTACGGGGCGTCGCGGGCGGCGACCCGCCGACGAAGGCGGACATCCGGGCCTGCGAGAAGCGGCGCCTCTCGCGCGCCGACTCCATGTCGGGCGACGAGTCCTGCTGCGAGAGCCTGCGGGCGCGGTGCTGCTGCTGAGCCGAGCCGCCAGCCCCCTCACACGTAATCAAGAAATATATATATGCGGCCACGCAGGGAGGGGTTGGCCGGGCGGCTAGGCGGCCTAGCTCTAAGCAAAGCATATACAAAACTAGTTATGCCGCCTCGATGTCGTGGTGCTTGAGCGACCGCCGCCGCCCGGACGAGCACCACCAGACGAGAAGCAGCGCCAGGACGGTGTAGATCGTCATGATCAACAGAAGCAAATAATACGCCCCGCGGTCGTTGAGCTGGGGCATATATTTGAAATTCATGCCGAAGAGGCCCGTGACGAATTGCAACGGCAGAAAAATAGCCGTGACCGTCGTCAGCACATAAATCGTTTTTTCTTGACCTGTGTGGAAATCAAAATTTTACGGGGCGTTCGTCGCGTTGCAACGCCATCGACGCGACGCCTGCTCGATGGCGTGGCAGTGCGGGTCTCTCACCGCATCCGACGCACTGGTTGATTTCCACACAGCTCCCGACTCCGCTGGAAATAGAGCTCCGACTCCTCGGCGAGGCGCTCGATGTCACTCAGCGCGGCCGCGATGTCGTCCTCGAGCTCGGCGACGTTCTCGCCCGCATCTTCGATATAAGAGTTATATCGATGGTCGACGACGTCGTCGTCCTGGACGAGGGTCATCAGAACACGCGCTAACGGTCGCAGCAACCTTAGGATCTGTTCGAGGTCGCACTTGATCCTTTGTAAAGTGGCGCCCGCGTCGTTCGAGGAGTATTTACTTCTTCGAAGGATGTCGCGCTGCCTTGCTATAGATCCCCGTAAAGCAGCAACAGCGGGCGCTCCGCTATCGAGGACCGCGTCCAGCACGCGATAAGCTAAAAAATTCGACCCTTCCTCCCGGAGCTTCGTAAAACTACAAGCGAGTTCCGCTCGCACGCGCCGCGACCAGGCCGGCGCTTGCGTCGACGCGGCGTAGGTCACGAGCGACTCGCCGGCAACAAAAATGGACACGTTCTCCGTCGCTACTTGAGGTGCCAAGGCGTCTCCATGTACAACGAACCGAGGGACCACAATCTGCGCGTGGGTCTCGTAGCGCTCCTCCTTCGGCCTTTGGGAGGGCCGCAGCGCGTCTTCGAGCGCCAGCGGGTGGAGCGCGTACTCGATACCTAAGAGCCGTAACGCCGTCTCGTCGCCTCGTATCTCGACCCACCGCGTCCTCTTCGTCGACGGGCGCGCGAGCCACGCCTTGGTGACTTCGACGTCGTCTCCGATGTCGATGTCGTCCAATCCAAAATCCACGAGGGACACAAGCGGCTTCTTCCGTCGCGCCGCCGCGAAGACCTTGGCGACCATCAATTGTTTAGCTGCAGCCAAGAACTCGTCCTCCGTCACTTCTGTCGTAGATTTGCGCCGCCAGGCCCGCGCGAAGTCGTCCTCGCCGTCGGAAGAAGGGCTTCGCAACTTCGTGAGCGTGTCCGTGACGTCCTGCTCCTGGGCCGCGAGGTCGTAACGCCGCAGCGAGTCGACGAGGCACGCGAAAGGCAATCGGCCGTCGTTGTCCACGTCGACCTCCTTGAAGATCCGTCGCAGTCGTTCCGGCGTCAACGACCACCACTCCTCCAGCTCGATCTGGTCCGTGACCGAGGCGCTTCTCTTATTAAGCGTCGCCGGCGCGAGCGCGGTCTCGAGGTGCCGCTGCAGAGTGGAAGAAGTGCGGTGGTGCGACGGCGCGAGCAGCGGGCCGTGCGGCGTCGGCGGTGTTGGTAGCGCGTTCTCCGACGACGACATGCTGTTTGTGGTTTGTTTGAGCAAGGTGCTCTCACTGTCTCTGCCGTCGCGTCGGCGGCCTTGCGTTGCCGCAGCTGCTCTGTTCTGACGCTTGGGGCACTGCTGCGTTGCCACGCTCAATCGTCTTGCGTTTACCGACGTGTGCGGTGCTATTTAGGCTGAGCTGCGAGGCAGGCTCTCCGGCAGCACAGCCTGCAAAACCGCTCCAGCCACAGCTGCGCTAATTTGACAGCTCGCTGTGCGTTCACGTGCAGCCAAAAGCGCGACGAGACAAGCCTCAAAGGCGCCCACGCGTGCCGGCGCCACAAAAGAATGGCAGCCTTGACAGCAGCACTGGAGAGTTGCAAACTCGACGGCTTCGCGCTCGCGGACCAACCCAGGAAGCTGCGTGACGACGACAAGCTTGTGCTTGCTGCTGTCTCTGAAAATGGCGGCGCGCTACAGTACGCGAGCGAGCGCTTGAGAGACGACGACGCAGTTGTCCGAGCGGCCGTGACCTGCCAGGGCGAAGCGCTCGAGCACGCCTCGGAGCGTCTTCGCGGCGACGCGGCGATCGCGTCGATCGCCTGCACCAAAGCGGGCTGGGCCCTGCGACACTGTTCGGCGGCGCTCCAAGACGACGAACGCGTCGTCGCCACGGCCGTAGACAACGATGGCTCGAGCCTCAAGTTCGCGAGCGCGCGCCTGCGGGGCGACGCCACGTTCGTCGCGCAGCACGGCGGCCGCGCCATCCTCGAGGCCGCCGACGCGAGCCTGCGAGCCGACGCGACCGTCTGCGCCGCCTGCTGCGCCAGGGACGGCGAGGCGCTGTCATTGTGTCCCGAGGCGATCAGGAAGGACCGCTCCGTGGTGCTGGCGGCCGTCAAGAGCTGCGGCGCGGCCCTGCGCCACGTCGACGACGCCAAGCTGCTCGCCGACGCGGAAATTGTCCTGGGGGCGGCCGCGTCGTGGGGCGGCGCGTTGGAGCGGTGCTCGCCGAGATTGAAACAAGACCCGGCCTTCATAAGAAAAGCAGTGGCCATCGACCCGTGGCACCTGCAGCACGCCGACGGCCCGGCGGCCCAGGACAGGGCGGCCGTCCTCGAGGCCGTGACGCGCGACGGCTCGGCCCTCCAGTTCGCCCCTCATGCCCTTAGGGCCGACGCCGACGTGGTGAGCAAGGCCGTCACCGCGCCGGCGGGCGACGGTCGAGCGGGGGACGCCCTAGCTTACGCCGACGAGGAGCTGCGCGCGGACGCGACTATAGTCCTAGCCGCCGTCAAAGTCGCCCCGCAAGCCCTGCAGCACGCGTCGCCCGAGCTCCTCGCGGATCGCAAATTCGCCGAAAAAGCCGTCAAGCTCGACTGGCGGTGCCTCGCGAGCGTGTCAAAAGAACTGCGCGCGGACAAGAAATTAGTTGAAAGCGCCTTGAAGCAGTCCGCGGACGCGCTCGCGTTGACGCCGCTCGACGCGGAGCCGAAGGTCGCTCTGGTTGCGGTCAAGAAGGATGGGTTGGCTCTCTGCCACGTGCGATCAAGCGCTCAAACGAAGGACGTCGTCCTCGCGGCCGTGAAGCAGAACGTCGAGGCGCTCCAGTTCGTCGCCGACGAGTCCTTACTGCGCGACAAGGACGTCGTCGCGGCCGCGAAGAAGCGGGGAGTCGTGCTCGAGGGCGACGACGAGGACGAGTAGCGTTGTGTAAATATATGAGAGTGTTACCTAATCACATCGCCAATCGCCGCGGCGAAGGCGCCCCGGGCCGATGGCGGTGCGGCACGCTCGCCTCCTCGTCGTCGTCGCGGAAGGACGAGTCCTTCGACGGCGGCGTCTGGAACGACTGCGGCCCGCCGCCGTTCCAGGCGAAGAGCGCGCCGCCGGCCGGCGATTCCAGAGCCGCGCGCAATAAGTCCGCCTCCTCGCGCGACGCCGGCGACACGTTCTCCGCATTTTTCTGGCGCTTCCGCGCGGGCGGCGACGCGACGGCGCCGCTCTCGACAACCTCCTCCTCTCCATCAGACGAGTCGGATCCCAGTAAAGCGGCCTCGACGGCGGCCTGGCGCCGCGGCGAGCGGCGCGGCGGCGGCGACGCGGCCGCGAGCATCGCGAGGCGCGGCGCCGGCGCCGGCGCCGGTACCGTACTCCCGGCGTGCTTGCGCGGCGACCGCCTCGGCATTTCTAGGGACGACGACGACCGGCTGCCGCCGTCGCGCCGCCGTTTTTTCTTTGCTTTGGCAGCTGCTAGAGCAGCTTCCAGCCGCCGCACCTCCTCGTCGTCGTCCTCATCGTCCGACGAATCTGAAGGTCGTTGAGGCCCGGACGCCGTCACCTTGCGCGGCCGCGGCGACCGCCGCGGCGTGGCTTTTCTTGCGGATTGCGATCCCAACGAACTGACTGGAGAGGGCGCGATAATCTCCGTCGGCGCGCACGAGTGCTCCGGCGACACGAACGCGTATTTCAGGGAATGTTGAGTAGGCCCGGCGCCCAGAACTAAAACACCGTCGACGTGGCGCCATCTTTTTCTAAGCTTGCCGTAGACCGCGGCCAATGGCTTGGTCGTCCCCGGTTTTATTTTTATCTTCGTCGCGACGGCGCAGTTCGCCTGTCTCACTAATTCGGCGGCCCGCGCGTCGGCCGGTGATATATCTACCACGATGGACGGCGGCATTTGGCGTGCGCGCGGCGGCGGCATCTGCCTTGCACTGTGGGAGCGCTTCGGCGGCGGGCTCCAGTCGATGGCGCCCAGGTTGATGGACTGCTCCTGTCCGCCTCCTATGGCGCCGAAGCCGAAGCCCATGCTTTCGTCGAGCGCAGCCATGTCGCGCGCGTTTTAGCCGCAGCCTTGTCCACTGGCTTTTGTTTTGAGGAGGTTACGCGTGATGTCGCGCGGCGAGCTTTTGACAGCGAGTTGCCAGGCAATCAATGCGACCCTAGAAAATCGTGCTAGCAAATAGCGCAGTCTGCGACGAGTTTAGGCCGCCGCGCGCCCGAGAGCTGCTTGAAATAGCCCAGCCCGCACGCTATTGGTGGGTCTCTTAGCCGTCTTCCAGCAGATCAAATTGAGACTCTAATACTGCCGGAGACGTCTATTGCGCAAACAAAGGCGAGCAAAGCAAGGCCGGCGCGGCGCGTCTCTCCGCGCGCGGCTGTGTCCCTTAATGCAGAGGCGTCCGACGGTGACGCAGAGAACGATGCGCAGAGTGGTAGGGTCGATTTCATCTCGGTCGTCACTCACCTCACGGCAAAACGCGGCGGCCAAAGCGACTCGTAACTAGCCCGCTGCGCGACAAAAAAGTCACAGGCACGCGCCGGCGTATCATTTTCGACCAACCTAGGCCGGCGATGCGGGCCCGAGTAGGGGCGCCGCCGTTTCGCGAGAGCACAGCCCTTCAACCTATTCTCCTCCTGAGATCTGTCAGCGAGGGGCCGCGCGCGCGCGCAAATCTCGGCGAGAGATTGGCATTCAATACGAGAAAATAGTCCTGCAACGACGCCGCGCCGCGAGCCCCTGGGGCGCCAAACAACTCGCCCGCTCGCGGACCGCCCACGCGAAATTTCCACTCAGGCCCGTGCCGCGGTTGAAATAAACGCGAGAGGCGCCCCCGCGCCCACGACCGCGATTGACACAAAGACGGCGCAGCGCAAGTCCGTCACGTTCAACGAAACCGTACAAATGGCCGCCGCGGCGCCGCCGCTCCCGCCCTCTCCCTCGAGGATGGCGCCGCCGCCGCCGCCGGATTTGACCGCCTTCGCGACGCAGTCCGTGACCGTGAGTGATAGTGGCGGCTCCGAGAACGACCTGAGCTTCGCGTCGCTCGTCTCTGTGGCGTCGCTCGAGGCCAATATTGAAGAAGATGAACAAGCGCCCGCCGTCGTCGAGCCGCGCCCGGGCCCCGTGACGCGGGGCGGCCATGGCGCCCCTAAAAGGCGCTACGACGAGTCCGAGTCGTCGACGGACGTCGCCGCGGCGCCCAAGAAGGCCAAGGTGAAGGACGAGCCGAAGCGCCGGGGCAAGTGGACGGCGCCGGAGGAGGCCTACGCGAACGTCATCATTGATTTATTTGTGGCGGGCAAGTTTCCGGGTTGTAGCGGCGGCGAGTCGTTGCGAGCGCTGCTGTCGAAGTTATTGCTGTGTGCGGGGCGGCGTCCTCCAATCAAAACGCGGCGATGGCGTAGCGAGCGTCACGCCGTCGACGCGCATCACGAGCGTGACGACAAACGCAGGCACGCCCATGCGCATCACGAAGAAGTTCTCAAGGACGCGCCTCATCGGCAAGTCGAGCTACAAGCGCGCCGGCGAGGCGTCGCCCGACGAGATCGCGACGCTCGAAGGCGCGCGGCGGGCTTTTCGGAGACACGCGGAGCTGCCGGACGAGTCCGAGGGCGAGCGGCCGCCCGTCCAGCTCGATGCTTGGGTGACCACCCAAGGTTTCGACCCGAGCGAGATGGCGGGGGGCAACCTCGAGCACTCGCTGCGGGGCGGCGGGCTGTCCGTCTCGAACCAAGCACCCACGGTCACGCCGCGCGCCGAGTCGTCGGCGTCGTGGTCCTTGTTCAACCAGCAGCAGCAGCAAACGAGGGCGCCGGCCGCCGTTAGAGCTCACGTGTGCGGCTACACCAAGGACCGCAAAACGTTCGTAAGGGTCGTCGCGCGCAACGACGCAGACTTCCTGTTGGTGCTGGCGCAGCAATTAGCTTTACATGGTGCTGTTGTCGCCAATTTACGCTTCAACGCCGAGTCGGGCGTCGCCTGGGCGAGAGTCGAAGTGCGCGCGTCCGACGACGCGCCCCTCGCCCAGGACAAGCTCAAGGCCCTCGAGGCGTCGTTTCTGACCGCTTTGCGCAAGAAGAACACGGAAGCCGACGCGTCGCGCTCGTCGTCGATGCCGGAGCCGCCGCGGCCCGTCTTCCGCGCGCCGCCGCCGCCGCCGCCGTTCCGCGCGCCGCCGCCTGTCCAGTACGCGCCGCCGCCTCCACAACAACCGCCGGTCCCGCCGCTCGGCGCCGCGCTCGCGGCGCCGCACCCGGCCTTCGCGTCGCAACCGGCCGCGGCGCCGGGCGCGTTCACGTTGCCCGCGAACGTACCGCGCCCGCGTCCTCGTACGCTGGTGCCTTCGACCGATTGGCGCAACGGTAGCGCGTCAGATTCCAGTCCTGAAGGTTACGCGTTCGAATCGCGTATCGGTCACTAATAACGGCGAGAGCGGCGTTGACGGTACACCCACAGGCAAGCTTCCGCCCGCTCTCGGCGGAGGAGCAGCGCGCCGTCCTGGCGCCGCACTACGGCCTCTAGCGAGGCGGTCTCCCATCGGAAATCCAACCACGCGAACCTGCACATATCCCTTTGTGACCACGAAGTCGCTGGTGCCACGAGCTTGCCTCTCGCTCGGAAAACACGGCGCAAACGCCCCGCCCTGTACATAGATAATCCTATTGGTAGTTATTTTCTCCGTCGTCGGCCGCTGGTCCTCGCGTCCTCGCGTCGATGGCGTACAGGCGCCGCTCAAGCTCCTTGAGCTTTGACTATTGCCCCAGATAGGTCTGAATCTGCTTGACTTTGGAGATGCGCGCTTGAAAATGGGTACGGGGTGCGCGCGCTGTGGAGAGTGAGCGCTACGCGCCGCGAGGCAGACGAGGCGCCCCCGCGACCCAGAGGCGCGCGCTGTGTGAGAGTGGCAGGCGCAACACGCCAGCGAGGCAGAAAAGGCTGCCCGCCCGCCCGCGAATAAGCCAGCCACACAAGCCACCACCGAAGCGAGCACCACCGCTACAGGACAGATGGAGCGGAGCCCCGCATGGAAGCCACCGCCGCCGCCCGAGCCCAGCACTACAAAAAGGAGGCAGCGCAGCCTGTCCCCGCGTCCCCAGGACTACCACCCGGCGCGCATCCGGAAGGTCGCCTGGCCCCGCGACGCCCCGAAGCCGAGCGAGGCCGAGCTGCGCGCGACGTTCTCGAAGCTCGCGCCCGTCGCCAACGTGGGTATAGGCAGCTCCAATCAAGCGATCGTCGTCTTCACGACCTGTGAAGGGGCCCAAAAAGCCCAGGACGACTATCAAGGCTTGTGGCGCGTGTCCACTCCAAAGGTCTCGCACGAGGAAGCTAAGAAAACCCTGAAAGTGATGAAGGAGGCCGCGCCCGCCACGCCGGTCCATTCGCCGCCCCATTCCCGTTCTCCATCACGATCACGTAGTCCTCGGCGACGACGGCGGTCCGGCTCCTTCGACTTATCGGCGTTGGTCGCCAAAGATAAACCAGCAGAGTCAAGAAGGGACCTCGCCAAGCGCATATTGGTGGTGTCCTGGGACACGACGAAGCCGCCGCCCGAAGACTCGGAGCTGAGGTGTTTCTTCGGGTTCTTTGATTTTGTCCTCGCGACGCACGTCACGCCGAGGCGCGGTTTAGTGTTGGTCGCCTCGCGCGAGCACGCGGAAAAATGCGTCGCGGCGTGCCGGAAGCACCAGTACCAGCGCTTCCGCGTCCGGGTGCTGGGACGGAAGGGCGCCGGTACATCACCAGCGGTGCGTCATATCAGAGCAGCAACACGCGAGTCGCTTTCGGTAAGGTGGGGCTGGGAGGCGGCCGAGACGCCCTCGCCGGGCTCCAAGTCCTTCGCCGTGCCGCGGACGCCGCGCAGTTCGCGCCAGTCGACGCCCGACCGCTACGGCGAGGGCGAAAGGCCCTACGTCGTCGGCGGCATGCTCCTGGCCGACGACGCCATGTCCGTCTCGTCGGCGTCGTCCGTGGACGAAGGGCCTTCTGTTAATAGACGCGTCGCGTTCGGGACGCCCGTCAAGAAGGAGGCTGTTGTGATGCGCGAGGCGCCCGTCGCCGCTGCCGCGGCGAAGCACCACCACCACTCCCACAAGAAAGAGGCGCCGCACCCGCCTTCATTAACAAGGGAGGCCGCCGTCGCGAACGAGGCGCCCGCTGCGTCAGTTTCCGTGAAGAAGCACCACCACTCCCACAAAAACGCTGCGACGAGCCCCGCGCCTCGCAAAGGCACGGATGTGATGACTAGCCCTCCTCCTTCAAAAGGAGCCGCGGACGCGATGACGAGTCCGCCGCCCGTGCCGTCTTACATGCGACGGACGGGCCCGTCGCCCGCCGAGCGGAACTACGCCGCCGTCGCCGAGTCGCTGGCGCGCGACGCCCTACAAGCGAAGAAGGAGGCCGCGGCGATGCGGGCGCGCGCGCTGCGGGCCGAGGACCTGCTCGCGCTCGCCGTGCGGCGGCCGCCGACGGCGGCCTGGCGCGAGGCGGCGCCGCCTTTGCGGCCCCGGGCTCCATCAATTCGCCGCCGCGTCAACCCGCGTCCACCAAGCGCGCGGCCCGAGGACCTCTACGTCGAGTACGCCGACGAGGCGCGGGCGCCGGCGCCGCGCTACGCGCAGATGACGCTGAGCCAGCAGCGGCGGCGGTTTGGGGTTGAGGACTACCGCGCCTTCCGGGAGTCCGTCTGCTCGCAGCCGCCCCACAACTGGTACGACTCGAAGCCCGCCGTCGGGGCCTACTAATTAATTTATCTGATCACGTCGAGTGGCGCCTAGTGCATGCTAATGTACATCCTAAGTTATGCCCGAGCACAGAAAAAACAAGCGACTAGTGCGCCTCGCCGTCGTCGACGTAGCCATCCGTCGGGATCGACGCGTCCGCGAGGCCGTCCAGCGTCAGGATGTCCTCGCTCATCATCGCCCAGATGGGCACATCCCCATGACCCTTCTTGTCGAAGGCGCCGCGCGCGTCGAGGAATTTCAGCTCGACGACACACGCGCACTCGACGATTTTGCCATCGAACTTCTTGATCAGCTCGATGGCTGCCAGTAAAGTCCCGCCCGTCGCGACCAGGTCATCAATAACGAGGACCTTGTCGCCCGCGGACACGGCGCCGCGCGGGATCGACAAGGCATCGTTCCCCGCGTACTCCTTGGCGTAGGCCTCACCGGTCACCACATTCGGCATCTTGCCCTTCTTGCGCAGCATAAAGAAGGGCTTCTTCAGGGCTAATGCCAAAGGCGGTCCCAGCACGAAACCGCGCGCGTCCAAACCACAAATGCTCGTGATGTCCTCGTTCCGGTAGCGCTCGACCAAGACCTCGACCACTAACGCGAAGGCCTCGGGGTCCTTCAGGAACCCGCCAATGTCGTAAAACTTCGGGATGCCCTTGAACGGAAAGTAGGGCGTCACGCTCGCGATGCGCTTGGCTACCGGGCCGTCGGGCGTGTAGGCGTCACGGGTCGTGCCCGCGGTCGCCATGAGAGATGAGAGCTGGGAGCCCATGCAGCTTTGCTGCTGGCAATTGGTGGTGGTTGCGAAGAGGAGGAGTGCTGCTGCTGCAAGCTGTGTCCTTAGCATAAGCAAGCCAGTGGCTTGTGTAATCACTCGGAGATGCGTGTGAAAAAATAATCGACCTAGCGTTGTCAGACACACTAGCATCGACAGCCAGCCAGCATTTTGTCCAGGTTACGCGCGAGTCGGACTCAATCGGACTCCCGTGAGTCGTTGAGGCATCTACCAAAGTCGGTTATATAGCCGAGCGGCGCGGCGCGGGCCGACGATTCTGCCGAAAGAGAGTGTGGAGGTGAGCATCAAAACAACTTGAGCCAAACTACGCCGCGGCGGCGCGCGCGCGAGAAGATAAAAAATGCTCGACAAACTCTTCCGCGCGCACAGCGAGAAAAATGGCGCGGCGATGAACGGCGGCGCGGCGATGAACGGGACGGCCTCGACGAAGGAGAACCCGGGCGTCCGCCGAGAGCTCTCGGAGCGGCCGACGCCGGACATGTTAAGGCGCACGGACTCCATGACGGCCTTCCACGCGCAGAAGGAGTTCCAGGACCGCACCGTGTCCATCGGGAACGACGAAAGAGAGTATTTTGTCAGTGGCTGTTTGCTATTACTAGACTGCGCGCGCGGCGATCTCGAGAGGGTCCACGCGGTGGTCAAGGACTCGCCCACGCTCGTGAACTTCTGGGATTATGATCGGAGAACACCGTTACACGTCGCGTCGTCGGAAGGGCGCGCCGACGTCGTGAAATATCTCCTCGCGCACGACGCGCGGCCGAACCGCTCCGACCGGTGGGGCGGCTCGCCGCTCGACGACGCGTTGCGCCGCGGCCACCAGGCCACGGTCGAACTCCTACGGAGCAAGGGCGCGAGATTAGGCACGGCGGACCACGTGTCCCAACTCATGGCCGCGTGCAACGCCGGCGACGTCCGGGACGTCGAGGACTGCCTCGCGGCGCCAGGTGCCGACGTCAACGTGAGGGACTTCGACCAGAGGACGCCGCTGCATCTCGCGGCGGCCGAGGACCATGAAGATGTGGTCGCATTACTACTCATGAGGGGCGCCAAAGTCGACGTCAAAGATAGGTGGGGCTGCACGCCGTGTGATGATTGCGTCCCGGGCTCGGCGGCGGAAAAGGCGTTGCTCGCGGCCGGCTGCTGCCGCACGGATATGACCCATGACAAGAGCCACGACCCGTTCCGAGCCGAGTCGCCCGAGAAGCGCGACGACGACCAATTTGTGGTTGACTACCGGGACGTGGAATTAGGTGATAGGATTGGAGGGGGAAGTTTTGGGGAAGTGCACATGGCGCTCTGGCGCTCGACGCCGGTAGCGGCCAAGGTTATTAAGTTGATGCCCGGCGGCGACGCGAAGCAGAAGCAGGCGGCCCTCGAGGACTTCGTGGCCGAAGCGAGAATTCTGAAGACGCTGCGACACCCGAACATCTGCATGCTCGTCGGTTATGGGATCGAGCCGGGCCACGAACTTATATTGTCAGAGCTCATGCAGTGCTCTCTCTTGGACTATTTACGATCGTTAAGATCCCACGCCGACGGCATGCCGAAGCCGCGGGCCATGCGCTACGCCGTCGAATTATCGCGGGGCATGCGTTATTTACATGAACAGACGCCCGCGGTGTTACATAGAGATCTAAAACCGGCCAATTTACTATTGGACACGTCGAACACCTTGCGGATCACGGACTTTGGCCTGGCTACTACACGAAGAAGAGGTCGGGACGCCAAGGATTCCGGGCGGTTAGAAGCTAGAAAGCAGATCACGAAGAGTGTTACAAGGGTGTCCACCCAATACGATTTAACGGGTGCCACGGGAAGCTTCCGGTTCATGGCGCCGGAGGTCGCGCTGTCCCAGCCCTACGGGCGCAAGTGCGACGTCTACTCCTTCGCGATGATTTTTTATTATCTCCTCGATAGTAGGAGCCCGTGGGCGAATAAAGATGGAGAGACGGCCGCGCGCCTCGCGATCTCGGGCGCGAGGCCGGATATTCGGAGAGACTGGGATCCTAGGGTGGTCAAGGTCTTGACGGCCTGCTGGGCCGACGAGCCCAGGTTAAGGCCCTCCTTCCGCGCCGTCATCGAGATGATCGAAGCGGCCGACGTCGACGTCGAGGTCATCGTCCAGGCCGGTTTAGATCAAAGTGTCCACACGACGAAGTCGAAGAATCTGCGGCGGGGTTCGATACAGTCGCGCAAGCGCGTCGCGAAGAAGCAGCCGTCTCCGGCGGCAATGCCGAGCTTCTACCAGCACCAGGCGGGCGGCCATCACCAGCCGCCCGACCGGCAGCAGTCCATGGACAACTGCAAGTGTACCATCTGCTGAGTAGTGAATCATATCTCCTCCCCATCCCGTGACTAATGTATCATACTTTATCCGCTAATCTACCGGGCAGCGGCGCCATGGGCAGGCCGACCGACGCCTTCGTCAAATTGACAACGTTCGACAGCAGCATGGCGATGGTCATGGGCCCGACGCCGCCCGGCACGGGCGTGATGGCCGAGACGACCTGGGAAGCCTCGTCGAAGTGGACGTCACCCACCAATCGATAACCGGCTTTTTTCGTCGCGTCGTCGACCGCATTAATGCCCACGTCTATCACGGTCGCTCCAGGCTTCAGCCACGACCCGCGCACGTACTCCGGTTTGCCCACGGCCGCGATGACGACGTCCGCCTCGCGGACGATATCAGGCACATTTTCCGACGCCGAGTGGCAGAGCGTCACCGTCGCGTCGCACTGCTGCAACAACGCGGCGACCGGCGCGCCGACGACGTTGGACCGTCCCAGCACCACTGCCCTTTTACCGGCCAATGGTATGTCGTACCGTTGCAGGAGTTCGACGCAGCCCGCCGGCGTGCACGCCGTCGCCAATGGTCGAGGTCCGCCTCTCAAAACGAGTCGCGCGACGTTCTCATAACAAAAACCGTCGGCGTCCTTGTTTGGTGAAATAGTCTCCAGGATCCTGGACTCATCAATATGAGAGGGCAAAGGGAGCTGCACGAGGATGCCGTGGATCTGGGGGTCGGCGTTGAGTTTTGATACCGCCTCCAATACGTCGTCTTCGGACGCCGACGCCGGGAGCGTTACATCAGAACTAAAAATGCCGACCTCGTCCGCAGCTTTCCTCTTCATCCTGACGTAGGTCAGGCTGTCCCGTCGGTCGCCGACGAGCAACACTCCTAAACCAGGAGTGACGCCGTGCGTTTTTTGTATGGATGCGACCTCAGCACCCAACTCGGCTCGTATGGCTTTCGCGGTCGCGCGTCCATCCAAAATCTGCACCGCGTTGATGGCCGTCGTCAATGCCGCGGCGACGTAGAAGCGCGCGCGTGCGCGCATGGTGCCGACTCTCGCTAGCATGCAATGCGCATGTGGTATCGCAGCGCTGCACGACGCCCACTGCAAATGGAGCGATTGGCCCAAACACTGCTCTGCCGCTCTCGCAGTGCGGTACGACTGCTTCTACCAGCGCCGCGTACCAACAACCGTCGGACAGTGGGTCGCAATGCTCGCGAAGGGCACGAATGGCGCACGCAGCGGCACGCAACTCAGCAGCCCCAGCTTGCTTGCTGCTAGTGTGTTACAGGCCGCTAGCTTAGCTCGACTTGGTCCCAGAGCCGTAGCCCGCGTCGGGAGGAATACGAAGGCGTCTGGCAACGCGCACCGCTGCACTTCAACGGGGTGCTTCAGCCGGGAAGCTTGCGGGCTGTGCCATCACACACACACTCGTGAGCGCGCATAACCTAGAAGCGCTAAAAACGAGGAGGAGTTGCGGGCTGCAGTCTCACGTAGGTGCGGAGTGAAAAACGTTGAAAGGGCAGCCGCGCCGCAGCCTCAGGAATAAGACACGCCTCACCACTAAGACACTCCTCACCACACGCTCGAAGCAAGATGCGCGCCGCCGTCGCCCTGGCCCTCGCCATGACGCGCGCGGCCGCCGCGCTGGAGATGCGCCCGAGGCCGCTCCTGACGGCCCTCGTGCTGGGCGCCGTCGCCGCGCAGGCGCCGGCCGGAATGGCGACGCTCGCGCCGACGCCCATCTCCGAGTTCTCGTGCGCATTTATGAAAGAGGACGAGGACAGCCTGATGTTCGACTGGGAGAGCACGCAGGAGATGGTCCACGCCTGGGGCGGCTTCTCGCAGTGTGAACATCTGCGCTGCGACGCCGCGACCGGGGCGCTTTGGTTGAATGTGCAGCGGGAGAAGGTGCACACGTTCCGGTCGAAGCAGAGCAAGGGCCACAGGAAGGTTACGCGGAGCTACTGCATGGTGCTCACGCCGGACGGGCGGTACGCGCGCTACGCGCGGGGGGAGTACAAGTTGCGCGAGGAGCGCTGGATGTGGCGCGAACGAGAGAAAGTGTCGTGGAAGGACGTCCCCCATGTCAACGGCACGCTCGCGGCCGACGCGGGCTTCGGCACAAAAATGTACGACGCGTGTGTTGCACAGTGCCCCTGCGCGGCGTCGGAGGGCCGCGACGACTTCCCCGCTCTATCAAGGGCTCTCCTAGACCCAGATGCCGACGCCACGCAAGTACCCGGCGTCTGCTTCGACGAGAGCCCGAAGTATTGGTTCCACTTCGGCTGGGTCACGACGGCGCACTGGTTTTTGATTTTCTACCTGGCCCTCTCCATCCTAGGCGTGTGGACGCTCGCGTGCTGCGTCTCGAATCGGTGCTGTTATGCCTTCGGGACGCTCCAGAAGATCCGCAACGAGTTCGCGGACTCCTGTCCCACGCTCGCGACGTACTTGAATAAGCTATGCGTCGAGCCGTGCAAGTTATGTGTGAAGTGGTGCTGCTGCTGCTGCATGTGTTGTAAAGCGACACGCGTCAGGAAGCCTCCGATACCGACGGCGATCGAGGTTACGGCTCAGGGGCCGCCCGGGACGGCGATGACGGTCGTGTGCCAGGGCGGCCACGTCAACGTCGTCGTGCCCGACGACGTCGAGGAGGGCGGCGTCTTCGCGGTGAACCCGCTGGTGACGCAGCAACCGCTTCCACAGGTACTGCCAGATAATGATGTTACCCTCGACGCGCCGCCCCGCTCAAGATCTTTGATAGAACAGTTTCGACTCTTGGTCTGGAAGGTCTACTGGACCAAGAGAAGAGATAAAGCCTCTCTCATAAAACAGGTCCTGGGGCCCGCTCTCGTATTGGTGGTGGTGTGGCTGTTGTACGTCGCTGGTGGGTTAACGTTCATACCCTCATTAAGGTGGAACCCGAAGAACCCGAACTACAAGTGGAAAAAAGGTAAATTGAGGGACTACACGAAGGGTCAAGTTTTATCGCATGGCATGCTGGAACTGTACCTAGGCTTTATTGGCTTCATCCCCTTCGTGCAAGTTGTCGTTGTAAGTTTGGTGGAGGAGCACGGGTCTCGTCTAGTAGAATACATGAAGATGGCCGGGTTGCGGCCCCAGGCGTACTGGCTCGCGCAATTTGTGAGCGAAGGCGTGATCATTGGTGGTTTATCTGCCTTTATGATTGCGGTAGTGGGCGCGCCGGGCTTGTTCTCCTTCGCGGGGCATGCCGACGTGCCCTTCTTTAGCTTGTTGGGACTGCACTGGACTTACTTACTAGCATTGGTTTCTGTTGGCTTTTGTGCCGCAGCTCTCGTGCCGAACGCGCTGGTCGCGTCGTTATTCGCGTTGATCAGCCAGGTGGCGGGCGTCGTCTGCTACTTCGTGGGAGCGTGGCGGGAAAAGTCCAACGGCGCCATGGCCGCGACGTCGGTCTGGAACAAGTCCGTGACCATCCAGCGGTGGTACTCGCTGTACCCCCAGTTCGCCTACATGTTACTGGTGGAAGGCTTCCAGTCTCATAGAAAAAAGAGGTGCCGCGTCTGGGGCGCCTATAAGGGCGAGGCTTTCATATCAAGCGACTACGGCTGCAGCGCGCCCGAAGGGAAATCACTGGAAGAAGCGAAGGACTCTGCATTAGTCGGCTTAGGAGCATTTTTAGGAGAGCACCGCTGCCCGGCCTTCGACGAAGCGCTCCAGTACTCGTACTCGTACGACTACGATGATACTTATGCGGGCCCCTGCGCGGACCACTGTACAAGTTGTGACGGGTCCGCGGACAACTGTCAAAGTTGTGACCAAGGGTATACGTTGTACGACAACTCGTGCTTGGAGGGCCTGGCGAGCTGCGGGGTGCAAGGGCCCTACTCGACCTATCCGCATTTCTATAATCAAGAGACGGGCCAGCCGTCGTCGAGTTGGACGGCCGCCTTATACGGTATGATGTTGTTAGATTGTGTCATCTTCCTGGTGCTGGCGTGGTATTTCGCGCAAATCGTGCCTTGGAGCGAGTTCGGCAAGCCGCGGCCGTGGTACTTTCCCCTCTTGCCTTCCACTTATATGTCGGTGCCGCCCGCGAAGGTCGAGGACGGCGACGAGAGCTTGCTCGAGGGCTGCCCTTCTGATGCGTATGAGGAGCGGACGGGGGAACCGGTCGTGGTCGTGAGGGGCTTGACCAAAACCTTTGGCGAGTTCCGAGCTGTGAATGGTGTGAGCTTCGAAATGGTCGAGGACGAGGTGTTCTGTTTGTTAGGACATAATGGGGCTGGAAAAACAACCACAATCAACGTGCTGAGCGGTTTGTTACCACCGGACCCGTCCGCCCGGAAGACGGCGGTGGTCTACGGGAAAGATATAGGTAATCCGGAGGCGATCCATTCTTTACGGAGGGTGCTGGGCGTCTGCCCGCAGCACGACGTGCTGTTCCCCCATTTGACGTTGAGAGAACATGTCGCTTTTTTTGGCCAACTCAAAGGTAGGGATGCAGTGAGTGCAGCCAAAGACGCGGATTCATTGTTAGAGGTCTTCCGGTTATCTGATAGAGCCCACCACCTCGGCTCCGAATTATCCGGAGGCCAGAAGCGCAAGCTGTCCGTGTCCATTGCGCTGTCGGGGTCGTCGAAATTCATCGTGCTCGACGAGCCGACGGCGGGCATGGACCCCGTGGCTAGAAGAGAATTGTGGACGTTGCTGCGGGCCGTGCGCATGAAGCGGGCCCTGTTACTCACGACGCACCACATGGACGAGGCCGAGGCGTTGGGGGATCGCGTCGCGATCATGGCCTCCGGTAAAGTCAGGGCCGACGGGTCCGTCGACTTCTTGAAGCGGGCCTTCGGTAAGGGCTACGCGGTTAGTTTTGAGGCTCAAAATGCGGAGCAGGCGCGGAGCCTCGTTTCAAAAGCCGCGCCTTCATCAGTGGTCGAGGACATCGCCGAGGCGTCTCTTGCTGGAATGCATACGACGGACGCCCGACAAGCCTACACGCGGTCGCGGTCGTCGCGGTCGGGCTCCTTCAGCGAAGAGGTTGAATCGTCGATGCATACAGAAGAGGAGGGCACGCAGGCGACGCCGCGGGGCCTCGTCCGGTGCGCCTTCTCACTACCGTTAGATAAGGGCGACGAACTTCCGGCGCTGTTCGGTGCTTTACGAGGCGTCGCCGAGTCCGTGGCCTTCTCGACGACGACACTCGAGGACGTGTTTTTGGCCGTGGGTGAGGACGACGCGGTCCACAACGTCGCCAAGGTCAACGAGAGGGGAGAATCGTACAAGCAATTATATGAGGGTGAGAATATAGTGGACGTGCCCCGGAGTCTACTAAGGCATTCTTCAGCCATCCTGAGATTAAGAGGGAGGTTAGCATTCAACGACCTCATTACCGTGTTATTACCGTTCCAAGGGATTGAGTATGTGGTGATGGAAATCCACCGCCTCGTCACGGGCGAGAAAAGATTAGGGCCCCTGTCTCGACTGGCGGCGAAGTACGTCGTGGGCGTCCGCGCACTCATATTGGCCGTATTACCGTCCGTCGGCGCTCTCGTATTATGCAAAGTCGCCAAGGACGGCTCGCTGGCTGGGAGTGGTCGGAAGTGGGGCTTCCGGACGAATATTTTGCTCGTGTTGCCCCTGTTCGGCATCTGGGTGCTCCTACCTGGTTTAATCGCGGAGCCCGTCGTGAAGGAACGGAAAGTTAGATTACGTAATCTGCTGGCGGTGAGCGGGCTCGACCACCGCGCGTACTGGCTCGGGAGCTTACTCGGGGATTTGGTGCCTTTAGTGTTTGGCGTGTCGGTCACCCTACTCGCTATTTATGGGTACGGCATCTCTTTCTTGGTGGAAGAGACGAAGACCCGTACAATATTCCCTGAGAACTACACGATCATGGCAGAGACGGGGCTCCCCGCGATGAACCCTCAGACCGGTCTCCCTCTCACAAATTTAGAATGGTGCTTCGCGCTAGGAGATTATGATGATTGCATCACGACGACGCGAGAGCGGCGGACGTGGCTCGGCGACGCGCCTCAGCTCATAGCTATATACCTGCTATTCCCTCCCGCCGTGATCGCGTTCTCGCACTTGATGTCCTACGCTTTTTTAGATCCGTTCGTGTGTGTCGGTGCCACGCCGGTCTACGTGATAGGCTTGCTGATCCTGCCGGACGTCTTCATCATCTTCCTGGGACTGGCGTTCGGGGGCTGGATGCCAGGTAGCAAGGAGGCGCAGCTCTTCAACTGGAACGCGTTGGAGGCCATGGCGGCCTTCGCGTGGTTGGGATCCTTCGTCTCGCCACCGAATGTTATAGTTTTCACACTGTTAAGAGTCATGCGCATGGCTTTTGTTGCGACGAAGGGGAACAGTCCGGAAGCCTGGAACCCGACGTGGCCGTCGTACTGGGTGTTGTGTGTTATCTTAATCACGCAGTTCGTGGTTTTTGAAGGTTTAGCCTACGTGAAGGATAGGCTCTATACGCGGCCGCTACCATATACGAAGACGCGCTTCTCGACGCGTCGTAAGAACAATCTGGACGAGGACGTGCTTGCTGAAAGAGAACGCGTGCTGGCGCTCTTCGAAGATGGCGAGAAAGAGGAGGAGGACGTCGTAGAATCGGATCCGTCGCTGGTACAAAAAGTAGTATCAAAAGTAACAGCTGTAAAAGACGCGTTGCTGGACGAATTGAGCGACCCGAACTACTACGCGCCTCGCATAAAAATGGACGCCGCTCCGGAAGACAAGTACGGCCTCAACGTGCGGGAGGTGCGCAAGGTCTTCCCTCCCAAAAGGCACGGTCAAAGAGCTGTGGAAGCGGTGCGCGGGTGCACCTTCGGCGTGCGGACGGGCGAGGTCTTTGGGTTGTTATCTGTGTGGAAATCAAAATCTTACGTTGCGTTCCTCACCGCTCGACGGAGCCAGCACGGCCGCGTCATCGCCGAGAAATGACTTCGTGAAGAATTGTCGGGCGCACCCGACGCGCTCTTGATTTCCACACAGGTTATTAGGTGCGAACGGCGCGGGCAAGACGACGACCATGTCCGCGGTCATGCGCGCCGTCGAGCCGACGTCGGGCGACGTCGCGATCTCGGGGACCTCGGTCCTCTCGTCCTTCGCGCAAGCGTCCGAACATTTGGCGGTCGTGAACCAGCACAACACGCTGTGGGACGCGTTGAGCTGCGCCGATCATTTGAGATTGTTTGCTAGACTGAGGATGCTCGAGAATGAAGTGGAAGACGCCGTCGCGGCCACTTTGGCGCGGGTGGAGCTTTTGAACCATGCGGACAAGCCCGCCGGGCGCCTGTCGGGGGGCATGAAGCGCAAGCTCTGCGGCGCTTGTCTGTGTGGAAATCAAATTTCGGGCGCACCACGACGTCGTCCCCGTGGCCGCGTCTGCTCGATGGCGTGGAGCTCCACGCCATCGACGCGACGTTGTTCCCGTGACCGCGTTGGCTCGATGGCGTGGGATAACCTAACTCACTGGTTGGTTTCCACACAGGCGCGTGCGCGCTGATCGGCGACCCGCAGATCGTGTTACTGGATGAGCCGTCCGCGGGGTTGGACCCCGTCTCGCAACGGAATTTGTGGAACCTGATCAAGGCGACGATGGCTGGAAGAGCTGTGGTTTTAACGACGCATAGCATGGTCGAGGCCGACTTCCTCTGCGACCGCATCGGGATCATGGTCCAGGGGCAGTTAAGATGTTTGGGGACGTCCGACCACCTCAAGCAGCGCTACGCGTCGGGCTACGAGTTGGTCGTGAAGATCGAGGACGACGCGTTGGAGGGCGTCTCAGCATTCGTCAAGGAGCGCTTCGGCGCGACTCTAGCCGCCGCAGATGCCGGCACTTTAACGTATGAACTGTCGAAGTCGTCAGAGAAGTCCGCGGATCTATTAGCTGACGCGTTCCAGGCCTTTGACGAGAGTACACGCAAGTCTTTGAAGGTTGCGGAGTTCTCCGTCGTCCAGGCGTCGCTCGAAAAAGTGTTCATACGCATTGTCAGTGGCGAGGGCGGCGAGCACGAGGCGAGGGACGCACATAATCGCTCGGTGCAAGTAGCTCAAGACTTGGGGGATGATTCCGACGATGATCTGGACAATTTTCAGTTCCGGGAGCGGACCTGCTGCAAGTGCTCGTACTTCGCGCACGGTTTATTGTGCAAGTACCACAGTACGTGCTGCTGCGCCATGTGCTGCTACATGTTCATGTCGATATTTGGGGCGTCGTGGTTTGTGTGGTTCAATACTTGTACCCTTACCTTACTGTTCCACATGTTCGCCGCCGTTACGAATTGTGTGGGGAGGTGCTGCTTGCAGGAGCCGAAGGTGGAGGACTAGTTGGGTTTTGTACATATATCTCGCGTCGTCGTTTTGAAGAAGTAAGTTGTTTACTGGAATCTTCCTATATGTACGCGCATACATATATATATGATAAAGCGTGGGTGCACAAAACGGGTTTCTCGCTAGAGTCATACGCGCGCGGCCGAGCCAGGCGGTCACCGCAGAAGAAACGGATATTCACCATGATTGAATTTACGGACCAGCACTTACTGTGTTTTGGGTTGGTGCTAGCCCTATCAATCTTATTCCCCGACTGGCAGTGGTCCAAGAACCTGCAGGCGTTTAATGCGATGTTTTTTGGGAGTTATAAGGGGAACGTGACCGCTTAAGTACTCTCTCCCTTTAAGGGAAATAATTGAGGGATAGTGCGCGATGGCGACGCCGGAGAGGAGCTCGATCAACCAAACGCCGGTTAAATACGATCCGGTACCTTTCGCCACCACAGCGACCGCCGACTCACTCCAGCAGCACGAGTCGATCATGTCCGCGTTCGCGCGCCATCGCGAAAGCTTCCGGCGCCGCGCGGCGGACACCCCAGAGTCGCCGCCGTCGCGCACGTGGGGGCTCTTCCTCGCGTTCCTCGGCGTCATCTGCGTGAGTCCCGATTCGATGCTTTTGCGCTCGATGCATGCTGTTGGTGCGAGCACGACTGCGGTCGTCTCCGCCAAGTACTTTGGCGTCGCCTTACTGCTCACGCTGGTCGCCGCCGTCTATCCCGCGAAGGTGAAGCGGGCGTTTGTTTCCCTGCCGCACCTCTTGGCCGCGGTATGTTGCAACATCCTCCTCAGTCTGGGCTTCACGCTGGTGCTGTTACTGGATGACCCGGCGCGGTCGCTCCTCCTCATCGCGCTGTCGCCGTTCTGGTCGGCGCTGCTCGGTCTTATCTTGCTAGGCGACCCGCTACCGGTCCGGACGCGGTGGGCGCTGGTGTTTTCCTTCATCGCTATCGGTATTGTGTTGGCGCCGCGGGTCATTAACGTATCTCCTGCGAGCTCCGACGAAATCCTGGGGAGCATGTGGCATATATCAGCGTATTGTGCCTTCGACTCTACTCCCCACGCCATCGCCGCGACTCACGAAACGCAATCCGCAGGCTTGACGCCACCGCGCTCGGAACGGGCCTCGCGCTAGGGATCACGTACACGGTCTACCGACACGCGGGCCTGCACGCACCAGGAGCTGACCTGCTTCTGGCAACTTTACCGTCAGCGCTTCTCATAGGGATCGTCTGCCTGTACATGCCGTGTGACGCCGCCGACGTTACTGTCGCAACGTTGGCGTGCACGCCCTTGGCCGTCTGGCGTTCCCGATCGTTTCTATGCCTCGCGCTCGGCGACGCCGTGTTGATCGTTATTGATGTCTACGCCATCGCCTACGCGCCGAAGCACGTGTCCGGAAGCGAGTGCGCGCTCATTGGCCTCCTCGAGAACATCCTCGCGCCCCTGTGGGTTTTTCTACGCTTCGGCGACGTGCCCTCGGCGTGGACCGTCGCCGGGGGAGCGCTCCTGCTCGCGACGCTCGTCGGCCACGAGGTCGCCGCGCGGGAGCCGGTGCGGGTGAGCCAGCCCGGCGCGCGCGGTTACCGTACAGTGAATAACCTGTAGCTTACCCGAGCGGCCCTTTGAAAAATCCGAACATCCCCCCGCCGTCGTCGCCGCCCTCTTTCCGCCGCGCGTCGCGCGCCGCGTCGCTCTCGTCGTGGTCCTCGTCGATCACGAGCGCCAGAGCAATGATCGCCGCCGGATCCACGCCGGCCGCGCATTTGACGTGATACGTGTCCGCTTTATCGGGCATGAGCTCCAGCAGTTGGCGGCCGATCGTCGCTACTTCGCTCCCGTCCCTCGCGTAGATGTCGTACTTCCGCTGCGAGAAGGACCCCGTCGCGCGGTAGCAGGGGTTGCCGTTGTTTTCCGCCTGTGCATAAATCAAACGTCGCGGCGCTTCTCGACGGCGTGGCAGTGTGGGTTCAAAGAATTATCGGGGGTTGATTTGCGCACAGTTCCCCGCCTCGTAGAAGAATTTGTACGACGGCGTCAGCGAGACGATATCTTTTTCAATCTTCGCGATGCAGTCTCCTTTGAGATAGATATCATACGCCGTGGCCATGGCGACGGCTCGCCGCTCGATGCTGCCGCAGAGTTTTCCACCAGCCCTCAATTCCATCTTGTCGAGCACGAAGCCCCCGACGCCGAACGGCACCTTGTTGCTTCCCACAATATCAAACGCTCTCCCGCCGCCTTCCCGCTCGACGTAGAAATCTTCGCCGGAGATGGACAGCATCTTCTCGCGGACTGCGTAGCCCTGCGTGCTCGTCGTCGGCGCCGTCAAGGCGTATTTTGGTGGGTTCTGCGACTTGAGCTTAGGTCCTAAAGGGTTGAAATCCGAGAAGACCATTGCTGTGCATTGCACGGCCAGCAATGCAGCCGAGACTTTCATGGCGGCAAAAGCTGTTGATCGTCGAGGTACTGGCAGCTTGCGGATAGCAGGAGATGTCTGTGTGCCGTCCAGGGCAAATCACGCGAGAGCGAAGCTAGCGGCATGTAAGACACTAGCAAGCTTCGAGAGCTCGGAACTGCGGGCTTAAACGCGGGCATTCGTGGGCTAAAGTATCGATTCAGTAACTGCATAGCTGCTGAGCGTGACCGCGCAACGCATTTCTAAGCTTACATTTGGTCCCGAGCGAGCAGCGGCATCATAACACCAAGGCCATGCTGCGCTCCCTCGTCGCCGTCGCCGCGATCGGGCGCGCGGCCGCGAACGGCCGCCACGACGCCAGCGGCCACGTGATTGCGGGATTAGCCCAGGAAGAGCTCGCCGTCACGGATTCCGGTAAACTAGGCGACCGCGCCCCCTCGTACGCCTTCTGGTCGACCGGCGATCGCACCACAGCACCACCATACACGCCACCTACAAACAGAGTATATAACACGAAGGGAGGACCCGTCGAAGGCAAGATCAACGTCCACCTCGTGCCGCATTCGCACGACGACACGGGCTGGCAGGTTACTGTGGACCAGTATTTTAGTAGGGAGGTCTACTGGATCATCGATACCTTGACGGAGCAGCTCGCGCAGGATGCGAATCGGAAATTCATCTATGTCGAGACGGCGTTTTTTGCCCGGTGGTGGGAGCAAGCTGATGACTTTAAGAGAAGTAGAGCCAAATCCCTCGTACGCAACAAGCAGCTCGAGTTCATCAACGGGGGCTGGTGCATGCACGACGAGGCGAGTCCGCTCTGGACGGCGATGGTCGATCAAACCACAAGAGGCCACCAGTGGCTCTTCAAGACCTTTGGTGCTCAAGCGAACCCAAAAGGCACGTGGCAGATCGACCCCTTCGGGCACACGAACACGCAGGCCTGGTTGTTAGGGGCGGAGGCGGGCATGACGTCGTTATTTTGGGGGCGCATGGACTACCAGGACCGAGAAATGAGGTATGGAAGAAAACAGTCCGTAAAACCGCCGACGGGCGGCTTCGAGTGGGTCTGGCGCGGCAGCAAGTCCCTAGGTTCGAGCGCGGACGTCTTCGCGGGGGATTTGTACGGCACGGGGCAGGGCGGCTACAGTACGTGGCTGAATTTCGACGACGAGACGCAACAAGTGAACGACGACCCTTCAAGACACGACTACAACGTCGACCAGTGGGTCGACAAGTTTGTGCAAGATGCCAGGGAGCAGGCGAAGCATACTTTAACACTACATCAATTGTGGGCCTGCGGCACGGACTTTCAATATCAAAACGCCGATCGATGGTATAGGAATTTGGACAAGCTGATCCATTATGTGAATTTGAATGGTTCTGTGAATGCCTTTTATTCCACACCTACCCTGTATACGGATTTGAAGCATCGTAATAGGTCCGTGACCTATGAACTAAGACAAGATGACATCATGCCCCTGGCGGACAACGCGCACAACTACTGGAGCGGCTACTTCACGTCGCGGCCGGCGTTGAAAAGGCAGGTCCGGTTCGCCACTTCCTATTTAGAATCGGCGCGGTTACTGGAGGTCGTCACGAACACGTCCAAGAAAGATGTGAATCGACCGACCTACAAGAAGGAGCCCGTCGTCGGCGACTCCTGGACCGACGCTCTCGAGGGCACGGTCGGCGTGGCCACGCACCACGACGGCATGTCGGGCACGGAGCGGCAAGATGTTACGGATGATTATGCCCAAAGGATCACGGAGTCAGCTCTAGAAGCGGAAGCTGGTGTGGCGGTGGCCTTTGGTCGGCTGCTCGGCGTCGGACGCGAGGCGTTTGACCACTGCAACTGCAATAGCGGGCCCATGTCCTGTTTGAACCTGCGTGGAAATCAAAATTTTACAGCGCGTTTCCCTGCTCGATGGCGTGGCGATGCCGGTTCTTCACCGCTCAACGGGGCCAGCACGGCCGCGTCATCGCCGATTGCACCCGACGCATTGGTTGATTTCCACACAGGTTTGAACGCGTCGACCTGTTCCGCTACGCATCACGGGTTCTCAGTGGCGGCCTTCAGCCCGCTCGGCCAGGACGTTGATCATGTTTTGCGGGTACCTATCGTGAGTGACGGCCCGTGGCGCTGCAAGGACGCTTCCGGAAAGGCCCTCGCCTCCCAGATTCTGGCATTGGATCAAAGAACAAGGGAACTGCCGCGGCTCTACCTCAATTCGTTCAATCTCACGAAGGAAGAGTATAGGGCGGCCGACGCCGCGCTCACGAACGAGGCGACGGCGGTCCTCGCCGTATCTCTGCCAATAAAAGCGACGGGCGCCGCGACGGCGGCGTGCGGGCCCGGCGCTTCCGAGCCGTCATCATCCATCACAGTGACGCGGGACGGTGATAACCTAATTGTGGACAACGGCCTCTTGCGGTTGACGTTCTGCACGGCCACGAAGGCACTTACAACGATAGAGAACTTGGCGTCGCGGACGACGACCTCCCTAAAATTGACCTGGGGCTGGTACAACTCGTCGACCGGGGGCTGCACGCCGTACCCCGACACGCTCTCTGACCTAGAGCCGGCCTGCTCGTCGCAGGCGTCGGGCGCGTACATCTTCCGGCCGAACTCGTCGGAGCTGTATGGCTTTGATCCTTCCTTTGTGCCGCAAATGGCCGTCGAAACCGGAAGTGTATATGCCGAAGTGCGACTGCGCGGGTCGCCGTTCACTTCTCATACCATACGCCTGGGCAAGGACAACGCACACGTGGAGGTCGAGTGGACGGCCGGGCCCATTCCCGTGGACACGCCCTGGCTCGCGCCCGATGCCAACTGGGGCAAGGAAGTGGTCCTGAGGTACGACACGGCCGTCGCGTCGGGGGGCGTCTTCTACACGGATAGCAACGGCCGAGAGACCGTGAAACGCGTTCGAGACAAGCGCGGCCCGTCCTACCCTTCGCCCTACAAGATCTCGGAGCCCGTCGCGGGGAACTACTACCCCGTGAACGCCCTCGCGTCGATCAACGACGACTGCGTCGAGTTCGATGTGATTGTCGACACGTCACTGGCCGTGTGGAAATCAACCTCTACGCCATCGACGCGACAGCTACTGGTCGATGTCCACACAGGTCCCTGGGCGGCGCGTCACTTGCGAGTGGATCGCTCGAGTTCATGGTCCACCGCCGCCTCCAGGAGGACGACAACCGGGGCGTGCAGGAACCGTTAAATGAAACAATGTGCGGCTGCAACGACATCCGCGCGGCGCCGGGCGCCATGGGCGCGCACGGGCACGAGGGCGACGGCGGCTGCTTTTGCGCGGGATTGACGGTTCGAGGTCGACATCTGCTGGTGTTTGATGAGGTGCAACGGGCGCGCGCGTTGCGGCGCCGGCTGATGGAGGAGGTCCAGCAGCCTCCCGCGCTCGCGTTCGCGCGTCTCGGGACGCCGTTCAAGACGCCGTCGCGGACGGTCCTGGCCGAGCCACTGCCGCCGAACGTGAAACTCGTGACGCTGACGTCGAACTACGCCCAAGCGCACAACGGCCAGTGGTTATTACGGCTGGCCCACGTCTACGAGGCCGGGGAGACGGCGGACGACCTGGCCCAACCTGTTACCATCGACCTGACGCGCTACTTCAGACGTCCCGGCCTCGCGATCACGTCCGCCGTGGAAACGACGCTGACGGCGAACGCGGCGCCGGCCGCGCGGCTGACGTGGAAGACAGAGGTGGCGGCAGAGGACGGGGCCTTCACGGCGCGGACGCCCTTCGCCTACCCCTCGCTCACGCTGCGGCCGATGGAGGTGCGGACGTTTTTGGCGCGGTTTCGCTGAATAACGACCCTTCTTGTGTTTACTGCTAGTAGGGCTCTGTCGCGGAGCGGGCGCGGGGGCTGCTTGGCTGCAACACACCACAACTTCACCGCCAGCCATCGCGCGCCGCGCGGCGGCGTTTCGGCCTTCGCGCGTCCTCGATGCGTCGTCGGCGCGAGCGGCACCCCCCCAAAAAGAGCTTGTCGCCACGCTGGTCCTTTCGTCGACGGCCGCGTTCGTCGCGCTTATAACGTAAACCGTGCCGCGCAGGCAGCGATGGCTTCCTACAACACCGTCCCGGCCCCCGCCGCCGAGGAGCCGCTCCTCCAGGAGCCCATCAAGAAGTCGAGCCGCAAGTACGTCGTCCTCGGCGCCGCTCTGGCCTCCTTCGCCCTCGGCGCGCTCGCGGTCACGGCGACCTCCCCCGAGGTCGCATCCACTGGAATGATGTCGAAGTTATTCGGTGATCATATGTGGGGGGGGTACAACTTGAAGCCCTCTAAGGACTCTTGCTACGGGCCCAAGGATCTCAAATCAGCAAACGGCAACGAAGAACCGCACACTTGCAACGATGCAAACTGCAAATGGATCTATTCTCATAAGTGTGTACCCAAGAAGTGCCACGCCGGACAGAATCAATGGACCAAGAAAGGCTCGAAGATCGCTTGTGGTGACGCTCCGTGCAAGCCCGGCTGGTTCTGCAACTTTGATTCGTGGGGCCCGACCTGTGAGAAGTGCAACGGGAATCCGGAGCATACCGGTTGCACGCATATTGGTCTGCCGGACCCCGGTGTGGCCGAATGCTTCGCGTGCTGCACGTAGGTCCACGACCTCGGGGCAGTGCCGTCGCCGCGCCAAGAAAAGCGGATGTACGTGCCGAGAGCGACCGACGAGAACGCCAAAAAAACCAAAAAAAACAAAATAAAATAGGAGCTGTTCCGCGACCCCGCCGCATGCGCTGCCCCAAACCATGTACATAACGACCTTGTATGCCTAAAAATTATGACAAAGCCCCTCGAGGAAAAAAAAATAGAAAACACACTATGTCTTAGTAGCCGCCCCCCCGTCGAGCCCGCCGACGTACTTGTCCAGCTGCTGCTCGAAGAGCGGCGAGCCGACGCGGCCGCCCGACGTCGGGTCCTGCACCGGCGACTTGACGACGCACTCGACCCAGAGCTGGGCGTAGACGTGGAAGAGCACCGCGCGCGGGTCGCCCTTGAACTCCGCGTCCGCGAGCAGCACGAAGCGGTAGCCCGAGAGCGCCTCGAAGGCGTGCAGCGCGTAGCTGTCCGTCCGCACCGTGATGTGGCCGTCGGGCGCGCGGCCCCGCGGCGCGAGCTTGTTCGACACCTCGCCGAGCGAGTGGAGCATGCCGAAGACGAGGCGCGGGTGCTCGCCGCTGCCGTCGTCGCGCCTCGGGCCGTTCCACTCCCTATCAAAAAGGCAGCGGCCGGACCGGTCGAAGACGTGGAGCGAGTAGAGGACCATCGCCGCAGCGGTGCGCTTGGTATCGGCTGGCGCGCCGCGTGCGCGTGTGGTAAGCAGGTATGGGTGTTGCAAACCTTAGTGCTCAGCGGCAGAGCTTGACACAGCTCGAGAGCGAAAGGCACTGAGTAGTATGAATCACTGTATAGCTGATTGTATTGTACGCTCGTGCCAAATCACGGCGCCGGCACCGGACGGCATGCATGCTAGTGTCTTACACCGCTAGCCGCGCCTAGTCCTCCTCGGCGTCGTCGCCCTCGTCGGACCCCTCCTCGTCCTCGTCGAAGGCGTCGAGCTTCTCGGCGCCTTCTGAAGGACGAGAAACCAAGTCCGCGTCCAGGCCCTCGTCGTCGTCCATGACGTGCTTCTTCTTTTTCGGGGATTTGGACATGGTCAGCCGCTTCAGGATCTCGCCGACGATCGACAAGAACGCCGCTAAGAGTTTTTCGTCCTCGACCGTGAAGGGCGCGCCGTTGTTCTTGTTGATGAGTTGCACGACGCCGACGCACGTCTCGCCGCTGTCGGCGCAGACGGGGTGGCACAAAATGCTCTTCGTCGTGTAGTTCGTCTGCTTGTCGATATTCTGGTTGAAGCGATGGTCCTTGTAGGCGTCGGGGATGTTAATCACCTCTACCTCTCTCCCGCACGTCGGGGCCAACCCGGGCGCGTCGAGGGGGAACTTGACGTTCACGTCGCCCTGCAGCGCCCACATTTCATCCGATGAGGAATCGATCACGAAGACCGTGCACCGATCGCAGTCGATGACGTCCGGTAGCCTATTGGTGAGCGTATGTACGACGCTATTGACACCTAGGTTATCATATAAAGTCTTCACCAAGTCCATGGTCGCGTCGGCCCTCGTTCGAGCACTGACAGCAGCATCGTAGAGATCAGCGTTCCGCAGCGATGCCGCGGCGAGCGTAGACAACACGCCGAGCACATCTTCATCATCGTCCGTGAAGGGCCCCGTGTTCTTGTTGATCACTTGGATGACGCCCACAATTCTGTTCGTATGGTCCCGTATGGGAGCACACAGAATGTTCTGCGTCTTGTAGCCCGATTCTTTATCCGCTCGGGGATCGAAGCGCGGATCCGTATACGCGTCATGAATGTTGCAGACGTCGCCCGTGTCGGCCACCGTGCCCGCGATGCCCACGCCGAAGGGCACTCGGATCGTCGGTAGGTTCGAGTCGTCCGCGACTCTCAGCATCAGTACTCGAGGCCCGCCCTTAAATTCCGGGTCTTGGGCCGTAAAAATAGAGGCCCGGTCGGCGTTCAGTAAATCGCAGGCCACCTGGACGACCTTCGCGCAGGCCTCCCTAGGTGTGATGGACCGCTGGATGTCTCCTGCTGCTTTTAGTAGGCGTTCTAATCGTTCAGCTTTTAACCTCATTTTCTCAGCTTTCGCGCCGCCCACGCCTTTGGGAGCTCTCACGACTTTACCATAAATCCGCCCGTCCTCATCAGCGAGTGAAGCCGCCTCCGAGTAGCAGGACTGGACGTACTTCGTGGCGTGGTCGGCCGCGTACGCCTCGGCGCCGCGCTCACACAGCTTCATATCACATAAATCCCTCACGTAGGTCATGGGGTCCTCGGGCCTGTTGAGGATGGCTTCCGCCGTCAGCCACTCGACGATGGACTTGAAATTCGTCCGTGTCAAAAAGGCGGACGCGTCCTCGGGGTCGCTGTTGCCGCCGGCGCCCGTCGTGGCGGCCATGGCTGCGAGCCTTGGTCGCGTGGCTGGGGGCTGCCGGTGCCTCCTTCCCGGTGCGCCGCTCGTGGGGCAGCCTTTTTCACAAGGGCCAGCAGCCGCTGTTCGAAACTGATGGTGCGTACGGGTTTCCCCGGCGAGGTGGTTGCGCACGGCATTGGCGGGTCCGTGGGCTACGCTTGAGCGCTGCGTTGGCTTGATATGGAGCTAGCGGCCTGTAAGACACTAGGCATCCAGCAAAGCAGCAGCGGGAGCAGAGTTCGGCTGCGCGAGCATTAGCGGTGTGGCACTGCAGCAGAAAATAAGCACAAATGCTGCGCCTCATCGCTGTCGCGTCGGCGAGCATTCGTGCGGCAGCCTGGCAGCACCACAGGACGCTGTCGCGCCAGCACACGCGGCGCCAGGCCGACCTCTACGGCGGTCAGGACACGCAAAGGAATGAAGACATCGAGGCGCTGAAACGCGCGTTTTACGGCGGCGGGAGCGAGGATACGTTCCGCGACGCCGCGGCGAGCGACGCGCGGCTCGTCGCGACGGCCAACGAGTTCGGGTTGATCAAGGACGTGCCGTTATGTAGATGGAGCATGCATTTATTGCCGCACCAGCAGCCCATACCTGTGTGGATAATCAACCAGTGCGTCGGGTGCACGCGATAATTCCAGGCTCCGTCGAGCGGTGAGGGAACCGGCATCGCCACGCCATCGAGCAGGCATCGCGTCGATGGCGTGAACGCGCCGCAAATGTTGATTTCCACACAGGACCATACTAAATGTCTGGCAGCCGCAGTACACCCACATGTTCGAGGAACTCGTCCGCGGCCCGGAGCCCTGGCTCTACGCGCATGTGCAGCTCCCCGGCGGGCGCGACAACATCGGCAACCCTGATTATGATCTGAAGAACGAGACGTCCTTGGCGCCGCGCACCGGCACGCTCATGCGCGTCGCGCGCTACGAGAAGCAGCCGGACAACCGCTGGGCCGTCTGGGTCCAGGGTCTGGCGCGGTGCAGGGTCGAGAAGGCGCTGCGGAACATGCCCTACGCGCGCGCGGACATCCGGATAATCCCGGACGGTCGATGGCTGTGTGGAATTTTCACGCCATCGAGCAGACGCAGCTACGGAGAAAATATCGCGTCGATGGCGTGGGGCGCCCGAAATTTGATGCCCACACAGGCGAGGCCTTCTCGCACTTTGGGGGGACGTCCGCGTTCCCGGAGTGCTGGTCCGCGGCGCTGCTGGAGGACGAGGCGTTTGCAAGAGTTGAATTCTTGCCGCCGCCGGAATCGGCCGACGTCGCGCCCGTGTGCCAGTTCGACGTGGCCGCGGCGACGGCGTGGGACGGGGAAGGACTGGAAGGAATCTACGCGGCGCCGCTGTCGGTCGACGCCGACGCGCGGAACGCCGCCGACGCGGCGGACGCGTCGCTGCTCGCGGAGCGCGAGCGCGACGTCTGGCTGAAGCTCGACGAGCTCCTGCGGCGGCTGTCCAGCGTCTCGCCGACGGCCGTGCCCGTCAGCGTGGACATCAAATTTATGGCGCGTTCGTCCTGAATCACCGCGTCCACCTCCACGCCATCGACGCGACGCCTGCTCGATAGCGTGGCGGTGTCGGTTTCTCACCGCTCGACAGAGCCAGCGGCCACGTCTTCGCCGAGAAATGACTTAGTGAAGAATTATCGGGTGCACCCGACACACTGGTTGATTTACACACAGGTGCCCGTGCCATCTCAAATTCTAGGGCTATTGCCACCGGACGGAGACTGGCCCGCGGACTTCGCGCTGACGGCCGTCGCAGCGCGGCTCGCTTCCAACGTGGCGCCGCCGGACCCATTTAATCGCCGCTACACGACCCCCCCGGGCGGCTACCCGGCGCACCGCCGCGCCGCGCGCCTGAGCTACGCCGTCTGGGCCGTCGTCGGCGGCCAGGCGCAGCCCGTCCTCGACGCGCGGACGACGGCCGAGCGGCTCGCGTTGGCGCTGCGGCGGCTGGAGGCGTTGTGTGATGGGTTGGCGGCGGAGGGTGGTTAAGTGTCTATTATTGTACTTATGACGTCAGCGCGACACCTCCCGCGTCGAAGAATCCCGCCGGGAGCGAAAAGTATAGCGCCCCGAGTGCGAGCGCGTAGAGCTGGGCGCTGAGAAACAAGGCGACGTTCGAGCGCCAGAGCGCCGCTTGGCTCGCCTTGAGGATCCGTTGCCGGTCCGCGGCCGCTATAGCGTGGGCCCGCGCCTGGTCGTCGCCCAGCCGCTTGACCGCCGCCGACAGCTCGCCGACGGCGCGCGCGACGTCCGACTCCGGGACTGCTGCGCCGTCGAGTTCGGCCAGCTTTTGGCGCATGTCGCTCACGGCGACGGCCACGCGCTCCGACGCCCGCCGGCTCAGCTCCGCGCGCAGCTTGCCGCCCGGCGACAGCGTCGCGGCGTCGTCGTCGTCGGGCGCCGGCGTCGGCGCGCCGCCCTCGCTCAGCCGTTTGTGCAGCGTGTCGACGCGTTCGCGCAGGACGTTTCGGTAGGGCGATGCCGCTGGCGTCGGCGAGCCGGCGGCCGCAGCTCGCCCGCGCCGGACGCGCGCCAATATTTTTTCGGCCTTGTCGATGGACTCGCGCGAGCGCCGCGCTGGGCTGGAGAGCGTCTTTGGGCCCAGCTCTAGCCCCATGATGGCTGCGTGTGATTGCGACGTCGTACCGGTGCCCAGCTCTGGAGCTCTGGATCTCGTATATCACCGCTATCGCGCCGAAATCACTGCGGATTTCGACGTCGTGCTGCACGCGATACACGTATGGGTGCGTGGCGTAACTCGCTAAGCCAGGTGTGACAAATGGACCGCGTTTGGGTCACCGCGGCTTTGGCAGCTCAAATGAAATCCTAGTATGTCTATAACCTGGCAATTTTTTTTCCGACTTTTCCACGTCCCTGTCTTTCTATGCAGCATTCCGTAGGCCTCTCGGAGCCGTATTTCTCGGATCTGGAAGGGCGTCCTAGCTCGTTTTTGCCTTTGATATCTCGTGAGTTCAGCTAAGGTGAGCACGCAACCTTCCGCGTTTCCAGCTAACCTGAGGCACGTTGGCGTACCTTTGGCACCATCACATCACGCTTGCGAGCCAACGGCTCGAGATCCGCACCGACGGCCACGTATAAGCCCAGCGACCATCGAAGCTAGCAGTGGATCGCTGCGCGACGTCGCTGGCGTGGACCCTCGGCGCTGGCCGCGAGCGTTTGTGATGGTAGCTGTTGGCCGCGCGCGCTGCTTTCCGGCAGCGCTTCCTCCCCAGAGATCTTTCGCTGCCGACCGCGGCCGCCGATCGAGGGCGGTCCGGACCGATGGCGTCGGGCCGCCTCCGAGAGGTGGCCGCCGGTCGGCGCGACGCGCAGCCCCTTCCCCCAACCCGGCACACGGCGCAGCAGCGCTCAGCACCCAACCCCCGAATAAAACCCTCCCACGCCATCCCGCGGCGGTCGGCTCACCCGCTTCCCCCCCGCGCGCAGATCGCAACGATGAAGACGGTCCTCGCGCTCGCCGCCGGCGCCAGCGCGCTCGTCGCCCCCGCCGCGCCGAAGGCCCAGAGGACGGTCGTGAAGGCGCTCGACACGGAGCTTGGTGTCCTGCCGCCGCTCGGCTTCTTCGACCCGCTCGGCCTCGCGGCCAAGGGCTCGGCCGAGGACTTCGAGCGCCGCCGCATCACGGAGCTCAAGCACGGCCGCGTCGCGATGGCCGGCTTCGTCGGCTACCTCGTGCCCGAGGTCTACAAGTGGCCCGGCTACCTGAGCCCGACGAACGATTTGAAGTTCGAGGACGTGCCGAACGGCCTCAACGCGCTGCCCGTCGTGCCCGGGCTCGGCTGGTTCCAGATGATCATGGTCGTCGGCTGGCTCGAGGCCGGCCCCTTCGCGGCGACGCGGAGCGAGTTCGCGGGCGACTTCGGCTGGCCCTACTTCGGCAAGCAGATCCAGAGCGCCGACGAGAAGAAGTCGAAGCTGAACATGGAGCTCCAGAACGGCCGCGCCGCCATGTTCGGCGTGCTCGGCCTCATGATGCAGGACGCCGTCAACGGCGAGGTGACCATCTTCCCGGGCACGGACATCGCCTAGACGCGAACTTGTGGGGCGCCGGCCGGGCGCCGTGACTCTTAGGACTCTCGCGAGGCGGTCGTAAGCCTCGCAAATACTAGTTTCTGGTCCTTGGACGGCGCGGCGGCGGCGTCTACCTACGGGCCCGGATGTCCGACGCCATGTCGTGCGACGCGCCGATGGCGTCGAGGCCGGGCCTCTAGGCCGGGCCCAGTCGCGCGGACCGCGGTCGCGGCAACCTCCGCGCCGAGCAGGCAAGAACTTTTTGTCCGGGTGGTGACGCCATCGAGTATAGGCGGCCGGCCGGCCCCCACGCATCCACACGATCGCGCGCGATCGCGAGCCGCACGAAACCCGTAGCATTTCGACCATTTTTGAGTGTTTTTGGCATGCGATTGCCAGCATCGCGGCAGAAGACGCAGTTTGGGCAGCCTGGAGAGCACGCGAGGCTGCGCAGTAAAGCGAACGATCAATAGTTTGGACATCGCGCCCGAGATTTAGACGCCCTGTGATTCCTAGCTCGAGGGCTCCAGTGTCGGACGGACGAGGCGGCGGCTGATCGATCGCAGCCGCACAGAAAGGCAGCCCTGCACACTACAAAAAGCAAATGCAAAACATGCCCACGCCGCCCGCGTATGCGAGGAGCCCGCGCATGCCGCTCCATCGGCGCCACACGATCAGTTCCGGAGCCAGCCCGAAGAAGAAGAAACCGTCATCAGGACCGCGCGTCCCCTTCCTGCCGGCGAGCGACCACAAGCTGACGCAGCTCTTCGAGGATCTGGTCTGGCAGGTCGAGCAGGGTGTGCACCGCATCGAGTTTTTGGAGCGGGAGCTAAGGCTAGAACGAGCGACGCGAGAAACGGCGAAGAGTACGGAGGAGGACCGCGTCGAGCGCGTGAAGCGGAGCCACGCGGCGGCGATGGCCGCGACGCACTCGTTTCTAGATGATGAGCGCCGGGCCTTCGCCGAGGAACGAACTCGACTGGAGGACTGTATCCGGGCGAACCTGGCGGCGTTCCACGCGTTGCAGCACGACGACGTACCTTCATTAATTGACCGGCCGCCGCCGCCGCCCTCACGTGTTGATAGAGGCTCGCAGTCGTGGAAGATCATGGCGGACCGCGCGTCGTCGCCGCCGCCGCCGCCGGGGAGTCCCCCGGCCACGCCGCCGTCCGTGAAAAGATTAAGGGACGCGGCGCGCGGCGTCTCTCATCAGTTGACGGAGCGCCCGACGCCTAAAAACGTCGACGCGCAGCTCGACGAGTTGAGAAGGGGCTTGAGGGTCGTGAAGCACGGGCGCAAGGGCAAGCCGCGCGACACGTGGTTGTTTCTGGATTCCCACGACGGGTTATGTTGGGTAAGGGCGGGCAAGAAGGGCGAACCACCATCAGTCCAGAAGCTCTCCACCAAAAGAAGGTTGTGCCTGCGGCCGGACCTAGATTTGGACGTGGTGCGAGGCAAGCAGACGGCGCCGCTCAAAAGGAACAAGAAGGCGCCGCATTACATGTGTTTAAGCGTGGTGGTTGCCGCGCACGACGTTGGGGAGGACGGCCGTCGATCCTTAGATCTGCAGGTGGCTTCTCTCGAAAGACGGGACGCGCTGGCCGACGCCCTCGAGGCCGCCGTGGACCGCGCCGGCCGGCGCGTCCTCGCGGAGACGTCCGCGTCTACGCCGCGGTGGGCGGACGACGCGAAGGTCCGGGCGGTCCTGCGGAGAGCGCGCCTGCGGAACATCCCCGCCGAGGGCGACTAATATTAATAACACATATTACGCGGGCACGCCGACGACCTCGACGGACTGGACGATGGCGAAGGACCCGGACGCGCGGTCGATGCGGATGCGCACGTCGCGGGCGAGGACGTTTTCCAGTGAAACGCGCTTGTTGCCGCCGCCCTCAAACGTCACGGTGGCGACGTCCTCGAAGGCGTCCTCGTGGCCGACGCTCACGGTCACCTGCCGCACGGACGGCCCCACGTCGAGTGAAAGGGACGAGAGGCGCGTCGGCGACGGCAGGCGCGCGAGCGCGGACTGGGGGAAGAGGCCCGTCGTCGCCCAGAATTTTTGGCCGTCGAACATGGCCGTGGCCGGGTGGCGCCCGTCGTGGCACGACGCGCCGATGTCGCGCACGGCGACGCGCCGGGCCGGTGTCGTCGGGCTCGCGGACAGCTGCCGCGTCGGCGGCGTCGGGCTCGCCGGCGGCGAGTCGGCGGCGCCGGGCGCTTGGCGTGCGTCCCAGGGCAGCCGCTCCGTGGACATCGTCGGGCTCTCCGGCGTCCGTTCCGTGGACATCGTCGGGCTCTCCGGCGGCGGCGCGCATGGTGTGGTGGTCGGCGCGCGCTCGGCGGCGCCGAAGGACAGGCGCCGCGGCCGCGCGGCGAGGGGCTTCGTCGGCCGCGGGTAGCGCTGCGGCGACGCCGACCGGTTCAGGGCCTTGCCGTAGTCGTTGAAGGGGACGAAGGTGCGCGGGGCCTCCATGCTTTCGTCGCAGTGTGGTCGGGGGCGTCAGGGGTGGCAGCCCAGTGTCGGAGCTGGTGCGGCCCGGGCGCGGGAGAAAGGCTGCCCCACACGTCCAAAACGTATGAGTAGGGACCGCTGGGCGTGGCAGCGTGCGAGCAAGGTCGCTCCACCCGGTATAGAGCGCCAGCCACTCGACGCAGAGCGCCGCTGCACGGAGAGTTGCTAGAGTGTTTCTGCACCCCGAAGTCGGCCGTACGTCGCCCAGCACGGGCTCGCGCGACGGCAGAGAGCTGGCGAGGCGTCATGGAGGGCTCTTCCGCCATTCCGTCACGTCGCGCTGCGAGCGTCTCCAGCATCTACAAGCGTCTCTCAATAAGCTTTGCAGCAGCGAGTTTTGCAACTGGCATTGCTGCATCTTTGGTTGGTGTTCGTTTCCGACCACTCCGGCCCGCGCAGCCTCTCGAGGGCAGCGCAAGCGCTGCCCTTGTCGTCAAACACGCTGGCAACACGAATCCATATGCTTTAAGGAGCCGCGGCGATCGTGACCAAATGTCCTCCTACTTGCGTAAGACGGAAAAAAGGACCGCAAGGGCGCGCGCGAGCTCGCGCGAGCGGGACCTCTGGCTGAGCCCCTACGGGCAGCCCGACGCGCTGCGGAGCTCGAAGCGCGACCGTGCACAACAGCGCGCCAAGGACCGGCAGCGGGCGCAGCGCATCGCCCAGAAAACGGAGGCCGCGGCGCGGGAGCGCGCGCGGCACCGCGCCCTCGTCGCCGCGCGCGCCGCCTCGCCGGCGCGGCCGCGGCCTGCGAGCGTCCCGCCGCGGCGAGCGTCCCGCAAAAAGCCGGCCGCGGCGGGCGCCCCGCCACCGGGCTTCGCCGACTTCGCCGCGGCGCTGCGACGGGTCTGCGCCTACGTCACTGACGCGAGCGACGCGGACCTGCGCGCGGTCTACGACGGCGGCGGCCGCGAGGCCCGCCGCGCGGCGGCGACCCTCGGCTCGGCGTGCGGCCTCGCGGCGCGGGCGCGGCGACCGCTCAGGCCGCCGGACCCGCCGGACGTGGCGTTCGGCCGACGAAACGATCGGCCACCAGCGTCGCCGCTGCGCGGTCGCGAGGACCGCGCCACGCGGCGGGCCCGGTCCAAGCGCGTCGCGCGGGCCGCCCGCGACAGCGTCGACCTGCTCGAACGGCTCATGGGACCCGCGTCGCCGGAGTCGCCGACCCCTGCGATCGACCGCGCCGCCGCCGCGGCGCTGCGGCGCGACCCCGACGACGACGAGGGCTTCGATGGCGACGTCGCCGCGTCGCCCGTGTTTGAGGGCGGCGAGGCGTTCGAGGCCGAGAATCCGATCGATCCGCTCGTCGCGGACGAAGTGGAGGCGCTCCTCGCGGGCGGCGTCGGCGCGGCCGACGCGGACGACGCGATATTGGCGGGCGGCGCCGACATCGACGCGATCCTAGCCGGGTCGCCCGTCGAGGGCGACGACGACCTTCTCGAGGGCTAAACATCCCGCGGGTAGTAATATGAATAAATATCATATGCGTTAGCGCGCGCGGGCCCCGGGGCGCGCGGGCGCGTTGCCTCCTCGGGACGGCGTTGCTCACGCCGTCTCGGCCGCCTTCGTGACAACGGGTTGGTTGTCCGCGGGAAGCGCCTTCGCCGGCGGCGGCAGGCGCCGGTTGGCGTAGTACGACAGGCCACCGACGACGAGGAGCACGAGTGCGCTGGCGATGACGGCCACGGCTATGATGCCGCCCGAGGCGGCGTCCGGCGAGGAGCTCTTCTTGCTGCTGCTCGAGGAGCCCTCGGTCGTCGCTTGCTGGTCCGTCGTCGGCGCGGGCTCGGTCGGCGTGGGATCGTTATCAAGAACTAGTCGTGCGCACATGTCTGTAGAGGAGAACTCATAGGGCGCGTCGATGTCGGGGCAGGCCGCGTCCAGGTCCTCGTCCGACACGCCGCCGACGGGCTCCTCCGCGACGACGTCGCGGAGCCACTTGCGCGACAGGCCCTCGAGCTCGGTCGCGTCCGGGTAGAAGGCCACGGCCAGGTCCTGCAGAACGGCATCGGGTTCCACGACCCGACGCTCGAACCAGTCATTCGCGCCGCGCGGGCCCTGGTTGTCGAAGACGCGGCCGTTTTCCCAGGCTTTCAGGGAGGACACGTCCTGGTCCTCCCACGGGCCCGGCGAGATGAACACGTCAGCGTCCGCGCCGACCTCGAGGAGCTGTTCGGTAGACAGGTAGGGCGCACCCCACGACTCGCAGGCCGCCTCGACGGCGGGCACGATGAGCTGGCCACCCGCGGCTTCGATGATTTCCGAGTACCACGTGTTGCCGCTTGCGACGGACCAGCCTCCGATCGGTTCGCCGCCGCAGGTCGCGCTGCCCCAGTACTGGGCCCAGAGCACCTTGACCGGGGCTTTGTTCTTCACGACGCCAGCAACGGCCTCCTTCGTGCAGAGCCAGTTGGCGACGATGTGCTCGATGGCCGCGGCCGCCTCCTTCTCCCTATTGAAATACAGACCAACATACTCGACGTACTCGGCCGTTTTGAGGACCGCGTTCGGCTGTTGTTCGGCCGTGTCCGTCAGCAGGACCGCGTTGTGCTCGTCCATGCCCCACGACGACGCGAACGTCGCCTGGACGCCGAGCGCCTCCAGGTCCGGGTTCACTGTGTTCGGCCAGTCCCCACTCTGGGCCTCGATGAGTCCGTCGCGGTACATCTTCCTTAAACACGGTGACGAGACGTAGTAGAAGCTCGACTGGTAGGCCTTGAGCGCGCGCCGCTCGCCGAGCATCTCGATGAACGGGAGGTACGTCGACGACGTCGTCGCGACGGCGGTTACGGGCACCTCGACGAGCGTCGCCTCCACCGCGTAGGCCGGTAGCTCTTCGCTCGTCGGCGCGTCCACCCCACATTGGTGCAGCGCGTGCACGGCGTCGCCGTTCTTCACGACCTTGTAGGAGTCGTAGTAAGCGACCTCCCACAGCAATGAATAGTCCGCGGCGACCGTCGCCGTGAACTGCGTGCCGTACACGCACTTGTCGGGGAAGAGGTCGCCGCTAGTGACACCGACCGCACATTGACCGCCGACGTAGTTGGCGGCGCTTGCCGTGGCGGCGCTTGCGAGCACCAGGGCTGCGCGGCGGGCCATCGTTGATGTTGCCGCGTGGAAGGGCAGCTGTTGCTGCACACAATGGCCCTCGCGTCGTCTCAATAAGCGCTGAAGTTCTGTATTCAGCGCTCGCTGCGAGAGCTGAGGCGAGGTGCGGGTGTGGCTTGAAGGACTCTTGTCGCGCGGAATTTGATCCTTCAACGGTACGAGCGACCCGTTCGGAATTTCGGGCTAGCGGTAAGACACTAGCAAGCCGAGCCAGGGGGCAGTCGTATGCGTGGCCCATTGCCGCTAATGATTGCATGTTATACGTGCACCGTACAAAAGTGATCAAACCATGAATAAATAAATGACAGGCATCGATTTGTTGCAACTGAGACGGCCAGAGGGCCAGCAGCAGCCACAGCAGGAGCAGCAGCACGATGCCATCGATGAGATCGATGCAATAACCGATGCCAGCGATCCATCAACGACGACAGAATTCGTCCTCGACCGCGCGCCAACGCAAAAGCCGGGCGACCGCCTGCACGCGAGCTGCGGCGGCCGCTACGTCTCCGTCGTGCGTCTCAACGGCGGCGGCCTCGCCTGCGTCGACAGTATCTGCTACCATGCGGGTGGCAACCTTGGCGTGGGAGATCTGGAAGACGACGACGTGCTCATATGTCCACAACACCGTTTCCGCGTCTGCCTCCGCACCGGCGACGCGATCGAGGGCGGCGACGCTCACGCGCGTGCACGCCAGCGGCTCCACGTCGCATACGAGAACGAGGGTTCTCTTCGCGTACGTCTTGGCACAAACGGCGACGCCGCGAGCGACCGCTTCGCGAGTGCTGACGAGAATATTTGGAATTACTTGATGTGGCGCGAAATACGCGTGGCGCGGCCCGTGGAGTAGAGTGCTGTGAGACTAATAACGTAAATGTGCTGTTACAAGCAGACACAAACAGACTGGGGGAGGGGAGATCGCAGCTTCGTCTGCGTTGAGGAAGTGCGCGCGCGGGCCCGGAGAGGGGCGCGCGGGCGCCGGCCGCCGCCCGAGTGGTCCTAGAGCACGAGGACGGCCGCCGCTGCCGCCGCCGCGGCGAGCACCGCGCGGGCCGCGGCGTCCGACTCGTCCGGAGGCTGCTCCGGGTCGTCCGTGGAGATCTGGGCGCACATGTCTGTAGAGGAGAACTCGTAGGGTGCGTCGATGTCGGGGCACGCGGTATCTAGATCCTCGTCCGACACGCCGCCGATCGGCTCGCCCGCGCGGACGTCGCGGAGCCACTTGCGCGAGAACGTGGCGGTGGGCCCGTCGTCGGGGTAGAAGGCCAGCGCGAGGTCCTGGAGCATGGCGTCGGGCTCGACCACTCTACGCTCGAACCAGTCGTTCGCGCCGTTCGGGCCCTGGTTGTCGAAGACGCGGCCGTTCTCCCACGCCTGTGTGGAAATCAACCAGTGAGCTATGTTATCCACGCCATCGAGCCGACGTAGCTACGCAAAGCACATAGCGTCGATGGCGTGGGGCGCCCGAAACTTGATTTCCACACAGCTCCATGCCTTCAGGGCGGACACGTCCTGGTCCTCGGGGAAGGGGCCCGGCGAGATCATGACCGCGGCGTCCTTGCCGACCTCGAGGAGCTGCGCCGTCGAGAGATACGGCGCGCCCCACGACTCGCAGGCCGCCTCGACGTCTGGAATAATAAGGGACCCGCCCGCCGCTCTAATCAATTCGGCGTACCACGTGTTCGCCGACGCGACGGACCAGCCCCCGGACGACCCGTCGCCGCACGTCGCCCCCGACCAGTACTGCGCCCAGAGCACGGGCACGGGCTCGTTTTCTTTCACAACACCTTCGACGGCCTTCTGCGTGCACATGTAGTTGTCGACGATGTGCTGGATGGCCGCCGACGCCTCCTTCTCGCGGTTGAAGTAGAGCCCCAGGTACTCGACGTACTCGGCGCCCTTGAGCACCGCGTCGGGCTGCTGCTCGTCGATGTCCGTCATCTGGATGAACTTGTACTCGTCGGCGCCTGTGTGTACAGCTCATACGCCATCGACGCAATGGTTCCGACGCGGACCGCGCACCGAAGCTCGACGCGAACGTCGCCTGCACGCCCAAAGCTTCCAAGTCAGGTATTTTGGGAGGGTCCGCGAATGCGTCCTTCTCCTCGATGAGGCCGTCGCGGTGCATCTTCCGTAAACAGGGCGACGACACGTACTGGAAGGACGACTGGTACGACTTGAGTGCCTTGCGCTCGCCGAGCATCTCGAGGAAGGCGAGGTAGGTCGTTGATGTGGTGGCGATCTTGGTGAGCGGCACTTCCACCATCGTCCCGTCCTTGGCGTAGGCCGGGAGGTCTTCATTTGACGGAGGATTGAGGCCGCACTGGTGCAGCACGTGGACGTCGCCCGTCTTCGTGTTCTTGACGATCTTGTAGTCGTTCTCGTACTGCACCTCCCACAACAGCGAGTAGTCGGCGCTTATGACATCGGCGAACTGGTCGCCCGCCTCGCTTTTATAGGGGAAGTGGTCGGCGCCGTCGGCGGTGGCGCACTGGCCGTCGACGAAGTTTTCCTCCGTGATTGCTTGCGCGCTGGCGGCGATGAGGGCTAGGAGGAGGGCGGTGCGCATGGTGCAAATGCGGCTTGCGCGCGCTGTTATTGCAGGTCTTCTGCGGCTGTTGCTGATTACACTGCAAATAACGCAGCAATGCGAACGGTTTTCGATCGCTGCGGTCTCCGACAGTGCGGAGGGCTTCACAAACGTGCGGTGGAGCCCGCGCGTTGCAATTGGCGTGCGTTTTTGTTGCTGAGTGAGGAGCCTGTTGTTTTCGCCTTTTGTGAAGTCGGCGAGGAGCGCTCTCGCCTTTCAAGGACGCGTGGTTTGTGGTACTGGCACGGATGCGACAGCTGAACACCTTCCCCACATTTCCTAGTGTCTTACAGCGCGCTAGTCATTAGTTCGCCCAGCGCTCCGGAGGGCAAGCAGGGTAAAGCGCTGAGGCTGCGGACCCTGACACCCGTCTTGCGTTCAACGGATCCCCGACCGATCGATTATTCAGCTTCGCTAGCTTCGCTGTTGTAGGCGCCTCTGTACAGCTGCATCAGGGTCACAGCCTCTGCCGCAGCGCGCGCGCGAGATGCGCCGCATGGCCCTCCTATCTCTCGCGACGGCGGCGCGCGCCCTGTCCTCAACCGCGCGCCGCGCCGCCAAGCCGAGCGCCGCCAAGCCGAGCGCCGCCAAGCCCAAGGTCCTACGACAGAAGCAACCCCCCGGCGTCTTTGATGTGGGGAGCCTAGACAGACAAGCTCTAGAGACCTTTGTGGTGGATGACCTCAAGCAGCCGAAGTTTAGGGCAAAACAGTTAAGGGAGTGGATCTACGACAAGGGCATTGATGATTTTACGAACATGACGAACCTCCCGGCGAAGTGGAGAACTGACATGAGCGAAAGAGGACTCACCATAGGAGGCACGATCGCTGGTACGAGAGCAGAACAAATATCTCAGAGGGACGGTACGATTAAACGAGCGTATGAACTGAGAGATGGTTCTGTCATCGAGTCCGTGCTCATGCCGTACAACGATGGAAGAAGGACGGCCTGCATCTCGAGCCAGGCGGGCTGCGGCATGGGCTGCACGTTCTGCGCGACGGGCCAGATGGGCTTTTCAAGGCACTTGACGGCCGCGGAGATCTTCGAGCAGGCTTCTAGATTCTCGCGAGAATTGCGGCGACGAGGCGAAAGGCTGTCGAACGTGGTATTTATGGGCATGGGCGAGCCGCTGGCCAACTACAACAACGTCATAGAGGCGGCGAGGCGGATCCACGACGAGTTGGGGGTTGGTGCTAGGCATATTACGATCTCGACTGTGGGGTTAGCTCGGGGGATTGAAAAACTGGCCGACGATCCGTTACCCGTCACTCTAGCTGTCTCGTTACACCAAGCGGATGATGAGAGTAGATCAGCAATCATGCCCGTCAATAAAAGGTATGACCTCGAGACTCTATTATCATCGATAAACAACTACCAGAGGAAGACGAAGAGGCGCGTGACCTTCGAGTGGGCCGCTATTCAAGGTGAGAACGACGACGAGCAGGCGGCCCGTAAATTAGGAAAGCTCCTGAAGCGGCATTCCGTGAAAGATGCGCATGTCAACGTGATACCCCTGAATCCTACCAAAGGTTTTTCCGGCAAGAAGTCGTCGAACGTCGATACGTTCTGCAGAACATTACAGGACGAGTTTAGGATCAGCGCGACGCCGCGCGTGCGCCGCGGGATTGACATCGACGCGGGCTGCGGCCAGCTCACGACGGCGCTGGAAGAGGGGACCTAAGAGTGTGTATAGTAGTAGTAGCGTCGCAGCGGCGGCGTGCCATCGACGGTACTCGCTTGCTTCTGTCGCGGCGGCGCCGCGGCGGTGTGATGGCGATTAGTCTAGAGTACTAGTAGCTTGCTTACGCCACGACAAAGAAGAACGAGATCAGGACGCCTTCGCCGCGCGCCGCGCCCCGAGCGCCGCCGCCCTCCCGCGATTCTGCCGCCGTGCCGAACCCTGGGGCTGCGCCCTTCTTTCCGTCCGCAGCACGGGGTCGACCGCGTTCTTCCTCTTTTGCATATCGCGGATCGCCAGGTTCTGCGCCGCCGACGCGAACTGGCACAGGTTCACGATGTTCTTCATGAGGCACGCCGGCGCGAAGCCGTATCTAGTCACGAAGGCGAGCGAGATCGGTCCGACGCCGAAGTCCGGCGCCCAGTGCAGGACGTACAGCGCGATCCACGTGAACTCCGCGCCCGCGCATAGATACGCGAAGAGCCAGTAGATATCATAATACTTTCGCAGGACGATATTCCTTTCTGTCAGAGCTTCTTTAGTTTTGTGGTGGCCGCTCCCTTCAGTAGAGGTAGAATAAACATGATACCAGTGGCTGGCTAAATCGGCCATCTGGAAGTATAGTAATATAGGAATGTAGTCCGGATATAACCCACAGAGTATGGAGATGAGGCCAGTAGTCGCACATCTATCTGTAACCATGTCCAATACATACCCGAACTGACTACTTTGGTCGAACTTCCGCGCCGCCCAGCCATCGAGCAAATCGCCCGCAAACGACAGGATGTAGCAACTGGTCGCGATCTTCCAGTCGCGCATCGCCGTCGCGTAGCAGACATATAATAGAATGACGCGGATGTATCCAATCAGGTTCGGGACGAAGAGCGCGACGTGCACCATCTTTGGCTTTGCGCTGCGGCGGCGTTGGTCTGCAAGTGTGTTGCTGGTGCAACAATTAGTTTTTGGCTGCTGCAGTGCGGCTCGCAAAGAACTCTTGCTTGCTTGTTGCAAACGTTGGGCTGTCGCAGCGCTGCGGCGGCGAGTTCTGCACTCGATTTACGCGGCGACCGGCAATTGCGATGCAAATTAGGTGCTGCTGCCGCTCTGCCTCTGGCATGGGGCTCCGGGTTTGCAAGAAGAACCATCACCCGTCCCGGGAGGTCGTTCCAAGACGTATCAAGGCCTCGCGAAAGGGGGCTCCCAGAGAGCAGCGGCGCGCCTCCATCAAAATCAGCGCCAGGCTCTCGCAATTGCCCCTCCCTCGCGACGCCGCGGCGTGGACCTAGCGAGCGGGAGCGAGGAAGCACGAGCTCGCACGGGCCATAGCGCGTTGCCCACCACCGCGTACGCAACGCCGGTCAAGGGCAGCCCCACCAGCCACAATGAGCCACATCTACGCCGACGGCGCCGAGGTCCTGAAAGCCTTGGACGAGCAGGGCGGCGGGCCGAAACTGGCGTCGTTAGGCGACTATGGGATTGATCACCATAGATTGTTGGATCAGTTGCGAATCCTCGAGAGGCCCGTGATCGACCGCCAGGAGCTCCGAGTAAAATCGATAGAAAAGATCGCCATGGAGCGCCACGCCGTTGTTTTTGAACAACTCGTGGAAGAACGCATTAAGATCCTGCAGAAGGTGTCTTTATTTAATGATTTGAGCGACAACGAGCTGCGACGGGCGGCAGAGCAGTTCGAGGAAGACGAGGCCGACGAGGGCACCTTCGTCTTCAAGCAGGGCGACGCTACCGATGATTTCTACGTGGTTGCTAGCGGTGAGGCCCATGTCATCTTCGAGTCCGACGGTAAATCGCGAACGTTGGCTCGCTTGACGGAAGGTCGATTTTTTGGGGAATTAGCAGCGATGCATTCCACTCCCAGAGATTCCTCGGTGAAAGCCAAGCCGGACAAGGAAGATCAACAACGGTTGGAGCTCCTGAAGTTATCCGGTGCCAAGTTCCGAGCGCTGTTTGAGAGTAGACCGGATCTCCTGAAAGATAATAGTAACACAAGAGAAAGGCAGGCCTGGTGCATCATCGGGAACTGTCCCCTGTTCGCGGGGTTGGACGAGGATAGATTGCGGGAGTGCGTCCGGCGCGTGAAGGTCGAAACGCATGACCCGGGTTCAGTGATCATCCACGAGGGCCACACCGGTTCCGTATTTTACATCATCGTCGATGGCATCGTGAAGGTGGTGCACGAGGACCCCCAACATAAGGTAGGAGAAAGACCAGTAAGGGAATTGGGGGACGGCGACCACTTCGGCGAGATACCTCTCCTCGTGAAGGGAGATTCCTCGACGCGAGGGGCGACGGTGGTAGCCGTCTTCAAGTGCACTCTGGCCGTGGTCGAGCGCAGTGACCTGGTGGCGGCGTTCAAGACGGACGAAGGTAGGGCTTATTTACGACAGCGGGCGTACTTTAGAATACTCGATGATGATGGTGAACTAGAAGCGGAAGAGGTGCAGCGACCGCGCACGGCGGAAGATCGCGCTTCGAGAAGATCAGGTGATAGTAGAGCCATGAGAGGGCGGAAGTCCGCCCGTCAAGCCTTCAAGAGATTAGTACGATCCTTCAGCGACTCGTTGATCTCTCAAATGTACAAACAGATCGTGAGGCAACCGTCACTCACAACATCTTACGGTGCCGACGTGGCCAAGAGCTTCATGGCGTCTGCGACGCGACCGGAGTTCGGCAAAAAGATCCTCCGAGCGCTGGAGACCCTAAACAAGAAGAATGCGTTAGATAGGACCATGCCGGAACTAGCGTTGGTGATCGCCGTCCTCAGGCAAGCGAAGGACTTCTGTCGGCAGTACGTCCACGAGTGGCCCGAGTCGGCATGGAACGATTTTGGGCACCACGTGCGCGTCGATAGAATTAAAAAAGGTAGTGCGGTCTTCGACACGAAGGGCAAGGCCGTGCGCTTTTATATCCTTGTTAGGGGTACTGCTGCCGTCTTAGCGCAATCGACGCAGGAGGAGCCGAAGCCGACACGTAGACGATCTCGGGCTCGCTCGTCAGCGGACATGGTCGACCCCGAGGCAGCGAAGGACGCCATCTGGAAAGGGGAATTAGGTGAGTTCGTCGAGTGCGGCGGGCCCGGGTCGTGTTTCGGGGCGGAAAGCTTGGATGCTCTGAAGAACGGGCGGGCGCCTCGATACCGCCAAAATTTAGTTGCGGTCTCGGAATGCATCTTCCTGTCCTTCGAGGCGTCCGACTATAGGGAGGTCGCGGCGAACGTCGCCGAAGGGCTGGAAACGGACGTCGAGGAGAAGTTCGCTCTACTGAGAAAGACCGGTTTGTTTGCGGATGCCCCTGTAGACCAGTGCTACACCGTGGCTTATGCGTTGGAGAAGGCCAAGTGTTCCCGAGGTACTCTGCTCATGAGCGAAGGTCAGACGGCGCCTCGTTTGACATTAGTGGTGCGAGGGGGGGTCGTGGTGCGATCCGCGGGTGTGGCCGTCGCGGAGCTAGGGGTCGGCGACTACTTCGGCGAGAGCGGGTTGCTGTCGGCGACGAATCTGGTGAAGGGCGCCGTGGAAAGCGTCAGCTGCGTCAGCACGATGGCCACGGACTTATACGTATTAGAAGACTACGGCTGCGTGCCCGCGCCGATCCTCAAGCGCCTAAAGCGGAACTGGGGCGTGCGCGCGTCCTGGAGAAAAGATAGAGTCGTGAAGCAACGCCAGACCATCGGCGACCACAAGAAGCAGATGCCGCGTTCCATGGTCGCGGAGATGGTCGCGCGGAGCCCCTAGGTTTTCGTGGGGCGTAAGGTACTTCGTGCTTACTCGGTGCTACGCGGTGCGTAAGTGCGAGCTTAAGGGTTTTTATCGAACTTGAGAGAATAAGTGAATTGGGAGGCGTCGCCGAGATCGCCGACGCCGCCGTGCCTGCTGCGCGGCACGCGTGAGCACCGCAGGGACTCAAGGCGCCTCCGCGCTCACGGTCCGGATGAGGGGCGACTTGTCCGGATCCAGGTCGAAATGAACGAAGGCCATGGTGCCCAACAATCTTTCAGGTAACTCCTCCTCACTCTTGCCCTCCAACACATAAGCCAAATTACAAACCAAGGCTTTGCTACATGACTTCATGATCCGCAGCACGCCGGACGCCGCGGAGGACGAAGAAACGTCAATGTCCATCTCGAACCAGCCCTCGCCAGAGTGGTATTCGGACGTCACGGCCCGACCTAGCAACGCGGGCTTCGAGCCCAGCGCGTGCTTCGCGACCCAGGGGCCTTCCACAATCTTGGGGATAATCTTCATCGTCTCGTCTCGCACCGTATCTGTTTCGGAACAGAATTTCGATAGCATTCGTCGCTGTTTCAGGAGGTCGCCCCTCAGTTGATTTTCGGGCGGAGCGATGAAGTAGGCCGCGAGCGACACGTAGTGCCTTGCGAGCGGTAGCACGAAGTTCACGATCAGTACCAAGGAACCGTCATTTTTCACTAAGCTTCTACAGGGACTATCACTTCGACTTCCGAGGTTCAGGAGAGGCCCGTCCGTGGCCTTCAGCGCATCGACGCCGGCGAGCTCGCATAAACTACTTTCAGATCGCATCTTCTTTCTATCCTGGAGATAGTTCTTGCCTCTGACTTTGAAATCGGCAGCCGCCGGTTCGGCGAAGGCGCCCCACTTCGAGTCTTCTCCAGTGGAGCGCTTCAGGACGAAGGCCGACGCGTACTTTTGTGAAGGGGTCGACGGCACTCGGTCAAAACTGAAAGTCTCGGACAACGGCGAGTCGGGCGTCGCCGCGCAGGCCCGGAACAGGCGCGTCCCCTCGTCGTCAGAGCTCGTCTCAGACTCGTCGTCGTCGTCGTGCGTCGCCGCGCGGCCCCTTCCCGAGAGCTTCGCGTCTCTCTGGAGTTGCGCCGGGGAGTAGTTGAAGTGCGACCGCTGATCTAAGAAGGACGCGTCGTCCACTAAGTGAGCACAAGCCAACTGTAACCCTCGCAATTCATCGACAAGTTTCTGACAGCTCCACGCCAGCGCCAACGACGACCGACGAGAACACCACAGTCTCGAATCCTGGTCCAGGACTCGCGTGACCACAGCCGCGGTCATGACGCCATCTCTGGTGATCTCGGCGCCGTGCGTGCGTCGAGGCCTTACCACAGTCAGGTCTTCGGTGGTTCGCGTCCGCACGCCGACGCGCCACTCCAACTTATTCTGGGACGACTCCTCCGTGCCGTCGGCGTCGGCCGCTATTATCGTATAGGTCCTACCCTCTCGACTCCAGAACCGGATCGTCCTCGAGATCCGCGGCATCGGGGCCAACACCCGCGCCCAAGATAACGGAGCCGCCTCGACGGTGTCCACCAGCGCCGTATGCGCGTCGAAGCTCCGCACCCTATGATGCTCGAACCAGGCACTCCACTCGCGTTTCACGCTTGGATCGGACGCGGCGAGGAACGCGAAGGCCGTTTCCGGCGAGGCCTCGACGCGCACGTCGGCCCTTACCCTGCCCGTTATCCGCCATGTCCCCATCGACGCGTCCGTCAGTGTCACGAGTAGAATGGCAATCATAACAAGCAGCGGAGAAGGTATGTACTGGAACCGGTGCAGCGCAACCGCTAAAACACTCACGACGAGGGGCACGACGTTGAACTTCCAGCTCCGTCTACAACTTTCCTCGACGAAGACGCGGACGCCGTTCGCTTCGCCTCTTAATCGCCATCTCCTATCGCGCGCGCGGCGCGGCCGCTCGCGGGCATCCAAACGCATCAATCTAGCTTTGGTCTTGCGGAGCGCGCGCGACGAGGCGCTGCTCGAGGAGACGCTGCGCTTTAACCTCGTCGCGGCTCGCACGGACTTCACGCTGGCCCAGGCTTTGAGCTTGGGACTTTTGGAGGTGCCCATGGTTGTTGTGGTGTGGGCTGCCTCGCCAACGCGGCCTCGCCGTGCGCGGCGCGGCGCTCTCTCTCCCCTGCAAGGAGAGCAGCCCTAGGGCCCTGAGATGTGGGGTTGGGCAAGCGCACGCGAGACCTCAAGGTGATATTGCCTGCCCTCGCACGGATGCGCGCTGTTTTAGGCGCCGGGCTGCCTCGCGGTTCTGTGTTGCAAGTGCTCTCCGCTCCGCTGAAACAGCGCCTTGCGCGTGCGGGCGACCGACGCGCTCCGCCCCCTCGCGTCGATGCGACGATGACACGACTATGGATACATACAACAAGTTACATCGCGATCATATCGTCGCGTAAAGCCGCTCGCTCAGAATCGGCGTCGGCAACGCCCACCCCCCACTGCAGGCCTCCGGGGCCATCGCCGGCCCTGCGCCGCCCTGCGCCTCGTTGCGCGCGACGTGAAAATTGAGCTGCTCGTCCGTGAGGACCGCGCGCTTCTCGAGGTAGTATTTCTCTCGCTCCGCGATCCAGACCCGCAGGCGATCCGGCGCGGCGGCGCCGTAGCGCCGCACGAACGCCGCGTAGATGTTGAACGCGCCCTTTTCGTGGTCCTTTTCGTAATCCTTGAGGTCGTCCTCTATCTCGACGAGCTGGAAGCACGAGCCGAGGAAGAGCATCATCTCTTTGCTGACGGTACGGCCCGTCAATCCAGCCACCAGCAGTGCGAGGACGGAGTAGTCGAACGACTTGCACGCCGAAGCGCGACACGCAGACCGCAGCAATTCGTCCTCGTGCGCTGCGTCGCCCTGTGGCCTTTTCCACTCGGCAATGAGTCGCCGCTCGAGCGTCCAGTACTCAAACCCTACGTCGAGCGTCGCCTGCACGTCGTCCAGCAGACCGCGGCCCGCCAGGAATTGCCGCAACGCCGCCGCCGCGGGTGCTTGCGACGGGTCGCCGCCCCGCTCGTTCAGCTCGTCCAGTTCATACAGCGAGCCGGCGACGAAGTAGAGACTGTCGGCGAAGCACAGCACGTCGTCGACCGGCAATCCGAGCAGCGGCATGTACGACCGCGCAAAGTCCTCGACGGTGCCTCTCGCTTTGGCCAGCGCTCTCGCGCTAATGGTGGGCTCCGTGGGATCGGTCGGTGAGGGCTGCCACGGCGCGCGGCGATGCTGCACTATCTCGGCCATCGGTGTGACGCTTCAGTTCCTCCGTTTTTGCTGATCGCGTCGATGGCGTGCTGCCTGCAAGGCATGCAGCTGGCAGTGCTGCCAAACCGGCTGTACGCGCGTTTTTTCGCCACTTTTTCGTGTACCTAGCAGCACCACCGGTCAATTTGAGCACGAATGTGTGAAGCAGGCACGAATGGCGCCGCGCGTGAGCTGCTGCGCAATTTTTGCGTCGAGAGCTAATACCCGCACGCAAGCCGGCCAGCGCGAGACGAAAAAAAACACGAAACAAAGCCAACTACCCGTCTCCCGCGAGCCGTACCAACGCCCTGTCGACTTGTCCCTAGGGTGGACAAAAATCCTGTCAGCTGGGGCTCTGGATGCCATCGCCGGTCCTAGCGGCGCTGCCACGGCCCACCTGACCTACTGGGGCCGTCAGGATGCTGCGATTACTGCTAATATGCAATGCATGCGCTATTTTGGCTCTAAACCCCTCTCTGAGGCCGAAACTAAGCCAGGGCACAGCAGGATGCAGATCCTCCTACAGCCGACGACGCGCGGCCGGGACGCGGCTCTCCATGCGGCTAACCAACGCGGAGGACACGCCGCTCCGACCAGAGACGAAGCTGAGCGGCGTCGTCGACGACCGCGTCGCGGCGCTCGACCGGAGCGCGGACGCCTTCGTCGAGGGGATCATGGTCTCCGACGACGACGTCGTGACGATCGGCGACACGAGTGATGCCCCCGTCATTATTGGGGAGGAGCTGGTCGGCCTTGAAACGGCGCAGGAGAGCGACAACATCGCCATCGCGGCTTTACTGGCTGTTGCCGTTTTGTGGGGCACGAACTTCCCCGCCGTGCGCTACCTCGTGACGGACCCTGTCAGTCTGACGCCGGCGGCGTACTCCTTCGCGCGGTTCGGCGCGTCCGCGCTGGCGCTGAGTCCTCTTTTACCTCGTGCGTCCTCAAAAGGAGCATTATTAGCTGGCGCCGAGTGCGGTTTGTGGATCGCGGCGGGCTATGTGGTCCAGTGCCTCGCATTGCAGGGCACGACGGCGGCGAAGGGTGCTCTTTTAGCTGCGTTACAGGTCGTGGTGGTCCCCGCAGTGGTGGTATTGTTCCCGGCCCTCCGACCGAAGGCGGGCAAGGAGCCCACGATGAAAGATTGGGTCTGCGCCGGCGCGGCGTTGGCGGGCGTCGCCTTGCTCGAATTACAGGGCTTGACAGCACCTGTCGCGTCGGACGCCGTGGCCGCTCTGCAGCCCGTCTTCTTCGGGATTTCTTACCTACGAATCGCCGAGGCGGGTCGGAAGTACCCGTCGGACGACGACGCGCTGGCGATGGCGGCGGCCCAGGTCGTAGCTGTCGCGGCGGTCGCGTCGATCTGGCTCCTCGGCGCGGAGGGTTCTGAAGGTTTTAGTCACGTTCTAGCTTTATCAGACCAGCCCCAGACGCTGGCGGTGCTGGCGTGGACGGCGCTCGCGTCGACGGCGCTGACTATTTTATTACAGACGTACGCTTTGGCGAGGGTGCCCGCGGCCACAGCGTCGCTCGTCGTGTCCTCCGAGCCGCTCTGGGCCGCGCTGTTGGCGGCCGTGTTGCTGGGCGAGACGAATTATGGGGCGGCGGACGTCGCGGGCGGTGCGCTGATATTGGGGGCGTCGCTCGCGCCGGCGTTCCTGGACGACGACGCGTTCGCCGGCGCGGCGTCTTCGGATGTAGAATAATTATGTGTGCATAGTGATCATCTGTCGGAGGCGTCAAAACGGGTTTTTGCAGGAGCTTGATCCGGCCTTACCTTCGCTTATGCGCGGTTCAGGCGGCTAGCCGTCCAGAGATATTCGAAGATGTCCTTGTGTTGCCTTTTCATGTCCGTGGCACTCACTTTTGTAACAAACGGCGTCGCACACAAAAAGTTTGAGGCAGGTTTCACACAGCCAAGCCCATAATTACGTTCGCGAGGGCGCATCTCCGGCCCGCACGGCGCGCAGGCGGTCGTGTCGACTCGTTAAATTGCCCTGCACGCGCGAGCGGATCGGTTACGTCCGCGCAGGGCGGCCTCGTGTTCGTCTCCGATCCGGTCCACGGCCGCGTGTCGGCGAGCTTCAAAGAACGCTACGGCTACGCGTCTTGGGTCGGCCCACTAGTAGGGGTGTGGGAGCTTGTCATCGTGGGACGCATGTGGTGCAGCCACGGCGGCACGCAGCGGGTCGCGGCGATGAGAATGTTGTCCACATTAATGGGCGGCGCGTTCTACAGTCTCGTCGCTGAGGGCGATTTGGTGGGGAGTCTCGGACCGATCGCCTTCGCGGCGATGAGCGTGTGGGTGCTCGGGTGGACTGCGGCGGCCGCCGCGAGCCAGACGTCATTTTTTACCCTCGGCGCTCTGATAGCTATCGGCGTCTCCACGTTTTCGCCGGGCAAGCCGAACTCCGAGGACTCCAAGTCCCGGCCGTTCATGGGGCGGCAAGCGTCATGGTTGTCCGAACTATCCACATCGACGACGGCCGGGGGGAAGCGGGACTAGGTTGTGTCACTTGTGTTTCGAATTATACCCAGCAGCTTCCTACCGGAAGCTGTCGTCGCCGCGCTCGTCGTCGTCGTCGTCGTCGTCGGAGTGGTCCCAGTCGCCGCGGTCGGACCGCGACCGCGGCACCCAGTCGGAGCATCGGCTCTCGCCCGAGAGCGGCGTTTCGGCGTACGACGTCACGTAGCGCGGCACCTCGGGCGTCGACGCGCCCGGGCTCAGCGGGTTCGGCGGCTTGAGGATCTTGATCGCCGCCTTGGGCTCGCGCGCGGCGGCGTCGATGAGCCGCTGCTGCCGCGACGCCCACTCGACCGACTTGCGGCTCACGCCGCGCACGCCACCGCCGATGGCCTCGCCGTCGTCGCCGCTGTCCGCGGCGTCCTCGTCGTCGTCCATCGCCTCGTCGTCGTCGTCGTCGTCGCCGCCGCCGACGGACGACGCGCCCGAGGCGCGCCGCGCGGCCGGCGTCCAGCGCGACGCGGGCGCCTCGCGCGGCGCGGGCGCGCCGGGCGTCAGCGGCGTCTCGCCGTACTGGGGCGGGCCGCGCGCGCGCAGGTACGTGTTCGGCGAGACGATCGTGCGCTCGAGACACGAGGCGAGGTCGGATACGTTCTCCTTGTCGTTCTGCTGGGTGATGACGTCCTGGCTGAAGGTGAGGCGCTTCTCAGTCATCTTTGTTTGGCGTCAGCGCGGCGATGGCGTGCGGCTGTCGCTGCGTCGTGCGGCGCGCGGCGCTACAGGATCGACGCCCGAAGCTGTTGTGCGCAAAGCACACGAACCACAGCGGTTACTCGTGTGCGCGCGTAGCTGGCAACGATATAAACCGTTTCAGCGCAGAGTTTGGCTCGCGCCGTCCGCAGCAGCGTGCTGCTCGAGCAGGAACGCGACAACAAACGACCAAGGTACCAGTACCTTACTTGTTACGTACCGGCATACCGTAGGTACCGCAGTAGACACAGTAACCGTAGTTAGCCCCACTGGCGCTTCAACTTATAATAGCTATATCCCCTTTTTACGCCAGCGGGGAGAAGCGTCCGCCGGCGGATGCCTCGGTAGGGCCTGTGTGCCCCGTACCGTTAACGGTACGGGGCAACGCGGCCGTCCTGGCTCGGTCGAGCGGCGAGGAACCAGCATCGTCACGCCATCGAGCAGGCGTCGCGTCGATGGCGTGGAGGACGACGCGGCGATCCAGAACGAACGCGCCGTAAAATTTTGATTTCCACACAGGAGTGCTCGCGTCGCCTTGTTTACTGAAGATGCTCGAGTTGCGAGGGCCGCAGGTCTTCGAACCCTGCCCGGCGCCGGAGCTCGTCGCGCGGATGGTCACGAGTCTGTCGCCGGCGAAGAAGTGTCCCGGGCCCGGGCCGCGAGGCAGACGGCGCGCCTACTTCTAATGTGATAATTTCAACATGTACTTAACTTAGGAGCCAGCCGCCGCCTCCTTCAAATCATCCCTCCTTCAGCGGCAGGACGATGCACACGCCCTTCATACCGGAGGCGACGGCGACGCGCTCGAGGGCGGCCTCGGCGTGGACGGGGCCGAAGCGGTCCCAGACGGTCGCGACGTCCGTGTTGCACGGCTTGCAGAAGTAGCCGAGCCCGGTCACCGTGAGCGCCTTGTGGTGGAAGTGGACGCCCTTCGGCCCGAGCGTGGCGAACGCGACGCCGCAGGCCGGGCCTGCGTGGACGAAACTGTCTCGCGTCGATTGAGTGAGGGTCGACGCCGTCGCCGCGTCATCTACACGAAGAATCTGACGTACACCGAATCATCACACTTCTCCGGCTTCTCGTTCTCCTCGAGCCACGCCTTCTCGGAGATCCTCCGGCAGCTATCGTCGATCGCGATCAGGCCCTTCGCGACGGAGTCCCCCTTGAGCGCTTTCTTGAGGAACTGGTCGAAGTCGAGGCCCAGCACCGGCTGGTAGCACCGGATATTCTTGGCCCAGCAATAGCACAACACGCGGTAGGTGGCGTCGTCGTCGAGGTCCAGGCGCCACCAGCTCGGCGGGCGCATCCCCGGGCACCACTTGCCCCAGACGCAGTCCTTCTTGTACTGGTCGAGCTCCGCCTTCGAGCGCTCGGCCGCCCAGCGCTTGGCGAGCTGCTTGTACGTCAGCTTGCACTTCGACGGCTTCTTCTCGCCGGGCACCCAGCCGTCCTTCGAGCGAGGTAGTTTCGTTCCAGCCTTTGTGTTTTCAAACGCGCGGCCGCGGATGAAGGGCGGCGGCTTCGGCTTGCTCGCGAACGGCGTGCGCGCCGGATCGAGGTCGTGCCGCTCGGACGGGCAGCGGTCGTATTTCGAGCAGAGCACCACCTCGTTCGGGTGCGCCGCGCCCGCGCCGCTCGACTTTTTGGCCTTGCTGGACTCCTTCTTTTTGGAGGGCTTTTTGGCCTTTTTGGCTGGCGCCTTGGTCTTCGGCGCCTTCTTAGCCATACGTAGACGTCATACGCTGATTGATTTGCTGGCTGGATACGCGGAGACGGCCGCGCGCGGCGCAAAATGCACAAGGTGCGGGTTCGATTTCAATTTGCCTCGGGTTTTGTACGCTTTTTGCCGCTGAATCAACGGGACGCGGCTGGAAACGAAGCTTTCAATCGACGCTGATACGCCTTGCGTGCTATGGAGAAGCCCGAGACGCCGGTCGCGGAGCGCGTGAGGCGGCGAGGGCCCTTAAATGACAGCCCCGCCATTAGACGCGCGTGCGCGGACGTCGAGGAGGAAGAGAAGGACCTTGCGAGGCGGCTGAAGCGCGTCCGCGAAGATCGGGCCCACTTAGATCAGATAGCAGAGGAGCAGCAGAGAAAGAAACAACGGCGCGCCATGCCGGGCGGCGTACGCGCCCCGAAGGGGCCCACAGATGAATATGGAGACAGCAGCGACGACGAAGAAGAAGAGGACCCGCCGCTGCCGCCGTCTCGTAGGAAGCGGGGCGCTCCGTCGCCGAGTGGTGATGGCGCGGAAGCCCCCGTGAAACGCCGGAGACGCATTATAGAGGAGAGCAGTGATGAAGATGAAGAAGTCGCCGAGGCGCCGCGGCCCTCGGAGCCCGCGCTGCCGGAGTGGCCGCGGAGCTCGTCGACTGTTTGTGCAGCGCTGCGCGGCCTAGGGGCGCAGATTGAGGCTTCGAAGGTCGGCCGCAAGGTGATCTTCCTCGACGTCAAGTCCTCGGGCGAAGACCCCAAGGTCGACTGCCCCCTCGAAGTCGCTGTAGCGCTGGATAGGGAGGACCGGTTCTCCACATTACTAGCTCATACCGTCGATCCTAGCGACGCTGCCGTTAAGGCGCACGGCCTCAGTGCTCAGAAGCTGCGCGAACTGAACGCGCCCACGCCCAAAGAAGCGTACTCCCGACTGCTGGCGTTCCTCTCGGAGCGCGCGCCGGACGAAAATGTGCTCTTCGTAGGGCACGAGAACTTGTGTTCCAAGGCCGTGCCCATCCTCGTCAGGGGGCTCCGCGAGTGCGAGCTCCCAACAACGTTATTTGAGAAGGCTACATATCTCCAGGTCGCGGGCATGTTGCCGGGCGGGGTCGTCGGCGACGAGGAGGGCCTCAACCTGTCCCGGGACGACTTGTACGAGGCTTTAACAAAGAAACGGGTTCCGGCCGCGGCGTCCCGTGCCGACGTCAGCAACTTCGCGAATCTTGTGGTATTGGGTTGTTCTCTCAAGATCATGGGGTGGGACTTCGACGCTGTAGCGGTTGGAGCACGACTGGCCGACGCCGTGCCGGGCCTGTTACTAGAGGAGGCGGCGGCGTCGTCGAGCGAGGAGGAGGCGCTTAGGATCTCCTCCGAGCCATTCGACGACGCGTGCTGGCGGGGTCGCAAGAAGACGCGCGGCGCGCAGTGGGTCTACGCCAGTACAGGGAAGGACCTCGCAGATGCGTGGGACATCCCTGAAGTCTCTATTAGTCGGCTGGCCGGCGTGAGCACGACAGCACCATCGGCCGCTCATGCCGCGAAGTTTGAGGTCGAGCAGCTGCATGCGCGGAGCCGCCGGGAGTGTGCCGCTAAGTCATCCGAGGCGTCTCGCGACGACGCTTTTCACGCTCGGCGGGACGGCGAGCGGCTCACGCGACACGGCTGGGCGACGCTCTCGCGGAGCCGCGGGGCGATGTGCAAAGCGCTGAAGCGCCTCTACTCGGACCAGATCCTCTACGCGAAGCTCGGCCGGCCGCCGTCGCATAAGGAGGCGACGAAGTGGTTCAAGGAGTGCTACACCAACCCGCCGTGCGCGTGCAACCGCCGCGCCAAGACGTGCGACACGAATTGCACGACGTGCGGCGACTGCGTGAACAAGAACGGCGGGCGCGTCGTCGACCACACGGAGGTGGTCATGGCCAAGGCCTCCGAGATCCCGGGCGGCTTCGCGTTCCTCGCCCGCATGCGCGCCTCCGTCGCCTCGGACGACGCCAAGTACCTCGTCGCCTGGCATCGGCCGTGCGTCCAGTGCAACAAGTGCAACCGGGGGCTCGTCCTTTTCGGCGACCGGTCGCACCTGTCCACGGTCGAGGGCTCCGCGGAGCGCAGCAAGGCTGCGAAGCAGAAGGCGAGCAAGCTCTCTACGCTCTTCGGCTACGGCGCCTAGGCTATGTGTAATCCGATATGCAAGTGAATGTACCGTGACCGTCTACCGAGTCGCCCGGCTTCCGCGTCGGGTTGGCCTTGGCCCAGCGCGCTACGGCCGCGTCCACGGCGCGCGACACGTAGCCACTTAACTATGAAACAACTATATGAACAAAACCGGGGGGGAGCTATAACTAGTCGCCCTCGCGGAACCGCGACACCGCGCCCCGGAGCCACTCCCGCTCGGCCTCCATGCCGGGCCGCTGGGGGTCGCCGGCGCGGTGGCCGTAGGGCGACGCCAGGGGGCGCACGACGGCTCCCGGGATTCGTTGCGCGAGATCCACGACTTCCGATACGCGGAAGTACGCGTCCGTGTCGCACGGCGCGAGCAGGACGCGCGCTTTGATATCCTCGAGGCCGGGAGGCGCCGGCGGAGCGGCGCGCCAGGTGCGCACCATGGCCCGCAGGTCGTCGGGGTCGTCCCGCGCGAAACCGCCGACGTACGACCGCTCGACGAAATCCTCGAGGCTCTCGAAGCCTTCGCGCCAGATCTCGTCGCGATAGAATTGGTAACCAACACCCCACCCAGCGTAGACCGTGCCAAAAGCCCGGAGCTTCTCCTCCCGCGTCCCGCCGCCCGCCAACACGGCGAGCAGCGCCTCCAGGAACACGGCGTTGTAGGCCTCGCATCCCGCCGCCCCGCACACGCACATGACCCGCGCCGCGGCGTCGGGAAACAGCCGCACGAAAGCCAGCGCCTGCATGCCGCCCATGGAGTAGCCGTACGCGAGCGAAAGTTGCCGCCCGTCGAAGACGTCGTCGACGAGCTTCTTCTGCAGCCGCGCGTTATCATCAATACTCACGAGGTCCGGGTAGCCCCCGTCGCCCGGCGAGAACGAGACGCCGTTGCCCAGCATGTTCACGGCGACGACGGTCGCGTCCTCGCCAAAAGCCTCGTCGAGCATAGACGCGTCGGCCTCGAGCTCCGTGTGCACGGCGCCGAAGCTGGTGGGCTGCAGCACGAGCGGGCCCTCGCCGTCGGAGAACACTCGATACGCAAGTCGGGCGTGTTGCGGCAGCGTCGCGCCCGAATCTAGCTCGAAGCCACCAATGTCGAGGTACTCGACCGCAGGATCGTCGCGCGCCGCGACGGCCGCCGCCGACGCGAAGCCCCGACGCCAGCACCGCGGCCGCCAGGGCTTCAGCGCGCGTCGCGCGCGCGATGCGTCCAGGATCGAGTCGTTGCCCTGGCCGCGGAACGCCGGCGCTCGGGCGCCGAAGCGCTCCGCCAGCAGGTCCGCCGTCGATTGAGCGAAGCGCGTCGACGCAGCGGCCACGAGTAGACTCGTGTATCGCGGCTCGGCCCCGTCGAACAGCTGCGACGCGGGCGCCGTCGCGGCGATCGCGTGCGCGTCGACGACGTCGTCCTCGTGACACCACGCCCACTGGAGGAGCGGAATGTCCTCCGAGTACGCCCAGGGCATGCGGTCGAACACTTCCCGCTTGACAACGTTCGTGAAGCGCAGGGAGCAGACCTCGAGGCCCGACGACCTCGCATACGATGCGCCGATCTCGTCGCCGAGCGCCTTGCTGAGGCCATACGCCTCGTGCGGCCGCGGCGGCGTGTCGTCGGTGAGGGGCAGCGTCTCCGGCAGAAACGCGCGGGGGTCGTGCGCCCAGCCCATCGCGAACGCGCTCGACGACAGCACGACGCGCGCCGCGCCGGCGTCCGCCGCGGCCTCGAGCACCCGCATGGTCGACGAGACATTATTTATAAGCAGGTCCACCGGAGCCGCGTCCTCGAGGCCAATGATGTTCGCACTTTCGAGCCGCTCGCCCAGCGTCGCGTCGACGCCCGGTGGCGGCGTCCGCGAGGGCCCTGGCAGCGCCGCCGCGTGCACGACGACGTCGCAGCCAGGCAGGCGGAAGCCGCCGGCCGCGAGGTCCGCGGTCTGCGTGACTTCCTTGCCCGCAATGACGTCGAGTCCTGCTACCACCTCGACGCGCGCGTCCTTTTTCAGCGCTTTTGAGATGGCAGCGCCCAAGCGTCCCGCGACGCCTGTTATCGCAATGCGCAGCGGCATTCCAGCGATCTATGATATACCTCGCGACACTCCTACGTGTCCAGATCCATCAATAAAGGCGCATCGCGGTTCTAAATCATTCTAAATCACCCTGCCACAGGGAGAGCGCTTGGCAGGCCTCGCAGGGTTACGCCCACCAGAGCGCACCACTGATGACGAATTTGGACCAGTAGGCTTGACCTATGGCGGCTCTCCTCGCGCGAGGCGCGCGTGTGCTGACGCGCCCGCACCGCGCCCTGCAGCTCCCCATTCGGCAGCTCTCAGACTCAGGTGGCTGGCCGCGCATCGACGCGGCCTCCGTCGTGGACGACGCCACCGCCGCGGCCTTCCGACGGGACGGCGCCGTCAAGCTCGAGGGGCTCGCGAGCCCGCGCTGGGTCGAGGCGCTCCGCGCGGCGGCCGAGAAAAACCTCGCGGATCCTGGTCCATTGTGCGACGAGCACGCGCAAGCGGCCGGCACGGGCGGCCGCTTCCACGACGACCAGTTCCTGTGGACGCGGCACGACACGTTTCGGGAATGGGTACAGGAATCAGGTGTCGCGGCCGTCGCGGCGCGGGCGATGGGCTCGGAAACCGCCCACATCTTCTACGACCAGTTGTTCGTCAAGGAGCCGGGCACCGTCGCGCCGACGCCGTGGCACAACGACACGAGCTACTGGCACCTGCGCGGCGACATGATATGCAGTGTCTGGGTGGCGCTCGACGACGTGCCGGCGGAGCGCGGGCTGGGCTACGTGCGCGGCAGCCACCGCTCGAAGCTGGTGCACCGCGTCACGAACTTCTCGGGCGACGACCACTCGGACAGAAATACTTATGATGGTGCTGCGGAACTGCCGCCCGTACCCGAGGTGACCGACGACGACGAGGTCCTGCGCTGGGACATGGCGCCGGGCGACGCATTGCTGTTTAATTCCTACGCCTTACACGGCGCCCCGGGGAACCCGTCGACGACGTCCGCTCGCCGGCGCGGTTACGCGACGCGGTGGTGCGGCGACGACGTGCGCTATGAGGAGCGTCCGGGCACGATGAACGCCGGCTGGGTCGCCGCGGGCTTCGATAATGGCTTAGTGAACGGGGCGCCGATCGCGTGCGCCTTGCATCCGGACTGCGCGCGCCCGCGCAAGCATGCGCAGGCTCCGCGCTCTCGGAAGTTCTCCACGGCTGCACGCAGTTTCAGCACCGCGACCTGGTGTGCCGACCGCCAAGCCAAGGCGGCCGTGGATATAGAGGCGGCCGGCAAAACGTTAGGCTTGGAGTTCTACGAGTTTAGTTTTGTAGACGTCTTCGGCGCGCAGCGGTCCAAGCTCGTGCCGGCGTCGCGCGTCACGGAGATGGCGACGGACGGCGCCGGCTTCGCGGGCTTTGCGGCGTGGTTAGATCAGGACCCGAGTTCGGGAGACGTGCTGGCCATGCCCGACGCCTCTACATTAACACAACTCCCGTGGAACCCGCGGGTCGGCTATCTCGCCTGCGACTTGGTGTGGCAGGGCGACTACCTCGACCACGCGCCGCGCAACGCGCTGCGGGCGATGTTGCGAAAGCTCGGAGATCGTGGTTTGACTATGAAGACCGGCGTCGAGTGCGAGTTTTTTCTATTGGACCCGGCGACGGGCGCGGTCGCCGACGCCCTCGACGCGTCGAGCAAGCCGTGCTACGACGCCATGAGTCTTATGCGGCGCTTCGACATAATTTCGGAGGTCATGACCGCCATGGAAGCGCTGGGCTGGGGCCCGTACCAGGCCGACCACGAAGACGCCAACGGCCAGTTCGAGATCAATTGGGACTTCGATGACGCCCTCGTCACGGCGGACAGACACGTTTTGTTCAAGTATCTTGTCAAGAGCGTCGCGCAGCGGCACGGGCTGCGGGCGACGTTCATGCCCAAGCCCTTCCAGGCCACGACGGGCTCGGGGTGCCACGCTCATGTCAGTCTGCACGACGAGACGGGGAAGAACGTCTGCGCCGATTCGAGCGGCACGCTCGGCCTCTCGACGACGGCGCGGCACTTCGTCGCCGGCGTCCTCGACGAGGCCTCCGCGCTGTGCGCCCTCACGAACCCGACGGTCAATTCCTACAAGCGCCTGAACGCTTCTGGAACCAATTCCGGCTCGACGTGGTCGCCCGCCGCGGCGACGTGGAGCGGGAACAACCGGTCCGCGCTCGTCCGCGTGCCTGATCAAAAGCGATTTGAGGTAAGACTGGCCGATTCCGCCGCGAACCCATACTTGCTTCCCGCGGCGCTCGCCGCGGCGGGCCTCGAGGGCCTCGAGGCGGGCGCGGAGCCGCCGGCGCCGGCCGTCGGAAACCTCTACGAGGACGCGCCGGCGACGGCGAAGTGCCTGCCCCGGCACCTCTCGACGGCGCTCGCGGCGCTGAATTTGTCGGAGGGCCTGCGGCGCCAGCTCGGCGACGGTTTTGTTGATAGCTACGTGAAGCTGCGCAAGGCGCACCTGGCAGAGTTCTCGCGGCAGGTGAGCCCCTGGGAGCGCGAGCAGTACCTCGACGCCTAGTCTGTATATAGTTTTGGACATAGTATGAACGTGTTTCTCGGGAGGAAGTGAATCCCCGAGCGATCTCCCGAGCGCCACTGCCAGTGGCAACATAGTATGACACACTTCTATGTTAAAGGGGAGGCCGCCCTATGACGTTTTCTCCTCGGCCGCGCCGTCCTGGGCCTTGCGCGCGTAGTGCGCCGCGAGCGTCTTCTTGGGGATCTTCTTGAGGAGCTCCTTCGGGAAGGCGCGCAGCAGCGACCAGGCCAAATCCAGCGACTCGAAGATCGTCCGGTTCTGGTACGGCCCCTGCGCGACGAACTTCGTCTCGAAGCGGTCCAGGAAGCTCAGGTGAAGGTGGTCGTCGAGCGACAGCGCCTCCTCGCCGACGACGGCCTTCATGGCGAGCACGTCGCGGCCCATGGCGTAGGACGCGTACAATTGATTCGAGACGGCGCCGTGGTCGTCGCGCGTCATGCCTTCGCCGATGGCCGACTTCATCAGTCTTGATAAAGAGGGCAGCACGTTGATCGGCGGGAAGATCTCCTTGTTGTGCAGCTGCCTATCTAGATAAATCTGGCCCTCGGTGATATAACCCGTTAAATCAGGAATGGGGTGCGTGATATCATCGTTTGGCATCGTTAAGATAGGTAACTGTGTAATAGAACCGTTCCGGCCGTCGACGCGGCCCGCGCGCTCGTAGATCGTGGATAAATCGGTGTACATGTAGCCGGGGTAGCCTCTTCTACCCGGAACTTCCTCTCGCGCCGCCGACACTTCTCGTAAGGCATCGGCATAGGAAGACATATCTGTTAAGATGGTCAACACATGTAAGTCCTTCTCGTAGGCCAAATACTCCGCAGTAGTCAGTGCCAATCTAGGAGTAATGATTCTCTCAATCGTAGGGTCATTCGCGAGGTTCAAAAATAACACAGTCCGCTGCATCGCGCCGCTCTCCTCGAAGTCGTTCCTAAAAAACCGAGCCGTCTCCATGTTGACGCCCATGGCGCCGAAGACCAGCGCGAAGTTCTCCTCGTGGCCGTCTTGTCTATCGGATAACTGCACCAATGACGCCTGGCGACAGATCTGCGCCGCGACCTCGTTGTGCGGCAGGCCGGCGGCGGAGAAGAGGGGAATCTTCTGCCCTCTCGCGATGGAGTTCATCACATCAATAGCTGATATGCCGGTCTGGATCATGGCCTTCGGGTAGTCTCTACAACTGGGGTTTATGGGTGTGCCGTTGATGTCGAGGAAAGCCTCGGCTAAGACCGCGGGCGCGCCATCAATGACCTTCCCACTCCCATTGAAGCTTCTCCCCAACATCTCCTCCGAGATGGGCATCTTGAGGACGTCTCCCGTAAATTCGCAGTGCGTGTGGCGATTATCAATATCCGACGTCCCCTCGAAGACCTGCACCACAGCTCTTCCACCAGCGACCTCGAGGACCTGGCCGGATCGTTCTTCCCCGTTTCCAAGGCGTAACTTGACGATCTCGGCGAAGCGCGGCATTTTCACGTTGTCGAGGATGACCAAGGGGCCGTTGACGCCGGCTATCGTGCGGTAGTCGAGGCGCGGCTTGACGGCGTAGCCGGCGGGGACGGCGCCGTTGGTCTGGGCCGCCATTTTTGTACGCGCTTGCTTGTTACGGCGTGCGAGCTCAAAGTTTTTATTTGGTGGTCAAGCCAAAAAGCTACCTAGCTATCCCGCGGCGGCGGCGGTTGCAGCGACGCTTTGCTGGGATTGGCGCAGTAGTGCTGCGCGCAACAAACGCTGATTAATGCAGCCGGTTCGCGTGCCGCGCCGCCGACCAAGCTTGGTGGTCCTGGAGAGGCTGTGGTTTTGGGGCTGCTGCGATGGAGCTCTGCGACTCTGGAGGACTGCATCAAGCGCTCTGAAGCTGCGAAAGAAGGGAAACGACCCTTCCTTGCTGTGCTAGTGTCTTACACGCCGCTAGCCCACCCTCGAGTCTCGAGCCAAAATAGCTAACAAACGCTGGCTCCCGCAGCGTGTTTAGGCCTCGAGGCGCCACATTCATCTCTCTGAACAAGCGCTGTGCAGTTGACTGCAGCAAAAATGGTCTGCAGGACGCTGCACAGCCTCCTGGCGGCAGCAGTGCTACAACAGGCCAGCAGCTGGACGCCACCGATGCGCAAAAGAACGCAAATTGCGCCGAGACATGCATTAACAGTAGAACAAGACGCCCGCTGGCCCGGCTGGCAAGAGTCCGTGGACCCGGCCGCGAAATTGCTGTACATGCCCTTCCTAGAAACGCAACTACAAATCCTGGACAAGATCGGCGCCGTCGAGCGGCCGGACGCCGTGCGGCCAGATTTAAGACTAGGTGTGAAACCGCGGCGATCTGATGATGACGCAAAGGGCGCGGCCCGGGTCGGGAGCCGCGTCTTCGAGGTGCCCGGTACATTTAGGCGTGTTAGGATGACGTACTTCGACGGCGGCCAAGCGTTACAAGTCTTCAACTCGCTGTGGTACCCGACGTTCGACCGGCCGGACGCGCCTTTGCTCGGCGTCGACTTGCTGCGATTCGGACCCAAGAAGTTCCTCTGCATCGTCGACGCCCAGCCGCCGCAGGGCCGCGCCCACGCCACGCACGACACGAGTTTACTAGATGCCATCAAGCGGAAGTACCCCGCGCTCGAGGGCGAGGTGTCCTCCCGCTACTACGACGACAACCGCTTCTTCAGCAAGCAGATGCTGTACGGTCGTTTTGCGGACGACGGTGAAAAGTTAGTAGAGGAGGCGCTGCTCCCGGCCTTCGGGGCCTACGTCGAGGCCTATGTGGACGTCGTCGCGCGCTGCGGCACTTCGGGAAAGGACGCGCGGCCCTTCCACGCGGACTACGACGCGTTCAACGCCGAGCGCGACCCGGCGCACGGGCTGTTCACGTCGTATTTCGGCGCGGAGTGGTCCGACGCGTACCTCTCGGAGTTCCTCTTCGCGCTGGCGCACGAGAGCGCGGGCGACGGCGTCGTCGCGTAAGTGTGTTTTGTGTGTACACGTCGCGGCGACGGCGTCTGGTGTCTCTGTCCATCTGTCTGCGTCCGGACCGAGTGCGGGTTCGACGCGCCAGTTTGCTGCCAGCAGCAAAACAATCGTTTGCGCGGAGCTGTGGCTTGGACTCGAGGCCATCGGTCACCACTGCGCCCCGCATCGACGCCGCCAGGCATCCAGAGGCTGCCCCGGCGCTCCGAACGAGCCGCACGTTGGGTAACATAAAAGAGTGCCAAGCAGCATGGAGCGCCCGCCGCTGCGCTACCTCAAGCCCACGCCGGGCAAGACCTTTCGGACGCTGAACGAGGCCGAGATCGAGGCCACGGTCAAGAACAACCTGACCTTGGCCGCGGCGCTGCTCGCAAACCAGCCCGTCGACCCCGAGGTCTGGAAGCCCGCCGCCGTCGCCATCGCGCCGCCGCCGCCGCCGCCCCCGCCACCAGTCGTGCATGACGAGGACGGTCCATTACCAACAGCGCCGCCGCCGGCCTACCACGAGGACCGCGCCGGCGACGTCGACGAGGAGTGCTGGGCGAGCCCTCCCAGGAGACGCTACGACCCCGACGCCTACTACGACGCCAAGGCCGCCGTGACGTCAAATGACGTGGACAACCTCGGCCGCGGCGTCGCCGCGGCTTTGAGATATTCAACGGACGCCGCGCGGCAGTCCTTGGAAGCTACGGACGACTTGAGGAGGCGCATCGCGGAGCTCGAGCTCACCGTGGCGAACAGGTTGGAGGACGAGGCGCCGCCTCCTTGTGAAGCCTTCTCTCCCTCAAGTCCACCGCCCGCGGCGTTCTCGCCCGGGTCCGTGCGGCGCGAGTGGGGCACATCCGCCAGCACAGCCTGGACGGCGAAGGCCCGGAGCGAGGGCCGGGGCGCCGTGGGCCTGCCGGCCTGGATGGCGCGGCCGCGGGCCCTCGACGAGTCCTGCGCGTCGTCCTGGGACCGCTTCGAGCCGGGCCCCGCGTCGCTGGACGTCGCCGCGGCCGAGGACCTGGCCGGGCCGCCCATCGACTCGCCGGACGGCCAATGTTCGATTGCGCCGTCCTACGAGACGGACGACGAGCAAATGCCCTCGCCCGGCGCCATTAAACGCACGAAGGAGCGCGCGCGCCGCGCGAACGCGACCGTGCACGCGCTGGGGCGCGGCGCGGCCGCGTTGTACCAGGACGCGGCGCGGCGCGCGGCCGACCGCCGGCGCGCGCGGCGGTCGGAGCAGAACAAAGTACGAGCCGAGGAGGCCGAGGACGAGCTGAGACGACTCAGGGCGAAGCGGCGCGCCCTCGCGGCGCCGGGCCCCTTCGAGGGGCTCATGAAGCGGGAAGCGGAGGCTGCCGACCGGAAACGCGAGGCGGCGCAGCAGCGCCGCCGCGAGGCCGAGGTGAAGCCGCGGACCTTTCGAGCGAAGCCCGTGCCCAACTTCGGGAAGGGTCCGCCGCCGACATCTCGGCTTTCCGCTGCGGACCGGAAAAAAGTGCAGGAGGCGTCCCTCGCGAAGGCGAGAAGGATGGCGCCCCGCTGTGCCGCCGTGCCGACCGCCGCGACGGACTCCAAAAGGGTGTTAGGAGAAAGGAACCAAAATCCCGCCGCGAAACAGATCCGCGCGAAGCTCAAAGCCGACCGGAAGCGCTGGGACGCGTACGTGAAGTTCAAGCGCGAGGGGCCGACGAGTCCTGATCCGCGGGACGGCGAGCAGTGGGAGTAAAACACATCACTTATGAAACCTAGGGCGGCTTCGGAGGTTTGTTCGCCGCCTTCGCGAGTTTCGCGCGGCGGTCCTGGACGCGCTTCGCCGCCCGGGCGTCGGCGAGCTTTCGCGCCTTCGCCTCGCGAAGTTCGGCCGCCTTGGCGACGTCCCTTCTATACTTCGCGAAGCCGCCCCGCTCCACGCACACTTTCGAGTCGCGACACACGAATAATGGGAGCTCGACGCCGTTCTCGTCGCGCGACAACGCCTCGACGAGGGCAGCGTCGTGCGTTACCGCTAAAACCCCGCCCTCGTAGCTGCTCAGCCCCTCGACGAGCGCGTCGCAACTTTCAATGTCCAAGTGGTTCGTCGGCTCGTCGAGCACCAGCAGATGCGGCCGCTTCAGCGCCAGCGACGCGAAGACTACGCGCGCCTTCTGACCTCCTGATAGATCTCTCACCGGCATGACGTGTCTGGCGCTGTCCAGACCAAATTTGCCCAGGTACTTGCGGGCCTCTTCGGTCTTGCACGAGTGCGTCGCGACAAGAAACTCGACGGCCGACGCCTTCGGGGCGCACTGCCGCAGCTCCGAGAAGTGCTGGTCGTAGTAGCCTAGAACGAGTCTTCGCCCCCGCGTCACTTCTCCAGTTTGCGGCTCGAGTTCGCCCACAATGAGTTTCAGCAGCGTACTCTTGCCGGAGCCGTTTGCTCCGACGATCGCCGCCCGCGTCGAGGCGTCGACGCTCAAATCGAGGTCTCTGAAGCCGCTGAAGCCGGTGGACGTCGCGCCGAAGGAGAAGGCCACGCCCCGCAAATCAATACCGCAGCCCGCGGCCGCCCGAGCGTCGTCCGGGGCCCTCAGGTCGAAGTGGACGGCATATTCCCGTGGCTTCTCGACGAGCCGCGGCGCGCCGAGACGGTCCAGCACTCTCTGTTCCAATTTTTCGGCCCGCAGCGAGGGGTGCTTCGCCCTTTCTTCCTTCAGCGCCTTCTGTTGGAGCGCGTAGTCCTTGGTCCGCTTGGCCAGCCTAGCCTTCGCGCCGGCGTCGAGCTTGGCCAGGCCGCCGCGGTGCGCCTCCAAACCCCCGTCGTCGCTCAGGTTGATGAGATCGGTGGACGTCTCGTCCAAAAACCCTCGATCATGCGACACGGTCAGCAGCGTCGACGACGCCGGGAGCTGGTCCGTGATGTACCGCTCGAGCCAGAGCACGGCGTCCAGGTCGAGGTGGTTCGTCGGCTCGTCGAGGAGGAGGAGCGACGGCGGCGCGAAGAGCGCCCGCGCGAGCGCCGCGCGCACGCGCCAGCCGCCCGAGAGTCGCGAGGCGGGCCCGGCGACCATGGTCTCGGTGAACCCCAGCCCGGCGAGCACCGCCTGCGCCCGCCCCTCGGCCGCGTCCGCGTCAATGGCTTCCAGTTCGTCGCAGACCGCCGCGAGGCGCTCCGCCGCCGCGGTGGTGCCGTTGTCAATGTCGTTCCACAGCGCCGCCTCCTCCGCGAGTAACGACGAGCGCGTCGTGTCGGCCTCCAACACATCCTCCAAGACAGACGCGCCCTGAAAGGAAGCTTCTTGGTCCACGAGTAAGACGTCGACGCTCTGGGGCACGGGCAACCGTCGCGCGGCGATGAAACGTAACAACGTCGACTTGCCGCGGCCGTTCGCACCGACGAGGCCGTAGCGCCTCCCAGCAACGAGCGCGAGGTCCGCGTTCACTAATAGAGGCTTCTCCGGGGCGGAGATGCTCAGGCCTTTCACGACGACGTCCTTGCTCGCGTCGTCGGCCGCGCGCGTCGCGCCGCCAGGCACGCTCAGCGAGAAGCCCTCCAAGCGCGCGTCCACCGTGCGCGTGTCGTCGCCGCCGGACGTGAGGCCCAGCTCCGCTTCTTCGGCTTCTCTGGCTTGGCCGCGCTTGAGTAACTTCTTCTCTTTGCCAGAAAGCTTGCCTCCGGCCTCAGCTTTCGCCTTGACGCGGTCGTAGTCCACGAGCCACTGGGGCCGGCCCTCGTCGACCGGCGCCGCCGGCGCCGCCGACGCCTTGGCCGCGCGGCGCTTCTTTGCCGCGGCACGCATAGCATCTTCTTCCTCCTTCTTGCGCGCCTCCGCTTTGGAGATGGTGTTGCCCGCCTTGTCGGTCGTCCACTCGCCCTCGGAGTCCGTCGCGGCCTCGTCGTCCGACGCTGGCGCCAGCATCGACTCTACCGCGCGAGCCCGCTCGGCCTCGGCGGCAGCACGAGCGGCTTTTTTCGACGCCTTCGAGGGCTTCGCGGCTGCGTCGTCGTCCTTTTTCGAGTTTTTGCTTGCTTTTTTGCCTGCTGCTTTTGCCGCATCACTGCTCGGCTTTTTGGGCATGTTGCCTGGCTGCACTATCGTGGGCTGGAGGCAGTGCCAGGCGTTGCAACGTTGTTGGCACGCGCCGTAGAAGCTTTGCACTATTCCTTAAGCAAATTGCCTGCGGTGCCTCAACACGGCAACTTGCAAGCTGGAGCTAGCGTGCTGTAACACACTAGCAAGCGCAAGCACCACCGGCTGGAGCTGCGCTATTTATCGTCGATTGCACCCTGGGACCCGCCAAAACGATAACAACGACGCGCCAACAATGGCCCCCTGGCACCTCGTGCTCAACGACGACTGCTGCCTCAAGTTGTTCGAGCTGTGTGATGGCAAGAGCCTCGCACACATCGCACGCACAGATAAGCGCCTCCACGCCCGCGTGTCCGACCGCAATTCGACGGCGGCGTCGCCGGGCGCCCAGGTCTGGCGGCAGCTGTGCGCCTCGCACAATCTGCGCCAGCCCGGCACGCGGACGCGCGGCCAGCTGCCCTGGTCCAAAGTCTACGCGCTGAGCATTTGTATCGAGTGCTCCGAGTTCGGGGAAGTCGTCATCAACGACCCGCCGAACGTCTTGGGCTTCGAACGGGGCCGCTTCGCGCTGTGCCGGCGCTGCATGCGGTCTGACACGCTCTGGCGCGTGATGAACCGCCCTGAAATCAAAGGAGACGGCCAGAAGCTGGCGCACCTGCTCTTTCGCATCGAGACGGTGCGCCGCGAGCTCGGGCTCAAGCCGCGGTACAAGCGGGCGGTGGCGGCGTCGTCGCGGCGGCGGCGCCCCGTCGGCCGTGCCCGGATCGCCCAGCCACGGACCAATAACCCGCCACCGCCGGACCCCGAGGCGATGCCGCCGCCGCCCGGGCCGCCATCTGACCTTCCGCCGCCACCGCGCGGCCACCTTGGCGACGCTGACGCTCAGGTCACGTTCTAGCCGTAGAGTAAGTATTTCCGTAGTAGTCTTTGCCGCTCTACCAGTGTTCGGATTGCTCCGCCGCTCGCACGATTACCGCTCGGCAGGGGAACTCACACCTCGTGATCCAGGCGTGCGGCTGCCCTCGTGCGAGGGCACCGGGACTCCGCCGCCGGGTGGGCGATTGTTGCGTCGCTGTCCCGTTGGGTGCCGTCGCCGCAGCCCTCGTCGGCAGCGTGAGATCGGCAGCTGCTTTTCGATCGGCAGCAGATCGGCCGTCGTCGGCCCCATCTCTTCGATTCTGGGCATGGCGCCCGGTGAAGCTAGAGCCCGCGGCGCGTCTCTATTTGATGCGTGCAAGGAAGGGAGAACCGACGTCGTGCAGGCGTGGCTGAACAAAGGCGCGGAGGTCGACTGGGCAAATACGTGGGGTGAAACGCCGCTGTTCATCGCCTGCCAGAACGACCACCGCGAAGCGGCGCGGTTGTTGCTGGAGCAAGGCGCGGAGGTCGACCAGGCGGACGTGGACGGTCGGACGCCGTTGTTCGCCGCCTGCGCGAAGGGCCAAGTCGACTTGGCGCGGCTGTTGCTGGGCAACGGCGCAGAGGTCGATGGGCCAGTATCAGAGGGACTGTACGAAGGCCAGACGCCGCTGTACGTTGCCTGCGGGAACGGCCACGTCGACGTGGCGCGGCTGCTGCTGGACAAGGGTGCCAAGGGCAATCGGGCGACGAGGAATGGAAACACGCCACTGTCCATCGCGAAGAAAAACGACCACTCGGCCGTCGTCGCGCTCCTCCGAGTCCGCCGCTGCGTCGCGTCCGCCGATATGGCCTCCATGTCTCTATTCGATGCGTGCAAGGAAGGGAGAAGCGACATCGTGCAAGCGTGGCTAGACCGCGGAGCCGACGCCAATTCGCCGACGAACGCTCAAGGTAGAACGGCGCTGCACATCGCCTGCGAGAACGGCCACGTCGACGCGGCGCGGCTGCTGCTGGACAGCGGCGCTGAGGTCGACCGGGCAGCATCAGGGTTGAGTTTTAACGGCGCGACGCCGCTGCTCATCGCCTGCCACAACGGCCTCGTCGATGCGGCGCGTCTGTTGCTAGACAAAGGCGCGGCGGTCAACAGGGCGATGAACAATGGAGCGACGCCGCTGTTTGCCGCCTGCGTGAATGGCCACGTCGACGCGGCGCGGCTGCTGCTGGAGAAAGGCGCGGCGGTCGACCGGGCGACGGAGGACGGCGCGACGCCGCTGTACGCCGCCTGCTTTAACGGCCACGTCGACGCGGCGCGGCTGCTGCTGGACAAAGGTGCGGAGGTCGACCGGGCGACGGAGGACGGCGCGACGCCGCTGTACATCGCCTGCCAGAACGGCCACATCGACGTGGCGCGGCTGCTGATGGACAAAGGCGCGGAGGTCGACCGGAGGAAGGAGAACGGTCGGACGCCGCTGTACATCGCCTGCCAGGAGGGCCACGTCGACGCGGCGCGACTATTGTTAGATAGAGGCGCGAAGGCCGATCGGGCGACGAAGGGCGGATCGACGCCGCTGTCCATCGCAAAAAGCAAAGGCCACTCGGCCATCGTCAAGCTGCTCGACCCCCGCCTAAGTCCTGTGCCCGAGGGCTGCGCCGACGACGCGGCCGACCAAGCGCCGGCCGGGGCGCCGGAGGAAAAGAATGACCTTCCGCAACGAGAACCGCCGGCCCTGCCGCCGCGATTGCCGGCCCTGCCGCCGCGACCGCAGTCGCTGCGGGCCGCTGCCTCGTCCGACCTCGAGGAGTTCGACGTCGCTCGCCTTCGCAGCTGCACGCTCAACTTTGCCGACTCGCGCAAGCTCGGCGAGGGAGCCTTCGGCGAGGTCTTCGCATTCGTCGACTCGGCGACGTCCGAACGATTCGCGGTCAAGCGCCTAAGCCCGGCGCTGCGGGAGCCGAGCGCGGACCCGGCGGCGCTGGCCGGGGCACAGCGCGCGGCACATCGCGAAGTTCGGGCGTTGTCGCGATTCCGACATCCACACATCGTGCGTCTCGTGGGCTTTTGCGCGCCCGATAGGAGCAGCGAGCGGTACCTCGTGTACGAGCTCGCCGCTGTTGGAGCGCTCGACGTCGCGCTGAGCGACGACGCACGCGCGGAGGAGCTGACCTGGCGTGTTCGCGTCCGCCTGCTCTCTGGCGTCGCCAAGGCGCTCCATTTTATGCACCGTGGAGGCGGTGGAGATAGGTGCTTTCACCGCGACGTCAAGGCTGCCAACGTCGTACTGACGGCTGCGCTCGAGCCAAAACTCATCGACTGCGGCCTCGCGCTGTTCATCCCGAAGGATGATCCACGTCGCATGAAGACGATGCTCACCGCAACTGGCGGCGCACTCGGCACGACTGGATACATGTGTCCCAAGTACGTGAATAGCGGCCAATACGGAGAAAAGTCGGAGGTCTACTCGTTTGGCGTTCTGCTCCTCGAGGTCATCATGGGCAAGATCCAAAATAGGCCTGACGATCTGGCCAATTACGTCGACGAAGATGAAGACGAGTTCAACCTGGCGGAGGCCTTCGACGAGCGAGCGGGTGAGTGGCCGGCCGCAGCCAAAGAGGAGCTCTCGTCGTTGGGTACTAGCTGTCTAGATAAGGTCAGGCGACGCTGCGACATGAGTTCCGTGCTTCAAAGGCTCGTGGGGCTCGCCCGCGAACACTGCGCGCCGACGGCCGAGGAGGCGATGCTCGCCGACGTGCGCCGCCAGTTCGAGGCGCTAAGGATGACCGGCGTAGTGGCGGCAGCCGCGAGAGCCTCGCAGCAGCAGCAGTGTGTGGTATGTTTTGACGACTTTGATGCAGCGGGTGGCGGCTCGTGCGGCGGCGACCATTCTATCTGCGCCGACTGCCTATCGGGGCACGTCGCTCGCGAACTCGAGGTAGTAAGCGAGGATAACGACCGGCTCGCCGCCCATCGCCAACGCGGCGGGCGCATTCGGTGTGCAAGTTACGGTGGACCTGGTGGCTGCGGCTCGGACTATTCCGACCGGACGCTTGCAAGGTGCCTCGCGCCGGCAGTATTTGAGGCGTACCGCGCGGCACAGGACAGGACCGTCGAAGACCGCATCTTTGCGGAGGCGCAGGAGCGAATTACGCGTGCTGTGAGGGAGACGGAGGATCGAATTTTTGCGGAACGCCTCCAGGCGGAGGAAAACCAGTTCGCAGAAGAGGAGGAGGCCGCGCGTGCTCGACGCCAGGCTGAGCGCGATCGTCAGGCGCTGGTGGAGGCGCTCCGGCGCGACTTTCCCAACGCGCGCCAGTGCGGTGGTTGCGGTTTCGGACCCATCGACCACATGGCATGCAATAATCTTCGGACGCACCACGGCGAGCAGCGCGGTCCTGGTCGCATCAATAATGCGTGCCCGCGCTGCGGATGGTTCAGGAACTCGATCGGCGAGTGGCCGCGATGGGACGGGCGCGTGCACGACGACAATACCAATTAATCTGCACCGAACGTTCCTTCGCGTGACCCTTCTAAACCTTCTACAAGTATACTAATCTTCGAGGTTAATACAATGCACGCGCGCTAAGTCGCACGAAGCCGCATGCTCGTGTCGTCGCCGTCGTAGAACGGCGCGGGCCGCTGCGCCGGCGGGTCGCGCGCCGCGTCGAGGTTGCCATCCGTGCCCCAGGGCGCCGACGTCGGCCGGCCCCGCGGCGAGAAGTGCGGCTCGGAACTAAAATCGATCTGGCAGCGGTTCATCTCGCGCTTGTTCCTTTCTCGGTCGTCCTTCGTTTTCAGCGTCAAACCATACCGCATCCGCGTGTCGGCGGGGTTCGTCTCCTCGTAGGGAATCTGGCGCTCCTCGCCGCGCGTCTTGCGCTTCGTCGGGTCCATCTCCTTGAGCTGCGGCGGCGTGACGGCGCGCGAGAGGTCGCCCTGCAGGGGCTGCAATTTCGCGATCGTTTCCGGGTACGCGACCTGCATGTGCAGGTTCTTGCGCGACGGGTTGTGGAAGCGCTTGTTGACGAAGCAGGCTTTTTCTTGCACGCGGCCCTTCGTGGCCGCGGTGCTAAAGTCGGCGTGGCCGAGGTGCGTGATGCTGTATAACGTCGTCGGGAGCCCGTAGCCGTTCTCGACTTTATCTGTGCGCGGCGTGTGCGTGGCCTCGACCTGGTTCTGCGGGAGGAGCCAGGGCGCCTTCTTGGCGTCCGCGCGCGCGACGCTGGCTTTGGTGGGCGGCGGCTCCAGGGGAGGATGGCCCATTATTGGGAGTGGACTGCGCGGGGCAGCGAGCGCGTGCCGGAGCCTGGGGTTGGGGCGAGCCTCGCGCGCAGTTTGGGCTGCGTCTGGTGCCAGGGAGACGGCTCACAGGTCCCGAGAGCAAAAGGCGCTGTGACTAAGTGTGTAACACGCTAGCAAACACAAACGAGCAGCGCCCTGCTTTGCCTCCGAGACCGGCCCCTGACGCCCGGGTCACGCCGGGGAGGCCGCAAACGATGCCCAACGACGTGGGCTGCCCCATCTGCGGGAAAAGGTACTTTCCTCACTCCCTCAAAATCCACCTGCCCCAGTGCCAGCGCAAGTGGGCGTCCGTCGAGGTGCCCTGCCCGCGCTGCGACAAGCCGGTCTTACAAGGCGAGCTCGAGGAGCACCTCGAGAAGTGCCGCGCCCCGCGGAAGGCGGCGCTCCACCGGCGGTCGTGGAACGGGGACACGGCGAACGCCGCGCGCGCGCTGTCGCTGCCCATCTCGCGGGCCCGGCCGCCGCGCGAGCGCGCGTCGTGGTCCGGCCCCACGCAACACGACTCGCCGCGCCAGGCCGCCGCCGCCGCCTTCCGGACGCAGTTCAAGCCGAAGGCGCCGCGGCCCGCGTCGCGCACGAAGCGGTGGGAACCGCCCGCTGAAACGACAGCGTTCTCCACCACCGCCGCGGCGCCGGGCGGCCTGCTGCCCTGCGCCGTCTGCGGCCGCAAGTTCTCCGCGGACCGACTCGGCGTCCACCAGAACATCTGCCGCAAGGCCCACAACAACCGGCGGCCCGTCTTCGACGGCGCGTCCATGCGCCAGCGCGCGATGGCCGAGGAGAACGGGCTGGCCGCGCCGCCGCGGCGGCGCCCGGGCCGGCGGCGGCCGCCGTCCGCCAACATTGAACCGCCCGCGCCGCCCAAGAAGAACTGGCGCGCCGAGTCGAACGCTTTTAGAGCTATGGTCCGCGACGCGCGGCGCATGACCATGGCGGAGAAATCCGGCGTGCCGCTCCGCGACATCCAGCCTTCTCGGGCTGCGCAGGACGCCTACGACCTGGAGACGAGCGACTTCCGGCAGTGCCCGCACTGCGGCCGGACCTTCAACCCGAAGGCCTGGGAGCGACACGTGCCCCACTGCGCGAAGACGCGGAACCGGCCGAAGCCTCCGCCCGGGCGCCGCGCGTTAGGTCGGGGCGCCGCGCGGCGGACGGGCTCCATGAACTTCTGAGCGCCTGCTATACCATGTTTGTACTTAGTCATACCCCTTCTCGAAGTTCGCCTCGGCGTTCCGAGCCAGTGCTGTGGGGTCCTTGGCCCAGACCACTAACGTCCGTCGGATGCCTCGCGTTGTCGGCAGGACGCGGTGCCACACTTCACAAGCGGGAAAGGCGATGACGTCTCCTCTACTCCAATCCACCGCTGAAGAAACGCCGCCCGGCCATTGCGGCCGCATCACCTCGAAATCGCCGCCCTGGAAGTCGACGCCCGGCTCCGTCAGTAGAACCACTAACGTGATCGCCCTAGCGTCCTCGGCGTCTTCCCCTCCTTCATGAGCGTCGAGGTGCCACTGCTTGAAATGCGCCTCTCGGTCACCTCGGTATTCAGTATACTGAGCGTCCTCGTACTCGCACCTGAAACCAGCTCCGTTCTTCTTGGGGAGGAGGTGCCATCGGTCGTTCGAGGCTTTCACGAGCTTCCTCAGCTTCCTATGGGCCGGCAGGTTCTGGAGCTTGAGCCAGGCAGCGTCGCACTTCCGCGAGCCGTACTGCGTGTCCGTCGAATCATGTAACACGGCGTCGAAGAGTTCTTGCCTCACGGCGGGGCTATTCAAGTAGTCATCTAGCGCTGCGAGGTCATTGGAGTTGAGGGCGTTCCGGAAGTGCAGGACTCGGCCGTCGTAGAGCGAGAGTGGCGCGTTCTTCGGCGGCTGCTGGCGCTGGGGCGCGGGCTTGGCGACCGCCTTTGTCGAGGTGCGGGCGGTCTTCGTTCTCATCGTTCTGTGCGCGCGGCAACAGTGTCTGGGCAGCAGTGGGGTCCACTGCTCTGCTGGTGGGCGCGGCGCGGCAGAGGCTCGGACTGAACAAGTGCTTGCAGCGGTTGTTTTTGACAGCGTTGATGCGTCGTGCGTTTGCGAGGACCGCGTGAGCCGAAGGGCGCGCGGCGCGGCAGTGCTCGACTGTGCTACCTTGCCTGTGTTGCTTGATTAAAAACAGAGCTCGTGCCGCTTGGCGACGCTTCAGGATAACTATAGACACGATTCAACGAGCCAAATGCGGAACGGGCTAGCGTGCGACATACTAGTAATCGACGACAAAAATCGAGACGGCGCGTCGGCCTCTGGCATTTATCGAACGGTTACACGCGTTGCGAAGCCAGCACTCGTTTCTGCAGTAGAACGAGGATCGCCTACAATTAGTGCTACGCCAGCAGAGAGGCCTTAACAGAGCAGCACAAGCGCCACGGCGGCGCGCATAAGTGCCGCGGCGCGCGTAAGTGCCGACGACGCCTTGCGCTGACGCAGCGCTCGAAGAAAGATAATGCCGCGCTCTCGCAGCCGCAGCCGCAGCCGCGGCCGGCGGCGCCGCAGCCGCTCTCGTGACCGCCGCGACCGCCGCGACGACCGCGACCGCGACCGCTCGCGGAGAGACCGAGATAGAAGCAGAGATCGGAGGCCGCAGCCGTCGTCGCGGGCCCGGGCCGAGGAGGAGGCAAGTAAAAGACGACGAGACGAGGCCCGGGTCCCCGAGCCCGTGGATGTCCTAAATCAGGACGATGGGATTGAAGTGGATGAGGCCGAGGTGGAGGCCTTCCTCGCGTCCGACGACGAGGACGCGCGCGAGGCGAAGCGCGCGGCGGAACGTAGGAAGCGGCGCCAGGCGATTGAGCGGAAGCACGCCGCCGCGAAGGAGGCTCCACAACCAATTGTAGAAGATCCATCAAAGGCCCAAGAGGAGCAGAGCGCACGAGACAAGGCCGTCAAATACGAAGTGACGCCTTTGGGGTTGACGGAGGTCAAGCCAGATGATGATGCGTTCGACATGTTTACTGGTGAGGGCGACATCGACGCGCCCGCGCCGGTCAAAGTGGGCAAACGCGCGACGGCGGCGCAACTACTCGCGGGAGAGTTGGGTGAGGAAGAACAGGCGAACTGGGACGACACGGACGGGTACTACATGGCGAGGCCTGGAGAAACGATTGATGGGCGGTATCGCGTCCTCGGTGTGGTCGGACGAGGCGTCTTCTCGTCCGTACTGAAAGCACGAGACGAAGTCCAAGAGAAAGAAAAGAACGAACCGTGCTACGTCGCCGTGAAGATGATCCGGAACAACGAGACGATGACGAAGGCCGCCGCCAAAGAGATTGAGTTACTGCGGGAAATTTCTGCCGGTGACCCCAATGGAAGGTGTCATTGTGTCAGGTTGCTCAATGAGACGGAGCACCGGGCCCACACCGCGTTGATCTTCGAGTCCATGGCGATGAACCTGAGGGAAGCTCTCAAAAAGTATGGTAAACATGTCGGTATAAATATCGACGCTGTTAGGATATATGCCAAGCAACTTTTATTCGCTCTGAGGCATTTGTACAAGCTACGAATAGTGCACGCTGATATCAAGCCAGATAACATACTGGTAAGCGAGAACAACGCTGTTCTTAGAATATGTGATTTCGGGTCAGCTTTTCGCGAGTCCGATCCTGGGTGTAGCGACCCGTCTCCTTATCTCGTCAGTCGTTTCTATCGCGCTCCGGAGATCATTCTAGGGTTGAAATACGACACAAGGGTCGACCTGTGGTCGATCGCGACGTGTCTCTATGAATTGTATACGGGGCACATCATGTACCCCGGCGTCGACAACAACAACATGCTGCGGCTCATGATGGAGTTGAAAGGAAGGTTTCCGGTGCGCATGCTACGAGCTCATGTCCGAGTATATACCGAGTTGCTACTCTTGGACCCGCACTTCCTAGATGTGCAGTCGTCGTTCAAATTCCAGCACCGGGTGTTGGATGAAAGGACGAAGGAGCCGCGCCTGACACTTGTGTCCATCGACAAGCCGACTCGATCCATAGCGCAGACGTTTTTATCCAAAAAAGCGGGCGCCGACGACAAGCGAACTGTCTTAGATCTGGCCGACTTCCTGGAGCAGGTCTGCATGCTCAATCCGGACAATCGGCCGTCGGTGAACGAGTGCCTGAAGCACCGCTTCGTCGCGGGCCGCCAGGAGCACCCGCGCGACAAGAAGCCGCCGGAGGCTTCAACAGGTGGTGGGTCCGTGCGGTCGCGGTCGCCGGGGCGGCTCTGAAGTGTAATAAAGTTTATTTCTTAGAATCGTCGCGTCGATGGCGTGCGGTGCGGTCGCCGCGCGCCGGCCGACGCCGCATCAAATCGGGTTTTTCGACCCGACTCGGACGGCGACAGCGCTCCTAAACGCATCCACGAAGCAGCAGAATCGTGCATCGCTGCTCCATAACGCCCGCCGACGCGCTGCGACCATCGCTTCGGAGCCACAGCGCGAGCCAGGATGAATAACCTCCCTAGCCCATTGCGGGGCCACCTGCTGGGCTTCTGCAACCCCGGCGAGGCGGACATGCTGCGGCTCTTGCAAGAGGGATCGACGCGCACGAACCCGTTACCCGACTTCGGCGCCATGAGCATGGCAAGCGCGCCGCCCGTCATCTTCCTGGATGTCGATGGTGTTCTCAACCGCGTCGACGACCCGAGCGAGGAGCGCGTCGACGCGACGATGTTGATGAGGGTAAGGCAGCTCGCGGACAGCGCGGGCGCGGTCGTTGTCATTAGCTCGGACTGGCGGACGCAACCGGAGGCGAAGACGTACATCGAGCGGCGCCTCGCTGCCCTGGACGTGACGGTGATCGGCGCCACGCCCCTCGCGCGGACGCGGGCCCTCGCGCGGCCGGCGGAGATTTTCCAGTGGCTATCGACGCATCCCGACGAGCACAACGGGCGCTACGTCGTGCTCGACGACCGCGACCTGACGCGCGAGACGCGCGGCGCGGAGCTGGCGGCGGCGCGGCGCTTCGTGCGGACGGATCCCAACGTGGGGTTCACCGACGAGAACCTGGCGGAGGCTATTGCGGTTTTGAGGAGGGTTTGACTAAGTCTGTGTCATTTTAACGACCGAGGGAGACCTGGCGGAGACGCTGGAGGGCTCAAGGGGTGGATTGGGAAGTTTTTTTACTCGATAGTGCGGGTTCGATATTTTGGCTCGGCTTGCAAGTTGTGCAAAAGCGCGGCTACTGCGTGGTAATTGGAGCGTTTTAGAGCATGAGACGACCAACAATGGACGAACGAATCGATCTGCAGCCGTTTTCCCGGCTCAAATTGATGCACTTGCGGCTTAGATAGAGGTCCTGCTGCCTGGGGCCGCGGGCCTTCTCTGGGCGCGCCGGCCGTGCAGCTGTGCGTTGCTGACTCTCAGCGACGCCACTGGACGCCGCGCACCGCTAGAGGGCGCCGCGCTACCTGGAGACGCTTGGTAAATCCCTCGCTTCTCCGAGGTCGGACGGCCGGCTCTTTTGCTGGAATTGTGGCGTGTGGCTGCGACGGACCGCTGGCTCCCACGCGGGCCGCGGTTCTGGCGCATTCCACGCGCCCAACTCGGCGAGGACCGCTGGCCCCGGCTCTCAGACGCGGTGGCAGCGGCCCCGGACGTCTCAGCGGCAGGACGGAACGGCGCGGCGGCTGTCGACACACACACCATACGACCGCACCACGCCGTCGAACCAAAGCATTCACCCTCGCATGACACACAGGTTGTTTCAGGATGGCGCGGACCGTCGCCCTGCTGCTGGCGTCGGCCTCGGCGCTCGTGCCGCCGGCCGCGACGCCGGCGCGGCCGGCGACGCGGCTCGCCTACACGGCGAGCGAGGCGCTGCCCTTCATGGAGCGGCCCGCGTCGCTCGACGAGCTCGAGATGGCCGGCGACGTCGGCTTCGACCCCTTTGGCTTCTCGAGCATCTTCAACGTCAAGTGGCTGCGCGAGGCCGAGATCAAGCACGGCCGCATCTGCATGCTCGCGTGGACGGGCTTCGTCGCGACGGATTTAGGATTTACGCTCCCCGGCGACATGCACCAGGTGTCGAGCGTCGAGGCGCACGACGTCGCGTGCAAGTACGGCGCCATGCAGCAGATCTTCCTCTGGCTCTCGTTCATCGAGGTCGTCCACTCGTTCGGCGTCGCGCAGATGATGTGGATGGGCAGCGACCGCCAGCCGGGCGACTTCGGCCTCGACCCGCTCGACTTCTGCTCGACGCCGGAGAAGGCGGCGGACATGAAGCTCAAGGAGATCACGCACTGCCGGCTCGCCATGTTCGCGTTCTCGGGCGTCGTGACGCAGGCCGTGCTCACGGGCAAGGGCTTCCCCTACTTCTAGGCGCGCGGGTGCCTGGGGCTTGTTAATCTCGTTGGAGAATACTACTAGTACGGTTGAATGATGATTGTTAATCTCGTTGGGGAATACTACTAGTACGGTTGAATGATGATTGTTAATCTCGTTGGGAATACAGGGGAGAAGACGAAGGATTGAATGATGACAGCTCACACACGAACGACGACGGGATCACGGTTTGTAGTACACCGCCTCCCCGCCCGCGACGAACTGCCGGTAGAGCTCGGCGACGGAGAGCGTCTCCGTCTTTTTCTCGCCCGTCTTGCCGTAGTTGACCGTGACGGTCAGCGTGTCGCCTCGTTTTGAGACGCTGTGCGTGTGGCCGATGTCACCCGTCGGGGAAACCTCCTTCGGCACGTAACATTCGCCGCGCGTGCTTATCCGCCAGAACGTGATCGCGCCTTTCGCCGCCGACTTGTTCACGTTGGCGCCGTCGTCGTAGTCCGTCGTGGTATGTGCTGTGTTGTTGCTGCCGATCGTCAGGATGTGCGTTGCGCCATACTCCGGGTTGTGGCCGTAGGAGCCTTCATGATAGCACCAATCCTGCGTTTTGTTGAGCTGCACGCGCGACAGGTCGAAAGCGTCCTCTTCTTGGGTCGTCATTCTGGGTTCGCGCGACAGGTAGATTTTATTTGCTTGCGGAGAGCTGGCTTGGGGCAGCCTCTCAGCCTTTGTGTGAGAGTTGGTGCTTGATTGAGAGCTTGGCGGGTTTGCAGAACTTTCTGCAGTTATCGTCGGCGCGCAGCCACGTCTAGCATGTCCTAGTAGAGTGTTCTGGACCGGTGAATGGCAGCGGCGCGATCGCGCGAGTCGGGTGCGGGGTCAAGTGCTCGAGGGCCACGATGAGGTCGCAGGTAGGCTGCCCGGCATGCTTCTGAACCTTAACTGATCGATCAGGATGTTTCGATTTATGCTGCTAGCCGCCGCTGCAGCGGTGGCGCAGCCGAACGACGACGCCTCAGCGCGCATAAAGAACATTTTGAGCCGGGTGGGCACCGGTGCCGCCCCAGATGGCGCGGGCACCGGTGCCGCCCCGGACGGCGCGGCGGCGGAGGACCTGCGCGCGCGCCTCGACAGGCTGCGCGCGGGCCGCCTCTTCGACAACGTCGATGCCGCGGCCGCGCCGGCCGAGGCCGCGGGACCGGCCTCGGACGACGTGCCGGTGCGCCTGGTCACGGGAAACGACCGCGCCGCCGAAGAGCTAGAGGCCGAGCGATTGGCGGCGGAGCGCACAGAAGCGGAAAGGTTAGCTGCCGAAAAAGCAGAAGCGGACCGCTTGGAGGCGGAACAAGCCGCCGCCGCGCGGGCCGCCGAGGAACGGCGCGTCGCGGCCGAGAGGGCCGAAGCCGAGCGCGCGGCGACGGCGGAGCGGGAACGCCGCGAGACCGAGGCCGCGGCGGCGCGGGAACGCGAGGCTGAGGCGCAGCGGATAGCTGAGCAGGAAGCGGAAGCGGCGGCGGAGAAAGAACGCCGCGAGACCGAGGCCCGCGAGCGCGCCGAGGCGGAGAAACGGGAGGCGGCGGCGCGCGAAGCCGAGGCGGCCGCCGCAGAACGGGAGCGCCAGAGACTCGAGGAAGAACGGGCCGCAGAGGCGCGTGCAGAGGCCGAGGCCCGCGAGGCCGCGGAACGGGCAGACCGGGAGCGCCGCGCGGCCGAGGCCAGGGCAAGCGCCACCGCCGAGGAACGACGCGCCGCCGAGCAGGCGGAGGCGGACGCGGCACCCGACGTGTCCGAGGCGCCCGAGGCCGAGCCCGAGACGGAAGGGGAGCTAGCAGCGGAGGAGGAGGAGTCCGACGCTCCCGAGCCGGAGCCAGAGCCGGAGCCAGAGCCGGAGCCAGAGACCGAGCCAGAAGAGGAGCCCGAGGCTGATCCTGAGCCAGAAATAGAGCAAGAATGGGAAGAGGCCGAGGAGGAGCCCGAGTCAAAACTAGGATGGGACGAGCCAGAGGAGGAGCCCCTGCCCACGGCCGGCGCGGCCTACGCGCGGTATAAAGCTAAAAGAGCGCTCCAAGAGGCCGAGCGGATGCAGCGCGAGGCCATGGAGGCCCTCCGCGAGGAGAAAGAAATACAACAGCTCGCGCCGCGCGAGCAGCTGGAGCAGCGGCGCCGGAAGGCGGAACAAGCCTCGGAGGAGCACCAGGCCGCCCGGCGCGACCAGGCCGAGAAGATGAGAATGCATCGGGAGAACCGGCGGGAGCGGACGCGGCGGATGCGCGAGCTCGAGGCGGAGCGAGCCCAGGACCAGCTCCGGCGCAGGCAGGCGAAGGAGGAGCTCTTGTCCTTTAGTTCCATACGACGTCCGGAGCAGGACGGCGACCTGCGGGCGGCGACTCAAAGGTGGAAGAAGGCCGTGGAGCTGCGGGAGGACGTCGACGCGATGTTCGCGCTGGCGTTCGCCTACGAGGGGGGCGGCCCCGGGCTGGCGAAGGATGAAGAGGCGGCGAGCGAGTGGAAAGCTAGAGCCGAGGAGGCGGCCCTCGAGAGAGTAGAAGAAGTGGTAGAAAAGCCGCTGCCCGTGAAACGCGGGTTCATCGAGTCGTCGGGCGACGAATTAGTAAAGTGGCGCTTCAAGGCCGAGACGCTCCTGAGCGCCTGGGCGCCCGCCGTCACTTCCGGTACAGTGGTGACGGCGGGCTTCGCCGAGGGCTTGTACGGTATCAGCGAGACAACGGGGGGGCCCTTGTGGTTCGTCGACGGCGGGCCCTACACGTCCGTCGTCGCGACGGACGATTCTGTCGTCGTCGGGTCGAAGAGCGGCGAGGTCCGCATGCTGGACGCGACGACTGGCCTCGAAAGGTGGCGCGCGGACCACGCGGGCGAGGTCGGCCGTTTTACGGTCAACGACGAGGATCTGTTCGTGGGGATCGGCCAGAACATCGCCTGCCTCCGCCGCACGAGCGGCGCTTTGAAATGGGCGCAGCCGACGGGCCAGCTCGTGACGGGCCGGCCGGCGGCGGACGCGCGCCACGTATACGCCGGCGGCGTCGATTCATATGTCTACGCGCTGCGGGCCCACGACGGCCACGTGCGCTGGCGGTTCAAAACTAATGGCCCCGTCGAGGCGAACCTCGTCCTCGCGTCGGGCGTCGTCTATGCGGGCAGCCAGGACCACAAGGTGTACGCCCTCGACACGGCCGAGGGTGAAAAAATATGGGCGCTCGACGTGGGCGCGCCGGTCGTCGCGCTGACGCTGGTCGGTAATTTACTAATTGCCTCGACGCCCGCGGCGCTCGTCGCCGTCGACGCGAGAACTGGCGTCGCGAGCTGGACCACGGAATCGCAGGACGTGCGGTGGACGGCGCCGAGCCTCGCGGGCGGCGCGCTGGTCGTGACCGGCACGGACCTCAAGCTCACGGCCGTCAATCTGGCCGATGGGACCACGCGGTGGCGCCACGACGCGGCGTCGTACAACGCGGCGCCGGCCGTGGTCGGGAGCAGCGTGGTCGTCGCGTCGCGCGACAAGCGGGTCCAACTGCTGGCGTTGGATGCGCTGGACCACCTCTACGAGTACGAGGGCGCGAAGCGCGAGATCCTGGCGGCGGCGCGCGCGGATCTGGACGCCGAGGCAGAGGCGGCGGCGTCTGAGCCGGAGCGGGAATCGGGTCCTGAGTCCGAGGCGGGTGCTCCGCTTGCGGAAGAGGCGTCTGAGCCTGCGCCCAAACCTGAGCCCGCCGACGCCGCGGCGGAACCCGAGGAAACCACGTCATCCGACGAGGAGATTCCTCCGGCATCGGAGACGCCTGTGGCAGCGGTAGAGCCTGAAAATGCTGTTCCCGACGCCAGCGCCGCGGAACCTGAGTCTGTGGAGGAGGCGGCGCCCGACGCGGCTGCCGATGTGCGCGACGCCACCGCGGAGATTTCGGAAGGGGAAATGCCCGAAGAGGGGGCTTTGTGATAATATTAATCGTATGAATGCTTGCGCAGTACATTCTTGGCAGCTCCATTCATAGCGCAAGTGGGGAAGCTACTAGCCCAGCGTCTCATGCAGACAGCGCCGACTCTACTAAATAGCCTAGGCGAGGCCGAAGAGCTGCCCGGGTGCCACCAGCGATCCGCACGAGCTTTGTAGCGATCCGCACGGCTCAGGGCAGCGAAGCTCGTCTCCTCGGGCGGATACAAGCTCGTAGCCCACAGCGTGTTGCCCTGAGCGGCGGGCCCGAGGCCGATCTGCTCGGCGCTGAGCGCGGAGATCGAGAAGCACAATAAAGCCACCCAAGCGGAGAGGGCGCTCAGAGATAGGGAGACCGACGAAAAGAGACCATGCACAAGATCACGAACTCCGAGCGCAACCGCGTCGTGAGCATCCTGGATGATTCGATCGAGCGCATCATGCTCTTGTCGTACGTGCCCGAGCGCGCGCACGAGGCGGTGTTGGCCGAATTGGAGCCGGGGCCCTACGACGTCTTCTCGCGGCACTGGGAGCTCGAGGCGAAGGGCGAGGCGGCAGCACTCCAAGAGTCGGCGCGGGAGGTCTGCCGGTGTTTAAGGGATAGCCCGCGGACGTTCGCGGTCCTGCAGCGGTACGGGGCGCACGACCGGTCCGAGTCCAAGGCCTTCGTGGACGCTTTATTGGATCTGAAGGAGGTCGTGGGGCGACGGCTCGGCGAGACGGTGCAGCACCAGCGGCGGCAGGAGGAGGATTTGAGTAGAGCACGGATGAAGAGCCAGCAGGCCGCGGAGACGAAGGCCGCGGTCGAGGCCGAGCAGAGTAGGGCTCGCCGACGCTTCGAGGAGGACAGCGCCACGGCCGCGACGATCTGCTCGGCGCTGAGCGCCGAGATCGAGAAGCACGAGAAAGCCACGCAAGCGGAGAAGGCGTTGAGGGACCGCGAGGCCGACGAGAAGATCAAGGAATACGAAGAGATTCACGTGGAGACGGTCAAGGAGAACGAGGTCAAGATCGCCGAGGCCGAGGCCAAGCTCGCGGTGCAACTCCAAGAGCAGGCCGACGAGTTGTTGTTGTGGCGGCGGCGGCGGAACAAGGTCGAGGCGGAATTGAGGGCGACGATCGAGAAGTACGACGTGAATATGTTCCAAATCCAGGGCGAGGTCGACGACTTACGGGAAAAGTACGACCGGGAGCTCAAGGAGTATAATGAGCTCGCCGAGTACTACGCCGTCATCGACCAAGATTTAGCAATCGAGGCCGAGGAGGAGCGCCTCATCAAGGAGGCGAACCGCGAGGCGGACGAGAAGCGCGCGCGCATGGAGCGGGGCATCGCGCGGATCCAGGCGCAGTTCCGCGGGCGGCGCGCGCGGTCGGGCAAGAAGAAGAAGGGCAAGAAAGGAAAGAAAGGTAAAAAGGGGAAGGGTAAGAAGAAGAAGTAGTTCAAGTTTCTTACGCGACGGCGATGCTCGTCCCGCCGTACTGGTACCAGGCGCTCGTGCCGTCGCCGACGAGCGCGAGCGAGGACCCGGGCTTGAGCGTGATCGCCGTCAAGCCCGTCGACGCCGTCGCGGCGTTGACGATCGCGATCGTCCCCCCGGGGTTGTCCGTTTGAATCGTGCCGGCGGGCGTCACCGCGGAGATGGTCCCCGTGGGCGTGATCGCGGCGATCGTGCCGGCGGGCGCCGTCTGGGTGCCCGTGAAGGTCGGCTGGCTGATCGTCCCGGCGGGGGTGTAGTCCGTCCCAGTAAATGTCGCAGTAAACGCGTCTCCGGTAAAGGTCGGCTGGCTGACCGTGCCGGCGGGCGCCTTCGCCGTGCCAGTAAATACCGGCGCGGCCACGCTTCCCTCTGGGGTGTCTGCATCACCCGTGAACGTCGGGGTGTGAGCCGTACCAGTAAATGCCGGCGCGTCGTTGGTGCCAGCGGGAGTAATTGCCGAGATGGTTCCGGCGGGCGTGAACTGCGTACCAGTAAATGCCGGCGCATCGTTGGTGCCAGCGGGAGTAATTGCTGAGATGCTTCCGGTGGGCGTGAACTGCGTCCCCGTGAACGCTGGCGCATTGTTGGTGCCAGCGGGAGTAATCGCCGAGATGCTTCCGGTGGGCGTGAACTGCGTCCCCGTGAACGCCGGCGCATCGTTGGTGCCAGCGGGAGTAATTTGCGAGATGGTACCGGCGGGCGTGAACTGCGTCCCCGAGAACGCCGGCGCATCGTTGGTGCCAGCGGGAGTAATTTGCGAGATGGTCCCGCTCGCGGTCCCGCTCGCGACAGTGCTTACCGCGACCCCCGTGACGACGTCGACCGCCGTGTCCGTCGTGGTCGCCGTGCCGTCCGCCCCAGTGTACACGGTGGCCGTGGTAATCGCGCCCTGAGTCACCGTACTTGTGATTGCATCGCCACTGAACGTTGGGGTGTGAGCTGTACCACTAAATACCGGCGCGGCCACGCTTCCCGCTGGGGTTACTGCATCGCCAGTGAACGTTGGGGTGTGAGCTGTACCACTAAATACCGGCGCGGCCACGCTTCCCGCTGGGGTTACTGCATCACCCGTGAACGTTGGGGTGTGAGCTGTACCGCTAAATACCGGCGCGGCCACGTCTCCCGCTGGGGTTACTGCATCACCCGTGAACGTTGGGGTGTGTGCTGTACCACTAAATACCGGCGCGGCCACGCTTCCCGCTGGGGTTACTGCATCACCCGTGAACGTTGGGGTGTGAGCTGTACCACTAAATACCGGCGCGGCCACGGTTCCAGCTGGCGTAATTGCCGATATGGTTCCGGTGGGCGTGTACTGCGTCCCCGTGAACGCTGGCGCATTGTTGGTGCCTTCAGGCGTGTAAGCGTCGCCGGTAAACGTGGGCTGCGAGACTGTGCCGGCTGGTGTAATCGCACCGATTGTGCCCGCCGGGGCCGTCTGCGTTCCCGTGAAGGTCGGTACGGAGACGGTCCCTGCTGGCGTATAATCTGTTCCCGTAAAGACGGGCGTGAACTGGTCGCCGGTGAAGGTAGCCGTAAACTGCGTTCCTGTGAAGGTAGACGTCGTCGCGCCGCCGGTAAAGGTCGCGGTCAGGGTAGAAGTAACGATCGTGTCGGACCCGGCGCGGGCGATCGTGCAGTCGTTGCTGCCCGTGTTGATGAACTTGTAGTGGCGGAGCGAGGCGCCGGACTGCTCGGCCATGTCGCTCGCGGCCGGCAGCGTCACCGTGATGGCCGCGGACGACGTGTCGCAGAGGACCATCGTGCCCATGAACTTCGTGAGCGTCGTGGCGGTCGTCACCGTCTTGAGGCCCCAGAGCGCGCCGCTGAGCCGTCGCCGCTCGTCGACCTCGCCGAGGTCGTGGTCCTCGCGGACCTTGAGCAACGGCGGCTCGATCATCTCCTCGTCGAGCAGCCGCCGCCGGGCGTCGGTCTCGGGGCGCGGCGCGAGCACCGCCGCGATCGTGGCCGTCTGGAGCAGCACGATGGCCCCGATGGCCCCCCAGACGCGCCGGTTGGGCGCCGGCGGCGCCGGGGGCCGCCGGAGGGGCCAGGTCTCCTCGGGCGACGCCGGGGGCCGCCGGAGGGGCCAGGTCTCCACGGGCGAGCAGACCTTTCTCGTCGTCGACGGCGCCGGGGGGCGCCTGGGGGGCCAGGCCTCGGGTGAGCAAGCTACCTTCATCGGTGTCAATGCCTGGCGCTCACTGGCAATGCCTGGCGTCGGTCGCCATGATGGGTGTGTCACGGGTCCATCGCGGCTGCGTGGGGCAGCGTTGCTCGACCGGCAGCCCTCACAAAAGCGCTCCTCCGCCGGACCGCAGGCTTCGTGCTTGGGCGCTGGCTTCGCGCCGTCATTTTGGATGACTACCCGTCGTCGGGAGGCCTGCGAGCGCTCGCCACGAGATAGGTACACCTGATTTTCGTTCGGGTTACGCGGGGTCCTACGCGCAAGGTACTTACCCTATATAAGTATAGTACCTCTTGCTACGCGACGGCGATGCTCGTCCCGCCGTACTGGTACCAGGCGCTCGTGCCGTCGCCCACCAGCGCGAGCGAGGACCCGGGCTTGAGCGTGATCGCCGTCAAGCCCGTCGACGCCGTCGCGGCGTTGACGATCGCGACCGTGCCCCCGGGCGTGTCGGTTTGAATCGTGCCCTGGGGCGTCACCTGAGTCCCCGTGAAGGTCGGTTGCGAGACCGTCCCCCCTGGAGTCACCGCGGTTCCCGTGAACGTCGGGGTGTGCGCTGTACCACTAAATACCGGCGCGGCCACGGTTCCCTGCGGCGTAATTTGCGAGATGGTCCCGCTCGCGGTCCCGCTCGCGACGGTGCTGGCCGCGACCGCAGTGACGACGTCGACCGCCGTGTCCGTCGTGGTCGCCGTGGCGTCCGCCCCAGTGTACACCGTGGCGGTGGTAATCGTGCCCTGAGTCACCGTACTCGTGATGGCACCGCCGGTGAACGTCGGGGTGTGCGCTTGACCAGTAAACGTCGGCGCGTCGTTGGTGCCGGCGGGAGTAATTGCTGAGATGGTTCCGGCGGGCGTGAACTGCGTTCCCGTGAAGGTCGGTTGCGAGACCGTCCCCGCGGGCGTGAAGGCCGTGCCCGTGAAGGTCGACGTCGTCGCGCCGCCGGAAAAGGTCGCGGTCAGCGTCGATGTGACGATCGTGTCGGACCCGGCGCGGGCGACCGTGCAGTCGTTGCTGCCCGTGTTGATGAACTTGTAGTGGCGGAGCGAGGCGCCGGACTGCTCGGACATGTCGCTCGCGGCCGGCAGCGTCACCGTGATGGCCGCGGACGACGTGTCGCAGAGGACCATGGTACCCATGAACTTCGTGAGCGTGGTGGCGGCCGTCGCGGTCTTGAGGCCCCAGAGCGCGCCGCTGAGCCGCCGCCGCTCGTCGGCGCCGAGATCGATATCCTCGCGTATTTTCCGGAACGGCGGCTCGAGCTCGTCGGCCAGCAGCTGCCTCCGGCCGTCAGGAGCCGTTCGCGACGCGAGCACCGCGGCCAGCGTCACGAATTGGAGCAGCGCGACGGCGCCGAACGCGCGCCAGAGGTGCTGATTGGGCGCTGGCGGCGCCCGGCGCTGCGCGAGGAGCGGGCGGACGTCCATCGCGGGTCGTAGCGCTCTCCGCGTGTCGTAGCGCTCTCCGCGTGTCGTAGCGCTCTCCGCCAGTCGGGGCAGCAGTCTGGGTAGTATCGATTTTTCGAGCTGGAGGCAGCCTCCCGCGGCCGCGCCGGAGCTGAGGATGGGACTAGAGGCTACGCTCAGAGGGTGAAAGGTCTCGGCCCCAAAGGACGGACGCTCAAGCTCGCTTCGTCCAGCGTCCGTCTCTTGTTTGTCGAAGGGGCAAACATACTAGAGGCGTGCCCACTTGTTTTTCTTTCGGCATCTATCCCGTTGTAGGCGTCCCGAAGATGATCCGAGGCTCTGTCAAGGGACTTTGACCAATCGACCATCCGCCAGCAAAAGTGCATGCTCTTGAAAAGTGCGCTGCTAAAACGAGCAGCATAAGTGCTATAGCACTGCAAAACGTGCTCTGCACTGTGCATCTAGCTCTCGTTTGCAAGCGCTGGCACCGCTGCACAAGAAACGTCAGCAGTTGTGCACCATGGCTGGTGGCGCACCGACGGCGGCAGCGCTGCGGCGGCGCACGAACGGGTCGCCTGCAAAGCACGGCAACGGCGCGACGAACGGTAGCCACAAAAACGGCAAAACCGGCAAAACCGCGCCGCGCCGCCGCGGCCTCGTGATCGCGGGCGTCGCAATAATCACAGTGCTGCTGCGCGGCCTCAACACGCCCGGCGCGGCGATCTACGGGAAGAACAACAAGGCGACGGCGGCCCTCCTGCGCAGCGCGAAGGCGTTTCGCGGCGCGAAGCGGCGCGGCCCGCTCACCGGCGTCGACGCGGAGCTCCTCCTCCAGGCCTCGCAGGCCCTGATCCCGGCCTTCGACTCCTACGGGCCGCTGCTGTCGCGGGCGGCGCGCGCGGACCTCACGGGCAACGTGCGCAAGCTGCGCAAGGCGGGCATGGGGCCCGGCGTCCGCGACGTCGGGACCGTCGTGCTGGACGACCCGGACTACACGCACGTCCACGGCCCGACGATGGCGCTCTTCTGGCTGAACCGCATCCTCCAGCAGGTCGCCGCGACCTTCGAGGAATTACTAAAAACGGACGCCGCCGACGTCGTCAAGTCCGCCACGAAGGCTTACTTGAGAACGACCGCGCCCTACAACCTCGCGTGGCAGCGCCGCGTCGGCAAGCTGTTGCTCAAGGTGACGCCGAACCGCGAGAATTTGATACGGTGCTACGGCCAGCCGGACTTCGCTCATTTGGCGCCGGTCTTTGAACAGTGGCTGCGCGACAGCAGGGCGACGCGCGAGGCCATCGACGAGTTCTACCGCCAGCGGCCTGCCATCGCGCCGAAGGTGCGGTGGAAGGGGAAGAGCTTGGGTAATTAATCTTAACAAAACTACCTGCCGGGGGGCTCCGCGATTTGTGCAGGCGCCGCGTCGTCGTCCGAGTCCATGTCCCGCTGGAGCTGGGCGAGGGCGGCGACGTCTTCCGCGACGCGCGGGGCCGTTGCTACGGGAACAGGGCGTGCAGGCTCTGAGCCGACGTCCTCGCGTGCAGGCTCTGCGTCGTCGGCCTCGGCGGCCGTTCGTGGCGGCAGCATGAAGGCAGCGGGCGGTGGCGGCGGCGCATCAAGAGCTGTGAGGTCGGCCGGCGAGGCGGTGCGTTCCAACGCGTCCGGATCGAGAGCACAGAGGTCGGCCGGCGTCGCGGTGCGCTCGCCGTCCGTCGCATCCGCTTCGTCCAGCGCGGTGAGCGAGTTGTGCGGCGTCGGCGGAACGGTGGCCGCTATCTCGGCGTTTTCCGCGGCGGCCGCGTCGTCGTCGGCCGCGGCGGCGCGCGCCGCTCTCAGCGCCGCGTCGTCGGCCTCGAGCGCCGCGCTCGCCGCGTCGCGAAGGTCGTCGAGGCACATCGCGGGGGCATCGGCCGCTGCGTCGGCGCGCGCCGCGGCCAGCGCCGCGCGCAGTTCGCGGCTCTCGCGCTCGAGTGCGTCCGCCTCGGCGCCGAGCCGCGCGCCGTCGGCGAGCAGCCCGTCCAACAAACCGCGGTCGCGCGCGAAGGCCGCCGTCGCCGTCGAAGCGTCGAAGGGCGCCGCAGTTGCGGACCGCAGCGCCGGCCAGCTCGCGCCGCAGACGCCGTCGGGGCAGGCCTCGTACTCCCGCCTCGAGTCGTGCGTCAGCGTCCGCACGCGCACGCGGCACGGCCGCACCGCATGGCCGCCGACGAAGCAGCGGTACCGCGCGCTCGCGCCCTCGCACGTCACGACCAGCAAAATCGCGTCCCGCGCCGTCTCTCGTAGCTTCTCGACCGCCGCGACATCTCTTAAAGTGGGCACGGGCGGCGCGGCGGGTCGCGCGACCCACAGCCCGACGACCCTCGCCTCCTCCGGTGCGACTGACGTCGCGAGCGAGGGATCCGTGCCGCGCGCGTGGCTCAGGACGACGGTCGTTTTCGTGGGGCCGTCGTCGTCCTCTCCATTATAACTGCCCATACTATTACGGCTCGCGATCGCCGCCGGGGCGTGTTTCACGACGCCGAAGAGGAGTCCTGAATGGGCTTGCGGCTGGTGTAGGGGCTCGAGAAGCAGCGCGGCGAGGGTCGAACCCCCCACTTCCACGCATTCGTCCTCGGTTTGCGGCGGCAGGCCAGCGTCGTCCATGCTGCTACTTTCGTGCGACGCGTATGTGGAGCTAAGCTCTAGCGGCCGGGCGCCTTGCCAGCGGTGAGGGGCCAGCAAGGGCTGTGTGGCATGGCTCTCCTGGGCGTCTTCGCAAGGCAGCGGCAGTCCTCGAGGAGTGCTCTCCTGTGACACAGTGAGCACGTCTAAGCGTCAGGTCAATGCCTTTATAGGCTCGCCTTGCTTTTCAGCCAAAGAGCCAGCTTGCCCAGGCTGGGCTCTGCAAAGTCTGCAAGCACCAAACGCTGCCGCCGTGCAAAAACGAAGCTCGTTGAACGCTGTGAGAGCCGTCTCGACTGCTCTCGCTATCCGTATTGACTTGCATCGCGCGCCGTCCGCAGCAGCAGCAAAACAAGGGCTGCAAACATGCAGCTTCTGAAGCTCGCCGTCGCCGCGCTGGCATCGCTCGCCGCCGCCACTACGCCAAAAAGCGGCAAGCCTACGATACTCCGCGTCAAGAAGTCCGACGGCGCCGTGAAGCGCGTCGCGTTCGACGGCGCCGCGACGCTCGACGAACTCTGTGAGAGAGCGCACGCCGACGAGCTTTTCAGTGATGACGCCTGCACGCGCGCGTGCACCGCCGACGATTTGGTACATGGCGCTGTGGTGTATGAGCGGCCCATGGAAAAAGAGGAAGAACCCGAGGAGGCCGCGGCCGAGGCCTTCTTCAGCCCCTACCCGGAACTACAGAAGAAGTCTTCTTTGAGAGCGAAACGGCGCCAGAAGAATTTAAGGGCGAACACCTGGAAGGAACTGCTGCGGGAGCGGGAGGGCGTCTTTTACGTCAAGTCCTTTGAAAGAGTCTGCGACATGTGCCGGCTGAGCCAGGACTGCGTCGAGGAGTTGTCGGGGCGGGGCGCCCACGCGGCGTGGCTGATCGGAAGGCGGGGCGTGCGGAAGGAGAACGCGACAACCTTCGCCGAAACTGCCTATCAGTGTGGTGTGAAGGACGACGACGTGTTTGAAATTGCTCAATTGTGCGGGCTGGAGGTCGTGGGCGTGGCGGTCGTGAGGGCGGATGCCGACGGCGACGACAAGTCCATATTACTAACGCCGTACGAGGTCGCTTTAGTATCAGAATTACAAGTGGAGGCGATGCGGCGCTGTGACGATCTGAAGCGGCCCTTCAGCTTTCCCACGCTGATCATCGCGCCGCGGTCGTCGGGCGGGCTCGCCACCGAAGCCTTCGAGGCGTCTGAATTAACGGTCCAGATGGCGGCCGAGCGCGTGCTTGAATTGAGTGGAGACCAGCCGACGGAGGCCGACGCGCGCGTGCGCACGCGCGACGTTCTTTTCCCGCGTCCTCGTGTTTCTTCGCTCTTTTTTACCGTGGTGGTTGACGCGAGTGCCGCCGGTCTCGGTCCCCCGAGAGTGACGGAGTGGTTTTCGCGGCGAGGGCGTGCTGAGGTCTACTACGCCACGACGCGCCGTCGTCGCGGTCGCGTTGACGCCGCTACGCTGCGCAGGTCGTCGTCGTCGACCGCGAGGACGCGAAGGACATCGACGCGCGCTTCCTGTACCGGGCCGTGCCCGTCGGGACCCTCTCGACAAATCCTATCCTGTCGTCGGCCTTCCATTTGACTTCAAAGGCCAAGGCCAAGAAGCGCGAGCAGGCGCTCGCTGCGCATTTGCGAGGCGCGTCCGGCAAGAAGGCCCTGACCAAGAAGCTCCTCGACATCGGTGCATTGGTCGCGGCGCGCGGTATTCTTGCGAAGGGCGACGTTAGTGCTGCATGTGCTGTTGCGAAGCAGCGGCGGACGGACCCGGGCGCGGTGCTGCCTACGAAGGTCCGGGCGGCCGTCGAGGCGTGGCTTGCTACCGTGTCGGGTGGGTAACTGTCCTTTCTTTCGCTCGTGACTAGCTCGACACCGCTTTTCACCCCCATGGCGCTCCGTCGGCGCCGCGTCGCCCCCTCTGAGGCGTCCGGGGGGCTTTGGAGGGGTGTTGTGGGGTGTTGTAGGGTGCTTGGAGGGCTCGGGCGTCCGCGTCGCCTTCTCGATTTTGGTGCACGTGCCGTGCGGGTATTAAGTTTCGATGTGGCTTCAGTTGTTGCTTGCCTGTGAACACAAACGCGCGCCCCCGCGTCTTTTCAGGCGTTCAATCAACCCGTGCCGACCGCCGCCGCCGCCCTAAGCGGAAATCCGCCGAAGACGCGAGCGTGTGAGAGCCCTCAGGCAACAAAGTGTCAATAGAGTTAAATTCACTTTTCTAAACGCGCAGGCTAAAACAACGTCAGCAATCATGGTCTGCGGGTGCGTATGGACGAAAAACATTAAGATTTTGGCCGCACGCACCCGCGTCTGGAGCACAATTGTAACCGCCACCTCGTCGACTGGCCGGGAGACGCAGGATCACCATTTCCACATAGGTCGAGGGCGGCGCGCCGGGCGCCCCCGACACGATGCAGCCCAAGATGTCCAAGGTCCGCTCCGAGGCCGTCCACGGCACCGAGGTCGCCGAGAAGAAGGCCTCGGCGATGAACATGTGCGGCTCGCTCTCGCACGTCATGGCCGACTCGATCCGCTCGCTGACGGCTGTCTGCGTCGGCATCGCCGCGTCGGGCTGGAAGCGAAAGGTCAACGGCGCGCGCGCGGACGCCATCGGCGCGCTCCCGTGTGGAAATCAACCAACACGCTATCGAGCAGGCGTCGCGTCGATGGCGCGGAGGACGACGCGAACGCGCCATAAAATTTTGATTTCCGCACAGGCGCGCTCATCTGCGCCGCGACGATCCTCGTCGTCATGATCGTCATCTGCCGCCAGTGGGTCAAGGCGCTCCAGGTCTACCTCAACTACGACCAGTACGAGGACACCTACCTCGAGCGGCCCTCGACCAAGCCCCAGGGCATCGCGCACGTCATCTCGTCGGCGACGTCGTTCACGAAGAAGGGCGAGACGATCTACTAGGGCCGCTGCTCTGCGGACGTTCCCGTTTCCCCCTGTCGTCTTCAAGTTCCCCCCCCCTCCCCGCGGCTCTGCCCCCCTTGACCGTGTGTCGAAAGAGCCGCATCCCCGCGCTCGAAAGAGTAACATGGGTTGACACACTTCTAGTATTGCTGCCGCCAAGCACAGCAAAAGCTACTAGCCCTTTGCTCTCAGCGCCGCACAAGTTTGCACGCCCAGCCACAGGACCACAGGACTGCCGGGCAGCCTCAGGAGCACGCACACCGTGATAAGCAGAAGCACCATGTCCCTCGACGACCTGCCGAAGAGAAGAGGAACGATGAAGGGCAGCATCCACCGCCACACGAGCGGGAGGGGCTACGGTATATACCGGGAGGGCCCGCCCTCCGAGCGCTTCCCGACGTGGCGCAGCGAGACGGACGACGCCTTCGAGAGGAAGGTCGTGCTAGGTAGGTCCAAGTCGTGGCAGCACGCCCATCCGGAGCGCCGGGCGAAGTGCGCCGAGGCGTTCCTCGTGAGCGGGGAGATCGGCGACTTCACGCGGCCTGGTTTTGACCCTACAAAGCCGCCTAGATACGCCTTCATCGATCCCTCCTACCGCAACCCGATGAAGACGAATCGGCGCGGCGTGCACCCCGACCCGAAGGGGGGCCGAGTGTTGTACCCCAAGGACCCGTCCTACTTTCGTGAGGAACCTACCAGACTGAACTCGCCGGTTTCTGATTTGCCACGGGCGAGAAGTCGCGCTCTCGACTTAAGCGAAGGTCGCCTCGACGCGTCGTTCAACAAGTCGGCCCACAACGACCTGGCCATGACGGCGCAGCCCGAGGCGTTTCAAGCAACCCTACCCTTCGAGCCGCGCGGCGCGGCTTCGATTTATAGGGGCAACAAGATGCGCGCGGGGAACATGCGGCACTGGTCCGGCGGGTTGAGAGGGATGCGGTACTAGGCCGCGTGTAACGTTGCTCTATCGTCGTCCCGGTATTGCGTCGATGGCGTAGGGCGGGGGTACGTCCGCCGGCCGCCACGCGCGTCGGTGTCCCTCCGGCACGCAGAAAACGGCGAGCGGCGCCGCTTAGACGTCGTAGGAACCCTCGCCTCTCACAATTGCGCGGCCGCGCTCGGACGAGGCTGTACGTGCCAAGGGCTCCTGATCTTGGACGACACATGCCTCTGTAAAACCTAAAACATCCTTCCGCGAGCAGCCCGCTGCGTTGCAACTTTATACAGGGGCCCTCCAGCACCCATCGCTCATTGTTGCCCGCCCGCGGGCGCCCCAGGCAGCGTCTTCACATATTAAGCTGCCTGCAATCATGCTCCCCAGCGTCGCTGAGGGTCGTGCGCGCGCGGGCCTCGCTGCCTGACGCATCTTGTGACCGCGGGACTGCCTCGGCAGCCCAACCCCGCGGCTTTATTGAAATGTATTCGCCCGCGCGGTCGGCGGTGAGCGTCGAGTCCGAGGACGGCTGGGTGGTCTGGTTCGCCGCCGAGGCGCCCGACGGCCGGCCGCGGCGCGCGCGGCCGCCGCGCGCGCCGGCACCTCCCCTGAAGGTGCCGAAGCCACCTGCATCTAATGATGGCATGGGCCAGACCCTGGGCGAGCTCGCGGCGGCGCTCGCCGACGCGCTCGGGCGGCGCGACGCCGCGCTGTCTGAAAGAGACGCGGCAGTAGCCGAGCGCGACGCCGCCGTCGCCGCGCTTGCTGCTGCGAAGAAGCCCGCTAATGGCCACGCTCCTACAAAAAGACGGTCCCCGGCCAAGACGCCGCCGCGGTCCCAGAAGTCTTCAAAGCCTTCGCCGGCGGCCGTGTCGCGCAGCCCGGCCTCGTCCAAAGCGCGGTCACCGCCGAAGCGCGCGCCGCCGCCGCGGCCGCCGCCGTCGCCCGTGCCGTCGTCGCGGTCGTCGGCGCGGCCCGCGCGGCTGCGCGACGAGGCGCGCCAGCTCGCCGAACTCGTGCAGGCGACGGCGACGGTCGTCGAAAAGCGCCGGACGCTCGCGACCGCGCGCCTCGAGGCCGCGCGGGCCAAGCGGCCGGCGTCGCCGGCGTGGCGCGGGCCGTCGCCGTCGCCGACGCGGCCGCCTTTGGACCGGACGCGGCTCGCATACGCGCCGTCGCCGCCGACGAAAAACCGACCAAAAACGCGCGGCCGGAGCCGCAAGGACGCCCAGCGCGCGGCGGCCGCGGCGCTCGACCGCGCGCGGTCGGTCTTCAAGCGCGCGGGCTACACCGCTTCTGGTTGCGACTTCTCGCGGCTCTTCCCGCGCGGTATAACCCTAGACGCGGACGAGTTCCGGTCCGCCGTGCGCCGGGTCCTCAAGGTCGCTCCGTCTACGCTGAGCGACGCCGACGTGCGCCGCGTCTTCCGTTCCGTCGAGTCCGAGGACGCCGTCGCGCTCGACGCGCTCCTGGCCTTCGTCGAGGCGTGACCGCCTCCAGCTGATACTCTCGCGATACATAATGACCTTTATTTCTATCTCTATGCTTCTTTGGCCTTGGCGTCGCCGCCGTCGCGGTGCTAGGACGTCGAGGTGGACCAACGCGGACGGCCCAAATCGGAGTCAAGGGCATCTCCCGACAGGATAAATTTGCTAGTGCACGTCACACGCTAGGTTATTAGTGAAAATGCCAGACTAGTCCAGGCCACTTCCTACGCAAACAACTCAAGGTTTCACACGCGAGGCTTTTTGAAGTGGATCACTGTGTAGTAGTGCTTCGCCCGATTCGAAACAGCAAGGTCCGGCGGCGCGGGAGCGCCCCATATCAGCACATTCATTACCACACTGCTTGCTGCTGCACACTGCGCGCTGCTGCGCTTACCACTCACCCAACACCAAAACCATGGCCTGCAACGTCGCCTGCGGAACGGCAGGCAAGACCTGCAACGCCGCCTGCGTCACCCCGCCGACGCGCAGCGACGACGACGTCCGCTGCGCCGCCTACGCTTCGGAGCTCGGCGTCAACGAGCAGAAGCGCCTGCGCGTCCTCTGCCTCCATTCGTTCCGGACGAACGCCAAGATCCTCGAGACGCAGCTCATGTTAAGAGGCTGGCTCAAGCGGCTGCGAGACAGCGTCGAGTTCGTGTATCTCGACGCGCCCTACGCCTGTTCAACAGATGAAGCATTGAGGCAGGACGCGGCCGTTCGCGAGTACTTTCCAACAGAAACGTACGGGCCGTACCGGGAGTGGTGGAACGCGTCGGCGAACGGCGAGTACGCGCGGCTCGAGGCAACTTTGAAACATGTCGACGACTTTATCGTGAACAACGGCCCCTTCGACGGCTTGCTCGGCTTCTCGCAAGGTGCGGCTCTCGCGTGTTCCTTGGCCAACCTCGCGGCGACGGGCGACTTCCCGCACCGCTTCGGGTTTGTCGTCGCGCTGTCGCCGCCGCCGCCGCGCGATCCGAGACTGAAATTGTTAGATGGTGCTTCTGTACCAACAAAGGCCTTGTTCTGTGTGCACGAGCGAGACCTGGTCGTACCCGCGGCCGCCACCGAAAGGCTCTGCCAGAAGTTTACAAATGCTACATTAGTTAGATGCCCGGGCTCCGACCACGCGCCTCCGAAGTTCTCAGGTGATTCTCTCCCACTAGTGGCGGCCTTCTTCGCTGAGGTGTTGCAAGCGCCGCCCCTGCCGCCGCCGCCACCATTGTCGCGGCAATCATCAGGACAATCCCCGAAATCGCCGAAGCGGTCGTTGAACATCGCCGGCGCGTCGCACTACGTCAAGGGCAAGAACGGCGGGTTGGTCAGAGAAGCGGCATCACTAGATTCCGCGGAGGTCGCTTTATTACCAACATTACAACCGGTGCGCGTCGTCGAGCACCGCGCATTGCCGACGCGGCCCGACGGCCGGCCCGGCGTCGAGCGCTGCCGCATCGTCGAGCCCGTCCGCGGCTGGGTGTCGCGGCGCTGCCTGAAGTCCGTGGCGGACCTCACTAGTGAAGAACCGTCCGTCGTCGTGTCGGGCGGGCCCGGGCCGCCGGCGCTGTGAATCGCATCCTTTCCCCCCTGTGTACTAAGTAGTCAAATCATTATTACACATCCTAGTCCCTCTTCAGGCGGAGAAGTCCCTCCTGCGCGACGGTCGCAACGAGCACGTCGTCCTGGTAAACCGACCCAAAAATCAGCCCCCGCGAGTCGACGAGCCTCGGCGAGCGCATGTCGTACAACATCCACTCGTCGGCGCGGAAGGGCGCGTGGAACCACATGGAGTGGTCGAGCGACGCGACGGCGCCGAGCCGCGTCGACGGGAACTGGAGCCCGTGCGGCTGGAGCGCGACCGAGAGGAGCGGCCCGTCGGAGATGTAGGCCGCGAGGCACTGGTGGATGTTGCCCTTGTCTGCCTCGGGGTCGATGGGCCGGCTCACCTTGACCCACATCAATCGCGACGGCGGCCGCGGCGCCGGCGCGGCGTCGAGGGGGTCCGGCGGTGGCTCGCAGTAGCGCACGTCGACGGGGCTCTCGAGCTTCTGGCGAAACCAGCTCTGGAAGGGGCTGTCCGCGGGGAGCCGCTCCAGCGCTTTATGAATGTCGTCGCGGTAGCAGGGCAGGCTCTCCGGCGAAGGTATACCCTCGGGCACGGCGTCCTGGTGTTGTGGAGGAGGCGCGTCGCTCGGCAGGCTGCGGTCCACGTTGAAGCTCGCGATCATCTTGAAAATTACGCTGCCGTTCTGGATCCCGTCGATGGACCGCGTCGCGAAGGAGCGCCGCGTCGACGTCTCGCGGACGCGGTACAGCACGTCGCGCGACGGATCGACGGCGTTGACGAAATAGCTATGATTGCTGTGGCAGCGCCAGGCCTCGTCGCCATCCAACGCGAGCGTCGCGGCCCGCAGCGCCTGGCCCATGACTTGCCCACCAAATACTCCTCGGCCGCCCGGCGGCACCCAGAGCTGCTCGCGCGGCGCGCGGAAGAGGTAGCGGTCGATCTCCACGAGGTCGAGGTGCGACACGCTCGTCGCCCGCACGCGGTGCTCGACGTCCGTCGACGACGCGTAGCAGCGCTGCTGCGCTGGCGCGGCGCGCGACGCGCGCGGCCGTGCTGCATGAGCCGCGCCCGGTCGAGCCGCGCCCGTTCTGCTTGTTGCGCAGCGCAGTAGAGAGAGCATGCTTCTTAAATCACTCTACAGATCGCGCAAGCAGCGTTTCTCGACAGCGATCTATATACTATGTGTTTAGTATCCAGCGCAGTTCTGAGGCTCGACTGCGATGCGTTCGACGAATGCGCCGCCTGTCTGGGGGCCTTGCTGCATTTTGCTGAGTGCTTCGGGTTTTGCCCGACCTCGAGGTATTGATGACAAGAGACGAGTCCTCGCGACGGGTAGGGACAAAATCAGGCGGGGGAAAGCCCCCCCCCCAGATCTTGCAGGGGGCAGCCTTTTTGAGCAGGCCTTGCTCCTTTGGGGAAAGCAGCCCCAGCACGATGCGGCGGGACACATCCGTGGCGACACAGAAGAATGAGCACTCGCGTGCGGATGCGCAAATGATTTCCCCCTCAACGGACAGCAAACCGCCGCCCTCGGCATATTTTTTGCGCAGACGTCGCCGGGCTTATTGGAAGGGAACGCGAGGCAGCCCCCAGTAACCCAAACATGGCGCGCGGTCTCCTCGCCGCAGCCCTCGTGGCCTGCGCCGCTGTCGCACAGGAAGTCCAGATGGAGGCGCGCGCCAGCGTCCGCTGCCAACTTTGTCGATAACGAAACTCGAAATACGAGCGGCGCCCGCGGCCCGGGGGCCCCGGCAGCCCGCTCAGGGCGTTTGCCCGGCCGCCTTGGCGCTGCCCCAAGACGCCCGCCGGTCCGCCGCCACACAACCAAAAATCACTTCCGCCGAAAAAATCTCAAATTGCCCGAGGCCGCTCGGGCAGCCGCCAAGCTACCCCGCGCGGCCACACCGCCACGCCGCCCACACACACACAAATAATTTGCCGCGCCGACATTCCAAAACCCAAATGCCCATCGCAGATCGCCCCCGACGTCGAGGTCGAGCAGCGCCCCCAGTTCCTCTACGCGAACATCTCGCCGAAACTAAGAATTAAGGGCAAGGGCTTCGGCAAGGACGCCTCCGGCGTGCACCCCGTCTTCGTCCCTCCGCTCGAGAAGAATGGCAAGCGCTTCTACAACCTGACCGTCACGGACACGGTCATCTCGATCGGCCTCAAGAAGGGCATGCGCTGGCCCACGTCGACGACCGGTGAGTCGTCGACGCTGTTCCTCCAGTCCCTGGTCGTCGACCAGCACGGCTCGAGCAACCAGCTCAAGAACGCCGTGCCCGTGGCTACGATCATCGAGCCGCCGTCCGTCGTGCGCGGCGAGGACAAGCTCATCTACATGACGGGCACGAACCGCTTCCTCATCAACGGCACTCACTTCCGCGAGGGCAACATGGCTTTGACTTTTGATCCCCCTCTCGTGAGGGATGTCGATTACGCGTTGGCGGTCCGCTCGCCGACGGCCATGCAGCTCGTGCTCAAGACCGATAGAAAGTGGCGCTCCGACGGCGAGCCCGGGCCTCTCAGATTGCGCCGCATCGACTCCGGCGCCGGCGCTCTTAGAATTGACCCCCGCTTCGGCGGCGTGACGGTCGCCGAGGTCCAGGTTGATCTTGGTGGACATGGTGTGACTGCTAGCGCCAATCCGACGAAGCTCATGTACCAGAACGCCCCCAGCTTAGAGATCAAGGGCTCGGGCTTCGCGCACGTCGAGCAGGTCGACAACTTCGGCCCGCCCAGACTCCGCTGGGCCAACGGCTTACTGGGCCGCGGCGTCAACTACACGGTGTCTTCGTATGATGACAACAAGCTCGAGCTCGTGCTCAAGCCCGGTTCGGTGTGGCGCCGCAACGGCGCGAACCTGCCCGCGCCTCTCACGTTGCTGGCGGCGGACGTCGGCTCCGGCCTCGTGGCCATCGGCGCCACGGAAGCGAGAAAGGGCATCCGCGTGGCCACGATCTTCGAGTGCCCCAAGGTGAACCCCCAGCCTCTTACCTCGCTCTTCCGCACGCACAGTGCGCAGCTCTGGATCACGGGCGTCGGCTTCACGCGGTCGGACACGCGCAACGGCGTGGGTGGGGAGGTCAAGATCGACTTCGAGCCCGCTTTGAAGGTCGGCGTCGACTACATGCTCACGGTCTTCAACCGCACGCACATGCTCGTCAGACTGCGCGAGGGCCGCGCCTGGGCGGCGCAGCCCGGCCCGCTCTACGTCGTCGGCATGGACTCGGGCGCGGGCCAGTACGAGGGCTTCAAGCCCGCGGCGGTCGCGCACGTCGTGCCCGACGCCGACTCGCACCCCTCTGGCGTCGAGATCCAGCGCACGAACTCCCAGGTGCTCTACCAGACGCCGGCCATCCGCCACCTCGAGATCCACGGCACGTCTTTGTCTGTGGATGCGCAGCTGACCTTCTCGCCGCCCTTGACCAAGGGCGTCGACTACAAAGTTTTAAGGGCCACGTCGGACGTCATGGTCCTCGGCCTGCTCGCGGGCAAGATGTGGCGCCAGACGGCGGGCCAGCTCATGCTCATGTCCGTGGACACGGGCAGCGGCCCGGTCGAGATGGCCCACGGCACGGGTATTGTGGTTGCGGACGTGTCCGCCAACCCGACCGTCGCGACGTCCACGGCGCGCATCACGACCTCCACCACTCGCCGATTGTCGATCTACGGCACGGGCTTTGCGATTGACGGCACGGAGCTCACCCTGGAACCCACCAGCAGAGCAGCCTACGACGTCGAGGCGGTGTACGAGAACGAAGTTGTCTTACGGTTACGGGAAGGCAAGTCCTGGGCCGCGCTCGGTTCCGCCGAGTCCATGCCCCTGGTCGTCACGAAGATCGACACGGCCGCCGGCGAGTACATCTTCCAGGACTCGAACGGCAAGCCCGCGCCCGTCACGGTCGCGCTCGTCGTCCCCGACAGCGCGGCCACGACCGCGAGCGGCGACGTCATGCGCTGCGACGACACGTGCATGTGGGCCAATGACGGCGTCTGCGACGACGGCTCGCAGGGCGCGCGGACCAAGAAGGACCAGGACAAGGGCGGCGCCTGGTGGGAGGACGACGACCTCGGGGGCTGGTACTCGGACGAGCTCGCCGAGGATCTCGGAGATGAGTACGACTACGGGTACGACTACGACGACGCCTACGGCTACTATGGCGACGACGCGGCCATGCCGGCGTGCGTGCGGGGCACGGACTGCACGGACTGCGGCGGTCCCTTGGAATTGATGGGCGGCGACGACGACGCCGCCGGTTCCACCGAACCCTTGGGCGACTGGGACGACGACGAGTGGTTCGACGATGATAGCGAGGAGTGGTGGGACGACGACTACGACTTCGGCAAGGACTGGGACGGGTTTGAAGATGATGAGTCCGGCGCCTTGGGCATTATCTCGTCGACGCAGCCCACGACAAACGTGAACAAGCGCCACATGACGCCGGAGCAGCGCGCCGCGGCGCGGCGGGGCGCGGGCTTCAGTTTCGCGGACCACCCCGCGCTCTCGGCGGTCGCCGCTTTGGTGGGCGCGCTCGCGGCGGCCTACGGCTGCGCGACGATGCGGCGGTCCGACGAGGCGCCCAAGGAGAACCCGTGCTGCGGCGGCAAGTACAAGGAGGCCCAGGCATAAGCATTCGACGCCCCCCGATCCCTCCTCCCCCTCGTCGATGTGTAAATCCTACGGTCTTTTTAGCGCTTCTATCTTCACGCCTGAAATTCGGTCCCCATTCTTCTGCAGCACGCCCGACGCGATCAGCTTCTCGATTTTGCCGCGCATGACCGGGTCGGACATGGCCCTCTGGCCCGCCGCCACGTCGCCGCCCGACAGGTCCTGGATCACCTGCCGCACCTTGGGGTCCTGGAGGATGACCTGGATCTCCGGGTCCGTCAATTCCCTTACTAGCTTCCGCAGCAGGGTGAGGTCCCTGAGCATGTGGGCGACGACCGGGTGCTTCGGGCCCAGGACCCGGCGCGCTCTCTCAGCATTCTCCTCCAGAGTTTTCTCAGCATCTAGAACGCCGCGGGCGTCGGCACACCGGTTAGCGTAGAGGCTTTTAACGATGGCTTGACTATACATCGCGTAAAGCATGAACGTGAGATTATCGTCGAAAACCCGTGCTGTTTTGCCGAGATGGCGCAGAATGCACACGTCCAATAGAAGGGTCCAATAGAATGTTCCGGCGAGACGTGGCGGCAGATTGATTCCACCGCCGGAGGCTGAGGCTGGTGGCATTTGGGAGTGCAGCTCGAGTTTGCAGGACCACAGACCATAATCTCTTGTCCCCGGGTCGCGGTCAAATACAGTAGTCTCATCACAAATACGGCGTCGCGATCGATAAGTCACATGGCGGGCGTGGTCACGACGCGCGAGCCAGGAGAGCCCAAAAAGGCAAAGGAGCTTCTCGCCAGTAGCCGCGTCGACGAATCAACGGTGCCTACTGGCGTGCGAGAGCTCGCACGACAACTGACTCGAAATTCCTGCAACGTTTCGCCGTCGCTCCACGAAAACTCAAAACGAACGCCGGGACGCCGTCGCCGAAACACGATTTGTTACACGAATGGTGGCTTAACTACTCTCTCCTGAATGGTGGCGCACACAGGCTCAAGCGCATGTTCTCGTCGAGCAAGAAGCTCTCGGCGAGCTCGCTACCGTCGCTCCGAGACGAGACTTCTCGCGTACACGCGCACGCTCAGTCGCCGGGCCGCGGCGCCGCGATCGCGCTGCAATTCGGCGCCACGCACGAGCCCCGCGTCGCCGCCACCGCGGCCCTGAGCGTCGCGCGCGACGGCGGCTTCGCCAAAGAGAAATTACTATTTTCGTCCTCCACCTGCCCCGACGAGATCTGCTGCGCCAAGGCCTGGGAGCCGCTGTTTGATAATGGGGTGTTGCCGGCGTTCCGCCTGGGCGGCTTGGCCGGGCTTCCGTTCGCGGGCGCGACGGGTTTCAGAGCCTATGCGTCGCACGCGCCCGACGGCGGCGGTCTATTCGTCTTCTACGGCCCGCACGTCGGCGTGAGCTCGGACGGCGCGCGCATCGGCGCCGTGGCGAGAGAGGGCCAGGCCAAGGAGAGCGGAGCGTGCGGGGCCTGCGTCGGCGCCTTGGCCTGGGCGCGGCAGCAGACGTGCCAGCCGTGTGTCCAACCGGCGGACGCGCCGGGCGACTACCAGATGGCGTGCGTGAAGCAGGCCGTCGTAAGACACCTCCCGGCGATCGACGCGACCGAGGGGAAAGACGAGGTCGCCGTGCTGTGTGACAAGCTCTGCGACGACATCCGCGCCGGTTTACTGGAAGCAATAGACAAGGCGTGCCCCGGGCAACCCGCCTATCTATTGGGAGGCATCCAAATCAACGGCCCCACGGAAGGGCCGGAGCTGCTCGCGATCCGCCACTTCGAGCTCCGCGCGCCGGACGGCACGCTGACGGATAAGATGGCCGCGCTCGAGCGGGCGCTCGACCTGCAGGTGAATGGGTTCAACTGAAGGCGTCGGCCTCCCACCGTCCCGACTAATCATCCAGTTTACAAAAGTTCTTGGGCATTCAATACTTCGCACAATCCAGGAAATAACACAAACAACGCACCTTAACTACAACTCCTCACGCTGCCGCCGCCGCCGCCGCGCCGGCCGCGTCGGCTCGGGCGGCCGCGCCGGCGGCCGCGCCCCGCGCCGCCGCTTGTGGGATGCGGCCGAGCGCGGCGAGACCCACTGCGTCCCGAGCTTGGGCACCTCGAAGTGCTCCAAAGGCATCAGCCGGCGGATGCGCTTGCCCGTCTCCTGCGACACGAGCACGGACGGGATCTTCACGAGGCGCCACGACGAGGGGTCGTCGCGCGGCGCGAAGCCGCCCAACCGCGCCGAGCCGATGCGGCCGCAGTTTAGATCGGACTCGCAGCGCCCGTCGTCGACGAGGACGACGCCGACGGCGCCGGCTTCTTGCGCGTGCAGGATCTTCTGGACGAGCGGCGTCGCGCTCCGGTGCACCAAGGCCACGTTCCCCGTCAATTCGTCGGCGTTCATCGGTTTTGTAGAGGCGTCGTTCGGTAACGCATAAACTAATTTCGACGTGATCTTGTAGTCGCGCGCGCCCTGCAGAGCAGTAAGCCCGCGCGCGAGGCTGCCCTCGGTGTGCGGGTCCTCGCAGTAGGCACAGAACTCGATGCGCGCCAGCGATTCATGAGCGTCGGGCGGCGCGTAGCGTTTATCGGCCGCGCCGTGGTGCAGCGTGACTTTGAGCATGGGCATAGGCGCGTCGAGGTCCGCGCCGCCGCCGCAGAGCGCGGCGACCAGCAGCGCGAGGCGTCTCATGGCTGCCCCATCGCTCTGTACGCGCACAGGTATGATTTTGTCCGCTGGAGGCGCTCCAATCCCGTACCTTTGGACCGGCGGGATCGGTCCGCGCGGCGCACGGCCTCGCGCGGACCCGTCGGGGCAGCTACCCTTGCGCTCGATGGCGCATCTCGCGCAGACAACACGCGGCGACGACGCCGTGCAGATACCAACTACTCAACCAGTTTTACATCCTAGTAGAAGAAGCCCAGGATCTTGCCGCCCGTCCGCTTGCGGCGCGCCTCCTCGTGGTCCATGATGCCGAACGTCGTCGAGAGGACGAGGTGGCCGAACTGGCGCGACGGCAATAAGTTGTTCACCCACGCTTCAATATCCTTGAGCGGCACGTCGAAGCGCGGCGAGATGACGCCGCACTTGTTGATGCGGCCCGTCAGCTCGACCACAATTTTCCCGGACCGGTGGTCGTCGACGATCTCGAATTCCCCAACGTAGCCGTGCTTCTGCATCGTCTGCAGGAATTTGACGATGACCTTCGAGCACGGTCGGATCAGCACCTGGCGCTTGCCGCGCTTCTCGGCGTTCGAGATGGACTTGAGGCAGTCCGCGAGGACCTGCGTTCGGGGGGCGTGAGTGATGGGTGCTCGCGACGGCTCTGCTGATGTGTGTGTTGCACCGCGAGTTCTGCGGCGGCGGCCGGGCGCCAGATCTGCCGGGCCGCGGCCACGCGCGCAGCGGCGGCCGGCCTCCAGCCTCTGACCGGGCCTCGAGGTCCCGCCGGCGAGCGGTGAAACTCTAGGGAGCTCCCGCCCGCGAGCCGCGATCGCTTCTGCAGTCAGCCGTGCACGAGTGGTGCGGCGACGGCGAGATTTGGCCGGCTGGGTCCCCGCCGCGGCCCGCGTTTTTGCCGCATTTGAGCTGCAGCGAGCACTTGCTAATACGGCCGTACGCCATCGCCGCGGCTGAAAATTTCGACGCAGTGGCGAACGCTCATTCGAACCATGATTGCTGGAGAGCCGTGTGTCGGCTCCGGTGCTCCGTAGGTAGCGTTTTTAGCTCGCTTTGGGACGCTCGCCTAAGGCTGGGCCTGGGCTCTAGCCTAAAAGTGCCACGCACGCGTACAAGCATCCACACGGAGCCCAAGACTCCGTCGGCAGCAATACCCCGCCAGAACGCGACGCCGACACAACCAGCGGCAGCAGACGCCCCGCGCACGGTCGCAGACACTCGAGCAAAGCTAACATCATAATTACAGCGGTGCCAAGACCACACAGGAAGGGAGGGAGAGGAAATCACCGCGCCGGTGGTGGTTTCTTCAAGCCGGGGTAGATCGCCGTCCGCGGCGGCGCCTTGCGTCCGATCAACGCTTCCTCGAGCGTCTCCGCGACGCGCAACCCCAGCGCCCGGTAGCCCGCGCGCGTGAAGTGGATGCCGTCGGGCTGGACGTACGTCGCCGCGTCGGCCTCCGCGTCCGCAGCCAGGTCCAGCAGCACGGGCGCCGCGTCTCGTATGTTGTCGTTCACGGCTGATCGCGTCGCCTCGATGCGCTGCGGCAGGTCCACGATCGAGAACCACTGCGTCGCGTCGGCCGTGAAGGGTGGGAGCGTGATGCCGACGACGTGACGCACGCCCGCCTTGGCACAATTTTCGTACATGCGCTTCAGCGACTTGAAGGTCGCGTCAGCATCGCATCTCCACAAATCGTTCGTGCCCGCCAGGATCACGACGGCTCCGGGAGTCCTTGATTTTAACTCCTCGCTTAGCGCGACCTCGACCTGTCCCGCGGTCCGGAGCGGCTCGGCCGAGACCCGAATATCCACAGGCGTCAGGATGAGCTTCTTCAGCTCATTCACCACCACTTTAGCCACGGGCTCGAAGCCGCCCTCGCCGCCCGCGACGAGCCCGGCGAGGAGCGAGTCGCCGACGATGCTGCAGCTGAACCGCGCGTCCCGCAGGTTGTTCGTGCTCAGGGCTCCGGCCGTGGCAAGCGCACAGAAGAGGTGTGCCCGCATCGTGTTTGGCACGGATTCACCTCGTTCTCCCGCGGAAGCTCTGAGAGCTATTTGCCTCTCAGGGCCCTAGCTCTTGTGCGGCGCAGCGTCTCGCGGCGCGGCGCGTTCTAGGGATTAAGCAGCGTTGTTGGTCGCTCGTTGTGCCAACTCCTGCGCCCTCACGGCACGATAAAGCGCGATTTTGTGTTCGAGCCTAGTGTGTCAATGATTCTAGCTAGCAGTGCGGCGCTTTTGTACGCGACGAGCGCTACGCTCGACGTAGACAAGCGATTCGCAACCCCTCCGTCGTTCCACTGGTCGATACGCTCGAATCGCCCATCGCTGCGGACTCTAGGAGCAAAGCCAAGGACCGGCCCCTCGCCGCCGTCGAGGCATAACGACGCGCGCGGGGATCAACAGCTAGCAAGAACCGCTCAAAGATGGACAACACAGCCGAGGAGGAGCAGCCGCCCACAAAGCGGGCGCGCACCGATGCACCGCAGCCGCAAAAGAAGAAGAAAAAACGCCGCGGCGCACGATTATCGAAAGCCGAGCGCCTCGCGAAACGCGAGGCGCAAGCAACGTCCACGGACGAGCCGCCCCTCGCGGCCATATCGCGCCTGTGCGCGACGCCGGCTACCTATGACGCGGCCGAGCGCGTCGCTTCACAAGCGGACGGCGACGACGCGACGCATCTCGTGGCATTTCTGGGATGTCTAGCGAGGCAGGCCGAGCCGCGGTTCCGGACGATCGCGCACTACGGCCGCCGCGCGCGCAGCGACCGCGCGGCGAAGGCCGCAGCCATTCTACCGAAGGCGCTCGCCGCCGAAGGTAAACTAGAGGCCGCGTGCTGTGTTGCTACATCATTAGGGTCAATACAAGAGGCCGCCGCCGCCTGCGCCCTAGCCGTCGACGCCGTCGCCGCAGCCGGCGCGGCGCGCGCGCGGACTAAATCAGGCGCCCCGCCGGCCGAGGACGACGACGGCGATTCCGAGGAGGAGCACGAGGTCACGGTGGACGGCGCGCCCGAGCACGCGCCGCTCGCGCAGCTATCGCGCGCGCTGTCCAGGGACGCGGCCCTCGCCGCGCGGTTAATAGTGGGGCCCTGCCTCCGGGCGAACTGGAGCTCGCCCGAGCGGCGGCGCGCTTTGAAAGCTGCCGCGACGTCACTCAAGGTGCTCCGGGCGGGCGCGGCGCCCGGCGATAGTGCAGCTTTAACTGCGAAGCTCTTAGCGCGTGCGGCGCCGGCTTCAACTACCAGAGACGACGCTCAGATAGCCGCCCAGCTGGCGACGGCCGCGAAGACCTTAGATGCTCGCGCACAATGCGTGCCCTTCGGGTCGGCCGCGACCGGTCTGGGCGACGGCCGCGGCGACGTCGATTTATGTTTGCTCCTGCCGGAGCCCTGCATTTTTGACGTTAACAAAGTCGCGGAGCTGCTCAAGGGACCGCCCCTGAACGCGAAGAAGGCGACGGCGATCGCGACGGCGCGCGTGCCCGTGGCTCGCGCGACGTTACCTGGAGGCTCGCGCATCGACGTCGTCGTCAACGCGCGGCGCGAGCTCTGCAACACGGCGCTGCTCAAGGAACTGGGCGCGCGGCGGCCGCAGCTCGCGCCGCTCTGCCGGGCCGCGCGCGCCTTCTCGCGCGCGAAAAAGTTCGGCGGCAACCACCGCCGCCACCTGAGCCACTACGCCTGGACCGTGCTGTGCGTGCGCGTGCTCCAGTTGAGGGGGGAGCTCCCGGCGCTGCCCTGCCCAGCCCTCACAGCGCTCGCGGCTTCCAGTGAAATGGACGCGGCCGCCGCCGCCGCCGCCGCCGCCACGGATCTCGATGAAGCTGGCGTGGTGGCCGCTGCGGACGACGGCGCGCTCGCGGGCCGCTTCGTCGACCTGCTGCGGCTCGTCGCCTTCGCGCGCACGGATATTATAACGACGCGCGGCGCCGCCGCGGCGCTCCCCGCCGACGCGAAAAAGCACCGCGACCGGCTCCGCCTCCAGGACCCGCTCGAAGTGGGGCGAGATCTGGGGGCTGTCCTCACGCGGCGGACGTCGGCGCAGCTCCGGTACGCGTGCCTCGAGACGTACGTGCACCTCGTCGCTCCTGCGGACGCTGTCGACGACGCGCCGCGGCCGGAGCGGGCGTTTCCGTTCTTGTCGTCTGCGGAGGAGTAATCTTTGAGAGTCTGTTGCATCACGGGTTTTTTTGTCGGATTTTTGTGGGTCTGTCTCATACAGGTAGGCGCATGAAAAAGCTCAGCTCCGGGAGTTCCGCGCAGAGCGGGAATTTAAGCTCTGAATTTCACTATTCGGGGGTCAGTCGGAGAGGTCTGTTTTCAAAAGCCATCCGCCTAGGCCTGTATACATGTATACTAGGTGTATGTATATACATACATATATATATATATACGGATTCCTAGTGTGTCGATACGCTAGATCACTAGGTCTTGCGGCTCGCCAAAATACACCAGCGATTGACGGTGCCTTCTACCGTCCAAATGGTACATCATATCAACTCCAGCCCAGTTTTCATACACACTCGACGGAACCGGAGCCGACGGCCCGCGCTCGGAGGGCGGGAAAAGAATTCTACTAGACAACTCTCGCGTTTATGTTCGTTTCCTTCCGTTTGTTAGTGGTAGAGTCCATTTAGGCCGCCTCAACATTTACTGAGCCCAGTCTCCTGATCCGTACAAGCCGCGGGATTCGGCGACTTCGGTACCGCGGGTTTATGTGAAGACGGATAAATAAGTAAAACCTGAGAATATCAGCGACGCCACCATCCGGATGGACCATAACGCCGTTGTTCTATTCACAATCGACCGACTTGCCCGTTCTCCGCGGACGACGGTGCGTACGCGGGGCACTGAATTGGCCCCAGAGCGGTGGTTTATAAAATAAATTTGCGTTTCAGGCGATTTAGTTCTAGGACGGGCCAGATAACCGGCCTGGTTGCGTACTACATTGCTCCGAGACCCCAAGATGCTCGGCGCGACTCGTCGGTCTCGAGACCGCATCATCTCGTCAATTCGAGCGAATTAGGTAGACCTGCGACCATCAGCCCGTGTACCAACACCATGGACCATAATGAGATCATTTGTTCCGTGACCGACCGACTTGCGCGAGGTCCAGATCAAGATGTTCACGTCCCGAGCGTGGTCGGCCCAAAGTACCCTTCTCGTGGTGTAGATGTCATATATTTGTAATTGACTATCGGTGGGGTAGTATGGGGTCCGACGGGACCGCTACGGCGACTACTGGGGGCCCTCGAGTAATTGCCTTTTTTGACGGGAACGGGGCGCCATCGGGCCCAAATTGCACACTTTTTTCGGATGCAGATCGGCTCGCGGACTCCCTCCGGGATAGGTCTGGGGTCGGGTAGTCGCCGACACCGCATGCGGCAGCGCTTGGGGCTCTCCTGAGAGCTCTGGATCGAAAACTTTGGCAAATCATGGTCCAAGTCTTTTTCCCTCCCGGGGCGTGGGGGGTTGTTTTCGGCGGTAAGGTCTAAAACATTAAAAAAAAAAAAAAAAATGGTCCAGAGCCATAGAGCGCAAAGGACCTTGCTTATATGTATGCACCGATGGAAGCCGCCGCGCATGCGGCGTAGGCGATTGCGCATGTCTACCACCGACCAAAAGCGACCTCGGGGAGACCTCAGGACCACGAATCGACAGGATTCCACCGGCGCGGCCGTCATGGTGGCGTCGTCAATATCGCGAATTAAAAAAATTAATTTTTTCGGCCCCCAAGAAGTGTCCCATTGCTCTCTTTGGACCATAAACGAACGGAAGCATACTCGAACGGCTGCATGTCGCGCATCTAAAAAACCTAGTGTGTCTTCTCGCGCGCGCGTCGCGCCACAGGCTGCCCAAGCTTATTTTATATATTGTGCGGTCAGACCGCTGCCTCTGCACAATAGGACACGTTTTTTGAAGTCCTCGTCCACGCCTGCGCCGCCCGCGGCAGCACAATTGCAGCCAGCATGGCATCCCTAGCCGCCTCGTACAGCAAGTGGGACCGCTGGAATGATGAAAGCGACGACGACACGGTCGAGGTCCGGGACGGCGCCGCCCGGGCGCAGGCCCGGCTCGCCCGGGCGCGCGGCCTCGTCGCCGGGACCACGGAGCCGGAGGCGCGCCCGGCCCCCGCGAAGGACCCGGCGCCCCCGGCGCCGGCGCCCCGCCCGGCACATCGAGCCGAACGCTGGGCCGAGGCCGCGCGGCTCAAGACGCGCGGCGCGGCAGCATTAACTCCCTTCGTCATTGATAATGTACAGTACCTGTGCGTGGCGAACTTCTTCGAAACGTTAAAAACGGCGGCGGGCCCGACGAAGGGCGAGGCCGCGCCGTCGACGGAGACGACGTCGAGCATCTGGCGAATTGAGGACGATGACGGATTACTTGTGGAGGAGGTGCAGACCTTCCGGTCGTTCGGCGCGCACGGCGTCGCCCACATCACCTCAGAAGGAAGCCACTACCTCGCGGTGTCCATGTACTACGCGGATTTTGTCGCGATCCTCAAGTGGGACGGCAGCCGCTTCGAGGAGCACCAGCGGCTGCCTTGTGAAGGTGGTGGTGGGATTTGTGCGTTCGTAGTAGATGGTCAGCAAAGGCTAGCCGTGGCGGAGTTCGGCAAGAAGGGCGTGAGTTTGTTTGGACTTGAACAGGATAAGTTCCACCACTTACAGTACTTACAAGCGGATGGCTGCTGCCACGTTTCTACAACTTGCCTCAACAAGCGCACTTATTTAATAGCGGCAGCCAATTGGTCCTCGACCACGAAGTGGCGCACGGCGTCGACGGTCTTCTCGCTGACGCGCGACGTCTTCGCGCCCTCCTTTGATCTGTCCAGTGGTGAGGGCTCGTCTACGCTTACGTATCAGGGCCGCCACTTCTGCTTCGTCGCCAAACATAAAAATCCCGACGGCTCGTGTTGCCGGAGGTCGCCCCTGTATGAATGGAGACGGGGCAAGTACCAGTTGGTACAGGAACTGGACCACGACGACGGCGCCCACGGCGCGTGTTTGTTCGAAGCGACCAACAGTAAGCTATACTTGGCGATCGCGTGCTGCGGCGACCGCGAGAAGAAGTCCTACTCTCGTAATTCGCCCGTCTACGAGATTTCACTTGATCCAGAGATCGTGGTGCGCCGGAAGAAGTCCCTGCCGACGACGGGCGCCGTCGCTTTTGTAGCTTTTGATCTGGGGGGGCGGACCTACCTCGCGGTCGCGAACGAGCAGGACGAGCAACGGGGGGGCAACGTCGAGTCGGTCGTCTGGGCGGTGACGTGACGATGCCGCCGCGGCGACGCCGCCGACGCGATACCTAACTAGTAGTCACTGTGCTTACATACAATTTACACGAAGTGCTGGGGCGCGTGGCCGTGCTCGGCCATGAAGGACAGCGCCGCCATGGGGCTGTTCGACGCCTCGATGGCCGCCGCCGCCACAGCCGCCGCGGCGACCTTCGAGAGCGACTCCCACGACGCCATGACCTCTTCTCTATGATCGACGGCAACCACAAAAATCGCCGGCAGCATGAGGAACAGCGCCGTCGAGAGCTGCTGCATCGACGAGGGCGGCTCCTTCTCGACCACTTCGTCCCTGCCGAGCATCCAGTCCCGCGCGCGCGTGGCGGCCGATCCCACTCGCCGGCGCACTCGTTTGAGCCCTTCGCCCGCACTTACAGCCGGTCTTACTGGAGTGCCGTCGTCGCGCCACTCGTCGTCGTGACCGGGAGTGATCACGTCCAGCGTCGTTTTCGCGGCCCCCTTGAGTTTGCCTCCGAGGTTGAACTTGCGGTCGACGTCCGCCCCCAACTCAATAATGTTTTTGGCCGTGTCTCTAGTGACCTGGGCCGTCTGCTTCTGGAGGCTCTCGAAGTCAAAGGTCACTATTTGGTTCGACACGCCTTCCAGGGCCGGGCCGTACCTTCGCCATAGCGACTGCCACAGTCGTTTCAATGAGTCTCGAGCTACTAGCACGAAAGCCGCACACGCCCGCGCCCAGAGGTAAGCTGTGCGTCGCGCCGTGCCTCGCGGGTCGCCGTCAACATCAAACCAGAGCGTGTTCGCCGCTAACGGCGGTGGGGGGAGAACTACCAGCAAACCAGCTGTTGTGGCTCCTGCCACCGTGCCCAGTCGCACTAACGACGACAGGAGACACCAGCCGGCGACATAACCGCAGCAGCCGCCGCCAATTATTGCGCTTATGGTTGTTTGTTTCACCGTGGCGTTGGCGAGTGTTGCTTCTATTCTAAGATCCACCGGCGGCTGCTTCGGGATTGCTGGAGAGAGTGGCGGCGCCTCGAGGGCCTGCGCCGGCTCCCAGGGCGCGTCCGCGAGGGCGTCGTCGGCCCAGTTTATGGGCGGGGGCGGCATCTCGACCACAGCTACGCTGCGTCTTGTGCGTAGGGCTCTGGTGCTGCTGCTCCTTGTCGGCAGGGCTCTCGTCGTGAGGCGAGGTGCGTACGCTTGGGCTGTCGAGAGGGCTGCGGCTAAGGCCCAGCGTCGTCTCCGTCGTCTGTGTCCGTTAGTGAGAGGCATGGTGGACGTTCAGGGAGTCAGTGCCATCGTCTTTTTGTCAGCTAACTGGATTCTAGAGTCCTTACGCCGCTAGCTTCAGCCCGAGTCGAGGCGCGCAAATGACTGACTGACGGACACACGTCGCTAGCGTGAATTTTACGCGGCCTCACGACGACTCTCTACATGATGACCAGCTAGGATTTTACGCGGCCTCACAACGGCTCTCTACCTGATCCAATTCGAGGACGACCGACGGCGTCGCGCGAAAGCAGAAGTCGAGCCAGTTCCGGAAGGCTCCGCGGTCGTACGGATTCGCGCGGCCGCGCCACGTCTTCTTCACCCGCTCGATCGACGTCTCGTTTCGCGTGACCTGTGCGGACGTCGACCGGTGGCCGCGCACGTGGCGAGCGTCGCCCTCCACGCCATCGAGCAGAGGCACCGAGCCGCACGAGACCGGCCTGGTCGACGAGGAGGCTGCCGGTCCAGACCAGGACCCCGAAGCAGTAGCACCCCAGGAGCGCGAGGCCGACCACGAAGGGCGGCGAGACCCGCTCGATACTATGTTTCGACCGCGCGAGGCGCCCGAAGCGCAGCGCGCTCGCCGGCCCCATGATCGCGACGTCTAGCGAAGACCAGAAGAGGAACGCGACCTGTGTGGAAATCAACCAGTGTGCCGGCTGCACGCGATAATTCTTCACTAAGTCATTTCTCGGCGATGACGCGGCCGTCCTGGCTCGGTCGAGCGGTGAGGAACCGGCATCGCCACGCCATCGAGCAGGCGTCGCGTCGATGGCGTGGAGGAGGACGCGATGATTCAACACGAACGCGCCGTAAAATTCTGATTTCCACACAGAACGCGACGTAGTAGAAATGGTTCCGCGCGCCGACGGGGCTCCCGATCCAGGAGCAGTAGTGGTCGAGCCGCGCGACGATGACGTCCGTATACCTCGAATATCTCGCGCGGCGGTCGGCGAGCGGCACCCGTTTCCCGCCAATGAGGACGTGCGTGACCGGAGCATCGGGCGCGTCGTGGTCGATGTCCACGGCCGCGGGCAGGATCCCGGGCTCCGTGAACCGCGCGGCCACCAGACACGCGAGACTCCCCGCCATGCAGGCGAGCGCAGCGTGTTTCTCGGTCGCGAGCTTGGTCGGCAGCAGGAGGCAGAAGAGCGCGTTGGGGACCACGATCATCCAGGGCACGCAGGGGAACTGGTTGTTTTTGATGTTCGCGACGAGGCAGAGACCGCCGCAGACCTGGGCGCAAATCAACCAGTGATCTGGTGCACTTTCTCGAGTCTCGGCGGCGACGCGACCGTGTTCACTGAATCGAGTGTAGAGAGACCCACACCGCCACGCCGTCGAGCAAGGTCGATGGCGTGCAGGTCATGATTCAGCCGCGGAGAAGCCTACTAACTTTGATTTCCACACAGCAGCAGACGGGCCGGTGCTTGCCGCGCGGCCGGCGAAACCGGTCGCGGTACGGGGCAACCGAACTCGCCACCTTTTTCAGAATGCAGAAGCCCCAGTAGTACTGTAGGCAGAGCAGCGCGTAGAGCCCGAGGCGCACGGGCAGTGGTCCGGTCCAGGGAATAATCCAAGCCGACCTGTGTGGAAATCAAATTTCGGGCGCCCCACGCCATCGGCGCGATGTTGTCTCCGTAGCTGCGTCTGCTCGATGGCGTGGAGTTTTCAGGCCATCGACGCGACGTTGTCAACCTAACTCACTGGTTGATTTCCACACAGACGCCGACCAGTACCCCACGCGCAACCCAAAAAACGCAAAAGCGAACGCGTAGCGCACAAATTGGTTCAATTGCGGGTACGCCTTTTGGAGGCGCGGTCGCTGCTTGAAGGTGTCCGCGACGCAAAGCAGGATAGTCGAGGCCTCGCCGTAGCCTCCAAGTACCACAGTCAGGTCGTCGTAGGCTCCCTCTGCGTGAAGGCTCACGAGCAGGAGCATCGCGGTGACGGCGTGATGGATTGCATACCCAGCGGTGGTCACAGACGCGGAGTCGCTGACGAGGTAGCCGAGCATGCTTGTGGCGAGCAGCGTTGGCCGATTGACGACGCCGAGGGCCACAAACAGGGCGCAGAAAAGGCCGGAGGCCACGTTTTGCGCGACGACGTTGTCGTCGAGGGCCTTCGTGATGGTACGAAGGAGCAACTGGTGGAGGGCCGCGGCGGCGACGGTAGCGTAGTACATGGCCTCTCGTTTGGGCGCGCGGCGCCCGGTACACGGCAGATAAAGTCCTTGGAAGGAGGTTTCAGGCAATAGAGTTTACGAGGAGCGCCGCGGCTTTAATGGCGCAAACTATACGACATTTGCGAGACTTGAGGCCACACAAACGGCCCACTATGCCAACCCTTGACGAGTATGCGGTCAAAATTGATTGAAAAACCCGTGATTCGACGAATTAAAAAATGCCGGCCCGGGGCTTTTGCCAAAAAAAGGCGCAGACGCGTCGATATTGGCCCGGGACGGCGTACCGCAGTGCTCACAGCACCGCCGCAGCCAGCCAGCAGCAGCCATGGCCCGCGCCCACCTCCCCGTCGACGTCGAGCTAGCTAGCGCCTTCCTCCAGGCCCAATCACAAGACTCAAAGGTGGCCTGGATCGCCTGCACCATCAAGGGCGAAGCTATCTCATTAATAAAGGCCCACGAAGACGCTACCAGTGAACTATCAAGCACGGTCGACAGCTTGAGAGCCGCCGTACCGTTGAATGACGAGCAGCCATGTTTTGTACTCATAGCAAGAGAAAGAACACCAACAGCAAGGAGGTGGCAATTACTAAATTGGGCCCCGGACTGCGCGCCGCCTCGCCTCAAAATGCTCTACTCGTCGTCGCGCGAAGACCTGAAGCAGAGTCTAGGCGCCGGTTTTTTTGCCTCGCACAAGGACTTCTCGGCTTTTGATAGTGATTTGTCTGGTGCAGCATTGCTCGCCGCAGAGACGAAGAGCGACGGGCCGCTCACGGACGCCGAACGCTTGGAAAACGAGGAGCGCACGCGGCCCGCGTTCTCGCGGTGCGCGGGCATGGCCTCGGTACCTTTCGAATTATCCGCCGAGGCGTCGACCGCTTTACAAGGCTTGTCGACGGGCTTGGTCGAGGTCGTGTTGGGCGCGAACGAGACGCTTGAGCTTGCTCAAAGCTGTGAGGAGACGGCGCGCATCCGCGACGCCCTCAGTGCTCTGGACGCGCCGCGCTTCGTGGTCGTGAAGCGGAGCGAGAAAGCAGTCTTAGTGTTCTATTGTCCGGACAGTGCACCCATCAAGCAAAAAATGACCTATTCGACCGCCAAGCAGACGTTTTCTGGACTTGTAGCCGAGAAGGGCATCCAAGCGACGCTCGTCGACTGCCGCGACGCCTCCGAGCTGGATTCGAGTGTTGCGGGCGTGTTGGATGAGACGGCTGTGGAAAAGGCCCACGTGCCCCTCGTGCACAAGCCCTCGACAAAACCGTCGCGGCCGGGCCGCCGCGGCTCGTCGCGCGTGAAGAAGTTCGTCTCGGATTCGAGCGTCGTGGAGGCGATCAACTGAAGACGCCGTCTAATATACTATGTGTTGAAGTAGCCATGGCCGCGCGGGTCGCGCCGGGGGGTGTCAGACGCGGCGGCGACGTGTCCAGGTGCTCGTTGCGAGGTCTTGCAGTGCTGGCAGGAGGGCGAATGGCCATTTTACGGGGCTTCTGAGTTTTCTCCTAGCGTGGTAACATACTAGCTCAGGTCAAGGCCTTTGAGTTTTTGCGACGTCTTCCTCTGCGCAGCTTGCAAAACGCGCCCGCGGACGCAGCGCACCTGTCGAGGCGCCCCCCACAGCGCCCCGCAGCACCCCTGAAAAGCCCCGCCGCGCGCGCAGCGCCGCAAACTCAAAAGGCGCCATAGCGCTGAAAACGCCAAACACGCCCTAGCCATGGACCACGGCCCCATCGGAGACGAAAACGAGGACCCCATGGACGTCGACGCCCCGCCCTCGCCCACCGCGGCCGAGCCGAGCCCCGACGCGACGCGCCCGTCGCCGATGGACGACGACGACAGCGACGACAACGACATTACCCTAGATCAGATGCGCGAGAAGGCGAGGATTCGGCGGGAGGCGTCGCCCGAAGCATTGCGCGAGGCGGACCAGGCGTCGCGCATGGAGAGATTGAAAAAACAGCGCGAGCGCGACGCGCGGGACTTGGAACGCAAGGCCACGGAGCTGCCCATCGCCAAGAGGGAGAAGGACGAGGCCAAGCAGAAGTTGAAAGAATTAACGAGGCAGAAGTCCGCCCTGGAAAATGAGCTGAGGAAGGCGCGCGAGGGCGGCGTTTCTAGATCGTTACTCCCCTCACTCGATCTACCGGAACCGAGAGGAAGGTTACCCATCGCCGAAGAATTGATGGCCCCCGCCTTATTGGCGTGGGACTGCGCCCAGACCTTCAACGACAAACTAAGCTTGTGTAGATATTCATTTGATGACTACGCTCATGCGGTGAGCGGGCCGGAGAACTCCGTGTTGTTGATTGAAACGGTGCGGGGCATGCTGCGCATGGTGCTCAAGGAGGGCCTAGTGGGCCTCGACGAAGAAGATGCGGCGGACGAGGCCGCGGCCGAGGCTGCCGAGGCCAAGGCGGAGGAGGTCAGTGGCCAGTGTCGTGAATGACTAACTTGCCGGGGTCGCGTCGATGGCGTCTTCGTGAGCCCACGTCGCCGCGACGCCTTCATGATCACACGAGAGTCGACGCGTCTCGCGCGCGAGCCTCCGTTCCACGCAGGAAGAACAGGAGGATGCGGCCGAGGAGGAGGACTCCTACGAGGAGGAGGAAGAGGAAGAAGAAGACGAGGAGGAGGCCGAGCCCGAGCCCGTCTACCAGGGCCGCAAGCGCAAGAAGGTCGACCGCCTCGGCCACAGCGCGACGCCGCCGGCGAAGAAGCGGCCGCCTAGAAGCGCTAGAAGAAGACGTTCGATAGCCCAGGCTGATACTGTGACACCTTCCAACTGGGAGTCCATGCTCAGAAGATCTTTACGGTCATGCGTGCACGTCGCCGCGGGCAAGCGGGACGCGTGGTTCTCGAGTGCTGCCGGTGCGCATCAAGCGAGAAGGTCCATGAAGGAGACGCCCTTCTGCTCCCTACCGTCCGACCAGAAGGTGAGCGCCATGGCTGTCCTGGCTTTGGCTGTGTATCGCACGCAAGCCTGCAGAAAAGCCCTCGTAGCGCGCAAGTCCGCCGAAGAGTCCTGGGCCAAGGAGGAGAAGAAGAAGCAGAAGCAGGCGCGCAAGGACGCTGATTCAGCAAAGGCTCAATTGAAAAAAGAGGCCCTCGAGAAGATAAAAAAGGAACGCGCCGAGCGCGCGAAGTTGTTGGGCGACAAGGCGCCCATCAAAGCAGCAGACATCAAGGAGAAGGAGATCACCGCCAAAATGAACGCCATGAGCAAGGAACGAGCGCTGGGTGGAAGGAAGGTGTTAGCTGGCCCACCTGATGATGAACCTATCTCAGACGACGAGGAGGAGCTCGACACGGAGGAAGACGGCCTCAAAACTTCCGAGAGGAAGAAGCGCCAAGCTACCAATCAAGCTATTAGACGTAGGAATAAGAATCGCGTGTCGCGGCGCTACGAGCGCGAAAAGAGAGATAAGTATAGAGAGTCGGCGTTTCGGGATTTAAGAGCGGCGTTGCAGTCTGGTGACATTAAATTGCTCAAGAACGCCTTAAAGAGCGCAGACCGAGCGGACTTGATGGGCGACGAGGGCGGCCCGGACGACGAACCGTGGTGCATCACTCCCGTCGCTGATGCTTTGAGGAAGTTGGCGTCGGCGAACCCCGCGCACACCATGTGTACCTACGAGATGCGACAGACCAGAGACGAAGTTGGTGGAAGGACAAACACCGGGGTTCGTAGAGAGCCGTTAGGTATAGATAGAACCGGTACGCGCTACTACGACTTCGACGAGAAGGACGAGGACCATGGACTGTGTCGAGTGTTCGCCCAGACCCTCGTCGAGGCTCCTCCACCGAAGAAGGTGCCACCGACGCCTGGTGGAGTTACGGAGAGTGTATCCGAGTTACCCCAACAGTTAAGGGAAACATCCGAGTGGAAGTGCTACGCGTCGAAACAGGAAGTCAAGGCGTTGTACCGAGCGCTAGATGACGCCTTTGAAGAGGAACGCGACTTAAAAAATGCTCTGGCCGATAGATATCATGCCGATAGACCGGACGAGGGCGACAACGGCTGGCTCAAGGAAGGTAATGAAGCGTTAGGTTGCATCATCGCGAAGAAATATGGGAGACAGTTCAAGCAGGGCGTCGTGACGGGCTTCGTCCCCGAGGGCTTCGAGGAGCAAGACGGCGACGTCCAGCAGATGGACCTCTGGCACGTCGAGATCGACGACGGCGACTCGGAGGACTTTGAAGCGCATGAATTGGAGGCTGGTAGGGACACGCACAACCGGAGCTTCCGCCGGTACACGAACATGGCCCAGGGCGACAAGATGCACGACTACCGCGAGTGCCGCAACGAGGTCTACAACCAGTTCGGGGGGACCGGGCGGCGCGACCTCGAGCAGGCGGGGTACTCGGCGGCGCAGCTCGACGACCTCCTTGATTAGTCGTCTCCCTTGGGGGGCATAAGCTTATTCTATAGTTATCGTTCGTCGACGGCGTGGGGTGGGCGCGATGGGTCCTGGCCGGCACGTGTGGCGCCCCGACTGAAACTGGGCAGCATAAACCGACACGAGAATCGATTGTTACGGTGCTAGGACTAGTGGATAAACCGACACCCTACGAACTCTAGAGAGTTTACGCTAGACACTATTGGCAATTTTCACGTTGTCGAGTGTAGTGGAGCCGCAGCGGCGCCACCGACGGAGCGCGCCGCATCACATCACCTCCGGAGACCTGACACGCTGCGTCGGGGTCAAACTCGGCCGCGCCGCACACGCACGCGCTGCGAAATACACCGATAAAGGCAACAGCTTCGCGCGGCCACAAAACGATGCCGACACCGTTGGGAGCCAGCAACCTCCCGCCGCCCCCGCCCCGGGTGAAGTCGCCGCCCCGCTCCAGCAGCACGGCCGCCGAGACGACGACCTCGGCCGAGAAGGCCGAGCCGATGGAGGCCCCGCACACGCAGGGCGTCGCGCGAGCTATATCTGTACGCAAGGTCCAGTTCGACGACGCGTCGACGACGCGCGACTCCTGGCTGAGCCCCTTGGGCGACGACGACGGCGTCGACGACCTCGCCAAGGAGCTCGAGCGCCAGGCGACCAGGGCCGAGCGCCAGGCCGCGTCGGCCCAGGCCCAGACCGATTCGTTATCACCGGTACCCGTGAAGCGTTTATTACCGCACCGCGGGACGCTGACGCCGCGCGATTTGGAAAGTCGCGAGTCGAAGCGGCACGTCGCTGCATTAAGATTGCAGACGCTGCTGCACCACCGTAGAGCTGAAAAAGCCCGCGAGAAGACGGCGCAGCTCGAGCGATTACGGCGGCGCGCGCGGTCGCCGCGGTCGCCGCCGCCGTCGCCGTACCGCGACGCGGAGGCCCTTCAATTGGTTCAGAAGGCCGAGGCTGAAAGTGTCGAAGCGCGGCGCGCGCGCGTCGAGGCCGAGGCGGCGCGGGACCGGGCCCGGGCCGCCCAACGACAAGCGCAGGATGAAGTAGAGGCTTTGTCCGAGCGCGTGGCCCAGCTCGAGCGGGCCCAGGCGGAGGCCCATCAAAGGGCCCAGGCCGACGAAGCGTCCCGCACGGCGGCGCTCGAGGCGCGTCTCCATGCTCTCGAGGACGCGGACGCGCGCGCGGCGTCGGCGTTGCGGGAGCGCGACGCGGCGCGGGCCGACGCGGAGCGGCGCGCGGCCGAGCAGTTAAGAAGAGAGGCGGACGCGGCCGTCGCGGTTGAAAGAGCGGAACGCGCACGAAGCGAGGCCCAGGCCCACGCCGACGCTATGTCTTCTAGAATAGACGGCCTCGCGCAAGCGCGCGAGGCCGCCGAGGCTCTAGCCAAGACGAAGGCCGAGGAGGCGGTCATTGCGCAACGATTGGAGCGGAACGCCGACGCTAGAGCAAAAGCAGCAACCAAGGAGGCGGAGGCCTGTCGAGATGCGTTTGATCGGGACCGGAAGCTCTGGGACGGGGTCCGACGGCGTTTACATAATCGCGTCGTGGAGCTGCAGGGCAACATTAGGGTGTTTGTGCGCGTGCGGCCCGCGCTGACCGTCGGTTCCAAAGTGTCTTCTGATGAAGCCGTGAGCTGCCCGCCCAGTCGAGCGAACAGCTCGGGGGACGAGGTCGAAGTGCCGGAGGACGTAGCCTTCGGCGGGCCGCCGAGAAAAGCGAGAACATTTAGATTTGCCTACGATCGAGTATTGGGTCCTCAGACAAATCAATTGGGCGTCTTTGATGCGGTAAGGCCCTTCTGCCAGTCCGCATTAGACGGCTACAAGGTTTGTATCTTTGCCTACGGCCAGACTGGTTCCGGCAAGACGCACACGATGCTCGGGCCGCCGGTTGGCGGGAATGAGGACGACGCCGGTATTTTACAACGGTCGCTGGGCTTAGTTTTTGACGGCGTCGCGCACCTCGAACAGACGCAGGACTGGAAATTTGAATTAAGCGTGGAGATGCTCGAGATTTACCTGGATGGCGTCTATGATTTACTAGGTGATTCCACAGAGAAGCTTACGGTACGAGAGACGCTAGATGAGGACATCGTGGTGGAGAACTTGACACGACGTAAAGTCGAGTGCGCGGAGGATGCTGATCAAATACTCCGAGCGGCGTCACGCAATAGGCACACGGCCGCCACGAACTCGAACAAGACGTCGTCGAGGTCGCACTGCTTGTTTGCTCTGCGTATCACGGGCACGAACGGGATTGAGACCCGAGAAGGCGTGTTGAATCTTGTTGATTTGGCTGGCTCAGAACGGTTACATGTGAGTGGGTCGGGTGCCGATCCACAACTACTAAGGGAGGCGAAGTTCATCAACTCTTCCCTATCTACGCTGGGGACGGTCGTCGGCGCTTTGGCGAAGAAGGACCGGAGCCACGTACCTTATAGGGATTCGCGGCTGACGTTCTTGTTGCGGCCGTCGTTGTGCGGCGACGCCAAATGCCTGGCCATCTTCAACCTCGCGCCGGAGCGGGCGCACCTCCGGGAGTCGCTCTCGACGCTGCGGTTCGGGCAGAAGGTGACGAAGTGCGCGCCTTCCCAAAAGTGCGCGAAGTGCGGGCACCAGCTCAAGTAGGCGTCTGCATGACTGAAGATTAAGACATTACTCTCTGCTCGGTAGGCGCGCGGTCACTGCTGATGCGCCGCAATTCCACCCCGGTTGGTCGGAACGCTCGTCCCCCGCCTGGGAGCGGTGGTTTGCGTTCGCATCAGACTCTGGCTGTGGTTCAAGCTGGCGACACCACTAGTAGGCGTCAAATGAGCGCTCTGAGCTGTGCCAACCTGGCAGCCCGCGTAGCGACACCGGCGCGCGATCCCGGGGCAGCCGCCGGCACGACCGGCACGCCCGAACGGCCCGACGGCCGGGGGAGCGAGCCCGGTCAGTTGAGAGGCAGTGGATCCAAAAAGAACACAAGAGGGACCAAAAACAGACACGGCCGATCCAATGGCGACGGAGGTCGCCAGCCCGCCGCAGAGCCCCTTCCCGCCACGGAGCCCGCGCCGCAGCCGCGAGGACGTCGAGGCTCTGCAAGTAGGGCGCATATCGTGCCCGTCGCCGCGGCCCTCGCCATCAACCGAGGGCCCCCGCGTCTTCCTGCGCTGCCACTCGCCGACGTCGCCCAGCGGGTCGCCCAGCGGCAATGATTTCCGGCCCATCGGGCGCGAGGCCGTCGTGGAGCCGGTGCGCCTTGAGGTGCAATCGCCCGAGGTCGACCCCTTTGCTCATTTGCCACGTACGCAATCCTTGATTCCGGAGGAGGTGCGGTTCATCCGGGCCTCGTTCCACAACATCCACGAGCTCAACGCGCGGCACGCCTACATGCAGCGCGTCGCGCGCTCCGAGCGCCGGTCGCAGTCTTTGACGGACCCGCCCGCGGCCCGTGCCGATGTGCCCGACGCGCTCCGCGCGACGATCCAGGCGTGAGCCTCTACCATGACGGCGCTCGCCTCGTCTCGCCCTTTTCCCTCGCTTCCTACGCGCTGCGCCGCCCAACGCCCACCCATCTGTGATTGATGCGTCTTTGTAAGATGGAGTTCCCTCCGATATTTCCTTCTTTCCTTGAGCATGCGCGTTTTTCGCTTGCTAGTGTCTTACCGGGCCGCTAGCCCACCCTTGGCGTCCAACGCTTTTGGCAAGTTTTGCGGAGCCATATCGACGATGTTTCGCCGTGCATTGCGACTGGGATCGCGCGTCTCGGTCGCGTCAGCGGCCGCGGTTATTCCCGCGACGGCCGCCGCCTGCTTGAGTGACAGCAAGACTGGTGTAGAAATCAATGATTTTGGGGCGGTTTTCGGTCTCGCATCGACCGGTTTTAGCATTAGCGATCGAGACCGTCACCACGGCTCGCCCCTGGTAAAAAATCTAGCCAAAACGGCCGAGTTTTGGCCGAGAGCGAGAGCCGGGGGTTTCGCGGCTCTCGCAAATTGATTCCTGGCCCGACGGCGTCTCAAAAATTGATTCCCACAGGCGAGCGCCGGCTCCAGGAGCGCCTGCGATTGCAGGGCGGCCCGTCGGTCGAGGACTACCTCAAGGCACGCGACGCGATCGAGCCCGAGCGCCGCGTTATTGTGGTGGTCGGAATCACCGGCGCGGGCAAGAGCTCGACGGCGAACACGATCCGCGGCTCGCGCGCCAAGGAGTTCGAGGTCGCGGACTCGCTGTCTTCCGTGACGCGCGCGGCGGCGTTCCGCGACTTTGCCGTGAACACGGGCGGCCCGGGCGCCAACGTACGGCGCTTCGTCGAGGACTGCGAGGACCGCGTGGTCGGCGTGGAGAACCGCCTCGAGCCGCACCGCACGCAGTCGACGCGCCGCCTCCACCAGGCCGTCCTCGAGTGCCTCGCGACCAACGACTCTACGTACAAGTTCAAGCCCTCGGTGGCCCTCAAGCGCCACCAGTCGCTCAACGAGCTAGACGTCCAGGACGACGACGTCGCTATAGCCGACGACACAGAACAAGTACCCGCCAAGGCCGACCCCGCGGAGAACGCCGTGGCCGTGGCCGTCAACTAGGCGCCCCGCGTACGTAGATTATAGAACAGTATTAGCACTCCGCGTACCGCGGCGACAGCACGTTCGCGTCCGCTGCCCCAAAATTCACGCGCCGCGCCGGCCGCTCAGGCGTCGTCAGCTCCGCGGTCTTCTCCTCGGCCGTCATCGGCGAGTCGGCCGACGACGACCGTCTTCTTGAAGGCGAGTTGCGGTCCTCTTGCTTCCGCTTGATGACTTCGTTGATCGCGTCCAAGTCGGCTTCCGTCAGGCGACCACTCCCATCGACATCGTACGAGTTGAACTGCTTCTCGTAGCGCGCCACGATCTCGCCGTCCAAGTGCCCCAGCGCACTCAACATCCCCAACACATATTCGTTCTTGTCGACGCCGTCGCCGTCCTGGTCCAGGGCCTTGATCATGTCCATGTCGAAGGACGCCAGCATCTTGGCTTCCCTGTTTTGCCTATCGTTCTCCGCGTATAGATTGCCGAGCGTGCCGATCGCGCCGGCCACCAGAACAACGGAAAGAATCGCAAACACGGTCACAAACAACTGGTCCTGCTCCTTGTCGCACAGTGCCAAATCGCCGTAGCCCACCGTAGTCATCGTCACGAAGGTCATCCATAAAGCGTCGAGCTCGCTCCACCCGCACTTATTTTCTCGCGTGAAGAAGTAGATATTCCCGACCGCCAACGGGATCACGATCATGATGATAGCTATAACGCCCTTGACCCATAAAGGGTCATAATCATCATCGGGGTCGTTATCTACCAGATGCATGGCTATTCGTTCCATCCGCCGCACGACGTGGTCCGCCGCCTTGATGATGACAGGGAAAACAGCAGCTAACCCCACCACGATCCAAAACATCATAAAAATCTTCGCACCGTCGGACTCGGGAACGACGTCGCCGTAGCCTATCGTCGTTAATGTCACCGTGAGGAAATAGATCGATTCCCGGAGGCCCATGTTTTCCTTGGGAAGGTATTTCAGCACCAAACATCCGATCACATAATAGCCCACAACCTTCACCAGGTCAATGAAGTTGTAGGCGGCCTTGGCGAGGGCGTGTTCTACTTTCTCCTTGTCTTTTTTGAGCGCCGTCGCGGCCGCGGCTGACAACTTGCCCGGCTTTTCTGATGTTTTTGTCAGGTCGCCGAAGCTCTCGTGCTCGTGGTCGTGGGCGCGGTATTCCATGTCCGTGATCATGGTTCCTTTGGCAGCCCGATGCGACGGCTGCCCTTGTAGTTCCTGCAGGGGCTGTGCCTTGGGATGCTGCCCTGACGTGCTCGCTGCCCTTGCGTGCGCTACTACCAAATGGTCGCAGACGTAACGCCTCGACACCTTTGCTCGCCGGAAAGCGCGCGTATTCGGAGCAATTCCTACCTTGCTTTTGCGACACACAAACGACGTCCGGGTCGGGTTCTGGTGTCAACCAAAGGGACGCCTCGATAGAGAGCTCGCGGACGTCTCTCGGGCGTCGCTACGGCTCGGGCGTTCGGCGGCGGGTGTCGGAAATTGCAGAACCTGGCAAAGTTGTTGGCAAAGCTGCCCCAAACGCTGTGTGCGCGGCGCCGCTGGCCGCACGGATCGTCGCACGCGTTCAAGGACATATTCTTGTGCTTGCGCAGCCGCGGACGCGCCCGCGCGGAAAGCCACAAGCGTGTGAAGCAGCAGCAATTCAGACCAGAGCAGATACCAGAGCAACACTAACAATGCGGACTCGGAGTATGCGCAAAAAGAGGCTGCTCGACGAGCTGCCGCCGGAGCTGCTCAGCCTCGTTTTGTCACAGATGCTGCCGCAGGACATGATGGTCCAGAAATGCTCGCGGCGCTGGCGCGACAAGGACCTCGACGTATTGTACTGGAAGCCGTTGTTCCTGAACACGTTCGGCGAAGCGGCTCAGACAGCTGCTCAGACGACGAAGTGGCGGGATCGATACGAGCGGGCGTGGCGGTTGCGAGTGGACGTGTCGCGCGAACCGGGCACAGGCGCACTGGGCCTCCACCTCGGGCGGTTTCTCTCGAGCTACGACCACCGCGTGAGACCGACAAACATTTTTCACGCAACCGATGGCCAAGGCGTGCTGTCCGTGCCTGATATCCGGGGGAAGGAGCTAGAGCTCCGCTACTACATCCACGACGAGGGTATACCTGTCGGTGCATTTGAGGTGGACGTGGACGTATGGGTACATCCCGACGACTACGTGGACGACGACGTGGACGACGACGCCGAAGATCCAGTCTCTGAGGAGTACAGATGGATCGAAGCGGGCATTCTGAAGGGTCTAGTAGTGTACAACCCCTTGGGAACCCTCTACGATCCGGAGCGCCCCGCGGTGGGCCGCCGCGGCATACGGGTCGGGTCCCCGCTGCGGCACTTGCTGGAAGCCTATGGGGTCGATCTCGAGGACGTTGAGGCTTACGGGGACTCGAGGTGCGGATCCCTTATGGGGCTCCGCGGCGTCAACATCCAGTTCGGACTCGCAGACAATGACGATTACACGCTCTGGGACCAGTGGGAGGAGCTCCTAGACGGGGCCGTGACCATATTTCGCCATGGAGAACCGGATCAACAACGCGAAGTCCCGCGGGAGACCCTTCTCAACTGGCCCCTGCAGTCGCTCCAGGTCTGGAGCGATGACGCCTTCTAGGATGCTCTAAGGGTGCCTGTAACCCGAGCCGGACACCGGGAGTGCGCCTGGTAAGAACTTCCTAGGTAGTAGTAGTATCTCAAGCAATTACGCACCCGCACACCGGCTTCTCGTCGGCCGCGGGCGGGTCGGGCGCCGGCGCGGAGAGGTCCTCGACGGACTTCTCGAGCTCCGCGATGCGCGACGCCATCGCCTCGCGCTCGGCCACCTGCTCCGCGACGCGCGCCTCCGCCTCAGCCGCGCGCGCATCGGCCGCGGCGGCGTCCTCAGCTGCCTTCTTTTTCCGGCGCGAGCCCTTCCGCTTGAGCTTCGGGCTCTTCGGGCTCGCCGCATCGCCATCAGCCTTCTTTTTCTTCTTCGACTTGCGGCGCTTCGGCTTGGGCTTCTCTGGCAAGTCCGCCGGGTCGGCGTCGCCGTCGAACGCGATGTCGTCGCCGGGCGACGTCGTCGTCGGCGAGGCCGCATCCTTGGCCGTGACGCGGAGCGCGGCGGCCGACGTTTCGTCGAGGGACGCCTGGACGAGCGCCGCGACGTCGTCGATCGTCGGGCCCTTGGGCACGTCGTCCGCTGGCGCGTCGTCCGCCGGCGCGTCGTCTGCCGGCGCCTCGTCGGCTTCGGGGGGCGCGGGCGCGGCCGCGCCGCCCAACATCTCCCCCATTCTCGTGAGGTCGGTGTCCTCGAGGATGCCGCAGTTGTACGAGCAGCCGGGATCGACGTCGCCCCAGTCGATCTCCTGCATCTGCTCGACGGCGGCGCTCGCCGCCTGGCTCGTGGCCTCGGCCGCGTCGCGGAGCACGGGCCCGGCGGCGTCCGCTGCCTTGCCGGCGTACTCGACCGTCGCGTCGGCCGCATCCCGGATCACGGGGCCGGCCACGTCGGCCGCGCGGCCCGCGGCCTCGACGGTTGCATCGGCGGCATCTTGTAAAATAGGCCCCGCGGCCTCGACGGCGTCCGACGTGATCTCCGCCGTGGCGTTGGCCGCATCCCTTATAGCAGGCCCCGCTACCTTGGCGCCCTCGACCGCGGCGGCGCCCGTCGCGGCGGCGGCCCCCACGACGACGGCCACCGTCGCGCCGGCGGCGACCGCGACGCCCTTCGCCGCGAGCTCGAGGCCGTCGCCCGTCACGCGCGCCGCCGTCGCGGCCGCGTCCCCGAGCGCCTCGAGCGCCGGGCCCGGGTCGCCGTACTCGTCCCTGCTCGTGCCCTGGTTGGCGTTGCGCCGCGCGGCCCTCCCGTAGACGCCGCCGCCTGAACCTTTCACAACTTTGGGCGGCGGCGCGGAGGTCTTCGTCTCCTCCGCGGGCGCGTGCGCCTCGAACTCGTCCAGCAGCTCCTGGAGCTCGCTCGCCTGGACGGGCGGCGTCGGCGGCGCGAGGTCGTGGGACTCGGCTCGTTCCAGGGCCGCCCGCTGCGCGTCGGCCAGGGCGTCTTCCCGCGCGTTGAGGCGGCGGTGCGCCGCCAGGGCCGCCTCGAAGCGGCTCACGGCGTCGGAGTCGTCGACCACTGCCATTTTCTGATTGCTAGCTGGGGTTGGGGAGGCCGCGCCGGCTCCTGCTGCTGCAGACGAGCGCTCGGGGTGGCCGCGAGGCTGCCCTTGTACAAAATTCGGCCCCTGCGCAGCTCGTCTCGCGTTTGTGGAAATGATCTCTATCTCGGGCTAGTGTCGGCCCGTGGAAGCATCCGTCGTTCCCCGCCCACGAGCTCGTGCGGGACCGGCCTCGATCGCACAAGGGCAACGAAACAGCACCGTAATTTCGTTCGGGGCAGGGGTAAACCGCCGCAATTTTAGGCTGGTTTACCGGGCAGCTCCGACGGCGGCTCCCACCTCCTCAATATAGATAGCGCTGCCTCGACCGCAGCTACGGTCTACGTAGCTCACAGCGTGTAGAAGCGGGCAGCCGCAACGCGTGCGCAAGATGGGCCGCAAAGACAAAGCCCCACCTTTAACAAAGCGCAAGATCAAGACGGAACGGCGATGCCGGCGCTGGCAGACGTTCCAACGGAGAAGACGCTTGTTGGGTTTCGACGACGTGCCCCAGGCCGAGCGGCCTCGCTTGGCCACGCAGCGGACGCCGATCGCACTCAGTCTAAGGAGCATCGAGGGCTGGTCGGCACCTCGAGCGCTGAAGGAGCGCCTGGCGGCCGACGGCGCTTCATTAGAGTGCGCCTTATCACTGTCGTTCTTCGATTGTGCCAGTAGAAGGTTCTTCGGAGGCACGTGGATCGGACGGCCGCAGACCGTGGACACGTCCCGTGGCAGTACGATCCGATCGTCGGAACTGGTCCACTGGTGTTCTCGCGTTGATGATCCGGCCTGCGTCGCCGTCATTGAGGTCGTCGCTTGCGCGAAGAGGGATGGCCGGACGGTTGCGCAATACGGGTGCGGCTGGACGTACTTGCGGCTGTTCGGGGAAGATACACCTCTGTCCATTGATGCGGCGGCGGAACCGGACGGCGACGTGCTGAAAGATGGGAGTTATGAGAGAAGACCGCTGTATGACGGGACGCCGCGGAAGTTGGTCGTCGCGGCGGCCAAGCTGAATATTAGTAGACAAAACCCGAAAGGGAAGGGCAAAGGTGATCTAGCGAGGGCCGCCGGTGCTGATACGATCAAGAATTGCTCGTTGGTGTGTCGCGCGAGACGGCACGACGGCTTGCAACGAGCGTGGCATTTGTTAGGCGACGATGATGTGGTGGCGGCGGACGACTTAGTGCCTGGTTTGGCGCCCTGGTCGTCGCACGGTGGCTCATCTTTACAGCTACCGCCGGACGGTAGAAGCATGTCAGGTAAGCGACCGATGCTGGGCTATCGCAAGATTGACGACTCGAGAGGAAGGACGAGTGATGCCTCGATGTGGCACCTCGTGCCCCAGCCCAAGCCCAAATTAGCGACGGAGCACGCCTTGCACCTGGATTGTCTCCAGGTCCGCGTGCCCGACAGAAAGCGCCTCGAACAAAGACTGAAAAGATACGTCGCGTTCCACGGGCCGTCGCAACCCTCGGAAGGTCAGGAGGTCACGGAGAAGATCGTGGCGCGACGGTTGTGTCTCGGACTGCACAACGGCCGCGCTCTCGTTGGGAGACGAACGCGGGCCGACGGCTTCGAAAGGGTCGACCTGGACACGAACGGCGACGACCTGTCGGCGGCGATCGACGACAAGATCATCCTGAATGGCTACGTGAAGCACGCGTTGTACGCCGTGGTCGTCGCGTTGGAGTACGAGATCCAGCCCGCGCAGAAAGTTGCTGTTTTATCCAATAAAACGGCGGCACCGAAAACCTTCAAGGTTACATTAGGATTGGGCGCCTACGTGCCCTTTGACGGGCGGCGCTTACGGTTGTCGACGGGCCGAGACGCGCAGAACGTGTCCTACTGCGAGATCGACCTGAACGCCGACGATACGTGTCGAGAAGTTTCGAGAAGCTTCGTGTTTCCCCCGTCCTCAACTGGAGAGGGCCAGTCGGCTATGTCGGCGACGGGCACCGGTGATTTCGATACGCAGACGCTCCAGCAGTATGCTTCCGGGAAAGTCGTGCGGTTTTGTCTGTCGGCGGTCGACGGGCCGGCCGCGAAGAAGGGCAAGGATCGTAGATTGCAGGACGAGACGCCCGATCGAGCCTCTGATGATAGTTCAGATGTGGAATCTGTCGTTGATGACGAGGACCTGGGCGAGGAGGGCGACGACGGTCAATCATCGGAGGAAGAGGACTCCATCGCGCCCCTGCCCAAGAAGAAGAAGAAGAAGAAGTCCAAGTCGAAGAAGGCACGGGAGTCCTCATCAGAGGAAGACGAGGAGGACGACACGTCTACTTTGTCGAGAAGCGTCGTCTCCGGCACGTCTCGTCGATCCGAGCTCCGGCCCCAGCGCCGCCACAAGAAGAAGACGAAGAAGTACCGAAGGGACTCGTCGGACGACGAGGACTACGTGCCTCGCATAGAAATGAGGAAAGACGAGGACGGCTGGCGGAAAGCCGCGCCCTCGTCCGGGAGCATGCTCGCGTCGCTGCTAGGCGCGCCTCTGCACCGCGCCGACGGGTTCCAAGCCCAGGGCCACCCCGTCGCCCAGGCGCCGACGTCCGTGACGACGGCCGTCGGCGGCTCCAAGCCGCAAGGTGATTCATTATCGAGAGCCCAGCGGTCTCGTCTAGCTAGACATGGCTACCCGACCGTGCAACTAGATGATAGTAGAGCCTTACAACCGGGCAACCCGGAGATGGTCAAGTACGATCTTGATCTCGAGGCCTCCGATCCTTTGGCCTTGCACGAGATCACGGTGCAGTTCGCCGCCTTTCGGGCGAACACGCCGTCCCAGGTGTTACCTAGAGCGGTCTACTTCACCTTCCAGTTCTACACGCTGCCTCCCACAAGAACAGAGCGATTGAGACTAGCCTCGAGAGCCCCGGAAGAATCAAAGGTCGACAGAGGCGTCGAAGCGCCCAACGATGCGTCACGATTGCTAGTGAGGGAGACAGGACGCAGGGGATCGGACGAGCCTCCCCTCATCCTCAAGTTCGCGGTGGACTGTAATACCGGAGCGCCGAACGAAGCGCGATTTTTCGCCGAGTACCTCGCGACGAAAGTCTTACACGTTGATGTGTGGGATGCTGATTCAAGACTACATGTTGGTACGTCGGCGATACCGTTAGATAGGTTGCTACGACAAAGAGCCCCTGTTGCCAAAGTCGCCGCCGAGTATTCTGTTGTGGCTCCTTACGGCCTGGTCGACGAAGGGTTGTACGGTGCGTCGTCCTCTGGTAGTGACGTGCAGGTGGCGTCGGCGGGCAACGCTGGTTCTGTGGTGGGCCACGTCCAGGTCGTATGCTGCAACTACGGCGAAGAAAGTAGTCATAACAATAGGGAGGAATCGAAGGAGAACGAGGAGCCCAACACTTCTCGAGATTGGTTGGATTGGCGTAGGGGTGCCTCTACGGACCTGAAGAAGACGATCTATGAAGGAGTTTCTGAGAAAAGGGACGACCCGCTACGCAACAGTTATTCTTCGTCAAGGAGGCGCAGACCGGGCCACCGCGTCCGCGCGAGGCCTCTCGCGGAGTCCTCGCCGGAATTAGGACATTTGCTCGGTGCCCGGGAGAAGCGCGGCGGCATGCTCACGCAAGCCTCGAACAACGCGACGCCATCGATCAGTTCAGACCAGAACGCCGTGACCTACGACGAGGTGCTGACCATGGTTAGAAGGTTCCGCGACGACACGAAGCGCGTGAAGTACGCCGGACCGTTGATGGCCCTGCTGGAAGCTCCCAATCTCAAAGCGCTCGAGGCGCAATTAGTTCGTGTTTTGACCAAGGCGGAGAGGAAGGGCACGACCCTAGAAAGATCCTTCGCGCACTTCGATCGAGATAGGTCCGGCACCATCAGCTTGGTGGAGCTCGAGGACGCGCTGCGAGCCTTGGGGTGTTTCCGGGGCCAGAACAGTGGCGCCGTGTCCGTGTTGCTGCGGAAGTTCGACAGCAACGGCGACGGCGTCATTTCATTGGACGAGTTCTTGGCCTTTATTCGATCGAAGCAGAACACTACTACTAGCACAAGGGAACCTTCGGCGATGGGCCCCGTCGAGGGCGCGGCCTTGGAGGCTCGCATTAGGTCCATCCTGCTCAAGGCCGAGGATCTAGGAGCGTCGGTGGTCGACGCCTTCACGTCCTTCGACAAGGATGGGAGTGGGACACTCACGGTCAATGAATTGATAAAAGCATTCAAGAGCCTAGGAACCTTTGCGGACCTGTCGAGAAAAGAAGTTGAGGCCTTCGTTAAGTTACGAGATAGGGATAACTCAGGTACCCTAGAATTGGACGAGTTGTTCGCGTTGATGGGGAGAGACTATGCGGACCACCTCGTGCTCAAACTCAAACGTATACTAGATGGTATTGAACAGAAAGGCGTGCGCGTCGCGGACGCCTTTGCCGCGTGGGACCAGGATCGCGGCGGCACTTTGTCCAGAAGGGAATTGTTCAACGGTTTCCGGGGACTGGGAGTGTTCAAGGAGATGGCCGAGACGGACGTCGACTCTTTGCTCAAAAAAATAGACAAAGATGGGTCCGGAGATATTGATGTGAAGGAGTTCTACGCCTTCGCGAAGCGGGACTATGGGGAGTTCGTTGCGGCTCGATTGAAAGCGGTCCTACGAGCGGCAGAAGCGAAGCACGGCGTCCCGCTCGACGCCGCGTTCCGCGAATGGGATTCGAACAGGGACGGCATGATCTCGCCTTCCGAACTACGATCCGGATTGGATTCATTGGGAGTCTTCAAGGGCGTGCAAGATGCCGATGCGCAAAAACTATTGAATAGGATCGACCTCGACGCCAGCGGCAATTTGTCTTTAGCAGAATTCTTAAGGTTTGCGGGCTGCAACTACGTGGCTGTGCTAGCTAGACGCTTACGAACCATCCTCTTAGCGGCGGAGGGCAAGGGCACGACGCTCGAAGCGGCGTTCCGAGAGTGGGATTCGAACGACAACGGCTTCATCACGGACACGGAACTCAAAGCAGGTTTGAGGGCCTTGGGCACGTTCAAGGACATGACGGGCGATTCTCGATCTGACAGTAAGGAAATCGACGCCCTCATTCAGATGTTCGACAAAAATGGTGATGACAAGATAAGTGTGAGGGAACTCCAAAGTTTCATGGGCCGCGACGTCGTGTTTAGTATCGAGAATAAACTAAGGCAGATCGTGCATTCGTCGGATTTGGCACCTAGCGAAGCGTTCAAGCACTTTGACAAGGATGAAGATGGCGCGATTACGCGCGATGAGTTGGCCGCGGGTTTGCGCGAATTACCGGGTCTGGAGGACATCACGAACGCCGACGCGGGCGGCTTGGCTCGGTTGTACGACGACGATGGGGACAATCAAATCAGCTTGGAAGAGTTCACGCGGCAGTTGGGTAGTAGTGGGAAGGTCGGCGAGGCCGAGAGTGCGGTGCTCGCTTCGCTAAGAGCCGCCTGTGCCAAGAGCGGAAGATCATCCTTCCAGGAGGCGCTGGAGAAGCGCGGATCGAGCGTGGACGAGGCCTGCCTGTCGGAGGCGATGAATGTGATAGGTGCTACGGGGACGTCTTCTGAACAACGTCGATTGGTCCTCGAGAGATTTGGAGGTAGACCGTCTGTTGGTGTAGTAACAGCCTTCGCGAAAAGGGGCGGCGTCGGAAGCCCGGACGAGATCGCCCAAGATCTGGGAGAACCGTCGGCTTCACCGCCGACACCTCCATTAACAATCATGGCGCACCCGGCGCTACGAGATCCGGCGCTACGAGCCTTCGCCGACTTACTGTTAGCGTTCGAGGACGACGGCGCCGACCTGGCCGTGGCTTTTAGGAAACTGGACACTGATCGAAGCGGCGCGGTCGACGCGCGACAGCTGCGGAGCGGCTTGAAATCACTGGGCAAGACCTTCGCGCACTTCTCTGATGACGACGCGCGCCGCGTCGTCAAGGCCCTGGACAAGGATAATTCCGGAGATTTGGACCTGGTCGAGTTACGAAAGTTCGTGAGGCTGGCGCGGGAGGCGCGCGACGGACCCCAGGAAGTGGATAGCGAGGACGCCGACCATTTAGGTGATTTACTGATCAGTTTCGAGGACCAGGGCGGCGACGTCGATGGGTTTATCGCGCGACTTGATAGGAACGGCGACGGCCGCGTCACGGGCGACGAATTGTATCGCGGCTTACGCGGTCTAGGTGAGGTGTTTGATTCCTTGGACAAGAAGCACGCTAGAGCGTTAGTACGAAGCCTAGATGCGGACGATTCCGGGGGCATCGACGCGCGAGAATTACGGAGTTTCATCAAGAGCCACCGGGCGAAGAATAGCAAAGATATCATCAAGAAGGGCGACTCCCCCGATCTGGTGCGGGAGAAGCTGCGCGCATTGCTCCTGAGGACGGAGCAGAAGGGCACGTCGCTACGCTCGGTCTTCGAAGCGTTAGACGAAGACGACAGCGGCTCACTCTCGGTCAACGAATTACTCGGTGGCTTGAGCAAGCTCGGCATCTTCGACTCGTTAGACAAGCGGGACGTGCAAGATTTAGTAAAGAGAGATCTAGACTCTGACAGAAACGGGAACGTGTCGATCAAAGAGTTCCTCGCGTTCTGCCGCAATTCGAAAGCGCCCGCCTCATCCAGAACAGTAGAGAAGGGTGGCGACGACGAGGATTTGGACTTGGTGGCCCAGACCTACGAGTTCAGCAGCGATCCTGACGTCCGCGCCATCGAGAAGAAACTCAGGAGGGCGGCGCGGGAGGTGGCGGCGCGCGGCGGCGACGTGCGCTTACTCGCGTCGCAGTACGACCGGGACAACTCTGGTAGTATCGTACGGTCTGATTTTGTGCAGTTCCTGATGCAGCTCGGGTTGAGTCTTGTGGATGCTGGCGGCGTGCCCAAAGATACTAGGAGGGAGGCCGGCGACGCTCTTAGGGAGAGGCAGTTGAGGCAATTGGCTCGCGTGAGAGGTGGTGCCGCGCCCTCACGAGCCAGAAGATTGTTAAAGGGGCCTTCCCCAGACTCGAACCTGACGGACGAGTGGGACGAGTTGGCCCTCACGCAATGGTATAGAGAAGGCGCGAAGAAGGAGATGGTGCGGGGCATGCTCGCCAAGTCCATGCTGAGTGCCGTGCAAATCTACCCCAGGTTCGGCACTACTTGTTGGTTCGAGGTCGAATTAACCAACCCTTTTGGGAGGGCCGAGCGGTTCGCCGTCGACGTGCCCAAGGGCGAGAAGGAGCTCAGGGTGGTCACATCGGCGGAGGAGTGGCAGCATCTGAGACGCAATGTGCCCGTGGCGTTCGGGACCGTGGGTCAAGGAGCGGTCGAGGCGGACATGATCGACGGTTCCGGCCCGCCGGGCGCGCCGCCCATGGTCTTACTGATGGCGCGCGAGACCGTGCGCATCCCCTTCGCGTTTTTGTCTTTGACGCCGCCGTCGCACGATCTGCGCTGGGGCCGCGACGACGATAAGGAGGATGATGCGAGGACGGTGCCCGTGCGGTTCGTGGCCGCCGGCGGGTTTGTCGTGGCGGCGACGGAAGTCACAGCTAGACAACGCGCGTGTGTCGTCGATCGGACGTTTAGATTTTACCAGGCCGAGGGCGAGATCCTGAAGAGGTGTGTGCGAGTGATGCCCAACGCACCGGCGCCGATGGAAGATTTAGGAGCGTTGGGCGGCTGGGCCGCCCAGGCCGGCGCACCTAGGGCAACGGATGACCGGTCCATGTACGTGCACTGCGTCGGCACTGGCCGAGGTGATGCGTCCGATGTCAGTATCCAATGGCGCGAGTCCCAGGACTGCCCCGGGGCGCACGAGGTGCTGCTCAAATATGCCCGGGTCGGCGCCTTTCCCAGTGTCGGCGAGTTCTTCGTGCTCGTGTTCCGCGACCGGTTCTGCGCTCGATTGGCGGAGATGTGGCACGTCGTCGTCCATTCGAGACTCAGAGCGGATTTGGCCGGCGTCGCGGGCCAGGCCGCGGGCGTCGAGTTGGTCGTAAGGGGCGACCGCACTCCCAGAGTCGTGCGCGCGTACGCGGCGCCGGCCGGCGGCGCGTCGATTGGAGACGCGACCTTCGACCCGCCCCAGGACTTTAGGTTGGTGCCCCACGCGCACAACAAGTTCGCCGTGCACTATCGGGCGCGCGAGGGCGGCGCCGCGCGCGTCCACGTCCACCTCGTCGACACGGACACTCATGAATTGGTGGCGGCGTGGCTCATGACCGCTGTCAGCTCGCAGCCCACAATTACGAAAACTTATGATGTCGAGCTGTCGTTGGGCAAGGCCGCGACCAAGCGCATTCCGTATCGAAACCCCTGGAACCGGCCCAAGTCGTTCGGCCTGGTCTCGTCGGACGAGAACGTTCTGAGACCGCGCGACGGCGGCGCGCGGGTCACGATCCCGCCGAACGGCGTCGAGTACCTGCGGCTCTACTTCCCCGCCGTGCACCGGCGCGGCATGCTGCAGTGCCTCCTCTACGTCAACTCGGAGCACGACCAGTCCGAGGAGGTCTTCCTGCTCCGGTTGCTCGTCGCCTAGGCGTAAGGTGGCGTTTTCAGAAACACTAATTACACACAGCCGTCCCGATCATCGTGTCCCGCGTGACGAGGGCGGCGAGGTCCGCCTCCGACCAGCCCTCGGTCCCGGCCGGTCGCCGCGGGAGGACGATGTATCGGAGGTCCGCGGTGGAGTCGTGCACGCGCACGGCGACGTCGTCCGGTATCGCCAGCCCGAACTCCTGGCTCAGGAGTCGCCTCGGCTCGCGCACCGCGCGCGCGCGAAAGACGCGGGACTTGTACCACGGCGGCGAGAGGCCCAGGATGCTCAGAGGATAGCAGGAGCAGAGCGTACACACAATCAGATTGTGCACCGACGGCGTGTTCTCGACGGCCGTCAAGACTGTGGGTGCGGTGGAGTTCACCGCCGCGATGCCGAGCTCCCCCGCCGCGGCCGTCGCGTCCCGCAGGAGCAGATTCCGAAAGTCTGGGTCGACCCACGCGCGCGCGACCAGGCGCGGTCCCTCCTGCTGCGTACCGATCGCGTCCAGGCGCTCGACGGCTTGCCGCAGCTCCTCGCGCGACACGACTCCCTCCATAACCAACGCATCTAGTAATTGATCGGCCAGGCGCCGCGCGGGCGTGTAGGGTCCCTCGTCCTCATGCTCGTGATCGTGGTCATGCGCGGTCGGCGCCGCCGCCAGCCAGCTCTCGTAGACTTCCACGTCGACGGTGTCCGTCGACGACGCCGCCGCCTCGGGCCACAGCGCGGCGGACTCGAAGCGGACGCGATATAAATTCTGTTTCGGCACATCTTCGCCCGGCCGCGAAAAGGCGAGGGTCTCGGGGTCACTAAAGGCGCCACAGACGCGCTCGACGACGCCGCTTGCACCAAAGGCGTACCCCGGGACTCGAAGGTGTGGCTTCCGCCACCGCGAAGCAAGCACCTCCTCGCGGACCACGACCGTGTCGCCGACGTGAAATTTGGCCGGCGGCGGGTCTCGTACTGGGTCCGCGAGCGCGCCGCTCTGGATGAGCCCAGATTCGACGGCGAGCTGCGCCATCGCGGCGGCCCATTTCTCATAATAGCCGAACGCCGCGTAGTGCTCTGGGTGGAGTTGCTCAACCGCACGGCGCAGTTGGTCCACGGTCAGATGCCGCTTGCCGATCAGCGTAACCAAGAGCGCATGCGTCGTCCGCTCCCAGTAATCGTAGGGTCGCTCGCGCGTGTCGAGTCTCACGGCCAGCAGTGATTCTATACCACCGACGTCGTGCACGCCGCTGTAGCCCGGCGATTTCGACCCTCTGCCGACGCCTACGGGCCATTGGCCGCACCCGTCGTCGACGGGCAGCGACGTCGACGACGCGAAGTGCCGTGGCAGCGTCGTGAGGCGCCGCAGAGCACGACCGCAGTAGTGTGCAATCATTTGTCACCAGCAAGAGGTCTTAGCGATGCGTCTTTTGGGCTAGACTGGAGCACAAGGATGCCTTGGCCCTGTACCAAAACTCTGGCATGCAGCCGTTGCCCCAGTGGCGCACACAGAGCGAGCAAAGCTCATGCTCTGCGAATTGCTAGTGTCTTACCTGTACAGGCCGCTAACACAAAATCACTTAGCCCGCGCCGCCTGTAGCTCCTTGATCCCACGCCTCAGTATCGATCGCGCGAGCGTGGACCAGTCCGCGAGCACTTCCTCCCGGTCGGGGTGGTCCCAGAAGCTCGCGAGCGCGTCCAGGTCGTCGCAGCACATGACGATGTCTCGGTAGCGCGCGGTCGTTGGCGTCCATTTCTTCGATTCGCACCACTCGTAGACGGTCGTCGGCTCGGCCGTCGACGCGCGCTTCGGCGGCGGCGTGCGCGGCGGCGACGACGGCGCCGTCGTCGGCTCCAATTGCGCCGGCGAGCGGCTCCTCGACCGCGAACCAGTGTGCGCCGCCCAGTCCCAGGCCGACTCGAGGCGCACCGAGGCGCCGCGTGCGAGCGCTCCTTCGAGGTACATGATGAGTTGTGGATGGGAGCGCATGCGCATGGAGCTTTTGGCTGTGGCCGTCTTCGAGTCCTTGTACCGCTCGCCGATGATGTCGTAGACGCACGGATAGTGCCCCGGCGCTTCGAAACAAAAATAGGACGAGCCGTGGACTCGGGGGCCGCATTTGAATTTGTGCTTGGTCAGCGCCGACCGGATTTCGAGGAGGCCCTTCCCCCGCACCGCCTCGAGCAGCTCGCGGGCGCTCTGCTCCCACGCCGGCGGCGCGGCCTCGGCGGCGGCCGGGGCCGGCGACGGCGCGGCCTCCTGCGACACGTGCGCCGGCGACGGCTCGGATTCATCGTCTGGCGACGAAGGCTCAGCGGGCCTCTTCATCCCCAATTTCACCGTGAAATCAGCGTCGTCGTCGTCGTCGGCGGTGTCCAGCGCGTCAACGGCCACGGCCTCCGACGCGTTGGCTGGCGCCGGTGCCGGCTTCGGCGCCATCCCGAAGCTCGCGGATCCCCAGTCGTCATCAGTAGCGACCGGCGCGGCGGCGGACACCGGCGCCGGAGCCGTCCTCATTCCTAACTTGACGGCGAACTCGTCCTCCTCGGCGTCGGCGGCGGGCGCCGGCGCGGCCACCTCCGAGTACAGCTCGTCGAAGTCGTCCTCAGCGGGCGCGGGCGCTGCCTCCGCCGCCGCGACGAGGTGGCGCCGTTTCGGTCGTGGTCCGAGGCCCGGCGCGGGCGACGGGCTGCGCGCCCGTGCTGGCGGCTGCCCGTGCCGCGGCAGCGCCGTGTCGTAACGGTTGCGGCGCGGCGAGCGTGACCGCGAGCGCCGCCCGGACGACGACGACGAGGAAGATGATGACGAGGACGACCGCGACGACGAGGGGCTCCGGCGGCGTCGAGAGTGCCCGCCGCGGCGGCGCCCGCGGGACCGGCTTCGGCCGCGTGGCGGCGAGGGCGGCTGCCCGTGCTGCGATCCCGTATACGGCGGCGGATGTGGGGCGTAGTACCGCAGGAGCTGGTCCTCGCCGTGCGCGAAGTCGCAGCGCGCGCCGTAGGGGCAATACGTGCCGCCGGACGCGAGCCAGTGCTTGCAAAGCCGCGTGCGGTAGTCGAGCGCGGTGCCGCAGCGGCCGCGCGCCGCCGGCGGCGCCTGGGGCGGCGCCGGGCCGTAGTGGTTGGCCGGCGGTGCTCGGGCGGCGAGCGGCACAGACGGCGCGGCAACCGGCGCAGCCACGGGCACTGGCGGAGCAACAACCGGCGCCGGCGCCGGCGCCTGGAACCGGCTCGGGTTCGGGCGCTTGATGGCTTTCGCGGGACTAACTGGTGCAGGTGGCGGAGCGGTCATCCAGCTCGGTCGATTGTCCACCGTGGAGTCCCGCTGTCCCCCCGGCCAATTCATCTAGGCCACTGTGCCTTTACTGATTTGCCCTCCTGAGCGCTGCTCTTGCCTAAGATGCTGAAGTGCAGGGCACAGCGATCATAAGTGATGCTACGCAGCCTTATTCACTGGCAGGCGCGAGCAACAAGCCCAAAATCACGCACCGATTTGCCCCCAAAACCCGATTTGTTTCGGCTCGACGGATTTGCCCGCGAACGGACTCGTATCATACGATTTCGACGCGAAACAACTCCACAACAAAACAGGCCTTACGCGAGGCGGGAGGCGTCCGGAGCGACGTAAGTGCGAAGAGCCTTCACGAGTACTTCCCCCTTCGGGAGCGCGTCAAGCTGCGCCTTGCCGAACCGGCTGATGCGCTTTTGTAATTTCGCGCAGGATTGGCGCAGCGCCTCGAGATCGGTCATGGCGCGATCGTCTACACGCACCGAGGCGACTGCTTTTCGTTTCATGATTCGTCGCAGGTCGTCCCAGGGCCGCGCCCTCTCGTAGAAATTTAACGAGCGGGCGGCTTCTACGACGCGCGCGAGCTCTTCGTACTCCAGGTCCCGCGTCGGCGCCTCCGCATGCTTGTACATGTAGTCCCCATCTGGCAGCTCCACCAGGAGGTCCCGGATCGTTCCCGACGGGCTGGACTCGTCACCGTCGGAGGCCATGGAGGCTGCCCGGGAGCGCGTCGATGGCGCTACACGGCCGCAGCGCCGCGCGTGAAAAATGCTGCCCTAGTGTGTCACAAAACGCTAGCCCGGCCGAATGGCTCGCGGCACAACTCGCTTATTAGTCACGTCAGTTGTGTGAGCTGGCTGTGCCAAGCAAAGCACGAGTCCGGTGAAGCTGTTCCTGCAGCGCTGGAGCTCACCCGGCTTCTCAGTGTGCTCAACGCAAGGTCTGCCTTGCACAGCGCCAATATACGCCAGCAATACGCCGTCGCTGCGGCCACCACACAAGCAGCATAACACGATGTGCCACGCGCCGCCACTAATACGGTAAAAAATGCCGAAGGGCGGCAAGCCCAAGCAGCAGAAAAAGCGCGCCGAGAAGGCGGCGCAACAAAAGAACAAGAAGGCCGAGCGCGAGGAGCGAAAGCGGCGGCGGAAAGACCGGGACCGCTACACCGACGACGAAGACAAGCGCTTCGCCGCGCAATTAGCCGCCGCAGGACTGAGAGTCAATGAAGTCGACGCCGACGGCAATTGCTTGTTCCGAGCGCTGGCGGACCAGGTCGAGGGCTCGGCGAAGCACCACGGCAAGTATAGAGATGAAATCGTCGCATTCATGCGGCGCGACGAGGAGCGCTTCAAGTGGTTCGTTGAAGATGATGAAGACTGGGACGACTATTTGGCAAGGCTCGGACGCGACGGCGAGTGCGCGTCTGCGTCACGCACTTTGTGGCTCGCGTCGATGGCGTGAAGGTGGACGCGTCGTGCCCGCGACGCTTTTGTTCGCGCAGGTGGGGTGGGAATTTGGAGTTAGTCGCGGCCGCGAACCTGCGATCTGTCAACGTCGTCGTGCACCAGCTCGAGGCGCCGAAGTTCGAAATCTGCGCCGACGACAATAGCGCGACGCGGACGGTCCACCTGTCGTACCACGGCGAGGCGCACTACAACTCCGTGCGGCTCAAGGACGACTATTCGGCCGAGCCCTCGTCGGGCCTGCCGCACATCGGAGCGGAGGCGCCCCGCCCGGCGAGCCCGGAGCCCGTCGAGGCGCCCGAGGACCGACCGCCGAAGCCCCTCAAGGCGTCCAAGGCGCCGAAGGGCCCCTGCCCGTGTGGCAGCGGCAAGCGCTACAAAAAATGCTGCCGCGCCGCCGATCTCGCGCGCGCGCGCCAGAAGGCGCAGGCGCCGCGCGAGGACGTCGACGACGCGCTCGCGGGCGAGGTCGGGAGCCTTAGGATATAAGTTTGTTGTGACGTACGTGACACGGTGGGTAGACTATAACGAAATTGTTACCGCGCAGCGCCGTATGCGCCAGCGCCATACATAGGGGTGCGGAGGCCGCGTTTAGGCCTCGTCGAGCGCGGCGACGCCCGGGAGGACCTTGCCCTCGAGGAGCTCGAGCGACGCGCCGCCGCCCGTGGAGATGTGCGACATGGCGTCGGCGAGGCCCGCCTTCTCGACGGCCGCGACGGAGTCGCCGCCGCCGATGATCGTGATGGCGCCCTTCTCCGTGAGCTCCTTGAGCGTGTCGCAGATGGCGAAGGTGCCCTTGGCGAAGGCGTCCATCTCGAAGACGCCCATGGGGCCGTTCCAGATGACGGTCTTGCAGTCCGCGAGCTTGTCCTGGATCATCTTCGTGGCCGCCGGGCCGTTGTCGAGGCCCATCCAGCCGTCGGGGATCGCGTCCGAGGACACGACCTGGGTGTTGGCGTTGGCGTCGAAGGCGTCGGCGACGAGGATCTCGTTCGGGAAGATGAGCTCGCAGCCCTTCTCCTCGGCGAGCTTCATGGCGTCCTTGGCCGTCTGGATGAAGTCATCCTCGACGAGCGACGTGCCGACGGCCTTGCCCTGGGCCTTGAGGAAGGTGAAGGTCATGCCGCCGCCGACGATGACCTTGTCGCACTTCTTGATGAGCGACTCGAGGACCGTGATCTTCGAGGACACCTTGGAGCCGCCGACGATGGCGGCGAGGGGGCGGACGGGCTCGTCGACGGCGCCGGCGAGGTACTCGAGCTCCTTCGCGAGGAGGTAGCCCGAGACGGAGGGCGAGAGGTACTTCGTGACGCCCTCGGTGGACGCGTGCGCGCGGTGGGCCGTGCCGAACGCGTCGTTGACGAAGAGGTCGAAGGGGGCCGCGAGCTTCTCGACGAAGGCGGCGTCGTTCTTGGTCTCCTCCTTGTAGAAGCGCGTGTTCTCGAGGAGGAGGGCCTCGCCGTCGCCCATGCCGTCGACGATCGAGGCGACCTCGTCGCCGATGCAGTCGGGGGCCATCTTCACGGCCTTGCCGAGCTGCTCGCCCATGCGCGTGGCCACGGGGCCGAGCGAGAACTTGTCCTCGGGCCCGTCCTTGGGCCGGCCGAGGTGCGAGCACATCGCGACCTTGGCGCCCTTGTCGAGGAGGTACTTGACCGTCGGGACGGACGCGCGGATGCGCGTGTCGTCGCCGATGACGCCCTCCTTGATGGGGACGTTGAGGTCGCAGCGGATGAGGACCTTCTTGCCCTTGAGGTCCGCCTCGGAGAGGTCCGCGACGGACTTCTTGGCCTCGAGCTCGACCGGCGCGCGCACGGCGGCCTTGTTGACCGGCGCGAAGGCGCCGGCGCAGGAGAGCGCGAGGGCGAGGATGACGGCCTTCATGTTTTTATTGGCTGCGGAGGGGCGGGGACGTTATGAGTTTGTTCGGAAGGCCGCGGCGGGGCGCGCTTTTGTTGTGGTGTGTCTCGATACAGCGGTTTTTGCCGCAGGCGCGCGGCGCATGCAATCACGGGTGCCGCAAGCGGGGTGCAGCCATCGGTGCTGCATGCGTCGGCGCGTGCAAAGCCATGATCCAGCTGGGCTGTGATCGCTGAGTTATTGCGCAGCCATGCGCGCGCGCTTGCAAAAGTTGATGCCGGCAGGGGGTATGTGTGCACCGGTGACTGCCGTGAAGCAAATTTACGCGGTTGGATGCAGGCGCAGGCGTGCTACAAATAGACTTGGCTGTCGACGTACCTCTTTGCTTGCCAAGTCATTCGGAAATCCGCCCTTGTTATTACGGAGGTCTCTTCCCACGCTTCGTTCATGTTGTTGTTGCCCGTGGATCGCGTTCCAGGAAGACAGGTCGGTGAATGGGCCTCAGGGTATCCCTCCGTTATACGAGGATCCATGGCTGCCCGCAGCCATAATTATGCTGCAACTATGCATATAAGCCTCCCCCTGACCGCCACACAGGATTTGGAGACGTATCCGGAAAAAGCTAGTGTCTTACAGGCCGCTAGCCCGCGCCGCGCCGAGCTTTTTTTGCGCTATCACGACCGCGCCGCAAGATAACGAGCGTGTGAATTGCTTCCTGACACGCCTGCAACAAGTCGCTATCGCTTTCGCCACAGCTTTTTGCTGAACGGCAGTAAAAACAGAGCAGCTCCTCCTAGCAGCGAGCAGCCGCCGCGGCGCGCGAGCCGAGAAACGATGGCCACGAAATCAATAGTAATAGACCTCGAGAAGTGCATCGACAAGGAGGTAAGGGTCACCTTCCAGGGCGGTAGAGAAGTGCGCGGCGTATTGAAGGGTTTCGATCAATTAGTAAACATCGTGCTCGACGACTGCGTCGAGGAGATGCACGACCCCGACGACCCCTACAAGAAGACGGACGAAAGAAGGAGGCTGGGCCTGGTGGTGTGCCGGGGGCTGCAGGTGTCGCTCGTGTCGCCGGTCGACGGCATGGAGGAGATCGCGAACCCGTTCATCCAGCAGGAGGAGGAGGTCGTGTAATTACGTTAGTGAATTAAACTTGGCCAGCGTTGGGCGCGGGTAGGCGCGGATCATGGTAGGCACACTCTCGAGGTGTCTACTCGGCCCGGTTGGCGATGAAGCCGGCGGCGAGGAGGCCCGGCATGAGGATTTCGGGCACGTAGTGCATCGGATACTTCTGCTTGTAGGTGCCGAAGAGGTCGAACTTGGCGTTGTACGGGCAGGCGATGGCGATGCCGGCGACCCAGGCCATGGCCATCTTGAACGCGTCCTCCGTGTCGAGCTTCGTCAGCGCCCACATGCCGGCGGCCACGGAGACGCCGTGGCCGCGCCAGGCGAAGTCCGTCATCTTGGTCGCCTTCTCTTCAAAATGGTCGTTCTGGATCTTCGACGGCACGAGGAGCATCTGCGCGGCGTAGAGGCCCCAGGCGACGTTGACGGCCTTGACGACGCCGGCCTTGTCGATGCCGCCGCCGCGCACGGCGAGCGCCTTCGGCTGCTGCTTGAGGGCCGTGGCCGTCGCGAGGAGGGCGAGGAGCTTCATCATGGTGCGAAAGATCTGCGTTGCGGCGGCGGCGTGGGCGCGGCGGCGGCGTTAGGCGGCGACGGCGTGACCGCGGCGGCGGCGTTAGGCGAAACTCGATTGTGCTGCCCCGTTTTCGGCGCGCGGCCGCCGAAAGCGCGGGAAAGTTGGGGAGCGCGGCTGCGCCGTAGCGCGGCGGCCCGCGCGGGGGTCGCGTCGAGCAAGGGTGCAGTGGGGACGCCGCTGCGCGCGATATTCCGGTTCTTCTTCGGGCTCCCTGTTACAGCGAGCCGCGAGCGGGCGGCCGCGGCGAGCCGGGCAGCTATGGTCTTAGCTATCCACGAGCCCTACGGGCGGCACGGGTGGGAGTTGGTTCGTTCTATTTGTCCAGGTGCAAAACCCGCGCTCTCTGCGCTGCATGTGATCAAGCTTAAAGCGCCATACGCACATCTATTGACGCGGCCACAGTGTGCACGGTCTCAAACCAGCATTTCCTGCGTGCTCCCACGGCGGCACAGCACCGCTTTTGAGGCGAGCGGCAGTGGAATAAGGGCTGCCACAGGCACACACGACTTGGGGGCTGCCCACGCGACGAGAATCATGGGCGGCGGCGAAGGCAAGGGCCGCTTCCGCAAGGCCGTGGCGAAGACGACGCTCCTGCGCCAGATGAGCAGCAAGGTGCTGCCCCTGACGAACCCCGAGGCGCGGCTGTCCTCGGAGGACCTGCGGCGCAAAAAACAGGGCTCGATGCGCGCGCAGATCAAGCAGCGCGCCACGGGCCGGGTGCAGGTAACTGATCTGTACTTTAGCATGCTCGACATGAGCTGGGGCACGATGCTGAGCTACTGCGTGTTGGCGTACGTGTGCACGGTGGCGCTCTGGGCGTGCGTCACGCTGGCCGCCGCGAACGACATCGACGGGTCGGCTCTATCTCTGTCGGACAAGCCGTTCGTGCGCTCCCTGGCCTTCGCGTGCGAGAACATCGTGACCATGGGCTGGGGGCAGATGGAGCCGCGCAGCGGCACGGCCTTCGCCCTGGGCGTGCTTCAGCATTTGACCGGGCTAGCCCTGAACGTGCTCGTGTTTGCGATCGTCTGCACGAAGTTCCAGCACCCCCAGTCGCAGCTCGTGTTTGGCGATCGCGCCTGCATCGTGAAACGAAGAGGCGTGCCGTATTTGTTAATACGGCTCGGCAACAAGCGATGTAATCTTATCTATCATCCGGACGCGAAGCTATCGTTGCTGACTCCAGTGTCTACGCCGGAGGGCGAGAGCTACGTGCGCAACGAACATCTCGAAGTGTCGATGCCCGGGGTCATTACGGGGATTTATAGCATTGCGCACCGCATCGACGACAACAGTCCCTTGAAACCGGTACTCGACGACTGGGAGAAGAACTCAGCGCGCAAGAATATCACGGTCACCTTTGTGGGCAGGGATGGCGTCTTCCACGACGACTTACATTGCATCAAGCGCTACTCGCTGAGCGACGATGTGGTGGTGGACCACCGCTTCGTGGACGCGACTACTTTTGACGAGAAGACGGGCAAGCCGAAGATCGACTTTGATAAGATCTCGCAAGTGGTGCCCCTGTCGAAGCCTCGGCGGTCGCGCGAGTTTGCGGCGACGCGGGCCGCGCGTTTAGCGAAGTTGCACGCGTCGTTGGATAAGGAGCCGCCGATGGAGAAGCCCGGGCTCTACCTCGTGTACGGCGCGCTGCGGCGGAACGAAGAAAATCCGGATCAGCCGCTCGAGATGACGTGCTCGTTTTCGGCATTCGCGTCCATGTGCCTGCGCCAAGCTGGAGTGCCGCACGAGACGATTCTCGCAGACACGCACCACAAGCCGCAGTGGTACGAGAAGCGGTGGTTCAAGGAGCTGCCGGAGTCGAAGTCCGCGACGTTCCCCGCCATCATCCGAGTGTCGGACGACGGCACGAGCGAGTTCGTCGGCGATTCGGCGGCCGTCGTCGACGCGGCGTGTAGGTGGTACCCGGACGCGGCCGAAAAGCTGGCGTCCGCCGCGGGCGGCCTCGCCGAGGGCACCGCGGCGGACGGCTGCATGGGCGCGTGGTGGGCCGTGTGCTCCAGCGCGCCGGTGACCATCGAGGACCATCGCGACGCCGAGAAGCGGCGTGCCTACGCGGAAGCCAGGGAGAAGTGGAAGGGCTGCGTGCGGCCTTTGGAAGACGTGCTGGAGAAGCACGCGTTCCTGAGCGGCCGCGACACGCCCGGGCGCGTGGATTTCAAGCAGTTTTCGTTCTTGCGCTTCGCGCACGACTACGTCTTCGCCGCGTGGCTGGACGCCGAGTTTGCGGCGGAGCTCGACGCGTCATTCCCGCGCGTCGCGGACTGGAGGGGGCGCATGGCTCCCCTGGTGCGCGGCGCCGTAAGCGATGATACGGAGACGGCGGTGGCCATTACGAACCTCCATCTCATCAATCGGTTCTTCCCGCAATGCGTGCCGCTGTTGCCGAAGCGCTACCAGGAGCTCGTCGACGCGTACGGCAAGCACGTGCCCCGGGAGCAACGGCTAGAACAGCTGCACGCAGAGCTCGACGCCGAGCCAGTGATGATGACGAAGCCCGGCGTTTATTTGATCTACGGTGGGCTCCGGCGACACGATTCCAATCCGGACCAACCGATCGAACAATGCTGCGCATTCTCAGCCTTTGCCGCCGCGTGTTTGCGCCATGCAAATATCCCGTACGAGACGATCCTGGGCGATATGCACCGTAAACCGGCGTGGTTTGAAAAAAGGTGGTTCGCGGCGTTGCCTGAATCGAAGTCGGCGACCTATCCCGCCGTGGTCCGCGTGCTGGAGGACGGCACGAGCGAGTTCGTCGGTGATTCGGCGGCCGTCGTCGACGCGGCCTGCAAGTGGTACCCCGAGGCGGCCGCGACGCTCGCGTCCGCCGAGGGCGCGCTCACGGACGGCACGGCGGCGGATGGGATGATGGGCTCCTGGTTTGGCGTCGCATCGACCTCGCCTACGTGTATTGAGGACCACCGTGACGCCGAGAAGCGCAAGGCTCATGCGGATGCGAAAGAGAAGTGGCGCGACTGTCTCAGGCCGCTGGAAGACGTGCTCGCAAAGCACGCGTATCTTTGCGGCCGTGACGAGCCGGGCCGCGTCGATTTCAAGCACTACTCGTTCCTGCCAGTGCATAAATCAAATTGTCGCGGCGCGTCTGAATCATGAGTGCACCCGACTCACTGATTGATTTATGCACAGGTTCCTGCGCCTAGCCCACGACCAGGTCTTCGAGGCCTGGCTCGAGACCGCCTTTGCGAAGGAGATTGACGAGACGTTCCCCAGAGTCACCGACTGGAGGGCTCGCATGGCGACGCATATGCGAGGCGCCGTGAGCGACGCCGAGGACGTCACGTGCGCCCTCATGAACCTACATCTCACGTCGCATTATTTCACAAAGCTCGCGCCGCTGATGCCGAAGCGCTACCAGGCGCTCATCGACTCGTTCGCCGGCGGCGACGAGGAGGACGGGGACGACGACGACGAGGAGGAGGCGTCGGACTCGCCCCCCGCCGGCGGCACCATCCAATTCTGTTTGTAAATTCCTTTGCTTGTTATCACCTTGCGTACGACTCCGAGCTAGAACTCCGAGCCTGGCCACGCGGGGGGGCGCGGGCCGCGTCTTTCTTAGCAGCATACGCCGGGGGAAACGATCGCCAGAACAGAACCCCAGAACAGTGGGCGACGGTGGCCCCGTCGAGGACTCGGTCACGCGACGGCCAGGGGGGCGGCCTAGCAGCAGGCCTCTAGCCCGTCTGCCCGCAGCGCTCCCGCCGACAAATTGCCTGGTACGCCGGCCGTGATCCGACCACCACCGGCACACGGTTCGCAGCTAAATAAGTCGTGGCGCGCACCCACCAACGCTTCCAAGGGCAGCGAACTAGCACGCACCAGACAAGTAGTCCCGGGCAGCCCTCACGTCGACCAACACGCGACGCGCTAGCGGACCAGCAACACCACCACCGCGACCATGATCGTCGTGACGAACGAGGAGCTCGAGGCCCTCGGCACGGAAGATGTATTAGAGGCCGACGACGGCGACGACTTCACGGGCGGCGACGACGACCTCGACTTCAGCGACATGAAGCCCATGGACGCCTTCGAGATGAAGATGGAGGACCTGGTCGTCGAGTTCGAGCGGCGGGGCATGCACCCGAAGGGCTTTTTCAATGATGACGCTCGAGAACTGCAAAAAGTGCTCGATAAGGAGTTTTCAGAAAATCTGGAGAAGTTGAAAGCGGAAAAAAGAGCAGCGCTACAGCGCAACCGCATGAAGGCCAAGCTCCAGAAGAAGCGGTTACAATTAGAAAAACAACTACGGGAGGAGCAGGACGCGATTCATGATTCGCTGGATGCCAAGGCTTGGTTGAATACAATAAAGAACAACCAGACGCGCGACGCGTGCCGCATCGAGTGCGACTCCATCGTTTGTAGAGCTTTAGCGAAGGCTTTATGGTCGTCTTCGAGTATAACGTGCCTGGATTTGTCGCGGAACGGCCTGTCGGACTTTGCGGGCGCGCAACTAGGCCGGATGCTGAAGCGCAACACGAGTATCGGGACCTTGGACGTCTCGGAGAACCGCTTCGGCCCGCGGTGCTGCCGGAGTGTGGGGGATGCGCTCACCGTCAATACCACCCTAAGGGCGCTGAACATGGAGACGAACCCCCTCACGAACGAGTCGACGGACCAGACCGGCGTCGTGGCGCTCGCCAAAGCGTTAGGGTCGAACACAACACTCACACGGTTGAACATGTGGCGCTGCGACCTCGGCACGGCCGCGGGCGCGGCCATCGCGGACGCGCTGGTGGCCAACGAAACTTTGATAGATTTCGACGTGGGCCACGGCGGCATTCTGGAATTGGACGCCCAGCGCATCGCCGACCGCATCGCGCACAACAAGCGTGAAACCAAAGCGAAAAACAAGCGGGAAAAGGCGTACCGCGACCAGCTCGCGCGCGAGGAGGCCGGCCGCAAGGCCATGGCCGACGCCGAGGAGGAGCGGAGGTTGTTGGAGGTCTACTACCAGGAGCAGCGCGACGCGCGGGCCCTCGAGCGCATGGTGGCCATGGACGAGGAGCGGCGGCAGCGCAAGGAGGCCGAGGCGAAAATCGCAGATGAATTAGCGGCCAAGAATAAGGCCGCACGCGACGCGGCCGCCAAAAAAGCTAAAAAGAAGGGCAAGAAATAAGCCGCCGTAACTAAAACTTTGAGCATTAGGTAGTTCCGAGTCCGAGTCACGATTCAAGTTCACTTAAACAGTCTTCTCCGAGGCCGCGGCGCGGCGAGCCCGCGTGTTCCGCTTCCACCGCGCGCGTTTGCTGCGGGGTGCAGACACCTCGACGGTGGCGCCGTCAGACGGCGTCACGAGCTCCCCGCCGCCGAGCGGCGCCGCCGCGACGACTGGGTAGCCTCCGCTGCCGTCGTCGCCGACCATGCTAAGCAATTCGATCGTGCCGAGGGTCTGCGTCCCTGCGGCGGGCGCGTCGGCCAGCGCGGCCCAGGACGCCTTGGGGATCTTCAGCCGCCGGCGCGTGCGCGCTTTGCTCGTCTTCGCGAGCGTCATGTGCGGCGCGAAATCGGGCTGGTTCGGGAAGCCGTGTGCCTCCAGCGCGCGCTTGGACGCAGCGGCGACGGCCGCGAGCCGCCCGTCGCCCAACGCATCCTCGACCTTCGCGAAGAGCACTCGGTCGCCGAACGAGTCGAGCCCGGGGAAGACGACCGTCGGCGGCGGTGCGGCCGCGGCTTCGAGGAGGGCGGCCTCGGCGCGCTGGCGCGCGTCGGGATCTCCCGCGCCCAGGGAGAGCAATCCGAGCGTGACGTGGAACTTCTCCGGTGAAATCACGCACTTGGAAAGATCCTTGTCGGCCTCCACGAGCGCCGTCTGCAGGGCGCCGGCAGTCTCACGGAGCGCGTCCGGCGCCACGCGCAGCGCGAAGAAGTGCGTCAGTCTCGGCTTGGGCTTCTTCTTGGCCGGCGCCTCGGTGGTGGCCGCCTCGGCGGACGGCGCGCGGTCCCGCAAGATTTTGGCCGGCTTGCCAGGTGATTCGCCACCAGCCGCTGCCCGTGGCGCCTCGGCACGCAGCGGTGCGACGCCCTCGGCGCACGAGCGCGCTGCTGCGCTGTACGCGTACAACGCGCAGGAGGTCCTTAGCTCCTCAGCCATGGCTGCTAACAAGAGTAAGGTGCGCGCAGCCGTCTTGGAGTGGTGAGCTTGATAGCGCCTTCTCACGCGCGGATCCAAAAAGGTTTGTGTCTCAGAGAGCGTGTCGGGAGAGCAGTGTGTCGCACTTCAGCAGGCGGCAGCTTGCAGACTCGAGCCAAGCGGGTGATAGGCGCCAGGCAAAATGTATATATATGTGGTTGGTGAATTTTTTTGGCTGTCGGAGCAAAGTTGCAAAAGTGATTAGCTAGCGTCGGTAAGACACTAGCAAGCAGCCAAGTCCTGAGTCCTCGATCCGTCTCCAGACATCAACACAGACGAAAGAAAGCTTGGCGCAATCATTTGCTGCACATAGAGAACGCGTACGGCAAGGTCGTGCAACGTCGGGCACTGCCGCATACTCTACAGCGTGCTCTCAGGAGTTACCCGACCGCGAGGCGCCGCATCGATCGCGTGTGAGCAAAAGCGAGGATACACGTAAGAAAAATGGCCACCCTGGTCCAAGAGCTCACCGAGGATGGCGCCTACGACCTCGACGCGGACCCGGCGGTCGAGGGCGCGAACGAGGCGACGTGGCTCGACGCGGACAGCGTGTCGCCGGCGCTCGCGCGCGACAAGAAGCTGGCCTCGCGCGTGCAGGCGCTCGAGCGCGCCATCGCTTCGCGCGGCGACGACGACGGCGGCGGGCCCGCGCGCGCCGCGGCGCTCCGGCGCGCGATCCTGGCGCCGCCGCTCAGGCCGCTGCGGGCGGCGCTCGCCGACGCGACGCTCTCGATCGCCGACGCGGCGCGGTTCCTCGCCGGCGCCGCCGCGACGCGCTGGCCGGCGGCGCTCGCCTGGTTCGCGGCGGGCGCCGACGCGGAGGACGACGACGACGACGACTGCGAGGCGCCGCGGTGCCTGCGCTGCGCCGCGGCGCTCCTCGCCGAGCACTGCCGCGCCGGACCCTTCGCCGCGGCCTTCGCGGGCGTGGGCGGCGCGGCGGCCATCGAGCGGCTCCGCGCGCGGACCGACCTCGAGCGCGCCGTGGGCGACGACCTGGCCGCCGCCGCCGCCGCGCTCGCCGCGACGCTCGAGTTCGCGGCGCTCGAGGCGCGCTGCGACGCAGCCCTGGAGGCCAAGGGCGCCGCGGCCGCGCCGGAGCCCGAGGCGGCGCCCGAGCCGGTGGTCGCCGCGCCCGCGCTGGTGGTCGCTGCGGCGCCCGAGCCGGTCGCGGCGCCCGAGCCGGTGGGGGACCTCGCCGACCTGCTCCGCGCGGCCCGCCTGGACGAGTTCGAAGCGACCTTCGCCGCGGAGAAAGTCGGCGTTGAGGACCTCGTCGAGGCGCGCGATGCCGGGGACCTCGGAGACCTCCTCGCGGACTGCGGTCTTAAAGCGGGTGAGCGCGCGCGCTTAAAGCGCGAGCTCGCGAAGCTGAGGCCGGTTTTGTAATGTTCAGTTTTATAATCTGGCTCGCCGCGCGGCTTTGTTTCTCAAAACCCCACTGTAAGCTCCAAACCGGCCGCTCCTCCTATAGCTCCGACGCGGAGGAGTACGGTCCTGCTTGAGACGATGGCGCCGCCGCGCATCCCCGACCCCCCCTCCCCGGATTCCTCCCCGGCTCGGCTTTGGAACAGAGGTCTCCGAGGATCGAGGCGTGCGGCAGAAAGCCGAGGCGTAGCGTGGGGCTGCCTCCCCTCGCAGCGCGGCGTACCGTACCACAACCGGGGACGTCCCGCAGCAAAAAAGCGATGGCGATGCGCGCCCTCCTTGTTTCGCTGCTGCCCGGGCTCGCGGCGGCGCAAACGTGCACCAAGCGCATCCGCGTGGGCACGTTCGGGGACTCCAACCCGGAGGCGCTGGCCATCATGACGGACTGGCTCAACGATTGCTGGACGAGTCCTACTACTACAAGTTCTACCGTTTGCGCCGAGTGCTGGACCTTCTACCGGCAGTCGAGCGGCATTTACTCGATCCAAAAGCTCGACTCGGGCGACCTGGACATGGCGCTGCTCGGTTCGACGCCGTACGCGGCGTCGGCGGCGCGGCGCGGCGCGCTCCAGGCCGTCGCAATGGCGCACATCAAGGGCTCGGCGGAGGCGCTCATTACGCGCGAGCAGTTCACCGAGCCCAAGCAGCTCTCGAACGAGACGTGGAAGGCGACGATCGCGGTGCCGAAGACCAGCACGACGCACTACGTCGCGCTCGCGGTCATCGCGAACGCCGGCATGGACCTGACGGACGTGAACCTCGTGTTCATGTCGCCGGATGAAATCAAGGCGGCCTGGGATGACGGCACCATCGACGGCGCGTGCATCTGGGGCACGACGATGCAGTACATGGAGGCCAACGGGGGCCGCGCCATGGTCGACGCCACGACGGTGGCTCAGTGGGAATATGTCACTGGCAACGTCCTGGCGGCCTCCAACGAGTTCATCGCGAGTCATCCAAGCCTCGTCAAGAAGCTCGTCACCGCCTTCGAGCAGACGCGCTACGACTACACGCAGAGTGCGGCGGCCACGAAGCTCGACACGGGCAACTGGGGGACGAGTGGTGACTACAACGAAATCGTCACGGAATTCTCCTACCTCCAGGAGTACCTCGGCAGCGCGAGCATAAGCAACGACGATAGGGATGCCACCAAAAAGGCCGTCGAGAAATTCGAGTACTTGAGCGTCGATGACCAGCTCCCCGATAGTAACGGTAAATATGCTGAAGAATATTACGACCTCCCCAAGATGACTCAGAACTCGGCCTACTTCTTCTACGAGCAGAAGGTGCTGGCCGAGGACCCTTCCGCGAAGATTTGTTCCGACGACTTTGCTAAGACGTGCGAGTCGAACGCCGATTGCGCCGGAGGCGGTACGTGCGGCGACCCTGCGCCCTACTACGACGGCAACTATTACAAAACGGCCCTCCAGGAACTCTCGGACAGCGACTACCAGACGCTGCTCGCGGCTGACACGGCCGGTCCCATCGTCGACGGCGAGTTCGACTTAGGCAAAACCGCCTCCGTCCAGGAGAAAGACGGCAGCACGTGCACGGGGGGCACTCTTTCGGCCGGGCAGACAATTTACGATGGCTCTGGGAGTACGGCCGCCTACGCGCCCGACCAGAACTGCGAGTGGAAATTCACGTCCAGCACCTACGTAACCATAGACATCACCAAACTTATGTCGGAGACGCCCGACGACGGGCTCGAGTTCTACAACAAAGATGGCGACCTCCTGGCGGCGTTCACCGGCCGGTGGGACGCGAGCGACCTGCCGGAGATCCGCTCTAAGGATGAGGTCACGGTCAAATGGACCACGAATAGCTACGACGAGAACGCGATCGGCGTGCTCGAGGACGTGGGCTTTGAAGCGACTTCCAGCTCCATAGGGAGTGCCCCCAACACCAATTGCGCCGCCGGGACGAGCGGCGCGAGCTGCGAGTACGCCTACTGCCTCGGCGTCGTCACAAAACAAGCATCCGGAACTCAGCAGTCCATAAAGGCCACAACCGAGGATAAATACGCGCCGAACTCGCGCTGCGGCTGGCGCATCGAGACGACGAGCTACGTAGAGCTCGAGTTCACGCAGCTCGCGATCGAGAACGGCTTCGACTTCGTCAAGATCTACGCGGGTGGCACCGCGCCGACGGGCTTTTCGCTCACGGATCCAGCGACGGAGCCGAAGCTGCTCTACGCGGCGACGGGCTCGACGCCGCCCTCGCCATTACTTTTTGAGGGCGACGTCTTCGTGACGTTCGAGTCGGACGGCCTCGGCAACACGGCCGTGGGCGCCACGGACAACGGCGGCTTCGAGCTCAAATACAGGTCCCTTCCGACTTCGAGTACGATTAAGGACAACTGCGACGGCGACTGGACGCCGCCGATCAAGAACTGCGCGCTGGATCACTGCACCGGCACGCAGAAACGTGACGGCGTTCACGGGCACGGCTCGTTCTCGTCGAGCTCGGGGAAGAGCGCGGCGGATGCGACGGACTACCCCGCGATGACGACGTGCCGCTGGGAGTTCGAAGTGTCGCCTGGCTTCACGGGCCTGTCGTTCAAGGCCCTGGTCTGGGACGTCGAGGCGTCGGGCGCGCTCACGTCCACCACGGACGCCGTCAAGATCTACAACAATGACGAGGACGGCACGCTGGTGGGGACGTTGAAGGGCGGTGACGATCCCGCCGAGTGGGAGTTCGAATACACCGCGACCAGCGGCAAGTTCGTCGCCGTCTTCGAGTCCGACCTGAACAACCCGGTCCCGAAGAAGGGATTCGACCTGATGTACGCCGGGATGTACGGCACCTCCGCGGGCATGCTGGGCGGCTTCTGCTCGGGCGACTGGCCGTGCGTCGAGGGCGAGTGCGACGGCGGCACGTGCAAAACGCCGAGCAAGAAGGGGTCGAACGAGGTCCCGGGCTACGTCATCGCCATGATCGTCGTCATGTGCGTCCTCCTCCTCGGCCTCGCGGTCTTCCTCTACTTCTACCGCAAGAAGATGAAGGTGAAGAGCTGTGTGGAAATCAAAATTTTACGGCGCGTTTGTGCTGAATCATCGCGTCGTCCTCCACGCCATCGACGCGACGCCTGCTCGATGGCGTGGCGATGCCGGTTCCTCGCCGCTCGACCGAGCCAGGACGGCCGCGTCATCGCCGACGCACCCGACGCACTGGTTGATTTCCACACAGGCGAAAAGCAAAGCCCAGAAGGCCATTATCTCCGAGCAGCAGGAGGAGCTCCAGAACTTCCGCGACAGCGTCGTCGGCATGCGCGCCGTCGTCAAGGCCGCCGCGCCCGGGGGCGGCGGCGGCGGCGGCGGCCGCGCGGGGCCGCCGGCCGCGCCGGCGCGCTGGTACTGGGAGGAGAGCCCGGCGCGCCTGGCGGCCCACCCCGTCGTCAAGCCGCCGTACTGGATCCCCTACGACGACGCGGCCTCCGCGCGCCTCGAGAAGGCCTTCGTCGCGCGCCAGGGCAAGATCCAGCTCACGGCGGCGTACGAGGCCGACGTCGAGCGCATGCTCCAGACGAACTTAAGGACGGGCTTCAGCCGCAAGATGTTGCGGGACGCGCCGCCGGTTGTCCCCGTGGCGCGGCCGGCGTCGCGCGACGTCGAGCAGGGCGCGGACCGCCCCTCGGACATCGACGCCGACGAGCCCTGCATGGTGCTCCACGTCGGGAGCATCGTGCAGATCGCCCGGGAGCACGACGACGGCAAATGGGCCTTCGGGTCCCTCATGATGCCGGCGGCCGGCGCGCCGACAGACACTCCTCCGGTCGGCTGGTCGCGAGACCAGGGCTGGTTCGAGATGGAGAACACGGAGGTGCCCTCGGCGGACCAGCTCGCCGAGCTCCAGAAGGCCCTCGGGGGCAGCGGCGGCGCGTCGGCTTTGGACCCGCCGGCGTACTGGGACGAGGTCAAGGACCCGCTCATGGCCGAGCTCTTCCGCCTCGACCCGCGCGACGCGAAGACGCGGGACGAGTACAACCGCGTCTTGAATGCCTTCATGTTGACCTTGAACCGCTCGAACTTCCGCATCTACTCCATCGACCGCGTGCAGAACGTGAGCCTCTGGCAGTCGTACTCCGTGAAGAAGTCGCAGATCTGCGCGCGCGAGGAGGACGAGAGCAAGGCCCTGCGCAAGTACGTGCGCTGCTGGCTCTTCCACGGCTGCCCCGGCGACATCGTGCCCAAGATCCTCCAACAAGGCTTCAACCGCTCGTTCTGCGGCAAGAACGCGACGTTCTACGGCAAGGGCGTCTACTTCGCCCGCGACGCCAAGTACTCGACCTACCCGCTCTACTGCCGCCCGGACCCGCAGGGCGTGCAGTCGATCTTCCTCGTGCGCGCGGTCGTCGGCCAGTACTGCAAGGGCGTCAAGGACGCGCTCACGCCCGACATCCGCGACAACGCCAAGAACCTGCTCTTCGACTCCACGGTCGACACCGAGCCCGGCAAGGAGCCGAGCATCTACGTCACGTACCACGACGCCCAGGCGTACCCCGAGTACCTCATCAAATTCTCGCAGACGAACGTGCCGAAGGCCCACCCCTCGGCCGGCGAGGCGCCCCACCGCATGTACCGCCACAACATCCTCGAGGCCGAAGGCATCGAGTAGACCCGACTTCACGTTCGGCCCCCTTCCAGTTCCTCCCCTTTCGCGCTCCTCCCCCCCGCCCGCCCGTGTATACATACTCTGGGGCTGGGCCCGTTGAAATTTTTTTTCTCGTGTTGCGGTGACGGTGCCGCGGATGATCACATCGTATATGTACCATGGTGATTGTATGTTGTTAGTGGGTCTATGAGGACTGAAGTACACGGCTCGTGGAGGTTAGGGGACGCTGGTGGGGCTCCCTGGCGCTTGTCCGTAAATCAGTTGTCGATGCGTCGTACGCATCGGTCAGTGCCTGAGGGAGGGCTGCTCACATCTTTTTCTCAGCTGCGGCCATTGCTGTGCGGCCTCCGCTGCGCGCCCACTGAGAACCGCGCACGACACGCCAAGTCGTTTATAGTGGCTGCCAGACGTCGCAGAGGAGCTGTGCTTGGCGAGACGCCCCCCCGTAGCGTTAGTGGAGCGCCCTCTGCCTCATTCGCCTGGGCACTCTTTACGCCGTCCGCCGCGATGCCGCGAGGCAGACGACGACGAACACGGGCCCCAGCGCTCGCCCTCTGCGCCACAGCGCTCACGCGAAGCGCCCTCGCCCTCGCGCCGATCGGCGCGCCCGCGGCGGCGTTCACGACCGAGCTCCACCGACGCCAATTAAGTACAAAGGAGGACCACACGATCTCCCTGACGGACTATTTTAATAATCAGTACGTCGGCTCGCTGGAGATCGGCACGCCGCCGCAGAAGCTGACGGTCGTGTTCGACACCGGGAGCAGCGACTTGTGGCTGCCGGCCAAAAAGTGCGGCGCCAAGTGCGGCAAGCACGACACCTTCGACGGGTCGAAGTCGTCCACATATGAACAGGTCATGAACCCGCACGGCACGCCCGCGGCTTTTGAAGTGGACTACGGCAGCGGTCGCGTCACGGGCGCGCAAGCCAGGGACACCGTTACTGTTGGTGGCCTCAAAATAGAGAAGGTCAAGTTCGGCGAGGTGGACTACGAAGATGAAGAAATTAGGGAATTTATGATGGACGGGATTGCAGGGATGGCCTTTCCAGGCTTAGCCATGGTCACGCAGCCCACGTTACTAGAGTTGTTGCACGAGCAGCACCCCGAGGTGCCCTACCTCTTCTCCGTGTATTTGTCGACGAATCCCGACGATAAAAAATCCCATCTGGCCTTCGGAAGCTACGACTTATCGCTCGTGGGCAAGAACGCGTCGTGGCACTACACGCCGTTAGTGAGACGCGGCGACGAGGACACGACCTTAAGATACTGGCTCACGAAACTCAAAGGAGTAGAATTAGAAGTGGGCGACGCGTGGTGCGCCAAGGGCTGCTACTCGATTGTCGACAGCGGCACGTCCGGTCTAGGATTGCCCGATGATGTGTATGACGACTTCGTCGCGGCCGTGACACGCGGCTTGAACTGCAAGGACGTCACGTGCTACTACGCGAGCGAGGACGATTTTCCCGACCTGAGTTTTAGTCTCGAACCGGACAACGTCTTTCCTTTACGAGCGCGCGACTACGTGTCGTGCTCGCGCTGGGGCGAGTGCGTCGTCAAGGTGCAGAAGGCGTCGGGGTCCCCGTACTGGATTTTAGGCGACGTCTTCACGGAGGCCTATTATACGTTATACGACGTGGAGAATTTGCGGGTGGGCTTTGCGTGCGAGGGCGAGTGCGAGGGCGGCGGCTGGCACGGCAAGGGCGGCTACGTGGACGTCGACGACCCGTCCGTCTGGGCGCAGCTGTTGGTTGCGTTCGCTGCTTTATCGGTCGTGGGCATCCTAGCTCATAGTTGTTACCGCTACGCCAAGATTCGGCGACGCACAAAGCGCTTCTACGCGGCCCAGGCGGCGGCGGCGCCGCCGATGCCGCCCGCGCCGGCGTCGCCGAAGCCCAATGTTGGGGAGGGCGACATCGAGAGCGTCGCGTTGTGATGTGTAAGAGACTGTGTCTGATTTCAGTGTCGCTTTCGGGGCGTACTTGGGTGGCGGCAGCAGCGATCATGGGCGACTTGTTACGAGCCACGAAAACGCCTACGGCTCAGAGATATATATGCTCGGAATCGGTACGGGTTTTGCGGCTGAAAAAAATCAGTTTTTTGAGCCACAGCCTTTTTGCAGGCGCATATCTGCCTCACACGCTGAGAAAACAAGTTTCCTGCAGCGCCGTACTGCCCTCTTGACGCTGCCGCTCGAAACATCCGCGGCACAAGCGCGCAGGACAGACACAGCAGGACCACTCAATCCACACACCCGCGCACGAACGATGCCCGTCCTCGCCGCAGTAGAAGGCGGCGGCACGACCTATGTCGTCGCCATCGCGAAAGACAAACCCGAGAATATCATTGAGAGGGCCTCGTTCCCGACGACGACGCCGGAAGAGACCCTAAGCAAGTGCAAAGCCTGGCTCAGACAGCGGTCCTTCGACGCCCTGGGCATCGCGACCTTCGGCCCCGTCGACCCAAGAACATCATCGAAGACCTATGGCCACATCACGAAGACGCCGAAGAAATTGTGGCGCGACGCGGACGTCGTCGGCGCTTTGGACATCTTCGGCGTGCCAGTCAAGTTCGACACGGACGTGAACGCGCCCGCTTTATCCGAATACCGCGCCATGATCGACAAAGGAGAGGACCCGTCGTGCGTCGCCTATGCGACCGTCGGCACCGGCGTCGGCGTTGGCCTCGTCGTGAACGGCGCGCCCGTTCATGGATTATTGCACCCGGAGGCGGGCCACGCCTGCGTGCCGCGCTACCCGGGCGATGATTTTGCGGGCCACAACCCTTCATTAAACTGCCCGGGCTGGGCCGAGGTCGAGGCCATGTGCGCGTCCGGCGCTTTGGCAAAACGCGCGGGGTTGAATGACACGGCCGGCCTCAAGGATTTACCTGATGACCACCCGGTCTGGGACGTGGCCGCGCACTACCTCGCGGCGCTCTGCGCGAACTTGATCCTGGTCGTGTCGCCCGAGAAGATCGTGCTCAGCGGCGGCGTCATGCTCCGCGCGTCGCTCTTTCCGCGAATTCGGGCGAAGACGGTCCAATATTTGAACGGCTACATCCCGGTGCCCGCCGTGGCGTCGGCCGCGGCGGCCGAGACGCTCATCGTGCCGTCGCCCCACGGCAACGACGCGGGCATCATCGGCGCGCTGACCCTGGCGCAGGACGCGCTCGGCGGTGGGTCCTCCTCGCCGTGCCGCCTCTCTTTGATGGGCGGCGCCTTCGCGGCGGGGGCGCTGCTCGCCGCGCTACTCCGCTAGCTGTGTCGTCGCGTAAGGTTACGAGACTGTGCTAGCGCATGCGTCGGTCATGCTGGGACGAGTGGGCGGAGGCCCTGGAGACCCCGCGTTGTCGATTCATCGGCGGCGGGCGCGTGCCGCGTTTTCAGAACAGCATACCTCCTTAGCAGAACCGCCCCGGCAACCCCCGCCGAACGCCTCGGCAGACGAACCGGAGTTAGCGGTCACTAAGGCACTAGCATGCATTTCAGTTCTTTGGCTGCAATTGAGCTGTTCACCCGGAACCGTAAGCGAGGCCACCCGCCCGCGCTCAGCCCATACCATGTTCTCGCGCCGGAGCAGCGCCGCGGAGCCGGAACCCAAAAAGGGCAGCCGCGCCGAGGAGGACGAGGACACGCCGACCAAGGAGCTGCGCTCTTATTTCGCAGAGCTGCGGGCGAAGTCCGGCCTGCCGGGCCTCCAAAAGGCAAACTTCCTCGAAAAATCAAAAACCTTCCAGCGCTATGGTTTATATGCGATCGCGCTGATCATTGCCTTGCTGGTGGGAGCGGCCACCTACGCGCGCGTGCGCACGGATAACATAAGATCGAAGAAGCGGGAGCGCAAGCGCTTAAAAGGCGAGTGGTGCGACGACGGCGAGATCAACCTCAAGCGGTGCACGACGCTCGACCTCACGCTAAAGGCGGAGCCGCTGGGCGACGACGGCATCAAGGACCTAGTGAAACGCTTGCACGGGAAGCAGTTCGTGCGGAAGGAAAAGAGGCGACTGCGCAACTTGATCATCCAGCACCATGGCATCAGCAACGAAGGAGCGAGGAGACTGGCTCAATTAATAGCTAGCTGCGCCAATCCGCTCCACCAACTCTCGTCGCCGTGTGCGTTCGACACGTCGAAACGCTTTGAGTTGGATCTAAGGGCGAACCCCATCGGCAAGCGGGGCGTCGAACAGATAAGGGCGGCCGTCGAGCGGGCCAAGTCGTTCGGCTTTCCGGTCATCGTCTGGGTCGGCGGCCATTCCGAGGTGCGGGCCGCGGGCGGTCCGCGCATTAAAGTAGGCGCCATCGAGGTGCAGCTCGGGAAGACGTCCTCCCCTGTGTGGAAATCAGCTCACGAAGGTCCACGCAATATTTCTCAGGATAACCTAACTCACTGGTTAATTTCTACACAGGTCCTCCCAGACGAAGGAGGAAGACCGGGAGTACCGCGTGCCTCCTACGTTCATGGACCGACTCCTGCCACATGACGCGGCCACCACCCTAAAAATCCGGATCATGATCGCGATCGTGGCCTTCTGCTGCGGCCTCGCGGCGCAGCACCTGCAGAGCTGGGACCCGCCCTTCAAGATCGTCTGGAACGAGGAGGCCCACACCGTGAAATTAGTCAGGCGCTTCCTCGAGTACCTGGGGCTGAAGTTCATCGAGGCCGCGCCGGACAAGGTCCTCACGTCGGCGGCCATCTCCGGTAGGGACTCCAGTAGGGACCTCGACGTGCCGAGCGGAAGGCCCTCGCCCCCGCCGGACGCCAAGGCAGCGCTGCGTGTCGTCTTCGCGGACACCGACGCGAGCGACTAGACAATTCATCTCCCGTAATTTATTACTGCTGACTCTAAGGCGGCGTCCGGGGCGGCGTCACGACGGCTATGCGCCGGGGCTGCAGCCGGTGCGGCGTCGCTTTCCCGTCCGGGAGCGCCGCTTGCAACGCCTCGGCCCAGTCGCCGCCATTGTCCCGGTACCGCAACAAAATGTGCACGACGACGTCCACGTTCAGGATGCCCTCGCGCCGCCGCTTCATAGCACCTCGGAACTCGCGCAGCGGCAGCCGCCGCACTTCGCAGCCGTGTAAATTCGCCGCGTCCCGCGTACAATTCTTCCGCACGGGTCTATCTACAAGCCCGGCCACGACGTACGTCACGCCGTCCTCGAGCCCCTCCAGGGCCTCGTCGGCGTCCGGCGTGAGGTAGACGACGCGCGCCGTGCGTTCCCGGCGCCGCTTCCACGTGTCGCGCGCGTCGCGAACCACGGGCCACTTGGCGGACCCGATCGCCTCGAGGTGCGCCTTTGGCTCGTTCGTATACGACGACAGCGTCACGATCGTCGGCTTGAGCGCCCGCCGACACTTCGCGACCGTGTCGGCGAGTTGCCGCCCCAGACTCCGCCGCTGGCGCGCGTCCATGAGCTCCCACCACGCGAGGTCCACCTCGATCTCCGGCGCGTCCGTCGAAAGGCCGTCGTAAACCTTGAGCGCTGCGTCCAGCCGCTCGCGGGCCGCGGCCTCGGCGGCCCGCAGCGCGCGCGCGGCCACGTCCACGGCATCCTGCGACCCGCCGTAGGCCACGGCCAGCGCGTTGTTTTGTTGTAATCGTTTGGCGGCCGTCGGCCGCGCGCGCTTCGGCCGCCGCGCCATGGCTTTTTGCGCTTTAATTTCGCGGGCCCGCGCGCGCAGCGCCGCTTGTTTTCGGTGCGCCGCTTCGTCATCCTTCTCGTCGTCGTCGTCCGCCAGCAGCCACCTGACAAAAGCGCCGGCGACGAGCGTTGCCGCTGCCGTGAGGGCGAGTTGGTGGGGTTTCATCGTTGCTCGTGTTGTCAGGCGTGGTCAGCGCTTCAACCTGGTAGTCACCAGCTTAACCTGCTGCCCGCCGCGCCCCACCACGCTCTGCAAAAAGCCGGAGAGCAATAATGTCTAGTGTATCGACACACTAGATTTCTTGCCTCGAGCTCGAGGCGCGGCGTATTTGCACTCTGTGGCGAAAAGCTCCTTATTTCCTGGCGATTTAGAGACTGCGAACAATTACCACCACTCCTGAGCAGCGCAGGCAGCCAGCTGGTATAAGCAATTTTGAAGACAGGGGGGCAGCCCCATTCCTGAGCAGCGCGGACAGCCGCTGGTATAAGCAATTTGAAGACAGGGGGCAGCCTACAGGATGCAGGTCGAAGAGCTCGACTCCCCGAATGCCTTACCCCCAAAAACTCCGCCGCCGAACTACGGCCAGGCGACGGCGCTGCCCCCGAAACCGCGCTTCGCCGCGATGCTGCCGCCGGACGAGTCGGCTCCGGAGCTCGACGAGACGACGAAGCAGCAGCTCCGGGCCGTCTTCGCCGCCTGCGACGACGGCCGCGGCCTCGACGCGCCGCGGACGCGCGAGGCCGTGCGGGCGCTCGGCCTCGGCGACGGCGAGGCGGCGGTCGACCGCTTCCTCGCGGCGCGGCGCGGCGCGCGCTTTTTGAGTTGCGACGCTTTTTGCGAGGCGGCGGCGGCCGAGCTCGACCGCGCGCGCGGCGCCGAGCCCGAGCTCCTGAAGCTCCTGGCGCTCTTTGACGACGGCGGCTCGGGTACTTTAGATAGAGAGACGCTGCGCCACCTGCTCTGCGACTTCGCGTCGCCGGAGCGCCTGACGCCGGACGAGTTCGAGGAATTGGACCTTGGGGCCAACATCGACTACCGTCAGTACGTCAGAAGTCTAATGGCTACCACTTAAAGCGCGTGGGCCCCTCGCGCGACCACTCGTCCAGGAAGGAGAAGGAGTCCTCGGCCAGACTGTCCTCCTCCGCGCGCGACGCCTCCTCGTCGGCGATCATCTGCTTGATCCAGTCGTCGGCGTCCGGCGCCGCTTTCCGCTCCGCCTGGATGTTCCGCCCCAAAAAGTTCGCGGCCTCCACTGCCCTAACCATGCCGCGCTTCCGCACGTAGTCGGGCGGTTCCGTCTCGCACATGCCCGTCGTTTCATTGTAGTAGAAGGAGCAGCCCGCCTGGGTCACGTACTTCCAGGAGCCCCTATCCTTGATTTTTTGGCGGAACTCGGCCCGCATCTCGGCCTTCTTCTCGCGATTGGTTTTGGCCTTGGCCGGCGTCTTTGGGGTATGTGACCGGCTTAAGATCGACGTCGGTTTGTTCGGCGAGTTCATGACGGCCTCGCCTCGCCGTCGCATGGGCGAGACGAACTGGCGGTGGGAATTCCGTCGTTTCTCGTAGGCGGCTCGATCCGCGGAGGTCATCGACGACGCCCACCGCCTTTGGGCCTGCTTCTTCGTCAGCCAGAACGACGGCGGGTAGAGTTGGGAGGTATGTGCTTGCAGCTCCGTGACGTCGGGCTCGACCTCGCGCCGCATGTACTGCGCGCGGCTCCAAAACGTCAGCATGTCGTCGCCGTTCGTGAGGCGCGCCATTTTTCGTCCCGCGGGCTTTGCTCAGACGGGGCGCCGCCGAGGCGTCGCGTGTGAGAGAGGCTGCCTAGCGCCTCTCTTCCCCTGTGGGGCTGCCGCGCGCGTCGGGGCGACGGGCGAAAGAAACTCGACGGCAAACGGGCTCCGGTGGAAAGTCCAGGGGCCGCGTCGCAGGGGCTGCCGGTGGAGCGTGGGGCGAGGCGTTGCTTTTAACCTGGCCCTCGCGCTGCGAGATGCCGCGCTATAGAGAGCGTGTCCCTTGCGAGATGGAAGCGAGCCGTCCGGTGGTCAAAACACAGATCCCTCGGAGACTACTGTGCTCCGGACTAGCGGCCTGAAAGACACTAGCCAAGCAAAAACAGCAGAGGCATCTCCTCGCCTGGATTACTCGCGGTAGACGCACGGTACGCGTCAACTGGAGCTTGTGGTTGCCTCCCAGTAGCCGTGACCAGCGAGCTTGCACGAGAGCGTGCGCGCAACCGCGCCTGAGCAATAAATACCCTGCTGCCTTAGAAACAGCAGACCAGCCAAAAGACCGCCGCCGCGCGCCATCGACGCGCAGCAGTCCCACGAACCATGGGCGCCGAGGCCTCGAGCTGCTTCGCCTGCTTCGAGGGCGACCACGGTCCTTATGCGGACAGCCACCGCTACACGTGCTTCGAGGACTTGCAACTAGACAAGGAATTAGGGCATGGTGCTTTCTCGACGGTACGACTCGGCATCAACCGCAAGAACAAGGACAAATTTGCGGTCAAAGTCGTCCATAAGTCCAAGTTGTCGAAGCAAGACATCGACGCCCTCCACGTCGAGGTCGGTATTCTCTCGAAGCTGAGGCACCCGCACGTCGTCAAGTACTTTGACTTTACGCAGGATCGTTCTCATTATTATATCGTGTTGGAAGTGGTCGCGGGTGGCGAATTATTTGACAGAATAGTACAGCGCGTCTACTATTCCGAGAAAGAGGCTCGGGATTTAGTCTGGGTCCTGCTAGACGTCTTGCACCACATCCACGGCAAGAAAATAGCCCACCGCGACTTAAAACCGGAGAACTTACTCCTCAAGAGCACCCATAACGACCACGACATCAAGTTAGCGGATTTTGGCTTCGCGACCGAATGTAAAAAACCCCTCAGGGATCTCTGTGGTACCCCTGCTTATGTCGCTCCGGAGATCATAAGAGAAAAACCTTATGGGCTCGAGGTGGACATGTGGTCCTGCGGCGTCATCGTGTTCATACTGTTGGGAGGTTATCCGCCCTTCGACGACGCGAACGGCGTGTCGGACATGTACGCCCAGATTAAGAGAGGCGCGTTTACCTTCGACGAGAGGTACTGGTCCTCCGTCAGTTCGGAGGCCCAACTGTTCATCAAGTCTTTATTACAAGTGGACCCTTCCAAAAGACCTTCCGCAGCCGCGGCCATGAACCACGACTGGTTCACGAAGCACGCGACCGAGCTGTCTACTACGGACCTGTCGAAGACGATCGACAACATGAAGAAGTGGAACGCCCGTAGGAAGTTGAAAGGAGGCATCAAGGCCGTCATGGCCTCGAACCGCGTCGCGGCGGCGGCGCGCGGCGGGCAGTAGTAGTGGGGTAGGATTTCCCTAAATCTAAGGATAATTAACACACGAGTTATCGCGCAAACAACTTCTCCTCCGAGGCCTTCTCCATGAGCGCGATGGGCTTGAGGATGTTCACTTTGTTCGTCTCGACGACGCAGCCGTCGACGACCATCTCGTCGAGGATGAAGTGGGCCTTTTCCAGGTTGAACATGATGTCGAGCTCGCAGACGCTCTCGAAGTACTTGTCCAGCGTCTCGACCAAGGCGTGGATGAACTCTAAAATACCGAGCTCGTTCTCGCCGTCCTGGTCGACGCCCACAATGAAGAACAAGGACGCGTACCGTCTGTATACTACTTTGTAGCCCCTATATTCAACAAAGGAGCACTGGAATTCCGATCTAGACAAACAGGTGCGGATGATCTCGGCCTCGAGCGCGACGCGCTCGGGCATGGACAGCCACTCGTAGTAGGTGGACAGGCGCGTCTGGCCCTGCTTGTTGACCATGAGGACGAACTTGATGGCCATGGCTGCTGGTGTTCTTTGGCGCGTCGCGGCGCTCAGCACGCTGCGACTAGCTGACCCTGGAGGTGTTTGTTTGGGCGGTGCGCGCCGGTTTCGTGCAAAGGCGGCGACAGATTATCGATGAATTGATGCGAGACGATCTGTGATCACGCGACAACGTGGGTGCGCGGACTAATAGCGGCGCGGCCTATTTTTTAGCTATTAATTAAAATTCCTCCAGGCCCAAAGCAATTGCCTGCGCGCGCATCTCTGCCGCGCGTGCAGCGACCGCAGCAATACGCTGAAAACACGATCGCTCGCGCTGTGAAACCGTCCTGAGGCCGCGAAACTCGCTCCCTTGCGCACGGCTTTAGAAGCACGCTCTCCCGGCAAAAGCGGCGCGACGCCGCCGAGCGCGTGCGCGCGCCATAAAAATGCAAAAACCGTCCGTCGTCATTGACAATGGCACGGGCTACACGAAGATGGGTTATGCGGGGAACTGTGAGCCCCAGTACATCGTGCCGACCGTAGTAGCGTCCCGAGCCCTGAAAGGCGGCCAGGAGGCTACCGTGGATGGTGTGGACGATCTGGACTTTTATATTGGCAACGAAGCGTTAGCCCACGCGACGACGCACCAAGTGAACTACCCGATAAGACATGGGCTCATCGAGAATTGGGACAATATGGAGCGTTTGTGGCAAAGATGCCTGTTCAAATATTTGCGGTGTGAGCCGGAAGAACACCATGTCTTACTCACGGAACCGCCCTTAAACACGCCCGAAAATAGGGAGCTCACCGCGGAGATCATGTTCGAGACGTTTAATGTACCTGGCTTATACATCGCCGTGCAAGCGGTGTTGGCTTTAGCTGCTTCGTGGACGTCGAAGAACGTCAAGGAGCGAACATTAACTGGTACGGTCATTGACTCGGGTGATGGTGTGACCCATGTCATCCCGGTCGCGGAGGGCTACGTGATTGGGAGTTGCATCAAGCACATCCCGCTAGCTGGTCGAGATATTACGGCCTTTGTGCATAGATTATTGAGGGAACGGGGAGAACCGGTGCCCGCGGAGGACGCCCTAGAAGTAGCGAAGCGCATCAAAGAAATGCACTCGTACGTGTGCCCCGACCTGGCCAAGGAGTTCGCGAAGTACGACAGCGACCCCGCCAAATATTTCAGGACCTACGAAGGGCAACATAAGCGCACGAAGCAGCCGTGGGTCGCGGACGTCGGGTACGAACGGTTCTTAGGTCCGGAGATCTTCTTCAACCCCGAGATCTTTTCCTCCGATTTCTTGACGCCTTTGCCTGATGTGGTGGATGAATCGATCGTCAAGTGCCCCATCGACACGAGAAGAGGCTTGTACAAGAACATCGTCCTCAGTGGCGGGTCGACGATGTTCAAGGACTTCGGCCGTCGACTCCAAAGGGACGTCAAGAAGCGCGTCGACGCTAGATTAGATGCGAACGTGAAGAGATTAGGCTCGCTGGGCAAGCAGGCCCAACCGCAAAAGATCGACGTCTCGGTCATCAGCCACCAGATGCAGCGCTTCGCGGTCTGGTTTGGTGGAAGTATGCTCTCGTCGACGGGCGAGTTCTTCCGCGTCTGCCACACGCGGGCGCAGTACGAGGAGGAGGGTCCAAGGGTGGCGCGGCACAACGCGGTCTTCTCGGCGCAGATGTAGTTCTTTCTGCGTTCGGGGAGTGTGTAAAGTTATGATCTAGCTCTGTGTGTAGCGCCGCCGCGGCGATGGCGTCGAGGTGGGTATTTTTGCTTTGCTTATCTAGAGCTAATCTAGAGCTAGGCCGCCTAGCCACCCGGCCGCCGCATCTGCCGCCGCGGGATGCCGCGGGGTCTGCGTGACCGAACGCCCGCCCCGCCCCCGCCCTCGTATTTTTAAAAGTACAATTAGTTGTTGTCCCCGTCCCATTCTACGCGTAAGCCCGAGGCCATGAAGTGGCGGTGGATGCGCTGCGAGATCTCGTTCTTCACCGAAAACAAGGACGCGGATTTGCCCTCGAGCTTGAGCACGACGGTCGGCTGGATGCCGCCCGAGCCCGAGACGCTCACCAAATCGATGGACCCGCCCGCGACCGACAGGAACGGCCGCACGCCGTCGAGCACCTCATCTACAGCTTCCTCCGTAATATCGGGAGCGTCGGGCAGCACCTGGACGACCTCGGAGATCTCGGGAATGGCCTCCTTGAGACGCCTCTCCAAGCCCATCTTCATCGTCATCGTCGACGACGGGCAGTCGCCGCAGGCGCCCTCGAGCTGCAGGCGTACAACCGGACCCTCGATGCCCGACACGCGGACGTTACCGCCGTCGCTCATCAGGTATGGCCGCAGCTCGTCTAAAATCATCTCAACATTATCGAGCGTCAGCGGGTACTGGTCGTCCGCGCTACGGATGACCTCCTCCTCGAACGGGCTCAGGTCGACGGCGCGGCGCGCCGTTCGTCGCCAGCGCGGCGCATTGATTTTTGTTGACGGGAGGGTGTACGCAGCGGCTACGGCGGCTAATGCCAAGCAGCCGAGGGCATGGGCTGTAGTGCTCACCATCATTACGGTAAGAGCTCTACGTCACAGCCCAAATTGATGCAGATATCTCGAGCAGTACTGTGGCGTGGGTGCTCACGTAACTCGCGTACTGCGCCGAATGTCGTGGTGATTGCCCTGCCCTCGCACCTCGTCGACGACGCCACTAGCCTTCGGCGCTTGGGGGCGGCTCAGAAAAGCTCCCTGGACCGATGCATATGCACGGCGGCCGACGCCTCCCGAGGCCGGGGCCAGAAAACGCCGAGGTCGACGGCCCGCGCGTCCGCGAGACAAGAAGTAAATGCAAAATTTTAGGAAACACCGCGCACTCAGTACTTCTCGAGCTTCGTGCAGATGTACACGCGGAGCGTCTGGTCGAGGCACGCGAGGCAGGCCAATCCCTCCTTGTCCGGCGACCAGTCGAAGGACACGATCGGCTGCGTGGAAATGACCCGGGAATTCAGCAGCTCGACCGTGCCCGGCACGCCGCAGGGCGAGTCGTCCTTGTGCTGCATCTGGCGCTTCGGCGGGTAGTGGTACGTGTAGAGGTTGAAGCCGCCGTTGCCGCCCCCGGTCATCCACACATCTCTGTTTTGTGGTAGGAACCTAGCGAGCCAGACGGTGGCTTTATGGGCTTTTTCGGCGACATGAGCGAAGCCCTCTTCCGCGTGCTGCGTCCGCACGTCGAAGATGCGGAACCGCGACTCGAGCGTGCACACCGCGAGCTTGTTCATCTCCACGTCCTTGCGGTCGAACTCGACGCAGGTCACGCCGTTCGAGGCGTTCGTCTCCCAGCGCATGGAGTTCGTCCGCAGGTCAAAGAGCTTGACGTCGCCGTTGTCGTAGCCGGCTGCGATACACCGCTCGTCTCCAACACTGTTGCCGAAGGCGACCGTCCAGCAGTCCCTCACTGGTTGGCCCTCGACCGGTTCTAACGAAACGACAGATTCCTTCACCCTAGGATCCCAGACTCTAACACATCCGTCTCGCGAGCCGGTCACGAGCTCGGGCGCGCCGCCGCCAATACCTAATCCACCAACGCCGTCAATCCCATTAATGATCTGGGAGTGGGCCGTCGGAATGCTGAAGGTTGGCACGTCGAGTCGCTCCAGATCAAAAATGTTCAAACCGCCCTTGTAGTCGCCCGTCGCTATAGACCTCTCGGATAAAGACGAAGCGCCGAAGGTGCCGCACTTGAACCCGCTCCCGTGGATCTTCTCGGCAACGACCTCCAGCTTGCCCTGCTTGAGTTCATAAACCTCGAGCTTGCCCTTGGCCTTCGGCGTGATCCCGCAACAGACGAAACGCGCCGAGCACGGCACCCAGCGCGTCTCGTAGGGCGTGTACGTCAGGGACACGTTCTTGTGCTCGATCATCTGGGGTGCGTCGGTCGTCTCCATCGTGGCCATGGTTGCTTCGTTGCCTTTGAAGGCGTTTTTTTTTGTAATGGGCTGCCGAGCTCTAATTTGTATTTGGCACCAGGTGAGGCGTTTCGAGCTCCGATTTTTGCGCAAGGCCTTCCCTGAAGTGTCCTTGCAGCCGTGCGCTAACCGGTTCGTGCGACAGAGGCCCGCAGTGCAGCGTTAATGCAAAAGTTTCGATCGAGCCGGCAAAACCGCAAAACCCGAACCCACCCGTGATAATGCCGGCACTTCTCCCCCACGGAAACATCATCTACAACCCCAGTCTGATGCCTTTACGAAGAACGTTACATTAAGGGGGCACAGGAGGGAAGACGCGTCACGCGGTCGCGCAGCGACGCCGCCCCACGCCCATCTTCGTCGGGAAGGACCCCGAGCCGGACCGGTAGTGGCCGGAGCCGGACGGTTCGGGCGCCGGCGCGACCAGGGCCGTGGGCTTCGCGCGCACGAAGGGCGCCGGCGCCACCACGGCGGGGTGGGCGACGAGGGGCGCGGGCGCGACGAGGGCCGTCTGCTTCGTCGCCAGGGGCATGGGCGCGACGAGCGCCGTCCGCGGCGGGATTTCCGGCGTCGGCGGGTCCCAGCCTTCCGCGTCGACGCTCGACGGCGGCGTCACGACGGTCGCAGCGGGCGTGGGCGGGCCCTCGTCCGCGGGCGCGGGCGTCACGAGCGCCGACCGCTCGGCGAACGCCGCGGGCGGGCCCGGCCGCAGGACGAGTGGCGACGTCAGCGGCTCGTCGTCGCCGGCGAGCTCGACGACCCGGAGGTCGGAGGACGACGCGCGCGACGCACGGAGCCGCGCCGCGACGTCAGCGCGCAGGCGCCGCCGGACCGCGTCGCGCGGCGCCGGGACCGCGGCGGGCCGCGCCGGCTTGGGCTCGAGGGGGGAGTACTTGGGCCGCGGCGACTTCTTGGGCCGCGGCGGCGTCTTCGGGCGCGCGGGCGTCGCTTTGACTTGCGCCGGGAGCGGCTTGCGGCGGCTCCAGAGCGACACCGGGCCCGCCGCCGCGTCGTCGACGCGCGGCGTCGCGATGGGCGTGAGGTCCGGGAGGGGCGTGGCGAGGTCCGCGTGGGCGTGGCGGCCGGTGTCGACGGGCGCCGGGCGCCTGGTTTCAATCGGCGGCAACCGGACCGCCGGGCCATCGTCCCGGGGCGTCGCCGCCGCCCCCGCGTCGCCGGCCCAGTCGGCGATGAGCACGCTCAGCAACTTCGCGTGCTCCGCGGCGAGGTCGAGGAGCTGCTTGCGCTGCTGGCTGCGGTCCTGGGCCGCGGCCGGCGCCGGGCCCGTCGGGGCGCGGTGCGCTGGTGGCGGCGACGCGGTCATGGCGCGCCGCGGTGGGCTTGGCTGAAAATTTATCAGAGGGGCCTCTGATGACAGCGCCTTGTGGACGCGCAAAGCCGCGGCGCGCAACGCAGCGGCTATGCGCGAAACTACTGGTGGAATTTTGTGTGCCTGTCGTGTTGCGTTCGTCGCCGCAGCGCGATTGCAGGCACCAATTTGCCTTCGGCAGTCGCCTCGACGATGTATCTCGATGTCGGGAAATGGCACGCTGTCCGACACACGCATTCAGCCCGGTCGTACCCCTCGAGACGCCAGACACGGCTCCCTGCACCGATCCTGGAGCCCCCGTTACAAAGAACCTTAGCGGTAGGCCAACACTGGAACCGCGTGAAACGCCGAGGTGTCCAAGAAAACGATTTATCCACGGGAGAGAGGGGACGAAAAGGGAATCAAAAAGTCGGCCGCGTCCAGGACGTCGTTTGCGTGTTGTGGTCGACGAAGTACTCGCGGCCGTCGGCCGTGAGCATGCGCTGCCAGCCCGGCGGCAGGGCCGCGGGCGGCGGCCGCGGCACGGCGGGCAGCGGCATCGCCGGCTGGGCCGGCCGCGGCGCCGCGGGCCGCGCGTACGAGACGGGCTGCGGCGCCGGCGGCGCCGGCTGCGCGAACACCGACGGCGCCTTGGGCGTCGGCAACGGCGGCTGCGCAAAGACCGACGGCGCCTTGGGCGTCGGCAGCTTCGGCGTCGGCGCGTCGGGGTCCACGCAGCCCATGCCGCCGTAGCCGCCGTAGTCGTCGTCGTCCCCCTGGGGCGACGGCGCGGCCGCGGTCGCGTCGACGCCGCCGCCTAAGGCGGCGGCCTCGTCGGCGGCGCTCATCGTACCATGGTCCGCGCCGGTCGTCGTGCCTTCCTTCCCCCAGAACTGGACCTCGCCGAAGATGTCGTGCAGCAGATCCTTCAGGAGCCCCTGGAAGTCGGACTGCATGTGCGCGGGCGCGAGGTCCCGGACGGCTCCGAACGGCGACTCTCCCATGTATCCTCTGTTGCAGATGGTGTAAAACTCCTTGGGTTTGCCCGGCGGCAGCGGCAGGAAGTCGTCCGGCAGCCCCGTGATGTTGGCCGCGATCAGCGGGGGTTCGCCGGGCACGGGGTGCGGGACCGTCGGCACGTACGCGCTGATGGCCATCTCGTCCCCCAAGTCGCGGAAGCCGACGGGCATCTGCTTGTCGTAGTCGTGGCTGTGCGTGCCCCAGATGAACTCCTTCAGGCATCTCTTGAACACGATGCCGACGAGGCGCCAGATTGCGATGGCCAGCGCGAAGCCGCCGATGATAGGGTACGCCCTGCGGGCCAACTTCTGGGCCGACGTTCGCTCCCAGGGTTTGTCCTCAGCATTGGACGGCGCGCAGACCAGGAACTTGCTCAGACAATGCCCTGCCGAGATCGTCGTAGCGTCACAATCGCCGGCCCTGAGCGCTTCTTTTCTACTCATGAACGACCCGGTGAAGTCAAAGCAATAATTCTCGATAGCAGCAGTAGGGTACACGCCCCAGTTCTGGAAGAAGTACTGCGCCACGAGCACGTGCACGAAGACCAGTAACGCGATGCACCCGATGGCCCGCCTACTAATCTGGTCGTCAAAGTCCGGCTTCCAGGCCCACAACCGCAGCAGACAGTAGTGGTCCACGAAGAAGGACGTGAGTAGCGCCGCCGCCGTCACCAGCAACCCGTAGGGCACCGCCGCGGCGTAGAACAGCCCCACCCCCAACGTCTTCATAATATCGGTATACCGCTCGGCGATGTTCCAGTCCGCGCCCGACCAGAGCGCGTTCATGTCCTGTTGGGAGGGTTGTCTAGGCCCGACAACGTACCGCATAAATAAGTCGTACACATCAAAAACCCGCAGTACCGGTAACAGAAAAGCGTCCATCAACAAGATGGACATGACCCCGGACAACGCCGTCGCCGAGAGCCGACTCCTTCTACCGTACGCAATAAATGCCGCGATCACCGTGTTCGCCCATCTTGATAAAAGTAGCTTCAAAAACATGGAGTCCTGGTCGTCGCCATATTCCCTATGGACCTCGACCATCAGCTGCATCGCCTTCAGGAAGACCGGTAACGCGCTATTGACGAAGGTGACCCACAGCGCTAGACTATTGGCGTCGTCGATGTTGATGCTGACGTAGTAGACACCCACGACGAGCGCCGCCGTCAATCCAAAAGATACAGTTAAACGCACCCACCGCTCCGACCGCCGCACGTGCGACGTGTGCCACAGGATCTCCGACGGCTCGACGGGCCGCGAAACATTCAATACCACATTTTCAAACGCTTCAGGAGTATTTTCGCTCTCCCAGCCCAAGTACTTCGAGACCATCCTCCGAAAGCCCGACGTCTCGAAGGTCTCGAGGGCGTGCTCCATGCCCGCCTCCGTCTCGAAGGTCACGTAGACCCTACTGGGCTTGTGCCAGTCGAACTCCGAGACGCGCTCCTCTCTGTGTCTTACGATACGCGTGTTGTCGTTCTTGATATTGACCTGGATCATGTCCGTGTCCGGGCGAGTGGGCATCTTCTTCGACGTCGCCTTCGAGCCCCAACGTACTTCGAAGGGGACGCCGTCCAGTTTGACGACGCCGTCGTCGTTCTTGTCCATGGCCTTTTTTATTTGGAGGCAGTCCTCGGCCCGAAACGGCGTCCAGGTTCCGTCGGGACCCTGGTGGTCGAAGACCGTCGTCGGTGGCGCCGTGACCCTCGAATGCTCCTGGATGTACTCCTTGAGTTGCTTTTCTACTTTCTCTAGGTTATCCTGGGCGTACTTCGGCGTCTTCAGCAAGCCCATACCATAGACAAAGGGCTGAATCAACCGCCCGACCGTACCCAATTCTTCGACATTGGTCTTCGCGAACTCGGCTAAGTCTCGTTTAAACCCAAAGCGCTGCGCCATGAGCGTCATCAGTAACCCATTATCTTTCGCAATGGTGACGCAGACCACGGCGTCGTTCACGTGCTCCTCGAAGAAGCTCCGGTAATTCTCGGGATCAATAATGTGCCGCGGCGGGTTCCGTATGACAATCGTATAGTCCGACGCCGTCTGCGCGTTCTCGTCGACGTGCGACTTGGCGCGGCTCCGCATCTTGTCGGCGATGAGGGCCGCGAGCAGCATGATGACGCAGACGGCGATGTCCGGCGCGACGTTCCTCGCCACGGACAGGTCCTTCCTTAAGCAGCCCGCCGCGGAGCCCGTCGACGTGCCGCTCTGCCTATAGTCTAAGTCGCGGCCGCCCTTGTCGATGGACCCGTCCTTGATCTCGTCCGAGTCGCACGTACTCGCGTTGTACAAACCAGAAGTGAGGAGGATGAGCGCGCAGAGCGCCGCGACGGCGAAGAGCGCCAACAGCTGTCGGAAATACAAAGAGATGCCCACGCCAAAACTATCTAACTCTTCGAGCATCGTCGACGAGCAGAGCGGGTAGAGCTCGGCCTCCTTGCCCGTCTCGGCGCTGATGGCCTCGCCCTGCCGCGCCTTGCGGAAGCCGAGCGCCTGGTTCGGCGCGTCGATGCGGTGGGGCAGCTGCGCTTGGAAGTGTTTCCGCGCATCCTCGAGGGAGAGCTTGGTTTTCGTGCGGCGGGCCGGCGCCGTCGCCGACGGTCGACGCGCCGCGGCCATCGTTTGGCTGTTTGCAGCTTTACTGACTTTTGTGCACGCTGCGAGCGTTGTTGAATAATGTGTTCCGCGAGGGTGTCGCGCAGACACACGACGCCCGGAGAATCGGGCAGTTGTAGGGCCCCGTACTTGCGAAAGCTGAAACCAAAGCCGCAAGACCTCCTGCGGAATTAGCTAGCGGCAGTGAGCCACTAGCATTTTTATGGGATAACACAAAAGTATACGCTGCGTATGTTATAGCTGCTTATACGCATTTATAGTCAAAGGGCGGCTGCTGATATAGCGGCGACGCCTCCTGCGAATAGCGCTTATCGATAGCGATCGCTAGCTCCAAACACACCACTCCTAACTAAAGGGCTGTGCGTCGTCTTGGCCGGCGCACGAGTCGAATACAAGCGTTCAGACATGCCGAACGATCCGTCCGACGTCGCCTACGACGACGGCTGGGAGGCGCTGCTCGAGACGGCGACGCTCGTGGACGTGCGCGGCGCGGGCGAGCTCGAGGCGGACGGGTCGCTGCCGGACGCGTTGCACATACCGCTGCGCATGGGCGACGCGCCGGGGGCCTGGGTCGCCGCGGCGACCGCGCGGCTCCCGGACAAAAACGCGCCGATCCTGTGTTTTTGCGCCGTCGGCGGCCGGTCGCGGCGCGCGGCCGAGGCGCTGCGGGGCGCCGGGTATACGAACGTGAAGAACGCTGGCGGCTTCCTCTCGGTGGGCGACACGCGGAGCGGCGCGAGGTACGTCTAATGGCGATGGGGTAAAATAGGTCTAACTTAAAGCATCCCCTGGCGCGCGAGGTCCTCGTACGTCGCTCGGTTCAGCACGTTGCCGTCGCTATCCTCGTACTCCTCGTCGCGCTCCGCCTTGAAGGCCTCGGCCTCGTGCCTCTCTTGCAGCTGCTCCCAGAGCGCGACGGCGTCGTCCATCTTCGTGACGCCGTGGAAGTGCGCGCTGTTCGGGATGCGCAGGCAGCGCATGCCGTGCGAGTGGCGCCATTCGTTAAAATGCTGGTCGAAGGCCCGCCGGCCCCAGTACGACGCGTCGCCGCAGATCTCGCACTTGAACTCCTGGTCGAGGCCGTGCAATTTGTAGAGCCAGTAGGGGATGGGCCGGCCGTCCCAGCCGAGCGGCAGGTTCTTCGGGTTATATAAGGGAGCATCGAGCGGGTCTTCATCATCAGATTCCTCTTCTTCGGGCGCCGCCTGCACGATGCCGAACTCCTCGTCCCGGGCCTCGGCGTCGATTTCATCTTTGGTTCTAGTGAGTTTCCTCTCCGCTCGTCGCGTGGTCGCATCTAGGACAGGTCGCAGATGGTCCAACAACGCGTCTACTCTAGCGTCGTTCAGCAGCGTGCGGTACTTCCGATCAACGGTTGGTTCCTCCCTCGCTCGCTTCTTCGTTTTCAACTTCGCATCGATCTTGTCGACGGGCACGCCTCTTACCGAAAACAACCTCGCTGCCCGCGCCTTGACGTCGCCGCCGCACTTCATCCCGAGGGCTTGGAGGGCCCGTTTCAGTCGATCTAAGCCCAGAGCTTCTAAAGATTCTACGGTCCGAAACGTCCGCAGGTCCAGCGCTTCACCATTCGTCTGATTCTTTTCCGCGTAGGACTTTTCAAAGGCCCGTAAGGGTTCGGCCAACAACGGTTCTAGAGGCACGAGCGGCTGCGTCCGCGCCCAGAAGTCCGTCAAGTAAGCATCCATCGCCGCCGCGTAGCGCACATACCCGCCGTGCGTCTTCTTGCTTTCCGCGACATGGGTGGAAAAAGGCTTCGACCCGAGATGCCTCAAATAAGTCACATAGTCGAGATCCACGGGCGCATTCGGTAAATTGCAGAACTCCCGATGCCTCGCGCTGAGATCCAAATACTTGCCCCACGTCTCCTCGCCGCTGAATTTTGTTTCTACTCGTTTCGCACGAGCTACAGCCGCTTGACTTGAGGCCTGCTGCTGGCCGATCGCCGCCGTGGCGCCGTGCCGCGCGTAGTACTCCCGCGTCTCCTTGAGCGCGCCGTAAAAGTTCGTAAAAACACCAACACCTCTCATCTTCGCGACCTCTCCTCCGAACGTGCCTCCAATATCATCGTGTAACGCACCTAAGGTCGACGCGGCGGCGGTCATGCCCTCGACCACATTTTTTAATGTTCCTTGCTGCTCCATCGACGCCTTCGCTCCAGACGGTTTCTGGCCGAGCGTGTCTACCGCCAAGACCTCGAGGGCCTCGATCTCCTCGAGGGCGCTTCTCGCGCTTTCGAGGAGGGAGCCGGACATGGTTTCTTCTTCGTGGTCTCGCGGCGACGGCGGCTCCTGCTCCTTATGCGCGCGCGGCGTAAAGCGGCGCCGGCGACGTCCTCAGCCTGTTTTTGCGGGGCGGCACTGCGCAGCAGATGCTTGTCCCTCAGTCTTTCAGGTATATGGAGGCTTGCTATTACGCGCAGTGGTGCGTACTAAAGTGCTTGCTGTCGCGAGCAAGCGGCAGCGGCGTCTGCCCAGGCTGCTAGCTAGTGTGTTACCGACGCTAAGCTCGAGCTGCTACGTACGGCAAGTGCGGCATACGCGGCTGCTAGGCAGCGCAGGGACCGGCGGCTCACTGACGCGTTCCATCGATCACAAATAATGCCTTCTGCCGATGAGTTTGACACGTTGGAGCCGGCGTCGCAGCAAAATCAGTACTGCAAATCCACCGACGTGGATCGCGCGCCGACGCGCATTCATGCAAGAACGCCGCGCCGCCCTCGCAGGGAGACGATCGACAGCGTCATGGCCATGCTCGGCCTGAGTTGCCGCCGCGAGGTCGAGGCCTCGCTCGACTCGCCGAGCAACGAGCTCTCGCTGCCGTGCAAGCAGGAGGTGCAGAACGCGCTGAGCGGCTTTTCGCACGTGCGTTGGCGGCGTCCCCCATACCGTCTATCCGAACGTTTACGCTCGCACGCAGGACCTCGACGCCGGCGAGGTGCCGCGCATCCCCGAGGAGACCGGAATCGTGAAACACCAGCGCGCCATCGGCGCGTCCTTTGTCGCCGCGGCCTTGGTCGCCGTCCTGGCGCGCTTCATCCAGCGGCGACGGAAGGGCGGGGGCGGATCATCGAAGAAAAAGAAGAGCCGTCCGCCGTCGAAGAAGAAGGCGTCCTGATCTGTGTTCATAGCGTGCGTAAGGGCGGAATCCGAGCGTATTACTCGCGTGCGGAGGGGCGCAATTCCGAGTAATGTGGCGGAGACGCGCGGGGACGAACGCGGGGACCTGTAGAGGGATCCTGGGTCCGGTATATGTGAGGCTCGGGGGATATATCGGAGCCGTCTGCGGGAATTTCGCAGTGCCCTTCCATCCACCCCTTCCCGGGGCCTCAGGGGCGGCTTTGGCTAAGTTACAAGGTACACTAATAGGGGGTCGCACGGTGGTATAACCATACAGTAATAAAATTATTTTGGCATCGGGTCGATTTTGACGGGTCTCTCCGGCGCAGCTCGCCAAGACAGACCGTTGGGGGATCACTGCGACTGCTCTTATCGTGAACCACTGCGCTCTTTGCGACGTTAGCGCCGCACCGCAGCCGAAATCCCCAAAACCGCCGGGACGCGTGACACGCCATCCGCAGCTGCGTGGGACGCACAAAAACCATAAACCATGGGCATCCTCTTCTCGCGCGTCTTCCAGTCGCTCTTCGGCAGCAAGGAGGTGCGGATACTCATCCTCGGCTTAGATAACGCGGGCAAGACGACGATCTTGTACAAGCTCCAGAACGAGGCCGAGGACGAGGAGGTGATGACGATTCCGACCATTGGGTTCAATGTCGAAACATTACAATACAAAAACATCAAATTCCAAGTCTGGGATTTAGGAGGGCAGACGTCGATCCGACCGTACTGGCGGTGCTACTATCCGAACACGGACGCGATCATCTTTGTCGTGGATAGTGCCGATCGGGAACGGTTGGCAGTGGCGAGACAAGAGCTCCAAGCGATGCTCGACGAAGAGGAGCTCAAAGACGCGATCTTACTAGTCTTGGCGAACAAGCAGGACCAGAAGGGCGCGTTGGGTGCGAAGGAGATCTCGGAGGCTTTGGGCCTGCCGGACGTGCGGAACCGCCAGTGGTCCATCCAGGAGACGTGCGCGACGAAGGGCAAGGGCCTCTCCGAGGGCTTCGACTGGCTCGTGGCCTGCATCAAGGGCGAATAGATACTCCGAGTAATACTTACTTATGGGAGAGCGCCTCGGCGCGAACTTTGGCGATGTGCTCCGCGAGTTCGCGCTGCGGCTGCGGCTCCTCGGGAAGCCTTAAGTCGGGCTTGTCCCGCCCGTTCAAGATGTCGTAGCCGCATCGACTTTCGCCCTTGGTCTGCAGATTTCTCGATCGCAGCGCCGCGCGGTACCTTATTTTATCATCATGTAAACGCAAGCGCTCACCATCCAAGCCCGGAGCGTACTGTAACGTCAAAGCATCATAGGGCACGCTCGACTTGTTCTTCTTGTCCTTGACGCCTATCTCTCTCTGATTGGACCAGTACGCGTCCTCCTGCTGCTTCTCCTCCTGTAGAGCGGCCCAGCGTTGCTCCTCCTGCTTGACGCGGCCTTCGCGTTTCGTCGCGTAGTTCGTTTGTTCCCGTTCGTACCTCGCGCGTCTTTTGAGAAACTCCTCACCCGCAACGTCGGTGTGGAAGCGGTCCGCGTCGCTGCAAAAGCCCGCGGCGTTGGCCTCGGGGACCACCAAGCCATCGGACGTGCGCGGCGCGTTCTCCCGGTGCATCCTGGCGGCGAGGCCCGTGCGCTTCATCAGTCTATCCTTTTCTAACGCGACCTTGTCGCGCTGGGAGCGTCTTTCTGATCTCGTCATGGGCAGGATGTTGCGGAAGCCATTGGCGCTCTTGAGGGGGCTGCCATGCGGGCCCGGCATCGTCAGCGGTGTTTGCGCTGCCCGTTGCTCGCTTCGACGGCGTGCGCGTGCTGCCCTTTGCCTTCTGGCTGCCTTTTCGCGTCGATGGCGTCGTGCGCAGCGCCGCCGGTCTTGCTGCCAACGTGCCCAACGGGCCGCAGTGGCAATCGGGCGCGCAGCCCTCGAAGGCACGCCGGACGCCTCGGCGACGCGTCCCGGGAGCGGTGCGGGGCGTCGGGTTTTGGATGGATGGTCAAGCCGCGCGGTGCGACGAATCCCAAGAACTAAGAACTATCCAAATTATATGCGCCCGAACTGGTCCACCTGCGCCGCGGCCTGCGCCGCCGAATCAAGCAACGCGGGCGCGGCCGACGGCGTCCGCACGGCCGTCGCTAGAGCATCCAAAGCGTAGGCGAAGTCGTCGCGCGACACGTGGAACGCGTCCCGCAACGCCTCGAAGATGGCGAACTCGATGGCCAATAACGCCGCGGCGAAGAACATGCGCGGCGCGAGGCCGGCGTACAAAGCATCAAAGCCCTCCTCGTCGACGACCCGTCGGAACGTCGCGAACACTCCCGTGTCCTGGCCCTTCTTCGCGGTCTCCACCCTCGCAAAGGTCGTATCCAAGGGCTGACTCGCAACAGCCCCGCAGGCGCCCGCGACGGCGCCCGCGATGATAGACACAAATAAAGCATCATTGGCCGCCGGGGGGTAGGCCTGGAGTATCGCGCCTCTGACAGCATCGAAGACCGCGAATTTAAAAGCGGCAAACACGACGTCCTTCGCTATGAGGGCACCGAGGCTCCTTCCAAATAAACCATCATACCAGCCCCCTCGTTCTTCTATCAGTACGGACCACGTATCCAGTAACGAGGGATTGGCCTTCAGCGTCTGTATCCTCACCTTCGCGGCCTCAAAAGGTGTCACGACAGCGACAGCGACGACCGCCGCACCCAAACTTCCGACGACTGTTGCCGCCCAGGCCTGGTCCGACGCGAGTTGAGCGGCCACGATGCGCTTCAGGAACTCCGTCAAACCGAAGGCGAAGAAGCCATTGATGAAATATCCTACGATAATAGGCTCCCAACCCGCGAACAAGGCGAGTAGCCCATCTTCCTCGTAGATTTCTTTGGTTACGTCCACGGCAGAAGTTGCTGAACTAGTTTGGAGCTTCGTTTTTACCAGTTCTAGCGGTGTCAAGGCGACATGAGCAGCGGCCGTACACACAGCACCACAAGCCCCGAGCACGGCGTACTGTTGTAGAGTCACTTCATCTTCTCTCACGGGCTCTAAGCCTCGGGTACCGAAGACGTAGTCCACACCCGTCTGTTGTGTTTGATTATACTCTAAGGCTTCCACTTCGGGTATGACGTACCTGCCCCTTCTCAGAGTAGGCGCCAAACCCGCAGGCAACAACCTCAGCAAGTTATCAGACGAGTTCCCGCGGAAGTCACTTCTTTTGAGATTGAGACAGCCGCAGTCGCCCTTGGTCAACGTAGCTATCGCTTTAGCTTGCCCTTTCGCACCAGCGGGTATCATCAACGACAAGGTACCGGACTCGTTAAAACCCGAACCGCCCGACTCCACCAGAATCTCACCGACCGCGTAGTCCCAGCCTACGGTCGCCGTGGCCTGCAGTCCGCCTCGATTCGGCGGGCCTATTATCAAAGGTACGACCTTCCCTCCATCGTACCCACTACCCGGGTCCTCGACGAGAATCTCGGTCACGGAGCCATTTTGTACTATAGCCGTTAATTTAGCAGGAGTACCACCAAGAGGTGGTGGAGGCGCCTTCACGAAGGGCGCTTGATCATACCCGCCGCCCTTCGAGATCAAGTCGCCGCAGGCGACCTTGCCGGTCGGCGTCATTTTGACGGTGAATTTTGGGGCTTCGGAGTTTTCGGCGTAGTTCGTCTGGGGCCCGTCGAAGAACGTCTTGTTGCTCGTGGGCGTGAAGTCCACGGAGACCTTCGGTGGGGGCTTCAACGCGTAGCCGCCGCCGCCTTGCAGGACCTCGACTCTGTCTATAGTGCCGTTCTGGGCGTTTATGACCGCAGATGCCGTGGGTTTGAGGTCCGTCGTCGACAGGGCTCCGAGCTGTGCTAGTCTTCTTCTACCCGCAATGGTTCTCGGTAAGACGTTCGTCGACAAAGCGTCGAACAATTTCGCCGTGCCGGCGTCGTCCAAGTAGCCTCGGGCTAGGGATAACTCGACAGATGCCACGAAGGAAGAATAGGCCTGCTGGCGCTTCCGTGCTCTCTGATCAGCAGATGACGCGCCGGCGGCCTCGCGTCTCCTCGCCTCCCACCACCTTCGGGAGGCCGGGTCGTAGTTGAGTAAAATGCGCGCGAGGTACTCGACGAACCGCAGCCCGTAGCGCTTCTCGACTTGCGCGAAGGCCAATTGGGGTTTGGACGCTACATCACTTGCCACGGGGATCCAGACGAGCTGCTCCTCCGGTGCCCGCTTCGCGATGGCCGGCAGCGCGGCGAACGCTATTGAAGCGGCGGTGGTGCGCAGGGCGGCACGGCGCGTCGTCTCCGCCGCGAATGGGTCCTGCGGCGGGGTGCTTGGCGGCTTCGCGCTTGGCGGCTTCGCGTGCTTCGTGAGCGGCTGCTGCCTTGTGCTGGGCAGCTGCAAAGCTGTGCACGCCGCGACGGCTAGCGTGCACCGTAGCATAGGTCTCAGGCTTTTGGGTGTGCAAAAAATAGATGCCTCATGATATATTATCAATGTCACATAGATAGTGCGGCGGAAATGCGGCTCGTGATGCGCGTGCCCTCCCTCCCGCTGCTTACCCAAACCCGCACGCTAGCCCCCTAGCCCAACGAGCCCGTAAGGCTGAAACTGGACCCGACGCGGTCCTCTAACTGGCTCAACGGACTCGGCGCACCACGGCCACTAGGACCGCGGCGGGCCCACCCGCACCCGGCCGGGCGTCCGGAATTCAGACGGCAACGCCAGAGACGTCGTCGTCCGGAGGGCTCAAGGCCCCACCAGCGGCGCGCGAGCGCACTCGGATGCCGGGGACGATCACCACTCGCCCACCAGAACCAGGCAGGCACAGACGGGGGGCTTCCCAAGACTAGCCTGAGCGAGGCCCCCGCGATACCTGAAAACGTGCCACCACGCACTAGCTAGCGTCCAGTAAGACACTAGAAAGCGCACTCCAAGCGGAAGTTTTGGCACTGTACAGCGCCCACATCGCGTTACTGGAGGCCGCGCTGGCTCACAGAGGTCTTCCACAGCCCACCTTTACCGGTGTGCGAACGCCTACGGGTGCCCGCGCTGCTAAGAGCAGTTTGAAGGCACTCGGCCCATACTGTCCTCGCGCACGCCGCGCGCGCGACAACGATGGAAGAGATCCGGGAAGCGGTCGATACCGACAACCTGGCGGTCCTGCGCGACATCGAGACCGAGCAAGTTAACGCGCCCTTCGATGTCCTCGACGAGCACGGGTACGCGCCGTACAATCGGTCGTACAGAAACGTGCTGGATTACGCCATCCGCAAGTTTGGAGGAAGCGCGACACCGGCCGTCGTCGCCGTCCTGCTGGACAAGGGGGCCGCCATCCCTGCGGGCCTGCTCACCACCGTAGCGGGCGAGGCGAGCTACCGCCACGCCAAGGACGCCTCGTTAGCCGACGAGTCGCTGGACATATTGCGCCTGCTCATCGAGCACGGCGCGGACGTGAACTACCGCGACGAGGAAGGGATGACCGCGCTCCACGCCGCGGCGTCGTACCACACGCCCGCGTTCGCGGCGGCGCTCCTCTCGGCCGGCGCCGACGCGAACGCGTATCGCACGATCGTGCAACAAGCCGTGCGCGACGAGTTCTCCGACTTCGAGGACGAGGAGGACGAAATGAACCCGCCGACGCCGCTCATGGCGGCCGCGAAGGCGTCGGTCTCGTGGGAGGTCGTCCGCCTGCTCCTGAGCCGGGGCGCGGATTTCAAGAGGACCGACCGCGCGGGCCGGACGGCGTACAGCTTCGCGATTGAGGCGGTGGAAGGCGAGCGGTACGACCGGCATGTTTTCTCGGAACCTCTCGACCCGGATGATTGGTACTATATCGCGGAGGGCCAGGCACGCCTCGCGGGCGAGGGCGAGCGCACGATCGACCTGCTGCACGACGTGCGCCGCGCCAGGTCCTGGACACGCTACAGCAACGTCCCGAGGCTCGCGCTCCTCGTGCTCCAGAAGCTCTGCTGGCGGCGGCGCGCGGCCGCGCCGCCGGGCCTGCTGGCGCGGCTCTTCCCCCAGGAGCCCCAAGGGCGCCGCCGCAAACGGAGGACCGTGGAGGCGCCGGCGATCGAGGAGCTGGAAGCGACGAGCGGCTGCAAAGTGACGCGGCCCCGGACACGCACGATTGCGGACGCCGCCGCGCCTCTCGTCCTCCCGGACGAGCTCTTCTGGAAGTGCCTCTCTTTCTGGAGGTCTGCGCGCGACCCTGATTGCTAAGTGTGAGTGTATCTTATGTTCACAGCACAGGGGCCTACTACGCCTCGTCGTCGTCCGACGGCGTATCCGCCTGCACGAGCCCGTCGACGCACGCGCGCCAGTCGAACTGGTGCACGTCCACCGCCGTGATGAGCGCCTCGGGCAGCTCGTCGCCTGTGTGGAAATCAACCAGTGAGTCGGGTGCGCGACAACGCGGCCGTGATGACTGAATCGAGGGGTCTAAGACCCACACCGCCACGCCATCGAGCAGGCGGCGCAAATTTTGATTTCTGCACAGCTCGTCGCGCTCGCGGCCCTCGACGACGAACCCAAATTTAATGCGGATGTCACGCAGCTTGTCGGTGACTAAGTAGATGGCGCCGCGCGCGATGTAGGTGAAACTCTCGCTCACGTCGACGTTCACCTCGAGGCAGTCCGCTCCCCTAATAAAGCGGCTGATGCCCGGCCGCTCGCGGCCGCCGAAGCCCGCCGACCTGTGCAGAAACGAGTTTCACTGCGCCTTTGTGCGTCGGCCTCGACGCCATCGACGCGACGCCTGCTCGATGGCGTGACGGTGCCAGTGTGGCCGCGTCGCCGCCGAGATTGGTTGATTACCGCACCGCCGCGGACGCGGCAAGGAGCACGGGCTTGCCGTTCCACTTCTTGGCGAGGTTCGGCACGCCGTCGCCCGACGCGTGGAAGATGCCCTTTAACCTTCCAGACAATCCTGGGTCGTTCGGCGCGTCCGAGAGCCACTTCGTCGCCAGAGCCACGGCCGCTTTGGGCGCCTTGGCTATCGCCGCGTCGTTGCGCCGCAGCGCAAACACAAACACGGCCGTCTTCTCGCCCTTGGCCTTCTTTCTTAAGGAGGGCGCCTCGAGGGGCGAGTTCATCGTGATCATGACGTACTTTGGTAAAGGGGAACTCGCATCCGTAAAGACGTCTCTGTCAGCGTCCTCGCCCCGCAACTTCTCGAGGACCTCGGGGTAGGCCCGGCTCCCGTCATTCACGGCCCCCGCAGACATAGCGAAGCCCGCGACGCCCACGGTGTAGAGCGGTTCACATGATGGCTTCTTCACGCCGTTCTCTAAGTAGGTGGACGAGCGCACGGCGAAGTCCGCGCCGCGGCCCGGCGCCCACGTACCAGACTCGTCGGACGTCCCTTCTTTCACCAACGTCAGGGGCGCCTCCTTGATCACGTCGTCCTCGTCGTCCTCCTCTTGATGGGCCTTGTACGTCGTCTCGAGGCGGTCCGCCGCTTTCATCGACGCGTCGCAGGCCGCGAATAGCGACACGAGCGCGGCCAGCATGATGATTGCGTCCGCGGCGCGCGGCGCCGGCGCCGTCGCGACGGCGGCGGCCGCGGCGGCAACCACCAGGGCCGCCGCGCAGACGGCGCGCATCGCCGCCCGCAGCGCCGGCCCGGCGAGGTCCGCCGGGCAGGGCGCTCGCGGCGTCGCCGGGATCTCCCGCGCGGCCTTGTCGCCCTCGTCCCGGCCGCGGCCCGGGCGCATGGGCTTCGTGAGGAAGCGGCCGAAGCGGCCGACGTTGCGCTTCGTGGCCTTGTAGCCGCCCTTGACGACGTTGGCCTCGTGGCGCAGGAAGCGCCGCACGCGGCCCGTGGACCTTCTTTGCTTGCGCGCGGGCGTCGGCAGCGTGTTCAGGTCCGAGTCGCTGTCCTCACCTAACGCTCGCCCTTCGGCCTCGTCGAAGGAGTGCGCGCGCGGCCGCTCGAGCGACCACGAGCCGCGGCGCCGGTGGCCGGAGCCGCTCTTCTTCCGGCCGCGGTCCGCGCTGGCGGGCGAGACGCTCGGCGAGAGGGGCGGCTCGGGCGGGAATGCGCCGCCCGGCGAGGGCTGCGAGCGCGGCATCTTGCGCCGCCTATCGACTTGCTCCTGGAGCGCCTATCGACTTGCTCCCCTCGAGACGGGGAGAGGAACAGGGCTTTTTCGCTATGGGCTGTGCGGTCTCGCAGCGCTAGTTTGCGAAGCCCAACCGGCGTAGCGGCCGAGTTTAGAGGGCCGAGCCAGGTCTCGACCCATAAAACTCTAGTGTGTGTCGCAACGCTAGCAGCAAAAATATAAAGACAAAACAAGGCGTGTGCGGTCGCGACTGGATTGATTATCAGCTGGCAAACGGGTTCAGCACATATAATTCGTCTTAGCGTTCCTCGTGCCCAGCATTGCAGCGGTCTCGAACCGCTCAACTTGACCTACTGCAGCCTACTGCAGCCTGCATGCTGCAGAGAATAGCACGAATGCAAAGCTAGCACGCATGGCACCTATACTACTCCTAGCATTACCATGCGCCGCCGCCTCGCTGCGCGCCCAGATCCTCGCCGCGGAATTGAAGCGGGAGGCGCCGTACCTCGCGCGGCCCGACGGCATGCAGGCAGCACTGCGGCCGCCGGCCGACGAAGACGCGGTGGGCGTGGCAGTGGTCGTCGACCCGCTCTGCGACTACCTGGGCGTCGCGCTGATTGAGGAGTTGCTGGAACGGGGCGTCGCCGTCGCGACCATCTTCTCCGACTACATGGCGGAGGGCCTGGCCGCCGCCAACGGCGTCGAGCCGCCCCTGGGACTGCTCGCGCCCCGCACTGATGGCGAAGAGTGGCTCTCAGGGGCCGCGCCGCCGCTCGCGTGCCTCTCGGAGAGCGACGCGGGCATCGCGACGGCCGAGCAGCTATCAAACCTTCTAGGTTGCGAGTTCCGCAACGCCGTGGGTCCTTCTAGAAGACACAAGTGGCTGCTCCACGAGACGCTGCGCGAGCATAACTTACCGCACTGCCGCCAGGCACTTTGTGAAACTGAAGACGAGCTCGTGGCGTTTTATCGCGCCGAGAGGAATGCGATCATCGTCAAGCCCTGCCGCGGCGTCGGCTCCGAGGACGTCTACAAATGTTGTGACGAAGAGGCCTGTGCCGCCGCGTTCGCCGCGTTGCGAGCGACGACGCGCTACGCGGGCGGCTCGAATGATGTGATACTAGCGCAGCAGTTTTTGGAAGGCCCCGAGTACGCTATTGATTCTGTGTCGCGGCATGGCGAGCACAAGGTCACGGCTCTGTGGAGGTACGACAAGGTCGGGTTTGTCTACCAATGTACAAGGTTGGTCCCCGTCGACGGCGCGACGCGGCCAATAATCGATTCACTGATAGAAGCATTGGACGCGGCGGGCCACGCGAACGGGCCCGCGCACTCGGAGCTCATTGTTGTTGATGGCGTCCCGACGCTCGTCGAGATCAACGCAAGATTTCACAACGCCAACGTGCGGCCACTCGTCGATAGATGTATAGAGGGCCCGAACGCCATCGCATTAGCAGCGGCCGCGTGCGTGCCCGATTCCGAGGAGTGGGCGGCGACCGCATCTACACCAACGATGGTGGAAGACGGGCTGCTGTTCCACATTTCCTGTCTCTCTAGTGGTGTTTTGAGTGGCATCGACGCCGACGCCCTATCCACTCTCGAAAACCTGCCGACTTTGGTGGAAATGGAGGTCTACGAGAGTTTTAGGGAGGGCGAGGAGGTCTCGGCCACGACCGACATCAAGACGGATGTGGGCTGGGTTTTACTGGCAGGGACTGCGGACGACGTCGAGCGGGACTACGCGGCATGTATTGAAGCGCAGGCGCGGCTTCTTAAGTATAGGTGACACTTACTCCTTCTTCGCGAGAGCCTCGAGCTCCGCGGGCCACTGCCCGAACTGCTTGACGTAGGCCTCGTTCGCCCTTCTTTGAACCTCGGCCGCCTCCTCGAGCGCCGCGGTCAGCGACTCCTGCGTCACGTTCACGCGCTTCTCCTGCTTGTTCTCGACGTAAAAATTCGGCGTGTCGTCGGAGAGCGGCGGCTTGTACGTGTTGAGCACGTCCGCGGGGATGCCGACCATCGCTCCATGTTCTTGCTTCTCGTCCTTGGCGGGCCGCTCGGCGAAGGGCTTCATGGCCTCGTGGGCCGGTGAGATGTAGGTGATGGCCTCCGGGGCCGCCATGGTTTATGTAGTGAGGCCGTCAATAGCAGTGCTGATTTTTGCTGCCCCCGGCAGTCGACGGAGCCGCTGCTTCGTTGCGGCCTGAGGAGCTCTGCTGGAAGCGCGCTGGGACCCCTCCAGCCCGCTGTTTTGCCGCTTTGGCTGCCGCGCTGTGGCGGAACCCGCACGCAGGTGGCTGCGTGGCCCGCGTGTCACCCGTCTTCTTCGCACCATTAGGACAGGCGCCGGGGGCATCTGCGACAGCTCGCCTCGAACGAGCACCCACGCACCGCGCGCGAGAGACCCGAGAGGAGGAAAAGTAGAACAACCTACGTTACAAGATACCGCCTCCCCAGGGCCGCGCCCGACGACGACTGAGACGAGGGGTCGTCGGGCAGGCCCCCGAGCGCCGCGAACGCCGCGGGCGGTTCCTCTACCCGCGCCTTCGCCGCGGCGGGCTTCGTCTTCTTGGCCACCTTTATTGGTTTCTTCCCCTCTTGAATGTCGTTCAGCGCGCAGAACCGGTCCTGGCCGCTCCGGATGCGCGCGAGGAAGTCGCGGAAGAGCGCCGCGTGGCACTCGTGCAGCGCTGGCAGGACGCCGAGCGCGTTGCAGCTACCATTCAACTTGCCGGACCGCAACTTTTGCACAGCCATGCGCGTGAAGGAGATGGACGTGCACGCGAAGGGCCAGTCCTTGCCTGCGCGTGACGAAGCGGTCGCGTCGATGGCGTCGAGGCGGTGTAGACCCCACCAGCACGCCATCACCGCGATCGGCGCGAGTCGAAGGCCCCTCGCGTCCGGACTGGTACTTCCACACTGCTACATGCCGCCCTGGTTCGCCGCGCGGAAGAGGGCGCCCGCGAGGCGTCTCTCTTTTTCAAGCAGGTGTAATAACTGCAACAGCGCGAGGCAGCGCATGGCCCTATTCACATCCGTGCGCGGGTCATTTCCTTGAAATCCGATGCGGACCCAGTGCGCCCCGAGCGTCGGGCACGGCACCGGCTTGTTTTTTGGCGTGAGCTCGCGGAAGACCGTGTGGATCATGCGCCAGTGGACCGGCACTCTCGGATCATATTTTTGCAGGGCCACGAGGAAGACGAAGTCGCGTTCGGCGTCCGGCGCCTTGAGGTCGGGCCTTCTCTTGAATATGCGCTTGAGCAGGTGCCTCTGGTCGGGCTGCGTCGGCGTGATCTTTCCTTGATCACTTGACATATCTAAACCCTGGAAGTGGCGCAGGGCCTCGTCGTAGGTGATGGGCTCGGCTTTGATTGGCTCCTCGGCCTCCTCTTGTTCGGGTGGTTTGATGCTCGCCCAGGCGTCTTCGTTTGAATCCGGGGCCGCGGCGACGGGCGCGCGGTAGGCGGCCACGGTCCTTGCTAAAACCGCGGGGTCGAAGGCCTTGAAGGCGCCGTCCTGCGGTGCATTGGCCTCGGCGGAAGGCGCATCTTGTACGACGTTTGGAGGCGGCGGCGCCTTGGCTGCTGGCGCGTCTTGGGCGCTTGGCTTGGGCTCCGACGGCGCCGAGGGGCGGTCCTGCACGACGTGCGCCGGCGGCGGGGCCTTGGCGCCGGCCCGCGGCTTGCCGTTGTTCGCGTTTTTTGGTGGTGGCGCGCTATCTAAAGACCTCACCTTGTCGCTGGGGAGGTCTGGGGCGTCGCCTGTGGCTTGACTTGCCACTGGTGGCGAGTTCGCCGGCGCCGCGGTCGCGGACTCGGCGTCGGACTCGTCGTCGGAGGACTCGGCGTTCCGCGCGGCCGCGGCGTCGTAGACCTCGTAGGGCGTGTAGGCGAGGCCGAAGGCGTCGGAGGTCTTCTTCTTCGCGGGTTCTGCCGTCGGTGCCGGCGTCTTCGCGGGCGGCGCCGCTGGTGCCTCCGCGACCTCGACCTCCTCGTCGTCGTCGCCGGAGCTGCTGGTCGCGTCGTCGTCGCCGGCCAGCATGCCGCCCTGGACCCGCGCCGTCGTCTGGGGCTTTTCCGCGGCAGTAGCCTCGGCAGCCGGCGCCGGCGCGGCCTCCTCCGCAGCTGGCACGGACGGGTCTGCGGAGCTGCCCGTCGCATCGTCCCACGTCAGCGACACGTCCGCGCGCAGCGTCCACTTTTTACTCACGTAGAACTGCCAGCCCTTCTTGCTCTGGTAGCACTTGCACGACGCGCCGCCGGGCTCCTTGCCGACGCACCACGAATTCGGCGACCGCTTGTAGAGGTAGAAGCCGTTCGCGGCGCAGCGGTACGTATCTGGTGCTGACGTGCGTTCGTAGGTGCCGCAGGACGCGGGCGGCGCGGCCGCGGTCGAGGCGAGGGTGGCAGTAGTTGGGCTGCCCTTCTCCTGGTGCTCCGCCTCGACCGTGGCGATGGACTCGTCCAGGGCGTCGAGGAGACCCATTTGTCTTCCACTGTGCTTGATTGTTTGCAATCAAGCTGGCATTTACGCTGCCCCAGCAAGCTGGCAATCAAAAAGCGCTTTTTGACTGGTTTCTAGAGTCTTTACACACGCTAGCCAGCGCTGCTTTTTGCGGAGGATATTCGTGCTTCATCGTATGCAAATTGCACCAAGACCGCGGTTGGATATTCCTGCTTTAACTGCGTGCAAATTGCATCAATAATGAAATACGTTCTACTGCTGACGGCGGCTGGATTTCAGGCTGCGGCTGGATTCCAGCTCGCGCCGACGCGTCTGCGAGCAGTCCACGTCCTCAGGGCAGCCGACTACGCCGAGGCCATCGAGCAGGACCGCGTGGTGCTCCGGCGAGCGGCGGAGACGAAAAACGAGGAGAGCGACGCGGTCGTCGACGCGTTGCTAGGCCTGGAGCAATCGTGCAAGGAGCGGTCGCGCGCCGAGGGCGCCTCTGCGGGCGCGGCGATCGCCGACAAGCTCACGGGCGCCTGGCGTTTGGTGTTCACGACGGGCACGATATCGCGGCAGAAGCGCACCGGGGCGCGCGTGAATTATTTTCCGGTCAAGGCCGTACAGACGTTCGACCTCGCCGCCTCCAAAATTACGAACGGTCCTACTCTGTGTGGTAAATCACTGAGCCCACATCACGCCATCGACGCGCGTTCGACGCAGGCATCTTCTTCGGCGACTGGGCCGCCGTGCGCTTCTTCGGGCCCATGGAATTTAATGAAGAATCGAGGAAGCTGACCTTCGACTTCACGCGGATCGAGGTGTTTGGAGGCGCTCTGGGTTTCGACCTCGGCAAAGGAGGCGCCGCGGAGATCGGCGCGGCGACGGGCCTCGGCTCGGAGAACAACGTAAAACTCGCGGAGCAGGGCAAGAAGCCGTTCTTCAACTGGATCGACTGCGACGACGTCATCGCGACGGCGCGCGGCGGCGGCGGCGGGCTCGCGCTCTGGACGCGGACGGAGCAGCCCTAGTTTGTAAGTGTGTCGTGGGGTATATGCTAGCGTGATCATGGGATCGATGAGTCCTGGCGTCAAACACAACCCAGGAACCGACCTGTGTTGCATACCTAAGGTACCGGTACTTTTTATCCCCCCTTTTCTGAGTAAGATCTAAAAAAGTACCTTACCCTGTGACGCGGACGGCGCATTTCAGCCTCCAAAACTCGTTGCGCTGCACCTCACGCATCGAATCAACAGCACGCAGCGCTCGACGCAGTGCCATTCTTATTGCTGCACCCGGCTGGCAATCGCTTTTGCACCGTGCTGACCTGTATCATCTCCTTTGCAGCATGGCTAGGATAGCAGCCGCCTTGCTGCTCCTCTTGCGAACGAGCGGTGCCCTCCGCGTGCCCGAGAGGGCACCGCCGCCGGCACCGGCGAAACTCGCCCGGCGCGGCCTGCTCGCCGCCGCGCCGGCGCTCGCGCTCGGCGCGTCGCGGGCCGCGTCCGCGGCGACGGCCATCGAGAACGAGTTCCGGCTCGCCGACACGACGCGGGACGGCAAGCTGACGATCGGCGAGTTCACGACCTGGTACGAGGGCAACGACCTCCTGTCGAAGAAGGACTTGTTTAGTTTGGACCTCTCGCTGCCCGAGATCGCTTTGGACCTGACGGGGCTCGCGGGCATCGTCGTGGCCATCTACGGCGTCTCCTACGCCTACTACCTCCAGCAGAAGATGGAGGCGGCCGACGCGAAGGCCGCAAAAAAAGCCGCGGCCGACAAAAAGAAGGCGGCCGCCGCGAAGAAGGCCGAGGCCGAGGCGAAGAAGGCCGCGGCGGCCGCGGCGAAGGAGGCTGACGAGGAGTCGACCTAACACAACACTGTTTATAGTAACATATTGTCCCCGTCACGCCATCGCCGCGAGGTCCAGACGGGCTATCGCACGGCATCGTAGCCGAGCCCGCGCCAGACGTCATCCGAGGCGAGCCGCGCGCGCACGAAGGCCACGTCGGTTGTTGAGTAGGGCTCCATTCGTTTCACCGAAGACCCGTAGAGCGCGAGCGCCTGGGCGCGGCTATTCGTATCCGCCGCGTGGCCGAAGGCCGTGCCCTTGCCCGTCTTCCGGCCGTCGATCTTAAACTCGGCCTCGGACGCGAGAGCACCACCTGTGTGGAAATCAAAATTTACGGCGCGTTCCGCCATCGACGCGACGCCTGCTCGATGGCGTGGTGATGCTGGTTCCTTACCGCTCGACCGACGCACTGGTTGATTTCCACACAGGGCGTCACCCAAACAATCGCAGACCGCGCCAGCTACAGCACGGGGTTCAAACAACAAATCCTCGAACCGTACGAGTAACCGCGGCCACGCCGCTTGATAATATTCGCCGTGCCACCGGCTCCACAGGTCCACCAGGTTATCGTAGTACACCACCTGGGCCCGCTGGAATGCCACGGAGACGGGCGCGTCCAGCGGTAAAGGGCACTTCGTTCGCTGCTTCGACGAGAGGCGCACGGCGTAGGGGTGGCGGCAGATCGACGGCATCCAGGTCAACGGGTCCTTGACCGTCACGACGGGCAGCACGCTCGCCATGCGCGGCCGCCAGCCGAGTGCTGATGAATTTGTGAACATGTTGGCCAGGTGGCGGCCGCGCCACGACGCGGGGTTGTGCTTGCCCCAGGGCGGGTGGAAGAGGTCGTTCCTGCCATGTTCGGAGACGCGGCAGTTGGATAAGATGGTCTGCCAGAGCGCGTTCGTCGCCGAATTAAACAAGCCCGCGGGCGCGAAGCGCCTTGATGATATGATGGGGTTCGCGGCGCGGAAGGCGGCGCACGTTTCTAAGCCGAGCACCTTCGTGGCGTTGCCGTAGGGGTCTGTTCTTTTTGATTGCCGCTCGGGCCGCGGTTCAGGAGGCTCGAACTGCACCTCGGCGGCGGCGGCGCGCATCGCGTCGTGCATCTGCTTGAACTGCGGCGCGTGGTGCGCGGGCGCGGCGGCGGGCGGCGCGTGGCGCGCGTGCGCCCACCACGCGACGAGCAGCCACGCGCCCGTGACCGCCAGCACTGTTGCGGCCAAAGAGCTGCGGCCCTTTCTTCGGTCCCGCACTGATGCCTTTTGCAGGTGCCGCGGCTGGCGGCTGAGGCGGCGCATTTTGTTGTTATGAAGCTTGCATGGCTGTGATGGGGTTTGCTTTTGCAAAGCTTGCAGAGCTGTCGGCGGAGCGTGGGCTTGCGGGATCGATCGAAGCGCTCGTTTAGGAGTCTCGACGCGTCGCCTGTGCTCTCACGAGCAAGCTGTCGAGCGTCGGGACCCAAAAAACCAAGCAGCAGCCGAGACTAGCGGAACAGAGGCACTAGCGAGTAACGCCGGGCTGCCGGACGTCCGGGGACGTCTAAGGAACGGGTGTCTAAGAAACGCTCTGGGGGGCAGCCGCACCTGGCGATGACCGCCGACGGCGACTCGCAGGACGAGGCGCCAGCCCCAGCGCCAGGCGACTCGCAGGCCGAGGCCATGGATGAGGCCATGGATGAGACGAGGCGGTCCGATGCCCCCGTGGACGAGCGCGGCGGCCGATACAAATACGGCTCGATCTACTTCGAGGAGTCGCGCATCAAATGCAAGTACATGCTCTGCAACAACAACGCGCCCGGCGCCTGCACGCCGGAGGAGGTCCTCGCGGAGTTCGTCGACGCCTTCGGGCTAGAGTTGCCGTCCATGTGCTTTCGCGGCCTGGGCGCGAACGGCTGGTGGGAGAGCGGCTTCTCTACGCTGGATTTCCAGGCGCAGCTCGACTCCGTTGCGGGACAGGTCCGGTCCCGGTCCTCCCAGGAAGAATCCGACCAGCGGCTCATGTCGCTGTCGGACGAGCGCGCGCGGGCGGCGCTCGCGGCGTGGGGGACGCTGACAATGCTCGACAAGAACATCGTCGACAACAAGGTACTACAGATGAACCTGACGAAAAGCGAGGAAGTGGCGCACGCGCTGTTCACCTATAACAGCGCCGGGGTGGAGTTCATACGCGCCTTGAACCATTACAGCTACGCCATCAAGAAATCGTGGTTCAAGCGCAGGGCCCCCAAACAAGATCCACTAAAAGCCCTGGATAACAAAGTTCTGGCAACGACATTTGACCGCGAAATAGCCCTGACGCGCACGGGCTTGTGGGAGTTCGAAGAGGTCAGCAAAGAGTTCGAAGAGCTGGGCGATGACACTGTAAAGATGCCGAAAACGGCGCATGAGCTCGTGGCCTGGTGCTTCGAGAGGGACCCTGGGCAAGAAGAAATGAAAGCGAAAAACTTCCTGCTCAAGGAACACAAACTCGTCCGGGAAACTGGGCGATTCCTGGGCGATCCTGTGCGCACCGCGGAGGGGCTTGCTGCGGAGGCCCTCGCGGCTGAGGCTTATGCGGGCGGGCATGGTAGGGATGGGAGATCAGCCGAAGCCCCGGCGCCTGCCGCAGATGAGGTTCTGTCAGTGCCTGCGTCTGAGGCTGAGGTAAACAGCCCCCTCACCAAAGATCGCGCGTCGGGCGACTCGAAGAATCCATCTGCCGCGCCTGCAACTGACATCGATGCGCTCGCGGACCAAGTGTTGGTCGAACTGCAGGGAAAGAAGCGCGAGATGTACCGCGACCAATTAGTCCAGAGCATCAAGGACTTGAAGAAGGCCTGGAAGGACGTCTGCGAGGCCGTGAAGAACGCCGAAATTACCAAGGAACAATTTACCCTGGACGCCGAAAAGCTGCTCCGCGAGCGACAGGTGGAACGCGACAAGCGGCTCTACGATATCCGGATGGAAAACTACGCGAGTCGCGGCTCAGCGTTCATGGGCGCGGTCGTGCAGGCCGCGTACGAGTCGAAGGGCTGGCTCATCTCGGAGTGGAATTGCCGGGAATCGTTCAACAAGTCGCCCGCCATGTTCGAAAAAGGCATCCAGCGTTTTTCGCAGCTCAACGACGTCTCAGGTCTGACCTACCTGGGACTGCACACGACGGACCAGTCGCTTACTTCCAAAAGAAAACTCCAAGAGGTCGTGAAATCCTGGCGCTTCGACGCAGACGGCGACGAACCTCCGAAGAGCTCGATGAAAACGATTATGAAACGTCTGAAGAGCTCGATGAAAAAGATTGTGGCCGAGGAGCTAGACGCGCCGGACAAGCGCGGCCCGTTCGAGATCTGGAGGTATGGCGAAGACCCGATCGACCTCTACAGCTACGCGGCCCCGAACTTCCAGGACGCGCGCACCGTCTACACGTACAAAAAGACAAGCACGGCCGTCGACGGCATGGTGAAAGAGCTTCGGATGAAGTGGCCGCGGCGCGACTGCGCGATGCGCCTGCGGAGAGCTCACGGGACGCAGCTGCCCGGCGACAATAAGGAAGCAGACGACGACCTGGACCATCTATGTGAGATCCTGCGGGCGGAACTCTCGCCGTATTGCACGCATATGATTTTCTTCCGGCACGAGGCCGACAAGATCGCCTTCTCGAGGTACCTGTGGCGCCTCCTGCCGCACGCCACAGCTGTCATGTGCGGCAAGGACAGTAGAGCCTTCGACAAATCCATCGAGCGAGCGCAGGGCGGCGGCCAGCTCGTCCTGCTCCGCTCCTCCGGGTTCTGGGTCGACCAAATGTGTCAGGCGATCGACGACGCGCGTAATCGCAGAACGCCCGGCTACAAGAAGCTCTCGACGCTCACGGTGCCCCCAGACGTGCACGACTCGTCGTGGCTGGTCTTCGACGCCCTGCGCGAGGATGCGAACCACATCGCCGACCGCATCACCAAGTGTCTGTCGATGGCGTCGCGCGAGGAGTCCGCGATCATCGGCTTCAACCGGGCCGAGCAGGCCCGGTTGCTGTACGCGTGGCAATTGGTCCTCACGTACCGCCGCAACTTCGAGCGCCTGAGCGGTTGGGATCTGGTGCTGAGCTCGATAACGATCATCTGCGCGATGATCACCACCTGCACGGGCCTCGTCGCCTACGCGGACCCGGCATATTTCCGGGGCCGGGGCGACGTCGTCGCCGGCCTGCTCTCGATCGTCACGGGGTTCCTGCTCGGGGCGCAGCGCTACTTCGAGTTTGGCACGAAGGCCGCCGCGTGCGAGCTGGCGGAGAGTGAGGTAAAGAGCCTAATATACCGCTACCGGACGCGGACGGGCGACTTCTCGTACGGTGACGGCGGCGAGAGCCAGCTCAAGGCGTCCCAGGCCGCCTTCAGGGCCGCGCGCGCGGACCGGCAGGCCAAGGAACAGGCCAGGGGACTAGCGTTCACCCGCGCGTTCGAGAAGACGGGCGCGTTCGATGAAGTTGCAATGACCACACTCCAGCGGCAGTTCGAAAGCACCGGAAGCGAGGCCGACGCCGCGGCAGACGCGCCCGCCCCGGTGGCGCGGGGCTCGAACGTGCGCGCGGTGCACTTCCAGGAGCAGCTCGTGGCCGCGGAGGCGCGGCTGCGCCAGTCTGATGTGCGGACGGAGCCCCTCCAGGCCGGTCAGACATTCGACGAGTACCAGCGGGCGGGCCACATGTACGACCCGAAACATATCCACTGGGTCAAGAAACTATGCTGCAATTGGGTCAGGACCCGCAGATGGTGCATGTGGATCACGGGGACGGTTTCCGCCGCCGGGCGGCGCGTCGCGCCGGCCGACGGCGACGCCGACACCGACATTGTCAAAATCGACAAGGACTTCTCCGTGCGTCAGGGCGTGATGAATAGCCAGGACAGCGAGGACCGGGACGACGGCATCGGCCTCGTCACGGGCGACGACTACGAGCGGTTCCGCCTCCTGATGAACCTCAGGACGCTCACGAAAAGCTCGCGCCGCTACGGACAAATCCAACAGACCCTGGAGCTCGCGCGGCTCCTGTGCATGGGCGCCGCGACGGGCGCGTCGCTGTTCGGCCACCCGGAGTACGTCGTGGTCGCGCTCGCCGTCGTCGGGGGTCTGTCCGCGTTCGCGACGCTGCTGGGCGGCCAGCAGCGCGTGGCGATGCTCATATCGACGATATCGGAACTGCACCGCATCCGCATCTGGTGGTACAGCCTCTCGACGGTCGAGCGACGCCTGCTGCAACACCGGGAGCGCCTCGTCCAGGACACGGAGAGCGTGCTGCTGACGCTCGCCGGGGCCTGGGCGGCCGCGTCGATCAAACGCGCCCGTGCCGCGCAGGATCCTGACAAAAAAGAAAACGACGACTTCGCGGCCACGCGACAGAGACGGCCAGAGGGGGCCTGAATTTTGTGCTAAGTTGTCTAGTGACTCAAGTTACAAGCAAGAAAATCGTTACAAAACGAGGGGACCTACGGCCCGAGCCCGAGGAACAGCAGCGCGAGCACCCCCTCGAGCGCGAGCGCGGGCAGCAACACAAGACGCAGTAGGAGGGGTAGCCCGAACGACCGCGACAACTGCAGGCGCAGCCCGCACGCCGCGAGCACGAACCCGACCACCTCGTCCGCGTAGAGCCCCCCGATGACGGGCCCCGTCGAGTCCGTTCCCCGGTAGGGCTCCTCGTCCGACGCGAGCGCGATGCGCGCCGGCACCCAGCCCTTGCGCTTCAGGACCCGGCCCAGCGCCTTCGCGCACGCGACGCCGCCTCTCGCGGCCGAGTGCCACGCGCTGAACACGCGCTGGAGCCGCCAGGCGATCGCGACGCAGACCGCCCGGACGCATACATCAATAATCGTCGGTGCCCATTGCCTATGCATCGGCTTCAGGGTCGCGGCGACGGCGGGCGCAAAATCTCTCCGCATCGCCGGCGAGACCGTCGCTGCGACGCTTACGCCCAGGACCAGCGTCCGCGCGAAGGTGATGCGCAGCGCCGCCGCTACCGTCGCGGCCGCAGACCAAAGGGACGCGAGCGACGCCGTGAGCGCCGCCGGGTTCCGGATGGCCGACGCGTAGACCGAGATCTTCCGCGAGGCAATGCGCTTGTATCTGCGTAGAAACCGGCGTCGATGGCGTGCGTGGGAGGATGACCCAAAGCAAAGTGAAGGCCCCGAGTTCCACGCCGCATCGGCACTGACGCTCCTTCCGCAGCACGGCCATGGACTTGCGCCGCCCGTCAGTCTTCTCCGCCTCGGCGACAACTTCCACATGCTCCCGCAGCTCGGCCAGCGCCGTGGCCGCGGTGGCGTACGCGCCCGTCACGTGCAGCGCCTCCGCCACGGCGATCAGCCGCACGAAGGACCCCCCAAAGAGGCAGACGAAGAGGCCCGTCGCGATTGCGAGGCCCTCACGCGTGACGCGCGCCGTCGCGACACCGTAGACCCGGCGCGCGACCGGCGCGGCGACGGCCACGGCATCTTCCGCGAGGGTCATGGCTTTGTCCGCGTACGGCGCCGCGGCAATCACAATAGCGTCGACGACCGCGACGACGCGTTCGGCCCACTTCGGCGCCGGCGCCGCTGGTGTTGTGTCCTCGTCGTCGTCCGAGTAGCCCAGGCTCTTCCGCGCGGCGAAGACCTTGGCCGCCGTTGGCCGGCGCCGGCCATCGTCGTCGTCGCTGCCCTGCTTGACAGCGTCGTAATCTTCGTCGTCGTCATCGAAGCGCACGCCCTGGCGGCGGCGGCGCAAGTTGTCGGCCATTTGCTCTTATGTGGGGGGAGCCTACGGGGCAGCCCACCTTTAGAAATCAGCCCTGCTGGCGCGAGAAGTTGGTACCCTGAACAGGGCCACAGCTCTACTTACAACAGAATGTGGCTAGGCGGCCTCGCGCTCCCAGGCAAGCAGCCAGGTTTGAAAATCGTTCTCAAGATTGCTAGTGTCTTTACGCCGCTAGCTAACTGCTGGGCCATTGGCAGCCGAGACGAGCGGAGACGCGACGGACATACTTTCATTCATTGCCGGTCGGTTCACTCTTTATTCCCCGACGAGGGGTCCCGCTGAACGCGCACTTCGGTCTTATGATCTTCACGAGGTCCCGGAGAACGCATTGCGTCCGGGTCCATTGCACCTCGCCGCCGCGGGTTGTATTCCTCTACACGTTCCCGCCGGCCGTTCAGCTCTACCTGCTCTTGCCTTCGATCGTTGAGAGATTTCACACAACGTGCGGGTTCTATAGCGCCGTTCCAGCTCGAGGTGCTCTGCTGCTGCTCCACACACACACACGCGCGCGCCGACGTCCGCTGCCCCGCTGCAGGTTTCTTCTCCCGCGTCCCAATCGTCACCTTTCGTGTGGAGCAGCAGTAACATCTCAACGCTAGCTAGCTTTGCTTCCGGAAGACACTTCCCTACCATATCGCGCGCTCGCGCGGTCTGGTAGATCGAGGCTCGGACCCCCTAGGGTGAGTTCGGGTTCTCTACTATCAAGTCCTTTTTGGCAGCCGTACGCACGACTTGCTGAGCAGCCAAGCCATCTGTGCGGGCTGCGTCAGCTCTCCCTGGCTGATGGGCTCTCACAAAGGCAGTGCTGCAAAGTAGTGGTGCCAAAATGTCCTGGAAGCGCGCGGTCGGCACCGTTGCCGCTCAAACTGGTGCGTGCGGCGCGCTCCTGAGTCTCCCCGATGATGTGCGCGACGACGTCGGCGTCGCGCCGGGTGTCGCCGCGATCTACGCCGCCGGCGCGGGGACCTGCTACGCGCTGCGGCCCGCCGCGGCAGAAAGTATTGCGGCGCGCGTCGCCTGGTACGGCCTCTTCGCCGGGCCCGTGAGCGGGAGCCTCGCGATGGGCGTCGCCGCCTACGCCGCGTCATTAATACTGCCGCCGACGAGCCCGCTGCCGCCGGCGGGCCAGGCGCGGCTGACGGCGGCCCTGCAGGAGCGGGACCTCGGCTCGCTCGCGGGCGCGCGGCACCTGCCGCCGGAGACGGTCGCGCACCTGTGGCACGAGGCGCTTTCGCCGTTTTTGGAGGACGAGGGCTGCGACGCGAAGGACTGCGGGCCCTTCGCGCCGGCCGTGGCGCAGATCCAGCGCCGGCCCGCGGCGCGTGATGCGTTGAGGAGGGTGGCGGCGGACCTCGGCGGCGGGGAAGGGTTCGAGGGCCTCGCCCTGGCGCTCGTCGCGGCCAGTGCACAAATCAAATTTCGCGGCGCTTCTCAGCACGGCCGCGTCATCGCCGAGAAATGACTTAGTGCAGTCGACGCACTGATTGATTTACGCACAGGTCGCGGCCGAGCGCTGCGTCGACGGCGACACGCAGAGGTGCGCCGACGTCGCCTGGGCGCTCGGCAAGGCGGCGCCCGTGGTCCCGCCCGCCGTGCGGCGCCGGGCCACGTCGGTGCCGACCTTCGCGCCGGCGGCGACCTACGTCGGCCGGCGGCCGGGCTACAAGTTCACGGCGGGCGCGCGCGGCGTGGGTTATTATTTGGACTACCCGGCCCAGCCGCTGCCCACGTCCTTCGAGCCCGTCGGCGAGGCGCCCGACACGGCGCTGCACGCGGCGCAGCTCGCCTGGTGGGTCGCCGAGGCGCGCGCTTCTGATCAAAACGCGTTCGCGGCCCAGGCATCAACTCTGTGGCGGCCGACGCCGCGCGCAATCGCTCGCGTCGTGTTGGGAGGCGCCGCGCTGGAGCGGTCCGCCGGCAAGGCCCCGGAGGCCGGCGTGGTCGCGTGCGTCGAACTCGCGCGCGCGTTCGGCGGCGACGTGCGACCCGTCGACGGCGCGCACCTCGCGCTCCAGGAGAAGATCTTCGGAGCGCAGCAACCGCCACCTAGTAGTTAACAAGTTGTTATTCATCGATTCTTCTTCTTCGGGTTGTTGAGGAAGCCGGCGTTCATGGAGTTCTTCCGCGCCGCCTGCCGTGGTGAGGCCTTTGCCGGCGCCGGGGCCGGCGGCGGCGCCTCCTCCTTTTTTTGAGGAGGCGCCTGGCCGTCGCGCATGCACTTCCGGAACTTGTCGCCTGCGCAGGGTCGCGGTCGCGACCGCCGCTCTCGATCTCGTGAGACGCGTCGACGCTCTCGCGGCCGCGATCGACGCCGTCGCCGCGACCCGGAGACGCGGTCGACGCCATCGCCGCGATTTTACCCGGACGCCGCATACATACCGTAGGCCGCCAATTTGAGATCCACGACCTCCTTCACGACCGACGCGACGACCACAAAAAATAAATGTGCCACAATAAGTAGTACGCCGAAAGCTAATAACAGTTTGACGAAGAACCAGAGCGAGGCGCCGAACCACCACCTCCCTACGACTGCTGCTACGAGTGCCGCGCCCTTCACACTCAGATTCTCCCATTCCAAAGCGCCAAACGTGATAGCGTAGACAACCACATCAAATACAAATGTGAGGGACATGTAGGAGGCCAGCCAGGCTATCAAAGGTACGAAGACGGCTCTATACCCCAAGAACTCAAAGTCCCGATCTGACCTAGTACGGCCATAAACGACGCAGCCGCCGCACGCCGCGATGCACAATGTCCGAGGTACGCGGTACCTTAATCCAACGACAACAGCGCCACATAAAGCCGCTCTGAATATCGCGATGCCGATCAAACGCATGGCCATCGGCGACAGCTCCCCCAGCAACTCATCTGCGCTTTCATCATCCCCGAAATCGAACCCGAACCTATCATAAACCTTGCGTTTTTCTTCATCCTTCAGGACCTCGTAGGCGCGGTGCAGCGCGTCGAAGGCCTCCTTGCTCCCACCCTTGTCGGGGTGCGCTCTTAATGCTAACTTGCGGTAGCTCTTCGTGACGTCTTCCGGGAATTTCGAGTCTCTTGTTACTTTTAGCATGGCGTAGTAGGAGTCCATGGCGCAGCGCTGCGGCGGCGTGCTGGCACGGGGCGAAGCGATGCGCAGCGTTCGTCGCAGCGACTCAGGCTTTCGTCCTGTGACGTTGGCGCGGTGCTGCTGGTTATATGGCCTGGCGGCGGCGTTTTTGTCGCGCTTGCTTGCGCTAATTCGACATGGAAAACGGGTTTTTCAGACTCGCCTCTCTCGACGGCCGCGCGGGAGCCGTCGCAGGGGGTAGCCCGAGAGTTACAGCAGCGGGACGGTGCCTGCGGCGGCTCACTTGGGCGCTCGGTTTGCGATGTGCCTTCTCGACCAGGCTGTCGATGCCATAAGAGGCTGCCCCCGAATAAGACCGCGCGTTGAAGCGCCGCGGCATGAGCCGGATTTACCAGCAAATTTTGGCACATTCCACAAGCCAAGAAAACGACCAGGGCAGTCGCTGCAGCATGGCGACGATCGACCTCACGATGGAGCCGGACGCGGGCCAGCTGGCGCGGCAGGTGCTCGGCGCCGAGACCCTCGCCGAGGCGCGCGCGCACGCGCAGGCCGTCGTCGACGCCGAAGGCGGCAGTGACGAGCCGTCGGCCAAGCGCGCCCGCCGCGACAAGTCGCCGCGCGAGCGGCACGAGGAGGCCTACACCAGTCTGATCGTCGCCGTCTGCGACCTCCTCGCGAAACCGGTGAGGTATCCCGTCAGCTTTACAGTATCCTACAACGGCCGCCAGGTGACGTATGGCGGGCATCCCTGGGGCACGGGCTTTGGCTTGCCGATGCTCCGTTTGCCGGCGCTCAAGTTTGACGAAGCCGAGGCCCACTGGGCCAAGGATCCGATGGCAATCACCCCCCGGTCCATCCGCCCGGAGCTCTCGTTTTCGGTCGTGGCGGGCAGCTTTGATGCTTCCGTCGTGCCCAAACAGCCGCCCGGCACGAACGAGACTTGGCCGGTGTGTTATGCCATCAGGGAGTTCCTCAAGGGTAAGCTGCCAGCACCAATGATGAAGGGCTCGGCGGATGTGGAAATCGCACCAGAGAAAACGCCGCTTGATAATATGACCGTCGGGCTCCTCCTCGACCCCGGGGACTTCGCTAAGATCCAGCGGATGGTGGGCGACGGCCAGCTCATCGGCCAGCCCTTCTTCAAGGCGTGCGCGGCGTGGGCCTGGGCGTTGCTGAAGAATGAGCACGATCCGGAGTTCCCGGCCGAGGAATGAATAGGAGACTCGCGCGCCGCCGCCGCCGCCTCCGCTGAGTAGTACATGCCGCCTCCTCTGCCCGTGTAAGAGAACTCCCAATATAGTAGAATATTCTGCTAAATAATGACTTACACGATGAAACAAAAAGGACGGACGAGGGAGGGGAGCAGGCTTCGGCCTATCTCCAGAGCAGGGCCACGAGGTTGGAGTGCGGCGGCGGCGGCGGCGCGGCCGGCGGCGACGGCGAGACGGGCATCGCCTCGGGCGCGCCCCATGACGCGAACCGCGGGCGCTTCGGCGGCGAGAGGGGCGACGCGTCCGAGAGGGTCACCTCGCCGCACGCGGTCTGCGAGCTTTCGGTGTCCGTGCTCAGGGCGCGCCGTCGCGCCGCCTCGGCCAGCGCCATCATCGGCGTCGGCGACGCCAGCATCATGGACGAGGACGCCGGCACCGTGTGGCGCGGCGGCGACTCGTACTTTCGGAACAGCGACTGGTTGTTCCACCGCGTCGCCCGCGGCGACGAGGGCACGCTCGGCGCGGGGCTCTCGTCCCAGCCGCCGAAGTTGCCCGACGGGCTGCAGGGCATCGTGCTGGGCATCGGCTTGGCCATGGCCTCGAGCGTCCCGAAGCTGCGGTCGCGCCGCATCTCCTGCGGGCTCTCGGCCCGCGCGAGCGTGATGTCGGTCATGATGAGTTGGTTCTCCCGGGACGACGCGCGCGGCGGGGTGCCCGCGAGCAGCGGGTCGTCCACGCGAAGAATTGTTGCTGTCGTGAGGGGCGCTGGGGCTGCGGAGGCAGCCCCGGGCCTTGTCGGTGGCGCGGGCCTCTTGGGCGCGCTGTTGGCGTGAGGAGAGCCCCTCCCCTTTGGGTGAGATATGCGGCTCCTTCGCGGCGAATTACGACCTGAGCGCCTGGGAGCGTTGTTTATGTTAGTCCGTTGACGCTTGGGCGAGCGGGGGCAGCTCTGCAGGTGCTCGGTAGGCTCGATATTGCCGACCTTCTGCCAAATCGAGCGAGGCTCGGGATCTGAGCTCGGGTTGTCAAGGGCCAGCGCGAACGGCTCATAGCGGGACGTCACCGCTCGCTTCGCCGTCGGCTAGTCCTGCTTCTTGCGAAACGGCGCGGTTGGGGGCTGCCCACTAAGTTGCCCACTATGGGGCTGCCCCATCAGCTGATCAGCGAAATCTAGGCGTCGCAGGGGTCCCGTAGGAGCGCGGGCCCACCGGCGCCACGCTGAGGAGTTCCTTCATCGCGAAATGAAGGAAACTGACGCGCGGTTTTTCCCCCCATTTGTGAATTGCTCTCATTCGCAATAGGCGACTGCAGCGACGGCATTTTGGCGCGCGCCAGCCCACAAGTTGCAGCGCAGCCCCAGAACCAACCCGGAGACGGCATTGCACAACTTTCCCGCCTCAAAAATGGCCAGCGTGGCTCAAAAATCGAATGGAGGCGACTACCTTCAGCAGCATTGTTCACGGCACCACCGGCGCGTCTCCCTGTCCTACGACGGCCGCATAGAGGCCGAGGCCATAGAGGCCGATACGGCAATGACCATGTACATAGAGGCGCCGGAAGTGGCCTACCGCGCGGTGCGAGAGGCGCCCGCGAAGGTGATTTGCCCCGTCACGGTGCCGACGGTGTCTCCAAACGCCACGGACGACGAGGTCGACGACGCGGCGTCGGCGCGCAGCCGCGGCGCCGCGGCGCCCGCCGTCCGCGAGTTCTTCGAGGGCCCGTCCATGTTCTACAACGACGGCCTGAATCCTCTGTTGCCGGACCGGAGCGAGGAGCCGCAGCGGAAGCGGCGCCGCATAAAGCCCGGTCCCGTGAAGGTGCGCTCGCCGGACCCGCACACGCGCTTCGTCGCGCTGCTCTGGGGCCCGCGCAAGCGCGCCGCGCCGTGAACATGCTCTCCCCCTCCCCCCAAGTTGCGACGCGGGACCTCACTTTCTCCGAGGTCTAACCCCGCGCCTTCCTGTTGAATGAAGTAAGTTCAAGTCATGTAGCTCCTACTCCTAGTTCCCCATGCCCTCGAACGGGTTCCCGCCCTTCATCAAGGGGTTGTCGTCCGGCAGGAAGGCCGGCGCCACCGTCACGAGCACTAAGAGTACGGCGAAGAACGTGAACGGGTTCGCGCCGAAGTTGCCCAATAAACCGCCCACCGAACCCTCGAGGCTCGCCGTGACACCCGCGAGCGCGCCGGCCTTCACTTCGATCAGCTCGACGTCGAACTTCAGTTCACTGTTGGGAGGGATGAGGCCCTCGCCGATATTCTGGTCGCCGTACGCTAAGCGCGGCGGAATCAACAACGTGCGCCGCCCGCCGACCTTCATCGTGGAAACGCCCTCGTCCCAGCCGGGAATGACATTACCGTCGCCGATCGTGAACGAGAAGGGCATGTTGCGGTCTCTACTAGAATCGAACTTGAAGTCCGAGGCCGCGAGCCAACCGGTATATTGGACTTTCACGACGTTGCCCTTTTCCGGGGTCTCGCCGGTGCCGACAACTTCGTCCTTGAACTTGAGGCCGCTCATCGTCACCTCGAAGCCGTCCGCGGCGGGCGCCGCGGCCGCGGGCGCCGCGGCGCCGCCGAGCCGGACGCCGTAGTCGTAGTACGACACGACGCCGTCGCTGTCGCACTTCGAACGCCAGTCGGCGTTCGTCGCGTGCAGCGCCGGCGGCGCGCGCGACAGATGCCTCGTCGGCGCGAGGAGGCCAAGCGCTGCAGGGAGCAAGGCTGCAAGGAGCATGATGCGTGCCATGTTGCACCGCGAGCCTTTGCTGGCGTGATAAGTCGAATAAGCGCAAGTATAAACAGGTCCTGTTGACCTCGCAACTGACTTATATGCGGCGGTAGCGAGGTAGCACTTTGGCAAAAGATCGAGTTAGACAGCTAGATAGACGCACTAGCAAAAAAAATACCATCCCTAGAAAACACCCCTCGCAGCGATGAACTGCGAGGGCTAACTCCTCGTGAGGGTCGAGGCGCGCGCCCCATCCGAGAGTAGGGGCAAAGTTAAGCCACAGCGCTAAACCAAAGCCGGGCGCCGCCGCAGCCAGGAAGGACCAGGGCTGCGAAGAAAAGGCTGCCCGCCGGCGACTTGAGACCGGCGCCCAGCGGCGAAGCGTCGAAGCGGCGCGCACGCGTCGGCAAAGCAAGCCCAGGCAGCCCAGGCTTCGACCAAAGCAGCCCAGGCGCGACGATGGGTCCCAAGGAGGTGGTCCTCATGGACCAGGAGGAGCGCGTCGCGCGGTTTGGTGTACTATGTACGGGGCCGACGCGACGAGATGCGAACGGCGTGGTCATCGAGCAGGACGGCATCCTGTTTGCCGGAGGCGAGTGGGTCCCGGGAGGTGAATATGCCCAGAAGCTCACCGTAAAAAACGTGACGACAAAAATGAAGAAGCTCAAGTACAAACTACCTCAAACCAGATATTTCTCGCTAGCTTTTCCGGAGACCATTGAACTCTCACCAGGGATGTCCCAAGAAATCGACGTCATCTTCCGGCCCATCAAGGAGGAGATTTATGAAGACACGATCTACTTTAAGTTGGAGGAGTTGCCCGTGGGTACGGTGATTTCGGATGCTCCTATCAGGGGTTTCCACGTGCCCGTACGAGCACTACTCCCAACCTTACAAGCGCGCATACCCGAGGATGTAGATATGGGCCTCTGCCCCACGGCGGAAACTTCAGAGAGAACCTTCTACATCGAGAATAATGGCGAGGTGCCCTGCCCCTACAGATGGAGCGTGCCCGAGCCCTTCACGCTCGAACCTTCCTATGGGTTACTAGATGTGGGCGAGGCCCACGAGATCACTTGTAGTCTACACCCCCAACAAGCGTCGGTCTTCGTCGCGCGAGCTTCGTGTGAAGTCGGCAAGGGCGTCAACGCGATCAAGCCCCAACCTATACTGGAGATGAAGCTTTCCGCGGTCGGAAAGTACGTCCATATTGAGGTCTCGGATACGAGAGTGGACTTCGGCGACGTGTTGGCCGGGTCACCCATCACGGAGGAACTCACGAGAGAGATAGTTGTTTCTAACAGATCCGTGGTGCACGCTCGCGTCGAGGTGATACGGGTCGAACGAGACCGGGAACCGGTCTTCGCCGTGCATCCCACGTCACTCATCGTGCCGCCCCAGTCGGAACTCCCGGTGATGATCCAGTTCCATTCTAGGAGTGCGGGTACGTATACCGCGGAACATCTCGAATTTGTGACGCCCGGTGGCAACCGACCTCGGTTACTACTCACTGGTAGCAGCGTAGCACCGGTCGTCAAGATCTACAAGCAGGAGGACCCCTTCGCCAAGGGGTTTGGGGTTTCTACCTCGGTTAATTTTGGGTCGATCAAGGTTGGTGCGAGGTGCGATCGTGCGGTATTTCTACAAAATAATTCGGACGCGGATCTACACTTTCAATTCATAAGTGATGAAGGTGGATGTTTCAAGCTCTCGAAGTACCGCGGTATCATCCCGGCTCAACTAGAAGTTTCCGTGAAGTTCACGTTTTCGCCGGACCGACCGATCAACTACTACAAGAGATTATTTGTTATTGTGGAGCATCGGTTACCTCTATTCGTGGATCTACTCGGCACAGCATACATCTCGGCCGCCGGCGAGGTGAAGGAACAAAGACCTGCTCCCCTCCGACACGCGCACGTGCAAGCGGCTCGCAACAGACAAGCTGCTGGTTTAGGGAGAGCCTCTCCAGATGAATTAGAAAAAATGCACGCCGACTTGCAGGAACAAGGTGCTACGGCAGATGAGCGGTTATTATTTGCTAGAATTGGGGCCAAGGGCCACGACGACGTGCTACTGACCACGAACACGCAGGATCCCGTGACACGTAGTGGCGAAGCTACACGTTCAAGTGTACAGGTCGCCCACGACTTGTTCGAGGAGTACACGGACTCGGACTTGAAGGAGGTCCAGGTGTCCCAGTCGCATGTCGACTTTGGGTTGAAAACCGTCGGGAGTTCTGGGAGACGTACGATCACGGTCACGAATACCACTAGAGCCAAAATAAGCGTGGCGTGGACGCCGCCGCCCCTCATAGAGGTCGAGAACGAGAAACCAGCTGCCGACTTCTCCGTGAGCCCCGATTACGCTGATATTGCCGCCGGCGCTTCCCTAGATTTCACGGTACGCTTCCACCCGCGCAAGCCGAATGTGTATTCACTAGTGGATCTGGAGGCCACGGTCTTCTACAAGTCGCAACGATCCTTTAGGTTAGTGAACGACGCCGTCTTAGCCCCGCCGTGGCGCCTCGAAGTCGCGGCAAGCGGCCATTCGTTCGGCGGCGAGCAGTTCGCCCCTGCATTACAATCGGAGCCGCGGGAGCGCCACTGGCCCGGCATCCACGTCGGCGACGCGGGCTACCAGTCCCTCAAACTCAAGAACTCGTCGAACCTGCCCTGTCTTTTTAGTATCGAACAGGACCCCGTGAAGGCGTTTTCGGTGAGACCGGCGCAGGGCTTGATTCCTCCCGGGGGCTTCCAGTTGTTGGTGGCGCGCTTCGAACCCAAGGAGGAACGAGTTTATAGACATAGGGTGCGGTTAGTGGTCAACGGCGAGGCGTGCGACGGTCCGTTCCTGTGGGGCGCCGGCCAGATCCCGCGGGCCATGATGGTCGGGTGTGATGAGGTCACGAACCCGGAGACGGGTGCGGGAAGCGTGACCTTCCAGCCGACCTGTGTGGGACTTGCATCGAGGAGATCATTTACAGTACATAACGCGTCTAGGGTTCCTCTCGTCTTCGATGCCGTCTTACCTAATAGGGCCACCCAGACCTTCTCCCTGAAGCCCAAAACTGGAGTGCTGCGAGGCAACGAGTCGCAAGACGTCACCGTGACCTTCGCGCCGGGCGCTCGTGGTCTGAAGAAGACGAAGTGCGTCGTCGCTGTGAGGCCGTTAGCTGGGCCGCCGCCTTCCCAACGACGAGACGCGAGGCAGCTAGGCAACGCCGAGCCCGCCAAAATATTACAAAAAGTAGTGTGTCGGTTGACCGCGCCCGCATCTTCAGGTGTTATTTCGTTTGATCCGCCCGTGTTGGAATATCCGACGTTACTAGTGAACACTACGTCATCGAAAGCGTTGATCATCATCAACTCTAGTGATTGCGCCATCAAATACTCATTAGATTACGTGTCGCGGAAGCGGGCTTTTGCCGTCGGCGAAGAACCGGAACAAACGATCAGGCAACTGCGCAAGGTACCCTCGGAAGGCAAAGCGGAGCGCATCCTCATTGATGAACCGGAAGGTCTCATAGCCGCTAGACAACGAAAGCGCGTGAAAGTAACGTTCCATCCCGACGCCGCGGGCGACTTCGAGTTCGCCTGTGCTTGCAAGGTCCATGCGGTGGATGAGGATGGGAACGAAATCGCGTTGGATCCGGAGCAGGCGTCTTTGTTGACGTTGGGTGAGGAAGCTAGAGATGTGGAATTAGTGCGAGGCCGGGACCCCTTCTCGGCGACCGTTGCTGAGTTATCGAAGAAGTCTCCCGCACTCCCCTTGACGTGTGTCGTGAAAGGTTCTGCCTCATTCCCTACGATAATAGTGCGAGATATAAGAGTGGAAGGCGCGAAGCTCGGCTGCAGCACGTCGGCGATGTGGGCCCACTTTTCACTCAGTGCCTTAAACAAGACGCTGTTGACACCACTCACGTCTAAAGAAGTCAAATTCAACCAGGAGTCCTCACCAGACCTACAGCTACTCCCGAGGTACCCGTGCAAGTTCGTGCCCGAACCCCTAGGCAACCCGCCGCAAGTTGTATTGATACAAATCGAGAACCCCGGGCTGTTACCAGCTTCATTCAGTGTACACCTACCGAACGAGCGAGATATCGAGCTCGAGCCGTGGGCGGACGAAGGCGAGCCTAGTCCAGAGGTCGTCATGGTCAACAAGATCATCGACGAGCTCAAGTGTTTTGATATATCTCCTAGACAGGCTTCATTGGAGCCGGGTGGTTCGTGTACGTTGCGTATCGCGTATGTTCCTTCGTCTCGCGAATTTGACGGGAAGCACACGTTGCCCATACTACTGAAAATTGGCCAGGGCAAGCAGATGTGGCTGGATCTGGAAGGTAGGACTCTCGCACCAAGAGAGCCGTACTTGGTCGTGCCCAAGGATCCGATGACCCATAAATTGCCTCTACACCCGGTCGCAGTTGGTACGCGACCGGAGCACGCGCCTTTGCAGATCCTCGAGTGTGTGAATTGCGGCAACTCGCCGTTGGAGTATCAAGTTGAATACAGTTCATTGAGGGGCGACGAGGGCATCGATCTGCTGCGGGTGGAGAATAGTACAGGACATGTGCCTCCTTTTGGCTCCGCGGACCTGCGAGTGAGGTTCTTACCTCTCCAAGCGTCGTCCTACGAAGCTCCATTAACAATAAAGTACAAATATTCAACAAAGGGAGGAATGAGGGAGGTCCAGTTAGATACCATATTAACGTGCTCGGGCTACGATCCGCGAGATGAGAAGCAGGACCCGCACAAGGGCGGTAAAGTACCTGAAGGAAGTACTTCGATAAACTACGACTACCAGATCGTCGAGGCGCCGTCGCAACCAGCTGTACTATCCAGAGAATGCGTCGACTTCGGCCGAAACACGCAGCGCGCCCACGTCTACCGCATGGTCACGATCCGCGCCCCCAAAGCTTTAGAAGCGACTACTGACAAGCCGCCCATCTACGAGTACCAGTGGGAGGCGGCGCACGACTTAGTGGAAAAAGGAATTTTGGACGTGTATCCCTTATCTGGCAAAATCTTCCCCGGAGGTGTGGCTGTATGCAGAGTAGCTTTGAAAGCTGATTGCGAGCCGCAAATACTAGACACGCAGTTGATGGTCCTCGTGAAGGAAGCTGTACGCATAGAGAAAAGACCTCGCTCGCGACCGTCGTCACCGATCCTGGAGGAGCGACCGTCGACCGCGACACTCACGAAGGACCCGTCGCACCAATCCATCATCCTCAAGTGCACGACGGCAAGGGAACGATCTTTAACGCAGTCTACCTTACCGGGCAACCGCCTGCCGATGATGCCTACTTCCGGTACTGCGGTAGCGCCTCCCCCACTAGGTGCGCCGCCGCCCGAACCTCCCAACTCCGCCTCATCCAACGCGTCGGGCCGGCCGCCGTCGGCGCCGCCTCGCTCGGCCTCGACGGCGGCCATGATGTCGACGTTCGGCGACAAAGCCCCCGAGCAAGCGTCGATCCTGGGCGGCGGTTCCGTCGTCGGATGTGCCGCGTCCTGCTTTTTGCGGTTAAGAATCAGAGGTGAGGTTGTCGGTGAACAGCAGCACATGGACCTTCATAATGGCGAGATAGACAACTTATACATACCGCGGCCTCTAGCTTATATACCAGCTGCTTCTACCGTAGAAGACGACCCGTTCGAGTCGTCGGACTCGTCGTCTGATGAGGAAGAGGAAGAGTTGACGGCGGAGGAGCTCGCCGACGAGCGCGAGAAGGTCAAGAGGGAGGTATTAAGGAGGACCATGGGCGACATCGTGCGGTCGACCTTGGACCTACCTGAGGTTAGATCGGTATTCAGGATGCTGCCCGAGAAGCCCAACGTTCCCTACTATGTGGAGATACGGCCTCATGACACTATACTGGAGAGAATGAGCGAAGACTTGCAGCCCTACGTGAGGGATGGTAGTATATCATTAGGCGACGCGCGCCAAGCGTTCCTAGATATCGGCCTGAAAGCTACTATCGTGGAAAGTAAGGACTTCATGAAGATGCTCAAAGAAAATGCGACAGATATGACAAAAGTAGAAGACTTCTTCAACGGTCTTAGTGATCAGGTCTCGCACGCCGTGGTCCGAGCCTTAGACGATAGAGATTATGCTGAGAAGGTCCGAGTGAGGGACGAGCGGCGCGAAGCGCGCATGAAGCGCGTCGCGCCGGCAGAATGGAAGGCCGCGTCGATGCTCGCGAACGCCTACCGCGGTAAAAGAGCCAGGGAGTGGGCGTCGTACCGGAAGTGGTCCCTGTCGCACGAAGGGGCGTTGATGATCAAGTACGCGATCATCCTCCAACAAAAATACCGGTGCTACCAAGCCCGAAAGCTGCTTAAAAGGAAAGCGGCGGAGCGGCTGCATCGCACGGCGCATCGGCTGCTGGGCGACGCAAGCTTCCAGAAGATGGTCTTCGGCGCCGTCGAGGGCACGCTGCTGAATTTGGTGCAGGAGGCGCTGCACCACGAGTTCGACCTCACCGCGCCGCCGATCCAGCGGTGCATGCCCGAGGGGTCCGAGGAGTAAAGTCTTCTTTTGCGGCGATGGCGTGCTGATTTCTTGGTTCGGCTCGGCCGGCGCGCCGACCGCCCCCACGCCCCCCGGGCAGCCCCTCGGTCCAGGGGGTCAGAGGGGGCTTAGATGAGTCTCATCCGAGCACTGCCCGGTATGTAGAGGGGTCCCCGCGTCGGAGGCCTCAGATCCATTTGTTCTCAGCTCTGGGCCAGCAGCGTCCTATACGCAGCGCGTAGCGGGCCTGTCGACAGTTGAGGACGCGGGTTAGTCCCTGCGAGGTCTGGATAGGTCGTTGAAGTTGAAAACGCGCGCCCGATCGGCTCAGTAGACGAGTTTTGCAGCCGAACAGCTTGACACAGGATTGTCACAAGGCGTGCACGCGACCAAGCCTGCGCGCAGCCAAACCAGCCATATCACAGGACTTGTGGAGCCATGAAGTTCGGTCTACGCTTCGCGCTACTCGCGCAGACGAAGTGCCAGAATCTCTCGCCGAGCTCGCGTCTGAGCCGAGTGACCCGCCTCTCGTCCAGCCTCTCGTCGGACCGCCCTTCGTACGACTACACGAGCGAGGATTGCACCGTGGTGTTCGACGCAGATGGCGCGTACTGCATGGAAGAGGCCGCGCTCATGTCGCGCGTGAACGTCGAGAACTGCGTCCGCGACAGCGCCAACCCCGAGGAAGAGTGCGACGTGCCCCCGAAGTACCAGGAGCTCATGGACCGCATCATCCAGAAGAAGCCCAAGCCGAAGACCGCGTCCCCAACCGTGACGGTGGTGGATTCGGAGGGCTCCTTCGAGGAGTACATCGGCCGCCCGCTCTGACGAGCCCGGCGCCCAGCTTAGCTGTGACGACACGGCCTAAGCACCTGTGATATTGAAGAATAGAAACTAAAGACGCGTTACGTCCCTACTACAAGTCCGGCGCCGCCGCGCCTCCGGGTTTTTTGACAGGGCGTGCCTTCGTACAGCACCGCCCGGTTTTCGTCGGCAATTTAGAAGTTGAGGTGGATCTCCGGCGCGAAGGGCGCCATCACTTCCCCATCGTAGTGCGGGAAGCCCGGGATCTTGGACAAGATCGGGACCGAGCCCGGCACCTTGGACTCCGCGAGGAAGCCCATGATGCCGAACATGGCCGCGCGGCCGTTCAGGATCTCGGAGCGCAGGCCGCGCGCGCGCTTGTCGGCCGGCTTGTCGCGGAAGCCGAAGCCGAAGGGGTCGTAGAGGTTGATCTGGATCTGGCCGTTGTTCTTGCCCTTGATGTCGGGGTAGAAGCCCGGCTGGCCGCCGCGCATGTAGTGCGTGTACTCGGGGCCCGCCGCCGCGCCCTCGCCGTAGCTCTCGAGCATGCCGATGGCGATGAGGATCTGGAGCTTGCCCACGACGGGGATGTTGTCCCACTGCTCCTGGGGCGTGCAGCCCGCGACGTAGCCGCGGTACGGCGCGAACGTGTGCTCGCCGCTCACGAGCGCCGTCGACTGCGCGATGAAGCCGAGGAAGGCCGCCATGGCGACGCGGCCGTGCTTGATCTCGGCGTGGCGCAGGAAGCCGATCGTCGCCTCGTTCGAGAAGGGCGTCGACTCGCCGAAGGCCCACGACTGGTCCGCGAGCCCGAAGGGGTCCCACGCGCCCGTGCCCGGGCCGGGCATCGTGTCCGCGTAGTTGTACAGGTCCTGGCGCGTGAAGGCGCCCGTCGGCGTCGGCGCCGCGGCCTTGGCCGGCGCCGGCGCCGGCGCGGCCTCCTCGGCGGGCGCCTCGGCCTCGGCGTCGTCCGACATGCGGACCTGCTGCACGGCCTTGGGCACCGGCGCCACGAAGGCGCTGGCCCCGCTGAGCGCGAGCGCGATGACGACACGCTGCATCTTGGTGCTACCTGCGCGGACGCGCGGCGGTCGGAACGGCGCTCGGCGGCGGCGCGCGCGTCGTCCGCTCGTCGTCGTTTGTGTTCGGCCGTCGCCGCCCGCCGACGAGCAGCGCGCGCTGTGTCCGAAGCCGTGCGGCCCACGACGACAGCCGTGCCGCTGCCCGTGGCGCCGGTCGACTGCTTCCGTGCCACGCGCGCTTAGCCGTCGTGCAACGGCGCCGCCGATGCAGCGAAATCCCGTGTGCCGGACCGAGCTCGTATGGGCCCTCAGGAGCGCCGTTCGAGCTAAAAAAAGCAACAGCGACCGTGCCGTATGGACCCAGATACGAGAACTGTTGCTTAGAACCAGCGAAGATTGCGAACGCAGGTGAAAACGGTGAAATAAGTCGAGTTGCTCCAAAATCCTTATTGGTCGGGTTTTGGTTGTGGCACATAAAAGGTGGTCTTGGCCGTCCGTCACGTCCTCGTTCGCCCCCCGGAGCGGCTCGAAAAGTACCGCGGCCGCCTGCCGCAAACGTTCGGGGAAATGGGGCAAAACCGCCCGCTCACGGAGCGCCGTCGGCACCGCCGCTGGGGCAGCCCCCGCATAGAAAATGGCGCGGATAGAAACGGCAATGAGCCCCACGACGGAGGACGAGGACAGCCCCGCGCGCCGTTTAACTCTAGGCCTGCCGAACGCCCGCTTCTCGGACCTGGGAGCGTCGGCCGGAGCGAGCACGCCCCAGAGCCCGGCCTGGCCCGATCAGCTGTGTGAGCAGTACGATATCCAGAGGGTTATAGGGAGGGGCGCGTCGTCGCAAGTCTTCGCCGCGACGCATAAGAGCAGTGGAGAAAAACGAGCAGTGAAGCGCATCTACAAGCCCAAGTGCTGCCGGACGGCGCGCGCTACTAGACGACTGCGGGACGAGGTCCGCGTTTTGTCGCAGATACGACATCGACATATCGTGGAGATGCGCGAGGTCTTCGAAACGCCTTCAGAGCTGTTTGTGGTCATGGAGCGCTGCGAGGGCGGGGAATTGTTCGATCGCATCGTGGCCAAAGGTTCATTCAGTGAAGCGGAAGCTGCTACCGTGATGCGGCAATTACTCAGTGCGTTGGCCGACTGCCACCGACGGGGCGTCTTGCACCGTGATGTCAAGCCAGAGAACTTACTACTAACGTCCAGCGAAGGGTGGGAGCTCAAACTCTCAGATTTTGGGTTGGTGAAGACTTTATCTGATATGGATGAATTTAGCGAAGAGGAAATTGTCAGTCCTGATAGCATAGATGAGACGGCGCAGCGGTTTCGACGAGCCGAGACGCATACGCTGTGCGGTTCACCGTATTACATGGCTCCCGAGGTCTGCGGGAGAGAAAAGTACGGCCCTGCTGTTGATGTTTGGAGTTCAGGTGTGGTGCTGTTCATCTTATTGACGGGAGCCCCGCCCTGGGAGCGGCCGCCGCAGTTCGGCTCCGCGCCCGACCTCGATGTCGGGAGAGATCTAGGACATGTCTCGTCGGACGCCGTCGACTTGATCCTAAGGATGCTCCGGCCGTTCCCGGGCGATCGCTGCACGGCCCAGGAAGCTTTATCGCATTCATGGTTCAAGCGCGAGGAGCGGAATCGATTATCGTCACCTCGATACGCGCCGCAGCTCAAACTTTTCCAAGAGAAGCGGAAACGACGGCGCGACTCCGCGGCATTGGACCTCACGCCGATGAACCGCGCGCTGCCGCACATCGACAAGCGCGGGAGGTCGGACGACTCCAAAGAACCCCCTCTAGAGTACGACACGCTGTCGTCCGACGGTTCTGACTACGGCGGCGACGAGCCGCCGCATCTATTGAATAGAGACGACTCCCTGTCCATGGACAACGACTTCTCCTGACAAGTATATAAGGAGCTTTTTGTTAGTATAAACCCGACTCGCGGCGCGGCGCGTCGATGGCGTCTTCGTGAGACCACGTCGCCTCGACCGTCGACGCGGCCGCGAGAGAGTTCGACTCCACCAGCACGCCATCGCCGCGACTCACACCACAATACTTGCGTAGTAGGTACAATATTACGCCCCCGCCAGCGCGGCATCAAAAGCTGCTGCTAATTGGTCCGCCGCGGTCGTGTAGGGTGACGCGGGCCCGTGATATTGCAAAGCGTTCTCGGCTATTTTTCTAATGTCCCTTCGTAATGCTGCATCATTTTCATAAGCACCGGTATTCAGCCTCTCTCTACAAAGAGGCAGGTCACACACGTCCTTGATAATAGAATAATAATCAACAGCACCCAGCTGCAAGCACATGTCCCGCGTGAGGCGCGTTCGGAACGGATTGCCCATGTTCGGTCCAAAGTCCAACGCCCAGGCCGCGTCCAATGCGCGTCGACCATGAGGCGAGACGCCGACGCCGTCCCACTCCTTCGACGCTTGCAGCTCCAAATCCGCGATGCTCCCCTTGGCCGGGCCCTCCTTGACGGGCTCCTTCTTCGCGCGCTTGCGCTTCGGCGGCTCCGGTACGTGATCCGGCTCCTTCCAGCCCTCGTCGATCATCGCGATTTGGGTTCGTGTGAGTTGCCGCGGGACGCCCTCGGGCAGAGGTCTTTCCAGTAACGCGCGGAAGTGCTTCAGGGCGTCTTTCGAGGCTTTGCCCCGATGGTGCGCGGGGAGGTACGTCTCCCACGTCCGCGGCTCCTTGTTTTTGGCAATTTTCTCGTCCCAGATTTTGGTTTGTTCTATTAAATGAGCTCGTCGGGCCTGCACGGCCTCGTTGCGTGCATCTTCGGCTTCCATCTTGCGTGCGCCGCGGCGGCGGCGTGACTGCTGCGCAGGCTCCCGGTGGCGCTGCCGAGCTCAGGAGCCCAGTGTTTCGTGTTAGCGATGCAGAACGCGACTTCGCTGCGTCGCTGAAGCAAAACGCTGCACAGGCTTGCCCCGGGGCGGCTCCCGCTCCTTTTTTACAGCCGCGGAGGGCCTGCGCTATGTCGTAGACATACTAGACACGAATGACGCCATCGACGCGACGAACAAGCCTATTTTCTCTCAACTTACGATGACCTACCACTCCACTCGGCCCCGTTCTCGTTCCAGACGCGCTCCCGCACGTCCAGATAATCCAATGTCCCGCGCGCGTCCTCGCCCGCACTACCATCTAGTTCGGAGGAGATCAACCTCAACTCGAGGTCGGCCATGGCCTTCCGCAGACATAATAGCGTGGATTTCGAGTGCTGGTTGTACCGATACAGCCCATAGAACAAGTCGAACGAATCGTCACACGTCGTCTCGACGACCTGCAGGATGGACGCGAAACCCTTCGTGTCGATGGGCGTGCTTCTCAAGTCACCCACACTCCCCAACATCCGCCCGACGAGATGCGTCAAAAATTGGGAATTCGCGGCATACACATCATGCTGCGTACACGACATCTCGACCATCCGACACCCCGCGCTTTCAAAGAGTGATAAAAACCGTTCACAGGCATCCGAAGTATCTTCAGGTACTCGTACTTTGTCGTAGACAAATGCTAAATTCTCCCAGCCGGACTTCGCGGAATCAGGGCCAAACATCGGGTGCGTGCACAGCACGCCCGTTTCCGCGGGGAGGTGCTTCAGCAACGCTTCGCGAGCGTGCTCCTTGACCGAGAGGACATCCACAAACAACGTTTCCGGATACTTTTGCAGTGAAGGTCTTAACCTTTGTAGCGTCTCCTCGAAGGAGACTATCGAACAGGCCAGCACCACGACGTCGGGCTTCCGCTCGAAGAACGCCTCCACATCGTCACTGCTGTCGAGTCTTCCACATCCTTTGGCGCCGCACTTGGTTGCCTCATTTGCTCGGTCCGAGAGACTGAGTCCATAAATCTCGTGGTCGTAGGACGCGAATTTTGTCGAGAGGAACTGGCCGAACCGTCCGAAGCCCACAATCCCAATCTTTAGTCTCCGCTTTGCTAGCACCTCTGCTTTTTCTCGTTGGACCCGCGCGAGCTGCGCGCGGAGCTCCGCTTCCCGCGCTTTCACGGCGAGTAACCTCCCGTCGCTCTCGGACCTTACTTTGACCGGTGGTCGCTTACAAATCTTCGGCGCGAACGCTGTTAATTGTGTGAGCAGCAGCAGCAGCGCTGCTGGCCTAGGCAGCATGGTCACGCGTGGCAGTAACGGCAAGCGCTGCGGTGGTGCGTTGCAGTATGCGAATCGGTGCTGGCGTCTGCTGCACTTGTGCTAGCGCTCTACGGCGACGGCGTAGGCGAGCATGTGCCTCAGGCTGCTGCTAGTGCCTCACTGTGTCACTAGACGAAGCCTCGCTCCTGGCTCGTGCACGAGCCATCATGCGTGCCTGCATTGAGAGAGCGCCACGAATCCCGATTCGTCGGGCACCTAGAGACTCTAGCTAGCATTATTGGCCAAAAAATAATTGACCTTGGCCCAACGTATAGCTCGCATTGCTGCAATACGGGCAAGGCATGCACGCGGAGGCTGTTCTCTAATACCCCTGCGAGCGCTGAGCGCGGCACAAGGCAAAGAAACGGCACGTAAGCCGATTTTTTAAGCTAGCCTTGACGTCGGACATTTGCAGCGGCGACGTAGAGCAAGAAACGCCGCCGTAAGCAGCGTCTGACGTAAAGATGGACCTCAAGGACCCCAAGATCCACGCGCCGCCGCCGCAGAAGAAACAGCGGGGCAAGCTCGCGACGCTCGACGCGAAAATACTCAGTTTTTGCTACTCGGGCAGCATGGTGTCGTGGAACCGCTTCTGCAGTCTTTGGTTGCTGAAGTGCGGCTTCTCGCCGCGCGAGGTGGGCCTCATGAAGTCCCTGTCCCTCGTCGGGAAGTTGATAGCGCAGCCGCTCTGGGCGGGATCGGCGGACGTCGGCGCGCCGGCCGACGTGCTGATGGGGTCCGTGGTGGCTTCTGTCGCTACTCTGGAAGCTCTGAGGAGAGGTACTCGAGAGGGCTTCCTACAAAGACATGTGGGAGCGGGCGCGAGACCGCACCAGGCCCTGTGGGCCGTCGCGGCTTTAAGGGTTGCTAGGTCCGCATCCTCGGCAGCCTCACCGGTCGCCGACGCCATGGTGCTGACCCTCGCGACGCAGGGCAACGAGGCCTGGGGCCGCCAGCGCTTCTGGGGGTCGGCGTCGTGGGGCCTTGGCTCTTTGTTCGTGGGCGCGTTAATTGATAGGGTCGGCCTCGAGGCGGGCATCTTCGGGAGTACCTACCTGGTTTGTTTTGCTTTATTATGTTTGCTCTTCTTTCGCGTAAGACCGCGGTGGCCCTCGTCCGAGAGTGACGAAGAGGCCCCTGTACAAGTAAAGAAGAAGGCGCCGCGGAACCTGTCCGCCGTCGTGTCTCATGGCCTCGTCGCGTTGAAGCGAAGCGCACCACTACGGCTAGCTTTAGGTGATGCTTGCGTGTTTGGCACGTTGGTGGTGGTGGTCGATTCTATTTTATATATGCAGCTCGAGAACGAGTTGGGAGTATCTCGCACCACAAATGGTCTAGCGACAACGATAGCGACGGCCTCGACGTTCCCGTTCTTCTGGTACTCCTCACAACTGATAAAAAAATTAGGCCACTGGAAGGTGCTGGCGGGCGCGCAGTGCATCCTGCCCTTTCGGTTGCTATTGCATTCCCTGGTAACGCCGGGGAACGTCGCCTACCTCCTGCCGCTCTGCCAGTTGCTACATGGTCCCATGTTCGCGTGCTGGCTGTCGGCCGCAGTCGAGCTCGTGGCGACGCTCGCGCCGCCGGAGCTCGCGGCGTCGTCCCAGAGCCTGCTGACGATGGCCTACTTCACGATCGGGGGCTGCGTCGGCCATTTGGTCTGGAGCGCGGCCTTCGAGGCGTGGGGTGGTAGGGGGACGTATTTGGTCGCGGCGGGCTGTGCGCTGGTTGCGGCTCTAGGCTTCCTGGCGGCCATACCGGCGCGTCGTCGAGCGCCGCTCCCGCGTTATCCTTTGGTGGATGACGACGTGTCGCCGCCGAACCGCGCGCAGCCCTAGTCGACCCCACGGCGGCGACGTCTGTCTTCCCGTACGCCTACACGCCCCGCTGGGCGCCGGCGCTCGCTCTTAGGTTAGTTTAATTCGCAGATATGTGTTATCTATATCTAGCGCACACAAATGACCCTTCTAGGCAGTCATGCCCTCTCTCGCCGCCGCGCTACGGTCCTTGACCCACGACGTCCCGCCGACGCTCGAGATGCACGGCGTCTTTTGGATGTACGGGAAGTCCTTCTCGAGGATCGCGCCAATACAAAAGTCCGCGACGTCCGCGCGCGCAATGGAGCCGGCCTCGCCCTCGATGACATTGATGACGCCCGTCGGCTTCTCGACCGTGAGCCCGCCGGGCCGCACGATGCACCATTCCAGGTCCCGGCCGACGCCGCCGTCCGTGAAGAGCGCCTCCTGGTTGTTCTTGTCGGTGAAGATGGACGACATGACCGTCATCATGAGCATTTTGAACATGAAGGGCGCCTGATCTTTAGAATCTCCGGCGCCGATGGACGTGACGACGGCGACGCGCTTGACGTCGTACTTCTTCATCGCGGCGATGACGGTGGCCGTGCCGTCCGTTAACATGGTAGGACCGACGTCCTTCGTCTTGCCGCCGAGCGAGATGATCACACCCTCGACATCACCTCCCTCAAACACTTTCTCCACGTCGGCCGCGTTCGTGACGCTGCCTTTGTACTTGTAGAGTTGGTCGTTCTCGACGAGGTCCTCCTTGCCCGTCGAGCCGAGCGGCGTGAGGAGCTTCGCCGGGTCGCGGCAGAGCGCGCGCACGGGGACGCCGCGCTCCAGCAATTGATGCGTGCACTCTCGGCCGGTCAAGCCCGTCGCACCGAAGACCGCGACCGACATTCTCGTCGGCGCGCGCAGCGCATAGGTGCTGAGAGCAGCGGTGGCGAGGAGGAGTAGTTTCATATTGCTTGAGAAGTAGGAGAGCTGGTGTGGGTCGTCGCGCGGGCGTCACTTATGCAATTGTGGGCTCAAGAGACCACTACTGAGGGCGGAAATGGCTGCCAGCCTGGTTTGCTCTCTAGGCTTAGGCTTTTTGCTAGTGTCTTAGTCCGCTAGCTAAAACACTAGTCCTAGCACCGTAAGAATACGTCTGGGGTACAAACACGTCACATTAACACCTAAAGAAACGCCTCGGAGCCGCTGCGCAACTCATCAACGCGCTGTGCGCACTCGCGCACCGAACCACAAGGAGAGAGCCACGCGTACGCGCGCCGCGCGCCGCCGTCGGCCGCGGCGACGACGCCCGAGTGGTCGGAAGGAAAGACCAGGACCTCCTCGCGCGCGTCGGCCGACGCCACGAGCGCGGCGTGGCCGTCGGCGATCACCGAGCGCGCCGCGGCCGGGCATCGGAACACCGGCGCGGTCCGCGGCGCGGCGTCCTCGAACGAACACACGCGAACACCGGCGGGCGGCAATGATGGCGGCGCCGGGGCCAAATCCCACTCGCGGTCCGGGTCGCACAACTCCGCCTGGACCGCGTCCCCGACGCGTTGTACAAGAGCCGTCGCCCAGCGCCGCGACAGGCCGCCGTCCGACGCGCGCACGCAACTATCATCTATGACCACACCCACCAGCACCCGGTGCCGCGCCGCGTAGAAGACGACGAGGCGGCGCTTTTCATGTGATGATGGCGCGCCCGTTGCATTATCGTAGGCGCACCGCACCCGTGATGATGGAGGAGGCAAGGTAACAGAGGGGCACCACACGTCGGCCACGGCGTCGCCGGGACCCAGATCGTCCACATCATTTTCATCATCACCAACGCACCGGAACCGCGCGTTCGTGCCGCAGGCTGATAACTCAAACGAGGGCGCCACGAAGCCGGCGCCGGCGCCGGCCCAGCTCCCGTCCGGCGCCCTGCTTTTCTCGACGATGGCGTCGCCGACGTCGCGCAGCGCCGCCTCGAGAATTGTTGATTCGTTGCTCGGGAGCGTCCGCGCGGCAGCAAAACCGTTCACCAACACTAAACACGCCGCGACGCCATCCACACTTTTCACGACGGCCGCGAGGCGCTCGATTTCCTTCCTCGCTTCTGTCTTCAAGCTCGCGTCGCCGGGCCGCGGCGCGTCCGCAAAAGGCGCGAAGCCCTCCGTCTGGGGCGGTTCGAAATCCTCTTGTAGCGATGCGCGAACGGTTTCGACGGGGTCGTCGCCGGCCTCCTCGAAGGCCTCGCCTTGTTTCCGTCGTGCTCTTCTCTTTCTCGCTAATTCAGCCGCGCCCTCGAAGTCGATGAGGTCATTTATAGAACCGCGAAACAGCACGAACCGGTCGTAAGCCTGTAGCGCGCGCGACCGTATCGTTATTACGTCGCTCTTCGCCGCCCAGACGATGACCAGATCGCTTTCTGGTCGTACGAAGCCATACCTCAGCTCCCCGACGAGCGCCGCGTCGGCTGCATCGGTCGCGAAGGCGTTGCCCAGCGCGAGGACCGCCTCGGCCACGCGTAAGGCGCCCAGCCTCTCTGAATCGTCGTGGTTCGGTGGGTGGTACCAGAGCACGTGCGCCAGCAGCTCGCAGGCGTCGGCCGCCTCGTCGGCGCACTGGAGCCGTCGGTGTAAGATTACGCCCCACTCGAGCCAGTCGTTTGGTGGCGGCGGCAGGGTCTTGGCTTTGAGCAGCGTGCGCGCCTCCATGCTTGCGAGGCGGCGGCAGCCAAGCAATTCCGGCCCGCGGTCCAACTAGTCGCAGCGTTGGCGATACGGCGCGCAATGAACGCAGCGATGCAAACGCTGTTTAGATCAAAAAGTTCTCGCTGCGTCGGCCTCGAAAACCGCTTGTCAGCTGCGCAGTCGGCTAGCGTCGAGTAAGACACTAGCGAGCATCCCGATCCAAGCTTTGCAAGCGGATTGCTGGGCGTAGTGCACGGCAGAGCTGCCACACGCTACATAGGACTGGCTGTCTTGGCACGTAGCGCTGTGGACAAGCAATGAGGAGGCTTGCACTCGCCGTCGTGGCGGCATGCAGCCTCCAGACCGCCTCCGCGCTGGCAGCCCGGAGGCCCCCGCCGCCAGACCTCACGAAAATCTACAAGGACACGGTCGCCGCGAATAACGAGCCGGGCAGCGCAGCCGAGCGACCGATAAACAAGCAACTCGTTGCCGTCTGCGGCGCGGGTGGCGATGCGGGCCGCTTCATATACGGCTACGTCCAGCGGGCCGCGCAGACCTTCGAGAGCGGCCTCAAGGCGCCGCGCGCCCTTGTCGGCGCCGCGCGCGGCAGCCGAGCGCTCAATGTGTGTCTGGGGACATCGTTCATCCTTGCCTACGCCGACGAGTCGCTCGTCCAGCGGTGCGACTTCCGGGACGACGAAATCATCAAGAAGCGCCTCGACGGCTGCAGCATGGTGGTGGCGCCGTACCGCATGCGCCCCCAGGGCGCCGTCACCGGAACGGAGTGGTCATGGGACCTCGACCAGGCCGGCGGCGAGTCGGAGCCGTTCTCGCGGATCTGCGCAAACGTGCAAGACGCAGCGCACGTCATCGCCGTCGCGGCGCCCGCCGACGCGGCCGCGGCCCAGTCGGCCCTCGAGGCCTCCGGCGTGCCGCACACGCTCCTGGTCACGAAGGACCTCGCGACCACAAAAAAATGGAATCTGAACGAAGGGATTCAGCAGGTCGTGGGCGCGAAGCGCGGCGCCGATTCTGCCGGTGAGGTTCAGGTGGAGGACCTCGGCGCGCTCATCGCCCAGGCCGTCTCGATCCTGGACCCGACCAAGAGCCGGATCTTATCAATCGGTGCGCTCGCCGACGGCGCCTCTACGCCGCAGGAGTCGCTCGCCAAGGCGATCAACACCGCGCTCCTCTCGCCGGCGTAGCTAGTCTATCTACAGAATTAATACAGATCAACAATAGGGGCATCGATGCCGAAGAGGCGCTCGAGCCGCGCGAGCTGCGCCTCGACGACGGACGCGTGGTCGCCGGCGACGTTCGCCCACTCGTAGTCCTCGAGCGCGCTGCCGCCGGCGCCATCGCACGTGCCAGTATCACCCGCGTGGTCGTAGAGCTCGACGGCAACAGGCGACCCTTTCGGTGCCAAGCGCAAGTGGGACCACTCGTACCACGCCGTGAACCGCCAGCGCTCGTCGCGCGTCGAGTAACCCATATGGCTGAAGCGCCGCCGCGGCGTGTCGTTGCAGTCGTTGTGCTTCCACGCGGCCGACGCGTTGGCCACGCAGCGGGGGTAGACCGAGCGCGCCACGTGCGTGTCGTCCCCGGCACCGCCGAAGAAGAGGGGGCTCAGATCCCGCCCGTCGAGCGGCTGCGACTCGCGAGACGTGTAGCTAACGTCCACGCCGGCCAATCCCGCAAGGGTCGGGAAGAGATCTACGAGCTCGACGGGCGCGCTCACGACGCGCCCGGCGCTCTCCGGCGCCCAGGGCACGCGAACCAACAGGGGCACTCGTACGGCGTTCTCGTAATTGGTCATCTTCATCCACTCGCCCTGGTCGCCGAGGTGCCAGCCGTGGTCGCCGAAGAAGACGACGACCGTGTCGCGCTCGCGGTTCCTCGCCGTCAGGCCGTCGAGCACCACCCCTAACTGTTCGTCCACGAAGGTGACAGCAGCGTAGTAGCCGCGGCGCCAGGCCTGCTGGCACTCCGACGGGTAGTTGTGCGCCGGGGTCAGCGCCTGGGAGCCGCCGCAGGCGCGCCAGTCAGTGAAGACGTCTATTTCGTGCACCGGCACGTGAAACGCGACGTCGACGGAGTGTTGTGGCCCCTTGGGACGCGAGGCGAGACTCACATTCCACGGCGGATAGGCATCAAACGCGCGCGTCGGCGCGCGCCATTGGACATGAGGCTTGCGGAAGCCCACCGCGAGGAAGAACGGCCTCTCGTCCCGCGTTACGTTGGTAAGCAGCTCCAGCGCTGTCGAGGCTATCTGCGTGTCCTGGAAGCGCTCGGTGTCTTCGACGCTGCACCACGAAGTGTTCTGTGGACATCTAGGTTCGTTTGGGTTGTTCCAGTCCGCCCAGGTCGTGTTCATTCCTGTGAAATCAAACAGTGAGTTGAGACGTCATCGAGAGCAGACGCAATGCGGCGGTGCCTGGGAATTGATTTCTACACAGATTCGTGCGCCGGTCCCACGAATATGGCAGGTCTTGGTTCGGCGGGAGTCCTGGATGAAATATTTTCCCACAACCGACAGCTTGATAGCCGGCTTTCCGGAAGGCTCCCGGCAGCGTGGTCCAGTCGGGCCCGACTTCTCTGAAGTCGTCGACGAATTGCCAGCTCTTCGTGTGCGCGGGTCGGCGGCCCGACAGGAACGAATTGCGGCTAGGCGCGCATAGCGCTTGCTGCGCGTACGCCCTCGTAAACGTGATCGACTCCTTCGCGAGCGCCGTCGTCCGCGGCGCCAAGACGTGATCGCAGCCGTAGCATGGCAATTCCGGCCGCAGGTCGTCCGAGATGACGAATAACACGTTTTTGCGCCGCTGTGGCGTGACTGCCGCGGCGGCAGCAGTGAGCCCAGTGAGAGCCAGCAGTCGCAGCGCCATGCTGCAGGCTCTAAAGCCGGGCCCGAGTCGCCGCGGGTACGTCGCGCAGAGCGCCGAACACAACGCACGTGGCGCTGCAGCGCAGCGCGGTGTCAGATGGGATTAGGTGGGGCCCAACGCTCGTGGCCGAATTATTTATGCACAGCTTAAATAAACAAGGACCTATGTGCTCGACAGGCAAGCAAATAGGTCGCTGCCGCTGCAAAAAATATCGGCACGACGCTAGCTAGGAGCACTAGCCACAAAAACCAACGGATAAAAACAGATGAATAAAACCTAAAACAAGAATTAGACCAGTGAGTACTTCCCGTAGTTCGCCATCGCCGACTGCGACCGCGACCCGCCCGCCGCGAGGTTGAGCGTCTCCTCGTTGAGCACGCGCTTCATCTCGGCTTTGGCCAGGGCGACGGCGCGCGCGTCCTGGCCTTCTATCGCTAAGTAGAGCCGTCGCTGGCCCGGTGGTGGTTGCGTGCCCGGCGCGACGAAGACGCCTCTGTTAATAAGAGCCGCACCCGTCTCCTCCTGGACGCGCAGTAATACATCTCTATTGGTCGCGCGCAATCGCGCCTCGCCCGGGTAGTCGTTGATGTCCAGTTCGTCATACGCCGTCTCTCCACTGATCTGGGCGGGTGTTAATACAGGAGCTGTTGATGCAGGGGCGCCAGTCATACCCGCAGCTAAGGCTCGAGCGCGAGCTAAAGCAGCGTCGTGCGGCGACGCCGCCGGGGCGGCCTGCCGCGCCGCCACGATAGGTACCCGTCCAAACCTCGCTGCTAATGCTTTCGCGCGTTCCACAGGACTCAAGTGAGACAGATCGGACACGTTGGCGGCGAGCTGAGGAACCACACCAGCAACAGCAGCCTGAGCGGCTTGCGGTGCTCGTGTGACGGCGTTCGGCAAAGCGGCACCCGCAGACGCCGCTAACGAAGTAGCAAGTTGGTCCGGCGCTAGGGCCGGCACGTCCGGCTCCTTAGCGGGCGCCGGCGCAGGCGCTTCCTTCTCGGGCCCCTCGTCGTCATCTAGATGAGACTCCGCAACCACCAAACCCATCTCCGACTCCATGAGCTTGCGCTGCGCCTTGGCGCGCTGTTTCTCATCATCAAGTTCATCCTCATCAAATTTAAAACCGCGGCCCGCGAAGCCGGAGGGCGCCCATTTTTTTTCACCGGTCTTCGTCTTGTCGACGAACTTCTTCGCTAGTTGATCTAATTCGGGCGGGACTTGGCGCTTCGCTTGGGTGAGGGCTTTTTTGAGAATAGGAGCGTACGCGTCCTCCGTCTGTGGGTCGAGGAACGTATACGCCGTGCCTTTCCTACCTGCCCTACCTGTCCTACCGACGCGATGGACGTAGTCTTCCAAGTGGTTGGGGCACGAGTAGTTCACCACACATGATATTGCGGGGACATCTAAGCCTCGGCCAGCCACAGACGTCGCTACTAAGACCGTAGCGACACCGTCCTGGAAATCCTTGATGGTGGAAGCCCTATCATCTTGTTCCTTCCCGCCATGTAAGGAGAGCGAGGGATAGCCCGCCTTCACCAATTGCTCATATATAGAATCGCACTTGAGTTGCGTATCCACAAACACTAAGGTAGAGCCTCGCTCGAACCAGACGCCCAGGAGCTGGAGAAGACGCATGAATTTGGTCTGCTCCGGCCGCACCTCCACATACTGGTCGACGGTGTCCGAGGCTACACTCTTCCCACCACAAACAATCTCCAGGGGATGCTGCAAGGCTTTCCTCGCCAATTGCTCCACGGCCCTCGGAAACGTCGCCGAGAACAGCGCCGTCTGTCGATCGGGCCGCACGTTCCTTAACACCATCGCGATTTGGGGCTCGAACCTGCGTGGACATCGACCCGTGAGTGAGGTAATCATGCGGCCGCGTCGATGGCGTCGAGGCGATGCCGCGTCGCCCCGACGCCGTCGCGGCGACCACGTTAACTCTGGGAGTTATTCGCGTCTCGCGAAACTCGGACACGACCTCCGAGAGATCCACGCGACCGCGTAGAGACCACTTGAAGTTTCCACACAGGTCTCGCACCCCATGTCGAACATGCGGTCGGCCTCGTCGAGGACGACGAACGACACGCGCGACAACGCGATCAAGCGGCCCTGCTGCATGGTTAAGATGTCGATCAAGCGGCCCGGTGTCGCCACAACAACTTCCGCACCTCTCTTGAGGTCCGCGATTTGCTGGGCTACTTGCGCGCCGCCGTAGACGGCCGTACACCTTAAACCTAATACAGAAGCGAAGCGTTTTGTTTCCCGGTATATTTGCAGAGCTAGCTCTCTAGCTGGGGCTAATATCAAAGCTACAGGGCCCTCGGACCCATCTATCACAGGTGGTTGGTCCGAGACATGTCGCAGCAATGGCAGCGCAAAAGCTAGCGTCTTCCCAGAGCCCGTTTTTGCAATGCCAATAACGTCGCGACCCGACATCAGCGCCGGCAGAGCCTGCTTCTGGATAGGAAAGGGTTCACTATCGTCCCCAAACGCTTCCAACACTTTGGTGTGGACGCGATCCGGCAGGCCGCACTCGCCCCACGTCGTCACGGGCGGCGGACAGCCCTTGCCCCGCACCTTGGTTTCATCAGCTTCTCGCCTTTCAGCAATCTCATCAGAGGATAGCTTTGCGAGGTGTCGGGGCACCACATAAAAATTCTTCCGTATTTTGAGGTAGTCCTGCGACGCGTGGTCTATAGTTTTCAATTCCTTCCGCCGCAACTGCTCCGCAAAAACTTCCAAGGCACTTTTCTCGGCCTTTTTTCTCTCTTTTTCCTCCATGACGTCGCCCTCGTCGTTAAAACACCTTCCTAAATCCTTCTTGCGAGCCTGTTCTTGCTGTTGCACTTCCAGGGCGTCCTGCTGGACCTGTTGTACGCGCTCCCGCGTCGTGAGGTCCTCTTCATCACTTTCATCCTCGTCGTAAATGACAGGAGGCTCCTCTGAAGCAGAGACAACACTATCACTCTCCCAGCCGCCACCGCGCCCCGACTCGCCGGCCAGGATCTCATCCAACGTGATGGCGTTCGACCGTCGCTGCGGCGCGTCGAACGCCGACGCTAGTGGGTCACTCCTAGCTCGCTGCAAGTCAATCTCGGAAGGCATCGGGCTTTCCGTGCCTTCTGTGGTGAACGATGCCAGAAAACCTTCCAATGGATCATCACTGGTAGTGGTGGCAGGCAGGAAGTCCTTCACAGCGGAAGACTTGTTCTGGAACCGTTTCTGCTTCAGTAACGCGGCGGACTCCTTGATCGAGGCCGTGGTCTCTTCGACGACCGTTGATTGGGACACGTCCGTGAACTCGTTGAGGATGTCGTCGTCGTCGTCGTCGACGCCTTCGGCATCGGCGCCTTCCGCGTTCTCCCCCAACGTCCAGGACGCCTTCTTCTCTTCCACGACCTCCTCAATAACCTTCTTGCGACCGGACTCGATACGTTCCTTGCGCGCCCTAGCCTCCTCCTCGACGCGACGCGCCTCCGCTTCGCGTTCGAGGGCTCTCTCGGCTTCCAACTCCTCGGCGGTCTTCGGCGCGTTCGCCTTCAAGCGCGCCGAGATCATCTCGGCCACGGCCTTCGCCTTATCGGCTGTCGAATCGTCTTGCGGAGGCGAGGGGGACTTCCTTCGTTTGCGTGATTCTAATCTTTGTTTAGCTTCCTTCTCCTCTCGTTGGGCCTTCGCGAAGGGATTTTCACTATCTTTCATCGTGTCGTACTGGCGCGAGACCCAGCCCGTCGACGCATCTTGGGCAGTCGGGCTGTCTCGTCGTCTCCTTTTGCGGTCGCGGCTCCGGCTCCGGTCGCGTCTCGAGCGATCTCTTCTAGAGCGGTCTCTACTTCTGCTGCGCGAGCGGTCGCGGCGGCGGCGGCCCATTGTTTCTGATTCGCGGTGCGCGCCGCCGCGTCTCGCAGCGCTGCTGCCGGCAGCGAGGCAGGCTCGGTGCCTAGAGCTCAGCGCACGCGCCTCGGCGGCGTTTGAAACGGCGGCAACAGAGAGTTTAGTTTCAAATCTCTCTGTCGATGACCGCGCGACTGCTCAGGTGCTACAGCGGAGGCAATGCGCGCGCGCCGGTCTGCGTGTAAAACCCGTTTTGTTGCTCGAGGTCTTGAATGCGAAATGCGCAAAAAACTCGCGCATGGGCACCAACAAGGGGTCCTACGGCTCTTAAGAATCGTGTATCATTCAGAGCGAAGGCTGCCACGGTCCTGCAAAATCGCCCTGGCCATTAAGACAGAGTCGATTGCGCGAGGAGAACGCAGCCTCAGCTGATAAGCTGTCGTCAAGATAGTCATCTTGTTGTCGCAAAGCGCTGGAAGGAGGCGCGCTGCTCAGAAGCGACGAGCGCAGGAGTTCACAAAAAGAAGGGCCTCACTGCTGCTGGCTTAAGCGCGCGTGCACAACGCGCCGCCGCCGCAGCGCAACAATATGGCTAGCCCTGGAGCCATGCTCCCGCCGGAATTCGACCTCAACACCGTAAGACAGCCGCCGCCGACCAGGGCGCCGTCGTACCGCCAGGCCTACCAGGGCTACAGAAATGGCGAGGACGTCGGCGGTAGAGGCGCCGTCCACGCGATTAGAGCGGCGACGTACATGTCTGGTGGTTTAGCGACACCACATGGTTCGGCAGCTCAGTTCAAGCGCGTTTCTTCCGTCAACCTCTTAGCTACGTCGTTAGAACACGCCACGGAGTTGTATGATGAACTAGAGAGACTCGACTCGCAGCTCAAGATCTCCGGCTTACTCAGTGGATGCGTCGGCGTCGCGGCCACCGCGAACTTTTTGAACGGCTACCACACGTCCGTGATGAACTCGGCCGAAGCCAGCGCCTTACCGGGCCATTCGCTGGTGGCGTGGTCCGTCGCGGTCGCCGCGTTACCGTTAGCGGGAGCACCTGGTAGCTTCATCGGCGGCTGGCTCGCGGAGGGCCGACGGTTGGGCCGGGACGGGTGCCTCTGGTTCGTCGGGTTTGTGTATTTGGTCGGTGGCGCGGCCATGGTCGCGTCGATTCATTACGGTAGCATGAAATTGCTGATAGCGGCTCGCTTGCTTGTGGGGTTGGCTTGTGGGGCTACCACAGTAGTATTGCCAGTATACTTAGGTGAGTTGGCGCCACCGCGTCTACGAGGCACCTTCGGCACGTTCACGCAGCTCGCCATGGTTATTGGTATTCTGGCCGCTGATCTAGTGGCATTAGTGTACGAGTCGTTTACGTTGTTCCTGGTGTCGTTCTTAACGGCTGCGGTGATGCTCATCTGTGCGGGGTTGCTGCCGCTGGCGCCGACGCCGCAATCCGCATTGGCAGAAGACGCGCGGATAGCGCGCATGTCGCCGGGCGGCATGGACCCGTCCGATGGTGGAAGATGGTTGGGTGCGGTAGAATTGTGCAAGAACTTATACCTGTTAGATGATGAAGCAGCGAGGGAGGAGGCCCACGCCATCGCTACGGCCGTCGAGGCGAGGCAGACGGGCGAGAATCCAGCCAAGCCGAACTTCACGCCGCAGAAAAGAACCTTAGGTGGTTTTGGCTCTCCGGGGGCCGAGCTCCTGGAAGACGAGGACGCGCAAAAAAGGGCTCATACCAAATTGATGCGATGCGCTTTGGTTTTGCATGTCGCCCAGCAGTTGTCTGGAATCAACGCGGTCTTCTACTACTCTACGACCTTCCTCCAAGGCGTGATTGATTCGCCGGCGGTCGGTACGGCGCTCGTTGGTTTCATTAATGTCCTGGCGACCATGTTCGCGTCGGCGTTGATGGACTCCCATCGAAGGCGGTCCATGTTGATACTTAGTATTGTTGGCATGCTCGCCGGTGCTTTAGTGCTGACGCTCGCGTTAAATGGCTCCCTAGGAAACGCCTGGGCCCTGGCCGGGGTTGGTTCCTACGTCTTCTTCTTCGAGCTGGGACTCGGCCCGATCCCCTGGATGATCGTGCCCGAGCTGTTTACCGCGGACAAGGTCGTCCAGAGCCAAAGCGCGGGCTCGCAGATCAACTGGACGATGAATGTGGTGGTTGGTCTCGGGTTCCCGGCGCTAAATGCGGCGCTGGGGGCCTACGCCTTCGTGCCCTTCGCGCTGGTGCTGGTGGCGACATTGCTATTTGTCTTAGTCGCACTACCGGAAACGTACGGCCGGACGCCCGAAGACGTTTTTCGGGATCTGGTCATCCGCGAGTCGGGCGGCTACTACGCCCAGGGCTACGGCGCCGTCTCGACGCTCGAGCTCGAGTACGAGCTTGCACGAGCGCAGACCAACGTCGCCCGCTCGCGCAGCCGGCTCAAGCTCGCCGGGCTCTGAATGAATTCACCCGCGCGCGAGGTCCGCCTATCTATATTGTAAAGTATCCGTCGTTTAGCTTCCTTGGGGGGCGCCCCGGGCCTCGCGGACGTGGAGCACTCTTCGCGCTTCCTGCAAACATGGCTCAGTGATTCCTAAGAGAGGATGCGAGGCGCCGAGCACGCGCCGCGCGATCCGTGTCGTCTCATCGAGCGTCGTCACGGCCTCGCGGACATCGTCGAGCGTGGCGTTGGGGTCACCGCAGAGCGCCTCCGCGTAACCCCACCTCATTTTAAGCGTGATCTCATCACTATCTCCGAGAACGCGTCGTGCCACGGGCACCGTTCTGCGCAGCAGTGATTTGGCTTCTTCGAAGCGCTTGCGTTCAGTAAGTGAAAACGTGTAGTTGTTGGCTGCTATGAGGGTTTGCGGATCATCCTCGCCCTCTAACTTTAAACGTCCGGAGTATATTCCTCGCTCCATATTTATGGCCTTCTCAAGGTCTCCAACCGCAGCATACGTGGCCGCGAGATTGCTCATCGCGGCGAGAATATTGTGATCTGATTCGCCAACGCGCCGCTTCATAGAGAGGTCGGCCTCTTGCACGACCATTGCGTCCTCGTGGCGTTTTGCCGCGTATAAACCGCTCCCGAGCACCTGCATCGCAGCGTGCCGAACCTGTTCAGTCTCCGGCCGCCCCAGGTACGTCTTCCAGCACGCCCACCCGAGCGCACAAAATACGACGCCGTGGTACTGTTGCTCGCACAGACTACACGTGTGCCAGCGGACCCACCTCTGGTCCACGGCCTTGCCGGCCAAATTGTTCTCCTCGGCCTCCGCATACAAAATCTTCGCCCGCTCCGCCAAGCACGACACGTGCGCAAAACCGGAGGTCCCGCGGCACGCGCACATCCGCACGAGGCCCTCCTTTGTCTTCCAATGGACGGCCTGCGTGCAGATGTAGCACGTCTGGCCCTTGGTGTCCTCTGCGCACGCTTCCGCTGCAACCGTTACGGCCTCCGCGTACTTCTGATTTGCGTTGTATTGCTCAGCGCCGCCTGCTTTTTTTATTTGCTTGCAGATCTTGTCGTGCCCGCCTTCTTTCCAGTGCTGCACCTGGCATTCAGGCCCACAGTAGCGTGTAGCGCAGCGGCCGCATTTCTTGCCCAAGGTTAGCCCAAGGTCGGTGGCGCAGACGGCGCACTGCGTGAGGATCATCTTGCGTATGGCCCAAATCGCTCGGGGGCAGCCTACGATCCAAGGTTGGCAAAAGCTCGGCGGTAAAAGCTAGTGCCTTACAGCCGCTAGCTCGCATTTGCCACGCTCGGCCGTAGTGATCGATTGAACGCCCGTAGTCATCGATTACTCGTCTCCAAAGGTAGCACGTACCATCTGCGTAGGCGTGGGCAGCCCTATTACATCGATAGAGGAGCACACACACAAAAGAGGCAGCCCATGCGTGCGCTGGGCAGCCTCCTGTGCGCCGCCGCCGCGTGGGCGGCACGAGTCGTCGACGTAGCCGTGGATGGCGACGGCGCGATGCAAACGGATGACGGGCCGCTCAGTAGCTGGGCAATCACCGAATACGAGTGCTCGCCGGCGTCTGACAAAGTTTCCTCCGATCACCACGCGACCGTCATAGGTACTGGGACCCCACGCTGCAGCGCTACCAAGCGCGAACGGTGGTCCTCCCGCGATTCGAGGGCGACGAGGGGACGGCGCTGGCGGAACGAGCCTACATCCACGCCCAGGAGGCGTGTGTTTCCATACCGGAGGACGCGCGCGACGGCTGCCACATCTCGCTCGTCCAGCGGCTGGTCGCGCTCGCGCAGCGCGCTGAATTTGGCACTGTTGTCATCGACGACGCTCCCGTAACGTCGCCGCGGGGAACGGAGCGCCGGCCACCACCGCCGCCGCAGTGCGCCCTGGACTTTGCGGTCGCGGCGCGGTTCGAGCCGCCCGTCAAGCTGGCCCTGGCGCGGCCGGCCCAACTTCCGCTCCTCTCGGTCTCGAATTGTACCGTACCAACTTCATTGAGACTGTGCTTCTCGGTCTTCGATCGCACGAACATGAAGGTCTCGTGGACCATGTGCGAAGACGCCGCCGCGGCGGCCCAGGAGAAGTACCGCATCAAGCCGGATCAACAAATACCGGCCGACGCGTTCACGTTCACGTGCGACTCCGAGTGCTCGGCGCTAGTCTTCGCGACCGACGGACTATCCGGATCCGCCATCTCCGCGCGCCAGTTCCCCACGGGAAGTCGAGGCGTCGTATCCCTGCGACCCGCGAGAATACGGTTCTCGACCGGTCGAGCAAGGTAAAATTATGTTTATGCGACCTGCGCCCCCGCCTTCGTCGTCGTCGACCCCCAGTTCCACTGGCCCGACGACGCCATGCGCTCGGCCCGAATCCGCTCCAAATTCTGCTGCGCCTCCAACTCGCTCTTCACGTTCTGGTAGCGCTGCAATAGTCGCTCGAGGTCCATCTGGCGCTGTTTCTTCTGCTCCTCGCGGCCCGTCTGGACCCGCTTCTGCAACGCCACGAGCTCGTTCTGCTTCTGGTGCTTGAACTTCGCCTCGCGCTGGAACATCTCCTGCTGCTTGCCGTTCTGCCACTTTTCGAGCTCCCACGCCTCCAATGCATCACATTTCAGCTTGATCTTGTGGGCCTCGGTGTAGTCCTTCTGTCTGGCCAAGTGTTCTTGAATACGTCGCAAATTCAACAATTCGCGAGAGAACTTGGGCCGGGCTTGCCTCTGCAAGAGCGCCCCCTGAAAATCTCGTAACTCCGCAGCATGTCGTTCCTTCATGGCTTCCACCAGATCCGCCGCATGCTGCTCGTACTCCGCCATCTTCTTGTCCCAAATAATATTAAACTGCTGGAACTCGAGCATGTGCGCCTCCTCGACACCTAACCTCTCGGCAATTTGCCGCGACCGCATGGCCTCCTTCCGCCGGTTCTCTTCGTGCATCTTCAGCTCCTCCAAGCGATTCTTGGCGATCTCCGCCTCGACATACTTGCCCTGCCGTTCGCAGTTCTTCCGGTGCTCCTCGAGGATCTGGAGGAAGTCGGCGACCGCCGACTCCTCGGGGCCCTGCTCCTGGGACATGGTTTCGTCTCACTGGTGTTTGGCGTGCTATTAGGTGTCCGGGCTCCGCTCGCCGGCGCGCGACGCGGCTTTTGGGGCTCGCGGCGGCTGCCGCTAGGCGGCGCTACTTTGGGGCTGCCGGGGCGTTACGGCTCGGGCTTTTTCGGGCAGCCCGTTGCGGCGCAACGTGGGGGCGCTCTCCTGCGTGCCTTCGCGGGCGTCGGCGCGGCGCGGGAGCTGTCCCGTGTGCCTTCGCAACGCGCTCACTATCCGCCGCTGAGGGGAGCCGTTGAGGGGGAATTGGGGAGCTAGGTTGCCGACCCCTGCCCCGGGCGTCCTACGCCTCGCACCAAGCCACAGACGCCTCGGGGCGCCGCGGCCCCGCCTTCCCAGCCGAGGCTCCCAGCACTTTGCATAGCGCTCTCCTTGCCGCCGTGCGCGCGTCGTCGCGGGCTGCCTCGACGCGGCTCTCATTTAGTCGCGCTCCAGCAAACGAAGCGGTCGCACGAGCTCTACGCACAGAGCAGCATGGCCACCACTCCCAACAAAAAGCCGCCGGCGCTGCCCCTCACCAGCCAGTCCCCCGGCGACTACCTGCTCCAAGAAGAAGCGTTACCCACGCCGCCGCGCCTCTCACAAATGCTCGAAGACCTCGAGAGCCAGGCCGCGTCGGAGCTCGAGTCCTATGGGGACGCGACGTTCGGCAATGAATGGACCGGCAGAGGCGACACGCCGAGGAAGGAGAAGGCTGTCCAGGAAGAAGCGAGGGATGACGTGACCTGGGACCCCCAGCACACGAAGCGACCGCAAGGTAGAGTGACTCCTCGGGAGGACGTGCGCGTCGAAGCTTTAGAGCGAGGCTGTGTCAAGCTGAGACGAGATGTCCGGACGGTCTGGATTCTGGAGCGGAACTTCGAGGAGCGGATGTCTCGTCGGGTAGATGGGTGGGCGCAGGACATCCGGGACATGCGGGACGGCGTCGTGACTGAAATACAAGACAATCAGAGACGAGTAGTGAAAGAAGCCATGGCCGAGGAGGCGCAGCGCCTTGATGGGGCGCTTTCTCGTGTTTCTGAGTGCGAGGCCGAGAATCAGAGGTTGAGGGACCGATGCGCTTCCCTCGAAGCGCGGATTGCCGACTTGAGTGACGCTGAGAGACGGTTAGACGCGCTGGAGGCGAGATGCGCTTCTAACGAGAATAATCATGCATCCCTGACGCAAAGTGTCGATGCGAGGTTTGCTGATCAACAGGCTTCATTAGACAAGCATCGCGAGAGAATCAAAGACCTGTCGACGAAAGCAAGGACCGATGCCGGCCGTCTTAGTACGGTAGAGGCGAAGGCGGGGCCAGCCCATGAAGCGTTGGTCTTGATCCAAGACCGCATGGCGGCGATGGCTTTGTGTGACGATGCTTCTTCAGTAGCCGCCAAGAGACCCTCGGACGCGCGCGACATGGCGTCCCAGTTCTTGCAGGATCCGGAATTGCTGAGGGAGGGCGACCAGGGCTACGGGTTGTTACTGAGACTCTCGAGACCGGGGGCCGGGTCCGGCGAACACTTAGGTAAAAGAAGGGGCGTCAATCTGGACGCGGCTGTCTTAGCCGAACAAAGACGAAAATCACTGGAAGAACGTAGATTGAATCCGGAAGCGCCGGCGTCCGCGCCGACCGTGACGGGTGATGCGACTCTATACGCATTAGGAGAACATTTACGAATTATTTTTGACAGGGTCGATATTAACGGAGACGGCGAGATCTCGCTCGTCGAGGCCGTGAAGGCCCTGAGATCTGATGACGAGTTCGCTGAGATGATGGGCTTCGACGAAGCGACCAAGATAAAAAGCAGCGACGGCACGAAGGATCGGCTGTCGTACGCGTTGTCGGAGATGGACAGCGATGGCGACAAGACCATTAGTTGGGACGAGTTTAGGTGCTCGATCCTCGGGTTGCGCAACGAGGCGGAACCTGTTCTGTTGATTGAGGACGACGAGCTCGGTGGAGAGCTAGACGAAGACATCGGCGAGGCGCATGTTGATTCATTAATACCGTCGGTGGTTGGTGATGCCATCCTAGCGACCTACCGTCGATTAGATGGTCTTGAGAGAAGTAAGGCCGACGAGGAGTACTGCAAGGCGTTAGAAAGTGACATCGGCAGGTCAAACACCAAGACCGATACAGTGGAGAAGAAACTACTCGAGAAACTACAAATAGAGAAGAAGAGCACTGCTGAATCATTGGAGAAGACCAAGTCATCCATAGACGGTCTCCACGAGGCGAACGGGAATACACTGTTGCGTGTTGATGAAATGAAGAAGATGCAACAAGAGTTGTCAGATGCGCTGTCGAAGATGGACAACGACGCCCTGTCGGCTGTGAGAGATTTCTTAGCCCCTACGATAGAGAAAGTGAAAGACACCGCTGCAGCACTGGAGAAATTTTCCTTCACGACCGAATTTAAGTTAACAGAGTTACACGAAAAAAAAGAGTCGAAAAAACGCGTCGAGAAGAAGGCCGAAATAGAAGTAGTGGACTTGAAGGCCGAGCAGAAGGACCTGGAAGCTACCACTTCATTGGTCAACGTCATCAACCAGACGCTGGCCGAAGCTTTGAAGCGGTTGGCGCGCGCCGAGGATCAGATCAAACCCCTCAAGAAGGCGACGGCATCCCTCAATACTGCTGTTAGGGACTTACGACGGCACGCGAATCCCATGGCACCCAAGGTCAAAGAGGAGCCCACCATGGAGGACATGCATTCTCAAAGAGGTAGTAGGGAGTCGCGCTCTTCCCAGGACTCGCGCCCGCAGCGGTCGCCGCGCTCGCTGGACCCGATGCCCGACCGGCCGAAATCGCCGTCGTTCCCGCCGTTTCCTCGCAGTCCGCGGCCTCGTTCACCAGTACATGACAATCTGATGCTCCACAACATGCGCATGTCGTGGTCGCGCGACGGGCAGCGGCGCGACGGCAGTCCCGATCATAGTAGGAGGCGTGTCGGCTTCGAGAACGACGTCCCGTTCGTCGAAGACGATCCGCCCCGTCGGGTCATTCCGCGGCGCGTGAAGGCACCGTTAGGGGATATTAGGCGGCCGGAGTCGCCCTGGGTCGACATGGCGGAGAAAAAACGGGATGAGCGGCTGGCGAGGGACTACCCGCGGTCGCGGACGCCGTCGGCGCCGGCCGGGAACACGGGGGGTCTCTAATAATTTTACATAGTTTTATGAGCCCTTGGCCCGGTCGTGCGATGCCAGCGCGGATTCGATGTCGGCGAAGAGCCGGCCGGCCGTCGCGTCGACGGCGCTGGACGCCGGCGCGCCCTTGGGCGGGGCGCCGGCGTAGGCGTCGACGGCGTCGAGGACGCGGTCGAGGCGTTTCGCCCACTTCGCGCCGTCGGCGGGGTCCAGCGCGTTGCAGGCCTTCGTGACCGCGGCGGCCGCCTGCAGCACTTCGTCGCTCGCCGCTTTCACCGCTGCACTCATGGCTGCGTCGTCATTGGTTGCCATCGCTTGTCCGCACTGGCCACCGCTTCGGCGCGATTTTTCCGCTGCGGCTCGCCTGCTTGTGCTTTGCTTGTGCAGAGGGCACCCACTTGTGCAGCCCGCAGGGATCGCGACGCTGCGAGATCTTCGCCGGGTCAAAGAGAGGAGTGAAAGACTATGCCGAGACTACAGTTTTGAGCTACAGCGAGGCAGTATTCGCATCTCTTTGCCTTGGGTTGCTTGCTGGCTAGTGTCTTTACAGGCCGCTAGCTATCCCAGGCTGCCAGCAGAGCTGGCGCTGCACCCACGTATTTGTTTTGGTCAGGTCCTCTTGTGGACAATCGCACTGCCATCAATGTACAAATGATACGTCGTGCAGTCTCCGCGGCCGCCGGTGCTGCGACTTCCATTCAGGTATGTCGATTCCTGGCACGCGAGCGGTCCGATGAGGACTCCTTTGGCACGGCCGTCCAGCAATTTCTCATGTTCGACGCGCTGCGCGTCGCCGGCGCCGGCATGCGATACATGCACGATCGAGACTGCGCGACGTTCGAGCGAACGCAGCGGACGCTCCTCAGAGATCTGCTAAGACAGAACGCGGAGACGGCCTACGGCCGGACGCACGGCTTCGGCGCTCTCGCGACCAGCGAGGACGTCGTCGGGGCCTATCGCCGGCGCATGCCGCTGGCCACGTACGCCGACGTGGAACCGTACGTCAAGCGCATCGAGGCAGGCGAAGAAAATGTGCTGAACGCGGCCGGCGAGACCATGCTCGCGCGCACGAGTGGCACGTCGGGCCACGTGGCGCTCCTGCCGACGACGGCCGCGATGTCGTCGACGTTCTTCGTCCGAGGTATTCTGGTGGTCTTCGACGTGCTGGCGCGGCGCGGCTGCCTCGACCACCTGCAGCACTCGTGCAAGCTGGCTTTCCGGGCGACGCCGCGCTTCACGGACCGCGGTCTGCGCGTCGGGCCGAACTCGTCGGGGCCGCAGGATCGTAGCTTCGAGAAGCTGCGGCGCGTGCTGTACTCAACACCGCGGGCTGGGTACGAGATCCTAGACGACGAGGCCGCGCTCTTCGTGCACGCGCTCTTTGCCGCAAAAGACGCGAATCTAGGACTCGTCGAGGCGAACTTCGTCACGCTGCCGGCGCGGCTCCTGGGCCTCCTCCGCGACGAGCGCATCGCGCGGGCGATCGAAACGGGCTCCCTTGATGGTGATATACGGACGAGGATCGGCAACGGCCCCGCCGACGAGCTGGAGGAGGCGCTGCGGGGCCCCGACGCAGAAAGAGCGGCGCAGCTCCGCGAGGCGGCGGCGGACGCGGGTCCCGGCCTCGCGCGGCGCGTATGGCCGCATCTCCGATTCATCCTGTCGAATGGCACGGGCTCGTTCGCGCCGCATGCGCAGCGCCTGCGAGAAGGGGCAGGGCGGGGCGTGCCGGTACTTTCTACGGTACTCGCCGCGTCGGAGGGATTGATTGGTGTTGGTCTGGAGCCATCGGACGACGGCGACAGCGTGTATTGTCTGGTGCCACGGGCCATGTTCTTCGAGTTTCTGCCCCTGGATGGCGACAAGGAGACGCTCCTCGCCGACGAGCTGTCGCCGGGGCAGCTCTACGAACTGGTCGTCACGACGCTTGGTGGGCTGTGCCGCTACCGCATCGGCGACGTCGTCGAGTTCGTCAAGTACCACGAGGGACACGCGCCGGTCGTGCGGTTTCGCTACCGCGCGGGCCAGGTTCTCAACGTGCGCGGCGAGAAGCTGAGCGAGGAGGTCTTGCAAGGGGCGGTCGACGTCGCTCTCGGCAACGTGGACTTCGCGGCGTACGAGTGCCACGACGACGCGGCGGCGCCGGGCTACGACGTCGTCGCCGCGATGGATTGGGATCCCGACGCCTCGGAGCGCCTCGACGACGCCCTGCGGAAGGCGTCTCCAATATTTGACAATTGGCGCACCAAGGGCGGCATCGCGCCGACGCGCGTCATTCCGGCGTCGCCGGAGGCGTTTGAGGCCTACCGGCGGCATCACGGAGGCTCGCCGCAGCAGTTCAAGCAGCCGCGGGTCCTGAGGCAGCCCGACGACGCGCGCGCCCTGCTCGCCGGCGAGGCGTCGACGGCGCCTCCAGCCAAAGCGGAGCCGGGCACGTTAAGGGCGGTAGCTGAGTTCGCGCGGCGCCACGGCGTCGCGGCGGCGGTGGCGCCCCCTCGAGAGACGCCTCCTCCGGCGGCGGCCCCCGAAACGCCGCCACGTCGTCGAGCGTGGTGGAGGAGGTGGTAGGATGTTTGTGTGAGTTATTTTAAGAAGGTGATTGGTCCCAAGTAAGATACATAAACTTACCCCGCCATGAAGTGCAGGATCGCCGGCAGCACCGTCTTCCGCGACGTCTGCGGCCGCAGCTCGGAATACCGCATCCCTCCTCTATCCGAGAACGCGGCCCCAAACCCCTCAGAAGATATCTTCTGCTCGACGAACAGCGCCGCCGTCCGCAGCGCGTCAGGTAACGATTCAGGCGCGGCCTCGAAACCGCGCTCGACGGACTCGACCGCCTTGCCAGCGTACGCGAGGCCGCGCTTCTTTGTCGAAGGGTCCGTCTGGCACATGGCAAAGAGCACGTCGACGTTCCGGGAAGACGCCTCCTCTTTTAACAGAGCCGCGAGCGCCTCGCTCCCACCAGCCCTACTTTCAAAATCGTCGAAGGGAGTTAAAATGGAAGCGGCGCCGACCTTTGTGCCATCACCAGCCACGGCGCTCTTGTAGTCCAGAGCAATTAATTGAGCCGCCGTCAAACCTGTCACATCGTGCCGCGCGGCGCCTAAGAGTTTCGCGAGCGCCGGAATTGTAGAAGCGTCAAAAAGCCCTTCGGGGATCGGTCTCGCTCGTAGGGAGTCCTCGGACCGATCCGAAACCTTCGGCCCCAGCACATCTAGTAGAGAATGCGCCGCCTTGACGTCTCTTCCACTAAATTTGGTACCTCTAACTTTCGGGTCGAAGCCCCGACAATCAATCGCGACGGCCGCGAGCAGTATTCGGGCTAAATCAGGCTCCATGTACGCGGCCATGCGCTCGGCTAGTAAAGACGAGCAACTTCCACACGTCTCGTCGACTTCTCGGTCGATGGCGTCCTTGTGCTGACCTTCGTCTCTATGATGATCCATCACACAAATGATCCTATCTCCCAATTGCAGGGATTGGGCGTCGAAGCGGTTGTGGTCCACCAGTACTAAAGTGGTCTTCGGCTCTCTCTTTTTCGCAACTTCGTCAGTGATCTCGTCCTCGTAGAGTAAAGCCGCGGCGCCCTTCTCCCCTAAGGCGAGTTGGCAGTCCTTCCTCAATGCGAGATCCTCCCTCCTGAACCGCGCGACGGCCGTGCCGTTGCACGCGTGGGCTGCGGCCAACGCTGATGCTAAGCTATCAAGATCTCCAGCGCTCGAACCTAAACAACACGTCCAACAAGCTAGAGGACCGGCAGCGTCCCCTAGGAACGCCTCCTTCCGCGCCTTGAGGCTCTCGAGCGCCGAGCGCTGCGGCCGGATGCCGGCGGGGTGCCACTGCGTCGCGGCCATGGTGCGCGCGATGACCGATAATAAGCGCATGCAGCGCGGTCCGGCGCGTCGATGGCGTGTGGGGTGGTGTGCAGTGCTTGGCCCTTGCTGGCCCAGCTGTGCGAGCCTTTGTGACCGAGCAAAAGCCGAGCTAGCGGCCTGTAACACATTAGCAAGCCAGTGAACCCGCACGAAATCGCCCAGTCGTCTCGTGGTGACGCCACCCTCTCCCTTGCCCTTCGAAGCTTCGGTAAGCCTCGCCCCTCGGAGCCGCACGCGCGCAGCGCTGCCGCCCATCCTGGGCAAGGAGAGCACAGCGCCAAGTGAGAGCGGAGGCCCACGCTCGCGCCTCGCGCAACGCAGGACCGCATCGCACCCGGTAACAGCTCCGGCACTGCCCCGAACGCGAGCAGCCTCGAAAAGCGCGACCACACGCGAATCGAGGCTGCCCAACAAGGAACAGCCACATAGACGCCGTCGTCGCGCCGTAACAATGGTCAAAAAGTACGCCACCCAGATGACGCGCCGGGGCCCGGTCCAGGTGGCCTTCGACGAGCAGTCCGTGGAAAGTGCGCCGCCAGTAAAGCGGCGCCCGCCGCCGCATGTACCGGTGCCCGCGCTGCTGGCCGACCCCGAGGACGAGGAAGTGTTGCACGAGCCCGAAGAAGATGTTGAGTCGCTGGCGGCGTCGACGATCGACGAGTCAGATGAGTCCGAGGCGCCTCCAGTAGAAGTAGATGACGAACGCCTCCGGGCCGTCGAGGCGGGCCTCGAGCGTTTAGGGAAGGACATGGATGGTATGAGAAGCGAAAACCTGCGCATAACACGAGACAACGGCACCGTGTGGACTTTAGAGAGGGCCTTCGAGTCAAGGATGTCGACCACAATGAGCAGCTACGGAGCTCAAGTCGCCGGCATGCGTGCTGCCTTAAATACGGAGCTGCGGGACGCGATGCGGAGCGTGGTCCTGGACCACCTCGCCGATCCTGTGGCACGGGGCGCGGCCCACGAGCACGCCGTCGAAACGCTATTCAAGACGTGCCAAGCGCTCACCGAGAAGGCCTACGCGTCTGACAAGCGGGCCATGCAGGCCGAGGCCCAGCTGTCCGCGGCCAAGGGTCGTTTAACATCTCTAGAAGAGCGCTGCTTGAAGCTTGAGAAAGCACAGAGGGAGATTGACAAGTCCGAAGCGCGTCGAGACCGGGCCGTCGCGCAGGACAAGCAGTGGCGCGTCGACAACGAACCGAAGATCGCGCAAGGGGCCCGCGCTTTTCAATCGTTGGAAGCGCTTTCAATGAGACTGGGCGCTTTATTGACCATCGACGCGGCCGCGGAAAAGGCGCGGTCAGGTGATAGAGATGGCGCGTCAGAAACAGTGGAAAAATGGGAGGTGGATCCAACGCAGTTCCTCCACAAGCTAAGTCAACAAAATGCGGGCGGCGGCGAAGGTGTAGCGTTGCGCCACGGTCTGAGGCTCAAGGCCGACGTTATCGCCGGGGCTGAGGAAGACGAACCGTGCGCCGACGCGGTGTTGGCCTTGTTCCGACGCGTATCTACGCTAGAACGAGACAAGGCCGAGCGCAACAAGGTCATCCAGCTCTCCGATAGACTTGGGAACTTGTCAAAGGACCAGGAAAAACAAGTTGAGAGGTTAGATAGGAAAATAGACGGCACGCAGGCGGCGTTGAACCACGAGGTCAAGACTCTGAATAAAAACATAGAGGACAACGCGAAGGTGACGTTCCAGAACGAGGACCACCTGGACAAGCACGACGGTGAGCTCGCGGAGCTAAAGGAAAGTGTTGGAAGTACGTTCCAGGCCGTGCGCACGGCGCTCGCTCCCGAGCTGCACTTGCTGGAGGAGTTGGATGAATTTAGAGCGTTTGTCGAGGACGACCATGCCGGACGGTTGGAAGCGCTGGAGGCGACGCGGTCGACGCACGAACAAGTATCATTGAAAGCTGACAAGGAGGCGATGAAGGTCAAGGCGTCGCACGACGAACTCCAAGCTGTTGTGGATAGTGTGAGAACGTTAGCAATCACGGTCAATAATTTTGGCGAGGAGATCCGGAAGTCGGAATCGATCGCGCGGAACGCGGGTAACATCGCGCGCAAGGCCGACGCGCTGGTCAAGGAGGTGCGGAAGCGGGCCACGGCTGAAGCCAGGCCGCCGCTCGAGCCGGTGGGCGTCCCGGCGGAGGAAGCGCCGCCCAAACAAAGGATGCGTCGTAAAAAGAAGCGCGACGACGAGGGCTTATTAACAGGCGGCTACGACTACGAGGAGCAGGAGGAAGAATCGCCTACGCGACGGGTGGAGGTCGAGCTGCCGACCATACCGGCGCCGGGCCTCGCGCTGCACAAGCACCGCCTCGAGTGGTCGAAGCCGTCTTCCACACGGGAGCTCATCGCCGAGGAGGGCGTCCGCGCCGCGGGCGTGATGCGGCGGAAGCGGCGGCCCGGCAAGAGTTCCCTCGCCGCGTCGATGCCGCGGGCGGAAGAGGGGTCTAGCTGGATTAAAGGGTGATTTATGTGTGTTCTTACTATTCAGTAGAACCCCGCGTGGAAGCCGAACGTGAGTATGTGCCGGACCATCTCGGGCGGGAGCATCGGGAACTTGGGCGCGAACGTTTTCGTGAGGGTCGCGAGGTGGGCCTGCTCGTACTTCTTGAAGCCGCCCGCGTCGATTACCTTTTGAAAATACAAGCCAGTACCTTGGCTGAAATCATAATCAGCAGGATCCCATGTGAAGTGGTCTGATACGTCGCCGATAATTGCGGCGCCGGCGCGGAGGAGGATAGGCACAGTCCCACGCACACGCTCGTCTCTCCATCTCGTAGCATACAAGACTGCGGTATACAGTGGTGTCCGACCATCACGGTTGGGGAGATTCACGTCGGCTCCTGCTTTCACGAGCAAAGCCGTCATGGCGGGGCAAAATACGGCTTCGTGAAGCGGTGAAGCACGACCCGGAATACTCTGGGCATCCGTCGCGTTCACGTCCGCGCCGTGGTGGAGCAAAAGTGATGCCAACTGCAGGCAACCCCCTTGCCAATTCGCATGGACTTCGGGAATCATACGTGCGCCCGAACAGGTGGCCACGTGGTGAAGCGGTGTACGACCAGCATCGTCGCGCGCGCTGAGGTCGGCGCCTGCTTCCCGCAGTAAATGAAAACACGCCTCGACGGTCTCGGCATTTCTCTCGCCCGTTTGCACATACATCGCGGCGTGCGCAGAGTTAGAGCCACAGAGGAGGTGAAGAGCCGTTTGCCCGCCCGAGAGAGACGATGTTCTTGCGTCTACCGGGGTAGCATACAGCTTGTACAGCATCTGAGCCTCCCGGGTCAAACACTGTGGCAAACATCGTCTTAGTCCCTCGACATCGCATTTCAACGCGGCTTCGTGGATCGACATCTTGATGCGTGACCGCTCTCCACGTATAAGGACGCGCCGGAGCTATAGCTGTCAGAGGCTTTTGGTTTTATGCTCCATGTCTTGCTAGTGTGTTACAGGCCGCTAGCCCGATGGGTTCTGGACAGGAGTGAAAGTTGCACTTAAACGCGTCAAAAATTATCTAAATTAACACAAAAGCCAATAAAAAATCGAAACGATGCGTTGCGCGACGGCTGTGGCATGCTGGACGGCGGTACAGCTCGGTGCAGCACTGCTGCCACAGAGGACGCTGCAGCGTACGCCAACGCCGCGACGAGACGCCTCGTCGGCGCGCGACGTCACGCCCGAGCAAGCCGAAAAAATGAAAGCGATGGGCTTCCGCTGGGACGAGGAGCGAAGGACCTGGACGCGGCGGCCGCCAGATGTAAAAAAGCCGCCAAAGCCGCTGCGTTCTGGTATGCGGCTGCTGAAGCTCGGAAATGCATCGCCGGACGAGCGCGCCGCGGCGGAGGTCTTCATGGAGCGGCTCCGGACCGCGCGCAAGGCGTCGTTCCGCGACACGGACACGTCGACGAAGCTTTCCAAATTCTTGAAATACTGTCTGTCGCAGCCGGCGACGTTGCCCGTCTTCGCGGTTGCCTGCGTGGGTCTCGGCGTTGCAGCAGCGGCGAATGGCGGGGCGGACGTCGGAAGCCTCGATACCACGACTCTGACTTGCGGCCTCGCCGCCGGCGTGCCCGTGGCCGCGGCGCGTGTGGCGGCGCATCGGGCGTCGGCCGGCTCGGAGCCGCCCGACGGGCGCGCGCTCGAGCGCTCCATCGTCGATGCGGCAACGGGGTCCTACGCTATTCCGGCGCCGCACGACTGGAGGGCTACGGAAGGCCCCTGGAAAGTCGGCACGATCGGGTTGGCCGCGATCGCGGACGTACCTCGCGTAGCTCTGTTGCACGGCCGCATCCAGCCGGCTTTTGTGCCGCTCGAGGGCGATGCGTGGCTGGGCATCGCCGGCGCCGCGGCCGTCGCGACGGCTCTGGCTCTCCTCCCAGCAGCGATCGGCTACGTCGACGACGCACTCTCGGATCTACCAAGAGATGGGAGGATCGACGACGGCAAAGAGGTCGAGCGCGAGACGGCCAAACGATTCTCGTCGGGTGCGCGCGCCTTCTTCGCGGCGAACGACGACGCAGAGGCTTCGGAAGTGAAAGCCGCGTATGTATCACGCCTCGCCGACGCCTGGACGACGGCCTTTACGACGCCGCCACCGCCTGCCGTGCGTGCCGCGCGGACGGCCGTCGAGAGCGCTGCCGCGGCCGCGGCCGCGGCGTCCGGAGGCCTCGCCGCGGCGTGGCTCGCGAACTTATGTGCGGCCGTCGCCGTTGTCGTAATTGTCGACGAGGACAAGAATACGTGCGAGGTTTAATTAATAATACTTGTTTTAATCACAACGGCCTCCTTCGACCGGAATCGCGTTCGGCAGGTATCCATAATCTGCAAACTGGAAGGCGAGGACCACCAACCCGACTACGATCGCTGTGAACGCGAGTCCCTCGGCGAGGCCGAGGAGGCCTCCGGGTCCCGCCTTCAGACCCGAGCCCGTTTTTACCTTCGTTGCGAGGCTCGCGCCTGCTATGCCGATCACTGCGAGATAAGACACGCCTTCGATCGCGCCGACGGCGCCGAAGGGTCCCGCGGGCAAGCCGCATCCCGTCGTTTTGAGTGTGAATTCACTATAGAGCACGACCGCCGACGCGAACACTCCCCCGGCACCGTAAAGCGCGAGCTCCTCGTCGGACTCCGTCGCATAAGTGCGCGTCAGCGGTCGTCGCCCGTGCTGTGGTGCAGTCACAACCGCTCGCGTCGGCGGCGCAAATGCATGACTGCTGCAAAGCAGCAAGCTGAGAGTGATGTGAGTGCGTGCGAGCATACTATGACTGATGAATGGAATAAGCGCTGACCTCTCGATAATAAGCGATCGCCTGACTGGTCTATGGCTGGTGAATACAGGCATCGCGCGACTGCTCTCCCTTGCGATTATAGAGGTGAGGCCAGCGAGCTACATACTAGGACGGTTTGGCTGCGCAACCAACGAACTGGCGCAAACCGCCGCGACAGCAGTAACACAATAGCAGGCAAGCGGTTTGCCTGCGCACTTGTCTTTGGGCAGCCCATAAGGCGCATCGACAGACAGGGCAGCCCGAAAAACGATGCTCAACCCAAAGCACCGCGCCGCCATCTACGGCTCCTACACGGACCCGCCGCAGGAGCACTATGAGAGTGAACACATGGCAAACAGCGCGGCCTGGCGCGACGTCGCGCCCCAGGAGCACGACCCCGTCACCATATTACTGACACGATTTGCTGCAAGCGCCGCCGACCTCGGGAACGGGTCGCGCGGCGACGCCGAGAAGGGCGCCGCCGCGAAGCGACTGCTGCCCACAATTAAAGCATTGTGCGAGGACCCGCAGCAACCTTCTTCTGTAAGAGCCGCCGCAGCAGGTGCTGTCGGCGGCTGGTGCATGCGGTTTCAAGAAATAGCGTCCTTGGTGAGTAGCGACGAGCGGCTGGTCAAAGCTTTAGGCCTCGCGGCGGCGCCGGCCGACGAACGAGGCTTGCCCGATGACGTTGATTTGGCGACGCGGGCCGTCGCGGCGTTACGCGCGGTCTGCGACAACAGCGAGGATGGGGTAGCAGCGGTTTCCGCGGTGGAGTGCGTCGTCGACGAGGCAGCTAGACTAATGACGGCGTACCACCGCGCGCCGGCTCAATGTAGAAGGGACGCGGCGTTGCTGATTGCTCATATGGCGTCGAAAAAACTCATTGACGAGGACACCGCGCTACGCGCGGCCAAGTCGGCGGCCTGCGCGGCGGCGCGCTTGTCACGAGCGCCGGGCGAGGCCGACGCCGCGGCGGCCGCGGCCGCCGCGCGGGCCCTGCGGAGCCTGACCGACGACTGCGGCGCGGCCGCCTCAGTCACGCCGTACGCTCATATCCTGGTTCCTGCGGCCTGCGACGGCGGCGACGCCATGGCGTCCTGCGCGGCGCTCGACGCCATCCGGAGCGTCTGCGTCGCGGACGAGGAAGCCCGCAAGGCCTTCCTCTCGGCGGGCGCCGTGGCCTCGTGCACGCGGCGCCTCGTGTCGTCGACGGAGGACGCGCTCGACGCGTCCGTATGCGAGGTCCTCGCGGCGCTGTGCACGGACGAGGCCGGCCGCGACGCCGCCGAGAAGGAGGACACGGTCCGCTTACTCGTCGACGCCGTGCGGAAGCGCGTCGGCCTCGGCGCGCACCGCGACGATTTACTAAGGGCGCCGGGCGGTCCCGTCGACGCGGCCTGGTCCGCGCCCGGCGGGCCCCTCGGCGCCGCGGCGTCGGCGCTGCAAGCGTCATGCACCGACCACCTCACGAATCAACAACGCGCCGCGCGCCTTGGTGGCATCATGGCGCTCGTCGGCGCGTGTGCCGCGCAAAAGATTGACGGTGACACGAAGTGGCGGTGCTGCGCCGCGCTGGCCGCGATCGTCGATGGCACGACGGACCACATCCGCATGCTCCGCGAGGCGCGCGGCGCGCCAGTCCTCGCCGCGCTCGGGCCGAACACGGACGCCGAGAAGTTGTTGCAGTGGCACGACCGCGCGTTCGGGAAGGAGCCGGGACGGAATCGAGGGGCGCGCCGCGGGCCGGACCCCGACGCGGACTTCCTGCAGCCCGATAAGAGTGTGGCACCGGACCCGCCGACGATCCGGGCAGCCGCGATCGCCGCCAACGCGTTCAAGCCGCCGCCGCCGCCGTCCGCGAAGGACATGTCCGCGGCCGAGGCGCGGATCCTCCGCCACAACAATCGGGGGTTCGACCGGTCGCAGCAGAAGACTGCTCTTTGGTAATCACACTTCTTACACACTACCTCAGATCCTTGATGCGCACGCCACTCCCCTTCATGGTGAGGTAGTCGTAGCCGTTGATGAACGTCGTCCCCGTCGCCGAGGGATCCACGTTGCAGGCTTGGAAGGCGCGCCGCGCGAATCCGGTGGGCACGTACTCGTTGCCTTCATACCAGATCTTGCCGCTCGCGTTCAGTATCCCCTCGGCGCGGACGCGGACCTCCCCAGTCATCGGCCAGGAGAAGACGATGGGGCCCGGCGCGATGAGCCGCTCGCCGATGAGGTCTTCCAGCGACTTCTTTGCGGTTCTGGTCGCCGCCGCCGACTCGGAGACGTATTCGGGATAGGCGCGCCGGGCGACCTCGATGATCGAGCGGCACTTCTTGCCTCCATTAGGATCGATCCAGTACTTGTCGACGGTGGCAGAGCCCTCGCGCTGCTTCTCCTCCTTGGTCCAGCCGTCGGCGGCCATGCGCTCCTCCAGCGCCTTCCTGTCCGTGACCCGGCTGCCGGTCGAGGCGCGCGCTACTTTCCGCGGCACGCATTCCAGGCCGGGACTCTCCTCCGCCGTGAGGTCGATCGAGGCCCCGCGCGGCGGCGTCGCGTCGGGCCGCGCCAGCATCGCGATCGAGGCGTCGAGGGCCGCTGCTGCCGCCGCCGGCGCCGCGAACGGCGCCGCCTGGCGCCGCCCTCCTGGCGCCGCCACGTTCAACGCCGTCGGCATCGCGAACGGCGCGGGCGCGGGCGCCGGCCAGGTCGGCACCGTCGGCGCCGCCACGGCCGGCGCGGGCGCAGGTAGCGTCGCCAGCGCCGCCACCAAGGGCGCGGCCGCGTCAAAGGGCGCGTTGGCGGCCAGGGTGTGGGCGGCGGGCGCGGGCGCGGGCGGCACCCAAGGCTCGGGCGGCGTCAGCCCGGGGTGCGCCCAGATCGTGTGAATGCTGGGTGGCGCGCCTGCTGTGCGTAACTCGGCGTTATGATAATAGTACGGCTTGACTGCAGCATTCGGCCGCGTGTTCCCGTACCGCCTCCAGCCAGCGGGCAGCGGCGCCCGCTTCTCGCGCTCGGCGCGCTCCCGCGCTTCCCGCGCCGCAGCCTCGCGCTGCGCCGCCTCCGCCTCGTACTGGCGTCGGATCTCGGCGCGCCGCTCCTCCTCGGCGCGCGTCGGCCGCCCGTCGCGCTCGCGCTCGTACTCGTCGATGGCGTCGGCCTCCTCGCCCTTTTCTAGACGTTCAGCATCATTTTCAACCAGTAAGGTATCAGTGGCGATGGCCGACGCGACCATCGATGACCGCCTCTCTAGAACTGCGGCCAGCACTGCATCCTCCGGCGGCTCCGGCGGCGCCTCCACTTGATCTTCTTCTTCATCATCGTCCGACGCCGAGTCGACGCGCATGGGACCTTCTTCTAATCTCATGGCGTTCCCCAGCTCGTCCCCATTATACATCCGCTCGAACGCCTTGTCGTCCACCACGCGCAAAGCTAGAAAGTTCTTCTGCGCCGCCCGCGCGTGCACGCGCTTCTCAAACCCCTCCGCGACCAATCTATAAATGTACACGTGCTTGTCCTGGCCAAACCTAAAACATCGGAACAGCGCCTGGCGGTCTTGCGCGGGATTCCACGACGTATCAAACAATACCACCCTGTTAGCTGATACGAGGTTGATGCCGACGTTGCCCGCTTTGGTAGATAACAGAAACAAGCGAGCCCGATCCTTGCAACTTTCAAACTTCTCCACGAGCCGCTGCCGCTCCTGCGCCGAGTCGCCGCCCTGAATACTGAAGAACTCCGTCTCGTTCTGCCAAGCACCTCGCTTGTCATCTTTCTGTGGCAAATAATTGCCCCAGGTGTCCGTCTGGAGCACGTGTGTCAAATAGCTCAAGGTAGCTAGTGACTGCGTAAACACGACGACCTTGTCGCCGCGCTCCAAACTTTCCGTTAGTATTTCTAAGAACAGTACTACTTTGGAAGATAAAGACGCGGCTCCCGCATCGCTACCATCTAGCAATTGATCGGTCTCGTGCGCCCAGTCCCATCCCTCACTTACGGGTACCGGCGACGGCCTCCTATTCAACAGAGCGTGACCGACCTTGTTGTCGTTGCAGAGGTGCGTCGACGGGTGGTTGCCGAGCCGCAACAACGCCATGTGCGCCTCGACGGCCTTGGGTTTGGCTACCCTAAAATACCCTTCGTACAACCGTCGTTGGAGAGGTTGTAACTTAGCTACAACTAAGTATTCGGTCTTGCCCGGGCATTCGCGCGCGAGTAACGTCTCGTCCCGCCGCAACACAAAGTCCTTGATCTCCTTGTTCAAAACAAATAAGCGACGCTTCATGCGCTTGACGTCTCGCGGCTCGCTGTCGACCATCAAACCATTGTCAATAGGGTCCTGGAAGCGCTTCTTGAACTCCGCAGAACTACCAAGCACGGGACCCCTCACGAGAGACACCATGACGTGGTACTCCATCAGATTATTTTGGAGGGGTGTTCCCGTCAGTGCCACTCGTCGCTTCGTCCTCACGGCCGAGATGACCTGGTGCTTGTGGGATCTAGAATTCTTGAGGCCGTGGGCTTCGTCCAGGACTAAAACATCAGGACCTGGATCCTGCAAACAACGTCTAGCTCTCTGCAAGTCCTCCTGTCGATACTCGAACTGTCTCGGATCTTCATCCTTCTTCGGTTTTATGTCCTTGCACATGGCGGCCATGGTGTCGTACCCTACAATAGCTAAACCGCCCGTGCGCAGCCACGCTTCGAGGTTCCTCAATCTACCTTCCGGGCCGGCCTTGCTATCGATCATGAAGATTTTCTTCCTTAAAGGTTCATCTCTCTTGCACCACTTTTCGACTTCGGAACGCCAGTTGTACACGACGTTCGTAGGACACACTATGAGTGCTTTGGAGATATGTGCTCGAGCTCTTGAATTACGCATCAACGCCGACAGATAAGCGATGCACGTCAAGCTCTTCCCGAGACCCATGGAATGGGCCAGAACACAGCCGAGCGGCGCGTCGTCCTGCGAACCCGTTTCTAGCGCTCGTAAAGACTCTATCGTTTGAGCATATATAAACTTGCACGCCTCGACCTGATGCTGCTTCAATGCATGCCCAAGATATCGAGGGAACGCGACGTCATCCGTCAATTGGATCGTCGGCACGTCCAAGTCTTCGCAAGCTAAGTCTACTTCTCGCAATTCCGCGTCGGCGGCCTGTTTCGGCGCCGTCGCGAGCCAGCCCTCGCCGTCATCCCTCGCTAATCTTTCACGCTTCCGCCGCTCCGCCTCCCGCGCCTTCGACGTGGCCGCTTCCACATCATCGTCGTCGATGGTTATCGCGACCTGTGTGGAAACCAACCAGTGAGTCGGGTTCTCGCGGTGAGGAACCGGCATCGCCACGCCGTAAAGTTTTGATTTCCACACGGGGCGCCGACCTTCTTCTTCTTCTTCTTACGCGCAAACAAGTCGTCCTCCGCGGCGCCCTCGTCGCCCTCGAGGCAGATGGGGTCGTCGGCGGCGCCCGACGGCTCCCTTCCTCTTTTCTTGTCATGATCATCATCCGCAAAGTCAAAACCGTCATCAACCGGTAATAAGAATTTATCGTCGGTCGGCGTGACGACGTACGCGCGGACGTCGCCTCCCTCTTTACACACGAGGGCACTACCTAGATGTAACGGCGCCGTCCCTGTTACTGGAACGGGCGCGTCGAATTTGACGACGACGCCGTCCAACAAAACGCGCTGCGTATCTTTTTTCGCGAGGTTCGCGACGGTGATTTTGTTGTCCTTCGTCTCGATCCTGACTAAACTCCGGGAGATTTTGGTGCATTTCTCGTTACTGCACGCCGCGAAGAAATTATCAGGTGGCTTCGAGTCGCTGTAGTCCCGGCCCAGAATGAGCGAAGCGTCGGGCGCGACGGCTTGCATCCTTCGAGGTTCGCCGCCGCGCGCCGGCACCAACACCAAACACGCCGCGCCGTCCCGAGGGATGGACTCTCGTTGTACTTTCTTCCTAGGTTTCCTAGCGCGAGGCCGTCTTTTCCCTTTCCCGGCCTCGTCTTCGTCGCGGTCACTCTTCTCCCTTCTTGAAACGGGCCGTCTTGCTTGCTTCGCGTCCTCGGCTTCGAGCGCGGCGGCGACCATTTGTGAGGTGACTCTACTACCAGTATAATCAGGGTTGTCCGTACCTTCATACAGGTCCTCCACCTCATCCTCGCCGTCGATGTCAGATACATCTTCTCGTGATTTCTGGGGCTTCGTGGAGGCATAGACCCGCTCGAAGACGGCCTCGCCCAATTGCTTCCTGCGCATGTCCTCGAATCCCGCCGCGCCACCATAGGCCGCCTTGGAGCCGTCGGCGCCGATGCATTGGAGCTTGACCGAGCCGTCGGCGCCCCGCTTCTTCTTGACCGGCCGCGCCTCCGCGAGGGCCTTGTTCGCTTCGTTGACTTCTTTACGTGCGATCGCGTCCTCTATGCTTTCGTAGGACGCGACGTCGTCGTCGCTCGCGTCGTCCATTTGCTCGCCGGTCGCGGCCTCCCTCACGCGCCCGTTGCGTCTCAAGGCCAACTTCGGCGCGCGGCGCCAGGCGTCCGTGTCGCAATTTACCGACGAGTCGGCCGCCGCGAGGGCCGCGTAGAACGCCCCGAGGTCGACGCCTGCGCGCTCCGCCCGGTCCTGCGCGTGCGCGTGCTCCCGCTCGCAGTTCGCCAGCCGCTTCTCGCAGAGCCGCGTCCACTCGGCCAGCTCCGCGTCCACCAACTCGTCGAGATCATCAGTATGTGTCGTGGCGAGCTCGCCTCGAATCTCAGCCTTCTGGCGCTCCACGGTCTCCTCCTCCAGAGCCTCCTGGGCCGCTGCGAGCTCGCTCTCGATGGCCAGGAGCCGCGCCTCGGCTTTTATTGAGTCCTCTTCCTCGTCCGACTCGTCGGCCAGCCGCGGGGCCGCCGCGGCGACCAAGGACTCGACGGCCGGCGGCGGCCGGCAGCAGGGCCCGTCCCACTCGTCCGCACTTAAAGCTTGTTCTACGTACGACGCGCCGCAGTGCCTTTGTAAACAATTTCGGCAAAAGGCCCGCTCGCAGCCGTCGCAGACAAGGAGCTCGCCGCCGTCGTCGCACCAGGCGCAGGCGTCGTCGTCCTCATCGTCCTCGTCGGCCTGCTCCAATTCGTCGGCACAGACGCCGCAGCAGGCCACGTCGATCTTGCCTTCGAGGCGCGGGTGGGGGAGGCATGGCAGACAAGGTGGGAGCGTCAGTGCGCAGACGGTGCACAGGACGTCTTTTTGGTCGGCGTCGACGTCCATGGCGGCGGCGGCGACCGGCGCGGCTTCGGTTACGGTCGCCGGCGCCGGCGCGCAGTTGCTGACGTCCATGGCGTCCTTGCGTGACGGCGACCCGGCGCGGCCCTGGCACGGCTCCCGGTCTACGGCCGCGAGCCCTGTCTCGCTGGGCGGCGCTTCTACTTCCATCGCTATACTCTTGAAATCTCGAGCCGTGCGCTTGCGCGCGTCGCGAGGAGGCGGTCACTGCTGTGAGCCGAGCGTTCCCGCTCTGCGGTTACGCCGTCTCTACGCGTGCCGTCTTCGTCGTAGGGCTCGAGGTATGACGTCAGGTCACTACCACAGCGGTTCTGCGTGCCGCTGCGGCCTCTGGTGCTTCTCCAGCGCCCAGCAAAGCTTGACTCTGGCTTCCTAGTGTCTTACTGCCGCTAGCAAGCTTGGCAGCGCGTCTGCATCGCAGCGCTGCTCAAAAGGGCTCTCAGACACACATGCGCTGCGCCATCGCTGTGGCAACTTCGTTCTCCACAGCGCTCACACTGGCTGCAGCCATGGCAGCGCCGCGCACAGTGACACCTAGCTCCGGCCCTGTCTTGGTGACCGGCGCATCCGGCCTAGTCGGCGCCAACGTCGCCAATCAGCTGCGCAAGGAGGGCTACAGCGTGCGCGCCGCCGTGCGGGAAACGTCGGCCGAGAAGAACGAATTCCTGCGAGCCATGGGCTGCGAGCTCTTGCGAGTGCCGGACCTGCTGTCGGACGAGGGCTGGGCCGAGGCGATGGCTGGGTGTGTGGGCCTGGCTCACGTGGCGTCACCTGTAGATATCGCTGGAAACACTCCCGAAGACGTCATGATCTCGCAGGCCGTCGAGGGCACGGAGCGCGCGCTGCGCTTTGCGGCCGAAGCCGGGACTGTCCGCAGAGTTGTGGTCACGGCGACGATGGCGTCGATCTGTGGCTCGCAACGCGAGAAGAATCCTGATCATTTGTGGTCCGAGCTCGACAAAAACGACGCGCCGCAGACTGGGTATTCGAAGGGCAAGACCGCCGCCGAGGCCAAGGCCTGGGAGCTCGCCGCTCAGCACGCCGACAAGTACGACGTGACTACGGTTCATCCAGCGGTCGTGCTGGGGCCGCTGCTCCCGGGCCAGCGCGCGTCATCTACTATGTTGTTGCTGAAGCAGATATTGGATGGCGCGGTCGTGCCATCCATGTTCGGCCTTTGCAGTACTACGGACGTGGCGGCGGTTCATGTCGCTGGGTTGAAAGAGGCTTCGACGGCTGGTGAGCGTTACCTCGTGTGTTCGCGGGACCAGTTCTCTACTCTAGACATCGCGGAGCTCCTGAAAGAGCACGCGCCAGATCAGTCCGCGGGCGTAGACTTGGCGAAATGGCGCGCCGACGAGAAGGTCGCGGCGCTCAAGCCCAAGAAGCCTAGTACCGACAACGCCAAGGCCTGCGCGCTGCTCGGACGAGACCTCGAGGAGGCGGCTGTCTTCGTCGCGGCGGCCGCGAAGGCGATGGCGTAACTGTTGTTGATAAATCTTCCTTTTTCTAGTGTCTTACATGCCGCTAGCTTGGCTGGGCCGCCGAGCACCAAAAAAACGGAGCCTAGCAACACTGCGCGAGCGTGCAGCCGCTCACAGACGCATCCACGGCTGCGCTGCTCACGCCTGCCCATTCCTTTGCAATGACTGACCCCACGGGCGGCCGTGGTGCTCTCGACTGGCTCGGCATTGCGGACCGCTGCTTGGCAGCGTGCACCTCGAAGGAATGGTCGCAAGCGTCTCAATCTGCGGCGCTCTGGCAGCACTGGACCTTCCACATGGACGGCACGCGCGTGTTTGACCCTTATAATTTCGGTTGGCGGGAAGCTACAAATCGTATGCCGCACCACGGCCAGCGCGCGAATCTTCTAAGACTCACGGACCTGCCGCGTCTCTCGCCGATGCTACTCGCACGGCTCCAAAGGCACACGACGTGTGTCGTGATGGACTTCCACCAGTGGGCATTCGCCGAACAATTCGTGCCCGAATCGCCCACGGCAGAAGAGAGACTGCTTCTCGAGGCCTGGCGCGTCTTCTCTGGGCTGGACTTTCCGCGGCTCCAGCGAGTCCAGTTCTCTTTCGACATTCGAGGGAGGCCGCAAAATTTCGATTTTGGCGACGCGGCGCTGCCATTGCCTCCGCCGCAGTCTCCAGTACCGTTTCCATTTGCACGAAACTTCGCGCCGCTACTCGCGGCGAAGACGCTCGTCGTGGACCGCTTGCCGGGCCTCGGACAGTCGCGTTTTCACGACGGAATAATAGAGCCATATCATCTCTCGCTGGAAAGCATCCTGCGCGTGTTCAAGGCCGTCGAAAATTTCTCAATGCTAGAGGCATTTGATTCTCCCATCGGCGCAGCTCGATATGGAGAGGAGCGAGAGCAACGGCCGGCGCTCTCGCACGTGTCTCAAGTAGTTGGCGTCGATCTGCTGCAACAGTTCACGTCGGTCGGCTGGATTTGCTGGGGCGCGTTGAAGGTGCAAATGCAGCAGCCCGCCTCGATGAATAATCTGGTGTCGCTCGGGATTTCGATCGATGCTGGTACTGGAGAACTCTTCGAGGAAATATTCAAAGGGCTTCAGCGGTTCGCGCCGTCCTTGGAATTTCTAGCCATCGAGGCCGACCGCCTGGACCACACTTGCTGGCCCATTGGGTATGAAGATTTCGAGGAGGTGCCGACGACCGTGAGGCACCTGGTCCTCGGCTTCGATCCAGCCCACTTCCATGTGGATCTGGATCCGAGCCTTCTCTGTGAGAATCTCCCGGACTCTTGTACCCTCCACATGCAGGCAGCGGAAAACCCGCCTCGCGGAAAGACCTGGGCTGATGTATGGAAAAGGCCGCCGTCCTACTCAGAAGACCCGGAGGCCGCCTTGCGACCGCCGCCGCGCCCGAAACGGGGTTGGCAAACGCTCCCGTATTCCGTGGACCTCCGCGACCAGTTCATCCCGCCGGACAGCTTCTTTTCGTGTCGCGGCCAGCTCTCGGCCGACGAACTCGCGGAGCGCCGCCGCAGACGTGAAGAGGAGGACTACTAGTCGCTTATGTTGTAAGAATCTATTCGTAGCTTGTTTACGAGCCTCGCGACCGACGACTCACCAGCCGCGCCCGCGCCCCCGCCCTCTCCCGCCGCCAGGGGAGCCCTTGCCCCGCCCGAAGCCGCCCTTGCCGCGGCCCTTGCCCTTGCCGCCGCGGCCGCGGCCGCCCTTGCCCCCCTTGCCGCGGCCGCGCCCGCCGCCGCCGCCGCCGCCTCCGCCCGTAAAACGGCTCATAGGTAATAATTTCATGGGGTCGATCGAGAACGTGTCCCCGGCTTTAAAGGAGGACGCGTGCACGCCGGCGTCGGGCTTCACCGTGAACATGACCTCGTTGATGGGGCCCAGGATCTCGTCGACCTTGCCGACTCTGGTATTTTTGTCCACATAGATCGACGCGTTGAAATACGGGACCTTGGCGTGCGTCAGCTTGCAGACGAGGTCACCTTCGCAGTCGTGCATCAGCGTGCCGACGGGCTCGACGCTGTCGGGCGGGCCCTCCGGTCCGCGCCCGCCCCGGCCCTTGCCGAAGCCGCGGCCGCCCTTGCCGCCGCCGCGTCCCCGGGCGCCGCCGAAGCCCCGGCCCTTGGAGGCGGGTGGCCGCATACTGTTTGAGGCCCCGCCGCGCTGGCTTGGCCTCCTCGCTTGGAGTTGCTGTGGGCAGCGCTCTGCGCCTACCGAACGCGGTTACGTCCACTGGCCGCCCACAATTGTTCTCCGCGATGGCTCAGCTCTTCCGACGTCCCAGCGTGTACAAAAGCGAGCTGTTTCACCGCTCTTTTGCTTGCTGCTCGGCTGAGAGCTTAGCTAAATCATAGGCATACTAGCATCAAGCAGAGCGCGCGCTTTAGAGACCGATTACTCCTCGTATACCGCAAGCAGGCGTGCCACAAGCCACCAAACAACTCCACTCTGTACCGCAGACGCGCTCAGCGCTGCGAAACGGGAGCCACGCGACCGCTAAGCCATTCCCACCTGGTGGTCGTGCCAGCCACTGTTAAGCGGACAAACAAATGCCGCCGCGAGGAGAATCGCTACCGTTGTACGGCGCCGCCGCCGAGGACCTAGCAGCCGAGGACGACGACCGGAGCCCATTCCGGGAAGACGACGACGTCGAGGCGAGCGACGCGTGCCTGTGGACGCTGCGGGGTTTCTCGACGGTGACCGCATTTGCGGGGTTGCTCGTCGTGGTCGTCAACGCCATCGAGATCTACGAGTTCCAGGAGACGCCGCAGATCTACGCGATCCGCGCGTACGCGATTGTATTTGGATGTATGATCTTGATGGCCGAGGTGAACTGGCCGCGTTTGTTTCTGGAGTACTTTCGCTTCCTGGACGTGTGGGCGATCAAAGGGCTGTTTATTCTGTTCGTGGCCGTGCTAACGATCGACACGAAGGTGTCCAATGATTACGGCACGTTGCAGCTGGCCACAGCGCTCGCCGTCGGTTTATTGGGCTTCATCTACCTGTGCCTCGGCCTGATGTGCGTCAAGTCCTGTCGCGACATGCGCAAGGCGACGCTCTCGAAAGAAAGAGAAAGACGGGCGGCGGAGGCGGCCAAAGCTCGAGCTAGGTCGGACGCGGCCTTCGCGACGGAGTCCGACGACCCGCGGCGGGCCTCGTCCTCGGTTCAATCGGAAGACTCCTCGCGGAGCCCCGCGCGGCCGACGTGGCTCGACGAGGAGAACGACGTGCTGGGCGTAAAATAGTAGTGCTGTTATCTTATTGGTGGCGCGAGCGCTAAAGCAGCAAAAACAATACAAGTGACAATCGCGGCCCAACCCGCCGGGCCCACCGCAAAGAAGTAGGTGAGGTTCTTCTTCGCGATGCACCGCCCATAAAAGCCGCAGTGGTGGTCGTGGTCGCGACAGCACCGTCGACACGTCGTGCAGTGCACGGCGTTCCTCGGCCGCCAGACGCAGCACTTGACGCAGTAGACGCCCCGACTCTCGTCCACGAAGTTCTGGAGGCCGTCCAGGCCTTCGCCCGCTCTCAAGCGCTCGGCGACTTCTTTGGGGATCGGATTTATCGTCGCGGGCGTCCTTTTTACTATACCTGGATCGCCGAAGCCGATGACAAGCAGCGAGATAACCGCAACCAAGCATTCGACGCCGACGAGCACGGCGCACACTATTTTGGCGGTGAAACTCAAATTGCTCGACGGCGCGAAGATGACCGCGGCCGCGACGCCCACAGCAATAAAAACGCAGGTCAGGATGGTCGTCGCGCCGCAGCAGAACTCGAGGTTCCGCGTCTTGAGTGGGGGTGGCAAGGGTGGTAATCTTAGGTCGGCGTCGCTCGTGGCAGCCTCTTGGTCTGTGTTATCAGCTGCTGCTGCATCGTCGCCGTCGCTGCCGCACGGGACGTCGTACGGACCGTCCAAGTCGGCCATCCTATTTCTTAATCAATGATGCAGTTCTCAGCCTCTCGAATCCATTTATGCGATCAAGTGAGGCCTCAAAATCGGCAAGGCAGCGGGAGGCAGCGGGAGCAAGCCCTGGCAGTCGCGTACAGCCGCACGCCTGCTGGCGCGCGCAGCGTGCTCTCTCAGCGGGACCCAAAACGATCGAGAACACTCACCGCTGCAGCGTAACCGCTGCGACGGGGACGAGTGTGTGAACAATGGCCAGCCCTAATGCAGCAAGCAGCGACGCTACGACGCCGCCGGCAAGCGTGGACCTCTACAGGGACACGCCGGTGCGCTTCTTGGGCTACGCGAACGAGCTGGGCGAGAGCTTCAAGCCTCTGATCCCGCGCGTCGCGTACTTTGGCACGTACGGCGTCGCGTGCGCGTACGTCGCCGCCGACGCGAACGACAAATATCAACGCGACGGCGACGTGGCGCGCGGCGTCGACGCGCTGATCTGGCAGGCGCTGGCGTCGGTGATCGTGCCAGGCTTCGTCGTCAATCGAGTGGTCGCGACGGCCGGCCGCGCGACGACGCGGCCCATGGTGCCGACGTTCTGCGGCCTCGCCTCCATCCCACTCATCATCAAGCCCATTGACCACGCCGTCGACGCGGCCATGGACGCTTCGCTGCGGCCGTACGTGCTGAAGACGCCTACTTCGGACTAGTGTTTGTGCACATAAAACTTGTTGTTAATCGGACAGCTCGAAGTACGCGCCGACGTCCGAGTCGTTCCCGTCGTCCGGCGTGGCGGGCGGCGGCGCCGTGGCCTCGCCGCCGGCCCAAAAGGAACTGCATCTCGTATACCGCGCGGCCGCCGCTCTGACCGCCGCCGTGTTCGGGCACGGCTTCTCGAGCACGTGCTTCCCCCCTTTGCACACCAGGCAGTCAATTCGGCCGCACCGCTGCTGCATCTGATCATGAAGGTAATCGGCCAGCGTCGCCTTCACGACGTCCTTGATGGCATCCTCGTCCACGCCCAGCGCAGTCGCGACGCCCCCCTGCAACGTGCTCACGGTGAGCGACCCCTTGTCGTACTGCCGTCTTATCTCCCCGTCGGTCAAGAGAAGATACCTCGTGCGCGCCGCCACCGTCGCGTCGTCGACGCCGTTTGGTGCAGCAGCCGGCGCGGCGACGGCGGCGGCGGTTTCGCGCCGGTCGTCCGCGTCGAAAGCGCCGGGCCGCTGCGGCACTCTGCGTCGAGCTCGCGGAGCCGCGGTAGCTCGTTGCGCGACCGGTTGAGCTCGCGGAGCCGCAGCCGGAGCCCCGCGCAGCCGCGGCCGCTTGAAGCGCCGCGGCGGCGGCTCAGGTACGGCAACCAGCGCGTCGCGGACGGCCCGCCACGGCGGCTCGTCGCGGTATCGACTATGCTCGGGCCACGCCGCGCAGTCCGATACGGGCCGGTCGCAGAGCGTGCAGTAGCAGCGCGCGCAGAAGCGCCGCGCCAACATTAATCCGTCGGCGTCGTCGCGCGCGGGCATGCCCAGCGCGGCGCACTCGTGGCGCGCGTGTGGCAGGTCGACGAGGGGGTTGGTGAGGGTCGTGCTCACGAGGACGACGTCGTCGTCGGAGTCGTTCTCCGCCGCGGCCGCCGGAGCGGGCGCTGCCGCCGCCTCGTCGTCGGATTCGAAGGTGATGGGCTCGCGCGCCGAGCCCTCGCCCTTGCCAGGGTCGGACGGCTCCGGTGCGCTCTGCTGCCAGGCATTAATGGAGGAGGCCGGCATGAAGTCGCGGAGTTGTGTCAGGAGGTCGGCGCGCGGCGCCGTCGCGAGCAGGGCCTCGACGCGGGCAAAGCAGCCGTCAGTGTCGTCTACTTTCCAGAGCGAGTTCAAGTTCTTCACGATTTCTTGATACACCGCTGGGCGGTCGTCGAAGACGAGTTTTATCTCGCGCAGGAGAACCGTGGCCGCGGCTTTGCGCGCCTCGCGTGCAGCCTGCTCGCGTGCAGCCTGAGTGCGCTGTGCCACAGTGGCCATTTGTGGAGTCGTGCAACCAGCGCTGGGTGGTCCGAATGAATGACGTTCAGAGGGACTGTGCAGTCCCGAAACTGGCCTCTTTAGGTCCTCCTCGCCCCGCCAGCGCTGCAAAGCCAAAAGCATGAAATACCCGCACGGTTTTCCGCAACCGATCTTTCTTCCTATCTGTGTGTCTCAGAGGCGGTCCCGGACAGCATGCGACGGGTGTTCGCGGCGGGTGTGACCTTTGCCTCGTCTGCAAAAAGGCTGCGAGCTTTAGCTTCACGGATTACAAAATGGTACTTACGCCGCGTCCCCAGCCGAACCAGTCAGACGAGAGGCCTACGATAATGCTACGAGGCGGCACGCATCGAAAAACTGAGCAAAAATGCCCGCGGCGGGTCGATATCTAGCTTGTGCTGGCATCGCAAATCGCTTGCCTTGCCGCCGCGCTGCGCGTCGCCGGCGGCTTACGAGGGTCAAGCGAAGGTCGCTACCACGTGCGCCATGGCTACAGCACAACCGCTGGTCGCGCAGCGGAGGAATAGACCTTGTACACAAGGTCTCGAGACCTTCCGCGCGCGGCACTAGAGAGAGAAGACGCGCGACCGCCCCTCCCCTCGCAGCAGAAGGTTGTCCTCGCCCTCCTCGCGGGCTCCGCGGCCGCCTTCCAGGCGCCCGCGGCCGCGCCGGCGGCGACCGCCATGGCGAGCGCGTCCGTCGACGAGACGCGCATCGGCGTCCAGGCGCCGGCGGGCTTCTGGGACCCGCTGGGCCTCTCGACGACGCAGCCCGAGGGCTTCGAGCGCCGCCGCGCCGTCGAGCGCAAGCACGGCCGCATCGCCATGGTCGCGATCACGGGCTGCGTGCTCCACAACGCCGACGTCGAGTTCCCGGGCTACCTGTCGCTGTCCCAGCAGCTCAAGTTCTCGGACATCCCCAACGGCGGCCAGGGCATCTTCAACATCCCCGCCGCCGGCGTCGCGCAGATCCTCCTCTTCTGCGGCCTCGTCGAGATGGCCTGGTGGCCCGCGTCGAAGTACGACGGCGACTACAACGTGGGCTTCTTCGGCGAGAAGCTCAGCCCCGAGAAGAAGACGCAGAAGCTGAACGCCGAGATGGCCAACGGCCGGCTCGCGATGCTCGGCATCTTCGGCAACATGGTCGCCGAGGCCCAGACGGGCCAGACGCTCGGCGAGCAGATGGGCGCGGGCAACATGATCCCGTTCTAGATTGTGTGCTTGGCCTGTCTGATCGTCGGATGCGCGGCGGCGCGAAGAGTAACTTGATTTAGCCGAACTTGATCAACTTGAATTTACTAGTCGTATTCGCGGGGTCGTCGCGGCGACGGCGTGGAGTGGTTCTGAGTCGTGGTGCGCAGCGAGTCTTCCACCCCACCGGACGCCGTCACCGCGGCGGCCACGGGCCCGCCGCCATAAGCCGCACTCATCTCCGCCGCCGACGCCGCGCCGGTCAAAATCTAAGATATCATACGTTACACAGGAGATATCAGGGGGCGCCTAGTCAGTGCGGCAGCCAGAACTCGGGCCGCGCGTTCGGCGCCGCGAGCAGCGCCCGCCAGCGCTGCTCGCACTCGGCGATGATGGCCTCGGCCTCGCTCGCCGACGTCGGCCGCTCGTTGTTCGCCAACTGATTGATGCCCTTGCCGTCCGACGTCTTGTACATCTTGAGCCAGTCCACCAATCGAGCGGTCAATCCCGGCGAGGACCGTTCCAAATCATCCAACGACCTCACGGACGACGCGCGCGGGTCCGACGCCCGCAAGGCAATAATCTTGTGGTCCGTCTCGCCTTCATCTATGAGCTCCAATGAACCTAAAACAACGACCGGAGTCGTCGACCCCATCGGCAGGGGCCCGTCGCCGACTTCGATCACATCTAGAGGATCATTGTCACCACCGTACCCTTCGGCCGATTTGAGAGCCGGATCCTCCCAGGTCTGCGGTAGTAACCCATAATTGAAGAAGGGCACGCCGTAGGTATAATATCTAGGAGACCCGTCCTTGTTCGTGTCCTGCATGATGGGGTTCCGGTACTTTTCTTTACTCACTTCCATCTTCGCCGAGGTATACATCGGGATTTCAGTGATGAAATTATAATGAGAACCGCTTCGCAGGGGAATGTCGTGCCAGGGCGAGACCATCGTACGGCCTTGATACGACGGGAATAAGGAGTACGAAGTAGTACCGAATCTCCCTTCTTCCACCGCGTCCGTAGCCCTATCTTCGTTGTACGCGACGCGCTTGCTCCAAGGCACGAACTTGCCACTGTCAACATTCTGGTAGTAGTCACACACTATCGCCCAGCCCGTGGGCACCATGAAGCCCTGCGGGACGCAGTTCGCTGCGAGTAGATCAGAAGGGATGGGATCCGTGCAAGGGACCGCGCCTTGCCTCGCCAACGCCCTCATCTTACTTCCGGAGATAGATATGAAATCATCTTCGCGCGACGGGTCCATGGCCTTCATCTGATGATCTGACTTATCGTAAAAAAATTTATCAAAGGATAAAAGCTGCATGACGCCGTCATCAAGTAAGGGAGACGCTTGTAACACAAATCTAGCGTGATTGGCGTCGTACATATCATCATCCGTATGTGTGACGGCGACACTCGAACCTTTGATGCCCGCCGCGTCCCGACCCACGACGAAGAAGGAGGCCCCTCCCGCTCGGCGCGAAGCGGCGTGGAATTGGACCTCCGTAGGTCCAGCATAAATCATAGGAGCGGGCCAGATGCCCATGACCGTCCAGGACGGGTCGAGCATCCCTTCATCTAAGATCGCTTGGTGTTGTTTCACGCGGACGTCGAGCGGGACGTCATCACTTTTGGTCCACCCGCCTAGCGGCGAGAGCCACAGGACTGGATTGGAATGGCCCTTGGCTACCAAGCGTTCTCGTCCAGTTCTCATCAAATACGCATGACCGGCATGTGTGGGATTCCTGGTCTGAAACGCGAAGACGACATCAGCTCCCTTGGCCTTGAACTCACCATAAAGCTCCTTGGGCGTCTTGCGCCACTTGTCTAGGCCATCATTATACGTGATTCTCTCAAAGAGCTCGATCTCGCCTCCTAACAGGTAATCACCACCCGAATAGATATGTTTTATATAAGGGTGGTCGGCGTCGATAGCTCCAAAGCATCTCGATACTATTTCCTCCTTGCGGTTGTTGTAGATCTCCGGGTCGTGTAATTGCCCTAGGAATTTCCCATCTTTATCAACTAGAGCTACCGTTCTCTGGTTACTGTTCAGTATAGCGTCGCGCGTACCGGACGTGATGGGTAGCACGATCGGTACCGCGAGAGAAGCTCTTGTCGAGGCATGAGAAGTCGACTCCCAGTTCGTCGCTTCCTCGTTGATATGCGCGTCGCCTTGATTGCCGAAGGGATCAATCAGCACTGAATTGAAATGTAATGATTGGAGCAACACCGACTCCCGCATGAAACCTTTTAAGGGAGCGGCCCAGCCCTCTCCCAGTACTTGGAGCCAGTTCACGTCAATATCATTCAGCCGCACTTTCGGTAACGACAAAGCTTGGTTTTTAGCGGTAATCGCGGCACTACCCGACAAGTGTAGGGAGTCCTCGAGCCAGCCATCCACGTACCCCGGCGGCAAAGGTAAACCAGAAGGATCCGTCATACCACCTTCGAGCACGCCTTCTCTTCTAAGGACATCGAGCAACCGCTGGACGCACTCGTCCACCGACAGATCCCTATTGGGCAAATCCACCTCAGGATGCAAAGGCGCCTCGTAGGGCGCGTCCGCGCTCATACCAGTAAAGGACTTAATTTCACCGGCAGCCACCTTCGCGTAGAGGCCCTTGGGGTCGCGTTTTTGGACCTGCGTCGGACGGACACGCTCGCGTGAGCGTGGTGAAGACGCCATCGCCGCGACCGCCGCGCCGCGACGATATACAGAAGCGGTCCAAAACGGCCTGCTCTCCCCCAGACGCCATCGACGCGACGCGAACGAAGATCAACAGACGCCGTGGGCCGTACCTCGTCGATGGGCACGTTCATGAAGACCTCGAGGAACTTGAGATGCTGCTCCTCGTGTCTTTGGCGCGCGGCGTCCCGAGCCGCTCGGTACGGTGACACCAACGTAACTAAAGTGATGACGCCGCCGCCGTTGAAGAGACAAGCGAGTTCCCCGACGCGTCTCACAGATTCATCTCTATCTGCGGGTGTGAAGCCTAAATCTCTGTTCAATCCCGTGCGCACGTTGTCGCCGTCGAGCTGTTGCACGACTTTGCCGTATTTCAATACTAGAGCTTCTTCCAACGCTCTAGCTATGGTAGACTTACCGGAACCACTCAACCCGGTCATCCACAGCGTGATGCCCTTTTGCTGGATGGCCTCGAAGCGCCGCTCTTTCGGCAGGTGGCAGGCCTCCTGGGACGCGCCTGCAGTAGCCTCGGCGCACTCTATTATGTTCGGGGGTGTGGCTGCTAAGCGCTCGGCTCGATAAGCTCCGATGTCAAACTCACCTCCTGTCGAAGCTGGTTTCTGGGCCAGTTCCGCCCTCAATCTCCCGTTCTCCTCGAACAAGGCAGAAAAGGCCTCGTCCGAGGCGCCTCCTGTGCCTTTGCTGGCGAGGTCGGCGCGCAACCGCGAGTTCTCCGCGATGAGTGCCGTTAACGTGCTATCTTCCGTACCTCGTAGAGTAGGTGTCGAGTAGGACGTAGCTGGTACGTCTGTCTCCGGCGTTTCCGAGATGGTTGGTGGTGGGGCTGCCGGACCACTTAACATCACGGAGGCCCCCAACGCCACCACTAGAACAGCCGCCCAGAAGGCCGGCTTGCGCATGACCGGCGGCGCGCCGCTCCCGAGGGGTCCCGACGGCGCCTCGACCTCGAGGGGTTTTTGTCCTTCGTCTTGGGCGACCTGCGCGTACTTCGCCTGGCTCGCGCCCATGGGCGCGTCGCCGCTCATGAGCGTCGGCATGCCTGCTGCGGCGCCTTTTCTGCAACTACTTATGCGATGCCGCGCGCCGCGCGTGTTTTGCAATTATTTTAATGGCAAAGGCGAGTTTGCTTTGTTGGCCGTCGGCCTGTCGGCGCGCGTCGCTGCAAGCTGTTGTGCTTCTGACAGCAACCAGAATAGCTAGGCGCAGCCCAGATTGCAAAAACGCTCACTGGTGCAACGTTTAGGCTGCGACTACCTCGGGCGTATGCGCTCGACTTGGCCGACGCCCCGTACGAAGCTCCAGTTTCTCCGCAGCCGTAAAGGCCGCACCGGAACGTTCCGGCGCCGCTTGGACGAAATACTATCTTAGCTCGGTGAATGGGAGCTTGCACAAAAACGCGCCGCGCCCGCGGCCGGTCCTACTGGACGGATCGCTGGCCTGCGACGCCACCGACGCGACGCCATCGCCGCGACCGCTCAAGTCTACGAGGCGACTCTTACCCAACACCGGAAGGACGACCTGACTAAAACGCGAGCTGCCGCTTCTTGTCGTAGCCGAGCGCGTCGAGGTTCTGCTTGCACGCGAACTTGATCATGGGCGGCGGGCCGCACATGACGATGAGCGTACTAGAAGCGGGCGGCGGCAAATGCGCGGAAATCATTTCCGCGGTAATAAAGCCGGTCGAGCCCTCCCACGAGGCCTCGGGTCTATCTAAGGTGTAGTGCACCGTGAAGCGGTCGGGGTGCTTCTCTGCTAAATCGTTGAGCTCCGGGAGGAGGAGGATGTCTTCCAAGGTTTGGTTCGCGAAGATGAGCGAGAACTTGGTCTTGTCAGACGTATCTCTCAGCGCTTCCTGGACGATCTGGTACATGGGCGTGATGCCCGTGCCGCCGGCGAGCATGCCCACATGCGACATGCCCTTGATCTGGCGCTTGCTGTATTGCCAGTTGCCTCGCCCGAGGTATTCGATGCTACCCGTGGGGCCTTTCAGGGAGATGGCATCACCGACCTTCAACCTCCCGAAATACTGGGACATCTTCCCTCCGTCCGGGAATCTATCTATTTTCCCTCCTTCGTACACCTTGATCACCAAATCAGCTCTTCCTAAATCCGCCTCGGAGCTGGTGGGCGTATACGACCGTTGAATTTCATCCGCACCTTCTTCCGGGTCGTCGCGCCCGTTCCACTTGCCCGCGACGACGCCCGTCGGGTTCGGGCAGAAGATCTTGACGTGCTTCCCGAGGGGCAAGCCAAAACAGTGCTTGTCCGACGGCAGCGCGAATCGAAAGAGCTTCGTGTCCGGGCTCAGGACCTTGATCTCTTGCAGCTTTAATGATTGGCGCGTGCCATCTAGGAACGGCTTGGGCTTCGCGAGGTAGAGGGCGAGGAGCAGGACCGCGGCGCTCCCAAAAATGATGAGCGGTATTAGTAACGCGGGCGAGAGGTCCAGGAAAGTCATGCTGGCTGTTTTTTCTGCAACGCGGCGGCCGCGCTGGTGTTTGAGTATCGAGGGGCTTTTGGTGATAAGTGCCTCAAGTCTGCACCGCTGCGACGGTGTGCAGCAAGTGCGGGCTTAGACGAATGCTGACAGCAATCGAACACGTTCTATATCCTCGGGGCAACGCGGATGAGCCGTGTCGTAAGTAGCAGTGCGTGGTGTCGTGTTTGCTCGCGGGCTAGTGTCTTACCGCTAGCACGCGAAAAACGGCTCCCCAAGACCCTTCACTTCGGTTTCTTATCCGTCTTCTTCCGTTTGCGCGGCTTCGCGTCGAGCAGCTTCCGCGGCTGCGCCGGCGCGGGCGGCGCCGGCCGCTTCGGCGCGCGCGCGGGGAGCAGCGGCGCCCCCACGGCCACGAAGTCGTCGGCCGCCGCGCGCATGTCGCGCTTTTTTGGTGGGCGTGCCGGCGGCCGCGGCGCGCCGGGCGCGCGCGAGATTTCGCCGCAGAGGAGGCACGTCGTCACGAGCTGGCTCTTGAGCGCGTGGCCGCCCTTCCCGGTCTTCCCGGGCACGTAGCGCATCGACGCCGGCGACCGCCGCGTCCGCTTGGCTGTACGTGTGCGGCACGAGACGCCCGGGATGCGCGGCGCCCAGCATTTCGGGCATAGAGTTTTTGTCAGGCTGTCGGGAACCTTACAGTCGTGCGCGGCCGTCAGCTGTCGTAGCGAGTGGAGCAGTTTTTGTGCCGTGCGCGGTTGCGGTGGGGAGGCGTCGGCGCATTGCATGGCGCTCTCCCACAAAAACTGGCAGCGCAGTCTGATTTCCTTCGGCATAGCGTCCATCACGGCTTGTTATCGCTCGCACGCATCCCTGCGGTCAAAAAGGTAAGCGCAGTGGGCGCGGCTGTAGAGTGCCTGTGCAAGGCTGCTGCGCTGTGCCGGGGCTCGCTCCGACGGCGCGAAGCGATGCCACAGTGTTGGTGGGCGTAGTAACGGTACCGAACGTAGACTTGAGACGAGGAATGGCGCACGTTGTTGCCTCGCTTGCGCTTTGCAAATTTGCAGCAGCTAGCGGTTTAAAGACACTAGCCAGCTAGTTGCAAATTTGAGCCGGCTGAGCCAGCCGTTCCACGCTGCCCTGTTGGTATTAGTCAGCCGCAGTGGTCGCACGCACCCTCCAAAGAACGGTCGAGGCCCCGCGGCAGCCCTTGCCGGCCTAGGTTCGCGTAAAAACCAAATCAGGTTTGACCAAAGCAACAGGTGACGGCACTGCGACAAGCAAACAAGATCAAGGCACCCAAATGGACGAGGCCCGACGAGGACAAGGCGGCTTCGAGGCCTGGAAGGGCACGCCGCGCGAGCCGAGGACGAGCGTGCCCGTCGTGACGCCGTACCCAGCGGTCTCGCCGGCGCTGGAAAACGAGCGGCGGCGGCGACAGCAAGCGGAAGCTGCCGACGAGGGCGTCGCCACTCCGCGGCCACGCGCGCCGCCCGGGCTGACGGTTGTCGCCGTGCGCGATGCGCTGCGAATACTAACGAGGACGCCGCAGCGCGCGGCCCTCCAGCGCTGGCGCGGGGCCGTGAGCGTGCTCGGCGTGCTGGAGACGCTGCGCGCGCTGAACAGCATCGTCCCCCGGGCCTACCTAAGACGGTGGCGCGGCGCGGCGGCGGCCCCTGGCCCACGTCGAGTGCCGGTGGCGCGCCGGCCTCGACGGCCACCGACTCCGCCCGCTGCAGATCGGGCGCGCGGCGCCGCGGTCCTGGCTCAGGCGGCACGCCGCAGCGAGTCGCACGCGACGGCCGCGCGATGGCGCCGCTGGGCGCAGGTGCATCCGCGCGAGAGCCCGGAGCGGTTCCCGAGCCCCGCGAACGAGCGCCACACGCCGAGCCCGGCGCGGTTCCCGCCGAGCCCTGTCGACGAGCAGCCGGCGGTGCACGTCGGGCCGCGCTGGCCGAGCGGCTCGAGCGGCTCGGGGGACGAAACGACGTACGCGGGCGCGAGTGCGCGCGCGGGCGCCGCGGCCCTCGCGGCCGTCGCCGAGAAACGCTGTAGAGGAGCTCTCGGGCGGGCGCTGCACGAGTGGCGCTTTGGCGTTGCGCGCCTGGCCGACGTCGCTGCCGGAGGCCGGCGCCTCGCCCTGCTCCTCTCGTACCAGCACCGGACGAGCCTAGCGACGCTGTTCCGGCGCTGGGTGTGTCATGTGGCCCAGATCGCCTATCACGTGGCCCAGATCGCCATTGAGGACGCGGAGACGGATCGGCGGCGGGCCGCACGAGAGGTCGCGGACGCGCAACTTGCCGTCGAGCGCGCCGCAGCGGACGCGGACGAGGCGCGCGCCAAAGCGGAGGATGATGGAGCCGCGGCCGCAGCTGACAGGCTCCGCCGGTCGCACGAGGTCGCGAGGCGGGCGCGGCGCGACGCGACACGTGCTCTGCGTGCCATGACGGAGTGCGAGGCGCGGGCGAAGCGCGGATTAGATCTTGCGATAGGGCGACTCAAAGTGGCGGCCGCTACCGAACAATCATTGAAACGGGAGCGCGACGCGTTCCTCGCCCGGAAAGCCCAGCTCGACGACCGCGAGAAAAAAGTGCAAGCGCTCGAAGCGCGCGCGAAGGTCGTCCGGCGGAAGCTCCGCGGGTCGAAAAAGGCCGACGCGGCTCGCCGCACGGAGAAAGAAGAAGTCCGGCGCCGCGAGCGGGCCCTCGCCGTCGAGCAAAAACGCGTCAAACGGCGCGAGCGCGACGCAGCGGAGAGGCAAACAGCGGCTCGCGCCGCCGCCAAGTCGCTGCAAAATCGCGAGGCCCGCCTCGTCCGGTGGGAGACGTCGCTGCTCGCCGCAGAGCAACATAACCTACTCGCCTCCGAGGCAGCGGCGGCGCGCGAGGCGAAAGCAAAAGCGGCAGCGCGCCACCGCCTCCACCGGGAGACGCTCATCGCGCGCCGGACGGCGGCCGCGCCGGAGCCATCGGAGCCATCGAAGGTCCCGTGGCGGCCGTGGCGCCAGAGCGCGCCGGAGCCGCCGCCGCGACCTGCGCCCGCGCCCCGGACGCCGGCGGCGCTCGCCGCCGCGCGGGCGCGGGCGGGCGTGCCCCGTTCAGAACGGCGCGCGGCGCCGACCTCCGCGACGCCGCCGCCGAGCCTTCGCCGCAAGAAGGCGAAGAAGAAGAAAGCGGTCATCGTGCGCGTGCCTGTTGCCGAGGCAGCGGCTCCATCGACGCCCGCGGTCGAGGCAGAGATGCCGCTCAAACCTGAGACGGAGTCGCCCGCGCCTCAAACAGCGGCGGGCCGGACGTCACCGGCGGCGACCGTCGCGACGGCAGCGACAGCGCCTGTGCCACCGCGCGTCGACGCACCGCCAGCGGCCGAGAAGCCGGGACCCGATGTCGAGGCGCGTGCGGTCGCGGCGGCCGTCGCCGGCGAGACGGCGTACCGGGCCGTGCGCATGCAGAGCCTGCGGCGGGGCAATCTTGCTCGCCGGCAGGCTTTGCCCTCGTCTCCGCCCGAGGACTTGGCGCCGCCGCCGCCACCGGTCGCCACCGCAAAACCGCCCACGCCCGCGCCGGCCGAGGCGCCCACGCCCAAGAAGAAGAAGTCAATGTGGGGCAAACTCCGAGCTGCCGTCTCGATGAGTCCCAAGAAGAAGAGCCCCAAGAAGTCGCCGCCGGCGCGCGCCCAAAGCATGGAGGAGCCGCCGCCGCCCCCCAAGGTGACGACTCCGGACCGCAGCCGCAGCCACGACGACGCCAGCGCATCGCCGCCGCGGGCCGCCGCCACGTCGGAGCCGCCCACGCCGCTACATGCCGAGGCTCCGCCGCCACCGGAGCCAGCAACGCCGCCGAGGGCCGCCGCCACATCGGACCCGACCACGCCGCCACGTGCTGAGGCACAAACGACGCCGCGAGTCGACGAGCCGCCACCGGAGAAAGCGACGCCGCCGGAGCAAAGCACGCCGCCACGGGCTGCGCCGCGCACGACAGGGACGCAGACGGTGTCGCAGCGGCCACCGCGGTCGCCTCCTCGATCGCCGCCGCGCCGGGACACGTCGCCCTGGGCGCGCCGCCGCGCGGCGCATAACGAGTCCGCTCGCGAATACGCACTCGCAAAGGAGGCCCAGCGCACGCCGCCGCGCTCACCTCCGCGAACGCCGCCCCGCTCGCGAACACCACCCCGATCGCCCGCCGCGGCGATGCAGACGTCGGCGGCGCGGACGCTGCCGGCGCGGACGCCACCACGAGACGACCTCGCGGCGCTCCAGCGCTTGCTTGCCGGTGCCACCGAGGAGTCATCGACCGCGCCGTCGTCGCCCGGCCGCGCGGCGCTCGTTGCCGCCATTGATCGCGAGCTGCAGCTCCAGCGGCGCGGCCTCGAAGAGGTCGCCGCCGGCGTCCGCGCGCTCGTGAAGGGCTCGCGGCACCGCAAACCAGAGACGACAATCGACGGGCGCCGCGCCGCCGTCGCCCGGCGGGAGGCGGACCTGGTAAAGGCCCTCGCAAAAGCCACCGATCCAGAAAAGGCTCGCCGCCTCACGCGCGACCTCCACGCGTGCCGGCTCCACCTGCGATCCCTCGAGTTCGAGGCCGCCGCGCGGGAGCGATTGTGTTAACTACCTTGTTTTCTTACTTGCCCCGTCGAAGACGTCCTGGGCGCCGGCGTTCGACCGCACGTTGATGAACTTGACGAGCTTCCGCGTCGTGTCTATATTTATGGCTAGATTGAAGAGCGTCATGCCCGCGAGGCCTACGGCGCCGCCGAGCGCCATGGTCGTCGACTGCGTGGCGCAGACGCGGCGCCACAAACGCCACGCCACGATGAGATACCGGTAGCCCCGCGACCACACCGCCGAGAACCACGAAAAGAACACCGACAGGCGCATGCGCCGCAGACCCTGCTCAGTGTCGCAGTCGAGCGTAAACCCATAAAGCTGGGAGAAGCCGGCGACGAACGCCGCCGCCTGCAACAAAAACGACAGCTCGTGGTAGTCGCGATCCGTTCGAAGCATCGCATTCGCGTTCATCGGCACGACCATGGTCACGGCGACGGCGTGGTGGCACAGCAACAACAACACGAGGCCGTGCGGGTTCTCGGCGCGGCCCCGCGGGCCCCTCATTCCAAGCACGCCCGTGACCCTTATAAAAACGTCCGAGAGCTCCCAGCCGGCCTCTACCAATGAACCGTGCGCCGCCAGCGCCACAACTAATGATGAAGGACGCTTGGCCAGTAACGCGGGCACGCAGAGCAGCCCGCCCGTGAGGTGCACGCACAGGATCGCCGCCACCAACGTCACGAGCGCGAACATGTCGTCCTCGTCTTTAAATTGGATGCCGTAGCCCCGCCGCAGCGTCGCGCCCGCGCGCGCGCGGAAGCGCTCGATCCAGGGCTGCGCCTGGCACCACGGCGCGATGCGCTTCGCCGCCCACGTCGTGATGACGTGCCAGAGCAGCGCGTGCAGCACGAGCAGCGCGAGCTGGATGCCCAGGCTGGCCTCGGCGGTTGCGAGGCGAGCGATTAGGCTTGGCATGGCGCTGGCTGCGGCAAGCTGCCGCAAGCTGCTGCCTGATGCTGACACCTTGGCTGCCGCTGAGTGCTCTAAGGGAGCGATGCGCTCAGAAATCGAGCGCTGCGACTGTGCTGAAGGCCAGATGCTGCGTGTTGCTGCGTAGCGGCTGCCAAAAGGCACAGGCCAATGAAATCAGCTAGCGGCATGTGACACACTAGCCCCAAGAATCGCGCTTTTGGCTTTTGCTCGCGCGCTAGCAGGTTGAGGCGCACGCAGTGCAGCATACACCCTCAAGAATCTCCTTTGACGCCAACAAAGCGGCAGCGAGTCACTTCTCGCCCTCCCGGCGCCGTATTAGAGTTGGGCCAGCCAGAGCACCGCCCCGCGCGCTCTGGGTTGACGGCTTTTGCGGCACGTTTTTGCGGCACAAATGAAGGTGAGGATACCCCCCAGCGGTGTTGTCCTTGTCCTATGCGTGATCAGCTGCAGCGTCGGCTTTTTGCCGCACGTCCCGGCGCGGGCACGCTCGCCATCCACAGCCAGGATAGAACTTTACAGCGAGGCGCAAGCGAGTGGCAGGCCAGACGCGCCGGCGCCTCCGCTTGAGCTCTACGCCGCGCCGCGCGCCGAGCGGGGCGTCGAGCCGCTCTACGCCGCGCCGCGCGCCGAGCGCCGCGGCGAGCGGAAGACGACGCTCGAGGGCGACTCGCGCGTCGTCACGCTCGAGAAGGAGGACCCCTTCTCGAGCCCCCAGCTCCAGCTGGAAAAGTCGACGGGCATGGAGGACATGCTGAGGGAGCTGCGCGAGATCCAGGGGTCCGCCAATAGGACTTATTGTATTCTGGGCACGCGGCATTGCTCGTACCTGCACCAGCAGATCATCGAGTTGCTGAGCTACGCCTTGGTGCTGTCGGGGAACCACGTCTACACGTCGGGCGCCGCCGGCACGAACGCCGCGGCGATCCGCGGCGCGCTGCGCGCGAACTCCACGGAGCTACTAACGGTAATCCTGCCGCAGTCGCGGAGCAAGCAGACGGAGGACTGCCAGGAGCTGATCGCGGAGGTGACGCAGGTCGTCCAGATGCCCGAGAACGACGCGCTATCTCTGGACGTGGCCTCGAAGCGCTGCAACCGGAGATTGGTGAAGGAGACGGAGCACCTCATCGCCTTCGCGTACCACGACTCGAAGACGGTCGTGCGGACGACCGTCGAGGCCAAGGAGATGGACAAGCTCGTGACGGTCATGTACCTGGACTAGTCCCTCGTACCTCGCGCGCGCGGCGGCGCGGGGTGGTAAGAAGTCTTTGTAGTAGTGGTGTTGTGGCTATGGAGAATCGCACTTAGTACAACGCAAGTACCCTGCCCGAAGGGACTCACGAGACGCGTCGATTGTCCGTGCCGTAAGCCTCGAGGTATTTGTTGACGACGAACTTGAGGATCGCGCCGGCCGGCTGGTCCTTCTCGTACTTGAAGAATAGCTCCTCGTCCGAGTCGTCCGAGTCGTCGTTCTCAATCGCTTTCGACGTGCCGAAGCGCGCGTCCAGTCTGGGCTTCGTGATGTTGGTCACCGGGCGGTCCATCGTGCCCGACTTAATCTTGCGCGGGTCGGTGACTCCGACGGGCTCGAAGATGAACCTGAGGCTGCTAATACTCGTCCCCTGGATGTTCGTCAACCAGTAGTGGGCCGGAGACGGATAGAATGCGTAGATCCCTGCGCTCCTCGGCGGCATGGACGTCGCCAGCACAAACGTCGGCCGCGTGCCGTTCCGACGGGCGGGACCCGGCTGCGCCGCGACGGTCCACGCCTTGATCATGTCCTCCTTCGACAGCAGCGTGGCCTCCAACAACTCCACCGGTTTGTACGTGACGTCGAGCTTGGAGGCAAACGTCGGGAACACGGTAAGTGTGTCGGGAAACAAATGCTAATTTTTGGCAGCTAGCGGCATGTTAAAGACACTAGGTATTGTTGTCGACTACGCGCCTCTCTCCGTCGACCGTCTGAGCGATCCAGAGGCCGCCGATAGACGTTGGGCCGAATCGGGATCGCTACTACCTACTACTTAAAGAGTGGTTACCCCAGAGGAACGCGGCCCGCCACGACACGTGGAGCACACTGTCGCCAGCTCCATAGCCAAACCCAGAGGAGGGCTCCGTGGTCCGCGCGTACGTCTAGCTGGGACTGCGTCGACATCTCCTTCCTATGGTGGGACCCCACGACGCCATCGCCGGCCTCCGCTCATTCCCCACGCCTCGGAGCCGGCGTGGATAAGCTGCTCCGGCGAGGCGCTGGTAGACCGTGTTTTGGGGCGGTGCGCCGACAAACGTTGCGACCGCTGAGTCGCCGCGTCACGTAGACTATGCGCGACGCCCGTCGCCGGGTAGGCGCTGCATCGCCGCGGCCGACTCGACGGCGGTCTGCTCGCGCAGATGAAACCCCGCAGATAACCGGGCCGCGCGCCATCACCGGCGTCGCCGGACCGCCTCAAAAAGCTCTACGTCAAGGCCACGAGTGCCACCGCCGGTGAAGCTCGACGACGGCGGCCTGATCTACTGCTCCGCGGACCAGGGCATATGCGTCCGGCGCGCCGTCGCCGTGACGGCGCGGCCGGCGCTCTGACCCCTTTCCCACTTCCCTTCGACGCGCACGCGGCGCGCCGGCCCTAAGACTTTGTTTACCATGGTCTTCTACGCACAGATTCTTAGTCGACCCCTCAGGGTGGCGCCATGACCATCATGGCGCCCGAAGGCGCGGCGTCGTCCGTCTTCGGCATGCGGTCCTCGATCAGCTCGACGACGGCCAAGTGGCCATGTCTCTTTGCGATGGACAATGGCGTCGTGCCGCTCATGCCTGCCCGGTCAAATGCGGCTCCATGCTCCAGCAATAGACGCACCATGTCGACGTGGCCGTTCTGACAGGCGAGGTAGAGCGCTGTCGTGCCGTCGTTCTCGGCATGATTGACATCCGCGCCCCGCTCCAACAATAGCCGCGCCACGTCGACGTGGGGCCGCATATCTGCGTCCTCGCCCCAGCACGCGGCAGTTAACGGTGTCCGACCCTTCCCGTCCGCAAAACTGATGTTGGCGCCTTTGTCCAGCAACACCCGCGCCGCGTCGATGTGGCCGTTCTCGCACGCAAGCATGAGCGGAGTGTTATCGTTCCTAAGCGCGTCGATCTCCAGTTGCCGTCCCGGACGGCTCTCCTTAACTGGGACAGCGTCCAAAAGCAAGGTAGCATTAATCGAAATCTCGCCGCCCACGTTGCCGGAAGCACCGCCGCCCACGATGGTCTGCACGGCAACCGCGTCGCCGGCGACCGCGGAGATATTTTCGAGCTCGAGTCTCAAGACGCTATTCTCGTGCGGCCCGTCAGACAGTTCAGAAGAGGCGACTTCCTCCTCGCCCCTGAACAACGTCAAACGTAGTCTCCCCTTCCGATCTCCGAAGAATAGGTTGGTCCAGAGCCCGGACATGTTCGCGCAGCTCGCCTCGTGCCCTGCGGGGACCTTCAGCCTTGCCACAGTGACGAAATCGTCACTCGGCGTAGAGAAGCTATCATCGATTTTCAGGCGGCAGTCATCCTGGTCAGCGTCGTATGATTCTTCCTGCGACGACTCCCCGCCCGCCGATTCCGTGGGCACATTCCCGTCTAGGAGCCGCGTCAGCGCGGCGACGTCTCCGTTTTTGGCCGCGGCGTGTAGCGGATACATGTGGTCCTCCAGCAGCGAGACGACGGCCGAGTGGCCCTCTTGTTTTGCGATGGACATTGGCGTCGAACCGTCATCTCTCGCCTGATCGACGTCCGCCCCTTTGTCCAGCAACATCCGCGCAGTGTCGACGTGGCCCTCCTGACAGGCGATGCACAGCGGCGTCGCACCGTCCTCCATCGCCCGATTGTTGACCTCCGCGCCGTTGTCCAGCAATAGCCGCGCCATGTCGACGTGGCCCTCCTGACAGGCGATGTGCAGCGCCGTCCCGCCGTCCTCCAACACCCGATTTACGTCCGCGCCGTATTCCAGCAACCACCGCGCCGCGTCGACCCGGCCCTCAAAGCATGCGATGTGCAGCGGCGTCCAGCCCCCCTCCGCAGCCTGGTTGGTATTCGCCCCACTATTCAGCAGAAAGACCAGAAGCGCCTCGTCAAATATCCCGTCCTCGCATACACCGTATAGCACCGTGCAGCCGTTCTCTTGCGGTCGGTTGATGTCCGCACCGCGCTCCAGCAACAGCCGCGCCGTGTCGACGTAGCCCTTTAAGCAGGCGGCGTACAGCGGCGTCACACCCCACTTATTCGCCAGATTAACGTCCGCGCCGTTGTCCAGCAATAACCGCGCCGCGTCGATGTGGCCGTGCCGGCACGCGACAACGAGCGGCGGTCTGCCTACGAGCCGGCCTCGGAGGCCGATCAACCACCTCCTAAACCCATAATTCAGTTGAGAGTTGGACAGTTGTTTCATGGCTGTTTCCTTCTGTTGTTCCGCCGTCTTCTGGCTTTCCATGCCCTGTCTTATATAGATCCGGTCGGGGTCGGCGCCGCGGTCCAGCCACTTCTGCACGACTTCGGTGTCTCCGCTTTCGCACGCCTCGTGCAGCGTAATCTTCGGCGGCGTGCTGAGGCCGAGCTCGTCCAGGATCCGCCCCTCGCCACCGAGCGTCCGCGTAAGATTATAGATCCGGTGCGCCGAGGGCTTGATGTCGAGCAGCTTTTTGAACGAGAGCTGCAGCTCGCCCACATGATTATCGATCTCCACGTTGATGAGCATGTCCATGTAGCCCGCTTTGGGGTTGTTGATGCGGTCCTTCGCTCTGCGGATCCGGAGGTCGCCGCCGTCGTCGCGCGCGCGCAGCGCCGCGATGGCCTCTTTGAAGCTCGGGATTTTCTCGAAGACGCCCGTCGCGCGCACCACGTCCACGACCCGCGCCACGTCGCCCTTGTAGTCATCGCTGCGGGCCTTGTCGCGGACCCGCTCCTCCAGCTTGAGGGGCCCCTCCTTATACGTGCCGCCGGCCTCCTCGACGACCGGTCGCAGCGTCGCGTGGAAGGCGTCGCTCACGTCCGAGGCCCTCGCGACGAGCTCCCGGGCGCTACAAGCTACCGGCTGGCGCACGACTTCCGGCGAAAACGCCTCCTGGAGCTCGGCGCAGGCCAGGTTGAGGTAGTCGACTTCCCCCTCCTCGGCGTCGCGCTTGCAGTCCTCCCAGGCCCGCTTGTAGGCGTCGGCGTCCTTCTGTTTCTCGTCTTCGATCAGTTTCTCGATCTTGGCGAGCTGCGCGAGGTGCGTCACCGCAGTCCGTAGATCCGCGCCGGCCTCGCGATGCTCGACGGCCGCCTTGAGGAGCAGCAGGTCCAGGCGCTCCACGACATCGTCCTCGAATCGCGGCCGCGCGGCCGGGTCGACGGTCAGGCAGTCCGTGACCAGCTCCAGGAGCTCCGGCGCGGCGACGCGGGCCTCGACGCGTTCTTTTTCTTCTCCGCCGGCGAGATAATCGGCGAGATACTCGGGGATCGGCGGCGGCGGTGCGCCTGCCATATTTGCGGCGACGAGCGCATCTTTGGAAAGTTCAGCCCAGGGGGCTTCACCCGTCAGCAGCTCTGCCAGCACGGCGCCGTAGGACCACACGTCGCACCGCTTCTCCAGGGCAACGTCGAACGACGAGTAGTGCACTCCCGCGTGGTCGCTCAGCAGCTCGGGGGCGGAGTAGTGCGAGCCCTCAGCCGCGCGCCGCGCGGCCACAGATACGTCCTTTTGGTCCGTGAGCTTGCAGTGAACGACGTCGTGCGGCCAGGACTCGGTGGAATCGCTCCGCGCGTGCTGGAACACGCGGGACGCGTTGGCGCTCGCCTGCGTTGATTTCCGGGCCAGGAGGACGTTTTTCGGGTGCAGGGCCAGGTGAGATACGCCCTTCTTGTGCATGAATTCGAGCCCGAGTGCTATATCGCGCGCCGCGCGCACCGCCTCGCGGCGGTCCCGCCCGAGACCCGTTTGCATCGCGTCCGCCAGCGAGCACATGCCCAGCTCCATCAGCACATTGGGTAAGCCATCTATTGATGTCACGCCATGCACTTGCAAGACAAACGGGTTCGGCCGCTCCTGCAGGGCAAACAGCTCGGCGGGGGCGACGTCCGTTCCTAGACCGGCCCCGGTGGCGCTCTTGAGCGCGACCTTCTGCTTCTTTTTACGCCACGACTGCTTCCAGGTCGTCGCGCTCACGACGGTGCCGAAGCTGCCCTCGCCGAGCGGCTTCTGGACGCGCGAGATCGTATCGGCGTCGATGCGCGGCGCCTCCGCCGTCACGGTCTGGAGCTCGGGCGGCTCGACGTAGTCGGCGGGCACGTAGGCGTACCTCGGGTCGCGCTGTTCGAGCCAGGCTATGAGATCCTCCACGACGACGATTTGCGAAAAGAACATCATCTCTGTCGCGTCGGCGTGGATGGCCCTGAAGACCATCTGCTGCTCTTCGTACGGGAACCGGCCGTGGAGCTCATGTTTTTTGAGGCCCCGCGAGAACTCGGCGAGCGACAGGTTCCGCGCGTCCCGGCGGTCCAGCCGCTCGAACATGGGCCGGATCCCCCCGAACTCGTCCACGGCCAGCCCGGCGAGTTTTGCGCGCGCCCTGTCGGCGTCGTGCGTGAAGGACTTTATCTTCCCGAGGGCCGCCAGCACCTTGAGCCGGTCGAGCTGCTCGAGTTTCGGCTTGAGCCGCGCCACGTCCTCCTCCCCCATCTCGAGCGCCGTCGCGGCATCGAGCTTGTGCTTGCGGATGGCGTCCAGGACCACGGGCGGCTGCCTTGCCGCCTCCGCATGCTCGGCGAGCTTCTGCCATGTCCAGAGCTGCACGCTGGCGGTCGCGCCCATGGTGCTGCCTTGTGGTTGCTGCCCAACGATCTCGCGGGCAGCTTTTTTTGTACAGGCGGCGCGTGGCCCGCTTCAAAAACCCCGGAGAGCGTCGTTAATCGAGAGCGGCACCCCGCACGAAAAAAACCGCCGCCATGGCGCCAGTCCGAGCACCGAGTCCCAAGACCGCGGCAGGGAGTCCCCAGAAAGCACGCGGGCCGACGCGGCACCCATGGTAAACAAAGTCTTAGGGCCGGCGCGCCGCGTGCGCGTCGAAGGGAAGTGGGAAAGGGCTCAGAGCGCCTTGCGCCCCGTCACGGCGACGGCGCGGCGCACGCACGTGTCCTGGTCCGCCGGGCAGTAGATCAGGCCGCCGTCGTCCAACTTCACCTGGTACGGCGCGAGGAACGACGGGTGCATGCCCTCCTCCCTATAAAGCAGATCCACGACCGTGCCGCGGACCCAGCCGTCGCCCGTGTTGCACTCCACCGCGTCGCCGATCGTGAAGCGGAAGGACTTCTTGAGCTTGTCGTAGTTCGCTTCATTAGCTAAGCAATCTTCGAATCCGGACCGCAACCCGTCGTGGTCCAGGTTCTTGCCGATGAAGGTGAGCTTGCAGGTCCTCGCCTCGTTCTGGCCCCACTGCTCCGTGAAGCGGCCCTCGTAGATCATGTGCACCTGTGCGTGGAACGACGCCGTCGCGAAACTGCCTCCGTACATTCACGAGGCCGCATCGACGGCGTCGAGGCGGCGTGGTCTCATGAAGACGCCATCGCCGCGACCGCGTCAAGTTCAAGTTCGTTCACAACTCCGAGCCACGGACCGCGTGGTAGACGTACTTGTCCGGGACCCCTTTCACCGCTAACACTCCTTTGATTCTGAACAGATCCGCGCCCTTGTCCCTCAACAACACTTCGAGCCATCCACTAAATAACCCTAAGTCGACGTCGCCCTCGATGTTGATGCCAATGCTCGACACGGTGTTGTCGTGCTCGTGCTCGCCCTCCGTATCTAAGAATTCGGGGTCCATCTCGAGCGTGCGCTTGAGGTCGAAGGCGCCGATACCTAGGACCTGGTCCGGGGAGACCTCGGACTTCGTGGAACGCACGATCGGCGCGAACTTGTTGATCGAGCGGAGGCGCGTCTCGACTGCCTTCAAATCTTCCTCCTTGGGTACCAGGTCGCACTTGTTCAGGATGAGTCTATCAGCGAAGGCCACCTGCTCTACACTTTCATTTTCAGCACCTTCTGGTTTCTCTTCATCTAAGTGCTGCACGATGTGCTTCGCATCGACCAAGGTAACGATCCCATCCAACTGGCAGAACGACGCGATCTCGTCATCCACAAAAAACGTCTGCGCGACCGGCGCCGGGTCGGCCATGCCCGTCGTCTCGATGACAATGGCTTCGATCGGTTTCCCGGACTCGTGCGTCTTCTTCAGCTTCTTGAGCACCACCGCTAAGTCAGCTCGGACCGTGCAGCAGATGCAGCCGTTCATCATCTCGAAGAGCTCTTCGCCCTCGACCTGGTTCTTGATGTTGTTCGCGAGCAAGGCGTCGTCGATGCCGACCCTGCGCGGATCAGGCATCGAGACGACGCCGCGGCGATGGCGCGTCTAAGGTTGCAAGTGAAGAATCAACAAATTCCCTGGGACGCCGCGACGCGCTCGCCGAACTCGTTCTCGATGACCGCAATCCTTTTCCCATGCTGCTTCGTGAGGATGTGGTTGAGTAGGGTCGTTTTCCCGCTCCCGAGGAAGCCGGTCAGGACCGTGACGGGGACCTTCGCCATCGTGAGCCTGCGGGCGGCGCGTTCGTCCATGAACCGCAGCGCGAGGCGGTCGCGCGTAGCCCCGCGTAGCGCCGCGGTGCTCTTTCCTGCTCTCAGAGAATCTCGAGACGCGCTCGTTCGTCCCAAATTTTCTCAAAGTCGCTTCTCGTCGTCTCGCTCGGTGCCGCGCCACTGTCTGGAGGCCTCGTGAGGCCCACGCAGCGTCGGCGTGCCGCTTTCGGTGTCTGGCGAGTTAAGACAGTCTCTTTTGATCTCAATCGGTGCTCAGTAAAAACCGGCTCACAATCACTGCGCGACGCTGGTTTTTCACCTTGGCAGCAAAAAGCCACTAGATTATGCCTGTCGGTGGCGTATACGCGCGATCAGCGGCTCTTTACCAAGGTCGCGATGAGGACAACTAGCAGGTGTTTTTTACCCCGCACAAAATTACGAAAATCAGGGACCCCTCCATTCCGTACGTAAGCCTCAGAAGGTCCAAAAGTCAGTCAGAGAAGGAAAACCAGGGTGCCGAGGCCGACTGAGGGCAGCAAACGCACACCTTGGCAAGGCTGAGTGGCAAACCAGCGTGGGCCATAATATTTGGGGTTACGCCTGTGGCAAGCGCAGCTTAATGAGCACTTACCTGATTGCGAGTGATTGCGACTGATAGTTAGAGCCATGCTGCGTCTGGTAGCCCGCAGAACAAAAGCCACAGGGAGAGCATGTGCTCGGCCACAGTCGACGCGACGCGTGCGGCACCAGTCATCGATGCAGTCGTGGGCCGCGCCCCTCTGCGACACCATCCAACAGGCGCACCGCGGCCAATTCGACGCCGACGCCTTGCGGGCAGTGTACGCAACCGACGCGGTGTTCGACGACCCGTGCGGCACGATCCGCACGCCGAAGGGCATCGTCCGGGGCTTCGAGCTCATCCATTGGCTGTGTGATGTTGACGTCGAGCCCACCGACGACGAGTGGAGTTTGCACCCGCCGGCGGCGGGCGGTCTTGTGTTCAGCGAGGATGCGGTGCCTACCCTGCCGGCGCAGGCGCGACTCGATCAGCGTGCGACCTACGCGCTCCGCGCGCTACCGCTCGTCCGGTTTTCGCTGCCTTCGACCATTGTCCTCGACCTCGACGTCGAGACGCGAAAGGTCACTCGCCACGAGGACCGCTGGCACGGGCGCCCCGTGACCTATAACGCGATCCACGGGGCGTTCAAGGAGTGGCATGGCTTCTGGTTCGTCGCGCTGTTCGTGAAATAGCTGCGCATCGCGGCGATGGCGTGGAGTGGCGTCGTAGTCGTCCGAGCGCCTCTGCCCCAGCAGCACGCCATCGCCGCGGCTCAACATAGATAGTGATTTGTAAATGTTCTTTGTCAGAGGTACATAGATTACACAAACAATGCCAGGGCACAGGGTCAACCCCTCCGCTGGAACACCTTGACGAACGCGACCTCCATCGCGCAGGGAAACGCAGAATCATCAATACCGCGCCGCGCCGCCCACGCGCCGCCGACCGCCACGTTCAGGATCAAATGAAAGTCCTGGTCGAAGGGCCACTGCTCCGCGCCGCGGCCCTCGTTCTTGTACGAGTAGAACTTGCGGTCGTCCACAAAAAACTCGACGCGGTCCGGCGTCCAGTCGCACGCGTAGACGTGGAACGCGGTGTGCGCGTCCTTGACGCCGCTCACGCGCCGGTTGTGGTTGCCCCGTCGCCGATGGTTCCGGGCCGTGTGGATCGAGGCCCGCACGACGCCGGGCTCCCAGCCGACGTTCTCCATCAAGTCGATCTCGCCCGAGAGCGGCCACTTGCCGTAGACGGAACCTGCGCGCGAATCGAGCTGACGTCGCGTCGATGGCGTGGAGGGCATGGTTTACGCACCGCACGGAACGGGACGGCATCATCCAGATGGCGGGCCACAAGCCGGGCTTGCCCTGCGCGGATACAGGTCGCGTCGATGGCGTGCTGGTGGGGTAGAGTTTCACACGGGGAAAAAACGGGCGGGAGCTTCGCGCAGACCTCGACGCGCCCGTACCGCCAGCGGCCGTGCGCCGCGTCGCGCGTCGTCAACCTAGCAGAAGAGTACGGCAGGTCCGGCGTCGGTTGGTCCCGTCTAGCTTCTATGTGCAAAACCCCGTCCTTCACATGAGCGTTCTCCTTGTCCGTGTAGAGCTGCCGCTCCCGGTGGTGCTGGTCGTGGACCCACGCGTTGCAGTCCAATTGGAAGGCCCACTTCGACGGATCGGGAGGACCGTCCTTGCAAAACGTATCGACAAAAACGCACTTCCAGGGCTTGCCCGAGTCCTCGTTGAAGCCGTCGAGCTCGCCGCGCGAGCACCGCGCCCACTCCCAGGCCGTGTACTTCGTGATTTGTATGGGCCGATCGCTCAGGTCATCAAAGATCTCCACCGGCGACGACGGCTCCTTGAGCAGCTCCTCGTCGGGCGTGCCCATGACAATCACTTTCTGCGTGGGTAATTTGAGCACTAAGTCGGCCAGCCTCATGTCGTCGTTGACGCGCCCGACGCGCGCCTTCAGTCCCACCAACTTGACGCGCTCCGCGGGCACGCTCGTTTCTTCCTCGATGATGATCTTCACATCCTCCACCGTCAGGCTCTCGTCGAGGCCCGGCAGCTCGATCACTCGGTCGCGCCACTTGCAGGAGAGGTTGACGCGGCGAAACTCCGGCTCGGCCTCCTTTACCACGGCGTCGTCGACGAGGGTCGGCGCCGGCGCCGGGGCGGCCCAGGGGTTCTCGAGCTTGGCGGCGCCGCGACCCATGTTTGCGCTTCGACGGCGTGGGCGCCCTCGGAAGCTGTTGTGGGCAGCCCCAGTGCCTCTGGCTGAAACTCGGGGCGGCGGCTTATTGTGCTCCGGCTGTGGGCGGTAAGGCGAAATGTTATTTCAAAACCTTTGTTCGGGCGCGTGGCAGCGTTGCGTGAGGAGTCCCTGGCGCTGTGCCTGTGGGCTGGCTGTGGATCTAGATGTGACATACTAGGGACAAGCCCAGCTTGGGCAAACTTAAGCCAAAACGATCGATTGTCGCAGCGTCACGGTGCGCAAAAGCGGCCGACGCAAGCCACGTGCCAGCGACAGCGTTCTTTGCAGACGTACGTGCGCTCCGCCGCTCGCATAGAGTCCTGCACTAAGTGCTGCACCAAGACAGCAATCAGCAATCACCCGTGCGCGCCATTCGTGCCATCGACGCGCGCCATATATAAACCACAAAAAATGCAAGCTCTCGAGCGCACGTTGTACCGCTCCGTGCGCCGATTAGCACAGCACCTCGACGCGTCGGCGGCGCGACGAGGCGCACTCACAGCGCTGCCGGCGAATTACTACGACCGGCAGGCACGCATGGTCGTCGACATGGAACCAGTTGAAAGAGACGCCGACGACGCGGCGCGCGCGGCCGACGACGCGGTAGACCATCTGGTGCGAGAGGCGAACGGCGGCAGCGAGTTCTACGTGCCGGGGCGGGGCGAAGCCCTCACGGCCGCTTTAACGCGCGCGGCGCGGGAGTTCGAATCAGATAGTTTTGACGGCGCAGAACTCGGCATGGCGGCCCTCCGGCGCCTGGGGCGTGTGGCGGCGCTCGCGGGCGCGATGAACAGCCGCCGCGGCGGCCTTCGGGCCCGTAATCCGGCAGAATTGCCGCTGAAACTCGACGACGCGTCGCCGGTTAGTGTGGGCGACGTCCTGGTCGCTCATCCGATGTCGTGCCTGTCCCAGCCCACGTTGCACGGTGCGGTTATATTGCTCGTGGCGGCGGAAGAGGCGCCTGCGGACGACGATTCGTTTGAGGCGTCGGGGGACCCGCCGGTGCTCGGGCGCGAGGGGGGCTTCGTCATGGGCCTCGTCGTCAACAAGCGGTCCGGCGTGACGCTCGCCGACGCGGCGACGGAGCACGGCATGGCCGCGCTGGATAACGAGCTCCTGGCGTCCGAGCTGTTTGTGGGCGGCGACGTCAGTAGCCGGACGCTGACGGGCGTCTCGGACGTCGCCGACGACAGCCTTTCTGAAAAGCCCAAGTGGTTCACCGACGATGTGACCGCGCTGGAAGGCAAGTCGCGCATTTTCTGCGGCTACTGCGGGTGGTCCACGGCGCAACTCGAGAACGAGCTCGCGCGCGGCGTGTGGTTTCGAGCTAGAGCGCCGCATACGGTGGCCCTGGAGCCCGTCGACGACGACTCCGGGACGAGCGTCTGGCGATCCGCGTTGTCCGCTTGCGGCTTTCCCGAGCTCGCGGACCTCGCCGTGTCGCACAAGGCGGTGCTGGAGGCGTTCTCGGCGGTGGACGGGCCGGCTTCGTCTTCGGAGTAGTGTGTGTAATGTGGTTGGTATCTATGCTTCTACTTAATTCAGCATCTAGCTCAACGACTTGCTCAACGGGATGGCGCCGACTTGGGTAATTAGTGTAAGTACGCCCGCTCTGCGCGTACATCGACGAGTGAGTCCGGTAACGTCCGCGCGCGATGTCACGACGCTGGTTCGGGCGATCAGGCCGTCGACCGAGCCGTCGTCGTGTGGATAAGCCCATATTTCTAGTGCCTTTATGTCGCTAGCTCAGGGACCTCTCGTTTCACCGCCTTGGCAATTCAGAAGCCCCTGCCACGAGGCTTGGACTGCTCCGCGGCGAAGACAGCAGCCCGATCTCGCACGGAGGTGGCGGCCGGGCCTCTGCCTAAATCACGGCAATAACATCTGCGTGGTGCAGTTTCTGCGGGCAGGAGGGACCTCGGGGACACATAATTCTAATACAGACCCCGTCACCCAGCGCATATCGGCGACCGACAGCCCTCGGCGCCGTATAGAGGACAAGCATTGCTCATCTTGCAACCAGGCTTGCGAGGCGCCTCCCGAGCCACCGATCGCGCGAAGCCGCCCGCGCCTGGCGCCGCGCGAGCCGGCAGAGCTCAGATTTAGAAAGCGCTATCATGCGGGGCAAGGGCGCCCTCGTGGCGCTCCTCGCTAGCCCGTCGGCCTCGTATACGGCGCAACAGCCGCGGCCGCGCGCGCGACGACGACCAACTCGACTAGAAGCGACGACCCTGGACGCCAAAGCTGTGAAAGGAGCGCCTCTAGATATTGGGGTGGAAGAACCAGCTCGATCAATAGACGTCTATGCCACGCTCCCGCCCGTCGACATCCGCTTACTGGATGAGCAGGAGCACGATGATTTACCCGGACGGACCCACGTCATCAACCTGGCCAAGGGCCCGCCCTGTCCCGATCCGTTTGCATTGGTGAAGTCGGAACTCATTCCGTTCAGTGACAACATGAAGCTGCTCGTCGCGTCGGAGAACCCGATTCTATCCCAAGCGGCGTCCCACTTCTTCGAGAAGCGGCACGGGAAGAGGTTTCGGCCTACTATCGTCATGTTATTAGCTCAAGCCCTGCCCAATGCCCACAAGGATTCCAGCGAAGTAGTCTTCGAGCGCCAGACGCGGCTCGGCCAAGTCACGGAGATGATCCACGTCGCGTCCTTGATTCATGATGATGTCCTGGATGATGCGGATACGCGGCGAGGCGGCGACGCGATCCACAAGATGTATAGCAATAAAGTAGCTGTGTTATCCGGAGACTACTTGTTAGCGAGAGCCTCGGTCTTACTAGCCAAGTTGGGCCACATGGACGTCGTGCAAGTGATGGCTCGAGCTCTAGACTCCTTAGTGAGTGGCGAGATCATGCAGATCAAGGCCAACGGGGCCGCTGACAAAAAGTCGAGCGAAGACAAGAACGAAATCAGTGAACCCATGAACGGCAAGCGGTCCTTCTTGGATAGAGCGAAAGCAGCTTTAAATGTCGGTCGGAGCCAGGAAGCGCTGCAGCGGGAACTCGCGGAACGCGACGCGCGCGAGATGGAACTCTATCTGCGCAAGTCGTACTACAAGACCGCGTCACTCATTTGTGACGCGTCTAGATCTTGTGCCTTGCTCGCGGGCCACGCCTCGGACAGCGAAGTGGCGGCGGCCGCGGAGGAGTACGGCTACCACTTGGGCCTCGCGTTCCAGATCGTCGACGACGTTTTGGACTTTGCGATGGACGACGACCAGCTCGGGAAGCCGGCCGGCGCTGATTTGTCGCTGGGTCTGGCGACGGCTCCCATCTTGTTCGCGGCGCAGGACCATCCTGAACTGAGACCCTTGATAGAACGGCGCTTCAAGGGCGACGGTGACGTCACGATGGCCTACGAGACGGTCCGGGCGTCGACGGGCATGGACTTAGCTCGCAAATTAGCGGGCTTCCACGCGCAGCGCGCCGTCGACGCCATTTGCAGGGTCGCGCCCGACTCCGAGGCGCGAGACGCGCTCATCTCGATCTGCTACATCGTCCTGTCGCGGAACAAGTAGTAGATTTATAGGCGGGTAACGAACTATTTCCGTAATACGACGTCGCGGCGACAGCGTAACGGAGTAAATAGATTAGACACTGCGGGAGAAGATCAGTACTCCCCGGAAGGGCCCCCACGCGCCATCGAGGGAGGGTCCGGCGGCGCGCGCCGCGGCGACAGCTGGCGCATGAGCACCAGCGGGTCGTAGGCCTTCGAGTTCTGGCGCGCGAGGCCCGGCCGCATCGACGACGTGTTCCCTTGATCGATGTACTGGTCGTCGTCGCCCACGATCTCGTCCTGGAGGATCTCCTCGAGGATGTCCTCCGTCGTCACGATGCCGCACAAACTCTTCGAGATCTTCTCGACCACAACGAGCAAATGGCGCCGCTCCCGCTTGCAGAGCGCGAAGCAGTCGCCTAACGACGTCTTCTCATACACATTATAGACGCGCTTGTACGCGTCGAAGGCATCTAATACGCTTTTCAGAGCTAGGTTCCGCTCGAAGCCGACGCCGACCAAATCCTTCGCATATAAAATGGCCACGGCCTTGCCCTCCGACGTGACGGGGATGCGCGTGTGCCCGCTTTTTAGTATTCTACCCATCGTGTCCTCGTCGAGGATGGTTTCTTCCGGTAAGGAAAAGACGGCATCCAAAGGCGTCATCGCGCCCTCGACCAGTTCCTCCTTGAACGATAAGGCACCCGTCAGGAGCTTCCCGTCCTCGGGGGTTAATCCACTTTCTTTCACTCGTTGCGGGTCCTCGACGTTGATTCTTATCAGACTTTTAAGCTCATTTTTGGTATAAACCGCCGACATCTCGCCTCCCAAAGCCCAGTCCAAGACCTTGGCGATGGGGTAGGCGACGACAAAGGTGATGCCGACGAAGAGCCAGACCAATGGTACGGATGCGGCACCTATTTGCAGCGCGTACCGACTGCAGACGCTCTGCGGCACGATCTCGCCAAAAACAACGATTAATCCGGTAGTGATGAACATGCCCAGGACGCCCGCCGTCGCGTCGGCCAGTAATGTGGCGATGGCCGCATTGACCAGCGTGTTGCCGAGCAGTAGCGTGCAGAGCAGCAAATTCCCCGTCTTCCGCAGCGGCTGGATCTTCGCCGCGCTCCGCCGCTCGCTCTCGTCCGGCGACCCCTCGACGACAATCCTCAAATCCTCGGGCGCAAAGGACATGAGACCGAGGTTCAGGCCCGAGAAGAGGCCGCTCAGGGCTACCAGCACGGCGGCGATGATGTACTGCCAGACCTCCATGGCTGCGGCGTCGGCGGCGTGGAGGTGGACTGTTGCTTGGGGCGCACGCACGCCGCGGCGGCGGGGCTGCCTCGTTCGCAAGATTGGCGTGAGATAGGTGATTGGGGCTGCGCGCCGCGGCTGCGGGGCTGCTTCTTAGCGAGATTGGCCTGCCCTAGCGTGATTTGCAGTCTTGCTAAAGTCTTGCTCAAAAAGAAGGTACCCCGCACGATAGAAGGCAATTGATTTGATTCGCGGGAATGATATTCAGGCCTGATCCGGGCGCTTGACGTGGTGCGGCTCGATTTTCCTTGATCGCTAGTGTCTTACATGCCGCTGGTCCTCATTGGCAGCTCTACAAAAAAGAGGTAAAACTAGCCACATCGATCGATCGGAAGGCTGCAACGTGTAAAGAGGATACGCATTAATAGTAACGACTCGTTCGGAGTAATAGCTTGCAGCAATATGCTGCGAGGAGTCATCTCCTGCAGCAGGGCAGCAGTGCATGCATCGATGCGGACACGCTGCCGCGGCGCTGGAGTCATACGCGCGCTCTCGGGTCGAAGCGATGCGCTGCAGCGCCTCGGCTGCAGCGAGGCATCCTCCCGAGAAGCCATACGCGACGCCTATTACAACCTCGCGAAGGCGTGCCACCCGGACCAGGGCGGCTCAGCGGCTGAGTTCCGCGCCTTGGCGACGGCATATGAGTGCGCGCTGCGCAGCGGCGACGACGACGACACTGCGGATGCGACGCCCGCGCACGGCTTCGCTGCGGACGACCCGCTGGCCGTCTATGTGCGCGTCGAGCGCGAACGCGCCGCAGCACTGCGCCGGGAACTCGCGGAAGCCGCGAAATTGAACTCGGGCGGCCTCGACAAGGGCGGCATGTGGTGGCTCGCGGAGCAGATGGCCGGCGAGGAACCCGAGCCGGAGGCGGCGCCGCGGCCGCCGAAACAGGTGGGAGCCGCCGCCGCGCCCGCAGTCTTCCGCGCCAACGATAGCGTCTGGGCGGCGATGCGGGGCGAGACAATACGGTTAGGTATCACCGCTGAAAAAGTGGACGAGCTCGGGCTAACCACAGACAAGGCCTTCGTAGACCTCGCGCAGCTCGACAGCTTCACGCTGCCTGGGAGGCCGTTCGCGATGGTCGAAGGTCCAAACGGCACCGCGCAGCTCGAATCTCCGGTCGCTGGCGTCGTATCCGCGCGGAACGAAACTCTGATAGAGAACCCCGGTCGCCTCGCGCGAAACGCGGAGTGCGTCGACGGCGCCTGGCTCGTCGAGGTCGACGGAGACGCGGACGAGCTGGAGGACCTCCCCGAGCGCGCACCCACGTAAACATGTTGTTAGTACTCGCCAAACTTCAACCCCTCCCCGAACCGATTATCGAAGTCGTCCTCCTGGTCGAACCGAACTTTTGGAGGCTCCTCGTTGACCTTCTCGCCGGGCTTGAGGGGCACGCTGCGCATCTTGTACTGCACACCCTGCACGCCGCCCTCCTCGTCGGCCCTTTCCAACAGGGCCCCGAGGATGTCCTCGTCCGGCTTCAGCGTCCCATTGACGGCCTTGCGCTGTAATTCTTCATTGCGTTCCCGCCAGAACTCCTTGAAGTTCTCCCGTTCTCTAGGTGTGGGCATGTATAAATCTTCCCGAGTGTGACCTTCATCAAAAAACGTCCTCCGGAATTCCGGTGGGGGATTCTGCGGGTCGTACGGTAGGGGCCCGACCTCGTCGTAGCCCTTGATTTCTACAACTTTCCGCTGCGGCCGCTCCAGCCGGAAGGGAGGCTTTTCCCGCTCGACATAGATCCGCTCTTCGCCATCCAATAAAACGCCTCCTTCTTCCTCCCCATCATAATTACTATACGTCGGCCCCGGCACGCCCGCTTCATTGTATTCATGGGCTAAGGACCCGTACTCGCGATAGTCCTCGCCGCCCTCATACGAATTTAACTCTCTAAATGGCATGCTCCGGCACCATATGACCAGATGGAGTTGCTCCGGACCACCGACAATTCTAGAGTGGCGCATCGTACCATCATACAGCAAGGCCGAGCCGACCTGATGATGAGACACTTCGACGGACGGGTGGACGGGCTCTTCATCAGTTCCATGGAATGAACGAGAAGGCAGAAAACCCTCCACGGACTTGCTTTCAAGGCAGATGTCCAACACTATTTCGGCCTCGTCTTCCAGTTTATGATCAAAAATCTCCTCGCCCCGATTCTCGTTGAAGACCGGCGCGTCCATGGGTTGCTGCTGGCGCATCGTCTCGGCTCGCGTATCGAAGAAGGCGACGTGATGATCCAACGTTTCTCCGATGCCCGGGAACAGTCGCGCTGCCAAGGGCCTCGCGACCCTCTTTATCAGTTCGGACGCTATCTCTTCAGATAGTCCGAGCTTGTCTAAACATATTCTAGCTGGCGCCCGGGCCGTATCACCCGGTAGATGCGAGCAGTGCTGCCTCGCCTTCGCACGGAACTGTCGAGCGACCGAAGCAAGGTGAGAACAGTAGTCCTCGTTGAGCAACGGGAACTGGAATACATCACGGGTAACTTCCGCGATGTGGGGCGACAATTCAAATAATTCACTCTTCGCGTGCGTCGACGCGCAGTGATATAGTAAATTCATGCCATCTTCATTAACAAATGAAGCCTCCACAGCCAACGTACCTGGACCATCATCTTCGTCATCAATGGCCCGCCCGTGCTTCGCGAACAACGCGTGCCGGAAGCACAATCTTTTTTCCCTTTCAAACAATTTGTCCACGTTCTGCCGCCTTTCCTTCTCTTCGCGACATTGTCTTGCAATGTCATCCCTAACAGAATGCCTCAAGGTCTTCAGGAACTCGTGGTGCGTCCACCGGAACGTCGGCTCGTCCACATATTCAAAATACCGGTCGATGGGGAAGCCCAGAGCATTCGCGACGAAGATCTCCTGTTCTTCGAACTTGGCTTTGTCGTTATTGTGGGGGCCCGAGCGTTGTGGGGGTAGCTGGCCTAATAGTGGAGGTAGCTTGCCCCGGTTCTTCGTCAGTATCAACCCATCCTCCTCCGAGGGCCACTGTGACAAACATTCCTGGACGTCGAACGAAAACCGATCGAGGTACAACTGCGCGTTGCAGCAGGCGAGCCACTCGGCGACCTCCGCTTTACTTCTTAACAACTTCCTTCTTGTGGGATCCTCGGCGATGGGGTCGAACGGCGGCCAGTGGCACACGACGCGATCGTGCGGCCCGATGATTTCCCCCCTCAATACAATATGGCGGTGCCAGCCCTTGAGCGGCAGGTTGTTCGCGTAGGACGGCGGCGTGTCCAACCCTCGTTTCTTCACGGCGAACTGCGCCTCCATGTGCGCTGGCTTTGGCTCCTGGACGTCGCGCCATTCGTTGCGTTCTGCCTCGGTCTTCAGCCTTCTACCCCGTCGCGCCTCGATGACCTCGCGCGCCTTCGGCGAGCCGTACTGCTTACTTGACAATAAGTCGGTCATCCCGCCGGGGTCCTGGCGCAGGGCATGGGTGGCCATGGCTTAAGTGGGGGCTGCCCCGCCGGTGGCTGTGAGCTTACCGCTGCCCGAGCGGGTTCTCTGGCGTCTGTGTGAAGAGATTCTGGCTGCCCGCGGGCTGTGTGAGCCGCTGGCGGCGCAATTAGCTGCAGCGCTGTTTGGTTGGAAAAGCTAGTGTGTCGACGACGCTAGTACTTTATATTTTGGTCACCAACGGCGGCGTCTGTACGGCTGCGCTACGGCGTCTAGCCGACCTCAGTCGCCTCCAACAGCTACACGTGACCGCAACTACAGCGCTGAGCGCTTCCCGTAGCCGACGCGGGCGTCCACACCCCACAAAAGACGCCTGAACCCGCAGACGCCTGAAAAAGCCTGCGCGGCGCGTCGGCGACGAAAGGAGAGGACACGGGCGGCGCGCCGGTCCCCCGCAAGCGTGAAATCGTTGTTACGTAGCGCACGCCGCCGGAAACGGACAAAAAAAAATGGCCCTCGTGCCGACGACGGACAAGCGCGAAGATAGACTGCTAGAACGATTGACACTGGCCGAGGAGCGCGCGGCGCTCGCGACGGAGCGCGCGCTCGGCGCCGAGGCCGTGGCGCGCGCCGTGGCCGCGCGCGAGGCCGAGAAGAAGCCGCGCGCGTCGCGGGACGGCGCGCTGCGCGACGCGGCGCACGCGCTGGCCGACGCGCAGCGGCGCCTGGCCGACGCGACGGCGGAGCGCCGCCGGCTGCGGGAGGAAGTCGAGGACGCGCGCGATGCGGAGCGGGAGTGGCGCCTGAAGTACGAGGGCTCCCTGTCGAGCTCTAAGGAGGCGGAGAGGGCGCGCCGCGACGCCGCCGACGCTAGGGCGGCCACGCGTCTGGCACTCGAGTCAGCGGACGAAGCCAAGGCCGAGGCGGCGTCGGAGCGGCGCCGCGCGGAGCGCTGGGAGCGCGAGGCGGCGGCGGTCCGGGAGACCGTGGAACGGTGTAGAGCTGCCGAGAAGGACGCCGACGAGGCGGCCGCCGAGCTGCGGGCGGCGGCGCGCGACCAGGCCGCGGCTTTACTTGAAGCCCAGGCGCGCGTCGACGCTCTCGAAGCGCGCATCGCGGACGACGGGTCGGTCGACGGCGCGTCGCACGAGGCGCTCGCCGCGGCGGCGGCCGGCGATTTGGACGATGTCAGCTCTCAAACGACGTCGGTCGTCGTGGTGCACGGCGGCGACGCGTTCGCGTCGCTCCAGCACAAGTTGGAGCAGAGCGAGGACGTCGCGAACGCGCTGCGGGCCGAGGTCGCGGCGTTGCGAGCGCGGCCACCGCCCTCGCCGGCCTACACGTCCGTGGAGGAGACGCTGCGCGAGCGGCTACGCGCCGCCGAAGCGGACCGCGAAAGGATCCAGGGCCGCCTGCGCGAGGCCGTGGCCAAGCCGGCGTCGCCCCCTGCGTCGCCCATCTACACCTCTGCTGAGTCGACGCTGCGGAACAGATTGGCCGCTGCCGAGGCCGATCGCGAGCGGCTCTCCGACGAGCGCGGAGCGCTGAAGCGAGAAAGGGATGCCCTGCGCGCTGCGGCGGCCGAGGACCGCGCGGCGATGGAGAAGGAGGTCGAGGCGCTCAAGAGCGTCGTGGTGGAGCACCAACGCGACTCTGCGCGGCGCGGCGAGAGCGAGGCGGCACTGCGACGCGAGAACCAGCAACTAAAAGCGGACGCGGAGTTGCTCACTCCTCGCACCGGCAAGGAAATCCTCGCCGCGAGGCTTGAGCGCGCGGCCGCGACGGAAAAAGAATTGCGCGCCGAGATTGCTTCGCGGACGCCCCGCGCGAGCAAAATGAAGATCTTGGCCGAGCTCAACTCCGTCGCCGGCGAGCGCGACAAGCTCAAAGCCGCCGCACACGAGCACGAAATCGTGGCTCAGCGCTTCCGCGACGAGATGGGTCTTGTGCGGCGCGAGGCCGACGAATTACGCGAGCGAGCTGCGAAAGGAGACGCCGAGGCGGCGGCGGCGGCGGCGCTGCGCAGCCAGCTCACCGAGGCCGAAGCATCGCTTGCGACGGCGCGCGACAAAAGAGCCGCCGGCGACGCGTTGCGGAGCGCCGCGGAGGAGGCGCGCCGCGAGGCCGCATCCTTATTAAAGAAAGTCGAAGTAGTCGAGGCTGCGCGCATGGCAGCCGACGCCAAGGCTGCCTCTGCCGTGGCAGAGCGCAAGGAAGCATTCCGGCAGCGCGACGACGCCGTGGCCGAGGCGTCACGTTACCAAAACATTGCCGAGGACGCTGAGGCCCGATGCGCGGCGGCCGAGCGAGCTGCCGAGAAAAGTGCTTCTGCGGCAGCCGAGGCAATATCTAAGGCGCGCTACGCCGCGAAGGATATTGAGCACTCGCGGAACGAACTGGCCGCCGTCGCGTCCGTCGCGGCGTCGCGGGACGCGCTCGAACGAGCGCTCGCCGAGAAGACCGCGGAACTCGAGGAGGCCGGGCGCCTAGCCCTGGAGGTCGATCGATTAAGAAAAGAGGTCGAGGCTGCCAAATCGGAGGCCTCGACGGCGTTGAGGACGGAGCTCGCCGACGCGAAGCGCGCGCTGGACAGGAAGGACGCGGAGTTGGCTAGTATGCGCGAGGGCCACGCCAGTCGACTACGCGAGGCCGAGGATCAGTTGGCTACTGCTGCTAAGACTTGCGCGACAGCGAAGGCCGACGCGATATATGCTCGCGCGGAGGCGCAGGCCGCCCAACAGAGACCGAGTCCCGGCGCCTTGCAGCGAGCCGAGAGCCGGTGCGAGCAACTGCAACGAAACCTCGAATCAGCGCAATCAGATTGGGCAGCGGAGCGCGATAGGTTGCGCGACGCGCGGGATGCGCAGAGAGATAGGTACGAGGAGCTCAAACAGAGGATCGACGAAGGCGACGAGGCCAGTGCCATCGCACTGGAGCACGCCGAGCGCCGCGCCGACGCGGCGAGTGCGGAACTCGAGGACCGCGAGGCGCAGCTCGCCGAGGCGCGGGAGGCGCTCAATCGCATGTCCGCCGAGGCGGGCGCGAGCACGGCGAAGGACGAGCAGCACGCTGCGGCACTCGAGGACGTCTCTAGACAACTTGTCGTCGCGCGAGAAAAACTTCGTGAGGCAGAGTCGCGCGCAGACCTGGCCGCCCAAAGTTCCGACATCTCGACGAGTACGACCGCGCTCGCGGCGCCCCTGGACGATATCTACAAAAAGGTGCGAAAACATGAGCGACGATGGCAAGCTGAGCGCGCGCGGGCCGACGCGGCGACGGAACAACTAGAAAAATTGCGGACAGCACACGGCGACCTACAGGTGCGCTTTGATGCCGCGAGAAGGCGAAATCGGTCGCCGCAGCCGATCGCGTTCTCGCCCGACAAGGCGCTGGAGCCGCCGAGTCCGGTGATCAGTCCGTCGCGACGACCATTGAAGCCCCACGCGCCCGCTGCTTCGAGGATGTTCTAAGAAGTTTTACTAAACTATCGCGTTTTAAGGACTGGTATGGCGCGACGGACAACTTTCCGGAGGCCTCGCATCGCCGTATTCGATATTCCCGCCCGCGCCACGAAGCCGCCAATCTTTCGTAGCACCGGTCGTTTCGTGAAGAACGTAGCCACCGGCCTGAGAACCGGCCGCGCCGCCGCGCCGGCGACCAGTCCGACTTTTAGGCCGCGCGGTCGTATCCTCCGCCGCGGCTGGACGGGCATGTGGGGTGATGCCACATTCTTCAGCGATGGCTTGACGACAGGCGCCTTGACGCGACCGGCACGTAGAGACAATGCGGCAAGCGCCAGGCAGAAGTACGCCAGGACCCGGCCCCACGGCCCGAAATTAAGCCTCCGAGTCTTCGGGACCTCGTGCTCAGGCGGCACCGCCTCGTCGTCGTCGTCGTCATTTTCCGCGACCGGTGTAGACACGTGGTGGTGCGACCGCTTGGCCAGCAGGACGGGTCTCTTGCAAGTTGCCGGCTCGAGCACGAGGGGCGCGCTCATCGCTGGCTTGAGTTTTGGTCGGACCGGCGGCGACGTCCTAGGCATAGAACTCCGGCATCCACGAGGCGTCGGCGATCGGCCCCGCCTTCTAGAGCGGCGACGCGTGCCCGGTCTGACGGTACGCGGCGGCGACCGCGGGCCCGGGCCGTTGGGAGGCGGCGACCGTTCACGCGGCGGCGACGTCTGCGCGTCCGCCATCGGTGGTCGCCGCGGCGCCTCTTCACGCAGCCGGTCGTTCTCGCTCCGTAGCGTAGTCTGTGCCGCCTCCGCCTCTTCGGCCGCCGCCAGAAGCCGATTGTTCTCGCGCCGCAACGCGGCTTCGCTCCAACCGATCCTAGAAATCTCGGCCCATGCGGCTTGTGCCGTCTGCGCCGACTCGGCGGCGGTTTTGAGTTTCGAGCGATCCTCGGCCGCCGCCGCCGCGAGGGCATCTCGTTCCCGTCGGATTGCCTCCCGCTCGTCGGAGAGGCGCTTATGTTCCTCTGTCGCGGCGGTGGCCGCCCGCTCGGCCCTCGACGCTCTTGCGGTGGCATCAAGCAATGCTGAATCACGGGCGGCCGCCTCCTTCTCAAGCTGCTCCGCGCGAGCCGTGGCGTCGACCAGTGCCGCTTCGCGTGCGGCCGCTGCGGCCTCATTCTTGAAAGCATTGGCGGCGGCCTCTTCCGCCAGACGTGCTACCTCCGCGTTCGCCTCCGCGAGTTTCAACTCGAGCGCCTCGGCTTCGGCTGACGCAGAAGCCGTGTCATCATTGTTGGCGAGGACCGCGCTAGTTAGTCGTTCGACCTCTGCGGCGGCGTCGGCCAATTCTGCTTCCAAGCGTGCGGCGTCCGCTCGCGCCGCCTCGTCTGCCGCGCTGCGAGCAGTCGCGTCTTCCCGGGCGGCGGCGACCTCCTGAGCATGCCTTCGTGCGACTTCAGCTGACTCGGCGCGGGCGTCATCGCGCTCGCGGCGGGCTGAAATTGCCTTCGCCTCGGCTTCACGACATGCGGCCGTCGCTGCTTCGAGCGCCGCCGTCACGCGTTGCCGCTCGCTTCCAACCATTTTCGCCTCGGCTGCCGCCTCGGCGTCGCGGTCGCGTTCGACCTTCGCCAGCGCCGCCACTACGCGGTGATGCGCCTCCGCCGCGGCTTTCGCCGCATTCTCGGCCTTTTCTGCGCGCGCCAAAAGCTCAGTTTCGTTACGTGCAGTAACCTCGCGGGCCGAGGCCGCTTCCGCGTCGGCCGCATGCAGCGCAGATGCCGCCGCGTCCAAGCTCGCTGCCGCTCCCGTCGCGGTCGCTTTGACGCGTGCCGCATCGGCGCGCGCTGTGACAAGGTCCATTTCGAGCTTGGCCGCGCGTCTTCGTTCGGCCGCCGCGGCCTCCGCGTGCTTCTCCGCGCGCGCTCGTTCTACTTCTACAGCTTCCTCGGCCCGCCTCGTCCGCTCGCGGTGCAACCTCTCCGCCGCGTAGCGGGCCTCAAGCCGCGCCGAGGCGACAGCGGCGCGTTCCTCGTCCGGCGAGGTCGCAAAGGGGACACTTTCCTCCGCAAAAACGGCGGCGCGGACCTTCTTTTTCGTCCTCTGCCGCGCTGATGAGTTAACGGGCCGCAGCGCCCGCCGACGCGTGGTCGAGGCCGGCGACCGCGGCGTGCTCTGGAGGCGCTCCACGAGTTTCTTCCCGTACTTCTTCGCCAGCATGAGCGCGAGCACGTGCGTGCGCCCGCGGTAGCCGCTCAGAATCTCCTCGACCTTGGCCTCGGTGGCGAGCCCCGCATTGTGAACACGGTAGAAGGCCAGCAGCGACGCGCGGTCGATGAGGCCCGCGACGTTCTTCGGCGGCTTGTCCGGGAAGCGGTAGGTCTGCTCGACGAGCAGCTCCATGGCCAGGCGCCGGTCGCGCGCGAGCCGTTGCTCCATGGGGTCGCTGCCCCCCAGCCGAGGCCGCCCCGTGGGTGTACGCAGTGGCGCAGTGACGGGCGCTGGTCGACGTGAATGCGCCGCAACTGGGACAAAAGCAACGCAAACCGTGGGCCGCGCGCGAATACCCGCGCGCTACAGTGGAATCGCCCGAGATCACTCCCGTGGTCTCCTCCCAGCCTACGACACGACACCACCAATCGGAGGTAGCTCGGCCCATTTGGCCGCCGAGAGACTCGATGCACTGCAGCGCCCGCGCTCTCAGAGCGGGTTCATCGTAAGTGGGCAGCCTCGACCGGTTCTCAGGGCAAGAAGCATTCGCACGGTGCCTCGCCAGGCGTAGCAGCCGCGCGGGCAGCCGCAGGCAGCCATAAAGGCATTCCACTGCTGCCTCTGGCCAAAACCGGCGCGCCCGGGGAGCCATAAACAACCATGGGCCTCCACCACAAGGTGGAAGTGCCCACGATGATCGCCACGAAACCAATAGTCAAGCACTCCGGCCCCGGCGCCTACCGGCCGCGGACGCCGTCGCTCTACGCCTTCGACGAGGACGGCTCCTACGGCCTCGACGCGACGCCCTATCCTTATGGAGACGACGACCGGAGCTACGGGTCGCTCGAGGCGTCGGGGCCCGCAGACCCCTGGACGCAGACGGACCCCGCCCTGCCGCGCCGGGGCCCGCAGCAGAAAGTAGTAAGGCGCGGCGGCACCCTGCCGCTCGGCGCGATCACCGTCGACGTCCGGAAGGGCGGGCGCGCGGTGACGCGCGTCGTACCCGAGCGCGAGATTGTGCTGGCGGCCTTCCGAACGACACAACCGGCCCTCGGCCAGCGGTCTTCCGTGCAGATGTCCTTCGAGGAGCCGCGGAGCATGTCCTCGGTGACGTCGTTCGAGGACCGGTCGCCGCTCCGGCGGACATCGTCACCGACTAAATCGGTGCGCGTCCCGTCGCCGTCGGTCTACCCGACGGCCAACGTCGAGAGCCTGGGTGGCAGCGGCGACCGCCGCGCCACGGACCGCCGCATCATGACCGCCGACCGAGCCTTCCGGACATCTATCCAAGAGTCGGACGCGCCTGCATCGACGGACGTGTACCTGCCCTTGCCAGGGGGTGGCGCCGGAGGCGGCGGGATGACGCCCGAGGAGGCCCAAGCGCTCCAGCAGGCGGGCGTGCCGCCGGATCGCCAGGAAGAGAGGCCACCCGTGCCTTCGCTACGCATCGGCGCCAAGGCGGCCATTGGGAGGAGGGAGCACCAGTGCAACCCCTCCCTGCTCATCCATTGCGGCGGGACGCGGCTCCCGGCCCCGGAATTACTCGGGGACGCGCTAGGTTGGTCGCACACGCCGCGCGTCGAGCCGTCGCCAGTCGGTCTGCCCGCGTACGAGGCCTGGCCCCGGCCGGGCCCGACGCCAGAATGGTGCTTGCACTTGTTCGCTTTATGTCACATCCACGCCAAGGACGCTATTGCTTTGAATGCGCCTATTGTAGCGCCCACGGCCTCGCATGCGCGATCGTTAGGTGAGAAGGACTTGGAACCCGTGGTGCAGGCCCTGCGGCGGTTGCAAATGGACGGCCACCTCCCGACGGATCCCTCGACGCGCCTCCACTTTTCCTGCGACGAGCTCCAGACGTATCTGGCGTCGGAGGACGGCCTAGGTCGCGCGGCGCGGACGCGGCCGCAGTGGGCCAAGTTGCTCGAGGCGCCCACGTTATTGGTCGTGGCGCTCCGGCGAGGGCGGAGGGTGGCCCAATTGGGGCCGCGGTCGCCCGACTACCTGTCGGACGCTGCGATGTACGCGTCGCTCGCGGAGCTGCGCTCGCGGCGCCTGGCGGAGATGGACGGGTTCCTAGCGAACCGCGACCGCGACCTCGACCCCGAGCTCTTGAACCGCGCCCAGCGGCGCCGGGCCAACTACAAGGAGTCTATGCGGCTTAAAGATAAAACGCAGCACGCGAGGATGGTCCACGCGCACCACGCGCGGCGCCGCGACGCCGCGCGGCGGGCCAACCTCGCGAACCGGAACTTTGATGAAAGGCGGTACGAGGCGAGCCGTGATGCCTACGCGGCGGCGATCCAACAGGCCGAGCACCTCGAGGCGCTCGTGGCGGCGGCCGACGACAAGGCGCGCGGGGAGTTGATGCGGAAACTATCCGAGGCGACGCGACGCGCGGAACAGTCCGCGGCCCAGGTGGCCTTTGCCTCTGCAAAGGCCGAGGCCTCGCTCAAACGATACAAGGCGCCGCCGCCAATCGGACCCACCGAAAAAATCCCGATCGAGCTCGACCCGTTCATGCATGATTTGGTCGCGGTCGACCAGCCCTACTCGTACCACGGGGACATGGTCGAGGCGCGCAGTTCGACGGCCTCCCAAACGTACCGTGATGCCGGCGCGCCGCGGTCCGCCGCGTCGATCAACCACGAGCTTAGTCAAGCGGAACATATCCTCCACAGCCTCCAGAAGGAGCCGGACGCGTTGCCTCGCCCGGGCGGGCCTGAGCCCCTGGACGACGCGGGGTCTTACACGCGGCCGTACAAGGGACCCATCGTGAAGGAGGACTGGGCGGGGATGACGTACGGCGACGCTGGAGGACAAGAAAAGTCCCAAGTCGGGCCGCGGCACCCCCTCAACCGCATGCCTCCGTTCGCGCACGGAGCGCTGGACGCGAAGGAGCAGCGGACGTACTTCGCGCCGAGACCACACCTGAGGAAACGGGCGGGCTACTGGCCAGGACTGGGTACGCCGCATAAGACATTAAGTTAGAAGTCGGCCGGGCGGTGCGTCCAGCGCCCCCGTCTATAGCCGTCGTCGTCGTACTCGTCCGAGTCTTCGGAAGAAGAGGACGAGGACATCTCGTCGGACGCGTAACGGTACTCTTCGGGAAGCGACGACACGAGGGACGCGTCCTCCTCCTTCGCTGTAGCTGCCGGAGGCGGCGGCGGCTGGTCCACGGGCTCCAAAGGCCGCCGCGCGATGCGAGACGGAGGGGGCCGCAGGCCCTTCGCCGGCACGACGTAGTGCGAGTCCGGGGGCGGCCGGTTTTCGCTGTCCACGCATTTCAGCCAGGCGTCGTCCGCCGCGGGCGTCGCGACGGCGAAATCAGTGACAGGAATGGATCGCGTGCGATGATCGACCGTGCCCGCGGCGTTCGTCATGTCCTTGTGGTGCTTCCGCGAGAGCGTCTGGTGGTCCCAGCGGTGGTCCACGTCCCGATACGCGCGGCGCTCGGCGTCGACGTCCATATCATTCTGGGGGTAGTCCGGCGGTATGCTCCTTCCTTGGTCGTCCCTTAATACATCATACAACGGCGCCGGCTTTCGTCGAGAACCGTGCACGCCGAGGTGGCGGTACCGATACGCCTCCAACGACCGAGCGACGAGAGCGCCGACTAACACATGATCCGGGTCGTCATCAGAAGTCATGTCGTTGAACAAGCGCCCGAGCCGATTGCGCTGCGCGTCGCGGCACACGCACGCGCCGCACGCCTTAAAGGTCTTGGCGAAGCCGCACCACGTCAAGCGGGGGTGAGGCTCCTTCGGTTCAATCGGAGAGTCCTTCCTTCTCTTAGAAGACTTCTTCTTCTTGGCGACCGGTTGCCACCTGTGTGGAAATCACCGGTGCGTCGGGTGCACTAAGTCAATTCTCGGCGACGACGCGGCCGTGCTGGCTCCGTCGAGCGGCTAGGAACCGGCATCGCCACGCCATCGAGCAGGCGTCGCGTCGATGGCGTGGAGGACGACGCGACGGTTCAGCACGAACGCGCCGTAAAGTTTTGATTTCTGCACAGGTCGCCACCGCCGCTGGAGAGCGACCTCGCGGATCTTCTTGTCGATCGACCCGTCGATGCCGCGGCGGTACGGTATCTGACCGGGCCCCAAGGAAGCTTGGGCTAGGTCCGCCAGCAGGCACGCTCGGATGTCCTCCCAATTCTTCCCCAAATCTCTATCGTTCTGGAACCTCCTACATTTGGGCCGGCAGCTCTTGTCGGAGGGCGCCCAGTACGCGACCAGGTCCAGGTTGTCCCGCGCGACGCGACTCCGGTCCTCCTTGAGGCACGTCCGTAGCAACCGTTCCAGATCAAAAACGGGCGCCACGGGCTTCGGTCTTTTCATTTTATCGCGCTTCTTTGTGGCGCCCAATAAGTGCATGACCTTGTGCCGCGCCTGATGGGCCACGCCGTACAACGGCAGGTGCCTATGCGGCACCTTGTCCACGCCCGCCGCGGCGTTCAGGATGAAGCCATCTACGTCCAACACGGGCGCGTAGATTTGTAAGGCTTCGGGACAGGACGAAAAGGCCACGTCCTGGGCCGCGCCGACCTGCTGCCGACACGCGTTGCCGCCGCAAACGTAGCGTACTAAAGCAGCTAAAAATTGCCAGCTCAATCTTAGGATTACGACCGCCAGCGACGCGTAGAGGGCGTACTTGTAGAGTTGTAGAGATCGCCGCTGGTCCTTCGCCATGAAGGGCCGCCGGTGCGGCGCGCCCCGTCGCATCTGATTTAGCAATCTTAAAAAGTCCGCCTGCCAGCTTGAATGACGCACTTTGTGATGTAAAGGGATGCCCTTGTCGACGCGCGTGTAGGACCCATCGTCTTCCTCCATCACATTATCGAAGGGCCACGAGTACGCCAACAGTAAAGCGTAGCCGAACTTGAGGACGGGCGCCAAACATAAAACATCTAAAGCCGCGGCAATGACGATCGAGGGGTCCCGCGCCTTCGGCGGCCGGAGCCGTCGCAGGTGCTGGTACTTGTCGAGCGCGTAGGTTAATAATAGAGCACCGACGTGGAAAAAATACCCCGCCGGGAACAGTAACGAGTATAAAGCAGCGTTCAACACAATCTTCACCGCGTCCGCGAGTCTATCGGCGAGGTCGCCGTCGGCCAGTTTATGGGACGCGTCCGCCTCGTCGAACACCGTTTTTAAAGATTTGAATGTTTCTGTGTCGTCCACGTACTCGTCGGGGGCTTTCCTACCCCAATTCATCAATCTTATCTGCCAGACGCTGAGCTGAATATTCAACTTCGTCGAGAATTGCACGAGGTCGCACCGGAAGTACACCTCCGCCGTGAATAGTCTCAACAGAGGCGCCACGGCCAGTTCCGACAGGACCAAATTGAGTAATCTTCTAAGAGTTCTCCGATGGAGCGCCTGGGGCCAGGTCGGGTCTTCGGTCTCCTTGTGCATCAATACCACTTGAATGCCATTTAATACCCTAGCAACATATAGCTTGCGAAACAAGGACATCTGTCTAGATGATTCCGTTCTGTGAACCTCGACGACGGACGCCCACAACCTGAATAGATAAGGCAACAGCGCGTTCAGGAAGGCGACCACTAACCCATCGGTGTACGCCGGCAGGCCGATATGATGTCTAACATGTCCAAAAACGACGATGAGCATCATGACACCCGTCAGTGCCGCACAGGTCGTGACGAAGGCCAGGATTTTTTGTATTAAATTGCGCCACCTGCTTGCTTTCCCGACGGACCGCCAATCCACGTCCACGGGTTCGGGCGCCTCCTTCACTCTTAACACATTCGTGCCGCGGAACAAATCCTTCTCCCTCAATTTTTTGGATTTGTTCTTCGACGCCTCCCGCGCCGACACGCTTCCGAGTCTCTCTAAAGCTTTCTGCGCGTCCTTTTCGTGCTCGAACGTGACGTAGACGGTCGCCGCCGGTTTCCTCCCGACCAACGATCTCACTTTATCACGCGCGAGCTCGGCGTGCTTCTCGAGGTCTCGTCTATCGTCCCCGTCGTCCAGGAACGCCTGCCTTGCTAATATCCTCCAGAGCGACGTCAACGCATCTAATAGTCGACCGTTGCTCCGCGCGATCGTGACGGCCCGCACCCTCCCATAGGTCTGGAAGAAGTCGCGCCACTCGTTTGGGTCGTCGGCGTCGGCGTCCGGATCTTGCACGGCCAAGGTGTAGTCCTGCGGCGTCTGCACGGCCTCGTCTAACCTACGATACTCGACGCCAGATCTTTGAATATAAATAATCAAAACGAGGCATAGTAGTGTGGTTGCGACGACGTCCCAGACAACGACATTCCAGTAGTCGAGGTGGCACTTCTCCGCGAATGTGGCCACACAAGTGTGCGTCGCCGAGTCGTGCCGCCGCCAGTTCCCGTCTTCCCGACCGCCGCAGCCCCGCGTCGCCTCCACATTGACGTAGTCGGGGCACCAGGCCGACGACCGGAGCCACGCCGCGTCTCTGGAAGTTCGGGTGCCGAAGTGGCCCCGCCGATACCTTCGCATGATCTTCAACGAGAACAAACCAGCGACCAGACACGCCACCAACAGGGCCTTGAGGAAGGTCGTGTAGAAGTAGGTCGACATGCCCAGGTTCCGGCCCATGTCAAAGTCGTCCGTGCCGATCATCTCCCTCATACCTTGGTGCAGGTCCTCCATGTCGTCGTAGACGGGGCCGTCGTCGTCATCAGAGGAGTCTTTATCAGGCTTCGGGGGTGGCTGGTCGTCGTCGGAGTCGGCGTGCTTCTCCTCGTAGGCGCGCTGCGCGGCCGGCGTGCGCACTCTAGGAGTCGTGGCCGCGTAGCCGTCGGCGGCGTCCGGCACGCGCGCGGTAAGTGGAGCGGCAAGAGGAGCGGTGAGTGGAGCAGCAGCTTCTTTGCTGGTTTTTGATCGGCTGCTGTCGTCGTCGCTGCTGCTCCGCGGCGGCGGCGCGCGGCGGCGCGCGGCCCGGCCTCCCCGCGGCGCCGCGTCGTCCGAGTCGTCTTCCATCGCGCCCGCACCGCTGCCGTCCGCCATGATGTGCGGTGTCGCGATGGTGTGGTGCGGCGTCGTGGCCGCGACCGCCTGGGGCAGTGTCGCGCTGCGCGGCGTGTCTGCATCAGACACTTCTTCTACTGTGCGCCGCGACTGCGGCACCGCGACCGCGGGCTCCCTGAGGACCTCTGGTGATTCCATCATGGGCTCATCGGCTGCCCAGTTTGTGTCTTGGCAGCACAACTGAAATAAAAAGCCAAATCGCTTGACGTCGAAACAGATCGTTGAAACCACACGAGGAGGCGTCGTCGCCGGCGTGGAATAATACTTGCCAAAAATGCGCCGGAATTAATCAAACTGTTTCAAATAGGGTTTTAGACTACAGATTTGCACTTTTTGCCTCAGTGCTCGCGTCGACACCCAAGAGCTGCGCCAAAATTTCTCTAGAGTTTCAGTGCAAGCGTCTGCTTCGGTTTCGCGACAATTCCTGCGCGTAGAGGTGCCGAAAATGCGCTTCCAGCTGCTGCAGTGGTGGTTTTGGAGCGCTACCACCCGCGTTGCTCACGCCTTCGCGCCGTCGATGCGGCGACGATTGTGTAAGTTGCGTGCGGCGCGCACGGCGGCCGAGGAACAGGAACTTTTGCTCACGGAACCAGCGGTCAACGCGTTCATCGTGGCCGAGGTCGAAGCGTTCGTGCGCGAGCGGTCGTACGCGTCCGAGGACCAAGAAGCCGTGACTTCTGATGATGTGGCTCAGATTACGGCAGCCACTCGCGCCGCGTACCGGGCCGCCGATGCGGCGGACGTGATGGGGAGCCTATCGACGGGGCTGGCGTTCCTCAGGCCGCGCTTCGAAGGCGCGGATCTCTTGGGCCCGCTGGCACGTGCCCGCCTGTCGCCCTATCAGCTTGCCCATCACATCACGGACATGTACCATCACCGATGTTTTCGCGGGGCCCCAACCAAAACGTTGGCGGCGACGGGCGCGGGAGAGGTCGCCGCGCGCGAGGCCGTCGGTTTGCCGCCCGCGGCCGCGGCGGAAGAAGACGACGACGACTGCATCGTCTGGACGCCCGACGGCATCACGCCGCGCGAGTGCCTCCAGCGACGGTCCGACGCGGACGCGTGGCGCCAGCGGCGCTTCGAGCGCGTGCAGATGGAGGGCACGCGCGACCCGCGACGGGGGAGTTCCGGGACTTCTAGGAGTTCTAGGTAGTAGGAAATTACATCGCGTTCTTGTCGATCGCAAGTTGTACGAAGACGTATGCGCAGGAAATCTGTCAAAAAGGAATATGCGACCTTGACGCGTCGCTTGGACGGGAAAACTTCAGCACTTTCGCGAACACGACGGGCCGTTGCCGACGCAGCCGCTGTCGCGGTACCAGTCGATGTTGTTGGGGTCGGGCCCGTAGAATCCGTTCGTGGGGTGGCCGTTGACGTAGAGGCGCGTGCGCACTTCGTTGAACGGTATCAAGGGCAGGAGTAATATCCACGCGCAGCCCGAGTGGTTGAGTTTGTCTTTGTCCACTGCCGCCTTCTGGAAGCAGGACGCGCAGAGCCGACTTTATCGAAGGGTTCCGGAAGGGGCTTATGTACTTATGTAAGACTAGTGTTGTGATTATCAGGCGAGCGAGCGATCTAGACTCGTCCTAATTAATCATCCTCTTCTTCCGAGTCCGAGAGCCACCCAGCATGTTTGCTAAAAGTGCGGATTTGTTGGAATTGCTGCCGCGAAAACTTCCATTTGTGTACAAAATCTACCATGTCACTTACATAGCTATGTTCGGCCATGTCCGGGGCGCGTTGGGCCTCCACGTCTCCGAGGGCGCCCTCGGCGTTGAGGAGCCATAGGATACCCCTTCTCCTCCTTCTCTTAAGCCTCCCCCCCCAGAGTTGCGTATTCCCCCCCCCCCCCTAGCCCCGAAGCCGCGCCGGCCGGAAGAAGATAATGGACGCCCCGCACGAAAAAAAACTGAAACAGAACTCCCTAGCCACCCCCAAGACGCCGTCGCCGCGGCGCTCAGCGGTCCGACAGCCCGAGGAGCAGGTTCGAGCCGCCGCCCTGGCCGCCCGACGGCAGGTACGTGACGCCGCGCGCCCTCGACAGCGACTCCGCGACCTCCTTCGCGGCGTCGATGCGCCGCACCTCGATCAGGCCCGTGCCGCACTCCTCCAACGCTCGGGAGATGATCTCGGCGGCGGCCGCCTCGCCCTCGGCGCGGATGACGCTCGCCTTCTTTTCTTGTTCCGCTTTGGCAACAATATAAGTCTGGCGCTCGGCCTCCTGCTGGGCGACCTGCTTCTGCTCGATGGCGCCACTGAACTCCTTGCCGAAGACCAAGTGCGTGATCGAGACATCATCCAAAATGATGTCGAAGTTGTCCGCGCGTTTTGTTAAAGTGGAGCGGATCTGGGTCCTGTGCGTTTATGTGTTAGTGGGTGATGAGACGACGGAGCGTCATGTGTGTTTCTGGAGCCGCTCGGTCGAAAGATGGTGATTGACGAGTGTCATCAAGTATGTCAGTGTGAACTATGCAGTTGCGTCGTCATCGCGGCCTTTGTGAAAGTAAAGGACGCTGACGGAAACGAGATCTGCTCGCGCATGGACAGGAGCTGCTCGGCGTTGTACTGGGCCACGACGCTCTTCAGGACCTCGTTGCCGATCGACGGAATCACGCGGTCCTCCCAGTTCGTGTTGTACTTCTGGAAGATGACCGGGAGCTTGTCTACTCTAGGTCTTGAGAGCACTCTGAGATAAATGTTGACCATCTGGAGGTCCTTGGTCCCGGTGATCGACCGGATCTCCTTGGGCCGGGACCGGACGTCCATGATGATCGGCTCCTGGACCATGGGGATCTTGAAGCCCGTGCCCTCTCCCACTGATTGGGGGAGGACGCCTCGTATCTTATCATACATGACCGCGCGGTGGCCGCCCTCGACGTTGTAGAGGCACGAGCTCCCTATCAATGACACGCCGAAGATGCCGGCTCCTGCCCTTACTACGGGCATTACGAGGCGCTCCATGGTTCTCTTCTGGTTTGCGGCGGCGTCGGCGGCGCGTCGCTGGCGTCTAGTTGACTCAGCGAGGTGCTCTCTTTATTTAGGGAAACACCCGGGCGTCGCTGCAAGGTGTTGGCCTGGCGTGAGCGCTGCTGGCTTCGTAACGCGTGCGTTAGGTTTGTCGCTCGTCGCAAGCAACACTGCTTGTGCAGGCGAGTGCGAGACCCCTAGTATGTATGTGGCGCTAATAAGTCGATTTTGCCAGAGTCCGTATCCGCGTGGCTATTGCAACTAGCGCAGCTGTGACGGCCAACTCGCAGCCTCTCGCGCTGCGATTTTGCATCTATCGGCTTGCAATAGAGCATGCTTCGCTGCGCCAGGCTGCAAGGGCGCTGCCTGCGGCGGCCCGCGTTGCGTTGTCTATCGACCGTCAGGGACGTCGCAGAGCGCATCAACCACCCGCTACCAGAGCCGCTCTCTGACACGCTCCCGGACCACAACTGGCACGCCTACGAGGAACGCTACTCCGCCATTCATCGCACGCACAAGGATCGCCCGTTCGTTGTCGCAGATGTAATAAAGCAGAGGACGCATGAGCGGCGCTACGAGTGGGGAACCATACTTCTCCAAACCTTCCGCACATCTCCGACGGCCGTCGGAGCCAGTCTCCGCAACATGCTCTACACGTCAGCGATCGTCACGCCGTACTGTGCCGTCCAGTGGCGCGATTCTCTGGGCGCACTGGACTTGCCGCCCGCCGTGCTGGATTGTCTGAGCCACCCGAACCTCGAGATGGCGGTGCAATTTCTTGACACTCATCAGGGATCGCTCATCGCTGCGTTTGGCGTCTACTCGACGGCGCTCTTCCTACTCTTGTCGATGCGCCTCACCTCGGCAGTACGCTACTACAACGATGGAGTGCTGGCGTTTTCAGACTTGTGTGCGCAGAGTAGCAACTTGTCTGCCCAGTCACAGCTATACTTCACCGACAAGCGCGCGTGCACCGAGGTTTGCCTGTGGGCCTACGCCGCCTGTCGCGCGACCGAGGCCGAGATGCACAAGATCACAGGAGAAGAAGCGAGGGCCATGTACGAGCACCTGCTCTTGCGTCATGATGAGGCGGAGGCGGCGGCCGCGGAGGAGGCCGACGACGAGCTCGCCGAGCGCGAGGCATCGCTCGCGTACTTGCTCGGCGCGGCCGAGCAGAAGTGGCGCGTCGAGATGCTGGTTAACGCGCAAAACGCGCCGGTCTTCGCGTTACAACAGCTCACAGCTATGCTTCGCGTGGCCTTCGACCGCGGCCTCATCACGAACATCCGAGCGTTGATCGCTACGCACTCGTCCGTCGAGAAGATGGTACTCGCACACGCGGCGTGCCAGCGCGTTCAGCTCACCCCCGAGCCGTACTCTTATACGGCTCTGATGAAGACGTCGTCCGTGCTCTGGGCGGCGGGCGTGCCGCTCGTCCTCATGCCCACTTTGCAGCTCGCTACGATACCTATGGGTGCCATGCTCTCGTTCTTTGTGGCCAAGCTCGACGAGATTAGTGCTGAGTTACAAAATCCCTACGGTTATGACATCTCCGACGTCGGTATGGGATCTATCAACCGCCGACTCCAGCGCGAGTTCGCGCAGTCCATGCTTCTGTACAACCAGTATGATACGCCTGTCGACGGGCGCGGCAACGCTATGGACGGCGCCATCGACGCGGGCGAAGCGATCAAGCTAGGCCTCCCCGGCGTCGGCGATTGGAAGGACAACGAGAAGCTCTGGAAGGCCGCGCGGCTCGGCGGCGGCGAGAACGTGCACGCTTGGCCGAGCAGCCCGTAGTGTGTAACGGGTTTGTCGTGTTGAAGCTAGCGCTTATCATTACTCGACTAGTAGTACCCCTTCTCCACCGACGCCCGCCGTCCCCCGCCGCCGATCGCCGCGTACATCTTCGGATTTTCCGCGCAGGACGACGTGATGTCCCACCACTCCAGGGACGCTCGCAAGAACGCGGCGTCCGAATCGGATAGATCTAGGTCCACGGAGGTCAAATCCGCGGCGAGGAGGTCTGTGCCGTCCATCGCCAGTTCCGCCACTCTCGGAGCATAAAGGCCGACGTCTTTCAGGTAGCGCTGGAGGCCCGGCTCGTCTAAATGGCGGACGTCGCGCGCCGTCGTCCTCAGGACCGCTCCAGCATTTAACACAGCGGGATACGCCAGACCGCACGCCTCGCACTCGCTCCCGACCTGTGTGGAAATCAATGTTTTACGGCGCCGTCGACAGCACCCGACGCACTGGCTGATCTCCACGCAGCTCCCGACGGTGCGCGAGTCGAGCTTTTTTAGGGAGTCCTTGTCGAGCACCTGAATGACGCAAGTCATGTTATCTGTGCCGCCCTTGAGCATGACCCATTCGATGATGGATTTGGCGACGGCGCCGACGTCGTCGACACCATATTTCTGGAAGGCTGCCCGCGCTAATGCCACGGCTTGTTTGTTTGAAATCTCCTCGAAGATGCCGTCGCACGCGATGATAAGGAACGCGTCCGTCACGTCGGAGCTCCAGAGCTCCGCGACCTCGGCCGACGCCTCGGTGCGCATCTTTGCTATCTCCGGCGGGTCGGGCTCGGTTCGCTTCAGCCAGCAACTACGCGTCGTCCCTTAATCGTTTAAAGCGCTTTGAAGAAGCCAGGTCGCTGCTGCGAAAAACGATGCCCGTGGCGCGACGTGTCCTTGGAGAGAGTAATCAAACCACGCTCAGGATGAGGTGGGGGTACGCGATATCTCTTTACGAGGACGCCGCCGCCACGCTCGACGATGTCCGCAAGGGCGTGGAGATCCTCGAGTCCGTCGCACCGTTGTGGAAGCGCGTATTCGGACCGGCGCATCACGAGACGCCGTGTGTCCAAAATGCGCTGAAAGACGCGCGGAAGACGCTGGCCGCGCGCGCCGCGTAAGTTCGACCACGAGTTACGGAATAACCTGAGGAAGGTGAGAGATGCCAAAGTCGTGTACGGGGCGGATCCACTCCAAGGGTAAGAATGGTTATTTGACAGTCTCCTTACGCGTCCTCAACCTCGTCCAATTCACCATCAGGCCTCTTCAAGGAATTCACGGCCTCCGCAAACCGCGGCGCGAGCCGCCGCAGCACGCGCCGGTAGCCGTCCGAGTGCGAGTCGCCGCCGCCCGCCGCCTCCAAACTCTCGAGCAGCGCGGGCCCGACCCTCGCGAAGTGCGCCGCGACGACGCCCCGGAAGGGCCGCGGCGGCCGGCGGCACGCCGCCGTCGTCGCTTGTAAGGATAACAACCTGGCGTTCTCGTTGTACAGTCTAGCTTGCTGCTCGCCCTCGACGGTGTCAGCGTGCCTCTCGTGGCCGGGCTCGTTGTAGTAGGGCTTGTCCACTAATACTAAGCCTTGCACCGATACCAGTAATTGTAACAGTGTCGACGACTCGGGGTCCCAGCCCGGGCCGCTCCACGTCCCCAGCAAACTCAAACACACTTTCCCGTTCTCGTAGAGGTTGGGGTTCAATCTTTCACTAAGACCCCAGGCGTGGTAGTGCATGGACGGCGGCTCGGACGGGTACGTCTCCGGCAGCTGCAGGTCGAACCAGAAGAGAAACCCGTCGTAGGGCGTGCCCGTCGGGCCCACAATCACGGCCCTTAATAGATCAGTCCGCTTCTCGAAGGCTCGCACATGGACGCCGGGCGGCAAATGTTTACCTAATTGCGCCCAGAGCTTCCTCACTTGTTTCAGAGGTACTTGATGAGGCGCCGTGTGGCCGTACGCGTGGTCTTGAGGCGGCTCCTCGACAATCGCGAAGGGGCTCGTGTCCTCGTCGTCACTGTCGTCGTCGTCACTCTCGACGACGGGGCTTTGAGCAACAGGCGCCTCCACGGGCGGCTGCGTCGGGAGGCTTTCGCCGTCCGACGCCTCCTCCTCACTATTGTACGGCTCCTCGCCCGACGCGTCTGGTACTAACAACAATTCAGACGGGGCTACTTCTTCTTTCGACCCGTCGACCCACAGCACCCGTACCTTCCCGTCACTCAAGCTCAGGACCTGGCCGACCCAGCGCTCTTCTCCTGTCGACGTTTCGGTAGATGGTGTCTCCTCCAGGGACCGTCGGATCGCTTCGGCTAACTCGGCCTCTTCATTGTCTTCCGTGCCAAAGTCCGTCTGATCAGACACGGTACCTGCCGTCTGGCGGTTCGGACCTTCTGTGGAAGAACTCTGGTTCACCCTTAATACGAGGTCGCCCGCCGAATAATTGTCCGCTGAACTAAGAGCGAGCTCGTAGGACGACATCGTCTCTTCCGTGTCACCGAACTTCACGGAGCACGTCCGCTCCTTCGCGTCGACGACTCGGATCACGCCCACATCTGAAGATTCTTCTAAACGTTTGACCACAAAGTCGTTCGGCAGGAAGTCGTGCTCGCCCAGGTGTTGCCTCGGTACCAATTCCAGAGAAGCTACTTCCGGCGAATCTTCTGAGGACGACCACCGCACCGAACATCTCGTCTCCGTCCGGATGACTTGCGCACATGAACCATCAGGTAAGTCGGAACCGCAGACGTGGTCCCCGACGCGCGTCAGGCCCGCGAACGCCGTGAGGATGTCGATCTCCTTGACACTAGCCCAAGCCGGCGGCGGGTCGCGCGACGCGCCGACGCCCCAGGCCAACCACTGCACGCCCGCTTGCGAGACTTCGACCTTTTCTACCACACCACTTCTACGTCTTCGGCCTTGCGGCGCCCGCGCGCCGTTCTTCCACGACGCTCTACGCCACACCGAGGGCGGCGCCGACACGCGCTGCCCCGGGAAGAAGGGGCACAATTCATCAAAGCCGTAGTCCGCATCGTCGACTGGTTCTACCAATTGCTCGGCGCCGTTGTCGCCTAGACCTTGCACGACGCATAACGCGCCGCCATTACATCTCACGGTCACGTCATACGTAGCCCCGACAACCCTACCGACCCACCGCCCTCGCGTCCGATGCGCCACGGGGTCGCCCATCCGTAAACCAGTAGCCGGTTTCAACGATGCGGCCGGGATGTTCCGCAACGTGCCCTCGATCTTCTGTGGCAATGGCGGCGGCTTCGGCGAGGGCTCCCGTCTCCCCGCACTTCGCCCGCGTCTCCGCTGATTCCGTGGTGGTGGCGGCGGCGGTACTGTGACTGACGTCGGCGAGTAGACGACGCGGACGTCGGCCCTTAATGAAACTTTCACAACAGCACCTAAGGCGCCCGTCGGGTCGTCGGCTCTTGCCACAACATCTCCAACGACAAAGGGCCGGTCCACAACCTCTACAGCATCCGTCGACTCTAACCTTGGCTCATAGTGGTCGAGCCATTGGACCCTTGCTGACCCTTCGGGCACGGCCCTCGACTCCTCCTCCTCCTCGTCGTCGTCATCATAGTCGTCGTCGCCTCCCAACACGCCCGAGGCCTTGAGGACCCAGCCCAATTGCGCCGGCTTGCTTCGCAGACAGACGCAGTCTTCCGGAAAGACCGTTGGTGCTACTTCGTCGTCATCTCGTAATGGTGACGGGGGCGGCTTAGTACTACACGTGAGTCCATACTTCTTCATGCACTTCTGGACGCGCTTCTCCGTTAATCTCCACCTCGGCTTGCGCTGCTCGAGTTCTTTGAAGACGCGCTTCACGCCAAAGTCGGGGTGGTCGTTTTTTACGCTTTGACAGGCCTCCTTGAGTTCATTTTCCTGGGGGGGTTGCTTCGTGCGCATCTTTTTGGTGCTGCTGGCGTCCTTGGTCGCCCTGCTGGTGCCCCTTGTTAGCGCCGGCTGGCGTCTCTGGGGGCTGGGTGACCTTGTGCACAGGAGGGCGGGGCGCGCCGGTGGTCGCCTTGCCGCGTCAGGCGAGCTGGCCGCTGCGTGCCGGAAACGTCTGAACGCTGCTTGCGCTGGGATTATACCCTTAAGCGCTAGGAGAGCCACGCGTGTGCCGTCGCTTGGAGAATTTAATTGTTTAGGCAAAACGGGTTTTATGCGGGATACAAGAGCCTTCTGGAGGGCCCCCAGCGCGAGCGCATGCGGCGTAAGCGACCCTACAATCAGAAAAAAAGCGCTCCAAAAACTTGGTGATACAACAAATAGGATTACGGCCTCGGCGGCGGCGGCGGCGACGTTGCGTTCGTCGCCGTCAGCCCCTCCAGGTCCAGCGACCCGCGGTGGCGCTCGAGCGCGTCCGCGAGCGCGACGGCGAAGGCCGCCGTGAGGCGGCCGCCCTCGAGCGCGCCGTCGACGCGCTCGAGCGCCTTGCAGAGGTCGTCGAGCGCCGCCGCCGCGGGCCGCCGCCGGTCGCCGCCGCGGATGGCGTGGCGCGCGGCCGCGGCGATCGCCGGCGCGACGACCTGGCGGAAGGCCCGCGAGCGGCCCGGCCGCCGCGGCGACGCCGACACGGACGGGAGCGACGCGGGCGAGCGCGCGTACTGCGAGAGTGACGCCGGCGTGCGCGGCGTGTGGGGCGACGCCGCCGGCGTTATGAGTGGCGAGGGCGTCGGCGACCTCGACGAGGGCGGCGGCGGCGGCGGCGCGGATGCGGCCGCCTCGGCTACTAGCGAGGCCAGTAATGGTTTGGACGACCCCGCGAAATCACCATCAACAATCCAAGGGTCCCTGAGTAGCTCATCCGCAGGAGGCCGATCCGACGCGTCCTTGGCGACGCATCGCGCCACAAACGCCTTGAATTGATCACTAAATTCGCCTTCCAGCGTGGGTGGCGCCGCCTTCGGCACGACAAACAAGACCTTCATCGGATGTAAAGCTGAGTGAGGAGGTTTTGTTGTGGCCAGTTCTATAGCTGTAATACCAACACTCCAAACATCCGCGGCCCCGTCGTACCGCGACTGCTCGATGACTTCCGGAGCCATCCAGTAGGGCGTGCCTATCAAGCTTCGACGTTTCGTCGTCGTGTCCGTCAGTCGCGTCGCGACGCCAAAGTCGGCAAGCTTGACCGACCCGTCCTCCGCGACCAACACGTTCTTGCCCTTGACGTCCCTATGTAAGCGTCTTTGCGCGTGGAGGAATGCTAAACCTCGCAGGATCTCGCCTAGCACGCCTCGCACCGCTTCTTCTGGCAAAGGTCTCTTCGTCTTGGTCATCAGATCACCGAGCGAACCACCCCCAAGGTACTCCGTGACGATCCAGAGCCGATTCGACACCATGTGGCAGCCGAGATACCTTACTAATTGTGGACAAGCCGTCGCCGACGCCATCGTCTCCACTTCACTCTTGACCGCCTCTAGTTCGCTGACGTCCGCCTCGAGGTCCACTATTTTTATCGCTACTTGGTCCTTCGTGCCTTTTACTCTTGCTCTGTGTACGACGCCGAAGGAGCCTCGGCCCACCTGCTCCTCGAGCTGGTAGAGCTCTGCCGGGTCGGCGGTGGTGGCCTCGGCTGACATAGTGTTTCACTTGTTGCGCGTGTAGTTGACTGGTGATTTTTGGACAGCTGTTCCGCAGCGATTATTGCAGCAGTACAGTGCTACGCTGCTTGTCTCTAAGTGAGCGATGCGAGCGTGTGCCGATTTTTTGTCTCCCATGTTTTTTGTACTTTTTGGGAGATACATTGCAGTCTCCGGGATGGTCCAAGCTTCGAAAGGCACACGTCGCGTCGTCGCTCTGACGCCCTCCGACTCCCTGTGATTTGCAGGCAGCCTAAGTGGCGGGTTTGGACTGTGAGAGCTTTTGCAAGCGGAGCGGCACAGGCGTCGCTGTGGGTCTCTATAATCTGGCAGAAGCTCACCGCGGACCCATATTGTTGGTGCGCAACCGCTGCGGCATCATCTGTAAGCGATTGATGAGCACAGAGACCACACAGCGGAGCACAGCCAGAGTGACAGCGGAGCACGAGCCGCAGCTGTGCCTATAGATCAAATTTGGCACACGCGGAGAACCGCCTCTTAGCGTGCAATCGCTGTGCAACCGTGCGAAGCGCATCGGTGCGGCAAAGGGGAGAGCACCGACTGCGCAGCATGTCCAGCAACACCCAAAAAACAACGACGACAGTCGACCCCGCACTCCTCGAGCAGTGCGGCTGCAAGCGGGAGCGCCTGTCCAACGCGTGCAACTATAGTTTCCAGGACCTCTACCGCGCGAAAGCTGCAGCTCTCGGGCAGGCCGGCGACGACGCCGCCGAGGTGTGCGCCGCGTTGTACAAACGCGACCGCGACGCCATCAACGAGACGGTGCGCGAGTGGGCTGCTGTTGCGGGCTGGGAGACGGAGATGCACCGCGGGAGCGACGGCCAGGACTACCGAGCGTTTGCGCCGGAAGCGCCCTCGTAATCAGAAGTCATCGAAGTTAGTGCGTGGGGGAGGCTTGGACCGGGGCTTCCAAGGCTTCGCTTTGGAGGGGTGCGGCGGCGGGCTCGTCGTGCTATCGCTTCGCCGCGAGGGGACGTAGACCGTGTCGCCGAGCGAGCCGCGAAAAGAGTCGCCGAGCGAGCCCCGGCTGCCCGGCCGATCCCGGAGCAGGCTCCGGAGCGAGTCCCGCGAGCCGCGCGGCGCCAGGAGCGAGTCCCGCGGCTCGTCGACGTCCCGGGCGGAAAACGAGATCGTCTCTTCGCTCGAGAAGGACCGCGAGAAGAGGTCGCCCTGAGGCAATGACGCTCGAATGGCGAAGATGTCGGCGGTATCGGACCCCTGTGCGAGATCGACCGGTAATCGTCGACTCCTCGACGCCGCGTCGATGGCGTGGACGCGGGAAACGCGCCCGTTCCAGCTGGAGCTCGTCGGACCGCTCGGCCTTGCGCGCCCTCCGGTCGGGGTCCACGGCGCAACAGGACGCGAAAACGCGGCCGAGGAAACTCGGTTCCTCGTAGGAGGAGGGCCGCGAGCCCGGGGGCGACAATGGCGGCTCCGAGATGAGGGCGTGCGCCTCCTCCCATGACATGGGGGGGTAGGGCTCGTCGCTGGCCGCGGGGGACAAGAGCCCGCAGTCGCTCGGCGGCGGCGGCGGAGGCAGGTCCGACTCGCGGCGCGGCGGCGGCGGCGCCGGAGGCGGCGGCGGCGCGGGCGCCGAGGCCCGCCGTTGCCGCGTCGGCGGCGAGCCCGTTTGCGTTTGCGGCGAACCCGTCTCCGAGAATGTTTTCATGGCCAGGGATTCCACTCGCGAGGCGGCCATGGTTTCGCGCGATCAGGAGCAATTGAAATTGACTGATCTAGCGTGCGTGTATGCGAACCCGTCCGGCGTCCGGTGGCCGCTTAACAGCTATTCTATCAGGGTTTCTCGCACTGGTGGTCCAGTGGTCCAGTGGTGGATAGTCCACCTTGACGTATTTATTGTCGCGGCGTCGGGGCGCGCTTCGGTAGAGCGTCGTTTGACGTTGTTTGACGCGGCGTAGCACGCGGCTGAGGCCGTAAACATACAGCACCAAAAACGCCGAGGAAACCTGTTTTGGGTCGCGGCGCGCGCGCGGCCTAGACTGCGCTCCGCGGCGTCGTCTGCTACACAGAGCCACTGGCAGCCAGCATGGCGCTACCTCAGGCAATTGGACGGGCCGCCTCCGAAGGAGATTTCGAACGGGTCAAGACTTGGCTAACCGGTGGAAGCGAGTCGGCTCCGCGCTCCGTAAACGACGTCGACGACGACGGCTGGCCGCTTCTCTTGTGGATCGCGAGAACTGGCACAGATGGTGGCCACCTCTTCACTGAGGGTCATCTCGAGATTGCCCGCTACCTACTTTCCCGAGGAGCCGCCCTCGACGTGGTGAGTAGGTGGTCGGGAGCCACCGCACTGCATTTTGCTTGTGGCTCTCGAGGAGCGCTCGCCCCAGAATTTGTTTCTCTGCTCGTCTCTGCAGGCGCGAACGTAAATGCCGGAGATCATGATGGCCATAGAGCGCTCGCTAGGATGTTTTGGGCATTTCCTGCTCAACCGTGCCACGTCAAGATCTTGGAGATACTACTTAGAGCGGGCGCAACGTTGGATTCTGTCCGGAACAATGATTCGTTTGATGCTTTACTACAGACACACGGGTATGGCTCTAGGAACGAGCACTTTGTTGCGATGAGTGACATGGTCGCGAGCGTGCGCAGGCACGGCTCGTGGAAGGCGCATTGCATCGCGCCGCACCGAATGGTGTTGAGGCTCCGCTCCCTCGTCACGCGCGGTCGCGCCAAGCTTCCTTGCGCACGACGCCGGAGCCAAGCTTCCGCGTCGAGCCAAGCCCTCTACTTCATCGTCCGCCAGGGGGACAACGGCATCGTCTGGAAGATCCTCTCCTATTGGCGAGCGACTAAGTAAGACACATCTATACACAAGGCGCCGCCCCCCCATCCCAAGCGAGCGGCAGGTCGTAGGCCCCGACGAAGTCCGGCCGGTGCTTCTCACCAACAACACAATTCTCGAAGCGCCACGCGTCCCGCGCCACAAAATGATGGCGCGACGCGCGCGCCCGGCCCACGAAGGACTGCGCCAAAGCGAACGTCGCCGCGACAGCTTCCGGCGCATGATTAATACCTTCGAACGGCGTCCCGTCCCCGGCCAGGGCGTTCTCGAAGGCGTTTTTCTCGGGGTGCCACTGCACGGCGTACAAATTTTGGGAGCTTTCAATGGTCGAGACGAAGGGTCTCCCTTGCCGGTCTTTGTTCGTCGACACAACGTCAAACGAAGCTAACCGACGATCAGCCGCGAAGCGCGCCGGTTCGATGCCCCGGTAGTGGTTATTCATCGCCAGGGGCTGCGTGGCGAGGTCGCTCCTCAACTTAGATTGATACGCGCCGCCCAACAGATATGAAGCCACCGCCTTGGACGTTAACTCCAGGGCCATGCTGATATTCTCCGCATCGAACCCCGTCTGCAACGCCCCCGGCGCGAGAATCTCAACCAACCATTCAAAGCCGAGGCACGTCCCCCAGACGGGAAACGACTCGTTCCGCGTCGCCGCTTCGAGCGCGTATTCTACGGAAACGCGCGCGGCGTCGGGCAGGGGCGGGTTCGAGCCGCCCGGGAGGAGCACGCCGTCGAGCTGCTTCAATAGGTTGAGGGTGGTTGTATTGGATGCTACATAACTCAGCGGGACCGCAACACCACCAGCCATCTCGACCCACTTCACGTAGGACGACGCGACGTACTGCTTGAAGGGCGTGCGCGTCGAGGGCTGCGCCAGGATGCCGATGACGGGCACCTTTTGCGGTGGCAGCGGCGGCGACGACACCCGGCCTCGGCGCTTCTCGACGGCGACGGCGGCCGCGCCCGCAGCGATGACCAGAATGATGCGCATCGGTCCAGTAGCTGGTTGTGAACGGGAGCCGCTGTCTTTTTACGCCGCTGTGATGCGTGTGCAGTAATGAGAGCACTTGTGTTGTGGGAGAGCTGGCGGCGTTTAGCGTTCGCGCGCCGCTGTGCCCGTTGTTGGGATGGTCCAAGCGATCCGTAGAGTGGCAGAACCGGTCACAACTGTGACTGTATGCAGCGCTACGTATGCGTAAAAAAAGCTAGAGGCCATGCATCTCTAGCTCGCTGCATGCTCTGGCAATCGCAGGGGTGCCGCATAGCACTCTACCGCACGACCGGCAAGTGATAAGAAGCGCTCTCGCAGCGCTCACCACCATTGCGCCTCCTATCCGCCGCGGCGACGCCCAAAAGAGGATGCGCACAATAGCTCTCACGGTCGCTGCCTCGTGCCTGCTCGGCGTGGCCTGCCTCTCTTTACCGACGCGCAAGAACGTCCTGCAGGCGTCGGCCGGTGCCGCGTTAGCAACCACGCTGCCAGCACAAGCCGCCAAGGGCGACACCGCCACCCTGGAAACGACCGAAGGGACCATAACGATAGAATTGAAGCCCGAGTGGGCGCCCATTGGCGTCGAGCGCTTCAAGGAGTTGATCAATGTGGGCTTCTACGACGAAGCGAGATTCTTTAGAGTCGTGCCCGGCTTCATCGTGCAGTTCGGCCTGAGCGGAGACCCGGCCCTAAATAAAAAGTACAAGGCCGCCAACTTAAAAGACGACCCCGTCAAGGTCAGCAACAAGAAGGGCACTTTAGTTTTTGCGACGGCGGGCCCGAACACGCGCACGAGTCAAATGTTCATCAACTTCGGCGACAACGGCTTCCTCGACCGGCAGGGCTTCTCGCCCATCGGCGAGGTCACTTCTGGCTTAGATGTGGCGTTGAAGCTCAACGCGGAGTACGGCGAGAAGCCGAACCAGGGCAAGATCACGTCCCAGGGCAACGCGTACTTGCAGGAGGCGTTCCCGCGGCTGTCGTACATCAAGAAAGCATCGCTGTCGTGAGGTTCGTCTGTCGGTCGCCCGGTAACGTATTTCTAGTCGCCGATCCGTGCGGGGCGCGTCGACGGCTCTAGTAGGTCTATGAGTCTAGGTAGCTCCAGCCTCGGCCTTGAAGTGGTGCTCAAAACGCCCACTGCGCAGCCATTTATCAGGGCAGAAGCCATTCTCAACTCATTTATCGAGTGCGAGAGGCGGTAGCGCTTTGCCGGGAGCCTGCTCTTCTCTACAGGAGTTGAGGGAGGTGCGCTGCATCAGCAGCGCCGCGCGCGGGGACGCCGGCCGCGGTAAAATATGCCGCCGCACCGACGACGACGACGCGTACCACTCGTCCTCCTGCTGCGATGCGCCGCGGGCGTCCTCGAGGGCGTGCGCCCAACAACACCGAAGGCGAAGACGCTACACCTCAAAACACCCCGGACGCCAAGCGTCCTCGCGCCCATGCCCGACACAAGACCGAGCTGGTTCAAAGCAAAAGCCCCGGGCGGCCCCGGCAGCCGCTACGCTGAATTACGGAAGTCCATCGACGCCGGGAAGCTTAATACTGTGTGCGACGAGGCGGCCTGCCCGAACGCGGGCGAGTGCTGGGAGGGCGGCACGGCGACGATCATGTTGCTGGGCGAGGCGTGCACGCGCGGGTGTAGGTTCTGCAACGTCAAGACCGACACGGCGCCGCCGCCGCCGTCGGCCGACGAGCCTTTGGAAGCCGCTTTGGCTGTCGCCTCCTGGGGCGTCGACTACATCGTCCTTACCAGTGTAGACCGCGACGACCTTGATGATGGTGGTGCTGGTCATTTTGCCAAAACTGTGAATTTGCTCAAAGAATTACAACCATCTATACTGGTAGAGTGTTTGGTTTCGGACTTCGCGGGCGCCTATGAACCTTGTACCACGCTAGCGACGTGCGGCTTGGACGTCTACGCTCATAATGTGGAAACGGTCGAGCGATTGCAAGCGCGGGTCCGCGACCCGCGCGCGAATTACGCTCAAAGTTTGATGCAGTTGCGGCGGGCCAAGGCCGCCTCGGTCGATGCGCCTTCACCGATTCTGACCAAAACTTCATTGATGTTGGGTCTGGGCGAGACGCGCGATGAACTACGAAGGACCATGGCCGATCTGCGCGCTAATGGGGTGGACGTCGTGACCTTCGGCCAGTACCTCAGACCCACGGAAAAGCATTTATCCGTGGTGGAATATGTACACCCCGACGTCTTCGAGGAGCTGCGCGAGGAGGCCGTCTCGGAATTCGGGTTCGAGTACTGCGCGTCGGGGCCGATGGTCCGGTCCTCCTACAAGGCGGGCGAGTTCTACCTCCAGAACCTGCTGGAGAAACGAAGGGAGGTGGACGTCGAGTTCGGGTAAGGTTGTAGAAATGAATTTTGATGCTCCGCGTCGACGGCGTCTGCGAGCTAGGTTTCAGACCAGGAAAAACTACTCCTTATCCATCTTCTCGCGCATCAGCTCGTCCTTCGCCGAGCGCTGGACGCCGTCCACCAGTCTCCCCACGTTCAGCTTGATCTCGTCGACGCCGAGCGCCGAGCCCTCGTCCTCCTCGTCCCAGGACGCCGACAAAGCGCCGAAGCCGATCCCCAACAACCCCAGCACCCAGGGCACGGTCGTCGCGGCCGCGACCGCCGTCGGCTGGAAGACGTTGTCCTCATTTGTCGCCTGGAAGTAGAACCACACAAACACGCCGATGCCCAGGAACACGGGGACGCCCCCGAACGTCGCCATGCGCAGGATCATCCTATTGGCGACGGCGTCGGGCACCCTTGCGGCTTCCACTCCCTTTTCGGCGACGTAGGCGTCGCGCTCCTTCAAATCCTCCATGGCTTCCGTTTGCACTTGGGCGCGGTCCTTTTCTTCCGCCAGCAAGGTCTGCAAAAGTTGTGAGTTGCCCTCGGGCGTCGTCGCGGCCGCCACACCGACGTCGTCGGTGAGGGCCTTTTTCGCCGGCGGCTTGGGCGGAGGCTTGTAGTCAAAGCCCTTCTTTTCCTTCTTCTTCGCTTGACAGAGCGTGTGTTGTCGTCGTCGCGGTGGTGTTACGAGTGCCGCAGCGTGGGCGCAGAGCAGCAGCGTGAGCACGCCGCGGAGGGTCATGTTGACGTCGCGTGAGCAGCTCTTGTACGTCGCGTGAGAGCTCTTGCACAGGCACTGAGGCGTCAAGTGCTTGTAGGTCCGGTTTGACCGCGATTCGCCAGCCGAAACTTGCGTGGTCGTTCTGCAGCTATACTGGTGGCGTAGAGGCACCGCAGCAACCACTAATGGCTGGTAGATGCCGCGCTTAAGGGCGTTTTGGTCCAAGCTCTGCTTCAATGCTAGTGTCTTACCGGCCGCTAGCTCCGCATGCGTGGATGAGACCCAAAAAGAGCGTATTAATCCGCCGCTGCGGGCTAGTCCCTGATAAAGTGATTAACTAAACCTCAATTTCAACGCTCGAAGCCCATTCATTTCCTCCTGAGAGCCAGGAGCAGCCTAAACACACCCCTTGCGTGGAGGCAGTCTGAGCGGGGTAGACGTCGACGCGCCCGTTAAGTAACGATGGGCATCAACAAGGACAACCTCCTCAGCGACGAGCACCACGCGTCGCACTTCTCGTGCGCTATCTGTCAAGACCTGAGCGAGAGCCCCGTGACGTTGGCGTGCAGCCACGTCTTCTGCGAATTTTGTATTGGAGAGTATGTAGCCAGGTGCCTCGACCGGCAGCAGAACGCCCTGTGTCCCACGTGTCGTGCGTCCGATTGTTCATCGGCCGCAAAACTCTCGGAGGCGAACCCGCTCGCCTTCCGCTGCTACGCCAAGGTACAGACGCGGTGCCCCCTCCACAAGCAGGGCTGCGCCTGGACGGGGGACCTCGGGAGTCTCCAGGGACACCTCACGAACTCAGACTCGCACCTTCAGAAAGGCATGTCGCAGGGCGACGTCTACGACGCCCTCAAGCGCGAAGGCGACGAGCGGTACCGGGCAAGGGCTTACGACCAGGCCGCCGAGCTCTACTCGAAGGCGGCCGCCGTGGCGCCGGAGCGGGCCCAGGCCTTCGCGAACCGCGCCGCCTGCCGCCTCATGGCGCATAGGTATGAAGAATGCGTCCAGGACTGCGACCAGGCGCTGCGGCGGGACCCCGCGCTCGCGAACGCGGCGACGCGGCGCGCGCGAGCCTTGCTCGAGCTGGGCCGCACGGAGGACGCGCAGCGCGGCCTTCGTGACTTCGCGGCGACGAACGGCGGCGGCCAGGCCGTCGGCGACGAGGCGCGCCGCGTCGACAGGGTCGCCACCGCCGTCGCTGATGGGCGACGAGCATTCGCCGACGGCGACCTCATGCATGCGCGGGCGTCCTTCGCCGGCGCGCTCCGCGACGCCGAGTCGGCGCCGGTCGTTCTAGGCGCCGCGGCGGCGGAGCTCGGCCTCGGCAAGATCGACCGGTGCCTGCGGCTGTGCCTCCAGGTGCTGCGGCGCGCCGACGCGGCGCGCTGGCGGCCAGCCGCACTCGTCGTGCGCGGGGCCGCCACCTTGCTCAGCGACGAGGGCTCGCAGGCGGTCGAGATCCTGCGGGAAGCGTTAAGACTCGATCCGGACGGCGCCGCGCCGAAGGCGACGCTGCGGGCGGCGTTGAGGGTGGTGAAGAGGCGCAAAGAAGCGCGGGACCTCGCGACGAAGCGGTCGTTCGCCGACGCAGCGGCCGCTTATGATAGGCTGCTCGCGGACGATCTGGCAGGTGCCGGGGCCGCATTGGACGGCTTCCCCGCGCTCGCCGTGCTGGCCGCGCGGTCGCCACTGTACGCTCGCTGCCGCGCCGAGCGCGGGACGTGCCGACTGCGCACGGGCGACGCCGACGCCGCGCTCAAGGACTGCGCGGCGGCGTTGTACGTCGTCGACGATCTGGTGGACGCGCACTTGTGCCGGGCGAATGCGCTTCGCGCTCTCGGTCGCCACGCAGAGGCGCGAAAACATCTGAAGGACATCATCGACGAGAGCTGGGGCGGGTCGGATGTTAGAGTGAAGCATGCCTTCGAGCAGGCCGATTTCGACCTGCGGCGGACGAAGCGCCCCGACTACTACGCTCTCTTAAACTGCCGCCAGGTGTCGTCGGAGCGCGAGATCAAGGGCGCCTACCATGCGCAGTCGCTCCTACACCACCCGGACCGGCACGCGACGGCTCCCCCAGAAGTCCAGAAAGCCGAGGCCGAGGTCTTCAAGCGGCTCGGCGAAGCACTGGACATCCTCGGCGACCCCCAGAAGCGCGAACTCTACGACAAGGGCTTCGACAAAGAAGCTATCCACGCCAAGTTGGAGGCCGCGAAGCGCGCTTCCCAGAACCACTCGTGCAGCGGCGGCGGCGGCTGCGGCGGCTGCGGCTGATTGCTCGTCCCTTTTTTGCATAATTCTTTCTGTCCAGTTGATTCAGTCTATACAGGTCGCACGCGTCGGGCAAATTAAAACGGGTTTTCCAGCGCGATTTTTTGGCGCGCCCGGTCAATAGAGGCGTTCTCAGCCGCGCCGACGTCGCGCGCCGAGGCGAATCACTGTCATCTTCACGCCAAAGCGGCCATTTTTCTCTGCCGGTCAGAGACAGTACAAAATCGGACCAAACTGGTGTTGACGCTAGCCTAACCTTGCGACGCGGCGGCGAGGCGGTGCGTACAGGAGACTCGTCCTAAGTCAGACTACGATTTGCAACAAATGGGTTACATCGACCCCAAGCTCGTCGAAGGCGCGGCCGCGCTCGTCGAATCCTTCACGTGTGCCATTTGCTTTAACCTCTTCGAAAAGCCGCGGACCGCGTGCTCCAAGGGCCACACCTTCTGCGCGGAGTGTCTCACCGCCGCGCGCGCCCGGGCGCCCGATAATTGCCCGACGTGCCGCGAGGACTCGGAGCTTAACGTGCCATCAAAACCGCTCGAGAACATGCTCGACGAGCTCCGGATCCGCTGCTGCCACGGCCCCGACGCGGCGACGGCGGAGGAGCGCGGCGCGAAGCGCCAGAGGACGGGCGCGGCCGACGCGCCGGAGGAGGTCGTCCCCGGCGACTGCTGCAAGTGGATTGGCCGCGTCGCCGACTACAAAGGGCACCTCGCGAACGACTGCCAGCTCGCGCCGCACGCGTGCCCGTTCTACGGCTGCGACTTCAAGGGCACGCGCAAGGAGCTCGCCCAGCACTACGTCGACGCGGCCGCCGAGCACGCGTCCGAGGCATGCGCGAAGATAGAGAGCCTCGAGGCCCTGTTAGATGAGACGGTCGACGACGTGAACGCCGTGAATGAACATAACAACACTCTCGGCGAGCGCTTGTTGACCCTCAGCAACCGGACTGATGGTCACGATGCAGGGACACCGCAGCTGGAGCAGCAGGCGAGTTCGCTCAAGTTCTTTCAAAACTGCACCGTCGTAGACGTGGACTTCGCCCTGGAAGCCCAAGCGCTGAACGCTGTTTACAGAGGTAGTGGGACGCGGACCATCGAGCTGGCGTCGTGCAGCGTCTGGAGCGGCCTAGATATGCAGCTGAGTTGGCTCGTGCGCAAGTGTCCAGAACACGGTACAAAAACTCATAGCTTAGTCCTCGAGTTAGTGCCGCTCTGTCCCAATGACCGTGAACTCATTACTTGCTTTGGCAAGCTTGCGCCCGTCGACGAAGAAGGCAAGACGGTTCAATATACTTTAAGTTCGCGTTCCAACCCGCTCCAGTTCAAGCACACGCAGCTGTCAAACGCGCTACCTTTGGGAGCTTTCGAACACGTGTTCGGCCAGGCTCGTTTCTTGCACAACACGAGCCGCTACTACCTCAAGGCCCGGCTTTACTTCAGCTCCCCGTTTCGCGAGGGCAGTCTCAACGGCGACCCTGCCTTTTGTACGATTAACGTCCGCACACTGTGTGGTCAGAAATGGTGCGAGAAGGTTCGTCCCGGTGATACTGTCCTAGCGTTAAAGCAGAAGATTTGCGACAGCAAGAATATCCCGGTCGCGCAGCAGCGCTTGATAATCAGAGGAAAGCAGTTAAAGGACGAGAAGCGCCTCTACGAGTCGAAGGTCTTCGACGGCGCAATTGTGCACTTGGTATTGCGCCTGGGCCGAGGCAACTAGAGCTACTACAGAGTAAAGTTCGAACAACACATATACTTAGGGCAACGCCTCCGAGGAGGCGTCCCGGATCAGCGCCTCCTTCTCCCCCTGCAGGTCCCCCGCCATGCGCAGGAACGGCAGCGACAGCGCGAGCCAGGCAGCTGTGACGAACAGCGCCAGCTGCGAGTCGTCGTACACCTGGTTCAGGACCGCATAAGCTAGGGGCGGCGCCCAGCTTAATATTTGCGCCGCGAAGTAGTACAACGCCATGAACTGCGCGACCGCGTCCGGCGGGACCAGTTCCGTCCACGCGGCGTTGTTCGCGGCATAGAACACGCCGAACCCCACGCCCCAGATCGGCGCGAACAACCAGACCCGATCTCGACACGCCGGCCCGCACAATACGAACGCCGCCAGTATTGTTGTCAAAACCATATATGCTATGGTACATATCAACGTCTTGCGCGCTCCGAGATATCGCATGCACCTCGGTGCGCTCGCCGACGCCGGCACGGCAAACACAACACAGAGCGCCATCACTAAGACCGTTGTAGAACCATCGACCCGCAATCGATCGTGCATGAACACGACACTCAGACTCCCGAAGGAGCCCATGCCGGCGGCGGCACACGCGTACCCGCTCAAGAAGAACCTCGCCGCCGGCCGTCGTCGTTTCAGCGTCGTCCAGCTGTTCCAGACCTCATTTAAAGCAGTTAAGAATAACGAGGCACCTTCTGGTAAGACTTTGGTCGGCGCGTGGTCGCGGAAGGCGCAACTGACTAGATCTCTTCTACCCGTCCAGACGCAGGCGTAGACCACAAACAGCAAACTCCCAACAATACCTTGCGCGACGGCCGCCGTCGCCGTATCCCCTAGATCGAACCAGAAGGCGACGCTCGAGACGAATAAAGTGATCGACAATTGGGTAGCTAGCGCGGCGGCGTTCGCCACGGAATTGATCTTATATCTTTCTTGTGGATCATCAACCCAGCCGTGCTCCGTCGGTTTTACCATGCTCAATCCTGGTAGGTAGGACAGCACCGAGACTTGATGGCAGACGTACGACGCGATGGACAGCGCCATGCCTATCGAACAGTAGAACCAGGTTTGTTTCGAGATGGATGCTTGCCCTAGCGTCGTAAAGCATAGAATCCAGGCCGACGTGGCGCCTAAATGGCGCCTTTTCGACGTGTAGTCGACCGCGGCGCCGACCAACGGCATGAGCGCCGTCGCGGAGAACTGCCCGCACATGATTATCGTCGTTAAGAATGATGAGGGTTTTAATCCGTACACCTTGTTCGAGCAGCCCTGGTCCTCGTCGACGTCCTCGGGCGCGGGGCATCCTGCTGCCAAAGTGGCTAATCGTAACACCGCAATATTAAAAAAGACGTTCGTGGCTAACACGCCACCGGCCGCAACATTGTCCCACAAAAACCCCGGCGTCTCCGAGGCCTGCCAGTCTCCTAACGAGATGCAGGGCATCGTCAGCAGCGTGCCGCTGCTGCGGCGGCGCCGCGGCGGTGTTTGTAGGAGCGGTGTCTCCTCAATGGCTTCTACTGTGGATGTTCGGCGGCTTCTCGGGCTTCCTGGCGCGGTGGTGGTGGGGTCGTCGCTCGCGGGCGCCGCTGCGATTGTGTTGTGAGTGCTGTGGTGGCTGCAGCTGACAGAGAGCTACAGCTTGGCGGCTCGGACTGCCGCCGCTTATTGGATACGGTTCAGGCGTGCTGTGAACAGCGCTTGGGTGCGCGGGCAGAGAACAGACGCGTAACAAAAGCACGCAAGCCAGCAAGTCGAGCTAGCGGCCTGTGAGGCACTAGCAATGGTAACATCTCTCGTGCCGCTGGTGTCAACGCCTCGCGGCGAGAACCCATGGGTTGCAGCACCCCCGTGTGGTAGGGTGCGGGGTTCGAAGCCCGCATTTCGTCTCCAGTGGCATCCTCTCCAGGCCGGCCGCAAAAGACGCGTCGGGCCCGTGCACAGGACGCCGACGCGCGCGGGGCGCTCCTCCTGATCCATCAGCACAGGAGGACCAATCGTCGTCTGCGTCTGGGGCTGCCCTGGCCCAGCCTGGGCTGCCTGGGCTCTACCCAGAGACGCGTGCGCGCGAGCCATTCATCAAACCGGAGCGAGCAGCGCTGCGAGCCCAACCATATCAGTGAAGCATGGACGTCGACGACCGATTAGAATTGAGGGTGGTGAGCGCGCGGGACCTGCCCGAAGTAGAAGGAGGCGACTGCAATCCGTTCGTGCTCGTGAAGTGCGGCGGCGAGGCGGAGCAGACGCACGTCGTGAATAGTAGCCAGAATCCCGAGTGGACGACGCAGCGCATGATCTTCCTGGACGTGGCCGAGAACGACGTCGATCACGTCGTGTTGTCTGTGTGGCACAAGAACCTCGGAGGGGGGTCTGATGTGCCGCTCGGGCAGGCCATCGTGTATCTGAGGACCGTTGTATTGTCACCGGGCATCGAGCAGGACGATCGCATCGAATTGACGCCGGTCCCGGGCCAGACCAATGAATGTTCAGGTAGTTTACGAGTAGAATTGTCCTACTTCGTGGGCGATACGGATCTGCTGGACGACGACGCTTCCGACGACGAGGATGTCGGGGCCAAGCCCAACATGCTCGTGGGTACCTTCAAAAGAGCGAGGGGCTTACAGAAGACCGCTGATGTGTATTGCTCGATATCTTGCGACGGCAAGAAGGCTCGATCCCAAGTGATAAAGCGTACAAAAGGTCCGCTGTTCGACCACGACTTCAAGGTACCCGTATCTGATGGGACCAAAGAAGTCCTGATAAAACTCAAAGATAAAGGAGTGTTAAGTACGAAGCTCATCGGGGAATGTGCCGTACCCATGGTGGAAGTTGCGGCGCATGGGGATATTGGCTTACAAAGGTGGTTCCGGTTAGTAGGTGCTGGGGGCTCTGTCGGTGGCGAGGAGCGGGGCCAAGTAGAAGTATCGCTCGCGTGGGTTTATGACAGAAAATACGCTAGATCCGCCGCTCGTTTACTCGCGGGCGCGGCGGATGTCCTCGCAGCCGCAGGGAACGTGTTTGCGCGCAAGAAACAGGAACCGCGTATTGATGAAGACGACAAACCGACGGACGAGGACGCCTGGATGCTCGAGGATACAGAAGATATGGTACCCCTGAAATTAACCTCCAAAGAGCAGGAGGAGGTGAATGAGCGTAGGGATGCGGGCGTGATGATGGCCGATCGAGCGGTCGATGAATTAAATCAGCGGTTAGCGGATCGGCTCGAGCCGGGCGACTATCAGGTGCAAGTGCACGTCATTGAGTGTCGGGAGCTGAAAGCGGAAGACTTGAATGGTTTAAGTGATCCCTACGCGCGCGTCAAGGTGCTGGATCGAGTGAGGAAGACGCGCGTCATCAAGAAATGTACCAGTTGTGTCTTCGATGAAGTGTTGTATTTCAATTTCCGGGATATGAAGCCGAACAAGATCGCCGAAGCGTGTGTCGACATTAGCATATTGGATTATGATGCGATCGGTAGTCATGCATTGATAGGTGTGACGTCCTTTACGTGTGGATACGTCCACGCGCAAGAGGGTCACGAGATCTACCGGAAGTGGTGCGGCATCGTGGATAACAAAAATGCAGATGATAACGGGTACCAGGGCTACGTCAAAGTTTCTGTTACTGTACTCGGACCGGGAGACGAACAAAAAGCTCATGATGTCGACCGCGAGTACCAAGAAGAGATCGAGCGAGAACAGGAAAGTGGTGATGCGGGCGGCATGGGCGTGAGTGGACCGGAAGATGTGGAGGGCAAACTGAGGTTTTTGGTGGTCTACGTGTGGGAGGCCGAAGATTTACCCCAAATGGACGCGTCCGGTTACTTTTCATCAGGTGGTATTGAAGCCTACGTGCGTTGTGAATTTTGTGGGATCCACGCCAGAACTTGTTCCGTGTCTGTCTCCGGTAAAGGTAACCTCGCGCCCGAATTCCGGGAGGAGCTGTGGCTACCAGTGACCGAACCTACAGACGCGTCGACCGTCACAGTAGGCCTGTGGGACTACAACTCTTGGTCACGTGACAGAGCAGTAGCTCATTTACATCTACCTTATGCGGAGATCAAGAGAGATAATCGACGGGTGAAATTCTCGATGCTCACGATGCAGAAATATGCCGGCCCGCGGCCGCGGTGGCACAACCTGTACGGGGCTCCATTAGGTATACAGGGTAAGCGAGGCGCCTTGCAGAATCGTTTCGGGGACGAGGCGTCGACGTATCGAGGGAGAGTATTGTTATCTTGTGAGGTGTTGGAGCGGCCCCCGAAGGGCGCGAAGACGGTAGCACATACGCGAGCCTTCCGGCACCGGGCCTTACCTGGTTTGAAACCGTCAAGAGTGAAATACCACCTGCGATGCCTCGCCGTGCTCGGGTCGGAGATCCCCGCCTTCCGGAGTCCTTCTGTTGTAAAAGGTGGAACGGCGCAGATGCGTCTCGTCGTCTCTATTGGAAGACACCAGCTCATCTTCGGGTTCCGGAAGAATGAACGAGGATTGGTGGAATTCCATGAATTGCAACAACTCAAAAATGTTGAACTACCTGTGCTATTGGAGGAGTTACCAGATGTATGTATCTACCTGCAGCGGGGGCCGCCGCGGATTATGACCGTGTGTTACGCGCGCGTGCCGGCGGCCGCTTTGCTCAAGGAGCAATTTCGGGGCGACCCGAGGTGGATCCAACTCATACCGGATAAATGTCGGACCAAGAGGATGGGCGGCGTCGACCTCGAGAACAACCCCGGGGCGGTATTACTTAAGCTAGGCTTGGGCTTAAGTGAAGATGCGATCTGTCCTGAATTTAGTTGGAACGAGCAATTGTTACTTAAAGAAGCTACCACAAAGAAGCCCTATGCGATACGCGTATATATCTACCAAGCGAGGCACCTACCGGCGTCCGATGAAAATGGTCTACTAGATCCCTACGTGAAAGTTCGATTTTGTGGGAATAAACAAAAAACAAAAAAGCACGACATGACCACTAGTCCCTTGTTTTATGAGACATTGCAATTTAGCGAGGAATTACCTGAGGATCCGCTCTATGGTCCCGACGTCGTCCTCCAGGTCTGGGACGCCGATAGGATGGGTACCAATACCCATATGGCGTTGCTGAGGATGCCCATGAGTGAACTGGAGGAGTTATCCTCGGAAGCGGCAAGGCCCCCGGAGCCGACGTGGCGGCCCTTATCTGATGTAAGTGGTGAGCCCTGCGGCGGTGAGTTGCTGTGTTGCGGGGCTCGCATCCGGAAACACTCCACCAAAGAAAAAACGGCCAGACCGGAACCCATTACTCCAGCAATGAGGCAAGCTTGGGTCGAGGTCACGGTCCTAGGTGTACGCCAGTTGAAGACCTACAACCTGCAAACGCCGTCGGCACCTTACGTTAGAGTTGCGGTCCCAGGCCCTGGCGACGGGGGCGGCGAATTTAGGACACTATCTTCATCAAAACCGAACGCGAGGAACGCCAATTTTATCTATCGTAGAGTCATGTGCGTGGAAATGGCCGAACAAGCTCGATTCGGTCCCCAGCTCGATCTGAGAGTGTACAACGCCGGGTATACGTCTGATACCTTGTTGGGAGCTACGTCCGTCGATCTGTCCCACAAATTACCTTGGAATCCACAAGAATACGTCGCGCCGCAGTCGGAGTTATTTGACGACGCGGAACAGCGCCAAAGAGAAGCCGAGGCCGAGAAGAAGAAGGCGGCGGAAGCGGCGTTGCTCGAAGCGCAGGAGGATGCTGAAGACGAGTTCGCCGATGACAGTGGCGCGGTCGGCGTGTCGTTCGGGGCGGGTGATGGGGATAACGACGACGAGGATTCGAGTGATGGTGAGTCGATTGAACACCACGAGCTAGCAAGAAGAGAAAGCGCGGTTGTGGGAGACAACTACCAGGATAGTGGTGTGGGCGCCTTCGATTCGCTCATAGACCAGGCCCTGCCCGAGATCCACGAGGATGTCACTTACAAAGAAGAACAAGAACGCATCGCGGAAGAGATCGAGCACGAACAACATGAATCGGAAAACAAGGGCGGTCTGTTGTCGATGCTCGGGGCGCGCTTTTCATCGGTCGACACGGGTCTGGACACGCATGTGGATTACAAACTCAGCGAGCTACCGATAACGTTCCCGTCGCAGTGGGCCGCGGCCGACTACCTTGCGGGGCGGGAGTGGTGGGTCGCGCAGGGTGGGTTAGAGCTCGAAAGGTACTTAAAAACGCGGCCCTTCGAGACCTATCCGGTTTACAGAGGTAAAAGGCACCCCAATCCCGCCAAGAGTACTCTCAGAGAAGTAGGACACGTCAAGGCCATCATACGCGTCCTGGACGAGGACCCGCAGTTCGAGAACGAGCCCTTCTTCCCCATGGCTCTTTTACAACCTCAGATTTATGCTATTCGCGTGTATTGTATTCGGGGAGCCAACCTCCAACCGGTCGCGGGCACGTCGTGCGACCCCTACGTTCGCGTGAAGCTCGGCAAAGATACGGAGACGCGGGAGCACAAGAAGAAGACCCTCAAGCCGGACATCTACGAGACCTTTGAGTTCCGGACGACGCTACCAGGTCCCGCGGAGCTCAAAATTCAATTGAAGGACTACTCTCGCTTCAAGCCGGTCCACGAGCTGCTCGGCGAGACGAAGATAGATTTGGAGGATCGGTGGTTCCACAAACAGTGGCAGCAATTGGATGAGAAGGAAGGCAACTCGAAGAATAAACTCAAGCCCATCGAGATCCGAGCTCTGCGGAAGGAGGGTTCTAGAGTAGCTCGAGGTCAACTCCACATGTGGGTCGAGATTAGGCCTGAAAGAGAAGTGCAACGGGAAGCTCCCGTGGAACTCAGTGCACCAGAGCCCCAAGAGTTCGAGGTGCGCATCATCTGCTGGAAGACCAAAGAAGTCCCGTTCGAGTGCGGGGATTTCTATGCAGAATTTGAGCTTGGGGCTTCTGATCGTAAACGTTCGACGGATATCCACTGGCGCTGTCGGTCGGGACGAGCGTCGTGGAACTGGCGCATCAAGATGCCCATTACATTGCCTCTGGCTTCGCCGGAGATGGGCCGGCTGTCGGTGCTGCTGTGGGATAAAGATGTCGTCAAGTGGAATGATGTGGTGGGCCAGACGCAACTGGATTTATATCGCTGGTTATTGAAGGCCTACCGGGAGAATCGGTCCGTGAATGTTTTCAAGGAGATCAACGATGCTTTACGACGGAAAAGGGCGGAAGAGGCGGGGCTCGCGAACGAGAGCGACCTGGAGTCGTCCGACGGGAGTTCCGGGGACGAGGAGTCCGATGAGGACGAGGGCGACGGCGAGGGTGACGGCGGCGACGACGGCGAGGAGACGAAGGAGGAGCCCTCACCAGATAATGACGATGAGAAGTCCGCGTCGAGCAAAAAGAAGAAGAAGAAAAAGAAGGACAAGGACGAGAAGAGCGAGGCGTCCGAGCCGCCGCCGCCGCCGGACAAGCAGGAGATGGCCGACCGGGACGCGCATTACTTCGTCGAGCAACTCAAAACGATGGCGGGCATCGGGCCGCTCGACGAGACGGCGCAGTGGCTGCGGCTGACCTACAAGGACCAGAAACGACATAGGGTCGTCGCGCGGGGCTCCATCGCGATATCCGTGGAGATCCTGCCCAAGGAGGACGCCGACAATCGACCGGCGGGCGCGGGCATCTCCGAGCCGAACCAGAACCCCACGCTGCCACCAAGAACGGGCCGCATGGCCCTGTCGACGAACCCCTTCGCCGTGCTCCAGGAGCTCTTCGGGCCGCGGTGCGTCATGATCTTCTGCTGCTGTTTTTGTTTATGCGTCTTCTTCGTGCTCTGGTTCTACCTGGGCATGTACTACGTGAACATCTACACGGAGCTCGAGGCTTTCGGTCTGGTCGGTGGTGATGATGATGTCGAGGTGGACGATACGGTCGCGGCCGACGACGCGGCGACGGATGACGCGGCGCGGCGAATGTTGCGGGGGGCTTGGATGTAAGGAGGTTGTTTTGTTAGTCAGTGGTCTCACTAGGCGCTCGCGCTTGGGCGGGGCCTAGAGACCCGTGTGACATATCTTGTATATCTTATGTTCACACGAAAGGGGCCCTTCGTGGCCCGGTCTTGTATCAGGCACGACTCACACCATCAGAAGGACCGCCATGGTGCCGGCCAGCGCGGCGACGCCGACGGAGCGCGCCATCGCGCCGTCGTGATTGATGCCCTTGGTCACGACGTGAACTTGGAACGTGCTCTGGTAGTACTTGTCGCCGACGAACGCCGTGACAATGATTTGCCCCGTCTCGCCATAGGTGTAGCCATAGGCAACGTAAATTGCCGTGGCCGGCGTGCCTCCCGTCTCCTTGTTGACGACTGGCCCTGCGATCCCCGACAAACCGGTGCAGGAGACCTGAACTCCAGCATCGCCAGGAAGGGCCCGGTCGCCCTCGGCCGAGACGTCGCCTATGAGTCCCCCGAACGCCCAGTCGGACACCGTCACACCAGCGCTGGGTACCAACTCGGCGGTAACGTGTTCGTACCGTCCGAACTCGAAAGAAGTCTCTCCGGTCTCAGTGAGTTCGACCCCTTGTAGCGTGACGGTCAGCCCCGCGGTGGACAGCGGTCCGCTCGACTGGCCGTAAACGGCAGTGTCGACGTAGGGCGCGGAGCAGGTCCACTCCTTGGTGTAAGTAGCCCCTGGAGTGACCTCGAGGCTCGCCGCGACTCCGGCCTTGGCGTAGATCGTCGCCGTGCTGGCACCGAGGAGGAGAGAGACCGCGACGATCATTCCGAGGGCCTTCCTGGGCTGGCGCGGCTCCTCCTGGGGCGTCGTCTCTGGTATGGTGTTGTACATTGCTTCTTTTGGTGTCGTACTGTGCGTTGTAAGAGCAAATGGATGGCCAAAAAAGCTCTGGCCAGTTTGGGAACCCGTTTTTATCGCTCTCGCGCGGCGACCGCGCGCGCTTTTTTGCAAGCTCGTAGAGTCCCTGTGACGGCAAATTGTGGTGCGAGAGCGAAATTCTGCTCAAAACCGCTCACTGAGCCCAGACTGAGCATTTTTAAGGCCAACTTTAGCCACGGCCCGACAGCGGCGTAGCATTGCATAGTCGAGCGTACGTGATTAAATTCTCCCCGAAATGCCCCGCCTTGCATTAATTATCTCGGTCCTCGCGGCCGCCGCCGACGCCGCAGTCTACGGGCTCGAAGAAGACCTCCCCGACGCCGCCGCTGCGCCGAAGGACTACAAATTACCCGAGAAGGTCCGCCACATGGATGGTCCCCCGCCTGGAATCGACCTGTCGTCGTTGAGCGTCAAACCGAACATCATCAAGCAACCGGCGATGCCGAAGATCAACCGCAACGACGGCCTCGGCGACGACGACCCGCTGCCGCCGCTCGATAAATGCGACGCGTGTTTCGTCTTGTGGCGATCAATGGAGGGCGTGCTCGAGGCCGAGCCGAAGATGGACAAGGACCGAACCGACGTATTGGCGGGCGGGCGGCTCGACTCGCGTGGGGCGCAGACGGGTACGAAGCACAGCTACGCGACCTCCGAGGTCCGCGCGGCACGCCTCGTCGAGCGCGTCTGCGAGTTCGTCAACGTTTTTAGGTACAACGCCCAGGGGGCGTACTGGGTGAGGGACAAAGCTCTCGTCGCCGCCTTCGAGGCCGGCAAGGCATTGCCGAAGCCTCGTCAACTGGGCCGCCTGCCGACGGACGAGCTGCGCGTGAGCCTCGTCAACTACTGTTCTACAACCGTCGAGGACCACGAGGACGAAATCATGGCGCTTTTGCTCGCCGGCGGGTTGGGCGACGCGGGCCGGGCGGCGTTCTGCTCCGGAACGCGCAAGGACTGCCGCGGCGACGCCGTGGAGGCGGCGGCGAAGCGGCAAGGCATCGCAGATATCCTGGCGGGTATCAACGACGAGCCGCCCGCCGCGCCCGCGAAGAAGAAGAGACGACGGAAGAAGAAAAAGAAGCCTGTGGCCGCGGAGCTGTAGGGGGGGATATACGCGCATGCGTAAGAGTGGTGCGTCCAACTGCCAATCACATGCCGCTTTGCCCGGTTGCCAAGCAAGAGACAAGCAGAGTGGCAGTGCTGGCGGCTCACTGACCGCATTAATCGACCTCGGACGGCGTACTGTCGTGCAACACGACTCGCTGTCGCTGCTGCAGTTGCTGCTGCGTTGCCTAGTCGACTCGCCGCTCCTCTGCCCAGAACTGGGCTCAGCACTCAGGAGTGACAATGGGCATCAAAATCGGCCGCCTCGACTTCAAGGCCCACGGGCTTCTCGGCACGGCCGGCCTCGTGCTCCTCGGCGCCGCGCTCTGCTGCAGCACGGAAACCGCGCGGTACCTTATCATGGCCTCGATCCCCATCACGACGGGCCTGGCCTACGGGAGCTACGCGCTGCTGGGCCACGCGCCCGAAAGAACGGTCATCGCGCGCGGCATCGTCGCGCCGCACCGCGAGGCCTATAAGCGCGCCATCGGCGTCGTGCTTTATGTGAATGTGCGCCTGGCCTGGGCCTGCGACCTGCTCGGCGCGCGCGTCTATGGCGTCGCCTGCGCGCTGCTCGCGGCGAAACTAACACCAACCAAGGCCTTCGACAATGGGAACACCTTCGTCTTCGTCGTGCCCATTTTTTGTGGGGTGGGCCTCGATGCGGTCCGGCAGCTGCGCTGTATCGCGGCTCAAGAGTGCGCGTGGAACGCCGAGGTCGCGACGTTGAGAACGGTGGCGGCGGTGCAGTTTGTAGCATTACTGGTGTCGTTCGCGTTCACGCTGGGCTTCCGGGGCTACATCCGCCTCGCGCGGCTCTACGCGCTGTCGGCGGGCGCCGTCGCCGGCATCCTGGGCGCGCTGGCGGGCGGCGGATTGACGGGAGCCGTGGCCGTCGGAATGATTTCAGCGTTCCTCCTGGACCGCTGGATCGCCGCGCGGCCGCCGCCGGACCCCAAGACGCTCAAAACGCTCGCGGCCGTGGCCAAGGCCCTCGAGGCGGAGCCGGCCGTGAGACGCAACGCGCGGTCCTTCGCCGAGCTCGGGACGGAGGACGTCGTGAAGGTCACGCCACCGGTCGAGTCTTCGGTGAGGCCCAACCCCCGGTCCTTTGGCGAGCTCGGCGAGGCGGCGGCCGCGCCCGAGAAGCCGAATCTACTGGCGCGGGCGCGCTCCTGGCTCGCGGCTTCTGTCGATGAAGAGGAACTGGACGGGCCCGAGGACCGCATCGCCGTCGACCCGACGCATGACAACGTCCGCAAGTGCCTCGCGCTCGTGCCCGAAGCTTTCGCGAAACATCCGTCGGCGGAGGCCTGGGCGCGCCAGGCGCTGATTGTCCAACGCGGCAACGTCGAGTACGCGGCCAAGAAGCTGACCAAGCTCGCCGCGTTCCGCGACCGCTACGGCTGGGCCTACCGGCTTGACGTCGACGACCGCGTGGCCAAAGCGTTAAGGTCGGACATGCACTGGGTGCTGCCGGGCACGGACCGCCGCGGCCGCCGCGTCGTCGTCTACAACGCCCGAGCTTTGCGGCAGTCGAAGGACCTCGAGGCTCTGCAGAAGTCGCTATGTTTGTTGCTGGAACGGATCACGCGGGACGAGGAGACCGTGCGCCGCGGAGTGGTGGTGGTGGCGGACTGCTCGGGCTACTCGCTGTCGATGCTCCGGAAGCTGTCGGTGGTGGACGCGCGGCGCGGGTCGGACATGGTCGGCGACTTCCCCTGCCGCCTGCGCATGATCTACGCCGTGAACCTGCCGACGCTGTTGTCGCCGGTCGCGTCGTTTATCCGCGCCTGTCTGTCCAAGCGGCAGAAGGACCGGCTCCGCGTGAACGTGTCGCTGTCGAAGCTGGCGGACTTTGATCCGCTGCGTCTGCCGCCGTCGCTAGGTGGCAGTTTGGAGTTCGACTGGGCGGCGCTGGCGGAGGTTGTTGTCGAGGGCGGCGTGCCCGAGTAGTTTGTTGGTTGCTAACTTGTGTTCATACTAGTCTTACTCGGGAAATACGTAGGGGGCAAAATTGATGACCACGAAGGTAAAAACCATGGCGCCCCAACCGAACTTCCAACACATCCAGGCGAGAAAAACGATCGCGAAGGCACAAACCAAGTGGCCCGAAGAAGGGCACCAGGATTCGCGGGCGTGGAGCGCTGCCCGCGACTTTTTCAAATGCTGTTCTACATCGAGTACGACCGGATGCGCGTTTCCGAAAATGCGCCGCATGGTTCGTCCAATCTCCTCGAGCGTCGTCACGGCCTCGTGGAGATCGTCGAGGGGGGCGGCGGGGTCCGTGTAAAGCGCCGCCGCGTAAATCGCCCTCATCTTGAGCGTGGTGTTATTATTATCTCCAAGAGAGCGTCGCGCCACAAGTAGCCTTGTACGCAACAGCGACTTGGCTTCATCGAAGCGTCGTAGATGAAGAAAGGAATACGCGTAGTAAGCACGGCTCGACGCTCATCCTGACGACGGACTACGACCACAAGTCCACGGGCGAAAAATTGGGCTGCACCTACGCCAAGCTGCCGACGAGCGTCCACGCGGGCAACCAGATCCTCGTCGCGGACGGCTCGCTCGTGTTGGAGGTCCAGAAGGTCCTGAACGACAAGGAGGTGGCCTGCACGGTCATGAACGACTGCGCCATCGGCGAGCGCAAGAACATGAACTTACCGGGCGTGAAAGTGGACTTACCAGTCCTCCAAGAGAAGGACACGAAGGACTTGGTCGAGTTCGCGTGCCCGCAGAAAGTAGATTATGTCGCGGCGTCCTTCGTCCAGACGGCTGATGATGTGAAGACGATCCGGAAGACGCTCGACGGGGCGGGCGGCCAGCAGATCCAGATCATCTCCAAAATTGAAAATCAAGAAGGTCTGGAGAACTTTGCGGCCATCGCGGACGAGACGGACGCCGTCATGGTCGCGCGCGGCGACCTGGGCATGGAGATCCCGCCCGAGCGCGTGTTTAGAGCTCAAAAGATGATGATCGACACCTGTAATAGAGCGGGCACGCCCGTCATCGTGGCGACGCAGATGCTCGAGTCGATGACGTCAAACCCGCGGCCGACGCGCGCCGAGTGTTCCGATGTCGCGAACGCCGTGCTGGACGGCTGCGACGCCGTCATGTTGAGTGGAGAGACGGCCGGCGGCAAGTTCCCCCGCGAGGCCGTGTCCATCATGGCCCGCACCTGCGTCGAGGCCGAGGCCGAGATCGACTTCCAGAAGGCTTATGGTGCTATCCACGCCGCCGTGCGCGGCCATGGCGAGACGCTCGGCATCGTCGAGTCGACGGTCTCCGCCTGCGTGCAAGCGGCGGTGGATGCTGGCGCTAAGGCCGTCGTCGTGCTCGCGCGCACGGGCGCGACGGCCCAGCTCTTCTCGAAGTACAAGCTGCCCATGCCGGTGATCGTCGTCACGTGCTTCGACTACGTGGCGCGCCAGTGCGTGGCCCTCATCCCGGGCTGCCAGGCCGTGCACACCGGTGCATAAATCAAAATGTCGCGATCGACGCGCCCCGACTCACAATTTGCGCGCAGGTGCACACGCCCCAGTACACAAACTACGGCTACAATAACGCCGCCGGCGACGACGAATCCAAGATGGTCGCCGAGGGCACGAAGCACGCGGCCGAGATCGGCGTGATTACCAAGGCCGACGACATCGTCTGCGCGGTCCACGCCTACAAGGCCGGCGCGACGAAGAACGTCGCGATGCGGTTTTACTACGCCGGCGCCGCGCTCTAGGCCATCCCTCCCCATCCCCCCGTCGTGCCAGCCCCGTTTCGTGGTAATATACCCCATCGAATGCACACTGGCATTTTATAAAGACCCGCTCGGAGCGCAGACTGAGCGCGAGCCGCGAAACGCCCCGACAAAAGTAGTTGGCCAAAACAGCGCCTTATACACGCGCAAAGATAGCTAGCCCGTCGCCTCGAAGGACCGTTCCGCGCGGTAGTCGCTTCGGTAGTCCTTCGGCGGCGACGGCGTGTCGCGCTCGTCGCGGCGGCGGCCGTCGTAGGAGTCCTCGCGCCGCCGCCGCTCGGGCCGCGCCGTCGGCGAGTCGTCGCCGTCGTACGTCGGCCGCGCTCGGCGCCACCACGACGACCGCGCCGCGGGCTGGCGGTCGCGCGGCTCGTCGTACGACGACCCGCGGCTCGAGCGGCGCCACCAGGACGTCGTCTCGCGCGCGCGCTCCTTGGACTCGGAGTCGCCGCGCTGCCGCTGAGGCGCGTACTTGGGCTCGGCGGCGGCGGGCGCCGGCGCGCGCGCGGGCGCGGGCTCGGGCGCCGCCTCAATCCCCTCATCCCAGCGCGGCTCGGGCGACCGGCGCCAGTCGTCGGCGCGCCGCTGGTACGACTGCTCGCGGAGGCGCTCCTCCTCCTGGCGCTCGAAGTCGCGGCGCCGCGCCGCGTCGGCCTCGCGCCGCCGCGCGACGGCGGCCTCCTCTCTTTCAAACTCGAGGCGCTGGTCCTCCTCGCGCTGGCGCGCCGCCTCTTCTTCGAGTTCGCGGCGCTGCTCCTCGCGCGCGGCGCGCCGGCGCTGAATCTCGCGCTCGTGCGCCGCGTCCTCCTCGCGCCGCCGCCGCTCGGCCGCCGCGCGCTCCTCCGCGAGGGCTGCCTCGGCCTCGGCCTCCAGCCGCTCGAACTCGCGCCGCCGCGCGGCCAGCTCCTCGCGCCGCTTCTGGGCCTCGCGCTCGCGTTCTTCGTCCTCGCGGCGGCGCCGCTCCTCGGCCGCCTCGCGGGCCTTCCTCAGCTCATTCTCGGCCTCCTGCGCCCGCAGCGCCTCCTGGCGCTCGAACTCGCGGCGCCGCTCCTCGGCCTCGGCTTTTCTTTTGGCGGCGGCCTCCTCGATGAGCCGCTCCTCCTCCCTACGGCGTTCCTCGGCCAGCCTCAATGCTGCTTGACGCCTTTCATCCTCCTCTCGACGTCTTTCTTCAGCTAACCGCAGATCCTCTTCCCGCCTTCTACGATCGGCCTCCTGGGCCTCCTCGCGCTTCTTCGCTTCCAACCGCTCCGCCTCCCGCCGCTGGTCCTCGGCTCTACGCCTTCTACGTTCCTTGTCCTCGACCTCGGCTTCTTTTTGCCACGTCGACATGGGCGAGCCCTGTTCTGGTGGTGGCGACGAGTCGTTCACGCGGATCTTGGTCGAGGACGGCGGCTCCCAGGGCTCGCCGGCCTCCTCGCGCTCCAGGTCGGCCCAGGGGTCGTCGTCGTCCGACGGTGCTGGGCGTCTCCCATAAGGCGGCGCTCTAGATGAGCCGTCCGCGGCACTTCTTTGAGACGACGACGGCGTGTCGTCGGTCTTCCAGGGCGGCGGCGCGCGTTCCGGAGCACCGCCCAATCCTACAGAATCAAACGCCGGCGGCGGTCTATCTGGTTCCTTCGTCTTCCACAGCGGCGGCGGACTCTTCTTCCCCGTCCAGAGCGGTGGCGGCGACTTCGTCGTAGTTCTCGGAGAGTTCTTCCCCCATAAAGGAGGCGGACTTTTGCGCTTCTTCGGTTCCAACGGTTGCAAGGTAGGCGGCGACGTGTCCTGGGACTTGCGCCACGACGGCACGCGATCGAGTGGTGGGGGCGATTTCGTGGACGGCGCGTCGCCGCCCGACGAGCGCCACGACGGCGGCCGCCGCAATTTAGGCTGGTCGTCGCCCGGCGGTCTCCGACCAGGACCCTGGGCGTCGGGGTGGTCGTCGAAATTTCCCCTTCTTTGCGCCCTACCGTAGGCCGCCGCGCGGTCCATCGGCGACTGGTCGCCGTCGTCGTCCAGGAAGTCGCGCGACGGCCGCCGTCGCGTCCGCCACGACTCCTTCCTTTCGAGCTTGCGAGAACGAGCCGAGTCGGGCGCGTCGCGCCACGAGTCCTTCCGTCCGAACGTGGGAGAACCGTTGCCGTCGCGCCGCGACCGGCCCCAGCCCTCGGCCTTCTCCATGGGGCTCAGCTCGCCCCGCCGCTCTTCGTCGCGCACGGGCCGCCAGCGCTCCGTGCCGGACCGCGGGTCGAGCTCGCCCTCGTACTCGCGCGGCGGCGACCGCATGCGCGGCCGGTCGCGGCGGTACGGGTCCCGGTCCCGCGAATGTTCCCGTGACGCCGGCCGTGCGTACGGGTCCCGGTCCCGCGACGACGATGTCGGCCGCGCGTAGGGGTCCCGGTCCCGCGACGACGACGGCGGCCGCGCATACGGGTCGCGGTCCCGCGACGACGACGGCGGCCGTGCGTAGGGGTCCCGGTCCCGCGACGCCGGCCGCGCGTACGGGTCTCGGTCGCGGTCGCGCGCGTACGGGTCGCGCTCCCGGTACGGATCGCGGTCCCGCGCATACGGGTCGCGGTCCCGGGCGTACGGGTCCCGGTCACGCGCGTACGGGTCGCGGTCGCGCGCATACGGGTCGCGCGGACTCGGGTCCGGGCGTCGGTACGGGTCGCGGTCGCGGTACGGCAGGTCGCGCCGCGGCGGCAGCTCGTCGGAGGCGCGCCGCGGCTTCGGCCGTCGTAAGGACGACGACGACGACTCGCTGCGGTCGCTCCTCGCGCTGTTCGGCTGTTCGCGGTACGGGTCGCGCCGGTACGGGTCCCGTCTATAGGGAGACGCGTAGGGGTCGCGCTCGCGCCACGAGTCGCGCCGCGTCAGCGTGTTGATGCGCGGCGTGAGCTTGTCTCCTTCTCTACGCACGTCCCAGACCTCGTCGTAGCCGCTCGAGAAGGAGGGCCGCTGCGGCGGCGTGATGGGTTTGCCGTTCTCGCGGCGCGGCGGCGGCGCGGCTCTAGGTGTTGTTTTCGGCGGCGCGCCGGTCGGCGGCGCCGGTCGCACGCGAGGCAGCACGCGCACGCACGGCAACAACGAGGCCGTCGGCGGCGGCAGGGGCGGCGGCCGCAGCGCCGCTATGAGATCAGCCTTCTCGAAGCAGTGCGACGTGTCTATTCTACGCTCTCGAGCGACCCGCTTCAGCTGAGATATAGATAAAGCTTGCAGGTCCGCCTCCTTCGACCGCGGCTTCCTCGCGGACGGCATCGGCGAAGAGTAGGCCGACGTGTACGCCTGGCCGGGCACGGTGGCGTTGTACTGCTGGGCATGCCTCGGCGTCGCCTCGTTCGACGAGGACGTCGCCGGCGGCGGCCCCGAGTGCTCCTTCACGCCAGCGTCACGCAGAGTTTTGATGATGTCCGACTTCTCGAAGCAGCCTCGCAAGCTGACATTGTTCCGCCCGGCGAGGGCCTTGAGCTTCTTGATGGAAAGCTTGTCGAGGCTGAAGACGTCGGCCATGTTAGTAGTGGTACCTTCTTTCCCTAGGTGTGGGGCTTCCTTTCACTAGCCCATCGCTGGCGCGTGCGCGGCGCCTTCCGCGGGCAGCCCGGCGGCCATCGTTCCTCTCTCCCGTCCGCGTAGGGGCAGGGAACTGGTTGGGGCAACGCGCAGCTGTAGCGGCCCGTGAGGCTAGTATGTGCGCTGCGCGGCGACCCGCGCCTCCAGCGGCGCGCCGCGTGCGTTAGGGCTCCGGGCGACGGCTCGGAGCCGTTGCGCCGCTCTAGCCCAGCCCCTTCCCTGTCCCTGTATTTTACCCTCCTCAGCTATCGCATGCCAGCGGACGCGTCGCGACGCCTAGATACCTCTCGGAGTAGTCTTTGCAAAAGTCGCGCCGACGTCCGTGGCGTCGCTCGTCCTTGGTCTATCGTGGCGATGGCGTCGCGTCTTACACCACCCTAGATGTCCGGACCCCCTTGACGCCATCGACGCGCCCCCCGCGCAGGCCTACAACGAGCGCCACGAGCGCGTCGACCGCGCGGAGTCGAACCTCGCGGAGCCTACAACTGGCGCGCCGTCGCCACGGTGGACCTCGCACACATCTACTAGGCTTACACACAAAGATCACGCTCTCTAGCTATGAGCGCCGCGTCGATACTGGCGACGAGGCGGCCCTCGAGGTCGAGGAAGTCCTGGGCGCGCGCGTAGTTGCGCTCGATCGCCGCGGCGGGAGGCGGCGCATCGAGGGCGCGCCCAACGGCCGCGACGGCGGCGCGCGCCACGGCCGCGACGTCGCCGCCATCATCAATGAACACGACGCCGTCAACATCAAAACCGTGCGCCGCGAGGTCCGGGCAGCCCCAATAGACGGGTACAGTTCTCAATAAAAAGCAGTCCAGGAGCTTCTCCGTGAAGTAGCCCGCGCGCCGCACATTTTCAATAGCGACGTGGACGGCGAAGGGCGCTACACTACCAGCCTTGGCCTCGGGCGCGGCCGCGAGGACGCGGACTCCCTTATCACGTGGTAGCTTTGAATGTTCCGAGGCGAAGCGCACGATTCTAGCGTCCGCGGCGGCGGCGTCCCAGACCGCTCTTCTGATACGGTGGCCGCGCGTTAGTTTTTTGTCGCCTGCGTGTTTTTTGCGTCGGACGGCCGCGGCTCCACCCCCACGCCACCACGCCATCACCGCGACTCACGGGCGTGGACGGCCGCGGCCCTCTGAGTAGTACTTTGGACGCGGCAGGGCGCCGCAGACGAGCGAGGCCTTCGGCGCTTTGCTGCGCGGCGGCGCTGCCCAGACGTCGCGCGGCACCCACGTGCCGCCGTGCGCGAAGGGCGCCGAAGCTTTTCCGCGCGCCGCCGCGACGGCGGCCGCGTCGTGGCCGAGGACGAGGTCGAAGTAGTTTGGTTTGGCTCTTTGCGCCGCCCGCGAGACCTCCTCGGGCTCGAGCAGGACCAGGACCTGTGTGTTTTTTTCCTGTTTTTTTCGTGCCTCCTGTGTTTTTGCGACTTCGTGACTCTGTGACTCTCTCATCCAAAACATGACGTCCAGAGAAACGCCAGTCGACGCGTCGCCATCAAGGGCGCGAGACGAATCACGAGAGCTAGACGCCATCGCCGCGACGTCGTCCCGATGACGCCATCGCCGCGACGTCGTCCCGATGACGCCATCGAGCAGACGAGACCAGCCACGAAGGCGCCGCACAAGACGCGGCAAGTGGACCTTGAACGCCGGGCCATTTGTCGCCTTCTCGGGGCAGTCGACGCAGATCTCGACGGGCTCGCGGAACGCCGGGCGGATCTCCAGGTCCACCCACGGCAGCGCGGGCGGTTGGAGCGCCGGCGCGGCGTCGCCGAGGAACGCGGACAGCCGGTCTAGCGCTATTGTTTTGGCGACTGTTCTTCGGCGTGCGGCGTCGATTTTCGTGTGGACTACGGCTTCGATTTTTCGAGTGGTGATTGCTGCCATGCTGCCGCAAGGCGGCCTGCTAGCCAGGGTCGCGTTTTTTGCGTTTATCTCCGCGTGACGGCGCTCGTTTCGCAGCCGGCTTCGCGAGGTGTGGCTGTGGGCTGCGTAGTTTGGGTTTTTGCGAGTTTCGGGCTCGAAGGTCGAGAATTGACCTGGCTGCGGTCAAATCGGGCAATTAGCGGGCCAAATCAAAAAATTTAGGGGTTTGCAAATGAACAATTTAGATAGCTTGCCGCCGGCGAAATCAGGTGTCCTTACGAAAAAATAGGAGTCGCAAGACCCCTGAGTGCAGTTTTGGCCAGACGTGTGAAACCACGTCCCAACGGAGTGGTCTAAGGCGCCAGTTTAAGGCACTGGTCTTCGGGCGCGGGTTCGAATCCCGCAGACTGTACTCTTTTTTTGATTTTTTTTTGTCTGCGACGACGAGACGACCATCCTGCCGGAGTTTGGGCCACATTGGTCGAGCTGAGCCTCATCGCGCAGCGCGCTTCGTCCGAATTTCGTGGGCTCTCGAATTGAGGCAGAGAGCGCTCCGACGAGGTCTACTATCGAGCGCGCACGCGTAGGGCGGCGGACCCCCCGCCTGCTCAAACAGCGCCTCAAGAGTGCGCTGCAGGTGCGAGAGCGAGGCAGCCCACGCACAGCAGCAAACCCCAAGACGATGGGCGGCCGCCGCGGCAAGGGCGGCAAGCGCCGCGGCGCGCCGGCGCTGGCCTTTTGCGGCGTCGACGAGGGCCTCACCCTCGACGAGTACGTGGGCGCCGCGTCGACCGAGCACCACGTCTCGACGCCGGGGCCCCAGTCGCCGCTCAAGTCGCCGCTGCGCGCCGCGCCGTCGCCGCCGAAGCGCCGGTCGCCGCTGAAGCCGCGGTCCGCGCTGCTGCCGCCGCTGTCCAAGGGCGAGCGGCGGCCCAAGTCCAACAAGAGCGTGCGCTTCACGCCCGGCACGGCCGGCAGCGTCCTGTCGAGCGACGACGAGCCGGAGGACGTGCCGGACCCGTCGAAGATCTGGGCCATGCCGCCGCCGCGCAAGTTCGACTACGAGTGGCGCTTCAACGCGCCCGCGAAGGTCCTCGTCCACGGCGTCGACATCAACGCGCGGCCGGGGCCCGTCGCCGAGGCGCCGCCCGCCGCGGAGCTGAGCATGATGAACCCCGTCGTGGCGCCGAACCAGGTCTCGCTCGCCGAGATGCGGCGAAGGCGCCGCGTCGAGCGGACGCGCCGGACGCTCCGGACGCCGTGGCTGCCCTCGCACGGCCACGTGCGGCGCGCGCCCTACGCGCCGAACGGCACGTACCTGTTTCCCACGCCCTCGTCGAACCTCCTGTCGAAGAAGGTCCGGACCCGGTTCGTTTCCCGCGTCTTGTGTTTTTCGTTTGCGCGAGACGTACGCCACGCCCCGCGGACCTCCACGCGGCGATGGCGTGCACCGCCCGCCGTCACCGCGCTACGCCGCGTCGACGCTCTCGATACACGCAGGCGGAGAGAGAAGCTCAAGAAGGAGCTAATCACGCTCGAGTCGGACCTCGTGGGCGGCCCCGAGGTGAGCACCATGGCCGAGAGCGAGCAGCACGGCCGCGTCCTGGGCGACATGTTGGACTTGCGGAAGGAACTCATGCGGACGATCGCGTCGCCGTGGCACCCGCGGATGGGGCGGAGGAGGTAAGTTTACTTTTGTTCACTTTCTGTTGATCGCGTCGGCGGCGTCGCGGCGGTGCCGTGGTATCCTCAGATCTGGTGGACTAGGAGTCGTTTCCGTGACAGAGCGGATTGCGCGCGGCGTCCTGCGCATCACGGCGACGGCGTGCTGCTTTCGCGTCGCTTCCCGGCCGCGGCGACGGCGTGGAGTGATGTCGGGGCGGTGCGTTGAGGTCGCACGCAATCGACGCGCCACGCCGCTGCGTCGCCGCAGAAGAGAAAAGTAGGGAAATTTACGAGACCGACTCCGCGACGGCCTCGGCGGCGAACCGCGCCCAGGCCGGCGGCGGCGCGCGTCCGGGCGGCGCGCCCGATTTTAGAGCGTTGATCCGAGCCTCGACGGTCGGGTGCGTCCGGAGCCAGCGCGACGGCCCGTCGTCGTTGCTAAAGTACGCGTGCGCGTAGGCGCCCGCCCGCGCGTGCAGCTTGTCCCGCGGCGCGCCCGCGGCCTCGATCTTCTTGAGCGCGCCCGCCAGCGCGCCGGCGTCGACGAACTGCGCGGCGACGGCGTCCGCGGCGAACTCGTCGCGCCGGCTTCCCGCCTGCGTTGCGATTTTTTAGTCTTCGGCGAGGCTCCCACCTCCACGCCATCGCCCGCGTGATTTTGCGCGCGGATTCATGCGAGACGGAGCAGCAGCCCCGCGGCCGACGAGGCGGCGCCCGCGGCGGCGAGGGCCGCGGCGACGGACGCGTCCGATTTCTCTTTTCGCTTGTTCGCTACCATGCGGTCGCCGGCGCGTTTCGCGGCCGAGAGGCCCGAGAGCATGGCCGCGGCTTGTGCGGCGCGGCCCGTGTCGCCGTGCTTGAGGTGGCCGACTTCGTGGGCCACGACGGCCTCGAGCTCCCGCCTGCGTCGCGGTGTCCTTTCTTCGCGACTTGCGCGGCGTGGCGATGGCGTGGTGTGGCTGCTTGGCCTCGACGCGCAGGCACGCTATCGACGCGAGGTACGTCGTCGAGATTTCGGCACGGGTCTGCGCCGGTCGAGGAGATCCACGAGCCCTTGCGTCACGGCCACGACGCGGTCGCGGCCGCGGCCCGCGGCAAACGCGTTCGGTTCCTTGGTCGGCACGATGTACGCGGCCGGCGCGGGCATTTTCGCGGCGGCGGCGGTCTTTGCCACGGCGTCGCGAACGCTACACGGCACGCCGACCGTCGTGCCGCCCATCATCTCGGCGACTCGCCGGCCACCTGCGTGTGTTACCAGTGAGTCGAGCTGACGTCGCGTCGATAGCGTGGAGGTCCAGCGAGCTGACATCGCGTCACCGGCACGCCATCGAGCAGACGCCATCGAGCAGACGCGTCGATGGCGTGGAGACGATATAAAAAGGACGCCGCGTACGAGCCGCCCGGCATGATGTGATCCCAGGCGAGGGCCCACGCCGTCCCGCTCGCGACGGACGACGCGTAGAGCCCTGCCGCGGGCAGGCCGGCCCATCCCCAGAGGAAACCAGTGAACGCAGACACGACGCCGCCGAACGCGGCCCACTGCCCGACGGCCGGCAGCGCCGCGGCGACGCTGCGCTCGAGCTTTTCCACTTGTTCGGTCGTGAGGATGACGCGCGGCTGCTGGTGTGGTCTTTTGATGAGCTGCGGGGCTGGTTGGAGCTGCAGCGCGGCTGCGTTTGTTGCGCAGAGTAGTAAGATGAGCTGCGGGGCTGGTTGGAGCTGCAGCGCGGCTGCGTTTGTTGCGCAGAGTAGTAAGCATTGGGTTCGTAGTCGCATTGTGCTCGTTGATACGCGGCGCTGCTTTCTCAGGGCGGCGCGACGGATGTCCTGAGCCGATTCAGCTGCTTTGCCGCAGCCTTTCTCGTTCACCGCGTGCGTGCGCCGCGGTCAACTGCGAGGACACCTGGAACTGAGATCCGAGGAGCTTTCTGCCCGGGGTCGCTTGGTGCGCTCGATACGAGTACGGAGGCTTCTCCTGGAGCGCCTAGAGACCCCTGGTGGAGATAATAGGAGACTAGTTCGCCGACGGCGCGCGCGCGGCCCTCGGGGTGGCTCAAAAAGACGGGGGCGCGGCCGGGGCACAAAAAAAACAAAACAAAAAAAACAAAAAAAAGAGACATCTACCTGAAACTGGCGCCTTAGACCGCTCGGCAAACTCAACCTTGATGTTCAGGTTTCAGATCCGCGATGTATCTACGGACCGTGGGGTTAGGATCGTTCCGACTAGAGAACTCGAACCCACGCCTTCGAAAAGACCAGTACTTCCAAGCGTCTCGAGAGCTGATTCCCTTATTCCTTGCGATTTACACGGGACCGACAAAAAACCCGCGCCAAGGCAAGATCACGGGTCAAGTGACAATCGTTAAGCACAAAAACACCACCACCACACAAACATCGCGCCAGTCAAGAAGCCTCGAGCCGCGCCCGCACCTCCGAACACAACACCCGCGAAAAAGCCATCGGCGGCTCTCCCTTCGAAATACGGACGGCGTACTTCAGCCGCCAGAGAACGCGCTTCACGCCCCGCTGCGGAAAGCCGGCCGCCGCCGCCGCCTCGCCGAACTCGCGGCCCCATAAAAGACGGAACTTTTTCGGGAGGTGTGCGAGCGCGACGCCGCCGTCGCCGTGTTCTAGAATCGCGGCGACGACGCGCGCCGCGAACACATGAGCGCGCGCCTCGCCCGGTGCGGGCCCGAGCGCCTCGATCAGTAACGGCAGGCGCCGTGTCACTCGAGCGTCCTCATCAACCACGCCGCTCAAGTAATCGCGCGCCGCCCGCGCCTCCACGAAGGCGGCGTCGTCGCCGACCGCCCGGTCGGGGTGCGTCGCGAGCGCTTTTTCCCGAAACGCGTCCCTTACGTGAACCGCGTCGAGCGCGCCGGCCGCGGGCAAACCCAACGCCGTGCGACTCGCTTTATCTTTCGCGCGGTCCGCGTGCCGCCGCAAAAAGTCGCGCAGCTCGGGGTGCCCGGCCGCGTCGGCGTCGTCCGAGGCGCGGCCGCCCGTCGCGTCCAGCACGGCGTCGTCGGCGCCGAGGCTGCGTGCGTGGCGCGTCGATGGCGTGGCGCGTGGCGCCCGTTCTCTGGACGTGGCGCGGCGACGGCGTTGAGGCGGACGTGTACATCAGTCAACGGCGTAGAGGAGACAGCGTCGAGGCGGACGCGTCCCCATCGGTACGCTTTAGACGCGACGAACACGTACACAGTCAGCACGCCGTCGACGCGACGACGGCAGACAACGCGCGATGCACAACGCGAAGGAACAACAGGACGCCGCAAAAAAGCACGAGACCAGATACGCGCACAAGTCAAAGTGGCCCGCGAAGGCGGCCTTGTGCAGGCACGTGTGGCCGTGGCCGTTCGGCTCGACGGCAAGAGCAGTAGGACCGAGCCGCGCGGCGAGCCACGCCGCGAGCGGCCGGAGGTCGCCCGCGTCCCGCGGCGCGCAGGCGAGCCAGTGCGCGAAGCCGCAGCCGGCGTCGTTTTTTTGTGAAACGTCGACGCCGGCGGCGACGAGGCGTTTCACAACGTCAAATTCGTTGCGCCAGCAGGCTAATTGCGCGGGCGAGACGCCGCCCTCGGCGCGCGCGTCCGCGTCGACGTCGGGCCGCTTTACCAGATACTCGACGACGTCAAGGTGGCCGTTGCGCGCCGCGTAGTGGAGCGCGGTCCGGCCGCGCGTCGTCGGCGCGTCGCGGCGCCGCGGCGGATTTGCTGGAAATGAAGCGTCCATCCCCCGGTCCTGCACGAGGTGCCTTACCAAAGCCAGGTGGCCGCGGCCGGCGGCCCAGTGCAGCGCGTTCGAGCCGTAGGCGTCGACGGCGCGCAGCGCCCCGTCGCCCGCGGCGGCTAGTTTTGGGAGGTCGCCGGTTTTGGCCGCTTCGATCGCCGCGTGTCCTGCTGTCGCGGCGATGGCGTCTGCTGGTGCCGCGCCTCCTGCTGTCGCGGCGAGGGCGTCTAATGATGCCATCACAGGAGGTGCTGTCTGTGCAGTGTGCAGTGGCTTGTGGTGTCACCTGCAATCAGAATGCCGATACAGATGCAATGAGGGAGCGGAGCGTTCACAGGGGTTGCTCGCATGGCTCTGTACGCCCGCGGAGGGCGGTTTGATGGTGAATACTGGCAGTCAAGCTCGATTGCGCAGGGAGCCTGGATAGCGATGTAAGACACTAGCATGCACTCGGAACGCGCATTGCAGCTGTTTGAGGAGCGTTCGGTTCGCTCGTGGTCCAAAGAGATCAATGGGACACTTCCTGGGGGCCGAAAAAATTAATTTTTTTAATTCGCGAAATTGACGACGCCGCCATGGCGGGCGCGTCGGTGGATTCCTGTCGATTCGTGGTCCCGAGGTCCCTCGGAGGCCGTTCGGGGTCGGTACAATACATGTGCAATCGCCTACGCCGCATGCGCGGCCGCTTCCCGCTTCAGATACATCTGCCAAGATGCATCTCCAGCTGAATAGCTATTGCACAAAATGCCAAGGTTTTGGATCCAGAGCTCTCTGGAGAGCCCCAAGCACCGGCGCATGCGGCTTCGGCGACCACCCGACCCCAGACCTATCCCGGAGGGAGTCCGCGAGCCGATCTACATCCGAAAAAAGTGTGCAATTTGGGCCCGATGGCGCCCCGTTCCCGTCAAAAACGTCAATTACCCGAGGGCACCCAGTAGTCGCCGTAGCGGTCCCGTCGGACCCCATACTACCCCACCGATAGTCAACTACAAGTATATGACATCTACACCATGAGAAGGGTACTTTGGGCCGACCACGCTCGGGACGTGAACATCTTGATCTGGACCTCGCGCAAGTCGGTCAATCATAGAACAAATGATCGTTTCATGGTCCATGGTGATGGTACACGGGCTGATGGCCGCAGGTCCGGGTCTGGAGCCAAATATAGCCAGATTGTGGGCTCGCGAGACCGACGACCCGCGCCGAGCATCTTTGGGTCTCTAGCATGTAGTAGCCGCTCAGCCCGGTTAGCTGGCCCGTCCCTCAACCGAAGCGCCTGAAACGCAATTTTATTTCATAACTCACGGGTCTGGGGCCTTTCCAGTGCCCCGCGTACGCACCGTCGTCCGCGGAGAACGGGCAAGTCGGTCGATTGTGAATAGAACAACGGCGTCATGGTCCATCTGGATGGTGTCGTCGCTGATACTCGCGGTTTTGGGTTCTAGGCTTGTCTATGCACAAACGCGCGGTACCGAAGTCGTCGAATCCCGCGGCTCGTACGGATCAAGAGACTGGGCTCAGTAAATGTTGAGGCGGGCTGGATGGACTCTACCCCCAACAAACGGAAGGAAACGAACATAAACTCGGGAGTTGTCTAGTAGAATTCTTTTCCCGCCCTCCGAGCGCGGGCCGTCGGCTCCGGTTCCGTCGAACTTGTATGAAAACTGGGCTGGAGTTGATATAATGTCCCATCTGGACGGTAGATTGCGGCGTCAATCGCTGGTGTACTTTGGCAAGCCGTAAGACTCGTCCGCGAATGTCGCGGGCGGTGCCTTCCGGGAGGCGCGAGGGTATGTTCCCGGGCCTCTATTCTAAACTCTTTGGTCGCGGCGATCAACAGGAATGTATTCTGATTTTCGGTCATTCTTTGGACGCTATCGGAGCGTATCTTTGGATTTGCTAGTATGTCACACGCTAGTTTCTTGCTGCTGCATTCCTGGGCGCTATTCGTACAGAAATGGTCTCAGTGGACGACTATGATGAATCTTGAATTTGGGAGCCCGTTTAGACGTCGTTGAAGCGGCGATGGCGTGACGACGTGCGCGTCGCGTGCCGACAGACGTTCGAAACCCCCGCACGCCGTCGCCGCGACGAACACGCAATATATAAACAGCAAATTACTTGCGCAGCCGGAGCAATAAACTACGGTTCGACTTGACCTTCTTCTGGAGCTGCAGGAGCCCGTACAGCAGCGCCTCCGCCGTCGGCGGGCAGCCCGGCACGTAGATGTCCACGGGCACGATGCGGTCCACGCCCCTCACCACGGAGTAGGAGTAGTGGTAGTAGCCGCCGCCGTTGGCACACGAGCCCATGGACAGCACCCAGCGCGGCTCGGGCATCTGGTCGTAGACTTTGCGAAGGGCCGGCGCCATCTTGTTCGTGAGCGTGCCGGCGACGATCATGACGTCGGACTGTCTAGGTGAGGCTCGAAACACCATCCCAAAACGCTCCATGTCGTATCTGGAAGTCGCCGAGTGCATCATCTCGACCGCGCAGCAGGCCAGCCCAAAGGTCATGGGCCAGAGCGAGCCCTTGCGCGCCCAGTTCACCAATTCATCGACCTTCGTGACCATGAACTCGACTTTATTTTCCGGCGGGGCTTGTAAAAAGTCGTCGACGGACTTCGTCTCCTGGAGGGACGAGGCCAAGAACCGCGTTTGCGTCGTGCGGGGGGCGGCGGCGCGCGCGGGCCGCATGGCGGCGCGCGCGGGCGGCGCCGCCGCGCGGGCGACGCGCGCGAACGCTGCGCGCAGCATTCTACTGGTGTCCAAGGTGGTGCGCTTCAATTGCGGCCGCGGGGGAGCGCGCTCGGCGCGGCTTGGCTGGGTCCGCGGCGAGAGCGTTGGTCTAGCTCTGAAATGCCCTCGAGCGCGGATAAACCCTGCGCTGCTGCGTTTCGCTGCGCCTTGCTCAGTTTTTAGCCAAGAAGTTGGCTAGTGCCTCTAAGCGCTAGCCCAAGTCACCGCGCGACCGTGTCATTTATGGAGGCCTCCCGAGCCTTCGCCGAGCCTCGTCCAGCCGGCTCGAAAGGAGCCGGGCCGCGGACTACGCTCACGCCGCCGACGACGCCGCGGCCAGGTACAAATCAATTTACACGGAAAACATGATCACACGCGGGGCACGGTGGGTATGGACGCATAGGCCGAGGCCGCCGTGGGCCACGGCGCGACGTGGTGGGGCTCCGCGTCGGACCCGAGCTCGGCCCGGAGCGCGGCAATATCCCTTCGCATCTCCGCCACCATGGCGCGCACCGCGTCGAGCTCCTGCGACGTGCGGTCCGTTTTGCGCGTGGCGCTATGATCGTCGGACATATTGCGCGACGCAGGCGCCCCAGGGGCTGCCAAGGTGGTGCGGACAGAGTCCGGCGCGCGGAGCGGCGCGGGCAGCGTGGCGGCGGCGCGGCGGCGGCGTCGTGGGCGGTCGTGAGCTCGCGGCGGCGGCGGAGGCAGCGATGCGCCAGGCAGCGCGCGGCTCTCCGAAGGGGCAGCAGCTCCAAACGATTCCTAGTGGGACCGGCTACGGATACCGGTAAAAGTGCACTTATGGTATGTGTAAGTTTACCTTTTCGGCAGCGTGTTTTTGGCCGGGAGAGGGTAAAATGCGCACCCTGACTGTGATCGGCTGCGTCCTAGCGGCCCTCGCGGCTGCTGACGACGTCCCGGCGCCGGCGCCGGCGCCAGCACCGGCCAAAAAAAACACTGGCCAGTGGTCCTGTGGGCCGCACGTCCGCGACGACGTCCAGAGGCTGCGGCGACGCATCGACACGTTGTGGGGCAGCCCTCAGCAGCTCTGCGAAGAAATATTCTCCAATGGTTGGCACTGGAACCCGCCGGACGCGGCATGGCGCGCGGCGCGCACGCGCCAACCGCCTCAGCGCGAGCAGTGGTACCGACGCCCCATCGGCGTGTGGTTGCCACACATCTTCTTCCATAATGAACTACCAGCACCACCTTGTCCAAATGACTGCTGCATTGGCAAGGATTCGATGGTGGACGTAAAGTCGAAAGTATGGCCATCGAACGTCGTGCGCGTCTTTGGCGTCCACGACCACTGGTGGTTGGACACCGTGCGGCTCAAGTGCAAGCGTTGTGGTATACTTTTTCGCTTGACAGATCCAAAGTCCATCGCGCAGTGCCCGATCCATGTGCGGTCGTTTTTCAACATTTTCAAGGGCAAGAAGTACGCCGTGGAAGCTGACCTCGTGCGGCCCAGCGTCGACGGCGTCGACGGCGTCGACGTGTCAGTAATAGTCGATTTACACACAGGCAAAGCTGATCGAGGACGCCTGGGACCCGCTCGGAACAGCTCCTACAGTACGAATACTCCAGCACTTCTACATCGAATATTACTACGGCCAGCAGCTGAACTATTGGGCACTTCACGGTCGTCTCACTTCGGCCGAGAGGACAAACAACACCAATCAACGTCCAGCTCGACTAGCGCTCGGTGTTGCTAGAGGTAGTCTCGCAGATGCGAGGACTGCTGCGGAGGTCGTGAATCAACTCGGCGCTGCGCGGCGAGCTCGAGACGAACGGCGAGCAGCCCCTCGCATTGATAGACTATCAGAACTGAGGGGTTTTGGACCAGGGAAGGTTGCGATGTTCAGAGAAATCAACGTTCATAGTATCCAGGACCTGGAGGCCGTGCAGGAATCGGCGCTGATTGCTCGGTCAGTGTCCAAGAAGCGCGACCGCTCTGACCAATTGAAGGCGCTCCAACATTATAAAGCGATGGCGCTGGAGTATCTCGAGGAGAAGTACGGCTCGTGGCCGCCGCCTACTACTCCTCCTTCTCAACCAGAGCAACCGAACGACGTGGAGAAGCTCGCCGACCGGCGCGCTGCGGCTGCTGCCTGCAAGGCCGCGATGGAAGAACGCGAAGCTGCGCAGAACGCTGAGAACGGAACTGTTCGCTACGTCCCGCCTCCTTTCCTGGACTTCGACGATAAAAATGGGTGGAACGGCGTATTTGTGGGCCGAGACATCGTTGATGATATTGCTGCAGGGATGTGGTCTGACCGACGCGAGTTTGTCACTACCCAACTCGCCGGTCTGTCTGGCCAGGTACTTAAGACAGATTTCACCTACAAGATCGCCGAGAAAATCGTGTGCTACCACCCGGACTCGGGCATGCTGTTTAAGCCTTTTGGAGGGTTCGCTTCTGTCGTAAACGAGGCGGGCCAGGTGCTACTACAGCGTCGAATCAGACGTCCACTCCATCGACGCCATCGACGCGGCGTCGACGCCGTCGGTCTACACAGGTCATGTGGTATGGATTTCACCATCGCGAGGACGCTTTTGAGGAGACCGAGCCGCACTTCGCGGCACTTCTGGCACGCCTTAAAAAGATGCACGGCGACGACTACATGCCCAGTGCAATCTACATCGACAACTGCTGTTCTCGGCGAACAGCATTCAACCGCGTGTTCCCCGACGTGCCTATTTTGTTGGACCCGTTCCACTGGTTTGCTCGCTGGGACGAGGCCATCTCGATACCATCGACCCACAAGCTCCGCTGGCAGTTCCGGGCGATGCTACGCGACGCCGTGCTTGTACCAGACCCCAATGACGTCGCCTTACTTACGGATTACTACCCGAAGAAGAAACGCGGGGAGATCTACGGCATGTGCCGCCGCGTGGTGCCGCCGCCGAAACAACTTCGTGAGAATATCGAGAACGTCCTGAACGTCTTCGTGAAGCGAGACACCGCAATCCTCGCGGCCGCGGCGCAAAACGAGATTCAGGGTAACGAGACCGACGCGGAGATGGCCGCCGTGGCTGATAGGCCTCTGTTCTTCAACCCGAAAAAATTTGCTTCGGTCAAAAAGAAGCAGATGAAGCATGTGTGCAGGGTCCATCTAAATGCCGCGTGCCCGACGCCTGGCACGACGCCTAGGGCTGCATGCCAGGGATGCCTGTCGGACCCGCCCGGAGCGCGCCTCTACACGTCGCGGCCAGCGAAGGCTTCACGATCGAGGCGACCTGGTCGGCCTGCGCCGCCGCTCTACTTTACTTCCCGTGGTTCTTCGCAGTCGGAAGCGATGCATCGCCTACTTCGGGCAGCGATCGGCTCGACGACCTGTGGTACTGTCCGGGCGGAACACGCCGTCGGGTCCTTCATCTACCGCTGGAACATCGACCGCGGCATCGACAAGCTCGGCGACGTGGACTACCACACGTACCACCACGAGACGCTAGCGGTGATCAATAGTATCGCCGCATCCTTCGCCCCTCAGACCGACGACCTCCCCTTCCCAAAGCTCAACATTAATGAGCGTGGCCGAGGGGACGAAAAGTTTGGAATGGAGTGCCAGAACATCGTCGACTTGTCGCGTCTGAACTTGAATGACGACCCCACGCCAGTCAGCCCCGAGGACGACGCGCCCCCGGACGTGCCCCAGCCGCAATCCTTCGTCCAGACCGTGCGTGGCGACGGCAGGTGCCTCTACCGGGCGTTTGCGGCTGCAGCCTCACGTATAAGGCCAGCCCTTTTACTGCTGAAATCGACTGGAAGGACGGCAACGATCTTGTGGTGCGCCGAGAGATCATAAATCTGCGGACTGAAGCGGCACGACGTATGCGCACGCACCGAGAAAGTCGTGTGCACGCCGACCGCGCCCCGCTCGACAACGAAGCTTCTGCGCGGCACGGGTCGTGGGACCGCTGGTTCGAGGAGATGACCAATGAGGATGACTTGCACAACGAGAAGGCGCCAAATAGTCGCTGGGGCGACCACTTGATGTTGATGGGGTTGGGCCTCGCGTTCGGCTTTTCTATTTTCATCTCGATCATACATCCTGATGGTCGTGTCCGACGAACCGAGAGCCGTGTGCCGTACCACCAGGAGCTTCTTCCCGACGGAACCGTGGACGTCGACGCGCCGTCCATCCACCTCGCGTGGCACGTAGACGATCAAGGCGACGGGAGGCACTTTGACGTGATCGTCGAGGACGTCGACCAGGGCGGCGACGATTCTTTGAAACGTGTGAGTGTTAATAAGGCCATCAACAACCGCACGACGTCGTTTGACCACCTAGGGAAGCTCTCGGGCATGAAGGACAAGGCGCCGACGCCGTTCAACGAGGGCCCGGACGGCGAGGACGAGCGCAGACTGTTTGAAGAGCTCCACAAGAAGTATACGCGCAGTAGCTCGAGCTCCTACCAGAAGTTCATGACGGAGTGGACCGAACGTGTTATCACGGAGGTACACAAGCAGCTCGCCGGCGACGCTCATCTTAAGCTTAGGTTGAAAACGATGGAGCAGCTCTACGACGAGTATGACCGTCGGTATAATCCAGTGGAAGTAGTTCAAGATCTGACGCCGGCCGACCAGCAGAATGTGCGGGAAGCATACCGGTATCAGCGCGCGGATCGGGACGCGACGACCGCGCCGCCCGCGGAGCCCGGCGGGCCGACCCGGGTGCCGCCGCCGCCGCCCGCGGAGCGGCAGCCGATCCAGTTTCCCGGCGTCGTGCCCTTCTGCTGCGCCCTCCCGAACGCGCCGCCGCCGCCCGGCTTTTTCTTCCCGCACAGGCCCCTCCCGACGGCTCCGGCGACGCCGTGGGGCTTTATGCCGCCGCCACCAAGGCCAGTGCCTGCTCCAAGAGTCGACGGCCGGACGACGTGCTTGCGGTGCGGCCGGCCCACGGGCGCCCACCTCGTCCGCGGCCGAGAACACTGCACCAACCCCTGCAAATGCGGGCGCCCTTTTGATGACCCTCGCCACGTCTCGGAAAGCAGGCCGGGACCGTTCTGTACGCTCCCTCCCCTTTGAGCCTCTGTTAGCTGCTAAAAATTGAAATTAATTGGAATTTTGCTATCGAAAGTCGTACGAAAGCTTGCCGCCCAGGTGTACAGGCAGCATCCTTCTTTTCTTACCTTTCCTTTTCCCCCCCCTCTTTTTTTTTTTTTCAGGTTACCAGCATCCGTAGCAAGCCCCTAGTGGCGCCGACGGCCGCCAGACGTCCGCTCAACGAAGCCCGCGGTGCGCAGCGACGAATAATTAGAACGACAACACACCTAAATTTAACATGGGAAACTAGAGCGCGTCCGCCCCCGGGAACGCCCGCACCCAGCAGTTCACCGCGACCTTGGTCGCGGCCGTGGGCAGCGCCTCGTGGCGCGCGCGCACGTCCGGGACGCCGTCCGCGCGCACGTTCGCCCAGGCGACGGCCTGCAGCTCGCGCGGCGCCACCTCCAAGCCGAGCGCCGGGAAGCGCGTCGCGCCGCCGTCCTCGACGTCGTTGAGGTAGACGAGCACCGTGCCGACGCGCTGGCCTCCTAACAAAACCTGGCCCGCCTCCTCGAGGCAGTCGAGGTGCGGCTTGTAGAACGCGGCCGGCGACGCGTACCGCACGAGCTGCAGCGTCTCGCAGCACGACCTGTGTTTTTCTTCGTGGTGTTTTCTCGCTGTGTGTGGCGTTGTCTCGTCTTCCCTTCGCGTCGATGGCGTACCGGTGAGCTGACGGGAACGACGCGGGAGCCCGACCGCGGCAGGCCAAACAGCGCCGCGGCCCTGGCGGCGACGCGGTCGACGGCCTTCGACGCGCGCGACGCGTCGTCCCGCAGCGACGCCGTCTCGGACGTGCGGTAGTTGTTTGTGGCGTCGCCCGCCGCGGCGCTCGCCGTCCACTGGTCCTCCGCGAGGCGCAGCAGCTCGTCCGCGTCCGCTCGGTCGATGACGCCCGACGCGGAGTAGACGGCGAAGTCGTCGAGGGCGCCGAGCCGCTCCGTGGCCGCGTGCGCGTCGAGGGAGCGCAGGCACGCCTCGGCCACGTCGGCGGGCGCCGCGCCGCGGAACGGCGCGGCGTCGTCCGCGCAGGCGCCGACTTCCCGCGCGGCGGCGAAGGACCGCGAGACCACGGCGAAGTTGCCCGCGTCCACCTGTGTGTGATCGTTACGCCATCGACGCGACGTTGACTTCCACACCGGCGGTCTACCGAGAGGCGCTTCGCGCGACACGCCTCCTCGAGCGCCGCGAAGAGCCCCTGGAACGCCTCCGGCGCGTCGGACCGGGCCGCCTCGACGGCGAACGCGCGCGCCGTGTTCGAGAGCACCTCGGCGCAGCGCGGCGAGTCGACGGCCTCGCTCAGGCGCGGGGCGAGCTTCGCGGCTAGCTTCGGCAGCAGGTCGCCCTGCTGCTTCTGGGACGCCGCCCACGAGGCCATGCACAGCGCGAGCGCGTCGCAGGGCTGCGTCGGCGGCCGCGCCGCGAGCGTCTCCGTGCCGGCCCGCACCTCGTCGATGGTCCGCGACGGCTCGAGGAGCCACAGCGCTAAAGATTTGTCGTCCTTTGGTGCGAGCGCTGCTGCGGTGGCGAGCAGCGTGAGCCACCGCATTGTTCCGCTGCTGCGTCGTCCGTCTGCTGTTTGCACTTGCACAGGTCCTTGAGTGGGCGGCACTGGCCGTACCGCTGCCGATAGACCGGCACACCGGCTGCGCAAGGAGTCAACCTTTTCAGAAGCGCCCCTGGACGCGCGGAGGTGAGCTCTTTGGGTCCAAACGCTCGCTGCAGCCACTTCAGCCGCAGCAGCGTAGCTAGCGCTTGTAAGGCACTAGGAAAAGCAGCGTACGCGGACGCGGCCCCTACGTCGCGCGTTACCGCTTTTAGCGCTGGTTCACTACTTTCCAAGAGCTCAGCCCAGCCCCAGTTCAACGCCGCCGCCGCGCGCGCGCCAGCCGAGGCGCCCCCCACGCTGCTCGAGACACATCGACGCACGCGCACGCGGACGCCGATTCTCGACGCCGCCGCCGCGCGCTACGTTAGACAGCCATGGGCGAGCGGAAAGTGCTTAACAGATACTTCCCGCCGGACTTCGACCCGCTGCTCGTGCCGAAGCGGAAGTACGACCCGTACAAACAAGTAGAAGTACGCATGATGATCCCCTTCTCGCTGCAGTGCATCAAGTGCGGCGAGTACATGTACCGGGGCAAGAAGTTCAACTCGCGCAAGGAGGACGTGATTGGCGACGACTATCTGGGCATAAAGAAGTACCGGTTTTATATAAAATGCTGCGTCTGCAACAACGAGATCGCGTTCAAGACGGACCCGAAGAACCAGGATTATGTGTGTGAGAGCGGTTTGCGTTCGGCGTCCTGGTTATTTGCTTACGCGATGCGCCTCCGCCGAGAGAGTTCGGGACCGCCCGCACGCCATCGACGCGACACGCTACGCAGGCGCCACGCGCAACTTCGAGTCCTGGCGCCAGCAGGACGAGGCCGAGGAGAAGTTCGAGGGCGAGCGGAAGGAGGCCGCCGAGGCGAACGCGATGTCCGCGCTCGAGTCGAAGACGCTGGACTCGAAGATCGAGATGGACATCTTGGACGCGCTCGACGAGATCAAGGCCTACAACGAGCGCCACGAGCGCGTCGATAGGGCGGAGCTCGGGTCCGCGCAGAAGCCCGCTGATGAAATGAGCGCGAAGGAGCGCGACGAGATGGCCGCGTTCAAGCGGGCCCAGGCCGCGCGCGCCGTCGACGCGAAGCCGCCGCCACTACAAGGGTCGTCGTCGGACGAGGCCGTTCCAGCGCCGCCGCCGACGCTCGCCGCGCCGGAACCCGCGCGGCCGCCGTCGCCGCCCGCGCCCGTCGTGCTGAAGCGGCGTTTGGCTGATGCGCCGCCGCCCGTCGAGAAGAAGCCCAAATTGGGGGGGTTGGTGGCGTACTCGTCGTCGTCGAGTTCGGAGGGTGAGGGGGCTTCGTAAGGTTTGTGTTTGGATATACTTTTGGCGGCGGCGTACACGGGTCGCTCGGTTTGGCTGTTGTAGGGCGCCGGGGGGCGTTTCGAGGCGGTTCGGTGCGCCTTCCGGCGTCCTCGCGGGTCCTAAGCCGAAACTCCTTCCACGGCGAGTTGCAACGTCACGAGCATAAAAAAACAAAAAAAAAGCCAGATTTCTAGTCGATCTCCTTAACCAAGACCGGGTGGGTTTCACCACTTCTCGGACACCGTGTCTCAATATGTTTCGACACGGACAGGACTCGAACAGACGCTTCTTTCTCCGTAGGAGATAGATCTGCGCAGCTGACGCTAATGGTGATGACGCATGTAAAGACGCCTCGATCATTCGTCTGACTCTTGTATGGAAAGCTGGTCGCAGCGAATCCGGCAAATTTACACTGTGCGATAGAAAAACCCTTTTTCGGGTTTTTAGCTGCCGGTAAAAAACCCAGCGCGATCGAGGCCGCATACCCACCATCCAGAGGCGCGCGGGCTAAGCCCAGACAGCGCACAACGCAAATTCGCAGCGATAACCTCCTTCACAACGCGCAGTGACCAATAAAACCTCCCAGAGGGAAAGACAGCCCAAAACCATGTCCGCCCTCACGGACTACTCCAAATGGGACGCCATCGACGACAGCAGCGACGCGGAGAGCGACGCCGCGCAGCAAAATGCGCCAAAAGAGGACCCGGTGCTGACGGGCGCGAAAAACGTCGTCTGCCAGCTGCGAGCCAAGCTCTCGCTGCTGCCTGAGGGCACGCTGGACGAGGGCTGGACATCACCACCGCTGCCGGGCGGCGCCTCGAAGCGGGAGCTCTTCACCGCGACGTGCCTGCGGCTCGAGTTTCCGGGCATTTTCTCGAACGAAGAGGAGGCGGCGTGCCCGCACGTCGACAACTGCGCGGAAATCAGCGAGGAGCCTTCGTTATCTTCGGGGACGACGTCGCGTCGACGGCGTGAAAAGAGCGGATGCAGTTCCGTGGACAGCGTCGCGTCGATAGCGCGGCACCTCCATGAAGTCGAGCAGACGCAGTCGCGGTGACACCATCGCGTCGATCGGTGGCACCTCCCCACCGTCGAGCAGCCGCGGTTTCTGCACCGACGTCGCGTCGACGGCGTGGACGAGCGGACGCGACCACGGGAACACTCGCGGCGGGGCGACGATCACGGTAACAAGCACAGGTCGACACCCTCGCGAAGGAGAACGTGCGGTATCTGCGGGTGACGCGGCCGAGCGGCGGCGCGTCCCACGTCTACGCGACGCCTCCCGAGGAGATCCGCGTCGTGCCGCTCGTCAACGAGGTCGAGGGCGCCGTCGAGCGCGTCCGCGCCTTCCGCGACGGCCAGATCCGGTACTTCGACCGGGACCGCGCGACGGGCAAGGTCGTGGCGTCGTCGGCGAAGCTCTCGACGCTCCACGAGGACGTCATCGACGCGGCCGAGACGGCGGCGATGCTCGGGCCGGGCGCGCCGACGCCCTGGCTCTCGGGCGAGGGCGAGGACGAGTTCGTCGTGCGGGAGCCGCCCGAGTAGATGCGGCGGCGCGTCGATGGCGTCGGGGGCTGATTTAAAATGTGTACCAAATTTTACGCACCGCGGAGCGCGGCTCGCGTGTCTTGCAATTCGTCGTCAATCGCCGAGGCGAGTGGATGCCCGCCACCGTACACGCGCCGCGCGGTCGGTGCCATATCCTCGAGCGTCGCCACTGCCTCGCGGAGGTCGTCGAGCGTGGCGGCGGGGTCCTGGTAGAGCGCCCGCGCGTAAACCCACCTCATCCTGAGCGTGAGTTCGTTGCTCTCGCCAAGAACACGTTGCGCCACCGGTCTTAATTCCCGCAAGAGCGACCTGGCTTCTTCGTAGCGCTTTAGACCAAGAAGGGACGCCGCGTAGTTGTTGGCTGCTCGGAGGGTATCTTCATGTTCCACGCCCTTGAGCTTCAAACGTCCGGAGTATACGTCTCGCTTAATCTCTAGGGACGATTCGAGCCGCCCAGTCTTTTCATACGCAACTGCAAGATTGCTCTGCGCGGCGAGCATATGTACTTCCGATCCGCCTAGGCGCCGTTTCGTAGCCAACTCGGCCTCTCTCACGGTTAACGCGTCCTCGTTGCGTTCTACAGCGGATAAACCGTTCCCAACCGCTCCCATTGCGCCGAGCCGAAGCATGTCCGCCTCAGGCCGCCCTACGTACGTCTTCCAGCACGCCCACCCGAGCGCGCACCGCACGACGCCGTGGTAGTGTTGCTCGCACTGGCTGCACGTATCCCACCGCCCAAACCTCTCAATCACCGCCTTGGTGCCCAAATTGTTCTCCTCGACCTCGTCCATCAAAATCTTCGCCTGCTCCGCCAGGCACGACACGTGCGCGAACCCCGCCGTTCCGCGGCACGCGCACCCGCGCACGAGGCCTTCCTTCGTTTTCCAATGCAATGCTTGCGTGCAGATGTAGCACGTCTGCCCCTTCGTGTCCTCGGCGCACGCCTCGACGGCCTCCGCGACGGCCTCCTTGTATTTTTTGTCGGCGTGGTATTGCTCAGCGTTGCCGCCGCGGTGTATTTTCTTACACATCTGCTTGTGGCCGCGGCGCCAGTGGTCATGTTGGCAAGTTTTGTTGCAGTATCTGAGCTTGCATCTAACACATCGCGGCGCGTCGTGGGCCAGTGGGGCGGCACAGGCGGCGCAAGTTGTGAGGATCATCTTGCGTTCTGCGGTGAGTTATTGGGCTTGCGCGGCGATGACGCTTGGAAAACCCGTTTTTTCAACTCACAAAAACGCGGCCCGCGACGAGGCAAGAAGACCACGAACGCCACAAAAGACAACCCTACGAGGAGAACCTTACGCGCGAAGCCTCCGCCGCACCAAGGGCCACCCTTCCAGAAACGACGAGCCCGAAGCGGAAGCATTCCCCGGCAAACACAACGAAGGCCCGCGCGTCCATTAGAGCCAAAGTCGTGCCCGCGAAGCCGTCGGCCAAACCACTTTTCTCCCAGCGCGCCGCGACGGCCTCGATCGATAACACGGACGGCGGCGCGCAGAGCTCCCGGATCTGCGACGGCGCGTAGTTGTGCCAGTAGTGCGACAGGGGCCCGAAGGCCTTCTTCGCGTAGTGCCGGGGCCCGTCCTGGCCGGGGCCGACATCTCCAAACACGGCCTCGAGGTCCGCGCGGACCGGTCCCACTTTCAAATAGCCGCGCAGCATCTCCTCCTCGAAGGACTCGTCGGCCTTCGGCGTGGGGCCGCCGTGCGCGACGAGTTCCCGGAGCCAGGCCGGCCTCCTGGGCGGCGGCAGGCCCCCCGTCGGCGGCGTCGGGTTGTTGCCTGCGTTTGGTATCGTGTTGGGGTCGCTGCGGCGTGGCGCGTCGATGGCGTCGCGTCGATGGCGTGTACTTGGATTCGGGGGGCGTGGGCTCCGTAGGCTCCGCAGTAGACTCAGACATCTCTCTCTCTGTCAGACGAACACCCAAAGCAGGACGCTGAAAAAAAACGAGTCCCGTCGGGCGGCACCACGGCGCAGGCCATCTGCGCGGCCTCGGCGTCCCACGTCGCCATGACGATCGAGACGCTCTGGCGCTTCGTGGCGGTGTGCGCGTAGGTGTAGTCCGCGTTGAGCGTGCCGCGCAGCTCAAAGTCGAGCTTGTCCGCCGGTGCCTGCGTTCGTACGTTTGTGAGTGGTTGCGGCGACGGCGGTCGCGTCGAAGGCGTGTTACGCGGGCTCCGCCGTAGGCTTGGCCATGGATCGGGTGTGGACTTCAGACGTCTCTCTATGTCGAACGAATGCTAAAAGCTCAAACAGGACGCTGGGAAAAGCCGTCACGGGGCCGCACGCGTGGATCAGCAGCTGGCGCCGCGGCTGGGCCGGGGGCGCGGGCGCGGGCGCCGCCGCCCGCAGCGCCGCGGCCGTCGCGTTCCCCGCGCCGCGCAGGGCGAGCTCCGTCTGCAACGCGCAGGGCGTCCCACCACTTAACAAGAACGCGCGCCGCTGTCCGCCGGCCTCCCAGTCCTCCAGCCGCTGAAACAGCCGCAGCAGCTCGTCGCCGCGCGCCGGCCACGTGTGAGAGAAATTAGGATCAGACGCCGCGAGCGCGGCCGCGTCGGCGAACGACCGGTCGACGAACGGCGTGTCCGACGCGACGTACACGCACCGCAGGCCCGGCGCGTCGAGCGCGGCGTCGAGCGCCGCCCACTGGTCTTCTCCGATCAAACAGGCGCCGCCGTTGTACAGGCGCTCGTGCTTCGTGTCGATGGCGAAGAGGCCCACGGCGCCGCCGCACCACTGGTGGAAGTGCCACTCGCCGTGGGACGAGACCGGCGCGCAGCCGCGGCGCGCCTCGGCGGCGACGCCGGGCGTCGCGCCCCAGGGGTGCGTCGCGCCGAAGCGCAGCGTCGTGCTGTCGACGGCCGCCGTCGCGTAGGACACGGCCGCCTCCGCCGTCGGCAGCAGCGGCTCCCAGAGCTGTCTTTGATATTCACGGTAGACGCGCTGCGTCATGCGCCGTAGCGTCCGGCGCACGTAGCCCTCCGTACTATTGCGGAGGAGCGTGCGCCCGAGGTCTGCGTCCCCGGGTACCATGACGCGGCCGCCTCTTGAAAGAACCTCGCGCGTGCCGGGCAGGTTCCAGTGCGTCCTATAAGCGTCGCGGAGCCGCTGCATCGCGCGGTCCTCGAGCATGCCCGCCTGCGCCTCGTCGCCGCGCACGTAAGCATTTTCCGCCTGCGCGAGCACGCCGGCCGCGTCGGCCTGGACCGCATCCAAGTTCACTTGACCTGCGCGTGTGATGGGTTGCGGCGAAGGCGTGAAGGCGGTCGCGGAGCTTTGGTCGCACCGGACTCTTGGATCTACTACATCCGCTGAAGTCGAAGGTGAATCGTCCACGCGGGAAACGAACCGCCGAGGTGGAAGACGCAGTCCGTCCCCGCGAAGGCCTCGTCGAGCGCCTCTCTACAAGCACTCAACAACGCCGCGCCGTCCGCGGCCGATGTCGAGTCGGTCGCGGGCGCGTCCCGCGCGAGGCACAAACCTCTAAAGGACTTCTGGTACGGCGCCGTGAGGCTCCCGCCTGCGTAAAGCGACCGGTGCGCGTCGAAGGCGTGAAAAGACACCGAACAAAACCGCAGCCGTCGACGTCGTCGCCGGGCTGCGGCCGCCGCGGCGCCGCTAAGGAAGCACACGTCGTGAAGGAGCCGCGTCTTTTTTCAGGATCCTCGACGCCGTCGAAGCGGACGTGGTAGTGGCGGTGCGGTTTTAAACCTTCGACCCGGAACGCGTGCGGCCTTAGTTTGGGGAGGTGGTTCAAAATCGTCATCCTTTCGCCCGACAGCGCGTCCGTGACCACGCACCCGACCGGCGCCTCCCACTCGACCTCCAACAAAATGATGGCTGTGGATTCCGTCACGAGACCAATGACAGGTCCGACGGTGACCTTGACGCCCCCAAAAAACAGCGAACAGATGTCCGCCCGGATGTCCACGGGCTCCGTCGCGTCGACGGGCGCCCTTACTAACCCCTCGACGTAGGCGCAGTGCTCCGACGGGATTAACCGACGGTGGTCGTACTGGAGTTTCAGTAATTGCCGCTTGCCGCGATCATCTTTAGAATTGAACTCGAGCTCGCCGCCGTCGCCCATGAGATGATTGACGTTCTTAGTACTGGAGCCGGCGACGCCGCCGCACACGAGCTGGCGGTAGAACTTGTCGTTGTTCGAGGCCTCGCTTACCGGTTTCAGACCTTCTTGAATGGGCTGGCCCCACTCGTCGAGCTTCGGCTTGGCGTCCTCCTGCCGCTTGGACCGTTCCTCGGCCTGCTGCTGGTCTTCAACCTGCGTCTCGACGCCTCCGCACAAGTCGCCGCCACAGATCACGACCAATGATCTATTCTGCATGCCCTGGAGCCATCTAAACCTGTGTGGAAATCAGCCAGTGTGTCGGGTGCACTCGGTCGAGCGGTGAGGAACTAGCATCGCCACGCCATCGAGCAGGTGTTGCGTCAATGGCGTGGAGGTCGACATGGCGATTCAGGACGAACGCGCCGTAAATTTGATTTCCACACAGATCAAAACATGAGCCCCAGGAACGCCTCGCGATCACTCTCGTGCCTCGCCCACCGAGATGAAATGGCCTCCAACCTCGCATAGGACTCCTCCGGGAGGTCGTCTCTAGCATAAGGGTCCACGGGCGGCTCGTCCGTGCACACCACTAATGCTGTTATCGAACCGGCATAGGTACCGTACAACAGCAAATGCTCGAGCTGCTTCCAGGTGTCCTCCGCTACTAAAGGTTCGTCCTTCTGCTGGGCGCCTCTGTCGCTAATTTGAGACCACCTCGTATCCAACAAAAGCACGCCGATCCGCCCCAAAATATGTAGGGCCGTCTCGTTGTCCTTCCCGGCGTTCGGCGTGTCCGCGTTGCCCCAGTTCTCGAAGCGCTCCTGCATGTCCTTTGCTGTTTGTTCGGCCTCGTTCACCGCGGCACCTAACTCCGCGACTCGGGCTTCGTACCTTCGTTCCTTCGTATCATCAGGATCCCGTTTCACGAGGTCCTCGTCCTCCTCTTCCTCCGATTCTTCCTCTTCCGAATCGTCATCCAAGCCATCCTCTTGGAACGACACCGTCTTCGCCGCGGGCGCCGGCGCCGCCATGCCGTAGCTGAAACTATCGGAAGCACCGGCATCCTTCGCGGCGCCGGCGGCGCGCGCCGCATCGACCGCCTGGTGGGCCTCGTGGGGCGGCCACGTCGGCAACGGCTTCGACTCGTCCAGGCCCAAAGCCTTGTGTTTGAGGTAGTCTTCTCGTAGTTGCGCGTCGGTCCTCCCATCCACTACCGGGCACTTGACCTTCCTTAATTCTCTCCTTAACTCCACACCATCCAAGTGCGCGACCTGGCTCCGAATCTCCGCCTTCTCACTCATATAACGCTCCCAGTCCTTGACCGCGGCCAGCGCGGCCTTTTCTGCGGTCTTCACGGCTTCTTTCGCTTTTTCGATGTTCTCCTTGGTCTTCCCGTATGATTCTTCATACTCTATGACTTCGTGCACGCGCGGGTCCCAGAGCTGCCGTTGATACTCCCAGTACACGCGCCGCGCGCACCTCAACGCACAAGCGCCGACGTCATCCCCCAGGTCCTTATTCGTGAGGAACTTGGGGTACACGTCACCCTCGCCACACAACATAAAGTGCGGACACGACGCTAACGTCTCCCTGACATGTGGCAGGTTCCAGGCATGCCTGTAGGCTCTCCTCAGAATCTCTCGAGCTTTATCTTCTAAAGCTTTCTGGTCGTCCTCTCCTATCGTTCCTCGTTTCAGCAGCGTCCAGGCCTCCTCAAAAGAACTTTGAAGGTCCACCTGGCCTCCCACATGCAACATAAAATTCACGGGCGGTAAATCTTTCTGGGACACGCGTTCGTAGATCGTGTCCCAGCGATTAAACTCGCCCGGTTTTACCAGAGAAGGTCTATCTCTAGCCACGGCCACGAACCGCGCTTCGTCGTAGTTGTCGCGCTCGTCGCCCTGCTCGATGCCCTGGAACAAGGCACCTGCTCTCACACTATTTTTCAATGTGACGAACTCGGCGATGCGCTCTTGCGCGTCCTGTCGGTGGATGCCACTAAATAAAATTTGATACCGCGTGTCATCTTGTAACTGTGTCAGTACTACTATACCCGGTCGTCTACTCTTAAGTTTCAAGGGTTGCCTGCGCACTTCCTTCCCCTCCGCCTGCAGACACACCACAACCTCTAATTTCGCAGAGACATCAGTCTCGAGTAAAATCACGGCAGACCGGCTGTCGACGCGGCCTACTACTGGACCGGTTAAAACGCGCACCTCCTTGGCGCAGTCCAGCTGGGCACCGTGTATTTGTAAAGGACCGCTCGGCAATACGTCTTGGCGTTCCCGCACTCGTATGCGCTCCCCTTCCAGATCGGCGAGCTTCGTCTCGAGCGCGGTCATCTTCTTTAGTACTAATGCGATCTCGTCGACCTTATTGGCCTGGCGCATGGTGCTGGACCATAACGAGACCGTCGAGCGCTCGTCGGGCTCGATGAGCGCCGCCGGCGCTGGGGCCTCCCCCTCGGCCATGGCTATAGGTGCCTTTCGACTTGTTCTGGCTTCCGAGGCTGCCTCCGGGCTGCCTTCAGACCCAGCGCTGCAGAGTTTGGATGAATCCTAGTGTGTCGATACGCTAGCTCCGAGCACAGCAGTGGCGTTAAACGCGGCCGCTAGTGTACATCAGCACGCACCAATCGGCGTTCACATAGCTTTCAGACCGTAGCGTCGGGTAGCGTCGAAAGCAGCGCCGCAGAAGCCGCCTCTGCCGCCGCAGACGCCGCGGTGCGCAAAGAAGGCACAAGCGGCAGGCGTCGGCGCGGCGCTATACCTCGTAGACGCGCCGTAAAAAGACGCGCCGTCGCTCCAGCGGTCCCGTAAAGAAGCATGGGCGTCGACCTCGAGGAACTCAGACACGCCGTCGATAACAATGAGCCGGCGGCCGAGGTCCTCGAACTCACAAGAAGACAGCACTGGTGCGCGCCCGAGGCGCGGTTCCTCGCCGGAAGGGCCCTCGCGGCGGGCCATTTGCTAAGGGCTCTTGATGATGACGTCGCGGAAATGGACAAGGAAAATGACGACCCCGCTTTGGTAAATGCGACGCGGAAGCGCGACGCCGCTTTATCAGCGTTCGAGGCGACGGCGCAGAAGGCTGTGACGGTGGAGACAGAAGTTAGAAGGCCTTCGGTCGCCGAGTGGCACGCGCGGCGGAGGAAAGCTATTTTGGAAAAACATCCCGAGATTGCCGAGTTATTCAAGCCGTCCTGGGCCTCGTTCATTGCTTGTGTTGGGTTGGTCTTGCTCCAAGCGTTCGTGGCACTCTTCTTGGTTCATTCTATGTCATCGGCCTTCGTGTATGCCGCGACGATCGGAGCGACGGCGGCCTTCGGGTCCCAGGCCCTGAACCACGAGCTCAGTCACGATCGAAGGACGTCCCTCGCGGCGCCTTGTGCTTTGCTCGCTTCGGCGACGACGACGTTCCCCTGGTTCAGCTACTACTTCGCGGGAGGACATGAAAGACACCACCTGCACGTGGGCACGCCTAGAGATGCCGACGCCGACGCGCTGTTCTGGTTGTGGGAAAGGCAGCCCGTCCACGAGGCCGATATATACGGCATCAAGAAACCGACGCCGTCGCCCAAGTGGCTGTGGCTCGATTCAATCGTAGGTGGGATATTGTGGGCGTCGACCGTAGCTTTATTATTACCCATCGCCTACGCCTACGCTTTATTGAGATGTCTGGTGCGAGACTGGGCGGCGAACTGGCGCGAGACGTTGTTTTGGCTGTCCGAGTCCTTCGCTTCTTATTTGGTAATGAGGACACTCACCTCGTACTCAAATCATGGCTTCGAGGTCGTCTTGTACTTAGCGTTATCATCGGCGTTCAGTGTGGGCTTCCTCTGCCACCCGTGCATCGGCTTCTGGCTCATGCAGCACGCTTGTGCTACCGACTTGGACAACGAGTCGAGGATAAAGCCGGCACTCTCAAAACCGTTAGTAGGTAGAACGAACACGCCGTCTTTAGGAAGATTGCAACCCACGCTCAGCTACTGCGGCTCGAAGCTCTGGCACTGGCTCACGTTCCAAGAATTGAGACATTTGGAGCACCACGACTTCCCCTGGGTGCCCTGGGTGCGCCTCCCCGAGTTGGAGCGGATCGCGCCCGAGTTCTATTCACCGAACCACGTCTACCACGTGCCCTCTATCAGAAGACTGTGCGGCGCGTGGCTCGGCGCGACGGACGAGAAGTTCGACTTTGCATGTAGGAAGCGGCTCGTGGGCCGCGCGCGGGCACGCGCGGCGGCGTCGACGGCGCGCTACGACGCGCCTGTTACAACCAGGACGGGGCGCGGCGGCGTGCGGTATATGTAATCTTACTCTTATTTTGCGGCGCTCGTCGAGTTTTATCCCGAGCTCGTGGAGACTTTCCAGCTCCTATACCGCTTTGTGGTGGCCGCTAGTTGGAGGCCTTGCGCAGGTTCTGGTCGCGGTAGAGATCCCTCGGGACGGTATTCCCAATGTCATTGCAACTCTCGCGGATCGAATGCGCCAGCGGGGTCATGGTTTTCACGAGCGCCGCCCATGCCATGCAGTTAACGTACTTGGTCTGAGACTCGTGAGGAATCTCCACGTTCGATGCGACGACGACCGACGCCTTGAGCACTGGGCTGTAATGAGCCTGCGATTCAGCGCCGTACGTGTCTCCGCCGTGGCCGTACATAGGTATACCCGGTACCCCGGCGCTCATCGTCGCGAGGCCGTACTCGTAGCCCCAAACTGGGTCGTGGTGGAACTTTAACATCTCATCGACTTGCTTCGTAACGGTCTGCGCGCCGTAGATCTCGTAGAAGAGCTCGGCGACCACAGGCACGCTTGCCGCGAGGTCTGACGCGCCCCAACCGATGAAGATGCCAGGTTTCTCGGACCACTCGTCGTGTCGGACCTCGCCCGCTTTGCCCGCAGTGCGGTCGTAGAACTTGACGTCCGTCCACTCCGACGCCGTCTGGCCGTTTTGTCCGAAGTGGAGCTGGCTTTTGAGATGCGAGGGTAGGTAATACGCCTGGTCCGTCTCTTCCAGAGGAAGCCCGTCCGCGAAGTGCGCGACGATCATGCCTAGCAGCACGAAGTTTGTCGAGCTGTACTGGAGCGGCGTGAGCGGGTACGCGTCCTTGACGCTGTCCAGAACCTGCCAGGCGGTCCCAGATTTTCCTGAAGCTAGATAGTCGCGGAGACCGCCGGTGTCGAAGTCGGGGATAGGAGCTTGCATCGCCAGGAGCTGCCGAATCGTGATATCGTTCACGGACGCGTTCTGGAAAAGCTCCTCGAGGGACGTCCACGTAAAGTTCCAGGCGTCGCCCTGCTGCTGTGCGATGTTTTGAATGTACTCATCGATGATCGGCGCCGCCGCGTCGTCGAGGTCAAACTTGCCCTCGTCCGCGAGGTGCAACACCTGAGCGCCCGTCAGCGGCTTCGTCACCGAGCCCCACGCCCAGACGTCGGACGGCTTCCCCGTCGCTCCAGTCGCCTTGTCGATGACGCCGGCCGTGAGCGCGGCGCTCTCGCCCTCTGTCTTGACGGCGACAGAGAACGCGCAATCCCACGCCGTCGCCTCTTCGTCGAGGATGCTCTGGAACGCCGCGGCGAACTTATCTTGGAGCGAGGCGCCCGCCGCGGGCGCTGAGCCCGCCTTGACCGTGCTGTCGGTGACGGCTGCTGCGGAGCCGGTTGCGACCGACGCTGCGTCGTCGTCCGCGGCCGCGGCGCCGACCTCGAGGCGCGTCGCGCGGAGGCCGCCGCCGCGGCCGCTCGGCACGAGGTTGACGAGCGCGGTGGTCGCGACCAACGCGACGACGATCGTGAGCGCCACGGCGCGTCTCTGGGGTTGCGTCTGGCTTGTAGAGGACTGTTTGTTGAGGAGACCGCTGGTCTCGTGGCTCTCGAGGTCTTGCATTTTCAGTGCTTGTGGCTGTAACTTTTGTCGAGCGAGCTATACGCTTGTGAATATCGTCGTTATGGACTAGTTCGTGCGCGTGGACGTTGTTCTCTACCCAGTCGTTGAGTGAGCAATGATCTGTGGATTGAGTTTTGCAATGGCTCTCAGCACAGTCTCGAAGCAGGCCTCGAAGCCGCATCGGGCGAGGATGAGCCGAGGCGTCAGAAGGCTCCTCGAAGGCCCGAACAAGCTTCCCTAGTGTATCTGAGACGGGTTCTAGCGAGGAGCTCTAGCGACGCGGGAAGTCGCCGGGAACGCGCACTACGAACTACGACCGAACACAAGATTACAAGACTAGCAGACCACGCACGTCTTCTTCCGCCGCTTCGCCCGCTCCGCCTCGACCCTTGGAAGGCAGGCGGCCATCATCTCGTAGTCCTCCAACTTTTTCGCGTCCTCGACGGACGGCTCCGCGCCCCGCAGCAGAGTCTTGGCCTGCTTCTTCTTGAGGATGTGGATCTTTTGCTCGTAGAACTTGAGGGCCTTGTCTCTGTTTTGGTGGATCGCGACGCACCGGTCGTAGAATAGCGAATACTGCTCGTCGGCCTGGTCCGCCTGGCCCGCCATCTGCAGGGCCTTGCCCATGAAGTAGTTGGCCTCGGGCGCGCTGGGGTCCTCGGAGTACTTCTTGAAGGCCTTGGACAGGTCCTCCATGCGCCACCAGCCGCTCTCGTTCGGCGCGGGCGGGCGCGCCTTCGGAGGTTCGGACGCCTTTTTCTGGAGTGCTGCGGCCTGGGCCATGCCCTTGGCCTTGCTCGACGATTCATCGACCTCGCGGGGCTGCAATGCGAGCGCCTCCTCGTAGCGCTCCTCCACATGCGACCGCTCCACGAGGTCCTCGGTCTCCAGGCCGGCGTCTATGATGGCCTTTTTCATTTCTCTAATGCTGGGTTTGGGTGAGCGTAGCGGCATCTTGGTTTCGATGGCGCGCGGGCGTGGCGCGCGGGCGGCGGCGCGTCCGCCGGCGCAGGGTCTGGTGGCACACTGGTCTGGGGCAGCCTCGGCCGGCGTTCCCAGGGGTGCTGCGTCTAGCGGCGGCACTGGTCCGGTCCCGGGGTAGCGTCTACTGGCGTCTACCGTCCTGGCCCGAGGTGTGCGCGGCGTAGAGGGCAGCCTTTTGTGGATGCCAACCTGCCTACCAAAAACCTGAAAGGCGCTGCGGACCCCCGGCTTCCGCGGATTAGTGCTCTCAGCGCGGCAGACTCGTCACGTCCACTACGGGAGCGCTGGATGCGCAGCCAGCGGTAGAGCCACTAGCCAGCAAGCAAGCAAAGGCTGAAACTACGTGAAAAAAAGGCACTGCGTACCGTGTAAAAGACCCTGACGGCGTATAGATCACGTAGCAATTGTTTTCTTACTGGCCGAGCCAACAAGCAATCAAATTTTGCCTCATAGCCCGCGTAGCAGCGCAGGGTGCAAAAGTGCAGCTACAAGCTTCTCCTCGGCAATCAAGGGTATAGCGGGCTGAGCGCCGGTCGAAAAGCCAAGCGGCGGCGGCGCGGCCGCGCGTCTGTGCAAGAAACCCGAGAAACGCATCGATAAGAAAGCAAACGCGTCGATACTGAGCGCTCGCAAAGCAATAACATGTCGCGCGCGGCGCACGACGCCATCGGTGATGTATTAAACCTCGAGGAGGGCTGCCCCTTCGGCAACGCCGCCAGTCGTTTAACAAGAGAAACCGCAAACGACAAGGAGGCTGGAGCCGCTCTGGCCGGCGCGTTCGCGGGCGTGACCGCCGCGGGCTTCGACGAGGACAACGCCGCTAGAGCGTTAGCTGCAGTAGCAGCAAGGAGAGGCGCGCGCAATACGACCAGCAGAGCCGCGCTAGATTGGCTGTGCCTGCGGCTATCGTACGACGAGCTCCCAAAAACGTTTCGGGAGGATGAAGTGGAAGAAGATCGAGTGAAAAGAAATGCGTCGCAAGGCTCTTTGGAGGTCATTTCGCGAGGTGCCCCGGAACCGGAGAAGGAGGAGCCACCTAGTTTATTGGGCCTCATGGGTCTGAAGGAGGAGCCGCCCAAGCCACCACCGATACAAGTGCCCGACGCGCCTCCACCTGAGGCTGAGAGAGCTCCTCGACGGAAAGATTCCGACGAGGAAGCCCTGAAGCAGTACGCCTTGCAAGCCGTATTGAGACAGGAGGCCGAGGCCAAAGCTGCGGAAATCAAAGCTAAGGAAGAAGAGCAGCGCCAAAGGGAGTTCGACGCGTTGCCCGACGACCAGAAGCGCGACAAATTAGAAGCGACGCTACGAGATTTGAGGCAGAAGCACGGCGCGCTCAAAAAAGCTCGCGCGTACGACGAGATGAATTCTGTCGGCGAGGACATCAAAAGAGCGAATGATGAGCTACGAAAACTCCCGGAGCGGCCCAAAAAACTCGAGGAGCCCAAGCCCTGTGCTGCCTGCGGCACGGACAAACCGAGAGGAAACTACTCGAAGGCCCAATGGAAGGCCTCGTCGTCGTCAAGACGGTGTCTCGGGTGCGTCGCGGCCAACAGAAACGTGTCTAGATCGAGATCCGGCTCGGCGGCGTCCATGGGCAGCCACGTGTCGCAGGTGTCTACGACGGTTACCGAGGAGGACGAGGGCGTCGGCGCCATGTTCGCCGAAGCAGAGGCGGCAGTTGTGGAGAAAGTCGAGCCCAAGGAGACCGTGGCGCGACCGCCGTCGCCGCCGGCCGTCGTGTGGTCCGGCGCGACGCCTCGCGAGAAATTGGAGCAGTGGTGTCGCGAACGCGGCAATCCCAAGCCGTCCTACGAAGTTGCATCTAGAACTACGGTACGATGCAGAGTGTGGGCTCTGTCTCGAGAACGAGTCCAGCGAAAGACCGCTCGAGCCAACAAAGGTAGTAAACCACCACCTGGTACACAACCGACCGTCAACCTCATAGCAGACGCCGAAGACCCGATGCTGCGGCCCTGGGCGAAGTCGCGAGCTTGTAGTGGAGGTCCGTCGAAGGCGCCGCACGATCTGGCGGCGTGCATGGCGCTGTATGCTCTCGCGCCGGATTTACCTTTGTATAGGGTCTTACCACCACCCTTCAAGCAGTGGTGGACGGCGAAACTGGACAAGATCAAGGCCGAGAAGGAGGCCGAGGCGTCACTGAGCGCCGTGGAGAAGCAGCGCCGGTCGGACAAGATCATCGCTGATGTGGTGAGGAGAGTGTTACTCCACGCGGCGGCGGCGGACGACGAAGCCGCGGATGCTGCTGAAGAGCAAGAGCTGGAAAAGAGGGAGAAGGTTCCAGCAAAGAAAGTAGAAACAGAGGAGCCCCAGGAGTCGTGGGAGGATTTACTGGAGAGTGATGACGACGACGCGTGGGACGCTGACAAGGAGCCCACGTCGCCTATCGTGGAAGAAGTAGTGGAGGATATCGAGGAGTTAAGATCACGAGGCGACGAGCTACGGACGTGGTGGTTGGATAGGAAGGCTTCTCCAGAGTACGCTGCCATGAGGGATCAACGAGCCTCGTTACCAGCAAATAATGCGCGGGAGTCCTTCGTGCAACTCGCGGGCGATGCGACGCGGGACTGCCACCGGGATCGTGTGGTGGTATGTGGCGAGACCGGGTCGGGGAAGACGACGCAATTACCTCATTACTTGTTGGATGCTGCTCTTTGTGCTGGTGGGGAACGGGCGGCGCGCATCAGGATTGTCGTGACGCAACCTCGACGAGTAGCGGCGACGTCCGTCGCGACGAGAGTCGCCCAGGAGTGCGGCGAGGACGAGATTGGTGGTCTTGTCGGATATCATATAAGGCACGAGCGCCGCTGTTCGTCTCGGACGAAGATCTTATTTTGCACGGCTGGAGTGTTGTTGAGATGTTTGCGAGGCGCCACGTCAACCCACAGCGATGGAGACGACGGCGCGGACTTCGTAAGAAATGCGACGCATATAGTCCTTGATGAGGTACACGAGAGAGCAGCAGACAGTGATCTGTTATTAGCGGCTCTAAGAAGGACGGTGGCAGCACAACATAGACGGGAAAAAGCTAGAAAACTCTCCCTCGTGTTAATGTCGGCTACGTTAGATGCGCAGCTCTTCCAGAAGTACCTAGATGCCGCGTTGCGAGGTTCAGAGAAGGCGCAGACGACGCCGTTAGTTACTATATCCGGTAGGGCCCATCCCGTGCAAAATTACTTTTTGGAAGATGTCGTGGCGGCGACGGGGTATGTGGCTGCGGCCTGTGGCGGTAACGATCGCGAAGTAGGTAGGCGGAACGAGGGCACCGAGTCCGTAAGGACTGTAAGGCAATCGGATAAAAGTGATGCGGACCAGTTGGTGGAGCGAGCCGTCAACCGCTACAAAGCGGAAGAGGAGGAGAACGGCTGGAATATACATAAGCTCGACTACGACCTGGTGATTGCAGCCATCGAGGCCGTGGTGGAGGGCTGCTTTCCCTCTGCTACGAATGAGGTGGCCGAGAGCTGGGAAGATACGGAAGAGGAGGTCGATGATGGCGCCGTTCTGGTCTTCCTGCCGGGTGTGGGCGAGATCCGGCGTTTGGCAGATCGCGTGATGGCGTCTCGTCGCTTATCTCATTGTTTATGTGTGGTACTACATGCGAACGCCCCGCGAGAAGATCAGCGGGCGGCCTTCGCCCCAGTACCTCATGGGTATGCTCGTAAAATTGTACTGGCCACAAATGTGGCTGAGAGCAGTGTTACCATACCTGACGTAACCTGTGTCGTCGACTGCGGCCGCGTCAAGGAAGTGAGGCACCATCGCCACGGCTCCGAGAAGTTGTTTTCTGCTTGTCCGACGCTGGAAACGGCCTGGTGTTCTCGGGCTTCGGCTCGGCAACGAGCTGGTCGGGCTGGTAGAGTTCGGCCTGGCGTATGTGTCCGGTTATATACGCAGGACCACTTTGAACAACGACTGCCGGACCACCAGGAACCGGAATTACAAAGGGTACCGTTAGAAGAGTTGATACTATCCACCAAAGCCACCTGCGACGATGCGAAAAGGTCTAAGGATTCCGAGTTCTTCGCTTCAGCGGCAGAGTGGCTGCGGGACTGCGCCCAGCCGCCGCCTCTCCATGCCTTGTCGGCGGCACTCTCGGAGCTTGTGAGTGTGGGTGCTTTAGTCTTGGTCGACGAAGAGGAGCAGTCGTGGGGCGCCATTGAACAGTCGTTGCATGCCGGTTCGGATGAAAAGTTACTACTGTCTCCACTAGGACGGCATCTCGCTAGACTACCGGTGCATCCTAGACTAGGAAAGATCCTGGTCTATGGGACGTTGTTGGGCTGCGTCGGACCCGTTTTATCAGTAGCGGCGGCCGTCGGTTCGGGTGGCCGGCCGGACGCCGTCTGGGCGCCGGATCCGGGCCGGGGGCAACGCGAAGAGCGGAAGAAGCTCTGCCCGCCGCGGGCGGACTTGGTGGCCTGTGGGAGGGCGTTAGATGCGTGGAGGGAAGCTAGAGGCGGCGCGCGGCAGTTGTTAGCGAAGAAGCTAGGATTGCACGAGCCGGCGTTGAGAGATGCACTGGATGCGCGGGACCATTTTGTCCTTGTACTTGAGAGAGCTGGTCTACTAGCACGGGGCACGGCGGACGAAGCTAGATCTCACGCGAACAGACATGCTGCGAACGCAAATGTCATTGCTGCGGTGTTAGTGGGTGCTCTAGCTCCCCATGTCGCGCGCGTCGACGCTGTGGCGCAGAACGGCTCGAAAGGTTCGCTGAATGCCTCGCATACGGAGTTAAGTGTACCGAAGATAGCTTCAGCAAAAGCCTCCGGCGAAGACACGTCCACGCAACGTATAAGACCGGCCGTGCGCTTCGATCGAGCTCGACTGGCCCAGTCGTCGATGTTAGCAGCTTCCGATCTGGATGAGAAGGCGTGCCACGTGGCCTTTTTCTCGAGGAGATGGGAGGCGGGCCGCGGGCGGTTGTTGCTGGGAGGCTGCGCCGTGGCGACGCCCTTCGCACTGTTGCTGATGTACCCGGGCGACGTCGACGTGGCCCACGCGAAACGAGAGGTCACGATCGCGCGCTGGATCCGCCTCGTGAAGACGCCGGCGCGGACCGCGGTTTTACTGAGGGAATTAAGACGGGAGCTGAACGCGACGCTCGCCGAGTTATTTGAACGGCCGCCGGCGTCGTCGGGCCTGAGCGACCACACGACGTCGGCGATCGACGTCGTGGCGCGCTTGTTACAAGAGGAGCCGACGCGGGCGATCGTCGGGGAGTGATTTCGTGATATTGACCATAAGTTCTTAAGTGTTACTACGTGATTATGTTTCCTTCATTGTCTAGTCTGGGGGAGCCGTATGTGGGCTCTTCGAATCGACAGATCAAGTTGCTGTCGGATGGGAGACCGAGCTGGAGCGCGTCTAGCGCGGCGGCCATATCCCTATCGTTGTTGATCTGCAACGTCCCCCCGATCCACCACTTCCCGGCGTCCCGCCCCAGCTCGTAGTCCTCGAGCCGCAGCTCCTCGAACGACTTGCCGCTGTAGGCCGGGCTCATACTGATGGCGTGGTGGACATTCTCCGTGTGCCTGTCGAACCCAGGCCTGGCACCAAAGCAGCCCGGACAACCATTGGGACGATTGCTACGGCCGCAGACGTAACACGTTGGGGCCTTCACCACCTCAACTTCGCGCTTCGGCCGATACGGCAGCTGGCTCGTGCCCGGCCGTCGCGCCGCGATATATCGCGTTGCCGGGGGCCAGAATGAGAGGACGTTTCCGGTAACGCCGTCGGGAATGCCGACGAGAAATTTCATAACAGGGTCGGTCGTCTTGGCCCGGCCTTTGATCGCGAGGGCCCGGAGCGTGAGGACCGTCTTGCGCGGTTCGCTGCGCGCCTTCTTAACAAGAGCCTTACACGCGAGGAAATGTTCGTTTTGGGACAAGTCCTGCGGGGTGCTGGCAGCCCACTTATCATTACCGAACCACATCTCCATGGCCGGCGTCGTCCGGTCCTCGACGTGGCGCAGCAAATTCTCCACCGGCGCGCCGGCCCAGCAGTCATCAAGTGACGCGCCGTGACGTAGAAGTAGAGCGACATATTCCAGCGCAGTGCGCGTGCATTCCGCATCGAAGCCAGCCGGGGCCGTGTCGTCAGCGGCGCACCGAAACCAGTCAATAGCAGTAGCGAGCGGCGTCTGGACGGCCGCGACTACCCCGAAGGAGTCTTCTTTCCGAACCCCTGATGTCTTCGCGTTGATGTCGGCGCCCGCCGCGAGTAATGCACGAATCACAGCCAAGCCAAATAGGGGGTTCGAATCGCAAGCATGATGTAGCGGTGTCCAGCCGTATTTATCCGCGAGGTTCACGTTTGCTCCTCCTTTCGCTAGAATCATTTTTACGATGGCGACCTCGTTCTCCACCGCCTCGTTGTCGTCGTCAAGATAATGATTGTCAAAACCTCTTGCACACAGATTAAGGACCGTCGTTCCGTCGGCGTCGACCTCGTTTATGTCTCCTGGACGCTCCAAGCTGTGGAGCCAGGCCGACACCAGGTTGACGTCACCGAACGTCGCGGCGTCCACAACATGCTCGTCCAGGACCATCTCGCGCGTATTGGCTTCCCAGGGCCTTCCCAGGGCCAAAGCACTCAAATTGTGACTCAATTGAGATCTCTCAGTGGCTCGTAGCGGCGCGAGCTGACGAGCAGTGTCGAGCTAGTCACGAATCAGTGCGAGCGCACCTCACTGCCGCTTTATTGCGCCTCCACGCTACGCGCGCCGCGACGCGCCCGTGACAAAACGGGTTTTCCACGCCGGAGACGCGTACGCGGGGTCCGCGAGAGGGGCTATAGCCACGATAAGCGACTCTCTGTAGTCTATATTAATCCATGATATACGCGGGTCGAACAGGGGCGCGCCGCGGCAGAACGTCGGCGCCGAGCGAGATGATGATAGAGCTACTAGTCGTCGAAGGCGAGCGCCCGCTGCGGCGAGGACCCGGCGTCCGTTTTCTCGAAGGTCATGATGCGCTGGTTCTCGCCGCTCCCCGACAGGTGGCCCTTGTCGTCCCCTACCAATTTGCACGCGCCGCCCTGCTGGCCGACCCAATCAATAACAGCCTCGGGGTTGCCGTAATCTCTTTTGGCGGGGCCTATCAATGAAAAGCGCGTCACGCGCTGTGACCGGGCGCACGCGCTGAGTAAAGTTTCCTTGGCCTCGGTGTTGAACCTATATAACGTATGTCATAAACATATCAAAGTAAAGAACGTACCCGTGCCAGACCGCACTCACGGTAATCTCCGTATCGTCGGACTCGTTGAAGACTTCATTTAACCAAGCCTCGACGGTAGCTCCTCGTAAATCGCAGATGTCGATGCTACAAGCGAGGCGCGCCGACGACGCGCCCATGCTGTGGCTCTGGGCCAGCACGTCGCGCATGCCCTCGAACTTCGTCTGTAGACCGTCTCCCGAAATCTCGACGCCATAGACGTGCGCCGCGCCGAGCGATAAAGCCCCCAGCAACACTTTGCCGTCGGCCGCGCCGACGTCGACGTGCGTCCGTCCTACCACTTCACATCTTTCAATCATCGTGCGCATCGTGCCGGCTGTCAATGTACCATACAAACCGGTGCCGTCGTGTCCTAACCCGGGCTGGAACTTCTGGAAGATGCTCCTACGTGTATATGTGATAGAAAGTATATCAAGGGAAAACGTACATGGCCTTCTTCCAGCGCGCCTCGTAGGGGCCGGTCTTCTTCTCCTTCGGTTTGGTCTGCGGCGTCTCCGCCGCCTTCTTCTTGCTCGATGTCTTGACGGGCGTCTCCGCCGCCTTCGTCACAGACTTGACCTTGGCCGGCGACTTCGGGTCCTTCTTCGGACTGTTGCCTTTCGTCGACTTCTTGCCCTTCTTCGTCGGCGACAACGGGGCTTCCTCCTTGGCAGCCTTGGCCTTGGACGACATGTTCGCTCGCCTAAGGGGGGACGAAGGGGGCGCGTTTGTAGGACGCGGGGTCGTGATGTTTGCCGAGGTGTTCGCCTGCGGTCGCGGCGGTAACGCAGTCGTGTGGACGTGGACGCTGGGGCGTGCGGGCTCGTGTGGAGCCGGCGTAGGTGGTTTTGTGGTCACGGTTTCGCCTGTGCGACGCGAACATTTTTGGGGGTGCGCGCGCGGCGCGTAACGGCGGCGCGCGGGGTACTTGGGTGCGTGGGGCACTCTTGGAGGCGGTTGGGGTGACGGACACGGCGGCGCACGGGCTCTTTTGGGAGCCGCGAGAGGTATCTTGTTTTTTCGCCTGCGCGGCCGGAGCGTCGCGTGGCGCGCCGAAAAAAACGAGCACAGCGCCGCGGCGGGTCGTCTGCGTCCGCTCGCGCTGCGATAGCTTCCGCCGCGCGATATTGGGGCGCTGGGACGGCGCTTTGTCTGGCTTCGTCGGCAACAGGAGCCCCACCAAACGGGATGGCAAAAGGGGAGTTTGGAGGCCTCTTCGGTACCTCTCGGCGACGGGAGCACTCTTCAACGCACCCATGGCCGGAAGAGTGGACGTTTGGCCGATTTCTAGTGGCTCCTCGTCGGCGGCTGGGCTTGGGCACCAAACGCGTTGGGGCAGCCGCCGCGGCGGGCGCACGGGTCGGCAGCCAACGAACGCGAAGCTGCTGCAGCCCCACGAGCAGCACCGGAATACATAACTCGCGACCGCTGGGGCAGCACCCACACACAACACAGCAGCCATGGCCCCCCTCGACCTAAGTGCGCCGGCCTGGAAGGTGCGGAGGCAGGCCGCCTCGAAGATCCAGGGCTTGGTACGGGCGAAGAAGGGCGGTTCGTTGCTCATGATCATCGCGCGGCGGGTCTACGAGATCGGGTATGATGCGGAATCAGAGGAGTACTTTTACTACAACAAGATGACCGGCGACTCGCTCTGGGACCCTCCCTTGATTCTCAAGGCGTGTCCGCCGTACCGCACGGATCGACGAGCCATTTCTTGTGCGACGACGATCCAGGCCGTCATGAGAAGTGCATTAGCGAGAAAAGAGGTCACAAAAGTGATGAGGGAGGTGTATCGGAAGGACTTCGATCCCGATTCGGGGGATTACTACTATACCAATGTCAGAACGAATGAAGTCCGGTGGGACAACCCCGCCGAAGCTTTGAGCTTAATCAAAGCTGAAGATGCCGCGCCGGAGCTCGGTCCCGATTCTCAGTTGATTGTCAGTAAGGATTCCGAGATTGAAAGACTGAAGAAAGAAGTAGAAGATGCCAAGAGGGAGGCCTACGAGGCCAAAACCAGCACACATGCGAAGCTCGACAAAGATCTGCGACTGGAACGCATGGCCAACGCCCTGAAGGGCCAGAAGCGCTCTAGACATTTCGACGAGTGGCGGAATGAACATATAGTCGCGTGGTTCCTCGAGATGGACCTCGAGGAGTACGTGCCTGCGGTCCTAGCTTCGAAAGTTGATGGGTTACTATTGCTGAACATGGATGAGGACGACTTCCGGGAGCTAGGCATCACGAAACGGCTCCATCAGAGGAAAATAGACATTGCCCTCAAGAAATACAAGCTGAGGTACGAGCGACGCGAAGCCGGCGGCGACGACGACATCGACATCCAGGCCGAAGAAGTGGACGGCGACATGGACGAGTCCGACAAATCTTCTTCGGAGGAAAGCTACTCCGACAGCGACGACGAAGAAGAAAAGACGAAGGAGGAGGCGATTGTGGAAGACGGCGACGACCTGCTGCCGACGGAGGAGGAGTTGCTCGAGCTGAAGCGGGACCGGGACAACATCCAGATCGACGTGCTCTTCCCGGGCGACGAAGAGACCTACCCCCAGATCGGCGACGTCGTGCGGTGTCATTACGTGTGCAAGATCGCCGATACGGGCAAGGAGGTTGAGAATACGAGGAAAGCCAAGCAGACCTTCGAATTCGTGTTAGGTATCGGCCAGGTCATCAAGGGCTGGGACCGCGGGGTCCTGCAGATGAGTTTCGGGGAACGGTCGAAACTTACGATATCCGCGGAATACGCGTACGGCGAGCATGGCGTGAAGCCATTGATACCGCCCTACGCGAAGTTGATTTTTGACTTGGAGCTATTGAGGTGGCACCCGCGGCCGCACTGGTCGAAACCCCTCATCCAGCAGCCCGGCTTAACCGAATATCCTTATGAAGATCCAAGAGCAGCAGAAGAGGAGGCCGGCGACGACGACGAGTTCGCCGATTTAGAAGATGATGAGGTCGATGGCGGGGACCTGAACGCGTCGGACAAGATGTCGTCGCTGCTGGCGAAGGGGTAAGAGAGTCATGTGTTAAAAAATATACCGGACGTTGCCGTTGCCCAGCGGCTCGACCGCACGCGCCCCGTACGGCAGGGTCGCCACGGCCTCGCCGAGCCGGGGCGGGGCCTCGGCCGCGGCCGCGGCGATGGCGTCGTCCACGGAGGCGTCGACGACGGCGCGGAACACGCCAATGGTCGTGGCGCTCGTGGCCTCGTCGGCCGCCGGCGGTTCCCAGCCCTTCTGGGCGGCCAGCAACCCCGCGCCGACGCCGTGCCGCCAGTCGAGCGCGAAGCACTCGCGGCACTCGACGTACGGGTCGTCGGGTTTGAAATACGAGGCGCAGATGTCCTCCGCCGTGCGGTTGACGACGTCGTCCGCCAGGCACCCGGCCGCCGTGAGTTTCTCGGAGAGGACCGTCGTACATTGTCCTTCGTCCCACAGAGTAGTCAAGTCCCCGGGAAACCGCGCGTACCGCTCCCGCAGGCCCTCGACGCCGAACGCGTGGCCCGGCACGGCGCACCCGTCGTCTCCGGCGATTTTTGGTCGCGGGTGCCCCTCCCAGGTGTGCCAATTAGAGGGCTTCTCGTCGCCGACGTTCGAGTCGGCGATCCACCTCTTGTCGCAGCGCCAGCACTCGAGTTTCCAGCGCGAATGACTAAAGCTGAACTTGTCGATGCGCTCCGGCCAGTGAGCGTTGTGCGGCGGGCCCCTGCACCGCGCCGACCACCGCGCGGCGCGCACGCGGTCCCGCATCGACGCCGGGAGCGTGTCGATGATCGCACCGCCGTCGCCGCGGCGCTTGATGGCCTCGGCGCAGCGGGCGAAGAGCGTATATATATATATATCGGAACACCCATTCATGGCAGTACACGCAGTGCCGCGCATGGAGGGCAGCCCAGATCGACTCGGCCTCGCGGCGCTGGGCCTTCCGCGACGCCGGGGAGGGGGGCTGCTGTCGTTTGCGGTTCTCTGCCATTCTTTACAAATCGATGCAATCAGCGTTGTCAGTGGTGTCTCGAGGCTGCTCCGCCAGCACGACTTCGATCGATAGCAGCGATTACAGGCCGTGCGAGCCCGGAGAGCAAGCCATGAACCTAGGTTATCGACACACTAGCATAGCGCCGAGCGGCGTCCGCCGTCGGAGCCGCAGCTCAGCCGCTCCGCCGGCTCCGGGGGCAAAGGCCAAGCCCAGGGCAAGGGCAGCCACGATGGCCCTCTCCCTGAACCCCATGGCCGTCTTCGGCGCCATGGGCAGCAAGCGCGAGCTGCCCCCGCCGCCCTCCAAGACGCCCAAGAAGAAGCCATTGAGCAACCGCGACCGCCAGACGCCGCCGGCCCGCGTGAAGACGCCCAAGTCATCGTTGAGACCTAGATCGTCCTCCTCGTCGCGGCCCAACAGTTCCGGAGCGGAAATGATGAAACTAATCGACGACCTCGTGGAGTCGATGCCGGCGCCACATCAAGAAATGTGTGTGCGCGTCATGTCGCGCATGGATCCGAGTCACAGACGCGTCTTCACGGAGATTTTGAGCGAGGTTGTTACTGATGAGGACCAACAGTTGCGGGCTTTTTTTTGCTGCGATTCGTTGTTGAGCAAGTACGGGCCTACGTCTTGCGAAGCGTTGGTTACTGCTTTTCAAGACGACGCCGAGGAAGCAGGGATGATCGTGGATTTACACGCCTGCTTTGTTGAGGAGAGATGGCGGGAACTGCCCGAACTACCTCGAGCGCAGCGGACTGAATTGATAGATTTGATGAGAAAGATGACGCACGCGGAGCAGAAGAAGGTGGGACGGGCGTGTGGGAAGTTGTTGCCCATGGTCTGCGTGCTACAGCTTTTGAATGAACTGCCGCCGAAGTACTGTCCCTTATGCAGGATAAAGCACGCGCACGAGGAACAATATCTCCTGGAGCAAGGGCTAGAGGAGGAAACGAGTCAAAATAAATTGGCGTTACCGTTCACGCCCGACGTCTACTGCTTCGAGGAGCGGAGTGAGGACCCGTCCGATGCCAACAGCAGTGAGTTGAGAAAGCTTGGCCTCGAGGATTCGGATGCTTGTGTCATTTTCGACAAGAAGGGCTACAATTTTCGCATTGACACGGCTCGCATATGTCCCGAATGTCGACGAGGTGTGTACGGTGTGATGGCTCATCTAGCCAATGATAGAGAATACCACCACTTAACCGGTAAAAAAAAGTTCAAGCAGCTCGAGGCGCGCATGGCGAATGAAAAAGCGAGGGCGGCCTGGTGGACGGCGGAGCACCGTCGAAGTTTACTCCATGTGGCCATCATCGCTTTGAATGAAGTGCGCGAGAACGTCGAGACGCGGGCGGAACTTAAACGAAGACAGGCGGAGCAACGAGCGCGGCAGCTTTTGCTGGATGACGCTGCGGAAGCGAAGGAGGTCGCCCGGTCAGCCGTGGTCGATTATACTAGAAGGATCGCGGAGACGATGAAATCTAAAGATAGAGAGGTGATGGAGCGGCAACTCGCGCGGCGGGACTTGTATTTCCGACTGCAGTCGGAGAAAGAAGCGCGTACTAATTGTGCACCTCGGAAGGAGCGGTGGAGGAGAGATGAGGTGCAGAACAACGGCATCTCTTCCCGCAAGAGGGAGTTTTCTGATGATGGCGTGCCGCTGACGGCGGCGGCGGCGGCGGCGACGTTCGGGTTGACACCTCTCGTGGTGAGGGACGAGACGGAGGAATTGCGAGCTTTTAGGCGGGAGGCCGCGGACTTTGAGCGGCGGTCGGACGCTTCTCGCAAAGCCTTCAGGGAACATTCCGAGTCGATAGCGAAGCGCGAGTTCTCCACCGACTGCGAGGGCTGGGTCCACGACGCGCTGATGGTGGATGACTTGCGGGAGAAGAAGCTCAAGCAGGAGCAGGCTGCTCGAGAAGCTAGAATACGCGCCAGGAACGCCGAAAAGTTGCGGCTGAAGAAGTTGCGGGAGCAGTTCCGAGCGGATGGCGTGATCCGCGCCGCCGACGCGCGCATCGCGGCTGATGAAATACAGAAGCGCAAGGTGCTGGAGGTGAAGCGCGAGGCGTCAGAAAGGACGCAGATGTGCCTCGCGGAGGCGGACCAGAAGGTCGTTGATGAGTACTGGGGCTTCCACCTCCATAAGGAGCGGGAGTGGCGCCTCGCGGAGATGGCTAGATTGATCTACCAGCTCCGGCTGGACACGACGAACGAAGTTATGCGGAAGACGGAATCCGTCAAGCCCTTCTTCGAGGACGAGGTGGAAAGGAAGAAGCCTCCCAGTGCGGCGCCGGTCGACCCATTTGAAGGAAGGGGGCCGCCGATCTACAAGATCTAATACTACTGTTGTTTACTTACTTCATATATACACGGTCCACAATCCCCTCCACGCCGTCGACGCGGCGCCTGCTCGCGCCGAAAGCGCGCCGCGCCGCACGCAGTAGCAGCCCGGACTTTTATATATTGTTACGATGCTGGGACTAGTGGCGATACGTATTGTGGACTAGTGGCGGCGCCGCGTTGCTAGTGTCTAACAGCTAGCTGTCGAATATTAAGGCGCCTTCCACACGCTTTTATCGGGCCCTGTGCGGCACACGTTGCTCCCGCAAGCCACTGGAGTTGTCCAAACGCTTCCTCAGGCCTACGACCACAGCCTTGCTTAAGTTCATACAAATGCGCGTCCTCCGCGCGCTCCTGAGGCCGTGCGCGCGTGCCGCGGCGCAGCGTCCGCGCACGCTGGCCACGCGGGCGGCCACCCAACGCCCGAGCCGCGCGCTGGCCACGCGGGCTTTAACCCAACGCCCGGGCCGCCGCCTCGCCGCGCGCGCGCTCTCGTACCCGGCGCACGAGGTCGTGGGCCTCCCCGCGCTGTCGCCGACGATGGAGGTCGGCACGATCCAGAAGTGGCACGTAGAGGAAGGGGGGAGCTTCGGCGAGGGCGACACGATCTGCGAGATCGAGACGGACAAGGCGACGATCGATTTTACGGCCCAGGACGAGGGCGTCGTCGCGCGGCTCCTGCAGCCCGAGGGCACCGAGATCGCCATCGGCACGCCGATCTTGGTCAAAGTCGAGGACGCCGCGGACGCCGGAGCTTTCGCGGACTTCGAGGCGCCAGCCGCCGCGGCGCCGCCGGCCGCGGCGCCGGCCGCGGCGGAGGCGGCGGCGCCGGCGGCGCCGGCGCCGGCCGCGGCCGCGCCCGCCGCCGCGGGGCCCGCGGCGAACCCCGACGCGCGGCTGATGCCCGCGGCGGCTTTTATGAGCCGTTCCCAAAACATCGACGTGAGCGGTCTGGTCGGCTCGGGCAAGGGCGGCCGCATCACGAAGGGCGACGTACTCGAGGCGCTCGCAGCGGGCACGGCCTTCCCGGCGCTCGGGGCGGCAGCAGCAGCCCCGACGGCGGCGGCCGCGGCACCGGCCGCGGCCCCACAAACCGAACCATTCCAGCCTTTACCCAGGGTGCCCTTCGACCCCTCCACCATACCCACGAGCGGCGCCCCTTTCGAAGATGTGCCGGCGACGACGATGCGCAAGGTCATCGCCAAGCGCTTGACGGAATCTAGGGCCTTCGTGCCCCACGCCTTTTCGTCGATCGAGGCCGACTTAGCTGGCGTGGCCAAGTTGCGGAAGCACCTCATGAATGAATTCGGGGTCAAGGTCTCCGTGAACGACGTCGTGATCAAGGCCGTAGCTTTGGCGTTGCGGGACGTCCCGCGCGCGAACTCGTCCTGGGACGGCACTACGAGTGTACCAAATGATCAAATTGATATTAGTGTGGCCGTGGCGACGCCGGCGGGGTTGATCACGCCGATCGTCTTCGACGCGGCCGGCAAAGGGCTGAGCGTCATCTCGGCCGAGGTGAGAGACCTCGCGACACGTGCAAAAGACAACAAGCTGAAGCCCGAGGAGTTCCAGGGCGGCACCTTCACGGTGTCGAACTTGGGGATGTTCGGCATCACGGAGTTCAGCGCCGTCGTGAACCCGCCCCAGGCCTGCATCTTAGCTGTCGGTGGGGGTGTCAACAAGCTTACGATGGAGAACGGTGACGTGAGGCAGGTCACGACGATGACGTCGCGGCTGTCGTCGGACCGCCGCGTCGTCGACGAGCCGACGGCGGCGGCCTTCCTCCAGGCCTTCGCCCACTATGTGGCCCACCCCGAGCTCCTGAGCGTCTAGGCCCGTAAGTATCGCTGTATCATCACACGATCTACGTGGCGCGTTCGGCGGCCCATGTGGCGTACCGACGCGGCCGCGGCGTGGGACGATGCACCACTGGGGCCCAGGGATGGGCTGGACCCGCCGGGCCGAGAGGAGCTCCTAAGCATCTAGTTACGCGCGCGCGCCGCGCTCGATCTCCAACAAATCCCCGAGGAGCTTCTCGTACCACGTCCTCACGTCGTCCTCGCTCTTGTCCGGTAATCCAGAAGCGATCGTCGCGAAGCGCTGGGGGCTGCCCTCGTCGACGACCGCTAGTTGGGCCTCGAAGTACGCGTTCTCCTCGGCCGTCCAGATGACGGGCGTCGGCGCCCGCGCGAGCTCGGGGCTCCTCGACTGTAAGCTCATCAAATAATATTGCGCGTGCGCCTTGAGCTCGTCCGCGCTCCGGTTCTGCACGTGGGATGCGATCGCGGCCCAGCACGCGTCGCCGCCGACCTGGCCGGCGTGGGCCCGGCAGTACTGCTCGACGCCCTCTACGAAGCGCGCGTGCTCCTGGGGGCTGAAGGGCTGGGGTGCTGCTGGGGCCGCGGCAGCCATTTTTTTTCGTGCGCGTGGCTCGCGGGCCTATTCGTCGCAACGGCGGTCGTGGGGCTCGCAGGTGGGTTCAGGAAGTTGTCACGTCGGGTCGGCGAGGGCGTGGTGCCACGTGACGGCTGCCAGGCGCGTTTTTTCATGCCTTTCTAGTGTGTTACAGACCGCTAGCTGGCTTTTCGCATCGGCGGCCGATCCTGCGCAAATACGTGCAAAAGGACCGATTTCTGAGCCTCCCGCATCGATCCTTAACTCGCCTTCCGTGCTGCGCATCACCAGACCCTGAGACAAGTGCTCTCTCAATCGGCAATTGAGTGCTCTCCCGGTGCTGAGCAGCAGTGAGAGCTCGACATCAATCGAGCCGAGGTGTGAAATGAAGGCAACCGCAGCCCTCGTCGTCGCGGCGGCCGCAGCCCTCCAGCCCGCCGCCCCGCGCCGCGCCGTCCAAACGCGCCGCCACGGCTTCTTCGAGGACCTCTTCGGCAGCGACGATCCGGCGAAGAACGCTGCGAAAGACGAGCAGTGGCGCATCCAGCAGGACGTGCTCAAGCGGCGCCAGTCCAAGGAGGCCACGAACAAATACTTCGACAGCGTCGACGCCAACCGGCAAAAGGCGACACAGGAGCAAGTAACGAAGTGGGCGTTCCAGCGCGACCCGACGCAGGACTCGTTGATAGGCTGGAAGAAGCTGCGAGACAGCGGGGAGATTGGCGACCTGAAGACGGGCCTCGGCACGGACGGCAAGAAGCGGGAAGGGGGCCTGCCGATCCCTCTGCCGTCCTTCGGTCTGGGCGGCGAGGCGGGAGTCGGCGGAGAATACGACAACGGCGAGCGCTTCGACCTGCGGCTGCCCTACGTGGACCAGGGCTACGAGGACCCCGACGCCGACGTCATGGGCAAGTTGATGGATATGTTCAAGAAGAAGCCAAAAGAAGAGTAAGAATCACCCTTTGAACTTAGCCGCGGCGCGGAGCGGCTGGGACACGCGGTCGCACCACTCCCGGCCCTCGGCGGAGTCGTAGTAGAACTTCTTCGCGTTCTCGCGCCGCGCCTTCTCCTCGGCTTTGGCGGTGGCGATGGCGTGGACGTGCGTCCCGCGGATGCGGAAGGGCTGCGCGACGCGCTGCCACGTCTCCTGCCGACCCTCGTTCACCTCGCCGTCCTTCGTGAGGTCCATGGCCCAGAGACCCGACTGGTCCTTTTGCACTTTGACCCTATGTTTATACTTCTGGGCCTGTTCTTGCCGGAACTTCTCCCGATTCTGGATCGCGGCGCGATGGTCGCCGTCCAACCGGACCGGTTTCTTGATCCGCTCGTAGATCTCCTGGCGCTTCGGGTCGATGGCCAGCTGCCAGATGCCGCTTTCCGGATCCCTTTTGACTCTACACGTTTTTTCGTCCGAGGGCGCGCGCGGGTCGGGATCATTTTCCCAGCTACCCAGACACGCTAAACGTCTTCTACGCCCGAGCTCCTCGGTCTGCTGGCGCCTTTTGAGAGACTCGTAGCCCGGCGCCTCGCGCTGCGTCCAATTGACTGCTTTGGTGCCTCCTGAACTACTTTTCGGCCGCCGCCTTCTTCGTGAAACGATATTCGAAGGCAAATCAGAAGGTTCCGCCCAATAACTTGGAGGCTGCGGCATGATGAGCGCGCGCGCGGTGCTGTGGGACTGGGACTGGGCGGGTGCCGACCCGGGTCGACTGCTCACGAGTTGCCGGTCCTCAATTCCATAATCCTTCTTCTTGGGTTGAGCGGTCTGGGGCCGTCGGTTCCTCAATGCGCGTTCCGCCGACGTGTCGGGCCGGAATAAATGAGGCGACGCCTCGGGCGCCTTCTTGGTGGGCGCCGTCCGCGGCCGCTGGAGCACTTCCGGTGAGTTCGGAGGCCGCCCGACCAACCTCCTATTCTCGCGGCACGCGTCGATGGCGTCCGCGAGATAATCGAGTTGCACGGGCTTCACGTTCGCCTTCGCGAGGATCTCCCTTAACTCATCAACGCGCGCCGGCCGCATGCGCCTGACATCTTCCTCGTCCTCGACGCCCAGCTCGTCGAAGTACTTGCTGTAGCGCTTGCCGTAGCCTCTCTTCACGGTATCCAGCCACGCGACGACGCTGCGCGGCTCAGGCGGCGCCATGGCCGCCGCCGCGGGTGCCTGGGAGACCGCCAGTTTTGTGCGTTGGGCTGCCGCGCGGTCGCGACAGTCGAGTGGGGCGCTGCGTTGCAGAGCGCCTCGGCGCTAAGGGACCTACTAGCCGAGCACCACGCGGTGCGAGAGGAATGCTCGGAGGCCAGACGAGGCCTCGGGGCGGCCCCGGGAGGCCTCGGCGGCCGTCGGCCGGGAATCTTCAGCGCGCCGTCGAGCGTGCAGCGCATAATTGTTGGCCTCTGGGAACGCGACCGGCGCCGCGCAGCACCACCCGTAACGGCGTGGACGTCTTCTCTGCGCCCCCCTTACCTCGCGCAGCCCGGCACTCCCGCGTAAAACCGCCGCGCGTGCGATAGCGGGCTGCCCCGCCATGGCGCGCTTCACCGACGACAAGCAGCCCAAGACGCCGACGGCGCCGCGGCCCGACAACTTCCGGACGTACCTGGCCGTGCGCCGGAGCCGCTTCGTGCCGCGCGAGGCGCCGCTCCGCGACGCGTCGAACAGCCCCGTGGCGAGCCCGACGCGCGCGCTGCGCATCGCGACGCCGCGGACGTGCAGCCCCGCCGCGCGGACGCCGCAGAAGCCCGCCGCGGCGGCGCCCTCGAAGAGCGCGGCGCGGCGGCCCGCGTCCTTCGACGCCTGCGCGTTGACGCCCGCGGCGGCCTCGCCGGGCGTGCTGCGGGGCGGCTCGCCGGCGGAGGCGTCCATCGAGTCCTACGTGCCGGCCTTCGACGCCTTCGGCGTGCCGATGCAGCAGACCTTCGCGGGCGGCCTGCCCGCGACGCCGTCGCCCGTGCGCGCGCCGGCGCTCGCGCTGCCGTCGGTCACGCGCGCGGCGGCGCTCCTCCCGTCACCGAAGGTCATGCGCGCGGACGCGGCGCCCCGCCCGTCGCCGAAGGTCCGCGACGACCCGCCGCCGCCGAAGGTCCCGCCATCAAAGAAGAGCGGCGGCGCGTCGTCGCTCTTCGCGCGCCTCGCCCAGGACCGGGCGCCGCCGCCGCCGCAGCCGGGCAGGCGGAAGACGGCGCTCGTCGGCGGCGCGCGCTTCGCGGCCGGCGCCGCGCCGTCGAAGATGCGCGGCGTCGTGTCCGCGCGGCTGCGCTGCACGAAGTGCGCGCACGACGTGTCGCGCTTCCCGGGCTACCGGTGGCGGCCGACCGCCGCGTACCTGCACTTCCGGAACTACCACCCCGATCCAGCGCGATTGCTGGAGGAGGCCGAGGCCGCCGACGGCCACGCGGCCTACTGCTGCCAGTGCGCGTGGCTCGACGCCGTCGAGCTCCGCGACCTCGGCTGCGACCACGCGTGGGTCGGGTACTAGTGTAGTAAGGGTCTTTTTGTTTTACGCGGGCGCGCTTGAACGTCTGGACCTGGTACTTGTCCCGCGTCCCCACGTAGGCCGCAGCGCGGCCCGACCAATCGGGGAGGCCGTCGTTATAGAAGCGCTTGAACGCGGCGTCGAAGCGTTTTACCTCGTCCGGCGCCCAGGGGCCCGAATTCTTCGCGAGCGTCGGCCGTGGCGTCACCGGCGACACGGGCGCCTGGGCCGGGATCGGGAGCGGCGGGAGCGTCGCTAGTACCGCTTCGAGCCGCGCGACGGCCGGCGACGCCCGGAGCGCCTCGTACAAGACGCAGCCCGCGGATTCGGCCGCGCCGCAGCCGTAGCGGCCCGTGTAGTGCACGAAGTGTGCCGCGTCGTCCAGGGTCGCCTGTGTGGAAATCAAAATTTTACGGTGCGTTCGTCTGAATCACCGTGTCGACCTCCACGCCATCGACGCGACGCCTGCTCGATGGCGTGGCGATGCCGGTTCCTCACCGCTCGACGGAGCCAGGACGGCCGCGTCATCGCCGAGAAATGACTTAGTGAAGAATTGTCGTGCACCCGACGGACTGGTTGATTTCCACACAGAGGGTCGCGCCCCGCGCCGGCCCGTGCAGGACCTTGGCGCGGTGGGGGCTGAAGATGGGGTGCGCGCGGCCGCCGCGGCGAAAGGCCTTGGGGTGGCCCCGCTCGTCCGTCGCGTGGTAGTACGAGCCTGTGTGGAAACCAACCAGTGCGTCGGGTGCACGACAATTCTTGAACGCGCCGTAAAATTTTGATTTCAACACAGGTAAAAGCAGGCCGCGAGGCGCGTCGTCGCGCCGTTTGATGTAAGACACGTGTCCGGCGCCTGGGCGTCGCGCATCGGGGCGACGACGGAATACGCCTCGTCGGGGAACGCCGGCGCGTCGACGCCGTCGAGGAGCTTTTTGATCGACGCGTTGAGTTGTGGTGCTTTGCCGAGCGGCACCGGGACCTGCGCGACCGCCTCAGATCGATCCATGGTTTCCACACCGGCTTGCGCGAAGAACTCGTCGACGTCAAAGGTCCCGAGCCAGGCCACGCGCGGCGAGAACGCGAAGGCCGCGTGCGAGAGCTGCGCGCGCTGCGCGACGTTGTTGCCCGTCGTGCCCTCGCCGCCGAGCTGGTAGGGCCAGTCGACGAGCGTGAGCAGCCCGCGCCGCGCGTAGTGCCGCGCGACCCGGAGCCACGCGTGGTCCCCGCGCGACCCGTTGTCGTACGCCAGAAAGTGGTCCGCGCCGAGCAGGCGGTGCCACTCGAGCCAGTCCCGGAAGCAGTGCGCCTCGAATCCTTTATTAAGGCCGCAGGCGACGTCCTTGCCCATGAACGTCACCGCCACGCCGTATTTCTTAGAGCGCTGGCGCCAGGGCCACGTCGACGCCGTCACGCTTATCGCTTTATTATGATCGCCGTCCGTGAGGCGCGCGCCCAAAAACTTGCCGTCGAGCTGCTCGGTGGGCGGCACGGCGCAGGCGAAGACCTCGTGGCCCGCCTCCCTCGCGACGCGCGCATCCATTTCTGTGGACGCGTAACGAAAGCCGCAGCGGCCCCCGGCCCAGGTCAGCTGGCGGTGGCCGGGATGGCATATGCCGATCAGCGCGGGCGCGCTCGCGTTCCACGGCGCCGGCGCGATAAACGCGTCGAGGCACTTGAAGGCGTGGCCCGCCTTCGTCCGGACGTCGAAGCCGTGCACGCGGCGCGGCGTCTGGGCGCGCGCGGTCGTGGCGAGTAGCGCGACGAGGCGGCGCATTTTGTGTCAATATCTCCTAGTCAACAAATCATCTATATGTACATGGAGAGCCGACACGCGTAAACTAGGCACTCGTGCGGTGTCATCAAGGTTTGCGCCGCACCTAACGGGCCCGGGTAAAAGGCATACCCCGTTTTTGTAGTCCCCTGACGGTACATATATGTATACTTATATATATGTTACGAAGTTTGTTACGAAGAGGCGAAGCCCGCCCGGCCAATGGATCGGCGACGCGCGGTGTCTTCCCCGTGCCCGTACTGTTAGCGGTACAGGGCACAGGCCCTAGTGAGTTTTGCGCCGCTCGTCGGAACTAGCCCTTTCCACCCGTCTAAACTCCAAGTCTGCAATTTAGGTACTTAGACCTTTGACGTGAATAGTATGCTCCACGTGGATGGCGGTCTGGACATGTGGCAAGGGGGAGGGAGAGAGGGAGCCGGATCGGGTAGAAGCCGGGGCTCTGAGGAATCTCAACTCGAGGACGGTGGCCTAGAACTCGGCGAGCTTCGACGGGGCACCCTGGACAACCTGGGGCTGGCCCATGATCACCGGAGCTTGCCCCGCCTGGACAATCTGGGGCTGGCCCATGATCACCTGAGGTTGCCCGCCCCCCGGCGATACGGGCGATACCATCATCACTTGGGGTTGCATGCGTGGCAACTCCACCGCCGCGGTCACGGGCGCAGCAGCTTGCGGGTCCGGGACCAAGAAGAGGAGCACGACCCACACGAGAGTCGGAAAGAGCACCAGCCCTGCAAAAAACGTCGACCAGCCGGCCACCGCGTTGACGTGCGTAACGATCGACCAATTGCAGTCTTCCGGGTCGTCCACGTCCTCGCACTGCTCGTCGTCGTCGTCCTGATAGCAATAGTTGATGCAGTCGTCTTGTGTCCTGAACGCGCGGCAGACGTCGTCGCCTCCACCGCCGTGCTGGCAGTCGTCGGGCCACTTCGAGTAGTACCACGTCGGGTCAACGTGCGTACCGTCCGACCTCAGGGTCGTGGGCGTACCCACGTTGGTCGTCGTAACGACGTCGAAATCGTCGTCGACGCCCGCGTCCGTCGCGGCTTTGCTGATTGCGGCGTCGACGTCTGCTGTCGAGCTGCTCGAAATCACGCTCGTGACCGTTTGAGCCTCGTTCGCGGTCGCGACGGACACGGTGTACGTCACCAAGATTCCCTCCGCGAGGCGACGGCGGCGGGCCCTCCATATTTCCACGGTCACGGCGGACGCGGCCACGCCGCAGAGATCGGCGACGGCGGCGACGAAGACTTCGGTGTTGTCCTGCGCCGCTTCGTACGTGATGCCTTCGAAGGTGAGGTCGCCGGTAACGCGGAATTCCGGGCAGTGAAACCGGTGGCCACAATAGTCGGAATCAGAGGCGCATGACCCGTAATCGCAACAATAGTCCTCATCCTGGCAGCAGTGGTCAGCGGAGTCCGCGTCCACGACGTTGTTGATATAACTGAGCGCGTCGCATCCCGCGCCGCGGCTCTTGTCCTCGTAGAGGGTCACGCTGCCAGACACGGTGACAGACGCGGGGCAGCACGTGTATTCACAGGCGTCCTCGGACGGGTTTGACGGCATCGGAGTGTAGCTGTTCGCGCATGTCGCCGGTTCGCCCCAATCCATCGAGGCGCAGCAGTCATTGGCCCAGGAGGTGCAGTAGTCCGGGCGGCAGCCGTTCTCCCACATCCAGTCCTCGTCGTCGTCCTCGTCCCAGTCGCCGCCATCGCCCTCGTCGGGGCCACACTCGTGCGGCAGCGCGCCGACCCTCGAGTCGCGCGTGACAGTGTAGCCTGCGCCGGCGCCGACGTCTTCCATGCACTCGCACTCGTGTTGGCAGTAGCACTGGCCGCCCTCATCCGACCACCAGTCGATGGCCACCAGGCCGTCGCCGTAGTAGCCTAGGCACATCGCCCAGCAGTCGCCCGGCGACGCCGCGCAGCCCACGAATTCGTCCAGGTCGCTGTAGCACCACCCGTCTCCGGCGCCGTGGTTCGTCGTGCCGACTGGAGAGGAATTGAGGTCGCTGAACGTCTCGATGTCGCATTCCTCGTCGTCCTCGTCCCAGTCGTCGCCGCCGCAGTCGGGCGCAGTGCAGCCGGCGCCGAGCTCCGACTCCATGCAAGAGCAGTACGCGCCGTAGTCGCAGCAGTGACCCAGACGCCGCGGCTCGTCGACGGCGGAGAGCCGGCGGTCGTCCCACCACTCGTAGTGCGCGGCGCACTGACACGTCGCCCGGATGTCGCCCCCGACGCAGCAGCTCACGTCGTCTCCCGTGGCATGCGCGTCGTGGCAGCGCTCGTGCGCCGATAACCAGCTCGTGCAGCTGCCCGTGCAGCACTGTCCGTCGCCGTAGTAATCGCAGTCGCAATCGCCGCACGCCGGGTAGCCACAATCCCCACAATTGCAGTTGTCCGGGAGCGAGGCGTCGTTCGTGCAGAAATCCCTCGTTATGGGGCACGACGTGACGAGCACGCGCCGCTGCTCAAGGCTTTGGACTGACGAGCTCGGAGACTCATTGGTCTTGATCTTGGAACTCTTGGTAATGGTGTGGTCTTTCTTTCTATCTTTCTTCTTCGTCTTCTCCTTTTTCTTCTCAGAAGCTTCTTCCGGTTCAGCGTACGCTGGCGCTGCGGCGAGACGGCGGCGGCGGTCGTCCGTCTCCGGCAACCAGCACAGCGAGAAGGACGACGTCTTGTGCCCGCACTCGGGATCATGATCGCCCCAGTCTGAGATGGAGGCGCACTCCACCGTACCTTCGCAATAGTGCTCCATGGCGGACTGCTGCCCCGTCGCGAGGACGATGAAGGTCACGAAGGCGAGGACGCAGTAGCCGACGGCGAGCCCCCCCGTGACCTTGCTGCCGCACGCGCGGCAGCACACGTAGGCCGAGGTGGCCGAGATGAGGTAAATGAGGAGGACGAAGTGGATCCAGCCGAAGGCCGCGTAGAGGGGCATGTGCGTGAAGGACGCGATGAGCGCGCAGATGACGGTGCCGACGAAGGAGATGATGGAGAGCACGAGGATGCAGATCCCGGAGCCGCGCTTGATGGTACAGCAGCCGCCATCGGCATCCTCGTCCCCCATGCTGCGTTGCGAGGGCAAGCCCAGGACCTCAGGGAGGACGCTGCGCTTGTTTTGATACCTACGGTACCTTCGCGACCGTGCGGGCTGCGTTGCGAGGGCTTCCCCTTCCCTTAGGTCGCGTGCTGTTTGTAGCGCGCATGATGTTCATGATGATGATTTGATGATATACCTACTAGCGCCAGCGGCTCCGACTGAAAAGGCTTCATCGAAACGCGGGGGCCGAGAGAAGCGTTTTTTAGGCGGTTCGAAAAAAGAGCGTTGCGGCGAGCGGCGCAAAACACACCACGAAGGGCCCCGCCCGCTAGCCGTCGCACGATCTATCAACACAACAAATAATAGCACCTCGGCGCTAGCTAGCGCGGGCCACGACGACCGCCGCGAGCCCCGCAATGGGTACGAAGATCGTCGCGAGTTTCGCGACCACCATGAAGCCGAGCGCGCGCAGCTGGTCCGCCTCGGAGACGGGGTCGAGCGTGCCCTCGTAGGGGTCGCGCGGCGGTCGGCCCTTCAGGCGCGCGTCGTACTCGCCCGAGAGCCGGGCGAAGCGCTGCCTGGCGCGTTCGCGGTCGGCGGCCGTCGCGCTGCTGGGGAGGCGGTCGGGGTGCGTCTCCAGCGCCAGCGCGCGGTATCTGCGCTTCACGTCGGCCGGCGCCGCGTCGACGGGCAGCCCCATGACGCCCGTGAGCCGCTCGGACGCGAACGGGCGGCGTCGCGACGGATGTGCCGCGTGCCCGAAGCGCCTCGGCACCGCGGTCGCGGGCGCCGCGCGCGGTCCGAAACGCTTCGGCACCGCGCGAAACATTCGAATCACCACCATCGCAGCGTGGACGAGCCGCCACTGATGCCGAATCGCGGTAAAATGTCCTCGACGACGATGCGTGCAACGAGGAAGAGGCCCAGCACGGCTGCCGAGAGACCGAGAATCAGTTTTGAGCGGCGCGCAAGGTTCGAACCATAGCTTGGCTCTGCGCCAGAGGTGGCACCCATTGCAAATAGCTCTGAAAAACTCGAAATCACCGCCCAGCCAAAAAGTACTGTACTGCGGTACTCATATGTAGGGTAAGGTACCTTATCTTACCTTGACACCGCAGATTTGCAAGGGTGCTCTGACTGCGAGGCTGCCCCAGTCTGACTACCAAGGCTGCCCCAGCGGGTTGCGAGGACGCCCGGCCACCTTTATCATGTTCTGCTGCAAGCGCACGCCATCACAGCGCTGCTGCCGCAGCGCCGTCGATGCGCCGGCCGAGGCGCCGCCCGCGAAGCGCCGCCGGCCCGCGCGGGCGGTCGCATCAGCGGTCGCGGCGGCGTCGTAGGAGGCCGCTCGCGGATTTTTAAGACTTTAAGCTATCGAACTCTATGTTACATATCACTTACACGCGAAGGCCGTCGCGTCGGCCACCCGCGCCGCTACTGCGTACGCAGACGCGTGGAAAAGGCCATTTGGTCCTTCAACAAAAGGGCAGGCCATGAATTCGTTGATAGTACAGAACGAGCCGCCGTAATTTCTCGACGCGTCCAGGAACAGGAGCGCCGCCGGCCTCGCAACGCCGGGCGGCGCACCAATCGTAGATCGGAAATTATCGGCGAGCGTCGCGACGCACTCTATTAGCAAATGCCAGAGCCCTCGCGGCCCGCCGCCCGCAGGCCGACGACATTAGTTGCAGCCTGCTTGTCATGAAGGTTGCAATGAGTCGTGCGGCGCGCAAGGCTCTATGCGGGCCTTCGTCGTTTCATTCAGATCGATTCGAACAAGCTCGCCCTGAGTACTCGCAAACACGGCAAACGCGCTGGATTCACCGGATCAAATACTGTGTGGCCACCGAGAGCAGCCAAGCTCTACTCGATTGAAGTCCCATCGAAACGCGCACCGGACGCGAGCCCCGGATCCGTATTGACACTCCTAGGGACGCCTCTCTCGACGTCTTTGCCGCGAAAAACTGCGGCCCGAGGTTTGAGCCAACGCGGGAACGCGCGGCGTCGCGGCGCGGGATCCACCGCATCCGTAGGCGAGCCCGACGCGGACGTAGGCGTTGCGGAAGCGGGGGTCTCCGGACCGCTCCGCGCGAATAGCGTGAGGGCTCCTCGCTTTTCAGTGAGGGCGGCCGCGACGAGGCAATACTGGCAAGTAATTATTATTAGAGACCTAAGACGCCGGCCTGTTCCTTGACCTTGCGGATGCCCTCGGCGTAGGCGACGGATTCAGTGACGACTTTGAAGCGCTTGTGACCGTAGTAGCGCTTGACCTCATACGGGTCAAGGACGGCGCCGTGGGAAAACCAGCGGCAGTCTAGCGAGCGCGGCCGGAGTACGAGCGCGCAGAACGGAAGTTCTACGGCATTGTACATCGCGGCGACGACCCACAACCCGCGCAGCTCGCCGAAGAGCAACTCGGGCAGCTCCACGTCGTCGGCGATGCCGTACTCTCGCCGGAGTACCTGGCACGCGAGCGCGCGGTCGGCCCAGAAGCGGTCGTTAATGTGGTCGAGCCACCGCTCCCGTGGGAGGCTCAGCGCTTCCTGCCAATAGCCGTAAAGACGCCCGTCGACGTGGGCCATGCCCAACAACTGCGACGTGTTGCACGGCCAGAAGAACTGCCAGTTCCGCGCAAACGAAATGTCGTAGTCGCGCAGAGTGTCGGCGTGGAGGCGCTCCAACTTCTCACACAAGGGCGCGGCGTCGCGCGTAGCTCTGCAGTACTCGCCGGGCTCGTCGTCCCGTCGGCTCCTGGCATCGACGGCCCGGACCAACGCCACGTAGGCGGGATGGAAGACCAGCGGCGGACCCAAAGACACTGCCCAGTCGTCGTCGCTATCGTCATCTTCATCAGAAGCGTCGCCGTCGCGTCTCCAGCTCGGATCCACGCGCAGCGACGGCGGCAGGTCCTCGTGGTCCACGACGCGCCGCAGCGGCGACGCGGCGTCCGCGGCGCCGGCGTCGCGCGCCGAGACCGAGCCCTCGTCCGAGTCGTCGTCCGAGTCGGAGCTGTCCGTGGCGCCGCGCCGCGGCGTCGGCACGAGCTTCAATAAATCGCGGACTTCGGCGCGGGTCAGCGACACCACGTCCGGGGCGGCTCGCGCGCGCTTCGGCTGCCGCGCGTGCGCCGCGTCGTCGTCGCTCACGTCCGTGCCGTCCGCGGGTTTGGCGCGCGCGCGTCGCCGCGGCCGCGCGCCGCGCTCCTCTTCATCGGCGTCGTCGGGCGCGCCGGGCATCTCCTCGTCCGACGACTCGTCCGACGACTCGTCCGACGACTCCACTAACCACAACGGCAGCGTGAGGGCCTTGCCCTCCCGCGCGTCGACGGCGGCCTGGCCGATCTTGTGGGGGAGGAGGTGGAGAGGGACGCCGTTCTCGAAGGCCTTCCGGTTCTCCTCGAGCTGCGCGAGGCGCACGGCGTGGCCGCAATTCTTGAGGACGAACTCGGCGGCGGCGATTCGGCCCGCGGTGTTGTAGTCGAACGTCGCGTCGGGCTGGCGGACGCCGTCCACGAACCACCGGACGCTGATCGTCTTGCGGTCGCGCGAGAGCGCCATGCCGGGCCCGATGTTCTTGCCCGCGCCGCCCATCATGGGCGCCACGACGCCCTTGGCCGCGAGGCGCTTCTTGACCTCCGCCATGACGCGCGTCCTCAGTTTGAGGTCCTTGATGAACTTCTGCTGGCCCTGGTGGTCCGGGTGCATGAGCAGCGCGACTAACGTCTCGAAGAGCGCCGCGTCCCGCGCCGCTTTGTCTTTCTCTTCGTCCGTCTTGCCCTTCATCGCCGCGGGCGCGAAGCCGATCGAGCCGCGGTCGCGCACCTTGACCCCGTATCTAATGCCCGCCTTCATGCAGCTGTAGTACGCGATCACTATCATGGTGCCGGCGAGCAGCACGGGCACAATCAGCTCGTCGAGCGGCGAGGCCGGCGTCGCGTACTTGTGCCACGAGTCGGGGATGCGGGGGGCGATGTCCGCCGCCGTGCAGAAGTTCTCTTGGATGTAGCGGCTCACTTTTCTTTTGTTTTTGGGAGTGTCGGTTCGGAAATCGATGGACGAGTTTTTCAGCACCTCGGCCAGCAGCGCTGCACACTCGGTGATGGGCGGCGTCTGCGCCTTCGCGGCTTTTACGCAGCGCTCGACCTCCGCAGTGTGCTCCGTGTTGTCCTTGTCGAAGATCCTCGGCATCTTGCAACAGTAGGACGTGAAACGCGGGCCAAACGAGTCGATCGAGCCGTTGCTTTGCTAGTGTCTTACAGCTAGCCAACAGTATGCGAACACACTTTATGTCTTCCGTTGAGGACGTTTTGCTGCGAACAGTGGCCGCGACGAAGGATGACGAGCGAACCAGAGGAGCGCAGCGCGTGAGGAACGCGCGCCGACGGAGATGATATTTCCCTCTGCCTCGCAACGGATGGCGACAGTGCCCCGCGCACCGCCGCCGTCGCCCGCCGACGCGCCGTACGTGATGCCGCCGCCGCCGCGAACGCCGCCGCGAACGCCGCCGATCGCGGCGCCGCCCGTCCTGCGGCCGACGCCGCGGCGGCCGCCGGGCCCGATGACCTTTGACGACTGGGTGGCGCCGCCGCCGGCCGAGAAATACGCTAGTGGGGTGGCCGACCCCCTCGTCGTGCTGTCGCCGCTGTCGCCTTTCGCCGAAGTCGACATTGACGACGACTGCGAATCGCCGCGGAAGCGGCGGTCGCGGCGCCGGCCGCGCGAGTCGTCGCGGCGCGCCATCCCGGAGTACGACGATACGTTTGCGTCGACGGGCGCGGGATGCCTTGCCTTCGACGCGAACGGGAGCCCGGCCGCTGGGCGCGACGAGGGGTGCGCGGTCGGGTAGAGTGTAGGAATAAAAACAGCGTCCCGATCTCCAAGGCAGTAGTCGAAGCACCGCCGGGACCCGGTCATCCAACCAGCTGGCCAGGCCTCGTAAGGCCTAGCTCTACCCCCTCCCTGATACCCTATCTCTACCCTGCCAGTTAGCTGCCAAATTCACACGAGGGGCTGTTTGCGCCGCGAAACGACCGCAGCAGGAACACCCACGCGGCTGCGCCGGGAGCAGCAGTCGTCGAGCCGAACTCGGGGGCTGCCCGCGTCGCGCGCGGCCTCGCACGCGCAGCAAAAAAACCATGGTGCGCGGCGCCCGGACGGCGCCCGCCCGCGGCGGCAAGAAGAAGGGCCGCACGCCGTCGCCGAAGGGCCGCGCCGGCAAGAAGAAGGGCCGGACGCCGTCGCCGAAGCGCAAGGGCCGCAAGGACCGGCGCCGCGGCCGCGTCTCGGACTACAGCGACTCGGACTACAGCTCGCGGTCCTCGCGGTCGCGGTCGACGAGCCGGGAGCCGTCGCCGACGCCGTCGCAGGAGCAGGAGGAGCTGGCCGAGGGCATCGAGACTCTCGTGGATTTGGAGCGCGACCTCCGCGCGCTGCGGACGGAGCGGCTCCGCGAGGAGAATGAGGCCATAAAGCGCGAACGCGACGCCTGGCGGGAGCGCGCCGAGGGCGCCGCGGCGACGAGGGGCGGCCTGCGTCGCGCGCACGCGCCGGCGCCGCCCGCGCGCGCGCCGCGGTCGCGGCCCCTCGTCCGGGCGCAGGCCGACGCCCAGGGCGGCTTCGAGGACGAGGACGAGGGCGCGGACGACGTCGTGGACCTGAGCGGCGCCCAGGCGGGCGACGGGCGCTTCGCGACGCTCGTGAAGCGCGTGCACGCGCGGGCCGCGACGGAGGACCAGGCGCCGCAGGCGTGCTCCGTGTCGCACGCCCTCCTGGCGGAGAACGACCTGACGGACGCCTGCGAGCCGGCGCTCTCCGAGTTCGTCGCGGCGCAGCGGCTGCGCGTCTTGGATCTGGAGGGCAACGCGCTGGGCCTGCGGGGCCTCGAGGCGGTCTGCCGGGCGCTCGCCGACGCCTCGGGCGCGTCGGGCACGCGGCTCCAGCGGCTGTGCCTGGCGGGCAACGGCTTCGCCGGCGAGCGGGGCGCCGGCGCGGCGCTCGGCGAGGCCCTGTACAATCGGTCCAAGGAGGGCCACCTGCAGAAGCTGTTTGAAGTGACGTGCACGCTGGGCGACGACCCGCGCCTCGCGCGGGACGGAGAAGTGCCGCGGCGCATGGTCCTCGGGCGGCGGACGCGCGGGCACCCGCTCGCCGACAACCCCATCCTGCCCGACGACCCGAACGCGCCGGACGCCGTATCATCAATGCCCCCGCCGCCGCCCCCCACCAAAAAGGCCGCTCCAAAGAAGCGGCCAACTCCCAAAAAGGCGGCGCGCCGCGGCGCGACGACCGCGACCGCGAAAGCCTCCGGCGACTCGCGGCCCCTGAACGCCGCGGCGTTCCTGGACAAGATAAGCCTCGACGATGCGGACGGCGCGCCGCAGCTCGCGGCGCTCGTCGCGCTCGCGCTGCGCGGCGCCCAAATCACGCGCGACGCCGTCCAGAGCCTCGCGCGCATGCGGCGCCTGACGGCGCTGGACCTGTCCTTCGCCTTCGTCGGCCCCCGCGGGGCCGCGGACCTGGCGGCCTCGCTCGTCGCCGGCGCGGACCCCGGCGACGCGCGCGCGGCGGGCCTCACGTATTTAAACCTGACGCACAACGGCATCGGCGACGCCGGCGTCCTGGCCCTCGCGGCCGCCCTGGACGGGTCCCTGCGCAAACCCCAGCCCGACGGCTACTACGACCTCGCGGTCGACAAGCGTGCGCGCGACGACGGCGACGCCCGCGCGCGCAAGCTCGGCCTCGCGGCGCGGGCGGCCGACGACGGCCCGTCCGCGCGCGACGCCTTCGCGCGTGCGCGCCGCGACGCGCGCGAAGGAAAGAAACCGCCGCCCGCGAAGGAGAAAAAGGAAAAGAAGGCGGCGGCGAAGAAGCCGCCGCCGCGCCGGGGCGCCAAGGACCGGAAGCGGGCGGGCCGCGAGGCGCCGGCGCCGGCCGCGCCGGCGGCGCCGCCCGGGCCGCGGGCGCCGTCGCTGACGGTGCTCGACGTGTCCGCGAACCGCATCGGCCAGCGCGGCGCGCGCGCGCTCGCGCTGGCGCTGAAGCGGTCGCCGACGCTGGCGTCGGTGAACGTGGGCCGGAACGACCTCGGCGCGGACGCCTGCGCGGCCCTGCTCAAGGCCGGCGCGCAGAGCGCCGGCCTCTTCGAGCTGCGGGGCGCGCGCGCCGCGGGCGCGCGCGCCGCGGACGTCGCGGCCTTCGCCCGCCGCGCGGCGGACCGCCTCGAGGTGACGCGCCGGTCCGCGGGCGGCGGCGGGCGGACGCGCACCATCACGATCCGCGAGGACGACGCGGGCGACGAGGCGGCGCCGACCGTCTGCGACATGCCGCCCGACGCGACGCTCCGCTACGCGGCCGGCGCCGGGCCCCTCGTCGCGCGGCCCCCCGAGGTCGACGGCGAGGCCCTGCGGCGGGCGGAGCGCGAGCGCGAGGCGGCGGCGAGCGCGCCGGAGGACGCGGAGGACGCGGCCGACGCGCCGCCGCCCTCGGCTCTGGGCCGGGCGATCCTGAACGCCGCCGCGGCCGTGCGCGCGGCCTGCGGCGCCGCGCGCGACGGGGCCGACGACGGCTTCGCGCTGGCCTGGTCGCCCGCGGAGGTCGCGACGATGCGCCGCGAGCGGCCCTGCCTGCCCGCGCCGCCGCCGCGGAGCGCCTGGCGCTGCGTCGGGCGCGCGTACGCGCCGGTCGCGGGCCAGCTCGTCGTGAGCTGGGCGACGTGCGTGCACCCGGCGCCCGTCGGCTTCCGCTGGCACCTCGTCCGGTCGCGGCCGCTCGGGGGCGGCGTGTCCGACGGCCTCGCCTCGGGCTCGCGCGCGGGCGAGACGGCGACGCCCGACGAGCCCGACGCGTACTACCCGCGCGGGTCGCCCTGGGCCTGGCACGCGCACCGGCTCGACGTCGCCGACGCGCTGCCCGGCGACGTGCTCTCGGTCTGGGCGGCGCCCGACGGCCCCGAGGACCTCGCGCGCCAGGAGGCCGCCCAACTCGTCGCGCGCGACCTGAGTGTGGGGCTCGCGGCGTCGCACCTCGCCGCGACGCCCGACGCGTCCTGCCTCCACGACGCGGCGATCCTCGCGCTGCCGTTCCACGACTCGGCGCCGCTGGACGCGTTCGACGGGACGGGGCGGGCGTAGTGGTTTTTCTAACTTCCGAGTAGCGGTTAAGCACGCACACAAGTTGGACTCGGATGTCGTACGCGGCCTCCGTTGAGACACTGCAGCTACTTGTGACACACTAGGCCTCACTCACAACCCACACGACTTGACGAAGACATCTGCAGCAGTCGTGGCAACGCAGAGCAGCGTAGACCAACAGGAGCGATACGGTGCAGTGCCTTGAGATGCGGCGACGACATCTGGTCGCCGCGGCGACTCTGCTTGCCGCTGCAGCTCCGCTGACGCCAGGGCCGCGCACCACCTTGACGGGCCGACCGCGGCTCGCCGCCCTCAAGAGTGCGCCGGCTAACGGCGCCGCAGCGCCGCAGCATGACGACGACGTCTACGACGTCGCCATCTGCGGCGCCGGCCCGGCGGGCCTCGCGACGGCCGCCGAGTGCGCCGCTCGCGGATTAAAAGTGTGCGTCGCGGACCCCGCGCTCGGGCGGGACTGGCCGAACAACTACGGCGTCTGGATCGACGAGGTCGAACCGCTCGGCTTCGACGACTGCGTCGACGTCGTCTGGACGGAGTCCTCGGTCGTCTTCGAGGACGCGGCGCCGGGCGCGCTGGAGAACGTCACGCTCCAGCGGCCCTACGGCCGCGTGGATCGGAAACGGCTGAAGCGGCGCCTGGTCGACGCGTGCGCCGCGGGCGGCGCGACGCTCCTGACGAAGCGTGCGGTGGACGTCGAGGGCACCGCGGTGGAATTCGACGACGGTTCCTCCGTCCGCGCCTGCGTCGTCGTCGACGCTACTGGATTTAGGAGGAAATTTGTAAAACACGACGTCGCGTTCGACCCCGGCTACCAGGTGACCTACGGCGCGCTCCTCAAAGTGGAGAAGCACCCCTTCCCCCTCGACAAGTTGGTGCTCATGGACTATCGGGACGAGTACATCGGCGGCGACGATGAAATGAGGAAGCGGAACGAGCGCTTTCCCACGTTCATGTACGTCATGCCCATCTCCGACACCGAGATCTTCTTCGAGGAGACGGTGCTTGTATCTAGACCGGGCGCGGACTCGGCGGACCTCGAGGCGCGCCTTCGAAAAAGACTATCTGTTTCGTACGGCATCGAGCACTTCGAGGTCCTCGAGAGCGAGCGCGCGGCCATCCCCATGGGCGGCATGGACCCCGTCGTGCCGCAGCGTGTTGTGGGATGCGGCGCGACGGCGTCGTGCGTCCACCCCGCGTCGGGCTACATGGTCGCGCGGGCCTTGGAAGTCGCGCCGCGCGTCGGCGCGGCGCTCGCGGCGCACCCCCGGCTGGCGGAGGCGCGGCGCGTGGCGGCGCGCGGCGACACCGACGGAGACGCCTTCGACGCGCTCTCCGAGGCGGCCTGGGCCGCGACGTGGCCCGCGGACGACCGGCGGCAGCGGGACTTCATGCACTTTGGGTTCGAGCTGCTCTGCGTGCTGAACCCGCGCGAGCTGCGCGACTTCTTCACGGGCTTCTTCCGGCTCCCGGACGCGCTCTGGGAGCACTTCCTGAGCTGGCGCCTGTCGGGCGCGGGCCACGTCTGGATGGGCGGCCTCGTCTGGTGGGCCTGCATCCCGAAGCGCTTCATGGCGCCCATGCTCCTGAACTCGCTGCCCCACCTGCTCGACAAGCTCGTCGGACCGTTCCTCTCGCGCGGCGGCGACCTGATCGGGCCGCACACGCCGTACACGGAAGCGCGGTGGCGGCCCGACGCCTACTACGCGTACCTCGCGGACCTCCGCGCGGGCCTCGCCGCCGCGCGAAAGGGGCCCGCCGCGGAGCCGGCGGCGGAGCCCGTCGCGGAGCCCGTGTCGCGGTAGGCCGGGGTTCTTATAGGTATGTTTAGCACGGTGCTGCTACCGCTCACTTTCACCCGCGTCGGCTTTTCATACGCCTCTTCGATGAATTATCAGGAAAGCCACTAAGCCCGCGAGACAAGTCGTTAGCACGCGCGTCCTGTAATAAAGACACTAGCAAGCTGCGGCTGGTGTGAGGAGTTGAGGGCGAGCTGCTTGTTGGGCGCTGCCGCCAGATTCACGGGTTGCTAGCTACCACTTGTTGGGGCGCTGCCGCCAGATTCACGGGTTGCTGCTACCAGAGGCAGCCCAACGGCTCCCAGTAAGCGAGAAAAGGCCCGCGTGGCACAATCGGGACAAGCCAGACCAATCCCAGCGCGAGGCACCACGATTGCGATGCGCAGCCCCCAAAGAAAACGCGCTGCGCGCGGCGCCGGGGCTGCTTTATGCCGCCTCGCCGGCGTGCTGCTGCTGGCGGGAGGCGCCGCGGCCCCGGCCGAGCGCCTCGTCGCCGAGGTCAGCGCGCCGAAAGAGCGCGGCCGCCGACTCGAGGACGACGTGTTCGTCGAAAATATCGCGTGCGGTGAGACTAGACATGAGTCCACAGCCAATGCGGCGCACTGGCTCTCGGGCAACGACGCGCCCGACCACTTCTATGTGATCACGCCCTCCGAGACGGCCTACTACCACTTCTCGACGTGCGGCTCCGACTACGACACATATCTTTACCTCTACGACGTCGTCGACTACGAGGCGGACACCTGCCTCCGATCGCCCGCGCCGCACGCCGGCGCGGTGAGTCTCATCGGCGAGTGGGACGACCCCGGCGAGGACGTTTGCCGCGCACTCGACGGTCGCGAGGAGCCCCGCGAGGACGTCTGGACCTCCCAGCCGCTCCAGGCCGGCGAAACGTACGTGCTCCAGGTCACCGGCTATTCGGATCACGGCGAAACACTCGAGACGGACTGCGACACCGACTACGCGCGCGACGCGGGCGCGGCGGGCAACTACGTACTCACCGTCGGATGCAGCAACGACGCGCTTGCCGTCCAGTACTGGTACGAGGACTGGAGGTGGGCGAACGGCTGTCGCGCGGACTACTGCACGTCCACCGATGGCGGAGATGGTTACGACTGCTGCGCCTCGATGGATTGGGGCGAACCGGCGACATGCGCGAACGGCTACACCCCGATGCCGCCAAACCCGACCGAGGACGACTGTGAATACACGTGCTGCCCGGGTACAAACCCCCTTTTCGTCGCGGGAAGCCAGGCGGGCGACTACGCAGCGGCCGAATCCTATTGCCAGAGCATAGGCGCCGAGATCGCGACCATCCATAGCGCGACCGAAAACGAGCTGGCGCGCGAGGCCTGCGGCGACTCGTCGTGCTGGATCGGCCTCGAAGAAGTCGGCGGCGACGCGTCGACGCCCAAGGAGAGCCAGACGTGGCAGTGGGTGGACGACTCGGAGGTGACTTACGCCTGTAACATTGCCTCCGTCGGGAGCAGACAATTGGTCCTGTCCGACTTTAACCCGGACGGCGCCGAGCTCCGATTCAGAGCTCAAGACGTGAACGATGGAAGGAGTCTTGAAGGTTGGACCCTGTACGACTTCGAGGGGCACGTCGTGGCGTGGCTCACGCTTGGCGACAGCGATCAATATACGACGCACATGTGCCTCAACAGCGTGGTCTCTCAAGATAAGAATGCAGGCGGCCCATGCATGGCGTTTGTGGGGCACCGGGATACGCACTCACGGCTGGAATCGACCGACTGGGTGACGGTCGTGTTCTCTTCGTCTGCCAACGCGCCGGCGATGTCGATTTTCATCAACGGCGACGTCGAGGCGACGTCGAGCCAGACCGGAAGCACGTATCATGCCGAGAGTGGCAACTCGCTCGACGCGCCGCTCCAGCTGTACTCTACCGAGTGGGTGCTTGAGCTGCAGGTCGAGGGGACCTCGTCGGGCTGCGACGACTACGACTACGTCCCCTGGGGCTATTCGAACTGGGAGGATTGGGAACCGAATAATCACGAGGGGAACGACGAAAGGTACGCCATTATGAACTGCTGCGAGACGGAGGGCGTCGAGTCGACAGGTCGTTGGTACGACGTGCCAGAAGAACACGGCGGATCGAAGCCTCTCTGCAAAGTTACTCAATGGCCGACGCCGCGGCCCACGTCCATGCCGACAACACCTGGTCCTTCGCCGCAGCCGTCGCCGCGCCCGACGGACAAACCGACGCCGCGCCCGACGCCGCGGCCGACCGCCAAGGGCGACGTCACGGACGCCAACATCAGGGCGGCCGTCGCGGCTTGGTTTGACGACCAGGCGGCCGCCGAGGCGACCTACGGCCACATTTCTACGTGGGCGACCGCAGGGGTGACGGACATGTCGTATTTGTTTTGTGCAAGCCCTGATGACCACTCAGGATATGGGTACTGCAACACGGCCGCGGCGTCCTTCAACGAGGACATCGGCGCGTGGGACACCTCTGGCGTTACGAGCATGTACGGGATGTTCTGGTACGCCTCGTCGTTCAATCAGAATATTGGCGGCTGGAGCGTTGCCAACGTCAATGAGATGGGCTTCATGTTCACCTCTGCCTCGGCCTTCGACCAGGACATCAGTGGTTGGGCGGTCGACAGCGTCACGGATATGAGCGCGATGTTCTTCGGCGCCTCGGCCTTCAACCAGGACATCAGTGGTTGGGTGGTTGATGGCGTCTTAGATATGAGTGGGATGTTCAACGGTGCCTCGGCCTTTAACCAGGACCTCGGCTGGTGCGTGGGCGACGACGTCAATCCCTCGTTCCCCGGCACCCCGTGCGCGTCGACGTCCTGCGGCGTCGTGCAAATGGACAACTGCGCGACGCCCCCGCCAACGCCGCAAGTATTGCCCACCAACTCCGACGGCGCCCTCGAGGGATCGATGACTTGCGCGGGCATCTCGCTGGCGGACGCAGAGTCGAACGCGGGCGTCTACGCGTCGGCAGTCGCCGACGTGTACGACGTCCAAGCCAACAGGGTTACCGTGACGTTTTCATCTGGCCGAAGGCGTCTCCAGAGCGGCAGCGTCGTCGTCGACTACACAATTCTCTACGCAACCATGGCGGACGCGACGGCCGCAGTTGCATTGGTTCCCACAGCCACCGTCTTCGACGCTGCCGTTCAGACCGCCGCGGCCGACGCGGGTGTCTCCAGCGTTTTCGCGACGGCGACTGTCGATGCTGTGGCTGCGCCCGTTGCAGCGCAGCCGGTCTCGACCAAGTCCCCAACGGCGTACGAAGAGGACGAGTGCGACGGCGGTTGCATCGCCTTCATCCTCATAGTCTGCGTCATGTTACCATTATGCTGCCTCTGCGGCATCGTTTACCTCTGCCGCAAGATGATGTGCAAGAAAAAGGACGAGGGCACGAAGGTCGCGCCCGCCGCGAAGCCGGACAAAGCGCCCGCCGCGCCTTATTCGCAGCAGCAGACCATGACCATCACAATTCCACCGGGCGCGGCGCCTGGCACCACGCTCCGGGTTATGACGCCATCGGGACAACCCATAGACATCGTCGTCCCGCCCGGGGCTGGACCCGGGACCCAGCTCCAGGTGCCGGTGCCGGCGCCTCAACCGGTGCGGCAACCGGCGCCGCAACCGGCGGCCGCGTCCGCCACGGGCAACAAGCTCGCCTTCGGTGGCGCCGCGGCCGGCGCCGCGGCCGGCGCCGCGGCCGGCGCCGCGCTCACGGCGTCGCAGATGGACATCCTCGGGCCGCTCTCCGGGGTTCTGGCGGCGCTCCCCGCGGCCGCGCCGCCGCCGCTCAATATGTGTCTGATGCCGTTCACGAGCGCGTTGGCCGAACTCGGCCTCGCGGTGCGTCAGGTGCGCTTCAACAAGGAAGCCGCGGCCATGCTGCAGCGGCGCGGAACGGAGATCGCCCAGAAGCTCCAGGACGTCGTCAAAGCGACGCAGGGCCTGCCGACGGGACAGGTCGAGGCCGTCGCTCGGACGGTGACGGCCATCGGCCAGGCGCTCGACGAGGCGGCCAAGTTTCTCCAGCAGTTCTCGAAGAAGGGCGCGTTTAAGAAGCTCTGCTCCGGCTCGCTCGACGCGCGGCGCTTTGGTCTCCTCGACAAGCGGCTCTGCGAGCTCAGCAACGAGCTCGGCTCGGCGTTGGACCTCCAACAGCTCGCGCTCCAGGCGCAGCGGTTCGAGAAGATCGAGGGCTTGATCCAGCTGCTGGGCCAGCAGACGGTCGACGCGAACAACCAGGCGGCGGCGCAGCGGGCGGCGATCATGTGCGGCATCCAGAAGGGCAGCGCCGTCGAGAGCGAGGAGCTCTCGGCGCTCGGCCTGAAGCTGGACCAGATCGCCGCGGACGTGAGCACCGTCATCGACCAGAACACGAAGCAGCAGGAGTCGCTCGACGAAGTGAAAGAGATGGTGGCGGCGAAGAACTCGAAGCTGCGGGGCCGCGCGCTGGCGCGCCAGGATAAAGATAGGGCGCTCGAGGAGCTGGAGATCGAGTTGGACTCGGTCGAAGAGAAGCCCATCGCGAAGGGCTCGCAGGGCGCCGTTCACAAGGCTTCGTACCAAGGCGACGTGGTCGCGCTGAAGAAGATGAGTCTCGTCGGCATCTGTGTGGAAATCAAAAATTCACGGCGCGTTCGTGCTGAATCGCCGCGTCGTCCTCCACGCCATCGACGCGCCGCCTGCTCGATGGCGTGGCGATGCCGGTTCCTCGCCGCTCGACCGAGCCAAAAAAAAGCCGCGCCATCGCTGCGAGGTGACTTAGTGAAGAATTGTTGGGTGCACCCGACACACTGGTTTCCACACAGGTCGGCATCACGGCGACGAAGCGGAACAAGATGATGAAGGACTTCTCGACCGAGCTCGCAATCATGGTCAAGCTCAGGAGCCCACGCATCGTCGCCGTGTATGGGGTGGTGACAACGGACACAACTTGGCTGGGCTTGGTCGTCGAGTACTGCGGCGGCGGTGACCTGCGCGAGGCGCTCGACGCCGACGACGCGGCAAGTATTGACGAAGCGCAGCGGAGGAGCTGGCTATCGGACATCTCGCTCGGGATGGCGTACCTCTACTCCAAGGGCGTGGAGCATCGCGACCTCAAGACGTTAAACATCCTCCTCGACGGCGACCGGCGCTGCAAGGTGACGGACTTCGGTTTGAGCAAATCCGAGTCGCTGGCCACGGCGGCGACGCAGGCGACGGCCGGGGGCGACGCCAAAGGCACGCCTGCGTACATGGCGCCCGAATTACTCCAGCACAACATTTTCACCGAAAAGGGCGACGTGTACGCCTACGGCATGATCGTCTTCGAGGTACTTACCGGAGATACGCCATGGTCGGGCCTCAATCAGATGCAAATCATGATGCAGGTGTGCATTCAGAAGGACCGCCCGAAGATCGATGGCGACGCGCCCGCGGACCTCGTCGCGCTCATGCAACGGTGCTGGGCCCACGAGCCGGACGCGCGGCCGACGTTCGCCGCGATCAAAGCCGAGCTACGCGGCGGCCCCGATACTCCTGCGCGGTGAAAATTCCTTTCCCCCCCCGCTCCCTCCTCAGGCTGAGTTCCTGTCCGAATTAACGAGCAATTATATCTTACTAGAAGTACACGACAACACTACGAAAACGTACAACCCTGCGCGAGGCGCGAGCAGCGGGGTCGACGAGTTCACAGCAGCGCCAGCTCCACCTGCGCCTCGCCGACGGACGTCCTGCGCCGCTTTGCTGGCGGGTCGTCTTCGTCTTCCTCGTCGACCAAAGCGGCGAGGCCCGCCAGCGCCGCGTTTTCAGACACGCCCCCCCTTGGCGGCGCCGTCATAAACAGCGGGCAGTCCTCTTCGTCCGGCGGCCAGTCTCCCTCCAAGATGGCGCGGCCAATGTCCATCGCGGGCCGCAGCTCGTAGACGAGCGACAGCCGCGGCTCGTCGGCCTTGGCCACCTCGTGCGTGCAGGCCTCCAGGGCGCCCTTCGAGAGAGCTTGCAGCGCCGCGTCCACGAGGATGACGACCTCTTCACAAGGCCGCCCCGTCGCCTCGACGTCGCGCCAGACCCCGCTCCGGTTGCGGACCCGCAGGCCCGGCGTCGCCGCGACCGGGATGACGGTTACGAGGCCCGGGCTGTCGACGTGCGGCGTGCTGTTCGGGACGCGCGCGGCGGCGGCGTCGTTGGGATAAAACATCAAATCGAACGGACTGCTCGACACCGCGCCGCCGCCGCCGCTCCCGACTTGACAGCCCATCGCCTGGAGATCAACATGCTCCGGAACGAGTGACGCGACGGCGCACCAGGCCGCGCACGCGCAGCGCTCGACGACGCCGAAGGCGGCGGCGGCGGCGACCGGAGGCGGCGGCCCGCCGCGTCGCAGGCGCAGCACCTCCTTCGCAGCGTGCGGCTTGTTCCAGCCGCAGAGCCCGGCGCCGCCCGCGTCGCTGAAGACGTGGCGGTGCGTGCGTTTCGTGGCCTCCGGTGTATTAAAATAGGCGAGACCAGCCTCTGCGCAGTTTCGCACCGCCAGCGCGTCGGCGGCGTCGAGCGCGACTACGGCGTAGCTGTGTCGTGCGAGTGCTTCCCGCAGCCCTGCGGCGCCGCGCAGGCTCGTCTCGGCCTCGCGCAGCGTAAGCGGCGCATCGGAGACGTCCTCGTCGCGTCTGCGTTTTGGGGTGCTCATCCTGACCAGCAGGGCTCCCCACAGCCGGCGCCGGCAGCTCTCAGTGAAACGGGTTTTTGAACATCGGATCATTCCAAACCAAGATCAAACGCCGACACAGCTCAACGTGGCTGACGGCTCTCACGGCTGGCATGCTAGGTTCGTCGCAATTCGACCATCAAATGATGATGATCGGCGCTTAAACCGCGCGAGCCGGCGACCAAGCGCAAGATATTGCTGCCCATTGCCGCCGCGGACCACGCGCAGACGCTCGCGGAGCCGCTTGGGCGTGCGGCACCCAGGCGTCGCGTCCTGCAATCCTTGCAAGGCAATCCTTGCAGCCGGGCAAGAGCAGGAGCAGTAGCGCGGGCGGCGCATCGCAAGAGACTCCCGCGCGGGCGGCGGGCGCGGCATCGCAAGAGACTCCCGCGCGGGCGGCGCGCGGCATCGCAAGAGAACCCGCGCGGGCGGCGGGCGCGGCGCCGGCATCGCGCGCGATGGGCTGCAGCAGCTCGGCGCCGGAGGACGACGCCGCGCCGCCGACGCCCGAGCCCTGGGTGCCCGGGCAGCTCGTCGGCAGCGACAAGGGCGTCGTCTACTCGCTCCCGAGCGACGAGCCGTCGAGCCGTCGGTCGTCGGCCCAGGCGAGCGACAGCGGCCTCGCGTCGAGCCACGCCAGCGACGACGCGCTCCTGCTGCCCGACAGCGAGATCCAGTCGCGGCTCCTGAGCATCGGCCAGCGCGCCAGCGAGGACGAGCTGCGCCCGCCGACGCGGCTCTACCGCGTGCCGTCCAAGGAGAACGTCGAGCTCATGGCGGAGCACATGCAGCTCTACGTCTCCACCAAGAGCGGCGTCATCACGCTGCTCGACGTCGCGCCCACGGACACGGTCCTCGACGTGAAGAAGAAGCTGCACTCCAAGGGCGCGGTGTCGGCCCGCAAGCAGCGCCTCATGCACGGTAGTACGGACCTCCAGGACCACATGGAGCTCCGCGAGTACCACATCCAGCCCGAGTCGACGCTCCGGCTCCGCGTAACGCGCGACGACGCGGGCCTACGCTTCCTCTGACGCCCCCTCCTCCGTCTCATTTCATTCCATCCGACCGCCCGCTTCACCTCAACACGTACCTCAACTGACCGCGCCCGCGCCTCCGACGGCGAACCATCCCGCCGCGACGCGCGAGTAATGTACATATGTGCTTGCCTCTAGGCGCTGCCCTGTCGCGTTTAGACCACGCCTCCCGAGTCGCTGACACGTCTAGGTCCTTTGCGCCGTAAATTCGGGTTGCTTTGCTTAGAGCTAGGCCGCCTAGCCGCCACGACCGAAGTCACGACCGCCGCGGGGGCTGCGGGTTTAATTAATACCCTAATTTCTCGGCGCGCCGGCGGAGGAGTCGTGGTCTGTACTCGACAGGGCGCTGCTGCCAGCGGGAGAGAATGAATAAGCAAAACTTAGGACGGCGCCCGCAGGGCCGTGGCCTCCCAGAAGCGCGCCGTCCCGGCCCAGTCCCGCGCGGCCGCGCGCGCGCGGGCGACGACGTCCCGCCGCCGCGCCGCCGCCGCGTCCGGCGCCGCCAGCAGTTCGACGGCCGCGGCCTCGAGCGCCGCCGCGTCGCCGGGCGCGACGCAGGGGCAGCCGACGCGCCCGAGCGCCGCGAGCGCGCCGAGGCCGTAGACGACGGGAATCACGCCGTGCAGCGCGCACTCCCACGTCGCCAGGCTAAAAGCCTCGGGCACGGCCGACGGAAACACGAAGAGCGCGCAGCTCCGCAGCATCGCCGCGAGCCGTTTTGGTGGTAGCATCCCCGCGAAGACGACGTCGTCCGGCAGCTCCAGTTTTGTGTTTTCGTGGTAGCCGCCCCGCAGGTGGCACACGACCACCCGGAAGTCGCCTCCCCTTGATTTCACGGCGCGTCGCAAGGCCGGCAGCATCCTCAATAATTCGGCGAGGCCGCGCTCGGGCGACACCGGCCAGAGCAGCCAGCCGTCCCGCCTTTCGACATCGTCGACGTCATCGAAGTAGCGCGGTACGCCGTGCGGCACGACCATCGCTTTTGAGAGGACGTCGCGGCCGCCATCATGAAAATCAGAAGACGGAAAGAGCGCGCCGAACTGCGCGACGCGCATCTCGCGGCTCGGATACACGACGGCGTCGGCGACGCGCACGGCCCGTCGTATCTGCGCGCGGAAAGTAGAACCGGCGGCGTGGAGCATGGCTAGATACGAGCCGTCGTGGATCCAAAAACTGAGAGCTTTCGTGTCCAGCGACCGCCCGAGCCAGGCCTGGACCAGTAAAATCTGGGGCACGCGCCAGACGACGACGGCGTTATACGTGCCGCGCACGTCGAAGCTCGCCGCCGGCGCGTACGTGACGCCCTCGATATTAATTGAGCGCTTCATCCGTCCGGAGTAGACGGTGACGCGCCGGCCCCGGTGCACGAGGCCCCTTGCTAACCGGATGGCGCACTGCTCCGAGCCGCCCGCGCCCCGCTTTAGGGCATTGCCGTCCCACCCATTCTTTTCGCCGGGGATGAAGCCGAAGCCGCAGTAGATCGCGACGACGTCCTTCTCGGTTTTTGGTCGTCTCAGATAGGATACAGCGTAGGCTAGCATGCAGCACATTAACTCGAGAATAAATGAGACGGCCGACCGGAGGCGCATCGCGTCATAAAACGTCGCGCCCGGGACCGGCCGCTGCTCGGCTGCTTTTCGCGGCCGGTCCTCCTTCAGCAGGATCGTCGTGGCGACGGCGACGGTCGGCACGACGAGGGACCAGCAGGGGCTCGTCGGCGGGCGGCCCAGGTTCGTCGTCGCTTGGCCGGCCCAGGCCGCTGCGCTTTGGAGGGCCTCGGCCAGCGGCGCGGCGGCGTCGCCCATCGTTTCTGTCGGGCGCTCGCGTCGCTAAGCTGGCAAAGCGGCTGCTTCCTTTGGAGGGCCTTAGCCAGCGGCGCCGCGGCGTCGCTCGTCCTCTGAGTCGTTCGGTGGGTCGCGCGGGAGGCGGCAGAGGCTCGGCGCCTTGTTTTCTTCGCTCCCTGGCGCGGCTGCGGCGGCTGAGCGCCGCTACTTTGGCAGGACAGAGGCAGCAGCAGCACGCGCCGCGCGACGGGACCGCCGTCGACCGTTCCCACGTCGTATCACCCGTGCGCTCAGTTGTCGAACGACGTAAGATGGGTAAGATGCGCCTCCTGGCGGGTTTTTGGCCCTCCAAGGCTTTGGACCTTCGCGGACCGGTGCATTCGTCTGGAGGAATCGTCCGGACTGCCCCTACGCTGAGCTCGGCATCGATGCGACTTGAGAGGCTTTTGGAGAGATGCCCTGGTCTTTGCATTAGCTGCACACACAACAGGCTCGTTCGGTGGTGCTTGGACTCTCGAGAAAATCTACAGATTACGCATCAAGCGATCTGGCAGGAAAAAGCTGAAAAAGCTGCGGAGGTCTCCGACGGAGTGCGCACTGCACTGCAACAAAAGGCCATACGCGTCGCAGCGATACGTCGTCGCAGCGATACGTCGTCGCAGCGAGACGTAGTCGCGGCGAGAGCCGCACTGCTGCAAAAAGCGCAGGACGAAGAAAATTTGATGCGCCGCCTGGCGACGATGGCCGCCGCGTCACACGCGCTTCGCCTGGGCCCCGTCGCGCTGCGGCCGGCGCAAATCGCGCTCGAGACGCCGCTATCCGTCGTCGTCCGGGACCTGCGGCCCGTGCTGCCGGGCCACGTCGTCGTGGCGCCGAAGCGGCCCGTCGAGCGCTACGCCGACCTCACGGAGGAGGAGGGTGATGATTTAGCGGTAGCGATCCGGCGCGCGCAGCAACTCACACCAGCGGCGGACGCCTTCAACGTGGCCCTCAAGGACGGAACGTCCGCGGGCCAGCCCGTGGCCCACGTCCACGCGCACGTCGTGCCGCGCGTGAAGGGCGACCTCGCGAACAACGACGAGATCTACGGCCTCATCGACGGCTGGACGCCGCTCGACGCGTGCGGCGCGCCGGTGACGCTCGACGTGCCCGACGACGCCGCGCGCAAACCGCGGAGCGCCGAGGACATGGCCGCGGAGGCGGCGCGCTACCGGCGGCGGGGCGAGCCGTTCCCGGAGCCCGCCGACGTGACGTTCGGCCCGTTCGCGGTCGACGCGTCGCAGGTCTTCTTCGAGTCCGGGACCTGCCGGGCCCTCGTCAACCTCAAGCCGCTGGTCGAGGGCCACGTGCTTGTCGTGCCCAAGGCCGTCGTGCCGACGCTCGGCGAGATGGACGAGGAGTTGCATAGAGACCTCTGGCGCGCCGCGCGGCGGGTCCACGCGATGATCACGGAGGAGTACGGCGCGACGGGCGCGAACGTGGCCGTGCAGGACGGAATCGCCGCGGGCCAGAGCGTGCCCCACGCGCACGTGCACGTGCTGCCGAGGCGCTAAGTACACTAGGACATTACACACAACAGTCGCGCGCGGGCGAACCTAAGACGACGCCTCGAACGCGGCGACGCGCTCGTCGGCGTCGAGCTGGATCAGCGCGTCGACGAACACCTCGATCTCACCGCCGAGCACGCGCGGCACGCCGGGACTCGTCACTTGGCAGCGGTGATCGGTGACCCGATCGTGCGGAGCGTTATATGTCCGGATGCGCTCGCTCCGGTCGCCCGAGCCGCGCAACGAGAGTCGTTGCGCCGACTCCTCGGCCGCCCGGCGCTGCGCGAGCGCGCCGCCGACGCGCCGCGCCAACAGCTCCAGCGCCTTGGCCTTGTTGCGGTGCTGGCTCCGCTCGTCCTGGATCGAGACCACGGTGTTCGTGGGGAGGTGCGTCGCGCGCACGGCGGAGTTCGTCGTGTTGACGTGCTGGCCGCCGGCGCCGGACGCGCGGAACGTGTCGATGCGCACGTCGTTTTCATCTAGCGTGAACTCGATCTGGTCGACACCGGGTAGGACGACGACCGACGCCGTCGACGTGTGAATCCTAACGTCGTTCGTCGGCACGCGCTGGACGCGGTGGACGCCGCTCTCGAAGCGCAAGGCCGCGTAGCAGCCCTCTCCCGTCACCTCAGCCATGGCGCTCGCGACGCCGCCGAACTCCGTCCTCCTGACGTCGTGCGCCGCGAAGCGCCAGCCTTTCGCTTGGCAGTACTTCTCGTACATGCCCAACAGGTCCTTGGCGAAGACCGAGGCCTCGTCGCCGCCGGCGGCCGCGCGGATCTCCACGAGGCACGACGCCGCCGCGTCCGTCGCGTCGCCCGGCGCGAGCTTGGCCTTGAGGGCCGCTTCGAGCGTCTCTACGGTCGCCTTCACCTTGTCCAGCTCCCGCTCCGCCTCGGCGCGGATGTCGGCGTCGACGTCGTCGAGGAGTTCTCGCAAATCGTCGAGCTCGCTCGTCGCCGCGGCGAGCGCGCGGCGCCGCTCGAGCACGTCGTCGAGGCCGTGCAGCTCGCGCATCGCGTTCGCGTCGTGTCCCGCCTGCACCTTCTTGGAGAGCTCCTCGTGGCGCGTGGCCAGCTCGTCGAGGCGCTTGTTGGCAGCCTGGCTGAGCACGCCTCGGTGCGGTACGCGGATGCGCAGCGATGATGTGCCGCCGGCCAGGAGCCTGCTGCGGGACGCGACGCGCAGCATCGATCACTTTGTTGCTGATTTTGGTTTTCCGTCGTAGGTCGCGACACGCCGGCGAGCGCTTGCGTATGCTCGACGCCAATTACGCGCCAGTCCTCAGCAGCTCTCTGGCAGTCTGTGAGAGCACGGGAGCTCCGGCCGCCAGCGCGCGTGAGCGCGGCAGCAGCTCTCTACCAGAGCACCACTCTGTCAGTACAATCCTGCCGCAGCAAGATCAACAGCTGTCGCCTCGCGGGCAGTAGTTTTTTGCTGTGTGTGAGAGAGAGGTTTTTGGAATCTCCGCTGTCGCGGCGGAAGAGCACCACTCAACGCGTCAGCGAAACACCGCCGTCGCGGCGCCAGAACACCACCTCAACGCCTCAGCGAAAAGATGTGGGCCGCCCGCGTCCCCTGGACGGCCGCGGCCAGGTACGCCGCCGGCGCGTGCGCGGCGTCGCTCGCGGCGCCGCCGCCGACGGACTGCGACGCGCCGCCGACGGACTGCGACGCGGTCCGGCGGCGGCTCACGCCGATCGGCCGCTTCGCGCTGCTGTCGGAGACGCGGGACGCGCCGTCGGTGCCCGCCGTGCTGCTCGAGCTGGGCGGCGCGCCGCTCGCGGCCAGGGACCTCGAGCGCGCGCTCGCGGACCGCGTCGCGCCGGCGTCGCCGCGCCTCCGGAGCCGCGTCGACGCCGAGCGGCTGGAGTTCGTCGAGGATCTGACGACGGAGGAGGCGACGCCCGTCGTCATGGACTGTGTGGAAATCAAAATTTTACGACGCGTTCAGAGTTGACAATCGAGTCGTCCTCCACGTCATCGACGCGATGCCTGATCGATGGCGTGGCGATGCCGGTTCCTCGCCGCTCGACCTTGCGGCCACGTCATCGCCGAGAAATGACTTCGTGAAGTTTTGTGCACCCGACGCACTGGTTGATTTCCACACAGGTCATGGAGGCGCGGCCGACGATGGATTTACCAAGGACGATCGCCAGGGTCCTCGACCTACCTTTAAGGGGCACGCTGGAGAAGCGGCCCTGGTGGGAGGCGCTCGTCTGGCCGCGCGGCGCGGGCACGGACGTCCTCCTGCGGTCGCACCACTGCATCGCCGACGGCGCGTCGTTCGGGGCCCTGTTCGGCAATCTGTCGGACCAGCGCGAGGAAATCGACGCGCTGCTGAGGCAGGGGCCCCGGCGGCGGCGGCGGAGCCGGCTGGCGCGCCTGCTGCGTGTGATGTTCGGGCCGCTCGTCATGTCGCTGCGCCTGCTCCGGGCCGTGCTGGCGTCGTTGTGGATGGTCGTCGCGGCGCCGCGGCCCCCGCCGCGGCGGCGGGGCCCGCGGACCGTCGCGTGGGCGTCGGACTTCGCCGACGTCGCGCTGCTCAAGCGCGTCGCGAAGAAGCTGGCGCCCGGCGCGACCGTCAACGACCTCTACGCGGCGCTGGTCGCGGCCGCGCTGCGGACGTCCGTTTCGAGAGACGCGGTGGCGTGCGCCGTGCCGGTGCACCTTTATGGCGGCGCGTTGCCGCCCGGTGTGGACGTGGGCAATCATATCGGCGCGGTCGTTGCGCGGCTGCCCCTGCCCGGGCGCGACGAGGCCGCGCACCTGAGACGGGTCCGCGACGGCGTGGGCGGCGCGCTGCGCGGCGGCGCCCGGGCCGTCGTGGCCTACCACGCGGCCCGGCTCGCGGGCCGGTGCCTCCCGAGGGCGTGGGTGCCCGCGTCGCTGCGGGCGTCGGCGGGCGGGTGCGCCGTGGCCCTCACAAATGTGCGGGGCCCGCCCGTCGCCCTGACGATCTGCGGCCGGCCGGTGAAGCGCGTCGTGCCGTTCCTGCCGCCGCCGCCCGGTGTAGCCGTCGGAGCTGCTTTGTCCACCGTCGGCGGCCAGGCCACGCTCTGTTTCAACTGCGCCGACGGCACGCACGACGCCTACGCGCTCGTCGGCGCGGCCGTCGCGCACTGGGAGCGGCTGCGGGCGGCGGCCGGCGAGTAATTTATTGACCTTATGACTCGGAGCCAAGCTAGATACTTGCATGTCCAGTTCTGGACAGGACGGGACTACCCGGCGTCAAGAGTCATGGGCCAGGGGCGCGAGGCCTAAGAATCCTGAGGAACCTAGCGTCGATGTTACGGTGCTAGAAATGGCTGTCGACGTAGAAACCCGCGAGCTCAGGAGGCCCGGGGCTCGATCGCAATTGATTTATCTTTAGCTTTGTCTTAGACTCCCCAGCCTTAGTGCTCGTCAGGCTGCTCCAAACAGCGTCACCTCGTCGGCGTTTCGCCCACAGCAACGACGCACGACACGCTTTTCGTTTGGTTAGGGCGATGCACTGGCGGCCGGCGCGAGGATGTACGCACGGAGGAGCAAAGACTCGGCGCTAGGACGGCTGAGACCTGAGCTAGCGGCGTAAAACACTAGCCAGCTCCTCCTAAAGAGCTCGATCAGCAAAAGCGGGTGTCGCCTGCTCGCGCGAACCTTTTTCAATATATCTTGGTCGCTGCGCTGCGCCGTCTGGTTGCTCTATTTGATTGTAGGCTCGCTCCAGGCTCGCTCCCGTGGCGCTTTGCTTTGTAGGCCTTCGCCGTCGCCGCTGTAGGTACACGCGCGCGGCAGGTCAGCCCCACAGGCGACGCGAACACCGCAGGCCGTCAACGCCGTGCGAAGAGCCCCCGGCGTACCAAACTTCCCCAACCCCTCGACTGAGCTCCATGGATAGGCCGCGGAGCCGCGACGGCGACCGGGACCGGAGCCGAAGAGATGACCGCCGCGGCTATAGAAGTAGGAGCCGGTCGCGCGGCCGGCGCCGCCGCGACCGCTCGCGGAGCCGGAGCCGCGGCCGGCGCCGCCGCGACCGCAGCCGCGACCGGACGCGGAGCGGGTCGAAGAACCCGGCGCTCGGGGACTACTCCGAGGGCCACTACGGGCGCGGCCTGGACCAGCCCGGCGGCGGGCGACCGGCGGCGCAGGCGCCCCAGGTGCCCCGCGGCGCCACCGCCGACGACATCCACAAGATCAGGCAGCAGACGGAAATTGATGATTTGACCAAGGACCAACGGACGGTCTTCGTGTCGCAGTTAGTGATGAAGGCCACGGAGAAGCAGATCCGCAAGTTCTTCGAGAAGGTCGGGAAGGTCCGAGATGTGATCATGATCCGCGACAAATATACCAATAGACACAAGGGTTATGCATATGTTGAGTTGAATGACCTCGAGAGCGTGCCCATGGTTTTGATGTTGAACGGCACCGTGCCGGACTTCCAGCGCTTTCCTATCTTAGTGAAGGCGTCGGAGGCCGAGAAGAACTTCCTGGCCAAACAAGAATCCGCGGCCGCCGCCGAGCAGCAGGCCGAAATTGATCAACGGGCCGCGGCGCCGCGAAGGAAGTTACTCGTAGGTAATTTACATCCGAACATCACGGAGGGCGACTTGCGGACCGTATTAGCTCCGTTCGGGGATGTGGAGTCGGTTGATATGTCTACCGTCGCGCCTGGCTCTGCTGTTGTCTCTTTTGTGAAGGCCGAGGATGCCATGAAGGCCTCGACGAAAATCGCGGGCATTGAATTAGGAGCGGGCACGCCGATCTCCGTCCAGTTCTACGAGCCGGGGGCGACCGTCATGGGCGCGGCCTCAGCTGGAGACTGGAAGTTCGACAATTCTGGTGGTGACGGCGTGGCGTTAGGTGCGGATGGGAGGGCCAACCTCATGAACGCCCTGGGCCAGCGCGCGGGCCTCGCGCCGCCGCCAGCGCAAAGCGGCGTCGGCGCGCCTACTGCTGCGTTTACGATCACGAACATGTTCGACCCGGCGAAGGAGGACGGCGCCACCTGGCGCGACGACATCAAGGCCGACGTCACGGAGGAGTGCCGGAGCAAGGGCGACGTCAAGCACGTCTACGTGGACGGGTCGGACCCGCGCGGCTTGGTGCACGTCCTGTTTGCAGACGCTTCCTCAGCGAACGCGGCCGCGTTGGCGCTCCACGGGCGCTGGTTCGGCGGCCGCGCGATCACGTGCGCGCACACCGACCCCGCGGCCTACAACTACCAGTCGCTGCCCTGAGTAAAAAAAGTTTCCCCCAGTTGCTTCCCTTTCAAAATTAATCGTCTGGCGGCCTTCGCTCAACGGACAGGTCCCGCCCCGACATCCAGACGAGGCACGCGCCGAGGTAGACCTCGGACCGGTCCGCGACGCGGCCGCCGCCGCGCGCCGGCCCCGCGGCGACGCGCGCGACGCCGAAGTCGCGCGCGGGCCGCCCGGGCCCCACGTCCGGCCGCGCCCACGCGAGGCCCGCGACGGCCACGGCGACGGCGTCGGCGCCGCCGAGGCGCGCGACCAGGGCCAGCGCGCAGTGCAAGATCCCCACGGCGACGGCCAGCGAGGGCGCGGTCCGCGCCGACGCCGCCGCGTAGCAGGCGAGCGCCGCGCCGGCGACGGCCGCGTGCCGCAGCGACGTCGCGCACGCCTCGGCGGACCACAGGAACTGCGCGACGCGCCAGGCCCACGCGCCGGCGACGCCCCGCAGCACCTGGGGCGGCACGACGCGCTCGAGCTGCGCGTAGTACGTCCGCGAGTTCCGGAGCGCTGTTAATGCCGCCGTTAACGCGTAGGAGAGAAATCGTCGCGCGTAGCTTCTCGCATTTCTCAAAGCTGCGTCGTCGTCGTGGTGTCGTAGAGCGAAGACAGCGCTCGTGGCGCCGACCACAACAACAATAGGAGTACAGGCGCCGAGCTTCCGCGCCAAAAACACGTGGACCGCCACGACCGCGAGCGCCACGCGCCGTCGCTCGTCCTTCGACGCGCGCCCGGGCCGCAGGTCGTGCGTCGCCTGCCGGAGCGACTGCCGCACTTTATTTTCCAGTCTAATCTTGGGCGGCGTGCGCGGCGGCGGCGGCGCCCGTCGCGGCGCCCGGCGGGGCCGCGCGCGCGGCGGCGGCGCGGACGCCCGGCCGCTGGCCGCCCAGGCCGACGTCTGCGAGACGTTTTGCAGCCCGCCGGGGCCGACGGCGGGCGGCGCGTCCGCGGCGGCGTCGTCATCCGCGGCGTCGATGCGGTCGTAGGCCTGCTCCTCGAGCATCGCTTTTTTGTCGTCGTGCAGCGCTTGCGATTGATGTCGCTGCGCCTCGCTGCGGCGCGCTCACCAAGTGCTTATTTGAGTGTGCTAGCCGCAGTGCTGCCGGGGCGGCCCGAAGGGCAGCCAGAGGCTGCGAGGATGCAGTGAAATGACAAATGCGGCTACAGCACGGCGATTGTGGCTGCAGTATGCCCTTGTCGGCCGCAAAAAAGAGTGCCGGCTTCCTTTTGCTAGTGTGTCTTTATGTCCGCTAGCTCGATTACACGGCTGAACCGCGAGCTGACGCGAGCTGACGCGCCGCTGCGGGCCGCGATACGTTCTCGAGCCCTCACAGCAAATTCACGGTAGCCTAGGTCCCGCAAGCGCGAGCGCCGCAGCACTCAAGCCACTCAGGCTGCCGTCGCTGACGCCGACGCGGCGCGTCAAGAAGGACCACACCCCGCCACGGCGTGAAGTCGCAGCAATGCTCGCCGCGCGCCGCCTCCTCGCGCCGGCGGCCCGCGCGCCGCTGGTGCCCGCACGCGACTTCGCGAGCCGCAAGCACAAGAAGTTCGTCAAGCTCGCCAAGGGCTACCGCGGAAGGACGAACTGCTTCCGGATTGCGGTGCAGCGCGTCGAGAAGGCCTGGCAGTACGCCTTTCGCGACCGCAAGGTGAAAAAACGCGAGATGCGCAAGAGCTGGATCCGGACCATCAACGCGGGGAGCCGAGAGCACGGCGTGGCCTACAACCGGCTGATTTGCGGCCTGCGGACGGCAGACATAGACCTGAACCGCAAGGTCCTCGCGGACCTCGCGGTAAGCGAGCCGCACTCGTTCGCGGCCGTCGTCGCGACCGTTCGCGCGCACGACCCCTACCTTTCTGCGCAATCGTCGAAACCGGCGGCGGGCCCCCTCGACGGCCTCGAGGCGTCGCGGTACCGCTGGTTCTACGACCAGCGCGGCGGCGGCGACGACGACGTCGAGGACCCGCCCGCCGTCGCTGCGGGCGAGCGATAGTGTAATCGTCTTATTGTGGTACTTGCATCTCGCGCCTATGTAGTCCCGAAAGCGCGAAGAAGGAGCTGATAGCGCACGCTTGTGCGGAGCTAGTGTCTTACATGACGCTAGCGGCGGATTTGTGCGGATTTGTGGATCTGGCAGCTTTTTGGCCTGTATACTTCGTGCCGCGGGTATTCGCGTAGTGTTTAGGACGCCAGCTTCTCGCGTCGCACGAACGCGGTGCCGTCAAACGACTCTCAGAACCGCAGCACGGCCTCGTAGTGGCCACAGCTCCTCCACAGCTCCTCCATACGATGATGCTGCGCAGCGCATTATTCATCGCTGGTGCAGCAGCCTTCGCGCCAGCACTTAGGATAAAGCAGCCGGTGCTCTCCCTCAGGGCGGATTTGGAGGAAGCACCGCCGGCGCCGGCACCGTTGGACGCCCCGGAGCAGTCCGTCGACGAGGTCGAAACGAACATGCTGCAAGACTTCACGCAACGCATGGCTGCCCGCGGCACGGAGTCGAACGTGCGGGACGCCGCGCAGGAATACGTGGACAGCGTGAAGAGCAACGTCCAGGTCGAGCAGTCCGGCCCGAGCATCGTGTACGTGGCCGGGCAGGCCGCGTTGCTCCTCCTGCTCTTGGTCGGAGACGTGCCGGTCGTCGGCGGCGCCATCGAGACGCTGCTGGGCCCGGGCTTGGTCGTGGCGGGAATCGGCGCCATCGCCAAGGGCGTGCTTGATCTGGGTGCGGGGAACTTGACGCCATTCGCCGCGCCGGTCGAGGGCAACGAGCTCAAGACGACGGGCGCGTTTTCGTACGTGCGACATCCGATTTACGGGGGGTTACTTGTTGCGGCGGGGGGTCTTTCCGTAGCGACCGAAAGCTTCCAGCGCCTGCTGGTCGTGTTTCTCCTGTACTTGCTGCTCGACGCCAAGTCGGCATACGAGGAAAAGGAGCTCGAGCGCATCCACCCGGCCTACCGGGCGTACAAGCAGGTGACGCCCAAGTTCTTCCCGTCGTTCGATGAACTTGACGAGATCCTGGACTGATGCCTTGTGAGGCGCGCGCCCTAAGGCGGTTTTGTAAATCCTCGCACGCATGCACATGGGCTTTGTGCATAGGTGTTGAGCGCGTAAAACCCGTAAAACCCGTAGCCTAAGGCGCGTGCAGATCGAGGCTCGTCCGCTGCCATGGCGTCGTAAGGTCGCTGTCGCACCGGCAGCGCTCGCCAGGGGTCGCCTAGCTCACTTTTCGATCGCCTGCTCGCGTATCTCTGTCTCAAGTTGGGTCCAAAGCTCCGGAGAGCACATCACCTCCAAAGCTCTCCGGGAGAGCATCACCTCACAGAACGCCTATGATGATGTTGCGATGCGCGGTCCTAGCGGTCTTGACGACGGCAGCAGCGCTGAAGACATGCGTGATTGGAGGCAGCGGATTCATCGGCAAAGCCGTCTGCAAAACGCTCGCCGCGAAAGGCGTCGCCGTCACGTCCGTGAGCCGCTCCGGCCGGCCGGCGGACGCCGAGCCCTGGATGGACCAGGTGGACTGGGTCGCCGCCGACGCCGGCAACGACAATATCGCCGCCGCGCTGGACGGCGCCGGCGCCTGCATAAGCTGCGTGGGCGGCTTCACGGGCGCCAAGGCCTCGCCGACGGGCACGGGCGACATCCCTGTTCTATTTGCGTCGTACAGTCCCCAGGATCAGGAGGAGTACCGCGCGAAGAACGGCCCGCCGAACGAAGCCATAGCGAAGGCTGCCAAGGAGGCCGGCGTCGGCCGATACGTCCTCGTCGGCGTCGCTGCGGACGCCGAGAACGGCCTCGCGGGAGGCATCCCGGGGTATTTTGAAGGCAAGGCCGACGCGCTCGATGCCGCCGTGCGGAATTTTGGCGCCGACGCCGTCGTGGTGTGCCCGCACGAGGTCGTCGAACCGGGCTCGGCACGCATCAAGGCCGTCGACAACCCCTTCGCGCGCTTTGCGAGGGATGCGAATAAAGCGATCGGCAGCGTGGGCTACCGCGGCGAGGATTTAGTCACGAAGCTCAGTCTCACGCCACCGTCGTCCGTGGACGACGTCGCGACCGTCGTCGCAGCTGCGGCGGCTTCGGATCTAGACATCGACGTCTCGACGCGGACGACGCGGAGAGTGCTGCTCGACACGAGCAACGGAATCAAAACACTGGACGAGTCGAGGGAATACAACGTCGAGGCTAGATTCGTGGACGGCACGGACGCGATCAAAGAAAAGGCGAGCGGCAAGGTGGCGCTGTGGAATAGCGGCGTATGACCCTTCGCGCAAAGGGCCTGGATCGCGTTGTTAGAAAAGAATATCCAGTTCGACCACCGGATCATCGACCTCAAGGCCAAGCCTGCGGAATTTGTTGAAAAGTACAAACGGGTGGGCTCCGGCACGGCCCTCGTCCCGCTGTTGGAACACGGTCAGGAGCTCGTCATCGAAAGTACCGTTGTGGCGAGGTACATCGCTGAGTACGTCGGCGGTCCGGAGCTGTATCCGCGCACGCCGGACGATCTCGAGAGGATAGAACGCTTCCTGGCGCGCTGGGCCGACGTCGAGACGACGTACTACGATCTGCTGCGGGCTTCGAGCGACGCTCAGGCGGAGGAGCGACGCGCTCTTTTCGTCGACCGGCTCGCGGCGGTCGACGAGCTGCTCGATAGAGCGCCGTTCCTGCTCGGCGACGATTTTAGCTTCGCGGAATGCGTCGCCGCGCCGTGGGTCCAGCGCTTCTTCGTCACGCTGTCGGGTGCGGTGTCGGGCAGCTCGCGTCGACGCCGTTCACATCACCTTCCACGCAGGCCATACTTCCGCGGCATCGACTTCGAAGGTGACATTCTTCGCGCCTTCGACTCATTGGCCGCGTGGACGCGTGCCATCCGCGACCGAGCGTCGTGCCAGGAGTCGATCTGCCCCGAGGGCGAGATGCTCGACGCGGCGAAGCGATACTACGTCTCCTACCTGAGTCCCGGCGCGAGGGGGCGCCTCTAGATACGGGAGTTGCGTGACGGAGCATGCGCTGCTTTTGATTTTAAAACTCCCAGACTAGTAGTCCTATCTCGTAGTCCTATGTCCCAGAAGAATCAGCCGCGGTGCATCTTCACGTTGCGCATGTAGTTGCGGAGCCACTCCTCCTCGGGCTCCCACTCGTCGGGCGCCGCCGGGCCGCCAACGCCGCCGCCGCCCCCGCCGCCGTCGAGCACGATCGTGGCGTTGCAGGGACAGATGCACCACGCCGTTCCCTCCCGCGCCTGTGGGGGAGCGCCAAGCCAGGGAACCCGCACGCTTTTTCCCTCGCTCTCGCTAACCACAATCACATAGATTATCGATTCTGCTCTCTCCAAAAAATCTCAGCGCTAATTAAGGTCCTGCGCACCGTTCCCAAACGCATCAAGAAGGCCGCGCCGGCAAAGCCGCGCGCGCGCCAGAAACGCGGCCGCGCCGCCACCGAGGAGACGCAACGCCCGAAGAAGCGCGCCGCCGCCGAAGAAGCCGCGCGTAGGCTCTCCTCGCGCTAATCTCCATTTTACGAGTCTAGGACATACTCTTAGAGGGCCTCCCCGTTCCGCGCCACGAGGCCGTGCGTCGGGATCCGCCCCTAGACTGAAGGACCCGCACCTGCTTGAATTCAGGGCTCGCACGGCCCCGCGGAGACGATGCCCGCGGAGAGGACCTGGCGCCCGGGAGCGGTGGCGCCGGCCTCCGCGCCGTCGGGCCGGGGCGCGCGCGCGCACCGCGACTACAACACACACGTACTTACCCGCGCCACCGCATGCACAGGTAGAACAGCACGAACAAGAACACGAAGCCGCCGACCACGATCTTGCGGTCCTGCCGGTTCCGCGAGTTGATCAGCTTCATGACCGTGTCCGAGAGCCCGAGCTTGTTGATCATATCTAACGCATTCCGGTGCGTGTTCTTGAGCCGCTCGCGCTGCGCCCGCAATGAATCGAGCGACGCGCGGCCGGTCTCCATGAGCTCGTCGACCTGCGTGGCACGCTCGTGAGGACGCGGCGGTGCGTCGTCGCGGCGATGGCGTGCCGGTGCCTTTTCCACCACCTCCACGCCATCGCGGCGACGCGCGGTCCAATTCACCACCTCCATGAGCGGAACGTCACGGGACGCCGCGGTCGACCTGGTTCCCCGACCGCGCGTAGCTGTCCTCGGCCTCTAACAAATCGTCGTGGGCCGACGACGGCGCCGCCCCGGCCCGCCGCCGGAAGAGCGAGTCCCGTTCCCGTTGGTGCTGGTGGAAGTTCGTGACCCTCCTCAAATCGTTCGAGAGGAACTGCGCCTCGTGGCCCAATTCGTCAATCTTGACCTTCCAGAGATTGCGCCGCTCGGGCCGCTCCGCGTTGAGCAACTGGCGCAGCGTGTTAATCTGCGTGAAGAGCTCGCGCAGACCCATGCCGCAGTCGCCCGCGTCGCCGGCGCCCTGCTCGACCGCTCGTAGCTGCACTTCTAATTCATACTTCAGGCGCGCGGCTCTAGGGAGGAGCTCGGCGACCGATGCCATGTTCGGATGGCTGCCGCGCGTTCGTGAGGAACTTTGCAAGCTTTGTCTGTAGCCCCAGTACAAAGCAGGTGTCGCTTCACGCCGTGCGGCCAAGCGCTGCGCTGTGGTTCGCAGAAATGGTATCGAAACCAGTGCCGGCTAGCGCAATCGATGCGTAGCGCTTGTCGCGGCGGCGCTTGTGTTGTTTTGTTAGGCATCCCTAGTGTCTTACATGCCGCTAGCGCACGCGGGTTTCCTAGCGCGGGAGCCCTTGAAGACACGCCCCGGGGACGGTATCTCCTCATTTTAGAGGTTTCTTCCAACAGTTGTCTCCGAGGCCTGGCGCGGTCGCGGACGCGCGCCGATTTTTTTGGACGCGTACGCATAGGGCTTTAGGGGTGCCCGGCAGCGTGCAGGCCTCGTTCAGGACATTTCCGGACGCAATATTTTGTGCGCCTCGTGTAACTAGAAGCTACACTAGTAATTCCACTGGCAGAGATTATAGCCGCTGGACCAGCTTTGGAGGCTCTTTTGACAAGGTTACAGCCCGCGCAACTACAAAATTAGGCTGCCAACACACTGAAAAGGACCATCGCCTCGGATCCTGGGAGTCCCGCTTCACCGCGACGTCCCTGCTCTGCGAAGAGCAGACGCTCGTTAAATAAGCTCGCTGGACCAATAGGCCGCCCCGCGGCGCTAGGGCTGCCCGGCATCGCGCCGCGTGCCCTCGCTCCCACGGGCTGCTCCGGCTCCCACCGAGCGCAGCTCCCGGGGGCTGCCCGGGCCGCCGCCGGCCGCCGCCCCGCCGCGCGCGCGCTGAGAGCCCCGGACCCGACGCCGCGCCCCCCCCTCGCAGAAACAAAAAAAACACCACACCACAAAACGATGTACAAGCTCCTCCTCCTCGCCGCCTCGGCCTACGCCTACTGCCCGAACGGCTGCTCCGGCCACGGCTCGTGCGGCGCCGACGACCGCTGCACCTGCCACCTCCGCCCGAACAACGACACGGCCTGGCAGGCCGCCGACTGCTCGGAGCGCACGTGCCCCAAGGACACGGCCTGGGTCAAGTACCCCGTCGCCGGCCACAACGACGTCCACGGCATGGCCGAGTGCTCCAACCAGGGCTCCTGCGACCGCAAGTCCGGCGAGTGCGACTGCTTCGACGGCTACGAGGGCATCGCGTGCGAGCGCACTTCCTGCCCGAACGACTGCTCGGACCGCGGCATCTGCTACACGCAGAAGCAGCTCGCCTCGGAAGCGGGCACGGTCTACTCGACGCCCTGGGACGCCATGAAGCACGTGGGGTGCGTCTGCGATCTCGGATTCCGTGGCCCCGACTGTAGCCTCCAGGAGTGCCCGTCGGGCACGGACATCCTCTCGGGCATGGGCAACACGAAGGGCCGGGACTGCTCGGGAAGAGGATTGTGCGACTACGACTCGGGCCTCTGCAAATGCTTCTCGGGCTACTACGGCACGAAGTGCCAGATGCAGACGGTACTCGGGTAGAGTACCCCGTCCGCGCCTCCCCGCTCTCACTAATCTGAAATATTGATATTTCTGGACTCTTCCTCTAGACTTTCCCGAGATGTCCGCGGCACCCCGAGAGGTCCGCGGCGACCCCGAGAGGTCGCGGCGACGGCGTGTGCGCGGAGCTGCTTCGTGCGGGATCGTCTCATCATGAGCCTTGTTTTCACGCCGGCGCTTCACTGGCAATTTGGGACCAGCCAACGGGCAGAGAATGTCGTCCTTGGAAGATCAGCTGCGGAGGATGCGGGCACGTCAGCCGCCGCCGCCCAAGGCTCCTCAGGCCCCCCAGAAAGGGCTGCCCAGATTCGAGAGAATGGACACGCGCGACTCCCTGACGGAGACGGATATGTGCGATTCGTTCACCGCGCCGGCAAAGCCGCTCTCCGGCCATCCCGGAAGCAGCACGGTTCGCAGCAAGGGCCGCAAGGCCGTCGCGGCTCCGCGGCGGCCGCCGCCGCAGAAGCAGGTGGACGCGCACGCCGTGAAGTCCCTCCTAGACGACCTCGCGACGACGCTCAAAAGCGTGTACGACGGGCGAACGGAGTGCTTTGGCTTCGAGAATTTCGCGCCGCCGCGAAGGCACGAGGTCGACGACGACTTTGACGCGCAGATGCGTGACCTACATGTCAATCCCTCGAAGAAGAAGATCCGATCGTGGGAGACGCAGTTGCGTCTCTGGCGCGGGCCGGTCCACAAAGATTCTAGCTCGACGACGCTTGATTTATCCGCGTCGACCAACATCGCGGTGCCCCGCGACGCCTTGCTCTCGGCGGTTCATGCGATGGAAAGACAGTTGAAAAAGGTGTTGCAAAGTGAACAGCAGCATGTCATCGAAACAGCTGGGTATTGGCTTGTCAACTTCAAAAAGGTCGCGAGATTTCCGAAGGGCAAGCGTCAGACGGAAGTCTATTTCGTCCTCGATAATCCCGCGCGGCCGACGACGATCGAATCATCGACCATGGCTCGGATAGACCGCGAGGCCGTCCGGGTGCTGCAGGCGTTGGTGCACAGATGCGGCGGCGCGGTCAAGCAGCCCCCGGCTTCGAAGCGTCGCCGCCGCCCCCGCCGCCGCCCGAAAAAGGACAACAGCTTAAAGCACGCTCTCGCGAAAGGCCGCGCGAACGACGCCAAGGCGACCTCTAGCTAGGCGGCCCCGACTCCCGAGTAAATAAAGTTCACGCAGGCCTCACGTCGGCTCTGCGACTAGGGCATACGCAGTAGTATCGGTAGTTAAAAAAGAGCTAGGGGGCAGGCGCGGGCGCCGGGACCTCATCATCGTCGTCGTCGAGGAGGTCGAGGGCGTCCCCGGCGGCGGGCCCGGGCGCCGCGGCCGCGGGTTCCGCGTCGAACGCGCCGCGCGGCGACGGGCGTGACGACGACGCCATGGGTGTTCGGATCAGCTCCTGGACGCGGCGGCGCTTCTCGCGGTTCGTGAGCATGGCGGCGCGCGCGCGCGCGATCTTCGGGTGGACCCGTTGCGCGGGCTCCCGCGCCACGTCATCAACGTCGCGGCTCGGCGCCTCGCGCTCGACCGGCTCCGCGGCAATCGCCGGCTCCGACGGCGCCGAGTAGGCCGACGCGCCGGCCGCCGAGACGCGCGCGCAGACGGCGACGTAGGAGACGCCCGGCTCGACGCGGCCGCGCTCAAAACCAGTAAGAATGCGCGCGCGCTCGGCCGTCGCGCGGATCACCATGATCGCCGCCGGATCCGCGCCGTTATCAGAGGGCACGATCTTGATTTTCAGAGCGTGGACGGGCGGCGCGTCCAACCCGCCGGTCTGGACCTCGTAGTGGTCCGGCGTCCAGGACACCTCGAGGCCGCCATGTTCACTCACCGTGAGCAAGGGCGCCGGCGGCGGCCTGACATCGATCTTGTCGAGGCCCTCCATGAGCGCGTCGCGCGTCGCCGCCCTCGAAGGGACGCGCTTGCCGTCCGCGGGTCTACAGACATCCAAAGGGCACAAATATCTCCCGTCGCCGGCGTCGACCCAGTCGCGCTTGCGCGTCACGTCAAACCCGGGGTCGTTCCGTCGCAACGTCTCCACGACCGCCGCCTTGCCCTGCTGCGCCGCGAGGAAGAGAGGCGTGCAGCCGGCCTCGTTCTTCTCACCAGGTCGAGCGCCGTTGTTCAACAACAAGGCCACGACCTCATGGTGACCGGCATAGGCCGCGTAGTGGATCGGCCGGTAGCCCTCGCCGAACTCCGACGAGTCGACCAAGTTCGCGGCGGCGACGCGCGCCTCCCTTTCGGAAACCTCGACGCGCGCCTCCGCCGCCTGCAGCGCCTCGCGGGCATCATCCACTTTCTCGTCGTAGGCCACGGCGATCTCGCACTCCGACGCCTCGCCGTCGCTGCTCTGGCGCCGGGCCATCGCGTCCGCCTCGCGTTCCAACGCGCGCAACTTCTTGCGCGCCGCTTTCACATCCTTGCGCGCGCGCAGGCCTCCTTTCCTAGCTGCATCATCTAGATGGGCCGCGACGAGCCGCGCGTCGCCCGTCCAGCTGCACTCGTGGAGGTCTCTCGCTTTCAACTCGTCGAGGAGCTGGAGGCGCCGCGCGAGGCGGCGCTCCGTGGCCTCGAGCTGCTGGACGTCGCGCGGGCTCTCGTCGCTGCCCTCCGAGAGGTTGCGCCGCATCATTGGTGCGCGTCGGGCAGCCTTTTCCGGTAGTTGCCGGACCTGTGCTGTCTCGCGCGGTGCGCGGGCGGCGCGCGGCCGATCAGCTGCCGCGGGCAGTGCAACGGTGGTGTACGCGACGCGTCGGCGGCGTGTGCCGGGCGTTTGGCAGCCGTTGCCTGTTGTATAGTGCGCGGACAAACCTAAACGTAGTCTACTGGACGAGCCGGTCCCGCTGGACCAACCAAATATGCAACATCGGCTTTTGCGCGCGGTCTGCGTCTTCTACCCGTCACAGGGCCCCACGGGTGGCGCCCGGGGCTGCCCCTACCCGCTCGCACACCTGAAACTTCCGCGCCGGCCTCGGCGCGAGGTCGGCGTTCTCTATGCGTCCAAAGCCCCCGCGGGCAGACCCAGAGGTACTCGGGCCCGGGGCAACGCCGTCCTCCGACGGGTGGGTGATGAACAAACTTTGTACGGGGCACAGACTCGAGCAGTCAACTGTGCGGCCGCGGTGCGACTGCGTGCTGCCCAGGCAGCCCCAAAGCCGCGCAAAACCTGCCGAGGCAGCCCGGCATACCCGTCGCGCGGTCGCGCAGCGCGATTGGCACCAAAAACGGAAAAATAACCAGAGGACACAATGGACCAGCAAAGCCACGCGTCCGAGCCGAGCGCCCTGGGCAGCCAGGACTCGGTGACGGCTTTTGAAGACAACGACGTCTGCGAGGGCGACGAGAGCATGGGCAGCTGGACCGTCGACGACGACCCGCCCTCCAAAAAAAGTGCGACGCGGCCGTCGGGCATGGCTGATTTAGCGCTCGAGTTGAGCACGTGGCCCTTCGCCGTTCACAACACTCTCGAGAAGCGCCGGGCGCGCGCGGCGCAGCCCAATCATGAAGCGTGGTGGACGCGCCAGCATTCTGAGAGGAGGCGGCCGACGGGCGCCGTCTGGGCCGCGCGCCACCGCGGCGTCGACGCGCTCGCGACGGCGTTATCTGACGCTATTAGAGCGCTCGGGCCGCTCGCCTTAACTCGTGTTAGAGGAAAATACGAGGTGAGCGAGGAGGGCGTCGCGCTGACGACGCTATTGAGCGACGACGAGCGCCATCACAAGAGCTTTTGTCGAAGCACGAACGAGGCGACGGCGCACGCCCTCGATGGTTTATCAGAGAGCTGCGGCGGCCCTACGACGCTACTGAATGTTCGCACGCCACCGGGACGGAGCCTCGCGGCGCAGTGCCTCGTCAACGCCCTGCGGCCCGACGTGCCGCTCTCGACGAACGCTAGATTAGCGTGGCTCCACGCGGCACTACCGCTGTGCGTCCGCTCATCAAATGAAGACGAGTGGCCCCTGACCTGCGCGGCGCGCCATGCTATTGGAAGGCTGGTCTCCGACGCATCATGCTCGATAAAAGGGTCGCCCCTACCACGCTGGTGGGACGCCGACGACGCGGCCGTGCGTGGGTCGAAGAACCGCGCGGACCGCTTCGCGGCGTACTGGTACGCGCTGCGGTCCGACATACTAAGGGCCCATAGAGCTTGCCGGCGGGCGACGCCCGGATTTGTTGAGCTAGATCAAGTGTCGATAATAGAGGAGGCCCTCGACGGGCGGATCGACATGAACATAAAGACGGTGTCGTCGGACGGTGGTTTACGGAGAGCGTTATTTACAGATACGAGTTTGGTGAACATGCTCGGGTCCCTCAAATGCATTCTGGGCGGCAGGGACGGCCGCAGCCGCCAGGCGGACATGTTCCTCGCACCTCCGACTTATTTAACAAAGGCCGTGCAGCAGTGGCATACCAATCAACCACATGTGCGCGCTTCGTTGATCTTCGGGGACCTGTCCTCATCCTTCTGGACGGCCGGCGATAGTCAAGGTGATATTGCGTTGGGATTCGGCCCCGGCTCGCGGCTTCTCTGCCACTTGATAGCGAAGGACGCGGCGGCGGCCGCTCATACTCTCAGTGAGGTCGTCAAGTCCACGCCCTCGCATGGGTTGGCGACGGCGGCCGCCCTCATTGCCGCTGCGTTGGAAGGTTCCGGCAAGGAACGGGTTCATAGGCGGTGCCCCTCGGCCTTGGCGCTCCATCTATCGAGGAAAGATGAGGTGCCCAACACTCAAACGTGGTCTGTCAGTAAAGTGGCCGCCTGGTGCGCTTGTGTTGTGGAAGGGTCCTCTCTTGGTGGGAAAGCGCAGCTGGCACGCGCCACGGAAAAAGCGATTCGCGACCAGTTCGGACTATTGGGAGACGGCTTGATGCACGGCCAGCGGCAAAAACTGCTGGAGGCGGTGCCGCAGCGGGCGCGGCGCGTCATCGAAGCGGAGCTTTTTGCGATCGACGACGCGGACCGCGTCCCAAATTTACCGGAAGCGCGGCAAAGTATAAGGGAGGCGCTGCGCGCGGGGCCGCTCTCATTGTTAATTGAAGCCTGCCTGAAGCAACTCATAGCCCTCGAGGACGACAAGGCGTGGGCCGCGCCGAGAACAATGACAGACGAAGCCAGTGAATCGTGGCGGACAATAGGCGAGGTGGCCGTGGCGGCCGCATTCATCTTAAAGGGCGCGTCGCCGGAGGAACGTGCGAGCTTCGCGTCGTCGGCTCGAAAGCTCTTCGACGCCTACCTCGCGGCCGCAGACGCGGCGCGCGCGCGCTGCGATTCCGAACGGGAGACGTCGCTGACGTCAAATGATGATGACGAAGGGAAACTGCTGGGCGTGGCGGCCCAGACCTCTGATATGACAAAAAGCATGAGACCTTCCGTAGACCGGCTGGCGTCCGCGCTGCCGTCCTTCTCCGTGTTTTTACTGGCGACGGAAGTCCTGCAAGGCCCTCCACTCCTAGATGACGATGATGTGGATGACGCCAAGGGCGCCAGGGACGCGGCGGCTTGTGTGTGTGCGCTCTGTCTGGAGTCTGTCGACGGCGCCGTGAGCTCGTGGCTAAGGGAGCTGGCGGGCACGGACGACGACCTGCTTTCAGGAAAACAGTGCGGCGCGGGCGAGGCGGCGCGATGTCATGGAGACTACGCCGTCTCTCCACTATCGCAAGCGCCGACTAAAATGATGCGCGCGTCCCTGGGATTCGAGAACCGGTGGCCCTTCACGGCGCACGATGATCCCTTCGTACGCCCTTTACACGATCTGCACGAGGCGTGTCTGAGGGATTCATCACTGGAGAAGTGGCTCGGCGAGAGCATTCCGTGCGTGACCGCGGTGCGGTTGCGGTGTCCCGAGGTGTTAAGAAGAAGACCCTGGGCTTCGGATAGACCGTGGTGCGCCTCTAATAGTTTGAGGGACGCCGAGGACCAGGGGCGGCATGTTGGCGAGGCCGTATCTATATTAGTGAGGGAGGCCGAGACGTTACGAAGGGAAGTGGGCGACGCCTACGCCATGCCCCTCGACGGCGCCTGTTTGGGTTTGGCGCTGTGCCCCGACGTCATTCGAATGTCGTGTGACAACGGTGCCGCCTTCCGCGCCAAAGCTCTGGAGGGGGCGGTGCCGGCGATCGCGTCGCTGCTCAAAACGTCTTCAGACTCAGCACGAGACCTGCGCAAGGCCGCATCAGAATCCCCGGAGGCACGTCTCCAAAATATCGCGGAATTGAGAAGGCGGGCCGCCTGGACGTCATTATTGATAAGGCACCCGTCATCAGCGCAGTACTTCCAGGAGGATGTATCGGAGTGGCTCGGGGCCTGCCTCCAGGATGCGCTCAGGGGTATTAAGGGCGGGACGCGGCGTATTATAGCTCCGGACGCCGCCGGCGCGGCCCTCGTGGAAGCTCTGACGGAGGCGGGCGCGTCCGTCAACGAAGATTTGTTGATGCGCGCCTGCCAGCACGGCCGGTCGCGAACGGCCCTCGCGTTGCTGGACGCGGGCGCGTCCCTGAACACCGGAACTAAGTCCCTGGTCGGTGCCGCGAGGCGAGCCCGATGCCACGCACTCGCCGACGAGCTCGAGAGGCGGGGCGCTTCATCAGCTCCCGACGATGGTGAAGCGTGGCCCGGTACTGGTGACGACCTGACGCCCTGGAGCTGGCTCCCCGATTCTGAGTCTGATGTAAAATGGCTCTGCCGAAACCAGATCCGAACGACGCCCGCGGTGCTGAACCACCTGCTGGCCTACGGCTGCCTGGACGCGGCGCGTTTGCTCATAGTGGAGGGTCATATAGATGTGAACCAGCGGGACGCTTCTGGGTTGGCGCCGCTCCACGTCGCTTGTGGTTTGCGAGCCTCGAGATGGGGCTTCCTCTCGCCTGAGGAAGGAGACTGCGACGCGTGGGGGTCGGATCATGCGTATGTGGAGGCGTCTTCCTCCTTAAAATTCCCCCATTCACCACCACCGCCGCGCTGCGGTGACGTGGGGAAGAGCTTTGCTCTGGTGCCGCCGCGCGAGGCCGCCTGTTTGTTACTATTGGCGGCCGGCGCCGACCCCGACGCGTCGAGTCCGATTGGCTCACCATTGTTCATCGCCCTGCGCGCCGCCGCATCCAGTAAAGCGGACGCTTTGCGCTTACAGCGCGACCGAATCCTGTGGTACGACTCCGACGGCGCCGCACAAGCCGCGAAGGGCTGGGCCGGAAGTAGTTATGGAGCCCCCGATCGAGTCGTCGACGCGATCGTCGCCGCGCGGCACCCCGGTGTAACTGTGGCCCGGGCCACCGTGGAGGCCGCGGCCCGGCGCGGCCATGACGCGTCCCTCAAGGCCGCCAAGGCCCTGGACTTAGCGTCGAAGGTGGCATCGCACGGCATCTCGCCCATGACTAGAGCTGCGTTAGCCGAAACAAGCGCTTTAAAGTGCGTCAGAGCTTTACTGGACAAGGGCGCCGACGTCGATATGAGTATAGAGGAAAGGTGGCCCACGGCCCTCTGCTGCGCCGCCGGCTCGGGGCAGTTCCAGGCCGTCCAGTTGTTGGTCGAGAACGGCGCGAAGACCGAGGGCGCTTTAGTTGCCGCGTGTGGTGGATTTGTGCAGGACGCGCCCTCGGACACGAATGTGGCGTCAGCAGAGGTGCGCGTCGCCGGGAAGACTTCTTCAAAGAAGTGCGTCGAGCTTTTACTGCGAGCTTGTAAAGATGAAGGCGTCGAGCCGCCGCGAACGGCGGCGTTGATCGGCGCCGCCGCGCACGGCGCTTTGGATGCCGCCCGAGTCCTCTGCAAGGGCCTGGGCGGCACGTCCACAGTCATCACGCCGGCTATAGTGAGAGTGGATCTGAGAGTCAAAAGAAACCCGTCGTGGGTCCATGAATGGGGTGATCATCAGAGACAGCACCCTCGGGTAGGTGCCGAAGGTTTGGTGAAAGCATGGACCGACCTTGATGGAGACAAGCGGGGGAGCTATCCGCAAATAAGACGGCCGGAATTAAATGAGCCCGGTTTGTGCGTCGTGCGCTGGGCCGATCCCGTGAACGAACAGATCTGTCGGATCGGGTACGAGGACGAGTTTTGGCTCGTGGCCGCCGACGAGGATCGAGTCCAAGTGCCGCCGGCGGTTGCTCAAGGTATGATAACGTCATTGGCCGGGGCCTGCCGTGCGAACGACGCGGCGGCGGTGGCGTTGGCCGTAGATTTGTTGGCGTTCGCCACGACCGATAGGGGTGCTTCGCTCCTGAAGCGGCGTTCGGAGCGCGGCGCCGTCGCCTGCGCTGCCCTATGTTGCTGCGCGGATAACCGGGACGCGCTGTTGGCCGTATCACGCTTACCAGCCGACGCCTGGACGACGTCCTCCTCTGTAGTAGTAGCGGCGCCACCTTCAAATGACGCCTTGGACCTCCTGTCGCCCGAGAAGGGGAACGCTTCACCGGTGTGCGGGGACGCGCCCGCTGTTTCTGTGCCCACTCAATGCTACCAGGACGCCCTCTTCATCTGCTTGCGGGGCTCTCACGTCAATTGCGCCGAGGAGGTGTTGACGCGCCTCGGGTGTTTACAAGGCGACGCCTACGCTATCAGTAGGCCGGACAACTGGCGAAGGACCGCGCGGGATCTGCTGGTTTCCCTAAAACCGTGCGAGGACCTCCAGAAACGGGTTATGATGGAGATTGGCGAGGATATAACAATAGAGGACGACGCCGCGATGATCGAAGCGGCGGCCCTCGGCGCGGCGAGATACATGCGGGACGCCCCGGCCATCATCAGGAAACGACGCATTGATGACAAGGCGCTGGTCGCTTCACTGATCCGCGAGTGCGCCGACCCCGAGCGGCTGGACGCGCTCGTGGACGTGGCGCTCGCGAGCGGTTCGACGGTCAAGGCCGTCGTGAGCGGTGCGTTACACTTTCACGCGACGCGCGGCGCCGTCGACTCCCTAAAAGTGCTTGGAAGGCGTCTGTTAAGAGAGGACGCGGCCGAATGTAGTAGAGAGGCCGCGGGCTGCTTGCGAGTAGCTTTGGAGAGGTGCGGCGGCGACGACGCCGGTTCGGCGGAAATGTGCGCGCTCGCGATCGGTCTCGGGGCGGACCCGGATTCGGTGCAGTCAACTTTATCAATGAATCAACAAGTCGAAGCGCGCTTCGAGGGCGGCGACGAGTGGTATGGTGGCAAAATTGTGGCAGTGCATGACGGTTCCTACTCCATCGAATATGACGACGGCGATCGGGAAGACGACGTCCCGCCGTCTCTGATTAGGTCCAACTCGTCATCACCGTCTTTACTGTACGAAGCCGTCCGGCACCATGCGCCTCGGACGGCGCGCGAGTTGTTGTTGGCTAGTTGTACGGATGCCCCATTCGCCGGTAAGACGTGCAAAGCCTGGAGCCAGCAACACGCGTCCACAAAACGCGTTTTCGATAGAGCGTCGAGACGCCTTTGTGTGGACGCTCCTACGAGAGACGTCAGCACCTACCGTCATCATCATGTGGAGGATCCCTTGACCACATTAGACAAGGAGAACACGGTGCCCAAGAAGCGGAAGAAGAAGAAGCCTTCTTCACCGGTCAAGCACCGCCTCCCCTTCGTCGCAAGGCGCTCCAAGGGCAACCCGCGGCCCTTCGGCGAAAAGGCGCCGGGGTTGGCGCCGCGACCGTCGCGGGGCATGGACGCGAAAAGTCTGCTGGAGTGCACGTCCATCCTCCAGGACGCGTTACTCATTGGCGTATCACCTGAAAAGCCGCCGCCTACACCCGTAGAAGAGGAGGAAGAAGTAGTCAAACCGGAAGAGCCGACGCTGCTTGGCGCGGAGCTCAACGTGCGGTTCTTGGATTTGGACCCCGAGGCTGCAATGCCGTCGTCATCAAACGAAGCCGCGCGGAAACTTTTTGAGGACGTCCGGGGCAACGCTCCAACGATAGCTATTGACGACGCGGCCGACGCCCTCTCCAGTTCGACATTACTGGACGAGGCGCTGCACGGGCCTAAAAAGCTGTGGGGCGGCGAGGAACCTGTATCGATCGACCTCGTGCGGCGCTTACTGAAGCGCGAGGCGTCCTCGTCAAATGTTAGTCTGAGCGCGTTCCTGCGGACGCACCAGCGACTCGTAGGGGGCGCGTTTCCGTTGAAGGACGCGGACCTCGTGTTGTCGCTGTGCGTCGAAATAAACGGGAGCGTCCAGGAGGTCTCTACGAGTTCCTTGGAGCAAGGCCGGGCCTTTATGACGGAAGGACTCACACTACCTTCAGGATTACAAGGCCGGGCGCGTTTTGTGGTCGCTCCTTCTCGAGAAGCGGAGTTTGCGAGAGCGACGTCGCGACCCTTCCTGATCTCGGCGGAGCCGCCTCCATGTCGGCGGTTGACGTTGGAGGTTCCCGACGAGGTCGACGCCGGCGATGTGTTCAAAGTGGTCTGTGTGGCCTCTGATGCGCGGGGCCGGGCCGTCCGTGGCGGGACTTGTGTCGTGCGCTGCGCCGGGCCGGCCGCCAAAGAAGTGGAAGCTACTTTTGACGATGCGGGAACTGCCAAAGTGTCCATCAAATTACCAAGGGCCGGGACCTATGCCGTCACTGGTGTTGTCGGGGCCGCGACGTCGTTCGAGCACTCGCTCGTCGTATGTTCCGGCGTCATTTCGAAGCTGAAGGTCAGCTTTGATACGGCGCCAAAGGACGACGACGAGTTCGGGTTCCTGGAGGAAACCAAGACCGATATTGTGGCGGGCGACGCTTTGCCATCAATTAGAATCGAGGCGCAGGACGCCTCAAACAATCTCGTGAAGTACGCGGGGTCCTGCCTCGTGAAACTGAAGAGCATTTCCCCCGGAAAGTGGCTCGGTGAGAAACTAGAGGACCCGGTCGCTTCCCTGGAATTCGCGGACGGGATCGCCCTGATGGCAGAGCCGCCCATGGCCGTAAAAGCGGGTTCGTATGCCTGGGAGTGCGAAGTCAAGGACGTGACCACGAGATCCGACGTCTTCGAAGTTAAACATGGCCCGTGCGTCTCCTATAAGCCTGTGGCGCCGCGCGTCGTCGACGTCGATCAGGCGTGGGCCCTCAAGCTCGTGCCCTGCGACAGTTATGGGAATGTGTTGGACGGGTCCGAGGCGGCTAAAATTGTAACGAGGGTCGTGGAGGAGGACACCAGTGCCCCCCTTCAAAGAACCGGTTTTAGGGTTGTCGAGAAGCGCCGCGACGGCCAGCTCAAGCTCCGCAAGATCGTTGAGGATGAAGAGGAGGAAGACTTTGCGTTCGAGGATGTAAAACGGGGCGCGCGGAAGGCGTTTTCGTTCGATGGCCCATCTCTGTCGAGAGCGGGCTCATATGACGTCGTCGTCAAGACAAAGCTAGGTTCCATCGTTGAGAAGCGGCGGTCGCTACTCGTGATGCCCGGGGCACCTTCGAAAATAGTGCTGAGCGTCGACGTGGACGAGGACTCGCCGATAAAAGGCGACGATTTACTAAGGTGCCGCGCCGTCGTGGTCGACAGTAGAGGCAACCCGTGCACATCCTCCAAATATTGTAGTAGGGTGCAGTTTCGGTTAGCCGCTTTAAAACCCATCAAGGACAACACACACGTCATGGCCCACCTCCAGACGAATTGGGATCATGACGAGCTCGAGGTTGATCAAGGGACGGTCGAGTTCGAGGCCCGGCCGGCTTTATCTGGCGTCTTTTGTGTGGTCGCCACGGGGTCCTTCGCCACCAAAGGTAGTCACGGAGACCAGGAGCTCGAGAGCGGCGTCTCGACGTCGTTCTGCGTCCTGAGCGGGCCGCCGCGGTCCCTCAAATTCGAGCCGTTCCACGTCGTCAATCATTCCGCCAATGTCTCGTTGACCTTGGTGGACGGCAACGACGAGCGCGCGCGCGTCGATGGCGCGTATGCGGTGCGGTTGGTGTTACTCAAGCCTGATGATTCTGAAGTGGACTGTGGGGAGCGGCCCGTCTTTCGCGGCGCGGTGGAGTTCTACGGCGTCGCCGTACCGGACGTTGCGGGCAAGTATGTGTTCGAGGCCTTGCTCGTGAAGGGCGACGAGGAGATATCGCGGCGCGAGGCCGCCTTCCACGTGCAGGAGAAGATACCGAGCGTCGACGAGTCGGTTCAAAGGCGCCTCGCGATTCGCGCAAAGAAGAAGGCCTGCGAGGTGGCGCTGCGGAATCTGCGGGTCGCCGCGGGCTGGACCGGCGGCCTGGACGCCAAGGCCTTGCGGCGGCCGCGCTTCAAGGTTGATGTTAAGGAAGCACTCCCGAGGGGCGAGGAGGCCCTGGCGCGCGGCCGGCCCGCCCAGGACTGGAAGGTCGGGAACTGGCTTAAAGTATTAGCGAAGTACGAGGTCGCCCTCGAGGAGCGCGTGACGCAGCTCGTGAAAGATGAACGGGCCGCGCGGCTGGCGCCGACTCCCGCTCCCACGAGGCCGAGTCCGCGCGAGGAGTCGCCGACGCGCACTTACCGACGGAAGGCTTCGAAAGCGTGTGCGCAGGCCTGCGAGGGCATCGTCGAGAAGCAGCTCGCTACCTTAGTCCAGGGCGGCGCGACCGCCGACGCCGACGAGGGCGCGCGCCTCTCATCAAAAGTCGGGCCGGCGTTGCGTGCGTTAGTGAAGGCGCGGCGCGACCGGGACCAGGTGAAGCGACTCGAGGCCTACGACCGCGGCGAGGCGCGGCGGCTCGCGCGACGGGCGCTGGACGCCACTCGGGGGCGCCTCGAGGCCGTGCTTGACGCGCACTGCGCGCGCAAGCGGTCGTGGCGTTTGTTAAGTGTCGGGGACTACGACGTCGACGCCGATGGCCCTGTCGAGCTGCTCCCGCGGCCCGAGGCGGCAGTACGGGCCATTACGGAACGCATCGCGACTGACTTAGCAAGCGCGGCGAACTTTGCCTGCCAGCGGCAGCGCAAGCGCCACGCCTACAAGCGGCTCGGCGACGTCTACTGCCGCGTCGTCGCGGGGGGCAACATCGACGCGGCCGACGCGGCGGTCGTCGCCTTGCTGCGGGGCGCCGCCGCCAAGGCCTACGGCGCGCGCGCGGCCCAGCGCCGGGATCCCGGCGTCGTGTCGCTGCGCGTCGAGCGCCAGGGCGCGCTCGTCGAGATCGACGTGGCCCTGCGCGACGTGCGCGGCCTCGCGGACGACGCCGCGGCGTACCGCGCGCTGCTCGCCACGGCCGAGGAGGTCGAGGCGCCGGCGCCGGCTCAGGCGCTGTTCTCGCCGGTTCTTTCGCCGTCCCCCGCGGCGCCCGAGGCTCCGGTGCCGGCGAATGCGCCCGCTCCGGCGGAGGAAGAGGAGGACCTGGACGTCCTCGAGGCCGTCTCCATTCTCGTGGAAAAGGGCAAGCGGTCGCGGCGCGTCCTCGGCCCCGACCACCCGCTGACCGTCGAGGTCCTCGGGCAGCTGGAGCAGGCGCTGAGTCCCACGTCGCCGTTTTCGCCGTCGTCTCTCGCGCCGGCTCCTGCGCCGCCTTTGACGGTTGACGATGTGTAAACTGTTCCTGTTGACTTTCGCGTCGCTGTCGGCGTTTGAATTCGGTTTCTGGGGCGTGGGTTCTTGTGAGCTGTCTCCAGAGCTCTTACTGCACGGGTGCGCAAAGTGACGGGAGTCCTCTGTGGGGTCGGTGCGTCGGTGTCATTTTTGGACTTGCAAACCCAGCGCGACGTTGCGGATTCAGAGCCAAAATTCACTGCCTTTTACCGTTTCTGACCGTGTTCTGATCGTTCGTACCGAAACTTGTACATAACTGCTCCCCGCTGCCGCGGCAGCGCTCCTCATTTCACCATGCTTGGCACGCAAAACAGTGAAGAAGAAGAGTGGGTAAAAATCAACGCCGACGGCACCGAGAACACGTCGCACGAGCCGTGGATCCTCTTGGGCCGCCGCGACCGCAAGGTGGCAGCCTTCGTCGAGGAGACTGGCGCCAACGACGCCGGAACTGATTCGCAGCCGCACGCCGTCGAATCGCGCCACGAAACCGCCACGGCGCAGCCGCCCGCCGCCGAGCGGTTGCGGGCCGACGTGGCTGCGCTTGCGGCGCTTTGCGGCCGCCCGCGGACTGCGGCGCAGCGGAACGGCCGCGTCGTCAGCCCGCCGGGCTCGGCCAAGAAGAAGCGCCGCCAGCGCAAGCTCAAGCCCTTCGCCGGCCGGCCGCGGAACGCGTCGCGCATGCGCCAGCTCTACCCGTGAGCCGCGCCCGTGACGCCTTGTGTACAAAGAAGAACGCCGCCGCCGTCGTCATCGACGGCCGCCGAAACACAACAAAAAGCCGGCTCTGACTGGAAACACCAAAAAAAAATACTAAATTCCTGTGCATTATATTCATGTCTCACAGCGGCGTTCCGGGAGCGAGCAGAGCTAGTGTGAATGTGTGGCTAGCTCGTTAACAGAGCGGAATCGCGCTGCCGCTAAAAGCCTGCGCGCGAGCCCCTAGCTGCTTCGAAGAAGGAGCGAAGACGTAACACACGATGCTGGCAGCAAGATCCCTTCGCGCGCTGGGCGCCCGCTCGCTGGCCGCCCGCGGCACCCAGAGCCGCCTCGCGGCGCAGAAGCTGCCAGTCGTCGCGACGCAGACGCGCAACTTCGCCCTCGCGCACAAGACCGAAATCGACGACGAGCGCATGCCCACGACCTACGCCGACTACTCGAATCACGTGCTCCTCATGCTCAGCGCGCACGGCGACGACCAGGCCATCCGGGAGCGCATGGTCCGGGACGTGATGAAGGTCGACGGTGTCGATCATGTGGAAGCAGAAGGAAAGGTGGGCGAGATCGAGCAGGCCGCGAAGGCTGGATTGGCCATGTCTCGTTTACCGTACCGCGTGGGCATCGCCGCGGCGCTCGTCGCGGGCTTCGGCTCGATCCCCATGTGCTTCGACCTACATACCGTATTGTGGTTCAACGAGCAGTACGTGACCATGGACGTCGAGGACGCGAAGAACCTCGAGACGTGGCTCGAGGTCGGCTCGTGGAGCTGGAACTGGATGGAGCCGCCGCTCGGCCAGGCCTCCTTCTTCCTCCTCTGCCTCCAGTATTCCCGGGACCAGATGAAGAACATCGGCATGAAGACGTACACGGAGCGCGTCAAGGACAAGCGCGGCGCCAAGCTCGTGGAGAAGTTCCCGCAGTACAACGGCATCGTCGTCGCCGAGTTCGGGCGCACGATCATGGACTCGGGCTAGAGGTCCTGGTGGAGGACGCGCGTGGGTCCCCTTCGGACCTGCCCGCCGCATTTTAAATTGCTTAGTTTTTACACACTCTACACACTGCGCGGGCGGCAATGTCTCGCGATGCTGTCTCGCGCGGGCACAACGCGCGGCCGCGGCGACGGCGTCACCTTACGCGCGCCGCGGCCGCGTCACTTCCACCCGAGATGGCCCCAGAACGTGATGACGTGGGACACGAGCTCCGGAGGCAGCAAGTGGTCCATCTTCGGCGCGAGCATCGCCGTGAGTTTTTTGCACTGCTGCTTCTGGTAGTTTGCGAAGCTGCCCGCTCGCTCGATTCTCGAGAGGTACCCTGGAGAAAATTGGAGAAATTGATCGTACTTCCCCTCCTCTGCTACGGCCCCTCGCGAGAGCAACAGAACGGCAGTTCTGTGGTGCCCGTTTCCTGCGGCATATTGAAGCGGCGTTGTATCATCAAAATCGCGCGTGTTCAAAGCCGCACCGGCGTCCAATAGCAGTCTACAGATTGTGTTAAGTCCTGAACATACGGCATCGTGCATCGCCGTCCATCCGAACTGTTCCTCCTCAGAGTCCGAACTGTCACCAGAGTCGAAGAATACTACGGCCGCGGACGCCGACGCCCCCGCATCGAGGAGTGCCCGAACGCAGGCCGTCCTCCCTTTCACGGCTCGATTATGTTTCACCCGAGTGGCACGGACGACGGAGCAAAGGGCCGTCATCTTGAGATGGCCCCTTTTCGTTAAGGCGTCAACGTCGGCACCCGCGGCGATCGCTAAGCGTAGTTTTACGACGTCGCCCGCCTCGGCGGCGTCGTGCAGCCGCTGATTTAGCTCTTCTCTAGATTCTTCTGCGCCGTCGCCGCTGCTGCTGTCCGCCATCGATGCCAATCAGCTGCTGTGCTGGCAACCTGTGCAGGCCCTGATAAGCCCTGGTAAGCCACACTGCCCAGATCTTCGAGTCTGCGTGTTCTGGCGAGCTGTGCTCTGCGCCCTTGTTTTTGCTCCAGCTAGCGTTTGCTAGTGTCTTACAGGCGCTAGCACGATTTGTAAGCCGCGCTTGCGCGGCGGCGTCCGTACGAGTTGACAAGGGCTCGTACGAGTGATTTCCTTGACGCATAGATTGCACACGGCACTACGCTTCGCTGGAGCTCGTCCAGCCGACGCAGGGGAGCAGCAGGGGCCCCCACTGCTACACTGTGCTCACAAAAGCGAGCGCGCGCACGCATCACAAATGTCCGACGACGCCGCCGCCACACCACCACCGAAACCGCAAGAGGAGCGCACGAGCTGCTGGCTCGAGCTCGACGCGTTGTATAGTTGCGCGACGCCCAAGCACCAGTTCGAGGTCGTCTACCGCGACGGCACCTTCGACGACTGCCAGCAGCGCGCCGCGGACATGTGGGCCTGCATGCGCGGCGGCGCGGCGCGGCGGCGGGCCGAGGCGGCGGCCGCGGGCGAGGCGCTCGAAAAAGAAGCGCCGCACGTCTGGGAGCTGAAGGAGCGGCCCGCGTGGACGGACGCGGGGCAGACCGTGGCGACGCCGACGGCGCCGCGACCACCAAGGGCCGAGTGGTCGCTGCGGCGGTGGTGGTCGTCGCGGGGGGCCTCGTGAGGTAATCTGTGTGTGTGTTAACTGTGTGGGCCGGGAGCGCGGCAGCCGTTCGGTCAAGCAGGCATCGCGGCGGCGGCTTGGTGGCTAGGTGGCCTAGCTCTAAGCAAAGCAACTGTGCAAAACCTGTGGCGCTTCTCCGGGCCCCGGGAGCGAACGATAAAACAGGACAACAACTTAGGAGAAGAAGTTCAACTTGTCACCGGCGGCCGGCACCACGTCCTCCTCAACAGGGGGGCTAGGGCTCGCGACGTCCGCGGGCTCGCGCGGCCGGACCCACCGGCGACACCTCACGAACGTCCGCTTCGTCATCGCGCTGCTATACCCCAAGCCGTCGCGCGACCAGTCAAACCGATAAATCCAGCCGCCCTCGCCACTCCCGTCGCTCGACACGCGCTCGGCGCCGAACGACGTGCTATCAAGCACCCAGGGCCCGAGCCAGCGCCACGTCGACGCCCTCCCATTTAAGTCGTCGAGGGGTAGGCCCGACTCCTCGGGCGCGAGCTCGGCTTCGAGCGGCGGCGGGCCGCCGTGGCGCTTGAACAGCGCCGCGAGCGCCGGTCGCGACGCGCCGTCGAAGGGCGCCTTCCGCAGGCCCACGCAGGGCGCCCATCCTCTAATCCAGCGCTGGTTCTCCCAGACGTAGTCAACCGTAACACCGCGCGCGTGCTTTTGTTCCGGTTCGGGCGGCGGCCTCGGCGCCGCCACGACGGGCACTTCGACCAGCGACGCCGCCAACATCGCGAGGTCGACCTCAGGGCTCTTCGCCTCGCGAAGTAACGCCGCGACCCGCGTCGCGGGTCTTTTGGCTAGGAGCTGCTTTACTAAACTCTGGCAGGTCTGCCGCTCGCGCGGCCGCACCCACCGTCGACATCGCACTCTTGAATCATTCTCGTCATAACTATACCCAGTCATATCATCACTGGGCCACTTCGGCGCATACAACCAGGCATCCGGCGCGCCGACCTCTTCGATATCAGAGACGCCTCGATCGGTGCCGTGGACGCGGCCGTCGACCTGCCAGGGCGAGAGCCACCTCCAGGACAGATCCGGCAATCCATCAACGTCCGGCGGCCCGCTTTCCGCGAAGAGCGGCGCCAGGCGGCCCTCGAAGGGCCGCCTCCGCAACGGCTGCAGCCTCCTTATAATACCGGCCCGCGGCGCCTCGGCGCGGCCCCAGGGTCCCGGCGGCCGCCTCTCAATGGCATGCCGCGTCAGCGTCGCGCGCGCCGCCGATGCGAGGTTGGTTAAGGATTGGTCGTCCCTTGACTGGTTCTCCCAGACGCACTCGATGGCCAGCTCCGGCGTCCGGTCTTCGTCGAAGGCCTTCGCCGTCCTCTCACAAAACCGGCGCGCCGTCGTCTCGTCGTCGACGGGCGGCGCGTCTCCCTTCAGTTCGGCGAGCTTCGAGCTGATCTGGTCGAGGACCCTTGATGACGCGCGGCGCGGTTGTTGCGTTGCAGGCGGTGACGGCGCTGCGGCTGGCGTCGAGGACGGCTCCGGCGCTGGCGGCGGTGCGGGTGGTGCCGGCGCTGGCGTCGAGGCCGGCTCGGGCGCGGGCGGCGTCGGAGCCGGCAATTCTGGCGCTGGCGGCTCCGGTACTGACGGCTGCGGCGCTGGCGGCGCCGGTTTGTGGTCCAATTCGTCCTCGTCGTCGTCCTCGGCGGCGTCGGACGGCCGATTCAGCAGCTCTGATGTGCGCAGCACGTCTGCGTCCGTGTTTCCTTCCCCTGCGGTGTCCGAGTCCGAATCCGAGTTTAGAAGCTGGGCCAAGCGAGCGGCGTCCGCATCGCTCGTGGACATGATCGCTGGCGTGATTCTAAGTTGTGCGCAGAGTCTGCTTGTCTCTCTGCCTGCTGGAAATGGCGTATGGCTGTGCGGAGTGTTATGCGAGGCTAGCGTTCGGTAAAACACTAGCAAGCAAAAAAGTCGTCGAACCGTCGTGGGTCACAGTCTGCTCGTACGCCGAAGCTGCGTTGTGCGAGACACACCTGTGGTCTCCTCTTTGCTGTGCAACACCAATCTTGCCATCGCGCTGCATTAGCTGCCGGCCTGCACACTGCAACACTGCTGGCGGCCCACCACGCCACACCAGTCGCTAGACGCCGCCGCCGCACATTAAGAGGCCATGGCCTCCTTCAGCGGTCTCGCCGGCAAAGTGCGGAGCATCACGGAGTCCGACGAGTTCGATCTAGGATCGATCAGCTCGGCATACGACGCCGGCAGATTGATCACGGACGCCTTCTCGACGCCGTTCTCGGACCGGGACGAGATGGTCCGCGTCACGTTCGTGGTCGGCGCCGGCAAGGCGAACCGGCAGAAGTACGACGCATCTTTACAAAAATGGATCGTGGCCGCGCTCAAGGCGATCGATTACGAGGACAACAAGTCGGCATCTTGCGATTTTGATAGTGCGGGGTCCTTCAAGACGCAGCACGACACGGGCCGCAACCTCATTTTCGTGCACGTCTTCCCCCGCTGCGCGAAGAAGGTTGTAGACGCCTCAAATGAAGACGAGACGGTTGACGAACCGGCGCGGCTGTCGCGGGAGCATTTGTTGGTTGCGGCGGAGATGAAGACCTTCGAGCGAACGGTCGCGAAGCGGTGCCCGACGTGGTCCTGCAAGAAGCGGCTCCAAGAGAAGCTGCGCGAGGTCCGGGCGCAGTTCACTCAGATCGACTCGAAGCTGATGAATCGGGAGGCGCTCGATGACGCGGAGCAAGCTTTGTACGAGCTCGGAAGCGGCGATGACCTTGACGGCAAGCTCAAGTTCCTGCAAAAGTCCTTGATGGAGATGGTGCAAAATGGCCAGCTCACTACAACAGAAAAGACGCTTTGTTTAGAACAGATGGACGAGCGCGCCGAGAGCGCGCCGAACGACAAGGCCAAGAAGCGCATCGAGGAGAACCGCGAGGCGCTCTCGAAGCGGTCCGTTCTGGATTACAAGCCTCCCAAAATCGAGCACACGGCGGCGATCAAAGCTTTACAAACAAAACTCGCGCCGCTCGCCGCGCTGGAGAAGCGCGGTGGAGCGCTCCTATCCGTTGCAGAAGTGTCCAAACTGGGAGAAGCGCCTGATTTAGAGGAGCGTATTTCAACGTTGGAGGAGGCGTCGCGGCTCTGGTACGAGACCGACGCCGAGCTCGCGGCGCGCCTCGCGCCGCTCCGCAAGCACCTGTCCGACCTGCGGCGCAAGTCCGCGGCGCCTCAAAAGAAAGCCTCGACGGGCGGCTGGGCGACGGTCTCGTCGCAATCAAAAAGCCGCGGCGGCGCGCGGACGGCGTCGCGCGGCAAGGCGTCGCGCTCAGGGGGGGCTTTTGCTGCTCTTGGAGATTAACGTATGTGTTAGACTTACTACTATTCTTCCATGACGACGTCGAGCACGTCGAGGCGACACCGTTTTCGTAGAGCCGCCACGTCTCGTTTTAACGCCGCTGCGTCCGGCTTTTCGGGCGCCGTGACGATCGCCTCGAGACAAAAGAGGTCCGTCGCGGCGTCTCTTGCGTCGAGGGACCGCGCCGCCTCGGTCACACGCCGCTGGAGACCCTCGGGCGCCACGCCGACGACGCGCGTGTCGAGCGAGGAGATGTTGAGGCCATGCTTCGATAACAGAGCGGCAACATTTGAGACGAGGCCCGGCGAGTCCGGTCCTTGGAGTGCCACCCGCCCCGCGACCTTTGCCGCAGGGGGCGTGCCGTGGGACGGCGTGACGTCGCGACAGTCCACCTTGAGGCCGCGTTCTCGGCCCGCCGTCGTCGCCGCAGATACCAGACCAGCTCTTGCCCCGCGCGGCGCGCTTACGACGAGCATGACGACAATATCATCACCAATCGTCGCAATCTTCGAGGCGGAAATGTTCGCCCGCGCGTCAGCCAATACCCTTGCGAGCGTGGCGACGTGGCCCGTCGCGTCGGGGCCCCAGGCCGTCACGACGAGATGCGCATCGTTCGCGGCGAGGCGCGGCGCGGGCCCCGCGGGCACGTCGCTGTAGGTCGGGAGCTTGACGTTCCGCGCGTAGCCGTAGGTCCGGACGCCGACGGTCGTCGCGCAGCCCAGCGCGATGGCGAGCGGCGCACCGGCGCCCACAAAGTGGAGGAAGGCGTAGGCGCTCGCGCCGCTCAACGCTGCGGGCGCGTAGAGCGTGCCCGCCGCCGCCGGCGAGTCTTGCGCCGCTGAGTAGAGTAACTTCGGTGGCCGGCGGCAGAGCACGTCTCGGACCAGGCCGCCGCACGTCGCCGTGAACATGCCACAAATAGGGACCACCAACGGACCCATGCCCACGCTAGCGGCCGCTTGCGCTCCGACTACCGAAAAGGCGCCGATACCTAAAGTGTCGCCCCACCACAGCGCCTCCTCGGCTACTGGTCCCTCGAGTTTGTCGTGCGCGTAGAATGCCATCAAAGCGGTGCCGACGCAGAGCAAGAGGTACTCGATCTCCTTAAACCAAAAGACCGGCGTGCGACCCAGCAGCAGGTCCCGAATCGTACCACCTCCCAACGACGTGATCGTGCCCACCATCGTGCAGCCGAGGATGTCCATGCCCGCGTGTCCCGCGACCATCGTTCCAGACGCGGCGAACGCCACGGTGCCGACGTAGTCCAGCCCTCTCAGAGCCGCCGGCACGAGGTTGTTCGCGGAGGTCGTCGCGAGGCCGCGACGCGTCGGCACGGCGATGACCGCAAGCCGCTGCACCGTTGGGCATCGCAGGCTCCGCGTTGTAGACGCTGCTCGCGCAGCAAAAATCACCGGTGCGCCGCGCTGTGCTGCCCGTGCGGCCAGCATCATTGTTTGTGCCGTGCACAGCACCCGATATCGCTGCGAAACTTGCCGCGGCGGCTGCGGGACTTGGCCTGTGGTCCAAAATAATTGTCTGCTGGGTCCCTAAGGCATAAATGCGCTTGCTTTACGTTCGGAGCAAAGCTAGACCTAGCGGCCTGTGAGACACTAGCAGACAAGCAAGCAGCGCTTTTTAGGAGTGCTTTGGCACCCGCAGAGGCCTGAACCTCCTCCCTGGCGATCCTTGGACGGATCATTGCGCTCAGCCCGACTCGACGCATGCAGTAGCAGTGCCGCAAAAAACAGACGCAACACCGGCGCAGCAAGCGCAGGGCTCATCAGTAGCCACATCGGTCATAGCTGCGCCGGTGCTGATATTTGCGCAACGTTTGGTGCACCAGCAGTGCCACAAAAGGGAGAGCAGCAAGCATGCTCCTCCTGCAGCACCTATTACGCCGCGCACCGGCAGCCGCCGCGTGCACGGTCCTCACCGCATCGTATACGCAAGCGAGGGCGCAACAAGCACCGCTGCAGTGCGACGACGGTCTAGAGGAAGATGACGACGATAAATTTGAGGGCCCGCGCCGCCACACGCTCGCGGACCCGAACCGCTACGACTCGATAGTGATTGGCTGCGGCGTGAGCGGCACGGCGGCCGTCGAGGCGGTCGCGAAGCACGCTGATAGAGGACACCGGTGTCTCGTGCTCGAGTCGGACGCGTTCGCGGTGCGACGGTGCGAGGCGCTCAGTGCGGAGGTCGGGTCGGACATTATCGATTGCGTGCGAGCGCGGGCGGAGTCGCTGAACCCTTTACTGAGGCAAGTGCGCACGACGCACGGCGACGAGTACTCCTACGCGAAGAAATGCCTCGTGGCCACCGGCGCGGCCGCCGCGGTCCCGCCGCCCGGTTTTGTAGATGAACTATGTGTCGAATCCGTGAGATGTCTGGGCCACGGCGAGGCGGCGGACGCCGCGGCCGTGCGGGACGCCTTTTCGGTTGCGAAAAGAGGTGGTAAAGTATGTGTCGTGGGCGGTTCCTGGCAGGCCGTCGCGCTCGCGGCGGCCGTCGCGCGGGCGGCGCCGGCGGAGACGGCCGGGGAGTCCGCATCTCTCGTATTTCCCGAGGCGACGCCCATCGGCGCTCGGTTACCGAAGGACCTGGGCAAGAAGCTCCGAAAACGTCTCGAAAAAAGGGGCGTCACGGTCATTGCATTGCACCAAATCCGCTACGTCGGTCCGAACGAAGACAATCGCAAGGCCTCGCATGCCGTCTATCTCGCGCGGGCCGACGACGCCATGAGGACGTCGAGATGTTCAGCAGACTTGGTGGTTGTGGCCGGTGGTGAACATGTACAACAAGTACAAGTGTCGGCGCGCGACGCGCGGAGCGCTCCTCGAGGTTCCACCGCTTTGGAAGTCGTGAAAGCGACGAGACTCGACGACGCGACGCGACGGCGGCCCATCTTTGTCAACGAGGAGCTGTCTGCAGGAGCATCAGTATTAGCGTGCGGCGACGCGGCGGCGACGCCCTGCCGGCTGGAAACCACAACATCAGCGTTAGTGAACACCACAACACACGGCCAGCGCGGCGCTGTGATTGCGGTGGAGACGGGCACGCCGCACGCCGTCGGCACGGGGAATGCTGCGGGACGCGTTTTAGCTACTGGTGATGGATCATCAGCAGCAAAAGTCTTAGCTGGGTTAACTCCGACCCTCGCCGCGGACATGCGCTCGACGTTAGGCTGGCACGTGGGTTTTGTGGGGAAATGCGACGCCGCGCTCGAGGCGCACGTCTTCTCCAGCAAAAGTGTGGACGTGGCGATCTACGTGGAGAAGACGGATCTCGGCACTGGGGCCTTTCGAAGGGTGCCCATGGGCGTGGTGGTGGTCGCGAAGAATCGGGATTTAGATGCCGCGGCGGCGGCCGACGCCGCGGCCGTCGGGCTGCGGGCGCATATGGAACCGCCAGCTCCGGACGAGCACGCCGACGCGACCTACAGGAATGACGTCGACTTCTTACGCGGGTTGGCAGCGGCCGTCGCGGCGGCGGCGGGCACCGACGACTTCTCTTTGAAACATAGCCAGGTTATATCAAGAGCTGATAGACTCGGGCCGCGCTACTGGGACGGCCAGGGCGCGGCGGACACGGCCCTATTTTCGCGGGGCGGCAAGACGGAGATGCGGTCCAAGCGCGTCGCCGGCGCCTTTTCGGCGCAGATGGGCAAGGGCGCCGCGAAGGAACTGGATGATCGGCGGAAGGCCCAGGCGGCGCTTGAGGCGGGGATGGGACGCCTCGTTGCGGCCGCCAAGGGCGACGCCTCTTAACTTTAAGTTTGTATAGTCTGCTCGACGATGGCGCGATCTTTCCTCCCTCGCGGACGTGGACCCGTTGCCACGCAAGTCGCGGGAAATTTATTTACACAAGATACTACTACGACTGGCGCTTCTTCGGCGCCGTCACCGTCGCCACCGCGCCGTACGCGCCCAGGATACCCCCGCAGATCGTCAAGGGGTACGTCGCGTAGACGCGCCATGCGGTCTGGGCGGCGTCGCGCGCTCGCATCGCCGTCGCCGCCGCCCGCTGCCCCGAGTCGGCCGGCAGGCCGCGGATGTATTTCATGGTGTCCTCCGTCCTTCTAATAGTGACGCGGCTCTCGCCGAAGGACCGGTAGGGCTGCAGCACCCACCACACTCGCCTCACCACCTCCCGCAGCTGCACCTCGACGGCGCGCTCCATCTCGGGAGAGACGCTGCGGCGCAGGGCGTCGGCCGCGAGCGTCGCGAACTTGCGCGGGGCACTCATGGTGCCTGTTGCCTTGCTTTTTTACGCTGATGTGTTGGCCTCCAAAAGCATGGAGGTCCTCATACCACTGGCTGATTCGCGCCGATTCGCGCGTCGCAACGGTAGTCGATTCACGCCGTTAACGACGAAGGACAAAGGATAGCTAACTACGATTCTAGACAAGTTACTTTTTTTGGAAGACGCGCGACGCTCACACCGTCGGCTGCTGGCCCTCCTCGGCCACGAGCTCCGTGTCGCCCTCCCTGTTAAACCCGGAGGGCGTCGTCGTGCGCCAGATGCGCTTCCACTGGGGCATCTCGCCGCGCTCCTCCGGGGGAAAGAAGACCTGCTCGGTCGGCGGCCGCGCGCCGCGGTCGGCGCCGTGCCAGATGATGGCGGACTGGTGGAGTTTTTCTTGTTGCCTTAAATAGGCCCAGTAGCCGGCAGCGCCCAAGGCGCCCGTTGTCAGGACGACGGTGCTCACGCTGGGGAGAGGCAGCCCGCTGCTGCTGGCCATGGTCCGGCGCGGCGCCGTGGCGCGCGCTGCCCGTGCGATGGTCGTCGTCGCACGGAACATGACGGGTGGAATGTTGTATGAGTCCTGTCTGCGTATGGCGCTCTCTTCACGGTGACGTCGATCTCCCGTAATTTACTTGGCCCTTGGGGTGTACCCCGCGCGTTTTTGGACGTTCGGCCAGGAGTGCTCCTGGGCGGCTTGGAATGTCGTTACGTACGCTCGGGACGCATCTTCAAAATGGGCGTGTCTCGACCGCGTGTCCGCCGCGTCAGCCCTGCCAAACAGAGGAAAGAGACCGCTTACGACCTACCTCGAAGCACCTGCACGTTCAAGCAGCCCCCGCACTATCGCCGGGCCACACGTACCATATCACAGCTCCTGCGCTGCGTTCATAGCAAAGCGGCGCGCCGCATCACACCATCGCCACCACACTCAGTAGTGTAGCAGCACCATGGCCCTGCGCTCCGTCCTCAACCGCCTGCCGGCGCCTTTACGCAAAAGAGCCTACGGCCTCACAGCCGGCGGCGCCGCCTACAAGGCGCGGGTCATGAAAAGCAGAGGCCTCGTCACGGCGTCGAAGCCGATCAGCCCGCTCCAAACCAAACTAGCTATTGGTGCTGGAGTAGTAACGGTAGGCTGCGTCGCGGGCCAGACCTTCTTTGGCAGCGAGGAGCACTTCTACGACCATAGATTCGTGACCGAGGCGGACCCGAATGCCTTAGCTGAATTTTACGGGAACGAGGACTTCATGGAGATCTTCTGCGTGTTCCCGTTCATGGTCGACTTCATGATGCGGTCGGGCTACTTCGACGACAACGGCCACGTCCACACGTTTGGCCTACCGCCCATCATCAGCAACATGGTCGTGTCGATGCAGTTCGACGAAAGGGAAGAGGAAGATGCCGACGGCGAGGCGAACACGGTCTGCTTCAACAAGAAGGAGCGCTTCAAGTGCACGGACGCTTTATTTGGGAATACTCTGTGGGAGATGGTCCAGAACTTTGGGTACGCGACGCGCGACGACGGCAAGATCGAGGTCTACCATTATGGGCAGAAGTGGTCGGGGCCCTTCTTCATCCGGCTGATCTTCCAGATGCACGCGCGCTACGTCATCTGGGCCACGGAGCAGCACGTGAATTCTCCCAGATTTTTGGCTCAGGACGAGGACGAGGAGGACGACCTCGTCGCGCAGCGCCACAACATCCCCAAGCATCTGCTGGGCCAGTTCTTGGATGGCTTGGATGTTGATGTGCAGGCTAAATTAAATACGACGCTTGCTGCATTGCAACAGGCGCGGTCGTCGGAGCAAGAGGAGGAAGTGAAGGAGTTGTTAGGTACCGTGCAGCGGTTGGAGGGTTTAGTTGCCGAGTTGCAGGCCGCCAAATTGAAACGTGCCAAAACTATGGTCGAGGCTCCGTTGCAGCGCCGCGTCACGGAGGGCGGGCCGTCGCAGAAGATGGGCGGCTCCGCGCGCGGCCTGTACCAGAGGGCGCTCGTTCGTAGGGCGACGGCCGTCGAGGGTGAAGATGATGAAGATATGTTGCAGCGGCAGACGACTGATTTATCCTCGACGATCGAGGCGGCGCTCGAGGAGGCCGAGGAAGTCGTGACTCCGGTGCGCACGGCGATTGTTCGTCGATTGACGGCGATCGAGGATTCCATGAAGGAGGAGGAGGACGAGGTTGTGTCTGTGCCTTTGAAGCGCCACTCGACTCTCAATAGAAGGACGATCACGTCGATCGTCAATTCCGAGGAGGACGCGGCGGCGCCGGAATTGATGGAGGCCGCGCGGGAGATCGAGGTCGAGGCGGCGCCGGAGGTTGTCGTCGTCGTGGAAGCGGCGCCGGCGCCGGAGCCCGTCGTGGTGGAGGAGGAGGGCCCCGTCGCGGCGCTCGTCCGCCGGGTGACGGAACAAATACAAGAGGCCGTCGAGGCGAAGACCGAGGCCTCGCCGGCGTCTCCCACCGACGCCGAGGCGCCGGTCCGCCGCAAGACGCAGCTCTCGTTCAACTTCCCCGGCTACGCGCCCTACGGCTACGGCTACCCGCCGCACCCGTACCAGTACGCGCCGCCGCAGCAGCCGTACGCGCAGCCGCCGCAGCAGGGCCAGATGCCGCCGCCGCCGCCCTACCCCTACTACTACGCGCCGCCGCCGCCGCCCCACGGCTACTGGGCGCCGCCGCACGCGCCCATGACCGTGCCGCAGGGCGCCTACTACCCGGGCGCGTCGGCCCCGACGGCGTCGTCGGCGTCGGTGTCGTCGGCGTCGCAGACGGAGTGAGCTTGCGCCCGTTCTCTCCCCTATTGTCTATTAAACATCGATTTGCCATCTAATACCTAGTACGCGAGTGCTTACCCAGTATCCGGCGGCGATGGCGTTTCGCGGGCGCGGAGCAGAGCTCGCGACTGTTGCAGAACGTTCTCAATCGACGAAGTGAGCGGGTGCGTGTTTCCAAGCACGCGCCGCGCAATCAGTGTCGCGCCTTCGAGCGTCGCCACGGCCTCGCGAAAATCGTCGAGTGTGGCGCCGAGAGACCCCGGTGCGACGCTCGACGATCTCCGCGAGGGCTTGAAAACACTCGAGGACGCTGGACGGATCGCGCGGCGCGTTTTTGGAAGCGAGAACCCGATCACAATGGCAATTGAGCTCAATCTGCGAGACGCCCGAGCCGCGCTCCGCGCCCGCGAAGAAACGCCATCAGGGGGAGCGTAAAAAAAGAAACGCCATCGACGCGACGCGTAGTCTAAAACTCACAATATCATTCGATTACCACATAAGACTAGATCGACTTCGACAGCGCCTTGACCCACTCGCTCCGGATCTTGGTCGACCGCTGCTCGACGATGCGCGCGTCTTTCGGAGCGGGCTCGCGCCGGTCATCGAGCACGAAGCGGTTGTAGCGCCGCCTAAAGTCCTGCTTCTCATTCAAAGACCGTAAAGCGAAGTAGTATTTCGCATATAAAGACTGGGAGATGTACATGTCCCAGCCGATCTGCGTCACGAAGACCCTTTCTAAGCGATTCAGCGCCGCCAGCCCGAACTGGGGGAAGACCGCGCTAAATTCCACGTTCCACGACGCGCAGTCCTGCCAGACCTTCGACGCTAAAAGCATGGAGCAGAGTAGTACTGGTCGCCAGGTCCGGTCGTCGAACGGCACGTGCGCCTTCTCCATCAACCGCTCGACGTAGATCAGACAAACCACAGAACACTCCGAGGACAGGTGAGCTTTCAAGAACAAAGCGGACATAAAATCATAGATGTCCCGCATCGACGGCGTCGTGTACTTCGGGGCTAGTGTTCTTGTAGACACATGAAAAGCGCCATACGCCAGCGGTAGGCGGAAGATCGTCGCCGCTTTTCGCGGCGCCGCGTACCGCGCCTCGTCGAAGAGTCGAGCTGCGCTGTCTCTGAATTGTCCCGTATCTAGTGTCTCCGGCCGGTCCCTCGCTGCTCGTCTTCGTCGCCAATCACAAACGGTCACGTGCTTGTGTAATACCGCTGCTGACCTTCGAAGACAGTCGTCAAAATCTGGCCTTGAAACGGAGCCAGACGCGGACCCGACCTGCTGGTGGCGGTTGCTTTGTATTCTGATGGCTGGTGAGGCGTAGGGTACTCTTCGAGGTACGGACGGCGTTGAGACGACGTGCGTCGGGGTGAAGAGGGCCTTCTCGTCCGTCAGGCTCAGCCCCTCCGGCGACTGGGAGATGGACAGGCGATTCTTTACCGAGCCGGCGTCGGATGGTGAGGTGGATAATGACAATCTAGATGCCCGCGGCGGCCGCTTCTCCTCGGCCGGAGCGGGCGCGTCTTCCGGGATCTTCTCCTCGATGAAGCCCACCCGCTTGGGTCTTTGTGGCGGCACTAAAATGGTCGTCTTGTGGTCGGCGGCGGCGTGGCCGGCCGCGACGACCTTCGCTCGCCTGCCCGCGGCGGCGCCGAGGGGGTCTAGGTCTTTAAGCTCGTCGCGGGCGGCGGCGGCGCCGAGGTCGAGCTCTTTGGGGGGCGGCAGGGGCTGCTCGATCATCTTTGCCCGGTCGCTGGCCCTGCGCAGCCTGAGATGCTACGCTTGGCCTGTGCTCAGCGGGGAGCCCGCAGAGGCCGCTCCTTTTTGGGGAGCAGCGTTGCGCCGGTCCAGTGGCTTGACTGTACCGCTTCAATAGCTTCTAGCCGCGCCTAGCGGGCTGAGGATGTCATGTTACAGGCTGCTGTGGCTGAATTAATTTTTGAGGCTAAAGGTCCGTAACACACTAGCAAACAGCTTCGCGCCCGCCGCGGTTATAGAGCCGCTCCTGGCTTCTGATCATCTCAATTAGACGCACTCGTATCTCTTTTGCAGCGCCACAACAGCTGCGACCGGGGGTGCGCAGTCTACTGAGCCTGAGAGCATCTCACCAGGTGCTCTCCGGGCCCTACGCAGCGCGCGCCGTGCAACAGCGACGCAAATTCGGCCTCCGGCAAGCACTTAAACAGTGCCAAAAACGCGCCGAAGAAAACGATGACCAGCGTCCACCTCGCGCTCGGCCAGACGGGCGCCGACGTCGCGAGCCACTTCTGGAGGATAGCCGCGGGCGAGGCTGCTGATGAGGACGACAAGAAGCGGCGCAAGGGCGCCTTATTCGATGTCCGAAGGCAGACGGCGCGCGCCATTATTATAGATGGCGACGACCGCGCGCTCGAGGGCTGCCAATTGCTAGGAGGCAGGCGGCCGGTCTTTGATGCGAGGGACATCGTGACGAAGGGCAATTTCGGCTGCGGCAAGTGCTTTGGCATGGGCTTTTCGAAGCGAGAGGAGCTGCGGGAAATGGCCGAGGAACGATTAAGGCGCGAGGCCGAGCGCTGTTCAAGGGTCGGCACGCTGTCCTTCCTCTTCTCTATTGATGGTGGCACATCTGGTTTGGCCTCCGCACTGCTCCAGGGCGCGCGCGACGACTACCCTACATCTACATTGCTCGGCGTGGCTCTGTCGAGGCGCGGCTTCGGGACGCCGATGGCCGCGTACAACGCCTGCCTCGCGCTGCACCAATTGACGGAGTACGCTGATGCTTCAATCTGGCGCGACTACGCCTGCGACGCGCCCACCGAAGAACCGAACGCGGCCTTCGCCCGGGACCTCGCCGGTCTATTATTGCCGCGCCTGCAAGATAATATCGAAAGGCAGTTCTGCGGTCAACGGGATGTGGTCCTGAGGTGCTGTACTTCATTACCCTTCTGCGACGTGCGGTCGACACTATCAAAACCTGTGAAAAAAAGCGACGACTGGCCGAAGCTCGCGTCCCGGTTGGCCGAGGCCTTCCCGAAGGCTGATGTGTTGGATCGGCCCTTGGTTGCGTGCCAGGCGACGGCGGTCGCTCGCGGTGTTGGTGACGCGTCGCCGTTGCCTCTATCAATGTTGCGGAAGAGACTAGCGCCCGATGCGCGACGGGCGCCGCCCGGCGCCGTGCTCTTCGAGCCCCACGCCCTGTCTCGGTCCTCTCATAAGGTCGATGGGCAGCGTTCGTTGACTTGTGTCGCGCAGACGAATCTCGCGCCGGCGCTGCTCGTCGATTACTTGGACAAGCTCGCCAAACTTAGATCCATGGGCGCGTACCAGCAGCACTTCGCGAAGTACGGGCTCGAAGACGCGGACTTCGGCGTTTGTAGCGAGGCGCTTTGTGGAGTGGTCGACGCGTACGACGCTCGGTTCGGGTTCCTGCCGGAGCCGCCGCCGCCACCTGGTCCGTAGTAAGTTTTTTTGTGTTTGTGAGATTGGAATACTTTCGGTGGCGCACGAGGAGTCGCGCGAGAATAGGCCGCTAGTGTCTTACAGGCCGCTAGCCCACCTATTTCACACAGCGTGCTCGCCGGACCGTCCGGAGTCTGGGCCCGTGTGCGAGCTTCGCGAGACTTCACACACTCACGGTGTATCCTCATAAGTGCGAGAATCCGGTCGCCGAGGCCTAATTCACATTTTTGGCAAGTTCTGCCTGTGAGCCAGCCACCAGTCGCCCGCCTCCCTGGTCTAAAAAACGGACGACATGGCCTACTCGTCGTCCGACACGTCTGGATCAGGCTCTGGCCGGAGCCGCAGCCTGAAACTGCAGCCGACCGCGACGGGTCCGATGGACCTGAGCGAGTTCTACACCAACAAGGGCTACGTCTCGGAGACTTGGTGGAAGGACTATTTTATGACGGTTCTCGCAGCGTCAGCCCCCACGCCATCGACGCGACGTCGTCGTGATCCCACGCAGGTGATGAACGACGTCGTCTGCGCCTCGTCGGTGGAGCAGCTCGAGGCCAAGATCCCCAAGTACTTCGACCGCGACTACGTCCAGCACGTCGACGGCAAGACCATCGGCTACGACGAGTTCGTCGAGCACATGAAGGTCGTGCACGGCAAGATAAAAGACGTGAGCGTCCGCTGGAAGGAGCTCCACGCCTACGCGTTCGCCAACGACGGGAAGCGCGAGACGCACATCTTCAGCCACCACGTCGTTTCGTACAAGGACCGCGCGAGCGGCGCGGAGGGCTCCGCCGAGGTCTGCGGCCTCTTCAAGTGCGGCACGGACCTCATCTTCGAATGCAACGAGATGACGACGGTGACGCACGGCGCCATGGGCGCGGACCTCGGCTCGGCGACGGCGTGAGGCGCGTCCGTCCCCGAGACCCCAAGACCACTCCCAAGATCCCCTCCCACCGGTTTTTGTATATAACCTCTAGTTTCCCATCGTCGTCCCGATTCAAACACCTCGCAACCCCCCCGCTTGCTAGCGTCCTGTAAGACACTAGGCACCCCAAGCAAGCAAGCACTTGACGCTCGGAACGCGGCATTCGTGGGCTTGGCTAAGGGTTCAGCTATAGAGCATCAGTGCAAGCACGACGCAGCTGAAGCTCTCCTTTTGCCGCTTTAACATTGCTGCGCATTGATATTGCTCCGCTGCGAATCGCTCGGCTCGCATCGTTCGCTCGCATCGACCCAGGCGGAATTCAACCTTCAGGGCGCCTTCTGAACCATGGCGTGGACTCGCGTTCGCAGCGTCCGCGTCACCGGTCGATTTTCACCAAGGCCTACGGCATGGCGGCGTACGCGGACGACGGCGCGTGGCTCGAGGCGCACGCGGCGCAGTTCGCGGCGATTCAGCTACCCCGGGAGCTGTGGAACGAGGCGGCGCGCAAGGTGCGGGCGCAGATCTTCGACGGGGGGGCGTCCCTGACGTACGCGGTCGAGGCGGACGGCGGGTGGTCCGTCGTGGCGGCGCGGGACCTCGAAGGAATGGACGTGTGGCTGGTGGACCACGTGTGGCTCGTTAAAGACGCATTCGCGGCGTTCACGCAGCTTGACGCGCACGAGGAGTTGCGGGACCGCCTGGATGCGTTGGTGCGGCCGCACGGGACCGCGCCGGGGTCGTACGGCGACGCGGGGGCCACGCTCGGCCTGCTGAAGACGCTGGCGCCCCTCGCGCACCCGATGCGCCTCGTGGCGGACGCGGCGGCGGCGGCGCGGGGCGGCGACGTGACGTACTACGTCCAGGACGAGCTCGGGTCGCGGTTACGGACGGTGGGCGTCGACGACGCCGGGGCCGCGACCGCGGGCCGCGCCGCCGTCTACGACGCGGAGACGAACGCGACGCTATCGCTGCTGTGGGTCGCGGGCCCCCTCGCGGCGGGGCTGGAGCTGGTCGTGCCGCGGCTCATGGGGCTCGAGCTCCTCGAGGACGGGCAACGGTACTGGGCGCGGCGCATGGACGCCGAGGAGGTCTTCGAGTGGTACTGCCCGTTCGCGGCGATCGCCGGCGTCGTGGCCCGCGTGCTGCCGCGCGGCGGGACCGGGCTCGTCCTGGTCTCGGGCAACGGCACGTCCGACCTCCCCGTCGAGCTCGAACGCGCGCACGCCGGCGCGCGGATCGTGGCGGCCGACTACGCGGACAACGCGACCGCGCGGATGCGCAGGCGCCACCCCGACTCCCGGGTGGCGTGGGTCACGGGCGACCTCACGGCGTCCTTCGCGCCGCTCGGCTGCGCGGACGGGAGTGCGGCCCTCGTCCTCGACAAGGGCTGCCTCGACGCCATGCTCATCAAGCCCGTGCGGGAGCGGGCGGACGTAACCGATACGTGGGCGGCCTCGTCCCCCGACGCCTTGGCCTACCTCGCCGCCGCCCGGGCGTGCCTCCGGCCCGCCGGCGTCGTTCTCGTCGTCACCCTCGGCCGCCGCGCGATGCGCGAGCCCCTCTTCGCGGCCGCGGGCCTCGTCGTCCGCGAGTGGCTCGCCGTCGTCCCCACGGCATCAATGACGGCCGGCAAGCACGCCGATGCCGGCGCCGGCGACCTCCACGTCGCCGTCCTCGGCTCGGCGTGAGGCGCTTCGTCCCCCAAGACCCCTCCCCTGGTTTTGTAGATCATAGAGTTTCCCTAGGTGATACACACTAGCAAGCACCCGGCGGAGCACAGGGCATGCAAGGCTGCCCATAGCTCGCATCGATGGAAATGACACCTTCATAAGCGACCAGCGATGCGCCGACGTCGCGCTGGCGAGCGATCGCGCTGCTCGTGCGTGCGGACGAGCTTGGTGTTCATTGCAGGCATTGTGATTGGCTGGCTGCCCGCCCACTGGCATTTAAATGCGCATTGGTCCGCACAAGAGCTGCCGCATTGGTCCACCGACGCAACGGCGCCAGCGGTCGCTTCGACGCCTACGCAAGTGAACGCTGGCGCCGTGACCGTGATCGGACCGCGCAATAACGCGGCGGTCGTCGCAGCGCAACTGGCCCTGGTCGCGAGCAAACTTCCATCCACGTGGGGCGGCGTCGACGTCTACTATCGGCCGCAGGAAAAACACACGACCGCCGTGGGTCGCATAGTGCACGCCATCGACGGCCTCCGCGGCGTCGACGCCGCGCCGTTATCATCAAGCATCGCGGGCCTCTCGCAGCGGGCACTCCTGTTGAGTGCGGACTTCTGGCGCAATATCCGATTTGACCGCGTATTATGGTTCGAACCCGGCACCACGGTACTATGCGCGTCGGCGGCCTTGCCGCTGGATGCCCCGGCCTTCGCTCCGTACGACTGGGTCGGTGCGCCCTGGAAGTGGGCCAAGCCGGGTACGCCGCACTCCAAAGGCGGCAACGGCGCGCTGTCGCTGCGCAACCGGGCCGCGCTCGTGGCGCTATTCGACGGAGGCTTCGTGCCCCCTACTAAGGGCAACGAGGACATGCTGTTCGTGCGCGCACTTGGCGGGACGAACGCGCGTCTCGCCCCCAAAGACGTGTCTCGGCGATTCGCGGTCGAGGAGACCTACGATATAGGAGAGACGCCCGTCGGCGTCTACCATTTGATGCGGACGATGCCCCACGCGAACCGGACGCGGCTGCTGGACGCGTGCCCCGAGGCGAAGTTATTGTTCAAGGCTCTCCATGACCCGCGCTGCAAAGTTGCCTGCCCGCGGGACCCGGACTTACTGAGCGGGCCGCTCCGCGACTGGACCGCGCGGTGCACGGGCGCCGGCGAGGACGCCGGCTGCGAGCTCGTGTCTTAACTTTTTGTGATCGTTACAGCGGGGGGGAGGGGAGGAAAAATCTAGTCCGTGACGCCCGGGACGACGCCGTTCTTCTCGTCGTCGGACATCCAGGGCCAGCCGCCCTCCGGCGGCTTGGGCGCGACGGCCGTGAGGTGGAGCATCGAGTCCGCGAGCGCCGGGTGCACGAGCCAGCCGACGGCCTCGCCCGGCAGCGGGCCGACGACGCCGACGGCGTCCGTGTCCGTGCGGTAGGCCTTCTTGCAGAGGCGGAAGCCCGGGCCGTACTGGAGCCCCGAGTCCCAGAGCGCCTTGTACATGGCCTCGTGGTTGATCTCGACGTAGTGCGAGTAATGGACCTGCTTGTCGTTCACGTCGGCCGGCTCGAGGATGGCCTTGCCCGCCGCTAATAAATTACCGGAGCGGTCGCAGATCGGCGCGAGGCACTTGACCGAGACCCAGCCCTCGACGGGCGAGAAGACCTTGGCGCGCAGCTTGCCGTCGCGCGTCTCGTCCTGCTCCGTGACGAAGACCCGCGAGTCCGTCGCCAGCTCCGCCACCACGTCGCTGTCTAGCTCCAGGTCCTTGCGGCACGTCGCGCCGCCCGCCGCGGAGACGACGACGATCTGCCCTTCGATAATGTCCGCCTTGTCGAGCCAGCCCGCGCACGGCCGCGTCACGCGGACGCGGTCGCCGACCGTCTCGGCGCACCAGACGGCGGCCTGGTACGGGAGCACGCCGTTCTTGCGCAGGCGCATCGAGGTCTTACTCTCTTTGCGCGTCACCGTCGCGCCATTCGGGTTGCGCACAGCCGCGAGGATGCCCTCGAGGGGCTGCGGGATGGTCGCGCCACCCACGGATAAGCCGTCCATCGTGCGAGGCAGCTGCGCGTCGACGGCGGCACGTCCCCTTCCAAGTTCGAGCGGCGCTCGACCCCCTACTCCACGGGAGGCCTCGCGAGTGACGCTTATCGCGTGCAGGAGACTGATGGACACGCGTTCCACCAGTGACTATGTGGGTATTTCTGACCAACTTATCACTCGAGAGCCGTCCGGCGCCCCGGCCCGCAGAAGGGCGCGATGAAATTGGGCGGCCGCTGGCGATGCGCCTGCGTCGCGTCGTGCGGCGGCGCGACGTAGTACGTCGGCCGGAACGGGCCGTCAACATGCTCCTGGACGTGGCAGCTCCGCACCCTCAGGTCCGGCGTCGTCCAATTCGTCCGGAGACCCGTCGCCGGGTCTCGATCCCGGTGCGCGCCGACGTGCTTGTGCGCGTAGGCCCGGAGCGTGTGCCGCGCCCGGCGGTCGCGCCAGCCGCTCTCGATGCCGCCGTAGAGCACGGCGCCGTTCGTTATGGTATGATGCTGGTACGAGAAGTCCGCGTAGCGCCGCCGCCGCGCCTTCGGCAGGAAGAGCTTGATCGCCGCCGTCTGGAAGATGAGATCGTTGCTCCGCCGCGTGAAGATCAGGTTCGAGCGGTCGAAGGCGCCGATGAGCGCCGCGACCTGCGCATAAATCAACCAGTGATACGCCATCGACGCGACGATTCAGCACGGGCCGCGACGCGATGATCCTCGAGCCACCAGGAAATCTTCGTCACGAACCAATTGTTGTAGAAGCCCAGCCGCCCGGGCCCCGGGCAGTACCACGGTTTATAGGAGACGCCGGGCTGCTTCCGCCTCGGACCCAGCAGCCGGCGCATCGACGCCAATCGACGCTGCGTTTGTGAGACGTACTCGACAAAATCTTCCACAAAGTCGCCGAAGATCACGGGGCATTCCCTCGATAAAGTACGGTAGGCATAGAGAGCTCCTCTACGACGTATGTCCTCAAAAATATTGTACGGCACGGGCGACAGGAAGAAGGAGTCGTCGTCCATGCGCATGACCCACTCGTAGCCCAATCTATCTAAAGTGGGCCAGATCGTGACCGCATAAAAGCGGATCATGAAGCGGTAGCCTGCCGAGAATTGCGAGGGTGGCATCTTCTTGAGCCAGGGCGGGCGGCCCCATCCTGTTTCTTTCCGTAATAGACAAAACCGCACGTTCGTCGCGCCGTCGAGCGCGTTCGCGTCGTCGCGCGTGAGGTCGCCCTCGTGCCATACTATCACGTCCGTCTCACTCACGCGTTTCATGTATTTTCGTAACGACGCCATCGACGCATTTAACGTATTGGCGTGCGTCGCGTCGTAGGACGAATGCGTTTTTTGTCCCATCAGCAAGCTCACAGCACACGCCGCAGTTTCTCGCGATTCCGCCGAGCGACGTAAACGCGTTTGAGCCCTTTACGGCACGGCGTTCACCCTGTCTACGATGGGGAACTCAATTCCTTGTCGCGTCAGTGGCTACAGTGATGAACACCCCGGAGAGCCATCCCTCCTAGCCCTCTCAGAGAGCGTAACGGGTGACTCTGCGACGTCGGGCGAGGATGCCCAGTCGCCGCGGTCCGACCGGCGAGCGCTGAGGTCGCGGGAGATCAAATTCCGCGCGCCGCGCGCCGCGCCGCACGACGACGTGAACGCGTCGCCCACCAGCATCGGTTCCGTGGTTGACGAGCGCGTCGCCGTCGCGCCGATGCCGACGCCATCGCCCGCACACCGCGCAACAGCAACGCGGGTTCACTTCGCACCTTCAACGGAGGAGACTAATTCATAAAATGTTACCGCTCACACACCTCCCGCCCGCCCTCGCGCCACCACTGCAGCGCCGCCCGCTCCGAGAATTTGGAGCGATCAAACAGCACGCAGATGACGTGCTCCGTGCGCGGGTGCTCCGCCAGCTCGCCCAGCAGCAGCACGACGCCGTCCTCGGCGACGGCGCGCCGCATACTTGACGGCTCGAACAACCGCGCGTCCCGGACTCGCTTCCGGCCGCGCTCCTCCGACGACGTCGGGTCGAAGAAGCCCACGTCGTCCTCCTCGCGCACAGGCGAGGCCGCGAGCGTCTCGTCGAGCCGGTCGGCGGCTTCCCGCGCCTCGGACGCGATCGACGCCTCGTCGTCCGACGAGCCCCGCTCTCCATCTAAGATGCGCAGCGCGGCGGAGTTGAGGCGGAAGGGCTCGAGGCCGCGGTACGGGTCCTCGGCCGTCACGGGCCGCTCCTCCTCCTCGTCGGCCACGGTCGACGCCTGTTCCGGCACCAAAGCGCGCTTGTGCGCGGCCAAGCGCGACGCCTTCGTGGGGTCCGTGGCCCTGCGTCCATCCTTTCGCTTGCCCCGCTTCGCCGCGCGCTGTTGCGCTTGGGCCTTCAGCGCCGCGCGCATGGCCGCGATCTCGTCGGCCTTCTGCCGGCGGAGCTGATCTTTCTTGGCTTCGCGCAGTTCCTTCATCTGTTCGCGTTCGAGCTCTTCCAGTTCCGCCTTGGCGCGCGCCGCCCGCGCCTGTGTGATGTAGCGTCGCGTCGATGGCGTTCTCTCGGTGCGACCGGTGAGGTAGTGTCGCGTCGATGGCGTCTCGGCACCATTCACGCCATCGACGCGAAGGTTGGATGGCGTCTCGGCACTCGCTCGGCAGCGGCGATGGCGTATGGGCACCTCTCCACGCCATCGAGGACGCCGCGTCGAAACCTCGTCCTTGGCCTTGGCCCAGGCCTCGGGGTCCGCGAGCCGGGGCTTCGCCGTCACCTCCGCCTCCTTCTCCTTGCGCCTCCTTTCTCTCTCCGCGTCGCGGAGCGCGCGCTTCTCCGCGAGCCACGCTTGCGAGCGCTCGACGATCGTGCCGCTCCGCGCGGCGGGCGCGCCGTACGTTTTTGGAAGGGGCTTCGCCTGGAACGTGGGTTGGGGTTCCGAGTAGATTCGTGGCTCGGGCCTCGGCTCGGGCCGGGCCAACCTCGAAATCGCTTCGGGGCAGTCGTGCACCGTCCGCACCATGGGCTTCGGTTGTAAGTCCTCCTCCTTGCGCCTTCTTTCGGCTTTGAGCTTATCCACCGATTCCTGATACGACTTGACCTCGCGCTCGTCGTCCGCGCGTAATTTGATAGTGCCGCGCCGCGCGTTCCGCTTGGCCTTTCGCTTGGCGACGGCACAATCCAACATCGCCGCCTCGAGCTTCGCCTCTCCATCATACTCCGAGGATGAGGAAGACGCCGTGTCGGACTCGGACTCGTCGACGCGCCGGGGCGACGCGATCGGCGACACGCCCGGGTGGTGCAGCCCCGTCAGGAAGCAGGACTCGCCGTCGTCCGCGAGGCCGCCCCGCTGGCGTTCCGGTTCCTCGTCACTAGAACTTCCTTTGGCACTTTCAATATATCTACCGAAGGACACGTTCTCGGCCTCCAAAACGTCGACGAGCTCCCGCATGCTATCTAACCCTTGCTGGGCCTGGTCGAGCTGCGCCCGGATGGAGTCCTTGGGCTCCGCTTTCGGTTGCTTCTTCGGCCGCGTGCGCGGGATGGTCCGCTTGGGGGCGTGGAGGTTGACCATGGTTATTTGTCGTAGGCGCGTCGATGATGTCGGGGGCAGCCCTTCGTTCGTTTTTGAACGCTTATAGTGGCGCGAGGCAGCCCTGGGCGCTCGTACGCGCTGTCGGCGCCAGTTTGCCGATGTAAAATCCTAGTGTGTCGATACGCTAGCTCCGACCCCTTTTGGAGTAAGAGCGGGCTGCCCCCCGAGCGACTTGACCGTATAAAGATGATCCTCACGCAGTGCGCCGTCTGCGCTACCGAGCTTGGCTTAACCTTGGGCAAGAAATGCGGCCGCTGCAGCACACGCTACTGTGGGCCTGAATGCCAGAAAAAACACTGGGAAGAGGGCGGGCACGACAAGCTCTGTAAGACCATAAAAAAAGCAGGCGGCGCCGAGCAATACAACGCAAATAAGAAGTACGCAGAGGCGGTCACGGTCGCCGCGGAGGCGTGCGCGGAGGACACCAAGGGCCAGACGTGCTACATCTGCACGCAGGCGCTCCATTGGAAAACAAAGGAGGGCCTCGTGCGTGGGTGCTCGTGCCGCGGGACGGCGGGTTTCGCGCATGTGTCGTGCTTGGCGGAGCAGGCGAAGATCTTGGTCGCGGAGGCCGAGGAGAACAATTTGAGCGATAAGGTGTTTGATGAGAGGTGGGCGCGGTGGGACAGGTGCAGTTTGTGCGAACAACGCTACCACGGTGACGTGGGGTGCGCGGTCGGGTGGGCGTGCTGGAAGACGTACGTGGGCCGGTCGGAGACGGATTGGCCTCGGCAAGGTGCGATTAATGTGCTTGGAAGCGGTTTAGATGCTGCAAAACACCACGAGGACGCGCTGTCCGTGAGAGAGGCCGAGTTGGCTATGAAGCGGCGCCTTGGCGCATCAACAAGCAACATACTCGTCGTGCAGACCAATCTTGCACTCACGTATCAACACCTTGGACGGCTTGAACAGGCCATGCAGATGCAGAAAGACGTGTACTTCGGGCGTTTAACGACACATGGAGTGGAGCATACTTATACCCTTACGGCAGCCAACAACTACGCAGCGTCCCTTGTTGTTCTGCGACGCTACAAAGAAGCCAAGTCACTGCTGCGCAAAATTATTCGCGTGACGCCACGCATTTTGGGAGAGACTCATGAGATCACGCTCAGGATGAGGTGGATTTACGCGAATGTGCTCTACATGGACACCAGCGCCACGCCCGACGATCTCCGCGAGGCCGTGACGAAGCTCGAGGACACGGCACGGACCGCGCAGCGCGTTTTCGGCCGTGCGCATCCGATGGTAGTGGAACTTGAGCGGTCTCTGAGAGGGTCGCGAGAGGCGCTCAGCGCGCGTGGAGGAAACGGGTAACTAGAAAAGGTCTCAACTTACGTCCGTGGCCCCCATCGCGGCGAGGAGCTCCTTGAGTTTGTCCTCCTTCCGTTGCTCGGAGGACAAGACCATCATCGCGAGGTGCTCGTGTAGTTCTTTTTTCTCTTGCTCGAGCCTTGACGCCGTCGCAGCGGCGGCCTCGTAGGCGTCCTTCTTGCGTTTCGCGTCGGCGTTCGCCGCGGCGAGGCGCTTCGACAGGCCCTCGAGGCGGCCTCGGAGCGTCGCGACGTCGGCCTGCTCTTTGGTCGCTAATTTCGCTAACTCACCTTCCACACTTGCCAGCTCCTTGGCGCGCTTCGCGACCCGTTTTCTTTCCTCGTCGAGCGCCGATGCGACCTGTTTTCGCAGGTCCGACGTCTCGGTTTGTCGCGCCGCGAGGGTCTGCGCGTCGACGCCGACGCCGCGATCCCGCGCGGCGGTTTCGCGCGCGATGCGGTCGGCGGTGGACTCCCACGCCGCGCCGCCGTTTGATCGTCGTCGCGGTGGTGGCGCCGCGCGCGGCGCCGTTTTGGCCGCCTCCATCTCTGCTTGTACTATGTTGTCGAGGGATGTCATTGCGTGAGAGAGCCGGCGCTGCGTTGATGCTTGCGGACGTAACTGCTGGTCAACAAGACAGCTCCGAGTTTGGAGCTTTTTTTGGCTACTATACGTCGTGCGCTCCGATTACAATACGTCGCCGAGGTGTCTTTGAGATTACCAGCAGGCGCTCATCCGCGTTACGTCGGCTAAAATCGCAAACCCGATTTGACACGAGCATGCCAGGCATTGCTCTGCATTGCTCAATATTGTCGAGGCAGCTTTACTTGCCTCTGCGCCACCGAAACCCCGAGGGAGAGTACTTAAGCGGTCACGACGGCCGAGTATTGAGGATGCGGTCTCGCTGGCCGAAGCAGCGGTCGTCGCGAGTCGCGTTGTTGGTGGCTGGTGCCTTACTTTACTTTTGGGGGAGGCGGCCGATCGCGGCGCGTCGCCCCCCCGCGCCGGTCTGTTCCGTGCACATGCCCACCTGGGAGGGGGGTCAGTGCTTGGCATACATGCCAAGCTGGTTCCACAACCCCGCTACGAAACGATGCGAGAAATTTATTTACGGCGGCTGCGGCCTGGGCGGCAATGCGAACCGCTTCAGTACGCGGGAGGCGTGCGAAAGGGCGTGCCTCGGAGCTCCTCCGCCGAAACGCATGCAAATTATCATCGTCCAGTGCAGCGACGGCGCTGGCGGCGCGAACGACGCCTTGCTGGATCTGACCCAAGTGGCCAATGAAGCCTACGCGCGGCGGTACGGCCACGCGTACCTGCGCTACAAAGGGGTTATCAGAGGGAACCGGACCTGGATGGCCGTCTACAACCGCTTCGCGCTGTGGGCCGCGCTGCGACGCACGACGCCGTTTCAGTGGATGTTGTTTTTGGATGCCGATGCTTTAATTGTCGACTATGAAAACCTTTGGGTCGAGGACCTCGCGACGAGATACGCGGACCGGGCGCTCCTGTTCTGCAGCGACCGGCGCGGCCGCGACGTCGATTTTCACATCAATTTTGGGGTGTTCTTCGCCCATCTTAATAATACGAAAGCCGACGATATCCTGGCCGATTGCTTGGACCAGCTCGATGAGTCGGGAATCGACCAGAACGCGGACGCCGAGTGGGAGTCCGGGAACAAGGCGAAGATCGTGAACGATCAAGTCATGATGCGCCGGGCGCTAGAACGCCGCGCGAACCGACGCGGCCGCGTCGCGGGCGTGAAGACCTTCAAGCACGACGACTACGACCGCTTCAATTACGGCGGCCGCTTCGTGCGCCACTTCACCCGCGAGGCTACCAAAAACTTGGGCCGCCGAGAGACGGTCGAGGCCGCGACGCTCGGCGTCTTGCTCCGCTTTACCAATCGGACCACGCTGCCCAGGCCCCCCGACCCACGAGCCAAGTGCTACCTCAGCGGGGTCGGTGCCGACGACATCCGGCCCGCGCTCTTCCAGGCACTCCCCTGCTAACAGTCACAAACATTTAGGACCTAGTCATCTCCGCGTCGCCGCCATCCGTGTCCGGCCCGGGACAGGGAAACTTCCTGTCGCTGCAGCAGACCCGCGCGCCGTCCCCGCTAAACTTCCCGCCGACGTCGCGGCACCTCAACAATTCGATCTCGTAGCGGAGCGTCTCGCCGGAGGGAACCCACCGCGTCTTGAGCCCAGCTTTCCGCGTTCCATACAAGCTCAGCCCCGGGCCGTAGCCCGCATCGTACGGCACGATGAGACGCCCGACTTCGCCGGCGCGCATTTGCGCTACCGCGGCGTCGACGCCGGGTGTGACTCGGCCGTCGACGCGCGGCGCGGAAACGATCGAGCCGAGCTCGAAGAGGACCGGGCCGCCCTCGTTAAAGGAATCGAGGAACACGGCGCCGCTCTCGAGCAATCCGCGAAGGCGCACGGCGACGACGTCTCCCCTTTTCGGCACGGGTCCGGAGCCGTCGGAGACTTTCGCGTAGGTGCATCCGTTCGGCAGCTCGACGGCCTCGTCTGCATTCGCTGGCACGGGCGTGAGAGCAATTACTGCGAGGGCGTGACGTCTGTTCATTGTTCTATGCAGCACCGCATCGCTACGCGCAAGCACCCAGGCTGCAGCAACCAGGAGCACGTGGCCCATGGATGGTCTACGCAGCGTCTGCGCTTCTCACGTCGCGTCGATGGTGTGTGCAAGTAGTTGAGTGTGAGAGCACACGTCCCAAGCAACACAGAGCAGTGCCTGCCTTACGATCTGTGGCCTGCAGCTGCGAAAAGTGCCCGTTTTGGTCTCGATTTGGATTGTATATCGATCGCTAACTGCGTAGCGGCGTGTGCAGCGGCACGAGCTCCGGTGTGAGACTCTTGCTAGTGTCTTACACCACTAGCCAAACCAGAGTAAGAAGTCAATTTAAAGCTCCGGCTTCACGTAGGGATGCGCCCGCGTCGGCTCCGTTTCGCCCTCGCGCGGCCCGGAATGTCTTCGCCGGCCGGGGCCCGCATTGTCGCGGTCCCAGCCCTCGTCCTCCGGGTGGTGCGGCAGGCGCGGCTCGCGCGGGCCGTAGGACCACCGCTCCCGGCGGTCGCGGTTTTCGCGTGTGGTGCTCCGCGGGGATTTGGGAGACCGCTCCAATCGAATGCAGGGCGGCCGGTCCGCGCGCTTCTCGTCCTCACAATAGTTCTCGTGCATGAGCCAGAAATCATGGGTGTCCACCCAAAGTTCCATGTCCCGCGACCGGCACAAATCGGAATTGCGCCGCTCCTTCGTGCACCACTCGCGGCGCATTTCGCCGTCGAAGCGGTGCGGGTCCGGCGCCTTTCGCCGCTTCTTCTTCTTCTCGGTCTTGCCCCAGAGGCCCGCTTGCGTGCTGCTCAGGCAGCCGAGGAGGAGCAGAGCCGCGCGCATGGTTGGCTGTGTCCGAGGGGGCTGCCCTCTCTGGCGGCGCGGCGACGGCGTGCGGTCCTCGCGCGTTTCGGGCGGTGCCGTGTGGACGTATGCAAGCTCGTATGGCGTTGCGGGCAGCGCTTGACTGGCTTGGCCGGGTGCCGGCTTTGAAAATTAATTGGTCCTAGTAATGTTGTTACGCTAGATAATTGCGCAGTCGATCGACGCAGCGGGCCGTACGCCTCATTCAGACGGCAGGGGGTTATTCGTAGGGAACGCGAGACGCCTGCACGTGGCCACAGTCGCTTCAGTCGGTTGCGGCATCTGTCTGCGCCCGCTACAGCCGTGGAGAGCAGTTGCCAGCAGAGCACGCCAGCGGGGCGAACCCCAAAAAAATGGCCAAGGAGCAGGACGCCCCCCCACCAACACCAGCACCGGCCCCGGTCAGCAGCTGCGCCGGCCTGCTCTGGTTCACGAGCGAGATGAAGTCGGCGGGCCGGCCGCCCTACTGCTTCGGACGGAGAGGCGAACTAAAAGCGGGCGCCGAGGCCCTGGAAAAGATCGCGAAGAACGACGACCAGCAGAAGGACGACAAGCCGAGCGAGGGTTTTACCTACGCGTGTTTAGGCTACGCCCAAGCCACCGCAAAAATGACGCGCGAGGGCAAATTGCCGCTCTGCGACGTCGGCGTGCGCTTCGCGTTGCTACGCGCGGCGGACACGAATGAACAGAGGAAGAAGAAAGCTTTAGCTGCCGCGCGACGGAGGGACACGGTCGGCACGACGGCGGGGATTTCTCCTAGAGATGAAGATGAGCTCTCGAAGAAGGCGTCGGGGGTCTTGCAATACATGGCCAACGGCATCCAGACCTTCGTCACCAAGGCCTCGCGGTTTTGGAGTGGCGCTCTAACAAATTACCCCGAGAAGTTCGGGAGCTTCACGGACAAGATGACGCGGGCTTTGCAGAACCACACGAAGTACCTCCTGAAATTATGTAGGAAGGCGCTGGCCTGGCGGCCAAGTGAGTAATGTGACACAGACTGTTAATAAACTATTTCGAGCTCGTCGTCCGAGGAGGAGTCGTCCTGAGCAGCCGCCGCCGCCGCATCCGCCGCGTCGGCCGCAGCAGACCAAAAAGCGTCGTCCTCGGACTGCTCAACGGAAGCGAGCGCGCCGAGCGCCGCCCTCCTCACGTCCGCAAAACTGACATCGGCGTGGCGGCCCCAGAATTGGGACTGGCGCCAGTCCCGCGACGCGAAGGCCGCCGACGGCACGCCGTGGAGTAGCCTAGAAACACATCGCGCGAGGTAGTGCCGGTCTCTTCTCAGAGAAGGCGCCAGCGACGATTCTTCGCGGATCTTGGGGTCCTGCGCTAAGGATTGGACCGTCCTAGCGACCGCTTCGGAATCAATATCATTGAATGCGGAGCGCACACCGTCACCTGCATCACTATTACCTTCAAAGTACGCGTCGACGCGCGGTTGTAGTGTTGACGGGTCCTCGACGGCCTTGGCGAAGGCGTCGCAGGCCACATCTAGTCTTTTCAAGGAGGCGGCCTCGATTCTCTGTAATTCGTCATACACTTGTGAAGCTAAAGCATCAACAGATATATCCAGTCGATCTACTTTCAGCAATAGCGACCATCCTGACAGTTCCAGGTCGATCTTCTTGCCGTCCCTCAACCGTTCTAAATCCCTCCGACAGACCCACGGCGCCGCTTGTAATGAGTGAGCCGCTTCACTAACCGAGTAGGGGCCGTGCAACGTTCTGTCTCGTTGCTCATCTTCCTCTTTCCCGTCCCGTCTCCTAGGCTCCGGTACCAGCCCACCCTCGCGTAAGGCCTTCAACACGGGCTGGTTAATCGCATCTTTCGCTCGCAATCGTATCCTAGCTCTATCGGGAGACCGCCCGCAGCACGACGCGTCCACACTGCTATGACGTTCTACGATGGTCGCGATCGTCTCGAGGGCCTCCACCCGCAGATCCAATCGTTCCGCACAATCATCAATGGGCCACGCCACATAGCCCACTTTTAGCGAACGGAGTAACTCCAGGATCTGCATCCTTTCCACGCCATCGCCATACGCGAGAGCCGCCGACCTCCGTATGTCAGCCTTATCTAAGAGTAAATTACAGTGAGCCTCATCACCATCTCTCCCAGCCCGTCCAACCTCTTGAACGTACCTCTCCAGAGATGTAGGTAAAGAATAGTGCACGACCCTCCGGACATCTGCTTTGTCTACGCCCATCCCGAACGCCACCGTCGCGACGACACATTTGCACGTGTTCCTCGCGAAGTCGCGAGCTACGTTTCTTCTATCACCCGCGGATAGGCCCGCATGATAAGGTCTCGCTTCGACGCCTCTGTCCCTAAGCTGCTCCGCGACGCGTTCACTATCGAACTGCGTCCTGACGTAAACGACGGACGACCCTTCAGCACTCCGGCGCCGCTTCTTCGTCGCCTCGCCGCGCGTCGCCACGTCTCCACCATCATCCTTCGCTCCTAGTAATCGACATAAGGTATCTAGTTTTGCTTGCTCGTCGCAACAGTCCGTGACGCTCAGTCTCAAATTGTCCCGTCTCCAGGAATGCGCAAACACGTCGCCGCCCTCGTCATGAGGTGTGTTGTTCAACCCCAGCGTGTCGCAGACATCTTTCATGACCGCTTGCGAGGCCGTCGCCGTCAACGCCAGCGTGCATCGAGGTTTTATTTTTGTCCTTGCGACGTCTCCTACCTTCAGAAAGGCCGGCCGGAAGTTGTGCGACCACTGGCTGACGCAGTGGGCCTCGTCCACTACGAGGAGAGAACACTCGACGGACTCGAAGCATCTGTGTAACGCTCTTGTACCTAGTCGCTCCGGCGAGACGAAGACGACCTTGGCGCGGCCCTTCTCCACATCATCCAAAGCCTGGACGCGCTGCCTTAATGTAGCGCCGTGTCTGCCGGACAAAGCTACTGCGGGCAACTCGGGCGGCAGTCGCGAGAGCTGCTCGTCTATTAATGCGACTAGAGGTGAGACCACAACAACGACGCCCTTCACCAAACAAGCGGGGAGCTGGTAGCACAGCGACTTGCCGGCGCCCGTCGGTAGGACACATAAAGCCGACTTGCCCTCGAGCACTCTATCGACGGCCCACTCCTGGCCCGTCCGGTACTGCTCGTGGCCGAAGACGCTCCTTAAGACATCGCTCGGCGCCAGTTGCGGTTGTTTCTGGGGCGCGCCGACAATCTCGAGGTCGGCGTCCGAGTCGGAGTCGTCCGCGGCCTTGGCCACTACTGGCGCGGCGGCCGGCGGCGCGACGACCGGCCGCTCGTTCGGCGGCAGCGCCCCTAATAACTCGGCCGCGGTCGGCGGCGGGCCGCGCGGCCGCTTCGGCGCCGCTTCGATCGCTTCCTCTTCCTCCGACTCGGACTCCGACGACTCCGACTCCTCGTCCGATGACGACGCGTCGTCCTCGTCGTCGCTGCTGCTCTCGACGATCGCGCGCTTCGAGGCGGCGCGCCGCGGCCGCGCCGTCGCTTCCACAGCTTCCTCGTCCTCCGCGAGCTTCGTGGCGCTCCGGCGGCGCGGCGGCGGCTCCTCCGTGGGCTCGTCGTCGTCGGCCGCCTCCTCATCGTCGACGCGCGCCCGCTTCCTCGCGACGCGCTTCTTCCTCTTCTTCTTCTTCTCCACTACTGGTGGAGGAGGCACCGTGCGCGGCGGCTGGCCCAAGCGTTTCGCGTCGTCGGTCCGCAATAAGCCCAGCAACGCCCGCTTCCGCTGGCCCGACGTGTACGGCACGCGCCTTCGCCTCAGCTCGGCCTTGATCTCGGCGACGGACCACGCCTCGCGCTGTTTATGCCTCTCGTCCACGGCGCGGCTGCGCCAATCTAGTAATGATGACCTAGCTTTCAAGACAGCTGCAACGGCCGGCGCGTGGTCCTCGCACCAACCGAAGTGGTCGCACTGGTCTTCTCGAGGTCGTGCGCAGCAGTAGAAGCGTCGTCCCTTGTTACCGTTCTTGGCCTTCTTCACTTTCAGCACGCGAGCGGGCACGCCATGCACCGAACACCTGGGAGCGTGGATCGTATATAAATGTTCGGAGTCGTAGCCCGTCAGTTCCGGTTCATCCAAACCCTTCTTGGCCTCCTCGATACATGCATCCTCTCCAATCACATCAACGCCCTGGTGGTAGTCTCCATCAATGGCTCGGCGAGCCGTCGTTCTGGAACCGACATCACCATCGTCCCGAGCGTACTGCCGCTCGAACTTGCGCCTATCATTCTTTTTCGTGGGGCGCTTGCGGTAGGTGCCTTTTCGCGTGAGGTCTAGCCTGACAAAATTGTCCGAGACTTGACCTAGTGCTTGGGCCCGCTTCCGGCCCGTCGCGGCTCTACTTTTATTCTCGAGGCGCTTCCAGGGCGCCACTTCATGGTCGTCTTGCGGCGGCGCCGCGTCCGCGTCCGGCTCGTTCAAATCCTGCTGGGACGGCTGATTCAACGCGGCTTGCAAGTTGCGCCGCGCGCGCTCGGTCGGCGCGTCGTCCTCCTCCATGTGCGGGGCCGCTAGTGGCGCCGGCGGCGCCTCGGTCGCCGCCGCCGCGCCCCAGGCCGCGGCGCGCTCGGCGCCGGTCCAGCTGGCCGCCTTCTTCACGGCGGTGGGCGCCGCCGCCGGCCGCGGCAGGGGTGGCGGCGGCGCGTCCGGCGCGCGGCGCCGCCGGCCCGGCGGCCCGGCGATGACCGAGACCTCCTGCTCGCTCTCCGACGACGACGACGAGCCGCCGTCCCGTGCGCGTCGCGCGACGGGCCGCCGCGCCGGCTTGGCGCCCGGCCGCCGCATCGACGGCAGCCTCGGCCCGCCGGGCCGCATCGACGGGAACGCTCGTCGCTGCGGACTCTCAGGCACGACTCGTTGAGCCTCCGGAGACTCGGGGATGACGCCTCGTTCCATCGCTTTCCAGTCGTGCGGGCGCTTTTGCGCGCTCAGGCGCTCTTGCCGCCAAAACCAGCCGCGCGGCGGTTTTTTGTGCAGTCTGCTCCTACAGCGCTGGCCGGCGGAGTGCTGTGGAGGCCTTGCAGGCCTGCAAGGTCTCAGTGCCACCTATTTGGCGTAGTTTACGCTGGGCGCGGCTGCCGCTTGAAAGCTAGCGCGGTAAGACACTAGCGAGCAGCACTGCTGGTCTTTTACCAGCTTTTTCACAGCTACAGAACCGCTTACAGGCAGGCCGACGCGTTTGGAATAGTACCCCGTAGCAGCACTCGTTGAACCGAAGGCCAATCTCACTGCTCACGCGCTAGCGGCGCATATCTCAGCAGTGCTCTGCAGGGAGTTACTCCTCATAACGCGTCGCGGCGACCCGAACGGCTGGAAATAATAATGTCGCGCAGCAGCCGGACCTGCCGCCGCGCGGCTGAGGTGCGGTGGACCGTGGAGACGCATCCGACGCTCATTTACTGCCGCTCGCGTCAAACCGTCCTCGGCAGCTTGGTAGCCAACACCGGCGGCGGCTTCGATTTACGCGCTCCGGACGCCGCCGACGCGGTCGCGCATATCAACGATCTCCTGCGCGTCGACGGAGGCATCGTCACGCCGATTTACTATTGGATGTGCATCAACACCGAAATAGCACCGTCGCATAATAACCAGATCCGGAAGCTCCTCGACGCCGGCGCAGACCCGGAGAAGCGGTCTACTTTTCATGGCCACGTCGACACGCTGCTTCTCGGCGTGGTGAGAAGCGGTACTTCGCTTTGGGAGCGACACGTTGCTTTGGGCCACGGATGGGGGGTCATTATCGCTATGCTGCAGCTTCGCGGCGTCGCCTTCGACGCGGTCTCGACGAAAGAGCTTAAGACGCGCTTTGGTATGCTGCCCCATCAACAGACAGCTCTGGGACTCGCGATCTTTGACCAGGGGCTCCGACGAATGCAGGATGACAGAGTCTTGACGGCGCAAGGAGTGTTGATAATGGAGCTCAAGAGGCAAACCAGGCGCATCACGGACGGCGACTTCTTCTGCCTCTGGGTAGACAGGGGTAAAAGGTGGGACCGCAAGTTCTTGGATAGATACGGGGCCGCGCTGACGCCCCAGAACAGGTGGTCCTTCCCGCCCTGTTTTTTTCGCACCGCGCGCATGCTTGGCGTTGAAACAAAAACGCGCGATGGCGTATTGGGCGTGGGGCTGTCTCATGAGATAGCCCTGCTCCGCCGCATCTACGCGTACCTCGGCCGCGCGGACGTCGTCGGTTTTTTTCCCGAGAAGCTGGAAACTGTCCTGTACTCCGCGAAGGAGAGCAAAAAATACCGGAATCGTGGGCGGCGGGATAAGTACTGCTCGTAGTAAATTATGTTTGCACATTAGATCTCCCGAGGGACCGGACCCCTCGCCAGAGCGAGCGCGCCGCCGCGTCAACCGATACCCTCACCGCCACCCACGCGAGGGCAGCCGTCGCGCGCAGGCCGCGCGTGCCCGCCGACAGCTGGCGGCCGGCGTGGCCGCGCAGGAGGAGTCGCGCGACCCGCCCCGCGTATTTTCGTTGCCGCGCGTCGCGGCGCAGCGCGTCGGAGCTCCGCGGCCACGCGACCGCGGATGTCTCTGCTACTGGTTCTTTCGTCCACCACGCGTCGATGGCGGCTGATAGCCGCGCGACGGCGAGACGTCGCGCCGGCCGGTTCCGCCGGCGCGCCAGACCGATCAGCAGATCAGTCGAGTCGAGGTCGCGCGCGACGCGCCGCAACGTGGAGCCCGCCGGCGAGCCCAGGACCGTCGTCAGCGCGTCGGCCGGCTTGGCCGCGTGGACGGCCTGGGCCGCGGCGTCCGCTCCCTCGAACTGGGGCTTCGCCTGGGCCGCTTCGGCCGCCATGAGGCGGCCGCGGCCCGAGCTAGGCGCGTCCATCTCCGCCGTCGGCGCCGGTTCCGGCGAATTGTCGGCGGTCGCCTCCGCGACGAGGTCGTCGACGCGCCCCCACTGGAACGTGCCGTCGTCTGTCAAGATGCTCGAACGCAGCGTCGCGGCACCTTTAACGGTAGACGGCGCCAAGGCCCGGCGCACCGCCCACGGGAGCGCGACCTCATACACGTTAAAAGCCGGGTCGACTTGGTTGGCGATCCCCTCCAGCGTCAGGAACGTCCGCGTCAGTAAAATGATGTAGGGCGGCGTGAACATGTACCAGGTAAAGCCCATGTCGCCCAGCACCGCGGCCAAGGCGCCGAAGCGCGACCCCGTCTCGGGCGCCGCACTCATGCGCCGCTCGACCTCCTCGGCCATGACCGCGGGCAGAGGTTTACCAGAAGGATGGTAGTCCTGCCAGGCGTCTCCGTCCTTGGCGCGCCAATTAATCGGGCTCCCGACGAAGCCCGTGTCCTGAAAAGCCTGGACCAAACCCACATAATCCTTGGCGAGGACGCACTGGATCCCGGCGGCAAAGGCTTCGCAGATATCCGCGTCGACGCGGGACATCAGGCCGAAATCCAGGAACACCAGGTCGCCGTTGTCCGCCAGCATGATGTTCCCCTCGTGAGGATCGGCATGAACCAATCCAGTCAGACACAGTCCAGCCGTCACGGCCTCAACGGCCATATAAGTCATCCGCGCCGCTTCTTCGGGCTTCAAATCTTGCAGGTGTCGCCCCTCGATCCACTCCATGGCCAGGGCGCGCCGCGTCGTCAGCTCGGGCAGCGTCTCCGGTACGCGCGCGTATCCAAGCCAGGCGATGGACTCACCAAACGTCTTCGCGTTCTGGGCCTCTCTTCTAAAATCTAATTCCTCGATGACGCCGCCCGCCGTCTCGTCGAAGATCGCGAGAAGGTCGCCGTTCCAGTAGCGGCCCTGAAGCGCTTTCAGAGCCAGAATAATGACCGCGCCGTCCAACAAACAGCGGCGCATGGCGTCGGGCCGCTGGACCTTCACCGCAATGTCGCGGCCGTCCCACGTGCGGGCCTTGTAGACCTGGCCGAGCGATGCCGCAGCGACGGACGTGTGGCCAAACTCCGCGAAGAGCGGTTTGGCATTCGGATCGCCGTGGGCGAAGGGGTGGCCCGGCGCGAGCGGTCCGGGCGCGTTATAATCTTCAGCGATGACCTGGAAGGCCTCGTCGTCGGGAAAGGGCAGGTTCTGCGTTTGGAGCCCCTTCAACGCCTCGCAGACGTCCTCGGGCAGAATATCCGGGCGCTGCGACAGCGTCTGGCCGAGCTTGACCGCCACGGGCCCCAGATGCGCGAGCTCGGCCCTTAATATACTCCCGCGGTCGCCGTCCGCGTCGGACCACGCCTTCCGCGTCCGTCGGAACGCGTTCAGGAAATCAAAGACCCGCTTGACCACCTTCTCCGGTCTGCGCGCCCAAAAGTCGACCAACGTGTCGCGGTCGTACGAGGTCTCCGGGCCCGGCAGACCGACGACGGCCTCGAGGAGCTCTTGCGGGTCCCGAGTCAAACGCGCGAGCTGGGCCTCTACGGCGGCGAGGCCCGGCCGCGGCAATGATTGGAGCTTGGGCAGCGCCGCCACGCGCGGCGGTTCGAGCGTCGCGACCTTTTGCGGTTTCATTCGTTGTGTGGCGCTGCCGTCAGGCACGAGCGCGGTGGCGACGCTGCACGCGCATAGCACTAACGTGGTGCGCATTGTCTTCATGCAGCGAGGGATTTTTCAATGATGTGTTGCACGACTTTGGTGGCAATCTGCACTGCTGTGGCAGCAAGCAAAGCTTTTTTTGCTATGCAAAACCACTGTGTTGCAATCACTGCGAGAGCTTGCAATCTGCTCCAACAAAATGGTGTCGCTGCAGTATCTGGACGTCAGCTGCAGCTGCCGACGCTTTATTCGCAACCACACACGAATGTGGTAATGCAGCCCGGCCGTCTCGTCGTCCAGTCACAAAGTTGTGGCACGCCGAAGGTCGCGAGCTCACTCGGCCTCGGGTGAAGGGTGCCTCCGGTCTCGGGAGAGATATCGGCGCACTGACATACGACCTTGGGACCGGGCCCAGCGTCAGAGGCGGACGCGCAGCATGACGGACCGCTGCGGACGCGAAACTATAAAAATACACATGCTTATGTTCGGGATTCGAAATTCGACGCGACTAGTGGGGCACCGTGGGCAGGAAGCCCTTGAGGATCTCGCCGACGAGTTCGAACAGGTAGAACTCGGCCTCGACGTCCTTGCGCAAGAAAAAGTTCTCGCCGACGTGCGGGAAGAAGGCCTGCTCGACGCCCTCGGGCGGCACGAAGAACTGCGGCGTCTCCTCGACGACCGGCACCTTCGTGAGGAACTCCTGGATCGCAAACCCGACGATGGCGAGCATGGCGGTCCTTCCGTGCGTCAATTCTTGCTCGAGCATGCGCTTTCGTCGTTCTGGTGCGCTCTTGTCGGGCAACAACCCCAGGGGGTCGAAGCCCAGGTCGCCCGGCGCGCGTTTCTGCCCCTCGCGCGCGCGGCCTTTGAGCCGCCGCACGCCGATGCCCTCCCAATACGCTCCGAGGAACAAGGCGACGCCCCAGTAGCCCGTCGCCACCTGGCCGAGGCCGCCGTTGAGTAATGACGGCGCGAGGCCGACGCCGCTGTCGTCGACGTTCACGAGCTCGGGTCGCATCCCCAACCGCATCGAGAGCCGGCCGTCGTAGAGCTCGCTCAGCGGCCAGCCCACGGCCGCGAGCATGGCGAGGCGGCCGTGTTTCAGCTCCGCCTCGCGGTAGGCGTACAAGCGGTCGTCGCGCTCGTCCTGGCTCTCGCCCTCGTTCAGACCCCATCCTACTTCCGCCCAGCCGAGCGGGTCAAACCCAAAATCGCCGGCCTGCAAATACAAAGCGTAGTCCGCGTCCTTCAGCGAGTCCAGACCCGCTGGCCGCTCGAGCCACGGTAATGCGCGGCACATTTCACGTTCCTCGTTCGCCGTCGGCGCGGCCCTCGCCGGCGTTTTCGTGACGGTGCTGGGTGCCAGCAGCGCTTGCGTCGAATGCAACGCGACGAGCAGCGTCGCTGATCTCATGGTATGCAAAGCTGTTTTTGGCAGTGGATATTATAGCCGTGTGTTGGAAGCGATCCAAGTTGCGTGCTCGGTGCTGCAACAACTATGCGTAAAGAGGTTTCGCAGGGTCCGTTTGCTGTGCAATTACGTACTCGGTCGATCCTCGGCTGTTGAAAGACCAGCATGCGATGACGAGGCCAAAACACGAAGCCGAAGCCGAGTGGGGTCGAGTCCGGCCCACAGATCTATAGTCCAGTCGTCCGACTGATAGAAGCAGAACTGCGGCTGCTCAGCCGAAAGCCGCCACCACGAACCGCGGTCGCGCGCCGGGGACGTGCGGTGGGTTCCCCCAAGGGGCTCTGCCCACTAGGCGTACAGAAAAACCCAACGCCGCCGCCGGCAAAGAAAGACATCCCTAATAAACGTGTTACGCATAACCCTCCTCGTCGTCGTTCTGTCGAGAAGGCGGTGGTGGTGGCGCGGCCACCTTCTTCTTCGTCTTCTTTTTTCGTTTCGTAGTAGACGCGCCCGGCGCGGCCCAGCCGCCGCCACCGGGCCGGGGCGGCGGCGTCGGCTCCAGATCCGTCTCTGGTGAATGCCCGTTGCTGTACGACGCCTCGGCCTCGACGAGCGCCTCTTCGAGCTCGCGCCGCGCGGCCTCCAGATGCGGCGCCAGCGCGTCGTCAAAGGCCTTCATAATCCTATCATTTGATGAAGACGCCTCGAGGGAGCGCTCGACCTGGGAAGGTGACAATGGAGGCGGCACCGGTCTTGACGGCGAAGCCGGCGGCGTATCATCTTCAACAATAGGCAAACCTTTCCGCTTCTTCTTATATTGTTTCACCCAGCGTTTTATTTTGGGCACGAACTGGCCGACGCCCCACTGTTTTGCTGGGAGCTGGTCCAACGGAAAAAATTTCACATTGCTAATCTCCTTCCGCACGCGCGGCTGGAAGTCAAACGAAGGGTCGACGTCGGGCACGCAGAACATGGCCGCGTGCTGGTCCTGGTTCACCAATTCCAGGGCCTCGTGCTCGTCCAAGTCCATCAGGACGTCGTAGCCCGTCTCCTCGCCGACCTCGCGCTTTGCGCATTCGGACTTCTTCTCGTTCTGGTTCAGTTTTCCTTTCGGCAGACCCCAGGACGTCTTCGCCCAATTTTGGACTAACACAACTTTGGTCAGGGAGGGATCGAGTAGAACACATCCACAGACCGGTATTTTCCCCTTGTAAGCGCGGAACTCGTCGAACAGCTCCTCGTAGTGCGCTTTTAAGGGTTTGAGTAGTTCCACACTATTAAAAAGCTTGGACGCGAACTTCCTCAGGTGTAAGTGGGGTAAGCTGGAACCATCAGCGTCCGCGAGAAAGTCCTCGTAGAACCAGTGGGCCTGCTCGATCTGGAAGAAGAGGCGGTCGCCGCTCTGGAGTTCCGAATCTGGGAGGTGTACTAGGAATCTGGTAGCTACTTCTTCTAGTGCAGCGTCCAGATCTAAGTTCGTCGTGGTTTTCGTGGGTGCGGTGCCGGGCACGTCGGCCCACTGGCCGTTGCCGATGTACTTGCGGACCATCGGAGCCTGTGTGACGTGCGTGACGGCGGCCGGGCGGTCGGTTTGCTATCTCTCTTGCTGTGACGACGCGTCGGCAGTAGAAAAACAAGTTAGTCTCATCGATCGAGGACCTCCGAAGGTGTCCTAAGGTTAATGTTATCGGTTCGTCAGTCGCGTGAAGGGGCGTCGTGCTTTGCGGTGCGCTGGGGCGTGCAGTGGGCGCGGCGACGGCGCTAGCTGCAGCGATGGCTGTCAGGCTTCTGTTGGGCTTTTCGCTACGCGCGCTCTGTGCAGCGGAGAGCTGCAGCGCGGCTGTTTTAGCGGCCCGCCGGCTTTGGCAGCTAGCGTCCCGTAAGACACTAGCAGGCTCTCGGCCGCTCTCCGAGAAGAGGCACGCGGCGCAGCCCAAAAATGCCCCGAAGCTGCCCGGATGGCGCCATGAACCCCACGCATCGCCTGCCAAGCGCTGCACCCCATACGCCATCGATGCGATGAGATTGCTATCTACCACCGCTGAGCTACGCAAGGAAGAATGCTGTTGCATCAGCTCGCCTGGCTCGTAGCAGCCGCAGGAGTCGTCGTCGAGGACCGCGGCTACACCTCGACGAGCACCGTCTACGCCGCGCTCGACCTCGGGCCGCAGCGCTTCGTCGTGGCCGTCGCGCTGAAGGCGACGCCCGCGGAGATTGAGAAGACGGCCACGACCTTCTGCAGCGAGCACCGTGATGACATCACAACGCTCGCGCCGGGCATCGACGGCGCGTGGGCGGCGGACGCGTGCGCGGGCCTCGTGCGCGGCGCCATACACGACGCGCTCGCGCCGCGGTTCGAGCTCTCGAACCGGTCGATGGCCATCGTCGACTTTGCTGGTGATGATGACGGGCGCCGGCGCGTCGAGGTCGCGACCGTCGCGACGGCGCCCGAGGGGCTCGGACGGCTCGTGGCCTCAATCGCGGCGCACGACCACGCCCTGGCGCCGCGGCTCTGGGTGCTGGGCCTCGGCCTCGGCTTCGTGGGGACGGTGCAAAAAATCGTGTGGACCCGCAGCTGGCTCACACGGCTCCCCTCGTCGTCGCTCATTTTATTCGTAGACGCCTACGACACGGTCTTCCAGCGGCCGCTGGGACCCAACGACGTGCCACCGCCAGGGAAAATCGTCTTCGGCGCCGACCGAGTCTGCTCGCCCGACGTCTGCGCCGGACCACTGGCGCGAACGCCAAAGGGTCTGCGCTACCTGAACAGCGGAAGTTATCTCGGCGAGGCGGCCGCCGTCTCTCTACTGCTCGACGGCGCGCTGGCAACCGAACCGCCCACGACGGCGTCGGACCAGTACGTGCTGTCGCGGCACGTCGCGCGGCGCGCCTCCGCCGTCCGCGTCGTGCTGGACGTCGACAACCGCTTGTTTTCTCCGCTCGACGGCGTGCCGCGCGACGCGTTCACCGTCGACGCTACAAGTGGCCTCTGGTACGACGCTACAAGTGGCCTTGCGCCGCTCGTCCTGCACTTCAATCGCGACGCAAAGACGCGCCTCGATGAGGTCGCTAGCGTGTCGGCGGACGGCGTCGTGGCGCGGCTCCGCGCCATCGCCGCGCGCGGGGCGCTCAACGACGGGGCGGACTCGTCGATAGAAACAATTAAGTATATGTTATCGTGGTGGCGCCCGATACGAGGGCGGCAGCGGCGGCAGGGGGTACTCGACGGCGGCCGCGGTCGGGACGGATGCCGAGTCCCCGGGCCGCGCCTCGCCCTGCACCACCCCTTCCTGCGCGACGAATGCCTCGGCGACGGGCACGTGGCGCATCTCCACGCACGGCCGGTGGGTCAGCATGATCGGCCTGTCCGCGAACTGGTCCTCCCACGCGTGCCTACGAGCTTGGAAATGCAAGCAACAACAGATGCCGCAGACGATCGAAATGATCATCACGAACATCGGTAAGAAAATGACCCAAAGCCACCACATCCCATGGTCGTCGCACTCGTCCGCGTCGTCGCCGGGACCGTTATCGCAGGCCGGTCCCTCGCAGGGGACGCACTCGTAAGCATGCGCCTTCCAGCCGTCGCCCGACGCGCACACGTAGCCCAACTGTATCAGCGTGTAGTTGCCGAGGCAGGACATCCGGTCCCGGAGCGCGCAGCAGTCCTCGTCGTAGTTTTGCCCTTCCTCCGGGTAGCAGCGCTCCTGGCAGGCTTCCGGGTGGTGCCTCGAAGACGTGGGCGCGGGTGTCGTCGTCGGCGCGAACGTCGACGGCGCGAGTGTCGTGTTGTTTGCGGCTTCCGCGACCCATAGGAGGAAGAGGATGTGTCGTGGTGCCATGCTGGCCAGCAGGGCTCGCCACGCAGCGGCGGCGTTGCTGCCACGGATGCCAGCAGAGTGAGGCTGCCCAGTAGTGAGGGGCTGTTTTTCGCCAGTAGGGCTCGCCACGCGGCGGCGGCGAGGCTGCCACGGATCCCTTCGAGCTATATCGGGGCTTGGGGCAGCGTGTGGGCCGAGCAACAGCGCAGTAAGCGCGCTGTGCTCAGCGCCAATGTTCGGGTTTTCTCAGGAGCTCGACAACTTACACGGGTTTAATGCAACAACTAGGGATCGGAAGGCATCGCGTCATCGTCTGGAGATTCCGCTCGCCTGAAGACGGCGGGTCGCCGAGGCGCCGCGCAGCCGCGGAGCGTCGACGCAACACGAAACGGCCATGGCGCCGCCGCGTCGTCCGCGAAAAACTCCAGAGGCAGGGAAGCGAGCCTCGGATGATCATATCCGGAGGGAAGATTAATATTGGAGTGGCCCGGCCAACCGCACTGCATCATATAGTCTATTTCCGGAAGCGGCGGCAGCGCAGTCCACACACCATTTGCGAGTGCCAAGGGCGGGGACCCCTCGATGCCAAAAACGCAGACCGAGCCCATGTGCGCAACTGCGCTCATGTACTCGCCCCACGGTGCAACAAATTCACTGCCGTTGACAATTGGCCTGCCTGAATGCAATTTAGGTATGTCCGGCTCCGATCTCCAAGTGCCCGTACGCGGATCGAACGAGCAGACGGAATTCAATGCGTCGTGTACCGCAACAAACTTTTTTTGCTCATAGTCATAGTCAGCCTTCTCATACCTGTACGAAGACCAGCCACCCAATACGAAGAGCCGCCCGTCGACGGCGACGGCGAGACATTCGACCCGCGGCTCCGGCATCGGCGGGAGCACGGTCCACTCGAGCGTCTTCAGATCCAGCGCCTGGAGCATCGTCGAGGCCGGCCACGGTTCGTCGTTCGAGGCAATGCCGCCGGCGAGATAGAGAACGTCGCCGATGATGCTCATGCCCATCGGCGAGTTGTATGGAGTGTCGCGAATCCCAAGTTCGTGGGGCGGCAGCGGTAGCTCGAGCCACTCGTCGCTGCCACGCACGTGATATCGCAGGCGACGAGTGGCTGCAGCTCCATCAACCCAACTGCCATTGAGTATGACTATGACGTCATCGTTTGATGCAGCCCCGAAGACGTGCTTGTTCTCATGAAGAGGCCAATCCAAGCGTCGCCACCTATTCTTCTGGAGATCGAAGGCAACGCCATTATAGCTTCGTCCTGTCTCGTCTGGGGGCCATTCCCTCTGAGACTCGTCCTCGGGGTAGGTGACGCGCGCGCGCCGCTCCTCGAAGGACAACATCGCATCTATCTCAGCCTCGTATTTCTGCATCGACCCAACAATAACGAGTTCGCCGCTGAAGGTGACCGCGGCAGCACAACCGATAGCGTCTACCTTGTTATTTGCCATCTTTCGCCACCGCCCGTCGATGAGCGCGAAACACTCGACCAGGGTGCCCCCCCCCTCCGGATCATCCCAACTCGTCGCGACAAGCACGCGCTCGACGCCGTCTCGGCGATACCGGCGGAACGCCAGAGACAACCTGAGCTCGCGCCATCGCTTGCAGACGCATAACTTTTGCAGGTCGCACTGCGGTAGCATGGCCAGGCATTTGGCCACTAAGTCATCTGGGAGCACCCTCATAGGTAAATTACAGGGCGTCTCGCAGGTCGATAGCCACCAGTGGTGGTGTGGTGATCAGGAGGTCTGATTTACAACGATCGCGTGTAACAAATCGCTCAGGCTAAATGCAAAAATTGTGGAAAACCCGTTTTTTCGGCCAACGGCTCACACGCGCTCGTTCAGCGCTCTGTTTCCTTTCATAATCATAATCAACAATAAACTTAGACACACATCAAGGCGCACCAGGCGACGTAGCCTTCGCCGCCGCGCGGTCCGCGTGCACGTCGACCCACCGCTCGCCCCGGTCGTTCTGCGCGTACGACGACGCGTCCCGCTCTGATGCGACGTCCGGCTGGAAGGCCCGCAGGTTCACGTAGCCCTCTTCCCGCGCGACCGCCGCGTCGGGCGCCACCGGCGCGGCCCGCCAGGGCGCCGCGCACACCGCACACACGCGAGCTTTCTTGAACGTGAACCAGCGGTCGCGGCACGCCTCGTGGTAGTTCCGCCCGCAGGCCCCGCAGAAGTCGTGCGTGGCGTCGTCGCGGAAGCCCTCGAAGCAGACCGTGCACTCGTCGAGCGGCCGCCGCGGGACCTCGCGTTCCTCGTCCGACGCGTCCACATCTATCACGTCTCCACTGGCCCGCCGATAGGCATCTCTAGCCGCCCGCGACGCCATCGGCGCGGCTGACGCCACCCGATCCACGAGCACCGTCTGCAGCTCGTCTCGGCGCAAGTAGCGCTGGTGCGGCACGTGCTTCAGCGTCGCGTCGGCCTCGGAGCATCGCTGATCATCATCCCGAGGAATTTTCAAAACGCGGTACCAGACGAAGTAGCGGTGCTTGCACACCTTCGTCGGGTGGCTCACGGCGTAGGGGCAGCTGCACGAGGGCTCCTTCTGGATCGCGACGTCGTAGACGTTGCCTGTCGATCCTAACACTGCGAACACGTGGCGAAGCGGCGGCGCGCGGCAGGCCCCCGGCACGCGCCGCGTCTCGTCGCGCCTTTCCACCAAATACATGGTCTCGGAGAGCGCGCGGTGCGAGTTCGCGTCGGTCTCGCGCGTGCGCCGCCGCCGCGGGCCCGCGCGCGTCTCGCCGCGGGGCCCCTTGTCGGGCGGCGCTTTCTCCTTCGGCGGCCCTTGGGCCTTCTTCGCCGCGAGTTCCACAACTTCTCTGGGAGGCGGCGCCAGGGCACCGGCATCTAACGCCCGACATCGCTTGATGAGCCACGACTCCGTCCGCACCCTTACTAAGACGTCGAGGCCGATCAGCTGGCCCTTTTCCGTCCCTTCCGGTACAATAACATGGGTCGGCGCGAGCTTCTTGGCGCCCTTGGCATCCCGCTCGACCACGCAAGCCCCCAATTGCTTGAGCCGCGCCCGCACTCGATCCGCGGCGCCGCCCGGTTGCTGGGCCTTCGGCCGCGGCATGCCCCTCGCCCGTTTAGGTGGCGGCTCCCGCGAGCTCCCTTTGAAGAGCTTAAAGTCCTCGTCGCGACCGCGCACCGCGAAGACGGCCCCGACGAGCAAGTCGCGGTCGTCGTCTTCCGACGGACCCTCCTTGGCCGTGACGTAGTACTCGCGCGGCACGGCACCTTGATTGGCGCCGAAGTGCACGTCGACCGCGCCGTCGATCTTCAATGAAGCGTCCCGCAGTAAACGCGCGCAGTAGTCCTGAGGCGCCTCGCCGATGATCGCACGGAGCTGTTCTACGAGCGCGGGGTCGACCTCGACCTCCGAAGCCTTAGAGAACGACGCTAGTAACCGCTTCTGGCGCTGGACGTCGACCGCCTCGAGAGCGCCGCCCTTCAGGTAGGCGTCCATGCGGCCCTTGTCTCGCTTCAGGTCCGTCCCGGGCGAAAACAAGTCTCGTAATTTATCCCTCCTGTCCCTCGTGGAAGCGTTGACCGTAGGCACGACCTCGCGTGGACACAACGCTCTGACGAAGGCGTCCAGTTCAAGAAACGACGAGTGCTCGCCTGTGGGGAAATCAACCAGTGTGTCGGGTGCAAGCCATCGAGCAGGCGTCGCGTCGATGGCGTGGAGGACACAGGCGTGATGCTGTAAGGCACTCCATAAGTTCTCGTACAACCGTCGTTCTCCGCCCAGACCGCGGACGACGCTTTCCCGGGCCGATACTCCCACCCCGTACATCTCAGTGAAACAACCGCCTCGTAGCGCGGCTGCGAGTCGAGCAGCTTCTTGAGTTCACCGTGGGGCCCCTTCTGGTCCCGGTCTCTACCTAAGGCTTGATCTACTCCTGACGTGGCGCCGCCCACCCAGACGTTGACTTGAGGGTCATTGACGTCGTTCGTATAACAAGCGCGCCACCGGTCGCACAGCCGTAAAGCTTCGGCCCGGCGCGGCGGCACGAACAGCGTGCCTCCGGACGCGTCTACCACGGCATCGAACGCGTTCTCCTTGCCCACGCTGTACGTGTTGCACAGGAATAACGTTTTGGGCTCCCGTCGCAGCTCCTCCCGGACGATGCGCTTGATCTCGTCACAAGCATCAACTTGCGCCGGGAAGTCGTACTTGGGGTTGGCGTACGTCGTGTCGAGGTACAGCGCGTCCAATTTTTTCGTCTTGTCGCGGAACGGCGCCAACAAGGGCTGGTTCCGGATGTGTTCTGACGCGCGCATGTCGCCCGTGTGCAAGACACATAGTTTCGTGGGCCCGTGCTCGAGCAGGAAGAGGAGCGACCCCGGGCAGTGGCCCGCGTCCAGAGCTGTTAACGTGGTTGATAATTCCTCGATGTGTAGCGAGGCGCCCGCGTTGATGACGACCATACGTTCTCCTAGACGCGCCGAGACGTCCCGCGTCACGAGCCGTTTCGTGATCTCCGAGCAATAGATGGTACCCGCGTCGAAGCCTCCCGACAAGCCGCACGTGTGGTCGCTGTGCGCGTGCGTGAGGAGCCAGTGGCGGCAGCCCGGGAACGTCTTCGTGAAATTGAAGCCGTCGACGACGAATCCATCAAAAGGCGCTCGCAAGCGCTTGACGTCGGCGTGCTGGGTGGCCATGTTTTTGCTCCACCTCTGTGGCAGCCAGAAGTGTTTTGTCAGCGCCGGCCTGCGACTCGGCCTCAGCGTTCTCAGCGGTTGCGACAGATCCTTTCAGCTACCCGCGACACCGTTTAGCCGCACGAATAGCGCCTGTCCTTGCCTTGTTTGACCGGAGGCGCGGCGCTGGCTAGCGTCGGTAAGGCACTAGCAACCAAGCAGCCGGACAAAAAAGGCCAATACGCCGTCGCGGAGCGCCTAGACGCTTCGTCAGCGACGACAGAGTGTTTTGGCAATAACCCTGATCCAGCGTTGCTGCGAAAACCGTGCGGAGCGCCTTCCCAGGGCCTCCACACAGTCCCTTGCACCAGCCGCACGTCGCTGTCGGCGCCCGAGACCGCCCGCAGCCGCCCGTGCCGTCGGACCGACCTCGCTGTCGCCGCGAAACCGCGCGGCACGAACCGATCTCAGACGAGTCGCCCCGCGCTCAGACGCAGTCGCCGCGGCGCAATTTGACCGAGGAACCATGCCCTGGCAGACGGCGCCCGGCGTCGTGATTATAGTCGCGGCCTTCTCGGTGAGCGGCATGGCGATCCCGCTGATCCACAAACTCATCAAGGGCGAGAAGCGCGTCATCGGGAGGGACGACTTCGATTTCTTGATGGCCAAGCGCGACAAGCGCTTGGCAGCCGAAAAGAAGGAAGGTTTCGCTAAGTAGCTTGTAGTATATCACAGAATACAGTAGTTACGAAAGTTCGCTCGCGAGCCGCGCAGCGAGCTCGGGAGAGGGCGGCGCCATAGGGTCGGCGATTGACAGAAAGAAAATTGGCACCATCAGCAGGGCGACGCCGCCGAGGGCAAAGATCTTGAGCGTCTCGACTCGCGACGCGACCTCTTCCTCGGGTTCTTCGCGACGCTTGGCCGGCGCCGCCGCGCCTTTCTCGAACGACTTAGCCGCGCCGCGCTGTGGGAGTCGTATCCGCGCGACGAGCCCTCCCGGGCCGCGGATCGTTCGCGCCTCCTCCATCCGCGCACGGGTCGCGTCGACGGCGCGCTGCGCGGCTTCTCGTCGTTCGACGGCCGCGGCATCTCCGCTCGTCAGGGTCTCGACGGTAAGTTTCTGTAGGGTCTCCAGCTCCGCGTCGAGCTCGTCGCCGATCGAATTGTAGGCGCTCGACTTCCACTGCAGCCAGCCCCAGCTCAGGAAGACGAGCGCCGTCGACAGCAGCGGCGCCGCCTGGAGCTGGAAGCCCATCTCGCCGGCGGCGGCGGCGCGGACGACTGCGTGCCGTGGTCCTGTTAGGACTACAGTGTGCGATCCCTGCGGTTTGGAGGCAATGGCTAGCCGTGGTCGTATTGACGCATGGGTGCGCGATCGCTGCGGCGTCTGCACCAGCACGTGCGCCAGCTCTGTGAAGCCCAGGCAGCCAGCAATTAGCATGAGCGATGGCAATCTTCGCCCACGCGCGACGCAAGGCATCATGTTTGATAACTGAGCGACTTTACTAGAGCCGTGGCGTGTCGGTTGGCCGGTTCTCGTGGCAAAACTGAGCTCGTGGCTAGCGGCAGTAACACACTAGCAAGACGGACCCGGGGAAAATCGCAGCGGCAGCTAAACAAGGCAAAATACGCAGCAAGCACATCGTTTAAAGTTGCCTTGTAGCTGCGCTGCAGCGAGCAGGTCGAAACGCATCGCTAGAGGGCACCCCACAGCCCCACCCGACACAAGCCATCGCCGCGGCACGCACCGCCAGCATCAATTCGTTCGAGCGCGGGTCTACGTTCCACGCCATCGCTGCGACGTGCTGTCTTAACCACACGACACCATGTCCGAGTTTCAAACCAATGTAAACACGCTCGACCTCGAGGCTTTGAAGGCATTGTTGCCGCCCATGAAGCAGGACGGCTTCGTCGTGCGGGGCGCCGACGCGAAGGTCGAGAGGATCAAGGTGCCGATCCCCGGGCCCGACGAGTGCTACGTGAAAGTGCTCATTGCCGGCGTCTGCAATACGGACCTGGAGATCATGAAGGGCTACATGGGCTTCGAGGGCGTCGTGGGCCACGAGTTCGTGGGGCTGTGCGAGAGCGCGCCGCACAGCCACCAGCATTTGGTCGGCAAACGCGTCGTGGGCGAGATCAATTTAGCGTGCAACACGTGTATGTTGTGCGAACGAGGCGGCCCTCGGGCGCGGAACCACTGCCCGAAGCGGACCGTGCTGGGCATCCTGAACAAGAACGGCACGTACCAAGAACGACTCACGTTACCAGCAAGGAACTTGCACGTCGTGCCCGATTGTGTAAAAACGGAGAACGCGGCCTTCGCCGAGCCGCTGGCCGCGGCCTTCCGCGTCGTCGAGCAGAATCTGGTGCCCGCGAAGACGAAAATAGCAATTGTGGGAGACGGCAAGCTCGGGCTGCTCATTGGGGAAGTCCTGGGCCGGCACGCCCAGCGGACCGGGTCGCCTCGCCCCGTCCTCTACGGCCGCCACGTATCGAAAATGAAGCTCCTTTCGTCGGAGTCGCAATGCGACACCGCGTTGTCTGACACCGCACTACCGAAAAATGCCTACGCCTACGACGTGGTCGTCGACGCGACGGGCTCGCCCGCGGGTTTGGACCTGAGCCGGCAGCTGTGCCGGACGGAGGGCACGTTGGTGCTCAAGTCGACGTGCGCCGCGGGCACGGACTTTAACACGGCCCCCTTCGTCGTCGACGAGCTGCGCGTCCAGGGCTCGCGGTGCGGGCCCTTCGGGCCGGCGCTCGAGCTGCTGAAGACGCTGGACCTGACGCCGCTCATCGACTCGACGTTTCCGCTGGCGAAGGCGCCCGAGGCCGTGAAGCGCGCGGGCGAGCGGGGGTGTTTGAAGGTGCAGATTCGCGTGAGCGACGGGTAGTAGGTGTGCATAATGTTATTCTAGACTAGCTCGCCGAAGTTTAGATTCACACTTTACTCCACTTTATGTGTCGTGAGCAGGGCACCGCGCGTTCGGCGGGAGAGGTGGCTTCAAGTGCTAGACGGCATGCGCCGTCAAAGAGCGGCATACGTGTTCGACAAGGCGTCCCAGGCGAGCTCAATTTCGTCGGGGGGTCTTTGGGGATGTCGGGGGGGTAACGAGCAAATAGCAAGGGGATGGATCATCGCATCGAGAGAGCGGCTTATCTTCTTTTGCCGCGTCGAAGAGCAGTCGGCGCCCGAGACTCGAGCGTCAGCGTTTCCTTGCGCGGCGGTGACGCCATCGTCCCCTCATACGAGGCGCGGCGGCGGCGATCACCGAGCGGACGTGTAAGTCCTCATCGCGACGAGCGCGACAATCTTGCTGCCCCGAAGAGCAGTGGCGCCGCCGTCACCTCCTGCGAGTGGCGGGGCGGCGGTCAGCCCACCGACCCTAAGGCCGGCGGGCGGTGGAGGCGTTTGGTGCGCACGGCAAAGTCGCCTACCTCACTTTGCCGTTTGGCGCCTTGATGCGCGCGCTAAGTGCGTGCGCCCACCTTTTGCTTTGTTTGGAGGCGAAAACCCAGCTGTGACCCACTCCTGGCCTGCTTTGCTTTTTGTCTCCTCTCGCAGGGGTTTTTGCTTCTTTTCTTGTTCTCCACGTGTGTGTCTATCGAGGAGATCGCGAAAGAGCAACACAGCTTATTTCCGGTCGTGAGGTGCAAGATCTGTAAGCCTTCACGTGCTTTGCGGCAAATAATATCTAGCGTATGTCGACACACTAGCAAATTCAAAGATACGCGTCGATAGCGTCAAAAGAATGACCCAAATTCAGATTGCATCCTAGTCGTTCGCTGAGACCAAATATTTAAGAGTAGCGGCCCGGGAACATACACTCGCGCCTCCCGGAAGGCACCGCCCGCGACATTCGCTGATGAGTCTTACGGCTTGCCAAAGTAGACCAGCGATTGACGCCGCCATCTACCGTCCAGATGGGACAATATATCAACTCCAGCCCAGTTTTCATACAAGTTCGACGGAACCGGAGCCGACGGCCCGCGCTCGGAGGGCGGGAGAAGAGTTCTACTAGACAACTCCCGAGTTTATGTTCGTTTCCTTCCGTTTGTTGGTGGTAGAGTCCATCTAGGCCGCCTGGGCGGGGATGAGCTATGTTAGATATCCCATTAGAGCCTCGGGATTCGGCGACTTCGGTCCCACGCGTTTACCCAAAGATGATCCACAAACCTGAACCTGCGAGTATCAGCGACGCCACCATCCAGATGGACCATAAAGCCGTTGTTCTATTCACAATCGACCGACTTGCTCGTTCTCCGCGGACGACGGTACGTACGCGGGGCACCGGAAAGGCCCCAGACCGGTGAGTTATAAAATAAATTTGCGTTTCAGGCGCTTTTTTGGTGGGACGGGCCAGCTAATTGGCCTGAGCGTGTCCTACATTTGATTTCTTATTGCCAAATGCTCCCGCGCCTCGTTGGCCTTGCGGCCCCACGATCCCACGAAGATAGGCAAAATGACTGGACCTGCGACCATCAGCGCGTGTACCATTACCATGGACCATAATGCGATCATTTGTTTCATGACCGACTGACTTGCCCGAGGTCCAGATCAAGATGTTCACGTCCCGAGCGTGGTCGGCCCAAAGTACCCTTCTCGTGGTGTAGATGGCATATACTTGTAGTTGACTATCGGTGGGGTAGTATTGGGTCCGACGAGACCGCTACGGCGACTACTGGGGGGCCTCGGGTAATTGACGTTTTTTACGGGGACGGGGCACCATCGGGTCCAAATCATTTACTTTTTTCGGATGCAGGTCGGCCCCCGGGCGCCCTCTGGGGTAGGTCTGGTGGTGGGTTGTCGCCCGCGCCGCATACGCCATCGATGCGACAGTCTAGTGCTCCCCGAGAGCCCTGGAAGCAAACCATAGCTATAAGTTGTTAAACCTCCGTGGACTGCTGAGAGAAATCGACTAAAAATGATTGAAGCGGCGGCGCATGCGGTGTAGGCGACTAACCGTGTATAGTACTGACCCTAGGCGACCCCAGGGACACCTGTTTGGCAGGGATTGACAGGATTAAACCGGCGCGGCCGTTATAGACCCGTAGGGCGCCCTCGGCCGCGAATTAAAAAACTGCCTTTTTCGGCCCCCAGTACGTGTCCCATCGATCTCTTTGGACCATTAGCGAACGGAAGGATACTCAAACGGCTGCATACGTGTTCCGAATTTGCTTGCTAGTGTCTTACAGGCCGCTAGCGCGCGATGGCGGCGCGCTCGAAAACCGGCACGATTTGCACCTCAATCGTGCTCGCTGGCCGCCGTGATTTATGCCTGCAGCCATGCGAGCATTGATGTGGGCGCTCAGCCCCGTTATTGCATCCGTATCGGCGCTACAGCAGCAGCTCCCTGTGCAGCCGCAGCCATCGACGCCATCGACGACGAGCGAAGCGCCACCGGTTGAAATATACGTATGCACGGGCCGCGACTGCCTCGAAGACGGATCACGCGAGACGCTGCGCCGATTCAAAGCTCTGAAGGACGAGCATGGTTTAGACGTAAAGCTGCGCGCACGGCCGTGCATGGGACCTTGCGGCCGGGGGCCCAACATAGACGCCAGACGTGCGGGCGTGGCCGTGAAGAGTCCTGGCACGGGGGTCACGCTGTGGACAGACGTTGCGGATGACAGGGGATGCGCCACGATCCTGGCGGCCGCCGGAGAACAGCTGGTGCCTGAAGACTACGAAGCGGCGCCGCCACGGACCTTCGCGGAATCGGCGTCGAAGTTCTACCGCGGCTACTGGAAACAGATCAACAACGTCTTGTTCGCATGCACAATCGTCGCTGTCGACTGGCTCTACCAGGAGCGACCAGACATTGCTGATGAATATTCGCTCCGCATCGCCGCGGGACTCGTGCTGTGGCAGCTGTGCATCCGGGCCGCGCAGGGGAGGATGTACGTCCGCGCGTCCGAGCAACCGACTGCGAAGCGGAGGGGTGAGAACTAACAACAACAACCTAGGCTTTTTTCCAGAAGCCCCAGCACTGGCCCTCGCACTCCACGGATCCGCACGAGCGACAGCGCGGCGGGCCTACGTAGATATCAGCGCCCGCCTCGAGCGCCGCTTTCCGCGTCGCGACGCGGTCGAGCTGCTTCCGGAGCGAGCGCCGCCGGTTCACGGACCCTCGAGCGCGTGGCGCGTCCAGCGCCGCCCGGAGCGCGTCGGCCTGCTTGTCGATCGCCGCGGCATCGCAGGCGTCGAGGAACCAGCAGTAGGCGCCGCGCAGGTCCTCGTGCTCCGGGCAGTAGTGCTCGTGCCGCGTCTCGCGGCAGTCCCTGCAGACGAGGCACAGCGTCTCGCAGACCGAACACACGTTGCGGCCGTCGTGCGCGCCCCAACGCCTTCCACAATCGCCGCAACTACCTACCACGTTCGACGCCCCGTCTTTGTAGTTCTCGGCTTCGCGGTTATCGAACAGGAAATTGCGACCCCTCCAGACGCCGCCACCTGCGACCGAAACGCGTCACGACGCGTGGACGGCGTCCGACGGACTCACGACGAACGGATGGTGTCAGACGGACGCCGCGTCGACACCGTCAGGGAACGCCTCGAGAAACCGGTGAATCCCACCGTCGAGCTGCTGCACGTCGCCAACGCCCCGCGACCGCAGGTAGGCGCTCGCTTTCTCGCAGCGCACGCCGCCCGTGCAGTACATCAGTACGGGCCGTCCCCGGCTCCGCCCCACCACGTCCGACGCGTCCACGTACGCCTTCCACTCCTGCATCGTGCGGATCGGCGCGCGTTCCGCGCCCGCAAAGTGGCCGACGTCGTGCTCAAACCCATTTCGTACGTCGAGGATGAGCGCGTCGCCGGACGCCGCCGCGTCGCGGAAGGCAGCCGGCGAGGCATGGCGCGCCGACCCGTCGACGGTACACGGCAGGCCCGTGCTCACGATCTCGGCCGCGACCTTGACGTAGAAGTCGGGGAACGGTGCCGCGTTCGTGTCGAGCGGCGCGCGCTTCACATCGAGCGCAATTCCGAGCGCGGCTTCGAGCTTCGACACGTACTCACGCGTCGCGGCAGCAGCACCGCTCGCCGTACCACTCACGCCCTCGGTCGCGACGATGACGCGGCCGTGCAGCGCGAGCTGCGCTCCAGTTTCGCGTTGCCACGCTGCGTGCGCTTGCGGGTCCGCAATCGGCGTGTAGCTGTAGAACGAGATGACCTCGTTCGCGGCGGCGACGGCGGCTGCCATCTTCGATCGCTGCGGCCGCGCACCCCTGTTGCAGTCTTTGCTGTGCACAGTCTGAGAGAGCCAGACGCGGTCGATGGCACCGAAGCGATGCAATTCGGTTTCGCGGCAGCGATGCGCTATCAGCGCATGCCTCGCAGCAATCTATAATCGCCTGCGCTGGCTGTACGTGCGACGCTGCGCCGCTCGCAGCTCCTCGCACTCGCGCGGGATTCGAGCTCCTGTAGTCTAGTCTCTACAGTACGCTCTCGTGACGCACTCACTCGGGTCGTGCTAGAGGGAATAGCTCAATTACAAACCACAAAAATTACGCCGACGCCGACGTCTCCGCGAGCAGCCGGTCCCGCTCCGCGAGCGCCGCGTCGCGGCGCCGCTGCTCGTGACCGCGCCACGCGCCGGCGACGTGAATAAGAGGATGGAGCGCGTCGGCGCGTAGTAACGTAGCGGCCTTGCGGAAGACCGCGTCGCAAAAGGCGCCCGCGTCCTCGTCGCCCGGCGCCGCCGCGCGCCGCGCCGCGACCTCCTCGGCCAGTAAAGCGTCCTGCAAGGCCGCGAGGCCCCGGAGCGCTGCCGCGAGCGCGCCTGGAGTCTCCGCCGACGCGATGGACAGCGGCACGTCGCGGCCCGCGTGCGCTTCCGTGGTCACCGGTACCGAAGTTGCTTCCACGGTCGCGTACGCCGGCGGCGGACTGGCTGGCAGCGCCAGCGGCGCGGCGAAGGCGCCCGGTTCCGAGGTCGAGCGCGCCTGGAAGGCAGCAAGCGTCACGGCCGGCGCGCCGCGCGCGGCCGCCGCGCCGTCGACGCCCGGGAAGCAGGCCGCGATGATGCCCACGAATCGATCATCGAGAACTTGATACGCGCGCTGCGTCCTCACGTCGACGTGCGACGGCGCCGCCGTGATGTGCGGGTGAGAGTGATACCAGCCCACAATCCTCAACCCTCGGCTCTCCGCGATCGAGGCCGCCTTCGCGAGCTGTTCGGGCTTCACCTCGACGCGGTCAGCACGCCTGTCCGTCCTGGCGAGAGGATGCGCCTCCTCGATGAACGCCTGCGGGCCGTCCCACCGCCCAAACAGCAGGCCCATGACCTCCTGCTTCTCCGTCGAGAGGGCGTGGGCCACCACACAAAAGGCGCACTCCTTGGCTAGGGTGCAGTGGGCTAGGGACATGGTGCGGTGCGTCGGCTGGCGTCTCGCAACGATCCTTTCAGCTCTTGTCCGCTGCAGCCGAGTGTGCGCGTCAGGCAGAGACAAATGGCCGCTTCTCCTCACGCTCTCGCCCTCAGCACCGCGCTGGACCGAGTTTGCTTGCTTGGCGCTAGTATCTTACGACGCTAGCAACGTGCGGGTTTCAAAAACCCTTTTCGAGCCCTCCTCGATATTGCAGACCACCGGACTCGTCCTGGAGGGCTCGAGAAGGTGAAATTGGTTTTTTGCTTCGCCTCTCGAAGCCTTGATACCTCGGCTTCATAGTGCTATTTGCGAGCTACCGCGTCCACACTCACGTGAAAAGCAGCGTCACGCTGGTCGTTGTACTCACGAGCGAGGTTACTGAAGCTACCGCGAGAAGATTTGCCGCCGCGGCGCTCGTGCGGCTCGTAAAGCCAAGGTTGGATCGCTGGCGTAGCAAGGCCTTATACGGCGGCGCGGCGTCCGGCTGACCCGTTCTGGGTGCCCACGAGCATTCGCACGCGGCAGCTGTTGGGCGTGGACAAAGCGAAGGCACGAGCACGCATTGCTGTCGCTCAGCCGCTACCGCGGAAGGCGGTGCCGACGAGGCGCCCGGTGGCCACCTCGTCGGGTAGACCTCGACACACACCGCCGCCGCCGCTGCACAACGAGCGCGCGCGCCCACCCAACCCCCCTCGCAGAATATTTCAAAGATGAAGCTCGCGATCGCCCTCTGCCTCTCGTCGGCGGCGGCCTTCCAGGCGCCCGCGGCGGCGCCGGCCTCGACGGCGCTCCGCGCCGTCGACGAGTCGACGCTCGGCGTGCAGGCGCCGGCGGGCTTCCTCGACCCGCTCGGCTTCGTCGCCAAGGACGGCCCGGAGGCGTTCGTCCGCCGCCGCGCCGTCGAGCGCAAGCACGGCCGCATCGCCATGGTCGCGATCACGGGCGTGCTCGTGCACAACGCGCAGATCGAGTTCCCCGGCTACCTCTCCAAGTCGGCCGACCTCAAGTTCTCGGACGTGCCGGACGGCCTCGGCGGCTTCTTCTCCATCCCCGCGGCGGGCATCGCCCAGATCCTCGCCTTCTGCGCGCTCGTCGAGCTCGCGTGGTGGCCCGCGAACAACTACTCGGGCGACTACGGCTGCGGCTTCTTCGGCACGTCGTACAACGACGACCCGGAGACCAAGGCCACGAAGCTCAACGCCGAGCTCGCCAACGGCCGGCTCGCGATGCTCGGCATCGCCGGCGCCATGTTCGCCGAGGGCCAGACCGGCGAGACGCTCGCGCAGCAGTTCGAGAACCTCTCCTTCTCGATCGTGTAGAGAGGGCCGTAGCTTGGAGCGCTGGCGGGCGTAACGGAATGTCCTTTTACTTCGTTCTTAGTGCTCCTAGCGTGGCGGAGCGCTCTAGGCGAAGGCGAGGTAGCCGATCGACAGCGTCTGCAGGCCGCAGACGACGACGAAGCCGCCGAGGTCGCCGCCGTAGTCGGCCACATCACTATTCCACTTGGCGACGTACGCCGTGGTCGCGGCCGTGAGGACCCAGAGCTTCTTGAGCTGCTCCTTGTCCTTGGCGAGGATCCTGCGCGTGAAATGTGTCGACGGCGTCGCGGGGAAGAAGTACGGACGCCGGAGACAAACGCGGCGACCTTGAGCAGCGCGACGAAGCAGTGGTTGAGGCCCCAGATGCCCCACATGCCCGTCCGGCTCGACGAGTGCGCCATCGTCATGAGCGGCCGCGTCTCCGCTTCACCCGGTAGGATCGACGTCTTGTAGGAGACGATGTCGCGGCCGGCGGGCAGCAGGATGAACGCCGACGACGCGAGCGCGATGAGCGTCATAGCCTGCTTCACGAGGCCGCCCTTCGCCTTAGCTGCCCGCGTTTTGCCGCGCGTGACGGCCATTGTTCAGCGCTTGGCGTCGAGACTGTTGCTTTGCTGCCGCTGGGGAACGAGGCAGCCCGCGATGGACGAGGTTGGCGCGCGGGTAACAGGCGCGTGCGCAGGCAATACTGCGGTGGGTGCAGCGACTGGGGCGTGGCGTGGTGGCGCGTGTAACAGGCGCTCTGCGAGGAACAGTGTGAGATCTGCGTTGTGGCCTCAACGCCGCCGTGGCCATCCGTCCCCGGGAACCGTGCGGAGTCTTAGGCTAGCAGTACTAGCCGGAATAATAGACGGGGGATAGTTACTAGCGCGGCGGCGGGGACGTGTGGGGGGAGGACGGATGCCGCTCAGCGCGACGCCGGCCCCGGGACGATGCCCGGGATCGCGTCGAGAATGACGTATACGACGAAGGCGGCATAGATCGCGAGGTAGATCCACGCGTGCGGGTGCGTCACGACCCAGGCGTTCGTGGCCGAGAGGATCACGAACAAAGCGAACGTCGCGATCATGATCGTCGTGAGGGCGTAGGCCGTGCCGAAGCCTAATGACTCGAAGACCGTGATCGGGCCGAAGATCGACGAGTAGATGGCCCACGGTAAAGCGAGCGCGATGAGGATGTCGAAGATGTTCGAGCCGAAGACGGTGGAGACGGCCGTCGTGCCCCGGCCCTTCTTGGCGACGTACATCGCCACGAGGCAATTCGGCAACGAGGTACCGCTTGCCGCCAGCAACAGCGAGAGGGAGATCGTCGGCACGCCGAGGACGCACGCGCTCGTTTCCAACCAAGCGACCATCAGGTACGCGATGCAGACGCAGTGATGAGTCCGCGACTGAAGGCCCCATTTCGACGCTGCGCGAAACCGTCCGGATCTATGTGGTACAGCTCGACAATACCGTCGAGCGCGACGCTAAAATACTCGTCAGCGATGTACTGCGTGCCCACGAACGACCAGAGCAGGGCGATCGGGTAGAGGACGATGCCCGCGACGCCGAGGTTGACGTGCTGGTACGTCCGCGGCGTGAAGCAGCCGTTGGGGCCGGAGCCCATGATACGTTATTGACGCGCGCGTCGACGCGGCGCTCCCTGAGGAGCTGGAAAAAGAGGTTTATGCCCTGCAGGCTATTCTATGCCTCGGCGGCACCGGTTCTCGGTGATCGCGCTATAGAGAAGGGACGATAAATGTCTGCCGCGTCGGCGTTTGCCTTGCGCGGACAGCTCGCGCGCCTCGAGGCAAAACAGGTTTATGTATGGTATACGGTACACACAGATATATATATGTTCCGCAGAGATAAGCCACGCGAAAACACGCAGATAGATCAACACACACATCTTAGCAACGGCCGCCCCACCACGCCATCGACGCGACAGACTAGCGCACGTCGCCGAACGCGCAGCACCCGTCCGCGCCGACCCCAAACGAGAAGGACCCCGAGTAGTCCGTCTGCGGGTCGCCGAACCGCGCGACGAGCCGCTCCGCGGACACGCGCGCCAGCACCAGACGTCTTTTGACCAGCAACGTCCACTCGCGCGGGAGGTACTCGCGGTGATCTCCGATCGCATTCGCCCGGAAGAACTTGGGCTTGGCGCACACGATGATAGCTTTTCGTCTCGAAGATAGCCTACCGACGGCGCGGACGCAGGCCTGGAAGAGCGAGGGCGCGGCGCATTGGTCCTCGGCCGGCTTGACCTCCCTCCAAAAAAAGCCGCCGATGGAGTCCACCAGTATTAATGGCGCCTCGCCCTCCAAATGGGAGATCCCTTCCAACGCGCAGAGGAATTCCAGAGATGACGCGCAGTACGCTACTTGTACCCTTTGTAAGGCGTCGGCGGCCGCCTCCTGGGCTCCTCGTTCACATGCTCTAGCAGCATAGGCGTAGATCGAAGCTCTCAAACGCGACGGCCTCAGTCTTCCATCACAATCCAACCACACTACTTTCCTACATCCGCCGCCGTGCGAGTCCGGCAGGCACCAGCTCGCGCAGATTTGTAACAATAAAGACGTCTTGCCCGCGGCCGCCGGGCCGTACAATTCCACGACTTCGCCCCGTCGATCGGCCTCGCCGAGCGCCGGGATGCCCAGCGACCGCGGCGCGGCGCACGCTCTTCTTAAATACTCGCGCGCGGTCTCGTCCGGCGCCAGCGTGAGGCGGCCGCCGTTCATTTTTAATCTTGCTGCGCGCCTCGACGGCGTGCTGCGTGTGCGTGCACCGCTGTCGGCGCGTGTGCGCGCGGCGCTCTTCAGGGCACGGAGAGCAGCGGCTTAGCGGTCAAACTACGCTATGATACTGGCTGCAGGCGCAGCAATTGCAGCAATGTGATTGTTGGTACCGCAGAAAGCAGCGCTACACGCCCAGCAGCGCCCGCGCGCGAGGCGCGGCGCGGACGATCCTGAGTGCGGGTTTTATCGCGACGTCGCTTTGAACTCATGGAGGCTTCGGGAACGTCTCGGGCAGCCGTACGAACGACACCAAGCCGGCACCTCGATGATCTGCGAAGGCAGAGCTTGGTTGTTGCAAAGTTGCTGCTCTGCGGCGCCCGAAACGCGCGCGACCGCTCGAGGCAACGCAATCAGCAGGTCGCAACGGGCCCACTCAACGCCCAGCAACGGGGGACGGGCAGCCCTTCGCCGCCGCGGCCGAAAGAAAACACTGCCACAGCGGCACAGCGGCCCTGCGCACGCAACAGAGATCTACTCGACGCGAGCCCCAAAGCGGGGAGTATGGCCCACTTCGGCACGGCCGAGCAGGAGGAGAAGGTCGACGCCTCCATGCTGCGGAGCATGGGCTTCCCCGAGGCGGACGTCCGGGAAGCCTTGCGACGCACGAAAGACGACGTGAACCGGGCCTTGGACCTCTTGACGGCGGCGACGATGCCCGACGAGGACGCTTTTGACATCCTCGCGACGCACCCCGCGGCGTACGACGACGGCCGACGGAAGCCGTTCCAGCCGGCGCGGCCGGACCCGGACAAGGGCGGCTTTCTTGATGGAGTGCCAATAAGGGAGGAGAACGCTTCCCTGATAGTCGACTCGAGGTTGCGGCGCTTCCGCGAGATGGGGTTTTCTGTCGACGAGACCGAGGCGGCCCTGAAAGAGCATGCCAATGACGTCGACGCCGCGCTGACCGCGTTATTGGCACGAAGACGGGCACAGGCGCCTCACCCAGATGCTACCCAGGACCGGCGGCGCGCGCCGACGTACGGCCAGGGCTACTACAACGATTCTCCGCACGACGTCTTGGCCGAGGCGGCGCACCCCTACCCCAGCGCGGAACATCCGCGCAAGCGGCCCGAGGCCCCGCCAAACGACCCGAACAAGGGCGGCTGGCGCGATGACGTGCCGCGGAATGCGTCGGCAGCGACGATCGTCGACAGCCGCATTCTGACGTTCACGGACATGGGTTTCGGCGCCGACGAGGCGGAGCGGGCCTTGCGCGACGCCGGGAACGACGTCGACAAAGCTTTGAGTGCATTACTTGCGAGCCGGGCGGGCGCTTGACGGCGTCGCAGACGCGTCGACGGCGTAATTAATACTTTCGTGTCAGTAGACGGATACGCCCCTGCGGTTGCGTAGGTCTCAGGATAGGAAAGTACTAGTAAGGAGCAATTAGGCCCAGAACCAAAGCTACTTCTTGAAGGCCTGGACGCGCGGTCTCCCAAATTCATCCCACGGCGCGTCTCCCCCCAACCCCTGCGCGGAGAGGTCCTTGCGCATCTTCGCGAGCTTCTCCGTGATCTGGTCGTTCGCCTTGATGCGGTGCGGCGCGTTGACCTTGGAGCCCAACGGCGACAGCCCGCCCAGCGACTTCTTCTTCGGCTGCGCTCGCAATAACTCGTCAATCCTACGGTCGCGCGCGGCCTTGCTTTCTTCATCATTTTGATTTTCCTTGTCCTCGTCGTCGTCGTCCTCTTCTTTCGCGGGTGACCTCGCCGGTGCGTCGTCGTCTTTTGCTTGCGAGGCGGGCTCCGCGTAACTGGGCGTGACGATGGCCGTCTTCCTCACACTCTTGGCGTCCTCGCCGCCCATGCGCGCCGCCTCCAAGGGGTCCCTTGTGATCGGTTTGCCCGTGACGACGTGGACTTCGGCCTCGTCGTCACCATCGCTGGCTTTCACGCCTCGCGCTTCCAGTTCCGACTGCATGGCCGCGGCCGTCTGCCAGATGCTGACCTTGCGGAGCTGGGGCCAGGTCATGGTCCCGTCGCCGTAGGAACTTACCAAGTAGCCTCGGCCCTTGGCTGAGACGTCGGGGAACCTACTATCTAGTAAAGGTTGTTCTCCGGTAGTTTCACCTAATACGACGTAAAAAGTGCCCTGGAAGTAGATGGCTATCAGAACTACTCCGGTAGCCGTATAAGTTTTTGCCGCCAACAACTCGACGTTCCGGAACGCCTTTTCCACCTCTTTATCTTGGGACATCTGAAATTCAAAAAAGGACTGGGTCGAGTCGCCTTCCAGCCACGATGATACGGAGCCACCGACCTCGAAGCGATCGAGTTGGGCTAGGAGCTTCGCGAGGACGCCCTCGGCTTGCACGAGCTCTTTCTCCATGGCCGGCGCGATGGACGCGAAGTAGCCCATGGGCTTGGCAAATGGGGACGACAAAGGCATCTGCGACACGTCACAAATAAAGTCCAATCTTGATTGCTGCATCCTCAAAGCTGGGATTAAGTGCGGTAAGTCAGCTAAGTCTAACAGAGGCGTCAACTGCACGGAACCGGCGTAGCACCAGGACCCGAATCTAAACAACACGTCATGATGCGCGGTAGACCCGACACTTTGGACCTTTTCATCCTTCGACGCTTTGAGCACCGTGTACATCTGCACGTAGGAGTCAGTCGTGAGGTTCGTGGTCTTGGGTTGTTTTTGTGGAGAAGATCTACGGGGCCCGTCTACTTGCCGAGAAGGATCTTGCGCTAAAGAGTGCCACAGCGCGAGTTTGAGCCACGTGCGCTGCTCGCCGCCGTACGTCGCGACATGAATACCTTGCCCCGGACAACTCACGTCGGGAAACTTGACATCTAGGAGTGGTTGGTCTCCTTCCCCATCCTGGACCACGACGTACAACGCCCGGTCGAAATACACGGCGATGAAGACCAACCCGCGGGCATACGTCTTGGACGCCGCCAGCGCGATGCCGTCCATGCAGGGCGGCGGGCAGCACTGAATTTCAAAGTAGGTGTTGGCCTGGTCGTTCTCCATCCATCCATACACGTCCGTCCACTTTCTCAATTCATCATGGACCGTATCCGAGGCGAGTTCTCGGGCGGCGAACTCCGCGGCCTCGTTCACAAAGGCCATCGGTTCTTTAAAAGACGACTCGGAGGGGACACTGGAAGCGTTGCAGTAGAAGTGGAGTCGGTTCTGTTGTCGTTGTAGCGTCGGGATGACTCTAGGTAAATCAGAGAGTAGTACTCTAGATTTCTCGAGCGTGATATTCCCCGTATAGCACCAGTTCCCGCAGCGAAACATGACCCTTCGTTCCACATAGGAATCGCTGTCGCCGTCGTCCGAATCGTCGCTCAGACCTTTGGCCTCCCTGGCATCTTCGCCCGCGTCCGGCGTGCGAATGAGGTACGTCTGGTTATAGGTCCCCGCCAGGATACTGCGAGAAGGCGCCATGCCCTGGCCCGGCTCCTCGGGGTCGACCTCGAGAGCCGGCATGGTGCCGCTTCTCCGTCGGCGTGCCGCCCGCGCGCACTGCCGACGAAGCGTCTTCCAGGCAGTCTGTGCGGCGCGCGCCCGCCCGGTCGGAGCTCCGCAGCGCTTCTGCTCGTTCGCTCCCCCCGCGGCTGAGGCTGCCCGGGGCGCGTCCGGCCCGCTATCCCGTCCTAGGAGGGGCGGAGCCGACGGGTGGCAGCAGTTCGATTGGGCCCGTGTCGGGTTTGATGAGCGTGGTCGCCCTTTGACCGTCTCTGTTGTCAAACACGATTCCGGGCACGCCTCGGGGCCTGCGTTGACCGCGTGGGGCGCGGCCGTTTCGGGGCCCAAGCTCGAAGTGTCAAGCACAGCGCGGCTGCCCCACAAGAGTGTCGCGGGGGCTGCCCTTATTTATGCAAGAGTTCGGCCCATGCAGGAGGCGTCCTCTTTTGTGTAGGGCGCGCCAGCTCTGATTTAGGGCTGCCCCGCGCCCACAGTTTGAGACAAGAGTGGTATTAGGCTGCCACTACAAACTACAAGCTCGTCGCTCGCTATCACGCTTCTTCGTCGCGCGCTCCTCTTCGCTTCTCTCCGCGCTCCACACGTTCGATGAAACGCTTCGCGCTCCTCCTCGCCGTACGCACCATACAAGCCGGGCCGTGCGCCGACGGCATGGATAAGGGGCTGAACGGCTGCTGCGCCGACAACAAGTGCCCCCCATGCACGGTCATCCCCGTGGTCGTCGACGACGGCACCAGTACTACGTGTACGTGCTCCGGGCAAACCGGCGACACCGCACACATCGATGCCACCTGCGCCACCATGGCCGGCTGCAGGGCTCTTATTTCTGACGCGACTTACATGAGCATACCCTCTGACGCGACGAGCTGCTCCTTGTGCGCCGGGTCCGAGGTGTGCTGGCCGACCGTCGCGGCCATGAAGGCCTGCCAGGATTTCTTCTGGAGCGCCCCGGCGATGGGCCGCAACGCCACAGACGGAAAGGTCACGTGTACGCCGCGCGACACGATCGACGCGGCGGCGGCGCGCACACCCCTCGCCGCGCTAGCGATAGCGCTGCTGTTTGCCCTAATTGTATCACAATAAACTTACATTTATAGAAGGTCGTTGTCGTTCAGATCGTCATCATCAAGCGCGTCGTCGAACTCCGCCTTCATCTCCACGCGCGCGTAGCGCGTCGTGCCCTCGGCGATCGACGCGGCCCGCCGCCGGCCCGACCGCGACTTCGCGTAGGCCAGCGACGCGGCGATGACCAAAGCGAGGCCCGCCGCCGACGCGACCGTGATCTCGTCGCCGAACGTCACGGACGCGAGCGCGATCTGACTGACGTCCTTCAGGGCGCCGCCCACGCTCAGTGATAAAGAAGACGTCTCATGCAACAACTTCACCTCGGCCAGGAGCATCAGGTACGCAATACAACCAGCAGCACAAGCAAAGGAGAAGGCCGCGACGACGCCCTCCGTCGACACTAACTTCGCCCAGAACCACAAACGGGGAAACTCCCACAAGAGAGCGATCGGGAGCAACGTCAAGACGCCGGCCGGCGAGACGTGGTAGACGACGACCACAGGATCTTCGGCACACGCCGTGTCGTGGGCAAACAGCGCCTGCGTCAAACACCACCGCGCGCCACCTAAACACGCCGCCACGAGCACTAAAATAGTGCCAACGACCGAAAAGCCGTACGTCTGGTGGCGTTCTCCCTCCGTCGCCAGGATCAAGCCACCGACGATCAGCAACACGATAAAGAACGTCCTCAGTCGACAAGGTTCCAGTTTGAACAGTGTCGCCCAAATTAACGTCCAGGCTAGGGTTGTGGTTTTGGCCACCGTATAAAAGGACACGGTGACAAACAATAAAGCTAGATTTGAGGTGGCGATATCTAATGCTGTCGTAGCTCCCGTAGAGTAGGCGTACTTCCACCTTGCACTGGAAGAGAGCTGTTCGGGCACGACGATACTATTCGCTTCTTCCGCGGAGGCCTCGTCCGACGCGAGTCGCTTCGCTAACCTATATTGCCGCCACCGTATCGTTAATGTCGACAACACTACTTTCATGGTCAAATGTAATGTAGTAGTAGTAACAGCGAAAGGAAAGCCGGGAGGCACAAAGACCCCAGGTTTCGTAGGTGGTTTCCAGTAGTACAGGAAGTACTTGTTCACCAGCGTAAAGGACACAGATAAGGCCCACCACGCGAAGGCGTAGGCCGCGATCCTCGCATATGTTGCCGCTCTAGGCCTCCATGGTGACGTACTTTTGGCGCCGTTTTCAGTTACTACTGACCATGGGGCGTAGTCTCCTCTTCTGGCCTCTCTTGCTTCTCGCGCTGCTTCCCGGTCGTGGGCCTTTTGGAGTTGGTGCGCGCACAAGAGACAGATGAGAGCTAAGGTACCGGTGACGCACGTGTAGCCCAGTAAAGCCCACAGATGTAACTCCTCGAGGATGGGCGTGCGCGCGAGGGCCATGCGCGTCGTGGTTGTGAGTGTTATGTTTGTTGTCGCCATCGCTGCTGTCGCGTCGGCGGCGGCGCGAGGCCGACAAGTATGCCTAGTCTGCAGCGGTTGCTTGCTCGTTGCTAAAATCGCTGCACGAGGTCGAGGTCAAGGTGTTGGCAATGCGAAAGTGAACACAGCTCTTCGAGTGCTATACTTTCGCCCGTCGCTCGCTTTTGAGCACAAAAGGTGATGCCACTTTTTTTTTTGGGCTTGGGCCGAGGGGGGGGGGTAAAAAAAAGGTACCATACTTTTGCTACTACATTATTCACACAAAAAAACACGCTAAACGAGGCGCACAGCTCCCCACACGAGCTGGCAGAGCCGACGGACCTATTTCGCAAGCCCTCGCAGCGAATCACGGCAAGGAACAGCTCCGCCGCGCTCAATAGCTGCACCCTGAACACACTGCCAAAGTAGCACGCGACAACAGCAGCAAAACCATGCCCAAGTTCGTCCCCGTAGCAGACCCGGAAGCCCCGCGCTGGGAGCAGGACGAGGCGAAATTAGCAAAACACCGGAACTTCGACAGCCACGTCGTCGCCCGCGACCAGACGGAGCAACGCAAGCTCGCGGCCGGTCGCCGCGCGGCGACGAACGCCGATGAAGGTAGAGCCAACCGCGGCTTCGAGCAGGGCGCCGTGGGCTGGGGCGTCGTCGGCACCTTCGGTTCAGAAGCGAGGGACGCGGACGCGCAGGCGCGGCCCGCCGAGGGCAGCCTCAAAATGGTGCAGAACGAGAAGGGCCTGTGGGTCCGCGCGGCGCGGGAGGAGGGCGCCGTCGAGGAGGCGCCGCCGCCGCCGCGGTCGCGGTCGCGGTCGCGGAGCCGCTCGCGCGGGCGCCGCCGCCGCGACCGGAGCCGGAGCCGGAGCCGCGGGCGCCGGCGGCGCGACCGGAGCCGGAGCCGCTCGCGGGGCCGGCGGCGGCGGCGGTCGCCCTCGCCTCGTAGTAGAGAGCCCACGCGCGAGGACCGCGAGCGCGCCGCGCTCGACAAGCTGCGGCGCGAGCGCCGGCCGCCGGCGCCGCGGCGGCCCCCGCCGCCGCGGCACCCCCAGCGGCGGCCGCCGTCTCCGAAAAGAGCGATGCCGCCGCCGCCGCCGCGGCGGCCGCCCACGCCGCCACCTCAAAGAGCACCATCACCAGAGAACGACGAGGCGCCGCCCGACTTTTCGTTTAGCTGCTCGCAGCTCGTCGATCGGTTGCTGGAAGTGTTCAATTCCGACGCGCCTCCACAACATCGCAAGGCGGCCATCGAGCAGTGCTTCGCTGAAGATGGGTTGTCCGTCGCGCCGCTCCGAGCCGGCAAGCGCCCGACGGCGCAGCAGGGCGCGAAAGCTGTGGAGTCGATCGTGGCGGCGTCCGAGCGTTTGACCGAGGCGTCGCCATCGATCCGAGTCTTCATGGAGAGCGGCGACGAGGCCGAATCGGACCCGGACCCGGCGCACCCGACGTTAGTCTTGGACGTCTACGCGGCCGGGAGCGCGCCGGGCCTGGCGGCCGTCGTCAAGGGCACGCCCGCCACAACCCTCGTATTGTGGCGCTGCCTCAAAAACAGGCTGACGCACGCGTGGGTCGCGCCGGACCGCGACGACTACGCGGCCGACTGGGCGGCCGTCGACGAGGACCGGTTCTTACAGTCGCGCGCCATGGCCGCGACGAACGAGGTCCTCGCCGAGCAGTTGCCGGCCGGGCAGGACTACTGGAACTTCCACTTCAACAACTACTCGGTAGATATTGTAGACATATAACAGTTAGTAATCTCCATCATTTCCATCGTCCATCCGGTACTCGCACGTGTCGCCGCCCTCTTTGGACATTTCGACGATGCGCGCGACGAGCTGGCCCGCGTCCACGGAGCCGTCCGGTTTCTGGAGACTCTCGAGCATGCGCCGCACGGCGTCCGCCGGCACGCGCGCGCCGGCCGCGACGCCGGCGGGCCCCTCGTGCCGCCGCAGGAACTCGGAGATGTGGATGCCGCCGTGGGGCCGCGCGGCCGTGGCGCCGCCGACCCGCACGGCCTCCATGCCCCGTGCGAGCGCGGCCTCGGTGCCGGGTGACGGCCCGGGCATCGTCGTGGTGGGCGCGGCGCCGCGGCCGGCGAGGAATTCCGATATGGGGATGCCGGTGTGGGCCGGCGGCGGCGGCGGCGGCGGCGGTGGCTCGCCGCGGCCGGCGAGGAACTCGCTGATCGGGATGCCCGTGTGGGTCGGCTGCTTTTGCTTTGCGACGTTTTCCGCCATTCTTCGCCGCGTGCTCGCGAGCGCTGTGGTAGTGCTCGCGAGCGCTGTGGTAGCAGCCGGATGCTCTCCGAAGCAAAAAGAGCGCTTCGAGCCAGGTGTGTCGCCAAGTCAATTCTCGGACGCTAATGATCGATGAAAATGAAGCGCAATGCCTCGCTTCGCTGCCAGAATTGCAGATAACTTGGGCAGCGCCTTGCTGCGCAAGTTAGCTAGCGTCCTGTAGCATACTAGCTCGAATTTTCGCTCTCGTCCGAGTTTGCGCCCACTAAGGCACGTAGCGGTGCCTTCCCAGCCGCGTACATGACGCTTTCAGTTGATAGGTGGCCCGTGGCGTGAAAAATGGCTGCCCGGTACCCAGCCATGTGGCTCTGCACCATCCTACCAACCATCATCGCGGCGCACAAGAAACCGAACTGGATCGTCGCCGCGCCATCGATGCGACCGGAAATGTGGGACGTCAATGATGCAGACAAGTACTGCACAAATGCAGCACCACCGGCGAATACGTTTGAAATCGGGCGCCTCGGCCTGGACTTCGCGGGCGCCGCCGCGCACATGCGGAGTAGTGTTGGTCCAGGCGCCGCCTTCGAGTGCCGCCTCGATCGGACGTCGAGAGAAGGGCCTTTACGAGCGCCCTGCGAGGTTGTGGCCAGGATCGGCGGCGCCTACGATAATGGAACCGCGCCGTTCTACTATGACATCGTCATACCGAATCCGATCGAGGCGGGCACCTACGATCTGCGGGTGCTGTGGATGCACGCGTCGGCCAAGGAGGCGTTTTCACCCACTTCGAAGCCGTTGTGTCGCGTCCTAAGAGCTGGTGGAGATGAAAGATTAGGGAAGGTCAAGGTGCCCAAAGAGCGCACCGTCTCGCGCCCTTGCGCCGGTTTAGGGACAAAGGGTCCGCGCGCCCATGATGGAAATTGGAGAGCGCGCGAGTGGCGCCCGCGCTGCACCTGGCAGATCTACTCTCGTAAAGAGGCGGAGACATGCTTCCAATCAAAGCGGCCCCTGTTCGTGGGCGACAGCCACACGCGTCTCATGTTCGACACGTTGACCGACCAGCCGGCCGACCTCGAAAGTACAGGTGATGTTGTATTTATGGCGGCCGAGGACCCCACCAGTGACTTAAACGTGGACGCTCGAAACAGGAAAGTTGTGGTGGCGAACTGGGGCCACTGGCGGCTGCGGGACGGCGACGTCGAGACGTATGTCAAGGATTGGCAAAAGACGATCCGGGCTTTACATGGCAGTTTGCCCCCTTCCACCAAACTTGTCTGGCGGACGATGCCCGCCTATTCTTACAGGAGGGAGGAGCTCGACGGGCGGACAAATTCTAAAATTCGAGAGGCGACGGCGCGCCAGCTTGAATTCTTGGCGACAGAACTGCCTCAGGTCCTGGTCCACGACACGTTCGCGATCACCGCGCCGCGCCTCTTCGACGCGAACAACAAGCACCACTACCTGGGCTTCGCCAGGTTCGTCGCCAGGAACGCGTCCCTGTACGATTCACAGTTTTCGGGCGACGCCTGCGGCGGCGGCGTCGGGCCGCGGCGCGCGTGCCCCTGGCTCATGCGGGAGCGGCGCGGGTCCACCTACGCGGTCGGGAACGCCGTCGGGTTGGCGGATTTGAACGCCTTGCTGAACTTATTGTGTAACGACTGATGACTGTTGGCGTCTTCCGGGCCCCGAGAGAACGCTATTGTCGCTATTCTACGCCACCCAGCCTGGGTGCAGTAAGATACCGGTACCAGTAGGGGTATCCTACCCTCCCCGCAGATTTGGCTGGACGACAGCGCCTCCGAAGCGCTGCATTTGAACGCGTCAAGGGGGCTGCCCGGTAACGTGAGAAGGACCGCGGGGCTGCCACAAAACAAAAGTCATGGGGGCCGGCGCGAGTGCCTTGCAAAGCTCGTTCGGAGAGCAAGGCAAGACCATCGAGGACGCCTGGCCGCGCGTCCCGCTGGCGCAGCGCACCCGGGCCCACGCCGAGGCCGCATCCATCCTCGACGCCGCCGTGGAAGTGTCCTATGACGTGACCGTCACGCTCTACGGCGCGAACGATTTGCCTAAGACGGACGGGAGCCGCGGCATCAGCGACCCCTACGTCATTTTGAGAGTTGATGACGACGAACAGCAGACGGACTACGTGAAAAACGACCTGGACCCGAACTTTGGGGAGCAGCGCTTCACCTTCTCAAATACAAGAGCGTCGTCCTTGCAAGTGAGAGTGATGGACAAGGACTGGACGAATTCTGATGATCCGCTGGGCGACACGACAGTGCCCTTGATAGGCCTAGGCGGGTCGACGCCGCTGACCCTAGATCTGTCGACCGTGCGCGCGCTGCCGCCCGGCTCGGTCACGCTCGCCTGGTCGCGCACTGTTAGTGCGGAGTCGTCCATCGACGCGCCGCCCGCTATAGATGCGGACGCCTCTGCCGTGGTAGAGTGGGTCGCCTCCTCACTGAACGCTATCCCGGAGGACAAGCGCGCCGAGGTCGTCCAGCAAGTGGCCGACGCCTACGCTTCTAGGGCGGTCCAGAGCGAGACGAGCTCTGAAGGTACAGTCGAGCTCAGTGTAACGGTCGTGAGCGCCGCGAATTTAGCGAATGACAGGAAGGAGCGGAGCCAGTCCGACCCCTACTGCCAGGTCACGCTTGTGGTCGACGGCGAAGATGTGGAAAGTGTCAAAACGTCCCACGTCTGGAACGACCTCTCGCCGGAGTGGAACGAGACCTTTTCGTTTGATATCGACGCGGCGAAGGTGCCCACTTCCTCACTCCGAGTCGAGATGACGGATTATGATTCTCGAGGCAGCCACGAGGCCCTGGGGAGCGTGGACGCGTCGATCGCGCCGCGGCCGGGGGCGTTTTTGTTTGAAGGGTCGGGTGGACGGCGGACGTTCTCATTAACAACGGCGGCCGAGGGCTTCGACGAGCCGCAGGGCTCCGTGACGCTGGCGTGGGTTTTTACGGGAGACGCCGTGGACGACGCCCGTAGGATTCGAGACGAAGCGCAGGCCAAGCGCCTGGCTGAGGACGATGCGGAAAAAGCCGAGGCCGAGCGCGTCGCCGCGGAGGAGCGCGCGGCGGCCCTCGCGGCGGCGGAAGAGGAACAACGGCTACGGGAAGAAGAAGCGGCACTTGCAGCGGCCGAGGCCGAGGCCAAGGCCCAGGCCGAGGCCGCGGAACGGGCCGCCGCGCGGAAAGCCGAGGCCGAGGCGACGGCGGCGCGCGAGGCGGCGGCGGCCGAGGCGACGAGATTGAGAGAGGCCGAGGAGTTACTGAAACGACAGAAGGCCGAGGAGGCGGCCAAACGCGCCCAGGAGGCCGAGCGCCAAGCTAGGGAAGAGGCGGCCGAGAAATTGAGATTGGAGGCCGTCGCGAAGGCCAAGGCCGAGGCCGAAGCCCTCGAGGTGAAACGAAGGGAGGACGCCGAGCGCAAGGCCGAAGAAGCGAAACGCAAGGAGGAACAACTCGCCCTCGAACGGGCCGCGCAGGCGGCCAAGGAGCGCGAGGAAGCCTTGCGTAAAGAGAAGGAGGCCGCCGAGCAGCGAGCCAAAGAGGCAGAGGAGAGGCGCTTACAAGCGGAAGAAGAAGAGAGACGAAGAAAGGAGGAAGCCGCGGCCGCGGCCGAGCAAGCTAGGTTAGATGCGGAGCCTGTAGTTAGAAGGGAAGTTAGATCGCTGTCGCGGCCCGAACAATTACGCTTCGCGCGAGCCTTGTATCGCATGATGCAGGCTCCCAATGGACCTGGGACATCAGAATACGCTAGGATAGCGGGCTACCACGGCTGGCCCGGCGACCTGGAGACGGGCGCGACGGGCCTCTGTGCTCATAGGAGGGAGTCGTTCCCGGGCTGGCACCGCGCCTACCAGATGGAGATGGAAAACGCTTTGAGGGAGGCCGATAAACAGTTAGGCAACGATGGCCGGATCGGCTTTCCCTACTGGGACTGCATGTATGCTCCTTCCTTGAATGGCGAGGTCGTGCCGAAAGTCATAAGGGACTACTTCTCGGAGATGCCGCGCGATCTCATCGATCCTTCAAACTCTTCCTCGGAGCAGTTCGAGGACCGGGGCTTCTCTAGGATCAACGATGACGAGGAGATCCTATCACTTTTACAGAGGTACAATGTGCGAACGAACGCCGACAACGCTTTGACCACATCGCAGCACGGCGCCGCGGCGTCGACGGCGACGGGTTCGAATGACGACGTCGAGAGCCCGCACAACTACGTGCACGTCGCTTGTGGGTATCTGTGTGGAAATAAACAAGTGCGACGGGTGCACAATTCTTCACTAAGTCATTTCTCGGCGATGGTGCGGCCGCGCTGGCTCGGTCGAGCGGTGAGGAATCGGCATCGCCACGCCATCGAGCAGGCGTCGCGTCGATGGCGTGGAGGACGACGCGACGATTCAGCACGAACGCGCCGTAAAGTTTGATTTCCACACAGGTGGCTACCCCATGACCACCACAAGCTACGCGGCGTTCTACCCGGCCTTCTTCCTCCACCACTGCAACGTGGATCGGTTATATGAGGCTTACTTGCAAGCCCACCCGGACTCGCAGTCGGAGTTCCAGAGGTACAATTCTAGAGAATACAACACGGAGCTGCGACCCTTCGTCAACAAAAATACAGGAGATATATATAAACACGCGGATTTGTTCGACGCGGCGCATCTGGGCTACGCCTACGATTCATTGCCGAAGCAGCCGCGTTCGCGACTGCGCGAGGCGCCGGACTACGCGTTGTTCAGAGGACTGGATTTAGGATTGGAAGTGTTCAAGGACCAGGCCTACCTCATTCACGTGTTTGTCGTGCCCAAAGACGCTGAAAATTTTGAGGTGCCTCTCGTGCGTTGCCCCCGCGACGAGCACCAGTACTATGGCGGCTCATCATCGATCTTCGGGGGGCGAGGAGATAATGGGGGCTGCGAGAACTGCCGCTCGAAGACGCGCATTGACATCATGGTCGACGTCACGCGACAGTTAAGGCACACGCTCCATCTAGGGAGGAAGGACGTCGTGCTCAAAACACTAGTGATTGATGCGAACACTGATGAGCTCATAGAGTTAGATGCCGAGTCGTCGCAGGACACGGGCATTCCCCTCCCGGAACTCGTGGGGCCCTGGTGGCGCGACGCTTCACAATTACAAGAAGGGGACAGCAGCGATTGTACGAAAGCCGTCCAGGAAAAGTTGACCGTGTCTGGATTCTACGACGGGGCGTTGGATGGCGAGTTCGGCGAGAAGACCTTGGACGCTTTGAAAGCTTTCCAGGAGATCAATCGATTGAAGTCAGATGGCATCGTGGGGCCGAAGACGATCTCGGTCCTGAAAAAACCAAGACATGATGCCTCGAAGGACATCGGCGCCGGTATCAGTGTTTATATGAGCGACAGCGTAGTGACGTACACCGTCTCCGATGCGACACCTGGTTATTTATCTAGGCAGGGCGTTTTGGATGAAATAGATGATGCGTTTGCCATGTGGTCCGCGGCATCTGGGGTGAAATTTGAGAGGATTGGAGGACCGGAAGAAGGCCCCGACGCCGACATCACGGTCGACTGGTGCGGGCCGCGCGACGTGCGCTTCGACGGGCCGGGCGGCGCCCTCGCGAAGGCGGACGCCAAAAGTCTGACCTTCGACGCGCGCGAGGACTGGCTCCTACAAGGCATGGCGCAGACGCCGGGCGCCTTCTACCTCCTGCCCGTGGCTTTACACGAGATCGGCCACTGCCTGGGCCTCGCGCACGGTGCGCCGTCCCAGGTCATGTCGCCCTACTACGTCGCGAACCGCGTCGCGCTGACGCCCGCCGACGTCGCGGCGGCGCGGGCGGCAACGACTCCTTCCTAAGATCCTTCGTAAGGACATTCAAAGATTATGTCTACTTAATGACGAGCCTCGCCGTCGGCGCGCCGCATCTAGCGCTCGAGGTCCACGCGGAGCTTGTCCCTTTCGAAGCGCATGCCGTCCGTCTCGCGCGCCGCGTAGGCCGCGTCGCGCCGGTCGAAGTAGCAGATGCACGCTTCCAGGCGCCGCCGGTCGCGGCGGATCTCGATGTAGTCGATGCGGCCGTACCGGTAGAAGAGGTCGTCGAGCTCGCGCTCCTTGATGTCGTCGGGCAGCCCTTCCACGAAGATGCGGCCGTCCGGCGGCCGGCGGCCGCGCGGGCGGTCGTAGTCGTCGCGGCGGCGGCGGCGCTCGTCCGGCGTCGGCCGCGGCCGCGCGATGTTGCACCTTACCACTCGCCCGTCGAGCTCGCGGCCGTTCATGCCCAGGGCGCAGGCCTCGGCCTGGGTCTTCTCCTCGAAGGTCACAAAGCAGAAGCCGCGGGGCCTCCCATCATTATCCGCCGGCATGTAGATGTCTCTTATTTTACCGTACTCGCCCACGGCGTCCTCCATCATCTTCTTGTCCGTGTTGAAATTCAGGTTGCCGACGTAGACCTGGCGGCCGACCTCCTCCTCGGGCGGCACGCGCGGCTTGCGCTCGGCGTCCTCGCCCTCGCCGCGCGGCTCGCGCGGCGACGGCGGCTCGCGGCCGTCGCGCGGCGGGCTGCGGCTGCGGCCGCGCGGCGGCGACCGGCCGCGGCTCCGGCTCCGCGAGCGGTCCCGCGGCGGGCTCCGGCCGCGCGGCGGGCTGCGGCTCCTCCTTGGCGGCGAGCGGGAGCGGCCTCTCGGCGGGCTCCGGCCGCGCGGCGAGCGGGAGCGGCCTCGCGAGCCACTGCGGATTTCCTCCATTGTGCTGGCGTCGGTGCGGCACTGATGCCGGAGTTGTTTGCGCCTTGACAAACGGATCAACTGTGACCCTCTGGCACAGTCTCCGCGTCACGGATTGCCTCGCGGCGTAGCACTGCCAATACAAATGGCAGCGAAGACGATTAAAATTTTTAGCTAAAGATGCTAAAAAATCAAACTCGCGTTGACGCTTCTGAAACAGAGCCACGGAGTCGTGCCTCGGACCAGACATAAAGGAGCTTTGGCGCGCGAGCACACTAGGCTCTCCGGGCCTCGCGGCTGTGAGATGCACAGCGCACTCGCATGAGAGCATCGTGCTGCGCGGCGCCGTCGCTCCCACGACGCTTACCAGGCTGCCCCGCGGACCTTAGTGCGGTCGTGGACACCACACGCACGCGCAAACGGCAGCCGGTACGCCTTCGCCGCGCCACAGGACCATAAAACATGGACCCAGCCAAGTGGACCCCCAGTCTCAACCAGCGCGACGAACTAGATAGAGCTATGAAGACGGCCGGCGTGCTGCGCGAGTGGGCCGCCCTGAAAAGACAGGGCATCATCGACGACGCCGAGTTCCAGGCCATGAAGGCGCGACTTTTAGGCCGGCCGCCCCCGGCGGTGGAGCAAGTCAGCGACGACGAGGAGAAGATCGGCTGGAGCGTGAACAATGATGATGAAGACGCGCAGCGCTGGGCCTCGCGCAACGTGGCCTTTGCTCCGAAGAGGCCGCTTTTGCAGCCGCTCGAGCAGCGCTTGCTGCGCACGACGCCGATCAAGAGGAGGCCCGCGCACAGCACGGGCGTCCAAAGCCGGCCCGCGACGGCCTCTCAAATACCGCCCCCGGCGTCGCCCGAGGAGTGGGACGCGCGCCGGCCGCACACGCGTGGCGAACTGCGAGAGCGCGAGTTCCTGTCGATCGGCTACGCGTCGCCGCCGGCGCGGTCCATGGACGAGGTGCCCTGGAATTCGTCGACGAACACGTGGCGCCTCGGGTCCAGCTGCCCTTCCAAAGTTCGCCGGCCGTGGCAGGAGGCCGACGACGCGGAGGCGGCACCGCCGCCGCGACGGCCGCGCCGTAGGCCGCGGCGCCGCGTCGTGCGACTCGCGCCGCCGCCCGGGATCCGCCCCGCCTCGGCACCAAAGCCGTGGGGCCACCACCGACTGGTTGGCGGCTTCTTTCCCCCCGCGCCGCTGGAAGGCCGGCACGGCGTTTCTCCCGGGGCCGTTGGTAAGTTTCGCGGCTGATGCGTGTTTCAATTTCGTTGTTAGCTAGCGTTACCGATACTAGCAAAATCGAGAGGGCAAAAAAACGCTGGGCTGGGCCAAAGCAAGCAGTGATCACCGTTTCATATTGTATTGCTGTATATCAGAGTCTGCGACAGCGGCACCAGACCGTCAAGCCATCTCGGCCCGCCCGACGCGGTACCCAGCAGCCTAGAAGACACTCACTGCTGAGAGCAGCGTACGGGCGCAAGCAGCCGTAAGCGCTCACTAAAAAAAAAAGCAAGCCGCCCCTAAAAAAGAAGATGGCAAAATATGAACACAGAGACGCGGACAACCGCTGGCACGCCTTCTCGGACGCGGACAACCAAGTCATCGAGGACGCCTACCGCGCGAACAAGAATAAAATCCTCCTCACGATGCCGCAGAACCCGCCCGGGCTGCGCGAATTCGAAGTGCGGTTCGGCGACAACGCGCGGAGCGAGCGCATGCCGCGGCCGCCGTCGACGAAGATCATCCAGGTGAACGTCGCGAGCGGCGCGACGCGAATAGTTAGAAGAATTGCGTCCCCAAGAGGATCCAACTCGGCAGCAATGACAAGAGCCAGTTCCTTCGCCGACGACCCGGCGTTGTATGGGTGGCTTTTGCGAAGAGCGACGTCCGGGTGGCGGCGCGGCGCGTGGCAGCGGCGATTTTTCGTCTTGGTGCCCAAGAGCAGCTGCCTCCTCTACTTCCACCGGGGCCTGCACACGAGAGAGGTCCAATTATGCCGCAACGCGGACCCGTCGGCGCCGGCCGCTAGAGGTACCATACCTCTCGCGAACGCGATGGTCTGTACTGATGACGTCGACGGCTCCAAGCAGCACTCCTTTTCGATAGCGGTGCCCGGCGGCTTCGAGTATGATCTCGCCGCCCATTCCGCGGCGAAGAAGGAGGCGTGGTTGGATCAATTAGTACGAGTGGCGCGCGGCGACGACTTAATACCAGCACCGCCGCCGACGCCGGCGAGACCTCAGGGCGGCGTCGTGCGCGCGACGACGGGCGCGACGCTGCCGCTGGGCGCGGCGGCGGGCGTCGCGCCACTGCCGGCCGTGCGGGCGCCGCCGCCACCGGCAAACCCGTTCGCCGCGCCGGCGAACCCCTTCGCGTCTTCAACAACAGCATCACCGGATCCCTTCGGCGACCACGTCCTCGCGCCGGCGCGCGCGCCCGTCCCTCCACAAAGACCGGCCGCGCAACTACCATCAAACCCCTTCTCGGCGCCGCCGAACCCATTTACATCGTCGACGCCGGCGCCCGACCCCTTCCTCGCGGCCGCCGACGCGTTGGACCCCGCACATGCGAGGGCGCCGCCGCCAACGAACGACCCCTTCGGCGACCACGTCCTCGCGCCCGCGCGCGTCCAGCGCGCCGACTCGAACGTGAGCTCGGAGCCGGCGGACCTCGTCGAGGCGTTCGCGGCATGTGTTGTCGACGACGACGCGCACGAGGACCACTGCGAGTGCGCCGTATGTTTTGATGAACTATACAAAAGGACGCAGGGCGTGTTGTTGGACGACGCGGGGCGGCGGTTATGTCGGCACGTCGTGCACCTTGATTGTTTGAAGGATTTGCCTTCCTATAGAGATAATAACGGTGCACCACTCTGCCCCCTTTGTAGGAGGGCGAGCGCGGGCGTGACAGCTTTACCGTCCATCTTCGACGATGCGAGGAGGTGGTTCGATCTCGTCGATCTAGATAGGAGCGGTCAAGTGGCCGCCGAAGATGTCCTAGCCACCCTCAAAGCCCAATTACCGGTGGACGAGGAGGCGATCGACGCGCGGTGGGATTCACTGTGGGCGCACTTCGACCATAACGGCTCGGGTACTCTTGCCTATGACGACATCGCCGCCCCAGAAAGAGGTCTCGTGGCCTTTTTAGAGAGAGCGGGGTTGAACAAGGCGACTCCGAAGACGCCGCGACCGCCGCCCCCGAAACTCGAGAGCGAGCCGGGCGCCTGGTTCGACTATTGGGACGAAGACGGGGTTGGATATTTGGAGGAGGGCGAGGTGCTTAGGGCTTTGGTCCACTCTTTAGAAGTGAGAGGTGATCGGGGGCAAGTGCGGGGCACGGCGGAATTAGTTAGAGCTTGTTTAGCCGCGTGCGACATTCAGAGTCGAGTTACAAGAGAAGACTTTGTGCGCGAGGACGGCCTGGCTACTGTGGTTGCGGAGAATTTGGGCTTGAGGTCCTTCCGGACGGAGACGCCGCGGCCCGTCGAGCCGACAAACTACGACATCTCCGTGCGCACGAACGGCGGCCGGACCTTCGCGGCGACGGACTTCCCCGCGGGCATTCTGTCGGCCGACACGACCGTTGAAAGTTTGCGGTCGATGATCGCCCAGTTGTCGGACTCGCGGCCGGAGAGCATCCGGTTGGTCAATCGAGGGAATGTATTAAGGGACGACTCGTTATCTTTACGGGACGCGGGCGTCCGGCCCGGCGACCAGTTGATGTTGGTTGTGATGGCCGGGGCGACGCGCCATGCGACGCGGCCGCCGGCCTACTCCGCGCCCGCGCCGGCGCCGCGGCCGCCCGCCTATTCGGCGCCGGCGCCGGCGCCCGTCGTGCAGGCCACGCGGCCAGCGCCGGCGCCGGCGCGCCGGAGGACGACGGTCCGCGTGCCGGCGTCTGCGGGTCCTGGCTCCGTAATGACGGTGCGCACGCCGACGGGCGAGACCGTGCGCGTGACGGTCCCCCAAGGCGTCTACGCGGGTTCGACCTTCGAGTTTGAGTACGGCGGCAACGCGGCGCCTCCTCCGCGACCGCCACGGCCCCACACGCCACCGCGGCCGCCGCCCGCCGGCGGCGCGCAGCTCATGCGCGTCCAGGTGCCGCCCAATTCCGGCCCGGGTGCCTCGCTGACCGTGAACGTTCCCGGCCGCGGCGCGCACCGCGTCACCGTGCCGCCGAACGTCCGCGCTGGGCAATATTTCCAGTTCCGAGTCCACTAGCCGATCATAATTTAAGATGTTGTAGATAGCCGGGGTACATTAGGCCTCGGTCGCGGGAGAAGGGGAGGGAACAGTTGCACAGGGCCGCGTCTTCAGCGGAACGCCGTCGACGCGTCGTCGCCAAAGGCACTGGACTCGTTGAACGCGGAAGCGCCCGCCGCCGCGAAGGGGTCGGCGCCGCCAGGTGCGGGCGAGCCCCAGTTCGAGAAGCCGCTCGGCGCGGGCGGCGCCGCCGCGGCGAACGGGTCGGGTTTAGGCGGGATCGAGCCCGTCCGCGGCGGCACCTCCTTCTCCGGAGGCTTCTCGAAGGCCAGAGCCGCTGCCGTAGCGCCGCCCATGCCCGATGAGAAGCCGTAGGACGGTGATGCAGGCGTCCTGGGTGCCGTGTAGGCCGGAGTCACAGTGTCCTCGTCGTCGCTCGAGTTGACGATGTGTTGGATTTTGCTCGGCGGTGGTGCCATCATCGCGGCTGGCGGTGGCGCCATCGCGGCCGGCGGTGCCATCATCGGCGCCGTCGCGGCCGGCGCCGGTTTGGAAGGCGCAGCTGCTGTCGCGAGGAACGAGGCCGCCGCGGCGTCGGCATCAGAAGCGGCCATGGGCGGCGGTGGCGCGGGCAGCTCGGGCGGCGGGCCGGCGGGCGGCTTCATCATCATCGTCGGCGGCGGTGCCATGGCCGCTGGAGGCTGTGATGGCGGCGGCATTTGCGCCGGCGGCGGCGTCATAGCCGCGGGAGGCGCGGCTTGAGGAGGCGGCGCCGCGACCGGAGCGGGCGGCGCCGCGACGGGCGGCGCAGCCGGCAGAGCTGCGACCGGATCGGCAGCGAACGTAGCGGGCGCGGCCGCCGGCGTCATTGGCGAAGGCGGCACCGACGGCGGCTTTGGCGAAAACGCGCCCGCCATCGCGCCCATGCCAGCGAAAGGATCCTTGTCAAACACGCCCGACGCGCGGCGCTCGGCGGAGGCGTCGGGCGTCAGGTGCGTCGGCGGCACCTCGCGCGGCGTGGGCGCCTTGGCAGGCGTCGTCGAGGCCGGCGCGGCCGGAGCTGGTGGCGCTGCTGGCGGAGCAGCCGGCGCCGCGGGAGGCATCGGCGGAACGTTCGTCGGCATCGGTGGCGCGGCCGGCATTGCCGGCGGCGGCGGCGGAGCGACGCGCTGGGCGAGGCCTGGCACGTCGCGGACGACGGCCCAGCTCGCGGCAACACCGGCCGCGAAGACGAGGCAGCCCGCGTGCGTGTCGCCCTTGGCGTGCGCGGCCTTGTACTCGGCCCAGCCCGAAGGTCCTTTCTGCTGGCCCGCGGCGTCCTGCCAGTGGTACTGCGCGTTCTCGAACCGGGCCGCCTCCGGGTCCGCGGGAGGCGAGGGCGGTGGCGGGGCGGGCGGCGCGGCAGGTGGCGGCGCGACAGGCTGTGCCGCGACGGGTTGTGTCGCAACGGCTTGCGGCGCTTGCGGCGCGAGTGCGGCGACTGGATCGGGCGCAAAGGACTCCGGCGCCGCCGCGGCTCCGGGCTGCGGGCTTCCCATCATGCCAGCGAACGGGTCGTCAGCGCTAGCCCTGGGCGTTTGCATGGGCGCGGCCGGTGCGGCCGGCGCCGCGGGCTCCGGTGCGGCCGGCGCCATGACGACAGCCGGTGCAGCGGGCTCCGGCTCGGCTGGCGCTTCGACGGCGGGCGGTGCCGCAGTCGGCGGCGCGGCCGCGACCGGCGGCGCGGCCGCGACCGGCGGCGCCAAGCTCCCGAGTGCGGCCGCCTCGAGCGCGGCGCGGGGCGACGTCGCCTGCGACCCGGTCATTCCCGCGAAGGGGTCCGTCGGCGTCGGCTGCGCGGTCGGCGGCTCGACGGCGACGGAGCTCGTCTCTTGCGTCGTGAACGACGTCACCGAGCCGCTCGGCGGCAGGGACGCCGTGCGCGGCGCCGAGGCCGCCGGCGCGGACGCGGGAGGAGCGGCCATGGCCGGAGGCAAGGACACGGACCTTGGCGCCGCGTCCATGTCACCCATGCCCGCGAACGGGTCGCTGGGCGCCATCATCGCCGGAGGCGGCGGCGTCGGCAGCGCCGCGGCCGCGTCCGGAACGTCCGGAGACGTGATCGGCGGCGGCGGCGTCGAGTCGAACGACGCACTCGAGGGCGGCGGCGGCGGCGGAGTGCGCTGCTGCACGGGCGGCGGCGCTGATGCGCCGGCGACGGCGGCCATCACGCCCGACGCGGCCTCGGAGATGTAGCCGAGCGGGCCCGAGTCCGAACGATCCCGCTTCGGAGAGAAGGCCTCGACGGGCTGCTCTTCTTCGGCCGCCGACACGACGCGGCTCGACGACCTCACAAGGGGTACCGGCGGTGTGGGAACCAGGGGCGCCGCCAGCACCTCATGTACTTGCCGCGGCGTCACCTCGGGCTCGCGTGGCGGCGGCGGCGGCACCATCGGGGCGAGTGGCGGCGCCGCGGCGAGCGCCGCGGCCGGCGGGCCCGACGCGAGCGAGGCGAAGGGGTCCTTCACCACCGGCGCCGGCTCGGGCTCCGGCTCGCGCGGCGGCGGCGGCGGAGGCATGCCTTGCTGCGGCGGCGGCGTTAGTTGCTGCGGCAAGCCTGGCTGTTGCGGCGGCGTCAGCTGTTGCGGTAGGCCCGGATGTTGCGGTGGCGGGAAGCCTTGCTGCTGTTGCGGGAAGCCCTGCTGTTGTTGCGGCGGGAACCCTTGCTGCTGCGGCGGCGGAAATCCTTGCGACTGCGGCGCCATCATGCCCTGCTGCAGCGGCGGCGCCATGCCCGCCATCCCGGCGAACGGATCAGCCGGATCGGCCGCCTGTGGCGCGCCCGGCGGCGGCGGCATCATCATCGCAGCCGAGCCGTCGGGTGGCATCATCGCGCCTGGCGGCGGCGCCATCATCGCCGCCGAGCCGGCGTGTTGCGGCGGGCCCGGCGCCGCGAAGGCGGTGTCGGGCGGCATCATCGCCGACGGTGGCGGCATCATCATCGCGGGGGGCGGCGTCGCCGAGTCGTCGGGCGTCGGCGGCGGCGCAGCAGGTGGCATGGGCGACGTCCCAGCGGACGACGCGGCCGGCGTCGCCGCGGCCATGCCGGCGAACGGGTCGGCAGGTTGCGCGGCCGCGGCCGCGGGCTGCGGCGGCGCTGGGGCAAAGGCCGACGCTGCTGTGTTGGGGCTAAACGAGCTGGCATCGCCGAACGCGTCCGCCGCGGGCTGCGCGGCGCCCCAGGTGCCGCCGACGGCCGGCGGTGTGGGCGCCGCGAAGGGATCCGCCGAAGCCGCCGCGCTTGCCGGCGTTGCGGGTGGAGCAGCGAACGGGTCGGCCGCGCTTGGCCGCGGCGGCGGTGCAGGTGGAGCCGCGAACGGATCGGCGGCCGGCGGCGCGGCCGGCTGCGGCGCCTGAGGCGCAGCGAAGGGATCGGCGGCCGGCGCAGCGGCGGGCTGCGGCGCTGCCGGCGCTGCGAACGGGTCTGCGGCCGCCGGTCGGGCCGGCGGCGCGGGCGGCGCCGCGAAGGGGTCGGCGGCCGGCGGCCGCGGCGGCAGGGTGGGCGACGGCGGCGCAGCAAACGGGTCCGTCTGTGGTACTGGCGCGAAGGCGTCGGGAGCTGACGCGGAAGCCGACTGGCGCGACTCCTCCATCGCGCGCGCGAGCATCGCCTCCTCCTGCGACGTCGACGTCGGCGCCTCGTCCAGCGTCGTGTGCTGGTCCGCGATGGCCTGCCGGATCTGCGCCGCCTCCGCGGCCTCGCGGTGGCGCTGCAGCGAGGCGGCGCTCAGCGAGGCCGAGTCGTCCATGCCGCTGGCCGCCCCTCTCCGTTGGAGCTGGGGCCCGCCGGCGAACTGCAGCGCGTCCGTCGGTGCAGCTGAAGGCGCCTCGCCGTTCTGGTGCTTGAAGGCCGCGAGTTCGACGGCTACCGTGGCGAAGTACGGTAAGCCGGGATTCGACGCGTACGTCTGCTGCCACGTCTCGATGAGCTGCCGCGCGCCCTTCTGGAGCTGCGACGGGCGTCTATCGCAGGCCTGCTTGAGCATGACGGCCATGAACTTCTTGCCGCCGTCGCCCGCGCCCACGGCCTTCTGCGCCGCCGGCGACGCCGCGACGACGCGGCCGGCGACGCCGCACGACAACAGCGCCACATCATAATTCCGGTCGGCGGCCTGCAGTTTCTTGCGCAGGTGGCGGACGCCCGCCTCGGCGACGGACGGCGGGCTTCTGCTGAAGGCGTCGGCGCAGGCCTGGATGAGCTCGTCGCTCGGCGGCGGGTGCGTCGCGAGGTCGACGGAGCGCTCCAACGCCTTCGCGGCGGCCTTTTCGTTGCCGCGCAGTGTTGGTGCGGCGCTCTTCGTCTTGGAGAGCATGGCTGCTCCCGTCTACGCGCTCGCGGCGGATTCTATGGCTGGAGGTCACTGGACCACTTTGCAGCCAGTACGGCGTGTGAGGCCGCGCGCGCGCGGTGGCCGGTCCCGCGTGATCCAGACGTACTACCGGACGAGTCCTGTGGCCTGCGCACCTCGATTACGCTGGGCTTTGCTTGCCCAAAAATGTGAATTTTGCGGGGGGGCGGCCAGGACCCGCACGAAACCAAACATGCAAAGGACGCTACGAACCCCTCCTTCATACGCCTCCGAGGCGCGTTGTAGGATTCGTTCGGCGGGAGTCCAGACTTTGGCAAGCCTTTTGAGGCAGTGCAAAGCCTCTATTGAGTGCTTGCATTGCTCGCGCGAGTCGTACCGCTGGAAGCGCACTCTCGGCGAACTCATCTCCTGATTACGCATTATCGAATTGCAAGAGCACAGCGTCCTTGCCTCGCCCCATCTGGTTGTTGCAGCCTGCTCTCCTGCAAAAGTGCTGCTGCATTGCACGATGCCGACGCGATATAACTGCGTCTTGGTGCTCACCGCAGCCTGCTACGATGCCTTTACGACAAGACCATCGCTGCGCTGTGGGAGACAACTCATGCGCGCCATCCCTCCGGCGCTCGAGGCCGACATCAAAAGCTACCTCGCCGTGCGCGACCAGGCGCTGCGCACGAACACGACGGTCGACCGCGGCCAGGAAATCAGGGAAGGCACGGAGAACAACCCGGTCTGGCAGGGCGCGAACTACCTGTTGAGTCTCGACACGTTCCTGCCCAAGGACGGCAACCTGGATGAATATGGAAGAGTGAAGGAAGTCGACGCGCTGTCCTACACCGAGCTCGAGAAGTACGGCTTCGGCAAGCTCGTGCAGCCGATCATGGACGCGGGCGGCTACGCGGCCGTGTCGAAAGCGCTGGGCGTCGCCGTCAGCGCGCCGCGCGCGCCGCCCGTGCCGTCCGACGACGTCGTGCGCGAGGGCCCGCAGCGCGGCGTTTCATTGGGAGGCTCCATCGAGGAGAAGATGGCGGAGATCGGCAAGCTGAACGCGACTCAAATAAAACTCGACAAGGAGGCGAAGGCAGCCGCGAAGGCGGCGCGGGCGGCGCGGGCCGCGGCGCCCAAACCGCCACGCGAAGAGCTGGTCGTGCGGACGACGCGGCGCCCCAAGAAGGTCACCGAAGCGCCGAAGGTCGAGAAGCGCGAGTGGCCCGCGGCGGCGGCGCCGCTGTCGCTTGGCTTCGCGCCGCGCGCCTACGCGGTCTTGGCGTTGTTGTTAGTAGGGGCGCCGGGCGCGCCGGCCACGGCGCAGCTCCTGCAGCAGGTCGGATTGTCGGGCGACCTCGGGGACCTGGCGCCGGTCGGCGCGGCGGTGCTCGCGGCGAACGTCGCCGCGGCGGGCGTCGTGGTTTTTCGTGGGTCCGAGCGCCCGGCGTTCGCGGCCCTCCGAGCGCTCGTCGGCGGGCCGCTCGTGCTGCTGGAGGAGGGGGGTAAGTAGCAGGCGCTCAGGACTCGATGCGGACTTGAGCAGGACTCTGGAGGACTTGAACAGGACTCCGGAGGACGCGAGCACGACTGTGAAGGACTAGAGCAGGACTCTGGCGGACTTGAGCAGGACTCCGGAGGACTTGAGCAGGACTCCGAAGGACTTGAGCAGGACTCCGACGGATCCGAGCCGGACGGCGGCGGACGGCGGCGGACCCCGAGACGGACTTTGGCAGACGGCGGCCGGACCCTGGTTCGAACCTGGCGGACCCCAGACGGACTGAGCCGGACGGCCCAGGACGAAACCAAAAAGTAGCTCGCAAGTACCATCAGCTGGGCAACAACCGGCAGCGGGCAGCCTTCACCGCTGCTGTGCATTAGCACCCAAAAACAAACTGGTGGGGATACTCCTAGCTCGACATCGTCAAAAAAACTGGTGGGCAGCCCATAACATCGTCAAAACAAAATGCAGCCCTCACCACGTCCCTCCCCGCGCCTCTCACCGCGCATCAGCATCCCCAAGCTGCCCATCGGCGGCGGGCTGCGCTCGAAGACGCTCGACGAGAAGCGCAGGGCGTTCCAGGAGCGCCGCCGGAAGGCCGCCGCCGAGCGCGCCGCCCAGGCAGCGCGCGCGCGCGCCGCCGCCGCCGCATCCGACGACGGCGGCCTGAGCCAGCAGCACCAGGAGGTGCTGATGAAGCTCATGGAGGAATTCCCAAATGAAACGCCGGAGGAGCTGAGCGCGCGCTTCGCGGAGATGATGCGGACCGGCGGCGTGGCGCCGCCGCCGTCGATGGTGCCCGTCGACCCGCAGCGCCAGCAGCGCGTCCTCGAGGAGCTGCTCCAGCAGTACCCCGACAAGCCCCTCGAGGAACTGGCGATGATGGCGACGGAGCGCCTCGAGGGCAAGGCCCCGGCGACACCCGCAATGCCTGGAATGCCCGCGATGATGCCCGGGACGCCGGGGACTCCAGGAATGGGCGCGCCGATGGGAATGCCAGGAATGCCGTTCATGGGGATGGGTCTCCCCGGCATGCCGTTCCCCGGAGCCGCGACGCCGGGCGCGCCCTGGGACGACGCCCAGCCGCAACCCACGAAAAAGGCGCCGGCCGAGACGCCGGAGCAGGCGCAGAAACGAGCGCGCGCGCGCGCGCGGCGGGCGAACCCGGACGCGACCGAGGCCGAGCTCGACGTGCTCGCCTTGGACCACGTGCCCCAAGCGCGGAGCGCCAAGCGGCCGCCCGCGCAGCGGACCATGACGCCCGCGGAGAACTATCGGAGGGCCGTGGCGGACGTCAAGCGCGAGCGACCGGGTTTAGGGGATCCCGAGGCCGTCGGCCGCGCGGCGTTGAGCAAATTGCAGTCGCCGCGGGCGGCGGACCGGAAGACCGAGGCGGCGCTGGAGGCGCTGCGGGCCCTGCCGCCCGCGAAGCGCCAGCAGAAGATCTTGCTGGACTTGCTGGAGGAGTTCCCGGACCGGCCCTTGGAAGAACTCGCCGCGGAGGCGGCCGCGCGGCTCGACGCCGTCGCGCGGCCCCCAGGCGCGGAGCCGGGCGTCGACGCCGATTTAATAAAAGAGCTCGCGCGGCGCCACCCCGACAAGTCGCCGGCCGAGGTCGCCGCCGTCGCGACGCGCATCGCCGCCGAGCGCGCGACGCGGGACCGTACGGCCGGTAGTAATGCTGCGGCCGCGTCCGTACCGAAGAAGAAGACTTCGGGCGGTCTGGAGACGATCGAGGAGTCACCTAATGAAAAAAAGAAGCCGCCGCCCGTCGATAAAGCTGCCCTCGAGGCCTTCGCGAAGATGCAGAGCGGCGGCAAGGCCCCGGGCATTGATGAAGTGAGGGAGCTCGTGTGCCGCACTTTGCGGGACGACCCCTTCGCGGATCCCGATAAAAAGGACCCGGGGCTTCTGAGTGACATGGCGAAGCTCGGCGAGGCCGGCGTCGCGCGCGTCGAGGCGCGCGAGAAGGCTTTGGCCGAGGCGTCGGAGCGACGGAAGGCGACGCGCGACGCGCTGTCGCAGGCCCAGGTCGTCGAGAACAAGATGATGGCGCGCGTTTTGAGGGGGTCAAGCCAGGACGTCCAATTGCTCGTGCGGCACCCGGGCCTCTGGGAGCGCTGGCTCGGGAAGCTCCGGAAGCGCGGCTTCTTCGACGGCGTCGACGAGGGGTCGCCGGAGTTCGACGAGCGCGTCCGGAAGGCGTTGCGGGCGTTTGCGCGGAGTCCCGGCGTGCGGGAGTTCGACTCTGGATAAGTTATGTAGTATCTCTCCGAGTCGGCACCTTCGCCGCCCCCGGCCCTTGGCTTATGATGTGATGACTCAACCCCTATTGCTGTGAATACACATAGTACGGACCCCGAGCGCTTCGCCACTGTGTCTTGTAGGCCCTAGTACATGTCAGACCTCCACGCCACCCGCCTCGGGCGACGTCCGCGAGGTCACGCGCATCGAGAGAATCGGCGCCCACTCGCACATCCGCTGCCTCGGTTTAGACGACTGCCTCGAACCCAGAAAAGCCTGAGAGCCACGACCGGAAGTAGAATTATACAAAACAATGTCCATTATACGTATCAACAGGGCAGGCAATTTGTGTGGTGGTGTAACAGGACCTCAGTGGAGGACAAGCGCGTCTCGCGCGCGCGAGGTGAATTGACAGTCTCAGAAGTTCGACGACCGGCGCGTGGTCGGCGAGGTCGGCGCAATGTCGATCGGGGGAGACAGGTAGGGCACGACGATCAACGCAGGCACCCGCTGTGCAGACTCCGTCTCGTCCAGTTCGAGGTACTGGCCCCAGACGCCGTCGTCGCCCTCGAGCGGGTCGTCGCCGTCGATCGAGAGCCGCCGCGGCGTATGCACGACGTCGTCGTAGCTGCGCTGGATGATCGTCGTCGCGCCCGGTTCGCCGTAGCCGTCCGGCGAGTACGCCACCTTGATGGGCGCGGGCTCGAGCGTCGGCGGCGTGACGGCGAGGACGGGCTCGGGCTCGACGCTGCTCGCGTCGGGCGGGTCGAGGACGAACTGCTCGCTCGAGAGCGAGTCCGTGAGCTGGCTGATGACGGCCGCTTCGCCAAGGGCTTCGAGGCCGTCAAAGGCATCATCGCGTCGTCGGCCGTCAGCATCCACGTCGTCATCTTGACGCCGCCGTGGCGGCGAGCGCGAGCGCGGCGAGCGGTTGGCTCGCCCGGTCGAATTGGCCCGCCACGACCCGCCGCGTCGCCGACCCTGGCGCTTCTTGCGCGGACTGCTGCGGAGCGCGATACGCAGCGAGTTGCGCATCTCTTTGAGCCCGGAGACGACGCTCGTCACAATAGAGCCAGGACTATTTTGGAGCGCGGTCCGCGCCCCGGACCTCTTCAATTTGCGCGGAATTGTGGCTTGTCATCCGGCGCTTCGCGTACGTTTTAAGTACGCCGCGACAGCGCAGCTCTCTGACGTGTCTAGATGTGTTTTTGGCAGCTAGTTTGGACGCCGCGGCGCGGTTTTTTTCGAATTTTGTTGTCGAGTTGGGGAACTGCGTATATGGAGATTCCCTGCCGCAAGCTTGCTGCTCGCTCAAGCGTGTGTGGCGGCGCGCGGACGCCGTCGAACAATAGAGCATCGGTGAGGCCTCATGCATCATCGCATGGGGCAGAAGCTGATTGGCTGTTGTATTCTGAAAGATGACAGTAATGATACAAACAGGGAAGCTTATCAAGACACAACTGCTTCTCTTCTAGAAGCAGAGGGGCGCCCGCGGCCGCGGCACGTCGATTGACGCCGACAGCTGCGGCACGATCAGGATGGCGGGCGAGCGAGGAGTTCGCGGCTCCTCGTCGTCCTCTAAATCTAGGAATTGGCCCCACGCGTCATCGGCGTCGTCGTCCTGGCTGTCGCGGGACACGCGGCGGACATCGTAGCCCCTTTGGATGACCGTCGCGCCGTCCGCATCCTCGAGCGACGCCGTCGGCGTAATGACCGCCCTGGTCGACTCGTCGCTGTCCTCGGGCATGTCTAACTGGAACAGCTCGGCTGAATCGTTGTCGAGACGCGCCCGCTCCATTTTTTGGGCGAGCATCGCCATCATGCGCTCGTCGTCAATTGGCTTGTCAGCCTTCTTTCCCTTCCGTACGAGAGACCGCCACTTCGAATTCGCGTCTCTCCGCTGCTTGCGCGGTGACCGTCCCCGCAGCGCGACGCGTATAGACCGTCTCATCCTCTTGAAAAACGACTTGCTTGGCTTCGGTCGCGCGTCCTGGATAGACTCGCAGAGCTGCTCGGCGACTTGGGTCTTATTACCTAGCACAGAGCGCAGGTTCACCAGCTTAGCTGGCCTTCCGGTCTGCTGTTGCTCTTTTTGCGGCGCGTCTTTTGCAAAATCGCAACTCCGGATGCCCCGCAGGGATCTTGTTGCACGTGAACGCCTCGTGGTTGCTTATTATGCAATTGCAGCAGCTACACGCGGCGTGTGTCACTTGCCCAATCTCATCGAGCTGGACACGAACTCGGCACAGGCCCGGCCTTAGTCAGATCTTAGACATTCTCCACCCAAGAAACGGACTCCGTGCACCTCTCTCGACACAGTCGGGACACTCTCGAGCACGGCGAACCGCAATGCTGCTGCAAAGCCCGAAACGCGAGCCGCGAGCGGACCGCGCAAAGATAAAAACAGAACATCTTAAGCATACACCGCCGTCCGCGGCCGCTGGTCCGAACTCTCGACGACCACCGACCCCTCGTCGATGAACAGGCACGACTCTTCGACGTCGTTGTAGATGCGGTGCCTCTCGCTGTCGACGACGGGCTGCGCGTTCGTGAAGAGCACGGTTTGGCCTTGCGAGGCCTCCGGCGCCCGCTTCAGAACCCCGCGATAGACGAGGACGTCGTCGACGAAAACGTCGAGCTCCCGCACGCCGCGCGCCGGCGTCTTGGCGTAGTTCCAGAGCGTCAGGCGCGAGATGGCCACGGCGGCATCAAAACACACGAAGATGGCATTCGTCTCCGTGAACGGCGCGAGCCACGAGTGCTTTTCTTCTCCTTGGTTCTTGCCATCGATCAGCTTGTCAAGCGTGCGCGCCTGTGTGGAAATCAAATCTACGACGCGTTCGTCCTGAATCGCCGCGTCGACCTCCACGCCATCGACGCGACACCTGCTCGATGGCGTGGCGATGTCGGTTCCTCACCGCTCGACGGAGCCAGCGCGGCCACGTCATCGCCGAGAAATGACTAAGTGAAGAATTGTCGGGTGCACCCGACACGCTGGTTGATTTCCACACAGGTGCGCGCATCCTTGCGACTCTCGTTTTCCGGCAGCACATTCAAATCGCGCGGTTCGGCATGGACGCATTCGGCGTCGATTGGTATGACGCGGCCCTCGGCGTCGGCGAGCTCGAGGCCTGACAGCCCCACATAGTGGCCGTCGCCGTGCGTCGAGAGCAAACATAGCTTGAAGATGCAGCCGCAGGGGAAGAGCGGCGTCTCGTACTGCTGCGGCACGAGGCACACGTTGTTAGGAGCGACGCGAGCGACGGACACGCCCGACAGCGACTCCATGAGCATGGATTCGTCGTCCCAGTCGGCCTCGGAGAGCACGGACTGGTGGTCGTTCTCCTTGTTGAAACTGACGTCGTCGAAGCGCCTTCCCTGCTGTTTGTGCACGGGCGTGTTCACAGAAGTGCTGCCCGGCGAGAAGTCGACGAATTGCCCAAAGTCGAAACTGTCGTTTCCAGGAGCTTTACGGATGAGAAAGCCCTCTGGAGGCGAGAGCCGGCGGCCGTCCAGCCTGCGTGAGTCAACGTCGCGTTGATGGCGGGTGGCGCCGAGAATTTTGATTCTACACTGCGTCGAGCGTCACGGCCAGCCGCCGCACGCCGACGTAGGTACCCTCGAGGCCAGCGTTATAGTTCCAGACCTTCAGCGCTCCTACGGTAGTGCTCTGGCCCAGGTCGACGAGGATGCGTAGCGTCGCGGCGACCCGTTGCGTAGAGACGGCCCACATCGTGCTCGGATCGGTAGAGACTTGAGGCGGCGCGGCTAGTTGGTCCAAATCGCCGATCGTGTCCTCTTGAATCTCCTCCGTGCCACCCTCGAGCCGTGCCGGCGAGCCGGGCGGCGACGACCGGAGGCCCCGCAGCGACGTGTGCGAGGGACTCTTCAACACCTCAAAGTTCTCGTCGAGCACTTCGAGACCAGCCAAGCCGACGAAACAGGGGTCGCCCCAGTTCGAGAGGATCCTCAGCTCCAGGCGCCGGCCGCGCGGCAGGTCCGTCGTCCGATGGGGCTGCGCCGTCGAGGGCCGCGACCGCATCGCGACCGGCGTTGATGCCTTCACAACCTCGCGCCTTTGTAGAGGCTTCGAGCTTATATCGAGTGACAAGCTCGAGGCTTTATACGCCTCGCGCGGCGCCTTGACATTTGTGGGCCGCTTCTTGCGGTTGCGGGAGGCGCCCCGGTTGCCGCACGACGTCTTCGGGCGCTCGTCGGTCCAGGCGTCGGGCGTCGACTCGCGCACTGCAGGTTTTGCGGCTCGTGTCACGGCGGCGGACGCGCCGGGGCGATACTCCGCGGACGACACTCGAGGCGGCGGCGTCGTCGGCGTCGCGCACCGGTCGTTCTGTTCGATGCGCCGCAGCGTCTCCTCGTCCGTCGTGAACAGGATGCACTCGCTACAATCATCCGTCAGCGGGCCCGACGCCCGCCGGATTTCGCCCTTGAAGATGGCTCGGTTGTCAAGCATCATCTCCGCGTAGCGAACGCCTCTATATGAATGGATCCTTGATTTATTGTAGTTCCAGAGCCGGACCATAGCTATGGTCGTCGTGCGAGTGAACCGTAATCCGACGTGGTGGTGCTGGCCCCGCGTGAACGGTGCGAGCCACGCATGTAAATCATCGCCGGTGTGGTTTACGCCATCTAACAGGTTCTCTACGACGCGCGGGTCGTCTTCGTTACCGGGCAGCACATTAATGTCGGGCGGGTCGGCCCAGACGTCCTCTACTGGTACTAATTCGCCGCGCTCGTCGAAGACCTCGAAGCCGGCTAACCTGTGTGCAAATCAACCAGCGAGTCGGGTGCTAATCGAGCTGGCGTCGCGTCGATGGCGTGGAGGTCATGATTTATGCTCTGCAGCTAACCCGACGTAGTGAGGGTCCCCCCAGGTCGACAGCACGTTCAATAATAACTCGCGGCCCCGCGGCAGCTCCGGAATTACGAACATAGAGCTCGGCTGCGCCTCCAGGTGTCCGTCGCTGTGTTCGACGACCTCTTTTACCGAAAAGAGCGACGACGCCTCTTCTTGCGTAGTGTCGCAATTCACAAAATGCACGTGGTCCGAGGGCTCCTCTTCGAGTCGCCGTCCCAGGTTCTTCCGCCCGAACAGCCGCAAACTCTCCCAGGACTCGGTCAGCGACCGCGGCGGCGCGCGCTCCTTTTTCGTAGGCGCGCTGCGGCGGCGCGGCCGCCTCGCAGGCTTTGGAGCCTGCGCTGTCGGCGCGACGATGGGCGCCCGCGGTCGACTCGTCGGCGCGGCGCCGTCGATCAAATGGGCTGCCCGCTGCCGCGGCGGCAGCGCCGGTACGCCGGGCTGGCCCTTTAGTTCGGACATCCAGCTCGGTACGGAGGACGGCCGCTGGCCCGGCGTCGTGTTTGGGTTCGGAGGCTCCATTTTGCGGTCCGGAGGGCTGCCTTGGACCCCTTTTACAGCCGCAACGACTCCAAACTAGCTCGGCTCACACTGAACCCGATTTGAACGTATTTGAATGGCGTGATCATTTTGCTTCTCTAAGACGGTTCCTTGACCTCTCGTGGACCGCTCCGAGAGATGCCTCCTCTCGGTTCCATCGGTCCGCCGCACATCTTTTTGCTGGGGGAGAGGTTGACGGACGTGCCTAGCTGCGCTGCCAATCCGGCCTGATACGGGTGCTCCGCGGACCGCTGCGGCGCGAGCGCACGCCCGGGCAGCGCTGGCTACGGCGGTGGCAGCGATGGCGGACGACGCGGGCAGCCGAAGGGGCAGCGCCGTGACGAGCGCGTCGCGGCGGAGCTCGCGCCGCCGCAGCAGCGCGTCGGTCGTGCTCGGCCTCCTCACGGGCCGGCGCCGGTCGTCCCAGCTCGCGCAGATACGACCGGAGCTCGTGGAAGCGACGGTCGCGGGCGTGGCCCTGCGCCTGAGCGCGAACCAGCCCGTCGACGACGGCGATTTGGACAGCCTGCCCCAGCACGACGTCGTCCAGAAGCTCTGCGCGACGCTCGACGACGCCTTCGCGGCGCTGGGCCACTACTCGGACCAGGACGGCTACGCGCCCTTCGCCCGCCTCACACCAACTAATAGGGGCCTGAAGCGGTTCCTCGAGCGATACGACCGCTTGAGCCCGGACGAGTGGACGGAGCAGGAGGCGCAGGCCGTCGAGTACGCGGCGCGGGCGGTGGCGGTCGCGGCGCGCGCGGAAGCCAGGCGGGTCCAGCGCGAGCCGGGCCCGGCGCTGGCGGAGTTGCGGCGACGGTTCCGCGAGGGGCCCCTCGCGCACCTCGAACGAAGCGTCCAGCACGCGCGGACGATGGCGTCGATCGCCGACGGGTCTATTACGTCCAACGACGACGCTCGGGACCGCTGGGACGACGTCGCGGCGCGACTAGGTGCTGTGGCAGCTAGATTGCGGATGATCCGCTGCCAGAGGCAACTCAAGGCCCAGCAGACTTTGAGGGATGACCTCGCGGCCACGTCGAAGCGGGCCGCGTTGGCAAGGAAGCGGCTGAAGCCGCTGGCCGACGCCATCGCCAAACGGAGTAACGGCGTCGTGTCCATCCCGCCCAGCAAAAGTTTATGGAGGATGGCGACGCTCGCGGGATGCGCGGAAGCGTCGCTCGACAGTGATGATGCGCCCTACGAGGCGCCGACGGGCGAGGACGGCGGCGAGACTGATGAGGTCCCGCCGCACTCGCTGCGCGTGCGGCGACGGGCGGCGGGGTCCCAAGACGGTCAGGCGACGCTCGCGGACTTGGCCCGGGACCCGGGCTTTCGTTTATGTTCCCTGCCGGACGTCGCGCGGGCTCGGGTGACCGTGGCGACGCCGTCCCAGCTGTCGCGCGCCATCTTGGCGCTGGAAGAGTGTGATGTTGCGTCCGTCGTGGAAGGGTCGGACGCGGCGAAGAACCGGGTGGAATTAGTGGACTGCGTCGACTGCTTATTTGGGGAGTCCACAACCCCGGGCACCGTCTTCTTCCACTTCCGCTTCGTGGACGACGATGGGGCCACGGCCTTTGTGTGCGAATTACAATTGTGCCTAGGCCAGCTCGTCACGGACGACTGGCGCGCGACGGCAGCCTTCGATGCCTATCGCAGCGCGCGCGAATTTTTAGTAGCGACGGGCAAGGGCGACCTCGTCGATGCCGTCGAAAGCGAAGAGCGCAAGACTGCGGCGACGTCTGAGGCGCCGGCGCCCGCGCCCTACCCGGAAGCCCCTGCCCCTCGGCGCTCGCTGTTCCGCTTCTCGCGGGGCTCGCGCGACTCCGCTCCCCGGCGCCGTTCCTCCGTGCTGAATGCAGTTGCCGCGGCGCTCGGGCGCAGAGGTTCCGTCCAGCCTCAGGAGGACTCCGACGACGACGACGAGCCCGTCCTCGAGGCCGAGGCGCCCCCGGCGCCGTGATTTATCCCCTGTTCGATCCGCCTTCCTTTATTTCCTGTTGTAAGACACAGTATTAGTACACCCCCTTCGACGCGCGCGCGAGCATGCGCTTGTCCTCCCGTTCTTTAATATCCTTCCGCTTGTCTCTTTGAGACTTGCCTCTACACAAGGCAAGGTCCACTTTCAACAGGTTCTTGTCGTTGAAATATAAAGAAAGCGGTATGAGCGTGAACCCCGGGTCGACCATGTCCCCCGCGAGCTTGCGGATCTCGCTCTTGTGTAAGAGCAGTCGCCGCGGCCGCCGCGCGTCGTGCTGGAAGTAGTCGCCCGTCGTTTTGTGTTTCGCAATGTCGACGTTGATCAGCATGCACTCGCCGTTTTCTATTCTCGCGAACCCATCGGCAATGTTCGCGTTGCCGTCTCGACAGCTCTTGACCTCCGTGCCCTGGAGCGCGATGCCGGCCTCCATTGTTTTTATAATTTCATAGGTGAAGCGCGCCTTGCGGTTCGTGGCAATTTTTAATCTCCGGCCGTCGCGCTTTTTTGGTGGAGGCTTTTTGGCGTGCAGTCGATGATGCCGCGTGCGCGTTTGTGGCGCGAGGAATGCTGCGGCCAGTGACAGCAGTGCTACAACACGTCTGGCGTGGGCGGCCGGGCGCGGCATCGTTTCAAGGTCCTCACGCGAGCGCTGCGACGAGCAGGGTGTTGCAGTGTGAGAGAGCAGAGCGTGTTGCGCTTGGCTGCACCCGTTAGCGCTGGCACCGCTGGTTACCAGTGCAATGCAGGCTATATAATAACAACCACTGGGGCAGGTGACAGCGTGCGTAAGGGCTCGTGGTGTGGCGTTTTTGGCAAGTGCGCTCAGCTAGCGGCATGTAACACACTAGCAATTCGGGAGCACCCCTCGCATAAAAGTACCTTTAACGTACCTCCAGGCGGGAGTCTAGGCGCAGCGTTCTTGCTGGGACCGGGTTTCGATCTATTACGCCTTATACTTTACCGGCGGCCTACGCGGCGGGCGCCAAGGCGCCCTACGACACGCCTGACTGCAGCCTTACATGGACACCCCAGAGACGCCAGAAGCTCCAGCAGGCGCCCCCTGGAACCCGCAATACGTAGCGATCGCGATACTACTAGTAGTTGTCCCTGTGGTCTTCTGCCGGCGTAGAGGCGGCGGTTCGTCCGACGAAGATAACTACGAAGTCGACGAGAGCGGGAGGCGGCGCAAAATTATGCACGGCGATCTATAGAATGCGGGCGTTTGTACTCGTCGTCGCTTGTGCGGACGCGTTCTCCTACACGCACCACTTCGAGGCGCTGCCGGCGCCGCGGGGCGAGCCCACGACCGACGAGCGATGCATGACAGTCTGTTATACGGACGATGCTCGTAGGGTAAACCGCTGGCTTCGCGACAATGCTGCCGGCGCCGCCGCCTTGGGATTTGATACGGAGACCGCGTGTGCGTTCCCCGGCCGCAAACCGCCCGCGCCGGGCCCGCACGTGCTCCAGCTCGCCGCGGGGGACGCCTGCCTGGTCGCACATCTGATCTCGGGCGACGTGTGCGCGTCGGGGGCCCTCGCGGACGTGCTGAGCGATCCGAGCGTTGTGAAGGTGGGCGTCGGGCTTGACGACGACGCGGTAGAGCTGTACAATATAGATTCTCGGATGAAGCTAAGCGGCCGGCTGGACATCGGCGGCCCGCGCAAGGGGCGGCGCATCGCCTTGAGAGAGGTCGCCTACCGCGCGATCGGCGGGCCCATCGCGCCCAAGGCCAAGAAGATCGCCTGCTCGAACTGGGCGATGAGACGGCTGCAGACAACACAGCTGGCCTACGCCGCGCGCGACGCGTGGCTGGGCGCCGCCGTCTATGGCGCCCTGGCCGCGGACCCCTCCTTCGTCGACGCCGCCGCGGCGCAGATTCACGGAGAGATGAACATAGCAGAGCTCTCCGCCGTCGCCGCGGACCGACGAGTGATTAAAAGAAAACTGAAGGCGCTCGACGAAGACGCGGAGGACTACGACGCCCGGGCCCGGGAGATCCGCCGGGAGCTGAAGAAGTTCCCGCGACCGGATCCGCGACTAGAGCTAGACCTCGCCGCCTTCGTGGACGAGCAGCCTAATGTGAAGACTTGAATTTTATGTACTACGCAGATAAGCCTCGTAGAAAGAATGCAAAACTTGAATTTTATGTACCTACTACTGGGCGTCCGCGACCTCGTCCGCGGCCACGTCGAGCTTCCACCAGCTCGAGTCGCGCGCCCACGACGGCGCGCTCGGCAGCCCGACCGACGGCGCGTCGGGCCACTCGAAGGACGGCGCGTCGGGCCAGCCGGCGCAGCCCGTGCAGGCGAGGAACTCGTCCTCGCTGTCTCCGATCTCGTCGAAGTCCTCGGCCGTCAGGTCTCGGCCCGGCGACATGTGCACATCCACCAAATGCAGTCCCCGGTCCCGCGGCGGCGTCTTGGACTTGCCCCCCAGCTTCTTCTTCGCGAGAATGATGGAGTCCTGCGCCTTGCCGAGCTCGGGCCGCTCGGTCTGTGGCCGCGGCGCCGCAATCAACACGTTCGACGCGTCCGAGATGTACTGGCCGATCTCGGAGAACCTCCTCTCGAGAATGGGGAAGCCCGGCTCGTCCTTGACGGGCGTCGCCGGCGCGAAGGACACATGCCTCGTCGTCTCTGTTGCGGCAGCCATGGTTGACGCTGCCCCACGCAGCCTAAGCCTCGCGGGACGGCTGGTGTAGCTTGTTGTTACTATTTCTGCGACGCCTAGTTGCGTCTGCGCAGCCCCAACGAGTTCCAAATAGGCCACCAGACAGCGGCGAAAAAATGGCTGGCAGCCAGCCGTCGGGTTTCCGCGGATTGAAGGGGAGCCGGTCCACCGGTCGTGGGACCTTCATAGTAGTACTTGGCATACGGAGCCGGAAAAGCGCAATTTTTTTGAGGCGAGACGCGCGCGCGAGAAGGGCACGCCGTCGACGCGAAGTCTACAATAGAGTCTACAAAAGCGACATTACCCACCTGATAACCGCGCCGTCAGCGTCGCGCGGGCGTCCTGGCCCCGCTTCACCACGCTGTCGAGGCCCCTTGCCCTACAAAGCTCCCGCAGTTCCTTCACGGACTTCGCGGCGAGATCATCCTCCGACGCGTCGTCGGCAGAAGGAAAGCAGAGCGGCCGCGCCGCGTGGCAGAAACACCACTTCCTATCACAACTCTCAAAGGACAAAGCCCCCTGGTCCACCTTCGCGCGGATGCGTTTCCAAATGTCGACGAGCTCCCGTTCCGTATCCTCGAGCGCTTTCCTTCGGTCCTTCGGGTCGGCCGGCAGCGCCTCGTCGACGGCCACGGCCTTTTCTCCTCCTAAATAGAGCAATCTCAAGGCCGACACGTCCGCGCCGCCGTCCCGCCTCGACAGCATCCAGGCATAAACTCTCAATTGGAACAGCGCCCGCTCCCGCAATTCATTCCGCAGCTCCTCCTTGTAGTAGGGCCGCTCGCACGCGGCCTGGCCCGTCTTGTAGTCGACGACTCTTAGAGAACCGTCGTCTTCTCGGTCCACTCGATCGACCTTGCCCACGACTTTCAGGGGCGGTAGGGATGATGGGACCTTCGCGGTTGCTTCGAGCCATGCTTCTCTCTCCACAAGGGTCTCGTCGTCGGGCGTCTCAAATCTCAAATAGTTCTCCAACAACCCAAGACTCTCCGTGCCCCAGGTCTTCTCCTCCTCTATCGTAGAGAAGAGGGGAGGTTGTACGGAGAGGTACTTGTCTCGCACGGACCGCCACTCGTCCCGGAACGCGTCTTGCAGCTCTTCCTTGGACCGCTTCTGGCCGTCGAACATGTGCTCCAGTACCGAATGGACGAGCGAGCCTCGGACGAGCGCTGGTGATGGCGGTTCGGGCAATCGCCACAGGTTCCGAAACAGGAACAACTGCTCGCATTCCAGAAACGTCGTCGCGGCCGTCGGTGATAATCGAGAGGGCATGCGTAGGGGTGCTTTCGCCTTGTCCGCGCCGGCCTTGCGTATCCTCGCTTGCGTCGCCGCGTCGAGCTGCTGTGGTGCTGCGTCTCGCACAACTGTGGCCGCGCGTCGCCGCAGCGGCGCGAGGAGCGGGCGCGCCGGGCGCAGCAGGGTTTGTAGGAGGAGGACGACCATCATGTTGCGTCGGTTGGCTGCTGTGTGCTGCCGCCGCGGCGATGTCGTGGCTGCTGTGTGCTGCTGCCTTCTACAGGTATGTGTCAATGCAGACGCTTCGCTTGCAAAATTGGAGATGCCCACAGGCAGATGCTTGCAAATGAAGCACCTTGCGAATTCCTGGTGATTCCTTGTGCCTCAACGCGCACGGGAGCTTCGCGCCGCGGTCGCATGAACCTAGCGTGTCGACACACTCTAGCATTCGATCGATTGATATCGATGGGCCCACGCGGCCGCCGGGAACGCCTGGGCCCTCCGCGCACACAATACAGCCGCACAAAAACACAAAAAGACAAAACAACACGACTTACTCGGGGTTCGGCGGAGCGTTGGCATACGGGTACGGGTTCCGGATCGGGTCCGCCCCGTTTGGAATCGTCGCGGTGTTCGGCGCCCAGAACTCCTTCTGCCATTGAGGCGTACCATAATGCGGATCTCGCATTGTCCGGCCGTAGTTGCCCGAGACCCCGCGCTGGTCGTTGTACCGGTGGACCGAGCCGTCGAAGGCCGGCTGCGCGCCGCCGACGCAGCGCCCGGCGTCGGTGCGCGATCGCGATCGCTCCGTTATTCTCTCGAAATAGTCGCCGAAGTCCAAAAGCGCGACGCAGTCCTCGCGCGCGCCGCAGTAGAGGTCGCGCATGCCGCAGTAGAGCTCGCCTTCCTCGTCGCCCGAGTTCAGTTTGACGCCGCAGGCGCTCACCACGCAGCCCGCGACGCGCGCCTTGGGACTCCCCTGGCGCTGGTCCTGGACCGTGGCGTCGTAGGAGAACGCGAACAAATCGTGCGTCGCGTCCGTGGTCCGCGCCGCCGCGAGCGAATCGCTCGCCTCGGCCGTCACGCGGTAGGAGGGGTCCATCGCCATGCGCGCCTTGAATTCGTTCCGCACCGTTTCGCAGCTGTGCCGCGGGAATGAGACAGTGAGCGCCGTCCGCGGCGCCTCGTCGGGGCCCGCGGGGCAGCTTGCGGCCCTGGCTGCCAGAGGCGCTGCGAGGAGGGCGAGCGTCCGGGCCATAGTGCTCTTGGGGAGGTGTCGCGTCGATGGCGTACCACGGTAGCGCCTCTGGGCAGCCCAGCCTCTCCTGCTGCGGCTCTCAAAGCTCGAGCCGGCGGGATTTTTGCAGGAGCCCGAAGTCTACAGGTCGACGTTCGACCTATCTGAAGCCTCGAAGGCTGCTTGCTCTTGCTAGTGTCTTACATGCCGCTAGCCCACTGGGGATTTAGGCTGTTCAGTTTTGAGCTCGTTGGCGGCCTTATCGGTGGCGTCAGACGCAGGGCTGCGCCCTCTGGCATCCCTGATCGCTGTAGCACACGGCGCGAGCGCTTTCAGGCCCGCCCACGACGATGCAGGCCCTCACGGGCATCACCTCCCGCTTGGACCGCGTACAGTCGTTCCTGGACGACAAAATAGCCGACACGCCCTTGGCGGATCTCAACGATGACGAGCAGCGCAAGGAGGAGGACGCGGCGATAGCGGCGAAACGGCGCCGCGCCGCCGCCGCGAGCGCCGACGCCGTCAAGGACGAGCTGCTCGGCGCCGTGCAGGACGACGACGACGACGACGACGACCTCGAGACCGACGCGCTGAAGGCGGAAAACGCGCGGCTGAAGCGCGAGGTCCGTTCCTTGACGACGGATTTGGAGGCGGCCGAGCGCGACGGCAACAACTATAGGAACGACGCGCGCGACGCCCGGAAGAAGCTCGCGGCGCTGAAGCGCGCGCAGGACGACGAGGACGACAGCACCAAAAAAGCGGAGGCGTCTCTACGAAGAGACCTCGCCGACGCGCAGGCCGGCGCGGCCAAAGCATCAGAGATCGCAAAAGCAGCACGCGACGCGGAATTGAAGCTGCAAACAGCTTTAGATGAAGAAAGACGAAAGGCCGCGCAGCTGACGGAGCAACTCGGCGACGCGCGCGACTCACTGCTCGACGCACAGAGCCGCGCGGCGCGCGCCGACGCCGACGCCGGCGCGGCGCGGCGCGAGGCGGAACTGCGGGACGAGGTCGCGTCGCTCGCCGCCGCTTTGGCGGCCGCGAAGGCGGAGCCGGCGGCGCCCGTCAACCACGACGACGAAGCCAAGCGCCGGCGCCAGGACGACCGCTACACCGAGATGACGCGGCGCGTCGCCGAGCTGGAGTCCGAAGCGGCGGCGGCGGCCGCCCTCCAACGCGAGCAGGCCGATGAAATCAGAAGGAATAACGCGGCTGCCCGCGAGCAGCGCCAGCGGGAAACAGCAAATGCCGAGAGCGAGAAACGGGATCTGGAAGAGAGCCTCGAGGCCATGCAGCGCGAGCGCGACTCCTTACAGGCGAAGCTGCGCGAGGCCGATGCGACGATCGCAGCACAACAGCAGCGGTCGCAGCAGCCGCAGCTGCCTCCCCCACAAAACGCGCGCGACGGCGCGCTGGCCGCGCAGCTCGTGCGGAAGCAGGCGCTGCTGGATGCGGCGACCGCGGACCGGGACGGTTTGCGGAGCTCGCTGAGTGCGCAGCGGCGCGCGAACGAGAGTCTGCGCGTCGAGCTCGACGAGGCGCGGCGGAGCCGCGCGGACGACCCGCGCGGTTTGAGAAGGAGGCTGAAGCTCCATCGAGCGCCGAATACCGGATTAGGGGGCGCGGTCGACACGGTGGACCAGTGGATGGCGTCGGCGCTGCGCCTGCTGAACTCGTCGCCCTTGTTCCGGCTTGTCTTCTTCGCCTGGGTCGTACTGCACCACGCCTACGTGTTCATGGTGTTCTTCTACCACCACCTGCCGCACATTGGTGGAAGTGCGCCGCCGCGGTTGAGAGGAGGCGGGCGGGCGGCCGTGGACGCGCTCGGTTAGTAAGATTCTTTGTCTGTAGTCGCGACGATGGCGTCGCGGGGAGTCGTCTGGATGCCTCCGGAAATGCCCGCGCCTGTGACAAAATCACGTTATTTTTTGTCGCGCCCAGCAGAGATCAGTCCGAGGGCTCCCGTACGGCCCTTGGAACCGTCAAGGACCGGGCGGGGGCGCGCGCTGCTAGAGGCTAGTAGGGAATCACGTTGGAAACGGGCTGCCCATCAGCATCGTCGACGCAAAGCCGCCGCCGCCGCCCCATCATCACAGGTCGCTGCCCACAGGCTGCCCCCGAAGCCCCGCGCGCCACCCGAGCCGCCGCCGCACGCAGCAGCACCCACCGCTGCACGTCGCCGCATCCAGCGCTGCAACGCCGCGACAGCTGCCGTCGACGTTCCAACAGCGCCCGCCGCACCCGACGTCCGCCGTCGCCGCGCCTACTCACAGCGCCGCCGCCGCCGCCAGCTACGAAACAGACGCAACGAAACAGACACCGCCGCAACCATGCCTGAGGCCGACTACCGCACAGTAGAGAAGCTCGGCAAGGGCGCCTTCTCCCAGGTCTACAAGGTGGAACGAAGAGGTGATAGGGGCGTCCACTACGCCTGCAAAAGGATCGACATCAGCAAGATGCAAAAGGCCGAGCTCGCGGACGCGGTCAACGAGATCCGCATTTTATCGTCGATCAAGCACCCGTACATCGTCGGGTTCTACGACGCGTTTTTGGCGAGAAGAGACCGGGAGCTCTGGATCGTCATGGAGATGTGCGGCTGCGGCGACTTGGCGTCCAAAGTCGAGCGCTACCGCAAGAAGCGCAAGTACATGGACGAGCGCGTCGTCTGGTCCCACTTCATCCAGATGTGCGAAGGGTTACAATGTCTACACGAGCAGAAGATCGTGCATCGCGACATCAAAGCCGCTAACATCTTTCTGGCGGCCGATGGAAGTGTCAAGATCGGGGACTTAAATGTCTCGAAGCGCATGAAGGGTGCGCTGCTAAGGACCCAGATCGGCACGCCCTACTACATGTCGCCGGAAGTCTGGCTCAATAAGCCCTACTCGTTCGGTGCGGACGTCTGGGCCGTCGGCTGTTTAGCGTATGAACTGTGTGCTCTGCGGCCGCCGTTCGTCGGTTCTACCTTTGCGCAGTTGAAACAAGCGGTCTTAGTGGGACGCTACCCGTCGTTACCTAGAAATTTCTCGCGGGACATGACCCAAATGATCGCGAAGTTAGTAAGGGTCGACGCGCGCTCCAGACCGTCCATCGCCCAGATTTTAGCGAGTGAAGACGTCAAATCTAGAAAAGCGGCGGACTGGTACAAAGGTAGCAGTGTACAACCGAAGCCCGCGCAGCAGCTGGCCGCGACGATCATGGTCCCCCAGCGGATTGCGAACCTGAAGAAACAGCTCCCGAAGCCCTGCTTCCCGGACCAGCGGCCCGACTCGCCCGAGGCCTGGCCCCTCGGCGCCGAGGCCGCTCCCGCCAAGGCGGCGCCCGTCGCGCCGAAGCCGGCCGAGGCCCCGAAGCCGGCGGCGGCGCCCGCCGCTGCCCCGAAGCCGCGCGTCTCGCCGCGGCCGCGCGTGTCGCCGCGCGCGGCGCCGGCCGTGCCCCAGCGCCGCTACGCGGCGCCGGCGCAGCCGCGCGCGGCCCACGCGAACGTCCACCCGCACTACCAGCCGCGGCGCTACGGCGGCAACTACGGCCAGTACAACCGCGGCGGCTATGGATATAGACGCCCGGCGGCGCAGCCCGTCAAGTCCGTCTACGGCCAGCCGCGGCCGCCGCTGCGCAAGCCGCTCGGGTCGCACGCGAACGCGCGCAACCGCGCGGCGGGCGTGCGGCGGTACCCCGTGTCGTCGGGCTACGGCCAGTACGGCGCCTACCGCGCCTGAAGACCCAAGATCCCTCCCCCATCCTCCCCTCCGTAGTCGCGCCGTATCCTCCCCCTCTCGACCTTAACACCCGCGTCGATTGAATTTTTGGGTGTGTCATACCATACCTCTAGAGAGGTCATACCGGTGTGATGACAGCTATCCCTCGCTTGCCGTATGGCATGCTTGCTAGTGTCTTACCGGCCGCTAAGAGCAGCAATCGAACGTCAAAAACGAGATATCATCGCTTGTCCGGACGCCCAGCATCCCTCTGTCCTTCTCACAGGGTCATCCACAGGCCGGTTCTGCTCAGGGAACCGAGAGAGACCGAAACTGACGCCGCGAGTCGATTGAGAGCTTCTGGGGACGAACGCGCAGCGACGGGGCTTCGCGCATCATCACCACGGTCACTCCTCGGTGGCGTCGAAGCGGTCCCTCGCGCGGTCGCTCTCGCTGGGTTCCTCGAATCGGACGTCGCCGGCGCGACCGTCACGCGCCGTGGCCGACGCGCCGCCGCCGGCGCGCCCACACATCTCGTGGTCGCTGCCCGAGCACAAGTCGTACCTCCAGACTTCCCAAACGCATGTAGCCGTCGTCCAGCGGATCTCTCTTCCCCCGCCAGACGAGTGACTAAGTAGTCCCTACCGCATCAATTTACCCGCGACATCCGTCTCTACCACGCCCACTGGCTCGCCGTCTCCGAGATGTGCCAGTCGCCCGCAAACGGCGCGCCCGGGAGCTCGCCCTCGTAGTGCGGGAAGAATTTCAGGGCCGGGATCGTGCCCGGGTACTTGTAGGCCATGACGAAGCCGATGACGCCGAACATGGCCGCGCGGCCGTTCTGCAGCTCGACGAGGCGGCCGCGCTTGCGCTTGGCGTCGTCCCAGTTCTTCATGCTGTTAATGGGATCCCACAAGGAATACTTCTTGGCGGGGGGGTCGAAGAAGACGGTGCCGCCCTTGCCGCCCGTCATGTAGTGCGGCCGCTCCATCTCGCCACCTGTGCGGACATCAAGTCTGAATCTCGATCGCCGCCGCAGCAACCCCGTCCGTCGTCTCACGAAGACTCCATCGACGCGGTAGTGTGTGTTCTCAGACTAGTCTCTTCAACCAACAACATCAAGAGTGAGTGTACCAGCCGTCGATTCCCACGCGGCGCGCCACAGATCTCCATCAAACCGACCCAGGCGATGATCTGGTACTTGCCGTACATGGGCAGGTTGTCCCACGTGTCCATGGGCGTCGCGCCGAGGCAGCTCTTCCAGGTCACGCCCGGCGCGATGTTGCCCGGCCACGTGATGCCCGTGCCGCCGACGATGAAGCCGACGAAGGCCGCCATGGCCACGCGGCAGTGCTTGAGCTCCGCCGCGCGGTACCACTCGAGCGTCGGGCCGAAGGGCGTCGTGTCCGCGAGGTTCAGCGGGTCCCAGGCGCCGCCGGGGTTCGCGATGTTCGGCACGGGGCCCGGCGGCGCGCCCTCGAGGTTGTCGAGCGCGCCGCTCTCGCCGCCGCCGTAGAACGCGCTCCGCGCGACCGCCGCCTTGGGCGCGACGGGCGCGACGTAGGCGCGCGCGCCGGCGCAGAGCGCGAGCGCGGTCGCGAGCCGAGCCATGCTTGTCTGCCTGCGGGCGCGGTGCCGTGAGTCTTCTGTGTCGAGTGTCTCGGCGGCGGGCAGCGTTTCTTCTCTCTCTCCTCATTTTTGGCGTTCCGGCTGGATGCAGCGCGAGCTGGCAGCGTCCGGAGGCTGGATGCTGGCCTCGCGGCGCGCGGCGGCTGGCGTACGTCCAGCGTTTCGCGCTCCAGACCTCCCCTGCCCAAAACAGCTGTCCGGCGCGTAGCCGCGATCTCTGCGCTCGAAATTGCTGCGGCTGACCGTCAACGTGACAATTGAACTTCTCGACGCGATAATTGCCGTGTAGGATGACGCTGTAGCCAGTACTCGCCTCGATGAACTCCGAAGCCGTGAAGGATTGTCTAGTGTGTCTCTACGCTAGCACGGAAGGACACGCAGCGCGTTTGAGGATTGAGGGACGAGTGGCGAACACGGCCGAGGCCTCGGGACGAGTATCGGGATGAGTACGAGGGTCCGCACCAAGATTACGTAGCAGTCGAGTGCAGAGCGCAAAATGGTGCGTAATTAGCTTAAACACAGCCGAGCAGCTGCCTATAACGACTGCTAAGAAGGTCGCATCAATGCTAAACAGCAAAATTTGCATAGCAACGCTGTTGCTCCCGCTCGCCGGAGCACTGCAGCAGATGAGGCTTGCAACATCGTCGACAATGGCGCCCCATTGGCAACCGAAACCGGCTCCGGCGCCCCTCGTCGATGCGCCGGCTGCGCCGGCATTGTCCGTGGAAGCAGCGATGCGCATCATGTTCGACCCCGTCGGCCGCGGCAAGGTGCGGCGGCGTGCTGTGAAGCAGCGGGACTGGACGGACCCGATGGTGGCGTCGCACGTGGCATTCGTGCCGGGCATCGTGCTCGCGGCGCAGAACGACCTCTGGGAGCTCGCCGCGCTGCAGTCGGCGACGCTCGTCTTCTCGCTCGCGTACCACCGCGCCGGCACGAACCAGCGTGCAGATCAAAACTTCACGGTGCCTTGCTCGATGGCGTGGCGGTCTCACTGGTTTAGTTGCTCACAGGCGAACGGCCCGGCCGCGTCGCGCTCGCCGAGGGCACCCTCGCGAAGGCGCTTTTCGTGTACGGCCTCACGCAGACGACGCTCAACGCGCCGTCGCCCGAATACTTCGCCGTCGAAGCGCCGCTGGCGGCGCTCTGCCTCACTTGTTTCCTCGCCACGAACTTCGCGCCGGCGACGTATGAGCGGTGGCACGCGCCGGGGCTGCACCTCTGCCCCGGGATCTGGTCCGCGGTCGTCGCCGCGGGGCACACGCCGCTCCTCCATATGCTTCTCTAGGGGCCTAATTGCACATATATAACGCATAGTTACGCATCCAGGTTCGCGACCGACGCCCGGAAGAACGCCCCGCGGTGCTGGCGCCTCAGATCCAGATCGACTTGCCACAGACACGTGTTATCTGGTAGATAGTCGTCGGCGATTCCGGATTTGATGCGACCCGTGCTTTGCGACACGCGCGGCGCAACTCCGACGCATGACTTCAGGGCGCAGTTCAGCCCGTAGCGCCCGGGCGGACAAATGCAGGCGCCGTCGACGCCCGTCTCACCGGGACACACGTAGTTGACGAGCGACCACTCGAGCTCGAAGCCCGCCTTAGGTTGAGTCTTTTTTAGAGACGTTCTCGCGTGGCCGGGTCGCCTCGCCCAGTTGGCCGCCGTTACTGCGTGTTATTCTTCGCTATTTTTGCCTCGCGCTAGAGGACCAACGTCGTCTCTACGCGGATATTATCACTCTGCAAGGTTGCGAAAAGAGATGAAAAACATATCTCTCGTACTCTTGTGCCGCCCTCGCGGGACGACTGGACCCTCCCAGGAGGAGTGCTCAAACGCCTGGGCATTGTCATTTCGTTTTTGGCTACGTGCGAGGTATAAGGTACATACCGATAACTTACCAAGCGCCGGTTGTGCATCTGTTGTGCACCGCACACGCGTTGCGCGCGCTGCAGAGAGAGTACTTAAGCGGTCACGAACGCTAGACTAACTCGTGCGCCGGCGAAGCTGCGTACACGGAGAAACGCTCAAAAGGGTACGCTGCAGAGGCTGCCCCATAAGTTGCAAAACACAAATGGCCGCCCCACCGCTACCGGCCGCCCCGCCGTACGCCACTCCGGCCCCGGCCGCCTTCGAGCTCGCGGCGCCCGAGTCGAGCCTGCTCTTGGTGCACCTCGACCGGGCCATCAAGGGCGAGCGGGCCCAGGCCTTGGACGAGGTGCGCCGCGCGCGCCTGGAGCAGGCGCGCGCGACGGCGCTGCACGAGGCCGAGGCCGCGCGCGGCGCCGCCGCGCGCGCGGACGCGAAGGCGGCGGACCAGCGGCGCGAGAAGGCCGAGGCCGACGCCGAGGCGCTGCGCGCGCAGCTCGCCGACGCCGAGGCGCGCCACCGCGCGGCGCGCGACGCCTGGGCGCTCAAGGAGAAGAAGCTCCGGGCGGCCGCGGCGCCGCGCGACGAGCCGCCGGCGACGATACTAGATAGGCTCGTCGACGCCGTCGCGCGGCGGCCCGACGCCGAGGCCGAGGAGCTCGAGGCCTGGGCGTCGCGGGCGCGCCAGTTCCAGCGCGCCGTCGAGGAGCGGATACGAGATACCGGCGCGACGCCGCGGCCGCCGACGGCGGCCGAGCCGCCGACGCCGGCGAAGACGGCCGAGCCGTCCTCGCTGCAGGACACGTACGCCGCGGGCCAGACCATCCCGGGCGACGAGATGGAGAAGCTGCTCCTCCAGTACACGCGCGCGAAGGAGAAGCTCTCGACGCTGGAGCGGCTGTATCCCGGCGGGGGCGAGTAACTTGCCCACAGAGACGCTTTCGCCGTGGAGAAGTGGAGTCAAATCATTAGGCCCCCAGAAAACGCCTCCCTAGAGGAACAGCTTCCCGTCCGTCACGAGCTTGCCCTCGAGGAAGCCGTCGACGTCGGCCGTCCAGTACTCCTCCACCAAAGCCCTACCAGCAGCAGAGGTGTGGTCGATCTTCGTCCACGTGTAGCACAGCGCGTCGTCGTTCGCCTCCGTGAGGTTCTCGACCGTGTCGCCGCGCATCAACCAGCAGCCCGAGATCTCGATCGGCAAGCACGCTTCCGAGCCGGTCACGAACATGGTGCCGAAGGCCCACTTGCGCATCGCGTCGGACCGTTGCACGAAGCCGCCGATGGCGTTCGCGCACATGAACTGCTTCTCGTTCTCGTGGTTGTACTTGAAGCGGCAGACCCAGAGCGCCCATCCTTTCGGGTCGAACATCTCCCAGAACTTCTGCTTCCAGACCTCGGGCGGGTTGTTCTTGTAGGTCCGCTTCCACTCGTCGCCGTTGAGCGGCGACGGGCTCTTCTTGTCCAGGATTTTGAGCGGGTGCTCGACTTTTTTGGGAGCCGGGGCCGGCGGCGGCGCGGCGGCCTTCTCCTTCTTCGCCTTCTCCTTCTTGGGCGCTTTTTCCTTCTTTGCCTCCTTCTTGCCACCCTGAGGGGCACTGGAAGCACCTTCCGGCTTCATCTCCGACTCCGCTAACGCAACGTCGCCGATGACCGCGACGAACTGCGGCTGGTGGACACATAAGTCGAACCAGCGGAAGACGTTCGGGAACTGGGCCCGGAATTTCGGGTCCATGGCGAGCTTCGCCGGGTACACGAGCGCCGACGCGATCGTGATGTCCGCGAGCGTCATGGCCTCGCCCACCATGTAGGTCTTATCCAGTAAGTGCGCGTCCAACGTCTTCAAAGCTTGCGATACGTGGGCCTTGGCCTTGCCGTAGGCCGGCCCCGAGAAGGGCATGTAGCCGATGATGGGGTAGACCCAGAGCGTGCAGGGCAGCTCGAGCTCGTGCGCGCAGAAGTCGATCCAGCTGTCGACGACCGCCGACTCGTAGAACGTGCGTCCATACAAATCCGCGTCGCTGCGCAGCCGCGCGACGTAGCGCGCGATGGCGTTCGACTCGAAGATGGTGCCCTGCGGCGTCTCGAGCACGGGCACCTTGCCCGTCGGGCTCAATTTTGCGGCGGCCTTGGCGTCCACATCCTTCACGGCGATCTCCACGCCAGCGTACTCGGCGGCGATCAAGGCCTTGAATGCCCTAAAGTTGCCAGGGTAGGTGACCAGCGTCAATGCCATTTTTGCTGCAGGTCTCTTGCGCGAACGGCGATCTTGCAACGCAGTTCTATTGCGCGAAAAGGGTATTGCTAGCGTTGCAATCAGCACGCGTAAGCAAAGGAGACGGCGTCGCGTATAGATGCGATAGCCACCGGCGATGCTCGAAGTCTGGTGGCGTGGACTAATCGCGCAACGATCTTTGCGATGGTTTGGCAATCCTGCAGATGGCTGTGACCCAATGGGAGGACGACGCGACGACCTGGTGCTAGCGGCCTGTAAGACACTAGGCCTAAGCAAGCAAAGACGCCCTGACACGCTGTAGCGGCTTTGTGCGGCTGCAACGACTGCAGAAGCATTCTGCACCCGCAGCCGCAGTGCCAGTGCTGCCCAATTGGTCATTTGCAGCATTCGTGCATGAACATCAGTGTGGTGCAGCGTGCACAGTGTGCAGCCCTGTAAAGACCGTACACAGTGTGCAGCAGCAGCGTGCAGCCAGCGTATAGGGCAATAAATGGAGGCATGCAACGCATGGGCCAAGAGCCACGGCGTCGACGCACACAAGCACGGCGTCGAGTTTCGCGCGTCGCCGCTGGGCGGCCTTGGCGCGTTCGCCACGAAAGCCATCAATGCCGGTGACACGCTGCTGCTGCTCCCGCGCGGCTTCGCCGTGACGCCGTACGTGTGCGAGGTCGCGCTGCAGGACGCGTCGCTCGCGAGAAGTCCGCGCGCCGCTCTGGCGCTGTTTCTGTGCCACGAAAGAGCGAGGGGCGCCGCGTCGCCCTGGGCGGTCTGGCTCGCGACGCTGCCCGCCGAGGGCCTGGATGGAAGCGCCTTCGGCACGTCCGCCGATGTGCTGGCCGCGGCGGCTGCGACGCGGCGCGCGGAGAACCCCGGCGCCTCTAGGCCGGCCGACGCCTACACGGCCTGGATGGCGTCCGACGACGCGGGCGGCGAGCCGCCGCCGAAGAGCTACGAGGAGGAGATCGCGGGCTGCCGGAGCCAGGCGGCGGCGACCGCGGCCTTCTGCGTCGGCAAGCGGCCGGACCTCGCGAGGCACCTACCGTGGGCCATCGCGGCGGTCGCTACGCGGGCGTTCCGCGTCAACGGCACTATGCAGCTCCTGCCGCTGGTGGAGAAGATGAACCACTCTAGCCAGGGCGGGCGCCTCGTCGTGACGTCCGCCGGCGAACTGGCTCTCCTGGCCGGTGCTACCTACGCGGCCGGCGACGAGGTGTTCCTGAACTATTTCGACGGCCAGGACGCGTCGACGCCCGAGCGCGTGCTGGCGCACTATGGGTTCGAGCCAGCGGCCGCTTGTTGACAATGTTGTATCGCGAAGTAAGTATGTTCGTCCGAGGGGGTTTGGAAAAATAAAAGCTATATACACACACTAGATTTCCGACAACTCTTCGGTCCCGCGGTGGCGCGTACGGGTAGACGCCGTCGTGGTCGCGGACCAGGCATTCGTCATCGTCAGGTCGAGCATGTCCCGCTGGCTCTCGGTCGTGTCCGGATCGCCGCCGCGGCCTCGCACCAAGTCAACGTGCCGGTCTACATTAGCGACACGTTTCCTGCGTCGAGCCTTCTTCAAAGCTCTGCGGTCCGCATCTAGGTCTTGGCAAACCTCGGCGGCACCCGCTGGTGTGAGGACGCCGCGGTGAATAGGCCCCGGGAGTAGGGGGGTCAATTAGGGAAAATTTTATCAGAATACTAATACCACCTGGGAATTCATCAGGATGCTACTATGAACCCTGGTATTTACACCCCTACGGCGCCGCCGACGACGTCGCCACTGTGACGTCTTCGGGAACGGTGGTCGACGCGGACCGGAAAGCGTTCGTCATGCGTAGAGAAAGTATCTGTTGCTGGCTCGCGGTGAGGTCTACTGCCCGACCGCGGGCGTGGTCAACGTGGAGCAATGCGACGGCGGCCTGTTTCCGTCGGCGCTCAGAAGCCAAAGCGCGCTTGTCCGCGATGAGATCGTGGCATACCTCCTCGGCGCCCATCGAGGTGAGGACGCCGCGGTTCACGAGCTCGGCGACGAGCTCGTGCTGGACCTGCGTGTCAGTTATCGTGGTCAAACGCGATGGGGACAAACGCGATGGGGACGCCATCGAGGGTTGATTTCCACTCTGTACTTGGACATCTAACACGTGGTGCGCCACAACATCCGTATCAATAATCCGAGCCAGTCCAGATGCGATACGCTCGACGTTTCTTTCCACTGTCGCGCACTGCAAAGCTGACTCGTACACAACTTGAGCCTCGGCCGCAGTTTCGGGCTCGTCGCCGGCCTGTCGAGCGTGACCGTAGAACTCGGCAAGTTGGTGTTGTGCGCGCCGGTGCGCCGCAATTAAGCCTCGCGACGCGTGGTAGGCCACCTCGTGGCGTCGGTATGCCAAGGCGTAATGCAGCCGTTTGTCGAGCGTGCAATCGTTGCAAAGGCACGCGTCAAGGCGCTTAAAGCCCTCGTCGATATTCTTGTCGAACTTCGTTCCGCTACCCAGGGGCCGATTCCTCAGAGCTTCGTAATCGTGAATTGGTTTGTGCGTGTTGTCGAGACCAACGTCGGCCGCCCGCGATAAGTGGAGCGGCGCCATGGAGTGTCGTGGTAGCTCTCCCGTTTCAACCATATGTCTGTATTCTAGTTTGAGTACTCTATAGAATACCTCTCGGATCATGGCGACCTCTTCCTCGTCAACCTCCGCGCCTCTGAAGGCTCATACCTGTACATATATATATGATATCACATAAGTTTTAATTACACAATACAGCTACTAGCTACACGTCCTCGATCCGCAGCGTATCATCATCAGCGTGCTCGTTCGCCGCGAAGGCCAGCGCCCCGTGCTCGCGCCGCGTGGCGAAGTCCGCCTTCACGGGCGGCGCGCCGCTAACCGGCCGGTTCGCGCGCGCGAGGACGGCCTGCCCCGTCTCCGCGTACTTTTGCTCCTCCCCTTTCTCGGCGAGCATGCGCGCGTGCGCCGTCCGCAGGAAGTAGTCGGCCCACGACACCTGTGCGCAAATCGAACAGTGCGTCGGGTGCACCGAGTGGTGTAAGACCCACACCGCCACGCCATCGAGCTGGCGTCGCGTCGATGGCGTGGAGGCCATGATTCATGCACTGCACGACACGGCGCGGTGGTGCCGCAGCACGTGCGCGTAGCCCTTGACGCCGACCTTGCGCGCCCAGTGGGGCCGGTTCAGGGCGTGCGTCAGCTTATCCAATAAATCCGTCTTGTTCGTGTGGTCGTAGTAGACGACGTGCTCCCCGTCGATCAGGGGGTGGTGGTACGGCGTGCCCATCCTATCGACCATGACCAGAGCACCTGAAGACAACGCCTCAAATAAACGAAAGTCGCCCTCCCAGCCCGTCGGGTTGCAGGTCACCACAACCTTGGCGCGGCGCATCGTCGAGAGATAGCCAGCATCAATGACCGTGCGGCCCGCGCTTGACAATTGTCCTAACCGCACGTCGTGCAACTTCCTCTCGGCAGCGTACTCCTTGAGCCACGGCAGGACGCGGCCCCTTCCACCTCTTTTGTCGCGCAACGTGCAGACGACGTCGATGGGCCTCGCGCCGACGACGTCGCCCAATTTGTCACTATCAACATACTCGTCGGCCAAGGCGTACGGCATGGGGAAGTAGGACTTCGACCTAGAGTGCCGAGAGCCCGACGCCTTCATCGGCACGGCGTCTCTTTTATCAACCCAGGACCGCTTGAAATAGGCCAGATACTGGGCCGCGTCATCGCGCACGTGCGCATGACTAGACGCCCAGTCCGCCTCGTCCACGAAGATCATGCGGTTCGCGGGTACCGGAGGCGCATACCTGTATAGGGTCGGGTTCTCGTCGGCGTGCGTGATCTTCTCATATCCTGACGTAGTCCCAATGTCCTCGACGGGGTCGGCCGCGAGTTTTTTATTGGTGCCCCAGCGGTACGGTAAAAAGGCCGCGGCCCTTCCACTACTATAGAATTTTGGATCGTTGGCGGGCATCACGACGATCGCGACGTCGGCGTCCGGCGTCTTCTCGCCGAGCTTTCTTATATCTTTTTCGCAGTTCGAGTGCTTGTTGTCCAACGTATACCCGCGGTCCTTGCAGAGGCGGTAAGGGCTTCCGACGAGCTCGACCATCGGGTGCTGTCTTAATCCTTGACTCATGAGGAAGAAGGCCCGCTTGCCTGTGCAAAAATCGATCAGTGAGCATCGAGCCGTGGTGGAGACGCGTCGCGACAATTTGATTTATGCACTGGCGCTTGCCGCCCTTCTCGCCCTTGGGTATAAGTCGTACTTTTAACTTCTCCCGGAGCTGGATGTGCGGCGCGATGCATAAGGACGCGTTTCCATGTTCCAAGGGGTGGTGGTCGCCCTTCCTGTGGCCCGGGACGCGGGCGAACGTGTCGACGTGGGCGCAGACCGTCAGCTCCTTGACCTCGCGCTCCCAGGGCGCGTCCGGATTGATCCTTTGTCGTTCTGTCTCCGCGACGGCCTCAGCGGCGTCGCGGCTCGTCTCCGACGCCTCGCGCTCCGCGAACAAATTGGCGAGCTCGTTGCCCGCCCGTTCCAGCCGCTCAACGATGGCCTCGGCGTTCGTCAGATCCTGCGCAGCCTGCGCGATCTCCTCGCCGCTCCGGCGCTCCTCGCCTCGTATGGCTTCGAGCGTTTTCTGGATGAAATTCTCCTCGTGTGGTTGGATGCGCTGCTGCGTTTGTGGCGCTTGATGAACGGCCTGGAGATTCAGGACGACGAGGCCCAGAGGTATGACGGCCAATACTGCCGCGATTATTGTGCGGCGGGACGGCATGTTTTTGCTGTCAGCCGCACGCTGCCGCTACCGCCGCAGCGCTCTCTTTTCGCTGCTTGCGACCGCTGTCGCGCTGGCCACAGCTCTTTTTATGCTTGCGACCGCTGCCGCACAGCTCGCTTTCGCTGCTTGCGACAGATGCCGCGCTGGCCGCAGCTCTCTCGTTGCTGCTTCGCACCGCTAGCCACCAGACGAGCCGCTTGCGTCTTGGTGTGTCTTTTTTTTGTTGGCTTGCTAGTGTCTTACTGGCCGCTAGCCCACGCAAATCCGCGAAGGAGGAGCCCTTGCGCGGATCTATTTACAAATCAACGCCTCTACCCGACCCCAGAATAAAGCGTTAAAAGCTCACAAAGAAGTGCTCACTGAAACTTATATATACTTGTGGAGATCGCAAAGATGAGACTTTGCTCTGCGGCTCGCGTCGCGCTCGCACGGCGCACGAGACGATGGTCGAGCGTGCGCAGATCGTCGTCTTCCACACTGTCGATCAGGTACGCAAGGCGCAGGCGTCCGGTCTGATCTTCCTCTTCCTGTCGCACCAGTGGTTGGGCTGGTCCGAGCCCGATCCCGACGGTGCACACTACGCTGCGATGTGTTCCGCCATTAAGGCCGTCGCGGAGATCATGAGCTTCTGGGCGCGACACGGGTCGAGCAACATGCACGTGCTCGGAGCCGACGGCAGCTTCGGACCCCTCGACTTGAGTGATGAGGCGACGCTGGTCTCGACTCTGGGTGTGTTCCAGGGCGAGCTGACCTGCTGTCGCCTTGGCCACCCCCGCGCGCAACCCTGCGACAAGGAAGAACTCGTGCTGCCAATTCTGGGCCTCCTCGCCCACATGTACCGAGACCATTTATTAGCGTTGCGAAGTAGCGACGGGCTCGAGCTGTCAAAAACGAGCATGGCGGCCGGCGCGTTTGACCTTATTGCGCCTCATCTCGATGTTCTGTTCCCTAAGACCTTCGAGTGGGAATATACGCCTGATGGAACACAAATTGTTGAGACTTCACCGTTATTTGGAGACCTTGTTGAGGCCGTAAAGTACGCGGTTGAGGTCGAGATGGCGGCTGAAGACGACCCAATTTTCCAGCGCGCCGCGCCTATCTTCGAGCCGGGCACCCACGCGCGGCGACGGATTCACGTACGCGCCAGGTACGAAAAAAGGCGCAGTGGAGAAACGGACACGTCGAGCCCGAGCCGCGCGCACGGCGGTGGTCACCCGATGCCACGCCGGGGTCGTCCGGCCCTGCACGGAATGAACTGGCGTTCGTTCAGGCGGGACCCCGACGCGCAACACCCGCACGGCGCGCCGGGCGAGATCGACGAGCCCTGAACCCTGCTCTTAATATAGGCCCTAGCCTACTAATTATTCTCGAAGTCGAAGTTCCAGTCCCTCCCGGCCGAGATCGTCTCGCACATCGTCTCGTTCGGTTTCAACTGTGGGTGCTACTAAGGGTAACAGGGCTTCTTACACAGGGGGACAGGGTTCGGCGACCACATGCTAGTAGCGCTTGTAGTTGTAGGGCGTCGGCAGCCAGTGCACGACCATCATCGTCATCGTCTTGCGCGCTGGCTCAGGCTCCTCCTCCTCGGGCACGGGGAAGTCGTCGTACTCCTCGCCGGGGTCTTCCTTCACTTCTTCGACGAAGAGGTCCTCCTCGACCTTGCCGTGCTGCGGGCGGCGCTGCTCGCGCTGCGGCGAGGGCCAGACCTGCGTCTTCGCCTTGTCGTCGTCCTGAGAGATACCGTGCAGTCCGACGAAGACCAGACCGAGCCCGAGGAAGCCAATAATCACGGCCCAGATGACGGCCTGGTCGCGGGCGCCGTAGACCATGGCCACGAATTCCTTCGCGTCCTTGCCGGAGATCTCGTCGGACTCGTCGGTGTAGAGCTGCGGCCATGGAAACGCCGCCATCCGCGCGAAGACGTGCTGCCACAACTCGCAATCGAGTTGCGTGGAGTCCAGCGACCACGCGTGCTCGAGACGCGTGTGGCTCTTGACGAATCTACCGGTGAGCGGTTCGACGGCGGCCCACGTGCCGTGCTCCGCCGCATCGTAGGTAGGGAGGCCCTCGAACTCCGAGCGGTAGGCCTCGTCCAGGCCGCCGAGCGCCGGGCGCGTCATCGACGGACCCGCGGGCATCGTGAGCATACCAAACGACTGCAGGTGGTAGTTCCGCGCCTCGACGTCCTTGACCGTCGTCTTGGCGCCCGACCGGAAGGTAATCGGCCGGAGCAACTCGTCGAACCAGACCGTGATGCTACCCTTCTCAGAAAACGGCTTCGCCTGCGCCTTGCGGAGGCCGATGGCCTCGATATTCGTCGTGTCCCGCCACAGCGCGTACTTGCCGACGTCGCTGATGTGGCGCTTGCCGGTCCTGAAGCCATAGCGCCCCGTCATCATAGTAGCGTTGAGCGCCCCGGCGTACGAAGCCTTGCCCAGGAGCTCCAGCAGCGGGTCCTCGTAACCGTAGACAACCTCGCGCAGCGTGCGACGTGTGAAGATGCCCCCGTTCTTGGTGCCAGTGCCGTCGCCTGAGAGAGTGAGCGAGGCCGCGTCGAGGCCCGTGGGATCCGTCGTCGCCGTCATGCCGTCCCGGAGGTAGCCCACGACGAAGCCCTTCAGGAGAAAGTCGTAGGGCAGGTACTGGTTCAGGTACGCGTCGGCCGTCGCCGACGACGGGAGGCTACCCGTGTCGAGGAACGCGTTCGCCTCGGCGGCCGTCATGGAGATCGTGACGCCGCTTGCCGCCGCGTACACGGGGAGCTCGGGCGCAACCACAACACCGTCGAGCTGTAGCGACAAAACGCTCGCGACGCCGTAGAGCTTCTGCGTCACGGCGCCGGTGGCGAACTGCTGGCCGCGGAGGTCGCGCCAGGACGTCGCGGCCTCGTCCGAGAGCATTGGCGCGACGTAGGCGAAGTAGTACGGGTTCGTTTCGTCGACGAGCGCCGAGAGCCAGCTGAGCACGGCGCTGGACTCCGGGACGGCCGCGGCGATTTCCGCGGCGCCGTCGCCGGAGAGCGCCGCGGTCCATGCAGAAACCCCGGCCTCGGTCAGCAACGAATACTGATGAGACTCGTCCCAGAGCATCAACGCCGTTTCTTCGGACACGCCAGAAGCTTCGAACGTCGTGTACTTCTCATCCAGACTAGACAGCGGCCCGCCCAAGACGGCGCCCCCGGCCCACTGGCGCGCGACGGACTCGACCGAGGACCAGACCGCGGTGCCGTCGAGGGCGAGCCCCGTCGCCAGGAGGTCCACGGCGACGCCGTTGAGGTACGTCGACACGCTCGCGAGGCGTTGCGTCGTGATGAAGGCGTCCAGGACTTCGGCGACCTTGTTCACTGCTACATGAGATAGGTTCCGGAGCATGGCGCCCTCCGAGCCGTACTTAGCTATCGTAGCGAGGTAGGCCGGATTCAGGCCTACTACCTCTGTGTCGAGGCGCGCCTCCTCGGCGGCGTCGCGCGCGACGTACGCCGACCGGCGCGTGAATTCGTAGGCGTCGCCGCCGTCGAGCCACTTGAGGTCGGAGCCCTCCTCGGCGCGCGTGAGCGCAACGTCGACCTTATCGAGCTGGGGCTTGGCGCCGTCGAGGACGGCCTTGAGGTTGGTCACGTTCCACGCGTGAACCGTACAGGGACGGCGAACATTGACGTGCTTGGCGTGCCACGCCCTATACGTGTCCACGACGACCGCCGCGCGGACGTCCGCTTTGATGCCTTGCTCTATGATGGTCGTGAGTGACGCAGCGAACGCTACGAGCGCGAAGCCGGCGGCTGCCAGGAAGGCGTAATTGGGGGCGACGCGCCGCATTGTGAATGTGGCTGCGCTCGTGTTGCGCGATGCCTGCTCGTTGCAAATACGCAGCAGTTTGTAGGTCAAACTGGGCTCTGGGGCTCCGAGGATCACAGCGCCCAGAAGGTGCGACAGCGATGCCGCACGCGGGCTGCGTGAGGTGCGGACAGGTGCGCGGTGGCCCTGATTAGAATCAATTCCAAATGCGCGCCGCGGTCACGGCACACAGCGCGGTCACGGCAGTCTCGGCCCTCGGGTCAAATCAAACAATTAAATCCCGCACACTATCACGAGGCTATCGCGAGGTCTCCGGACGTCCCAGGCCGTCTACGGAAGCTTCGTGAGGTCGGCGGAACGCAGTTCTCCGTTTTTCGTTGGTCACGCGCGCCGCGACAAGAAGTACAATATGTAAACTTAGACCCCACGAGAAAAAAGCGTCACCGCTTCTCGAAGAGGTAGTGCCCGATGCACCACTCCTGGCCGCCGTCGTAGCCGAAGAGTTCGACGCACGCGAGGTAAAAGGCGCGCCAGCGGTGGAACCAGAGCTCCGTCTCATTTTCAGGGTAGGCCTCCTTTAATATCTCTCTGACTTCCGCCGCGTTGGCGTCCATGTTCTGGAGCCAGCCTTCCGCCGTCAACGCGTAATGCACGCCGCTGTTCCGCCAGTGGTCCACGAGCGCGACGGGCGCATCTTTCCGCGCCGCAAAATGAACAAATAAATCGGCCGAAGGCATGGTACCGCCCGCGAAGAAGTACTTGGCCATCCAGTCCGCGTCGGACTTGGCCACGAAGTGGTACGCGTACTGCCGGTGGCAGAACACGTGCACGAAGAAGCGGCCCTGGTCCTGTAGTACCGCCGTGATCTTCTCAAATAATGCCTTATAATTCTTCATGTGCTCGAACATCTCTATCGAGACGCCGCGCTCGAAATACTGGCCCGGCAGTCGACTCTGCAACGCGTCCAAGGCTTTTGTGAGAGGCTCCTTCGACAAATCCAGTGTCACAATCTGCAGGTTCGTCAATCCTCGTTCTTGAGCCTGGCCCATGATGTACCTTCTCTGGGAATGAGAATTCGAGACACCTACCACCTGGGCGTTCCGGAATCTATCCGCCAAGTACAGCGAGGCCGACCCCCAGCCGCAGCCGCAATCTAAGATAGCTTTCGTGGCCTGCGTGATGTCGCCGCGAGCCGCGACTTGATCTAATGAATCCTTTTCCGCCTTTGGCAGTAACCGAGCCGCGTCTTTTTGCAGTTTGTTCCCGGGCCACTTCGGCTCCGCCCCTTCATATAAACAAGCAGAGTACTTCCTATGGGGCCCCAGACACAGCCCGTAGAAGCGCGCGTCGACTTCGTAGTGCTGCTCGTTCGCCTCGGACGTACATACTGCTACCGGCGCTTCCAACAAAGCCTGGATGGTCTCCCGGAGCTTCTCTTGACTACCAGCCAAGCCCGCCTCGCCGTTGTTGGCTGCGCGACCGGCGTCGTCGCAGTGCCTCAGTTGCTGCGCCGAGAGCTGTCTTATCCCATACCGCGTCACGAAATCCGGCAGTAAGCCTCGCTCAAAGGCCGTAGTGGCCACGCCCTTCACGGCCTTGATAGTCATATCCTTCACCGAGATGGGTTTCGAACCATGGGCGCCCTCCGTCGCTTCTCTCGCAAGGCTTTCGTCCGTCTTCTCGAGTCGTATCTGCTTCACGTCGATATGACCACACGCGAAGCCCGCCTCGCAGTAGTCCAGATAATACCTCCACTTCCTGACGAAGACGTCATCAAAACCGAGCTTAGATACCTGGTCTTCGACAGCGTCGAAACGGACGCGCCACGCCCGTAAGGTACGAGCATAAGATACGCCCATGCTTAAAGTAGCCGCGTCGTCCAACCTTAAAGCTAAAGAGCCTAGCTTCGGCAGGGCTTTTTTTACGGCTTCCAGACATACCAATGAAGAACCAGGAAAGACGTGCTTCCGGATGAAATCGCTACCCTTGATATATGAAGCGTACCGTTCGTCGGGCACCGTGATGATCTGTAGGGAGGCCGACCCACCGCCCTTCAGACAGGCGTGGATCGCCGAGAAATAGGACGGTAAAAAGGCGTGGCCGACGGCCTCGATCATCTCACAGGACAGCACGCGATCGAACAAGCCCAGCTTGTCTCGCGCGTCGCGATAGTCGCAGAAGACGACCCTGGCATTGCTCTTACCTTCCAACCGTTGCGAGGCTTCGTTCAACTGTTCCCGGGAAATAGTGATGGCCACGTACTCACAGTTCGGGAAGCGTTCCGTACACCGCAACGCTAGACTACCCCAGCCGCACCCGATCTCTAGTATTCTATCACCATCGCGCACGCCGGCCTTGTCCAGTAATGAATCTAGTTTCCTACGTTGCGCTGCCGCTAACACGTCGTCTGATGCGTCTTCGTCCACAGTACCTCTCCGACCGTCATCTACCAGTAAACCTTCCCTTCGTAAGTAGGGCTCGTGGTCATCATACAAAGCTGAGGAGTAGGTGAGGGTTTCATCCAACCACAGCTCATAAAAGGCATTGGACAAATCATAGTGCGCCGCGATGTTCTTCAAGCTACCTGACTTAGTATTGGCGTTGAACGCGTGTTGGATGACGTCGGTGAACCGCTTGCCGACTGTGAGGAGTGATCGCGACGCCACGTTCTGGGGACTATCGCCCGCATCCTTATTTTTACATTTCAGGGCGGCATGTAACACAGCTCGAATAGACGGCTTCAGGTCGAGGCTCCCCTCCATGTACCCCTCGGCCAGCCCCATCGACGGATCAGCTAATAACCGCCAGGCCGCTCGTCCGTCTAGGATTCTTACCTCAACTCTCTCTTTACTAGAGACGGCGTCGGCCGCTATTAAGTCGAGACCTTCCGGTAAAGTCAGGACGATCTCCGGCCGCGGTCTCGTTTTATCAGCAGTCCTTGCTGCTAGCGCTCGAGCGCCGCGACAGACACATCTTAAAGCCGTCTTCGTCAAGGATGAACTGGCTACAAATGGTGATCGAGCGATAGGGGTCGTCGTACCACACAAAGCATCCACAGCATCGTAGGCCGATTTGAGGCCGTCCTCGTGGAAGCCGAAGCCGCACCAGGCGCCGGCAAAATAAATACCCTCGTTCCCCTGGAGTGATGGTAATGACTCCCTCCATTTCTGCGACGCCGCATCGAGCACGGGATGTTGTAACGTCCGCCGCCATAAGGGGGCTGGCGTAGATCCATTCAAGGTAATAAACAGGTCCTGATCATCGACACCGGGCTGTAGCACATTCGCCCAGTAGGTCAACACGCCGTTCGGCCGGCAGTTCCAGGCCGCCCACGCGTTTCTGTCAGAAGGCATGAGCGACGCGTCGCGGTGGACACAGACATCATTTTGCGTTACCTTGAGCTGCTTGAGTAGGTCCGGCGCCTGGTCCCCTAGTATGGTAGAAGCCGTCGGCGCGTCGCACGCGAGTATAACAGCGTCGAAGGCCAGGGCCGTCGGTGAATCGGACTCTATTAACCACTTATTGGAGCGATCCTTATGTACAGCGCGCACCCTCGATGATAGTCGATACGCGTCCCGCCCGACCTTCTCGACTAACTTCGTAACGTAGTCCTGCGATCTTAACCGCGGCGTTCGCCACGCCGGCCGCGACCGGTCGAGCATGTAGTGGTTCGCCAGAAACTGGGCCACGCCCAAGATCGGAAACTCATCTAACACATCGCCCTGCGTACGCGACCAGATGGCCCCGACCATGGGCTCGCAGTATTCTCGAGCTAGCCTTTCCGAGAAGTTATTTTCGTTTAACCATTCTTGTATGGACAAAGACGGATCTTCTTCACTCTGCAAGAGCTGTTTGCACTTTTTCTCGAACTTGAGGATCTCCATGAGTAAAGACAACCGCTGCCAGAGTTTGCTTGGTGACAACAAACAACCAACTAACGGGTTCTTCGAGGACCAGCACTGCGTGCCCTCACACGACAGGCTCATGTCGCTCTGGACGTGCTGCACGCCTAGTTCATCGAACAGTTTTGACAGTCTCGGGTAGTTCGCGAGGTTGAAGACCTGGAAGCCCACGTCGACAGCACGGCCCTCGACCTCGACCGTAAGCGCGTGGCCGCCCGGTATTGATGAGGCCTCGAAGACCGTGACGTCGACGCCGCGCTTTTTTAGTAAGTAAGCAGCACCGTTGCCCGCAATGCCACTACCGATGATGGCGACGCGCTTTCCAGTAGCATTACCGGCTAAATTCTCCTCAGTAGCCAGCATCGGCGTACTGTTATTTTTCGGGGACTCGACCATCTCGAAAGGTACATCTTTGGTATCCTTTGATGACACGTTCTTCGATGAACTTTTCCTTGACAATACAGACGCGGCGCGCTGTAAGACGCTGACGGCCGCCGTCGCGATGAGGTACTGAGGCGCATGCAACCGTCTCAACAAGTAGTAGGCCAACAAGCGATACCGCGAATGATAGATCACCTCGATACATCGCGACATGGCCGTCTTCACGCCGCTTGGATGAGGGTAGAATTTTGCACCTTTTGCTAGTAAGAGGGCGGCGTGCGCGTGGATTAACAAGACGGCGGTATGTGGGGTCAGTTTGAGAGCCGTACGCACTCTCCCTAATGTTGTGGAAGGCGCCGTCGACGCGGCACCGTCGAACGTGGCCACGAAATACGGCTTATCATTTCTCGACACGTCGACCCTTAGAGACACATTCTCAGAAGGAAACGGCGCCGTCCACTTGTACATTTGGCCCATGGGCTGGAAGGGCGACACGTGCATCTTCTTCATATCTTCATATGTATCTTTTGTATTAACGGGATGTACGTAGAGCGTTTCTTCCAGCCAAGGCGTATTCGACACTTCAAAAACAACATAGGCCGGCTTGTCATTCGCATCCCTCACGTAGTAGACGGAGATGGGGTTGAAGACGTAGCCGAAGGTCCGAGGCATCGTCAATAGTGAGACCGAACCGAGGCCCGTACGTCTACTACCTTGAAAGTGCTTGATCACACTATCGGGCGAGTCCACTCTTTTTAAAGAGCCTCCTCGTTCCCGACAGAGAGATCGGACGGCGTCCGCGACGTCTTTTGGTGTCTTCCTCTCCCCGGGCCTCGACCTCAGATGGTCCGCGGCGCGCCACCGGATACATCCTTTCTCAAGGGTGCGCATGGCCTCGGGATCATCCAAGGGCAATAACCACATGGCATGCGACGCGGAGAAGCGATGTCTAGGTTCGTTGGCAATCGGCGCGCGCGCGTGCACCACAGTACCGTCGTACACGACAGGTAATGGAGGCGCCTCCTCGAGGCTCCGCAAGAACGCGAGGTGGTCCCCCAGAGCTTTTGTGGCGGACGGCAGGACGTGGTGGTCCAGGCCTCTTCTTTTTGTGACATCTTGTACTATAGATGATAGCTCCGGTAGGTGCGAGTGGTGCACGGTCGGAAAGAGGTGGTGCTCCACTTGTCTATTGAGGCCGCCCGTCAATCTCGCAACTAACGGCGAGTCCGGCGCGAAATCGCACGCATTCGCAATTTGCTGCGAGGCCCAGGATCGAGGCGCATTCGAGGGCCCCTCGATCGTGGCCTCCAGTAAATGCGCCACCTGCGTCACGGCCATAAAAACTAAAGAACCAGAGCAGGCCGGAATCAAGACCCACGTTACCGCTGTGAGTGGTGAGTAGACGTAGAAGGGCCAGAGGAAGAATGCCAGCGCATGTATTAACCGTCCGGCGAAGTGCGCCACGTGCCTTATCATACTTCGTTCGCCCTCGTGCACCGTCGAGGCGGGGTAGACGCCGTCGTTCTTGCGCACGCGTACCGGTGCCAGTAAAGTTATGGCTGCCGGTAGAGCCACGAGCCACACGAGCAGCGCATCAAAAGCTTTCCCGACGCCAGTTAATGCTTTCATGTAGCGCCGCGCGTGGACGACGTCCGGGTCCTCGCCTTCCACGTTCGGCGCGACGTGGTGGCCGAGGACGTGCTGCAGCGTCCACTCGTGCGGCGACGTGTAGGCGACGCCCGCGTAGGCCAGCGCGACGTTGACCCAGCGCTTGGTCGAGATGGCGTAGTGCGACGCGTCGTGCATCACCGCGAAGGCTAGTAACTGGCCGAGCGGGCCGAGTGCTATCAACCCGACGTAGCTCCCTCGACACCATGAAACATAGGACGCGAGGAAGGCCGTCACTACTACAATTAACCAGGGCCAGTACGCCGTGGGCGCCTTCGTGGCTGCATTCAATGATGTTTTTGATGCATGAGCTTTCCTGCGGAACAACCACCGCACCCTCGTCCCGAGTTCGCCGCCCAAGTCGCGCTCTATTAAATGGGACGGAGGTTCTGATGGAGGCACGCGGCCTTTCTGCGATAATTCATTGAAGCTCGATGCTTCCCGCTCGATGCGCGCGAGATGTGCTGATACATTATCGCCCTCGCTGTACGCGTCTGGTTTTGCTCGTCGCACGATGCGTCGCTCGAGCTCCTTGTCTCTGACCCTCATATGCGTCAACCACGCTCTAGTTTTCTGCGGGTCCGCGAAGCCGTGGAGGCCCGCCCACGTCCGACTCAGGTCCCGGCCGCCCGCGAAGGTTAGTGCCAAAGCGCCGCCGGGGTGGCGGTCGCCGAGCTTTCGTAGGTCATAGGCCGCTCCTTCTAAGACCGTGTAGTGCTGTAGCTCGTCGTCGCGCAGCGGCGGCACTATAGCAGCCAGGGTGGCAGGGCTCGGGGGCCTCTGGCCACCACGCCCCATTATGTTCTACTTGCTGTATATTTTGAGATGGTCGTGTAGTGGTATATACAAATGTCGGAATTGCCAGACTTGCTGTTCCGTCGCTGTTGAGTGCCCGCGAGTAACTTCACTGCCGCCTGTGGAGAGGGCATGGTCCCGGCGGGGCGCCACGCGCGACCGCGAGGATGGCTCTCACGCGTCTCGAGGAGGGACTCCTACTCTCCATACCGGTGCGCGAGCGCCCTGAAACAAAATGCTCGAAAGGCTGCATCATCACAGGCATCGACGAGGCATAGGCTGTCGCGACGCCTGCTGCACCTATTGCAACACCAGTTGCTGTCGGATCTATATTTCATATTTCGCCAGCAGCCATAATGAAAACTGCAGCAGTTATCGCGTCCCTGGCCCTGATGCCGGCGAGCGCCTTGGTGGCACCCGCGGCGCCCGTCCGGCCGTCGACGGCACTGGCAGCCAGGCAGCCGATCACGGGCGGCAACTGGAAGATGAATCCCACGAGCCTAGACGACGCGCGCGAGCTGGCGAAGAGCGTCGCGGCCGCCGCCGGCTCGAGCGCCGCCGAGGGCATCGTCTTTCCCCCGTACCCGTTCATCGGCCCCGTCGGAGAGATCATCAAGGACACCAAATTAAACTTAGGAAGCCAGTCCATCTTTTTTGAAGATAAGGGCGCCTACACCGGTGCCGTCAGCGCGTCGATGGTTAAGTCTCTCGGCGTCAAGTACGTCCTCGCGGGCCATTCGGAACGTAGAACCCTCTTCAAAGATAATGATGCCGCGATCAACAAGAAAGTATTAAAGATCATTGAAGGGGGCATGATCCCCGTCCTATGCATCGGCGAGACGAAGGAAGAGTTCGACGCCAACTTGTGCGAGTCCGTCTGCGCGATCCAGCTCGCCAAGGATTTAGCGGGCGTGTCGGCGGCGGACGTCAAGACCATGATTATTGCGTATGAGCCCGTCTGGGCCATCGGCACGGGCCTCGTGTGCCCCTCCGAAACCGCGCAAAAGGTCCACAAGTTTTTGAGGGCCAAGCTCGCGTCCATGTACGATCAGGCGACGGCCGACGCCGTGCGCATCCAGTACGGCGGGTCGGTCACGCCGGACTCCGTCGACGAGCTCATGTCCATGCCGGACATCGACGGGTGCCTCGTCGGCGGCGCGTCGCTCGACGGGGAGAAGTTCGGCCGGATCCTGAACTTCAACTAGGGTGCGTAGGAGTTTGTTGGCGAATTATTAGTACGTACTTTGGGGGGAGAAAAAAATAGCGCCTCGCGGCGATGGCGTCTGGGAGGGGCCTAGACGACGGCGACCGTCGGCTCCGCCGCAATATAGGGCTCCGCCGCCACCACGGGCGGCGCGAGGGTCGCGGCGGGCGGCGCGACGGCGGCCTCTTCGGCGTCGCCCGCGAGCAGGGAAAACCCATAGAGCTCCCGCAGCCCCGCCGCCTCGCGCGCGTTCGGGTCGATCGTGTCCTCGACGTACAGGACGCGCCGCCACGCGCCGTACATGAGTAGCGCGCCGGCCACGACCACGACGGCGAGCCAGAGCCAGAAGCTCACGCCCAACAGCCATATAGTAATATATAGAAATGACGTCATGTGCAGCGTCCGTAACGTGAGCGGCCAGGCGATGACCGTCCAAAATCCAGAACATCGGTGGCCGCACATCTGGCCCGCAGCCGTCGCCGGACAAACATCGTCGCAGGAGCAGCACGCCGGCGGTTGGGCGTTGCCGGCCTGCTGCGCCGCGGCGTCGTTCCGCGCCACTTCCAACGCGAGCAGGTGGCTGCACATCAACCGCAGGGGCAGCCAGTACCACGTGAAGATCAGCGCTAGCACGAACAAAAAGAATCCTTCGTTCGGCGTGATGGTCCCGTACTTGGAGTGGCGTCGCTCGTCGTGGAGCTCGAAGGCCGAGTGGCCGTCCATGAACGCCGTGACGATGCACGTCAATGCGACGCACTGCGCCGTCGCGTAGCCTACCGCGGTAGCCGCGGCGTAGGCTGCCCCCGCTTTTCGCTGAGCCGTCGGGCCGCGGTGGTGGTGCGCCCTCCTTCTATTCTGCCTCCGGAGGGCTGATACGTGCCACAAATCTTCGATCAAGCAGAAGACGCCCCAGCAGCCCAGGAAGACGAGGAGTAATGATAACGCCTCGGGTAGCGGCAACGAGAAAAATATGATGACCAAGATCCAGAACGCGAGGACGAACGCGATCAGGGCCGTCGCCATGGCCGGCACCGCGAGCACGAACAGCCCGAGGCAGTAGCTCGACAGGACGTGATCTAGAGGACATCTCTCTGGATTTTTCTGCCACCACAGGAGCAGCTTCCCTAGCGTCGGAATGAGTAGAGCCAGCACGACGAGCACGAGCTGCCAGTGCCACGTCAAGAACAACAAAAGGATGAGCCCGAGTAATGCGAGCTGCGCGTAGGTCCACGGTTTCAATTTGTAGAGCTGGCCCTGGATGGTCTTCGCCTCCATCGAAAGCTGCGCGGCGCGCGGGTCGCTCGCGTTGTTGGCCGCGTCGATGGTCGCCTTGTGCATCTCGACTTCCGCGAGGTCGGCCTCGGGCGCGTTGGTGCCGGCGGGGGACTGCATGGTTCGTTTTGTGTTAGCTTTGGGCGCCCGGCTCCGTTCCTGCGCGCTTTATCAGCCACTCCTTACTTGGTGCTGCTCCTGGGCTGCCGGCTGAGCGCTTTTGAGGTTATAGATGGGGCGCAGTGGTGCGACAAGGTCAGAAGCTTCTTTTCGAGCAGATGCGCGGTAGTCACGCCTGTGAATCAGCGTGATTTCGGGCCACATTGCTCGATTCAGGAGTACGTGCGGGTTTTTCGAAGCTCACAACCAACGTATCCGCCCGTCACGCCTCTGACCCCTCGCACACACAAGCCGGAAGCGAAGGGCTGCCCGGGCAGCCCGCACGAAGCTGTGCCTTTTGAAAACTGCCAAACGCATATTAGCATCGCGTTTGCGCCTGCGCCCGCCTTTATTTTGCGCAAACGCAGCGCGCGCGCCGTCACAGAGCCGACCGCCGCTCGCGCGCGGCGCGGCGCCGTTGCGCGGCGCCGCCGCGGCGGGCTGCCCACCAAATAATTCGCTTCCAGGGATTTAGAAGCGCCCGCGAGCACAGGGAATCACGCCGCCTCTCCCGCAGGTTTCAGCAACAACAACTACTCTAGCAACCATGCGCGAGATCGTCCACATCCAGGGCGGCCAGTGCGGCAACCAGATCGGCGCCAAGTTCTGGGAGGTCATCTCCGACGAGCACGGCGTCGACCCGACGGGCACGTACCACGGCGACTCGGACCTCCAGCTCGAGCGCATCAACGTCTACTACAACGAGGCGACGGGCGGCCGCTACGTGCCGCGCGCCATCCTCATGGACCTCGAGCCCGGCACCATGGACTCCGTCCGCGCGGGCCCCTTCGGCCAGCTCTTCCGCCCGGACAACTTCGTCTTCGGCCAGACGGGCGCGGGCAACAACTGGGCCAAGGGCCACTACACGGAAGGCGCGGAGCTCATCGACTCCGTCCTCGACGTCGTGCGCAAGGAGGCCGAGTCCTGCGACTGCCTCCAGGGCTTCCAGCTCGTCCACTCCATGGGCGGCGGCACGGGCGCCGGCATGGGCACGCTCCTCATCTCCAAGATCCGCGAGGAGTACCCCGACCGCGTCATGTCGACGTACTCCGTGATCCCGTCGCCCAAGGTGTCGGACACGGTCGTCGAGCCCTACAACGCGACGCTCTCGGTGCACCAGCTCGTCGAGAACTCGGACCAGTGCTTCACGCTCGACAACGAGGCGCTCTACGACATCTGCTTCCGCACGCTCAAGCTCACGACGCCGACGTACGGTGACCTAAACCACCTCATCGCGGCGGCGGTCTGCGGCACGACGTGCTCGCTCCGCTTCCCGGGCCAGCTCAACTGCGACCTCCGCAAGCTCGCGGTCAACATGGTCCCGTTCCCCCGGCTCCACTTCTTCATGGTCGGCTTCGCGCCGCTCACGTCGCGCGGCTCGCAGCAGTACCGCGCGCTCACGGTGCCGGAGCTCACGCAGCAGCAGTTCGACGCCAAGAACATGATGTGCGCCGCCGACCCGCGCCACGGCCGCTACCTCACGTGCTCGTGCCTCTTCCGCGGCCGCATGTCCACGAAGGAGGTCGACGAGCAGATGCTCAACGTCGTCAACAAGAACTCGTCGTACTTCGTCGAGTGGATCCCGAACAACGTCAAGTCGGCCATCTGCGACATCCCGCCCAAGGGCCTCAAGATGGCGACGACGTTCATCGGCAACACGACGGCCGTCCAGGAGACGTGGAAGCGCGTCGCCGAGCAGTTCACGGCCATGTTCCGCCGCAAGGCGTTCCTCCACTGGTACACGGGCGAGGGCATGGACGAGATGGAGTTCACCGAGGCCGAGTCCAACATGAACGACCTCGTCTCCGAGTACCAGCAGTACCAGGACGCGACGGCCGAGGAGGAGGGCGAGTTCGACGAGGACGAGGAGGGCGACGACATGATGTAGATATCTCCCCCCACCTAATTTTTGACTTGGAATTACGCATCAAGTGAAACCCGCGAAGAACTAGCCGTGGAGCGCCCGGAGCCGCTCCAACTCGGCCCGCGCTTCCTTGACCTTGGCCAGACCTTTGTCCGTCGGCAGCTCCTTCACTTGAGTGGAAGAATACAAGCCCCTCAGTCTATCATTCTCGGCTTTCAACTCCGCCACTCTCCTATTCGTCGACCGGTCCTTCGCGTTCGACTCCTTGCGCCAGGCCTCCTGCAGCGATTTCAGTTTTGCGTCGGCCTCGTGGCGCTCGCGCGCCATGTACGCCGCGAAGGCCGCGTCTCCCGCTTCGTCGCCGTCGGCCTCGGCGTCCAATATGCGTAATCTATCTTTAATCTTCCGCGCGAGCATGTCGCGCTTCTCCGGGGGGGCTCGTTCGACGATCGCCTCCTGGACCTCGCACTCATTTTCCACCAATTCTTCCTCTTCGTTGGTCTTCTGACTCTTGACCTTCTCGAAGCCTAGTCTAATAAGTGCCTGGTGCTCCTTTGCACCAGCGAAGCATTCTAGGAAGAGATCGTACTCGTCACATGGTTCGTCGTCGAAGGTCGCAAGTATATAACCCGCCTTGAGCCGACCGGCCGCCGCCTGGCCCTCCTCGTCGACCTTCGTCACGACGGCCCGTCCGTCGTCGCCGCGCTTCAGATGTAACCCAAGCTTCCGATTCGTGTCGAAGACGCACTGGTGGAGCTTTTTTTCTTCCTTCTCAGGTTCTTTCGTCTCGCCCCAGGCTTCCAGGGGCCCGACGGCGTCATTGTCTTCTGCGGCGTCCTCCGTCGTTGTCAGGGCCGTCTCGGGCTTGACGACGACGGCGTCCTCGGCCTCGGCGTTGAGCGTGCTCTCCAGGGCCGCCATGGGTGCTCGCGGCGACGGGGCAGCCTCCGCGTCCATGCAGGGGGCGACACGCGTTCCGTGCGCGTTCTTGCGCTGCTGCGACGGGCGCGCGGACTCCAAGAGCGCGGGCAGCCCAACGACGACGATCTCGAGCCCGATGGCGCCTGTGTTTTCGCAGGGATCCGTCGCCGGGCGGGTCCGAGCTGTCCTGCTACGAGAAGTCGCTTCCTCCGTGGCTCGCTAGTACCTCTCCACGCTAATATTATACAGTCCAGCGCCGCGCAAAACCAAACGCGTCTGCGGGGTAATCGATCTCGGGACAGCGCCGCTGCCTTAGAACGTCTCTGGGCAACTAGTTTTCGGAAGCGCAAGGCAGGAACCAGTACCACCAGGGACCGGGAGCTGTAAGCGGACAGGCAGCCTTTGGACCGCGCCATGTCGTCCGAGGTCGAGGAGACCCTGAAGAGGATCCAGTCCCACCGCGGCGTCAAGGGCGTGCTCATCGTCTCCGCCGACGGCGTACCGATAAGATCGAACCTCGACGACGACGAAACGCAAACGTACGCCGCTCTACTCTCACAATTAGCCACCAAAGCAAGGAACGTCGTGCGCGTTTTAGATGATCAGGACGAGCTCGCCTTCTTCCGGATTCGAAGCAACAAGCACGAGATCATGGTCGCGCCGGACCCCGAGTATCTGCTCATCGTCGTCCAGGAGAACGTCAAGTAGCGAGTGATCAAGGGTGAGTAAGTTTTGACGAATCTTATAGGGTAGCTAGTCGGTGCGCGTCGCGCGCTCCACGACGCTTAGAGCTGGCCGCAGTCGGTGATGACGACCGGCTTGGCCGTCGCGCCGGACCCCGAGCCGACGGCCTCGATCTTCTTGACGACGTCCATGCCCTTGGTCACGGAGCCGAAGACGACGTGCTTGCCGTCGAGCCAGTCGGTCTTGACCGTGCAGAGGAAGAACCTGCGTGTGATTGTACCGTCGACATTGCCCTTGTATGCTCTCTCGGAGGACTGGAATCTGACATCGGACTGGAGTCTGACGCGCCACCGTGGCGCCCATCGGTCAAATGTATCAAATGCATCCGGTGGGGTTCGAACCCACGCCTCCGGAGAGATTGGGGCTTAAATCCAACGCCTTCGTGGCTCGTCATAGACGAAAGACCAACTCGGCCACGGATACAAATGTGCAGAAAGGACTTTGTGCGCGATAGTGACAGGGTTCGAACGCGCATCGATTTTGTGAGAATCGATCCTGCGACCCTTGCGGGAGTAGATTTCAAGTCTACCGCCTTAACCACTCGGCCACACTATCGTAGTCCAATCCGCAAGCAAGACCGATGCGGGAGTCGAACCCGCGACCTTCAGATTTCCAGTCCGTCCAGATCGTGGTGCGTCGAGACGCACCACGCTATCGAGCAACAACTCCGACGGGACTCGAACCCGCAACCCCCAGATTCGAAGTCTGATACGCTATCCATTGCGCCACGGAGTTGAATGAAAGGACGCGGCCGCGGTACTGGGAGCCGTTCGTGCCCGGGCCGGCGTTGGCCATCGAGAGCACGCCGGGGCCCGTGTGGCGGAGCTGGAAGTTCTCGTCGGCGAACTTCTCGCCGTAGATGGACTCGCCGCCCGTGCCTGCGCGTGCGCGCGTGACCGGCCCGGTCTCGGCGTGCGAGGCTCCACCTCCGCGCCGTCGAGCAGCAACAACTCCGACGGGACTCGAACCCGCAACCCCCAGATTCGAAGTCTGATACGCTATCCATTGCGCCACGGAGTTGTGTGTGTGTGGAGGAGCAGGGGTTTGAACCCTGGGCTTTCCGCATGCAAAGCGGACGCTCTGCCACTGAGCTACACCCCCAAATATGCATAGGACGCGGCCGCGGCACCGTTGCCGCGCGTGAAGTCGCCGCCCTGGCACATGAAGTCCGTGATGACGCGGTGGAAGGTGGAGCCCTTGAAGTAGAGCGGCTTGCCCGAGCGGCCCGTGCCTGCGTAGGAACGTACCGTCGACACGCGCTCTATGACCGATACGCGATTCGAACGCGTAACCTTCAGGACTGGAATCTGACGCGCTACCGTTGCGCCAATCGGTCCAAATGCATCCGGTGGGGTTCGAACCCACGCCTCCGAAGAGATTGGGGCTTAAATCCAACGCCTTAGACCAACTCGGCCACGGATACAAATGTGCGGAAAGGACTTGTCGTGATGATGGTGGGGTTCGAACCCACGCCCGAAGACTGGTGCCTAAAACCAGCGCCTCTGGTCGCTCACAGGAGCTTAGACCACTCGGCCACATCATCAACGTGCGCGATAGTGACAGGGTTCGAACGCGCATCGATTTTGTGAGAATCGATCCTGCGACCCTTACGGGAGTAGATTTCAAGTCTACCGCCTTAACCACTCGGCCACACTATCTTGCACAAAGTCCAATCCGCGGAGAGACCGATGCGGGAGTCGAACCCGCGACCTTCAGATTTTCCAGTCCGTCCGGTGTCGCGTCGACGGCGTTCATGTGTGCATCCGGTGGGGTTCGAACCCACGCCTCCGAAGAGATTGGGGCTTAAATCCAACGCCTTCATGGTTCATCATAGATGAAAGACCAACTCGGCCACGGATACTGAACGGCCGCCGCGCGATCGGCGAAACAACTCCGACGGGACTCGAACCCGCAACCCCCAGATTCGAAGTCTGATACGCTATCCATTGCGCCACGGAGTTGTTTGAGAAAAGAGGGACGCGGCCGCGGCACCCTTCTCGCCCGTGCAGAGGCAGCGGAAGTTCTCGGCCGTCTTCGGGACGACGTCCGCGCGGAGCGTCATCTCGATGCGCCCCGCCGGCTGGCCGCCGATGGACATGTCGAAGAAGACCTGCGCGCGTTTTGGCGGTCGGCGGTCGCGGCGGATTTTTTGCATGTTTTATGTGGATGCGTGCAGGGCTGCGGCGGCGACGGGCGTGCTCCACTCGTGGCTGCTCGCTTGCTGCAGGGCGCCGCCGCGCGTCACGCGCGCAGAGCATCAGCGAGGCAGGCCTCCTGGCCTTTCCTCGGTCGCTGATTGCCGCGGTTGCACGAAAATCGCAGAGCGCTGTCACTTTGACGTACTAAGACGCTGATGCAAACAATAGGGTTCGCCATGACTGATGGGTGATTTTCTCGGGTGTGGCGCGAGTCTATGGAGCTCGGCACGGCGCCGGTTAGCTCCTCCTGGGAACGGATCAAAGGTCCAGACGAGCACTGCTGCGAGACGCCTCTGGACCGCTCTGTTGACGGAAGTTCGCCGGTTGGCGGGCCTCGTTGGCAAGAGGTACTATACTTATAGGGTAAGGTACCTTGTCGTTGGTGCACCTGCGAAGCGGCGCTAAGACGCGCGGTAAAAACCCTTTGCGACATTCACGCTTCGTCGCAGGGCTGCTGCGACTTCGTTTCATTGAGAACTGCGCGCGCGCAGACCGACGCCGCCGCCGTGCGCACTCCTGCTGAGGCTGCACTGTGCAGAGTCAACGGGCAGCACCGACGCGCCGCCGACGCGCCAGGCATTACAGGAAGCCGACGCGCCGCCGACGCGACGACAATGTCCGCCCAGCGCATGTTCTACGCCGTAGCTAGAGGAAGAGCAACGGGCGTCTTCGGGTCCTGGCCCGAGGCCGAGAGACTCGTGAGCGGCTTCGCGGGCGCGCGGTTCAAGAAGTTCAAGAGCCAGTCCGAGGCCGCGGCGTTTGTGCGCGGGAGCCCCGCGCCCGCCACGCGCGCTTCGTCCACGACGAAGCCGAAGCGTACAACGTACAAGCCGCCGAAGGGCACCGTCGCCGTCTACACGGACGGCGGCTGCCGCGGCAACCAGAACGTCGACAGTAAGCGGGACCAGCCGGCGGGCTGGGGGTTCATCGCGGTCCGCGACGGCAAGGTGCTGGCGGAGCGGTGGGGGCCGGTCGTGATCGACTCGGGACACGCGCACTACCTCGGCGCGGAGAAAAAATCGAACAACACGGGCGAGCTCAGCGGCGTCGCCGAAGCCCTGCTGTGGCTGCGCGACGAGGAGGGGAGCGACGGGCCGGCGGCTTTATGTTATGATTCCACGTACGCGGCGAACATCACGTCCGGCGCGTTCCGGGCCCACAAGAACGTCGACCTCGCGAAGACGTGTAGGGACCTGTACTGTTCCGAGGGCACGCGGCGGAAGCGGAAACTCGCGTTGGAGCACGTCAAGGGCCACAGCGGCGACGCGCTGAACGAGCGCGCGGACGCGCTCGTGCAGCGCGGCGTCGCGGGCGAGGCGTCTGGTAGGGGGAGCGCGGCGCCGGCGCCCGAGTTCGAGCTGCCCTCTTCTACAATTGATGCGGCGACGGCCGCGGCGATCGAAGAACGGCGGCTCGCGGCCGTCGCGCGGCGCGACAGCAAGAAGCGCGCCGCAGCCGCGAGTGGTGGGGAGGCGCCATCGAAGAAGAAGGCGGCAGCATAAATTAGAACTATGTTATTACACAACACCGTCATCGTCGGTCGCCGGTAGTTTCTTGAGGTAGACGTTTTCTCCTTTCTTGATGACCGCGTAGGACTTGTAGCCGCGCAGAGCCATGCGCGTCGAGCGCAACACAGCGAGGAATGCCTTGAGCATCCGCGTCGCCGCGAGAAACAGCACGGAGTAGTCGGCTTCCCGCGTGCCGAGCTCGATAATTTGTCGTTGGATCTCCATCAAACTCAACGACACGGCCGTGGCGCCGATCAACAGCTCCGTGACGGGCGCCTCGAGGAAGTTGATCGTGCGGTCCTGTGTGGAAATCAACCAGTGAGTCGGGTGCATCGTCATGATTCGAAGCGCCGCGAAATTTGATTCTTCACAGGTGCGGTCGATCCAACCCTGTGGTACTTCTTTGAGCTGGTTGAAATCCTTTGCGACGGGCGTTTCGACGACTGGGGCGTCCGCAGGCTTCGACTCGACTCGACTCTCGCGGCGAGACCGGTCTCGACTACTCCTACCGTAAGTAGGCCATCGACGTGTCCCTCTCTTCCTCGGTTTCTTGGCTTTCTTGCCGGTTCCGCCGCGGACGCGTAGCGCATCCGTCGCGTTGTCGCCGCCGCGCACGCGCATTGCTGCTGTCCGTCGTCGCACCGACGGCGTCGGCGCGGCATGCGACTTCGGCGGCGTCAGGGCGTGCAGCGGTGCGATGCATGCGAGCAGTTTGAGCGTGCTGAGTAGCATCATAGCTTATTTCCAGCAATGCTTCGCGCTGCGGCGAGTTATTGCTGCAAAACTACCTGGTGTGCCACTGGTGGAGTGCTGCGCGCGCGACGGCGTGACTGTGAGATTTGATTTGTCTGCTCCTGACCGCGGGCCACACGTGCTTGCACGCAAAGCTTGAATCACGTTACGTCGGCGCGTACACCGCTTTCAAAACTCGAGGCTGAGGCGCTCTCTTTGCCACCTGTAATTTTGACTGCTCAGGCTCGCCTAGCGATCGTTTACACGCGCCAGCGCTTGCACAACGCGTTTGGCATCGACAGTGGTCGTAGACTGCAAAACCCAACTTCTACACGCGCAGCATCTCCTGGCACCACGCTGCGTGCCACTGCAGCAGCAACTCACCGCAGCAACGCCGCCGACGCAACAATGATGGAGCGCCAGTGGCCGACCGTCCTCGCCACGGCCATCGCGGGAGTGGTAATAGCGGCACTGGGCATTTATAAATCAAAAAAGGAAGCGCTCGGCTGCGACGGCGCCGAGGCAACGCAGTGGCTCGTGCTCGTGCGCCACGGCGACCGCATGGACTACGCCATGCCGGCGTGGAGGGCCCGCATCCAGGCCCTCGGGCGCTACCCGCGCGACCCGCCGCTCTCTACGCTCGGGCACCGGCAGGCGCGGCAGCTCGGGACTGCTGCGGCCGCAACACTAAAACGGCGAGGCGGCGCGGTGCGCGTGCTCAGCTCGCCCTACCTACGGTGTCTGCAGACGATTACGCCGCTCTGCGACGCGTTGGACGTGCCTTTGGAGCTATATCCGGAGATCGCGGAGGTGCTCCACCACCCGCGGAACGTGGCGCCCTACGCCGAGCGCTTCCAGTATTTTCCTCGGCTTGTTGACCGGGCCGACCCGCACACCGGCGACGACGAGGAGACGTGGCCGTTGGGATACCTGGAGCGCATGGCCGCGACGGAGTGGAACTTGACGGAGCTGCTCGACGCCGAGCTAGGACGAGGGCGGTCGACGGTTGTCCTCACTAGCCATGCGGCGAGCGTTGCACTTGTCTCCCGTCTCCTCGGGGTCGAGCTCACGGTGGACCTCAAATTCGCCCCGTGCGGCGCGTACGTCTTCGCCCGCGACGCGAAGGGCGACGCCTGGCGCCTGCTGCGGTCAGGAGATTCGAACGCGCCCTACGTGACGGAGAACGCGAAGACGACGTATCCCTGGGGCTACAAACCGCAGTACCTCGAAAAGTGGGCGGAGACGCACGGCGGGCAGCGGTACCCGCGCGGGGCTTCCTACGAGTGGCTCTCCGCGTTTCGCGGCGCGAACCTGGCCCGTCAGGGCGAGGCGTCGGTCAGCGTGCAAAAGTAACATGTCTTCTCTACTACAAGACACTACTGGGGGTTTATGAGTTCCCATGCGATTTGGGCTTAGAGTAACATGTCTCTTCTTACAGGACCACAGGGGGGATTTTCAGGGGATTTCTCATGCGAATTGGGGCGCGTCGCGTCGGCCTTGGGCCGCGCGCGGGCAACATCTTTCAATTTTTCAGTCGTCGCCGAGGCCTCTATACGCCACGTTGGGCGTGACCTCGGCGGAGCTCGGTATTTGGGCCGGCGGGATCGTCATGCTCGTATCGGCCGGCGCCGGCGCTGGGATTGGCGGAGAGAACCGTCGGGACAGCGGCGTCCCGTCGCGCGCGAGCGGCCTCGGCTGTCGGGCCATCGTGTAGACGGGCTGACGCGCGGCGCCGTCGAGGATTCCCAGCGGCATCGTCGCCGGGCCGCGGCAGGCCTCGGCCAGGGGCGGCGTCTGCGCCGCGCCGCTTTTAGCGTCGGCTGGCGTGAGCGCGGTGGTGTTCATGGTCATCACGTGGCGGCGAGTGGAGAGAAGTGGGCTTGTTGGAGGGTGGTAGCCGCGTGCTTTAGCCCTGTTTGTCGTGTCAGAGCTTATTTTTGAATCCGAGGCGGCGCGGAGAGCTGGAAAAAGCTGCGCCGGACGGTAAGGCAGAGCCTTGAGTACTTTTCGAGCACTCGACTTTCGTGAGATTCGTTGTGCGCGGCGTGCGGACCCGCTTATCTTCCGCCGGCTTGTTCGTGCTGGGCCTCCTTCGCGGCTTGCCCTAAGGATGAAGCTGGCCAGCATCCGAATAGCCCTCTGCCTAGCCCTGCTACCGGTCCGGGACAGGAGGGCAGCTCCAGGGCAAGCTGCGGGGGGGGCGACGGGGGCATCACTACGACCACAGCACACGAACGACGCGCGGGACGAGCAATCGAGCATAGAGTCCGACAGAGAAGCTGCATCCCCGCAACTTACTCCCCACCAAGCCTGCTTCAGTACGGGTCGTCGTTCAGTACGGATCATCGTCGATCAGCGGCGCGTCGACGAACGCCACGGGCCACTCGTCGCCGACGTTGTCCGACGCGACCGGCTCGCGCTTCAGCGACCTCCCATAAACTAACTGGCGGCCGTCCGGCGCGAACTGGACATCATAACGTAAACCCGGCGCGTCGATACAGGCCATCATATCACCTAACGTCGCGTCCAGGACACCCCCGAAGACAAAAACGCGGCCCTCGGCCGCCACAGCTAAACGCGTGCCGTCCCGGCTGAAATCAATGGAAGCGACGCCCGCCGTCACTTTTTCAGCGTTGCCGCGCCAGACCCAGGCCACGGCGCCGAATTGGCGGCCCGCCTCCGCGCGCGCGACGCGAACAGACGAGTCCGCGGAACCCGCCGCCAGCAGCGCGCCGTCCGGCGACCAGCAGACGCACGTCACGGCGGCGCCGAAGCCCCTTGTAATAATATCGGACGGCGCGGGCGTGCCGTCCCAGACCCTCACGGTGCAATCATCAGAACCGGACGCCAACCGCCCGTTGCACGCCGCGAGGCACCTGATGGAATCCTCGTGGTCGTGGCACGCGAGGGAAAACCGGAGATTGCCCTCCTCGAGCTTCCAGACGGCCACGTCGTGCGAGCCGCCGCCGATGGCCAGCGTGGTCTCGTCGACCCAGCACAACCCTAAGACGTAGTAGGGCTCGGGGTCGTCTTCATTCTCAGCGACGGCCGTCGCCGAGGCCAGGTTGAGGGAACACTTCAACTCGCCTTCGGCCGTCCAGACGCAGACGCGTCGCGGCCCGCCCGAGGCCAGCAAGCTCCCGTCCGGGCTCCAGGCCGTGCAGCGCACCCAGCGCCCCGTCGGATCCGCGTCGCCGTCGTGGCCTCCCCCTAATATCATGTTGGTCTTGGTGTTTGGGTCCCAGAGGGCCACGCTGCCGTCGCGGCACCCACTGCTCACGACATTGTTGGGGCCCCAGCGCAGGCCGTGGGTCCCGGCGGCGTGGCGCGTCCCGTCGTAGGCCGGCGGGCCCATCCTGGCGCGTCGACGGCGTCGAGGGGCAGCCCTACTCACGCAGAGCGGCGACGCTCTCCTTGCGCGTTAGCTGCGCGGCGGGTTTTGGCACAACGCCCGCGCACGGCTCGGAGCAACGATGAGAAGGCTGCTTACCCGGTCCGTCGCGGCGCAATCGATTAATTGCAAATAATAGCAAATCTGCCCTCATGGATCTGCTCTTTTGCCAAACGAGGCTGCTGATCGCAATATATCGCAGCAGCCGAAGCAAGTACCTGCCACTGAACGCACTATTACCCCAAGCGAGCAACGACTTCAAACAAGAGCAGCAACAACACGCATAACGAGCCGAAGCCCAATTATGGCACCTCTAGCGCTGCTGGCGGCGGCGCTTTCGACCCTGGAAGCCGGAGCTTTCATGGCGGCAGCACCAGGAAGGTCACGCGTCACCGTGGCCGCGGCAGACATGAGCTGCGACTGCGCCGTCATCGGCGCGGGCCCGGCGGGCTCGGTTATTGCGTGGCTACTGGCGGAGCGCGGCGGCCTGGAGGTCGCGCTGGTCGATCCGAACCTCGACAAACCTTGGCCTAACAATTACGGCGTATGGGAGAGTGAATTCGACGCGCTACATGCCATGATGCCCGAATTAAAGCTCAAGGACTGCGTCGACCACACGTGGCCGGTCACGGACTGCTTCTTCGAGACTGATGAAAGGCGAACGACGCTCGACAGTCCCTACTGCAGGGTGCATCGAGGACGGCTGCAAGAAACGCTCCGGACGCGTTCCGACGCGGTTGGAGTAAGACGGATACAGGCCAAGGTCCGGGGCGACGCGGCGTCGTGGTGCGCGAACATCGTCGACGGCATCCGGCACGACGCCGCGGGCTCGACGCTCGAATTCGACGACGGGCGGACGCTCCGTGCGACCTCGGTCGTCGACTGCACGGGCTTCGAATCATCATTGACGTCGCGGCAAGGCACGGGCACTGGCCCGCCGCCCACGTTCCAGGTCGCCTATGGCATCTACGGGCTGGTCGAGGAGGCTTCGCTCGCGCCGTACGACGCCGACGCGATGCTGCTCTTCGACTATAGGGATGACCATCTACCTGTGAAGGAGCGGGACGCCTCGCCGTCGTTCATGTACGCGATGCCGCTCGACCTCGACGAGGCCACGGGCCTGCGGACCGTCTCGCGCGGCGTCATCAGAGAACGTCACGTGGCGACGTCGATGGCGTGACCACACAGGTCTTCTTTGAGGAGACGAGTCTCGTCGCGCGCCCAGGGCTGCCCCTGAAGGAGCTGGAGCGACGGACCTACCTGCGGTTGGAACATCTAGGCGTCGAACTGAAAGGCAAGCACCCCGACGAGCCCGACGAACTTTCGTACATACCCATGGGCGGGCCGCCGCCGGACCCGCGGCAGCGCGTCGTCGCGTTCGGCGCCGCGGCGGCACTCGTACACCCGGCGACGGGCTACCAACTCTGTAGAATGCTCGCTGCGGCGCCAAGTGTGGCCGATGCGTTGATTACCGCCCACCGGGAGAAGAGGACGCCGGACGCGGCGGCGCGCGCGGCGTACGCGGCGGTCTGGTGCGTCCCCGAGTCGCGACGAACTCTAGCCAACCCGCCCGAGGCGGTTCCCCGCGCAGGTCGCGCGAAACGGTGCTGCAGCGCGAGTTCGCGTTGTTCGGGGGAGAGTTCCTCTTGACGCTCGGCGCCAAAGATCTGCGGGCATGGTTCGCCGCCTTCTTCGCAGTCGACGAGGACGTCTGGGGCGGCTTCCTCGGCGGCTGGCCCGGGCTTCCCGGAAACCACCACCACGAGACTCGGCTCGGGAGGCTATTATTCGGGCTGGCGTTATTACCCCGATTACCACCGTCGGTGGCTTTGAAGCTCGCGGCCTTCGTCGCGGACTACTCGTTGAACCACGGCCTCGGGCTGTTAAGGTCGCTAGCACCCGTCTTCGGCGACGGCGAGTACTTCGAGGTCGACGAGCACGAGCGGCCGCCGGTCGGCGATTTAGTTGTAAAGGCCGAAATCCGGGAGCGCGTCGCGGCGGCGCGGCACTAGTATTTCTAATATTTAAACGTATGTCCGCGCCGACGAGGACCACTCCAAAACAAAGTTAAAAATAGTTACCCGCGACCTCTGTCGACGCTAGAGTAAGCCAGGCGTCCTCGGGGTCGGCTTTCCGCAGCGTCACGACGACGTCGCCGCGCTTCGCCGCGGCCTTGCAGTGTTGTTTGGAGACGGCGTGCGCGAGCGCGACGCGGAAGTAGTACCGCGTCGACGCCGCCACATCCACGACCTCGAGGCGCAGCTCGTCGTCGAACTCGGCGAACACTGATTCATCAGTGACCGCGAACGGCACCCTCACGTACACTTTCACAGTCTTCTTGCCCGCGTCGAAGGCGTAGTCCGCTAATCTTTCAGCGGGCCACGCGTCTCTACCTGAAGCGAGGGACCGCGTCAGCGGCCAGGCTTTCTCAGAGGCACGCCTTCCTGTGAGGACGCGCACGGGCTCGGCGCCGAGCATGCCGCATTTTGGACGTTGCAACGGCGGCGGCGGGAGCTCCTCGACGACGACCGTGTCCTCGTCCTCTGATTCCTCTTCAATACGACGCTCGTCGCCGTTGTCAAAGTCGCGCCCCACGCGTTCGCACCACGCGAGCTCGGCATCATACGACGCCGCGGCGCGCCACTGGTCGACGGGCTCCACCTGATTTTCACCCCCGAATTCATATAAGTTTCTATCAGCGGCGGGGATGTGAGATAAGAGAGCTTGGGCCACGGCCGACAACCTTGGCAAAGGGTACGCCTCCGGCGCGTCTAAATGAGAAGCGACCTCGGCGACGGCGCCGCAGAGCATGCCGTCCTCGTGCTCGACGAACAACGTTCTAGTTGCGAGGTCGCCATCTATCACATCCGCTCGGAACGCCGACGGTGGCGCGTCCTTCACATCACTATCAAGCCCGAGCTCGACGAGCTCGCCATGACGGCGGTCGTACACGACACGCTTCCGCGGCAGGTCCGCAAAACCCACGGTGATCTGCACGACGCGGCGCCGCCTATGTAATGACGTGGGCCGGTAGGCGTCCTCGCCGACCGACCATCGCTGCTCCTGCTCCTCTTCGATCGGTTTCTCCCAGCCCAGCTCCCAGACGGCCTCTGTGGCGCGGCAGGGGTACTTGAAGTGCCTTCGCCATTCCGTCCATTCCCTTATACGTACAGAAACGTACTGCGCCGTGACGTCTACGTCGATGTCGCTCCGCAAGCAGTGCTCGGGCACGAAGACCGAGATGCAGTAGGTCAGAGGGTCGCTAGGATCGGGCAAAGCCTCGTACGACGCCGCGTCGACCGCCCGTAACAAGCGCCAGTCGCCCGCAAATAACGCGTCCCAGATGATTCCTGTATCCTTCTTAGTAAGCTTGAGGGCCATTAAATCAAGCTTGTCCCACGCGACAGTCTCGACGTCTACTCTCTCATCTACCTGGGAGAAGAGTTGTCGATCAATCACTGGCGTATAGCCCTCGGTCTGCACCAGCATTTTATTATTATTGATCTCCACAGTAACATCATCCGAAGGACCCTGCAACCAAACAACAACAATGACAAAGTCGCGGCTCTGCGTCCAGCCGTAGCAGTTTGATAACGGCGCGTGTTTTGGAGAGAGGCCCATGGTCTCCTTGGGCTTGACGTCGGACGCAAACCTCTTAAACAGCTCGCGCTCGTGGCGTCTTATCTCGGACGGTTTCTGCCAGATGGCGCGCATGGCCCCGTCGGGCGTCGTCGGCGCGTGCTGGGCGTAGAGGTCGGCGGTCGCGTCGCGCACTTGCTTTTTTTTTTCTCCTTTGATTGACTTGACCGCGACGGGCGCGGGCGCGGCGTCGGGTGCTGCCATTTCTGCTGTGAGGACGGTCTTGCGATCCTGCTGACAGTGTGGCGAGGGTTGAAGCCGAGTCGCCGACGGTTGCGAGCGATGTCGCGCGCGGTTTTTGGCAGTGCTTTGGCGCAGTGCTGGTGCTGGCGCCCCTGGTGCTGCCCCGTAGGAGTCACGACACGGCGTCTGCGCTCGTTGAGATTGAGAGCCGTATAAATGCTTCACAATCACAGCGTATGAAGCGCTGAAGGCAGCCGGGCGAGGAGTTAGAGGTCACCAAAAAGCAGTCCAGGGGACTGCTTTTGTTGGCGCTCGTCGCGCCTCGCAAACAGGCCGGGATTCCGTCACGGGGGCAAGGGACTACTCCTCTTGTCGGTGACCCATCACAGAAGCCGCGTACGTGCGTGCGGGTATTATCTCTCTCACACAAGTGATCAAGGTAGATTGATTTGGCATAATACGCGGCTAGCCCCGTGGTCTGCAAGCCGGCGACTGGCTGACGTCTTCCTATATTCAATCCAGTGCGCACAACTCGGCCTCAGCACGGCTAGAGTCAGCAAAAACCACTGATCGACGGATACCACTCTCCCTAGGCGATGCTGCAGTTTCGCACACTAGCGCTGGCCCTCGCCGTCAGCAATGCTCTCGTCGCACCGCCGCAGTGCGCGAAACACTCCGTATCAGTTAGGAGTGACTACTTGGACTCCATGGCGCCGCCCGCCGCCGCCGCGCCCGAGGAGGCCGCGCCTGAGGCCGAGGTGATCGAGGAGCCGGCGCCGCCGGCGCCGATGTCCCTCTCCGAGAGTGTGTTAGGAGAGTTCTCGGCACGAAGTGAAAGGAATTTGGAGGTCGCTAGATTGCAGACGCAGCTTGAAAGGTCTCAATTGCGAAGGAAGCAGGTCGAGGAGGTCATCGGCGAGGAGGTCGCCGCCCTACGGTTCCAACTCGAACGGGAAATGGCCGCGGAACGGGACCGCGCCGCGTCGGCCGCGCAGCTCCAGCAGCAGCTCGCCGATGCCAAAGCGCAAAAAATGGAGCGGTGTCGGAGGGAGGAGCAGTTATTGGTGCAGCTGCAAGATGTCAGGCAGCGGACGTCCGAGGACGCCGTCGCCGCATCTTTAGCTGCGGCCATCGAGACGAAGGCTGGTTTAGTTGCCATTGAACTTGTGTTAATAGAGGACGTCGACGAGTGCTCCGGGCAGATCAAGGTGGAACAGGACCAAATAAATGCGCGCATCGAGGCCATGGAGACGACGTTGGCGTCGTTGCCGGCGACGGACGACGGCGAAGCGTTGCGATTGTACTCCTGGCAGCAGGTCGAGGCGCTGCAGGCCCAACTCGCCGAGTCGGCCATCGCCATCGCCGAGACCGAGGCTTCCGTGGCGGCCTTGCGTCAGCGCATCAACGACGCCCTCGACCAGCGCGACGCTGTTTTAGGTGCGGCGCCGCTCGGTGCCGCGCAGCCCGTAGCACCTTCTGTGAATGCGGGCCCGGCCGTGCCGCCTCCTTCGAGAAGCGCGGTCCAACAAATAGACGTGGAGTCGCTCGACGACGCCGCGCTCAAGGACGCCGCCGCGTCGTCGGCCAAAGCCACGATCAACGCCTTCCAGAACGTCGGGAAATCTTTATTAGCGTTCGCGGGCAACTTCCAGGCTTCTGCCGATCGGGCCGAGGCCTCGAAATTGCTGAGCGAGGCGACCAATACCACGTCGGCTTTGACGCGCGAGCTCGCCGATAGTGGAGAGGTCTCCCAGTCCGAGGCCGCGGCGATCGCGCGCGACGCCGCGTCGTCGACGGGGCAGATCGTCTCGAACCTGGGCGGCGCGGCGTCGTCGGCGGCGAAGGCGGCGTCGAACGCGGCCAATGACGCCGAGGTCGGCGCCGCGCTCGGCGACGCCTTCACGGCGCTGGGGAACACGGTCGCGAGCGTCGGCGTCCTCGCCGGGCGCGCGGCGTCGGGCGCGGCGGGCGGCGACCTCAAGCTGCCCGACGCGCCGAAGCTGCCGGGAGACCTGAAGCTGCCTGATTTACCATTCCTGCCGGGGCAGAAGAACAAGGGGCCGCCGGGCGGCTTCGACGACTAGAGAGATCCCACCATCCCCCCTTGCCAAGAATATGATATAGGGTAACAAGCTGGGTTACTAGTATCACATACACGGGTCGAGCGCCGCGGCGACGGCGTCGTAGTCGTCCGTTGGCGCGAGTTTGATGATCGCGTCGACCTCGTCCTCACCGGGCGGGTCGAAGCTTTTTTCAAAATTCCGCACGACCTTCTCGGCGCCGGGCCCGGCCAGCGTCGGGTGCGCGGGCCGTGCGAGGACGCGCTCCACACAAGAATCGACGGGCGTCGTCAGCCAGACCGCAACTTTGTAACCGCCGCCCGCCCTTTCCAGAATCCGCGTCCAGTGCGCCCGCTGCGCCCGGTCGTGGTTGCATCTATCAATAACGACGCGGTCGCCGCGCTCGAACGCGCGCGCGCAGGCCCGCTCGCATTTCCTCCGATTTCCGAGGGAATCCTGGTTCACGACGGCCCAGCCTCTTTTTTCCAGCGCCGCGGCGAGACTGCTCTTGCCGCTGCCCGGGAGGCCGGCGAGGATGACGAGGCGCGGCGGCGTCGTTAGTGGTTTAAGCGCGCTGCTGGAAGCGAGAATCGACGCGAAGACGAGGAGGCGGCCTCGTCTTGCGACTGGTGCTCGACGTGTGGATCGCGTCGCGCTCGAGGGCTCGAGCAGCACCAGCAGCACCAGCAGCACTACAAACACGCAGGAGAGTGACGCCCGCGCCGCGCCGTCGGCCTCCGGCAGGCGACAGCAGATGATCTCGGGATTGACGTTTCTTCGCAGATCCTCGGAATTCAGCGGTTCGGTCGCGTCGTAGTAGAACACAAACCGCACGTCGCTACCAACAGCTACAACCTCCTGCAGCGACGCCGCCGCGAAGTAGTACTCAGAGACGCACTGGAGCCACTTCTCGCTACTTCCCTCGCGGGCGAAGAGGTCGCGTCGTGGCGTGAACTCCACCACATCTCCCGTCGCCTCGAACGTCGGCCCTCCCGCGAGCGCGGGCTCGAGGACGTCGAAGACCGCCGTTTCGATGGCGTCAATCAATATGCGCTTCGACGCGACCAGCTGCTGGCAGAGGCGCTCCGCATCGCGTTCTTCCATTACTGACGCGTTCGCCGGTATGCGCGGCAGGATGTCGCAGCCCAGCCCCGAGACCGTCATCTTCGCGCCGTCGCCCGAGAGCGAGAAGGACACGGGCACGCCGCGGGCGACGACTGCCGTGCCCGTCTTGAGCGTGCCATAAGTCCTGCCGTCGTCGCACGCGTACCACGGCGCGTTGGCGTAGCGGTCGATCGTGAACACTTTGTCGAACAGATTCGGGAGCACGCGGTGCGCGCGGCCAAGCCACGCCAGCGCTTGCAGCTCCTGGCGGCGGCGGCCGACGTCGCGCGCGAGCCACGACTGCAGCTCTGGCTGTGCGAGTTTGATCTGCTTGGCGTACGGTGCCAGTGCTACTGCGTTCGATGCCAGCGCGGCGACGGCGAGCAGGGGTCGCATCGCTGCGTGCAGATGAAGCCTGCCCACTGCTGCACCACTCTGCTGCGGCGCCTGCCGCGGCCCAGCTGCTGGTCTCCTTGCTGGCGTCCTCACGCGCTCCTGGCACGACTGCTACGGCGTTCTTGTGCCGTCCCTGCACGCTCAGCGACCGGTGCTGCTTCGTGCTCCAGCTCTGCAGCAGCACCTCGCACTCAGCATCGGCATAAATGCCCGTCAGGCAAATTGCCGACGCGAAAGCTCGTTTGATCGATCACTGCGACGTGTTGCAGGCGTTCAGAGGCAACGCAATTGCGGGCGCTACCCAGCCACAGCACTGCACCCAGAGGACATATCACTCGTCTGCGTACGAGCGATGCAGCGCGCGTCGTCGTCCCTCGCGGTGTCGACGTGGTTTAGATTGCCCGAGTACATGGAGCGCCTCGAGATCCTGAGCCGCGGTAGCGCGTTCCGGCTCGCGTCGGGCGGCGTCGTCGCGAGTGCGCACGTCCTTGCGCCGTGGCGGTTTCCGAACTACTTCCCCGAGGAATGGGTGAAATCAGTAGGACCGGAGCACACGAGGTACTTTCTGGAGCGGCGATCCGCCGCCGGCGTCGTCGAGGCCTGCACCGAGGCGTGCGCGCCGGTCTGCCACGCTGATCGGGACGCGGCGGTCCTGACGCCCATCGACGCTGGCGCGCTGGATGCGCTCGGCGTGCCGGCGCTTGATCTGGCCCTGGGGGCGTTGGACGAAAACGCGGCGCTGACTGTCGATGGTCACAACATCCACGACGCGGGCGAAGACGACGACCTGGTCATTCCAGAGGTCGTCGCCGGCGCGTACGTCGGGCGGGTGGCCGGAGGCCCGCAGCATTTCTTACGGACCGACTCCCGGCTCGAGCAGGGCCAGTGCGGCGCGCCCGTGATCCTGTCCGGCTCGGCGTGCGTCGGCGTCGTCGAGGGGATCGTCCCGGCGGGCCATCCGCTTGCGGGACTCGCCGCCTTCGTGCCCGCGGCGGAGCTCGCGGAGCTCATCGCCGCGGAGGCCGTCGCGAGCGACGCGCCGCCGCCGGAGTCGCTCGCGGGGCTGGTTGTGTAAATGTTTTGTGGTGTACGCGTATGCAAACAATTATTACTCACGGCGTTGCCGCCGATATGGGGATCGATCGAGATGATGTAACAAGAAAGCAGGGGGCTTTTTTTTTTTTTGTCCACGCATCGTCAGGTGCCGCTGCCCCACAAGATGGAGAGCAGCTTGCCGTGGGGGCAGGGGCTCGACGCGTCGCGCGGCGCCCTTTGTGGTGGCTGCGGCGGCCGCGCATCCGTCGCGTCGTTGTCGAAGCCGACGTCGAAGTCCAAGCGCGTGCGCGTCGGCGGCGAGTCCGTCATGGCGTCGTCGTCGCGCGGCCGCTTGCGCGACGAGAAGGAGCCGTCGTCGGAGTTCGCGCGCATGCGCCGCAGGAATAGGGAGCGGTGGTTGAACGCGTCGTTGCGCGGCGACGCGCGCACGGCCGGCGACTCGTCCCAGGCGAAGTCGTACATGCCGACGACGGACGGCGACGCGACCGGGTTCAGGACGTTTTCTGTTGGTGTCGACGTTCCCAATCGCGGCGGCGAGTGGGGCTTCAGGTCGATGGCGCCCGCTCGTCGCGGCGGCGAGCCCCAGGGCCTTTGGTCGTCGGGCCAGGTGACGCGCGCCGGGCTCTGGGGCGGTTGTTGTTCCGCCGGGGTTTGTTTTTCGTCGGCCATGGCTCGTGCCGCGGGGTTAGACTACCGAGGCAGTCCCGCGGCGGCAGTAGGCCGGCTCGGCAGCTTTTTTCTGGTCTTGGGAGTCCTGCGCCGGCGGTGGCTTGCGTCCCGCGGCGGCGCGAACTTGCGCTTGGCAGCCTATTTGCACTTGGCGCCCGAGAGCGTTTTTGAATACGCTCCGCTCGCCGAAAAAAGCTGGGTTTCGGGAGGACAATAGGTTTTGCAACACTCGTGCCTCTCGAGTTCTTCGTAGCTTAGTTTGGTGAGCAGCGACGAGCGTACCTCACTCGAGCATCACACTCGGTGCATACCCCCCGTGCGGAATCGGAAGGCCAACTTCAAACACGGGCCAGGGCTCTGAAAACACTCCATTACGAAACCCCCGTACCTCTGTTTGCCCGCTCTCGGGTCTCTGAATTCAAACGCGGGCAACCATGCGACCTAGAGCGCCACTACTCCAAAGCGCCACTTCGAGGAGTCTCCGCGCGGGCATTTGCGGACGGATAGAGGGAGGCCGCGCGCGCCCGCCCACGAATGGGGCAGTGCCAACTGGGGCAAATTGGGGCAGCCATTATGGCCGGCGCGGCAGCCCAACGATTGGAAGAAGCCCAAGCCAGCCCCAGAAATATCAAGAATTTACTAAATCAAGCAAGAAGCCCGGAGGGCAGCGGCTGGGAGGGCTTCCGCAGTGTCCTTGAGGAGCTAGAGCCAACGCGGTCGCCGCCGTCGTCGACGGAAGACGACGCGTCGGCCTCGGACTCGGACGACGACGGCGAGGCCGCGGCCTGGTGGCGCCGCGAGCACGGCGCCGCCGCCGTCGACGCCCCGGCGCCGGCGGCCCGGAACCGGCCGGCCGCGGCCGACCGCCAGGACGACGCGCGCTGGGAGGGTCCCTTCGACGGTGGTGACCGCCAACCGCAACGACGACGGCCGCCACCATCGTCAAAGCGGAAGACGCTCTACGACGTCCTCGGCGTCTCTATCAAAGCGCCCCGCTCGGACGTCAAGGCGGCCTACCGCGCGCTCGCCCTGCGGCTCCACCCGGACAAGTGCGCCTCGCCAACGGCGAACGAGCGCTTCAAGGCGGTCCAGGAGGCCTACGCGACGCTCGGCGACCGGTCGAGGCGCGCGGCGTATGACGCGTCGCTCTAAGATTGTGTGTGTTACAAGTTACTTCTAGACAGTTTCCTGCCCCCTCGCCGGGGGCTGCGTCGCGTCGATGGCGTATGCCGTGCACGCGACTCGCGCTCGCCATCGCCGCGACGACATCATACAGCGTCCGACGTCGCGTTGCGGCTCCGCAGGAGCGTCGGGCTCGCGCCGATGGTCGCGCCCGCGCGCATGTCGCGTTCCCTCCTTCTCACGAGCCGCGCGCAGCCCGCGTGGCCCCGCGCCGCCGCCAGCGCGGACGGGGTGTAGCCGTCGGCGTCCTGCCGCGCGACGTCTGCGCCCGCGTCGAGCAAGACGCGGACTGCGGCGGCCGCGCCGGCCGCGCAGGCCGCGTGCAGGGGTGTCGCGCCGCGCGAGTCCGCCGCGTCGGGCCCGCACCCGCCCTCCAGCAGTTGCCGCGCGAGCTTCGAGCGGCCGTGCTCGCACGCGTGGTGGAGCGCGGTCCGCCCGTCCGCGTCGGCGGCGTCGGGCCGGCCGCGGTTCGACGCGAGCCACTGCAAGACGGGCCGCTCCTCGCCCTGGGCCGCATAGCGCTTGATCGTCGGCGGCAGCGCCGTCGACGCGTAGGACGGCACGACCGACGAGGGCCGCGGGTTCCAGCGGTCGAAGCCGTCGGCGCGGCGCTTCGTCGCGCCGATGCTGTTCTGTTCGCTGCGCCTCCTGATACATGCCAGCATTTTCTTTGTCACCCACAGCGCTATTACGACGGCCCCTATCACGTAGTACCACGGCAGGTCGCCCAGCCATTCCTCCTTTTTGATTAAGAGCCTGGCAATGAAAGGGGGTTGTTCGTCGTCGTCGTCGTTCATATCGTCGTTTTGTGCTGCTGATAACAAGGCCAAAGAGCCGGCCACCGCTGGGCGGAGCATGCTCTACCCTGCGGCCTCCCACGCAAATTTATCGGTGCCGCGCGGATCTGCTTGCCGGCGCCGCGCGGATCTGCTTGGTGTGCTATGTCCTGCGCACCTCCCACGCAAGTCTCTACGTCGTGCCGATTCTGCAATGACGTGTAGCCCTTTTCCAGGCCGCAGTTCAACGCTTTGGCCCGAGGCGCAGTTTTAAAGCGCGACGCGGGCAAAACTGCGCGCAAAAAGGTACCGATACAAAAGACCGATACCTTACCCTACCCAGCCTCATGTACAATAGAAGGCCGTCATCCAAGGCGGCAGGCAATTCGTCACACGGACGTAGGCCATCATGAAAAAAAGACGGAGTTACACACAGACACAAGGGGCCGACTACGCGTCGCTGTGCGACACGGCCGCCAACAACCGCGCCTTCCGCGCGGCCTCCTTCTCGCCCTTCCAGCAGCCCCAGCAGCAGCTCACCAGCACCAGAAAGACCAGGAAGGACACGTTCAGTACCAACCTTCGATCGAACACGCAGCACTTCTCCGCGTCGAGCGCGCAGCACCGCTCTTCATAACACATGTTGCAGACGGGCCACGTGTCGTCCTTCGCCCGTTTTTGTTTTGGGTGGCAGCCCACCGTGTTGTTTGCATCTTGCACGATCTTCCACCGTCCTACCGTGTTCTCGTTCGGCGTCCAGAGCAGCGGGCACTCGGTGAAGGTCCACCAGTGGTGCGGTTTGATACAGATGGGGCAGTCGCTCTGGTCCCTTGCTACCACTACGGTGACGCCCTCGTCGGGGTCCTTCGGGATGAGTGATGCTTGAGCTGCCCATGCTATTATGAGCAGGCGCCGCATTCTATGGGGCCGCGTCGACGAAGCGCTCCGTCGCGCCGTCGACGCGCCCGCGAGAGATGCTGGGGCAGCGTCTCTGCCTGGCTCGGACCCGGAGCGGGTGATGGGCAGCCACAGCTAGCGGCGGCCAAAACCAGCTCTGAACCCGCACGTGGTGGGGTGGCCCTTCAGTGCAGACGTGCGACCGTCGGGAGCGATGGCCACGGCGGGAGGATCCATTGTCTGGTTTTGCTCAGGCTTGCTGGAGGCACAGTCACAAGCCAAAGTGGATCCAGCACACGCGCAGTCGTCGAACGCTGCACTATTGCTGCTGCACGGCGCTGGAAACGGACATATTTGATAGATCCTGCAGCGCTGTGACGCCGGAGTGAGGTCTAATAATCACTGTGTGCCAGCATCCAGCATTGCTGTGCATCAGGCTCTCTGACAGTGCGAGACGCGAAACGCTGCAAAATGAGGCAAGCCGTCGTGATACTAGTAGCCAGTAGTGGCGCCTTCACGGCACCGCGGCGACGCATCCAAAAAACGCTGCTGCGCTCGACGCCCTACGACGCGCAAAAAGAGGCGTATTTAGCAGAACCCGAGTTCGACGCCGTTTCATTAAGGCAGTGGCGCCGCGAGACGCTGGTGCGGTACAACAACGCGAACCAGTCCGAACCGCTGCGGGTCGTGCTCTTCTTTTTGCTCGCGCTGGCTTTACTGGGTTCGAACCAGCTCGCCGACGCCGTCGGCGCGCCGCCGCCGGAGCCGTACCCCGCGTATTTACTGGGCGGGCTCGCCGCGGCCGCGGGCTTCCAGGACCAGCGCAACAAGCGGACAAGACGGTTAACCAAGATCGAGCGCGAGGCGGCCGTCGGGGATTTAGAAATATCGATGAAGCCCGCGGCGGCGCGCGTCTTCCCCGGCCTGTCCGAGACGGCGTCGCTGCGGAGTTTGCGACGGTCGGCGCGCGTCCTCGCGGTCCTCTGCCCCGACGAAAGTAGTTTTACGGCCTTCACGGACGAGTGCCGCGCTTTACGAAGACGCCTCAAGCTGAGTTCGACGATCGTCCTCGGTGTCAGAGGAGACGGCGCCACGGACCAAGACGCGTCCTTCGTCCCGCGGCGCGGTTCCGATCTGCTCAAAACCTTCGGCGAACTGTTGAACGAAGACGCGTCCTGGGGCGACTTCGAATTTCAAGAAAAGAAGGCCGCCTGGTTCGCTTTGTCCTATGCGGGGCGGTCCGTCGGCTCGGGCACCGGCGCGCCCGACTTCCTGGAGCTGCTCGGGAGTCTCCTGCCGCCGCGGGACTTCGTCGAGCCCCTGCCGCCGCTGCAGGGCGGCACGGGGCCGCTCGACGCGCAGAAGGTTTTTTATGATGCGTTGACGTCGGGCGACCTCGCCGCGATGCGCTCTGTGTTAAGCGACGGCGCGGCGCCGCGCGTCTCGGCGGCCTTGGAGGCCGGCGCCCGCCTCGACCCCTGGGAAAGTCAACTGCGGGCCGACGCGCGGCCGTCTTCACTAAAAGTGGGCGACGCCGACGAGTTTGTGAATGGCGACAACGCGTACACTACTTGTGTGGAGGAGACGGGCAACGGGGCGACGCTGCTGGCGTACCAGAAGTGGACACTCGTCGATGGGGCATGGAAGCTCCTGTCGCACGAGACGATCCCCTTCGCGCCGGGCTCGCAGGCGGGCGCGGTCCTGAAGTGCGACAAGCGCGGGTGCATCGCTCTTGTTCGTAGGCAGCAGGGAAACATGCGCGACTAACTTTAGATCTCTTTATTTGTCCAGAGGGGGTGCGGCGACGGCGTCTTGCGATGCCGTAGCTAAGTGAGACACACTAGTTTTTGGCGCAGGTGCTGCACGTCGTACGCGTCGCCTGTGGCTCGCAAACGATTGTATTGGGCCGACTGCGGACCACTCGACAGCTGTGCAAGCTGTGCCCAGCACCGCTGCAGCACTGTGCAAAGACAGGCCTCATGGGAGGCACAGCAGCCGCCGCCGGCGCGATCTCGGGCACAGCAGTCGCCGTAGCGCTGCAGCCGTTCGACGTCGTGAGGACGAGACTCCAAGCTTGCGCCGCGGCCGGGCGCCCGCGCACCGCCGTCAACGCCGTCCGCGAGATTGCGGCGGAGGGCGGCGCGGCTCGATTGTGGCGCGGCACCTCGGCGGCGGCGTTAAGGGTCGGCGGCGGCGCGGCCATTCAGTTCGGGTCGCTGCGCTTCCTGCGGACGCGGAGCCCGCCGGACGCCGTCAATGATGCATTCATCGGCGCGGCCGCGCGCGGCGCCTCGGTCGTCGTCATGTGTCCCATCACGACGGTCAAGACGCGCATGGAGGCCTCGCACGTCGGCGCGCGGCAGTACCGAGGCGTGGGGGACGCGCTGGTGACGATCGTACGGACCCAGGGCGCGGGGGCGCTCGTGCGCGGCCTGCCGCCGCTCTTGTTGACGAATGTTCCCTTCGCGGCGATCCACTACGCGTCGTACCGCCGGTTGCAGGCGCTAGGACGAGACTACGCCGACGGCTGGACGCTGAACCTCGTGGCGGGCAGCCTCGCGTCGACGGCGGCGACGGTCGCGACGCAGCCCTTCGACGCGCTGCGCGCGCGGGCCATGCTGGACCTGCCGATGCCGCGGAGCCTCCAGGGCCTGTTTGCCGGGTTCGTCCCGCGCCTGGCCAAAAGACCGCTCCAGACGACGCTCATCTGGGCGCTCTTCGAGGACCTCGACAAGCGGCTCCGGACACTGTAGTTTTTAATGTTGACATGTTGTTACTTCTTTCACACAATAGTAGCCTCACCCGAAGGGCCAGCCGCGCTTGCGCTCCTTGCGGATAAGTGCTCGCTCCGCCGCGTTCGTCACCTTGAGCGCGCGCTCCGTCGGCCGGGGCGGCGTCCGGTTCGCAATGTGCACGGTGCAGAGCGGGAGCTGGTGCGACACGTCGCTCGACACGACGATCTTGCCCCCCTCGCGCGTCGACCGCGGATCCGTCAAGACCGCGAACACGATCATTTGCCGCCCGCCGCCGCAGTACTCCGTGGACACCTCGGCGTGGGTCCCGAAATACTCGCCGCTGCCGAGCCGCTGCCCCGACGACGCGCCGCGGCGGTTGGGGTCCAGACCGTTGGCCAAAATGTTCGGGATGTTTTGCGGCGGCGATCCGTGGAATAACAGCTTGACCTTCTTCGTCGTCGCGAACGTGTAGGCCGATAAAAATCGCTCATAAAGGGGTTTTCCGGGCTCGCTGTGCGGGTTCGGCACGACGTCCACGATGCGCAGCGACTTCGCCTTCTTGCTCAAGAAGTCAAACAGTCCTGTCCGCTGCTTCTTGAGCACGTCGCGGCCGCTGAAGGGCCCTTCGTTCTTGGGCCGCTTCTTGCTCGACGGCTTCTTGGCGCTCGGCTTTGGCGTCGGCCGCGCGACGACCTCGACGTCTGCATTAATTTGCTCGTGGAGCTTGCGCGCGAGGGCCTCGTCGGCGTCGACGTCGACCACCGGCCGCGCCGGCGTCGATTTCACGAACGTAACCTCCTCCTCGTCGACCTTGCGCCGCTTCGGCGGGGACTGCGACACGAACTGGACGTCGTCGTCGTCGCTGTCGCTGTCGATCACGATGTACTCGTCGAGCTGGGCGTTGAGTTGGGCCGCGAGATCATTGTCGTCTGCTGACAGGTCGATGACCTCGGGCTCGGTCAGGTCGCAGACGGAATCGTCGTCGCTATCCAGGATCTCCGCCATGCTTATGCTGTGCAGGAGCTGTAGAGACTGCAGGAGCTGTAGAGACTAGGGTAAACCCTGGAGGGAGCCGCAGTTGCACAGTTTCGTTGCGCCGCGCGCTGCGGAAACACGGAAACGTATGCGCCACGGGTGCCAAAGTGCCGCGCAGAAGAGCAGCGCCCGCGTCTGACCCTCTTGTGAATCGAGAGGCCTAGCATCTAGGTAGCCCCTCTAGCCCCAAGCACACACGGTCTCGGGAAGCAGCAGAGCTATACCATGGGTACCTCGTCTAAGCAGAAGTCTTGCGGACAGCGGAGCTCCAGGTTTGGACCCACGAAGCAAACTGTAGCGGCGCTATGGTCCAACCGCGTACACAGCTTCGCCGACGCAAGGGTTAGTCTAGCGTTCGTGACCGCTTAAGTACTCTCTCTCCAACGCCGCTCGGTATGGCATCGTACAGCAGCTGATGTGCAGCCTCTCAAGCAGTAAAATGGGGCAGCGTACCACGCGCACCACCATCCCGGGGCTGCCCGGCGTAGCATTAATATCAAACAAACAAGACAAGGGCACGACCTTCGCGCTGGAAGTCAAAAGAGACGACTGCGTCGACTTCACGCTTGACCTGAGCGGGAGCGACTGCGAAGTCGTCGATGCCGACGGCGCGCGAGTCCTGCGCGCCATATCAACACGCGGCACGACGGTGCTCGGCGCTGCCGTCGGGCCGACGCTGCGCCCGCGCTTCGAGTACGCCGTACATCAGCTGCGGCCTCGCTCGCCGCAGACCGTGGTCGAGGACGTCGTCGAGCAGGGCCGCCACGACAACTGCTGGCTGCTCGCTGGTTTGATAGCGGTCGGGCCGCGCGATCGCCTCTGCGTCGGCGGCCTCTGGACCACGACGACGCTCGCTCCGGACCGGGCGCTCGCCGGAGCGACGCGTCGGGGCCACGCACACGACGCCTTATCGGTGCTGACGGGCTGCCCCGTCGACGTGGTCCGCTCCGGCGAACGCGACGCGGAGGCGCTCTGGTCCTGGGTGGCCGAGGCGGTGCGACGCAAGGACCCCGTCGTCGTTTCCACGCGACGCGTCGACGACACGAGCCTCGCGCCGGGCCACGCCTACGCGGTCGTCGACGGCCGCTCGCTCAACGGCGAGCGCTACTGCCGGCTCCGCGACCCGCGCGGCGGCCGGCCGGCGACGGCCGCCGGCGCGGCGCTCGCGGGCGACGCGCCCCTCGCGCGCGGCGAGCTCTGGGTGCCGTTCTCCGAGCTCTTTGCCGCGCACTCAGCTGTCAGTTTGGCACGTCTGTCGTCGCCGCGCGGCGCGCCGTGGCGCGTGGCACGCACGCGGGCAGCGCTTGCCGGCGGCGGACCGACTACTAAAGCGCTCCGCGTCGAGTGCGACCGAGCGGCACTTTTGCGCTGCGCCGTCCACCAGGAGGAGGACCTTACTGACCTCGGAGTAGCCGTGCTTGATCTCTCGACGGACGCAATCGTGGCGGCTACGGTCGCCGGCAAGGCGCGGACCGCGGACGTCGGCGTCACCGTTGGCCCTGGCGTATACGCCGTCGTGCCGACGGGCGGCCGCTTCCTCCCGAAGGACGGGCGCCAAAAGGTGGGCCTGGTCGTCCATTCAGATGTCGCCGTCAAAGCCAGCGCCGCGCCGGCCCCTGCCGCTGGCTTGACCAGCGTTTTGTATGCGGGTGTGACACACCACCTCGACGGCCCGGGGCGCCTCGTCGTCGCGCAGTCCCGCAGCGGCGTCGAGGCTGTCGTCGAAAACACCGACGCGGCGCGAACGTTGGACCTCCGCCTCGACGGGACGGGCTCCGTGAATCTGGAGGGCCACGCCGGCGCGATGACTGTTGCCGTGTCAGTGGAACCGGGCGCTGTCGCCCACGTCCTCTCCGCCGCGCCCGTCCAAGCGCATGCCGCCTGGACCTGGGACGCGACGTGGTGCGCGAGCTGGAGTTAATGTTGTGACATTATTACAGACAACTAGGGCGCCAGGTACTCGTGGATGAGGCGCAGGAGGTCCTGGACGTCGGCGTCGAGGCGGTTCGCGACGCAGGCGAAGCACAGGACCTCTATCTTCGACTCCTTCCTCCGGCGTCGCTTGTGGCGCCAGGCCTCGAACCACGACGGCGCGCCCCCGGAGCACCGGAGCACGCGCGACGGCGGGCCCCAGGTTCCGTTGTCGCGCCGCGCCCGCGCGCAGTACGCGACGTTCGGCCGCAGCCCCTCGACGCGGTGGCGCCGCTCGGCGCTGCCCGTCGCGACGGCGCGCCAGGCTGCCCCGACCGCGCGGATCTCGACATCATATAGCGGTGAGCCAGTGCGCGCCGCCTCCCTCCACACCGCGTCGTCCGCGTCGACGCCGAGGTGGAGGCTTGTCGGCGCGCGCGCGAGGAGCGTGACGACGGGCCCGTCTCCGTCGCTATCGTCGTCGGGCGCCTCGATAAATTCCGGCACCGTCGCCGCCGCGCTGATGGCGTGCTCCATCATGCGCTGCCAGAGGCCCGCCGCGGCGACCTCCTGGTGCGCCGGCTCCGTGGGCACGTCGAGGGGCGGGGGCTCCTCCGGGGGCTGCTTCTCCACCGATGTCGTCGAGCCCATTGTTGGGGCTGCTGTTCGCACTGCTGAGCCTTGGTTCCTCCTCGTCCTACGAGTTGTATACCTTCACGAGTTCGCGGAGGCTGCCCGGCTTTGCAGCCTTTGCTGCTCCGGTGCTGGGCTGGGTGCCGGCTGCCCGAGTTTTTTTTACGATCAATAGCCGCAGAAAAGTCCTCCGCGTGCACGGGAAGGGCTGCGCCTGTCGAGAGATGCGTCCAAAAATAAAAAAATAAACGGGGCAGGTGGTTTGGCATCGGCGCTAAGCGCGAAGGCTGGCTTGCGCAAGTCCAAGGGCTGCCTCTTGCCCACATCTGGGGGCATCTCGCTCTCCAAGAAGCCAATTGACCATGCGCGAACGACGACGGAGACGATGAGGCCGGCACCATGAGGACGCTAGCTTGGCTCCTCGCGGCGGCGGCCGCGCGGGCGCAGGCGCCGACGGCCGCGCCGACCTACGAGACGTGGGCGCCGACGGCGGGGCACCCGACGCCCGTGCCGACGTCGGCGCCGTCGCCGATGCCGTCGGCGGTCCCGTCGACGGCCGCGCCGACGATCACTCCAAAGCCGACGCTGACGCCGCAGCCGAGCTCGGTGCCGAGCCGTACACCCACGACCGTGCCTTCATCAAGCCCGACGCGCGTGCCCGTGCCGCAACCGAGCGGCGCGCCTTCCATACCTCCGACCGCGGGCCCCAGCGGCGCGCCGTCCGTGCCGCCGACGCCGCGCCCGTCCTCGGTGCCGTCTCCATTACCTTCGCCGGGTCCGACGCTGACGCCGCACCCGACGACGGCCCAGCCGACCGACGTGCCGACCGTGACGCCGGCGCCGTCGCCGATCCCGACGGCCGTGCCGTCGTCGACACCGTCCCTTGAGCCGTCGCCCGCGCCGTCGACGGCGGCACCTTCACCGCTACCGAGCCCGGTGCCGAGCCGCACGTTCAAGCCGACGCACAGCGTCGCGCCCACACATGCGCCCACGCTCTCGGCGCACCCGACCGTCTCGCTGGAGCCGACGGTGTCGCCCTACCCGACGCCGGCGCCCTCGACGTCGCCGGCGCCCTCGCCGATCCCCTCGACGTACCACCCGACGCGCTACCCCACGAGCGTGCCCACGTCGCGGCCCTCGCCGCTGCCGTCCATCTCGCCCTCGGCGTCGCCCTACCCGACGGTCACGAGCGCGCCGACGCACCGACGGGCCATCATCGACGTCAAATTCAACACCATCATGGCGTACGTCAACGCGACGGAGATCAATCTCCCCGAAAGGTGTTCGCGCTGCGCCGCGGCGCGCGCGGCGCTGGCCCAGGCCTTCGCGAATGCACTAGATGTGCCCGTCGAGTGGATCGTGTCCATCGAGGCGCGGAGCATGTACTTCTCGCACGAGTTCCCGCGCCCGGCGCGGCGTTTGTCGGACGAAGCGCCGCCGCGGCCGCGGCCGGCGCGCCGGCTCCTGTGGGGCGACGCGCCCGTCGTCGAGCCAGTGGCTGTGGCGACGCCGCCGGCGACGGCGCCCTCCGTCGCGACATTGGCCGACGAGCTGCGACAGCGCCAACTAAAGCACTTCGACTGGCACACGGCCGCGCCGACCTACACGCCCGCGCCGTCGCCCGTCCCGTCGCCCGCGCCCTCGAAGCCGCCGACGCACATGTTCTGGCCGACGCGGTCGCCGACGCGCGCGCCCACCGTATTGCCCAACGTCACCATGGTCGGCGCCGTGACCACTCTAACGGTCGCCGACTCGACCGAGGCGCAGAACGTGACCGACGCCTTCGTGGAACAAGCGTTGATAGATCTGGCGAAAGCTGTGAAAAGTGGCCAATTTTTGAGTGATGTGCAAACTCAATTAGCGGGCACGACGGCTTCTGACATCTTCGAGGACGCCGTCGTCCTCAAGAACCAGACCGTGGACTGGAATGCGGAGCGGTGCGCGGAGCAATGTTATGACATGACCGTGACGACGGACAAGCCGACGACGTCGCCGACGACGGGCGCGCCGACGCAGCAGCCGACGGAGTGCGGTCTCACGTATTTAGGCGTCTGGTGGCCGTGCGAGATCGACGGCTGGCCCGTCATGCCCTGGAAGTTCCAGAGCTTTGGCGAGGCGACGGGGACGATCGTGGCCTGCCTCGTCTTCTGCGTTTTTTGCTTCGTGTTCGGGAAGAAGTTCTGGATCGAGTATCGCGACGACGCGAAGAAAATATACCGGGAGGGCCCCTACTACCGGAACGTGGCCAAGGCTTTTATAAGGGAGTCGGTGCTCGAGTGCGCGGCGACGCCGTGGTATTTGAGGGACGCCGTCGTCCAGTGGTGGAAGATGATCTTTCAGGTCACGGAGATGGACGTGCGGCCGTGGCCGGGCCGCGTGGCGTCCGAGAAGCGCGTCTGCGACGAGGGGCAGCTCCAGGGGTAATATAGTTTTGTGGTTTTTTGTTGGTGTACGCTTATGCTTCGGAAGCAGTGCAAAGTGCCAAACTCGGAGCTAGCGTAACCGACACACTAGCAAATTCAAAGATGCGCTTCGATAGCGTCAAAAGAATGACCCAAATTCAGAATACATCCTAGTCGTTCGCTGAGACCAAATATTTCAGAGTAGAGGCCCGGGAACATACCCTCGCGCCTCCCGGAAGGCACCGCCAGCGACATTCGCGGATGAGTCTTGCGGCTCGCCAAAATACACCAGCGATTGACGCCGCCATCTACCGTCCAAATAGTACATTATATCAACTCCAGCTCAGTTTTCATACATAATCGACGGAACCGGAGTCGACGGCCCGCGCTCGGAGGGCGGGAAAAGAATTCTACTAGACAACTCTCGCGTTTATGTTCGTTTCCTTCCGTTTGTTAGTGGTAGAGTCCATCTAGGCCGGATAAACGCTTACTGAGGTACTTAAGGTGGCCCGTTAGAGCCGCGGGATTCGACGACTTCGGTACCGCGCGTTTACTTAAAGGCGGGCTCGATACCTACACCTGCGAGTATCAGCGACGGCACCATCCAGATGGACCATAACGCCGTTGTTCTATTCACAATCGACCGACTTGCCCGTTCTCCGCGGACGACGGTACGTAGACGGAGGGCGGGAAAGGCCCCAGACCGGTGAGTTATAAAATAAATTTGCGTTTCAGGCGCTTCGGTTACGGGACGGGCCATCTAACCGGCCTGAGTGGGTCCTACATTGCTCGAGACCCCAAGATGCTCGGCGCGGGTCGTCGGTCTCGCGAGCCCACGATCTGGCTAATTGGGCCGAATTACTTGGACCTGCGACCATCAGCCCGTGTACCATCACCATGGACCATGAAACGATCATTTGTTCCATGATCGACCGACTTGCGCGAGGTCCAGATCAAGATGTTCACGTCCCGAGCGTGGGCAGTCCAAAGTACCCTTCTCGGCGTGTAGATGTCATATACTTGTAGTTGACTATCGGTGGGGTAGTATGGGGTCCGACGAGACCGCTATTACTATTCCTGGGGGCCCTCGGGTAATTGACGTATTTGACGGGAACGGGGCGCCATCGGGTCCAAATTATTTACTTTTTTCGGATGCAGATCGGCTCCCGGACTCCCTCCGAGATAGGTCTGGTGTCGGATAGTCGCCTAGTGCGCATGCGGCGGCGCTTGGTGCTCTCCAGAGAGCTCTGGATCGAAAACCTGGGGGACTTGGGCTCTGGCCCGATGTCTGGCTGAGAGAAATGCCTCATATGTCTCTACCGATGGAAGCGCCCGCGCATACGACGTAGGCGCTTGCGCACGTCTAGTACCATCCCTCAGCGCACCCAGGGAGACCTGGGGGCCACGGATTGACAGGATTCCACCGAAGCGGCCGTCATGGCGGGACCGTCAATATCGCGAATTAAAAAAATTATTTTTTTCGCCCCCCAGTAAGTGTCCCATTGATCTCTTTGGACCAGTAGCTAACGGAATGATACTCAGACGGCTGCATGTCGCATCATAAAACCCTAGTGACCTTAAGCTCTTTTTACCGCCCAACAGCCGTCTTATCAATCTATCACCACAAACACATCTTATACAATTACAGAGCGGGTGGTACCGGCGAGCACAGGTCGACCACGTCGTCGTCGTCGGACTCCTCCGGCGCGACCGTCTCCTGCGTGGCCTGCGTCTGCGTGAGGTCGAAGACGTCGTCGTCGTCGGAGGCCGGCGCCGGCGCCGGCGCGCGCGCGCGCCGCGGCGCCGGCGTCGCGACGGGCGGCGGTGGCGGCCGCGCCGCCTCGCGGAGCGATCGCTTCGCCGCGCGGACGACGACCGTCCAGTCGCTCTCGTGGTCGCAGACGGGGCACGCGCCGGCCGGCGGCACGAGGGCGCAGGCCGGGGCGCCGCGCCGCCGCAGGGCTTGCTCCGCGAGGCAGGTTAAATGAGTGGGCGCGCCGCACCGCTCGCACGCCACAAAGGCGCCGGTTGTTGTCGGCGCGCATGGCTGACCACAAGCCGCGCAATCCGCGACCTCGTCGACGACGCGCCGCCGCGCCACGACGCGGGACGCCGCGACCGCCGGCGGCCACGCGTCCAAGGGGCCGACCGAGACGCGCGCCGACCGCCAGAAGTCTGAATCGGGGAGCGCGTCCTCAATACAAACGCGCACCTGGACGCCGCGCCAGGCATCCACGCCGTCGCACATGACCTCGAGCAGCGCCAGCCTACTCTTCCAGCCCGTCCGCGCCTTCCTCTTGCCGTCGAGCGCGCCGCGCACGGCCAGGGACTTCTCGGGGTGCTGCCAGGCCCACTCGAACTGGAGCGCTTCGACTTGCGACGCGAAGCCGTCGACCAGTGCCACGGCCTCCCACGGCCGGTGGCGCCGCGTTCTCCTGGCGCCGCCCTGGATCTCGCCGTTGTGCTGGCGCACGCGCCTCAAGGGATTTACGGTGAACCCGATGTACGAACTGCGCGGGTGCGCCGGGTCGCAAGATCTTAAGAGGTAGCAGCCGCAGAATGGCCGCACGGGCGGCTCCACCATGGCTGTGCTCTGAAGTGCTGCTCCTGTATTCACCAGGACTGCCAGTAGGGCTCGGTTCAGCATGCGGGCCGCCGCACAGGTCGATCTTATGATCTATGCGACTGGAAAAGAGACTTTTCGCAGGCGTTATGGCCCAGCGGCCGAGCTATTTGGCTGTGCTTTGCTTGCTTTTGAGTTTATTGGGCCCAACTGAAGCACGAAAACACGCACAGCAGCCCTCATCCCGGCCACAGAGGCACTTCCCCGCGGCCGTGAGCCGTCTAGTTTTTAAAAATCGCAAAACGGGTTCGTAATGCGGCCGCCGGCGACATCGACTTTGCAGGCTCCATAAACAACCATGGTGCGTCTCTCCAACCTATCCTGCTTGCACACCTGCTCCCAATATATATTGCGCGCGGCCGCTGATCGAGCAATCACGCACCGCGGCAAGCCTGTGGCGCGCAATCACCAAATATCCCCCATGCCGGCGATGGCGCCTTTTGCGGCCGCGCGGACGTTGTGGCAACCGCAGCGATTGCACCGGCCATCGGCAGCAACCCCTCAAACACGCAAACACCTGAAACCCCGCATGAGGTGCATTTATACGAGACCGAGCGCGCCCCGCATCGCAGGTGAAGGAGAAGACGCACATCAACCTCGTGGTGATCGGCCACGTCGACGCCGGCAAGTCGACGACGACGGGTCACTTGATCTACAAATGCGGCGGCATCGACAAGCGGACGATCGAGAAGTTCGAGAAGGAGGCGGCCGAGCTCGGCAAGGCCTCGTTCAAGTACGCGTGGGTGCTTGACAACCTCAAGGCCGAGCGCGAGCGCGGTATCACGATTGACATTGCGCTCTGGAAGTTCGAGTCGCCGAAGTTCTACTTCACGGTCATCGACGCGCCGGGCCACCGCGACTTCATCAAGAACATGATCACGGGCACGTCCCAGGCCGATATCGCCATTCTGGTGATTGACTCGTCGGTGGGCGGCTTCGAGGCCGGTATCTCCAAGGACGGCCAGACGCGCGAGCACGCGCTGCTGGCGTTCACGCTCGGCGTGAAGCAGATGATCGTGGCGTGCAACAAGATGGACGACGTGTCGGTCAAGTACGGCGAGGGCCGCTACAAGGAGATCAAGGCCGAGGTGTCGACCTACCTGAAGAAGGTCGGCTACAAGCCGATGAAGATCCCGTTCGTGCCGATCTCGGGCTGGATGGGCGACAACATGATCGACAAGTCGACGAACATGCCGTGGTACAAGGGCCCCTACCTCCTCGAGGCGCTCGACAACGCCAACCCGCCGAAGCGCCCCTCGGACAAGCCGCTGCGCCTCCCGCTCCAGGACGTCTACAAGATCGGCGGTATCGGCACGGTGCCGGTCGGCCGCGTCGAGACGGGCATCATCAAGCCGGGCATGGTCTGCACCTTCGCGCCCGTCCAGATCACGACTGAGGTCAAGTCCGTCGAGATGCACCACGAGTCGCTCCCCGAGGCCGTGCCGGGCGACAACGTCGGCTTCAACGTGAAGAACGTGTCGGTCAAGGACATCCGCCGCGGCAACGTGTGCGGCGACTCCAAGAAGGACCCGCCCAAGGGCGCGAGCACCTTCTTCGCCCAGGTCATCGTCATGAACCACCCCGGCCAGATCTCGTCGGGCTACTCGCCCGTCCTCGATTGCCACACGGCCCACGTCGCGTGCAAGTTCAAGAACATCGACCAGAAGATGGACCGCCGCTCGGGCAAGGTGCTCGAGGAGAACCCTAAGTTCGTGAAGACGGGCGACGCGTGCATGGTGACGCTCGAGCCGACGAAGCCGCTGTGCGTCGAGTCGTTCGCCGAGTACCCGCCGCTCGGACGCTTCGCCGTGCGCGACATGCGCCAGACGGTCGCGGTCGGCGTGATCAAGTCGGTCGACAAGTCCGAGAAGGAGGGCAAGACGACCAAGTCCGCCGCTAAGAAGAAGTGATGGTGTGCCGCGGCCCTGAACGGCTCTACTGCCGCTCACGCGAGGCTCCGGCGGGACGGGACGCGCCGGCCCGTCGCACCGCGGAGGCGGCGCACGCGAATCGTGTGCCCCGCCCGCCGCGGCTGCGACGGCGCCGACGCGGCTCCGGTCCGCCCGTGCTCTCGACGCCCGCTGCAAGCACCATCCCGAGGGGTCGCACCCTTTCCGCGCGGCCGCGCCTTCACCGGCGTGTTCGCCTCCTACCCGCCCCCCTTCCGTATACGCCCCTAACTATCCCTATTGAAACTTTACGGTTCCGGGGCCCTGCCTGATTGAGTTCGTGCAGGCCCTGCGTCAGGCGGCGCGCACACGGTGCGAGACTCGGCGCGCACCTCGGGCAGCGACGGTCGCGGCGGCCAGCGGTGGTGACGCCGTCGTCGGCGGAGGCGAACATGCGCGGGAAAGACACGGAGGAGACGAGTACCCGGCAAAAAACAGTCCGCGTATGTATACGATCTCTCAGCACATTAGCTAGCGTACATGGGTGCTAGCGCTACTAACTTTTGCCAGCAGCGATTTCATCGTAAGCTAAAGCTACAGCACAGCAAGCAAGATGGTGCGCACCCGCGTTACGTTTGAGAATCCTCCAGCCGATCCGCGTCCAGCGAGGCGCGCGTTGCGGGCCCGCGCGCTGCGACGGCGACGTGCGGAGCTTCGGCGATGCGAGATTTTTGCTTGGCCACTAGCACGGACCGACGAGCGGCCAGCCGCAGCGAACGACCGTCGGTCGCCGCGGCGGGCACTGTCAGCAGGCCCGGACACACACACGCGCGACGTGAAGCCCTATGGTGAGGAAAGAGCGTTGTACGACCGGCGCGCCCGCATCGCAGGTGAAGGAGAAGACGCACATCAACCTCGTGGTGATCGGCCACGTCGACGCCGGCAAGTCGACGACGACGGGTCACTTGATCTACAAATGCGGCGGCATCGACAAGCGGACGATCGAGAAGTTCGAGAAGGAGGCGGCCGAGCTCGGCAAGGCCTCGTTCAAGTACGCGTGGGTGCTTGACAACCTCAAGGCCGAGCGCGAGCGCGGTATCACGATTGACATTGCGCTCTGGAAGTTCGAGTCGCCGAAGTTCTACTTCACGGTCATCGACGCGCCGGGCCACCGCGACTTCATCAAGAACATGATCACGGGCACGTCCCAGGCCGATATCGCCATTCTGGTGATTGACTCGTCGGTGGGCGGCTTCGAGGCCGGTATCTCCAAGGACGGCCAGACGCGCGAGCACGCGCTGCTGGCGTTCACGCTCGGCGTGAAGCAGATGATCGTGGCGTGCAACAAGATGGACGACGTGTCGGTCAAGTACGGCGAGGGCCGCTACAAGGAGATCAAGGCCGAGGTGTCGACCTACCTGAAGAAGGTCGGCTACAAGCCGATGAAGATCCCGTTCGTGCCGATCTCGGGCTGGATGGGCGACAACATGATCGACAAGTCGACGAACATGCCGTGGTACAAGGGCCCCTACCTCCTCGAGGCGCTCGACAACGCCAACCCGCCGAAGCGCCCCTCGGACAAGCCGCTGCGCCTCCCGCTCCAGGACGTCTACAAGATCGGCGGTATCGGCACGGTGCCGGTCGGCCGCGTCGAGACGGGCATCATCAAGCCGGGCATGGTCTGCACCTTCGCGCCCGTCCAGATCACGACTGAGGTCAAGTCCGTCGAGATGCACCACGAGTCGCTCCCCGAGGCCGTGCCGGGCGACAACGTCGGCTTCAACGTGAAGAACGTGTCGGTCAAGGACATCCGCCGCGGCAACGTGTGCGGCGACTCCAAGAAGGACCCGCCCAAGGGCGCGAGCACCTTCTTCGCCCAGGTCATCGTCATGAACCACCCCGGCCAGATCTCGTCGGGCTACTCGCCCGTCCTCGATTGCCACACGGCCCACGTCGCGTGCAAGTTCAAGAACATCGACCAGAAGATGGACAGGCGATCAGGCAAGGTGCTCGAGGAGAACCCGAAGTTCGTGAAGACGGGCGACGCGTGCATGGTCACGCTCGAGCCGACGAAGCCGCTGTGCGTCGAGTCGTTCGCCGAGTACCCGCCGCTCGGGCGCTTCGCCGTGCGCGACATGCGCCAGACGGTCGCGGTCGGCGTCATCAAGTCGGTCGACAAGTCCGAGAAGGAGGGCAAGACGACGAAATCCGCGGCCAAGAAGAAGTAGGCGCTTCTGTGGCACGGTTAATTTCCTTTTCCCCAACCTGTTGTAACAGCGGCGTTCGGTCACGCAGCCCCGCTGCGGTCGTGGCGGCTAGGCAGGGCCTAGCTCTAACCAAAGCAACGGCAGTACTACACACAATCGAGACTTAGCTTGCCGCGGGGCGCGCCCCGAACCGGTCCTCGAAGAACAGGTCGGTCACGTCCAGCCGCGGCGACGGCGGCGGCTCCGGGCCCTCGGGCGGCGCGTAGCCCGTCGCGACGACGAGCGGCAGCGCGTAGCGCGCGGGCACGTCCAGGTACGCGCGGAGCCGCGCGGCGTCGAAGCCCTCCATGGGCGCCGTCGCGAGGCCGTGCGCCGTCGCCGCGAGGAGGTAGGTCTGCGCGGCGAGCATGGCGGACTTGTAGGCCCAGGCCCTGCGGCCCTCGGGCTGCGGCGCGGGCGCGACGGGGCTGAGCGCGTTCGCGGCGACGCCCTTGACGAGCGACGCGAGCTTGCCGTGCGTCGCGTAGTAGCCCACGGCCAGTTCTAAATCTTCGACCTGCCGCGCGTCCTTGCCCCGCGCGATGGCCTCCGCCTTGACGCGCGGGAGCGCGTGGGCCGGCTCGAGGTCCGCGCAGAAGACCGCTGTGAGTGGTGCGTCCATGACACGCCGCCGGTTCGACTCGGACAACGCGGCTCGTCCGACCAATTCGCGCTGCGCGGCGCTGCGCACGAGGACGCACGTCCACGGCTGGATGTTGAAGCTTGAAGGTGCGCGCCGCGTGAGCTGCATGATGTCCTCAAGGATAGCTTCTGGTACGTCGCGCGTCGCATCGAAGGCCGCCGCCGCGTGGCGCTGCATGACCACGTGCCTGAAGGCCTCGGCAGCGGTGCTGTGGGCTCTGCCGAGGCGCGGCGCCGTGCGCACGGCTGCTCGTAGCATCGTTTATGGCTATTCGTGTTGTTGTGCAACTGCTTATTACGTACGTTCGTCGCGTGGCCGGAGAGCAGCCACTCGAGCTCAGCAGAGCGGGTTTTTCAAAGGCCCGGATTAAGACACTAATGTTTACTACGATGTGGGAGAGCCCTCAGGGCGAGCGGCCCTCGAAGCCGGCGGCGTCGCGCGCGTGCTTGCGGCCCTTGCGGCGCCGCCGTTGCCGCTTCTTCGGCGGCATCTCGACGGGCTCCGGCGCCGGGAAGTCGTTGGTTATTGAGGAGGCGACGGAGTCCCCCGGTTCGTTCGATGACGTCGCGGCGCCGCGCGGCCGCGCCGCGGGCTCGCGCTCGTAGGCGGCGAGGCGCGCCGACAGGTGCTCGCAGCGGCCCATGAGCGCGTCGAGGGCGTCGTCGTCGTAGGGCTGGGAGGACGCCGTGGATTCTGTCCCATCGCTCTCCGGCGGCGAGGGCGACAGCACGGCGCTTATTGGTGGCAGGGAGCTTAGTGGGCTCTCCATCGTCAGTACGCCCTTTTTATCAAGTTGCGTTCGCGCCGAGGCCACAGGGCAGTGAGCGAGGTCTTTCCCAACAACCAGGTGTCTTCGCGGGCCGCCTGGCGTGGTGTGCCAAGGCCTATTCAGCGTGAGAGTTTGTCGATAAATAAATAGTTGGCTAGCGCATGTAAGGACACTAGCATTTTTGGCCATAAGCGAACGAGGGCCTGCGGGTACGGAGCGACTCACAGGTGACGAGGAAAGAACAAGGTTGATACAGACAGAGACGAACGCCGCTAAGCGAAGATGGAGTAGAGCCCGGCGCCGCAGCCGCGACGACGGATCGCGCCCCCCAAGACGCCATCGACGAAACGTGTCCTGCAGCCGCGACGACGGATCGCGCCCCCCCCAAGACGCCATCGACGAAACGTCTCATAGATATTACGCCGAGGCCGCCTGGTTGCCGGCGAAGATGTAGTAGAGCACGATGTAGCCGCCGATCATGAGGTACAGGTTCGCGTTCGACTTCTTCTTCCCGTCCGGGAAGCCGTCGCTGAAGATGTTGACCTCCGACGGGTGCTTGATGTCCTTGCCCTCGAGCTCGGCCTCGAGGTTGCGCATGGCGTCTCCCACGCTCATCGGCCGCGCCGGCCCGGCGCCGCCGCCGTTCTGGATCGAAGTCTGGATGTCTCGCAGTGCCCTTAATACTTCCTTGTTCTGTTCATGTAAAGCTCCTAACAGCGCGCGCTGGTGGCCGTCCAAATCCACGAACAGGTACGCGCCGATGCACCGACAGCCGTTGAGGAACGCGGGAAACAGGTTGTGCCCGAGCTGTATCAGTTCGTGGGCCGTCATCGCCGGCAGGAACCAGGCCGGCAGCTCGATCTCCTTGAGGAGCATCATGACCTCGACGACGAGCATCGCGATCATGCCTGCGCGTTTTGCGTTATGTTATATCTCCGGGCGACGGCGTGCGATCTCTCCCGTCGCGGTGACGGTATTATCTGATCTCTCCGCCAGCCCACGCTCCCGAGCGACGGGCGCGACGACGGCGGCTCTGAGCTCTCCACCGGCCACGCCGTCGACGTGACGACGCGATGCGAGCTCTCCGCCGCCCCCCACGCCATCGACGCGACCGCCTTCACGCCGTCGCCGCCATAGACGCCGCATCGAACCGGTGAAGACCCACTGCCGCGCGTTCGAGTTGTGCTTCCCTAACGTAAGCATCCAGGTCATGATGCCCCAGGCCGCGTAGAAGATGGCCACCTCGACCAAAACTTTGTACTCGTCGATGACGGCGACCTTCTGTTTCAATTTTTCCGGCCCGAACCGGTCGTAGACCTCCCGCGCGTCCATGTCCATCAGGACGTCGTAGGCGTTCTTGAGCGTCGCGAAGTCGTCCAGCGCCGTCGCCGACGGGTTCTTGTCCGGGTGCAGTTCCAGGGACATCTTTTTGTAGGATCTCTTGATCTCCAAAGCTGTCGCGGACCGTCCGACCTTCATCAGCTGGTAGTAGTTCGGGCCCTGCTCCTTGAGCTCCAAACCTGTTTTTACGGCCGCGATCGCTACTAACAGCGAAATGGCATAGGTCAGGCCCTTCGTCCGCGAGAAGCGGCCCGGTTTCAGGAGCCAGTTCGTCGCGGGATACACGAAGAGCACGTAGAAGAAGAAGCTGAACAAACTGCTTTCGGAGTCGCCCATGGTTGCTGCGTTTGTTGCGCCGCGGCGGCGGCGTGCGGTGCTGTCTTTGGTTGATGTAGTGCGCGCTACCACTGTGGGCCACTCAGCACTGGCGATTTGTCGTCGGGCGCTGCGCCTGAACTTATTTATGAGATCTGTGCTTAATCCGTGCAGGAGGCTGCTCTCGCTCTGAGGCAACTCGCTGCCGCACGGAGCTTGAGTATTAGCTAGCGGCCTGTAAGACACTAGCTGGCAAAAAATTGGGCTTTACGCCACCGCTTTACGTTCCCAGGCCTCGAGGAAAACGCACCACCCCCCACGCCGTCGAGCAGGCGTCGGCGTCAGTGAAGCTCCGCCACGGATCACGCTCGCGCCTCGGCACCGAGAGTTCTATTCTATATATGTGAATTTAAGGGGGAGAGGGGAAGGGGAAGGGGTACGGACGACCACAGCACAATCTCCGTCTAGCCCTTGCGCTTCGTGAGCGTGGCCGACAGCCAGTCGAGGCCCTCGTAGAGGCCGTCGCCCGTCGTCGCGCAGCACGCCTGGATGTACCACTGGCGGTGGCGCAGGCCGTTCAGGCCCAGCTTGTCCGTCATCTCGGCGGCGCTCATCGCGTTCGGCAGGTCCTGCTTGTTCGCGAACACTAATAAGATGGACTCCCGCAGCTCGTCCTCGTTGAGCATGCGGTGCAGCTCGTCGCGCGCGTTGTCCACGCGGTCCCGGTCGTTCGAGTCGACGACGAAGATGAGGCCCTGCGTGTTCTGGTAGTAGTGGCGCCAGAGCGGGCGGATCTTGTCCTGACCTCCGACGTCCCACACCGTGAATGAGATGTTCTTGTACTCGACCGTCTCGACGTTGAAGCCGATCGTGGGGATCGTCGTCACGACCTCGCCTAACTTGAGCTTGTAGAGGATGGTCGTTTTACCTGCAGCATCCAATCCGACCATAAGTATGCGCATCTCCTTCTTGCCGAACATGCGCTCCCAGATGCGGGAGAAGGCGAGACCCATGGTTGATCTGCCCTTCTTCTTCCGTGTAGTCTCTTGTAGGGTCCTAAATCCCAAATTCTACCACCTGCGGGGGTTTCGGGTGAAGCATGCGGTGTCGGCGCGAGGAGCTTTCGGCGGGCGGGCGAATATGTGTGTGGTGCGAGTCGCCGGCGGCGCTTTCGCCGGCGGCGGCGGCACGCAGCGACCGGAACCGAAACTGGGTCGACTACGGGTTGGCGCATCCGCGCCAATGAAATGGGCATCGCTGATGGCCTTTGTTGCCGCCGCCAAGCTAGGCTTCCCGCGCGCTGCGCTTGAGACACCTTTTGCCGCTTCCGCCTGCAATTTAGGAAATCCCCACCAAGGAAGTCGCTGTCGCTTTTAGCCCGAGGGCGCGATCGGCGGTGCCACAGGCGGCGTGATCTTTCGACGAGGGAATAAATGAAGCTTTAGGAGGAGTTGTGATTTGCTGCGCGCTGGCGTGCACGTCGCGCTGGCAATTATTAGGCCACGAGGCTGCTAAATAAAAAAATTCGTCATGGCCGCCTAAAATCGCTTTTCACAATTCCCTAGCCAGGGGTCCCTACGGCACGGGCGGATGGGGAACAGAGCGCTGAAGCCTATAGCACGCGAACCGCTCTATCGCGCGGGGCGTGATGAGTAGGATGTCGCAAAGAGATTGATTGCCGACACTCGCCGCCCAAAAAACAGACGATCCTGACCAAATGCGCCTCCCGCGGCGCCCCCTTGCCTAGTTCCAACATCACGGGAGCTGTCCCGCGGCAAAGGAATGATCCTCACTCAATGCCCTGCCTGTGCTGCCCCTCTGCCGCCGCGGGCCGCGAAGCAATGCAGCCGCTGCAAGACGCGCTACTGCGGGCCGGCCTGCCAGGTGCAGCACTGGAAAGCAGGCCATGACAAGCTCTGCAGGAAGATAAGGAAAAGCGGTGGCGCCGAGCAGTACCACGCCAACACCAAGTACGCGGAGGCCGTAGCGGTCGCGGCGGAGGCGTGCGCGGAGGACACGAAGGGCCAGACGTGCTACATCTGCACGGAAGCCGTCCACTGGAAGACGAAGGAAGGCCTCGTGCGCGGGTGCGCGTGTCGCGGGACGGCAGGCGTCGCGCACGTGTCGTGCCTGGCGGAGCAGGTGAGGATTTTGTGTGATGAGGCCGCGGAGAACCATTTGGATATGAGCCCGAGGTGGGTGCGGTGGCACACGTGCAGCCTGTGCGAGCAAAGCTACCATGGCGTCGTGTTCTGCGCGATGGGGTGGGCGTGCTGGAAGACGTACGCGGGTCGGGCGGAGAACAACAAAGCTCGAATGAGTGCGATGACGGTGCTCGGGAGCGCCTTGTGCGCCGAAGACCAGGAGGGCGCGTTGCGTGTGAGAGAGGCCGAGTTGGCTATGCTGCGGTACCACGACTCGCCAGAAGAATACTTACTCATCGCGCAGGGTAATCTGGCGAATTCGTATCAAAGGCTCGGACGGGCTGAAGCTGCTCTCAATATGTATCGAGACGTATACTCCGGACGGCTGAGGATCTTTGGCGAGGAACATCGCGACACCCTCATGGCGGCCAACAACTACGCGAACTTTCTTATTGAACTGCAGCACTACGCAGAAGCCAAGTCACTGTTGCGCAAATTGGCGCCCGCGGCGCAACGTGTTCTCGGAGAGAGCGAGCAACTTAAGTTCGTGCTCAGGATGATTTACGCGCGGGCGCTCTACATGGCTCCACGCGCCACGGCCGATGATCTTCGCGAGGCCGTGAAGATTCTCACGGAGACGGCACGGGCCGCGCGGCGCGTGCTCGGCGGTGCGCACCCTAGAGCACTGGCGATTGAGGAGTCCCTGCGAGAGTCGCGAGCAGCGCTCAGCGCGTGCGAAGCATCAGCTGCGTAAGAAAGTACAGTCATAATATTTTTAGGCGGAGCGCGAGCGGCACGAATCACCCGGCGCTACTTCTTGCGCGCCGCGGCGCGTTTCGGCCGGGAAGCCGCGATCGAAGGGCTCGGCTCGGCGGGCGGCGGCGCCTCCGACTTGACCTTGGTCAGGTCGATGACGTCGTTGCCGTCGGACTCCGCACGTCCGCCGAGGCGCCGTCCGCCGTTCCCAAAAACGCCGCCGTCGCCCTCCCGCGCGCGCTTCTTCTCGCGCGGATTTGGCGCCCGCACCAGGTCGGCGAGCCCGTAATCGACCGCCTCGGCGGCCGTCAGAAACTTGTCGCGCTTCAGGTCCTCGGTCAGCTTCGCCTCGTCCTGACCCGTCAGCCGCGCCAGCATCTCGACCCACGCCTTGGCCGTGTGCTTCATTTCGTCGAGTTCATGTTGTATGCGGTCGGCGCTGGCCACGAGGTCGGCGTTGCTATTTATCGTGGTATTTATAGAACCTGTCGCCCTGACGCCGTGGATCATGACGCGCGCGTTCTGGTGCACCGCGCGAGAACCGGGCTCGCCCGCGGCTAGTATCACCGCGGCGGACGAATGGCATTTCCCGAGAGCGGTCGTGTGCACCGGCGTCTCGATGGTTTCCATCACATTGATAATCATGAACGCGCCCTCGACGGAGCCCCCGGGGCTGTTCAACACCAGCTCGATGCGCTTCTTTGGATCTGAACGCCGCCAAGTCGTAGAGGGATTTGATCACGGTTTGTGTGACGCCGTCGTCAATGGTACCATTGATGAGGAGCATGCGGTTATCGGCCCCAGCCGCTTGGACCGACCCGGGGGGTCCGAGCGATTGCGACATGCCTCAGCTGAGAGTGACGCCGGCGTCTCCGATTGACTATTGCAGTCAGGTGTCAGGTCCAATTTTTTTACTCCGAGCGCGCGCTATCTGTTCAAACGTGAACGTCCAGGAGTCGGACCAGGCCTGTGCCTTCCTCTATATCCCTATAGGGCGCGTAACCCGTGTGTGACTGCGGCAAAGTGAGCTGACAAAACCTGCTTTTTTCAACTCACAAAACGCGCTGTTCCTCCGGGCCAAACGCAGATGATCCTCACAACTTGCGCCGCCTGCGCCGCCCCACTGGCCCACAACGCGCCGCGATGCGTTAGATGTTGGACCCGCTATTGTGACTCGACTTGCCAACATGACCACTGGCGCCGCGGCCACAAGCAGATGTGCAAGAAAATACACCGCGGCGGCAACGCAGAACAGTATAATGCAGACAAAAAATACAAGGAGGCCGTCGCGGTCGCGGTCGAGGCGTGCGCGGACGACGTGAAAGGGCAGACGTGCTACATCTGCACGCAGGCCCTCCATTGGAAGACGAAGGAGGGACTCGTGCGCATGTGTGCGTGCCGCGGGACGGCGGGCTTCGCACACGTGTCGTGTTTGGCCGAGCAGGCGAAGATTTTGGTCGCGGAGGCCGTGGAGAACAATTTGGGCGTTGATGCGATACAGGCGAGGTGGGATCGATGGAATGTATGTAGCCTATGCAAACAAGACTATCACAGCGTCGTAAAGTGCGCGCTTGGATGGGGCTGCTGGAAAACGTACCTAGGACGGCCGGAGAAGAACTGGTGTCGGAGAGGTGCAATAAACCAGCTTGGGAACGGTTTAATTGCTGCAAACCAGCACGAGGACGCGTTGTCCGTGAGGGAGGCCGAGTTGTCTATGCTGCGGCGCCTTGGGGGAACAGAAGAACACATTCTCTTCGTGCAGACTAATCTTGCGACCACGTATCGAGCGCTTGGACGGCTTGAAGAGGTCATGTCACTGCGACAGGTAGTATACTCTGGTTTTGTGAAGATCTATGGCGATGAACATAAAGAATCCCTCAGAGAAGCATACAATTACGCGAGTGACCTTTTTGCTGTAAGACGCTTCGCAGAAGCCAAATCGTTGCTGCGCAAGACAATACCCGTGGCGCGACGCGTTCTCGGAGAGAGTCACGAGGTCACGCTCAAGATGAGACAGAATTACGCGGCGGCCCTCTGCAATGACCCCGGGGGCGCCACGCTCGACGATATCCGTAAGGCCGTGACGACGCTCGAGGACACGGAACGGATCGCGCGGCGCGTTTTTGGCGGTTCGCACCCAGAGACGACAGCTTTGGAGAAAAACTTGCGAAACGCCCGGGCCGCGCTCCGCGCCCGCGAAACGCCGCTGCCGGTGTAAGAAGAGGACGATTGTAGTGCGAAGGACCCGGTCGGAGTTAGAGCGCGTCAGAGTACTAGGTAGCTTAGCCAAGGGCCGCCCCATAAAACTAGGCCGGCGCCCGCTCCTCCGACAGCGTCCGGATCAGCGACTCGAGGCGCGAGCCCTCGAACGAGTTCAGCGCGATGTCGCCCGACGGGAGCCGCCCGAGCGGCCGCCCCTCGAGGCTCCGCGCCTGCTGCGCCGGCGTCGACTCCGCCGGCGCCGGCCCCGGCACGGCCTCGGCGCCGAACCGCCGCAGCGGCTGGCCCTCGAGGCCCCGCGCGTCCGCGAGCCGCGGCGAGGTCGCGAGGCCGTCGAGCGAGTGCGGCGCGAAGTCGAGCGGCGCCACGCCTCTTACGGAAGACGGCAGCCGCTCCAGGAAGAGCTGCTCCGAGTCCTGGCGGTCGTAGCGCGGCTTCTTGAGGGGCGGCAGGTGCTCGCCGTCCAAGCCTAGACCTTGCGACGCCAGCACGCCCACGACCTTGTCGAGCGTCTCCGTCAGGTTCGCGACCTTGGACCGCAGGTCCGCGACCTCCCGTTCGAGTTCGGCCTGCCGCGCGCGCTGCGCCGCCGCGTCGGGGCCGCCGTGGTCGTAGTGCTCCGCGCGGCGGATCAGCACCAGCAGGTCGTGGCGGCCCCTCCTGAAATTCGGGTGCTTGAACTCCCACCGCGCCTGCGCCGCCGGGCCCGCGTTCGCGTCGGCGCGCAGTTTCCGGAAGCCGTAGAAGTTCAGCTGCCGCACGAAGCTCCGGAAGTTGTTGTGCTTGAAGTACTGCGGGATGATCTCGGCCGCGAACTTCTCCGAGTCGAAGATGACCATCGTGTCGCCGTTCTTCGACCAGCCGCCGACGACGCCGTCGAGCGCGCTGATCATGGCGTAGGTCTTCGAGAGGAAGGCCGAGGCCTCGGACTGCTCGCGCCGCCGCCGCGGCCGCGCGGGCGGCTGCGCCTGCTCCTCGGGCGTCGGGCTCGGCGCGGGCCCCGGCACCGGTTCCTCGATCTTGGGCGCGGGCGGCGCCTCCTTCTTCTTCGCGGCGGAGGCGCGCGTGCGGCGCGACATCGTAGCTTGTCGCGGCTGCGTGCGAGTCTTGCTTGTTTTGCTGTACTGCTACCCAGCTCTTTTAGCCCTGCTAGTGCGTGAAGCACCGCGGCGTCGCGGCAGTGGCAATCTGTAAAGTCTTCTGTGCTGCTGGGGAAGCTGGTGGGTTAGCGTGGGGCCTCCTTAAGGCCTGCTCTTTCGCCTTGTGCAAAGCTCAAAGCTCTCCCGTCGCCGCGGCTGAATCCCGCCTACATGCGCGCGCGAGGGGTCTGGAACTGTCGTCTGTCCCGGACGAACGACGAGATCCGTCCGCGGGAAAAACACGAAACCCGACACTCTGGAGCCGGATCGAGAGATTGGCTGCCGTCCCGCGCCCGTCGACGACGTATTCACATCGTTGGAGGCGCGAAAGTAGCCATCCGCACTGCATAAATCAGCAGCCAACGTTCGCCGCCGCCGCAGCAGCTCTCAGTAGAGAGAGAGCAAAAACAAGAGAGCAGCCCACAAATAGATGCAATTCATCCGCCAGTGCTTCGGCATGTCAAAGAAAGTACCACAAAGAATCGTGGACCCGCACCACCACTTCTACACGCCGTCCGTGGAAGCGGGCCCCGGCGGCCACTCCGGATTTTTAAGAAAGCTGGGCGCGCCCGACTACCCGCCGGAGGAGTACGTCAAGGACAAATCACAATTGAACATTGTGAAGAGCGTCCACGTCGAGGCGCTGCCCGACGACGGTGTGGCCGAGGCCGCGTGGGTCGCGTCGCTGATCAAGGAGGGAAGGGCCCCGACGGTCAAGGCCATCGTGGGCAAGGTAGATCTGGCGGCGCCCGACGCTGCACAAAAACTCGAAGCGCTCGTGAAAACATCAGACTTAGTGAAAGGCGTGCGCTACATCATCGATTACGACGGCCCGTGGGGAGAAGACAACGGGACGCACCCCGAGGTGTCGCGCCACGGCAAGGACTACTTGCGGGGGCCCGAGGCTTCGGACTTCGAGCGCGGCTTCTCCTTATTAGCTAAACATGGCCTCTCGTACGACCCTGCGTGGAAATCAACCAGTGCGATTTCTCGGCGATGGCGCGGCCGTCCTGGCTCGGTCGAGCGGCGAGGAACGAGCACCACCACGCCATCGAGCAGGCGTCGCGTCGATGGCGTGGAGGACGACGCGACGATGAACGCACCGTAAACTTTTGATTTCCACACAGGTACGACCTGCAGTGCGCGCCGGCGCAGCTGCCGGCGGCCGCGGCTTTATTAGCGCGCCACCCCGACATTCCCGTCGTGCTCGACCACGCGGGGAAAGTAAGGAAGTTGGATGGTGGCAGCGCGGACGCCGCGAAAATTGAAGCGTGGCGGGCGGGCGTCACGCAGCTCGCGAAGCTCCCCCAGGTCCGCGTCAAGCTGTCCATGCTCGGCTTCCTCGTGCCCGGCTGGACCGACGACGCGGCCAAGGAGGCAATCGTGGTCGGGCTCGTCAAGGAGCTGCTGGCGCTCTTCGGGCCGGAGCGCTGCATGTTCGCGTCGAACTGGCACGGGTCGGGGGCGTCGTCGAACGCGGACTACTGCGACGAGTGCCAGCCGACGATGACGGAGCTCTACGAAAAGTTCCAGGGCTGGTGCGACGGGCCGCTCGGCTTGGACGCGGAGGCGCAGGCTATGGTGTTTGCGGGGACGGCGGAGGCGTTCTACCGCATCTAGGTAGTGCCCTCGTAATGTGCCCGTGAATTGCGTCGCGTCGACGGCGTCGGGGCCTACGAGCTTGTATGTGCTTTCGTCGCGCGCCCGCTCCGCTCGCGGCTGTGTAAGCGGAACATGCCGCCTCCGGAGCGAGCCACCGAGAAGCATCACCCCTTAGTCATCTTTTGTGGATTTTATGAGGTCGCCGTACGGCACCATTGACTTCCCCCAATTCCTGGTTGCGGGGCCCCTCGACATCTCGACCTCTGCCGTCGGGGTCCGCATCGGATTGTTACGAGGGGGCCTAACGGGCGGCGCGGCCAGCAGCAGATCAGCGCGTTGGTCGCAGGAACGCTCAAAAATCACACGCACCATTGTAAAACCCCCGCGCGTTGTGTTGCTGAGCTATACCTAATTTCCTGGTGGCAGCGATCTTCTGCGCTTTGACGCTTTTAGGGGTGCATATCACTTGCCGCGCGCGGCCGCCGCGGCGCCATGGAGAGCATCCGCACGCCCTCGCCACCCACGGATGCAAGGTTACCGAAGGAGACGCCGCGCGGCGCCGACGGCGACATCGACGGCCTCGAGCCGGCGCTGTCCGACGTGCTGACGCCCAGCAAACAAGACGGGACCCCGCCCGGGACGCTGCGGAAGCCCATCAAGTTCACGTACGGGTCGAGCAACAGCTTGTCCTCCTTGCCGCTCCCCCAGGCGGCGCCGATCGACTTCCGCGCCTCCGGCTCGAGCCGGGCCGTGGGGTCGCCGCCGGCCTCGCCCGCCGCGCTGCGCGAGCAAACCAGCAACGCGTCGGAGAAGTTCGACGGCGTGAGTTTTGAGGAGGACCCCTTCCGGCTCTCGGCCCGGGACCTCGACCTGCGCGAGGTCATCGGCACCGGTGCGTTTGGAAGGGTCCACACGGCGAAATGGCGCAACACGCCCGTCGCGGTCAAGGTGCTCTTCCACGACTGCTCGCGCGACGACGTCGACATGTTCCACAAGGAGATCCGGCTCATGGCCCGCTTGCATCACCCGAACATCGCACAATTTTTGGGCTACGCGAAGCTGGGCCCCGACGAGCTCGTCCTGGTCCTCGAGCTCTTCGAGAACGGGTCGCTCGAGCAGTACGTGCCCAAGGAGCGGCCGGGCGTGCGCACGACGTTGGAGTTCTGCCGGGACATGGCGCGCGCCGTCGAGTACCTGCACGGCCGAGAGCCACACATCACCGTCCACCGCGACCTCAAGCCGCCGAACTTCCTGGTCTGTAAATGTTTGCGCATCAAATTGGGCGACTTTGGCATCGCGCGCAATTTGAACTCGCCACGGGCGCGGCTCGACGCATCGGGCGGCGGCATCCCGCGGGTCTCGTCGTCGTCGAAGCTGTCGTCCCCGGGCGGGAAAACCCACTTCCCCGCGTCGGCCAAGGAGGCGCGCGCGGCCGCGGGCGACCTCGACTCGTCGCGCGGGCCCCTCGACATTACGGGAAGCGAGTACGAGCTCACGACCGAGTGCGGCACGGCGCGCTTCATGGCGCCGGAAGTCGCGTCCCCGGCGCCGGACGTGGCCAGAAGGAAATACAGGGAACAGGCCGACATCTTCAGCCTGGGCCTCGTCTTCTACTACGTCTGGGAGCGCAAGCTGCCGAGCGTCAAGGGCGCTTTGAATGTAGACGAGCACCGCGCGGCCATCAACTCCGGCGCGCGGCCCGCGTTCAGTCGGACGCCCAAGGCCATCCGAGCGCTCATAGAAAAAATGTGGGCCTTCAACCCGGACGACCGCGCGAAGGCGGCGTCGGTCTCAAGCTTCCTCGAGGCGTGCACGGTCAAGCCGTCGCTCACGGGCCTCGGCGTCAAGGCGCCCTGAATTCATATCGAAAACTCCAATGGTACATCCCATCAACACGACCCTGCGAACCTCCCCCCGGTTTCCGAGTCGCCCTTCGGACGTGTGACATGCGCCGCTGAGCATCTCACATCCACCCCTCCCCCTCCCAAAACGCTGATCATATCGCTGGCCAACGCTGACTCCAACTCCCAATCGCTGCTTGTAGTAGTAAAGTTATGTGGAATCTTAGTCACCTGTCATCGTCGTACGGCTACAACGCCTGCTCGATGGCGTGGACGATTGCGGTGCTCAGGCTCAGGCTAGTTACGTCGCGGGGTTCCCCGTACCCCTCCCGCTCCCCCCGGGCCCACCCGTCCGCTGGACTAAGCGCAAGGTGCTTACTAGTGTGTTACAGCACGCTAGCTGCAGTTTTTGCCGACGCGCCGGCTCGAGACAAAGCTAAAGCTAAATCACTAGCGATTGAGCCCCGAGCCTCTGAGCTCGCGGGTTTCTACGTCGACAGCGTTTGCGCCGGCTCTACTACGAGCATACGACATTTGAGTATAAGGCGAAAGTCGTCAGTGGACCTACTCGTACTTACGAAGGCAGAGGACAATCGCTTCTGGTGGTAGAGCCGCCTAGTCAAAGCAGCTCTCACATCGCCGCGACAGCCTCTCTTACACGCAGCGATCAAAGTCATGTCAGACAGCGACAGCGACTCGAGCGAAGAAGAAGCGCCGCAGCAAAAGCCATCCTTCGGCGCGCTGCTCGGCGACGATTCCTCTGAAAGCAGCAGCAGCGACGACGACGAGCCCGTGCTACCGAAGGCGCCGCCGCCGCCGCCAAAAGCGCAACAAAAACGCAAAAAGAAGAAGAAGAAGCAGCCGCCAGCACCACCAGCCGAGGACGACGACGCCACGGAGGCAGCGTTGGACGCAGCCATCGCGGAAACAAGAAAGGAGGGCGGCGCCACAACAACAACAACGACAACCGCGCCGCCCTACCTGCGCTTCGAGTTTGGAAGGGTCGACACGGCGAAGGAGGTCGCGGCCGCGTTGGGCTCGAGCGTCGGCAAGCGGCGCGGCTTACAAACAAGACGGAGCCTGCTCGGCGCGCCGCCCGACGGCTACGGCATAGCTCCGACCTACGGCAAGGGCGGCCTGCGCTGCGTCAAACGGAGTCCCGGCCGGGCGCGGCCGCACGAACAGTGGCACGTCTTCGAGGCCTCCGACGCCTACGCCCAAGCTACCGCCGAGTCGACCGCGGGTGACCCGAACTACCTCGCCCAGCGCGTCGCCGAACGGCCGTACCACGCGCCGCCCCTCGTAGCATTGGCGACCTTTGCGCTCCGCGTCGGGCGCAAGGAGCTCGCCGAGCCGCTTCTGCGGCGAGCGACGACGGCGTACGAGGTCGCGCTCAACGCGGGCTCCGAGCGAACTAGAGATTTGGTCAAGAGCGTCAAATTACGTGTTGATGCTTGTGCCGGCGAGTCAGCACTATTCTTCAAGGCTTTGCATGTCCGAGCTAGAGTGGCATCGTCGAGCGGCGCGCCGGAGACGGCGGCGAATTTACTACGCTTCCTGCTCGCGCTGGATCCGTGGGGCGACCCCTGCGGCGTTTTGTTGAGGTTGGACGCGGATTTACTGCAGGCGGGCGACGCCGAAGCGGTCCTGGCTTTGTTCGAGAGTCCGCTCACTGTAGTATCCATGCCGCCGGCCGACGTGTTTGACGATGCGCCACGTAAACACATGTCACCGCACGTCACGCACGATTCTAGTACAAGATTACTGCCGGGCCTCGCGTTAAATAGGGCGCTAGCTTTGTTGAGAGTGCCGGGTGACCGCAAAGCAAAAAGAACCAGGGCGGTGAACGCCGTCGCTGATGCGTTAGCAGCACATCCTCACCTCCTGACGAACATGCTCGGCGCGTGCGGCGTGAACCCGAACCAGGACTTCACGACTTCTTATGATTTCCGCGAGGTCGTGCTGCACGAGCACTTCCGGAAGCAGACACGTAGAAATTGCTTAGCCCAGGCCTACGCCGTGGGCGCATACGAGCTCGCGTTGGACGCCGCGTGTATCAGGGGGAGAAAATTGTGGGCCGAGCCGGACGCTCTGAAATTGCTCCACGACGGCGCCGCGGCACTCATCAAGCGGCTGGGGCCCGGCAAGGCCTCCACGCAAACGCTGGCGGTCGTCGACGCCGCGTGGTCGCGGACGGCGCTCGTGAAGTACGCGCGCGTGCCGGTCGAAGTCTTCGCCGACGACCTCCCGCAGCTCGGGCCCGACGCCGCCGAGGGGTTTGATGATTCGTTGTTGACTGTTGAGGCTTATCAGCGCGCGCAACAGCAGCAGCAGGGCCGCGTCGTGTTCCGGGGTGGAGGTGGTGGTGGTGATGTTGTGGGGGAGATCCTGGCACAGCTCCCGCCGGACCTGAGAGCTGACTTCCAGAGGCAAATTGACGCGGGGGTGCCGCCGGAGGAGCTCGAGGAGGCGCTCATGCGGCTCGTCATGTGATTAAGTCAACAGTTGTTCTTTACTCATTGAAACGTGTATGCGTCCCGGTCTGGCCGGCGAGGCTTCTATTAACAAACGCCCGCAGGTCGTCGGCGCGCGACGTGTGGGCGACGGGCCGCCCGCGCTGCCGGTCCGGCGACGGCGCCTCCGCCGCGACGTCGTGGAGCTCGAACGTCGCCCCGCAAGTCTCCAGCTTTTTATAGACCGCCAGCGTCGCCCACGCGTCCGCCGCCGCGTAGCGCCGCTGGTCCGTGGACAGCCAGTGGCGGCTGTGGCGCAGCGAGGCCTCCGCGCGCTGCCGGTAGAAGCCGAAGGACTTCTGCAGCCGTTTCCTCTTGGCGTAGGGCGCGCCCTGCAGGAGCCGCCCGCAGACGTCGGCGAGGCCGCGCTGCGGCGCGTCGCCCTCTAGCCCGGAAGACGCTCGTTCCGCGACTTGCGTATCCACACCATTTCGGATGGCGCAGCCCAGGCGTTCTCGTCGAGGATCGCCGAAGAAGGCCTTGCGGATGTCGGCATCGCCCATGAGCCTTTGTAAATCCGGACTTATAGAATTGCCCGGCGCGCATAACAACACCCTACCTCTCATCGTGTCCGCCGCAATCTGCACTAATAAGGGAGGAGAGAAGTGCGTGCCCTCGGCGTCGACGCCGACGACGGACGGCGACGACGCCCAGAACTCGGCCCATCTCTCACTAGATTCGTCGACGAACTCGCCGCCCTGCTGGGAGAAGGCGTCCTCCAAGTAGGTAGGCGCCGCATCATCACTATCCTCGGCATTTAAGGTAGCGCCTTCCAGCAAAGCCAGGGACTGGGCCTCGTCTCTTGTTGTTCGTAGTGTCTCGTCAATAGCGCCAGCCAAACCCCTCCCAACAAACGGCGCCAGGGCCGCCGCGGCGTCCTGCGCTTCGTCGCTCTCATCAGAATCGCTCTCGTCCTCCATCTGGTTCGTTTCGTGCGACCGCCTACGCCTCCCCTCGACGTCCTCGGCGACGGCCGCCTCGACGAGCCGCGCCGTCGCGGCGGCCGCCCTCCTGATGGACTTCTTCTTGCGCCGCTGTTGCGCCTCGGGGTCGACAGCGTTTTGCGGCTGGCCCTCGGCCAAGGCGGAGTCTATCAGCTTCTTAACGGCGTACGTGGCGCTTCGTAAAGCGTGCTTTTTGGATTTCGCTCTCGAACGCTTCTTCGCCTCCTTCGTGGACTTGCCGCCCTGGCCCTGGGACTTGCGCTTCTTGGCCATCCTTGTATGGCTGGCACTTTTGTGCTGGCACTGCAGTTGGCACTGAAACACGAATATCGCGTCGAATCGAGCGGCAACTTTTGGTATGCGTGGACTGTGAGTTCGCTGTGACTCCCGTGGTGGATCAACCGCTGCCCGTAGCGCGTCGTTTCAAGCCCGCGCGCGCTCGACTGCGAGCTAGCGCAACAAAGGCGCTAGCGGACCAGGCCCGACAAGCTATATGTTGCGTTGGCGAAGCTGCGCAAGCCCCTAGGAATTCTCTTTGACCACTGCTGCACAGCCACAGTGGCTGCTTCACCGCACGCCATCGCTGCGACGCCCCTTTGCCACCTTCACTGCCCTCAGCGACCACTATGATGCTGCTACGGGCGCGCGCCGTCGGCGCGCGCGCGCTCACGGCGACGCGACGCACCCCTACACTCCACCCGCGCCTCTTCTCGGCCGCACCGGCCAACCTGACGCTCGCCGAGCCGCCGCCGCCGCCCGCGCCGCCGCCGCGCAAGAACTGGGACCTTGACGGAGACACGCTGAACGTCTGGGTCGAGGCGGACTTCTTCACTGAGGACAGCGCGACTAATGGCGTCTGCGCGCTGCCGGCGGCCGTCTTCGGCGAGCCGTTCCGGCGGGATATCGTCCACGATTGCGTGAAATGGCAGCGGAATAATAGGAGGCAAATCCACCGGGCCTCGAAGCGGCGGGGCGATGTCAGAGGGAGCACGCGGAAACTCTACAAGCAGAAGGGCACGGGGCGGGCTCGCGTGGGGAGCGCGCGGGCACCTATTAGGAGAGGCGGCGGCAAGGCGCACGGGCCGACGCGTCGCGACTTCGCTACTTCGTTCAATCGACGCCAGCGCAAGATGGCGTTGAGAGTTGTCCTCTCGCAGAAGCTAAGGGAAGGGAGGTTGACCGTCGTGCCTTCATTAAATGTGGAGCCGCGCACGCGGGTCGTGGCCGCGGCCCTGCGGAAGCGGGACATGGCCTCGGCGCTGTTCGTCGACGACGTCATCGAGGAGGGCCTGCGGCGGGCCGTCGCGAACGCGCCGCGCGTCGACGCGCTGCCGCAGATCGGCGCGAACGTCTACGACATCCTGCGCCGCGACCATCTCGTGCTGTCCGAGAGCGCGGCTTTCTCGTTGGCGGGGCGGTTGGTGGGGCGCTAACTTTATCTATTGTCGTCGCGTGCCGCGTTTCCGCTTTGGCGGCCCGCCCCGGACACCGGAACCCCTCTGGGACTGAACCCAGACGTTAATGGACCGCCTGTACGCCTGAATAGCTCATTTGGGCGGGTCCGGCGTGGAACAAATCTAGATCTCGTCCGCGACGCCGAAGCTCCAAAAGTAATGCGACCGCGTTGTTAAAGGACGGCGTTAAGCATGAGCTGCCCGACATACCATAGCTCCCGGGAGCGCACTTTTTTTCAGCGAAATTAGCCGAGCGCGCAGAGAAATGACTTTCTGGCCCAGCCCTGCTCTGTTGGGAACTCTATCGCGCGCCGGCGCTGGGAGCCAGGGCCGCCGGAGAGCGCTGGCGCTGCGATACAGCCACCAGACGCAAAAAGCCTACGAGTTACGACAAATAGCACCGATTATCACACTCCGCGCCGCCCGGCCGGCCGACGCGCCGCGATGACCGGAGCCGAATCCCCGCGCAGGCCGAACAACCATGCGCTCCCTCCTCGCCCTCGCGCTCGCGGCCCCGGCCGTCGCCTTCACGCCGGCCGTGGCGCCCCGCAAGATCGTCCGCGGCGGCCGCCCGCTCGGCCCGGGCTTCCTCAAGGACCTCGGCTTCGAGAAGCCCTCGTGGCTCCCCGACTTCGGCGGCGGCGACGACAAGCCCGCCGAGGAGCCCAAGGCCGAGGAGGAGGCCGAGGAGGCCGAGGAGGCCGAGGCCGCGTCGGAGTAGATCGTTCGAACCCCTACCCACGCCTAATTCCAAATACATCATCCTTAGCTATGCGATCGCCTCCAGGAGCCGCGCCTGGAGCGCCGCCTTGAGGCCCTTCGTGTCGAGGCCCCGCGCGGCCAGGGCGGCTCGGAGCTTGGCCACCGTCATCTTCTTGACGGTTGCCGCGTCGAGCTCCGGCGCCGCCGTCGGCGCGGGCGCGGGTGCCGGCTCGGGCTCCGCGACTGCGGGCGCCTCGTCGACGCGCGCGCGCTTCGGAGACGGCCGGGGATCGCCAGGCTCCTCGAGCGCTTGCGCGGGGATCTCGACCGTGGACGAATCCACGCGGCAGGTCTCCGTGTCCGCGTCGGCGACGGCCGCGGGCTCCGGCGCCGGCGCGTCGGCGGCCGCCTCGTACGCAGGCACCGGCTCGATGGGCGGCACCGCGGCCGGTTCGGGCGACGGCGAAGGCGCGTCGGGGGAGGGCTCCGGCGCGGGCGGCGCGACGTCCTCAAGGATAGGCCGCGGCCCCGGCCCCCAGGGCCCGGCCGTCCCCGCTCTCCGTTTTTCATAATGTGCCCGCCACGCTGCTAAAGCCTCCTCCGTCGTCAGCGCGTCCAATGCACTCACGTCGTCCATGTCGAGGCCCCACCACTCTTTGAGGTTCTCGGCCATCCGCGTCGCGTTTGATGATTTGACACAAACACATAAGCCCTTCTGGAGGCCCCACTTGATGAGGACCTGCGCTTCTGTTACGGAATGCTTCCGAGCGATAGCCTTCACAGTATCATTCTGCAATGCCGCCCCCCTCTGCAACGGCTTGAAGGCTTGTACAACAATATGTTTCTCTTGAAAGTAATCAACACATTCCTTACGATACAGGAAGGGGCTCACTTCTATTTGATTGACGACCGGCCGACAGACCTTAACTAAACCAGACTTTTCTAACTCCTCGTAGTCATCTTCCGTGTAGTTCGATAAACCGATACGCTTCACTATTTTCAATTCTTCTTTGCAATGAACTAACGCCCGATACATGTCCACATGTTTTCCAGGGACTGGCCAGTGCACCAGTGCCAAATCCAGGTCGCGGCCTAGTTCACTTCGAGACCTCTTCACGGACGCGACGGCGTCCTCAAAAGTTGAATCGGTGGTCCAGACCTTCGTCGTGTACCAGCACTCCTCCGTGAGTGATCGGCCGGCCTCCCGTTCGTTGTCGTAGAAGGCCGCGCCGTCGAAATGGGCGTAGCCGGCTTTGATCGCGTCGGCGACGCAGCGCGTGGCTTCGTCCTTTTTGACTTGGTACAGCCCATAGGCGATCTGCGGCATCTCCGTGCCGTCGTTGAGGAGCATGGGTGGCGGCATTTTGGCGTCGACGGCGTGCGGCCGTGGTACACAGATGCTCTCGGCAGCGAAAACTTATCCTTGCACGACCGCTCGCACCACTAGCCCCCTGAAAAGACTGGCACAAATGAGCTAGCTAGCGTGCTGTAAGACACTAGCAAGCGGCCGTCCGAATAAGGGATCCCTAGTCGCCCAACGAGCACAGAAGAGGCCTACAAGCAGCCACGGGACGGATGCCCGCCGCGCGTCCGGCCCGCTTTTTGGGCAGCAAAACACCCCACCCGCCGCCGCCACACTGTGACCGGTAGGCCATCAGACGACTTGGGACACACGCGTAGTGACCCTCGCACGCCTCACACACGCTCTGCCGCACATCACCGCCGCGAGGGGCAGCCCTTGGACAAGGAGCCCAGCACAACCGCGCCACCGCGCGCAGCGCAATCGAAGAACAACGATGGCGGCCCAGGTCCACTGCATCGGCTGTTTAGAGACCGGCGCCGACTTCCCGAGCGAAGCGTATGGGTTGCAGATGCGCTGGAGTCTCGAGCGGTCGGACGATTGGCAATTACTTGAGGGTGCTGGAGAAGGGACCTCTCAAATACATATGAGTAAAGGAGCCGACCCGCTGTGTACGTTTGACCATCCTCTCGACGTGCGGCTGCATTGCGATGCTTTAGCGAAGGCCGCGGCGCCGCGGATCAAGGTCGAGGTCTATCAACTGGACGAACTGGATCGGTTAGATATCGCGGGCTACGGCATGGTCCACCTCCCGCTCTCAACGGGCACGCACGCCCTCGAGATCCACTGCTGGCGGCCCGCCGGGAGCTGGTACGAGAATTTGAGTGCGAAATTTATCGGTGGGTATCCTCGACTGGTGCGACCGCAACTGGTCGTGAGTGCGGCCGAAAGGTTCGGCATGGCCACGGAGACGACGGGGACCATTTATTGCACGCTGAACGTCTTCGTGGTGGACTTACATGGAGAGGTCGAAGAGGAAGAGGGTGTGGAGGAGTCTAAGGAATAATAAAAACACATATAGTTAGAAGAAGCCCCAGCCCGTCACCCGATCCAAGAAGCTCCCTTGCGTCATGTCGTGCATGATGTTCAGGAACTCGTCCCATTCTATTTCTCCTGAACCGTCCGCGTCGTAGATCGCGACGACGCGCGCCACGTTCTTCTTCGTCATCGCTCTACGAGCCTTCCAGTCCTTGAACTCGGCGCAGCATTTTCGTAGTAGATCCCTTATAGTTTTCGTATCTACCGACCGCTCCTGGCCGCTACCCTCCGAGTAGATGTTAAATAAGCGCTTGTAAGCCTTTAACTGGTGTTTTTCGAACATGTGCTCCTCCTCCGGTCGACATTGATACGCGACCTGCATCTTCCGCTCCCTAATGAGTTTCTCGAACTCCTTGACCTCAAATCGGAAATCTTTATCCTTGCCGGCGCACGCGAAGGCCAACCCATCATTAAAGAAGGCCTCCTCGCCCATCGTGAACATAATTCTTACCGCTATTCCCTTGTTCATGATGCTGTTCGACTCGTCCTCCGCTTGATCTGTTACTATATCGGCAAACCCGCACCTCTTTAGTTCGGCTTGCGCTTCTGGGTGTTTGGCGAGTACTAAGAGTAACCTTAGTACCGTACCTCGCAGCGTGTACTGGTTGAGGCCGTCCTCCATGGCTTCTAACAAGCCCGTGTCATGTACCAGATAGCTCGGTTCTTCCGTATGTTGTGCGATATATAACAAGGATCTAAACGCGGCGTTCCTCGTCTGCACTTCTTTCGCAGCAGTGAGTTGGATAGCTCCCGGCACCATGCAAACATCTAGGGAATGGCCCTCCTCGAAGGTCATGCACGACGCTAGGAACCGTAGAGCGTCCCGCTTGGCAATTCTCACTGTCGAACTTCTCGAGTCAACATCTCGCTGCACCAAGCGTTTGCAGCCTTCCACCGCGCCGGCATCAATGGCTCGTCGTCGTGCTTTCGCGTCCTCGCACAGGAAACATAAAGCTTTCAACGCATATCGCGGTACCAAGCGCGATGCCGCTGACGAATCACCCCCAAGATCCTTCGAATCTTGTAGAGCGTCGAGGATGGCCCGCACCAGATTCTCGACGCACCCGGCTTTTATGAGTGACGGTCTTGTAGATGTATGGTCCCTTGCTGCTAATTCTCCAACAGCGGCACACGCCAACAAGGGTCCGAGGTCGCCGGCACCTTTACTATGTGAACCTTTCCGTCGACAGGCGACGGCGGGCGACGGTATGAGCGGCGCCACAAACACGGCGAGCGCGGGGCCGAGTGATCGCGCGCCGTCGCCGTAGCGCGCACAATCAGCTAAAGCCGCGCACGCGGCACATCGCGCCGCTGGAGACTCCGACCCCAAGAGCTCCCTCAATACACCCTGTGCACCTTCACACGCCACGTCCCGAGGATCATCCTTGAGCCGCACGGGGAAGCCCCGCCTTAAAGTGAGCAAATGTCTTGCGAGATCAAACACGTCATCATCCGAGTAAGGTGGTGAACGCGGCATCCTCCTATGATCAAAGGCAAACGCCGCCGCATGGAAGGCCGCGTGCATCGCTGCACTTTTCGCGTCATCTTTACTTCGATCTAAGGCCCAGGCCGCACCCACCAAGACATCTACCGTTGATGCGTCATTTGGAGACTCCATCGTAGCATCTGCCAGGGCCAAATCCGACAAAGACCGTAGCAGATCCCGCGGTTTCAAGGACTTCGGTGCTGGTCGCTCCCGAGCCATGTAGGCCGCCATCCTTCGGTTCATCGAGTCGTTCTCGAGCTTCGCCGCTCGCGTCCATTCGTTCACCAGGTCGATCGCCAACAAGTTAGGCACGGCCATCTTCTCCTCCATGGTCTTGAGGACCTTGTCGCGGCGCCGCGGCCAGTCCCACGCCAATTCACATTGTTTTTCCTCCTCTTTATCGTCGGTAATCAATAAGGCCGAGGCCTTTTCGTCCTCGGAGTCGGAGTCGCCGCCGTCCTCGTGGAAGGCGTGGGCCATGTAGGAGTTCGGGTCGAGCTTCTTTTGTTTCGTGGCGCGCTTGAGTTCCGTGAGGGTGGAGAAGAGGAGGCCGGGCCACGTTTTTGCTTTCAATAATGTACCTACCGTTGTGGTCTCCATGTGCGTCTCTCTGATGAGTCTAGCGAAGGTCGCTTGTTCTTCTTGGGTGGGCGGCGGGGCGGGGTTCTCGATGCCGGCGAAGCCCATCCTGGTTTACGTGCCGTGCCGTCCGGTGGTCGTTGTGTGATGGGGCTGCCCAATGAGCTCGGGTAGTACTACCCGTCGGACAGCCAACCGTTCGCACGGAGGCCCTTCGAACGATTTCCCTTGGAACCGTTCGCCTCGACGGCTGCGCGTCCGGAGCGCTGCTGGATGGCCACAGGCCCACAGCCTGGCGCTGAGCTCGAGCGTTTTTTGGGTGGGTGCGGGTTTCGCGGGACGCCGTCCATTGGATCAAACTGAGATAGCATACGTCCGTCGCGGTAAGCATGGATGAAGAAAAAGTTAACTTGTCTAACCTTGTGCTTGCCTATTTTTTAGCTATTAATTAAATTGCGTGGTTTCGCTGCGGCTCGCTGCCGCCTCGCTTTTGACAAAAACGTCCCGTTCACGGCCGCTGCGCATCGTAGAGGGATGAGCGATTGGGATCGTCATCTTTGACCTCTCGACGAGCCTCCGTCAAAGTTTTGTGAGATCTGCGGCGGCGGACGCCGAGAACGAGCCATTCTCGTGTGCGACGCCTGCGCTGCCGCCGGCCTTAGCCTAGGAGCGTCGCGCGACCCCAGGACCGATACCGTGGGTTGACCACGTCGCCGGGGCTGGGCGCGAGCGGTTCCGCGGCTGCGCGCGAGCGTGTGTCGCCTCGAAACGGCCGCCGGCGCCGGCTCGGGCTTTTTGCGTGCGCCCTGCGGCGGAGCGGCGGCGACGGCGGACGAGGGCGGCGAGGCCTCCTGCGGGGATTGAATCGCGCCAGCGCGTGCCGCGCCGACGGTCCAGGGTGTGAGCCGGGCTCGGCGGCGGAGCCGCGGCGCTACGGCGGCCGCGATGGCGAAGGCGTCGAGGGCGCAAATGAGTTCGGGCGCCGCGGTGGCCGTGATCGTGCTGTTCGCGGTCGCGGAGTCTTCCTCGAGGAGAGCACCGCGCGCGCCGGCCGCGCGCGCCTCTCACCGTGGCCGACAGCTGTACTCAAAGAAACAACAATTACCCTACTGGCCCCGCGCGGGTCTAACCCCCCGTCGGGGGCGCTTGCCGGCCGGATTTGATCACGGGGCTTTGGACGAGGCGCGCGGGAGGGAGCTAAGGCCGGTCGGCCGGGAAGCGGTCGGCCGGGCTCACGCTAGGTGTGAGCGCGCGGTGCTCGGGGTGCGCCAGGTCCTCATTGACGCCGGCGTTGAGCGTCAGGAGGGTCTCGCGGTCCCGGACTTGGGCCGGCGCCAGCGGCGCGGCTGGGTCGGCGGCGCCGACGAGCTTCGTGATGACGAGCGCGGGCAGGAACTTCACGACGTCCACGAGGGCGGCTCGGGGCGGTTCCTCGAGATCATCTCCGGCGGCGGCGTGGCGCGCGACGAGCGCGTCGAGGTACGACCGCGTCGGCGGCTTCGCGGGGGGCGCCGGCGGGAACTGGGCGCGCAGGGCGGCGACCAGGTCCAGCGGCTCGGTCGCGTCGGACTGGTGGTGGGCCCGCGCCTGGCCGAAGACCGTGATCAGCGCCGGCAGGACCTTGGGCACGACGTAGGCGTCCAGGAACGTGAGCGGGGTGGCCGTGGCGTAGTCGAAGACGTGGACGACGGTGGTCTCGGGCAGCTCGTACGCTTCGAGGCCGTCGCCGACGAGGAGCTGGAAGAAGCCGAGGGCGCGCGGGCCCTTGAGGTGGATGTGGTCCTTGAGGACGTGCGCACAGGCGCCGCGGGCGCCGCGTGCCGATGTCCAGGCCCGCGAACAGAAGCGGCACGTCACCTTGTCGGGGGTGTCGTCCTCCGCGGCCGGCGCCCGCGCGAGGACCCACGCGAGATGCGCCGGAACGTCGCTGTTGTTGATGCAGCGGTCGAGGACGAGCTGCTGGAAGACGAAGAGGAGCACCGGCGCGAGCGGCTCGAGCAGGCGCCACGACGACGCCTGGAACGCCGCCTCCCTCGCCTCCCTGTTGGTCGGGGGCGCCGCGGCGGCGTCGTCGAGGCCGAGGCGGTCGAGCTGGCCCTCGACGGACGCCGCGTCGCCGCGGTAGTACGCGCTGCTCTCTTGGGCGAGGCGCTCGCACACGGCGACCGGGTCCGCGTTGTCGCCGAAGAGCGCCTCGTGCGTGGTGCACAGCGCGTCGCGCACCTCGGCCTGGCGCTTCTCCAAGACGGAGCGCCGGTCGAGATCCTGGCGCGTGAGGTCGCGGCGCGCGTCGGACGCGGCCTTCTCCGTGACAAAATCGTCGAGCCGGAACTCGAGGAGGGCGCGTCGCATGGCGGCGCCGAAGCCGACCTGGTGCAGGAGCTCGTTGATGTCCGCGTTGCGGCACGCCTTGACGGCGATCTCCGCGAGCGCCGAGTGGATGGGGATGTGGTCGAAGACCTTGATGATGGCGGAGACGACCTGCGCGACGTCGCGGTGATGGCCGGCCGCGCCTCGGGCGGGGGAAGCCGCGCGTCGCGGTGGCGTTTTTCGAGGCGTGCGCGCGCGCGTCGCGCGCGCGCGTCGCGTTTTTGTGTGTGAGTGCGGAGAGATCGAGCAGGCATGGTCGATGGCGCGGGCCGCGGTGTAAGAATGACTCTGTCGCGGGCCTCCTCCGCGAGGGCCTCGTGGCCCTCGGCGAAGCGGCAGACCATGCCCCAGAGGGCCTGGTCGCCGAGGATGCCGCACTGGTCGACCTTGGTGCCCGTGACGCCCTTGAGGACCCCTTTCGCGACCAAGTCCACGAGGGCCTTGGCGAAGCCGAGGCCGTAGTCCTCGTCGCAGAGGAGCGGCCAGGCGAAGGGCAAGCGAAACCAGAACGAGAGGCGGTTCGAGATGTACTTCTCGTAGGGCTGGACGATGCTCTTGACGACCGCGGCGAGCGCCGCGGCGGAGAACCCGACGGCCGCGGCCTCGTGGTACGCGTTCGCGAAGAAATTGGCGGGCTCTGCGAGCACGCTCCCACACAATGTGAGGTGCTTGAGGATTTGGGAGTGGATCTCCTGTGGTACGTCGACCGCGGTCCTGGAAAACCCCGAGCATTCGAACGGACGCAGTCAGGGCGATCGCGCCGTCGCGTCGACGGCGGGGAGTGTGACTCCCAATGTGAAGGCGACTCGAGCTTGAACGCCGGTGGGGCGACCATCGCGCGGTGGCCGTGCCGTTGCTGCATCCACATAATAAAAGGCATCGCGACGCCTAAGCCGAACTCCGCGAGGACCACGAGCTGCATGTACATGGAGGGGTCCGTGAGCATGACCTCCAGGAGCCGGGCGTTCGCGTCGGACGCGACGCTGGTGGTTCCGCGCCGCGCGAAGAGGCCCCGGACGGCCGCGATGAGCAGGGAGCGAAACGAGACGAGGTAGCACGCTACGGAGATGAACGTGCCCCAGCGCGTTTCTTGGCCCATGGGGCAGTACGGGATGATGCCCTCGAGCTCGAGCTCGGGGAAGTTGTTGTGGAGATAGTTGGAAACATGCCTGCGTCGGCCTCGCGTCGGACGCGCGCGTGCGCCAATCCGTAGCGGCGCGCTCTCATTGAAGTTGCGCGCGGCGTCTTCGTGGCGTGGCGTCGCGCGGACGCCGTCGCGGCGTCGCGGCGACACGTCGAAGTTCCGTTTACACGGGGCGACGTACTCGAGGTTGTAAACGAGGACCGAATTGTTGTTCTGGCGGTTCCACGTCGGGTGGCGATGCGAGCCGGCCACACATGCGTAGCACACACCGTCGTGCACGATGTGGCAGCCACATACCTGCGGAGGATCGTCGTCGCGCAGGGGCGCGTCGCGGACGCGGACGGCCACGATGCCCATAACTCCAGAGCTAGCTTCCGTGGACCCGTTGGCCTTCATCGCTTCCAACCAGTACCGCGCTTTTTGAGCGGTGGCCGCGCCGTCCGCCGTGACCGCCACCGTTTCCGCCAGAACCCAGTCCATCTCTTCGGTACCTAGAACGGCGTCGCACGCCTCGACGATGTTGTCGGTAATGCTCTGGCCGGTCTCGGTGCCGCCTCGATGGACGCGCCCGGCCAGAGGCGCCCAGAAGCTGGACTCGCCCGGCTCGTTCGAACCCACGGTATAAGACTGCGCGCCGACGCCGCGCAGCTCGATCCAGAGCGGCCGTCCCGGAGCCGTGCCCAGTCCATACATCCAAAGCTGGTTGGCGTCGTTGAAGCTGTACTCCAGGCGCCCAAGGCGCATCCTCGGGACCACATTTTCGGCTGTTTCGAGGCCGGGCAACTCCGCAATCTCCACGAGAGCATTGGCTAGGACCTGCTTCAGAAACGACACAGGCCAACTAGGGATGGCTTTCAGGCGTAGCACGACGTTCGGACCGACGACTACGACTCGCACTTCGTACCCCGGTGCCTCAGGAGCGTCGGTGGGGTCCTGCATTGTCCTGCAAAGCTTGGCCTCATTTTTTCCTGCCTCCCGTTCGGCAGCAACGACGAAGCCACGCGTTCAGACGCGTCCTTCGGACGCCTCTGTCGAAGCCTGCGTGCTCCGCGCGGCCGTTTGACTCGGGACGGGTATTTGCTCTCTCCGTTGTCAGCTCTCACGGCCGCAGGGGCCCCGCTGGGGGGCCATTTGTGCGTAGCGGCGGCTCTGTGACCCATGGCACTCCGAAGCGGGACGCCGTTCAGTCCTGGCGCCAGCCCGCAGCTCGTAGACCTGCCGCAGCGGATGAGGGCTAAGGACCGCTGCCAGGCCCTCCTCGTGTCCCTCGACGCGGCGCGACTGAACACCAGTTCGCCCGGCGCCTACAGCGCGTGGATGTCGTGGTTTTGCAGACAAAGTCACTCCAAGGAGTGCGGCGCAAACTTTCCCGGCGAGGTGATGGCGAGCGGGGCGGACTTTCATACGAACAGCACGACGCGCTGCTGGGACGCCACGCGCGCCGTTCTGAGTCGAGCGCTCGCGCGCTGCGGCGGCGTCGACGAGAACGCGCCGCGCGCCCCGGGGCAGACGCCTACACCCGCGGGCGCGCCTGCCGCTTCCGGAACACGGGCGGCGGCCACGCCCCGGCGCCAGTCGCTGGGCGAGATCGCGCCAAACGCGCGCGACGGCCGCACGACCGCGCCGAAGCGGTCTCAGGCCACCGCGACCGGCGCCCAGCGCCAGCAGCAACCTGTTGCCCGGGCGCCGGCCGCGTCGGCCGCGGGCGCGCCGCGGAGCGGAAGACCAGGGCTCGCCGTGATCGCGCCGGTCCCGCCCGAGGCGCCGGGCGCCGCGCCGCTCGCGACGGCGTCGTCGGTCTGCGCGCCGCTCGAGGCCGCCGCCGCCTACGAATTTGTGCTACACGCCCTGGAAAAACGCTGGAACGTGGGCCGCGCCGAAGCCGAGGCGCGGCGTTACTTTGTGAATACGGGCTGGGCAATGACGCGGTCGCAACTCGAGGAGATCTTCGCGGACGCGGTGCCGAATCAACGGAGGGTCACGAGACCAGCGGCCCGAGCCATTCGAGCCGCGCGCAAGACCTACAAAGACCGCGCCGCGGCGTCGAACGGGTGGCTCCCGATGCTTCCGTCCAACTTGCCCATCGTCGACTTTCGACGAGCGCTTCTCGGCCTACGGCGAGACGTCGCCGCCGCCACGGCGGCCGCCGTGCTGGCGCGGCGCCAGCCTACGGACGGTCTGCCCACGGACGCGTTACTGAACGGGCGGACGCCGATCCCCGTGGTCCATATCGTCGAGCTGGACCGCCTGCTGACCTCGTACGGGCTCTCCGCGAGCAAGGCGACGGCTGTCCTACGGGACAAGTGCGCGACGAAGGAGATGAAGTTCTCGGGGTCGTGGGGACACCAGGCCCTGCGCGTCCTCGACTGTATCCGGTCCCAGGCGCTCGGCAAGGTCGCCCGCCGGTGCGAGAACTTCTGCATCATCCACGACGGCGGCTCGACGACGGTCGCGAGCAAGGGTATTGGCCTGAAGTTCACCGTCGTTTTGATCTCCGGTCACCTGGCGGCGGGGATGCCGCCCCGCTGCGCGATGGCATGGGCCGGTGACGCCGTGTCCCACGCGCTGGCGCTCGCCGCGCGGCTCAAGACGCACGTGCCGCGACACTTCCTACTTGCGAGGCCCGTCACGAAGCCGACGAACGTCTGGTTGTGTTTTGTGGCCCGAGGCGAGCTGGACACGGCCATCGACGGGCGCCTCGCGTCGAGCAAGCGCATGTCCGACGCTTCGCTGCTCTGGTGGTCTTTGCCAGACAACCACCCGCGGAAGGTCGCGGCGCGCGCGGAAGCCCAGGCCTCCGCGGACGCCGTCGAGCGAGAGCAGGCGGCCTACGACGCGGCCCTCGCGCGCGCGCGGGTCGACGAGGCCACGGCGACAAAGCTGGCGTCCGAGGCTCTGTTTCCAGATGCGCCGGCCGCCCGCCAGACGGCGACGGCCGCGATGCTCCTCGAGACCCACGTCATGCGGCCGGGCTGCTTGGGCCTCGGCGCCACGACGCAGACCGTGCGCGCGGACTACCTCTCGCGGTCGCCGGGCGACGCGCTCGTCGTCGCGTGTCGCGACGCGGCGGAGCGCCTCGCGTGCCGACGCATGGCGTCCCAGCGGAGCCTGCTGAAGCGCCCGGAGCTCTTCGCCGTGGGAGACCGCGGCCACCTAGAGCTGGAGATCTCCACACACACCATCAACGCGTTAGCGCGCGGCGCGGGCCTCGCGACCATCGCCGCCGAGGCGCCGCCGCCGCGCGCCGCCACCCGAGTTTACGATCCCATGGCCTTTACACAGCTCTACTCGAACCCGCCGGCCGGTCGCGCCGCGCCCGCGCCCGCGCCCGCTCCTACGCCGCCGCCAGCTCCTGTTCCCGCGCCCGCGCCGCCACCAATCGTCGAGCCGCCACCGCCGCCGCCAACGCCACCACCAGAGCCTATCTACCAACGCCCAACGAAATCCGGCCGCATGGCTGGCTACATACCAGCCGATTAAACTGTTCTTGTGACGTCTTTCTATACAATTAGTGGGGTCACAACTACAGAGGGCGCGGCCCCCGCGCGCGGCGGCGGCCCGGCCCTGCCAAAGCCGCGCGCCACGGTCTTCCGACGAGCCCATGGCCGCGGGACGGGTTTGCGGCGCGAAGACGGCCAGTACGTGGCCCGACGCCGTCGCCCGAAAACACCCTCGCGGCCTCGGCCCGCCCAAGGCCGATCGACTCCCGTAAGTACCCGAGCGGTTTCTACAGCTTGCGGTGGGGCTTCCGTCACCCGACGTTGCTCCGCACAGACGCACGCTCCTCAGAACGACTCCGCCGGGACCGTCATGAAACCGCGACCCGTTCCGCGCGGATTTGGATGCACTTCGAGTGGCCCTCACTCGAGCCCGAACAGTACGCGACGCGTCGCCAGCTCGACGACGTGGAGCCGCGCCTCGAAGTCGCCGCCCGCGCGCCGCGCGACCCGTTTCTCGCGCTCGTAGGCCATGGTCACGGCGGGAAAGTGACCCTCGGTCACCGCCGACCTTCACGGGCCGTCGGACTGCCGGCCGACATGCGACGCTTCGCGCGGCACCGTCGCGTCCAGCCGTAATGCAGCTCCTGCTGCGTCGGCCGCGTCCGACCGAAACCGGCGTTTCGGCCCCGACGGATATGTCGCCGGCCGTAGACCTAGGGGAGCCGCCGGTCGCAGCGTCGACGCACATGACCCTGGGCCTCCCCTCCGCGCCGTCAGCGCGGCCCGCGCGCCCCTCAGCGGCGAGCGCGGCGCGTTACGGAGCCTCGCGTCGCAGAGCCCAGGTTCGAATACGAGCGAATCCGGCACCGTTTTAAGCGCTGTAAGCGACGAGGCGCAAGCCAAGGGACCCGAAACGACGCCTGCGCGGCCGAAGCTGCAACCATGCCGCGTGCGCCGAGCAAAAGGGGAATTTCGAAGGTTCGGGTTTGGGCCAAACGGACCGATTTAATTAATAGCTAAAAAATAGGCAAGCCTTGTGCTTGCTCCGGGAGCTTGCGTGATTGGGGTGATTGGGCGCTTGGCGAGACCTGGGCATACGGGCACCTCTGCGATACGTGAACTTCAGAACAGGCCAACCGCGGCCACGCGGCGACGCTCTGAAGCGGACGACGTAAACTGGCCCATTTTGATTTAGCATCGCTCTCTGTCTGCGGCCCGCCGCTACGCCGCTCCGCCTGGCCGACGCCACCGGTGATTAACAGGTAATCCCACACCGGAACGAGCCACTGTTAACCCCGCCGACGCGCCGCAATCAATCGCCCAGCGCCGCGTCTCGGCCGGGCAATTCACTCCACTGGAGGAGAGAGAGAGTACTTAAGCGGTCACGAACGCTAGACTAACTCTTGCGTCGGCGAAGCTGCGTACGCGGAGAAACGCTCGGAACAGAATGATGACCCAGGCCCTCAAAGTAGTTCTCAGCTCCTCGCGCTCGACCGGCGCGAGCGTCTCGCCGCTGCTCGTGGCCAGAACAGCGCCTGAGGGCAAGGAAAAACAGAGGCTCGCGATGCGCAAGCAGGTGAGTTTTAAGACCCTGTCCAAATTGAATTCCGAGGATGGTGTAAGAGAGCTGGCCAAGGTCTGGTCCGGCAGCAACGGCGACGGCGAGGATGCAGAAGATGAGCCCGACCAGGGACCGTCGCCCCTCCAACAGACGCGGTCCTTACTACTCCAGAAGAAGTCCGTGTCGTTCCGCCTCACGAAGGACACGACGCCGGGCGGGCGCCCCCACCGCCTCCTGGTCATCTCCGCACCCGCGGAGGACTTGATCCGATCGCACCGCGCGGAAGAGTTCCAGGTCATTTTGCTGCGGCTCTGTGGCGCTTTGCATTGCGCTTGCGTACGTTGTTAATCTAGCGTCCTTGCGCTTAACCTTGCGCTTAACCTCGCGCGTAACCTCCCTGAATGAAATCCTGCAATTACTGCAAGCCTTTGGCCCTTGTCTGGCGTCAACACACAGATGGGTCCCAGGCTCCCCAGCAATTACCTATCTCAATTACTTCCTCGCGTAAGGCTCACGTGGCTCGCAGGCCTCGCGCGAAATGTGCAATGGTGCTGGCCAAAAACAGCCGGGTTTTGTCGGCATGCCAGGCCTAGCTCTAAGCAAAGCAAAGGATACCACAACAACAGACACACTTACCCGAGAACGCCTTCCCGTCAGTTGTGACCGAGAGCGGCCCAGAGGCTCCGCACGCGCTCCTCGCGCGTCTTACCTTGGAGCTGCGGGACCTCAGGGGCGAACTCCGCCAACAGCTCGTCGACCGTTTGATCAGTATGCCTCAAACGGTCCCGCCGCGCCCACGTCACATACCACGACAAATCAAGTACCATCGCGCGCGCCGACAGCAAGGCCGCCACGAGCGCGCAGGGCACCCTGTGCGGCCATACGAAGCGGTAGGAGCAGTCCGAAGCTAAAACAGTCGCCCTTCTATAAGCACCACCGCGGTACGCGTCCAAAGCTGATTCAAGCGCGGCCCACTCCGAGCCCCGCTTCGCCGCCTCGAATAACGAGTCGTCTTGAGCACAGGTCTGGTCGCACGCCCCGGCCCAGCCGTCCCTCCTACAGGAAGCTAAAGCTCGCCGCGCCTCCGCGAACTCCAGCTTCCGCGCCGCCCGCGCGATTTCAGAAGAATTCGTCTCCCGTCCCGCTAAAGTTTGTTCGTAGTGCCACTTCGCCCGCTTCAACAGGGCGGGGTTGCCTCGTCCTAATCTCTCTAAAACAAATCCAGCGTTGACGTGGGCGGCGCCTAGACCGGCTTCGCCGAGCGTCGCGAGCATGCGGTACGCGCCTCTAGCTCGCGCCGGCGCGTTTAATCCGGAAGTATGATCTTTGAGACGTCGGTCGTTCCTCGCGTCGACACGTGTACGAAGCGCCTCGAGCAAGTCGTCCCCTTGTACATCATCAGTGTAGAGGTCCTCCTCGGCTTTTGACGTGGACGAAAACCAGGTAGAAGTTTCCCACGCCGCGCGCCCGGCGGCGACGGCGTCGCCGACGCCGAAACCGGGCAATGCGGCGTCCCACGCCTGTTGGATGCCTTCCTCCAGGACTTCTCGCGCTCGGGAACACCGCATTTCTTCCAGGTTCGTCGTGTGCAGCTCCCAGTCGCCGTCGAGCAAGCCACGCAGGTGCATCTGTGATAATAGTAGAGCAGCCGTGAGCGAGTCGCCTTCTTTCAGAGCATCACTTAGTAACGCTGAAGCGCGTTCTGGATCCGTATCCCGCAGCGCCCTCGCGAGACTCACAAATGAATCCGCGTGATGTTGTTCTACGGCCCGCTCCCACCGTTGGATGGCCAATGACCTGTTCGGTAAACGAGGAGGCATATCGATAACGTCGTACAAGTGACCTAACAGATGATCCCCTAGCGGTGTGGACGCACTGGTCTCCAGAATCTCCAAGGCTTTCGATAACCGCGCCGGGACGCCATCGTGCCCCCCGAGCCACAGCTCCGCCAGAGCTGCTGCTGAATCAGCAGAGGCGTGCGCGTCCTTCGACTTGAGGCCCTCGGCGTAGAATCTAGCTGCTGCTGCGGCCGACGGGCGCCTCCTCGCTACGCGACCGTCCAACCACGCGTCGCCTAGTTGTAACGCGGCGTGGCCGTCGCCGTTCACAGCTCTTCTTTCCAAGTAAGCGGCGCCCGCGTCGTCTATGACTCTCCCGCCGTCCTCCATGGGCGCTCCATCAAACACGACCTCATCATAGAGGTCGTCAGGGCCATGTAATAATCGCCGGAAGAAGCCCCCTGGCGCTGCCGGTGCAGGTGCGTCTATTATCTCCGGCGCGACGACGTCCTCCTCGTCTTCTACCTCGTCGAACTGTTGCATAGCGTCGTCCCTCAACGTAGCCATGCCATCAGCTCTTAACCAGTGGTCCACGAGCAGCTCCGCTTGTCTTAGATTGACGTGCCGCGTCTTGACCAGAGCTCGTCGCGGCGAGCCGCCCCCGAACGGCGCCACGTCTCTTAATAACAAAGTCCAGACATCACAAGCACGATTACAGTCCTCTTCCATACCACGTTTCCCGTGGGCGCGCCAGCTCCCTAGCGTCAGTCGCGCGAGCCAGCAGCCGTGGTGTAAGGCTCGTTTACGTATCGTATCGACATACGAGGATGAACCTTCTTCTGAGAGGGGTTGAGCATCCTCGATCGATGGAATATGTGTGTTATTTGCAGGAGCGACGCCCGCGAGCACGGCCAGCGGCCAGACCAGCGGCGCCGCGCCGTCCGTCGCCACGGCCAGTCCCAGCGACCTCCGAGCCGTCGCGAACGCCCTCATCGCATTGGTACGGTCGCCCCTCACCAGAAAGCGGTCCGCGTCCTCGAAGAGCGCCCCTACCCCGTCTTTCCAGGCCAATTGCGAAATTTCATCGAGGTCGTCGCGCCAGACGGCGTGGGCGTCCTCGTCACCCGTCAGATAGATGGTGGCGTCTTCATTACGAGTGTGGCGCCAGCGGATCAATCCATCAATCTGGCCGTAGGTCTCGCCTTGCCTTGCATTGTTGTTTGACAGTGTGACGACGAACTCGTCGTCGATTTCGCCGACGTGGACCTCAAATTCAAAACCCGCCTTGACCGAGGACGCGACGCAGACCATCGTGCCCGGCTTGATGCTCGGCGGCGGCCCGGCGCTCCAGAGGCCCTCGCCGCGCGAGCCGGCGAAGTAGACGTCGATCTGCGCGTCGTGATCTAAACCGTTGACGACTAGGAGGCGGCTCTTCTGGCTGCTCGTCGTCTCCGGGAGGTCCTCCGCGGCCGCCGCCGTCGCCGCGGCGAGGAGACAAAGAGCCGACAGCAGCATTGCTAGCCGATGGCCTGTGCTACTCGTCCGACTGCCGCGGCGTGGTGACTTTTTTGTCAGCTGTCAGGTCTTCCGGGAGTGCGTAATGCAGTGGTCTGGGCTTGCGTCTCCTCACCTCGCGTTGCTTTCGGCCACTGCCGATGCTAGCTGCTGCCACTGGCTGGGCCGCAGTGCCACCTCCAGGCGGCTTGTACTCGGTGCTTGCGCAAACATACACGCGTGCACCGCATTAAAACAAAGCAGCGGCACGCCATCGACGCGAGCAAGGCGGCAATTGGCATCGCTAGCCGCATACCGCGCGCAAAAAGGCATTGCACACAGAGCGGCGATATTGGCAGCACAGTCGCATAAATCCGCTTTGCAGCACAAGAAACGCGCAGACAGCAGCGCACTACCGCCGGAACCGCCATGGCCCTCGTCACCGGCGACGAGTGCGGCCTGCTGAAACTCGCGGACCTGCACCGCAACACCGCGACGCGCATCGACGAGCACGAGGTGCAAGCGCGGAGCCGCGGCATCCTAAAAATAGCCACGTCCGCCGTCGACGCGACGACGGGCGCGACGACGTTCCACGCCGCGCGGCGCGACGGCGCGCTCGAGACGTGGCGCCGCAACGCGACGGAAGAGCCCTTCTCTCGACAAAGTACGGCGGCGGGCCTCGCGCCCTCGACAACTTTCCTCGCATCAATCGACCGGGGCCTCTTGACGTGCTCTGCACAAGGCAGAGCGCAGCTCACTTCTCTAAATTCGAGGCGGGCGGGCGACGTCGGGACCTGGGACCTGGCGCAGGGTCAAAACAACTACGATGTGAGTTGCGGCTGCGTCGTCGATGATACATTATTTGTGGGCGGCCGGGAGTGCGAGCTGACGAGGTGGGACCTCGAAACGCGGCAGCCGTCGTGGAAGGTCCTTTTTTCACACCAGTGTCCTTTTGATGAAGCAGCGCGATGATGAAAGCCATGATCCCATAAACATTCGCAGTAACCGCCGACGCATCTCTCTGATGCATTGGGGCGAAAGATGTACTTCCTTGGATGTCCGAGCGCCGCCTTTCACGCTATCTCCGACGCCGTCGTCACGAGAGCTCGATAATAGTCTCCCACACACAGGCGCGCAATGTCCGCAGAGACAACTTAGATATGAGACGGCCCGTCTGGGTCTCGGCCATCGCGGCGCCGTCGGCGCACGAGGTCCTGATCTGCGCGAGAATCAAACTTCAGGCGCCCCGCGCCATCGACGCCCGTGACTGCGCCTGCTCGATGGCGTGGAGATTCCACGCCGTCGACGCGGCGTTGGCGTTCTCAGGATAACGGACTCACTGGTTGGTCACGCAGGTCGTCATCGGCACGAAGTACGGCGAGCTCCGCTTTTATGATTTGCGCGCGTCGCGGCGGCCCCAATGTGAAGTGAAGGGCATTTCCGGGGACAAGGGCGGCCACCAGGAATGCGACCGGGGCATCTCGGCGCTGTGTTTGACGCGGGAGCCGTTCCCGGGGGTTTGTCGAGCCGACGTCGGCGGGGACATTTCGTGCGTCGATGCTAGGACAAGACGCATGTGCAAGCGGCTGGCGGGTCCTGCTGGGGCCGTGTGGGCCTTGGACGTTTGTGAATTTGAGGGCGAGTGGGAGCACCGCGTCGCGGGCGCGGGCTACGACCGCCATGTCATGTGCTGGAACCTGTCGTCGCGGATCCAGGCGCCTTTAGCAAGCGTGTACTGCAAGCAGCGTTTGATGGATGCGCGGTGGGTGCCCGCGTTGGCCCCGCGGGACGACGAGGACGAGGCTCGCGTCGAGGAGGAGCACGACGAGGACGAGGACGAGGCGATGGCGTTCGGGGAGGAGGAAGAGGATAGCGACGGGGATGAGATCGATTGGGATGATTAAGTTTAGTCTGTTAGTCTCTGGTGTTCTGGCGCGTCGGCCGGGCGTCAAATTTTATTTTGAATAAGCCAGGTATTTTTGCCGTAGGAGACGTCTCCCGAGGCGGGCAAGGACGGGTCTATGGATGCTGCGGAGGTCGGCCCAGCCTGCACGCTTTGCGGTATTCCAAACTCCTAAAAGCCCCCACGCACGCGACGCCCCATAAATTCTCGCAACGACAACGCGAGAGGTTCCCTTAAGTGCTCAAGAATTCGTGCGCTTGGTCACACTTCGGTTGAAGACGTACGTACGACATACAGCCCTCCTGCTGCTCAACTGCATCCTCAGCTGTTTGCCCTTCTTTCCACTGGAAAGTTAGATATCGCGCCCACAGGAGTTTTAAACCCCTCATAGAGCGCCCCTCGACGCCGAAAAAGCGATCAATTTTGGCCCACGATGTCCAAGTTGCGGCTCGAAGTAATCGACGACGCGCCCTGTTCCACCCGCGGCGCCGCGGCTACCGGGGCCGCCCCCGAGGCGGCGGCCGGCACGCCGCGGCTCTCCCCGCCGCACCTCGCGCGGCTCCTCGGACCGAAGGAGCCGACCGCCGCCGACTGCAACCAGGACGACGCCAACGAAGCCGCCACAGCCGCAGCGCGGGCGGCGGCGGCCGAGTTCGCCGGAACGGCCCCAGAGGGCGCCAGGTGCTACATCTGTCTCGAGGGCGGCCCGGGCCTGGTGCGCGGATGCGCGTGCCGCGGGACGGCCGGCTACGCGCACGTCGGGTGCCTCGCGGCGCACGCGCGGAGCGCGCACACGTTCGCACGCTGGCAGGCCTGCGGCCTCTGCAAAAACGCCTACCAGGGCGCGACCGCGATGGCCTTGGCGACGGCGGCGTGGGCGACGTACGTGAGCGCGCCGGAGCACGACGACCGGCGCCTCTCGGCGCAGGTCGAGCTTGCCGGGCAGCTACTCGCGGCAGGACGCTTCGCGGAAGCGCGCCCGAAGCTCGAGGCGGGCCTGCAGACGTGCGCCCGCGTCGGCGACGACGCGCGGGCCCTGGTCGTGACGGCGAACCTCGCGCTGTCCTACCACCTCGAGGGCCGCGCCGAGGACGCCCTGCAGCTGACGCGGGCGGTCTTCCGCGAGCAGCGGCGCCTGCGGGGGCCGCGCCACCCCGAGACGCTCCTGGCGGCGAGCAACCTCGCCGGCCTCCTGCTCTCCCGCGGGAACGCCGCCGAGGCGTTGGGGCTCCTGCGCGAGGCGCGGCGGAACGCCTCCGGCCTCGCGCGCGACTCGGACGTCAGATTACGCCTCACGTACAACATCGCGCACGCGCTCTGCGCGACGGGGAATCACGGCGAGGCCGAGGCGCTCGCCGAGGAGAATTTGATTCTGCAGAATCGTGTGTATGGCGCCGCCCATCCCAACGCGGCCGCCGCGCTCGAGCTCGTGGGCCACGTCCGGGCGGGCCTCGCCGCGCAAGCCGCCTGATCAATCGATCCTGTGCTCGGTCCTCTCGCATGTGAAACACGGCCGTTTTGATCCGTAGGCGCAACGGCGCCGCGGGAATCCCTCGTCGGAAATTAACACCATCGTACATAGTACTCAGAAACCTCTTCCAGTACTTAGACCGGGGGAGGACTACTCGAAGCCGAGCGGCTTCCCGATGCCGCGCTTCATCTTGAAGATGCCGTTGGACGAATTGTCGTCCTCGGCCTTGCCGTTGAACGACCGCTTCTGCTGATATTTGATCTCGGGCACGTCAATACCAACATCCGACAAGGCCTCCTTGAGCCCCAGCTCCGGCTCGGGGAGGCCCTCGCCTTTCCGGTCCGGCTCGCGCTTCATCTTGATGATGCCGCCCGAGCCCTTCTCGCGCGAGTCCTGAGCTGCGGCTCCACCGACCGTCGACACCTGGCCCTCCACACCACCTAGCGTGCCCAATTTATCGGTGAAAGCCTTCTGCTCGGCGCGGCGCTGCTCGGCGCGCGCGCGGCCCGCGGCCTTAGCCGCTTCAGGATCAAAGTCGATGAGGCTCGCGTGTGCGGGCGGCGCAACGATGGCGCTGGCGACGGCTGGCCCGATCAGTGCGCGCCGCTGCACATGCAGGGCTGTGGCACAGGCTGCCAGGGAGAGGAATAAGGCGCGCGGCATCGCGCTAGCTTTGGGTCGATGAATGCACCAATCAAGAATGTGCTGTCAGTGATTTGGCAGCGGCTGTTCTTGCCTCCCGGGGACACAGCAGGTCCTGCAAATCCAGGCTCTGAAGAGCAGCTAGTGTGTCGAGACGCTAGCCGGGCAGCAAAACGTGTCAGCAAGCAGCGCTAGCACACGCCTCCGAGGCCTCGGCGCGAGATTTCCGACGAGACACAGGCCCTGAGTTAGTTTGACTGAGATTGACAAAAAGAGAGCAACTCGCTGTGCGCGCCGCGCGTCCGCGGGAAGTACTCGTGCACTTGCAGAAGGCGTCTCCGGGCAACGCATAAAATAAGCAAAAAGTTGGGCAGCCGCCGAGCATCTGTGTAGGCAATACTCAAGAGATTCTCGGCACACAGAGCTGTACAAATAGGGCTGCCCGAAACGCCACCGGCGCGAGAGCATATAGGGCTGCCCGAAACGCCACCGGCGCGAGAGCAGCATGACCTCCTACTACCACGCTGGCATGGAACATATAAGAGCGCAATCGGCGCGCTACGGTTCCGCGCCGACGCGCGAGCGCGACAGCGACCAATTGAGTCCCGTAGCCAGAGCCGCGTGGTACGTCGAAGACGCGTTCAGCGGCAACTTCGAGGAGGACATGGATTCAAGAACAAACGCGCAGCGCGACGCTTATGTCAGGTACGAAAGCCTCGTGCACCCCGAGAGGTTAGTGTGCGTCGTCGCACTGGCGCTGGTGTCGTTGATCGAGGTGCCGCTCTGGTGTCTTCAGGGACGAAATAATTTGTTCTGGGTGGGCGGGTCCGAGGTCTGTCGGAAGCACGACCTATACTTGTCTGGTATCGAATACGTACCATACATAGCCACGTTGCTGGTCGAGGCCTGCGCCTTGGGATATCTAGCGACGTTGTGTGGCCTGGAAGTCGGCTTTGGAAGACCTAGAGACATTAAATTGCAGACACGGTTGTTAACAACGGGACTCGCGGCCCTGGACCTCGTTATCTTTGCCCTACGCCTAGCTATAGACTACCCACCAGCATTCAGATTAGGGCCCTACCTTCGCGTAGTCCTGTTAGCGGCGAACACGAAGGAGGTCTGGGCGGCGGGCAGAGCTTGTCTGACGATGATCCCGTCGTTCCTCGACGTCTCCCTATTACTGACATTATGCATACTGTTCTTCGGCTGGCTCGCGGCGATAACTCTAGATGACGTGGAGACGGTCAAGGACGGCCTGCCGGTGAACGAGGGCTTCACGAGTTTGGGTGAAGGCATCTATACGATGTTCTTCGTTTCTACAACTGCCAACTTTCCCGACCAGATGCTGGCGTCGTACGCTTCATCTAGATCATTTGGGCTATTTTTTGCGTTCTACGTGCTGTTAGCGTGCTTCATCTTCCTCAACCTGATTCTTGCGGTCGTCTACAACGAGTCCTTTGCTGTGTCCGTACATTCTGCTCGATGGCGTGGAGGTTCTACGCCATCGACGCGACGTTGTCCCCTTCGCACATGCTGCTCGACGGCGTGGAGGGTCGCGGAGGTCGCTCGCAGCACCGAGTGACTCGCTGGGGTCGGCTCGACGCCATCGCCGCGAGGCTCGCACGAACAAACACCTACACAACCGGCACGCAGGTACTCGGCCTCGATCAAGAACGAGATCCGGCGGAAGAATGAAAGAAGGGTCGAGGGCCTCAAGGCGGCCTTCGCCCTACTCGCTCAAGATGACTGCATCTCACGCAAAACTTTTGAAGAGTTAGTGAAAGAAACGAATCGGGTGGAAAAGCTCCCGCAAATAAAAAAGGACGAGGTCGACTTCTTCTTCGATGTCTTAGATGATGATCGGAGCGGCACGATCTCCAAGAGTGAATTTTTTGATTTTGTCGATATATTGCAATATAGCTTCGTGAAGATACGGACGACTACTTGGCTTGAGAGGAATAAGCCGGACTGGGCGGCCTCGGATAGGTATCATCAGTTATCAGACTTCGTGCATTCCGACGCCTTCGCGAGAACAACTACCCTAGTCCTGGCCGCAAACACGCTACTCGTCTTCGCCGAGTCGTGGCTCGACCTGAGCGATACCCTATCACCTACAGGAGAAGAGGCCTTCGCCGTCTGCGAGTGCCTTTTTAGTATAGTCTACATGGGTTTGCTGGTGGCGCAACTGGCCGTGATTCCCTTCGACGAGTTTTGGCTCGAGCCGACCAATAGGTTCGACGCCTTCGTCACCACAATTTTATTTGTAGTGGCCTTCTTCTGGTGCCTGCCTTTCATTGATATCTCTAGGGCGACCTTGCACCGGTTGACCATCCTACGGTTGCTACGACTCGTAGCTAGACTCCGAGAAGTCCAGCGGTTTAAGTTAGTGACGGCGTCCATCACACGGATCATCCCCGCGTCGGCGGGCGCCGTCGGGCTCCTCTACTGCTCCGCTTCTTTGTGGAATGCTGCGGGCGTGCAACTGTACGGAGGAAAGGTCTACGAGGACAACCCGCGACTGGCCGAGACGACGTACGTCGACGCGCACTACGACGTATTGAACTTCAACGACTTCGCGAACGGCTACGTGCCCCTCTTCGCCATGATCGCGACGGGCGGGCCCTTTACCGAATTTATCGAGATGAGCTATGCCGTTACTGGTATTTCGGGCCTCGGGTGTATCTACTTCGTGTCCTTCTACGTCGTCGGGTGCCTGGTGGCGGTGAATGTTTTTTCCGCGTTCGTCATTGATGCCTTCCTGTCGCAGTACGAAGAAGGCCGGGCGCTGCGGGGCGACGCGGAGGCGTCGACGCTAGATCAGAGTCGCGCGGGCGACGGCTACCGCATCGTCTGCATCCGTCATTCTGCGCGCGACGACGTCTACAAGGCGATGTTCTTGGAAGGGGACGCGTGATAAATTCGACCATAGTACTAGTAGTTTTCTTTTTGTCCGTCGTCCGTCGCGGCGGTGGCGTCACGGTGGCGGTTTCTGGGAGCGCTGGGGCTTGCCTAGCCAAGCAATCCATGGCCAAACGGTTTTTTGGACCCCTCCCGGCGCCAGGAGATGTCTTCGCGTTCCTAGTACCTTACGCGCTATGATTATTTGTTTTAGGCTGAAAAAATTCACGGCAGCCATCCAAAGCAACAGACGCGTGCGTTGGTTCCAGCGCGCTCAAGAGTTTTCAAAGCATCGCACAAGGTCGAAATTGCAGAAATCCCAGCGCATAAGCTGGCCGCACGTGCGAAACCCTTGGATTGGCCGACAGCGGGCCAGCAGCAAAACGGCAGCAAAAAACGCTGCCGACGCGGCGTGAAACTCGCAGCTCCGCCATGCTCAGGATAGCGCGCGAGCCGCTCCGCGCGGCCCTCGTCCTCGCCACGCTCGCCGCCGCGAGCGACGGCCACGACTGCGTCGACACGCACAACCAGTGCCTCGAGTGGGGCTGGAAGGGCGAGTGCGAGCGCAACGCGCCCTACATGGCCAAGAGCTGCCCCCTGACCTGTTCGCAGTGCAGCCGCAACGCGACCCTGGAGGTCGGCGTCGACGGGACTGCTGTTATGGAGGCGATGGATGACTTACATGGCGACGTGCCGGACCCGCAGCGGAAGTGGACGTCGCTGATCAGAAATCCTCTCGCGGCGATGGAGCGGACGGAGTCCGACGGTGTAAGTGTCGATCTCTACCACAGCGCATCGGTAGGACCGGTGGACGTGTACTGGTTGTCGGACGGCTCCACGAGGGACGAAGGAGCCGTTGGTTCACTGATGTTCCGCCTGAACGCGGGCGAAAGTAGGAGAGTGGGCACCTTTTTAGGACACGTCTTCCGACTAGCTGATACGTCAGGAAAGACTCTTGCCTCCTTCCGCGTGATGCCCCACCGCCCCACATTCCATTTAACAGACGAAGGAATAGAAGCTTATAATGATGAGGAGATGTGCCGCGACTCCGATCCATCTTGCCCAGATAGAGCTGGGAGAAATGATTGCGTAAATGCCCCAGGCTGGATGGTCATGAAGTGTTCGCGATCCTGTGAAGCGTGCCATTTACGCGATCCTCAAGTGCGGTGTCGAAGAGATTTATTGAACGTGAAGCAGACGCCCGCCCTCACACCGGGCGGGGTGGAAGCCTTCTTCCAGTCTTTACTGTCATCACAAGAGTACAATGTTACGATTCACAGCAGGCCGGGCGGCGATCCGGATCTAACAAAGGACGTCGCCGACGGGCCCTGGGTCGCCACGCTCGCGAACTTCGTCACAGAGGAGGACGGTAGGAACATCCTAGCTACCGTGTCGTCGCAGTTCGCGCGGTCGACGGACCAAGGCTCCGTCGACAAGTACGGCGAGCAGTCGAAGATCGTGTCCAAGAGTAGGACGTCCGAGAACGCGTGGTGCACGGGCCACTGCGAGTCTCATCCTTCGACCGTCGAGGTCATGTCTCGGATCGAGAAAGTTACGGGTATCCCCACCGAGAACTATGAATCATTTCAGGTGTTGAGATATCAGCTCGGCCAGGAGTACCGAGCGCACCACGACATGTCGCGCACGGATAATAGACTAGCGTGCGGACCGCGCGTCTACACCTTCTTCCTCTACCTGTCGGACGTCGAGGAGGGGGGCGAGACGGAGTTCCCCCTCATCAAGCGGCCGTCGGGCACGACCATCAAGGTCAAACCCACAAGAGGAACCGCATTAGTCTGGCCCTCGGTCAAGAACGACGACCCCACCGCGCAAGATCCGCGCACGCGCCACGCGGCCCTGCCGGTCATCAAAGGAACCAAATTCGCGGCGAACGCCTGGATCCACCAGTTCGACTACACCGAGCCGAACATCTGGGGCTGCACGGGGGCGTTCGACTAGTTGTCCTCCTATCGCATAAGCATCGGGTATCTGTCGCGTCGATGGCGTGGGGGTGGACGCCTGCTCTCGCGCGGATGGCGCGCGGCGCGCCGGCGCTGCGATCCAAATTCTCCGGCGCTGCGAATTTGGTGCTGCTCTCGCTCTGTATAGGGCAGCCCTTTGCAACGCAGTCTGCAATTGTTTGCGGCTATGGGCTCCGGTGCGTCGCATGAGAGCGCCACGGCCGCCCTCGCGGCCGGCGTCTCGGAAGCAGACATTGCTGCCCATCTCGCATCACTTGAAAAGAAGCCGGTGACGGTGTTTTACAATCCAGGCAGCTCCAACTCGCTTAGTTGCGCTATCATGGGTTCATCCATCGGCTGTGCCGAGCTGAAAGTGATCCAGCTGACGGGCGAGCAGAAGGGACCTGAGTTCGTGGCCGTGAATCCCTATGGTCAGGTGCCGGGCATGTCCGACGAGAGCAACGGGCTCAACCTCGGCGAGTCGACGGCCATCCTGCGGTACCTCGCGCAGCAGTACAAGCCGTCGTTGTATCCTGGTTCCATTGCCGAGCGGGCGCGCATTGAGATGGCGATCGCCCAGTTCAAGGAATTCGTATACGAGCCGTGGCATTTGGGTAAAGATTCGAGCAACGGCTACGTCGGCGTGTCGTACTGCGTCCTGGGCGACGTCATGGGCATCCCGATGTGGCCCTACCCATCGGACCAGCCGGCGGCCAACGCGGGCTTCGTCGATGCGCTCAATAAGTGGGCGGGCTTGTATCTCCAGGGCACGTTCGTCTGCGGCGACGCGCTGACGATCGCGGATTATTGCGCGGTGGCCATACTGTACGTAGCCGTCTCTCCGAAGGTAAAGGAAAAAACGGGCTTTGAGGCGCCCGAACGGATCACAAAATACGTCACGGACTTTCTCGCCGCCGAGCCCGCCGCCGCCGAGCTCTTCGGGCAAGCTTTTACGGGCCTGTTGTACTGAGCGTGTCGACACGCCCAATCGATTTTCTACACCTTCTGTCGCGCCTTCACGCTGTCTCGCGCTTGTCTCTGCTCTGCACAGCGAGCGCTTTTGCGCCGCCGCGCGGCAAGGCAAGTGCTTGTGGGTAAATTCACGAGTACCTTAGACAAGAGTCCTAGTCTATGCTGTCTATCGTCTTCTCGTCACGGTCATTGGGCTTGTCCAGGACAATGGGCCCCCGCTCCAGCTTCGAGCCGTCGACGGCGTCGCCCTTGCGCGCCGCGCGCACCGCGTCGAGCTCCTGCCGCACGCGCGCGGTCTGGGGATGGTCCGAGCCAAATGCCTGCCGCGACGCCTGGAAAGCCTCCATCAGTAGCGTCTCCGCCTCCTGCACATCTGACATCAGATAGTCGCGGTCTTCGGCCGCGGGATCATACAGCGTCTGTGCCAACGCGCACGTCAATGTCACAACGCGAACGTCGTTGGGAGGGCAGCCGCGCTTGAGCTTCCTCAGCGTCTCCCGGCAGAACTTTTGCGCCTCCTCGGTCTCGTCGGAGCTGAGCAACGCCGACGCCAGGTTCAGCGCCGCGTCGATCGTGCGCTGGTCGGTGACGAAGTGCTTCGCTTGGGTCTCCGCGTACATCTCCCGTCGCATGGCAAGTAGCTCGTCGAGCCGCCCGAGCGCGTGCGCGCATTTCGCCAAATTTTCACGGGTCATCGCGAGGGGCGTCTCGGTGTCCTGCCAGTTCACGCCGGCGCTTTTGATCACCTTCAGGTGGGCGAGGAAGGTGTCGCGCGCGTCCTCGTACTGACCTGCGTTGGCGTCGACCGGTGAGGCGCAGAGTTGCGTCGATGGTGTGGGGGTCGACGCGGATACGGACCGTCGGCGTACAGCGCGCACCCCAGCGCCTCCGCGGCCCAGCACCGGAGCTGGTCGCTCTCGTCCCGGCTCGCGTACTCCTTCCAGCAGAGTCGCGCGGCCGCGACCTTCGCCGCGCCCGTGAACTCCTGGGTGCAGCCCTTGCACCGCTCCCAGCCGCGGAAATCGTCGACGCCCTCCGCGACGCGCGCGGCGTACTTCGCGAGGCACGAGGCGTGCGCGAGGCGGTCCTTCGTTTGACATTTTTCGCACCACACCGCGACGAACTCATCGGTGGTCGTCTTCTTGCAGAGGCGACACGCCGTCTTCGCGGGCGCGGCTCGCTCCTTCAAGAGCGCGGCGACGGCCGCGGCCGCCTTCTCATTGGCGTGGCGTTGCGCGGCGCCGCCCTCCTCGGCGATGGCCTTACAGATTTTCTTGTGACCCGCCTTCCAGTCGGCGCGCTGGCAGTCGCTACCGCAGTAGAGCGTCTTGCAGCGGGGGCAGGTCGGCGGTTGGCGGTCCTCGAGGGACTTGCCGCACGTCGCGCAGTTTTGGGGGAGGGTCATTATCTCTGAAAACAGGCGATTGACCCAATCTGTGGTCAAGGCCTTCAAGCGCGTTTCTGCGGTTGTCGCGCGCGAGGCTCAGTGAAAGCTCGATGTCGGCGTTCGTTTGAGTCAATTATATCAACTTTCGGGCGTCCTGGTCCGTCGGTCGAGGTCGCGCCGTAAAACTAGTTGCTAGCGGCCTGTAAGACACTAGGGAGCGCTGCTGCTCGACGCGTTTTTGGCCTACGAGCAAGCAGCGATCGAATTTTGACCTGTCGTAGTCTCTCACGACATAGCCTGGAGCGCTGCGATAAAAAATAGCAGAATCGAAAAGCGTTGGGTGGTGCAGCAGCAGACGGTGCTCTCAGAGCACATTGCTGCAACAATGCCACGCGCACGCCTAATATTCGTCGCAGCAGTGGTCGGAGCGCTGCAACAACCACCGCTGCGGCACCACAAATTGACACCGCGAGCAGCAATCGTTGCACCCACGGACGACGTCGGCAACGCCTGTGCGCTCGTCGGCGCGGCTTTAGCCGGACGCAGCCTCGGCACGCGGACCAAGGTCGGGAGGGCGCTGGGTGGCCCTGTCGCAGCAATGGCCATTACCTTCGCCGCCTCATCAATAGGAGCGCTCCCCGCGAACGCGCGCGCCGTGAGCGGCATCCGCGACGCCGCGGTCCAGCTCGCGACGCCGCTACTGCTCTTGGATGCGGACCCGCGCGCGCTGCTAGAGACGTCGAAGCCCTACGTGAAGGCCTTCGCCGTCGCCGTGGTGGGCACACTCTGTGCGACGGCTATTGGCGCGCGTTTCGTCCTGCCGGCGCTCGCGTCGGCGCTGGGCCGCGGCGACGCCGTCGGCTCCATCGCATCGCTATCCGCGAAGAACATCGGCGGAGGGGTGAATTTTTGCGCGGTGGCGGCGACGTTACGGGTGGGCGCAGTCGCGCAGTCCGTCGCGCTCGCGGCGGACAACGTCATGGCCCTCGTCTATTTCCCGCTCTGCAACTGGCTGGCCGGCGACCGCGACCCGTCGCCCGATGCGGCATCTGGGGAATCTGGGGACGAAACGGTAGCCGTCGTCGACGCCGGCTCCTTGCTCGCCGCATTAGGTACGGCGCTCGGCATCCTCGCAGTGGCGTCGCGCCTGAGCCCGCGCGCGCCGCTGCCGGCCGCGACGTTGTGTGCCCTCGGTCTCGCGGCGGTGTTGCCCTCCGCGAAGGAGAGCCGGAACCGCCGGCGCCTGGACCGCGCGGCGAACGTGCTCTCCGAGACGCTGCTCTATCTCTTCTTCGCGGGCGCGGGCGCGGCCGGCGGCGCGGCCGGCGCGTGCTTGGTCGACGCGGGACCGGCGCTCCTCGCGTTCCTCGGCTTCCTGTACGCCGGACACACGCTGGTCGTCTACGGCATCGGCGCGCGGATTCTGAGGCTACCGCGATCGATTCTGGCTGTAGCTTCGAACGCGGCAATCGGCGGCCCCGCGACGGCTGCTGCGTTGTGCGCCGGCAAGGGGTGGGACGGCGCGACAGCACCAGCTGTCGCGGTGGGAACGATCGGCTACGCGCTGGCGACGTTCCTCGGGCTAGCGACGGCACGAGTACTATCATAGTCTTTACACAGCGTGTCATCGGGTCGAAGCGAACGGGTCGAAGACGGCGATTTCCTCCTCGCTCAGGCGCGGTGCCTCGGCGTTGTCGCTCACGCGCGGCGTCGGGTGCGGCGTGAACGACTGACGTTTCGAGCCATGCGGCGACTGTTGCCTCTGCCGCACGCCCTGGACGTGGACGAGGAGCTTTCGTAATTCTTCAAGTTCCTCGAGCTCGCTCTGGAGCCCGGACAAGTCCTCCGCACTCATAAGATCCTTCGGCGAGAGCGGCGCGTCGATCGTCTCGACGGCGTCGACGCGCGCGTCCGGCCGGTACTTGTTCCAGAGGCGCCGATGGTCCGACTGGTCCTTGTAGAACCGCGCATCGAGCTTCGTCACGACGCCCGCGGTCACGGTCGCGTTCTCGGGATGCAGCGCCGCGATCCACTCCTCGTAGTGCGGCGGCGGCAGCCGGTCTTGTTCTTCGAACAAGTATTGGGTGAGGTGCGAGTCCATCTGCTCGAGGCACGCGCGCCGCGCCTCGTCTCTCAGCCGTTCGAGCGACTCGACGTCGTCGGCGTCGGCGTCCGCGAGGCCGCCGCTCGACGCCGTCGCGTCGCTGGGCCGGTTGTTGCCCAGGGCGTTTCGCAGGCGCTTTACGACGTCCATGGCTTATCCCTGGACCGGTGCGTTTCTCAGACGGACCAGAAGCGTTGTGCCGGTATGGTGTGCGCGTTCACGAGACTAAGCGCCTCACCATCAGAAATTGTGCTGCATGGTGGGGCTGCCCCGTGTGCCCACCGTAGGATTGCGTGCTGGCGACGCAGCAGAGCCGTGGCCGGCTCTGGCCGTTCCGACGACGTCCAACTGCGCGAGATTCGCACAGCGCCTAAAAAGTTGGCGCTGATCATCAGGTGGACAGTGAAACCCGAACTGTTTCGCAGGAGCGGTGCGCTTGCGCATAGGGATCATCACACGCCAGGAGAACGATACGCGGCAACTGTCGCACGGTTTTACTGCTTGCTAGTGTCTTACGGGCCGCTAGCTTTATAGTTAAGCCCAAAAAAGCGCGGCAAGCCAGCTGTTTTGCAAGCTGACACAACGTTACACACTCCGTTGCACAAGCCAGTGTACTAGCGCTGCAGCGCTGCAGTTGTGCAGGCCGCGAGACGACCCACACGCCGTCAGCCACGTCACGTGGAAATCCTATTACCAAGACTGCCATAAGACGCCCGCGCGAGCCCGGTACGTCCAGGATGGCGCCCGCGAAGCTGCTATTGTTAGCGCTCGCGCAGCAAGCCACGACCTTCCAAGCCGTCCCGCCGCTGAAAGCACCGCAGCGCCGCCAAGTCCAGGTCGAGATCCTGCCCGCCGGCGTCGTCGGTTTAGCATTAGGCGTCAGCGCCGCGTTCGGCGTGCGACGGACGAAGAAAGTACTCAAACGGAGAAAAGCAAAACAAGAAGAAGAGTTAAGGCAAGCAGTCGCAGAAGCAAAAGCCGAGGCGAAGCGCGAGGCGGACCAGCGCGTCGAGGAGGCGCGACGCGAAGCCCAGGCCGAGGCCCTGGCATTACAACGAGCGGAGATCGTGCAGGCCCAGGCCGACGCCGCCGCGCAACGAAGGCAGGTCGTCGAGGAGGTCCAGGCGTCTTATAGCGAAGAACTTAGCACCATAAGAAAGGCCTTACAGACGGCGACGTCGGAGAGGGAGGCGAACCGCATCAAGGCCGTCGAAGCGACGGAGGCCGCGACTCAACTAGAGTTAGATGTACGGTCACTCGCGGAACGGTTTGAAAGCGAAGTGACGACGCTCGAAGCGCGCGTCGCGGAGGCCGAGGCCGAGCGCGACAAGGCCACGGAAGAAGCCGAGAAGTTCGAACGAGCGTCCGAGGCGTTACAAGATGAGATTTTCAACTTGGATGTGGAGTTCGAGCAAAGTTCGCAGGCCATGAACGAGCAGTTCCAGTCGGATTTAGAAAGGAAGCTGGACCAGGTGAAACAAGCCGAGAAGGAGAAAGGTGCTGTTGCTAAGAGATTAGCGGTGGACAATACGCGTCGCGAATTAACCGCGGAATATGAAGCAAATATGAGACAACGGTCCGATGAATTTGAAGCGGCACGCGCGAAGCTGGAGGGGGACTTCCGGGAGCTCGCCGAGGCGTCGTCCGAGGCGCGGAGCCAGCTCACCTACGAACGAAGTCGGGCGGACTCGCTGACGTCGAAACTCACGGCGACGCAGCAGCGCGCCGAATCGTCAGAACAGCGCTCGTTGCGGCTGGAGCAGCTCGCTAGGGCTGCCGAGCAGCGCATCACGGCGCAGCGCGACCTGGCGCAGAAAGCCAGAGCTTTGGCCGCGGAGGAGCGCGACCAGTGGCGCGGGCCGGCGTCCGGCGCGGCCGGCGCTGATGCGAAGCGCGCGCGGGAGCTCGCTGCTTTAGCTGAAGCAGCCGAGAAGGCGACGGCGGCGCTGCCCGACGTCCAGGCGTGGCGCACCGACGCCGACGTTGTGGAGAGGGACGGCGAGTTTTTCGTCGAGGACACGTTTAGAAAATTCGATAAGGACGGCGACGGCGTCATCACGCCCGAGGAGTTCGCCTCGGGCCTCGCCGAGCTCGCGGAATCACCCGCCACGCCCGCCGTCGAGGGTGAAATTTTCGACGAGCTCGACGCGGCGTCGTCCGAGAGGGATACGACGCGACGGATAGCCGACGACGGCGCCGACGCCGTCAAGCGCACCGAAGCCGCCGCTGCTCAATTAGAAAAACGGCTCGAGGAGGCCGCTGCGCTCAGCGAGAGACTTGCCGCGGCCGAGGATGCCAACGGGGAGGCGCCTTCAGGGGCGTCAGCACCGGCGGTCGAAACCGGCGGCGAGGCCGTCGCTCCTGCCGCACCACATGCGGACGAATTGGAGGACCTGTTCGCATGATGATAAAACCTATTTGTTTGAGAACTATGTTTTAGACGTCCGACGAAAAAAGACGGCCTCCGAGCTAACGCCCGAGGCAACACGAGCGATCGATGCTAGAGCCCTGACGACGCCCGCGCGATGCGCGTCTCCGCGGGCCCGATATATAACCGGTGCCGCCGCATGAAGGCTAAAACAGCGGCAGGAACCAAACCCGCGACGGCGTCGTAGTCGTGCGTGTCCTTCAGGCAGTTGCGCACATCTGTTGAAGAACCGGCGCCCTCGATGAACTTTGTGGAGTCGCCATCCACGTCCAAATAGCTGAATCGAGGACCGTAGTCCGAGAGTTCGCCGTAGGCCGGGTGCCCCGGCCGCTTGAGGACCAAAAAGTCGAACTCCTCGATGAGCTTGTGCCCCGTGACCACCCGTTTGCCACCGACGTCCGACTCCCACTCCCTTATGTTCGTTTCTTTCGTGAGCCAATCAGTACCAATAACGAAGGAGAACTCGTGCGTGTCTCCTCTGGTTTTGTTTAGGTGCGTGAGTAAGTCATACGTAAAATAGGCCCGCTCTCGATTGACATCGACATCACACACTCGCACCTTCGCCGTCGGCGGCAAGGCGCTATTGACAGCAATCTCGCACATGGCCCATCTTTTCAGCGTCGGCGTCTCAAGGTTGGGCTTGTCGGGCCGCGGCCCGCAGGGCGTCAGCCAGACCTCGTCGACGCGCCGACTCCTTAAAATCTGCGCGCAGCAGCGCACGTGGTCGACCGTCGGCGGGTCGAAGGCGCCGCCGAAGACCGCGACGCGCACCTTTTGCGGTGGGGTGGCCGCGCCGCTGAGCGCCGCCATGCGGCGTACGGCTGCCGCAGCGATGATTGCCGCGAGAGAGCGGATTGCTGCGAATGAACGAATCGTAATCGCAGCGCACGCGCACGAATGCTGGATGCTTGGCCCTGGCTTGCCTGGCCTGGAGCCGAGATGTTTGCACGCTAGAGCCGGTGTGCACTAGCTCTGACCGATGTGCGATCCGTGCGATAAAAACCGTGTCTCATTGCCGGTGAAGATATCTCCGCAGAGAGGAGTTTACTCACGCCGCTTTGCCAGCCAGGGCCATCGGCGTTGCCCCGCGCGGCCGCGGCTACGCTCGTCATCAGAGCTCGGTCGCCCTTCGACGACCGGTCCGTTTGCGTAGCACACGTCCCGGACCCGGTCTTCGACGGCTCCGCCAGGCACGTGCGGGGCCCCGTCGAAAGCCCAAGCTCCATGCTCTCCCATCAGATTTTGCTGTTTTGCACAGCAGCTGGCCGGCGGGGGCGCAAACCGGGCAGCGGAGACGGCGCAACGGAACCACTCGACAAACGCGCACGCTGCCCTTGTGAACGGACAGAGCGAAGCCACCCTAGAACCATCTCCCAGCCCCAGGCACAAATACAATGGCGCGCACAGCACTTCTCCTCGCGGCTGGGTCGGCCGGCAAGAGTGTGATTCCCATCATGGACTGGAGCTTGGACTATGGCTACTGCAAGGCCGCCGCGCCGTGGCTGCGGCGCGAGCAGCTCGAGCCTGTGTCTGCCGAGGTCGGCGACATCATTGATGTGCGGTACGCCGCCGCGGGCGCCATGAGCGGCCACGACGTGCGCAAGTACCCGGACGAAGAATCGTGGTTGGCCTGCGACGAGAGCAAGTCCACGCTGCTCACGACAGCCGAGGAGGACGGCGGCGGCTGCGCGACGAGCCACGACTTCTTCTGCCTGGCCTCGACGCCGGGCAAGCAGATCGAGGTCACAGAAGCCGATAAAGCCGCGGGCGGTCTGTGGCTGGCGTGTTCCCGGTCGCACTGTCTGGGCGGCGTCAAGCTCGCCGTGAATATTGTAAGTGAACGCGTCGCGGAGCGCGCGTCCGGCGCGCGGAAGATCGTGGTGCCGGCGTGGACGGACGATTTTGGCTTCTGTGAAAGCATGGGAGCCCGCTTCGACGACGGCGTGCACCGGCCCCACGGCCTGACGTCGATCTGGGCCTTCGAGGGCGATAGTTTGATGTGGAAGTACAGTTCGCACCACAACGTCTGGCGTGCGCCGGACTACGCGGCGTCGCGCCACTGCGAGATGAAAAAAATGACCGAGGTCTCCGGCCGGGACGCGGGCGGCGGGTGTGGCAAGGATGATTCCTTGGGGCCGTGGGGGAGCCGGGCGGGCCGGGCGTGGGTCAACTTTGCGCCGATAAGCGGCTATAATGAAGATGCTGCGAATATCAAGGCGGTGGATGATAGTACGGGCGGAGGCGCTGGCCTAACGCTGAGCGAGGACGACGGGGCGCTGCGGATCCGCGGCGACCTCACGGACGCCATCGAGAACGGCGAAATCCACCTGCACGAGGGCCACTCGTGCGCCGACCCGGGCGACCACTATTCCAAGGACTACGCCGGCGCCCCGGGTCGGGCGCCGTGGACGACGCCTTCGCCGACGCCGGTGCCGCGGGACATATGGAAGGACGGCGGGGTGACGGGCACTACGTGGACGGCTCAGGGTAATATGGCGCCGATCGACGTCGAGGTCCCGGCGGAATTCGGCTTGAGCTTGGCGGATGCCGTCGGTCGCGTCGTGGTCGTGCACGACGCCGCCGGCGAGAAGGCGGTCTGTGGAATAGTTCAGTACGAGAAGCCCGCTGGAGACGCCTGGGTCGGCGACACCTGCATTAAGGACTCATCAGGTTATGAATATGTGCTCTCGCTCGAAGACCCCGACGCGGTCTTGGTACGAGATCAGCCAACGCAGTCGTGGGTAGGTGATGGCAACTCCGGGGCAGATGAGTTGTTCGAGGCGGTGTGGAAATCAAAATTTTACGGCGCGTTCGCGCTGAATCATCGTGTCGTCTTCCACGCCATCGACGCGACGCCTGCTCGATGGCGTGGCGATGCCGGTTCCTCGCCGCTCGACGGAGCCAGCACGACCGCGTCCTCGCCGAGAAATGACTTAGTGAAGAATTATCGTGCACCCGACTCACTGGTTGATTTCCACACAGGTTCGAGGCACACACGGCCTTGAGCGGCGCCGTAAACATCCACTTCGTCTGCCAGGTCGGGGACCACTGCCAGAACGGCCAGCGCGTCACGGTCTACGTCCTGCCGCGGCCCGGCGCGGCGCCGGGCGACGACGACGACGGCGAGTTCGAGGACCCCGTGGAGGCCGCGACTTTATCATTGCTCATCATTATCATATTGGCGCTCGGCGCGGCGTTCAGCTACGTGTACTTCGTCGAGCTGCCGCGCTACAAGGCGTCGGCACAGCTCGAGCTCACGCCGGGCAGCTCGCGCAATCAGATGATATAACGTGTACTTACGACTCACTCTAGGCCGAGTCTAGCAGCTGCCACTGGAAGCCGACCCACTTGCCCCCGTTCGCCTCGACCCAGTCCCTGTACACCGTGCTTTTGATCTTCCCGCCCCGGGGCCCCGTCTTGTGCGTCGTCTGGCCCCCGTTGAACTTGTTGGGGTGCGCCGTCACCGACGACCACACGCGATAGTTGAATTCCTGTTGGAACGCCATAACCGCGCGGTGGTTTTCTTTCAGGGGCTGGCCGTACTTGTTGAGGAGATTGAGGTAGATCTCGTTCTCCCATGGAGGAAAGTAGCCCGTCATCTGCTGCGGCGGCTCGCCGTCTTCGTCGCTGTCTTCATAAGGGTGGGCGTCAATAGCACCAAATAAGTCTCTCGCCTCAAGCAGGCGTTGCTCGTGCGCCGGATAACGGGCCAGTGCGGCCTCGTCCCCCGTGATTCCTCTGGGCGGCTGCACGATGGCCGGCGCCGGCGCCGGCGCGGCGATCCGGGCTTTCTTCTTGGGCGGCGCCGGCGCCGGGTCCGCGCCTCCGCCGCCAGACGCCTCCGCGAGCCAGCGCTCCGCCTCCTCGCGCGTCGCGAAGCTTTTGTGTAGCGCGCCGGCGACGCCGTACACCAAGGGCTTGACCTCCTCCCACGATTCGAAGATGCCGGTCCTTTTGCCCGACGCAACGGCGTAAAACTTCTTCTTTGCCATGTCCTCGCGTCTGTGGGGTCCTGAACCCGACTCCTGACCAATGGGTCACTTCTTGAAAACGGGGTGTCCGGGCGGAGCGAGGCGTACTGGACGCACTGTGGCTGTATCGTGCGCGATGAATGCGAAGCCAGGTCGACGCTAATCGCTCTGCGCGTCCCCGGGCCGCAAATTCAGGCTCTGGTCCAAAACAGGTTTCAGGATTGAGCAGTGGCAAGTCTACGCCTAGGGACGTTACGACACAACTGAGCATCCCAAGAGGGGGACCAGGACCCTCATTGTTGGCCCGAGATTGACCGGTCCAACGAGTCGCGCCGCGCGGCCGTAGACGACAGATGAACTCCTAAGGGTAACGTCAGCCCTCACGCCGCCGTCGCGTCACCTCAGTGTCAGGATGTGTTGGAACCGCAACGTCTCGATAGTAGCCGCCGTTTGGGGCTGGGTCGCGTGTGCTCTCTTGGCATACCGCGGGGGCCGCAACGACCGCTGGTACGCCCTCTACCTCTTCACCTTTACGCTGACGCAAGTCATCGACGCCGTGCTGTGGAGCCTGCAGTACGATCGCGGCCTCGAGGCGTGCGACGGGCGGCAAATGTCCTTCGCCGTGGGAGCGCCGGACGGCCAACTCGAGAACTTAATTGTTTCCAAGTACGCGATCCCGGCCGTTGTCATCATCCAGTACGCGGCGCAGCTGGCCTACCCCTCGTCGCGAAACCCGCGCTTGCGCAAGGTCATGCTGCTGGGCTATGTCTGCGCCGGAGTCGTCATGTGCTACACGAGCGGCTGCACGGACGTGATCCGGGCAAAATTTCCGGAGCCGCACTCGACGCTGCGGTGGGGCGGCACTCGAACGCCTGCCTTGCCCATCCTCTTGGTCGCCGCGGCGACGATTGCGAACTTTTTCGTGGTCGTCGACGATCGCATCGTGCTCGCGGTCCTCGTCGTGCCGTTCCTCTGCGTGATCACGATTCTCTGGACGACGGAGGGTACGCTGGCGCTTGGCAGCAAGTGGTGTACATATTGCCTCATCTACTCGATCTTATTCTTGGCGGCGCCGCTGTGGGACGTCCGGCGCTGGAAGGACAACGAGCCCCCCGCCTCTCCGGTCGCCTCGCGCGACGACGAGGAAACGAAGGAGGGCGACATCGAGTCGCTCGTCGCCGCGGAAGAGCGGGGAAGAAAGCAGGCGCGCGACGACGACGTCGAGGAGGGCTGGGATCGCTTCGTCGCCGAGCAGAGCGGGGAGCTCGAATGAATACATATTAATGACAATCTTTTCTTAAACGAGACGATAAACAGGACGCGTGCTGGCCGCCACTCTTGTGAGCGGCGACGTTCACAGAGTCTACGAGCGGAAACCGTGTGTTCGCGCTTAGAAGAACGTGTCCTTCGCCGAGGTCTCGAGCTCGAGCTCCAGCGTCGGGATGTCGCCCGTCGGGAGGTTGATGCCTGTGCGCAAATCAACCGGTGAGTCGGGTGCACGAGACGCGAGAGACCCACACCACCACGCCGTCGAGCTGGCGTCGCGTCGATGGCGATGCGTCGCGTCATTTGATTTATGCACTGGTTGATGCCGAGGTTTTTGGAGATCTCCGAGTCGTCGAGGAGGATGAGGAGCTTGAGGGTCTCGAGGATCGGCTTGTGGTTGACGAGCTCCTGGGCGAGGAAGCCCGCGGCCGCGAGCATGGCCAAGCGGCCGTTCTGGAGCTCCTTCGTCTGCATCTCGGCGAACTCGGCCGGGTCCGTGGGCTTGAGGCCGAGCGGGTCGAAGCCGACGTCGCCCGGGTAGTAGTCCTCGTTGAGAACGCCCGCCTGCGTTGAGAGAGACAGGTGAGCTTCCAAGCATCGACGCTTTCGACGCGACGCCGTCAAATTGACAAAGGACGCGGCGCGCGCACCTTCTCGCGCGAGTCCGGGAACGCCCAGCCGACGAGGGCGCGGTTCACCTCGAGGCCGCCGATGACGAGCGCGCCGATTTCAAAGAACGCCGGGTACTCCTGGCGGACCTGGGTCAGGTGATCGATGGCCGGGCCCGTCACGTCGGCGAAGAGGGGGTGCCACGACTCGGCGACGAGGAAGCCGAGGACGGCGAGCATGGCGACGCGGCCGTGCTGGGTCTCGGCCTCGCGGTAGCGGCGGATGTCGTTGTCCGACGCCTGGGACGTGAAGCCGGCCGGGTCCCACTGGCCCATGGGCGCGAGCGCGCCGGGCAGGTCGAGGCAGAAGCCCTCCTGGGTGGCGAGGCGGGACGTGAAGCGGTTCTCCGCCTCGGGGATCTCGTCGAGCTTGCCCTCCGCGGCGAGCTTCGTCGAGGAGACCTTGGCCGACGGCGCGACGAGGGCGGCCGAGGGCGCGACGGCGAGGGCGAGGGCGAGCTTGGAGAGGGCCATTGTTGTGAGTTTGTCTGCGGGCGGTGGCGCGGGTCAGGTCAGCTGCAATGTTGCGCCCGACACGCGCGCGGCCGCGGTCGAGCGGAGCGCGGCCGCACAGCATGCAACGTTGCGCAACGCCCGCGCATGTGCTGTGCAGTGCTATGCACAACGCGCGAGCGCGCGGCGATTGCGCTGCGCGTTTTCTGTTGGCTGCCGAGGCGGCCGCGTGAATGCGTGCGCGGCGTACGCATCACGCGAGCTTCGCGCGCGTTGCACGAATGCGCTGCACAGCACGTTGGACCAGATGCGGATGTTTGCGGACGCTGCTGCGACGAGTGATGCGAGATTACGTGAATACGTTTGTTGATTGGCGCCACGACACAGACCTGATGCCACTTGGTTCCAACTTGAGGTCGGTTGACTTGCCGGCTTTAAGAGCGATAAAAGGACGGCATTGGAGCTGCTGCACCGAGTGCTACGTCAGGGCAACAGAAACAAAATAAAAGCGCGCGCGGGCACTAAAATGACATTACACCATGCCCTCCTGCGAAGCCTCCTCCACGAGCTGAGGAGGAGGCGGCGGCGGCGCGCGAGCACCGGACGGCGGCGGCGGCGGAGGCGGCGGACGCCGGGCCGGCGGTGGAGGCGGCGGCGGCCGAGAAAAAGGAGGCAACACCTCGACGACTCGAGTGAGCGGCGGCGGGGGAGGCGGTGGCGGCCGTCGGCGCGGAGGCAGGGGCGGCGGCGGCGGACGGGCCTCGCCGGCCAAATCAAAGAGCGACAGCTCGGCGGGGCTCGTAGAAAGATTCCTCGCTACTCAGAGCAATCTTGCGATCACGTATGACAGGCTTGGGCGACATGAAGAGGCACTATGTACCAACCGGGATGTATATAATGGATTTTCGAAGATATATGGCGAAGAACATAGACACACCCTCGTGGCGGCCAATAACTACGCGGAGGCCCTTCGTAATCTACGGCGTTTCAAAGAAGCCAATGTGCTACTAAGCAAACTAATACCCGCGGCGCGACGCGTTTTTGGGAATTCGCATGAACTCACACTCATGATGAGGGCGAATCACGGACGAATGCTCTACCTCGACACCGCCGCCACGCTCGACGATCTCCGGGAGGCCGTGAGAACGCTCGAAGAGACGGAACGGACCGCGCGGCGCGTGATGGGTAGCGCGAACCCGGTCACAATGCAGATTGAGCAATCCCTACAAAGCGCGCGAGCAGCTGCGCGAGCCGCGCTCCGCGCCCGCGAATCGCCTCCGGACGAACTGGACGAAGTCGAGGACGCGGATTAAGCTCGCACGCACTAAGTAGCATATGAAAATGACCACTACCTCGTCTTACGCCCCTTCCCACCCTTCCCGTTCTCCCGCGGCGCCTTGGGCGGCGTGAACTCCCGCAGCGGCTTCGTCGGCGCCGCGTCCCGAGTCCCCGCGGCGCCCGGCGGCGGCGGCACCGCAGGGGCGCGAGGCGTGTCGACCAACACCGGCGGTTCAATGGGCGGCTCGAGCGCGCAGCGCAAGTCCCCGACCGTCGCGCCCAATAAATCAGCAAGCACGCCGTAGCGGTAGACGCGCGTCGGCGGCGGAGTCATAGACGAGCCAAACAGGCGCCGCGGCCGCCACGCGAAGCCGTCGTCGGCCGTCTCCTCGTCGGTCGACTCGTCGTCCGTCGCGTCGCCGCCCGTTAGCGGAGGCGGCACTCGGTACGTGTACGCGTCGGCGCGCGGCCCGTGGCACCGCAAAACGACGTCGCAGCACTCGAGCTCGTCCGCATCCTCGAAGAGCGCATCGCGCGCCTTGACAAGAGCGTTCGGCCGAAGCTCGAATAGCTGTTGAACATGTTGGGTATCCACGAGCTGCCGCGCAAAGGGCCGCGCCTCGGGCGCGCACCGCGCCACCGCGGCCACGCCCCGCGTCCGCGGGTCCAGGGCGCTCCCCTTGGGTTCGCCTGGCCGCCGCGGCGGATCGAGCAAAGCCACGATGTGCCGCGCGACCGTCGCCTGCAACCTAGCTTCGGCCGCGACGAGCGCCATGTCGCGCGACGCCGCGTCCTCGTCGACGATTTCGCCGAGCGCCTCGTGGGCCAGCGCGCGGACGCGCCGCGTCGCCGCCTCCACCTCAGCACGCATCGCCGGCGGTAACGCCGGGTAGGCCGTGTCTATTCGTTGGGAGTCCAAATCGACACACACAACGCCCTTGGCCAGCGCCATTTTCCGATTCTCGTCGCGCGGCAGCCACGCGCTCTTCGCGCCGAGCACGTACGCCTGCGGTGCGTCTAACAAATCCAGCAGGGGCTTCGGCAGGACCGGCACGTAAGCACCCGCCACCTCCAGGGGCGCGATGAGCGACACGAGCGCCTCGGCGACCCTCGTGAGCGAGTCGCATTCACAAGAATGCAGCACCAACGGCCTTTCCAGAAGCACGGCCGCGAGCGCCGCATTTAAACCGTCCACGCCGAGCAGCAGCACTGCCAATCGGATCGATCCGCCGCCGCCCCGGGGCGGCGGGCACGCGCCCTCGCCTCCCACATTCCCGCGCGTGCCGCAGCGGTGCTCCCTCACCGAAATCACCCGGCCGAGCGGACCCGTCACGTCGATCGATAAGATGCCCCGCGCCGGCTTCGGCGCCTCGTCGGCGAGCTGGACGAGCCTTCTTCGAAGCGACACATCGCACGTTGCGTCCTCTCGCAACACGACGGCGGCCTGGCGGAGCCAGAGCTCCAGCGCCGGGCCCACTCCCACCCTACTCAGCACGCAGAGCGCCGTCGGCACCCAGAGCGCTTTGGACCCGTCCGCGTTGGAAGCACACCGCCGCCACGACGTCAGCACGCAGCCCCGCAGCGGCCGCGTCCGCTCGTCGTGCAGCGTGAACCAGTGCACGCTGTCGGGCGGGCGACGTCTTCGTAAAACGGGCGCGACGTCCCCATCCGGAAAACAAAACCATTCCAAGCGGTTCGGCAGCGGCGGCCGCGGCCCGCCCGCGATGCCGCCGTTCACGGGCGCGCGGTCTGGGAGTCTCTCCAGGATCTCCGCGGGCCGCCGCGCCGGTGGATTGGTATTGGCGTCCTCGCGGAACGCGGCGCAGCCGACGACGACGGCGTCCTCGATGATTCCTGCCGGTACCGGTTCGACGCGCTCCATTTCTCTGCGCTCTGCTCGTTGATTTCTATGCGCTCCACACTACTGTTGCCCACACTACTGTTGCGCGACGAGCAGCTGACAGGCCCAATCAACTGTTTTGGTGAGTGAGTGCCAATATATATATTGATCGGCGCAGCGGCTCACAGCGAATTTGAGGGTTGCGTACAGTCGCTCCCACTCGTTGATCAGCTCTGGCGGCCAAACGCCGAGGAGATGCGGCGGCGCGGCCCAATTAGCTAGCGGCATGTAAGACACTAGGGATGCAAGCAAAAACCAGCTCTGCGGCACTGCTGCAGCCGTCTGGCGGCCAACGCGACCCTGCAGTGCTCGCAATAGAGCCACAACTGCAAGGCACGATGCTGCGAGCAGCGGTCTTGCTCACTGGTGCTGTCTCTGCCCTCAAGCCAGCCTCACGGCGACACCTGTTGCAAGCAGCGCCAGCAATCGCGACGGGCCTCATCGCAGCGCCAGCGGTCGCCGAGGACTTCCAGGCCTCGCTGAAACCGCTCTACAAGGCCGCGAAGACGGCCAAGCTCACCTACCGGAGCAAAGCGGGCGAACCGCCGCCTGAGGCTTGGGCCGAGGACGCCTTCGTCGGCCGCTACACGGATCCGATCAATCACCCGGGCGGCATCCGTGATATTTCCTTGACGGACACTTATATAGGGGAGTACCGCCTGGTCAAGGTCGTAGGCGGCGGCGGCCGCGGCGAGCCCTCGGAGTACATCCTCCCCGGCCTCGTCGACGCGAACCGCATCACCGTCGACTTCTCCGTGCCGCCCAAGGGTGGCCCGCCGAACTTGACGGGCGTCCTCACGCTGCCGACGCCCGGCCGGCCCGGCGCGACGGCCATCGTCTGGCCCGACGGCAACAAGTGGCCCCAGGAGAAGAAGTAGTGCTTATCTGTGTAAGGTCGTTCGTTTCGTACTTACTTAGTCTTCACGTCTTCACGCGCGGCCCTTGGAAAGAATCATCTTTCTTGGGGATGAACTTGTTCTTGGGCAGCTCGATGTCGACGAGCGCCGCGAGCTCGTGCATGTGCTCCGCCAGGCCCCGGTCCGTCACGAGCAGGCCCTTCATGTCCTGGCAGCCCAGTCTCTCAAAAAGTTCGCGCCGCGCGGCCACGCCCTTGTGGCCGTGCGACAACCTTTCGGTGCGCGCCGTCACGCGGGGCGGCCCGAGTAGCGTGGGAGGCAGGACCTCCTTGCCCATGATCCGTCGCGTGTAGTCGACGCCGCCGGGCTTGTCCCTGTTTTCTCTTAACGTCTGGACGAAGTCGGCTCGTATTTCTTCCGCTTGCGCTTTAATCCGGTCATGTTCGGCCTGCTGCGCGTCCTGCTCCCGCGCCACGATGGCACAGATGTGCTCCAACCCATTAATGTCCTCCTGGAGCACTTTTTTGTTTACTAACCCGAGCTTTTTGACGTTCCTTAGGGGCGCGTTGTACAGGTCCGTCCAGATGGCGCCGCCCGTCTGGAGGCCCGACGCCGCTCTTCTATAGTAGCGCCAGTCCTTGATGGCGCCGACGGCGTGCGGCAGGGGCCGCGGCGCCTCTTCTCGCGGCGGCCGCCCCGAACTATGCCAGCCGTTGGCCTGGCCGTAGCGCGTCGCCTGGCGCTGGTTGTGGTGCCGCCTCCACCGGAACCGCTGCGTGATGTCGTCCCGTTTCTGCTGCCAGGACAGGACCCTCGCGTCCCACTCGGGGTTAGTACCAGGTTCTGGCCTCATGTCGGCGTTTGGGCTGCCCGCGGCCTGCTTTGGCAGGGAGAGGCCGCTGGCGTTGTTTGCGAGAGCAGCCGCGCTCGACCCCCACTCGCGGGACCCCGCAGGCCTCGAAGGAACGCAAGTAGGAGTGACCGGAGTTATGTAGGCGATATGAACGCCATCACGGCGCCGCGCCGTCGGACGAGCACGGCGCGTCTCGGGTAATCACCACACGGACTTAGGCGATACTACGAACGCTATCGAGGCGGCGGCGGTGGGGCCCCGGCGTTGAGCTGCGCGCGCCAGCGCGCCTGTAACGCCCCCAGCCCGCCGTCGTCGCCGAAGTCGGGATCTCCCGGCTGCGGCGCGAGATGCCGGTTCCCCCGCGCTGCCGGGTCCAAAAAGACCCGCATCATCGATTCGAGATCGGTAACGGGCTCTGTAACGGGGTAACGAGGCACCGCCCACCGCCGCCGCAGGAAGTGCGCGACCATCTTCGGCTGGCGGTCGCGCGTGAACGCGCCCTTCCTATTCCCGCCGGCTCGCGGAAAATTCTGGGCCGTTCGGAAGTCCGCGAAGTTCCAGACGTGCTCCCCAATCACAAAGTCGCACTCCCGGATGACGTCGATCAGCGTCATTATTAAATCGGCTTGGTACTCCTCGCTCCACTGCTCGGCTGGCAATGAATGCAGGCCGGCGAGGCAGTCGGCGCCGAACTCCGCGACGAGTATGGGCTTGTTGAATTTTTGGTGCAGCGTCTCCAGCGCGTGCCGCATCGACGCCTTCGCGCTGGCGAAGGGCTCGCCCAAGCCCAAGCCGGGCTCGTGGTACCAACCCGGATAAAAGTTCACGCCCACCATGTCGAAGGCGTCCATCACCAGGTCGTCTTCCACCTTGCACGTGACCATGGTCACGGGCCGCGTGGCGTCCAACCGTCGCACGTGACCGGCCAAGGTCGCGAAGTAGTCCCGGGCCGCGGGTCTATTCGTCGTCGCCTCGTTGGCCACGCTCCAGGCTATGACTGACGGCGCATTGAAGTCTCGGTCGATGAGCTCCGTCAGCGCTGTAGAATGGCGGTCGTAGAGCTCCCTTCTCACATTTTCGTCCTGGAGGTGGTCGAAGTTCACACTCACGGCGGGCGCCTCAGCAATTAACAAAATGCCCTGCTCGTCGGCGAGCCGGACCAGCTCCTCGGAGTAGGGGTAGTGCGTCGTCCTATAGCTGTTGGCGTTGACCCATTTCAATAACTCGTGGTCGCGAACGTTCGCCGCGTGACACAAACCCCTTCCTATGATCGGGAAGTCCTCGTGGCGCCCGAAGCCCTGGAGGTAGACGGGCCTGCCGTTCAGGAGGAGTCGATTCCCGGTCACGCGTATCGTGCGGATGCCGAAGCGCTGTTTGTAGGTATCCACGACGTCTTCTCCACTAAGGAGCGTTATGTCGGCGTCGTAGAGGTTCGGCCGGAAGACGTCCCACAGCTCGGCGTCGGGAATCCGGATGTCCACGGTGAAGTTATCACTGATGGACTCGTGTCCACCGGCGATAACTTTGGGCGTCTGGCGTGACATGCACCCGACAATGACGGACAAATTTTCGCCGACGCCACCGACGCGCCCTGCGACGGTGACTGTCGCGACACCATCGGCACTTACCGCCGTCGTCACCCGGACGCTCTCCAACCACGCCGCCCTTGGTGTCGTGTACAGGCAGACGTCGCGCTGGATGCCCGCGTAGGGAAAGAAGTCGAAGGGCACGTCGGGGTACTGGCCCGCGAACTGCCCGTTCTCGCCGGCGTTGCGCAGTTCTCCCATGGGCACCGTCGTCGCGCTCAGTCGGTTCTCGCAGCGCACGCAGAGCACATTCAGTCCCGTGCAATCGACGACGTCCGTGACCTCGCACTCGAAGGGCAGGTGGCCGCCCTCGTGGCCGCCCACCTCCCTGCCGTTCACGAAGACGCGCGCTCGGTACGCGACGGCGCCGAACCGCAGCACGAGGCGCTCGCCTTGCAGCGTCTTCGGCACCGCGAAGGTCCGCTGGTACCACATGCCGTCCTTCCACATGCGGAAGCCTTCTTCGGCGTACAGGTCGTTATAGGACGCCGGCACGGCCACATGCTTTTCCGCCTTGAAGCCTTTGTGGTGGTTGCCTGGCTCGTGCTCGCGCGCTAGCTCCCACATGCCATTCAAGGACACGACGCAGCGCGTCGGCGTGAGCTGGGGGTAGAGCATGGCTGCCCTTCACCAGGGAGAGCTTGGTCCTGGGCACCGAGAGCGATGCGCGCAGCACAACTCCTCTGAACTAATGCAACGCTGCGACGGCGTGCGTAGTGCAGCTGCCCCACTACCGCTAGGCGCGCGCGCGAGAGACGATTTCAAGCTAGCTGTAAGACACTAGCAGCGGGGAGCGGTAGGGGTACGGGGGACCCCGCGACGTAACTAGCCTGAGCCTGAGCAATCGGGAGGGGCACGGGGAACCCTGCGACGTAGCTAGCCTGAGCCTGAGCCTGAGCGAGAACGCGCGGCCCCAGCTAGTCCCAGCAAAAAGATAGGAATATACATACAGTTAAACTAACTTGGCCGCGGCGCGTGGGCGCCGCGGCGATACTAGCCGCCGACGACGACGTTGTCGCCGTCGGGGGCCTTCCAGGGCCGCAGGCCGTGGAGCTGGATCTCGCGCACCTGCTCGGGCGGGTCGTCGTCGTCCTCCTCGCGGCCCAGCGTGGCGGCCGTCCCGAGCCCCACCGCCATCGCGCAGCAGCAGCAGGCGGCGACGACGACGGCCGCGGCGATCAACACCTTTATCGCCAGACCGCCAGCAGCAGTAGCAGGCCCGCTCTTCTTCGTCCCGGCCCGGGGCGGCCCCGCCGGGTAGGGCCCGTCGCCCAGATATTGGGTGCACGGCACGGGCTCCGTGTCGACGGCGCGGCCGTCCTCGTTGCACGGGCCCGGCAGTTCCGCCAACGAATCGCGCGTCACGAGGTAGGTGCGCGCCCCGTTCAGACCGTCGCCCTCGCGCATGCAGGTGCAGTCGGTCTGGCAGTAGCACTCGCCGGCCACGTTCACGTCGATGGCGACGACCCGGTCGCCCTCGCGCTGGACGCACGCCGCCCAGCAGTCCCGGCTGTCCGGCAGGTACCCCAGCCGCTCGTCGAGGGGCGACACGCAGTAGGCCCGGACGTTGCCCCAGCACATCGTATTAAGATCGCAGCATTTTGGGGACTTCGTGCCATCGTTCGAGCAGACGTAGGCGCCGCCACAAAAATAGTCGTCGCCCGATGCGATACCAGTGGAACCGTCGGGGCAGGTCGGGACGCACGTCTGTACGACGGCGACGCGGTCCTCGAAAAAATGGTTGTTGACGCCCTCGACCGAGTACGCATCCAGAAAACCCTCGGGGTAGCAGCCGCGCTTGGCGTAGCAGCCCGACTCGTCGAGCGTCCCGAAGCCGAGCGCCCGGAGCTCTTCGACGCCCGCCGCGTCCACGCAGGCGCCCGTGCAGTCCCGGAAGAAGACCACCAGCTGGTCCGTGGGGTCCTCGCACGTGACGCAGTCGTAGGGCCAGTCGAAGGGCCACGTGGCGGGCGTCCACGGATCAGTCAACCCAGCGGGCAGTCCGTTGCTGTTCAGCGGGCCGTCCACGAAGCCGCAGATCGCGCACGCGCCCGGGTTCAGCCCCATCAGGTCCGTGCGGGCCCAGTCGTCGTCCATGTCCCCCGGGTCCGTGCCGTTGAAGCACCACTCGGCACCGGCGCGCTTGCGGTCGTCGCCGCAGTCGGACGCGGGGATGTCGTCGACGTCGCCGAGGAGGCTCCTTCTTACTGAATACGGCACGTCGTCGGCGCGCGCCGCTGCAAAGTCCGCTTCTGTGAGTACGCCGGTGGCCGCCCAGGCCTCCCGGAGCCGCGGGTGTGCAGTCTCCACAATCTGCTTCCGCGGCCGGTCGGCTTTGACGCCGCCGGCGACGGCGGCCGTCAGGACGACGCGCCGCATTTGGTGCAAAGCACCTTAGATATCCGGCTGGAAGCGGGGTATGCGGAGGAGGCGCTTGCACACGCCCTGAGCGACCCCAGGGAGACTCTGCCCCCTGTACGGGCTGCCCTTTCTGCTCCAGACCCTGAGAATTAGCGCGTGCAAAATATGATGGCTTTATTAGACGCCCTAGTAGTGTCACACTAGCCGCATTCAAGGAGATTGTTCGGGGAGATTTTCCGAGGCGGTTCTGCTTAGAAGAAGGTGTGCTGTTATGAAAAACGCGGCACGCGCCCGCCGCCGATGAATCGGCGAACGCGCGGTGTCCTCCCCCCCCGCCCTGGGCAGGGGCTCCGCCCACTAGTCCTCTACACTAGTCCTAGCACCGTAACAATAGAAAGCTCAGATTCAAGAGCAAAAAGGAGATTATCACACAAAGGAGCGACGGAAGGGGGTCATGGAGGACTTGCGAAAGATGCTTTTTTTGTCGCGAGGCTCAGAGCACGACGACGGCCTCGTGCGGGACGTTCGGCCACTCGACGGCCGTCGCGCGCGGCGGCTCGGCCAGCGGCTTCCGCCGATAGATGACGCGCGCCGCCACGGCGAGCACCGCCGCCGCGAAGCAGCAGCAGACGACGACCGTCGCGGCCATCGCGAAGACCAGGAGCTCGACCTCCCGCCTTGCCCCTTTATCGTCGCCGTCGTCGACGTCGACGCAGCCGACGCATGGATCCCAGCCGGGGCACGCCTCCGGCAAGTATGCGATATTTGCCGTCGTCATGAGCTGCGCCTCTATCCCATCCCGGGTGTCGAGGCACGTGCACGCGTCTTGACAAAAGCACTCGCCCCGGTCGTTCAAGTCGACGGCTGCCAGAACGTCCGGATAGGCCTCGACGCAGAAGGTCCAGCAGTCTTCCAAGGTCGCCGCCAGCCCCACGAGATGATCCAGATCGGACCTGCACCAGGTGCCCGTGGCGCCCCACTTGATCGTGTCCAAGACGCAGCAGAGCTCGCCGCCCATCGAGACCGCCCACTCCTTGCTGTCGTTCGAACACAGGTAGTCGTCGCCGCAGCACCAGTCGTCGTCACCGTCCTCGCAGCTGCCGTCGTCATCGCAGCACGTCGCGGCGCTGCCGTCGGGGCACGTCGCCTCGCACACGAAGGGCGCCTCGTCGGTCTCGCACGCCGCAGGCAGGCCGTTCGCGAAATCCAACGAAGTCATCACGTAGTAGCCCCCCCCATTCCCGGGATCCATGCACTCGCAGGCGTCCTGGCACGTGCACCAGTTGTTGGAATCCAAGTCGATGGCCTTGAGGTTCGCGCCGTACCGCTCGCTGCAGAGCGCCCAGCACCCTTCTAGATCCGAGGCCAAGCCCACATGATCGCTCAATGACGAGCTACACGCCCCGGCGTTGAAGTCCCAGTCCACGCTCAGCGGCGCGCACGCGCCGACGCCGTCCAGGTCCTCGTCGATCAAGACGTAGCCGTCGCTACACGTCTCGCAGTCCGTTGAACTCACAGACTTGCAGGTCCGGCAGTTCTCGGCGCACTGCCCGTTCACACAAACGCTCAGGGCGGCGGCGGCGAGAGCCCAGCGGAGCATGGTCGCTCTGTGTTGTGGGCCCGGGCGCCCGGGCCCCGCCCCGCGGCGCCTCCGCGGCTCGTCCCAAGGGGGGGCTGCCCGACCGCTTCCCGCTCGGTCGGACCGCGCCGGGGCAGCGCTGCGTGTCTCCACACTCCGCTAATTCATCAGCTGCAGAGCCTTGCCCCCGACACGAAGGCCGACATTCTTTGCTGGGGAGCCTTGCGGGCGACGCATCGCCGGAGACATCCGGACCCTTCATGGTCGGAAACGCGGCCGGCGACCCGGGCGCGTCGCCTCCGCCGCGTGGTAAGCTGGTCGAGTAGACCACGAGACAAGTCAACAACACACGTTATTAAATAATTCAACCGAAGAGCCTCTTCGCCGCTTCGTACGACCCGAACTGCAAGCCACCGGAGACCGCGGCGCGCGCGACGCGCGGACCCAAACCCGCGTACAGCGCCCCGACGCCCTCCGTATCCAGGATAGCACCGAGGCGCTTGATGATATCTTCGCTGGCGGCGCCGCGCTCCATGCTTCGCGTCTTGGCGACGTCGAGAGGTGTGGTGGCGGACAATGCCACCGCGGACGCGGCGGACCCCAACAGAGCTTTTCTGAAGATGCCGGCGCCGCCGTACCTGTCCTTCAGCGCTCGATAGACCGAAAACTTGAGGACGTCCGCGGGCACCGCGTGCCAGTAGCTCTCCCGGAAACCCGTCCAGAGGCCGGCGAGGCCGTCGCTCTCGATGATTGTTTGTGCGACGGCCCAGGGCTTCTCCATCGTAGTGTTGGCGAGCTGCTGCCGCGTCTTGATGAGTTCAATCGGCGCGCGGGCGAGCCAGTACGGGGCGTTCGCCAGACATACTGTCACTGCCTCCACTAAAAACGGATCTGTGAGTCCTCGCTCCGCCGCGAGCTCCCCCAGCCCGTCCTTGACGCCGAAGAAGAGCGCCGCGGCCGGCACGCCGACGACGAGCGGGGCCAAAACGCCCGCGTAGGGGTCCACGAAGACGCGCCGGCTCAATGTTCGTCCCTGGACCGTCTGGAGTCGGACCTTGACCGTGTCGATGGGGTACAACACCACATCCTTGGTGATTCGTTGCGCGGCGCCGCCGGCGAGGCCCGAGAGGACTTCGCGCGAGACCGTCGGCGTTTGTGGCGTTTCTGCCGCGCTGGCCGCGATGGCTCTGACGACGGGTGCCGCCACTAACGCTTGCAGCGCGCCGCGCCTAGCTGTGGTGCATGGCTGTGGCCTGTGCTGCTGCTTGGTAGGCGGTGGTTGGGGCGTCAAAGCCTGGCATACGATTAGTATGCAGAAATGCCATTCGGTGCGTGTGTTCATCTTGTTTTCTCGTATTTACCAGCCGGACTAAGCCCACAATTGAGAGATTATTGTGAGTTGGGCTAGCGGAGTATAGACACACTTAAACGCCTCAATTTTTTTCGCGTCGACCGCTCGATCGAATATACACCACCCTAGCTGCATCCAAGCTGCCAGGCTAGCTATCATAAAGGCAATTTGCAGCAGAACTTGCAGCGAGGCAACTTTCTGCGACGCAAGCCGACAGCTTGACAGCGAGGCCGACGACGCCGCCCACCTGCATCCGTCTCCGGCGCCACCAGCCGACGCGGACAAGCGAGGCCGACGACGCAGCCTCCCACCAGCATCCGTCTCCGGCGCCACACGCCGGGGCCAGGAAAGCTGGCTGACAGCAAGGCAGACGAAGAGGCCGCCGGCAAGCTCCTCGACGACGAGGCCGCCATGGCGCCGCCGCCGCCGCCGAGCGCCGCGTACGTCGCGCTCATGGCATCTTTATATGCTGTTTGCTCCTCCACCCTCAGCATAGTGAACAAGTGGGCGCTACTGGGCCTCCCCTACCCGGGCCTCGTCACGGCCTGCCAGTTTCTCACGACGGCCGTGGTCGTTAGCATCGCGGGCACTCTGAAATACATCGACGTAGAACCTTTGAGAAAGGATAAGCTCATGCAGATGGCGCCGATAAACATCGTGTTCTACCTCGCCATTTTTACCAATGGCCAAGTGCTGAAATATGCGACGGTAGAAACGTTCATCGCCTTTCGAAGTTTGACGCCGTTATTGGTCTCCGCTCTAGACACCGTGGTAAGGGGAGAACCAGCCCCTTCGCGGCGCACGCTGTGTTGTCTTTGTGCTATCGCGCTGGGCGCGGCGAGTTACGCGCACAACGACGCGCGCATCACGCCGGCCGGCTACGCCTGGGGCGTCGTCTACCTGAGCATCATCGTGACGGAGATGGTCTACGCCAAGCACGTCACGGCCACGATTCAACTGTCGACGTGGTCGCTGGTGCTCTACCAGAACACGATCGCGTTATTCCTCTGGCCCTTTGCTTCGTTGGTATCAGGCGAGTTCCAGTCCCTGCGACTCTTGGTCCAGACGCCGGAGGCCGAGTCGGAACCGCTCATGACGATGACGACGTTAGTACCTTTATTATTGTCGTGCGTTTTGGCCATCGGCATCTCGTTCAGCGCGTGGGGGACTCGCTCAGCCGTGAGCGCCACGCAGTTCACGGTGCTCGGCGTGGCCTGCAAGCTGGCGACGGTGGCCATCAACGTGCTGGCCTGGTCGCACCACGCGTCCATCGAGGCGCAGTTCTCCATCGTCGTCTGCATCCTCGCGTCGGTGGCCTACCAGCAGTCGGCCAAGGCCGACAAGGCGGGCAAGGCGCTGCCCGTGACGAAGTAGGTGTGTTCCATATGATATAAGTTTCGTCTTTCGAGCTCGTTCTACAACGCCGTCGCCGCGACGCGATTGGAGTGTGTATCGGGTCGCGGCGGCGATGGCGCAGGGGTGGCGCCGAGAGATATAAACCAGCCATGCGTTTATGTCACGGGGCAAGGGGGGAAGGGACTTTCTAACCGGCGCTCATGCCGCGCAGGGGCACCCACGCGGCCAGCGCGTAGAACTTCAGGAAGACGAACGAGAAGTAGCGCCGCAGCTGGCCCGTCCAGAGCCGCATGCGCCGCGGCCAGATGTAGGAGAGGATGCCGGCGCCGCCATTGTCCCGTTCTCTCTTCAAAGCTGCATGTCGCCTAATAGCAGAATAATAATGCTCCTCGCGCAGGTTTTTCGTGGCCGCGCGCCACGACCAGCCCTCGGCGTCACTCCTTCCGCGCGTCGTGAGTCGTTCCCGCATGGACGCATCATCAAGGACCCGCCCACACGCCGCCGCAAAAGCTTTCGTGTCCCCGGGCTTGACCAATATACCATTCGACTCATGGTCCACGATGCTCGGAATACCTCCAGCATCGGCAGCGACAATAGGCAGGCCCGACGCCATGGCCTCAATCACCACGAAGCCCAGCGTCTCACTGTCGGACGGCATGACGAACATGTCCGCCGACGCGTACGCCTTCGACAAAGCTTCTCCTCGCAAGACCCCGACAAAATGCACGCGATCGCCGAACTCCGCGAAGAACTTGCGCAGCTCCGCCTCGTGCGGGCCGCCCCCAACGATCGAAAAGACGGTCTCGGGCCTCGCCCGTAACACTTCCGCCACGTCCTCGAGTCTCTTCTCTACCGATATTCTCCCGACATAGAGCAGGATGGTCTTCGACGGGTTCTTCGGGGCCAATACGTTCCTCGTCGCGCTATCCCGGAACTCGGGATTGAAGATGTCGACGTCGATCCCTTTCTGCCATACCTTCACGTTGCGGATGTGGTGCTGCTTGAACTCGTCCATGATCTGTGGTGAGGTGACGAGTGTCACGTCGGCGAAGGCGTGGGCGGCCTTGATGGCCAGCCAGGCACTACTTCTAGAGAACGGAAGCCACGACGCGTACCGTTCGGCATACACGGGTAGGTGCGTGTGGTACGACAGCACCAGGGGCACGTCCAAGGCCTTCGCAATACCAGTCGCCGCCAACGCAAAAAAACCGGGCGACGACGCGTGGATGACGTCGGGCTTGAACTTCTCGACCATCCTCCTGGCCTCGCCCTTGAAGTCGCCGGTCAAGCAGAGGTGGGCATACAGGGGAAACCTAAAACCTTCGAGCGTGGTAATGGGGTAGCCCATGAACTCGTCTGGTGCCTCCGGTTTGTCATCAGGCGTCGCGACTGCGACTTCGTCCCCAAACTCCTTCAGGTACTTGAGTTGTTCCTTGAACCTGTTGGCATAGCCAGAAACGTGCGTGAAGGGCGTCGGTTCTACTAACAGAGCTATCCTGAGGGGTCCCTTTCGTCTGCCTGGTAACCTATTAGCGACGCCTTTCGCAACATCGCCCACGCCGCCCCGAATAGTCGAAGCGGCTCTCTGGGCCGCTTTGGCCACGTTCCTTCTAGGTTTTTTGTCAATAGAGTCGGCCTGGGCGCCCGGCCGCAGCCAATTGCGGGAGCGAAGCGGCCGGTGGAAGGCGCGCGCGAGCGCTAAGAGGAGCAAAAGGCGGGGCGCGTCGCTGAGCCGCCTCATGTTAGCTGCTCGTGCGGCGCCTGGAGCCCGTCGTTCGGTCGATCGCGCGTCTAGCAGTGTAGCGAGGCTATAGCAGTTTGCTTGGCAATTGGGATACGCGGCTGCTTAGCGTTAGCTCAAGCTTGCGGATCGTGCTGTGCCGAGACAAAGGTCTACCAGCAATGAATCTAAAGCACCAGCGATAGCCGACCGGGCTGAATCCTTGCTTTGCCCTTGCATGCGAGCTGTAGCTTGGTGGTGCCCCGCGACCTTTGTCAGATATTGCAAACCAGAGTCAGGGGCCGTCCCAAGGCTCTCCGAAGACGCCTGGACGCGTCGCTGGCTTGCTTTTCGGCTGATCGGGCGCCGAGGCCTGGGTCTCAGCACTTGGCTGCGGAGCGCGTCACATTCGGCGGCGGCGTACGATCCACGCCCGTTGCGGGCCGCGCGAGAGCGCACACGATCTCTCTTCAAGGCCTGACCCGGTCGTGGGTAGAAAAACCGACGGTAGGAGGTCCAATTTCGTCTCTGTGACCCGAGTGCTCTCTCAGACGAGAGACCGAAGGCGGAAAGCGACAGGACCGCAGCGCCTCCAGCCCACAAAAACAAGAAAATGGACAGCGCCGCGGCGCCGGAGGACGTCGTCGTGGCCGCCGAGACGGAGGAAAAGCCCGTCAAAGCCGTGCGCATCCCGACGCCAGAAAAGGACGACGCCAACGAGTTGTTAAGGTTACGCGCCGACTGCGCGCGAGACGTGGAACGGGCCTGCTCTTCACTAAGGAGCACCTTCGAACAGCGCTTCGCCAAGGAAAAGGCCGCGCATGATAGAAGATGGGCCGAGACCGAGCGGAAGATGCGCGATGATTTGGAAACCGCGCTGCAGGAGGCCTCGCGCCGCGCCGACGACCGCTACGCGTCCGAGGCGGCGCGTTTTGAGTTGAGAAGGCGGGCTTCCCTCCAATCGACAGCTCCCCAGGAGTCTGATTTAGAGGCCACAAAAGCTGAATTGGACCTGGCTTATGCGACCTTTGAACCCACGCTCGAGGCTCAAAGGGAAGCACAAAAACAGTTAGTAGCAGCAAGGAAGGCCGCCGTCGAGGCGTCCAAAACCAACGAGTCCATCCCCATCAAGGTCATGGGCCAGCTCGATGTCAGACGACTCACACAGAGAGGCATGACGATGCTGCAGATCTCGGAGCTGCAGGAGCGGCTGCGGTGCCACGAGTTCCAGCCCACACGCGTGATAGTTGATCAGAATGGAGAGGCGAAGGATGTTGTAGATCGCGACGACCCGGAACTCGTGGCCTTGCGGGTCGAGTTTGGGGACGTCGCGGTTGACGAGGTCGTGCGGTGCTTCCGCGAGCTCGACGCCTGGAACCCTTCTGGAAGGTACTCCGTGAGCGTGCCGTGGGACCCCGGGTCCAATGAAGAAATGGCGCCGGCGCAAGTTATCGATCGCCTCGCGGCGCCGCGGCGGCCGTCGGTGCAGGAGCGCACGGCGGCGTTCATTTCTGGTAGGAGGGCGCAGCAGGCACCACCACCACCAGCGCGCCTCCACAACCGCACCCAAAGCTCGCGCGCGGCCGCGGGCGGCGCGCGGCAGCGCTCGCACTCGGGCCTGTCCGAGCGCGCAGCGGGCCTCCGCCAGTTCTTCGGCTGGCCCGAGAGCCGCGGTCGCACGGGGAGTGCGTGAGCCGTTGTCCCCCAATTCATTCGAATAAGATTCCTGTTGTATCTGATGCGCGTCGACGGCGTAAATGGGGCATTTGTGAAGAACGTACTTATGCGCGACGGGGGGAAAATGATAAACGCGCTCACTGCTTCAGCCGCGGTAGAACTCGCGGAGCGTCATATCCAATACGTATTGAGAAAAAAGGGAGCGACTAAGCGCGAATAGACTTCTCGTAGTCGGGCAGGCGGATATAGCTCTGCGGCACGTCCTTGCCGTGTTCATCAAGATAGATGTTCCGCACGAGGTCGTCGGTTGACGAAGGCGTGCTCCCAGCCAATGCCCGGTCGCGCGCGGCCTCGACCTCCGCCCTGATGTTCTTCTCAATCGTATTCAATTCATCTTCGGTGGCGTCCGTGTGCCCCAGGAGCAACTGCCTCACGTTCTTGATCGGATCGTTATTCTCCCTCATGGCCTTGACCTCGGCCCCGTCGCGGTAGATCTTGCCTGGGTCGGACATGCTATGGCCGTGGTATCTATACGTCGACATCTCGACGACCATCGGCCCGTTGCCCTGGGAGACGTAGTCCCGCACGTGTTTCATGCCCTCGCGCACTGACAGCACGTTCATGCCATCCATTTTTAACCCGGCAATGACGTTTCCCATGGTGTAGTAGTCGTTGTTGCAACTGTGGCGAGCGATCGACGTGCCCATGCCGTACTGGTTGTTCTCGATGCAGAAGATCATCGGTAATTTCCACAAAGCAGCCATGTTCATGGACTCCCAGATCTGGCCCTGGTTCGCCGCGCCGTCGCCGTAGCAGCCGATCGCCACCGGCATCGGCTCGCCCAGGGGCGTCTTGTACTTGTTCGCGAAGGCTAGACCCGTGCCCACCGGCACCTGCGCGCCGACGATGCCCTGCCCGCCGAAGAAGTTTTCCTTTTTGTTGTAGAAGTGCATGGAGCCCCCTATGCCGCCCGTCTGGCCATGTGATCGGCCCATTAATTCCGCGAGAACGCCCTCGACGCTGCCGCCGCGCGCCAGCGCGATGCAGTGGCATCTATACGAAGTGATCCACGAGTCCTCTGGGGACAGGGCCGCCTGGATGCCGGTCCCGACAGCCTCCTGACCGTCGTACAAATGGCAGAAGCCTCGGATTTCCCTCTTTTTGTACTGATCGTCACACATAAGTTCCATGCGGCGCATCGTGTACATGGTCTTGAAGTACTCAAGCAGTTCGGCCTTAGTTGTTTCCGCTGCTGCGGCGGGTTCTTCGGAGAGGTAGGCAGTGTATGCTCCCGGGAACTCGACGGTGATCGACGCTTCGGCAGATAGGCTTCGCGCATGGGGGCGCGCAGCCGCGGCGCGGCGCAGGGCGGTGCGGAGCATCCTACTGAAGCATTCGCAGCCTCGGGCAGCCAATGCAATGCACGCGGCGGCGCTTCGGAAAGCTCTTACCCCGCACCTAGATCCCACGATCGCGCCAGGACTCAACGCGCGAGGAACCGAGGCGTTGCAGCAATCCAGAGCGCATTTCACGAGGCCAGCTCTAAAAACCCCGCACACTAGACGCCGCGCGCGCGCGTCCGTAGTTTACAGACTTATGCGATGAGGGGGGAAGAAAGGACCTAGGCGCGGATGCTCTTCTCGTAGTCGGGCATGCGGATGTACGGCTGCGGCACGTCCTTGCCCTCGGCGTCGAGGTAGATGTTGCCCACGAGCTCGTCGATGGAGGACGGCGGGCTGCCAGCTTTCGCGCGGTCGCAGGCAGCGGCCACTTCCGCCCGCACGTCCTTCTCGATCGCCTTGAGCTCGTCCTCCGTCGCGTCCGTGTGTTCTAATAATAAGTTCTTCACGAACTCGATCGGATCGCGCGTCTGGCGCATCGCCGCGATCTCGTCGCGGTTTCTGTACGTCGTGCCGGGGTCGGACATGCTATGGCCGTGGTATCTGTACGTCGACATCTCGACGACCATGGGCCCGTTGCCCTGGGAGACGTAGTCCCGCACGTGCTTCATGCCTTCGCGCACCGACAACACGTTCATGCCGTCCTGTGTGGAAATAAACCGTCGCGTCGATGGCGTGAATTTTTGTTTTCGCACGGCAACGCGCCATCTTCAGCCCGGGGATGACGTTGCCCATCGTGTAGTAGTCGTTGTTGCACGACGACCTCGAGATGGACGTGCCCATGCCGTACTGGTTGTTCTCGATGCAAAAAATCATGGGCAATTTCCACAAAGCAGCCATGTTCATGGACTCCCAGATCTGGCCCTGGTTCGCCGCGCCGTCGCCGTAGCAGCCGATCGCCACCGGCATCGGCTCGCCCAGGGGCGTCTTGTACTTGTTCGCGAAGGCTAGACCCGTGCCCACCGGCACCTGCGCGCCGACGATGCCCTGGCCCCCGAAGAAGTTGTGCTCCTTGTTGTAGAAGTGCATGCTCCCGCCCTTGCCGCCCGTCTGGCCGTGCGACTGGCCCATGAGCTCCGCTAAGACGCCCTCGACCGTACCGCCTCGCGCCAAGGCGATGCAGTGGCATCGGTAGGACGTGATCCACGAGTCCTCCGGGGACAGGGCCGCCTGCACGCCCGTGCCGATCGCCTCCTGGCCGTCGTACAAATGGCAGAACCCGCGGATCGTCCGGGCCTTGTACTCGTTATCACACGTAATCTCCATGCGGCGCATCGTGTACATGGTCTTGAAGTACTCGAGGAGCTCGGTTTTATTGGTCTCGGCCGTCGCCGCGGGCTCGTCGCCCAGGTGGGCCGTGTAGGCGCCCGGGAAGTCGACGGTGATGGACGCTTCGGAGAGGGTGCGTCGCGCAGGGCGCGCGCTGGCCGCGCGACGGATGGCGGTGCGGAGCATGTTCTATATGAGGTCTACTGGCTCGTAAGATGCGGGGTTTGACGCAGCGATTGCAGCTGACTGCCCGCGGGACGATATGGACCAGCCGTAACGCGTCTGCGTGCAGCAACGATGCGCTTATGACGGCTGAAAGTCGGTGGCTAGCATGCTAGCAAAGACGCCTTCTGCGACGGGTTTTTCGCGCAATTCGGGTTTTGGGAAGGAAAGGTCCGGTAGGAGGTTCTTTGAGGGTCCTCCAACCGGCATCCGGACGACTACGTGTCCCAAATGCTGAACTCGCCGCAGCCCTGCCACGCGCCATCGTGCTCGAAATCGGCGGGGGGATTTTCACAGCCGCTGCCAAATCTTGGGGCACAAGAAATCAACAGTGCACAAAACAGATCACAACTTGGCTGCTCGGCAATCAGCGCTGATAACGGCACTCTGTGCGCAACAAACAAGCTCTCCCAGACTCCAGCCATACCCAAAACAACAGAATGGCGCGCTTTTGGTTACAGCTCGCGTGCGCGACCGCCGCGTACGCCTTCCTCCAACCAACGACGAAAGCCGCGACAGCGCGCCGCGCGATCCAAGTACAAGCCGTCGCGGACCTCCTGCCCGACGACGTTGTTAATTCATTAAGTGCAGAGCAGCTGGCAGCCCTCTACAACGCGCCCGACGCCGTGGCCGGCGCGGCCGGTGGCGTTTCCGAATTCATTACAACGAAAGTGGGCCCCGCGCTCGGCGCCGAGGCGGCCGCGCTCGGCGAACTCGCGGGCAAGGCTTCGGAGGCGTTCTCTACGAAAGTCGTGCCGGCCCTGAAAGAGGGCGGCGATGCGCTGAAACCGGCCGTCGAAGCAGCCTTATCAACGGGCGCTTCCACAGCGAGCGGCGCGTTCGCCGCGGTCGTCGACGCAGGACATGCCGCGGGCTGGACGGACATTGAGCTCGCCGGTGCGACGACCATCGCGCTCTTCCTCACGGTCGCCACGATCAAGAAGCAGGCCACCCCGCCGCCGCCGCCGCCGCCCACGCCCGCGGAGAAGGCTGCCGTAGGAGCAAAGAAGGCACTTTCCGGCGCTTTGGATCTGTTCGAGGTCGTGCAGGGGCGACCCTACACGCCCCTCAAGTCCAAGGCCGTCGAGGACGCCGTCAAGCCCATCGCCTCGTCCGCGGTCACTATCTACAAGACCATCGATTCTACCGCGAAAAAGGCCCCGACGTACACCGAGACCGCCAAGCGGTCCCTGGAAAAGGCCTACAAGGACGCGCCCGCCGTCTCCGCCAAACTAAGCCAGCAGGCCCAGTCCGCCCTCTCCAAGAAAGCCCAGGAGACGCAGAAGGCCGCGCAGGAGGCGGCTAAACGCGCGGCGGCGCGCGGCGGGCCCTACGCGGAATTGCTCAAGGAGCGCGCTACTCAAGCGGCCGCGAAGCGCGCCGCGGCGCTCAAGGAACAAAGTGCGCAGGCCGTCTCCGTCGTCGCGGAGCGGAGCGCCCCGGCGGTGCGGACGCTCTCGACGGCCTACTCGGCCGCCGCACTCGCCGTGACGAAGGTGTACTCGGCCGCGGCGCCCGTCGTGACAAAAGCTTACGCCGCGGCCGCGCCCGCCGTCCAGACCGCGGCGCAAAAGGCGGCGGCGACGGCCGGCGCGACGAGCGTCGCCGCCTCGGCCGCGGCCATGTCGGCTGCGGTCAAGTCCGCCGAGGCCCTCCGTTCGTCGGACGCGTACCGGAAGCTCGCCGCGAAGCCCTCTGCCGCGGCGCCGCTCGGCGCGTTCCTGGCCGCGGCCGCGCTGGCGCTGGCGCTGCCCAAGCCCGAGAAAGCGCCGCCGCCGCCGCCGGAGCCGGTAGTGATTGAGCCGGAAGTCCCGGCCTTCGAGCTGCCCGAGTTCGACTTCTCGTCCTTCGAGCTGCCCGAGGTCGACCTGTCCGCGTTCGCGAACCTGGACCTGGACAACCCGCTCGCCGCGCTCGCCGCGGCGGACGCGGAGGGCGTGCTGACCGGCGTGCGGGCCATCCTCTACGTCCCCGTCTTCGTGGGGACCTTCGTCCTCGCCCTGCCGCCGGGCGACCAGGCCGCGCTCTTCGTCGCGCTCCTGGCCGCCGCCGTCGCGAGCGGCCGGAAGTCATGACCTGCGCGCGCCCTGTATAATTTTCATCATGATTCCAGTGATGTTGTGGCCTCGCGTCGATGGCGTCTAGGTATACCATACCATATCTGATACCATACCACGTGGTACCGTATCATCTCGCGATTTCGAGTCGCGCCATCTGCCCTCACGGCAGGGTCTTTCGTTGCATCCGAGATCAAAGCACTGGAGGTGCTAAATCAGATACACACGCTGCTGCACACCAAGCACGAAGGCTAACCGATACGGAGGCGAAGAGTATGGCGCGATTTTCGCTGCTCCTGCTGTTGGGCAGCGCGAGCGCCTTCGTGACGCCGACTACGCGCGTGCGCGACACGACCCTGCACGCCGTCGAGGCTGAAGAAATTGGTGACGCCATTGCGTTACAAGCGTTTAGGGCGTTAGACGCGGTCGTCGACGGCGGCTTCGCTGCCGGAGACATCCTCCAGAATAAAGTAGCACCAGCTTTAGCGCAGGGCGGCGACGCGGCGGCCGTGGCATTAAAGACCAAGGTCGTTCCGGCCCTCGCGGACGGCGCCGAGGCGTTCCAGACGAACGTCGTCCCGGCCGTCGGCGAGGCGATCACGGCGGGCGCGGCGGGCGCCGGCGACGCGTTCTACGCCTCGCTCCAGGCGGCGCGCGACGCGGGCGTCTCCGACAGCGCCCTGGCCACGGGTGCCGTGATCTGGGTCGCCGTGACGGGCGCGGCGATCGCGCGCAAGGCGACGCCCCCGCCGCCGCCCCCGCCGACGCCCGCGGAGAAGGCCGCAGCGGCCGCCCAAAACGCGGTCAACGCCGGCTTCAAGGCTTTTGAAGTTGTGCAAGGAAGGCCCTACACGCCGTTAAAGTCAAAGGCGGTCGAGGACGCAGTTAAACCGATAGCCAACTCGGCCATCAACATCTACAAGGCGACTGAAAGTGCAGCCAAGGCCGCGCCGACCTTCACGCCCAAGCTCACGAAGACGCTGGAGCAGGCCTACAAGGACGCGCCGTCCGTCTCGGCGAAGCTCGGCCAGCAGGCCCAGACGGCCCTGTCGCGGAAAGCTCAGGAGACGCAGCGGGCCGCCCAGGAGGCGGCGAAGCGCGCGGCCGCGCGGGGCGGCCCCTACGCCCAGCAGCTGCAGGCCCGAGCGACCCAGGCCGCCGCGAAGCAAACCGAGCTCCTACGAAAGCAGGCCGCGGAGCAGGCCAAGGCCGCCGCCGCCGTCGCGTCGAAGCAGCCCGCCTTCCAGCAGGTCTCTAGAACGTACTCGTCCGTGGCACCGGCCGTCACCAAGGCCTACGCCACGGCCGCGCCCGTCATCAAGAACACGGCCGTGAAGTACGCGGCGGTCCCGGCCGGCGAGGCCCTGCGCAAAGCGTCCCAGGAGCTCCAGAAGACCAAGGAGTACAAGACCTTCGCCGCGAAGCCCGAGGCCGCTATTGGTGTTGGTACTTTCCTGTTTGCTACCGTGATTGCTTTAGCCGCACCGAAGCCGGCGAAGATCGTCGCGCCGCCGCCGCCGCCCGAGCCGGTTGTCGTGGTGGCACCTTCAATCACGGCGATCAAGGCGCTCGACGTCACCAAGGTCAAATTACCCGAGGTCGACGTCTCCAAGGTCAAGCTGCCGGACGTCGACGTCGCCAAGAGTCTGGAAACAATCAAGAAGATCGACGTGAGCAAGGTCAAGGTCCCCGACGTTTCGACCATCGACGTCTCCAAGGCCTCGGCCCAGTTAGGGGATGCGGCCAAGAAGACGACCGCCGAGGCGTCCAAGACGATCAGCAAGGCCGCGGCGGACGCGGGCCCGGCCATCGGCGCGTTCACGGCCGACGTCGCCGTGCCTGCGTTGAAGTATGGTGCTGATGAAACTACGAAGGCGGCGTCGGCCGCGGCGTCGCAGGTCGCCGTCGAGGCGTCCAAAGTGGACTGGGCGGGCTTAGCTGAGGGTGCATTAGAGCAGACGGTCGTGTTCCTCGTCTACGTGCCGGTCTTCGCGTACACGTTCGCCGCTTCCTTACCCGCCGAGGAGCAGTTCGTGCTGGGGCTCGTGGTGCTCCTCGTCGTGGGCTCGTTCGCGAAGCAGGACGACTGAATCCCCTCCCTTCCCCGCGCGTTCGCGCGATGGTCTACCGTACCCGGTGACGTGTTAATTTGATGATCAAAGCAATTTGCCTGCAGAGACGCGGGGTCTGCGCGACCATCATGCGACAGCGCCCCGAGTGTTATGTGGTTCGGCGGGCGAGGTTCTAGCCTAGGGCACTTCCCAGGGCGAGGCGAGAGCTAGCGAGCGACGCTTGGCTAGTTATGAAGCTAAGTAAGCTGTGCTTCGCGTGTTCTTACTGCACTAACCTGGCTCGTCGTAACCGGGGAGCTCGTTCCGCAACCGCGCCTTCGCCTCCGCGGCCTCGCGCGCGACGGCCGCGTTGATCTCCTTCGCCTCCCTCCGCAGGCGCGCCATGAGCTGCTCCTCGGTCTCGCCAGTGACCAACGCGTTGCCGGCGATCCAGCTGGGCGGCAGCGGTGCAGTCTCCGACATCAGCGTCGTCGTCTGCATCTCGCGGGCCCTGAGCGCTGCCCGCGACTCTCTCAGAGATCGCTCAAGTTGCACTACCATCGGATGCGCGCGGCCGAAAACGCGCTGCGCGGTCCGTGCCGTGTCCTCGAGCGTTGTCACGGCCTCGCGGAGGTCGTCGAGCGTGGCGCCGTCGTCCTTGGAGAGCGCCCGCGCGTAAGTCCACCTCAGCCTGAGCGTGGCGTCATTATTCTCGCCAAGAACCCGTCGCGCCACGGGCATCATTTTGCGCAGCACCGACTTGGCTTCTCTGTAGCGCTTTAGAGCATCAAGGGACGCCGAGTAGTTGAGGGCTGCTGCAAGGGTATCTCTACTTTGTTCGCCGTTGAGCTTCAAACATCCGGAGTACACGTCTCGCAGCATGCGGTTGGCCTCTTCTGTCCGTCCACAGTGATGATACGTCCTCGCAAGATTGGTCTGCACGTCGAGCATTTGTTCTTCTGACTCGCCAAGGCGCCGCCACATAGACAACTCGGCCTCTTGCACGAACAACGCGTCCTCGTGGTGCTTTGCAGCGGATAAGCCGTTCCCAAGCCGCGACATCGCCAGTAGCCGAGCCCAGTGCGCCTCTGGCCGCCCCACATTCGTCTTCCAGCACGCCCACCCGAGCGCGCACCGCACGACGCCGTGGTACTTTTGCTCACACAGGCTACACGTGTGCCACCGCACCCACGCTGGATTTTTTGGTTTATTGTTCTCCTCGGCCTCGTCACACAAAATCTTCGCCTGCTCCGCCAGACACGACACATGCGCGAAGCCCGCCGTCCCGCGGCACGCACACATACGCACGAGGCCCTCCTTTGTCTTCCAGTGGAGGGCCTGCGTGCAGATGTAGCACGTCTGGCCCTTCGTGTCGTCCGCGCATTTCTCGGCCGCGACCGCGACGGCCTCCGTGTACTTCGTGTTTGCGTTGTATTGCTCTGCGCCGCCGGCTTTTTTTATTTGTCTGCAGAGCGTGTCGTGGCCACCCTCTTTCCAGTGCTGCACCTGGCATTCGGGCCCACAGTAGCGTGTGTTGCAGCGGCCGCATTTCTTGCCCAAGGTTAGCCCAAGGTCGGTGGCGCAGACGGCGCACTGCGTGAGGATCATCTTCAGTCTGCTATCAAGCTTTGGGGCAGCCCTTCGTGTTGTTTTGGCCTGCTCTCCTGCGAGACGAGATCGCCGCGCGGGCGGATGGCGTTCGACGTATCTCGTTCGAGAGTGCCATCATCGTTACGCGACACGTCGAATAGGCTCTCACACCCTTCGCGGGAGGAACCCGCACGCTATGAAAAGCGCGGAGCAGCCGAGGGTAAAGAGCGCCTCAAAAGGAGGCGTGCGGGCTGCCCCAGCTCGGACACCGAGGCGTAGCATGGAGCCCAACCGGTGAAGAATGAGGTGGGCGCTCCTCCTCCTCGCGACCAGGGCCCAGCTGGGCCCGCCGGCAGCACCACAAAACCAGCAGTGGGGCGACCACGTCGGCGTGCTCATCGAGCCGAGCGACGCGTCGCCCTACGACTACTTTGGGGACGCCGTCGCGGCGTCGGGCGAGGTCCTGGCCGTCGGCGCCTGGAAGGACGACGACAATGGTATGAAGAACTCGGGCTCGGTCTACCTGTTCCGCATCTCGCCGCACAACGCGGCCTGGCAGCAGCTCGCGAAACTCACGGCGTCGGACGCGGGCCAGGACGACCATTTTGGAAGGAGCGTGGCCATTGATGGGGGTGTGGTAGCTGTAGGAGCCTACTACGACGACGACGCCGGTTCGGCTTCCGGTTCTGTCTACTTGTTCAAGTATGATGGTTCCAGAGAGTGGCCCCAAGTTGCTAAATTAACGGCAGGTGACGCCGCGGCCTACGACCAGTTCGGGCGAAGCTTAGCTATTTCAGGAGGAGTGGTCGCGGTCGGCGCTCATTATGATGACGACGCCGGATCCAATAGTGGAGCGGTCTACGTCTTCCGGACGGACAACGGCGGCGTGACGTGGCCGCAGGTCGCCAAGCTCAAGCCGCACGATGCCAGTGGAGGCGACCAGTTCGGCAACGCCGTGGCCATGAGCGGCGCTGTTATTGCGGTGGCGGCTCCCAGAGACGCCGGCGCCGTCTACCTCTTCCACACGTCTGACGGAGGCGCGACGTGGACGCAGGAAGCGAAACTGACGGAAGATGACTCAGCATTAGTGTTCGGCTACTTCATCGCCTTGCATGATGACGTGTTGGCCGTGTCGCACCCGCGCAAGTTGGGCGGGGACTCGACGGAAGCGGGGCGCGTCCATGTATATAGGAGGAGTAATGGTGAGTGGCCGCGCTGGACTTCGCTGCGGAGCGAGGCGGACGAACCCTTTCAAGTAGCGCTCACGGACGGCGCCCTGGCCGTGGCGAGCGACGCCGTGGCGTACGTCTATTCGAACGTCGACGGCACTTGGGTCGAGGCGGAGCGCCACACGTTTGAAGCGCAATCTGTAAGCGCGGCGATCGGCTCGAGCGGCTACGCGGCCTTCGGGCTGCACGGTGCGTCGCAGGATTTTGCGGGTTCTGTGGCGGTCTACGTGCCGCGCGCGCCTTTGGCGAATCCCGAGGTCGTGGCGGCGTTCGACGGTGTTGGCGCGGGCGACCGCTTCGGTCACAGTGTGGCCCTCTCGCGAGAACTTGTAGTTATTGGTGCGCGCGGCTACGTGTCCCTTTTCACATGTGAGAACCAGACGCATCTACCAGTAGCTGTTTTGTATGGAGCCGGCGACTTTGGCGCTTCCGTGGCTGTGGATGGCGTCGTCGTCGTGGGCGCGCCCTCGGAAAATTATGTACAAGTCTTCCACGCGAACGGCACGCTCGTCACAACACTGACGGCGAATGATGCGACCAACCTCGGCGCGGCCGTGGCCGTCCACGGTTCCATCATAGTGGCGGGCGCGGATGAAGATGATGACCAGCGGGGCGCCGTATACATGTGGCGGGACTACGAATTTATTGGAAGGCTCCAGGCGCATGATGCGCAACCCGGGGACCGCCTCGGCGTCGCCGTCGCCATCGGCGGGCTCGCCCGTGGCGAGGCGTCATTGATCGCGGCGGGCGCGCCCCACCGGCGCGGGTCCGGCGCCGTCGTCGTCTTTGACACAGAAGGTGAAATGAAGGCGGACTTTGGCATGGGTTCGATAGGAGACGGCTTCGGGTCCTCAGTAGCTGTGGAAGATACGACAATTATTATAGGCGCGCCGGGCAACGACGCCAAGGGGTCGAACGCCGGCGCGGCCTACGCGTTCGACTGCCCTGCTAATGCGAACTGCACGGGGCGCGAGTTGATCGCCGATCCACTCGAAGCGGGCGACTGGTTCGGGACAAGCGTGGCGCTGGCGCACGGCGCGGTGGTTGTGGGAGCGGCCGGTAGAGATGAAGGTGGCTCGAACGCGGGCGCTGCTCTCGTCTTCAGACGGAGCGGCGCGGAGTACGTCGCCGGTGCCACTTTAACAGAAAGTGACCCCGAGGCGGACGACGGATTTGGCGGTTCGGTAGCGGCCTTTGGCAACCGAGTTGTGGTCGGCGGCTCGCAACTGTACGGGGGCGGCGCCGGCTTCGCGCGCGTTTTTAAAGACGTGGCGGCGACGGCGGCGCCGCACGCGCTCGGGCCGCTCTGGGCGCCGGAAGACGGGCTCTCTGCGACGGCGCGGCCGTCCACGAGTCCGGCGCCGCGGCCCACGTCCAGTGGTGATAGTAACGGCGGCGGCGACATGGCTGGCGCCGACGTGGCCGCGGCGGCGGCGCTCGGCGCGGCCGCGGCGGGCGGCTTTCTGCTGCTCGGCGTTGGTGTTGGATTGTGCGCCTGGCGGCGGCGGCGGCGCGCGCCCGTCTGGCTCGCGGACGACTGGAAGGACACCCCCGTCGAGGTGACCTTCTCCGATTCGGAGCTCGAGGAGGATTGCGTCGTGGACCTCTAAGCTTGTTTTTGTGTTTTTTTCTTTTCCTTTTGCTTTGCTTAGAGCTCGGCCGCCTAGCCACCCGACCGACGCCTCCCTGCGTGAACGCACGCCCGCCCAGCCCCCGGCCCCGCCCCGAGTGTTAGCTCGGAGGCGGCGACGGCGATGTTCTTCTATTTCCTTCTGGGTGTGCTTTCGATGTGTGCTTGTGCCCTGAACGCCTCCGCGGGTATAGTTCTTTCTAGTGTCTTACAGCCGCTAGCTGGCTTGCGCGCACGACTTTTGGCTTTGGCTCTCGGCGTACAGATACGACCTGGGACCAGCAGCAGCGCAGACTGCTGCGCGCGCCAGCGCAGTCCGCTCCCAAGCACAGATAGCTGCACTGGGGCAGCGCTGCAGCTCTGCACACCAGCAGCTCTCTCAAGCACAAATACAGCTCGTAGCAATGGCAAGCCAGATAAGCCTCCCGCCCGAGGTCCTCAGGCGCGCCAAAGAGGCAGCGGCAGCGGAGGCGCCGGCACCCGCCGCCGACGCGAGCGGCATGGACGCCGCCGAGGAGCAGGCCACACGCGCCGACTTTTTTGAAGCTGTCGAGTACGTGAACACTCAAGCGGTCAAACTCTCCGACGACGCGCAGCGCAAGTTGTTTGGCCTGCACTGTGTGGCGACGAACGGTGCCCCTCCGCCCAATGACTCGCCTTCCTTCAGGACGCTTTACGAAAACATGCAGGAAGGGGAACGCGCGAAGGACGCCGCCTGGCGCTCGGCCCACGAGGAGCACCCGCAGCAGCTGAGCGCCATGCGTGCATATGTGGACGAAGTCACGCGCGAGGTGCCGGACTTCCTGCTCATCGCGCCGGAGGAGGACGCCTCGGACGACCAGCTGGCCAAGGTCAAGAACGACCTGAGCGCGTGCGGCATCAACGAGTCCTCCAACGCGGCGCCGCCGCCGGCGGCCGAAGACGTCTTCGAGGCGGCTAGGGCCGGGGCGGCCAGTTTGAAGGCCTTCGGCGACTTTGATGTCAACGAGATCGACGACTATCACCTGACGCCGCTCATCCACGCTGTCGACGCCGAGAGGGAGGATTCCGCGCGGCTGCTCCTCGACGCCGGCGCGGACGTGAACACGAGCGACGATGACGGCTCGACGCCGTTGCACTACGCAGCGCTCCTGGGGTCGACGCCCCTGGCGACGTTGCTCGCGGACCGTGGCGCGGACCGGTCGCTGAAGGACGGCGACGGGAAGACTGCGGCCGACGTCGCGCGATCCGAGGGATACTCGGAGATTGCGGAGTTGCTCGCCTAATGTTGTTTCAAGACTAGTAGTGGCACCGCGGCGCCCGCGATGTGCACGTAATTGGTTCTTGGGGCCCGTATCGCCTCCACTGCTCGTTGGGAGGATGCTTTGAGGGTCAGAGAGCTCGGGAGAGGGTATTCCAGATTCAAAAAGGCTAGTGGCTAAGGAGAGGCGCCATAATTGAGAGCCCCAGCACAGCCATTAAAGTCGTCTGTTTAGATCGGCACTGCATCGTACACGCCCAGCGTCCGCGCCGATAGGCTTCAGATGTATATATGTGCTGGCGCGCGCGCGCGCGCACGCTAAAACGAGCCCTGCGCGACGCACTGGGCAGTCCGCCAAAAAGCAAGAAACAGCCCACACAAGCCGCCATCGCCGCGCGCGGCCTCGCGACAGCGCACAGAGCTTCGAAACCGCGCACAGAGCCCGCGCGCAGCGAGAAACCGCATCCCGCGCGCAGGCAAACAACTCCCGCGTAACCGGCGGGAAAACCGAGCACAAGCAAAACACACCCACAGCCACAAGCATGCCGTCGAACATCCCCGTCGCCCCCAAGTCCCAGTACGAGATTGAGCGCGACGAGCGCATCAAGCGCAACGAGGCCTTCATGCTGTCCATCGGCATCGACCCCCACGGTGGCGGCTACGTGCTGAGCAGTGCATAAATCAAATCTTGACCTCCACGCCATCGACGAGACTCTGGTTGGTTTCCACACAGATGAAGCAGAACAAGAAGAAGGCGCCGCCGAAGCCGCGCCTGCCCCGCAAGAAGGTGCCCGAGAGCGAGCGCCGCCGCTCGTCGCGCCTCCAGGGCGGCACGGCCGAGCCCGAGCGCCTGACCTACGACGAGTGGTCGGACGACGAGCGGCCGCGCCAGCGCTCGCGCGGCTCCGGCGGCCGCCGCGCGCGCAAGAACCGCCTCGTCGAGCTCTCCGAGGAGCAGCGCGCGGCGCTCGACGAGTTCAACATGGACGATTTCGAGGCGTCCGCGTCGGCGTCCTTCACGAAACCACGCCATCGACGCGACGGCGTGATCACCAGTTCATATGCACACAGGTGGATGGAGCCCGACGGCGAGCACCCCATCTCCGACGACAACCGGCGCCAGGTCATCCGCCAGGTCACGAAGCTCGTGTCCGGCGAGGGCGTCCACTACGCCTCGCCCCAGTACGGCTGGCCGGACGACGTCATCTTCCGCAAGGACGAGCCCGTGACGATGCAGTCGGACGCAGTGCCCAATCAATTCCGAGTTTCACGCCATCGACGCGACGATCTACGCAGGTCTGATATCGGCCAGATCATCGAGGACGCGCGCGACTTCGAGAACGAGCACGGCCGCGACCACGGCAACGGCTGGCTCCTCAACCACCCGCTGCGCAAGCTCCTCTTCTACCAGCACCACCTCGACACGCAGGCGCGGCTCGCGCCGCCGCCCGTCGAGCCCGAGCCCGAGGCCGAGGCCGAGGAGGAGGCCACGCCGGCGAAGGCGAGCGACGCGCTGACGCCCGAGACCGTCAAGGCCCTCCGCGACGCGAAGAAGGCCCTAGACGAGGGCAAGATGGACGAGGAGACCTACACGACGACCAAGGCGGGCCTGCTCGGCAAGCAGACGCCCGCGGCCAAGCCCACGAAGGGCAAGGCGGCCAAGCCCGCGACGACGCCGACGAAGAAGGCGAAGAAGGCCAAGACGGACCCCTTCGGCTGCCCGGACCCCGTGACCGAGGCCCCGGTGCGCCGCGCCAAGAAGCGCGGCGCCGCGTCCACGTCGCTCGTCGGCAAGAAGGTGAACAAGAAATTCAAGGGCTACCGCTCGGCGTCCGGCACGGAGTACTTCGACGGCGTCATCAAGAGCGTCGAGGACGGCATGTGCGTCATCGCGTGGGAGGACGGCGAGGAGTCGCCGATGAAGGACACGGCGGTCCAGAAGATCCTCGTCTAGACGACGTCCCACCAGAGCTCTAGGCGCGCGAGGGCCTAAGACAGAACATACTAACTTACGAGGCGCGGTGCTCCCGGATCTTCGCGGCGATCGCGTCGGCCGGCGTCGCCTGCGTGAAGAAGTCCAGGAACTTGCCGTCGGGGCCCACGAGGTATAGAACAATAGAGTGGTCGATGAGATAGTCGTCGGAGTCCTCGTCGTCGACCGCCCCAATACTACTGTAGACGCGGTACGCCTTCGCGGCCGCCTTGCACTGCGCCGGCGTCCCCACCAGGAACCGCACGCGCTCATCGAAATCCTTCCCGTACGCCCGTAGTTGCCTCAGCGAGTCGCGCCGCGGATCCAACGACACAAATAATGGTGTGGGCGCCTCGTCCCCCAACAACCGCAGCACCTTCTGCACCTTCAGGAGCTCCGACGGGCAGATGTCCGGGCACCGCGAGAAGCCGAAGTAGAGCAACACATACGAGCCGTGGAAGGACGCGTCCGTGACCGGTTTATTTGTTTTCGCGTCGACCAACGTCCAGGGGCCTCCGAGCGACGGCTTACCGTAGGTCGTTTGCTTTTTGGCCGCCTGCTCCTGGCGCCGCGTCTTCTCGACCTCGTAGTAGTACGCTAGTCCACAGCCGGCGGCGCCGGTGACGGCGAGCGCGCCCCAGCCGATCGGGCCGCGCATCGCGTTGGTTGGTTTGGGGGATGCGGCGAAGGCGCGCCGCGTGTTGTTTGGCCGCGGCGCCGCGGCGATGGCGCGCCGCGTGAGGCGGGTCGTCGTGTGGAGCATCGCTTACGCGTGTGCTGCACAGTGATTCAGCAGCCTCGATGCGTCAGAGCGGTTTTGCCAATCGCAGCGATGCCACCGATCAAGGAGTGGCCGCGCACAGTGTGCAGGGTGACGTATTATTGCAGTCCAGGCCCAGGACACGCGTTTATTGCAGCAATCGGCTGCAAAGCTCAGCCTCGAGAGTGCTAGCATGTCTATGAGCTAGGTGATCAGCCAGTTTTACGTTTGTTGCAGCGTGAGGGCCTAGACCGCCTATAAAACATACTCTCCGCACCAAAATGCAGCGCTGCTGTCAACATTTCCATCGCTTTGCCAGCCTTCATGCTTTTGAGCACCTCTAAGGCAGGAGTGCAGCAATGAGCAGCCAAGAGCAGCGCGCGAGACAAAAAAAGACCACACCAATCACGCAAGAGCAAAAGCAAGCCTTGTGGGCCCTCTTCCGCACAACAAATTACGCCCACGACGCGCTGCCGCGGCCCGGCCACGACGCCCCGTTGGACGCGCTCGCGGCGAAGCTGCAGCTCACGTACACGCAGTGCGCGCGGCAGTACGGCATTTATCGAAGGAGCCGGCGCGACGATGTATGTCATACGCTGTCGCCGGCGGCCCACGCGCGGCGCGCGTTCGGTGTGAGCGGCACGCTGCGCAACCGGCTGCGGTCGATCGCCCGCGACGCGGCCTTCGTGCGGGAACTCGCGGCGAAAATCCCGCTTCCGGTCGTGGCGAACGCCCGGGCGGGCTGCTGGTACGCTCATACAAAGCACGTGGCCCGCTTCAAGTCGACGGACGGCCACCGCGGGCAGTGGGCGCTTTCATTAAGACGACTCAATCTGGACTTCCTGCGCATTGTGGTGACTCATAATGGCGCTCTACTGGTCGACGCGACGCGGCGCGGGCGGTCCTTGCCCGACGCGCTGTCGAAGACGGTGCCGATCTGGTGCTGCTGCGTGAACCGCGCGGCGGGGTTTGCGGCGGAAGAGCTCCGCTTGCCCCCGTGCGTGGCCGACGCGGAAGCGAGAGAAATTGAGGCGCGCCTGGACGCCTGCGTTTCATTAATGAGGCAGCACGCGCCCCATTTATCATTAAAGAAGCCGCTCCGCTGCGTGTGGGTCGTCAATGGCGACGATACCTCCATTGCATTACCAGAGGACGCCACGCCCATTATCTGCGTGTCGGCGTCGGCACCAAATGGTGATCTTCAGGGCGCGGCCGACGACGAGGAGGCCTGGGCGCCGCCGGGATTCACGGCGGACGTCTTCTGGCGGAACCCGCAAATTTTGGAAGAGGCCTCGGATGATGCTGTGGAGGCGGCCGTTGCGGCGGCCGCGGCCGCGGCGCCGGCGGCGCCGTGCGAAGAGGCGGAGCCCTACGACTACGTGGTGTTAATGCGGCGTCCTTTTTTTTGCGACCCCGCGGCCGTCTTAGGAGCCTCCACGCGCCGTCGACCCACGACGGTCGCGGCGATGGCGTGCCGTTGTCGCGCGAGCAACAGCACGAGAGAGTCTACACCGCCTCCACGCCGTCGACGCGACTCCCGCGCAGGCGCCGGGCCTCGCCGTCGGCTCGCGGCGGGCCGGGCGGCCGCCGGAGTGCTGGGCCGCCTTTGACGCCGTCGTGAACGTGACGCAGGACGAGTACGCGGGCATGGCCGGCGACGCGCGCTACCTCCAGGTGCCCGTGGCTGAAGGAAAGCGCGACAAGGGGGGCCTCGTGCGGCACCTGCCCGCGGCGCTGCGGTTCATTGCGGCGCGGCTCGCGAAGGGCGACCGCGTGCTCGTCCACTGCGCCCAGGGGCGGGACCGGAGTGTGGGCGTCGCCCTCGCGGTGCTCGCGACGTGTTTTGACGAGGACCTCGCCCTCGACGCGGAACGGTGCGCGGCCGTCGCCGCGGGTGGAACGGTGGCGCTCGACCGCGGCCGCGGCAAGGAGCTGCTGTGTCGGCTCCTCAACGTTGTTGTCAAGGCGCGGCCGCGGGCGGAGCCGTCGCGCGCGACGATGGCTGCACCGTTTTTTTATGGAGTAAATGTGTGATCATTGTGTGATTTGTATCCACGTTCCACGCCACGTCCGCGCTATGGCGTGAGGAGCAAGTTCAGACAACAATAGTTAGGTCTTCGCGCTAGAACCGGCGATCTCGGCGTCGAGCGCCTCCCGCGCGCGGAGGATCTTGGACTGGAGGTAGAAGGAGCCGCCTTTCGACGGGTCGTTCATGGCGTAGAGCTTGTCGTAGCGCGCGGCGACCTGCGCCGCGTCGGCCGCGCCGCCCTCGGGCAGGTGCAGGATCTCCGCCGCCTCGGTGGGCGTCATGGCGCCGCGCTTCGGCTTGAGGGCCTCCTTCGCGGCCGTCGCGCCCTCCTTCCGCGCGTTGTGCAGCGCCTGCTGGTAGGCCGTCGCGAACGCGCGAAAGAGCGGCACGGCGGCCTGCGCTAGCATGCGGACAAAGGGCCCTAGACCCGGCGCCATCCGTTTGCTGCTCGTCAAGTGGCACTCTCCAGCTGCAGCGTCACTGCTTCGGCGTGGCCCAGCGCGTGGTCGAGAAGAGATGCGCGGCGACAAATGTCCACGTTATGCGGTATTGTCACGCGTCTAGCACCTCGTGTAATCGCTTGTGCCGCGACTGCACTCGACCGCCATCGACGACGCCCTAGCGGCATCACATACTAGCCGCAGTCTCCAACGCCGTCGACGCGACGGCATCGACGCGAGACACGTCGCGAGACGCGACGCCGTCGCCGCGACACGGGAAGGAAAACATTGAAACAAGTTATAGCTTCGGCAGCGTCGTCGTCGCGGCCTCCTCAGCCGCCAGCTTCGCTACATCCCCCCGGACCTTCTCGCCATTCCCCCGGAGCTTCGCGAGCAGTTCCTCCCGGCCCCCGCCCGCGGGCCCGGGCTCGGGCCCGACGTTCGGCCGCCGCAGGCGTCCGCCGAGGGTCATGAGGTCGTAGTCGCCGAGTGCTTTCGGGTTGCACTCCTTCCAACGCGTGCAGGTCTCCACCATGAACGCGAGCGGCGGCTTGCGCTCGAACTCGAGGACGCGCTCGTGGTCGAGCGTCGCGAGGCCCCCGGGCAGCGAGAGGTTCGGCCGGAGCCCCTCCAGCCCGCTGGCTAAAGCACAAAGCAGGCAGCCCGCGCTCTGCGCCGCCTCGAGGCCCGGTTGCGTGGCGTCGCAGGCGAGGCACGCCGGCGCGTCGACGCCGAGGCGCTGCGCCGCCTTGACGTAGAGGTTCTCGGCCTCGTCGTCGGCCGTCACGACGGCGGACATGGAGTAGCGCAGGTCGGGGTGGCGCCCCAGCCTCGCGTCGAAGGTCGCCTGCGTGCCGCTCGTCACCGCGGCCAGCGGGATTTTCCGGTCCACGAGGCCCTGGACCAGGTCGACGGCGCCCGGCCGCGGCTCGCCGTCGTCCTGGAGTAAGGCGTCGACGTCGAAGATGACGGCGTCGATTTTTAATGGGGCGAAGGTGGCCATCTCAGTCTCTGCTGCTCTGTGGTGTGGGCAGCCTTTTGCCGGGCTTCGCGGCGGCGTTGGTCGCCGGAAGAGTCAAAGGCTGCCTTATTGTTGCTCCTTGACGCTCGGAGCGATCGAGCGCCGGCGTATTTGCGAGGCGCGCGGGCTCGAGCACGCCTTGAGATGGTGACGGGTTTTTCGGGCGACCGAAATTCAATTTCACTGATTAGGACACTAAGGACGCATGGGGGGCGTCATTAGACGGGTATTTTGCCCTTCTCTCACTTCAAGTCAGATGCAAAACAGCAAATCCCTCCGAGGTCAAAACAGCCGCGTACGAGGCCAGACAATTTGCTTTCGCTGGCTGGACGCTTGGAGGAGCACCGCATCAATCCAGCGGAACGCTCACAGCAGCGTGGTACGCGTGAAAATGCGCATTTAGCACAAAGCAAAGCAGACCAGCTGGCAAGCCTCATAGCGAAATGGCTAAGCGCCCGTCAATCGACGGCGACGACGAAGAACCGGCGAAGACAGACGAAGGCCGGGCCGCAACACCGAATCCTACTTCGCCGGGCGAGATCAAACTAGGCGGGCCGGGCGCGCCGCAGTCGCCAAGCGAGCCCATGTCGCCCAGCGAGGCGTTCAAGCGGCCGCGCCTCGCCGCCGAGGCGCGGCAGCCAATCCAGACGAAGGCGCGCGAGCCGCGGCCGCTCTGGCGCGACACCGCCCAGGAGTCGGACGCGCCGCCGATGCCTCCGAGACGACGGCCAGAGCCCAGGCCGCGCGCGGGCTCGGCAGAAAGCCCGTCCTTGCCGCCCGCCCGTCCGCTCGGGACGGCCGCCGGGTCGCCGACGCTGTCGCGCAAAGCCGCGCCGGCGCCGGCGCCGGCGCCGGCCGCGGCGGACGCCGCGGACGCCGCGGAGGAATCCGAGGCGCCGACGCCTGACGTGCCGCTGTCCCGCCCGCTTGGAACGGGCCCGGAGTCGCCGCAGGTCCCGCGGAAATGACGCCGAAATTAGCCCCGCGCGCCCGCGACGGCGCGCGACACCGAAACTGTACTCGCTTCGCCCATGACGATACCCCATGAAAAACAGTAATATGTAAGTTGCCGAAAATTTGCGAGGGGTCGCGGCGATGGCGTGCTGGGTGGTAGCGTGTGTACGTACCGCGATGGGTCTGGCCCGAGAATTGGTGGCGTCTTGCCGCCCCCGAGTTTGTTTGTTTTATGTCATGATATTATTCGGGGGAGGAGAAGAAGGTGATGTGTGTAGTAGGAAGTCGCCGCTGGTTTTTCGACCGGCGGCCCTTCGCGTTTGTCCGACCGGATTCACTGGAACGCCCCCGGGCCGCAACCACCCAACCCACAGTCCTCGCAGCGGCACCAGATATTGCGAGACCCGACCTTGTGGAACCCCATCGCGGCCCACTCGCACCAGTGCTCGAGGGAATCCGTGTCAGGGAGCGAAAGCGTCTCCTGATCCAAGTATCCCAGGGACACCAAGACCAATGTCCCCAAGGTGGCGAATATGGTGCCGAGGGCGATTCCGACCCACAGGCTCACGGCGTGGAAACCGCCGCAGGCTGCGAGCGGGACTCCTAAGACAGGGAGCAGTGGGCCGGGGCCACTGCGCAAATCAAGGCCTTCCGGCGGCGCGACCTCATTCTTTATCGCGCCCGACATTTCAGATGGTGGTAAATTGAATGATGATGGTGATAGGCGAGAGCTAGGCGTGCGGACTACGTAGACCAAGCGCGCCGAGCCAGGCTGGGCCTGCCGATGGCACCCGTTTTAATCGGACGGATACACACAAAAACACAATTACACGCACCCCCTCAACGCAGCAAGCGGCCGCCGATCAACATCGAACGGCGCCAGCCACACACCCAAAGCCGCGGGCCCGTCACCGGCAAGCAAAGGCGGCGTTGCCTGGGACGCGACATACGAAGCGAGCTCCGCCGAGAGGACCGCCACTCCATCAAAGTGCTCGGGCGCGACGCCTAATTTTGTCCGTTCCTCGAGGCTCGCGGGCAGCGGGACGTTCCGCGACGGAGCCGCGCCGGCGTAGAGCGGGCCGCTCCTCATTTCAAGTTCCTTTCGGAGAGATGAGAGACATGGAGCTACGTTTCCACCAAAGACGACGACCACGTGCTTCGCGGACGTCCGTCTCAATCCAGCGCGCAGGTCCGGTCCGGCCACGCAGGGCACATCCACGGCGCAGGCCCCCTTTGTCATCACGACGGCGAGACCCTGGCTGGGCAATGCGGGCACTGACGCAAGCGCGGGGCGCGCGCGCGGCGCCGCGGCCGCGGCAGCCGACGCGACGCGCACGCACTTCTCCACGGGCACACTGCGAGGGAGCTGCTTGAAGCCGCAGCCCGACCCGTAGAGGTCCCAGGCCGAGCCGTTGGCGTAGCGCTGGGCCATGATCCGGGCGCACGCCCGTTTCCGCTCGGCCGAGACCTGCGTGTGGAAATGCGTCTGCACGATGGCTTGGAGGTTCTAACGCCATCGACGCGACGTCGTCTCCGTAAGTGCGTCTGCACGATGGCGCGATTTCCACACGGACGCGAGACGCCCGCGAGATTCTTCTGGTTCGGGTAGTAGTGGTCCGTCATCGCTCTCAAATTGAGACGTTTCACGTCGAAGCCGACGACCCAGTTCCCGAAGCACGTGTCCTCGTGCAGGTGGTGGTACAAGGGCGCCGGCGGCCGGGCCACGAACCTCGCGACATCATACGAGACGCCGTAGCCGTGGCCCCCGAAGTGCGGCGGGTCTGATGTTAAACCAAGATTGACCTCGAGCGGCTTGCCCGCCTCTAAAGCTCGTCCGGCCTTGACGCGGCGCCCCGCATAGACACTCGCACCTTTTGGAGCCGCCCGCAGGTCCTTGACGAGCTGCGCAATACATAGAGTAGCGTCGTCGTCCGTCTTGAAGAAGAAGTCGAAGTCGTACAACTGAACGGCCTTCCGGATGGCACAAGAGACCTTGCCGATAATATGGTCGAACCCGGGTTCCGTGTCGCACACCAGTAAGTCGTCTCGCTTCGACCGCTCCTCGACGAAGGCGGCTCCTTCATACCCCGGGTCCCTTTCTGACACCACGAACCAAAGCTTCGTCCGGAAGCCGCCCGGCTGCCCGTAGCCATTTCTGATAGCGTCTCTATGTGGTCTATGATTTGGTACTGTTAACACGGCGAAGACGACCTCGTAGTAGGGCTTCGCGTCTTGCGCGCATGTCAAAGCGAGCCAGGGGAGGAGGCGGCGCATTGGGGCAGCGTATGTGTCGCGTGCTTGGTCTTGGGCAGCGCAGAATCGCGTGGGAGCGCGCGCTCGGTCTGTCCGGAGCAGCCCGCGCACCGCTGTGCTCCGCTCGAGCTGTGCGCACTTTTGGCAAAGTTTTGGCCTATCCTAGTAGGTCTACGAAGCTAGGTCGACCAGGTCTTGCCGCCTCAGCTTTTTGGCACCTTACAGCCTGCAGCGGCCGAAGCGCAGTCGTGTTGAAATACAAGACTTACGAGTCACAACGACGGAGGCGCCGGGACCTCACGCCTCGTAGTTCTCGAGCTCGATGGACGACATGTGGTGGAACACGTGGATCTCGTCGTCCCCGCCCCCCGGCGGGAAGTCGGGGATCAAGTCGTCGGCGTCGTCGTCGGCCGGGTCAGGCCAGGTCAGACAGGTCGCGGGCAGCTGGGAGATCCGCGAGCGGAGCGCGACGCCGAAGGCCTTGAACGTCTGCTGCGCGACGTCGTCGAAGAGGAAGGGCAGCGTGTGGGAAGTCGGCATCACTGCAAATTCGTTGCAGAACACGTCCATCTCGTCGGCGTGGTCCCGGGCGTGCCTTTCGGCGCGCGTGGCGGCGCCGTCGTCGTCCGTGAACGCGTGCGCGACCAGGTCGAAGACCTCGAAGCCCTCCCGGACGTCGACGCCGCCGACGAGGTGCTCCTGGATGTTGTCCAGGTCCATGCCGAACTGCTGGAAGTCGTCGCGCAATTTGGCCGAGAAGCTCTCGACCATTTCCTTCGCCGCTGCGCCCTCCTTGAACATCGTCTGGTAGAGGTTGTCCGCCGCAGTTTGTAGCGGAGTCGTTCCTGAGACTCCCTTTTCATGACGCTTGAACTCACTCTTCTTGTGCGCCTTCAGCTCGATGATGCCGAAGTTGTTCGGGTGGTTGCTCGAAATGACCCCCGGTGCCAATCGCTCGAGGAGTTTGTTGTCGTTCCGCGCCGCCGCAAACTCCCTCAAGCGTCCTACCAAGGCCACTCGCGACGTTGGATAGATGCGCATGTTGGTCAATATGGCTTTCCGCGACTGAAAAGCGAGCGACGCCTTGACGTACCGGCCGAGGCGCTCCACGTAGACAACCGTCGTCACGTGCATGTGACCGCATTCGCCAGACGCACCGCTTCGCAACCGCGCGAGAATGGTGTCCTTGCGGTCCTTGGGCCGGTCCTTGATCCTCTCGCGCGTCTCAGACTCCGGCACGAACACGTCCGAGAAGGCGTAAAAGGGGTCCGTGCTTTTGTTGAAGACCTCGGCAGCCGACGCGAGGCTGCCATTAATGGGAGTCAACCCCGTCCATATCTCAAGATCACGATCCTCGATACGGTCGATCCAGTCGTTGACGCAGCCCTCGACGGCCTCGCGGTCTAATAACACGACCTGGCCGTTGTAGAGCAGCGGCGCGCCGTAGGCACACTCTATGGCCGCGGCCGTGGCCTGGTCGTGGCACAGCGCGCCGACCGTCGACAGACAGATGCACGCCTCGGCCTTCTTGCAGATGTCGATCACAGGAGTTCCATCTTCTTCCTCTGCTTGCTTGGCGAAGTCCGAGCGCAACTTGAAGAGCGGCGGCGGCGGCGGTTGCGCGGCGCCGCGGCGACCCGCGCCGACCGCGGCCGGTGCCGCGCGCGGCGCCCCGAGCCCGAGGGCCAGGATGCCCGGCCCGCCGTTGCGGCCCCGCGTCACCTCCGTGACCACCAGGCGCCGTTTCGGCGGCTCCTCGGCCATATTATCAATTCAGGTCAATTTTTTTTTTCAGTGCTGATTTTGCTGTCGTGCGTACGCGCCGACTGAATTCGTGCACGGGCGTCCTCGCGTGTGCGGACAGCGCGCGAGACGAGGTTTTGCGCCTCCCAAGCGGTGAGTAAAGGCGATGTGTATTGACCTGAGAAACCCGTTTTTTCCACACGGCCTTGAAAAAAAGCCATTTTGCCTCGACGAAGCATAGGTCAAAGGCGGACTGGTACTCCCCGGAGCCATTAAAGGGGGAGCTATCTGCGGCTTTGCTCCGTGCCGGTCGGCGCGCATCAGCAAACTCGACCTCCAGGAGCTCCCACTACATCCTCGGTGCACCGCTCCCAACTGGCGCGAGGCCTCGGCCTCGGGTTCGAGGCGTCGCGGCGCCAGCCAGGGCTTGACGCTAGCGGCCTGTAAGACACTAGAGCAAGCCTTGGCCTCGTCCCCTGGTGTGCCTTGCCGCGCGCGATAGCTGCCCCGCGCTCCGCTTTGCAGCCGTGATCATATATCAGCTCCGTCGGACCATGGGCGTCGACGAGTTTCGATGGCTGGTCCACAGATCGATGCAGCAGCACTGCGCCAAGCAATCCAAGACCGAGGTACGCAACCACATCAACGCGCTCCGCCAGCAGACCGACACCCCACCACCAGCGCCCGGTCGCCTCTCAGTCTTCAGCCGGCCGCGCGGAACCGCCGCGCCGCGGCCCGTGGGCCAGGGCGGGCAGCGCCGCCAGATCCTCGTCGCGGTCGACATGGGGCCCCTCGCCCTCGCGTGGGCGTCGAAGCGGTTCCCAGACGAGTGCATCACGCCGCCGAAACCGCCCCTAGACCAGCAGAAACAGGAGGCCAAAAACACGACGGACCGCGCATTTAGTTTCTTGATGGACTGCGGCTTCGACGGGCCCATCGCCGTCTTCGACATGAACCTCGCAGCCAACTATTTCAACTCGGAGAACGCGACGGGCGGCTTCCGCGACCCTTCGGTGGCCGCGGGGCCGCACGGGCCGGTCCGCTACGCCGTAGGCGACGGTCGGCTGGAGTTCTACCAGATCTGCGAATGGCTGTACGGCGAGCTGACGAGCCGCGGGGTCCGGTGCGTGCAGGCCTGGACCTCGAACGCCGACGCGAAGGTCGCGGAACTCGTCCGCGATGGCTTCGAGGGCCACAAGGTGGCGTGCGCGTACTCGACGGACTGCGACGTGTACGTAAATTCGCCCAAGTCCATCGTCGGCCTCCACTTCAAGGACGGCCGGAAGGACCAGCGGACGCCCGTCGTCTGCCTCTTCGACCGTGACCAGTGCTTGATGGACCGAGGTATTTTGCCGATTTTGCCTCCCGTCGCCGCGGACAAGGACGCCGCCCGCGACGTCCTCGCCGTCTTCGCGGCCCTCGGCCGCTTAACGTCGGACCGGGTCAAGAAGCGCAAGTCGCGCCTCGACGCCACCAACCCGTGCGTCTTGTATCAGATGATGAGGAACCCAAACAACGCCGGCGCCGCCTGCGGTGCGAACTCGAAGCTCGAGCTCGTCGAGGACTACGTCCTCCCCGCGCTCGTCCAGATCCGCAAGTGCGGGCCGACACCCGGTCCGGGCGGCAGCTCCGACATCCTCGACATGCTCGACCACCACATGACGTCCGACTTCAACAACACCTTCCTGGGGGCAAATCGCCGCGGCGTCCTGGGCCTGTCGAACAAAGGCCGCGATGGAGCGAACGCCATCCTCGAACGCTACGAGAGACTCACGGCGACCGAACGCACCGAGCTCCGCGCCTTCCGCGACTGGACGCGGGACAACATCACGATGCTTTAGCTTAGAGAGGGGGGGTTTCGGCTTCTCTTTAAGTGAGACGATGTAGACGATGTAGCTCGACCCAGCGATAGAGCCACTAGCACCAAAAAGCCGCCGGCAACGGGAGAGAAGCAGCAGCACTGTGCCAAGCAATCCAAGACCGAGGTACGCAACCACATCAACGCGCTGCGGCACCAGACCGACGCCCCACCACCAGCGCCCAGCCTGAACTAGTCACTGCGCGGGCGCACTGCGTGCGGCGCTCACAAGGATCAATCTCAGCGGCGCGGCGCGGCGCGTGGAGCGTATAAATGAGCGACCCACCCTCCAGCGCGCGTTCTGAGGCGTCCGAGTCGACTGCGTCGACCACATCCACAACTACGGCGTCGGCGGCCGACGTCTCGCCGGGAACGCGGCGCCGACGGATGCTCGAAGCGCTCGAGCGCCGGAACGTACCAGCCGCCCGGAAAGCAAAAAAGCGGCGGCCGCAGCGCGTCGCGCCGGCGCCGGCGCGGCCGCGTCCGCCGGCGCCGGCGCCGCAGCGACGACCAACGCCACCCGCGCCGGCGCCACCGCGGCCACAGATACCGCCACCGCAGCAGCAAGGCGTGGTCGCCCCGGACGCCCTGCGCCGCGCGCTCGAGCTGTCCATGGCGGCCACAGCCGGCGACGCCGAGGACGACCTGCAGCGCGCGCTGGCCCTGTCGCGCGCCGAGGCGGGCATCGAGGCGCCGCCGTCGGCAGCCAACCCGCCCGTGGACCTGGCGCGCGCGCTGGCGGCGGCGCGCGCGGCGAGCGCCCCGGAGGACGAGTTGGAACGAGCGCTGGCGGCGTCGCGGGCCGACAACGACGCGGCGCTCGTGGCGGAGTGCCGGGCCGTAGATGCCGCGCGCGTCGCCGCGGAGGCCGACGCCGAAGCGCTAGCGGAAAGGCGGGCGGCGGAGGAACGCGAGCGCGAGGATCTAGTGATCAGCGGCGTCGGCGCTGCCGCGGACGCCGCCCGCGACGCCATCGTCGCGTCGACGGACGCGCTGGCGGCGGCGCTCTTTGAGCGGCCCGCTCTGAAGGCGCTGTTCGTCGACGGCGGCGAGGCCGCGCGGCGCGGCGTGGTGAAGCTGCTCTCGCTCGGGCGGAGTGCGGCGAAGTGGTATCCGCTGCACGCGCCGGCCGTCCTGCGCCCGTGTGGAAATCGAATTTCATACATTCTGCTCGATGGCGTAAAGGTGACGGAGACTCACTGGTTGACTTCCACGCAGGTCCTGCGGGAACGGGCCACGGCGCTCGAAGCGACGGTCGTGGCGGTCGACGCCGAGGTCGAAGTGTTGGAAACGGCACTGTTTGCCATGCCGGAAGACGGCCGGCACGGCTGCGTGCCGCGGCTGTTCCTCGGCGACGCCGCGGAGGGAGTCATCGACCTTTCTGAGGCGCCAGAGGTAGTGAGTGCTCCGGCCGCGCCGGAACCTGTCGAGCCTGCACCCGGTGTGGCACCGCAGCAGCCGGCCACGCTGGATACGCCGGGCGAATGATATGTGTGATGTACTACGTATAAGTTAAGTTAGCTAGGTGCGCGTCTCGAGCGCGCCGCGGAGGACGTCGCCGAGCCGGCCCGCGGCCTGGGCCTCGTCGCGGACGCGGCGCAGCACGTCGGCCGCGTCCGGCCGCCCGGCCGACGCGGGGCCGTGCTGCTTGGCGAGAGGCGGCGGCCCGCCGCAGAGGAACCACGGCGACATGGGCGACACGTTCGCGGCGGCGGGCGCGCGCGCGGGCACGGCGAGGCCGAAGCTCGGCGCCGACGCGTCCGTCGCCGGGTCCCAGGCGCGCACGCCGGGCGGCGGCGGCGCGAGCGGCGGCGGCGGTCGGGAGGCGGGCGCCGGCGCCGCCGCGGGTGGCGGCGCGGGCGCGGGCGCGGCGGGCGCCGGCGCCGCGGCGGCCGGCGCGGCGACGCGGTTCGCCGGCGGCCGCGGGTCGACGTCGACGTGGTACGCGTCCGGGTCGCGCGGCGGCGCGGGCGCGGGCGCCGGCGCGGGGGCCGGCGGCGCGTCGGCCTCGAAGGGCGCGCCGCGCCGTCCGCCGACGTCGGGGGAGAGCGCGCCCGAGATCTCGGCTTGCGCGGCGCGCGTGAGCTTGGCCGGCTGCCGGGCCGGGGCCGAGTAGAGGACGGGCGGGCCCTTGCGCTTGCGCGACGGCGCGGGGGCCTCAGCTTCCGCGGGGGTTGGCGTAGTCGCTTCCCCATCCGCGGACGCGGCGCGCTGCGTGGCGACGAGGCGCTCGACGAGTGCCGCCTTGAGGCCCTTCGTGTCGGCGCCCGCGGCCTCGAGCGCGGCGCGGAGCTTGGGCACTGTCAGTTTTTTGGCGGCCTTCGTCGCCTCGGTCTCGTCAAAGGCGGAAGCCGGGGCAGCGCGTTTCGCCGGCGGCGGTGCGGGCGCCTCGGCGGCTGCCGCGCGCTTGCGCGGCCGTGCTGCTGGCTTTGATGCTGGCTTGGCCGGCGGGGCCTCGACCTCAGTCGCCTCGCTAGCCGCCGCTGCGGCTCGTCTCGCGGGCTTCTTTTTGGCCGGGCCGTCTTCAGCCTTGGCCTTGGCCGCTCGCTTGCGCGGCGGCATCGTAGGCGCAGGGGTCCCACGCGGATGCACGATTATTTTGGCTCAGCGAAAGTGTTGTTCGCTGTGGGAATGGGGCAGATGGGCTGGTCAAATGCTTCACCCGCGATGCACTCCGGTGGCTCGTGTGTTACTGCCGCTAGCTCAGAAATATAATCCCAAAATGCTTCTCACGCTCAGGCATGACTACGGGCAGCTGATCATGCTGCCCTCCCCAACCAAGAAGGCCACGAGCATCCTGCCGGAGCACCAAACCGATAAGCCGGCAAAGGCTGGGGGCCACGGGCTGCGCATAGCACTATGCTTGGCGGCCGCGGTGCTCGTCGCAGGCGTCGTAACGATCGCAATCGTGCTCACGACGAGCGACGGCAAAAAGAACAACCATAGCGACAGCCCCGGCGTCGCCGCCGCCTACGCCGCCGCCTTCGCGTCGTCGCCGCCGCTGACCGTGGCGACGTATGATGACTGCGCCCAACTCCTCGCCGCGCGCGAGTCGTCGGGCCCCTGCCCCGCGAGGGGCGGCGCCGACAACGCCCCGCGCCGCATCAAGGAGGTCCGGGGCGGCCGCTGCCGGAGCCGCGACGGCTGGCTGCGGGGCGGGCCCGTCTTCGCGACGGCCGAGGACGGCGGCGCCGAGGACACCCCTACCTCAGAGGACTTCTCGGGCACGAACGTGCAGGAGGAAGGCGTCGACGAGGCGGACACGGTCAAGACGTCCGGCGACTTCATCTACAAGGTCGGGGAGATACGGGGCGGCGAGCGCGAGGACGACGGGTCGTTGGAGGACTGCGCCTATCGCCTGTCCGTGGTGGAGGACGGAGTGGACGGTCTCGAACTCGTCGCTTCTGTAGACCTGGAACCGCTGGCGACGACGCCCGAGGCCATGTTCGTGCAAGGTGACGTGCTACTCCTCTACGGGAGCGCTGAGGTGATCTACGACGATACCGATGCGAAAAGCGACGACTACGACTACTGTAATAAAGGTGAGCCCGCGACGGTGGTCCTGACCTTCGACATCACCAATCCGGCGCCCGTACTGCTGCGACGGCAAATTATCGAGGGCTCCTACGTGAGCGCGCGAAAGGTCGACTCGTACGCTTATTTGGTGCTCGCCAGGCGGACGTACTGGGCCGACCCCCGGTCCAGCGTGCCCTTCTACCAGCGCGAAAACTCGACGTGGATGGAGCCGGCCGTGGCGTGCGACGAGGTCGTGTTCCTCAATACCGTATCTGAAAACTTAGACGACTTTACGGTGGTGGCCGCGATTGATATGGACGACGTAGACGCAGAAACGACGTTCCAGGTCATTGCTGGCAAAGCCGCCGACGGCGCGGTCTACGCCTCCCGAAACAATATTTACCTCGTGCTGGCGGAGTGGACCTACTATCAGAGCGCTTCCTATACACGTTCCGTGTTCCTGAAGCTGCGGTTAAGTGGTCCAGAGGTCGCCTTCGACACGATGATGTGGGCCCCAGGCCAGCTACTCAATCAGTACGCCATGAGCGAGGCGGACGGGATGTTTAGGGCAGCGACGACGTCGAGGGCGGTCTCGGGCTGGTGGTTCGACACGAGCAACAACCTCTACGCCTTCGACGCGGCAGGCAACGAAGTAGGTGCCGTCGAGGGCCTCGCGCCGGGCGAGACCATCAAGGCCGTGCGCTTTACTACGGATAGGTGTTATTTGGTGACCTTTGTGCAGACTGATCCGTTGTTCTCGGTGCATAAATCAAACTGTGACGGCGCTCGCTTCGATGGCGTGGCGGCCGCACCCGACTCACTGATTGATTTGCGCACAGGTTGTTCGTCATTTCTCTCGACGATGCGGTCCCGAAGGTGCTGGGCGAGCTCAAGATCCCGGGCTTCTCGTCGTACCTCCACCCGGTCAACGCCACCCATATGATAGGAGTGGGCCGCGACGCGGACCCGGAGACGGGCACGGAGCGGGGCCTCCAGTTCTCGCTGTTCGACGTCTCTGACGAGCTCAATCCGCGCCAGGCCGCCGTGCTCGTTGTCGCTGACCGCGGCTCGGACTCCGAGGCCCTAGACGACGCCAAGGCCTTCCAGTTCTGGTCCGCGAGCGACCTACGCGCCGCCGGCGTCGCCTCGCCGGGAATCTTCGCCGTGCCTGCCCAACTCGCGTCGCTGGCGCTCGCGAAAGAACGGGGCTCCACCGATACGTCGGTCTGGGCGACGGGCGCGAACTACTTCCAAGGGTTACTCATGTTGGATGCTGTGTGGAAATTAACCAGTGAGTTAGATTATTGCGGAGACCTTTGTGAACCTCCACGCCATCGAGCTGCCGCCGTTCCGGGGACAACGTCGCGTCGATGACGTAGAATCTCCACACCATTGAGCAGACGCGGTCACAAGGACCATGGCGCGTCAATGGCATGGGGCGCTTGATATTTGATTTCCACACAGGCTGGATGTCGCCCTAAATCCGTTGGGCAACGTGACGCATTTGAGTCCCGAATTCTGGGACGAGGACGACGACGACAACAACAACTACTGGTGGGCCTACTCCCAGCGGAGCTCGGCTTCCTCGGGCGGCCACGTCACGCGGTCGCTGCGCCGCGGCGACGCCGTCTACACGTTCTCGGACAACTTCGTCGCCAAGACGTCCCTCGAAGACGGGCGGTCGCTAGGCACCGCCTCGCTCGCCGTCAACGCGACGTACTCCGAGTACGACGATGACTACGGATATTGGTACTATGTGTGGTAAGTTACTCTGTTTTGAACTCCGAGGCGAACGCCGCGCGTCGGGCGAAGGCCTCCTCGCGCGTCTCCGCCTCCGCGACATGTCTCTCCGCGCGGACCGCCGACCGCGCCAGGCGCGACGCCCTTCCTAAATCGTGCGCGTCGCGCCGCGCGGCGGCATCCAGCGCGCACTTCGCGTGGAGCTGCGCGTCGTCGCGCCAGGCCTCGGCGAGGCGTCTTTTAGAGGACGCCCGTTTTCGCAGCGCCCGGCATTGGTCCTTCTGCTTCCGCACGCGGTCCCGCAGTTCCGCAACGTCCGCCGCGCCAGGACCTCTATTACCAGGCAGCGCCGCCGCCATCCGCTGCACGCTCTCGAAGGCGTCGCGCTCGGCCTGCGCCGCCGCGACCCAGGGCGCGCCTTCATCTTCCCCGCGCCGCGCCGCCGACCGGCGCTGCGCCGCTCTCTCTAAGGTTTCGAGGCACTTGGCCAGTTCTAGTTCGGCCTGCTTGGTCTGCGCTTCGGCCTTGAGTTCCCGCTGCCGCGCCTTGTCGCGCTTCTCCCTCAGTGAATCGAGACCGCTCTGCATCTCGTCGAACGCGTCGTCGTCCTCCTCCTCGGAACGGCGGCGCCGCGGCGGAGGTGGAGGAGCGTCGTGGGGCATGCGCGCGGCGGCCTTGGCCTTCGTGCGCGTGCCCGCGCGCGCGCGCCGGGCGTAGTCCGCGCGCTTTCTAGCTTGTTGGACCTGCTTCTCGAGGTCCGCCACGTCAATGGCCAGCTTCTCGATTTCCGAGAGGCGCGCGGCGCGGCTGCCCGTCGATTGATTGGTGGTATATGAGTCCGTCTGGAGCTGCTGGGCGACCCAGGCCTTGGCTTTCGCCGTCGCGGCGGCGCTGCTGGGGAGGAGGACCATGGTTGTGTTGTTGGGCTGCCTTTACGTCGTCGTCGCGTCGCGTCGGCAGCGTCGCAGCCCGGCCGGCAACGCGTCGGATTTTGAAGTGGTGCGGGGTGCGGCGCGGAAATCAAGTCTCTTGTCACATAGAACAGATACTTAGTAGCTTCCCGGATGACCCCAGAACGACATGATGACGTGGAGGACGTCGTCGGGCGCGCGCGGGGCGACGTGACGCCGGAGAAGACTCACAAGCCTGCGCCGCTCGTCGCGTTCGTAGAGAAATATACCGCCCGCTGCAAAGACTCGTTCGAGGTAGGGCAAGTTCACTCGCATCGCCTTGGGGTCGTAGGTTACCCAGCTGTGACGTCGGTTACCCAAAATCAACCGCCTGGAGTCGATGAACCGCCGCATATTGAAGTTTGCGTCAGTCGCAGGGGGTACGCGTAGGAGCGGATGGAGCCCACGCGGGCTGCCATCGTGCACCGTCCCCTGCAGTATGTCGACCGAGGCTTCCGCGCCCGCATCCAGGAGTGGGACGATGCACCGGGGATGTTTGTGCTCGGTCGCGGCGTAGAACAAAGCCGAGGCCGCGTCCTCGTCCTCGTAGTGGACATTGGCGCCTGCCGCGATGAGCGCGACGCAACATTCCCGGCTGTTCTCTTCAGCAGCCAACATAAGCGGAGTGGCTCCCATGTCATCTTGCGCATCAACTTCCGCACCGTTATCCAGCAAGCATGCCAAGGTTCGATAGGAGCTGGTCTCAGCCGCGTAATGCAACGGCGTTGAATCTCCTTCTTCGCTTGCATTCGGGTCAGCACCGTACCGCAGCAGCATCGAAGCAATCGCTGGATCTTCCAGTTGAGCCGCGTGGTGCAACATCGTTTGTCCGAATTCGTTGAATTGGGTCGCAAGCCCCACCCAGCCAGGACCTTGGCTTGCATTAAGTAGACTGCCCTCGAGAAGTCTCATCTTGCTGGGATTGCGCCGCAGATAATCGACAAGTCTTCTATAGCGCCCGGTAGACGCATACGCGTTGAAGATCGCAGTCGGTGATAATGCTTGCTCGTCGACGCGGCTGTCGTCGTCGGAGGATTCGTCGGAGGACGAGTCGCCAGAGCTCGAGGACGAGTCGGAGTCATCATCCAGCCTCTGGAGAACAGGCCCTAGCGGACCGTGGCGACGGATCAGTTCCTGTCGACGCCGCCGGGCACGCTCCAGGCGTTCACGCTTCGCGCCGCGCTGCTCAGCACGCTGCTGGGCCAGCCTTCGAGAAGCCAATGCGCGCGCGCGCTGGCGCGCCCGGCGGCCGGCTCTGGCCATCTATGCGACCGTTTTTTAAGCCTCGGCCGCGCAAAAAGCGGGCTAGCGTCCTGTAACACACTAGCAGCAAGCAAGTCCGGGCAAACGCGGCGCCTGTTGAGCCGCTATTGCGCGCATCTATCAGATAGTAGCTGTTAAGTGATCACTTACTGGCCAGCGACCACCGGAGCCCATCGCAACGCGGCAACAATGCGGCCCAGCACTCTGCTCCTGGCGCTTGCAGCAGCAGACGCCACGCGGCGGCTCGGCGGCGGCGCGCCGTCGATCCGAGCAGACGCCACGCGCTGGCTCGGCGGCGCGCGAGGCGGCAGCACGCTCACAAGCCGTAAGCTCTTCGCCACGGAGGAGCTCGAGCACCCCTTCTCCGCGCTCGCGGCCTTCCTCTGCGAAGCGCCTGAATTAGGCGAAAAGGGTCCGAAGCGCGTGCGGCGAGCGTTGCTGGCGCTGTCGACGTCCACCAAAACCGTGAAGTTCGTGGACGGCGCGACGCACCACGCCATCAAGATGGGGGCGAGCGCGGCGTCAGGGGCGACGGTGGCGGAGCGCGTCGCCGCTGCACGCGACGTGGCGGGGCGAGGTCCTAGAGCCCTAAAAAAGCGCGCGTCGGCGGCGTGCCGGGCGCGCATGGCGCTCGAGGCCTTAGAAGCGTGCGAGCTCTGCCGACGAGCGCCGGAAGGTGATATTGTAGAGACGTCGCAAGGCGCCTGCGAGGTGTGTGTCGTCGAGGAAGACGCGAGGTGTGTTATCTCGATCCACTGGCGGAGCGGCGCCACCAAACTCGTGACCGCGCTGGACGCGGATGCTTGTGATATTGTCACGCCGGACTTTCAACGGGCGCGCGCGTCCGCCGCGTTACTAGAACTCGCCGAGGACGTCGTTGACAGTCTCCAGAAAACGCTATCATCGCTGAAAAACGGCACCGAGGTCGTATTGGTGGGCCACGGCGGCGGCGGCGCCGTCGCGGCGTTGGCGGCGTCTCTCTTGAGTGGTGTTGTAAGGCGGCCACCTACTCCACCAAAGAAGCCGCAGCAGCAGCTCGGGGACCTCAACCTCGCCCAGAAGCGCGAGCCGCCGCGGCCGCCGCCCTTTCCTTCCCAAAAAATCCGGTGCGTGAGCGTCGGCTGCGCGCCTTGTTTATCGGCAAAAGCAGCTCGAAGCTGGGACCCGCGCCGCGCGCGGTGCACCACGGTACTTTTGGGAGACGACTGTATCGGCAGGTGCTCGCCGTCGGCGCTGCGGCGGCTGCGGAAGCGATTGAGGCGGTTCCTGCCGGCGTCGGCGGGCGGGGCGTTGGGCGCGGTGCGACTGGGTGCGGCTCTAGCAGGCTCGGCCTTCGAGCAGGGCATGGGCGCCGCGGGCCGCGCCGTGACGGACGAGCAGCGGACTAAGCTCACGGACGACGACGAGCTGCGCTTGCCGGGCGACGTGTTCTTCCTGAAGCCGCGGGCGGACGGCGCCGTCGGCGTGTATCGGGGCGGCGCGGGCCGCGCGCGCGAGGAGCTCCTCTGGCAGCTGAACGACGTGCTGCTGTCGAAGAGCATGCTCGCGCACGCGACGCTGGACGCCTACATCTCGGCTTTAGATAGGATCTAAGGTTGTTCACAACAAGTTACTACATTCGAATTCTGGAATCCTCGACGTCGAGCAGCGACCGTGGCACACGCCCGCGCACGCGTCCCACATGACGCACGCCAGCGCGTCCTTGCACGAACCGCGGTTGAAGGCACAGCTCTTTTGGTTGTCGACGGTGCGGCTCCGGGGGAAGTACGTCGTGTCGAGCGTCGGCGGTAACGGGACGCGCGCGAATTCGCTGAGTCGCGCCCACAACGTGGGAGTCGGCATCTGCCAATTCAGCCACAGGAGCTGAGACGGCGGAACGACGCATCGGAGGAACGCCTTGAGCGCGGCCGCGGCGGCGGCCGTCTGGTTCGCAGTCGCGACGGCGACCGCCGTGTCATGCCACGCGTCGTCGGCGTCGAAGGCAAGCGGAACGCGGCAGTCCGGCCTCTTAGCGTTAGTACACCACCCGCCTCGGAACGTGAGCCGCGTGGCGCGCCAGTTGTCGGCGTCGAAGTCTATCATGATGAAGCGCGCGGCTGGTGCGAGGGACCAGTAGGTTGATAGGGAGACTTGCGCGGGCCAATCAGCTACAAACTCGCAGCCTCGTCCCCCGCAGCCCTTTGTGAACAGCAATTTTGGCTTGTAACTTTTGTCGCGGTTCCGCACGCGCGCTCCGCAGCGACCGCCCCTCAGCCAGACGTCCTTGTGGTGCTTAGACGTGAGGTTTAGCATGGCGCTTGCCCACCAGAGCGACGCCGTGCCGCTGGAGCCCGGCGCAAGGAGCACGAGCGGCGTTCGGTCGGAAGCAGGCGGGTGGTTGGTCGTCGGTGGTGGGAGCTTTGTTAGTATTTCGTTTGTGGTATGGCGCGGGAAGATGGCCGCGACGCTGCGGGCGTACGTCGCGGCGCATGCGTCCCACGCCGACCAAGGTGGCGCTGCTGCTGCGCCAGCGAGCAGGAGCGACGCGCGTCTAAACATCTTCGGTGTTCAGCGCTGTCAATGTTGCAAACGCAGTCTTCGCAGTCGCACCATGTCGATCAATTGGGGCTGCCACAAGATTGACAGGCTGCCAGAGCGCACGGCTGCCCAGCGGTCGCCAGCCGTACCGCACGGGTCCGTAGACGGTACGAATAGATGGGAGACGCTGCGCCAGAGCACGCGTGCAGGTCCTGAAGCGGCGCCGTAGCTCTACGCGTCGAGCAGTGAGATGCTTCTAGTGTCTTTACAGACCGCTACCTAGGTAGCGCCGAATCAGCGACGCGCGGTGCCCCCCCCCCCAGGGGCCCCGCCCACTAGTCCTAGCACCGTAACATCGTCTAATCTAGGTAGCGCCGGACGCATCGATCGTCCGTCGGTATCGTGTGGGTTCAGGAGGGATCCTTACAAACATGTCGTTACAAAATCACACAGAGGAGGCGCGGAGCGCGCACATCGAGCACGGCCGCAGCTCCTGCTCGCACACCGGGCACGCCGTCGACGTCGTCAAGCCCCCGCACGCGGCCGCGTGCGCGAGGAACGCGCGGTCGCGGCAGAGCGGCGAGCAGTACCGCTGGCCGCACTTCTCGCATGTCGCGCACGCGAAGCAGGCCCTCGCCGCCGTCACACCTACGCGCGCGGTCGTTTCACCCCGCGATCGGGACGGGGCGCGGCAGACGCGCGGTCGTCGCCCCGCCGGCGGAAGCGCCGGCGCGTCCGCGCGAGCCCGGGTACGTCGAGCATGGCGCCGAGCGTCGGCGCATCGGCGGCGCGCGCAAACGCCGCTGCGAGGGCCGCCGGGTCGTCCAGATTCACGTCGACAACTGCGGCGCCGAGGTGTACAGGCCGCCCGTACGTGTGCACGGACCCGAGGCCCCGCAACGCACCGAGCGCGGCGCTGCCCGGCGTCCCGTGCGACGCGCGCCGCAGGATGTCAAAGACCAGCGCGCACAGCGCGAAGGAGCCGAGCCCACCGCCGTAGGCGCCGCCGAGGCCGGTCTGCCTTAACACAACTTTGCAGAGCCGTACGGTCGAGGCGAAGTGCGGCGGCCGGTGTTGCGCGAACGACGCATCATTCAAATCGCTGCCGTAGGCGTGCGCGGCCTGGCGCGCCGCGTCCTGGGTCGTGGCGACGTCGAACGCGAGGTTTGTTGAAGCGTCCTTGCCCGTGACGATGGGCACGCGCGCCCGGATCAGTTCGGCGCCCCGACTCCATTCCGCCTCTCCCAACGCCTCGGCGACGGCCTCGAGGGTCAGCATTACCTCCACAACCACATCGACATCCGCATCAAACAACGCGCAGCCGCTCGCGCGGCTGCCCCGCAATTCGACGCGCGCGAAGGGGTCCACTTCGTTTATTGTTTGCGTGATGCGTGCGAAGAGGTCGTCCGCCCGGCGTCGCTCGGTTTCATCAGGCTGAACCCAGGCGTCGAAGGCCGCGACGGCCTCATCTAAATCCCGCTGGGACGCCCAGGCCGGCGCGTCTATCTGCTCGTCGTCCGACGAGGACTCGTCATCGGAGGGCCCCTGGCGCGCCTGCACCGCCTCCTGCACCGCCCGCGCGGCCTCGGGCCCGAGCACGTTCTTCAGGGCGGCGGCGATGGTGGTTTCGTCGCGCGCGGCGGCTTTCGTCGCCAGGGCGTGCGCTACCGGGTCGACGTAGCCCAGGACGCGCGTTAATGCGCGCTCGGTTATTGGTTCGGCGTCGTCCTGGGCCATGACCGCCGCCCCCAATGGTCCACGCTACACGCTAGCTGGTTTGAGCTCTCAAATCCAGGCTGCTGTGGCTCAGGCTGTGGCTCTGGCTGCAGCGGGCCTATCGCGTTTAGATTGTCCGGACGGCAAGAGGCGTCATTCAGCTGGCCTCAGGCGTTGTATTAGGGTAGCTGTGAGCCACTGAACGCTGCTAAAGATGGGCGCCGGCTCAAACCAGGTGCTAGCGTGCATGTAACACACTAGAAAGAGCGCCCGGGATCCAGAATCAGCTTTGAAGCGCGTCTCGTGAGCTGTTTGTCACGTTTGAGGCAGCTGTAGGACGCCTACTATCCATCCCCGGCGATCTATTACAGCGCTGTAGCCTAGGGGCGCAGCCAAGCCACACAACACAGCTTGGAGTGACATTAAAGTCCACGCCGACGCCATCGACGCGGCGCACGAACAAGTATACGATGGCTGAAGATAAGCCGAAGTACTCGTTGGCCGCAAGATGCGCCGCCGAGGCCGTCGGCACGTTCACGATCGTCGCCGGCGGCTGCGGGGCGGTATCGGCGGCGAGGTACGCTGGAGGGCCGCCCATCGCCGCCTCGGCCTTTGCTGGGAGTGTGATGATCGGGGTCTACGCCACGGGTAGTGTGTCAGGTGCCCACCTGAACCCGGCCGTGACGGCGGCCTGCGTGGCCACAAGCAAGCCGGGCCCGTGCTCGCCGGACGAGGGCCTGTGCTACGCCGCCTCGCAGACCGTCGGCGCCTTCCTGGCGGCCTGCTGCAATTTTGGGATGTACAAGACGGGTATCCGGGCTCTTGAGAAGACGGAGGGCAGCGCCGCGTGGGGCAACGCCTTCGGCGTCGCGCACAATCCCAAATTCCTCGGGACCCGAGCTTTATTCTTGACGGAGATCGGCTCGACGGCGGCGTTGTTGTTCGGCGTCAACGCTATTGTAGATCCCGAGCTCGGGGCGCCGCCGCAAGCGGCACCATTTTTAATTGGGTCCATCGTCGGCCTGCTCATCTTCGTGACGGGGCCCGTGTCCGGCTGCGGGATGAATCCGGCTCGGGACGTCGGGCCGCGGCTCGTGACGCTGCTCGCGTCCGGGCCCTCTTCCGCGCTGGGGCCGTCGCCGGCGTGGACTTATACGCTGGGGCCCGTGCTCGGGGCAATTGTCGGGTCGACGGCGTTTTCCGCGTTCAAGTCGGTGCTGCACGCGAAGCCTGATGCTTAACGTTTTTTTGGAGACTTCCTTGTAACCTACTAGACTCGGTTCTAGTGTGTCTACAAACCCTCGCCATTTTTAGCAAGCACGACTTAAAAGCCGCAAATTACGGCATCCTTACGGCGTCCGAGACGAATTTACACTGACTATGAAGCCTCCCGAGACCCTGGGTGGCCGCTGCCGCGAGGATTTAGCCGGCGGAGCTGGCATCGCTGAGCTTGATGGCTTGCTCGCCACAGCCCAAACAAGCGGCTGCGGCGCCATCTGCCGGTCCTGCCACGCCGTCGCGGCGTCAGCGTGCACCGACAGCACTCACCGACGGCTGGAAGACTCACGGCTCGCTGGCGGGAGCCTCTGGCCGCCGCCCGCCCGAGACGTCGTCGTGCGAGCGCTCGGCGGCCCGCTGGCCGGAGCGGCGCCGGCGGCCGGTGCACCTGGCAGCATCGGAGAGGGGAAGAGAAAGAGAGACAGACAGACGCTGCCGCCGCGAGGCATGAAAGTAACGCGCCGTCCACGCAGGTCTATATACATCGGGAGTAAAGCGACGACCCAGATACAAAGATGGGCGTCCGCACGAAGACGGTCAAGAAGTCGGCGCGCGTCATCGTCGAGAAGTACTACTCGCGGCTCGGCGTCGACTTCCACACGAACAAGCGGATTTGTGACGAGGTCGCCGTCGTCCCGTCGAAGCGCATGCGCAACAAAATCGCGGGCTTCGTGACGCACCTCATGAAGCGCATCGCGCGCGGCCCGGTCCGCGGCATCTCGCTCAAGCTCCAGGAGGAGGAGCGCGAACGACGCATGGACTTCGTCCCCGAGGTCTCGGCCATCGACCAGGACTTTGTGGAGGTCGACCCGGACACGAAGGACATGCTCGACGCGCTGGACTTCAAGGACCTCCCGGGGCTCCAGGTGTCGAACGCGCTTTAATTTCCGTGTTAAAATTCGTGTCCCCGGGGTCGCGTGACGCGTCTGCTCGACGGCGTGGAGGGCTCAGCGCAGCTTCTTCGCCGACCGCGTCCGGCCGAAGGGGTCGCTCACGCGGCGGTTCGGGTCGCGTTTCGCGCGGCCCCGGCCCGCGTGGATGGCGTAGCCGGCCGCGGTGCCGACCAAGGCGCCGGCGAGGTGCGCGGCGTGGCTCACGCCGTCGCGGGTCAGGATGGACTGGATTTCGTCCGAGAGCCAGAAGACCGCCGTCAGCAGAAATGTCAGCGGCACGCGGCCCGAGGACGCCGCGCCCAGCGAATTGAGCAGGATCAGCGCCGAGACGACGCCGCTGCCCCCCAGTTGGCCCGAGTGCGAGTGCCCAAAGGCCATGTGCGCCAGCGCCGACGCCACGGCCACGACGACGCCGACGATGGCAACCTGCTGCGTGCCGAATTCCCGTTCCGCCGCCGGCCCCACGAGCAGCAGGTTGATCATGTTCGTCTTGAGGTGCGCCCAGTCCTTGTGCGCGACGACGTGCGCGACCAGGTTGAGCCAGGACCGCGGGCTCTTGGCGTAGAAGTACCGGTATGGCGGGCTCGCGAGGCGTTCCGCCGTCCCTTGCGTGAACAGGTCGATCATGAAGATGAGCACGCAGACCGCCATGTAGATGACCACGGCCTGGGCGTCGATGACCAGGCGGCGCATGAAGACCGACGTGCGCGTCCACCCTTTCGCCTCTAGTCCATCGACGCGCTCGTGGTACCAGACGTGGGCGGCGTGCTCCATTGCGTTCTGAGCTATGTGCACCGGGGCAGCCTGTGCTCGGTGGTGAGCGGCTCCGTATGCGTAGTGTGCTTATGGGTGATTCTTAGCGGCTGTAACAAACCGCTGCTGCGCGTGAATGGTGGTTCGCTGGCAGCTTTGGGTGATTGTAATTGCAGACTGAACAGTCTGTTGCTCCGCTGCGAGAACGGGGGAGCGCGATTTGAATTTCGACGACTCTTATAATGCTGTCTAGGCCGGTAGATGTACCCCTCGAGCGCTCGCCGGCGCACGCCGTGAAACCCGCGAGTTACAGCTCAATCGCAAGTAAATCGGCCAAAACTCGCCGGCATTTGTGGTTAGAGAGTGGTTACACTTGTCACAGCACTCCCATCTACGGTTACCAGCTGTGCATCGAAAGCGAGCAAGCGCCGGAGCTTGGAAGGCATCAAACAAGCACCCTGCCACCCACTCACTCGGAAACATGGCGTCGTCGCCGCGCGCGCAGACGCTAAGGCAAGCCGCGCTCGAGACGCCAACCACTTACGGCTCGCCGTCGCTACACGGCACGGCGATGCGAATAGAGTCTCCACCGTGGAACGAGCGCATGGCCGGCGCCGCGAGACGACTCTGGGCCTCGATGCGGCGCACCGTGACGCCGCAGCGGGCGCGAGGGAGACGGGAGATGTACGAGGAGATCCGGGAGCGCGAGGAGGCGCGGCGAAGGTCTTTCGCGGAAGGCGCCGAGGTGTCGCAGCGGCGCTCGCGAATTTTGTTGCGGGACTCGTACGACCACCAGTCTGTTGGAAGATGGAACATTAAGCGAGTGGGCGGCGACTGGGTGCACATGTATTTGGACGATTGGTTTAATACCATAGTACATTTACCTATACTACGGTTACTGTTCTTGATGGTCATCATCTACGTGGCCTGCGTCTTTGTGTTTGGCGTGGGCTACCTCTCTTTTTCTGATGAATGCGGCATGGATTTTGGGGATAGATTAGAAGCCTATTACTTCAGCCTGGAGACGATGGCGACGATTGGGTATGGTACTCAAGATTACTTCTTCGGGCACTGCTGGGAGCCGCTGGCCATCATCAACGTGCAGGTCGTGTGCGGGCTGGTGATTGAGTCGTTATACTTTGGGATTATATTCCATCGCCTGACGCGGGGTCGACACCGCCAGTCGACGGTCCTGTTCTCGGATAAAGCGGTAGTACGAAGGGTCGACGGCTCCTACTACCTCGTGTTTCAGGTCTGCGAATTGCGACGGCACCACCTCCTGGATGCGAAAATTCGAGTTTTCGCCGTGCGGCACGAGCGCGACGAGCATGGGGCTGCGTATTATCAGGCGCACCGCATGCAGTTACGAAGACCTCGAGATGATACGGGCGGGCTGCTGTTGATGGCTTTGCCGCAGCTCGTGGTTCATAAACTGGACGCGGCGTCTCCGTTAGTCCCGGCGGAGACGTGGATTAGTGCAAGGGGGCCTCGAAGCTGGCGCGGGCTGTCGCCGAACGTCATGGCGTCTCCCACCTTCGGCGAAGGCCACAAACCTAGGTTCGAGCGAGGCGACTCCTTCCGCACGAACGCGGCCGCGATCCCGTCGCCGCACAAGGTCGGCAAACCTCCTCCAAAACAGCGCATCCACCGACGACGGCCGAGCGTCGAGTCGCGCATGTTCGCGCCCTTCACGCACTCGGCGTCGCACGTGAGCGACGACGTCTCGGGCTCGTTCGACACCGAAGAGGAGGAGCCCTCGACGCCGCCACCGCCGGGGCGGCAGGCGCACTTTGCTCGCGGTCCAACAGCGTCCGAGGACGCGGAGTTTCGGGCGGCGCTCGACGCGTTCTTCTTCGACCGCGACGTCGAGATCGTGGCCATCGTCGAGGGCTGCGACGAGATCACGTCGCGGTTAGTGCAAGCTAGACATTCCTACGCGATCGAGAACTTCGCGTGGTGGCACAACTTCGCGCCGTGCGTGTTTCGGCAGCCGGGCGGGTCTTGTCTCGTGGATTTCTCGGAATTTCATCGGACGCTCGAGCCGGGGGAGGACCGGGGTGTTTAAGTCTAGGAATTCTATTTGAAGTGCGCAGGCTTGCCAACAACAAACAAGACCTCGTTCGAGCAAATCGAGTCAAATCAACTCGACATATTCGGGTCTACAGCGCGGTCGCCCCAGCGCCGCAGACCCAAGCTGAGCCCGTGACGATCGAACAGACAAACGGACTACGGGGCAGCCTCACAGACAACGCACGACTCGTCGGAGCAGCCGCGCGATGACGGCCAAGGTCGCCGCCGCCGAGGAGACGAAAGAACCGACCCCGAGCCTCAAAACGATAGCACGGATGAAGTCATTCGCGCAGCGTGCCAAGAGGAGCTCATCAGGACCGGGCCAGCTCCGCCGGCAAATGAGCCAGCGCATCGTGGCGTACCGGGAAGCGAGCGAGCGCACGAAGGTCCTGAAAGCGAAGGAGCGCGCCGCGAAGAGCAAGGCGGCCATCGACCACGCCGGCGGCTTGCTTGCCGACGCTGATGATTTGTATTTTTCCACGCTGAAGTTGCATTGGCCGGCGCTGTTACTACATGTGCTCGCGGCGTACACTGCAATCGTGCTGGTCTCGACTATCGTCAACCTGCTGTGCGCGCGAGGCCTCGGCTTCGACGGCACGGGCACCTGGTGGACGGCCATCATGTATGCTGCGGCTAATGTCGTGACGATGGGCTACGGCGAGGTCAATGTGTCGACGAAGGGCGCCTACTTCGCGGGCATCGTGCAGATGGCGCTCGGTCTCATGCTCAACGTCGTCTGCTTCGCCGTCGTCGTCTCGAAGTTCCAGCAACCGCGAAGTCGATTAGTCTTCGCGAGCCACTTCTGCGTCACGAAGCGCGACGGCAAGCGCGTCCTGCTCATCCGACTCGCGAACCGACGGTGTAACCTCATCTTGCACCCGGAGATCCGCGTCTTATTTCTGACGCCGCACGCGACGCAAGAAGGCGAGTCCTACATTGGGCAGAACGAGCTCCAGCTCGAGACGGTGTCTTCTGCGATGACGGGCGTCCTGACGGTCTCGCACGTCATCGACGAAAAATCGCCCCTCGGAAAATACGTCAAAGACGACACATTCGATCGCGAGGCTTTTTGTGATGAGTCGAACGCCTTGAGCGTCACGGTCTTAGGGAGAGATACGGTGTATCATGATGATTTGATGTGCAAGCACACGTACCTCTGCGCGAAGGACGCGATTTTTGATCAGCACTTCAGCTGGATGACTCGTAGAGATGAAAATGGCAAGGTCGTGCTGGATTTTCACCGCCTCGACGACACGGAGGCCGCCGCGTCGGTAGCCGCACCACCGACAGCGAACCCGAACGTCCCGCCGCCGTCGCTCCACTTCAACGATATAGATGTTCACGTCTTTTGCGGTGGTTTGAAGCTGGGGGACCGGCTGCGGCCGAACTGCGTTTTCTCGGAAAATGCGTACGCCGCCTGTGAGGCGAAAGGACTAAGGGTGAAGAGGCACTTCATCGACTTGGCGGCGAAGCCCCAGTGGTTCCTCGACCTCGTCAGCGACTACGGCGCCAAGGCCGAGACGCCCTGCGTTTTACTGCCGGGCGGCGAGTTCGTCACTGACACGGCCAAGGTGCTGGCGCGGCTGGCGCCGTACGACGGCGTCGGCATGGCCGTCGAGCCGGCGGACGTTTCTCCCGGCATGCTCATGAGCTGGTTTGGGTATCAGGCTTCCGTGCCCGTCGCGGTCGGCGCGGAATCACACGAGTCGCGGCGATGGCGTGTTCTCAACAATTCATTCCACGCAGGTCACGGTGCGCGACCTGCAGAACGCGGAGAAGTGGGCCGAGAGTCGCTTGAAATTGGACAAGTTTGTGGACAAACTACGGCCAATCGACGCCTATCTGGATGGGCGGGACTACCTTTCGGACAGCGCCAAGATCGGCTGGTCGGACTTGCGGTACATCTTCTTTGTAGGATTCGTTGATATGTTCTCGCGCGTGTGTGATCCGGAAGGTGCGGCCTATGTGCAGAGCCAGTGCCCGCGCGTGAAGGCGTGGGTCGAGCGCTGCTCCAAGGATCCCGTCGTCCTCAAGGCGCGGTGCGGCCTCAACTTCGATCCGCGGCTGCCCGCGAATTGCGCGGCTATGCAGAAAATGGTAGGCAAGTACTTTAAGCACCAGGCCGACCTGCTGCCATCGTTCGTCGACGAAGTCCTGGCGCCGTACGACGCGTTCGCCTCCGGGAGTGCGCCTTTACTAGCTTTTGAAGATGTAGACGTTCATTTATTCGCGGGCGGTCTCCGACTAGGCGACAAGCTCGTCGAGAGCTGCATCTTCTCGGATAATGTGTATGCAGCCTGTATTCAAGCTGGATGGAAGCTCCGGCGCCACTGGATCGACCTCGAGGATAAGCCCCAGTGGTTCTTAGATCTAGTGGAAAAAAATGAAGCCAAAGCCGAGACGCCCTGTGCTTTGATAAAGAAGGCGGACGGCTCGGCGGAGTTCGTCATCGACACCACTAAATTACTGGAGCGGCTGGCGCCGTCGAAGGGCGAAGGGTTTCCCGTTGCGGATGCCGACGTGATGCCGGGGCTCATGATGCCGTGGTTTGGTTTTCAAGCATCATTACCGGTCCTCGTGCGCGATGTGCGCGACGCCGCCAAGGCTTCTGCTAAAGAGGAGAAGCTGACGGCGTTCGTCGAGCGGCTGAAGCTCCTGGATGCGTACCTGCAGGACCACGACTACCTCTCGGGCGGTTCTGCTCCCGGGTGGAGCGATTGGAGGTTTATCTTCCTTGCTGGTATCACGGTCATGATGACGCGGAACTTCGACGCGGACGGCGGTACCAAAATCGAAGAGCAGTGCCCGAAAGTTATAGCCTGGATCAACCGCCTGACGCGCGACCCAATATTCCTCCGCACAAGAGAAGGCGTCGCCTACGACCCGCGGGCGCCCCAGAACGCGCTGTCGATGCGCCACCTCGTGCACAAGTACTTCAAGCACCAGAAGGACCTGGTGCCGGCGTTTGTGGATGAGGTCCTGGCACCCTTCGACGCGGTCGCCGCGACCGCAAAGCAGAAGGCCGCGGCCCCAGCTACTAAGGGCAACGCCATCGCCCAATCAGGACTCCAGAAGAAGGAGCTCGCCACGTTTTGTTTGTAAGAAATACATGTTACCACAACTTATCGACGAGCTTCGACACCTCCCCGAACAGCGCGAATTGCAGGCCCACCTCGAAGAAGACGCGCACGACGCGCGGCCCGCCGCCGTTCCACAGCGCTCGCACGCCGTCGGCCTTCACGATGGCGCGCGCGCAGTCCAGCGACGACGCGTAAACGCCCCGATCGAGGCCCATCATGTTCGCCTTGACCGTGTCGACTGGCTGCGAGATTACCGCCGATATAGCCCCAGCGACGGCGCCGGCCCCGAACGACTCCATCGCCGACGCATTTTCTTCTCTCCCGGAAGCCCGCAGTATACCCTTATAGCCGACGAAGCGCACGCAGTTCGTGAGCGCGCCCTTCGCCACGGCCGGCGCCAGGCCGTCATAAAATGATAAGATGCCGTGGTGCCTTCCTATCGCCGCACAGGCCCGGAAGAAAGGTAGGTGCGAGTAGCGCTTCTCTACGACTGCTGGAGAGGCGTCGTGTAGCAGTTTTATTTGTATCGACTGGTTCGGCGTCTGGCAGAGAGCGGCCTCACACGCGCCCGCGCCCAAGCCGCATAAAAAGTCCCAGCCCGACGTCCTGGGCGCGTCTTTTGACAAAAATTCAAAGGCTGCAAAGCGGACGGCCGACCGGGGCCCGGCGAACGCGAACCACGGCGCGCAGCCGCTGTAGAGGCCCCTCAAGCCATTTGTTTTTATCGTTTGGCGAAAGCAATGGATAGCGCCGTTGTATCCACTGCCGGTGCCCGCGGCGCCGTGCTGCAATTGCACGTTCGTCTTCACGTACTCGAGCGGGTAGGTGACCGCTATTTCCATTGATCCGGCTATCCCTCCTGCTAGTCCTACTTTGGTGAGGGACTTTTGTTGCTTGTTAGCCATGGCAGCTCGCTGTGCTATCTCTCCAATTTGTTGCACGGAAATTGCCGCAGCTGGTTCGGCTCGCAGCGATGCGGCTCGCAGCGATGTGATTTAGCTCGCAACGACTTTCCTCGCTGCTATCCAGCCAGTTGTCACGAGCTTGCCAGCATCCCTAGTGTGTTACAGGCCGCTAGCTGGCAAAATCGCATCGGCAAACAAACGCGTAGAGGCCAGACGCGCGTGTCTATATTGCCTTAGTAACCTTCTGACAATGCGACCGGCCGACGCATATCGCCTGAAGTACCGATCCTCAAGCCAAAATTCGATGGAGACTGAAAACAATGAAACTGCTGAGGCCCGCGTCGTCGACGAGCTCCGCGCCCTAGAAGTCGACGAGATTGCACGCGCCGAGCGGGAGCGTAAGCGACGCGCCGCCCACATGAGATTACCGCCACCGCGTAAGCTGGAGAAGTTGGGCCTCTCGAGCAGCGGCGGTCCGGGGCTCCCCGTGGACGTCTTCAAGAAACTCTTCAACGAAGGAGACAAGGACGCGGTGGTAGCTTGGTTCGACGCCACGGGACCGCGCGACATAAACGAGACGTTCACGCTCACGGAACCGTATCTCGCGAAGCGCGTAGGTGCGGAGCCCGTTTCAGGCCACACGCTGCTGGCCCTGGTCGCGCATTCGCCTGCTTATTACAGCGGCCACGTGGCACTCGTTCGCTGGCTGCTGGCGTGCGGCGCCGATCCAACCATACGAAACGCGGATGGGTGGTCGCCGCTGGATTTTGCGTGCACGAGTCACGAAGTCATGTATTCGCCATCGTATAACTTCACTGCAAACAAGCACGAGATAATCATGCTGCTCATTGCCGGCGGCGCCGAGGTCAACGCACTTATCCCTTCCAAATACTATCCAGATGATCCAACGGCGAAAAGATATTCGCCTCTGGGCGAACTCCTGACCCTAATGGAAGGACGTAATTCCAGGGACACTCAATTTCGGGGGCTGGAGTTTGTCTGCCGGGCGTTGCTGCTCGCCGGCGCGTCGTTAGATAATTGCACCAATGAGGAGGACGACCATTGGAACCTCAAGACGGCAGAGTGGAGATTAGACAAGGCAGCCTTCGAAACGCGACAACTCGCCGTCTGGCAAAAGTGCAGTATTTTGGTCCGAGAGGTGAGAGCGGCCGGCGGCGGATCGTATGCCTTCGCCCTGTCGAGCTCCGCGCCTTCGTCCATGAACAGCAGCGCCGCATACAAGGCGTGCTTCGTGCGGCCGCGAAAGCAGATCCTCGTTCTCCGGGCGCTGGCGCTCAAGAGACGCGCGAAGACGTCGAACGCCATCCTCGGATTCGTGTTTGGTCTGCCAAACGGCGTCGCCTGGAACGTCCTCTCGTTCTGGCAGTGCTACTACAGGATCAGAACCCCGAACAGTAGCGGCTGCGGCGGTCCCGACGACACCCACTGGCACACCGGCCCGTGGTAGGTAGCCCTAGTAAGTTACTCTTACTCATCGCCACGCCATCATCATCGACGCCTCGCCACCGGCCGTGGTAGTAGATAACCCTAGTCACTCTTACCACTCGAGACGCCATCGCCGAGCGTCACTTGAACAGCGCGTTCACGACCGCGTTCACGGAGAGCTTCTTGAGGTGCGTGTACTTCTGGCCGACGCCGATGAACATGATGGGCTGGCCCGTCTTGTACGTCATACTGAGGGTGGCCCCTACTTTATCATCTATGGTATCGAACTTCGTCAACACCAATCCATCGATCGTCCGACCATCGCTACAGAACTGCGCCAGCGACTTGTTGAACATGTTCAATTGATCGATCCCATCGTTTCCTACGAGAGCTTCGCCGACGAAGAGCACGAGATCCGGCGTGTTGACACTCACTAATTTAGCTAACTCCCTCATTAACTTATCGTTGTTCTGCATTCTGCCAGCGGTGTCTATCAATACACAATCCTTCTTCGCTTGTTTGGCATGTACGAGAGATGCCCGAGCCACGTCCGCGGGATCCTTCAGGTAGCCCTTCTCGAACAACTCCACATCCAGGCATTTCGCGTGGGACCGTAGTTGCTCCACGGCCCCAGAACGGAACGTGTCACAGGCCGTAATCATCACGTCGATGTTGTGCTCCTTGAGGTAGTAGGCTACCTTTGAGAGAGATGTAGATTTGCCCACGCCGTTGATGCCCACAAAAACTATAGAGTAGGTCTTGCCCTTCCTTTTGGCATCTAGCACCTCCCGTAGCACATCCGTCGAGCGCTTCGGTGTCAGGACACGCTCCACTGCTGCGGCTAGAGCCTGCTTGATCATCGTCGAGGCTCGTCCGAATCTTTCTACTTTCTGACCGACGAGTGAATCGGCCACACTTTTTGTGACGGCATCGGCCACTTCGACCGCGACATTTTTTTCTAGCAAAGTCTTCCTCAGATCGGCCATGACGGGCTCGATCTCCTCCTTTGTCAATGTTTGACTGCCAGCCACGTTGTTCAGTAAGTTGCCCACATTTCTGCCGAACCAAGATTTCGGAGCAGCCTCGTCGTCGCTCTCGTCTTCTAACAATAACTCCTCCTCCTCGTCCCAGGCGGCCTTCTCGCCCTCATTCGCTAAATAAGTGCCGCGCATCTCTTCGAGGTGCCGATCCTGGGCCGCCTGCTGCGCCGCCGCGTCGCCATGGGCGCCACTTCGATCTAGCGCCGCGACTTCGGCGGCCGTAGCCTTCTTGTTCCTCTGGGAACCATCTCTCCAGACCGTCGGCTTCTTGCCGGCCTTTTCTGAGGAGTCCGTGGGCTTCTTCTTGCCGCGCCGTCGGCCGCCCGAGGAAGATTTCGTGGCTGTTCTTCTTTTTAAGCGGGCGAGGGGGTCCTCGTCGGTCTTCTCGGCCTGCGTTGATGAGGCGTCGCGTCGATGGCGTATGGGGGGCGAGACGTCGTCGCGCGGGTGACGCGTGGGGACGCCATCGTTGATGAAGGACGCGGCCGCGCACGCCCTCCTCCTCTTCAGCCGCTTCCGCCGCTTCAGCTTCGGCCTCGGCCCGCCGCTGGGCCGCCTCCGCGCTGCGCGCCTTGCGAGCTTCCAAGTCGGCCTGTTGTTTTTTCCTTCTAATCCGCAAGCGCGCCTCGAACTCTTTTTCCAGACCGTCAAAAGTAGGGTCGAAGGACGACCGCAGGGCCTCCTGCACGTGGCCTGACTTCGCGAGTGCCGCAACCTTCTTTCTCACGCTGTCGCACAGGTCCCCGGTCCAGTCGAGCTCCATGCTTGCCGGTGCCGCCGTCACGACGACCAAATCCGCCTCATTCACAAAACGCCAGTCCAAGGCGTGGTCCCCGATGCGCGCGCTCTGCGTGCCGCCCTTTTCTTCGAGGAGGTAGGCGCCGACGAGTTCCGATAAAGGGTCGCCCTTGAGCGTCGGGGCGCCTCTTCTCCACAGTACCCGGCCGGTCTTCTCGAACACCAAGACCTGGCTCAGGGGGAGGTCCAGCTGGGCGCTCATTGCTTTCAGTGTTGCTGTGGCTGCACAGCTCCTGCTGATGTGCTTAATGTGTGCGCGTCGGCGAACGCTGTAACTGCAGCGTGATGAATGGTTGCAGCAATGCGGCTTATGAATACGCTACCTGCCGCGCGTCGATGGCGTGCCGCGTCGCTGCCGACCGCCAATGCCCATTGAGAGCAGCAACTTTGCACGACCGGCGCAGTCAGCAAGCTTCAAACGACGGCGCCTACCGCTCTCGCCACGTGTCCACTCGCCGTATCTCAGCAACGACAGCTCCGTACTAGCATCCACCTGGAGGCAATCGTGTTGTGCGACGCGGCCCTTTACAGCGGCGCCGTTCCCAAGTCCCGCGCCCGCACAGCTCATTTGTGGTCCGTGCACACGTTCTCGCAGCAATCGCAGCGCGAACTGCTGTGCAAATAGCTTCACGCCGTCGCCGCAAGCCCTTGTCAGGAGACTTGCACAAAGATGCAACAATCAACACGACGGCGGCCGGCGCGGCGGAGCGCTCTCGTTATCGCCCTCTGTGTAACGAGCGCCGCAGCATCAAGCTGGGGCTCGGCCACCGGCGGCAACCCTCAACAACCGCCGCAAGGAGGATGGCCGCAGCAGCAGCAAAACCAACAACAGACACCGTACCAGACGACGCCCTGGGGCCAGCAGCAGGACCAGCAGTGGTACCAGCCCGGCTACCCCCCCGACAACCGAGGACAGCAGCAGCAGGACTGGCCCGGGAAGGCCGAGTGGGAGGAGGAGCAAAGGAAAGCAAGGGAAGAGCAGGAAAAGCAGCAGAACAGAGAGAGATCGATGTGGACGCTCAAACAAAGGTTCCCGGGCGAGTCCCAGAAGACCTTGGAACGGTTTCTGACGGCTCGCAAGGACGACGCCGACGCCGCCTCGGAGATGCTCGGGGCGTCACTGCGCTGGCGCCGCGCGTATGGCTTTCCCGTGGAGCCCACGCAGATCGCTCATCAGCTAGCTCAGGGTACGATCTTCTCGAGGGGCAAGGACTATGAAGGACGACCAGTCATCTATCACATCGGTCCGGGCGTGCCGCCCGGCGCGACGCCCCAGCAAATCGCCTTAGCCGTGCGCGCGGCGGTCTACTGGATGGACGAAGCTACAGCGAGATCGCCTGATGGGAAAGTCACTGTTGTTATTGTCAGAGATCCTTCCGCTCCCAGAGGTGGTAGATTAGCTTATCCTAGAGAACTGGCAAAAATCCTGGAGTTGAACTTCCCGGAGGCTTTGGCGAAGGCGTGCGTCGTGCCCGCGGATGGCTTGTTCAGAGGTCTCTGGGGCGTCGCGTCGCGGTTCGTCGATGAAAAGACGCGCCAAAAAATCAACCTGCTCGCTGATCAACGCGAATTACTACGATTCGTGCCCTACCAGGAACTACTCCAGTCGCTGGGCGGGGGCAACGCCTACCGCTTCGCCTTAGGTGATGTGAAGGGCATCCCCAAAGAATGGGCCGACTACCACGCGCAGCTCCAGTCGCAACAGTTCCAGCAGCCTTCGTGGGGGGCGCAGCCGCAGCGGGCCCTGCCGCCTTCATCGGGCTGGCAGCCTGGTCAGCAGGCGCCGCCGGCGCGGCCGGGCGCGCCGCCGCCGGGGCCGCCGGGCGCCAGGCCCGGGTACGGTGGACCGCCGGCGGGACAGTACGGCGCGCCTGGCGCGCCGCCGCCTGCCGGGCCTCCGGGCGGGCCGCCGCCGCCGCCGGGGCAGTACGGGGCGCCTCCCGGAGCACCGCCTCCGGGCGGGCCGCCGGGCGCGCCGCCGCAGCAGTACAGCGGCGCGATGCCCGGCTACGGCGGCGGCGCCGCGGGCACGCCGCCCGCCGGGCCGCCCGGGCCGGCGCCGACGGCAGACGCGCCGCCGCCGCAGGACCTCTCGGAGAAGCTGCGGAACTTCGAGGGGGGTAGCTGGTAACGTAGTATCTATCGAAGTCACAAGAACACACTTATAATCATACTAGATGTCGTCGAAGTCCTGCCCCGGCAATGCGAACGTCGGCGGCGCGATGGCCACGACGGGCGGCGCGACGGGCGGCGGCGGCAGGGGCGGCGCGGCGTCTTCGTCGCTGTCCTCCCGGAGCATCTCGAAGGACGCCGCTTGTTTGGAGGGCGCCGCCGTCGCGCGCGCTTTGCGGGCCGCCCGCTTCGCGTCTCTTTCGTGGTCCATGGCGAAGAGCCAGCGCAGGTCGCCCTCGTCCCGCGGCGGCGGCGCGTCGACGGCGAAGGACGCCGGCTTTATGTGCACGTCCGGCGGCGGCAACTGGCCGCGCTCGGCCGCGTACTCGGCGGCCTTGGCGCGCTCGCGCGCGGCCTGCTCCTCCCGGCGCCGCGCTTTCAGCGCGAGCTTCTCCGACGACACGGGTTTGTGCACTTTGCCCTGCTTGGCGTGCTTCGGCACGAGCATGCGCTTGCCGCTGCCGCCGGGCTGTTGTTTGACAACCTGCCTTTTGACGAGCGCGGAGCCCTTGCCGGCCTTGCGCGCCGCCTGCTTGGCCTTTTGCTTTTGTTTCTTGGCCATTTGCGCTGCCTTTGGCTGCTTGTTGTGAAGTGCTGGCTGCGCCCTACGTCGCGAGTGGCGCCGCGCTTGCTGTTAGCAAAAGTTGTGTGCACTGTGTGTGATGGTCTTCAGCTCTCAGCGCAGCGTGCCGTTCACGCTCAAACTGCTGGAGACAAGAGATGCACCACCGATGCGACTTTCGTGCGGCTCGGTTCCGTCCTAATCGATTTATGCGTGGCGCCTTGCTAGGCCAAAAAGCTCATCGCTCCACGGCCTGCGCACAGCCTGGCCCACCAAACTCCGCCTAGGTCACCGCAGTGATCTTATAAGTAAAGGAGCAGACGGAGGCGTGCCTCTTCTTGACCTGAAATACGAAAACAACACAGGCAGCGCAGCAGGAGACCTGCTGCACACACTCTGCCAGCTGCAGCTTTGCAAGACCGCCGCAGCGATGCCATCAAAACTTCTAGCCGCGACGCTCGCCGCAACAACGAGCGCCCTCTCGAGCTACTCGCCGCCGCCGCCGAAATTAATCAAGCAGTGCGCCTGGCAACAAACGCACTGCGCGACGGCGCCCCAGTTCCGCAACGTGGTACAATGGTACGAGGGCGACGCGCACGGGTCTGGTAATTGGGGCGTCACGTACCGACGATACGTCGACGGCTTCGTGAAGGCCGTCGCGGACGATTTAGGGATAGAGGAGGGCGCCACGGTCTTTGAGTCCGCCGTGGGCGAGGGCTGGTTCCTCTCCGGTCTATACGAGTTACTTGATGTGGCCTTCGACGTCGCGGGCAACGACGTCTCGATGAAAGCCATCGAGGAGTGCCGCATGGAGCTGCCCTGGGGCAGTTTTGCTGTTGGCGACTCGCTCAACCTAACCTGGGTCGACCCGCAGCGGTTCGACGCCGTCATCTGTGCGTACGTCGAGCCCGGCGAAAATGAAAATGAGGCCGCGGTTACGGAAACATGGGTCCGCGAGATGTGCCGCTTGGCGAAGCCGAGTGCAAGGGTGTTCGTGGGGAACGTGCGGCCACCACGCGGCGTGACCGACGCAGCGGCCGGCGCGTACCTGAAACCGCCGGAGGACCTCGTCACGGAAGCCTGGTGGGAAGCCAAGGCCGGCGACTGGGGCGTCGACGACGTGCGCATCGTCCCGCTGACCGACGCGACGCTGTTGGAGGAGTGGGGGCCGCGCTACCACGTCTTCATGCGGAAGCGCGCGGCGGAGAGGAAGTGGCCGAGCTGGCAGGACGACATGGTGACTGGTGGTTTTTGATGTGTGTGTAAGAACTGTTGTATCACACTAACGTTAAGCCCCCTCGAGCACCCGCGCGTCCGCCTCCAACAACCGATCGACCAGCTCCGCCTTCCGCCCCGACACCTTCAGGGACCGCTCGCGCAGCTTCTCCTTCAGGACCACGACGGTCAGCGCCTCGTAGGTCGACCGCGGCGGCGCGTGCCAGAGCGGCACGTCCTTCTTCGCAATCTGCGGCGCCACGTCCACTTCTGAGCCCCGAATCTCATAGGTCAGGCACCGCAAGTCGACGCCGCCCGTGCTCAGCTTCTTCTTTTTGGACGCGCGCATCATCAGGTTCCGCGTGACCGGCATGTTCCCCGTCAGCAAATGGGCGACGCCGCCGCCCGCCTCCCTCTTGAGGAAACTCCTCAAAGCCGTCCAGGCCGCGTCGGCGCCCTCTAGTCTTCCATCCCAGGGCGGGTTCGAAATGACCAGAGACGGTTTTGACTCAGGTGTCCACGCGAGGCAGTCGGCGACTTGTATCGTCACGTCGTCCTCGACGCCGGCGTTCGCGATGCCGTCCCTCGCTAGACCGGCGGCGCCCGCGTGCGCGTCCGCACCCATGATTTTCGAGGGGCATGTGTCCCGGACGCGTTCTCGCGCTTCCCTTATAACCTCGTCCCACGCGTCTCCGTCGAAGTCCTTCCACCGTTCGCACGCGAAGCCCTCGCTCTCCGCCCGTTGCAGGCCCGGCGCGATCTGCCGCGCCATGAGCGCCGCCTCGATGAGAAACGTGCCCGAGCCGCACATCGGATCACATAGTGCTTCGCCTCGCATGCTGCGCTGGGGCCAGCGGGCCCCGTAGAGCATCGCGGCCGCGACGGTCGGTCGTAAAGCCGCTCTGTGAGACGTTCGTGACCTATAGCCGCGCTTGTGAAGCGACTCTGATGATAAAGATCGGTACAAGGTACACCTATCCCGGTCCAAAAACAAGTGCAGTGGCACGTCGCACCCATCCTTGGCGACGGACGGCCGCCGGCCCAGCTGGTTCTCGCCCCTAAAGGAATCGACGACGGCGTTCTTCAGGGTCAGCGACGAGAAGTGCGAGTGGGCCAGCGCCTGCGCGACGCCGCCCGTCAGCGTCGCGTCGACGCGCAGCGTGCCCTCGACGTCCATGAGCTCGGGCCACGGGACGTCCCTTCCCAAGTTATACAGGTCCGCGGCCGTCTCGACGCCGTTCCGCCAGGCCAGCACTTCCAGCACCTTCGTGGCCGTCCGCGCGTGGATGAGCGCCGCGTAGCCCACGCGCGTGTCTCCGTCAAAGTGCACGCCGCTGCGCCCGATTTCGACGTGAGACGCGCCGATACTCTCAAGCTCGTCGGCGAGGTACGGCTCGCAGCCGCGCGCCGTCGAGGCGAAGTAGCGCTGCTGCAGGGCGTTCGCCGTCGCGAGTACCACGAGGCAGCGCATCGCTGCGAGCTCAGTGTGCTGCAGCCTGCTGGTGGCAGTAATTACTGGCGCGCGAGCGCAGTTCCGCGATCGCTGCTGCAGCCGACAGAAGAAATAACGAAGCTCGCCGACAGCTTGCGAGCAGCGAGCACTGCTGCAGACCAGAGCCGGTTTTGCAATTCGACCTAGCGTGTCTTGAGACACACTAGCACTGATAGAAATGCGAGCCAGATAGCTACCACCGGCCCACGGCGAGCGAGGAGGCCTGCTCAGCGCCTCTTTGGACGCCGCTAGCTGCTGCCCGCGCGGGGTGCTGGATGGATGCGCCTGAGAGGCCGCCATTTTTGCGCCATTTGCAAACTAATTACGAGGCCGCCTGAGAGATGGCTACCGAGGTACGCACCACCGCATCGCTGCCCCACCCACGCCGGTGCAGCCCCGGGCGCCGCCCGCGCGCGCAACCCCAAAAAGCATCCAATCCGAAAACCCTTATTCCACGCGCGCCCCCGAAACCGCAAGCACCACGCAGGGCGAAGCCATGCTGGCCGTCGGCCACGCCGCCTACGCGCGCAAGGACTGGCCCGCGGCCATGAAGGCGTTCCAGCAGTCGGCCGAGGCCGGCAGCGCGGAGGGCGCGTGGGAGCTGTCGCTGATGCACGCCCACGGCAAGACCGGCGTCGTGGACAAGGAGGAGGCCCGGAAGTGGCTGAAGATCGCGGCCGAGGGCGGCGCGGTGAAGGCGCAGATGTTTTTGGCACAGATGTCGACGTTCGGGCGGGGCGGCTACGAGAAGGACGAGTCGGTGGCGTTCGAGTACTTGACGCGCGCCGCGGACCAGGGCAACGCCCACGCGACGCACCAACTGGGCGTGCGGTACCTGTACGCCGTCGGCGTCGAGCAGGACCTGGACAAGGCGATCGAGCACTTCGACAAGGCCATCGAGCTCGGCTCGGCGGATGCGGTCAAAGATCGGGAGATCGCGCAGAAGAAAAAGAAGATGTCCTTCACGCGCGGGATCAAGAAGCAGATCAGCGGCCTGCCCATGATCGGCCGCTCGAAGTCGAAGAGGAACACGGTCGAGTCGTCGCTGCGCATCAAGGCCGCGTCGGCGCCCCTGAAGAGCCCGTCGTCGTCGCGGCAGACGTCGCGGCAGTCGACGCCGGCGCAGTCGCCCGTGGCGTCGCCGACGTCGCAGCCCGCGTTCGAGGAGGAGGAGGCGGTGCCGTCGCCGACCGCTGGCGCGAAGCGGCCCGCGCCGGCCGCCGCTGCCGCGGCGGCGAAGCGCCCCGCGATCCGGGAGCCCTCGCCGCGCGCCGCGGCCGAGGCGGCCGAGACGCCGCCGCGCGCCCGCTTCGTCGAGCGCGCGGACACGTGGGAGGCGCCGCCGGCGGCGGCGGCCCCGGAGCAGGCGCTCCGGAAGTTCGCCTTCGCCTACGGCGCCATCGTCCTGATCGGCGTTCTGGCGGTCGCGTCCGAGTACCTCTGATGGTGAGCTTGCAGCGCGCGGCGGCGCGTGTTTGCGGTGGGGCGTTAGTAGAGATTCATAAAAGGAGTCTTCAATTCAACAAGAGTAGTTTTACACACCTACCCGCCTCCTCTGAGCATCAGTCGCCCATCATAGGCTCGAAGCAATCAAGCTGTTCGCCACTTTCCATATCGAGGCTCGCAGGCGTCTGATCGCCGTGTACGCGTGATCCATCATACAAGAAGCGTAAATGCCTGGCGGGCACGGGCTCGAACCGCCTCGAGTGGATCGAAGCATTTCTCTCACTAAATTTCTGCATGACGAAGGCAACGTCCTCGTCGCCCTTGAATGTTTTGATCGAAGAGGCGCTGTGAATGCGATGAGCTCCGTAGCCCGGGTCGTATGCCTTGTCGTGGGGACAGCCCGATTCGATGATCTTCTGGTGCGCGGCGGCAAAACGCCCGTCCGGCGGCGCGCGCAAAGTAAACACGGTGGCAAGACGTTCGTTCCCTGAAGCCGACGTCCACGACACCCGATGTGGCGCCTCGCAAACTGCACCGCAAGACGCGACCGAGAGGGTGTGCCCGCAGAGAACAGCAACTTCGTCGTCGGCCAGGTCCACGGGCTCGACGTAGCCGTTCTTCGGATCCATCACTTCCAGACGCGAGCCGCCGGAGCACGGCAGGATAAGAGTAACTAAGCCGCGGTCGACGTGGCGCGGGCAGGCAACAAGGTCAGCACCAGCGCAAGGGACTGACGTTCCGCCCCCCGGCAGGACGCGGGCGTCACGCAAGGGATCCTTCGCCATGCTGTCCTGCGAGTACTTGTGGAAGCGGAGGCAGCTTGACGCCGCTGAACGCGACGACCTCGTGTCTAAGAGCTCGTCAAACGCCGTCCCGCTACCAGTGAGGCCCAGGGCGGTCGCACGGGTCACTTGGAGGGAAATCGCATGCAGCTCGTCAAAGAGATCGTCAGCCGCGGACTTCGTGAATGGCCCCGGCGACCCGCGGTGATGGACGTAGAGCTCCCGGCCTGTCTCGGGACTTTTGTAACCGCTGCCCGACATCGAATCATCATCCAGGCGATGCTCCCGCGGCTGAGTCGTGCTGTTGAAGAAAGCGTTCGCCTCGGCGAGGAGCGGGTGTCTGCCGAAGTCCAGGCCCTTGAATTTTAAGACGGCAGCGCCGCGCGCCCGTAGCGCCGCGGCCAGCGCGCCGCCGGCGCCGCCGAGGCTCGACAGTTCCGTCGCCGGTAGGCGCGCGAGCGGAGTCGCTGGTACCGAAAAAAAAGGGCGTCTCGAAGCGAATGCATCCATTATTTTGTTGAATTTCGTTGTCTTCTTAAGCTTAAACCAAAGCGCCACGCCCGTCTCACCGCAGCGTACGCTGATGTTTAGAGAACTATTGTCCTCTTTTGGCTCCGTTTTGACCTTTTTGCGTCTGGTGGTGCCGGAAGCTGATTTTTTCCTTCGCGGGGGCATCTTTCAGGCAGCCAAGCGCAGCGCACGTAGCGCACGTGGCTCGCAGCGACCGGCTGCGAGGATGAGGCTTACGCCTTTTATGACTGAGCAATGGCAGCAGAGCAAGACGAGCCGGAGAGCTTGCTAGTGTCTTACTAACGCTAGCTAATGACTCGCGCTTTGTTTTCGCCCCGTACACATTATAGGCTGCAGCTACGCATCGATAACTTTGACAACGTACATACACGACACCGATGATGCTGCGTGCGAAGCCGCTATTCATTTGGTGCCTCGCCGGCCGAGCAATCGCACTATCACTCTCCAGGCGGACATTTGCGATTGGAACAGCTGCCGTACCGTTCGCTGCGCGTGCTGACGTCCCAGCACAAACATACGACGGCCTGTACTACGTCGAGGGATCCAAGAGCAGACGCAGAGTCGTCACGCGCGACGGCGCCGTCGTCGTCGAGGCGGAGGAGGACGGCCGATGGCGCGTACTCGAGTCAAGCGCTGGCGACGACGGCCTACGAGTCGCCGGCAAGTCGGGAGTCTTCGAGAGCGCGAGAAACAGCGCCGTGCTGGACTGCATGGTCCAGGTGACCTTCCCGGCGGACAGTATCCGCTGGTCCGACGGCGAGCGGTGGGTGCGGAAGCGCGTATTGTATCCTAAAACTTAGTGTCTCCGCCGCTTCCGCCCGGGCCGCGTCTGCGTCGAGAGCGGGCCGGCGGCGCGGCGCGCGGCGCGCGACGCCTCGCGCTTGCGCGGCGGCGGCGCGACGGGCCCGCCGTCCGCGCCGACGACGTCCCACGGCACGCGCGGGAGCGGCTCGGGGACGTCGCCGCCGGCCTCCCAGACCGGTAACTCGAGCGGCAGCTGCGCGTCCCGCGCTCTAGCTCGAAAGCCTCTATCTCTCTTCAGCCGCGCGTCCCGGTCCTCACCATCGTCGACGTCGAACGTAACCTCGGCCGCGTGCTCGTCGACGTCCGTCCAGACGCGCTCTCGCTCGGACACGCACTCCTCCGTGACCTGGAAGAGGAGCTGCAATTCGTCCTCCGTCGGGCTTCCGGACCCGCGGAAGCGCACGCGCCCCTCCTGATCCAACAAGTACACGTAGCCCACCAATCGGTTGTCGAGCCCCAGCTCCTGTCTTATGGGAGCGACGTCGCCGATTTTGAGGCAATTCCACGTGTTCAGGGAGATGTCCGTCGCCGCCTTCCGCAAATCTCTCAGCAGCCAGTTCCGCAGAAACTTGAACCTAAACACGGGCTGTTCGATGAGCGAACAATGGGCAGTGGCCGTATGCGCCATCCCTCTATAAGTCAAGTAAACTCGTCGACCAAATGGTTCGAGCCACTCGCGCGACTGCGCCGCGCCGATGGCCCGGAACGAGACCCCGACCAACGTGACGCGTCGTTTCAGCAACGCGGGGAAGGCCACGGCCGTGCCGTCGACGTCGACCGCGTCGAAATTCGGGAACGCGACGGCGCCGTCCTCGCGCCTCGCAGCGATGGTCTTGCCCTGCGTCTTGCGGTGCTGCATGAGCTCCTCGGCGAAGCTGAGCTCGCGGCGCGTCGACGACTGGCGCCCATACCGTGCCAGTGGTGCTTGTGCGCGTCGTATGAGGACAACCGTGCGGCGCAGCATCGCTTCTGGGATCGCTGCTCGTGCTGCGCCTCCGCTGTGGGCGTTTCGCCGGCCTTTTTGCCTTCAGTGGCGCCTGCCTCTCCCAGCCTGGTCGAGAGAGCACCACTCTAAATCCGCCCGTGCTGCCGCAGCGATCACGGCGACAGCTCAAGACCTCCAACGCACATCGAACAGATCGGGTGAAGCCTCGCGGGCACGATAACGGACGGCAGCGCAGGTACAGCCCCTCTCTGAGAGAGCGGCCCATGCTCTTTGCCATGTCGGTAGCAGCCGCGGCCGCGCTGTCGACGCCCGAGCGCGCTCTGCCGAAGGGCCGCCTGCTCGTCGGCTACGCGACAGACCGTAGTCTGCGCGAGGACAGGGTCGTCGCCGCGTGCCGCCAGGGCGTCAACGTCGTCATCTGGTCGTTCGCCCACCTCGAGGTCGAGGACGACGTGCCGCGCGTCAGACCGACCTTTGACGTGGACCTGGTAAGGGCGACGCAGAAACGACTGGAAGCGGAGCAATTGGACGTGCGGCACTTGGTCGCGTTCGGCGGCTGGAACGGGCCGCACCCCGACGAGAAGCTCGACGGCCGAGCGTGGTTCGAGGTCTGGCGCGCGTGGAACGTGGCGCACGGCTTTGTATTTGACGGGTGCGACTGGGACCTCGAGGGCAACGACGACGCGTCTCAGAACTTGAGTGAAGCGATGGTGGCGCTCGTGGCGGACTTTTGCAGGGAGGCGAAGCGACATGGGTATCTGATCGCTCTAGCGCCCGCGGAGTCGTACCTCGACGCGGGCTCGGCGGAGGTCGACCTGCTGTTAAATCATGAGCCGCGCGCGCCGTGGCGGCCGGGCGAGAACGGCTTTCCCGCGGCGGGCTTTCCCTACGCCGGGCGCAACGCCTACGCCGCGGTCCTGGCCCGGGCCGGCATGGACAGCGTCGACGCCGTCTCGGTGCAGCTCTACGAGGGCTACTCGTCGGCCTGCTACGCGCTGACGCGCGGCGGCGCCGCGCTGGCAACGTACGCAGAAGAGGTCGCCGCCGGCCTATCCACGAAAGGCGTGACCGTCGGGGCCGACGTCGTCCGAGTGCCGCGCGAGAAGCTGCTGCTCGGCTTCGCGAACGGCTGGGCCGACAACGAGAAATTCATCAGAGTGGAGCCCGAAGACGCCGCGCGCGCCGTGCAATCGGCGGGCTTGCGGGGCGCAATGTTCTGGGTCATCGACGAAGAGGGGTCTCCCTACGACTTCGCGGGGCGGTACACGGGTGCGTTGCCTGCTGCGGGTTCCGCGGAGTTGCGTTAATTGTTCTGTGTGCCTTTTTTTACGCATGCCGAATGCCTAGTGTGTTACGGCGCTAGCTCCGAGAGCAAAAAAGCCGAGCATCGGAGACAGAGCTGCATCGACTCGTTTACTGTGGCGGCATAAAGTTTACACTGGTTTTGCATCGGTGCTTCAACTCCCAGCTAGTGGAGCTGAGCAGAGCACTGAAAGAGCACCCATAGCGAGAGCACTCACAGCAACTCACAATAGCAAGCACGGCAGAGCGATAAACATGGTGCGGAAGTTTGTCCTCTGCGCTATTCTTGCGCTGGCTACATCGTTTGCACCAGTGGCGCCGCCGAAGCCACCCTCGACCGTCGTCCGCTCCGAGCCGCCGAAGACGAGCACTCCCCCGATTAATCGTGCGACGGCGCTGTCCGGCGGGCTCCTCGGCGGCTACCTCTTGCTGGAGTTGGGATACGGCGCGTACAATTCGACCAAGGAGTGAGTGCGCCGATGTAGTAACAACGCATGAGAGTCGGCGCGACAGCGAGGTTAAGTAGAGATATACTTATTGACCTCTCAAATCCCATAATCCGCGGCACGTCCGTCCACAATAGAATAACGTCACTCCAACACATGCACAGATGCCAACAGCGAGGATCACCATCAAGACAATTGTCACTGTCCCCGGCTTGTCGGACGACGACGACGACGACGACGAGAGCGCCCCGACAGTGGGCGACAGAGTCGGCGACAGAGTCGGCGACAGAGTCGGCGACAGCGTCGGCGCTCGTGACGGCTGACACGGACTCTCCCACGAAAAGTTCTCGTAGCGCTCGCCGAGCGGCGCGAGGCCTTGACCGTCCCCGGCGTAGCGGTACGTCGTCATGTAGCTCGTAGCGACGGGCGCGTCGCAGGCGTCCGTCGCGCAGTAGCACGCGTCCCAGCCGATGTTGAGGACGAGGGGCGTCGCGCACGAAGCGTCCGCTTCCGCTGCTGCCACGCACTCGGCGTTCGTCTGGATCTGCCACGAGGCGTCGCCGTAGCCCGCGGTCCACGAGTTGTTCGGGCAGCTGAACGACGTCAACTGACTCCAGGTCTCGCGGTTTAGCGCGTTGCCCGGCATGGACGCGGCCTCGTACGCGGCGAACCACGCGTACCGATTCACGAGCGGCGACGCCTCGAGTACGGGCACCACCTGATCCATGAGTCGCGAGTGCAAACTCGCATTACAAGACCGCTCAGCCCAGGGATTACAGGCGAACTCCGTGACCCAGATGGGTTTTCCTCCCGTGTTCTCGTACCACGTCTGAAGCTCCTGCTCCAGGTGCTCCGTCCCGTCGTCGCCGTTGCCCACGCAGGCCCACCAGGACACGTCGTCGCGGCAGGGCGCGGGCTGGAAGTAGTTGTGCGTGCAGCCGTAGTCAAACTCACAGCTCCCGTGCAGCGCCGTGCAATTACTTTGCCACGGCGCCCACCACCGCTCGCCGTGGACGCCAGCACTAACGCACGGCGCCACGAGCTCCAGACTGTAGTTCTGGGCGATTTCGACGAGGGTCGGCCACAGCTGCGCGGCGCGGCGCGGGGAGATGTTGGCTTGCGCCGAGAATTCGGGCTCGTTGAACCTGCGTCGATGGCGTCAGGCTCTTTCGAAAGTGCGTCGGGCTCTTTGGAAAGTCAAGGGGCACGGATCATGCACGTCAGAAGGTACGACGCCTGGTCGAGCTCGTGGTGCCACGCCTCGGGCGCCGCAACGAAGTCGTTGATGTGACCCTCGCCCCAAAACATGGGCACGAAGTCCATGCTCGCGCGGGCCCGGGCCGCCGCATCGTCTGGCGTGGCGCAGAAGCTGCCGTCGAAGCCGGTCCCGAGGCCCCAGCTGTACCACCACGATGACCTCTTGTGCGCGTCGAGCACGTCACACGTTTGTGCCGTGTGCACGGCCACGCCACGTTTTGGTGCGCGGGAGCAGACACCGGACGATACGCCAGTCGGCAGCGCTGCCAGGAGCAGGAACCAGACTTGCATGCTCACTTGCATGCTCACGCTGTTATGGATGGGATTCTCGTTCCTACGATAATAAACGCACGTAGGCGCCGCATTATCAGCGCGCAGCGCGCACGCACGGTGCGCACAGAGGCTGCCCAAATGCTTCAGAGAGGAGAGAGAGCAACCTCATGCCAATTCAAAAAAAATACTCGTACGTTTGCGATCTCTCCGGGACCACTGCTAGTACCCTTGAGGGTGGCCTGGGTCGTATTACGGCTGGTCGCGCGCCGTGCAGGGCGCTCTGCACAGCGCTGGCTGGCGCTTTGCATGCGCGAACAGCGAACAGAGGCAGCCCAATAACGATGGGCAGCGGCGCCTCCTCGACAGCGGCCGCCGCGCCGGCCAAGGACAGCAAGAAGCCGGTGCAGCTCCTGCCCACGCACAACGTGCAGGTGCCGTCCAAGTGCGCCCGACTCTACTTCGGCCTGTCCTGGAGCGCCAAGGCGAATATCGACATCGACGCGTCGGCGGTCTGCCTCGCCGGCGCGCAAGTGGCCGATATTATCTCCTTCCAGAAGTTAAGGGATGCCACGCCGGCGTCGATCGTCCACACGGGCGACGTGCTCACGTCGGGGACCGGCACGGGCACCTCTGATTTGGAACGGATCTACGTCCAGCCCGAAGCCATGGAGAAGCGGGGCGTGGACAACATTTTTTTGGTGGTCAACGTGTACACGCAGGGCCGGACGTTCTGCGACGTGAGTTCGGCCTACGCGCGTTTAGTGCACGCGGACTCGGACCAGGAGCTAGCGCGGTTTAACCTCAAGGGTTGTCGAGGCGACGCCCTAGTCTTCGCCAAACTCTACAAGCATGGCAACAAGTGGAACTGGATGGGCCTTGGGCAGCAGGGTTCTGGAAGGACCGCGGCGGAGGTGGCCAAGGCGCTGGCGCTGCGCATGGTTCCTGTGAACGCGCCGCCGGTGCAAGCGGCGGCGCCGCCGCCGACGATCGTCCAGGTCCTCGTGCAGCCCGGCATGCCCGGTCAGTCCATCCAGGTGCGGGCGCCAGACGGCCGCGTGCTGTCCGTGCTCGTGCCTCCTTCCTCAATTCCGGGCTCGGTCATCCTCGTCAACACGGCGCCGCCGCCGCAGCACGGAGTCCAGGCCAAGAAGGCGCCCGCCGGTGGTGTTAAAGTAAAGGCCACGAAATCGTCGGCCGCGCCGGCGTTGGTGGTGGCGTCCGCCGCGGGCGTCGCGGCGGCGATTGCTATCTTCGCCGCGCCCAACCTGGAGCTGTCGAATCTGGGCATCGGGGCCACGGGCTTAGTGAACGCGGCGGCGGCCCTCGAGCCGCAGGAACTACTCGAAGCGGTACCAACCATGGACCCGTCGGATTTCGCGGACGTCGTCGGCGACCTGGCGGGCGACGTCGTGAGCGAGACGGGCGACGTCCTGATGTCCGTCGGCGGCGCGCTGTCGGACGTGTCGCTCGGTGACGTCGGAGACGCCGCGGGCGTGGTGGGCGGCGCGGCGTCGAACGCGGCCGGGGCTGTCGGGGACGCCGTCGGCAACTTCGACGTCGGTGGCGCCGCGAACGCCGTGGGCGGCGCGGCTTCTAACGCGGCCGGAGCGGTGTCAAACGCCGTCGGCAACATCAACATCAGTGGCGCCGCGAACGCCGTCGGGAGCGTCTTCGGGAATATCGGCAGCGTCGTCGGGACGATCGCCGAGGGCGCGGGGGGCCTGTTTGAGGGGCTCGGCGGCTTCGCTGAGATGGCTTCCGGCGCGTTCGAGGGGATGGACCTGGGGGGGATGGACCTCGGGGGGATGGAGTTCTAAGTTAAAACATTGTTAGAAGAAACGCGGGGAACGGAGAAATGTCAAAAGGAAGGAGCGAGTGCTAGCTACATCTCAGGTTGCGACAGGACACGTACGTCCTGTGGCCGCTCCCCATCCGCCAGTCCGCCAGATTTGTTGTGTTGACGGGCAACCCGACAGTCACGTGTCCCCGCTTGATGGCCTCGAACACCCGCAAGTGGAGCTGTATCTCGACGACATGTTGGTCGAGACCCTGTTTCCGCGTCGCCTCCGACCGAAACCTCGCGCCGAGCTGCAGGTCCCGGTAGCCGACGAATTGGCCGGCGTATGGATCATATTCCGGATCGAAGCGACACTTCTCGAGGCCCTGCGGGACGAGCTCGAGTTCGTCGTCCGCGACGATGCGCTCGAGGCATGCCGTCAGTTCGTCGATAGTTTCGAACGCGATGGACACCCGCACGACGTCGCAGAGCCTTCGGTAGTCGCCTCCGTACGACCGCCACGCCTTCTGGAACGCGCGCGCCACGGTCTTCGTTGATCCGTACACGACGGCGCCTGCGTCGCCACCGATAGCCTCCGCCTTCGCGACAACGAGCGGCTGGAGCACGTAGGCATCTTCAAAGAGCGCGCCCACGCTCGCTGCCGCCTGGCGCTTGCTCCGCTTCTCCGCGCCGGCCATGGCAGCTTTGTACGCGTCGACCAGGCCCGAGAGCGCTCTGAGTTTCGTCTCGTCCGCGACGAAGGTCTTCCAGATTTCGTCGTAGGAGCTGGCGTCGGCGCGGGCCATCTCGTGCGCGTGTCGGAGCGTCCCTCTGTATTTGAGCTCCACTAGCACAATGCATGCGACCGCTCCCCCGCTTAGGAAACACCAAGAGTAAAATATATTTTGCAGGTGGACACTTTGCCGCTTCGCGTAGAACAAGCCCCAAATTAAGCACTTATGGTAAAAATAACCGAGGACATAAGCCAAGGTAACTCGAAACGAATGCCACCGCGGAAATAAGCACACGATGGTGGCCCAAGCGAGAGACATGAGACGATCTATGATCAAATCCGCAACAATGTACCCGGACCGCCCCCGCCCCAGCAAGACGACACCTTCTCTGATGCCCACCGCCCCGTTCGCTAAGATTGCAGCAAATAGTAACATCCGCGCCGCAAACCGTCGTCCCATGGACAATAAGTGCGCCGTGGCCAGAAGTGCAAATCCTACCATCAGCAAAGCCGCGCAGAGAGCAAGTTTAAAAAACGCAACAAACAAGAGACCAATTATCGCAATAATCATGACTAACCCAATCAGCATTTCAAGCCCCACTTGAAAGTGCGGCGATAGCCAAAGGCCAAGCGACGAGAACAACACGGCATGGGCCGATTCTGAGCTCGTCTCAACCCAGCTTGCAAACCTTTTGTTTAGCTGCCGAACCGTCGGACGCGATTGCTCCGCCACCGGCTTTGGGGCCACGGGCTCTGCGGCTCGCGATTGCCGATGCGCCGTCCGCATATCGATGAGCCAAGCCAGCGCGACACCCCACGACTGGGTGAGCAAAAACCACAAAACGAGCCAAACGCCAACATCCACGTGAGTTACCGACATGGTCACGAAATAAACGATGAGTAAGATGATAAACAATATCACCGCGCCAATTAAGTACACTAATCCCAAAAAAGCGGGGAAAAGTCCGAGCTTGACACGCACATTGGACTCGCCCCCAGGCGCGGGCGGCACCAACCGTTCCACGTAGTAGGCCATGATTTTCGGGAGGACAGCTAAGAGGAGTACGCACAGGTAGAGTAGATTTAAGATCAAGTCCAAATTCATCCACATCAGGGCGAGGAAGTGCATGACCAGGCAGACGAAGACGATGGCAAACGTGGCGTTGCTGCTCGTCTCCCACAGGTCCCTCGCCTCCGCCATCTTGCCGTCCTTAGACAGGCGCTTCACCTGCCACAGCGTGTAGCCGAGGAAGAATATGTAGAGCGGCAAGATGAAGTAGCACGCCGTCCAGTGACTACCCTCGCAGTGGGATCCTCGCAGATCCTCGCCGTCCTCGTACGCGACGTCGTAGTTGCTGTCGCACGCCTCGCCCGGCTCGCAGCGGACGCACGAGTAGCGGTACTCCCGGCATCGTCCGCTGAAGCCGCAGACCTCGTCGCTCTTCACGTAGCGGTAGTTAGTATCACACGCGGCCTGCATGTCGATCGCGCAGCAATCCGAGTCCTTATTCCACTCGCCTGCCTCGGGATGACCCCAGCGTCGGCACGTCCCTTTCTGGGGCAGGACCGACGCTGTCGGCCCCGGCGTAGTTGTGGCAGCCGCGTAACGCAGCAGCGCGATCAGCGCAAGCATTGTGAGCACCTGATCCTCTGTGGCTGCGGATCACCGCTGCAGCTAGCGCTGGTTGCGGGCTGCCTATTATGTGAATGCCGCGGCGATTGGCAGCCCTTGAATGAAGCGTTTACAGGCGCACGAGATGATCGTGCTAGCGTGTCGACGCTAGGATTCAGCTTTTGCGCGCTCGGGGGAGTTTTTAAAGTTAAAACGTTGTTAGAAGAAAAACGGGGAACGAAGAGAAAGCCCAGAAGGTAGGAGCGAGTGCTAGCTACATCTCAGGTTGCGACAGGACACGTACGTCCTGTGGCCGCTCCCCATCCGCCAGCCCGCCAGATTTGTTGTGTGGACGGGCAACCCGACAGTCACGTGTCCCGTCTTGATGGCCTCGAAGACCCGCAAGTGGAGCTGTATCTCTACGATGTGTTGGTCGAGGCCCCGGTCCCGCGTCTCGGCTGACTTGAATGTCGCACCTAGCTGCAAGTCCCGGTAGCCGACGAATTGGCCGGCGTAAGGAGCATATTCCGGATCGAAGCGACACTTTTCCATGCCTTGCGGGATGAGCTCGAGCTCGTCGTCGGCGACGATGCGCTCGAGGCATGCCGTCAGTTCGTCGATAGTTTCGAACGCGATGGACACCCGCACGACGTCGCAGAGCCTTCGGTAGTCGCCTCCGTACGACCGCCACGCCTTCTGGAACGCGCGCGCCACCGTCTTCGTATTTCCGTAGACGACGCCCGCGTCGCCGCTGATAGCCTCTGCCTTCGCCACAACGAGGGGCTGGAGCGCGTAGGCGCCGTCGAAGAGATCACCGACGCTCGCCGCCGCCTGGCGCTTGCTCCGCTTCTCCGCGCCGGCCATGGCAGCTTTGTACGCGTCGACGAGGCTCGAGAGCGCCTTGATTTTAATCTCGTCTGCGACGAACGTCTTCCAGATCTCGTCGTAGGAGCTGGCGTCGCCGCGGGCCATCTCGTGCGCGCGCTTTAGGGTGGCGCGGTATTTGATCTCCACCAGCAAAATGCAGGAGGCCGCCAATGCGGCCACGTCGCATTGGGCGGAAAAGGCTGTTTGCAAGACCTCCGTTTGCCGCTTCGCAAAGAACAAGCCCCAAACAAGGACCCTGGCGTAATAGTAACTCAGGAAACAAGCCGTGCTAAATCGCCACGAATGCCATCGCGGAAACACGCACAAGATCGTGCCAACAGCGACACAGAATAGAACATTCGTGATCATATTCGCGACATGATACCCCGACCGCCCCCGTGCCAACAAAACGACAGCTTCTCCGGTGCTCGCCGCCGCCATCGCTGCGCAAGCAACAAATAGTAGCACCCGCGCCGCAAGCCGTCGTCCCGCGAACACTAAAAGCCCCGTGCCCAGAATTGCAAATCCATTCATCAGCTGAACTGCGCAGTAGGCAAGGGAATTGTGTTGGAGTGAGAATATCGCACCGACCATGACGAACAGAGAGAGGAATATAAGGATCGTAGGAAAGTGCGGCGACAGCCACATTCCTAGCGAACTAAAAAGAACAGCATGGGCCGATTCTGAGCTGTACTCAACCCAACTCGCGAATCTTTTGTTCAGCTGCTCACGTGTCGGCCGCGATTGCCCCGCCGCCGGCTTTGGGGCCACGGGGGCTGCGGCTCGCGCTCGTCGCCGCGCCGTCCACATATAGATGAGCCAGGCCAGCGCGACGGCCCACGCCTGGCAAACCAAAAACCACAAAACGCACCACACGCCAATATCGACGTGAGTGGCCGACGTGGTCACCAAATTCACGACGATGAAAATAATCCAAAGGATAATCCGACCGACGAAATACGCAAATCCGAACCAGAACATGAAACAGATCGCTTTGCACCTGAACGCATGGTCCTTGGTGTCCTGCCGCGACAGTATGCGTCGCAGGAGCAACGGACGGTTCATGCGCTCTGCAGCATTTGGTGGTGCCTCGACGTCCATGGTTAGGAGAGGCAGCCCCTGCCCGCTGGGGCTGTTGTGCCGCTCAAATTCCTCACAAACCGTCTCCAGCCAAATCATTAGCGTATCGACACACTAGAAACGGCAAAAACGTTGGCCGCGCGCGCCTGGTCGCGCTGAGCCGAACCAGCACGAATTACAGCGTACAAGTATCTCTCCCGACTCCTGCTTGCTCGCGCTACCCGGCCCGGCAGAAATTGAGGGCGTACAAAGCCGTACAAGCCATATGCCGCGCCAAAAGGGCCGCGCGGGCGGCGGCCGCCGCCGCCCCCCAACAAGAGGCCGGCCGCGCGAGCCGGAGACCCAGGCGGACACCCAAGACAACACGCAGCCGCCGGCCCAGCCGCCCGCGCCGCCGCGCGCGTCGCCTGCATGGCTCTGCGCGCACTTCGAGAACGTCGCGCGCCGGCCGCAGCCGACGAGCGAGCGCCCGGGCTACGAGACCGTGCGCGTCGTCGCCGCGCGCGACGCCGACGCCGAGAACCGGGGCGGCGAGCTCCAGATCAGCGACGGCCGCCACACCTGCCGCGTGCTCGTGCCGCCGACCGTGGACGCGGGCCAGCCGCTCGAGAGCACGGTCGGCACGCTCCTCCGGCTCCACGGCGCGCGCGTCGTCGTCGACCGGATGCACGCGCCGCCGCGGCGCGGCCGGGACCGCGGCCGCGCCGCGGTCTTCGGCCTCGCGCTGACGTGCGCCGACCTCGAGCCGGTGGACAACGCCGCGATCGAGGCCGACGACGAGCAGCGGCCGGACGTCGACGCGGACGGCCACGTCTCGGCGCTGCTGCGCGCGTCGGCGGGCCGGGCCACGCTGCGCGCGGCCGCCGCGACGCTCGACGAGCACCAGCCCGGCGGCGGCGCCGCGACCGAGGACGCCGGTCTGCTCGGCATGGACGTGGCCCCGCTGCGGGCGCTCGTCGCCGCGGTCGCGCCGGCGCCGGCCCCGGCCCGGCGCATCCCCCGGCGCTCGCCGGCGCGCCGCGCGACGCCAGCGCCCGCCCCGGCGCCGGCCCGCTCGCCTGCGCGCCGAACGCCGCGGAACTCGCCCCAGCGCCGCCGGACGCCGCGGACGCCGGCCTCGCCGCCGCCGCCCCTGCCGCAACCCCGCGGGACGCCCCGGGTCCCGCCGACGCCCGGCCTGGACGCGCCGATGCGCGCGACGGCGGAGCGCCTCGTCGCGGAGCAGCGCGCGGCCGAGGCGGCCGAGGAGGCCGAGGACGAGGAGTGGCTCTTCTCGCCCGCGGCGCCCGGACACGCGCCGTCGCCCGCGCAGCTCCCGCGCCCGCGCCTCGCCGACCGCGCGCCGGCGCGGCAGCCGCGGCCCCTCGCGCGCGCCAAGCGCCGGCCCATATCCATCCTACCTCTCCGCTACGACCCGCGGAAGCGCGCGGCGCCCGAGCCCGCCGCCGCGCCGACGACCGAGCTCTGGCAACGGCCGGCGCCCGCGCCGACGGCCGAGCTCTGGCAGCCCGCGGCGCCCGAGCCTGCGCCGACGGCCGCGCCCGCGACGGCTGCGCTCTGGCAGCGCTGGCCGGCGGTTCCCGAGCCCGCGCCGACGGCCGCGCTCTGGCAGCGCTGGCCGACGGCCGAGGAGGCAGTGCCGATGCCGCCGCCCGCGCGCCCGGAGCTGACCGCGCCGTGGGCGCCACCGCCGCCCGTCGCGTCGTGGGCGGCGACGCCGAGGCCGGACGCGCCGTGGTCGCCGTTGCAAGAAGCGCGACCCGGCGCGAAGCCGTTGGCCAAGATGAAGCGCCGGGGCATCACGATGATGCCACTCGGGTCCAAGCGTGCCCGGGCCTAGACAGACTAAGAAGGGTCCCCCATGAGGCCAAATACGGCACTTCTACACCGTCAACGGGATATGTTACATGCATACAGGGGGGAAGACCTACGCCGCGTGCGCCGGGCGAAGCTCTTCCGGCGACTCCTTGGAGTCCTGCGTGTGGTGTGAGCCGTCCTCGTGGACGACGGACGGCTGCGCTGCGAGGTGCGGCGGCGACGGGTCCGAGGAGCTTTGCGGGAGCCGGAAGCGGTAGCCCGAGGGCCCCGAGGAGCTCAAGTCCAGGCCCAGGTTCGAGTAGGCCGACACGTCGTTGAGCGTCAGCGACCGGTGCGACATGTCCATGAGACCGGGACGCCACGACCGGTCCATGACGTCGCGAGCCGTGCGGTTGCCGCGGCCGCTGAAGTCGAGCACGGAGCCGCCGTAGCGCGAGCGATGCATCGAGTCGCGGAAGGCGGCGGACGACTCGACGCGGCGGACGTCGTCCATGAGGCCCGTCGCCACGCTGACGGCGGCGGCAGGAGACGTGGGCGAGGGCGTCGTGGCGACGCGCGTGCCGGCTTGCGACCGCCAGGTGTCGAAGCGCAGATAGAAGAAGAAGCGCGAGACGCGCGAGACGCGCTCGGCCATGGCGTGGAAGAGCACGTAGAACGCGACCAGCCGTTCGAGAGAAGCCACTCTCCCTTCATACAACGCCTCGACGACCGCGTGCGACGCCAGCGCGCCGGCCAGGTCCTGCTCGGAGCCGTGCGACACGGCGCCGACGACCCTGCCGCGGACGTTCGGCGGACTCGGCGTCGGCTCGGCCAGGTACAACATGCGCCGCGCCACCGGCTCGACCGTCGACCCCATGTTGTGCCGCACCTCGCTGAGAAACTTCGGCCGGTCAAAATCAAAAATCACGGCCCGATCTACGACGTCGGGAGTGTAAGAGTGATGACCGACAGTACACACTTCCGCGCCGACGCCCCAGTTCGACAGGGATTTTAGTTGTAGAGCGGTAAGGAACGTGGCGCACTCGACGTCCACCAACGCTTTGAGCCGCCCGTCCGGGACGCCGACGGCCACGAGCGTGCCTCGGACGATGCGATGCAAGCACTTGTGGACCGCATGATCACCAGGATTGCCCCCCGCGAACTCGCAGCCGTTCAGGCCATACGACAGTCCAAACAGCTTCTGGGCGAAGGCCACGGCGCACTGGTGCACCATGGGCACGTCTAGTACTAAGCAAGTGCGCTTGCCGAAGCGCGCGAGTAATGTTCTGCCTTGTATTAATCTCAAGAGTAACGAGAAGACGACCGTGAAGAAGGTATATAAGAGAGCGTCCGCGAACAGTATGACGTAGTTCCACGGCGATCCTTTCGAAAGGCCGCAGGCTTGGGCGATGGCGTGGGCGATCGGTAAACCGGCCGTCACGGTCACCAGAATATATATCAACGCCGCGGTAAAGGCGATCAAGGGCTCGACGGCGTGGTCGCCCCACGCCCTCCCCACGACTGCCGCGTCGTGGGCGCCGCCGCACAACTTGGGCAAATCCCGCTCGACGGACGTGCGCGCCAGCGTCGCCAATTCGTCCAAGTCGTGGCGCGACAGCGCGACGTCCCGGGCTGGCGCCGCGCGCGCGACGCGCACTAACAATTCAGTCAGTAAATGGTGCGTCGCCGCCGTCGTCAACGACGCCGCCTCGGCCAATCGTATCCCGGCATTTGTGGAGAAGACGCGGTCCGTCACAGGACTACCGGGCGCGAACTGCTGGCCAATAACGTCGTCCGCAATCACGACGTCGAGCTGGCCGGCCACGCAGAAGACGTCCGCGCCGGCAGCTTTCAAAGCCCGCGCCGCATGTAACGTAGGGAACGACTGGCCGCTGTGGCTCACGGCTAAAGCCAGCGCGTGCCGGCACGCCTGGGACGCTTTGAGGCCGGGCGGGAAGACCGTCTCCGACGGCGTCGCGCCGTTGCAGGTGATGGCGTTGTGGCACGCGGTGAGCGCCGCCAGGGCCTTATTGGAGGAGGCCACGACCACTCTAAGTGAGGGGCACGCCGCCCGTAAATTCACGGCCCACTGCTCGGCGACCCAGAGCGAGCACTCGACGCCAATGATGACGAGATCTAAATGCGATGACGCACGCCGCTGCGCATCGAACAATTTCGAGGAGAAGGCCGATGCCGTCATCTTGTTCGGGCCGTCCTCGAAGGAACGCGTGATCGCTCGTAATACGGCCGGCAAATCGGCTAGATCTTTGCCGACGACGTCGCCGCCGAATTGTGAAGGAGATACAGGCCTCGCCATGAGCTCCGAGACCCCGTCAAAGTCTTCTAATGTCGAGAAGGAACCGTCGGCGAGCGTGGCCCGTTGTAAGACGGCGCCGCAGTGGTCCCCGGTGCCACTGACGACGGAGATGACGTCGCCCTCGCGGAGGACGTACCTTGCTTCCAGGTGGCTCCCGACGCAGCCGACGTGTAACGCGGCCCGTTCAGAGGCGTACGCGACGAAGCCCCGCCCTATCCCCACAATCATGGGCTGCTTCACGCTCCCGAGCACGACGGCGCCGGGCGCCGCCGACGCGTGCGCCGCGACCCCAAAAGCGCCGTGCGCGTTCTTGAGCACGCGGACGACCGCCGTCCGCAGGTCGCCTTTCTGAAACTCCGCGAGCGCGTCCTTTGCAATACGCTGCGCGTCCGGTGCTGATAGCGGCGCCATATTTGACGGGTAGCGCTCTTTCAGTAATTTCGTCAGCGCGTCTGCATCTAATCCAGCCTTGAGGCCATCTATCAAAGTGCTTCGGAGCGTCGCGTCGCCGGCCCGAATATCATCTAACCGAGCCAACGCTAAGCGAGCGGCGCTCGTCGCATCGCCCGCCGCAAACAACAAATCCAAACAACCCGCTAACGCACACGAGTCCGCCGCGCAGGGCGCCGGCCGCCCGAGTCGTACCGAAAGCCACCTCCGCAGCTCGTCGAGGGCCATGGGTCTCGAGTCGCCCCCGAACAGCTTCCCGATGTCTAACGCTTCGAAGTCGCCATTGTGCGTACATAACACGATGCGCGTCGTCTTGATCCCATTGACCTCCGTCCGGACGGGTCCGAGCCAACTGTGGGGGTGCGCCTCCTTGGCGAAGCTTCTTGATGAGGTGGCGAAGCGCAGGTGGGCACCCACTACTAACGGCCGCTGGTCCTTTTGACACCGGCCTTTCCTTGCCAGAGCGCTTCTTAGTGTTGTTGCGAGGTCGGCCCTCTTCCTTAGCACCGCGCGGTGCACGCTTAGTTGAGACGGCGTCGCGCGCCAGAAGCCGTAAGACTGGGCACCGCGCATGGCTACCACGCGCGTCATCGCCTCGGCGGCGTCTTCCGCGCTGAAGGCGCAGTCCTCGCCGAGCAAGAGGCCTAGGTTCCCGCACATTTTGCTCTCGCGTCGCACCACTATGCGCAGTTGTTCTGCACAGCCAGTGTTTAGAACTTACAAATGCTGCGGTTTCACAGCTCAAGCGCGCAGCAGCGTACCGCAGCAGGCTGGCGCGCTCGTTAGCTATTACCGACGCGCAGCAATTCGATCTGTGTCCGGTTTTAGCACTGCCAGACCCACAAGAAGAACACATCGCAGTTTTTGGCCATGATGGATCTTTTAATTTTTAAGCCTCTCTTCGGACTACTATTTTACGCGTCTAACTGCCCCCTGGAAATATAAGCTTCCGGAGGCGCAAAGAGCTAGCGCTGTAAGGACACTAGCAAGCACAACCCGGCTTGCGCGCATCGCATCGATCAATCTACGTGCGAGAGAAGAAACACCGCTCTGGACCACAACCATCGACGGCAGTTGTTTTTCGTCGCCGGGCGCCCGGCATCGCATCCATGAGGCTCCCAGCCGCCCTGCTGCTGCTGCTGTGCGCGCGGGCAAGCGGCGACGCACCCCTCGAGCTCGTAGCGCAGTTACGAGCCGTCCAGCGCGACAGCCCTTTGCTCGACTCGATGAAGGATGACGTCGCCGACGTGCCGCCGCACGAGCTGGCACAGGCGAGAGCCTCGCTAGGAGACGACGTCACCAGAGGCTTTCACGGCACGACGACCGTCGCCTTCCAGTACGAGGGCGGCACGGTCTGCTGCGTCGACAGCCGCGCGTCGCTGGGCACGTTCGTCGGAAGTTCAGCGGAAAAAATCATCCCCATCTCGAAGAAAACGCTCGGCACGATGGCCGGCTCGGCGGCGGACTGCGTGAGCTGGCTAAGGCTGCTGAGCGCCCTGTCGAAGCTCCACGAGCTCGAGAACGGTGCGCCTTTGAGAGCGTCACAAGCCGCGCGGACGCTCGGGTCTTTATTGCGAAGACGGCGCGGCGACGACTACGGCGTTGGCACGATGGTCTTTGATAGTGACGCGTTATACTATGTGGATGGCGAGGGCTACGAGCTCAAGGGGTCGGCCTTCGCCGTCGGGAGCGGTAGCGTCTACGCGTACCCGGCGCTCGAGGCGAATCTAGATGGGTTGGTGGACGCCGCCGCGGCGTTGGAGATCGCCGAGCGCGCCGTTGCGACGGCGGCCGTCCGGGACGCCTACTCGGGTGGTCTGCTAAATTTGTGCGTCGCCGAGAAGGGTGCCGAGGGCTGGCGCCGGTTGTTGAGAAGGCATGCACCTGTTTTGTTAAATACTTAGAACTCTAACTTAGAGCCGTTGTTGAGAAGGCACACGCTGGCATCTGTCATGTGTGTTAAATACTTAGAGCTCCCCCTCGCCCTCGTCCTCGTCGTAGTCCGGCTCCTGCGTGCCGGCAGAAAACGCCTCATCAACGCTCTCCTCCTCGGCAGCAGACCCGCCCTGGACCGACTCCATGAAGGCGTCGGCCTCCTCCCTCGATAGACCTTCGGCCTCCATCTGCTCGTAGAGCTCCTCCATCATGTCCTCGCGCGACTGCATGACCATGGGCATGCCCTGGTCCTTCATGTTCTCCATCATGCGCTCCGTATCCAACAGAGTCTTCTCCTGCCTGTTGAATTCGAGGTCTTCCCTTTCTTTGACCGCTTTTCGTTCCTTGCCGCACCGCGACGTCGTTTCTCGGCACAGCAGCTTTTTGAATTCTTTTTCATCTTTTAAACCACGCCAGAGCGGTACCACAATGTCTTCCAAATCGCCGACGTCGTCGTCCAACAGTAAATCACAAGATCTCTTGACAGTTGCCGATTCGCGGTCCCACTTCCGGATATCACCACCTCTTTGCGTTCGATACACCTGGAGGTAGTTCTTGCCCGAAGCTTTTTCTTTTTTAGTTAGACCGCGCCACGGCGCGCCCGTCCCGAAGACGCTCTTCGCTGTCTCAACTAAATCGACGTACCAGAGCCACTCGCCGGGCTCCTTCCGCCTATTACAAACGCCTTCTAGAACAGCAGAAACGTCCGCCTCCGAGAACGACGAGACCTGGACTTTGGGGGCACCCGGCTTCGTATTTTTGACGGTCATCGGCGCGGCATCTCGCTGTTTCTCGACCTCTCGGTAGACTTCGCTCGCCACGATCTCGCAGACGTCGCACTTGATGCAGGGCAAATCAGCTTTGAAGGCGAGCGGCTCCTTGTCTCTTTGGCGGCGGCCAGAACCCATGCCCATGCCCTCCATGCCTATCTGGGCATTGCTGAGCGTTGTTAGCGCGAGCGCTACGAGGAGTCGCGCCATCGCTGCTGCTAATGCGCGCGCGTAGAGAGTGCCACGCGTAAAGCCGGCCGAAAGTCGCGGCTGCTGCGAGCGCGCCGGCAAAATCTGCGACGGCAGGTGATTGGTACGGTAGCCGTGGTACTGCCGCTGCTTTCTTGCGACCTGTGCTGCACCACGGACGGTGTTTCGGCTTTGCGAGGTCGGAGAGCCTCGACTCGACGCACAAAACGGGTTTTGTCAACGTGGAGCGGTCCAGCCGTCAACGAGGCCTCCAAAGCACTGCGAGACGGCTCTCGGAACTTCGCTCTCCAGCCGACACCGCCGAGGGGTTTCAAGACAAAAATTAGGAGCTCTTGCTAAACGTCCGGCGCGTACGCCTCGGTCAACGACACTCAACGCGGGCATCGTCGGGTTCGACGGTCGCTGCCACAGAGCACCAGTAGCCGCGAAGGCCGCGCGCGCCGCTGGCCCACGCTGCCCCCCGAAAGCAGCCCAGCACGCACGCCGTCAACGCGCGCGAGCACCATGGCGCAGCCCCTCGCCCCGCCGACGATGATGGACGAGTTCCGGGGCGGCCAGATCCCCGCGCCCGAGGGCGCCGAACTGAGGAGGGGCTACTCGCACGAGGCCTCTCAAAGAAGAGCGTGGAGCCGCAAGGAGGACGACGCGATTATGAGATTAGTGGGCAAGCACGGGACGAAGCGCTGGGCCATCATCTCGCAGGAGCTCAACAAGGAGGTCCCTGGTTTCAGATCTGGCAAGCAGTGCCGGACGCGGTGGCTCAACCACTTGGACCCGGGGATTAAAAGAGAACCGTGGTCCGAGCAGGAGGAGAACGTGATCTACGAGGCCCAGCAGCGCCTGGGCAACAAGTGGGCGGAGATCGCGAAACTACTGCCGGGTCGCACGGACAACGCCATCAAGAACCACTGGTACTCGACGATGCGGCGGAACATGCGGCGCCTGGCCAAGGACCTCAACGAGCCCGAGGAGGAGAACGCTGAGAGCGGCCTGGGTACGGTCGTGAGCGCTCTCGGGACGTCCGCCGACCTCATCCAGAAATGCGCAAGACAAATGGGCCGCCTGGAAGCCGCTGCGAGAAATGGGGAAGTGCCGTCGTTGAAACGGAGGAATGATGACTTCGAGGTCCTGCCCATCCCGACGGACGTCGAGCACCAGCGAAAACACGCTAGGTGCTTACTCCAAGCATTAGCTTGTACCACATTACCGTCGGGCGACACGACGCGCTCCGTGCTGCGACCCGCCGGCTACACGGCGCGGAAGGCGCAGGAGGCGGCGCAGAGCGCGAGACCTAGGAAGAAGCCCGCCGCGCGCAAGAAGGCGCCGCCTCCACCAAAACCCTTACCCATGGCCCCTCCGATACTACTGCCGCCGGGCCAGCAGATCGCACTCGGCCCGAACGGCGTCCCGATCGGTGTCGTCGTCCACCCGTCCATGTATGGCGGACGGGGGCCGCCGCCCGGCGCGGTCATGGTCCCGCCGGGCACGCAGTTCGTCATGGTACCCCCCCAGAACGGGTCGCCCACGAACGGCCAGTTCGTCGGCTTCCCTGGCTCGCCGACGAACGGCCAGGTCGTCATGCCGATGGTGGCCATGGGCTCGCCCACTTCCGGGCAATACGCGTTTCCGGCGCCGGCGCCGGGGGGTAATTCTTGAAGACAAGTACATCAGATTCTGCTGTTCCAGTTGTGCGCGGGTTTTTGTCATCGCGTTTTTCAAGCGCAGCGGTGCCAGGAGTAGCTAGTTTAGCGCGCTTGCACACGTTCTGGCCATTACTTGGGACCCACAGTACGCACGCGATCGCTGCGGCAACGTGACGGCAGTATAGGCTTGCATGCTCTCCGGTTCAACAATGCACAGACGCGCTACACGCGCATCGCTGGTCCTGACTTGCGCAACGCTGGCCTCAGCCATGCGCACACAACCGCTGCTCTCTCGGCGCGCCGTGATGGACACCGCGGCGGCGTTGGCCGCTACCATCGCCGTGCCGGCGCTCGCCGAGGTCGAACAGCTTGCAGCGCCGGGCAAATCCGTCGGTGCGATGCAGAAATTGAAGAGTGGTGTGCGTTATATCGACCTCAAGGAAGGCAGCGGTGCCGGTGCTTCGTCAGGGTCGCGCGTCTCGCTGCAATGGGTGCTGAGGCGGTCGAATGGCTACTTCGTTACATCATCGTTTGGACAAGTGGCATCGGGCCCCGACGCGGGCATCCTCAAGCTGAGCGGCATGTCGGCCCCGAACGACCCGTTCCTGTTCACCGTTGGCTCGAACGCGGCGCTGCCGGGCCTCGATGAGGCCGTCCTCGGCATGAAAAAGGGCGGCGTGCGGAGGATTGTGGTCCCGACGCGCCTGTCGTATACGCAGCCGCTCAAATCAAGCCCGGGTCCCGTACCCGAAGATTACGGGGCGCGGCGGCAGATCGAGCGCGAGCTCGCGAAGATGGATCCGGAGAACTTCTTCGTCCTCGAGGTCGAGGCCGTGAACGTCCGCTAGATACTCTAATGTGCCGGTACTTGTCTTCTCTAGGATGTTCACAAAGAATCACTTAATACAGGGCACCTCCAGCAGTGTCTACTACGGCAGCGCGACCTTCTGGATACACATCGACATGTTTCCATAATCGCCCTGGCCGTTCGTCGCCGACGCGACCTCGATCCCATCCGTACTTCTCTTCGGCTCGGTCCGGTACTTATCCGTCTTGTCGTTGTAGTCTTCGAGATTCTCGCCGTACTCGTCGTCGATGTCCCCTCCGAGGGGGATCATGCCGTCGTTCTCCACCGGGTTCCAGAACTCGCCCCCTTTGCCGCTCTCGCCCCACGCTAAGACGTGCTTCGCCTTCTTGATCGCGTCCGCCCAGGTCTTGTAGAGGCCGATGATCGACGTGTCCTCGAGGCTCGTCTGGCCCGTGCTGATCAGCAGCGCGTAGACATGCGGCTTCTTCGCATCGTCCGCCTTGGCGCGCTTCGCCGGCGGCGCGTCGTCGTTTTCGCTGTCCTCGATCTCGTCGGACTCCGAGAGTTGCGTCTCCGCCGACGCGGTCTTTGCGAGCGCCTCGCGCGCGCGTTGTCGGAGGTCGCTCTTCTCGAAGCAATCCGTATGCGACAGTCCAGCTTTGGTTATGAGCGCCTTCATCTCCTTTATACTCATCGATTCGACGTCGTTGGCGGCGTTGGAGGACGAGTCCATGCTGAGTTTAAACTAGTTTGAGATAGGCGGCAAGGTAAGCGCGCTGCGGCGCCTCACGCACTGGCAATGATTGGCAAGGCTGCGCAAACGTCTGAGCGGCATAAATAGAGCCCGCGAGCCTGAGGTAAAGGGGCCAGTCCTAAAAGCTGAGCTAGCGGTCGAAAGACACTAGAAAAAAAGCGATTACCTCCGTGGCCCCCTGAAGCCGCCCCTCCGGAGGTCCGGGGCCGCGATCTCGAACACCTGGCCGTAGGACGTGTCCGACGCGCCGAAGCCGTTCATCTTGTCCGCGTTGACGTACATGCAGTCGCGCGCGAGCGCGTGGGACTGGCGGAGGGTCCGCCGCAATTCGAGCGCCCCCGCCGTCGCGGGCCACGCCGCCGCCCGCAGCTGGGGCCTCCGCCCGCGCACCGGGAACGGGGAGTGGATCGACGCCGGCTGCCGGAAGGGTCCCACGTGCGTCTCGAAGGTCTTGTCGGCGCAGGTCGTCGACCGCGCCTCGCGCATCTCGACCCACGGCGGCTTCGGCGACGCGCCTCCCCTTAACGCCTCGACGAGCGTGGGCTGCACGTATTCCAGGTGGCCTTTTTCGATCGGCGGCGGGTGGACGCGCCCGCCCTCGGGGAACTGGCGCAGCGACGGGATCGCCGCGGGCGCCGCCGCCGCGTTCGCGCGGAGGTGCTCCTTGCCGCCGAGCGCCGGCGCCGCCGGCGCGGCGTAGGCAGTCCGCGGCACCGCCGAATTCGGCGCGTAGGTAGTCCGCTGCCTCCCACTCGGGCCCTTGCGCCGCTCTTCGTAAGCCCGGCGCTCGGCGCACCGCCGCGACGCCTCGACGTCCTCCATGGGATACGACGTGGCCGTCAGGACGCCGCGATCGACGCGGCCCGTGCCGCCCCCGACCAGGTAGCACGTCGTCGGTCTCGTGTGCGCGGGCTTCTTCACGATAAACAAACCGGACTCCGGGAGCTGGCCCGGCGCCGGCACGACCTCGCCGCCCATTTCAGAGCGGCTCGGGTCCCGGGGCAGGGTCGACGCAAACGCCGGCACCGTCTCCTGGCGCAGGCCAATGAGTGCGGGCGGCGCGTGGTCCACGGCCGCTCGCGTGTTGCCGAGCCGCGCGCCGGCGACGCGGCGCCGGTCCCACTCCGCTTCTCTTTGTAATCGTTCCTCCTCGAGCTTGTACTGGGGCGGCACGAGGGGCGCCGGAAACGTTTGAATTGAAGGCCGCGCCGGCCCGACCGCGAGGGCCTCGTCCCACGACGCCGGCCGGCGAAACGACGACAGCGAGTTCGACGCGGCGGCCCAGGCCGGCGGCTCGCGTTTCACGAGGGGCAGCGGCAGGGAGTTGTGCCACCGGTCGACCTTCTGGCGGCCGTTGAGCGGCACGGCCGCCCCGAAGGGGTAGATTGTGACGGCCCGCGGCGCGTTCGGCGCCATCTGCGTTGATTGATTGACGTCTTCCGGATTCGTAAAGAGCGAGCCCTCGCGAGGCTGGGGCGAGCCCGGCGTGAGGTTGCTCGTATCCTCCCAGACGGCCGTCCGCGCGGGCGGGCCGTTCCCGGGCCGCTGGCCCCAGCTCATGACGCCGAGCCCATTCCCGTCGTCGAGGCGCACGGCGACCATGGTTGTTTCCTCGGCTCGACGGCGTGAGGGCTGCCTGCAGCTATTTCTTGGGCGAGTCGTGCTCGCGGGGCAGCCCCAGCAGGCAAAGGGCTCGGCGCTCTCCCTGCTTGATGAGATGCGCTGTGTGTCGGGTTGCGCTGCATCTCTCCGCGCGCGTGCATTGGTGCGACGACGCACTCCTCCGAACACTCTAGGTTCCTAGTGCTTACTCCACACACAAAGCAAGCGCCGGCGGCGGCGATCATCGCGACTTCATGGTTTTCCGCTTCGGCTTGCGTTCCTTCTTGGGCCCCGCGGGGGCCTCGTCCTCGGGCTTCTCGGCGCTTTTCGCGGCCGAACTCGAGAGTTTCCCGAACCAGGCCGAGCCGGCCTTGAAGACGCCGAACGCCGGCACGATCAACAGGATGTACCAGGCCTTGTCCGTGTACGTGCTGAGCGTTTGCGTAAACAACGTCAGCACCATGACGTCGAAGAAATAGCCCGTGATCGAGCCCTCGGGCGCGACGGACGCCTCGATCGCCATCGGCAGCGTAATTTTGTAGATCAGCAGGCAGCCGCCCAATGCATAGTAGTGGATGCGCTCGCCTTGCTTGTAGTACAAACGTATCGCCGCGTACCAGAGGACCACGGCTGCAATTAGGGGCTGGTAGGTGCTCTTTGCGGCGGCCTGGGCCTTGGCCTGCTTCTTGGCCGCCGCCTTCGCCATCGGTCACAGGCTCGCGTCGCGGCGACGCGTTTTATGTGCGAGGGTGCTTGAGCTGCTTGGTTGCGTCTGAAAACTCGCGCTAGCGATTTGTGCAGCCCGCAAGAGCTTGCTGCTTGGCAGAGGCAGCGCGGCAACAGGACCACAGTCATCCGACTAACGGCCTATCGACACCAGCATTCGAACGGTAGGTTGCCAGTGGTGCGCATAGATCCGGCAAGCGGCAAGAAACCGCGGCACCGCGCTCGTTGGCCCCTTACAACAAGCGACAAAGCAAGCGCACTGAGCACACGCGACGATAACGATGGGCAAGAAATCGAAAAAGAAGCGCCAGATCTGCCACACGCAGGCCGACGGCAGCCGCGCCATGGACTCGCGCCCGGCGTCGATGGACGTGCTCTCGACGTGGTCCGCGGACAGCGGACCCTCGTTACTCTTCACGGCGGACACGGAGCGTTTGGTCATCAATGTACCCGAGGGCTGGCAGCGTTTATGTGTCGAACAGAAGATAAAAATTGGGAAAGTGGATGCCGTGTGCCTGACGCACCTCGGGCCTTCGGCCGTCGGCGGCCTGCCGGGCTACCAACTGACGGCCTATGACGCGGGCTTGAGGAAGACCACACTACGAGGTCCCGAAGGTTTAAGAGGCTACGCGGCGAGCACGCGCCACTTCATCAATAGGGAGGATCTCGAGATTGAGGTTGAGGAAGTGTCTGATGGGGAGGAGCGGGGCAACGGTCTACTAAGGGTGCGGGCGATCGTCGTCGAGGATGAGGAAGTGACGGAGGGACCGGTTGCGAAGAAGCCGAAGACGCTCTCATCAAAAAGCGTGTCGTACGTCATAAAAACGCCCGACGTGTTGGGCCGCTTCGACGTCGATAAGGCGAAAGCGCTCAACGTGCCGCCGGGGCCCCTGTACGGCGCGCTGAAGCGGGGCGAGGCCGTCACGCTCGACGATGGAAGCGTCGTCCAGGCCTCGCAGGTCGTCGGGGCGACGACACCTGGTGCGTGTGTCCTGGCCTTGTATGTGTCGACGCCCGGCGCGCTCCAACGATTACGATCAAAGCTTCAAGCCTTCCTCACGGGGTCGGCTTCGTTAGACTGCGTCGTGCACCTTGCGCGGCCGCAGATAGCCGCCTCGGAGGCGTATCTCGCCTTCTCACAAAGCTTTCCTTCTTCTATCCAACAGCTCTGGACGCAGGCCGGCGCGTCGCCCTTCAGAACGGCGGCGCGGGACGCTAGACTATTAGCGCGCGTCGCGCCGGACTGCTACACATCAGATGTCGCTGAGGCAACCACAGAAGACGCCTGGCGCGGCCCGGGCGTGCAGGTGGAGACGACGGGCCGCTTCACCCTCGTGCCGCGTTCGCAAGCCGGCTACGTCGCACCAGAGGTAGTGGAGGACGACCTCGAGGCGGAATGGAATGAAGTGAAGGCGCGGGGCCTCGACGCGGCATTGGAGGGAGTTGAGAAAGCAAAAACGACCGACGTCCCTTCACAATTACAGCACGCCGCCGCGTCGTTGTGTTTTCTGGGGACCGGCTCAGCGATGCCGTCCAAACACAGAAACGTCTCGGGCATCTACCTGCGGTGCGCCGCCGAGACGACGGACGTGAGTGATCCGGGCCGCGGGCTACTCCTGGACTGCGGCGAGGGCACGCTCGGGCAGCTTAGGAGGGCGTTCGGGGGGCGCGCGGACGAGTGTCTGCGGAATTTGGGCGCCGTCTGGATCTCGCACCCGCACGCCGACCACCACCTCGGCCTGCCCTCGCTCTTAGCTGAAAGAAGACGCCTCGCGCCGGACGAGCCTTCACCAATTCTGATGGCGCCATGGCCGGTATTGCGGTGGCTCGGAGACTACGCGGCCGTGTATGCGCCTTTGATGGATGCGTACGTGCCCGTCGAGTGCCAGTGGATGAAGGAAGACGCGCCGCACCCGCAGCAGCAGCGGTTGACCGACGACCTGCGCCTCGCGCAATGCTTCTGCGTGCCCGTGCCGCACTGCGCCCAGGCCTACGGCGTCGTCGTCAAGGCGGTCGATGGCTGGTCCCTGTGCTACTCCGGCGACTGCCGCCCGTCGACGAAGCTCGCGGCCGCGGCCCGGGACTGCACCGTGTTGATCCACGAGGCGACATTTTCCGATGGTCTCGAGGACGATGCCGTTAAAAAACGCCACTCGACGATCTCGGAAGCATTAGGTGTGGGCAGGGACGCGAACGCGTGCCGGACGGTCCTGACGCACTTCTCGCAGCGCTACCCGGCGCTGCCCGAGGGTCTGGGGGACACGGGCGCCGTCGTCGCGTCGGACTTCCTGCGCCTGTCCTTTCCCCAACTAGCCTGGGCGCCTTCGTTGGTCCCGGCGCTCCGGTGTCTGTACGGCGACGACGACGACGAGGAGGCGGCGGGGGTGTTGTTTTAGGATAACTGTTGTGTACTCCGACGCCCCCCATCCCAGGAGAAATACTTCGTTCACTCGTTCACTATGCATTGCTAGTAGTAGAACGCTTATGACGACGACGCATTCCCTGGCGAAGGCGTTTCTTCGCGGGCGTGGAGCACGGCTCGCGCGTCTTGCAAGTTCTCCTCAATCGCCGAGGTGGTCGGATGCGCGCCACCGAACACGCGCCGCGCAATCTGTTCTATGTCCTCGAGCGTCGTCACGGCCTCGCTGAGATCGTCGAGCGTGGCGGTGGAGTCCTCAAAAAAGAGTGCCATCGCGTAAGTCCACCTCATCCTGAGCGTGGTTTCATTACTCTCTTCCAGAACGCGCCGCGCCACGGGAATCGTTTTACGCATCAATGACTGGGCCTCTTTGAAGTGCCGCAGATCGACAAGGATCGACGCGTAGTTGTTGGTAGCCCTGAGGGTTTTTTCATTTTCTTCGCCGTAGAGCTTCAAATGCCCGAGGTAAACGTCTCGCGACGTGCACACGGCATCTTCAGACCTTCCAGCCTTAGCATATGTGTTCGCAAGATTGCCCTGCACGACGAGGATGCTATCTTCTGATGCGCCAAGGCGCCGCTCCATAGACAATTCGGCCTCTTTGATGGGCAATGCCTCATCGTTGCGTTCTGCGAATTCTAAACCGTTCCCAAGGACGCCCATTGCGGTGCGCCGATATCGATCTGTCTCCGGCCTCCCCACGTACGTCTTCCAGCACGCCCAGCCGAGAGCGCAATACACAACGCCGTAGTACATTTGCTTGCACAGGCTACATGTGTCCCACCGCGCCCACCTATCATTCAACGCACTGAGGCCCAGGTTATTCTCCTCACCCTCCGCGACCAAAATCTTCGCCTGCTCCGCCAAGCACGACACGTGGGCAAATCCCGCCGTCCCGCGGCACGCACACCCGCGCACGAGACCCTCCTTCGTTTCCGCATGGAGGGCCTCCGTGCAGATGTAGCACGTCTGACCTTCGGCGTCCTCGGCGCACTCTTCGACCGCGACGTCGACGGCCTCCGCGTACTTTTTGTCGGCGTGGTATTGTTCCGCGCCGCCGCCACTTGCGATGGCACCACAAATCCTCCCGTGCCCGCCGCGGCGCCGGTCGTAGCGCTCACAACGCTCAGAACAGTATCGAGTGGCGCATTCTGCACATTGCATGGGCTCGTCAGGCAGTGGCGCGGCGCAGGCGGTGCACAGCGTGAGGATCATTTTACCACGAGGGATTCTCCGCGACGAACGCCTGGAACCGGGCGAACGTGAGGGGTTCGGCGCCGAGCACGAGCTCCGTGTCGCCGGGCGTGAGTTGGATGCCGGTGCCCGTGTATTTCAGCGCGGTTGTGAATTGTTCCGTCGTGAGGCTCTCGTTAACTTGCACGCGTGCCGACGCGCAGAGAGCGGCCCAGACCTTGCGGGGATTGTCTGAACGCTCCTCAATGGTACGGAGGATGGCAGTCTTAATAGCAGCCACTGGATTTCGGGCAGACGCGTAGGTCACGGACGGCGCAGCGTCCATCAATAAGTGCGGCTGCGGCGGCGCGAGGATGCGGGCAGCCTGCTGGCAGCAAAATTAATCGCAATGCTGAGTGACGGGTTTTTGCGGTTTTGGATGAATCAAACGTCGCGTCGCCGCCGCCACGCCGTCGCGCTTCCTTAAGAAATCACACAAGTTAATGTTAGACCCCCTCGTCGTGCGACCGCGCCAGTCCGCCGAATACCGACTGGGGATCCTTCGCGAGCACCGCCGGCACGCCGTCCTCGACGACCTCCCCATCGTCCAAGACCAGCACGCGGTCGTAATCGCTAATAGTGTTGATCCGGTGGGCGATGCAGACCACGGTAGCGTCCCGGAACGTCCTTCTAATAGCTCTCTGAACGGCCGCGTCGAGAGCTTCATCCACTGCCGACGTCGCCTCGTCGAGCAGCAGCAATTTCGACCGTCGTAGGCACGCCCTTGCTAAACAAAGCAGCTGCCGCTCACCTAACGAGAAGTTGCGGCCGCCCTCCTCGACCTGGGCGTCTAGGGATGTGCGAGCTTCCAATTGCGCATCCACCAGAGCTCTACGAACCTCCTCGTCCGACGACGCGTTGAAAGGATCGACGTTGAACCGCACGTCCCCCGAAAAGAGTACGGGGTCCTGCGGGATCATGCTGACTCTACGTCGTAAGGATGCTAAAGAGCACCGTAGGACGTCGACGCCGTCCACACTAATAGAACTTCCGGAAGAAGGTGGCGCCAACCTCAACAAAGCTAGTAAGAACGACGACTTCCCCGAACCGGTTCGACCCACCAAGGCTAATTTCGTCCCGCCCTCGACAGAAAACGTCAGGCCTTTCAGCACGAGGGGCAGCTCCGGCCTATATCTTAGTTTCAGATTCGAGACTTCCAAGGAGCCGTGCGACGGCCAATTTGCTGGAGGCTCCTCGCTCCCATCTTTCTCAGCAACTACTCTACTCTGGTCGACGACGCGCTCGACGGCCACGGAATTGTTTTCTAGGTCCGCGTTCATGCGCACGAACCAATTTAACGCTTGCGTCACACTGAGAGCGTAGGTCAGTGAGAGGCCGGCTTTGTACGGTGCGGTGTTGCCCGCCACCGCGAGGAAGGCCGCGGCACCCGTAGTTAGCGTCCCTAGGAACTCCAATCTCACCGCGAGCCACCGGTTGCACGCCGTGCCCAGGAAGTAGGCTTTTAGGTTAGTCCTGAGCTTGGTAGACTGATCCCGGGAGAACCGTTCCTCGGCCCGAAACGCTCGGATGGTCGTGGCCCCGTCGAGCGCTTCGCCAAAGGCGGAGAAAACCGGAGAGCGACTCGTAGCGTCCAACCTCTTGAGCTCCCTGACACTGGGGATGAAGTACTTCATGGTACCAAAATACAGGAACCCGAGAGGACAGACGACAGCTAAAAACCACGGCGTCGCGAACGCTACGGTGGCTATTGTCGCGGAACAGGAAGTAGCAACAGAGAGCCACATCGCCAATGTCACGGGTAACTCCTCATCAATCGTATACAAATCCTTCGAGAATAAATTGACCAATCGTCCGAGAGGTGTGCGATCAAAAAAAGCCATCGGTGCCTTCAGCAGTCCATCCAACATCTGGTTATGTAATGAGCGTGCCGCGTTCTGGCCGAGCTTCGACGCGACGCCGTAGGCTACGACTGAGAGTAAAACGGCGATGCCTGATAATCCAGCGTAGACCGATAGCCCCTCGGACGCGTTTATTTTTTTAGCATACCCAGCGCCCGCACTCCAGTAGCCCAGCCACCAGCTCGTGGCTACGGTCGAGGCTTGGTACATAATTTGTGCCGTAACAACTAAGATGACCATCGCGAGCCCGCCCGTCGCCGCGAGATAAGCCGCCCGCGTCTCACTCTTCACCACACCTCTAGTGCGGTGCTCCGTCGTGTTCATAGTAACACCGTTCTGAGTCTCGACTTCGTCGTCCGATGATTCGGACGATACGTCCTTGCCCATCGAAACCAGGGACGACGACGACCCGTTCTGCTTGTGTTTCAGTGCCAAAGCAGCTAACGGGTGGGCCTCGGGGTTCTTCTGGCCCTCTTCGAGGTACTCTTGCGGGTTCCCGACGTAGGACACTTCGCCCTTGTTCAGCTCGAGGACGACGTCGCACCGCCGTATCGTACTGAGGTTATGCGTCACTAGCACCACCGTCGCGCCCGTATCTCGCAAATGGCAGACTAACTCCGAAAATAAATGCGCGGCGACGTGGGCATCTACTGCTGATAGGCAATCATCAAACAAGTAAACGTCCGCGCCCGCGTAGAAAGCTCTAGCTAACGCGACTCGTTGTTTCTGACCACCTGACAAAGTTAAACCCTTCTCGCCGATTTGCGTCCTATCACCGTCGGCCAACGCTTTTAAATCATCCCTCAAGGCGCACCTCCTTATGGTCTCCTGGTACCGTTTTTTATCGTACGATGCACCGAACAAAATGTTTTCCCTCAAAGAAGCGTTCTGGATCCACGCTGATTGGGCACAATAGGCGATGCGGCCGAAGACGCCCAATTGGCCAGACGTGACGTCGCACTCGCCCAATAAAGCTGAGAGTAAGCCACTTTTTCCGGCCCCGGTCTCTCCGAGGATAGCACACAACGATCCTTTCTTGATCGATGCCGTGACTCTTCTCAGTAATGGTGCGCCTTGAACGTTGTTAGATGTCCCGGGCCACCTGATATGCGCGTTGTCGAGGTATAGAGCGCAATCGTCGCTACTTTCGGAAGGTAACTTAGAAACCTCGGGCGCATCTAAGAAATGCGCTATTCTATCGACGGACAGTAAAGCTTCCACGGCTGAGGATATGGCCCGAGGCACCATCATTAAAGGAAACCGCAGCACGTTAAATAAAGCTAGCGTCGTGTAGACGCGAGATACGGTTAACTCGTGGCCCGTCAGCACGTACAGACTGAAGGTACCGACGGCTACTACTGTGGGAACGACGGCGAAGACACATCTACTGAACACTCCAGCAAGTTTGTAGTGCCACAACGCTGATAGCTCCTTCTCGCGCAGCCGCTTCAGTTCCGAACCAAGAGGGTCCTCCCAGCCGTACAACTTCACGATCTTCATGCCACCCAACGCTTCCGTTTGCAACTTGATACGTTTATCTTTGTACTGTAACACGACCTTTTGATAATCGCGAGTAAGTAGTACGATACGTTGCGTAACAGGTAGGAATATCAACATAACCCCCAACCCACCGAAGGCCGCATAGCCGAGCTGGCCATATAGCAAATACATCGTGACCACAATCTGGTAAATCCCGGAAACAATGGAAAACATGTACGTCATGTTATCTTGCAAACGTTGCGCGTCGACGCTCATCAAATTCGTGACGAGCGCCTGCTTCTTAGCACCCTTCTCCTGGTCCTCATCGGTCTCAGCTTGCCTCCGCGCCACGAGCGCCTTGTCGAAGACGAGGGAGATGGCGGCACTTTTCAGGCGCATGCCAGTCCTATATGTCCTCTGAAAATACTGGTGTAATAACAGTGTAGCGAGAATGGCGTTGGCGACCATGAGGCCCGCGATCTTGTAGGCTTGGGTGTCGTTCTTTCCGAGCACCTTCAGGAACCTATTCAGCAGTACCGGCACTAACAACTGTGTGCTATCATAAACGAGCTTGTACAAACCGCCGACGAAGAAGTGGGGCCCGAAGGCCGCAATCAGAGCCTTCACGAGCTTCGGCTTTGATTGTAGCGAGTGGCGGAGGCGAGAAGCGACGGCGTCCGGGTCATCTTCGCGAATGAGAGGGAAGAGGTCCCGCGCTTCTAGGGGTCGCGCGTAGCCCTTTGCCAACAAAGGAGACATCCAGGCGAAGACTCCTGTCGACGCCGGGCCGGCGGCGTCCTCCGGGGACTCGTCTTCTTCTTCGAGTAGAGCGTAGCCCTCTTCATTGATAGGCTTTCTTCTAGCTGCGGCGTTGAAGAGGGCGTAGGCGATGGCTGATGATGCTGTTATCGTGAAGGCGATTGCTGAGAGCCACTTATCTACAGTGTCGTGGCTCCGCGCGAGGTCCCAACCCGACGCCCCGGCGACGCAGAGCCACGCCATGCGCGTGGGCCAGGCCTCGCCCAATCCTAAAACGGCCTCTTCGTTGGCCAGGAGGCCCAGGACGCCCGCGGCGCCGGCCGCGGTGAGCGCCGCGACTTGGCCTTTTCCCACAACCGACCGCGCCACGAGCAGGACGACGGCGAGGGATGCGAGCGCGCTTCTCCATTTGTCGAGGGCGCCGGCCCGGCGCGGCGGCGTTTGTGGTTTTGGCCTGACGATGCCGTAGGCCAGCGCGACGAGCGCCGGGAGCAGCGCGAGCAGGGCGCGCAACGTTGGTATTGCTTCTTTCACATCGTGGCTGTGGAGGAAAGCAAATGAGAGGTGCGGCTGGTGCATATTGGCAGCGCTGCGACCGTCGCCGCGGCAGAGGCCGGTGGAGGTCTGGTTAGGGTTTGCGCCGCAGGCGTGAGTTACACGAAAACCGAGCTGGCGAGTGATTTATAGATGGGTTCGGCTAACGTCAACCTGTCAGCACACTCGCGGCGTTTTTTGTGCGCGCTGATGCAGCAGCTCCTTGGGCTCCTCTGCTGAAGCTGCCAGTGAAGCTGCCTGGAGAGTTGCAGACTTGGAACCGTGGAAAGAAGGGTACTGCGAGCGGTCCGGAGAAGAGGGATCTCCGAGAAACCTCGCCAAGAACCTAGCGGTCTGTAAGACACTAGCCAGCCCCCGGCAGATAACTTGTCTCGTCCGGCAGTCAGTACGCCGCGACGGACGTGTGTTGGACCGAGGCGCGGGTCTCGTCGTGAGCTGGAACCGGTCGGCTTCGTCCCTCAAATTTTGAAGCGCAGCGGTCCGCCAGCTGAGGCGTACTGCTCAGCGCCGGATCCCGCGGCGCGGCGCTCAGACGTGCGCCTCCTCGGAAGAGTCCTGCGGTGGTCGGCGGCGGTCCGACCCATGCAGGTCCTACAACGGCCGCAGAAGCAGGCGGCGAGCACGGGCCTGCGAAGTCGGCCGTCGAACGGCGCCATGGCGCCGCCGCGGCAGTACCTTCCATTGAACCCGGCCTACCCCGGCCTGACGGCCGTGCACACGGACCCGCCCGTCTTCACGGTGGCCATTTTTTTGTCAGAGGCGGAATGCGACGACCTCATCAATTCCGCCCAAGGTCACATGACGCCCGCGCCCGTGGTGGGTGCCGGCAACGGCGAGGTAAGTGTATCAAGAACATCCTCGACCTGCTACCTCGCGCGGGAAGATTTACCGACGATCTGCACGAAAGTCTGCGCGCTTACTGGTTGCCCGGTCGAGCACCTCGAACTTCCACAAGTCGGCCGCTACCGCGGCGGCGAGTTCTACAAGGCCCACTACGACGCCTTCGACACCTCGTCCCCGGACGGTAGAAGGTTCGCGCAGAACGGCGGGCAAAGAGTGGCTACCGTGTTGGTCTACCTCAATGATGTCGCGCGGGGTGGCTGCACGTCGTTCAGCAAGCTGGGCCTCTCGATCCAACCCAAGAAGGGCACGGCCCTCGTCTTCTTCCCGGCGTCGCTCGACGGCATGTTGGACCAGCACTACCTGCACGCGGCGGAGCCGGCGCTCGACCTCAAGTGGGTCTCGCAGATCTGGATCCGGCAGAAGGCGTACAACGGCCTCGCGTCCGTGCGCATCGCGCCCATCTGAGACATCGGTGCCCGCACGCGGCGGGGGCCTTCTCCTAGTCCTGGGGGATAAGTTGCCAGGAGCATGAATAATCTTTGCGTCAGCAGCACGTTTGCATTTTTGGGGTAGATGAGCCGCCCTTGGACAGTCGCGGCGATGGCGTACGGAAGTACCCAGCCGCCGTCGACGACGCCGACGACGGGTCCACGCTAAAAAAAAGCCTACGCGCGATGCGACGTCTCCGCCGACGACGCAAGGCGAGGTTCAAGTTTTTTACCATAAGTTATTACGCCCGGGGGACACAGGGGGAGGGCGCGTTGTGTTAGCTTGACATGACAACAGCAAGCAACATTGTTTCAGGGGGGCACGAAGGGGCGTGTTCGGGACACGTGTTCACGAGGCGGAGACTTTTTTCCGCGAGAGCGTGATGCACAATTCAAAACACAGGCGGTCCAGCATGACCGCCATTCAAAAAGAACTTCACCAGGTCGAGGTCGCGCCGAAGACGCCGCCACCGAGACCACCGCCGAGCGCGCCTCCACCAAGACCGAGGCCGCCGCCCAGCCCGATCTGGCGCGGCTCCTTCTGCGCGTCGGGCGTCGGCTGGCGCGGCGGCGGCACCGGCGGCTGGAAGTTGTTGAGGCCGACGCCCGGCGGCGGCGGCCCCTGCAAGGAGTTCGAGCGACTGCCGAGGCCCGGCGGGTCGAGGGACGGCTGCAGGCCGCCATTTAAAGAATCAGAGCGCTGGAGAGGCGGCTCGCCGAGGCGGCGCGGCGGCTCGGCCAGCTGGCGCACCGTATCAAAAGCCGCGCCCGTGCGCGCGTCGATGGAGTTGGCCCAGGGGTCCGGCGACCCTTGGTTCGACGGCGGCTGGTCGCCGCCCCAGGACGGCATCGGGCGGTTCGCGTTTTGGGGAGACGGCTCGTAGTAGTTGTTCGGAGCTGGAGAGCCAAACGACACCTGATTGACCCTAGGAGACGAGCCGCGCGACGGGAAGTCGCGCGGCGCCGACTGGCCCGAGCCGGGGTAGGCCGGCGTCGACTGCGCCGACGCGAAGGGCGACGGCGCCGGCGCCGAGCCGAAGGGACTGCCGGCCGGGTAGTCGCGCACCTGCTGCGTGTTGAAGGGCGCCGGGTGCTGCGTCAGCGACTTCGGCGGCAGCATTCCAGGAGAGGTCGAGATGGGCGGCGGCGGCACGCGCGGCGGGATCATGGGCCCGGGCCGCGGCGGCGACCGCTTGCGCAGCTCCCTCGTGGAGTGGGCAAATTGACAGGTCCCCGTCGCCTCGAAGGGGCAGTGGCCGGCGATAAAGTACTTGCAGAGCTTCGTGAAGCGCTTCTGCTCCAAGGCCGCTCTCAGCGCCGCGCCCGAGGAAGCGGCAGCAGCCGCAGCCGCGGCAGCGTCCGCGGGAGAAATCTGGGGCGGCGGCGCCTCGCCGGGCGGCGGCCGCGGCGGCGGCCAGGCCTGGGGCGAGGCGCCCACGTCCGCAAAGAACCCGGCCGGCTGCTGCGCCGCGCGCCGCGCCGCCGCCTCGGCCTCGGGATCGGAAACAGAACGCGCAAACCCGAACGCCGTCGCGGCGTCGCGCGGCGCCCGCAGCTCGTCATTCGAGTGCGCGAACTGGCACGTGTTCGTGGCCGCGTAGGGACAGTGCCCGGCCATGAAGTACTTGCAGAGCCGCGTCTTGAAGCGGCGAGCGCTCAACAACCGCTCCGGCGAGGCCGCGGCCAAATTGGGAGGACCTTGCCGCAACTCATCTAAACTATGAGCAAATTGGCACCGGCCGGCCGCCGCGAACGGGCACTCCGCAAGGGAGTAGCGGCAGGGTCTTGTTTTATATTCAGCACAAGTCGCCGCCGCCGGCGGGCGCAGCTCCTCCTGCGAATGGGCGAAGAAGCACCGCGCGCCGTGCGGGCAGCCTCCACCACCTAAGTAAACACACAACCGCGTCTTGTAGTGGCGCGGGTCCACTCCGGTAGACGAAGGCGGACTTTGGGGCTCCTCCGGCGAGACGGCGACGGGCGGCTGCTGCTCGTCGTACATCTGTTGGGACGTGGCCCGGGCCCGCGAGAAGTCGAACTCCGGCGCGTCCGCAGCGAGACCCACCGCGCTGTCCATCTCCCGCAGGCCATCGGCACTCCCAAAGCCGCCCGCCAGGCCGCTCTCGTAGCCGTAGGGGTCGCTCAGGTTCTTCTGCGGGGCGGCGTTCGTGTAGGGACCGTCGAAATTGGTTTGTTGCCGCGCGTCGGGCTGGTCGTAGCCATAGCCCTGCTGCGGGTCGTAGGGCTGGGCCTGGGGCTCGAAGGTGGGGCCCTCGTAGTCCATGGCGACCATCCTGTCGATGGTTTCTCCGCCCCCTGGCTTTCGCGCCCCGCGCTCCCTATCCGGCGGCGCGCTTCCGGGCCGCGCAGCCTACGTCAGCGGGGGGCTTGATATGGGTCCCTGGGCCACTGCCGGGGCTGCCCGCAACCCGGCGGCCCTCCAACCCGGCGGCAATTGCTCGCGGCGACGGCCCTGTTAATGTGGCCGGCTAATGGCTCGCTCCGCCCTTATTTTGCTCTGCGACGGCGTCTTTGCTGTTTCCAGGGCTCCCCGGCCCGGGAGCGGGGGCCCGGGACGGGTTTCGGAGCGCCCGAAAAACCCGTGAGTTATCGACGATCAGCAAAACGCAGCCCGCATTGCGGCATTCGTGCGCTGACCTACGCTGCGTCACCGCAACAGCCCACGCAGTACCCCATTGATCGGTGGTGAAGAGGAGAGCGCATTTGAGCAGCGGTAGCTCACGATCAACGCGCTTGCTCTCACTGCCTGAAACTGCTACTGCAGCCGCAGCGATGGCCAAGAAGAAGAAGACCGCAAGCGGCGGCGGCGTGCTCGGCGCGCTCACCACCAGTGCCTTCTCCGACGAGGGCGCCGCAGCTTCATCACTCTTCAGCGCGTCGGAGGCGTCGCTGCCGCCGGCGCCGCCCGCCGCACCCAAAGCTAAAGAGAGGGACGACTACGACGCCGCCCTGGACCGCGTCCTGGCCAAGCCGGCGAAGAAACGTAGCAAGGCGCCGCCGCCCCCCGCTCCCGTGGCGGAGAAGCCGGCCAAGAAGCGGCGCAAGGAGCCCGTCGAGGCGGAGCCATCGGTTGAGGACGACGCCGCCGCCCGGACTATATTTGTGGGCAATCTACCGCGCGAAGCGACGAAGAAACAGCTCGCGCGATTTTTTAGACCGTACGGCGCCGTACAATCCTCGCGAAAGCGGTCCGTGGCCGTAGCAGGTTGTGCGGTCGACACTAATGGGGATGACAAACTAGTGCAGAGCGTCTGCGCTAGAAAGGGCTTGCTCAGCGACGCGAAGCGGACCACGAACGCGTATGTAGTTTTTGAGGACGTAGAAGGCGCCACCAACGCGCTCAAAGCGAACGGCGCCGTCTGGAAAATACCGGCCTCGATAGAAGACGGCGTGGAGACGCCGGAGGAGACGTTCCACCTACGGGTTGATAAGGCGAGCGGCGACCGCGGCGCGCAGGATCACTTGCGGACGGCGTTCGTGGGGAACTGCCCCTTCGATTCTTCGGAAGAAGGGTTGCGGGAGTTGTTTGCGGCGCATTTACAAGAGTCCGGTGGCCATTCCGCTGTAGAGAATGTAAGGGTCGTGCGCGACAAGGAGCATCGATGTGTTGGTGTCGCGTATGTTTTGTTGAGAGACCGCGAGGTGCTTTCCACAGCTTTGGATCTGGACGGCGCCTCGTATGGAGAGAGCATGGACCCGCGACCTCTCAGAGTGCAGCCCTGCGGCAAGCGGACGAAGAGCAGTGTCTTGCCGCGCGGCGCAACCAAGAAGGTGACGAAGAAGGCGGCCTTCGGGGCTCGTCGGCGGTTGGAAAAGAAGGCGCGGCGCGCCGAGGCCCGCGCGAAGGGCGCGTCACCCGCTCAAGCGGCAAAGCCGTGGCAGGGCAAGCGCGCGGCCGACGCGAGCAAGGGCCCCGCCAAGAAAAAGAAGAAGTCGAAAGAGGGCAAGAAGACGTTCGTGGGGAAGCGGAAGACGTAAGGACACACATAATTAGTAGAACTCGGCCCAGCTGTCGTCGTCGTCGTCCGCGTCGGCCTTTGCTTCGGCGGCGGGGACGTCCGCGTCGCCGCGCGGCGCCGCATCGGCTGGGGCGGGTGCGTCGGCCTCAGCCTCGTCGTCGCGGCGCGCGGTCGGCGCGTCCGCGGGCGTCGAGCCCCGCCGCTTTCGGTCCGCGTCGTGGACGAGCGTCTCGAGCTCCTTGAACGCGGACGCCAGGTCGTCGGCGTGGTCCTGCTGGAGCCGCCACGCCGCCTCGGGCGTGGCCGCGGCGCGACGGCGCGCCTCGGCCCGTTGCGCTGCGGCAGCCGCGCGCGCCGCGACGACGGCGTCGGGCGCGTCCTCGTCGTCGCTCCAAATCACAGCTGTCTCGACGGGCAGGGTTGTGGCATTGTGTGCCATGACAACTAGGGCAGCCCTTCCTCACTGTGCACGGACCAAACGCATGCGGCATTGGTGCGAAGCCATGTGCATGGCGTCGTGGGCAGCACGCACCATCTACGCACGCGCGAGAGGCAGCGTCTCCCCAGGCACTCGATGCTTAAAGCTTTGCCTAGCGTGCGGGTTGCCTCGTTTTGCGAAGCTTGCGACGGCTCGGGACGCGTGCGAGCGGCCGGGACAGCGATCCGTGGTGCTTGCTTTTTGCTTTTTAGCGTGAATTTTGCTCCTCTCGTACACGGCCGAGCGAGCAGCTCAGGTGTGGGCCGAAACGCGCGACGGGCCGAGCTGTAGGCCTGCGCGTTTTTTGGTCGACCCTTAAGCAATCGCCGAGCACGCTGAAATCGCTGGCCAGCGCGAAGGCATCGCGTGAAACTGGTCCAGCTCTGTGCTCACGCATTTGGGAGCAGCGCGCCGACGCTGACGGCGCAGCGGGCACAGCGCTGACTAAGATACGCTGAAAATATGTCCGGCAACAAGAAGCGCAAGCTCGAGGAGGAGGCCGCGGCCGCGGCGAGCGATGGCGAGGTGCACGCGATCGACGGCGTCGAGGTGCACGTCGTCACGTTCCGAGCGCCGGAGTTCCACTTGGACGCCTCGGAAAGCGCCATGTTGCTCAAGTCCGCTCTGGCACCCACTCATAGTAAGTCGGCGTTCTCGGCCGCCGCGACCGACCGACGAGGCAGGGCGTGGTTCGCGTCCGCTTCAGCTGCCGCTCGAGCGGCAACGCTGGATGGCACGTGTAGCAAGGCCGACCCGGAAGGCAACGCCTGGAGTGCGTCGACCTCGAGGACGACGGTGCGCGGGGCTTGCTTAGCTTTGGTTGGTCGAGGCTCCGACGATATTTTTGACGAGCCCTTTACAAGTGCCGCGACCACGCTGAAGAGTCGCGATGCTCGTTTTGATGATGAGGACTGTGTGGGCGAAGGGCCCCTGTGGTCCTTTGTGTTGCCATCGGTCGACCCCAAAGGTAAAGAAGAGGTAGTGCAGTTCCGAGCGGTCGATGAAGCGGCGGCGGTGGCCTGTGCGTGCTGGCGAGCTCTCAAAAGGGCCATCCAGAATACGCAAGTGCCCTCTTCTGTCGATCAGCGCGAAGCGAGGAGGGCTTGTTTATTTGCTCATAATGCAGCTACTCCAGTCGCATTGTCGAAAGTATGGGACGCGGCCATGCCCGCCAAGTTCGACGCCAAGGCCGAGAAGTGGACCTTACCGGCTTGTGATGGGGGAGAATTTGGGGACGCGCGTTTACCGAAGTCGCCTCCAACAATACTAGCGAAGGACTCGGGCGTGCGGTGCGCCTGGACGTCGCGGAAGACGGTGAAGCGTTCGAGATTCTTAGCGTTGCACCGTCGTCGAGTCGCCGAGCGATCTCTGAGAGCTGAAGAGGTCCTCGAGACGGTCGTAGACGCTGGAGGGAGTAGATGGACTCTATCACTAGACGCTAGACGCCCAGAACACAAGCAGAACGACCGCTGGGAGGACGACAACAGGCGGGAGAACGACGACTCGTCCGATGTCGGTGTCTATGCTCGATGCGACTTCGCAGGGAGTGGCGGAGCAAGACCGTTCGGCGCTTGTTGCGAAGCGAGATTCGCCTTTTGTGTGGTGGAGAACCTCGGATCGAACTGCGGTGGATGTGCTGGGAGTCGCGCGGCTTCGTGGTTGTTCCGAGGGAGAGAATTGTACGAAGATCAATCCGTACCTCCATTACCAGCAAGGGGCTTCGCGAGATTAGTCCTAGGCTTGGGTGATGACGTCGAAGAAGAGGAAGACGTCGTCGACGACGTCCGCTGCGCCACGGAGCGGCTCTGGTTTAGACCTGAGTTAACTGAAGACAATGATTCTGACGACCCCGAGCTCGTGGTCGTGGCTTCCGTACTCGTGTCGAGACGCGCCAAAGGTGCTGATACCTGGAGGTTAGTACGCCGGTGCTGCGCCGAGCGCGCGTCGGGGTATGCCCCCGCGACCCTGAGACCGCAGAATTTGTGGGCCTTCCTCTGCAGAGCGATCCGCTGGGGTGACGTCGAGTGCACCAAGGCTATAGCCAGGCAGATCCAGGCGGAGAGAGGTGGCGACGCTTCTAGGGGTATCCTGCGGTGTGTCGGGTGCGAGGACGACGCGGCTCTAGGTGGCCTAGGGTTACTGGGAAGTGTTGGTGCCGAGAATCAGAACTATTCGGCCTTGCACTGGTTAGGTAATTGCGACGACGGGAACTTCGACCGGTCGAATGCCCCACAATCCTTCGCTCCTAGATACGGCGCCATCGTCGCCTGGCTGCGGAGCGTGTGCGGCGCGGAGGCCTTCGAGGTCGAAGTGAACGGGGCCGGCGGCGGTTCTCGGGGCCGGACGTCCACTCCCTTAGCGTTCGTTGCTGGCAGTTGTGGCGAGAAGACGCGGAGGTCGTCCCGTTTAGCTGTTGCTGCTCTGTTGAGGGCTGGTGCTGACCCTCGGCGCCCGGCTTCGCGCAACGAACCCGCGAGGGAAGCATCTGTCTCCACAGAACGAGGTACTTATGTCGTCGCAAGAGCTTTGTACGCGGATAACAAGGAAATCGCCGAGGAGCTGTTAGGTGCTTTATTTGGCACGTCTAGCAAACCCTTAGTCCTGGATGGCGATGATGCTGCTGCTTATGGCGTGGTGGCGGACGCGGTCGACGTCTTACTCTCGAAAGCTGATGAAGTGGTGGTAGCGTCTGGCTTGGAGTGCTTACTGGCCCACTCTCCCGATAGTAGAGAAGCGACCTTGGCCGCTCTGAGAAAAAGGCACGCCGACGCGGTGGGCCGGGATGCGGACCGCTCGCCCGTCCACGAGCTCGTAGCCTGCGCTCTACGCATGGAGACGAACCCCTCAGCCAAGCAACGCAAGCGCAAGGACCTCAAGGAGACCATCGACGCGACGCTAGCGCTCGCAGCTCGGCTCGTCAAGGAGGAACGTCTAGGCTTACGACAGGCTAGAGGAGGCGAACGCGTCCGACTCTACCTCGAAGCCTTCACTCGTCGCCAGGAGCGCGCCCAGCGAGAGCAGGAGAAGTCCAAAGTCCTCGCGTCGAAGGTCAGTGAGGCTCCTATTGAATACGACGACACGGACCTGCTCGACGGCTGGAGTAGCGAGGAGAAGGACGCACCGAAAAAGACGAAGAAGAAGAAGAAAAAGAAGAAGAAGAAGGCCCAGCCTGCGCCGGAGCCCGAGCCCGAGCCCGTCGTGGTGGAGAAGCCCCCGACGCCGTCACCTAGTCCATCAGAAGATTCTTCTGACTCAGAAGAGGAAGCGCCCGTCGTGAAGAAGCCCGAGACGGAAGAAGAACGCGCTGCCGCCAAGCTCAGGGTTTTGGTGGAGTTGTATGCGAAGTCGCCGGACCGACCTTTGAGTGCAGCAGACGCCGACGAGCTGAATCAACTCCGAGAAAAGACGTGTGGCAGCGAAGGCGCGGCGAAGGATCGCCAAGCGGCGAAACGTTTGTTAAGGAAGCGCTACGAGGCGCCGAAGAAGGCTGCCGAGAAGGCCGCCGAGGCGGCGCGACTCGCTGCCAGGCCCCAGACGCCGCCGCCCTCTAGAAATAGGCGCCAAACACCGCAGTCGCCTCCCACGCCGCCGTCTTCCGGGAGATCTAGGAACCAGCCGGCGCGGCGCGGCGGCTCGGCGTCACCCGCGCGATTGGCACCGTCATTATCTCCAGCCAGACTGCCGCCGACACCTCCTAGACGGTCGCCCGCTTCTAGTCCAGGCAGCGGCCGGCGCTCGGCGCAGGCGTCTCCCAGAAGGGCGCCGGGGCCGCCGGTCCTGGACGACGCGCGGCCGTCGGCGCGCGAGCGCCGCCGCGAGCGCCAGGCCGCGCGCCAGGCGGCCGCCGGCGCGCAGCAGGCCGCGGGCGCGGCGCGGGCGCCGCCGGGCCCGCGGCCCGGGCCGGCGGCGCCGCTGCGCGCGGCCGCGCCCGTGCCGGCGCGGTCGGCGCAGACGGGGCTCAATTCGTCGCGGGACGCGGTCTTCCAGCCGCCGGACCTCGGCGGCCGCCGCGCGACGAGCGGCGACTCGGCGTCGGTGCTGTGGTCCTGGGGCGGCGGCGGCCTCGGCGGCCTCGGCGCGGCGCCCGGCGGCGGCGGCGGCGCGCCGGGGTTGGGCGGTCTGGGCGCGCCGGGCATCGGCGGGCTGGGCGCGCCGGGCGCGCCGCTCGGCCAGCCGCTCCGCCAGCCGCCATCAAAGCCGCCGGACGCGAGCAACAACGCGGGCGGGCTCTTCGGCGGGCGCGGGCTCTGGTGAGCGTCTTTCCTTCCCCTGTCCCGCTTGTTTTGGGGTCGGGCGATATAAGTGGGGTCACACGGATTAGTCTCCTTACGCGGCGCGATTCGCCACCAGATATCTAATACGGGATCCACTTGCTGCCGTGTGTTTGGGACACCGAGTGGAGTTCCGCTGTTCGCGCGCTCCGACGTCGACGCGCTCTTCGCCAATTGTCCTACGCGCATGGCGCCCGCTTTGCGGCTACGAGTCCATACGGACTTCGCGGCGTGGCGCCCGGAAATGGTGCCGCGCGGTTCTTTTGCCATTCACCCGCAATTTTCCGAGGCCTTCTGTGGCGTGGGCGGCCGCCGGTACACGAGCTCGATATGCAATCCGGAGCGCGCGGCGACCCGTTCGTTCCAATCCATCTTGAAAAGCGGCCGCTATGCGCTGCTCCCGAATCCGCGTGGGGTCTGCCGGATCGGCGGACCGCAGTCGGCCGTCGTCCACCAACACAATTACGTCGGGCAGTGCGCGCGTGATTTGGCGCGAAACGCGTCGTACGATGCGCCGCGCCTGGCGTCGAAACCCACAACCGCTGCGTCGAACCCGGCCTGCGTCGCGCTCGCCCAAAGAATCCGAGAAGGGGGCAAGTGCCGGGCCGGGCGCTTCTGCAACGCGCGGGGCAACTGCTACGGGGGCAGCGCGTGCCGGCTCTGCGGAAACTAGGAAACGATGGTGCTTATATAGCTAAGGGTCCAAAACTAGGACTGGGTGTATGCCGGCGCCGTGGAAAGGTCCGCGCCGTTGTTCCGCGGTCCCTCGAACACCCCGCTCTTCGACAGGACGGCGTCCCAGACCGCGAACGACGCGCCGTGATCCCTGACCACGTCGCCGATGGCCAGGAGCGCCTCCGTCCGCCGCTGGCGGTAGACCAAGGACGACACGCCGCGCCAGTGGACTTCCGCCTCGATCTCGACGTCCGTCTCGCGCAGGTCCTTGATGTAGACGTAGAGGCGCCGGTTCTCGTCGACGTCGGGCATGCTCTTGAGCTTCTCGCGCAGCGCGGTCACGATAGCCCCGCACTTGGGAAGATCTTCATACGCGAGGTGGAAGCTCTTGCGGATCGAGCGGTGCCGCCGCCGCGACAAATTACTGATCTTGTTCGACACAAACTTCGAATTGGGCACGACTTGGACACGATCATCATCACTCCTCACCCGCGTCGCGTACCAGCCGATCCTTTCCACGACGCTCTGCTTGAGCCTAGTCCTGTGTAGAAATCAACCAGTGAGCAGATGCAGCTACGGAAGCACGTCGCGTCGATGGCGTGGGGCGCCCGAAATTTGATTTCCTCACAGGCGGCGACATCTCGATCTTGTCGCCCGGCACGAAGGGCCGCGTCACAAATAGCAATAAGCCGCCGACCCAGTTCGACGCCAAATCCTTGACCGCGAAACCCGTCGCGATGCCGAAGATTGAGGTCAGTCCAATAATTGACTTGACGCTCACGCCCGCTTCAATCCGCAGCGTCTCGAGACAGATCAAGATACACAGAATCCAGATGCCGATGCCCGTGCCCCTCTTGACCGCGAAGTTCCGCGCGCGCGTGTCCTTGGACCAGGCCGGCAAGACCTGTCGTTCGAGGAACCGGTCCTTGATAGAAGTACACAAGGTCCCCGCGACGGCCGTGTAGCCTATTCCTGCTGCTACTGCGGGGATCACGTTCGGCAGGGGGTTTCCCACTAAGCAGGACGTGCAGTAGAGGACATCTAAGCCATATAGACAAGCGAAGACGCTGCTGAGCAGTTTCAGAGCCGGTCGCAAGGTCCCGAACCAAGAATCTCCAAACGACCGCTTCGAGCGGATGCGCCACATTAATCTGAGTGCGGGGTCCAGCAAGATGTAGAAACTGACCACCGCAATAAAGTCGTCGGCGGGCAGGGCCTTCGTGATCTTCGTGAGCGTCTCGGGCCTCGCGTGAGCGACCGCGGCCGTCAGGCGCTTGACGAAGCCGAAGAAATTAATGTTCTCGAACACTACTTCGGCGGGGAGCGGCTTCGCGGCGTAGTTGGCAACCGTTCGGGGCACGACGCGGCTGCGCGGCGCCTGAAAGGCAGCCACTGCGGAGAGCATCGAGAGCATCACGATGCTGCTGCGCGGTGCCCGGAAGGCGCGTGCCGACGAAAACAAGGAAAACAGAGCTAGAGAGAGCATTGAGGACAAGTGCATGTTTGGCTGCCGTAGGGCGATGCCGCTTGCTTCGCGGCGTCTCACTCGGTCCTAAACTGCTGCCGGCCAACTCCAAACCAAGAATTGTGCCGCAAGAGTGCCTGCTCCCAGCGAATCTCGATCGCGTTGCTGCCAACCCTAGCGTTCAGTAAGACACTAGCAGGCGCGAGAGCAGCGCTGCGGTTTCACGCCGTAAAAGTCGGCTAGGACCAGCTGGCACCCGCCGTCACTCCACATTCGTGGCTTAAACGCTGCCAGCGTGCTGCACGGCGCAAACGGCGCGCGAATTCGTCGTCCTGGCGTCGATTTCGGGTGAGCCAAAAAGTGCAGTGCAGTAAGCGCGCGCTGCAGATGGCAGCCCTCGACAACGACAGCGACAGCGAACTGGACGCGGAAAAGCCGTTGCTACCCGCGAGGATCATCCCGAGCACCTACACGGCGGAGGGCGACCTCGGCGGCGGCGGCATACCGTACGGCTGGACCTTCGAGACGCTCATCGGCAAGGGCACGATCCGCGAGCGATTAGAAAGAGACGGCAGCGCGCTCATCAAGGCAGCGCTGCGCGACCCGCACGCCCGCGCGGCTGTCGAGCGGCGCGAAGGCCGGCGGCCGAGCCGCGTCGGTGACGACGAGTGGGAGAAGCGCCTGCGCAGCCGCTTCGTGCGCATGTTCATCAACTTTGAATTTCTGTCCACCAGAAAGCGCGTCGCCGTCTTCGCGTTCGCGGGCGACGGCGCCTACCGAGCCAGCCTGACGACTGACCTGGCGGCGCGGGCGGCCACGCGGCTCACGAAGTCGATCGAGTTCGGCGCGGCGTTCGCGCCTGAGTGCTCAGTGAGGGCGCGCAAGGCGCTCGTCGCGCGATGGCTCCGAGAGCTCCGACTCGCGGGCAAGACTCGCGCCAAGACCGATGTGGCGCACACGTACCAGGCCACCTTCGAAGCTCTAGGCTTCCGTGCCGCGACGTTCCAGAACGGAATTGTCGTGCGCATGAGCGCGGCGCTCCCGCGCTGGCTCGTCGCCGGGCCCGTCGTGCTGCTCGCGGAGCTCCTGCGCCGCGACCGGGCGAAGCTCCGCGGCGAACCGCCGACGGACCCCATTGCACGACTCCTCTGGACCTGCGGCACGCACGACCGCGACCACTGGAGCCATGCCTTCCTCCGCAACGCTCTTCTGTACTTCTGAGAGTGTCCCTTTCGTTCTAAGCTTGTTGATTATCTAGCGGCTTTACACTCTAGAGAAAAGCAGCAAAAGCCAGAGCTGCCAAAACGCTGGCCCTGTCAAGTCCTCGTGCAGGTTGGTACCCTCAGTACCTTGCAAAGTGACTGCCGCAAACCCTCCGTGAATTTGTAGAGGTTCCCTAGCGCTCGAAAGGTCTAGACAGCTCTGGGACCAAGGCGCACCGATAGAGCTGTTGCATTGATAGCAGCCAAAAGCAGACATAAAATGGAAGAGCAACCAGCCGACTACGACGACGCCGACACGTACGCGACGCCCTACCCACGATCGCCCCCGCCGGCGCGCACGCCGGAGGAGGACGCGCGCGGCTGGGCGTCGCCCCCCACTGCAAACGGCTGGGGGGCACCACCACCGCAGCAGGGCTGGGCCAACGCCGCGACGCCGCAGCGGCCGACCAACGGCTGGGCCGCGCCACCACCAAAAGCGGAGTCGGGCTGGGGCCCACCACCAACCGGCAACGGCTGGGGAGCGGAGACCCCGCCGGCGACGCCGCAAGCTCAGGACGACGACGACGACCCGTACCCGACCGTCCGCCGCGCGGCGTCGACGAGCAGCGACGACGACGACGAGTTCGAGGCCGACCTCGACGAGTTCCTGAGGGACGGCGGCGACCGCGGCTACAAGCACCTGCTGGACGTCGCGCGCGGGGCGACGCACCGCCTGCCGTGCCCGCTCCGCTGCCACGCCTACGCGACGCTGCGCGTGCCGCGCTGCGTGTCGTGCAGCGCGAAGCCCTTTGTGGGCGGGACCTTCACGGAGCGGCTGCGGAAGCTGGCCGCGCACGCCCAGTCCAAGGCCGACGGGAGCGAACAGGCGCATCGCGCGCACCGGAAACTATTAAGGTGGCTCAAGCGGCGCTACGCTTCGATTTTAGGGGACGTGCCCGAGCCGCCTTCCGAGGCGGTGCTCGTCGAAACTCCGACTGAAGACGCGTCGGAGGGCGAAGAGGGCGCGCTCGTCGTCGCGGCCCCTTCGGCGTCGGATTCGTGGCCCGACGACGTGCCGCTGCAGTGCGAACCGGAAATCCAGGGCCAGCCCTGGGCCCTCCTCGCGCTCATGGCCGGGGCGACGCGCGACGCCGTCCAGGCCAAGCTCGAGGACGTCAACGCGGACGACCCGTTCGCCTCGCTTGTCGATATCAAGCTCTCGCTCGGGCGACGGCCGCGGCTCAAGCTACGGGAGCGTGTCGTCGAGTGTACGAATGCGCCACTTACTTCTCAGGAGGATATAAGAGCTGCTTGTGCGCCGTTGAGCTTCGACGGGATGCAGCGGGCCGCGCTGCCCAACGAATTGCATAGGATTAGCCGTGTCGCCATGGCCGACGGCACCGTGACGGCCCTGGTCTTGCGGGTGGGCCGTACGGTAAGAGGGGCCTCGCACCGCGTCGCCGACCTGATCGCGGCCGGGAAAAGTATCTTATTCTTGGGCGCGCCGGGCGCCGGCAAGTCCACCGCCCTGCGCGACGCCGCGAGCTTCTGCGGCGTCTGCCGCGAGACGCGACAACCGACGGGCGAGTGCTGGGTCGTTGACGCGTCCATGGAATTGGGGGGCGACGGCGCGGAGGCGCACCCGTCGCTCCACCCGGCGGAGCGCTACCCCGCGGCGGGCAAGTCGTTACATACGGCCATGGTCGAGGTCCTGTGCAACGTCACACCGGCAGCCATGATATGTGATGAATTAAGGGACAACGAGGCCGCGAAAGCCGCCGCGGCGGTCGGGAACCACGGCGTCCAGCTCATCGCGACGGCGCACGCCGAGACGCTGGCGGAACTCGTGAACAACAAGGCCATGGCGCCGGTGTTAGGGGATTTCGAGGAGTGCACGTTGTCCGATCGCGAGGCCATGCGGCGGTCTGGGGCACAAAGGTGGGGCAACTTCAGCAAGGTCCGCAATCAGCGGATCGGCGAGGCGACGTTCGACGCCGTCGTCGAACTGCGGCCGCCTTCATGTAGGGAGGGCGCGTGGCGCGTAGTCCTGGACGTGAACGGCGCGATCGACGCAATCGTCGAGAAGCAGCCGTATGGCGGCGAGCTCCGGTTCTATGACGAGGACCACGTCCTCCAGCGGGAGGAGTGGCGGCCGGCGTAAGTACTAGAGAGTAAGTTTCTTCACAGATTAGGCAAGTACCCCGTCAGCTCGACCTCGAAGGTAGAATCGCGCGGCGCGCCCTTCAGCATAAAAGTCGCGACCGCGCGCACCCAGCACCCGACGTCGAGTCCCGAGACGCCCTGGGCCTCCGGCGGGTTGAACGTGAACGTCACCGGGGTCTCGGCGCCCGCCGACGCCGATCCCTTGTCGGGAGACGCCGCAAATAAGCCCTCGAACCTCGCGTCGTCGTATTCCCACGCGATCTCGAACGCCCCGTTGCCGGATAATGTAGAAGGGTTCGCCACGGATTTAGATGGAGCGTCGTTGGCGCAGCAGCCCACGAATATTGTTTGTGGTTCGTTCGTTTCTCTATCAAATTTGACGGCTATTCTAGGAACCAAGCGTTTGGCCAGACCCATGGCTTCCGCCGCTTCCATGCCCGCGTCGAACTCCGACGCTGGTAAACAATTGAAGTCCTCCAGGGAATCTGGCTGTGCTACTTCCTTACCAGGACACGCCAGGTACATCTGCTCGTCGTGGCCGTAACCCTTCAGATACAATACGTGCCTTTTCGACTCGTTCGGCACCTCGACGTGCAATTCCGACGTGAAGGGCCAGGCCCGGCCGTGGTCCGGTCGGAACTTACATTCGACGACTTGCGTTTCGCCCGGCGGGATCGTATGCTCCGACGGGATGCAGAGGAAGGGTGTGGAGCCGTCCCGGTTCTCGCGCGGTTCCGGTTCTTTCTGCGGTTTTAGAGAGTAAGTCAGCGGGAACACACTCGTGTTTGTTATTCTCAACTCCTTCATCGATGACCTTCCGGCAGCCACATGTCCTAGATCCAATTTGCCATCCTCCGGGTCCAACTCAAGAGTGGGAGAGACCCCCTCGCCCCGCAATTGCACCCTCAGGGTCCGCCCCAGCTGCTCGCAGAATAATTCGAGCACCTCCGACCGCACGCCTTTGTTAAAGGGCGCGAACTGCACTAAGCAGACATGTGGAGGCGACTTGGGAGGTAAGGGTCGCAGGGCGTTCCTTACGGAGAAGGGCCCCACGGCATTGAGACCGGCTATATTCTTGACAAATAAAGTCGTATCGTCCTCCGACAAGTTCCGCAAGCGTAACGGCAAAGTTTTCGTCTGCCCCACGGCCAATTGCCCGAAATCTAGTCGTTCGCAGTCGCACCATAACGTTCGCTCGACGGCCGTCGTGTGCACCTCCAACATGAGGGGCGGCCCTTGATCTTGCACATAGCACGGGAGCTTCCAGGCCCCATGCTCGCTCCACGGCTCAATATCATCGTCATTCGTATGGGGCGCGTAGCCCTCCTGGCCCTTGACCCGGTGTTTGGACGTTTCAAAGGTGCCCTCCCACGGCTCCGGGGGAGCTCTCTCTCTGGCTAGCCGTTCCTCTTCCTCTTGCGCTTTCCGGGCCGCGCGCGCTTCGCGCTGCTCCAGTAATTCCAAGGCCGTTGCATCTCCACTATCAGCCAGCTCCCTCAATTCCTCATCTGTTCTATCGTCGTCGTCGCCAGAGTCCTCGGGCTCCTCCTCTTCTTCAACCGGGGGCGGCGGCGGCGCGTCCGGCAAACCTAAAACCTTCTTCCAATCAGGTTCTTCGATGTCGGGCTGGTCCCTTAGAGGAGGCTGCTTCGGTCCCTTCCAGCGCGGCGGCGCGAACGTCACTTCAATCCTCCTAGTCTCGCCCGGACCAACCACAGCAACAGACGGCTGCACGGTAATGTGCGACCTATGAGGCTTCGGGACCTTGATCTCGAAGGTCCGCGGTACGCCCCTTTTATGCCCCTTGGGCAGGGGGTGCGAGCAGAAGAACGAGGCCACTTGTTGATCACCGGGCTGGCAAGGGGCCAACTGCATGACCGTTTGTTCGAACCGTAAGGGAGGATCAATACCAACACCCTTCAACACAAAATTGTAGGTCATGTTCATCGTCGTCTTGCACACCAACGGTAACTCGAGCACTTGCGCGATGCGCGGCTTGAAGATTACTTGCACTTGCTTCGATTCTTTAGGTAACAATATCCCTATTCTTTCTTCTTCGGGTTGCACGTCGACCTCATCTTTCAACTGGACAAAACCAAACTTCTGCGGCAGTAACGAGGTGTTCGTGAGCGTCAGAGGCATCGACAGCCCTTCGCCCACGTAGCAGTTGCCAAATTCAAAGGTCTTAGTACTGAAATTTATGTCACCACTCGTAAGTCTTGCCTTCAGCGTGTACCAGACCGGTAACTTTTGGTCCGGGCACTTGAGCTTGAGAGGAATAGCTACTACATCGCTGTCCTCGAGGCAGTATGGTTTTGATGCCTTCACTAACTCATGCTGCGGCCTAAACTTAATGCCCATCTCAAACGACGCACCAGGTTGGACGAAGCCCATGTCCGGCTGGTACTCGATATAATCTTTATACTTGGGCGGTACTTGCGCTATGCACTTCATGGCTATCTTACCCCTGTTATGTATCAGCAGCTTCTTCCGATACAACTTCCCATGCACAACACATCGGAAATCATGCAACGCTTCCTCCAGGTAAATAGGTACTTCTATCGACGACCCTAGGATCGTAAATTCTAAGTCTTGATCGTAGCCCTCGAATTTTACCAATACAGCTTGTCTTTCATATCCAGCTCGGAGCGGCGCGAACTTGATGGCATGCGTCGTGGACGAGTAGCCCTCGACGACGCCGCCGCCTTCGTACTGTAGCGCCGTCAGGCCATCCTTGTACTGGAGGCACTCTCTGTGCTTTACGTACGACTTCTCTACTAAAGACTCTTCGGCCAAGGCCTGCCGCTGCTCCTCTTCTTCGGCGTCCAGCTCCTCCTCGCCCTCGATCAACGGTGCGGGCGCCGGCGCTAGGCCTTCATCATCCGTGTCGCCGTCCGGCGACAGGAGCGCGGTCGGCGTCGGCGAGAGGGCGGGAGACAACAGACCGGTAGTGGGAGGCGCCTTCACAGGGCTAGACTCGATCTTCAGCACCTCTGGCTTCTTCAGTCCCAAAGGCTCCATGGTTTCTGGGTCGTAAAAAGTATACGTCGTAGGTAGCGCGCCGTCGTTCTTGATAGTTAACACTACCGTACTTTCTTCACCCATGACCACGTCGTCAAAAGTGACGTGTTCATGAGAAATAGAAGGTACGACCTTCTTCGTCGTACATCTGATTGGGATGGAGAAAGGTCCCGTCGCCGCTAACATGGGTAACTCCGCAAAAATGTCCTCGTTGACCTGGGGCGTGAAGGCGATCTCCAACATACAAGACGTGCCCGCGGACATCCTTCCAGGTTTAGTATAAGTAATCTCAAAAAAATCAGTCACTTCATCGGCCATCGGTAATAACTTAAAGTTGTTGAACGTTAACGAGCCATTGGTCAGCTTGATGTTCAGCACATGCCGCACACCGGGCGTGAAGTCGATGTACTCTATCGTAGACGGTTCCGAGACGAATGCGCTACTTTTGAGAGTTTTGCCCGCGACTGATTGAGGAGTCCCCGTTGCGAGTCGGTCCTTCTGCCGCTGTTGGGCCTTCTCTCGACATTGCAACTCGAACTTCGACAGTTCCTTCACCACCAGAGCATCCTCATCGACCACAGCAACGGCCTGGCTCTCGGCGCCGAACTGCTCGAGGGATTGACGAGGGTCTTCGTTACGCGACTCCCTCGTTTCTGCACCTTTGAGCTTGGGCACGAAGCGAGAGAACTCGCCATACGGGTCCTTCTTGATCTGTTGTGAGTGTTCCGCCGACGCAGCTAGATTACGAATCAGTTCTTCGCGCTCTTCAGCGGTCTTCCGACCGAGTAAACCCGTGCCAAACGTGTTGTCCAGCATCTTCGTTTCCTGGGACGGGAAGATCGGTTCTACGGATCTACCAGTAGGATCGATCAACTGCCTTCCAGTCTTCTCGATCAGATACTTGTCATTCCGCGCTTGCGCGAAATGACGACCAAGCGTAGCTCGATGTTTTTTAGCCATCACTTCATCATGATGCTTCTTCGCGTCGATCTTCCGCTGCCTTTCATCATCCTTCGCGATGCGGTCGATGACCTCCTGCCTTTTCCTTTCTATTTTCTCCTTCGCTTCCCTGACATCTCTTTCATACTTCCTATCAATATCCCGCTGCAAGAACACTTGATAGGGGTTCTCGCCGCGAGCCTCGATCTCCGCCTTCTCCCTCTCGAAGGCCTCTTTTTTCTTCTTTTCGCGCATCGCGCGCTTTTCGTTCAGCGCCTTCAATTCCAAAGTGTTCTTGTCGATGTTGTGCTTCAGTTCTATTATAGCGGCAGCTCTCTTCTCCAGCGCTTCGCGCTGGGCCTTGTCGGCTAATTTTTGAGTTTCTCTGTTGAGTTTTTCTTTCTCCGCGACGCGAGCCTGCGCCTTGGCCAAACCTAGTTGAGCAGCCTTGTCGCGAATCTCCTGCTGGACCCGTTCCTTCTCGGCGGCTAGCAAAGCTGCTTCCCTACGTTTGTTGTGCCTTTTTATCACATTTTTGGCCCCTTGGATTTCCAGCGCTACGGTGCGTTTCGACTTTTCGACGGTCTCCTCCCAGCGCTCGTCGCGCACCTTCTGCGCACCCAGGGCCTTCTCGGCGACCGCAGCGCAGGCGCGTTCCGCATTTTGTCGGAGGTGCTCCTCTCGTAGAGCTAGTTGGTGTTCTTCACTAGCGTGTTCCCTCTGGCGCGTCGCTAGCGTTCGCTGCCGATGAGCATCATCTTTAGCTTGTTTAAAAGCCTTCAACTGGTCGACAGACAGGGCCCCTCGGCCTAGTTTGTTCCCATTCGCATCTCTCATGTTGTCCGCCTCATACTCGAGGTCAACATGCTTCTGCCACGCCTGCTCGGCGAGCTCTTCCTGGGTCTGCGCTTTGTAGAGCTCTTGTTCCGCGACTAGTGATTTGGCGTCCGCGCTTTTCCTTAACTCATTTCTGTTACTTACGAGCTCGTCCAATCGTCTAGATATATGTAGCAGTTCATTGTTCGACACCTTCCTCAGGTTCACCGTGGCCGCCGTATCTAGCGTCGTGACGCTCTCATTATCATCCTGCTCTTCGGTCTCAATAAACAAGTCGCCGTACTCGCGCTCGAGCGTATCAGACAGGAACTCCAAGCCGTCCTCGCGCAGGGGCTGCGCTTCCACGAGTTGCGAGCTCGGTGCGGGCGCCGGTGCGGGGGCCGGCGTCGGGGCCGGCGCCGGGGCGGGCGCGGGCTCCATCATGTGGGGGCTGCCCCAATTCACTCTGAGGAGCTTTTATGCGTCCGATGCGTCGTGGGCGGCCTGCTGGCGTCGTATGCGGCCACGTCGTCGCTCACCAAGCCGTGACGCCAAGCACAGGCCTGCCACGGGCCCGGCAACTGCGGGCGCTGCGCGCAAACCAAAGCAGCACGGGTTTTCGCTGGTCAAAGTTGACGCTCGTGCGGGTTCGTCGTTGCCAAGCGCTGCACTTTGCGCCCTCTCCCGCGCTCCGTGGACGTCCGGACGGACGCACGGCCTTATAAGAGACGCCACCGCGTCGCTCCGGCGGTCTCCTCGTCGCTTCGGCGTCCACAGGCTGCCCAACGCGCATAACAGCGCCGAGGCTGCCCCGTCGGCCCCCCGCGCCGCCGCCGCGAGCGACGCGTCATCTCCCGCGGTTCCTGAGGGAGAGAAAGCCTCAGCACACCTTCGCGCCCCGTAAATATGCCGGACCTATCCAACGGCGCCGACTCCGGCAACAACTCGTTACGAGGCGGCAAGAAGTCCTATACCAGAGGAGCGTTGGAAGGAAACTGGACGGAAGACCGGTGCGACCCGAAGGCCGGCCGGGGCCGCTTCACGACGCGGCGGTTTGTCACGGTCCTGGACGAGGCCATGAGGGTCGGCTACTCGGGCCAGCCCGTCGTCGCCCAGGAGTTCGGCTGCGGCATTTCGCGGGACCCGTCGAACGACCGTTTTGATTATGACAACATCGTCTGCCCGGACAAGCACGAGTCCCCCGGCAAGTGGAAGACGATCATGCAGGACGCGTCCGAGTACAAGTCCAAGTGCGTCCTCGGCGAGGCGCCGGGCCACCCGCAGCTCGAGGAGTACCGCGCGCGGTGGACGAAGTCGACGCCCGACGAGATGGACTACCGCTTCTCGCTCTGGAAGCAGGGGCTCTAGTTTTTTTTGAGGGCGTAACTGCGGAATACTTGTAGATGTCGCGTCGACGGCGCCGGGGGTCTGAAAGAGAACTAGGCTTTACGGGGGGGTTTCGCGGGCGGCGAGCGTGGCGCGCCACTTGGCGCGCCCACGGACGGCGACGGCGACGGCGTCGCGGCGTCGCCGACGAGTGACCGCCGGCGCCGCGATTTCACCGCAGTACGCGTGGTCGTGGAAGACGCCCCGCCCGCCCACGCGGCACGCGGGGCTCCGGTACGCCTCCTCGACGTCCCAGACCGTCGCCCGCCCGCGGTCGATCGCGTCCCGAAACACGAGGGCCGCGGCCCACTCGTTGTGCACGCGCCCGTGCAGGCGCGGCCCGGCGAGCCACGTGGTGTGGTTCATCGCACGCGGCCGCGCCGCGAAGAAGTCCGTACAGATCGCGTCGTGCGCTTGTAATCTCTCGTTGTCGCGCGGGCAGCACCGCTCGAGCACGGCCGTCGACGTGCGCATCGCCGCCGTCAAAAATGAAGTGTCCTCGAAGCGCACGTCCGCGTTCGCGCGGATAATCCACGCGTAGCCCTCGAACCAGCCCTTGCGCGCCGCGACGACCATGAAGCATCGCTCAACAAGTTTCCCCTCCCCAATCCTCCCCTAAACGTTAACGCGCGCGGACAAGCTGTGTAAGTTAACTAACTTCTACTAGTCGGAGTCGAGAACGACGCCCCCCAGCGACTTCCGAGCCCCCTACCCTGTCGCTCCCCCCCCGTCGTGCGAGCTCGTCGCCACCCGCGGTGGAGAAACTCGCGAAGGGAGTGCCGGCGCCGGGCTTTACCGGCGCTGGGCTCGAGGAGTACCCGCCGGACTAAGCTCCTGCGTTTGCGTAGGTAAGTAGGATAGGATAACTACTCTTCCTTAGAACTCACGAAAGCCGCGTCGAATCAAAGCTCAGAAGCGACTCCTTCCACCACGCCCTCCGCCGCTGAAGCAGCCGCCTTGACAACGTCCTCGACGACGTTAGACGCCGCCGCCGCGGCCGCCGCCACGGCGGCCTCGGCGGCGTGGTCGGCGTGCGCGTGCGCCGCCGGCGCCACGTCGAGCACGGCGCGCGCGACCGTGAGATAAATCACGATGCCGAGCGCGTCTATCAATGTAGTAACGGCGGGCGGCGCGACCGTCGCCGCATCGAGGCCAAGCCAGTCCAGCGCGAGCGGGATGACGGAACCGCAGACCGCCCCCAACGCCGTGATCGCCGCGAGCGCCGCCACCACCACCGTGCTCAGGTCGCGGTCGAAGCCCGTCAAGTACATGGCGAGCGCCGCGAGGGCCGCGAGCTGGACGGCGACGGCGCAGCCCGCGAGGATCTCGCGCAGCGCCAGCCGATACTTAGAAGTCGGCGTGCGCGCGTCGCCGCGCGCGATCGCCGAGATGACGGCGCCCACGCTCATGCCGCCGCAGTTGCCGCCGTGGCCGATCAAAAAAGGCACGAAGAACGACAGCGACACGTGCGCCGCGAGCGTCTCCTCGTAGCCTTCCAAAATCGCCGTCGTGCAGCTCAGCAGCAGCAGGAAGAGGGCCAGCGTGCGCGCGCGCTTCACGGCCAACAGTAGTGAGGACGAGTCCGGGTCGTCCTCGACCACCGGGCCGTGGCCGGCCGCCGAACCCCCGCCACGGGGCTTCCTCCCAACTTTCCGCTTCAGGGCGGCGTTCTCCCGCTTCAGAGAGGCGATCTCGTCCCGGAACTCGACGCGCGCGTAGCCCAAAGCTCGCTCGGCGACCTCGCGGTACGCCGCGTCGTCCATTCTGCTGCTGCCGAGGCCGAGGCCGGTCCAGAGCGCGAGGGCCGCTGCTCGATGCAGCTTGCCCGTTTTAGGACGCGGGGCGGTGCGCGTCGATGGCGTGCGTCGCACTGTTGTTTGCTGCAGTGCACCACTGCTGCTCACACTGCTCAGGCGGTTGACAAACGGCACGTGCAGCTTGCGCAGTTCAACTTGCAGCAGCGATTACTACTGCTGACCACAGCGCGATGCTCAAAAGGTAATCGCTGCTCGATGCGCGCGTGCAGCAGTGACAGACTGCAGCAAGCCCAGCCTCTCGGTGAGGGGAGCTTGGAAGCGATTTTAACTTGTCTGGAGCCAGGCCATATAGTGCCTTCAGTCGTCTTTCGATGCTTCCCCTTTCGTGCGGGTTTGCCCTTGCAAATCGGGTTTTACTTGGCGCTTTTGCCGGCGCAAAACGAGGCCGCGCTTCGCTAGAGCTTGGTAGTTATACGTGGAAAACACTCTCACGCATCGCTCTCCAGCACGCAGCGCGAAAACGCCCCGTAAAAGCCCGCAAAAAGAAGGAGGATGGCGACAGCTCTAGACCGCGCCGCCCTCCCGCGCAACGAGCTGCTGAGCCAATGGACACAACACGCCGCCTGCGCCGACGCCGAGCTCGACGCCTGCGCGACGGAATTACGACAGGCGCGCCACGTCCAGCGCGCGTGGGCGGCCGGCGGCGTCGTCGGCGACGCGGCGCAGCGCGCCGAGCACGCGGCCCAGCGCGCCGAGGCCGCGGAATGCCTCTCAGCGGCGCTCTGGTCCGTCCTCGAGGAGCGCGCCAAATTATTGGGAGACGACGACATGGTCGACGCGGCCACTTCCTCCGCGCTCGACAAGGCACACAAACGCGCGACGCGGGCCTGGCGCGTCTTGTCGTCGCTGCGCGGGTTGAGCCGGGCGGCGCGCGACGTCCGACGAGAAGTAGATAGCGACGCCGTGCCGTGGCTCAACGCGCGCTACAAGGCGCGGAAGCGGGCCGCCTCTGTCGACAAGGGAGAACCCCTCCTGGCCTTCCTCCTGCAGCGGGGCGGCCTCGCTTCTGATGATGCCCACCCCGTGGCCGACGCCGCCTGGTGGGCGACGCTGGCGCAGGACGGCGACAGCACTCCCTCAAAGGAAGTCGAGGACGCGTCGATCCCGACGGCGTCAGATGATGCGACGCTGGACCACCGCCTGGCCGCGGCGTGCGTCGTGAGCGGCGACGTGGCCCTGCGGCGCGCCGTTCTTGATGGTTCGGACGGCGTGGAAGCCGTCAGAAAAGGGGCTCTGGCGCTCCAAGAGACGGCCGCGGCGGTCTTCCTGCCGCCCGGTATTGTGGACGTGGCGGCGGTGTGCTGGGGGTTGGACGTGGCGGACGGCCTCGCGAGCGAAGCGAGCGACGAGGAAGGTTTATCCGCAGCAAGGGCCGCGTTCGCGCGCGCCGCTCCCTTAGCTGCGGATTTAGGTTCGCGCTACGGCGACTCGAGTCCTGGCCTGCGCTTATTACTAGCAAGGCGCATCGGCCGCCTGGCGGACTTGGATGTGGCCGCGGCCCTCTTCGCGCTGGCGGCGCTCGCGGACGGCGACGACAGCCGCTTCGCCGTAGCGCGTTCCGTCGCGCACTCGAACGCGCGCCGACCAGATAGAGCTTTACAAGTTTTGCGGGCCGCCGACGACCGCGCGGACGACGCTTCACTGCATACGGCGCGCATGCGTGTCTTCGAGGCGCTCTGGGCGCAGGGCGACCGGAAGGCGTGCGCGCAGCTGCCCGTGACTTTTAGAGATGAGAAGGCCCTGGCCGAGGCCCTGGCGCCGAAAGCTAGAGGCGGCGACCGCGCGGCGGGCGATTGTCTGGTCGCGGCGCTGTTAAGAAGGCGCCGCGTCGCCGACGCGCAGCGGCTCCGGCCCTTCGCGTCGCCCCGAGCATTGAAAGCTTTGGACGTGGCGAAGGCGTCGCATGTGTCCGCGGAGCCTTTGGAAGGGCGGTACTGCCCCTACCTCGCTGCGTTAGAGCAGGGGGCTTCTACGGTGATGGCCGACGAAGAACCTGCGAGGGTGGACGTCTGGCCCGCGGCGCCCGATAACGATGGGGCTGAAGATCAGGTCATGCGCGAGCGTCCACAACAGCGCCGAGAAGACCAGGGTGGCGGAGAGGACGACGAGGCATCACACGAGGGTCCGGCGCACGTCGTCGCCGCGCCTTTCACGCTGCCCGCTCCACCAACCCAGCCGCGCTTCTCCTTCTCGCTGCCGCCGGCGCCGCCGTCGTCACATTCGATCTTCGACGGCATCACGGGCGGCGAGGAGAAGAGTTCAGGGGAGGTCAACGTCACCTCGCCCGTCGACGAGGGGCGTGCCGACGCGCGCGCGGCGCTCGAGGCGCGCATCCGCGATCGGGTGGACGCGCTGCGCCAGCAGGAGGACGTCGCCATGGAGGAGGCCGCCCCCGCTCCCGCCCCGGAGCCCATGGAGGAGGAGGAGGCCGCGGCGGCACCAGCGGCGCCGGCGCCGGCGGCGCCGGCACCCGAGCCGGCGCCGCCGGCGCCCGAGCCCATGGAGGAGGAGGAGGAGGAGGCCGCGGCGGCCCCGGAGCCCATGGAGACGGAGCTCTCCGACGACCCCATCGAGGACTCGGAGGAGGACGTGGTGGCGGCGCCCGCGGAGGACAACACGAGCCTCGGCGACGACGATGAACAGGTCGCGCCGCCGCCGCCCGCCGACGACGACGACGATGATGACGATTCGGACCACGACGACGGCAACGACGCGCCGGCGCCCGTCGCCGCCGCGGCGCCGGCGCCGGCGCCCGCGCCCGCGGCCGAGGCGCCCGCGGAGGACCTCCACGCGTGGCCGAACAACGCGGCCGACAGCCAGACGCAGAGCCAGGGTGAGAGCCCGCCGGCGCCCGCGCCACAGGAGGACAGCCAGGAGACGGTGCTGGAGCTCCACGTCGGCGGCCTCGCGCTCGACGCGGCGACGGGCAACGTGTGCCGCATCGTGGCCAAGAAGAAGGGCTGGTGGACGGTCCAGTTCCTGGGAGAGGACGCGACGCACTCGCGGCGCGCGAAGCAGCTCACGCCCCGGGCCGAGGATGAAGCTGAGGAAGCGGAAGAAGCGCCGCCGGAGGCCGAGGTGCTCCAGGCCATGCTCGACGAGGACGACGAGGACGAGGCCCCGGCGCCGGCGCCGGCCCCGGCGCCCCGCCGGCGGGGCCGCAGCGGCGGCAGCCCGGCCGCGTCGCCCGCGGCGTCGCCGCGCTCCTACCGAGGGCCGCGGCCCGCGCCCAACTCGTCGACGGGGTCGCCCTCGCGGCGCTCGTCGCGCAGCCGGTCGCGGGGCAGCCCTGCGCCGCGGCGCTCGCCACGCGGACGCGCTGCCGCCGCGGCCCCGGCGCCAGCCCCGGCGCCCGCCCCGGCGCCGCGACGCTCGTCCCGCGGCCGCTCGACGGCGGCGCCGGCTCCCGCGGCCGCCGCCCCGACGCGCCGCTCGCCGCGCCGCTCGTCGCGCGGGCGCTCGGGTGGCTCCGCCTCGCCGGCGCCCGCGCCCGCGGCACCGTCGACCCGCCGATCCTCGCGGGGCCGCACACCGGCCACTCCCGCTGCGGCGTCGTCCGCATCGCCGCCGCGCCGGCGCTCGCCACGCGGACGCGCGCCAGCGCCCGCTCCCGAGGCGGAATCGTCTCCATCGCCGGCGCCGGCACCGGCGCCGCGCCGCTCGTCCAGAGGTCGTTCTGGTGGACGCAGCGCCTCGCCGGCTGCTTCCGCGCCTGCGCCCGCTCCCGCTCGGAGGGGCCGGCCGCGCCGCACGGCCGCGGCGCCCGCGCCCGCGGCCTCCGCGCCGGCCCGGAGATCTACGCGCGGGCGCCGCGGCGACGTCGACGAGAACGAGGACACGAACCCTGCACCTTCGCCGAAGCCCGCGCGCCGCTCCGCCAAGCCCGCCGCCGCGGCGCCGCTGAGGAGGTCGTCGCGGCTCCGGAAGTAGTGGCTGTAGTAGGCCGGCTTCTCCCTTACTTAGGTTGGTTGGTACTGGATCGAGTGGGAGTGCTAGCGGCCTGTAAGACACTAGCAATTGTGAAAAATCTGGGGCCATCGCGCTGTCCCAGGCGGCGCGGCGTTTGAGGGAACCTGGGACCTTTGTCGGGCTTCGGACCTGCGCCACGAAGCCTCAGGAGTCTCGCTTCTCGCGCTTCTCGAGGTCCTTGGACAACTTACCTCAGAGCTCTTCCTCACAGCCAGCTAAAGATGAGGTGGGCCTGGGCCCTCCTCCTCCTCACGGCACGAGTCACGGGCGGCCGCGCCGAGACGCGCGTCGTCATCGAGGACTTCGCGACGACCACAGGGCTCTGGACCGATACCGGAGAGGTCCTCGGGCTACCCGAATCGATTCAGCCGTCGGTCGGAACGATACAGCTCACGACGACCGAAGACGAGACGCTGCGCGTCGATTACGACGTGGCCTTCACGGCGCTCTGGGGCCCGGTCACCCTCGGACGAACCTTAAACGGCACGACGTATGACCAGTGTGCAAATGCGACGCACGTGAGTCTCAAGTATAAAGTAAAAGAACCGCAATCGCGCCCTCACCTCGGCACCCTGATGTTTTGTTTACTGGACGGGAGCGACTGCTCCGGACCCGTATGCGCGCAGGACAAGGGCCAGGCGCTGGAGCTGTGGATGAGCTTCGAGGCGGTGGCGCTCGACGACGCGTCGGCCGAATGGCGCGAGCTGCGCCTCGGTCTGTGCGGAAGGTCGGGTACCACGCGGACACCTTTTTTTAACACGGACGGCTTGTACGCGAACGGGAATGCATGCGGATATACTACACTACACCTGCGACTCGCGCACGTATCGCAAGCGGGCCTGGTGCCGCGCCGAGATCATGAGCTGCTGGGCGAGGAACGGCACGGCGTCTATGTTCGTAAATACCAACGAAGGGCTCCGCCCGCTCGCGACGGACGACAAGGTATTGCTAGAAGCGCTCGACGTCTTCGGCGGTGATTTGACATGTTGTCGCCTGGGACATGAGGATGGACGGCCGTGCGACCGCGAGGCGCTAGTACTACCCATGTTAGGATTGTACGGTGAGATCTACAAAAATCGCTGTCAACCATGCGGAGACGCGTATTCATTCATCGCGCCAGAAAAAGATAAGATGTTCCCCCGGACGTTTCGCTATAAATTCAAGGACGCCGAAGGCGTCGCCCGGAGTGAGGAGACGGTGCTTTTCGGCGACACGATCAAAGCCGTGGAAGTCGCAGTTGAGATGAGTGAGGTAAGCGAATCCGATCCCTTGTGGAAGAAGGCGCTGCCCGACATGGCGCCGGCGACCAACAATTCCACCCACGCGCATCACCTCCAGGTCGCCGCCCTCAAGTCCTCGCTGAGCGCCGTCGACAGCGGCAGCAGCAGGACGATGCGCCTCCGGCGCTCGCTCTCGACGGTCGTGAGGAGCAACCCGAGCTCTCCACGACAAAAGCCGTTCCAAACGCATAGTTCGCTGGCGAGCGCCAACGGGAGACCTCGGAATCTTGCCTCTTCTTCCTCTTTTTGGGCGAATCCGCCGCGGGCGCAGCAGAGACCTACGTTAAGCCGCGAGAACACCTGGCGGACAAGCGCTCCACGACTAGCACACGAAGATTCCAAGGAGGACTTGAACGTGTAACGCGTTGAGCCCCATGCCGGGCGTCGGCCATGCGACTAGGTCCAGGCCGGCTTGCGCGAACACGTAGGCCCAGATCGCCTGGAACAGAATCCTATGATAACATATACTCTCCTTACTAGAAGTACTAGAAAAACACAGTCGTCCGCAGGCTCCGCCGCCGGTCCTCGGCGAACTTGGCGAAGTCGTGGTCCGTCGCGAACGCGTCGAGCCCCTTCCCGACGGGCAGCTCGCTCGGCTCGTGCTCAATCGCAAGGTTGACCGCCGTCACGGGCAGCGCGGCGAGCGCGTCGTCGTGCGGGGGGACGGGAGTGGGCGGCCGCGGCACGAGTCCCATGATCGCCCGGTCCTCGCGCCGTGGCAGAGTCTTGATCAGGTCGCGCGTCGATATCGTGCCAACGAGACCGTCTCGGGTCACGTAGGCCTGTGACCGCGGCAGCCGCAGCTCCTGCTCGGGCGGCGCCTCGGCGGTCCGGGCCCGCGCGGTGCCGGCGCGCGACGGCGACGACGCCGGCCGCGACCAGTCCTCGGTGGGCCCGTCCTCGTCGTCGGCCGGCGGCCACCGTAGCAAGTACGGCGACACGTCCTCGGCGAAGTTGCCGCCCGGCCCCTCGTAGCGCACCTTGACTGTTGTAGAGGCCACTTGCGTGACCGTCGCGTCGCGCCAGCGCGTCTCCGCGTCGCGCAGCCGCTGCTGGAGCCAGCGCACCTGCACCTTGGCGCCGGGCTCTACTTGTAAGGGAGGTAGGATGCGCGCCCCCGGCACCTCGTGTTCGAGTTTCGGCGCCGCGAAGCCGTGCGACGCCCAGTAGCGCTCGTCGACCGGCTCCGAGCCGTTATCAAACAACTTGACGTCCTCGGGGTCGTCGCGTTGCAACGAGACCGCTTGAGCGGCGTCGCGGACGTCGCACCGTCGTAGAGAAGGTCGCTGGTCCCGCAGCGTGAGCGTCCAGAGGGTCTGTCCGCTTTTCCGTCCCAGCACGCCGGTCAACAGCAGGTGCTTGATGCCCGTCGCGCCGAACGCATTGTGCTCCAGATGCAATTCCCGCAAGGACGAAGCATCTTTCACACCATAGGCGAGCTGCGAGGCCTGAGCGTCGTCCAGCCTACACGCGGCCAGCCGCAGCGACACGAGCTTTGTGGCATCCGGCAGGGCGTTCGCCAGGACCGGCCCCACCAGCGCTGTCCCCACATTATTGCCGGTCACGGCCAGTCGCGCGAGCGTCGGCGACGCGCGCAGCACCCGAGCCAAGGCGTCCAACCCTCGATAGGAAATCGCGTTGTCCGCGCGATCGACGCGCAGCGACGTCAACGCGGGCAGCCGCTCCACGGCGCGACAGAGCGCCTCCAACCCCACGCCGCAGACGCGCGGGCAGTCCAACTCCAGCGCGTGCAACACGGGCCCCTCGCGCGGCGTCTCCGGATGGTCCGGCGGCGAAATCGCCTTTGAAATTCGTATGATGTCGCGGCTCGTCGCGAGGGCCCTCCTTATGATGAGTGCGTCTGCGCGACCCAGGTCCTTCAGTGCACTATCTGAGCACGAGGCGATGGGCGCGCCGCCCGCTCGCGCCTGGATGACGGCGACGCGCGCCGGCGCCGAGGCCTTGGCCCACCCGCCGGTGCCGCGGTGCCGCGCCGGCGACGCGAACGGCACGGACGCGAGGTCCCGGTCCGCGCGCGCCCAGTCCTGGGCCCGTCCACAGACCCAACCTTGCGTCCGTAAGTCCATTCTCGTAGAGTGGCCCGCGTCCCGTCCCAGCCACGCCTTGCCGCACCGTTGCGCGGCGCGCTGGCGGTTGCGCTCTGCTGCTTTTCTACGGTCCTCCTCCGTCTCGAGGTACGGCTTCATCGCCTCGAGTTCTCTCTTCCGCTTCGCGATGGCCCGCTCCCGCTGATTCAGCGTCATCGTCTCCAACTCCGCGATGAACTGGCGCTGCCCCCTCAAAAATTCTTCGCCCACTTCTCCCGTGAGGCCCTCGGCGAAGCGACTGCCCCGCAAAAACTCCTGCCACTCCTTCTGCTTGCGGAAGGCGCGCAGTCCTCGCCAGCGCGCCTGGACCATGGTCGCGGCCCACCGATCCTTGGCGACGGCGAATCTCTTGTGTCTGAGTTGAATCTTCCGCGCGGCGACGCTCTTGATGGACGCGACGCGCCGATACTCCACCGCCTCCGGGGCGTCGGGCGGCAAGGCTTCCTGCGACAAGCGCGCGAGCAAGGCACTGAGTCGAGTGTCGACCTCCTCCAGGGGCCGCCCCCGCAACGTCACCCGGGCTTCTTCCAACGCCCGCTCGTAGTCACCGAGCTCTTCCAGACACTCGGCAATAGCTAACCGCACCTCATCAACATCGTCAGAACCCTGCCACCGGTCCTCCTCCGGCATCTTTGATAACGAGGCTTTATACAACGCCAACGCGACCGCGGGGCTCGCCCGGCACAAGCCCTTTTCGCCGCCGTCCTCCCGGTACTTATCCCCGAAAAGCTTCAGAGGCATTGGGTCACTCATCCATTCATTTAACTCCATGCGATCGGCGAGAAACCGGTCTCGCTCGCCTTGCTTGTGCCGGCTCGGTTCCTGCAAGGCAGCGTACAACCGCGCCTGGGACACCAGGACATCAGCATGGTCCGCCGCGAGTCTAAAAGCCAGGTCCTCGACCTCCCGATGAATGTCCAGCGGAGGCAACGGGAGTAGGCAGCACGACTCCTTTTCGGCCATCCCGTAGCCGTCTCTGACATGACGCCAGGACGCGTCCTCCTTCAACCAGTACGTTAATTCTAACTCTTCATGTAATTGAATCGCCGCGTCGGCGCGCCCACCGGCTAGAGCAATATGAGCCAACGCGTACTGGGCCAGCTTGCCAACTTCCCCCTCCACTTGCTGCGTGACGGCGAAGGCCACGAGATCCGCCGCTTTCTGGTGGTTATTCGCTCGAAAGTGCGCGCCCGCCGTCTCCAGTATCAAAGAAACGCGTCTCGCGAAGCGCGGCCAGGCGAGAGTCTTGCCCGCAAAGTGCACGGCTCTCTCCAAGAAGTACTGCATGTTCTTGCGATCGCCAGCACCGGACGGCCCCTTCCGCGTCGAGGCCCACCAGGCCGCGTGGGCCCGGATCTGGAGCAGTTCGAGCTCCATCGAGGGCCCGCCCTCTTCTATAGATTTGCAAGCGGCGTCGATGGACCCCCGATAGTCACCCTCTCTAAATCTAAATCTCGCCGCCAAAATCAAAGAGCGCTTGTCCCGGGGCTTCTCCCTTAGCGTAGCTTCGACCTCCTCGAGGGGCGGGTCGCGATGCTTCGGCAGTAGCGGAGGGGGGCGCTTCTTTGGTGCTGGCTTAGCTTTAGCAGGTACATATTGGGGCGTGGGGCGCACGGCTGATCGGCCTTTGTTGCCGCTGAAGGCCGAGAGGGCCTTGGCTGCTTGCGCGAGGAGGCCCATCGTTATTGGTCCATCGGTGCGAGCGCGGGGGCTGCCTTTTGTTGGCACTTTGTACTACTTTGGCAGCCTAGGTCCCGCGCGCTAGCGAGCTTGGGGCAGCCCCAGATTAGCGCAGCCCAGAATTAGCTAGAGTCCTGTAAGACACTAGCAAGCTCTCACTCTTGCAAACAGCGCTTGATTTGTAATCAAGAGAACGTTGTTCGATCTAAAACTGTCTGATTTTTAGAGCTTTCGTTGCGCAGCCACAAGTCGGAAACAATAACTGCGCACAGAGCCTCTGCCAGACCTGCTCTCTCTGCAGCCCTGTATTGCCATGGCTGCGCAAGCGGACGTGGACTGGCAGCAGCGCGCGCTCGCGGCCGAGGCCGAAGTCGCGCGGCTGCGGAAGCGCAATCGCGAGCTCGGGGACGAGTTGGACCTCTTAGCCGTCGCCAACGCCGACCTGCGGGCCATGGCGGCGCCAGCAGCACCCGCGCCCGCGCCAGCGGGACCGCCCATCGAGTCCTTCGCCGCGCTGCGCGTCCACGGCGCGAGCAGGGCGCTCAGGTCGGAATCCGACCGCACGATAGAGCAGGCCACCGGCGCGGCGAACGCCACATGCGTCGCGCTGCACAGTGAGCGCGGCTTGGTGTGCGGCGGCGCTGACGGTGTTTTACGATTGCACAAAGACGGTGCCGAGCCGATTCAGCATGCGTGCGGGTCGCCGCCGCTTCGCGTGGCGTTTTCCCCGGTGGGCGGAGAACGTTTGGCATGTGGATGCATGGACGGCAGCGTGCGGATCCTGTCGACATTAGAACAGCTCATCACGTCTCCCGTTGGGGGGCCGGTCGTGCCTGCTCTGGACGAGTACCACCGCTTCCATGACCACGAGTCGCGAATTGTATCGATCGCTTGGGGTGAGAGAATCGGCACACTTCATGGCTACTTCGCCACCTGCGCGCGGGACAAGACCGTCATCATCTATCACGGGTTTGAGAAGCTGCACACGCTAGTCCTGCCCGCAAACCCGGAGAGCCTCTGCTTCGCTCCTGGCGGCAAGGAGCTCATCGTTTATTGTCGCGGCGAGCCCTTCCGCCGCCACGTAAAAATCGAGGAGGAGACGCTCGCCGAAACGCGCGTATCTCTGAATGAGAAGGACTGGGACACCCACTGCTCCTTCGCCGTCTTGGACATGGCCGTCTCGCCGGACGGAAAATACCTCGCCTGCGCCACCGACGCGAGCAAACACATCATCTATCCCCTCCACGGCAACGAGCACGTGAAAGTACTGGTCGGCCACACCGCGGATGAGTACGCCAACGCTCGCATCGCGTGGCTCGGGGAGTCGGTCGTGTCGAACTCGCAGAAGGACCCGGGCCTGTACCAGTGGGACATCGGCTCGGGAAAGGTCCTCAAGCGCGTCGAGCGCGCGCACGGCAAGGCCGTCCGAGACCTCGCCGTCTCCGACGACGGAACGCTGGCGACGTGCTCCTTCGACAAGGCGGCGAAGCTGTGGAGCTTGTGCGCGCCGTGATTTCTAGTGTGTAAGTTGACCATGTGCTCATAGAACAAAGAACCGATCTAGTACACCACAAGAAATTTCGTGTGCGATACACCACCGACGCGAGACTACTACTACAAGGAACCGATTTACACCATCAGGGGTTGTCGCCGTCAGCGCCACCAGCGCCGGACGCCCAGGCCGAGTGCGGCCACGCCGTGGGGTTCGGCGCGGGCGCGGGCGGCGCGGCGGCGTCGTCGCCGTCGTCGCCATTTGTTTGTGGAGGCGGCGAGCCGGGAATTGGCATTGGTGGCCGCGGCCCCGCCGACGGGGGCGGCCCGGCCGGCGGCGGCGACCACGACGCGCCCAGCTGCGGGTGGTGCCAGTAGGGCCGCCCCGTGTTCGCGTCGACGTGCTGCGTCCAGCCCCGGGCCACGGGCGAGCCCGGGATCGGGCTTCCGGGCGGCGGCGGCCCGTACTGCGCCGGCGGGAAGCCGTAGGGCGGGTAGTAGGGGTACGGGTAGTGCGGCACGGCGTAGCCCGGGATGGGACTTCCCGGCGGCGTGTCCGATGCGGACGAGAAGCTCCCGGCGTGCGCGCGCCGCACCTGGCCGTACGACGCGAGGCCGACGTTCGGCTGCGGCGGGAAGCCGTAGCCCTGCTGGGCCATGGCCGCGTAGGCGTACGCCACGTAGGGCGGGTCGAGGCGCTTGCCGCCCATGACCTCGTGGACGAGCCGTCTTGCTTCCTCCACCGCTCTATCGTCGCCCTGGACCTCGACGACGCAGGGTTCGCCCTCGGCGACGCGCTGCTCGATCTGGATACGCGCGCCTGATCTCCGTTGTAATTCGTTGATCGTCTCGCCGCCCTTGCCGATGACGCGGCCGACGAGGCCCTTGGGGCACTCGAACGTGGCCAGTCGACCCGGCGCGCCGTTGCCGACGGCCGGCGAATTCCCTATCAATGATCTCACGAGCTCGACGCCCGCCCGGACGCACTGGGCCGCGCCCTCGACCGTGACTAATCGAGGCTGGCCCTCCGGATAGTTCTGGTCGATCTGGATGCGGGCGCCGGACCTCCGTTGTAGGTCCTTGATCGTGTCGCCGCCCTTGCCGATGAGCCTCCCGACGAGGGCCTGGGGGCACCGCACCGTCTCCCGCGCGTCGCTCGGCGACGGGGGGGGCGTCTCCCGCGCGTATGGCCGGACGTGCCGCGGCGGCGCCGCGTAGCCGTAGGGACTCAGCGGCGGCTGCTGGACGGGGTCCTCGGCGTCGCCGTCGACGGTGTCGGCCTCGGAGGGCTCGCGGCTCGCGCTGGCTTGGTCTGGGGGCGGGTCCAAATGAGTGGCCGGCGCCGGCGCCAGGGCGGGAGGGGAACTCCTTCTTTCTTGGACGTCCAGCGGAGTCGACGGGGCGCCCAGCCCTGGTGGGCCCGATTGCGCGGGCGGAGGCGTCGTGGACTTTTTCTCCTCGGCGCCCGAAGGGCTGGATCTGGACACGTTCTCCAGCTTTGAATCTGAGAGCGGGGGAGAGCCTGAGGCCGCCGGCTTGGCAAGGGACGAACTCATGAGTCGTAGCGCTGCTGCCAAACCATTACCAACTTCATCGGGTCAGCGATTACCGAACCACATAAGAGGACCTGAGCAAAAAGCACGAGGCTCCGAGGCTGAAATGTTGATGAGAGCAGAGGCCTGCACGCCTCAAGGCAGCGCGTGCGACCCGTGTCGAGACGCCTCAGCCGCAGGAGCAGCCGGATTCTGCCTACTCGCCAGCGCGACCCCGTACCCATGGGCAGCAGCTTTTTTGTGCCGGCGTGCAGGACGCCGCGTTCGAGCTGCAGTTCATTTGCAGTAAAAAAGACGTCTAGACACTCTTACCATCGCTGTCGGTTGCAGCGTCCACGGCGACGTGCGCTCCAGCGGCCGTTTAGCAGGGAGAGCATCACCTCTGCCGGGAGAGCATGCGGCAGCTCCTCCGCCAGATCCTCCGCGCGCACCGGACAAAGCTGCCGCCGAACATGCGTTCGCTCGGAGACCAGTACGTGCGCAAGGAGTTCGCGGAGATGCGCGACGTCACGAAACCGGAGGTCCTGGAGCGTTTTAGGGGAGAATGGGAGAAGTACCTGCAGCAGCTGGAGACGGCGCCGGCCGACGACCTCGGCGCGGACTTGGACGCGGAGATCCTCGGGACGATGTCCGACGACCAGAAGGCGAAGTTGGTGGATATGCGCGCGTCGTCGCGAAAGCTGCGCGAGGAGGACGGGAAATAATCACATGTTGTTGTTAGTCCACGCACGAGGGGGTTTCGGCGGCCACACGGCGATTGCGTGGGGCCGCGTCATGTACCTCGCACGCGATGACTACGCGGCGCCGGCCGCCTTGAGAATGTCGTCGATCCCGGCGTGCGCGCCCGAGGACTCGTCGTAGTGCTCGAAGAGGACCTGCGCGGTAGCACGCGACTCGCTCCACGCCATCGACGCGACGCGACCGCGGCGACGGCGTGCCGGTGGGGATTCATGGAAGGACACTGGCGCAAACGGTGTCGCCCTCGAAGACGAACGAGCCGCCCTGGACCATCGTCTTCTCCATGGATCGAGTCATCGTCGAGCCTTTCGGCATGAGTGGCGTATAGATGCCTGCGGTTTGCGTGTCTGTGAGTCGCGGCGATGGCGTAAACACACTGACACATGCCGGGCTTGAAGAGCGAGCCGGTGATGGCGTCGAGGTCCTTCTTACCGCGCTCCTTGAGCGCGTCGTTCGTGGCTTGCGACCACATCGAGCCGATGCCCTCGAAGTCAGCTTTCCCGTCAGGCTTCCGCTTCGTGTTCCGAGTCCCCGCGGCGCGATACGCCTCGGACTCGTCAGAATCGTCGACGTAGAGCATAGACTTCGGGAACTCCGTGCGAGATGCGAACGTCTCGCCGGAGTCGAGGGAACCGATTCCTACCACAGCCAGCTTGATGTTATTCTTCTCGAGTGCTGGGAGCGCGTCGCGCCTTAACTGCACGGCACGCTCCCAGCAGAACACTCACCCGAAGTGTCGCAGGAACTCGACGACGACGCGCTCGTTACCTTGCCACGTCGACGTCAGCTCGACCGGCCGCCGGTCCGCGACCGAGAGCACCGTCGCGCCTGTCAACCGCTGGTAAGCCGTCAACGCATTGCAGGCGCCCAATGCTGTCGCGAGGATGATGCCAGTGCGCCGCATCACTGAGCAGCGGACGCGGTTTGCTCAAAGTGTGACTCTGACCACCAGGTTGGAGTGGACCTGTGGGAGGCGGCTGGAGCAAGAAGCGCTGCCCCAGCGCCCCAGCACAATACTGCGGTACACAATCCTGCGAATCAATGCCGCAAAACGCTTATACGTTGCGCCACGTCTGAAAAAACCGGCGCTCTCACAAAATCAGCTCTGCGACCCGCACGAGGCTAGACGCCGTCGACGCAAACCTACTTACTCCGACGCTTTCAGCTCGAAGACGACGTTCGCGCTGCCCTCGACGCCGTCGATGATGTCCCGGATGGGCAGGGCCTCGCTGATGGCTGTGCCGTCGGCGCGTTTTGTGGACAGGCCGTCGACATCCAAGCTCATGCGCTTCGCGAAGGCCGCTTTCAAAGCAGCAACAGGTTTCCCGAGCCACTTGTCCGTGAGGTCCATTTCGTTCGACGTGACGTCCGCGCCGCTCTTGTAGTGCAGGAGGACCGGAGTCGTCGACGACGGTGACGTCGGCTGCGGCGCGGGCGTCGCCGGCGGGGGCCCCGTCTCGAATTTCTGGACCTTCCGCCCGAGCGCGCCGCGGCCGACGGGCTCGTCGATCGAACTCTTGCGCCGCGGCGTCAGGGTCGTGCCGGGCCCGAGGCGACGCTCGCGCTTCGGCGACGCTACCGCCGTCTCGGCGGGCGGTGGCGGCGTCGGCGGGCGCTCCTCGGCGCTCTGCGGCGCGGCCTCCGGCTCTGGTGCTGGCGGCGGCGTCAGCGCGGCGGCCGGCTTCGGAGAGGCTTCTGGCTCCTTCGGCGCGACGGGCGTCGGTGGCGCGGCCTTCTCGGGAGAGGGCGCGGCGGGCTTAGACGCGGACGGGCGGCGCCGCGGCGGCAGCGGCTCGAGGTCCGGGTTCGCGGCCAGCTTGAGCGTCTCGAGGGCCTGCTCGTGCGAGCGGCTCTGGTTCGGCGTGAGCGTCGCGGGCGCGGCCGGCGTCGGCCGCGCGGCCGGCGTCGTCTGCGGCCCGGCCGGCGTATTTTGCGGCCCCGCCGGCGTCGGCTTCGGAGGCGTTTGCGGCTTCTTCGGCTTCGGCGAAGCTGCGGTCGGCTTCTTGGGAGAGGCCTCTTGCGGTGGCGTCGGCGCGGCCTTCTTGGGAGAGGGCTGCGGCGCCGGCGCGGCGTCGGCCTTCGGGAAGAAACTCGGCCTCTTCGGTTGTCGCGGCGCGGCCTCGGCGGCGTCCGGCTTCGGCGGAGCCTCCGCCTTCTCCGGCTGCTTGGGCGCGGGCGCCTTCGCTTTTTTAGGTGACTCGGCCTTCTTTTGCGGCTTGGGAGCGGCGGGTTTCGCTGCCTTCGGCTCTGGTGATGGCGCGCGCCGGGCCTTCGGCGCCGCTGGCGCCGCCTTCTTTACCGGGGACGGCTTGGGGGCCGCGGCCTTGGTCGGTGCTGGCGCGGCGACTGCCGACTTCTTCGCGGGCGACGGCTTGGGCGCGGGCGCCGCGGCGACCACCGGCTTTTTGGCCTTCGGCGCCGGTTTCGCCTTGGGCGCTTTCGACGGCGCCGGCGCGTCGGGCTTGGCCTTCGGAGCGGGCTTCGGCTTCGGCGCGGCTTTCTCCTTGGGAGCCTCGACTGGCGCCTTGGCCACCTTCGGTGCTGGTTTTGGCTTCGGCGCAGCCTTCTCCGTCGCAGCCTTGGGCGCCTTGGGCGCCTTCGGAGCCTTCGGCGCGGCGGCAGCCTCCGGCTTCGCCTTGGCGGCCTTGGGAGCCGACAGCGCCTTCGGGACTGGTTTTGGCTTCGGCTGAGCCTTCTCCGTCGCTGGCGGAGCTTTAGCGGCCTTTGGAGCCGGCTTCGGCTTCGGTGCCGCGGCGGCGGGCGCCTTGGCGGCCTTCGCCGGCTTGGGCTTCGACGGAGGGTGCGGCGCCGCCGGCTTCTGCTTCGGCTTCGGCGCCTTGCGCGGCGATTCGTCGTCGTCGCCCGTGAGGTCGATGTCGGGTTTGGCCCTCAACGGTTTGGCCTTGGGCTTGGGCGCGACCGGTGCCCGTTCGACGAAGCGCGGCGGCGGCGCCGGTACGGTCTTCTTCTTCTTCTTCGATTCCACAACCGCAGGAGAGTCCCGGTCCGAGGACGACGCCAGCGACACGGGCTTCGGCGCGGGCTTGCTGAAGTCCGGCAATGGTACGGGCGCTACCGGGTCCGCATACCGCAGCTCGCGCAGCCGCGTCGCCACGGGCACGTTCTCCTCGGCGTAGCCGTTGTCCTCGTACCGCACCGTACACGTCTTGCGGTCCCGCGACACCGCCAAGATCTTGCAGTCGTGCCAGCGGTCCTGGTAGGCCACCCTCGCTAGCGAACCAGCAGCAAACCACTGGCGCTCCCTTAATCTATCAAGCGAAACGCCGTTCTCGAAGGCGCCGTCGGCGTGCCGAATGCGCCACGTGCCCTGCTTCTCGCGCGTCGTCAGCGTGCAGTCGAACCAGTCGTGGCCGCAGTCGACCTGGCACGTCGCGCCGCGCCGCGCCCAGGCCGGCTGGTTTGATTCCAAACGCTCACTTTCTGCCGAAGCCTGGCGCGAGACGACGGCGTGGAGCTGCTTGACGGCCGCCGCCTTGGGCGCCGGCGACGCAATGTTCGGCTGCGACGCCTTGCTAGGCGCCTTCGGCGCCTTCGCGGGCGTGGGCGCCGCGTCGAGCGACGCTTTGTCCGGCCGCTTCTCCCAGCGGATAACGTCCTCCAAACCTTCACTAACATCCAACTGGTGGAACTCCTCGTTGCCCCAGGGGTCCGCCAAAGTTAAATCGGCCGTGCCGGGCCCCGTCGCCTCGCAGCTTCGCACCGTGCGCTTCGCCCAGGTCTTGCCCCGCCGCACCTCGACGCGGTCGCCGCGCTTAAAGCGCACGAGCGACTTGTGGCTCTTCGGCGCCGGCGCCGCGGCCGTCGGCGGGGCCGCCAGCACCGCGAAGCCGCCGTCGCGCGACGCCGACCGCAGCCGCTTCACGCTGACGAAGGTCTCCACCGTCTTATCAACGTAGGTGATCGTGCACGTGTCGCGCAGCGGCGAGAGGAACGACACGTCGCCGTCGCACGCTTTGCCGTCGCGCACGACGCGCACGCGCTGGCCCACGGCCAGCGGGCCGCCTTCTTGTGGCGCGCTGCGGCGGGCGGCCGCCTTCTTCGGCGGCTTCGGTCGCGGCGGCCGCGCCGTTCCTTTGTTTTTGTGCATTGTGTCAGGGATCCTCCCAGAGTCCCTTGGGGGCTGCCCTGGCTCGCGCGACGCTGCCTTTTCGCGTTTGCCGTCGCGTGCCGCGTCGACCGCGTCCCGCGGCTGCTGTCGTTAGCTTGATCAATGCCGATTCGCGGCGTACCACGAGGGTCTGTCTCTCCACCGGACAGCAGAGATCGAGATTTTGAGCTGACTGGGACGCGTGGTTGTTGCGATTGGGACGGTCCTTGGGGGCGAGAGGCGGTGGCTCCACGTGCTCCTCGTGATTGATTCAATTTTCTAACTCGCGGGTTTTGGCCAGCTTTGTAATTTGCTTTTTTTGCCTACACACGCATTGGTGGCTGTGCCGGCTCACAAATACTGTGTTTCGATCGCTGTTCCCACTCGCGACCGCAGCCACAACCAATTTCGCTCTGCAAGCAGCTGTAAGCAGAGGACTGAAAACTCCTCTGGGCGCCGACCGCGCTACAGCAAAGCTCTCTCCAAACGCCATCGCCACACCACATAAAAGATGCCGGCCGCGTCCCCCGCCATGTTGCTGTGGTGGCTCGCCGCGTCGCTGAGCAGCGCGGTTTATTTTCACCCGGAAGTGATGCTCGACGAGCGGACGGATTTGAGTCGCTTTGTTAGATCGTTGCACGTGACGACGTGCGCGGCCATGGCGTCGTTGGCCGTGGCTGCGTTGTTCCCGTCGCGCATCGACGTGGCGTTATCGTGTGCCGGCGATGCGCCTGAAGCATTGAGGTGTCTGACGGCCTACGGCTTGGTGTACGTCTGTGGGTTATTGTGTTTGTTGCTCGAGACTTTATTGAGGCACGGCTTATTCTCAAGAGCTTGTGCGATGCGGATATCGCAGGCGGCCCTCGCGTCGCTCTTTGGGCAAGTAGTTAGTCATAGAGGCGAGCTGCTCTGCGCCGCACAACGAAGCGGCGAGACGCCGCGCGCGCGCATGACGTTCTGCGCCGTCTACGCCTGGGCCGCGCTCGCCTTCCAGCTGTGCAACCGCATCGAGGCGTCGTTGGATGATAGGGCACTCGATGGTGAGAGCGACGACGACTTTTCCGACGACGACGACGTCGAGGCGGGCGACTTCGTCGCCGACGCGGCGGCGGGCCTGAAGGCGGCCATGTCGACCGTCGAGAACGACCTCCGATCGACCATCAAGGGGGATAAGAAATATTAATGAACATAGTTAATTCAGTCGAGCTTCACTTCCGGGGTGTCTAGCTCCGCGATGACCTTCCACATCTCCTCGGCCACGTACCTGTGTGGAAATCAATCAGTGTGTCAAACGCGCCGTAAATTTTGATTTCCACACAGCCACGTACATGCGGAGGACGCCCAGCTCCTCCGTCTGCGACTCGATGAGCTCCTCCAGTTGCCCCATGCCGATGAGCTCTTCGAGCGTCGCCTCGTCCTCGTTCTCGCGCAGGCACTTGAGTCGGTAGTTGCAGGTCGCCTCTACAGACTTGCGGTACTCGGCCCCTTCCGGTACTTGTTTAATTTCGTCCAGGAGCTGCTCGTTGAGGGCGATCAAGGTCTCGCGGGCATGCGGGTCGACAGGGAGACCTACTATGCCCGTCGTCGTTTTCGTGGTTGCGGCGCGGCGCGCGAGGAGCGCCGGCGGGCGGCGCGGCGCCAGGGCGGCGCCCAAGGTGCGGCGGAGCGCCGGCGGGCGGCGAGGGCCCAAGGAGATGGCGCGACGCGCCGCCATCGATGGCCACAAGAGTTGCGGGCGCCGCGCTGCGGCGCGGCAGGCTAGCATCGTGCGCGCGGCGCTGTAAACCGCTCCCCTCGCCGTAGGTGGTGGCTGCAAGAGGCTCGACCTCAAAGGCGCGTATCAGCCTACGGAACTTTGTTAGCAGCACGTGGGCAGTTGTTCCAAACTCTCAGTCAACACCAGCTTGCTTCAGCGGCTGCGGCGCGGTGAGTTTGGACGCAAAACGCGTCGTCTTATGCCAAAAAAGGCTAGTATGAATCACGCTATGAGCTGAAAAATAATCGGCCTTTGCTGGACGAGCAGCATCCGGCTGCTCGGCCTTCGTCGTCTTGTAGGTCCTACGCGTCCTAGAGATACCTAGCGCTGCTGCCTGCGCCATCTTTCGGCGCCCCGCAGCGGTCCATAAGCTGCCAACACGATGCCATGCTTTGCTCTGCTAGCCGTCGCCGCGCAGGCCGCAGCCCTCTCGCAGTGGTTGAAGCTCCCGGATATTAACCCTGGGACGTTCACTCGGAGAGATGCTGCGACTGCGACGGGCGCCGCGCTGACGGCCGCGGCGCCCGTAGCAGCCTCCGCTTCCCAGAAGACGGCCTCGCGCCGCGCCGGAGACGTACAGCAGTGGCCCCGCATTCCTGTCTGGCCTTCTTGGGCTGGTGGGCGCGTAATTCCGATGGGCCTGCCGAACGCGGACCCGTTCTTGCTGGTCGCGCATCACAAACATTGGTTCGACCCGCGGGACCCGCTGCGGGGGCCGTTCCGAGCCTTCGGGAAGGCCACGGGGCTGCCCTACATAGATGTGGAGGTCGAGAGCTGTGTGGAAATCAACCAGTGAGCTACGGAGAAAATATCGCGTCGATGGCGTGGGGCGCCCGAAATGTGATTTCCACACAGGGCTTCTCGATGCATCCGCACCGCGGTTTTGACATTCTCACATATGTGCTAGACGGCTCCGACGGCTTTCGCCACCGTGATAGCCTGGGCGGGTCCAAGACCTATCGAGGGGGAAGTGCGCAATGGATGAGAACCGGCTCGGGCGCCCAGCACGAGGAATTTTGGGAGACGAGCGACGAGCGAAGGACGAGCATCGAGCTCTTTCAGGTCTGGGTCAATTTGCCAGCCTCGCAGAAGTTCGATCCGCCTTCTATTCGATACCTCGGCGCGGCGCACGGCGCGCCGTGGCACGAGGAAGTTGTCGACGGGACGCGTATACGCACTGTGCTTGACGAAAATATCGTCGCTGCGGCCTCCGACGGCGAGGGCGCAACGCCCAACCAGCGGCCGCGCGCTGAGGTCTTGCACGCCTGGATTCCGGCCGGTGGAAAGTGGGCGCCAAAGGTCGGTGCCGACTCCTCTTGTTCGCTGTACTGTCGCGAGGGCCAGGTCACCGTACCCGGGCCTGGCGGGGGACAGGTCACCGTAAAGGCCGGCGAGTCCTGCGGCTTTGCGAGCGGCGCGGACGCGATCTCGTGCACGAACGCGGCACGCGGAGAAAGCGACGTGCTGCTGCTCGTCGGCGAGCGGCTGCGCGAGCCCGTGGCGATGGGCGGGCCGATCGTGATGAATTACGATTGGGAGATTGACGAGGCATACCGGGAATTGCAAGCAGGTACATTCCTGAAGCGGCGTAAATCATAAATACACATAGAACAAAAATTACGGAGCCATCCCCTCGCACGTCCTCCAATTCGGCGCGTCCTGGAAGGGTGGCTTCGCTGGGATCGTTGCATTCTGATCAGTGTAGTGCGACTCGTAGTAGCAGTCCAGGTATCCGCAATGCTGATTGGCGGCCGCGTAGAACGAGCGCTTGCAGCCGAGCAGATCGTCTCGGCCATAGGCAGCAATCCCATTCAAATAGCCGCCCCAAAGGAACGCGCAGGCGGCCTGAGACCACCAGGCGTCCTGGTTCGCGTGCATACCTATTAGCCAGGTCCAGTACCAATGATGAAGGTGGAACGACGGGTCCCGAAAAACTGGTAAGACAAAAACCAACGCCGTCGCCGCGATCTCGATACATCTACCGAGCAGGAGGCCGTCGCGCCAGGCCGCGCGCACGTGCAGGCAAACAATCACAATGACCGCGATGCACAACACCGCAGCGGCGACGACGACGGCCGGTGGCCACAGGCATTTTATCGCAAAGAGTGAGATCGAATAATGCGCAATATCAGCCGCGCCCACGGCCGAGAAGAGAATGAGGCCCAAGACCATTGGTGCAAACACGTTCCATCGGTCGACACCCTTTCTTTTCCACCAGCGGCCCACGATGAAATAACACAGGGCGTCGAGCGCGCAGGAGTGGAGGTCGAGACTATGGAAATCACCGATGCTGTAGTTCGGATCTCGCTCCCACCTCCGCTCGGATTTGTGAGCCCGGATAAACGCGTGTCCGCAGACGATGAGCACCCACGACAGCACGAGGAATTTCGCGAGCCGCACGCGTGCTTTCAGTGATTTCACAGCGCTGCCGCCGCAGCGCTGCGGCGCGTCGGGCAGCCAGGGCGACGCGAGACGCGAACGCGGCGGGCTCGCGGTGGCCTCAGCAGCAGGCTCGCTTGTTTTCATTTCGTCGGCGTCATCGCGAGACCATCCCTCCTCCTCAGCGAGCAAGCCTGCCGCGTCGCTGACCTTGCCGGGAGTGCTGCGGGGAGGGCTCCCCGTCTCTTTGAGCTCTATCATGGCGCGACACGCGGACAGCGAGCGGAGTGCGGTCTCTATTATGGAGTCATGGCTCGAAAATGGCAATCGTTCGAGAAATTAGCTGCTTGGGCTGGCGTATGGCAGCAATTTTTGCCATGCGGCCTGCTTCCTAGTGTCTTACTGCCGCTAAGATAAAACACCTAACGTCAACCGGGGCGCTCTGACGCGCTTAGACACATTTACTGGTCGTAAATTTGACGTGAGAGAAGCCAGACACGCGAACGCATCAGGCCTGCGCGATGGCGCGGCCTCGAGTAATCCTTGGGCTGCTGTGTGCAGCTACCACTGCTAATGCTCTTTTGGCACCGGCCGTGCCGCCGCGGCGCGCGGCGCCGCTCCACGTCATCGAGACTGAGTCCAGCACAGACGAAAAAGAGATTTTCAGCGAGACGACGTCTATCTCCGGCGCTCTTGCCGAGCTTTGGCAAGTCCTTGCGAACCCGCCGCCGCCCGGAGACTTCCGAGCGATGTATTTCCCGAACTGCGAAGACTTGAAGCGGCCGCAGACCTTCCAAGCCTTGTTCGAGCATCTCGAGGTCTGCAAAGACTCGTCGCAGCGAGCCACAGCGTGGAAATCAAATTTCGGGCGCCCCACCCATCAGCGCACGGCTTGATGTCACTGGTTGGTTTCCACACAGGAACTTTGGAGCGCACATCCACGCGATGCCAGGCCCTGCTAACAGCATCATCGTAAAAAACGTGCCGCGGTCGACCAACGCGGACGTGTGGGACGAGTGGGCTGACGAAGACGAGGATGATGATTTCTTGAGCCCCGAGATGCGCGAGCGGCTCAAGGCGCTCGACGCGGAGACCGCGCCGCCGGTGGATAAATGTCCTATCCAGCACGACCTCGGCGACGACGACGCCCTGAAGTGCTCGAAGGACTGGGTGAACGCAATCGTGAGCGATGCGGGCATTTGCCCCTTTAGCCTGTCGGCTGACCGCGCCGGCTTACCTCTAGGAGACGTACGATACGACGTTAGCACCTGTGTGAAAATCAAATCAAATTTTCAGGCGCCCCACGCCATCGACGCGACAACATCACTCACTGGTTGCTTTCCACACAGGTAACTCGTGCCGACGATACGGAGACGTGCTTCCAATGGTTCTGGAAGGAGGTGCAATGGCTCGAGGACCACCCTCGACACGCGACGTCGCTGCTCCTGATGACAAATCCGTACTGGGCCAGTAACTTTGACGCGTTTGAGCAATTTGGCGACGCACTAACGCAAGCCCTCCAATCGGCCACGGAATCAAAGGTCGAAGGATTGGGCTTCGAGGGCCAGATCCAGCTCGTTTTCTTTCATCCTCAATACGTGTTCCGAGACGTGCTCTTGCGGCGTCCTTTATTATCTTTGCGTTGTTCGCGTTGGCATCGCGTGCCACGTCCACGTCGCGTCGATGGCGCCACGCGCCACGCCATCGACGTGATGCCCCACGCAGGGTGGCGAACGCGCGGGGGCGGATGCTGCGGCCAATTACGGAAGACGGTCACCGATTCCTATGATCAACATCCTCCGCACGCCTCAGGTGAAGGCGGCGCAGAAGGGCTTGCCGACTGGGCTCGTGTATTCACAAAACGAGGAGACGCTCGGCGACATCGGCACCGAAAAACTCGAGGAAATGCTGCGCACGCTCGACTGGAGCGCGGTCAACGACGTGAAAGTAGATAGGTCGCAAGTCGAGGTCCTCAAGATCGCCCGAAAAATGATGGCGCAGGGCGGAGGCATCAAGGCGACAGACGACCTCACGCTCACTGGTGGAGCTGCGGCGGCGGCGGCGGAAACAGTTGCGGCGGCGGCGGAGACCGCTGAAATTGTCGTCGCGGACTGGGCGTCGGCCGTCGACGAAGCGTCGGGGAATACTTACTACTACAACACGAAGACGGGCGCGACTTCGTGGGTCTGGCCGCCAGAATAGGCTTTGTGTAACATACTTATCGAAACAGTTCCTCGTACCCCTCGGGGATCGCGTCTGCGAGGTCTCGTCGCAGCCGCACGCTTCGTCGCCGATCCTCGGCCTCGGCCCGGCGCCGCGCCTTCCGCGAGGGCGGCGGCGGCGGCGGAGGTTTCGGTGGGCGTGGCGGCGCAACCGCGGCGGCGTCGTTGGCGGAAAAATGGGACACACGATTTTCGTACGCACGGCTCCCGAGGCCCGAGGTGTCGCGTTTTAGGGCTACAGCGAGCGGCTGAATCCTGCCCTCCTTCCCGGGTGCGCCGAGGCCAGGACGCTCGCCATCGTCTTGCCAGCCCATGCGCTCCAGCAGCTTCGCACCAGGATTTGAATCGGGCAGCATAACGCGGCGGCCGCGTGTCCGCGGACCAACGGCCAGCTGATGCGAGATCGATGCCTCGTGCGCCTCTCGCGCCAGAGGGTCGTACGTGGCGCCGCACGCGGCGCAAGTGGCCATCCGCGCCGGACCGACTGCAACGCTTGGCTCTGGCGCCGCGCTCGGCGGCTTTGGTTGTCGAACGAGGGATTTGTACGCTGCGGCCACGTCGGCGCCGCTGGTCTTTTTCTTCGGCCGCGACGCCGGACGCACGAAACCGGGCAGCGCTGGCGGCTTGGACGCGCGCACGAAGCCAGGCAGCGTCGGTGTTACGCTCTCGTCGTCGGAGTCGTTTTGCTCCATCACAGCAGCCCTCAAGCACCGGCAGTGCTCGAGCTCCAGCGGCCTTGAGCTGTCCTAGAAGTTGGCGCAGTCCTCCGCAGCGATCCTACCGAGGTCACCAGCCGATTTTTGCGGGTTGGCAAAACGGCTGCGCCCGGGTTGCTGCCCAGCAGGCCTGCGCCTGACTATTAAATGCTAGCGTCCTGTAAGACACTAGCAAAGCAAGCGGTAGCCCAGTGTCTCTGGCACCCCTGCGCTTATAGCGCTGATTTGCTTGCTCTTATTTAGCCGCTGGAGTTTGATAATATTGCTGTGCCGCGCGCGTGCGCCTCGCGATGCGCTCTCCGTTGTTGCACTGCTTGCTGGCGCTGCTAGGGCCGGCGGCGCTGCGCAATTATGGCGCGCCGCGAGCGGTCGACGCCACGGCGACGCTCACGCCCGGGTCAATGCGGCCGACTCGCTACGCGTTGTCGAGTTTCAGCCGCGCGGTCTACTCGGCGGGCGCGCGGCCGACGGCGCTCCGCGGCGCCTGCGAGTCGATGACGCGTCGAAGGCGGCTCAGGATGCGGCGACGATTACGTTACGGGTCGGAGATGCTCGCCGCGACGTCTACGCGGCGCGCACGAAGCCTTATTGGAAATCGTGCGGGTTTTGGACGACGTTCCGCGAGCCGGCGACCCAGGTCCTCATTTAGTCGGGGAGAGCTGCCTGCCTGGGCTTCGGGCCCAACGCGAGAAAGTGCCAGTTGCCCGTCGAGGCCCCGGTCTTGGTGTGTCGCGGGGATTACACTCGCCCTACTGGCGCCGCCGCGCGCCGAATCTGACGCCGCCTACGCGAGGTTCCAGTCGACGGGCGCCTGCTGGAGCTCCCTCAGCTTGGCGTTCGCGAGCGAGAAGCAGCGCGACCCCGTGAAGGGCTCCGTCGTCTTTTTGTGCGAGTTGGGCGACGGGTGCGACGACTGGATGACTCGGTGGCGCGGCTTGATGGTGCGTGCGAGCCCGCGCGCTTCCTTGCCCCACAGGATGAAGACCGCGCCCTTCGTGCGGTTGTTCACCGCGTCAATGATCGCGTCGGTCACCGGCGCCCAGCCCTTGTCCTTGTGCGAGTTCGCTTCGCCCTTCTGGACCGTGAGCGCGCGGTTCAAGAGCAGCACGCCCCGTCGCGCCCAAGCGCCCAGGTTTCCGGTCGTCGGGTACCTCGAGACGCCCGAGTCCGGGTCGGCGAGCAGCTCTTTGAAGATGTTGTCCAACGACCGCGGAATAGATCCGTCAGTACAGGAGAACGCGAGGCCGTGGGCCTGGCCGGGGCCGTGGTACGGGTCCTGGCCGACGATGACGATCTTGACATCATCGAGCCTGCAGGCTTCCAACGCCGCGAAGATCTGGTCCTGGGGCGGATACACGACGACGCCGTCGAGGCGCTCGCCCGAGACGAAGTCGGCGATAGCATCGAGGCGGCGGCTGGGGACCTTGTCGACGACGTGGCGCCACGGTTGCGGGACGAGGGCCAGCAGCGCGGCGCCGGCGTCAGTCCGCCGCCGCTTCGCCGGCGGCTCCGTCGGGTCGCGCTCCGCGCCCGTCTCGCAAGTCGTGTCGACGTCGGAGCACTGGAACTCGTCCTCGTCGACTTCAGACCCGGCGGGCAGCACGCGGCGCTTGCGGCACTTCACGCACGTCGCGTGCTTCACGCCGCCGAGCCGGGCGCAGTACACCGTGCTTTTGATGTGCGGGTTGACCCCGGACGGCGTGAGGACGTCGGGTAGTTCTATGTCGTCGGAGACGCCGCCGATCGAGCCGTGGAGCGCTCTACATTTGGCGCAGCCGAGCTGGTGCAGCGACGCAGCAAGATAACCGCGGGCTTCCGGCCTCAAGAGGGCTAAGACGAAGGCCGGGTTCTCGCCGTGGTAGTAGACGTCGCGGGCGGCGTCGGCCCAGATCCGGTGCGCTTCGGCCGCGCCACCTGTGTGTGGGAAGATGTTTTTCGGAACAGTGTGGAAAGCGGATCGCGGACTCCGCGCGCCCACGTCGTTCTACCGCGACGCCCGCCCACGTCGCGGCGACCGTCGCCACGTTGCCTCCGAGGATGTCTTTCTCCTCCTTCGTGAGGCCGCAGATGTCGTATACAATTTCCAAGAACGGCGCGACCTCGTTCGCGGCAAACAAGCCTCTTTTGATCGCGAGGGCCACGAGCATCATCTGCGCGGGACACGACGGCTTGAGCACTGGGTCTTTGGCGGGCGGAGGCGGCGACCGGTCGCGATATGCTCTGGCGCGCGAGCAGTGCGTGCGAGACGGTGGCGACGGCCGCGCGACGCGTATCAGCGACGCTGGCATCGGCAAAGGCGCGCGTAGCGTTTGCCTCCTGGCCTTTTGTGGCCGACGACGTGACGATGATCGAGCCGTCCCGCGCGCCCAAGGGAATGGCCGTGGCGACGGTCTCCTTTTGGTGGCGCACGTCGACGGGCTCTAAGCCCAGCGCGTCAATGGCTGCCTGGCGCACTTTGTTCCGCTCGTCGACCACCTGAATGTTCCTATAGATATCGCCGGCGTGCTTCGCGAGCACGCCCTGCGGCCGATCACTACGACCTGAAGCGGCTGCGAGTCCGGCCTCGAGCAGATCATCGTCGCCCGGCAGGGGCGCGAGCCGCACCGCGGGCGTCGTTCCGCAGCGCGGCCTCGAAGGGCGCGGCGCGGCGCGCGCGCACGCCGCGCAACAGTAGGCTCTCACTTTATTGACGAAGACGCGGTCCGGCTTCTTCGTGTCGCCGCTCCCGCAGATCGCGCAGACCCAGCCGTCGTCAATATCCTCAACTGATAAGACCCCCTCCACAAGATCCCGGAGTTCTTGGACCGCGTTGGATGCGCCGGCGTTGATGCGCGCCGTCACGTCTTCGAGCTTCTGCCGCGTCTTCGGGTCGTCGAGGCCGCGCTTCCTGGGCTTGCCGCCGGCGCCGCGCGCGCGCTGCTCGCCGCCGCGCCGCTCGCCGCCGCGCCGCGCGCCCGGCGACGCCGCGGCGGGCGACGCCGCGGCGGGCGACGCCGCGGCGGGCGACGGCGCCTCGGCCTCGGCGTCGTCGGGCGCGTCGCAGCTCGCGCGTTCCGGGTTCCAGACGTTCATGCTGCAGTACCATCTCCTGCGCGGGCGGCGACGCGTGATTTGCGGCCGCGCGACGACGCCGGCCGCGGAGAGGGATGGAACGCGGCGCCATCTACACATCGAGGGGACACGGATTGAAGGATGACGTTGCGTCGATGGCGTGGGGAATGACGTGCGGAAGCTCTAAATTCTGGACGCGGGCCGCGCACGGGGGCAGGCTGTCAACATCCACATGGGACGGCAGCCGGCGCCACTTATCGCAGCCGTCGCACCGCACCCACTTCGGGCGCGCAGCGCCGCCCGCCGACGCGTCGTCGCCGGAGTCCGACGCGTCGTCGTCGGCGGCGGCGGGCGCCGCGGCCGCGCCATCGGGCTGCTCGCTTGCAAGCGCGAACCCCGCGCTCGCGCAATACTCCGCGATCTGCTGGTTCCGCGCGGCGACGGCCTTCTCAAGCTTCTGGGCCTTCGCTGGCGTCGGGCCGCCGAATCGCCGGACGCGCGCCGGGGTAGGTGGACGGCCCAGACGCTTCTGTGACGAGCACGCGCCGCAGCGCACGACGCCGTCCGGGTGCTCCTGGAGCTGTGCATCGTCGGACCCGCAGCCGCAGTCGCGGCAGTAGGAGGCCTCCTTCGGCTCGGCGGGACCAGTCTTGCCATGCTGTCGGCGAGTATCGCACGAGAGGCATGTGGTGTAGCGGCCGTGTGGCCCCGCGTAATAACGGTTGTGTGGAAATGGGCCCCCGCAACACAGGCACATGGCCGGTCGTCTCACTGAGTTGATCGGCGGGTCTCCAGTGCCCCACCGTGTATGACAAGGCCTGCAAATTGTGGCGCCCGCGCCTCGCGCAAATCGCTCCCGACCCGAACCGAACGCTTCATCGCAGTGGGGGCAGCTCGCTTCGAGGGGCACGTAGGGCACGCCGCGCGCCGCGGCCGCGGCGATCAAAGCATCTGGAGGCTCGCCGTCGGCATAATCGATCAAGCTTTTTGCCAGGGTCACGGTGGTGTCGTCCTCGAGGAGAATGAAACATCCTACTGATGCGCGTTTCCCTATCACTATCCCTTCCTGAGCAGTCGTCTTGTCGATGACGTAAGATGTGACCGCAACTACTATGAGACGTGGACCGCCATCGACGCGACGGCGATGCCTCTGAAGTCGTGACGACGCCGGGCCCACATTCGCATCAGCGCCATCAAGCTCATCATCACGCGGAAGAGCTTCAGCTTTTCTTTCTTGTCGTCGTCGCTGCATTCGGCGAACTTTTTCAGCAGCTCGAGGATCGAATCCTCGAGCGGCAGGTAGGCGAAGAGCTCCTCATCATCCAACAGAATGTTCTCCGTCGTCACGTCGAGCTGTGGGAGCTGCGTCGTCAAAACGTCGAGGTTGCGCCGCACCATGCCGCCGTTCTCGCGCCAGTCGCGGACGGCGCGCGCGATCTCGGGGCCGCCCTTCCCGGATACCGCCTCCTTCCACCACTTCTCCTCGGCCGCCGGACTCGACGCGTCGACGTACGACTGCAAAGCTGCCATGTCGCGCGGGCCGTTGTTGAACGGCGTGCCCGTGCACATGATCGTGCGCTCGGCACCGTTGCCCGCGAGCGCAGCGCCGATGCCCCAGAACGACACGGCGTTCCTCAAGAAATGAGCCTCGTCGATGATGAGCGTTCGGATCACGGCGACGGGCGGGTTGGCGAGGTTCTTGTGGTAATAATCATCGATGAGGCGCCGCACGACATCGTGCTCGCCTGTGTGGAAATAAAATCCCGGGACGCCCTACGCCATCGACGCGACGTCGATAACCTAACTCACTGGTTGATTCCACACAGGTGCACGCCCTCGCCCTTCTGGCGCAGCGTGTTCTTGCCCTTGAGCTTCGCGTTCGCCGCGAGGTACTGGTCCCGCAGATCTTCGAGGAGCTCCTTCTCGGCCGTCGGGAACAGGGGTGACACTTGTGCGACCTCGTCGTCCTTCGAGAAGGCGTCCATGGCCGCTTGCACGTCGTTCATGAGACAGTGGCGCGTCAACAGGACCCACGTCGCCGAGCCGTCGCCCGCGGGCTGGCAGCGCCGATTGTATTTTCTGACGCGGTCGTGGAAGCGGCCCGTGTAGAGAAGGACGCTCGTCGGCGGGACTCCCCCCCGCGACAGGTGCTCGGACCACTGGTCGAGAACGGAGACGTTCGGCGACACGATCACGACCGGCAGCGGCCGCAGGTTCTTGGACGCGCAGATGGCCTGGCGCAACGCGGCGCCGCAGATCGCCTCGACGGTCTTGCCCAGGCCCATCACGTCGGCTAAGAGTCCGCCGCGGTTCGTCGGCGGCGCCGCGTTGAGGAGCGCGCCGTCGAGCGACGCGTTCGTGGCGAGGTTGGGGTAATCGTCGCCCACGCCCGCGACCATGCGCACGGCGACGGGCTGGTGCGGCAGCAGCTTGAACGTGATGCCGATGTGCCACAGCAGGCGCTGCAGGTCGCGCGCGCCCGCCGGCAACGTCAGTAAATGGGCCGTCTTCTCGGCGGCCGTCGGCATCCCTCCGATGACCGGCGGCGCGGCCGCGGGCGCGGGCGCCGGCGCGGCGGCACCATGAGCTCCTGGCGCGGCGCCTCCTTGGGGCGCGCCGCCGCTGCCCGAGGGGCCGCCCGGCGAAGGGTCGGGCTTCGGCTTCTTCTCTTTCTTGACGCGCGACGGCGACGAGCCGTACTGCACGTCCATCTCCTTCTCGAAGAGGTCGTCGTCGTCTTCTTCTTCATCTTTGATCTCTATGATGTCCACGACCTCGGCCTGGTCTGAGACCGTCCGCACCCACGGCGCGAGCGGCGCTTCGTCGTCGTCGCTGTCGATCACGACGAGCGCGCGTTTTTTGCCGTTGCTTTCAGCCATGCTGGACACGTGTGCGCGCGTCACTTTTCGTGCAATTTCGTAGCCCCGGACGCTTCGCGCGCCGCGTTTCTTCGCAAGGTGGCCTTGTGCGCTTTTTTTATTGGGTGCCCCCGGTGCACACCGATAGGCTTCGACGCGTGAGACCAACCGCTATTAGAACTCTCACCGCTGTGAGATCACGATTAATGACAAATGCGCTGCGTTCAGGCTGGTTTTGGGTTGACCGAGGCTAGCTAGCGTCCTGAAAGACACTAGGGATCCCTGGCAAGCAAGCACGCATCAAAAAAGGACTACTACAGAAAACCATTACCGCCTAGGCCGCGCCGCCGGACTCGCCACCCCCTCCGGCACGGCCCCAGCCGGCGCCGGCGCGGCCGCGGGTCCCGGTACCACAGGAGCGGGATACCATCCGGGCGGCGTCGGGTTGCCATAATGCGATTGCGGCAAAATTGGCGGCAATCCATAAAAGTCCTGCGGCATGTCGTACTCGTTTACCGGGAGCGCGCTCCAGGGCTCGTCCGGTAGTATATGCTCGCGCGGGTCGTGGTAGAGGTGCGCCTCCATCGTTCCCACCAACCCGGCGTCGTCGAGCTTGGACGCCAGGAACCAGGCCGGCGCCTTCCGCTCTTTGGACCAGTTCTCATCCGTATAAGTGCACGTTCGCAAGGCGATCTTCGCGGCGAGGTTCACCTCCGGCGCGGCTTGCACCTCGCCCATCAACTTCGCGAGCACCGGTATCAGCGGCGCCAGCGACCGCTGGATGTCATATTGCTCGGCCATGGTCCCCGCGAGAATACAACCGAGCTGCTGCCCGAAGATCCAGCCCTGGCACGCCATCAGCGCCGCCGAGCAGACGATGTGCGCGTCTTCCTCGACCGCGTTCCTCCGACACCTCGCGTCCGTGTAGAGCGAGCACAGTACAGAACCGGCCTTGCGCGCCATGCGGTCGCGCTTCGTGTCCGGCGTGTTCGGCCCGCAGAGGTACTGGTCCAACGCCAACCTCAATAATAAAGCTTGCACGTAGCGCGGCGCGCCGGCTCGGTACGCCGCGTGGAACCGCGGCGCCTCCAAATCCACGCACGTGGCGCTCAGCACGTCTAAACCAGACTCCACGAAGTCGCCGTCGACATTCCGCGTCATCGCCTTGATCAGCGCGGGCAACCCGTGCGCGACGGCCTCGTGGGCCAGGGCCTGGCTCGAGGCCGACGCGGCGTCGTTTAACTCATTGGGAGCCCGCCGGAGCCGGTCGAGGTTCGTCATGATGGCGCCTGCGCATGGGCATCGCGTTGACCACGTCGCACGAGGGCGGCGACGCAAATGGCACAACTTCCATGCCATGCTCGAATGGCGAGTCGCGTCGATGGCGTCGAGGCGGCTACGTTTCTCTCTCCGGGCGACGCAAATGGAACTCCACGCCATCGAGCAAACAGAGTCGCGGCGATGGCGTCGAGATCAAGGAAGGAACTGAGACGCCGAAAAACGCACAAGCACACGCCGCCGCGCTCCGCCGCACGCCCGGGTCGGGGCAGCGGAACGCTACGGAGAAGAGCCGCCGGTTCGACGCCCGCAGGAACGGGGGGTGGCAGGCCCGCGACCGCGCGACCGCGTAGCCCAGCGCGTCGAGCGTCTGGGCCGTCGCGACGCACGCGTCCTCGTCGAGCTCCTCGTCGTCGGACGCGTCCTCGGTGTTCAACGTCTCGGCGACCGAGGCGACGGTAATCTCGTCGACGGTGAGCGAGTCGGCGTCCGCGGATTGGTCGTCGGGAAAGTAGACGCGCCGTTCCGTCGGCGTTTTGTTGGGCGGCGGCGGCCGCGCCGGCGGCTTGGCCGAGGGCGGGCGCTTCTGAACTGGCGAGGTTGGAGGCGACTTCGGCGCCGCCGCGAAGCGCGCCAGCGGCGACAGCGTCGAACACACCGACGCATCGGGCGACAGCGGCGCCTCCCGGTGTCTATGTTTCGGCATCGGCGCCGTGCGCACGATCGTGTCCACGAGGAACGGCGTCAGCAGACACGCCAGATCTTCCGAGAAGGAGAGGCTAGACAGCGCCGCAGCGATAGCCTCGGCGCGCGGCCGATCGCCGAACGCGCCGCACGGCTCCAGCGCCGCAAACTTCTGCAAGGGTAGGCGGCAGAACTCGCCGAGGAACGCCGCGACCGAGGGCCCCAATTCCTCGGAGGCGAGCTTGAAGAGCTGCGAGGCAGCCCCCAGGGCGTACGTGTCGCGCATTCCTTTTATGGTTCGAGATGCTTTTTGGATCGCCTTCGTCGCCCGCGAGTCTTTAACCCGGGCCCAATACGTGCGCCGGTCCAGCGCGGCACGCCGGGCCTTCTGCATGGCCAAGGCCGCCCGGGACCGCTCCATGTGTGGGCCCGCAAACCTCCCACAGGCCGGGCTCACGCAAGGCAAGGCCCGAATGTCGACATCTTCGAGACAGTCCGCCAGTCGCAACGAAGCCCCAACCCACGCGCGCTCGTCGCCGCTCAACGCGTCGAACATCGTCTCCGCGAGGTACGACTTCTTTTTAATCAGACCCTTGCCACCCTCGGCCAGGGCGTGCGTCGACGTCTTTAACAAACCGGCCATGCCTCCAGCCTTCCTAAACTTTGCCTTGAGCCGCGTCTTGCGCTGGTGCGCCTTCGCATGCTCGTCGCCCTCGTCTACCTTCTTCTGCTCTTCGCGGTCATGCTCGAGATGGAAGACGGACACGCCGGTCCGCTCCAGAGCCTGCGCAGCCTTCGCCATGATATGTTCCTGTTCCCGTTGGTGGTGAAGTAATTCAGTCACCTCGTGATTCGCCTCGTCCAAGGCCTTCTTTGCTGCCTGGGCCGCCTCCTGGAGCGCCTCATTTTCGGCAGCGCGATCGCGCGCGTGATGATATTCCGCCTCGAGCTCGCGCGCGGCGTGCCGCGCTTTTTGTACCATGTGTGATGCGTCGGCGGCATCTTCCTTGGCGGCGTCGAACTCGACCAGCCTCGCCGCTCTTTCTTCCCGTTGCCGGGCCAGGCGTTCGATTTCCTTACGAGCTTTTTCAGCCTCTTCCTTTTTCCCGGGGTCTAACAGGTCGTGGAGAGCATCGGCGACGGCTCGCGACGAGGCCGGCACCGGCGGCAGAAACCGGCCAGCAGCTACTTTCGCGCGCCAAATCCGACGCTCTTCCCTCCTTTCTAAACGCGAGACGCATCGTCTGAGGCAGAGGGACACCGCGTCATCGATCGCAGAATTGAAGAGCTTTCGCATCCGCTGGACGCGCTGCGGCTCGCGACCATGACCGGGCGGTAGTCGCGGCTTAGCAGGCGACGGCGGGCGCGGCGGCGCCTGAGCTTCCATCACGAACGAACGCCTCCGCTTCCGCTCGATCTCCTTCTGGCGCAGCCGGATCTCGCGGTACCTCTTTTCCACATCATCAGCTTTGTGATCGACGAGCGCCACGGTGGGCTTAATGGTGGACTTGTGCTGCCGGTCCGGCCCGCGGCGCGACGGGCCATCCTTGAAGGCGTATTCGCCGGGCCACCGCGACGCCCACTTGGACATGGTCTAGTCACTAAGGCGACCTCGTGGGGGCGGCGCCTGGTCTAGTGAGGCTGCCTCGCGGCGCGGCGTCGGTCTGTGGAGCTGCCCCAGACAGGTTTGTCTGGCTGTGGTGTGTGGCCAACTTTTGCCTAGCGCTGTGGCATCAGTATTGATGCGATGTGGGCAGCCGTGGCTTCATTACTGGTCGAACAAAGGATCGTCTGCACGCTGCCTAATCTGTGTTCGACGGCCGGGCGGCTCGCGCGGCGCGCAGCGCGCACAAGGTTTGGGCAGCATCCTAGGGCGCGCGGCAGGAGTCATCCGGCCGTCCTAGCGGATGCGGTGCGAGCTGGGAGATGTCCGAAACAGAGGATGCGACGAAAAAAACTCAGCTCCAAAGGTTCGGGCTGAGGTCGGAAGCAAATTCGCGTAAAAATCACGAGCTTGCAAAAAGCTGCCGCACGCATCGCAACTTGCGCAAAAGGCAGCCCAAACGCTCGCGGCACGCCCAAAACAACTACCGGCCACCGCCGACAGCACGCGCTTTGCAAAAACTACGCGCGCGCGAAGTTGCTACATGGACCCAGAATTGGGCAAAAAAGTTTGCGACGTCGAGGTACCGGCATCGCAGCCAAAACGCAAATGTAACAGAGTCTGCCTCATCGCGGGCTGCTTCGTCGCCCTCGTGCTCCTCTCGCTCGTCGAGCTGCTCGTGCTGCCGCTCCGGAGCTTCGGCGCCGACGACGCGCACATCAAAATTTCTTTCGACGGCCGTGACATAATTGTCGACGCGCGCGCCCACCCGACGCCGGCGCGGTCATACCTCCACGAGGCCCGCGTGTCGAGCGCCAAGTGCGACGTTTACACGAGCTTCGACGGCGAAGACGCTGTGAAGACGGCGACGCTTGATGCCGACGGCGACTGGCCCGTTGCTGCACGAGAGAATGAAAAGCGCCACGAATTGCAACTGAGGACCTCGAACATCGACTTCGACGTCGCGCGGCGCCTCGCCAAGGCCGAGGAGGTCGCGACGGCCTATGCAAAATGTGACGTGACTGTGGACATTGAATTATATGGGGCACTACCAGTATCTCTCCGCTTCCGGGCGCTCGAGGCGGAATGGTCTCGCGACAAGGGCGACCTCCGCAAGGAGATCAAAGTGAAATTCGACGCGCCTCAAAAGGCCATCAGCGCGGCGGTCTGGCTCGTTCGCAAAGTGAAAGAGTCTCTGGAGCTGCGCATTGAGGACGACGGCGCCCTGTCCGTCCAGTGGCACTCGTTCGAGGCGACGCCGGCGCTGCCCGAAGGCGTGACGAGCGTCGACCTCCACCTGCCGCGCGTCGCCTACGACGTCGAGGCGGACGGCGGCAACACGGGCGTCGTCGCATTTAATGGAGCCGACCTCCACTTCTCCCACGAGCCGACGCTGCTCGACCTCGACTTCTCGGCGAGCGGCTACGGTCCCGTCGCCCTCGGGACGCTGCAGTCCGCCGTGGACCACAAGGTCTCTCTGGCGATCTCGGCGCAAGATCCGGACACCTTCTTCGGTTCGTTGATTGGCCCGCGCCACGTCGTCGCGCTGCGCTGGGAGAACGACGAGCCCCAACAAAGGCGCCTCGCCGGTACGCGCCAGCTCACGGCCTACGAGGACGCGTGCGGCGCCGCGGCGCGGACCTGCTACACCGTGACCTGGGACGGGACCTACGAGGCCACGGGCTGCTTCGCCAAGCCCGGTCCGCTGTGCGTCTCGGGCGACGTCGTCAACTTGGACGACGGGAAGACCACTAGGTCGTTCGGCGCGGCGGTCGAGGCCTCGCACACGGCCCTTACGGCAGCCATAGACCTCGACGAGAAGGCGTACGCCTTCGAGGCCTCCGCGGCCGTCGGCGAGGGGGAGGACGTCAAGCTCCGCGTGGTGCTCGGCGAAGACGGCGGCGACGCCCTGTTCGACCTCGTCGGGACGCTCGACGCTGGTTTACCGCATGACGGAGCCACGGCGCGCGCCGCCCTCAGCTTCGAGCTCGGCGACGACGAGCTCTTCGACGGCGCCCTGGCGGGCGAGGTGGATTGGTCCGGCAATGCCTTCACGGCCTCGCTCACGGCCACGGACGACGACCAGGAGGCGTTCCACCTCGCGTTGGCTGGCGATGGCGAGGTCAACCAGGGCTTGTTCGGCACGACGTCGATGATGGCGCGCGTCAACGGCGAGCAGCAGTTTCAGACCACTCTTAACGGAGAGATCGACTGGTCCGGCGCGGAGCACGACGGTGTCGACGACGTGACGGTCGCCCTGTACGTCAAGACGGACGATGGCACCGAGCGCTTCCACGTCGCGACGGCGCTGAACGGCGACGACGCGGACGGCCTGAGTGGCACCGCGTCGCTCTACGTCCGCGTTGATGGAGACAAGGTCCTGGACGGCGGCGTCGGCGGCAGCGCCAAGTGGGGGGACAATTCGGATCATGACGTCGAGGCGGCCATGACGGTTATCGCCGACGGGAACGAGCGGTTCTACAAGAAGACGGTGCTGGATTGGGACAGGGACAAAGACGGAAACGAGGACAGCGCCACGGCGTCGCTGTACGTCCGCGTCGACGGTGAGAAGGTCCTGGACGGCAGCGTTGGGGGAAGCTCGAAATGGGACCACGACTACGTCTGGGAAGGCGCGCTGACGGTCACGTCTGACGACGCGGAGAAGTTCCACACGGCCTTGACGCTGGACGAGTTATCTGGGTTGGATCAGCGGATTCGTGGCGCGGCGGCGCTCCAGATGCGGATCAACGGCGAGAAGCTCGTCGACGGCGGCTTTGACGGTAGGGCCAAGTGGGGGGACAAGTCGGATCATGACCTCGAGGTGAAACTCACGATCACGGAGAGCGACGAAGAGCGATTCCACACGGACATGACGCTCGACGGCGACGCCGACGCGGGTTTGAGCGGCGCCTCGGCGCTCGTCGTGAGGATCGCGGGCGACGAGGTCGTCGACGCCGCGGCCGCGGGAGCGGTGAAGTGGGGTGGTGACTCCGCGCACGACTTCGAGCTGTCGACGACGCTGACCAACGACGGGGCGGAGCTGTTCGACACGGCGTTCGAGCTGGACCAACACGATTCCCGGTCGGGCCAGTTGGTCTGGACGGTCAGGCTCGACGGCGACGAGCGCCTCTACACGCACCTGGACGGCCAGGGCGACGTCGAGGACGGGGAAGTCTCCGGGTCGTCGGGCGTAGTCCTGCGCTTGGGCGGCGAAGACACCTTCGACGGCTCCATGAGCGGCAGCGTCGAGTGGCAGGAGGCCTCGGAGGGCGGTGACGCGACGGTCGCGTTCTCGCTGATGGAGGGCGCCGTCGAGCGGTTCGGACTCGACCTGGCACTGCACGGCGAGGTCGACGGGAAAGTAGAGGGCTCCACCGACGTGACGGTCCGACTCGACGGCGACGCGAAGGACTACGAGGTCAGCGGTAGCTTCGACTGGGATGAGGAAATCGTTGTCGGTATGAGCTTCAAGGACGCCCATCTGGAGCGGTTCGCGTTGGAAATGACGGCGTCCGGCGACAATGATGATGGTCTGTCGGGCAAGACGGGCCTCTCGATCAGCGTCGACGGCGACGAGTTGGTGGACGCGCTCCTAGAGGGCGAACTGTCCGTCGACGACCTCGTGTCACTTTCTGCCTCACTCCACAACAAGAACGAAGAGGTCTTCTCGATGGCGCTGGGCGCGGAGGGCGACACGGACGACCGGCTCTACGGCAAGACCACGCTGCAGATGTCCGTCTCCGACGAGGAGCTCTTCGACGCCCACGCGGAAGCGAGCGCGGACTGGTCCTGGCGCCACGAGGACGACTTCCAGCTCACGACGCATCTGCTAAATCAGAACGAGGAGCTCTTCCGCATGAAGATGACGGCGCGCGGCGATGACGCGGACGGCTTGCAGGGAGAGACGTCGCTCATGGTCGCCATCGCCGAAGAGGAGCTGCTGGACGGCCGCGTCACGGGGAGCGCGCGGTTCTCCGGAGGGGACGACGTCGCTCTCGCTTTCACCGTGGAGAACCAGAACAAGGGGCTCGTCAGCGCGCAGATGACGGCACACGGCGAGAGCGACGATGCGCTGCTGCTCGGCGAGACGACTCTGGAATTGACCCTCGCCGAGGAGAAGGCCGTCGACGCGACCGCCCACGCCTCGGCGCGCTGGGAGGACGACTGGGTCCTGAAGCTGAGCCTCGCCAACGACAACGCCGCGATTTTCGCCATCGACGGGACGCTCGACGGCAAGGTCGAACTCGGCAGTTTGAGCGGCGACGGCGCCGGCACGCTCGTCGTCACGCTGGGCGACGAGAAGGCTCTCGACCTCGCCTACGAGGGCGCAGTCTCGACTGACCCAATGGAACTGAGCGCCGCCCTCAGCAATGGCGGCGACAATATCATGAGCCTGGAGGCCTCGGGCTCGTGGGACAAACGTGACGGCGGCGGCGTCGATGGGGCGTGCTCGATCGACCTGTCGACGGGAGGCGACTCGCTCTTCACTTTCGGCGGCACCCTTGGCGCGAACGATATCGAAGCGGGCGACCGCGTCTGCCTGTTCATGGACATGGACCTGGACAAGCGCGGCATGCTCGGTAGCAAGGCCGTATCTTCGGAGTTGGCCATGGGTCTGGCCATCGACGACTGGGGCTCGGGCCTCCAGATCGCGCAGAGCGAGGCGACGATGGCCATGACCGGTGCGGGGCTGGGCAACGGGTTCACGGTCGGCACGTGGGACGCCGACAAGGCCTCGGAGCCCGTAGATAGAGACGCGTGCGACGCGACGGCCGAGGTCTCGATGGACGTCTTCGTGTCGTCGATTGAGAAGCGCAAGTGGGTCCCGCCGACCAAGGCGCCGACTTCGGCCCCGACGACGAAGCCGACGCCGCAGCCCACGCACGCGCCGACGCCGCGGCCGACGCCGACGCCGACGCGTGCGCCGACGCCGACCCCGACGCCGGGACCAACGCTCGCACCGACAGAAGCTCCGGTCGTCGCCGGTTCCCTCACGCTGTCCGGCATCTCGGTCGCCGACGCCAGCGGAGAAGAATCCAAGGCCGTTCTCCGGGGCGCCATCGCCGACGTCGCGGGCGTGTCGAAGAGCGCAGTAACGATCCTGGGCGTGGCGTCGGCGTCGGCGCGGCGCCGCCGGCTTCAGGCCGGCGTCGTCGTCGACTACAAAATCGAGTTGACGGACCACGAGGCGTCGGAGGATGCAGCCGCCAACCTCGCGAGTGCCAGTCCCACGGAGGTCGATGAGGCGATCGTCGACGCCGCGAAGGACGAGAACGCGGAGGCCGTGTTCGCGGCCGTCGCCACCACATCACTGACGTCCACCGTCGTCGCCGCGACCGACGCCCCGACCGCCGCGCCGAGACCGACGCCGCGGCCCACGCCCGAGCCAGCGGGCGGCTCGTCGGGCGGCGGTTCGGCGAATAACGCGGGCGGCGGCGTCATGATCATTGCCATCGCGGTCTGCGCCGTGGTCCTCGTACTGTGCGGCGGTGGCGGTATCTACTACTACAGGCGTAACAAAATGCCGCGGGTCCTCACGCCGACGCGCGCGGAGAAACTCGAAGCGGAATGGAGCACACGGCTCCCGACGCCGAAGGCCCTGCCGGCCGACGAGGAAACGAAGGAGGTCGACGTCGCGGAGGTCGACCTCGAGGAGGCTCGCGAGGCCCCCGTTTCCGCGATGCCGCCGCCGCCGCCCTGTTTCTGCAGCCAGTGCGGCGCACCGCTGCGGGGCCAGTTCTGCAGCCAGTGCGGCGCCCGGGCCGCATGATTTGCATTTATTTCCTTCCTTCCCCGTTTCCCTTTTCTGATCCAAGCCAAGTTGTAGAGTCAAGTTGTAATATCAAGTTTACCATAGTAGTACTACACTATCGCTCGGGAGACCAACGCCGCGCTCGCAGGGCGAGGGACAAGTCCTTCCCGCACGGTCAGGATCTCTCGTGAATGTCCTTAAAGAGCTATTTACCGATCCCAGGGCTCTCCTCGGCCGTCAACACGCCCTGCGCGCGGCAATTTCCCGGCACGAACCCGTTCGTTCTGACCCCGCCTGAAATATTTGTTGTGAGAGCACAGCCCAGCTCAAAAATATTGTTGCAAGCCTTGGGCAGCCGCAAACGCACACGCAAGCTACCAAAACACACTCATAAGCTACCACATAGTACATGCACACCAAAACAACAACGATCCTCGCGCTCGCGGCGAGCCTCGCGCTCGCTGCCACAGATGGGGAGCAGCCAGCACGCCGCCGCCTCCGCGACACGGTCGACCTGACGCGCGTCCACGAGAAGGCGGAAGCTGAAGCGCTCACCGGCGCGCTCTCGTTCAAGCTCGACGCGGCGGCCGCGAAAAAGGGCGGCGCCGATGCGCTCGCGCACCGCGTCGCCGATTTGATCGAGTGCTCGAAGGCAGAGAGAACTTTCCGCCACGCCGGCATCCACGAGGCGAAGCACGTCGCGAAGGGCCTCGACCTCTGGTACTCGGTCAAGTGCGCCGACGGCGCGCAGGATCGCGCGGCCGCGTCGACGAAGGCCGCGGCCAAGCTGCATGCCTACCTCGACCGCTCCGACGAAGACCACGAGGGCGTCCAGCTCATCGAGCCGGCCCTCGTGCACCTCCAGTACAACTCGTCGAACTCGTCGAGGGCGACCGATGACCCGTACTACCAGTACCAATCTGGACATTACGACGCCGTCAATTTGGCAACGGCCTGGGACACGACCATGGGGAATTCGGAGATCGTCGTGCAGGTCATCGATACGGGCCTCGACCTGGACCACGAAGATTTACAGATGAACATCTGGAAAAACACGCAGCCGCACCCCACGACGGGCGAGACCGAGTGGCCGGACAACTGCAACGACGGCGTCGATAACGACGGAAATGGCTTCGTTGACGACTGCCACGGCTACAACCACGCCGAAGATTCCGCTGGAGACGCGTCGAGTGGCAACTACCTCGGCGCCGGCTCGCACGGCTCGCATTGCGGTGGGACGATCGCGGCGGACAATAACAACGGCATCGGCGGCGCGGGCGTCGCGGGCGGCGACGGCACCGAGGACTCGGGCGTCAAGCTCATGGTCTCTGTGGTCTTTGGCGCGACCTGGACGGACGGCTTCGCAGAAGCATTGGTCTACGGCGCCGATAACGGCGCCCGCGTGTCGTCGAACAGCTGGGGCTACATATACCCGGGCGACTTCGAACAGAGCGTTCTCGACGCGATTGACTACTATACCGACTCTGAAGACGACGGCGGCCAGGGCATCGAGGGCGCCGTGGTCTTCGCCGCGGGCAACGACAACAGCAACGCGGACTACTACCCGGCCTACTACGATAAGACAATCGCAGTCGCAGCAACGGACAACAGCGGGAACCGCGCCTACTTTTCGAACTACGGCGACTGGATCGACATCTCGGCGCCGGGGATGAGCATCTACTCGACGGTCGTGGGCGGCTACGACTGGTACGACGGCACGTCGATGGCCTGCCCGCACGTTGCGGGCATCCTGGCCCTCTGCCTGAGCGCGAATCCGGGCCTCGGCAGACAGGACGTCCTCGACATGCTCTACGACACCGCGGGTCCGTTGACGGCGGACCTGGGCGCGGGTATGGCCGACGCGGGCGCCTTCGTGGCGCAATGCGCGAACGGCGCGCCGACTATGCAGCCGACCGTCTCGCTCGCGCCGACCACGGCCATGCCAACGTTCAAGCCAACGATGTCGCTGGCCCCAACGGCCTCCTGCGTCTGCGACCAGAAGCTCGAGCTTACGGTCGTCACCGACTGGTACTGACTCAGCGTCTGAAGGCAACCTCTAGGCCTCGCCGCGTCGTTCCGCGCCACTCACCCGTCGTCGTCCGCACAGGTACCCAAACGAGATCGCCTGGACGCTCAAGCACGAGCACCCCGGGCCGGACTGCCACGACGCCTCGCTCGACAGCGGCGAGTACCCGTATGACACGCCAAATTTCGAGTACAAGACGGTTTTGTCGGAGCAGATCTGCGCGGGCCAGGAGTACTGCTTCGACATCACGGACTTGTACGGCGACGGCATCTGCTGTTATGAGGGCGAAGGTTCATATCAGCTCGAGCTTGATGGCGCCGTCGTCGCGAGCGGCGGCGACTACGGGGCCGGCGAGAAGACGTGCTTCACGGCGCCGTATGTGACCACCTGCGCGGAAGTTGGCTGCGACACGGGCTGCCTCACGTTCGACGACGCCGGCCACCCGACGTGCGAGGCTGGGCTGGGCCGCCCCGAGTGTGAGGCCACATCCGGTGCCTCGCGCTTCTGCGGCTACGAAGCGCCCGGGCAGGTGCATCTCGCTTCGCCGGGCGAGATCCAGAACACGGTGCTCGTGCACTTTACCGCCGACGCGCCGGATTCGACGAAGTTCAAGATCGAGTGGAGCGTGCTGAACGCGCCGACGCAATCGCCGACCGCGCTACCGACGACGGCCGTGCCGACGGCGGAGCCGTCCTCCGCGCCGACGCCGCGGCCGACGGCGGGGCCGTCCGCTGCGCCCTCGCCCTCGCCGACGACACAGCCCGTCCAGTCGCCGACGACACAGCCTGCCCAGTCGCCCACGTCACAACCCGCTCAGTCGCCCACGGCGCCCTCGCCGACGCCGCGGCCAACCCAGGCGTCGACGACGCTTGCACCGACGGAGCCCGCACCGGCGCCGGCGCCGACCGCGCCGGCGCCCGTGCCGACCGCTTCGTTGCCCGCGCCGACCGCTCCGAGACGCCTTTCCGAGACGACGGACGGCTGGACACTGGCGACGGAGACGGACGGCGCTACCATCGCTCCTCACTACGACGGGCGGCGGTACTTCGTGCTCCGCGACGAGAACATTCCGTGCGGCGCAATTGTCGAGGTGCGCGTGGCGGCGCTCTACGCCGAAGGCGACGTCTCGCCCTACGCACAGTCCTCCACGGCAACCGTCGCGTGCGCGCCTACTGCGGCTCCTACGCACGGGCCGACGTTCTCCCCCACGACGTCGCTGCCGTCGGCCCAGCCGACTCCGTCGCCTACCGCGGCACCTACGACGGCTCTGCCGTCTGCCCAACCGACGCTGTCGCCCACCGCGCTACCGACGACGATCGCGCCGACGACGCCGGAGCCCTCACAAGCGCCGACGACGGCCGCGCCGTCGCCGCGGCCCACGCCCGGTCCCACGGTCGCGCCTTCGCCCGGGCCGACGCCAGCACCGACGCCGCGCCCCACGCCCGGGCCGACGCCCGTGCCGACGGCAACGACGGCACCGACGCGAAACTGTGTGTCGGACGAGTTCGAAGGAACGACCCTCGACGCCCAGTGGACGTACCCCGCCGGCGGCGACGGCGAGTGCGCGCTCAGCGGCGGGACGTTGGTTTGTAAAAACGCTGGAAACGGTGCGCACATTCGCACGACGGATACTCTCATGGCGCCTCTGGACATTAGCGGTTCGCTCGACAAGTCCAATTATTGTTCGGACCACTATATCAAGGTCTCCACCCAGAGCTCTGATTCAAGTTACCCCTGGTACTCTCGCTCCGGGTTTGTCACGTTCGTTTGGAATTGTGACTATCGTTACATCTATGGCCAGACCAGTAGCGTTTACACCTCTTGCCCGACGATGCAGTCGTACGACATCGAGATCACGGTCGATGAGTCGACGGTCACATTTCGCGACACCGCCGGCGCGTGCGGCGACCTCAGCCTCACCGACTCTATTGGCTCGTCCGGACCGCTTTACACGTACGTCGGGGCGGACGTCGACTACGGCGACGGTGACGCCGTCTGGAACTCCGTGGAGATCTGCGCCGAGCCCGAGTCGCAGGCGCCGACCCCGGCGCCGACGACGCCGGCGCCGACGCCTCAGCCGACGGTGCCCGCGCCGACGCCACGACCCACCGAGCCGGTGCCGACGGCCGACCTCTGCACATCTCACGCGGAACATCCCTTCTCGAACGCCTGCTTCCGCTACGACAACTTCGACGGTGGCGAATTGAAGATCATGGGTCCGCAGAGCGGGAACTGGAACACCGAGAGCGAGTGCGATGAACAGGGCGAGAAGACTAGATGGACGACGCACTGGTGTCCGCAACTCGAGCTGTCCTGCGAGCTCTACGGCGCCCCGGGCAAGTGCCTTGTGCACGACCAAAGAGACGGGAGCCTCAAACCGAAGTCAGGAGGCGGGTGGAAGAACGAAGCGAAGTGCGAGAAGAAGGGGCGGAAGGCGCGGTACGAGACGGTGTGGTGCCCGGACGACCGCCGCCGCCGCCGCCTTCGGGGTTCGGCGTGAGAGACTCGGTTGTGTGTGAGTCCCTGTCCCTGTCCTGTGCGAGAGCTGTCCGCACTGTGATATGTACACGCGTGTTGGTGTGTTACGCGCCTGTGTCTGTGACACCCTGCCCGCGACGGCGGCGCCCTTTGCCTTATATTTCCCTTTCCTTGCCCGCGTGTTCCTTCCATGCCCTTTCTACTTGTAATGATTCTTTGTTGCAAATTATAATATCATATGTGATTCCATAAGTCGATCATACTTATAATAACAAATAAAATTAGGAAAGATCGCAAAGAGCCTTCTGACCTGCTTGGCTTACTCAGCGTGGTATGAAAGTAATTACTAGTATACCTAGGTACCCTATATACATAAGTCGAGACGGGTTTTCAGGCTCAGCGCGAGCGCGAGGCAGACGCAACTACCTACCTACTGACCTACGCAACCGCAGGAACCTAGCCCGGGGCGGGTACTCCTCGAGTCCAGTGCTTGACTTGCAAGGGCAAGTTTAACTGGTAAATACATACAATTGCGAGACGCGAAGGGATCGCTATACACGAGCATTGGTCGTCTCACACGCCCCGTACAGTTAAGACACAGAGGAAAGCCCAAAACTAGCCATCAATGGAGATTGCACCGGCGCCGCGCCGGAACCCGCGCCGCGGCGAGGAGCGGGTCATGCTCCGATGCCGCCGCGTCTACTTAGGCACGGCCCTGCGGCGCGACGTCACGGTCGTCTTCGCGCCGTCCTGCGTCACGATGGAGTGGCGGAGCGACCAGAGTGGCTTGTACATCGAGACCAGAATCGGACCGTCCCATATGACCTCGTTCGACATATACCACGGCCCGGCGCGCGGCGCGGGCGGCGACGGCGAGGCCAAACCCATCAACCTCGCGGACGACGACGAAATGGCGCCGGATGCGATCCGCGAATTTTTCGCCATCGGCCTGCGCCAGAAGCCGCGGCACCTCCGCTCCGTGGAGGGCTTCGAGCCCAGCGACGACGCGGGGCCGCGCAAGTACGTCGTCGTCGTCCTCGACGGCGAGGCCCTCGCGACCTTTAAGCGCGAGGCGGTGCCGGCCGTCGTCTGGGGCGGTCACGTCGGCTGGCCCGCCGCGCCCGTCCTCGGCACGGCGGCGGCGGCGCGGCCGTTCCTCGAGGGCGTTCCCATCGCCGACGCGCTCGCCGCCGCCGCCGCCGCAGAGGACGCCGCGGCGTTGCGGCGGACGCCTTCCCGCGCATCGCGCCGCGGCCGCGCCGCCCGGTCGGTTGTCGACGTCGACAAAGACCGCCGCGTCGCGGACGCCTACAAATTGCTGGGCGAAGATTGGAGAGAGGAGTACAACAAGATCCCCGACCACTGCAAAGCCTTCAGAGATCGGTTGCAATTGGTCCCCAAACCACTCATTATGAGCGTCGAGTCGCCGCCGATAGCGTCTGAGGCTTTCAGGGCGGCATGCACCGTGGGTGACCTCTTTTCCTACTTCCCGCTCGCCATTAAAATACGAATCGGGTCGCTCGTCTCGAAGGATTTGGTCAAGCACATCCGCGGGCGGCCCGTCGACGTCACGACGCTGGCAAAATTTTATAAACGCGGAGGGTGGTCGAGCGAGCCTAGACGCTTCGACGCCAAGGAAATCCGCGCGCTGGCGCGGAACCAGGGCTGGCGCGTGAGCGGCATCTGCCTCTGGCAAGGGGCGACACGGTTGCACAGGCTTCCTTTAGCAAACATTACCAATCTCGACTTGGCCGGATACCCCCACAGCGAGCTCAACGGGACGTGGTACTATGATGAGGTGCATGACCATGGGCTCACGCTCGACGGCCTCTCCGCGTGCCCGTTGCTCGAGCGGCTCGTCCTTTCGCGGCGATACTTCGTGCGAGATATTACGCCGATCGGGTCGCTTACGAACCTCGTGGAACTCAATCTTTTTGAGTGCATCAAGGTCACGAACTTATCGCCACTCGCGAACTGCCCGAAGCTCGAGACCCTGGACCTGGGCATGTGTTTTGAACTTGCGGACGCAGCGCTGCAGCCCCTGGCCTCGATCACTTCGCTGCGCACCCTCCGCCTGAATTTTTGTCGTACTATCACTCGTTTGCCGAATCTCGAGTCGCTCACGAGCTTGGAGCTCGAGCACTGCGACGGCATCCAGGACCTCGCGGCCTGCGGGCTCCCCGGGCAAATTACGACCCTCTCGCTCTGCTGGCGCGCCTGGGATGATGGTGAGTGGGGTGGCCCTCGGCGTGGCGTGAACCTTACTGATCTCGCGCCTCTCACGCGGCTCGAGGGGCTCACTTCTCTCGACCTTAGCTATGTGATGCATATGGGCAGTTTGGAGCCACTGGCATTGCTACCGCATCTGCTGAAGCTAAATTTGGACGACATTTCTCCCGGCGGATACCGTGATACTAGGATAATCGATTTGGAGCCTCTCGGTCAGATCGCGACGCTTGTTAAGCTAGACTTGAGGTATATGTGCAAGAACGCCGGCCCTGATGCTTTAGCATTTGTTCGCAACTTAACTGCATTAGAGGAATTAATTATCGTGGGTTGTGGCGCTAACGCGGAAGGTGACCGCGGCTACGACTGGAATTTCAACCACTTGTCCGGGCATCCGACGCTTCGTCGGTTGAATATTAGGAATCATGAATTGACTGACGCGAAAATCGCCTTTCTGCCGTCGCTGCCCGAGCTCCGGTCTCTTCATATGAACCTCCCCGCCACTCTGACGACGCTCGAGGGCACTCTCATGCGCTGCCCGAAACTTAGGAAATTGAACTACGACCTCTACTATTTCGACACGTGGGCGTGATAGTAGTAAAATCCGTTGTTAGTCAAAATCTAGAGCCCGTACCCCGCCCGCAGCTTCTCGCCCGCCTCCGCGTCGGCCGCGTCCGCGACGGCCGCGACGCGCGCGAGGTCCTCTTTTGACAGGAGGGCCTTGGTTACGGCCCAGCCAGGCGCTTTCGACGCGCCCGCCAGGACGCTCGCGGCCTTGCCCCCCATCGCCGATGCGCTCCCGATGACGTCGACCAGAACCTCGGGGCACAAGCTGATGTCGAGCTTTTCCAGCGTCTTCTTCTTGAAGATGCCCAAATACTCAGACCACAGCTCATTATCACCCTTCAGCTCGCGCCAGGTCCGTTCCAACTCCGACGCCGTCTTCGGCGCCTTCGATGGTACTTTCTTCGCGTTTCTCGACCGCGCGGCCGCCACGGCCTTCTGGATCTTCTCCTCCGTGTTCTGCTTTGGTGCTGCTGGAGGTGCTTTGGTAGAGGGCGGCGGCGGCGGCGCGTCCACCGCAACAACTTTCTTGGAGGGCGAGGGCGGCTTCACCAATGAAGCTTTGGACGGCACGACCGCGTCGAGCTTGACGACGCCCTTCGTCTTCTTCCTCGACAAACCATCCCTCTCATCCATCTTTCTTCTGGTCGCGTCGCGCTCCGTGGTTGCGGCGCGGTCTCCCGGGGCTAAGGCTAATAAAGCGTCGAGGTCATCTAACGAACCACCAAAGTCGCCCAACGCTCGCCGCGCGACGCCTCGGCGATACAAGGCCTTGAGGTTCTTCGGATCCGCTTTGAGGACTTCGGACGTATCCGAAGCACAGCCCTCGAAGTCGTCTCGCTTCAACCGTACTAAAGCGCGATTGTTCCTTGCTGCCGCGTTGCCCGGCCACGCGTCGAGGGCTTGGGTATACAAGACCTCGGCCTCGTCCAAGTTACCTTCGGCCAAAGCCTTGCTCCCGGCGGCCTTGGCCTTGTCCGACGCGGCGAAGTCGCCCTCGTATTGGCCCTTCTCCGTTTTCGCCGACGCCTGCGTTGTTCATTGTTCGGGGTCGCGTCGACGGCGTATCGCGTCGATGGCGTGGCGGTGGAGCAGTCGTGGTGTCGCGTCGATGGCGTGGCAGGGAGCAGCGACCGTAGACGTGGACGCAGCGAAGAGGAAATTTCGACACCGCCACAAACAGCTTCCGTCGGGCGAGCCTGCGCCGCCTCGCGGACCAAGGCTTTAGCCTTGGCCAACGCCTCAGATACGGCCCTGCGCTTCGCGACGGCGACGTCGTTCCGCGGCTCCAAAGCAACAACTTCATCTAAATCTTGCAAAGACGCCTCCAATTCCACGACCTTGGCCTTGGGCGTGGCCGCCGACAATGCCAGGCGCTCGCGCGCGTCGCCGCGCCGAAATAAAGCTTTGACGCGTTTTGAGACATCTGACGCAACATCAGGGTGCTGGCAGCAGGCGTCGGCATCGAGGAACGCGCCTTCGACGTCGCCCAACCGCAAACGGGCCATGGCCCGGTTCGCGCGCGACGCGTAGTGCTGCGCATCGGCCTCGAGAGCTTCCGAGTACTTGGCGACGGCACCAGACACATCGCCCTTCTTCATCAGCTCGTTGCCCTCGCCCTTCAGAGCTTCGGCCTTGGCGGCATCGCCGACGACCTCCCACGAGCCGTCCGACGACTTGGCGGGCGAGACGTCGGGCGGCGGCGGCTCATCATCATCATCATCTTCGATCGCGACCTTGACACCTTGTGACGGCGGATCGGGCTTCAGCGACTCCGGCACGGTCTCGGCCACCAATAAGTTCTCCTCATCTTCAGAGGAGTCCTCGATGGCCACTTTGGTACCACTAGTCTTCACAGGCACCTCCTCGACACTCTCGTCGTCGTCGTCGATGGCGACCTTCGTCCCCGCAACGGGCACCTCCTCGACGATCAGTTCATCTTCGTCCATCGTCTCGAACTTGCGCAGGACCTCGTCTTCGGTGGGCGACGGTAATTCAAAACCGCCGTTGTTGATCTCGACGACCTCCTCGTCGCTCGAATCTTCGTCCGCGATCGCGATCTTCGTGAAGCCCGTCTCCTGCGGGGCGTCCTCGTCGTCATCACTTTCAATAGCGACGGCCGTGAACGCGGCCGGGTCCCGCGCTAGGTCGGCCTTCTTGCCCTCGACCTGCGTGTGTGCGATCGGTGACGGTGGAGCTCACGCGCCATCGACTCTCGGCGTCCGAGGACGCGTCGGCGGCGTAAGGTTACTTCGTGAGCCTTCACGCCATCGAGCCGACGCGGCCATGGGGACAACGTCGCGTCGATGGCGTGGACTCGCCACGCCATCACGCAGACGCAGCTACGGAAGCACGTCACGAGCCGTGCAGATACTCTACGGATCCAGAAGTACACAAAAGGACGCCGCGCAACGCACCTCCTCGAACTTGTCGCAGGCCTGCTTGAGTAATTTGCGCAACGCCAGATTGTCGGGATCGTCGGCGCAGGCCCGCTCGAAGTCCTCGATGGCTAGCGCGTACTTGCCCCTCTTATGCCGCGTCATACCGCGACGTTGTCTAGCTTTATGATACGACGGATCAATTTTCAAAGCACACGTGCAGTCGTCCTCGGCCCGCTCCAATAAACCTAGGCGCAAGCAGGCCATGGCCCGGTTCGCGAACACGACGGCCGAAGACGCGTCATAAGCTAACGATCTAGTATAGGAATCGTAGGCGTCCCGATTCTCCGACGCGCGATAGGCCTCGTTGCCCTTGTTCTTTTCTCTGCGAGCTAAGAATTGTCTCTCAGCAGGGGCCAGATCATCACACCCTAACTCTGTGCGACACTTGGCGAGATCTTCCAGAGCCTTCCTCGCTTTCGCGTCGTCCCGCTCGCGCGCTTCCCGCGCCCGCCGCTTCCGGGCCTCTTCCTGGGCCTTCTCCTTGTCGTCCAATTTCTCGCACTCCCTGTCCACATCGTACTTGTCCCAGGCTCTGAAATCATATCCTGGAATTCTGTTCTCCTTCTTCGCTTCCAGCTCTTCTGGAGAGGGTTTGGAGACCTCCTTCGTGACTGGTACGGCTTTCCGACCTCGGACCGGCGGCAATTGCTTCCCGCCCTTCTTCACGTAGACTTCGGTCCGTAAGCGATCGTCGTCTTCCTTCGATTCGCCCACGAACGCGTTGATGTCGTTCGCCGCATCAGCTACATCTTGGGCAGAAGGCGTCGAGGCCAACGCTTCGATCTTTTTTCGATCCTTCTCCGGGAGCAAACCCAAAATGCGCTTCTCCGTGTGCCTCTCGAGGTGCGGGTACTTGCCGTGCTCTCCACTCTTGAGCGCTTGGAGGATGGACCGTAGCTCGGGCACGTCGCTACACGTGTCCACGTGCTTGTAGTCCATCATCTCGAGCGTGACCTCGCAGTTCTTGCGCCGGCCCTGGGCGACGAAGTCGCCGAGTTCTGCCATTTTGCTCTACGGTTCGCGCCGACGGCGTCGGGCAGTCTGTTCGCAGCCTAGAGCTGTTTCACGGTCGCGTCGATGGCGTTTCGTAGCGTCCAGCTGTTACGCGTGTGTAGAGCTCTATTGCTGCTCCCGCGTCGAACGGCGTCGAACAGGTGGTTGCCACGGCTCTATAGGTACCACGTGAGTAGCAAAGCAGCCTGGTTCGAACTGAGGCCCTTGCTGGGGCAGGATACTGCCCACAACGCGAATCGAAGACGGAGGCAAGCTAAAGCCACAAAGACACTCTAGAGTTGATACCGATAGGTATATATATATATATATGTATTATATATATATATCACCGATACGTATCCCGGGGCTCAGCCCACGATTAACGGAACCATGGCGACTACCTCGGACGGCTCGCCCCGCCCAGGGACTCCGAGTCGCTGGGGCCCGGGCCCCCGCGGCATGTGCACCGCGTATCTACACCGCGTCCCGAGCAGTCGGACTCGGACTCATAAAAACCAACAAGTTAAGTGAGCCAACTACGGCGACGCGATATCGTAGTCGTAGCTCGCCGCCGCCGCACCCGCCAAGCCGCCCACCGGTCGCTGCGCCGCACCAGCAAGGCCACCGACGGCCGCGCCCGCCAGACCAGCAGCCTTCTTCTTCGGCCGCGGCGGCTTTTGTGAAGGCTTCGACGCCGCCGCGGCCAGCCCGCCGACCTGGGCGGCCCCGGCGAGCCCGCCGACGGCAGCCGCCGCGAGCCCGCCGACCGCCGCGCCCGCAAGCCCGCCGGGCGCCTTCTCGCGCTTCTTCCGCCGTCGCCGCTGCTCCGGGTCGCCGCCCCGCGAGCCGCCGGCCCGAGACAACGGTCTAGAATGAGGCCGCGTCGAGCCCGGCCGCGACGACGTCGGCCGCGACGGGATCGCGTTCGAGGAAGGCCGCGAGTACTCCTCGCGCGGCGCGTCCATGAAGTCGTCCAACCGCGGCGAGTATGATGGAGGTCTCGCGGCGCCGGCGAGGCCACCGACGCCGGGCTGCTGCGACGGCGGCCGAGCTGCCCCGGCGAGGCCCATCACGGCGCGCGGCGACCGCGACGCCGGCCGCGCGAAGACACCCCCTTCCACAGGTGGCGTCGGGCCCATGCCCGGCAAAGGCGGACACGACAAATCTTGATACTGCCGCTTCGCCCGGAGCATCTCGGGCAGGATCCACTTGTCCTCCCTCTCATTGAATTCCGACCGCTGCCAGACCCGATCCACCAAGTTCTTATCTAGGACTAATTCACAAACTTGCCGCCACAACTGCGCGTCCCTATTCGCTTCTCGCACGTTGTCCTGCAGCATCTCGCGCTCGCGCTGGAACTCGTCGTGTAGATCCTCGATCTCGTTCTGGCCCTGGAGTATCTTCCGCTTCAGCTTCTTCTTCTCCCGCCGGAACTCCCTCTCGCGCTCGTCCATCTCCAACGCCGCCTCCTGCAGCTCCAACTCGACCGCTTCCCGTTCCGCTTCCGCCGCGAGTCGGCCCTCCTCCGCAGCTTGAGCTGCTCGTCTTTTCTTCTCGAGGCGCTTCTTGATGCGTTTTTCTTTGTCCTTCTTCCTCTTCAAAGCCTCCTCGAACGCTTGGTCATCAGCAGCTTCGCCCCGCTTCAGCGACGAGCCACAGACGCGTGATTGCAGCGCGGCGAGCTTGGCCATCACCGCGCTCACGTCATTTTGGGCAGCTTGGGTCGCTGCTTTCTGGCCCTCGAGCTGCTCTCCTAATTGCGCGCGTTGATTCACGAGCGCCGCATTGTACTCCGTCAGCGCCTCACCCTCGGCATTGAGCACATTAACAATTTTCTCCTGGACGACGACTTTCTCGACAACTTTCTCCTTTTCGACGATCTTCTCGACTTCCACCACCTCCTTCTCTACCACTCGCTGGATCTGCACCTGTGCGGAAATCAACCAGTGTGTCGGGTGCAACTGGCGTGAAGGTCGACACAGATCCGCACGGGGCCGTCCTTCGTGACGACGCGCTCCACGACGGTGTTCTGACCCGGGACGTGCACGACCTGGCCCGGTGGTTGTTCCATCCCTTCGCCGGCCCACCGCCCATCGAGCGGCTGGCCGGCCGCCTGCGCTTCGAGGATAGCTTTGAGCTGATCAATCTGGGCCTTATATTCTCTCAACATGGCATCCTTCGGATCTTCGTTGATCTTGGGCTTGTTCTTGATGTTCTTGGCTCTATTAGCATACCGTAAGGTAGATAAAGTTTCGTCATAATTATAATCCGCGGGACTCACGGCGGCCATCATGAGTGTTTTCGTGTTCCCACCTAGTGAATCCTGGAGGAGTCTCGTTAGTTTTGAGTCGCGGTAGGGGATGTGCTTGCCCTTGCCATCGACCAAAGCACTGATGACGTTACCCAATGCTGATAGAGATAGATTGATCTTGCAGCCTTCTTTCAAGCGATCGCCCGACGCGCCCGTCTTCGACTGTCTTTCTGAACCAGCTAAATCCACGAGATTTAATTTCCCCATCGTAAAATGGTCTTTACCACCCTCATCTTTTCTATTCATTTCCAGGACCACGGTGAAGATACTATGACTACGTGAAGACCCTTCATTCATGAGTGTAGCCCCAGTCGTGCGATGCTTCAGGCCCTTCTCCATGACCTTGTTGATGGTCGCCTCGTCGTTGACCACGACATTGGACAGACCCTTAACATAGACACCCTTCGACGGGTCCTCCTTGAGCTCGCACCGCGCCTTCGGGTCGTCCCCCAATAAGTCCCGGATCTCCTCATTATAAATTTCTAAGTAAGAACACCGTACTAAGAATTCACAATCTGTGGTAGTTTTTATATTCTCGAAGATGTGGTCGAAGGACGAAGGTATAACACCTCTCAGTTCGAGAGGTGAAGGCGGCCCCATCATGGTCCAGGTCTTGCCGCAGCCCGTCTGGCCGTAGGCGAAGATCGTCCCGTTAAAGCCCTCCATGACGCTCTCGACCAAGGGGTAGCAACTTTCCTCGTAGAACTGTTTCTGCGTCGACTGCTCGTCATACGCCGCGTCAAACGTAAAAGACTTCTTCGTGGCTTTGTTTTCTTCTTCACTCATGATATGGCCGTCTTTACCGATGCCTTTGACGATCGACACCTGGTTCTCGTCTATACTAATAATCGGTTTCCGGTCTTCGCCGAGCTCCTTCTTGTTCAGGGGTCGACACCTCACGACGACTTGGACCGTGACGGAACCCTTGTTCTTGAGCTTCATGGCCGCCGCCGCCGCTGCTAAGGCCATGGTGCTGCTTGTGGTGTTGTGCTGTTGGTTCCTAGGGCTGCCCGCGCGCTGGCGGCCCGCAGCGCTGCGTGTAGTGCGACTGCGGAGGACGCGCTGGCTCCACACGCGGGCGAATCCTCCGCGCACGCCCGCAGACGATGGCGGCGTCGTTGGGCAAGCCCCACGAAATGTGCGCGTGGTCGAGGATGCTTCTCGGGCCCGTGCTGGCCCTCCGAAGGCTGGGAGCACTCTCCGCAAAGCTAGCTACGAGACTCTACCGTACGGGTTCGACAAAAAGCTGTCTAGCGCGCATAAAACAAAGGGCTGCCCACACGCCGCCGTCGCGACGTACAAACGCAGAAACGCCCTTCGCACAAGTTCTCCACGACCGGACGGGCCGGCCACCGCAGCCGTAGCACGGGCGCAGCCCAGCCATGGGCAATGCCACCAGCACCAAGGGAGAAAAACAATTGTACATCGCGGCCATGGCCAACGTCACACAAATAGAAAGGAAGGAGATGGGCATGATCCGCAAATCCTTCGGCGACGCGTGTGTGACGGGCGCGTACATGATCAATAGGGACCAGCTCGCCGACGCGATGACGGCGGCGAACATCATGCCCCAGGACGTCGAAATTTTAGAAAGGATGTTCACCATGTTCGACAAGATGGGCGCGGCTGCTATTGATTACCGGGAATTTTTGGCCGGCCTCGCACCACTGGTCCGAGGCGACGTCAAGGCGCGAGTACTTTTTGGATGCGAGATGTTCGACGTCAACGACGCGGGCACCATCAAGAAGCACGAATTAGCGTTAATAGTGAACGCGATGAATAACGTGGCGTCGTGGTTCGGGGACCCGGCCGTGACGCCGGAAGAGGTCGATGCGTTGTGCGAGAACGTCTTCTTGGAGTCGAAGGATGGCGTGGTGGTCAACTACGGGGAAGTGGTCCACCAGATCGTCGAGGATCCGGCCTTCCGGACGTTTTTGGCGGGGCAAGGAAGTGTTCATTACGGCTAGTTAGTTAGGCGGGTAATCGTTCCTAGCGCACCAGCTCGGCGAGCGCGCCGTCATCGCGACCATGTCTAGGCCCGCGAACCGCAGGAACTCGGTCAGTGTTCTATGACTGCCCAAGCCATAGTTTGGGCCATCGTGATCGCTCACGTGTTTGAGGACGTCCGGGTTCTTCACGGGAGACTCGTAGCCAACCATATGTTTGACCCTATCCACGATCATCAGCATAAATCTCGTATTCGAACCACCACTCCCAAAAGCCCTATCTTGACTTTCCCAGAACTTCGGCAGACCTAACCTCCCAGGTCTGTATTGGTGCGCGAAGAAGTTGACCCTAGGCGAATACACATCGAAACCATTCGTGTAAAACCTTGTGGTGAGCATGATTTCTTCGCCCATAAATACAAAAGGTAAGAACGGGTCGAAGGGCGCCACTTGTAAGAAACTAGAATGTGCCGTGAAGAAGCCCGCGCCGACGAAGATGGATCTAGGCGGCTCCGGTGCGGGGGCGGCGATGTTCCGACCGCCCCCGCCTCCACCTAACCTGAAGATGTGGGCTTCTACCGGAGATGTACTAAAAGTACCGGAGCACAGTTTTCCGGACGGCGCCATGCTCTGCCAGCCGTTCGAGGGTCCAGGAGGATAGGCGGACATCACTGAACGAGGATACGACGGCGTCGCCAGCATCTCACTCCTCAATTCGTCGTCCCACGCATCTCTCGCCCACATGTGCGCGTCGATCTGCACGTAGAACTGCTCGCCAAGCCATAATTTGGAGGCGAGATACCGCGCGAAGGCCGGCCCGAGGCTCTCCGTCTCGTTCACCCTCAAAACACGCACGCGGCCCGCTCGGCAATGGGGTTGACCAACGGCAGAAGCGCAAAAGTCCGCGACGCCGTCCGCGTCGGCCGGCGCGTCCGACACTTTTGTTCTTACCGGTTCGCCCGGCTTGCTGACGACTTGCACTCCAGTCTTGCACTTTACGACGCAGTTCTGCTGGACGACGCCCGCAATGACTAATTCGGGTTTTGACGCGTGCGTGAATAGCTCCGTCAGAGTATTGGCGAGCATGTGGTCCCTATACGCGGCTATTGATACAAAGATCGAGCCATCACTTCTGACAGGTCGCTTGGTTCGGTGGACCCGTTTCTCGAAGGGTAAGAGGTGCGTCTCCGCGACAGCGACATAAGCGGCCCAGACCTCCTCCCGCGTCTTGCGTTTCGCGCGTCCGAAGGCTCGGTGGACTTCATCTAGAAAGTTTCTGAGTGTGGACACGATTTCCTGGAGAGAAGGTAGGTCGTGTTTCACTTCTACACTCTCAGGAGGCACGTACCGCTCACCCGTCGCATGGCGGGGCGGCCGGTCGTCGTCCTTCTCCACCGCACCGCGCAACAAAGACGTGACCGGTTTTTGCTTTCTTTCAAAAACTTCGGGCTCCTTCTTGGCGTGGTGCACGGAGCCGGCGTGCGACACGGCGAAGGACTTGCCGTGCTGCACGGACTCCATGTGGCTCAGGACTAAGAGGACGGAGGAGAATACCGACCCGAGCGCGACGACCGCCAGTCTGATGCAGCACCAGCGGCAGCAGCGGGTGCGGCGCTGGCGGCGCGCTTCTCTCGCTTTGCGGCGGGCGGCCATGGTCCTACCTCGTCGGTTTGCTGCGCCTGTTGCGCGCTGGCTTTGCCAGGAAATCAGTGATGCTGGCCGCCGCGCGCAAGCTTTGGCTTGCACCGCTGCTTGTCCTGCAACACAGCTCGCTGCTGAGTACCGCTACGGTGCAACAGCTTCGCGGCACGGCGCGAAACCGCGTCGCGCTGCCGACTTTGCAAAATTATGCGACCGAGCTTAGCGTGTAAGATACTAGCAAAGCGGCGCTGCAACAAAAGCTCCGCTGTAGGCCCATCCCTCGGCCCCAAACAGGCCGTCAGACACGCGCGGGATCACTGCGTGTCGGCCCGACACGCGCAGGATCACTGCGTATCGGACCTAGATCCGGAGTGGCACACAAGGGGCAGCCCCATCTACACTGCCCCACGACCTAAATCAGCCGAGAAAACGCCATCATAGACCATGTCCGACCCGGCCCAACGCATGCGGGAACTGAGAGAGATGCAGGAGAAGATCTGGCGCGAGCGCCAGCAGGCCCAGCTGCGAAACGAGGCCGCGCAGTACCTCGAAGGCCGCATAGCGCGGGACCCGATGGCCGGCCCGAACCACCATTCGCTAGCCCCCATCCTCCAGGAGCTCGGGGACCACGACGAGGCGCTGCGGCGGCTGCAGTTCGCCGCCAAGGCGAACCCCGAGAATTTGAATGTGCGCAACGACTTGGCCTTGGCAATCTTCAAGCGGGGCCGGGAGCACTGGGCGCGGGCGTTGAAGGAGTTCACCTACATTTTGCGGGTCGACGCGGACAACTTTCTCGCGCACAAGAATATTGCTGCCGTGTACGCGGCGCGGGGCCGCTACGAGAAGGCCCTCGAGCACGCGTTGGAGGCCGTGAAGCTGCGGCCGGACGACGCCGCGGCGCACCGGAATTTAGCCCAGGTTTATGATGTGACCGGCAACTCCCGGGAGGCCGTCGTGCACAACCGGCGGGCCATCGCGCTCGGGCCCGGGAGGCATGGGGTGTATGAAAAAGCGGACGCCGAGGCCTACCGGCGCGTGGCCGTGCAGCGGGCGGGCCGCGGCGAGACGGCGAGCGGCCACGCCCACGAGCACTACGACGCGTACCGCGCGCTCGCGGGGAAGCTGTTCGTGCTCCCCGACTCGGAGCGGACGGTGGAGCTTCTTGTCAAGGCGAAACAGGACCTCTAGTAAGAGTTTGTGTGTGTTGCCAATGCTCGAAATTTGGCCTAGTGTGTTACTGGAGCTAGACATCGTCAGACGCCTTGCCCAGCCCACAAACCTGCTCGAAATCGACGAAGACTGTGGTGCAGCGACGCATCGACTTTCTACATCAACTGCCGCCCTACTGATTGCAAAAAGCTAGCATGCAGCGCCTATTAGCGCTCTCGTTGGCATGCACTGCTTGCACCGCCCTGCAAGCGCCACGCCCGGCTAGGACTACACGGCTGCAACTGGCTGCAGAATCCGAGGAATGCATCGCCCTAGGCCTCGAAACGCTGAATGAGGTATATGCGCAGTGGGGCGTCTGCGTCGAGGAGAGCACGGCGATCAAGGTCGGCGGCCTCCTCTTCTCCCCGCAAGACCCGCGGACCTACGGCACCGAGACTGTGGACGGAATCATTTTGACGCGGAGTCCCGGCCTCGGCATCGAATTGCTCGAGGTTGCCAACAACAATGAGGGCGTTGGTATTGTAGTGGTGGACGGCACGGTTGCCGGCTCGTCGGCGGCCGACTCGGCGCTGCAGAAGGGTGATGTTATTGCGTTCGTCGGACAGCCGGGCGGCCCCTTCGAGAGCGTCGAGGCCAAGACCTGGGACGACACCGTGGATGCTCTGGGCCGCGTCGAGGGCGACCAGGTGGAGCTCGTCGTGAAGCGGCTGGTGAAGCGGCCTGTGGTCGACGTGACGGTCAAGCACCCCAACGGTGAACAACCAGATCAGGTCCTCCGACTCTTCGCGGGCGAGAACTTGCGCCGAGCCATGCTCACGCGGCGAGTGGCCCTGAACGACCCCCTCGCGCGGCGCTTCGACGATAATGATGTCGGGGGCGACTGCGGCTCCGGCGGCGCCTGCTGCACGTGCGCTGTGGCGGTCCTTGCAGGGGCCGAGATGCTCTCGCCCCAGAAGGCCTCCGAGCGGCAAATCATGAAGACGCTCCGCCAGCCGCGCTTCCGCCTCGCCTGCAAGACGGCCGTCGGCGAGGGCCTCCAGAACGGCGAGACGGGGAAGATGACGATCCGCATCAACCCGCGGCAGCACAAAGGGTAGAGCCGCGACCGCGGCGATGGCGTGCGCATGGAAATGCCGCAAATGCGACGGAGGTAGGCTTGTGTAAACTAAATGTTCTTAATAACGTCGGTCGAGCCTATCCAGGGCCGCCGCCGCCTCCTCCGGGCTCGAGAGCAAGCCGCGCCGCCGCGACGACCGCGCGGCGGAGGCCTCGACGTCGCGGAGCGACAACGCCAGGAGGTCCGCGTAGCGGTCGTCCGTGAGCGGCGAGAGCGGCGGTGCCTCCCTGCCACCGGCGAGCGCGCGGTCCGCCGCCGCGAGCGCGTCGCCCGTGGGCGACGGCCGGCTCTGCGGGGCGAGGGGCGTCCGCGGCGGCGCGTCGGCCGCCGCGGGGCGTGCCGGCGGCGGCGATGAGGCGTCTCGCGCGCGGACCTCGTCGCGGATCGACAGTACTTCGTCGCGGAGGGACGCAACCAGGCGCTCGACGTCGCCGCCGAAGGGGCTGCTCGGCGGCGACGGCGGCGGCGGCGGCGGCGCGTCTTGGCGCGCCGGCGACGCCTCGGCGCCGAGGTACGCCCGCAGCCGGTCGCCGACGCCCCGCCGGCGCCCGACGTCGCGCAACGAAGGCGTCGGCGCCGCGGACGCCGCGCGCTCCGAGAGCCGCCGCGACGCGCCGAGGACGTCGTCGGCGCGCGCCAGGAGCCGCGGCGCGGCGGCGGCGACGTCGCCGCCGAGCGTCTCCTGGATGGCCCCCGCCGTCTGGTCCACGAGGCGGCACTGGCGGTCGATCGCGTCCAGCGCCGCCGCCGCGCCGGCGTCCTCGTCGGCGTCGTCGCGCGAGGCCAGCAGCTCCGCGCGGCAGGCTTCATAGTGCCGGTCGACGAGCGCGTGCAGGTCATCGCGCTCGCGCGCGAGATCGGTGAGCGCCGCCTCGAAGAGGGCACCCGCGGACGGCCCTGCGACCTCCCAGGCAGCCCTTTCCGACTGGTGCTTCGCCCTGGCATACCTCAGCCTACCCAACGCGACACGCAGCTCGGACGCGAGCGGCGCGGGGCTGCCCTGCGATGCCATATTGTGCTGTTTCCAATCAGAGATGGCATGCATTGAGAGCGCCGCGCGGGGCCATAGATGGGCGTGGACTCGGTACCAGGTGACAGCCAGGACTCCCGGCAGCCCTGCGATACCTACAGAAGCATGCATGCGGGCTAGACTGCAGCACGCTTTTGAGCTGCCAAGCCAGCAGCGCCAGCATAAAACCACTCTGTGCTGGAGCAGTGTGGAAAGAACACGGAGGCGTGGTGAACGCCAACGCAGAACGCATCGCGTCGACGGCGCGGAGCACCAGACAGCCTCGCCAGGCAGCGTGTACCGGCTACACTCCTGGGGCAGCCACTACTGGCACTCACACCACTACTGGCACTCACACCGATGGCCGAGCAAGCGGGCTGCTGCGAGGGCGAGGGCCGCGCCGCGACGGTCGCGGTCCTCGTCCTCTCGATCATCGTCTTCATGGCCAACATCTACGCGATGGTCATCGCAACAGATATTCACGCGTACTACTGGATCATGACCTATCACTTCGTGGGGACGATCGGGGTCCTCGTGGCGACGTCGGTTTACGCCTGCCGGTGCTGCGGCGAGGGAGGCTTTCCCCTGAGGCGCCTGGGGCAGGCCCTGGCCGCGTACGTCGTCCTCTGCGGCGTCGTCTGCTTCGTCGCCGTCCTCGCCGCCAAGGACGGCGCGATCGAGGACAACTGCGCGGAGTCGAGGGAGTGCGACTTGAGTGTCCTCTTCAGCTGCCCCAAGGAGAACCAAGAGTTCTACCAGTGCGTCGACGATCCGGACCCGGTCGAACAAGTGCTGAACGACAACACCTGCGGCGGCAAACTGTACGCTCCGAAGTGGCACAACTGGGGCTGCGACCGCGACGACGACAAATACCTTTGTCGCGCGTTCTGCACGAAGAAGGCCTGCACCGACTACTGCAACCCGTTTAGCGACCACCACAAGGACCAGTGCGGCGACCGCAGCGACTGCTATACCATCACGCAGTTCCTCGAACAGTTTTTGATCCGGACGTGCGTCGTCGTCATCCTCTTCCTCCTCGTGCCCGCGGCGGCGCTCGCGGGCGTCGCCGTCCAGGCGAAGGAGCCCGAGCGCGTGAACCCGTCGATCGAGATGCGGCAGATGCCGCCCATCGTCGCGGCGGTGCCGCTGCCCGCGGGCATGCAGCCGTATCAGGCCCAGCCCGGCCAGCCGCCGCAGATGGTCCCGGCGCCGGTGATGGCGACGGTGCAGGAGCCGCAGGCCAAGGTCGTCAACGAGGCGAACGCGACGATGCTGTGAACCCCCCCCCCGGTGTTTTCCCTAACAGTTTGTGTTTTTTAAACGGACGACGGGCCGCGGCCGGCGTATCCTGGTGGCTCTCGCGAGAACGCCGCGGCCCTGCCTCAGTCCACTGCTACTCCGGAGGTTCCAGAGGCTCGAGTATCGCTCTCGGAAGGCTCGACGCAAAACCCGAAGGCTCTCGATAAGCGCCGCTCTCAGCCGTGCCCCGCGCGACGTGCACCCGCGGCGCTCTCCTGCGCGCAACGGCAGCGCAATAGACCCCTTGGCTGTCGCTGTGTGCCTTGCAGCGCTTCCCTGTCCCGTCACTGCAGCATATATTCAAATTCGGCTGGGCGCCAACCCTGCAGCGGAGACTACGCCGCATAGATCGTCGCGCAACACTCGGAGCTCGACGAGGCCCTCTACAAAGTGACCGGCAGCGACCAGAAAAAGTATGGACGAGGCGGACATCCCCTACCTCCTCGACGCCCTCGCGAGCGCCACGGGCGGCCTCGCCGCCGCGCGCGCGGCGGCGCAGCTCGCCGAGTGCCTCGCGTCGGCGACGGGGCCCGAGCTCGCGCGCGCGCACGCGCCGGCGCTGCGCGCGCTCGCGCCGGCGGCCCTCGCGGCGCGCGGCGCCGGCGACGCGACGCTCGCCCACGCGGCGACGCTCTGCGCGGTCCTCGCGAGCCGCGCGTGCGCCGCCGCCGCGCCGCGGTCGCGCGCGGAAATCGCGGCCGTCGCCGAGCTGCTCCGCAACGCGCCGGCGCCCGCGCCGCGGCCGTCGCCGAGCAAGCGCCGCCGGCGCCGCGGCTTCTTCGCGGGCGGGGCTGCCGAGCAAGCCGCCGCCGTCGACGACGACGCGCCGTCGGCCGAGCTCGCGCGGTGCCTCGCGGCGCAGCCGTCTTCATCTATACGGCAGGCGGCGGGCCTCCTGGCGGAGCTCGCCCTGCGCACGCGGGGCCGCGCGCGCGAGGGCGGCTACTACGGCGCGCGGCCCGTCGACGACCGCGGCGCCGCGAGGCTCGCCTTCGGCGACGCGGGCGGCGTCGAGGCGCTCGCGGCGCTCGGGACGGACGCAGGCCTCGAGGCCGCGGCGGCGGCGTGCGCGGGCTGCCCGCCGAACGTCTCGAGATTAAGGGAGACGGCGCTGCTGCCGCGGGCGCTCCGTTTGATCCGAACGTCGGACGCGGCGCTGCGCGTGGTGGTCGACGCGACGCACCTCCACCCGCCGTCAACAAAACTCGTGGGCGCCGACGGGGGCCTCTCTGCATTAACGGCCGTGTCCACGGAAGGCGCCTTCGACGCGCGGCTCCTCGCGCTGACGGCGCTGGCCAACTGCCTCGAGGTCGACTTGGAGAACTGCCGGCGCTTCGAGTGCGCGCCCCTCGCGGCGCGCCTCGCTTCCTTACTCAAAACGATCGGTTTCGAGGATGATTCGGACGACTGGCGCGTCGAGGACGTCCTCGAGGCCGCGCACTGCGCCGTGCCGCTGGCCTGCGTGGCGCGGCGCGAGGCCGGGCGCGCTAAAGCCCTCGCCGCGCTGACCGGCGCGGCCGTCGCGCCGACGGCGCTCGCCAAGCTCCTCGAGGCGTTGGCTGTCGTCCAGGCTAGATCGGGAGCGCTCGACCGCGACGCGGCGGCCGCGCTCGCGGTGCTCGTCCGCGATCTGCGCAAGCTGTTCCCCGGCGCGCCGCCGACGCCGGAGCCGAAACGCGCGCGGCAGCAGGCGTCGCCGGTCGGCGTCGAGAGTCCGACGTCGGACGTCGTCCTGCCGCCGCCCCCGCCGCGCACGCCGTAGGCCACAAGGGCCTAAGACCCAAGAAGATGGGTATGTACAACGGTTAGGCACTTCAACTTGGCAAGGGCCGTGGCGTACAAAAAAGCCAGGCCATCTCAGAGCGTTCTCCATCGGACGTGCGGGGGGAGGGTCGTGTGTGCAACTGTGGTGGACGGGCGGCCCCGGCAGGACTTGTAGCCGGGGTGGATATCCTCGGCCCGGCGGCAGCTCCCCGGGAGCCGTCGCCGGGCGTCATGGCGCCGCGTCGCTGTGTGCAGGAACAGGGGAAGGGGATCTTGACTTTCGTGATCGTGCCGCCGCCGTCGCCTCCGAGCTAACACTCGGGGCGACGGCGTCTGGAGGGGCGTCGGCTCCGCGGCTAGGCGGCCTCGCTCTAAGAAAAGACACCGTGACGGACGAGTATTGATAACAACAACGATTATATTGACGATTGGGAAGCAACGTGGGGCGCCGTCATCAGAGGCCGTTTTGACCATCGAGGCCGACGGGGAACGTGAAGGGCGAGCCGCCGGGCAGGTCGCGCGTCAGGTCGGGCGGCGTCTTCAGCAGGCCGGCCCGCTCAAATAGACCCGGCGAGGGCGGCGGCGGCGGCGACGACCAGGACCAGGGCGGCTCGTCGTCCTCCTCGCTCGTCGGAGCGACGTCCTCCGGCCCCGGCGCCGGCGGCGGCGCCGCCGCCGCCGCCGCCACGCCGGCGTACTCGTCGAGCCTAGTTCTCAGTCTATTGATCTCGCAGGTCAGGCCGGCGACGACCTTGACCTGCTTACTGAGTAGAGCCGCGACGTCCTTGGCCTTGTAGTCCCGCAGGGGGTGGACGACGCGCGCCCAGCGGTCGCGGCACTCGGCGTCGCTCCGGCCCGGCAGCGCTTCCCGAAACAGCTGCTCGGGCTGGCGCGTCTCGACGAGCCAGGCCAGGCGCTCGTCCTCGAGGCTCGACCAGGCGCGCATGGGCGACGGCGTGATCGTCGGCACGGGCGTGCCGTAATGGTAGCATTGTTCCATGGCCAGATGCGGCGGGGGGCAGCCGGCGCGCGCACCCATGGGGTGCCCGCCAGGCCCGGCGGGCCTTGTGCTATGATGGGAGAGCCGCTGCGCGAGTCCGCGGCGGCCCGCGCCGCGTCTTTCACACACACGTACTTGCTCTTAAACAGAGATACAGTCTGGAGAAAGCCCGTGTTCGTCAACTGAGTCAGAATCTTTGTCATTTCTGCTGGCGGTCGGCAGCGTCTGGGGGGGCGCCTCTGATGAATGCATAGCGGTGTCTTCGAGGATTTCGCACGGTGCCATCATTGAACCTTTGCGAGGCTTGCGCCTTCTCTTGGCCTGTACGTCGTCGCAGCGACGGCGCAGAAGGGGGGGGCAGCCCGGCGGATGGAGGACGCCAACAACGGCAACGTGTGCACGCCGCGCCGGCGCTTTGAGCAGGCACAAAGAAGGGCCACTGCCATAGCAAAGCACGTCGACGCGCGCGCGGGCGCGGCGCGGTCCGAAGAAGCGGGACGCGACGAAGGTATCTCAGTCGCCACCTTCGCCGCAGGCTTCGCGCGGCGGGCGGTCGCCGACGCCGTCGCCGCGCGTTGACCGCCGGCGCGCGCGCATCCCCTTGTAAGTGCCTGTGCTATTCGTATGTGTCGCGGCGGCGGGCTTCCGGGGTGTTTTCTTCCTTCCGGTCGGCGCGCGTGCTTTGTTGGGAGCCTCCGCGGCGCGAGGGCACGTGGGCCGCGTCGCGCCGACTTTTCAGCTAGGGATCGCGCTCTCTTTAGGCCTGGAACGCTGGGGACGGGTGGATTGGATGGGTCGTCGCTCAAAGTAGACCCGTGCGGGAACCAATTTAGCAAAAAAAAAAAATGGCTTGTTTAAACTCTGGAGCTTGGCTTGCTAAAATCGCCGCCGCTGCGCACAAATTTGAAAATCCGAGCAGTGGACAGTTGTCTGCACTCCTTCAAGTGCGAACCATCGAAAGCCGCACGGAAATCAGTGCCCCCCAGCCGTCAGGAGCTGCCGCATAGCTGCAGCCCCTCCCAGCCCAATCGTGCGCGCGCGGACGCACCACAGACCAAAGCAGCAGCAAAAAACAATGTTCGCCTTCGACATCTCCGGCTTAGCCTTAGAGGTGGCGCCGCCGGACACCGGTAGAGTACGATTAGTGGCCGTCACCTCGGGCTTACTGGAAGCCAGGCCGCATGAGATCGGCGCGGACTTCCCGGACCGAGTCGCTCGAGGTGTCTGGTTACGAGCGTGTTCTGGGGGAGGCGGGGGCAACGGCGACGCCCAGGCCTATTTGAATGACGTCTTTGACGCGTTGCAGGACCCGAGTGATGGCAGAGGTGATGGTGGTGAACTGAGAGTCGCCGCCGCGTTATTGTCTGGAGCGAGAAAGTCGGAAAAGCTCGCGGCGGCCTTCGAGGTCCTGGGCCCGGACGCGCTCGACCTGAACGGCGTTGCTAGATTGTTAAGAGCGGCTCTGGCGTCCATCGCCTTCGCCACCGACGCGACGGACATCAGCCAAGCGATCAACCGCGAGGCGGCCTCGCTGGCCGAGGACGTCTGCGCGAACGCCGAAGACCAAAACGAGATCACTTTTGACGACTTCGGGAACTGGTACAACTCTAGGGGCTTTGAATTGGCGCCGTGGCTGGAGTTGTTGGATTTGACGAAGTGGCCCGTGGATGGAAGAGGCGAGCTGCAGGACGAGTCTGACGAAGAGGAGGACGACGAGGAGGAGACGGCGTCGCGGGCGGTTGTGGCCTTCGAGGTCGCGACCGATGATGGCACGACGCAGGACGACGACGGTCAAGTGTTAGTGCTGCGGGCGGCCTTCTCTTTACAAGCGGTCGGGAGGTTGCGAGATTTAGTGATGGGCAGTGGTCTGGGCGACTGCGACGCGTCCGTGCTCTGCGGCCATGCAGCGAGAGCCGCCACGGCCGCGGGTAGGTTGGACAGGCGGGCCTTCGCTTCGGTAATCGCGGCCTTCGCGCCGGACGAGGCCTCGGCCGAAAGACACGCGCCGTTCCTCCACTACCTGTACGGCGCCTTTGTTAGAGACGAGCAGCTCGGTGCCGACGCCGCGGAGGTGGCCGCCGGGCTCAGTCTGCTCTGCGCCGGGAGCAAGTCGTCGAAGCTCGCGGTGGCCTGGGAACTATTTGCTGATGGGGACAAGTGGGACGGGGCATTGAGCCGTAGAGGATTGTGGCGCTACGTGCGATCCTTTCTCGCCACCCTCTTAGCCGTGGCGTCGCTGCCCGACGGCGCCGCGGGCGACGCCGCCGTCGCGGAATGTGCGGTGGACGTCGCCGACGACGCGGACGACGCGGCGGTCGCGCTCGCGGCGGCCGTCTTCGCCGACGCGGGCGGCGACGACTTGGTCGCGTTCGACGACTTCGCGGACTGGTACACGGACGGCGGCTACAAGGTCGCCTCCTGGCTCGAGCTGCTCGACCTCTCGAAGTGGGTCCTCTGAGCGCCCTGCCCCTACGAAGACTAAGGGAGATTTTTCGTCATTACTAGTTATGCCGGCGGGTCGTCATCGCTGACTTTTGACCGGCGCTTCCGCCGGGCGACCCACACGATCCGTATGATGCAGCAGTATGCGAGGATGATCGAGAGAAATAGCGCATTGCCTGCAGCCTGGGCGATGCCTCGCCGCGGGCTCGACTGCTCCGAGATCACGTACAGGCCTAGGCCCGAGAGAACGACACAACCAGAAAAAAATAGCGCGGCGGCTTCAATGGGCCGCAGTCGCATGCGCGCCGCGGCAGCATGTACGTCCACCTCCGCGACCTCGTCGATGGCGACCGCGAAGAACCACGCCATCAGCAGCGACAGCGAGAAGCACGCGGTCGCGTAGACGCGCGGGTAGTCTCTTTTCGCGACGCCCTGGACGACGCCGACGACAAGCAGGCCGATCTGGAGGCCCACGACCTTGACGAGCCGCTCCGTCAGCGCGCGCGCCACCGCGAGCCGGGCGCCGCGGTGCCGCGCCCGCAGCTCCTCGCGCAGCATGTGCATGAGCCACCCAAACGCCGTGGCGCTGAGCAGGAAGAAGAACGCCCAGAAGGCGATCTGCGCCCATGCCTCGCCACGAACGGCGTAGCTCACGACCATAATGACCGTCTGGACGAGCCACAGCGCGGCCCAGAGACCGATGGCCCGCGGGCCGTGGACCTCCGAGTCCAGGGTGCCGAAGGTGTACAGCATAAACACGCTCAGGCAGGGACCCATGAGCAGCAGGTCCACGTTGAGCGCCGCGTAGCTAAGGTACGCCGTGGCGACCGCGAAGAGGGCCGCGTCGCCGATGCCGAAGGCGAGCGTGAACCAGAACAGCCGCACGTAGTGCTCCGCTGGCGCGTCCACTTCCTGGGGATCCACTTTCTTCCTCTCATGCGCTCCATTGAGGACGTGTACCGCATCGTCGAGCATGCTGGCAGTGTCGGCTCACCGGGGCAGCCTATCGCATATGCAGCTTTGGCAGCGCCGTGCTTGCAAGACGGCGGCGACGCCTTCTACGGAGCTACGTCTGCGGCGGTGCTAGAGCCTCGCCGTACTGGCCAATGGCACATGCGACATATGCGATCCACAGCGCGCGAGAAGATCCGCTAGTGTAAGACACTAGCAACAAGCCGAGTTTTACTTAGGGAGGTTTTCGCCATCTTTATGCTGGTAGGTCGTCGCCAACCTTCGACCGGCGCTTCCGCCGGGCGGCGGAAACGATGCGAGCGGTGCTAACGTAGGCCCCGATCATCGAGGCGGCGAACACGAAGAAGACAGCTATGGCCATCTTTCGCGACGGATCGTTCTGCTCGCTGACTACGTACGCCGCAAATCCTGCAAGGACGAGTGTTCCCGTGAAGAATAAGGCAGCCCCTTCGATGGGCCGGAGTTGCAGACGGGTCCCTGCCACTGCTACATCTACGCCTGCTACATCGAAAATTGCCAGCGAATAAAACCAGGCCATCGTCAATGACTGCGAGAACGTTACCGTTCCAACGATTCGTGGCATATCCCCTCGCCCGAGGCCCTGCGTGGCACCGACGACCACAAGCGCGAGCTGGATTCCCATGATTTCGAATAGTCGCTTGACACGAGTCGCATCCAAGGAGCCGAGGGCGCGTAGTTCGTCACGGATGATGCCTATGAGCCAGGAAAAGCCAGCGGCGATAAGCACGAAGAAAACGGTAATACCCACCGCCCGTGCAAGGGGATATCCTTGCACCCAACAGAAAATAAACGAAAATACGGCCTGATAGAGCATAAAACTGACCCAAATGACGACCACGCGCTTACGGACGGCCGACGAATCCAAGGTGCCGAATGCGTATAGCATGCAGACCGATAGGCAGATCGGAAACATGAGATTCTCCATCAGCAAAAAAGGCAAGCGGACGCTCTTCTTGCTCAGACTGGCAAACGTGTACAAAACATTATCAGCAACCAGCCACGCGACGACGGACCGCTCCAGACGCGCGTAGGTCGACGCCGGCACGTCCTCGGCAGCCGGCGTGGGATCCGACTGCTGCTTCATGATGCTGGCCGCCACGCCTGCTCGACGGCGTGCCGGCGCGGCCGCGTCGTCGTCCACTCCTGAGGCCGAGCCGGTGGGCAGCATCACAAATCGCTTTATCAAGCGCACACTGGCCGCGGAGTAGGTATTTGTGGAAAGACTCGCCAAATGTCTCCTTCCGCTCAATTTTGGCAGCACATAGGCGCCGCGCGTCCGCGCAGGGCCGCGCTGTCCAGGATCGACAGAACATGCTAGTGTCTTACATGCCGCTAGCACGCGTCCTAACGCGAGAACCCACACAAAAGCCAGAAGCCCGCATGGACGGCTCTGGATAGGTCCCCGGGCGGTCTTCTGGACTAGTACGGAGTACTTTTACTACTCTAGTTACGCTGGCGCGTCCGGGTCCTCGCGTACCTTCGACCGCCGCTTGCGTCGGGCGACCCAGACTATTCTCGCGGTGCAAAAGTAGGCCCCGAACATCGAGACCATGAACGTGTCGCCCACGACCATAACTGTTCCTCTCTTCGGCCGCGCCTGCTCCGAGAGAATATAGCTGGCGAGCCCAGCGAGTACAAGCAGGCCGGTGAAAGATAAAGCCGCGCCTTCTATGGGGCTGAGTTTCAGCTGGGTTGCCGCCACAGCATCGACCCCCGCGACATCGAAGATGGCTAGTGAGTAAAGCCAGGCCATTATCAGTGATATTGAGAAGAATATCGTAGCGGAAATGCGATTAAATGCACTTCTTTCTATTCCGTGCGTGAGTCCTATAACCACCAGCGCTGCCTGGAGGCCCATAATTTCAAGCAATCTGGTCGTGATACGGCGCGTCGTCTCGTCCAGGGAGCCGAGAGCGCGCAATTCTTCCCGAAGGATTCGAATTAACCCTCCGAATGCCGTAGCCATGAACAAGAACGCAACTAGAGGCATCAATCCCCGAAGGAACGATTCTCCGCGCGCCCACATCGCTACGGGTGTAAGAACCGCCTGGTAGAGCCAGAAAATGACCCAAATAACAAGCGCACGCCCACCGATGGCCAACGAGTCCAGTGTGCCGAATTCGTATAACATGTTCAGGCTTATACTGATCGGAAAGACTAGCATCTCGGCGTGGAAAAAAGCGGCACGCGAGCTCTTTTTGCCCAGACTGCCAAACGTGAGCAACACGTTGTCGCAAACGAGCCATGTGACTACGAACCATTGCATGCGAGCGTACTTCGACGCCGGCTCGTCGACTTGCTTCTCCGCAGGGCCAGCCTCAGCATCGTGCTTGGGCCGCCGCTGATGGCTTCCGCCAGGCAGCATCGATGGTCTGCAGTAGCTACCTTATCAGTGGCGCCGCGAGCGCAGCGTTAGCAATTGAGGCAGCCCACGCCGGCGTTCCGGCGTGAGACAAACATAAAAAGCGATTAGGCAGCCAACATTGGCGTTGCGGCGTTGACCAAACTGAAAAGCGCTGGCCATGGGGCCAGACCCCGCACCAGGATGGCAGCCGCGTGCGCGTATTGCGTGCTCCCCAACACCCAGACAAGACAGACGATACTCATCAAGAACTCTTAACCAGCAAACTCTTCACGAGCCCCTCCCAGGTCCCGTGCCAGGACTCCTCCTCGGCGACGAGCGCGTCGTAGTGCGCGAGCATGTCCGCGTTGCTCGACTCGTAGTATTTCAAATAATCGGCGACGGCCGCGTCGCGCGCGCGCACGAGCTGCCGGTGCGCCGTCGTCACGAGCGCGTCGCGCGCCTCGCCCATCGACGCGACGACGCCGGCCCACGGGCCCTCCAGTTCCTCCTCCTCCGCGGGAGCATCCTCCGCCGGCGTCTCCCCGGCATCCTCCTCCTCCGCAGCGGGCTCCTCCGCCGGCTCAGGCTCCTCGACCTTCGCAAAGGCCTTCGCGTCGACGCCCGGCCACGTCCGCGACGGGAACCGGCGACCCCGCCCTTCGCCGTAGGACAAGCCCGTCTCCCGCAAGATCTCGCCCTCGGCGTCGGGCCCGGCCTTCCGCCGCATCTTCCGCAACCTTTTGAGAGACTTGCGCTTCACGAAAAGGTTCTCGTCGCCGGGCAGCCAGCCGAGGTCGTCGTTGTACGTGAGGCCGTCGAGCGTGCCGAAGCACTCCGCACTGCTCGACGCCATGCGGCCGAGGAAGCGCCGCGCCACGACCGCGGCGTCCTTGACGACCGTTGCTCGCGCTTCTTTCACGGCCTCTTTGACCTCCTCCCGCCGCACGGATTCCGCCTCGCAGAGTTGCGTGAGCTCCTCCCTTGCATCGGGCGAGCCGAGCTGCGGCCTTAAAGCCGACCGGTGGGCGTCGCGCTTCTTAATCCAGGCGCGCATGGCCTCGCCGAAGCGCTGGGCCGTCGCCGCTCGTCTGGCATCGGCCTCGGCCTTGCATCGGTTCACGACGTCCGCAATGATCGCCGCCGGCGCGCCCAGCGCGTCGGGGTCCTGAAGCGGGAGCTCGGGCGTCTTCGCGATCAACCCCTCCATAAGCTGGACCTGGGCCCGTAGCCGCCGCGCTGCCTTCTCCCTATAGCCACCCTCGCCCAGCACCTTCCTTCGCGATTCCGCGAGCCACGTCCGCAGCGAATCGGGCACGCCGTCCTCCCCCAAACGGTCGGCCTTGCCTTCTGAAGTGTAGAGGTCCTTGGTCTCCTGCTTGCAGGCCTCTTCCACATCATCAACAAGTTGTGCTAAATTGCCTTCTCGCTCCTCCCTGTCCGCTACTAGCAATGCCGTGGCCTCGTCCAACTCGATGGCATCATCAGGATCGACCTCTTTGACTGGAGGCTCCTCGTCCTCGGCAGCAGCAGGCTCCTCCTCCTCAGGTTCCGGAATGGACGTCTGCGCCATCTGATCGATAACAGGCACCTTGTCGGGCTTGGGCAGGAAGTTGAGGTAGAGCGCCCTGTTACGAGCGTGCTTTCTAATAGCAGCTAACAACGCTAATAATTTTTTGGAACGCGGTGTAGATTCGTCCTCGTCCTCGGGGTGCTTGACCTCGTCGCAAGTCACAGCCAAAGCTTCAAGTAGTTCATCAAAATGGGCCGCCTCCCGTTCGTCGAGCGTTTGATTCGACCGGATCTTTTCTTGCGCGTTCCTCCGGGGCGCGCCGTACTTCATGCCCAGGCCGTACATCAAGGATAATTCATCTAAACAAGTTTCGGCAGTAGCGTTGAACGACGCCAGACCCTGCAACGCTTGCGCTTGCGACTCCCTCAGTGTATCGACCTTCTCCTTGCGCTGTTCAACAGAACTTTGAACCCGCAACGCGACCTGCTCCAATTTACCTCGCAGCTCCTCCTTCTCGACGTCGCTGAAATCGCCGCCGTCCTCGAAGAGCCGCGTCGCCTTCAGCAGCACCTCGTTCAATTGAAACAGTTTCGTGGGCTCCGTGACCGTGTACCTCCCTAAACCATCAACCTCGGCCAAACATTCAATATGAAAAGCTGCGGCTAGCTTTTTACATTTCGACTCGACGCCTTGCAGCGTCGCGAGTGACTGCTGCTTCGGCAACAAATCTTCTAATGCTTGTAGGTCGGTCTTGAAGGTCTCGACCTTCTCATAGGATGACGAGAGAGCGTTGAGGAAGTCCTTGCTATGCAGGCGGTCGCGCTGTAGTACAACTCGTAAATGTCGCTCTTTTCGCTGTCGATGAGCTATCAACTCACCTTCTCTCGGTTGCCGAAAGGACACTTCGGACCGCCCTTTCCGGGGCCAGTGCGTCCTCAGTCTTTCCTCGAGCTCCTCGGTGTAGGACGTGAGACGCTCGTCCGTCAACGTTTGTATTTTGACCTTCCTAGCTGCTGCCCTTGACTCCATATCCATCACGACGGAGGCCCTTAACTTATCTAATAATTCAACCAACCTCGACTCCGGCAGCGTCACATCGCAAACGCAGACCTCTTGGTTCCCATCCACCGGCGTGTCACTGACATCACCTTGTTCTCTGATGGATGCCCGCGCCGCCCGATGTTGTTCCACTTCTTCCACAAGGGCTTCGTAGATCTCCAGGTCCTCCTCGGACAGTGTTGCCTTAGTAGCGGCATCCAGCGGCGTAAAGGCGTCGTCCCGAGCATCGAGGTACTTCTCGAGCGTGCGCCCCTTCAGCTCCCTCCGCTCCTCCTCACTCAACTCGACAAAGCCCTCGGCGTACCAGTTCACCTCCTCGGCTTCTTCCTCCTCGTCCTCGTCCTCCTCGTCGTCCCCTTCGATGGCGACCTTAGGAGGTTCCTCTTCGGCCTTGGGCTCCTCGTACGCTAATACACTCTTAACTAAGTCTGGCAGTGAAAGCCGCACGGTTCTAGGAGCACCATCGCCAACGACATACGTATCTGAGCCTTCTTCCCCGTCGAGCCCGAACAACGCACGTACGACCCCATCAAACCTCAATGCTTCATTACTATCGTTGACGGGGTGCTCCTCGGCCTTAGTACGCGCCGTCAGCTGGTAGTCCCGGTACTGGTCTTCGACGACCGTCAACAGCTTGATCACGTTCGCAAATGCAATTTCCAAAGCATCGGCATCGGCCGCGTGCCTCGTGTCGTGGCACGCCTGCCTCAATTCTTCTTCCGTGTCCTCGTTCCTCACGCGCTGATCTTCCTTGATATCAAACAAGTCGTCCTCCATGGCCTCGTCCATGTCACTTATGTTTTTGTGGTTAGCCTCGACGGCCTTACCGACGCGCTCGTAGAAGTCGCACGTCTGGCAGGCGTCCTTGCACAATGATGAAGACTGTTTCTCGAGGTACTGTGTGACTTCCTTCGCCAGGTCCAGGTGCTCCTCGTGGCGCTTGGCGATCACTTCTTCGCATTCATTTGTACAGACCTCGTCGATGGCAACATTGCACACCGTTTTTTGTTCTAAGGCGTCCTGCACTTCTCCTAATAAAGAAATATGTTCCTCCTCCAGCTCGCACACGCACATCATCATGGCTACTCGTTTTTGAGCAGACCGCACGGCGACCATATCAATCGCGGGACCTTCATAACCAGTGTAGGCCGTAGTAGCGCCTCGCTTCGAACTCTTGCGAGACGTGGCCATGCTCTTGCGCTCATTCATTTCACCATTTTGATCAGCGATGTCGTCGATGAGTTGGCGGACGTCCTCCGACACGCGACTCAATTCCGAGACGAGTAAGTCGTCCAAACCTTCGACCGCTCGCAACTGGTCGACCTGCTGCTCCAGGATCGGGAGTAGGGGAGGCACCTCGGGCCGCCCGCCTTTTCTGAGCCTCTCACACGTGTCCTTGAGCGCGTCTCGGAACGAACCCTTGCCCTGCTTCTCTAGCGTCGTATGGAGGTCCCTACCACATCTCACAACTTGTAAACGTCGTTTGGCCTCGTCTAGTACTCTAGCGTAGACGATGTCCTCATGACGACATTCCGAGATCAACTGCCTCAGTTCAGGTTTCAACCCACCAGCACTCCGGAAGAAGTCCTCCCGCTCCGGATCCAACGCGATACTCTCAACAGCATCGGCGAACTCATGTAACTCAGGCTCCTCCGCGAGTGCCCCATATCTATGTAATTCTCGTCTAAGATCTTCCCGTCGCAACAAGGCGGCCTCATGAGACTTGATCACAAGCTTATCTAAAGCTTTTTCATGCTTGACGATCGTGTTGGCCTCCTTCGCATGAATTTCTTTAAATTTTGTTTTCGCCTCGGAAGCTTTGGCCGACTGCGGCAGGGTCATCGCCTCCACTTCACGAATCAGCTTCCTACGTTGCTCATCACTCGATAACTGATCGGCTCGGATCTTCTCGAACCTCTTACTCCTTTCCGGAGGGTTCACGAATTGTTGCGACTCGAGGTCCTCCCAAAATTCTTTAACTGCTCTATCGTGGCGCAGCTGGCGCCAGGCTTCTCTCCTCAATCTCCACTTCTCGATGGCGTCGAGACCCACACCCACATCCTTCTTCTCTAGTAACGCGAGTAATTCCGCGTGCGACTTGCGATTCGCGATGATCACCGCATTGAGCTCAAAGGCGTCGCCCTCCACTACTCGTTCGATTTCTCCGGGAGACTTGAAGGCGATCCTGAGCAGCGTATCGACCAAATTCCGCAGTTCTCCACCAGCCGTCTTTGCTCTCTGCTGCTCAAGGCCCTCGAGGCGCGCCCCGAAGTCTCGGATGACGGCATGCCGATCCTTGAGCGTCCCCTCGATGGCCTCCCAGGTCTCTGTTAAGTAAGAAGCGTCCTTCGTCACTAGTAACTCATCTCGGTTGAGCTCCTCGAAGATCGCAGCAGTCTGTTGATCAACCGCTTCCAGCGCGTCGACGACGCCATCGCTCGCCGTCTTCACGTCTATTTCAATACCGTCGGAAATCAACGTCAACTTTTCCGCAAAGCTCTGGATCGCGGCGTCGTGGGCTTCTCTTTTCGCGAGTAGCCGCGCGGCGAGCTTGGGAAACTCCGTCCGCACGGGACTGTCCGCGCTTCGCTGGAAACTTAGTGAACCGACCTCGGCGAGCTCCCTTAATTGCGTGGGGACGTCGACGGTCATCGTCGCGTCCGCCCGGCGGCGCCGGTGCTGGGCAGCCCACGATGGCCGCGTGGCCCGCCGCTGCGACCGCTGCGCGCACGCCTGCTCTCGACTGCGGTCCGCTGCGACCACCGCTGCAGTCCTCAGCACGCGAGGCAGCCCGCGGCCGCGCCAGGCGCTGCTCGTTGCGCCAGGAGTTACGAGCCCTAGTGGGCTCCGCCCTAGTGGGCCCGAGCGGCGCCGGCTGCCCAGAGCCGCCTGCGAGTCGTAAGCGCCGCCGTAGAGTCGTCTGTGCCGGCCCTTCCGTCGTCAGCCACCGCCCCTCGACTCGAGCGGACTCGGGCGGCGCGCCACGCGGACGTGGGCCTCCAGGCCACCGCTGCGACGCCGATGTATGATCAAAACAACATCTTAAGGGTCCGACTTGCTCCGCCCCCGCTCCCCAGGTGGAGGCGCCGCCGAGAGCTGGCGGAAGGCCTCCGGCGTCGGCGGCAGGCCATCATCGACAAAGTCCTCGCGCGCCAGCGGCAAACACAATCTAAAGGCGTCGGCACCATTCAAATAATATTTGAACAGCCGCTCGTCGCGCGCGAAGCCCAATTTCTCATATAAAGAAAGTGCGATCGTGTTCGTCGTCTCCGTCTCGAGGATGACTTCCGCGCAGCCCATGGCGCGCATCCTTTCGATCGAGCGACAGACTAGAGCGGTACCAATACCTGATCTCCTATATGTATTGTTCACGGCGAGCATCGCGATATAACCTCTATAACACGTCTCGCCCGCCACGAGCTGCGAATTCTCGACCTCGGCTTTTGAGACCACACAAGCTACCGTCTCGCCCTCGATCTTCGCCAACAAACATAAACTAGGCCAATTTTTCACGAAGTAGCGGTACGTAAAAATCGAGTAGGGCTCGCTTAAATCATCGTCGACCAAACGCATGACCTCGGGCAAGTTCACTTCGCCCTCGTACTCGCACCATTCCACCCCATCGTGGCGCGACGCGCAGAGTTCTCTGGACAATTCCCGCGAGCGCTCGGCCTCGCGCCGTCGCCGCGTCTCGTCTAAGGTGGTTTGTTGGATTTGTTTCGCGAGCGCTTCGGCGTCGCCGTTGTTTTCTTTCTTCTTTTGTTTGCTCTTTTTCTTTTGTTTGGTCATGGTTGTCTGCGCAGCGGTGGCGGCGAGGCAGCTGTGCAGCCCTGGCTTGCAGCGAAGCCGCGTTTTTTGCCCTCGTCGTATCTGGCCCTGCAAGGCGACGACTCTTAAGGCCGTCGCACGCACGAGTAACGGCCAGCGCTTCCAAATTAGCCTGTGCAAAAATTCGGCCGTGCTTTGCGTAGTGACACACTAGTTTGTCGACTGCAAACAACAGGTGCAAGCCGCCGTTCCCGGTGTTTTCGATAGTGTGAACGCACATTGTTGTCGCCTACTGGTCCACATCATTGCCTCGAGAGCGCTGTGGCGCGCTGCGTTTGCACAGCCCCATCCAGAGCTGTCAGTGCCTGAACCACCGATTAGAGCCACAGCACGCGCTAAACTGGTCGAGGCACGCATGCGGGCGGATACCATGCCGGTGCGGTAGCGATGCCCTCCATGTTCCTCCAGGTGCAGCCGCTCGACGACGCGGCGAGCCCGCCGCTGCCGTCGTCGGAAATGGTCATAGTCATGGCGACGGTCGTATCCAAGTTGATCGACGAGGACGCGAGGGACAACGTCACGAAGTTCTGCGCGCTCACACCTCCAGCAATATCTGTGCGAAGTTACTTAGAGAGAATAGGCCAGTACGCGGATTGCTCCCCCGGGTGCTTCGTCTTGAGCATGGTCTACATCGACCGGCTGGGCATGCGGCTGTCTCCATTGAATGTGCACCGTTTATTAATCACGGCGGTCTGCGTCGCGTCGAAGTTTCTGGACGATTCATTTTATCCGAACAGCTTCTACGCGCAGCTCGGCGGTATTCCCTTGGAGGAGCTGAATCGACTCGAGGTGGAGTTCCTCTTCTCGCTGAACTTCTCGCTGCACGTCTCGCCCTCGGAATACGACCGCTACTACGCGGGGTTGAGGCTGCGGAGCGCGTCCTGACTGTTCCGCGCCGAACCAAGGATAGTGTGTAAATGTCTTAGGCTAGTCGTCCTCCCGGTGAGTCCGGTTTCTCCCATGTCACGAGCGGCGTCGCATGTGTTCCAGAAAGTTGAACCACTCCCCAGACTCGTCGTCGCCACTTGACCGAAACGCATTGCACACCATCCAACGGCTAGCTTCGGGACGCACTTGATTGGGCGCAAACATCCAACGGCTATATTCCGGACGCGCTTGAGTGGGCGCAAACCAGCCCGGCGCACACCAGAGAAATATGCGCTTGACGAGGAGGGGCGGAATGTCCGGGCCCGGGCGCCCTCTTGCATTTCTGATGCGGCGTTTAACGGACTCAGGAAGGGTCGTCCTCCGGAGGCATGCCGCGGCCATTAGCTTCGACTCCCGGAAAAGCGGAAGGCGCATCCGCAGAATCTCGTTGTAGGGAAATCCCCCGCTACCCGATGTGTACGGAGCGCACACGCTCCAAGTGCAAGTTCCCCCGTGCTTAGCTTCGTCGGGCCAGAACTCCTCGCGCACGTGAGGCGGGATGCGGCACCAGCGTTCCGGGGAGCGCAGGAAGCTCGCCAGGAGCACGACGAATTTCGATCGCGCCTCGCCGGCGATCTGATCATGGACGTCGAGCACCACCGGCTCCACGGCCCGCCAGAGCCCCCGCGCCTGCTCCGGCGTGAGGAGCCGATGAGACTCGAGGAGCAGCTTGGAAACGAAGGTCATCGCGCCGAATGAATCGGGAACACGGTCGGCGGCCCAGCGCTCGACGCCGCGCCGCAGCCAATCGTATTCCTGCGGCGAAAACGTCACGCCGGGCTCGTCCCAGTCCTCGAAGTCGCGGGCGCGCGTCTCCTCCTCTGCCTCCTTTGCCAGCAAACGCAGCTGTTCGAGGCGTTGAGGGGTCCAGCCCTCCCCGCAGGTCGAGCATAGGCCGCCGAATTCCGGGTGCCCGTGCCAGCGGCAGCCCGCGGTGCGACAGGGTGGTGGTGCGTCCTCCGCGGTTGAGCCCGGCCCGTAACCCCGGCCCGCCGACAGGGGTGGTACGAACAAACCCCAGGGGTTAAGCCCTTGCCCCCGATTGGGTGGAAAGAAGAGCGACATGGCCCAGCGTCGAGCTCAATCCGAACAAATCCCAAGGCAGGGAGTGCGGGTGGCCAGGTGCAGGGCAGCAGAGTTGCAGAGCAGCAGGAGCGTCACCACCAGATCACCACCCGAAAATCTCGGGTCACCGTGGCGCGCGGGGCACACGTCCACTAGCACGTATGTTAATATCCTTAGCCACGTAAAAACTACATGTCCTCGTCCTCGTCCTCGTCGGCGATGACGCGCCGCTTCCGTTGTACGGCAGGTTCTGATGGAGGCGGCGCCTCGGCCATCTCCTCGTCGTCGTCGCTCTCGCCGAAGATGTCCGCGTTTGTGGCTGATTTAGGAGCCTCGTCCTCGTCCTCGTCATCGGAAGCTGCCCGGCCCGCCGCCTTCATCCTCGAATCAAAGTCCCCACCATCATCCTCCTCCTCGTCGCTCTCCCCAAAAATGGCCTCGTTCGTGGCGGCCTTGGTGCTGCGTTTGAGCGCGCCCACGTCGCCGACGTCATCATACAAGCCCGGCTCGTCGTCTTCGAGGAAGGCGCGGTTCATGCCCGCCGCGGCCCGGCCACCGTAGCCCCCTCCCGAGTAATTCCCGCGCGCCTCCCGCGCCTTCCTACGCGCCTCGCGTCGTATCTCCTCGTCCTTTTGTTTTTCTCGGGCCCGCTTGTCCATCTCCGGATCGGAAGTCGCGAAGAACTCCTTGACCCCTTTAGCTTTCACCACTGCTTTTTTAGTTCTCAATGAGAAGGCCTTATGCGCTTCGGACGATAGTGATGGAGGCCTCAGTCGCATCTCCGTCTCGAGCGCCTTCTGCGAGACGAGACACATGGCGCCCGACTTGGGTTTGGCCTGCAGACATAGTCGCTCCGACTTCATCGGTCTCTCGACAATGTCGTAACGCTCGCTCCCCACAATCAACTGCATACTACCGTCGGACCACTTCACGAGTCGCCCGTTACTGGTCCATTTCGGTTTGTTATTTTCATCGAGCATCGACTCACCCGTGAGAATATCCTTCTCGAGCCGCCACCGCAGCACGGCCTGGCCTTCGTCGTATTCCTTCTGGGGCTTGTCCGGGTCCCACGGGGACTGCTCGAAGGCGACAAATTTGGGCACTCGTAAAACTGCGGCTTTTGCCGTGGCCGAGGGTGCTGGTGTTTCTGGCAGGATCAACTTCTCGACCTTGTCGCCCTTCACCAAGATACGTTTCTTGGGATGGAGCTTTCTAGTAGGAGCTTCGACCGGTTGTGCTACGGGTTCCTCATCCTCGTCGTCCCCGAACAGGTCCTCCATGCGGTGCTTCGATTCGGCGGGCTTGTCCTCATCACTATCAGCGCCGAACAAGTCCTCCATCTTGTGGGTCTCGTCCTTCTTTTCTGTTTGATCTTCGTCGCTGTCGGCTCCAAACAGGTCGCTCATGGACGCGTCTGGTTTACTTGGAGGTTTCGGCGGCGCCGGCGCGAAGTCGTCTTCGTCGTCGTCGTCGTCGTCGTCGATGATGCGCCGTCGGGCCTTCGGCGGATCCGGCACGGCCGCCGCCGGCGCGACTTCTTCTTCCTCGCCGCTCGACTCTCCAAACAAGTCGCCCATTGTTGTATTTGCTTCGGCCATGGCTGCCTTCCGGTACGTCAGCGGCGCCTCCGCGACGGCCTTGGCCGAATGCACCGGGGGCGACCCGAGGAGCTCCCTCACCAAATCCGTCCGCGGCGACGCGCGCGACGCGATCGTGCTCGCGAGGGCTTGTCCGCTCTGCGGCGTGCGCGGCACCCGGCTGTGGCTCGGTGGGAATTGCTGCTGGGGCGGCGCGCGGGGCTACAGTGGCGCTTGCAGCGGCCTTATCTCAGTGAGCACGGCTCGCGCGAAGCAGCAATCACAACTCTGAAGCGGCTGTCGCGTCGGTACAGGAGGCAGCGATTTGAGCTGTTTTGGCCTCCTCTCCTGGCTTGGTCGCCGCCTCGATAGCACGCGCGGTGTGCTAACCTAGGGACTGAGACTGCGTCGCGTACCACAGCACTCTCGTCCAAAGCCGCTTCGAGCTGGACAGCGCGCACGGACGACGCCCCGCGGCCCCTGGAGCATAAACACTCAGCTGTACTTTGGGCCTGCTACACGCCGCCGCCGCGACCCAGAGGCTGGGCGCAGGCCTCAAAAGTATCGCAAAGCCATGGCGGACGACGCGGACACAAACGCGACGCGCCTCGTGCACGCCTGGGCCGCGGCGGTCTGCCGCGGCGCGGCGCCGCAGCTCGAGGCAGCGAATCCGCCGATGGCCTTGGATCCGGATTGTGCGGAGGCCGTCGCCGTGGCTGTTGAGAGGAGACTGCGAACGATCCTCGACGCCGCCGCGCAGCGGTGCCGACGGCGGCGCGGGCGAAGGCTCTCCGGTGATGACCTGAATGATGCTCTCGAGTCACTCGGAGACGAGCGCGTGCTCGGCCATCCCCGTCGAAGTTTGGTGGCTACTTTAAATGGCTCAGCAACTCTCGAGCCGAAGGAGTTGGACTTGGATGCCGTCGAGGCGGAAGCGCGCCAAAGAGCATTGGTCGCGGCGCCGCCCGAGGCCGCCCTCGCTTTATCGTGGCTCGCCGTCGATGGTAGAGACGCGCGCGAAGACTCGAAGACGAAAGAACTCAAAACGCCGCCGTTGCGACGCGAGCAGGAGCTGTATGTTAGAGCTGTTGATGATGCCATACTAGGCAAGTGCGACGAAGCCAGGCGGCGCGAGGTCTTCCGATCTTTACGAAGGGACGCCGGTCTAAGGCCGCTGGCACCTCATTTAGCTGCATTAGCTTCGAGAGAAGCCGCCGAGGCGCATAAAACCTCGAGGCCGTGCGAGCAGCTGCGGTACGTTGCTACGTTTATTCGTTCATTATCAATGAATCCTGGTGCCGGTGTGGAGTTCCACCTGCACCAGCTCGTGCCCGCGGCCCTTACACTTGTAGTAGCTCGCAAGTTGGGTGGAGGAGACGACCCGGACCACTGGCTCGTCAGGGAGGACGCGTCGCGATGCGTCGCGTCCATCTGCGAGGAGTTCGGGGACCGGTTCACGGATTTGAGGCCCCGCGTCGTCCAGACGCTGTGCGGCGCGCTGGATAGCGACAAGCCTTTTGCGACGAAGTACGGCGCGCTGCAATGTTTGGTCGCGCTGGGCCCCGCGGCTTTACATAGGTACGCCGAGCCGCGCCTGACCAAGCTGGCAAATGCTTTTGCTGAATTACCGGAGAGCGACGACAAGCGTAGATGTTTAGATGCTATCGTGAGCGCTCGTCGAGGTTTGAGGGGCGCCGCTCCTGGTAGCTGTTTTCAAGAGCAGACGGCGGGGACCTATGTAGAAGGTGAGTGGCGCGCGGTCGGTGAGGTCGAACCCTCGCGACCGCCGAAGCGGTTTGAGAAAGCTGACGACGTCCGAGGAGGCAAGCGCAAGCGCGGCCACGACGGCGCCGCGAAGAACGTGCGGGCGGCGCGGCCGGATGCGAAAGAGGATCCATTGTTAGAGGCACTCGGCGAGCGGGCCGTCGCGCTGGCGGACTCCGGGGCGGCGGTGTTCATCTGATTTATCTTGGCCGTGGTGTCGGTAAGTTATTATCCTTACTTATGAGCCCGAGCCGGGTGGGAGCGGGGGGCCTTCATTGCTACACGGGTATGAAAACGCGACTGGGGCTTATTGTTACGGTGCTAGGATGTAAAAACGCTGCAAAACCCGTGCTAGTGTCTTACTGGACGCTAGCTAGCCCGCTTTGGCTAAAACTTGTGCTGCGCGCGGCAAAGGTCGCCAGCCGACGGCAAATAGCGGCGACAAGCACATCTCGTACGGCGCGCCAGCTGCTGCTTCCAACTCCACACCGCTGCGCCGATAGCACAGCTGGTCCAAGCACAAGAGGCTGCAGCCGCCACAGAGACGCCAGCCGACGCGACCGCGCCAATGGCGACCCCCACCGCGGCGGACCCGACGGGCATGATCCGCGCCAAGGACCTCCACGCGCTGCTCAAGCAGCACGTCGACGACCAGGGCGGAAGCGGAGGGGCCATGCTCACGACGGGCAAGGGCGCGACGTTGAGTGCGGCGGGCTTCGACGGCGTCGAGGCGCCGCGGTCCGTGAGCGCGATCGCGGCGCACGTCTGGGCGCACCTGGCCTTGCTGCCGGCTCGGTCGGACTCGGGCGACCTGCGGACGCTCGTCTTTTGCGTCGAGGGCGGCCACCTGGCCCTGGGCGAGCTGCTGGAAGGGGGCTCGCACTTCGTGGTCCTCTACGCGACGACGCGGGAGCCCGTGTCCGACGTCCTCGCGCGGCTCGCGACGCTGCAACAAAAAGTCCTCGAGCAGTTCGGCGACGCGCTCGCCGCGGAGCCGGAGAAGGCCGACGCGCCCGCTACTGGGGAGAGAACTGCTCTGGGGCCCGAGGAGACGCCGCGGTAAGACTGTTTATATACTTACAACCACGGAGGCTTACACAACGCACAGGGGCTCGCGGCCGTGCAGGACCCGTCGGGCTGGCAGCGCCACTTGCTCCACTCGTCCGGCATCGTCGTCGCGCGGAACGTCAGCGAGATCCGCTGGCCGGCGGCGCCGTACTTGATGTCCGCGGGCTTGATCGAGTGGTTGAACTTCCAGCGCGCATCGCCCGTGAAGACGAGGAGGCTCCGCGGCGGGAGGCGGACGCGGAGCGGCGCGAGGTTACGGTACCGGGCGAGCTTCTCGGACTCCTTCAGCTCGAAGGTCATCACCGTCTCCGCCGCGAGCGTCAGCAGGCAGACCGTCGGCCCAGACCAGGGGTCATCGGAGTGGGCGCCGATCTGGCCGTCCGGCGGCGTGTAGCGCAGGCAGTCGAGCCGCGTCGGCAGGAATGCCGGCAGCCCGAGGTCGTTGATGCTGCGCGCGAGCGGCTGCGCCCACTCCGGAATCGGCGGCGGCGCCTCCGCGGGCGGGTCCGGGCCCTTTATCGGGACCTTCTCGTACGTGCCCGCGCGAGGCGTGCCCGCCCATACTTTCTGCGCCCGGCGGTTCATCACGCACGGGTAGCCGCCCTGGTTCTCCGTGCCGAAACCCATGTGCCGGTGCACGCGCCCCGCGCCACTGATGTGGTTCCCACCCAGCAGGACCGGCTCGACGGCGCGCACGAGGTCGCGCTCCTCGTCGGCCGTCACGAAATCGTGGAACACGACCAGGCCCTTCACGGGAGGCACGGTGTGGGCGCGCACGCGGTCCGGGAGCCCTACGACCCCACCGGATTTGAACGACGCGGGATCCTCGAGGTACGAATTGACCGGCCGTTCTCGACCCATCATGGCTTTGAACGGGTTTCTCTTCTTCGCCGGCGGCTGCTCGTGCGAGGAGGAATCGTCCCGGTCGCGCTTGCGCGGCGGCGCGGGCGCGGGCGCCTCGTCGTCCGACGACGACGCGAGCTCCAGCGGTGCTGCAGCGTCGCCGCTGCCGCCGATGATCCGCGGCGACGACGGCTTCGTCGCATCCTCGGCGTCGACATCGATGGCAGCAGCCAGGGAGGCCATGGCCAAGCTATGCGAGACGCAGGTAGCGATGCAAAATTCTACCGCAGCAGTGCGCAGGAGTGTATGACACTACCAAATCGCTAGCAAAACGCGAATGCAGAGGAGTGCGCGCCCCGCCACGCTCAAATCTCGCACGCTGAAAACCCGTCACATTCTAATTCATGTCTTATCACAACTATCCCCCCCAATACTCCTCGTCATCTTGGTCAGGCTCGTTGCGGAGAACTTCCTTGGCAACGCCATGAAGGTGGTCGGCGAAGATGCGTGCCTTCGCGCGATCCGTCCAACGCAGCCTCGAGAACCAGGCCACCCAGTCGATGAGGAGATTGGGGGCCGAGCAACGGGGCTGAAATTTGTCCCACACTTCACGGCAGGACCAGCAGGCGACCACGAACTGCGCAGCGCGTATCGGATTCGTCCAGGCTTCAAGCGCGGCGCCGAGCGGCTCTGCGATATCCGGACAAAATTCTTGGGACCTATAATCTCCCCCATAATCTGGAGGACCCCAAAACATGTGCGGGTTGGAAGATGTCCTCCATTGCAGCCAGCCGAACAGCAATTTGAGCAAGAGATCGCCACTTCTCAGAGTCCTAAATGCGTATTCACACGCCTCCATAATCCGCATAAAGCCGCTTGAATCTCGGCTGAGGGCTCTACTCGGCGAAATGGAAGCGGTGCGCTCGACGAGCTGGAGAAATCGGCTGCCGAGACTGATTGGTGGCCGCTCTCTACCAAAAATAGAATGGATCCACGTCGCCTCTTCGAACACCGGGTCCGCCATGAGCGTGAGCATGACGGCTCCGCGGTCGCGGGCCCACGCATCGGTCAGCAGCGTCGGGCACGACCGAGGGGTCTTGTGCGCGAACTCCCGCACGAGCGCGACGCCCTCGTGCGCCAGGCGGCAAACCGGCCGCCAGCGACCGCGCGTCAACGCCCGCCGCGCCGCGTTCCGCAGCCCGCGACACGCGGCCTTGACGCCCAGCCGTCCGAAGTAGCGACCGACCCGCGACTCGAAGCGACCGCGACCGACGTGCAAGCTCCGCGTCCCGCAGACCTCTTCGAACGGCAGGAACTCAACGACGCGCTGCGCGATGTCACGGGTACCGAAGGCGGTGCGGACTGCGACCGATGCTGGGGTGTCCATTTGTGTTAGGCTGCTGTGCTTATGCTATGGTGATTTTGTGTGCGCACAGAGCCGTACCGTCTAAGTTACGCAGGCGCACGCCTTTGTGCTGCGTGCCGTGAAAGTACTGACGTGCCGCAGAGTGCGCCGGACGCTTCGACGTCGCGCTTTGCAATTGTTTGTTTGAGCCTCTGGGAGAGCTTGTTTTGTGATCAGCCCTGCTTGGACGGAGTAGCGCAGTTCTGGAGCCTGCGACACCCGTAAGCAGTCGCATCGATGCGCGTCGTCCACTACTGAGCAACGCACCGGCTGCGCACAAAGACACAGAGAGACACGAGCAAATGGCAGCAGCCCTCGAGTGGCACGCCCGCAGCGACGGCAACCACTGGCCCCTCGCGGAACGACTACGAGCGGGCCTCGACAGTGAACTCTTCGACGCTCGGATCGCGCGCGTCGACGACCTCAACGGATTGCCGGGCCGCGCCGCGGGCGGGAAGCCGGTGCAGCGGTTCAAGCTCCGCGAGCTAATCAGAATTGCGTCGGAAGCATCAACACCCTTCGTCTGGAGCGACGTCGACGTCCAGCCTCTGGGATCCTTGCAGAGGCTCCACGACGCGATAACTGACGCGCTACGGACGGACGCGGATCTCTTCGTGCAGCGCGAGTTCGCGGACTGCGGCTGCAACGTCGGGTTTTTAATCGTGCGGCCGTCGCCGCGAATGGATGCCTTCCTCGAGAAATGGCTCCGGGATCTCGAGTCTACCAATACGTTAGATCAAAAAATACTGAACCGGTACCTCCTCGCCAATGAAGCGTCGATTTCAGTAAAGCGGCTTCCCACGACCTTCTGGGCGTCCTCGTCGGCGCCGCCGCTGCTCCACGAGCTGGTGCTCCACCACGCGAATTTTGTGGTTGATACGCAGCGGCGGCCGTCGAGCGACCCCTCTCCGAAAATCGCGCAGCTCGATGCGGTGAGGCGTTGTTTCGACGAGAAGGACGCGGCCGCGTTTGGGACCCTCGCCGGGTTCATCGCGGGGGACGCGTCGCTCGCGAAGTATCGGGAGCGGCACTTCCCGGACCCGGGGGCCTGGGCGGCGCTCCCCTGACCGGCGCCGCGTCGACGGCGTGTCGGGCTGACGCGTGACTCGGACTCGGTACGCCGTCGACGCGTGACTAATGTGTGTGTTCTAGCAAGCAGGATATATATTCGGGACAAAATTAGGACTTCTCGCGCCAAAACCTAGCCCGACTTGAAGAGCAGCACCGCGACCTGGCCCAGGTAGAAGTAGATGAAGTGCTTCGTCTCGTGCGTCACGTAGGAGCCGAAGTTGCGGCCGACGATGCAGTGCCACGTCGGGTTGTACTTCTTGTCGAACTCCTTCTTGACGTAGGCGGCGATGTCCTTCTCGATGTTGTACTTCTCGAGCGCCTGCGACGCGCAGTCGACGGCGTCCTGCTGCATGTCCTCGCTCATGTCGGCGTTCTTGATGACGGCCTTGCGCTCCATCCTGCTATCGCGTCGTGTTTGTGAAACGCGGGCCTGCGAAAGGGCGGTGCGGTCGCACGGCTGCGTCGGCTGTGCTTTTGTTGTGTTAGTGCCTCTCGGCGGCGGTGCGCGCGCGCGGCCGCTGCGGCCGCGAGGGCTGCGCTTTTATTTTGTGGCGTGCCCGGCGACGGCCGTTCGCACGCGCTCGGCCACGCGGCTGCCACTAGGGCCCTTTGTCGCGTGCTCGACGGCCGTTCGGCCGTTCGCACGCGGCCGAGCAGCCCGTGAGGGTAGAACGGTGGGCCGCGGCGAGAGATTTGTTTCTATTTGTGCGCCGTCGACCGAAAACGTCGGGCGCGCGGTCCGCGGCGGCGCGCGCAAGGAACGCTTCTACGAACGGTGGCTGCCTCTTTGAGCGCGGCCGCTGCCGTCCGCGCAAGCCCTCGCGGCAGCCGGTCCAGCCGCTGGTCGGCTTCAACAGCTTATAATAACGACACCGTAACGCACAGTCAATTCAATGGGCGGCGGCGGCACGATTTCGAGCGCAGGACGGCTGGGAGTTGGGGGTAAACATAGGCTTAGTGCGGGTTTTTGCCGGCCCCCGATGCTTCTGCTGGACGCGTCTCAGGGCTCCCGACAGAGGCCCAGCCTCCGGCTTGGCGTCTGGATGGCTGATGGCTGCCCCCTCTCACAACAAAACCTCGAGCACAGCCTCTACCTCAGAGACCAAAAACGCTGCTCATTGCTCGAATTCGAACGGCTCCGCATCGCTGTGCATTCGTGCGACCCACCATGCTGAGAATCCTCTTGTTTGCCGGCTGCACACAAGCCCTGCTGGCACCAAGGACAGCACCGCGCAGCAGCACGCAGCTGCGCCTCGCCAGCCAGTCGCTCCTCGAGCGCGACATCACCAGGCTGGCCGACCGCTCCAAAAGCTGGGCCGCATCCAAACCCGAGGAGCGCGTCGCCGTCGCCGAGGCGTGCCTGGAGTGCTTGCGGACGGAGCCCTGGGACGCGGGCTGGCTGCAGGCCCAGACGGACCTCGAGGCCACGTCGGCGTCGCGGTCGCGCTACGTGTTTGGCGCAGTCGTGAGCGACTGGCTTGAGACGTTCATCGAGGCCCAGGCGCCGGCGTCGGAGACGCGCCACGCCTTCGAGAACGGCGAGCGCGTGCCGCTCGGCCTCTCGGTGCCGGGCGCGACGGCCGAAATAATAAGAGGCGACCACGAAGCGACGGAAGCCCGGGCCGCCGAAGGCACCGTGTCCTTAGTACTGGGCGCGGGCAACCAGAGCTTTTTGGCTTTGATAGATGTGCTCCAGCGCGCCTTGATCAATAAAGAATGCGTGATGTTAAAACACCACCCGCTGCGACCCTGGCTCGTCAAGCCCTACGCGGCGATCTTGGAGCCGCTGATCGAGCTGGACGTCGTCGCGCAGACGCTGGACGAGGGCGTCGACGCGGCCGCGACGTTGGTCGCCCACCGGTTCATAGGGCACGTGCACTTGACGGGCGGCGAGGCGACGCGCGACGCGGTCCGTAGAACGCTCGACGCCGCGGGCAAGACTGATATTGCAATCTCGTCCGAGCTCGGTTGTGTGACGCCTTGGTTGATCGCCGGCGGCGCGTGGACGGCCAAGGAGCTCAGGGTCGCAGCGCGGAACGTCGTCGCGGCGAAGAAGGCTAATGGGGGCTCGAACTGCTTGAGCCCGCAAGTCCTGGTCGTATCACGAGACTGGCCGCAGCGCGAGGCCTTCCTCTCGTTAGTGGACGAGGAGCTAAAACGGCAGCGCGACGAACGGGCCTATTACCCCGGCGCGCGCGAGCGGCGCGACGCCGCGCTCGTGAAGTGTGGTATGAAGCCACTCGGTTCCGAATCGGACGCCGTCGGCTTCGTGCGGGACGTTTGTGACGAGGTGCTCGACGAAGAGGTCTTCGGGCCGTTCCTCGCGGTCAAGGAAGTGGACGGTGGTTTACTGGAGGCGGCGGACTTTGCGAATCAAAAGTGCCGAGGCACGCTGAGCTGTACGGTGCTGCACCCGCAGTCGCTCAACACGATGATGCTGGTAGCCGTCGTGGATAAACTAAACTACGGCTCCGTCGCCGTCAACGTCTGGTCGGCCTTCGGCTACACGGCGCTGGCGCGCGGCGCGACCTGGGGCGCGCATCACGGCGACGACGCGTCGGGTTCGGGCGTCATCGGGAACCACTACTCTATACCAAACGTCGAGAAGAGCGTCGTGCGCGGCGGGCCGCTGCGCAAGACCGTGGACTTGTCTGCCATTCCACCGGGCGTCGTCTTCGACGCGCTCTTCGAGGCGTCGGTGCGCGGGCACGGCGCGGGCGCCGGGGCCTCCGTGTTGTTCCGACGGTTCCTTGGGACGCTGCGGGGGCTCGTCCCGTTCTTGCCGCGCTCTGAGGCGTACGGGGCGCCGCCGGCGTGATCTATTGTAATGCTAGTATGTTTTTTGGCACTAGCTAGGTCTCGAATTATATTGAGGAGCTCTCCGACATTTTCACCTGCAAGCAAGGCACCAAGCGGGACACTATCATAGCGGAGCCCTTCAAAGCACAGCCAGCACTGCCGCATTGCCGCGCGGGCTGCGAAATTTCGAATAGCGCGCTCACGACAAATAAAATGAGCTCGGACGAGCAGCGCAAACAAGAGGCCGCCAAGGTCTGGTGCGCCTCGCTGGGCGAACCGAGCCCCGAGGAGCAGCGCGACGACGCGCTCACGTCCGAGTACAAAGGCCGGTCCGTCCGCGTCGACAAGGTCAACGGGACCGTCCAAAATGTGAAGTTCGGCTTCGCGCACGTGGTGCTGGAAGACGGCACCACGGCCAACCTCAAGTTCGAGCACTTGGGCAAGTTTTTAGGTCATTATACGATCTGGGACTCGTCCACTGCCGAGGCAACGGCCTCGGCCGCGCTCGCCGTCGAGGCGCAGGCCGAGGCGGCGCAGCTCACGCCGCCGTCGACGCCGAAGCGGGCGCCCTCGTCGCCGCGCGACGTCACGTCGCCGGCGCCGCTGCTGCTGCACCGCGGCGCCGAGGCGCTCGAGTTGCCAGCGCCGCCGTGGCCGCCCCACCGCATCGTGGCGGCGACAGGCTGCGATCGGCCCCTGGCGAGCTACAGCTCGCCGGGGCCGTTCGAGCCGGGCGGCGCCGACGCCCTGAGGCAGGGCGTCGGCGTCGAGGACCTCGTCCTCGCCCCTGACACCGGTCAGGGGTGCCGGAGCCGTCGTCGTCTTAGTTATGACGACGACGGCCCGGGCGGCGGCGACGCCGGGAGGGAGGGGATCGGCGTCGAGGTGGGCGATGTCCCCCTCGACCCCGACCCCGACCCCCGGAGTCGTCGTCGTCCGGGGCATCCTCAGGATGCCTCTTTGCATGCAACCGGTGCCGGCTCGAGCTTCGAGCCGGCACCAAAGGCCTCCGGGCATTTGGGGGGCACAGACCCCCCACCAACACATCTGATTCGGGAGCCGACGCTCGAGCTAAAGCCCGAGCCGACGCCGCCGAGGAAGAAGAAGAAAAAACGTCGTCGCAAGTGGAGGGCATTGGACGCGTCGCCGACCGGCGCCGCTTCCGACGCTCTAGCTGCCGCGCCGACGTCCTCACGGTCCCGCACGTCGTCGGACGCCTCGCTGACGTCCTCGTCGACGTCCGCGTCGTCGCCTCGGACGGTGACGGCGCTGGACCGCGACCTGAACAAGGAGCTGCTGGACCCGAAGACCAAGATCCTCCAGCTCTTCGCGACGCGCGGCGACGAGTTCTCACCCGTGAACCTGTCGACCGCCGTCCACCAATTGGCGAAGCGCCGCGTGCCCTGCGCGCAAGATCCGAGGTGCGCGCGGCTCCTCGCCGCCGTCACGTCGTGCGTCGACGCGGACGGCATGTCCATGCGAGGGCTCGCCACGGTCGCCTGGGGCGTGGCGCAGCTCGGCGCTGGACCGGAGCTCCTGGACGCCATCTCGTCGTGCGTGCTGCGGCGCCTGGACGACCTGGACGAGTTCAAGGCGCAGGAGATCTCAAATTTGCTGTACGCCTACGCCACGACGGGCCACGAGGCGCCGGCTCTGTTCGACGCGATGGCTGGCTACCTCACTCAGTCGTCTCGCCTGCACGACTTCGCGCCGCGCCATTTAACCATCATGGCGTGGTCGTTCTGCGTGGCGGGGGCCTTCGGGCCGACGATGTCCGGCGCGATCGCCGACGCGCTGCAGTGGCCGAACGCCGAGCCGAGCGAGGACGCCCTCGCGGACGTGCTAGCGGGCCTGGGTCTGACGAAGAACGCGGTCCTCGACGCCGACTCGGCGGCACGGCTCGTCCGCGCCCTGGACGACTCCAGCGGTTCCCTCGACCAGCTCGGGCCGCGGGAGCAGTCGCAACTGTATCAGGTCCTCCTCTACCTGCAGCTCGAGGACTCGTCCTCGCGGTTGCTGCCGGTCCTCGCCCAGCGGCGCGACGTCCTCCGGGCGGCGTACGTGCGCCACGACGCCCGGCCCTCGCGGTCGCAGAAGGACGTCTCGCGCGCGCTCGACGAGCTCGACTGGAAACACAAGTACGAGTGGGTCACGGTGGAAGGGTTGAGCCTCGACCTCGCAAAACCGCGCCAGCGGATCGCGATTGAGTACGACGGCCCGTCGCACTATTTGACGGGTGACGGTGGCGCGCCGCGAATCAACGGAACCACCGCGTTCAAGCACCGGCTCCTCGAGGCCCTCGACTGGCGCGTTATCCACATCTCGTACTTCGAGTGGGGAGAGCAGCGTACGTGGACGGCCAAGAAGGCGTACCTCCGCCAGAAGCTCGGCCTCTCCGCGCCAGCAGGGTCCGGCTCGTCGCCAGGCCGGTCGCGCGCCGGCAGTATCACCTCCTTGGTATCAAGCTCGTTGGATTTGAGCCTCGGTGAGGACGCGATGACGACGCTCCTCGCAAGCATCGGCCTGAGCGACCTCGAGAGTCGGCTTCGAGATGAAGCCATCGACGAGACGACATTTCTAGATCTCGACGACGAGGATCTCAAAGAAATTGGGATCAAAATGGGCCCGCGGCACAAGTTGTTGACGGCGCTGCAAAAGGCCAAGGACCGGACCAACAGCGCGCCAGTGCCTCCGCCGCCGGCGGGCGGGGCCTGGACCTGTTCCGCGTGCACGTTCGAGAACCCGGACCCGAGCCACGTGAGGTGCTTTATCTGCATGGCGCCGCGCTCCTGAACCCCTTCCCAGCCCCTCCTACTAGTAGACGATAAGTCTGAACATAAGAACTTACACAAACATCAAAACGCGAACAGTCCCGTATCCAGCCCCACCGCGTTCGACAGGGCCGCGTCCAGCTGCAGCAATCTAGACCGCGGGTCCGAGCAGACGACGACGCGGCCGCCGGCCGTCGCCGCGAAGAGGTGCCGGTCGTCGGGGCCGAAGGCTAGTGATAGGGGCGCGCCGTGCGTCGATAAGTCGATGGTGTGCACCGCCGCGAGGTCGACGGCGCGCCGCACCGTGAGCTGGCCGTCCAACGAGCCACAGACGACGGCCGAGCCCGCGCGCGTTGTTGCCAAACTTGTGATTGGAGACGGCGTCGTCACTACACAACGACGCCCGCCGTTCAGCGACCACAAGGCTAGCGTCGTGGACGCCGCGACGACGACGGAAGCGTCGACATCCAAAATAGCGAGCTTCGTGACGGCCGGCGACTCGCGCCGATCGACGACTCGTAAGGACCGCAGACATCTTCCAGATCTACACGCGTGTACGAGGAGATAACCGTCCACATCCGCGCTGACGCAGCAGTCCAGCACGGGCGAGTACGCCAACGCCGTGATGGCCGAGGCATGGCCCAGTAACAAGTGGGAGCACACCAGCACATCATCGCTATCGTCCTCGCGTATGACGCTACGACTAGGAGCTAATACAGGATCGCCCTCAAAACCTTCATCGTCGACACCGTCGCCATGTACCAATCCATCGACGAGCGCCGCGTCGTCACAAACCCAGACCGCTACCACGCCATCACTACCTCCGGATACGGCGATATGACCATGGCCACAACACGCGACCGCCGAGCCACCGGCGTGCGGGCCTCGGATCGACGCTCTGATTCTCCCTCGTCCGTCATGTAATCTAAGTCGACCATCACTATGTCCGACAGTAAGCACGCGTCGATCAGCCAATGCTGTTACCGTATTCCCGTCGCCGTCACCCCGTGCACAGACGTCCAACCGCCCAGAACCATGGGGCCGCGCCGAGAACGGAGCCCCTCTTCCATCGGGCACCTCGGACCACCTCCAGACTGATACACCGCGATCGGCGTGGAAGGCGCAGACGACCGACTGCTGTTCTTCGGTACCTCCACTACAAAGAGCCACGCACAACGCCGGAGATATATCACGAGAGACCTTCTTTTTTTGAGTAAATAATTGTTTCGTGAAGCGCGCGACGTCCTTCACGAACGTGTTCTTTTGCGTAGCCTTCTCGCCGAGCGGCGCGTCGGGGCCGAAGAGCTTTTGCGCGTTTTGCACGTCGTCGAGCACGTACGCGCGGCACGACACGGCGGGGCACTCGCCATGCAACGGCACGTCCAGGAATAAGGGTGAAGCACATTCGGACGCAGGCTTCCGACGCGGGTGCGGACTCCCGAACAACCTCGGTGGGGTCTGGCCGAAATGTGCTATTTGCGCGTCCGTCGCTTCGCGCTCCTCGTCATCTTCTATATCCTCTACATTGACCGCACCCTCGTAGGTCAGATGGTAGAAAACGTTGGCCCTTTCAACAGCTTTCGGGCCCTGCTGCGCGTCGCCAAAAATCAGGTCGATCCACAAGTGTAGCGTGTCCGAGACTCGGTCCGATTCCAGAGCCGCTCTGTGTACCCTGATGAACTGGAGAGGGTCATTCAAACACCAAGCTGGGAGTAGGACATCATCCACTCGAACACCATTCTGACTTGTACCGAGGGGCAGGGAGTTCATGTTACAGAGTACCTCTGGCGCGTAGTATAGCTCCGGTATAACCTCCTTGACGTCGGTCATACTATTTGTCGTACTACGCCAGGCCGCCTCGATACCAAGAAACAATCGATCCGGCACGTCGAAGCGACCGCCTTGGAGATCCACAGCTAACTGACTATAAGGTAATGCTCGGACCAAGTAATGCAAGACAACACCAGCCGAGGAATAATGCGAACCGTACATGAACTTCGGCACATACCCGGAAGGATCCTCGAAGGTCTCGTAGCGCTCTAAGAATTGACTGCGTCTTTCTTCCGTCTGGGCGCCTATGGGCTTGGCTAAATCACGGCCAGTGCCGAGGTCAATGGCATCGGAATCGAAAGCTAAGACCCAGGGGAAGACCGGCCACTGAGCCAGGTCTTGTCTCGTTCTCCCACCTAGCTCATTCAACGCACTTAGATAAGCGAAGTTCGTTAATAGTCTTCTACGCCACAGATCCGTCAAGCGCGATAGCCTTAATGCTTTTTCCGGGTCCCGGTGGCCTAACCCACCATTATCATCTCCCTCGATTCGTCGACCCGCGTGGCCGTTCGCATAGCCTCGATTCAACAAGGGTAGCTTCCTTCTTTTTAGCAAAGCTTTCAAGAGCTTTGCTAATTGTCTATGAGCTTTTCCTCGCGGTAAGGCCAAGAATACCGAGGTAGAATCACATCGAAAGAACTCAAAGGCTACTCTTCTCAGCAAGTATCGTCGCGGTGCCACTCGTTCTAAGGTACATAAGCGCCAGATCTTCACATCATTTGTGGATGTAAACTTGATACAGCGGCCGTCGACGGTCAGAGTACCTTTGATTGACGCGCCCTCGCGAACCCAGAGGCAGTGCTCGTCCCTAAAAAGTTCGTCGTCGACCGAGACGACGCCACCGTCCTCCACAAACCGCCACTGCCTCGTCGAAGGCTGTTGCGTGGGCACGCCCCGTTCAATTAAAACAGCATCTTCATCCGAGGAACTCGAACTTTCCTCCCGCGCGACTCGACTTCGCCCTTTGATGAGGGGTGGCGCGGGCGGTTCGACCGTAGTACTACCACCTTGGTGCGCCCACTTGCTGACGTCGACGGGGTCCCGGTCCCTCACAAAGAAGCAGCGTCTCCCATACGAATCCGCGTGCCTCGCTAGGATCCACCGCGAGCCTTTCATTAGTGGTGAACTATTCTCCTCCGCGAGGCACCAGATGCCACTCTCGCGATGCTGCTGCATGCACGCCCGCCAGGCTCGTTCCACAATGACCGAGGACCGTCTCGCGCGCTTCCGGTCTCGCCTTCTTAACTGTCTTCCAGCATCAGACGCGCGTCTCTGTGGACTATGAACAACATCTTCTGATCGAGAAGGCGTCCCGAGCTCCGCCAGCACTTTGAGGGAATCGTTGTAGCGCCGGTCCGCAGCTGAACTAAATGCAGCGGTCCGCCCCTCGTTCTCGGGGCCGGCCACATAAACCTCGAGCGGCGCGGCCAACCAGGCCGCCCGCTCCAGGTCGTCGACTTCCGAGGAGACGACCTGGTCCCAATCATCACCGAAGGACGACGCCCGCACCCTATTGCCCGTCGTCATCGCTTGCACTGCTGATTGGGCATGCCTAGGTAAAACGGGCCGCTTCCTTCCCGTAAGTTGGGTACACGCCTTCACTAGTAGTGAGTGGATCTGCACCAGGGCTTTGTCCCTTTGCTCATCCTTGGATTCCTCCTTCAGCAGGCGCAGGGCATGGTGCGCGTCCCTCAATACTAATAAAGAAGCGCGGCCCGCGTCGTCGGACGGCGGGAAGGCGCCGCCCCTTCTCTGCGCGACTCGCTCGGCGACCTTCACGTCCGCGTCCGAACAGGCCTGCCTGTGTCGTTCTAGATTGCGCTTGCAGCGGTCCGCCACTCTCACCAGATCTTTCGTCGCGAGGCGCGAGAGCAAACACCCATCTAAAGCTAATGCCGCATCCAGGGCCGCGACCCTTTCTAAAGCTCGGGACGCGGCGTCCTCTACATTATCAGTCAGGACATCACCAGAACCTTCCAACAAGACATCCAAACACTCGGCCACTTGTAAAGACGTATATACCGCGAGTGCGGGATGGGCCTTCAGACCGACGGGCGGCAACGGTTCTGACCCACCGCTCCGCTCGTAGCGCTTCGGCCGCGTCTCCAGTTTCGCAGCGAGGTCGTCGAGCGACCTTCGCAGCTGCGTGGCGGTTTTTGGCGAATCATTTATTGATACATCCACTAATCCGCGCTGCGCGACGCTCGCTACGTACGGCGCCGCTCCAATAAAGCTATGCAAGCCGTGCTCGTGGGCTGTATGTATGATGCGCGATACTAAACGGGGATCGTTCCTGTGCAACGAGTAGGCCGCGACACTTTTAATCGCTTCGGCGGTGCCGTACCGACACAATACTGAACAGGCCCGGTCGCGCTGCGACGGCGGCCGCTTCGCGCATAATGATAAAAGGGTGCAGTCCGCCGACGGCGTCGGGTCGGGCTCGGCGTCGTCGCCTATCAAAATTGCACTACAGGCGGCGTCCGCGGCGTCCGCGTCCGTTTTCTCGAGCGAAGCGCAGTAGCTCAGGACGTCTAATCTCTCACAAGCACCTAACCGAGCGTAGGCTACACTACAAGCTCGTAGAACAGCACTCCCGGAGAGCTTGAGTAGAGCTCTTAAAGCAAGCGGCCCTACGTTCGTCTCGTGGCGGCGCCAGAAGGCCTCTACACTGGAAGCCGTACCGTCGGGCCCCACGAACAGCACACTTAACAAAAGACACTCGACGGCCAGCGGGTCGTTTTGCGAGGAGAAGCCCCTCTCCACAAGTTGGGCCACGGTGCCGCGCTCGCATAATGATCGTAAAGCTTCGGGCTCGAAGGCCTGCAAGCCTTTCAGTGCTGCCGTCGCGCATTGGTCATCGGTCATCGCTAATGAAGCCTGGAGGACGGCGCGGCCCGTTTCTGTTGTATCTAAATGTAATTCGCCGTCGATCGAAGCGCGCGCGTTCATTGGGAGGGCGGCTAAGGCGGTGACCGCTTCCAACACGGAAGCGTCCCTGGCGTCTATAGCTTCATATTCGGTGGACGGCGGTACCGATAAAGAGAGGTGCGGGCTCCGATATGTATATGAAGAAGCGGCGTGTCTTGATGAGAGCGCGTGAGCCAAACGCTGCGCGTAGGCGTCGAGGCCGACGCCGTCCCTCACGGATTGCAAAGCTCTCACTGAGGAACGGCACCACCGTACAACAGAAGAGGTCGTTTCAGGACTCCAGAGCTGCGCCTGGCACGCGATTCGGTCCACGAACCGATCCAGCAACGCGTCGCCTTTACTGGAACTCCCCTCCGTAGAAGCGAGGAGGCCGTCCAGCACCTTCACCAAGCACTCCCCGACGTCTTCGTCCCTCGACGCGCGCGCGTCTAAGCACCGCTCTAGTATTTCAACACCACCACATCTCAAAAAGTCGTCTCCAGTACCACATCTGATGATACCGTCCACTAGTAACAAACGCGTCCTCAGTGACTCAGTGGAGTCCTGCTCCTCGGTTATCACGGCAGTATCAGCTAATTGCGCGAGCGCGGGTATCAGTGAAGAGGCGCCTCCCAAGGAACGCAGCGCGTCGCGCGGCCTCGACGACGCATGAACCGCGCACTTCCGCGGTGCACATTTGAGCGAGGCCGTCGAGCCGCGGTCGCCGTCGAGACAGCAGACTAGGGCGCCGACGGGGTCGTTGCCCCTTCTAAGCGCCGCCGCGGCCGCCGCGTTCGCTATTTTACGAGATTTTGTCCGGACGGCGTACGCCGCCTCCGACGAACAATTTTCGATGGCACCGCCGAGGCTGCAGAGCGACGCGCGCGCGTCTCCAGAAGACCCTTCGGCGTCGAAAATCGAGGCTTCGAGGGCGTCGTCGTCGAGCGACGGCCGCTTCATGGGCGACAGGAAGCCTTTTTTTGTGTGCGGCTCGGGACTCAGGTGTTGCGCGGTCCGTCGCGCGACGCCCGAAGCCGCGTCCTGCGCCAGCGTCGACGCGCCGTCGTACGAATTATCTCCCGTGAAGCGCCACGCGAGAGCACATGACGAAGACCGCCCCGGCGCGCGCTGGAGCATCACCAAACCAGCTATCGAACCCTCGTAGCCGTCTCCGGCAACGTCCGCGTGCCTTAGTTCCGGAGAACTTAATGAAGGCGCCCGCGCGACGTTGTCCCGGTCTTCCACAACACCATTCACTTCGAGGGAAGCGCCGCCGGCCAAGACACCCAAGCGCCCCGACTTCTGCGACGGCCTTCGTTCCAGCAGGGATGGCCTTCTTTTCGGAACCTCGACGGGATTGCGTCGTTTCATTTCTTTGGCGTCGTCGGCGATGCGGAACGCGACGTGGCTCCACGTGTCTGGAGTTAACATCCCCCCTTTGAGCGTCAACACGTTCCTCTTCTCGCCGCCTTCGGAAATGTCCGCCCGTAGGCACCCGTCGTTCATGATGGCGATCGTTAGACCACCGCCATAGACGCCTTCCAATCTTAATAAAATCGCTTGTCTTATACGAGCGGGCCGGCACCACAGTCCAACGTATAATTCATCCGCAAAGGGCCAGCGCGCGGCGCCGCCCCTCCCATCCGTGAGGGCCACGTGGCCGTCCTCCGGCACTTCCAGATATCTCCGCGGCGCGTCGTACGTGCATTGGGCGCCGTCGACGTCAAATTTGATACGTTCTTCTCGCGCGAGGTACGCCGCGGCGGCTTTCAGTGCTTCCAGGCGCTCCGGACCGCTTGCTTTGTTTGAGGCGGCCCTGATTAAGAGGTGGCGCAGCGCGGCGTCCTGCGCGTCCTGCGGCATGCTCTTTTTTGTTTTATTCTGCTGCAGGCTCTAGACTTGCGGGGCGCGCGCCAATTTCTGTAATTACTTTTGTCGTGCGAATATGTGTGCACAGCGAGTGCCAGCTGAGCTGCAGAGCGCGGAACAAGCGCTGCAACCCGCGTTTGCGCTCGAGACTCGGCCTGAAAAACCCGATTTGATTTACCTTTTTAAATTTACGAGCGCTCGCGCCCCGAGGCCAGCCGCTGTGCCCTCCTCCCTCATAATCGAGAATAATATCAGCTACACGCCCCTCCCCACCACACGTTTTGACGATATTCTAGCTAGATATTTTATGCCGGCGACATCCCGCTGGCGGCGGCGACGGACTCGCACCCGCCCCGACGCCCGCCGCCGCGCCTCGCCACCAACGCCCTAGAGCAGCACCAACCCCACGTCCTCGGCGCGCATCTCGGCGCACTTCCAGTTGTAGAGGTAGTACTGGAGGTGCCCGTCGCCAATCCCGAACTTCAGGTCTTTGAGGAACTGGTCGTTCTCCATGACGTTCAGCGCGTTGAAGACGTCCATCTGGACGTTCCTAGCACAAATCAAAGCGTCGCGCATGAGCTCCTGCAACGGCACGGACGTCGCGACGTTGTAGAAGCTGTACGCCGCGTTCAGCGTGTTGTGCTTCTCATGACCAATGACGGTCGAAGGCAAGTGGTAGAAGCTACATAAGTCGGTAATGGCACCGGTCTCCGGGTCCTCGACGACGAACGCATCCACGACGCCTTCGCGCGGTAGGATCCAGTGGGCCACTTCTGACTCGTCGAGGTGCGGGTGGAGCTTGAACTTCTCCAGATAGGAAGTGAGTAAGGTAGTGCATTCCTTGACGTCGCCGGGCTGCATAGCCCGGAACCCTGGGATCGTAGGCGTTTCAGGTAATTTGTATAACTTAATTGTTCTCGCCATGGTCATCCGCGGTGCCAACCTTGAAAAGCCGATCTCAATGAGCTTCTTCGGATCCAGCGAGCGGTGGAAGTAGCGGCACGAGGCCACGGGTTTTGGGAGTACTACTCCAGCCGTATAGACCGCTTGAAAAATGCCGGCTAGATTGACTCTTCTTGTTATTTCTTTGATCAACACAGGAGCTAACCGTTTCGTCCTTAACCTCTTGTGCACACATAGGTAGTTGATCTCCACGCATTTCACTCTCTTCCCTCTGACGACGCACCACGCCGGCACGCCCGTAATAAACGCCATCAGCCCCTTCTTGCCTCGAGCTGCCCGAACGCCCAAGTGGAACTCCGCCCGATACCCTGGGGGTGTGAGAGCCCACGTCAAAAATCTCATCGAATAATCAAAGCGAAACATCGCGTCGTCGTCCTCCACATAATTCTCATTCAGCAACGTATAGATCTCCTTCAGCACGCTTTCATCGGTCACATCGAGGTCACTCCAAGCAAACCCTTCAGGCATCGCGTACGGCTCCTGGCGGATCGCGGCGTGGTCTTTATTGGGCTCAATCACATCATTGATCTGGGCGTCCTCGATGGCCTCGTCGAGTTTGGGGACGGGTTGCGTGTCCCAAAATTTGTGCGGCTTGCGTTTGTCGCCGCCGTCGTCTTGGACCCTAGATCTGCGCATCCTCGCGACGAGTTGTTGGAGTTCTTCTCTTCGCTGAGCTTCCGAGGTCAAGGTTGGCGCGGCCTTCTTCTTGCCCTTGCCCTTCTTCTTGTTTCTAGGCACGGGCGGCGGCGGCGCGCGGCCCTCGTTCTCGTGGGGCGTGTCGGCGCCGTCGTCGCGGTCCACTAATTCTGCCATGATGGCTTCTTCTTGACGTGTTGCGCTGGCTTGTCGCTCGCGCTAGCTTGACGCGATGGCTGCCGCAGGCGAGCTGGACACGTGGATTGTGGCGGCGACTGCACGGCACGGGACAGCCCAGGGAGGCTTGGACTGGCAGCGAGTGGTCGCTTGGCGAACCAGGCGATGCTGGCGTGCAGGTTAGCACTAATCGACGAGGGTCAGGCTGATCGGCCTCCTAAAGGATTGCTAGCGGCCTTGTAACGCTAGCTAATATGGATGCGGCCATCACAGATCGATTTGTAGAGTGAGGTGAAGGCCCAGGGGCAGCCCGACGACGTATTTTCAGCACGCCAAGAAGTCCTGTCCACAGCCCGCGGCAAAAGTTTCCCGGATACCGAGTTTACGCAGCCAGTGGCACAGCCTCTCTCCACGACGCCACGCCACGCCGTCGCGCGACACAGCAACAAAAAATGGCCTCCCAGGTCGACGCCGCGGCGCAGTCCTCACCCACCACGCAGTCCCAGGTCAACACGACGCGCCGACTCAGTAGGAGACGTCACGAGGCGAAGGCGCGGAAATACGACGGCAACGACATCGCGACGCGTAACATTGAAAACGACTTCGAGGAGTTTGAGGTTGAAAGACGGAAACGGCTCGAGTTAAGAGTCAATCGATTAGATGACGAGCGCGCGGCCGCGTGGGCCGGCAAGCAACCCGTGATCGTCGAGGACGACGTCGGGCCCCAGGACGCGCCGATCTGCGGCTTCGATCTGGGTCCTCTGTTGAGTTGGCTCAACTGCGTGCCCAACGAGCCGCCGCCCGTGGAGAAGGCCTACGACCCGTGCGACGACTCCTGGAAGAAGAACGGTAAGTAGCTCCTTACGCAGCCTAGAGCATGAAGAGGATGTCCTCGTTGGGGAGGCCGTCGCCGAAGTAGACGCTCACGTAGTTGCCCGTCTTGATCTCGTGGCAGAAGTACGAGCCCGGCCAGTAGAACGACCGGACGATCGAGTACTTGGCATCCGGAGAATAGTGCACGCCCCAGCAGCCCTTGGGCGCGTCGTCCTCGAGGTTGTCGAGGAAGTCGCCGTGCCGCACGACGCCCGGCTTCACCAGCGCTTGCTTCGACCGGTCGTTCTCGGGGTACCGGAAGTGTAAGTAGTTTCTCAGAGACCCAGCCGCCTCATGCGTCAAGCCGCAGTTCGTCACATTTTTTATCACTTGGTGCGTCGCGTCGCAGATCCACGCGCCCTTTGGTATGATGGACACCTCGTTGTCAATGACCGAGACGTGGTAGGCGAGCTTGTGCTCCTCCCGGAACTCTTCCGGCGGGATGGGCTCGCCGTTCTCGTCGGTCTTGGGCGGCGGCGGCTCGTAGCCCTCGGGTCGCACGATCTCGTAGGGGGTCGCGGGATCGCCGGTAAACGGCGTGTTCATCAACGTCTTCGCGTGGGCCGCGTAGTCATCATCTAAAACTTTCATGACCTTCAACTCGTGGGCTTCCGACGTCGTCGTCCAGAAGAAGGTCTTCTTGGGAAACGGGTACTCCGGACTATACCCGACGGCAATCAAATAACTATCAGTAGTACCCGTGATCTTGCCCCAGAACTCGAGCTTCGGGAGGTTGTTCTTCAGGGCCCCATCGAGCAACGCCGTCTCCAGCCCGGCGTCCTCCTGGATGTTGAGACACAGGCCGCCGGGGCCCCACAACTTCGGGTTCTCCATTTTTGCGCTGCGGTCGCGGTGCGAGGCTGCCCGACGGCGTCTGCGAGCACGCAACGACGGCGCAGAGGGCCACACAACCACACAAGCCGAGGCAGCCCTCGAAATCGGCGGCGGGCACAGACGCTGCGCGTTATGCTAATGTTTCCCCTAGTGGCGGGCGAAAATGGACGAGTCCGACGCTTCCCCGGTCGCGCCCACCCTCTCCCGCGCCGAGGCACTCCGTCGGGCAGCCCTTCCGGCCTAAAATCGCAAAACGGGTTCAGACTGGGCAAAATCGAAGAGCGTGCAGCAAAAACGCCTTACGTGTGCTCCGGAGAGCGCTATCGACGCCAGGTAGTCGCATCCGTGCCCCGGAGACACACCTGCGCCGCGTCGCACCCGTTTGCGCCTCAGCAGACACAAACTAGGCTGTGCCTGTGTTTGGGCGCCGCGCCGTCTCGCGGCGCACTGAGCACGATTGGCGCCGCGGAGAGCGAAACGCTCCTCGCTGGTAAGCAGCCCAAACCGACCGACGGCAAGGTCGCCGGTTGGTTACGCGTTGTGGTGCTGGCGAGCGTCGTCTCGACGGCGTTCTTGCTAGGGTTCCTCGCCACAGTTGCCACAAAAAAGACGATGGGCGACCACGGCTGCGTCGGCCATGGCGGCTACAGCTGGTGCGAGGCGCTCAACGAATGTGTGAGACCGTGGGAGACTGATTGTCCGGACACGCTCGAGATCGACGCCCCCACGCCGACGCACAATGTCACGAGTGTCCCCACAACGGTACCAATCCCCGAAACGCATCATGACAAGGACGAGGAACCGCCCGTCGGGACGTACGACGGCGCGATCGTGATCGCGTTACTCTGCACGATCATAGCCGTCGGGCTCTCATTACATCTCATCAGAGGACACTTAAGAAATTATGTGAAGCCCCAGCGCCAGCGGTATGTGATTAGGATCGTCTGGATGGTTCCGATATATGCGATCAACTCTTTTTTATCGCTGTGTTTCATACAATACGCGCCCATCTTCGACGTGCCTCGCGATGTCTACGAGTCGTACGTCCTCTACAACTTCGTGGCGTTGCTTATTGATTACATGGGCGGCGAAAACGAGGCCAAGGCGTTCTTCGCGGCGCAGCCTCCACAAAAGCACTGGTGGCCTTTTCATTGGTTGGGTGATCATGACATGTCCGTGTTCCTGGAGACGACGCGGTTGTGTGTCCTGCAGTATTCCATCGTGCGACCGGTCACGGCGTTCACGACACTGTTCCTCTATTTCAGTGGAGACTGGGACGACACGGACTGGCATGCCACCGCGGCGAATCTCTGGATCATGCTCGTAAACAACGCTTCCGTTACGTTGGCGCTGTACTACCTGGTCTACTTTTATCACGCGACGTTGCCTTGTGAGCCCTTGCAACGGGCCAAACCTCTCTTAAAGTTTATAGCGGTCAAGCTCATCGTCTTCTTCTGCTTCTGGCAGTCCATGGTCATCTCGTTACTTGTATCCTTTGGGGTCGTCACGCGGCGCTTCGCCCATCAATCGCCCGACCGGACCACGACCGGTCTCAATGATTTCGTCATATGCGTCGAGATGGCCTTCTTCGCGTTATTGCATGAATGCGTGTTTAGTTGGAGAGAACACACGAGGCGCGACGACGGCATCGGGACGACGCCACTACAGAGAGCTCTAACCTACGACCAGGCTTTTAGGGATATGTTCTTCGTGGGAGACGTCACGGCCGATCTAGGCAGAATCATCTGCGAGGCGCCCACGGTCTGCTGGAGAGGCGGCAAGCGCGTCCGCCAAGCGCAGCGCGAGCGGGAGGCGCGCCGGCAGCAGCAGATGCGGCACAAGATGGAGCTCCCTCCCCACGAAGAGGAGAAGCAAGCGGCGACGCCGCAGCTATCGCGGGAGCCCTCGCTGCCGGTAGATGACCTCGCGGACGTGCCGCTCGACCGGCCCGACGACCCGAATTGGGGCTGGAGCGAGGGAGAGAAGGGGACCTTTGTGTAAGACTATGTCGCTATTACTCGCCCGAGTTCCTGGAGCTCGCGGACTTGCCTCGTCGCATCCACTATTCGCTGCTCGATGTTGAGCCGCCGCGAATGGAGCTCCGCGATATCTGGCGACGCTGTTGCGGGCCGCCGCCGTTCCCGGATTGAAGAAGGCCGCTCGACGCCGGCGAGCGTCGACAACAGTTCCAAAGTTTGGTCGGCGGTCAGCTCCGTGCGCACCGGCCGCGCGGGCGCGACCTCGTCATCCGGAAAGTCGCACGCCTGGCAGGCGTGGTGCGCGCAGAAGCGCTCGCCCTTGCGGAGCGGCGCCGCTGCTGGATTGCGCGTGCAGCTCGTGACGAGGCACCGCGTCCCTTTCAGAGTCAGGCCCTTGCACCGGCGTCCCACTTGTCGTGTTGTATGTAACGGTTTCGCGGGTAGTGTGCGTAACACCTCGCGGTAGCGGCGCTCGTCGTCGTCGTCATTGTCATTGGAGTAGTGGCCTTCCCGTCTTCGTCGTCTCCTTACTTTCCGCCACGCCGCGGCGGCGGCGTCCGCGGGCAGGCGGCCGTTCGCGTCGGGCCGCCGCGCCTCGGCGCCGTGCTGGCGCAGCGCGCGCACGCAGTCGAGGGAGCCAGCGCGGCACGCAGCGTGGAGGGGACTACCGTTGTTCGGATCCGCTTTCAACGAAAGGAGCGCGCGCGTGCGGTCGACGTCGCCGTCGGAAGCGGCTCGGGCGAGCGCGCCGCAGTCTACGTCGGCGCCGCGCTCGCTGAGGGCTTGGATCGAGGGTACATTGGTTTCATCCAGCAGCTGCTCAGTCAAAGCAGCCCGTTCCTCGTGCGTGGGATTTCGTCGTCGTCGTATGAGCTCAACGCATGGAGCAAACATCGTTTCACACTCTTGGGCTGCTGTACGAGGGTTACTTGCCTTCAGAGTTCGGCACACTCGTTAGCATCGGCAGTTTTCGAGGCGCCAGCGCGCCGCTATGCCTCGACGCCGTCCGCACGTTGTGGCTTCGTTTGTAGTTTTGAGAGCCATAGGAAGAACTACCGGGCCGAGGGCAGCCCTCCGCAGACCGGGAGGCCCGGCCGCCGACCGTGACGTCGGGACGCGAATGACAACAACTACCTTTTCTTACGTTTCTTCTTTGGCGCTCGCTTCGAAGCCGGCGCAGACGCGCCACCGCCCGCCGCGCGGAGCGCCTTGTTCGTCGCCCGCGTCGGCGCGGCGGCCATCGGATCTTCGGGCCACGGGTGCTTCGGGTACCGCCCTCTCTGCTCCGCGCGCACCGAGGGATAGACCTCCTTCCAGAAAAACGCGAGGTCCCGCGTCTCGCCAAGGAGCTTTCCCGCCGGTGACAGCAGCCGCAGCGCGACGGGCGTGCCCGCCGCGACTGTCGGACTCGTAGTTTGCCCGAAGAACTGCTGGAGCTTGGCCTCGGCGCACGGGCCCGTGGCATCGTACGTCACGCGGATTCGCGTGCCGTCGGGCGCCTCGATGCGCTCGGGGCAGAGCGCGTCGATGTCGACGCCCGCGGCTGCGAGCGCGTCTTTCAGGACCGCCGCGAGGTCGATTTTGAGATTGAGTGAGGTGTACAAGTACGGCAGGACCGCCTCCTCGAGGATTTCCTCGTCGCCGCGTTCCAGCGCGTCGAAGATCGGAGGGAGCGACGCCCCCGAGAGCTCTGCCCGTCGCAGTAACGAATCGACGTCTCCTTTGAGTGCTTTTCTCACTCCGCCGAGGTCGCGAATGGTCTCCAGAAGAAGTTCCACCGTCTCTTCGGGCGCCGGCTGCGGGGCAGTCGCCGACTCCAGCTCGATGGCACCAATAGCCGTGACGTCGCGGGCCCGCACCGCGTAGCCCTGGGACGGCACAGCAAAGATCTTCCGAGACGACGCCGCGTACGGCTCGAGCTCCTCCCTGTCGATCGTTGCGTAGGCGTAGATTCGGCACTGACCGTCGTCGCCGGTGCCCGCGTCCGCGACCACAATAAAATCGGGACCGTCGGCGGCGTCGAGCCGCGCAGTCTTGCCGTTTGCTAGGAGATAGACCGTGCCGCCGTAGGACGCGTCTCCGCGCCGCTGGGCGATGAGATCGCGGAAGCCGACGGCCAGCGCCGCGCCCAGCGCGTCGCCGGGGCCATCAACGTCTTTGCCCAAACGTTTCGCGAGCCGTGAAACTGCTCGCGGGTCCAACGGGCGCTTAGCGAGGTCGAAGTCGCCTCCCTTCGCAGTGTCCTCGTCCAGGAGCGCGGCGACGCGCAGGGCCGAGGGCAGGTCGGTGGCTTTGGCGACGATCGCTGCTAGGCGGGGCTCGAGAGGCATGTCCGCGATGGTTTGTCCGAAGGCGGTCAAAGTGGCGCCACCGGCGACCGCTCCGAGCGACGCGAGCGCGTCCAGCCCGCGCTCGAGCCTTTCTACTGGAGGCGCGTCGATGAACGGGAGGCCTAGCATCTCGTCGACGCTTTGGCAGCCCCACGCCGAAAGGACCAACACGACGGACGCGAGGTCCGCAGAAATAATTTCCGGCGCGCTAAATTCACTGAGCGATTCGAACTCGGCCTCGGGAAAGATCCGGAGGCACAATCCCGGGGCCGTGCGGCCCGCGCGGCCCGTCCGTTGGTCCGCGCTCGCTCTTGACACGACTTTCGTCGTGAGCCGCCGCAGGCCCGTGTCTTCGTCGATCGTCGCGACGCGCCGCAATCCAGAGTCGACCACAGCTGTGACGCCGTCGAGCGTGAGCGACGCCTCGGCGATCGGAGATGCCACTACAACGCGCCGGCCGCGGCGACGGCCGTGGACGACCGCATCCTGCGCCTCGGCCGGCATCGCGCCGTAGAGCGTTTCTATACTGACGTCGGTCCTTTCCCGCAAGGCCGACGCGACGCGGCGAATTTCTCGCGCTCCCGGTAGGAATACGAGGACGTCGCCATCATCAGGTGCATCTCGTAGCGCCTTCTCGGTGGCCTCGACGACGGCGTCCTCGAGCGCGCCCCTTCGGCTGAGCAATGCCGCGAGCCGCGGGGCACCCCGCGGCGGGTAGGTGACATCGACCGGGTAGGCGCGTCCCGATGACTTGACGATCGTTGCGTCGGCCGCGACCGTGCCGTCTCCAAGAAGTGTCGCGGACATAACCTGCGCACGGACGAGTGAGCTTCGCAATACCACGAGTTGTGGGATCTCCGGACACAGCGTCCGCACGCACAGCCGTAGTTCGGGCCGCAGCACGGCCTGCGCTTCCCGGCACAAAGCAAGTGCCACGTCAGAGTTGACTCCCCGCTCGTGGAACTCGTCGAAGATCACTATGCTGCATTTTGCAAGCGACGGATCCTCCCGGCACATCGCTAAAAGCACGCCGTCGGTGACGACGAGCACCCTCGTCCGCTCGGAGCTCCTCGCGTCGCCGCGCATCGCGTAGCCAACCAGCCCACCGACGTCGTCCCCGAGCGACTGCGCCATGCGCCTCGCCGCGGCACGCGCTGCTACTCGTCTCGGCTCGACCACGACCACGAGGCCCTCTGACACCGTCGCGGCCGCCGCGAGCGGCACCGTCGTGGTTTTGCCGGCGCCCGGCGGCGCTTCTAGGAACACGTAGGCGCCCTCAGACGAGAGTGCCGCGCGAATGTCTGGCATCACGTCCACGATCGGCAGCGTTGTGCTCTCGAGCACGTCGTCGAAAGGCGTCGCTCGCGGCCTCACAACCGACGGAGGCACGCGCCGCGGTGCGAACGCTCTCGAGAGTGCCGAGACTGCCAGCAGTGTTAGCGCATTCCACATGTCGCAGCACTGCACAGCGCTCTCAGCACGCTACTCTACCGAACAAATGAATGCATACTTACAACTATTCTTGCAAGAGCAGCCAGCAATCGCGCGTATGCGCAGCTGCAGGCCGCTAGCGAAACGCGGAGCTGTACCTGCAACCAATCCCCAATTCAGACCAATTATTACCCCTTCCAACCATTCTTCTTCGCCACCTCGAAGCGGTTGTTCCAGTCCTTGCAGACGTACTTGTCCTGGCACGGGTTGCCGAAGAGGCACGAGCAGCCCTCCGTCTTCCGCTCGCCCAGGGGCAGACCGACGTCGTTCGGGTTGTCGTTCAGGACGAGGGGCCCGTCCCGCGTCTCCACACCTAAACCAGCCGCGACGTCCTCGTCGACCTCGAGCGTGTACTTGCCCTCGAAATCACTCGATAAACCCAACCAATAGTCCTCGTCCAAAGCAGCGTCGGGGTCCCCGAAGTCGTCGACGCCCTTCTTGCCTTTGGCCAAGACGAGCAGAGGCGCCTGCTCCGAATTCGCAGTAGTGACGCCCGTTGGATAAGCTCTGATACGCTTCGCAAAATCACCTTTAAAGATGAACGAGATGGCGTACTCCTCGTCGATCGCCGGCCACCTTACCACACCGTTGCGGCACGGAAAGGCCGTCTTGTAGTGCGAGTACGTGACGACGATATCTGCAGAAGTGACCTCGTGGGGGCAGTCGTCGGCCCAGACGGCGCGCGCGTAGCCCAAAGGATCTGTTGATGGATCCGGTAATGGCGGCGGCCCTGTAGGCTCGGGCGTCGGCACGCGCTCTTCTTGCACGACGGGCTCGTCCGGCGGTGGTGCCGTCGCGTCCGTACCCTCGGCGACCGTCACTACTTTCGCTCCTTCATCAGTCAACTCCTTGGTGGAGGACGCGGCTTTTGCTTTTTTCTTGAGCTTGGCGGCGACGCTCTTCGCCGCCTTCTTCTTGGCCTTGGGGTCTGATGCTGACTTCGCGACGCCGGCCAGTGATGCGGTCTTCTTTTTTTTGGGTGGCATGGGCTGGCCCTCACCGGACGACGACTGCCCGAACGCCGGCGCGGCGGCTTGCTTGTTTGACGGAGTTTCACGAAAACGCTGCCCCGCCGCGAGATATGGCGTGCTGGGCCCTCGGGCAGCCGCAGAGCACGCTGCACAGCGCGGAGAGCTGGAGCATAGTTTAAGTGCGGGTCTCGAGGGTTGGTCCGTGAACGGTCCGAAGACTAGCAAGGGACGGCTGGAGCGAGCCGGATACCCTCTCCATTTGAACGCGAAACCCGGCGGGCACAGACTCTCGAGTTTGGAGCCGCGCGCCGCCAAACGCGTAAACGCACGCGCGCCGTCGTGAGGCTGCGTGAGGCTGCCCGGCGCAAGCAGCGGACGCCTCGTACCAGGCAGACGACCAGTCGCCGCGAACCGAGTGAACAAAAAGGGCAGCCATGAGTGGGAGCGGCGTCTACACCCTCGCGCCGACGGGCGAGCGCATCTACGAGGGCCAGTCGGCCTTTGGCGCGACCCCGGACATCGACGATCCGGACTTCGAGGTCAAGCAGCCCGGCCACAGTACGAAAAAGAAGGACGGCGAGCCCCCTACCATATTTGACATGTTGTTACAAAGACAAAAAGAAACGATACGACCTTTAGAATCGTATTCGTTGTTCGTCGGGCCGAAGGGAGGCGGGAAATCGTCGTTGTTGGCCTTGCTGCAGCCTGCGGGTACGGTCCGAGACACGCCCAAGCCGACTGTAGCTCTGGAGTACGTCTTTGCTCGACGGTCGAAGAACACGTCCACGTTGAAAGACGTGGCCCACATCTGGGAGCTGGGTGGCGGCATGAAGGGCGACGGGGTGGCCGAGTTGGTCGGTGTTCCGATTACGACCGCGAGACTACCTACCGCAGTACTCGCAATAGTGTTGGATCTCTCGAAACCACAAAATGTGATACCGGCCTGTCTGCACTGGCTCACGATGCTCAGAACTCATGTACAGTCAAGATTAGATGATCTACGGACCTCGGGAAGTTCAGATCTGTGTGGAAATCAACCAGTGTGTCGGGTGCACCCGACAATTCTTCACTAAGCCATTTCTCGGCGACGACGCGGCCGCGCTGGCTCCGTCGAGCGGTGGGGAACCGGCATCGCCACGCCATCGAGCAGGCGACGCGTCGATGGCGTGGAGGACGACGCGATGATTCAGCACGACCGCGCCGTAAAATTTTGATTTCCACACAGGTTCAGATGCAGCCAGTGAAATGGAGGACAAGGCTAAAGAGTCGTTCCAGACGATCTGGCGGAAGAAGCACAAGAAGGAGGACCACCCCGACCGGCGGAACGTGGATGCGTGCGCGGTGCCGCTCATGATCGTCGCGAACAAGTGGGATAGCATCAAGGACGAAAATAATCCACTGGCTCGAGATAGGTTAGGGTTGAAGGCCCTGTGCCAGGTTCTAAGGTTCTTGGCTCATCAACATGGTGCTTCGCTAGTATTCACCTCATCAAAGGACAAGGCGCTGAACAAGCAGTTCCGGTCATTACTATCTTTTACGTTGTTCCACAAGCTCGATAAAGCCATGCGGACCGAAAAGTCCCCGGATAAAGCTATCTATGTGCCTCGAGGCGCGGATACCTTTGATGAACTATTAGCGGCGGGGCCGGTGGCTCTCGACGGCATAAACCAGTGCATAAATCAAATTGTCGCGGCTCCACGCCATCGACGCGACGCCTGCTCGATAGCCTGGCGGTGCCGGTTTCCCACCGCTCGACGGAGCACCCGCCTCACTGGTTGATTTGTGCACAGGCATGAACCGGCGCGGACGCGTGAACGACCGCGACGTCCAGGAGACGTTGATCAAAGCTTTAGCGGAGTTCTTCGGCGAGGCCGATGCGGATGCGGCGCCGAAACCCATGGAGGAGGATCCCGACGCCCTGGAGACGGAGCAGGCCCGACTGAAAGAGGAGGCCGATGAGTTCGCGGAGCCGGTTGTTGATGAGGCATATAAACTTAAGATGGAGGCCCTGGAAAAATACAGGCAAGAACAGTTAAGAAAAGAGAAGGAGAACGCCTTGGCCGAGAAGCGGCGGGAGAAGCGGCGGCGCGAGGAGGCGAAAGCCAAGGCCGAGCGGCTGGCGAAGCTCGAGGCGGAGCAAGCTGAGAGAAGGGCCGCTAGAAAAGCTAAAAGGGAGGCCGAGCAGGCCGAGGCTTTGAAAAGAGCGCAGGAGGAAGCGCTTAAAGGACCGCCGAAGGAGGCCGAGGCGAAGGCCCCGGAGCCGTCCGCGCGGGAAGCCAAACGCGGCGCGAAGGAGGCGAAGCGAGGGGCGAAGCAGTCGGCGAAGGCGTCGTCGTCCTGAGTAATATTCAAGAAAGTACACTACATGTATATGGGGTTGGCCACAAGGGAGGGTGTGGCCAAAAACGGAGACGTTGACGCGATGACGCGGCTCCTGGGCGGGGGGAGGTACCGACAGAGGAGGGAGGATGCGGAAGTGAGACCTCAGGAGAGCGTGTAGTCGTCGTCCCCGGGCACTTCGACGGGCTGCACCCGCGTCTCGAGGTCGTTCGCCAGCGGCGGCAGCTCGAGCGTGGGGGGCGGTCGCGCCCGCCGGAGCGGCGCGGTGGACCCCATCGGCGACGGCACGGAGTCCGCGCGCGGGCGCCCCGATTCCAGGTCGTCCTGCGGCGCCGGCCCGGTCTCGTCGCCGAAGGGCTTCCGGCAAATAGGGCACGTGATCTGCGCGTCGCCCTCGAGGCGCGTGGCCCACCACGTCTTGAGGCATGCGTCGTGGAACGCGTGCGCGCACGGTAACACTACGGGCCCGTCGTCCGCCGTGAAGCCCGCGAGGCACACGGCGCACTCGGCGTTCGCGTAGAGGTCGTGCGTCCGCGCGGAGAAGTCCATGTCGTCGAGCGGCACCGCTACTTCCTGGACCGCGGCGGCCGCCTCGCGTTTTGGCGCCTCACTCTTCTCGAGCTCGGCGTTTTCGGCGACGCGGACCAAATGACGGTAGTATAAGACCGTCGCGAGCGTTAAAGCAAACAATAGAATCAACACCCAGTAGGCGCCGCAGAGGAAGTTCTCACCGCCGTGCGAGTTGTCCGAGTCGTGCGGGTCCGTTGCGTTTTGCGCGGTTGGCGAGGGCATGAACCCGGGGCCAGTGTCAGCCTGGCACGTGTCGGGCGCGTCGCAGTTGTCGAAGGCGAGAACGTCCGGCGGTAGCGTCGTCCGGCACGCCGTTCCCGCCGGGCAGTCGCCGCGGCGATCGACCATCGGCTTCGAGCCGTCCTCGCAGAAGCGGTAGCAGACGTCGTTGACGGCGAGAGGCTCGGCCTCCGCCACCGCGGCGGCGACCAAGAGTGGTAGCAGGCGCATTTTTAAATTGGCCGTGAATGATGCTCTGGACGAATCTCCGACTTCGCTCGACTCACGTCGGCGGCCGTGTGGGTGACTGGCCGGGCTCGCGCCGGGCGAGCTTTGGCAGAGGCGGCGGTGTCAGCTCTTCCTCTCGACAGGCGAGAGACGCGGGCCGCGCGGCGGGCTGTCGCCAAGGTTCTTTTGGCTCAGCTTTTTCAAGCTCGCTCTCAGTGACACGCCAATTTCACGAACGCGGCCGCGTCGATGCGTGAACGCGGCGCTAAATAACAAACGACGCGAGAGTACAGGGCGCGACGGGGCCCGATTCAAGATAGTACGAGCACAATCCTGAGCTTTTGGCCTGCTCGTTTGGATGCCTCAAAACCTGCAACGTAGCGCGGCGACGCGTCTGTTGGATGGCGCACTCGTAATCGACCGCACGCACGCTTCGGAGAAAGGAAAACAAATTACACAACACGACGACGAGCGACGACAAAAACGTGACTAGCAGATCCGCCCCAGGTACTCGGCCCGCGGGTACCGCCGCACGAGCTCGGGCCAGTGCACGACGAAGCGGTGCGCCACCCAATACATGATGCGGCCCGTGAGCGAGAGCGACTCCACGCGGCACCACGACTCGACGAAGATGACACGAGCGCCAGACAAACGTCCCAAAACGGCCACGGGCACGCAGGTCCCGGGGCCGTTGACCAAGACTAAATCTGGTGATGCCGTCCAGATCAGGTGGACGCACGCGAAGAGCGCTCGCAGCGTCGAGGGCACCGAGCTCCCAAAGCTCTGGCCGACCTCGCGCGCGCGCGGGATCGCGGCCCAGCGCGCCGTCGCGAGCGCTTCTCGCGGCAGCTCGCGCTCGGCCTTGGCTCTACTTGTTGTGTCCGTGGCCGCCGTGACGAGTGTGAGCGGGCCGTACCTGTCAAAGTCGAAGTCCGTGATGAGTCGCAGCATCTCTGCCGTGTGGCCGCCGCTGCCGAGGACGACTAGTGTTTTTATCTTTTTTTGGGAGTCGCGCTTTCGTCGCCGTCGCAGCAGCAGCGCGAGCAGCACCACTGCCCCTGCCGCAATGGCAGTGTACAGCATCGTCTAGCGTCGCAGCGATGGAAGCGATGTATCAGACAAAGACCAGAGGTCACTATAAAAAATTTCAGGTAGTTCTATGGCAACTATGGCAGCTCTATGCCCAGACGGGCGGGCGGCCTTGGAGCCCAGGCTGCTTGCTAGTGTCTTACTGGCGCTAGCTTGCGCGATCTGCGACGACGGCGTGGGGACGGCATAAACGTCACGCCTCCCGGTAAATGCGGAAGAGTGGACCGCACCGGGAGAAGCCAGCGCCGCGACGCGGCGACGACGCGGGGTGCGAATTGCATTTGAGAAAATAATGAGGGCAGGTCGTCGACGGACGACGGGACGCTCCCACGCCGTACCCACCGCAGGCATGGGTCCCCGCGCGTCGGTTATTTCGTACGGGTGCATGCCGGAGAGCGTCGGCGCTAATCTCCAAGGCGGCCAATTGCTGCCTTGGGTCGGCCAAACGCATCGGTACGCCCACCGAATCACATGTCGTGCACCACTGCTGCCGCGGCGCTCCGGCGTAGCGCGGTCGACCTCCAGCAGGCGTCTACACACGGGCGAGGTGAGGGGCAGCCTCCCACCATCAAGGGCGCCAGCCGCGTCACCTTCAATCCATCAACGACGAGCCGGGGCACGGTCGTCGGCGCGGATTTGGACGATGGCATAAGGGAGAGCGGCATCCCCGACAAGGTGCGCATGCCGCGGCGGTACGTCAAGGCGGCACAGGCAGCTCATAGAAGAGTGCAGACGAGAGCTGTGGACTCGGAGGCCGTGAGGCACTTCATCGAGCAGACGGATTTGGACTATCCTAGAGATGGCCAGGTCGACGCGCATGATATTGCTATATTTGCCCGAAAAATGAGTGTGAGACCGCCTCCCGAAGGCTGGGAGCAGCGGTGTGAATTGATGGTCCAGGAGTGCTTACAGCGAACGGGTTACGGGAACAAGGGCATGCCGAACACCGCACCACCGGTCATTTCTGCCGCGGACATCGTCGCGGCGTGTCGAACGCGGACGGACCCCTGCTCCAAAGAAGTCACGGCGCGGCCCTTCCGGGACGACTGGATTTCCTTGGTGAAGGCTGCTAATGATGGGAGAGTGTTCCTACCACCAAGCTGTGCGGACGTGTGCCACGCGCCGCCCTTGTTGACTGATAGGGAACGACGCGTCGTGGAATCAAAGATCCCGAAGACGGCCACTATTTTACGAGGGCGACGCACAACACGTGATATGAGAGGCAACGGCGGCGCCTCCATCAAGAACGACGCCTTTGCGTCACTCTTTGCCGGTGTCACGGACGCGACGAAGCCGCCACTGAAACCGCGACCGCCCATTTCTGGTATGCGGACGCGCGCCGACGGCTTGTTGAACGATTCCATTGCGGAAACGGACCCGAACTACAAAGCGGCGAAACTTATATCAGATATGACGTCCGCGAAACAAGTCGCCGCGCCCTCGGAGGGCGCGGCGCCGGCCTCCTTCGCCGGACCCGTACAATTGCGGCGTCCTTTTTCACCTCACGCCGCCGCCGCGACGTCACGAGTCATCACGCAGGCCCCCGCGCCGCTCGCGTCGCCGTCGATCACGTTCGCCGCGCGCCGGTCCTACGAGGGCCTGAAACAACAGATCATCAAGGGAGCTTCCGAATATCACGCCTCTCCTAAAAAAGAGAAGCAGTCGGTCGATGCCCGGCCGGCATCCTTAGGACCAGGAGAACCTTATGTGGAAAATGGCACGTGGACGCAGCCGCGCTGGAACTCGTCGCGAATCTACCACGACCGCATGGCCTTCCCGCCCATGTTCCACGAGAAGGAGCCCGAGCACGTCGCTGTTCGCGTGAAACCTGGTCTTGATGATTCCACGGTAGTGACGCAGCCTTCTTTTGTGGTACCGCCGCGAGCCGGCAAGACGAAATTCGAGCACAACCTGTACATGAGTTCATTAGAAGCGCGACGAACCTTCCTCGGCAAGGCGGTCCAAGCCTTCTATGAATTGGATGAAGTACCGGCGTACAAGCATACGTATCGCGCGTCGGACCCGGTCGGCTGGGATCGGCGCTCTAGGTTAGTCCAGGCCCAGCGCGAGAAGGAATTGAAGGTGCCCTTTTCGACGCTCATGACGCGCAAGCCCAAACAAAGGACGGCATCAGTCATGGGCGAACCTGATATCAACTACGAGTCGGTCATGAACTCGGGCAGTCTGCAGTACGCGCGGCTCGCCGTGCACCCGATGCTGGACCCGGACGACCCCGCGTGCCGGGCGTTCTAATATTACGTGCTTTTATTCTTACTCGTGGGCATCGCGTCGATGGCGTCCGGGCTGGCCCGCGTCGACGCCGGACGTCGTCGGCGCGGCTCCACCATGCCGGTACCTTTCCCTGTCGTCCGGAGAGTCTCCCGAGCGATCGCCTATGGGTTCGTCCGCGGAGCAAAAATCTCAGAGCTTGCTCTCCCCCCACAAAACAAGCCAAAACTGCTCGAATAGAGCCGCTACAAATCTCACGCCTCGTATACACAAAGTTCTCTCCATCGACTGACCATGACTCTGAAAACGCTCACGATCGCGCTAGTCTGCGGCACGGCCCAGGCAGGTTACAGCATTAGCAGCATGCTCACAACGCGCCGCAAGAAGACCCCGGGATCCGGGGGCTCGGCGGACGGGCCGTCTGACGAAATCGAAGCGCTAGCCGGCGAGAGTTTTGACTGGCTCGCGAACCTCGGCGCACCGGCCGCGCTCGTCGCGGGCGCGATCATGGCCACGCTTGTGGAGCAAGGCGATTTTTTGAGAACCACAAGCCGCGACACTAAAACATGGGCGCGCTACATGAAGCGGTCGGCCCACGTGCTGTTGATCACCGCGTTGGCGATGTCGCTCTTCTCGATCTTCGGAACCACTGTCACGGGCACGATGTTAAAAGGACTCGGCGATGGGCACAAGACGGACTGGGTCGAGACGACGTCGCCCATGGCCTTCATGCATCAAAATCTGCCGTTCGAGTTCCTCATCTGTAGATTTTGTTTCCTCCAGGGTCTGTTAAATTGGATGCTGGGCCTCGCGCTCATGTACATCGGGAACGCGCCCGCGGCGGGCGGCAAGGCGTCGACGAAGATATATTTTTTCTTCGGCTTCCTCCTGCTGTCGGTCGTGATGCTCATGGTCGCGTTTTTGAACAAGCACATGAGCTTCTATGCGAATTACATGGGCATGGTCGCGCACTTCGCGGAGGTCTTCGTTGGAGGATGACGGTAATTTCACACAGTCGGCGCTCCGGCGGCGCTCGTCGCCGGCGCCGTCATCGCGACGATGATCGATCAAGCGGACTTCTTGAAGACCACGAAAAAGGACACGAAGCTCTGGGCGCGTTTCACCAAGCGCGCCGCTCATATCCTGCTCATCTCGGCCTTCGCCCTCAGCGTGTTCTCGATATTCGCGACGACGGTTACTGGCACAATGCTCAAATCCCTGGGCGACCGCGACATCGCTGAGGAGTACGAGGAGACCATATCGCCGATGGGCTTTCTCCATAAAAATCTCCCGTTCGAGTTCTTGATCTCCCGCTTCTCGTTCCTGCAGGGTCTACTACACTGGATCGCGGGCGTGGCTCTGATGTATATCGGCAATGCCCCGGCCGCTGGCGGCAAGGCCTCGACGAAGATGTTCTACTTCATCGGGACTTCGCTCATGAGCGCGTTGTTGCTCATGATCGCATTCCTCAACAAGCACATGAACTTCTACGCGTCGTACCTGCATATGATAGCCGACTTCCACCTGCAGTTCTTCCAGCAGTATTTCTTGTGCCGCCCGTGAGGAAATCAATCCGCGGATCGACCGTGTCAGCCCCCCACGCCATCGACGCGATTTCCACTCAGGTGCACGCCCGTCCGTCCGATGGCGTGGCTCGCGGCGGCGGTCTTTACGCTCTCGTGCAAGTACTTCTATGAGGCTATAATGGCCGAGGACGATGATGAAGACCACGGGAAGCGCGAGTGAGTAGGTATCTAAGATCGACCTAGCGGCGTAAGACACTAGCAAAGCGGCAGCCGAGCTCGCGACGCGAAAGCGTCCGTACGGCCGCTAGCCAACGGCTCAAGCTAGCAAACAGCTCAGGGCGAGCATCAGTCACTCCTAAGACTGCACCCTCATCACCTAGTCCGCTCGCACAGCAGAGCGAGCTAGCACCAGGCCCAACCCTCAGCCAAGTCGCCAAGCGCCGCGCGACCCCGGGACGCCGCCGCCGCGCTCTAAAGACCTCCGCAAAGTCGCCAAGCGCCGCGCCCAAAGAGCGCCGCGCCCAAAGATATGGCCGACATCAAGGACATCTTCGGCGAGTCGGACTCCGAGGACGACGACGCCCAGCAGCAGGCGCCCGTCGACGTCGGCAAGTTGTTCGAGCTGAGCGAAGATGAAGAGGAAGCCCCGATCCAGCGGAAGCGTCCAGCGGGGCGCCTCCAAAAGAACGCCGCCGCCGCACCAAAACAAAAGAAGAAAGATGAGGGCGGCGCCTACGACGACGAGGACGACGGCGTCATGGACGACGCGGACCGCGCCTTCATCGACAACACGGACGAGACGGACGAGAACAAGGCTATCCTCGCGGAGTACGCGAAGGAGAAGCAGAACTTTGCCGGGGATAGACCCGGTGCAGGGGACGACTTCGAGGCCGACGAGAAGAAGAAGCCTAGTCGCGCGGACGACGAGAACAATCCGATGAAGCCGACGCTCGATCGCATGAAGCGGAAGAAGCGGAAGGAGCTGGGTGCCGACGATAAAGATAAAATTGTCCAGTCGCTCTTGCAGCGCATGGGCGACGCTCTAAATGAGGATAAGGAGGCATTGAATCGCGGCGAGCCGGCGACCGCGAAGGTGAAGCTGCTGCCGTTAGTTGGTCGCTTATTTAAACAACGAGCTCTAAGGCAGACGTTATTAGAGTACGACGCGTTGGATCTGGTGAGGGAGTGGCTCACGCCGAACAAGGGCGTCCAGCCGATGCTCGCTATACGTACAGCATTGCTCGAAGCCATGAGCGAATTACCAGCGCAACCGGAACACTTGAAGAGATCTGGAATAGGCCGCATCGTGATGAAGATGGCCAACAACAAGCAAGAAACGAGAGATAATCGGACGATGGCGCGGAATCTCGTGGAGGCGTGGGCGAGACCAGTGGTCGGCAAAGTGGGCGACATGAAGTCCCTGGAAGCGATGACGGCGCGGCGGGCGCCCGTCGACAGCCAAGCGGCGCGCGTCGACCACAATCAGGATGACGCGGGCGAGATCTTTGAAAGGGAGGGCGAGGAGTCGAAGAACCGCGCGCGCGTGCGCGTGCCCCAGTTCAACGGCTTCGCCTTCACGGTGCGGCCGGCGTCGACGGCGGATCCAGCCAGAAGCAAGGGCAAGCGCGCGCCCAAGGCCGACTCGGCGCAGGGCCGGCTGCACAAGCGGACGAAGAAGCGATGAGTTGTTTTTGGGCTCCTTCTTTACTAACATGCATACTTTACAATCCCCTAGGGTTTGGCCTCGAGGGCTCCGACGCGGTCCGCGAGCGCGTCGTGAACCGCGTCGTCGGCCCGTGGGCGCTTGACCCAGCGGCCGTCTACGAGCTCCCATCCGGACACGTCGGCGCATTGGGCGCACAAATTGGCCAGGCCCTTAGCCTCGCGCGCATCGCAGCATTTGTCGCAGATCGGGTCGTTGCAAATACTGCAGTTAGAGCCACAAAAATCGCAAAAATCCATATCACAAATAACGCATGTTTCAACAACCTGGCACCTCGGGCAATAATATTTTCCACATGCTTCACACCCCCATATTCGGGGGCAAATTCTGTCAATAGGGCCGAACTTGTGTGCTTCTTGAGAGCCGCAGGAATACAAGCCGCAGTCGTCGCATCGCCTAAGGTCATCTTCGCAGTCCAGGCAGAACGTCTCGGCGCAGAAGTCGCAGTAGCCGCGCTCGCTGACGGGGCAGCCCCCCGTTACTCGGCATGCGAAGTCGGATATGGGCGCGCAGGTCATCTTGTGTCCGTTCTCGCGCCAGTCCTTCTCCTGGCAAATCCCTGAGCAGTAGCGCCGCTTACCGCAGCCCGCGCACATCATGAATCTGGGTGCCGACGTCAGGTCCTGCCGCTCGCAGACGTCGCACTTTCGGCGTTCGACCCTTTGGTTTTGTCGTCTGTGCCGCTCATACGCGCGACCGGCGTCCTCCACCAGTTTTTTCACCCAGGAGTTTTTTGTTTCACGGTTCTCCCTAGCGAGATATTGGGCCATTATTTTTTTCACCTTATCCATTTCTTGTTTTGATTTAGTCACCTGTTCACTGTTGGCCCTTAGCTCCAGGATAAATCTGTATTGCTTGAGAAAAAGCGCACGTTCCTCGGACGGAACCCAACCAGCTGATTTGATCGTGTCCAGCATCTGCTGTTCGGGCGTGTGCACCAATATATCGTGAGCCAATCTTTGCATCAGGTTACCACGGTCTGCGTTGAGAGCGTATTGCGTGTGCGCCGCGACGGCCTTGGTGAACTCTAGAAAAACTGGGGAGTCTGCGAGCCTCAATGACGGACTGTCTGCGGATGCAATGACGGCCTTGTGGATCGCCTGAAAGAGGTCGGACTTTTCGAGTCCACTCCTGCTCGGATATTTTTCAACCTCGGCGGCGTCGGCGGGGGGCTCCGATGCATTCGATTCTTCGCGGTCTTCCAGTTCCACACTCTGGCACGAGGACTTGTGCCGTTTCCAGTCGGCCCGCTGGCACTCGGTGCTGCAGTACGCCTGCGCCATGCAGCGGCCGCACGTCTTCGACGCGTTGTCGCGACCGCAATTCGCGCAGACTGGCCGAAGATCGTCGGTGTCAGTGGGATCGAAGTCGCCTGAACCGTTGCCAAACAGCGTCATCGCTAAGCGTCGAGTCACGTCCGCCTCCGGCCGTCCCACATACGTCTTCCAGCACGCCCAGCTGAGCGCGCGCCGCACGACGCCGTGGTACGCCTGCTCGCACAAGCTACAATGGCTCCACCGCGACCACCTCTCACTAAACGCATTGGCGCCTAAATCCCTCTCCTCGGCATCCTCGATCAAAATCTTGGCCTGCTCCACCAGGCACGAGATGTGCACGACGCCAGTCGCCCCGGTAGGAACGCCACTAACGTACCGTTCACGATCACCACACGCGCATGCGCGCACGAGGCCTTCCTTCGTTCTCCAGTGGACGGCCTGCGTGCAGATGTAGCACGTCTGGCCCTTCACGTCCTCGGCGCACGTCTTCGCCGCGACCACTACGGCCTCCGTGTACTTCTTATTTGCGTCGTGTTGTTCTGGTTCGACATGAACCGCGGCCTCGAGGACGCAAGCGGGCTCGGCTCTGCGGCGCTCTGCGGCTGCGACCTCGGCCTCGGCCTCGGCCTCACGTTTTACGATCGCTATGCATGCCGCGCAGTCAAAGGCGCCCTTTCCGTGCGTACAGAGCTTCGGCTCCACGCAGGCCTTCACGCAGGCGACACACCGTCGAACGGCGCGCGCGGACCATTGTTTCTTCGAGAACATGCGCGCGTTCTCGGCCAGGCCGCAACCGGCGCTGCAGATCTTTGTGGGCTCCGAGGCGGCCGACGCGGCATCGTCTTGGAGGCGACAGTGGATGACTGTCCAGACCTCGGGGTCGATATCGGGCGACCTCTGCTGAAAAATGGCAAGCGCGCGGCGCGCTGCCTCCACCTCGGCTTGCTGCATCCTACTCCTCCACAGCGGGCTGCCCCTATCCTTATATCTGCGGAGTGCACCGCAACAACATCGATCTTCGACTTTTCTAGTGTCTTACATGCCGCTAGCACCATCGCGCGGCGCGCGTATGCAGCATCCGGGGTGCGCGGGAGCGCAGGAGCAGCACTGAATAACCCTATAAATACATAAGTAACAACGCCACAACCGCTTTTGCACGCCACGCCCGCGGGCCTGCAAAAAACCACAGGGCAGCGAGATGGCCACCGCGGAACTAAAAACATTACATGATGAACTAAACATGCTGCTGAAAACAGTACCGGGCAAGGCCGTCTCCGCGAGCAAGGTTCAAGCAGTAGCAAAAGCCTGCTTCCACGCCAGAGGAGAATACAAGCGAGCTGTCTACGCCGTCGAGCAGTTCATCAAGAAGGCGCCGGCCCACTGCCGCCTGGCGGGCGTCTACGCGATCGACGCGGTCTGTCGGAGGAGCAAGGCGCAGCTCAAGGACAAGGATCCGTTCGTCGCGCGCTTTGGGAAGGAGATCGGTGGTACGTTACAGTGCCTCGATGCGTCATCTTTGGAAGACAGGCAACGGCTCGTCAAAGTGGTCTGCGAGTGGACGAAGCAGAAGCTCTTTGACGTGGATTTCAATTCTCTCGCAGTGATCAAGCGGACGCGCGACGACAGCCGGGCAGCGCTGGAGCGCGCCGAGCAGAAGGCATCCCCTAGAGCGCGGTCGCCCTCGCCGGAGCCCCAGCCGCACCAAAAAGTGTCGCGCTTTTCGTCGCAGCCGCCGCCGCAACCGCCGCAGCAGTTCGGGGGGCCCTACGCCGGGCAAGGCCCGCCGCGGGGCTTCTCACCCCAGGGCATGCCGCCCCAGGGCTTTTCGAACGGACCGCCCCAGGGCTTCCCTCCCCAACAATTCCCGCCCCGCGGCATGCCTGGTCAGTGACTCAGTGTAGAAATTGTGACGTGGTCGCGTCGATGGCGTCAACGTCGTTCCACGCAGGCGGCATGCCGCCGCGGGGCTTCCCGCCCCAGCAGTTCCCGCCGCCGCAGTGGCAGCCGGGCGGCCCGCCGCAGATGCTCCAGCCCATCCCGGCGGCGCCGGCCGGCGGCTTCGCCCCCACTCAAAATGGTATGCAGCCGGGCGACTGGCGCTGCCCGCAGTGCGGCAACGTCAACTTCTCGCGGCGCGATGTCTGCCACCGCTGCAACGCGCCGAAGCCCCCTCAACAAGCAGCACCACCACCGCCCGTCGTCGAGAAGGAGCCGCTGGTGGACAAGTTCGAGGACGACGACGAGGCCTTCGACGCGGGCATCGCCGGTGTAATAAAACGCCCGCCGAACGCCAACGGGCAAAGGAGAACAAAAATGTGCATGGCGATCCAAGAAGGACGAGCGTGCCGCTTCGGCCAGGCGTGCACGTATGCCCACTCGACGGCGGAGCTCGAGCTCGGGTCGCGCATGGCGCCGGCGGACCCGAACGCGCGGCGGGAAGACGGCTCCCTCAAATGGCAGCCGCACCTGCGCAAGACGAAGCTGTGCCGCTTCTTCATGGAGCGCGGCGGCGACTGCCCCTACGGCGCGCGCTGCAACTTCGCGCACGGCGAGGACCAATTGGAAAGCGCGCGGCAGCCGTCGCAGGACTTCCTGCAGCGCCAGGGGTTGGACATCTCCTTCGAGAGCCGCGGCGGCTTCGAAAGTAGGATAGATAGGTCGCGGAGCGATGCCCAAGAGGTGCTTGGGGTCGAGGAGGCGCCGGCGCCGCCGCCCGCACCGCCGCCGCCGCCTCCCGACGAGGACGACGCGTGGAGCGACGGCTCGCTCGAGGCGGCGGACGACTTCGTGGCGAAGAAGCCGCGGCTGGGATAGTGATTTTCATGGTTACTTGATTCCTGGGGATGCGTTGCCGAGCTTCCGCGTCGACGGCGTACCGGGCGATATATTGTTACGGTGTACCGGGCGCGTAAGATACCTATCCGCTTGCTAGTGTCTTACATGCCGCTAGCCACGCTTCCTGGCCGGGCACAAAAAACAACAGGCGAGGCGACCCAACGCGCGGATACGCGTTAGAACTCGCTACCAATACATCTGAACCGGGACTGCACGCGTAGAGCCCTGCGCTAGATAGTACCAGGCTGTGGAGCATCAAGGCTGTGGAATTAGCCTGAGCGCCCGTGAGCAGACCGCGAGGCGCTACCGATAAGATGGGCCGCGGCGACGCCTGCGAGGAGCGGCGCACGAAACTCAAGGCCCACTCGACCATCAACGAGCTCCCGCAGCAGTCCGTGGCCCTCGAGAAATATTATAACCTCGCGGGGCAATGCCAGGCCAAGGCCAACGCAGCGACGGAGAAGGCGTTACGGATGCCCGCGCGCACGTACCTGGAGGCGCACCGGCGCCAGGTGCCGTTAGATCAGGCCTACTGCTACCAGCGCCGCTACGCGACTCTTGGAATGGAGTGTATCCCGAAGCACGGCTACTACAACAGTAAATTAGGGCCGCAGCGAGCGGCGCTCAAGAGCGGATGCCTCGGCGCCTTGGCGTGGCTCGAGAAGATCGTGGACGCCATGGACGCCGACGAGGTCCTGCTGGGCGCGCACCGCGCCGCCGTCGCCGCCCTCAAAAAGCGCGAGGCCGAGGAGGCGGCGCTCAAACAAGGCATGGCGCGGCTCCAGCGGGACCGGGCGGAACGGGAGAAACGAAAACAAAAGCAGGCCGCCGACGCGGCGCTGCCGCCGTTGGTGCGGGGCGCACGCGTGCGCTACAAGGACGGCAGTTCCGGCTCTGTCGTGGAGTGCCACCGCGACTGTCCCGAGGGGCCTTATTATGATGTGGCGCTGGACGGCGGCCGCGTCGTCCAGGCCGAGCGTAGTAATCTGGAGCTCATCGCGGGCAAGCCTACGGCTCCGTCGGCGCCGCCGCCTCCACCGGTCCCCTCCGCGCCGCCGCTGCCTCCGGTCCCGCCGCCGCCGCCGCCGCCGCCGGCTTATGATAGTGACGCCGTCGCGCTCGGCGCGACGCCGCTGCCGCCCGCCCTGCTGGGGTATGAGGATTCCGTCGCGTCCAAGATCACGATCGAGGAAGTGAGATCATCGGCGGAGCGCGCCTGGGGCCAGACGACGGCGCAAGGACGAGGTCGCGTCGAGCGATTACCGACGTTCCAAGGGAGGGTCAGGGACGCGAGAAACCTTGATAGTACGAATGGCTGCGCCGTCATCGCGCCCCTCGTCTGCCAGATGCATATTGGGGAAAAGAAGGAGTTAACAAATAGCGACGTCGCCAGAGTCATCGACGACATCGTGCCTCCGATACTAGCACATATCCGGAAGAAGCACGGTCTCGGGAACGGCGCCTTCATCATCCCCGCTGATGTTCATGATTATTTGTACGACGCCAAGGCCATCGACCATTCGATGTTCGCTGGAGTGTTTGGCGGGAATTGCTTAGATGACGAGCACGTCGCCAAACTACTAAATGCGTTCGAGGAGGTGCCACAATCAGACAAGGCGGGCTGCGCCTTCTTCTTCAAGGAGCACGTCATCGCCGTCCTCCGAGTCGGAAAAGAGTACCACTTCGTCGACTCGTTGGGAGGCGGCGACGCGTCGGGCATGGGCACGCGGACGGTCTGTGCGGATGTGGAAGCTTTGCGCGTGTTCCTGCGATATTACGTCTCCAAGAAGCTGCCCCCGGGCTGCGTCGGCAATGCCTTCGACGAGGCGACGGCCGACTTCGACGCGCGCGTCTTCCAGGCCTTCCTGTGGCGGCACGCGCCGAATAAGTAGTTTTCATGTGTTTCTCACGGTCTACGCGCCGTCGACGCGACGGATCAGGGTCGGGCGCAGGGCGGGGCGGATTTACACGCCGTCGACGCGACGGGTCACAGGGTCGGTTCTTAGGAATAAGGGAGGCACAGGGGTCGCGCCGGTCACAGGGGGCACGTCGGCGTAGTCCCACGAGAGGCCGGCGGCGTCGGGCACGCGAAGAGGTCCAAGCCCGCCTCGTGGATCGGCATCATGTAGGCTGATGGGGTGGAGATGGGCTCGAGGTCAAACGTCGGGTCCTTCGCGCGCGGCGTGACGCCTCTGAGCGGCGGCGGCGCCGTGTTGGCGACGCGGACCGGCGGCGTCGCTTGCACCACGCGCACCGGCGCTGTTCTCGGTCTAGGTAAACCGGCCGTGGGCCCCGCGACGAGTGGGACCTGCGTTTTTGTGACTCGTCGGCGACGCGACGTCCGGACGAGAGTAACCGCGTCGATAGCGCGGACGCTTCGGACGCGGCAAACATGCGGAGGGCAGCGGCGACGGCGATGGCGCCCTTCTTTTTTTCGGCGGCGGCGCTTGATCAATTGCATTCAACCGCGCCTTGTGCTCGGCGATCAACTTCTCAATCCTCAATACTTCGGACGGCGGGAACACGTGCCTCACACGTTCGATGTCGTCCAATGAGGTAATAGTCTTCGACTTCTTCGTCACCGACCCGAACGACTTGAAGCAGCAGTCGATGTGGTACCAGCGCGTCTTGGGCGAGTGGCCGTACCGTACGGACGGCGGTCTCTTGCCCAGTCGGTACTCGCCCTTGATCAGAGGTTGTCGACAGTCCTTGTACGTGCACTTGGACCGTCCGTCGCGCGTGATCTCTGCCACATATTTATTGTCTCCCACATGACCCGCCAGGCGGCCACCGATCCTTCCTAGTTCCTTCTGCGTGTTGTCCCGCCCCAGCGCGGCGCCGCAGTTACTCGTGTAGGGTACCACGCCGTTCGTCGGCCCCCGATCCAACCACTGCTGCGTGTCCCGATGTAACAGTAATCTTCTAATAGCTCCGACGTCCCGGACCTTGTCCGCATCTGTATTGGGCAAGGGGTCGCTGTCGACGTTGTCGATGTGTCTCAAAGCTTGCGTCGGGGAGAGGTCCATGTCGGTTGATGATGGAGTGGGGTAGACCGTATCGTAGAGCGTCGGCACGAACTGGAAGGTCGTCGGCTCGCCGTCGGCCGTGCCGAAGGACAGGCGCAGCCCGTTTGATAGATTGACGTCGTCGGCCCACGGCGGCGCCGCGGCCGCCGCGCCGAGCTGCTCGCGCGCGCTGGTTTGTAGTTCTTCGAAGCCGGCGACGCTGATCATGGCCGCTGGCGACATCATCGTTCTATTTGTGCGCCCCGCTGCGGCGATTGCGGTTTATCGAGTTTGTAATCCCGCTGCTTGTGCGTCTCTGCTGGCCGCGCAGGATGGGGGAATCGATGCGCAGCGGCTGTGGGACGTCCGTGTGATGTTTCTCGTGCCGTGCGCGTCACTTCAAAAGCAGCCCAGAACTCAAACGACGCCAATTTACGACGGCCGTGGTCGCATCGAGTGCCAGGGGACTGAACTCATCATATCATTGGCTCCTCTTCCTCTCAGAACGGCCTCCGCACGGAGCCGCCGTCGAGCAGCCGCCATCGATGCGGGGCGTATGAGTGAGCCGTGAGATCACGCCATCTTCCAATCGACGCGGGAGGAGAACGTGGGCTGCCGTCGCACCACCAATGCATCTAGACAATGCATCTCCCCCACCAGCACGCCACCGACGCGAAACTACGATATAGAAGACACCACTTAGTACTGAAAGTCAGTCGCGAAGTCGTAGTCCCGCGCCGCGCCGACGGACGGGTCGACTAGTTGAGGCGCCTCGTCCGCGTCCATCTCCACCGGTCCCTCGTCGAGCGCCACGGCGTCCATGTCCATGTCGTCGTTGCCCTGTAAGACGGCCGCGTCCATCTTCGTCGGGTCGAACGCCTCCGAGAGTTGCGACACGATCTCCGCGTTGTTGACAGACGCTTCTTTCGCGGGAGGCCGGACGAAGAACTTGACCTCGCCCTTCGCGAAGTCCCGCAGCACATCAATCGAAGCTTTGGTCACGTCGGCGACGCCGCCTCGTTTAAGGCGGCCGCGCTTGCGGGCCACGGCGGCGAGGAACTTGTTCGGGTCCTCCGACAGAGGCAGCTCGTACTTCATCGCCAGGGCCGCCGGGTCCGCCCGTTTGATCAGGGACGCCGCCGCATCTACGGCGTCGTCGCCCAGCTCCGCAGGGTCGACGCAGCCCCTCACTAATAAAGAAGCGAGTTGTGCTGATCGCGTGTCTCCCGAAGAAGTCACACCAACGACGCCCGGCGAGTCGATGAGCGTGAGTTTGGCATCCAACCTGACTTCTCTCAAAGCCTTAGTGAATCCAGGAGTGGCACTGACAGTGGCAGCCGAGTCCTTGCTCCCGTGGTCGGCGCCCCTTCGACTATTCGTCAACGAGCGAATTACCGACGACTTGCCGGCGTTGGGGAAGCCCACAACACCGACAACTAAGGCACCGGGTCGCGCCGACCCACCACCGTCCCGCGAGTAGTTCTTGAGGAGTTGCAATAGGCCGTCCACACCCAACGCGGTCGACCGGCCCATGGCGCCTTCATCGACGACGGCGGCGTCCTTCGCCGAATCTAACGCTGATTGCGCGACGCCGCCCTTCGTCGAGGCCTTGAAGGCGACCACTGCGAGACCAGTACTGCGTAAAACGTCGAGCCACCGCGTCGCAATTTCTCTAGGTACCAAGTCGACCTTGTTCAGCACTAATACTAAACGTTTGCCCGGGGCGCGCCGTACCGCGGACTCGACTCTAGAAGATCGACTGCCGGCCGGGTCCCGCGCGTCGAGGACTTCCAATACCACATCAGAGGCTTCCACGACTTTCGCCAGCTCTCTCGCATAAGCTCGAGCGCTCCGCTTGGCCGCTTCGTCCAGCGCGTCCTCCTGCTGGCGCACAGGCGCATCAGACGTATCATCAAAAGCCGCCCCTCGCTCCTTCGCCGACGCCGCGAGCTGCTCCATCGATAAGCCCTGCTTGGCGAGCTTCCTCCGTTCCTTTTTGGCTTGCTTCGCGTCTTCCCGGTCCTGTTCCTTCTTTGCTTTCGCACGCTCGACCTGTTCGAGCAGCTCCTGCTTGATGGGCCAGGAGTTGGGAATTCCCGGGTCGCGCTTCTTCTTGCCGGGCGGCAGGCCGCCGCGCTTTTGCGCCTTCTTGAGCTTGCGGTCGTGCTCTTTCACGCGCTTCTGGACCTTGTACTTTTGTTTTAAGGTCTGGCGGTGGGACTTGGCCTTTTTCTTGACCATGGTCGCTGGTTCGTCGTGCGCTGCGCAAAGCTGCAGCGGTGTTTTATATGCCTCTGTCTCGCTGCAGGCTGCAGCAGTGCTTGCCTCTATATATCGCTGCTGGGCGGCGTGCGGTCGTTACACCAGCGTTCGCAGCGCTGGATTTGCACTGCTGCGGGTATGACACTCGACGCCTACTTGGATGTCAGTACTCTCAATAGAGTCAATATCGCTCGATGATCAGCAGCCTGTTTCCTAGTGTCTTGCAGCTAGCTAATTACATTTCAACACAGTTATTACAGGCCTCGAGTCAAGGTTCCCCGCCTCGGGGCGGCTTGCGCCGCTGCTTTACCTGTTCAATGAACTTGAACATGTCCTCGAGGGAAGTGGGTTCTCGCCCGTTTTCGGCAACGAACCTCTCGCGTTCGGCCTTCAAAATGGCCTTTCTCCTGGCCTTCTGCTCGGGAGTACCAATATCCAGTTCGAGTGAAAAGGGCGCAGGCGCCGGGGCGGCCGCCTCGGCGGATCTCGCCTCCAATTTTTTTACCTCTGTCGCGATCTTCTTCTCAATCAATTGCGGCATCTCCTCATCACGGAGATGCCGCACTTTCTCCTGGAACTTCTCCTGGAGAGCATTCAAATCGGCCTTGAGCGCGGCCACTTCCGCATCGCGGCCTGACGGCCCCGCCGCTCTTAACAACACCTGCCGCGCGAACATCCACACCGCAATCGCCCCAGAAACGTGCACGTTCAACGAACGCACGACGCCGAGCTGCGGGATCTCCACGCAACAGTCGACCAGGTCGAAGAGCGCGTTCGGCACGCCCTCACCTTCCGCGCCCAGCAAGAGCACGGCCGGCGTCGGCAGGCTCAGATCCCGCGCCGCCAGGTCCGACGAGCCCGTCGCCTGCTCCAGCGCGACCACCGAATAGCCGTCGCCCCGCCGCTGCTCGAGCCAACCGCGGAGCTCCGCCGGTGGCACGCCGGCGATGGGGATCCACTTCTCGGCCGTCGCGGCGATCTGCTGGAACTCTTTTTTGGACGTGATGGCGGCGTCGGCGACGACGAGTTGCTCGCAGGCGAAGACCTCGCAGGTCCGCGCCAGTCCCGCGAGATTCGGCGCCTTGTCGACCAATGACGCACAAACAATAAGAGGCAGCGTCTCCTTGCCCACGGCGTTGCGCTTGCGCCCGTTGATCTCCTTTGCCGCATCGTCCTCGCTCTGCAACGCCGCCAGGCGCGCCTCGCGCACGCGGTCGACCTTGCGCTGCACGAACGCGACCGACTTCGTGTGGGTCGAAGCGACGGTCGCCAGGTCCTTCTTCGACACCTCGGCCGCGGCCCGCTTCCAGGCGTAACTTCCTAGGTCCGACGCCGCCTCAAGCCTATTTCTCTCGACGGCCATCAAATCCAGATCGCTCTTGAGGCCCGCGACCAATGAAGCTTCCGCGGAGTGGATCAATGAACACTTGTCCGCCGAGCGGAGGTCGTGGAAGAAGCGGCCCTGGCGCTTGACGAGGCGCGCGACGTCCGGGTCGCGCTCGAGCGCGTGCGCGAGGGCCCGGCCCGTGACGTCCGTTTCCGAGGGCGGGAACTCGCGGAAGAGGCGCTTGCTCAGGAGCACGGCGACGCCGCGAACCAGTCCCCGCGGCGAGCCCACAAGGCCGCAGGCCAAGCTCAGGAGCCGCCGCGCGCGCGCCGCGTCCGCAATCGAGTCATCGGCGCCGTCGATGAGCGCCGCGCCGGCCACGGCCATCAGCGACCCGAGGGCGATCTCGCGGCCGCCGGCACGCTCGACCTCCGAGGCCTTGGCGAGCGGCACGACGTCGCCGTCCCGCACGGCCCCGACGCGGTCGAGCAACGCGTCAACCACAACAGGCCAGCAGCGGCACGCCGCGGCCGACGCCGCCTCGCACGCGTAGCGCACCTCGAGCGCCGTCGGCGACGACAGCGCCAGCGCCGAAATATCAGCGACGCGCCGCGCGAGCGCCGAGTCCGGCTCGTCGAGATCGCCGCGCACGAGCAGGAGCCCGAGCGCCTGCCACAGCTTCAGTCGCCGATCCCAGGCCGCGGACCGCGCGCACGCCGCGTCGCCGCTCTCCGCGCGCAGCGCCGGTTCCAGATCTAATAACGCCGACGCCGCGGCCCGGCGCAGCGCCCGCGGCGCGTCGTCACCCTCGAGGAACGCGAGCGTCGTGAGCCGCGCGAGCGACGGCCCGACGTGGTCCTTCGCGCAGAGGTCGAAGCAGGTCCGCTCCGGCGACGTGGGATCCGGCGCCGTGCCCTTATCGGGGACGGCTGCGGGCGCGTCGGCGGCCTCGTCGTCCCGGTCCAGACAGAGCGCCGCCGCCAGCGGCCCGAAGACGGCGGCCTGGGCGTCGTCGCACGCGGCGTTCCGCGCCCCGGCGCACAGGGCGTGCGCCAGCGCGCGCGCGAGCGCCGGCCGCCGCGCGACGGGATTCGCCGTTTTCTCCAAGAGTCGCGCGCAGACGTCCGCGGCCGTCGCTCCCAGATCTCGGGCGCTCGGGTCGTTCAGGGCGCGCTCGACGAGCGGCGTCACGACGCGGAACGCGACGCAGGCGCAGAGCTCCGGCGAACCGAGCTTTGCGCAGTCGAGGAAGGCCGCCGCGGCGCGGTCGGCCGCGCGCGCCGCGGCGGCCGGCGGCGCGGCCGAGATGACCGCCACCGCGACGCGGAGCACCGCCGCGACCCCGGCGACGGACGCGTCGCAGGCTTCCAGCGCGTCGAGGACGGTCTCGTGGTCGAGGTCGCCCGCCGCCAGCGCGCCGGCGTCGAGCAGCGTCGCCGTCAGTCGCCAGCGATCGGTCCGGGCGGCCTGCGCCTCGGCTCCTGTCACTTTCTCCGCCGCCCCCGCCGCCTTCAGGAGCTTCGGGACGCCAATTGCCTCCAATTGTTCGCGGGAGAGGCAGCCAACTCCCGCGCGAATAAACGCGAGCCCGAGCACTGGATCCGACAAACAGCCACCGGACAGCTCATCCGCGAGGGCTGCCGAGGAGGCCATGGTGCTTGCGCGCCAAGTTTCCGACTGCGACCCGCCGCGTCCACACCAAAGAGCCGGAACGCCGCCCAAAACCGCAATTGCGTCTTCAACGAGCGCCGCACCCTCTTCCTCTGAGAGTTCTCTGGATTTTGCGGTGGAGAGCAGAGCCTCTATTAACCACTCGCGGGCTCTGATACCCATGGAGGCCGCGGCCCAGACCCCCGTGGACCGCCGCCGGTTGCCGCGGGCATCGGTAACGAGCCACCGGAGGCCTTTGAGACGATGGCGCTTGAACACGGAATCGACGTCTGAAGGTCGCAACGTCACCGCCGCGACGGCCGCGGCCGCCCGCGCGTCGTCGATGGCGCCCGCGCCGGGCACGCGTGACGCTAACCAAGTAGCGAGCCGCTCGTCGAGGGCCTCCTCTTCGGCAACCGCGCGCGTACACGCGGCGGCGAACGCGGCTGCCGTCGCCGGCGCCGCCGCGGCGTCCTGGCAGCAGACGAGCGGCACGACGGCGATCGCGAGCGCGTGCGTCGCCGCATCGTTTCCGGCGGTTTCGAGTGCCGCCGCCGCCGCTGCGACGTCGTCGTCTTGTATACGCGGGCCCGGCAGCGCCGCGAACTTGACGTCCTCGAAGGGCCCGAGGAGCGCCGCGCGCGCGCGGGGCCGGCCGCCGCCGCGCAGCGCGTAGGCGACGACGGCGGCACGCGTCTCGGTAGGCGCCGCTTGGTAGAAGCGCGCGACGAAGTTGACGGCCGCCGCGTCGCAGCGCCGCGCCACGTCGCGGCTCTTCCGCAGCTCGTTGTCGTCGAGCGCCGGGAGCACGGCGTCGCGGACGAGGGGCCAGTCGGCGACCTCGGCCGGCGCCGCGTGGTCGAGGAGCCGCTGCAGGAACGCCTTGCGCGCCGCGGGGTTCCGGTGCCGCAGCAGGCGCCGCGCGAGGGCGTGGAGCCACTTCGCCTCGAGCACAGGCGTTGTTCTAATATCAAAGAACGCGTCGGCCGCCGCGGCGACGAGGTGGTGGCCGCTCTCGTACTCGGCCGCGGACGCCGCGGTGAGCCAGCGCCGCAGCTGCCCAGTCGCTTCTTTTTGGGCCTCGTCGGAACCCTGTTTCGAGGCCGTGTCGACAATGAGTTCGAGGACCGCAAGCGCGCGGCGGCGCAGCAGCGGCGCGTCGTCGTCGGCGCGTTCGACGAGCGCGCGCTCGACAGCGGCAGACGGAAACGCAGCGCCGCTCGCCGAAAAATGCTCGAACGCCGCCGCCCAGCACTGCAAAGCGTCGGCGGGCGCGACGCCGCGCTCGGGGGCGCCGACTGTCGCCGTCGCGTGGCGCGTGCACGCGTCCGCGACCGCGCGCCATGCGCGCATTAAGCTCTCCTGATTCTTGTCTGGGATCGGCGCGCGCGCCGCCAACGCCGGCACGACCCGTAGCACGGCTCTGCGCCGATCGGCAACTTCGCCGCCGCCGGGCGCGAGCAGTTCCGCGCAGGCGCCCAGCGAAATCTTTAACGAATCCTCGTTTGACGCGTCCGCCGCATCCGCGATGACCGCCAACGCGCCCTCCTCGTCGCCTTCGAGCACCGCCTTGGCGGACTCAGAAACGATGAAGTTCGCGATGGGGCCGCCGATCTTCGCGAGCTCTCGCACGCAAAAAGCCGCATCGGCGTCGCCGTCCCGCGCCGCGGCCGCGCATGCCGTCGCCGCGGCCGTCGCCGCGGCCACCGTAGCCTCGTCGATGTCATCTCCTTCTAGCTGTAGCTGAGCAGTCCCCCTCAGAACCGCCCAGCGGAGCTGCGCATGCCTTGGTGTGTCGTCGGCCAGGAGCGCCACGGGCACGTCGAGGTTGACTGCGAGTGCCCGGGCGATGGAGAATCTCACTTGCGTGTGCTGCGTGTCAGTGAGCGAATCCGGCAGGACTGTTTTATTGAGAATGCTCGCGGCCACGCCGGCGCTCAGCGTGTCGGACGCCACTGGTGCCGGCGCCGGCGCCGGCGCGGGAGCAGCCAGGCACTCGGCCTCGAGCGCCGCGAGCGTCGTCGCCACGCCGTTGAACGGCACGCCCAGCGCCGCGGCGAGCGCGCGCACGTCGCCCTTGATCGTCGTCGTCCGCCGGATGTCTACCGCAGCAATCAGCGCGTCGGTGCGCGCTCTCAGCGACATGTTTTATGCTGCAGGCATGTATGGCATTTGATGCTGGAGGTGCGAAGGTTGCTGATAGCGCTCGAATTGTGCTGCGCTGACGTGCTGTGTGCAAAATCGATGCTTATCAATGCGTTTGCGCAGCAATGAGCAGAGCCGCGCTGCTTGGCACTGCTGCTGCTCTTGCTAGGCATCCCTAGTGTCTTACATGCCGCTAGCGCGGGCTTGCAAGGAGACGAAGAGACGCAATCCGACGCCTCTGACCGGCCCATTATGCCGCCGGAGCGCTTTGCCGGGGCCCGAAGATCTCACGCCAGGGAGAGGAGGAGCGCCGACGAGGACAGACGGCCCTGCTACTGCCCCCACCAACGCAAGGGGACGGGACGACCGGCTCCAGGATCTCATGTGGCACCTGTCCGAGGCCAACGCGCCGGCGCCCCAGCGGGGCAAGCCGGGGGCAGCCCCCAAGAGCAGGGAGGCACAACCAAAGACAAGGGAAGCGGCCTGGGGCGGCCCCGGCCCCGACGCCGACGCCGGCCCGCCGACGTGCGTCTCCGACGACGAGAGCGACCGCCGGTCCAAGTCGCCCGCCTGTATAGAAAGAGCGCAGCACGACCACGTCCCGTCGACGCCGCCGCCGCCTCCGCCGCCCGTGCGGGCAGGCAGCCCCGCGTCGCGCGTCGCCGCGTCGTACAAGCGGCTGGCAGCGTTGCGGGTCAACGACGGCGACGACCCGCCGCTGAGAAGGCGGACGCGGTCGCTGGACGACGAGTACGACCCGCGGCGCGCGGTCCCCAAATACCGCGTGAGCGAGCGAAGACGAGAAAACACGCTGCGGGACTCGTTGCTGCCCGAGCGCCCGGCGCCTAACGCCGACGACGGGTTCATGCTCGGGCTCATGACGGCGATCGGCTGCGGGACGATTAGTTGCGGCTGCGGCGAGGAGGACATAAGCTAGTTTGTTGATTATTCATGACGCCTTCTTCTGGAAGCGAGCCAACGCCCCCTGCGGCTCCGACATCTCCGCCGCCTGCGCCGCGGCGCTCCCGAAGACCGCCGCCGGCACGGGCTTCGTCGAGAGCACCTGCTCGCCGTCGTCGTCCGAATCGTCGTCATCCAGGTCGATCTCGTTCGGGTCCGCCGCCGGCGCTTTCTGGGAAGTGGCCTCGACGATGCGCGCCGCTTGCCGTTCCAGCGCCGCCATCTCGGTCTCGGCGGCGCCGCCCTCGTCCGCACTCCGCTTCTTCGACGCGGGCTGGTCGCCGGCCATCCTTCGCTCGGCTTCGGCGTCGGACATGAGCGGGGCGTCCGTTTTGAGTAACCCGTCCGCCACATAAACTGCGGAACTTCGAGCCGTCTCGACGGACCGCTTCACCCGCAACATCTCCCGGAACGTGTCCTCGTTGCCGTGCTGCACCTCGAAGTCGCGCCACGTCTGCCAGTAGTGGTCGTCTAACCTAGGATCGGCGAACTGCGCACCATGTGCTAAAATCGCTCGTGCGCGGTCGACTTCCCCCAAGCCTCGCTCCAAAGAAGCGAAGGCCAGGCACATCTTTTTGGCATCATCATCCACATTCAGCGCTTTGACGGCCCGTTCATACACGCCCCTAGCTTTGGGAGCACCATAAGCCCGTTCCACTTTCGCCGCATAAAGCCGCCAGGCGCCAAACGCTCTTTCATCGTCCGCGGCGAGGGCTGCGCGTTCGTAGACGGCCATGGCCCGTCTGCCCAAGCCGTGGGCTTCCTCGAGCTTCGCATAATCAACCAATAAAGTAGCAGCATCAGACGGAGGAGCCTTCCGGAGAGCCTGCTCGTACAAGTCCCTAGACCTCTCCAATTTCGTGCCGCCATACCGCGCATGGAACGCCGTTAAATAGCCGAACCACAATTCCCTAACATGGGGCCAGTGAAAAAGTGCGACGCCCCGCTCGTACGCGCCGAAGGCGTCTTCGTAATATTCTTTTTCCTCGAGCATGCTCGCGTAGTTGGCCACGATTTGCGGCGTCGCTACTTTCAATTCTAAACAGCGGTCGTAGGCCGCCCGTGCGCTGTCGAGTGTGCCTAATGATTCTTCCAAGTCGAGGTATAGGGACCATAATTTTGAGGACCGATGAACTTTTTCTTGCACTGGAATCTGCTCCTTATGCAACCTACGCCGTCGTTGAGGCTCCAAGACCGCTTTCCTCGCAACCGCAAGGGCCTCCTCGTGATGCTCCCGTTGGAGCTCCATCTCGACCCAGAAACAGTAAATAGAAGCCAAGTCGTCGACCGTTCGGAAATCTTGCTCTACAGCTCGCTCTAACACAACTCTCGCATTGGCTAGATCATTTCGGGAAGCGTAGTACGAAGCAAATGCGGTCCACAGCGTATGTGGTTTACCAGTAGCTTTGTAGACGTCTACCGTCTTCACGGCGTCACTGTAGCACTCGATAGCCTTCGCGGGGTCATCCTTACAGATGTCAGCACGAGCGTGCCACTCACTTACAGAATGGGGGTTCTGCCTCAATAGTACTGACGAGAGTAACAGAGGCCTTCTTTCCATGAGATGCTCGAGCCTAGCTAGTCGAAAGTCGATCTCCTCCTGGGCCGTCGGTTCATAGACGTTCCGCTCCGCCTCTTCTTCTTCCGGTTCCTCTTCCAACTTGGCCATTTTTGCTTCGAGAACCGACTCCTCGAACCTACTATAAGCGTCAAACACCAACCCAAAGTCCCGAGCCGTGACTACCGTCGTGACAGCTTCCTCGTAAACGTTCCGAGCCTCCTCGAAGCGTCCCAGGCGAATGTAGTAGTCCGCGAGCTTGCACCATAGTCTTCCCACTTCATCTCTGAATCTACTAAGTCCGCTCCTGATGATCTGATCGACGTCCAACGACGACGGTAGCTCTTCCGGATGCGCCGCACACAAATCACAGAGCCGCATCCAGAGCTGGTGCTTGCTCTTGCCCGACGGTGAGACGAAGTCGTTGTCCTCGAGGCACTTGGCGAGCTCTGCCGCTGCTTTACCGTGATTGTTTTGTGCTACTAAATAGTCGCAGAAGGCTTCTCTTCTCTGAGGTTCGAACATGCACCTTCTTGTGTGGGCATTGAGCGCGACTTGTTGGATACCGCATGATTCGGCCCACTGCACATACCGCGGCCAGACCTTGTCGTGCTGCGTGATCGGTAAGGCTCGCAGAGCTCGATCAAACGCGTGGCGCAATTGCGTGCCTTTTTTCATTTTTTCTAGTACATCAACATACTCCAACCACAGTCGCGGCATCTTCGACAGGTGCATGAGGCAGCGCTCGTATAACAATACTAATACTTTGGCCCGTCCTGAAGTGTGCCATCGGTCTCGCACCGCCTCCTCGACCTCATCTAGGTACAAACGCCACAGCTTATACGACCGCGGGAGTAACTGCAAGGCTCGTTCATAGATCAATCTCCTCTCAGCGAAGGAGAAGTCGTCGCGCGTCGCCGCGAGATACGACACCCAGGTCTTGGGCGCGTAGGGGTTCCGCGTCACGTCGGGCTCAAAGCGCCGCCCCTCGCCCTTGTTCCTCAGACTCTCAATGGTCTTGACGACTTGCGGCGCTTTTATAGACATGCGGTGCTGCGCGTCGGGGTCCGGCGGCGGCGGCGCTTTGATCTCATAGGTGTCGGCGCGCGTGATCGCGCGCATCTCGCCCGCGCCGCCCTCGACCATGAGCGTCGCGTCTTGTCTAGGGTTGGCGAGGTCGCCGCCGCGCGCGGTGCCTGGTGCTGCTGACATGTTACTTTTTTTGCGGCCTGTTACGGGGTAGCGCTGTTTTTTCGGCGCGGCGACGGCGTCGCGGATGCAGCGAGCTGCCGCCTTGGAACAGAGCTCTGCTCCTAGGCCGTCACGCAGCCGCGCGCCGTTGCAAGCCCGTGCTGGCTGGTAGCGAGGGCTCTCAGAGAACACAAGTCAGACAACGTATGAGTAACAGCGACGCCGTGCGCGCGTCCGCTTGCCAGAGCTACCTAGCGTAGCGACACACTAGCTTTCAGTGAAGGCGTGCTTTGTACTGTGTTTTTGCCCGCGCTCGAAGAGGCGGGCTGGAAAATTCTCTAGTTTTACGTCCCCGAGCTGCAGCGCTGGGGACACAGCCCAAAAAATGGCCGCCCGCGCGCTCCGACGAGCCCTCAGCACCGCAAGACCAGCCGCAGCGCCGCGCGCCGCCGCGCCGCGCGCCGCGAGGCCACGCGCCAACTTCTTGAGCACCACGCCGGCCAAAGCGGCACCAGCCCCGCAAGTAGCCGACGTGACTGTGCACATCACCTTCGTGGACCACGAGGGCTCGCGGGCCGTCGTGCCCGGCCGCGTGGGCATGACGGTGTCCGAGGTCGCCGAGCTCCACGGCATCGACATCGGGCCGACGGCCGTGGCCGGAGTTGTGGAAAGGGTCAATTCCGACGTCTGGACCGAGGATTTATTTGGGGAGGGCGCGTCGCTCGGTTACGACCACGTCAAGGTCCCGCCGGCCTGGGCGGCGAAGCTGCCGCCGCGGGGCGCCTGGGAGCTCGAGCTGCTGCGCAACTACTGGGACGACGACGACATCACGTCGGTGTCGCGCCTCGGCTCGCAACTGCCGCTGACGAAGGAGCTCGACGGCATCCAGATCTACATCCCCGACGGGATTCCCACCGAGGGGAACCTTTAGAGCCTAAGCTTATGTATAGACTTCCCCTGCTCCGGGCCGCGCGCAGCCGGAGGCCCATGCAAAGCTGGGAGCTGCCAGCTCGCGCCGCCGAGCGCAGCCAAGTTGGACAGACAGAACTCGTTCGCGGTTAGGTTTGGGCTCTGCGACAAGTGCAGGGCACCGCTAAGCACGAATTCGCATCGCTGCAGTACTTGCAAGCGGCCCAGCACAATGCAGCCACTCTGCCTATCACTATGCGTGGCCGCCGCGACGGCCTACCTCGCGCCGACCACCGCTCGACGACGTACGACGCGCCTCGCAGCGATGCGAGAATTTCGCGCCCAGGACCTCACGCTCGAACGCTTCCTGGGCCAGGTCTCCGTGACGGAGGTCACGGACTGGGAATATTCGGGAGAGGGCGTGAATCCATTAGATCCGGCGCAGCCAGCTCGAACAAAATCCGACGCCGGAGTTGGTAGTGCACCACTAAGACTCTTCCTCGCGACGCGGGAGGACCCGACGGCGCGGGCGCGAGGGGAAGATTTAAGGTGCTGCGTGCGCGAGTACTCGTTGAAAGCGTCGAAAGTGGCGCGCCAGGAGCTCGACGCGTTCCGCGACCGCGATTTACCAAAAAAAAGCGTCTGCCAGCTGCTGGGCACACTCGACGACTCGGAGGACGGCTTCTTCTCGTCGGATGCGGTCCTGGACGATTCATTCATCGAGGCCTGGGTGGCGAACCTCCGGTGCGAGCCGCCGCAACCCGATAGTAGGTGGTTGGTCTACGAGTGGGCGGGCACCTGCACCTTCGCGTCATTAACATCACCACCGGGCCCGCAGAACCCCTTTTATGCGGAGCCGCCGAGGCCCTTTGGTGGGGGCATCTTTGGTTCAAGAGCTGTTGGAGAACGGTGGACCTATCCCCAAAGGGAAAAGTTCGTACTCAGAGCGATAAAGAACGCCGTCGCGTGCGTCGCGGATTTGCATGAAGCCGGCGTCGCCCACCGGGGCCTGTCGGGCGCGGCCTTCGTGCTCGACTCGAGTGGCATGGACAAAAACGTCGTCCCGAAGAACGCGCCGTTATCGCGCGTGAGGCTCCAGTTCCTCGGCTTCTCGGATTCGGCAAGCGTGGCGAACATGAACGACGACCTCAATTCGCTGGGCTACGTGCTGTTGGAGCTGTTGCTGTCGCCCGCGCTGTATCCTGAGGATTATGCCGGCCCATTACCACCCGTCAGCGACGGCGACTCCTTAAAACGCTTGTACGACGACATCTTCGACTGCGACATTTTGAAACTGAGAGACTACTGCGCGAACGAGGAGGCCTGGGACGGCGTCGTCCGATTACTGGACACTTCCGATGGTTGGGCGTTTCTCGGCACGGCGCTCGGCGCGAACGATAGAAGGCGGGCGACGCCGGGGCTGCTGACGGCGCGAGCCCTCTTGGGCTCGAATTTCCTAACGTAGTAGTGTGTGATTTCTTATCTGTAGGGGGTGCGTCGATGGCGTCTCGTGCGGGGTGATCGGGGTGTGAAATTATTTCTGCCATAACGCGCGATCCGATGCCCTCACGGCAAGATAAGCTGCTACGCATCAAGCTGCCCAACGTCCGACGCCGCTGGAGCCGCGTCGACGGGGCAGGCCTGTTGGCTCTGGTTGTGGTAGGCGTGCTGTATTGCTGGTGGACAATTGGTGGGCAGTGATGAACGAGCTGCCCAAGGTTCGGCGCCACTGGTGCGAAACGCTTGCTGACCTGCTAATTTTGGTGGTTGTTTTATTACCTTTCTGGTTCCTCGGACAGTGATGCTGCCCCTGTGGTTGCTGCTGCCCCTCGTCGATGGCGTCAGCCAGAACGTCTCCGACTACTGCAAAGAAATGCAAGCGCGCCGCCCGCAGCGGGCCAATGTCATCCTCGCGCTGCGCGGCGAGAGCTTCCGCAACGGCGCCGGTCAAGCGACGATTCACACGTGCTGCCCAAGTTCGTACGCGCGGCAGCGCGAAGTCTTCGCGTCGCACAAGGCATTTATCGAACAACTCGCGGCGCGCGGCTTCGGCACGACTCGTCTCCTAGCAACAACATACTCGTGCAGTCGCGGTCAGAACTACACCGAGGACTTGCGGCGGTGGTACGCGCCCTGGCTTCAGAGGGAAGCAGACTGGAATGTCCTGCCGCACTCGGCCAAGTCCTACTCCCAGCACAAACGCGACGCCATGGCCAGCCTACGCATGCCGTCGAACCACCTCGCCGAGCTGCAGGCGGACCGGCCCGGCCTGATGACCCAGTCCAAGGTCATCGACGAGCTCCTGGGCCGCGTGCGACCAATCGTCGAGGCGACGCCGCCCAAACTACTGGTCATGCTCCGCTTCGACACCGCCATTCACGTGAAAAACTGGGCGCTCTTCGACGAGTGTCTCGGCTCGGGCCCCCTGGCCGACTTCGCGTCCCACGATATTTTGGACCTCATACCTGACAGTTATGCCCCATGCTTCAGTGCATGGGACGACGTGCATGATAACCTCGGAGCGGGGACGATGGTGAAGGATATGCGGCGCATGTTCCAGCTGCCGCCGGAGCGGCGGGACTGCATCGAGAATATTCAGCTGCGGAAGCTGACGGGCACGTGCCTCGAGGACGACTCGTTTCCGGATAGGGCGTGGTACAATCGCGGTCACCCTAATTAATTGTTAGTCTAGTCCTGTTCGAGCGTCCGAGGCTAAGTCGAGCGGCCTGGGCGGCCGGCGCCGCATGAGCGCGTCGAAGGACCGCGGGTCCGGGTTCATGGGCACGTTGTTGTCCTCGGAAGCAGCCGTCGACGCGGCGTGATATACTAGTATATCGTCGAACGTCTTCACCTCCATAATTGGACTTCCTTCCCTCAAGGTTTTATCGATCAGGTTCACCTGGTCCGTCAGACCCTGTCCCAACATTACTGAGACCACCTCCAGACCTCTCTCTGTCAGTTCCTCCACATACATATTTATCCGCATCGGGGCGTACTGCAGCGACTTCTCCGACGCGACGCCCTGCGGCGGCTTGTCCGCCAGATCGCCGTTCGACTCGTCGACCATTATCCAGTCCAGACAGTTTATCACGTTGTCCATGCCGTTCACCACCGTGTAACACAACGACAGCATCAATACCTGGCCGCCCTGAAACGGCACGAGCGACGCCCGTGCTTCGCACCTTTTCCACGCCGCCAGGGGCCCGTCCGGACCAGTTAATGCTTCAAGGCACGCCATGAACCTGATGGGGCCGTAGATGCACGCCGCCCGCTCGTAGTCGACCCAGCCGGCCGTCAACAGCGCCAAGGCCTCGGCGGGGTACGCGGCGCGGGCCTGCTCGTAGTCCGCGAGCTCATCCCGCTTCTCCTGGATGGCCTTGGCGTATCGCGCGAGCAGCTTCGCTCCGGCGTCGAGGTTCGCCTGGCGGGGTGGCGCTACCGGTCTGCTCTTCAGCTCCCGGAGCGCCACGGCCTGGCGGCGATGCAGCGCCTGGAGCGCATTGAGCTCGCGCCGGTGCGCCTTGAGGTAGCCGGGATCCGCCTTCGTCGCCTTCTTCGCCGCCCTGAGCGCCTTATTCGGCTCGCCGTCCAAGAGCCAGGCCGCTGAGAGGTTCGCTGAGCAGACCGCGGCATTGTTGTTCGGCGCGGCGTAGGTCTTGCCGTCAAGTGCGGATTTCCGAGAGTACGCATGCGGCAAGTACTTGAGGACCTGGCCCACGAGCGGCTCGATGTCGAAGAACTGCCGCCGCGCCGTGTGCGCGGGCGCCTCGTGGAGCGCGTCGAAGAACGCGTTGACGCCGCCGTTCCGGAAGGGGTCTAACGCCAGCATGCAGGCCTTGCCGTACATCGCGCGCGCCCCCGCATAATCCTTCTCCTTGTACAGGGCGTTGCCCCTGTCCTTCCACTCCTTCCACTCAACCAAGCCAGCGCGCTCCATCTCGTTTGCGTTCCAGTCCGCCACCGAAAATTGCTTCCACCGGCGCGACGCGAAGGGGTTGTCAACACGGGGCATCCTGCCCATGATGGTGTTCAGGATCTCGTCCATTGACGCCTCTCCAGCTGTAGTGCTTGCAAGGTGTGGTGTGCTGCAGGAAAACTTGCACGAATCGCTGTTCAAACCTGAAGAGCGACTCTCGGCGTGCGTATGAGCTGCTGACAGACAGTGCTGATCACTTGCGGCGGCACGATGGCTGGGTGGGCATGCGACCAGGCAGAGGCTTGGCGGAGAGCCAGGTGTTTTAAATTTTTTAAATGCCTGAAGAGGACGCCTGTACTGGTCCGACGGGTCTCCGAGAAGCCAAACAAGCGGCCGCAAGCACTCTAGTTTGTCTATTCACCAGCAGCGCGCGGCCACAACTCGCGCCTGTTTGCGGCGCGTGCCCCGGCGAGGGCGGCCCTGGGCTGGTCTGGGCGAAGCCTCGGAACGGGCGCAGAGCTGGGTGCACCGCCCGAGGCAGGATGGCGGGCCCACCGCGACTGATGAGCCTGTTCCTGCTTTTGGCGGCGAGGTGCGTGTCGCCGCTCGCGGCCCCGCGGGGCCACGCGCAGATTTCGAGGCCCGCGGCCATCCTCTCCACCATCGTCACGCTCGCGACGCGGTCGCGCGCGGCGCGCGTCCCGAGCGTGGGGCACACGTCTGCTCTTGCCCTCGCCTTAAGGACGACGCAGACGCGCGCGGCGCCGCACCTCAGCACGGCCGTGGCTCTGGCCACTGTACTACCGGTCGGGGCGGACGACGCCGCCGCTTTACCATTGGTAGAGCGCTTCGCCGATTTGGTCACGTACGGCGACGAGGGAGATGGTTCCTGCCCCGGCGACTCGTTTGATGATGCGGCGTTAGCTGTTGCTAGAGAATTCGTGCTCGGCGGCGGCGGCGGCGACGACGAGTCGTGTAGCGGCGACTACGAGGACTACGGCGACGTCGACGCGTTCGGGGCCTTTCGGGCCGCGGCGGCGGCGGCCGCGGGCGTCGAGAAGGCGACAGCATTAGCGATTGTACTGCTGGTGATAGAACACGGCGCGGCGCCGTTCGACGACCCGGAGGTCGTCGCGCTGTGTCGAGCACTAGCCCCCGAAGCGCGCGAAAGCCTCGTCTCGTCGCTCGAGGAGTACTTCGGGGACTTCTACGAGACGGCCGCTGTCGAATTAGGTGCGTTGCGATATGCGCTGTTATCGACGGAAGAGCGAAGAGCGGCGGTAGCGGAGATGGCGGCCGCGAGGCCCTACGGCGAAGCTTTGCCAGAAGAGGCGACGATGCTCCTCGAAAGGCTAGGTGCGGGCGGGCTCTTCGAGGCCGACGACGATTCTGTGGAGCTGTGGATCGACGTCGTCTTCTTCTTACTGGTCTTTGGCGTGCTCTGCGCGCTGTCAGCAGCACTACGACGGGCGTGCTCGTTGGCGAATCGATCGCGACGTCCGCAAGCCGACCGGCAGGCCGACGATGCCGTGGCGCGACTCCTAGCGGAAGACGATAGGGAAAGAAAAGCTAGACTAAAAAGGACCGGGCGGACGCCGCGCGGGAGAAGCCCGCGCGCGAAGCCGAACGGTAGTAGCGTGCCCACGACGACGCGGTCGCCCTCGCCGAGCGCGACGGCGTCGGACGCGTCGTCCAGTGAAGCCGAGATGCCTGATTTACCTTTACGAGGCGGCAAGCCCTCTAGACCTGCCGCTCGGCCGAAGTCCGCGCGCGACGCGTCTGGTTCTAAAAGAGGAGGCCCGCTCAAGCCGAAGAAGGTACCCAAAGAAGTACCGAAAGCTACCGAGGAGAAGAAGCCTTCGCGAAGGGCTCGAGCTAGAGAAAAGTCGGCCCAGAAGGCCGCCGCCGCGGCCGCGGCGGCCGCGACGCAACCGCCGCCCCCGCCGGTCGCGCCCGCGCCGCAACCCGTGCAGCCGCCGATCACGCCGCACGTCGCGCCGCCGGCTTCCGTCTGGGCGTCGCCGGACCCGCCGCCGCCGCCGCCCCAGCGCCAGCCCTTCCAGCCGCCGGGCTTCGACTCCTCCTACTCGTCGCCGGAAGCCTCGCGGCTCCCGTCGCTGCCCGTCGTGGCGCCGCACCCGCCGCCCTCTCTCGTTACCGCTGCTGCTAGAGTCAAGGTCATGCCCGTGCCGCCGAACTGCGGCGACGACCTGCTGGCCGAGGCCTTCGCGCGCTACGGGTCGAGCGTCGTCGGCGCGCGCGTCGTCTTCGACCGCGTCGCGCCCTACGGCTACGTCGACTTCGCGACGCGAAGCGCGGCGGTGGCCGCGGCCTTCCAGACGCACGGCGCCGAGCTCTTTTCGGGCGGGGGCTCGGTGTCGTGCATCGTCGTGTCGAACACGGCGACCAGGGATCGCGCCGGCTCGCTGGACGGCGGCGTGCGCCTGAACCCTCTGGAGGCGCGCGAGGTGCAGTCGAACGCGCTGGCGTCGGACCTCAGAGCCGACGCGCCGACCTTCGGGGCCTACGACCCCATGGAGTCCCTGGCCCGCGGCTTCGCGTGAAACGGATTCCTGAAACCTCTCTCAACAACAAGACTTCTCCGCGTGCCCCGCCGGCCGGCGTGAACGCGGACACCCCCTCCCACAACATCATCCCCCTCGCTTCGTCTCCCCACCACCCCGTCGATCCCGCCCCGTGCTCCGTCTCTCTTCTTGAGGCGTGAATCGGGCGCGAAGGCCCCGGGCCCCCTGGTGGGAACCGTTCGAGTTCCGTGTACTAACCATCGGTTGTGCAGTTTTAGCTTCCTAGAGCGGCCGGCCGGCCTCGAGCCACGTGTTGCTGCGCCAGTCAGCGTTCCAGCCGAGGGCTTCTGCGAAGACGCCCTCAGTCGTCTGGTCCTTCCACCCATCTATACGTGATCGTTCTAGGCAGGGTCGTAGCTAGCGGCCGGTAAAGACACTAGCGCAAGCTCAATTACGCATGACGATTGCAGTGCCCAGACTCGCGTTAATCGAAGTGGACGGCATTCAAACATGCATCGCAAATGCTTACTCCTCCTCGCCCTTCGACTCACGCAAGCTTTCGTACCAACGCTGCCGCGAACAGCTCGAGTGGTATGCCACTCTGAGAGCAGTGCAGTGCCAGCAGAGCCCGAGAGCGAGGCAGCCCATGCAGCGCCACCAGTCGAGGCCCCACCAGTGGCACCGCCAGCGGAGACCGAAGACGAGACGCTGATGACCTCGTTAGAGGCGGCGCTCGTCGCCGAGGAGGCGTCCGCGGCCGCGCGGAGTACGATGGCGCAGTCCTCAGCCCAAAAGCTCGCCGCAGCCGAAAGATTGCGAGCCGAGGCCGACGCGGCGTTGGCGCGAGCCGCCGACCTCGCGCGGCAAGCATTGGCCCAGGAAGCCGAGGCGTGCACAACTCGTGCGGCGGAAGTCAAGGCCTCCGAGACGACCTACGCCGAGGTCGCCGCGGCGAAGCGCACGCGCGTCGCCACGGAGAAGGAGCTGGCCGCGTCGCTGGGGGAGGTGGCCAAGCTGACCCCTGAACCAGAGTTACAGGAGTCCCTGCGCCGGCTCGCGGACGCCAAGGCAGACATCGTCGAGGCCGATGCCGGCCTCGCGGACGCCCTCGAAGCCGCCGCGCAACAGTCGCGCGACGCGCACGCGGCGGCAAAAAGCGACGCGGACTGCTGCGCCGCGGCGCTCGCGGCGCTGCCGGCGCCCGACGACGTCGACGCGGTGCGCGCGTTCGACTGGGCTTCTGCTTTGGCGGACCCGAAGGTGCGGGTGGACGCGTCGCCCGCGGCGGCGTCGGACGCGCGGGCGCGGGCCGCATCACTCTCGAAGGTCGTCGGCGAGCAGCGCGCGCTGCGGAAATTGGCGGTGGGCGACGTCGCCGCGCCGGCGCCCGCTGCGCCTGCTGACGAAGCGCCCGCCGTCGAGGTCGCGGCCGAGGAGGCGGGGGACGTCGGGAGCTGGCTCTTCTCTAAGTAGTTCGATTCTTCTTCTATTTACACGGCGGGTAACAGGGATAGCTCACCGGACGAGCGGGGGCGGGTAGGCCGCCCCGAACTGGGCCGGGGGCAGTTGCGACGGCGGCTGCTGCGCCAGCCGGTGGTTGTGCCCGAGCCAGCCCTGCTCGCGCAGCCACCCGTCGATCAGGCGGTTCTGCTGGTCGTTGAACCACGTCGACGCCGACGCGACGGTGAGGAGCATGCGCACGTCGATCGCGTAGTTCTGCGGGTTGTCCGTCCAGCCCCGCTTGAAGTCGTCGTAGCACGAGGCGACGCACGTGAAGATGCGGTTGGGAGAGACCTCCGTCGGGCGGTTCTCGAGCGACCGCGTGATGAGCTGCGACAGGCGCACGACGTTGTACCTATCATAATTGTAGCGCCCGTCGAACTCGCTATCGGTCCGCGCGCCGTTCGGCGGCGTCACGTTCCGCGCCCTGGCACCAGCTAACTGCTTGTGGAAGTGGCGCTCGGCGCCATGCAATTGTTCTTCTGCTCGCTTCGCGGCCTCTCTAGCTTGATACAACTCCCTCTGACAAGCGTCCAGGCGCAGGCCCAAGTCCCTTCTCGAGGATTCCGAAGCACCTAAGCGCTCCTCGACATCAGCTAATTGCCCTCTAGCGGCGTAGGCGGCCTGTTCTTGTTGTCTTTGATCTCTCACAGCTCGGTCGCGCTCCATCGTCGCCGCATTTCTTTCACGTTGCAGATCTTCGGCCTGGGCTCGGTACGACGCTTCGAACTCCTGGCGGTGGCGCGCGACTCGCTCCAGCTCGTATTCCGCGGCTCTGGCTCTCTGTTCATTGGCAGCAGCCGCCCGCGCGTTGTTCTCCGCCGCGCTTTCGAGCTCCCTCGATCGCTTGTTCCCCTCGTCCCGCACCTTCCGGATCTCGACCGCGGCCGCTTCCGCCCGTCGTTCCGCGTCGCCCGCGTGCCTCGCTGCACTTTCTAAGCGTCTTTCTCTATCTTGGACCACCTCGCTATGCTCCTTCTGCATCTGCTGGATGGCTTCCCTACTTCTACCAGCATCGGCCTCCGCCTGCAGGGCTCTTTGCTCGGCTTTGTTCGCCCGATTGGCTTCCGACTGAGCTTGCTGTTCCACCTCTGAAATCTTCTGGCGCGCCTCGGCGTCCCGTCGCTGCAACTCAAAGTCGAAGTCGTGCTCCCTTCGCCGTTGCTCCTCCTCGAACTGCTGGATCCGTTTTGACTTGTGCTGGTTGAGCTCTTCCGCTTCGCGCAACGAGTTTTCGTTCTTCCGTAAAACATTTTCGAGTTCCCTTATTCTCAAATCCTTGGGGTTGCCGTGTCGGGCATTACACCTAGCTTCATGGGCAGAAGCATCACAGAGCGCTCCCGTCCAAGGGCATTCGCCGTGCTCCGCGAAGCGACACTTCACCTTGATGCCGCCCCAGATGCGTCGGATGGGCAGGTTGTGCTCTCTGATCGATCGCAGCTGGCCCACCTGCAACGGTTTCTTGTCGAGCGGGCACTGCGGGTTCCTTCGTAGTGAGCTCCGGATGCACTCCGTGCAAAATAAATGGCCGCAGGGCGTTTCTGAGGATTGGTCGGCGACGACGCCCAGACAAATAGAACACATGAGGTCGTGGGGCACGTCCTCGGGCTTCAGGAGGCGGTCCCGCTCGATGCCCTGGTTGCGGCCGCTGCCTTGGAACGCCGGCGGCGGTGGCCTCGGCTGGTCGATGGTCATGGTCTGGGTCAGGGCCGGGAGGGCGGCCATCGTCGCCGGGCTGCCCCGGGGGCGCTATATCCCGCCTCTCGCTGCCCCTTTCAGGAAATGCCCCGCGTTGTAGGGAGAGCGGCCCACTAGCGTTTGAATGAAACGTACCGAAGACGCCGATTAGTCCGCGGTAGTAGTCCTCTGCCGCGGCACGAAAGCTGCGGGAGCCACGAAACCCGCGCAATCGATGCTTGACCGCGGTACCGGCGCGCGGCACGCGCATCGCAATCGATCGCACCACTCATCGCAGTGTGCGGTGGACGTTCCATCGCTGTCGACGTATCGCAATCGATTTTGCAACGCAGCGCTGCAGCTTGTTAACCAAAGAGCTCATCCCTGCTCATTTAGCAGACATTGTGGCACAGCTCACGGCCGCGCAGCAGTGGACGCGCTGCAAATACAAATGCCCACGACGCGGCGCCGGGCCACACGCCAGGACGAAAGCGATGACGAGACGACGGAGGAAGCCGTGGCAGCAGTCCTCGACGCCGCGCGCGCCGCCGCCGCCGCGCGCGCCGCCGCCGAGGACGCGGACCTCACGCGGAAAGAGAAGCTCAAACGATACGTCGCAAGGCGCGTGTCGTCGCGCATGGTGTCCATCGTAGCCTTTACGTTGGGCGTGGCGTGGATGTTTTGCTTTCCCGTCGTTAGTATTGTGACAGGAGAACTCAAAATGAGAGGCACGTACTTCGACGAAACGACGCTGTCGCCCATGGCCGCGCGCGCGACGCTCCACACCTCTGAGGGGTTCCGCGACTACCTCCGGAAGCGCCACGGCTCGTTCTGCGACGAGCTGATGGCTTTGGACATTGCCTGCCAGGAACGGTACAACGCGTCGTGGGGCGTCGTGCGCCCGGCGTCGGGCTGGGCCGCCGTCGAGGCCATCGCGGTCGTGGCCGCCAATAAACGCGCTATTCCAATTGTGCTGGCGCTGGCGCGGTTTCTGAGGGACGCGCCGTGGCTCGGCAAAAACATCGTGGTCGTGGCGTCGGACGATCCGCAACGGTGGGTCGGGGCCTACCATAACGGCGACGACGAGGATTTGTTGTTTGAGCGGGGCGGATTATTACGGGGCGCCGTCCTGATAAACCTGCCCGAGGCGGAGCCGTACGGCGCCTTGACGCTAAAAGCGCACGGCTTCGACGGCGAACTGCCGAACCTGGACTTTTTCCACCTCGCGGCGACGGCCTTCCCCCAACTCGTACATACAGAGAGCGGCTTTGAATCTAGGGCGCCGCCGCGGCCCCGCTCGACGTATTCGGAGCGGTCCAGGGCGTTAATGACGTGGGCGAAACGATTGGCGGGCGGCGCGTCGGGGCCGCACGCCCACTTTTTGCGGCGGGGCATCGACGCCGTCACGCTCGAGCCGACCCAAGCGCTACCGAACGCGAGGCAGACCTTCGATGAGAGTAGAGTCGGCACGGGCGTCGAACTCATAATAAGGTCAATGAACATCGTTGAGCACGAGCTCCACCACGGCGCCTCCCAGTATCTGTTGATGGACTCTACAAAATTCGTGTCCTTCGACGAGGTGGCGTTTCCACTGATGCTCACGGCGTTGCCGCTCGGCGTCGAGGCCGCCAAAGAACTTAGTGAGTACGCCTTCGACGCTATTGTGCTACAAAGGGACATCCCCCACACGATCGTGCGGCATTTTTGGTACGTGCTGGCGCCGATGGCGTTTGGTATGGGGTCAGTCTACGCGTGTTTCCGCGCACCGCACCTCGTCGGTCTTTTGGTGGGCCTGGCCTACGCCGCGGCGGTGATTGTCGTATCACGACTAAATTCCGACCGTCGATTAGCTAGAGCGACGCTACTCCTCGCGGCGGGCTACGCGCATACGCCCCTCGTCCTCTCGCAGCCATGCGTCTTGCTGTGGGTCGGCGCGCCTCTTACGCTGGTCCTGGCGACGCTGCGGCCGCGCGCCGACGGCTTTTTGTATGTCGCGCTTTCCTTCTTTCTCTGGCTGGCGCTGTCGCCTCCTTTCATTGCGTTTTTGACTGTTGGCTCGTGGGGCGCGGCCGTCTCCCTCTTGAGCCGCGACGCCGTCGCGCTGGGCCTGCCGGACCGCAAGCTCCTCTACGCCGGCGTCGCGTACGTGCCCGTGCACGCGGGCGCGCTGGCCTACCTGCTCTTCGCGCCGCGGCGGCCGGCGCCGCTGGATTTGGATGTGGAGCTGGCGAAGAAGGAGAGATAGTACCTTAAATTAGGAATCTTAAGGGAGGGGGCGCGCCGCGAGCCAGGCGTGGAGGCGCACGTCCACGTCGTGTTGCCGCAGGATGCGATCGCGGATGCTGGTCGGCATGGCCGCGGCGAGTCTGTTGAAGCCGCCGCTGCCTCCGGCCCTTGTGCGGTGGTGTGGGAACGTCACGGTCGTGCCGAGGAGTTGGGAGAGTTTCTGCGCCGCGCGCTCGTCCATGCGCTCCAGCGCCACGGCGAAGTCGAACGCATCGAGGACACGCTTCGCGACCTGGAAGGCCACCTCGCTCGACGAGACGGCGATACCCACGTCGCTCGTCAAGTCGCTCAGCACTCGGCCCGCGCCTCGCCCGCAGTCGCACGAGAACGCGAACCCGATGCGACCTGTGTGGAAATCAACCAGTGCGTCGGGTGCACCCGATAATTCTTCACGAAGTCATTTCTCGACGATGACGCAGCCGTGTTGGCTCGGTCGATCGGTGAGGAACCGGCATCGCCACGCCATCGAGCAGGCGTCGCGTCGATGGCGTGGAGGGCGACGAGACGATTCTGCACGAACACGCCGTAAAATTTTGATTTCCACACAGGTGGCGACCGCGGCGCGTCTTGCCCTCCGCGAAGGCGTTGCAGCAATCGATCTGCCGCGCCGCGGCCTGGTCGACGTCGTGGAGCCACCGGGGGTGGAACGTCGGCTCGGCGCAGGTCCCCGGCGCCGCGACGTCGCATTGTTCGGAGTTCCGCCCCTTCAACCCGCGCGGTTTGCAGTCCGCGGGCGCCTTCGTCACGCGGGCGAAGCCGAGCAAGCGCCGCGTGTAGTAGTTCGGCGCCGCGCACCTGTGCCGCGTGCACGAGCCGTCGAGGAAGGCGCCCCAGGCCGTTGCGTTGCGGTTCGCGGCCGGGTTCCGGTCCCCGAAGTTGTTCTCGGAGTGGTACAAACTCACGAGCCGGTGCAGCGGGTGCCGAAGTACCGTGACGTAGAGCACGCCCGCGCTGGTCTCCGGTTTGCAGAACAAATTCGGGTTGAAGGGCCGGAGATCCTCCTTGGCGACGAGCAGCGAGCCCCCGTCGACGCCGACGCGCCCCGCGACTCGCTTGAGCGCGGCGAGCATGCTCGTCCCCGCCACCTTGCGATGATTCAAAAAATACGCAACCTTCAGGTCCGGCGGCGGGGCGGCGCCGGTCGCGCGCGAGCGCAGCGGCGATCCGTGGCAGGGCATGTCGCAGGCCTCGCCCCCCGGGTCCGCGACGCACTTTTCGAGGCACGCGGTCGCTACCGCGCACGGACCACTTCTTAATTCCCTGTCGTCGCACGCGACGTCCGGGTGGCACCGCATCTCGCGGCCGCTGCCGCGGCACCTGTATCCCTGGCCGCAGTACGTCGACGGGCCCGGGGGCGTCCGTGCCCGAGGCCGCGTATCCCGTCCCTCCGGGGCCGCGCAGACAAGCGCGGCCAGGATGAAACAAAGTGGCGACATTTGTTTAAGTACTCAATCTCTGTTTGTCCGCGAGCGAGTGCTTATCTTGCCTTGCGTATGGCAATCGAATTTTTAGTAATTAGACTCAGCCAGGAGTCAGCCTGTTTTGCGCCTGTCTGAGACTCGCCGTCTCGATAGATACGACGCGGTGTCGGCCTTTTTGGTCTGCGCTGACTCTTGTTGCGCCCAGTCTCGCCGTCTCGATAAATAGACGCGGTGCCGGCTTTGGATTTTGTGGCTCGGTACCAGCCAGGTACCAGCCAGGTACGTACAGGTACGGTACGGTCGGTACGGTTACCATAACCGGAAATGTATGGTTGGCTTTTAGGTAATTTTATTTACAGCAGAAGAGAAGGGGAAGTTGCTAGCTGGACGTCCTCGGGCGCGCGTACGAAACCGGCGCGCCGCCAGCCCGCGGTCTTTGGTCCACAACAAGGACTCGGGAATGTTTTCCTACCAGAACGGCAGGAGCCGCCGCCTTTTCACGGAGAAGGGCGCCAGCGCTCTAGAAAGAGACGCGGCCTCGGGCCGGTCGCCGGGCGCCTCGGCCCACGCCAGGCTCAACAGAGACGCCACTCCACTATTGGTTGGCCGGCCCTTCAAAGGAGGCCGGTCGTGCAGCTCGAGGTGCGTCCGCCGCAGGTCCTTCAAAGTTTTTTCCGCGTAGGGCGCCTGCCCGCACAGGGCAAACCATGCTACCATGGCCCACGAGTATATATCAACTTTCAGCGAGTAGGGGTCGCCTCGAAACGCTTCCGGCGCCATCCATCGTACGGTCCCCGTCTCGCCCGTCATCACATATTGATCATTGGCTGTTCTTCCGGGGAAGGGTCGCGCCAGTCCAAAATCTGCCAATTTTGCGGAACCGTCCCGACAGATCAGCACGTTTTTGGGTTTCACGTCTCTATGGACTATTGCCGGCCGTAACGAGTGTAAGTGCGCCAAGGCTTCCGCGACATGTGCAGCGACCCTCCTTGCGCCTCTTACATCCAGCCAGTTCCTCACAGCGTCATCTAGCGTTCCTCGGCTACAAAACTCCATCACTATGGTCGGCTGTGTTTGGGCAAAGGCCGCGCCGAGCAACTGCACTATTCTAGGACCTTGCGCAGCTTTCAGTAACACGAGTTCCCGGCAACCAGCAGCCGCGGTCTTCGGGGAGAAGGTCTTGACCACACATTTCTTGCCTCGCGACTTGCCCACGCAGACCTTGCTGCCCGCTCGTTCGCAGAGTATCCTGGACGTGGGCATCTTGCCCCGGAACAGCAAAGGGCCGAGCGGTGCCTCGACAACCACATCCGCCTCCCGGCTCTCATTCAGGTCCTCGTCCGACGCGCGCGCGGGCCGACACGCGTGTGATTCCGCCGGCTGGATCAGATTCAAACCCACCACCACATTGTTGGACTTGATCGCCTCGAGCCCATCGCCCCAGCTCTCGCCGCCGGCCAGCTGGGGCTCGACGCGCACGGCCTCCGGCGTCGCCGGCGCCTCCTCTGGCGTCTTCTTGGTCGGCGTGGCCGGCGCTAGGGGCGCTATAAAAGTTTTACCCGTCATGGCTGTGGAGGCGCCTTCTCGATGCGGCGCGCGGGCTGCGCCGGCGCACAGACGCAGTACAGGTGAGATGGATCCCAATTACAAGCGGGGAAGGGCTGCGCCTCGCGGCCAGATCCCCTGTACGCACGCGGAAGAGGCCAAGTTGGATGGCGTGTCCGTGGATCTGAGCCTCCGGGTTTCGAAAATGCGCGGTGCGCAGGAAGCGTATGACGACGTTTCGCAGCGTGCGTGACGCACTGGTACGCGTGCGAGCGGCAACCGGCGTCGGCGTCGAGGACACGACCCGCGCATCTGACCCGCGCGGGACGCCGGGGCTCCGCATCTGGGCTCTGCCCACTAGTCCTGGCGCGTGCGAGCTTGCAACAGAGAATATACGCCGCGCGAATGTCCCCACCCCCGACGCCATCGACGCGCCGCGGCGCAGGAATAAGGCCCCTCGGGACGCGCCGCCGACGCGAAAGAACGTATAAAGGTCCTTAGGGCAGGAATGGGGACCTACTTCGGCCCGTCGCCGGGCCCGAAGTCCTCGGGCCGCCGCTTCGGCTGCAATTTCCCGGACTCCTTGAGCGAGTCGAACATCTCCAGCGCGTTGAGGATGGCCTGGTCCATGTTGAAGTACTTGTAGGACGCTAACCGGCCGACGAAGCAGACGTCCGACTCCTTCTCGGCCAACTGTCTGTAACGTTCGTACAACGCGCGGTTTTCCGGGTTCGGCACGGGGTAGTACGGGTCGCCCTCCGCGGAACTATATTCCTTGGCGATGCGCGTGCCCTTGACTTGACCTGCCTTGACATTGCTAGGTTGGTTCGGCACGTGCTTGTACTCGACGATGCGCGTGAAGGGCACGTCGGACGAGGGGTGGTTGACGACGAACGCGGGCTGGTAGAAGCCGTCCTCGGGCTCTTCAATGAACTCCTCCTCAAATCTTAAAGAGCGGTACTCGAGCTTCGGGAGGCCCTGGGCCGCGAAGTAGGCGTCGATGGGGCCCGTGAAGACGAGCTTGCCATGCGCGGGCAACAGCCCAGCCTCTCTAGCGGCGAAGAAGTCGACATTGAGCTTGATGGTAATTTTGGGGTCCCTGAGCAGCATATTTTCAAAAATACGCGTATAACCGCGAACGGGCAATGCCTGCCAGGCGTCGCCGAAGTAGCGGTCGTCCGTCGACGTTCTACAAGGCAAGCGCATCAGCACCGAGGCGTCTAATTCCGCGGGATACTTGTCCCACTGCTTCTTCGTGTAGTGCTTGAAGATGCGCTCGTATAAGAGAGGTCCGACTCGAGATAGAGCGGCCTCCTCCCCGTTCTTCGCTTCACCACTTGACGGCTTGACGCGCTGGCCCTCGTACCACCGCAGCATGTCGTCCTCTGAATTGATGTTGGCGTCGGGAAATAGGGTGTTGACCGTCTCCTGCGTCGGCGGAATCGGCACCAGCTTCTTCACGCCCTCGAAGTCGGGCACCATGCCCCTGACCCTGTGATCATTAGCCATCCACTCGCTAAAGCGTGTCACGTACTTCCACACTCTTTCATATTTCGTATGGAACAAGTGCGCGCCGTACTTACTACAGCGGATGCCTGCTTCGTCCAGATAATCGTAGCAGTTGCCTCCGATGTGGTCTCTGACATCGATAATGAGTGACGTCATTCCCAGTTCTCTCGAACAGCGCTCAGCTAGCACACAACCGGATAAGCCACAGCCGACAATCAACAAGTCGTACTTCTTGTACTTGAGCGGGCCGAGGTCGCCGCTCAGCGTATCCCTATCTAGCTCAAGAGGCGCTTCGGACGTCTCGCCGGCCTGGAAGAGCTCGTCGACGCCCTCTCTGTCTCCTACTTTGTTCATACTACGCCAGGGCTCGGCGGCGCGGTGGGGCCAGGGGCCCTTGCCCTCCTCGGGCGGGCGCTGAAAACACTCCTTGATGAAACGCATTTTTTTTCGATTTGTGTTTGTGCTGGATGCGCAGCGGTGGCGGCGTGCAATTTCCTTGCGTTGGCAGCTTGCAAGAGTGTTAGCGATGCACCGACAGCTTTGCTTGCAACGGGGGTCGGCGGCGAGCGTACACGTCGTGTCGGCTTTTGGGAGAGGATGGATGCCTGAAATAATTGGGGCTGTTTGGAGCTGAGCCTTAGAGACGGTCTAGTAGTATTAGTATGTGCCGTACGCGTCTCCAATACGTCCAACAGCTCGCAGACATCCCGCAGCTACCGACTGTAAGACACACTAGCCAGCAAAGCACGAGGCGCGGCGTCTCTCGCGCGTCGTATACAGCTTAACTGAAGCGCAAAAAAGCTGACTAGGAGTACGCTACGTTGTGATCCAAACCGCTACGCCGGCTGCGCGCATCGCTGCGCCGCGTAGACGCTCCCAAGCTACAATCTCGCCGCCGCTGCGGCATCGCTGCCGCCGCGGCGCGCGCCCTCACGCCGCCGCCGCGAGCGCATAAATAGACCATGGCCGCTCTAGTGGACGACGCCGACCGCGAGATGGCCGACGTGCCGAACTCGATGAAGGGCCACCGGGCCTGCCTCCGGTGCGGCCTCGTGAAGTGTTTTGATCAGTTTTATGCGGAGGGCTGCGAGAACTGTCCCTTCCTCGAATTGGCCGAGCGGCAGGACCGCGTCCAGAGCTGCACGACCTCCAATTTTGAAGGGATGGTCGCGATGATGAAGCCCGACGACTCCTGGGTCGCGCGCTGGGAGGGCATCTCGCGAAATTTGCCGGGCGTCTACGCCATGCGGCTCGAGGGCGAGATGCCGCCGCAGATCATGCAGTTTTTGAGGGACAAGCGTATTAGCTGCAGAGCGACGGCGCCCGGCGAGGGGGGCTCGCAGATACCCCCGCAAGGCTAATATTTGGATTTTACTCACAACTCCCCCAGGAACCGCATGGCCGGGTGGTCCGCGTCGTGCGCGTCGCGGGCGATGTCATGGACGCTCTGGCCGTACTTCGTCCTTTTGGCCGCGTCGGCGCCCTTGGCGACGAGGAGCCTCAAGACGTCGGCGTGGCCGCTCCGGGCCGCTTCATGTAAAGCTGTCCAGCCGTTCTCGTCGCCGTCGTCCAAGAAGTCGACGGCCACGCGGTCCAGCAGCGCGTGCAGCTCCGCCACGTCCCCCCGCTGCGCGTGCTTGCGCGCCGCCGCCGCATTCACCACGCGCAAGCGCTGCGTCTCCTCGGGCGTCGGCGACGGCGCGCCGAAGCCCTCGTACTCCTGGACGGGGTTCTCGACGCCGCGCGGCAATGATGGGGAAGGCCGCCCCCTTTTCGACCAATAAGCATCAAAATGCCGCAGGAAGGGCGGCGGCCCCGCGTTCGCGACGGCCCTCCGCCGGAAGAAGCCCGACGCCTCCTTCTCTTCAAAGTCCGGCGGCACCATGACGTGGCCGTCCCACATCGTCCAGTTCCAATTTTGGGCCGGGAACCAGTGTAAAAACACGCTGGCGTAGGCGCGGCCCCGCATCGGCTGCAAGCGCGCGTGGTACTGCTTCGCGGACTCATAATAACAAACCTCGCCGGGCTTGAGGTTGACCTGTGTGAAAATCAAAATTTTACGGCGCGTACGTGCTAAATCGTCGCGTTGACCTCCACGCCATCGACACGACGCCTGCTCGATGACGTGGCGATGCCGGTTCCTCACCGCTCGACGGAGCCAGCATGGCCGCGTCATCGCCGCAAAATGACTTAGTGAAGAATTACCAGTGCACCTGACACACTGGTTGATTTCCACACAGAGTTTGACCTCGTGCCAATTGCCGTCGTGGTCTTCAATCTCCAGCGGCCAGGGCTCGTCGAGGTCGTGGTCGATGTGGAAGATCGCGCTAATTACATGTGTTTCACATCTATCGATGTGGTTGACCAATGTGGAACCTTCCCCGTAGACGCGGACGCCGTAGGACTGGCCGTTCTGCAGCTCAATCCCGCTCCACTCTTCGAGGTTCGGTCTCAGTCCGTCCAACAACTTTGCGTTCAATTGCGATTGTGAATAAAATCGAGCATTCCCCGTGCCCTGCATCTTCTCCTTTCGTAGTTGCGAGAAGGCGACGGGGTCCCTCACGTTCTTATCGTACTGCGCCTTGAGCTCTCTGTAGAACTCCGTATCACTATAGTCGACGACCGCGAAACCCTTCTCCGTGAAGCGGGGCATCGCCCTAGATTGAACCATGCTGGACCACTCGTCCCAGGTCGCCTTGTACGTCGTCAAATTCCGCCGGATCCACGCCTCCATCTCGTCCCTGGACTTTTTGTACGCGGCCGACTCCTTCCGTGCGACGGGCGGCCAGCCCTGCGTCGCTTTGGTTGGGGGCCAGCGATACCCGTTCCTCTCATAAAATTCGATGCGCTCCGTCTCGGGCATGCCCCGGTAGCCGCGGTGGGGGCCCGGATAGGTCGCTTCCACGGCCAGCAAGGTTGCGAGCAGGCGCATCATATCGGGGCAGCGTCGACGGCGTCTAAGGAGTAATGTCTGGCCGAGGAAAGTCTTGTGCCGTGCGCAGTCCGTCGATGGCATGCACGAGGCTGCTGGACACAAAATTTAATTTTGCAACTTTTCCCTAGTATGTCACGCCACGCTAGTGTTTGGCTGCCGGCGCTTTGGCTTTGGAGGGTGATTTACTGGTCGCCAGGACACCGCCGGCTCCGATTCATCGTCAGAGCAGCTGCCTGGACGAGCCGGGCGAGTTTTAAGGGGCTGCCCGGGGCGCTGGGGACGCTCACAACACATCCACGGATCTTGCTGCCCCCAGCAGAGATGCGACGCGCCCTCGCGTGCCTCCTCGCGGCCACGATCGTGGCCACGACGGCCGCCGCCGCGCGCCTCCGCGGCGCGGCCGACGACCGCGAGCGACGGCGCCTGAACGCCCGCACGCGCGCCGCGCACCACCTCGCGGCCATGGCGACGCACGACGACGAGGCCTGGTGCCGCTCGAACAAGCACGCGCACCACGTCAAGCCCGGGACCTCGTTCGGCACGCTGCAGACGGCGGCGCACGAATCAAATTCACGGCGCTTCCAGACGTGCACCCGACTCACCTGGTTGAATTGCGCGCAGGCAGACGGACGGCCAGAAGGAGTGGGTCGACCGCAAGTGCGACCAGTTCTTCTGCAAGCACCACCATCGGACGGGCAAGGGCAAATACAAGTGCGAGCCCCTCGCGATACCTGAAGAGCACCTGCTCGCGCTGGATAACCCGGGACCTTAAGTTATCAAACTTATCTCCCCTTCGTACTTCGCGAGGTAGGCGTCGAGGCGCTCGACGAAGTGCAAAGCCGCCGGCACGTTGCGGTGCACGAGCGCGACGTTGCTCTTGTGTCGCTTCTCCCAGAACGAGTCGGGCGACGCCGCGCCCCAGAAGCGACCTAGAACAAAACGCCCGTAGTCGATCGTCGCGAGCTCGTAGTGGCGCCTCGCAAGTTTTGAATCATAATCTTGCCCGAGGAACCGCAGGTAGCGCTGTAATAAATCGGCCTCGTGCGTCCGCAGGTCCCCAGGCATCAGCGCGTGCGTCAGGTGCATGGCCACGTCGGCCATACCGTAGCCAACACCAGTGGACGCGAAGTCGATCAGCAGCGCGTCGGGGTCCGGATTATCTCGCGGCAAGAACGCGTTCATCGCCTTGAGGTCGCCGTGGACGAGGCACGCGTGCTTATCTGAAGGCGCCGGCGCGAGCTGCGCCGCGACCCAGGGCGCCGCGCGCCGCAGCCGCTCGCCTAAATTGACCCGCTTCTCAAAAAATCCGGCCGGCGCCTCCTCGGCGAAGTTCTTTACAAAAGTCTCCCAATTCGCCACGATCTTCTCGAGCTCCGCGGGGTTGCGGATCTTGAGGGCGAAGGACCCGCCCGGGTGCTGCAATCTTTCGGACGCTCTCTTCAGTAGATTCGTATCCTCCCACGACGCAGAATGCAGGCGCGCGACGGCAGACAATATCAATGCGGACTTGTCCGCCGGTAGCGGAGAGCCCTGGTCATACCCCAGAACGGGCTCCATCCAGAGCAGCGCGCCGCACTTTGATAAGTCTGATGGCTCCTCGGGGACGGCGCCGCCCAGTTGACCTGTCACTTTTTCCAGTTGATCCTCGACGCCATATACAGTAGGGTAGCGCACGCCCCTTTCCTTAAGCTCGGGGAACTCGGAGTAGAAACGGACCTCATTCCTCATATAGAGCAGGGACCGCCTCCGGTCGTTCCAGGCCTTGTGCGCGACCTGCGCCGCCGTCATCTTCTTCACGAAGAGCCTTTTTGTGGAACCGTCGTCCAATGCGAGGTCGAGCGCGCCCGTGATGGAGTTGGGCTGCGCGAGTTCGTGGACCAATTCGCAGCTTATGACAGTTTGTGCCATGCCGTGCTCGCGCAGCATCGCCGTGAGCTTCTGCGGGTCGTGCGGCGCGCCGTCGATGCCTAAAATTATGCTCGACGCGTTCTGCTCGGCGAGCTTGATGTCCGCGGACATGTCGTGCTGGGCTGCCATTTTGTCTGTGCTGCTTGGCAATGGTCGCGTCGACAGCGTTTGCGCCGCGTGGCCGCTGCACACTGGCTGCTGGCGGCTGGGCTGCTCCTTTGAAGCAAGCAGCGACGTGAATCTCGCCAGCGATGCGAGCAAATGAGCTGATGCGAGAGATGTCTAAAATGCTGCACGGCAAATGCGGTCCAGGGCTCGAGACCTCAACAAAAAAAAAAAGGCTAGCGACAATGACACACTAGCGAAAAAAAACACCGCTCACACGAGTCGTCAGCTCGGACTAGGAACACCCATACAACATAAAAAAGAGCACAAAAAACTTACCGCCGCTCGGGCGTCCGCGGCGGCCGGCCCATGGGCGAGGCCGCGCGCGCCGGCGCCACGTTCTTCTTGGCCTGCCCCAGCGCCACGTCGTGGGCCCGCGCGGCAAACCGCAGGCTGCAGAGCGTCTCGGGCACGTCGTCGGCGTCCGTCGACACGTTCACGAACATGAGGGCCTTGGAGTCGCCGCTCAGCGAGTCCTGGAGTAAATAGGTCAGTTTCGAATTGCGGTAGGGCACGTGGCCGCGCCTTTGGGAGGCGAGCGCCGTCAGGACATCCCCTAAAGCCGACAACGACTTGTTGATGGCCTTGGCCTCGGTCAACCTATCTCCCGTGGCGCCCGTCTTGTCGAGGCGCTCCGAGCCCGCGAGGTCGACCAAATGCAGTTTTGAGGAGAGCGCGTCGCCGGCGGCGGTCGTGCCGCGAATGTACAGCGTCACGATGGAGTGGGACCGCGACGAGTCCTTGTTCAGGGCGTGCGCGCCCGCGGCGCGGTGCCGCGCGCCGGCCGCGATCAACTTCTCGATCTCGTCGGCCGTGAACACGGACTGTTTCGTGAGGCCCTTCACGACGGACTCGCCCGTCGCCGTCGCGACCTCGAGCCGCTCCGCGGCGGCGCCGGGCGGCCGCAACAGGTCGCGGACCTGCTCGTTGTAGATCTCCAGCATGCTTATTTCCAACGGTTCGTAACTGACACCGTCACTTCGCATGGACGCGGCCTCGAGCACGCGCGCGATGGCTCTTACATTAACACCCCGCTTGTCGGCCGGGCCCTCCATCGTGTACGTCTTCCCGCTCCCCGTCTGGCCGTACGCGAAGATGCACACCGAGTACCCGTCGAGCGCCGACGTCACGAGGTCCCGGACACTATCAAACACTTCAATCTGCGACGACGTCGGGTCGAAGACCGCGTCGAACTCGAAGTCCGCGTCATCACAATACTCCGGCTGCCTTATTTTGACGCAGCCCTCTCTCGGAAAAAGCGCCGACGGCGCGCCGGCCCGCGGCGGCCGCGCGCGGCACATCACTCGAATATTGCCCTGGAGCTCCATGACGCGGTTGTGGAGCTTGCGCCGCTTGTCCCGCTCCTCGTCCGCGAGGCGCTCCGCGGCCTTCACTTGCGCGCGCGCCGCCGCGAGCTCGTCCCGGAACTCGCGCTCGATCTTCAGCCGCTCTCCTCTTATCGCCGCGGCCACGCGGTCCCCGATCTGGGCCGCGTTCTCTGCTTCCAACTCCCGTATCTTCTGCTCGGCGGCGGCGACGCGCGCGTCCGCGGCCGCCTCGAGGTCGTTGATCGACTTCTCCGCCCGCAACACGCGCGCGTCGTGCTCCCGCAGCTTCCGCTCGGCCTCGTCCCTGGCCTTCGCGGCGTCCTCCTTATGTATCCGCAAGCCCTTGAGGTCGCCCTCGCATTCATCAAGGCGCCTCCTCAGATCCGCCGCGTCGCGCGTTGCTCGATCGCGCGCGTCCGCCGCGTCCCGCAGCGCGCCGGCGCTCGGCCGCGCCGCGGCGTCGGCCTCGGCCGCCGCGCACTTCGTCCTCAATGCATCGGCCTCGGCCCGCGCGGCGTCGCGCGCCGCGACGGCGTCCTGGTATAATGAGGACGCCGGCCGCGCCGCGGCGTCGCGCTCCGCGTCGGCAACGCGCCGTCGTAGGACGTCCAGTTCGCTCCGTAGTGCATCCGCCGCCGCCTCGGCGTCGCGGAGTGTTGATGAAGCCGGCCGCGCGGCGAGCTCGGCCTCGAGCGCCTTTACGCGAGATGCGAGGCGGGGGTCCGTTTTGGATTCGAGGCGCGCGCGCGCCGCATCAACACTTACAGCAGCGAGCGCCGCGTCCATCGATGCCAACCGCCCCGCCGCGCCATTCTCGACGCCCTTGCGCGCGTCGACGAGTTCGAGCTCCAACTCAAAAATCTTCGCCTTGGCCGCCCGCAGCGCCGCGAAGGTTTTGGTCGAGTCCGAGGACGGCGCCGCCGCGTACTGGACGTCCTGATCATTTAATTGCCGCTCGAAGACCGCCAAACGCGTCTGCTGCGCGTCGCGCTGCGCCGCGAGCTCCGCGATGGTCCGCGCGTCGCGCTCGGATAACCGCGAGGCTTCCGACGCGAGCTTGCCGTACTCATCCACCAAACCGTCGACGGTGGCGGCGTCCTGCAGCGCGCGGCCCAGCTTCTGCGCCGTGTCGCGCGACGACGTCCGCTCCGCCTCCAAGGCCTCCTCCATCGAGACGACCATGCCCTGCAGCTTGCTGATGCGCCGCCGCAGCGCGTCTCGATCGTCGACGTCCACATCATCGATGGACACGGGCTCGAGAGCTTTCCGCTCCTCCTCGCCCCAGCCCTCTTCAAACGCGTCCTCCTCGCCCTCGTCGTTCAGTCTCTCATCAAGACGCTGCAGGGCCTTCGAGCCCCGCGAGACGAGGGCCTTGAACATGGCCTTCGTGAGGGCTGCGGCTGCCCCGGGCCAGTATGTGTGGCGGTGCCCCCCCCTGGCAGCAGCTGTCGTACGCGCTGCCCCAAGCCTGTTAATTGACTTTTAACTATCGCGTCGTCATCCTGGCCGCGCGCACGGACGAACGGCACGGCACCAAACGCAAAACGTCGGGATGTTTGCTAGAGCCTTACATGACGCTAGCTCGGCTGCACAACGCATAAGCCACGGGCGGCCGCACTGGAGGCCGCGGGGCGGCTGGACACGTCCAACGCATTCTCTCCGTGCACCGGGGCAGCTTTCGACACGTGCCGGGCAGCTCTTGTATTGATAGCATGGGCACCGCCTGGTCCCGGGAGGCCGCCGCGTTGCTAGAATGCGACGTCGAGGAACCACAAGAGCCATCATCGAAAGACATCAACTATGAAAAATTCTTCAAAGATATTGATGAACTGAGGGAAGTGAGGAAGCTGTACGACGACGCCGAGGACACCGCGTGTCCAAAAAGGCTGCCCCACGACTTCAAGTGGTGGCCCCAGGACGAACGGGGCGTCTTCAAGGATGAAGGTATTCAATTAGGCTTGGACGGGACGCCCGTGGAGACGGTCGACGAACTTTATCAAGTTGCGGAGCCCGCGCGGTACCTGTTCGAGACGACTATCAGTAGTTTCCTGCGGCGCATGGCCTACGAGGACGACGAGGAATTGCGGAAGGCGTCGGCAGCGTGTCACTTTGCGTGCGCTTCGTTAAAAGACCGCGGCGCCTGCGCAAGGAAAGCGTCACGGTCTCACGTGTCCAAGGTTTTTGACGTCGTGCGCGGGACGTTAATTTGTGATTCGGAGGCGTCGTTGGCGGCGCTGTGCGACGCCATGGACGACGACGAATTCGTGAAAGTGGTACGGACGAAGAACCGGTTCGCGCGGCCGGGCGCGACGGGCGTTCGCGATTTACTAGCGTCCGTCTCCGTTAATGTTGCGGCGACGCTCATGCCGTCGAGCAACGCCAATGACATCGTAGAGCAAGAGTTACCGACGCTCATCGATGAGAAGGGTGAGCTTGACCACGACGCTCTGGAAAGACACGTCACGTCCAAAGTAGCCAAAGAACCGACGGTGGCCCACCGCTGCGAGCTGCGCATCACTTTGAAACAATTCGAGGCGTGCGACCGGCGCGGCCTGAAAAGCTACGCGGCCTTCGCCGACTTTTTCGCCGGTTGTCCGTCCAAGAGGACTAGCATGCTTCGCGCGTCGCGGCACGAGTTAATACTCGGCGTGCCGGCGATCGAAGCGACGAAGGAAGCGCTGCTGAAGTGGGGCTTCAACGTCCACGGCCGGTCGGCGGAGCAGCTCGGGAACTTCGCGGAGCTGTTCTGGTTCCTCGGCGATAGGGAGCCCTGTATGGAAATAAGAGAGCGGGCCGCGCTGGCGGCGGCCATGAAGGCCGGGTCCGTGTCGCGGGACCACGCGACGCATCTCACGAATCTAGGTTTGGAACTGGCAAAGCATAAAAGACATACGGAGGCCGCGGCGGCGTTGGAGGACGCGTGTTCTACCTGGGAAGACGTCGGCAGCACGGGCATCAACGCGGGGAAAGCAATGAAAGTGCGCGCCCGGCGCACGGAGGAGCTGCTGCACGCCGGGGACGTGGCCGCGGCGCTGGCGAACGCGCGGGAGGTACTTAAAGAACAGAGGAACCCGGCGACGCTCCTGGCGCTCGCGCGGTGCCTCCGCCTGTCCCAGGAATATAAGGAAGCGGAACCCTTCATACGGGAGGCGCTTGATATTACAAAGGAGAAGCGCACAAAAGCAACGGGCCTCTACGAGCTCGCGTCCATACTAGTGGGCCTCGGGGACCCCGAGCGCGCCGAGGAGTGCGTCGCGCGCTACGAGGAAAGCATTGTGTTGTTTGAGAAGCTGGGCGACGACCGGCTGGGCCTGGCCCTCCAGGGCCTCGCGAACGTGCATCGTAGGATCGGTGATTCGGACCGAGCGCGGGACTACCAAGCCAGGGCCGCGGTCTGCCTCGGGCATGTCTTGGGGAGGGAGCACCGCTACCAGATCGCCATGGGCCGCGCCTGCGATTTATTGAACGACATGCCTGAGCCGGATGAAGAAAAACGCCTCGACCGCGACACCGAGGACACGTTGCGGCGGGAGGTGCGCCTCGATGCTGAAGAACTAGGCCAGGACCATTTGCAAACGAGCGAGGCCGTGACGCGCCTCGCGGAGTTCTTGCGAGCCACCGATCGGCCGGCGAAGGCGCTGCCGCTCTACCGCCGGGCCCTCGCGACGATCGAAACTAGATTGGGGCCGAAGCACGCGGCGTGCTGCGGCGCGCGGCGGAAGCTGGGGCGGTGCCTCGCGGCGCTCGGTGAAAATGAAGAGGCGTCGCGCGTCCTGAAGCGCGCGCTGGATCTAAGTCTGGCGGCCTTCGGGGAGGACCACGTGGAGGTCGCTCTGGTATTATGCCAGTACGCGCAGGTCGTCCTCAACTTAGGAGACGAGGACAAGGCCCTCGGACTGTTTGAAAGGAGCCACGCGATCCACGCGAAGCGGCCGAAGGCGGAGCTGGGCGACGCGGCGGCGGCGCTGAACGAGCTCGCGGACGCCGTCGAGGCGCGGCGCGGGCCGCGCCGGACGCGCGACCTGTTCCGGCGCCGGGCCATCGCGATCGCCGCGCTGGCGCACGGCGAGGCGTCCCTCGAGCAGGCCGAGCCGCTCGAGCGCCTTGCCAAGGACAAGGTCGAGGAGGGGGCCTGGGTCGAGGCCCTCGAGCTGTCGTCGCGGGCGCTCGAGGCGCTGCGGAAGGGCGGCGACGCGAGGCACGTCGCGTTCGCTTTGGATAGGAAGGCGACGGCATTGCAGGCCCTGGGCCGGGCGGCCGAGGCCGAGCCGCTGCTCCGGGAGGCCCTCGCCGTCCACCGGACGCAATCCACAGCCTTCGAGGCCGCGACGGCGGAGACGCACCTCGCGTCGGCGCTGCGCGAGGCGGGGCGCGTCGAGGCGGCCGCGCCGCTGCTCCATCACGCCATTGACGTGACCGAGGCGGCGTTGGGCGGCGACCACCCGGGGACGGTGCGGCTCGACCGCGAGGCGGCGCGGCTCGTCGCGGCCTACGCGGCGGCGCTGCCCCCCGACGGCGGCGGCGGGCCGTCGGACGACGACGCGATTTCGTACGACGACGATCGTACGGCGTCGGACGCCTCCGACGCCACGCCGGCGGCGCCGGTGGTCGCGGTCGCCGCCGCGGAAACTGCTGGCGACGACGCCGCCGCCGCCGCGAAGCGCCTCGCGGCGCACTACCTCCGGAGCGGGGACGCGCGGCAGGCCGTCGCGCCGGCGCGCCGGGCCGTCGCGCTCCGCGCGAGCGAGCTCGGGAAGGAGCACCCGAATACGTTGACGATGGTCGACCTCCTCGGCCGCTGCCTGGGCGCCGCCGGCCAGCTCCAGGAGGCCGAGAGTTTGCTGCGGTTGGCGGCCGGCGGCCTGGCGCGGCACCTCGGCGACGACCACCCGGCCGTCGGCGCGTCGCTCTCGAACCTCGCGGCCGTGGTCCAGAAGCGCGGCGCCTGCGCCTACTACCGGGGCGACTACGCCGACGCGTCGGGCGCGCGCGACTACGCCGAGGCGCTGTACCGGCGGGCGCTGGGCGTCTTCGACCGCGACGCGCGGACGCCGCCCGAGACGACGTTGACCGCGCTGCGGAACCTCGGCGACTGCCTCGTGGAGAACGGCAAGCCGTCGCAGGCGGCGCCCGTGCTCGGGCGCGTGGTCCAGCTCCGCGAGCGTTTGGGGTTGCCGCTCCTGGGCTGCGTCGAGGACCACGCGGCCATGCTCCACGACGCCGGCAAGCACGCCGCGGCGGAGGCGCCATACCGGCGGGCCTTGGCATTGGCTCAGAAAGCTTTCGGTTCCGAGAGCGTCGACGCGCTGCCCGCCCGGGAGAACCTCGCGGCGCTGCTGTGGGACGCCGGGAAGGCGGGCGAGGCGGAGCCCGAGTATCGGATTGTACTGGAGCGGCTGGAGGCGCTCGTCGGCGGCGCGCACCCCGACGCCGCGGCGGCGTGCCACGACCTCGGCGAGGTGCTGGTCGAGCTCGGGCGCGGGGACGAGGCGCGCCCGCTCCTCGCGCGGGCGCTGGAGGGCTACGGGGCGTACTTCGCCGCCGACCACCCCGACGTCGTCGCCCTCAAAGCGCGGCTCGCGGGCGACCTCGCGCCGCTCGCGCCGGGCCAGGGGCACCGCCCGCGGTCGACGCATCGCAAGGGCCGCGGGAGCCGGCGGTCGAAAGCCGTGCCCGCGTCTGGAGGGGTGCCGGAGGCGCCGCGGCCCTAGTAATGTGTGTGCGATATATGTCTTTTTCAGGCTCAGGCTCAGACTAGTATGTTTGTTCGCTAGCTCCAGTCCCGGCGCTGCCACAGCTTCTTGGGTCCAGGGACGGTGTCTAAGGCCGCTATAGGACTGGCGGGGCAATAAGGAACACTCGCGTCCAGCTGCGCCCAGGGCGCGCAGATCTTGATAGCTCAAGCTCGTCCGTGTTCCGGGAATCTGGAGAGCACCATGAGCCATGCAATCCTCGGCACCCCCGCGGCGGAAGTAAGAAAGCTCCAGAACCTGGTCGACGACGGCCGGCGCCTGCGGGCGCAGCTCCGCCGCGTGGCCCGCGCGCTCGACAAGGCGGACCCGCGCGAGCGGACGGCCGCGCGCGCGGGCCTCGACACGATCGCGCGCCGCGGCCGGGGCTGGAGCCGCGAGAACCGGGCGCTCCTCGTGAGCCTCGTCATCCACTACTACCCGCCGGACCGCCTGGCGGGCCTGCCGCGCGAGCTGCTCGAGGACGCGGTCCTCGCGAACCTCGACGTCAAAAACCTCGCGGCGATGGCGGCCGTGTCGCGGGCGGCGCGGCGCGCGGCCTCGAGCGACGCCGCGTGGCGGCCTCAGTACGCGCGGCGCTTCGGCGCCGCGGACGACGCCTCGGAGCACTTCGACTTCGGCGCGAGCCTCCGCGAGTCGTTCCGCCAGCGGCTCGGGGACCCGGCGCCGGGAGACCGGGTGGAGATCGCCTGGCGCGGCCGCTTCCGGCTCGAGGGCCTCGAGGTCTACCGGGGGCTCGCGTGGTGGGCCGCCGAGGTCGTCGAGAAGCGCGACGCGGCCGCCGCGGCCGCCGCGGCGCCCGACTGTCCGCTCGACGACCGGCGCGCGCGCAAGTACAAGGTGCACTACGTCCACTGGGACGCGCGCTGGGACGAGTGGGTCGCGCGCGACCAGCTCCGGTGGCCCGTGCCCGAGGGCCGCACGGGCGTCGTCGCGTCGGGCGACGACGTCGAGGTCTGGTGCTCGGGCTCGGCCGTGCCGGGCGCGTCTGCTCCCGAGTCGCTAGCTCGCCACGCTTGCGCGACGGCGCCGGCGCTCACGGTGATTCCACGCAGGTGGCTGCGCGCCGTCGTCACGGCCGTCGAGGGCGAGCTCTACTGCGTGGGCGACGTGGCGTCGTCCGGGCGCCTCTGGGTCCGCCGCGACCGCGTGCGCCTCATCCAGCGCAAGCAGGACCGGGCGCCCCGCGCGCCGAAGCGCCTCCAGCCCTGCCGGATGCTCTTCGCGCTCGCGCGCGCGACGACGGCGGCGGTCCGCGCCCGCCTGGCGAGCCATAGTAATACGCGGTGAATGTGCTTCTAGAATCTTAGGGAAACAGGCCCCGCGCCCGCCTGGCGAGCCATAGTAATACGCGGTGAATGTGCTTCTAGAATCTTAGGGGAACAGCCCCGGCGCCACGCACGCGAGGCCCCGGTGCACGAGGGCCACGTCGCAGCACGACAGCCCGAGCCAGAGGCCGAACCAGACCCAGTCGTTCGTGCCGCACAGCTTGATGAGGCCGTTCACGGCCGGGTCCATCTTCCCGATCAGACAGAAGTTCTCGTCGTGGGGCGGCCGGTGGTGGCCGTTGTGCTTGGCTTGCGGCGTCATGAAGCCCGTGGACTGGAGGAACTGGACCCACTGTGGTCTTTTCGACTTCGGCGTATGTGCCGCCCGATGGCAATACTGCCCGAAGTACGCGAAGAAGAGTTTGAGACCGGTCAGCGCCGCGCGCGTGCCCGACGTGTAGCCCAGCAATCCACAATTCAGGACCATGAGGATCAAGACGATGATGTTCAGGTCGGCACAACAAGCGATAAAAGGCTTCGAGGCCCCGTCGTAGGGGATGGCGTGGTGCCACTGGAACTCGAGGCACCCCTGGAACAAAATGTAGGACTTGACGCCCTGCATGTTCTTCGGATCGTCCAAAGCCACATGTAAGACACCACTATAGAAATCATACCCGAGATACATGGCCGGCAGCATCCAGAGGAAGGCTCTGAGCGAGGGCGCCGTCGTGCACAGATAGCCGGCGACGGCGCCCATGACCCAGGGCAGCCACACGATCCGATTCGGGTAGACTAACGCGCCGTCGCCCGCGACCAAGATGTGTATTTCCGGTTCCTTGGCCACGGCCCGGGCCTTGGCCACGATCTCGTCGACTCTTCGATTCAGCGCGTCGTAGTAGGGCGTCGACGGCACGTTCGTGGCCGCGTCCTCGTAGAGCACCTTGGGGATGGGCTCGAGGCGCGGGTGGCGCTCGATCCTCCGTTTCAAGGCTCCAGGCTCGGGCTTTGCTTCGCCGCCCTTGCCCATGGTTTTGTGTCGTCCCGGCAGCGGTGGGCTGCCCCGTCCCTGCTTTGCTGGTCTTCCTCGGCTTTGCTGTCAGTTTTGGCCAACCGCTAGTAGGTCCGCTAGCTAAGGCCACTAGGCATCGACGGCGAGACGTCCTCGGGGCTCGCTCAGAGCTCCCCGTTGCCTGAAGGACGCCCTGGTGCATCCTGGGTGGTCTGCTGGAGCGCCGAGTGCTTTCACAACAAGTTGGGGTTGGGCAGCCTTTGCTACGAATTTGCGGCGCGCGTGGGCCAGGATTTGCTCATTGGTGTCGCCCCGGCCAAGAAGGCAGCAACGGTTTACTTACCGCGCCAGCAGCGCAACAGCAGAGCAAGGGTGTGGTGGTGGCACACAGACATCCATGGCGGCCCCCGCGGCGGCCCCCGCGCCGGCGGCGGCCCTGTCGAAAGAGGAGCAGTTCTACGCCGGTCTCGGAGGACGCTGCCGCCGCGGCTTCTTCAAGGACGTCGCCTGGGACGAGGCCTGCCTCGCGGCGGCCATTGATGCGTTTCGCGTCCCGGACCGGAGGTGCTACGTGCCGGACGACTGCGGTCCGTACGAGCACCGCTGCCCGACCATCGGCTCGAATTGTCAAAGTACCGTGACGATGTCGAAGCCGGTGGTGCACTTGTTCTGCCTGCACGCGCTCGCGACGCTGATACGCCGCGGCGCGCCATCCGACGGTCGGTTCCGTGTACTAGATGTGGGCTCCGGGACGGGCTTCCTGACGGCGGCGCTGGCGGCGCTGCTGGACAACGAGGGCGTTCGTGGCGACGTGCTGGGCATCGACGTCGAGGAGACGCTCGTGCGGCTCGGGCGGGAGAACTACGCCGCGGACGGCCTCGATTTGCCCGTGAAATTCCGGCGCGAGGACGCGTGGCAAGCGCCGAAGAAGAAGGGAGGGTTCCTGTTTATCTGCGTGGGCGCGTGCGCGCAGCACGTGCCCGCGGCGCTCTGCGACCGCCTCGCGCCCGGAGGGCTGCTCCTCATGCCGGTCGTCGCGACGGGCACGCGGCGCCAGGCGTATCTGATGATCCGGCGCGACCTGCGGGGCCGCCTACTCGCGCCGCGGACGGTCTGCGAGGCGTCCTTCGTGCCCCTGATCGACACGCGGGACTTCGCGCCCGAGACGCGGGCGCTCCTGACCGGCGGCTGCTCGGACGACGAGGGCGACCCGCTCATCTACGTGAAGGGCGACGTCGGCGGCCGCGGCGGCGGGGGCGCGGCCTTCTACGGCTCCCAACAGGGCGTCATCGACGAGAGCGGATTCGGGGTGTCGATGGATCCAGGCGTCGTCTTCGGGAGCGTGAACGCCCCCGTGCCGCTGGGCCCCTACGTCGCGCCGCCGCCGACGTTCACCGAACCGGACAAGGCGGTGACGCGTCGCATGGAGTTCCTGTCGCACCGCCTGGACCGGATGCGCGCGGCGCCCGGGATCTTCGAGCCGGGTACGAGCCACTACGAGCCGGGGTACGAGCCGGTAGAGGAGACATAATAGATACACCTTACAACCCCGGCGGAGACATAATAGAGATACCTTACAACCGTGCCCGCCGCCGCTTCTTGCCCTCCTTTGGCGTGGGCAAACCAAGCGCCTGGAGCGTCGCGTCATAGTCCCCGGGGTTCCGGCGCTTCAGGTAGGCGAGGAGCCGGCGCCGCTTCGAGATCTTGAGCTGGTAGCCGCGCGTCGAGTGCTTATCTTTAGGGTGCGCCGCGACGTGCGCCGCCAAGGCCTCGAGCTCGACGGTCAGCCGCGCGACCTGGACGCGTGTGCTGCCGCAGTCGGCGTCGTGCTGGCGGAACGCCGCCGCGACGGCCCGCGACCGCGCCTTTGTCGCGTCGGCCGTCGACGCGTTTTGCAGCGCGAGGACGCGCCGCACGGGCTCGCTCATCTGCGACGCGTCGAAGGCCGGGTCCAGCAGGCGGAACTGCGGCGTGTCTGCTAGTTGGCGTCGCCGCGCCATCGCTGCGGCGCGAGGTGCTGACCTTGCTGTGGCGAGGATGGTGCGGGCAAGCATATCGATGGCGACTGCTTATTCCTTTGGTACGCGTGGCCAGTGCGCTGCCGTACGCAGCGCAGGCAAGCTTGCCTTGCTTGACGCTTTTGTGGGCTAGTGGAATTAACTAGGATTATTTTTTTTGCATCAGATAAGCATATTGACCTCAAGAACGCTGTCAAGTCGTTCTGAACCAGCTGGCAAGCTGCACGTACTTCCACAGCCACGCTTGTCAAGCACAGCGACTCCGAAGCTCTGCGGTCACGTGCACAGTGAGAACAACAAGGCTGGCATGCGAAGTTTCCTGGCCGTCGTCGCCGTATCGGCATCCGCGACGGCATTCGTCGTGCCGGCCCGTCGCCATGCATTGACGCGCCGCGCAGCGCACGACGACGGTGACACGATTACGCAGCTCATCGACGCGAAGGAGGCCGAGCTCGCGGACGCCGACGCCGTGACGACGACCAAGACGACCACAACGATGCCGAACTACGTCGAGCAGGCCAACTATTTTGATGGAGACCGCCCTGCGCCGGCGTGGGAGCTCGCGCAGACGAACTTTCTCAAGCAGGGCGCGACGATCCTAGGACAGGTGGCCGAAAGCATCGGGCTCCAGAAGCGGGACCCGGGCGCCGTGCCCGCGTCGCTGGGCCTCGTCCTGTCGAACGAGGCCGTGACGGAGGCCGAGCGGAAACGCGAGGCGTCGGGCGGCCGCGTCGACGCGCACCCCGTGTCGCGCAAGCTCTATGATGTGGGGTGCCTGTTCTTGGACACGCTCTTCGACGAGCGGCCCATACAACGCTTCTGGTTCCTGGAGGTCATCGCGCGGATTCCCTACTTCTCGTACGTCTCGATGCTGCACCTCTACGAGTCCTTCGGGTGGTGGCGCGGCCCAGAATTACGCAAGGTCCACAACGCGGAGGAGTGGAACGAGTTGCACCGCCCTGTGTGAAATCAACCAGTGAGAATTGTGGTGCCGTTACGGGGACGACGTCGCGTCGATGGGGCGTCCGCAAATTTGATTTCCACACAGGCACCACCTCCTGATCATGGAGGCGCTCGGGGGGAATTCGCTGTGGTCCGACCGCTTCCTGGGCTACCACGTCGCGATTGGGTACTATTGGATCCTCAACGTCGTATTCTTTTTCAGTCCTAGGATCGCGTACCAGTTCATGGAACTGCTAGAGGCGCATGCCGTCGACACGTACGGCACGTTCGTCGTCCAAAACCGCGAGCGGCTGGCGGAGTTACTGGCAGTGCACAAATCAGATTTCGCTGCGCTTCTCATTAACGCGGCGCTGCTCGACGGATCCACCCAACTCACTGATTGATTGCGCACAGGTTACCGGCGCCCGCCGTCGCGACGTCGTACTACTCGTCGGGCGACTTGTATCTCTTCGACGACTTCCAGGTCTCGACGCCGCCGGAGACGCGCCGTCCCGACTGCGCGACGCTGCTCGACGTCTTCACGAACATCGCCATCGACGAGGGCGAGCACGTCAAGACCATGCAGGCGTGCCAGGACTACGCGCGCATCGGCGCGCGCGTCGTGTCGCCTCATATGGACGGCGCGCACGCGGCCGAGTCGCGGGAGAAGTGGGTGCGCTGGGCCGCGGAGGTCAACGAGGCGGCGAAGCACTAGCCGGACTGTGCAAGCGAGGCGTTGCGTCGCCTCTGTCGTATCTGTATCTAACTGAGTGTTAATATAATCAATATGAGGGGTAGGGGCCGGGGCACGTGTCGACGGCGGTCCTTTGGAGTTTCGTCGGTAAGACGACGACGTGCCTCAGCGTAGACCCAGAGACGACGCCTTGCTCGGAGAGACTGCCGAAGTCGTCGAGCAGCTTCGACGCGCCGTCGACCTCGAGGAATAGCGACCCCATGTGCGCCTCGAAGCGATACCGCGGCGCCTCCGCGTCTCTGAGATCCCGCTTCACGTCCCTCACCGGCTGGTCCGCTTTGTACGTGAATGCGTGCCGTTGCTTCGAAAGCTCGTCCACGACGGTCAGGGAGATGTCAGGCGCCTTTTCATTCACGAGGTCGCACTCGATGGCTACGCCGGCCATCGGTACTCTTGTCTCGACTTTCGCCAGGCACGGCGCCGCGACCGGTGGCGCCTCTTCCTTTGCCTGCGTCACCGTCGGCCGCGGCGCCACACGCACGCACTCGCCCTCGGCCAGTGTAGAGATGAGCGCGTCCGGCGGGAGCGGAGCCCCACCCCGCCGCGACATCGTGACGTCATCGACGGCGCGGGGCTGCCCTTCGAGGCGCTCCAGGAGCAACTCTGCAAGCTTCCAGGCCCGTAGTTCGTCCCAGCCTGCGGGAATGGTAAAACGGAGCCTCAGCTTCTCGTCACCAGTCCAGACAATGGTGATCTTGCGCTGCCCCATGGTGTTTGGGAGACAAACACGGCTGCGGGCTGGACGCAGGAGGTCAGCAGCCGACGTTCGGTGGGCAAACAATGCCCCGTACGCTACGGTCTGCCACGCTGAAGGGGCCTTGTCTGCTTTATTATTTTTTGGGTGTTAGCGATATTAACACTAGTTTTCGCATGCAACTGGCCAAGAGCTGCTCTAAGCGACCATTCTGCGGTGCAAAATGTCGACCACCACTGCTGTGCTGGCGACCACCACGCCTGTGCCCGTCAAAAACGCATCAGTGCCCGCAGAGAGCCCCACTGCTGCAACCCACAAGACCCAGCGCTGGGAGCGCACGCTCGCCGCAACTACCGAAGCACCACTCGAGCGCTTCGAAGCGAAGTTAGTACGATGGCGGCGGCTCGGCAAGAACCTCGTGTTCCTCGACGTCGTGAGGACGGGCCGGGACGACGAGTGGCAGCTCGCGTGCGCCGCCGCGACGTTCCCCCCGGCGGCCGAACGGGCCGACGTCGTCGTCGTCGAGGCGCGGGAAGAGCCCGCGTGCTCGCGGCGAGGCCTCCGGGCGTTGCGCTGCGACGCGCTTGCGGTCCTGACGGAAAGGCCATCGGCGGAGAAGCCGGCGAAGAACCCGGATACAAGGGAGAAGAAGGACGTGCTTTGTAAAGTGTGGGCGCGCGGCGACGCGTGCACGACGAAAAACTGCCCCTACCGGCACGCGTTTCGCGACGCGTTCGAGGAGACGTGGGGCCGGCGGTTAAGATTGAGGCGGGACCACGACCTCAAGCAGGACGCGGCGGACCCGTTCGCGGCGTACGACAAGTATGCCAATAAGAACGCCTGGCGCTTCGTGCCCGGCGACGACAACCGTAAGCGGCGGCACGCGGCGCGGCACGTGGAGTTCGGCGCGTGGATCTTGCATAGATTTGGACGGAGTCTGCTCGAGGCGGGGCCCGTGCTCGACGTGGCCGGCTGTGTGGAAATCAACCAGTGCGTCGGGTGCACAATTCTTCACTAAGTCATTTCTCGGCGATGACGCGGCCGACCTGGCTCGGTCGAGCGGTGAGGAACCGGCATCGCTACGCCATCGAGCAGGCGTCGCATCGATGGCGTGGAGGACGACGCGGCGATTCAGGAACGCACCGTAAAATTTTGATTTCCACACAGGTGGCCGGCGGCCGAGGCCAGCTCGCCTGGGAGCTCCAGTGCGTCCACGGGCTCCGGGCGGTGTCGCTCGACCCGCGCTCGGCCAAGGTCCCGCGCAAGAGCCGGCGGAAGCTCCTGCGGAAGCGGCTCGCGGCGCTCACTCCGGACTCGTCGCCCCGGGACCAGCTGATGGCCCGGAATCCGCGACGCGTCGAGGCGCTGCTGGATCCTGCGTTCGAGGCTTCGGAACAGGGTCGCGCGCTGTGTGGAAATCAAAATTTTACGGCGCGTTCGTGCGGAATCATCGCGTCGTCCTCCACGCCAGCGACGCGACGCCTGCTCGATGGCGTGGCGATGCCGGTTCCCCACCGCTCGACCGAGCCAGGACGGCCGCGTCATCGCCGAGAAATGACTTAGTGAAGAATTGTCGGGTGCACCCGACGCACTGGTTGATTTCCACACAGGTCGCGCGTTACTGGAAAGCTGTTCGGCCATCGTGGCCCTCCACGCCGACGAGGCCACCGAGGCCGCCGTCGACGCCGCGCTCAAGTACGGGAAGCCCTTTGCCGTCGTGCCCTGTTGTGTCTTCGCGGACCTGTTTCCGAACCGGCCCGCGGCCGTGCGGACGACGGCCGAGTTCTGCGACTACCTGGCGGCGAAGGCCGGCGCCACGCTCGAATATCTGCGCTTCGAGGGCAAGAATAAGGTCGTCGTACGGGGTGATGCGCCTCCTCGCCGCGACGTCGCCATCACTGAGCCGCGCGACCCGTCGCACGTCGTCTCCGGCGTGAAGACGGATCTCATGTTCGAGCGCATGCGGCGCGAGCACAAGTCGGCCGCGGCGGCGGCGTGAATTGAATTTTTGCGAGTAATGTCTGTGAACTGAACAACTGAACGAACGAACTGTTCAACACAATAATTAACTCTCTACGGCCGAGTTCCGCCCGGGCACCGGAAGGGCGATCGGCGCCTTCCGCACCAGTCCTGTCGCGAGGCGGACGGCGCACGTCTTCGAGGGCTGGTAGCCCACGGGCGCGGCGTCGCCGTTCGGCGCCTTGGCGTGGTCGAAGCCTAATTTTTGGCGGCACCAGTTCAGCTTGGCCTGGACCAGGGCGAGCTCGCGGGGGACCCGCCCCGCGCTCACGGACGAGGCGCAGGACCAGGAACTTCCGCGCATGTGGAAGCAGTCGCTCAGGGGGAACGCGGCCGCGTCGACGTCGACCGTCACGACGGACGCGTCGCGCAGGTCGGGGTCCGCGAGGGCGACGGCCCACGTGTCAACGGTCTTCTTCACCACGTACGACCGCGCGTTGACGGGCGGCCCGTCGAAGTGGTTGCGCCGCGTGACCGTCGCCCGCGACCCGCGGAGCGCGAGGGACGCGTAGGTCGCGTCATCTGCCACGTCGAGCCGCGGGTTCGCGAAGAACGTCGACTCGCGCCAACTCCGCCAGCCGCCCAGCACCTCCTCGACGCTGCGCAAATCCACGTGGTCCGCCGCGTGGTGGTACTGCTGGAAATCGAAGATGCGCGGCCAGACCAGCACGCGGCCCGTCAGCCGCGCCAGCCAGACCAGCTCCGTCAGGGCGGCGTTGACCCAGCGCCACTCGTGGAAGTGGTGCGGCGACGACGTCGAGAGCACGCCCCCGCGCACCGCGAGGTAGCGGTGGCCCGCGCCGACCCTATAGTAGTCCCGCGCGCCCGGCCAGAGCATGAGCTCGCGCGCGACGTCGGTCTTGCCCCGCGCGTCGGTCAGCGGGATCGTCGTCAGCACGTGCACCGCCCTCGTGGCCGCCATGACCTGTGCGCCAATCAAACAGTGAGTCGGATACCTGATAATTCTTCACTAAGTCATTTCTCGGCGAGAACGCGCGACCTTGATGACTGAATCGAGCGGTAAGAGACCACACCGCCACGCCATCGAGCCGGCGGTCGCGTCGATGGCGTGGAGGTCATGATTCGGCAGTGGCGGAGACGCGCCTCGACAATTTGATTTATGCACAGGCCATGACGTAGGGCCGGGCGTGGGCCACGAGGACGTCGGGGCCGATGGTCGCGTGCGTCACCCGCGCCGGCGGCGTCGTCCACCGCCGCAGGATGGGATCCTGCGCGGCGACGCCCTTGGCGTCGCACTCGTCCCGCGCCGACGACACGGACACCATGCAGTTCAGGACCTGCTGGTCGAAGGCCTTTGGGTTTAATTTCAGGTATTTCACGAGGTCCTCAAACAAACGCGCCGTATCCACACCGCCGCGCGCGTGGATCCAGCCCGCGTTGATGTTGTAGGGGTTGTCCTGGTGCACGCTGAACACGACGTCCGCCTCCTTCGTACCCGCCGCCGGGTCGCGCAGGTGCCAGACGTCCATCTCCCGGAACGTCGCGTCCCGTTTCAGCGAGAGCAGGAGGTGCAGCGTGCCGTACTTGGCCTCGTAGATCGCGTCCTTGCCCTTGCCGCCGCCGAACCGGACGACGGCGCAGCCCGCGGCGCACGCGGCGACCGCGGCGGCCTCGTCGAGGGCGACCACTAAGAGATTGGTCCCGAACGTCCGGGAGGTGTCGAGCCGCGCGTCGGCCATGTACTCGGCGTAGTTCGCGTCCGCGACCGTGAAGACGACGCGGCCGGGCGCCTGCTGCGCCGCCCAGGCGGCCAACCTCTGGGCGAAGGTGCCGTCCCGTGTCGGCACGACGCACGTCGCGCGCGGCGCCGGCGCCGGCCGGAGGTCGCCCGCGCCGTCGTCTCGGATCGTCGCGAGCGTTCGCCCGAGGACGGATCGCATCTCCGCCGTCACCGTGGCGTCCTTTGCGGTCCCGGTCGCTCGCGGGAAGGGATCCCGCGTCACCGCGGTGCACAGTTGCATCTCCGGGGCGCAGGGCGCCAGGGCCAGGGCGACGGCGCGGCGCGTGTCGTCAAGCCGCGGGGGCGGCGGCCGCGCGCTGTGCACCGGTTCGTCGCTCGTCGTGGCCCACGTGGTCAGCACGGCCGCGGTGCATAGCGCCGCGATGAAGACCCACGTCGCCACGAAGAGGCGCACGGCGCTGTTGCGGCGCCGGTGATGATGGCCTTTCATGTTTTAACGTGCCATAGCGCTCAAATCTTTTTGTTATTCGTTGCCGGCATGCATGTGCACGACTCGTCTACCAATGCGGTGCAGCCGGGGCAGCAGCAGCGTGAGGCGGAAGCAGCCCAGCTATTCCTAGTGCCTTTATAGGCCGCTAGCTTTTCTGCCGTCGCGCTCGAGCTGTACGCGCTGGCTGGCTACGATACGTGCGAAGAAACTCGCACTTGCAGCAGCGCTGCTTGAAAATTTCGGATCTTTGAACGCTCACCGGGCGCAGTGGGCAAGCTCCAAAGCACCACCCTGCTTCTCAGCCGCAGTGATCGCAGTCGTTCGCGGCGCGACACCGGCTCGACGCTATCGACGCGATAACTAAAGGCTAAACGCGTGCGACATATAAAAGTCGCACCGCCCCCGACGCCGCCGACGCGATGTCCGCGCGCGGCAAGGCGCTGACCCTCGTCGGCGTTGTAACACTCGCCGGCACGATGTTCGCGGTGCCGATGTGGATCAGGAATCGCATGGGCGGGTCGCTGACGGCCAAAGAAGGCGAGCTGACGGGGTCCCAGGTGCAGCGCGGCCAGTTCATGAACTCCGGGTCCAGAGACGTCGGGCGGGACCCCGACTGGGACGGCGCCGTCTACCGGCCGAAGAAGCCGCGTAAGCCTAGTTGATGCTTAGGGCGTCGGCCCAGGCCTCGAAGACCGCGGGCGACCCGTACCAGGGGTACGTCTCCGGCAGGCGGATCGAGTCCAGCGCCGTCGGGACGAAGTCGCTGTGGTGGCAGTCGACCTCGATGGACGGGCAGTCCGCGAGGCAGGCCGTCGCCTGTGCGGAAATCAAACGTTCGGGCGAGTAAGCCCAAGACGCCTCGTGCGAGGACGCCAAGCACTCTCGCGCTGCGTCGAGGCGGCCAGAATAGCAAATAATACCTCCAGGCCGGCCTGACGCACTAGTTGATTTCCGCACTGGCCGTCGCCACGGGGATGAGGCCGTCGCCCTTGACGCCGAACGGGTTCTTCCCGGAGAGCGCCAGGTAGGACGGCAACGAGACCAGCGCCTCGAGCAGCGGGCTCCGCCTCAACTCTTCGTCCCACGCATCGAGCTTGAAGACGTCGCCGAGCGCGGCGGTCGACGTGGCCGTGCCCGCGACGCACGTGAAAATGGACGCGTCCGGCGGGCAGTTCGCGCGGACGTATTTCAGTAAACCTCTCGTCTGGTCGATGTTCGAGAACAGGCCCTCCGGGGGCTCGTTGTGCGGCGTGCCCAGCGTCACGAAGCGCTTGACGCGCTGCTCGCCCCGGTCGACGACCCACGCGCGGGCCACCCAGCCGCCGATGCTGTGGCCTAGGATTGCTATGTCTTCGTCCGGCCCCACGTCCGCGACGGCCGCGTCGAGCGCCTCGAAGAAGAAGTCCAGGGTGCCCTGCGGCTTGAGCTCGCCCTTGAAAAACGCTTCGGTGAAAACCGATGGCACGATTCGCAGCCACGAGAGTCGACTCAGCGGCGCGCACGCGACGGTGTGGCCGCGCTGCCGGAGCAACGCGCTCAGGTCGTCGTAATCCTTCGGCACGCCGAATTGCGCGGGCGCAATGATGACGCGTGGCCGCTGCAGCGCTTTGGTGGCGCATGCCAATGCGATGATGCCATTGATGGCTTTGAGCTGCATTATGTTCAGGGATGCAGTACAATGATGGTTTTTGCTGTATTTTTGAGCTGTGTGCTAGCGAACGCGTGGAATTTGCAACGATTCCTTCGACGCGTGAACCAGTGGGAGCGTTTCGCCGAGTGCGGTCAAAAACGATGCAAGTGCTCGTGAGTTACACGTTGATGACGGGGGCGTGCGCGTGATTTAGCTAGCGGGTGTAAGGCACTAGCAATAGTACCCTGTGACTCAGCCCTTGCGTCCTAGTCCAGCCGGACGGGTGGGCCCGGGGGGAGCGGGAGGGGTACGGGGGACCCCGCGACGTAACTAGCCTGAGCCTGAGTACATCTCTTATATCCATAACAAACACAGCGCCTCACGACGCGTCGTTGACGACACGCGCCTCCTCTATGGCCTCGCGCGCCCGCCGCGCGTAGATGCCGAGGAAGTCGACCGATACCGGCAGCGCGAGGACGAAGCCGTGCAACAAGTCCAACGAACGGACCGTTCCCAACAACGGGCCGAGGCCAGTAGCAATCGGCCCCTGGTTGCCGCCGGCCTTTTCGAGAGCTTCCTGTAACTCTTTGACGCGGTCGCCGTGGCCCTCGAGAAAGCTCTCGATCGCGCCCACGTCCCTGCCGAGGTCCGTCGTCGCCGGCCTCAGCACGAATTTCCAGAAATGCAAGATCATCGACGCCGGCACGTGCTCCGAGAGCTTGACGCCCAGCGACGCGTACAGCGCCGGCAGCTCGTCGCCCGCGCCGCGCGCGACGGCGTCGACGACGCGGGCGATACCCAACCGTTGCGAGTCCTCGAGGCGTTGATGCATGCCCCAGTCCAACAACACGGGCACGGCCGCGTCGGCGCGGACGTCGATGAGCACGTTGCCCGGGTGCGGGTCCATGTGCACGAGGCCGCCGTGGAACAGCAGGCACGCGTGCGCGTCGACCAGCGCCGTAACGCAGTCGCGGAAGACTCGGGGCCGCTTCGTCAGCAGCGGACTTACGACCGAGATCTTCTCGCCCGCGACCCAGCGCATGCACAGGATGCCCTCCCTCAGGCCTTCCTCGTGCAGCGGCTCCGGGACGACGACGGCGTGGCCCCGGTGCGCGAGCACGGACCGCGCATCCTTCAACGCGGAAGCCTCCTCGTCGAACTGCATCTCTCGACAGAAATTGACGTACTGGCTCTCGATGACGTCGCATAAATCCGGCGCCGCCGGCTCCAACCGTTGGACGAGCCGCGCGATGAACTTGAGGCAGAGCTTGTCGACCCAGAACGCGTGCCTCACGCCGTTTTTCTGCATCTTGACGGCCACGTTTCCCACGCGGTGGACTTGCGCGATGGACGCCGACGCGACCGGACGGGCCAGGTCGCTCGCCAGTAAGGCACCACGGACGGCCTTCGGGGCCTTCCGGGCCTTGCGCCTCGCGCTGGTGAGGGGCATCGCGCCTACGTCGTCGCACAGAGACGCCAGGGGCTCGACGAGCTCGTCCGCGAGCGCCCCTTTGCCCGACGCGAGCACTTGGCCGACCTTCACCAGCAGGCCCTTGTCGAGCCGCGCCAGGCGCACGACGACGTCGCCGATGAGGCGCACGGATATGCGCTCCGCCAAGCGCCGCTCTGTCGACGCGAGCATGGAGCGCGAGAACGGGTCCAGGAAGTCGCCCTCCTTCCCTCGGGCCGCCTCGAAGGAGCGCGCCAGCTTCCAGCAAAACAGACAACTCAACGCCGCGGGCAGCCGGTAGCAGTACTTGTAGAGGCCCACGTAGTCGTAGGCGAGGCCGCACGCGAGCGCCGTGGCCGCCGCGGATACGACCGAGCCGCGCAGCGCCAGCCAGGCGACGAGCAAACAAACGCCCACGAAGGAGCAGAAAGCGAAGGCCCGCGAGAACAACATGACCGCGGCGCCGAGGCACCGCGCCGCGGCGAGCTCCGGCTCCAACGCCCGCTTCTCTAAAGCTGCCAGCCGCGCGTCCAGCGCCTCGGCGTCGTCGTCGCCCGCGAAGGCGCGCACCGCGTCTTCCCCATCCTCGGATAGAGGCAACGCCGCGACTCGGCGGAGCCACGCGTCGAGCGCTCGCCGGCGCCGCTCCGGCCGGAGCACGGGGCCCTTGACGGGGAAGGGGATCTTGAGGACGTCCTTCGCGTGGCCGTTCTCCGTCGCGACGAGCCGCTTGCGCAGCGCGCGGAACTCTCGGTAGCGCCGAGCGGCTCTCCGGTCGCCGTCGCGCACGGCGTACACCAAAACACCATCCGTGCGCTTTTCCGGCGCGTCGACGGCGATGGGCGCGCCCCGCTGCAGCGCCGCGACGATGCGCTCGGCGGCCGGCCGCAGGGCCACGACGTCGCCGCGGACGGAGATTCTGCCCGCCGCCACGGCGGCCACGAGTGCTTTCGGGCCATCGATCATCTCGCGCTCGGCCTCGGCGGACTTGAATGCGATGAGGACGGCGTCGGCCGGCGCTGCGGTCGCGTCGGTCGCCTTTTCGAGGCGCAGCTTCGCGCCTTCGGACCAGCAGCGCAGCGTGCCTTGCGACGTGGACGCCCACACCTCCGTGGGCAGCGCGGTTCCGACGTCTTTTCCGTCGTGGGCCAGGAGTGCGTCTAAGGTTGTTGGGAGAGGCTCCATGCTCCTCGAGAGTGAGTCGGTTTTGCAGTACAGATGGCTGTCGCACCGCGGACAGGCTGGCCAAATATGACGAGGAAATAGATGTGGCGTGCGCGAGATTGCGGCTGTCCGTCTGCGCTGCGCGTAAGGCTCACGACGTGCGTGTTTTCATCTCAGTTCGACTGGTGCGGGTTTTTGCCCCGAGCTTTCATCGCACCGCTTCGTCTAGCCGAATGGGTGTGTCGCGGGTCTACACACGTCCACAACAACTACATTACTTCGGCTTCGCGGCGGCCCGCCGGAACATGTCCACGACGGCCCCGATCTCGTCGTCGCCGAGGTCGGGGTGCCACACGTCGAAGAGCAACACGACGCGGTCCGCCGCGGTCCGGTTCCACGTCTCGTGCACGAACGAGTCGTCGAAGACCAGGGCCTCGCCCCGCCGCCACGCCAACGCCTCGCCCGCGAGCCGCATGCCGACGTCGCCCTCCGGCACCATCAACGGCACATGGACCCGCAGCCGCAGGTTCATCGGCGCCGTGTGCGGCTTGATCTCGGCCCCGGCGCCGAGCGCGCTGTAGAAGGCGTGGCCGAAGGGCACGCCGGTCATGAGCCGCGGCACGGCATCCAAGAGCCGCGCGGCGACCGGCGCCTCGCGCGCGAAGCTCGGTTTGATCGCTCCCCGGTCGACGTACGACAGCCAGTCCCAGCGCCCGCCGTGGAGCGACGCGTCGGCCTCGTAGTCGCTCGCCTTCCGACCGGCCTCCGCGCGCGCGGCCTTCGCCCTGACGTATTCGTCGGCCAGCGCGTCGGTGGCGTCCTCTATCCTTCGCACGGCGTCCGCGAGCGGCCGGTAGCCCGCGGCGTCAAGACCTTTGGCGCCGCGCCAGTTCGCGCGCGCTTCGAGTCCCGGCAGCGAGAACAGCGAGGGCGCCGGACGCCGTGCCGAGCCGAGCAGGCGCATCGCGCCGCTCTTGACGATGTCTGCCGCCAGAGGCATACCGCTGCGACCGGTCGACAGCACAGGGCCTCCACAAATCGGCTAAAATCGCGGCGGAGGCGGTAACGCCGAATGCAGATGGTTATTGGAAAGCGCACAGAGAGAGCCAAGCTTGCAAGCTCCCCGCTGCAAAACGGGTTTTTGAAGGTGTGCGAGTTCCCGGGCCCAGACCTACTGCGCGATTCCCAAGAGGGGTCAGAGGGCTAGGGTTCTTTTTGTGTTTCGTACGGGTTCGTTCGAATTTCCGAGGCATGCAATGGGTGCATGCCTCTGAACGCTGCATGTGAAACGTTGTGTATACGCTGTGCCTCTGCCGACAGACCTAGGTGCTAGCCCCCCAAGACCCGAGTAACAGCTACCTACAACCGGGCAAACGCCAGGCACGCGAGATATCTGGGCAGCCCGGGCACGGTCCAACTGCGCACTACGCCAGCGCCGACCCAGACTCCCGCCCGAGGGCAGCCTCCCACAGACGCAAGTAACGATGTTCGCCTGCATGGGCTGCCGCGAGGACGACGCCTTCCTCACCTGCTTCGGCGGGGAGCCGCTCGCGGAGGAGGAGTCCGAGGCGGAGCCCGAGAAGACCCCGCGGCGCAAGATCAAGCGGCGCGAGAGCAAGCGCCGCGCGGCGCGGCGGCCCGCGGACCCGCCGCCGAAGCCGGCGGAGACCCGGGCCGCGAGCCGCTGGGGCCTGGTGCGACGCAGCGTCGTCAAGGAGCCGAAGCTCGTCGAGGTCGTCGCCGAGGTGACCGCCTACTACGACGTCTCGGAGGCGCGCGACCGGCTCAGGGAGCGCCTCGGCAAGGGCGTCTCGACGGCGCAGACCAAGCGCATGATGCTGGACGTGGGCGCGGACCAGCACGGCCGCGTCTCGCCCCGCGACTTCGAGGTCATGGTCGCGCGCTTCGAGGAGGACCGCCTCGTCAAAAAGTCGCGGCGCAAGTTCTGGCGCCGGCGGGCGAAGAAGCCGCCGAAGGCCCCGAAGGAGCTGTACGCGCCGTCGGCCATCCACGCCGACGCCAAGGCCCTGGCGAAGCCGCTCCCCAAGGCCGCGGGCTGTGTGGAAATCAAAATTTTACGGCGCGTTCGCGCTGAATCATCGCGTCGACCTCCACGCCATCGACGCGACGCCTGCTCGATGGCGTGGCGATGCCGGTTCCTCACCGCTCGACCGAGCCAGGACGGCCGCGTCATCGCCGAGAAATGACTTAGTGAAGAATTGTCGGGTGCACCCGTCGCACTGGTTGATTTCCACACAGGCCGCGGGCTGCGACTGGGACCAGCTGCTCGACGCGCACGGCCGCGACTTCGAGGCGCTGTTCGGCCAGGTCAACGACGCGACGCTGCAGGAGGCGACGTCGGCGGGCAACACCATCGTCCATTACTTGGCCCAGATCGGTGACGTCGAGCGCCTCGCGGTCGTGCTGCGGCGGACCGTCGGGCGGCAGATCGTGCACAGGCGGAACGCCAGGGGCCACACGGCCCTGGAGTACGCGGCGGCGCGCGGCCACGACGGCGTCGCGCAGACGCTGTCGTGCTACAACCAGGAGCACCTGGCCGACGAGCACGTCGCCGACAAGATGCTGTCGCACCACGCGACGCGGAGCTACCGCGTCGCGCGGCAGGCGTCGTGCGCCGCGCGGGGCAGCATGCCGAAGTAGTAGCGCGTAAGTGTTCTTGTGTACGAGACGGTCACAACTCGTCGCTGGTGGCGGGCGCGGGCCCGGGCCCGAGACGACGCCGCGGCGGTCAAAGCCTGGCCCGCTCAAACCAGCGCGCGACGAAAATACTTGTAGGTCCACTTACTTCCGGTCCCACGGAAGTTTCTGCGGCCATCTCGTGCGCGTGCGGGGTTCGCTGCGACGAGCGCCCGAGCTGATCTCCGACCGAAGGATCCGGGCGTAGCCGCCAGCCCGAGGCCCGCGCGGAGCCCCACGCATCGAAATTTAGGTCCTTGGTGCTAGTGGACCGGGCCCCAAGCGGAGGGACAACATAATTCAGCCTGGGTCACTCCCACCACGGCCAGCACCATGCTAGGCGAATGGCACTGCGCGGCGGACCTCGCGGCCTACTTCGGCTGCGCGCCCGACGACGACGACGAGCAAGCGGAGGGCTCGGTCGAGGAGGTCGCGGTCGCGCCCGCGGCCGAGCCGACGAAGAAGACGAAGCCGAAGAAGAAGCGGCCGAGCCCCCGGAAGGCGAAGCGCCAGGTGTCCAAGAAGGACGTGGCGCGCGCGGCCCCGGAACGCGCCGTGTCCTTCGAGGAACTACCTAAGAAGGTCGCGTCGATCGCGCGGCCGCCGTCGCCGCCGAAGGCGCCGACGCCGCGGCCCGGCCTCTTCCGGCAGGCGACCATGGGCCTGCTGTCGCTGGGCTCGTCGCGGACGAAGCAGAAGAAGCACTTCGAGGACCACGCGGGCCAGCGGGCGCTGAGCGGGAAGTACGGGCTCACCGTCGAGGAGGTCCACGCGCGGCTGGTCGAGGCGCTGCCCGGCGAGTCCCTCGCGTTCACGCGGCGCGTCGTGCGGGACCACGGCACGAACGAGATGGGCCGCGTGTCGCGGTCGGAGTGCGACCAGCTCATCGCGGACGTCGTCGCCAAGCGGCGCCTCAAGAAGAAGCAGTCGCGCGTGCCCGTGCCGGCCTACTTCCGGGAGAAGCTCAAGGGCCTGAAGCGGCACAACTCCATCCCCCTCGAGCGCCACGAGAACGCGTCGATCAAATTAGATAGGGCCGCGCTCATGCGGCCCCTCGCGGCGCCGTACTTCGTCGAGTGGCGCGACGTCATCCAGCCCGAGATCAACCGGGACGACCTCGACGCCATGTTCGCCAACCTCACGGACGCCAACCTGGTCCGGCCCGACCCGCTCACGAAGAACACGGTCCTGATGTACGCGGCGCAGACGGGCAACGCCGTGCTCGCCCGGGAGCTGCTCGCGCGCGCGGCGGTCCGCGATATTGTTGGTGCCAAGAACCTCCAGGGCGTCACCGCGCTCGACTACGCGGTCGCGCGCGGCGACGCCGTCGTCACGGACCTGATCTCGACGTACTCGAAGGCGCACCTCGACGAGGACAACATCGACGACTACCTGCTGGGCGAGCACGCGGTCCGGGGCTACCGCGCCTCGCGCTCGGCGTCGTGCGCCGCGAGGCGGTCCAAGTAGGCGCCCGCTCGCCCGTGCCAAGACCGGTGCGGCTACTCCTAACATGTGGTGTGTTTAGTCCCGGGGCCTACGTCGCGACGGGCGCCGCCGCCGTCCATCCCATATATTCGTAGAGCGCGTCGAGCCGGCTCTTCGACCGCTCGACGGGGCCCGGGCCCACGACGCGGAACACGGCGTTCCCGTCCTCGTCCTTCCGCGACGCCGGGTCGTAGACCACGATCTGGTCGACGGCGCCGCGGCAGCAGGGGCACAGCTCCGTGCGCGCGACGTTCTCGACGGCGCACGCGTAGCACGCGCCGCTGTGGCCGCACGGTAGCAGGACCGAGTCCATGGGCCGGTCGCAGCAGATGTAGCACAGGCCCGCCGCGTCGACGGCGTCGACGGCGTCGGGCCGCGCCGCCCGCCGCCTCAACGTGTCGGCGTCCTTCGTCAGCGGCGCCGCGGAGACCGCCCGCACGGGCCGCGCCGGCTTGAAGCGCCGCTCCGTCACGAAGGCCACCCGGCCCTCGTCCGGCTCGGCGCCCACGCACGTCTGGCAGTCGGCCGTGAGGCACGCCGTCTGGCACGTCCGCGCCGCGTAGTCCTGGATCTGCTCGCTGCGCCAGTCCTCGGGCCGGTACAGCCCGCCGTCGACGTCCGCGTCGCTCGCCTCGACGACCACGACGCCCGGCTTCGCCTTGAGGCGCATGACGCGGTCGAGCAGCCGGATCCGCTGGTCCGTGCGCGCCTCGCTGCTGTCGTCGTCCAGCACGTCCATCAGGATGTAGCTGAGGCGCGCCATGCCCGCGCCCAGCAGACCCGCCGTCGCGAGCGGCAGGATCGTGCTCTGGTGCGCCAAAAGGGAGAAGGGCATCTTGGCTGCGCCGCTGGCTTCTGCTGTTTGATGAAGGCAGCCCCCGAGCGCAGCTGGAAAGCTGCCTTTCTAAGGTGCGGGGTTCGAACGAGGTGGACGGCGGACGGCGGCGCGATCTCTTACGCGCCTAGTCGTCCTCCTCGGAGTACTGGACGCCCTCGCTGTACTGCGCGTCGTCGGACGTGAGCTGCAGCGCCTTGAGCCCGCCGAGCGAGATCGAGCACGCGAAGCCCGCGACCAGCGTGGGCGTGAACTTGGGCTCGAGCACGTCCACGATGAACGCCTTCATGCCCGGCTCGAGCGGGCTGCCCGACGCGACGCTGAACGCGTCGACCGTGATCGCGCCGCCGATGAAGACGAAGACCGCCAGGCACAGGAGCCCGCCGCCCAGCAGGATCTTCTCGGCCGCGACCTGGACGTCGTCCGGCACGTCCTTGAGCGGCGTGAACGGCGGCTCGGGCTCGGGCACCGCCGCCGTCGTCGGCGCGCGGCCCGACGAGTCGATGCCGTACTTCGCGAAGATCTCGCCCTCGGACGCCGGCGCGGGGGCGTCGTCGTCGTCCACGATTTCGTCCACGGTGATCGTCGGCGCGGCCGACCGCGATTTTTTCTTCGGCTTCTCGGCGTCGGCGCCGAAGCCCTTGCCGCGCCGGGGCGCGAGGACTGGCCGTCGTCGGGGCGCCGTGAAGGCGGCGGCTGCCGCCGCGAGGAGGCCAAGGAGGGCGCGCCGCGCCATCGCTGCGCTGGCCGTGTTGCTGCAAATGAGGGGCTCGAGTCTGCCCTGCCGCTGCGCAGTGTTAAGCTGTGCGACTCGAGATGGTCCGCTATGAATCAAGCCTTTGGCGTCCTCGATCTGCGCTCTGCGAGCTGTCAGAGGCTTGATGATCTGAGCCAGGCTCCAGGCTTGGCATCCCTAGTGTCTTACAGCCGCTAGCTGCACGAGTCAAGGAGACATCCAGCCAGTGCAAAGAGCAGTGAAAATAACTTTAAGCCGGACCCGTGCACTCTGGCAATGGGAGGCCAAACGGCTGGGCCAAATGTGCATGACATTGTGGTGGTGGCTGGAACCAGTGCATCGGAAGCGGCGCGCGGTGGCGGCCTCAAGGCGCAGGCCTCGGTCAAGCATCGCCTACGTACCGCCGCGGGGCTGCCTCGCACTGCTCGCACGGCTGGCGTGTGCAGGCTGCCCCTCAGACTCCAGTGCCATGATGCGTCTGCTGCTGACAGCAGTCGTGCTCGCGGCACCGCTCCGCGCGACGGCAACGAACGCGACGACACCAACGACGAACGCGACGAACGCGACCTGGCCGGAGTGGTGGCCGGAGGGTCGCAACCGCGTGATAGACGCGCGCGTCGGGAGGTGGCACATCCTCGTACCGCCGAGCGGCGCTACGACGATCGGTAATAAAACGATGTGGTCGATGTGCAACGCCGCCGGCACGCCGGGGAAGCACTTCCGCGACTGCGAGAAGGGCTGCAACAGCCTCGGCGGTACCTTAGTAAGCGTCGAGGACCAGGCGCAGCAGCGGCTCCTGCGGCACTTCGTCGGCGAGGACATCGATTTGCTCATCGGCGCCTACCAGCGCACCTACAAGTCGCCGGATTCGGGCTGGCGCTGGACGAGCGCGGCGCGCCCCGATCACTCGTTCACGGCCTGGCGCCGCGGCTACCCGGCGGACGTGGGTGCGCATCTGAGTCGGAACCATCGCGGCACGCCATCGGAGGCTCTGCGTCAACACAGGTATGTGCAAGATGAGCCAGTGCGCCTACATCAACTTCCGGGGCAGCAAGCGCTGGGTCGACACGTCTTGTGTCTTGTCGCGCAGCTACCGCGGCGTCCATTGCGCGACGGGGTGCGTCTGCGAGCACACGGAACTGGGCGGCGTGCCCTCCGCGCATTACCTCGCACACCGGAAGGAGCTCGACAACACTGATTTTTGCCGGCCGATAGACATCTTCTGGATCACGGTGCTGGTCACCATCTGCGGCGGCACGCTCCTCACGTTCGCGCACTCGATCATGAAGGCGCGGCGGCGGGCGAAGCAACTGGAGCGCATGCGCGTCCGACCCCTGCCGCCCCTCGCCGAGGTGACGGCTGTGTCGTCCATGCCGGTCGGCGTCGCGCAATCGGCGGACGGGCTGGAGATGCCAGTCGTCCAGGCGGTGGCCGTGCCGTGCGAGCATTACCGCCCGTGTAACTAACTGGTTGTTGTGTGACAATTAAATTTAATCCGGCCAAGGGCGATAATTGCAAGATGGCTTATACACGCGCGCCGCCAGTGATGAGTAGGGGACCGAGGCAGAGCTACGCGACGCACCCGCACGCGAACGGCCGCTCGTCGTCGGACGCCTCGTACGTGATGCTCCGGATGGGCTCGAGCCAGCCGCAGAAGTCGGCGCTTTCACCTTCGACGTCGGCGTAGGGCATGGCGGCCGCGACCGCGGCGGGCGGCGATTGGCGCGGCGCCTTGGCGAATGCTCGGGCCCCGTTTTCGTCGCGGCGCGGCGGAGGGCGCGGCGGGGGGTCCGCGCTCGCGGTAATGTCGTCTGGAGCTTCGCCGGGGACGCTAGCGTACGCCACGGGCTCGGCGTTCGACGGGCGCGCCGGCTTCGCCGGCGGCGTCTTCTTCGTGAAGAGCAGAAGAGGCGAAGACGAGGGCGTAGTGGGCGACGGCGTCTTGAGCTTGCGCGACGACGTGGCCCTGAGCTTCTGCAACCGCGCCTGTAGCTCGGGCGAGCCCTTCCTGTTGTCCGACGCCGGCACGGGCACGTGCACTGACTGGCCAGGCCGGACCGATGGGGGCACGACGAACGACACCCGGCGGCCGTCGTAGACGGCGTCGACCTTATCCCCGGGTACGGCCCCGGCTGGCACCTTCACGGCGATCATCACCATGGTCTGGCCGCGACAGCGCCGCGCGGCAGCAATGCTGCCCAGCGGAGGCTCAGAGGCTCAGCCCAGCAATGCTGCCCAGCGGAGGCTCAGAGGCTCAGCTCACAGCTTATGCTGCCCCCAGCGGAGGCTCAGCCGCAGACAGTGATGGCTCCCTTGCCACGAGCCGCAGGACTGCTCGAAATCGACTGCTCCGAGACCCGGCGAGCGAAGGGCAGCTTCGAGACGCGCGGAGAGGCCGATTTCTGGGCAGGTTTGGCAGAGGCAGAGTAGAGTCCCTCTAGAAATGCGAGCTTGCATCGGACAGTGGCATGCGAGCGCCGGGGGCGCCTGGGAGCGTCTCCAAGCGAGACATGAGGGACGAAAGCTATGCGGCCGCAAAACCCGCCACTGAAATCGCTGTCATCGAGATCGAGCGCGCCGCTTGGAGGCAAACGCGTCGCAGCGGGCGGCGCGGGCTGCCCGGACGAGCCGAGGCCATGGAAAATTTCCACGAGGAGGCGCCGGAGATGGGCAAGGTGACCATCTGTGTGGAAATCAAAATTGCGTGCTGCATCGTAGCGTCGACCTCCACGCCATCGACGTGATGCCTGCTCGATGGCGTGGCGGTGCTGGTTCCTCACCGCTCGACGGGGCCAGCACTGCCGCGTCATCGCCGAGAAATGACTTAGTGAAGAATTATCGGGTGCACCCGACGCACTGGTTGATTTCCACACAGGTGACCATGGCCGCGACGCTGCTCGGCATCCTGTCGTTCCTCGTCGCGCTCACGATCTTCTTCGAACGGACCCAGGAGCACATGATCCACTCGAGCGTGCCGACCATGAAGCCCGTGGTGAGGCAGACGTTCGCCGAGGTCACGGTGCTCGGCTTCCTGTCGATCGTGACGACGGTGGCGGGCAAGTGCGGGCTCTGGGGCCTGCTGGCCCACGTGCTGTACGGCGAGGAGGTCGAGGAGGAGGAGCTCGAGGAGCTCGTGGAGACGGCGCACTACACGCTGTTTTTGGTGATGATCGTCTTTGTATTGCTCGTCATGGGCATGGTGCGCGTGGGCAACAACTTGAAGAGAAGGTGGCGCGCCCTGGACAAGTGGTGCGCGGCCGTCGCGGACAGTAACGTGCCCTACCCGTGGCTCGCGGGCGCGCCGCCGCCGCCTTCACCAAACACGCCGATCCTCGGCCGCCTGTCGAAGAAGGAGGTCATCGCGTACTGGGGCATGCGCCAGGAGTTCCTGCGGGACCGGAGCCTCCTCCCGCCGCACGCCGACTCCAGGAACAGGCTCCCGGCCACGTTCGACTACGCGCGCTACCTCATGCTCTCGCTGTCCGAGGACCTCGTCGAGATGGTCGACGTGGACTGGCCGACCTGGGTCGTCCTCGAGGCGCTGGCCGTCGCGTGGTGCGGCGTCGTGGCCGTCAACGACGGGCCCTTCCTCCTGGCCGCGGGCTGGGTCGCCTTCGAGTACGCGATCTTCGCGCTGGCGCTCGCGTTCCTGAACCACGTGCGCCGGATCGCCCGGGGCACGATGGACCCGGCGGCGCGCGATTACATTGGAGGCGCGGACACGAGGGGCGAGTTCACGCCGATCGTCGGCCAGGACCTCCCGGGCTGGGCCTGCGCCGTCGACGCGCGGATCGAGGAGGCGGAGCGGCACCACGTGCGGCGGCTCTTCTGCGGGCACGCGCCGAACAAGCAGCACCGGCTCTTCCTCTTCGAGGAGAAGGGCCACGAGTCGCACGTCTTCGCCTGCCGGCTCCTGCTGCTGCTCCAGGCGGTCTACGTGTCGCTGGTCGTGATGACCTTCGCGCCGCGCGTGTGCAAGCACTCGTCGGTGCCGGCGACGGGCGGCTACGTCCTCTTCGCGCTCGCGCCGACGGTCGGCATCGCGCTCGTCGCGCGCGAGGCCGTGCCGCTGGCCATCCACTGCGGCTCGGTGGGCACGTTTCGCAACCGGAAACTGGTCGGCCAGGTCCTCCGGGAGACGAAGGCCTCGCGCGCCGTGAAGCTCCTGAAGACACTCTACGGCCTCCGGGCGCAGATCGTGACCGCGCCGGCCACGCCGGGCGGCCCCGAGCAGGCGCTGTCGCCGCGCGCCTCGGCCACGGGAGTGAATGAGGAGGACCAGCGGCAGCTGGCCCAGACCTTCGACCTGTACGACGCGGACGGCACGGGCCACCTCGACGCGGACGAGCTCAGCGAGCTGCTGGCGTCGCTGGGCATGGAGTCGTCGGGCGCGCAGGCGGCGGCGATGCTGACCGGCATGGACCACGACGGCGACGGCCAGGTGAGCCGGAGCGAGTTCCTCAGCTTCATGGCGACGCAGGCGGAGACGTCGGAGAACGACCAGTCCATCGAGCACACGGCGAAGAAGGTGTTCGCCCTCTTCGACAACGACGGGAGCGGGAGCGTGGCCCACAGCGAGTTCACGGAGGGCCTGCGGCGCTTCGGCATCAGCATGACGGAGGAGGAGATGACCATCCTCGTGGAGGAGCTGGACCACGACCGGGACGGGAGCATCTCGCTGCAGGAGTTCACGCACCTCCTCAAGTCCGTCCACGAGCGCGAGCACGACGTCGCGCAGCTGCACTAGCGGACCCGTGTCTCCCATCCGCCGCCGCGCCCGGTCCCTTCCCGCGGGGCCCCTTAAATTCGAACCACCTTTAGTGCCCACACCGTCGACGCGGTTGTCGCCGTCCGTCTTCTCGGTGGCGTGGAGGGTGACATCCACCGCTGCCACACCTCCGTCCTCCGCGCGTTGAATCATGGCGCTTGGCTAGCCGGGGGGTGGGTTTTCTGGCGCGCGATTCCTGGCGCGTTTTATTGGGGGAATCTTGGGGGCTAGGGTAAGAGCTTGGAGGGGGGGTTTTCATGGCTTAATCGTGGCAGACAAACGTAACTAGCTACTATCGTGGCAGACACGGGGCGTCGCGAGTGACAAAAGAGGATAACGCCCGCCGGTGAGTCCTCTCTGGCCCTAAAAATATCTATCTGAACCGGGCCGGGTCGCGCGGCACCGCAACACCAGTGTTACACCACCGAGTGACCACTCCCGACCGGCGACCGCCAGTGGTCCGCCACTCACTCACCCCCCGCCCTTAAAGCGTGCTCCGCTCGCAGGCTTCGCGCCAACGTCAGCTACACCTTCCCCGCATAGAGACGTCCGCCCGGTCCCAACAGTGGGCCAACACAGGATGGCCTTTCCCTTCATAACGACCCTCGTCTTGTGCGCCGCCCAAGGCATCGTGCTCGACCGGCCCCCGGGCCTCGTGATCGTGGGCATCTTCAAGAACGAGGCGCCGAACCTGGGGCCGTGGCTCGACTACTACCTCAACGCGCAGGGCGCCGTGGCCGCGATCCTGGTGGACAACGGCAGCACGGACGACTGGCAACGCGTGGTCGCGCCGTTCGGCGACCGCGTCCGCGTGACGACGGACGGCGCCGCGCACGGCCAGGTGGCGCTCTACAACAAGTACGCGCTGCCGCTCCTGAAGCGCGAGTTCCCACGCGACTGGGTGGTGGTCATCGACCTGGACGAGTACCTCTACGCGCGGGATCCCGGAAGGCGGTGGCCGCCGACGCTCGCGCAAACCGTCCGCGACGTCCTCGACCCGGGCGCAGCGAATGACGTCGCCGTGCCCTGGAAGATGTTCGGTTCGTCGGGCCGCGACGCGCAGCCCCGCAACGGCACGGTCTGCGGCTTCACGTGGCGCCGCGCCTACCACAAGCCTATGATTATTCCAGGCAAGAGCCTGGCGCGCGTCGCGGCGCTGGAGCGGTTCGTCATTCACTCGCACGTCGTCGCCGGGCGCGAGGGGCCACACCGCACGCTCATCTCCGAGGAACTTCTCAAAGCCGCGCCCCTCCACCTCAACCACTACGCGATCCAGTCGAAACAGTACTTCCGGGAAACCAAAATGTCGCGCGGCGACGTGAACACTATGAGAGCCGAAAAGATGCGCACCTGGGACTACTTCCGCAAGTACGACTGGAACGACGTCGAGGACACGGAGCTCGCGGCGCGCGCGGACTGCGGCCCGTAGAATCGTGATCAACCATTCTTTCCTTTCCCTTGCGCGGCGGCGCCGCGGCGGCGGGCTACTGACCGGATGGGACATAAGTATACAAAATCACTACACTGTTCTTTTCCCGCTAGAAGGAGGCGCAGAAGTCGTCGCGGCGATGAGTGAGATTGAGCTAGCCCCTCTAGTACGGACCCCGAGCGCGCGTCGCGGCCATTACTTGTACCACATTATTTTAGTAGGCTCCCCTCCCAAGCGTCGCATACCGTCCTCGGGCGGCCCTCGGTCCTCCCTGCCCTCGGAACGGCAGGCGCACCCGCACCCGCACATTAGTGGATTTGCTTACTCTGATGAGAAGATTTCGTCTTCTCCCACGGCCACCGGGCAGCCCCAGCGCTATGAAGATAGTATTGTGTTTTGCGATGATGTGTGGTGCTCTAGCGTTCGCGCCGCAGCCGCTGACGGCGCGCTCTGTGGCCATGTCCAACTTTATCAATCCTACAAGCTCGTACTGACCCGTAGTGCATATATATATCGTCGCTTCTTTGCCCACGGCCCCCGACTCACAATTGATTTGCGCACAGGTCGAGCGCCGCGCCACCGTTGCCGACGGCGCCGCCCGTCGCTGCGGCCGACGACGCCGACGGCGACGGGGGAGACGCCATGGACCTCGATTTGGGCGACATGTTCGAGCTGGCCGACGCGGCCGACGCGGCCGACGACGAGGCGGCCGCGGACGAGGCCGCGTGAGCGCGACGAACGCGTCCTAAGAAATCTACAGAGCGCCCGAAGAATACTTTAAGACTCACCAGGCGCCCTCATCCTTCCACTTCCCCAGCGCCGCGGCGCCTTCGCCCTCCGCGTTGAGGTACTGGAGCTCACCGCAGTCGCGGTCGACGACGACGATCGCCGGCACGCCGCCGCGGCGCCCGTCGCCGAACTCGGGCCGCTCGCGCCCGGACCAGACCTTGAACGTCGTCTTGAGCGTCTGGGCCATGGCGAAGTCCACCCGATCCATGCCGAGCGCGGCGGCGCGCGTCTCGGCGGCCGCCTCGTCCATGTCGGAGCTCACGTAGATGAGCTGCACCGGCGGGGCATTGCTTTCCGGGCTTCGGGTCGCCTCGACGAATTGCACGAGCGACGGCTCGAAGGACGTGCACATGGGGCACCAGCCCGCGGCGAAGTAGAGCCCGACGCGCTTGCCCTTGAAGTCCGTCTTTTTTTGTTTCGTTCGTACGATGCAGCTCAGGAGGTCGGCCTCTGCCATCGTCTCTTTTGCGCGGGTCGCGACGACGCTGCTGCGTTTCACGGCCGGCCGGCTGAGGGTAGCGCTGCGGAGGGCTGCAGCCGAGGCGATGGTGCTTGCGAGGAGTTTTGGTCGTCGCATGCAAGTTCTGAAGACTTCTGAGGTCTGTCTGTGAGCCTGTCAGCGCTAGTCGAGCTACGCTGGGCGCACAGCGTGTGGGTGCTGCATCTCACGAAGCTGCAGTTATCTGGCTTGAGACATCTACCAGCGCGCGACGCCAGCGCACGCAGCACACCCCAGCGATCGCAGCCGTGCCGACACACGTATTCGACGCGGCTCCTGCATTATAGTTAACGCGTCCGAGCAGCATCAATCTGCTGCAGAGGAGCAAGCTGCCGTGCGCATTGACAGCAGCCATGCGGCTCGCCGTGCTACTGCTCGCCGTCGCTACGACCGATGCGCTGCTCAACAGCCTCAAAAGGCTCGTGCGCCGTAAGCCACAACAGCCGCAGCACGCGTCGGCGACGGCCTTCGGCGCCTTCAAGGACTTTTTAGCCGAGCAGCAGGAGGTCATGTGCAACGCCGTCGAGGCGCTGGACGGGACATCGTCCTTCGGCGAGGACGCGTGGACCCGCGGCGACGGCAGCCACGGACTCACGAGAGTCATCGCGGACGGCGCCCTCGTGGAGAAGGGCTGCATCTCCACGTCGTACATACAGGGGACGCTCACGAAGGCGCGGGCCGAGGCCATGTGCAGCCGGGGCCGCGAAAACGTCAAGGCGGGCGACCGCTTCGAGGCCGCGGCGCTGTCGCTGGTGCTGCACGCGAAGAGCCCGCACGTGCCCACTCTCAGGGGCGACGCGAGATGTTTCGTGGTGTTTGACGAAAACGATGAACCGAGGGAGGCGTGGTACGGGGGCGGCTGCGACCTGACGCCCTGCTACGTCGTGGAGGACGATATTCGAGGGTTCCACGCGCACTGGCGCGACGTCTGCAAGGGGAGATATCAGGACATGAAGCAAACGTGCGACGGGTACTTCTACCTGCCCCTGCGACAGGAGCACCGCGGAGTGGGGGGCGTCTTCTGGGACGACGACGCGTCCGCGGACGCGGACGCTTTGGCGCGACGGGTGCTCGAGACGATGATCGCCTCGTGGGCGCCGATCGTCGCGCGGCGGCGCGGCGACGCCGTGGCGGAGGCGCAGCGCCAGTGGCAACTTTTGAGGCGGGGCCGCTACCTCGAGTTCAACTTGCTGAACGACCGCGGCGTCCGCTTCGGGTTGAGTCCCGACGCCATCGAGCGCATCATGGTCTCGGCGCCGCCCCTGATAGCGTGGCAGTACAAGGCCGAGCCTGCGATTGGTTCTCCAGAAGCGCGGCTCGTGGACGTCCTGAGGAAGCCGCGGAGCTGGGCCTAATATACATATATATATATTTGTTTTTTTTTTTAGGCGGGAAGCGAGAGGGGGGGGGGAGGGGACTCTTGTGCGCGCGATCACGCGTCGAGCGGGACGGGCTCGACCTCGACCACGTACTCGTCGTCGCCGTCGAGCGTGAAGCTCTCGGTCGGCGTGAGGACCTCGAAGCCCGGGCCCTCCTCGAGCTTGCGGCGCGTGGCCGGGTAGGGGTCCGCCGCGTCGTAGTTCAGCGGCCCGTAGACGCCCAGGTCGTCGAGCGCCGCCACGGTCATCCGCGAGATGGGCTGGTACAGCCCGGCCTAGGCGGCCGCGGCCGGCCGCTGGCCAATGTTTTTGTGTGATGTCTTTTGGCCGCCGCCGTTCGCACGGCCTCGCGCGCCGGCGCGCGGCAAACCGCCGCGGCTTTGGTGCGCCCGCCGCGCCCTTGGCGTGCCGTGAGCTTCGGTTTTGCTCTGGCATGTTCCAGGGGAGTTTAGCGTCTTCGAGCGCGCGCGCGGCGGAAGTTCTCGGCGAGTGGGCGTTGTACGTGATCGGCCAGAGTGTTGAAGGGGGTCTGGGACGCGGGGAGCTACTTTGTGAGCGTATATGGGTTGCTCTGTGTCGGGCAAGTTTGTCGGCCAAGTTGGCCACAGCTAGCGGTCGAAAGACACTAGCAAGCTTGACACATTACTACTAAACCTCCGGGCTCGACACATAGACGTCCCCCCGCGGGCGCCTCGGCCTACCGCCCTGGCCAGATTTCTGGGCGGCGCTCACCGCGGCCGGACGTCCATTTGCGCGTTTCAGCCTTGGCCTGCGCGGGTTTGTCCGCCGGATTCTTCCGGGCCTTCCAATTCCCCAAGGAGGCGTATGGACGGCTCCCTGCTCGGTCCTCCGCGGTTTACTGCAGTGCCAACGACGCCCGCCGCCCGCGCGTTTCTCATAGATCGTCGTTACCGGTCGCGGGAGGGCGGTATCCGAGCATCGGTACGCGGCGCCCCCCTCCCCCGCTCCGGACAGAAATCCTCATATAGTTTCTTATCCACTGAGAACTGGCGCACACGCGACGCGCCGTCGACCGCGCGCGAGAGGTCCTCCGCCTCCAGGGCTGGATCGGCGAGGTCCAGCGCACCGCCCACGCGCGCGACTCCGCCGACAAGCGCTTCGACTACTACACGCCCGCCCTCGCCAAAAGGGTCTGCAGGCTCCAGGCGCGCGACTTCACGAACTTCGGCTACCCCTGCTGGGACGGCATCAAAGACACGTTCCGCATCCTCTAGGCGCATTGAACCCGGCGGCGTAACTCTATGGCATACTCTAGCCCGCACACGGCCGCTCGCTTGCGTTGTGGCGATCGCCGCCTGGACGCAGGGCCAAAGAAACGACCGCGACGCCACCCAAGACGCCGTTGCTCGCGGGACAGCCGCGGCGGCGTCGCGACGCAATTTTGCAATTTGGCCGCGGCGCCGGAGACGCGCCGGGCCACGGCGTTCGCGCCGGGAGGGATTCCGCTATATAAACTTTCACTTACACAGCCGCTAATCGTCCTTGCACCCGTCCCCGCACGCCTCGCCGTGGCGCTTCGGCCGTACGGCGTGGTACAGCGTCGTCACCGCCAGTAGGGCGACGAGCGCGTCGGCTTGTCCCTCGACCCATCCGGGCAGCTCGAGGCCGCCGCCGCCGCCGCCGTCCGATTCGGATTCGGCCACGACCAGCAAATCGGCGCCGGCCAGGTCCACGACGTATGACAACACGAGGGCCGCCGCCGTCAGCGCGCTGACGGCGCGCGCGACGGCCGACGGTTGCTTCGCCAGGAGCAGGAGGCTCGACGCGTTCGTCGCCGGCGCGGCCAGGAGAAAGGCGAACGCCAGGCCCGCCGAGCCGCCGCCCTTTTGCACGCCGGCGGCCAACGTGACGGTCGCGTGCTCGCAGAGCTGCAGCGGAATCGTCGCCGCGAGCGTGGCGAGGCGCAGGACCGCGCCGCTTGCCGCCGAGGCGTAGGCGTCGTGCGCCGAGGCGAGGGACGGCGCGTAGTGCAGCGCCGCCGTCGACACGGCGAGACCGACTAAAACACTGGGAAAGACCTCGGCGGCGACGCGGAGCGCCGTCGCCACCACGTTCGTCGGCTGCTTCGTCGGCGGCCCGCCTCCGTTCGAGGTATTGTGCTCGAGCCAGTCGCCGGCCGCGTCGCGCCACTTGCTCACGGTCTTCACGGGTAGACCGGTCTTCGTGGCCAAGGCCTGGTCCGACACGGCGAAGTGGGCCAGCTCCGCTACCGTGTGGACCCCGGCCGCGGCGAAGGCGTCGACCTTCTTCGGTCCAAAGCCCTTGAGCGGCTTGGCGTCGAGGCGCGCGTCTCTCTGGCTGCTCTCCTTCCTCGGCGTCGCCGCGGAGCGGCCGACGGCGAGGCCCGCGGCGCAGGCTAGGACGACGGCACCTAGGAGCCGCGCCAGCGCCGCGCGCCAGCCGAGCAGGCCGTACGTGATCGCCGCCGAATCCAATCCGGACGACTGCGCGGCCGTGAGGAACGCGACGACGGAGCCCAGAGGAACGCCCTCCGCCGCGAGCGCCGCCGCGCCCGGGAGCACTCCGCACGAGCACAGCGGCGTCGCGAGGCCGACCAACGCGCCGGCCACGACGCCGGCCGCGCCCGGCGTTTTCAACGCCCCCGCGAACGACGGCACGGGCGCCGCGTCGAGCACGGCCGCGACGACAGCGCCGAGCGCGACCCACGGCGCCGCCTCGCGCACCTCGTCGGCGTAGCGCTCCCCGAGCGACGCCGGCGGTCGGTACCTCGGGTTTTCTATCTCCCGCGGCGCCCACGCGTACCGCGGGTTCTCGATCAACCGCCGCTCGTACGGCCCGTCCTCGTCCTCGTCCCACGCGGCGGGCGCCGTGTCCGCCGGGTCCGCGACGTAGCGCGGCTCGCCCTCGTAGACGTCGGGCGGCGCGTCGTCCGGGTCGATGATGAACTCGGGCTCCGCTTTGGTGGCCTTCTCGCAGCAGGACTCGTGCGCTGCGGCGCAGGCGGCGAGCGCTAGGATTAATAAGCGGCGCATTGATCGCTGTCAAACTGTAATTTGAAGCAGCTCGCACAGTGGCAACCGTTGGCGTCGCTGCGTGCTGCCTTTGCCTTTGCTTGTGAGGCGCGCTGCGGCAGCGTACAGCAGAGCTTGCACGCGCGTCACCGGCTGGCAGTTGTGCGGTAGGCTGCGCAATTGGGGAAATCACGCTTGTGCTTGGCAAGCCAGAGAGCGACAAAGGCCGCGCTGGCGCACCTCAGCTAGGCGAGAGACACACTAGGTATTGAAACATATGCGCATGCAGCGGCTTGAGTACCGTTCGGTTCGCTACTGGTCCAAAGAGATCAATGGAACACTTACTGGGGCTCTAAAAAAATAATTTTTTAATTCGCGATATTGACGGGCCAAAGGGGTCGGGCGCGCCGGTGGAATCCTGTCCATAGGTGGCCCAGAGGCCTCCCGGAGGTCGCTTAGGGTCGGTATTATACACGTGCAATCGCCTACAGCGCATGCGCGGGCGCTTCGATCGTTAGATACATATCAGTACAGGTCCCCAGCACGTTGCGGACAACTACCATGATCCCCCACCTACCTAACGACCTACGCAACCGCAGGAACCTAGCCCGGGGGGGGTCCCCCAAAGTTTTGGATCCAGAGCTCTCTGGAGAGCCCCAAGCGCCGGCGCATGCGGCCTAGGCGACTACCCGACCTTAGACCTATCCCGGAGAGCGTCCGGGAGCCGATCTACATCCGAAAAAAGTAAATAATTTGGGCCCGATGGCGCCCCGTCCCCGTCAAAAACGTCAATTACCCGAGGGCCCCCAGTAGTCGCCGTAGCGGTCTCGTTGGACCCTATACTACCCCACCGATAGTCAATTACAAATATATGGCATCTACACCACGAGAAGGGTACTTTGGGCTGCCCACGCTCGGGACATGAACATCTTTATCTGGACCTCGCGCAAGTCACTCGGTCATGAAGCAAATGATCGCGTTATGGTCCATGGTGATGGTACACGGGCTGATGGCCGCAGGTCCAGTTCTTAGACCAGTTTAAACGAGATCCTGGGGTCTCGGAATGGCCGAGCCGCCGGGAGCCTTCGGAAGAGATAATTCAATGTAGTACACGCTCAGGCCGGTATTCTGGACCGTCCCACCACTAAAGCGCCTGAAACGCAAATTTATTTCATAACTCACGGGTCTGGGGCCTTTCCAGTGCCTCGCGTACGCACCGTCGCCAGCGGAGAACGGGCAAGTCGGTCGATCGTGAATAGAACAACGGCGTCATGGTCCATCTGGATGGTGGCGTCGCTGGTACTCGCGGGTCTAGGTTTTGTGCCCGTCTATGTGTAAACTTGTGGACCCGGAATCTCCGTTTCGCGCGGCTCCAACAGATCCTCTAACATAGCTCATCCCCGCCCAGGCGGCCTGGACGGCCTCTACTACTAACAAACGGAAGGAAACGAACATAAACGCGAGAGTTGTCTAGTAGAATTCTTTTCCCGCCCTCCGAGCGCGCGCCGTCGGCTCCGGTTCCGTCGATTCCGTATGAAAACTGGGCTGGAGTTGATATAATGTACTATCTGGACGGTAGATGGCGGCGTCAATCGCTGGTGTACTTTGGGAAGCCGTAAGTCTCATCCGCGAATGTCGCTGGCGGTGCCTTCCGGGAGGCGCGAGGGTATGTTCCCGGGCCGCTGCTCTGAAATATTTGGTCTCGGCGAACGACTAGGATGTATTCTGAATTTGAGTCATTCTTTTGACGCTATCGAAGCGTATCTTTGAATTTGCTAGTATGTCGTTACGCTAGCTCAGAGTTTGGCTCTGTGTGGCCACTACTGTCAAATTTTGGTCGCTGCGACCGACTATGATGCATTCTGAATTTGGGAGCTCGTTTAGACACGCTGCGACGCTGTCAACGCGGCGATGGCGTGCCCGCGGCGTGGCAGTGGCGTCGTGCAGTAGCTAGGACTCGACCAGAAAGCCGCCCCAAGAAACCTAAGCTATCAAATTAAAACGGCGCCTCCGCGCTGCGCACGACCTCGGCCTCGACGGGCGACGAGCCGTCGAGCGGCGAGACGGCGTCCTCGCCGCCCGGCGAGTCGACGCCGTACGCCTCCTCGAGCTGGTCCTCCTCCGTCGCCAGCCTCGCGTACTCCTGCGCGGCGAACCGGTCCCAGTCCGTGTCGAAGGGGTCGTCCTTCCGCATGCGGTCCGCGAACGGGTCGCGCTGCTCCCACCGCACGAACTTGTCGAGGGCGAAGAGGGCGTCGAAGAAGACGCCCGCCTGGGGACATTTATCATTCAAAAAGTCCTCCACCCTAAGCCGCAATCCACTACGCCCGTGGTCGAGCAGGTCGGCCATCTGGCAGCGCACGTCCCCCCACGATACCGCCTCGTGGCCGAGGCACTCCAGCCGCCTCCTTTGGAGAACGTAGAAGGCCGCCGCGTCCCGCTCGTCGACGACGCCGTCGCCATCCACATCGCATATCCCAAACCAGTACCGCAGCGACGCTTCCGTCGTCTTGTCCTCCTCCGCCAACATCACGTAACAGAAGTCCGCGTAGGTCAGGGCGTCGGCGTCGGGGTCCCCCGGTTTGATCCGCCGCAGGGCCGCGCCGGTCAGCCCGTCGGTCAGGGCCCGCGGCGCGGCGTCGAAGACGCGGTCGACGACGGCCCGCGAGAGGCGGTGGCCCGCGTACCGCAGCAAGTCGTCTCTCCTTAACCGCGCGTCGCGGTCGGCGTCGAGCTCCCACCACCGGCAGTAGATCACGTAGAAGTGCTCGTAACTAAAATAGGCCGGCTCGCGGTTGACGTCGGCGTCGGCGTCGAGTCTAAATAAGGCCTCGAGGAGGCACGGCCCCCCGTGAAGGAACCCCCGCCTACTAATGGCGCCCGTCCGCGCGCTATCCAACCGGTAGAAGATCCGCGCGACGACCGTCGCGGCGTACTTGTCCTGGAACTCCGCGTGGTCGGCCAGAAACGCGAGGCCCGGGTGGCGCGCGAGGAGCGCGTCCAGCAGCGGGGAGAACGCGGCCGGTCTGAGGCCGACGGCGTCGCGCTCGCCGCTGAGCGCGGCGAAGAGGCGCAGCCGGGCGTCGTCCTCGCGGCCGAGCACGTCGCGCCAGTGCGCGAGCCAGTCGCCGAGCCGGACGACGGCGCGCTCGTCGCCGTCGCGCCGCGCGAGGCGGCCGGCGAGGACCGCGCCGATCGTCGACGGGAGCTCGCAGCACTCCGCCGCGTACGCCGCGAAGTCCGGCGCCGCCATCGCGTCGCCCGGGCACCGCCGGCGCCAGAGGTCCGCGACGGCCCGCTCGGCGGCCGCGTCGGCGCCGCGCCGCCGCCGCGAGAGGAGCGGCGGGATCCGGGGCGCGCGCGGCGGCGAGGGCGGCGGCGGCGCCGCGACGCGCCGCTTGAGCGGCGACCCCCGCGGCGTGGACGCCGGCGACGACGCGCGCGACGAGAAGCGCGACGACGTCGGCGACGAGCCGGGCGAGAAGTGGGGCGGCGGGCTCGGCGCGCCGCCCTTGTCGGGCGAGTGGGGCGACGTCGGCGGCGTGCCCACGCGGCGGTCGTTCGTCAGGTCCGCGAGCGAGGGCGCCGGCGGCGCCGGGAGCTCGCCCCGCTCGGCCTTGCGGACCCACTCGCTGATCTTCGCCTCGGTCTCCTCCAGCCCCAGCCAGTGCTCGAAGAGCTCCTCGAGGCGCTGGCGCGCGGCGGCGAGGCCCGGCGGCGGACCGCCGGTCGGCGACGCCGGCGCGGCCGCGGCCATCGTCAGGGCGGCGGGGCGGTCCAGCTTGCTGGCTGCGCCGCGCGCGACCGCGACGTGTGGCCCTCAGCAAATTTGAGTCAAATGCTAAATAGGCTGGCGAGACAGCTATTGCTCCGGGAAGCTGCTCATACGACGAGAGGTGATCGCTACGGTTCGAACGGCAATTTTTTAGCAGAGATGCGGCACTATTATCGGCAGCGCTTAGGCCGCCACCGGCAGCAGCCTCAAAAATGGGGCTATTCGACGCGGCACGACGGACCACTCCGAGGCCCGGAGCGACGCCTCTACTTGGTCAAGCACCGATGCAAACGAATTCGGGAGGAAATTTTGGGACGGGCGGCGGCCGCGCCGCGAGGCGAATGCTCATTAAAACTTTAGGCCGCGTCGAGGAAGTCCAGCACGCGCGCGCACCACTCGTCGGGTTCCTGCGCCCACGCGCGGTGGCCCACGCCCGCCAGGAGCAGGAGCTTGGCGCCCGGCGCGCGCTCGGCGAGCCGCGCCGCGAGCGCCGCGTCGACGACGGGGTCGACGTCGCCGTGGAGCACGAGGTACCGCTTCTCCGGGAGCCGCGAGCAGTCCGGGAAGGGGGCCAGGGCGCACGCCTTCTGGCCGCGGATCGCGGCCGCGGCGCGGCGGACGCCGACGAACGCGTCGACGTCGGCCTTGAGCGCGTCGACGTGGCGCTCGACCCAGCGCTCCGGCGAGGCGTGGACGAAGGCGGCCGCTGCCGCGCGCCGCCGCGCGGCCTCGCCCTCCCGCGTGGCGTCGTCGGACCAATCATCAAAAACGTCGAAGAAGTCCCGCGAGACCAAGTCGGCCAGGCCGTCGCCGCCGGGGGACGTCGACGCGAGCACCGCCCGCCGCACCTCGGACGGCGCGACGCAGCAGAGCTCCTGCGCGACGAGGCCGCCGAGGGACCAGCCGACGACGTCCACTGGTGTTTCGGCGGAGCCGACGGCGCGCGCCACGGCCAGCGCGTCCTCGCCTGTGTGGAAATCAACCAGTGCGTCGGGTGCACCCGATAATTCTTCACTACGTCATTTCTCGGCGATGACGCGGCCGTGCCGGCTCCGTCGAGCGGTGAGGAACCGGCATGGCCACGCCATCGAGCAGGCGTCGCATCGATGGCGTGGCGGTCGACGCGAAGATTCAGCACGAACGCGCAGTAAAATTTTGATTTCCACACAGGTCCTCGCTGAGCGTCCGCACGCTGGCGGCGGCGCCGTCGCCCGACGCGCCGAAGCCGCGCGGGTCGAAGGCGACGACGCGGCGCCCGCTCGCGCCGAGCCGGTCCACGAGCGAGCCCCAGTCGGCGGCGCAGCCCGCCCAGCCATTGATGAGCAGCGTCGGCGTGCCGCCGCCGGCCGTGGCGGTGTAGGCTATGCGCGTGCCGTCGCTGCTCACTGCGTGCGTCGCGGCCGCATAGCTCCTCGTGACGGCCTTGGCTGCCCGCAGCGCATGTGTGGCGGATCTATGCGCTACAGAGAGCAGCATTTTTTTCTCTTTTGGCTCGTTTTAGCTACGCTCGCGTAGACGAGGTCGAGCAGCCTTTTGCATGCTAGTGTGTTTACAGGTCGCTAGCTCTCTCAGAGCGCTTGCCACACAACCGCAAACTTACTGGCCTACTGACACGTCTGCAGAGCCATGCGCCTCTCGGTCGTGAGCCTCCTCGCCGTCTGCGGCGCCGCCGACGTCCCCTGGCTCGACACGAGTGTGGAGGCGCCCGAGCGCACGCCGCCGGCGCCCGAGGTCTACGCGCGCAAGGACGCCGGCTGGCGCAAGCAGCACGCGACGACGGCGCACGGCCGGCCGAAGTCGCCGCCGTCGGCGAGCCCGCTCGACCGGCTCAAGTTGGAGCAGTTCCGGCACCCGACGTGCCACTCGCAGGCCCACCAGCTGGGCCGGGAGATCTTCGCCGACGAGCGGAAGACGCGCGCCTCGCCCGACGCGGCCCTCGACGCCGCCCTCGGGGTCTGCGAGTACCGCTGCACCGGGGGGTGCCTCCACGGCGCCGTGGGCGCGTACGCCGCGGCCCGCGGGGCGCCGCCGGATATCGCGGAGCTCTGCGCCCGACCGGCGATGACTCGGGTCGTGGGCGCGGGCGAGTGCGCCCACGCCGTCGGCCACGCCCTCGCGCTGCTGCAGAGCGAGGAGGACGCGCTGCGGGGCTGCGCCGCGGCCCCGGACTACTCCGTCGCGCACTACTGCGCTGGGGGCGTGGTCATGGAGACCGCGTCGACGTTCTTCGGGCGCAAGCGGGACGTGCGCGCCAAGTGCGAACGCGTCCCGCCGAAGACGCGCGCGGCCTGCTACTACTTCGGGCTGCGGTCGAGGGCCTCGGGCGCGCGCAACCGCACCGCCGCCGTCGAGGAGACCATGAAAAATATATGTACGTCGAAGAAGACGTACAAGGCCTGCGTCTACGGCGCGGCGACGGCGTTCCTCAAGAACAAGATGCACACCGACGTCGGCGCGCAGGGCGCGCGGTTCTGCGCGACGCTGGGCGACGCGACATGGGCCTGCATCGACGGGTTGATGTTCAGGACCGCGAAATTTGGCTCCGAGGCGCTACGGCGGGGCGCCTGCGCGGCGCTGCGCGGCGACGCGGCGGCGCTGTGCCGCGACGTCGCGGCGGCGGGGATGTACTCGCTGCGGAAGGGGGCGCTGGTCGGGTCGTACGCCGGGTGTAGTAGTAGTGAATGTTAGTGTATTTATTTATATCTGACCGCGCCGCGCCGCGAAGACGCAGGGAGCTCGTCGATGTTACGGTGCTAGAACTAGTGGGCGGAGCGGGAACCGCTTCTCGCAACGTAGACACAGATATTACTCGGGGGATTTCCATCAGGCGTCGCGCAGCTGCAGCGCCGGCGCGGCCGCCTCCTCTGCGTGTTTCTTCGCGACGGCGACCGCGTACGAGACGGGGTGGTCATACTCCAATTCCCCCGTAACGCCCGGGTGAGGGTCGTGGGAATGTTTCTTCTCCACCTGTCGGAGGTGGCCGGCCGCGCGCTTCCGCCGCGCGGAAGCCGAGAAGACGCTGAGCCGCCGCCGATCCGTATGATCCGCCTCCTGATTCTCCTCCTCGTCCGCGCGTTCGCCGGCGGCCTCGTCCGCCGCGTGGCGGCCCTCCCGCTCCTGGATCTTGCGATCCCGGGCACGTTCCGACTTCATCGCCGCGACTTCTCTGTCCAGCTTCGCGAGGTGCTTGAGGGCGCGGTTCCGCTGCGTCGACGCCTTGTTCCTAAAGATGTTCCCGACTCCTCTCAGGTAGCCTCTCTTTCGCTCCTTCGCGGCGGCCAGGCCGACGAGGACGAGGACGACCAGACGCATGGTCGGTGGTCGCCCGGGAGATTTTGACCACTGGTCCTTTTTGCTTACTTGGTTTTACTCAGGATTTAGGCTACAGCGATAGCTTGGCGCTTCGAGGCTTCGTTAAGTAAGAGCTCAGCGGCCGCGCCTATCATATACGCCGCGACTTGGTAGCTAGCGGCCGGTAAGACACTAGCAAGTGATATCTGTCATCTCGGCATAGTCCTGCGCGAGAGTTTCACTTCGCGCGTGAAGCGCGAGGTCATTACCATTATCGTAATTCAGATTATCCACCACACAAGGCGGTGATGAAGCAATCAACTATTCCCGAGGCCGAGCCGCTAATCACGCAGCCTGCGATACGAGCGCTCGCATAACTAATATGTGGCGGGTACTCGTCGTCGCGACCGCGAGCGCAACATGTCGCGACGCGGCTACGTACGACACGCCCGCCGCGAAGCAGCGAGCGATCGCGATCGCGAACCGTCGCCTCACGGAAATAATACGCGATGCCAGTCGTCCCACGCACGTCATACGAACGGGCCTGAACGGCGCGGAGACGCAGATCGCGTACGACGCCATGCTTGGCCGGCGGTCCAAGCCTCGTGTACTGGCCATCGCGCACGTCAACAACTGTGTGGAAATCAAAATTTTACGGCGCAGTTCGTGCTGAATCATCGCGTCGTCCTCCACGCCATCGACGCGACGCGTGCTCGATGGCGTGGCAATGCCGGTTCCTCGCCGCTCGACCGAGCCAGGTCGGCCGCGTCATCGCCGAGAAATGACTTAGTGAAGAATTGTCGGTGCACCCGACACACTGGTTGATTTCCACACAGGTCAACAACGGCATCGTCCCAGAGAACGCGCGAGGCTACACGCGTCGCGGCGATCCGGCATTTGCGAACTTTGCACGGCGCTACCTCGAGGCCGTCGCGGGCGCAGGGGCGGTTGCGAGGTGGAAGAACTTCGCGCCCCTGTGTCATGGCAGTGGCTACGCTTACCGGGAACAAGACGAGTTGCTGCTGCAACGGGGGAACTTTAGACCTGACGGGGAGCTCGTCGAGCGCAGTGCATAAAACCACAGGTCGCGGCGCTTCTCCGCGGCCCACCGGTTGATTTGCGCACAGGTCGAGCGGTCCAAAGGGGACGCCGGCTCCGACAGGAACGTCTTCGAGGCAGAGGTCCTCGACCCGTTCCGCCTCGCGGAGATGCGTGACGTCGTACCGTGGCCGCAAGCCCTCGCCGGCAAACGCGTGCTGGTCGTGACTTCGATGGCGCGAGACGTAGCAAGACAGTACGAGCGGTACCGGACCGACGGCGTGTCGTGGTTTGGCGCCACGGAGCTGCTGCCCCCCAACATGCACCTGCTCGTCGTCGCGTCGCCAGTGACCTACCGCGGCCGCGCGGCCCAGGGCAACTGGACGCGGTCGCTCGAAGAGCTGGAGAAACGCGTCGCCGCGTATCAGTTCGACGTCGCGTTGCTAAGCTGCGGATCGTATGGCCTGCCCCTGGGAAACTACATCACACACGGGCTCGGCGCGACCGCGATCTACGTCGGCGGCGCGCTCCAGCTCTTTTTCGGTCTGCGGGGCCTGCGGTGGCGGCGAGAAATTGCACCGTACGCGAGCGACGCGTGGGCCTGCCCCGAGCGGCCCAAGTGGGACACGAGCGGCATGGAGAATTACGGCCTCGGCCCCTACTGGTGCCCGCCCGCGAAGAACGGAAGCTAGGAGGTACATGAGTAATCATTACCACGCCCCACAACAAGACGGGACGACAACTAGGAGACGGGGGAGACCCGCCCCGCGTGGTGGAGCCGCGACGACTGCCGCCGCAGGCTCTGCGCCGACGAGTGCCGCGACCGGCGGTGGTCGAACGACACCGAGGGCGCCCGGGTGGTCGCGCGGTCCCCGAACGAGTTGCGCCGCGACGACGGCAGGCCCACCGGCGACGGCCGCCGCGCGAACGCCTCGGACGCGTAGGCCTCGAAGCCGCGCGCGGGCGCGCCGCCCGGCCGGAGGTCCGGGTCCGGGGCCAGGGCGTCCAGGGCGCCGGCGGCGGGCCGCCAGTCGACCGCGGGCGCGTCGTCCAGCGTCTCCAGGCGCTTCGCGAGCGTCAGCCGCAGGCCGCGGATGTACCGCTTGACGTTGGCCTGCGCCTCGAAGGACAGCTCGTACAGGTGGCAGAAGCCGTCGGCCACGACGGTCACCTCGGCCGTCTTCGAGACCTCCGCCTCCCCCAGCGGGTCGCACGCCACGCGCAGGCGCACGTCGCCGACGCGCCGCCCGCGCGCGTCGCGCAGCCGGTGCCACCGCGGCCGCCGGTTCCGCGGCTCCTGGACCTCGACCTCGACCTGGCCCAGTCGCCGGCCCTCGACGCCCCGCGCCCAGTTGTAGACGGTCACCAGGGCCGTCCGCGTCTGGTGGTAGGCTTTGAGGGAGAAGGTCTCGTCGTAGAGGGGGTCCGTCGAGAAGCGCCGGACTCGCGTGCGGCAGGTCTTGACGGACTGGCCGAAGACGGTCTTCGAGACCACCGTGACCTCGACGAAGGGGTCGCAGGCCGACGCGCCCGCGGCGCGAGATAACAAAGACGCCTGGGGCGGCAGGCCGCGGCACCGCTCGATGTGGAACGTGACGCGCCGCGTCGGCACGCCGACGCGCTTCGCCACCTGCCGAAATTCATTATTTGAGAGGATCGCGCCCACGCTTAGATATTCTTCGTGGCCGCGGTCGTCGACCGCGTGCGCGCGGCCGGCCGCGAAGACGTAGGCCGCGGGGTCCGGCTGGCCGGCCTCGAGGATGCGCTCGCCGGGCGCCGCGACGACGGGCCGCATGTCGTGGACCATGGACGCCACGACGCCGGCTTCCAAACCGCCGTGCACGAGCGAGTCGCATAATTTGGCATGGGCCGCGTGCCGCAGAATACCCCGGCGCAGCGCCACGTTCAGCTCGTCGAGGACCGTCGCATCATCTAGATTATGGAGGTCGTCATCCACATAGTCAAAGTAGGCCGCTACCCTCATTCGCGCTTCCATGGGCACGCGCGCCGCGGCCATCATGCGCCTCCCACACTCCCGCCGCCGCCGGTTCGTGCCGTGCTGGTGGTCCTTGTGCTCCACGACGGCCGTCAGGACCGCCGCGATGCCCGCGTCGCAGACGACCGCCCCCAAGACCATGCCGAGGCACGCGAGGAGCTTTTCGGCGTTCGAGTTGAGGGACACGCCCCCGAAGCCCACCGTGCTGCACGTGTAGACGGCCCAGTAGAAGGCCACGAGCCACCGATCATACATGGAGGCGTCGGCGATGCGCAGGGCCGGGTTCGGGGGGTACGCCTCGCAGACCCAGACGTTCGCGGCGTGCTTGCGCTTCTCCCGACCGTACTCGCGGCACCCGAGGCCCTCGTCGGCGTACCAGCGCCACGCCCGGTCATGTTTAGAATTTCCAAGGGACCAGAACGCGAATTGATCCGATGCCTTGGCGCGCCAGAGCTCGTACCGTCCGAGGTACGCGAGCGCGCACGCGAGCCAGTGGCACATCAGCAACACCGACGCGCACAGCAAGATGAGGTAGGTCATGTCGCCCGAGAGGTTGAGCTGCCACCGCTCCTCGAGGTACGCGGCGGCGCCGTCGACGTACGCCGGCAGGCGCCTTGCTCGCAACGCCTGCACGAGCCGCAGGGCGTGGATCGTCGGATCGTAGGCCTTCTTGGCGAAGACGTCCGGGGTCGATAGTGCTACAATTAACGACAGCGGCAGGAGCGAGACGAGATCATACACGAAGTCGGTCCTCACGTATAAGTCTCGGAAGACCTTTCTTTCTAGAATGACCTTGCCCTGGCGCTTCACGGCGAAGACCGCGAGGTTCAAACCCAAATCGATAGAGAAGAAGACAAATAAGATGGCGTCCATCGCGCAGGTCGTCCGGGAGTACCGCCTCGCAAACCCGACGCCGAACGGCGCGCTCACCAGCGAGTAGAGGCTGAGCCCCAGGCACGCGACGACCCAGAGCCGCTTGAAGCGCGACGCCGGGTGGGCGACGCATGATCCGGACGCGTCGCGCGACCGCCGCTTCTCGGCGCTCCGGACGTGAAAGTCCGTCGCGCGGATCCCGCGACCGTCGCCGACGCTCTTCCCTGATATGGTATTTTCGTGTGCCACGCAATACGCCCTAAATTCGTCCCACTTTTTGTGGAACCGCAGCACCGCCATGAGATCCCCATAACTCAAATCGAAGATCTGCGCGTAATCAGTGGAGATACAGGCGACCTCGTGGATCCGGCGCAGCAGGAACTCGGCCTCGCCCACGAGGCCCCTTTCGATCGTATGGAGGACGGCGCCGTCGTCGTCTTCGAGCGCGACGCCCCCGGCCGCGACGACGAACAGGCGCGCGGCGCACTCGCCCGCGCGGAACAGGTAGGACCCCGGCGCGTAGAGGTCCAATCGCAATTTCAGCGCGAGGTCCTCGAGCGCGCGCCCGCGGCAGCACGGTATCGATCGTAGGGCGTCTCCACACAACTCGAGCGCGACGCGGCTCCGGAGGTTTTCGGGCAGCATCGCCAGCACCGCCGTCCCCTTGACGCCCTTCTGCTGGGCCCAGAGCTTGTCGTAGTAGTCCGCGACCTGCGTCGACAGCTTGCCTGGCAACGAACTCCGCAGGCACCACTGCTTGACCTTCTCGCGCTTCAGCGCGTAGAGAGTAGATGTGACGTCCAGGTTGGCCACGATGTCCTCCAAGTTCGCGATCACCAGCGTGTACACGACGACCGCGACGACGATGCACGCGATGGCGAAGCCGACCTCGTATAAGGAGGACGGCGCGACGTCGCCGTACCCAACCGTCGTGATCGTCGCGCAGCCCCAGTACAGCGCGTTCACGTAGCGCCTCCGGATTATCGTATCCGTGAGTCTGAGCTCGTGCGGCCGCCGCGCGCCCCAGGCGCCGAAGGCGATCGGTGTCGACGTATTTAACCGGAGCGGGTTTTCAAAAGTGATGTGGCTCCTCCACCTTACGTCCAACAGGTTCGGCGGCCAGAAGCCTTGTTGGTCGAAGGGGTGGGCCATGGCCCAGGTCCGACAATAGACGTCGGCATCATTCGACGCGTAGCGGGCGCACGCGTCGCTCTGGAGCGACGCGAGCGCGTAAAAGGCCGACCCGAAGAGGTGGGCCGTGACGACGACGGCGCCCACGAGCCGCCCGAGCCGGACCACATTCTTGTTGACGCGCACGCCGCTCTCCTGCAAAATGTCCTCGCATCGCTTCGACAGCGCCGGCGCATCCATCAAACGTACTAATTTCGGGAGTCGCCATAGAGCGAGGGTCTGCAGGGGCGACTTCCCTGATATAAAGTAGAGTACGTCAAACGGCAACGAGGCAAACACGTGTCTGTATAAAGACGCGTAGTTCTCCCAGATCCGGCGCCGCCGCGTGATCAGCGCGTCGCCCTCATAGAACGCGACGCAGCAGCTCCGCAGAACAATGTCCGTAAGGAACACGGCGTCGCCCAGATAATCCACGACGAATAACCCCACCAAATTGGCATCGAACGCGACGCCCCGCGTAAAGCACGCGCGGAACGGCACCCAGAAGACGTTCCACACCACAAAAAACAGCAGCAGGAAGGCCCAGGCCTTCATGAAGATCCTATCCGGGTGGACGACGCCCCGCGGCAGCCGCGACTGGGCCACGCGCGAGACGACGACCGGGTTCACGACGAGGCCCGTCGGCCGCGAGATCGTGCGCTTCGACCGTTTCTTGTACGTCTTGACGCGCTTCGGGAGCGTCTTCGTAATTTCGGCGCGCGCGTCGGGGTACGACTCCAGCGTCGCGTCGAATCTTAGGCGGGAGAGGAACCACAGCTCGCAGTACGACGCGCACGTCGCGGCGTAGGGCATGTTACTGTCCGAGAGTAAGGCCCCCTCGGCGACGCATCCGGGCGACGCGAGCGCGGCGATCGTGTCGTCGTCTATGGAAATATCGACGTCCCCGCACGCGATGAAGAAGGCGCCGTCACTTCCCTGGTTTTGGCGCACGACCTGCGTCCCGCGCGAGTAGAAATGCGAGACTAACTCGAGCGTGATGCGTCGTATGAACCCGCCCTCGAGCCCGCGGAAGACCGGACAGGCCAGGATCGGTCTATGCGCCATGTATAAAGCGACGTCGTCCCGCGTGTGGTCCGACAAACTTTGGTTGATGAGCTTCAGGTCGTCCAGCCCGCCCTTTTCGTGTTCCACGTAGTCCAAGTACTGCTTGACGTCATCCTTGAGGGAGGGCGACAGGTTCCGCTCCTCGCAGAACGTTTTCAACACGCAGCGCTTGTGCGCGAGGTTGTCCTCGGAGATGTCCACGCTGTGCACGAAGGACGTAATATTTGCAACAACGCCCGCGAAGCACGTCGCGCCGACGGCGCCGGCGACGACGGCGAACCACGTCTCCGAGACCGTTGTGGGGGCCACGTCCCCATAACCGACCGTGGTCGACATGACCAACGCGTAATACACGGACCGGACGTAGGAGCTGGAGAAGGTCCTTCCGTCGCGTCCGTGTGATTTAAGAATGGCCCAGAAGCACGCCATGCCGTGGATGAGGAAGACCGTCTCGTAGGTCCGCTGGAAGATCGTGATGGTCTTGTCCCTGATCATAATCGAGTGCTTCACCTCGAGGTAGTCTCGTATCTGAATAAGGTAGGTCTTAAGGTTAAAACCTCGGAGCAGGTGCGGATACCGTAACATAGCGTACCGCTGGGGGTGGTTCAATAGCGGCGCCAGTATGACATAAGGTACATTCGCAACCACATCAACCTTGAACCGGACCGAGTTTTTGTAAACCTCCGGCGCCTCCATGTGATACAACCGCAAATACATATCCATCAAAAACACGACATCTAAGGCGTACTCTATTACCAGAGTCGGATCGAAGGCCCGCGACCGCCAGTCCGTGCAGTACAGTACCGAACGTAACGGGACCACGAGAAAGGAGAAGAAGACGGCGGCGAAGAGGCACGGCTCCCAGGCGCCTCGGATGTGGTCGTAGGTACCTATTTGATATCGGCGCTTCGTCGACGGCGCCTGCTGGACCAGCGTCGGCCGCGCGTGCTGCAGCGAGGCCTCGTCGACGCGGCCGCGGCTCCAGGCCTCGAGGCGTCGTTGGTACGCTTCCAGCGTGGCCCTCACGGGCGCGGCGTCCTCCCTGATAACTTCGTCCCCCAGCACGTCGGGGGTCCACACAAACACCTCGCAGACCTGGGCGCCCGTCCGGACGGAGACGGGGTGCCGCGCGTCAAATAAAAACTGGACGTCTCCCACGAAGTCGCCCTCCCGCAGCACCGCCGACGGCCGTCTCCTTCCATCCCGGAACACGTAGGCCGCGCCCGCCCGTACGATAACCAGCTCGCGCCGCCGCTCGCGCGCGGCGAATATGGTAGAGCGCGGCACGTAGACGCGAATTTTACAACCACGGGCCACGGCCCGCGCGAGCGCGTCGGAGCCGTTTCTATGATTAGGATCAAAAAACGGCACCTTCGTCAGGTGGTCCACGACGGGCGCGGCGAGCTCGTCTCGGAGCGCCGCGGGCAGCCCCCGTAGCAAGTGGCGGTCCGGCACGCCGAACTGCTTCGCCCAGACGTACTCGAATTCCAATTTGATACGCTGCCGCAGGCCCTCGGGCAGGTCCCGATCATCTACCACCTGCGTCACGGCCGCGAGCTCGTCGACGTGGCGCGCATATAATACATTGGCGTTGGCCAGCACCGACGTCATGTTCGCAATCACCAAAGCGTAGACGACGGCGCCGGCGAGCATGAGCGCGACGGCGAACTTCAGCTCGACCTCCGAGACGGGCGCGACGCTGTCTCCATACCCAATCGTGAACAGCGTCTGCACGCAGAAGTGGAAGGCCCTTGCGATAATCGCGTCCCAGGACGTTCTTCCGGACTGAAAGACGGCGTCCGCGCCGACCCAGGTCGTCGACGTGCCGTAGCCGCACTTCGGTTGCTTGTCGGGCGACGGATCATTACAAGCGAGGAAGAAGTAGAAGCCCCCGCAGAACGAACACATGAAGATCAACGAGACAATAATCTGGAGCATGCGGAAGGCCGCGCCGTTCATGACCAGGAGCTTCTGATCTTCGAGGATTTTGCGCACGGCCTCGAGCTGCGCGAAGAAGAGGAAGATTCGGGAGGACCGCGTCAATCTAGCCGCCTTGAGGCAGGTCTTCCTCGAGATTCTTTTTGATGAACCTTTAAACAGCACCTTGCACGCGCCGCCCCCAAAGAGCGACGACAGCGGGTTCGGTAACGTCAACAACGGACTGACGGCCAACAGATTCAGCTTCAAGCGCGCCGATTGGAGATACGCGTCGCGGATGCCCTTGCGCTGGGCCACGAGCTCCTTCGTGTGGGGGTCGTGGAACGCGCAGCAGAAGCCGAGCAGCGTGTCCACGAGAAACAACACATCGATCGCGAAGTCGACGCGCCGCAACCTCCTGAAAATGTCGGCCGCCGGCGGCGCCGTGATGGACACGGGCGTCAGGTTGCAGTTGTAGAAGATGACGACGAACATGAGCGCGTCCCAGTAGTTCCGGAGTTTCGAGTCGGGGAGGAGGACGGGGACGGAGTCGTGGAGGCGCTCTATTATTGTTTTTTGTGGCGCGGTCGGTTTGACGTCCGTCCTTTGCGGCGCGCCCGTCGGCGCCGGGCGGGGGTGCTCCATCGGGCGGCGGCGCGCGCCCGCGCTCGGGAATCCGGCGGCCGCTCGGGCTGCCGGGGCGAGGCTGCCCCTTGCGTGGGGCGGCCGCGTCCGAGGCGCCGCGGGCGCGCGGCAGCCACCGCGGGCGACGCGCGAAGCCGAGGTCCGTCCGGGGCTGCGGCCCCGCGTCCCGGTTTGAGCTGTCTGCCACAGAGCCTCTGTGCCTTTTGCGCACAAGGGCGAAGCGCCAGCGCGCCGCACGCGTCAAATCGCGCGGCACCTCTAGTGAGGCCTATGGCCACGTTCTATGGACCGATCGGGGCGGCGGGGCTGCTTGCTAGTGTCTTACAGGCCGCTAGCTTGCATGCTCGGTTTTTATCGGGAAGCATACGAGCAAAAGACTCGGCCGCGGGAGTCGAAAGCGGCTCTCAACCAATTATCAATCGAGAAGGCATTATGAGTCTCACGTCTCGCGTCGTGCGCGCTCTTTGCTTGGCCCTCGCCACCCCCTCCTTGGCCATCGGCCCCCGGTTGGTCTGCGATACGAATGAGTTCGTAGAGAAGCTCTGGCCCACCTACGCCGCCGCGCACGCCGCCGCGGTCGCGGCGCTCCGGAACGACGCGGCGCCGGGCGCCTGGCGCGGCCATAGGTATTTGGTGTGCAGCGTGTCGAACAGGGGCCTCGGCAACAAGCTGCTCTTCGAGCTGATGCCGTGCGCGCGCGTCGCGTTCGCCACCGGGCGGGCGCTCGTCGTGCGCACGGAGCGGCACATCGCCGAGGCGCTCGGGGGCGTCGACTTCGCCGCGGCGCCGGGCGAGGCGCCCGCGATAGCGTGGCTCGCGCCAGGGCTCGCCGACGCGTGCCCTGGGAGCCCGGGTTCCTGCCAGAGCCACGAGCTCGTCTGCGACCGGCGGCGGCCCGCACACCTCCCGGCGCTCTGCGGCCGGCGCCTCGGCCACCCGGGCGTGGCCGACGCGGCGGGGGACGCGCCGGTGGTCGCCCTGAACTGCAACACCCACCCGGCGTGCGGGCGCGCGGTCCGGGAGCGCGGCCGCGCCGCGGGCCGCTGCGACGGCGTCCTGGCGGCCGCCTTCTTCCCGCTCGCCGCCGGCGTCCGCGACGCGGCCGCCACGTTCGTGCGGCGCACCGCGGGCGGCGGTGGCGCCTACGCCGCGTTCCACGTCCGCGTGGGCGAGCGGGAGGCCCTCGAGGTCTTCGAGACGGCGGTCTGGGGCCTGCTCGAGCGCGCCCACAAGGAGCCTACGGCCGCCGACTGGCAGTGCTACGCCGCCCGGTACCCGGACGTTGGCGCTGCGTTTGGCCGCAACGTCGGGGCGCTCGCGCGCCACCACTACCGGCACGGCTTCGCCGAAGGACGCAACCCGTACTGCGAGGCGGCACTACACGGCGACGCGTTGGTCGAGGCCGCGTTCGGCGCGCTGAACGCCTCGCGCGCCCGGGACCCCGGGTTCGTGGGCGTGGTCCTCCGCAAGTTCCACGACGCGGTCGCCATCGCGCGACGCGCCGGCGGACCGGTCGTCGTCCTCTCGGACTCGGCCGCCGTCGCGCCGCTCCTCAGGCGCGCCTACCCCGCGGTCCGCCTCGTCGCGCCCCCCGGCGAGCCCGGCCACGTCGAGCCGGCGGCGCTCCTGCGCAAGGCGCTCTTCGACCTCCTGGTCATCGGCGCCGCTGCTGACCTGCGCGCCTCGCACCACTCGACGTTCCACGCCAGCGCTCGGAAGCTCTTCGCGCCGAGCCCGATCCACAAGCTCCGCCCGCGGCCGCCGCCGCCACCGGCGCTCGCGCGCGTCGTCCTCATCGACGTCCGGCCCGACGTCGACGAGCGCCACGCCTCTAAATTGCACGCCGTCGCGGCGAACCTCTGCGAGAAGCTCCCCGGCACGCCCGTCGTCTTCTTCCACCACTCCGCGGCGGCGGCGGCGGCCGCCGCGCTCGCGCGGGCGCACGCCTGCGTGGCCGCGACGACCGCCGTCGACGCGCAGATCCCGGGCCTCGAGGGGTTCAGCGTCGGGAAAAACGTGGTCCAGTACAACGCGCTGCTGAAGACGGAGGCGTTCTGGAGGAGCACCGGCGCGGACCGCGACACGGTGCTCCTCGCCCAGGCGGACTCGGGCGTCTGCGGCGCCGGCGCCGCCGTCGAGGCGTTCGCGCGCTACGACTACTGCGGCGCGGTGACGCGCTTCGGCGTTGCCTGGGCCCCGACGCAGAACGGCGGCTTTTCGATCCGGAACGTCGGCTGCATGCGGCGCGTGATTCGGGCGTTCGCGGCAGGCGCGTTCCGCGACGGCAACACCCGCCGCGGCGGCCTCGCGCGAGTTGCCGAGGACGCGTTCTTCACGCAGGGCGCGGCCCTGTTCTGCGACAAGTGCCCCGCGGCGGTGGCGCACGAGTTCGCCGAGGAGACGCTCCACGTGCACAACGCGACGACGCGCGAACCCGTGTGGACATCAACGAACGCGTCGCGAAAGTTTTCTTTCCACGCAGGCGCGCCTGGGGCTTCCACAAGAACTGGAACTACGGTCGGCACGCCGCGCGCCGGGAGGCGTGGGAAAAGGCGGGCGGCGGGCCCGCGCCGCCGCCGTACGACCCCGACATCGCGACCTGCGCCGCCAACCGCGCCCTGGCCGACCTCCACGTCGCCCCGGCCGCCCACGGCGGCGGGCCCGCGACGGAGACGCGTTCCGCGACGGACACGGCCGCAACCGCCGCGGTCCCCCCCGTCCGCGTCCACGCGTGGATCCACCCCGGCCGCGACGGCTTCGGGAGCCAGTTCTTCAACAAAATGGCGGTCTTCGGGGCGTGCCGGCTCGTGCCGGACGACGGGTGCTGCTACATCCACACCACGATAAAAAAAATGGCGCACGGCGTCGACGTCGGCGCCGCCGAGGCGGTGACGGGCCTCCGGTCCGACGCGCGCTGCGCGTCGCGCCACCCGCAGACCCTCCCGCGAGCGATCACGCCCGAGTTCTCGAGGGCCAGGAGGGCCGACCGCGAGCTCGCCACGAGGCTAGACGTGCTCGCCCACCCCGCCGTGCGACGGGAGCTGCGGAAGCTCTACGACGCCGCGATCTACGTCGGAAGCCGTACGCCCGTCCGCCGGCCCGCGCCGCGCGATTGCGAGTACCGGATGCACGTGCGGCGCGGCGACGCCCGGTACCACAAAAAACGTAACGTCCTGTGTGGAGATTTGATGCCATCGACGCGACGTCGCCCCCCGTAACTGGAGAGGATCACGAAGGTCTCCGATACCTAGCTCACTGGTTGACTTCCGCACACAGGTAAAGTCGCCTCGAACGAATCCTACGTGTGTCTCGCGGAGTCGATCCGCCGGCGGGACGCGACCGCGAAGATCTGCGTCTTCAGCGAGGGCTCACCCGCGGACTTCGGCGCGCTGGCCGGTGCGCCCGGCGTCGAGCTCGTCCTCGGCGGCGACGCGCTCGAGACGTTCCACCACCTCGTGACGGCGCCGCACCTGTTCATAAGCTCCTCGACGTTCGGACTCGCGGCGGCGGTCCTGGCGACGCAGGCGAAGATATACACGGCGCCCGTCGGCGACTTCGCGTCGCAGCTCGCCGGCTGCTGGGGCGAGTGCGACTGCCCGGGGGTACGGAGGAAGCTCACTGGGCCCCACGGCTGGCCGTGTTGCGGGCCGCCGCCGGACGCGCGCGCATTTCTTGCGCGCCACGATCCTTGGGCACGCTTCGGCCTCGAGGCGCCACACGCGTAACTTTAACTTTGTTTGGTGCCTTTGTGCGGAAGGAAAGCTCGAGAGAGACGTTAGCACAGGGGAAATACGGGGAATCTAGACGGCGGTCTTCTTGGCGAGGTCCTGGTTGTAGCAGCCCCACTTGAGCTTGGCGCGCTGCGCCGCCTCGAGCGGCAGGATGTCCGTCTTCTTGTACGACATGCACTGCCACGCCGCCTTCAAGTCGCGGCATAGCTTGCTGAGACCGGCCGGCTCGAGCGAGGCCGCATGATCGGTGCCCTTCCAGGTCCGGTCCTTGGTGAAGTGGCGCTCGTTCCACGTGGCGCCCAACGCGTACGCGGCGATGTCCACGGAGATCCCGAGATGGTGGCCCGAGAACCCGAAGCCGCGGACCCGTCCCGCGAAGCGCTCCCGCAGCAACTTCAGCTCCAGCATGCACACGTCCTGGAAGGGCACGGGGTAGCCGCTGGTGCAGTTGTAGAGGATGACGCGTTCCTTCGCGTTGCCTTTACCCTGCTCCCAGAAGCTCACGATCTTCTCCACTTCGTCCTTCGTCGTCATGCCCGTCGAGATGTGGACCATGCCGCTGTACTCGTCTCTGAGCACTTTCTGCATCTCCCAGTGTTGGTTCGACGGCGAGCCGACTTTGATCAACGGCGGATTTAAGGAAGCGATTTCTTTCGCCGACGTCGTGTCCCAGACCGAACAAGAGTACAGCAACCCGATCTCCTCGCAGTGCTTCTGGAGTAGTCTATGCTGCTCGACGTCCAACTCTAGAAATTCGCGGTGCGCGCCGTACGTGTCGCCGTACGAGTTGTGGGGGTTCGGGTGCTGCGCGTTGTACTGCTCCTCCGTCAGCAGCTCCTTGGGGCAGCGCTTCTGGAACTTGCCCACGGTCGCGCCGGCGTTCTTCGCGAGCGTGAGGAGCTCCTTGGCGATCTCGAACTGGCCCATGTGGTTGCAGCCGATCTCGGCGATGACGTGCGGTTCTTCGTAGCCGTCGTCGGCTTGGAAGGCGGCCATGGTGGTACCTGCGCGGCGGCGGGTCGCGCGGCGCGCGTCGTTGCAACGCGTGCGCACATAAACGTGTGTGAGCGGCGCGCTGCGGCTGCGTCGTGCGCTTGCGACGGGTCCGCGCACTCATGCGTGCGCGCGCGCCTTGCAATGCCAGCAGCGCCTGTCAGCGCATCATGGGAATAGATGTCGCTGCCAGCGTTTCGTTTGCAAAAACAATGCCACTTGGCGAAAGGTGCACACAGCAGTTGATATTCTCCAATCTGACGCGGCCTCGTGCAGTACAACCGGTGACCCAAAACAAAATCGCGTGAGCCCACTTTTTTTTGGGTTGTTTCTAGTGTGTTAGCTAGCGGCGGTAAGCATAACAGGACTGAGTTGAACACAATGCTTTTTCTTAGAGCTACTACCACTCCATCTCCATCTCCTCCGTGTCCTCCGCCGCTTCGCGCGAGGACTACCGCGAGGGCGGCGCCGCCGCTTTACACCCGTGTCTTCTTCGCCGGCCGGCCGGCGCCGTTCGTCACGTCCGCGAAGACCGCCGGGGGCGGCGCCAGCAGCTTCAGCACCTCCGCGGCTCGCACGATCTTCACCTTCAGCACACGCGCCATGTCGAGCTTGGTGCTCGACTCCCGGCCTCGCAAATCGCCCACGATTAATAGCGTCGTGTCGTCGGTCACGCGGTCCCACGTCTTGGCGTCGAGTGTGTCCCGCAGCGCCGCGAGGAACGCGACCTGGTCGTAGCCGTCGACCTCGCCCGTCACGACGCAGACCTGCCGCCTCCAGGGCCGGACCGCGAGCGCCGTAACGTAGAGCGGCGCCGGCAGGCTCCCCCGTTTTTCCCGCAACGCGTCCGCCACCTCGCCTTTCCGCAGCATCGCTTCCAATTTCGTGTCCACAAGGAACACGGCGTGGCCACCGTTCTCCGGGTTCTCCGTCGGCGTATACAACGCGTGCTTTGCATTAGCTGACTGGTCCGCGCGCTCGCCCTCCAGGCAACTCGCCGGCCCGATGACGATGTGCGTCTTTCTGGATGCCTTGCTCATGATATTCGCTCCAAACCTAATTTCCAGGACGAGCTCCAATATCCGCTGGGACAAAAAGTTCCTGCCGGTCACGACTATTTCCCGCCCCGCAATATCAGCCCGCGTGATCTCGTACGACGGCGGCAGGAACGGCAGTGAACCGTGCGGCGCCGCGGCAGCGGGCGGCGTGCCCTCGTCGAACGTCACCGCGCGCAGCGTTTCCTCGTCGAAGGACGGCGCCGCGCTGACGAACCGCGCCGCGAACACAGGCACGGCGCCGGCCGCGCGCGCCACGCGCGCGTAGGCCGCGCGGAGGCCGCCCGTCTCGTCGAGGCAGACCCAGCGGTCCGCGGGCCACTGGTCGAGCCACTGGAGCACCTCGTGCACCTGGCGCTCCTCGGCGCTGCCCGAGTTGGCCACGGCCGCGGTCGCCTTCAGCTTCTCGGCGCCAATCTCCCGGCCCAAGGCCGCCGCGACGCCGCGCGGCGCCGTCGAGGACAGGACGACGACGCAGCCCGTCCTGGCCACGATGCGCCGCAGCGGCCACACGGACAACTCGTCGCAGCGGAGTCTCCGCGCCGGCGCTGCCTCCTCGTCTGAGCTCGACTCGTCGTCGGAACTGTCCGAGGAGGACTCGCCCGCGGAGGACTCGCCCGAGGAGGACTCGCCCGCGGAGGACTCGGCGGCGAAGAACCGCGCGCCGTCGCCCACGAAGAGCGCGCCCAGCTTCCACAACGCCGTCCGTTGGAGCAGGTCTTGGTCGCGTCGGCGCGCGGCGCGCGCCGCGAGGACCTCGTCCGCGTCGTCACCAGCGGCGAGAGCGGCGGCGCGCGCCTTCAGCACCCGCACGACCTCCTGCGTGAGGTCCGCGAGGTGCTTCTCCGCGGACCGCTTCGCGTCGAGCGCCACGGCCACCTCAGCCTCCGAGACCGGCGCCGTCACGGGCGAGGCCGTCTCGCGCTGCTCCGCGATCGCGGCGTACTTCTGGTAGGCCGCGTTCATCGTCAACTCCAGCCCGAAGGCCTCGTTGAGGGCCGCGGCGATGGCCGTCCAGTGGCGCTGCGCCAGACCGCGCGCGGCCACCAAATAGAGCAGCGCCTGCATCCAGTCCACCTTAAAGGACGTATTGGGGCCCCTGCTGATGCCGCCGCCGCGCGTCACGTCCGCGCCGCCGCGCTGCGCCTCCAGCAGGAGATCGCGCGGCTCCGTCGACGGCTTCGTCGCGAGGACCACGTACACGAGGCCCGTTTTGTTGATCAGGTCGAAGAGGAAGTTGGCGCCGAGGCGGTTCTTGTTGCCGCACTGGATCGCCGGGTACCGCAGGCCGAAGGCCGCACCGACGTCCCGACACACCGTCGCCTCCAGACCGACGCCGGCCTGATGCATGCCGCCGTCGGCCAACAAGCCGCAATCTTCTGGGAACTCGAAGGCGAACGAGGTGAAGGTCGAGTCGCCGGGTTTCGAGCCGCGGACGCCCCAGTCGCCGAAAATACCAGTGTGGTCGCAGATGCGGCCCTTGGCGTTCCTCGCGGTCGAGGCGCCGCCGACTAGGAACGTCACGGCGGGGTAGCCGCGCGCACTGCACAGGTCGGCGGCGGTACGGAGCAAGCTTTGCATGAAAGCTGGATCGTACGTGCCGCTGACGATGACGATGCCGCCGTGGCGGCCGTGGCTCTTGTACGACATCACTTTGCAGCCAAGCTTTCCCGCGAGTGCTTTAGCTATATCTAGCCCGAGCGTGTCCATGGCGTCGCGCGCAGGAGTAGAACTGCGTCAGCACGAGAGCTCGGCGTCGGCGAGCACGAGTTCGGGTGGTTGATGATGATGAGGCCTTTACAAAAAAAAAGGTCGGCGCGACGGCGCTCGACGAGAGCGACGGTCGTCGAAGCGCTAGCGAGGCGGGACGCGCACCGGCGCAGCGTCCGCGGCGTGACCGCGGCATCGCTGCGAAGCAATGCCGCAGCAGCCAGCCGCTAATCGTCTCGGCCAGATTCGTGGTGGTGAACTCTGGGCACGGCCGGGGCCGCGAGGCCACCGCGCCGGCGCGCGCCAGGCGCGCGTACTAACAGGCTGTCAGCACGAGATCCGAGAGCTACGAACGTATCGCAGAGCGTGTATATATAGCTTAAAAGGGCTAAAAATGCGAAATCGATCCCTCTCTCGTCGCGAATATTCTCAAAAATCGGGTATTTTTTTTGCGCGGGTTCGACCTTGCTGGGTCTGTACGCACCTCAAATTTGAGAGCCCACGGTGCTTCTATTGCCGAGATAGGGCGCCTAGACCCTGGTTCCCGATCCATCGCCGCGAAGGCTGAAAGAAGTTGATGGGAAAGCCAATATGGGCCCTCATGCAAAACGCTGCCCCACCGCTGTAGGAGGCCGGTGCGAGCCCGTCGACTGCCTCCCGACGAAAACAGACGCCCACGCCACCGTGGCGGACGCGCCGGACAGCCTCGGGAGCCCACGAGGGCCCATCCATCGTTTGCTCGAACGTCGGCGATGGCGCGGACCAGAGCAGGAGGCATGCTCGCTGCCGTAGCCGAGGACGCCGTGGACCCGTAGGTCGCCCAGGGAGTCGTGTAGCCGCGCGCGTCGCGTTAGAAGGGCTGAAGGCTGCCCCACTCGACACACTGTGATTTCTGCACTAACCCTTGGCCTGGCCGGGACCTGCACCTGAAACCGACGGCCTCGCCTTGACCCACGTCGCCCTCGCCTACGCCTACGGCTACACGGAGTCCCTAGGCCTGGACCGACACTTTGACCGACGCCAGACAGCGCCGACGCCGGGGCCGAGTCCACGCCTACGCCTACGCCGTGCCAACGCATGAAAAGTGGCGAATGCGCTCGTCGAAGCGACGCCGGAGCCGACCTCACGGCCGGGCTTTGCGTCGATGGCGTGCTGGTACTATGTGAGAAAATTCTTGGCGTCCCGCATCCGGCGTGGCCCTATACAGTTCAGGGAGACTTTCCGACGGAGCAGTTCCGCTTAGAACGAGGTACGCTGTTACGAAAGAAGCGGCTCGCGCCCGCCGCCGATGAATCGGCGACGCGCGGTGTCTCCCCCCCAGGGGCTCCGCCCACTAGTTTTAGCACCCACCGTAACAATATATACTAGTCCTAGCACCGTCCTTCCGTCTCCGCTCGACGAGCGACAGTTCGGTCGCAAGATAAATGACAAAATATTAAACGATCTCCGCGCCCGCCGGTTCGGCGTGCCGCCGCGCCCACGCGCGCACGGACGGCACGAGCACGCCGCCCAGCACGATCTGGATCGGGTGGTACATGAGGAGCGGCGCGCTCAGCAGCCCGAAGCGCGGGTGGTCCGGGAAGACGATCTTCATGACCGGAATTCCCAAAGTAAGCGACTTGTGCGAGGCGCAGAAGAGCGCGCAGATGACGTCGCCCGGCGGCAAGGGCCTCCTTAGAATTTTCGTCGTCGCCGTCAGTATAAAGACCGCGCCCAAGAAGACGAGTTGGAGACTCAATACAACAAAGCCCGTCACCGCGAGCGCGCCGCGCCGACTGCTCTCGACGCTTTTACCGCTAAACGTATCACAAAACGTCGTGAAGATGATGAGGAGGAGCGTGGCCTGGCCGATTTCCGACAAAGGCGGCTTCGCGCGGTCGAGCCAGGCCTCGAGCCGCGGCCGCGCGACCTGGCCGCAGAATAAAGGTATCACGACGGTCACGAAGAGCTGGCGGAAGACCCGGCCCAGCGTCGCCAGCATGGCGTCGCTCGCGCCGGCGCCCGTCGTGTTCGACGACGCGCCGCCCGCGTCGACCAGCGCGACGAGCTCGATCGGCGTGACCAGCACGCCTAGCAACGACCCAAAAGCGGAATTAAAAATGGCCGCCGCCTCGTTGCCGCCGGCGGCCTTCGTCAGTATGACCGCCGACGACACGGGCGGCGGGAGGCACGCGACAGCAACCAAGCCCTCGCAGAGCCACCTATCTAAACCCGCTCGGTAGAGGAAGGGCGCGACCAGGTACCGCACGAACATCGGCACGGCCACGAGCGTGAAGCCCTGTATTAATGAATGCAGGGGCACGTTGGCCACGGCGCCGGCCAACTGCCGCGGCCTCAGACCAAGGCCGCTCAGGAAGAAGATCAGGGCCACGGCCAGGTATTTGACCGTTATATCTGGATAGAGGGGCCCGTCGCGCGCGCCGACCGCCGGCGCCGCGCGCGCGCCCGCGATGCTTAGGACGACGCCCACGAGCATCCAGTTCTTCCTGAGGACGGCCAGGAAGTGCTTGAGGGCCATCGCCGGCGACGGCGCGTGCGTCGACGACCGCGGCGAGTCGTCCTCGTCCTTGGGTTCCAGGTACGCGCCGCGGCGCGGCGTGAGCGCCGGGGTGGCCATGATTTGCAGCCTTTGGTGATCGCTGCAGCGGCGCGCGACACGTGTGACTTTTGGGCTGGCTTGCAATTCGCCCGGCACGGCTTGTGTGGTGCCTGGGACCTGTCCAGCGGCAGCGCACGACAGCGGGCTATGGCTTGAATGGTCGAGAAGCCACGCGGTTGCAAATGCGGGCGCTCTTGCCCAAAAATAAGGGGTGCCGGCTCGCTAGTGTCTCACTGCCGCTAGCTCTCGCTGTGGCCGGCGCGCGAAATCACGCCGCGCGGCGGGTGAGCAACTGGCAGCGAGGCCCACATACAGCATAGATCACTTTATCGGCGGCTCGCGCAACTTTTGAGACCGCTGATGTGCCGCAGCACCCCAAAGCCAAAGTCCATCGACGGCTGGTCCCTGCCGTCGGCCTACCACGTGATCGGCGGCCTCGGCCTCGCGGCGCTGCTGGCCGTGACGCCGGGCTGGCACGAGGTCACTCTTCATTCACACTGGACCCTATCATTCACATCCGCCGGCGCGCGCGGCGGCCGGCTCGTCGCGCGGCCGGCCTTCCTCGACGACCGGGCCGTGATAACGGTAGCGCACGCGCCCGCGGACGCGGCCGAGGCGCCGACGCGGTTGTTATTGAGACGCCGCGACGGGTCCGCGCGCGACGTCGCCGGCCCGGGCGGCGCCCTCGCGGTCATTGCAGAGACCAACGGCACGTGGGTCGCGGCCGCGGACGTCTTCGGGAGCGTCGCGCTCTATGACGCGGAGCTTAACAGGAGATGGCTCTGCCCGGCGCTCTTCCACGCGGCGCAGGCGCACGTGGCCCTGACGCTACGCGGAGAGTATGTATACGTCGCGACGGCGCCATTCGACGCTCCACCAAAGCTCTTCCGGTTGTCGTTGCATACGGGCGCCGTCGCGTCGGAACACGAAGCCGTCGAGCCCGCATCACCACCTTCGCACTGGCCCAGCGCGTGGCGGTCCGACTTCTACTGGAACGATGGGGGCGATGCCGCCGACGGCGCCTACCTCAAACCCGAGGCGGAGGCTCTGGTCCGACGCTCCGTGCCGTTTGCATGGATACGCGCCGAGGACACGCGCATCGAAGTTATGGAAGATGACGTGGTCGTCCGGGGCCCGCGGGGCCTCCACGCCATCGAAGGAGGCCTCTTCGCGCCGCTGCCCGCGGATGCTTTGGTGCTGGACGATCAATCGATCGTGACCCTCAAAGCCGTCGACGCCGACCGGCCGGCGCCGCGGCACAAGCGGTCGCGGGATGGGGGGTCCGTGGTCGCCCCGTGTGCGTTGGTTGGATTACGGGGCCTGCCGCCGGTCGAGCGCCACCTCGAGGCGTCGCTGTGCCACGACCGAGGCATTGAGAGGACGGCGCGCGACAAGATAGGGAGGGACAATAAAAGGAGGAGCGCGGTGCACTCGAACATGCTGTTGTTGGATGGCGGCGATGTCATCATAGCGGCGTCGCGCGGCGTCGTTTCTCGCATAAGGAGGGACGGCTCGCACGCGTGGCAGGCGCGGCGGGGCCCGCACTGGAAACACAGGGACTTCGGGGGCTACGTCCTTCTCCTCACAGAGGGCGTCCTTGTTGTGGGCGCGGCGGAGGCGCGGTTGTATGACCTGGACAGCGGCGCGCTGGTCGCGCACGTCGACGTCCCGGCCTTTTGGGACGACGAGCGCGTCCAGCAGGCGCCGGTCGTCTCGGAGCGGGGGGACGTCGTGCTCGTGGCGACGCAGTTCCAGACCGTGGCGCTCAAGGTTAAGGTGCGGCGCGACGCGGGCGCGGCGACGGCGAAGCTTTTGGTGCTCGCGCTCGCGGCCGGCGCCGTCGGCCTCGTCTGGCTCGCGTCCGCGGAGCTGGACCACTAAGTTTGTGTGATTGTTATTGTCCTAGCGCGGCGTTCATCTTCGCGACGTCCTTTTTCAGGGCCACGAGCTCGTCCTTGGACCGCTCGATGTAGCGCGTCGCGGAGTTCTCCGAGGGTTTGCCCGAGCCGCCGGCGAAGTTCGACGAGTAGGCCATGCCGTCGACGCGCGCGATGCCGCTCGCGAACTCTTCCAAGGCCTCCGCGAAGGCGACGGGGTCGTCGGCCGTCGGGATCAGTTTCCGGCCTGCGGTGAACGAATCAGTGAGCTGCTAGGTCCGGCTTTTTGGATTTCCACACCGTCTCCGGGCAAGTCTTCTCGATGTCAAACAACGGACTCGTCGTGCCGACGGTGCCGATGCGCCGCCGGATGCCGTCGCCGCCGCCCGCGATCGGCCAATCAGCCAAGATGGAGTCGATCTCCTTCTGCGCCGCGATCCACTGGTCGCGCGGCTCCGCGCGGGCCGCCGCTGGTGCCAAGGCTGCGACCGCTGCGACGGCTGCAGCGCCCAGATCGCGCCGTCCAAGTACAGTGTCTTTTTGTGTCTGTGGCGCACGAAATGGCCGCAGCGCAGCAACGGCTGTCAAGGTAAGGGTCAGGAGCGGCACATGGATCATTTTCACGTCGACTATGCACTTATTTCAGGAGCAAAAGGCAAAAGAGCCTCAGGCACTGCAATGCTAGTGCGTCCATACGCTAGCGCAGGCTGCTGAGCCCTTCGCTTTACCGAGGCGCATCGCTGCCTTGAGACTCGCCGGGCGTCGTTTGGTGACGTCTCACAACGCCGGCAACGGCTGCGCGCGCTCCGGTTCCGTTAGCACCTGTTTGCTCGACTACTGCTGCCGACGCCATCAGCGCCATGGGCGCGGCCATCGCAAAAACGTTAGTATTCCAGCCGCCGTCGCCGGTCGTCCCCTGCGACCAGATCGTGGCCGGCTCCGTGGACTCGAGCCACGTTTGGTTGGAGACGCGGCGCGGGTCCCGCATCGAGGCCTTCTTCGTGGACCGGCGCGCCCAGATGACCGTGCTCTTCAGCCACGCGAACGCGGAGGACGTGTCCATGGTCTTCGCGTGGCTGCGCGAGCTGAGTTTAAGACTGGGCGTCAACGTCCTGGGCTACTCGTACACGGGCTACGCGCGGTCCTCCAAGCCGCCGTCGGAGTTGGACGTCTACGCCGACGTCGACGCGGCCTGGGACTATCTGATGGCACGGAAGGTCGATGCGAGGCGCGTCGTGCTCTACTCGCGGAGCGTCGGCAGCGGCCCGACGCTATACCTCGCGGAGCGGCTCTCGGCGGCGGGCACGCCGCCGGCCGGCGTCGTGCTCCAGTCGCCGATCCTCTCGGTGTTCCGCATCGCTTTTGATTTCCGGTACACGCTGCCGGGCGACCTCTTCCCGAACGTGGATAGAGTGGGCGGCGCGCGGTGCCCCGTTTTAGTTATACACGGCACGCACGACGAGGTCGTGCCCTTCTGGCACGGCCAGGAATTATTTCTGGCGACGCGGCCGGAGTGGCGCTTCAAGCCCTTCTGGATCCCGGGCGCGGGGCACAACAACATCGAGCTGCTCCTCCGCGACAGCGGCGCGCTCTTCAAGAAGCTCGGCGAGTTCGTCGACTTCTGCTCCGCGCGGCGGCAAGCGTCGAGCGGGTAACTAACTGTTTTGTGTGTTTTGACCACGCCCCCGGCCCTCATACGCCGTCGCCCTGAGTGACTCTAGATAGTCCGGTGTGCCAGCGGATTAACGAACAGATTCAAGTTAACACTAGTACACATCCCGCCGGTACGCCCTGCGGGCCGGGCCCCGCGCGGCGTCCTGCGGGTACCCCCCCGCGGAGTAGTCGACGCCGTCCTGGACGATGTTGTAGACGCCCTCGCCGCGCCGCGGCGCCGGCGCCGCGCGGCCGTCGACGTCGCGCCAGGCCGTCGGATACTCACGCATGTACCACGGACGCCGCGGCTCCTCCCACTTCTGGCAGGCGGCCCACCGTTTCGGTTCCGAGAAGAAGGTCGACGCGTCCGGGCGGCCGACATAGCCGCGGATGCGCTGCACGTGCGTCGACAGCGTCGAGAACCAGGTGCCCGTGAAGGTGCGGCCCTGCGACGCGACTAAAACGTCGACGAGGCCGCGCTCGTTCGCGCCGATGCGCGCCAATGCCGCCGCCTCGCCCTCCGTCATGGCGACGTCGTTGGCGGCGACGGCCACGTGCCTGGGTAAGGACGCGTTGCGCCGGCGCGACGCGGCGGCCACGAGGGCGTCCTCGAGCGTCACGACGCGGTGGCCAGCTTCCGCGATCCCGTCGAAGGGCGCCTTGTCTTTGGCGTCCGTCGCCACCCACAGGGCTTCGCGCGGCGCGAGGACCTTGAGAGCTGCAAGCACATTGCTCTGGCCCTTGAACTGGAAGTCGTTCAGCCGCTCGTGGAGGCTACTATACGACGCGTCGGCGCCCTTGACCGCGGGTGGGGCCTGGCGGTCGAGCCAGGCGACGACGGCCGCGGCGGCACAGGTCACGCGGTCGCCGTGGCGGACGAGGTCGCGGATCAACCGCTTGTGCAGGTTCTGCTGGGCGTGATCCACAAAATAGACGTAGGTGTAGAAGGGCACGAGCAACCGACCGGCGCTGTCGATGTGCCTCCAATCGGCGCCGTGCGTGCGCCAGCCCGCCGAGCGCACGTGGGCGACGACGGCGTTGGTCCGGTCGCCGAGGATTGCATCACCGTCGACGGTGTCGCGCCACAGCCTTTTCACGCCTTCTAACCTCCATTCCGGCGGGTCGTGGCGCACCTTCGCGACGCGCGCGTCGACCTTCGCCGCATCCAGCGTCCTGCGCGCCTTACTCTCACCGAACAACACCACCGTCGTCTCCGTCTGCGGCGTCAACTTGTGGAAGTGGCGGTCGAGCCAGTCGTACAGCGCGTAGCACGACGCCTTTGCAATGTGCATCGGAGCGCACCGTCTCGCGGCCCTCAGGACCTTGGCGTCGGGCGGCCAGGCATCCTCAGGTAACCGTCCGCCCTTCGCCAGGCGCGGCAGAATCTCGAGGAAGAACGCCGCCGACGTCACGACCTTGGCCCGCTCTTGATTCTCCAATAGAGCGGGGAAGAAGTCCGCCAGCGAGTACTCGCAGGCGCCCTTGCACGCGTTTAGGAGGTAGTAGGGCTGGACCGGCGGTAGTACCAGCACGCGGCCCGACGCCCTCGCTAGCGAGAGGACGTTCTCGAGGCTGAGTCGCACATTATTCAACCCTCCAAAGTCCGGAACAAAGGTCAAATAAGCCTCTACATCATATGCAGGCGCGTCGCCGGGCTGCTCTACCACGGGCTTTGTCCAGTACCGCATGGAACTCGGGACGCGCACGGGGCACGCGTAGGGGTCGCCGCCGCGCACCTCGCCGCGCGTGGCCCGTTCCGCGATCTCCGCCGCCGTCGCCGCGTTCTCGGCGTGCCGTGCCGCGGCTTCTGCCTTCTCGCGCGCGATTTCGGCGCGGGCGGCTTCGCCGTCGTCCCCGCCGCCGAATATGAGATAGCAGAGCGCGAAGCCGGCGGCAAACGGTGCGATTCGTGATGGCATGCGCCGTCGGCGTCTTGTGCGGTGCTGCGCTGATGGCGTGTGATGGCGTGGGGAGCGCTGCATCTCAGTGATGCAGAGGGCTGCCCCACCCTGCCAGGCTGGGCTCCACAATGCTCGCGCTAGCGCTCACGCTACGTTGCAGACCGCCCAAGGCATGCACCCACCACAGTCCCAACGTGCTTATTGCACGAATAGCGGCTGCCTTAGGCTTGCTTTGTGCGATTGCGCCTGTCTTGCTAGTGTCTTACCGCTAGCCGGCGCTTATTACCACCAGATATATTTGCCGCTGTGTTCTCACGTGCCCACTGGTTGCCTCGGTTATGCGTCGTGGATGATACATTTATCGTATATTCGTACGACCAAGTGTCTTGCCTTGCCTTTGTTTGTTTTCCTTGACAAGTGCTGAACATTGTGTTTTTCTTGCTGCCTGTCGCCTCGTTTTTCGCCTCGCCTGCCTTGCACAGAGAGATACACTTAAGCGGTCACGAACGCTAGACTAACCTTGCACGAACCATGACAAAGATGCTGCGCGCGTAACTCCCAATGCAGACGGCGACCGCGACCGTCGCCGGCCGGCGGCGGGTGTCGTTCACGTTGCCCGAGCCCGCCGCGACGACGTTCATCCCGAGAGACGTCGAGTCCGAGGGACGTCGGTCGACGTGGCCGCCGACGAGGACCGAGCGCTATCCGGAGGGCCTGCGCAAGGCCCCGGCACCGACGCGCAGCGAGAGCGAGCCGGGTCCCACGAAGACGTGCCTGCTCGACCTCGCCTTCGCCGACGAGAGCCGCGCCGTCGACGCGGACGCGTACGAAGAGCTGCGGCTCGGCGACGACTTCTTCGATTACACGGCGTGGCTTTTTTTCGCCTGCGCGATCACGCTGCGGTGCATCTTCCACGAGCACGTCGTGTCGCTGGCGCTATGCTGGTGGATCCTGCCCGCGGTGATTCCGTGGTGGCTCATGCTGCCGTACCACGTGGACCCGCGCGGGTCGCACACGGCCGCTTTATACCGGGGGTTCCTGATCGCGGAGGACATGTACCGCGTGTGGACGGTCCCGCGGCTCGTCCGCGTCGTCGTCTTCCTCGCGGCGACGGTCGCGGGCCAGCGCTTCTGCGCCTTCGTCTCGAAGCGCCTCGCGATCTCGATCCTGCGCGACCGCAACGCGCACAAGCGCGGCGCCATGCCCCTGAAGTGGCACGTCTAGACTCTCACCACGCATCGACGCAGCACTTGCCAACGTTTACCAATTTTGCCCGCGCCCTCTCCCGACGGGTCTCCGCGCAGAGGGGCACCACACCTAGGTATTCTAAAGCTCGAATCTCGCTACGCCAGCACTGCGCCAACGCCGCCGGCCTCAGCCCGGAGAATGGTTAAATCTAAAGGTAGAAGTCCTTAGACGCTCCCCCGGCTGCCCCGGAGCGGGTGGTCCGCGTCGCGCTTCGATAAATTACGGTCGCGCATCAGAATGATCGCCAGGCGCCGCGACGCCGCCGCGCAGACCCACTGGCCGAAGAGTGTTAGTATGACGATGAGGCACCACCTTATCCCGATCTCCATCGCCGGGTGGCCGTCGGCCAGATGCATCCAGCGGAAGGTCTTGGCGGTGAAGAGCGACGCCCGGAGGCCCATGGCCGTCCAGTCGCCGCGCGGGTCGACGGCCTCGTCGAGCATAAATTGTTCCGGGATCATCGCCGGCAGGATCCACCAGATGAGTAAAAACGACGACACGTTGTTGTGCCAGACGTATCTTAGTATGACCGCCAGCAGCACAAACAACCAGCTGAAGTTGTCGAAGAACTCGTCGCCCTCCCGCAGCTCTTCGAACCCGTCGGCGTTCGGCGGGACGGGCTCGGGCGTCAAACCGCGCAAAGCGGCCAATGAGGAACAGGACCGTCTTATGGCGGAACAGGGGTCGCCGACCGTCTTGGAGCGCAACAGTTCCGGCGTGGACAGGGCCTTGTGCGGCAAACCGGGCGACGGGAGCGGGCAGGGGTCGGAGTGCTCGCGGCGGTGGCCGCGGTTCGTCGATCGGTTTGAGGCGCCGGAGCCGTCGCTCGCGTTGCGGCGGGGGGTCTCGTAGAAGGCCATCGTTTTTTGCGGTGCAGCGACAACAATTTTTTGGGCTTGTAACTCTTTTCAAGCGCGCGGTCTCCGCTCGCCGTCGCGACGCGCGGTACGGTGGCGACGTTTAAGCTTGCTTGCGCGAGAGGGCCGGCCGCGGCAGACAAGCGTATACGGCGCGCCACGTTGGTTTTATTGAGCAAGGCTAGCGGTCAGTAAGACACTAGCAAGCACTGCAGCGCCATAAAGCGCTGGAGCTCCGCTGCGCCATCGGCTGCCCAATTGCCACGACGCAAGACGAGGCAGCGACGGGCACGACAGTTGCCCAAAGAGAAGAAAAGAGGAGCAAACGACACAAGCAATGGCCGAGTCCACCAAGGAATTGACGGCCGACGGTGCCAAGGTGACCACAACCGCGGAGGGCAGCAGTGCCACGGCTGCTCCACCCGCCGAGCCCAAGAAGCTGCTCGTCGCCCTGACGACCGGCCCGACCACGGACGCCTCGAAGTGTGCGCTCGCCTTCCTCGTCGCGTCCAAGGCCGCCGCCGCGGGCCACAGCGTGTCCATGTTCCTCGCGTCCGACGGCGTGCAGTGCCTGACCGACGACGTGATCGGCAGCCTCGAGGGCGTCGGCACCGGCAAGCTGTCGGAGACGTATCCGGCGTGCGTCGCCGCCGGCGTGACGTTCTACGTGTCTGGCATGTCGTGCAAAGCTCGTGGCATCACACCCGAGAGCCTCGCGACGAAGAACGCCGGCGGCGGACCGGTCACGTTCGAGATGCCGCCGAAACTCCTCGAGCTCACGTTCGCCGCGGACTCGACGCTGTCGTTCTAACGTCGTCCCCGATCGTCGATTTTCCCGTATTTCGTAAGTTTAACTTTAGCTTAGAGCTAGACCCGGACCCCAGCAGTCTTCAAGAACAAGGAGTAGGCCTAGAGTAAAGGCACTAGAGTACTTTTGTGTGCCAATGTGTGGCTGGGGAAAGAGGTGTGGCTGCTTTTGCGCGCCGGTAGAACTCTAAAGTACGGTCTAATCCACTTATTATTATTCGCATTGATGCGTAGCCAACTACTCTGCACCGCCATTGCTGTCACTGCAGCGATGCGGCCATTCGCAGCGCTGCCAAGCCACTCGCGCCGCCGCACCGTGCCGCGGCGTGCAGCAAAAGGCAACGCAGTGGAAAAACGAGACGTTCCGAGCCAGGTCTGGCCCGTCGCTGCCGCCGCGGTCATGGGTATTAGCTCCTCCGCAGCATTGGCAAGAGGCGTCGCCGGCGAAGCGGCACCCGTGGTGATCGCGTGCTGGCGCGTCGCCGGGGCGTCGGCTCTCAACCTCGCCACGCGACGGGCGCGACGCGGCGTCGCCGCACTCGACGGACGCGACGCGACTCTGGCGGCTCGCTCCGGTCTGCTCCTCGCGGCGCATTTCTTGCTTTTTTTCGAGGCGCTGCGGCGGACGTCCGTGCTGCGCTCGACGATCCTGGTCGGCCTCTGCCCGCTCTGGGTAGGGCTCGCGGATAGGATAAGCGGGAGAGAAGTTCCGGACGCGTTTTGGCTCGGCTGCGCCAGCGCGGTGGCCGGAACGGCGGTCCTGGCGGGAGACGCGTCCGGAGCCGCGGCGGTGACCGGCGACGCGCTCGCCGCGGCGTCGGGCGTGCTGTGGGCGGCGTACATTCTGGCGGGCCGCGACGCGAGGGCACGCGTCGGCGCGTCGACGTGGCAGGCCGGCGTATGCCTCGCCGCGACGTGCGTCCTCGCGCCCGCCGCGCTCTTGAGGGGCGACGCGCTGTGGGGCTTTTCCAGACGTACGTCACTCCTCCTCGCCGGTTTTGTCCTCGGCCCGCAACTCGTGGGCCACCAGGGCTTGACCTACGTCGTGAAATACCTCCCTGCGCGCCAGGTCGCGGCGCTGACGTTACTCGAACCCGTCGGCGCGACGGCGTTGGCCGCGCTGTTCTTCGGCGAGATCCCGACGCGCGTCGCGTGCTTTGGCGCGGCCCTCGTGACGGCGGGCGTCTTCGCCGCACTCTAATCTAACCATTGTTTCTTAGTCAACAAGCATCTGCGCCCGCAGCTCCTCGGCCTTCTCGGGCCCATAGAGCTGGTCCACGAGATCGAGGGCGAATTTGAGGGACGTGCCGGGCCCGCGAGATGTCGTAATGTGGCCGTCGCGTACGACGTCGCCGTCTGCGATGTCCCCGAGCGCTTCCACGAAGGGCGGTGCGGGGTAGCAGGTCGCTTGGCTTCTCAGGATCCCCTTGCTCTTCAGGATCACTGCTGGGGACGCGCAGACCGCCGCCAAAGGCGCTCGCCTCGCGTCCTGCTTCCGCAGGATCGCGTCGAGCGCGTCGCTGTCGCGCAACCTCTCCGCGCCGGGCATGCCGCCCGGCAGGGCGACGAGGTCCCAGTCGTCGCCTGAGACATCGGTGACGAGCGCGTCGGCGACGATTTTGAGCCCGCGCGACATCGTACATGTCGTCGTCGCCTCGACGGACGCGACCGTGACCTCTGCACCCGCGCGCACGAGAGTGTCCGTGATGCAGCTCGTCTCGATCTCCTCCGAGCCGTCCGCAATCGGCACCAGGACGCGTTTTTGGGCTCCAGCGCTCGTCGTGGCAGCCGCACGCAGTGCCATGCTACGCAGCGCTGAGCTGCGCGTCGCCAGCGTAAGCATCACTGCGAAACGCATGCGTGATTAGTGTTTTTTGGGTGCGAGAGCCTTTTTGGTGCTAGCGTCTTGTAAGACACTAGCAAGCTCTGCGAGTCGAACGGCTCTGCGCGCCATTGCGACGTCTTCGAGAAGCAGCCCTCGTGGAAATTACACACAATAGCAACCATGCCCGACGCGGCAGCGCTGGCTGTTTGCGACATCGAATTGAACGATGTGCCCGACATGCGCCAAGAGGACCAAAAGGAAGCAATCGTCGATGCACCAGAACAACTCGTCGCCCCCGGCCCGTGCTACGCAACACATCTCGACGTGGGTCCTGCACAAACGCGGGCCCGCGACACGGTCGACGCCGTAACGCGCGTCGCCCGAGCCGCCGCCGAGCTCTGCTCGGTCGAGGAGCAATACGCACGGGGGCTGAAAAAGGTCGCGTCTACGTTGGAGGGCGCCGCGGGGCCTGACAAGGGCGTCCGGGGCGCCTGCGCGGCGGCGGCGGCGATGCTTGCTTCCGCGTCGACGGCGCACGCGACGCTAGCCAAGTCATTGGCCGCCGACGTCGAGGCGCCGCTGGAACAAGCGAGGGTCGCTGTGAGGAAGGCTCAGTCCGACGGCGCGACGCGCGCCCAAGCGGCACACCGCGCCGTCAAGGCGGCGGACGACCGCTACCGGCGGGCGGCGTCGAGGCTCAAAGCCCACGTGCGGGACGCGACCGCGAACGAAGCCGCGAAGCCGGCACCCGGCGAGGGCTCGGGCCTCGACAGCGCAGAGGCGCCCCCAGAGAAGCCGCACGCGTCGATCTACGCCAGATACCTCGCGCCGACGAAGCCGTCCCCGGACGACGCTAGGCAGGAGTGCGACGCCCGGTGGCGCGACTTGAGCCTCGAGTCCCGGAAGGCGGCCTTGGAGGCACAGCGGCTCCTCACCGCGTACCAGGCCTCCGACGAAGCCGCGGTCGAAACCTGCGTCGACGCGCTTAGAAAGGTAGGTGTGCACCAGGCGTCGGCGTTTAGCACGCGAACATACGACCTCGCCCAGCTCACGCGCGCGCTGGACGCCTGCGACGCACTGGCGGACGTGGCGGTATTCGTCGAGGAGCGCGAACAGGCGCGCGATCGCGTCGACGGCGCCTGCGTGCGGAACGCGCTGCGGCTCTGCCAGCCGGAGACGTCGCAGGTCGGACGCGCGCTGGGAAGCGTCTTCGTGCCGCGCTCGCCCGTCGACGACGTGCTGGCCTCTCCATCTGCAGTCGCGGACGCCTCGACCGCGGCCGTAGCTGACGACGTCCGCTACGTACAGCTCCCGGTCCGCGCCGGCGCCGGTGCCGTCGCGTCCGCCGCCGCGTGTGCGGCGCTGCTCGACGAGGCATCGATGTGCACCGTGTAAGTTAAGTTGCTTTGCTTAGAGCTAGGCCGCCTAGCCACGTCCCGCCACGGGGGCTGCGTGACCGAACGCCCTAAGTTAATTGACTGGAAGTTCCGTTACGGTGCTGGGACTCAGGGGAGGCCCTAAATCAATTGACCGGCGCCCCCCCGCGCGCCGGGCGGCGTGCGGAGCCCGTCGCCGTCGTCCTACGGCGTCGTGCGGTGCGCGCTCGGGTGGGCGTGCTGGAAGACGTATGTGGGGCGGCCGGAGACAAACCAGATTCGGCGCATGGCGATGAACCTGCTTGGGATCGGCCTAGGCGCCGCAAACCACCACGAGGACGCGTTGTCCGTGAAAGAGGCCGAGTTGTCTACGATGCGGCGCCTTGGTGCACCAGAAGACGACGTGCTCGTCACGCAGAGCAATCTTGCGAGCACGTATCGAGCGCTAGGGAGGCTCGACGAGGCCATGCAGATGCGACGAGATGTCTATTCTGCAACTGTAAAGCTCAATGGCCACGAACATAGTGATACCCTCATAGAAGCCAACAACTACGCGCAGGCCCTGCTTAATCTACAGCGCTTCAAAGAAGTCAAGGAGTTTCTTCGTGAAAAGGTTCGCGTGGCGCGACGCGTTCTTGGCGAGGATCATGAACTCACGCTCATGATGAGGGGGTCTTACGCGGAAGCGCTCTGCAGAGATCCCGCCGCCACACTCGACGATCTCCGCGAGGCCGTGACGACGATTGAGGAGAATTCACGGATCGCCCGGCGCGTGCTCGGCGGCGCGCACCCGGCCACAGCCGGGATTGAGCGGGACCTCCAAAAGGCGCGAGCCGCGCTCCGCGCCCGCGAAACGCCGCCGACGACGGAGTCATAACTTGTCGATCGTTCCAAAAGTCGGTTATTATCCATAAATCAAGGGTTTAGGCGTGGCCAGACCCCGGCCGGAAAAACCCGCACATAGCCCGCGGCTCCGAAGCTCCGCAATTACAACCCATTTATTCACCACAAACCGCTCGCCGGACAGCGTCCATTGTCGTGTGGCTTCCTATTATTGCTGGTTCGCAACTCCCAACTTTTCATGCATTGCCATGCGCATCCGCATCGATATCAGCCGATTTCCGCCCGTGCACTGTTCACTTTTTTGAGCATCGAGACCATGCAGGTATCTATCATGAAGCTCATCAGCACCATTCTCCTCGCCTCCACCGCCGCCGCCCTCAAGCAGCGCGCCGCGCCGATGAAGGCGCTCCAGGTCCCGCGCGGCGGCGGCATGGTCGAGAAGTCGCAGGCGCTCACCGTCACGAAGGCGCCGTGCCGCGTCCTTGCACGCGTACGCCCCCGCCGAGGCCGCGACTGATGCCTACGCGTGCACGCCCCCGCCGCGGCCGCGACTGATGCCTACGCATCGCAGGTTGTCTTCGGCCTCTACGCCGCGCAGATGCTGCTCGTCCCGGACTTCATGATGACGCAGAACTTTAAGATGAAGATGGACAAGTACCACACGTTCATTACGCGCATCTCGGGCCTCGGCTGGCTCGGCATGCTCAAGTGCCTCGGCGCCATGGAGGAGGACGACGCCTTCAACACGTCCTTCATCGTCTCCATCATCTGCACGATTATCGCGCCGGTCAACGCCGAGATGAACCTCGAGTGCAACACGGCCCACGGCGCCGTGTACGTCCTCTTCCCGATCCTGCTCGGCGCGCACGCGCTCGCGATGTAGAGTCGATATTAGAAGTCGATATCTGACGCGAGCTCTCTCCGTCGCGCACACCGGGAGAGCGACTAAGTACCACCATCTCCACACAATTCTGTATTACTGCACGCGACCTCTATCAGTCCCATGGTGCCTTCGGCAGCCAGGACGGCTGCGCCGGAGGCTTCTTCTTCGCCTCCTCGGCCTCGAGCGCGGCCCGCTCCTCGGCAACAAGCGCCGCGAGTAACTTGTCCTCGGCGTCCTGGAGGAGGCCGCCGATGGTCTCGCCGTCGTCCAGGGGCCGATCTATCGAGTCCTTGTCGACGGTGCGCAGCATCCGCGCCAGATCCCGCGCTCGTCTTGCCAAAACCTTTTGGTCGTCGACGCGGCGCATCGCGTCGTAGGCCCGGCCCTGCCACTCCTCGACGATCGTCACGGCCTCGTCCAAACTCTCGGCCGAGGCCGCGCGCTCCTCGTCCAGCCGGCCCTCGAGCGTGTCCGCCTTCCTTTCCAGTTCTTTGGCCCGCTGCTCCGTCCGCCTCAACTTGTCCTGGAGCTCCTTCGACTGCCCCCTCATTGTTCCAATCTCGCCCTCGAGGGCCGCGCCGCGCAGGCGCTCGGCCTCCCAGTCGCCTCTAGCTTTATTCGCGGCGGCCTTGGCCGCGTCGGCGCGTTGCGCGGCGGCGTCGCGCTCCGCCGTCGCTCGTTTCACTCCATCCTCGGCGGCCTTGGCGCGTTGTGCTTCGTTAGAAGCGGCCGCCGCGGCGGCCTCGAGATCAGAACGTAGTTTTTCAGATAACCCTTCGGCGTCGGCCGCGCGCGCCGTCGACTCGGCTAGCGACTTGTCCAGTTCGACGACGCTGCTCTCGACCAACCTTAATTTCTCCTTCGCCTCGACGGCGTTTTGATGAAGCTGGGCCTCCAACCGCGACCGCTCCTCATCTAACCTTCTCATTGCTTCATTGCGCGCGTCGGCCAATTCCACATCCGCGGCCCTTCGAGCTTCCGCCCGCGCCACGTCCGCCGCCTGTCTAGAGAGCTCTTCACCTCTCATTTCCGCGGCCTGGACCGCCTGGCGCACGCTCTCTTTCTCACTTTCCTTGAACTTCTGGCGCAGCTCGTCCTGGCGCCTGGCTAACTCCGCCCGCGACTCGTCCTGCAGCGCTCGCGTCTGGTCCTCGAACTCCGCGTCCATGGCCAGGATCTCGTCCTTCAGCGATTCGCGCTGCGCCGTCAGGCCTAGTTTATCATTTTCTAGCTCTTGCCGGGCCTTCTCCAACTCTTCAGCCCGCAATCTTTCTTGCTCCAACTTCTCGGCGGCAAGTCTAGCTTCGTCCGCGAGCTTCTGCGCTTCGAGGGTGGCGGCCTCCGTCGCTCGAGCTTCCTCGGCGAGTTGTTCTTCGAGGAGCCGCTCCTTCTCTTCAGCTAATCGCGCGGCCTCCTCGCGCCGCTCCCGTTCCAAGCGCGCCTCCTCCTCGAGCTTTGATATCTGGTCCTTGCGGGCCTCCCGTTCTCTCGCTAGCTCCTCATCACGTAAACGCTGCGCCTCGGCGGCCGCCTCCAGTTTCTGAGCGGCCTCGAGGGCGTCCCGTCTAGCTTGCTCCTCCGCGGCCTCGACGCGTTGTTGTGCGGCCTCCTGCGCCTGTCGTGCCGCCTCCGCGGCCAACTCAGCCTCGGCGGCCGCGTCGCGCTGGCTCGCCTCGAGCTCGTCCCGCAATTTTTCAGCCTCGGCCTTCGCCTTCGCCTCGGCCAACAGGCGCTCCTGCTCCGCTTTCGCTTGCGCCTCGCGCAGCGCCTCGTCCCTCAGTTGTTTAGAGCGCTCTTCCGCCTCCGCGAGCTTCTGTGAAGCTTCGTCGTCCTTCTCCTCCAATAAACGTTGAGCCTCGTCGCGCGCCGCCGCCTCGGCCTCCAGTGCCTCTCTCTGGGCGGCCTCGAGCGCGGCCCGCGCCTTCTCGGCGGTTTCTGCAGCTTCCTCCTCCAACGCCTCGCGCTTCAATTCCGCGTCATCAAGCTCGTCCCGCAGGCGTTGTGCCTCCGCCGCCGCGGCCTCCTCGGCAAGACGCCGCTGTTCCGCGGCGCGCACCTCGGCCTCGGCGACAGCATTTTCGCGGGCCTCGGCCGCGGCCTGCTCCGCCGCCTCGAGCATGGCTTGAGCATTCGCGTCCTTGCGTTCCAAAGCTTCTTCCGCCTCGCGCCGCGCGGCCTCGACCGCGCGCTCTTGCGCCGCGTTCGCGGCCTCGATATCTAGCTGCCGTTTCCGCTCGGCCTCGTCCAGTAGCTTATTCGTGACGGCCGCCGCATCTTTCAACGCAGCGTCGCGCTGGAGCGCGGCCTCGCGTAAAGATCGTTCGACGGCGCGCGCGCGCGCTTCTTCCGCTTCGTTCGAGGCCGCCTCGAGCCGCTCGCGCAGCGTCTCCCGGGCCGCGTCCTTCTCTATCTCAATCGCGTCTTCGAGGCGTCGCGTGGCCGCGGCGTGCTCCTTCTGTAGAGATTTGAGGGCCGCGTCTCGTTGGGACGACGCCTCGTCCCGCAGCGCGTCCTGCCGCTTCCGCGCAATTTCTTCGACATCAGCGACGGCCTCGGCCTTCTCGCGCGCGGCCTGCTTTCTGGCCTCAAGCAAAGCCTGCTCCGCGTCGTTCTTGGCACCATCTAAGGCTCTTTCTAACATTTCTCGCGACGCCGCGTCCCTTTCTGAAAGTTTCTGGGCCGTTTCTCTGCTGAGACGCTTCTCCAGCTGCTGCAAGGCCGCGTCACTTTGTTCCTGCTGGCGCGCCTCGACCTTGGCGACCGCGGCCCGCTTCTCCTCCTCCAATGACTCTCGCAGGTCAGCGACGGCTCGCGCGCGCTCGGCCTGGCTCCGCTCCCGGAACTCGTGTTCCAACGTAGCGATGCGCTTTTCCGCAACCATATCACTTTCGCGCCTCGCTTGCAACACGGCCTCGTCTCTCAGTTGAGCCTGCGCCGCCGTCACAGAAGCAATTGCCCGCGACCGCGCCTCGGCCGCCTTCGACTGCTCCTCCTCTCTAATACGATCGGCATTGTCCGCCGCATCTCTCACAAGCTTTTGAGCGTCTCTAGCTTTCCGACGCGCGTAGGCGAGCAGCGTCCCGCGCGCCGTCTCGCGCGCCCTCGATTCCGCCTCCGACACGGCCTCCACCACCCTCAATTTGGCCGCCTCTTCGAGCGACGCCTTCTGCGCATCCAGAGCGCGCTCAGCGTCCCGCTCCAACTCCTTTTCCTTCCTTTGGAGCTCGTCGCGTTTCTGTTGATGTGCTGATTTCAACGCTCGCAGCATCTCCGAGTCCTTCTCGTACTCGACGTCCCTCAACCTTTGTTCATTGTACTTCTTTAACTCCTTGATGCGCCGTTCTGATTCGTCATTGACAGAAGCGACAGCTTCGGACGCCTCGGCTCTGGCCTTGCCTCGGACCCGTCTTGCTATAGATAGGACCGCTTGTCTCGCGGACTTGCGTTCTGATGACGTGACTTCCTCGACAACTTCCGAGATGGCCTTGGCCTTGGCCTCCTCGAGGCGCCTCTGTTGCTCTTGCAGTTGTGATTGAGCCTCGTCCCGGAGCTTCGCCTCGCGGCGTCGCAGCGTCACTTCGGCCTCGTTTGTCAACTGCTCCGTCGTCATCGACACGGCCTCCTCCGTCGTGACTTGAGCTTCGCGCCGCAGCTGCGCCTCGCGCGCCGTCAGCCGCTCGCTCGCGCGCGCCTCGGCCGCGCGCAACTGCTGATAGTTCTCGGACTCCTTCTCTTGTAGAGCTTCGGTGAGGCGCGTTTCTGCGTCCGCGACGAGGCGCGCCTCGCTCGCGGCCGCCTGCTTCGTGAGCCGCGTCTCCGCCAGACTCCTGGCCAATGACCGCGCGTTCAGCGCCGCCGCCGCGGCGCGCTCGCGCGTCGCGCGCACCTCCGCCTCCGCCCGCGTTTTGACAGAATCGACCTGGGACCTCGCCTCCGCGCGCGCGGCGGATAAATCAGAAGCGGCCGCTTGCCGCACGGTCTCGACCCTCCTTTCCGCCTGGGCCTTCGTACTTTCGAGCTCCTTCAGCGTGTTCTGTTTGAGTAACGCGATCTCCTCGTCGGCTTTCGCCTTCGTCGCTTCGAGGTCCGCCAGCGTCTTCTGCTGCAGCCGGCCGACCATGGCGTTGCTCTCTCGTAGCAATTCGACCTCCTCCATTAACGCTTCGCGCTCCGCTTGCAGCTCTCGCTCCGTCTTGCCCGTGACGCGGTCTCTGATGGTTTCGATTTTCGTCGTCGTTTTTTCCCAGAGGGCCGTCGCCTTCGGGGCGACTTTATTTTTGAGGCTCGGGAGCAGGCGCTGCACACCCAAGCCGCCGGTGCTCGGCGTCAGCACCATGGACACGGGCGTGGTCAGGGCGTATGACGACGTCGCGATCCAGATGACGGCCAGCGCGGCGCTGCAGCCATTAGCCATCTTGGACGGCTCCGAAACTAGTCCAGCGGTTGTGGCTTGTTATAATCCTTCACTACAGCCTCGGGCGCGAAATCTGGCAACGTAGTTTAGTTGTCGCAAGCGAAACAATCGACTGCGGCTGCCTCGTACGTCGAGCTGGCTAGTGTCTCACAGGACGCTAGCATCGCAATGCGTGCGGGATTCGATCTAGCTTCGGAAGGCTCGTTGATTGCAATTCGAGGACGCCTTCCGTGCGGGCCGGCCGGCGGGAGAGCAAAACTGGAGAGGCCGAGTAGCAGAGTCAATCGCTCGCTCGTAGAGCCGCGCAATAGCACACGACTGCTCTGAGTAACGCGCATTCATCGACCAACCATCAGACGCGGCAAAAATTGTGCTGCAGGACGCACAGCAGCATCAGCAGTCATGAGTGAGCCTCCAGCCCCTGCGCCAGCCGCCGCGGCAGCAATGCCGACGCGCACCGTCACGCTAACAAAACAGTTTCCCGCCGGCGCGCCCGCTGAAACGGACGAAGAAAAGGCGAAACGGCTTTCAGAGTTGAAAGCGAGAAGCATGCAACCGGTCAAACGAGACTTCATTTGTAAAGCCCCACCAAAAGACAGCGGCTCGCAACGAGGCCAGAACAAGAAAAGACCGATCGAGAAGATGGAGCCCAAGAAGGACGAAATACTGAGGGATCCGCCGGGCGCGAAGGACGAAACTTCTCGCATCCCCTTCGCGGCGATGCTTGCTCTGAGAAAGCGCGAGCGGCCCTTCCTGACGCCGCGGTCTACTGATAATACGACCTTCGACCTGCAGCCGGTGGTCAAGGAAAGGAAACCCGTGTCCTTTGACGGTAAGATCTACGTGGCACCACTCACGACTGTCGGCAACCTCCCTTTCAGAAGAATTCTGACGAAGTTCGGCGCGGACATTACGTGTGGCGAGATGGCCCTGGCCCAATCTTTGATAGATGGCCAATCTTCCGAATGGGCTCTGCTGAGACGCCACAAGGACGAGAAGTGCTTCGGGGTCCAAATCTCAGCCGCCCACGGGGACCAGATGGGTCGGGTCTGTGAGTTGATTGATGAGCACTGCGACGTGGACTTTGTGGATCTGAACATGGGCTGTCCCATCGAGTTGGTATGTCGGAAAGGCGGCGGCGCGGCGCTGCAGAAACGACGCAAGAAGGTCCAGGAGATCGTCTTCCATGGTCTTAGGAGGCTGAACTGTCCCCTGACCATAAAAATGCGCACGGGCTGGGACGAGACGCCCAAGTTGGCACATACGATGGCGGGGTATATCCAGCACTGGGCGAATCAGCACGGTCCTTCGAGCGTGCCCTGCGTGTTTGTCCATGGGCGGTCGCGGACGGCTCGATACACGAAGGCGGCGAACTGGAGTTATATAAATATGGTCGCGAAGTGCCAGGACGAGTCCATACCTGCTTTACCTATAGTGGGCAACGGCGACGTGTTTTCCTGGAGAGATTATGCGGAGAAGAGAGAGCTCGCGCCGGCGACCTGCGACTGCGCGATGCTCGCCCGCGGGGCGTTAATCAAGCCCTGGCTGCCGACGGAGCTCAAAGAAAAACGCGACTGGGACATCTCTTCTTCTGAAAGACTAGATATACTACGCGACTTCTGCAAGTTCGGGCTCGACCACTGGGGCAGCGATTCAAGGGGAGTCGCGCGGACGCGGCGGTTTTTGTTGGAGTGGCTCTCGTTTCTGCATCGATACACGCCGGTCGGTCTGCTGGAGGTGCTACCGCAGCGCATCCAAGAACGGCCGCCTCCTTTTATTGGACGCAACGACCTCGAGACGCTCATGGCCTCCGACGACTCGCGGGACTGGGTCAAGATCTCGGATTTGTTGCTGGGCAAGGCCGACGACGCGTACGACTTCGTGCCGAAGCACCGGTCGAACGCGTACGCGTCGTCCGCTCCGGCGGGGAGCGACTGGGGGTAACTTCCTTTGTAGTACTTCCTCGTCTCTAGTCGTGTGACGGGTTGAGGCGGCAAGTCGCGCGAAATGCAACGCGTCGATGGCGTGGCGGGGGCTGCTTTGGGAGATGTTAAATATTGTTACGGTGCTTTGGGAGCTGTGGTGAGTTTCTTTGCTTGCTAGTGCCTTACAGCCCGCTAGCCCTCTGTGGCTTTTGCTCGGTTTTTTGCCATGCGACGCTGCCCAGACTATTCCAACGGCTGGCTGGAGGCAGCATTTATCATTTTATCGCTGAATCCGATCGATGCGACGCTGAGGTGCCGCTGACGCTGAGCTGTGCTGTGCTATGGCCAAGAAGAAGAAACAAAAGCGCCAAGAACCGGAGCCAGCCGCCACAGAACAACCGCTCATCTTCCTCGACATCGACGGCGTCCTGGCGCCCTTCGGCGGCCGCGCCCCGCCGGGGCCGCCGACGCAACGCGTGGCGAAGCTCGACGCCGACGCCGCGTTCGCGCCCTTCGATGAGCGCTGCGTCGAGCGCCTGGCCGCGATCGTCGCCGCCACCGATGCCACGATCATACTCTCGTCGTCGTGGCGCGCCCGCGCGGACGCCGTCGCCGTTGTTGAACGACGGTTCCGCGCCTTCGGGCCGCCGCTTTCTGAGAAAGTGCCGCTGCCAACCACAGATATAAACTACCACAGCGTGCGCCAGTGGGAGATCGCGCGCCACCTCGAGAAGCGCCCCGCGCGACGCTGGGTCGCGCTCGACGACGAGGAGCTTGTGGGAGGCGAGGAGTGCGCCGAGCGCCGAGCGCTGTTCGTCGATCGAGTCTCAACAATCGACTCGACAGCCGGCCTCCAGGACGCCCACGTGGAAGAGGCGATTCGTGTACTTTGTAAACAGTAATATTAACAACAATTTGACGATCCCCGCTTCTCGCGCGCGTGGAGGTCGTCGAGCGACAGCGACGGCGGCTTCGTCACGCCAAGGGCCTGCCGCCGCTTCTTGTTCTCCAACGCGAGCGCGGCGACGGCCTCCATGGCCACGGCAACGCCCGTGCCGTCGCAGGCCGACGCGAAGAGGAGCCCGACGCCGTGCGCCGCGCACCAGGCCTCGGCCGCTTTTTCATCATCACTGCGTGTCGGACAGGGCAGGTCCATCTTGTTGCCCACGCACACGATCGGAAACGCCTCCGGTCCGTCGACGCGCTGAAGGAGCTCGCGTCTCCATAATTCGACCTGGGCGAAGGTCGCGAAGTCCGTGGTGTCGTACACAAGCAAGGCACCATCAGCACCCCTATAAAATGCGCCGCCGATCGTGCCGTGGTGGAACCGCTCCTGCCCCGCCGTGTCCCAGATGACTAGGCGGACGCGCTCTTCCCCGACCTCGATGACCTTCGAGGCGAAATCGGCACCCAGCGTGACCCGCCGCTCGGGCCGAAAACTATTCTTCGTGTAGCGTTCCAACAGCGAACTCTTGCCGACGTTGCTCGACCCCAGGACCACGCATTTCAGCATCGTCGTCGTCGAGCCCCGCTGCGTCGCGATGGGCCGCGGCGCCGGCGGCTGCTCGGGGACGGCGGCGGTCTCGTCGAAGGCGTCCGGCAGTGCCTCTTGCGCACGTGGTGCCTCCGTCGACGAGTCCTGCGCCTCCGTCGCGGCGGTCTCCTCAAAATCAGCCTGCTGGGACATTGCTGCTTATGATTGATTTACTCGTCTCTGCAAGCGTTTGCAGCGATCGGCACCGACAAGCAGTGTCTTTCGACAATTCGTGAGCAAGCTTCGAGGCAGAAGCGAGCACTAATGCCAAAGTTAATGAGGAGCCAAAGCTCGGAGCTAGCGTACCGACATACTAGAGCCAATGGCACGCGCAAGGCTCCCACGCCGCCGCCGCGCCCGAAAACACCCTCAGAGACACAAAAACTTAGTCCGCCTCCATATTATATAAGAGTGGATTGTCGTGGTCGAGCGGCTTGAACTCGTAGAACAGCGTGATGGGCGCCGGCTCGTTCGGCTTCTGCGCCCCGAGGATCCCGTACTCCTTCAGCGTCTTCATGTCGTCCCTTAACTCGTTCCGCTCCGCATAGCTATCCTTGCAAATGACCAGTTGCTTCATGCGGCCATGCTTCGCCTCGAGCCGTTTTTTGATCGTGAACAGGTGCGTCTCGTCCGTCACGATCGTGGAGTCGTCCATGAACTTCCAGTTCATGAGTTTCAAGGAGAGCGCGACGTAGTTATTTAGGTCGGGCGGGGGCGGCGGCGGTCCCGTGTCCTCTGGCTCGGGCTCCTTCTTCTTGCCCCGGCCCTTGCCGGCGCCCTTGCCCATGGTTTACTTATGAGGAGTCCTTGCCGCACGTCGGCGGGTTGGGGCAGCCCTGCCGGTGGGTGGTGCTGGGGCAGCCTTGCGTCGAACGCGCGGCGTTGGCGTGAGGCCGCGTGTGGCGTTCGGCGACGGCTGCTTGTGTGAACCGTTCCAGCGGCCCGCTGGATGCTCTCGCGCGTAGCTCGTTACGATAACAACGCGCTGGGCAACCACCTGCCGGCCGGCTCGTGATCAAGACGCCGCAGCGCCTGCCCCTGCCCCGGAGAGGTCCGGGAGGTTTTGACTGGTTCGGACGACTCGTCGAAATTCGGACGCTAGCGGCTGTGAGGCACTAGCACTCGACATCAAGAGCAAATCACACGGCGTGCGCACGCATCGCTGCGACATCGTTGTGGCTTCGGCAGTTTCATTGGCTTTTAGACGCAGCGCGCAAGGACGCCCTGCCGGATCCCCCTTGTTTGCTTACAACTGGAGGCTGTGTGAGGCTGTCATGGCTCGCATTGCCTTAGCACTCGTGGGCTGCGCCGCCTTACAGACGTATCGGAGGCCACAGACACTCCGCAGCAGCACGAGACGCTTCGCAGCACCCGAAGAACCGCAGCAGGACATCAACGCGACGATCGTCGCGGCCTTGGCGACGGCGGGCGCGGCGGGCGGCGCCGTGCTGCTGGCGGACCCGCTGCTCGACGGCGCGGCCGTGGGCGGGGCCGCCGACCTCATCACGACGTACTCCGCGGCGACCGCGACGGTCGCCGACACGGTCATCTACTCGACGGCCGCGGACGCCGCGGCCAGCGTCGCGGCCGCGGCGCCCGTCGCGACGGAGGCGGTCACCGCCGCGGCGACGTCGGGCGCGGCCGACGCCGCGGCCGCCGCGGCGGGCGCCGCCGCCGTCGCGTCGACGACGTTGGTGGATGCGACCGCGGGGTCGGGCGCCGGCGAGGGCATCGGTGCCGGCGCCGGCGCGCTCGCCGGGCTCGGCGCGTCCGTGTTCGGGGACTCCTCTACTGGTGTGGCCACGCGCGGCGCGACCAAAGTAGTTTCCAAAGCGGCTAAACAAGCACCAGAGGCCGTCACGAAGGTGGGCAAGGGCCTCGCCGCCCAGTCCGACGTCGCGCTGAAGAGCGCCAAGGCGGCGGCTCAAAGCGACGCGGCGCGCCTCGCGTCGAAGGCGCCCGCCGAGGCCGTCACGAAAGTCGCCAAAGTAGCCGGCTCTCCCACTTCAACAAAAATCGCCAAGGGCCTCGCCACGAACGCCGACGCCGCGACTAAAGCGGTGAAAGTTGCGCCCGAGGGCTTCACAAAACTCGGCAAAGGTTTGGCAGCGTCGGGCGTCGCTGAAGGTGTCGCCTCGAAGGCGGGACTCTTTGCGGAGACCACCGGTAAATTAGCTGGCGCCGGCGAGTCCACCACAGCCTTGGCGGCCAAAATAACCCCAGTGCTCGACAGCGCCGGCGCCAAGGCGGCGCTGGGCGCGGCGGAAGGTGCTGGTTTGGCGGCGGGCTTCACGGGCGTGACGGTGGCCGGCGCGGAGTACATGAAGCAGAATTTGGGGGTCGTGTTGGGGATTGGCGCTCTCCTGGGCCTTGCGAAGTGGGCCGGCGATGCGCTAACGGAACCGAAGGACGGGCCCCTCGACAAGCTGACTAAGAAATAGTAGCTTACACATGTTCGGTCTTCGGTTTTTTGGCCGGCGGTTGGACGGGGCTCCCCCCCAGGGCTCCCAGGGCCGCGGCGACGGGCGCCGGGACCGGGCTGCCCAAAGCAGCGGCGGCGACCGGGCTCCCGAGCGCCGCCGTTCCAGAAGGCGACCCCGGCGCGTAGGCCAAGTTCGGCGGCGTGGCCACGTAGTAGCCCTGCGGCATCTGCCGCACGACGTAGCCGGGCGGTACCACTCCGCCCGGCGACGGGATCAATCCTTGGGGAGGCGGCGGCGCGGCGTTGGGCTGGCCCGGGATGGGCACGGCGTAGGGCACGACGAAGAAGGGTCCCGCCGGCGGCTGGGGTTGTGGTGGTGCGCTTTTCGCGTCGGTGGGTGGTGGGGCCGCGACGATGGGCCCCGTGGGCGTCTGGGCCACTAACGCACCGGGCGGCGGCCGGCCATCCTGGCAGTCCTTCTGCCACCTTCTCTGATTTTTCCTCACGGAAGAGTACCAGTAGTTCTTCACGGCGTTGTCCGTGCGACCCGGTAACAACTTGGCGATCTCCGCCCACTTGTTGCCTAATTGCCTTTGGGCGTCATAGATCGTGCGCTCTTCCTGCGGCGACCAGGGGTCGCGCTTTATCCTCGGGTCCAAATGATTGAGCCACCTCGTGCGGCACTGCTTGCCCGTCCTGTTCCCACTTATCTGCGTGTTGAGCTCTTGACTAATCAACGCCCAGAGCTTCGTGCCGTGCCTCTCCACTAATTTAACGATGGCGGCGTCCTCTTCCCGCGACCAGGCGCGACGCACGGGCGACGCGCGTTTTTCTTCCGATGCCGCGGCCGCCAGCGCCGCGACGCCCTCGTCCTGGAGCGCCCCCAGGAGCTCGTGGGCCGCGGGCTTGGCGTCCGTCGCGGGCTCGGCCGGGTCGGCCATCGCTCTTGGGAGCGCAAAGATGCTGCTGGGGCGAAACTTTTTTTGTGGCTGCCCTACGCGGCACGCCGGGGCTGCCCCGCGCGGCGGGTTAGCTTATATGACTTCGGCCGCGGCCCCGCGGCAGCGCTGGTGCGCCCGGTGGCTCGTAAAATCTTTGGTTTCGCCTCAGGCCCAGGACGCGTTTCGTCCCTGAAACTCTCGTAACTTTTGTATGCCTTAGTTAGCGGTGCGGGTTGCGTTTAAAAAAGCGGCGGGCCTCGGTTCCTCGTCGCGGCGAGCGGTTTTTGCCGCGGCGGACGAACTTCGGAGGAATGGATTGCGGTGGGAGCCGCGCGCGCCGGCCGCCGCGTCGGCGGGGCGGCCTCCCCGAACCCAGATAAGCAAGCTCAATTGGGACCCTAGGACATATGCGCCTGCTTTTCCAGATCCTGTCCATGGTACAAAACGCGGTATCCCCAGAGGCCACCAACCCTATTCACTGCACGCAGTCGAAGCGACAAGCCCGAGCACATAAGCCTCCCTTACGCCCCGACCCCCTCAGTAGTCCCCCACCTCGACCTCCTTCTTCTTGGACTTCTTCGCCGGCGACTTCTTCTCGCTAGCACCTCTTTTCTTGGCAGCCTTCTTCTCGGCCTTCTCGCGCTCCTCCGCCTCGTAGGCGGCCTGCTCGGCGAGCTCAGCTCTATACATGGGCGTCGCGCGCCACGCGTCCGCCTTCTCGAGCACCCAAGGCGCGTGCTGCGTGAAGACTTTACGAGCGGCGGCGCGGAAGATGTCCTCGCCCGGCGCGACGACGGGCACGCTCCCGATGGGCGCCGGCGGCTCCTCGTCGACCTCGGCGTCGTCGTCGGCCTCGACGGGCCGCGGCGCGGGTTTTTTGGAGGCGGTCGTCTTCTTGGGCTTCGGCGCGGGCTTCTTCTTCGGCGTCTTCTTGCGGCGCGAGCTGTCGTTCGAGGACTCCTCTAATACATCATCCATGGGCTCGTCCTCGTCCTCCCCTGGCAGCTCCTCGTCGTCGTCCTCGTCGTCCTCTAACTCACTGTCCGAGGCGCTGCTCTCCTCCTCCTCCTCTTCCTCCATGGGCTCGTCCTGGGCCGACGCTTCTTCATCCCCCGAATCACACATGGCGGCATAATCAACTTTCTTGTCGTTGGACTTGCGCGGGCGGCGCGGCGAGACCATGGTGCTGGCGTTTGAAATGACGCGCCGTTACGTGCAAACTGGTAGCAATTTGCGAGAGGTGGGATAGCTGGGAGTCCTCTCACAGCGCCGCTGAGCAAATGAGGAGCTATGTGGCTTGTATGGTGGCAAAATAGAGACGCGCGCGGTTTGCTAGTGTTAAAGTGACGCTAGCTAATTATTGCCAAGCCACACACGCTAGAGTTTTCCGGCTATCAAAAATGACGACCACGCTCTTCGACACCTCGGAAGCCTGTCGGTGCCGAGCCGCATCTTCATGGTCACGCGCCCGCGTCCGCGCTCCGCTGAGTCATGTCATGGTTTTGTCTAGGTTTTGTTGTGTATTTTGTTCTGTAGTTCTCTCTTACGCGCGGAGCGTCTTCTAGCTAGCCGGTTGCCCCGACCACGGCTGTGTCGCCGTCGATCGCCACGCGGACGCCGAAGTTACTGTAGCCGGCGCGGCGGCGGAGCGGCCGCCTCCGTGTATGCGGCGCTGCTACGTCTCGGGCGCGAGCGCCGCGCCGGCGGCGCGGCCGTCTCCTCCACGGCGGCGCGGCCGCGCCTCGGGCGCGAGCGCGGCGGCGGCGGCGGCGCGGCCGCCTCCGCGTATGCGGCGCAGCTACGCCTCGGGCGCGAGCGCCGCACCGGCGGCGCGGCCGCCTCCTCCGCAGCGGCGCGGCCGCGCTTCGGGCGCGCGCGCGGCGGCGGCGGCGGCGGCTCCGGCACCGGCCCCCAGAAGAAGTTGAGCTCCGGCGGAGCCCTAAAGAGGCCGGCGCTGTCATTTCCTAAAGCGACCCAGTCCATCGCGCCCGTCGACGAGTCGGCGTAGTCCGCCCGCAGAGCGTCGACGATGTCGTCCGCGGTAGCGTCCCCGGAGCGTGAGAATGTCCGACAGTTTCGGCCGACGCGGCGCTGGAACGTGCGGTAGGCGTCGGTGGAGCGCGTGTCGACGTCGCGGAGCAGGTTGTTGCACGGTTTGCAGAGCCACCCGCGGAAGACGACGGAGAGCCAGAGGTGGTCGCGCACGAGCTGTCTATCATTCAAGACCACGGCGACGCCGCCGCGCCGGAGGCAGAAGTAGGGGGGCTCGCGGGGCTTGCCATACTCGATCTTGTCGACGTCGGGCTTGCGCTCCAACAACGTCTGCGCCCTCCCCAAACAACGCTCGCAGACGTTCGGCTTGGACGTCGCGTTCTTTATCATGGCTTGTTTCGAGTCGGAGAGCAGCGTCTCGACCTTCTTCGCCAGCAGATGGAGCGCCTCGCGCTTGAAACGGCACCGCGTATGAAGCGACTCCCGCCAGGCCCGCAGCATCTGGGCGTAGTCGTCCAGCGTGTACTCGTCGCACGGCGTAGGAGGCTGCACATTCGCCGTCACACAGGCGTCGACGAGGCGCTGCACGAGGTCGTACGACAGCGCATCGCTCGCCATCGCGTGACCAAACTCGAGCCACTTTTTGAGGTCGCCGTCGGGCAGGTCATCGCCCTTCGTCCAGCCGTCGTACTCGGGGCTCAGCGGGCCTATGAGCTTCGCCAGGGCGGCGTTGTCGCCGCGCCGTTTCGCCGCCCTAACGCGGTCGAACAGCGACTGCCGCCCGTATCTCGAGGTCGACGCCGTAGGGGCCACGTCGTCGCCGTCGCTCGCGTCGATCTCCTCCTCCTCCTCATTATCGTCGTCGGGCGCGCGGAAGGGCTTGTCGCTCGAGTCGTCGTCGCTCGTCTCGGCGGTTTCGGCCCGCCTCTCGAGGGCCTTCAGGCGCTCCGACCGGCGCCGCGGCTGGCCATCCTTCTGCGAGGACTCGACGTTGTCGTCGTCGTCGTCACGCTCCGGCGAAGCGCCTCGCCCCTGTCCGGGCCCCTCGTCGTGTCCTCGTACCGCGTCATCGTCATCGTCGCCGCCGCGCCGCTCGTCCTCCGAATCGTCGACCAGCTCGCCGCGGAGGATCATGCGGATGCGCTCGCTGCACTCGCCCGGGTCCCGCTCGACGTCCTGGAACCAGGCGTCGTCCCACTCGCCGTTCTCAAGAACCTCACACACGAAGCGCCCGTTCTCGCCGTCCGTGCGCGCTCTCGCGATGTCCACGGGCGTGCCCTGGTCGCTCTTGTCTTTGAGCAGCCACCCGTCCGCCAGAGTGGCGGTGTTCTCGTCGCCATCCTGCTCGAGCGTCTTCGCCGCCTCGCCAGTTTCCGTCAGCAGCAGCATGACTGTGGCCGCAGTGGCCTCGGCGGCCGCTACATGTAGCGGGAGGCGCTGCTCGACGTCGCGTAACATGAGATCCGCACCTTGACGGATCAAGCACGCGACGGCCGCGAAGTTGTTGAACTCGGCCGCTATATGTAAAAGCGTCCGTCCCGACGACGTCACGTGGTTCGGTTCGAAGCCCAGGCCGTCCTTTTCGTCGAGCAGCATCTCGAGGACCGGCGCCAGGCGCCCCACCCGCGCGCACATGCACGCGATCGAGAACGCGTCGTCGCCTCCGCGCGCCTCGTCTGGCTCCGGCTGCTCCCCGAGGCCGAGCCGGCGCCAGTCCCCGACGAGCTTCGCGGCGCGATCCTCGATTCCTTGCGCGAACTCGTCGGCGTCGACACCGTTCGGCGCATCCTCGTCGCACAGGGCGCGCAAAAGCGACCAGGGCTGCCGCGCGTCGTCCGGCGGCGGCGGCGGCGGCTCGTTCACGCGCGGCCGCTTCTTGCTCCGCTTCCCGCCTCGATCATCTTCGGCGCGCGGCGGCGGCGGCGGCGGCGGGTTCTCGTCGTCGCTGTCACTGCTCTCCGTGTCGCTCTCGTCGTCGTCGTCGTCGCCGAACGAAGCCCACCCGTTGGTGGGTGGCGCCTGGAGCGACGGAAGTGCGGCCTGACGCGCGCGCTGGTACAACAGCAAGCACACGTCCTTTTCAGAGGCCTTGCACACGTCGGCATACGAACAGACCACGGCCGGGGCGCCGTCGTTGTACACGCGCCACTTGTTGTCCGGTCCTTTGCAGCGCGCTATGTAGTGGCCTGCATCTGTGTACCCGCCCAAGTGCACAACAGTACCACAAAGCAGGAAGTTGCTCGACCCCACCTGGAGTCCCTGGGAGAGCTTGATGAGTCCCCGCCGAAGCTTCTTCCTTTCGTCGTTCGTGTTGAACTTCAAGGCCAGGACGAGGACCTCCGAGTGTCCAATTGACTCGAGTATGCTGCTGCAGCATCCACACCGGTCACAGCCCTCGCACTTGTAATCTTCGTCCACTGCTTCGGGCTGCGAGAAGAGGCCGAGCAGGTGGGCGACCGTGTGCTTGCCCGTCGAAGGGACTGGTAGGCTCAACCCGAGCTCCGCAGGAGTAATACACGTGCTCTCGTGCTGGCAACTTGTTCTCGTGCACCTCGTCGTCCTCGTAAGGGTAGTGCCACATAGGGCTTCGACGAGGCCGCCAAAACCGGTCGACGACGCATCGAGGACGGCGTCGAGGAACCGATGCGCGTCGTCCTGTCGGTCCAGAGAAAAGCCCAGCCACCGGCTCTTTCGAGAAAGGAGCCCAGCATCGGAATCGAAGCGTAGCGCGTCGCGTAACGCCGCCGCGAATTGTAGCGACCTTGAATTTTCTGCCGTTCGTGGAGCGAGGCCGACACCTTCGTCGCCGAGAATCCCTACAAGTGACGACGAGCTTCGCAACAACTGGATCACGGAGTTCTGGTAGCACTGGTTGCTGGGGTTGTGGAGCGGTTTCGGTATCGCCGGCCGCTTGCGCGCCGCCCGCGACCAGGCGCGAAACCGATCGACATATGCAGGAGCCAGGGGAATCATAGCTACTCGTCACGATGCGTCACGCACTGGCAACAATTGTAAGTGGTTCACAGCACTCTCTTGAGTCTTAAGTCTCTCAGGTGCGGAAGTAACGCGTCCCAAAGGTCTGGCGGCGTTTTATGAGTAGTGGAGCCCTCGTCCGTCGTCCCGACCACGCCGTCGAAGCGATTCTGGGCTGAAACTGTTACTGAGTGCAAGCAACAAGCCCTGCCTCTCTGTCGGCCTAGTGAGTCTATGCGCTTGCGTCAGGTATAATTTTGGAACGGCCCAAGCGTCGGCAGGCTTTCCATCAGAGCGATCCGCCGCCGCCAGCAGCTCGCGGCGTAGCGCGCTCGGCACGAGCGCGCGGCGAGTAGTGGTATCGAGAGCTCGATGGACCCAGGCAGACAAGTCGGTCGCCAACCCGACGAGCAGTCGTGCGCCGCGGCGCGTCGTCGCATCGCTGCTGTCCCAGAACGACCACTGAGCGGCGCCGCGGAGCTGGTACGGGCGCCGGCCGCCATTGTTGCGGACTAATAATTAGGCATTGAGGTGTAAGTTACCTCGCCGTGCTATCCTTGTGCTTTCGTTTCGCCAGCGTAAAGACGCGGCGCGCGTCGGTCGGCGCACCACCGCTGAGGCGGCTGCACAGGGCAGCCTAGTCTGGGAAGTGATGCCGTCGCGGCATCGCGCCGTGCGCATTCGTGGAATTGTAATTTGCTGGCCGAATGCATGTCCTTTCATTTGGGCAGCTTCGCCGTCGGCGCGGCGTGTGACGCGGCCACCAATGCCCAAAAAAGTCAATTCCCCCCCACAACAGACAAAAAAAGTGAAACGTAGCTAGCCTAGTTAGGATGCAACCAAAGGAAATGTAGGGAAACAGGCTGGAGCGGGTCGGCGGGTGGGTCTTCCGGAGTCCTAAGACTCTAGGTAATGGGAAATCAGCAAAAACACCGCATCGTCCACGTTTTGCACATCCCCACTCGCAGTGATTTCCCGTCCTTCCAGCCGTGGTCCACCAGGCTGGCGTCACGGCCCAACCAAACTTCCAACGTCGAGCGCTACGAGGCGATGTGAACGACGCGACGCGCGGGCGTGCAGCGCGGGTCCCGGCGGCTCAAGGGGTCCTGCTGGAGCACAGACCCCTCTTATTCCTCGACGCTAAGACCCCCTAGAGTCACCAGCGGCTGATGCGGTCCGGGGCGCCCCGCTGCCGGCTGCCGGCTGAGAGGGAGAGCTTGGCAAAGCGAGCTGAAAACACATCGATAGGATCACGCCGTTGCATTCTGCAGCGTGTGCAACTGTGCATCACTCGCAGCGCAGCCGCTCAGCTCTTTCGCGTCGTATTCAGCATGGCGCGGCTCACGCCACAGGGCATGCTCAAGCGGACAGAGAGACAGATCAGGCGCATCGGTGACTACGACGGCAGCATCAAGCCGCCGAAGTTCGACATAAACAACCCGACGCCGTATCCGTATGGCAGATTTCGCAGAGGCCTGGCACGCGAGGGGTGGACGCCGGCGACGAAGACGGAGTGGCGCGCGTATTTCGCGAACCACCCAGAGCAGACGCGAATTCCGCTGATAAGGCACACGCTGCGGGCCCACTTCGCGCAGGGCGTCAGCTACGGGAAGGACGGCAGCCCCTTATTTACTGCCGAAGGAGCGATCGACATCTTCTACAAATACAAGCTCGTCATCGCGCCCTGGGACCTAGACTGGTGCGGCCGTTCGTTCTGGGGCATGATGGACTCGGAGGCGAAGGCGAAGGAGCGGCAAGCCGACGCCGTCAGGCGCGCCGCCCAGAAAAAGCGTGACAAAGCCATCGAGCGCCGGGCGTCGATGAAAGCGGGCGAGGACAAGAAGAAGAAGCACCAGACGCACTACGACGACCACGTGTCCGAGCGCGCCGACGAGCGGGCCCGGGAGCGCGGCGAACCGGAGCCGAGGTATGCCTTGCGGCACAAGAAGCTGCGCGAGTGGGAGGGCCCGAAGAAGCTGGAGGAGTGCCCGGACTGCGGGCTCCTCTGCCTTTTAGTGGACTTCGAGCACGCGAAGGGCGGGTCGCACCACGGCGAGCTGCGGTGCAGTTGTTGTAAGCGGGACAACACGGTCGCGCGCGCCGACTACGACACCGCCAACCACGCCGTCTACCGGGCGACCGACCGCGACATGACGGCCGCGGACCACGACGCGCTCGTCGAGCTCGACCTGGCGTTCGCGCGGCCGCACGAGGCGTCCGCCGCCGCCCTGGAGCGACGCGCGTGGGCGCGGCGCGCGGCGTTGTCGGCGCGGGTCCCGGCGCGCGAGAGGATCATGAACGCGCCGACGCCGCAGCGCCGCCGCCGCGGCGTCGACCGCTTCGATAACGCGGAGGACGTCGCGGCGATCCAGCACGAGGCGAGCCGGAACTTGGCCCGAAAGGCGGCGAAGCGGAAGGCTCCTTCGGGCTCCGCCGCGAAGCCGGCGAAGCGGCCCGCCCGGGCGCGGAAGTAGTCCGGTCGGTCTAGTTTTAAGTTTTGTGTTACAGAATATTATTTATTTATTTAAACGCCTCCGAGTCGGCCGGGCCATTTGAAAGCCACGGGAAAGGTGGGCGACCTCACCTACACCGGCCCGGAGGGCTACACCGACTACCCGCCCCTCACGCCGAACTAGTCCCACGCCCCTCCTCTGGAGCGTAAGAAGACTCCAAACCAGGAAAACTTAGAGCAAAAAACACATCGGTCAGGGGTTGGCCATATGGTACAACGCCGGGAAGTCCATCGCGGCGGCGGCGGCGGCGGCGGCGGCCCCCCGCCTCGGAGCCTGGGACGCCGCCACGCGCGGCGCGTGCACGTCGAGTACGGACGGCCGCTGCCGCGACCCGTCGACGTGCACGACGTTCGGGTGGCACCGGTTGATGGCCTCGGCCGTCGTCTTGCCTTTGGGCCCCGTCGAGACGACGTAGTCAAAGACCGGCGCCACGAGGTAATCGGCGCACGTGTCCACGTCGACGGCGCCGACGACGCAGGACCGCACGAACAGCCGCGCGTTGCGCCGCACGGCCGCCGCGTTCTGGAGCCAGTCCGGCGGCTGCGCGCCGCCCTCGACTAATACAAGGGCGGCGGTCGGCGCCGCCGCGAGGGCCTTGGCGCGCCAGCCCGTGTACTGGAGCTCGGCGACGTGTCGCGCCAAACTTAAATGAGGCGACCGCTTCAGCAGTCGTTCCGCTAACCCGACTTCGCCATGCGACCACTTCGCGCGCGAGTTCTCCCTTGCTATCAATTTTAATTCTTGACGTCTCTCGATGGAGTAGGACTGGGTCTTCGCGTGGAAGAGGTGCACGCCGGGCACGACCGCCAGGCCCCAGCCCGCGCGTCTCGCCCGAACCGCCCAGTCGTTCTCCTCCCCGTAACCACCTGGATACGTAGCTTCATCTAGCAACCCGACGGCGTCGATGGCGTCCCGCGACAGCAGCATGCAGAAGCCGTTGAGCAACCCCGCGTCCGCGCGCCGCCCCGTCGCCCCTAGTCTAGCAGCGCGCGCCGCCGTCTCCGGCGTCCAGCCCGCCGGCAGCGCCACGACGTTCCAGCCTCGTACTGCTCTCCGTTCTCTTCGATTCCGCGGCGTCGGCCAGGGCACCGTCTGGTACGAGGCCGCGTTCGACAAAGCACCTACAGCGGCCAGCCTCGGAGGCAACAACCCCGCGACGTCGTCATCCTGAGAGCGAGGAGCGCAGGCCCAGTCCCGATCATCACAACCTCGCACCGGAACATCCGTGGCTTCAGGACACACCTCCGGCCAGGTCAGGGCACCGTCGCCATTCTTGTCATACGGTTTGAGCTTTTCAAAAAACTCCGCGTCTTCCCCGGGGTGCAGCCGGTAATTGGCGAGTTCCGTCGCGGTGACCATCTCGTTCTCGTCGACGTCCGCCGCGGCGAAGGCGTCGGCCAGGTCGTCGTCGGTCGGTGGGGAGAAGAGGACGCGTCGAAGCCCGTGGAGCCAGCCCGTCGATGGGACCGTGTCGCTGTTCAGGAGCGCGACCGCGTCGACGTCCTCCGCGTGGAGTGCGGCTCGCAACCCTTCGTTGGCTGCTAAGGAATAGGACGAATGATTTGTTAATACAACAACATCGTCCTGCCGGCCCCGTCGTCGACTCCACGTTGTGAGAGATGCGGTAGTAGGGCCGTCGCAGTTGTCGAGCACCAATACGACTTTCAATCGCACGCTGCCTCGCGCCGTCGCGACCAATGCTTCGAGGCAGTCAATCGTGGAGGCCAGAGCGTTGTGCACCGTGATGACGACCGCCGTCACGCCGCCGCCCTGGAGGCGCCTCCTCGCCTGGGCCGTGGTGGCGTTGCGGGGCTGCCCGCTGGCGCGCAGCAGCGCCGCTATTGTAAGAATGCATGGGAGGCGCATTGTTGCAAAGCCCCCCTTCACTAATTCGGTCCGCACCGGCCGCCGACGTCCACAGCCAGCAAAATGCATGAAAATAATCGAAGGAGGGGGGTGAGGTAGGCGCGTCGTCGCGCGGCGCAGGCGTCGTTAGAGCGCTCGATCGTCCGCCCGGAGCGATACGAGCACCAAGGATGTCCAGGAATTCACGCCGCGCGCGGGACCGCGGCCACGTTCTACACAATTCATTACATTCTTACATAGGCGCTGTTGACTCGACTCGGGAGAGTGCCGGGTTAGCCGACGATCTACGCCATCGCCGCGCGCAGAAGAGATAAAAAAGACACACTAGTTATTCGGGGCAGTCCAGGAGCCGGTGCGGCCCGATGCCCGGGATTTTGATGCCGTGAGGCAAGGGCGGCCGCTTCGGACGAGGAAGACCACCGCCCAAATCAACAGGCAGGTGCCGATAGGCATCATCCGCACAAAGATACCGCTTCACCTCCGGCGTCCGCACGGCGTCCGTCACGAGGTTGTGCAGGACGACGAACACGTCGAACGAGTTGTCGTCCGTCCTCGAGCGCAGCCACGACTTGAAATTCTGGATGTCCGTCCTTTCTCTCCCTAGCCTTTTGGTGCTGCACTCCTCGCGCGGGTTCCTCACGCACTGAGCTAAAGGCGCCGTGTGCTGCTGGGCTTTTGAGCATTGGACGTTCGCACAATACGAGAGCTCGTGGACGACCTTATCGTAGAGTACACCTCGCCCGGGGAAGAACAAGCGCAAATGGTCCGTACAAGCGGCGCACTGCGTCGCGCCGCCCGCCAGTAGCGGATAGACGTGTCTGATGAATTCGCGCGACTTTCCGAGTTGATCCGCTCTCGCGCTCAAGGCATGCAGCGACACCCATAAACTACAAGCGCGGTCCCATGAAGTTGGTTTACAAGCGCCCAGCAGCGTCCTATCTAAAACCTTTGCTCTTCTACCCCGTTTCTCGAGACCCGGAGAACCGACGTGCGCCACTTCAAACGGCTTGTCGAAGTGGATCTCTTCAAAATGAGCTGGTAAACAGCGCCAGGCCGCGTTCGCCGCCGCCGCCGTCGATGGGTCCATGCGGCCGCCGAGCGAGGCGAGGTCAGGCCGTTTCCTCGCTTCGCTGATTTCATGTCTACACTCCTCAATGGGATGGATCTCTTCCAGTAGTTCTGCGAATGCATCCGCCGCTTGTGAGACTTCTGACTTGTCCTCGTTGTTCAGGAACACGCCAGCACTTCCAACAGCCAACAAATCATGAATAGCATGTAAATCGTTCGGCACGGCCTTTCGGAAGGGCGGCGCCCGCGGTAAATGGTGATGATCATAGACCTTGTACAGTAACGAGCCGCCTCCTACTATAACAAGTGTCGCGAGGAACCAATTGGGGGGGCCGTCGGGCGCCTTGTGCGTGCCCGCCTGCTTCGCGCGTTCTACCGCCGCGAGGCCGCCATAGGTCTTCTTGCGGCCGATGCGGCCGACGCGGCGGTGGACCAAGGGCATGCTTTGGTGCTGTGGGGGCTGCCCTTGTTTTGGTGCTGTTTTTGTGGGGCCTCCACCGGTGCTCGGGTGGTGGCGCACGACCAGTCGCTGCTTCTCGTTCTTGGTTTGACGGCGGTTTGGGTGCGTAAGGCGTGGGCGAACGCAAAAAAGCTAGCGTACAAAAGCTCTAGAGGCTCTCCTGGCTGCAGCGCTCTCCCGACTCTATAGCCACAGGAACCAATCAACCGACACGCTGCGCATCGGCACACTTCACAGACGTCTGCTGAGCGCGGCGCTCCCTAGTTTTTGCGCGCCGACCGGTCCCCGCGGCTGCGTTCAAGGCGAAACATCGCTTGCGCCTTTCTGGCGTGGTTCGCTATGGCTACGCGCCCGAGACCGAACCCGGACGCCTGGGACTCGGACTTCGAGGTCCAGAGCAGCGAGGACGACAGCGCCGAGGACGACGTGCAGGACTCGGACAGCGACGAGGCCATGGCGCCGGCCGCGTTCCGGACGCCGCGGCGCGCGCGGCGCCGCGCGCGGCCGCCGCCCGCGCCGCGGAAGAAGCGCCGCGGCCTCGTCGACGAGTCGAGCGACTCGAGCGACGATGATGATGGCGCGCCGCCGCCCGGCTACGCCTACTGCGCGGTCTGCCGCCGCGACGTCCACGCGGACTCGTTTTCTGCAGCTGTTTTAAGGGGCGACTACGGCTACAACATGGCCGAGCCGTACTGCCTGGCGCACTCGCCGCAGGATCTGCGGGACTACCGGGCGAGCGGCGAGGGCGGCGCGTCGCGGCTGCAGACGACGACGCTAGACAGCGGGCGGCGGGCCTTTGCGCGGGCCGACCGCGACGACCCGCTCGTCGCCGCCGACGCTCTCGACGCCGCGGCCGTCGCCGCCGGCTCGGACTCCGACGACTCGTCGGACTCGTCGGACGACGACGCGCCGCCGCCGCCGCGCCTGCGCCGCCACGCCGACGCCGCGAGCCCGCGGCGCCGTCTGGATTTTGACGACGTGTCCGACGACGAGGAGGAGGCCAGGGCGCCCGAGGCGGAGTGTGCCATCTGCCTCGCGCCGATCCGCGACGAGGAGGCGTTCTCGACGGCGTGCGCGCACCAATTCCACACGGCCTGCGTGGCGCAGCAGGCGGCGCACGACCGCGCGGCGCGGCGCGAGCGCGGCGGTGTTGCCCAGGCGCAGCGCTGCCCGCTGTGTCGGACGCCCTTCCCTGAAGTCGTCGCGGCGGCGGCGCGCGGCGCGGCGACCGAATTGGCCACGCGCGAGACGGCTGATTTGAGACCAGGGATGAATGTGGAAGTGCAGTGGGAGCTCGACGGCGCGCCGACGTGGTACCGCGCGAAACTCGTCCGGCACCTCGGGCCCCACAGCCGCCATACCACAATTAATCCGAACGAGCTGCCGGATCGGTTTCTGGCCGCGCGGGGCTTCATGATGAAGTACGACGGTGAGAGTGAAGAGCGCGGCGCGTGGCTCGCTTCGGATGGCCTATTATTGGACGCGACCGAGGGCATCTCGATGCACTGGCGGCCGGCGCGGCGGCGCCGGCGGCGCGTCGCATGATTGCCTTGCTCGGAGCTCGGCCACCTAGCCGCTGAGCCGCCGACCTGCCCCCAGACCTCATACGCCATCGCACCGACGAGCGAGGCGGAGACTGCACAATTAATTCAAAGAGTAAATTACAAAACTACATAACGCTACAGTCGCCGCCCGAGTTGACCATGTCGTTCGCCAGCTCGGCCCCGGACTTTTTGGCTTCGGCACTGTTCTCGTCGCCGGGCCCTCTAAAGGAATCGGGCGTGTGCAGCGTCGGGATCCAGAGGAAGTACTTGGGGTCCTGGAGCCGCTTGCCCCAGTACAGCGGGATTGTCCTGGGCAACGACGCCTCCTCGCCATACACCCGTTTACATAGCGCCTCCATCGTATCACCATCGCCCAACACATTGATCTCGAAATTCTCCACCAGGGCCACATCCAGCGACCCGAGCGGGTAGGCGTCCCTCCCGCCCTTATGATTGATGAAGCGCTTGACGTCCGCCACGGTATACTCGGGCCCGACGGGCAGCATGTAGCACTGGCGCATGCCTATCAACAAGCAATGGGCTTGCTCCGGGTCGATCTCTCGGCTGATCGTGGTCAGTTTCGTTAACTCTTCCATGTCCACCGTCGAGTTCTTCTCGACCTCGGCCTCGTAGTCACTTAGTATTTTTTTTAGCTTTGCCACCTCCGCATCCAAGTCAGCAACATCTTGTTCCGTGACCACAAAAACCTCGTCGTTCTCCCGGAACACATCGCCGATCAACCGGTCGTCGCCTATCACATTTTTGGAAAAGGTCAAATAAGAGTCGTCCTTGACCGCGAGCAGGCAGTCCCCAATTTGAGACTTGCGGAACCTCGAGTTGTAGGTCTTGAGGAAGGCCTCCTTCAACCGTTTCGCGGGCGCGTCGACCCATGAATCTGGCAAGGATATAGCTACTCGCAGTTCCTTTTTGCGATCGATCGCGCCGGGCTGGAACCCTTCGTACTGGACGTACACTTTCACCTTCTTCCTTCGGTAGTCGCCCACTTCGTCGACCACGTACGTGCCCGCACCTAAAACCTTCCGCAACAGAGCACCGCGCTTCTGCAGCCGTGCTTGGCGCTTCGCGAGCTCGTCAGCACTCAAGCCTTCCTCCTTTTTTGACGGTTCTTGCGGAGAGCCGTCGCGCGGGAAGGCGACGCCTTTCAAGTGCGCCGGCGGCTGGACCGTGCGCTGCGGCGCCGTCGTCTGCGGGGGCAGGACGACGTCCATCTCTTAGCAGGCGTCGATTTTGAGGTCCAGCGCTCGGCAGTGGGAGGAGCTGGGTTGTGTGGTACTGGTGATGCTTCGGCACGCGCTGAAACGATCGGTGCGCTCCTCGCGGCGCCTCAAAAGTTGTCCACTTTTTGCTGCTAGTGTCCTGCTACGCTAGCTCTCGGCGGGTTTGTAAGCAATCTTCCAGGCGTGCGACGAGTTCAGAGACAGAGAACACTTCGCACGCAGGCTTCCTCCTCGGCTGCTCTCCGGACTCAACGCAGAGACGCAGGCGCTGCAAAGAGAGCAACACAGACGCGACCACCCAGAGCTTCCGTGGTCTGGACGCGGTCGACGCGAAGACGCCGTCGGGCAGCCCGCGAAACACATCGACGGGCAGCCGTAAAACGCAAGAGCAACAACCATGTACGGCGTGTCACGACCGGGAATAAGACTGAAGCGCCCGCCGCGGCCGGTCATCTCCATCAACGACCCGCCGGGCGCGACGTCGCTGTTCACGTATCATGCCATCCCACTGGACGCGCCGCGCATCCCGCACGACCATCTGAGGCAGAAGCGGCGGCACGCGGAGCTGCGGAAAAAAGCTGCGGATAGGGAGCGGGAAAGGCGGCGGGCCGCGCGCCAGGCGAAGCAGCAGGCTGAATTGAGGGAGCAGCAGGCGCGGGCACGGCGCCAGGCGCGGCCGCGGTCCGCGCCGGCGACGCGGCGGCCGTCGGTCGAGGAGCGGGCCCTGGACACCGCGATCGCGGCCTCCGAACCGCGGACCACCATCGCGAGGCCGCGGTCCGCGCCGGCGCGGCGGCGGCCGCCCATGGTGCCGCGGCCGACGATCGCGGAATTGATGCAGAGGCAGCGCGAGGCGCTTTCCATACCGCGCTGCGCGCGGCTGCGGCCGCCGCCCGGGAGCTTCTACCGGGACTTTGTGCGGGAGGCGCCGCCGGTCGGGTCCTACGAGGTCACGTATCCCGTGAAAAAAACGACCGCCAAGGGTGACCAGTCGATGCGCTACCCGACGGGCGCGCGCGCGCCGCGGCCGTCCATCCGCAAGAAGGCGAGCGACTACGGGTATTCGCGGACGCACACGAACCCCGTGGACCAGGCCCGGGCCCTGGCGGCGGAGGGGCCCGGCGCGGGCGCGTACTCGCTCCCGCCGACGTACGGCGTGCGGAAGTCGTTCAACCGGCGGGCGGGGCCGGGGGGCATCGGGGCGTTCGATCTAAGGGCGCGGTTTTAAGATATGAATAGTATGCTTAGTCCGCTTTTTCAACTTCACCATCACGGCCCCCAGTGAAGCCCTTGAAGTTAACGAAAGACGCCAGTGCCTTCCACTGGACCGTCGGACGTCGACCGGTATTATCTTTTTGTTCTAGCTCGACAGGCGTGAGTTTTCCGTGCTGCCCCCGTTTAAGCATGCGGACTGGGTAGGTCTCGTATCCCTTCGAATGGTCATCCATATCCAGCCAGTATTGCGCCTCTAGAACACCCTGTGGGATTTCCGTTATCCCATGTTCTGGGGGATGAATCTTGTACGCGGTCGTCTGGTCGTTGTACGCATCCGATGCAAGTACTGGGCCGGCCTCCGGAGGCTCATGCTGTATGTACGCGTCGAGCGCCGATTCGAAATAATAGTTGCCGTCTTTTAGCCGTACCGGTCTATCGTGGAGAACCAAGCACAGCACGTCGAACCATTCCGAATATTCCCCGTCGTCTCGCCAGTGAATCTCTACCCGCGTGCCGGGCGGCGCGGGTAGTATTTGCACTATTTTCCGCGGCGGCGGCAGCGGCGGCGGGAAGAAACTCGCCGGCAGGATGCCGTTGCGGATCGCCGCGTCGAAGGAGCCGAAACACTTCACGGCGTCCGGTTCGGTTCCCTCCCAGCCCGTGTTTTTAATAGCTTTGGCCTTTACGCTATCGATCAGTCCAACCATACCAAGAAACTCAGCCTCGATCATAACGCGCCGCGCCATCGACTGATTGTCCTTCGACAGCTCGAGCAGCCCGGTGCGCATGTACGTCAGCAGTATGGCGAACGGTTCCGGATCCCGGTCGAGAAAGAGCTCCTCCGGCGGCTCGGCGCACCAGCGCGGCGAGAGCAGGCGCTCGAAGTATTCACTTCCAGCCGTCAACGTCGACGCACTCGTCGTGAAGCGCGTGCCGCCCACATCCACGACGATGCGGTCCGTGCGCCGCTTTTCGTCCGGCTGCTGCGGCGAGACGAGGCGTCGTTTGCGCGACGACGAGGACATTATGTGCTGATGGGCTGCCCACCACTGGGTGCTCTCTACAGCTCGCAACGCAAGGCTTGCGGTCTTGTTGTTACAGTGATAAATTGCTGGTCAGACGACAACACTGTAATCTATTGATTGTGTAGATGCCGGACGACAGTGGCGGGACCGACGGCGCGAGAGCCCACTCAATTTCAAACAAAACAGGTCACATACAACTTACTTCGCGTGATGATGATCGCTCCGCCACCGCTCCCCGGCCGCGTCGCCGCCGCTGTAGTCCTCCTTGAGCCCGTAGTAGAGGTCGCAGAAGCCGGCCGAGTCGACGCCGTCGCGCAGCGCCGGCGCCGTCGACCGCCCGAGCTCCCGCTCCTCGTAGACCGCGACGGCCTGGACGTACTTCGGCCGGCACGACGGCCGCGCCGCGCGCACGGCGGCCAGCGCCTCGACGAAGGTCGCCCTATCCAGCGATATGAGCAGCGCCATCGCGAGCGAGGGCGCACGGTTCACGCCGCTCTTGCAGTGGACGTAGACGACCGCGTTCGGATCCGCCGCGCGCGCCCGCCGGACGAAGGCCACGACCTCCGGCACTAACGCGGCGAAGCGCGCATCGTCGCCGTCGTCCTTGAGGTTCAGTTTGAGAATATTGTCTCCGTACGCTTCTGTCACTTCGGGCTCCTCGTCGCGCTCGAGGGCGTTCACGACGTGCGTGATGCGCCTCTTGTTGTCATGCCGCCACTCCAGCAGCGTTGCGTCGGGCCGGCCGCCAATCGCGAGCCACGGCCGCACGACCGAGATGTCCCCGTCCAAACTGTACCCATATTTCTCCTTCGCGGCCTTGCAGCTCGCGACGTAGGCGTCGACGGACGCGACGGCCGCGCGCGCCGCAGCTAATTCATCGTCTTGTGCGGACGACGACGCGCCGGCGCCGCGCCGCGTGAGGATGAAGGTGCCCAGCAGCAGGATGCTCACGGCCAGCAGGATGGCGCGCGGTCTCGTTATCTGCATCTCGCGTCGCTGGCTTTGCAGTGATTACGCAGTTGTTTTTTGCAGCATAAATTGGCTGGCACAGCTTTTTATGACTGCTGCTGCGGGTTATGAGTGGTCGATTGCAGCGGAATGGCTGCAGCGGTACTCTAGGCGATTTATGCGGCGGTCTGCGCCAGCAATGCTTGCCAAGGACGTCCTCTAAAAGCGCCGCAGAGGAGGCCCAAAATTGCCGTGTAAAACGGGTTCGCGCCAAAACCAGTAGGCCTCCAGCAGCGTACGATCTTTCTCAGCATGGTTCCCTGAAGCGGCGGACAAGGAATCGTACCGCGCGACACACCCCAAAGCCGGCAAGACACCAGCCCGACGCGACGTACAAGCCACTCATAGCAGCCAATCGACGGCCTCCGGAACGCACGCAGCGCACCCAGGTCGCCAACCCGTGTCACGGATCACGATTATTGCATCAATCGCAGAGAAACGCCCGCGGTTTTAAGCGCTGCGGAGATCACTGCCAAAATATTCACTGCTTGCTAGACCGAGCTTTCGCCTCGAAAATCGCGCAGGCTGCCAAAAACTAGCAAGACGCCGCCACAGCTGCGGCCCCGCCGCCACAAAGCCGCCGCAAAGACAACCGCCGCGCCCCCACCGCCACCGGAGCCGGCCTCGCTGAGCACCATGGCGGCCGGCGACGCGGGCGCCTTCGTGCTCAACATCATTTCGAGCGTGTTCATCATCTCCGTCAACAAGCGGCTGATGGGAAGCCCGCCGAATTTCAACTTTAGATATGTAGTGACCCTGAACGCGCTGCACTACATCACGACGTCGATCTGGACGCGCGTCGCCAAGGTGATTGGGCTGGCCAAGCAGGAGGAGTCGTCGAAGGCGCCCGCGCACGTGCCTCTTAGTTCTGTGGTGCTCTTCACGACGGTATCGAACGCGTCCATTATTAGTCTGAACACGTCGCTCATGCTCAACTCCATTACGTTGTACCAGATTGCTAAATTAGGAATCATTCCGTGCACGTGCTGCGTGGAGTACTTGTTATATGGTCGGGTCTTCACGTCGAAGATGGTGTTAGCTATAGTGGTCACGCTGATGGGTGTGGGATTGGTTTCGATCAACGAGCTGAACTACTCTGATAGTACGTTAGGCGTCTTCGTGGCGCTGTGTTCCGTCGTGTCGTCGTCGGGCCAGCAACTTTTAGTCAGACACCTCCAGCTCAAGCACAACGTGAGCGCGGGGCAATTGCTGGGTGTGGTCGCGCCGGCGCAGGGGGCCTCATTACTGTTGTTGAGCCCGGTCCTGGACAAGCTCTCGACCGGGGGCTACGTGACGGACTACGAGTGGACGCAGGGGGCCATGGTGTGCATGGCCCTGTCCTGCTCGGCGGCGGTTTTGGTGAATGTGTCCCAGTTCCTCGTGCTCGGCCGCTTCACGGCCGTCACCTATCAAGTGCTGGGCCACGCAAAGACGGTCTGCGTGCTCGTGGTCGGCTACGTCTTCTTCGGCGGCGTCATCACGGGCCAGCAGCTCCTGGGCATGGTCATGGCCATCGCGGGCATGATGGCCTACTCGCGCGCGTCGCAGAGCGCGCCGGCGGCGAAGCCGGCGGCCCAGGAGAAGCCGGCCGGCGAGTCGTCGCTCGAGGACCTCCTCCAGAAGAACAAGGCGAACAATGTCTGAGGTGGTAGTCAGGGCGTAAGAGCTTCGAGTCTGAGCATCGCGTCGATGGCGTCGGGCCTGTGGGCACCACCGCGCCGCCGCCCGCTGTGAGCACACAACCATCGAAGTCGCCGCATCCACCAGCCTAGTAGTAGAACGAGGCACAGGAGACGTCCGAATGACCCGGTGGAGACGTCCGGGCCGCAACCTCGGGGGTCTCGACCTCGCGGGCCGCCCGGTGGAACTCAGCTTCTCGGGCGGCCCGTAAAACGAAGGCCGCACGCGGCCCACGCGCCGCGAGGCAGCCTCGTAGCTCACGATCGGCGCCCCATGGAGGACACGGAGCGTATTACCAAAGACGCGCACGATGCGTAAGGAGGAGCGCCCCCTGCTGGGCGGCAGCAAGAGCAGCTACGGCACCACGCCGAGCACGTCCGCACGACGCTGCGCCTGGCCGCAACGCCGATACGTCGTGACCTTCCTGGGCCTCGGCGCGGCGCTGACGAGGCTCGGGCCGGCCACGGCCGGGCCGCCGACGCTGCGCCTCGTTGAGCAGCTCGAGGCGCGCGTGCGGCCGGGCGAGCCGCGGAAGTTGAGAAGGAGAGACCGCGGTAGTAAACTTGCGCGCCAGCGGTCCGCGTTCACCTGCGGGCTGAGCGTCGTCGCGGCCGCTTTGATACTGGCGCCGCGCCTCGCGTGCGGCCCCGACGGTCGGAGTTCCATGGTCCAGGGCGCGGGGCCCGGCGAGGCGCGAGTGGCGCGCGAGACGCGGGCCGGCTTTTTCTGGATGGTGGCCTATTTGTTGATTGGCGTGCCGCACGACCTTGTGGATAGAGAATTGTTAAGGGGCGGCTTCCCGTACCCGCTGACGCTGACGCTGTGCCAGCTCGTTGTTATAACATGTCTGGGCTTTGTACTGGTGTACAACAAAGCCTCAAAGCCGTGGCGTTGGAATGACGTGCTCCTCGGGCTCGCGATAGGCCTGAGTACGGCCGTCGCCGCGGAGGTCATGCGGGCGGGCGGTCCAAGGGTGGCGGCCGCCGGCGCGGCCGTGCAGGGCGTCTGCGTTTTGATAATAGGCTACGCCGTGAAAGAATCGAGTGAAAATGAAGAGTACGACTCGTGCTGGTGCGGCCGCAAGACGTCGGCGTACCCGCCGGGCGGCCACGGGGCGGCGCTGGCGCTATTGGTGTGCTTCGGCGGGGCGGGCATCGCCGCGTTAGGAGATGCGCGAGTAGAGAGAAATGCGCTGTGCACGGGCGTCCTCGCGGCGAGTCGTTTGATCGGTGCCGCTTATTTGGTGGCCTTCGAGCGGCGCTTCCGAGCGCATGAGGAGTCCGTCGGCGCGGCGTTATATAGGACGACGCCCTACGCCTGCGCGTTGGTCGCCATCGCGGCGATACTGCTCGAGCTCGCGCCGACGCATGTACAAGTGCCGCACATCAACCACGTGACACACGGGGCCTTTCCTCGATACGATGGAGGCGCCTACCTGATCGCGCCGTCTTGTGTGTTAGCGTCGCTGGACGCCTTCCTGACGCTGTGCGTCGTGAAGCGGTTCTCGGCGTTGATCGTGGCGGTCTTCGCTTCTATACGGGGGGCCCTGACGGCCCTAGCCGGTGCGGTGGCCTACGGCGACGTCATCACGTCGTTAGAATATAAAGGCCTGATGGTGCTCGTGCTGGGCCTCGCGGTCTGGTCGCTCGAGGTCGCGCGGGCCGCCCTGGACCCGTCCTCGTATCCCGGCGCGGTCCTCGCCGCCGCCGAAGATCCGGCCGATGACACCGAGACGGGCTTCATCCGCGAGACGACGCTGCGGCCCTCCGAATTTCTGGATGAGGACGCCGTGTCTTCGGAGGAGGAGGAGGACGTCGTGCTGTACGTCGCGCCCGGGGTTGGGGATAATATTCGATAGCGTAGTCTTAGCTCGCGCTCCGCGCCCCTAGCTGAGGCCCACGATTTTGCAGCTGCACAGCACTTGGAAGACGCCCTCGACGATCGGCACCCATAAGATAGCGTCTTCGAGGTTCTTGGCGCGAGAGTGTACGTGCGTTTTAATCTTGAACTTCACGTCGTCGAGGTTTCCACATGTACCGCCGCCGCGACACGTGAGCGAGTCGATGCCCTGGATGAACGTGTACGACGGCGGCGAGTTAGGCGGTTCATGCTGGAACGGCGCCTGTTCGGCGCCCTCCGCGTCGTCGCTAAACGTGATATCGATCGTCGCCGCGCTAAGCAGCGGCTTGTCCGAAACGAAAGCAAAATCGTTGCCCGCGAGCTGTAGGTCGCCCATCGGGAGCAGCTCATTCTTGTCTGCGTCGCGGATGCGGGTCAGGGGCGGTCGGCTCGCGTCGTGTTTCCGGGCCAGGAACTGGGCCCTTATACCAGAGGCGGCGGCGAACTCCTCCTCGTCGTAGGGGTACGCGCGACGACCATTGCACCAGGCCTTCACCCACGGCGCCCGACGCACCGTTTCTTCTCCGAAGAAAGCGGCTAGGCCGGCGTCGAGCGCGTCGTAGTCCGCGGCGTCTCCGCGCGCGCGCGTCCGACCCGTTCGTACCCCATTGTCGTCCGTCGTCTCCAAGTAGCCGCCGATGTAAAGGAGTTTGACGTCGGTGACGAGGAGCGTCCACGACGGTAGGTGTCGGACTGCGTCCACGAAGCCACCGAACGCAGCGCTGGCCAGAGCTTTGAGGTACTTGGCGTCGACAGGCGCCAGGCCATGGACCTCCTCTGCGGGCTTGCAGCGCGTATGCGCCCACGAGAGCTCTATGTCCTTGTTCTCTTCTTCCTCGGCCCCATACTCCCCTCCCATCTGGAATATATCCTGCGCTTCTTTTGCGCGCTGCTCGGGCCAGGTCGCCGGGCACTTCACTACGACCTCTCGGCGGTCGCCGCAATGACCGAGGCGGCTATATAGTTCCACCGCGATGTTGGCGCGTCCCGCGACAACAGTTCTCTGGCGACATTCCGCGAGCGCCTGGTCTCGCGATCGCGCCCCCGCTTCGACGAGCCAGAGCCCTTCGAGCCATTTTTCCGGCTTGACGACCGTTTTTTCGAGGACGCGGACGTCGGCGCAGACCGCCGTCGAGACTGCTTTGATGGTGCGCGTGTGGTGCACGAGCGTGCGGAGCGCCATCGTCGCGGACTCCGGCACGCGGGGGTATTCACCCTTGTTTTTCCTTTTCACAACTCGGAGCACGCCCGTCGCGCCGTCCGTCGGCGCGGTGAGCACGAACGTCAGGACGTTCCGACGGAGGTCCGCGTCGAGAGTTTCGAACGGGAACGGCTCGACCACTTCCAGAGGTTTCGCCATGATGTGTTCTAGTCTCTTGCAAGCCTCCTGTCGCTTGGCTTCCTCGTCATCCGCCGGCGCTGATTGCGGCGGCGGCTGCTCCATGTCAATGACCCTGATTGGTGTCGTCACTGAGAGGGCTTGCGAGGGTGCACGCGCTTGCCGCGAGATGCAAGGAGGCTGTAAAAAGCCTTATCAACTATTCCGCACTAATTTTGGCCGCTCACGCTCGCCTCGCGACCCAAAACTTGGATGAGCTGGATACAGCTAGTGTGTCGATACGCTAGATGATTAATACAGCGCGGAGAGCATCAAGCCAGCGTGAGCCGCAGCGCTGCCCCAGCGCGACGAGCCGGGCCCGCAAGAAGAAGGAAGTACCCAGCCCGCTCGCCACCGTCCGTAGGCCAAAAACCAGGCAGCCCAGGACCGCCATGCCCCCAAAGAGACGCACAAAAAGGGACGCCGGCCTGCTCGCGGGCAGCGACCGCACGGACGCCCACTTCGCCGCCACCGCGGGCCGCTCTGATTTACTGGAGGAGGCGATGGCGCAGAACATCGATCTGAGCCACGCCGACAAGGATGGGATGACTGCTTTGCACTGCGCCTGCGCCAGGAGCGCGCGGGGCTGCGTGCGGCTGCTGCTGGGCGTGCTGAACGACGAGAAGCGGAGCCACGCGCTAAGAGTTGATGAAGCGTGGGTCGACGCGCGCGATAAGCAGGGCCGGACGGCCCTGCACCACGCGGCGGTGCGGGGCGATCCAAGTATCGTGGAGATGCTCGTCGCCGCGGGCGCGGACCCCGCCTCGACGAGCAAGGCGAACAAGACGCCGGCGGACCTGGCCGGGTCGTCGGGCGCGTTCGCCGCCTTGGCCGCGGCGACGCGCGCCGTCGACCGCCGGGAGCGGTTCGAGGGCGCCGCGCTGCGCAGCCACGTCGCGCGCGCGAAGGCGCCGGGCGGCGTCTTTGCGCTCCTGGAGGCCGCGCGCCGCGAGGAGGCGGAGCTCGCGGCCGAGACGGCGATGCTCGACAGTCTGCACCGCGAGGCCGAGGAACGCGTGCTGTTGCAGCGGCAACTGAACATGGAGGCCGCGATGGAGAAGAAGCAAATGGAACGGCGCGAGACGCGGCGGCGGCTGCGCGCCGAACGGAAGGCCGCGGCCGAGAAGCTTCTGAGCGATAAGCTCGACGCGGGCATCACGGCGGGCCAGCCGCCGGCCCTGGAGTCGGCCGACGAATAGTGTGTAAGAACCCAAGTTGTATCGCGGTGTCCGAGTCGCGTGCGCCGATGGCGTCTGGGGCTGATGTCCGGCTTGCTTAGTCGCGCAAGTCGTCGCGTGTAGTCAATCATGATAGCACACAACTATATTACACAGTCAGTCAGAAGCAGGGGCGTCGTCAGAAGCGTCCGTGCTGCCGGAGGAGGAATCCACCGCGACTTTCTGACGCTTCCGCAGCACGTGCGCCGACAGTAGCTTCGCCGCATTGATCTCCGCCTCCTTCACGTCCTCCTCGACGGATGCCGTGTGCGTCCGGTGGTACTCATAGATCGCGTCCTCGATCGTGTCCTTGACCACATATCTATAAACCGTGGTCGGCCGCGTCTGCCCGACGCGGTGGACCCGATTCACGCATTGGAGTTCGACGGCGGCACACGCCGGCTGCTCGAGCAAGAACACGTTCACGGCGTTCACGAGCGTTAAGCCGTTGTTCGCGCGCCCTACCGGCGCCAGCAGGAAGCTCACGCGCGACTCTGAAGCAGTAAACGGCGCCACGCCCTTCGGGAAGCGCGCCGCCTCGAGGCCCTTGCGGCGCAGCGCCGCGCCGACGACGTCGAGCACCTCCTCGAAGTTCGAGAAGACGACCTGCGTGTCGGCCGCCCGTTAGTCGCGTCGCGATTGCTCTCGGGACGCGCTCCGTTCTGCGAACGACCAATTCCTCTCGGAGCATCCGCCTCCTTGTGGGCGATTGCAATAGGAAGGTGCATCGCGCCGGCCTGGCGGTCCTTAGGAGCGTGAGACGCCGCGTCACGCACCGACTGCTCGCCCCGCGCGACTGCCTGTTGAGCGTCCTCGAGAAAACTATCAAGTTTGGTGGCCTCGACGGCGCGCGTCCCAGTGACACTGTTCCGGACGGCGCTGCGCACGTCGGCCTCGCCATAATTGCCGCGGCACGACGGGCACTTGGACTTCGCCCACTTCCGCAAACAGGCGTCGTGGAAGGCGTGGCCGCAGGGCAGCACGCTTACGAGTGACGTCGTCGTGTCGTAGCCGCCGCACGCGTCGAGCCGCTCCAGGCAGATGCGGCAGACCTCGTCGTCGTCGCTTTTCACATCAGATTCAACAGCGTGGCTCTCCAGGAACGCCAGGCGCTTCGTGCGCGTTTTTAACTCAAGCAGCGCGTCCTGCTCGCCCGCCGCCGCCTCCAAGTCCCGCGCCCCCAGATCCGCCGGGAAGCACCGCGCGTTCTTCTCGTGCTCTTCCAACAATGACAAATCCGCGTCCGCCCTTAATACTTCGACGCGGCGCGTCGCGGCGAGGGCCTCGTTCTCCTTGAGCAGGGCATCAGTAAGGTGTGTCATCGCTCTTCTGGCTTGCAGGAGCTCGTGCTTGCAGCCCGCGTCCGTCGACGTCTCGACCCGCGACTCGCCCGTCGTCGCCGCTCCTAGCGCGTTCAAGAGGGCCTCGGCCTCGTTCTTCTCCGCGGTCGACGCGAGGCGCCGCCAGGGCGCGTGCGCCGCGAGCGCACAGAGCGCGCGCGTCACGGGCGCGTTCTCCTCGATGAGGTGCTGGCGCTCCGACTTGAGATGCGCGAAGGCGTCCGTGATGACGTCCACGCGTCGACACGTCGGGCAGACGGGCCCGACGGCGCCCCAGTCTTCCGCGCAGACGCGACACGCGCCCGTCGCCTGGATTTCGCGTTGCAGTTCGGCGCCGCCTCCCTTCGCGACGCGCGCGCCGTCGCGCGCGGCGGCGAGCGCGGCGCGCCGCGCGGCACTCACGCCCCGCAGGGCCGCCTCGACGCGACGCGCGAACGCGTCGACGTTAGAATCGCACCGCTCTTCGAAGCCGCGCCTCGACGCGGCGGCGTTGAACTGCTGCGTCGTCGGCGCCGCGAGCACCTGCTCACAGGCCTCGGGCGCGCCGTCCGTCTGCAACGCGCGGCGCCACCAGGCGTGGTCGGCGGCGCCCTGTTCCAGAACCGCGCCCCGGCCGCGGGCGAAGGCCTCCAGCTGCTGGACGGCGCCCGACACGCGGTCGAAGCGCGCCGCGCCCTGGCGATTCCGGATCCGTTGCGCGCCCTCCTTCTCGTCGCTCCCGTCGTCTCCGAGCAATTCCTTCGTCGCGGCGAGGTTATGCAGGCAGTGCAATTCCAACGCCCAGTCCGAGTCGACGCGAGATTCGTAGAACCGCGCCTCGACCGCCCCGTCGTGCTTCGACGCGAGGCGCCACTCCTCGGCCTTGGCCTCGTGGGGCTTCGTGACGTCGATGGTCGTCCACTCATCAATAACCGTCGCGCCGTGCGCGACCTCGTCGAAGCCACCTCTGGGATTCTTCGACTCGAGGCGGACGTCCATCGATGTACTCGCCTTGATGGCCACGCGCACGACGCGCCTAGCTCTTCCTAAGCTCAAGCGCTCGTTCGTTTTGACCGATTCAGCGTCCCGCGGCACTCTTAAACCCGTGGCGGCGTCGCGGCCGTCGAGGATCGCTCTTAATGCAGTCTCGTACAATGTTCTTGCATCTTTCAGGTGGTCGCGCGTCGTTCGTGCGAGAGCCGCCACGACCCCGGGCGCATCTTCATCATAACCGAGAGCAGCGAAGCCATTTACAAGATCGGCGCGGCACCGCGCGACGCCCGCGCGCGCGAAGAGGTGGTACAACCTCTCTCTTTGCGACTCCTCGGCCTTGAGCTGCGCATCTTCCACGAGGCGCCACAGCGTCTCCTCCATCGTCGCCACGGCCTTCGGTTCTTCCACGATGCCTCTTTTACGCTTCCGCCGCTTCCGCCGCGGCATGGCCAGCGACGGGTGCACGCAGGCCTGCCTCAGTCGCGAGACGCCGCCGCCCTGTAAGGAGCAGGCCTCGTTCACCGCATCTCCCGTTAACGCCGCGAGGTCGCGCGCGCAGGCCTCATCTAACCTGTCATATACAAAACGCTCGACGGCGTCGAACGTCAGGTGCCGCAGGACCGACCTTTGGGGCGGGATCGCGTGGTCCACTCGACTTTTAGTGGCGCGCCAGGCCGTCGCTTTAAATAGATCAGCGAGCTTCGTCGCGCCGCCCTCGCGACCAACCGCTTCACTCCACTGTCTGGAAGAGTAGCCGGCGGGCGCCCCCAAGAATTCATACAACGCGCGCACGTCCTCCAGCCCTCCAGCGGCGACGGGCGTGCCAGAGACGCACCACCTCCTTTCACTACTAAGCTTGCGCGCGACCGTCGCCGCGGCCGTCGCGCCGCCCCGCACGACCTGGGCCTCGTCCAGGCAGACGCGGCGCCAGTCCGTCGTCAACAAGGGCGACGGCGGCACTCTTGCGGCATATGCTTGCTGGGGCTGGTAGTACCTATCTGAACGCAGCGCGCCGAACGTCGTCAAAACAACATCAGCTTGGCGTAACATTGAACCGTCGAGGCGCCGTAGGCAGTCGCCGAGGGATTGCAAAGCCCGGCCGTAGTTGCGCGTCCTTCTTGAATCGACGGCGCGGCGCGCGGCCCTTGCACCTTTCTGCAAGGCCTGCACGCCCGGGTACTCCGCCACTATTAATGATGGTGCGTGCCGCGCGAGCTCGCCTTTCCACTGCCCCGCGATGGCCGCGGGACATACCACTAAAGTTGCGCGCGACCGCACGAGGCCGTTTTCCGACGGAGCTCCCCTTGAACCGAGGCAGGCGCAGCTCGCGGCGGCCGCGCAGGCTCTGTGGGCGACGGCGCCGCAGAAGGCGCAGACCACGCCGTCGGAGACGGCGTCGCCGCAGACGCACACCGCGCGGACGCCTCCCCTGCGCTCTCCTTTGGGCGGGTCGGGCAGCGGCTTCTCCATAAGAGTTGTCGCGGGCAGCCTCGCGCCCCCTAGGCGCAAGGCGACGCGCGTCGTTTCTGCTTGTTGTGATGAATCGCCCTCCGGCGCCGCGAGCACTAAAGCTGCGACAGTGACGGTCTTTCCGAGGCCCATTTCGTCGGCCAACACGCCGCCGCGGACGTCACGTATCGTGCCGCCGAGCAGCGCCTCCGCCGCCGGCAGGCTATCTCGGCGTTGCTCGCGCTGCAGCATCCACTCGAGCGCCGCGGCCTGGTAGGCGTGCAGCGCCGGCGCGAGGCCCGGCACTGAACGTGCAGTTGTTGGTCTGCTGAAGTTTCGTTGTAGTTGTGATTGCTCGAGGCATGCCAGGACTTCGCGCTTCGTGGCCATTTGCAACCAGGTGCTCTCTGAGTAGTAGTGCTCTCCCGAGCGTAGCGCTCGCAGCTGAGCGTAACTCTCTTGCTGGTTGTTCTGTCGTGAATCGATAGGTTCCAGAACCCTACTCAGATGCCTTCACGCCCCCGCAGCAGCCGTGTGCTGGCGCTTGGTCGGCTTCGGCTGGCTTATGCTAGTGTCTTACAGCCGCTAGCTGCGCCAACCCGTCCCGAGCATTCAGAACACACTTACACACGACGGGCGACGCCCACAACCTAGCTCGCCGCCGCCGGCTCGGCGGCGGGTTTCTGAACGAGCTCCAGCGGCTTTGAAGGGTCGTAGCCCTCGTCCACCACGGGCTCGCGGCCCCAGTCCCCTATTAATTTCTTCTCCGCGAGGTAGCGCTTATCGTAGACGTCCGTTGTTGATTCACTTTTCTTCGCCTCGCCTTCCTTCGGCGGCGGCGCCTCGTCGTCGTCGTCGTCCGAGGCCTCCGCATTCCCGCGCTGGACGTGGTAGGGTCGTATGGGGAGCAATTTGGGCGGACATAATACGGGAGCGAAGGCCGTCCGCTCCGAGAAGACGAGGCCGGTCCTCGGTATGAAGGACGGCAGCCGGTTGGGGTCCTCCTTGGCCTCGGCGGCGGGCGCCTTCGCTTCGGTCGGTGTCGACGGCGCCGGCTCCTTCTCCATCGCTCGCGGGGCAGCACTGTGCTGCTGTTGGGATTCGCGGGGCAGCAATGTGCTGCTGTTGGGATGCCTTTTGGGCCAAACTTGGGCGCGAGAGGCACCGAACCCGCACGCAATCACGCGCGCCAGCCCACCCGTCGCCGGAGGTATCTCGGGGCGCGTGCGAGGCCTGGGCCCTGGGAAACCGCGGCTCGCGCGTCGCCTCTGTTGCGAAGGCCGAGCGGCGGAGGCCGCATCAAAGCCCATTGAACGGCGGGACGCGCGCGCGGGCAGCTTCAGTGGAAGCGTCGCATTCATCCATCGCCCCGACGCCCGACCGCACGGCCCCGGGCAGCGTATTTGTACACATAAATCCTGGGGGAACAACAGTCATGGCCACAGCAGTCCAGACCATGGATCCGCGCCAGGGGCACCTGCCACCGTCGCCCCAGAAGGAGGACCCCCTCGCCTCACTCAGACAGCGCATGGCCGAGAAGCGCGCGGAAATCGACGCGAACTTGTCGCCGAGCGCGCGGGCCCGGAACGGCTTCGACGACGACGACGCCGCGGACGACGATGCGGCGGCGGACGCCTTTCCTCCGCAACCGCCGCCGCCCGTATCAACGGAGCCGCCGATGAAGAGCGTCGAATTAGCATTGGACGACTTTGATGTAGCGTCACTCAAGAGGAACCTGGAACTAGCGATAGCTACCATACGAGAAATGCAGCAACGGTTGGTTGCTTCCAATAGGGCCATCGAGACGGCGACCGCCGAGCGGAATGCGGCGCGGCGGGACTTGGCGCGCGCGGAGCGCGACGTGCAACGGCTCGCGGCGGCGGCCAACGCGCGCGCGCGCCAACACGAATCGGAACGAGATTTGTTGGCGGCGCGCCACGCGTCCGAGCGACGGGAATCGTTAGAGAGGCAGCGCGCCGAGCACGCTCAAGAACTGAACGCGCAGCTGGCCGAGTCGCAAGCGGCGCAAGAGGCCCAGTCCCGGGAGATCGCCGCGTTGGCGGCGGATCTACGGACGGCGCAAGGCAAAGAGAGAGGTGTGTCGGAGTTGCGGGAGAAACTGTCCAGGGCGGAGGCGCTGAATTCCTCCCAGAAGGAGCGCATTCAAACCTTGGAGACGGCGGAGGTCGACCTTGGGAAAGCTCTGGCCGCCAAACAATCAGCCCTCGAAGCGCAGCAGGCGTCGCTGAAGGAGGCTCAAAAAGCGAATCAGAAAAGGGAGGAGGAGTGCGCGCGGGCCGATCGCGCCGAGGCGTGCGTGGACCAGCTCAAGATCAAATGTAGCAATTTGGATCGGGATGTGGCTGCATTAAGGGCGGACGCGCAAATTAGAGATGCAGCTCAAAAGTCGTTCCAGGCGGATTGTGCGCGGGAGCGCGATGTTTTGACGCAAAAACATGGCGCGGAACGCGAGCGCGCCGTCGATGCTGAGAAGAGAGAAAAACGGTTACAACGGGACCTCGCGAAACTTTCCAGGGACCACGCGCGATCGCAATCAGCCCATAAGGGCGCGAGGCATGCGCTGGAACGGGCGCGGGCGATGACGGAGCAGGATGTTGCTGGGTTATTGGCTTCTCGAAGGGAAGCCGTGACCGACCTCGCGGCGATGCGCGACCGGTTACGGCAGGAAGTTAGATGTCGGTCGGCGGCCGTTGCGCAGCTCAAGGAGGCGCGGGAGCAGCGCGACGCCGATCGGATAGCGTTGGTGCGGGCCAAGGAGGCCCATGCGGGTGTCGCGCTCGAGCGGGATCGGTTGAAGCGCCAGGTCGCGGCGCACAAACGGGCGGCGCGGTCCGCGGCGTCGACGCCGCGGTCACTGGCAGATGTGCCGCCGCGGGGCCGCTTCCCGGCGTCTTCGCCCGTCGTGAACCGGCGGTCCGCCGCGGCGTCGTCGGACTCGTCCTACTCGCCGGGGCCGTCGCCGCGGCGGCGCACGCCCGTCAAGGCGGGCGCGCACCACCTCGAGCCGCACCCGCTGCTGAGCGGTGGCGGGGGGGACGCGTAGTTTCTCGGGGCTCCTTAATTCTGATATTTTACTCGTCGGTACTGAGACTGCCATCGCGCGACGTTTGTTTGGAGTACCGCACGCTTATCGAGGAGAAATGGCTGACCGACGCGCTGGAATTGTAGATCCCAAAGGAAGTGAGGGGCTCGCGGGAGGTTTTAATCGTCATTTGCGGGCTGCTGGTTTCTCTGTCTGTAACGGTAATATACGCCAACAGATTATTTGGATCGGTTTGATCCGTTGTCCTCCAATCGAAGGTCATCAACACTTCATACCAGGTCCCCTGCCTCACGCGCATGATAGTTGGCCCATCGTGTCCAAGCGCTTGGTCCCACCAAACGAGCTGGTAGGCAGTTGGATCGTGCTGAGACGGCTCGACAAGTAAGCCTTTTTGCAGCTGGAGCGATTTTTCGTAAGGGCCGAAGGTGAAAAAAGCGAAGCCATGCTCATATGGATCGCTATGGCTCTCGGTCGGGTCCAAGTCCGTGAAACAGAAACGATACTTGACTTGACGCACGCACAATTTCTCAGCGGCAGCGAACTCCTTTTTGAGTCCTCCATGGGTATTATGCCCAGGTAAAGAGGGACCGTCGAGTCTAGGATGAGACGTGGTGATTTTTATGCAACGCGACCCGTCAAAATCCACCTCCTCAGCGGTGAAAGAGCCCTCCGTTTCATTCGGTTCCTGCCTCCTCCACGAGTCCAAAGCCTCGCCCGAGAACGACCAGTCATCTCGGCCCGTGTCCTGAATGGCCTTGACAAAACCGGTCATCGACGCGCGCAGCGCGCCGTGTTTACGCGCCAGATTAATTAAGACAGCCGGCAGCCGGTCGCGGCACCGCCGCGAGAGCTTGCCGACCGCACCAATAGAATTGAGCTGTAGGAAAGCAGCCAGCGGCTCCGCGAGATCTCCCTGCCACATACGCGCCAAATCAAGGCTCGGAGCAGTTATGGCCGCAGCCCTTGCGCTTGCCTGGGGCTTGCGCCATGCTCACTGTCGCTCTTTTCGATCGGTGCGGGCACAAAGCTTTGAAAAGCGCAGGAGCCAGAGGTTTACTAGTGTCTTACCGCTAGCTGCAATATGTTTGCGCTCAGATTGTGATCAGATTCCGCTTGCTGGGCGCCCGGGAGTCGCAATCCAAGAGTAAGTGGATTGATACAACAATATACTTACGCGCCACGGGCGGCGGCTGGCCCTCTTACTGCTCTTGGGAGTTGACGAAATCCCCATCGCGCGACGTGTGCGGCGAGTACTTCACATCAACGTTGGAGTAGTGGGCGACGCTCGGGCTATAATTGTAGAGTCTCATCGCAGTGAGCGGCTGGCGGCTGGAGAGAACTCGCTTTTTACGCTCGATAGTACCGTCATCGCCCTCGCAGGTCACAAACGCCCAGTTCTCATCAGAGTCGTCGATTGTCCAATCAAAGGTCACCGTGACATCATACCACGTCCCGGGCGCGACGCTCATGATGACATTGTCATTGTCTTCTTCCTCGTCGTGCGGTTCGTAACAGCCAAACCACGTGAGCTCGTAGCCGGTAGCAGTCGGAAAGACGGAGAGTCCGTCGGGGCCTCCACCCATGGAGAAATATGCAAAGGCGTGCTCGTCCGGGTCCTCGTGGCTTGCCTCTGGGTTGGAATCCGTGAACCGGAACCGGTATTTCAGCTGGCGCACGCACAACCGGTCGGCCGCATCAAACGTTTTCACGAGTCCGCCGCCGTGCCCCGTGGGACCATTTGTGCTGATCTCTATATAGTGCTCGGCGGTATCCACCGAGACCGCAAATAAGTCGCGATCTTGCCAGGCTGGTAGGATACGCCAATCGTCTACCGCATCACCAGAGAACGTGGACCAGTCCCGGCCCGACGCGGCGAGAGCGTCGAGCGATGCCACTGTCAATGCGTTCGCGACGCCATGCCGTCGCGCTAGTCTAAATAAAACCAGGGGCTGCTGGTCCCGAAAGCGGCGCGATATCACGGGCACTGCTGCTATGCTTTTCAAGGGTAGGAAAGCGGCAACAACCTCCTGCTGGTCGCCTCGCCACAGGTCGATGAGTGTGGTGCGCGGGCCAGCCCCGGGCGCGCGGTTTCGCGCTTGTTTGACCATATTTTGGCCCTGGCAGTAGGTGTGACGACTTTGCGCCTCCAGCGGCGCCGTATGGCCCTCTTTTTGTGAAATGACCAAAGGACCAAGCTAGCGGCATGTAAGACACTAGCATCTCTGGCAAACCAAGGCGCTGCGGCCGCTGCTCCGCGCCAGGGCAGCCCCACAGCCGCGGACGCGGCGCGAGCCAGGCCAGGAGGCAGCCCGGGGCAGCCATGGCCGGCGAGGACGTGGACCAATGGTTGAGGGACGAGATGGACGCGCTGGTCGAGGGCAGCCCGACCATCCGATTTGTGAACGATGTTTATAGTATGCGCGTGTTACTCGAGAGGTTGACGCCGACGCAGGACCAGGCCCATACTTTACCACGACCGCCGTCGATGCCTCTACTGTTAAGTGGTGAGCCGCCGGACGAGGACCTTGTATTGGAGTGGAAGAAGGAGCACTTCGGCGAGGAGGAGGCCGAGGAGGCCGCCGCGGAACAAAAAGCGCTGAGAGACGCTCTCCAAGCCGAAGAAGCATCTCTGGAAGCCCAGAAGCGCGGCGTCGACGTCGAGACCTATCTGAGTCAAAAACAAGCCGAGGACCAACAAGCGTTGCAGGACGCACGTCTTCAGAAGGAAGCCGAAGCGAGGTCACTAAAGAGGTGCAAGAGCGAACTCACGATCTTAGAACCGGTCACGAGACAACTGCGACAAGACACGGAGCCAAAATCCGTCCAGGAATTGGCAGATGAGAACCAAGTTCCCAGAAAACTGGCCTACTGGGACGCGGGCCACCAGGACCAGAAGCTCGAGCTGTCCTCGAAGTCACTCCAGAAGGACGACTTTTATCTGTTGGAGTATATCTTGCGGTTCAACTATCCGATCCATACCGTGGCTCTGAAAGCTTGTTTTCTGACGGACGACGATGCGTTGGGGTTGGTCGAGGCGTTATCCTCGAATTTCGTACTTACTTCGTTGGATCTATCCCTGACGAAACTCACGGATATCACAGCTCTTAAGTTGGCTGACATGTTCAAGGAGTATAAGTCGCTGAAGGTGCTGGATTTGAGGCGGAATAACATATCGGGGAAGGCCGCGGCTCGTTTAGCTGAAAAGTTCCCATCCGCAAGAGCTCTGGAGGTGCTGAGCGGTTTACCTTTAAGGTCTTATCTCGATAACCCACCTAGTACGATAGAATTAACGGAAATGGACCTGAGGCTGCCCGAAGCTATACTGTTAAGAGATACATTAGCACGCACGATAAAGATGACGATCAATAAGCTTGACAACTACGAGATCACGTCGTCGCTAACTTCCTTAGATCTGTCCACGAATCTGTTAGATGAAGGCGCCATGGACGTCCTCGCCTCATTAGTGGAGGCGCACTCCTCTCTCACAACATTAGATGTGTCGCACAATCAAGGAGGCCCGCACGGCCTCGCGCACCTCGCGAAAATGCTCTCCCGTAATACGTGGCTCACGTCCCTTAAGATCGCGGAGAACGACGTTACGAGAGAGGGCCGCAATCCAGATGGAGTCTCATCTTTGTCGGACGCGCTCAAAGTAAATAGGACTCTGACATACTTAGACATCTCCGAGAATGATATTGACGAGGCCAAAGAGCGAGAAATCCAGGAGAAGGTCTCCGTGAATCGCGCCGTAAACCACACTGATCAATCGTTCGTGGAGTTCCTCGATAGTAAATATGCGCCGGACGCGTACGACACCAATGAGACTGGTGGGTATATCATCAACCTGGAGCTCTCTAGGGAGTATCTGGAGACGGAGAAACGAAGCAGACCGCCTCCTAGGGTCCGCTTCGACGAGCCGCAGCCCTACAAGCCCTGGCGCGACGCGGACGGGGGGGATGACTGGTCCTTGCTCGAGCCGGAGCCGATGCGGCGCGCGACGCGCGCGAAGCTGAAACGGGCTCGACGGTTGCTCGAGGCGCACATCCTGGCGCACAAGGGCTTCGGCTTCTCGGCGGCGAGCGCTTTACTCGCTCTCCACCGGGGGTTGTTTGCCGAGGCGCCGTCGCCGGCGCCGGGGCCGGCGCCCGCCCCGGCGCCCTCACCGGCGCCGGCCCCCGCGCCGCCCGAGGCCGAGGTTCCTCAGAGTGCCTCGCGCGTCGGCACGGCGGCGGGCGACAGCCGGAGCGAGGGCAACGAGCTCAACACGCGGTCCGTCGCGTCTTTAGGACTGGGCCCCCACGCGTCCGTCGACACGTTCCACACGGTCATGACCGATCCTAGCGAGTAAATTGTACTTATGTGTCTACCCAAGGTTCTTCTCCGGCGGCTCGGGCCGCACCTGGCAGGCTCCGATGACCACCGCGCCCGGCGCAATTATAAAAGAATTGCACGTGATGTCCCCGAAGACGCGCCCCGTCGCCGCGATCTGCACCCTTCGCGCGTTGACGTTGCCGAGCACCGTACCCTCCACTAACAGATACCCGTTCGCGTTGTCGACGTCCGCCTCGAGCGTGCCGCCCGGCGCGATGACCACGTCGCCGCCACACGTCAGCGTGCCCGCGAAGTGGCCCTCGACCCTTAATAATTTGGGGAACGAGAGCTCGCCCCGCATCCCGACGCCAGTACTAATAGTCACGTCCGGCGGGTCCGCGAAGTGCTCCGACGGGGCCGCCGACGCCGGTCGCGAGTCGTTCACGTCATAGACGGGCACGTCCGGCGGCGGCCGCCGGGCGCGCGGGACGGGGGCCAAGGGAGCCATCGCTTCGCTTGGTGTGTCTGGTGGCGCTGCCCGCGGTCGATTGCCGGCTACGGCGTGCGTGGCGTGTATTGACAGCTGCTCGTGCGTGGATTTAGGCAGCTTGTCGCGCTGTGTTTAGGCGCTGTGCTTATAGCGCTGTTGGCCAGTGTGCCAACCGCTGTGTCTAGTGGCCAACGCGTGAGTTCCTCGCCACAATGATCCTCATTCAACCCTACCAATCCCAGGGAAGTGCCGACCACGGGCATCGCTCCTGCGGTTGCGTCGGTCTTAGGATAGGATACCAATTAGGGGCGGTACGGAGCAGAACTCGGGCTGGGACTCGACGCGAGTACACCCGCGCGATCGATCGCATTCTACTACATAAAATTAGAAGACGAAGAGCCCCGCGAGGTCGCCGGCAGCCCCTCCGACCACGGTCCCCCAGCCCGGCTTGGCCAGCGTCCCCAGACCAGAACCGAGACATGATAGAGAGAAGGACGCCGCGAAGCCTAGGAAGGCCGTGGAAGACGCCCGCTGCAGCTTTACCAACGCGTTTTTGTCCCTCCTTCGGTCGCGCAGGTAGACGTAGCACAAACAGCATTCCTCGACGATGAGATTCGCGCCGTAGCCCAACGCTTTCGACCGCATCTCCGTCAGGCACATGCGTCTAGCTGCGCCCATGCGACCGTGCCTCAAGGCTTTCCGCTTCGCCGATAAAGCCACATCTTTCAACAGCCGGTCGGCCGTCCGCGGATCGAGCCGCGAGACGCACCAGGCCTCTAATCGCCGTTTCAGCGTCGTGCACGCCAGGTACCTCGCAAACGTCAAGGCACACTTCTCGCGGAAGCCCTCGAGCTCGCTATAGAGTCGGTCCCAATCTAGCAGCTCGTCGTCGTCGTCGCCCTCGGGGTCGTACGCGGGCGTCGCGGCGATGAACGCCGGCGCCGCCGTGACGACGACGGCCTGGCAAGCACTAATAACCAGCTGCTTCGGCGTCAGGTGCTCCCAGGGCGGCTTGCGGTCCTGCAGGAGGAGGCGGCCGCGCGGCGTGTAGGCTTCTATGGCGCGCGCCGTTGGTGAGAATGCTAGTACATTATTGTCGCGGCGCTTCAGCGCGTCGCATTGGGTGAGGGCGTACATGGCTCGCGCTCGGACTCGCGCGGCGGGCTTGGGCAGCAGGGCTCGGCAGCTGTGCTCACCCTAGCCGCGTGAGGACTGCAGCGAGGAGCGGTGCGACAAATAGGGACTACGTATGGCAGTTCTCGCGCTACGTCCAGCCGTATATCGCGTGCCGTGGGCCCGCGCCGTCGAGCTTGGCTTTCCTAGTGTCTTACAGGCCGCTAGGCCTTATGATTGCGCGGATCTCACGCTGCATATACGCTGCCCCAGCCCCCCATACAGCTCGATCCCAATCGCGACAGCCCGTGCAAGCAGAATGATCCAAGACGAAGTAGTCCTCCAGGGGGAGATCGTCGCCGCGGAGGCACCGCCCCAGCCAATGCAGGGCGAAGTCGTACTCCAGGGGGAGCTCGTGGCGGAGGCGCCGCCCCAGGCACCAGTATACGCTCAGCCGCCACAGCCTGTATACTCTCAGCCCGCACCTGTTGCGATGCCACCGGCCGCGCCGCAAACTGTTCAGGTTCAGATACCGGCCGGCATGAGGTCAAATCAAGTTTTTAACGTCCAGGCGAACGGTCAGATGATTCCGGTGACGGTCCCTGTGGGCTGCAGACCTGGTGGGTTACTCACCGTGCAAGTGCCGCCCGCGGTGACGGTCCAGCAGCCGGTCGTGCAGCAACCGGGCCAGACGATCGTCGTCCAGCAGGGCGGCGGCCGCGCCCACAAGTACGACGCGTCGGTGCTCTCGGGAGCGTGGATGATGGACAACGAGGCCTGCCCCGGCTGCTGCCCTCGGCAGATGAATATCATGGCGATGGGACAAGATGCGTTCCAACTCGGGCAGAGCCCGATGTTCACGCGCGACGGCGGAACCGACAACTTCCGGTCCGCGGGGAGCCCTGGCAGAGGGCCGTGCATGGCGCTCGTTCTCAGCGAGAACGACATCAAGCTCGCCGCCGCCGGCGGCAACGAAAACTTCAAGCTGACCAAAATCAAACGCACCAACCTGGTCGACCGAGCCCAAACTGTTCAGGTCCAGATTCCGGCCGGCATGATGCCCGGTTCAGTATTCGACGTACAAGCGAACGGCCAAAGGATACGGGTGACGGTTCCCGCGGGTGGCAAAGCCGGCCAGCTCCTGAACGTGAGGGTGCCGCAACAACGGCCAATAGGCCGCTGACGACGGTTGCTGCTGCTGAACGGTCCGCGCCCGCCGGGCGATCACGATCCTCATCGCGATATTTTTTGTACCTCCCCCGCCCCGGTAGAATACTAAAATACAGTCCAAGCGAGCCTTAGAAGTCGTCCCACATGGAGTCGTCCGCCGGCAGCTTCGAGACCGGCGCCGCCTTCATGGCTGCCGCGGCCGCCTTGAGCTTCTCGGCCTTGATCTGCTCTTCCGTCTTGGCCTTGGGCGGCGGCGCGGCCTTCTGGTCCTTGGAGAACATGCCCTTCGACAGCGATAAAGTGCCGCCCTTTTTGGGCAGCGTTTTGCGGCCCGGCTTCTTCGGCGACGATTTGAGGGCGACCGGCTTGGCGGGCACGTCGTCGCCCCAGGCGTCGTCGCCCCAGCCGTCGTCGGCAGGAGGAGCCGGCGGGGCCGCCTTTGTTATTGACGGCTTCGAGGAGGCGCGCGCCGCGGCTCGAGCTTTCCGCTTCGCCTCGAGCTCGGCGCGGCGCTGGGCCCGCCGGTCCTCCACCGAGGGCTTCTTCGCCACAGGAACGGGCTCCTTCGTGCCCCAGGGGTCGTCGTCCTCGTCGTCATCAGCGGCGGCGGCGGCGGCGACGCGAGAAGGCTTCGCCGGTTGATCATCACCCCAGGAGTCGAAGAAGTCGTCCTTCGGCTGTGTGGCTTTCTTCGGTGACACTTTGCGCGCCGCGGGCTTTTTCGGAGACGCCTTCTTGGGCTCCACTTTTTTCGTAGGGACGTCGCCCCACGCGTCGTCGTCGCCCCAGCCGTCGCCGCCGTCGTCGTCGATGGAGCTCTTGCGTGGTGGTGGTGGTGGCGCCTCCTCCGTGACATCTTCGGCCGACGCCAGGCCGGCCGCCGCCTCGGACGCCGCCGACGCGACCTTGCCCAGAGCATTGGACGCCGCGGCCCCGGCCCACGACGCGAGGCCCCAGCCCGCCGACGGCGACGTCGGCTCCGGAGGTGGTGGCGGCGCCTCCTGCTTCGGTGGAGGCGGCGCCTGTTGCTGCGGCGCCTTTTGAGGTGTTTCGGCCTGCCGCTTCACCGCCTCCTGTTTCGCCCTTGCCTCTTCCTGGCGCGTCATCTCTTCCGCAGCTTTCCGAACGACGGCCAGATACGCTTCCAAACACGGCACGGCCGCGTCGCGCACCGGTTTGGCCGGATCTAGGGCGAGCGGCACGAGTTTCGGCGCTACGAGTCGAGCAGCATAGACCGGGGCGAATTCGTCGCGACACGCACCCAGTGCCCGCACGGCGGCCATCCTTACAAAAGGTACTTTATCCTCCAACGCTTTGACGAAGGCCGGTAAGGCGTGCTTGGTTCGTAAGTTATCAGGTAAGTCCGGCGCTAGCCTCCCGTAGAAAATGACCACATTCGTCCGTATTTTCGGCGAGCGATCCGACTCTAACCTCTTGACCACTCTCAACAATCTGTCTGATCTATTCTTCTCAGATAATCGAGGCGCTATAGCTAGCATGCCCATCAGTGTTAACAAACGGGCATCATCATTTTTGTCCCCAAAGCCCAACAATAAGGCATCAAACAGCTTCCTATTCACGTAGTTCTCCGTGAGTAACGGCGCGAGAGCATCGACGCGCTTCAGGGCCTCGAACCGAATGAACGGGTCTTTTATGATCAAAACGGTTTCCAGTGCCTCCACGATGCCCTTCACGACGCGCTTTTCGGCCGCTTGGGCGTACTTCCCCAGCGAATCGTTTTCATCTTTATCGAGCATCTCCACGATCTGGACCAACAAAGGTAGGGCACACGCGACCGCGGCTCGTCTCGTCTGCACGTCGCCGCCCTCCTTGAGCGCAATCTCGAGCGTAGCTAGCAATTTAGGTAGCAATTTGTGGACGCAAGCGCCTCTGAATAGTGCTTCGTCTAGCGCTCCTCGGCAGGGCTGGCCGTCCGGCGTCGTCCTACTTGTAGATTCATGCAAGTTCTTGTAGAAGGCGATCTGATCCTCTAACGACGTCGCTGACAAGTCTTGCAAGCCTGTGAGTTCTTTCAGCGTGCCCCCGCGAAAGAGGGGACAGCCTCGCAATATTTGATCGCATGACGGCCGCTTGGAAGGCTCGTTGTTCGACGCGCGCTTCAGCCAAACACTTAACTCTCTCGGTGCTCCTCCTCTATTACTGTAAGCAGTCTCCAACAAAGCGGACAGGGCCCAGACGTCGCTACTCCCGACCTTATGCTGCGCCATGCCCTCCCAGTCGTTGCGTTTCCGTTCCGGGGCTCGGTAGCGATCGTCCACCAACGCCTCATGGGCCCGGAAGAACCCAAGCCCCTCATTGTTCGGCTCCAAGGGGTCCAAAGATGTCGACAGTTCGAAACCCCAAAGTTTCCAGTCGCCGGCAGCTGTGACATATATACTATCCGGTGTCAAAGAGCCGTGGCACCGTTTCGTGCTATGTAGGAATGATAGAGCTTGTAAGACGCATCTAGCACCCCAGGCTAACGTGCGAGGGTCCGCATCTTTGCCGTAGCGTTCGAGCCACGCCGGTAGAGGTAGGACTTCATCAGTGGCGAAGGAGATCTCGCCGCCGTCCTTCTCGACGCCTTCCCTATAAGGTAACACGCAGGGGTGCCTCAGGATCTTGGTCAATTTAACGCATCTGCGCGCCGATTGCACCTTGGCGGATTGTTCATCACCCTTGTTCCTTGACAATTGAAACACGGTAGCCCCACTTTCGTCCTTCTTGTGCAACGCCGCGAACTGGCCCCAGCTCTGCGTCGCGAGGGCGCCGTCACTACCGCTCTTCTCGAAGACGGCTTCTTTCACGGCGTGGTCCGTTAACGCGGAGCCGCCGCCGCCGAACCAGCGCATTTTTTTCTATGGCTCTCCGCGGCGATGCGTGCCGACAACTATACGACGGCGTAACCGTAGACCAGCGCTGCCGACGGCCCCGGGATTTTTTGGAGAGGCTCTCCGGTCTTAATTTATCTGGGCCTGCGCCCGGCCAAGAGTGCTACCACAGCAACAAGCAATCGGAAACGGCTCGCAGACAGCGTTGCCTAGTCTCAGCCACGCGTATGGGCCGTAGACTCGCGCGGCTTTCCCGTGGCTGCCTGCTAGTGTCTTACGGCCGCTAGCCCGCGATTTCCAAGTGCGCCGGGAGCTAGCTGATGCGAGTAGCTAACGCGACCTGAACGTTGCTCACTGTTCGGCGGGTCCTGACGCGGCCGGCGACGAGTGTCATCAAAGACGCGGCCCGCGCCCGCCAACGAATCGGCTAGTCCCAGCACCGTACGTAACAGAAGAATATATCAACCCCAACTATCGCTCGCCGCCACCACCGGCCGCGCCGACCGCTCGCGCATGCGCGCCGTCAATAACGAAAGCGAGTCCGGGGGCGCGTAAGACGCCCCGTTCGGCCCTCGACGTCTCGGCGCCGCGCCGCCTCTCTGTGAATAAATATCACCTAAAACCCGGGTGAACTCCTCGTTCGGGATGCTGAAGAACCAGGACGAGTTGTCCTCGGCGGCCGCCGCGACGTAGGCCAAGCCAAAAAACGTGAGCGCCAGCAGCAGTATAGTATGAGGTCCGTTCTTCCCCAGCCTCCACCACTCCTCGCGCCAGTCCGGGATGCGATCTACCACATAATGTGCTGCTATGGCCACGCCCTTGATTCCTGTGAAGACCGAGAGCACGACTTGATACACAAAACGCGAGCCCGCTACTAATCGTGAGAAGGCGATGAGCGCAACCAAGATAAAGGCAGTGGTCCAGACCAGCGGCTCCCACCACCACCACTTGAACTCAAAATATTGCGGTTTCCACGTCGCACTACGAGCGAGTAACCCGAAGACCACGACGGCCATGTGCGTGTTGATGCAGGGCATGCCGTAGTTGCCCCTGCTTCGGTCCGCGAGCTGTCTGAGCCTAACATCGAACTCTATCGGTCTTCGCGCTTGGATTAATGCTCGTACAAACAGTACACCGCCACAATTCAATATGCAATTGACAGCATCCTTATAACCCGAAAAGAAGATCGTAACGACCCAGGCCAGCCACGTTACTAGAGAGATATCTCGCCACGGCTCGTAAGCAATAACGTGCCGCATCGGTAACGAGAAGAAGCGGCCCGTTGGTGACCGCCGCAGCCACCATAACACTGAAAGGTCCCAGAGCAAGTAGCGCCGCCAGTACCGTCGTATTGTACTTCTTTCTAGCAGTTCTTCCGTGTTGTGGCTTGCTGGCTGGTAGTCATAATGCTCGGCTTCCCGGAGCATGGTCGCTGGGGCAGCCTTTTCCTTCGTGAGATGTGTTGTGGGGGAGCGCTGCGAGCGTGGCCACAGCGCGTCGGCCCTTGGAATGCCGTTCGGCGGGCGTGCTGAGCTAGTATGTATGTACACGCTAGGTCGCTCTCGGGCCGCGTCCTTGCCAAGGCCGTTTCGCTTTGATTCGACAGACTGAAGTGCTCTACTACGCCTCCACGTTTTCGCAGGAGCACTTGCAAGTACGTCCGCGATCGCTACGCACTTCCACCTGGTAGGCAGCAGCTCAGTGCTCCACCTGGCAAGCGCATAAGACCATGCGACGCTCCCCATTCCTCCGCGTCGTTGGCGCTCTCGCACTGCTCACGGCCGACGCATCTCTGGGAGGTCTCTCGCACGGTCTCGGCCTCGTGCCGCGGAGCCAGCGCTCGGGCCTGGTCAAGCGAAGACGCGTGCAGGCGCCGGCCACCGCGACCGACCGCATCGCGCAAGTGACGATCGGCGCGTACGTCGCGCAAGTGGCGCGGCCGAGCCTCGCCGCTTTGGGCGCGCGGTCGACGCGACTTATTTTAAGAGCGGGCCAGTGGTGGCGCCTCGCCACACCAATGCTGCTGCACGGCTCGCCAGCGCATCTGATGGTCAACATGCTCGCGCTCCGAAATGTCGGCGGGGCTCTGGAAAGGGCCTACGGCTCGAAGCGGACCGCGCTCGTCTACGCGTTGGCTGGTGTCGGCGGCAACGTGCTGCCCGTGGTCCTCAAAGGCATGTCGGACTCGGCGCTGTCCGTCGGCGCGTCGGGTGCCGTCGCCGGCCTCGTGGGCGCGCTGGCGGTGCACCTCTATCGGCATTCTCACCTATACGGGACGAGCGGCCTCAAGTCGATCCGCGACACGGTCCTGATGAACGCCGCGCTGGGCATGACGTCTCACAATGTTGATAATCTGGCGCACCTCGGCGGGCTCCTCACGGGCGCGGCGTCGGCATATGTGTTTGGGGCCAACTGGGTGCGGCCCTACGAGGGTGCCCAACACTACGTCGACCGACCATTAGTACGTCTGTTTTAACATGTATCACACTTACACAGCTGTCCAATTCGCCCGCTTCTCGCAGTCGGCGTCGATCCCGTAGTAGTCCATCGCCAGCTTCCAGCCGAGCGCGATGGCCTCGTACCTGCCGATCGGTTTAATACGCTGCGCCTTCGCGCCGTGGGCCGGGTAGGGGACCACCAGAGACAGCGCCGTCGCCTCGTCGAGCACGAAAAAACACCCTTGACTGATACCCGCCGCCTTCATCCGACAAATACGGTGCGCGCCGTCGACCATGCGGTAGGGCAAACCACAAGGGTTCTGCGTCGACCTGACGAGGATGCCCGGCACTTGTGCAGGTCCGCGGTCCGACCGTGTCGTATCTTTGAACTTGCGCCCACAAATTGATTCGATGGATTGGTTCGTGGGACCCATGTCCTTGTGGCAGATTTCCCGGAAGTCGATCGCGACGGGGTGCAGCCTTCTTTTCAAAATGATCCGATACATGTCCTCCACCGTAATCACATTATTCTCATACTTGCCCAACGTCCACGGCTTCTTGATCGTGTGCCGCCCCAGGAAGATTTCGGACGGGAGGTTGCCGTCGTCCAACTTGATATGCTCGCCATCGGAGATGTGGTGGCTGCTCGACGTCTTGCGTGGCGGCGTCGGGACGCTCTTCTTGAAAGGTGTCCGCGCGCCGTCGGGCCGGTAGATCTGCGCCGCCGCGAGCGCCGCGGCGGCGAGGAGGCGCAGCCGCATCGTTGGTCGTGCCGCGCTGCAAGAATAGATCGCTGTACGGGTCAGCCGCCGCGCCGGCCGTCGAGCAGTCGCGGCGTCGCGTTTGGACTGCGTAAAATGGCAGCAGCTTGGAGAGCACTGCCAGGAACGCTAAACACACGAACTCGTTCGAACAGTTGCGTCCGCAAGTAACGTGGTCCGATCGGTTACTCCAAATGCTAGCGTTGTATGACACACAAAGGATGCGAGGCTGGCAAAAAAAACAAGGCCAGGAAAAGAGGCTAGCGGCCTGTAACACACTAGGAACGGGACGCCATCGACGCGACAGGAATCCATAGCGTATATCTTAATGAACAAGGGGTCCGAGCGGGGGCGGTCGCGACCGAGGGAATTCAGCAAAAACGTCGTCATAATCACTGCGCGGCATACAACTCGTCGAGCTTCGCTTTCAGGGTTGCGGTCGTGACGGGCTTGGGGATGAAGCCGTCGAAGAAGCCCCCGCCCAGCGCCGAGTTGATCTCCGTCTCGTCGGCATTCGCCGACGACCCGACGATGACCGTCCGCTTCCGCTTCGCAGCAGCTTCCCAGGCCCTGTACTTCCGCGTGCACGTCACGCCGTCCATGATGGGCATGAGGAAGTCCATGATGCAGACATCATATGAACTTCTCGTAAGCATATCCAAACCTTGTTCCCCATTTCCAGCTTCATCGACGCGGAAGCCTGCCCTTTCTAGTATTCTCTTCAGCATCTTTCTGATCGGTGCGGAGTCTTCGACGATCAACGCCTGGCCTCTGCTACCTTGCTCGACGATGGGCGCCGTTTCTAACTGTCGAGTGACTTCCACAGGAGTCTCGGGCACCTCCTCGACTTTTTGGGCCGGTTCACTGTTAGGTAACTGCAGAGGTACGAGCGTCCAAAAAATAGAACCGGTACCTTCACCTGAATCTTCCTGATCGAACTTCGGCTCCAACATACCCGTCCTGGCCCTCTTGGTTGGTCGCTCGTTGTTCTTGAATCTCGCGCCGCACGCGCCTGACAGTAGCGAGGCGCATTGTTTGACCGCAAATAATCCTAAACCAGTCCCCTCCTTCGTGCCCTGGGCCTGGACAAACGCATTGAACAAGCGATGTCGCAGGGCGGCATCGACGCCGGGACCGCTGTCCTCGACCTCGATCTTTAACCATTCCTCTGGTCGTGCCGTTGGAGCTAGTCCGACCACATCCGTCGCGATTTCTTCATTCGCCAAAGCGCCGCGCTTCGCTGCGGCGATCGCGCCCGCTCGACACAAGAGTGTGGCGCAGTCCTGCGCGGGTGAGATGCCCGTCGCGTTGGCCCTCACCCGAGATATTCGGACATCAACACCTCGCCCTTGCTCGGCCCCGGGCCTCACGGCGGCCTTCAAGGCATTCGTAACATAGTTCATGAGGATCCGCCAGACTAACGTCCCGTCCGTTTCTATCGACTCGGGCACATTATCATCTACACTGAAGCGTAACTCCGGTCTTTCTTTACTGAGGGATCTCGTGAGGAAGTCGATCTTCCCTAGTAATGCCCTTACGGAAACGGACTCTTGCCTAGCTTGTGCGGGTCTCGCGCCCCTTTGAGCTCGTGCGGTCTCGATGGCCCTATCCACCGTCTCGGTCATCACTTCCACCGACTGTTGGGCGTGCTCGACGTATTCTCGTTGTTCGTCCGTTAACTGACTACCAGCTAGCAGCTCGAGCGACAGCTGGAAGCAGGCTACTGGTGTGCGGATGTCGTGCGCGGTGCAAGAGATGTAGTCCGTTTTAGCGACCGTCATCGCCATGCGCGCCTGTTGCCGCGCTTCGATGGCACCCGTCAGCAGAGCGCCGAAATCCAATAAAATCTGCTTCTCGCGCACGCCCCAGCCGTCCTCCGTCCTCGCGCCGGTGCCTCCATGTTCTATCGCCGTGTCAATCACACAGAGAGTACCAATAGCTCTTTTGATGCCGTCCTCGCCCCCGATCAGCAAGGGCGCACCGGCGTAGAACCGGATGTGCGGCCATCCTTGCACCAAAGCGCTATCCTTGAACCGGTCGTCGGCCAGCGCATCCCTAACAACCATGATCTCTTTGTGGACGCGCGTCGTGGCGTCGGGCATGATCGAATGGGCGCAGAAGGCGATCTCGCGGCCCGTTTCTCGCGTATCACCGAGGCCTCGATTCGACAGGAACCACTGCCTCCTTTCATCCACTAAGCTTACAAGACAGATGGGCACATTTAACGCGGTGCCGCAGAGCGCCGTGATGCGCTCAAATTCCTGGTGGCGGGGCGTGTCGAGCCTGCGCGGTTAACGGGTGGCCGGGGCGCGTCGACGGGCGCGCCGGCGGCGTCTCCCGGGGGGGGGCGCCGTTTCACGACAGGACGCTGGTTTCCTACAGTTCTAATGAACGCAGCGTCGACATGCGCTCGTCCTCATCCTCCGGGAGGGGCCAGGACATCTTTTGTTCCCTCAGAGCCTTGGCCCAGATGTCCCTGTCTGGCGCCGCGCCGGCGCGTCTGCGCTTGCGCTGGCCTCGGCTACGCTATAGGCGAGGTTGGGCACGCGTGACAACTTTTGAAGAGCCGGGCAGGAGCCCCGCGCTAGCTCGTTTTTTGCCTGATGACCAACACTCAAGCTTGATGTGTGGTTGTGGTTGTGCGTGGGCTCGGGGTTATGCGTCTCTCCGTTCGTAGGTATCCAACAGCGGTGCCTCCGGTCCAACAACGAGCTCGCAGGCGTACGATGGCCCCGAGAATTTGAAGGGGGCCCTCTCATCTAATCCAGCGCGGCGGTGCGATCGCTGCCCCGGGTCCAAGGGACCAATCGGGTCCCTCCCTGGTTTCGGACGGGGCGCGGCCGTCTCACAGCCCGTGTAGGGCGCGAGAGCAGGCCAAAACAACGCGAAGGGCTGCCCCAAAAGCACCTGACAAGGCCCAAGATGATCCTCACGCAATGCGCCGTCTGCGCCACCGACCTTGGTTTATCCTTGGGCAAGAAATGCGGCCGCTGCAGCACACGCTACTGCGGCCCCGCGTGCCAGAAACAACACTGGAAAGAGGGCGGTCACGACCAGCTCTGCAAAAAAATTAAAAAAGCCGGCGGCGCCGAGCAATACAACGCAAATACGAAGTACACGGAGGCCGTGGCGGTCGCAGCGGAGGCGTGCGCGGACGACACGAAGGGCCAGACGTGCTACATCTGCACGCAGGCCTTGCATTGGAAGACGAAGGAGGGCCTCGTGCGCGGATGCGCGTGCCGCGGGACGGCGGGCTTCGCGCACGTGTCGTGCCTGGCGGAGCAGGCGAAGATTTTGTGTGACGAGGCCGAGGAGAATAATCTAGGCACTAAGGCGTTCAATGAGAGGTGGCGGCGGTGGGATACGTGTAGTCTGTGCGAGCAAATGTATTTCGGCGTCGTGCGGTGCGCGCTCGGGTGGGCCTGCTGGAAGACGTACGTGGGTCGGCCGGAGACGGACCAGCTTCGGTGCTTGGCCATGGGGCAGCTCGCGGGCGGTTTATTCGCTGCAAAAAAGTACGAGGACGCGTTGCCCGTCCAAGAGGCTGACTTGTCTCTGAGCCGGCGACATGGCGAACAGGAACGTAGCATTCTCGTCGTGCAGGGCAATCTTGCGGGCACATATTATGCGCTCGGACGAATGCAAGATGCCTTACGCCTGCGGCGAGACGTATATTTTGGAAATCTGAGGGTCGTAGGCGAAGAAGATAGAGAAACCCTTTCAGCAGGTATCAACTACGCGACGTCCCTGAAAGGCCTACAGCGCTTCGAAGAGGCCAAGTCGCTGCTGCGCAAGCAAATTCCTGTAGCGCGACGGAAGTTAGGCGAGAGTCATGATCTCATGCTCTCGATGCGGTCGATTTATGCGAAGGTGCTCTACCAGGACCCCGCCGCCACGCACGACGACCTCCGCGAGGCCGTGACGACGCTCGAGGAGGTAGGACCGATCGCGCGTCGCGTGCTCGGCGGCGCGCACCCGCTCGCGGTGGGAATTGAGGAGACCTTGCAAACCGCGCGAGCCACGCTCCGGGGGCGCGCGTAAGACGAGGAGTCTAAGTATAAGATCGAAAGCGCCCACCACGAGTGGGTCGCTATTACACGGAGGCGCAACGCACGCGCCGGGACTTGGGACTTGTTTCTGCTCAGATCAAGCAGCCTACATGTAGGCCTTGACCTCCTTGGCGCAGTTGTCGGCCGTCATGCCGAGCTCGGACATGACGATGTCGCCGGGCGCCGAGAAGCCGAAGCGGTCGACGCCGATGACCTTGCCGTCGAGGCCGACGTACTTGTACCACATGGTGGACACGCCGGCCTCCATGGCGACGCGCTTGCGGCACGAGTCGGGGAGGACCTCGGCCTTGTAGGCGTCGGACTGGCGGTCGAAGCGCTCCATGCACGGCATGGACACGACGCGGACGCCGCCGCCGATCTGCTTCGCCGCGGCCACGGCGTGTTGCAGCTCGGAACCCGTCGCGATGATGATGCATTTCAAGTCGCCGGTCTCCTTGACGGCGACGTAGCCGCCCTTGAGCGTGTCCTCGCGGCTGGTCGTGCCCGTCTGGTCGAGGTTCTGGCGCGAGAGGATGAGGGCGGTCGGGCCGTCCGTGCGGACGGCGGCGCCGACGTACGCGCCGGCCGTCTCCTCGTAGTCCGCGGGCCGGAAGACGTCGAGGTTCGGGAAGGCGCGGAGGCCGGAGACCGTCTCGACGGGCTGGTGCGTCGGGCCGTCCTCGCCGACGCCGATGGAGTCGTGCGTCCAGATGTACGAGACGGGGAGCTCCGCGAGCGCGGCGATGCGGACCGCGGCGCGCATGTAGTCGGCGAAGACGAGGAACGTCGCGCCGGACGGGCGGAAGAGGCCGTAGTAGGCGAAGCCGTTCATGATGCAGCCCATGGCGTGCTCGCGGATGCCGTAGTAGACGTTGCGGCCCTTGTACGACTTGCCGAAGTCGGCGCCGAAGTCGCCGGCGCCCTTGATGTAGTTCTTGTTCGAGCCGTGGAGGTCCGCGGAGCCCGAGATGTAGAGGGGCATGGCCGCCGCGATGTCGTTGATGATGGCGCTGCCGGAGATGCGCGTCGCCTCGGCGTCGCCCGAGCCCTTGGGGATGGCCTTGAGGAGCTCGGCCTCGGAGGGGGTCTTGCCATCAATACCGTCCTGGAGGATCTTGGCCTGGTCCGGGTTCGCGGACTGCCAGGCCTTGTAGGTGGCCTGCCACGCGTCGTACGACGCCTTCTGGGCGGCCTTGCGGTCGGCGAAGAACTTGTAGGTGTCGTCGGACACGTGCCACTTGTCCGCCGGGAGGCCCAAGTTCTTGCGGGCCTCGTCGACGTACGCGACGCCGGCCTCGCCGTGCGCGGCGTTCGTGCCGGCGACCTCGTCGATGCCGCGGCCGATCTCGGTCTTGGCGATGATCATGGTCGGCTTGCCGTTGTCGTTGGCCTTGGCCTCCTCGATGGCCTCGTAGATGGCCTTGAGGTCGTGGCCGTCCGTCAGCGTGATGACGTCCCAGCCGTAGGCCTCGTATCTGGCACCCACATCCTCGGACTGCGTGAACTCGGCCATCTTGTCGAGCGTGACATCATTCGCGTCGTACAAGACGATCAAGTTGTCGAGCTTCTCGTGCGCCGCGAAGCACGACGCCTCGGCACTGACGCCCTCCTGGAGGCAGCCGTCGCCGACCATGCAGAAGATGTGGTTGTCGAAGATCGTGTGCTCCGGCGTGTTGAACATGGCGGCCGACATCTTGGAGGCCGCGGCGAGGCCCGCGCAGTTCGAGATACCGGCTCCCAGAGGACCGGTCGTGGCCTCGATACCCGGCGTCGTGTGTTCCGAGTTCGGGAACTCGGGGTGGCCCGGCGTGGCGCTGTGGTGCTGGCGGAAGTTCGCGACCTCGTCCTTGGGGATGTCGTAGCCGGCCAGGTGGAGCCACGAGTAGAGGAACATGCTGCCGTGGCCCGCGCTGAGGACGAAGCGGTCGCGGTTGACCCAGGTCGGGTCGTCGGGGTTGAAGGTCATGGACTGGCCGAAGAGGACCGCGCCCATCTCGGCGGCGCCGAGCGGCAGGCCGAGGTGGCCGGACTTGGCCGCGGCGATCGAGTCCATCGCGAGGCCGCGCGCCTCGTTGGCGGCGGTCTGGAGGGCCTCGGACGTGGCCGGGGCGACCTATGTTTGTAGTTGTGAGTGATGTGGTGCGTGGCAGCGCGGGAGGTGGAGTGGCGTTTTTTGCAACCAGGGGTGCGGCGGCGCCGTCCTCGGCGGATGTGTGTGTGCGATGCGTTTTTTGCAACAGCGCTGGCTGGGGAGCAGCGCGCGTGCATCTGTACCGCTGCGGGCTGGTTTTTGGGTCGGCGCGAGGCGCGCGGCGATCGCTTTTGCAAGGATAGCTGTGGGCGACGCTGGGGCTAGCTTCGAGCGTGGCGGCATTGAGCGCCGACGATTTCACCGTCAGGCGCGGCGCCACCAGACCGGTGGCGCCCTGCAGGGCGAGAGCTATCGCGGCGCACTTCATGATTGCGGCTAGGTCGCAGCTGCGTACGACGCGATGCCTGCCTCCGTGGCCACCTGAGATGCGAATCGGAGTAGGCGCCTTTCCGTCCTTGCATGACTCTCAGAGGCCTCCCCCCCCTGCTCCCAGGCCGGCAGATGGCTCCTTAGGCTGATTTCTTATTTTTCACGTACCGCGCCCGTCGCCGTTTCATGGTTGGAAGAGCCCGCCTCTCAAGATGCCTGCACACCCGGCGAGTGGTACTCGAACCTAAGCAACCACAGAGTGCGCTCGCGACGCATCGCGGGCTCGCGAGACGGCCTGCGCGCCCACCACCCACTGATATAGACCTCTTAGGCAAGGGGGAGGGGAAAGGGGGAAATAGGAGCTCAGCAGGCCTCCACGACGGCCTCGGCGATGCGGCCCTCGGCGGCCTCGCCGACGGGCGTCGCCGCGTAGACGTCACTCTCGGCGTGCTGAGGCGTCCCGTAGTCGACCAGCGCACCCGCCAGAGGCGTCTCTTCCACAAGATCATCAGGATTCGTCAAGGAGCCGTGCCGCCCGTAGCGCTTCGCCGAGGCGACGAACTGCATGCCGCCCTTGGCCGCCGGCGTCATCCGCTCCCTCCTCAATGTCTCTTCTTCGAGCCTTTTGGCCTCGTCGGCCTCCTGCGCCGCCTGTACAGTACGTAGAGCCTGCCGTCTTTTGAGTTCCGCGTCGTAGGCCTTTCGTTTCTCGAACCGAGCATCAAGATTCTGCGTGTTGCTGTCGCGCTCTCTCAACACCAAACCGCGCGACTGCCGCCTTTTCAGGGCCTTCGCTTCGTTACGTTTCTTCTGCTCGAAGCGCTGCGTCGCTTGCTGGTGCCTGACTAGTCCGGGCATGGGCGGCGTCTGTGCTACCGTGAGCGGCTTGCTCGACTTGGCGACCTCGAACTTCTGCGGGGGCGCCGGGCGCGCCGAGAAGGGCCTTGACATAGTTTTGCGCTGGTGTTTCGTGTGGCGCGGTTGTTGCGCGGGCGCCGTCGAGGGCCTGTGTTGTTGAGTGTCGATCGCGCCGATGGCGTGTCGGCGTCGACGCCATCGAGGCAATGGTTCGGGTGTCGAAGGGAAGGGACGCAGGAAAGCAAACCGCGCCATGCCGCCGGGGCACTCCCGCGCCTTGAACGCCGGCTTTGACAGTTCGTACTCGTCGCGCGACATGGCGATCGGCTTCGCGCGCGTCGCGTGTAGTCTGGGAGGCGCCGGCGCCGTGCAGGGCCTCGAGGCCACGACGGGCACGCCGACGCAGCCGCCGGCGTCGCCGAGGATTCTCTGATCCAACTCCCGCGCCTTGAAGTCCGTGCAGACCTCCTCCTTCTTTTGGGGCGGCGGCGGCTTCTGGCGCAGGTTCTTGGTCGCTAAGGCGGGCGACGCCGGTTGCGTGAGCGTCTGGCGCCGTTTGGTGCGGGGCGCCGGCTCCTTGCGCCACCGCGACGGCACGGCGGCGTCGGCCTTCGCCAATCGTTCCGCGAGGGGAGGAGACACAGGCTCGCGGAAGGCCACGGTCTGGCGCCGCGACGCGCCGAACGTGAAGGGCTTGGCAATGGTAGGACCGCGCCTCATGGCGGGCGCCGGCTTGGCCTGCGGGGCGACGCGCCGCGGCGACGCGGCCGCCCGCGCCGCGCGCCGCGCCGTCCCGGCGGCGCCCGGCACGGCGCGCGCGTTCGCCGCGAGGCGCGCCTTGAGTTGCGCGCGCTTCTGCGCCGCCGCGCGCAGCTGCTGCTCCTCCGTCGACAACCGTTGGGGTCTAGCTTTCCGTTCCGCGAACTTCGGGGCGACGGGCGCCGTGAGCGAGCTCTTGCGCTCGACCTTCTTCTTCTCCGGCGGCGCACTGGGCGCCATGCTCCGGCGCCGGGCGGCGGCGGCGGCGGCCTTCGCGCGGTTGCGCTCCGGCGTCGGCAGCGCCGCCGGCGCGCGCGCCGCGGGGCCCCAGCCGCGGACGACGTTCGCCGGCGCCGGCGTCTTGGACGGAGGCTTCGGCGACGCCGCGGCGGGCACGCGGCGCGCGGTCGCGGCGCCCCAGGACGTGACGACGTTGCGGCGCGCCGTCGTCGTTGTAGTGGTGGTCGGTTGCGCGACGGCCGGCGTCGGCGGCACGGGCGGCGCCGGCTCCGCGGGCGCGACCGGCTCGGTGGGCGCGGGCGGCGGCGCGTCGGCCGCGGGAATGATGGGCTTCGGCGCGGCGAGGCCGGGCAGCGCGACGGCGCCCGGGATCTCCGAGGGCTCGACGGGCGGCGGCGCGCGCGCGACGGCGCCCGCGCACGTCGTCACGACGCGCGCGCCGTCGGGCGTGCGCTCCTTCGTGCTCGAGGCTTCGGCGACGGGCGTCTCGGGCAGCGGCGGCATCGCGGGCGCCTCCGCGACTTCGGGCGCCGGCACCTCGGCCTCCGGCGCCTCCGGCTCCACGGGCGCGGCCTCGGGCGCCGGAGAAGCGGCCGGCTCCGCGACGGGCGCGCCGAGCGCCGCGAAGAAGTCCCGCGCTTCGGCCGAATCCGTCCGCTTCGGCGCCGTCGGCGCCGGCGTCGTCGCGGCGTCGGCGTCGCTCGACGACGAGCCGCCCGCGGACCAGACCGTGGCCTCACGCCGCGCGCGGCGTCTTTCAGTAAGCCGGCTCCCCTCCTCGGGCGACGCGGTCGCGACGCGGCGCAGGCCGCTCACCTCGGCCTCGGCCCGGGCCGCGGCCTCCTCGAGCGCGACCTTGCGCGCGCTCTCGGCGTGCGCCTCCGACGCGCGGCGCCGCTCCTCGTCGGCGCGCAGCTGCGCGAGCCGCGCCGCCTCGTCGTCGGGCGAAGCGTCGGCGCCCCACGAGTCGACGAGCTTCAAAACGTCGTCCGTCTCCTTCGGCGGCGTCTCATTATCCTCACTCACGGTGCGCGGGAGCGGCGGCGGCGGCGCGTCGACGGGCTCGCGGAAGGACACGCGGCGCTGCTGCTGCGTTTGTTGAGGCGGCGGCGGCGAGATCGACATGGGCGTCGGCGGCGGCGCGGGCCGCGCGGCGGGCGTCGCGGCGGGCGTCGGCTGCGATCCTTGTAAAAGGGTCGAGAAGAAGTCCTGGGCCTCCTGGTCGTCCTTCTGGGAGGTCGACGGGCTCGGCAGCGCGACGAAGCTCCGCGCGGGCGTCTTCTCGACGGGCGCGGCGGCCTTGGCCGGCGCGCGCCGCCGGCTCGTGATGTTGTCGGCGCCGCCCGCGAGCGCCGCGAAGAAGTCGTTCGCCTCGGCGGCGTCCTTCTGGGACGTGGTGGGCGACGGCGCGGTCGCGTTTGGTGAGGGCGTGCCTCTTAAGGCGTTGAGGCGGTCCATCGTCCGCTGCCGCGTTTGCTACAGTTCACGTGAACGGTGAGTTTTTTGGGCGTTCCTTGCGGCGTTTTTTCGCAGCGCAGCGAGAGCCTGGCCTCAGGGCGCTTCAAGCGCAGCGTTACAAGTGGCCCGCAGCTACCGCGGCGGCGCCACAGCGGCAAAAACAAAAGCAACGCCTTTATTGCGCGAGAAACCCGCGCGCTTTTTTGCGCCCTTTTTTCTCGAGGACAGAGTCGTAGGAAGCTTCCCGATCCATCCAAGGCCAGCGGCGGAGGCATCGCCGACCCAACTGCTCGCAACTCTCCGCCGCTGAGGCGTTCCAGCGCCGCATGGGGCTTGTGCGCGCTGACCAAGCTGCCTTGTCCTAACACCAACGAGGCAGCGTCCAACCGGCTGCCCGCCACCCGCAGCCACCGCCCAAAACGCCGTCGACGCTGCCCCTTGTGACACAACCAGCACCAGGATGGACACGCCCCCCGAGGACGTCGCCGACGCGCTCCTGAAATTGACGCACCGCGTCGAGATCATGCAGCGCAAGCAGGAGCAGCACCACGGCGAGCAGCGGCGCGAGATGGAGGAACTGCGGCGCGCCGTCGAGAATTTGACTGATGAGAATCACCTGTTGCGGAGGCGCTTGGAAAAGGCCGACGGGCTCGTGAAGCGGACGAGGGCGCAAGTCGCCGCCGCGGAACCACCATCACCATCAAAACCTCGGGAGGTGCCCTCTTCACAAACACATCACGAGACAATAACGCAATTGCTCAAATCCTCCCCAGAAACTTTAAAGCTGGAACATGCCTTCTTCCTGTCGCATTTCCAGCGGGAAGCGTCGGACATCTGCGCGGTGATCGACCTGCAGATGAAGATTCGAGGCTACTCGTGCTGGTATGATCAGGAGAGCATGCACATCACGCAACTCGGCATGCTCGAAGGCATCCGGACGTCGGCCGTATTTATGCTTATTTTGACGAAAGGTGTCTTCGAAAGGGCCTGGTGCGTCTTCGAGGTACGGGCCGCTATGCGTTTAGGAAAACCAATACAACTCCTCCACGAGGCGGACGCGGCGCACGCGTCGTACGCGCCGCTGAACGACATCATCGCGTCGGCGCCAGCGGACGTCCAGGCCATTTTTGACGATAATGAATCGTTGCCGTTCCGGCGGAAGGTCTACGAGCAGCAGGCGTTGCTCGATAGGGTATTGGTGGGCAACGCGGACCACCTTTCACCAGAAGATGAGAGCATGCAGGAGGACGTCCTCGCGGACCGTGCCAAAGCTATGACTGTTTATAGGGCCGGTAGTACGGCGACGTTGTATATCGACCTAGGAACGGGCCAGATGGCCTTCAAGCTCCTCGCGTTGGGCGCGGACGGGTCTTTGGTGTATGAGGATCTGCTGACGTGCCCCTTCAACCTCGTGGATCGGCCAGCTAGACAGTCGTCGGAGCTCGAAGAGGTTGAGGCGAACATCCGCCAGGCTACAACTACAGCAAAAGAGCGCATCGACGCGACCCTCGCAAATGGTGATTCGTTCGAGGATCGCTTCGCGGGTGTTCGATGCGGCGCGACGCAGTGGTACCGCGACTTCTCGGAACACGAGGTCGCGACGAAAGCGGAACCGGCATTGGCGTGGCTGCGGAACACGGTCATGCGCGTCTTGCCTGCATCCGCAAAATGGAACTTTGAAGTTTTGAGCGGACAAGAAGAGGCTTCATTAGAGTGGATCTCGGTCAAGCACGCGATGGCCATCGAGTTTGCCGCGGAACCGCCGATCGCGGCCCTGGCGGGCGGCAAGGGTTCCGTGCAGACGAGCATGGACGGCGCCGGCGGCCACGGTGCCCACCACCTCTCCGCACGCGTAGCTCTCAAGGAGGGCATCGCCCTCGTCGAAACCGATGAGATTGAGGGATGGCGCACGGCGTGCACGGCGTCCATCACGGCGCCCTTCGGCCCTCTACGGGAACAATTGCAAAAACACTCCCGCGATTCTTCGCCAATCAGAATCATCTGCAGCGCGGGCTTCTTCTACGTCGCCGTCGCGGCCGGTGTGGTTGAGAGGAAGGACGCGCCTCGCTACCTAAGCTACGAGACGGACGTGCGGCCGAAGATCCAGGCTTTAGTTGATGATGAAGGAGCAAAACCGATGGACCGCGCGAACGGCGTGCGGTTCTTGCGATGTCTCGACTTCATCGTGAGCGAGGACGCGTCGGGCGTCGCGCTGCTCTTCGCGCGCGAGTGGAAGGTGAGCGGCAAGGTCTATCGCGTGACGTGGTCGACGGGCGCGTTCCTCCAGTACCTCGCGGGGCGCTACTACTCGCTCGCGGGCGAGGACGCCGTCTGAGTAAACAGACACATTACATAGTTCCCCGCCCCGACGCCTCAGTCCGCCTCCGGCGCCGGCGCGAAGGAGAACTCCGTCTGGAGCTCCTCGGGCTCGGAGGCCGCGCGCACCCAGGCCGGCTGCGGCCGCGGCGCTTCGGTCGAATGCAGGGGCAGCGTCGCGCCGCCGTCGTCCTCGAGTTGGAGAGGAGCGTTGGAAGCGGCGTAGAAGACGCGCACGGCGCGCGACGCCATGGCCATCATCATCCAACCGACCATGGCGATCATCTGGAAGAAGGCTAGGCTGACGAACGCGGGCAGCGCCGTCGACGACCGCGCGACCTTCACGAGCGCGTTCGGCGCGTCGTCGTCGTCGCGGGGCTCGAGGTAGGGCTCGTCGGACGGCGACCGCCGCAGCGACGCGGGCGGCCGCGGCTCCGCGACGGGCGTTGTCGTCTCTTGCTTGTAATCCAACTCCTCGTCGCCGCCGGCCTCGAGGTCCGGGGCCTCCTCCTTTTCGGGGACGGGCTTCGGCGCGAAGCAGTCGATTTTGAGGGCGGCGCAGAGGTTCTTGCGGGCGCTGGCCATCGCGGTCCTTGCTGCGCGCGGTTTGTGCTGCTTTTTGACTGCTGCTCTTTTTGGACTGTCAACGGTCTCGGCAGCGCGCCTTTTGACTGGTGTCTGCTGCAGTGCGAGTTTGTGTTCAATTGAAGAGCTGTGCCGATTGAGCAACGTAACGTCGGCTTTAAGGTTTGGCGCGGCCTTGCTTTTTTGCTAGGGATGCCTAGTGTCTTACAGACGCTAGCCGAGCCCCGACGAAACGAAGACTAATTTCAAGCTTAAAATTAAGGTAGTGGAGAGTAGATTCGGTGGAAGCGGAAGATCAGGGAAAGAGTCAGTGTTGTTGGACCGAGAGAACGGTGGCGTGGGGGACGAGCGTCGCCTGCACCGGAGGCGCTGCGGAAGCGTCGGAGGCGTGGATCGCTTCCACGGTGCCCATGCGGACGATGGTCGCTGGGCGCATGGGCGGCGCGGGCTGTTGTTTTCGCAGAAACACGAGCGTTCGCGGGTTCGTGCCGTCGTCGGCCGCGGCGACCGCGTTGGTTAAGCATTTGCCGCCGGTAACAACGACTCCGTCGACGCTCTTTAGAACGTCGCCGGGGTAGACCTTTCCCACCAAAGGCGAGTCGGAAAAGACCTCTTTGACTCTCGTGGACGTCCCGTCAAGCTTGAGGCCCAGCGTCCCGGGGGGCGCCTCGACGGTGATCATGTCGCCGTCGTCGGTCGCAGCGTTGGGAACCGCCGCGGCGCCCGTCGTCGCCGCGACCTTTGCGCTCTTGGCGGCGCACTTGTTCACGGTTGCACCGACAAAGACGGCACCGCCAAAGAAGGCGCCGATGACGCACAGGATCACAACGAGTGCATCGCCGTCCGAGTCGTCGCCGTCTGAGTCGTCGCCGTCCGAGTCGTCGTCGTCGTCTTCTTCGTCGGTGCCACGAGACCTTGTACTGCACACGAATGGTTGCAACAAATGTTCATACGTGTCGTCCCAACGGCCCTCCCACATTCCATATATATGTAGAAAATCTTGACCACTACCAGCATCATTGGGCTCACCGGGATACCAGTTCGTGTAGTCCCACGCGGTGCCGTCCGACCACGTCCACGTGCCCTCCCGGGCCTCATCGGACCCTCCGATCCAGCACCGACCAGGACAAAGCGCATCGACTTCCGCATTCTCGCTAGCGCTGTGGATCGACGCGAGGTCGTGGTGGTTCGCGCGGCAGTGCGCGCGCGCGTCCTCCCAAGACATCTCCCGGTCGACGTACACGATCACCGGCGCGGGCGACGGGTATACAATCTCCTTCAAACAGATGTGAGAGAGCGTCACTGCGGCCGCGTCGTACCACGGATCCCCGACGTAGACCGCCGCGTTTGCCGCAGCATAAGTCGCGCTCCCCGACTTGGAGCCGCGGTTCACGCCGTCGATGTACACCGTCATCTGGTTATTCTCGACGACCACTTTGATCTCGTAGGTTCCGCCTGCTGCAGCGAAGCTTCCTGTTCCAAGGTACCACTGGCAGAAGCTAGGGGAGCAGTCGCCGTATGACTGCGCCACATGCAAACCTGAACCATATTGCGAAGGGTTAAACAGTATATTAGGGAAGCGGTCCTGATCCGCACTGCCGATATGAAGGACTGACTGAAACTTGTTCGTGATGCTCCAGTCGCTCGCCAGCTCCATCGTGAACGTGAGCTCGTAGTTCTGGAGCGAATCGACGGTCGCCACCTTGTTACCGCTGTACGCAACGACGGGACCAGCTACGTACATCGCGCATCCGTCCGGTGTCGGTCCGGGTGTTGCCGTCGGCGCGGGTGTCCCGCACTCTGGGGCGCAGACACCGCAATAGCTCATGCAGTTTGCACAATCAGCCCGGTCGACTCCGCCAGCATGACAGAGCCGACGCCTCATCTCTGCTGCCGCTGGGCACCACAGCACCACCAGCCAAAGCATCTTCATGTTGATTTAGTGGCCCGGCGCTGCTGCCATAACTCTATTTATGGACGAACAACGACATGTCCGGCTGCCCCGCGGCCCCGGACCTATTTTTGGCTGGGCGCGCTGCGCCGCGCGGCAGAACGCCGGTGTCATGTGAGATCATGTGAGATCCCGCTAGCCCCGAGGAGTCGTGCGACGAAACGAGACAAGTTACACACACACCACAGGGACACCTACTACTCGGCCGCCCAGGCCGGCTCGACCGTCGCAAAGGCCCAGCCCGGCCCCGCGTAGGACCGCGCGTGGAGGAAGACGCATGAGGCACGCTCCTCGGACGCATCTATGACGTCCAGCTTCGAGGCGCAGCGCGCGCACTTGCGCCGCACGAAGTCCGCGTCGGACTCGCCCGGCCGCCGCGGGCCGGTCGGGTCTAATACCTCTGAGGACGACGGCGGCGCGTCGTCCACCAAAGAACTCCCGGCAAAGCCCAGCTCGCCGCCGTAGCAGGGGTCGTTCGCGATGGGGTGGTTCAGGAACTGGAGGTGCAGCCGGATCTGGTGCGTGCGCCCCGTCTGCGGCCTACATTCCACAATTGATGTCCCATCACTCAACTTGCGCACGAGCCGGAACTTCGTCCGCGCCGCCTTCGCGTCCTCGGCGTCGGGCGCGCACTCGCAGACGCCGTCGCGGTGCGACGCCGTCCGTAATGAACAGGACACCTCGACCCAGTCGCCGTCAATGCGCCACGAGCCGTCGGCGAGCTCGGCGTTGCGCGGCCGCTTCTCCGGCCTCAGGACCGGCGCGTCGTCGGGAAAACAACCGCGGACGCGTGCTATATAAGTCTTCTGCGTGCGGCCCTGGCCGATGTCCTCGCAGAGCGTCCGAGCCGCGGATGCGGACCGCGCGAAGATCACGAGACCCGACGTCAACCGATCCAAGCGGTGCACCTGCCTGAGACCTTGGCGGGCGGCTCGCTGCGCCTCCGCCCAGTCGACACCATCGGCGCAGACGAAAGATCTGGTAGTGAAGTCCTCCCTTAGTAAAGAGGTCAGCGTGTTGTGGTGGTAGCTCCCGCACGGGTGCATGGGCAGGCCGGGCGGCTTGTCCACCGCTAAAGCGTTTTCCGTGAGGCCGACGACGCGGATCGGCCCTTTCGGCACGGGCGGCTCGTGGCGGTGCGCGAGGTGCCGAATCACATCCCCCTGCTGCAGCGTCGACTGCCCGTCCCACAGCGCGTCGTTGACGGTGATGCGCCCATCCCGTAGAGCTTCCTCGTAGTAGGCCGGAGGGTTCATCTTGAACTCGGTCCCGAAGACCTCGTCGGGCCGCCGGCCGCACCAGCGGCCCTTGCAGTGCATGGTGTAGGCGTAGACGTAGGGCTCGATTCTCCGACGGTCGCCCGTGAAGACGTAGGTTGGTGGGGGTTGCTGTGCCATCCTTTATGCAGTGCAGCTTGGCTTACTCGGCAGGCAGCGGGTGCCACGCGTCGCGGACTTCGCTCACTGTCTCCTGGTGGAGATAAAGCAGCGATGCGGGGTTAACACAACTTTGAACTGCGTCTGCTTCGAGTAATGCGACCAAAGGAGCTGCTTGCAGGCTTTCTAGTATGTGTAGTATCGCTAGCTGCGTAGTGTCGCGTACGCGAATCTCTTGATTGGCGCTGCAAACTGGTAGGGCGAGCATCGCACAGAAGCAGCGATACGACCTGAAAGTGACGCGTGAGCCGTGCGCGCTGCGGGAGGCATTCTAGTCCTACCACACTCAGCCACCTGCAGCAAGCGAGAAGCTGTAAACATGTCCCAGGGCGTGATAAAAAAGCTCGCGCAACACGGCGCCGCAGCCCTAAAACCGCGCAAAGTCCCGACGGCGCCGGGCCAGGTCAACCCCTGGCGCCGGCCGCTCGTCTCGCGGCGCGAGGCCGCCGTCGCGCGGAAGCAGGCGCTTCGAGATGGTACTTTTGGTACGTTCGACCCCGCGAAGGGCGGCTGGCTGCGCGAGTGGGACCCCGTCCGGGCGCCGCGCGTGCTCATCCCGCCCAAGGGCCACAAACGCGATAGGACGCGCGCGGAGCGCTTCCGCAACGTGGAGGCGCGCCTGCGCGACATGCCGCGGCTCATCGAGGAGCACCGGAAGACCGTCCAGGCGCGCAAGCCGCCGCCGGGCGTCGAGACTTTGCTCAAGAGACTGGTGAGGCGGCGGAAGTAACACACATATATTTAATCCCCGAAGAGCCCCCCCATGACGTCGTCACCCTCCGCCATGACGTCCACGGCGACCTTCTCGACCCGCTTCACGGCCGCGGTCCGGTGCCGCCGGTACCACGTGCTCTCGTTCCTTGCGATGTTCGCCTCTCGCACGGCCGCGACGACGTCCGAAAGCTCCTCAATTGAGTTCGCACTCCCCACCCGCGCGCGGAACGCCTCGCCGCCCGGCGCTTGTAAATATCTAAACAGCAATTTGTGCACGTGCCCGCACGCGAATTTGAGTAACGGAGGATGCTGGTCGCAGAGCCCCAAATAATCTTCAGCCAAGCAAAGGCCGTCCTCACACGACCCGTCGAAGACGCTCGGATCTTCCAAGGCCGCCTCGGAGGTCATGGCACCGCACGCTCCCGTTTCACAAGTCGCTCGCGATAAGTCCTCAAACACCTCGATGCCCCCGTTCGCCAGCGTCGGCACACAACCATCCAACGCCTCAATAACGGTAGAAATCTGACTCCAGTTCACACTTCCGACTGATTGACCCTTCATTTCCTTCGTCCGACCATGAATTGTTATCAGAGATGCGCCCGCTTCTACCAAACGTTTCGCGAGTCGTATGGTGACATCTATATTATCTTTGTCCACGATTCTGATCTTGCAGGTCACGGGAACTTCGAGATTTGAAGACAAGTGCTCGACGATACCACACACCAAATCGGGCTCCTCCAGCAGAAACGCGCCGTAGTGGCCCCGTTTCGCAATGCCCTGCGGACATCCCAAATTCAAGTCAATCCCATCGACATAATGCTGGCATACGCTGGCACAATCCAGTAAAACGTCTTTGTCGTCTCCGCACAGCTGCGCGAGTAGCGGCCGGTCCCCCGCCTCGACAGACCCTTCCAGATCCCTCAACACGTCCCTCCGCAACTTGTCGCACTCGCCGAACAGCCGCGCGTGAATCATAGGAGTGACAGCTAAATCGCAGCCGTGCCTCCGACAGAGCATGCGGAAGGCCCGCTCGGAGGCGCCGACCATGGGCGCCAGGACTTTTTGCGGGTTTCCTAGCTGATTCCACCAGGCCCAGGCGTCGTCGCGTTGGGTGAGGGCCGCCATTTCAGCACTGCAGGCTGCACAGCTTGCTGCTGCTTTTTTAATTCCGGGTCAAACTCTCGCCAGCGCTCCGCACGTGATCGATGCGAATACAGTGAGAACGTATGCACCCTGATGCAGAGTGTCTTACAACCTTATTGGCACATGCAAAATGGCATCGACAAAAATGAGCGCTCTAGTGCCTCCATCCGCTAGCCCTGCAAGGAGGATACCAATCCAAGGCCAAAGCACCTCTCGGAAGTGCCTGGCGGGATTCATGCGCCGGACCCATGCGTCGGGGTTGGCTGGCGCAGCGGCAGGCCGCACAACTCCTGGAGCGCAGCGCCGCATTGCTCGGGGAGCGAGGCTGCAAACGCAACGGAGCAGCTTTATTCCTCGTCCCGGGCCCGCAGCGCACCCGGGGGCAGCGTAAGCAAGGCGTGTGCGAGCACCCAGGCCCGCAGCAAAGGAGCACCAAAACTGAGCACCAAACCGGGGGCTGCATAAGGGGGCTACACAAGCAAATCGCAGCAGCAGAGCAAATAAGGACACAAAGTAGAAACCATGGAGCAAGTAGGACAAGTAGGAGAGGAGCTCGCCCAGGCCACGGAGCAAACGAGGGAGGTCTTAGATGCGGAGGCGCAGCGCCTCAAGGAAGGCCTGGATAACGAAGCGCAGCGTATCAGTAGAAACGTCAAAAAGGTCGCGAAAAAGTTCCCGAAGACATTGGGTGCCGGCGCCATCGTCGCGGCGGTGGTTGATGAAAACGTGCTGACGGGCGGGCACGGGGCCTGGGACATTCATAGGAACGAGGACGACGAGACGGACGACGACGAGGTCTACATCGACGTCCAGGCGAACCAGTCGCTGGAGGACCAGATGAAGCTGGGGAACGAGTGGCGCGTGCCGCCGGCCGGCGGTGCGGTACGGGTCGTGGCGGATGCTACGGGTTTCGCCTATTCTATTGATCTCCACTTACGAGTGAGAGTCAGGAAGCTTTTTGATCTGGACACGCAACGTTTAAAGTTCAACGCTCAACTGACCATAACCGTCGAATGGCTGGTGGACGAAAAAGGCTACGCGTCGTACGAAAACTTCTGGAAGGACTACAAGCCCCAACTCATGTTGCCTACTTGTAGGGCATCTAGAGGCGATGTATTAAGAAATGCCCAAGTGCATAGGACGGCAAGGCAGTACGCCGGTCGCATGGGCCCGACGCGGCGGGCCCACCACTTCAGCTGCGAGATCACGGACATTTTTGAGTTCATGCAGCCCTTTGACATGCGGAATTTCCCCTTCGACACGCAAGGTTTAGAACTACGCTTCGAAAGTCCACCGGTGGAAATGTCGAACTACAACCCTTGCACCTTCGGGGCGCGCTTGCGGCCGCCGCTGCACGAGCCGCACACGGTCGATGCGGAGGCCGATTTACTGCCCTCCAATGATATTAAATTGCTTTATGGGGTGGCGGGCGGCTTCGAGGTCCTCAACAGGTTAGATGGTCGTTTTCCGGATGATGATGCTTCTGTGCTCATTATTGTAGAAAGGGACGCTACTGGTGTCTTCTACAACGTTTTGTTGCCTACTTATTTATTGCAATTATTCTCGTTGTCCGTAAATTGGATCGACCCCTGCAACATCCATTTCAGATTAACAGCTATTTTGACGATGCTGCTGACGGTCGCAGCCAAACAAGCTTATATTGGGGGGTTGCTGCCTCGGGTTGGTTTCTTAACACCCCCGGAAAAGACGGTCAACGTGACGGTCTTCATGTTCTTCGTCCAGGTCTGGTTGCGGGTGTTAGCGTCCCAGCAGTGCTACCGCAGAATGGACTGGGGTCTCGTGAAAACTTGGGACTACGGTAAAAAGCAGTACGCGGTACCAGGGGACAAACGCCGCTGGAGAGCGACGGTATACGACCGCGCGTCGGACGTGTGGACGGTCCTCACGCTCCTGGGTTGCCTCTGGCACATGGGGAGTTGTCTGCGGGACCGCTGGCGCATCCGCGACAGGCTCATGAAGGCGGCCGCGAACCGGGACGACGCCTACTTCCGCTCCTTCCACAAGAACATGCGCGATTTTGATAGCCTCGAGAAGAGCGAAGTGCTGACGGAGTCGAGGGCGGCGCGCGCGGTGGATGATGGCGACGACACGCACGACACGTGTCTGGTGGTCGTCTTCGACGTGGGCACGGGCGAGGCCAAGGCCCTGGAGTACTCCTTTGTCGATGGTGGTGTTGCTTTAAGGGAGGTCGACCGGCGAAAGGAAAGCCTCAAGGAGGCCCTGCAGGAGGGCGGGACTCGGTTAGATGCCTTCGAGAAATGGTTCGACTCGGCGGTGTCGCATACGTGTGAATTAACTGGAGACTGGGCGTCATTAGGAATAACGTGGGACGGGCCGTTGGTGACGGAGGTAGTAAAAGGATCAAAGGGCGAACAGGCGGGTATTTGTAAGGGCTTCGTGCTCGCCGAGGGCGGCGGCATCGTTTCCTCAGAGCAGCCCGCCGGCGATTGTAGTAGAGAGCGCGTCAACCTCGAATGCGAGGCGCCGTCGACCGGCGGCAAGTTCCGCTTTTTGAAAGTACACGAGGAGGTCGTCGACGGCCGAGCGAGGCGAGCAGCGCTCGGACCTGTGGTCGTCGTGGCCACGGGCGCCTGGTTTCGGACTGCGACTGGTGCTGCTTTAGAACGGGCCGAGAAATTTCTCAAGGCGATCCACGCGAAGAATCCGTTGTGGCGGTTCCAGCGCGTGTCCGATCTCGATGAATGTTTTTACGAGTGCGTCGCCGTGCGCTACGCGGCGGCGTTGCACCCGCAAATTCGCAATGAACCAGGGGGGATCGTCGGCGTGGGCCAGGGTTCGACACAATTATCATTGTGTATGAATGATAAAGACGACAGTGGCATGCTGGCGCCCTTTGGTTTACCATTAGGGAACCTGGAGGGGCGGCGCACGATCGACCAGGAGGGCCGGACCTTCGCCGAGGGCCTCGGCGAGTGGGAGAAGAAGTGTAAACGGCGGCTGGGGCGGTGGGCGCGGGATATCGGGCTCGAGAGCAAGAAGGGTACTGCGACGGCGACGATAGTGGAGGGTCGGCCTGTGGTGTGTATTAGTGGATGCTGGTACGCGGCCGCGGCCGCCCTTGTCGATCCGGAGGAGTCGCCGTCAAAAAGGATGCGCGTCGATGAGATCGTGAGGGAATTGACGGCGAAACGAGCCGCGATCCTGGCGGAGATCGGTGCATTACCCGCCGACGACTCGGAAGCGATGAAAAGGAAAGTGATAAACCTGAGCAACTACACGCTCGTCAGCCAGGTCCTGGGCCTGCTCCTCCCGAGGGAGGCAGAAGTCGTCTTCGCGCGCGACTGGCAATTAAATGGCTCGACGTTCCGGACGACGTGGTCGGCGGGCTGGTTCCTCGAGCACCTGTATGGGCGGTGCGTCAACGTCGGCGTCGACGCGCTGAAGCGGGCCGTCGTGCCCTACGCCGCGCGCGAGGCGAAGAAGCGGCGGGAGACGGGCCACGCCGTCAAGGTGGCGAAGGGGATGCGCAAGCTCCGATCTGTCCGGAAAGTGGCCTCCACACGATAAGTTTCTATGTCCTTTTTTTTCTAGCGAACACATACTAGCCCAACCCAGGGAGAGCCGGCTCCAGCCTTGCGTTACAGCCGTTCCTGCGCCACCGGGTGTCGCACAGGAATATAGGGCTGCGTACGATCTTCCATCAATACGAGTTCAGGAGCAATTGGCAGTGTTCCGACGCCTCCAAGAGCCGTATCACACCCAGCACTCTGAGAGCCAGCAGTTCCTGTCGGAGCATGTGGGCCGCATCCGTACGGAGAGCCGCAAGTGCAGCGAAATACGCCGCCGCCGCGACGACGGGCACACTCGTCACTAATGATACAAACTGCTTCTACGAGACGCGGAAGAAGATTGGAGCTTACGACTTGGGCCCGACGCTCGGCGAGGGCGCCTTCGCCACCGTAAGAAAAGCGTCCAAGGGAGGTGAAACGTACGCCTGCAAGATCATTAACACGGCGCGCATGAACGAGGAGTTATGTACGAAGGAGATCGAGATGATGCAGCGCGCGGGCAAACACGCGAACTTAGTGTCGTTGATCGACGTGGTGGAGCTGCCCGACGCCAGAGCTTTAGTCCTGGAACTCGCGACGGGCGGCGAGGTCTTCGAGCGCATCTGCGAGAAGGGTTGTTATTCCGAGAGAGACGCTGCGTTAGTAGCCAAACAAGTCGCCCTAGCCCTCAAACACTTACATGGGAGAGGTATTGCTCATAGAGATTTAAAACCGGAGAACTTGTTGCTGGTTTCTGATGCGCATGATGCTGATGTCAAACTATGTGATCTGGGCATCGCCGCGGCGCCCTGTGAGAAATTAGATAAACGGGTGGGCACTCCCGGCTACGCCGCGCCCGAGATGTTGTTGGCCACGAAGAAGAAGACCTATGATGCCAGGTGCGACCTGTTTGCGCTCGGTGTGATTCTGTTCGTGCTGCTGGGGGGCTATCATCCTTTTGACCCCATGGGCGACGCGTCCGACGCCATATTAGCCTCGCGCATAAAGCAGGGCAAGTGGCAGTTCCACGACGAGGCCTGGGCCAAGATCTCGCCGGAGGCCAAGGACGTTGTTCGTCATTTGCTGGCGGTGAAGCCTGATGACCGATGGGACGTGGACGATGTGTTGGCGTCGCCGTGGGTCGCCGGGAGCGCCTCTTCAAAGCCGATCGGCAATAATGAAAGGTTGCGCGCGTTCAATCAAGCGCGGCGGACGTGGGCCGCCGCTATTAGAGCAGCGGCTTTGGTCGCGTCGGCGCCCGTCGCCGCGGCGCACCACTCAGCCACTGGAACGTTGTCGGACGAGGCGCGGGCGGAATTAAGGGAGGCTTTTGATGGGCTCGACGTCGAGGGTATTTGGCCGCGTCCGGGGATCATCGCGGTGACGGCGTGCCTGCCGGAGACCGCAACGCGTTTGGTGAGGCTTCGTCCGCGCAGGCAACGGGACGATCTCCTTCGCGGAGCTCGCCGGGGTCATGGCCTCGCTCGGCCACGGCGAGGAGGCCCTCGCCGTGTTCAAGGAGGTGCACGGGTCCGCAAGAGGCGCAATCACTTTTGACGAGTTCTGCTCCGCGATGGGCCCGATCTACACGTCCTCGACGGCGGCGCTGCGACGCGCGTTCGACATCTTCGACGCCGACGGGAACGGGAGCATCGATCGGGATGAGTTTTCGAGTATAATGCACCGGCTCCACTTGCTGCCTCGGGACGATGAGGCCGCGGCGGAAAAAGCGCTGGCCCAGATGTTCGACATGGCCGATATCGACCATGATGGTAGCGTATCATTTGAAGAATTCTGCGCCATGTTCCACCAGCACGTCGGAGCGCCCTCCTCGGCGAAACCGGCGAGCCACGCGACGCAAGAGGTCACTGCCGCCTTTGCTGCGAAATAAATTCATAACACATACTTTTCTTAGGGGGGTGGGTCGCGTCGACGGCGCCTCGAGCCTTCCGACCTGGAGCCGATCACGCGACGCCGGGGTGCAAATCAGCGAGCCCGGCCATCATCGTCGCCGCGTCGCGCGGCGGGATGCCGCACGCCTCCAGATCTTCGTTGTTGAGAATCTTCAGGTCCGCAATACAATCGATCTGCTCCTCGCGCAGCTTCTGTGCATAGTGCGCCAGGTTGATCGACGCGAGGAAGGCCACAAAGTCGCGCTGCTTGCTGTCGAAGGCCGGTCTTGTTCCTAATTGAATAGTCTTGCGCACCGTGCCAGGTGTGCCCGGCGTCTTCTGTCGCCACTCCTGTTCTAAAGCGGCCAACGACCGCGGCGGCGACTGCGGCTGGAACGCCGTCCTTTGCTGGTCGCGCGCGGCGCGGCGCCTCGCGTCTTCGACGATGTTCTGCGACGCGCGGAGCTCCTCCGCGGCCGCGCGGCGGGCCTGTTCTATCTGAGCTAATTGCGCCCTTGCTGCCGCCGCGCGCCGCTCGGCTTCTGCTAAATTGTCAGGCGGCACCTGAGTCTCGGGCTGGGTCTCGGTGCCCGCGACGACGACCTCCGCGACCCTACGATCGGCCTCGGCGTCCTCCGCCTCCTTGGCCTCCTGCTTGGCCGCGGCCATCTCGGCCATGCGCCTAGAAGCCTCGGCCGCCTCCTGCTCGCGCCTCCTTCGGTCGTCCTCCGACGCCGCCGCCGCCGACAGCATCAATGCTTTCGCTAATTCTTCATCCTCGCGCTCCGCCAGTCGTTTCTGCTCCTCCGCGTCAAAGTCCGCTCTAGAAGCTGCCAGCGCCCGCTGCAAGCCGTCGTCGCGCGGCTGAGTGACGCGCTGGGCCAGCGGAACGCCGGCGTCCTCGACCTTGGCGCCAGCATTCCGCACGGGAGCGCGCCGCAACGCACCGGCATCAACCTTCGTGACGTTGCGAGCGACCGTGCGGCCCTGGGTCGTCTTCTGCGCGGCGTGGCCGTACTCGACGCGGTCGCCAGCCTTGAGCTGCAGACCGCTGGCGACGTGCTGGCGATATAACAAAACGTCCTTCCGCTGGCTCTCGGCGACGCCGTCGGGCCGGATCCAGGCCTGGCCCTTCGGGCCAGAATTGGTCCAGTTGCCTACTACTTTGCCTCTAAACCGTGGTCCTGTTATTTCGGGCGCTCGGTGCGGCGCCGGCGGCGGTCTTATCGCAATAGCTGGTTTTGGCGCGGGCCCGCCGGGCAGCGCGGGGAAGTCTTCCTCCCTTAAACCTCCCGGCGCCCTTTTGACCTCAGACGGCCGCCACTCCTCTGCATTTGTGTTGCGGCCGGCCGCGGCCTCCTTCTCTACTGCTGCTTGGCGCTCCCGTTCTTCACGCTGCCGCTGCCGCTCTTCTTCAGCCTTGCGCGCCTCCTCCTCGGGGTCGAACAGCTCGCCCGAGTCCGGATCAAATAATTTTTTGGAGGGCTCGGCGTCGTCCCTCGAGCCCTTCCGGTTGCGGCGCCCGCCGCGCGGTCGGTGGCGCCGCGACGGCTTGGCCGCCTCGTCGCGCGTCATGGTGTTGTCGATGTCGATCATCGCGTCCCGCGTTTCTGCGGCTGGTCCCGCGCGTGCCCCCGTTTTGCGCGCAGGAGTCAAATTTGGGGTCTGCTGCGCTCGGCGCGTGCCGAGTCCGCGCTTGCCAGAGAGGATCACTAGCTGCCGTTCGCAGCGAACGGAACAGGTTTGAGGACCTCGTGAAGCGCCTAACCCGCCGCTCCAGCCCAAAGCCAGGAGGCCCTTTTAGGCTTTTGGCTGGCTAGTGTCCTTACTACGCTAGCCCCAGAGCTGTATGTTGTGATCCAGAGCACTGGTGTGGCGCTCGAGAAGAGTCTCCCCTGCGTTTGGGACTGTGACTGCTTCAGCTTGGCGGCAGACTCTGGCCGCTGTAGTTGCTGCTCGGAGCACGCGGGACATAGCTAAAAGATAAGAGTATCGCTGCTTATAGACGCACCGACTCACGCGCGAACGGCTGCAGAAGTAACGCGATGCGTTACGCAGCTCTCTGGCTGCTGCCAGCAGCCATCGCCTATGCACCCATCAACAGGCGCGGCCCGTCGAGGGTAATCCCACGTGTATTAGCCTCGCAAGACACCGACAGCGTACAATCAAACGCCCCGAAGATGTTGAAGAGAGTCGCGAGACAAGCGAGGCCGACGGTCGCCATTATCGGAAGACCGAATGTGGGGAAAAGCACTCTAGTGAATCGCCTCTGCGACGCGGGCCGCGGCGGCGCCATCGCCGTCGACGAAGTGGGCGTCACGAGAGACCGAGTTTATCAAAGAGCGGAGTGGTGCGGGCGCGTTTTTGATGTGGTCGACACGGGGGGTCTGCTGTTTGATGATGAAGAATCAGATCAATTCCTTGCTGAAATTCGGGAGCAGGCGTCGCTCGCTCTTCGGGAGTCGTGCGCCGTCGTCGTTGTTGTGGATGGAAGAACCGGCATCGTCCGGACGGACGAGGACATTGCGGCCTTCCTGAGGAAGTGGCCGTCCCAGATCGAGACCGTATTGGCCGTGAACAAGTGCGAGTCTCCCGAACGCGAGCCGGAGATGGTCGCCGACTTCTGGCCGCTCGGCCTCGGCGAGCCGCTCCCCTGCTCGGCGATCCACGGGTATGGCGTCGCCGAGGTCCTGGACGCCGTCCTCCCGGCAGTAGATAACGCCATCGAACTCCGAAGACAGCAGATCGAGCAGCTCGACGCCCAAGAGGCGATCCCGCGCATCAACGTGGCTTTGCTGGGACGACCGAATGTTGGGAAATCCTCACTGATGAATAGGTTCTTGGGTCCGGGGGAACAGCGTTCCATTGTGTCTGATGTCGCGGGTACTACCAGGGACGCCGTCGACGCGGAACTAGATGTCGACGGCGCCATCTTCCGCTTCGTGGACACGGCCGGTGTCAGGCGAAAGGCTAGAGTCAAGGACGGCACGGAGACGCAGATGGTGGGACGGGCGCTCAAAGCTGCTAAATTGGCCGACGTCGTGCTGCTGGTCGTCGACGCCACGGCAGAGATCACGGATCAAGACGCGATGCTCGCGCAGCGCATCGCGGATGATGGACGAGCTTGCGTGGTATTAGCGAACAAGTGGGACATCTACGAAGGGAAGGACGAAGGGAGTACGAGGGAGGTTTTGAAGGTATTGAGAGAAACATTAACGGCGGTGTCGTGGGCCGAAGTGGTCTTTTGTTCGGCCGAGACGGGGCAGCGCTGTTTGAAGGTGTATGACGCCGTGAAACGAGCGCGGGAAAGCCACCACCACCGCGTGTCGACCGCGACGCTGAACGAAGTTATCAGAGATGCGATGCTCTGGCAGCCGCCGCCGGCCACCGCCGCCGGGAAGAACGCGGGCAAGGTCTACTTCGTGTCGCAGACGGGCATCGCGCCGCCGACCTTCGTCTGTATGTGCAACGACCCTAAAGCGTTCCCGAAGAACTACCGACGATTCTTAGAGAGGAAGCTGCGCGAGTCGATGCCCTTCACGGGGACGCCGGTGCGCTTCGTCTTTCGAGCCAGGCGCCAGCGCGAGGCGGAGCGCGACGGGCGGAAGCGGTCGCGGTAAGTACTTTGTGTCTATTTCGCAGATTAGTCGCGTCGACGGCGTGGGGGTTCTCAGCGGCCGAACAGGGCGAAGAGTCCCCTCTTGGCCGGCTCGGCGACGACTGCCTCCGGTGAGGCGAAGAGGCTCTGGACCGCGCCAATCGCCGCGACGACGGCCGTCCGGCACTCGTAGGCCAGCATGAGCACGGGAATCAACAAAGGCAGGCGGACGCTCGCCCAGAGCGACTCCATCGGTTTTAATATAGTTTCCGTGTAGTCGATGTCGTCCTGATTCTTGGTATTCGTGATGGCCTCGAACCTGTATCAATTGAACTAGTCGGGACCCGGCTTCGACCGTAAAAATTGGTTTTCGCACGGTTTCGCACGCGGCCGCCCCCACGAGGAGCCAGTAGCTGATCGTGAAGTCGTCGATCATGCCGAGGGCGTCGAAGATCTTCGACCAGTCTTGTGTGAGCGCGAGGTACGTGGCCTGGACGAGCGTGAGCACGCCACTTAGTGTGAGGATGGCCGCGGTCTGGCGCATCAACCGAGCGACGCGCAGCATCGTGATCCCGTCTTTGGAAGCTTGCTCCTTGGCGCTGACGCCGGTCGCCTGTGTTGATACCGTCGCCGGCGTCGCCGCGTCGGCGGCGTCGCCGCGTCGCCGTCCCGCGTATATCTTTATCGATCAAATTGCGACGCCGATCGATCGGAAAAGTAATCTGCACTGCGCCTCGCCTTGGATGGAGCCGTGGTGAGCTTCGGGAGGCGATAGAGACGCCTCAGGCCCTCACCCACTGACCTTTCGACTCTTAGGGCCATGTTTCGCGCGGACAACGGAACGCGGCCACAGAGGTCGCAAGTAACGCGACACTGACAAAAACGCCCGCGGGACGTGAGCTAGCGGTCGTAAGACACTAGGCATCCAGCAAGCAGCTGCAAAAGCGGCGCGTGCGGCGACTCTACGCGCGCAAGCTCTTATTTATAACAATTTGCCCAAGAACAGCGCGCCTGGGAAGCTGCGTCCGGTTTCAAGCACCCCCTGAGGCTGCGCACTTTGCTGTGCAGCCATGGCGGACCTAGCTGCGCTGCGCGCTCTGTTAGACGAATCAGACGACGAAGGCGACCCACGGCCGCCGCGGCCTGTGACGCCCGTCCAGGCACCGCCGCCGCAACCTGCACCGCCGCCTCCACCACAGCTAGGGCCGCCACCCCCAGCGCCGCCGCGACGAGCGCCACCGCGGACGACCGCCGCGCCGCGCGCGCCGAGAGCGCCTCCACCACAGCTAGGACCGCCACCTACAGCGCCGCCGCAACGAGCGCCGCCGCGGACGACCGCCGCGCCGCGCGACGACTACACCGTCGTCACGACCGAGAGCGGCCGCAAGCCGCAGCGGCCGGCTCGGAAGCGGCCGGCGCAACCAGGAGGCGGCCCGCAAAAGACGTGCCCCGTCTGCGACGCCAAAGTGCCCCTGCGGAAGGCGCGCTGCGACTGCGGCCACGTCTTCGTCTCGAAGAAGCAGCGCGCGCCGCCGCCCGCGAGCGAGGCCGGCAGCGACAGCGACAGCCTCTTCGACGAGGCCGCCGCGACGCGCGACGCCAAGAGGCTCAAAGTCGCCGAGTTGCGAGCCGCGCTCGAGGCCGCCGGCGCCGACACCGAGGGCCTGAAGGCCGAACTCGTGGAACGCCTCGTCGCAGCGCGGCGCGCCGCCTTCTACGCGCCGCCGCCGTCGCCCAGCGAGAGCGACAGTGACAGCGACACCGGTGTGGATATCGCGGCCGAGGAAGCCACGAAAGAGAAACTCCTGGCCCTGCTCGCGGAGTGCGACGACGACGACGTGCCGGCACCGGCGGCGCCGAAGACGAAGAAGCAGAAGAAGCAGGCGCGGCCGCCGGCGGGCGGCGTCCCGAAGCCGCGCGGGCGGGCGCCGGCCGGCGCGACCTGGGACCGGCCGGCCGCCGCGGCGGACACGAGCGGACTCCGTGCCACGCTCGCGAGCGCCCTCGACGGCATGGTCCGGACCGGCGATTTAAGCAGGGAGCAGGCGGCGGCCGTCCTGCGCGAGTACGGGCGCCTCGCGCCCGCCGGCGCGCCCCTCGACCGCCGCCGCGTCAAGGACCGGCTCGTCGGGAAGATCGAGAAGATGTTCGCCGAGGCGCCGCGCACCTCGAAGAAGGAGAAGAGCGCGCTGGAGCGGCTGGAGCGCGAGGCGCAGTACGTGGAGGAAGGCCCGCGGCTCGCCGACTACGGCATCGACGGCGCGTCGGGGCTCGAGCTCGGGAACCCGCTCGGGCTGGAGGACTAAGTGTTGTTGTTTGTATTCTTGCGTCGATGGCGTCTTGCGGCTGGTGCACCTGGCTCTGCAGTCTGGCTTTTGTCTCTATTTTCATTATTTTATCGGGCGAGCGCGCGCGCTCCTCGGAGCAGAGCTTGTTCAAAGGTGTTATCTGTTCGCGGTGGTCCAGAACAAGTGGCGTGCTCGGTCCAAACCCTCTTGCATCGTCGAAAATAAGAAGGGATCGTGTGACTCGAGTCCAGTGCTAAGCCGGCAGCCATCCTCCGGCGCGCGGGGGCGTCTGCGGCACTTCTTCTGACCCGTCGGACGCGCGCGCGAGCGACAGCTTTGGACCCGAGGCACCTGCAGTACTCGCGACGTCGTCGCGACCCGAGATTCGGTCGCCCATGTGCAGCATAACGCCGCCGAGCACACCGCCGCGCTCGCCGAGTCCAGTCGAAGCGACGCTCATCGACGCCTTGCCCGAGTCCCCGACGGCGGCCGTCCCAGTCCGCTCCGAGGCGACACCAGAACCGGTGCGGCCGATCCGCCGCTCGGTCGCGCTGCGATTGCGATACAAGGAGTGCAATGGCGACCTCGCGGGCGGTTCATTCGTAGAATTAGCTAAGACGCTCGCGGACGGCCTCACGTTCTCGGACCGCGTGCAGTTTGCTCGAGTCGTCACGCAGCCGCTCCTTGTCGAGGCGGAGGCCATCATCGCCCGGCGTTCGTTCCCCCGCGGCGGCCCGCTCCGCCGGCGGCGCCGCGGCAAGACGTACCGCGACATCACACGCGAGCTCTCGCCGATCGTTCTCAGAGCGAACGGACAGCTCGTCGAGCACGGCCTCTTCCTGCGCCTCACGATCGTGCAGGTCCACGGCTGGTTGAACGCGTTTTTAACCACGCGGCCGGCGCTAGATGCTGTGTGGAAATAAAAATTTCGGGCGCCCCACGCTATCGACGCGATGTTGTCTCCGACGACGTTTTTCCACACAGGCTAGATGTCACCGTCGAAGACCTCGCGGCGCTCGCAACGCGGAGCGGTGGCGCCGCGACCGTCTGCGTCGCGCCCGCTACAGGTGACGACGCTCCCGTCGCGGCGGCGGCGGCGCTCGACGACTCGCTGTGCAGCGGCATCGTCGTCGCGGTGCCGGCGGCTCCGGCTGTATCTGCGCTCGCCGGTCGCGCGCCCGAGTCCTCGCCGTGGTTTGTCCGCCGCCGCGGCGTCGTCGTCACCGTACCCGCGGGGGCCGTGGCCGGCTCTAGAGCCATCGTCTCGCTTCCCGACGACGGCTCGGCGCGGCACGCGACGGTGACTATCGCGTTCCCCCCTGGCCTTTCTACTGGGCAGGAGCTGACGGTGGCGTTGGAGGTTTAATGCTAGTACTCTTACCAACCTGTTGGGTCTGAAATCCACGCCTCCCTCTCTATCGCGGCCAGCTCTTCGTTAAGCTCATCTGCTCTTTCGTAGTATCTATCGCGCTGCACTCTCCTAAAGACGGCCACCAGCTCGTCGCGCTTGTGCTCGTCCGACCAGCCCGCCGTCATCCTTCGCGCGGCGGTCTCCGTCTCGAACTCGGCGGCATCGTCATAGCCCAGAATATTAACAAGCACACCGCATAGTACATTGCCCGCATGATACCCGTCGATGCACCTTTCAGCGGCATCGAATAGGCGAGGAACCCAATCATCTTTGGATGCAAGAAACTGCGATACCCCCGGCAGAAATTTGAGCCATTTTTCGAAAATGAAGCTAGGGGCTGTATCCCCCGGATGTCTCGCATCGACGTGTTCCAGCGTCGCGACGACTCGCCCGAGCGCGTCATCGCTTATCGCCGGCTCGGCAGCGCGAAGGAGCTCACCCAAAACATACTCCATGTCCGCGCTTCCATACGTATGCACCGCATTCATGATTTGCTCGAGGAGGCGCGGCTCCCTCACGTGCCACGCGGCGTAGAACTCTGCCTGCACCTGGTCCACGTGTTTTTGTTTGGCAAAGCCATACTGGCGCCAAGGAAAGCTCTTTATTGCAAGCACAACCTTAACGACCGGCGCCCAGCGCCCCTTGTTTAGCGCGAAACGCGACGCGGACCGAAAGGCCTTGGAGACATCAAAAGCTGCAAGGGTTTCGTCGAGCGATGCGTACTCCAGGGCATGCACCCACAGCTCCGTCGGGAGAGACCTCTCCTGCGATACTACGGGGCTCGGCACTCCGGGGCTGCTGCTGGCCCGGGCTGCCCCCGGCGTGATGTTCGCGCAGCCGCTGATGATTTTGAGTTGTGCGATGGAGAGCATGTGGGCCTGAGGCTGATTTCGTCGCAGAGCTGCCTTTTTTTGCGTATTTCGCACTGCGTGGGTGAAGTCTTGATATCTACGGCGCTCTTGCGTTGCGTTTGCACAGAGGCAAAGGAGCCAAAACGAGCCAAAACACTACCTAGCGTGCAGTAAGACACTAGCAAATCAGCCAGCTCGTCCTCGTGCTGGATCAGCAGTGCGCGCGCTCGCACAGCTCCTCAATATTTGTGGAAGACGACCTCTGAGCAGCACTGCTAGCCCACGCCCACGCCTCACTGCACTGGGCTGCAGACATGGCAAGCAAAACCACACCAACCCCACACCTCGTCGCCGTCGACGCCTCCGCGCTACCACAAACACCCGAAGAAGTGGCAACTTTAAAACCGGACAAGCGCGTTGCCGTCTCGCACGGGTGCGAGGAGAGGGTCGCAGCGGAATCGAGCAAGGAGGACGTCACGCTCGGCCACTTCTGTGCGACGCTCCGCGGCGACCCGCGCGCGGGCTACCTGAAGCAGTGCCCGCTCGAGGATCTGGGCTGCCGGTGGTCATTGCGGGCGCACGCGCCTTTTCTCACGTCGTGGGTCCAGGAGACGGCGTTTTTATGGGTCGGCGGCGCCGACGCGACCACCGGACTGCACAGCGACGACGAGGACAATGTATTAATAGTGACGCACGGTTCCAAGCACGTCCTGCTCTACCCGCCGAATTCAAGGAGGCACCTCGACCCGAATCCAAGGTATGACAACGGCACGGAGTGCTGCGAGATCGACGCGTTTCTGTCCGAGGCGGAGAAGGCGCGGCAGCATCCGCCGTACGCGGGCTGCGCGCCGCCGCTGAGCTTCGTCTTGCGGGCGGGAGACGCCCTCTTCATCCCGCGGGATTGGTTCCACGCCGTGCGGTCGCTCGACGTCTCGGTCTCGGTGAACGTCTTCTACAGTACTCTCGCGGACCTAGCGACGCGCGGCGCGCACCGCGCCCTGACGGACTTCGCGCACAACCGGCTCGGGCTCTGGCGCACGAACTGTGTCTGCCACCGGCCGTCCGGCGGTTTTGGGATGAGGCCATAACTAGTTTAATGTTAGAGCGACAGGAACGGCGCCGGCCGCGCCCACGACTTCTCGTCCGTGACGCTGTTCCACCAGAAGGGCCGGTTCTGCGACTTGGAGAACTGCTCGCGCCAGGGCGACGCCGCCGCGAGCAGCGCGCCTTCTTCCCTCTTCGCCCAGTCGTCCGTCGGCGACGAGAGGCGATATCTGAGTTCGGGTTCGGAGGGCGACTCCGCATGCAACAGTAGCGTAGAGAGAAAGGTGTCGAAGTGGTTTCCTCCTTCCTTGTCTGGCCTTACGGCGTGGTAGACCCACAACCCGGAAGAACTATCTAGGCCCAGTTCGGCCACAGTGACGCGACTAGGTCTATCAGCGACATCAGCTCGTAATCGTGCCGCGTCCTGCTCCGACAGATGCACGTGCTTCGAACAGTCGACATCCCCACCATCGTCGTCCACCGCGAAAAAACCGAGGCCCTCGCCCTTCCCGGCACCTCGGACGGTCAGATCGACGGTGAGTTGGTCCCGAGCCTTCCACTTCAACAGGGAGTGATCCGTGCCCGCGATATAGGGCGTGTCGGGCACAAAAACCAAGCCATCCGAGCGATGCGTCCGGAACGCGCCATCTCGCGACACGCGGCACCCGAAGGGCACAGAACCTTCCTCGTCGTTGTCCTGCGTTATTTTGGCTAAGATCTCGCCGCACCGTCGCGAGGAAACGAAGCGCTTCGGCACGAGCGGCAAGGCCGGCGCGTCCTTGAGCAAGGCGTCGTTCGGATCGGAGGGCTGGTGCACGGCCACCTGGAAGCTCCCGTCGTCGTGCATGCCGTCCTCCTTCGTTGCTGTAGGTGGTGGGCACTTCGTACTGAGGCAGTCCTTGAGCGTTTTCGACGAGAGGCCCCCGAAATAACGTTGTGAAAAGGTAGCCTGCGAGACGTCTTCCTGGCCGTTGTGCAGCACGTCGAAGATCAGGAACACTGGTGCTTGATGAGCTAAGTTTCTGACAATCTCTCCATCCAACACGGTCCCCGGCTTGAGCGGTTTTCCACCCGTCACTCTAGCTACCTCTACGGTACCTTTCCTATCGACTAAACAACATCTAACTTTCCCCGCGGCCTTGTCGTGGACTGCCACCAATAGTCGACGTTCCCCATCGCTCTTCTCGGCCACGAAATAATTTGATCGCACGTCTTTCATATTTCTCCGAGCCAGACCGACGGGCATCGCGCCCGGGAAGGCCCTAGACTGGCCGGCCTGGATACCCCTTAACACCGACTTGGCGATGTTCTGGAGCATCTTGGGGGCGGGCACGGCAGGGTTGCCCCTGGTATCGGTCGCTTCGACGGGGTTCAGTACTCGTAGGACCGCGGATAGCACATCAGCAATCATTTTCTCCTCCTGCGAGACCCCCATTGGTAAAGCGAGCCATCTTTGGGTAGCTGCACTATCTAATTCGACCTCGACTTCGTAGACGGTCGAGGAGGAAGCGGGCGGAGGACCCTTGCCCTTTGCCACTTCCAACGCTGTTTGCGTCGTGAGCTTGTCCACGGTGTAGTCGTGTCTCGTGACCTCCGTCAGGTCGACGCGCCAGCCTCGGAAGGACGCGGGCGCGCAGGACCTTCGCTTTTTTATGCGACGAAACGTCCAGTGTTTCTTCGTAGGTTCCGGGAGTTGGGCGAGCGGTAAATTCGCCTCCGAGGCCACTTGGAGGCGCACGTCGTAGGCCGCAGACGGCAGCGCGAAGTCGTGGGTGTCCAGCTTGCTCTTCTGCTCCAGTCTTTGCCTCCCATCTGACGACACCACCAACCTAGGTCCAGTCTCCGCGCCAAAAGTCGACTCCACACTCTCCGTCCAAGAAACAGATTGGCACCGCTCGACATTCTCCTGCGCTTCCCTGAAAGAAACTTCAGAAACCCCAGGGCAGAAGTCCGACGAGCCGCCGATGGCCACGGCGCCGCAGCCCCGTCTTCCCGCCACGAACCGTTTCGCTGCGGCCGTGGCTGACCCTAGACCCGCGCCCTTCTCGCAGGCCACGCCGATGCGACACTCTACTTCAATGGCACCACCGATGCCTTGTGCTGCCGTTCGTAGAGCATTGAGCGCGTTCGCGAGCGACGCCTCCACGTTGGCGCCTTTTAACGACTGCTCCTTGGCCACTAATGAAGCAGCGCCTTTCGCCGCATCTCTCGCGTGCAGGCCGCCGACCTCGCGCGCCGTCTCCTGGACGCTCGCGACGAGGCCGCCGAGGACGTCGCCCTTGCGCTTTTTTATCGGTGGTTGTTGGCTCATGGCTGCTTTTGATGCTGCGGTGCGGTGGTGCTAGTGTCTTTAAACTGCACCTATACCATGCGGAACGCAGCGGTCTCGCTGCTTTTGCTGCTGCTTGCTTGCTTTGCTAGTGTCTTACACCGCTAGCATGCACCCGGAAATCCCCGCTCGTATTTCAGTCTTGTACCGGTTGTCCCGGAGAGTCGAGGCGACGCGGGTCATGGCCAACCGGTACCCCGACCACTCGGACGACGAGGCGCCGCGTTCGCGCTGCTCCAGCCGGTCTGACCGTGAGTCCGACTCCTCGGGTCGGGACGCGAATCGCGCGCGGCGCGAGCTGGCGTCGGACGCGGCGCGCTGGTCGCGAGGCCTACTAAAAACAGGCGACCAGCGCGCGGCGCCCTCTCGCGGCCTGCCGATCATCACGTTCACCTTGATCCTCCTGATGTGCGCGGCATTCCTCCAACAACAAGAGTTGACAATTTTGTTCAAGAAGGACAGGTGGTGGCACCTGCGCAGGTGGTGGTACCCCTTCCCCTTTCTGTTTCTCCGGCACATGAGCTCGCTCCACCTGGCCGCGAACGTGTTCGCCCTCTTCCAATTCGGCTCGGTGGTTGAGCCGGCCGTCGGCAAGGCGCGCATGCTCGCGGTGTACGTCCTCTCGGGCGCCGCGGGCTGCCTGGCTCTCCAGCCGTACCGCCGTACTTGGTACGCGTACGTATGGGAACAACGCACAATTTGGGAAGCCTGGCATGTCGGGGAAGGCCCGCGACCTTTTGATTTGGAACTAGCCGTCTACACCTTCTTAGTAGGCGGCGTCGGCGCCCCTACGGCGGCGGTGCTCGGCGTCGGCGGCGTGATGCTGGCCCTGAATCGCCGGACGCTCTGGACCCCGTTCGGCGTCCGAAAGCCCCACGACATCCGAGTCATGCTCTGGGTAAACGTCGCGGTGAACGTCCTCTTGTGCGAGTGGGTCGAGGCCAAGCTTCTCTACTCCGACGACCGCGATTACAGCGGATGCGGCCCACGCCCGTTAACGCGGCCCACGCCCGGCTGCCCGCGCAGGGTCGAGCGCAGAGCCAGGTACGCGGCCCACGCGGGCGGCCTCCTGGCGGGCGCCGCGCTTGGGTACTTTCTGTGAAGGCGCAGCGCGCAAAAGCTTGGCATGTTAAGTTGAAATAGTTGAATTGGACGGCGGCAGGCGCCCGCCGCCGATGAATCGCCCATTCGTCCTAGCACCGTAAAAGATAAGTTAGAGCCGGACGCCGTCGACGCGGCCCCGAACCCAAAAAAAAAGAGCAACGAAGACAGGTCCCCGGGCGGCTTACGCACGCGCCGGACTAGAGCCAGAGCGGGTCCGCGACGTAGACGGGCCGCGTCGCATTCCCGAAGTCCAAGGCCGGCGTCCGCGCGGCGCGCGGCGGCTCCCTCCGGTGGACCTCGACGGCCTCGAAGTAGCCGTCGCCGACGAAGCCCGGATCGTCTACATAGCGCGTCCGCGTCTTCGCGCCGGCGGAGCTGCTGGGAGGCCGCTTTGTGCGTTTCGCGCGGAGGGGCGCGCGGCGCTCGGCGCCGGTGAGCGCTCTAGCGTAGAGCGCCGTGAGCAACAAGCTGGCCAGGAGCGCGCGCAGCATGGTTATGTACAATATGTCCAATGAGGGCGGGAGCAGCCCGCCCCCCAGATCTTCGGGCTGCTCGTCGGGTCGTATGCACACTTGGGTGTCTCACCCAATTGGTCCTTGGGTCGTATGCGCGCTCGGGCAGTGGAACAGCCGCTATTTGCGCGCCTCTGCCTTCCGAGAGGCTGAGATAGCGGCTCGCTTCCATTTGAGGGGGGTCGTTTGAGGCCGCGTTTCGAGGCGCCGGTGCGGGACGGGAGGAGTCCTTGATTCGCGGAGCGCTGGAGTCGGTTGTGGTCGGTCGGGTTTGGAGAGGCCAAGGCCCCTGCCCTTGCCATTTCATGGGCTTTTGGTTTTTGTGTAGCACATTGTGCTTTTCCGGCTGGCCGTCGTCGACATTTCTTCCTCGCGCGTCGTTGGCACAGCCGAGCAGCCCCATGGCGCCGCCGCGAGACACTGCAGGCTCTGCAGGAACCCATCAGCCCCAACAAGCCGCCGCTCCGGGGCGTTACAACCAAAAGTCCACCTTCCGCAACGGGACCACGGAAGAGGGCTGGTTCTACCCGACACCCGCGGCGCTCAAAGCCGCGGCGGACGTCCGCGGCGCGCGCGCGGCGCGGGAATTCTTCGGACTATGGCGCCTCGATTAAGTCCCCGCGCGCAGGCAACGCCGAGGCGTATTACCCCCACTTCCAGTTCGACTCGAACTACACGTACGGCATGGTGCACCGCGAGTGAGGCGCGACACCCTCCCCGCTTAACTTGTGTTTGCGATCCCCAGAGGTCGCGGGGGCACTTGCCCGAGGACTACGGAGGACTCTTCGCGTCCCCGGGGCGCGGCTGGCTCTCGCATTAGGAGCTAGCGGCCCGTAACACACTAGCAAGCTTCGACAAACAGCCAGGGCAAGGGAAACGGGAACTGCTGGAGGTCACCTCGGCGGCTGCTTGCAATTTCTGAGATCTCTAGAAGCGCTGCGCACGACAGATTCGGCGCGACGCCCGGCGACGCCCACCAGCCCACACTGCTCCTCAAGCTGCCTTTGGTGCGCGGCCCCGCCAACGTTCACCGGCACCTCAAACAGCTGCTACTCAAGCTGTATTTACACACGCGTCGTCGCCGCGGCGCGCTGAGAATATAGCGTTGGAATAACGAGCAACCCGCGACCATGTCCGCGCGACTCCCGTCCATCTTCTCGCGCCTCTGGCACCAAGTGAGGGAGATCCCCGACGTCAAGGTGAATTTGTTACGGGCCAGCGAGCTCGGCTCCTACGCGCGGGCCGTGATCCCGGGCTGGGTCCTGCCGCTGGGAATGATCGGCGGCTGGCTCGTCTTTCCGGCCCTCACGCAGTCCTTCAAGACGGAAGTGCTGGGCTTCAAGGCGCCGCCCTCGGGCACGAAGTTCGCCTTCGAGAAGGAGGCCGTCGGCGAGAACGTCGAGATGACCGAGGGGAGCGTGAAGTAGTCGCGCGGCCCCGCCCCATGTTTTAACTCCTGCTTTATCTTACCTTCTCGTCGCAACCTCCACGCCATCGAGCAGGCGCGGTGATGATGGGGACGACGTCGCGTCGATGGCGTGGAAACTCCACTGACGCCATCGAGCATATGCACTTACGCCCGCGCGCGCGCCTAGGCGTTCTTCGCCTCGTTCTTCCGGGCCTCCTCGTCGCCCGTGGCCATGGCGTAGACGGCCTTGAGGATGAGGTAGCCCCACCACACCTGCAAGCACGTCAAAAAGCCGTGCGTGAAGAGCCAGAAGGCCGGCACCCACTTGGGCATTTGGTGCATCGCCGCGTCGCTATTAAATAGTAAATAGAGCGCATCCCTCCAAAAGCAGTACGACACCGGGAACCACCCAAAAATGCGCACTATATAAAACACGATGGCGAACATCACTCTACATATCTCGTTCGTAATCGGATACTTGTCCGCGATTTTTGGGTAGTCCCGAGCGGCATCCACCACAGCTAGAAAAGGCGACGACAGCTCGATGACGCCCAAGAAATACACAGCGTAGTAGTAGAACGCCCGGTATCTTAATGATAGTATGCTGAGGGAGAGCACGACGGCGTGGTGTAATACAAAGGTGATCTGCCGCAATTCCGGAATACATAAAGATATGGGCGTGTCGTAGCTTTGGATGGCCAGCATGCTAAAGAGAATAGTTTCCGCACCGGGGTGGTAGCCCCACGTCGCATCAATCGAATGAAAGTCCGTATCCGTCAACCATATGTACGTACCATAGACCGCCATGAACTGGAACGCTATTAAGAAAGGCACGTAGTGGCCCATCTTGTTCGGGTTCGCGTGGAAGGCGGACTTGGGGTTGCCCTTGAAGTAGTAGTAGAGCGCCGCGTGCAGGCCCATCATCGCTACCAATTGTAGTTGGAAGTGGCGATTGCCGAAGGTCTCGCCGAGCGACTTGCCGTACCACTCGTCGGGGTCCACGATCGGAGCTTTGCTCTTGCCGAAGGGCATGGTCGCTCGATCGGTTTTTTTTATGCGTGTGTCGCGTCGATGGCGTGAGCTGTTACAGCTAGGTTGTGGGGTTGCACGGCGGTAGCGGCTGTGCAGCCAAGATGCTCTCCGGGTTGCAGGCTCTCTTGGGTGCCAAGGAAGCTGTCGTGGGCCCGCTGCACCGGTCGAATGCGTTCTTCTGTGAACGCTGCTGCTGTTTATCGGCGGTCTAAGCCACCGTATCCACTGCGATGCGTACGCGTTTGCATCAAGCTCGGCTATGTTCGGGTTTTGTGCGGAGTCCCCGTGCGCCCTTGTTAAGCACTTCAATACACTGAATAGCCCATAGAAGGGTAGTTAATTGCCCGCGGGGCGGATCGCGGACGACTCGCGGCCGGCGGCCGGCGCGCGCCGCCGATGGCTCACTGCAGAGTCACAAGAATGAATTATATACGCAGAGAGAGGAGGAGGAGGGAGTCGCGCGCGTCTTCGGCCGCGCGGCGGGCGGGGAGGGAACAAGGGGATCTAGTCGCCGCCATTCCGGAAGGCGTTCTCGAGCTGGCGATAGATGTCTAGAGCAGCCAAGGGCCGGACGCCGTGCGTGATGCCGACCGAGCCGGCGAGGCTCCGCCGCTCCTCGTTCTCCATGATGAGCATGAGGTTCCGGGCGCAGCGCGCGCCGACCTCGTCGGGCCGCGCGTAGTTCTTGCAGGCGTCGTGCAAATACAAAGCGGCCTGCTGCTCATTCACACCAACGTGCCGCGCGATGAAGGCCGCGACCTGTCCAAACGAAAGCGAGCCGTAGCGCGGCCCGCGGTGGCGCGCGAAGACGTCGAGGAAGATGGCGCGAGAGAAGAAGACATCGGCAGCATCATCAAAGGCGTCGTCGTCGCCGAACGCGAGCAAGAAATGCCCGGGAGCGCTCACGGGCCGCAGCGCGCCCCGTTTTACGCCCGCGCGCTCGGCGACCGCCACAAACAGACACGCCAATGAAATGGGAATGCCCGCGCGCCTTCTTAACACCTCGTCGAGGAACGAGTTCGACGCGGCGTAGTACTCGTCGGCGTCGACTCCCCTAAATCCGCACTCGTCGAAGAGCACGGCCTCCGTCGCCCGTATGAGCGCGAGCTGGTCCGTCGAAGCGCTGGCCGCACGCACGCGCGCCGCCAGCGCTTCGAGCGCTTTTACTACACCTTCACCATCATAAAAGACCCGAAACGCGGACGCGACGCGCGCCGCGGCCTCCTCTAAAGAAGGTGCCGGGCGCCAGCGGTTGCGGAGCCGCGCCGTCTGGGCGTGCGTGAGCAGGTCCCGCGCGTGGTTGCCGACGACGCCCGCCTGGCCGCACGCGCGGAGCGTCTGGGCCGCGCGCGGCGAGACGACGGCGACCCAGGCGGCCGTCGACCCCGGTGCCGGCGGCGGGCGCAGGCCCGAGCGGCGGGCGCGGCCGAACGGCGTGTGCGGCTCCGAGTAGACGTTGGTAGCTGCGGAAATGCGGGCGAGGAGTTCGCAGGCGTCGTCGCCCGCCCGCTCGACGCAGTCGTTCTTCTGCCGCCAGGTAAGCTGGTTGCCGCTCTCGGCCAGCGCGACGAGGAGATCGCAGCAGGCCCGCTCGCCCTTGACGCGCGCCGCGAACGCGACCGCGGACTTTTCTGGCACCAGCGCCGCGCGGGCGTGCCACCAGCGCTGCGTGTAGGCCTCGCGCCAGTACTTGTCTGGCAGCAGCGCGGCGTCCTGCACGCCGCGCGAGCAGCGCGCCGACCGCATGCGTGCCCGGGGGCCCGCCGCGGCGAGGACGAGCTCGAGGACCGGCTCCGGGAGACAGGCCAGGAGGGAGGTGTCATTGATGGCCGGCTTTTGGCTGCTTTTTGCAGTGGGCTCCATATGATCCATCAGGCTGTCGGCTTGAGGCTGTCGGATTGAGGCCGCTGGGCGTCAGGAGTCTAAGGCTCACGCTGCGAATTGCTTCAAGCCTTAGCCTTAGCGCTGCTGAGCAGCCCGTCTGCTCCTCTGGCGCCCCAGGCGCTTGTCTCGTCAGTTTTTCCCAGCGCTGCGAGCTAGCGTCTATTGACATACTAGAACGCATCTGCCCGCAATTCCGAGCACGGATAAACGCCATCAATTTGCTTGCAAATTTTGTGTCTCTGGCACGTAGCGCTACTGCGAAGGACCTTTCGTGCTGGCGAGACCGCTGCTAGGCTGCAGCACACGGCGTGACCAGAGCAGCTTGTGCACGCCGCAGAGCTAGCGCAGCAGCATTACCAAGCTCCCAAAGGTCGAAATGTCATTGATCGGAGCGAGCTTCCACAAGAGCATGTCCACTGCAGGGTCGCAGAGCGCCATGGCCTCGTCGCGGAGCGCCAGCGAGCGCAGGAGCATGACCATGGCCTCGTCGCAGCGCGCCATGGCCTCAAGGCAGAGCGACGTCTCGATAAGCGTGCAAGACTACTCGCTGGAGCGCCCGCGCGGCTCGACGCCGCCGGTCCAATCGTCGTTCTGTGCGGTATTCTCGGACATGCGCGGCAGCCTGTGGATCGTGGGTGGGCTCGTCCACACATGGGAGGCCTTCTTCGGCTGTCTCATCGCCATCGCGTCGACGCTGCTCTGTTACTTCTTTGAATTTCAGAACGACACGAGCGCGGTGAGTACTATTTTGGGCGTCGTGATCGTGTTTCCGATCACGGCACTTATTGGATTCGCCTTCAGCCGGCGCGAGGCGGCGCTCGCAGCTTTCTCCAAATTACTAGGTAATTTAGAGGCTCTTCTCGGCGCCGCCTGCACATGGCAGAAGTTCCAGGACGGCGCGTGGCGGCGCGTGAGCGACGGCGCCGCAAGTGAACGGGCGCTGGTCGCCTGCTGTCGCATCGCCGAGAAGGCGTCGCGGTATTGTGCGACGCCGCGCGGCCACCGCACGCGCTATGTCCTTTCATCGTATCACTCCGAATCTGAAACGCTGAATCACCTGCTGTACCTCAGGAAGTCGGAGGTTGGATCCGCGATCCAGGCCTGCCGCCGCCTCGTCCAGCAGCTGAAGGTCGACGGCCTGCCCGGCGGTGAGGCGCACCGGCTCGACCAGTACCTTAGCATTATCGCGTGCCACTTCCACCAGGTCGCGATGCTCAAGGAGTACCGGACGCCTGTTGGTGCGCGCGCACTCGCGCGGATCTCGGTCGTCTGGCACGGCATCTTCGCGGGCCCGTGGTACGCGAGCCTCTCGGCGCGGGGCGGCACCGGGCCGGCGCTCCCCGTGATCTACGCGTTGGCGCTCCAGCTCGCCTTCAACGCCCTGTTGCAGGTGGCGTTTGGCCTCGAGGACCCGTACGCGCGGGCCGGCGGCCGCGGCCTCCACGACTCCGTGCGCGTGCGCGGGTGAGCGGCTGCGCGGAAAAGAAAGAAAAATTCACGAGCACTCAGTGGTTGATTTGCACACACAGGATCGCAGACCAGTCGCGCGCGGAGATGGAGCGGACCGCGCGGGAAGCGAGCCTGCCCTGGGACGCCGACCTGGGTATTGTTAGGGAGGAATGTTAAACACAACACATTAGTTAAAACTAGAGAAACTGCCTCGCGTAGTTGGCGTCGACCGTCGCCTCGGCCATCGCCTCGGACGGAAAGCTCTCGGCGTATTTTGAATAGTCGTTGTGCGAGCCCGGCGCGTCGACGGGAAACGCGGGCAGCCCCGTCGTCGAGAAGACCTTGCAGCGCCCCGGCGACCACTCGACGCCGTCCCGATCGGGTGTGACGCCCACGTAAGACCAATAGTCCACGGCGCGGCGGCGCGTGCCGAGGCCGTAGATCGTGGCGTCGCGCGTGTCCAGCAGCGTCGCGTTCACCCAGTAGTCCAACAGGTCGTGCAGCCCCAACAAATAATTGATGCGCAGCATCGTCCAGAACTGGACCCGCGCCCGCTGGCCCCAGTCCTGGGTCCAAAAAACGGGGCGCAGCGGCGACCTGTTCGGGATGTAGAGGTGCGATACAATATCTCTATCTGGATGGTAGAAGTCGTAGCCGTGCGTCCACGCCCGGACCGCGAGCGACGTCTCCTCGCCGTCGAACAAATACGCCGAGTGCGCGTCGTAAGGTACTTCGAGAATGCGCCGCCCCGACGCAAAATTGAACCCGGCCGCCAAGAAAGGAACCAACGTCGGCTTCGGGGGCCGCTGCATCGAGTTAACGTCATGTTTAAAAGACGTCGTCCGCCCGACCGCCACCCTCCTAGTTCTGCAAATGGACATCTGCCTTGATGAGAGCACGGGCACATCTACGTTAGCTTGGTCGTCGACCTTCCGACATTCGACACAGGGCCCCTTCTCATCCAAAACCTTCCAGCGCTCCGAGTGCTCCGTCGCACTATAGGACGCCGGGTACGTCGTGACGATGGCCCTTGGATTATTGATGCGCTTGAACATGTCGATGGCGATGACGTCCCAGCCGTGCGCGAAGTTCGTATGCGAATCGAAAGAAATAACATAAGTCTCGTTCCCATATAAAGTTTCGGAGAGGTGCCTTGCCACGGTCGGCCCGAGCGTGTCCTTCCACGCGATTCTATGAATTCTAATTTGTCCGTTGCGCACTCTACCACACGCCGCGTGGCCCGGGCACTGTATCAGAGGCGCGAGGCCGCGCACGGCGTCGACGTCCTTGGATTCGTCGTTTTGCTGGAAGATACCAAAGAACACGCGGTCCGGGTCCGCGGCGCGCTCGAACGCTCTAGCGACTGTTTTCGCAATTTCAGGATCGCGGTAGGACGCCACAGACACGAAAATGGATTCGTCCGGCCAGAAGTCTTTCCTTTTCGTGATCTGCGCCGCGCGTTCCCTATTCAAAAACGACTGCGGCAGGACCTGTGTGGAAATCAAATTTCGGGCGCCCCACGCCATCGATGCGACGTTTTTTCCGTGGCCGCATCGGCTTGATGGCGTGGAGGCTCACAATCTAACTCACTGGTTGAATTCCACACAGGGCAGGACTCGTTGCGCCACGGTGGCGTCGTCGATGGCATCGTAGACCTCAGGCGCGTCGGCGCGCAAAAGCGCGACGCCGTCGCCCAGTTTTGGGAGCGGCGGCCGCGGCGGCGGGTCGAGGGGTACCTTCACGCCGCGCGCCGGCGGCTGCCACAGGTTCGGTGTTTTGCGCGGCGGCGTCTTCGCGGGTGTTTGCGCGCCGGAAAGTGGCCGCGCCGTCTTCGCGGGTGGTTTTTTGCGCGGCGGCGGCGCCTGGGGCCGGCCGCCGTCGGGCTTGTGGTCCGGTTTCGCTTTCAGCCGCTCGGCGGCCGCGTGGGCCGCCGCGGCCGGGGCGTGCTCCAGCGGCGGCGGCGCGTCGGCCTCCTCCGGTGGTGGTGGCCGGTCTTGTTCGCCATCGATGCTGTGGTGGCGGCCGTGGCCCTGGTCGTGCAGGTGGCGATGGAGCGCGAACGTCGCGGCGCCGTGAAAAAATAAGACGGCAGCGATAGCCGTGAGCGCATATTTCACGTAGCCGCGGCGCGGCCGTGGCACGTCTCGCTTCAGCTCGACGTCGACGATGGGCATTGACGAGTCGCGCGTGCTTTCAGGGAGTGGTGTACAATGCTGGTGAGTTAAGCGCCGTGGCGGGCGAAGCGATGGAAGGACGTCGTCGCAGAGGCGAGGGTTGCACGAATGCTGCCTTGAATGACACAAGATCGGCGGCACAGCCTGCTGCGCCTCGCGCAAGCCGGCGTAGCTAGCGGTCTGTAAGACACTAGCATTTGCTCGAGCTACTCAACTTGCGCGTGCACTTTGTGTGGCCGCCACAGACGTGCATCCGGCGTTTTGAAGTGCTGTGGTGCTCGTACCACTGTGCCGCCACAGTTGAGCATCGCTGCGACTCGCTGGAGCCCGCTGCCGGCTGGACCACTGCAAGCCTCAGCAGTGCAAGGCAGCCATGCGACCGCTGCTGCGCACAGCAGCGCGACCGCTGCGCCGCGCCGTGCTTATGCGTCTCAGCTCCACGGGCGCCCTCTGGACGAAGCTGAACGAGCTCGGCGCGCGGCCGGGCGCGATCAACATGGGCCAGGGCTTTCCCGACTTCGCCGGCTCGGCCGTGGCGCGCGATGCGGCGAAGGCGGCGCTCGACGTGCCGGCGCTCAATCAGTACGCGCCCATTAATGGCCTCGCGGAGCTGCGCGACGAGATCCGAAACTTCTACGAGAGGAGCTATGGCTCGACCTACGACGATGACGAAGTGGTGGTCACGACGTCGGGCCAGGAGGCCCTGGTCGCAGCCCTCAAAGCGTGTTTCACGGAGGAGCGCCGCGGCGTTGTTGTCATGGAGCCGTTCTACCCCTTTCTCGCTCCTGCGATCGCCGCGGCCGGAGGCGTCATGCAGCCCGCGCGGCTTGGCCACGGCTTTGTTCTTGATGAGGCCGCACTCGACGCCGCGGCGGACGCGACGACGGCGTGCGCCGTGCTAAACACGCCGCACAATCCTACTGGAAGGGTCTTCTCCGCGACCGAGATCGACGCCTTCGCCTCGTTCTGCGAGCGGCAAAACATCTACGCCGTGGCCGACGAGGTCTACGAGCACGCCGTGTTTCCCGGAAGGACGCACCACCGGCTCGCGGACCGCCTGCGCGACCGGACGATCTCGCTGTCGTCCGCGGGGAAGTTGTTCTCGCTCACGGGCTGGCGTGTGGGCTGGGCGCTCGCGCCGCGGGACCTGGCGCTGAAGGTGTCGAACGCGCACACGGCGCTGACCTACAGCGCGCCGACGCCGCTGCAGAAGGGCGTCGCCGAGGCCCTCAAAGCGGAGGACGGCTCCTTCGACGGCGTGCCGTTCACGTTTCACCGCAACGCCGAGATGCTGGCCGCAGCTTTGAATGCGCGGGGCTTGGACGTGTTCCCGCCTGAGGGCGGCTACTTCCTGTGCGCCAACTGCCACGAGCCGGCGATGGGCTTCGTCGAGAAACTAGCGTTCGATACGGGTGTCGTGTGCACGCCGCTCTCGGTCTTTTATGCCACACCGCCCGCGGAGGACACGTGGGTGCGCTTCACCATCTGCAAGAGCGCGGCGCACGTCGACCGTGCGTGCGAGGCCCTCGCGCCGGACGCGTGGCTGAATAAATCCTAGTTGTTGTTACTCCATGCAGGGCTTGATGTCCGGCGCGGCGAAGTTGTCCGAGCTGTCCAGGTAGCGCCCGACGAGCATGTCGATGCGTCGGATCGTCGGCGCGTCGAACATGTGCAGGTAGACGGGCAGCGCGACGCCCTGGGCGCGGGCCACCTCCCTCGTCTTGAGTCGCGCCTGGTCCATCGTGCAGCGCGGGACCGGCTTCTCCATGCCCGCGGCGCCGTCCCCTTCCAACCCCAGCGTCTCCAAGACCGTCTGGAAGTACTTTGGAGAGTCCTCGTACAACGTCTCGTAGGCCAGCGTCGTCCAGGGCTTCGTCGAGTTGCGCCGCATCGCCGCCGCGCGGTGGTGCCACTTCATGTACTTGCAGACATCTCTCAAAAAGTGGGGGCCCCCGTCGTCGACGGGCGGACCGCCTCGCACGAAGTTCTCGCGCGTCGCGACGCCCGTCGGGCATGTCGGCCGCCTAGCTTTGCACTCGAGGTGATGCCTTGCCACTAAATTGTCGAAGACGTTGCGCGTCAACCTCAGAACGCGCACAACGGGCCAGTCGTCGTCTCTCTCGAACCGATACCTGAACTCCCGTATAAGTGCTGAGGCGGGTAGGTCGCCGTCGCCTCCATAACTTACGCCGTGCCACTTTACGAGCGGGGACGCCGCGTCGGACATAGTTTGATTGTCGTCCCTTAACACCCAGGCGCCCTTTCCACATTCCCGCACGGGCGCCGCCGCCGTGAGGTTCGCGAGGCTGGCTTGGAACCTGTGTGGAAATCAACCAGTGAGTTAGGTTGCGTCGATGGCGTGGGGCGCCTGCAATTTGATTTCCACACAGCCTGGAACTCGACTAATTGCTCTGCGGGCCTTCCATTAAAATACAGCGCCATGGCCTTTTCTAATTTGGCCGGGTCCCGTATTCTCATTCTCCCTCCCTGAAACGAGATGAGCTCCGGATTCCGGTCCAGAAACGGGTGGTGAGGCCGCTCTCCAACAATACGGCTTTTCTCGCACTCGTGGATATAGGAGGAGCACATCTGCGAGTCGGCGAGGCACTCGGCGGCTCGGATGGTGTATGACGTGCCCGAGTTCGGGAACGTGAGCAGGAGGACGCGGCTGCGTTTGCTTTGTGTTACGGGGTCAGCTCGGTGCGGCGCCGCCCACGCTTTTTCAAGTTTCGGGAGTGTCGTCCGGGCGAAGCGGACGTAGGCGGCGATAGCGTCGTCCTCGGCGATCACGCGAGTGGCGAGCGCGATTGTGAGCCACGGCCGCCTCATTGTTAATCTAGTTTCACAGCAGACTTTTTGCCAGGGCCATGATTGACTCTTGCCGAAGGTTGCCGCTCCGAGGAGGTTGCGGGTGTCTCGTATAAGACGCCTCGTGTGCAATCAACCGCTCACGATTCACGAAGCCCCGACGCAAAAAAACGCGAGCTAGCGGCATGTAAGACACTAGCGCAATCCGTGCGTCGACACACGCGTAGCTCACCCCAGGTGGCCACATCACTGCGTGCATAGCTTGTTTCGTGGAACATACTTCCTCTCGTGCGCCGTGAGGCATCTCTTGCAGGACTGCGAGCATTTAGTGCAGTGTGCAGCCTGGTGCAGCCTGGTGTCGGCCCGTGCAGCATCTCTTAGCAGTGCGGGGCAGTGGCGTAAGGATGGTTTTTTGAGCGCAGTGGTGCAGCCGAGGCATTCTCACAGCAGAACGGTGCGCAGCAGTGCGGAGTGGCACAATGATGGTCCTGCGGGCCCTGCAGCGCACCGCGCCCGTGCGCGCCTACGCGAGATCACTCGAAACCCACCCGCTGCCGACGAAGTGCGCGACGAGCGGTGCATTGATGGTAGTGTCAGATGTGATGCGTCAGAAACTCGAGAAGCGCGACGCCGACGACGCCGAGCCGTTTCGCTGGGACGCGGCGCGGTCTTCCCGACTCGCGCTGTGGGCGGTCGTGTTCCACGCCCCGTATCTCCATTGGCTCCATCCATGGTATGAAAAAATGTGGCTAAGGTACCGAATCCGGTCGACGGTCGTCAAGGTCGCGCTCGACCAGACGCTGATGGCGCCCCCGTTTCTGTTTTGTTTTCTCACCTACTCGGCGCTCGCCGAGGGCTCGGACCCCGGCCACCGAGTTCGGGAGCAGCTTCCCGCGCTCTGGACCGATAGCGTCTGGTTCTGGTCCCTCGCGCATTGCGTCACGTTCAACCTTCCCGTCCCAGTGCGCGTCCTCTGGCAGGACGTCGCCCGGATCTACTTCGGGTCCTTGATGAGCCTGCGTGCGAACGCACCACTCGCCGGCGAGGTACGACGGCATAAGTCTAGCTAGCCTTACTACACAAGTCAGCTCAGCACGTTCCACACGACGAACGGAAACGCCGCGAACGGCGCGCGCCGCAGCGTCGCCAGCACGACGGCCAGGTCCAGCGACACGAGCGCCGCGCTGAAGGCGACCTGGTGCGCGTCGGACTCGGCGAGGTAGCCCCGCCGCAGCTCGTAGCGGCAGCCGCGCGCGCCGTAGAGTGATGTGAGAAGCGCCGCGCCGAGCGCTGTTGATAGAGCGCTCCGGACGAGGGCCTGCGGCAACGGCCGCAGCGACCGCTGGTGCGCCGCGGGGAAGAAGGCGTAGGGCGACGTCGCGTGGCGGTACCACCTTCGCGCGACGCCCCAGCCCGAGGCTAAGAGCAAAGGCTCCGGCTCGAGCGCGTCGAGGCAGCGATGTAATAAATCGGCCTGGCGCGCGTCGAGGCCCGACGCGACGCCGAGGTCCGGCTCCGGGAGATCGTCCGACGCGTGCAATAGATGCGCCGCGAAGTTCGCGTGGAGCGCCGCCTCGGCGTCCTCGGACCACGCGAGCGCAGCCATCAATTCGGGCAGCCGCGCCTCGCCGCGGCCGCCGCCGGCCAAATCGACGCGTTTTACGTGAGCGACAGCGTCCGGCGCGTTAGCACGGACAATATCTAACAACCGCTCCTCGGCGTCCGTCGCCGCGGCCAGCGCGTGCGCGAGGAGCGCGCCGGCGGCCTCGACCTCGCGCAGGGCCTCGCGCAGCGCCGAGTCGTGGAGGGCGACGGCGAGCTTCGCGACCCGCGGCTGGGCGTCGGCCTGGTCGAGGTACTGCTCCCTTGCTTTATCCAGGCCCGCGCTCCGGCGCCGCGTCGCGTCGAGGACCGCGACGAGTACTTTCGCGAGCTGCGCCCGGTCGTTAGCCGGCCACGAGGGCGCCAGGTTCGCTGCAACCAAGAGCAGCGTCGCCTCGTGGGCGCGCGCGTCGGCCCAGGCCTCGGCGTCGGCGATCTGGGCGTTGCCGAGGTCGACGTCGAGGCGCGGCGTCCGCGCCTTGACCTCGCAGCGCTCCAGGGCCTCGACGAGCGCCGCCCGCGCGTCATCAGTGGAACAGCACCGTCGCGCGAGCTCGTCGTCGCGCGTGAGGCCCGCCAAAGTCGCCGCCGCGGCGCACCTCACGTCCAGATCGTCGGACAGCAGGCCGTCGACGGCCGCGGCCAGCGCGCCCTGCCGCACCAACTTCGGCGCCACGTCGCAGCCGACGCCCGCCTCGGACCACTCGAGCCACTCGAGCACCTCGTCGAAGCCCTCCAGGCGTCTGCGCGCGCCCCACGCGTCGGTGTGTGCTTTCTCGATTGCCTCGCGGCAGTCCGCATTCAAGAGTTGATAGGCGCTCACCGCCAGGCCGCCGCCGCAGTAGAGCGCGGCGGCCTGCCAGAGGACCGGGTACCTTTCTGTCGTGGTTTGTTGCGCTGTGGAGAGGGTACGGCGGCCGGCGCGGGTCGCGGTGAGAGCTGTGCGGCGCGCTAGCAGCATCGTTGGTCGTCCAGCTGCGAGCATGTATAAGTATGTGAAAACTCTGTGTCGGTAGAATGTCTTGGCTAGGCCACCCAGCTTTTTTTAGGCAATGCCTCTTTTTTTTTGCTTGCTAGTGTCTTAAAGTACGCTAGCTCTGAGGCGCGCGTGCATAGCTTTGAGAGGCCATTGGGGTGGCAATTGCGCTGGCAAAGTGACTATTTACGCCATCGCTGCGCGCGATTCCTGTCGGCCAAGCTGCACTGCGTTGCTTGCCACCACTGTCATAAACCCTGAGAGCACCAGCTGGCACAGCCATGCTCGCGCGACGGACGACGACAGCCCTCGTCGGTTTGACAGTTTTCACGAATGCCTTTCAGCTGCCGCGCCGCGCGTTGCGGCCGACGCGGCGACGCGCGGCTGATGATGAGGACGACTTCGACTTCGAGGCCGCGTTCAAAGCAAGGGTGGAGGAGGTGCAGCAGATCGACGTCGTCGAGGCGGTGTTCGGGGACGAGGGGCCGCCTCTAGATCTCGAGAAGATGGCGGCCCTCGGCAAGGAGGCCGCGGTCGTCGGCGTCGCCGCCATCGCCGGCGCGTTCCTCCTCCTCTTCTCGTCCCTCTTCTTCACGCAGTCGAAGAGCCCGCTGAAGGACCAGCCCGTCGAAAATATGGATCCTGGCGTCTGCCTCTCGGGGAAATGTGCGAACGGCGCGCCGCGCGTGAAAGCGCTAGAGTTCACGTCCGACCGCTTCGCCGACGACCGCAACGCGGCGCGCGCGGAAAACCCGGAGCCGTTCCTCGAGTAACTATGTTCGTTTCGTTACGCGACGGGCTCGAGCGCCGTGATGACGCGCTCGGGGTACTTGCTCTCGCCGCCGCCGTTTTCGGACCGCGTCACGTAGTTGTGGTCCCATTCTAAGCGAACCTTGTCGCCCTTGTTGAGCTTCGCGACGGTCGCGGCGTGGGCACCTTCCAGGTCCGTGAAGCGCTGGATTGTTTGCTGCGCGTCGCCGTACTGGCCGGGCTTCTCGTAGGACTCGTACGCGACGATGTGGAACGTCTCCCACATCTTGTTCGGGCGCGGCGGGAAGACCTGCGTGAATGCGTAAACGCGTCGATGGCGTAAGGCGCCCGTTCCAACTCCCTGCCTCACCTTAAGCATGCTCTCTCTCCCTTCTTCCTGGCCACCATACGTAGCCGTCGTCTTGTGCCGTGAGAGCAGTTGGCGCGAGTACGTGGCCATCAGGGTTACACACACAACACACTTGATCGTGCGCAAATGGCTCGGCTTGGCCAAACGTCGAAAAAAATCTGTGAAAAACCCGTGATTTCGGAGGCCCAAAATCCGAACTCGGGCCGAAGGCCCGAGTTCGAGAAAATTTTCGGATCCGAAGCTCCGAAGAAGGGTAAAAATGGACCTGTGGGAGAGGGGACGACGGGCGCGGGACGCGGGATCGTGTCGTGGGGCCTTCCAGGGCCCGACCCGCGGCATTGAAAGGTGCCACGGGACGGATAGGTAAGATTCCGACCTATGTAAAGCGGTCGCGGGCATTGAAAAGTGCCCGCTCCTTCTCGCCCAAATTTCGCGCGGGACGTCGACGCGTCTCCCCAACCCCCTCTCCCACGTCCTCTAACCCTCTCAGCGTGTGCCTGACCCGTCCGGGCGCGCCGGCGCCTCCGCTTGAGCCGTTTTTGGGAGTTCGGATTTTGGAACATCCGAAATCACGGACCTGTTATGAAAAACCCGTGCAGTTTCTAAGAACCCTCTGGAACCCTACAATATCCACCACATTGAGATCACTTAGAGTCACACAGTCACAAGGCCACTACCCCCGCCATGCACCAGCGATCATGTCCCGCGCCGCCGCGTCCGCCGCGCGCGCGGCCGCGTCGGCCCAGGGCGGCGGCGCCGACGGCTCCCGCGGCGCGTCGCGACGGTTGCATTTTGACCGCGTATGCCAGATCCACTTCTTCAGATCCTCGTCGGACACGAACCTGTGCGGAAATCAAATTGCGGACGCCCCACGCCATCGACGCGACGTCGTCCCCGCAACTGCGGCAGCTCGATGGCGTGGGGTCGATTTCAGCACAGTCACGGACTGGAGCGCCATGTCCTTGGCCCGCATGCGGCCGAGGATCTCGCCGCCCTTCTGGTGGAAGTCGACGCCCTCGAGCAGCCAGTCGCCCGGACGCAGGGCGGGCGGCGCGGCGACGGGCGCGAGCCACGGACTAGTCTCGTCCGGCGCCGCGGCGTGCGCGCGCTCCCTGAGCATGGCGACGTCGCCCTTCATGCCGCCGTAGGCCGCGCGGATCAGCAGCGCGAGGTTGACGCCGTCCGTCGGCAGCTCGTTGCGGCCCTTGCGCGGCGGCGGGAACCGGTCGCGGCTCCCGTGCGCCGCGAGCTGGGCCGCACACGCGCACAGGACGAGGACGTCTTGTGCAGTGGGCTTGTACGTCGCGGGCGACTTCTCGGTCGGCGACAAAGCCATCATGTACCAGACGGCTGGCACTATACAGGGGAGCGCCGCGGAGTCCTCGACGGCGATGACCGGCAGGCGCCGCACGAGCATCTTAATACCCGCGGGGTCCGTCGGTCCAAACCTGCGTCGGGCACGACGCGTCTACGCCACCGACGCGGCAGCGAAGGCGCCTTCACGCAACGCCGGGGCATACGTGATGCCGGCCAGCTCGTGCGCCGACCGCACGGCCAGGTCCACGTTCCCGCGCCGGACGCACTTTTGGAGGTGCGACTGGAGCAGGCCGAGGCCGCCCGCGGCCCTGGCGCCCGTGTAGGTCCGCCGGTCGCGCCACGCCGCGCCGTCTTCACCGGCAGTGTCGAGCGTCAGGTGGATTTTCACGTCGCAGGCCGCCTTGCCCTCGTGCGCCAGCGCCAACTTGCAGGTCCGCTCTGCCTCGAAGACGCGGCGCCGGCCGGCCGCCGGCGCCTGCGGCCCGCCGCGCTCGATCGAGGCACGCACGCGGCCCTCGCCGTCCCGCGCCATCGAAAACCGCAGCGCGACGGTCCTCTGGGATTGTATGGGCCAGGCGGCGGCCGTCCGCGGCGCCTTGAGCGGCGCCCGCGCCTTGGGGGGCGGCGCCGGGCGCTTCTTGGGCAGGAAGAGCGGGGCGAGCGGCTTCTTTTTTGCGGTTGTGGGCGGCGCGGCGGCGTCGGCCTCGTCGACCGGGGGCGTCGGTGCCGGCGGCGGCGGCGGCGCGGGTCGCGTCGTCGCGGGCCCCGGGCGTTGCAGGCTCAGGCTCACGCGCGGCTTGGCCCCGACCGGCGGTTTCGCGCGCGGTCTCGCGGCGGCCGGCGCCGGGGCCGGTGCCGCGGCCTGTGCCGACGCAGGAGCGATCGCCTTCGGCCGTTCTGCGCTACAGATGGCGCAGCAGAGGAACTGCGCCTCGGCGTCAGAATGCACGTAGGTGCATTGATTACATGTCCAGGAGGAGCTCATTGCTCTGCGGCGTCCAGCGCTGCGGCAACCGGTTCTCTCTCAGTATTTGCTCTGTGGCACCTAGCGCTCCGGTAACTGGCGCGTTCGCGCTCAGTTTAAAACCGCAGCAACCTGGAGCATCGATGCGACTCTCAGATGACGAAGCAAGCTTGCAGGAGGCCAAAAACAAGACCACAGCTCGAGCCTCGAGCTGTTTCCTAGTGTGTTACATCACGCTAGCGCCTCATTTTGCGGGGGCAAAAAGCAGGGCCATTTGAGCGCGCTAGACGTCAAGGAGGCGTTTAAAAAGAAGCGCTGCTTCTCACTGTGACCAGCGATCCTCAGCTACACGCCCGCGCATCGCTGCAACCAGGGCGCTGAATCGCCGCGAGCAGAGCGCCCCACCAGCGACCCAGCCAACACGAAAGACAATGCCCCCGCGCAAGAAGCCCGCGGCCCGCAAAAAGCGTAAAGCGCCCGAGCCGGAGCCCGAGGCCGAGCCCGAGGCGGTCGAAGACAACGAAGGCGCCGTCCTCGACACGAGCGAGGCCGACCTCAAGGCGCGCTTCGCCTCGACCAAGACCGCGACGGAGTACGCGCAGTTCCACGGCTGGGTCGAGCGCTGTTTGGAGGCGGCGCGCGCGGATTTGAGCGGGGCACTTTTTCCCGTGTTTGCGCACTGCTACTGTTCCCTTGTGGACGAAGGGAACACCGACGAGGCATCGAGATTCTTGGAACGGTGGGCTCCCTCTCATGACGACCGCTACGCGTCCTACGTCGAGAGTCTGAGGAGGGCCTCGTCGAAAGCATCTTCCAAGCGCGACCCCTTCCGCAAGCGCTTGGCGAAATCAAAATTCAAAGTATGTCTCGGCAAGGCGGCTAGAGACTTACTCGGCGACTTCCTCATCCGCTCCGAGCTTACCGCTGTGTTGCGGATCCTCAACAACTTCGTAGAGGTGGAAGAAGAAGGTCTGAAGGGCGTCGCGCGGTTAGTCGACGAGGACGTTGTACTCACAGAGGTGGCGCTGGGCGTGCCGACGCGGTCGGAGCTGGAAACGCCGAGTGGGTTGAATGTTCCGGACTTCTCGACGCCCTACGGCGCTTCGCTATTGAGAGACGCCTGCCGCCGGCCGCTGCAGCAGGCAACTGAAAGTGGCTTAGTTTCTCGAGGAAGGGGCCCTTTGGACGCCCTGAAGCCGACGGTGCTTGGTTTGTGTATTGTCGGCGGCGACGCGCAACGAGTATCTTGCGTCCAAGGTTCCGACGATACGACAAGGTGCATCGCGGGGTTTGCCGACTCTACAGTTAGAATCTGGCGGCCCGACGCTGTGGAGGATGACGACAAGAACCGAAGACCGTCGAAACCCTTGGCGGCGCACGTCGGCGGCGTGTCGAGCGTGAGCTGGGCCGGCGGTTCGCGCTACGCTTTATCCTCGGGCAACGACGGCGCCGTGGTGCTGTGGGACGCCGACGCGCCGAACGACGAAGGCGAGGGCGCGCCGTTACAGCGCTACGCGGCGCACGCGGACGCGTGCTGGTCCGTCCATTCGCCTTCATCATCAGATTCCTTGGGCGGCGGTCGTATTTTTGCGACGGGCGGCGCGGACCGGACCTGTCGCCTCTTCTCGACGGACCGGACGCGGCCTTTACGAATCTTCGCGGGGCATTGGTCGGATGTCACCTCGGTCAAAATCCACCCGAACGCCCACTCGATCTTATCGTGCTCGCGGGACGCGACTTGTAGACTGTGGGACGTGCGGGTCGACGGCGGCGGGCCGCTCTGCGCGCGCGTGCTGGACGCGGCGTCGTCCGAATTAGTGAGATGCGACATTTCTACGGATGGCGCGTCCGCCTGCGCCGTCTCCACGAATGGCATGCTGCACGTCTGGGACCTCGCGTCCGGGAAGACGACGGCGTCAATCGAGGCGCACGCGGGCTGCGCCTACGCGTGCGCGTTTTCCGCGTGCGGCGCGGCTATCGCCACGTGCGGCCGCGACGGCTCCCTGAAAGTGTGGGACGTCGCGTTATTGCAAGCGAAGGGGCCCGCGCCGGCGCCGGCCTTCTCGTCCTCAACTTCTGATAGGCCCGTGCTCGACGTGCGCTGGACGCCGGGCAACCTGCTGCTCGCGGGCGGGGCGTTGCTGGAGTAAGTCTAGTTCCCTATTCTTCTTGCGTTTTCCAAGGATGATGCCACTCCCAGCTGCTCAGCTTGCGGGTTCAAGCCTTTGTGGGCGCTGGGGCTCGCGTTGCGCGTCGACGAGAGCAAAGAAGCTGCTTCGCCTCGCACCACGCGCGGTTCTGCAGTGCCGCGGCGGCACTGATGCCATTTCCGTAGCGTTTGGGCTGCCCCAGCGTTCCACTTTCAAAGCAACAATGGGTGCCGGCAGCAGCCTGCACGACGTCGAGGCCCTCACGGACGACCTCGAGCAAGCCTTCGCCCGTGTCATCCCGCGCACGCCGCGCGGCAGCCTCGACGTCGCGAGCTGCGACCGCGGCAAGGTGCGACAAGTCGTGGACGGCGCGAATAAGCGCGTCGAGAAACGCTACGCCGATGCGTGGAACAAGTGTGCCGTGGTACGCGGCGAGACGATTCCGGCGGTCGACGAGCTGCGCAACGCGTGCGCCGCCCTGGTGGAAGACTTCCACGAAAAGGCGCCGCGGTGCGCGCTCGCTGCGGACGCGGGAGTCGGCGCGCTCGTCGACATGGCGAGCCACCACGGCGCCGCGCTGCACGAGGCCCTCGAAAGGCTCGTCACCAGGGCGGGCGGCGAGTACGTTCACGGGCCGCAGAAAGCAGCGGAGCGCATCGCGGAGAAGGCGAAGAACGACTACGACGGTGACGTGGCCCGGGTCGTCGACGTCGAGCGCGCGACCGGCCTCTTCGACTCGCTGGAAGACTTGAATGCGGCGGTCTCGGTGCTGCGCGAGGCCTCGGGCGACGGGTCGCTGACGATCCGGCGCTTCAAGGACTGCTTCTTCACGGATCAGTTCAAGAGCGGCTACCGGGACCTAAAGGTTAACGTGGAGGTCTCGGGGTTCGTCGGCGAGCTGCAGCTTAACCTACGACGGATCAAAATCGTCAAGGACCACGCGCATAAGCTCTACAACGTCGACCGCGTCGTCGACGAAGACGGCGACGAGGCGCTGTACAGAGCAATCGTCGGCCTGGACCTCGAGAGCGAGCAGGTGCTCAGCCTCGCGGCGGATGGCGGGCAGTCGGTTCTGGGCGCGTGCGGTCGCATCAGCTTGCTCGCGGAGGCTCTGGCCGAAGCGCTGCCGCCCGGCTGCGAAGTGGCGAACGTGTACAACGCCGGCGGCGCGGTCCACGCGCACGTTCGGCTGGGCATCGCCGATGTCGCGGCCCTCGCCCGGTTGCGCGACGCCGTGCTCTTCGAGGGCTCCTTCGAGACTGCAATCAACGAGGCCCTGCCGCGCGACGCCTCGCAGCTCGCGGAGAAGCTCGCCAGCGAATCGATGAGGGAACTGGGATTCGATGCTTCCGTGAGTCGGAGCGGCCGGTGTCTGCTCACGAACGACCGATTCCTCTCTCCGGAAGACTCCGAAAGTTCTCCGGGCGCGCCGCCCGCGGAGCCTCCGCTTCTCGCTAAGCTCCGCGTCGACCGCGCCGGCGTCAATATTCACGTTGATCGCGGCGCGTTCATGGAGTGTTACGCGCGAATCATGATGCGGTTCACGAGGTTGACGATGCACCAGCGCGAGAAGCTCGAGGCCGTGCGACGCGCGTCGGTTGCGGTGCTGCTTGCGCCTGCGGGCGGTGGGAAGACCTTTGTTGCTGTCCAACGAGTGGTGCAGGTGCTGAACGAAGACCCCGATGCGACGGTTCTTTTCGTGGCGCGAAACGAAGCGCTGGCGCTCTTTGTCTGCAAGTGGCTTGTCATCGCGTCGCGCAAGTCTGCCGAGCATGTTGTGGAGCGCGTGCACGTGTTGGTGGCGCCGTTTTCGAGTGGGCCGCGGTGCGTGCGCGTCGAGGCGCTGGGCGGTCGACGGCGGCTCGTGCTGGGCGAGAAGCGTTGCGACGCCACGACGTACGCGCTCATTGTCGTCGACGAAGCGCACCACCTCGTGGGCGACTCCTCGCTTCGATCGGAGCTCGCGGAGCTTGGTGCTGCCGAATCGAGTCTGTTGTTCCTCGGCGACGTCTCTCAAGCGACATCGACGATATCCAGTCCAGAGGAGATCGCGCGCTCACTTGTAGACTTGCCCCAAGACCAAGGTGTTGTCGTGGCGACACTCTCGGAAGTGGTCCGCTCGACGAAGCGGATTGTTGCTGGCGCCGCCGCGTTCCAGCTCGAGGCCGGGCGCAAGGCCGAGACGTCGACGCATTCGGCATCAGCGGGGCCGCCGCTCGTGGCGAGGATCTTTACGACGTCTAAAGGCGACGATGCGGGCGAGACCTATGCGCGCGAGGTCGTCGAGGCGCTGACTGCCATCCGGCGCCAGCTCGTGGATTTAGAGGACCTGGATGACCGCGTGGCGGTCGTTGGGCCAGATGAAGCGTTTATTGAGAAGCTCCGCGAGCCGCTCGGTCGCGCTCTGGGAGGATTCGAGCTCGTCGACGCGGCGACGGCGAGCGCGGTCTTGCCGCGCGGTGACACCGAGGCGCGCGCCGCCGACGCGAAGCAGCTGCTCGTCGTCGACAGCGTCGACAATATGGACGGTTTGGAACGGCTCGTCATTATTTGTGTTGGACTGGACCAAGTCATCGATCGCGGCGCGGGCGTGCTCGAGACTCGGTCGCGTTTGTACCGCGCGATGACGCGCGCGCAGCTCGCGGTTGCTGTTGTGAATGAAGTGGTGCCGGGCGGCTGGCTCGAGTTCCTGGGGCGCGTCGAACTGGATGATGAGAAGTTTGATGATGCCGCGGAGCGCGAGAACCGGGCGGAGACGGCGGCGGACGATGTTGTGGGTGCTGTGGCTGAGGAGACTTCGGCGCCCGTTGCGACTCATGGCGACGCTACTACTGTTAGCGAAGTGTCTTCGGTACCAGCGCGCGGTAGTGACGGCGCACAGAAGGCGTCACCAAACGACGCCGTCGACGCGCCCGTGGCAGAGAAGGCCGCTGTCGACGCGGACGCCGCCACGACCCCGTCGGAAGCCGAACCGATGAAGGTACTGCAGTCGATCTGGGACGCGAGCGCGGTCGCGACGGCGTCGCGCGGCGACCTGCGGTTCATGCCGTTTTCCGAAGGCGTGGACCTGTCGAAGCTCGTCGAGCTGCGGACGCTGAAAGGGCACTCGGGCGACGTGCGTTGCCGCGTCCACTGTACTCTTGTGATGATCTGGCTTCGTCGTAGGTCAATGGCGTTGCGGTGTTTCCGGACGGGCGGCGCATTGTTTCTGCGTCGGACGACGAGACGCTCAAGGTCTGGGACGTGGCGACCGGCGAGTGCGTGGCGACGCTGGAAGGGCACTCGCGGCCCGTGCGTTGCGGCGTCCGCTGTACTTTTGTGATGATCTGGCTTCGTCGTAGGTGTGGGGCGTTGCCATGTTTCCGGACGGGCGGCGCATTGTTTCTGGGTCGAGCGACAACACGCTCAAGGTGTGGAACATCGAGACCGGCGAGTGCGTGGCGACGCTGGAAGGGCACTCGTCGAGTGTGCGTTGCGGCGTCCACTGTACTTTCGTGATGATGGGTCTTCGTCGTAGGTCCTGAGCGTTGCCGTGTTTCCGGACGGGCGGCGCGTCGTGTCTGCGTCAAGCGACAAGACGCTCAAGGTGTGGGACGTGGCGACCGGCGAGTGCGTGGCGACGCTGGAAGGGCACTCGAGTTACGTGCGTTTCGGCGTCCGCTGTACTTTTTGTGATGATGTGTCTTCGTTGTAGGTCTTTGGCGTTGCCGTGTTTCCGGACGGGCAGCGCGTCGTGTCTGGGTCGGACGACAGCACGCTCAAGGTGTGGGACGTGGCGACCGGCGAGTGCGTGGCGACGCTGGAAGGGCACTCGTCTCAGGGCACTCGTCGTCAAGTGCGTTGCGCGGCGTCCACTGTACTTTCGTGATGATGGGTCTTCGTCGTAGGTCCTGAGCGTTGCCGTGTTTCCGGACGGGCGGCGCGTCGTGTCTGCGTCGGGCGACAACACGCTCAAGGTCTGGGACGTGGCGACCGGCGAGTGCCTAGCGACGCTGAAAGGGCACTCGAATATCGTGCGTTGCGGCGTCCACTGTACTTTCGTGATGATCTGTCTTCGTCGTAGGTCAAGAGCGTTGCTATCTCACCGGACGGGCGGCGCGTCGTGTCTGGGTCGCGCGACGAGACGCTCAAGGTGTGGGACGTGGCGACCGGCGAGTGCGTGGCGACGCTGAAAGGGCACTCGCAATATGTGCGTTGCGCAGCGTCCGCTGTACCTTTGTCATGATCTGTCTTCGTCGTAGGTCACGAGCGTTGCTATCTCCCCGGACGGGCGGCGCGTCGTGTCTGGGTCGGGCGACAAGACGCTCAAGCTCTGGGGGCTGCCGAAGTCCTGAGCGTCGTGTCGTGGCGAAAGAAATCCTTCTCGCTGTTTTATATTGTCTATTCGAAGTGCCCCCCCTCGACGCCATCGGCGCGATTCGGGATGACGCACGCGTAGACGTGGAGTATTAAGTTTATCCTACAACTTAGCGCTCCAGCCATCCGCCGGCGCCATATATGCACGCACACCAGTCTACTCCTCGAGCGAGTTCAGGCGCAGCGCCGCGAGGACCGGCCAGCCAAAAGCGGAAGACAGGACGAAGAAGGCGACGAAGAAGGGGCTCGTGAAGAAGAGCTCGCCCTCCTGGGGCGCGGTCAGCGTCGGCAGCGCCTGTGTGGACATCGAATGTCAGGCGTTTTTGGTCGATGGAGCCGAGCCCGATCACTGGTTGATCTCCACACAGGGTTAGCGCCGTGAGCATCGACGGCAGCTCCGCGACCGTCTCCGGCACGACGCTCAGCTTCGTCGCCGCGGCCGCGGCCAGCGGCCGCGCGACGGGCGCGAACGCGGCGGCAGTCGTCGCGAGGGCAGCAAATACGGCGGCCTTCATTTTTGCCTGCGCGAAATGACAAGTCCAGCTGTGCGAGGAATGCGTGCTTCTTGCCGCTGCGTCCGCCTACGCGACTGCAGCTGCTTGCCTCGACCCCTCCAGGTTGAGACTGCCCATGCGGGAGAGCCCCTTGCCGCGGCGACGCGATACTCTTTCAGCAGCGAAGTGCGGTGGTGCAGTCTACTCCTGACGATCGATTTCACATATGGTGCACTGGGAGCCTGCGTTTAGCTCGTCTCACCAATATGTCATCAAGTCTGATGAGGAGTCGAGCCGCCAACCAACTCACCGCTCCCACGAGTTTGGACCCGGGAGAAAGCCTCCACGGACCCGCAGGACGTCTGCTTTTTTGCACCGTGGGCTAGCGTCGTGTAAAGGCACTAGCCAAAAGCCCGAGGCGGCCGGGGTGCTCGCATTGCGCGCGCTTGCAATCACGGACAACGCGCATCAGCAACAATGCGTCGTCTCCACAAATTAGCCGCGACCGCACGACCAGCACACGTCGCACGCCGCCGCGCCTGGCCACTGAGAGGTGCCAGCTCGACGAGCAGCAGTGGCGGCGACGACGGCAGCGATGCCGCGAAGAAACCAGCCGAGGCGCCGGCAGGCCGAGGGCGAGGCGCAGGTCGCGGCCGCGGCGCCGGCGGCCGCGGAAGAGGTAGAGGCGAGGTGTCGCAGGAGCAATTGTGGAGGTACGAGGACGCGCTGCTGTCCAGCATACAGGTCAACCCCCCCGCCGCGGCGACGACCCATGATGAGCCCGCGGCGCCCGACAACGACATGCTCGGCGCGGACTGGGAGTCCTCTTCATCAGGGACGGAGCGGGACCTCTCGTACCTGACGAGACGAAGGAGACAGGGGTCCATCGTCGCCCCCGAAGAGTACGACTTCCAGGTGCACCAGCATGATAGGGAAAGGCCCCACGAGCTGCTGGCGCGGTTGAATCGATACCGCGGCGACCGGCCGCGCTGTGACAAGAAGTCAGGTTTTCATTTGATCGACCCGGAGCAGGTGCACGCGGGGAACTTGGCTTTCTTGTCGGAGTACGTCACGGAAGGCGGCATGATCGCGAAGCGGCACCAGTCGCGGTTGTGCGCCAGATGTCAACGGCGCGTGCGCAAGGCGGTGAAGCGCGCGCGGTCGCTGGGCCTGATCCCCACGGACGCCTCTTTTGACGCGGAGAACACGCTGGGGTTTCCTGATGACGTCCACAAGTGTCACGTGTCGCGGACGATGTAGGAGCTCTGGCTAATGATCTGTTTCGTTCTACTGTTTCGTCTTTCGCGCCGCGTCGATGGCGTCGTGTGTGGGCCAATCCCTGGCGTGCCTGTGTTGTTTGGCGGCGCCCCTGGGTCTAGCCCCTGGGCTGGGGAACCACTTGCGCGTTGCTCGGCGCGGGCCGCGTCTTCACCATCGCCGCCCTGCTTTGCGCGCATACGTACGTCGCACGATACCGGGGTGTTTCATCAACCCCCAACGCCCGCATTATCCCCCCGAACCCTCGCAAGCATTCGAGCTAGTGCAGCAGGGGCTCTAGAGCTGCGCTGGCCGGATCGAGCGCAAAGCGTGCCTTGGCGCAGCCGGTGTGCAAAAAAATACGCCGACAGCTTGATTCAAAGTGCTGCTAGTGCATTGATCTCCACGCATTCGACAGCAAATTTCAAACCGAGACGCGCAAGAGCGCTCTCCTGCCAGCATGGCAAGCCTCCATGCAGCATCGCGACGCCGACGACGACGACGGACACTCTTACTGCTAGGCCTCGCCGGCGCCTCAAGAGCCTTGGCGCCGACGCCGCCGCGCCGCTGGACGTCGCTCCGACGGACCGCGGGCTGCGCGGCGCTCTCCGTGACGGCTCCGCTGGCCACGATGACCCCGGCGCTCGCCGCCCTGAACCCGAACCTGGGGACCCTGGACCCGAACGGCCCGAACCAAGGGGTTGTTATTGGTTTAGATGAGGACGCACCATTCAGAGCAGCATTGGGCCAGATCAAGACGTTGCTTGATAGTCTCGGCGTCGAGGGCACGGTGGCCAAAGTACGACCGGCGGAGCCCGACGGGCCCGTCATTCCCCGGGACTACGAGGTCGGGCTCAAGGACGGCACGGATCGACTGCGGGCCTGTCCGAGCAATACGAAGTGTTTGTCCGGGACTCGTGGTGAGAAAAAATACACCCCGCCCTTCGTGTTTTTCGATCAAAAGGGCGACGCCGTCGGGAATTTACTAGAGTTACTCTACTCCGCGGCGGACGCTACAGTATTAACAGCGAAGGGGAATTTTTTCAACGGCGCCGGAGTATATGTATTGGCCGAGTTATATGATGGTGCCGCCATCTTCGACGTCGAGTTCCAGTTCTTGCCTGGTGTGCTCGAGAACATTGTAGAGGCAAGAATCCTAGCGCGAGAGAACGCCCAATATACCTCTGAGGCTCGAGAGAAAGAACTCCTGCAAGTCTTCGGCAAGGCGCTTGGGTGGCTGCCGCTCGATGCGCAAACCATACGTATCCCCGGCCTCACGGAGGAAGAGAAGGGCGTCATCTCGACATCAGCGCTAGAATTGAAATACAGGGAGCAGTTCGAGGCCGACATGGAGAAGGCAGATGCAGCTGTTAGGGAGCAGATGGAGCGCGACCGACAACAGATCGAGCGTTTGAAGCGGGACATCAATCGATTGCTCGACTCGATCTCGCTGTCGGAAGCGGCGCGCTACGACGAGTACCGGGAGCTGCGGTCACGGACCGCTCGGGCGCGGCAAGAATATGAAGAAGGAGTGAACAAAAGAATAGGCGGCGTGGCGAACGACGGGCGCTACGCGGCGTCGCAGAAGATCCAGCTCGGCAACTCATTTTCTGGATTGATCAACTCCAAGGACGACGTCACGGCCAAGATCTACCAGAACAACCAGCAGCAGGAGGACGGCGCGCCGCCGCCGCCGAAGAAGAAGCTGTTCGGGTTTAAATAGTACTACTTAGGCGGTCTCCTTTTCCGCGAGCTCGCGAATTAAAGCAGCAACAGCGCTGGGCGGCAGGAGCCCGTGCTCCGTCGCGACCGCCGACACATATGAGGCGGGAGTCACGTCGTAGGTCAGGTGCGTGAGGGGCGGCGTATCATCCGAAGAAGGAAACTCGAAGAGCTCGTTCGCGTCCGCCGCATCCAAGCGCACGCGGTCGTGGCACTTGTAGGCCTCGCACGTCACGAGCACGGGCACGTGCCGCCGTTGCGCCAGCGCCGCGACGGCGAAGGCGCCCGACCGGGCCAGTATGGAGCCATTACTAAACACCGCGTCCGCACCCAACACGACGAGCGTCGCCCGTTCGATTTCTGGGGCCGCCGCCGTGAGTCGCACGTAGGTCGTGCGCACGCGTTTCGCGTAGAGGGCGTTCAGCAACCTTCTACCGGCGAATGCTGGTGCTGAATCGACGACGACGACCTCGAAGTTTCGCCCAACCGCTTCGGAGAACAGGGCCTCGACGGCGTCCGCATAGCCGTAGGCCACGACCACGTCTCCATCTCGAATCTTTTGGGCGCCCCGCCGCCCGATCTCTCTTACAGCTAATTCCACGCGCTCCTCCCTAAACCGGTCACAACAAGTCTCCACGGCCGCCTGCGCTTCCGATGGCGAGATGTCCGGCGGCAGTGTTGATGCTACCAACCTTAAACGTTTCAGAGCCGCGAGCGTCGACGCCGTCGGCTCGCGGCACTTTTCTAAGTATGAAGCCCATGATTTGAGCTTCACGTCCAAATCGCGCGCCGCCGCGGCGTCCGGAGGCGGCGCGTAGTCCTTGATGCTCGTCCGGACGGCGTCGAGCAGGCTTCGACATCTATCATTCGAACCATCAAATTCGCCGGCAGCATATTTCTGACCTAATTCCACGATAGATGCCGGCACGCCGTCCGCCGGTGGCGTCGAGGAAGTCGCCTTCGTCAGGTGGCCGAGGATCGTCGTCGGTCGTTCGACGGGCGGCGGCGGCGGCTTGTCAGCTTTGGGCTTGGGGTTCTTCTTGGCCTCCTTGTCCGCGCGCTGCTTCTCCTGGAGTTCTCTTCTCTCAGCTTTGGAAAGTTGTTTTTTCTTCGGCGGATTGCCCTCCTTGGCGCGCTTCGCCTCGAACTCGGCCTTGCGGCGGGCCTTTTCCGCGGCTTTCTTGGCTTTCTCTTCGTCGGTGGCGGCGGCGGGTGCCATGATGGTGCTTCCTTCGAGCGGTGCGGTGGTGCAACGATCCTGCGCCGCGTTGCTAGGCAGCGAGGCTGAGCACTCTCGGAGAGCGTTCAGTACACGGTTGCCGCAGCGGCCTTCACGCGAGCTGGTTGCGCCGAGTGATCTGTGCTGCTAAAACGAGTCGCGCCTGCAATGAGCGCGACGACGTGCAAGCTTAAACTCTGTGCCTCTGCCGCTTTTGCTTGGCTAGTGTCTCACAGCTAGAGCCCGGTTCCGAAAGAGCCGTCTGGATCGAACTACCGAGCCCTCGGGAGGGCCGCTGCATGCCTCTTCTACGTTTCATCGACTCGCAGCGGATCCATATCGCCGCAGTCGTAGCATCGTCCTGGTGCCACACGCCGCGTCGTACGGATTGCGAAAAGGGACTCTCGGAGCCGTTCTTGCAACTCTAAAGCAGCAGCAGTCAAACGCTAGCAAAAAGTAGCAGCAACGATGAAGCTCGTGGTGGCTTTAGCACTCCTCAGCAATGCTGCTGCCTTCATGGCGCCGGTAGCGCCGCGCGCGCCCGCGACGCCGCTCAAGGCGATCACGACCGAGGCCATGATCGAGAAGGCCAAGGCCGACCGCCTCGCGCACCTCGAGGCCCAGTCGTTGGAAGCTCTGACGCTCGCCGCCGACAACTTTGAGCGCGCCGTCTTCCCGAACGCCATGATCGTCGGCGACTGCGTGATCACGCACTTACTCGGTAAATTAGGCTACCTCGAGTCCGGCAAAGTGAAGGTGATGGTCGTCGACACGTTCCACTTGTTTGATAGCACGATGCCGTTCTTAGCTGATTTAGAAAAGAAGTACAATTTCAAGGCCGAGATTTTTGGGCCGGCCGACTGCGAGAACAAGGATGTCTACCTCAAGAAGTACGGTGATAAGTTGTGGGTGGCCGACGTCGAGCAGTACGACAAGATCTGCAAGGTCGAGCCCTTCCAGCGCGGCCTCAAGACGCTCAATACCGATGTGATGATCAACGGGAGGCGTCGGGACCACGGCGCCGAGCGCGCCTACATCGACATCGCGGAGGTCGCGCCGATCGGTGGAGGGTTGGCCAAGCTCAATCCTCTCGCGTACTGGACGCTCGAGGACTGCTTCGACTACGCGGCGGCGAACGGCGTGCCGCTCCACCCGACGGTGGCGCTGGGCTACCCGTCGCAGGGCGACGAGAAGGACACGGTGCCCGTGCCGGACCCCGATGGTCTGTCGGGCTTCCAGGGCGCCGCCGGTAGCGTCAAGTTCGTCGACGGCAAGTGGACGGGCGACAAGGCCATCTGGCTCGACTATGGGAACGAGCGCAAGGGCCGCTTCGTCGGCTTGGTCAACAAGGACGGCTCGACGAAGACGGAGTGCGGCATCCACGTCGCCGGCGCCGAGAAGACCTTCGATCGTGATTTGTGGGAAGGTGGTGCCGTCAAGGAGCTCGCGTCGCAGGAAGACGCCTTAGCGATGAAGGACGGCGTCATGGTCGTCTACGCCCCCTGGTGCCAGTTCTGCCAGGGCATGGAGGAGGCCTACGAAAAGTTCGCCGCCGATGCCGCTGCCAAGGGTATTACGGTCGCGAAATACCGCGGCGACGAGGATCGCGACTTCGTCCAGTCGAAATTCAACACGGAGTCGTTCCCGACGATCAACGTGATCAAGGGCGGCAAGGCGACGAAGTACGAGTCCGAGGACCGCAGCGTCGAGGCGTTGGCGGCGCTCGTGTAGGGTTCGGGTGCTGTAAGAATTGCTTGGGTTAATCTTGCGTCGACAGCGTGACGACGGTGACGACGACGCCGCGCCCCGCGGTGCCGACGGACCACGACTGGAGGACCGCTCGTCCGGGTGCCTCCCAGGATCCTCTGCTCGTCATGCGGCCGCCGCAGGAGGTCGTGGGTCCTTTGTTTGCTAAAAGCCTCAGTTTGCTAAAAATGCTAAAAGTGAGCTGTCCCACCATCTCCGTGTGCTGGCGGCCCGCGAGGCTGCGCACGGCTGGCAAGCGCTCGTTCCTGGTGACGGACTTGACCGTCTGAGCCAGCCTGCGCGCGAAAATGGCTCGTCGATACGCCGTCGCGGCGCTGCTCACGAGCTTGGCCACGGCCCTGCTGGCCCCCATCCCGAGGCCGCACAACACAAAGCTACACTCTACATCAGTCAAGGAGATGTCGGACATGATGCGCGAGCAGCGCAAGCTCATGGAGGAGGACGAGCAGACGAAGCTCGTCATGCAGGCGCTGCGGGGCGCCAATACGAACGAAGACGACTTCCAGGACGCGAACGTGAGGATGAAGGTCGTCGAGATGCGCGAGGGCGAGAAGGACTTGCCCACAACGTACGACCCCGAGGCTTTAGCTGACTACTTCGGGAAGCGGCCGGGCGCGGTCTTTTCTCGTGTGTTGCAGGTTGTTTCCACCTCAGCTTCATACTTGACTGGTCTAGCGTGGGATGCCGCCCGTGGCAAGCTGGAAGAAGCGGAAGTCGCAAGGGCGGCCCAACTACGCCGCACTATCGTCTCGCTGGGACCGTTCTTCATCAAGTTGGGCCAAGCTCTCAGTATCAGACCTGATATTCTCTCGCCGCGAGCCATGGTCGAATTACAGCAGCTATGCGACAAGGTACCTTCCTTCCCATCTGATTTAGCGTTTGCGACCATTTGTGAGGAATTAAATGTCAACTCAGTGAAAGACGTCTTCTCCGAGATCACGCCGGAGCCCGTCGCGGCGGCATCCCTAGGGCAAGTATATAAAGCTACTCTACGATCAACAGGTGACGAGGTGGCGGTAAAGGTACAACGGCCCTTCGTGCTCGAGACGGTGTCGTTGGATCTGTATCTGGCACGGCAGTTGGGTATTGGGTTACGAAACTTTGCGCCTAGCTTCGTTACCGAGAGGTTAGATGTGATTGATTTGTTAGATGAGTTCGCGGGACGCTTCTACGGCGAACTGGACTATGTATTGGAGTGCGAGAACGGTGAAAGGGTCAGGGAGGACATGAAGAACTTACCACGAGTGTTGATCCCGAAGAACTACCCCGAGGTGACTACTAGACGAGTCCATGTGGCCGAGTGGGTCGACGGGGAAAAACTCTCACAAAGTACAGCGGACGATGTGGCGGAGCTCGTGAATTTAGGTGTGGTGACCTATCTCACACAATTGTTAGATACGGGCTTCTTCCACGCCGACCCGCACCCGGGCAACATGTTACGAGCTCCCGACGGGCGGTTGGTCATTTTGGACTTTGGCCTCATGACGGAGGTGACGGACGATCAAAGATATGGCATGATCGAGGCCATCGCCCATTTGATACATAGGGACTACGATCGGATTGGCGACGACTTTGTGAACCTAGATTTCATCCCCGAGGGTACAGACGTCAAGCCCATCGTACCGGCGCTCGCTCGGGTCTTCGACGCGGCCCTCGCGGGCGGCGGCGCCAAGGCCATCAATTTTAATGATCTCGCTGCCGACTTGGCGGAGATCACGTTCACGTTTCCCTTTCGCATTCCGCCGTATTTCGCGCTGGTGATTCGCGCGATCGGCGTGCTCGAGGGCATTGCCCTAGTGGGCGACCCGGGCTTCGCGATCGTGGACGAAGCCTACCCCTACATCTCTCGTCGATTGCTGACGGATACCTCACCAAGACTGAGAGCTGCTCTGAAGTACATGGTCTACGGGCAGTCGGAAAGATTTGACGTCGACCGAGTGATTGATATGTTAGGAGCCTTAGAACGGTTCGCCGCCGTGAAGAAGCTCGCGGATAGGGATGTGGACATCGTCATTTCCGAGAGTAGAGAGACGGGTTTGGTCCGAGAGGCGGACGCTCCTATCCTTGACAGATCAATAGTGCCGCAGGACGAGGACGCGGCCAGAGACGCGTTAGCCTTCTTCTTCGGCGAAGATGGGGAAGTATTTCGCGAGTTTTTGTTGGATGAACTCGTCAAGAGCATCGATGCCGGGGCGCGCGCGACGCTGCCGATTCCGCGGCCACCTTTAGCAAGCCCGCGCGTGACGACGTTCTTGGCGAAGTTACAGCCACCTGCGGATGACGACGATAGAGCGGCCATCGAAAACGCTCGGAAATTGGTCGCGTTCCTGCTGAGAAACGACAACAACGTAGATTTGTCGTCGGTCGCGCCGTCGCGGACGTCCGCGTCCGTCTTGCGGCAGCTGCGGGCCCTGTCGCCGGTCGTGAATGAACGGCGGGACGACCTGCGGCTGTTCGGCACGAAGCTCGCGGCGCGGCTCGCGGAGAAGCAGCTCGCGCGGAACTTCGACGCGCTCGGGTCACTCATCGCGCCGGCGGCCAGCCGCTAGCTCTCTCGTGTAACTTATTGTATGGGTCCTTTGTTCGTTCGTTCGTTCTTCGCGTGCGGAGCGATAAACCTGTTTTGGCACAGTCGAGGCTTGCTCTTTTGGTCGAGTTGTGCAAGGTATTTCACGCTTACGTTTCGCGGCGATTGGACATGCCGCCTAAGAGTTCATTGACGCGACGCTCCAGCGCGAAGAGTTGGAAACAACCCAAGTCTTCTCTCACAGCCAAAGTCAAGACAGTAACCAAGCCTCCTCGCTCGTCTGTGACGCGCCGCTCGTCGACGAAAACGCCACACGCGGAAGCGTCGTTGACACAGAACACGCCGAAGCATTAATACATATGGCTTTGTCCCTGCCCGCACTGTCCGTGACGGCGTTCGCGCGGGCGCACCCGTTCGCCGTCGGCGCGTCGGCCGCGACGCTTAAGGCCGCGACGGCCGATTGCATGATCCAGACGTGTGTTGAGGGCCGCCGCTGCGACGAGATCGACATAAAACGCGTGGCGGTGTTCACGACGTTCTGCTTCGGTTTTACCGGGTGCTGGCAGTACTACCTCTACAATCGCGTGATGCCGCGCCTCTTCCCCAATGTCGACGCATTCCTCGTTCTGCCGGTCCGGGAGCGCCTCCGGTCGGCCGCCGGCCTGCGAGCCGTCGGCGGCCAGGTGGCCATCGAGAACGTCTTGAACAACGCGTTGCTCTATTTTCCCTCCTTCTACGCGGTCCAGAGCCTCTACCAAGGCGGCCGCGCGATTGATGGCCTCGCGAAGTTTCGGGAGCGGTGGCGCGAGGACGTGCCGGCGATCTGGTCGTTCTGGGTGCCGGTGCAGACGGCGAACTTTTTATTTTCGCCACTTTGGGCCCGGGTTCCAGTCACGGCGGCGGCGTCGCTGCTCTGGACGTCGTACGTGTCGTTCTCGCGGGGGTGTCCGGGGCCGTGCCCGCAGAACGCGCCGACTTGCTGCGACGGCGTGGGTGGGTAAGACCTCCTTTCAGGAGGACTGAGTAATGTCTACTTAGCCTACTACTTCACGCGCAAAATCTTCACGTCGAAGAGCAGCGCCGCGTCGCGGCGTGGGTTCCGCAGCACGCTGTCGAGGGCGCGTTTGTCCTCGATCGTCGGCGGGACGGGCTCGAGGTCCGTCGTCTCGGAGTAGCCGAGGTTCGAGGGCACGATGATGCGTCGGATCTCGTTCTTCTTGGCGCCCTGGAGGCCCTGTTCGAGTCCGGGCACCACCGACCCGGTGCCGAGCCGCAAGATTTGTTCGGCGCCGCCGAGCGCGTCGGCGCCGGCGAGGCGTTTCGTTGAATAAAACTGCACGCCGTTCAAGTTTAGGAGCCGACCCGTCGCTTCCACGGCGATCGTCGACGAGCGGCCGACTGATGCGCCGTCGCCGGGCCTTAATTGTTGAACCTTGACGCCGCTCGAGAGCGTCTGGAACTGCACGTTGTCGCGGTCCGTCAACGGTTGCTCCTGGCCGACCCGCAGCATCTGTTCGTCGCGCGCGAACGCTGGCGGTGCGAGCGCTGATGCAAGAGTGCTGCCGGTGCCAACAAGCACGCCGCGTCGCGGTGTCAATGCATATGCCGTCGACATGAGTGCAATGCAAAGGCGCGCCATGGTAGTATGCGGCTGCAGCAGTCAAACCACGAACAGCCAAGCACCGAGATGTGCCTGCAAGCTCTGACAGGACAGAGTGCAAGGTGGTGCGCGCTCTGCGAGCTAGCTCTGTAAGACACTAGCATTCGTAGGATAAGTATACATTACTCCGCACCCGCCTCCTCGACGACGCAGTCCTCAGGCAAGTCCGCCGGGTCCGGTGGATTGATCCGCTTCACGATGTTCTCGTCCACCCACGGCGCGAACGCCAGCGCCAGGGCTATCCGCGCGGGCACGATCAGCCGCGCGAAGTTGATCAGCACGAAGGCGTAGCCGCCCAATGCCGTCTTGCCCTCCTCGGTCGTCCAGTCCGGGATCTCGCCCGTCGCGACGTACGCGGCGCCGAGGGCGAACGGCACGCTGCCGACCCAAAAACCAGCTTCCGTGATCGCGTAGGCGATGACGCCGGCTTGTCCGCTGTCCTTTATGCGGGTCATCTGGTCGACCCGACACTCCTCCGGGATGCGCGGGTCCTCCTTCTGTATAGAAATCGACCAGTGAGTTACGCGAACTACGTCGCGTCGATGGCGTGGGGCGCCTGAAATTTGATTTCCACGCAGTTACTGACGAACCCCCACTTGATGAGGACCTCGTCGAAGTCCGACACCTCCGCGTCTATCGTCTCTGCGAGGGCCGCCTCCTCGCGCATGAGGTCGGGGCACTGCAGCGTCTCCGTCTGGCCCTCGCACTCCTCGTCATCATAAGTCACTTGACACCACCCGTTCGCCGCGACGAGGCTCACCTTGCCGCTCCGGCCCGTCGCCTCGACCACGACAGTCTCGCCGACCTTTAGGGGCGGCTGCTTGGGCTCGGGCTCAGAAGGCTCCTCCGTTTTTTTTCGCCTAATCCGCCGCCATAGGTTGCGAAGCGGGCGTCGCTTCGGCGTCGCGTCGTCCTCTACCGCAGCGACGGCGTCCTCCACTGCCGTAGCGGTCGCGTCGTCGTCGGGCGTGGCCCGCGTTGCCGACTTTACACGCAGCGACGGTGCGACTCGTACGGGCGGGGCGAAGAAGGACAGAGCGTGTTGCAGCAGGGCTGCTACTATGATAGATGTCCTCATTGCCTCCGCTGTCTCACTGCCTCCTTGTTTGCAAAGATCTTCACTGCCTCTTATAGACGCTCTTGTGCTGTCAAACGCAAGTGACAGCTATCCGCTCGAAAGTATGCGAGAGATAAAGAAGCGCACAGCCTCCTAAGTCCTTCAGACGCAACAAATGGCAGGCAAATCTTCTTATGCCAAAATGGCTAGCTAGCGGTGTAACACACTAGCAAACACCAAGCTGAACTTTGGCCAGCGCTAACTAAGCAAGGCCTGCAGTTCGCGGCTAAGACTCGGTAATTCGTGGTTATCTATGCTGTAGAAGATCGTACTGCGAGCACTTTTGTGTATGCCAAGGCGGGAGCCAGCAGCTAGATGGTCGCCCTCAGGATAGCCCTAGCACCGCCAATCGAACCGCACTACGCCGAACAGCTCCTCACCACGGCGCTGGAGACGGCGCACGGGACCTCGCTAAGCGACGCGATGACGATCGCCGCCTGCGAGCGTTTCGAGGACGCGACCGTCGCGACCGTGGCCGTGCGCGACGACGCGCTCGTCGACGTGCGGGGCGCGCTCGTGCTCGCCGGCGGCCCGGCGAAGGCGAGCGTCGTCGTCGAGGCGACGGCACCATCAATCAGAGATTTGCCGCCGCGCACACAAACTGAGAGGCACCGGCTGCGGCCGTTCGAGGGCTTCGGGGCCGGGCTCTGGTAAGTGTGATGTAATGTTAAGCAGAAGCGTAGAGCACGAACGCGACCTGGCTTCCGAACCCCGCCGCGAAGCGCAGCGCGTACCGCGCGGGCCGCCTATCCGCAAACCTCAGGGACGAGCCGAGGTTCGGGTCGGCGACGCAGTTTGGTGGTCTGGGCGGGAACGACACGTTCCGCGACAGGGCGTAGGCCGCGACGGCGTCCTCGACGCCGACGGCCATCGGGTGGCCGGTCAACGCTTTCGTGTTCACCAGTCGCAGTTCATTCAAATCGTCCCCGAAGCACGCCCGTAAAGCTTGCACCTCGTTGTGCGCGCAAGATGATGACGGTGTGGCATGCGTGCCCGTCTCGTGGCTCAGGTAGACGCCTCGTGCTATTTCTGACCGAGGAATGCCGTGCCTTCGTTCGACGAGTTGCAGGAAGGCCTCCAACTCCGTAGCGATATGTTGGGCACACATGGCCGCCCCATGGAACGCTGAATTGCTGACTAGAGATTCGACGACGCGGCACCTTGCGCGCCGCTGTGGTTGCCGGGCACCCACCGAGGAAGCGCGCTCGATGACCAACCCACAAGCGCCCGCGCCGACGACCATGCCCGACCGCCTTTTATCGAAGGGTCGCGCTATCGACGAAGCGTCCTTCGCGATCGACGCCGCCCCGAGCGCCGCAAAGCCGTTGCCCACCCACGGCATGAGCGCGTCGCCCGACGCGTCGTCTCCACTCACCACAACAACCCGGTCGCAGCGGCCCGCTCTTATGAGATCTTGGGCTAAGGCTACGGCTTGCGTCGTCCCGGCGCACGCGGCGTTCGTTTGGAGGTTGGGACCGCGCGCTTTCACGAGCTGCGCCAGCTGCGAATTCGCCAAACATAAAACCTTGAACAGGAACTTCCGATCGAACGCATAGGGCTTCTGGCACTCCTGGGCCTTGGCTCTTAACAGATGTAGAGCGGCCTGTAGATCTTGATTTTCCGGGTCTATGCGTGTTGCCAGAGCATCTATTAACTCGGAAGTAGGTCGCCTTCTAGGATCGCCGTACTTCGAGATCTCGCCGATGGCGGCATCTAAGGCTGGGAACGACGTCGCATAGATAATCCCCGTGCCGTCCCGGAGGCTTTCGGGGAGCTGCCCATCCACAGAAGGAATCAGCCCGGCGTCCTTCATGCATTCCAAGCCCGCAGCGACGGCGAGCTGCGTCGCGCGGCCCATGGTCTTTACCAATGGCTCGGGAACGCCGTAATCCCGACAAAGGTCGAAGACGCCGAGCCGCGCGGACACGGCTATATTATTCTCCTGCGTGATCGGCAATTTCGTGGCCTTGCCGTGCTCCTTGCGTAGTCTTGCCACATTCCTCCTTAACATGGCCTTGACGCCTGCTTCGTCGACCTTTTCTAGTAAATTTGTGCCTTCCCTTAGGACTGCGAAATTGCTCGGGTCGAAGACCCTTCTTCTAGTTCCCGGGAGGCCCAAGGCTACACCAGAAACCACGCATTTCTCGCCGCCCGGCAGGCGCACATCACGACAGTGGGGTCGCTTCGTCTTCTTGCGCTCGCGGCCGTAGAGCAGCGCGAGGACCGTGGTGGTTATCAGAGCTGCTGCCGTGTAGGGCGCGGCGTAGAGGTCGACGAGCATTGTTTATGCGATGTGATGGGCGTGGTCAAAATGGTCCAAACTCGTGCTCCTCAGATTTTGGCCTCGCACGCAAGGCAGCAGTTGTGAAATTGCCGTGAGTGCAAATTCGTGGTCTTCGGAAAAGAACGGCAGCGTTGATGAAGCGTTTAACAGCAGTCAGAGGGCAAACAATCGCGTTCCGGAGCAAAGCGGTTTCAGCCGCTCTAGTGTGTTTACATACGCTAGTCCGCAAAATTGCGTTCGGCGACCATCCAGCATTTAGAGCAAAGCGAGACGTTGGTTGTGTTTTTAGTCCATTCATGCGGCCGTGCTTGCAGGTGGCTCAGCGTTACAGCGCGCGGCGGCCGCTACAGAGGGCCCTCCAAAGCAGCGCCCTCTGGCATCGGTCCCGGGCGACGCGGCAGCCGTCGAGGCGTGCTGATGGGTCGCAACGACGCCAGAGGTCGACCTGGGCACCCGCGACAGCAGCAGTCCACGCCGACGCCGGGATCGACAAAACGTCACACGACAGCGACGTCGCTCCACCGATTGGTCTCTCGACAACCTTCGACGACGGCGCCGACCACGTGTACTCGCGGATTAGCGCGCCGACGCGAGAACGCTGCGAAGCTGTGCTCGCGGCGCTCGAGGGCGGCGGGGGTGCGCGCGCGGTGCTGTTCGCGAGCGGCAACGCGGCGACGCACGCCGTGCTCGCGAGCCTCGCGGCGCGCGCGCGCGAGAACGGGCGGACGCCGCGCGTCGCCACCGACGGCATCGGCTACCACGGCACGCGCGACGCGGTCGCGGCCCTCGGCCCCGCCGTCGAGATGGTTGGCGGGGCCGCCGATTTAGGCGAGGGCGACGTCGTCTGGCTCGAGAGCCCGCGGAACCCGGACCTGCGCGTGCCGGACGTCGCGGGGGCCTGCGCCGGACCCGCTGACGTGGTCGTCGACGCGACCTTCGCACCGCTTGCGCAGAGGCTGTTGGACGACGACGTTGCCTGCGTTATCCATTCGGCGACGAAGGGCCTCGGCGGCCACTCGGACCTCCTGGGGGGCGTTGCGATCACACGCGATGGGGAGCTGGCGGACCGCCTGGCGTGGCACCGGACCGCGGCCGGCGCGGCGCCCGGGTCCCTGGACTGCTGGCTGCTGCTGCGGTCGTTGCGGACGCTTGACGTCCGCGTCACTCGGCAGAACGCCACGGCACAGCGCGTCGCCGAGGCGCTCGAGGCCTCCGGGCTACTGCAACGGGTCCTGTACCCCGGGCTCGCTTCGCACCCGGATCACGCCGTCGCAACGCGCCAGATGACGTCGTACGGGTCGATCCTCGCGGTCGAGTGCCGGTCCGAGGCCGCGGCGCGGGCCCTGCCCGAGACGCTGGCGCTCTTCCGGAGCGCGACGTCGCTGGGCGGCGTCGAGTCGCTCGCGGAGTGGCGCCGCAAGTACGACGACGCCGTGAGCCCGCTCCTCGTCCGCCTGTCTATCGGCCTCGAGGACCCGGACGATCTTATTGATGATCTGTTATCGGCGTTGCGGCGGCTCGAATGACTTTGCGTTTGATTATAAGCATGAATGTTGTTGTGAATCACGCAAACCGGTGCAGTAAAATCTACCGCCTGCCCGGGCGCGGCTTCCAGGGCCTGCGCAAGGAAAACGTGGCTAGCGGCTGTAACACACTAGCAAGCCCTGCCAAGCTTTTGCGAGGGCAAAGCACGGCCATTCGTGCTGCATTCATCTACGGTTGGTTTACGATTGCTCATCTTGTCTGCACTACGCCTTCATAACGATAGATAGCGTCGCACGGACGTGTACAGCTAGAGCTGACGCCATCGACGCGACCGCTGGGCGACGGCGGAAGGCAGTCAACGGTGATGCGCCTCCTCAGCCGCCAGTCCTGGAACCCATTAGCTCTAATAGCGACGGCGCGCACACTAATAAGGAGGCCGGGCCTGCTCGTGCCGCACGTGGCCGTATCAAATGTAGACGCGCTCGACTTCGACGCCCTGCGCGCCGCGGGCGTCGCGTCCATAATTTTTGACAAGGACAACACGCTGACGGCGCCCTACGTCGACACCGCCCACATAGAGGTAGCCGATGCAATAACACGCGCCAAGGACGCCTTCGGGGCCGACAACTGCATTGTCCTGTCGAACAGCGCGGGCTCGGGCGACGACGCGCCCGATTATAACGCCGCAAAGGCGTGCGAGGCCGCACTCGGGCTGCGGGTCGCGCGCCACCCGGAGGCCCAGAAGCCGCAATGTTTAGAGGGCGTCGTCGCCTCCCTGCCAGCCTCGGACGCTAGTACTGTAGCCGTCGTCGGCGACCGCCTCGCGACGGACGTCCTCGCGGCGAACGAAATAGGGGCGCTCAGCGTGCACACGCGGCCGCTCGATACGAAGGGAGACAACCCCGCCGCCTTGGTATCGCGCTTCCTCGAGAACCGGCTGCTCCTGCCTTTGTTAAGGCGCCTCGGCGCGGCGCCTCCTACCCACCCGGCCGTCGCGGACCTCGCGCACACGCAGCCGGGGACGGCCCTGCCTTCTTCTCGGTGATAGTAGGAGTGGGGTGGGCCCGCGCCGACGGCGATGGTGCTATGATAACATGTTGTGTTTTACAGAACTACTACAACGGCCGTCTCCGTGGCCGCTTCGCCCGCGACACCGTGCCCGTACTCCCACCAGTGCCGCCGCGTCGCGTCGGCGCCAGGGCGACGAGCGGCTCGAGGCCGGCCGCGGTGCGCGACCGCGCCGAGATCGCGAAGCCGCCGCGCCGCGTCGCCTCGCGCGGCGGCGGCGGCGGGCCACGGGCCCGAGCGCGCTTAGGCGGCGCGGGCGCCGGCGCCGGCGGAGGCGACCGCCCGCGGCCGCCTCTCTTAATAACGACGCACGGCGCCTTCTCCTTCTCCGTCCGCACGGCGTAGACCAGGATCCCGCCGTAGCGCGCGTCCAGCGCGTCCATGACGTGCTGCCGCGCGCGCCACGTCTCGCCATCAATAATTAGTTCTGGCGGCGCCGAGACGCTGCAGGCCGGGTAGGCCGCGAACTTCGCGATCGCGGCGCACGACGCGCAGGCGCACCGGCCTCCGGTCGGCTTCGCGGTGCTGCCGCCGAAGGTCCGGATCGTGTCGCGCGGCGGCGGCGACTTTCGTCGTGGTGGTTCCGCGAGGTGGCGCCTTACCGGCCGCTGCTCGGCCTGGCGCGTGCCGAGGAACTCGACGTCGTCGTCGATCTCGAGCACTTTGCCCTCGGCCTCGGCGCGGCGCCGCGACTCGGCGGCGCGCTCGGCCGGCGTCTGTACGCCGACCAGCTCGACGTCGTCGTCGTCCGCCGCGACGCCCGCGCGGAACGCCGCGCAGCCCTCGGCCAGCGCGAGGACGGCGCCCTCCTCGTCGGCGTCGTCCAGTTGTGCTTGTGTAGTGTCCCATTCGTCCATAGTGATGCCCAAACGAGCTCCAGTGCCGAGCAGTTGTGGCCGCAGCCCAGCACTTCTGATTTCACGCAGCAGCGGCACAAATGCGCCGCAATGCGAGCCAAAAACTACCAGCTGGAGCAGTTGCTAGTATCTTACAGCGCTAGCAAAAACCGCACACGCTACCACACGTACGATAACGCGACCCCTTCACGCCATCGAAGCGACGGGAACAGTATACAGGGCAACGCTTTACTACACACGCGTCTTCACTTTCTGCGCTCCGCTCTCTGCCGCGCGAGCTGCTTGAGCCAGTCGTTGCCGTCGACGATTTCTTTATTTTCATCATCCACGTCGACGGCGTCGTCGCGCAAGAGCTCCTTGTCCATGGACTTCTGGCGCGCGGCGCCGCCGGCGACGCGGGGCTTCTTCGCCGGCGAGGGCTTCGCGTCGTCCGACAGCTTCTGGCCCTTCTTCTTCTTCTCTTTTGGCGTGGGCGCGACGCGCACGCCGTCGACGACGTGCACTTTCAACCGCATCACGGTAGTGATCTGGCAGTCGTCGTACTCCGAGTGCTTCGAGATGGAGCCCGCAAAATCCACCACACACCCCGGATCGCCGATGAGCTTGGCCTCCTTGTTGGAAGTAGAGGCCCACCACTGTACAATGTCATTGCCGATCGCGAACGTGTGCAGGCGCTTGTACTTCTCTCCATAATCATTTTCCTCCATCTTGATGGATTTGACGTACAACAGCTTCGCGTCGGCGAAGTTCGGCCGGTCGCCGACGGAGTGCAGATACGACGACTTGCCCGCGTAGCTCGCGAGCGTGCTCTTCGCCTCGCGGCCCTCCAGTAATGATTGGCGGTTCTGCGCCCACTTGTCCTTCTCTCTTTGCGCCTCGCGTTTCTTCTCCTCGCGCTTCCGGTCGCGCTCCTCCTTGCGCCGCGCCTTCTCTTCGTCCGAGAGCTTCTTGGACTTTTTTGCTTTGGGCTTCTTGCCGTAGGGGTTGTTGCGCCACTCGTCGAAGTCCTGTGCGGAATCCACCGCGTCACGCCATCGACGCGATGGCGTATTGATTTCGGCCCTGGTACATGCGTAATCGTCGTCGTCGTCGTCGTCCGACTCTTCCTCGTCTTCGTCGTCGGACGGAGGCGGCGGCGGCGCCGGCTCGGCTTTCACCGCGGGCTCGTCGTCGTCCGTGTCGTCGGGGTTCGCGCGGCGGCGGCGCACGAGCGCTCGGGCTTTCTCGAGGTCGCCGCCGGCGTCGCGGAGCGCTTGGCTGGCGTCCTCCTTGCTGAGGCCCTCGAACTCGGCGATCAAAACGTTGCGCGGGCGCGGCGCCTTGGTTTCGGACATTGTTTTTGATCAGCGTGTCGCCCGCGTGCGTGCGCCGGCTATCAGGGTCAGGGAGACCACTCTCTGAGAGCGGAATGAAACGGAGGCGCTGCGCGTGTGCTCAGCGCCACAATTTGGCCTGGGCAGCGCGGCGACACTCACAGACTGAGGGAGCGCTGCTGCGTGTATCAATTCGTCCTATAAAGTGCTCGTCGCCATCATAATCAGGAGGTACTTGCTAGTATGTTACAGCCGCTAGCGTTGATGAGCCGCACCCCGAGGCGGTACCTCCTTAAAACTGGTTCATTGCCGAATTGGATCATCACCTGGTCGAGTCTTTGGCGCACGGCTTTATCGCACGGTCTTTCAATCCTCTTTGGAAAACCGGCCACTGAGACTCTGGGAGCAAGAACCTGAGAGAGAGTACTTCAGCGGAGATAATGAGAGCCACCGCCCTTCTATTGGTCCTCGCCGCCGGCGCCGTGGGCCAGGGCGGGTTGCGCAAGCCCCTCTTTGGCCAGACCGAAGGCGACAGCAACAAGTGCGGCGCGGCGTGCGAGTGGTACGCGTCGGCGCCGGTCGACGGCAACGCCGACGCGACGTGCGGAAATCGCGTGCAGTACCTCATCGAGGACGAGGGCAAGGACGCCATCACGGCGTGCGGCCAAGTCGCGACCGAGGCTCCGAAGATCTGCGGCGGATGCGCGTGCGGCGAGTCGTGCCCATGGGACGCGTCGGCCCCGGTCGCCGAGGACCCCGGCGCGACCTGCGGGTCTCGCGTCGCGTACCTGATGAACCAAGAGAAGGAGGACGCAGCCACGGCGTGCGGCAAAATCGCGACCGAGGAACCGGAAAAATGCGGCAGATGCAGCTCCACGCCGACGCCGCCCTCGACGTGCACGCCCGCCCTCGTCATCATGCGCCACGCCGAAGACGGCAGTCCAGAGAAGTATGATTTACCCGGCGCGAACACGATCTGCGACGCGGCCTGCCCGAAGGCGCTGCGCAACAACCTCAAACCAACAGGCGAAGACCGCCGCAAGTTAATCGCCGCCCAGCTCGACAACTGGGTGACCAAGCAGCTCGGCCTCTGCCCGATCACGGCGATCACGACCATCGACCCCTCCAATGGCCAAGGTTGTCCCCCCTACGGAGACAAAGGGGGTTCAACCGTCAACCCGTTCTGGACCATCGCGACGTGGGCCAACGACCACTGCGCCCAGCTCGACGCCGACCTTAACTACTACGTCCACGACGACGACCTCGGGACCGACGATGACGCGCGCCCCGTGGCGGGCTCGCCGTCGATCGGCCCCGGACGCGATGGCACTACGTCACGCGCCCTCACCTACACGTCCCAGGGGCTCTGGAGCCGCTGCACGGAGAAGGGTTGCAAGTGGGACCGGCCGAAGCCGGACAAGGGCACGCTGATCCGCGAGGCCTACGCCGGCTCGGCCTCGGAGATCTGCCCGCCGACGCACGAGATTGTCTGGGTCCTCACGGGCTACGACGGTAATCAGTGGACCAAGTTGGAGCAGTACATCATGCCCGGCGTGACGTGCCAAGGCAACTGCCCCCTCGCGAAGCAGACGAGCCGCACCCCAGGCATCCCTGGCTACTGCAAGTAGCTAGGGCCGACCGGACACGACGACGATCCCTACCCTAACACGACTAACGTAGTAAACACACGTCCGAACAAGACCAGTTAGTCCACGGCCCCTAAACCACGAAAATAGTCGCGCATGATGTGGTTCAGCGCGTAGATCTCCGCCCTACGTCTTTCCCGTGCGCGCGCGTCCGCGGCCCTTTTTGCGGCGGCAGCTTCCTTTTTAGCCTTCAACGCCGCGGCGATCTTCGCCGCCGCCATCGCATTCTTCGCCGCCGCGTCCTTTGCACGCCTCGCGGCCTCCTCTCTTAATTGGTCGAGGTCGACGTGGGCGTACTGCCGTCGACGCTTCTCCTCGTCCAGCTCCTTGGCTTTACGTTCCGCCTCGACCTTCCTCCGGTGCTTCGCGACTCGTTCTTTGGCCTTGAGCCGTTCCCGTTGGACGTCGGCCACTGGACCTTTAGTAGGCGGCGGAAACGTCGACGACAGCATCTTGGCGCCCGTCGTCGGCCGTTGTTGAGGGACAGCTGGCAGTGGCCTTGACGTCGAGGCCTCCAAGCGCGCGGCGGCCTCCTGGGCTCGAAGGATCGGGGCTTCTCGTGTAATTTTGGCCTTTGGAGGCGCGCTGCGAAGTTTCTTCTTACCTTTACGTTTCGCCTTCATGCGCCGCAGCGTGACGGCGGCGCGGGCCGCGGCCACGGGCGTGAGCGGCGTGGCGCAGACCGCGAGCTCCATGGCTTGTTTTTGGCTTGTTTCGCCGTCGGCGCGGCGCTGTAGCTATGCAGCTGCTCGCGCGCCGCGCGCCCAGGTGCTAACACTGGGCGCTGCAGCTGCCCTTTTGTTGCCAGTGGTGTGCTCGCCCGATGCGGTCGCCGGGTCGAATTCCTGCTCCTTGCGACTCGTTTCGAGGGATCGCGGCGGCGGCTTGGAAAGGGGGCTGCCCCCGGCGCGTGCAAAGCTGCCCCAGCCAGAGCAAACAGCGGCGGCGCTCGGCAAAACGGGGGCGAGGCTCTTGCGGAAGTGGGGCCGCGGAGAGGTCTGCGGGAGCGAGGATTTGTGGAGGATCATAGGTATCCGCGGACGAGCCGACAAAACCCGCGGAAAGCAGCCTTAATTCACAAACGGGGGGGTGCACAAAAATGGCCGCTCGGGTTCCGGTTCAGCCTTGCGCCGGCAAGTCCGGGCATTTGTCCGGAGGGAGGCTTCTAGCTGGCTCGTCGAACAAACTTCGCGTTTGGAGAGGGCCGATACGGGACCCTAAAATTGCCGCTTTTGGCAGTCGTTGTGCCATTAAGCGCCTCTACCGAGCCGCAGGCTGCTCCTACGCAAAAACTTCATCGATGGCGCATCATCAGTGGGTGTTGGTGCTGGCGTAGGAGCAGCCCCGATGAAGTTTCGGCACTCCGCGGCGGAGACTGAGGGGCTGCCCACAACACCGGTCGAGTTCAGGATTGGGCCATTTTTCAAAACGCATGCGCAGCCCGAAAGAGGGTGTTTGTGAGTTGCCCGATGAGGTTCCGACCCGCACTCCCGCCTCTTTTTCAGCTATGCCAGCGCTGATAGTCCGCCAGCGGCCGCGCAGCGCCTGCCGCGAACGACGTAAACGGGGCCAAAGCGGCCACGAGGAGGACGAACGCTTCAATACAAGTGGTCACGGCCCACGCATGGTACACGAACGAAGTCCTGCGACGCTCCGTCTGTCCAGCCGGCCCCCAAATCGCTTCAAAATGGCATTTCGACCTCATTTCGGCATGTTTTTGCCTCACCACGACCCGAAATCCCCCTATTCTCCGGTAAGTTTTGTCTGTATCTACTCCATAGAACCCACAGAGGACTGCCCCGGATTTGCCGGCGCAAGGCTCATCGAGGTCTTGCGCTAGAACCCCCCCTCCAAGCTCTTACCCTAGCCCCTCTAGCCCCCCTTCAAGACGCGCCAGGAATCGCGCGCAGGAGGTCTGGGCCCGGTAGCGCACCGGAACTCATACAAAGCCTGCTCTCAACGGCCGCACTCGCGACGACGCAAACACAGACGGCGTAGATAGCTCAACAGATTGGGGCGCCCCACAACGCGGGCGAGGGGAGAGGGGGGTCTGCCAGAGCCCTGAGGACAACGTTTCGCCCCCTCCCATGATCCCTCGGCGGCGACGCAGCACGCACATTTCCTCGGATTTCGACAGCCCGCGAAAATCCCGCTCTAAGCGAGAGCCCGCTGACCGTCTAACGACTTGGGGCGCGTCAAACCCTGACAGCGTTTGGGCGTGTCAAAAACCACAAAGACCGCGCGGCCGGAGGAAGCCCCCGGCCGGCGTCCACTCGCACGACACGTCCCAGATGAGACCGCCGTTAGCGAGGTTTCCCCGAATGAGGCCCCGGGTAGAGCCGTAGCACCGTTGGGGTGGGCTAGACCACGAAGGCGGCTCGGCCGAAGAGGACCCCGGCCGGCGTCTACTCGCGTGGACACGCCCTAGAGGGGCCGCCACGAAGCGAGATTTGCGAGCTCCGCGAACCAATCGCCGCGCTCCGCTCCATCGCCGGACGATAAGCGACTCCTGCGCGGGGTATCGGCGGCGACGGTCGCGGCCGTCGGGCCGACCTCGAAGCACGTTAGGCCCGCTCTGGCCTAACTTGAACTTGAGGCCGGCCGGACGGGAGGGCCGGTTCGCGTCGTTTCAGGACCCGGCGGCGCGGTCGCGACCGGCGGGGGACGAGCGTCCGCGTCGCACCGGCAGGCGCCCGTCCCGGGCCAAAACGGCTTGCTCGGCGAAACGGGTTTTCCGTGCGGGTCCCCTGGCCCAGGCCCCCGGGCCGCCCGACCACGAGGCGGGTCAGGTCGGCGACGCCCCTCTCGGACGCCGCGATCCGCGCCACTAGGCGCGCCTCGAGCCGCGCCTGACGCGCTTCTATCTCTTGTAATCGGCGGTTCACGTCGAGCCGGGCCGCGCGGTCGCGCGCCAAGCCCTCGTCCGAGTCCGAGCCGTCGCTAACGATCACGCCTTCCGGCGCCACTACCGGCTCGTCGGCGACGACCGTCTCGTCGGGGTCGCACACGCTCGACGGCGGCGTCACTAGCTTCTTGACCGACGGCGGCGCCGTGGCCTCGTCGGCCTTGGGTAACTCATCCGTCGCGCGCGCCGGCGCCGCCTTCGCGTGCCGTCTGCGCCATTCATTGCGCTCGCCTTCCGTCATAACGGCGTCGTCGCCCCAGCGGCGTAAATCGAAGTCGCCCAACGGCGTCGTCGAGCCCGTCGAGCCGTCGCCGGCCCTGAGGGCCATGGTCTCGGCCATGACGGCTTCGTGCGTGTCTGGGCTATTGATATAGCCCCTCGGGAGCGGCGCGGCGTCCTCGCGTCGCCGCGTCTAGCGTGTTGAAGGATGTTCTGGTTTCTGTTCTCAGCCTCTGCTGAGCCGTTTCGGGCGGTTTTTTCTGTGTCAGGGCTCTCTCTGCCGTGCCCGGAACCTAACGCGGAGCTGAGACGTCGCGAAAATTAGTCTGCGAGATTTTTGCGCCGGAACTGATTGAGAAACCCGGTTTGGGGTTGGTGCACCCCCCCTTATTCACAAAAAAGCCGTGCGCCACGCGAAGCAGTGCGTTAGCAGTGCTTGATAGCAATCGCACGCATTGCTCAGCATAGCTGCAGCCAGTAGCGCGCGCTGCTCGTGCCGTCAGGCAACCGATTCCACAAGCGCTGGAGTGCCAAGCAGCCGTGGCCAGCCGCCGCAGGACTCGACGCCGCCGCGTTACACAACAATGGCAGCGCAGGAGGGCGAGGTCACGGCCATCTCCTTCGACGACTTCGACGAGGTCTGGGAGGAGGAGGACGCGCCGGCCGTGCCGTCGCCCGGCCGCATCGAAGAAATTGAAAATAAGAAGACCGAGGTCGAGCTCACACGTATAACAAGGGTCCGCGACGCGGACTTTACGAGAATCGGCGTGTTGGGCGTCGGGTCGTTTGGCAAGGTTGTCCTCGCCAAACAGAAGGCGACAGGTGATCTCTATGCATTGAAATTCGTTTCACTGGCAAGGTTGCAAGACCGGAAGCAGTTCGATCGCGCTCTGGATGAGCGAGCCATCTTAGCTACTTTAGAGCATCCCCACGTCGTCAAGCTGCATTTTGCCTTCCGAGTGAAGGGCCACGCGGTCCTCGGGTTTGAATATTGTGCTGGAGGAGAATTATTCCACCACCTCTGCAAGAAACGAGTGTTGGATGCGAAAGCGACGGCCTTCTACGGGGCGGAAATAGCGTTAGCCCTGCAGTGCGCGCACGAGGCGGGCGTGGTTTATAGAGATGTAAAACCAGAGAACTGCTTTCTGGACCATAGGGGCCACCTGAAGCTCGGCGACTTTGGCCTGGCGCGCGCCGGCGTTACTTCACCGTTTCGCGGGGCGCACAGCGTCTGCGGAACACCAGAGTACATGGCTCCGGATGTCTTAGCGCGAAAGCCGTCGGGCTACGGCACGGCCGTCGACTGGTGGGGCCTGGGCGTCTGTTGTTATGAACTGTTAACAGGATTGCCGGCGTGGTACACGTCGGACCGACGGAAGTTGTTTGACAGGATCCGGTCAGCACCTCTGAGGTTACCACCGTCAGTCCCTCCCGAAGCGGGCGCCTGCGTCGCGGCGTTGCTGCGAAGGCATCCGAAGCAGCGGCTCTGCGCGTTGAACGGCGCCGACGAGTTGAGGGGGGAGGCGTTCTTCGCGAGCGTGGATTTTGACGCCTTGGTGCTCGGGGCGTTGGACCCGCCGATAGCGCCCTGTCGCTCGTTGTCGCGGCCCGCTCATAGAGCGAACTTCGACGGGCGGTTCACGACGCTGCCGGTCGACACGCCCGTCGAAGGGCCGGACCCCTCCTTTTTAGATGGAGACGACGCGCTCGCGACGGGCTGGGAGTTCGTGCGGCCCGAACCTGTGTAAGTTCGTTGTGAATAATACCGAGCCGTCGCGGCGGCGGCGTTTTTCGATGCTAGTGTCTTACGGGCCGCTAGCTTTATTCTTGCCGGAGCACCACCCCAGCGCTGCGCCAGCCGCCCGTTCGCGCTCTACACGTGTGCGCGACCGCGCATCCACATCCTCTGATAAGCATCCGTGGGATTGTCGGCCCCAGTGCTTGCTGTCATCACTGTCTACAAGTGTGTGACTGTGCAGCACACACTACGCAAACGCTCGCGCAGCGATACGTGAAGACCTCGTGCTATCACTGCGACGAGAATAGTGCCATCGCAAGTAAATGGCAGGCTACTCACGGCCGGCCGTGGCACGCATTTTTGGCGTGCCGGCCCTCGGCGGTCTTCTCTTCGGCTGGGACATCGGCGCAACAAGTTATGTGCTGACGCAGCTCCAGTCAGCCGAGTACAGTGGCGTGAGCTGGAGCGGCGCCGTCGCGGGCTCGAGCTTCCTGCAGGGTTTGATAACGAGCGGCGGCGTCGCGGGCGCACTCATTGGCGCGGCGATTGTATTTCGCGTCGCCGACGCGATCGGCCGCCGCCGCGAACTGATTCTGGCCGCGTTGCTGTACGTCGCGGGCGCTGTACTGGAGGTCGCGTCTGGCTTCGGCACTACTGAAGCGACCGGCCTGGCGCTGCTGCTCCTCGGTCGAGTCGTCTACGGGGCCGGGTGCGGCTTCGCCATGCGCGTACCCGGCGTCCGAAGAAGCCGCCTTCACGCCATCGCGGAGACGTCACGACGTCATCGATCGTACACACACAGGCACGGCGCGCCCGCGTACATCGCCGAGATGTCGCCCGCGTCCATCCGAGGAACGCTAGTCTCTCTCAAAGAGGCGGCCATCGTCCTGGGCATCTGCCTGGGCTACGGCGTGGGATATGCCTATTCAGAAAAGGACGGCGGCTGGCGCTGGGCCTACGGCTGGACCCTGCCCGCTTCGTTGCTTCTCCTGGTCGGGGCCCAGTCGCTCCCACCGTCGGCGCGCTGGCTCGCGCTGAGGGGTAAGGCCGTCGAGGCCGTCGCGAGCCTGGCGTTCGTGTACCCAAATGATGTAGACGCCCGCGACGCCGCCGCCCAGGAGCTCGCCGTGGCCTCGGAGTCGCGCAGCAATGCGCCGCCGCCGAGGCTCGGGGACCGGCGCTACCGGCGGGCCCTCACGGCCGGCATCGGCGTGGTCCTCCTCCAGCAATTTACGGGCCAGCCTTCGGTCTTGTATTACGCCGGCGCGATCTTCGACGCGGCGGGCGTCGGCGCCGTGGCCTCCGTCGCGGTCGGCGTGTTCAAGCTCGTCGCGACGCTGGGCGCCGTGGCGACGGTCGACAAGCACGGGCGGCGCAAGTTGTTGTTCGTCGGCATTAGCCTCATGGTCGTGGCGCTGCTGGGGCTCGCGGTCGCGTTTCACGGCTTTGAGGGAGAAGGTTCGGGCTTCACGCCGCGCAAGGTCGGTATTATTGGCCTGATATTTTTGTACATCGCGGCCTACCAGATCTCCTTCGGGCCGATCGCGTGGTTGTTGATCAGTGAGCTGTTCCCGCTCGAGGTGCGCGGGCAGGCCGTCGCGCTGGCCGTCCAAGCGAACTTCGCCTCCAATATGGTTGTTGCATTGCTGTTCCCCGTGGCGCGCGACGCGCTGAAACACGTCGTCGGCGACGCGTGGGCCATGTCGGTGCTCTTCGCCGCGTTCGCGGCGATCGCTCTTTACGCCTTGGAGTTCGTGCGCGCGCGCGTGCCCGAGACCAAGGGCCTCTCGCTGGAGGAGATCGAGCGGTACTTCGCGTCGGGCGAGCGGCTCGCGGGCATCGAGAGCCCCCTGATTCCCTCGGCGGGCGACGAGCTTGTCGTGTAGTAGCGGCGGGTGTAATGTATTGTCTATGAAGTATGAGTTATTGTTTGTGAGAAAGAGTGAGAGTCGCTTATTGAACCCACCCCCAGGTAGACCCCGACGCTTCTGTTTGGCGAGAGAAAGACACTCTAGCGTCGTGGAATGAGCAAAAAGCGTGCTCGTCGCCTCGAGCGTGAAAATAACGAAATAAAGCGCGTCCATCCCTGATTCCAGTACTCGGACGATCGCATACGATCGACTACGATCGATTACACACGCGCAATCCATCTCTCTCTCTACGAGTCTGAAGCAATTTCAAGCAAACTCTCTCTCTCTCTCTCTCTGAAGCAAAATGTCTGCCATTTCAGCCGTGCCTGATGATCAGACGTACCTCAAGCCCAAGAAGACATCGTCGAACCTCAAGCTTCTCGTCGCCGGCGCCGCTGTTGTAGCTTTCATCCTCGGTGCGGTGGTCGCCACTGCCACGTCGGCTGGCGTCGCGGCGGTGGCGCAGCCGGCCGCCTCGCTCGCGAGCAGCGTGGCCTACGACCTCGTTGATGATGACTCGGCCGCCTCGCTCTCGAGCAAGAATGATCTCCCGGCGCCGGGCTGGGACACGTGCGATTGGGTTAGATCGAACGGCAACGCCAAAGGCCAACACCGGGTCGGCTACGCAAGCTCTCCGTGGCAGTGCATTGCCATGGTGCGGGAATTTTACCCGGACGCGACGATCGCGACCATCGAAGACTCGGGCACCGGCGGCTGCTACGCCCAATTCGGTTCCGACGAGCCGACGTATAAGAGCGACTCGATCTTCAAGACCTGCGTGCTCGCGTCGATGCCGCCCGGCTCGGATCTCGATACTCATGGGTGCAAGGGATCTGCCGGCTTTAGCTGGTGCGATCGCACGCAGTCGTGTGTGCGCGACTGGGAGACGCCCTGCTCAAGCGCTCCGGTCAAGGACGTCCTCATCAACGGCGTGCCGTGCCGCGGCGAGAACGTCGTCCAGTCTACGTTCAAAGAGGAAACGTGCGAGAAAGGCGAGGACGCCGAAGGCGAAGTGTGCTCGAACGACGTGGCCCCGGGCGCCGAGATGTGGCTCGATCACTTCGAGTACACGTGCAACTACGAGGTCGGCAAAGAGAGCGACACGCATTGTGCGCGCTGCCGCGTGCCGCTGAAAGAGCCGGACACGCCAGTCGACATGATGCACCAAGGCCAACCCGTGTCTTGCCTCTTGAAGAACGTCGTCGTCGTCGAGGACCGCGAGATGGAACACAGACCCTCGGACGGCGACATCGGTCCCGAGTTCGGCAAGCACGGGAAGCATCTCTGCAAGGGCCCGTCCAAGGACGGGAACGTCTGCGCCAACGCCGGCACGGACAGGGAGGCGTACTGCACCTACGCGCTCGGGCCGGCGCTCTACCCCGAGGAATTCCCGGTGGACTTGCACTTCTGCGCGTACTGCGCCGACGACAACTAGATTCTTCCCTTCCCATTGAATAAAGTACTAGATATTTACACTGGAGAGAGATAGCGCGTTTCTATGAACACTTCACGGCGTCGCGGTCTTGGGCAACACGGCGTCGACGTCGAACGTGGCTTTCTTGGGCTTCAGCACGTCGGCCGGCGTCGGAATAATAGCGTCCACGACGGACCCAGCGGCGTGTAAAGCCAACGGCGCCGCTAAGCCGCCTGCAGCGTACGCCGCAGCCGCCGAAGCCCCGGACACGAACGCCGCGGCGACCGCCGGGTAGCTTTTTGTTTCACGGGCCCGGTCGTCGACCTCGACGTCGGCCGTCGACGTGTCGTGGAAGTGCATCAACCACGCGTCCGCGACGCGCTCGAAGGCCTCGCCCTCATCTAAAGCGCGTTGGGCGGCTTGATCATAACACTTCTTGACGGCCGGGCCATCCCTTTGGGCGTCGCACTTGTCCGCCCGCGCTTCGAGCGTTCGGGCAGATAAAGCATCGGTCTCCAAGGCGTCGGCGATGGCGTTCTTCTCGTCAGAAAATGTGGGCGGCGGCCGCGCCCAGTTCAGCGAAAAGTACTCCATCGCTCCAGCGACGCCGCCGCACCCCACAATAGCGAGGGCCGACACGGCCAGCGCGCACAGCGTTTGGTCCTCGACGATGAACAAAGGCATCGCCGCCGCGATGTCCGCTTCTAATCGATTCTGGAGGTAGTGGTGGAGGATTTCCACTCGAGGTGCCGCCGCCAATAAGGTTAATAACGAAGCAACCATGGCGTAAGGCAGACCGTTCTCCTTGCGGCCCTGGGGCGTGTCCGGCGCGCGGCTGAAGCCCGTGAACCAGCCGTCCGCGATAGATCTTTCGAGAGCACCGACGGTCAGGGGCCCGCTCGACCCGCTCCAGTGCGCCTTCCGCGCGTAGGCGGCTAGCACGAAGATGGAGCCGGCCACTAAAATCTCGGGAGACGCGTCGAGGGTCAACTGTTCCGTGGAGAAGAAGTCGTCCAATCCATACTGTTGAGAAAACAGCAACCCCAGTCTAGCCGTAGCAGCCGCCCACACGAAAACAAACGACGGGTCCCGCGCAATTCTTAATGAGGCGTCCCAAATATTCTGCGGCGTTTCCAGTTGGGACCAGGTCAGGATGTATTCTAATCTTGATATAGCATGTAAATCCGTCTCCGTCGTGGCCTTGACCTCCAGCGTGCGTCCTCTCGAGCCTTCTATCACAACTGTTCTAGCACCAGTGCGCGGCGCCGTGCGCGACCACTTGCCGTTGTCGTTCCGGAAGCCTAACCTAGTAAGATCCTCGCTCACCTCGACCTCTTCCTCCGCGACGGCTTGCTTGGGCACGAAGCGCCGCTTCCGCCGCGGCATGTACTGATCAACAATAAATTCGTCCTCGAATTCCGCAGCCGCGTCGTCCTGCCACCTTTCCACGTCGTAGACGTCGGGCTCCGCCGTCCTCGCATATATGGAGATGTCGTTCTCCTCGTTGTAGGCCTCGTGGCGTTTTGTACTACGCTTCCAGGCGCCGTCCTCGTACGATAGGCCGAGGGCCTCGTACTTCGCGATCTGTTCTGCGCTTAATTGATCGGGGGCCTTCTGTCGCGACTGGGAGGCGCGCTTGAGTCGCGCGGATTGCGCGTCCTTCTTGGTCTTCTCCGGCAGGGCCGCGAGGTCTTCGAGCGTCGTGGCTACTTTCTTCTGAGCAAATTTGCCGGCGTTGCCTAGTAATTGCTTCGCGTCGTCTAACAAAGGGTTCGTGGGCGGCTTCATCAAAGCTAGCGCCGGCGCCAGCGCCGTGAGGGCGAGTAGGGCGCGCATACTGGCCTCTGCTGGTTTGAAAGACTTTGTGGATCGCGGGTAATACGCGCTTTAAGGCGGCGGCAATTGCTCTCCGTCCAAGATGAAGGCGTCGGCGCTGTAATGCTTCGATTACAGCTCCTTAAACGCCGTGCAAGGGAGGTTTTGAGCGGAAAGAAGCTGTCGCGCAGCGGCGGCTAATTTTGCTGCTCCCGATTTTCTTCGATTTGAATTAAAATTTAATAGGCTCAGCCATGCACGCGCAAGGAGGGCTCTGCAGGAGCCCCCCAGAGACCTTTCCGTGAAAATTTTCGATTCTCTGGCGTCCGTGGCGTCCGTTGCACAGCCTCTTCTTGAGGCAGCAAACTGGCAGTAAAGGCAGCCCAAACGCATAACCATGGCCCAGCTCATGGAGCGCACACAAACAGAGAGGCCGCGCGTCGTCGTCGTCCGGCGCGGCATGCCGCCGCGGCGGTCCACGCCCCACCGCGACCGTGCGCTCCAAGAGCTCGACCTACTGCTCAACGCGACGGACCGCGAGGCCTTCCTGGAGCAAACGCAAAAGCTCACGACCAGCTGCGTCGCCGCGGCGCAGGAGAGGTTAAAGCCGCCGGAGCCGAAGGCGTCGACGCTGCCGCCGCCGCCGCCCTCTGTGGTCGAGGCCGTCTCGCCGCTGCCGCTCGCGTCGGTGCCCCGGAAGCCCCTGCCCTCGTCGGACGCCCTGAAGGGCCTGTCGCCGGGGTCTGCTCTCAAAAAACTCAGGGAGCTCCGCACGGAGCAAAACGCACCGATTGACGAGGAGCGCGAGGTCCAGGAGGGCTCCGAGGAGATCCCGGAGGACGACGACGCCTCGGACGACGATGACGCCTCGGCCTTTGCGGGGGGCGCGCGGTCGCCGGCGTTCGGCGGCGCGCCTCCTCCAAAAACGCGTTCTCCCGCACGCACGCGGTCGCCTAGGTCGCCGGCGCCGCGGTTGTCCGAACGCCAGGCCGCCGCCCTCCGCGCGGCCTTGAGTCGCTGCGTCCAGTCGACGGCGAACGCTGTCGCGGATGAGATTGCGGACGACCCGGAGGTGTGCGAGGCCTTCGGCGCGCGGCCGCTGGGGCTGGCCGTCGGCTTTCTACGGACCCTGGCCGAAAACCCCGTCGACCACCGTGCAGTGGGAGAGATCGTCGCGCGGTCGGCCGCGGCGGCGGGGGGGCGGTCGCCGCGGACGGCGTAAGCTTCCTTGCAGTCATTTACCGTGTATGATTTACGAACGAATTAGACTTTACAGGTAACTATAAACTAGCGCCGCGGCTTCCGAGACTGCTTGCGGCGCCCAGGCGCCGGCGCGCCGCGGTTCTGCCGCGGCGGTGGCTTCTCGACGCGGAGGTTTTGAACTTTCTTCAAACCCATGAAGCCGACCGCGCGCGGCGTCAGCGACGGCGTCTCGCGCAGGAGGTAGTCCTCGCGCGCCATGGCGTTCGCGCGGTCGACGAGCTCCTGCTTCGACCAGCCGAGCGTCTTGCACCGCGCGTTCGTGTGGCCGAGCCAGCCCACGTAGGCCTTTCTCCGTATGTCCGGCATAACGCGGTTCATCGCCTTTTGCGAATCGTCGGCCACGGCGTCGAGGAATTCTGTCGCGTCTATGTCCAGCATTTTCACGTCCGACAGCATATCGCTCGCCAGCGCGAACTCCCAGTCCTCCACGAGTAGTATTGCTTCGCCGGCGGTGCCCGCGCGGCCGGTTCGCCCCGAGCGATGTACGAACTGCTCGCGGTTGTCGGGCGTGCCGGCTTGTACGACTAATGAAACACCTGGATAATCAACCCCGCGCGCCGCAACATCAGTGGCAACTAAAAGAGCGTGCTCCCGCGCGACGTCGGCGTCGCGGAATTCATTGGACGTGCGCGTCCGGTAGCCCTGGGACTTGCGCGAGTGCAACGCGGCGTTGCTGAGCCCTCGGTTCGCGAGGTAGGCCGACGCCAGCTCGGCCGCGGCCGTCGTGGGAAGAAACACGACGACCTTGGACCCCGCGCGGCCCTCCCTGTGCTTCTTGAGGACGTTCGCGAGGGCGCCCAGCGCGTCCGCGCCTTTTGGTAGCGCGACGCGCCGCAGATCCACCCTTGAGGCCGTCTGATCGACTGAACCAGCGGCGCCAGTAGCGTCGACGCGCTCGTATTCCGAGCGGACCGCGCCCGAGTCGAGCATGCGCTTGAGGTCCGCCGGCATGGTAGCAGAAAAGCACAGCGTCTGACGAGATCTAGAAGACGCCTCGATGATCTGCGAGAGCTGCCTTTCAAAACCCTCGTCCAGTAAGCGGTCGCCCTCGTCGAGCACTAGTGTTTTCGTGCCCCTCAGTAATTTCGCGTCCTCGCCCAGCAAGTCGCAGAGCCGCCCCGGCGTCGCACACAATACATCAACGCCGCGCCGCAGTCGCCGCAGGTCCCCGCCCTTGCTCGTGCCGCCGACGACGCAGCCGCACCGCAGCCCCAAACCCTCGCAGAGGCTCATAGCCTGGGCGTGGATCTGCTGCGCGAGCTCGCGCGTCGGCGACAGTACCACCAAAGCCGGCCGCCTGTTGTTGAGGTCGGTCTCGAGGCGCTCCAGACTCGGAACTAGAAACGCGAGCGTCTTGCCCGTGCCCGTCTGCGCCCTTGCCACGACGTCGTCTCCGCGCCGCGCCGCGGGAAACGCGAGTTCCTGGATCGGCGTCATGCGCGCGTCCGCTCCTAATTGGCTTTCTAAATTCGCGGCGAGGCGCGAACTCAGGCCGAGCGTCGCGAAGGGCCGGCCCGTGGGCTCGCTCTTCTTCGGTACAGTTTGAGGCGGTGCCTCGGCCGCTTCCACCGTCTTCAGGGCTGGGTCAGCACGTCGCGGCGGGGTCGCAGCCAATGCACCTCCGTCGCTGGCCGCGAGCCGCTCGAGGAGCGCACTCTTGACGCCCGACACGGGCAGCCCCCGCTCCTTTAGCAAAACTTTGAGGTCCGCGACGGTCTTGCCGGCGTAGGGATTCGACGCGTCGTTTAGTGCCGCCGCGCGCCGCGCCTGGCGCGCGGCCGAAGTTGTGGCATGCAACGCGACGCCGCGGCGTGCAGCGTTGGTGCGCAGCGCGCTCAGGCGAAGGCTGCTGCAGCGCAGCGCTCCTGTGGCCGCGAAGAGCATCACGCGCATGCTTCTTCGCTCGTTGGCGGTGCAGTGATGCCTTGATGCTGCACTGGTGTAGCGATAAGCCTAATACCACGGTGGCTGTTAAACTACGACGCCTCGATTTTTGCAGTCTCTGGCGGTGCAGTGATGCCTTGTGCTGCCCGTTTTTGCAGCTATTCAACTACGACGCAGCTGTCTTTCATTGGTGCTAGTGTGTCGATCACGCTAGTTGATTATACGGCAACACACTTTGTCAGATGATGCAAGCATTCTTGGTTCGCTAGGCGTCATTAATTCTCGTGGAGAGGTCTATAAAAAAGATCTTCATTATGCCTAGTACTCGTTCGCTACCTCTAGCACTGCTCTTGAGAAGTGCAGCAGGGCTGCTCCCTCGCACACCGCAACGCTTGCCGACGCGTCTCAAGTCGTCGCTCCGCACCGATGCCGATGCCGTGCTCGACCTACGACGCGTCGACACCTCTCGCTCAGAATTAGTGTCGCCGGGAGAGTCGACAATCAGCCGCCTCTGGGATCTCGAGACGTGGGCTCGACATCAGAAGGTCGGCCGCTACTGGAGACATTTGCGCAAGTGGCCGCGGAGCACGACGGCCCGCCTCGTGCTGCCGGTCTGCGTCGCGTTCTCGCTCTGGTCCTGCTTGGCGCACGCGCTGCGCATTCGGTATTTCCCAAACTTTTCTGCGCCGCTCGCGCCCCTCACGCTGATCAGCTCGGCCGTCGCGCTGCTTCTGACGCTGCGAATGAATCTTTCTCTCCTGCGCCTCCAGGAATCTAGACTCGCGTGGGGCCGGCTCGTGCTGCACGCGCGAGAGACTGCGGGTCTAGCGGCGACGTACTGCGCCGCCGCGCCCGCCGAGGCGATTTGCCGACATTTAGCAGTGCTCGGGTGGTGCCTGAAGGCGAGCTTGCGGGCCGGCGAGGACGATTCAGATGTAGTGAGCACGATGCTGCCGCCGGCGACGGCGGAGACGGTGCTCGCGGCGCGGAAGCGACCGGTCGCCTTGCTGCGCGGCGCCCACGCTGTCGTCGCCGAGGAGGTGGCCGCGGGGCGGCTCGATGCGCAGGCGCACCTCTCGCTCCTGACGCAGCTCCACAGCCTCAATGCGCAAATCTGTGTAGAAACGAGCAGACATTGCGTCGATGGCGTGGAGGTCGACGCGATGATTCAGCCGCGAAATTTGATTTCTACACAGGCGCAAATCGGCGTGTGCGAGCGGTTGCTGGCGAGTCCCGTGCCGCCGACGATCACTCGACACACGTCGCGCGTGTTGTTGTCCTGCGCGTTGCGGCGTCCTCCGAGATGCCTTCGATTCGACGGTCGCGGCGATGGCGTGACGCCGGATCTACGCCACCTTACGCCATCGACGCGACGCAGGGCTCGCGTGCGTGCCTCTCGGACTCGAGTCCCTCGGCCTCGCCCTCCCGGCGGTGGCGCTGGCGACGCTCGGGACGAGCTACGTCATGGTCGGCATCGACCAGATTGGCCTCGAGCTCGAACAGCCGTTCCAGCTGCTGCCCATGAACTCCCTCGCGGCGGCGCTGACGCGTGACGTTTGCGACGAGCTCTGTGTACATTAACAACTGTATTATCACGAGCCCGCCGCCACCGTTCCCAGGCGCATCTCTCGCTCCTGACGCAGGTCCATTCGTTAAACGCGCAAATCGGCCGGGCACGTCGTCTATGAAGTAAATACCCGCTAGGGAGTGTTACTGAGTCGTGTCAAGCGCTCCCCAATGGTCCCGGGCGCGCTCCAGGCGATGGCTCGATATTCGGAAGCGCGCTTCCGAAACTAGCCACGGAGACATCTCAGCGGTCAATCCTCGCGCTCTAGCGTTTGGTCCAGGTAGATTGAAGTTGTTGAGGCCCTGCGTCCCTCCATTTCGCATCGAAGCCTCGCGGTGGCCCGTCAGAGCACTTTCCGCGAGACCCCCGGACCAAACGTCCATTTGCAGCGGCCTGAGGGCCATCGTTTCAAGCGCTTTTGGTCTTACGTCACTTCTATCTACCCGGGCACGCGCGTCCGCGTCCACTGCTTGACTTGATGAGTCGCACGGGCCTCGACGCCACGCCTTGACGTCAGACACCGCTCAAGCCGTGTGGCGCCCTCCGCCACGTTCGCGGCATCTGCTATCGTTGAGGACCGTCATCTGAGGCCATGACCCCGCTCCGTAACATGGGATCCCGCTAGGTGTCGCGAAGGAACTTTTGGAGAAGCTCCGCCCGCGGAGAGCCGTGTCACTTGAGGGATTTCGCGACAGATGCCCCTTACCTGTCCCCAGCTCTAGCAGGAGACCTCCTAGTCCTGACCTTGGTCCCCGAGCCGATATAGACCGAAGAAAAATATGCGAACCCGGAAGGTGAGCTGGATTGGACTCGCACTTTGTCGTGCTGTGTAGAGCGCCCGTCGCTCGCGTGGTCGCCCGCTCGCATAGCGGTGCACTCCTGCGTCCTAAGGGCGCTTCCTGGCGCCTTCACGCCTTCGCCCCGCGCCGCGATCGCGCTTGGGCACCACAAACAGAGACACCATGTTCAAACAAAACAAGTTACCAGCGGGCCGCGGCGCGGCGCGGCGCGGCGCGCATGAGAGCGCCGCGCGGCGCGGGCGATCCCCGAGGCATCGGCGGGTCCAGCGGCCGCCCCAAATTCGCGCTCGCGCGCTCGCGCGGCGGCCGAGAGGCGGCCGCGCGGCCGAGAGACGCGGCGCGGTCAAGACGCGCAATTTTCGACCCGATCCGGCGAGTCGTCGCATTTTATGAGATGCCGCGCCGCTGGGCGCGCGGCGCCGCCGCGCAGTCGGCCCACGCGAGCCGCATCGCGTCGTGACGGCGCGCGCGCTCGAAAGTCGCATCGGGCACTCTTCGCCTCCGCCGCGGCGCGTCTCGAAGTCGTCGACCACGCAGGCTTGCCGGCAGGACGCCGCGCCGCCGCCGCGCCCTAACTTACCTACTCCAGGCCGCGCCGCAGAGCCATCAGATGGACGTCAGACAGTTCTTCAAGAAGCCCGCGAAGGCGCCCGCGAAGAAGCGCGCCGCGGCGCCGCCGCAGACGCAGCCGTCCGCCAAGAAGGCCGCGCCGCCCGCGCCCGTGCCGCCGGCGCCGCGCCCGCGGCCCGCGGCCACGCAGCGGCCTGAGGCCGCGCCCGCGCCGCCCGCGCCGCCCGCGCCGCCCGCGCCGCCCGCGGCGCCCGCGCCGCCCGCGCCGCGGCGCCCGGCCATGCCCGCGCCGCCGGCGCCCGTGCCGCCCGCGTCAAGGCCCGCGCCGAGGCCCGCGGCCGCACCGCGCCGGGCCGCGCCCACGCCGCGCGCGCCGCCGCAGCCCGCGGCCCGGCGCCTGGTCCACGCGCCCGCGCAGCGGCAGCTCGCGCTCACAAGCCCGTCCACCGACGATGGCGTGAATCGAGCTTTATTCGCCATGTCAAAAGTGGGCGGTCAGCTTATGAAGAGTCTGTCAACCTCACCCCATGCAAAATTCGAAAGCAAACACGCGGATATAATGAGAAGGCTGGACGAACTCAACGCTTTTCGGAAGGCTCACTTTGATTCTAATTCATCAAACCTCGATCCAGCCAAGCAAAAAACGTGCATGGCTTTAACTGATCGATACGCCTGTTCTATAATTTCCACTGGTTTTGAGAGCATGAGTGATACTGGCAAGACAAAGTATGCGAAAGGTCTAGAAAAATTGGTTAAAGCCCGTACTCTGCCATTTGGTCCCGACGAACCCCACTTGAACGCATGGGCTAACTTAATGCTTGCTAGTGCTCCGCGCACCAAGGGGCAAGTACGCAAGGGGCGTGGCATTATCGACTTTGGAGATAGATATGCTAAAACGGTAGCAAGAATCCAAAAGACAGCGGCCAGTTATGTAGCTCTTTATGACGGTAACACTTTACAAGTGACCTGTTGTCGAACGGCGCGGAAAGCCATTGAAGACTACCTCAATGAGGAGATAGTGACCTCTGAGAAAGAGGCGGCGGAAGCATCCCAATTGGTGTTGAGCTTCGTCGCAGCTTGCCGAGGATCGAGCGAAAATGACGGGGAGATAGGGTTTAGTGTGAGGGAGCCGAGCCGCAGTGAGATCCAGAGATACCTCGATGAGGCCCACGCCGCAGCGTCTGCCGATGCAAATTACACACCCACCACGGCCCTCTCTGTCGAAGAGTATCTGAAGCAAGGTAATGTGTTTCTGTTTATTGATGAATCCAAGTCGCCAAAAGATGGGTCTAAGCTCATCCACACGTCACTCTGCCAAGTATCAGACAAGGTCTATGGCCTGGACGAGAAAGACGTACTACTAGAACATGTGCAAACTGCAATTGACATTGGCCGAGTTAATGAGCCTGCTTTCAAGTTAGCCCGCAATATTGTTAAAAGGGAAGCCCTCACATGTTTTCCAAGCAGCCCTCTCGAGATGCCAAATGTAGAAGCAAACGATCATACTAAAATGGTTCGCACGATGGTGATATCACTAAACGCGATGAACAAGTTGCGAGACAAGAACTGTGTCTTCGAGAAGAAGTTCACCTTGCATCATTTGAGCCTGATTCAGAATGGAGATAGTCTCAATTATTTACGAGCTAGTACTTCAGGAACCTATTACGCGTACTGCTGGTGCTGGCCGCGCTGGCCTTTGTTAGAGACCGACCAGAACCCGTGGAAGCCCGAGATCATGCCCGAGCCCTGAATTGTTTCCCATAGATATCACATCGCATTTCGGAACGGAATACTACTTCGCGAATTGACCATAAAGTGCGCCTTCGTCACGAAGCCCACACAACAACCTCGGCATGTCGAGGCAATAGAGTCGGAAACTACGACCGACACATCCACCCGCGGCGCCGTCGCGTCTCTTCTGAGGCGCGGCGGCGTCGCACCACCCGCGGCGCCGTCGCGTCTCTTCTTGAGGCGCGGCGGCGTCGCACCACCCGCGGCGCCGTCGCGTCTCTTCTGAGGCGCGGCGGCGTCGCACCCGCTGCGCCGTCGCGTCTCTTCTTGAGGCGCGGCGGCGTCGCATTACCCGCGGCGCCGTCGCGTCTTTCTTCTGAGGCGCGGCGGCGTCGCATCAAGACCCGGTCGGCGTTGAGAACGCCGACGTGGTGGATCCAAGAGCCCGGCGCGGCCGTGCCGCCGGGAGACGTTACAATCGATGCCCTCCCCTCGACCACAGTACGAGTTCCGCGGCGGTTTCGGTGGACGCGCGGCGTCCTCCGCCGCACCGATGAATCGTACGAGGGAGCCGTGTCGCCGCCGCGCCGACGAATAGTCGGCGCGGCGGAGAAGCGCCGCAAACGAGTTCGGCCCACCTGATGCTCCTAGGCGGGCCGTGCACGCAGAGCGATGAGGCCTGCTCGCGACGACGCACGAGGCGGCCGCGCATTTAGGCGCCCGACGCGCTTAACTTCTTCGTTCGAATTTGTGTACTAGTAGATGGGCTTTCGCCCGGGTTTTCCCCCGACACCTGTCTGAGAAAAGGTCCACAGACCCATGCGCCTGGGTTTCGTGGTGATCGGAGCGCCGTGTGCGTGTACCGTCGGGGCATCGTCCGACGCTCGGGCTTGGCGGTGATGGAGATGTGGTGGAGGTAGTGAGGCACGCCGCCCAGGGGTAACACGGCGACGGCCGGTGCTACCAGATGGCGCGGGCGCGGTGTGGCTCGTCCGTTTGTGTAATCCTGCGAGGCAGCGATATGTTGCTGGGCGGTTGTTTCGCGGCGCGGTGCAGGTGTCTCGCGGGGGCGCGCGCCGCGAGTGATTTGTCCGACCCAGAGAGCAGCGTTGTGTTTTAAGCAGGTGTGCGTGCACGCGTGCCGCGCGGCCGGCTGCGTTGCGGAGCCGGACGAAAATGAGTTATGCGCTGGTCAACGAACGAAAAACGCTGCGAGATATGGCAGAGCAGCGGCAACTAGCACGGTGTGGCTGGCGCTTGGCTAGTGTCTTACAGGCGCTAGTCCGCCACCCGCTTAGTCCGCCCAGATAGGTGTTTGTGAGCGGCTCTTGGCGAGTCCTGTGCCGCCGACAATAACGCGACATACCAGTCGCGTGTTGCTGTCATGGTTGGCGTGCGTCCCCCTGGGCCTGGAGAGCCTCGGTCTCGCCCTCCCGGCAGTGGCCCTCGCGACACTCGGGACAAGCTACGTCATGGTCTGTGTGGAAATCAAACTTCACGCCCCCCACGCCACCGACGCGACAAACACAGGTCATGGTCGGCATCGACCAGATCGGCCTCGAGCTCGAACAGCCGTTCCAGCTGCTGCCCATGAACTCGCTCGCGGCCGCGCTGACGCGGGACGTCGTGGACGAATGTGTACATTAACAACTGTATTATCACGAGCGGCCCTTCCGCCGCCACCGCTCCCGCGCCGCCTCGACCTCGTGCATGTTCAGGCACGTCCCGTCGGCCGCCATCACGGGCTCGCGCAGCGCCTTGCGGAAGGTCGTCATGTAGCGCCCGTGCTTCGACGACGTGGGCCGGACCTCGCGGCCCCCGTTCAGCACGAGTCTACCCTCGACGACGTCGTGGCGCGCGGGGTCACCGGGAGGCACGGGCCGGCGCACGGCGCGCGGCGCCACCGTCGTGTCCGCCGGGAAGCGGTCGCCGTAGCCAAAATCATTCAACAGACTCCCGGCGGCCTCGGCCACCTTTTGTCTCGCCTCGTCGTCGAAATGGCGTAGTGAAGCGCCCGGCAGCTTCCCGGGTTCGCGCGGCACATAGTATGAAGCCTTTGCATCGTCCAGGTTCGATGCGGCCTCGACTCTATCAGACCAAGGCGTCCCTTCCAGTTCGCGCTCCCCCCTCAAAAACCAGGCCACCCTCTTCAACGTGCGGTGGCGGTGATTTACGAGGTCCTCGTAGCGCACCACGAGTAAAGGCACGGGCGCCTGCAGCCACCACCGGTTAAACCGCGCCCAGACGCCGGCCTCCGCCGCCGTCAGCTCCCGCCACAGATCCTCAAATCTCTGATACTGGTCGTCCCGCAGCGACGTCGCGTGGTCATTGGTCAACGCCATGTTAAAATACGAGTCGATCGCGTCCCAGGGATTTCTCACTAACAAAATGGCTCGGTCCACACCAATTTCGGCGTAGCCCCTTCGCTCCGGATAGTGCGTCTTCACGAGCCAGACGCGCTCATCAATAACGCCCTCGCCCCGCGCGCCGCACCTTTGTAGCGCTTGCGACAGTGTTCTCTCGGGTAATGTGTCGGCGCCCGTGATGACGCCCGTCGCCTGCTCCACGAGCTTTCGTAGTAATGAATTGCCGGACCGCGGGTAGCTCGCCAACGCGACGCGTTCTCCGACGGCTTCATTCGCTTGCAGGAACCGCGTCGGCGGCTCGAGGGGCAGGTGCGCCATACGCGGTTCGTCCAGGGCGGCCATGATGCGTTTTTTTGCTGCGCGTCGGCGTCGCTGTCGCCTCTGCAGTGAGGTCACAGCTGTTAGGTATGGCGATGCGTTTATGGCTGCGCGTCAGCGCCTTGCAGCAGGCAGCTGGGCCTGCAGTGCCGTATCGATGTAAAACGACAGCGCTTTTCGTGAAGCCGTCAAATGCCGCAGCGATGCTGCTCAGTGAGTGCAATATACGTGTATATTGCAGGCTTTTTAGGCGTCTGGACAAGGGCAATGATCATCGATAATGGGCTAGCGGGCCTGTAAGACACTAGCAAACATCGAAGCGTCGCGCCGACGGCTCGATCGGCCGACGTTTTCCCGGTAGTGCATGGCTGTGCCCTTCGGTGCGCAAGACCCGCACGCACGAATTTAAGGCGCCGCTACCGGACGAGAGACCGCGCTCTGTACTGGCTTAGCCGTGCCAGCTGCCCGACAGACGAGGAAGTGGAAGCCCTCTCTCCTAGCCTAAGAGCCGTGGCTGCCCGGCGGGCACCATGGACGATGTGCGTAGACCCTCCCTTGGCTGCCCCCGCACGCCGTCGACGTGACGCCACCGACACGAACCCCCGCAGGTCACCGTCTCTTTTGATGATCAGAACCGCATCCGCGTGCTCGACGTGGACAAGTTCGCGCACACGGAGGAGCTCGGTAGTGCCGCGAACGACTTCGTCAAAAAAAATCAGGAGTTCGGCGGCCTCATGGATGGGATTGTGGAGGTCCTCGACGCCAACGCCAAAAGGATCGAGCAGGCCAAATTAAGAGCCATCGGCATGCGGAATAGAGTGATTACGGAGCGGGAGAACCGCGATCAAAAAAGGAGGGCTTTGCAGGCCTTGGTGGCGGAGCGCGAGGCCGATTTGGCGCGCGTCGAGGCCCAGGTGAAGTCGTTACGGCAAGTGGAGGCCGAGCAGCAGAACATCATCGACAAGTTGGCCGTCGGCGAGGCGTACGGCCGCGTGCCCGTGGAAGGGACCGAGGAGGGGTTCTAAATTCTGTTCTCTTATATGGCGCGTCGGCGGCGCTGGGTGATGCGCGAGCGCCCGGAGTAGTCCCATGTACCGGGTACGAGATTCCTTCTCTCCAAACCGAGCTAGCGTATATCGACACACTAGTAAATTTAAAGATACGCCTCGATGGCGTCAAAAGAATGACCCAAATTCAGAATACATCCTAGTCGTTCGCCGAGACCAAATATTTCAGAATAGTGGCCCGGGAATATATCCTCGCGCCTCCCGGAAGGCACCGCCCGCGACATTCGCGGATGAGTCTTAAGGCTTGCCAAAGTACACCAGCGATTGACGCCGCCATCTACCGTCCAGATGGGACATTATATCAACTCCAGCCCAGTTTTCATGCACACTCGACGGAACCGGAGCCGACGGCCCGCGCTCGGAGGGCGGGAGAAGAATTCTACTAGACAACTCCCGAGTTTATGTTCGTTTCCTTCCGTTTGTTAGTGGTAGAGGCCATCTAACCCGCATCAGCGCCCACTGAGCTATTTTAGATATTCCGTTAGAGCCTCGCGATTCGTCATCTTCGCGACACCACCTTTTATGTTAAACGGGTAAATAAGTAAGACCTGCGAGTATCAGCGACGATATCATCCAGATGGACCATAACACCGTTGTTCTATTCACAATCGACCGACTTGCCCGTTCTCTGCCGACGACGGTGCGTACGCGGGGCACTGAATTGGCCCCAGACCGGTGGTTTATAAAATAAAATTGCGTTTCAGGCGCTTTAGTAGTGGGACGGGCCAGATAATCGGCCTGGTTCTGTACTACATTGCTCCAAGACCCAAAGATGCTCGGTGCGGGTCGTCGGTCTCGCGACCCCACGATCTCGATTAGATGGGCTTTAAACCCGGACCTGCGACCATCAGCGCGTGTACCATCACCATGGACTATAACGCGATCATTTGTTCCATGATCGACGGACTTACGCGAGGTCCAGATAAAGATGTTCACGTCCCGAGCGTGGGCAGCCAAAAGTACCCTTCTCGTGGTGTAGATGTCATATACTTGTAGTTGACTATCGGTGGGGTAGTATGGGGTCCGACGAGACCGCTATTATGATTCCTGGGGGGCCTCGGGAATTGACGTTTTTGTCGGGAACGGGGCGCCATCGGGTCCAAATTATTTACTTTTTTCGGATGTAGATCGGCTCCCGGACGCTCTCCGGGATAGGTCTAAGGTCGGGTAGTCGCCTAGGCCGCATGCGCCGGCGCTTGGAGCTCCCTAGAGAGCTCTGGATCGAGAAGTTGTCGGACTTGTGCTCAAGCCCGACAGCTGGCTGGGGACCTGTACTGATATGCATCCACCGATCGAAGCGCCCGCGCTTGCGGCGTAGGCGATTGCACGTGTATAGTACCGACCCTAAGCGACCCCAGGGACACCTCCCCGGCAGGGATTGACAGGATTCCACTGGTGCGGCCGCCATAGCCGTGGAGGCACCTTACTCGGCGTCACTTGTGACTCTAGAGCGCTTCAAAGAAGCCAGGTCAATGTTGCGCAAAATGATAACCGTGGCGCGGCGCGCTCTTGGCGAGGATGATATAACCACGCTTAGGATGAGGATGAATTACGGACAGGCGCTCTACAAAGACGACGACGCCACGATCGACGATCTCCGCGAGGCTGTGACGACGCTCGAGGAAACAGAACGGATCGCTCGGCGAGTGTTCGGCGGCGCGCACCCGCTCACCTGGACGATTGAGGATGATTTGCGAGACACGCGAGCCGCGCTCCGCGCCCGCGAAACGCAGTCATCGGCCGGGGGTGCCTAATGTACGACTAGAGTAAACACAACATTACACGTCACGCGCACGCCCGCCCGCCCCCGTCCGGCGCGTGGGCGCAGGCCCGGTACTCCATCCGCAGAAAGTTCCCTTCGCCCGGGATTAAGGAAAGCGCGCCGGCCGCGCGGAGGAGCTTCGTGGATGCGCGCAGGGCCTCGCGGGACTGCACGTGCGTGTGCAGGCACGCGTGCGAGTCGCTCGGGAAGCAGCACGCGTCCCGCGCGGCGTCGAGCGGCGTTGAGCTCCAGCCGCCGTTGAAGCGCAGCTCCTCCGTCGCCAGGATTGCTCCTCCGTTGAAGTCCTCGGGCATCGGCAGCGGCACGCCGCGGTGCGGCACGAGGATGGAATTTGTAGGGTCCGCGCCCAGCGCCATCGCCGCGAGCGCTTTACTGCTTCGTATTCTGAGAATCTGGTCGCTCTCGGTGTAGTACACATATTTTGACGCGCGCCAGAAGGCCGGCGGCGCGCCGTTTTGATGGCGACGCCGCGACCCGACGAAAGCGGCTTTATGGTCCCAGCGCTTCGCCTTCGTCTCGTCGCGCGAGTAGAGCCGAGCGTCGTGCAGCGGCAGGCCCGCCACGAGGCGGTGCACCGCAATTAATGAAGCGGCACCGAGTTTTTCTGGTCTGATGTTCGGCAAATACAGGACCTGTGTAGAAATCAACCAGTGTGTCGGGCGCTCGGCGACGACGCGGCCGCTCTGGCTCCGTCGAGGAAAAGAGAACCGGCATCGCCACGCCATCGAGCAGGACGAACGCGCCGTGAAATTTTGATTTATGCACAGTACAGGACGTCGGCCAGCGGGCCGCAGCAATGTTCGACAAACTCCAAGTCGCGTTCGTTATGGACAGCAACGACAACGGTTCGCGTCAGCGCGGCCCGCACGGAATCGAGCGTCGCATTTAAGTAAATACCGCGCAGCCCGACGTCCGACGGGCCCTGTCCCTGGCCCTGGCCGTAGAACGGCATCACGGCGACGGCGTCCAGGGGGCGCTGCTTCTGCCGAAATGACATGGCTTTCAGCTTCGTCGCGAGCGCTCTCCTCGCGTCCCCGAGGACCTTCGCTCCATCGGCGAGCGGGTTCGTGGCCACTATCAGCCGCCGCTCATACCACGACAGGTGCTCGACGTAGAAGTCCAGGAAGTCCCGCGTTTTATACGTAGCCGTCTTCTCTAGTAATAGAAACGACGCGGCCTCCATCATGGTCCCCCGCTTAAAGAGGCGCGACGTGTTCAGGTAGCTTTCTGGTAATGCTCGGAGCAGGTCGCTCGCGGCGAGCCAGGCGGCGCTGTACTTGGCCTGCTTCGGGCCGCGGCAGTGGGCGAGCTGCCAGGGTCTGCTCCAGGCTGCTCCGAGGAGCAGCGCGAGCAGCGTCGGCCCCAGCCGCATGCTCTACAGGCTAGCTATACCTGGCATGCATTGCTTGATGGCGCGGTGGCCCCGCAGCGATGGAGGGGTGGACGGTGGCGACTCCTGCCCGACGAATGCGTGCTCGACGAAGGACTACGGCCTCGTAACAGCATACGAGATCACAGCCCTCCCTCCCGCTGCTTACCCAAACCCGCAGCCAAAAATGCGCTGCTAGCGTTTGAGACACACTAGCTTTGCAGTCGAGGTTGTCGAGCACAAGCACTCGCTGGAGCGAAAGCACGACGTGGTCGTCCCGAGCAATCGCGAGCAGCGAATTCACTCCTGCGAACCGCCAGTAACCGCTGTCACATGTCCGCCGCCGAGCAGCAAGCAGCAGCGCTGCAGCAGCTACGCAGTGAAGTGCAGGCGCAGGCGCAGCGCGACCTCATGACGAAAATGACGGAGAAATGCTTTGCAAAGTGCGCCGCGAACTCCAAGGGCGGGAGCCGCCTCGAGCGCTCGGAGCAGATGTGCGTCGGCATGTGCGTCGACCGGTACGTCGACGTGATGAACGCCGTGAACGAAGCGCTCGTGGCCCGGCAGCGCGACCGGTCGTGAGCGCCGGGCTCCGGCGGAGACTGCGGCTCGTGAGTCGCCGCTCGATGACGGCCCGGCGGCCGACCGGTTTTCGGACCGGGTGCCGCCGCCCGACGCGGCGAAGTAGGGATAAGTTCATGATGTGTTAGAGATTGTGCTGGTGCTGAATCGCGCATCGCGATCAAAACAAGTTTTCCTAGAGCCCGGGCCAGACATCTTGGCTTTTCGCGGGCCGCCACTCTCCCGAGACGCGGACGCGCGCAACGCCGTTGTGATGTCCAACGGCTACTCGGGCATGCTGGATAGGAGCCCGTGCGGGAGCGGGACGTGTGCGATCATGGCGCTCCTCCACGCGCGCGGCGAGCTCGATCTAGGCGAGCGCTTCGTCCACGAGTCCGTCGTGGGTTCGGTTTTTACCGGGGAGCTCGTTGGGGTGACGGCCGAGGGCGTCGTGCCCGCGATCACGGGGAGCGCCTGGATCACGCGCTACGCCGAGGTCGTCGTCGACCCGACCGACCCGTTTCCCGAGGGGTTCCGGGTGGGGGATATCTGGTAGTGTTGGATGTTGTTTGTTTGTTTTACTTACAACATATGCATATATGTCTACGAGAATAAAACCCGCACTTTTTAATCAATTTTAACATCCCGGCGGAACTACGATTTTCGTAATGCCCGGACAGGTGGGAGCGGCTGGTAAGGACGGTAGGAGGTTCTGAGAAGTCCGATGTACTTCAGAAGGGCGTGCCAGCCACCAATCGCTTATCAGCAAAACAAAGAGCGTCCGCGCGGCGCGGCGTCACACTTCAATTCGCCCCCCCCCGCGCTGACGCCTCGCCCTTGCCCCGCTGGTTCTAATCCCGCCCTCGCGGCGTGTCGCGATGAGAAAAGACCTACTTCACATGAAAAAGCTGGCTTTGCGCGCGCGGCGGGGGGACGCAAGCCGCGCGGGGAGCCGACGCGGCCATCACTGACCACGCGCCAGAGGCCCCTCGCGCGCCCGGCCTGTGAACCGCCCCCACACACGCCAAAACGCGAGATTCGCCTCACCGTCTGAAACCGCATGGGGCGACGACCCCCGGATCTGCTTCAACATCGCGGCCGACTTCGAATCGGCCTTCGACTGCATGGGCTGCTGCTTCCCCGACATGTTCGGCACAAAGAAAGGGCTCCTCATCGGCGCGTGCACGTCCTGCGGCCTCAAAGATAACCCGGACGAGGTCCACTACATCGACGACTGCCTGACGTGCGAAGAGGGCTTCGAAATTATACCCATGTTCCCAGATTGTACGGGGCTCTGCATCAAAACGGGCCAGTCCGTGCGAACATTCATGGAGATGGGCTTTGCCGATCTGTCGACGTCGGCGTGCACGGCCTACCTCGACTGCTACGGGGGCGACGACCGCAAGGCTATCAAGGTTCTCCCGACGGACGGCACGAACTCGTTCCCATGGGGCGGGGGAGGGAGCTACTTTTACTGGAGTTACTCGTACTCGTACGAGTTTGAAAGCTACTCGTACGGTGACGACGACTTCTTCGACGACGACCTCTACGCCAACATCGTTTGCGATGGACAGACGCCAGATAACTACTGTGATTGCGGGTCCGGCCCTCTTGGCGACTGTGAGGCGAATCCTTCTTTCTGCGCATGCGAAGAGGCCCAGGCCCCGGAGTGCTGCGACGGATCGGCGTACAGCTTCTCGTACGGCGATGTTTGCGTCGATGGCATTATCGAGGTGATTTCTGGTGATCATGATGGAGAAGGTGAGCGCTGCGTCCAGTGTGACGGACAAGCTCCGGGCGACTACTGTGCGACTCGGCGTCCTGAACTGACCCGTCGACGTCGCGATCTGACTCTCCCTCGTTTTCCGCGGCGCAGGCGATTGTCAGGTCGACTGCGAGGAGAGCGACAACTGCGACTGCGCGGAAGCGAAGGGGCCGACGTGCTGCGGCGAGGGCGGCCGCGACTGAGATCTGCTACAGTGCCTGCCGAGCTACCGTACTACTCCGGATTAAAGACAATCTCCGTGAGAATCATGCGTCTTGTAGCGCTTGCCTTAGGGGGTAGGCTCTGTGTGGGGGCGGCAGAGAAAACCCGTTTTGAAATTTTACCAATTAGCCAAAAAAGCTCGCGGCCACCTCACCTGCGTTTTCCGCAGCGCACACAGCGCATCGTTGCAAACGCAAGCAACCGCAAGCGCGCTTCATCGCTGCCATCCACCTCCTAGCGAAGAAGTGCACTTATCCAATCAATAGGCTGCACACACTGTAGCACGATGCAAAGCGCTGCCACAGTCCTCGCAGCTTTCGCGCTAGCCGCCACCGCGCTCACGCCGCCGCAGCGAGCGCTGAGACGACAGACGCGCCTGCACGCGCGCACGGCCGAGGGCATGGCGCCCGGCTGGAAGGCGACGACGGACGAGACGGGCGCCTACGAGCTGATCCCCGCGTCGTACGAGTACCAGTACCAGGAGATCTTCGTCGAGATCCCGCGGACGGCCGAGTCGCCGGGCTTAGGCGTGCTCCTGGAGCAGTTCGGAACTTTGGATGCCGCGAACGGCGGCCTGACGCTAGTCGCAGGCCTCGTCGAGGGCGGCAACGCTGCGAACGCGGGCGTCGATTTATTGCCTGGTGACTCTATTGTGAAGGCCGGAACTACGCGAGTAGAATGCCTCGACTACGACGCGACGGTGGACGCGCTGATGGCGCTGCCGCCGGCGCCGGCCCCTGCTGGTTTGATGGTGAAGCGGCTCGTGAAGGTGCCCTTCGTGAATATGAGAGTCATGTTCCCGCGCGAGGAAAACCGCAAAGACGTCACTTTTAAAATGAGACGCGGTGCGTCGCTGCGCGCTGAATTATTACGGAATAGGGTGGAGATGCCGACGTGCTGCGAGGACATGAACTGCTTGTGCAACTGCGCCGTGCAGGTGCGCAAGGGCGCCGCGGTCCTCGAGCCGCCGTCGACGCAGGAAGCGCAGATGATCAAGAAGGAGCCCTACTGGCGCCTGACCTGCCGGGCCTGTGTCTCGAGAGACGCGGAGGACGGCTCGGAGCTCGTCATTCGCATGCGGCCCGACCTCGAGAACGTGATGCGACGAAAAAACCCCTTCGGCATGGAGACGACCTTTAAGTTCTAAAAGTATTATTCATCAATTATCCACATGCATGGCAAATCCTCGAAGTCCGCCACGGCCCTATTCATGTCCGCCTGGAGCTCCAACGCGCGTTTCGCGTGGTGGTCTCTTAACCTCATCATGGCTGGATCTTCCTCGAGTTGATGGTAGGTCCTCGCCAGGAAGTAGTGGCAGTCCTGCATGCGTTTTCTATGTTGTACGTAGGAATAACATTCTAAAGCACGCTTGTAGAAGAAGATAACTTTTCTAAAATCCTTCACATCAACATTTTCAAAAACATCATTTCGACCTTCCTGCCGATGTCTGAGAGCATAGGCCTTCTCCTCGAGCTCGCATTGCGCGAGAGCGTACCATAAATCACCTTGCACGTCGACGTGCGACTGTTCCAAGATTTTCAGTTGGCACTGCTGAAACGCATCGCGCGCCTTCGGGATGTTACCCAGACCTAGTTGTACGAGAGCCAACCGCAAAGTCGCCTCCGCATGTAACGCGTCCAGGGCCCACTGCTCGCACAACGCCAGAGCCCTTAAAGCGGGGTTCATGGCTGGAACGGGCTCCTGCGGGCACCCGTCGAGGAGCCACTTACTTCTATCACATAGTAATTTCGCTTGTAACGCCCACAAGCCTCGGTTGCCACAAATACGCTCCAATTTGGCAGCACCCTTCACTGCTCTTTCATAGTCGTCCCGCGCGACCGACAGACGTAAATCGCACCTCAAAGCTTCCACATGACACTCGACGTCGTAATCGGACTGCCGCGGCGAGACCCCTAGTAGTGCCTCATGGAGTGCCGCCGCTCTCCTCAGGGCGTGTCTATGCACGGCCCACTCGAACCTCAAAAGATACTGGGCCCGTTCCACAATGTTCGACGCTCCCTTATTCGGACAGCGGTTCTCTTCTAATTTTTTAAGAGCTATGTCGTAGGCCACGTTCAAACCGGGGGGACCGATATGGTTTTCGTGCTCCTCGCGCTTCGGGACCTGCGTGGCACACACGTCGCGGCGATGGCGTGGAGGGCTCGACGGCGCTCTCGGGCTTCACCAGACGCCGCGTCCGCACCTCGATGTCTTCCAAATCTAACCCTAGAGCTTTCGCCGTCGCGGCCTCCGACGCTGCTCGCAGCGACCCGTCGGGGTCCGCTGGTAAGTGTTCAGAAGGAGGTACGTCCGATGGTGGTTTGAGACCCTCACCAAGCTCATGAGTCATATCCCCAGCGTCAAAGTCGCCAAATAAACACTCGAACGCAATATCCACACAAGCTAGTTCCCTAGGTACACATGGCGCCCGATCTTCGGGCAGATCGCCACTGCTATCATTTTCATCGAGCCCGCGCCGCCGTCGCTGCCCCTGCAAGTACCTTTCTTCTGCTTGTAATAAAGCCTTCCCTTCCAGCGCCTGCGCCCTTTTAAACTGGTTATGCCCGTTGATCGCCGCCTGGACCATGAACCGCCGGCATCGTGCTCGGAAGATGCTACCTTCAGTCGGGTTCGTCGCGACCGTGCTCCGATCCTTAATCTCACAGTCCTTCGGCAGGCCCTGCGGGTCCTGCTGGCCTTCCCGCCGCTCCTTCCGTTCTCTCTCTAGCCTTTGTTGCGGCGTTTGCATCAACATGGACGTGTCGGGACCGTCTCTCGGCCCCGGAGCCTCGAACATGGCCGCATCTTCGGCGAGCTTCCAGGCCGCCAGAGTTGCTCTACTAGCTTTCGACGGGGTGTAGGCCCGCGTCAGGACTTCCTGCTCGTAGCATTCGTCCGTCCGAGCATAGTCGAGCGCGTCGCGGGCGAAACACAACAATGCAGCAGATTCTAACTCTCTGAGTCCTAATTGCTTCGCTCGCTTCGCACATCTCTGGAGAGATAGCGCATCCACCGTATGCGTCGATTCACCGGGCAGAGGCGGTCCGTAGGTCTCCGCCTCGTACTCGGCCTCGCGGATGTCGACGTACCGCAGCCACCCCAACGCGAACGTCACGCACGCGTGGTCGTGGCGCTGCTGGGCTACCCTAACAGCTTCATCCAAAGCGCACGACGCCAACCGAGCATGCCCGAAGCGCGCATGTAAACAAGCTAAGTTAAGTGCGGCATACTGGACCACACCTCGCGCTCCTTTCTCGTCGTTCGGTGAGACCGGTCCGCCCCTACTTCCCGCATAGTCGAAGTAGCGATGGAGATGATCTAGGGCGCCTAAATATTCCCTCCCATATAATGAGGCCACAAAACGTAAGTAGCTGCTCCGCGGTAAATCCGGCTCCAGGGCCTCAATCTTCGAACATTCTAGTTCGGTCTCCTCTAATGTCACAGAACCACAGACCGACGCTGCGGCCAGTATACGTCGCTCCAGGAACAGATCCAAGTCTCTTCTTGTCAACAAAGACGCGTAGAACGCACCGGAGTCATCGTTCTCTTGGTATCTTCGCACGTACTCACACACTCTATCGTAGGTCCGCGCCACGCCATCAAAGTGCGTCTCCGTCGCGTCCAGGAGTGACCGTCGCACGAAGACGCCGAACAGCGAGTCGGGCGCGAGAAAATGCTCCCTCTCCATAGGTTCCTCGTCGTCCTCATTCTTCTCCGGCCGCAGCCAGGAGCGCATGTCGTCCAACAGATCGACGACACCATCCGGCGCCTCCGCTAGTGCTACTAATTGCTGCGTGCAGTAAACGGCGACTTCCTCGCCTAGCGCCGGATCGACGAAACTTGATGCGAGGCGTTGTCTTGTTGCCGCCCACGGTAAGCGTTTGGACGCCTCGTCGACACTCCCAACGAAGCGCGTCTCGCGGAGCACCCAGCACGCCAATTGATGTTTTGAGCTGTCGTCTTCGGTGTCTTCGACGCGCGGGCGCGGCGCGCGGTCGTCGTCGTCGTCCATGTCGTCCTCATCTCTTGGTAAGAGCAGGCCCAGCGCCAAGGCTACTCCTAAATGCTGGGGCGAGGCCATCGCGGCTGCTCGCGAGGCTGTCTCGGAGAGGCTGGGGTGGGAGGCTTGTTTCTGTGCAACGGGAGCGGCTATTTATCAGCGACTGGTTTGGCACGGCACGGCTAAGTCAAAATAAGTGCGTTGCACGCAACACCAGCGTGCAGATGGGCTTTTTTAGCCGCGCGCCGCGGCGCCGCACAGCTAGCGGCATGTAAGACACTAGCAAGCAAGCTCTCGCGCGCATGCAATTGTTTGAGTATCGTTCGGTTCGCTAATGGTCGAAAGAGATCAATGTGACAGTGTACCGGCGCAAACTCTCAGGCCGGCGCGACCCAAACGCAGGCGTGCACCACAAAACCAAAACAGACCGCCGACCGGTCCCCGGCGCGTCGCGGAGACGTATGAGACAAGCATGACGCCTCGCGGCCGGCGTCCTTGATCTTTTTTCGCCACGCAGCCTTCGCAAACGAGAAGGCACAGCACACAACATCCGCGCTCTCCCGAGACGCGCCAGAGCCCAGCGCCGCCCGCAGCGAGCCCGCAGCGCCCCGCGCGTCGTCTAAGACGACGCGCCACGCGCCGCCCGCGCGCGCGCCCGCAACCAGACACAAGGGCTGCCCCACCATCACAAAGATGACCGCCGGCCGCCGCTCGCATTCATCCTTCCAGGTGCGGGACGACCGGGACCTCCAAGAGCTCCTGGCCTACGTCCGCACGTTACAAGACCGGGAGGGCGAGCTCATCGAGTCCGTCCGCGTCCTGCGGCGGAAGTACCACGCGTGCAAGGCAGAGAACCGGAACCTGGTCTGGAACAAGCTCTCGTCAAGTGTCATCACGGACCTGCCTCCGGTCAATTCGAATCTGGAGGAAACGTGCGAACGGGTTGGTGTTTATGCGCTGGGCGCGCCTTGTGGGAGAGGAGCGTCGGCCACGGTTCGCTCGGGTACGCATACGGAGAGTGGTGTCAATGTGGCTATCAAAGTCGTGGAGAAGGCCGGCGTTACACGTTTTAGGGGTTTAGAACGGTTGAGGAACGAGATCGACCACACACGCATGTGCCACTCATCACATGTCGCGTCGTTGCTAGATGTGATCCACGCGCCGGATCGGTTGTATTTGGTGCTGGAGCACGGCGGCGTCGACTTATATAGGCACGCGGACCGATGTGATATAGATGAACTCCAAGCTAGGAACTTACTCGAACCTATAACGCGAGCTTTATGTATCCTCCAGTCACAACATATCGTGCACCACGACCTGAAGGGCGAGAACGTCTTGATCGATGCCCATAATGTTGTAAGATTGACGGACTTTGGGCTGTCGGAGAGGTATGAAAGCGACCAACGAGGACGAGCGTTTTGCGGCTCGCCCGGGTTCTACGCGCCGGAGGTCGCGACGGGCGATTATGATCCGTGGAAGGTGGACGTGTGGGCCTTGGGTTGTGTGGCTTTGGAATTACTTACGGGGCGGGACTGGTTTGAAGAATTTTGGCTGCAGCACTACCACAACTCGGACGGGAAGGTCGATCGACTGAGAAGGAAGCTCGGGCCAGCTACTGCCGCTGCTGCTCGATTGTTGGCCGAGCGAGGTGTTTCGGACGAGGGCGTCGCCTTCCTATTGTCTTGTTTGAATCCGGACGCGGAAACGAGGCCGGACGCCTCCGCCATATCGACGCACGGCTGGTTCTCGACATCATTACATAAACGACCGCCGCCCATCCAGGCGCCCCCATCGACGCCGGAGAAGCCCCTGCGCAAGGCCCAGAAGCAACACGTCGTCACGCCGTCGGCGTCGCCGACGCTCGCGCTCACGACGCCTACGGTCCCGCAGCGCAAGTTCTTCCCCATGCTGCCCGCGTCGCCGCGGCCCGCCGGCGGCTGAGCTGCCTCTCGCCCGCCCCCCTGTGCCCCCGCCCCCACGTTTAGTAAGTACCGAGCAACGCATATAGTCAAACAAACAATTACGAGGAGAGGTCCGCGCGGACGTACTCCGGCAGGCGCGGCGGCTCCCCAAAAGCCGTGACGTCGTCGCCCTGGCGCTCCGCCAGCGCTCTTCGCAGGCCGTGCTCCGCGATCACGAGCCGCGAGACGCCGTCGAGCGCTTCCAGTAAAGACGGCCGCACGTCGAAGCCGCTGCCGAGCGGCGGCGGCGGCCGCGCCACAGCGGCGCACCAGATCGCGAACTCAACGGGGTCCGCCGGCCGCGGCCCGGCCGTGTCGAGCGCCGCCGCGAGCCGCCACGGAGTCTCCGCGGCCGTGTACGCGTCGAAGGTCGCCGCCAGGTCTTCGGCTCTCTCAACACAGGCGGCCGCGTCGCCGTCCGGTTCCACGACGTCGATCCTGGAAGAGGACCACTCGAGCGGCGAGATCTGATCAGGCTCCGGCGGCGCGGCCGCGGCGTCAACGGCGACGCAGTCGACGACGACGCCGCGCGCGATGCGTTGACTTCCAGCGCCGCGCGCCGCGTCCGCCAGGCGCTCGCGGCCCCAGCGCAGCGACGCGCCGGCCGCGCCCGGCACGACCGTGGCGCCGTAGCGGCGCCAGCGGCCGACGCGCGCGTCGGCGCCCGCGACCGCGCATCTCACAAGGCCGCGCAGCGCGCCGCCCTCGACGCGCGCGAGCGTGCCCCTTCGTCTCACGCGCCGCCGCCGCGCGTCCCACGACGTCGCCACGACGAGGCCGCCCTCTCCAATATCTTCCAGCAATTCTGTGAGAGTTGCATCATCAAAAGCGAGCGGCAGGCGCTGGTAGGGCAGCAGCGCGTCGACGCAGAGCACCGGGCACGCGCCGCGGCCCGCGGCGAGGAGCGCGGCCTCGCGGTCGGCGGCCGCTGGTTTCACAAGGCGGCGCGGAGGGCGCTCGAGCACCGCGTCTACCGTCACGACGACGAAGAGAGCGAGGCGGCGCAGCATAGCTTTCTTTAGCTAGCCTTGCTCAGTGTTGCACGAGCACTTCGCGGCTCCTCCGTGCACTGACGGATGCACCCCTGTGCCCAGCGCCTCGTGCTGAGCTTGTCCTTGGACTCGTTTGTCCGCGCACGACCAATGCACGTTTGACACCGGTGCCAGAGTCGACTGAAACGAGCTTATTTGTTGCAACGAGCAATGGCACAGGCCCTTAGCGACGTCGCGCGACGTCGTGCGAGCACGCGTACGCATGTGCGCTCGTGTGTGATTATGTAGACATGATGACACACTAGCCCCGGCTAAAACGGAGCGAGTGCTCTCCGGCGCGACCCTCGGCATCTCTAAGACGAAAACATGGTCAACAACAAGAGACAGTTAGGGCCCCTCGCACTCGACGTAGAGCTCGAAGTGCGCGAGCGGCGTGGCCACGGTCTTCACGGGCACGAGCGACGCGTCCTTAATAGCCGAAGCCGAAAGGTCGCGCGTCGCATCCACCAAGCGCGCGGCGGCCGGGTCCGCGAGGATCTGGGACGCGTCGTAGCCGTCGCGCATCCACAGCAACAGCCGCCAGGCCGCGTCCTCTCGGACCGGGGGCAGCTTCGTGTCCAGTAACGCCAGGCGCGCCAGTAAAGCTCTCAACGAATATTCGGTAGACTCGACGGCGTCCGCGACGTCGTGGGGCCCGCCGACGGCGTCCGACGGTGGCGGGCCGGTCGGGTCGACCCGGAACACGAACTTCTCCACCGGTTCTCCGTGCGTGCCGTCCGTGACGGCAATCACCACCGCCTCGACACTTCCAGCCGCGAGGAGCGGCTCTACACTTTTTAACGTTTTCTTGACGTAGGCCTCGACGTCCGGGTGTCTCGCCATGGACACGGGCACGCCGAAGCAGCGCCGGTCGCTAAAGATCTCGGCAGGATACAAGTTCCTCTCTTTCAAAATAGTATGCGTCGCGACCTCGAGGAAGTCGCACAGGTGGCGCGCGCGCGTCGCGGCGTCTGCCATGGTGCTGTGGTGTGGATTATCTGGCAGCGCTCCAAGCGGCGCGCAAGGAAACTGACAGCTTACAGCTCCGCCGCGCGCGCGGCCACAGCGTGAGATGAGGGATCGGTCTCTGCAGCGGCAGAAGTCGCGCGCGCGCAGAAATTCGACAGCGGCGCAGCGCAGGCGTATCTTGGCGCACGTCGCTCACGAGCAAGTACGTCCAGGCGTTTGCTGCGCGCGCCGCGGTCTCGCGTTTCGAGCTAGCGTCAGTCGGGCACTAGCCTTTCAAACTCACGCAGAGCAGCTGGGCTGTTGCTGCCGCTGGGGCCTAGCGCCGCTGCTCGGTACTCCCGGCAGCAATTATATATACAGACGACAGCGCCCAGCGAATTTGAGCGTCCGCAGCGCGCGCCATGGCGAATAATAATCAGCCCGCCCCAGACGAGAGTACCACAATAGCGGCGCTCGCCGTCGAGGCGGACGACGCGACGGGCGGCTACAGCGTCGGCGCCGCTGTTTTGAGACCCCTGGCGCCGCAAGGCGACGACGACGACGACGACGATGCGCCGCGGAGGGAACTGTGCGTCTACGCCTTCGCCGACGACGGCTTTCTGACCGCGGCCGACGCGTTATTAGTAAGAGAGGGCCCCGGCTTCATCACCATTGATGCGGGCGATGCCAAAAATAGAACTAAAGTCGACGCGCTCGTGGCCAAGCACTCGCGCGCCGAGGCGCAAGCCCTGAACCTGGAGCAGAAGGGCTGGCCCAAGGCCAAAGGTAAACTCGAAGCGAAATTGAGGCACGTCCTCCAGACCTTGTGTGGCGACAAGGACCAGGAGATGAGCGGTTTGACGATACGCGCGGCCGCGTTAGTTTTAGAAAGAGCTCAATTGACCGACAGCAGCGAGCGCTGCGTGCAACTCAACCCTGGAGCCACAGTAGGCCACGTCCGTCTCGACTCGGCCGCCGTCGAGGCCGCTACTGTGTTGCCCCCACCTGGTGCCAAGAAAACGGGCCCCCCTACGTCGTTGCTAGACGTGCTGGGCGGGCCCTGCCGCACGATTGCCGGTTCTCGTCTAGTCGAGGCTTGGTTAAGGCAACCATCTCGGGACAAATCCATACTAGAAAAGCGCCATAAAGCGGTAGAAGCGCTGAGAGATGCCCAAGACGGCCGAGAGGCCCTAAGGAGCGCCCTGGGCACGACGAAAGGCGCGAGAATCCCCGACGTTTCTAAACTATGTGCGAAGTTAAGGCAGGGCAAAGCTACACTTGTCGATCTGCATAGACTCCACGTCGTCGCGCAGAAGGTCGTCCCCGAGGTCCTAGCCGCGGCGGAAGCTATCGACACTGATGCGATCAAGGACATCGTGCCGCCTCTCGCGAAGGCGTCGAGAGACTTGAGGGTCTTCTGCGACATGGCGCGAGCTACTTTGGACTTAGATTACCTCCCGGAGGTCCTGCTCAAACCCTCGGTCGACGAAGAATTAGTACAACATTCAGAAGCGATGCGCCAGGCGCGGGACGCCGTGGACGAGGCCCACGAGCGCGTGAACGAGGCCTTCGCCGATGCGGGTCTAGGCAAAGGCGCGTCCCACTCAGAACGGTCGAAATGGCCTATTAAGCTAGATGCGGACGCGAACCGAGGCTTCGTGTTGCGCTCGCCGAAGAGGTATGATGAAAAGTCCCTGTCGAACGTCGAGGTTTCTGGCGCTCGCGGATCACCTGAAGAACTGGAGGTGTTGTCTTATTTGAAGGCTGGGGTGTTTTTCACGACGCCCTCTCTGTCAAGAGCTTGTAGTGCTCTGGAGCGCGCGTCGTCGGCCTATAAGAAGGCCCAGAAGACGCTGACGGGGGAGCTAGTGCGGACCGCAGCGACCTACGCTCCTGTTTTTAGTAGGGCGGCAGACGCTTTAGCTTCGTTGGACGCCCTGCAAGCTTTTGCCCATGCGGCGGCCTTCGCGCCGGGCGGTGCGTATGAACGACCTACTTTCTCTGATGATAATACTGTATCCATCAAAAACGCGAGACATCCGGTGGTCGAGTGTGGCGACGGTATTCATTTTGTACCTACCGACTACGCCCTAGATGACCAAGGGCGACTCGTAATAGTGACGGGGCCGAACATGGGCGGCAAGTCGACTCATATAAGAGGCTTGGCCTGTCTGGCGATCATGGCCCAGGCCGGTTCTCTCATACCTGCGGACGCCGGTGCTACCTTACCTTTGTTTGATGCTATCTTGGCAAGGGTGGGTGCTGGAGATAGCCTACAAAGAGGCGTCTCGACGTTCATGGCCGAGATGCTCGAGGCGTCCATGATCTTGAGGAGCGCCACGTCGCAATCCCTGGTCATTATAGATGAACTTGGACGAGGCACGTCGACGTACGACGGCTTCGGATTAGCCTGGGCCATCTCGGAGCAATTAGTCAGGCAAAAAGCGACGTGTCTGTTCGCCACTCATTTTCATGAATTAACACAATTGAGCGAGGGGCAACCGGTGAAGAATCGCCACGTGACCGCGCACGTCGACGAAAACACGGGCGCCTTAGCGTTTCTGTACGAGGTCGCGGACGGGCCCTGCACGGAGTCCTTCGGCATCAAAGTGGCCGAACTGGCGGGCTTTCCTCCTGCTACGGTTACCGTCGCGAAGCGCAAGGCCGAGGAGCTCGAGTCCAGCAGTGGGGGGAAGTTGAAGGCGCTGCGGGCGTGACGTTTCGTGGAGTAAGTGCCTATCATATACGGAAGAGAATGCGTCGGCCGGGGCGACTGAGGGATAGAGTCGTATTTTTGGGGCAGGGGGAAAACCTGTTTTGCCATGGGGTCTCGAGACCGGCTAGACCGGCCGCGCGGGCGTGCGTTTTGGCCAACCGGCGTGATCTCGGCACTGGGGGACTGCGACTTATATAACCTGAGCCTGGAGCGGTCAAACGCGGATCCGCCTGGACGCGGATCCCCAGCCTGGTTTTGGCCATGGATATGATCTCTACGATGCAAGCGATACACAGGGCCGCCAAACGATGCGACGTCCACGCCTTGCGAGGACAACTGCTTGCTGGTGTGTCGCCCGATCTCGTAAAAGAAGGTTGTGGCAGAGTTGCACTCCACTTCGTTTGCATGCACGCGCCCGGTGTGCGCCAGACCGAGTGCTTAAATCTACTGATAGAGTATGGAGCGTCGGTACTTGCGCGTGACAGTCGGGGTAATTCGTCACTTCACTTCGCGTATGTACATGACAACGCGCCACTCGTGCGGAAGCTAATCGAGCTTGGGTGCGACGTCAATGCGCGTGGCTATTGTGATAGGGTGCCGCTACACGTAGCAATCCCCCGCGCTAACTCCCACATGGTGTCGCTGCTGCTAAGCGCGGGCGCAGATGTTAACGCGCGAGACGTGAATGGGATGACGCCTCTTCATCTTTCATTCAATTACGCTGCTCAATTACCCCCACCGGGGGTCGACCGCATCTATCCTATCATCCTGCGCGCCGGAGCCGAAATCCCCGCCGAGACAGACCACCCGTATCTCCAAAAAGTCATTGCCGCCGGAGGCTGGGCGAACTACGAGCGTCTTCATCTAGACAGGCTGATCGCGATGCTCACGCCGAAGCCGACGCCCAACGACGGTCGCCGCCGCTCGCGCCGCCGCCTGTCGCCGCTCCGGCGCGTCCCGCCCGAGGTTCTCCGCAAGATCGCCGCGTTCGCGTTCCATGCGGGATACTACTAAAAATAGTCTTCGAATTCTTATTTTCTAACTGGCCAGCGTGCCACGCGAAGTGGTCGATTGGGTAGTCGGGGTCGAAGGGGGGAGCTTGATCACTCGATCTGGGCCAGCGCCTGGTTCAGGTCCTTGATGATGTCGTCGATGTGCTCGATGCCGACGGACAGGCGCACGAGCTCGGGCGGAAGCCCTGTCTCGATCTGCTCCTCGTCGGAGAGCTGCGAGTGCGTCGTCGACGCGGGGTGGATCGCTAACGATTTGGCGTCGCCGACGTTGGCCACGTGCGAGAAGAGCTTGAGCGAGTTGATCATCTTCTCGCCGGCGGCGCGGCCGCCCTTGAGGCCGATTACGACCAGGGGACCGCCCTTGCCCTTCAAATACGTCTTCTGGAGCCGGTGCATGGGATCACGCGACAGGCCCGGGTAGCGGACCCACTCGATTTTGGGGTGCTTCGACAGGTGCGTGGCCACCTTCATGGCGTTCTCGCCTGCGGCGCGGGCGGCGAGTGACGCGGCGCGTCGACGGTGTCCGACACCTCCACGCGACTCGATGGCGTACGAACGGCGGGGGTCGAGGCGCGCGCGCAGACGGCGTCCGACCGCTACGCCATCGCCGCGACTCGAAGGGAACGGACGCCGCCGCGCACAATGTTTCTCCATCCGCATGGGCAAGGTTTCAATACCTTGTAACGCCATCCACGCGTTGTCCGGCGACATGCACCCTCCTAGGTTACGGAGGGGCACCGTGCGCATGCGCAGAATATACGCGAGGGGCGCGAGCATCTCCGGTAAATCAATGCCCCACCGCAGCCCGCCGTAGGACGTGTCCGGCTCCGTGAACAGCGGGTGCTTGCCCGTCGACCAGTCGAACGTGCCCTTGTCAATCACAATTCCCCCAATGGCCGTGTCGTGGCCGCCCGTCCACTTCGTGAGGGAATGACAAATAATGTCGGCGCCGTGGTCGAAGGGTCTACATAAGTAGGGCGTCGTGAACGTGTCGTCGACAATCAGCGGCAGACCAATCTTGTGGGCCTCTTCACTGATAGCCTTGATGTCTGCAACATCTAGCGCAGGGTTGCTGACGGTCTCCGTGAAGAAGGCCCGCGTCTTCTCGTCCGCGGCCTCAGCGAAGGCTCTCGGCGAGTTCGAGTCCACGAACTTCACCGTGATGCCTAAGGTCGGCAGGATGTCCTTGAATTGCGTGTACGTGCCTCCGTATAAATTTCTCGCACTTACGATGTTGTCGCCCGCCTGGGCGAGGTTGATGATGGAATAAAAAGCCGCGTTCGTGCCCGAGGCCACGCCTAATCCACCCAACTCCGGCGCGCCCTCGAGCAAAGCCATGCGCTTTTCCAGGACGTCCGTCGTCGGGTTCATGATGCGACTGTAGATGTTGCCGAGCTCGGCCAGGGCAAAGAGCTTCGCGGCCTTTTCGGTGGACTCGAACTGGTAGGGGCCCGTGCGGTAGACGGGCACGGCGCGCGCGGTGGTGGCGGGGTCGGGCGCCCAGCCGCCGTGGATGCACGTCGACTCCGGTTCGAGCTCCCAATCGGGTCCCCACGCTCTCAGCGCTGTCTTGCTGAGAGCTGTCTTAACAGGCGAGCTGCGCGGAGCGATGAGCGCGGAGACAGGCGCCGCAGCGCATGCCAGTGCAAGAAGCGGCTTGATGGTCATGTTCTGGCAGCTATTCGATGCTTAATCTTGCTGCAAATAGCGATGAAAGAGCCACTTTCCACGCTCCGGGAATCCTAAGTGTGTTTAGGTACGCTAGCTAGGCAAAAAATTAATCGCGGCCAGACTGGAATCGGGTCGCACGCGCTGCGTGAGCAAGCAAATCACGTTCTCTGGACGGCACAACCACCTATAATTGACAGTGCACGATGCTGCGTTGCGTGCTCCTCATCGCATGCAGCAGCAGCGCCCTAGAGTTCAGAGTCCCAGCCCGCGACGGCTACAAGCTCTCCGTAATAACCAGCAAAACCACAAAAACGGACGACGCCGTCCTGCTCCTCCACGGCCGAACATGGAGCAGCGGCCCGGTGTGGCAGACGACGGGCGCGATCGACACGTTGGGCCGGGCCGCCTATGGCATGGACTTTCGCGGCTTCGGAAGAACACAAAAACGCGCCGCCGACGGCTTGTTGAGGCCGTCTACGTGTGTGAATGATGTATGTGATGTACTGGCAGACTTACGAACGAAACACGAGAAAGTGCATCTGCTCGGCTGGTCGTATGGAGGTCTGGTCGCGCAGAAGGTCGCCGCTTCCACAGATCTCGTCGATAGATTAGTATTGTACAGCTCCGTCTGGGATGAAACAGGAGACTACGCCGATGATGAAGGCCGGTTTAAAGCCTCGGTGCCGCGAGGACCACAAACACTAGAAGACTGCGCGTCGGACTTTAACCTACCTAACTCGATCTCCGCGGCAGACTCCGATGCATTCGCTCGCGCGGCGCTGGCCGCGGACCCGCAGTGCGTCGACTGGACAGCTTTATCTGAGTTCGCGGTGGATCTTGGCGACGTCACGTGCCCCTGTTTGGTGATTCACGGCGACCAGGACCCCTACGCTTCTCGAGAAACGCAGCGGGCTCTCTATGATGCGCTCGGGAGTTCGACCAAGCAACTCGTGGTCATCGACGGGTCCGACCACGTCGCGCACGCGCTCACGCAACCCAAGGTCCAGTGGGCCGGGGCCATCGGCGCCTTCCTCGACGCGTAGATGGCATCGACATGTGTGGTGGGTCGCGGCGATGGCGTCTGGGTGGCGCGAGGCGCCCTCGACGCGACGTCGCATGGCGTCACGCGATCGCCGCGAGGTGGACGCCATCGCGGCAATCGTTTTTAACCTTAATCTGAAGTACATTAGGACATTCATTCACATTAGTCATCTAGGAGGCGGCTGCGCCTGCACGTACGGCCCGTCCTTATATAACGCACGCTTCTTGTAGGCCTCCCTCCACTTTCCCTGCTGATCCGCGGGCACCGCAGCCAACTCATTCACCCCCCCGCGCCGTCGTATATCCCTAGGATCGGGGAACGTCATGTACGCGTGTCTGACAGAATCGAGCTTGCACGCGTGCGGGAAGGGTCTTTCACGTGTAAGCGTGCGGAAGCCCGGCGGGTAGAAGCTAGACGGATCCAAATCCTTCATTGAGGTAATCGTAGTAGTCGGCACGTGGGCATAAGTAGCGGCAACATGAGAAAAGGAAGACGCCCTTCCTAATATGCGATGTCTAGGTGAAAAACAAGTCCCGTTCTTGTCCAGACAGTGCATGCCCAGCTGCGCTATTAAATGAGTAGCTCTCGCGAGATAGGACCATTCGGAAAACGCGACATCCAGACAGTCGTCGCAGAGCGGCCTTATTTTGTTCTCGATGTAGTCGGGGTGCCTCAGGTCCTTGTCGACGGACGCGACCTGGCACACTACTACGTTTTGTTCTATAAATCGTTGCGCGATTTGTGCTTTCGATTCGGCCACGTTGGAGGCTAAAAACACCGTCCGCCTCAGGTTATTGGCCGTGATATACCGTATGATAGGTCCAACCAATTCCTGGAAGGGCGGCATACGCATAACCTCTGCAGATGCGTTCAGGGGCCCGTCGTGCTTGTTCCGGAACATGGACTCGTCTCTCCGCTCAAACCTAGTCGTGTACATGCGGTTGTGGACCACGACGTCATAGGTCGCTGGAGGCACGGAACCGTCGGAGCACGACGCGTTCCGAGCTGGGTGATGGATGTCTAGTATAGACCGGAGGGCCTCCGACTTTATCTGTGAGATTTCATTCGCCCTCTGGATGCACCGAGGATCCGCAAGTCGACAGTCGCGCGTCCGTCGCGCCGCACATCTAGCGCCGGCGCCGCCAACATAGGTCGCCTCGAAGTCCGCTTCAGGTGCTTGCCCGAAGTCGCGCCGGTCCACATGAGGGGCCTTGCAGCCCAGGCGACTGCAGATGACGCCGAAGCGGCCCGTCCGCGGTATCGCCACGCGCAGCCCGCAGCTCCGCGCGAACTCCGCCGCAAACACTAATGCATGGATCTGGTTGCCGTAGCCCTCCCGTTTCTTCGGGTCGTCGTGGATGCGGACGTCGCGGCACAGCGGGCGCGTGTCGTTCTCTAGGAGTGCAGCTGCCGCATAGATGCAGTAGAGCCAAATACGTCGCATGGCTCCTCTAGCCATGCGGCGGCAGCGTCTGGCCGCCGAATTGCTCGCGTTGGGCAGCCCTATGGCATCGACATCATCGCAATCGATCGATCAGCAAAATTGGACTAGTGAGTGTTGGACGCTAGCGCGAGTGTTGAACGCTAGCGCTCTGTTTGTTAAGCGACGGATTGCGACAGGTAGCAGCCTTCGGGACTAGTGCTGTGCTGTTGCTTGGCATAGCATGTGGCGTTGCTGTCATACCTCTACCTCTGTGGACCAATTCGGCGGGCGCTCGCACGCGCCTACGAACATACCGATTGCTAGATCGAACTGCGCTTGTTGACGAACGCATACGACCGCTGTTACCAGCAAGAGATTTTGCTCTCTGCGATTGCCTGCAGGCTGTGAACACTGCATCCAGTGGGAGGCTGTCAACAACGCGTGCAATTCGCAAGCAAAAAGCTACAACACGCAGCCTCGCGCGCACCACAAATTAATCAGCGCGACGACAATGGGCGGCGGCAGCGACCTCCAGCGCCTCTCCGGCGGCGAGAACTGCGTGCTCGGTCCGCGGCGCGGCGTCCCATCCCGGCCTCCGCGCCATCGCCGCGACCCTGGCAAGCGAGTCGCGTCGATGGCGTATAAATGTCCCAGGCGCACTCGCTGACGCATCGCCGCGACCAAACAACACAAAAAACGCAGGCATGGTCACGGGCGTGCTCAGTAAGTGCTGCAACTACCCCTGTCTGGTGTGGAAGAACACGCTCCAGCAGGGCATTAAGTTGAATACGACGTGGACGACGAGCGGCGGCGCGTTCAGCCCCCTGAAAGTTTACAGAGGATTGCCCATGGCCTGCATGAACCTGGGCGGGACGAACGCCGTGCAGTTCGTCGGCACGGGCTTCTTCCAGAAGTTGCTCGCCAAGTCAAGTAATGATAAGGACGCCGTCCAGGTGGGCGGCGCGTTCCTGGGAGGTGCTGCTTCTGGAGTGCCGTGTAGCATCTGGGAGCTCTGCATGATCCAGCAGCAGCGGTTCGGCGGTTCGACCCTAGGCACGCCCGCGCGCATTGTCCAGGAGTACGGCGCGGCGGCGATCGGGCGCGGCATCACGACGACCATCGGGAGGGAGGCCATGTTCACCATGAGTATGTTGGGCGTCACGCCCTTGATCCAGGAGAAGCTTGTAGAGAGTTCAGGCATGGAGAAGAACGCGGCGCTCGCGGCGGGGTCGTTGACGGGCGCGCTGCTCGCGGGCGTCGCGACGCATCCTCTGGACACGATCAAAAGTTGCATGCAGGGCGACCTGGGGCGCAAGAAGTACGATGGGATCGTGCAGACGGGTAGAAGTTTGGCGACCGAGTACGGCGTCGTGCAGGGCCTCTTCAAGGGCCTCTTCTGGCGCGTCGCTTTAATATCGACGACGTTCTTCCTCGTGAACACGTTCAAGCAGCAGACCGTGCCGCTGCTCTTCCCGCACGCCGTCCAGGACGAGCCCGAGAAGAAGTCCTCGAGGTAACTTTTTGTCCATAGGAGTCCCTGTCGCCATCGCGGCGATGGCGTCGAGGGCAGCCCCACCGTCGCTCGGATTCACACATATAGCATACTTACGCGCGCAGCTCCTTCTGCATGAACTTGCGCTTCGCGAACGAGCCCCACCACTTGTCCTTCGCGCCGTCGTCCTTGTAGAGCACGTCGAGCGTCCTCGTGGAAAGCTCGTCTCTAGCTTGCTTCATGTACAGCCTCCAAGCCTCGCCCTCCTGGATGTCCTTTGGCGGCGGGAAGAGGCCGCCGAGCGGCCAGCCCGGCGACCCGGGGATCGGGAACTGTTTGAGGACCAAACTCTTGACGGCCTTCTCGCCCGCCTGTCTCGTAGAATGGCGCTCGCACTCCTTGAGGAACTGCTGCATGCTTAGCGTGAGGTAGACGAGCGTGCGGTCCGACGACTTGGAGACGTCGAAGTTGCGGAACAGGCAGTTCGGTCTAAAATACTTGATCGTCTCGTCGATGATGTCGTCGCCCTCAAAAGGCGCCGCCGGCGCGGGGCCCCGCAGCTTGGTTTTTAGCGGTAGTAAGGCGCAGCCGCAGGCCTCGTCGGCGCCGGCGCCGTCGATCTTGCTGTGATAAGCGGGCATTTTTTGTCGGGCTAGTTTTTTTTACGCTGTCTGTCGAGCAGAGTAGTATCCCCGCCGCGCAATGGGCCAAATATAGAGTTTTGTGGACAGCCAGCCAAAGGTGGCTTTTGCTAATCCGCGGGTGGCCGGCGAGCGCTTCTCCGCGACAGCGCCGGCTGGGCGTGACTGCAGCAATCCTCTGGCCGTGTGAACACGGACGAATCGACGCAAAATGGCCGCGCTGCGAAAAAGCCGGGCGCTTGCTAGTGTCTTTCAGCACGCTAGCGCGCTCGATAACAGCAGGATTTTGTCCGCGCTAAACTGCCCGCAACCATCATCAGTGCACCCAAGGCCTCGTCACGGGACACTCCGAGGTATAGTCTTGCGTTCGAGGTAGCAAGCGCACCGTCAAAGCAACCCTGTACGCCGCCACAGCCTTCGAGTTCCAAAAGCTGCCAGCCGAAACTGCCCGCACGCATTGCAAACGCTAAGAACGATGAACAACCAGGGCTGGCCCAACGAGCGCTGCGAGGCCTGTGGCCTACGAGCGAAGCTGAACATGGGCGCCGGCGCCAATGCCCCGCTCTACATCCGGCTGCGGCCCTGCGCGCGCTGCAAGGAGGTGCGGTACTGCAACCGCGAGTGCCAGCGCAAGGACTGGCCGAGACACCGAAAAAATTGCGTCGTGCCCGGCGATAAACCGCCTCCACCCATGGATAGTGATTTGCGCGTCGCGGTCCAGGGCCAGATCAAGCAACGGGGCTGTTATATTATGGCGAGAGCGTCAAAGGCCGATCTTAAAGATGACGACATTATCCAATTACATACGATCGGCTTCCACGAGCACGACGCGCCCGAGCTCGCTATACCAAGGTTGCCGCACCGACTGTTACAACGGGCGGGCGGTTTGTTAGCCTATGTACGAAATGAAAAACCAGTAGATCAGCCCCTGAAAGAGGGCGAGAAGGTGTCGGTGAACGGCTTGCACTTCACGGCTTCGCACGTCAAGGGCCAACGACTGAAGGACGCGAACTTCCTCGGTTTGGTGGCCGTGCGCGCCTACTACGCCCTGAAGCAGTCCGACGGGTTGGTGAGGTGCATCGAATTAACATTAGAGAGTGAAGATGATATGACGGACGAGTTGAGTGGAGCGATGGCGCGCGCGGAGGCGGCCGCGAAGCCCTCCGCCGACGTCGCGGACGCGGAGAAACGGGCCCACGCCCGCATCCAGGCGCAGAACGCCGTCGACGCTTCGAAAGAGATGGCTGCTCTAAAACTCCAGGAACAGATGGACGCGGTCGACCGCGAGGGGGCTCCTACGGTCTCCGAGGCGGAGGCGGCGAAGATTTAGGTCTTTTTCTAACATTTTTGAGAGTTGAGTATGTCCACGTCGCGTCGATGGCGTGGGGCGCTCCCCGCCGTCGCGCGGACGCGGTCACGGGGGCAAGTGTCGCATCGATGGTACGAGTCAATCAAAGGGTTATTATACAAGGGGAGAGGAAGCGTCTAGATTTAGCAGCCGGTGCCGGTGATGAACGTCGACCCCGTGAGGATGGGGGGCGACGTCGGCTTGCCACAGCTCCCAGCCTCAATCTTAGCGTGACCCGACATGGAGGACGCTACCGTGATGCCTCCGGACACCTCGCCGACGACGGTGATCTTCGCGTTTCCACTCATTTCGGCCTGCACGATGATGTTGCGCACACCGCCCCCCGCGTCGATGAAGATGCTCGCGTCGTCGGTCATCGTACCCTGGACCATGAGATCGCCCCCTATACCGGTTCCGTGGATATCGATCTTCGCGGTGTCCATCATGGGGCCCTTCACCCAGACGTTCGTCTGGACCTGCGTGGAACGAATCGCGTCGATCGCGCGACGCGATTCCCACGTCACAGAAATTTAATTTCGGCTCTGCGTCACACCCCATACATTGAAGTTACGGAGGAATCGCCACACATCGCGCCTCCGATGACGATCTTCTCGGGGTTGTATGATTCTCGATGTACATCTCCCGCCAGCGAGGGCAGCGACACCGGAACGTCGGGGGCCGCCGGACACTTACCAATCGTACTAGCAGGTGCCGGTAAGATGAACGGGCTACAAGCGCTCTCCGCCGTAGCAGCCCGCTGGTCATTCGGATCGAGAAAAGCATGAAGAGCGGCAGCAGTTTTGCAATTTTCTGTCACAGCCAGATTCGTCACGCCGCCCGAGCGGTAGGATATGGCCGTGGCGGCGCAGGCGCCGAGCGCGAAGGACAGAACGACACTTACGGCGACAATCTTAGAGATGGATGTCGAGGGCGACTTGTTGCGCGTCTCCAGGACGGGCTGGTCTTCGATGGCGTTGTACTGATTCATGTTTAATTTTGGTTGGCCTGCGTGGGCATTTTTGGCTCGGGAGGCGCACGTAGACCTGCGCGACTCGCGCCCGCCGCCCGCCACGCAGGGGCTCTGCCGGCGTCGCGCGAGATTCGCCGCTATCGCGACGGTGGCGACGGTTGAAACGACGCGACAGCCTTTTTAATTATCGCGAGCGCGCCTCGACACAGTGATCATCAGTGTGTGGTGTTGGTAGAGCAAAATAAAAGCTGTGTCCGCGCGCGGATTGATGTAAATCCGAGTCTGAAGTACAGAATGGTTTGTCAGACACGGCGCCGAGCGTGAAAACGACGTGCTAACTTTGCGACTCTGAGCTTCTATAAGCAATGGTCTTCAGGAGTGTGCTGTTGAGAGGCGCCCGACAATACTCCACAAAACAGTAAACATATCCAAAAACACACATCCAGACCAGTCAAGCCAGTCGTAGCACTCTTGCTGCTTCGAACGTACGTGCGCACGCGACGCTCGGCAATTTCCAGGCACGGGCCCATCACGAGGTGTAGTCCCCACGCACACCGCCGCTCGTCGACGTTTCCTCGTCAACAACGCCGCGGCTCTCCGTTCGTGGCCGAACCGTCCGGTGCTCATCGCGCGGTCGCCGCGCGGGCGACCGAACCGAGCCTCACCCTGTCAAAAACCGGCTAGTACCTCCTAGGGCGGCGTTGGGACGTCTCTCGCGTCGGAGACGTCGACGAACATGGGGGCGGCGTGCGCGCTGGGCGAAGCTGGACGCAGGTTGTTCACGCTGCTGTAGCAACAGCGAGGAGAGCTATCAAACGTAAGAAACGCTTTCGATCGGTCTAAATCTGTCGTTGCCCGCCAGCTCTTGCAGAGAAACGGTGCCCCCGGGGGCCAGAGGACACCTGCAGCTCTCCCTGCAGTTCCTGAAGCCGGCAACAGCGCGCGCTCGCAAAGAAGACGCCATAGCGCGCGCTCGAAACGATAGCGCCGTTTAACACCTGCCTCATGCTCACATCCGCGAGCGCCCTGCGGAGCGCGGCCCGCGGCGCCGCGCGCTGCACGCGACGGAGGAGCGCGCCCAGCAACTGGTACTCGGCCAGCGCCGCGCCCCAGCAACAACAGACCCAAACGCTCCGGCCCGAGCCCGGCGCGCCGCAGCCTCCCGTGTCATCGTACACCGAGGACGACGCCGCGCGCGACGCGCGCATCTTCGCGAGGTTAAGAGACGAGGCCGAGGGGCTCGAAACGTCCCCGTTACTCGGTGCTTCGGTCCGAAAACAAATACTAGGAACGGACGACCTCGCCTCCTGCTTAGGCGAGGTCCTGAGCTGCCGACTCGCGCGGTCGAACGACTCCTTTCTGCCTAGGGACGAGCTGCGGCGGGCCTGCACCGACGCGTTGCGGGGAGACGCTCGCGTCGGCGCTGATATTTCCGCTATATTAGCCAGGGACCCGGCGGCCATCTCCTATTTACAATGCATCATGTTCTTCAAGGGCTTCCACGCGACGCAGGCGCAGCGCGTGTCCTCGACCTTCTGGAAGAGCGGGGATCGAGCGGATAGGCACGCGGCGTTGGCCATCCAGAACCGAATTTCGGAGCTGTGGGCGGTCGACGTCCACCCGGCCGCGGAGATCGGGGGAGGGTTATTGATGGACCACGCCACTGGCATCGTCGTCGGCGAGACGGCCGTGATCGGGGACAACTGCACGATATTGCACGCGGTGACATTAGGAGGCACGGGCAAAGAACGGGGCGACCGGCACCCGAAGATCGGCCACGCTTGTGTTCTGGGTGCCGGTGCGACCATCTTAGGTAACATCAAGGTCGGCGACGGCGCGACGGTCGGCTCGCAGGCCGTCGTGACCAAGGACGTGCCGCCGGGCATGACCGTCGTCGGCCTCAACAAGTTATTAGATCCGCACATCGACGCGAAGCGCGAGAAGGTCGTCAAGAAGCGCACGGAGACGTGGCAGTACGAAGTGGATACCTATGACGGGTACAGCATCTAGATGCATCTGGGCGAATGCGGAATTCGCCTTCGTTTGGATAAGTCGCCTTGCATATGTATCTTATTTACAAAATTGTAGAGAGAACAGCGTTCCCCGCGGCGGGCGGCCGGCGGCTAGGCGGCCTAGCTCTAAGCAAAGCAACATTGCTACGCGCGCGTGCCGCACTGCCCGCAGAACGGGCCCTGGACCGGGGCACCGCAAGCACTGCAGAAGATGCGAGGCGGCGCCGGCGGCGGCATCTCCTCCGCCGGCGGCGCCCATGGCGGCGGCATCTCCTCCGGCGCCTCAATAGGCGGCGCGCTCGGAACGACGACGCCCTCGAGGACGGGCTGCTGCTCCCCGACAATGGCGCCCTGCCCGACAATGGCGCCCTGCACGACCGGCTGTTGCGTATTATACGCATAGCTCTTCGGCACCGGGGCCATTTGGACGTGCGCCATCTGGGCGTTCGCGGCCGCCGGGGCCATTTGGACGTGCGCCATCTGGGCGTTCGCGGCCGCCTGCGCCTGCCTTTGTTGTGCCTGCCGTCGGCGATGGCATATGCAGCAGCCGACGCCGATGCAAATGAGGACGACGCCAATGGGCAAACAGATGATGAGGATGAGGAGGCCGACGTTATCGCAGTCGTAGTCCTCGCCGTCCTCATCGAGGTTCCCCATGCAAGCCGACGCCGGGTCGCACGCGATGCAGTGGTAGTCGTACGCAGTGCAATCCTCGTCGTAGCAAACATTCCCTGTGTTCTCGAGCCGGTAGCCGTCGGCGCACGCCATCTGTTTCTTGCCCGCGCAGCAGTCCTCGTCCACATTCCATTCGCCCTCCTTGGGGTAGCCCCACTCGCGGCAGGCGTTCTCCTCGCAGCCGTAGTCCTCGCCGTCCTCATCGAGGTTCCCCATGCAATCCGAGGCCGGGTCACACGCGATGCAGTGGTACTCGTACGCAGTGGTGCAGTCGTCCTCGTGGCAAACATTCCCCGTGTTCTCGAGCCGGTAGCCGTCGGCGCACGCCATCTGTTTCAGGCCCGCGCAGCAGTCCTCGTCCACATTCCATTCGCCCTCCGTGGGGTAGCCCCACTCGCGGCAGGCGTTCTCGTAGCCGAGGGTCCAAGCCGCGCACTGGCCGCCGGCGGCCCCCTCCGCGTTCATGGCGTCGACCACCCAGTCGGGGCACGACGCGTAGCCGACGTTCGCGAAGTACCTCCCAACGTTATGATCACACTCCGCGCAGTTTTGTTCGCAGTTCCCCGCGTCGACCGCCTCCTGCCTGCAATCGCGGAAGGGCGGCGCCACCTCGCCGGCTTCCGAATAGCCCGCCGTGCACAGGTCGGTCATCGTGGCGGCGTCCCACGGCGAGCGGCCGCCGTAGCACGTCGTCGCCATTACCTCGCCGTTGGCCCAGTACGAGTGCTCGACGCAGCACGCTGGATACCCTTGGAGGCGGCGCGGGCGCCTGGCCCGCGGCTGCTCCTTCGCACCTACATAGTTCAGCCCCAATGCCACTGACACTGCAGCCCCGAGGATGTAGGCACGCATGCCTAAAGGGCACGGGACGTTACCAGGTCAGCAGCAGCTGCAGTCGACGAATTGCAGTTAACGAATTTGTAGCTCTCTCAATGTCGTGAGCTGGGGCTAGTGTCTTACCCGTACAGGCCGCTAGCCCGAGAGTTTGCGGCCCACTAGTCCTAGCACCGTGACAATATATCAAAGAGTTGCGCGCGCGGGTTTTGTCACGTAAAACGCGCCAAAGCGTCGCACCTAGAGTGGCTAGGGTTACGCCACCGCGGCCCAGGAGCCAAAAGTAACACAAGATTTAGACGTTCCACCGCGGCAGGCCCTTCGCCTCGGGTCTATAAGACACGGGCCGCGGCGCGACGTAGGGCGTCGACGAGTGCATGAAGGCCGTGTCGCGCGGCGGGGACGCCTTCGCCGCGCGGCGCTGCAGCGCGCGGACCTCGGCCGCCTCGGTCCGCGTCAGCACGACCTGCACGTCGACGTAGGCCCGCGCCGCGTCGTCGTCGTCGATGTCGGCCGCCGCGTAGAGGCCCGGCGTCGCCGTCGCCTCGAAAACGCCCGCGTGCGTTTCTATTGACTCGACGCGCGGCGCGCCCGGCGCGGTGCGGCTCTCCCACGCATAGAGTGGAGGCGACGGCGGCTTCTTCCGCCTGACCGTATCCTCGGTCGCCGGCGCCTGCGCGGCGGCGACGGCCGAGGGCGGCGGCCGCGGCGGCGAGTCGAGCGCCGCCGCCGGGAAGGCGTCGGCGGGACCCGGCGTCCGTAGGACATCGAGGCGCCGGCTCGGGGCGTCCAGGTCGTCGAAGCCCCGGAGCATGGAATTGACTTGGTGAAGGGCCTCCTGGTAGGCGGGTTCCTCCATCGGTGCGAGGGGCTGCCCTTGGGTTGCAAGCGTTATGCGTTTCGGCGACGACGGGCAGCGGGGACGCAATTCTGCCTCAAAAACGCGCGCGCGCCGACCGGAGCTAGGCACTTACTTGCTAGCCTTTCTTGGGCAAGCTTGGGCCACCCGTGGCTGAGTCTCTACTGCACGCCGTGCGCCTGCAGTTGCTCACAGGAGTCCTTCGACTGCGCGCAGCGCACGACATTCGAAGCCAGGAGTCGTAACTCCCGGCAAAGGCTCCAACAAGCTCCAGCTCTCTGACACATCATGCATCGCTTCCTCAGCCTCTTGCTGTTTGTGCAGGCGCACGCATTGAAAAAGGTCCTGGTCACGGGCGCTGGCGGCCGCACGGGCAAGCTCGTGTTCGAACAGCTGAAGGCCGACTCAAATTACAAACCCGTCGGACTTGCACGGAGCGGCAAGGCGCAAAAAGCTCTCAAGGCGGTCGGTGCGAGCGATGACGAAGTGTGCGTCGCGGACATCGCCGACGAAAAGTCCCTGGCGGCGGCGATGGCGGGCTGCGACGCTGTTGTTCTTTGTACCAGCGCCGTCCCGGCGATCAAGCCGCTGTCGTTGATGAAGACGATGGCCACGAAGGTCCTGCCGTTCGTCAAGACGAGCCGGCCGGCTTTCAAGTTTCCTAAAAACGGCACGCCGGAGGAGGTCGATTGGTTTGGCGCTAAAAAGCAGATCGATGCAGCAAAAACGGCAGGTGTGAAGCAGTTCGTCTTCGTGTCGTCGATGGGCGGCACGAACCCGGACAATTTCCTGAATAGCATCGGGAGACGCAAGGACGGGTCGGGCGGCGACATCCTGCTCTGGAAGCGCAAAGCAGAACGGTACCTCGTCGAGAGCGGCGTCCCGTATACGATCATCCATCCAGGTGGCTTAGTTGATGAGGACGGTTCGAAGCGGGAGCTGGTCGTGGGCGTGAACGACGAAATTATGAAGAACCCGGAGTTCTCCTCGGGCGGCACAAGGTCCGTCGCTCGTGCCGACGTCGCACGCGTATGCAAGGCGGCGCTCGGCAGCGCGTCGGCGACGGGCGTGGCGCTGGACCTGGTCTCGAAGAAGGCGGGCGACGGGACGCCGACGAAGGACGCGTCATCTGTTTTTACCTCTCCGGGGAAATACACCTACGAGTCCGCGGCGACGGACCCGCCGAGTATCTTTTCCTAATAATTTAATAGTACTATGAGCTCGGACACGCCGCCCCGCATTCCAAGTGGGACACGGCAGCGTCTGCCAGCCGTGGGACCGGGCCGGAAGTGTCGATGACCTTGTGCAGGTGCTTCGCGAGGCGATCGGACCTCCCAAATCGTCTCGCGCGCTCCGCGAATCGGTAATGCGAGAAGGGGAGTGATGGCGGCACGTCCCCATACGTCCTCGCGACGAGCGGCTCCACGTTCAGGTAGTGCGAGTTGAGCCACCGGACCGGGACGCCGTCGATCGCTTTCGGCACCAGGATCCACTTCGTGTTGGCGCCGGCGAGCAACTGCGACGTCACGGGGCAGCGGCGGGGGTAGGTGTCCCATATTGCACCGACACCGTCGTAGGCTCGGAGCGTCCAGTCCCGCGCGACGCGGTCGACCATGTGGCCCACGTCCGCGTCTCCGGGGCGCGCCAGCAGTGGGAAAGCAATGGGTTGTACGTAAAGACGGGCGAATTCTGCAACGGAGCCAACCACTACGAGTGCTCGAATTGTATCTTTACCCCCCGTTCGGCCCGACACTTGTGGTTAAAGGAGGAGCATAAGGATTACATGTGTGGTCACTGTTACGGTAATCCGACTCACATTGTTTTGACTAGTTGGGTCATTAATGAGGACAAGGCGGGCTGCAACTCAATATATTACATTTTAGAGTCTTACTGCGGGAATGATTTGTTTTGTAGTAAATGGAAAGAAGCTTTTCTGAACGAGACAAATTCTGACGTGAATTATAACGTTACCGTCGAGTGCGTCGACGAGGACCTGTGCGGCCCTGGATATCGCAATGCGATGCGCCGCGCCTGGAACTGGATGTCGTGGCAGTGCTCGCGCCCCCTATTCTCTTATGGAAACTCTGGGAGTGGAGAGTACTGGAGAGTCGATGTCAGCGCAAAATTTATTATTTGGGTGCTGTCCGTTTTGTGTCTCAGCCAGGCGTTGTTATGGAGCATAGTGGCACTGTGCGAGAGAGTATTCGACGCGCGGCACGCAATTCGCCAGAGCGCGAGTGATTTATACGATCGGTTCTTCAATGTCCGCGAGGTCGCTCGCCTGCGGACAGCCCTCGCGGCCGAGCGCGCGCGAGCGGACCACCTGGAGGGAGCGCTCGCGACGCTCCGCGGCATGAACCACATGTGCACGGCGCTGGCGAACCGCGTCGGCGCATATAACAGCTAGTATAGCTTAGTCCCCCCGCAAAGAATCAAGCCAGCCGCAGGATGATGTGCAGCCCCGAGTCGCTCTCGACGATGCCCGAGATCTCGCCCACTTCTAGGGAGAAGGACGCGTCCTCGAACGGCTTCTGCATCTGGCCGGGACCGAAGTGGCCCAGGTCGCCGCCTCGCGCATAGGACGAGCAGTCTGATCGAGCTTTCGCCTTGGCGGCGAAGGCCTTGTGCGGGTCCTCACTGCTCAAGATCTCCTTCCTATAACCTTCCAACTCGCGCCGCGCGTCGGACGGCGCCAGCTTGATGGACGCGTTCGTACGACGAGACACGGGGTTCCTTGATGAGGTCGTCTTCAGCAGCAAATGAGCCGCACGCACCTGGGACGCTCGTTGTTTCTTCGCCGGCGGCTCCGACTCTCTTTGAGACCGTAATGGTAATCGCAAGATGACATGTAAACCGGAATCCGTGTCCACCACACCACTTAATTCCCCGATCTTCAGCGCGAACGTCGCCTCCTCGAAGGGCCGCTGCATCTGGCCCCTTCCGAAATCTCCGAGGTCCCCGGCCTCCCGATAACTCCCGCAGTCGCTTCTAGAAGAGCACAGCTCGCGGAAGGCCGTTTCACTGTCGGGCGCCGCCTTGATGCCCTCCAGCAAGCCCTCTAAATATCTACGGGCGTGGTCCTTGGACATCGTGATCTGTTCGCCCGTCCTTCGGCTGACGGGGTTCCTACTCTCAGTGTGCTTGACGAGGAGGTGGGCGCAGCGCGCGGTCTTCTCTCTGCCGGTCACGTGGCTAGACATCTTTGATGTGTGCGGAGAGAGACGATTGTGCGTCGCGTCGATGGCGTGCTGGGGCCGCCGGTTGGGGATCCGGCTTTTTGAGGTCTGTAGTACGCCGCGGATTTACCGCTTCGAGCGCGCGCGCAGTAGCAATGTCCGAGTAGTCCCGGCAGTCGGTACGTTGGGTGTTGCGCACGCGTATGGGCTGAACTAACGAGCTCCACGCGAAATGGGCGCAAAAGTATAATCAGCTAGCGGCCTATAGACACTAGCGGGACATTGTACCGCCGGGCGCGGCAATTCCTCGCGTGGATGAAGAATGCGCACGCCGGACGCCTCGCCGCCGCGAGTAATACCGAAAAAACCACAATAAGGATTACACCATCACGCGCGACAAATCGTCGCGCGCCGAGTAGCCGTTCCGGTGCCCCCGCTGGAATAACGGAGACGGCGGCTCGAAGCCGTGCGGGTACTGATGAAGCCCGTCAAGATCCTTGTCGTCCTTCCGCTTCTTCCTAGGTCTAATAACACAAGAGACCAGGACGCCGAGCGCCAATAAAGACCCGACGACACAGAGCGAAAAGCCGGTCGACAGGTGGTAGTCGAAGTACTCGCCGATCATCTTCAACGCGATGAACACTAAAACGGCGCAGACGGCGTGCTTGAGGTATGTGAGCGAGTCCACCGCGCGAGCTACGAGTGTGTACAATGCTCGCAACCCAATAATCGCGAAGATGTTCGACGAGTAGACCACCAACGGATCCGTACTAATCCCGAGCACGGCGGGTATGGAGTCCACCGCGAAGACGACGTCACTCAGCTCGACGCAGACCAGACATAGCAATAACGGCGTCGCCGCTCTCATACTCTTCCCATCTTTATGTTGTGTGGTAAAAAACCGGTCTCCATCATACTCGGCCGTCGCACCCACCACTCGTCGCGCGATCCGCATCACTAGTCTGTCATTGATCTCATCTTCGTCGTCGTCGTCGCCCTCCAAGAGCAACTTGATCGCGGATAAAAATAAAATACCGGCAAATAACAACGTCATCCACCTGAACTTTTGTACGGCAGCCACGCCCGCGATGATCATCACGCCCCGCATCGCGACCGCGCCGAGGATGCCCCAGTTTAATACGCGGCCCTGGAACTCCCGCGGCACCCGAAAGTAGTCGAAGAGCATGATGAACACAAATAGGTTGTCCACACTCAGGGATTGTTCTACTAGGTAGCCACTCGCGAACTCGAGGGCTGCGGTAGAACCTCTCGCATAATTTAGGATTAACCCGAAGCACGCCGCTGCTGCGACGCTTATCGCCGTCTTTCTCGCCGCGGCTTTGAACTCGTCCTGCATCGCTGCGGTTTTGCTTAGGCTGCAGGGGGTTTATGGCCTTGGGTGCCGTCGGCAGCGCATCGCTGGTGCGTTAGGCATGGCGGGCGGCTGTGGTACGTCTCTGGTGTGTCCAGTGTGTCCGGTACGTGCACGATACAGCCGGTATCGCAGCGTAATCGTCGACTCGTGCTTTGCTAGTGCCTTACATAACGCTAGGTATTATGGATCCCCGAAGAATTTGGGCGGGCAGACAGCACCGTCTGACAGCCCTCGCAATTCCAACGGACAGATTTTCGTCATGAGAACAGCTCTGGCATTGCTATCTTTGGCTTCGGCAGCCAGAGCTCTCTCGGCGTACCATTCTCAGAGAACGCATAGCAAGGAGGCTGCCAGCTACCGCGCGCAAGCCTCGCAGCTGCGCAAGGAAGCCGCGATTCTGGAAACGGAGCTCATCAAGGAAAGAAAAGCACTCGAGGCGCTCCGAGAGCTCGAAAATCCGAAACCCGCGGACACGACACCGCCGCAGCCGGTCCTCGTGGCAAAAGCAGGCGCCGTCGAGGTGCGCTGGGCGCTCGACGACGCCGGCGCGCTGAAGGCGAAGGTCGCGGCCGGCGGCGCGACGCTCGACCTCGAGGGGTCGTGGCGCGCGTCCGACAGGACGGTCCTGCTCGCGGCGAGCGGCGTCCTCGGCGTCCGCGTCGCGTGCGAGGCGCCCATGATGGCCGCGGAGGGCGTCCGCGCCGCGCGCGAGAGGAGGAGAACGTGCGAGCGGGCGCTCGCGCGCGCCGAGCAGGCCGCGCCGGAGGCGGCGGCGGCGCTCTACGCGCTCGACGGCGTCGACGCCCCCTCCGGCGGCTGGGTGCGCCGCCGGCTCGCCGCCGCGCGCCGCCGCCGCCGCGCGCGCCGCGTGGCGCGGCTCGCCGCGCGGACGATCGCCGGCGCGCGCGCCGACGCCCAGCGCTGGGACGCCGCCGTCCGGCCCTTCGACGGCCCGGCGATCACCGTGACGCTCGACGGCGTCGACCGCGTCGTCGGCGCGTCGGGCGCGATTGAGTGCGTCGGCCTCCGCGCGGCGGTCTACGGGCGCAAGCGCGACCGCCGGCCGCTCTTCGCGCGCTGCTCGCTGAGCCGCGACGTGCCGCGGCGCCGCGTGGCGCGGGCGCGGAGCGGCGGCCGCGCGGGCGGCGGCGCCAAGCTCTCGACGTGATCCCCCTCCCCTCCCTTTGTTTGCTTACGTTTTCTCCTGTTATCCTATGACCGTCGGGTCGTATTTCAGTCGCTCGCGCTCGCGCGCCCGCTTGCAGGCCGCCTTGTGGCGGGACCAGTGGTGGCGCTGGCAGACCGGGGAGCAGTAGGCCACCTCGTTGCACGCGGCGCACCGCCGCATCGTCTGGTGCCAGACCTGGCCGCAGGCGGCGCACGTGCGTTGTTTGCGGCTCGCGGCCGCGTATGCACGCAACTGGGGGTCGGGGTGGCTCCTGAGTTCCGGCCAGCGAATCATCATGGCCTTTTGCACGTCGTCGTGGAGGGCGAAGGCATACTCGCCCGGGGAGAGGCACGCCATGTGAGTGTGTTTCAGATCTACGGTAGCGCCTCTGGCGAGACAGATGATGCTCAGGTCGTTCCTCTCCTGGGACGGATTCGCAGAAAAACAGACGAGGGTATACGACGTGTCCAGGTAGGCGGTGACCACCCGATTCCTCGTCCGGCGGTCGCTATTTCCAAGAGGCAGGACGGTGGCGAGGGCCGCGGCCTGGGGCTCGACGCGCAGTTGTTCCAAGAGGCCTCGGGCCGCGTCGCCGCCGGGCGCCCACAGGCGTTGTTCCTCCGCGCGCCGCTGCATCGTTGCAAACGTGCAGGCTTCGGCGCGACCCCTCGGGTCGTAGAGGACGCGCTCGCCGTCGTGGAGCGTGCCCCGCCCACCGTACGTGTGCTTCGACCAGTCAATGGGCTCACCGTCCACGGTGTCAATAGAATTTGATACTACGGCACTGCCGTCTCCATGCTGTCTCATGGCCTCGCTATCAAAGACGACGTTCGACGACAGCTCGCTCGCAGCGCTGGGCTCGGCAGCACTGCTCTCCATGAGAGGCTTGCTGCCCAGAAGCTCAGACACCAGTTATCTCTCGCCGTCGCAGCGCCCGCACCAAAATGAAGCCTCGAAGGGTGTTTTGACAGCGACGTACGCTGTTGTTGGCTAAAATGGCTGCCAGGAAGCAAAAACGCTGCTAGCGGCACTAAGACACTAGCCTCTGCGCAAAATTGCTCACAGCGCGGCGCGAGCGTCGCCATTCACGCTACAAGACGTCGATTTGTTGAACACATAGCAACGAGCTACGAATCAGAGCAAAAAAGCGCTGGAAACGAGCCGTAACAAGCCCCACAGCCTGCAGAGGCAAAATGCGCCGCTCCCTAGGCGCCCTCAGCGACGTCACGGAAGAAGGCGACAGTGCGCGCCCGTTACCGCCGCCCCCACCAGCAGCAGTACTGAGCCCGCAGCGCAACGACCGCCAGTCCGTCGCGAGCCAGTTCTCCGACGTTTCGGAACTGCAGGATTTTCTTGCTGATGATTATGTGGAGAAGTTCAAGGCGCGGAGCCCGCCGCCGGCGCCTCGATTGAGGAGAGCGCCGTCCCTCGACCAGCCGTCCACTCCTACCCAAGATGAAGAGGTTATTGTAAGACCTCGGAAGAGTGTCGGGACGCAAAATAAAGTAAGAGCAAGGACGGAAGGTAGCAAGCGACTCGTGAACGACTACGAGATGCTCGGGGAATTAGGAAGGGGCGCTGCTGGGCGGGTCGAGCTCTGTGTGAAAGATGGGAAAGCAAGAGCTATAAAAGTACTAAGAAGAGGGTCCTTGGATGACGTGCGGCGGGAGGTTCGTTGCTACGGTGTCCTTGAGACATGAGAGAGTCGGTGATGCAACGCTATAAACCATATTTAAGTCGCCCAAGGCTCCAAAACGGGCCCGTGCCGACATTTGAATGCTTGAGACTCTCTCTACACACACTATCTCGTGATGAATAAGACCCATCTCACAGTAAGCACATAGGTGGCCATCACGAAGCACCTGAAGCACCGGAACTTAGTTACTCTGTATGAGGTGATAGACGACCCCTCACACCATACCTTATACTTGGTACTGGAGTACTGTGAACGGGGTCCCTTGCTCAAAGCAGGGAAAGACACGCCCTACGAGCCCATATCAGAAGATAATAACAGGAGAGCGACACGAGATGTATTGAGAGGCCTGGAGTACCTACACTCGGTGAACGTGGTCCACCGCGACCTTAAACCCGAAAATATTGTATTAGATGGGAAAGGTACTGCGAAGCTTTGTGATTTCGGCGTGTCTAGGGTCGTGTCGTCGGTCGCGCCCGTGCGACGGTCGTCGAAGCTGCGCCTGACGCCCGCGTGGGCCGCGCCCGAGCTTTTTGGGGACAAAGACGTCACGGCAGCAGTAGACTGCTGGAGCCTCGGGGCGACCATCCATGCTGCCTCGACCGGGAGTCCGCCCGTCGTGCTGGAGAAGACGGCTGCGCAAACGTTGGTGAAAGTCGAGAGCGGCGAGTTAAATGTGCAGGCTACAGGTATGTTAGGTGATCTGTTGCACGGGTTGCTTGAAAGAGATGTGACTAAGAGATGTGACGTAGCAACGGCCATGGGCCACGGCTGGGTCACGGATAGTGGTAACCAGCCGCTGCCGCGGACGACGTACGTCGGGTTTTCGCTGACGCAACATGACGTCGACAGAGCCATCAACACTCTAGAAAGTTCTGATGACGAGGCGACCACTACTGATTTGGATAGCGCCTTCGCGGACGTGCTGAAGGTTCAAGAGTCGGAGAGTGATGATGATAATGAATTAGGTGAGACGACGGGCGGCGTGCCCTGCGCGGCGTGGAGGTTAGCACATTGTCAGCAGCCCGGTTCTACGGACGAAGATCGCGTCGACGCCGTTACTCTGTCCGAGTCAAGAGCAGTCCTGGCAGCCTACGACGGCCACGGAGGTTCCCAAGTCGTCGATGCATTAAGGCACACGCTGCCGGCGTTCCTGTCGTCGGCTTTAACATTTGGGACGCCTACCAGTGCGCTGGAGTCGGCGTTCTCCTACGCGGACAATATTGTAGTCGGGACGCAGCCCGGCACCGTCGGGGCTTGTGCCGCGGTCGTCATCGTCGATAACGATGCTATTACTTGTGCGAACGTGGGCGACGTGGCGGTCGTACTTATACAGAGTAGTGGTTCAATAGAAGTACTCACGACGAAGCATTGTAAATCGAATGACGAAGAACGGAAACGAGTAGAGCAGTCGGGCGCGCACTGGGCGAACGGCGGCCGCGTCAACGGCGTGCTGCGGGTGTCTCGTAGCTTTGGCGATGGTGATTTCAAAGGTAGACAAGCCGTGAAGGCGTGGAAGACCCCATTTGCGAGCGATCCCGTCATCGCGATGCCCTCCATCAGCGTGAGGAAGCGGTCTCCGAGCGACGCTTTAATAATTGTCATGACGGACGGCGTCGTCGACGGCTTCGGCGACGAGCGCAAGGCCGCTTTGTACATCAGGAGGCAGGTTCGTAAATTGGGCGATCTGGATAAGGCGGCGAAGGCGACGTTGGATGAGGCTCGAGCTAGAGGGTCGAAGGACGACCTGTCGTTGTTGGTGTGCGACCTGCGGGACGGTTTGGTGGCCGAGGAGGTAACTTGGAGCCCGGCTGTACCGCCGCCGCCGCCGGCGCGGCCGAAACCGGAGGCCTACGACGACGACTTCGCGTTCGACGAGGGCGTCCCCGAGGCGAAGGCCGAGGCCCCGCCGCCCGCGCCCGCGACGCCCTCGCTCGAGGGAGGCGGCTTCGGCGTGACGTTAAAGAGGGCCGAGCGCGCCGCGGCGCGGGCCTGGAGCGCGTCGCAGTCGCCGCCGGCGCCCGAGCGGTTCGCATTGTAAGTTTTGATGTGTATACCTACAGCACGCGCAGATACACGCAGCGCGAACTCTGGTGGCTATTTGTGAGTAGTCAGTGGTAGTAGTTAAGCGGCCCCCCAGAGCGCCTAGGGGTCAATTTCGATCTCGAGCTCCTCGGCCCGCTTGTGGCAGTGGTCCACGGCCGGCCCGAGACCGGGAGCGGGGACCTCCCGCTCCCTCGGATTCGCAATGGAGTAGGGCGCGACGTGGTCCGCGTCCACCGCGTCCATTTGGACATCTCCGAAATACAAAACCATCGTCGTCTCCTTCGCGTCGCCGCGCTGCTGTCCTAAGGGATTCGGCGGGAAGTGCTTTGTTAATTCATCTACACTCAAAAGACAGGTCTCTGCCGGCCACCAGGGGTACTTGCCCGTCTTCGCCCAGACGAGCACCCCGAGCTTCTGGCAGGAAAAACCATTAATAGGCTCGCAGACCTTCCTTGGTTGTTGTGTAGGTGATAACACAACATCACCATCGGGAAATCTAACAGAGTTCTCGGATAACGTGAGCCACTCGGACTCGCCGTCCTCGTAGTCGCACCGGTGCTTGCCGTCGGCGTCGCGATACCTCGTTAATCGTCCTCGGAACCACTCGCCCTCGCCCTCCCAGTACACTTCGACAACTTTCCCGACCGCCCCTGCTCCTTTGTCGTAGTTCGCCGCGTCTTTGCCCCGCTTCGGTTTCTGCCTCCAAGCATTTATGGCTCTTTTTTCTGATAATGATTCTGCGGAAATCCGCTTGAGGAGGGAAGACCATCGCGACTCAAAGGCGCTCCGGAAGACCTGCGCCGCATGTAGAATCGTTTCCCTATCCGTATTTTTTGATATAGTGGCATCTTCGTCCCATGATCGAGGTAACTTACCGCTACACACCGACAATACAGTCTCGTGCACCCTCCTAATATCCTCGGAAAACTCAAAGGCATCATCATAATCCCGCTCCGCTAGCCGTTCCTTGACTCTCCTCAGAGTGACACCGTAGTCTCGCAGCCGTTCGCATTTCTTCGGGAGGAGGTTTCGTACGAGCGGATCCGCATGCAACAACGGGTCCGACACGTCGAGCGAGCATAACCAGGCCATCATGTCGTCGCAGGCCTTTGGGCCGAGCTTTCTCGCAACGTCGGCTTCGCGCTCTCGCTCACTTTTCGTAGCGTCGCCGCGCCGCCACTTGCACGGCCTCGAGCCCGTCGACTCGACCCACTGCAGCGACAGCTTGTCGTCGTACAAGACCAGGTGCCGGTGCCACCCTCCTACACTCGAAGCTAATCCTCGTTCCTGCGCTAAGACCGAACAACTTCTGTATTTTGTCGCTTCCGGTGCTTGGACCCTACACCTCGCCGGTAAGGCACCTAAATCCACAGCTGAAGCGATGTCGCGGATGGACCCCTCGACGACAACGACGTCAGTGTCCTCCTTCACGCGGATCTTTTTTGAGGGTGGAGCCGCGAGTTCGGCCTGTAAGGTCGCGAGACAGCGTACCGGACGCCCAGAACCTCTTTGATAAGTCCAGCGGTCGCCCTTCTTCGTGCACGAGAAGCCATGCCTTTCTAGCACTTCGCGCTTGCCGTCGGTGTCCTTCGGGCTCAGAGCCGACAGGGCCTTGGCTAGCGCCGGGTCCGGCGCGTAGGCGGCGCTCTCATTCTGATCAGGTGAGGGCGACCGGTCGCGCTTGACAACTTTGGCGCCGCGCGGCTTAGGAACCTGTGTGGAAATCGAATTTCGGGCGCCCCATGCCATCGACGCGACGTGCTTCCGTAGCTGCGTCCGCGCGATGGTGTGGCGATTCCACGCCATCGGCGTCGGCTCGATGGCGTGGAGGCTCACGAAGGTCCACGCAATTCACTGGTTGATTTCCGCGCAGGTAGGAACCGGCTTCGGCTGAGAAGGGTGGTTCAGCTGCCTTGTAGTCTTGGGGCCGACGTTCCGCGCTTCGAAGCGCTCCCGGATGTGGCGCGACACCTCCCGAGGGTTGTTGATCAGTCTCGATATATCTCCCTGGATTAATCCGGGAAACGCCTCGGCCGCGTCCTTTTGCGATTTATAGAACTTCCATTCACCGGACTTCTCCCGCAGCTCCACGCCGCGACCGTCGTCAACTTTCGGCGGTTTTGGGGGTGGCGGCTCGTCTTCTTCAGAGGAATGCAAGGGCGAGTCCGTAGGCAACGGGTTCCTTCTTTTAGCTCTATTAGATCGTTTTCTGTCAACGGGCCACCGCCGATCGTACTCTCCCCTATCACCCCACGACTCTTTCGTCTCGCCCCGCCGCATGCGCTGGTAGCATTTATCACACAGCGTAGCGGGACCGTCGGGCCCCGGTTTCCTCCGGAAGCCCGGCCCCGTGTCGGAACAAGCGCACCAAGCACACCTCCAGGTCATTGGGGTGCGTTGTGCCGCTTCTACGACGACGGGCTCTTCCTCCTTAATTTTGGTGTAGCGCTGCTCGACCGCGGATGCTGTTCGATTCGTCTTCAGCCGTTCCGCGATCTTCTCCCAGTCCTCGCCCAATTCATCCATCAGTTGTACGAGTTCGGCGTCCTCTTTGTCCGTCCAGCGCGGCGCGCGGCCCGGTTTGTGGGGCGCCGGTTTCGGGGGTAAAGGAGGCGTCCCGTTACCGTCCTTACAAGTCTTGCCGTGCGCTATCGCCGCCGGCGCATGGTCAAAGGCCCGCCCACAGCCCGCGGGGCACGGGAACCTCCCGGAATACGATATTTTTGGTGGAGGTCTGACGCGAGGCTTCGGGCGCGGCGCCTCCCAGGCGCCGCCGTCGCTCTCGTTGTCGTCTTCCTCAGACTCTTCTTCCATGATGGGCGGCGGCGGCGGCGCCTCGTCGTCGGACGCGGGCCGCGCCGGGTGTCGCGGCTTCTCCGAGGCGAGGCCGCCCTCGCGCGAGTAGCTGCCCGTCCGCGACGGCGGCGACAACGACGCGACGGCCGGCGCCGTCGGTCGTTGTACGGGACTCTGGCCGGGCAAGGGTGCCGGCGGGTCCGAGTAGCGCCTTGATGACGCAGGTCGGAAGCCGGGCGGCCGCGGCACCCTCACGACGACGGGCGGGTCGAGGCCTCGAGGTCGAGGTGGGAGCGGTCTCGGGGGTAACTCGGGCGCCGGCGGCTCCGCTTCCGGTAGCCCGACGGCCCTTCTTGCTCGTTTATACGCCGCGTCGCTGGTCACGTCGTCGAGGAACGCGTCGAGCGTCTCACAAACAGCTCTATCTAGTCCCTCAAAGTCGATCGTAAACTCGTCTCGCGGTCGGAAGCCGTTCGCGTCCCCAAACACCAACACGAGGACTCTCCGTAAACTCCCGGCGTCCAATCGCGCGACTCGTTCCGTGAGGCGGTGGCGGTGCTCGTAGGTCCAGGACTGGGGCTGGTGTTCTTGCGTTGGTGGTGGTGCGGCGAACATTGGTTCGACGGCGTTTTTCTAGCTGGTAGCTCTCTTGAAACGTCGCTCAGCTGTGCGCGAGAAGCCCCTCGGCTGCCTCTCACTCTGAGGAGCACTTTGAGGGTTTTTTCGCTCACCCGGCGTGCCCAGTACGTTTACAACAAAAGGGCTGATCGCTAGTGCTTCTTGAAAAGCTTGTGTCTCGTCCAGCCTTGGCGTATGAGGCTGTTTCACATGCCTCCGCGTGGCTGCCGAGCAGATTGCTAGTGTCTTACTGCGCTAGCCTATCCGCGCGACGACTCAGGGGCCTCCACCGGCGCGACCGCGCGGAGGGACGTCCGCGAAGACGCCATCAACGCGACCGGAAAACAATTACTAATCAAAAGACCACTTACGCCCCGTGCGCGGGCCCCAACCGCTCGTCCGGATCCGGCGGCAACCCCGCGTGCTCCCTGGCTCGTCTAGCTATATCCGTCCAGTCCCCCAGATCTTCATCCTCCGTGTCCTCCCCGTCGTCAAAGCCATCCAACGTGAGCTTCGAAATCTCGGCCAGCTGCTCGTCTCTGAACTGAGCCATCTCCGCCTGGTACCGCCGCATGGCGTCGTCGCGGTGCTTGGCCATGGACTCCCTGAGACCGTCGAGCTGCTGCTCGTTGAACTTCTGGAGATCTAGTGCATGCGCCTTCAACACCTCCTGCGCGTGCGCATCTCGTCTTTTCGCGTCGTCTTCCTCGTCCTTCTGGCGCTGCTCGGCGAACTCGTTGCGGCACTCTTGCACCACTTCTTGCAGGACGTTCTGCACGTCTTTTTTCAGTTCTTCCAGACATTTTGTGCGTTCCACGGCCTGCTGGTCGATAATCTTGCGGATCATCTCTTCTCGACTGGCTTTGAGCTTCGCCGCGTAGGCTTCCACGACGCGTTCTCGCTCTTCATCATCGAAGAGAGCGGCGTGCTCCTGCTCGTTCGACTGTTCGACGGCCGTCCGGCACCGGCCCGCGATGTCTCGGCTCGAGGCCTCGATCTTCCTTAGTAGGTCCTCTCTTGATACTCTTAGTTCCTCTTCGTACGACGACACGGCGTCCAGCGCGGCGGGGTCGTAGGGCGAGTCCGGCGCGTCCGTGCTGTCGAGGACTGCTGCCATGGTCTCTTGTGTTTGAATTGGGCACGCGTTTGCGCACCGGGGGCTGCCTGGACGAGCTCTTTGCGGTGCTCTTGATGGCGCGGTCGTGCCGTTCGATGCGCGCGCACGCTGCTCGTCGTCCGAATGTGTTTGTTTTGGGCGCCAAGCCCTCTTGCCAGAGGCATCGCATCCCTCCGCCGCAGGAAGCGTCGCGGGGACCCGGTCGCGCACCGTCGCAAGCTTCTTCGGTGGCTTCGCGAGCTAGCGGTGTAAGGCACTAGCACAAGCAAGCAAGCGCCGCGGCCGTGCAGCCGTAGGTGGTGGCTCTGAGACGCGCTTGCGTAGTCTGAAGGGTACCGCACAGCACCTAGGGATACCCATCGTTCGAAGGACTCAAGAGGTACAGCCTCGCGCTGACAGCTCAGGCCGGTTGGCCACCTTAGAACAAGAGCAATGTTGCGCCACGCCCTGCGCGGCGCCGCGCGGATCAAAGGAAGACCGCTGAGCGAGGCCGCCGCCGTGTCCGCACCTCCAAAGGTCCCCCAGCCGCCCGTCCCGCCGCCCGACGACGACGCGGCGCTCACGCCGCGGAAGATTTGTGATGAGCTCGACACGCATATTGTCGGGCAAGATGCGGCGAAGCGCGCCGTCGCCATCGCTCTGAGGAACCGGTGGCGCCGCCAGTTGCTGGGCGAGGAATTGAGAGCTGAGGTGGTGCCCAAAAACATCCTGATGATCGGGCCGACGGGATGCGGCAAGACGGAAATAGCTCGAAGGCTCTCGAAGCTCGCGAACGCTCCTTTTGTGAAGGTCGAAGCTACGAAGTTCACGGAGGTCGGCTTTCATGGCAGAGACGTGGATCAAATCATCCGGGATCTGGTCGAGGCGTCGATCGCGTTAACAAGAAAACGAAAGGCCGAGGCGTTTCGCGCGGAGGCGGCCCGAGCGGCCGAGACGCGCATCCTGGACACGCTAACCGGTTTAAATGCGGCCCAAGCGACACAGAGCTCATTCAGAGAGATGCTGCGGAAGGGCGTGCTTGATGATCGCCAGATCGACGTCGACGTCCCGCACAGCCAGCCGCCGCAGCAGAGCGGCGTCATCCAGCTCGACCAGTCGAATCCGGTGAGTATCAACGACTTTCTAGGGAGGTTCTCGCAGATGGCTTCCAGCAAAGGTAGAAGTGAGAGAAAAAGATTAGCTATCCGCGATGCAAGGCCCATCATCGAGGAACAAGAGCTCGAGAAGCTCCTGGAGAACATCGATGTTAATAGAGAAGCCGTCCAGGCCGTCGAGGAGTCGGGGATTGTCTTTATTGATGAAATTGATAAGATTGTCAATGCGTCCGACTATCGAGGGGCCGATGCCTCTGCGGAAGGCGTGCAGCGGGATCTCCTGCCGTTGATTGAGGGTAGTACCATAGCGACGAAGTACGGCAATGTCAATACGGATTACGTGTTATTTATCGCGTCGGGGGCTTTCCATCAAGCGAAGCCTTCTGACTTGTTGGCGGAGCTACAAGGTAGACTACCCATCAGGGTCGAGCTCGAAGCGCTCACGGAAGAACAGTTGTACAAGATCCTCACGGAGCCCAAGCATAATCTCATCGCGCAACAAAGGGCGTTATTAGCGACGGAGAACGTCATGCTCGAATTCACCGAGGAGGCGATCCGGGAGATTGCCCGAGTAGCAGCTTTGGCCAACCGAACGATCGAGAACATCGGCGCTAGACGTTTACATACCTGCATCGAGCGCATCATCGACGAAATTTCCTTCGACGCGTGCGACTACCCGCCGGGCGACCTCGTGACGATTGACGAAGAGTACGTCAGATCAAAAGTCGACGACATGCTCGTGGCCTCGGACGTGTCCAAGTACATCCTCTAGATTCCCCTATAAGCGTGTGTTTACCTTCTTCTCTATGTCCGAAACAAGCGTGAATTACCCACTACCGCCGCCGCTTCTTCTGGCCGTCGTCCTTCAGGTCGACGATGTCGTCGAGCTGGTCGATGCCCTTCTTGATGCCGTCCATCAGCCCGCCGAAGGGGTTTGGGAGAGACGGCAGCGACGGCGCGGACTTCTCCTTCTTCTCACCACCACCAAACGGGTTCGGGAGCGTGGGCAGCCCGACGCCGAAGAGTGACGGCGCGTCGGCCTGGTCCAACCCGCCGGGCGCGCCCCGCGGTTCGGGAAAGGACACGTCCTTGAACAGGCCCTTGGGCTTGAACCGCGCCACCAACCGGTCGACGTCGCCTCGGATGGCCGAGAAGTCGCCCTCGCGTTGGACCAACTGGAAGTCGTCAAATCCTAAAGATAAAGCCGTCTCGAGCGCGTCCAACGCCTCCACGCCCTGTCCGAGCTTCGCGCGGCAGCAGGCGATGTTGTAGTGCGCCGTCTGGCGCTGTAATACTGAAGGAAACGTGACGCGCTCCAGATCGCGCAGCACGGGCGCGCCGCCGACGGGCGAGTTCTGCGCCGACACGCGCCTGACATCATAGTCGTCGCCCGGCAGTTTCAGCGCCTGCTCGAAGAGGGCCACGGCCTCGCCATAGAGGCGGCGCGCCTCGCCCTCGTCGCCGGGGCTCCCCACGACGCCGCCGGCCGCCGCCGCGACGGCGCACAGCTCGAGCGCCAGCGCCTCGGCCTCGGCGTAGGACTGCGGCTCCGGGGCGGCGGCGGCGGCGGCGGGCGCCGCGGCGGGCGCCGCGGGCGCCGCGTTCGCCTGCGCCATCGCCTCGAGCGCCGCGAACTCGGCCTCGGGGTCGGCCGCCATCATCGGGCCGTCGCTGCCGAAGGTGCCGTCGTCGGGCGGCGTGCTGTGCCTCACGATGATGGGGCGCGGCGCTTGGGGGCTCTGGAAGGCCGCCGCCCGCGGCGCCGTCAGAGAGATGAGTAGGAGGGAGAGCCGCATGCTGCTTGCGTAATCCGATCCACTTTTGTGCGTTCTAGAGGCCGCAGCGGGCTCGTGTGGCGGCCTTGATTTGGCCAGCAGCTCGGAGAGCACAGCGGCCTGAGACGCGGAGTGCTCGCCCAAAACGCCCCACAGACATTAATCTGGGAAGAACCCGGCGGTGCTGGAGATTGCCACTGGGTGTATACGAAAGCTCGAGTACCGCTTGGCGATCTTGGATAGCGCCCGGCGGCAAAAACGCTGCGCACAGCATGCAGAGCGCCCGGGCAGTGCGACGCGCGATGCGCTCCGCACACCGCAGCGCTCACGCCAGGCACCCAGGGCACCTCACGCGGCGCGGCACGCGTTCCGGTGCGGCATTTTCCGTCACGACGACGACGGACGGCGCCGGCGTCGCGGCCGCGACCGCATGCGCAGCGGCCGCCGCCGCGCTACTGCTGCGCGACGACGCCGCAGATGCACACTGCGACGCCCAAACCTTCGCGGGCCAGTGGGCCGCCGTCGTGACCGAATTCGACGCCTCCGGCGCGGCGTCGACGAAGAACGTCGATAGGTACGCGGCGCACCTGCGGCGCGAGGGCTGCGTCGGCGTCTTCGTCTGCGGCACGTCGGGCGAGAGCATGTCGCTGAGCGTCGGCGAGCGCGAGCGGCTCGCGGAGGCCTGGGCGGCGAGCGGCGCGCGCCACGGGCTGCGCGTCATCGTCCACGTCGGCTGCGACGCGTTGCTCGACGCGGAACGGCTGGCGCGACATGCTGCCTCGGTGGGCGTAGATGGCGTGAGTGCAATGGCGCCGCGCTTCGTGAAATGTGAGAACGCCGACGCCCTGGCGGCGTACTGCGCCGCCGTGGCACGCGCGGCCCCGGCGACGCCGTTCTTCTACTACCACTTCCCGCTGGCCACGGGCGTCGCCACGAAGCCGTCGCAGCTCGTGCGCGCGGCCTTGGCGCGGATCCCGACGTTCGCGGGCATGAAGTACAGCGACGCGGACATGTGGGAGTACGGCGAGTGCTGCGACGCGGACGCGGCCGGTCGGCTGGCGTTCCTGCCGGGCTTCGAGGCCCAGACGCTCGCGCACCTGCCCTACCACCCCCAGGACGCGTACGGCGCCATCTCGCTCTCGTTCTCGGTGTTAGCGCCCCTGCACCGCGACGTGGCCGACGCTTTTTATGGACAACGCGGCGCCGAGGCGCACGCCCTCCAGGCGACGTCGCGCGGCTTCTTCCGCGCGGTGACGCCGTTCGGCTGGACGCAGGCCGTCAAGCTCGCGCTCGTCGACCGCGGCGTCCTCGACTCGCCGCTCTGCCGCGCGCCGTCGCGGAACCTGTCGCCCGACGAGCGGGGCGCGCTGCGGCGCGTGTTCCGGGACCTCGCGAAACGCGAGCCCCGGTATTTTGGGGGGCTCGTCGGGGACTAAAAAGTTGTGTAAGACTACTGATTAGCCTGCCAGTGGTGTTCTAATAACTCATAGCATGAGGAGCGCCGAAGTGAGCGCCGCCGCGCCGAGGAGGGCGCCGGACGACCTGGCCGACGACGAGACCGCCGCGGAGGGGTTGGGGGCCGGGGTCTGGTTATAACTTGTGCTCGTGTGACGATTGGTTACTTGGTACGATGGGGAGGGGCGATGCGGGGGACGGTGCTCAGAACGCGACTCTGAGCAGACGAGGAGCGGGCCTTGGCGTTTATCGAATTGGCGCGGCTAGACGCTCTGGACGGCCGTGACCGTAAACTTGCGTGGGGCGCTCGGCTGGACGGCCGTGACCTTAAACGTGTGTGGGGCTCTCGGTTCCACGGCCGTGACCGTAAACTTGCGTGGGGCTCTCGGTTCCACGGCAGTGACCGTAGACGTGCGTGGGGCGCTCGATTTCTTCGCCGCAAGCTGCTGCTGGCGCAGCGCGAAGAGCAGCAGCCCAGCGGCCAACGATAGCCCGAGCAAGGCAGCGAGGACGACGAGGGTCATCATCTTGTCGTCGTCTTCGTTGGACTTCTGGGACGAGGAGCCGAACCAGCCGGCGGGCGTGACTGTCGGCGCGGGCGTCGGCGCAGGCGTCGGGCAGTTGTCCATTTGTACGACGCCGCACGACGTCGATTCGCAAAGGGTGCCTCCGAACGCCGAATCCATGTTCACGCCGTCGTCCACGCACCAGCCGAGGTCCTGGTCGAAGGCCGAGGCGTCGCGGAACATGTAGTACATGCTCATGACGTTGTGAACCGCCCAACCACCGATGTCCTGGTTAAAGGCCGAGGCTAAGGCGAACATCTGGCTCATGTACTTGACGTTGTGGACCGCCCACGCACCGATGTCTCGGTTAAAAGACGAGGCGTAGAAGAACATCCGGTCCATCGTTGTGACGCCGGAGGTGTCCCACGCGCCGATGTCCTCGTTGAAAGACGCCGCGGCCGAGTTGCACCAACTCAGACTGGAATGCCCGCAAAACAAAGCATACATGTCCGTCACCCCCCCAGTCTCCCACGTAGAAATGTGGCCGTACGCCGCCTCGGCGGCGGCGCTGTCCGAGAGCCAGAGGGCCACGGCCGTTTTAATGCTGTCATTGTCCAGCGCGCTGCCAGCTACGGCTGGTACTAAACTCGCCACGCACAGAAGCGCTGCGGGCCCCATCATCGTCGCGCAGGGGCAGCCGTATCACGCGGCGGCGGCCGCGCGCGCGCGCGCGCAAAGCTGCAAAGTTCGGGTTGGAGTTGGCAGGACCCGCCGTCCGAAACGTCCTCCGCGGGGAGGAAGCCTCGGAAGGAGCCCGGACGCCTCCCTACTAGGAACGGGGGCAGCAGCCAAGTCGGAGGACAGCGCCGGACAAAAGGCGTCGGGACGCTGCCCGCGGCGACGGACCGCGGCAGGAGAAGCGTACGAGTATCAAAAATGTCCGTCAGCCGGCCGCGCAGCATCTCCATGAGCAGCGCCGGGCGCAGCAGCCAAAAGGGCCGGCGCCCCTCCTTCCTTAATGACAAGGGCGAGGTGCGGCTCGTCGAGAACGGGTTTGACCTGACGCCTTTACCGTTGTTGGTGGACGAGGCGCCGCCGGACGAGGTGGAGGAGGTTGTGGCCGAGCGCGAAGCCGAGACGACGCAGCACGACGACGAGGAGGAGACGGGGACGCTGTGGTCCTCGTCCTACTACTCCGAGTCCGGGAGCGACTCCGATGAAGAAGAGAAGGTCGTCGTGCCGCCCGTCGTGACGCTGCTCACGGAGTCGCCGACGGAGACGCTACTCTGCATCCGGGGCCGGTGCGTCGCCGTCGACGCCAAGGAGGTTAAACAAGTGGAGCAGGCGAATGTGGCGTATGAAGCTTCGTTGGATTTGAAAAAGAACAACCCGGACAAGTACGTGACGCGGCACGCGCAAACACTAAATGCTCCCTTGAAGGATCGGGGTAGCGTGACGGCGCCGCCTTCTTCTTCGTCAGCTGGAACGCAGGCCACGAGCTATGATATCCAAGATTGCATCGCCCAAGCCGTTGCCGAGGAGGAGGCCGAATTGGCCTCGAGGCGGCCGGGCACGGCGTCTAAACAACAACGAATCAACCGGAACGTCTACCAGAACACGTCGAAAGTCGTCGCGGCCTCCAAGGCGTCGCCCGACTTCCTCTTAGATGTTTCGGAAGATCGTGTCGAGTCCAAGGCCGAGAAAATAAAACCGTCCGTAAGGGAGGTGCCGATACAACGAGAGATCCAGGGCCCCGAACGAGCTTTGTTGAAAGAAAAATTCGCGAAGAACATGCGAGGCGTATCGATGGGGTTCTCCTGCGCGGCCATGGAGCGCTGCGTTCAACAGAATTTATATCATGAGCGCCAGATGAACTATCGCGCGTTCGCGGAGAAGCCTTCGGTACAACAGGAGCTGGAGGCCGCCGAGGAAGTTGATGAGGTGGAAGTAGAACCTACGGAGCGGGGTTCGTCTGTCGAAGCGCTGTGGAGCTGGCAGGCGCCCATGACCAAAAACAGGAGGGTGACGTGCATGGCCTGGAACAAGCATAGGGAAGATGTGCTCGCGGTGGGGTACAACGGTGTGGTCATCGATGGTTCGCTACCGCAAGACGGGGGCCTGGTGTTGTTCTGGTCCTTAAGGAATCCGGGCTACCCTGAAAGAGTCGCTTCATTGGAAGCGGGCTGTTCATCGATAGCTTTTAGCGCGAAGAACCCGCATCTGTTGGCGGTGGGTCTCATGGACGGCGCCGTGTATATTTACGACGTGCGCCAAAAGACGCTGCAGCCTACTCCCGTATTTGATAGTAGATCACTAAAGAATGCGCACGCCGAGCCGGTCTGGAGCGTGGCCTGGGTCGACAAGGGCGAGGACAAGGGTGAGGTGTTGGTTACGGCCTCGACGGATGGCAGGGTTTTGGAATGGACTCTGTCCAAGGGCCTGGAGGCGTCGTGTCTGATGGTTTTGAAACAGTTAGGCGACGCCGAGGGCGTCATCTCGCGCACGGCGTCGGGCCTGTGTCTCGACATTCCGGGGGACGACCCGGCTCTCTATTTGACAGCTTGTGAGGACGGGACGATCCATAAGTGCTCAGATGCCTACGCCGAGCAGTACCTCGAATCCTATACCGGACACACGGGTCCGGTCTACAAGGTCCGATCGTCGCCCTACGACCCCAAGGTGTTTCTGAGTTGCAGTGCGGACTGGACCGTCAAGCTCTGGACGCAGTCTTCTTCGTCTCCATCAGCATCGTTCCGGAGCGAAGGGTCGTCTCCACTAAATGATGTGGTCAACGATGTGTGTTGGTCGCCGCGGGCGTCGACGCAGTTTGCACTTGTTGGGGGGGACGGTCGTGTGGAAATTTGGGACGTCGCCCACTCTCTCTTAGATCCTGTGGTAAGGGAGCAGCCTTTGGTGGAGCCGCCTCCGTCAGCTGATGAGGCGCCGCCGCCACCAGGGACACCCATGGATAAACCACCGGAGCCGCCCGCGCCGATCAGCGTCGCGGCGACGGCGTGCCTCTTCGCCGACAACGCGCCCGTTTTAGTGGTCGGCGACGCTTCTGGAAGTGTCACGTGCTACAAGTGCGTCAATTTACCGGCGGCGCCTCCAACCAAAAAGCTGCAACTGTCCGCGCTCGAGGCGGCGCTCGCGCCGGACGAGGCCCAGGGGTAAGGTTTGATTCTAATCTTCCGGGCACCCTCGACGCCACCGCGGCGACGGCGTGCGTGTTGCGCCATCACTGGCATCAGGAGCAGTGTAGAAGGGGCCGCGCCACGTGCCGCGCCCGTACACTGGTCCAGGTCGCGACGGCGCTCTTGCTAGGGATACGATAGCCCGCCCCGCCCCCGGCCCTCGTACGCCGTCGCCCCGAGTGTTAGCTCGGAGGCGACCTTCGTAGAAATTGTCAGTGGCGTCGGTCGCGACGGCGAGATTGACGGCGCGAGCTCTTGCTATAGATACGATGGCGTTGCGACGACTGCCCGGGGGAAGGTGCAAAAAGGTGATGGCGCCGAGCCCTTTACGCCGCCGCCGCGCCCGCTAGCCGCGGCGCCCCGCGAGAGATGAACTAAAGGGGAGTACTTATTAAGATAGTGAATTCACGGCTGGCCGCCCGTCGTGTACGCCTCGAGGAGGTGGTTGCGGTACGGCTGGCGCAGCTTGTGGAGCGCCCTGGCTTCGATCTGGCGGACGCGCTCCCGCGTGATGCGGAAGACGGTCCCGATCTCCTCCAGCGTCCGCGCGCGCCCGTCGTCCAATCCAAAACGCAGTCGAACCACGTCGCACTCCCGGTCGGACAGCGACGTCCGCAGCAGCCCGTGGATGTCCGATTGCAAGCTAGATGCCTCAGCCCTTTCATCGGGCAAAGCGGCAGGATCGGAGATGCCGTCGGCCACCTTCGTCTCACTGCCAGACCCACCGGTGCCCGCGCTAGACCCTTTTCCCGAAACGCGAACGGTCGCGTCCATGGAAGTCGTCATGCTTTCACACCCTCGCAGAAAGGCGAGCTTCTGCGACGTCAGATCCAACCGCCCGGCCAGCTCCTCTTCCTTCGCGTCCCGACCGGCTTCCGAGTTAATGTCGCGCGCCGCCTTCTTGAGTGACTGCAACTGGTCGTGCACATGTACTGGTAACCTTATAGTACGAGATTGGTCCGCAATCGCCCGCATGACGGCCTGCTTCACCCACCACGTCGCGTAAGTAGAAAATTTAAAACCTTTCTCGGGGTCGAACTTTTCTACCGCTCTAGTTAAACCGAAGGTCCCTTCTTGGATCACGTCTTGGAAGTGGAGGCCTCTATGTTGGTACCTTTTCGAGATGGAAACGACCAATCTCAAATTGGCGTTGATCATCGTCGCTTTGGCGCGCTGGCAGGCCCGCCGCGCCTTCGCGAAGGAACCAGCTGATACAGCTTCCGGTGCTATTTTACACGCCGTGCCCCACTCGAGCTCGGACGGCTCCCTGCCCAGCGACTCGGTCAAATTAGCTCGTAGCCCTTCCCACTTCACGAGGCGCTGGACCTTCCTTGCTAACGCTTTTTCTTCATCGGGAGTTAACAATTTTGTCCGACCCATGTTCCGGATCTGCCAGTGCAAACCTTCGTCTCGATCTCTGTACGAAGCTGCTCCATTGATCTCCTCGCGCTTCGTGTCGACGCCGTCGACGGGCGGGGCGAACCAGGCCGCGAGCTCCTCGTTACTGAGAGGCGCGGCATCGTCCTTGGGCTGGGCTTCGGCCGGTCTTTCTACCGCAGGCGCCTCGAAGCGTCGCTCGATGGTCTCTCTTGTGCGCGCGAGGCGTCGCAGCTGTTCTACCGTGAAGACCGGCGGTCTCTTCGTGCCGTCGCCGGTGACGACCTTGCCGCGCGCCAGGTCGTCGATGGTCGAGGACGCGCAGGTGGGCCGCCGTCTTGCGCGGGCCGGGCCTCTTGTTAGGGCGTGGGGGGCTAGCGCGGTGGCCGCGCCGGCGAGTGCAATTACCCTCTTCAGCATCATGCTGACGTTCGGTCCAAACGGGCGCCGCGGCACCGTTTTTCGCCGGGAAAGTTGCTCTTGTCCTTGCGCTGGACCCGTAGGTGAGGCTGCGCGAGGCTGCGTTGGTGCGCAACTAGTATGCGGCGCATACGAGAGGCGTCGCTCACAGTAATTGCAGGACAGAGCGCGCTGACTGCGACACATAAAAGAGCTCGCCAAGACCACAAGGCTCATTTTCCAGCGCTGAGAGACGTGGCTGCACACGTACAAACAAGGACGTTTCCCTTTCTGTGGAATTTGGCTCGCCACCGCCCCGCGTCTGCCGGCGTCCGCGGCTGTCCGGCAAAGATCAAAATCCGTGCACCGAAACGCCATCGGGCAGCCAAGAAGCCAAAACACGCGCGGCAACCACTCAGCAGGCAGCCCGCACCACGCCGTCGGCAGCCCCTAGCTGCCCAACCAGCAAAGCACAACACTATAAAAACCATGGCCGAGACCGTCTTCGCCATGGTCCAGCGCCAGGAGCAGGAGCGGCGGGAGGCCATCGCCCGCGGCGAGCCCGACCCCTTCCTCATTAAGGAACCCGAAGAACCGGCGAGGGAGCCGAACCGCCTCGAACGATTCGAAGAGTGGATGGCCACGGACTGGGAGTTCGGGCCCTACTACTGGGAGGAGGGGCAGGAAAGGCCCGATTCCTTGAAGGAGCGGTGTCGACAGCGCTTCTGGTGGCTCTACGAGAAGAACTTGCGGGGTGCGGAATTTGTGGGGGAGGTCGTCGCGAATTTGTTTGGCCTTACCGAGTCGAAGTACCAGTGGGTCATCGACGCGCAGCGGGACGAGGAGCGGCGCGAGAAGCAACGTAAACTGGAAGATTCGCAACGGCGCATGCTCGCGGAGCGGGCTTTGGCTGAGAGGCAGGCGGCGGAGGCGGCGGCTAGGCGGGAACAGGGCGACGTCGAGCACTGAGCCACGCGGCGATGGCGTAGGGGCGGGACGCCGTCGACGCAGTTCGGCGACTTGTGTAAGACTAACTACAAAATATATGCTATAGATTGTGTGTGTGCGTCGCGTCGGGCCGTCGGCGGCGTGCTGGCGGATGGATAGTTCGTAGGGACTCTCGGGGTGGATACAGCCCGGGAAGATACGCCGATCTCCATTCTTCGGCTCGTGCGATGCCTCGGATGTGTATGTAGTCGGTTGTAGTCGGTGCAGCCCGAGACTGGAAAATCCAGTGGAAATCGACGTATCTCTCCGAGCCAGCACGCCACCGACGCACCGTCGACGGGGCATGGGAAAAGGCAGAACTACAAAACATAACTTACCCCGCCTGGCACGGGAAGAATATACACCCGGACACCGTCAAAGAAAGCACCAAGACCACCAATCCCAAAACCCCGACCAAGCCGAGCTTGATACGAAGACCATGATCGATTTCCGGCAACGGCGGCCCCCGCAGCCGAATCTTCCGCAACGACCAGATGAACTGACCTATTAACATCACGACGTACCCGAAGATCTCCAGACCATCGACCTCTTCATGATAAAAGAGCACGGAGATGGCGACCGTCAAGAAACCCTTCGCGTAGCCCGCGAACATGTACGTCAACGCCGACAGTCTTTTTAATATAGTGATCTGGATCAAATTGAGCGAGAAGGCCAGCGCGCCGTCCGCGACTAACACCCACCACGACATGCCCTGCAAATCGAAGGACGGCTGCGTCCATTCCGAACACAGCGCGGTCACCGCCAGGAAACAAGCGGTAGGAGGTCCTAGGAAGTAGACGTTCGTCACCGCGTCCATTTTTGAGGATTTATCTGACAGTGCCGTTGACAAAGCTAACTGTTGTCCAACTAAATATAACGAGTAACACGCATTGGACGTCATCATGAGCACGAAGCCCCACGTCGACCAGCCGCTGATCTCGGCGCCGGCGAGCGTCGCGACGAGCACGCCGCCCGTGATAATAAGCATGTTCAGTAACGGTCTTGTGGCCATTCTTTCTTTGCCACATAACAGCAATAAGATATACACGCCGACCATCTGGCCCGGCTTGAGCAGCTGGATGTAGCCGACCTGGAGGTAGTCGTAGACCGCGTTACTACCATATAGATAGAAGCAGTACAACAATGCTAATGGGATCACTATTTTTATGTATAACCGCCACGTCATACCCACGGACGTAGGATCCGCTAGACCACCGAGGACGCATATCCGAGCCGCGATACTACAAAAGACCATCTGCAGCATGGTCAGCGTCGCGGCCCAGGGCCACTGCGTCAGGATGTAGGCGTTGAGGTACACGATACCGATCGCGGCAGCCATGTAGATGGCCACGTAGACACATATCTCTAGGATGGATGGAGGCTCCTCATCATCTAACTCTTCCTCGACTTTCACGTACGACGCTTCCACCTCTCCGGTTACGGATGCTGGGAGTCTAACCTCTACAACCAGGAGGTAGATTGATAACAGTACTAGCAATCGCGCTAGGAGCCCGAGGCCCCAGTCGAGGGGCTCATCTTTCAGAACCTCGGTCGTCGTTGATAATGCATCTAACTGAGTTGTACGAGAAGTACCGTGTATCATGACGGCGGCGCCTAGGAGCGTAGTCGCGGCGAGTGCTCGAATGCCGCGGCGGAGCTTGCGGCGTCTCGGCGGTACTACGCCGTCGTAGTACGTCGGTGCTCCATCGTCGAGGAGCGGCGCCGCTTCCATGGTGTCTGCGCGTCGGCGGCGTGCAGGGCAGTGCCGGATGCACGTATACTAAGCAGCAGCAGCGTGGCGTGCCCGTCGGGCTGCGTGCTACGGCTGGTGGGCCACGAGGCCGCGGCGTGCGCGGTAGTTGGGCTGCCGTGCGTGGTGATTGGGCTGCCGTGCGTGCGAGGATGGCCTCGTCTCTCCCCATCGAAATGAGGGCCTTCGGCTAGTAGGATAATGAGATACCCGCGCGATCCCTGCGGGTTTGCGATGGACACGCGACGCGCTCCCCCATCAGAGGCAGCGATCGCTCCCCGCGCAACCGGACCCGACTAGAGCGATGCACTTCACTTGTCTGAGCAAGCGCTGGGTATTCGCCGCGGCGATTACGTGACAACGGCGGCCCGCCGGTGCAGGAGTGAGTAAGGCAGCCTGGCCTCAACCCCATAGCAAGCGCGGTGGAGCTCCCTTCCTGCTCCACCCTAATCTAAAAACAGGCGAATAACCAGTGATGGCAGCGACGGAGGAGCTGCCGCCCTGGGAGGTGTTAGATGGAGCGTTTTTACCGGAGGAGAACGGCTGGATGGAGGCCTTGCTGGACGATGATATCGTCCAGAACGGGCCGTGCGCGCGCGTCGCGCCGCTGCCGAAGCGAAGCGCGGGCGGCGGCGTGTGTTTCCGGAGCGATGACCGGCGGCAGGCCCAACTCCCTCTACCGGCTCCACTAGGTCCAAGTGTAGTAGCCATGGCGCCGGCCGTCGCGGCGGAGGTCGAACCGGAACCTACCTTCGATGCTACGGAAGGGACCGAGGAATTACGAGCCGAGAGCGATCTCCTCGCGGACTGCGGCGCCGTGGCGCTCTGTGCACCTTTGTCCTCTCTAGAAGGCGCGGATCCCGCTACGAGAGCGGCGGCTCTACACCTAGCGAGGTGGTTTAGAGCTAGACTATCCGGTCAATCGGTCGACGGCGCGAAGACGCCGGAGAAGACACCGACCAGCCCAAGGACGACGGACGACATGGATTTATGTCGAGGGCCGCCGACCATGCCCCTGGCGCGCAAGGACAGTGGCGGGAATGATGATTGGGGCGCGGCGACGTGCTACGGGCGGTTGGAAGGGACCTCGCCGTGCCGGACGGCTCCTGTGTTTGACTTGGCTGTCAAAGCGCCTAAAGCGCCGGTGGCGCCGCACCGGTCCGGTTATCAACGACTAGCTTTGAATACTGAGGTCCGGGACGACGTCTTCGAGAACGCGCGAGCCGACGCCTGCGCCCAGCTCGCGTCGAGCGCTCTACGGAGTTGTTTCCGACTCAAAGCGGCGGCGCCGGAGGTGCGACTACTGCTCGAGCTCTGCGACGACCGCGGCGACGGCGACGACGGGCCCAGGGCCGCCAAAAAAGCTTTTCATGCTAGATGCGCATACCTGGCGAACGGTGCGGGTGCTCGAAGTTTGAGGAAGGAGCGGTGGCGGGCTAGAGCGGTGGCCACCGCGCGCGGTGCCACATTACATGATTATGCTGTGAGAGATGAATCTGGATTATTGAAACCAGCTTGCTCGCCGGACTTGCGGGACGCCTTACTCGGTTTAGAAGCGCGCGGCGTTTCGCTCGACGACGTCTGCGTCTGCGTCGAGGCGCCGGCTTGCGCCGACGCCAAGGCACCAGGCTCTTCGAGATTCGCGAAACACTTACCTTGGAGCCCCTGGTCGGCGGCCGGACATTTGAGTAGGGTCCTATCCGTGCTCAGAGATTCTGTTTTAAAAGTGGTGGAAGGCAGTAAAGAGGAGCCGCAAGTCGAGATACAACCCCCCAAACGCCAACGAGGCGCTCGTACCAAACCCAAGATGGACGTGGAGGCGCAGCAGCCGCCGCCTTCTCCTGAGTTTCGGGATGTTGCTTCCTTCACAAGTTTCTTCGGAGAACGTTGCACCGTCCACGCGGCGCCCTTGCGACGCGTGTTGGGGACCTGGTCCGCGGCTCGATTTTTGTACGCCAACCTGGCTACGATTCGTCGAGAAGCTGTTGCTTTAGCAGCACAACGAGCTCGGGTGCTCGCGGCGGCGGAGCGGCGAGGTGGAGACAAGCCGGCGCTCGTGGAGTTTGATTTGAATCCTAGAGACTTCGCCTACCGCACCGACGGCGGCGTCGCCGTCGCCGACCGCTACCTCCTCGTCTACCCGAAGACGGAGCGGTCCGTCTTTATATTGGCGCTCCGGCGCTGCGCTTGAAGCTTCTGTACATACGCCCTTGCCTTTCCCCCTTGCCTGCTAAGTTAAAGTGCTTTCCTATCTTTGGCATCTATGTTGTCACGGTGCTGCTAGGACTAGTGGGCGAAGTCCCTGGGGTCCAGTGGGGAGGGGGAGACACCGCGCGTCTCTAAACCACCCGGGTTTTCGGCAAATCGGGGGTCTCCTCTTTCAGCTCGTCCGGGAGGCGCGGACAGATGGTGTTCTGGGGGGAATCGCACCCCACCCCGTGCTCCTCCAACTCCCGGCGAGCTGGGCGGAACTGCTCGATTCCACACGAGTACGGCACGGTCAGCCCATAAACGGGTCAGCTGTTGCTTGGCATCTCTTCTCGCTGGTGCTGACTTGCCTCACGTGCAATTTCGCGGCCGCGCTGGAGATCTAAGGGCCGCATTAGGCACAGATCGCCTGAACCTCTTCAAATCGTCGCCTAGCCTGCCGACGCCGCTAGTTTCGGACGCGCCGACCACTGGCCCAGCGAGCTGACGGCCTATCCAACGGCTTGAGCGCAGCGCCGTGCACAAAAACTGTAAATAACGCGGCGATTCGCCCGCCATCTGCCAGCACCTAGGGACAGAACATCGGCTATGAGCGCCGTCTTCGGCCTCTACTGCGACGTCGGCGACGCCATGGCCCCGTCGGCGCTCTCGCCGACGCAGACGAACCTTGACGAGCTCCCGTCGCCTTCGGAAACCGCGCCAAGCGTGCCGCCGCGGCTCCACCTCGCGGGTTCATTGTGCGAGTCGTCGACCGAGGACCTCCACGCTCTCTTAGATCCGCACGAGCGCCGGATCCGGGCGGCCTGGCTCGGGGCGCGGCGGAAGGCGCGGCAGCTGCGTGGTCTGAAGGGGAGTTCACGACCTCCATCACTCAAAGATTTAGGAAGATCGCCCGGGGATCAGTTCGAGCTCGAGCCCGAGCCGCCGTCGCCTCTGCTCGAGGAGAAGAGCGCGTCTTGTCCTCCTCATCGTTCTATTCTCAAGAAGCGGTCCGAGAGCCGCGAGGACCCTTTGTCCTACTGGTCGCCCGACGGCGTTGAAAGTACGCCTCCGGGTCGGTTGGAGCTCGCGAGAGGCGACGAGCCGCTCCGCTCGTCGCGCTCGGCCGACGCGGTCGTCGGAGTTTGGGCAAAGCGGTCCGCACCAATTGTGCCACCGCCGCCGGAGCCCACGCGGTGCGCCTGGTCCCACTGGGTCTGCTGCAGCGCGTCGCCGGACGGCGAGCGCGGCGGCTGACCTTATTGCACATTCTGCACAATTCCGCACGCTCGCTGCGGTAGGTAATCTTAATAAATAGCTATTTATACAAGACTACATATCGGAGTGGCGGCGGGCGATGACGGCGAGGTGAAAGAAGGAAGGACATCGAAATATCAGGGCCGCGCCGGCGTGACGGTAGCCTCCGACGACTTGCGGAGGCGTAGAACAGTGACGGCCGCGGCGCAGCAAGCGCCGGCAAACGCCGCGACCGCGACCACGACCGCGACAAGTGCTCTGGAGCGGCGGCTGCTGGTTGTCTGGCCCGACGACTGCTTTTTGCCCGCGTCGACGGTGTTGGCTGGGGCGCCGCAGCTCATGTCCGAATTGTAGTCCGGCCCGAAACATTCAGCCGAGATGTACGATTCTCCTGGGGCGGAAGGGTCCGCGCTGAGGCCGCATCCGGGCGTGGGGATCGCGAAGGCACTCCCAGCGTCGGCAGCGCCCTGGCAATTCGGGTCGGCTCCGTATGCTTCGTAGTCGTAAGTTGCGCCGTCGGCCGAGCACGTAAACTTCACGAAGGGGAGTGCCGTTGTCTGCGGGTCTAAGCAGACGCCGTCGGGAAACGCTTGTACCTTCGTCTGGGTCGCCGCGCAGGTCGAATCATCGAGCGGGTAGTAATTCAGCACGACTTGGCTCGCCGCAGACCCGTCTGCGACGACGGTCTGGGCGATGCCACAACCCCCGTCGTACGCAGGCCAAGCCTTGATGAAGTCGTAGTGCCCGCACCTGGTGCAGGCGCAGTTGACCGCCGCAGCAATGAACGCGTTGGTGCGGACGTAATTGATATCCGCCGTGGCATCCCAGCCCCAGTCCCCGGGTAACCTGAACCCTCTCTGGCACGGGCAGTTGGATTGTCTACAGGCCCCGTAGTTCGCCTCGTCGTAGTCGCCCGCGCACTCACAGATCGCGTCGCCCGTCCCAAAATACGATCTGTCGCATCCGAGGTTCTCTCCTTCGGTACATCCGTCATCCCCAACCTCCTCCCAACCGTCGACGCAAGTGAGGCCAATGCCGGAACAGTAGCCACCGCACGTGGAACCATACGGCTTCCAGTTCACGAGCGCCTTGCACCCACCGCAAACGTGTGTGTCTAAGTCGGGCCATGAGGAAGGGTCGCAGGCGGCCCGGGCTGCCCCGAGGCACAGCAGAATGGCAATGGACTCCACCTTGGCGGCTACGAACAACATTAGATGGGCGGGCTATGTACAGCAAGCATAGGATCGGTGAGCTGTTCGGTGAGCTATTCGTCCAGCACAGAGCACAATTCAGAAGTCCGGCAGCGGGCGCGCACCGCAGCGCGCATGCGCATCTAGATAAAGGTTCGGGGTTTATTGGCCGCGTGCTAGAAACGGCTCTAGTAGCCCTAGTGCCCGGTCTAGATGAAGTTTAGTTAGTTAATGTGCACAGGAGGCGACTAGTAATCTACTTGCGCGCGATCGAGCCGCCGCCGCCGCCGCCGCCGCCGTCCTTCTTGTCCGAGCGCTTGATGGCCTTGCGCCGCTCCTCGCGCTCGCGGCGCTCCTGGTCCTTCCGGAAGTTGACGCGGCGCGTGTACTTGGCCCGGGTGCTGGGATGGTACTGGTCGAACTGCCAGAGCATCCAGAAGTAGGCCAGCATCTGCTTCTCGTCCTCCGTGACCGCCGGGTGCCAGAAGTCGACGTGTAATAAGAGTAAATCTTCGGAGCCCGTGTTCTTGATCGAATAGGATCTCGTGCTGTCGAAGACGACCGGCTTCGCCTCTTCGTAGGCCACGGTCTCGCCGCCGCACGTGAGTTCGCCTTGGCCCGATAAAGGGATATGAGTGGTGAGCAGGAAGTTTTGTAAATCGGATCTAGGCTCAGTAGAACAACCGGGAGGCAGTCGCGAGATGATGACGTGGCGAGGCGGCGGAGACGTAGCTTCGTACCGGCCCAGAGCCTTCATTGTGCGCGGGAAGCGCAACACCCCCGTCTTCAGCGGCGTGACCTGCTGCAGCAACAGCTGCTGGTACTGGGTCGGATCCAGAGGCGGTTCTTCCACAACAGAAACCATCTCCTCCGCGGGAGGCGTGCTCCGGGTAGGCGCGTCGCCGTCGCCCGCACTCATCTCCTCGGCCGCCGCCGCGGCATCGCGCGCGGCCTCGTCCATGCCCGCCTTCGGGTCGGCGACCTCCTCCTCCTCGCTTGCCGTCGGGGGAGCGTCCCACGGCGTACCGCGAACGGCCATGACTTGCGTGTTCGACCACGTGATCTGCTTGCGCGTGGCCCAGGTGCCGTTGCGCGTCGTCGTCGGGTTCAGCGCCTGCTCGTACTCCTCCAGGACGATCGGGTGGACGCGCTTGGCGAGCTTCCGGACCCACTTGTGGTCCTTCGTCTTGCGGATGGGCCCGGCGTCGTCGAAGTCGACGTCGAACAATCGCGTCTGGGCGGATAGCGTCCTGCCATTGCTCTCGATGGTCCCTCTAGCGGTTCTATAGTGATCGCAGAAGTCTCTGAAGCGGCTCAACTCAGCTTTAAAATTCGTCTCCGCCAATTTCGACATCTTCTCGACGTCGGTCCAGATCTCGCTCACGAGGGGCTCCCAGTTGCCCTCGGCGTCGGGCACCAAGGGCACCGGCTCCATGTAGAGCGACGGGTCGCGCGGCCGGAGCTTGGACTTGGGTCTTCTCGGAGCCTCGACGGGCTTGGGCGTGGTGGGCTCCTTGAAGACGTGCAATTGGGTGGACGTGAGTCGGCGCGCGCCGCCGCGCGGGGCCACGAGAGCATATGAGGTGGTGAGGTGGATACCTAGCAGGAGCGCGCGCATGGCTGCGTTTCGCCGCCTCGGAGGCGTTTGGGGTTTATTGGTGATTTCTGTAAGCAGCGCGCGCGGCGCAACCGGTGCACGGCGGCCGTTATTTAACGACGAATAGCGCGCGAAATCTGAGAGCTCAAACGCTAGGTAGTCCCACTAGCTGGAAATAAGAAGCCCTGAGGCCCGCGCCCCGGGGCGTCATCCCCTCAAATTGACTCATTGCCGAACTGACTCCCCCTCCAAGAACCCGATATTAGCTTTTTTGGCCGGCAAGACGTCTCCGCCGGCCGCGGCATGCGCCGCTCTGGCCAAAACGCCGCCGCTGGGGCTACTCCACCGAGTCTGAATGCAGCAAAAGTATACTTACAATATGGGCCCACCGTCGCCTGGGAGACGAGGGAAAGGCGGAAGGAAAAGGGACTAGGCCGGCAGGTCGTGCACCGTCCCCGCCATGTTGCCGCACCCCTGGTAATTATAGCCAGGTTGCTTCGCAGCGATGTCGTGGCGCATGATGAAGCATGCGATGCAGGGCAGGCACCAGTAGGTCTCGCAGCACTCGTTCCCGCAGAGCACGGGGTGGTCTTGGAACCCTCCTTCCCTCGCGGCCGCCTCCCGGATCTTGAGCATGTAGTAGAGGTAGACGAAGCCCGCGGGGAAACGGAAAATCCAGCCGACTCGCATAGGGGCTAAAATAGCGTCCACAATTATCTCGAGGACGTAGGCGGCGATGGACACGCCGCAGAGGATCCCCAGGACGGTGCCGCCGCCGCCGCGCTCGACGATGCGGTGCCAGAGCTGGCCGACCACGACGCAGGGGCAGCAGAACGCGGTGCAGCAGAGCGGCCCACCCCCGGGGGGGTCGCAGCAGCCGCACGCGTTGCCGCCGAGCCAGCGGCCGGCCGGGGCCGGCGCCGCGGGCTGGACGACGGTCGTGGCGGTCGTCACGACCATGGTCGGCGGCGGGGCGCCCGCGATCACGACGGGCATCTTCGCGGGCTGCTGGACCGCGTACGCCGTCGGCGCGGGCTGCTCCACATTCACAATAGTTCCGGAGAGGACGACCGGCTGCTCTACGACCGTGCCCGTGGCCACGGGCTGGCTGCCCTCGGCATAGTACTGTTCGCCTTGCATGCTGCGACGCCTCGGCTGAGTGGCACTTCTTCCAAAACGCCTTGCCCACAGGGCTAGTGTCTTACAGCCGCTAGCAATATCGCTGCCTTCGCCGATGAATCGGCGAAGCGCGGTGTCTCCCCCAGGGGCTCCGACCACTAGTCCTAGCACCGTAACAATATAAGCTTTAAGTGATATTGCGTCGGAACCCCGCACCGGGCCATCAGACGAGCACGCAACTAGTCCCTACCACATGTAAACATGACCATGGTAACGGCTCGGCCGGCGCCGCCGCGTGGCGCCTCGTCAGCGATCGCGCCGTGGCGGCTACGCGGCGGCCACGCCACCGGGAAGAAGAAAGAAGCACATCAAGAATTACTCGTCCCCGTGCACGCGGAAGCGGTACAGGCACGTGTAGTCCGGGTGGCCGTGGTTGCTCTTGACCCGGAGCGTGACGGCGTCGACCCGTTCCCCGAGCGACGCCGCCGCGAACGTCTGCACCGTCGGCGCGTCTGTTGATGCCGCATAGCTAAAAGAGCCGAACTCGACCAGAGAGCCGTCACCACTCCTGCCGACGACGTCCATTTGTTGAGGCGCCGACGAGCAGTTCGCGTTGCGGGCGGGATCACATAGAGCCGCATGTAAATGCTCTACACTAAAATGGGTCGGCCGCACGGGCCTCGAGAGGCGCACCGTCAGCTTCCCTTCGGCGCCTCTAAACGCGAAGCACCGGCCGAAGTCATTAACAGCGGAAAGCGCGTCGGCCGCGCGGCCGACGCCCGCATCCAGACCCAGAGCGTGCCAGACTTTTGTTGGTATGATGGCCCCGCGCGGCGTGTACGGCTCCGACGTTTGTGCAGGCACCACTTTCGCCCCGGCCGCTTGGAGAGCGTAGTCGAACCTACCGACCCGGTCCCCGTCGAAGAAGTCATCTACAGCGGCATCAACGAGGGCCTTGACGTCGTTCGTCGTCTCGCGGCCGCCCCTTCTAGCTGCTGCAGCTTTTGCCGCAGCTTCGGTGACTTCGTCGACGGCCTTCCGGAGCGCGCGGTCGCCTACGGAAGCGGGCGGCGTCCGCTTCAACTCCTTCTGGAGCTGGGACGAGGCGTCTTCGGCGGCGGCGAGTTGTTTTGAAGCTTGCTCTAGAGCCGTGGTCGCTTGCCGCGACCGCTCCTCGACGGCGACGGCCGCACTTTCGATCTCGGCTAAAGTTTCGTCGCGGGGCTTCGCGGCAGCAGCGACAGACGCCGCCTGCTGGGCGTCCTTTTGGGAAGCCTCGGCACTGGCCTGCGCGGCGTCGGCGTCCGCCCTCGCGGCCTCGGCCAATCGCCGCGCCTCGGCCCAGGCGTCGTCACTATTCTTGTCCGCGGGTGCGGGCGCCGCCTCGATGGCCGCCGCGACGGCTTCGGCATCATCATGAGCGCGGCCGACTAGTGACGACGCTAATTTCTCCACGTCGACCAGCTCCTTCGTCAGCAGTTTAAGCTGGGCGTCCGCATCATTTGATGCTTGACTCGACGCGGCCCATAATCTTCCAACCTCGGCCTCGACGAGCGCCGCGGCGCGCGCCTCGTCCTTCGGGTGGAGGGCACACGTTGACGCGCGCTGCAGCTCGCGGCCGGCGAGGACTGCCAGCGCCGCGACTGCGACAGTCCAGGCGACTCGCGGGCTCGATGCGTCCAACTGCGCGTTAGTGGACGCGCGCGGCATGACTGCCAGCCACTACTGGTTTTGAGCTGAGAGAGGGGCGTCGGCTCGAGCGCTGTCCAGGCGGCGTCGGCGAGGCGCGCTCGCGGTTTTTATAAGTCGTTGTGGTGCTGCACTATATTAGCGGGCGCGCCGTGCTCAAAAACGATGGGCGCGCGATTCGGATGCAGCTAGCGCCAGTAAGACACTAGAAATCACAAAAAACTCGAGGCAGCAGCCCAAAAAACGCTGGCAACGCGTGCGAGAGGGCCACCACAAACGCTGCATAGAGGGACGCTCACGACACACGATATGCCTCGCATTCCTGCGACGCGCGGGCAGCCCATAGAACGATGCTAGCCCACGTGCCGGCGTGCGGCGTCCGGACGCGCTCCCTGGGCGGAGCCCTCCTCCTCCTCGTCCTACCAACATGCCAGGCGGTCTGGACCCGTAGTTTGGGAGGCGACGCGGGAAAGCCGCGCTTCAACGTGGCCATCGAGCGATGGAACGCGACGCACTTCCTGAGCGTACGGAACGTCCAGCGGCCGCGTTATACCAGAGGCGCCGCGTGTCGGGACGCCGCGGTCGTCGTCGCGATGATTGGACAATGGCAGCTCGGGGCAGAGCGGACCCGCATTAATCCTCGTGATCCATTAAGGAAATGCTTGGATAGGAGAAACTTCCGGCTGAATGGCCCCGAGGACGCGCGCATCCTCAAGCTGCACTCCACGACTTCTATGATCATCTACGCCGAGCACGCGGGCAACAACCGGCGCCAGTTCTTCCGCTTCCTGCACGGGTATCAGACGCTGTCTCCAGAAAAAGAGCTGACTTCATCGAATTTGAACGCCGTGGAGAAGAACTGGGTCCCGTTTCTTGATCAAAACCAAAAGCCGCACGTCTGGCGCTGGCTCGAGGACGAGGATGGGTACGGCGTGGCCCATCTTGTTGACCTAAGGAGCGGGGTTCTGGGCGAGGCCATGCGCCAGCGGAGTTTCTTGCGGGGTTTCGTACTAAGTGCCCCGGGGCCGAAGGCGAAAATCTGTGGCGGCACGCCCGCGGTGGCGCTCAATACTACTCATAGAGTTGGTTTCGGTCATGTGACGCGAAATCGGCGGTACTACACGGTCTTCGCTTATGTGTTTGAAGCGCAAAGTCCGTTTTTGATGGTCGCGGCGTCGCGCGAGTTCCGGTTCCGCGGCCTTGGGAGTGAGTCTTCTGTCGACTTTGACGTGGCGACCCGCCCGGACATCGAGGACATGATCCAGTTCCCCGTCGGCCTCGTCGCCGACGGCGACTCACTGATAGTGTCCTGGGGCCGCGACCGCAACCGCGAGACGCGCGCGTCTTCATTAAGGCTGGCGGAGCTCGGGCTCGCGCGGCTGCCGAGGCTCGAATAATTGTGTGTTCAAGTTACTACGGCGCACCCCTCTCCTCCGCTCCCGGCGCGTGCGTTCTTGTAATGCTGCAGTGTGTACTCGCTTCAAGTTCGCTTCGCTCCAAAACACTTACTCTACAAATCACTCCTCTCCTCCGCGCGGGACTGCTGCGCCGCGGCCATGAGTGCGAGCCCGGCGACGGCAGCCGTGCCGACGGCGGCGATGCCGGCCTCGCTCGTCAGCGTCTCCCGCGCCCGCCGACGCCAGCTCTCCGGGAGGAGCGCTGCGGCAGTGGCCGCGAGCCCGAGACCACCGGCGAGCATCGCCGCGGTCTCGCCGTCGTCGTCGCCGGGGCCCAGGCGTGTCAACGCCGCCGCCAGCGCGAGGTATTCGGGCACGCCGGCGCCCTCGGCCGTCGCGGCGCGCGCGGCGGCCGTCGCGGCCCGAAAGACGCGCAGCGCCTGGTCGAGGTCGAGGTGCACCGACGCGCGCCGCGCCGTCGCGGCGGCCGCGGCGGCGCCGGCGGAGGCCGCTCCCGCCGCGTTCGACGCCGCGTTCGAGGCGGAGCTCATGAATTGCTCGGCGTCGTACTTGCGCCGCGCCTCCTCGTCGCTCAAGACGGCGTAGGCCTCGGAGACCTTCTGGAAGGCTTGCGTCGCGTTGGGGTCCTGGTTACGGTCCGGGTGGACGCGTACCGATATTCGTAAATAGTTCCTGCGGATTTCGTCGGTCTTGGCACCGCCCGGAACTTGTAGAACGTCGTAGTGGTCTTCGGCGGCGAGGATGGCAGCACATACGGCCGCGTTCTCTTCGGCGCGCGAGCTTTGAGCTGCCATGCTCCGACTTTGCTCAGCGAATGAGGCGATGTGATCAATGCGCGGCGCCGATAGCAGGGCTGCAGGCTGTCCAGTGCTTTGCGGTCGGAGCGCCGCTTGATTTGTCAGCAGAAGCTGGCTGGAGGTACAACGAGACTAGTTCTGCCACGTGACGATCCCTGGGGTCGCAGGAGTCGGCCTACGCCCGCTGAAAAGCTAATTCCACGGCCGAAAACTAGTATGTCTGTGCCGCTAGCCTCGCGGCGCCCTCACCTCTAAAAATCGAGCACACGACGCCGCTGCGACCGCGCTGGACCCTCGACGTGTCGCACGCTTCACAGCAAAGGCACACCTTGACGCCTGCGGCGTAGCAATAGCTGCGGTACCACAACTTGCAAACAAGGCGTGTGTCGCTCTCAACCCATACCACTGCACGCCGACGAGCAATCACAAAAAAATGAAGCGCTACGGCAAGGCCCAGAGCCGCCGCAGCAAGCAGGCCGACCGCTACGTCCCCAGAAACACGGACGACCTCGGCGGCGCCGACGCGTACGTCGGCGCCGTGTTCGGAAGCGCCCACACGAAGGCCGCGCGGCCGCGCTTCGACCCGAAATTGAGGCGGGGCGAGCTCTACTACGGCCAGAAGAGGCCGCTGAGCACGGACGTCTGCCCCGACGAGCCGCGCAGCTCGTTCCTCGACCGCTGCCCCGAGCAGAAGAAGCCGAAGGTCGAGGCGGCGCTCCCCACGACGAAGCGGCGAAAGCGGTCGCCGTCGTCGTCCTCGTCCTCGTCTTCCTCGTCGTCTTCGTCCTCGTCAAGCTCCGACAGCGACTCGTCGTCGTCGTCGTCGTCGAGTAGCTCTTCCTCGTCGTCGTCAGGAAGTTAAAACTACAAAAATAACACTACTAAAGCTCGTCGCGCTCGTCGAGGTCGACGACCGAGTCGTCCTCGAGATCCTCAACAACCGAAGAATCGACGCCGTCCTCGGCGACCGCGTCGGGCGGCTCGACGCCACCGAACTCTTTTTCAAGCCTCGCCCAGGCCCGGCGCTCCGCGCGGCTCAGCGAGTACTTGAGCGCGCGGCCGCGCGGCGTCTTCGGGCAGGCTTGCGACGGGAACTCGCCCCTGGCGTCCTGCGCCAGCGCGTTCGCGCCGCGCCTCAGGAGCAGCCGCGCGACGGCCGTCTGGCCCGCGGCCGCGGCGGCGTGCAGGGCCGTCGCGCCATTTGTAGAGGCGGCGTCGACGTCCGCGCCGCGCCGTATTAAAGCCTTGGCCGCGGCGACCGCGCCCGCTTTTGATGCCAGCATCAATGGCGTGGGCCTCTTCTCCGTTAGCGCGCGCTGGTCGACGTCGAAACCTTTCACGTCCACAAAGTACGCGACCGCGCGCGCGTTGCCCTGTGACGCGAGGTGCAGCACACTTAGACCGTCCACCGTCGCCGAGTCGTCTCTCGCATCAGACGCGTAGAGGAGCTCAATGCACGCCGTCGACCTGATTGGCGCCGCGGCGGCCCAAGCTAAAGCTGTCCGGCCGCTCGCGTCGACGGCGTCGACGTACGACGGGAAATCCGATCCCAACGAGCGCTTCGCGGCGGCGAGCAGAACCTCCAGGGCTTCGTGTGATGAAGATGCCGCCGCCGCCATGAGCGGCGTGAGGCCTCCTCTCAAGTCCTCGCGCCGCGGCTCCTGGCCTTCGTCATACGCTTCGGACACGTCCGTCGGCACGCCGACGCCGGACCTTCTACCAACATCGGCGCCGGCCGCGAGCGCCACTTCTACCGCGTCGGCCGTCGGCGCGCGCGCCGCGTAGTGGAGCAGCGACTCGCCACTTAAAGTGTCCGCGACGTGGACATCGGCCCCCGCATCCAGCAATCGTCTTAAAACATCGCCGTGGCCGCCCGCCGCCGCCGCGCACGCCGCCGTCGCGCCGTCGGCGCGCCTTGCGTCGACCGCGGCGCCCACGGACAAGAGTAGAGCGACGGCTTCTGATGATCCAGCCTCCGCAGCGGCGATGAGGGGCGTCCGGCCGTCCGGCCCCGTCGCCGCGTTGGCGGACGCGCCGCCTTCCAGCAGCGCGTCCATGGTGGCGACGTGGCCGAGCGCCGCGGCCGTCGCGAGCGGGCCGTCGGGCGGCCCGGGCCAGCGCCCGACGGCCTCGGCGTCCGCGCCCCGCTCCAAAAGAAAGCGCGCCGCGGCCGCGCGGTCCTGGAGCGCCGCGAGCAGGAGCGGCGTGCGGCCGTCCTCGTCCGGATAGTTCAGGTCGATGTCCGCTGCTGCGTCCAGCAGGTTTTCCATCTCTTTGGTGTCTCCGGCTGCACATGCGTCCCAGAATTCGTATTCATCCGCCGTCGCCGCGGCCAGGCAGGCGGCTGTGATCATGAGCCACCGCATGGCTCGCATGCATGCGCAGGCGTGGTGCGCTCCTGTGCTTTGGGTCTTAGCTGCTGGCTGGCACTACTTCGCCAGCTATTTGCGATCGATTTCGGCTCAGGCAGGCTGATCCCCCTTGCCCTGCTTGCTAGTGTCTTACTGTCGCTAGCTCTGGGCGCGGCGCCGTCGCCTCAAGCGCGTGAAAGTAAGTAATATTAGTCAGCAACGGCGGCGCGGGGGGGAACGACAGAGGCGTCGGCGGCGCCCGGCCCGCTCGGCTCAACAGTGTCACTGCCTCTGGTCGATCGTCGCGATGGGGAACCCGCTAAGCTTGGGCGCGGGGTGCCGAGCTGCAATCCGCGGAGCGGTTCAGCCGTGCGTCCGGATGAATTTGTGGATGACCTCGTCGCCTTCCTTGATAGTCAAACCTAACGGGTAGCCGTTGAACAGCAAGACGCCCTTGTTCTCGCGCCATTTTTGGTGCGTGTGTGCAAATCCGGTTTTCTCGAGACCCACTTCGTTTGCAAGGGCCACCAGTAACTTGTTGAAGGGGTGCTCGTGGTGAACAAAACAGTTGTAGTAGAAGCCAGGGCCGCCGTCCTTCCCGGCTTTGACGGTCACATACCTGCGTGCCAACACAACTGTCACAGCACTAACGGAGCCGTAGCGGCGTCGACGGCGATGTCGACGCTGAATATCGATTTCCACGCCGATATGCTGGCGTTTGACCCGCCACGCCGCCTCCGAGCCATTTGAACCGTTGCGCGTCCACGTCCCACACCTTCTGCAAACCGTAAGGGTTCGTGCGCCCCATCGGTATAATTTCGAGCGTTGCGGTCTGGTTCTTCTCGAGAACGCAGGAGCAATCCTTACGATTGGCCTTGCGAGCATACAGTTCACCGAAATATGCAGCCGCCGGGGCGAACTCGGCGCGCAGGGCCTCGAAGATCTCTTCTTTCTTTGCAGCATCAACTCCAAAGCCAATGCCAAATTCTCCGCCCGCATTGCCGACGCGCGCGAGGCCGCAGCTGTTCATCGCCTTCCAAGTCTCGTAGTACAAGGTCTGCCCGCCCTCGGCCGCCTCGCAAGTCAAAATCTTGTGGACGCCGTGGAGCCCCTTGGCGACAGAGAAGCTGTCGGGCTTCGGACCCCGAACGTATGCGCGCTTGCGCGCTGCATTGAGGTCGTCGACGAGCTGCGGGCATTGCGGGAACCGCGCCTTGAACGAATGAGTTTTTTCCAGACATAACCAGAAGACTAGACCGCTGGCGAATACGCGATTCTTTCCTATTTGGCCGTTGTCGATGATCGCGGCGCGTTTGTTGCCTGTGATTAGGTAGTGACATGCATACTAGTCTTCTGCACAGGGCTTACGCTCCTCATTCACCTCGCGCTCGACCTGACGGGCCCATTCATCCTCACATACGAGGGCACGAGTTAACTCCTTGAGCACGTCCGTGAGCTCGCCGCCGCATTTAGTGGAGGCTAAAAGGGGCTTGATGGCCTCGAGGGTGGTTTTGCACGTGGGGTTCTCCCACTTCATGGTCTCGTGGTCCTGGTACATACCTCCTTTCTTGGGCCTGCGAGGCGCGTGGTCGTTCGCTCGGGAGTTTTGACGCGCGCGAAAGGCGAGACGCGCTCGCGGAAAACTTAAGCAGACGCGGAGACTGCTTCTTGGTTTTGGTCTTGTCGTCTTCCAGCAGGAGGACGGGGGGCTTGCGCTTGAGCTTGGTGGCGAGGGCGCCGACCTCAACGAGCGCTTGCGCTGGTGTTTTGGTCTTCGCGAAGAGGCCCATGATGCCCGGCAGGGTTTTATTGCCGCCGGTGGACATTTTTGCTACTTAGGGGGCGCGGCGCGGCGGGGCGGGCGGGCGCGGGCGGGTGGAGCGGGCGGGGCGCGGCGCGGCAGGGCGCTTGCCGGCTTAGGTGGCCTCTGAATTCAAACTCAGGCTACTGGCCCTTTTGGTGGCCCAAGGCCCAGTGGCAAGGGGGGGTCGCCCTGAGACGCGAGTTACTAAGCACCGCCGGAGCCGTCGCTCATCCCCTTCACGACGCAAAGACTAAATTGAATGAATCAACCACTACTCCCGCGCGCGAACGCCACGAGCCCGTTCCGCACGCGCTCCTCGCGGCTGTTCCGCGCGTCCCGCGACGCGCGCGCCGCCAGCGCGGCGAACGAGCCGCGCGGCGCCGGTTCTGGTACGTCGGCGTACTTGCCTGTGAGCAAATCAACCAGTGATTCGAGTGCACGATCGAAGTCCTTTCTCGGCAAAAACGCGGCCGTGTTGGCTGGAACGAGCAGTAATAGACCACAACGCCACGCCATCGGGGTGGCGTCGCGTCGATGGCGTGGGGTCATGATTCGGCAGTGGCGGAGACCGCGCCGCGGACAATTTGATTTATGCACTGGTACTTGCGCTCGTCGATCAGGTCGCGCGCGTACGTGAGGTAGAACCGCGCGAGGTCCCGGAGCGACGCGTCGTCTCCGAGCGGCGACGCACCGCCCACAGCCTCCTGCAGCGCCCGGAGCTCCGTCACGAAGTGTTCAAGCCAGGCCTCGTTGTCTAAGGCCTGAGGTCGCAGGAAGCCCACGGGCACCGCGCCGTAGAGCCGGGAAAAGGTCCCCTCGTCGAGCGCGCCGGGGTCGACGTCGTCGCCGACGCGGTTGCGCGCCAGCGCGATGCTACGCGCGTTCGACCAGCAGAGGCCGTAGAAGTACGTGTCGACGCCCAGCGTCGCGTGGCAGCTGCGCTCGGCGCTGTCCGCCGTCGACGTCGCGTGGACCCAGCCCAGCGGGACGTATAAAACATCACCTGGTTGTAATGTCACGTCCAAGACGGGCTCGCCCAAACCCTCGACGCGGTCGCCGCCCTTGCCGCGCCCGAAGGGATCTTTGCCGCGTTCGCGCGGCGGCGGCGGCCAGACCTGTGTGGAAATCAAATTTCGGGCGCCCCACGCCATCGACGCGACGTGCTTCCGTAGCTGCGTCTGTGCGATGGCGTGGCAATTCCACACAGGGCCAGACGCGCCAGCGCTTCATTCCAGAACACTGAAAAACTAAAACGTTCTGCGCGTCCGAGTGCGGCGACACGGAGACCTCTCTCCGTGGATCCGTGACGTACACATTGATGTTCGCCGGTAATCCAAGGAAGCGGTGGCACGCGGCGCCGAGGGCCGCGAGCGCCGGGAAGGCCAGGCCCGCGCCGTTGAAGAAGACCGTGCCTTTCGCGAGCGCCCGCTTCAAATCGTCCGCCGACGCGGCGCCCGCCTTCTCCGCGACCCAGCGCCCCGCTTCGGCCTGCGCGCCGTCCGCGACGGCCGCGTTGTCCAGCAGGCCCGCCTCGGCGCCCTTGATGGCGTCCTCGAAAGAGAAGAGCTCGGGGCCGCAGCCGTCGACGCGCCGCCAGAGCTTCGGAGTTTGCTCCCAGACGGTGGCAAGCTCGCCGTCGCCCAGATGCCGTAAAAAATCGTCGAGCGTCTTCTTTTGGGCCGTCTCGCCGCCGCGGTGTACGGCGCGCGGCACTGCTGGGTTGGTGGTGGCAGTCGTGCCAGCGGTCAGCAGGACGAACAAGGATGCCCGCATGGCGGCTTGAGGCGGTCGCACAGCTATTAGAGTGAGAGCATCGATGCTCAGAAGAGCGTTGCGGCGTGTTAGGCCCGCTTGAATCCGGATCGCTTGCTAGCGTCAATAAACACACTAGCGATATACACAACGTCGACATTTTACAGGCGCGTTGCGCCTGGCGCGTTTTGCGCAGTGAGCAACTGCTGAGGCGCTTAAAGCAGGACTGCAGGCGCGACGAGTCGAATCTCTAAGCAGGACCGCGCAGGCTAAAAGATAGGAATCGCAGCAAAACATTTTCATGGAGCTGCCGACCTTCGAGGTCAAGAAGCGGTCAAGGTCCACCGACGACGAAGGAGAAGAAACTGCCCGCCCGCGGTGGCGGCGCGCGGCCCTGCTCACAACCTTGGTAGCCGGAGCGATATTCGCCGCGGTAAACTACGACCGGCGCCACCAGCCGCCGCCTCCCCTAGAACCGGGTCAAATACTAACGTGCGGCTTGCGGCACCGCCACGTCTGGCCGTTTCACAATCCACCGGAAGTGGCTTCGGATCTCGTGGTGTCCCTGACGACGCTCCCGCAGCGAAGCGAGACGTTGCCGCTCATGCTGCGGTCCCTCGCCGCGGGCTGGACGGTGCCGAGGGCCATTTATGTGGTCGACGGCGGCGACCACGCCCGGCCGAATTTGTGCCCGTCCTACTTATCGAGGCATCGCGGGCGACACACGGTGGACGTGCACTTTGTCAGGGCGGCGTCCGATCGCGGTCCCATCGAAAAATATATAGGGGCGGAGGCCGCCATCCGCGCGACGCGCCCGCGCGGCCACCCGCGGTTTTTACTTGTTCTTGATGACGACCACGTCTACAAGCGCCACATGGTCGAGCGCTACGCCGCAGCTTTACGAGCGGAGCCGGACACGGTGTTCACGGTGCAGTCACCGCCGTCGCAGTTTTTCGGGTGGCGGCCTCGTATTAACATCGCGTACGGGGCGCGGGGCGTCGGTATTCGTACAGACTTGGCTCTGGATGGCGCTCTCGCGGCCTACGCCGCCACGGCGGCTCGACTGGAGCCGACGTGTCGCGTCGTCGACGACATCGTCGTGTCGGCGTTCTTCGCCTCACACAAAGTCGCTGTGCGCGACGTGCCCGGCTTTAGCTTTGACAATAGGCCGTGGCGGCACAACAACCAGATCCGCCTGATCTCGAAGCAGCACGCGCTGCGGTCGGATAAGCGGGACGCCCAGAACGCGCGGTGCCACGACGCGCTCGTGCGGCGCGATGCCACCGGCGCGCACGCCACCGCCGAGCACGCGCTAAACGTAAACCGCGGCCCTTCACAGGGTGGCGGCGCTGCGGGCGGCCACCGCCGCATGCCAGAATCGATACTTCCACTCGGCGCAACTCGATCCGCCACCAAGAAGTCTAATATCTAGAACCATATACTTACAGAAACAGAGGTCACCGGAGTGACGACATAGTGCCACCAGCCCTCGGGAATGAAGAGCACGTCGCCCGGTCGCAGATCCGCGCGGAGCTCGCAGGCGTCGACGAGGGACGCGGCGTCGAGCGGCGACGTGTTTTCGGCCGGAGGCGCGTTGCGAGGGATCGTCGGCGTATCGGGGGGCCACAAGTACACCAACTTTCTTCCGACGACGTGGCACAAGTAGTTCGGGTGCCGATCGAAGTGCAGCGGCGTCGTGGCGCCGCGGGGCGCCACCCAGGCCGAGACGATGGGCTCGAGCGATCGCTGCGCGCGCGGCCCGAGCGCGATGGCGTCTTGCACGAACCGCGGCCAGGGCGCGGCGTCTCTCGCCAGCTGCGGGCACTGCTCGAGCAGCGGGTGCTGTGCCAGGTAAGCGACCGTTCGCGCTGATGTGACGGGCACGACTTCGGAGACGGCGCACACGGTACCACCGAGACTCGCCGCCTCCCCGCGCGCGAGCGGCAGGAGCACGGCATCGACGTACTCGCCAAAGGGCACCAGCCGCTGCTGCGCGAGGTCCGAGTCGCGGTGCGCGATGCCTACTTCCACAGGAACGATGCGCGCCCCAAGTTCAGCAACCCAGTAACGCGGCGACCGCCACCGCGTGACGGCGGGCCACGTGGCGACAGCGCGCTCGTAGACGTGCGGGGCCGTATTCATGGCGGGAGGCGCCGCGTCCTCCGCGTCGGGCCAGGCGTCAAGCGCCGCTGCCGCGAACGTCGATGCGGCGACGGCGGCCGCATGCAGCCGTTCCGCCTCGGCCAGGAGCGTGGCCCGGTCGCGATCGTCGCGGCAGCGGAGCCAGGCGCCGTCGAGCAGGGCGAGGGCCGCGCGAGGATTATTGGACCGGGCAGCTGCGCCCGCCCGCGCGACGCGGAACAGCGCCGAGCGTAGCTCAGGTCGCGAGTCCCGTTCGACGTCCTCGCTCAGCAGCTGCGCGATGTGCTGAAAGAGTTCGGCCGCCGCGGGCGCCCCTCGGGTGGACGCGCATTTGTCGACTAATGCGGCCAGCTTGTCGTTCATCTTCACTTCATGGAGACCTTGCCGTTTATGACCTTGTACGCAAGTCGGCCGTGCACGAGCGCCTCACGGGCGAACTGCTCTCCGCACTGTGGGCAGTGCTGCTGATCCTCGGTATAATCCTTGACGATCCGTTCGTCGTAGATCTTCACGAGCTTCGAGCCGGCGCCGTTTCCCTTCGCGTAGCGAAACAGCGGAGCTTTGCAGCCTGTGCACTTGATGTCTACACGCCTGGTTGGCAGCTTCTTGCGAGGTGCGGCGAGGCCGCGTGCGCCGCTCCGCAGTGATGCAGCAAGGAGCAATGCGACTCTGGCTCGCAGCATCAATGCTGTGCGTTTGCAGCGTGTAAAGCGTGCACCGCTGCGACGAATGATGGAGCGTCCGGCCACTTTTACTGCTGTACCAAGCGTGCTCGCAAAGGGAAACGCTGTCGACAAAGGGAGAGCCAAAAACGAGGGCTAGCGTCCAGTAAGACACTAGCAAGCAGCCGCAACTCGTCAGGGCAGCACGATTTCCGGCGAAGACCGTCTCCGCGGACGCCATACCTCTCGAGGAAAGCCCGTCGGCCAAGCCACTTGCCAAGCCCCAGCCCAGCGCCGAGTGCTGCTGCCTACAGCCTCGACAGCGACGGTGCGAGAGCCACGAAGGGCAGCCCAAGCGCACTGCCCCGATACCCATAACCATGCGACGACGACCCACGTAAACGATGGACGGCCTGGGCATCAAGCTGAGCCCCCGGCGCGGCGGCGTCAAGCTCAGCCCCCGCAAGAAGCGGGAGGTAGAGAGTGATGACGAGAGCACATCATCATCATCGTCCTCGTCCTCCTCCTCGTCGAGCGGCAGCTCAGGAAGTTCGAGCAGCTCGGGCTCCTCGACATCATCTAGTAGTGTACACACGCCCGAGCCCCCACCCCCACCGGTCTGGCTCGAGTTCGAGAAGGACGGCGCCGAGCCTTGTAGATGGTGGTGGCACCGCGTCACGGGAGAACTCAAGTGGATCAAACCGTACCGGACCGTCACGCTGCGCATCCCGCGGAGAGACATGATGCGCGACCGCGGCACGCCGGAGATGGGGAGTTGGTCCTATCAGGCGCGGGAGGCGCGCAAACGCGCCGCCCAGCGCAAGAAGCGGCACTTGCGGAACGCCGTGACGTACGGGGACCAGGGCAAGTGGCACCGCGCGACCGTGGAAGTCGACAAAGCTCGACTGGCGCATGACGGGGATGGGGATCGGTTCTACAACGCTCTGTTGGCTGCTCGGTTGCACCACGCGGCCTGGGCGCTGCACTGCAACGAGAAACGGAGTTCAGCAGCGTTAGCTTGTAACTTGTTTGAAAGATGGAGGGAAGGGACGTCCGTCGAGGCACCTAGCATACATATTATGCTGAAGTACGAGATCGCCTGCTGTGCTGCTGGTAGACCATCGGTAGAAGAGAGAGGTACGCAGCACGCGGTTACGTTGGCACAGCGACGGGACCAGGCCTTCGACCTGTTCGCGGAACTCCTCCCCGAGGAGGAAGTTGTGGTGGAGGATCATCAACCTAAACTGATAGATGATCCGGCCTCCAATGCAGCAGCCAAATGGCGGACCAAGACACAAGCTTCGAAGGTAAAAAAGCATACGGCTCTCGAAAGGTTAGTGGAACACCACTCCCTACTCTGGTGCGCGGCATTACTGCAGGAGGGCGGCGGCCTCGGGGACGAGCGAGCTCTGGAATGTTTGGAAGAAATTTACGAGGACCAAAGTCGGAGAGCGGCAGCAAACTACATCCCGGAAGATCTAGAACCAGATGATTTAGGCGGCTTACCGCCCGGATTGGACGTGCCACCACAGCTCCCTAGGTGGCTCGCTACACTGTTGTACAGTAGAGCATTGGCGCATGCGAATCGCGGCTACGAAGCCAGAGCTGCATTGGAGGACGCGCGAGCATTGGCCTCGAACGACGCGGTCGACCCCGTCGCTTCACTGGAAGCGCCTCCCGACAAGACGCGGGGCCAATCGGCGGAAGCTTGGTTGGGAGATACACGAGTTTGGATCACCGCCAACGAGGTCCTTAGACAGAGAAGGCAGCCTTTCTTAGCCCTGCAATGCACGGAGACGGCTTTGGAAACGCTGGAATTGTCCGATGTCAACCTTGGGTCATTGAACAACCTCCCGAAATCGCAAGCGAGGCATCGCGCGGAGTGCGAGGTCTGGTGGCGGCGCGCTGAAGGTTTGTGGGTCTGCCACCACGATCGGGAGGCTTTTAGGGCGTTACAACGCGCTTTGAAGGTGGAGCCCTGGCATTTAGATGTTAGATTAACTGCGAGAAAGTGGGAGGTCGAGGCCCGCGAGCAGGGCGCGTTTAAACGAATGGAAGCGTACGAGAAGCTCGAGGAGGCCCAGAAGCGCTTCGACGAGGTTAAATTAGAGGCCCACAAGCAGGAGCAGATGGAGCTGATGCGGAAGGCCCGAGACGCTTTAGCAAGTGTAGCTGTTTTGGGAGAGCCCTTCGACCGGCTGCAGTGGAAGCAGGTCGATAGTATCTTCCAGCATCTGAACGCTGTTGAAAGAGCCTGTATTGCGGTTGCGTTGCCGTGTACGAGAAGGGCGGGCTGCGCGTTCCTGCTGCGAGCCGAGGAGTATGCTTTGGTAAGGTACCCCCAAGCGCTCGCGCGAGGTATGTTGGCAAGAGTCTACTGCAACGAAGAAATGCGGAAGTGGAAAGCGTATCAAGCGTGGGAGGCGGAAGCTTTCGGCAAGCTGTCGAATACGATTCGCATGTCCATGGCTAAAGGGTGTCCGAGGTACTTCCTGGGCTGGCGCGCCTACACGCGGGAGCAGAAGAAGTACCGCGTGTACGTCGCGACGAAAGCGGCGAATGCCGTGAGGAGGAGGTTGGCTCAATTGAGAACTGAAAGGCGTAGGAAGCACAATCGCATCCTCAAGGCGGACAGGCCTCGCTTCGTCAAACGGCAACTCGGGAGAGGTCTGAACATCTTCAAGAAGACGTTGGTGTTGGTCCATTTCCGGCGTGATCACGCGACGACGATCCAAAGGCGGGCGCGGGGTATTGCTGGAAGAAGGCGCGTCTGGGTCGAGAGGTTATTGAAGCACCACTCGCAGAGGCGCCTCAAGCGGTTATATTGGAAATGGTTGAGGTATAGCGCATGGTGCAAGAAGCGGCGGCTGGCTGCGGAGTGTGTTCAGAGGTTCATTCGTTCATTCTTATCTCGGTGCCACTGCCGGGACTGGTTACGTAGAAGAAAGCGGAACAACGTCGCTTCCAATAGAATGAGGATACGACTACAAAGGAGGGACCACCGCATCATCGTGAGGGCCTGGGACAAAGATGCCAAAGCAATTATTTTAGCGCGGCGCGTCAAGATGTCGACGAGGATCGCCGGGTGGTACCGCAATCGACGCGTTTATTGGAGAGCTAAAGTGCTACGACTGAGACGAATCAGAGTGCGAGCCGAACAGAAGGCTTTGACAGAATCGCTGGCAATAGCATCGATATACTCGCTACAGAAGAATGCCCGTTCTAAGGTGATCCAACGCATGTGGCGCGCCTACGCCGCCAAGCACTGCCTTAAAAGATTGAAAAAACAAAGGCAGAAAGCTAAGAAGTTGAGGAGGAAGTTCTTCAAGCGCCAGGGTCGCTGGGTCATGAAGGCGTGGCGGGACATGCATCGAAGACATATGCGGTGTGCCCATGTTATTATCAGAGCTTTTCGGAGGTATATTGCTTTGACTTGTGTGAGACGACTGCGGAAAGCTCAGAAAATGGTCACTTCCAAGGTAGCCTTTGCACTTGTTAAAAAGTCTCAGAGGACTTGTATCCGCATCATGGCCGCTTGGCATACATATTCAAGGCAGTGTTTTGCGGCGAGAGTGTGCAACGGGCGAGCTCGATGTTGGTTAGCTAAAAGACGCCTGGAAAACGCGCAAAAGCTGCGGAACCAAGAGCGTATGAAAATTGCACTGGGAGTTGGTAAACGAGAACTACGAACTAGAATTAAAGTCTTTGTCGTCTGGAAGACCTGGGCGCCCCAATCTAAAGCGGCGAATACGATAGTGAGGATGTGTAGGTGTAGAATTGCTCGAGATGAGTGTCGGGAGCTAGCGCGCCAAAAACGAGAAAACGACGCGAAGATTCGAGCGTGCATCGGTGCGAAGGAGTTTAGGATTCAGAAGAAGTGGTGGGGACGGTGCAAGCAGATCTGGCTCTGGGAATCGAGATCTAGAAAAATAGCGCTGTTTGTGAAGGGTACATGGGCCCTGCGCCACTACCGGGAGCTGGCTCGCATCAAGCGGGAACAGAATGCGAAAATCAGGAGGTGTATCGGGTCGAAAGAAGATCGAACCAAAATAAGGATGTGGCGTGGGTTCAAGACGCTGTGGATATGGCGGAAGCAACGGGAGGCCGCACAGCGCGCCGTCGACAAAGCCGACGCCTTGTTAGCTGCGTTAGCCTACGATAAAGCTTACAGATCAATGAAAGCTAGAGCGGCGAACTGGCTCTGCGGGCGCATGGTCATGTTACTAGCTAGGTCTGCCGCGGCTAGAAGGCGCGTCGCGGACCGCCACCTCAAGAAGAGGCAGCGTTCTCTCATGCTGGACTTTCGACGACGGCAGAGACGGGTTTACTTGTCGAAGTTTACTGATTTGTTAGCAGCTAAAGGCGTGGCGTCGATACGCGGTTTGTTCCCGCCAAAAAAGCAGAAGAAGAGCTTCTTCTCGTCCAAGAAAAAGGAGGAACCCGTAAAAGAGGAAGAAGCACCGCCACCGCTCAAACTTTTGAGGTATGCGCCTCTGTCTATAGTAGTAGAGAAGGGCGAGAATCTCGTGGCAAAGGACTGGTCCTTCCGCAAGGCGAATCGGACCAGTGACCCCTACGTGGTCGTGAAGCTGGACGGGAAGGAACTCGGCAAGACACTTGTTGTTGATAAGTCCCTCAATCCCGTCTGGTCGTTCGCGCTCGAGACGGAAGTGCTGGAGGAGCACTTGTCAAGTTCAGTACTGGAGTTCGAGATCCGCGATAAAGATTTAGTCGGGTCCGATGCGATGGGGTCGGTCGAGTTGTCATATCCCTTCGGTGAAGCGCGGTGGTTAGATGTACAGACAACTAAGGACTGCAAGGACGCCACGGGCCGGATCTTTGTGGGGTGCCGCGTCGGTCCTATTGTCGAGAGGGCCGAAGATCTTCCGGTGAAGAAGCAGAAGAAGTCGTGGTTTGGTTCTTCCTCAAAGAAAGAGAAGGCTCCAGTAGTTACGAAGACGGCAGTTGTTGAAACAGAGACGGAAGAAGCGGTGCCCGTAGCCCAACAACGACCTGAGGAGGAAGTGGACCTGCCGGCGATGCCCACTGCATTATCTTCATCACGAGCGCACCGCTCGAGGGAGGGCCTCTCGTCCCAGTATTTCGAGGCGCGGCGGCGCGTCGCGAAGTGTGGGGTGTTAGCCTGGCGCTCTCATGACCTTGGGAGAGGTGAATTAGTTGCTTTAGCTTCATCGGCGGACGCCGTGGTCCTGGAGGCGCCGTTCTATGGGTCCGAGGATGTGCTGTTAGCGGCGGCAGCCTTACTAGCGCCGGCAGCGTCCACGGCCCTGACGGCTCGTAGAAGATCAGGCAAGTTGCTCCGTTCATCAAAGCCGCCGAAGCTTGTGTTAGCTGGCGAGGCCCGCGATTTGTATTTGGATCGAAGGGCCGGCGCGGCGTGCGGCCTGCTGGCGGCTCGGGGGCGTTCTACAGCGATCTGCGTCCACCGCGCGCGGTGCTCCGTTGGTTTTGGCAAGGCTTTGGCTAGAGGTTTAGTTAGGAAGGATCTTGATACTGATACATTGCGAGAACTGGCTTTAGATGGTGCGTGTCTCGGGCCCGGTGCGCTATCATGTATCCTAGAAGCCGTCATGCTCCGGACGTCGGAGAGGCAAGCGAAACCGTTGACGCGATTCGTATTGGACGGCAACTCCTTCAACGCGCCTACATTAGTAGGACAGCTCAAGGCTTTGATTGGTGGACCCGCCTGCCCCTCGAACTTATCACTAGCAGGGTGTCGCCTCCAGGGGTATGCAGCCTATGTGATAGCGGCGGGTTTGGATGCCCACAACAATGTCAATGAGAACGAGGAGCCCCTATCTCTGTTGAGCATCTCAGTACAAAAAGCCGAAAACCTCGTAATAAAGGACTGGGCCCTTCAATCAAAAAACCGCAGCAGCGACCCCTACGTCGTCGTGAAAGTGGACGGGAAGAAGGTCGGCAAGACGCAGGTGGTCAAGAAGAATTTGAGCCCCGAGTGGAATTATGTTGTAGAGTGCGAGGTCCGGGCGCCGCAAGATTCCGTCGTGGAATTGAAGATTTGGGACAAGGACCTGGCGACGTCCGATGCGATGGGTGCTGTTATTCTTAGGGATTTACCGCGAGGTGAGGAGCCTGTGGTGGAGTGGCGCGACGTCGAGTGCACCAGCGACTGCAAGGACGCGTCGGGGCGACTATACTGTGGCGCCGCGTGGAGCAAGCCCGAGCGGAAGCCGCCTTCCTCGACAAAGCGTAGACATCTCGAGGTTTTAGTGCTGAAAGACAATCCTGATTTAGGGGATAGAGGATGTGCAGCTCTGGCAAAAGCCGCGGCGGCCACACCTTCATTAAGTCGGTTGGATCTGGCGCGGTGCGGCTGCGGGCCGCAGACGGGCTTCGCGTTAGCTGACGAGCTGTGTTTTCAATTTAGCGTGGAAAGACCAAGGGCCTGGATCGGGGTCCGGGCGCCGGGCGCGGAGGAAGAGGAACTTGATACGAAGCCGCGTCCACCGCCGCCGGACCCGCGCCCCCACCTTTCAATAGGGTTGTCGCGGAACTTTGAGCTCGGGAACGACGCGATTAACCGACTCGCCTACGTCGCCGAGCGGTCGAAGTACAGATTGGGCGTCGAGTGCTCGTCCGATTTGTATGGGGACGAGGCGGGGTTGATGTTAGCTGGATTACCGGCGAAGGACCGGCGCTTCGTCATTTCCAGTAAAACGGTCGTCGAGGCGCCGGTGCCCGCGCCCGCGCCCGCTGCAATCGCGGAGGGTCCACCCGTCGATCTGATGCATAAAGCTCGCTGGACGAAGGCGGACTACGCGCTCATGACGCTGGAGTCGGATTCTGTGACGTATGACCTCTCCCGGCCGTCACAAGTGTCCCGGCCATCGTTTGACCACTCTACTGTCTGATGACTCGTAAGTGGAATTTGTGTGTTATTAATAGTTAGGGGATCGCGCGCGCGCGCCGTTCGTTGTGACGGGTCGCCCACCACAAAACCCTCGGCGCGCCCATCGTCAGAGAAGTCAGGCCCACTCCGTCGGCGTCAACCCAGAACACCCGTTCTCCTCGAGCTTCTGGAAGGCCGCGGCAAAGTCCGCAAAGAACCTGGCGTTGTCCCTGGCGTACTGCTTCGTGTACTTGGCGAATTTTTTGTCCGTCACCAAGAGCAAGTCCGAGGGGAGCATCATGAGCTTCTTCGACGGGTCCTCGTACTGGAAGGGGCCGTCCCAGGCGCGCGGCGTCCACTCGACGTTGAGCAGGAGGGAATAGTAGCCGTTGTTGAGCGTCGTCGGCGTCGGCGTCCAGGGCCCGTCGTAGCCAGAAGCGTCCGGGTGGCAGCGCCCCAGCGCGTGGGCACCGGACAATGCCACAATTTCGCGGTCGTCGAAGCCCATGCGGTAGAAGACGCCGTCGCGCAAATGGTCCGCCGTCTTTGCGGGAGACCCCATGTCGGCGTTCGGCAGGCGGCCGTCCGGCGCGACGGATGAGACGGGCTCGTCCACGCGACCCGAGCTCCACCCTATAACGGGTCCGTTGGCCTCCTTGATGGCGACGACGCCGGCGAGCGTGAAGATGTCGGCGTAGGACGCGCCGGGGTGGGCCTTCTTGACGGGCTCGAGCCACTTGACGGCCTTGGCGAGGCCCGCGTTGCCGCCATGAGCTAATTCCTCCTTGAAGCGGATCGTGCCTCCCCTTGACCCGCCGTCCCGCGCCTGCTTCGAGTAGTCGCCCGACGAGTGCCAGGCCAGCCGCAGGAAGGTCGGGCCCTTGTCCGGGTCGCTCTTGATGATCTTCGCGATGTCGGCCGCGACGGCCTTGTAGTCGACGGCGTCGGCGGCGCGCGCCGTGGTGGGCGCGACGGCCGCGACGACGGCCGCGACGGCGCCTCTCAAGACGGCGCCGCGCTCCAGCGCTGTCGTGGGTTCATGGGCCTGCGCGGGACACGTCGTGCTGCGGAGGCGCGTGAAGCTCTTTCCGGCGCCGCTGCTGGCCAGCAGGCGAGTGTGCAAGCTCCGCTGGAGCACCTGCAGGCCCGGCGCTTGGAGGGCCGCGGCGCTGCTTGCAAAGGTGATCAAGGCGGCTTGCTTGAGCATTGTTTTGGCTGAATTGGGCCGACTCTGGCAGCGTTTGAAGTCCTTCCGCGGTGCCAAAAAGAGACTTGAATTAATATCATTTAGCGTCAGAACGGACCGCAGGGGGAATTGCCACACGTGTGATGTCGGGTCCGGGGTGACCGGTTGATGTGCGGTACGTACCCGAGGACGTGTGGCCCGCTTTGCTGCTTTCGCGTGCCGGACGCGGCGACGACACGCGCACGCGCGTGATGGGGGCAGGAATGTGTTGCGAGACGCATCAAGCCGCTTTCGCTGTTGTGCCGCGATGATGGACCCGTTCCTGCGCGCGGATTCGTATGCTAGTATGTGTCGATACGCTAGCTGCTCAGCGCTTTCACCTTCAGAGCATCGCCCACGCGGGTGCAAAGCTGGCTTATCAATCATAGATGATCTACAAACGACGATTAATGCTATTGCTCGCCGCTGCCGCCAGGCGCGCCGCCTGCCTCCAGCAGGCCAGGGCAGCACGCTGCAGCCGGCGTCTCGCAGCTGCAGCCGTCGACGACGCGCAACTGGAAGCGTTCCGGGCCGCGGCCGGCTTCCAGGTCGACGCACCACCGAAGCGCAAGCGCGTCAAGCGGCTGCGCCACCACCGCAACCCGCTCTCCGCGGCCGCCACGCAACCGGCGGAATTGGCGGAGGACTGGGCCCGAACAATCTTCGACGACCGCACCCAACCTTTAACAGTAGACGTCGGCTGCGCGCTGGGCGGCTGGTGCGTCGAATCCGCAATCAATGACGCGTCGCGGAACTTCCTCGGATTAGAGTTGAGGCCCGAGGCCGTGGCAAGGGCGCAACAAAGCGCCCAGTCATTATCAAATTGCGCCTTCCTCCAGTGCAACGCGAACGTTGATCTGGGGCGATTACTAGGCGACCTCGCGAACGCGGGCGCGCCGCTCGAACGTATCTGTATACAATTTCCCGACCCTCATTTCAAGAAGAAGCACCGGAAGCGGCGCGTCTGCACGCCGGAGCTGGCGGCGACAATATCAAGCGCGGTCTGCGCGTCTCCAGTGTCGGCGTCGGTCTACGTCGCGTCGGACGTCTTGGACGTCGCCGAGGAGATGCGGGAGCGGTTTGCGGCGTGCGACGAGCTGCGGTTGGAAGGCGACTACGACGCTGAGGGGTGGTTGTGTGCGAGTCCGCTGCAAGTCCAGACGGAGCGGGAAAGGGCGGTGCTCGCGGGGCTTGGTTCTACCTCCACAGCTGATTGTGTGTATCGAGCGCTCTTCGTGCCCGCGTAACAAACATAGATTAAATCTCCCCTCGCTGCGTCAGTTTGCTGAGGTCGGTATGCTTCGTCACGGCCCTCAGCCCAGGGCGTGTAAACCGGCCCGTATGCTTCATCTTCGGCGGTCTTAAATGAGGCGGCAGCCGCTCCCGCAAGTATTGAGGCACGGGCGCCAACCGATAAGCCTGCCGCAGCGCGTAGGGGCTGCCGTCCCGTTTCGTAGCGTGGGGCCGCGCCGTCCCTTCGCCGAGGCGCGTCGTCCCCTGCCGTCTTATCAAATGGAGGTAGTAGGCTTTGGTGAGCCGTCTCAGGTCGAAGGTCCCGCACTTGCCTAGTATAAATGCGTACTTCTCCCGCAGAAACTCGGGCGTGATTTCGTCGTAAGAATCGACGAGCAGCACCGGCAAATCGACGAGCAGGTCGTCCCACCCTCCTTGTGTTCGTTCGATCACCGGAATAGCACCCAAATACAGGACCTCCCAGAGGCGGTAGGAGTCCGGTCCTAGTCCGGGCGGGCACAAGACGAATTTCGACGTCAGGATCTGGCCGTACGTCGAGAATTCGTAAAAGGCCTCGAGATCCGAGGGATACCGCGCCAAATCGGTGTAGGCCTTTTGATCTAACGTATGGCCCTTGTAGACGACGGGCGGTCCATTTTCCAACAGAGGGCAGGACTTCTTGGCGCAGTACGTATTTTGTAAGGGCGGCGAGAATTTCGAGGAGACCATTTCATTAATTGCTGCTCTAAATTGCCAGCCCGAATTGTTGATGAGGAGCCACCTACTGCGTGGTGGTCGGGCAGCACCCACTATGAGACTCATGAGCAACGCGACGTTGACGTGCCTCACCCCCAAAGGTAGAGGTACGACCTTCGGGTGCCTTATTTGAGATGTTCTTTGAGTAGTCAATAACAACCGTAATTGAGGAGAATCGAGCCAGTCGCGCACCTGACGGTGGTACTTCATTAGTTCATTTTCATCTTTCATACCGTAGCCGTAGCCCTTCATGCCCCTGATATGTTTCGCAGGGACAACTTTACCTCCACATTCTTTGGCGTCGGTCCAGTAGTTCCAGTTTGCGGTCCTATTGACATGGTGGGAAGAAAACGCTCCCCAGTTCTCGCCCACGCTCACATAAATGTATGGATTTGAAGTATATTGCAAGTTCCGCGCCACTTTGCACGGCGAGTGGCCTGCTGCTCTTAAGACAGTCACGCCGTCCTTCCGCCACCGCCCCTCCAGACACGTCGCAAAGTCCCGACTCTTGCAGTTCTCCGACGACAGCGTGAAGTCCACGACGTGCTCGTCCCACCATTTGGCAAACAATTGGTCCGAACCGCCCCAATCAATTATATCTCGTGTCGTTTTCAGGGTCGTATTTATTGAATCGATGAGGCAGTGCTCGTCTTTCAACATGGCGCGCTGGCGGTGCACGGCCTCAATGCGCGCCGCCCGACGCGCGCCGTCTATGGGTGAATCCTTGGGCAGCCGCTTGAAGACCATGCGAAACGGCGCCGCCGCGGCGAGCGTTACGACGAGGGGCAGTGGCAGCCGCCCCATGGGCTGCCTCGGCCGGCTTTGGATTGCTTTTGGCAGCCAAATTTGGCAGCACAGGCTTGCTAGTGCCTTACAGGCCGCTAGCTACGCGGGATGAAACGAGAGGCCCGCGCTCGGATTTTTAGGCGCTTAGGCCGGCCCTCGCACGTCAAATCTACGGTCGGGCCGCGCGACGCGACGCGCCGAGTCCGCCCCGCGCGCGATTCGCGCGGAAAGCTATTGAAATTTGAAAGCCGTGAGAGGCGCCTGGCGCGCTAGAATAGATATGTACTCGCCGCCGCCGGACGAGGCGGCCGAGGCGCTCGCGCGGGACCCCATCGACCCCGTCGAGGAGACAGAGAGATTCCTGGAAGACGCCGCCGCGGACACGGACCAGCCGGGCAAGGACGAGATCCTGTGCGAGCGCCGCGTCGAACGCCGGAGCGCCGCTCTCGTTCGCAGAATTCAAATTCTGAGAGCTAGGCGCCGCCGCCCCCCCCCCGCGCGCAAGACAACTGATAGACGGGTCCGCGAATCCGGGCCGCGATCAAACGCCGTCGCGCAGGTGCGCCCTCCGCGAGCTCCGGACCTACGGCGTCTGGCTCGCGCACATCGACGCCAAGCTCGAGGCCTGGCGCGACGCGTGCGCGTCGTACTGCGACGGCCCGCCCGGGTCCAGGGACGGGGCGTAGTACCGCGCGTAGTACCGCGCGGGTACTACGGACAGCTTAGGGTACTATGATACCACGCAGGGGTCTGAGGGCAGTTCGTAGTCGGTGGAGTCTGAGACCGGAAATCGACGTATCTCTCCGAGCTGCATCCATCCCCAGAGTTCCTGTGAAATATCCATGGGGGCAAAATTTCGGTACTTTCGGCGATACCACGCCCGTTACTGTATTCGAGGCTCCATTTACTGGCCCATTGACCTAGACATGGCCTAGAGATGGTCCCGGGATGTGATGGGCAGCCCAGGACCGCGTATAGTAGCCCCCGGGCTGCCCCGGCCCGCCGTCCGGGACCCCCCCTAAACAATAAAAATTAATTAAAATAAAAACCGCAGTACTGCGCAGGTACTACGCAGCACTGCGCAGTACTCCCGGTCCGGGAGTACTGCGCAGTGCTGCGTACTACGCCCCGTCCCTGCCCGGGTCGCCGCGCCAGGCGCCCGACTATCAAGTAAGAGTCGCCTCGAGCCGCGCGGCGGCCGCCGCCTGGCGCACGCCCGGCGACGCCTGGACCGACGACCAAACTTTCGCGCCGGGCGCCTGCGACGCGTCGCGATTCGCGTTCGCGGTCGTCCGGAGCGAGGCGGCGCGCCGCGTCGCCTTCGACCACGGCTGGTTCCGGCGCTGGAGCGCGCCGACGGCGCCCGAGGCCGTCGACGTCCTGTGCGAGGTGGGCCAGGTCGTCCTGCGCGTCGCGGCCGGCGAGGCGCTCATCTCCGAGGAGGCGATGAAGGCGCCCTACCTCAAAGCGTGTGTTGTGAGTGCGTCTTGGCGCGGCGGTTGCGTCGAGGTGGAGCTCGAGGTGTCGGGCCGCCACGAGTTCCGCGTCGCGCGCGTCGTCGCGGAGACCTCAGACGCGACGCAGATCCACGACGCCGACGGCGAGCAGCGGGCGACGCGCGCCGCGCACGCCGTCAAGCTCCGCATTGCCTGCGCCGCGCCGAAAGCGCGGCCGGCGTCGCCGGTGAACGTCGTCGACGAGGCGCTCGCCGTCGACTCCGTCCCGGGCACTCCGGCCGTCCGCGTCCTCGTCCTCGTCGAGTGAGACCCCCCTGTTCGTCGCAAGAAAGAAGCTACCCCCGCGCGTTCCAGAATAAGTCTGACGCACTAATTTACTCCGAGTCCTCGCCCTCGAAGGCGCCGTCGCGCGACGTTCGCGGCGAATACATCACGTTGACAGAATCGAAGGTAGAGATGGATTGGGTATAGTTGTAGAGATGGATAGCCGTGAGCGGCTTGCGGCGGAATTTGAACCTCCCCCGGCCGAAATTCAAACCTGAGGCGGCTGTGACAGACACGTCCGCCCATCCGTACCTTAAGCTTCGATCCCAATCAAATTTCGCGTCGACCGTATAAGTTGCACCAGGCTCCACCGTTATCACATTCTTTGGTCCACTGAATATTGGATCGCCCATGGCGAACCACTGGAACTCGAACCATGGAGTGTCATCGTGTCTGTCACTGTCGCTCGGCTCAACAAGCAAGCCCATGAATGCATCTGGTTCATTACCGTTATCAATTAAGCCTCCGCTAATACTGAGGACTGCGAAGCCCTCCACTTGCGGCTCAACGTGGGAATGGGGATTCGTACTGTCAAAGCTGAAGCTGTAGGTAATTCGCCGGACGCACAGGTTTTCGCCATCAAATGTCTTCACCAAGCCGCCCCCGTGGTGTCCACTATCCGATCTATATGTCTCGATCCGTAGGCGCCCGTTTCCGTCCCGGCTGCAGTTGAACCCCGCATTTTCGTTGCGTGCGAGCGTCTCCCAAGCTTCGAAACTGCTTCCGTCGAAGCGCGACCAGCGCTCGTCGCGCCCGGTCCAACGGACGGCGTCCAGAAAGGAGCTCGTCGACGTGCAGATGGTTCCGCACTGGCGCGCAATGAGGGTCATCGTCCGCCACTGCTGGTCGCGGAACCGGCGCGACACCGTCGGCACGGTTGCGATCGCCTTGAGAGGAAGGAATGCGAGCAGGGGTTCCACTAAATCGCCTTGCCAGAGCCGGAGTAGGTCCGTGCTGCTCGTACCAGCCGCAGCCACAGCCGTGCGCTTCTCAAGAGGTTGCTCCATTGCCGGGGATCCCTAGCTCGACCTCGTCAAAAAGGGGAAAAACGCAGAGCTAGCGTAACGACATACTAGAAAAAGGAGCGCTGTCTGGGCGCTACACAGGCTGCGGGCATACAAGAGCGCGCGCCGAGCCGGGGGCAGCCGAATACGACCACAGGCAGCCCCAGGAGATCACAACAAAATGCGTGTCCCGGACCACTATGCGGCGCTGGGCATTCAGTCCACAGCCGACGCGTCGGACATCCGCAAAGCCTACAAGAAACGGGCGCTCCAGACGCACCCCGACAAGGGCGGCGACGAAGAAGAGTTCAAAAGAGTGGGAGCGGCCTACGCCGTGTTGTCGGACGAGGCGAAGCGCTCCGAGTACGACGAGATGCGCACGGACGGCCTGCGCCAGGGCGAGCGCGACCAGACGGACTACCAATGTAGGGGCTTCAATTCCAATTTTGACGCGCCGTTCTTCGGGCAGAGGTGGGACCCGGGCGAGAAGTTTTCGATGGACGACGCGCGGGCCCAGTTCGACCGCTTCTTCGGGACGCAGAGTCCCTTCGCAAATTTTGCGACGCCAAGCGCGAAAAAAGTGACGCAGATATCGACCATCAAACGGCGCGACGGGCGCATGGAATCTATGGCTCGGACACGAAGTGAGGGAGCCAAGGACGAGTACGAGTTCTTCAACCAGGGCCACGTGCTCCACGGGGGTCGCTGCCTGTGTGGAAATCAAAATTTTACGGCGCGTTCGCGTCGTCCTCCACGCCATCGACGCGACGCCTGCTCGATGGCGTGGCGATGCCGGTTCCTTGCACGCGACGCACGGGTTGATTTCCACACAGGCCGCGGCCACATCAACCCCGGGCTGCCGCCGAATGCGTCGGGCCCGGGGAGCCCGTGGAAACCGGTCGAGGCGCGGCGCGAGAAGAAGGGCATGACGCCCCTCCAAATGGCGGCGGCCGCGCGCACCCGCCGGAGGAGCGGGACGGGTCGCTTGGAGGGGCGACCGCTCGGGCGCAGCGAGACGGGCCCGCCGGCCCTCGGGCTCTGAACGAGAACCATTCCGCGACGAGTAAGAAAGACAAGTGAAAACCATTACTCCTCCTCCGGAGATGAAACTGCACCGTTCGGCCCGAGGTCGAGCACGCCGCGCCGCGTCCCGAGATCATGGTCGCCGAGGCGCACGCGCGCGCGCGGCAGGTCGTCGCCGAACGCGTCCACCACTTTCAGGTCCACGGCGCACCGGTAGGGCTCCATTCGGATCGAAAGCGCCGCGTCTCCAGATCTACGACCGAAGTCCATGACCTCGAAGCGCTGCGGGTCCAATAAGTCGCGCTGGCGCATCTGTTCATGCACCACCCTTACATCGTAGAAGTGGTCGAGGACCACGAGCACCTCGTTGCGCGGCCGCACATATTGCGGCGCCGGGCGTCGTCTGTCTAAGGCCATTGTCCCCACGCGCGGCGTCGAGACCTCCTCCGGTGCTTTCGACGAGAGGCCGACCTGGACCACCGGGTCTTGGACCGCGCGCCCCTCGTCGTCCAGCACGCGCACGGCGATGGAAGCCCTTCGCAGTCGCAAAGTGGTACACGGCACTACCCCATCATTTCTCAGTTCGACACGCGCCGTCGACGTCTGGACGCGCCGAGGCGCCGCGGCGACGCACGGCAGGAAGGCGGCGGGCCCCGCGACGCCCTCCAACTTCTTCCCAATGCGCCGCCAGCCCGTTGGTGGTGAAGGCCCAGAGGTCTCGAATCCATCCAGTTGTATGATGGCGCCGTCCAACGGTGCCCCGGTCTCATCATCCACAACTCGCACCAACGCCTCGAAGAGCTCCGATTCTAGTTCTACGGTGAGTTCGAGTCTATCCCCAAGACCATCATCAAAATGCTGCGGCGAGAAAATTATGGAATCGGTCAGCGACGCCTGGCGGTGGCCCTCTGCTCTAGCTATTATGGCGTAGCTTTGATTGGGTTCAATACCGTAGACGCCGTCCTTATTCATTACTTTCTCTCCATTGTGATAGAGAGCCACCTCCGCCGACGCCAGCTTCTGGAGGCTCCCGTGCTTCCGCTTCGCCGCATTCAAAACAACTTCGAAGCGCCGCAATCGCAACGCAACGTTGACAATAGAACCTGGAAGAAGCTCAACATTATATGGAGGCAGCATGTGATACCCTTGTAAAGATGCGGCCATTCGTACGAGTCCCGTTTGGGAGAGGTCGCTCAATTCAACAAAACCGCGCCTCTTCCCTAAATCGATGCCGCCCACTCTTACATCTGCCGCCGGTAGTTCTTTACGGGAAGCGGCGTCGACCACAGACACGTCCAACGTGACGGCAATGGCCCTGAGGGCGATGTCTACGGTCACGCCTTTCTCAAAATCGGAAGGAGCCCAGGTCACGTTGTTTAATGCTGAAATCTGCTCGTGCCGATCGGCGTCCACCACCAACTTGCTTGCCACCCTTGGATCCACGGGCACTGCACATTTACCGTCTCGCGCCTCGACGCTCGCCAGGACCACTTCATTCGAAACCACTCGCACAATTGCGTCTCCCACAAACGGCTTTCCTGAAACGTTCAAGTTTACGTTGGCCAGGCAGCGCGCCAACTGGACGGAGACAGCAGTGCACGCGCCCGCTTTTAGGGAAATGGTAGAGGGCTCCATCACCCTGTACCCAAACTTTTTGGCCCGTACTTTGTACAAAGCAGGCTCGCCGGCGCCGGCCACCTCCAAATTGTTTATGATGCCCCGTCGTTCCCCTAGAACTATGGAAGGGTCCGCTTTACTTTCCTGTACGGGAATCAGGGAAATGTCCGCGTCCACGTCCACATGATCGCACGTGACACTGAGGTCGACAGACCCGACGCCCGGCACCAAACGCATCGCCAGTCGCAACGGAGGCGCTATTAGTTTACCATCTTGAGCACGAGCCTCACGCGTCGCCTCCGCGCCGAGGTGCCACGTCCTCAGAGCTCTTCCTAAATCGGGCTTCAAAAAGCGCGTCCACAACGACTTGCTTGATGTGGACAACGGCGTCACTACAGAAGCGTCCCATTCTTGAATATCGGGCTTGACGGGACCGCCCAATGCAACAAACGCCTCGTTCTCGAAGACGTGCGGAGACGTGTAGTCGAGCTGGCGCCAGCCCTTCAGCTCCGCCGTGATTTGATATGAGCCGCCCGTGCGCACCTCGCACCGCAATCCCGGAGGTAGGTGCCGCCTGAAATCATAGTTCAAAGGCCTCAACCTCGACGCATCCACATCGGCCGCGCCGTCCTCGAACTCCACACGATACGTCGTGTCTTTGATGGACGCGATGGTGCCGTGGCGCTTTCCATTCCATACGTGTTGGTTGACCTCGTACACATAATTCAAGGGCGGTCCTTGCTCGAGCGCGGTCCACTCTGGCGAAGAGCCGCGCAAGCGGTCCGCATCCACTATTACCGATTCGCCGTCATCTCTCAAAATGCGGTAGGCGTCGCCGACCCTCTCTTCAATAATACAGCCCCGGTAATGGGCCGGGTCCACGACGACCGGTGAGCGACGACCTCCGTACCGCACGTCTCCGCCTCCCTCATAACGGACGCGCGCATGCACCAACTCCGCACCCGTCCGCGCATCAATACATTTGCATAGAACGGTCGCCGGCCTCATCTCAATGGAGACGGCGTGCCTTTGGGCCGCCACTAATGTAATGGGTCCGAGCGGTTTCAGTTGCGCGTGGCCTTTGAGGGATGCGCGTAGTGTGGAAGAAACGCTTGATGAGGGTAGCCCCTCGACGACCTGCGAGCCTCGTTGCAAGCTCAGGTCGGGCAGGCCCGACCTTTCGAGCGTCAAGCTGCAGTCGTCGTTATTCACCTCCAGCTCCACCTGACATGTTGACGGTTCCAGGACTAAATCTAAGGAGACGACGACGGGACTGGACGAGGACGGCGGCGCCTCCATTTGACGCGACGCCTCCCAGAACTGCTCTCTTGTGAAGGTCACGCTTTTACTGGAAGCGAGGCGCATGCCCGGAGCGCGCGCCCGCAACGTATACTCCATACCAACCTGGACCCTTGTCCACCCAATCGTGGGCACTTGGATCGTGTCTCCCTCAGTCTCGAGCCAGCATTCTACCTCGACGTCAGCCACGGCTCGGATCAACGCGGGCACCATCTCCAAGTTGATAGGTGTAACATCTTCAACAACGGGGACGGCGTAGGGCGGCAGCTGGGCCCAGCCCCGCAACCTGCATGACGTGCTTAGAGTGGTATCGGCCGCCGCGACGTCCCTAAGACCTCTCGTTGGCCCCAGGTCCACGTCGTTGATCGACACCGAGGCTAAGGTTGCTGGGTCTTTTTCACCACTACCAACGTCGTAGAGGCCCCGTACTTGGACGTCGACGCTCTTGTACTGCGTCCGCCGCGCCTCGATCTCGAGCCTCAAACATGAACCAGGTGCCAACGCCCTTAGTTGATCGGCCGTGGCTTTGAAGGTGGCGCAATTTGTATGAAAACGTTCCTTGCGGCAGGTCACGGCGTACTCCCGCCCGAGTTCCACGAGACATTGTTTTTGTACACCTGCCTCGAGGACAACGAGAGAAGCTGCATGCACGTCGTCCAAAGGCTTCAGCCAGACGTCCGCGCCCTCTACTTGCTGATGATCTTCGTCATACACCAGAGCTTCAACAAGCGCGGGCCGGACACACAGCGTCTGCGCGACCACGTCCTCGACAGCAGTCACGACCGTCGGCCCCACGAGGACGTGCTTCGTCGCTCTGATAGCAATTGACAGTCTTTCCGGAAGCTCGGACAATGAAGCGGACCACCTCCGGTCCGTCGAAAAGCCCCGCTGTCCAATGTCGACTAAAATCGTATCTAGAACAGACTCAGTCGAAGTCTCCTCGACCAGCGACAGGTCAATGACACAGCGCGCGGGCTCCATCGTGACTTCTACTTCCAGTGGAGCCGACGATCGCATGAAGTCCGCGTCCGTGAACTGAATACAAAAGGCGTCGCCCTCTCGACTTACGGTACCATAGTCGCACCTTATACCAGATCTATGATACTTCCTCAACGTACAGTCCACCTTGTATACCGTATCCACATCGACGACGTCGTTGACTTCCGGTCCTGATGGAGGCGTGAGCCTTACGACAGCGTCCAACGCAGAACCGTCTTCGTCGACTACTGTACACCGTACGAGAGCGGGGCGCATCCTCACGACCAATTGACGCGTCATACCGATCTTCGCCCGCGACACGCTGAAGGAGGAGGGCCCCGCAAAGGCGTATCCAGGTTTGCTCGCATAAACGGAGAACGTTTTCTCATCGTCATCAGCGAAAGGCTTACGTACCAAACCTGGTGTGTGGGCCTCGCCGTCCAAAAAGATGGTAGCATCGTCCAACAGTTGTCCATTTTCATCTTCCACCCTCAGATCTAGTAATGAGTGTGTCGCGCGCATTTCGACTGTTAGGATCATGGGCTGGTCGTCTTCCAGGGACGAGAAGGCTTCTGGGGACGCATCTAGCGTGTACTCCTGTATGGTCTCGGCGCCCTCCAGCGTGATTGATAAAGGATAGGACCCGGGCTTCACCTCGAAAACAGAACCCGCCTCATACTCAACATCGCCACAGGTCACCCTTGCACTTTCGAGCGTCTTACTTGTATACTGCTCCACGACGCTCACGATACAAGAACACCGGCGGCACTCCACCCTTATTGATGTTGTATCTTCGAGGTTTACTGTGATTGGCCGTAATACGATCCAGGACTCCTCGGCGAAGGCCACCTCAATAGATTGGTCGCCCTGCGTGGCATCGTAGGGCAGCGACCCATGTTCAATGGCTACGCCGCCGATGGTCACGGAAACGTCCGGGATCATTTCACCAGTGGCCACGTCGATAACCTCCACGTCCACGGCGACGCGCGCGCGCTCCACCCTCAACTCTCTCACTAACACCGCTTCCGACGCACGGAACGCTTCAGTGGAGACCTCCAAGGTATCGGAACCACAAACCCAGCCCGGCGTCGCACACGTAACCTTATAAACTTCACCACTCAGCACGAGCACGGAGTCGTGCGTCACGCTGATGTCTCCAGGCGTCAGAACGACGGAGACGCCCTCGACCGGTGCTTCATCCTCGCCAATGATGCACAACCGCACGTCGCGCGGCCGCATCCTTAACTCGACAGAGTCTAATGCAAAGGCCGCCATGTCGGCATTGGTGCCCGTGTCCAACGAGTGCGTGGTCTCCCCGAGCTGGACGTAGCCCTCGAGCTCGCAGCGTACCTCTACAGAATCTGATGAAGAGGCGACGATGCCCTGGGCCTGTCTGGAGCCGTCCACCACTAATTGGGCGTCGGGCAATGCATTGTTCGTTCTTACATTAACGACGTGGAAGCGCGCGGTCTTCTCCGGGGCGTCTTCTTCCACGGACGTCACTTCCGGGGCTACGGGTGCGTCCTTCTCGACGACCAGAACGACGGCGCCGTGGCGGCCCACCTCAGGCGTCGCTTGCGGGACCAGATCCGTATTAAGACGCCAGGCAAAGAACGCCCGCATCTCGTCCCAGCATTTCAACCGCCTACAAGCCGTCTCGCGCGGCGACTGCCTTGGATAATTCTCCGGTAGACGGCTTCGATCCGCGAGGTACATCCGTTGCGAGTACGTCCTCTCGTTGGATGCGAAGGCCGCCCCGAACTTGACGGACGTGAACGCCTGGGTTCGGGAAGAGTGCTGGGCGATGAGCCGCGCGTCCACATTTTCTTCGGCCGTGTGCCACCCTTCTAGTGACGCCCGGAAGGCAAATTTCTCGAGAGACGGCGCCACGAAGACGTTCCTCCTAAACCGTCCCAACCGTTGCATACATTGATCATTCAAATAGACGTCGACGTCGCATTCGTTCACTGGTTTACCATCAGCATCGACGACGGCGGCGTGGAGCCGATATGACCCTAGCGCGACCCGGACACGCGTGTCCCGTCCCGACATCCGCGTGGCTACGGGCGTGAGCTGCACGTAGCCCTCCTTTGTAGCCACGACAGACACTTCCTCAACACCAGTCTCGACGCCGCAGCGCCCGTCCAAGACGGGCGCACCGTCCACCGCCAGCGCAACGCCCTCCAAGGGCTTCCCCCAACTATCAACAACGTCGAAGCTCAGCTCGGCGCCGCACCGCTCCATCTCCACTTCCAGCAGATGCTTTCCGTTGACAAACTGGTCGGCCGTGAACGCGAACTGGACATCTCTCTGTGACACTTGGCGGTAGCCGCTTCGAGACACTTCCAGCGTGTAGTAGCGGCGCGGGACCTTGACTCGTCGATCGCCCTCGATTAAATGATTGGGCACCTTGACGCGTGCGCCGCCGTCTAGTAAAACATCAGCCCCGTCGCGCGTTCCCATTTGTGTAGAAACGACGACGGCCCCCGGCAGATCTAACATTGTACCGTCTTGATCTCTTAACGAACATCTCACGTCTTCGAGGACGGCGCCGTCGCACTTTGCCACCACATCTACCGTAGTGCGCCTCCTACGAAGCGCGACGTGCTGGGAAGCACCCGCGCGCACGCGGCACTCTCCTACCAAAGCGTCCGCGTTTGAATCGACCTCCAGACTACCGGTGGAGACGCCTATTAACCGAATGGCGCCGCGCCAGCCGCCGACGCGGTGCGCGCCTAAAGCAACGTCCGACCCCTCGCCGTCCGAGACGTTTAGATTAATGTCGCCGTCAATGGGCTCCATCGTCACCATTGTCTCAAAAACTTCGCCCCGCGGCGCTCTCAATAACTCGTCCAGCGTCACGACGCAAGCTTTGTTTTGTGCCGCGCCACCGACGGCGCACCAGACGCTGTAGCCATGCGCACAGGGCGGCAATTGAGACACGAGCCAGCCATTGGCTTGCTTCTCCACTTTTAGACTTGTACTAATCGTGGCGTCGCGCGGCGCTATGGTTAACGACGCGTCGTCAAATACGAAAGAAGAATCAGCAGCGTGTGTACAGGTAACGCGAAACTGGAGCGAGCGCAGCTTGAGGATGAGCGTGGCCCCTTCGTCGGCCTTCGGCGTATATGAAGGGACGAGGGCACCTTCACTAGATGCTTTAACTTCATCTTCTGTCGTATCGGCGCCGCGCTCGACGCGTAACGTAGCCTTCACTAATGACATTGACGGGTGAATACACGTCGCTCTCACGGGAAAGCACCTTCTCCAAGTAACGTCGTCGACACTAGAACCGACCTCAACACCGCTCAGCTTCACGTGGCCATCGATCGCGTCTCCGGTCGTTTCGTCCACGACCTCGATGGCGACGGAAGCACCTCTGTCGGCCATCTCGACATTGAGTGTATACAGTTCATCATCCAAGAACTGCTCCTTCCTAAACGTTACAAGGTCGTCGCCTATTTTTATGAGTGAAGCGTGCTCGACCCGTACTCTGTAAGCTACATTTAACTCGATCAAGACAGGCCCATTCGCGTCTAGAACTTTGTCCTCCGTTACCAACGAACATCTTGCCAGCGGCACCGGTTCATTACCGTGCGTCGGTGTGACAAGGACTCGCGTCGGTCTCATCCGCACCGTATACGTGAGAACCGGTCCGGGCCTGAGCTGCTCGTAGGTACTTTGAACTTGAGCGTACGTTTTATGCGTAACGACCACATCCGCGTCGAGTGGCTCCCGGCTGTGCTCGAAGAGCCGCAATCGCGCCGTACGTCTCTCCCCGAGACGTATACCGTGTATCGACGCGTCGCCATCCGTAATGTCGTTGCCTGTTGATGCATCAATGACCCTCAAAACAACGTCGCAGTAGACCGGGACCAAGGGCACGTCAACAATCAAAGGCCCATTGCCAGTAAAGGCATTTGAGTCGAAGCGCCTTTCCATCACATCAGAGAGGTAGTCCGCGTGGGTCGCTCTTATGGTGTATGATGCGCCGACCACCACACCTCCTCTACTAGACCGGCCCGCTTGAGCCGCGAGGCGCGCGCCGTCGGCACCGCCGCGCGTCGTGAAGACCTCTAGCACCCGTGCTGACGACGCCGCCTTACCAGCAGCAAATAATTCTGAACGTACGTCGGCTTCATGCTCCAGTAACGCTTGCAGCGCCGGCGACCGGTCCCTTCTATTCACTTTTTTTTGCGTCGCGACCCACGCCCCAAAGACACTTTCGTCCATGCCGCCGAATTTTAATGAGTGGCGCTCGTTCTCGACGACCACATCAATCGCGTCCTCTATCACAATACCTTCCGTGGAGACGCACCGTATACAAATTTGAGCAGGGCGCATCTTTATGTTTATGTCGGTGCGGTGCGGCATCGCACGAGCATAAATAGTCGTTGTATGCGAGACGTAGCCGTCTTTGGATGCTTCGACCTTCAACGGTAAGGCTAGAGAATCGCCGTGCTTGACCCACCTTGACTTAAGGTCTTCGACTTTTAGGGTTGAGGGACCACTCTTGACAGACAAGCCCTGGACCGTAACGGTGGCGTCCGCCGGTTCCACGCGCACTCTCAAATTAATATGGGTCGGCTCCAATCCGATAAAGACGTCCAACGGCTTCTTGGCATCACCATCAGAAAAGTGGCGCGCGAGCGGCGTCACCGGCCCTAATGACGTGACCTGGCGCCAGCCCTCTTTATTAGATCGTAGGGCATAGCTCGCGTTCAACACAACGTCGCCATGCGAGGCTGGACCGCGCTCCGGGTCCCGCGCCTCGATTTCCACAGCAGCATCTAGCAACGAACCGTCTCTGACATCGTAGCACCGCCCCCTCAAATTGCACCGTCTCATACAAACTGTCAACGGCTGCACCGTATTCGAGTAGGAGAGGTCCACGGTCTTCGGTCTCAACAATACATACCTGTCGAGGTCCGCCCTGATCATTGCCGGCCTTGTTTCGGATTGCGCCTCCGCGAGGCATCTTCTAGAAGCGGCCCAGACGTCGTCCAATGTTCTTTCGGTAGTGGGCCGCAGGGACCGCGTCTCATACGACGACGCGTCGTCTCCCTCAAGGCGTCGCAATTGTATTTCGACCTCGGTTCTAGAACCCGCGCGCAGCGACAGTTTTCGAGACCACGCCGCGCAGCCCGAAGCGTCACACTCCAGGACCGCGTCGACGCGTTTTGACGGGACGGCGACTCTCAAAACGCCGCGCGCGTCCGTAAATGTTGATACATCATCTCCAATCGCTACCGTGAATGAAGCGTCAGCCACGGGGAAGCCCGTTGATTCTTCACGGATGTCCACCATCAAGTCGGCCGTCGTCGCGACCAAGTTTAGATCAAATTGCACTTCCGACTTTTCGGCCCAGGCGTCGTGCGGCAATGCGATAGTCACGTAGGCGTTGTTCCAAGAACGACTCCCGCCCGGCCACCTCGCTACCGCCCCACTGATGCGGTAATCATCATCTTCCAGGGCCACGGTCACGGCGTAGGACTGGTCTGGTTCCATACAGTCTCGAGCGTCGTTGTCGAACAAGACGCGCGCTCCTGTTAATTCCGCGCCGTCCACCAAGGCTCTACATCGAACGCGGGCCCGCCTCATCATAAGGCGCAAATGGGCTTCACCAGCATAAGAACGCGGTCCAACCAAAGCGTAGCCCGGGCATGTCGCTCTGACGGGCACCGCGCCTCTGCCAACTCTACCTTTACGGGAAGTGCCTATCATCGTAGAGCCGAGACTGACCGAAGCGTTCGGAAGCTCGCCTCCATCAATATCCACGACTGTCACGGACACGTCCACGAGGTCGCTTTCCTCTTGAACAATGCCTTCTGACGACGCGGCGACGCCGACCTTGACCTCTAGAGCTTCGTCATTTCTCAGGGAGTCCCAGTCGCCATCTTTAAAAGTGATGGAGCGCGCCTCGACGTTGTGCGTGTTACTGTACAGAGTATAGGTCTGGCCCACTTGCACAATGCCCGGCAATGCTACAACACCATCCACACCTATCAACTCGACGGAGGCGCCCTCCAAGGAATGCGTGACCATGGACGGTCGCATCGTGAGTCGACAGGTCGTGGTCTCGCCCCGTTTTATTGTTAGTGAGCGCGGTTTCATCAGCACGAAGCCTGGCAAACGGCAGGCCACGTCAATGTTCCTCGAAGACGGGAGAGGCACTTCCGTTAAACCCCGGTCGCGGCCTACTTCCATTTCACCTAGAACGACCTCCGCGTCATTTAATGAAGTCCCCGTCGCGTCGACGACGCTCACATCCACCTGAACAGCAGCCGCATTCAATTCCACCAAATGCGTGAAGGGCCCGTCAATAAATAAAGCAGCCCCAAACCGTACTTTCTCCCTATACACTTCCCGTCCCTCGGCGACGACCTCTATTGTATATTCGCGGCCCGGCTCGACGCGCCAGTCGTCTATTTGTCGATCGTCGACGCGGATGCGCGCGTCCGCCACGTCCTGCACGTCCACCATCACTCTACAAGCCCGCATCGTCACGACCAGCGACGTTTTACGGGAAGGGTCGAGAGCGACTTTTGTTGGAGTGAGCTGGATATATGAAGATAGCGTCGCCTCGACGTCGAGGGAGGTGCACCGCTCAAAGCCGTCGACGGCGCCTCTACTAACAATGGTGCCGTTCAAACTCAAAACCGCATCCAGTAAAGGCGCGTTCGTGTCGGCGTCGCGCACATCCACGACTAATCGTGACGGCACGTCGACCCTAATGTCCAGCAGAGACTCCTGGGGCGTAAACGTGACGCCGTCGCGGTGGCTGACCTGTTTTAGATCTGTCGAAGACGTCACTCGAATATCATAAGGTACGTCACACGTGATATGTAACGCATCGCCGACTTGTCCCGAGATCGTCGTGCCATCTTGTGATGTTAACGTCACGTCGGCGGGCGTATCCACAATAGTTCCGCTCCGCGCGTCGACAAGTCTGGAAGTGACCAAGGTCGGGCGCATCTTGACACACAACGCGACCTCATCTGCATCAGTCGGGACGCGCCACCCTACTGAAGGTGCATCTAAGACGTATCCTGACAAGAAACAGCCTTTCAGCTCCGTCAAGGGCGGCACCTCGACGACGTCACCGCTTGTCAAGCGCCGGCCCCCAAAGTCGACCTCGGCGGCCTCGAGGATCTTTCCATCAAGATCAGTCACGGTGATTGTAACGTGCGCGTTCGCTCGTGCGAGGTCGAGGTCGCAGGTGACGGGCGCGCCCGGTGCATTGGCCCACGACCGTCGCACGTCGTCCGCCGAGTACCGTAGCGTCACGTGTCTTGTGACAGCTGTAGAGGCCGTTACTACCAACGCTTCATCCAATGTTAATGAAGTCTCACCGACGCCTTCTCTGTTAACAAGAGACGTCTCTTCGCCGTCGCCGCCCATGATCGTTATGCGAGCGCCGCGCGCCGGTTCCAGGCCGTCGGTGACCCTGATCCGAAGTTTTAATGGAAACAGCTTCAACAGAACTAGCGTAGGTTCATCTTCATCGTAGGTCGCTCGTAGATCGCAAGCGTGCTCCTTGTCCAACAAATGGCCCTCTAATGAAGCGTCGAAATGCACTTTTCTCAAATCCCCGCCGCCCGGGACTCGTATGTCTTGCACGCCCTGCTGTATTGTAGTCCATTCCTCACTAGTTTTCATACGAATAGCAGCATCAGATAAAGGCGCCCCCGTCGCGTCGACGACGCGCAGATCCACCAAGCAGCGACCGGGACACGCCCGCACCGCCAATTTGAGGGGCGGCAGCGCCACGTCGAAGCCCTGTCTTTTAACACCGGCCACTTGGATCCACGCATGCAACGCGCGCCACGTCGGCCGCTCGCAGACGCGCTTCAAGAAGGGGTACCGCGGGTCGTCAGATTTCATGACAGACCTTTTCAACGACTCGCGGGCCCGCCTCTCAAGCACCTCAAAGTCGCTACGGGAGAAGACGATGGGTGCGTCCGCCGCGTGCCACCGATCGCGGAAGTCGTACTCGCCGCCGGCTCCCTTCAGCGATGAAATGATGGGATAGATGCTATATGACGTATCCAGCTGGATCGGTAACGGCGCCTGCTCCTTCACGTCGCTAGGCTGGTAGGCGACGACGTCCCTCGAGGATCGTAATTCCACGCCAGCACCTTCCATGCGTTTTCCGTGGCTGTCGACGACGTCCACGGAAACGTAAAACTTGCGCATCAGCAGCTCGCAGGTCCAGGGGGCATCCGTTGCGCTTCCAGCTCGTATCAAACAGGTCAAGGGCTGGATCTGCGTGTATCCTTCTAAACTACAAACACATGCGAGCTCGACGTCGTCCCCGCCTCCCGGAACGTCGTCTAAGATTGCTCTTCTGATTCCCTTGCGGTCGGCCGGCGTGCCTCCACTCGACCACACGATTTGATCAGCGTGGCGCATTTCTATGGAGGCACGATGCAGGGCTTCGTTGGTCGTGGCGTCGGTCACTGAGACGAGTACTGTCGCCATCCTCGGCGCGCAGACCACCTTTATGGAACGTTCAAAGCCGTCATTTGTTGAAATGAAGTCCTGTTCCATCAAGGTCAGAGGTTCTAGGAACGTCGTCTGGCGGCAGCCATTTGCTTCGCACGCGACTGTACACTCACCTAAGTGAGCAGCCACTCTTGAACCGGATTTAACACGAGGACCGCCGTTCAACCTATAGGAAGCGTCCCCTAATTCCTGGTCCATCGTGTCCACGACCGTGACACACAAATAGAGAGCCTTGAAGACGCAATCGACATGAGTCACTTCGCCACTGCCCGGGAAGCACTTTATTTGGTGAGGGAGGAACGTCAATGATTGATCTGGCAACGACGCCGTCACGTCCAGGGAACAGCCTTGCGACGCATCGACATCCTCGGGGAGAGGGATGTCCACGACAGCACCGTACGGCACCCGTCTACCAGCAACTTCCACCACACACGTCCTCGCGTCGGGATCATTTCCGTTTTCTATCCTGACAGAATTGAGTCGTACTGGTACGGAAGACGCTTCGAACTTGATGTCCAACGGTAAGGGTTCCTTGGGATCAATACCCTCGAACCTAGCTATGAGCGAGTCCGCCTCGACTTCTACCTGTGACGCGCAGGGGCGCCAGCCGTCGACACTACACTCTAACACGTATTTCTGACCCAACCGCAACACTTGTTCAAGTCTCGCTTCGAGCGGCACTAAGGGTAAGTCAGGGGAGACCGGTCTCAACCTCCATTTCACACCCTCTATAACTTTGTCGTCGTAGCACGATGACGCTCGGAGACAAACGGACAAGGGCCGCATGCGCAGCTCCACGAGATTGACATTATGAGCGTCGCCGACGAAGACGTCGCAGCGCTTCGGCGGTAATTGGAGGTAGTCGTCCAACGAACAGAGAGCCGGCATCTCGCGCATGGCCTGGCGCCCGCAGGGGAGGTCCACGTCTTGTTGCCAGCCTTCGGCTTGCGAGAAGTGCGTCGCCCCGACCTTGCATCTCGCGTGCGTCAGCAGCGTCTCCTGTTGGCGTGAGGCGTCGAGCACCTTAACTTCCACTGTAGCGACCCTTCGCTCCAACATAACTCTTAATTCGGCCGGTTTATCATCTGATAGTTGGGCCCAGTCGGCTCGGCCAAAGACCACATCTTCGTCAACCGCCGGCGTCGTCTGTCGTAACCGACCGCCCCTCGCGACGACCCGATAAGCTCGTCCTACAGCAACTCTTTGTTGTTGACTACTCCCGGCGGTCCACCTCACACCAACTTGACCATCTAAAGGCACTAAGTCGACGGCCACGTCCGTCAGCTTTTGGTTTGTAGCGGCGTCGTAGCATTGGACCCTAAGCGTACTCTTGCGCATCTCCACTTTAAAGGACGTGACACCAGTCGAACTAAATGGAATGACGTCCTCCGAGGTCTGCACATATCCATCCAACGTCGCGACCACCGCACAAGGGACACCAGAACCATCAGCCCTCGCACCCGCGGCATGGCGCCACGCGCACGCCGGCGGCAGGAAGGCGTCCGGCGCGATGGCGCACCAGTCCAACTCCACACGCCCTCTTCGTGTCCCAAGGTTCGTGCCTCCTATCGCAACGTCGGCCTTTAAAGCTTTCCCACTTTGATCTACGACTTTGAAATCGGCCGCGGCGACTCTCGGAGCCACCTGGACCACAACGAGAGCCACCTTCGCGTGCTTGTCTCCATCACTTACATCTTCCCGGGGCGGCGGTTTCACTTCCTCTTCCTTTGCAGACCAAGAGAACCAGCCGGACTTCTTCTCCGGTCGCCGCTTTTTCTTCCCTAGCAGTTTCCTAGCTAGCGAGTCATTCCCGTGTTCTCGAGCTGCTGCCTTGTACTTCACGAGCTCATCGACGTCGAACTCCACGGGCTCGTAGTGGCTGACCTGGCGAAACTCCCCTTGAGGGTCCTGCACCAATACTCGGTACGAGGCCGGGGCGCAATCAATAGCCAATGGCGACATACTGCGCCAGTCGCACCAGTTCTTTCCCGCACCATCGAAGGCCGGATCTAGATCGGGATCCGCCAGGACCTTGTCATAGGTAGAAACCGGCCGCAAATCACACTGCTCGAAGTTATGTATCGTGGTATCGTCGAATTGCACCGCATACGGGTCTTCGCCCTCCAGCGTGCCCTCGACCCAGTCTCCTTGCAATCTAGCCTCGACGCGGTCTCCAACTCGAATCCAGGCCGGCAACGCGTCGAAGCGCGGCCTAGGCCGTTCCCGCACCAAGCACACGCGGCACTCGATCGGCGCGCCGTCGCGCGCATCCTCCACTCTTATGAGGCATCTTGTAGCGACCAACCTAATCTTCAATGGAGTAGTATGCCCCGCAAACACTGTCACACGAGAAGGACCTACTAACGCGTAACCAGGGGCCGACACGTCGACGCGCGCCTCGTGGGGCTTCCCGCCGCCCGGCAGGTTGATCGGTATTAACCCTCGTTGCGTCCCCAATGCGACCCCGTCGAGCCAGACCTCGCACGTTCTTATTTTGGCTCCTCGTTTATCCTCGACACTTATATCTAACACTCCAGCTACGGCCTCCATGGCCACCTCGAGCTTCAAGGGAGCCTGCACGGGCAGGCCCGCGAAATCGGATTCTGCAAAAGTCATCTCCTCCAAATGTGTTACTTGGCGGTGGCCGTCGCACGAAGCTCTTACTACATAGCTGTGGGGCCGCTTGACGACGACGCGCTCTTCAATAAGATAGGACGATGGTTCCGTCCCGTCTTCCCGTTTCAATTCCTCGGCGGCACACCGCAGTTCTTCACTCCCATCATCTAGGGCCACGTCATATAGATCTGAGCCCACGCTTTTTATGGTACCGGTGCGCTCTGTATCAGAAACGTCGACCACACAAGCGTCATCAGCGTCGTCCAGCCGCCACGGTTGTGGTGTCGTATCATTAGCAGGTTCTAACAAACAGTGTGCATCGAGCGGTTCTCGGGACATCGCGTCGACACACCTCACTAAGACCTCGCAGCGCCGCATTAGTATCGTAATTTGGCGCGGATCGTCGTCGTGCTGGGGCGTGGCATGCAGTTCCACGTCCCTAGGTGCCACAAGCACCCAGCCCTGCTGTTGGGCACTTACCGGCCACGTTACTTGGCGAGTCGAGGGAGGCAACCGTAGCGATTCCAAGCCGCGCGTGCAGCCCAAGGAGTGCGGGCCAATGCGAACGTGGGCCCTCGATAGCACCGCACCCGTCGCCGCGTCCTCGACTCGCAAATCGACATCTGCTTCACAGGGCTCAAAATGCACCACTACTTGATATGGTGTTTCCACATCTGTCAACGTCCGGAAGTCGTCTCGCGTAACTCTGAAACGTTTTGAGCCTAACCGTCGGTATCTAGGTACGACGCATCTCACCTCGTAGTCTCTCTCAACAACGACCCTACACCTGTCAGAAGCATCTAAAGTAGTCCCACCTTCCAGGTAACAGGCGTCCGGGATCAACGCGTCGCCCGTTTCTTGGTCCACGCAATGGATCACGACGTCCGCGTCCCTTACAAACACTTGGATGTCATTCGTCTCACCTGCTCGCAGGTCGAAACGCGTCGGCTCGAGCTGCACGCGGTCGCAACTCTTCACTAGAATTTCCGCAGTGACGATGGCTCCGCCTCCACTCATGGGAATGTCCTCTATTATTCCTCTCTGTAGTCCTAAATCAACTTCACTGTTTGATGTTTTCAGTACTAGAGCTATATCAGGTACTGGTAAGCCTGTTCTAGCGTCTATCACCTCGACGTTCAGGTCACCAACGAGGGGCTCCACGCGCACATCCACCACCTTGGCTAACCGAGCGTCGATCTCCAGGCGCAACTGCTCTTCCGCTCGGTCGGCGTCGACGCCGCTTCTCCGAGCTTTCCGCCGAGCCGCATCCCTCGCTCGTTCTAAGAGAGGAGCCAGGTGCTTGTGGTCCTCCAAGACCCCAAAGTCCGCTTTTGCGAATGAAACGGCATGAATCGGTTCGACTAGTTTGAAGCGCCGAGCGTCGACACAAACTCTATAAGCTTTCTGCAGATCCACGGCTTGCGCCGGCCCAAAGACCTCGCCGCCCGCGCCGCTAAATGACAACGTTTTGCCTTCTTCCACCGGTTTTAACTCTAACCGTAGATCCTCCAAGGCTCGCAGCGTCGCACCCGTTCTTGCATCGATTGCTCTTAAAACAATATCGCTTCGTCTCAAAATGATGGACGTCTTCCGCAGCCGCCCGGCCTTGACCCTGACTCTTTGTTGACTCACCTGGACGTAGCCCGCTTCGTCACAGGTCACATCGACGTCGAGTTCGTCAGAACCGTCCAACGGGAGCTCCTGCACGCCTCTCCTATGTCCCAGGTACAATGAGGGTAACCGCTCATACGTTACGGTGACGCGCGCGTGGCGCACCGGTCTCCCTACAACGTCGAGCACGGCCAGGTCCACCGCGCCGACGTCCGGCGCCATGTCGACGGCTAGGGAGACCGGTCCCGGCTGTTTCAAGAACGTCTCCGGGGTGGCGATGAACGTCTTGAGTAATCCCACTTGTCTATGTCCTCTGGCGGAAGCCTGGACGCGATACTCGGCACCCACATCCACCGCAACTCGAGACCCGGGCTGCACGACGCGTATTTCATCGTCGTCGCCGTTGGCGTCGACTCTTATGAGTTGCAATGTCGCTTTCTTCAAGATATTCCCCTTGGCGACGGCGGTCAATCTCACGTCGCAGGGTCTCACATAAGCTATTACTTCTGTCGCTCTGTCGCATGAGAGAGACGTCTCAAAGGGCGGCACTTGTATAAACTGAGGCGCGGCCACTCGTAATGACAGAGACGCCTGTACTTTACCGCGTGGTAAGGGCACATCTATCATTGAGAAGCTACCATCATCACTTAACTCAAGCCGTTCGCCGCCGACATCCGCTAAACAACTCACAGGTACGCCGTCCTCGGTGGCGCAGGCCAAGCGTAGTCGCGCCACGGACGGTTCGAGCCGCAACGTTAACTGGAGCGGGCCCTTCTCTGTCCAATCTCGTGCTGAGAACGTTTTGACCGAGGGACCACTCAATCGTAAGCCAGGAGCTTTACATGTTAGTTTATACCGTCCATTATGAGGATACAAGCAGGCGACATTTTCGCCGATCTCCAGCTCCCTTACCACAATGTTATCTTTCGTGGGTGACAGGTCTTCCCTTCTCACCTTCAGCAGCGTTAGATCAGAACCATCGACACCGACGACGTCATAATACGTCTGACTTTCATCCCGGTGGCGCTGCGCGACGACCCCATCGAAGGTCGCACGGTCGTGCTTTATCGATAAGATAAGACCGTCTCCCGCCTCGACACAAGGCAAGGGACTTCTGGAATCGTCCGGCTCTAAACTAAAGTCGACGTCGCCCGTCACTGGTTTCCCAGAAGACGCGTGCACGACGTCCACTCTGACAAGAGTCCTCCGTAGCGCGATGTTCGCTTGGGCTGCTTGCGAAGCCTGGATCTTTACCGACGTCGCGTCACTTATAAAGCTGTCCTTCTCCACCTGGACCGTGACGGAGGTTTCTGTGGAGGACGGCGCCCTCAACTTGAGTTGTAGAGCGCCTCTCTCGTCCGTCTCGCCACTTACGTTGCCGTCGACGCGGACGCGCGCGCCGGCTAATCTAATAGGCTTCGGATACGTCGCGTCGACGGCCCTCACATTAATCGTACACGTGCCCCAGTCCTCCAGAGTCTTCTTCTTCTTTGGCTTCTTTTGAGCTGTCTCTGTCTCGGGAGCACTCCGAGACGGCTGATCTAATGCCAACCAGCCCCAGACCGCCCTTCTAGGCGGCGCCAGAGGTATTGAACTTTTGACGGGTTCCAGATCAACTCTCACTTCTAGTGGGGAGGTGCTCCCTGCGAATAATTTTGGCGGGAATGTACATTTTTGTATTCTTGTAACCTGGCGGAATCCTTCCGCTCGGCAGACAATACGGTACTCAACATCAGTGTCCACCGTATCCCCTTCTAAAACCTCGTTCTCCTCGTTAATCAATTGTATATCTACATCGTCGATCCGTCGCCCGCTCCGCAGGTCGCGGCAGACCACTTTCACGTCCGTGCGCCGCGCCGTCATTAATAGGTCGATACGCTTGCCTCGTTCTAATGTTACGGATTGAGGCCCATGCAAAACGTAGCCCCTCAGGTGCAATCTCAAGGCGTACGTTTTAGTTACCGATGTAACAGCAGCGACGTCATGCGAACCAGGCGCATCAAAAACATGGCACACGTTTTCTTTCTCATCTAACAATTGCACGGAAGCGGTAGGCAGCGCCTTCCCATCTCTGCAATCGGAAACCGAGAGCCAGACCGCCGCGACGCGCCGCTCCATCTGAATCACGACTTCTCTTTGGGGGCGGCCGTCTTGGTCCACGACGAGGTGGTCGTGGTAGATGTTGATGGGGCCCTCCAGGTAGTTGAGCTGCTGATACCCGGGAGCCGTCGCCTTCACGAGGTAGCGGCGCGCCGGCAGCTGCTCCAGTGCCTTATTTTTGATTTTAATCGGTTCGGAGTCCGCGCAGGGCACGAAGACGACCTCTGTCTGCTCATTCATGGTCTTCCGCGTCGTGGCGTCGACGACGCGCACGCGCACGGCCGGCTGCGGCTCCGCGGTTGCTGCCTCTTTGTCTGTGTTCATGGTGTTGGTGATTTCGTCCATGTTCGATGCGTTGGTGCAGCACTCCGGAGGCTGCCTTATGCCATGGCAGGCTGCCTTTCGGCTGGGGCAGTGCTGCCTTTTTGGGCAAACTCGCAAACTGAAATAAAAATAGTACGGGGTCCAGGGGGGCCGGTGGTCCGCATTCGAGTCCTGGACTCGTAGACAGAGTATTGCTTAGCACCCCAGAGGAATGCTCGGACGCGCCGGCCATCAAGCAGCCAGCTCGATCAGCCTGCAGTGGCATTGCTGCTCCACGCGACGCACGCGAACGCCAATTGGGTTGCAACGAGCTTCAAAGAGTTCTCGCGCATTCCTCACAGCAATCGCTGGCAGAGCGTGCAATCACACGTATTGCAGCCAACCCAAAACAGCTCTCCCAACAGCCTGTGTCACAGCCATGGCACTGCGACGGATCGCGATAGTTGTCGGCCTGCGCATCGCTGCGGCCTACGTGCCACCGACGACGCGCGCGCGCCGGTCACTACAATTATCAGCCAAAAAAATCGATTTCGTGGTGGAGGAAGAGAGCCGCGACTTTTTGGACGTGTCGAGCGTCTTCCTCGACTCGTTCTGGGCCGACAAGGCCGGCTCCCAGGAGCTCACGGCGGCGCAGCGGCGGGAACTGCGGAGCGGCCAGCTCGACGACTTCCGGAGGCGGTACGCGTTAAGAAGGGACACGCGGCGCAAAGCCACATTATTCGTGGCCAAGGACGGCTCGACCATCATCGGATGTGCGGGCGTGGAGCTCGACGGCGCAGTTGGTGAAAACTTGGTTCCTGTATTGTCAAATGTCGCGACGGCGCGCGAAGGCCGAAGGCGGGGCGTCGCCACAACCCTCGTAAGAGAGGCCGAGAAGCGCGTCCGGGAGTGGGGCTGCACGGAGATGGATCTCGTGGTTGAGGAATCCAATAAACCCGCGCGCAACTTGTATTCGAAGCTTGGGTATAGTGTCATCAGCAAGGACACGGCGTCGGACACGCTCGTGCCCACCGACGACGGCCGCATCGCCAAGCAGACGACTACTACTTTGACGATGCGGCGCGACCTCAACGGCGGCGGCAGTTTACTCCCTGTCGCGGGCGCGGTCGTCGTCGCGCTCGGAGCGGTCTACGTAAATCTCTTTTAGGCGAGTCCTAGCAGCGCGGACACGTCCCGGTGCTTCTTGACGACCTCGCCGCGCTGCGACCGCCTCACACTAATCAACTCCGTCTCGTGGTGGTCGCTCAAGTTCCGCGTCGTCGTCTCGGCCGAGTGCGGGTCGCCCCTCCCTTGGAACGTCGGGTCCACTTTCCGTTGATGATTCAACAATTGCTCGGTGTAAAACTTCTTGTAGTAGTCCTCGGCGGAGTCGGACGACCTGGGCCGATCTTTTAGTTGCCGCGCGTGCGCCTCGTTCAGGTCATCGACCTCGCGCTTGTGCTCCGCCTGTAACCGTTCGAGGGCCGCGGCCCACTGGCTTTGTTGGGTCGCGTGGGCCTCCTGGACCTGTGAAAACTGGTAGTCCTGCTCTGAATGAAATTTGTCGAATCTCACTGAAAGCTCGTGGAGCTCCGCCTTCAAGGTCTCGTTCTCCAGTCGCAGTTTATCTTCCACGTCGTTCGTGGGCGGCGGCTCGGCCACGGAAAGGTCCTTGAGAACTTTCTTAGGTGCCTTCCGCTTCACGCGCTGGTGCCTTCTTGTCCCCCCTCGACTCACCACGCTTATCTGGTCGTAGTCATCATCACTGTCTTCCTCGACGGTTTTGAGTGATAGCAGCCGCGCGTTCTCCTCGGACAGTCGCAAATTCTCGGCCCTTAGCCGCGCGACGTCGTCCCGTAATCGCTCGATCTCGTTCCTATCTCTTTCCTGCTGCCGCCGCTCCGCATTCGTATCAGCACCGACCAACGTCGCGAAGGGCGCGTTGACGATGCCTCGAGCGCGTCTAGCATAACCTAGGGTACACAGCGTCTCGTCGACGTGCGCCGCGGCCGGAGAAGCGCAGGCCACCATCAACGTCGCCGCGTCGCCGCCCAACGAGTCCATCAAGAGCTTCGTCAGCGTCGAATCGCGGTAGGGCACGTGCTCTGTCTGATCCTCTTTGCGAGATAGAATAGAAATCACTTTGCCTAACGCTTGCAACGAGCGGTTGATGGCCCCCGTCTCGCGCGGGTCGCTATCTTTACTTCTTTTCAACCTCTCATTCCCGGCCAGGTCCACGAACGTCACGCGACCCCTCGCGGCCCCATGACTCAACCGCAACACGAGCAAAGCATGAGAACGAGACGAATCGCGATTCAGTTTGTGCGAGGCCTTTCGTCTCGAGCGTCGACCCTCCCTTAAAATAGCTTCCACATCATCCGAAGAGTGGCAGTCGAGTTCACTTAAACCAGGAGCGAAAAACCCGCCCTGGCCCTCCCGTAACGGTAACGCGGTTGCATTGGGTTCGAGCAGATCATATATAGACTCGCAGTAGACCTCGAAGAACGACGCCCTGATTTGTAAGTCTGAATCTGCCGTTTGATAGAGGTACTTGACGGCCCGTGCAACCAAGCCATCTCTATCATTGATCAGGTCCGTGCCTGGTGAAACGGGCAATGACTCAAAGTCCTCTCGTTCATGGCCTAGGATGGTATGAGTCTTTCCACTGCCAGTCGCGCCGTACGCGAAGACCGTCGCCTTGATACCTCGTAACGCGCGATCTAATAACGCCTTCGCGCCCAGCGCTTCAAAAACAGAATCCTCCGTACTTGATGGACCAAGGCACAGGTCAAAATCGTATTTTTTTATGGTAGAAACGCCGCCGGCGCTCGGCGTCGTGACCTCGAGCGCGCCTCTATCAATACATCTTACGGAAGGCACTTGATCGGCCTCGTGGGCGACGAGCGGTCTGATACGTACCGCGACCCTTACACGCTCCGTCGCGAAGGACATGCGCTTGCCGCCTCGTTTTGGCACCGGGGGCGGCTTCTCTTTTGTGGACCGCGGCGGCGGCGCGGGAGCGGCCGCCATCGTGGTCGTGGCCGCGCGGGCCGTTGGTCCGCAGCGTTTGCGGCTCTAGGGGCAGCCTTTGGACAGCCCAGGCGTCTGTTACAGCGCTGCCAACAGCGCCGACGAGGCCTGCCAAACCGCCACAGGGTCTGCTCGGTAGCGTCCCTAGCGGCCGCCGCCCAGCCACCGCCGTCCGCGGGCGCCGTCTCCGGCCCGGATCCGGGCCACGCGCAGCCTTGCGGCCCCGGGCGCCGCCGCCGCGCCCCACAAAGCACCGACCACAGCGCGATGTCCTTCGGCGGCTCGCAACCGCGGCAGCCGCACGGCCGCGAGGTGAGCGCCGAGTTCCGGAAGCGCTTCGCGGGCCGCGTCAACCGCACGGGCCGCGACGGCCAGCTCGAGAACTACTCGCGCGTCCGGCCGGGCGCGCGCGGCGCGCAACTCATAAGGGAGCGCCGGGGCGTCGCGATCCCGCCGGGCCAGCTCGCGCCGGCGCAGTCGGCGCACGCGGCCTTCGCGCGGCGCGCGTCGCGGACCGGGGCCTACGCGCGAGGAAGTGGAGGCGGCGCCGCCGTCGACAAGCCGCGCCAGCTGTTACCAGAGCCGCCGGCGTCGCCGCCCCGGAACTACGACCCCCTCGAGACGGCGACGTCGACGCTGAATGTTGATGATGATTACGCCGCGGCCGTGGATGATGTTTATGAGGCCGTCGAACCCTCGAGCGCGAGGCGCCGGAGGACCGTCTCGCCCGTTAAAAGGCGGTCACGAGTCGACGAGGCGCCTCCCCCAAAACGGGGCGACGACCGCAACGAAGATTTAATAAGGAAGCCCCGGGACCAGCTCTACTACTCGCGGAAAGCTAGAGCGGTGTCGAATTTTAAGCCGTACACTTTACATGAGTACCGCAAGACCAAGCCCACGGAATACATCGAATTCGAGCCCCTGCGGCCGAACCTGAACGAGGACCCGGCGCTCCAGGAGAAGCGCGCCAAGGCGGCCAAGTTGAAAGCCTACTCGAAGGAGCTCGACCGCCTCAATAAAGTGGCCCTCGCGAAGCAGCCCAAGTACCAGTCGCCGTCGCCGCCGCCGAAGCAGCCCACTCGATTGGACAAGGCCCGGGTCTACGCGCAGACGATCCCGGCGCCGCGGCAGAAGAGCCGCGGCGCGGCGGCGGCCGTCGTCGAGGCGGCCGCCGCGCCGGCGCCGGCGCCTGTTTTCGCGGACGACATGGGGGTCTACGCCTCGGACGACGACGTCGACGACGGCGACCTCTACAAGCCGACGCGCCTGGAGCTCCTCGAGCTGCAGCACGACCAGCGGCGCGCGGCCGCGGCGGAGATCCGGGGGGCGTATGGGTTTTAGGAGTTGGTTCACAATTCACGTTTTAGGGTCTAGGTCTATTTTCGGGCAGATACCCGGGGCCGCGGTAGTCCAGAGCCAGAGCACCAGTCAACGGCCCGGGCGGCGCGTACGCCTTGGCGTACGCGTCGAGGATCGCGCCGCGGGTGATGTGCTCAAAGAGCGCGCGAACGACCTGCCGCGCGGCCTCCTCGTTCTTGCCTTCACGCGCAGCCATAGCGGCTTTGTACGCGTCCTTGGCGAGCGGCTTGAGCGTCGCGAGCATCTTCATGAGCTGGCTTATCTTCATCTCGGGCAGCCGCTCGTTGACGAAGCAGTTCCAGGCGTCGTCCAAGCACGTCCAGGCGCCGTCCGAGGTCGCGTTGCTGGTCCAATGCATTGGCCGGTCGCCGGACACAACCGTGGCTTCGCCGTCTAGCCAGTAGCCCGTACGGCCGCCCCGCGTTGTAAACACGCACCCGGGCCGCGGTCCATCGTAGGCCCGTGCCCTCCAGAAGGTCTTGGGCCGCTGCGGCGGCCAGAACGAAAGCACGTTCCAGAGGACGCCGTCGGGCAGGCGGAAGCTGGGCTCGATCATGGCGTCAGACGACTTTTTGGCGCGCCCGCGGACCAGGAGCGACCGCAGCCGTAGGACCTCCTTCCGCTTCGCCACGAATCTGCGGCGGCGCTCGTCGGCGATCAGTTTCTTGCAAGCTATGAAATCTTCGTTGGTTGCCATTGATGGATCCATCTGGTCGTATATATCGTTGATGGACTCATTAAACGCCTCCGGATCCTCGATGTGCCGGAGGCACTCCTCGGCCGGCAGCCCGCCCCAGCAGTCGTCGAGTGAGGCGCCGCGACGCAATAAGAGAGTTACGTATCTCAGGGCAGTTTTTCCATCTTCGTGCCGGAACCAGTCCAATGAAGTGCTTAACGCCGTCTCCCCCGCTATCGCAACGGCCCCAACCGCTTCCGTTGTCTTGGCATCTATGTTGGCGCCGGCATCCAGCAGCATGTTAATTATATCAGTTCCCCCACGATTTGGGATCCCGCAACTATAGTACAATGGGGTCATCCCGCTCTCATTGACACAATTCACGTCAGCACCGCGCTCTAACAGAAACTTGGTGAGATGCGGGTGATTGCTTCGGCTCAGGAGACATAAATCTTGTCGGTGCCAACTGTTGCCCCCAGAATCGTTGACGTCTCCTCCGCTGTCCAACCAGGTCCGTATCTGTTGCAAAAACTCATCGTCGCCAGCGCATCGCTCCGCGGCAGTAAAAATCTCGGCAGGCACCATGGCCGAGTGATAGCCGAGCTCAGAGCTCTCAACAAGCGGCCTGCGCGATTAAGGCAGCGCGCAACACTGAAAAAAACACACGTTCGGCTCCGCGTTGGCTCAAGATTGGCACCCGTCCAGCGAGAGACCAAAGTTTTTTTCTAGTATGTTACTTGCGCTAGGTGCTTGACCTCCCCGGGCTTTATTTTGCTGTGCGAGGCGCAGCCCTGCGCATTGGCGAGCTCTGAAGCTTTCTAGACGTTCAGAGTTTCGATCTCGACAGCTTTCGACGCATCACCTTGAGCATTCATAGGAGGAGTTATCACATTATGCTGGGTCGGCTCCGAGACGCCGTAGCAGACGTCCGCGACGCGAGCTCCAACGCTACAAGATGGCTCGGCATAGATGAGCTCGCACAGGCTGCTGCCTATGCGGGGAGCGGCACCGAGGTCTGGCGCGTCGTCGGCGCGCGGAAAGCCGTGGCGGAGGAGCCCGAGCTCGAGTGCAGCGCCGCGGCCGTGGAATGCTCGATAAGCGGGGCCGTGCGCGGCCACGCCGCGCTGCAGGCGCTCGAGCAGTTCGCCGCGGCGCGCCAGGCATCGCATGCCAGAGGCGAGTGGTCCTCCGCGGCTGCGCCACTCGCGGACGCCGCGACGGCGCGGCCCCGGCGCTGGCCGCTGACGCCCGACGAGGACCAGCGCTTGGACGAGCCGGCCGCAGACGGCGTCGATAGCGCTCTCAGTGCGTTGGCGGCGTTGGCGGCCGACGGCGCGAGACACGACGACGAGACAGCGCGCGCCTACGAGTCCCTGCGGCGTGCACTGGGCGCGGACGCGGCCGAAGCGAACGCCAGTCTACGAGAGGCGCACGCATTACTAACCAATGCACGTGGTGCTGCGCGAACCGCCGAGTCTCAGCTGGCGAGTCGCCGTGCGGCCCTCGTGCGCGCCGACGAGGCCGCGCGCAAAGCATCGGAGGACGCGGAGGACGCGCGAGGCGCCACGGAGGCGGCCGAGGCGAACGCGCGCGCGGAGGTAACCCAGGAGGTTGCGCGAGCGGCTGCGCTGGCGCGGGATCGCGCTCGGACGCACGAACGCCGATGTGGAGAGAAAGCGCGAGAAAGCGCGAGGCTGTCGGGCCATGCGCGGGGCGAAGTAGCCGCGGCGGCGGATGGCGCGATCCAGGCCTTGGACCAAAGTGAGCGGGCCGAGGCCGTGGCGTCCGTAGCTCTGCGCGAGCTGCGAAGTTCCCTCGCGGCGCCGCGCGTCCTTGGGGCATTGCGAGCGATCTCCGCAGCAGAGCGTGCCGCCTCGGACGCGCGACGGCTCAAGCTGGACGCGTTGGATGCCGCGCTGGACGCCGCGGAGGCACGCGCCGCGCCGCCGCGCCGCCCGCCGCCCACGCGCGTGGCCAAGGCATTAGGACTGCTACGCGACGCGACGCGGCGGCGCGAGGCCGGCGATATCCACACCGGCGCCGGGCCCGCCCTCGAGTCAGACGTCGACGCGGCGCTGCGGTCGCTCTTTTCTGACGCTGACGCCGGCGCGGCGTCGCCGCCGCCCGTCGAAGTCGCCGCGACGGCCGAGGCTAAGCGCCGCTCGTCGACAGCTGCCGTCGACGACGAGGCTCCGGTCGAGCCGCGCGTCAGCCTCGTCGAGCAGGCCTCCCAATCGCTGGACGATGCCGTTGAAACGGTCGGCGGTGCGCTCGAGGGCTTGCTGGGCGACGCGCCGCCCGCGCCGCCTTTGTCTGAGCCGGACGCCGTCGCCGATCGCGTCGTCGCCTACGTGAGCCAGGGCGACCGCTTCGCATTTTCCACGGAGCGAGCGGCACCAGCGGCGGGAGCAAGAGCGGCCGCGGTCATCCGGGCGCTCAACAGACAACGGAGTCGGCAGACGGCCCTACCGGACGCGCTGCGGCTCCGAGCTTTAGCAAGGGTATGCCTCGCGTGCCTGGACGCCTGCGCGCGGGCGAACGACGTGCGGGCCCCCGCGGTGCTTGCGATGTTGGCACAGACGTTTTACGTGGACCACGGCGAGGGCGCGCGCGATGAGCGGCTATACCTCGGCGACCTGCTGGCCCAGCACGAGACCTGGGCCTCGCAACAGTTCTGGGAGCGGTCGACGGCCTCGGCGGTTCTGGACGCCGTCGACGCGTCGCGGTTGGAGGGGGACCGCCACGGCGACCTCCTGTTCTCGCCTGACGCGCGCGACGCGGCGCGGCGCGTGCATCTGTGCGTGCACGCGCAGCTCGCGGCGTTCTGCGTGTCGATGAAGGCCTTCGGCGCGCCACTTGCCGAGATCCGGCGGCACGCCGTCCGGACCTGCTCCATTTATCAACTTCCTGCCGAAGATTTAAGGGTCCTGCTCCGCGAGTACGACGAGCCCGCCGGAGAAGAGGTCATAGTCTAATAATAACTTGTTACACACATCTACCACGCCAGCGCGCTCGTCACGTAGGCGCGCACACTTGATGCGTCGCGCGGTTTCCCAGCTTTAAACTTGCAGGCCTTCTTGCCGTCCGCCATGCCGTCCTCGGCGCAGCCGATCGCGTAGCGCCGCCAGTCGCCCTTGGGCTCGCACTTGCCGTTGCGCGCGACCTGGCAGACTTTTTTACCGGACGACGCCTCCCAGGCAGCCAACGACTCCACCGGTTGTACTGACAGTGACACGCGCGCCGAAGCGCACCGCTCCGTCGAACCGTAATGTCTCGCTAGGTCCACGTGCACGCTCTGGATGTACGCGCCGCCGCCTTGAACAATAGAACACGCCCTGCATTGTTCACCGTCAATCTTTATACTAAGTTCGGCGTGCCAGTTCGCGACGCCAATCGGCTTGGACCACTCGTAGCCCGGCTCCGAGAGGAACAGGTTGCACGCGCCGCGCGGCATCTTAAAAGAAAGAGGCCCATCTCCAGAAGTTCCGGTAAAGGCCCGTTTCTGGTCGTAGTAGGAGCATGACCGCGTGTAGTGCCAGCAGCCCTGGCCAGCTGGGTGCTTCGCGCATTCCTTGGACGGTGCGGCGCAGAACCTTTCCCGGTTCTTCCCGGACTCCGTGGCGCTGTTGCGCCACTGCGTCTGAGTACTATTATCCAACCAATCCCCGATGTCTGGCGACTCGTGCTTCGGTAAGGTACTTTGAGCGCAGAACGCCGTCCTCTGAGAAGACTTACAGAAGGGCGACTTGTCACAAGCAATAGGTTCCGGCAACGAGCCAGCAGACGACGGCACGCTCCCCAGACCTAAAGCTGCCAATCCAGACTGGGCCGCTCGCAGCACAGCAAAAGCTGCTTGATGGCCCATCATCTCGTGCCCTAATGTTCCTGGGTGCCAGTTGATGAATAACTTCGCGGGATCGGCCAACGGTTTCAACGGCGAGTCCTCGGGCACACCTAGCTCGAGCGGTCTTGTATGGTGCCCGTCCGGCTTTTCTCCGACGGGGCAGTCGCCCACGCCATTGCCGTGGCAGCTCTTGGAACCGCTCCGGTGCCTCCTACTCTTGGGAGCAGCTGCTCTCAAGTGATCAAAAGGCTTGCCGAAGGCGCTGAGGACGCCGACCCCAAAACGCTCTCCATATATCTTGAGTTTGCCCTTCATCGCTGCCCTGACTTGCTGCGTCTTCCGCCCTTCGCCGTTCGGCTCCATGTTTAGGAATAAGACCGCTGGTTTGTTCGGTAGCAGAAAGGCCGTCCGCAGAAAGATTTCTATGGCCCCGTCCTCGCCACCATGTGCTCCTGGGGCTTCTAGCCCATCCGAAAAGCCCCAGTACTCCCACTCCCTGATGACGAGGTCCACATCACTCCCAGCAATGGGTCCGACACACAACGACCGGGGAAAGGGCTCGGCACCCCCAACAGCCTGGTTCCGCACTTCTACTTCTATCCCCAATGGGGCTAATTCTTTGGCCAACCTCCTACCTAACACGGCGGGCCAGGCCGTGTGCCCGAAGCCGTCGTGGCCCGCCGTCACCGACGAGCCGAACGCCGCCACCACGAATTTGCCTCCTCCCGAGGTTGCGAGCCTCGCGAGCTTCGCCTCGAGCGTCGGCGCCAGACCCGACGTGGCGAAGACTAAAGCGTCCAGGACCTGCTCGTCGCCATTATAGTACGCTAGTAACTCGGCGAGGCCGTCGTGGACCGCGCGCTTCGCCTTGGCGACGTTCGCGTCGTCGGCCTTGTGCGCGCCTCGCACGAACGCCGCGACGTCGGCGCCGTGGCCGCTCGGTTTCTTTTCTTTCTTGCTTGCCGCTGCGAGTGCCAGTGCGCTGATGGCGAGGAGGGCTCGCATCTCGCTGCGGTCGCGCGCCGGCAGGGATTTGTTTGTGGCTTTTTATGGCAGTGTTTTGGTCGCTGCTGACGTGTGGGATCGCTTGCAACCAGCAAATCCTCCGAGCCAGTACCTTTGCAGCGCAGGCGTCGCTCCCTGGGAGGTCGTTTTGCGCGTCGGCTTTTTGAGCAAAAAGCCCAGCCAAAAAAGCAAATAATTTCAGCTGTGTCTCGGCTGGCAAAGCGCACCGAGCCGAGCTGACACTAATCACACGTAGTGACCTCGCGCTCGCACTCCCACGTTGCCCATCGATTCGCGGCTCCGAGCAGCGCTCGCACCGACACCGCAGTCCTCTCCGAGGCCGAAACTGTGTTTAGCCCCCGGCAGCGCCCGCACCGGTGAACCGCACGACGCCAGACGCAGCAGTCAGTCAGACAGTCAGTCAGCCAGGCACCGGTGATCTGCGCGGCGCCAGACGCAGCAAAGCCAAAAAGAGACGATGTCGCGAAAAGACGACCTCCAGTTCCTGACCACCGATCTAGAGTACAGCGACGAGACGCCGCAGGCGGCGGCGCCGCTCTTCCCCGACGAGGCCGACGACACGTTGGTGGGGAAGCTCGGCCTCTTCAAGGGCAGCCGCCACCCGGGCGTCGCGCTGTTCCACGTGTTGTTCAAGAGCCTCGCCTTGGCGGTGTACCTGTTCGCCGGGCTGTTCACGTCCAACTTCGTGTTGGTCTGCGTCGTATGCATACTCCTCCTAGCCTTTGATTTTTGGACGGTCAAGAACGTGTCCGGACGACTCCTCGTAGGACTGCGGTGGTGGAACTACGTCAAGGAGGACGGCGCGACGGAGTGGGTCTTCGAGGCCGCCGAGGACAAGTCGGACATTCGGCCACTCGACGAGCGCCTGTTTTGGTGGGGTTTATATGTGCCGGCGGCGGCCTGGGCCTTTTTGCTCGTCACGGCGGTCATCTCGCTCAAATTGCAGTGGTTGATTGTGGTCGGTGCGGCTTTGGCTTTGAGTGGAGCGAACGTCGTCGGGTACACGAAGTGCTCGAAGGAGGCGCAGGCGCGGCTCGAGGGCCTGTCGTCGGGCGGGGCGGCGTCCATGCTCGGGGGCATGATGTCCTCGGGGCTCGCGTCGAACATGCTCGGGGGGCTCATGGGCCGCGCGGCCGCGCCGGCGGCCGCGCCGCAGGACGGCTTCGCCGCGGTCTAGAGGCTCGGGGTAAGTACACAACAACATGCTTAGGGACTACGTCGGCCGCGCCCACGACGTCTCGCCGCTGCTCTCGTTGTAGTAGTAGACGCAGCCCTGCTGCGCGTCCCACGTCGCGGCCCAGCCCGCGGGCAGCGGCGGCGGCGCGGCGTCCTCGCCGTCGGCGGCCGCCGCTACGGGCGCAGGCGCCGGCGCGGGGGCCTCCGCGGGCGGCACGTCGAAGCGCGACGCCCGCGCGGCGGGCGCCGGCGCGGGGGCCGGCGCGAGCGCGTCGGCCATGGCGCGGAGCCGCCGCGCGAACGCGTCGTCGCTCAGCGCGCCGCCGTGCCAGTCGGCGTAGCGCGCGACGACGGCGCCGAGCGCGACCGCGCCCAGGAGATCGTCCCGGCCCTCGCACGCCGCGCGCGCCGCGAGGCAGGCCTCGGAGAGCGCCTTGGCTTGCACGGCGACGGGCTCGGCGGTGCTCGACGACGCGAAGGCGAGCCGCGCGCGCGCCGCCGCGTCGAGGGCAAAGGGCGACTTGCCGGTCCTGGCGCTGATCCCGTCGAGCTCGCTTTCGAGGGCTCGAAAGACGGGCAGCAGCGGCGCGAGGGCCGGGGGTGGCGCCGGCGCGGCCGCTGGCGCCGGCTCGGGCTCGGGCTCAGGCTCCGGCTCCGGCGCGGGCGCGGGCGAGGGGTCGTCCCACGTCGTCCGCTTGGTCGCGGGGTCGTGCCAGTAGGGCTTGCCCGTCGCCGCGTCGACGTGCTTCTCCCACGGACTCGCGGCCTCGCCGTCGCTCTCGTCGTCGTCGGAGCTCCCGTAGCCGGCGACCAACGAGTTGTGCGCCGGCTGCTCCGTCTTCTGTTTTTTTCTCCTCACCCAGCGGCGGCCCATTTGCTCGTTTGCGTTAGCGCGTTGGCAAAGATTTTTGCGCGCGGCAGCTCGAGTAATCGATCGTAAAGCTGGTGCAGGCCTCACTGGTGTTTTTGCGCTCTGGCGTCCTGACAGATGCAGTCTGCCGCGCTGGCCTGTCGCGCAGCTATCGTGTTTGACTCGTTCGCAGCTCGTATTGATCACTAGCTGAGCTGGCGCTGCGCGAGCCGCTTCCCGGCTCTTAGGCTAGTGTGTCCGTCTCACTAGATAATCACGGCCACCGCATCCTTGAAAATTGCCACTGTTGGCTGCAATACGTAATTCATGACTCGTCTATTAGCCTTATTGTGCACCGCTGCTGGCCTAACGCACGCATTCACGGCGCCACGCAGCAGCCTCGTCGCTGCACGAGCTGGCACGCAGCCCACACGCACCACGCAGCTCGCTGCGGCGCCGGACGATGAGCCCGAGCTCTTCGGCGGCTACACCGCGAAGCAGCGCATGCGCGAGGAGATCGAGTCGCCCTTCCGCAAGGTGCGACTCATTTTTTTTGGAGCGAGCACTGGCTCGGCGCTCTTGGCGCTCTATTTCAGCATCCTGAACGTGGCCAAGGCGGCTACTGGTTTTTCTAATGATATCCCGCTCGACGAGGCGGTTTCATCTACTGCGATCAACGTCGTGGCCGTGCTGGCCTGCGCCGCGATCACGTGGAACGACTACCAGGCTGGAGAAAAGAACCTTGAGAGAATTGCGCAAGGCGGACGTTTAGCGAAGCTTGTCGTGTCGCCGGCGACCGCGCCCACGAAGCGCCGGACCCTCACCGAGTATCGGAGAGGCAACCGCGTCGCCATCTGCGTCGGGGGCGAGCAGTACGTGCAGACCCTCGCGCGGTCGCTGAGCGCCGACCAGCGCGCCGACGAGAACACGCTGGCGGCCCAGATCGATGCCGTGGATTTGGTCGTGGTCCCGGCGCTCGTCGACGCGAGCGGGGCCGTGAACGACGCCGGCGCGTGCTGGAGAAGTACGACGGCGGACGAAGGCGATAGAAACTTCGACCTCGAGCGGTCCGCGAACGTCATTGCGTTCCCGCGGGGGGCGCAGGCCTGGGAGACGTATTTGAAGCAGGAGCTTGAGACGGCACGGTCGCAGGGATTTGATCCTGTCGAGAAAGGCCTGGTCATCGTCGTGAAAAAGAACGGCCGGGTGCTGCGGCGCCTCACGGGCCAGCCGCCCTGGTCATCGCTCGTTGGCACGATGGAGGTCGCGGACGGCTCCAAGTTCGGCATGCCTGGCGACGACGAGCGATACATGGCCAAGGCGCTCAAGGGCGACGGGGCCCTCTAGATTTACTAATGTGGTAGGACTGTACAACATGGAACGCGCCGATCTGGGTCGCGCTGGCGAGGTGTGGCCAATCTTCTTCTTCGAACGGGGGGCGGGACGGTCACGCAGACCCCGCGCCGGCCGGATGGCGACTAGCAAAGCCTGAGCAACACAACAAATAAACTTAGAACATGACCGTCCACACCGTAAGCGCCCCAATGATCCCGAAGATCTTCAGGTACAAGGCCCGGTTCCCGCGAATCCGCTCGTGCGCGCGCGTCAACTCGCTATGGCCCGCATCCACATCCGCACGCGACGCCTCGACGTCGTCGTCGAGCCGCTCGACGACCTCGGCCTGCTGCGCCACGAGACCAGCAAACCTCGAAAAGACCTCGCCGAGCTTCCCGATCTCTTTTTCCACATCTAAAGCATGGTCCAACCGCTGCCGCGCGTTCTGCTCGAGCACCAGCTGCTGCCGCTGCTGCTGCTGCTGCCGCTCTAATCTCGACGTCTCCTCCACCTGTTGAGGCCGTCTTGACCGCATGCCGGTTTGGGTGGAGAACGCCGACGACATCGCAAAAGGATCTGTCATCGGCGGCGGCGGCGGCTTCGGTTTTGGGGCTTGCTTCGGTGGTTCAACAACGGCGTGCTTGGGCACGAAGGCCGTCGAGAAGAGCGGCGTGTCCAATTGGACGCGCGTCGAGATCGCCGGGCCCGCGTGGCTGAATTTCGTCCTCCGCTTGTGCTGGACCTTGAGGGCCCGCTGTCTGGCCTTCATCGCCTCCTGCAGGGCCTCCAGACGCTCGGAGAGCTTCGACCGCAGGCACTGTGCCATCGCGCGCTCGTGGCCTCGCCGCGACCCCGACGCTTGATTGGCGTCGCCCTCCATGGTCCGCAGAGCGCGGTCGGCCCAGGCGCAGTCGCGCTCGGCGGCCTGCGCCGCGGCGTCGAAACTATTCGTGCCGGCGTCGTGCTCGCGCCCGGCCGCCGCGCGCAAATTCGCGAGTCTTCCGTCGATTTCCGTCAGCTTCGCGTTCACTTGCGTCGCGCGGCGCGCGGCCAGCGACGTGTGCAGCGCCGGCAGCGGGGCTGGAGCAGGCGGGCCGACGCCGAGGCGTCTCCTTGCCAAGCGGCAGGCGCTGCGGAACTCGAGGAGGCGATCAGTCATATGTGTTACGACGTGCTGCCGCAGCGATGCGGTCGGGGCTCAGTAAAAATTAGCACGTTTGCGTGCTCTAACTCGCAGGCAATAATCTCGCAGAGCGGCTGGCGCGGCGCTTGCTTGTGCTTGCTAGTGTGTTACTGGAGCTAGCTTGCGCTTGATTAACTCGTGTGGCCGACGGCGCCGACGGTGACGGGAAAAACAGGAAAGTCGTTCTGTGGGTGCGCGACCGAATTCGTGACGCGCGTGCACCCCGGCGTCACATTTTAAGCGTTTCCGACGGCCGACACTCAACGATTGCACGATGCGCCACCTCGCCCTCCTGGGAGCCTGCGTGGCAGTAACCACGGCACAACACTACGACGACACGCGCGACGGCCTCTGGCACGTCTGCTCGCCGGCGTGGGCCGTGCCCCAGCTCGACGACGATTCATTAAACGCGGACGAGGCCTGGCGCGTCGAGAAGTACTTAGCAAGAGCGGCGTGCTCGTCCTCGACACCAATAATCTGCCAGATCTGCGCGGGCCTCGCGGCGCGTGCCGACGGCGCGAGCGCGCCGGGGACGTGCGGGCTGAAGAAAGGCGAACAGCCCTTCGATTCGCTGCTCCTGCAGACGACGGGGCAGGTCGCGGCCTGCACCCAGGCGACGGACGGCAAGCTGCACGCCTACTACTCGGAGCTGTCGTGCCTGCTCGAGGCCTATTCGCGGGCGACGCCCTTGGTGGTTCTGCCGCCTTCATTAAGATGGGGCTTCCGCTTCGGCGACACGACGCGCGCGATGGAGGGCGCCTACCTCACGAAGGCGCGGAAGGTCGGGACGCGCGACCAGGCCGTGCTCTTGCCGCTGCACACGGGGCGCCACGCGGGCGGCCTGCGGCTCCTCCAGCAGACTGTGGAACACACGCTGCCCAAGTTTCTGGGGCGGGAGAAGTGCGCCATGTGGCGCGGCGGCACGACGGGCCAGATCCCGGCGTACCGCGCCTACGAGGCGAAGGTTTCGAAACGCGACCGCGACGTCAAAAAGTACGCGAACGTCCCCTTAAACACGCGGCTCGAGCTCGTGACGCGTTTTGGTACCACGGAGAGCGTCGCTGGAATCAAATTGGACGTGGGTTTTAGTGGGATCACGGCCGGCGCCGGCGCCGCCACCAAGGGATTACTAAGGGACTCGGTCAAGCCCAAGGCGACGATCGCCGACTTCGGGCGGTGCAAGTACCAGCTCTCGAACGAGGGCAACGACGTCGCGACGGGCCTGAAGTGGCAGCTCTACACGGACTCGGTCGTGGTCATGCCGGCGCCGACGATGGAAACCTGGGCCCTCGAGGGCGCGCTCGAGCCCTTCGTGCACTACGTGCCGGTTAAGCGCGACTGGTCGGACCTGGAAGAGCGTTTGACGTGGGCCGAGGCCCACCCGGCGGCCGCCGCGAACATCTCCGCGAACGCGCGGGCGCACGTGCTCCGCGTGCTGGGCGCGTCGGTGGCGTCGGAGCGGCGCGTCGTCATGGCCGTGCTGCGGGGCTACCGCCAGGCGCTCGCGTGCGCGCAGCCGGCGTGAGGCGTTGGGGCCCCTTCTCTAGTAAGTGTACTTAGCCGGTCTCGCGGTCGAGGAATGCGTTTGTCACCGCGACGAAGCCCGCCCATGTCTGGAAGTCGTCGGGTTCCGGGTACGCGCCCCAGGTCGCGCGCAAGGCGGCGTTCTCCTTGTACCAGGCGGCTATCTGGTTGTACATCTCTTCGGCTTTCGGCGCGGCCGGTTCGGGCTCAGCGCGTGAGAACCACCTTCGCGGCGGCGGCGGCGGTTGCTCCGTGAGACCCTCCTCCTCGGCTTCCGAAGCGACGGGAATGGTTGCCTCTTCTTCCTTGGGGGACGTGGCCTCTTCCGGTGCTGACAGTTCGGTCGGCTCTGGATTGGCACCATTCGGCTCGTTGGCCTTATTATCCATCGTGGAGGCCTTGCGGCGACGATAGAACCAAAAGGCGCCGACGGCTAGCAGGAGTGCAGCGGCCGCGGCCACGCCGGCGATGACTGCTCCGTCGTCGTCGTTGCTAGATTTCCTTTTTTCTTTGGTATAGTGGCAAACACCGTTCGTGTCCCTGAACCCAACACCGCACGCCGTCTTCGCGCACGGGGTGTACATTAAGGAGTTTTGAACGGCGTAGGCGCCAGTGCCAAAAACGTCGTCGTCCACGCACCAGCCGAGGTCCTGGTTAAAGGCCGAGGCGCCACTGAACATCCAGCGCATATCCGTGACGCTGTCGACCTCCCAATCACCGATGTCTTGATTAAAGGCCGAGGCCGAGGCGAACATGTTGTACATCGTCTTGACGCCAGAAGTGTCCCACGCGCCGATAGCTTCGTTAAAGGACGCCGCTGCCGTGTTGCAATCACTATTTCCTGAATACGCACAAAACAAATACGACATGTCCGTCACCCCTGATGTGTCCCACGTAGAAATGTGGCCGTACGTCGCCTCGGCGGTGGCGCTATCCGAGAGCCACGCCGCGACTGCGGTTCGGATGGTGCTGTCGGACATCAGGCATTTCTTGACGCCGCACGACGTCGACGCGCACGGGGTGTAGCCGAACGCGTTGCTCAGGTCCACGCCGTCCAGGCACCAGCCGAGGTCCTGGTCGAAGGCCGAGGCGCCACTGAACATATAGGACATATCCGTGACGCCGGAGGTGTCCCACGCGCCGATGTCTTGATTAAAAGACGAGGCCTGGTTGAACAGGTTGCTCATGGTAGTGACGCGGTCGACCGCCCAACCACCGAGGTCCTGGTCGAAGGCCGAGGCAGAGTAGAACATGTAGTCCATGCTTGTGACGCCTGAGGTGTCCCAATCGCCGATGTCTTGGTTAAATGACGAGGCATAGGCGAACATCCCGTGCATATTCGTGGCGCTGTGGACCGCCCAACCACCGATGTCCTGGTTAAAGGCCGAGGCGCTGTTGAACATGGCGAGCATATCCGTGACGCTGTGGACCGCCCAACCACCGATGTCTCGGTTAAAGGCCGGGGCTTTGTAGAACATGTGGTTCATAGCCGTGACGCCAGAGGTGTCCCACGCGCCTACGTCCTCGTTGAAGGACGCCGCGGCCGTGTTGCAGTTGCTATTGTATTCATACCCACAAAACAAATACGACATGTCCGTCACCCCGCCAGTCTCCCACGTAGAAATGTGGCCGTACGTCGCCTCGGCGGCCGTCGGGTTCGAGAGCCACGCCGCGACGGCCGTGCGGATGCTGCTGTCGTCGAAAGTTCCGTCGAAGTCCGTCGGCCGGGGCGTCGGATGAACTGGCCGCGGTGTTGGGCGTGCCGTTGGGCTCCTAATGATGCAACCGACCTCCGAAGGCGATGCGCAGTAGACCCCGGCATCTAATATAGAGCCCGCGCAGCACAGCACGTCGTCGTCATCAACGAAACTGCCACAGCCCGACCCGCCACACTTTCCGCATATTTGATCGCAGCAATAGTCGCCCTCCTCGTTCGTTGCGCTGATTCCACAGGAACACATGGCGTCGTCTTCCGAGGCTGTACATCCGGAGGGGATACTTTTCGTGAAGTTGCGCACGTAAGCGAAAGTTCCGACATGTGCGGCAAAGCCGAGGTAGGTTGTCGTTCCGTATGCGGAGCAGTAGGAGACGGCGTTGCTTGGCGACGCGGCTTCCCCAAACCCAACTCTCACGCCGTCGACCGTCCAATCATCGAGGTACACACAGTTTTCCCTGGTTGAAAAGATAATGCGCCACTTGTGCCACTCGGTCGGAATAGATGCTACGCTCATGTCATGCGAGTTGCCGTCACCACTACCAGAAATTGCGTGCGACCAACCCCCATAGGCACCGAAGCCATAGTCTGATGCGCGCGAGATCCACCAAAGATCAGGCGTCTCCCGATCCGAAGAGCTGAGTGACGAGCGAAACGGCTCGAAGTACCAATGTGGCACATAGGGAGCAGCCTGGTATCCGCTTATAGGTGTCGTGCAGGTGACCTCGGCGCAGCCGCGTGTCTCGAACTCGATTACGAGGGAGTTGTCAAAGGACCATGTCACCGAATCGTCGAGCGAACAACCTCCGTCCTCGGTTACTAAGAGCTGCTCGTTGTCTGTATCCTTGTCTGTGATGGAGCAGTATGATGTGCTGCCGATATCCGCTGCGGCGGCGGCGGCGAGGCAAGAGAGCAGGATGGAACCCACGGACGTATTCATTAGCGCACGCCGGGGTTCATCAGGCTGCAGTTTCGGGCAGCGCGCTCAAAGATGTGCATGCAAAATCGCAAATATCGTGCTAGTGTCTTTACGGACGCTAGCTCGCTTTTTTGCGGGAGCTTAACGCGTGACAAGCGCCACAGGATAACACGGGCCAGCAGCTGCCTTTTCCCCGCCACGTCGGCTGCCCGACGGCAGCCGGAGCCATGCCCGCCCCGAAGCTGAGCGCGGCGGACGCCCAGTCCGACGACGACGAGGTGCCCTGGGTGCCCGAGGATTCGTGTCGGCAGCAGCTCGACGAGTTCTGGAGCAGAGACGCCTTTGGGCTGCGGAAGTACCAGGTGAACTGCCACCCCGTCGAGCCGTTTTCGGAGAAGGACCCGCTCGAGGCAAGGCAGCTCCTGGCGAAGGTGATGAAGCCGGAGAAGGGCTGGGGCATCGAGCGGCGACGGGAGCGCAAGAGTCATTATCACGACGACGTCTTCGATAGTGTGAAGCGATATGAAAAGTCGTCGCCGTACTGTTTGGCAACGTGCCCGGTCACGGGCCTGACTGGTTTGCATGCGGCGTGTTTGAACGGCTATTTGAGCCTGATCAAGGCCTTCATCGAGCTGGGCAAGCAGAATCCATTAGATGTGGCGGAGCCGTTGTGTGTGTACTTCGATGGACTTACCGAGAAATCAAGAGGAGCTGATGCTTTATGGTTGTGTCGGAGGCGGGGCCACAAGGACTGCGTGGACTACCTCATGTCGATAGATGCGGTCATAAAAAGTGTGGGCCAGGTCATGCAGTCGGGCCAGGCGGGCCGCGACGCGCGCGCGAAGGCCGAAGCCCTAAGGCGTAGAAGGTTCATGGAGCAGGCCGACGGCATGGGTAAGCGCGTGGAAATCAGGAGGGACGAGGAGCGCCAGCGAGGTCTGAAAATTAAAATAGGGAGCCGCGTGAAGATGGCGAAGACCGGCGCCCCAGCGACGGTGCGCTACGTGGGCCCCGTCGACTACGCGTCGGGGACCTTCGTGGGCCTGGAGTTCGACCCCCCGGACGTCGGCGGACCGGTCTACGGCAAGCACTCGGGCATCGTCCGTGGGAGGGAGTACTTCGACTGCCCCCCGGGCATGGGGGTCATGGTCCAGCCGTCGGAAGTCGTGTCCGAGGATTTACCTTCACTAAAGCCGCTGCCGCGGGCCCAGACGGCGGAGATATCGTATCTGTGCGACAAGAAGGGGCTCAAGCCTGTGGCCAAGAAGGTAGAGGAGCCTCTGTCAACTGTGACACGGGAAACGACGGAGGTGGAAAAGTTATCTGATAGGCAGCGGGCGTCCTTCGAGCGCTTCAAGGAGGAGGAGGAGGCGCGGCGGCGGGCGTCGCTCGGGAAGGACTGAAGGCGCCCGCGCGGCGCCCTGTGGTGTAATGTGAGCCCTTTCTGAAGGCCTAGGCAACGTATCCCGTCGGCGGGATATGGTATACTAGGTAAGAAGCTTTACAAGGGGTCAAGAACCACACAACAGGTCTAGAGGTCGGGCCGCCCGTAGTAGCCGACGTTGTGCCGCGCGCGGGCGTTGACGCGCGCGGTCCGCGCCTCGCTCTCTTCTAGTGCTTCGTTCATGACGCCGAGGCGCGAGTTCTGGCGCCGCACCTGCGCGTTCATGCGCCGCGCGTCGCCACCTAGAGCGTCGAGCATGGAGTCGATCTCGTCGAGGCCCGCATTTATTGTATCGTCCTTGCGCCTTATGGTATCCAGCGCCGCCGCCTCGTCGGCGTCGCGGCCCTCCAGGCCATCGACGATGTTCGAACGCGACGGTTTCCTCGACGATGGGAGTGACGCGGGCGACTTCGAACCGTCGTTGGAGGACCGGCGGCGCCGCGGCGGCGACACCTCCTTGGCATCATCGTCGGGGAATCTACTAGAATGCGCCCGGGCCATTTTCTCGGCCTTCCTCCCCTTCTTCTTGCTCTTGCCCCCAAAGATGCGCCAGCTCTCGAGTTGAGACAGGTTCCGGTCCGCTTGCTTCAGCTCGTGGTTCATCCTATCAAGATCGCGCGTCGTCTGCTCGATCTGCTCCCCTTGTTGTTTTAACGTATCAGAAGTAGCCGCCGCGATTTCTCGTGTCCCCGAGAGCTGCCGCCGCATCCTTCCGACCACATCCAGCGTCTCGTCTTGCAAACGGTCGACGTCTTTTGCGGAAGCGCGGCTTGCTTTTTCGCCCGTTTTGTACCGCCTAGCTTCCGGCCAGGCCTGGTCCGGGTTCAGGCCTTCGCCCGCTTTATGTTTGCGCACAGCTAACAATTTGGCCGTTTGTTTGATGAAGCGGACCCATTTATCGCGTTCTTCACTTGTTGTTGTTGCGAGCGTCAGCGGCTCGCCACTGCTAAAATCCAGCACGAAGACGAAGGGCTTGCCCTTGTACGGCTCCATCGTCCTTACCTTCGCACCACTCAAGGTCAGGGCCTTGCGGGGTTTATCAGAAGACGCATATGCAAAGGTCCCGCTCGCGCGGTCGACCTCGCAGTCTCTGGCTTGCCACGTGTCGAAGGTGCGCGACGCGGGGGAGCGCGTGAGTTTTTTCAGGCGGCCTTGTAATAGATCTGTGTCCTGGTCGGGCATGGCTGCGCTGCGCTGCTCTGTTTTGGATGAGCTGTGTGTATTTTTTGCAGAGCCTTTTTCCCGCTGCGCCGCGCTACAGCGTGACGAGGAGCTGTGTTTTTCGCAGTACCTTTTTCGCAGCGCCCGCGTCTCTGCGTGTATGACTCGGCGGCCGCGCAGTGTTAAAATTCACACCCCCAGGCTGCAGCACTCCCCGCAGCCTGGTGTGGCCAAAGCGCGTCGAATAGATAACCAAGGACCGTGACGCTTCTGCCACGTCGATTATTTATCGCAAGCGTGCTCTCTGCGGTGGCAGCACGAAAAAAGCGGCGCGCGACACACCATGTTTTGCCTCTCCCCGTGCAAAGACACCCACGCCGAGAGACGGCCGCCACCGACGCCGCCGCGGAGGCAACCCACTCCCGTGGCCGCGCCGGTCGCGCGGGCAGCGGTCGAGCCGCCGAGCAGCACCCGGTGGTATGCCAATGCGGTCGCGGCGCTGGTCGTCGCGGTGGCCTGCGCGCTGCTCTCGCCCGCGCGCGCCGCGGGCGTCGCAGCTGCCGCGGTGGCCATCGTGCTCGCTCTCCGCGGCCCGCGCAAGCGACGACGGCCCTCGCGGCTCCTGACGCCTCAGGAAGCTCTCTTCGCCGCGCCCTTAGCGCCTCCTGACGACGCCCTCGCGGCGGCATCCTACCTCGTCCACGCCGACGCGACGGTCGACCCCGCGGCGCGGGGCTGGCGCCTCGCGGAGGAGGAACGGGGCGTCGGCCGCTACCTGCGGGACGCGGCCGGCGGCGGGCGCGACGCCATGTCCGTCGGTACCGTGAACGCTTCGGCGGCCGTCGTCGACGCGGCGCTGGGCCGCGCGGCCGCACAGGCGCCGAGCGTCGTGGAGCCGCTGCGCGATTCGATCCGGCCGCTAAGCTGCACGGAGCCCCCGCCGGCCCTGGCCGAGGGCTGGACGCAGCGCGGGAACGTCGCGACGGCGCATATCATCTGCAAGCGCGTGTGGCCCGTGAGCCAGCGCGACATGGTGCTGACGACGGCGGCGGCGACACGGGATGACGGCGCCTTCCTACGCTTCGCGACGTCGACGGCCCACGCGGACGCGCCGCTCGACGCGGACCGCGTGCGGCTGGAGGTGCGCGGCTCGGGCTACCTGATCGAGCCCCGCGGCGACGCGTCGTGCCGCGTGACGCACGTGTCCTGCGTCGCGCCCGGGGACGCGCCCGCGTTCCTCGTGAACCGGCTCGCGTGGCAGCGGACGGCGATGGTGCTCAAGGTGCGGGCGCTTGTTTTGGCGGATTCTTCGTGAATGATTGTCTTGTGTAAGAATATTGTGTGCAAGACCGATCGTACGCGTCCGGCCGGCGAGAGAGAGAGCCACTTATTGAACCCACCCCCAGGTAGTACGGACCCCGAACGCTTCGCCACCGTGTCTATTGGGATTGGCGATAGGGTGTTGTTTTACCCTGCCCCCCGAGAACCCAGACACAAATGGTGTGAGGTTTCGCCCCGAACAGAGGCCGGCCGGTCGCAGGCGACGTGCCTTGGCTTGTCGGTGGGCTATCCGTCCGCCCCCTCCAAGCTACTTTGCCGACACCACACAGCAGTTCCAAGACCCAAGCGCGCGGCCGGCGTGCAATGCCGACACTGCCACAGGCCCGCGGGGAACTTTGTAGCGGCGACCGACGGGGTGAACGAATCGCGGACACCGTCGGGCACCGCGCCGGGAGCGCGCGCCGAACCGGTCAAGCCCTGCCCCGCTTTTACCCTCTCGGGTGGTCCCGCGCCATCACGTGTCGGGGAGTTTGCAAGGAAATTGCGGATGCACAGTCAGGCTTTTCCGGCCCCGCCAAGGCAATTTTGTCTCTGAGGACCGGGCGCCTGGGCGGAGCAGGTAATCCTCTGACGTGCCGCGGCCCGATTTCCATTTCCGTGTCGGCGGCCCCGATGTGCAATGGAAGTGGAATTCAAGTGGCCCGCTCCGATGATGCCCCGCGCATCAACGGTTCAGACGCACAAGACCGCAAGGGAACGACGGCCGACCAATCCTCCGCCGAGCCCTGGGCGGCCCCCAGGAGCTACGGAGGGACCTCAGGCGCGCCCGCCGCCGCGGCCGTTAACGTGGGCCAGCCGTCACGCGCCTTTGGTATAGCGGGTTGCGTCCGCTTTGTTTTGCTGGTACGGGAGTACCGCTTTTGATTTTCAAATCTGGCGGTTCTCGTGCTTGTGGCCGCGCGCGTCAAAATGGGCAGCGTTTTTTGGGCGCGCCGCGTGCCGTAGTGTGTATAGAGGCTGCAGGCAGTGTGCGGTGTGTGTGGGGCGCGCGCGCGGACGCTGGGGACAGTCGCATGGCCGGCAATTGCTAGTGTAATGACACACTAGTGCCAGCCTGCAGCCAGCTCAATCGGCCCTTGCAGTGCTGAGATAAGAAGCTAGCGAAGTTTGCAACATGCAAGTTCTCGCCGCAATCACGCTGCTCGCCGGTGCATCGGCACTCGTGCCGCCGTCGCAGCGCCGCAGTGGTGTTGCACTCAGAGCTGGCTTTGGAGCAGCCACCAAAAAGAGCAAGGCGAAATTCGTCAAGCCGGGCAAAGGGCAGTGCATAAATCAAATTCTCGCGGCGCGTCTCCGTCACTGCTATTATCATGGCTCCACGCCATCGATGCGACGTCAGCGAAGGCGTGGCGGTGTGGTCTCTCGAGTCACTGGTTAATTTGCGCACAGGCAAAAAAGACCTCGAGAAGCAATGGGAGAATTTCTTCGTGCACCAGAGGTCTGGGAGCCGCCTCTTCTCGTGCGAGTCAGTTTGGGCGCGTGCTGGAGAAGGCGAGTGGCTGCGCGTCGGCGCCGTCGTGACGAAGAGCGACGACGTGAGCAACGCCGACGCCGTCGCGGCGCAGAAGAAACTGATTTCGTGGAGCGCGACGCAGCTCTTTCCGGCGCTGAACGCGAAAAAGGGCCAGGCTCCCGAGCTCGGTTTGGGCCCCTACGTCGACGACGAGAAGGACGACGAAGGCGACGCGTCAAAAGTTGCACCCGTAGGCAAGGGCGACAAAGCTGCACCGCTCTCCGACGTCGGCTTCAAGCCGATCCGCTCGCCGCTCGACGAGCACCGCGCCGGCCTCGGGGCGACGCTGCTGAACAAGTCCGTGGGCAAGGGCTCGGCGAAGTTCAAGGGAGCGGCGGCCGCCGCGTCGGCGGCGCCCGGTGCCGCGGCGGACTCGAAGGGAGTGTTGTAATCTAGGACATGTATTCACTTACAAGGTACATCAGGTGAGCCGCGCCAGCCGTGCCGCCCGGAGCTCCTCGGCCGACGGGCGCGGCGGTTCCGGCGGTTCCGGCACACACACGAGGTGCCAGCGCCGCACGACCCGGAGGTCCTTCGCGGAGGACGTCTCCACCAGCGCGAGGTCCCACGCGTCGACGGCGCCGATCAAAACCGCTTTGTCGGAGTAGCCGGGGAGCGTTATGTGGATGTCGCGCAGGCGGTGCACGCGGAAGGCGCCGCGGCGCATCGTCGGCAGCGCGTTCCGTAGCGTGTCGAGCATCGCCTCGAGAACTGCGCCCATGTCGCCCGGCCTTGCCAACGCGGCGACGCCGCCGCGGTTGTCCCAGCACTGGGCCGGCAACCGGAACGCGCGCCCGTTCAGGGCCCGCACGCCGGCGGCGCTTGCATCATTCGCGATGCGCTCGAGGTCGCGGTGTGCGCCATCAATATCGTCGAATCGCAACATCGTCGCATGCAGCAAACCGCCCCATTTCAATGCGGCCAGGGCTTTTCGTGCCCGAGGGAAGCGCTCTTTTAGTGCGGCATGCGCCGCTTCGCTCGGAATCAGGTATACGCTCGACTTTCTGGCCGCGGCGCGGTGGCGTTTCGCGGGCGGCGGTCGCAAAACTGGCTGTGGCCGTGGTCGCGGCGGAACAGCGCCGTTTTCCCGCGCGGGCCGCGTCGCGGGCGTCGGGGGCGGTGGCGCAGCGGCCGGCGCCTCAGCCTCGGCTAGCTTCGGTGCGCTGCAAATAGCACAGCAGAGGAATTGTGCTTCGGCGTCGCTGTGGACGTATGTGCACTTGTCACAAGTCCATGAGGTCATTATTCGCGCGCCGCGCCAGCGCTTTTTATGCTGCTGTGCAAAGCAGGGTCTATCTCGCCAGAAGCACCGCTATGCCTCAATATTTCGATGGCTACAGTCTCAAATTAGACCTATGCGGTCTCTGCGCATCCAGCAATGATGTGTAGCCCTTGCAAAGCCATGCATGGCAAAAACGCACAGTGCATGCTAGTGTGTTACATGACGCTAGCAGCGCGCGCCCGCGGCTTTGCCTTTGTGCGCTAAAAGCGTCCAGGAACGAGCAGCCATTGCTAGACATCACTGAGCAGCCATTACTCCGCGCACGCTCATCATAACTCTAGCGCTCGTCAGCGCAGGCCACAGCCTCATACCCAAAAGACCGATGGCGGAGCCGCCAGAGAAAAAGGAGAAGGTCTGCCATTCCTGCGGGCTGGACGACCGAGGCCAATCGACGCTGCTGGACGCCGACGGCGCGCGCGCGGCCTTCGCGGCCTTACCGGAAAACCTCTGGACCCTCGAGGACAAGCGCTTGACGCGGAAATTCACGGCCAAGAACTTCCTGCAAGCCGTCGCGTTCGTCAACGCCGTCGCGCCGGTCGCCGAGGCCGCGCGGCACCACCCCGATATTCATATCACGAATTATAGAGACGTGGAGCTCGTGCTCTTCACGCACTCGCAGGGCGGCCTGACGCCCGACGACTTCGCGCTAGCATCGAAGCTCTCGCGTATTGGTGTTGCGGTGTCGCCGAAGTGGGCGAAGGAGAACCCGGAGCGCGGCGCGGCCGAGAAGACGGCCGCCGCGGCGTCGGATGCATAACGAAACTTGCTTTGCTTAGGACTATGCCTATGCCGCCTAGCTACCTGGCCGGCCGACTTCGGGGAAAGCAAGTGGGAAAGCGTGACCGAACGCCCGCCCCGCCCCCGCCCTCGCACGCCGTCGCCCCGAGTGTTGAAACTTAGAAAGACCCGTCTAGCCGCATGAGCCGCCTCCGTTTGGGATTCTCCGTCTGCTCGCGCCACCGCGGCGGCGGAAGAGTGGCCGAAGCGTGCTTCCAGTAGGCGTCGCCCTCGTTGCACTTGCCGGCCTTGTCCGGCGCGTCGACTTGCATGGAACACATCTTGAGGATCTCGTCGTGGGACCTTATTTGTTTCGTGTCGAGCGTCTTGAGCCGCTCGATGCCGTGGTACTTATTGGATTGGTAGCCGTTCTCGACGTCGACCAGCTCATAACCCAGCGCCCTCATCAGAGGATATTGGTGCAAACAAAAGTCGTTGTTCTGGCCCGCGTACGATTGATACCTATCCCACCAGACCTCGGACATCACATACTGAGCTCTTCCAGATCTCAATATGTCGGCGGCGCTCCGTAATGCATCAAAGTCGAAGCCCTGCATGTCCGTCTTGAGGTACCACAGTTTTACGGTCAACGGAATGCTCTCGACGAGCGTTGTTAGAGAAATCACGTTCACGATCTTCCGCTTGCCCCGGTAGCGCGTCGTGTACTCGGCCTTCTCCGTCGCCGTGCCCAACGACGAACTTTCCCCAAACTTGTTGTACCACTGCATAAACGCCAAGGTGTTGTTCGCCGCGACGGCCGCATGTAATACATGGAGGTTCCGCTGCTCCCGGATGCGGCAGCCGACCATGGGCTCGACGGCGATCGCCACCGTCTGGGGGTCGTGGCTCAGCGAGGGCTGCGTGTTGCTGCCCACGTTCACGATGACGCGCTCGACGGAGGGGTCGAAGACGAGGTCGGCCCTTGCGACGGCACAGAGGAGGAGCCAGCTGGTGCTCATGGTTGCCCCGATGCGACGCGCTCGCTTCGGCAGCGTCTCGTGCGCCAGCAGTGGACGTCTAGCCTGCTGGATTTCGCAAAATTTAAAGTCTAGTGTCTCTGGCCGCTAGCTGCGCGCGAGCCTGACTAAAAGGGACAGTTGCATATTGCTCGGAGGAGCCCGCCGTCGACGCGCCACGTGTCATTCCCGCTTCGACTACGCCCGCCGAGCAAGGCCGCGCGGCCGACGGTAGGTATACTATATGTACCTAGTTACAGCCCCCTCGCGATCACGCGACGACGCACTTCTTCTTCTTCTTCTTCGGCTTCTTCATGGCGTCGAGCACGCAGCGGATCGAGTCGTCGAAGACGCCCTTGAGGCCCTGCTGCGTCAGCGCGGAGCACTCGATGTACTTGTAGGCCCCGAGCTCGCGCGCGAGCTGCATGCCGTCTTCCGAGTTGACGGGCATGCGGCGCTTCTGCTGGAGCCGCGCGACCGTCTCCGGGTCGTTGCGCAAATCTAATTTCGTGCCGACGAGGATGAAAGGAACGCCCGGCGCGTGTGACGCAATCTCGGGGTACCACTTCGTGCGCACGTTCTCGAAGCTCGTGGGATTCGTAATACTAAAACAGAGCAAGAACACGTCCGTCTGCGGGTAGCTCAGCGGCCGCAACCTATCATAATCCTCCTGGCCGGCCGTGTCCCACAGCCCCAGGTTGATGGGCCGCCCGTCGACCATGACGTTGGCACTATAGTTGTCGAAGACCGTCGGGATGTACTCGCCCGGGAAGGCGTTCGTCGTGTAGCTGATGAGCAGGCACGTCTTGCCGACGGCGCCGTCTCCTACCACAACACATTTGATGTTCTGCATGGTGGCGCCGGCCCGCGCGCTCTCGCCTGCGTTGCGGGGGTTTCTTGTGTGCGTGCGCGCCGGCGGTTGTTGGTCTCCCTCCACGAGGCGCGCGGAGCGCCGGGGGGGTTTCGGCCGCGCGCGCGACCGGTTGCCCGTTATCGTTCTCCCACGCGTTCTCGACAAGGGTGGGCGAGCCGTGCGTGTCACCGCTTCGCCGGGTCTCGCGCAGCGCTCAATGATTCCACAGCGCGCACGTGGCCTTTTCACGCTTTTCGACGCCCCGGCGCAGCGCTTGCGGACGCTGGTTGGCACAGCGCTGCCTCCCACCGCTCAAACACACAAAAACGCGTCGCTCGGCCGCGTAAACAGCCACACAATCCCGATAACAGGGAGTGGCAGCCCCTTTGTAGTCTAGTATGTAAGCGACGCTAGCCCTCAATTTTTCACCCAAGCTTGCTACGCCCGCCCACGCGGCGACAGCTCGTTTCGAAGACCGCCAGCAAGACCCCAGCAAGCCTTCGTCCAGCGCTGCTGCGCTGGCAGGCCCTGAGGACTCGATGCCTTTACTATCTCACTGATCAGGCATCCTCAGGCTCCGCGCACGCGCGGCGAGGCGATACATAGAGCTCGATGCCCCCGCACCAGGCCTGCAGCAGGTCCGGCCCGGCGACACCGATCCAAATTTCAAGCGGAGCCACGATCGACGAGCGCTACCTCGAATACGCCGCGCACGGCGGTTTTAACAACCAGCGCCGCAATTTGTTCCATGGGCTGCTGATGGCGCACGCTTTGAATCGAGTTTTGTTGCTACCGCCCGCGCTCTCGCACCGCGCGGCGCCGCACTACGGCCAGTGCCCGTCCCACGTCGCGCCGCCTTCAGCTATTTTGGAGCGCTTCGAGAAGGCCGCCGTCAATGCGGAGAAGGCCGCGTCCATCAAAAAGCCGCAGGACCTGCCGTCCGCATCCTTACAAAGGTTGCTGAACTTTACGCAAGTGGCGGACCTCGTGGCCGTCGCGGACCTCGGAGCTGTAGACACTTCGTCAATAGCGAGCGCGCTCGTCAAGTACGACTGCACGAACACGATCTGGACCTTCGCATCATCAAATGGCGGGTGCCGCGCGCGGGACGGCTGGCGCGCGCGCGGGGCTTGTAGATGCCGCGACGTGTCGAAGACGCTCGGCACCGTGTCGCAGCCTTTACTCCGGATAGGCTCGACCTTCAAGGGCTTCGACACGGACCCCATCCGCTCGACAGTATGGGGTGCGCGCTTACAACGCGCGACGCTGACCTACACGGACCCGATGCTACACGTGGCGCGCCATGCTTCATCAAAGTTTGCTCGGAACCGAAACTACGTCGCCCTCCATTTGAGGGGCGGCGACGGCGAGTTTCGGCGACGGTTCCACCAGACCGTGCGCAACGCCTTCAAGGAGTTAATTACGTCGTACCTCGCGCGGCGGAAGAAGGCGACGGCGCCCGAAGTATTACCAGTTCCTTTATATGTTGCGTCGGACACGTCCTATAGAACTTCCAGAGAATTTAGAGAGGGCCTGGCGCGCCTAGCTGCTGTGGTAAGGAAGGAAGCCGGCGGCGCGAGCGGCGAGGCCATTACCGTCTCTTATTTAAGGAAAGTCGTCCCCGACGCGCAGAAGGCCGTCGTTGAGGCGTCAGACACGCCACAAAATGGTCGGTTGTTGGCCCACGCGCCGGACCTCGACATGCACCTCGATCTGTTGATCTGCGCCCACGCTCTCCTAGGGTTCGGGGGCACGGCCGGGTCATCCGTCTCGTCCTCGATAAGGACGCTGCGGAAGTACCACCTTTCTGATGAGAGGGCTGTTGTGAACTCGCTAGCGGATCACTAATAGTAAGTTGTTATACCCCTAGGAACTGGTGCAAACACGCGGCGAAGTCGTTCGCGTCGACGCCATGGTCTCCCCGAGCCATCTCCAGCACCATGAGCAGCTGCTTGATGCCCAACGGTTTTGTGATAGCCGAGGCGATGCTCGACCGTTGCGTTGCATCGGCCACCAAATGGCGTAACGCGGCCTCGATCTCGGAGGGTTCTTCGAGCTGCGGACACCGCAGTTGTACGTTAAACGCGTCCGTAAGTTGCAGATCCTCGAGATGGTTCGACACGGACGTCGTCGCTATCACTAGTAGTCTCCTGTTTTCTTCATCTGGTGCTTTTTTGAGTAGTACCAATAGAGTTTGTAGGACCGTGTTCGAGAACCGGGGACCCACGGGCGTGTACTCGATGAGTCGCTCGACGTCATCAATCACGATAATCGAGAGAGGCGACTTGTAGGAGTCCAGAAACACCTTCTGGATGGCCTGGCACTTGGCGCTTTCGCTGAATCCGATCATACTATCCGCTGATAACAATCGGACAAAAGGAAATTCAGAAGTGACGGCCGTGCGAGCCGCTAATGCTGTTTTACCTGTATGTGCTCTTCCTTCGAGCAGTACGGTCATCAACGGCGTCTTGGCTGATGTTCTCACCTGCTCCACGAGTCGTCGCAGAGCGTCATCAACCTCTCTAAATGACCTTCCAAAATCAACAATGCCGTTCCTATACAGCGGTTCCAATGACGCAGCTTTGGCCCCAAAAGCCGCACAAGCTTCTCCCGAATCCAACGCATGATCAAAGTCCCGTTTCTCGACCTTCAGAGACGCCTCGTCGATCGCGTTGTCGCCCGCCACGTCGACGCACCTTCTCAATGCATAGGACGCCGCGGACTTCACGAGGCCTTCTAATTCGGCACCCGAGAAGTTCTTGGTGCGTCCCGCGAGTTCCGGTAGCGCGTCGACCGCATCTTTCTGGAGCCTTCCTGCTTTGCGCATCGACGCCGTCTTGATGTCGAGGATTTGGAGGCGGCCCTTCTCGTCGGGCAGCCCGATCTCGACGTGCAACTCCAACCGACCCGGCCTGAGAATCGCCTCGTCGATCATGTCCTTTCTATTGGTCATGCCAATCACGAGGATGTTATTCAGCGAGTCGACGCCGTCGATCTTCGACAGTAACTGGTTGACGATGGAGTCGGAGACGCCCGTGCCGTCTCTGACGCTTCCTCGACTCTTACAGATCGCGTCCTGTGTGGAAATCAAATTTCAGCCATCGACGCGACGTCGTCCCCAGAATTGTATCTGCTCGATGGCGTGGAGGTCCACGGAAGGCCCTCGCATTGATTTTCACACGGACGCATGCCATCTCGTCGAAGATGATCGTATGTAACATGCTTCGGTCGCCTTCGCTCTGCTGCTCCGCCTCGGCGTCCGCAAATAGTTCTCGGATCTTCTCCTCCGACGCTCCCACATATTTGTCTAACACTTCGGGGCCGTTCACGATTTTGGGCTCCCGCGCGTTTAAAACTTTCCCGATCTGCCGCGCTATCAAAGTTTTACCGCAGCCGGGCGGGCCGTACAACAACATGCCCCGCACGTGAGAAATGCCCATCTGCTGGATGATGTGCGCCGGGTATATTCTCGAGGCAAAAGCTCGTCGAAATATCGTGTCGAACTCGTTCCCCAGGCCGCCAATGCCCAGCTTCGCGAAATCAAAGTCCGACGTAAATAATGATTGTTGTTGGACGCCTCGCGCTTCTACTGGTTCTTTTTCGACCTTGAAGTCGGGGTTCGAACAGCCCTTGAAGGGCAGGACTTTCGTCAATCCACCATGTAACTGCCCGAGATGGCTTCCCGTTGATTGTGTAAACTCCATGCCGTCGACCGTCAGATACAACAATTGTTTTGGATCTAATGCACACATGAACTTTTGACCAACAACAAAGACCTGGCCCGTATATTTCTTGGCCAGGTGGTCTGCGAGTTGTTGGGCGTCTATTGTGAGCGGGCCTTTTCTATACGGTGCACAGGATAATCTAACTGCACTGAGCTGCTGGTCGATCGTCGGTTTATAAGGTGTGGCGCGCATCGGCGCGCTGAGTTCCAAACCGAGAGCGGTGCGTTGCGGCCCCGAGAGGCCCACCGTGCCCGCCTTAATCTCCGTGCCCGGAGGGTTCGCTTGCGCCGAATAGACCAGTTCTTTGCCGCTGTCTCCCGTTAACGCTAATAGAACTTCATCTGCTGGCGTGCCCTGCGGCGGCGCGGCGCCCTTGTAGGCCGCGAAGTCTGTACTATGGAGGTAGATGCGGTTCGTGTAGGCGAGCGTCGTGTGCGGCGTCTTGGCGCAGAGGAGGGTGCCCGCAAATTCAGCCATTTTTTACAGGTGTTTTGCCACTGGCTATGGAGCAGCAGCAGCGCTCGTCTGCGGCACAGAGCGGCCACAGCGCTGCAAAAATGGATCACACGCCACGCCTGGACGGCAGCGGAGCAGGCCGCGCGACGCGGCGCCACTGAATTTTCTGTATCTCACGGGTTTTGCGCGGTGGGGTCGGGTTTTCTCGGCTTTCTCTCGTCTAAGCTTCGCGTCGACGACGTCAAGCTCCACGGAAATGCACTTCTGAAGCGCCGCGCGCGACCGCGGCCCCTCCCTATGAATTTGTAAGACATAGAATAAAATCACAACGAACGGGGGAGCGGCGGCGGCAGGACCGGCGCGCCCCCGCCGGCGGCCTGGCAGCCCGCGACACTGATATTGAAGGACAGGCCGCAGTGGTCCTGGGGCCCGCGGTGCCGGTAGTCGTACTCGCCGCCGAAGCAGAGGAGCTGGCTCCGGCCCGCGAAGAGCGCGAGCGTCAGCCAGCGGAGCGGCGCGTCGCCCCAGCGGTTCCCGAAGATCATCCCCGTCCTGCGTGGGGGCGTCGCGTCGACGGCGTGCGGTCCAACTAAATGCTAACGGCGCCGGACCCGGACGCGTCGACGGCGCGCGCGAATGCCACGGCGCGCGGCGCGGCGAACCAGGACACGTTCATGATCTCGAAGTTCGTGTAGAACATGGGCGCCGGGCAGTTTGTGGGAGCATGCGGCGGGAAGCGGTAGAAGGCGTCCTCGATCTGCGGCACGCGCCGGGCGTAGGCGGCGCCGAAGGCAGTCAGGTTCTTTGCGACCATCGGGTGGTCCGTCTTGACTGCAACATATCCGTAGACGGCGCGCTGCCGGGCCATGAGCTCGAAGGGGTCGCGCGAGCGTGGGCGGCACCGGAGCTCCGAGTCCGTATCCAGGCGCAGCAAGTACGTCAGGTTCCGCACGTCCGCGAGCTCGAAGACGCCGGAGAACCAGAAGCGGCACATGCGGCGGTAGCCGATACCAAACGTTCTCAAACGCCGGCGCGGCCAGTCCGTGGTCGCCGGCGCGTGCGTCGCGAACTCGTCAGAAATATCCCGGGCGCGGAGCCGGAGCCGCGTCCGGTTGCCGAGCGCCTCCAGGCGCGGGCGCAGGGCGTCGCTTCGCCCCTCGTGGAAGACGATGACGTCGTAGCGGCGCGCCCAAGCGCACGTCCGGGCGAGCGTCGCGAGGTTGCGCAGCATGGCCTCGGTCGTGGTGGGGTTCCTGACGTCCGCGAGGAGCGCGACGGCGGCGTCCGTCGCCGCCGTCGCCGCCGTCAGCGCGGGCGTCGCGCACGCCGGCGTCGAGAGCCAGAGCAGCCCGACCGCCCAGATGCTATTCCAGCGCCGCATCGCTGCCCCTAGCCTGAAGCATTCATCCTAGCTGTGCATGGGCTGCCCGGCAGCGTGCGACAAAGCAGCACTGAGGCACAGCAGCACCGATGCCGGCAAATCAGCTCGAGAGGGGCAGGCGCAGGCGAACCTAGTGTGTCTGTCACGATAATCAGGCCGCCGCCGATGAATCGGCGACGCGCGGTGTCTCCCCCCCAGGGACTCCGCCCACTAGTCCTAGCACCGTAACAAATAGACTAACAGGCATGGGTCTTAGTACAGGCGACGCTCAGGAAAAGGAGTCCTCCTCGCAGTGCTCCGTCGTGAGCGTCCCGCAGAGGTTCGCGAACTCGACGAGCTCGAGCTTGCCGTCGCCCCTACAATAGAGCGAGTAGAGGTGGGACAGCTTTTGGGGAGACACGTCGACGCCTCTGGAAGCCAGCGCGCCCCGGAGCTCCTCCGGGTTCAGCGCGCCGTCGCCGTCGGCGTCCGCGCTGACGAAGGCCGCGTCCACCGCCCCTTCAAAATGCCCAATGTCCGAGAAGACGTAGTGGATCGGGGTTTGTTTGGGAGGCTCCGGGGCCTCCTCTTCGACGGGCGCTTCTTCCGCGAACGAGTGGAACTTGTGGTCGCGGACGGCCGCCAGCATCTCCAGTAAGCCCGCCTGCTTGAGGGATCCTGTATGATCACCATACGTCTCCGTGAGTCTTTGTAAAGCCTTGTCCGTCAGTTCGAGGCCCGCGGCCGCGAGGCCCTGCTTCAGTTCACTGGGGTCGATCTTGCCGTCGCCGTTCTGGTCCAGCGTGGCGAAGACCTGATCCAAAGCTCCCTCGTGGTGGTCCACGCCGATGTTCGCGCAGACGGCTTCTGGTGTGGGGGCCACGGGCGTCGAGAGGCGGCGTACGCCTCTGCGGGCGGTGACTCGCAGCGCGCGGAGGAGCATAGTTGTAGGCTGCAGTGAGTCAATGCTGCACGCCAGCGACTGGGCAATGCCGGGAGCAGATCCCGGCGGCAAACTGGATCCTGGGCTTTAGAGTAAGAGCTGTAAACCAGCGGTCGATCCGAGTTTTTTCTCGTAGCAGGTGGATCCGTACACGCACGAGTGGATTTATTTTTTGCTAGCGAATGGTAGCATACTAGCAAGGTGCTCGGCGCCTGGGCAGAGAACAAGTGCTTGCGCGGGCGTTTCGCGCTCGTCGTGGACAGCTTCGATCCTCCTGTCCACCTCAGCCAGCCGATCGAGCCGGGGTCCCCGTAACTGGGTCCCCTCAGCCATGCTCCGCGCGCTCCTGGCTGCCGCGGCCTGCGTCGCGGCCTCCGGCTACCGCGCGGCGCCGCCGCGCTCTGCGCCCGTCCGCCCGCCCCGGGGCCGACGGCGGCGCTGCCTGCCGACGCTCCTGCAAGCAGCCGCCGCATCCACCGACGACGACGGCGCCGAAGCCGTGGTAAGGGAAGCCGCGCGGTTGCTGCGGGACGGCCACCGCGACGATAAGCTCATAAAAGCCTCGAAACAAATCCTGACGCTCGTCTCGCCGAAGAACAACGCCGTCAATTTGAATGCGAACGCCTTCGCGCGGAGCGTCGAGACGCACCGCGCCCACTACGGCCCTTTATTAACGTGGCAGGCGCTGGAGCTGAAATCTCAGGATACGTCGAAGGACGGCCAGCGGTGTGTGGTGCGGACCCTGCTGGAGGGGGCCACGTCACAACTCGGGACGGCGGTCTGGACGCTGTCGCGGCACGACGACCGGTGGCTCATCGACGCCGTCCTCGTGCAGCCGGCGGGCGAGGCCGCGACGGTCGAGCGCGCGCCGAGTCCACCGCCGAAGAAGAAGAAGAAAGCGGTGGAAGAGCCGCCCCCACCAGAAAAAGAAAAACCGAAGGAAAGGGAACCAGTGGCCCAGCAGAATCCATTAGCGGCCGCCGGCGCGACGTCCTTTGGAGCACTAACGAGCCCGCGCTGGGTCGCCAAGACCGTTTTATCTGCTTTACGGACGATCGACGAGCCCGAGCAAAATCATGGCAGTGGTGTCGCGTTGACGTTCGTGTCCACGAAGAACCCGGCCCACAAGCTCACGCCGGAGCTGTTTCGCAAGTACATCGACGACGAGTCCTATCCCTACGGTGTGCTGAAACGGTGGTTGGAAATGAATCCAGAGGACGTCACGTTCGACGACGACAAGCGCAAGGCGTCGCACGACGTCACTTTGATAGATGTCGACGGGTCGGAGCGGCTGGTCACGATCGAGCTGTCGAAGGCGGACGACGTCGGGCCGTGGTTGATAGATAGGTTCTGGTGCGAGGAGGCGTACTAGTCTCGTCGTTAATAATTAATCAGGATATAGCCTCCTCCTTGGTCGTCTCTGTAGTTGCCTTGCTTAGAGCTAGGACACCCGCGGAGCCGACGCGACGCGAGCCGCGTCGTTCATTGCCCTGCGCCCGGAAACTATCAGCGTATACGTACGCCGCGGATTCCTTTCGGCGTATACATGCCGACATGCGCGACCCCGCACGGTGGGAACCTACACAGCCTTGTAGCTGGCGAGTCTAGGGCGGAAGCATAGACTTTTCGTTCTTTCCGGTTCAGAGGCGTCCCGAGGCCTCCCTGGACACCTCTCGGGCACGGGCACGCGCGGGGAAGGGGGCCGATTTAGCGTTTTTAGGCCTTTGTTTGCTAAAGCCGCGGGGCTCGACTGAGCTGTCGCCATACTCGGATTGGAACCTGTGCACACCCGCGTCTTCGGCAATCCAGGACACTGCCAACGTGCTCAATGCACTCCTTGCGGCTGGCATGAGAGAAATCGCTGGCAAAATCCACCGCGACGGCGAGCAGCAAGCCTTTTGGAAGGGCACGAGCCACCACGCGCGCCGACCGCGCGATGCGCAACGTAACGCTGCGCAACTGGTCCCACGCGTCGACGACGCGCCGCGCGAGCCGTCGGCCCACCGCATCGCTGCGCGGTTGCTCCCACGACACAATCACGCGAGACGCGAGCCGCCAGCTCAACTTTCGCTTCTTCACAGGCAAAAAAACAACCATGAAGGCCGTCATCGTCGCCCTCGCGCTCTCGTCCGCCGCCGCCTTCCAGGCGTCCACGCCGTCGGTGCGTCCGGCCACGCAGCTCAGCGCCTACGTGCCGAGCGGCATGTCGCCCGAGGAGTGGGAGAAGATCAAGGCCAAGGAGAAGAAGGCGAAGACGAACCTCGGCGCCGGCGGCGCGCGCGGCTTCAAGTCCCGCTCCTTCGACTCCTTCGTCGCGGCGCTCGAGAAGGGCGAGGCCGACCACCTCTTCGCGGTGAACCCGGAAGAGGTCCGCAAGGGCAACATCGCCTTGAAAGACGTCCCCTACATGCAGCGCGGCGGCGCGTGGGACAACTCGGACCTCAAGGGCAAGAAGGGCTGGATGAAGACGGGCTTCGGCATGACGGCCTTCAACGACGGCAAGGCCGACATCAAGAAGATGACGGCCAAGGACAAGGCCTACCTCAACGCCAAGCCCGACATCGGCATCTTCGGCCAGGCCCTCAACTGGGGCGGCGGCGCCAAGGGCGGCGACGACCTCACGGCGCGCGCGAAGAAGAACGGCCTCACGAACGACCAGCAGATGTGGCGCGACTCCGGCGCGCTCACGGCCAACGAGATCGCGCGCATGAACCGGTCGCGCGGCGGCGGCGCGCCGAAGATCGGCGTCAACAACGAGCAGAAGGAGAAGAAGTTCTTCGGCCTCTTCTGAGCGGTGGGATCTTCTGAAAGCTTCTGTGTGTGTGTCCGACCTCCGTCGTGTAGCTTTCGCTGCATCCTCGTCCGAGCGTCGTCTAAATCTATCTATATACTAGTCTCCTGTGCTTCGCGGCGGTGGCGTGGCGCTCTTGTCTTCCCGGCGGTGCGGCGATGGCGTCGAGGTGAGTTCCCGTCGAGAGCGCGGCCGTAGCGATGGGCGTCGAGGCCGGGCGCCGCGGTTGCTTTGCTTTGAGCTAGGCCGCCTAGCCGCGGAGCCGAAGCCCCACTGCGTGGCCGCACGCCCGCCCCGACCCCGGCCCTCATACGCCGTCGCCCCGAGTGTTAGCTCGGAGGCGGCAGGTACTACAAGCACGGTATCTAAGCACGGTGGGCCTTGACGCCATCGCCGCACACCGACAGAGACTATAGATATACGAATGTTATACGCCCCCAACTTCTCATACGCCGAACATCTTCTTGAGCGCCGACAGCGTGTTCTTCTTGTCGTCCGTCGACCCCTCGCCGCGCAGCGACGACATGGGGCCGTGGAGCAGCTTCGACACGATGCCGCGCGAGAGCCGTTCCACGGCCTCGATCTCGCGCGACGACAGCGACTGCAGTTTTTTATCAGCTCTTTTGAGCTCCGCTTGCCGTAAATCCTCGGCCTTCGTCTGGAGTTTCGTGATGGCCGGCACGGCACCGAGCGACGTGATCCAGGCCCGGAAGGAGGCCTGCTCCTCCTCGAGGAGCTTCTCGGCTTCAACAATTTCTCGCCGCCTTTTGGCGGTATTCCTCTCTACCACAGCCTTCAGCGAGTCGACGTCGTACGCCCGGACGTCATCTAAGTCATCACAAGCAGGGTCGACGTTGCGCGGGACGGCAATGTCGACCAACATCAATTTCTCGCGACCCGCTTGCCGCTCGAGCTTCCCGATGTTCTCCGCGTCGAAGATATAATCAATAGCGGAAGACGCCGTGAAGATGATGTCCGCGTCCTTGGCTAACTGGTAAGCTACGCTATCATCGCCGTCGGACGCGACGACGTCAATATCCACATCGTAGCCCTCCTTGTACTCGTCGGCCATGTCCTTGGCGCGCTGATAAGATCTGTTGAGGATCGTGCACTTGCGCCCGACGGCGCCGTGCGAGGCCATGTGCGTCAATAACAGTCTTGTCATCTTGCCGGCGCCGACGATCAAAACGCGCGCGTTCTCCAGCTCGAGGCCGGCCAGATCTAGAGGAGCGCGTTCGGCGGCCAACTCGTACGCCGCCGAGGAAATGGACACGGCTCCCTTGCTGATGTCGGTTTCGTCTCTGGCCCTTTTACCGGCGGCGACGGCCGTGTTTAGCAAGCGAGACGTGACCTTGCCGCCGGCGCCCTCGATGGCGTTGGCGTAGCAGGCCTTCATCTGGCTGAGGATCTGGCCCTCTCCCACGACGAGCGAGTCCAAACCGGCCGATACTCTAAGAGCATGTGCGCTCGCATCAGACTCGGTGAGCATGAACAAGCTTTCGCGTAATTCGGCCATGGGCAGTCCCGAGCGCTCCTGGAAGTGCTGGGAGATGCTCGCGAAGGCCGCGCGCGCGTCGCGCGCCGAAAAATAGACTTCGAACCGGTTACAGGTCGAGAGCACGGCGGCCTCGGCGATGGCGCCGTTCGAGTCGTCGACGATGGCCTGGGCGCTCTCGCTCCACTCGTCCTGGGGGATGGCGAGCTTTTCTCGCACTTCAACTTTCGCATTGTGGTGCGAGAGGCCAACCACGAAGACGTCCAGGGACGTTTCCGCCGCTGCTAATCTCCGTTCCTTCTTGAGGCGGCGCTCCTCCTCCTCGTCGAGGACGACGGAGGACAGCGGGAGGGCCTCTTTTGTTTCGATCTCCGTGAGCGTCGCGGCCCTCGGTGTTGTGGCGGCGCGGGGCGTCCTCGCCGGCGCGGCGCGCGCGGGCTGTACGGCCGGCGCGACGAGCGCGCGGGCGCTCGAGACGCATGCTACCACTGCTAATACGCGGCGGGCCATGTTAGCAGTTCCGCGGGCGATCTTTGGCCAGGGATTGGCCTAGATCGTTTTTTCAAGCTAGCGGGCGCAGCAAGACGTCGCGGCCGCTGGAGTGTTGAATCACTGTTCTAGCGCAGCGTTAAGGGCGTCGCTGTCTTCGTTACTTGTCCGTAGGCTCAGATATCCGCTGCTGATGCGACGCCAAAAGCTCAGCTGCAAGCTTTTTGCTTCCTACTAGCGTTTTCTGCTGGGGTCGGCCGTGGAAGGGCCGTAGCAGGAGTCCTCAGGACGAGCGCGAGCCGCCCCAGGACGCGTGGACCGGGTCTTCGCTAGTGAAAAACCCGCACGTTAGCTTCCAAACTAAAAATGCGCGCGCGGGCGAACGGACGCGACTGGTAAACAAAAACGTTAGTAACAAAAGACCTACCCCCGCTTCGAAGACAGCCACCCCTCGCTCGACCCGAGAGACGCGTCCCGCCGCCTCCGCTCCGCCACAACCTCATCGGAATACACCGATGAACCCTCCAGGAACCCGCGTTTTGGTTTCAACGACGCGTCCCACTGCTTAACCTTGGCCTCGTCCTCCGTCCGCGTGTAGAAGCCCCGCAGCGCCGCGTCCGTGCGCCAGTGCTTGTACCCCGAACGCTTCTGCTCGTCCCAGTAGGCTCTTATCTCGGCGGACGTCTGTTGTTGGCCGGGGCCCTTCGCCGCGTTCGCCGCCAGTATCTCTTTTTGCGACGACCAGTCATCAATAACTGGGGCGCGCTTCTGCAACAACAAAGACCGCGCCGAGACCACCGCTTCTTCAGAGGCACCGTGGCGCCTTTTGACAACAAACGCCGCTGATATGGAAGGCGCCGTCGCGTCCAGGTCCTCAACAAGTTCACAGATTAATGTCGCTTCGTCGATCCGGCGGCCGCCCTGGTAGAGTTCGAGGACGCCGATATCTGTATCGTATTTAGCAGCGTGCGTCTTCGCGAACAGCTCCAGCAACACCCGTGATTCTTTGAGGAGCGTCTTCCTTTTTATTGTCGCGACGAAGGCGAGCGGTTTTTCGTGGACGCCTTCCAACTCGAGGCGCACGGCCCAGGGGCCCTTTTGCGTAAATACCGGCTCGAGCGCGTCGCCGCGGAAGGCCATCTCGCCGCAAGCGACGGGCAGCGCCACGACGTCGTCCTCGCATATTGCGATCTGCGTCTTGGGCTCCGCTGCCACCAAGTCACGGTTCGACGCGGCGCGGCCCTGTACTTGATTTCCCGCCGGTACACGTCGTACAGCCTCCTTCGGAGCGACCTGCGTGGGAAGACTCGTGATCGACGCACCGCGAATAAAAGGGGACGCCGCGTCCCGACGAGCGTCCCAAAATCCGCGTCGGGGCACGTCACGACTTTCCGCGACAGCCAGCCGCGCACCGGCTCTGTTATTCTACACCTCAGTACGACACCATCCAACGCCTCCTCGTCAGCGACACACGTCGCGCCCGGCTCCAGCACGGCGATTTTCGCGGAATCGAGCGCCTTGCGGAGGCGCACGACGGCCCCGTTCTTTGAACAGATTGTGAGCGTTTTTGGCCTAGAATAGAGCTTCCTCCTCCGACTTTCGTCGTCGTGCCGTCTCCGCAGGTACGCGAGGCGCTCGCGCGCCATTTCATTTGTAAAGGTCGCCTTCGTGCCACCAGAATTCTCCTTCTCAAAACGTGAAGGAGGAGGCGGCATGCCGCAAAGCCACGGCGGCGCGACGACGCAATACCTATCCGAGGGCGCGCCGTGCGCCGGGCCTAACGCGTCCAGGAAGGCCTCGTCGAACAGTAAACCCTGTCTACCGACAGATCGCCTTCGTGGCAAGGCCCTTTGTAACGCGACGGGCGGCGCGACGCGCACCAACACGTAGCCCTCGTCGTCGACGTCGCCGTAGTCTATCGTAGTTTCGTCGAGATAGTAGCCCGTGCCTCTAGCTCCCGTGCCGAAGTAGTAGCCGTCCCTGTGCTTATCGTAGGTCGTTCTAGGTATAAACTCGTCCTTGAAGCGCCGCCTCCTCGCGCGGCGCATGGCGAGCTCCGACGGCGTGAGCTCGCGGCCCTCGTCGTTCACCAGGCGCCGTCTGTGTATGAGACGCGCGCCGGGCACGGCCTTCACTACCTCGCGGCGCCGGTCGTAGGGCGACGCCGCGGCGACGTCGAGCGCGCTCGCTTCCGCTCTTGCCTCCAGAGCACTCATACTGCCTGCAGTGGCCTACCTCGTTGAGCGGGACAGCGTTCGGCTGCACGTCTTTCAAGGACTGGCACGCGTCGTATGGCAGAAATAACTGTTCGTCGTGTTCATGCGCTGAACAACATATTATAGCCGCGTATGCCAAATAAAGTGGACTCCGGCTTGCTCAGCCCTAGCGTCGTCGAGACATACTAGGTTTTAGCGTGGCGCCATTCAGCCGTCTGAGTACCGTTCGGTGCGCTACTGGTCCAAAGAGATCAATGGGACACGTACTGGGGGCCAAAAAGGGACATTTTTTAATTCGCGGCCGAGGGCGCCCTACGGTCTATGGCGGCCGCGCCTGTGGAATCCTGTCAATCCCTGCCCAAGAGGTCTCCCTGGGACCGCCTAGGGTCGATGCTATACACGTGCAAGCGCCTACACCGCATACGCCGCCGCTCCCAGCATTTTTGGCCAATTCTCTCGCCACTGCGCGCCCAAAAACCATGAATAGCTTGGCAATAGCTTTCAGAGCTCTGGGCTGCCGCATCGATGGCGTATGCGGCATAGGCGACTACCCGACCCCAGACCTATCCCAGAGGGAGTCCGCGAGCCGATCTGCTACCGAAAAAAGTAAACAATTTGGACCCGATGGCGCCCCGTTCCCGTCAAAAACGCCAATTACCCGAGGGGCCCCAGTAGTCGCCGTAGCGGTCTCGTTGGACCCCATACTACCCCATCGATAGTCAACTACGAGTATATGACATCTACACTGCGAGAAGGGTACTTTTGGCTGCCCACGCTCGGGACGTGAACATCTTGATCTGGACCTCGCGCAAGTCGGTCGATCATGGAACAAATGATCTCATCAAGGTCCATGGTGATGGTACACGGGCTGATGGTCGCAGGTCCAGGTGTGGTGCCGAATTAAGCGAGATAATGGGCTCGCGAGTTGGCCGAACCGCGCGGAGCATCGTGGGGTCTCGAGCAATGTAGTAGGCGCTCAGCCCGGTTATCTGGCCCGTCCCACTACTAAAGCGCCTGAAATGCAAATTTATTTCATAACTCACGGGTCTGGGGCCAATTCAGTGCCCCGCGTACGCACCGTCGTCCGCGGAGAACGGGCAAGTCGGTCGATCGTGAATAGAACAACGGCGTTATGGTCCATCTGGGTGGTGGCATCGCTGATACTCGCGGGTCCTACTTATTTACCCCTTAACGCAGTAACGCGGGGTCGCAAAGTCGACGAATCGCGCGGCTCATACGGATCACCTCAAATAGCTCAGTGCGCGCCGATGCGGACTGGATGGACTCTACCATCAACAAACGGAAGTAAACGAACATAAACGCGGGAGTTGTCTAGTAGAACTCTTCTCCCGCCCTCCGAGCGCGGGCCGTCGGCTCCGGTTCCGTCGAGTGTGGATGAAAACTGGGCTGGAGTTGATATAATGTACTATTTGGACGGTAGATGGCGGCGTTAATCGCTGGTGTACTTTGGCAAGCCTTAAGACTCATCCGCGAATGTCGTGGGCGGTGCCTTCCGGGAGGCGCGAGGGTATGTTCCCGGGCCGCTACTCTGAAATATTTGGTCTCGGCGAACGACTAGGATGTATTCTGAATTTGGGTCATTCTTTTGACGCTATCGAGGCGTATGTTTGAATTTGCTAGAATGTCGAGACGCTAGGTTTTCATTGCATTATTGTACTCACAAAACTTACTAGAACTTGTACTTCCCCCCGGGTTTATCGACGCGCACGACCTTGAAGTTCAACAACAACGTCTTGTCGACGTTGTCCGACTTCGAGGTGAGCACGAAGTCGAGCGCGCGGGACCCTGAAAAGGACGTAGGCTTCGGGCCGACCCGGTCGTGGGACGGGTCCGCCATCTTGCCGTCGCGCTGGTCGCCGACCATGGGGTACCCTAATTCGGGAGGGAAGATGATCTGGCGGACGCCGCCCTCGCGCACGCCCAATACGCCTTCTTCCAGCGCCGGCACGACTTCTCCTCTACCAACCACAAACCGCGAGTAGTCCTTTTCTCCTTCGAAGTCGCCACCTTTCAACCCAGCCTTCTTCTCGAAGGGCCGCCCAAAATAACCGATCGTGTAGCCCTCCCACTCGTAGACGACGCGGTCGCCAGTGGCTGCCGCCGCGCCGGTGCCCTCCTTGACGTCCTTGATCTGGAGGCCGGACTTCGTGGGCGTGAAGCCCGGCTGCTGCGTGACGAACTCGGGCGGCCGGACGGCGTTCGTAACTTGTGGTGCTGTTGCAAGCGCTCCCGCCGCGCCGGCGAGCGAGCGGCGGGTGACGCGCAACGCTTGCGTGATTTGGGCGAGCAGGAGCAGCCGTGCGACGAGTTTTACTGCCATGACCAACTTGCAGCTCTTTCACTCTTGCAGCAATCGCAGAGATTCTTGCCGTAGCGATCCTAGCCTGGCGTAGTGGTGTGTGCGCACAAATTCGCACACGGTGCCGGCCACTAATTCGTGTCGCACTTGTTGGTTGGGCGCCACCAATGGCACCATGTACCAGCCTGCTGTGGGCGCGGCGGCGGCGCGGGAGTGCCGCGCGCGGACGCCTCCCACAGACTCCCACCAGCCCCATGCACTACGCTAGAAAGTAAAAGAGACAATTAAGGGGCACAGGGGAGGTCCGCCGTCACGGCGCGAAGATGTCGCCGATGGCCTTGCGCGCGCCGTCGAGGGCGCCGTTCCAGCCGTCCCGCAGGAAGGCGTAGACGGGGCCCTCGCGCCGCGGCGGCGCGGCGTATAGCGCGTCGTAGTCGAAGGCCGGCACCTTCGCGGGCGCGGCCGGCCGGAGCGCGGCGATGGATTCGTCTCGTCTCCTACGTAATTCCTGCTGCAAATAATACCCGGCGCCACCCGCGGCGCCTAGCCCCACGCCGAAGCTCGCCGCGAGTTCTACCGCTGCGCGCACACCTGCCATGCTCTAGCTCTGCCTGAGATGTCGCGGTCGTCCGTCGTCCAGCCTGCAGGTGGTGCGTGGCGCGTGAGCCTCTTAAACAGTCCTTGGCGCCCGCGGGGCCACCTGGCTGGCGTCCCTGTCGTCCTCCTATTCTCGTCCGAGTTAGCTATTGTGTAACGCACTAGCTTTCCGCAGGTTGCTCAAGCGGCTTTTTCAGGCTAAAAAAAGCGAGGTGAGACTCCCGATCCGACCTCAACACACAGCGCCGAAGCAGCTCGAAGCCGTGGCGCAAGCGCTCCGGCAGCCGCACCGCCGCGCCTCAGAAAGGCCGTCTCTAGCTGAACGGCAAATTACAGCCTCAGCGCGAGGCGCGGGGCCGCGGCGCGCTTGCCGCACGCTTAGAACAAAGCCCCCGCTCCCCACGTCACAGCCGCCCACTCGCTCGTCCCGCGCAGGCCTAGGAGAGCCGCGAAGAACGCCGCAAGGATAGCGGCGATGAACGCCGCAAGGATAGCGGCGGCCCGCGCGGCGCCGGCGCTGCGGCGCCCGGCGCGGTCCTTTACCGTCCTCGAGACCATGGCGCGGCCCGTGGCGAACATGCCCAACAAAATCGCCGAGTACCGGACGCCCTACGTCCAGAACCTCCACCTCCACGGCGCGGACAACCCGACCTACCTCAAAGGCGGCCAGGGCGACCAGACCATGTTCGGCGTCGGCATCGCCCTCATCGGCTTCGCGCTGGTCCAGGTGTCGCGCGGCCTCTACAACATGTCGAACGGCGTCGGCAAGAACTCCTAGAGGACGCCCCCCGTGTTTATTGATTGCTGGTTTATCTTAGATATCGCCTCGGGGGCGACCCGGCGGCGCGCGTCGGCGGCGTCTTCATCACCGGCACCGTGCGGGCTTGGGTGCGCGCGGCGCCGTCGTTGGCCGGATCCGAGGGCTGCCCCATCGCGTCGCGCCAGTTCGACCGCGTGCGCTTCTCGTCGGTGGAGGGCGCGAGTGCTCCGCAGGACAGGAACGACAGGACACAGCAATGGAGGGCGGCGTGCGCATCCGCGAGGGAGCGCGGACGCCGAGCCCCGCCACGGTCGCGGCGGCCGCGGCCGCCGCCGACAAGGCGGCCGCGGACGAGCTGCGAAAAATCAATGAACAACGCGAACGCATGCGAGAGAAGGGCGCAACGGGCGTGGCGCGCGCGGGCGCGCTGCGCGACCTCGGCACGAACGCGAGAGCGGCGGACTGCCGCGAGCTCTACGCCGCGTCGAAGCGGAACGGCCGCGTCGATGACGCCTGCGCGCGCCAGGCGGCGCTCGAGGCGGCGCGGGACGTCATCCGGCGCAACGCGGACCCCGAGGAGGTCGAGCTCGCGTTGGATCTGGCGCAGAAGGCGTTGCAGAGGAGGAAGAGCGGCGGGCCGCGCGACGAGGACGCGATGGCGCGGCTCGGCGCGCTCCAGTGCCTCCGCGAGGGCTTGAAATCAAACGACGAGCACGTCCAGGCGCTTGCATACAGACGCCTGCCGAACGCGGCCAAGGCCCTGGCGGACGGCGACGATAAAGTCAGGCGCTGCGCGGCGCACGTCGTGAGCGACGCGCTCGGCGACGTCCGCGCGCCGGGCCCGAAGCCCCCGGGCGCGAACAAGCTGGCGCGGACGGCGGCCCGCGCGGCGGCGGCCGCGCTGGCCGACCGGTTTGGGGATGCGGCGGCAGTCGTGGCCTGCGTCGACGCCACGGGTTTGTGGACGCCCGAGGTGACCGAGGCCGTCGTCGCGAAGCGCGCGGCGGCGAAGGTTATGGAGCGGCGCGCCGTGGCCGACGCGCTCGCGACGGCGCCGGCCGGCGACGACGTCGACGAGGCCCTCGCGGCGCTGCTCGAGGACGCGGACGCCGGGGTCCGGGCGTCCGCCGAGTACGCGCGCCTGACGCAGGCGGCGGCCGCCGAGGATAAACTCGTGCGCCGGCGGCTCCGCGGCGACGGCGACGACGATGCGCAGTCGTCGTCGTCCGCGCCCCCGCCGGCGGAGAAGCCGCCGTCGCGCGAGCGGTGGCGCGGCACGGGGCGCGGCGACACGCCGCCGCTCGCGCCCGACGAAATTGCCGCGGCGGCGGAGTTTCCGGATCCGCCCGCCGACGACTCGGACTCGGACTGGGGCTCAGACTCGGACGGCGAGGACGCGCCGCCCGCGGCGCCGGACGAGACGCTCCGCCGGGGCGCGGGCGGCATAGGCGAGGCCCCGGAGCCGGAATTAACGGCGTTGTAACTAGTCACTTACTTTCTTCTTCCGTACCGATCGCGACAGTAACCCCCACAGTCCTGAACGTGGTTTCGCCGGAGGTGTATCGGGACTCTGCGGCACGCCGGCGACGCGCCGTTTGTACCATCGTTCGCGCGTCGGCGTGAAGGCCGGGTCCTTCGGCGGCCGCTCGGGGCTCGCCGGCGGCGTCGTCGTGATATATGCAGGAGCGGGCGCCTCGGCGTAGGCAGGAGCCGGCGCTTCGGCCGCGGGCAGCGGCGCTCGAGCCAGCGCCTCGGCGGCCGCGATGCCGGCCCGGCGTCGATTCCTCTTGAGCCGGCGCTTGCGCGCGCGTATGCGCTGGCGTTCTGTGCGGTCCGGTGCCTCGTCGGGGCCCGCGTGCTCGTAATCTCGAAGCGATCCGGTCGCCTCGAGGAAGGACGCCCGCACCTTCGCCTCTCGCTTCGCGAAGCGCGCGTCGAGGGTCGCGTCGGCGTCGTGGGGCCGCGGCGTGGTCGCGGCGGCGTCCTCGTCCGCCCCCGTCGCCTGCTCGGCATCTTGAGGCCGAAGCGACTTGTGCAAGGCATTGATGACGCGTCCAGGGCCCAAATCGACGGTGTAGTAGACGCCTCCCTCGGGGTCGTCGTGGTGGGCCTTCTGGACCACGCCCGAACTGCCGTCCTTGTAAATGACACGTGCACCAGGCGCGAAGGTAGCGTCCCCGTCGTCCTCGCCGAGGCGTTTCGGCCCCGTCGCCTGCTCGCCGGCGGCGAAAATCTGCTTGGGCCCGGTCGCCGGGTCCGGTTCCTCCTCGCCGAGAGCGTCGCCGCGACGTTGTAGCTTCCCGAAGGGGTCCGATTCCTCCTCGTGGGCGAGTTCGACCGGTTCGTGGCCCGCCGCGAGCACCGGCGCCTCGTCGTCTGACTCCTCCATCGCCGCAATGCGCTCCTCGAGGTTCGCGATCACCCGACCATCGGACTCCAGGGCGGCGACACGCCTCTCGAGGCCCGCAACCGTGTCTTCGGGTGCCGGTGTCTCGTAGACGGTGGGCGCCGGTGCCGGGGCCGGATGCGCACGAGGCCCCGGCGAGAGGAGCCCAAAATTCGTCTCCTGAGCAAGCACATTCAAACGCAATTGTTCTAAGCGCGCCGCTCGCGCCTCGGCCGCCAGAAAAGTCCGCGTGGCCCGTTCTTCGGCGCTCATCGCGCAGCGCTCAGCTTGCGCCGCCTCGCGCTCGAGTTCTCTGCCCTGGTCCCGGAACCCCAGCACGAACTCCTCCGCGAGCTCGTCGACCAGCGCGCCCGCGACCGACGACACGCGCTGATTTTGGAGTTGCGCGCGGAGCGGCTCGTACACGTCCAGGGCCGAGCGCCCGGCTCGCCTGCGCAGAAACAAAACTTCACGGCCTTCGCGACATCGCCGTGGCGGTTGATTTCCACACAGCAGCTCGCAGTTCGCAGTCTTCGACGGGCACCGCCTCGCCGTCATCAAATACAATTTCGCGCGCGCCCAGGTCGTACCCTCTGGCGGTCCGCGTCCGCGCGGCGCCCGCGACGTAGACGTCCCAGTCGACGGGCCGCACGGGGCCGCTTCCTCTCTTAAAATCCAGCGCCGGCGCGGCATCCTCGCCGGCGCCGAAGCGGACGGCCCGCGCGACGCGCGTCGACGGCGCGGCGTCCGCCGCCGTCCGGCCGGCGAAGTCGCGCCGTCCAGGCGGGGCGCCGCGGTCCCGGAGCGCCGTGACGAGGTTCGCGTCGTTCCGCGCCGCGGCGATCGCCAGCGCGCTGCGGCCCCGCGGCTCCAGCGCCGCGGCCACCGCCGTGCTCGGGAGCGCGTCCAGCGCCTCGCCCGCGGCGGCGACGGTCTCGGCGCCGAGCGCGGGCCGGATCTCCTTCGGCGCGCGGCGCCGCAGTTTCGCTTCGACGGCGGCCCGCCGGTCGACCAGCTCCAGGGACCCGCGCTCGCACTGGACGACGCGGCCGCCCGCGAGGGCGACGTCGTAGTACGGCGGGAAGTCGTCGTGGTGGCACTTTGCAATTGAGCCGAGCGTGCCGTCTTTGTATCTCACCCGCGTCCCGCGCGCCAGCGGCGCGGGCGCGGGGCCCGGGGCCTCGGCCGGCGGCGGCGCGGCGGCCTCCGGGAGCGTCGCATCGACCCGCTCAGGCACCGCCGCTTCCGCGCGACACAGCGCGGCGCGCGCGCGGGCACCGGCGAGTAAATCAGAGACGCCCGTGGCGACGGCCGGCGCGACGATCTTGCCGCGCGGCGGGAGCGCGGCGGCGCGGCGGCGCCGCGGCCGCGGCCGCCGCGCGGCGAAGAGCACGTCGGCCGGGGCCGGGCTGCCGCCGGCGAGGACGTAGATGGCCGCGGCGGCGGCGGCCGGCGGCAGCGGCGGCGCCTCGAAGGCGGCGGGCGCCGGCCCCGGGGCCTCGGCGTCCCTGGCGTCCCCGAGCGCCGCGCGCCAGGCGCCGCCCGCGACGGCCTCGACGACCGAGGCCGCGACGTCCGCGCCAGGGTCGTCGTGCGCGCGCCGGAGCTGCGCCAGCGCCGCGGCGTCGAGCGGCGGCGCGCGCGCGGCCCATTGCTCCCAGGGCCGCTCGGCCACGCGGCGGCGGCCCGCGAGGCGGTCCGACAGATGCGCGACCGTCGCCGCCGCGTCCGGGTCGACGGTCGCGGGCAGCGCGCCGGCCAGGGCCGCCGCGCGCATTATACGTAGCCGCTGCCGCGCGGTCTTCGCCGTCCGCGCGGCCAAAGCGGCGTCGGCCTCCTCGCACGCGACGCGCGCCGCCGCGTAGTCGTAGAGTCGCGGGTCGCGCGGCGTTTGCGTCGCCTCCGGCTCCACCGGTTCCACCGGTTCCGCCGGCGCCGGCGGCAGCTGCGCCTCGCCTTCCCTAATACGCCGGATCAAACTGACGACGTCGAGCCGCGGCGACGCCGCCATGGCGTCGTAGGCGCCGACGCCGTCGAGGACGCGCCGCGTCAGTGCGTCGATATCAAGTCCGCGCCGCTCCGGCTCCTTCGCCCGGGCGTGCAGGGCCCGCGCCCTCTCTCCTAACGCCCGCCGCCGCGCGCCGCAGGCCCGCAGCCGCTTCTCGGCGGCGCGGTGCGCCGTCCACCGGTCGAGCGCGGCGTCCGTTGGATGTTTATATCGCGCGAGCGCGTCGCCGGCGTCCCCGAGCGCGTCCTCGCAGGCCGCGGCCGCGGCGGCCGCGGCGCGCCGGTGCTGCGCGAGGTCGTCCAGGCGCTTTCTGTAGACCCCCTTCTTCGGGTCCTCTTTACTGAGCTCGTCGGCCAGCGCCTCGGCCTGGGCCAGGCACGCCTCGAGGGCGCCGACGTCGGCCGCCGCGTCGCCCTTGTCGCCGAACGCGCCCGCGAGCGCGCCCTCGAGGTCGTTGCGTTGCTTGTGAAGCTTTCGCACGGCCTCGTGGCAGTCGTCGATGGCGTTCTTCGTCGCCTCGCGCGCCACGGCCTCGGGCAGGCAGGCCCAGAGCTTCAATAGGGTGTCGAGCGGGTACCGGCCGCGGTCGTCTCCCACTGAAGCGGTATCATATGAAGCCAGCCATTGCAACGAGGCGCCCAGGCTCTGGTTGGCCTCGGTCCAGATGTTTGCTTTGCCTCTCAGAATATGCCCGCCGTCGCACAGTCTTCGAACGGTCCGCGCGAGGCACTCGGGCACGGCCTCGCCCTTTGCAATTTGTGGCGTGCCGTCGCCGCCGTAGAATTCAGCAGGAGCTGCCCTTGACGCCGCCAGCGCGTACGCAGCGCCCCGGCGGAGCAACGAAACGTTCGGCAGCTCCGCGACGTGGTCCCCCAGAAACCGTAACGCTTCGCCCCGCGTCAGCGCGTCGCGGTGCGTCCGCGCGTACTTCGACGCGAGGTCGAGCACGTCCTCGGCCCGCGCCGTGCGCCGCTCCTTTTTGACGGGCCGCCGCGCGATGTGTGGGTCGGCCGTGCGCCGGCCGCAGGCCGCGCAGGGGCCGACGTCGTCGACGCGCCCCGCGCCGCAGGCCGGGCAGGCCTTGCCTGGGGCGTCGCGCTCGACCTCGACCATCGTCTTGTCCATCTTTTATCCAGCGTCGGGCAGCCGGTGCGGCCCGCAACGACCGCGAGACAGATTTCGTGGTACCGAGTGTCGCAGCCGCACGGCGCCCGGCCCTTTTATACGGCGTCGGGCAGCCTGTGCAGGCCGCAACGACTCCGACCGGTTCACACTTGCTAGTATCTTACTGCCGCTAGCTCGCTAGAGCTCGTTCGGGTTTCGAGAGTCTTACACGCTTCTTTTAGCACCCTGGGGATAGATACGCGAGATTCAAGTCTCAAGGGACCCGGCAAATACACCGTTCTTTCAAGCTCAAGGAGACCCCGCGTCGTCGTCGCGGATACGAGTTCCAAGCAAGGCAGAGCTAGCCGCCGCCGATCCCACGCGAGAGGTCACACACAAACAATACTTACCCCGAAGAAGAAGCCGGCGCCGGCGCCTCGCCGTCCACGGGAAAAGCGTAGAGGACGTCGCTCCGGACCGCGAGCTTCGCGCCGCCGCCCGTGACCGGCGAGCCCTCGTGCACCGGCGCGAGCGCGGCGTCGCGCACGCCGTCCCGGCCCAGCTTGAACGACTGCCAGAAGCAGAGGGCGGCGCCCTTCTCCGGGGCGACGGGCACGGGCGGGCCTCCATCATCATCAAAAAAAGTCGTCGCGCCGCCCTCGCAGTCGTCCGTCAGGTAGAGGAGCATGGACAGGTGCGAGACCCGATCTACACCCGGCCGGAAGGCCCACCGTCCTCGTCGGTCCGCGGCGTAGGCCCAGCCGTCCTCGCTCAGCACCGTCCCAGCAAGCGTCGACCCGGGCCAGCAGTCGTCGCGGTGCGGCCGGAAGACGTCCCCCGAGTCCGCGCGGTAGCGGTAGACGCGCAGCCGCGGGTTCAATCCTGACAACTCGTAGAGGCCCTCGGGCGCGCCGGGGCACCGCCTCCGCTCCGTTCCGCCGGGCGCGGCCCAACGGTCCGCCGTCGCCGCGGCGCGGTACGCGAGCACGCGCGGCGGCAACAGGGGCGCGCACCGCCGGAACACGGGATCCAGATCCACGGCGAGGCTCACGGCGCCGTTCTGCTGGTCGCGGCGCTCGTCTTTTGGCGCTTCCTCGAAGCCGGCTTCATTGGCGAGCGCCGCGAGGCGGTCGCACTCCTTCGGCGTGAGCGCGTTGCGGATGACGAATGCGCCGGGTACGCCCGCCACGTCGGTCCGCGTGGCCTCATTTGTGTCGCTCTCCCATCCGACGGCCGCGGCCGACGCCCCCATCGCGGCGCCAACGCCGTCGGCGTGGCGCAGCTCGACGCGGAAGAGGCCCTCGCGTTTTGCTTTCTTTTTTTTGGTCTTCGTAGGAGTGCTGCCGAAGCCTCGCGGTGTGGCGCTGTGGCTGCATCGACGGCGTTGTGTGAACACGGGTGATGGTGGTCGCAGGGCTCGACTGCCGCAGAGGCAAAGGAGGGCAATGGTTGATGGGTGCATTTGTGCGAATTCACGGCCTGTGAATGTCCATTTTGGCGGACTTTGAAGGCTGAGCAAAAGAGGCGAGAGCTAGCGTAACGTAAGGCACTAGCAAGCAAGCCACTGCAGTGCAAAAGAGCTGTGGCACTGGCGCCTCTTGAACGCCAGAGGTTCGGCAGACGGTGTTCTCGCAGCCGCACTGCACCCATAAGAAGCCTGGACTGCATTCGTGCGCCGGCAGACACGGCAGCTGCAGCAGCACAATGGCAGCAGCCAAATTGATCCTCTTGCCGATCGTGCTGGCGCCGGCGCTACGCATGACGCGCCAGCGGATTGTCATGCGAGATAGTTCCTCCGTCACTTGGTTTAAGGCCGGTGACCGCGTAAAAATCATAGAGAGCGTCATGTCGCGCGGCCAGGACTTGCGAGGGAGGACAGGCACCGTCGCCGACGCGTGGGAGAAATGCGAAGAAGACCCGCATTGTTGTTGTGCGGAGCTGGCCGAGGAGGCTGCGGCTGTTACCGTCGATCTGGACCCGCCCGACGCGCGGCAGTACTACTTCGCCGAGAACGAGCTGGCAAAACTGCCGGCGCGCGCCGCCGCCGCGGCCACGGCCGCCGCCGCCGCCGCGGCTCAGGCGGAGGAGTTCGAGCCGTTGCTGGCGACGGAGCCGCGACGAGATCTTGCATTGGCACTCGTGTTCCCGCTGGTCGCATACAAGGCCGCTGCCGTCGCGAACGGCAACAAGCTGATGCCAAGCCTTGACGCGACGATCGCGCTCGCCTGTGTCGCCGCGATCTACTACTGTATTTAACATTTTATTAACACTATTCATCCGGCGTGGGCGGCGGCACGAAGCCAGTGTTTGCGAACCACTCGCCGGCTTCGATATATTCCGGCGCGTAGTCGGCGTAGATCTCGTCGCCGGCCGCGAGCGCCCGCGCGGTCCCGCTCCGCCAGCTCCACAAACACCAGTCGTCGCCGTCGCTGCGCCAGTTCTCAGCCGTCACCGCCGTCCTCGCACTCTTCGACGACGTGTCGCCGGACCGCCGTTTCCGCGCGCTGAGCCGCGCCGCGACGCGCGCGCCCGACGTGTCGAAGGACGTGAAGGGCGCGCCCGCCTTGTCGTGGTTGCACAGGTCGAGAAGCGGTACCAGTGTAGGGTTCTCGCCGCCGCCCATGGCCCGACTGGACACGACGCCCAGCGCCCAGCACAGGTCGGCGGCGTCGACTCCAGTATGCTGCCCAAAGTCTCGCGCCAGACCGTGCGAGACGCGCGACGCGTAGGCCGCCGCGCGCTCGGCCTCCTGATGGCACGTCTCTCGTTTTGCAGCGTCGCCCCGCGCCGCGGCATCCAGGAGAGCTGCGTATCTCGCCGAGTCGCCGCTTATTAACGGCGCCCACCCGTTGGGTAATTCTAAAATGTCCTGCGGCAGGCTTCGCAGGTACGGGCCCCAGAATGTGTCCTCGCGGGAACGCCGTCGCTCCGCGTCTAGCGCGGCCAGCCAAAGCACAACGACCGCGCCGTTGTCCAGTTCTCCGATGCCAGGCACGTTCGCCATCGCCGTTCTAGCGCGCCCCGCATTTATCTCGAGCGACGCCGGGACGACGACGAGCGGTCCCGTGCGCGCGTCGGTTTCAGGGATGGGCTTCTCCGCGACGAGGCCGCGCGACCCACACGGGGCTGGGTCTGCCAGCGCCAGTGACCGGTGGACTCGTCCGCCGTGACGCCTCACGAATGATGCGAGCTCTCCGTACTCGAAAGCGGTGCTGCTGCCCAGCAGCGCTAGGAATGTAAAAACCACCATCGATGCTGGCCAAAATCCAAGACAGGCGCGCGCAAAAACTGGGCTAGCGTTCGGTAACATACTAGCATGCACCGAAAAACGGCTTTGATTGCCTCGTAGGGCTGCCCCCGAGCGATTTAAACATACAAGATGATCCTCACGCAGTGCGCCGTCTGCGCCACCGACCTTGGGCTAACCTTGGGCAAGAAATGCGGCCGCTGCAGCACGCGCTACTGTGGGCCCGAATGCCAGGTGCAGCATTGGAAAGAAGGCGGCCACGACCAGCTCTGCAAGAAAATAAAAAAGGCTGGTGGCGCGGAGCAGTACAATGCGAATAAGAAGTACTCGGAGGCCGTCGCGGTCGCGGCCGAGAAATGCGCGGACGACACGAAGGGCCAGACGTGCTACATCTGCACGGAGGCTCTTCATCGACACACCAAGGAGGGTCTCGTGCGCGGGTGCTCGTGCCGCGGGACAGCAGGCTTTGCGCACGTGTCGTGCTTGGCGGAGGAGGCGAAGATTTGGTTCACGGAGGCCGAGGAGAACAATTTGGACTGGAAGGTGAAGATAGAGAGGTGGGATCGGTGGTACACGTGCAGTCTGTGCGAGCAAGAATACCATGGCGTCGTGAAGTGCGCGCTCGGATGGGCATGCTGGAAGACGTACGTGGGGCGGCCGGAGACTGACCGGTCTCCGAGAAGCGCGATGAGCCTGCTTGGGAGCGGTTTATCCGAGGCAGAACACCACGAGGACGCGTTGTCCGTGAAAGAGGCCCTGTTGGCTATGCTGCGGCGCGTTGGCGATTCAGAGTACAACGTGCTCGCCATGCAGGGCAATCTTGCGTGCACATATGGAGAGCTTGGGCGGCTTGAAGAGGCCCTTTGCCTGCGAGAAGATATATACTCTAGACGTTTAAAGCTCATCGGCGTAGAACATAGACAAACCCTCGCCTCAGCCAACAACTACGCGAATTCCCTCAGTGAACTCAAGCGCTTCGAAGAAGCCAAGTCGGTGCTGCGCAAGATGATGCCCGTGGCGCGGCGCATTCTCGGAGAGAGTGATCGAATCACGCTCACGATGAGAAAGATATTCGCGGAGGCGCTCTACCTGATCCCCGACGCTACGCTCGACGATCTCCGCGAGGCCGTGGCGACGCTCGAAGAGATTGAACAGACCGCCCGGCGCGTGCTCGGCGGCGCACATCCGCTCGTGCGGTCGCTGGAGGGCTCCATGCGGCTGTCACGAGAAGCGCACCGCGCCCGCGAGGCGAGTAACGCCTAGGCTCCTGACACACTCCCAAGTACGGCACGAGGCGCGACAAAGACAAGTCCAAGTAAAACCATTACATAGCTAAGCTCCGGGGTGGGATAATACGCCCAGTCCGAGGTGGGTAGTGTCCTCGAGCCCACGAGAAGGCCGCTAGAGCCCGTTCGCGAGGTAGTGCGCGGCCGTGCGCTGGTGGAGCACGGCGGCGTCGTGCGGCGGGAGGCCGATGTCGTGGAGGTCCTGGGCCGTCAGCAGGCGGAAGTCCTCCAGGGTCCGGATCTCCTCGTCGCGGAAGAGGCCGAGGTAGCGGCCCATGCCGGCCCCATCCAGGAACGCCGCGAGCGGGTCGCGCGGGAGCTTGGGCGCGGCCGGGAAGCCGGCGAGGCCCGGCGGCAGGCCCGGCGGCGGGCCCCCGCCGAAGCCGGGCGGCAGGCCCGGCGGCGCCGGCGGCGCGGCCGGCGGCGGCGCCGCCGCGAGGCGCGCCGCGCGGAGCCGCTCCTCGGCGGCCGCGAGGTCGCGGCGGCGCCGCGCGTCGATCTCCTCGGCCTCGCGCGACGCCGCGAGGGCCCTTGCCAGATCGTCGTCGACGTGCGCGTATCCATTATTATGGGGCGGGCCCGCGAGGTCCGCGAGGGACCGCCGCGGCTCGTGAGGAGGCACGTAGGGCGGGTCGTACTGTGGCGCCGGCGCCGAGTTGTACTGCGGCGCTGGCGCTGCCGCCTGGGCCGCGCGGCGCCGCTGCTCGTCCTGTGCCGCGCGGCGGCGCTGCTCGTCCGCGAACTCGTCGGCCGAGGCCTTTAAAGCGCGCTGCAGCTCGTCGTCTTCGTCATTCGCGGTCGGGGGCGCCTGGTGGTGCGCGTAGGCGTCGGCGGACTCCGCCAGCGCCCTTTCCAAAGCCGCGTCGAACTGTGGCGGCGGCGCGCGCAGCGAACGTTGCCGCGTCGGCTTCGCTGCGGGCCGGTACTTGCCCACATCGACAGCCTTCAACCGGGCCTGCCTCCCATACACCTCCTCGCGGTACGAGACCCTATCATCTTTTTTCAGGACGACGCCGGGCCGCACGCCGTCGCCGTGGAGCCAGATGTCCGCGCTCCCGTCGTCGGGCTTGATGAAGCCCTGATTTTTTATAGGATGAAACCAAATGACCGTGCCCGTCTTCTTGGGCTCCTCACGTTGCGCAGGCGGCGGCTCGTAGATGGCGCTCGGGATCGGCTCCGGGGGCTGTGGAGGCGGCGCTCCGGGCTCTGGCAGAGGCGGGTCCTCGGCGGGGTTCCACGAGTTCTGGCGCGGGCGTACTGGTGAAGGCAGCTGTGGCGGCTTTGACGGCAGCGGCGGGTCCTCCGCTGGTGAAAGCGGTGGCGCCGCCCAGGGACTCTCTGTGGGTGGAGGCGCCGTCTCAACGGAACCAGCAACACCAACCAAATCCCGCGCCTGCGGCGGCCCGGCGAAGAGCTGCGCCGCGAGGTCCACGTTCGTCTTTTTTTTTGCCTTCTTCTTCCTCACAACGACCGGAGAGGGCTCCTCCTTCATTTCACCATCTTTGACGTGGAGCTCCAGCTCGTCGATCGCTACGTCCGGCGCGACGGCCTCGATGCGCGGCGAGGCGGGCGCGTCCTTCTTCTTGCGAGCTTGCTGCACGGGCTTCACGAGCTCCTTCTCCCGCAGGCCCTTCTGGTAGCACTCGTAGCCCATGAGCTTCCACTCGTCCGCTAATCTTTTGGCGCCCTTGTTGCACTCGCACCGGTCGCGCCACTTCGTCCCTCGATAAAATCCCAAACGAAAAATGCACGCGCATTGCGCGCACTTCCGCCCGTCGTCCGGTGGCACGTCCCAACTCCTAAACTGGGGCGCGAGGTCCCACCACAGCGCCGTGAACGCTTTTAATTTGTCTGGGTCATCCGAGGCGCCGATTCTCCGCGCCCACGCCTCGCCGTGTTGGCACAGCTCTCCCCTACCCTTAAGAGCCTGTTCCAGCGCTTCGGACGGCACGACGTCCTTATTCTGGTAGGGGCAGCCCTGGGCCTCCCGCGAATACGTGCCGAAGGTCTTCTTCGTATCTTCAGCCCTTAATTCATGTGTCTCGCACCACAACCTGATGAGCGTGACGCTCTCCTGGCCCCAGCAGCCGCCGTCGCAGTTCTTGCGCGAGCGGTGGACGTTGTTGCGCGTCACAGGTTTTCGACTGAGATTGACGTGCATCTTGCACCTTTTACAAGTGGTCCCGTCGGGCGGCGGCACGGGGCCCTCGCGGAACTCCGGCCTTAAAGCTGTCCAGAACTTCAGGAACTCCTCCCTAGAATCAGCGTAGCCGATCCGACGCCACCACGCGTCGCCCTTCTCGTCCAAAATGTGGCCCTTGTCCGCGAGCTTCTGCTCGTCCGCGCTCAGGTGCAGTTTGGATTTAATAGACTGGCCCAGCGCCTGGCGCGCGCCGGGGCCCGTGAAGGACTGGGTCTTGAGGGCCCCGTGGGCCTTGCGCGCGGCCTTCTCGCGGCCCATGCTCGGGTTTGCTCTGTGCCTAGTTTTGCTCTGGTGCCTGGCTGCGAGGCGGCAGCGATGGCTGCAGCCTTTTGTGGGCGTTCCACGCAAACGAATAAGCGGCGAAACTACGTTTCTAAGCGCGGGCGCGCCTCGCGCTTGCTGTGCCTCTTTGAGAGTCTTGTGTGAGAGCTAGTGTGTTACTCGACGCTAGGGTCGACTGGCGCGCGAGATTTCGGCTGCCACAAACAGCCTCCCAGCCTCTCACACAACCAAAGATGGCTGATCGCTCGCCTCCGCGTAGAGAAGAGCCGCGCCCGCGCTCGCGCTCCCCGCCGCGGCGCTCGCGCAGCCCCGGCGCGCGCGACGCCGGCGGCGCGCCCAAGCGCGGCGAGTTCGGCGGCGAGGGCGGCCCGCGCAAGGCGGGCGTCTGCGTCGCCTGGAACCACAAGGGCTTCGGCTTCATCCGCCCCGACGACGGCCAGGGCGACGACCTCTTCTGCCACGCGACGCAGATCCGCGACGGTTTCATGCGGTGTCCTAGATATGCTTCTCCGCTATTGAGTTGAGCCACTTCAAATACAATTTTGGGGATGTTTCTCTGCTATTGAGACACGCGCCGGGGGAATGATGCTGCGCTCGCTGCTGCTGAGACAACATACCATGTGTGGTTGCTTGGTTTTCTGTCCCGCTGCGCCATATCTTCCGACAAAGATATCTTCCCGCTGCGCCATATCTTCGAAAATACCATATCTTCCTTTGTCAAATCACTCCCCGCTATGTCAAAATGAAAATTTTGCCACTTCCTTGCAATGTATACATATTACTAACCACTCACCACTCTGCTTCTCCATCAGGCAACTGCCTCGAGAAGGATGCCAAGGTCGAGTACGAGGAGGTCTTCGACGACCGCCGCAACAAGTACCGCGCCGTCGAGGTCTCCGGCGGCGTCGAGAAGGAGCGGGACTACTTCGGCCGCCGCGACGACCGCTACGACGACCGCCGGGACCGCGACCGCGGCTACGACCGCAGAGGCTACGATGATCGTGATCGCGCGTCCGGCGGCGTCCCCTGCGCTTTTGCCCTTGCGCTTATTTCCTGCGCAGGCGTCGAGCGCTACCGCCCGCGCGACCGCTACGACGACCGCCGCGGCCGGGACGACTACGACCGCCGCGACCGCGGCCGGGACGACTACGACCGCCGCGACCGCGGGCGCGACGACTACGACCGCCGCGACCGCGGCCGGGACGACTACGACCGCCGCGACCGCGGGCGCGACGACTACGACCGCCGCGACGACCGCCGCTAGGGCACCCACAGCGCGGACACATCCCCCCTCTCCCCCTTCTCGTTCCCTCCAATCCTCGGCCTAAACATCGAGGTCACGTTCACATTTACGCGCCACGTCTCTTCGTGAGCCGGGGCTTGTCCCAGGCCCTCCGTCGTTGATTGACTCGAGCAGGGACGGCGTCACGGTCGCGACGCCACGAAGGCGCCCAATACAAGAATTAGATACCTACGTCGGCGCGCCCTTCCTCGCGGTGAACTCGCGGAAGCGCTTCGTAAACGCCGACGCCTTGGCGGCCGCCGCGGACTTGCCGTCCGGAGTGAAGGCCTTGGCAGAGAACATGGTCACGCCCGTCCGACTCAGGAGCACGCGGTCCCGCACGCGCTCGGCCAAACAATCACGACCGCCCCACTGCTCCGGATTTAGCAGCGACGCGACGCGGCGGTGCGGCGGCGGCGGCCTATAGAAGTTCATGACTGGCCACATGAGCAACCTAGGATCGACGGGTACCGGTTGAGGCACCTTAGCTCGCGGGCCGCGGTCCAAAGCAAGGATGTGCGCGGCCGACGCCCGACTAAAAGTCCGCGTCTGCTGCGCGGCTTGGCGGTCCTTCGAGTTCGCGTACCTTACCGAATGCTCGCCTCTTAATTCATTCAGCAAGCGCAAAATACCAGCTTCCCTCCTTGGATCGTAGGGCGCGTTTTCCGCACCCTCTACACTATCAAGCAGCTTGTCCTGCGTCCGCCCGAAATCCGCGTGGTCTACCACCCTCAGTCGCACGAGCTTCTTGCGGTTCCGATCCAGTTTTTTTTGGACTTTCTCCCAGGGTTCTTCATTGCGTAAACACTTGAGGGCTGGTTTATATGCCTTCATACCAATGATGTACTCGGGGTGGCCGTCCCACGAGCCCCTCGATGCTCTTAAACTTTCTCGTTTGAGCTTCGCCGTCTTCGCCGCGTCCAATTCGTCCTCGACCCTTAACCAGAGCAGCCTTAGCACTGAAAGCCGCGCGCGCGTCGCCGCCTGCCGTGATCGCGTACCACGCTGTAGCACTTTAGCGGCGCCGTGCAGTTTGCCGGAGCCGTACTTGAGCAACCGCAATAGATGGGTCTGGGCGAAGAACCACCGCAACCGCCGCGCGGCCCGCCTTTTTCTGTCGATGCGGATCGCCAATAACAACCGCAGGTTCTGCTTCACGGCAACCGCCAAACGCGCGGACCAGTAGACGTGCCTTCTGATCCGCTGGCTGCGCCAGTTCCTTCCTAGAATTTTGGCAGCTTGATTCTCGGCGCGCCATTCAGAATCCGTCTCGCGGCGCTTTTCTACTGTTGTAGCGCGGCGCTTCAGGTCCAAACCCGACGCCGCGAGGGCGCAGGCCGCCAACCACCGCTCCCGCCGCGCGTGCTGCTTCTTGCGGAACTCGACGACGTTGCCCTCGGTGCCGCACGCCGCGGCCTTCCTTTCGACGGCGCCCCGCAACATGTCCTCGCGCTCCCGTTGTAACGTTTCGCGCCGCTGCCGCGCGGCCTCGGCGCCGCGGCCCGCCGCCGAGCCGCGCGAGCCGCGCGACGCCCGCAGGGTCGCCGTCGACGGCCGCGCGCGCGGCGTCGCGGCGCTCGATCTGCGCGACAACTGTGCCGACCGCGGCCTCGATGGCGGCGGCGTGTCGAGCGTTGATGATAGAGACGCCCGCAGCGTCGCTGCCATAGCCGTCGCCGGCCGAATGCAGCTCTCGTCGTCCGTCAGCTCGGACACCCGGCGGCTTCGCCTACTCGAGGTCCGCGTCTTCGGCCGCTTCGCCGTCCGCGGCCGCCCCTCGAGCGTGAAGAGGCTGCTCGTGTCCTCAAAGCCATATGTAACAGCGGTCCGCTCCGCGTCGAAGGCGCAGCGCACCTTGTATTGCGACCTTCCAGACTTGTCGAAGACGAGCTTGAAATTGGGAGGCGGCGCCCCCGGCTCGACGAGGTCCGCCACGGCGTCGGCTTCCGCCCGTCTCATCAAATAGATCTGGAGCTTGCGGTTCACGACTTCCTTCCCCACAATACGGTCGGCGCGGCGCGTGCCTTCCTCATGCTTCTCGGGTGGCGGTATATAGCCGGGGGGCCGGGGGCGCGGCATGGGGCTGCCCCTTTTTGGCTGCCGTTCGTGACCGCTTAAGTACTCTCTCTTTGGCTGCCCTGTTTTGGCTGCCCGGTCCTCGGACGGTCCTTCTTTGCGCCGCGCTCGATTGAGAGCAAGCCGCGTTGGAGAGCATTTGCTAGTGTCTTACAGGCCGCTAGCCCGCGGGATTAGGCAACTTATTTTGAGCGTGGTGACTGGACCAAGTGAGGTGTGCGACGCACCTTTAGTACAGCAATTTGGTCCTCAAATATCAAGCGTTGAATAAAACTCTGCTGTATGGCCGCAAAAATAAAGGCCAAAAGTGGTGGGGCAAGTGATTCAGTGTATGTACGTCGTAAGCGCGAGCGGCGGCCCAAAGCCTCCGGGGCTCCGCAGTTTGAAGTCACCGGAACGCACGTAGTGATTTTGGTCGGGGCGCTCTTCACTCTCGCATGGTTCGCGGGACTACTCCCGGATCCGTAATCGTAACATCATGCCCACGATCCGCCAGGTCGCCGGACTCGGCTGCTACATCGTCGCGTCGACGCTCCTCGTCGTGACGCTGCGCGTCGGGCCGGACCCGGGCGAGCCGGGCGGCGACGTCGTCGAACATGCGCGACTCTTCGAAAAGTACCAAGCGACAGACCCCTTCGTCGGGGTCGTCGTCGAAAGGTATCAAGCGACAAAGCCCCTCCGAATCGCCTACGACCCCGTGATCAAGCCGCGCCGGGCCGCGCCGCCGGACTGCGCGCGGGCGACGCGCGCCGTGACGGGCAACTCTACCTATGGCCGCCTGAACAACGCGCTCATCGCATTGGCGCACCTCCTCGAGTTCGCCGCGACGGCGCCAGAGCCTACAATGGTGGTGCTGCCGGACCACGTCAAGGAGTGGGTCCCACGGTCGGAGTTCAACTACTCCGGAGCCCTGGGCGGGTGGGCGTGCGTCGCCGACGCGGCGCCGGCCGGCCTGCGGGTCGAGGCGGCGGACCTGCGGGACATTTACTGGTGGGCCGCGGAACCGACGACGAACTTCGGCGTCACGGGACTGCGGTCCCACAGCGCCGAGCTCAAGGGGCTGATCCTCGCGCAGATCGTCATGCGCCCGCAGCCGGGCCTCCGGGCGCTCGTGGCGCGCGCCACGCCGAAGGGGCCCTACGTCGCGATCCATCTGCGCTCCCTCGAGGGCACTTGCGTCGCACGGCTACGGTTGGAGGGCGTCGCGGTCCAGCGCGTCACGGCGCGCGACATGGGTCGCGACGTGACGGCGGAGGACCTGTGCTCCATGTCCGGGGCCTACGTCAAGGCCGCGCTCCGGATGGACGCCGTTCCAAAAAACTGGCCCATCCTCTTGGTGCACGACGGCCAGAACACGCAGAAAGCCGGGAAACTACGGAAGAACTGGCACGCCGTCGAGACGCACGCCACGGCCTACGCGGACCTGATCCTCGCGGTCCGGAGCGCCTACTTCATCGGCAATCCGGCCTCGAGCTTCTCCGCGAACGTGGTCATGATCCGCCGCGCGCTCGGCGCGGCGCCGGAGAGCACGAACCTCCGAGTGCTCGATTTTCCCCGGCCAGGGTCGTATAAATGAAGATTACTCCGTAGGGAAGGCACGCCGCGCCGCCGCGACCGCGGCCGCGAAGACGACGGGATTGTCCCACGCGCCGGTGTCGAACGATTCCGCGAGCGCCGCGGCGGCGGCCGTGGCCGCGACGCCCCGGAGCAGCGGTTGTGTTGGTACGGACCACCAGCCGAGACCTCGGAAATACAAAGCGAAGGCCGCGCCGCCGAGCGTCGTCGCCACGAAGAAGGCGCCCGTGCCGACAACGCTCTTCCGCCGGCACCAGGGCAGCCGCGGCGACCGGCGGCCGAATGGCGAGGCCCCGAAGATCTCCGCGGCGCCGTCACCCGCGCAGAGCGCGACGAGGGCCAGGACGCCGCTCAGTTCGCGCCAGCACAGCATTGTGGCGGCGACGAAGACGGCGCCGTAGAGCGCTGGCCCTCGCAGTAGCTCGCGGCGGTCGCCCGACCGCGACATCGACGCGACCGTCTTCGGGTCGTCAATCAATCCGGACCCCGCCGCCGCGGCCTTGAGCGTCAGCGCGAGCGGTCCGACCATCGCCCAGTTCTTGGCCGTCGCGGCATCGCTGAAAAGTGGCCAGCACAGCAGGAACAAGGGGCCGGCGCCGACGTGCATCGTCTTGCGGGCAGCCGGTCGCGAGATCGTCTCGGAGGCCGCGAGGTACTGGACGAATTTGTCGAAGCCGCCTAGAACCACGAAGCTCTTGGCCAGCGCCTTGGCGTCGTGCGGCAGCGCGTCGAGCGTTTGTTGTACCCCACCGCCGCGGAGTTTGAGGGCTGGCAGCGCCCGTGGGTTGCCGGGCAGGGCTGCGGAGCCAGCTGTGAGCACCAGTAGTACACGCATCGTATCCGTCAGTGCTGTGCAGCGCTTGAGTGTGTGCCACTGCGAGAGATACACAGACTCGGCACCTCTTCACTCTGGACGCAGTTACGAAACAGTCCGGAATCGGGAATAAGCAGCTTTATAGCTCAGACTGGGGCGCGCTTGCGCGGCGGTGAGGCTCCGAGCGCGCGATTTATTTTTGGGTTCTAGCGCCACAGTAAGATACTAGCAAGAAAGCGCGGCCGAGCCCCGCAGAAAGCAAGCAAAGCGCGCACGGCCTTGCTAAATAATACTGCCTATTCCATACAGAAGAGCTCCGCTGCCTTACACGTGCAGCCCGGCAGCTCAACGAGATGAATATGAGAGGGGCTGCTTGGTTCCTGCTCTCCCTCGCTGCCGCCACGCGCGCGCTGCCCAGCCCCGTGCGCCGCCTTAGCTCCGTGATGGACGACAGCACGATTAGAACCGCCGTTACCGCGTGGTTTGACGACCGCAGCGGCGCCGAGGCGACGTACGGCCACATCTCGACATGGGACACGTCGGGGGTGACGGATATGTCGGAGTTGTTTTGCGCATATAGTAACTGGTGTCCCTCGTACTACAACACGGACGCGGCGTCCTTTAACGAGGACATCGGCGCGTGGGATACCTCTGGAGTCACGAACGCGGAACGAATGTTCGCCTACGCCTCCGCCTTTAACCAATACATCGGCGCGTGGGACACCTCTGGCGTCACTGACATGAACGGGATGTTCTGGAACGCCGAGGCCTTTAACCAGGACATCGGCGATTGGGCGGTGGACACCGTCGCGAGTATGAGCATGATGTTCTACTCTGCCTCGGCCTTCGACCAGGACATCGGTAATTGGGCGGTTCACAGCGTCAAGGACATGACCGCGATGTTCCAGTGGGCCTCGTCTTTTAACCGAGACATCGGTGGTTGGGCGGTTCACAGCGTCACGGATATGACCTTCATGTTCAGCAGTGCCTCGGCCTTCGACCAGGACCTCGGTTGGTGCCTGGACGACGACGTGGACCTTTGCAACCAGCATGGAAGCTGCGCTTTCGACGACACCAAGTGCGCGTCGACGTCGTGCGGCGTCGTTCAGAAAGCCTTAAGCCCTGCAGGCACCTGCGCGCCGACGCCCGCGCCGACGCCCGCGCCCGTCTCCGGGCTGCAGTCCGACGGCGCCGCCCCCAAGGCCGGCGCCGGCGCCGCCGCCGGACTCCTCGTCGCCGCCCTGCTCTAATAGCGAGGAGGCCGAGCGTTCTCGCGCTGCGTGCCGAACGCGCACGGGAACTCAAGAGCCCTTCAAGTCCCCCCCCCCCCCCGCCTCGGTCCCTCAACGACGACGCGCATTTCATACTCGCAGCGTCCCCCCCCCCGTTTCTCCGAGTCCAAAAGTCTGTTGAAGACTGTTTATAGCCTAAGTTGATCTCACTGGCAGAGTCATGATCACTGGCAAAGAGGCTTAGGAAAAAACGCCAGCAAAGCGCCACTATTTGCTGGCGCACCAGCGCGCGAGCGCGGGCGGGGCCTTGAAGAAGCCCCTCGAGAAGTCGTACTTCAGGTCGCCGATTGTCCCCTGCCGGCGGAAGTACTCGTCGACGGTCGTCGCCGTTTTGTAGGACTCGTAGCGGTACCAGCTCTTGGAGCCCTTCTTCTTCGGGTTCTCCTGGTTGTACTTGAGCGAGCCGTTGGGCACGTCCGACGGCCGCGGCGACGCCGGCGCGCCCTGCTTGGGCTTGGGCGGCGACCGCGGCGTCGCCGCGGCGGGCTTGCGCGCCGGCGGCCTCGACCGGCGGGCCGCGCCCTTCTTGGGCGCGGCGTCCTCGTCGGCGGCAGCGGGCGATTTCGGGGGCCGCCCGCGCTTCTTTTTCGGCGCCGGCGCCTCCTCGGCGGCGGGCGACGCCGCGGCGGCGGGCTTGCGCGCGGCCCGCGGCGACGCGCTCGGGATCTCCGTCGGCGCGCCGTCGAAGCGGTCCGTCGCCGTCCGCGCGCGCGACCGCCGCGCCGCCGCCTCCTCGGCGGCGGGCGACGCCGGCGCGGCGTCCACCACGCGGAAGTAGCCGCCCTTGAGGTCGTACTTGAGGTCCGGCTTCTTGCCGCCGCCCTCCAAGTACTCGCGCGCCGTCGTCGCCGCCTCGACGCTCGCGGGCCGCTTGACGCGCTGGCGAGGCTTCTCCGTGCGCGCAATCGGCGCGTTGCGCGCGACGAGCGCGTCGACGTCCTCGGCCGTAGGTGTTGCGGCGGCCGGCGGCGACGGCGGCGGCGACGAGGGCGGCGGCGACGCCTCGTCGCCGCTGCTCTCGTCGAACTCAAAGTCGTGCGCGCGGTGCTTCGGCGCAGGCGTGGGCTTGCGAGCCTTCGGCGGCGGCGCGCGCGGCTGTGCGGGCGACTCGTCGGCGTCCGACTCCGACGACGACTCGGCCGGGACGGCAGCGGGCGCCGGCGCCGGGGCGGCGCGGCGCGGTCCGGCGGGCGCGGTGAAAATGGACTTTGGTCCCTCCACGCCCGGCCGGCAAGGCGAGAGCTTTTTCTGCGCGCGCGCCGGCGACGCGGCGGGCGGCGGCGGCAGGCTCTGGAGGCTGTCGGCCCTCGGCGGCGGCGCGGATCGCGGCGGCGGCGCGCGTGGCGGCGGCGGCCGCGGCGGCGGCGCCGGAACAGCAGGAGCGCGCGGCGCCGGCGCTGGAACAGCACGAGCGGCCGGCGCTGGCGCCGGAGCAGCAGGAGCGCGCGGCGGCGGCGCGGCCGGCACAGATCGTGGCGGCGGAGACCGCGGCGGCGGCGGCGCCAGAACAGCAGGAGCGCGCGGCGCGGGCGCAGGCGCCGGCGCGGCCGGGAACCTTGCTCGCGCGGCCGGCGCTGGAGCGGCCCCGGCGTGCGCGAGGAGCGCTTTCGTCGCGGGCGAGGCCGCCGGCGGCGGCGCGGCGGCCCGGGCGCCGCCGGCGGCTAAGGACATGAGGGACTTCGTCGCCGGCGAGATAGGCGCGTCGGCGCCCGGCCGCTCTGGCGACGGGTGCGCCGGCAGCGTCGGGTACGTCGTCGCCACGACGTCGGGCCCGCTCGCCCAGGGCGACGGCGCGGGCGCCGGCGACGCAGCGGCGCGCGCCGGCGACGGCGCCGGCGACGGTGCCGGCCAAGCCACAGGCGACGGCGGCGACGGCGGCACGACGGGACGCGCCGCCGCCGCCTGCTCCCGCTGGTACGCGGCCCGGATCTCGGCGATGCTCGGCGCCGGCGCCGGCGCGGGCGAGGGCGGCGAGGGCCGCGCCGCGAGCGTGCCCCCGGTCGCCGCGAAGTCGAACGCGATGGCCGGCGCCGGCGACAGCGGGTCCGAAGAGGCCCGCCGCTTCGGCGACGGCTCCTCCTCGAACGACACCACGGCCACGGGCCGCTTGGGCTTGGGGGGCCGCGTGCGCGTGCCGCGGTGCCGGACCCGCGGCTCGTCCCCATCAGATTCATCTGAGTCCGACGCCGGCGCTGGGGCGGGCCGCGGGGCAGCCGGCGGCGGCGGCGCGGCCTTTCCGCGGTACGGGCCGGCGGTCGCGTACTGCGACGGCGGCAGCGGCGGCAGGCCCAGCAGCGCGCGGCAGGCCGGCGCGCCGCCGAGGTGCGCCGCGCGCGCCTGCGGCGACTGGAACTCGCGCTTGCAGGCGCGGCACACGCACGACGCGATCGTCTTCGCGGCGTCGCGCGGCGGCACGTACGCCTTCGGCGACGGCGCGGGCGGCGGCCGCGCCTCGCAGGCGGCCTCGAGCCGCGCGTCGCCCGTGCAGACGCCGCAGGTCCAGGGGCCGTCGACGGGCGCCGGCAGGCACGCGACGTGCGCGCGCGGGCCGAGGCACGACGCGCACGCGACCATGCGGCCGTCCGGCCGCGCGCAGAGGTCGCAGAGGGTTCCGCTTTCCAAGAAGGCGTCGGCGCAGACGGCCTTGAGCTTGATCGCCGTCCGCGGCCGCCGCGGCGCCGAATTGCGCGGCCGCCGCGGCGCGCTCGGCGCGCGTCTTTTTACAGGCGCCTCGACCTCGTCGGGGTCTTCCCCCAACCGCTTCGTGGCCTTGCGCCGGCGCGGGCCCTCGATGACAATTGGTTTGGGCGGCGGCGGCGGTTTCGTGGGCCGCGCGGCGTCGAGCGCGCGCTGCGCGTCCTCGGCGCGCGCCCTTAATACGGGCTGGGGCGTGACGCCTCTCCTATCCTTGAAGTAGCCCCGCGGCAGTTTTCTAGGAACGGGTTGTGTCGCCGACCAGCCCGCGTCCAGTCGTTCCTGGCACCGATCACAAAAATGGTCGCCGGTGGGCGTCGCCGTCAGGCCGAGGCAGGCGACGTGGGCCGTCGCGCCGCAGCGCCCGTCAATACCATCACACAATAACAAGGTAGCAGCGTCGGCGTCGGACCCGCAGTAGTCGCAGCCGTTAATGCGCGGCTCCGCCCAGCGGAAGACGTGGCCGTCGACGTGGTCAATATAGCCGTTGCAGCACTCGCCTATGGAACCGTTCTTCCGCGTGTTCTTCCCAAATAATCGATTGGCCGCGGCGTTGCACGACGGGTGCTCGTGCTTCACGCTGCCGTCCCTTGCTAGTTCTAACACTGCCCTTGAACCGGAATTCAGCCATGCCACTTCATTAATATACCGGAAGTGGTGACCACCTGCCGATTCAGCTAAACCATTGGTGACGTGCGTCACGGAGCACGCCGCCAGGCCTAACTTGCGCGCGGCATCAGCCGCGCCACAGTAGACGGCGAGCTCTTCGCCCGTCGCGCCGTCGTAGCGCGCGATGGCCCGCGTTCGTCCGCTCCGACAGTAGCAGTTCGGCTGGCCCGACGTGCAGGGGATGATCCGGCATGCTTTTGGGACGGGGGGCATGCCCCTTCGCCGCTCCTCCTCCTCCAGACCTTCGAGCCGCGTCTCGCAGACGGCCGCGCCGTTGTAGTGGACGCAGTGCGCCCGCCAGACCGCCGCCGGCGTCTTGATTCTTCGATCATACCCTACCCTCTTAAAAAACGCGAACGCCTTGTAGTCCGCGAACGTCAATATAGATTGGGCCTGGTAGTTGTCCACCGCATGCCTTTTGAGGTAGGCCATCAATTGCCTTCCTAGGGATCGACCTTGGCACAGGTTCTCCACCGCAAATAGAGCGAGCTCGATGAAGCGGCACGTGCCTCCCCTAAAAGCATGGGCTTGTGGTCTAAACACGCAGCCGCCTACCACAACACCATTTCCATTTATTTTTGAAGGGGCTGTCAGAGCGATCGCGGAATAATCGCCGCTCCTCATATAGGTCGGCCCATCAACCGCGGGGATGTACGCTCCTACTAATCTTGTAACAGCCCGCGCGTTTGTTTCTGGCGCGTCAACGCCGCCCGTCTCCTTCGCGCAGCGCTCCGCGCTTATGAACTCGAAGGACAATTGCGTGATGTCTAGGGTGTCCACGTCCGGCGCGACGTATTCCAAGTGCACGATGCCCTTGGCGTTGCCGGCGCTTTTTGTTGAGCGCTTGTCGTCGTTGGCGTCGGGCAGCGTGGCGCTGTCCGTCGGGGACTCGGCCATCGCGTCCCCGCTTGCCCCGCTCCTCGTTTCGGGGTGCTGCTCACTTTGCTTGCTTTGGCGTTCCGCCGGCCCTTCCCGAGGACTGTCGCTGTCTCAATTCTTTTTTACTCTTTGGATGGGTGCCGCCCGGCCTCTAGGTACTGCCAGGGATGCCTAGCGGGCTCGCGGAGAGCTGCAGAGCTGCCGATTTTGCTTTGCTCGAGTTTGCTAGTGTCTTACCTTCCGCTAGGGTGTTGAGCGCTCAAAGACTACCTGTATGAATCTCTGAAGCGTCCCGTGAATGTCCAAGAGAGAAACCGTGGATCTCTCCTGCCTCTCCTGCCTCGAGATTTTGCTCTGCGACCTCACAATCGTGCGCTGCCTTGGCGGACTGCACGAGCATAAAAGAGCCCACACGACTCCATTTGTTGTCTCTGATAGCCACGGCTGCGGAGCATTGCTCAAGACGCGAGCACTCCCAAGCTCTCCTGCCTGCAGCAGTGCCTTGCAATCTCTTGACGCTGTACGCGACGTACACGATAAAGCGCAGCAGTCAAAAGCATGGACGAATCGTTAACCGGCAAAAGCATGGACGAATCCCTCACCGGCAAGCCGCCCTTCAAGCCGCTCGGCCTGCCGCACCGCATCACCTCGTCCAACAGTGCGACGAATTTACATGGTACGGACGAGCTCGACGACAGCGATAGAGATGGTAGGGTGCTGGTATTATTGACGGGCGGCACCATGGGCATGAAGCCGAATCAGAGAGGCTCGCTCGAGCCGAAGGCGGGCTACCTCGCCGAGCAGATGAGATTGATGCCAGAGTTACGAGAAAGGCGCATGCCGGCCTACGAAGTTGTCGAATATGCCCCTCTCTTGGACAGCGCGGACATGGTGCCGCAGGACTGGCGTAGGATAGCGCAGGACATCGCGCAGTCGCACAACCAGTTCGACGGGTTCGTTGTGATTATGGGCACGGACACGATGGCCTACTGCGCGTCGGCGCTGAGTTTCATGCTGGAAAACTTATCAAAACCAGTAGTGCTGACGGGGAGCATGATCCCCTTCGCCGAGAGCTATTCGGACGCGCGGCGCAACCTCGTGATGGCTTTGATCTTTGCGCACGCGGGCCCGAGCGAGGTCGTCGTGTTTTTTGGGGATCGATTACTCCGGGGCAACCGCACGACGAAGGTCGACGCGCTTGCTTTGTCGGCCTACGACTCGCCGAACTTCCCGCCACTCGCGTCGTGCGGCGTCGCACTCAGAGCAAGGTACGACCTGGCGCTGGCGCCTTCCTCAGAACAAAGGTGTAAAGCGTTCACGCAGATGGAGACGAAGATCTTGGTTTTTCGCATGGTCCCCGGCTTCGACGATAAGGCCTTACTACGCTGCCTCGAGTCGGACGAATTAAGGGCCGTCGTGTTGGAGTTGTATGGGACGGGCACGGCGCCGGCGCGGCGCGCGGGTCTATTGAAGGCGCTGCGCGCGGCGCGGTCGCACAATGTATTGGTAGTGGCGACGACGCAGTGTAAACGCGGCGGCGTGGTCCTGGCGACGTACGAAGTAGGAAGGCTATTGGAAGAGGAAGGTGTCGTCGCGGCGGGGGACATGACGACGGAGGCGGCCGCGACCAAGCTCGCGTATCTCTTCGGAAGGTACCCCGGCGACATGGACGCGGTCCGCGAGCTCGTTGGCGTCTCGCTGCGGGGCGAGATCTCGCACCCCGACGCCTACCTGCGGCCCTTCTTTGAGGCGCCTCGCTACAAGTCCTCGGGCTCCATCGAGAGCGACCCGACGAAGCGGCCGCCCGCGCCGCCGCCGGCCCCGACGGAGCCGCCGCCGCGCGACGTCATGCCGCCGCGCGACGTCGTGCAGCGCCGGCGGGATATCGCGCTCGGTGCGGCGATCGGCGTCGGAGTGGCGCTCGTCCTGGCGCGGCGGCGGTGAATGCTCTTCTTCCCTGCACGCCATCGCCGCGGCGCGGTCCGCGTCACTCCCCGAAACGAAGTAAATGTCTATGTGTAGTAACTTCTTACTCCTCGATCTTCACGTGGATGGGCGACTCGGTGCCGGGCGCCGGCGGTGTCACGCTGCGCGAGATGCTCTCCCACATGCTGAAGCCCTTCTTTTCGTCCGACTTGTCGTCCTCCTTGACCTCCTCGGCGGCCTCGGCGGCCTCGGGCTCGAACGAGGACCGGCGCTTGACGGGCAGGTCGGTCTCGGCGGCGACGCGCTCGGCCACGGCCGTGTTCCCGTTGTGCGCCGCGAGCGCGCCGAAGACCATATGCAAGACTGCGACGAACGCGAGGAACACCATTCCCGGGCGGATGCGCACGGCCAATCTAAAGCAGGTGGTATCACCACCGAGGGCATTCTCCATGAATGCGGACAATGCCCCGTCGACCTCCTTGCACGGCCCCCTCACCAACATCCTCACGAGTCGAGGCAATTGAATGGCCGTCGCGAGGATCGCCACCAACAGCACATCCAAAGACGCCCAGCCGTAGGCCCACTCCGTTGTTGTTCGGCGAGTCGATCGCCTCGACCTGTGCGGAAATCAAAATTTTACGGCGCGTTCGATGGCGTGGCGGTGCCGGTTCCTCACCGCTCGACGGAGCCAGCGCACCCGACACACTGGTTGATTTCCACACAGGCCTCGACCTCGCGCTTAGGCTGTTTCAGCAGAGCACGCTAGGAAGGAGCACTAGGAGCGTTGCCGCAGCCCTAGCTACGCCACAAACCAGATCTCGGCGAGGGCACTCACTATCCCGGACGGACGCGGCGCGCCGGCGTCTTCGACCTCGCGAGCGTGCGCTGCCCGATGCGCGGCCGGCGGTCCTACGAGATATCCTACGCTACAGAGAAACCCAACGCGGCCGGCCAACGGAAGAAACCACAAGAATCACACACACAAACAAAAGCCTTAGAACCGCCGGTTGCTCCGCAGCCCGCCCTCGACGAGCGACATCTTCGGCCGCCATAAACTATCATACAAATGCCGCAGCGTCCCGCCCACGAAGACGCAAGCACAAAGCGAGTTCAGGAACGTGATCTGCGTCTTCATGACCTCCACACCAGCGACCGTGAAGTAAAACGGAAACTTCTCGGGAATCGGCTTCTGCGTCGGCGCGGCCGTCTGGGGCTGGGGCGTCGGGTGCGGTGAGGGGGCCGCCGACGGCGACACGGACGGTGCCGGCGACGGCGCGAACGTGGGCGAAAAGGATAACGTCGGCGGCAGCGTCGGCTTCGGCGACCGCGTGGGCGACGGCGTCCAGTTGCGCGGCCTAGGTGATGGCGATGGCGTCGGCCGCGGCGTGTCCGTCGGTGGGGTCTGGGGTCGGGGCGTCGGCGCGTCCGTCTGCGCATGGGCTGTCATGAGGAGCATGACGGTGAGGAGGCGCCGCATGGCGCGGCGCGGCGGCGGCGGCGCCGGGCGCGGTGCCAGAGAACGGGTGCGGTGCCTCGTTTACGCTGCGCGTGCGTGCGGGCGCTTAGATCGGTTAGGCTGCCCAATATCTGCCCAGTTTGCGCTGTGCTGGGAGCTGCCCAACAGCGGCCAACAGCGCTCAATTACCGCTCATTCGGCGCCACCGCTGCCCGGGGCAGCCAACACAGCTCGGCAGGCGCATTACAAACGCCCACGGACCGCCGCCGCCGCGCGCCCGGGCCATGAAAGGACGCCCCAGCACCATGCCCACGACACAGCACCGGCACCGATAAAAGCACCATGAACGAGCGCCAGCGCCGGGCCCAGGCGGCCCTCGCCGCGGACCTCGACAACGAGCCCGAGTCCATGACGGAAGCTGCGCAAAAAATTTACGCCGAGCGCCGGCGCAAGGAAGAAAGGGCCAAACGGAAAGCCGAGGAGAAGAAGCAGAGGATATATAGGACGCTGATGCGGAAGGCCGGCATCACGTCGCGCAAGAAGCATCTCGATCACATCAAAGATTCTACGGCGTCGGATCGGATGCCGCACGGCGCGGTCTCGGACGACATCTACCAAAATCTCATAAAAGCGCGAAAGTTCGACCAGTACAATCGACCGACCAAAGAAGTCATGTCGAAGGAGGAGATGAAGCTCAAGGAGGTGAAGGATTCATTAGGGGCGTTAGCCGCTCAATTGTCGCCCGACAAGGAAGGGGCTAAAGGGAAGACGTTCAAACCCTTGGTGACGCCGAAGTGGGTCATTGGATATAAGAAGGAGGAGCACGGGCCGCCCGGCTTAGCGCCACCGCGAAACAATGTCCTGAACAGCGAAGGCAACGAGCATCACTACAGTTATGATGGCCTGTGGAAGGACGGCAAGCCTCATGGGGGAGGTAGATACAAGTTTGCGGACGGGTGCTTGTATGTCGGTGTCTTCAAGGACGGTAAACCTCACGGCGAGGGCAAGGCGCAGTACCCCGGCGGTACGGTATACCGGGGCCACTGGCGCTTCGGCAAGCCCGACGGCGAGGGCAAGATGACCTACCATACGGGCCAGATATATGACGGCCAGTGGAAGGAGGGGAAGAGGCACGGCGAGGGTACGCTCATCCAACCGTCGGGTGTTACTTATGTCGGGGACTGGTACCGAGGGAAATATCACGGGCGAGGCGAACTCACATCACCGACTACTGGATATAGTTTCATCGGTAGATTCAGTGCAGGCAAGATCAACGGCTCGGGAGCACTAGTATACCCCGACGGCACGCGCGACACGCGCGACTGGAACCAGAACAACGGCATGACCTTCAAGGAATGTATTGAGTTTGCTTTGGCCGAGAAGGCGAAGGATGCTGCGAGACGCACGCAGGACCGCGACGCGGCCTTTGCTGTCAGACTCGCGGTGAAGCTCAACACGTATGTCGAGAGCGTCAAGGAGACCATCGCTTTGAAACGGGAGGAGGCAGCTTTGGAGGCCGAGCGCATTCGCCGAGAGAAGCTCGCCGAGCAGAAGAAACGCCAGGAGGAGATGCGGGAGAAGGCGTTGATGCTTTTGGCGAAGTCGGCCGACGACGACGCCGAGGACATCGTCACGACCAAGAAGGACGCGACGGACGAGATCTAGGGTCGCGTCGACGGCGTCCGCCCGCGCGCCGACGACGCGTCCGGAATACTAGTAAAACATGTGTTATTAGAGGTAGAGCGTGTGCGGCGCCTCCGCCTGTGATTCCTGAGCCAGCCTAGACGTCTCCGCGAAGACCGCATCTCGCCCGTTCAGCTCGGCGACACTGACAATTGCATCCAATTGGTCCAGCGAGTCGACGAAAGCGATGCGAGCTTTCGCCTCCTCATCACAAAGCTTCGAGAGCACGCCCCATATCAGAGAAACGGGCCGTCCACCTTCCAACACGACGACGCGGCCCAACCGCCCCGGGTAGTGCGCCTGGAAGACCGGTAAAGCCTTCTGCATCTTCTTCGCGACGTCAAATAATGATGAGGACGGCGCGCCGCGCGCGTCTAAGACGACACAGGCGCGTTGTGTAGAGCGACAGCCTCCTTCTATCACTCTTATCAAATGTGAGAGGGGCGCATCCACCGCGTGCCTCGCGTGCAGGACGAGGACCGCTTCTTTCCGCCGCGTCTTCACGCCAGCACTCCAAAAAAACCGTCGCCATGCCGGCTCTGCGCGAATGGAGTCGGGCGCGCGCGCGGCAACTGTGGAAGCGCGCCAGGCCGCCGTGGCGCCGATGGCGTCGACGACGGGTCTATCGGGAAAATCTAAGCTCCATTTCGCCGCAGCCAGATATCTCTCTAAACAAGCGTCGTCGAGGGCCAATTTACCTTTTCGAGCGTCCCTCAATAATGAAGGGCGCATCCTCAATTCTTGTCGTAATACAGCTTTCAGTTGGCTCCGGGCCGTGGCCGGTTTTATTGGTGTATTGATGAAAGCAAACAAGCGCGACGCGGTGCGGTTGTTGAACTCGGCCACCCGCAACGTAAGAAGGCAGCTCCGCGCGGCGTACGTCGACGCGCAATCATACAGTGGTGCACACGCGCGCGCGCCCAGCGTTGTGCAGCGCGTTGTGCAGTGCGCCGCGACCGTCTTCCCGCGTGTCGAGACCGTTTTCGTGAAGGCGAGGCCGCTTCGTAAGAAACGCCGCGCGCGCACGGCAATGCTCCGCGCGCGCCGCCTTTCTGCAGCGCGCCGCCGTCCCAAGAAATTGAGTGTTGCTTTCGCACCCCAGACGAGCGCGCCCGTGCCGGCGGCGCCGATGGTGCCCTTGACGACGTAGTCCGACCTCGTGGCGTTGGTCTGCTCTTGCTGGACCACTTCGTCGGATCCTCCCCTTAGCCGCAACGCGCTGCGGCCTGGCGTCTGCAGGGCTGCAGCTTGGCTCACCATGAGCAGCAGGGCTAGGATCGCGCGCATCGCTGCGTTTTTCGTCAGGGCTCGTTAATGCGGGTTCATAGCGACGTATGATCGAGCTAACGTCCTTACAAGACGCACCTACACGTTCCCCAGCGTCCAAGATTGCAGGCTGTGCTCATTGAGAGCGTCGGCCGGAGACGTAACAACAGACGCCTGCAGGCGTCCAGCGACGACACGACGTCGTGCGGCGACGCCTGAAACGGTTGTTGTGCTAGCGTATCGACCCACTAGAGCTCGTCCTGAGAGTGGTGCGTTGCGCAAAACGTGGCTAAAAGAGACGTAAAAGGACACCCAACGCCAGACGACGCCAGCATTGCTCGTCATCGATCACGCCTAGCAGCTGCAACCACGCACAGCAGCCCACAGCACGCGTAACCTCCGCACACACGAGTGCAGCCCACAGGCTCTGAGCGGCGCACGCGACACAAGCATCTCACAGTCAAGTGCAGCCCAAAGATCTGAACCTCTCACACGACAAGCATGTCCAGCAGCGATTTCCTCCAAGCCATGGCCGCGCCCGCCGTGCAAAAGCCGGCCGAACCAGCGCAAAGAGTGAACAAGGTATCAGTGACGGAGGACGACGTCCTCGCGAGCCTCGAGCAGATGAAAAAGGACGCGCCACAAACCGCGCCCAAGGAGGGCTCGATGGCCGCGATGGCGTCCGACGCGCCGCCGACACCATCAGCAATGAACAAGGCGCCGAGCAGCGACCCGTTCGAAGGGCTCTGAGCGCGGCGTCCGGTGCGCCGCACCGGACAAGACTCCTAGCGCGCGCGTGTACTAAGATTAAAGTAACCCTAAACGCCATCGCCGCCGCGGCTGTCCGAGATACAGCGTAATCTTAAGTCGTGGAAGGGAAAACGGGAAACGACGACGACTACATGACCTTGATGAGGACGCCCTCGGCGCCGACGCCGGGGCTAAACGAGAACGCGATGCCCTGCTTCAATCCTCTTTCACCCTTCGCCAGGGCCTTCTTGTGGTCGTTCAGGATCAGTTCCAGGACGAACATCACGGACGGCGAGAGCATGTTGCCGTAGTTCGACAGCACGTTCCAGGAGTACTTCGCCTGCTCCTCGGACAGCCCCAAACCGTTCTGCGCCTCCTCGATGATCCGCCTCCCACCGGGGTGGATGGCCCAGAAGTCCATGTCGCTCTTCTGGAGGTTGTGCATGCCCAGGAAGGACTCGACGTAGCCGCCCATGTTCTTGGCGATGTACTGCGGTAGGTATTTGGACAGGATGCACGAGATGCCGTTCTCGTTGATCGACAGCGTGATGCCGTCCTCGGTGCCCTCCATGAGCCAGCCGTGCGTGTCGACGATGCCGAACTTGCCCTTGGCTTTGGCGGAGCCGGGCTTCTCTCCACTGATCACCGCAGCAGCACAGCCGTCCGCGAAGATCGCATGTAAGATGGCATCATTCACGTTATCATCAAACGTCGTGTGCACCGACGAAATTTCGACGCAGACCATGAGAGCCAATTTGCCGGGATGCGACGCGGCGTAGTCGTTCGCCACCCGAAACCCGTTCATGGCCGCCGCGCAGCCCATGAAGCCGATGAGTGAACGGTCGACACTCCTTTCGAGTCCGAGGGTCTTGATGAGCGAGCAGTCCAGGCCCGGGCCCAAGAAACCAGTGGAAGAAACAACCACAAGCTTCCCGATCTCGCTAGCTTGCACGCCGGCGTCCTTCAGCGCTCTAGCACACACGTCCGTCACGAGCGGCACGGCGACCTCCCTAAACTTGTCCAGTCTCTTCTCCACGGGCATGCGAAAGTTCAGGTCGTCGTCGAAGAAGTTGTCGTCGCCCTCCAAGCGCTGCTCCGGCGTGAAGTCGGGCACGGCCATGTAGCGGTAGTCAATTCTGGAATTGCCGTAGATGCGCGCGAGGACCGGTTTGATGGACGTGCACTCGGGGCAGCTCTCGGCGACCTGCAAAGCTTGTTCTTGGCTCGCGCGGTAGGGCGGGTTGCCCGTGGCCATGCCCATGATGGTGGGGATGAGCTTTTGTTCCTTCTTCGGGGCGGCCTGCGCGATATCACGTCACGTCACGTCACGTCAGGCGCGCGCGCGCGATAGAATGTGGTAAAGTGCGTCGACGGCGTCTGGTGCGGTGTGTGTGCGTGCTGCACCGTCAGTACGTGCGTTGTGCCGCGTGCGCAGCGGTCGGGCTGCCTCTCTGGGCTGGGAAGGGAAACTCACCATTGTCAGCACAAGCATGGTTGCGAGCACGACGATAGCTGCCACGCAAAGCTTGAGCTCGATGGAGAGGCCCGAGGCCACCTCGATGGTCTCCATGGTGTCCATAGTGCCACCAACACGCAGAAAGCTGCTGCTGCTACGTCGATGGGAGGGCTGCCTCGCCTCAGGAAATTGAGAAGATACATTTTGTGTGTGCAGTAACCATCTTCCCAGAGGCTTCTGGGGTCGCGTTGGATGGCCTCCGAGTCCTGGGTCAAGGACGAGAGCGGTTCGGAGAGGTCCTTGCTAGTGTCTTACAGACCGCTAGCTAATTATCGGCGCGGCGCTTGCCAAAGGGTGCAAGCTCCGCTCCTGTGCTCGTTTCAAGACCAGTGGTGGACAAAAAGAGATCGCCTGTCGCTGTCGCAGAAATCCTGAAGAGCGCAACCTTCAGCGTTAGCCAGCGGCACAGCGGTCCCCTCAGTGCAGCCTAAAACCGCTGCCGTGCGACGGGCCTCGACCAGTAAGGACCGGTAACGGCCCTAGCGCATCGCCGCAGCGCGCGCAAAGCACAGATAAAATATGGAGGACGACTCCGTCCAGGCCTTCGACGACACGGTCGACGAGCGCTTCTACGACGAGCGCCGCGAGCGCGCGCAGCGGCGGCAGCGGAAGCGCTACCACGCCGTCTACGTCGCGCCGAAGTGGCGCGCCGAGCTGCCAAGCACGACCAACGACGAAGACTCGGACGACGGCGAAGGGAGACAGAACCGCGGATTGCTCTTATGCGGCATTTACGAACGGAAGCGCGACGCCGACGCGGCGGCGGACGGCGTCGGGGAGTTGATTTTGAGGATGTTCCGCGGGACGGATTCGAGAGATGGCTCCTGGGCCCTGGCGCATTCCCTGCCGGCCGAGATCTTGGGTCTGGTGCGATCGTACGGCTCCGCGGGCGACATTGAGTTGAGGGAGATGGGCCCGGGCCTCCAGAAGGAGTTAAGAAGCTGCTGTTGTACAATGTTGGATCGGGAACGGAGAAGATACGCGAATTCGCTGCGGTATATGACGCCGTCGTTAGTCCTGAAGGCTCTGAAGGTCGCGGAGTTGACTCCGGTCATGTCCTGCGCCGAGGCGGGCGTCGACCTCCGGGCGCTGGGCCAGGACGAGCTCGAGGCGAGATTAAGTGAGGCCGTCGCCGCGCGCGACGGCGGCGAGGGCGAGGCCAGGTCCGAGGCCCGGCGCGAGGGTGCGGTGGGCCAGGACCGCGCCGTCGCGGCCATGATGATTACTCAGCTCGGCGCGCTCATCGGCGAGTGCGACGCCGAGATCCGACGGCGCGCCGAGGGCGGTTCCTATGGTCATGGGTCGCTGATCGCAGATGGGTCGTTGGTCGAGGACGGCCCGGGCGAGCGGCCGTCTTTGCGAGCCATCCTCGCGGACCGGAACCTCGTCAAGCTCGACCGGTGGCTCCAGGGCCGTCCGTCCCCGGCGGTGCTCGCGCGCCTCCTGCACCAGGAAAAAAAGTTCGCTCTCGCGCGGGGCAATGACGATTCCGGCAGCGACGACGACGACGACGGCTACCCGCGGTGTTCATTGGTCGAATCGACGGGCCCCGTGTGCAGCGTCCACGTCGCGCCGGTCGCGGCGCCCAGAGGGGCGGCGCGCGGCCGCCCCTTTGCCATTTTAGGAAGACACGACGAGTGCGGGAACGGCGAGGGAGACGACGACCGCTGGCGTTCTAGGGTGCTCGGCCTCGCGTTCGGCGAATCGAATGTAATGGACGCGGTCCGCGACGAATTGCTGTACGGCGTCAAGGACGAGCTCATGGGCTCGAGCGACTGGTGGGGCGGCATGGTCCTCGCGCCGACGCAGCCGTGGCCGCACCGCGTCGACGCCGAGGCGCCCCATTCGGTGCTAAGCTTCTACGAGGAGGCCGTGCCACCGGAGGTGCTCTTTGGGGCCGAGGCGCCACCTTTGGAAGCTCTGGCGTCCGGGCGCGCGCTGAAGGCGGCGCTGCCCGAGAACGACGCGCAGGAGATACCGGACACGGTCTTCGGCGGCGTCGCGCTAGGGGAGCGGGAGTACGCCATGCCCAGTTTTCCAGCAGGGCCACGGGGAGACATGCACGACATGGCGCAGCCGTTCTTCGTCTGGGCGCAGCACGAGCGGATCGCGCGCGGCTACCTCTTCGGCTCCGACCCGCACGAGTGCTTCGTGGACAACTTCCTGACCTGGGCCGAGCCCGTCCGCTTCCACCCGAAGCCGAAGCCGGTCCGCAAGCCGGCCGCGAAGAAAAGGCTGCCCACGCGCAAGCCAGCTGCGAAACGGCGGAAGAGGTAAGTGTACTAAAAGTACTAGCCTGAGTAAATACAGGGGTCCTTAGCCCAAGCGTCGGCACTTCCGGCGTGGGATCGTCCGCGTCGGCACGCTGAGCCCGAGCTCCGAGAGCGCGGTGCGGGCCACGGCGGCCGTGCCCGGGTCCTCGGCGGCGACGAACTCGCGCAGCGTGCTGATCACGGCCGGCGTCGCGACGTCCTTGCGCGCGGCCGCGGACACGCGCGCGAGGCGGTGAAGCGCCATCGCCGCGTACCTGTGTGTTGCGAATGTCGCGGCGATGGCGTGACAGCAGGAAAGGACGCCGCAAACGTACTCGCGGAACGAGTGCCTCAAACCAGGATAGGCGAAGTCGTGGATGTACCTAGAATCATTCTCGGCGTCGACGAGGAGCGCCACGAGCGGCGGAATCGCGTCGGCATCATAGACGACCTGCCGCGGCCCGTCGTGCGCGCAGAGCGACGCGAGGCACCACGTCGCCGACGTCTTCAGCTCGGCCAGCGCCTCGCGGAAGGGCGGCTGCGCGTAGCGCGGCGGCGCCAACCTTAAAACGAAGACGAGCGCCTCGACGAACGACTTGTCGCCGTCCCGCTCCTGCTCGTCGTCGGCCGCGACGCGCATCGCGCGCGACGGCAGGCGGCGCCCGCCGCGCCCCTTGCCCTTGCGGCGCGGCGGCGGCGGCGGCGGCGGCGAGTGCTCCGCGACGTTGCCTAGAGCGTTCGCGGCGATCGCCGCCCGCAGGAACGTCTCTCTTCGCCTGTTCGACGCCGTATGTATTCGATCAGAATACACGTAGCGCACGGAATCCACGACCGCGCGCTTCAGCGGCCGCAGCGCGCCCGCCGCCACCAAAGCATCGGCTCGATCGCCGTCGTCCGTCGCCAGGCCCTCGACGACGCGCGCCGTCGCCGTGAACAGGTCGTTAGCGGCCGTCTCGGTATGATCATCAGGGTCCTCTCCCAACAGTTCCACGAATTTGGTCACGCCGTTCGCTTCTCGCACAACCCTCGATGCTCCGTCCCCGAACGAGCAGAACTCTGACAAAAGATTGACGGCCGCGGCGCGGCGCTCTTCCCGTTCCGGGTGGTCGAGCGCCGCCACGCAGGCCTCGACGGCGCCCGCATCCAGAAAACTCTGCAAGACGCCGTCATCATCTCTAGCTTGCTGCACGGCACATCCTCTTTCATCCAACACCATTGAGGTGGTGGCGGCGTGGGCGAATAATGCAGAAGCGGCGTCGCAAGCGTGCACAAACACCTCCATGTCATCATCTTCAACCGTCGCGAAGGCGACGACGGCATTTGCCAGAGGCGTCGCGGCGCCCGCGGCGGCGAGCGGCGCGAAGGCCGCCTTCGCCTCCGCGAGGAGCCGCGTGCAGCACTGCGCCGCCAGCGCGAAGAGCACCGTCTCGTCCCAGTCTTCCTCGTCCTCCGGGTCCGGCTCGGTCGGTCCGTGGCCCCTCAATAAAACAGCCGCGAGGGGCGCGACGACGCCCGCCTCGACCAGGCGCCCGACGCGCGGCGAGCAGTCGCAGCGGCCCGCGCTGCGGCCAGGATAATCAATATGGGGCCGCTCCGGCCCGCTCTCGAGCCTTATGGAAGCGAGCGTCTGGAGCGCGTCGCGCCGCGCGTCGCCGTCGCCGCATTTTAATACTGCGGCGAGCGGCGCAGCCACATAAGCCCCGAAGTTCGCGTCGGCCTCGGCCGCGTCCTCGTCGCGCCGCCGCCGCTTGCGCCTTGGTAAACCGTCCTCGCCCCACGTGTACTCGTCCTCATCGTCGTCGTCCTCCTCCGATAACGCCCAGCGCGGGCACTCGGCGACGGCGAGGAGGGCAAGCGTCGCGTTCTCGTGGTGGCGGCCGTGCCGGTGGAGCGCCGTGACGTGGTCGATGAAGACATCCACCAAAGGCTCGGCCAGTTCGCCCCGCGCCGCCGGCCCGCACTCCTCGGGGTCCGCCCTCACACAACTCGCGAGGATGCTCACGGCCGTCTCCCGATGGGCGGCGTCCGTCACATGGTTTAAAAGCGCCTCGACGGCGCCCGGCGCCCTCACCAAGGCCTCGCCGGCCTCGTCGAAGGCGTAGTCGTCGACCATGCGGCGCAGCGCGGCCAGGGCCTCGCCCGGCGCGTCCCCGTTTAGCAGTTCGTCGACTAAATCTCTCAGTACGACCCATCCATCAAAACTCGTGTCGACGGGCGACGCCTGCGCCCTCCTCGCGCGGCGGCAGTTCGCGCAGTTGCAGCGGTTGTCCATTTCTACGGCGAGGCCGCGTGCGAGCCTGACAGCTCAACCAGTTCTTCAGCGGCGCGCGCGGTACTGAGCGCTGCTCTGGCTGCTCTATGCCTAAGCTAACAAACCGCGGGCCTTGCCGACCGAGCGCAGCGCAGCGCTGTGTGCTTTAGACCCCGTCGAGACCCTGAGGTCTGCGTTTGCCTGTAGCAGCGCGTAGCGCGGCCGGATGCTCAATTAATTTCAATTCTGCCCGCGCAATTGCACCCCAAAACGGGTTCTCCCGCGAAAACTCGTTTTTACACAACAGACTTATACAGCGGCACACATACTACCGCTGCACCGTCACCACCAAATCCGAGAACGCCCGCAGCGCCGCATCCACTTCCGCCTGGGACAGGTCCTGGCGCCACATCATCTCGAGCAGCGAGTGCTGCCCGTCGAAGCAGGGCGACAGCGCCCGGAACACGTGCAATAAACGAAGGTGGTCCGACCGCTCGCCCCGCGCCGGCTTGCCGCGCGCCGCCGTCGCGACCGCTCCCAAACCGGGAGGCGGCGCCGCGTCGACGCGCAAGACGTACGTGTGGAGCTCGCGCAGCGCGCCCCGCCGTAATAACGCAAGCACGCGCTCCGTCGCGGCGTCGCGCCCTCTGGTAGTTTCCAGCACATCCAATGCATCGCCCAGGCGCTTGCACGGGCCGAAGGCGGCGAGAATCATGGCGTCCGACGCGCGCACCGCGTCGCGCGCGTCCACCGGGATTGATGAGGGCACCTCATCAACAGCGTAGACGGCGTCGGGCCGCACGACCGCGATGACGCGCGCGCGCTTCCACTCGCACAGGTGGCGCGCCAATCTATAAACGCGCGGCAATGGTAAACCCGCCCTCGCCGCGATGGCGTGGAAGGTGGCGAAGGGGTCCGCGTGCGCGACCAGCGCTCTTAATTGAGGCGCCGCGTCTCTCGGTAAGTCGCGTAGCGTGGATGCGGCGTCCTCGAGGAGTAATAAAGTTTCGTAGGGCCTATATCTCCGCCGGGTCCGCCTTCTACGAGCGCGCCGCGCCGCCGCTAATCTTGGATCGACGTCGTCTTCGTCGTTCTCCGACGCCGTATCCTCAACATCATCATCGTCGCTCTCGCCCGCATGTTCGTCGTCACCCGGCGCTTCTTCCTCCTCGTCGTCGTCTTCATCAGCATTCTCGTCGTCTCCCCCCGTTACCATCGGCGCGAGGCGGCTGCGCACGGCGACCCATCCATTAAATTTGGCCGCCGCGGCGCCGTGCGCCATCGCCCCGTCCAGTACTTGTGAAAGCTCCCGTGCTAATGAAGACGCCTTTTTCAGCGCCTCGATCGAACAATCGTCCGCGGCGAGCATCGCCGCGCTCTCTCTGGAAACGTAGCCGCAGCGTCTTTCTTCATGCCGCAGCGCCGCGCGCACGTCCTTCGCCGCTCTTTCCAACGACTCGAGCGTCCAGGCGTTATTAAGGTCGCCCGCGCGCGCGGCCGTCGCCGCCCAGAGCACGTCGAAGCGCTTGAGGCGCGGCGGCGGCGGTGCCGCGGCGTCGGCAGCCACGTCGACCTCGCCCCAGACGACTTCATCTTCATTCTCCGCCACGTCTCCGACCTCGGCCGGGCAGCTCACTACTAATAAACCGTCGAGCTGCACCTCGACGAGCTGGTCCGTCTTCGCGCGCGGCTGCGAGAAGAGCTTGGCCAGGTCCGTAGGGCTGAGGTCGCGGAAGAGGCGCCCCTCGTCGCAGTCGGGGCAGGGGTCGTAGCGCAGCGCTAAGCGCGGGCCGGCGTCCTTTTCTACTACCAGGGCTAAGCCGCGGAGGCGCACGCCTGGGGCCTCCATCCGTGTGGTATGGTTTTTTTAGCACGGCACGGCAGTTCGCGAGCTCTTGGTATAATCGACGGACGGATAGGTACGACGTCTCCACGAATTCTTATCCGCAACAGCGCGGCAGCCGCCGCGTGAAGCTAGCGACACTTAGATACTAGCATTTTCAGATGCGACGCACGCGTTGCTCGAGTCACTGCGGTCACACGCTAAAGAATTTTCTCGACAGCATTTCTGAGAGAGCCTCGCAGCCGCAGCGACCTAGAACTAGTCAAGCTCTTTACTTAGGAACCACTGGGTAGGAAACCATTGGAAAGGCATCAATATAACCCAGCACGTAAAGCAAAAAAATGGCCCGCAAACCCAGCACACGCAAGCGCCGCGAGCCCGCACCAGCGGCTAGCACACGCGCGGAACCGGCGGCCAGCAACAAACGCCCCACGACAAAACCGGGCGCCGCCTGCCTCGAGCGCGTCCTCACCAGGGACGCGACGCATTTCAACCTCGTGGCGCAGCTGGTGGAGTGGTGCGGGTGCGCGGCGCCGCTGGCCGCGCTCGACGCGACGTCCAGGACGTGCGCCGAGGCGGCCCGCACGCCTGTGAAATTGGCGCTCACGACAGCGACGGAGGCCCAGCCCTTGGCGTCTCTGGTGAGGTCCCACGCGTCGCGGCGGAAGCTCTCAATGGCGGCTGCGGACCGACGCCTCGTCGTGATCGAGGCGGCGGACGGGACCCACGCGAACGTCGCACTCGAAGCGACCGAGGGCGGGCTCTACCGGCCGCAGGCCGCGCCCCCCGGCGTGCGCGTCGTGGCGACGGGCGCCGCGGACGCGCTGGCCGACTGCGGCGTGCTCATTCTAGACACGTCGAAGCTGGGCCCGGCGGCGCGGGCGCGCCGCGTGGTCCGGCGCCTCGCCCTCGAGACCACGGCCCAGCAGGCGTCCGACGGCAACCGCCTGCAGCACGAGCTCGTTGCTCTCGCGGCGGCGCTCGACGAGATGGGCGGGCGGACGGCCGAAGCGCTGGACGTCCCCTTGTGCCAGGCCCTCGACCTCATCCTCGCCGTGGGCGCCGCGGCGGCCGACGTCGAGGATGGCCGCATGACGCTGGAGGCCGTGCGGCGCGCCTGCGCCGCCGCGCCGCGCTCGGCCGCCGCGAGCCGCCAGGATCGCGCGTCGCGGCGGGGCGCCGACCCGCGCGCGTGGTTCGAGCTCGCCCTTCGCGGCCAGGCCCCGCCCTTCGCCGCCGCGGGCGACGACACCATCGAGGTGGCGCATCCGCGCTTGCTCGCGGCGCTCGTTGCGCGCAAGCGCACCGCAGAGCTGCTGGCGGGCCCCAAGGGCTCCTACGCGTCGTCGCGGTGGCAGAAGCGCTCGTTCCGCTTGCCGCAGCTCTACGCGTTCGAAGCCGCCGCGTCGGAGGCGCGCGGCAAGTACCTGGACGCGCTGGCGGCGGCGGCGAAGCCCCTCGCGGCCGGCGACCACGTCTTACTCTGCGAAGAGCACGGCGGCGCGTCGACGCGGCCCTGCACTGTCATGAACTGTGTGGAAATCATATAATTTCAGGCGCCCCACGCCATTGACGCGATATCATCCAACTCACTGGTTGATTTCAACACAGGTCGTACGACCGTCGCAGGACAACACGTCGTCGGTCGCCGTGCGGCTCGTCGCGGTCGGCGCGCCGCGGAACTCGGAGGCGTGGCGGCGGGCGGAGGCCGCCACGCCATTAGTCGTGGCCCGGTGGCGCGTCCGCCGCGCGGTGCGGTGCGGTGTCGCGGCCTTGTGCCGCGCGGCGGCGACCGAGGGCTGCGCCGCGTTCCTCGACGAGCTGGGGACGGCGCGGGGCGTCGACCTGATCACGCCCGTGTCGGCGAAGCGCCACGACGGCATCGTCCACCGGGCCGCGCGCGAGGGCCGCGCGGAGTGTGCGCGCGTGCTCGCGAGGAGGGGCGCCTCGAGGTACACCTGCTGCGCCACGGGCCACCAGGCATCGGTGCTCGCCCAGGCGGCCGCGCTGCTCCCCTCCGAGCGCGCCGCGACCACGAGATCGCTCGACGAGAGCGCGGGCGACAACTGGCTGCGCTGCTTCCGGTCCACGCCCGTCTTTCACATCACCGCGCGGCAGCGTGACCTCCTCGACGCGTGCGAGCTCTACGTGGAGAACGAAGCCACGGAGGGGCGGCTCCCTCCGAAAAGGAAGATAAAGTGGGCGGCCAAGCGGCTGGAACCGTACCGGGCGACGCTCGAGGCCCCGGCCGACGCCGACGCGCCGGCGCGAGCGCGCTTCGCGAAGGTTTGCTTCGCGGCGCTCTGCGCGGCGGCGCGCGCGGGCCGCGTCGCCGTCGTCGCGGCTCTCGTGGACGAGTTCAGCTGCGACCCGACTGGTCGGGGCTTCCCCTCGTCGCCGCTGCACGCCGCCGTGCAGGCGCCTTCCACAGTGTGCTGCCGGTTCCTGTTGGACCGGGTCGGCGGCGACGCGACGCGGACGGATGCGCGCGGCGTCTGCGTGCTGCGGGCCGCGGGGCGGGCCAACAAGCCGGAGACGCTGGCCCTGCTATGTCGCCACGCGGCGTTGCGGAGCACGGTCCGCGGCGCGAACGGCGCGACGGCGCTCCAGGCCGCGGCGTTCTCGGGGTTCGCGGAGGTGGCCCGCGTCCTGATCGAGGCCGGCGCCGACCCGGCTTATGCTGATGATGAAGGCTGGACGGGCCTGATGCTCGCCGCGCAGAACGGTCATGCGGACGTGTGCGAGATTTTGGTGGAGCGGGGTGCGAATAGAAGAGCGAAGACACGAGATGGGTATACGGCGCTCATGGCCTGCGCCAAGGACGGCCACGCCGACGTCGCCGCATTACTACTCGACGGCGTCTCCACAGATTTCGTGGGCGACGCGACGGCCGACGGCTACACGGCGCTGCTGGCGGCGTGCAACTACGGCCACGTCGAGGTCGCGCGGTTGCTCTTGGACCACGGCGCCGACGTCGATGGCTGCCTCGGCGACGGCTGGAGCGCGCTCATGGCGGCGTGCTGCCACGGATCCAGGGAGGTGGCTTCATTATTACTGGAGCGCGGCGCGGACCCCCAGCGCAAGGACGGAGGTGGCTACACGGCTTTGTTGTGTGCGGCAAGCCAGGGCCGAGCAGAATGCGCTTTCCTCCTTCTAGAAAGAGGCGTCGATGTCGAGGCGAAGGACAGGAACGGCGACACGGCCCTCGGCGTCGCGGCGCTCTGCGGCCACGCTCTGGTAGTTGAGATCCTGCTGGACCACGGCGCCGACGCGTCGCGCGCCGACGCCGAGGACGGCTGCACGCCGCTGATGAACGCCGCCTACGGGGCGAATGCTGATGTCACGCGCGTGCTCGTGCGGCGGCAGCCGCAGTGCGTCGAGATGCGCGACGACCTCGGTAGGACGGCGCTCATGATCGCCGCAGAGGCCGGCGCGGCGCGGCACGCGTCCGACGCGCGAGGGCGCGCGGCGCGCGTGGCGCACCACCTGCTGCGGCACGGGGCGTCGACGAATTCTTCTGCTTTAGACGGGCGGACGGCCGTGCATCTGACAGCGCAGCACGGCAACTCGGCCGTGTTGCGGTTGCTGCTGAGCGCCGAGGGGTCCGTCGAGGCGAGGGACTGCTGCGGCGTCACGCCGCTCGCGCATGCAGTGACGGGCGGCCACTGCGCCTGCGCCCGGATCCTCCTCGCGGCCGGCGCGACGACGACCGCACTGTTCCCAGGGGAAATATGTACGGCCGCGGACCTCAAGGGCGTGCTTTCGACCGACGCCAATCTCACGGCGTACTCCTCGGACCGCTGGGTCGCCGTGGAACGGAAACGGGCCCGCCGTCAGGTTCGGTTAGAACGGTGCCCCCTCGAGCGCGTGCGCGGCCGGCCGACGCAGTCGACCGTCGGTGAAGAGAACCATCGGTGCAGCTTCGTCGGGTTTAACACGTTTTGCGCTGTGTGGAAATCAACCAGTGCGTCGGGTGTGCAGACGTCGCGTCGATGGCGTTGAGGTTGACGTGACATGTCAGCACGAAGGCGCCGTGAAATCTTGATTTCTACACAGGTTGTGCGCAGAACGGGCCCGGGCCCCGCGGAACGCGCGCGTCTTCTTCGAGGTCGTCATCGAGCGGTGCGTGGGGGTCGTCCAGCTGGGCTGGATCGGCACCGTCGTGCGGTGCGACCAGGAGTCCGGCGACGGCGTCGGCGACGACCAGGTCTCATGGGGCGTTGACGGCATCCGCTTGAAAAAATGGGCCGGCGGTGATACGCCGTACCGGACGGCGCGAAAGTGGCGCGACGGCGACGTCATCGGATGCGCGGCGGACCTAGCGCGCGGCGACCTCTCCTTCGCACTGAATGGAGTGTGGAGCGGCCCCGACGGCGTCGCGTTCCGCGGCATCACCATGCCCGAGAACGGCCTCGCGCCGGCGGTGACGGGAGGCTACGGCTTCGCGTGCGCCGTGAACCTGGGGGACCGGCCCTTTAGGCACGGACCGCCCGCGGGCTTCGTTGCGGCCCATTCATATTTCCGGGAGGGCATCACGGGGGAGGAATGGAAAGACAGGGTGACGGGTACTTAAATTTATAGCCTAACATGAACTCTGTCTTACACGAAAACTCACACACCGAACGCGCGGTCGAGGACGGCGAGGCAGCGCGGGTCCTCGCCCTTCTCCGCCCGCGTCGTCGCCGGCGGCAGCGACCGGATGCCCCGGTCCGTACTTTTTGTGGACATCGTCATCCGGTCGTCGGCCACGTACTCGACCAAATCGTGGCCCGAGCAGTTGACGCCGCGGAGCGTCGCCCGCGCGGCCTCGCGGCTGCCCAGCGCGAGGTCGCCGCGGAAGCGTTGCCGCAGCTCCGCGAGGGTCGCAAGGAAATAACGGTTCAAACATTGAGCGCAGGTTAGCTCCCGCTGCACCCTCGCAGCCCCATCGCGCAGTCGCTTTGTGAAACCTCTTTTGTGCCTTATAAGGTGCTCCGCAACGCCGAAGGCGGTCGTCGCGTTGAACACGACGTGCGTCACGCCGTCCTCGAGGGCGGCGTAGTAGTGCTCCTGGGCCGGGTGGTCCCAGATCATGACCGGCGCGCCCATGGCCCAGAGGTGGTTCAGGTTTCTGCTATATGATCCGCTCGTGCCGCCCGGGAAGTGCGCCAGGATCCTGTACTTGGCGTAGTCGACGGGGGCGGTGTGTTTGGCCTCCTGCGCACCCCCGTTTTTGAATTTCGCTAGTAATTCTTCAAGGTAGCCCGGCCGCATTTCATCAAAGAGGCCGCGGGTGCAGTTGTGCCGGCGCAGATATGAAGGGGTAAACCACCGATTTTCCCCATCGATCTTTTGGGCTTTTACGTCGAACAGGTGGGGCCGTTGTAATGTCAACAAAAAACCCTGGAAGCGCGCGATGTTGCCGTTCTCGCGCTCGCAGAAGCGGTGCACCTTCCAAGGCTTCTCGTTCTTGTCGTACAACACGCCCTCCTTTGTATGCACGGACCGCATCTGGCGGAGGTGGCCGCGCCAGAACGCTCTAGGTGTGCGCGCGTCGTATTCATTTAAAGCGGCCGCGCGCAGGAGCCGGTCGTCCTCCCCTTGCCGGTGGTCAAAATTGCCAAAATACGGGTTCGGCACCAATACACCACACCTAGAAGAAGAGTAGCCGTCCCGCGCGATCAACGTCGATGGTAAATCTGTAATTTTCTTGCCGGTTTGGTTCGTGGCGCACCGGCCCGAGGCCCCCGACTCGTGGAGGTAGGCCAGGTTGCCCACGTCGTTTTTCTCCATCAGGGCGCGCGCCGTATTGACCAAGTGGCCGTAGACCTTGCCCTCGTGCCTATTGGCGAACACCTTCCCGTTCAGGATCAGGATTTTCCCGAGGTTCGTCTCCTCCTTGCTCGGTACGGAAAAGATGTCGCGCACGATTTGTGCCGCGTCCTCCTTTGTCTTCACCTGTTTGTACTGCTTGACTGAGGCCTTCATGGCGTCCTCGACGACGGCCGCGAGGCTCTTGGTTTGGTTTGTTTTTGTGGTATTGGCTGCCGCCGTCACGACGAGCAGCATGGCCGCGCCGCGCAGCCGAGGCATGACCCTGACCCTGGCCTCTGTCACCCGCTGGTAAATCGATGCGTGCTGCGGCTGCACGGCGCAGGGCAGCCGGATAAATGGACTAGGCGATCCGCTGCGGATGCTTGCTACGTGTTCCGCATCTTTTGCTTGCGCAAGACGCGACGCGCAAGCTGCGCAAAAATCTCGGATTAGGTTCGGGTTCGGGTTTTTCGAGGAAGTCAGGAGCCCTGGAGGCATCCCTGCGCCCGGATTGCACTGAGATCGACGGCTTTCAAGGGCTCCCGCTCCCCCGAGACCGTCCGTCCGTCGGGCTAGGAAAGCGGTCCGTCGTCGCGGCGGTTTTCCGACCTTTCGCGCGATGCCTGACGAGCACACTACGAACTTATACGTGCGGCAACCACCCCGCAGCCCACGACGCCCGCGCACACGACGAGCGCGCGCGCCGGCGACGCGAGCAGCGGCGACACGAACGCCGGCGCGTCGTCTTCCCGCCGCGCCGCGTTCGCCCGGACGACCAGGAGCGCCGGGGCTGCGGCGGCGGCTCCCGCGAAAACAAAGACAGCCGCCGCGGCGCCTCGATCGTGCCGCGCGAGCCAGCCGCGCGCCGACGGCCCACGACACGCGTCGCGCGCGCCGAGCACCATAAATACTGAACATGCCAGGAACCACACAGCTGAGGCGGGCCGCCAGAGGTCGTTCGCGTCGTCGACCAAGGCCTTCGGCGCCGCCTCCTCCTCACCTCCGCCGCGCCGCAGCGCCGCCCGCAATGCCAGAGCGTGCGCCGCGAACGCCGCCGGCGGTAGAATTGACAAAGGCGCGCAGACGGCGCCGGCCAGCCGCGCGCAGAGCGACGCCGCGCTTTCCCAGGCGCAGTCCCACGGGTAGTAGGGGGTCCGGTCGACGTACTCGACGCCCTGGTCAGTCCGCACCCGCAGGCACGCGGCGCCCTCGACGTCATCAACATAAAATGCGATGGCGAGCGCAAATCCTAGAACTGATAAAAGCGGCGCGAGCACCGCCGCGAGGCGCAGCATCGTCGAACCGGGCGGCTTTGCAGACTTCGTCGCGACTTCCAGGGAGGCCGACGTGCCTTCGCCCTCCTCGTCTTCAGGGACGCGGGCCCGCAGACACGCGTCGTACGACGACGGCCAGTTGTTCGCTAAATGTCTAATCCAGTACTGCAGCGGGACCGATATGATAGCTGCTGTTAAAGCCAAACCACCGAGCCAGCCGCCGTCGCCAATAAACAGCGACGGGCCCGTGAAGTAGGGCCCCACGAGCGTCGCGAACCAGAGCGGCGCGAGCATGGCGGCCGTCGCTCTATGGGAGAACGCGCCTATTACACAAGCGAAGTGCGGCGACGCGGACTCCAGGTCCGTCGCGCGGCGCTGGGCTCTTGCTGTTTCGGCAAACAGTACCTCTACTGAGTCTGAATGCTCATCTGCGGCGTCGTCGAGGAGCGGGCGCGCGAGGGGCGCCGGGCGGCCGCCTCTCAAACTCTCGACGATGGAGGACTGGTCGTCTTCTTCGTCCATTTTGTTGGTCTAAGCTTAGACTTGGACCCGTGCGAGCACCGCAGCGGCAGCACCACCACTTGCGGCAGGGGGTTCTAGGCCTCTAGCCCACTCAGTTCTGTGCCGAGTCGGACGTGGCGCTGGGGGCGGCTCCGGAGGCCTGTTTTGCCGTACGGGGGTCGTCCTTAGGCCCTCCCAAGCACACAGCAGCAAAGCACAGGCAGGCTAGTGTGTCTATTGACACCTAGCCTGGTTTGCGGCGTCCTGCGTTGCATACGCGCCATTGGCGGCTGCGTCTGCACGCATCTCGACCGTCTCGTACTGCTGCGCACGCGCGCGACAACTTCCGCCGCCGCTGACACGCCTGGGAGAGCAGGCTCTCTTGCCAGCGAGCACGCCACCGACGCGGCGCAGCGCGCAAAGCGATAAGCGTCCTCCGAGGCAGTAGTGCGAGTCAAGACAGCAAGCGACAGTCCAGCGATGCGACGAATCCGTGACGCCGCGCGGCGCCTCGCGCGGCCGCGGCGTGCGCTCGGCACGCACTCGCGCGGCTGGTACCAGCGCTACGCCGCGCGCGGCCCGGAGGGCTTCCTCCGGCCCAGCCCCGGCGGCGAAAGTTTCGACTGGGACGCACCCGAGGCAAAAACTCGTTCCCGGTGCTTCCTCGAGGTCAGCGTCGACGGCCAGCGAGCGGGACGGCTCGTCGTCGAGCTGCTGGACGAGCTCCTCCCGGAGACGAGCGAGAACTTTCGCCTCCTGTGCTCCGGCGACGCGCCGAGCGGGGCGTCGTACGCCCAATCGACGTTCGCGCGCCGGGTCGTGAAGGGCGTGGGCCTCCTCGGCGGCGCCCTCCCGGACGCGCCCGGCGGCTCGCGCAGCGCGTTCGCGGACCGGCCGCTCTTCGCGGACGAGGGCTTCTTCGTGCCGCACGCGGAGCCCGGGCTGCTGACGATGGCGAGTTCCGGCGTCGACGGCAACGGGTCGCAGTTTTATGTTACTATCGAACCGGCGCCGCACCTCGACGGGCGATGCGTCGCATTCGGTCGGCTCGTCGAGGGCCTCGACGTGGTCCGCCACCTGCACGACTCGCTCTACACGCAGCGCGGCGTGCCAGTGGAGAAAGTTGTCGTGGAGGCGTGCGGAGTCGTCGATGGGTAGGTTTATTTTCTGTTACGGTGCTACAACAGTGGGCGGAGCTTCGGGAGACCCTGATCGCCTCTAGATCATAGACACACTAGCTTTCAGCCTCGCGCGCCCAAAAAAGGTCACTCACTCACTGCGCAATAGACCAGCAATTGGCAAAGCTCAGCTGCGTTTGCACTGTCGCGAAGGCCAGCACGGCTACGCAGACAACTGCAGCTTGGCACTGCGGGAGTCTCTACAGCAGCAAGCCCCACAGGGGGACTGAGAACCTGCATCGATATATCGAGCGCGCGGGAGCAAAACGTTAGCCAATGGCACTCTTCGACGCGCCGTCGCCCGGCCTCGGCGACGAGGACGCGACGGTGCCGCAGAAAGCAACAACCCCGCTCAGCGACCCCGACCTCGTGGGCCGCGTGCTCGACTACGGCGACGACGCGGCCCTATCAAAGGCCGCAACAGTGGCCAAGCCCTTCGCGCGGGCGGCGGCCTACGCGCAAAAGCACCGCCTCCTCGGCGTCGTGCCGCCCGGTCTGAGGGAGGACGCCGCGCGCGCGCTGCTTCCACAAAAGTGCGCGGCGGCGCGGCGGCGGGCGCGCGCGGGGCGCTTCGCGCGGATTGATTTAGGGGGCGACCGCCCCACCAAACGCTTCGGCCACTCGGCCGTGGCGTATAGCGGCGGCCTCTGGGTCTTTGGCGGGCGGGACGGGGCGCGCTATCACAGTGACGTCTGGCGTTTTGATGTGACAACAACCGCGTGGCGTCTGGTGGACGTGGCCGGCCCGGCGCCGCGGCGCGCGCACACGGCGACGCTGCTGGGGGACGCCATGGTTGTCGTGGGAGGAGGCGACGGCCGCGGCGCGCTCGGCGACGTCTGGCGCCTCGCACTGAACAACGAAGTGAAGTGGACGAAGGTCTGCGACGGCTTCTCATCAACAAACAGCGACCGGCCGTGGCGCGCGTGGGGCCACTCGGCGGTGGGGTTGGAGGGCCGCGACGACGTCATTGTTATATTCGGGGGCGCGTCGAACTCTGGCCAGGTCTTTAGGGCGACGAACGACGTCGAGCTGCTCCAGATTACTGATGAGAAGGGCGTTCGCGCTTTAGTGCACGCGGCCGAGGGCCAGCCGCCGCCGGCCGTCTACCGGCACTCGTGCACGCCTTTGGGTGGTGATAGGTTCCTCGTGGCGGGGGGCTACACCTTTGCGCCGTCCATCAGTAGCGAGGAGCTCGACGGCGGCCGCGGCATCAGCCTCACGTACTGCACGGAACGCGCCTACGAGCTGCGTATAGTGCGGGGCACCGTGCGCTGGGCGGAGCTCTCCTTCGCGGGCCCGGCGCCGTTCCCGCCGCGCGGCGGGCACGCGGCGTGCCGCGTCGCTCATGATACGGTCTTCGTCTGCGGCGGCGGGGTCATGACGGCGTGGCTCCCGGAGGACGTCGACCGGCCGCGCGAGGAGGACGTCGACTCGTGCTACGTGCTGACGCGGACTGATGAGACGGCGTGGCGCTGCGAGGCGGCGTGCTGTCGCATGCCGCACGCCTGCGGCGGCCACACGGCCTGCGTCGGGGTCGTCGGCGTCGACGTCGGCGTCGTCGTCTTCGGCGGCCGCGCCTACGATAACACAGCGGACGCGCACGCGGGCCGCGACGACATGAGCGTCTTCTCGTTCTTGGATGAGGACGTGGGGGGGTTTAGTAACTTGTCACTGTGAATACAACAACTTATTTCGGAGGCGGCACGGCCCCGCTCGCGCTGAACCACGAGTCCGTGGTCCACGACGCCGCCGCCGACTCTGCGTCGCTTCGGAAGCCCAGCGCGTCCAGGATCGTCACGGAAGCGTCCGGCGCCGCGTCGCTCGCCTCCGTGCCGCCGCCCAGCCCGCAGAACCAGCACGTCGGCGCCGCCGCGTCGTCGTCGATCGGCTCTAGCTCCTGCGCGCGCGCCTGGGCGACGCGCTGCTTGAACGGCGAGAGCGGCCGCTTCCCCCCAAAATCTGGCTGCGACCTCGAGATCGCCTCCGGCGCGGCGCGCACGGGATCGAGCTCCGCCGCGGCCTCGTCGGCGGCCGCCGCCGCGGCCGACCACGGGCCGGGCGCGTAGTCGCTCTCCACGGAGTAGGAAGGGACCAACGTGCTCCCGGGCCAGGTCAGCCCGCGCTTCGGCGGCAGGCGCGACCCCGCGATGAGGCTGCCCGGGTGCGTGCTCTCGTCGTCGAGGCTGTGGCGCTTCATCTAATCAATTTGTGCGCGTCGCAGCGCTTCAGACTGGCGCGTGCGCGCAAGTCTCACAGCCCAAGTTCACCGTGCGCGTCGTCGCAGCCCAACGCGCGCGCGCCGCAGCGGAGCTTTTTTTCAAGACAAATTCCAACAACGAAGCCGGAGCGGCAACAGGCGCCGGGCATAGAGGGACACCTCCAATCTCCAATCAGACCCTTCCAGAGCCATCCAATCTCCAATCTACCGGTCCCCGGGCGGCCAATTTTAAGTTGTTTGTTGCCCGCGCGAGCCTCCGCCGGCGGCAGGATCGGTCGGAAGGCGTCGCTAGGGGCTCTTGGGCGAGCCTTCCTGCGGGCGACGCGCGCCGGCGCTTCGCCCTTTGGAATTCTTGAAGGCATTTGTGGCAATAAATAAATAAAAATTAATTCCGAAAATGTGTAAATCATTTAATTCGGGTCCGATCCGGCGGCGGAAGACCGCCGACCTCCTGCTGTTAAAAGAGCTGCTTGCGCTGGTTCGTTTAACGCAAGACTCGTTGCAGAGCTTCTCGAGGTCCCTCGCGGCGCGTACCAGAAAAAAAACTGCAGCAAACGACGCTCGGCGCGCTGAAAGTCGACCTTCTGGGCCCATCCAACAGCCGTCGCTCCTTTGCCGCGGTCGCGCGACTACACACCGCGCAAAGCTGCAGGACAGCGCGTACGGAGACCCTATCGCGCACATAAAAGCGCTCGGACGTCAAGAAGCGCGTGAGAAAGGGTTCTCGCGCCGCGGGAGAAGACGAACAGCAGGCGGCACCTCTAGACCCGAGAAACAGCACTCAAAAACCAAAGCCAACCATGGGCTCGACCATGTCGACGACCGCCCCCGGGGCACACACCAATTGCGTGCCCAAGACCTCGCCCAGATCCTCGCGCGGAAGGCGGCGCCACCGGTCCCGTTCTCGAGGGAGACGACGCCAGTCGCCCCTCGGCCTCTTCATAAGAGGGAGGCGCGGCTCCGACGACGAGTCGGAAGACGACCTCTCCGTCTCCTCGGCCATGAGCTGGGAGGCTACTAATGCGCCGCCGTCGCCGCGGAAGCCGCCGGCGCCGGAGTTCGGAACGACGCTACTCGCACATAGACGCCCGGAGGTCTACGTGGAATTGACGCCGGACCTCATGCTTTACGTGCTCGGCTACTTGGATCCGAAGGCGCGCCATAGAGCGGCCGCCAATCCTGCCTGTAGACAACTGAGAGATAGAGTCACGAAGAACCGGGAGGTCTGGGCCCACCTCTGCAGCTCGACGCCGTGGCGCATCCACCGGAGTGATTTGGAGCATCGGCCCGTCAACGCTTTAAGGCGATTACATAGAACGGTCGTCGAGGCGACTGATAGTGTGGACACCGCGCCGATCGCCGACATCGCGCGGATCATGTCTGATCATGCTCGAGTCGCGGGTGTGCAAGTCCGATGCTTTAGAACATTAGCTGACAGACTCCACTGCGAGACGTTTCGCAAGAACGCCCTCGATTGTGGCGTCGCGTCATCCGTAGTGAGAGCTCTCTGGAAGTTCGACGAGTGCGACGACGTGCAGGTCGTGGCGTTGCACTGCGTCGTGTTCTTGGCCAGACCGATCGGCGGCGCCGAGGGCATGGTGTACCACCGGGGCATGGCGTCTCGAGGCTTGGACGCATTTCTGGGGGAGTCGGGCGGCATCGCGGCTGTCCTTAGAAGTATGCGCGTGCACCTCAAAAACTCAAATGTGCAGGCCATGGGCTGTTGGTCGCTGGTGAATTTGGCTTTAAATCATCAGCAGAAACTCGCGTTGCTGGCTCTCGATGGTCTAGATGCTGTGTTAGCCGCGATGGCGCACCATCCGTCCACGCTCGAGGTGCAATTTAGAGCACTATTCGCCCTCATCAACCTCGTCATCCCCGAGGCCGGCTCGGTCTCGACGAACACGATGGACTGCGGCGAGAACGCGGCCCACGCGCGCGTCGTCCGCGGGGTCTTGGCGGCGATGCGCCACTTCCCCGAATCGGAAAAGCTAGTGCGATGCGGGTGTTTGGTGCTGCACAACTTGAGTCTGGACGACAAGAACGTGCCTCATTTATTAGCGTTCGGCGTCGCGCGGCCCTTACAGAGGGCCGCGCGGTCCCACAAGGACGCCGACGTCCAGCGGTCTGCCGTCTCGACGCTGCGGCGGCTGCGTGTCGCCGTGGCGCCCGAGGTCGACGTGCTCCAGCCGACGCTGCGCATGGACGGCTCTCGATGAAAAAACTGTTCCCCTTGTTTACCCCTCCTCTCGCTCGCTTGCACAATCCACACGGTGCGCACGACGCCACCGAACCCGCCGGGGAGTACTCTAAGTCTCCTCGCCAGTATAGTCCTAGCAATGGAACTGATCGCAAATCGATGAGACCACACGGACAAATAAGTTACTTCACCTCTGGCGGCGCCTCCGCGTCAGCCTCGTCCGAATCAAGGAGAGGTCCTCTCAGATAAAACCGCCCAGCGAACGTCAAAAAGCGCAGGGCGTTCAGCACGGCGACGGCGTCCCACGCCGTCGCCAGCGCGCCGTCGGGCGGCCGCTGTTCCAGGATCAACACCGCGGCGCCTCCCACGGAAGCCAGCGCGACCGCAAAGGCCTCGAACTTGAAGTCGCGCGAGCCCTGTAAGATGCCGTCGCCCACAAAGACCAACGACGAAAGGAGTTGTAAAGGGGCCACGATCCTCAATAGTTCAATAGACGCTTCTTCTGCGACTCGTGCATCGTCCGTGAGTAAGGAAGGTGGGATGACATATAATAAAGCCGCCAGGACGACACCGGTCACGAAGCCCCATCCTAGTAAACGCGTCGCCCGTTGTCGCGCTTCAAGGGTAGACGGCGCCGCGGCCACGAGCTGCTGCGCCGCGATAGCTAGAGCGTCCGTGACAAAGCTCATAATGATATAAAACTGCTTCAGGACCAGATGCGCCGCCAACAGCGTCGGGTCCGCACTCGTGACGGAAATGAAGGCCGTCGTTGCCGCCAAGAAAGCCTGCAGACATAGGGTTCGGACTAGCGTCGCCAGAGCGGCGGTAGCGAACGTCTCCAATCCTTTTCCGAGAGGAAGGGCCTCGACGCCAGTTGAACGCTTCGCGAAGCGTAGAGCGAGATATAGCAACGCGACCCACTCCGCACATGCCGTGCCGATCGCGGCGCCGTTCGGGTTCAGTCCTAATTGCCACACGAGTACAACATCTAGGCAAACGTTGATCAGGGCAGCTAAAGCAGCAGCATCTAACGCAGCGCGCGGGTCGCCGACGCCGCGCAGCACGCCATTTAAAGCGGCAGCTCCCACGACGGCCGGCGCCGAGATACCTCTAAGTCGTGTGAACGCTACCGACTCGTCGATCAAGTTTGATGGAGCGAAGAGCGCCATGGCCTGGGGTGCTATCAATTCGGAGAAGAGGCAGAGCAGCACGCCCGTTAAAGCGGCGGCCTTGACGATGGCGCCACCCAACCGTAAAGCGGCGGCCTCGCCGTCGTCTACTTCAGCCTTGGCCACGAGGGGCGTTCCCGCTGAGGCGAAGCAGTTCGTGGCACTAAAAACAAATCCAAAAAAGCCCGTCGAGGCGGCGACGGCCGCGAGCGGGACGGCGCCGCTGTTTTCGCCGCACCTACCGACGAAGGCGACGTCCACCGCCGCGAGGACGGGGTCCAAAGCTAGTGCGAGTAATGAAGGTGCCGCAATACTTAAAATCTTGCTGTCGAGTGATTCTGTGGGCTGGGGCGCGGCGTGCACGATGCCGTAGCCCTGCCTCGCGCGCGAGGCCGCGAGGAGCGAGGTTGGGGGCTGCATTTTTGTTATTGCTCCTGAGATTCACGGGGCACGAGGCCAGGGCTCCACAGAGGCTCTGCAACGCGTTTGTTTGCACCGTTCGATGCCTTCGCGAGCTTGTTCAATTGAGCACTCTGAGAGCACCAACACTATTGGGTCGCACGCGTGCGGTTTTGCTTTTGCTGTCCGCGGCGCTTTCGGACAGTTGTCGCAGCAGTGCAAAACGATGCCACGACGAAAGCGAATCAGTGCTGTGGCAGCGACAGAGCAGCAGCCAGACTGCCAAAAGCAGGAGCTAGTGTGTCGCAACACTAGCACTGCGCATCGAAACAAAACCGACGGCTGCATTGAATTCGAATCATACTCAAGCCTGGGCAGACGTGGCTTTGCGCAAGCGCGAGTCCCGGCCGAGCGCGGCCGCCGGAGCCGCGCACGCTCATCCCATTGGCGCCATCGACTGGACGGGTGGCACCCTCCCCGTCTCGCCGTCCCGGCGGCGCCGGCGAGGGCCTTCTCGCATCTTCTTCGCGCGCGCCGCGCCTGTAACTAGGGTATTTCCCTCGTTTCGATTACGAGCACTCGGGCTGCGCGAGCTCGTAAAACGAGGGCGACGCTGCCCCGAGGCAGCCCCCAGCGGCGAAAGCGAGCTATTTCGACAGCTAAACGATGGACGCCCACCTCTACGGCGCCGTCGACGCGCCGGAAGCAGCTAGACCAGCGCGGCGACCTTATGTGAGACGGCGGGCCGCAGCAGCGGGAGCTTTTGTGGCCCTCTGGAGCCTCTCCCTTTTAGCTCTTTCAAACACCACGCAAGTGATGTCCATGAAAGCGCAAGCGCAATGTAATAATGAAGGCGGCTTCATCGCCGAGTTCTGCAATGAAGCCCAAAGCCCAGTCCTGGGCGGCGCCGACGTCGTGGCCTACCGATCACTGCAAACAGGATCTAGAGCAATCCAGGGCAAGCCCGACATCGTCGCTGAATACAATGGCTTCCGGTTCTGGTTCTCATCCACAAAAAATAGGGATCTATTCATGCAAGCGCCGGAAACGTTCGCCCCCTTGCTAGGAGGCTTCTGCCCCTTCGCGCTGACGGGCTCCGACGCCAAGATGCCCCAGCGAAGTCTGTCGGTCAAGGACCTGAAGGCCATGGGTACAGACCCCGACCAGTGGCTCATTCATGATGGCCAGTTGCTGGTCTTCCGGGGGCCCGAAGCGCTGCGGTTGTTCGGGCGGGACTTCGCGGCGAACATGGCGAAAGCGTCGCAGAATTGGGAATTGTTGGTCGCGGCGCCGCGGTGTTCGGGCGAGCTGTACAACACGCAATGTTTTAGAACGGACAAGGGCGTGCCCGCCGTCGGCGGCGTGGATGTTGTCGCGTTCTTTTCCTTGGAGGAAGGTGCTTCTCCCGTCGAGGGCTCCTCCAAGTACCCGTTTCAATTAACAACCACTGACGATCGAGGGAACAATTATGAATCGACCTTCCACTTCGCTTCAGCGTTATCTCGAGCCACCTTCGCGGCGAACCCCGCGAAGTACCTACCGGCCTACGGCGGCTTCTGCTCCTATGGGATGGCCTTCGAGCGCGGTCCGGATCATGAGGAATGGGGCGGCACGGTGGGCATGGACGTCGCCGCGCCAGAAGAGGGCTGGCCCTGGGCCGCCGACGTCATGGGACCGCCGACGTCGGTAGAGAACTGGATCATCAGAGATGGTAGGCTCTACTTCGCATTTTTGCCCGAAGTGATGGCCGCGTTCCTGGACGACTTCGAGACTAATAGACAGAGAGCGGACGAGCGCTGGGCCGCCTGGTACGGTGATGGGGACTTAACCGGTCCCGTGTCGGTGGACTGCACGTCCCAAAACTACGGCCCGCCGGTCGCGCGGACGTGCACGCTACAACCGCAACAGATAAACGACGCGACGCCCGCCAAAACGATCGAGGCGGGCTGCCTGGCGGCCCTTGATGATAAATGTGGTGCGGTGCAGGGCGCGAACGCGGTCGGGGTCTTCGACGACTGCTCGTCTTGTTTGTCCGCTCATTTTTCGAGTTTGAGGGACGCGTGCCCCGCCACGACCACGGCGCTGCACGCGTCCGTCGACAAGGCGTACTGCTGGTAACACATAGTATTTGTTCACTTCGGCCCCGGGGAGCCCTCTGTGTAGCACGGCATGCTTGAAGCATTTCACGCGGATAGGACGTAAATTACGCTGTGCGTAAACTGCACCCTGGCGCGGACTCCCACTCGGCCTCGGTCCCTCGGGTCCAAGCGGACGTGGCGTTGGACGCGGCGGACTCGCCGCCGCGCGTCGCAGGCAGGCGTCGCCGCGCGTCGGACGATTACTGGGGGTGGGCCAAGACTGCTAGTAGCTGTCCGATCCCTCAGCAGGGCAAAAATGAAAAATTGCATGCTGCCAGTGAAGATTAACAGAGCGCAAAAGAAGGTAGGCGATTTTGCCGTGCGCACCAACACGCCTCCACCGCCCGCCGGCCTCACAGTCGGCGGGCTTTCCGACGCCGCCGCTTCTCGTCAATCCTTCGGGCGATACTGTCGTCATCTGGGTCACGAAAGACGCGCGACATTCCCCACGCATCCCCACCTCGTGTCGGTCCTCAGGGCCGGCGCGACTGCGTTCACCCCCTCCCCTCTCTCAGATCCATCGTGACCACCCTCAGGCTCGCGTAAATCCGAGATTCGTCGTTAGGTCTAAGAGTGAACCCCGCCTTACGCGCCAGGGAAGGAATCGGAACGCCCTACCAGCGGCGCGCCGACGCCGCGCGCCGGTCCTGGTCGCCGTACTTCTTGTTCCCGTACTTGCGCTGCACGTAGTTCGAGTTCGAGCCGCGGCGGCCGCGCCCCCGGCCCTTGCCCCGGCCGCGCCCCCGGCCCCGGCCGCCGTAGTCGCCGCCTCTACCACCTCTGCCGCCCCAGCGGTTCTTCTTGTTGCCCCCGTTTTCGTGGTCCCAGTCCCTCCGGTCGTCCTTGTAGCCCTTGCCGCCCGCGCGCGCGTCGAGGAGGCGTTCGTTCGCATCCACTAAGGCAGCACATCGGTCGGCGTAGGCCAGCGCCAACGCTTGCACCGGCGACGGCTCGAGTCTTCGGAGCACGATCGTCTTCGTCGGCTGGTCCCAGGCGCCCCGCAGCTCCTTCGTGATCATCATCTTGGAGACCAGACCGTGGGCCGTTCTCTCGGGCATCTCGAACGTGGCACACAGGCGTTCTAGGGACAACGCGTCGTACGCGTCCGCGCGCGCGAACAAATAAGTGCGTAAAGCTTCGGCCTTGATCTTCTCGCGCACCATGGCCTTGACCTTCTCCGCTTCGCCCGTGCCCGGGATGAGGTCCCAGACGTCCAGTTCCACGACGAGTCGCGCGCACTCGCGCCAGTCGCCTAACGCAAGAGCCTTGGCAGCACAGAGGATGTGATCTCTGGTATTCTCGGGCGGCCCCGTGAAGACTTGTCGCGAGAAGATGTCCATGTGTTTCCGGAAGTGGCGCGAGGTCACGCGCGTGCGCGGCGGCGCGCCGCGCAACTGCTTGTTCCTAGCCTCCTCGACGACCATCGCCGGCACTTCTAACAACATTGCTGAAGTTAAATGGCAACATTCAAGTAAATCCAGGTTGACGTGCATGTGGTAGGGCGTCTGCCTTCGGCGCTCGGCCTTCTCCTGTTCGTCGCTCTTGTCGGACCAGCGCGCGCTCTGGACGCCCTGGGCCAGCAGTTCCTTCACCCGCGACGAGCAGATCTCGGCCAGGCACGAGTGGGCGTCGTGGACCAAGCCCGACCGGAACGCGCACAGCCCGAGGAGGACCATGGCCCGGTTGTAGAGGATTTGAGTTTCTATATCAGCATCATGCGCTACTTCTTGGAGGTGAGACATCAATAGCAAGTCGCGCGCGGCGTGGAAGCGGCCGTGCAGCGCGTGGTGGGCCACATGACAAAGTAACGCTCGCGTGCGGCAGCGGTCGTCGCCATGATCATACACATAACCACACAGCTCCTTCAGGGACTTGGCCGTATCACAACTATCGGTGGAAGGCGTCGTCGGCGCGCCGAGCCAAGAACCCGGGTGTGACTTCTCCACAGTTGACACGCCGGCGGTCGCCTTGCGCGACGCCGCGTGCACGTCGTCCCTAGAGCCCCAGGCCGCCCGGAACGCCTGCGCATCTCGGACAGCTTCCGCGATACTATCGTGCTTGTAGTACATGTGTTCTATGCGCAACAGTGCCACCGTCGCGGCCGTCTCCGTACTACCACTTCTATCGTAGTAAGCCTGGATGGAACCAGCGAGTTCCTCCAGCGGTCTCTCATCCCTCAACCTAGCTACATACTCCTGCGTGTGCGGGTTGATGTGTTGTAACGACTTGACATACTCGTCCTCGAGGCGAGTCACATACGTCAATAAGTTACCCACGACCTTGACACAACCAGCCTCATCAGGAGGCGCCTCCGTATCAATGACCTCCTTCGGCTCCTCCTCCTCCTCGGGCTCCTCTTCAACAGCCCCTTTCTTCTTCTTGGCCTGTGTGGGAACGACACCGTCACGAAACTACTCTCACGAGGCGCATCGACGGCGTCGAGGCGGTGCGGTCTCATGAAGACGCCATCGCCGCGACCACGTCACGTTGAAGCTCATTTTTTGCTCTGAGTCAGCACCAGCATCGCCGCCAATGCCAAATCTGCAAGCTCATCGTCGTCCACGGTGCCCAGCGTAGCCTGGGGATGCGCTTCGAGGATCGAACAGGCCTTCGTGAGTTGCCCATGACAGGCCCGCCACGTCGGCACGTCCATGTAGTCGTCGATCGTGCGGTTGCTGTCGAAATGACTCGCGATGAGGTGCATGCAGCACTGCAGTTCCCGATGAAACCCGAACTTCTCCTGGGCGGCCTTCGCGAGCACCTCGAGGGCCTGTTTCAGGTCGCGCGGGTCCGTGCCCTTCCTGCCTCTAGCGGCCATCACTTCCGTCAATTTTTTGTCGAAGTCGGCGCCCGTCTGGATGGCGTCCAATCGCAACGACGACACGAGGCCCTTCTTGTCCTTCTTCACCTCTTCGATAACTTTCTTCTCCTTCTTCTTCTCGATCACGCGTTCCTTCTTGACTCGCTTCGTCGTCGTGACGGTGCGCTTGAGCCATCTAGCTCTACCTTTGAGCTCGCCGGTGTCCTCGTCTTCCGACGACGATGATTCCGATTCGTCCGAGGACGAGGCCCAGTCGTCGGAGTCCATGTCTTCGAGGTTCTTCTGCACTTTCTTCGGCTTTTCTTCTACGGACTCTTCATCAGAACTTTCGTCAGACGACGATTCGTCTTCCGACGAGGAGGACTCTTCACTGCTGGAGGAAGATGCGGACTCCTCCTCGGCGTCGGGGTTCGCCCGGTACTCCGTAATCTTGGCCTCGAACTCCTTGTTGTGGCGTCTGAGCTGCAGCTTCATCCTATTGAGAGCGCGCCCGTTCGCCTTGCTCATCTTCTTCTGGGCCTCCTTGTCCTTGAGGGCGACATCCAGAGAATCCTCCAATTCAGCTAGGGTGCGGATGTAGAAGCGAGGTAACCCTTCCTTTTGGATATGGGTCTTAGCTTTGTCCACCTGCTTGTTCAAGAGGTCGAATTGCGTCTGCATCTCGTGCCAATCATTAATCTTCCGCGCGTTCGAGATCTTGCTGACCACGGCCTTCATGCCGTCCCAGGCCTTGTCCTTGGCGCTTCGGACGACGCGCTCGCCCTCATCGGATGAATCGGAGTCGCTCACAGCCGCCCAGCGATTGGTTTGGACCTTCTTTTCTTGTTCGCTCTCGGAACCCGAATCGGATTCGGCCGAGGAGCTGCCGGAGTCGTCCCCGGCCCAAAAACGAGACATTGTGCTCTACCGCGTCCCGCGCTTCGCCCGGATTGCCGCTACTGCGGGCCGCCGGACGGGCGCTGACGCGGGCCCGAGCGCTCGACGAGTGCTCGAGGGTGTGCTCTGCGGTCGCTGGCGCTGCTCTCAAATGAGAGGAGGTCCGGCGATCGCGCTTGCTGTGGTGCGAGCGGCTCTTTCGAGACAGGCGCTGCAAGCGCTTTGTCTCAAGAGGTCTGGCGCTGCTCGATGGCCTCAGCACGCGGTAGCTGACCGCGTAATATGGCCTTTTTGGACTCGGTCGCCGACGAGGCTAGCGTCGCAAAGACACTAGGGTGACGGTTTTTCACTGCGTTCCAGAGCCGTATGCCCTCTCTGGGAGCCATCGGGCGACACAAAACGCCGTCCGCTGGCCTTCTGCTGGCCTTGAGAGCTTGGCCTTGGAGAGGCTTGCAAAAAAGGCTAGGTGGCGCTCGCATTGATCACATTTTCGAGGCGACGACGAGCTGTTGTTCACGCTTTCGACGAGCTTTCGTGTGCCAGGCTTCCGATTGCATTTATAGTATCAGCAACAAGCCTCAGCAGCACAGGGCCGCGGACCCAGCTCGCAGCAGCACACCGATGTCCTTCGCGAACAGCTTCTCGTCGTTCCCGCCGCCGGGCACGGCGCAGGCGCCGCGCCTCGTCGACACGCCGCCGCGGCCGGTGCCGCGCGCGCCCGAGGCCACGGTGCCGGCGGTCCCGTCGCCCATCGGCGCCGCGGATCAGCTACGCGACCAGCAGGACGTGCGCGACCTGGAGATTGTGAATCAACGCCTCCTCGACGCGATACAAAGTGGAGACAAGTTGACGTACTCGGTCCTCGTCGACGACGGCGTCACGGCCTTCGAGCCCGAGGCCTGCGGCCACCTCGTGACGGGCAAGGCCTTCCACAAGTACTACTTCGAGCTCGAGGCGGGCGGCGAACCCGCGAGTGCCTCGACGATCGTCGAGCCGCGCTACCGCGTCTTCGGCGACGCCGCGGTGGTGACCTATGTAAGGTTGCAGCAGCGGGGCCGCGCGACGACCTGTGTGGAAATCAAATTTTTACGGCGCGTTCTGCTGAATCGTCGCGTCGACCTCCACGCCATCGACGCGACGCCTGCTCGATGGCGTGGCGGGGTGGGTCTCTCACGCTCGACGGAGCCAGCAAGGCCGCGTCATCGCGTGCACCCGACACAACTGGTTGATTTCCACACAGGCGACGACGCGGACCGAGGAGACCCGCGTCTGGAGAAGGTGCGATGCCGCCTCGGACGCGGCGCTCGGCCGCTGGCGCCTCGTGCACTTCCACCGCTCCGCGCCGTCGAACGCGTATGGGTAATCATCTAAGCAAAGCAATCATGAATTTAGACATCGACGGGGATTGCGCCGTCGTCGAAGGCGTGGGCGACGCCGTCTCGCACGTCCCAGCGGATCCTCCGCGCGACGAGGGTCACGCCGGCTTTCTTGGCAGCCTTCAGGTGCGCGGCGAAGGACGGGCAGCGCGCCGCGTGGGGCCGGAAAGAGCTGCAGTCGCCGCGCGCCACGATGAAGAGCACTGCGGCGGACGCGACGCCCTCCTCCGCGATCGCCGCGAGCGCGTCGACGTGCTTGATGGCGCGGGCGGAGACGACCTTTTCACCCTCCGGGCCTTTTTGATTCTTCGAGCCCCAGGGGAACAGAGCAGCGGTCGGTCCGTTCTCCTCCTCCTCGGCGGCGACACCGCTATCGACCGAGGCATCAACGACCGTCTTCACCTCGAGGACGCAGTCCTTGCCAGAACCGGACACGACAAAATCCGCCCGCATGTCCTGGCCGCGCGGGCCCGTGACCTCGCGGCGGATCTCCGCTTTAGCTCGGTCTCCGGTCCAAACATCTCCCAGCACCGGCGACCGCTGCAGCAAAGCCACCGCCGCCTTTTCCCCGAGAGACGGATGCGCCCCCACCCAACCGCCTCCCGGGAGCTTGGCGAGCTGGCAGTGGAACTCGCACTTCGGCGTCCCGTACTTGGGGTTGACGGCGTCGGGGCCGACGAGGTTGCCCTTCGTGTCGAGCGCCGGTTTGACGAGGATCGTCGAGCCCGCGACGCATTTCCCGCCCAGATCTAATGAAGGTACGTGGCAGATCGCCTCGCGGCCAGCGACTCTTATGTCCGCGACGTAAGGACTGCGGTTCCGCTGCGAGGGCCGACGCACGACCTCCGCCTCGACGAGCGCGTGCGTCGCGTCGTCGCCGCCGAGCGTGAAGAGCGCCTCGCTGGAGAGCGGCTCGGTGCGCAGCACGGACTTGGCGCGCTTCGCACCCTTACTTGGCTTCGGCGTGAGGGTCGCTGTGCGCTTGGCCATTGCAAGCGTGCAGATCAGGCGGCAGCGGAACGTTGTTGGCGACGTGGTTTTGCGCGATGGCGTGTTGCAATGCAACGATGTGCTCTTTCTGGGAGCTCAGCAGCGACGCGAGGGCTTGCTGGAGCGTGTTTTCTTGCAGCATAGGGATCGCGTGAGACGAATGCGGCTGTGCTGCTGCTGTACGATGCAAATTGGCTGTGCTGGCAGTGAGAGCAATCGAGTCCAGCGCATCGCGTCTGAGGTACCCACCATACACTGAGTCGATGAAAACGGGCCTCCCAAAACCGCCTTCCTAGCATTCTCGACGTGTCTCCAGCCTTCCTCTACTACTTCTACAGCTCCGCAAACGCCGCGGCACGAAACGCTCTCAGCAGGGGGATTTTAAGGAGGGGCAGCGCGGGGCAGCGGGGAGCCAAATACGAGGCCACGGGAGGCCAGACGCACCGCCCGGCGCATCGAGGGAGACGACCCGGACGCAGCCAGACACAGCGAAAACGTCAGGCCGGGACGGGGCAGCCCAGCCCCAAACCAGCAGAGGCTCTCTCCCACAGAGATCCACTCGAGCCGCGAGGCGAGGGCGCTCCCAGAGATCCGTTGGAGAGAATGGGCGCCGCCCAGTCGTCCCGCGACGAGATCCGGCGGAACCTCAAGCTCGAGTTCATCCTCGCGCAAGCCCGCGGCCTCGAGGGCGAGGCCCTTTTTGATCATATGGCCGCCGTGACCGAGGCCAAACTTGTCGGAAGGAGCCGGCCGCCGTCGCAAATGTCCCAGAAGTCGCGCACACCTAGATCGCGCGTGTCGAGCCGGGGGTCGCGGCCCGGCACCGGGCGCTCGTCGTCGATCGGCAGCCGCCCGGGCACGGGCCAGACCGTGCGCTTCGCGAAGCCGTTCAACGGCGTGACCTACGGCGGCTTCGCCATTCCCACGGCCCGGCGGTCGCACACGCCGAAGCACCTCGGCGTCGTCCCCGGGAACTACTGGGGCGCGCACTGGCCGGACGGCGGCGAGTCGCGCGTCGGCACCTGCCACGAGAAGGTGGACTCGCTGAAGCTGCGGAACCGGGACCGCAAGGGGCGCGCGCGCGCGCCGGCCTACATCGAGAACATCCAGTCGAACCGGCTCTCGATCATCTAGGGCCTCCCCCTGCTTAAACGAACGGATACTAAGTCGCTGTCCATGGGTCGCCGCGCGCGTTGCCCTTGGCGGTGGGTACCCTCCTAGGCGGACCACGAGTCCAAACGCTGTCGAGCTCGAAACCCGCGACTCGCGCGAGCGTCTAGAGGACGAATCTAGCTAGTCCGGACCCGAGAAGCACAAACCCGCTCCAACCGCTAGCCACTTTGCCAAAACGCTGTGTGCCGGAGCTGTGCGCGCGGATAATCCTAGTGTCTTACATGCCGCTAGCTGCAGGCCGCGGTTTTGCTCTAGCTGGGCGCACGCGACGTAACGGCAATACGCAGTACGCATTGATCGTTTGCGCATAGTACCCTGAGCACTGCGCACGCTAGGAGCTCATCAGCGCGTACACAGCGCTCGACCACAAGACAGCCCGGCCGCACGCGGGCATGCCGCAGCCGGCCAGGGACGCCAAGGAGGACAGCGCCGACTACTGGCTCGCGCAGGCGAACAAGGCCGTGCCCGGTTGTGACGCAAAAAAGACGGAGGCGCAGCTCCTCGAGACGAATCTGGAAAAGGTGCGCGAGGACGCGAAGAAGCTCGAGGAGACGCGCTGGCTCTTCGAGGAGCGGCCCGCGGACCCTTTGTCGGTTGAGGCCTCGGTAGGACTCTGAGAGGATGCCTAAAAAACGTTTCGAGCAGCGGCTCGAGGACTACCGGAACGGCAAAGGCCGCAAAAAGTCTCCACAACGAAGGTTACGGGCTCTCGGCATCATTGCCGGCCTAGCCTTCGTCGTCTATTGCTGCGCGGCGTCTCTGGTAAATCAAGAGGAGGTCTACGCGGCTCCCTCGAAGCCCTACGCCCCGAAGGCGGACACGCGCGAGAAGCGCCAGGCTGACGGTGTGAGACCGTTCCGGGAAGGCGCGTCGTGGGGAGGCCAATGGCGCGCGTCCTCGGAGCCCGGCGGCATTTATATGGAAGGGAAGCCGCTAGTCGCGCGGCGGCGGCCCGCCTACCTTGCAGGTGAGGCACATGCGAGACGGTTAGGTTATCACGTCACGACCGATTCGATTTCTGTAGATCCCATCCGCGGGAACTGCTCGTCGTTTGGCCTCGAACCACCAAAGAACTACCCTAGAGACTACTTACTGACAGACATTGTACAGAACTGGCCGCCCGACTCTATTCTAGTTCCTCCTAGACACTTTATGAGCTTGTGTCGCTTCGACTATCGCGACCCCGTCCAGATAAAGCAAGCTCAAGCTTTTAGAAAGGCCGAGGTCCCGTTTATTGTTGAAAATAATGCAATTCTAGACAAGGTCGCAAAAGATTGGTCGACGCCCGGCTTCCTCGAAAGAAGGCTAGGTACGAAGAAGTACAAGGCCGAAAAGTCCGATGATAACCACTTCATGTACTATGGTGGCTCACGAGGTCATTTGCGGGGCTGGCGGCCGCCGACGAACGACGTGCGGATGACGTACAACGAGTGGTTAAGTCGTGCCCTGATAGCGAGAAATACCTCGATACTCGAGGAGCACTACTACTTCCGCGTGTCTCCGCCCGACACTACGGTAAGAGATATACCGGTATTTGCGAAGGAGGACCCGGTGTTTATGCCTTATCCTAGATTATCCAAGGGCGTCCACTGTAGATTTGGCTACGCGGGCATCATCGCCGAGGCGCACTTCGATGGGAGTCGTAATATTGTGGTCGAGCTGGGTGGGCCTCCATCGTCCACAGGTCACGCTAATAGTGGACGACGTCGGTATGTCATGGCGAAGCCCTCGGAATGCGCCAATACATACTTGTTGCCGAAGGGCCACCCTTCTGGGCGACACTCGGCCATCGACTGGTCAAGGCCGGTAGATTTGACCAAGTTCCCTCGCTGGTCACAGATGAGGGGCTTCGAGGTGATCCTCGAACCGGGCGACGCGCTCTACATCCCGTCGTTCTGGCTCCACTACATTGTTAGTTTGGGCACGAACTTCCAGTGCAACGCGCGGAGCGGCCACTCGGAGGTGAGTCACGAGGACGTGAAGGGATGTGGCTTCTAGTGCATGCCATCGCCGCGGCGCATTCTCTGCGGCGACGGCGTCAGACGGCGGCATCGATCGGCCGGGAACGGTCGAACCTAAGAACATCTGTGTTAAGAATAGCTTACCCGACTACGCCGCCGACGCGTCCGCCACGTCCACGTTCGGGTGCACCGCTAATACCGGCTCATTGTCTTCGTGCGCCACCACTATAACTAAATCGTCCTTCTGCAGGCGCTTCAGGATCTGCTTGAGTAATTTCGCATGTGCTGCCGTCTCCTCGCCCACCTCGTCGGCATGGGTTTTGAGGTACCAGTCGACCACCGCACTCCTCTTCAAGCCTGGGACACCGTCCAACGTCGCTCTAGATCGCAAATGAGTAGTAATCAGTGCCCGGTAGCGCGTATAGTCCTCGTAGGACAGCTGGACCTTGGCCTTCTTCTTCGGAGGCGGCTTCGCTGGCGAGTCTTCGGTAGGAGCGGGCTTCGCGGGCGACTCCGGCTCATCTTCGGCGGGACGCTTCTCTCCTACATTTGGTATCTCTACGGCAGCAGCAGCTTCTAGATCATCCTCGTCGATTTCTTCCAATAGCACTGATTCGCTCTCGACGGAAATGATAGATCTTTTCAACAACCTAAAAGCTTCTTTGACGTTGTCCGGCTCCACGGTCTGACTGAGATGTATCCTGGCATGCGCTTCTGAGAGTCGTACTAAAGATTCGAGCTGTCTTACCGTGACTCTATAAGCGGTTTTAGATCTACCAACAACATCATTCTGCCGCAACTGCCTATAACAAGCCACCAAGGTCTTAGCGGCAGCATCCGTGATCACAGGTTGGATCTTCTTGGCCACGCGAATATACGACCGTAACTCATCGATGGTAAAAGGCGCATCGAGGGCCCGCGCCTCGCCGGCGGCGACGTCGACGATGTGCTTGGCCACGTTCCGATCGGTAACTTCGTCGCAGTCGTCGATGACGATGAAAAACAGGTCGAACCGCGACATGATCGGCATCGTCATGTCCACGTTCGCTTTGAGCGTCTTCGTGCGGTCGTAGCGGCCGTGCTTCGGGTTCGCCGCGGCTAGGATGGCGGTCCTCGCGTTGAGATTCGCTTGGATGCCCGCTTTCGTGATGGAAATAGTCTGCTGCTCCATGGCCTCGTGGATCGCGACCTGGTCGGTGGCATCCATCTTGTCGAACTCGTCGATGCAGCAAATGCCGTTGTCCGCCAACATTAAAGCTCCTGCCTCGACGCCGAATTCTCCTGTTTCACTATCTCGTGCTATACATGCGGTCAATCCTGCGGCTGACGCGGCTTTGCCCGACGTATATACACTTCTACTGAGAAAGGTATGGACGTACTTCAAAAACTGTGATTTTGCGGTAGAAGGATCACCAACGACACAGACGTTGATCGTACCTCGCAGCTTGATGCCCTCGTGCGTCTGTTTGGCCACGCCTCCAACCAACTGTAGGAGTATGCCATGTTTTATATCCTTATGGCCGAACACGGCGGGCGCTATGCTTTCAGCTAGAGCGTCATACAACCTCGGTCGTTGGCGCATCTTCTTCGCGGTGAGCGCGTCCTTCGCGTCGCGAGGCGTCACGATGTCTTCCACACCATCCAATGCGCCTCCCGCGGATTTCAACTGCCTCAGGGCGTCGTCGGCCTCGTCATCATCCCTACCTCTGCCATCTGCCTCTTCGGCTCGCTCGACACCACAAGCCGAGAACAGCATCTTATAGGTCATTTCGCGCGTACCCGCTACCGATTGCGCACCGGTAACGCCTTGCGCCATGTTGTTTAACCTTCCTGCAACAGCATTTTCTCCGGCCCGAGCCAAACCCCCGGCATCGGGGACCACACAAGGGCAACCAGTAGCGACAATTTTATCCCCCGCCTTCACTTGCTCGACCATCTCGTCGCGCACGATGACATCCAACGAGCGAGGCAAGGAACCGGCCGGTATTTCATCGGTGGCCTCCTGGACCCGAATTCGCTGCCAGTCGGCGAACTTGCTCCGGTCCATTTGTAATTGCCATTTATTTTTCGAGGCGTTGTTGCACTGGGGGTTCCGACAGATGGTCGGGGTCGTGTACCTCATCTGTTGGGGCACTTCCGGGGCTTCCAATCCACATTTCAGGCATAGGAAGCTACCAGCGAGTAGTTCCGGTCTCACATCTGAGGTTCTCGTAACTACAGCTCGACATTGGACCAACGTACCAATTTTATCACATCGCAGATCCCGGAGCTTCTCCGGCGCTGATTTCAAATTACGAAACGCGACGAAGAACGTCTTCGCGTCGACCGGATCCGCCTGGCCCGGCCGCCGGTCTTCGCCCGTCGTGACTCGTGCCCTCACTTCTCGGTAGGCTCGTTTCGCTCCCGCCCTTACACAAGGTTCAAAACGGTAGTATTCACTTTCTACTGCCAAAGCTAGCTCGCCGTCGAACGCATCTAGCTCGAAAAAGTCGACTCTCACCGTTGAGCTTTCTTCGTCGGTGACCATCCTTTCTAATTGTTGCACGTAGGGCCGCGCGTCGGGCTCCCTGGCTGTTTCGTCTCCCACGCTTGCCGCGGAGTAGTCGAGCAGGAAGCGGCAGAAGCGCTCCTCGACCTGCGTGTCCGTTTCTCGCTCCGTCGATTCGTTGGCTACCGCCGCTGTTGTTGTGGTGGCCATGGCTTACGGCTGCGCAGAGGCGTCGCGGCGTTTCTCGCTGCGGTGCTGCAAGAGGCCTGCCCTCTCCTGTGGCTGGCGCGCGGCCTCCGTTGCCTCAGCAGTGATGCGTGGGTGACTACTGATCACAAATGAGTGCAGACGGGCGTCGGCGTGCAGCGATGAGGCCACAGTGGCGCTTTGGACGGCGGCGCCGCCTTGCTTTGCTTTTGCTAGTGTCTTAACACCGCTAGCGTCCGCGGAAGCCTTCTTGCGGTGGGAGAGTTCCAGTGCCATTGCAGACGAAGAAGTCTCGCCTGACTTTTCAAATAGGGGGTCGCGAACCTCCTCGTGAATCGATTTTGCTCCGCTTTGGTCTGTGCGCTCGCGGCGCGACGCGCGGCCCGCTGAGCGTCGCAGCGGTCCAGTGACGCTGTCATTAGTGGCCTGCTTGCGCGGCCGCGTGAAAACGAGCCGCGGGGAACGCGCACGGCTGCCAAACACCGCTGCGGAGACACTAGACGCGGCGCGCGCGTACGGCCGTGGTCACCGAGGAGCCGCCAAAAAACGCTGCGTCGCCCAGCAGCTCTCAGCAGCGCCAGCGAAGCACAGCTAAAAACGCCGGCGCGGACGCGGACGCCGCGCGCCGAACGCCATGGCGAAGAAGAAGAAGAAGGCCGACGCGCCGAAACAGGGCCAGCCGCGCTTCGCCTCTCTGAAAATTGTGGTGATAGGCGCCGCGAAGCCGCAAAGAGCTCTGTGGGAGACGAAGGTCGGGACCGCGTCGTTTGTAGCACTGCAAAGGGGCCAGTGCATGCAAGGGGCGCTGGAAGCTCATACAGATGCATCTTATGTGATCAGCTGCGTGGGCCCGGACCCGCCGCTCGCGTTTCGCGTGCATCAAGACTGTCCGAGGGCATCACTCGTGCACGAGGCCTGGCTCGCGTCGTCCCTGGCGAACGGCGCCCAGGGCCCCCTCGCCTCGATCCAAGATCATGAGTGGGCCGTGCCGGACTCGCAGGAGCTCGCGTGTTCAGTGGAGACGCCGATGTCCCAGGACGAAGAACAGCGGTTTTGTGTACTGTTGATGGTCGATCGGGGTGATAGCGATGCGGTCGAGTACCGAAGGGTTGTCGGAGACGCCTGCGCCGAAGAAGTGAGAGAACAGTGCCGCTTCCCCGAGGAGCACCTCCATATTACATTAGCTGAAGGTAGATGTACGGGACGCGAGGCCTCACAAATTAGATTAAGGTCGTCCGTACCAACATTATCGCGCATCCAGTACGGTCCGCCGAAGCCCTGGGACCGCTGCCTCGCGCTCGGGTTTGGAATGGAAGAGGCGGCGCCGTTATACGACCTGGCCTGCGACCTCGAGATGCCATCCACCGTCAAGCTCAAGAACAGCAAGCAGTACCACGTCTCGTTATATCGCGCGAACGGGCGGGGCGACGACCTCGCGCAGGAGACGGGCAAGATGAAGGCCGCGGGCCGCGAGTTCGGGGGCCACGGCTCGTGTCGAGCGCGGTCGGTCGTCGTCAAGGTCGTCGCCGCGCCCTACGAGTCCGCGCGCGTCGTCGCGGACATACCTTCCCGGCAACCTCTGCGCGACGTGCGCGTCGCCTTTATTGGAGACGTATCCGATTCCATACGAAACGAGGTCGCCGACGCCGGCGCTTCCATTATTGACAAGGTCGAGAGCGCGGAGTTTGTTGTGTGTGGCGATCTGAGTTCAGACGGCGCCATGGTCATCGAAAAGACGGCGGCCTTCCGCGCGGCGACCGCCGCGGGACGACGGATGCTAGATGAGGCCGCCATGCGCGCGGAGATCAGGACCAGGGACATCCCCGTCGTGACGCACACGGCCCCTCCACCTCCCGAGTTCGAGCTCGTCGACCCCGACGCTCCCAGCGATGATTCGCGGTGGCCGCTCACGCAAGACGAGGCCCTCGGTATCGCACTACAGGACCCGTGGCGCGCTTCCTCAGACGGCCAGCTCATGGGTTGTCAATTCCACGGGGCGCCTCGACAGGCGACCGTGACCTACGGTTTTGATTTTGACGGGACGTTGTCAGTAAGGACGCACGGTTCCAAGCACGTCGCCCACGTCGAGCGCTACGCGCACCAGGTCGAGGTGCTAAGGCGCCTCCACGACTCCGGCGCCGCTTTATATATAGCGACGAACGAATCAATAGCACATACGGCGAACTGGCAAGCGGAGAAGCGCGCCGCGCATTTAGGCGCCAAGCTGCGGCGGCTCGAGGCCTTCGCCGAATCGCTAGGTGAGGACATTCCTTTGTTGGTTGTGATCGCTTTAACAAATAAAGAAGGCGACTGCCATAAAAGAGGCCCAAACGCGCCGACGGGCATGTGGCGCGCGGTCCAAAAGGCGCTCGGTGTTACAGGTGAAGCCCACACGTACGTCGGCGACCTCGGCGGCGGCGGCGGCAGGGAGCGCGACGACCGGCGCTTCGCCGAGGCGAACGGCCTCGCGTTTCACACCGAGGTCGAGTTCTTCGAAGGGCGGCACCCTGCTTCTGGGATGGAGGAGTCGCCGGCCTTTGAGCCTGTCGCAGTGCCGGCGCCGGCGCCCGCGGACTTCCCCGCGCCCGCGCCGCGCGTGGCCTCGGATCAAGTCGAGTTCGGCCTCGACTACGTTGACACGCAGACGCAGGACGAGCTCGCGCCGCCGCGCGACTTCCCGGCGCCCGAGCCTCAGCTGCCGCCCTTCGAGCTCGTGCCCGTCGACTCGCAGACGCAAAACGAGGCCGCTCCACCGCCGGACGAGTTCCCGGCGCCGGAGCCGCGGACTCCGAGCGCGGAGCTGCCGCCCTTCGAGGTCGTCGCCCTGGACTCGCAGACGCAGGGCGAGGACGCGTTTCCGGCGCCGGAGCCGCGCGCGCCCTTCGATTGGACGCAGCAGGACGAGGCGGCCCCGGCGCCGGCGCCGTGGCCCGCGGAGACGTACCCGGAGACGTACACGGACGAGGACCCCTTCGCGGACATCGAGGACCCGCGCCTCCGCGCGCTCCTCGAGCGCCAGGCGGCGGAGCTGCCGCGGATCGTGGAGGAGCTCGAGGCCCACGGCGAGAAGCGGTCCCACTGGGCCTGGTGGGCCTTCCCGACGGAACTCTGCGGCGCGAGCGAGCCGCCGCCCGAGACGTGCGTCACGGAGGAGCTCGCGCCGGTGCTGCTCGAGCGCGGGCCGCTGGGCATGTGGCGCCGCGCCCTCGAGCTCGTCTGCGACCGGTCCGAGGCGCGCGGCGACCTCGTGCTACCGAGCATCGACCACGGCCGCGTCGTCTTCTTCGTGGCGTTCTGGGAGCGGCTCGCCTGCACGCCGGCCTGGTTCCGCGACGTACTCACGCGGCTCGACGCGCTCCTGCCCGTGGCCCAGCGGCGCCGGCTCGCTAAACAGAGGGCCGTGCGCCGCGCGGCGGCGCCCGCACCGGCGCCGCCGCCAGCACCCGCAGCGCCGGCGCCCGCACCCGCAGCGCTGGCGCCGCCGCCCGAGCCCGAGCCCGCTGTAGCGCCGGCGCCGGCGCCGCCCGACGTCATCGCGGTCGACGAGACCCAGCCCGAGGCGCCCGCGCCGAAGCGACGTAAAAAGAAGCGCGACATCCTCTCGGACTCGTCAGATGATGATGAAGATGCGGTCGCCTTCCCGGCCTACGCGTTCCCCGGCGTGCCGCCGCGATCACATGACTGGAAGCGCGCGCTGCGGCCGCCGCACGCGAGCCTCGCCTACGCCTCGAGTCGCGACGGCCGTTTAGTCTACGACGGCTACCCGAAGGCGCGGCGGCACCTGCTCGGGCTCGCGGCGCCCGGGACGGCTCTAAGTCGTGTGGCGAGCGTCCGCGACCTCCGCCGCGAGCACCTGCCCGCTCTCCAAAAGTTGCACGCGTTCTGCCGCGCGGCGGCGGAAGCGCTGGGGACGCCCTGCCGCGTCGGCTACCACGCGCGGCCGTCGCTCGAGCCCCTCCACGTCCACGTCATTTCCGTCGACCTCGACTCGGAATTCATCAAGCAAAAGAAGCACTTCCTCTCGTTCGCGACGGACCGCTTCGTCGACGCGTCGGTCGTGGAACGGGCGATTGAGAACGGCGCGCTCGCGGACGCGCTGAGAGGCTCCAACGACGAGGCGCTCGCGTGCCACCGCTGCGGTAGTTCGGAGCGCAACCTGCCGGCGCTCAGGCGGCACCTCGCGGTCTGCGCAGCGCCGCCGCCGGCGGCCTGGGACGTGGTCGGTCGGCAGCCCGCGCCGGCTCCGTCGCCGCAGCCTACCAAGCCTTCGCCGCGGCCAGACGACGACGACGACGACGAGTGGTTAGAGAGGGCGCCGGCGTCGCGGCCAACGCCCAAGCCCGCGGGGAAGCGCCCCCGGGACGACGAGGACGACGACGACGACGACGACGACAACGGCTGGCCGACGCCGTCTCGGGCGGCGAACCGCGTCACGACGTCGGGACGGCGAGCGCCGGCGGCGGCCGAGATCATCGTGCTGGACGAGACGCAGGACGACGCGGCCATGGCGCCCGCGCCCGAGGCCGACGGCACCGCCTCCGTCGTGACGGAGGAGAGCGGCCGCGCGCCGCGGCGGGCCCCGGCGCCGAAGCCGGCGCCCGCGCCGCCCGCATCCGTCCGCGAGCACTTCTCGCCGAAGCCGGCGCCCCGCGAGCCCTTCTTCTCGCCGGCGCCGATACCGGCGCCGGAGCCGACGAGGTTCTCGCTCGCCGAGCGCGCGCCGCCGGCGTCGCCCACCGGCGCCGAGCTCGCCGCCATGTTTCCCGCCGAGGGCGACACGGTTGAGATCATCTGGCAGAAGGACACGACCCTCGAGGTCGACGGCGCCGGCGACCGCTGCATCGTGGCGTCGCTCCGCGGCCCGTTCCCGGACAAGAAGAAAAAGCGCCGGTCGTCGACCTCGCTTCCGGCGTACCACGTCTACGCCGAGCTGCGGTCGCTCGTGCGCCTCGCCGGCGACCAGGAGAACGCCTTCGAGCGCGTGGATGAGACGGACCGGCGGCCCAAGCACGTCCATCCCAAATACAAGCTCTCGCTGCACGCGCGGGGGACGGTGTGGCGGCGCGTCGACGTCGACGCCGAGGGGGAGGATTCCTAACTGTTGTTGATAATGACTACGACTCGCAAACAATCCGCTGCTTGTCTCGCCACGTTTTTACGGTGCTACGACCAGCTTGCTGAGGCTGAGGCTAGTTACGTCGCAGGGTTCCCCGTACCCCTCCCGCTCCCCCCGGGCCCACCCGTCCGGCTGGACTAGGACGCAAGGGCTGAGTCGCATGGACTCGCACGCCCCCCCCTTTTTTTTGGGACGCCCCCCATCAGGATGTGGAACTGGCTTGCTTCCTAGTGTCTTACGCCGCTAGCTCAGCGTGCAGGCTGCTGCAATCGTGGCATCGTGGCAGTCCACATCGATATACCTCAGAGGCAGACTAATTGGAGCTAGCACTCATGCGTGCACTCATGCGCGCGCTCCTGCTCACGTGCTGCTCCGCACTGCAAACGCTCAGCCTGCAAGCACTGGCGCCAGCAGTTCAACAATCGATAGCGAAGCGTGCTACGCTAGACACGCTGCAAAATGCCGTGAGCGGCGCAGCGCTCTGGCGGCAGTGCTTCCTGGAAGGACGCGTCCCCGACGAAACGCTCGACGAGGTGACGTGGCCCGACAAGCCGACGCGCGCGGCGTGCCTCGTAGCATTCGGGCCCGTCGCGCGCGTGGTTGGGAGACACCATCGACTGGCCGATCTTGCTTTGCTGGCCCTCATTGATGCTGCCACGACAACAACAGACGAAGAGCACGTAGAGCCACCCCTGGCGCCGACGGTCGCCGCAGTCAGCGCCGTCGAGGCCGTCTACGGCGATGCCGCGGGGCCCGTCATCGACGCGTTGCTGGACGACGAGATCGCGGCCTGGATGGGCACCGCGGCGTCACAAGGTAGCCGCGGCAGGTTCGCGCGCCGCGCCGGCAGCTTCGCCACGCTCGACGCGTTGGCGAAGAAGCTGCGGGACATCCGCGAGCTCGTCCCGCTCCTCGAGTCGCTGGGCCGGCGCACGACGGCGGAGGACGGCCGGCCGCGCCAGGGCTCGACGCGGCGGCCGTCCTCCGCGGGTTCGGTGGGCGCCTGCGACGCGTCTTCGGGCGCCCGCGACGGCGTCGACGGCGCGACGCTCGGACGTGATGTCGCCAGTTTAGCAGCCCACGATCGGCTGCTGCTCGTCGCCGACGGCGACGCCGAGCGGCTCTTCCGCGCGAAGTACGCGTCGCGGACGCTCGTCGAGGCGGCGCCGGCCGGGTTGGACGAGGCGCGGTCAGTTTTTGCCAGGAGGCGCGCCGTGCTGCCGCGCGGCCGGCGCGGGCCGCTCGTCGTCTGCGTGGACACGTCCTACTCCATGGCCGGCGGCCGGGAGGCGGTGGCGAAGGCGGTCGCGCTGGCGGCGTGCCGCGTGGCGGCGGCGCAGAAGCGAAGCGGATTGGTGCTGGCCTTCGGCGCGGCGGACGAGTTGGCCGAGGTCCGGTGTCCGGGCGTCGGAGCGACGGCGGCGGACGTCGACCGGCTGCTGGACTTCCTCGAGCGGGGCTTCGGCGGCGGCACCGACGTCGTCGGTCCGCTCCGCCGGGCCGTCGCGGCGATCGAGCGCGGCGAGGAGGGCAGCTCGGAGCTCGCCGACGCGGACATTTTGCTCGTGTCCGACGGCGAGCTCCTCGACCCGCCGGCGGATGAGGGGACGTTGTCCGCGCTGGACCGGCTCCGCGCGGCGCGCGGGCTCCGCGTCCACGGCCTGCTCGTGGGCCGGTCGCGCCTCGACGACCCGGCGACCGACGCGTTCCGCAACGCGGCGCCGGATTCGCCCATGGGCGTGCTCTGCGACGACATTAGCACCTTCCTGGCGGCGCACGACGACCTGACGCTTTTGCGCGAGGCGTCGGCGGCGCCTGCGCCGGCGGCGACGACGAAGCGGGGTGGGGCGCTCTACGCCGCGGCGCCGGCGCCGACGCCAAAGCGCGGGCGCGGACGCCCGTCGACGCGACTCTACGCGACGGCCAGCGACGAAGAAGGGGCGCCGACATTTCCCGTCGCGCCCGAGGCTCTCGAACGGGCCGCCGCGGCGATTCTAATGTTGTGTTTTTAAGGAAACTAGCCAACGGCTCGATGTAGACGTCCGACTCGGAGTCTTGATTCCATTGGCGAAAACCGCCAATACTCACTCAGAGGCCCCCAGGACCGTGAGGCCGCCCTCGTCGAGCTCGTACCAGTCATCGGCGTCGTAGTCGTCGAAGACGATGTAGTACTTGTCGTCGCGGCATTCGACGATGTAGCCGAACTCGGGGGCCGCGTCGTCCTCATCGAACTCGACCTTGACGCGCGCGCCGACGGGGCAGTTGGGGTCGGGCGGATCCGACTCCGGGAGCTCGGCGAGCGCCGCACGGAGCTGGGCCTGGACCTTCGCACTAACGCTGGGGGCGTCATTATGACCTTTTTTCTTCGCCCCAGACCAGGTCCGCTCGAGGCACTCGACGTCTTTCACGAGATCTTCCAGCTGGACCTTCGTGAGAATCGACGAATACCGCAGCAGCGCCGCGAGACGCAGGCGCGGCGACCGCCCCAGAATGTTCTCGCGCTCGAAGTCGAACATGGCCCGGTCCGCGTCGAGCTGGCGCTCCGCGATGTAGGCCTTGAGGTCGTCCTCGGTGATGTCGTAGCGCCCCTCCGAGGCGTCTTCGAGGTACGTCGCCGCCCGCAGCGCCAATGGTAAGGCCTCGCTGTACGCGTCCACGTTCGACAGCAAGTACTGGCACTCGATGAAGTCGGCCGCCTTCTGCGCGTCGGCGGATCCGCCTTGTTGTTTAATTTTCTTGCTGTTCTTGTAGTCGAGGAGCGGGCGGACGGTAACACCGTCGATTTTGCTTGTGGCCCACTTAATGTCGAGCTTGGAATACGCCAGGACGGCCGCACGTAAGTTGCCCGGGACGGCGTTCGGCGTGTTCAGCATCTTCCGCAGTCTCAACTGTAACAGCCAGAAACGAAGCGCCGACTCGCAGTCCGGAAACCCGTTGCAGTCGACTAGTTTCGGGTCGAGCGCCTCGTCAGTTCCGGCCTTGAAGTCTTCGCGGTTCTTGGCACCGACGGCCGCGGCGAGGAGGCGGTGCGGCGGCGAGAACTCGTATCCAAGCGAGGTGCCGTAGCGTAACGTGGAGTCCTTGTCCATCGTGCGCACGAGGATGGGGCCGTACGTCTTGTCGAAGGCCGCCACGCTCGAGAGGTCGATGGCCTCGTCGCGGGCCTTGTAGAGACCACAGTGCGCGTGGAGGATGGCGACGATGCGCTCGCCGCCGACGCAGCCGATGATCGTGCGCTTGCCATCGATCCAGGCCACGGAGAGGACTTTCACGAGCGAGCTGAGCGGCGTGTCATAGGACACCCGGAACTGCGCCAACCGCTCGGGCGCGATGTCGGCCGTATTGACCTCTTTCGCGAAGGCGTTGCGGTCGGCCGCCACCTTGGCCCAGGCCACGTGGGGGAACGAGGGGTTTCTGGCCTCTGACTTGGCCTGGCTGCATCTCGGAGGAACGGTGTCGCCGGCCAGCAACTCGAGCAGGCCGACGTGCACGTAGCCGACCTCCTCGCCGTAGACGTTCACGATGGTGGTTCCCAAGGTGTCGACGAGGTTGCGGTAGATTTCGAGGCACTCCTCTTCGTCCTCGCCACACGCGGCCATCACCTGCTGCGAGGCCTCGCACGCGCACTGCTTGTGGCCGAGATAGAGCCTCGCCACTAAGCGAATCGCCGTAACGTCGCCCGCTGCCGCGCGGGCCAACCACCGCCGGCAATAGGCGTCGCGTTCCGCCGCGAAGAGCGAAAAAGGGACCTCGGTGAAGCGCTTGGCAAAAAAACGCTCGAACGGGCGCTCGACCGTGTTGTGGTGCCCGAGCAGCAGCCACGAGTTCGACGCGTCCGACGCGCCGACGCACGTGGCCGCCAGTGCGGCGACCTTCTGGTGGTCCTCGCACATACATTCGGCGAGCTTGTCGCCGCAGTTCTTCATGACCTCGGGGAACAGCACGCGGATGTCCGCGTCGTCGGCCTCCTTATAATTCTTGGGCCGCGTCACTTTACATTCAGCGCGTGCTTCCAGCTCCTCGATCGAAGGCATTTTGACGTCCGCGGGCGTGCGCGGAGCTTGCTTCGCCTAGGACTCGGCGTGTCCTTGTTATGCTACTTGTTTGTTCGGCGCGATGCGACGTCGTAGAGCGCCGCGCGCTCGTGTGCTGCGAGGAGCCGTCCTAGAGACTACTCCCCCAATTACCTGTTGGGACTGCGCTGCCCGCTTGTGGTAGCACGGCGTATTTAAGGTGAAAGGGCCTCGAGCTCCGCTGGCTAGCGGCCTGTAAGACACTAGGCATCCCTAGCAAGCACACTCGGCTCTCCTCGGCAGCGGAAACACGGCGTAACGGATCGTAGGAAAGGTCCTCCGACGAGTCCGGCACAAAGCGCGGCTACTATTGACTTACCAGAACATGAAAACGCGGCGCCGACGAGGTGCCACGCAAGAGCCATTTCTAGTTCGGGCGACCTCTGCGCCGCCAGGACCAGGTGGCAACTCGAGTATTTTCATGTTCGGGTGGGAGTTTCGGGTGACGAACTTGAACCAGTTTCGTCCGCGCGCGAACATCGTACAGTTATCTCCGCGAGGATAGTTTATTTCAAGCTGACGTCGGTCCCTTAGCTAGAATATATAAATAGCAAAAAGTTCGACTGTCGAACTCAATACAGTAAATATTTACATTAAAACTTTTATGTTCGCGGACCGATCCCATCGCCTCGAGCGCTCTTCTACTCGGTCCTCGACGGAAACGAGCCGTACCGAGCCGCCGGGAAGCGTCGCAAACGAGCTGGGCACGAGTTGGCCACTATTGATTTACCGGGACTTCGCCGGTCGCGAGGCACCCCTCTACCCCGAGCGCTCCCCTACCCGACCTTCAACGAAAAGAGCCGTCCCGGGCCGCCGAGAGAAGTCCCCAACGAGCTGCGCGCAGGTCCGGGCGCGTGGCGTACTAGAACCTACCCGAATTATTTTTTAGTGATAATTTCCCAGTGGCGGCGGCCCTCGGCGTGATCCGCCGCAACAACGACGCCGGCGCGGCGACCGTACTCTGCCTCGAGGGCGCCTCGACTTCTCGTGCCATGTTCCCCGTGCAGAATGAGATGTCGCGCTTCCTCTCCGTGACTGGCACTGGGGTCACCGCGCAGCTTCCAGCTGTCCGAGGTGAATCGATGGCCGTTGCACTCGACGAAGAGGTGCAGCTGCATCTTGCGTTGCGCGACGAGGTGGGGCGATCATTTGTGAGCTCGAGGGACCTGTTCGACGCCGCCGCTAACGGGGGAAAAGGCTTCTCCACCGTCGTGCGGTCGAAAACTGATGGGGTACGAGCGATGTCGACGGAGAGGCTCGCCCTTCCGTCCCTGGAGGTAGACGTGTTCATGCGCGACGAGACGACGTTAGATGAGCCCACATTGGTCGTGCTGGGCGCGTTTCACCTCGCGGATCTGTCAAGGGACGACGTCTGGTGCGGAAGCATGCTGAACATTTGGAGCCGTGTTTCTAACTTGGACGTGCATCGGGCGGTTGACCGCGAACAATGGCTTCTCGCTCGGTTCCAACGGGACCGCCGGACTGAGATTATGTCTGTTTTCCTGTCGGCCGTTCTGCATTTTGGAGGGTGGCTCTACATTTCGTATCTGGATGGCGAGCTGAAGCGCTTGTTGAGGAGGAACTTGTTTCCATTTATTGGACCGCTTCCGCAAATCCCAGCGGTTGTCCTTCGAGATGGCGGCGCCGCCGGCCGCTGGATTCGCGAGGTCGGCCTGGAATGTTTACAGAAGGACGTCATCCTGGCGATGTTGAGCTACATCGCGCAGCACAATTCTTCGCGTAGGGCGGCCACGGCGGGCGCTCCCCGCGTGTGGAACGTTATCATGGCGCGCGGCCGGCTGCCGTTGGCGTCGCGCGAAGAGATCGCGCGCCAGCTCACTTTGCGGTATGACTACCCGCGGCGCGTCGCTGCGGACTTCGCCAGACGGGCTCACGAGTCGGAGCTATCGCGGCGGCGCCGGTGGCCCGCGCCGTGGGAGGAGGCGGCGGTCGCCGCCGACGCCGCGCGACGACTGGCCCAACAATTAGCGCAAGCGCCGGCGCCGGCGCCGGCCGCCTCGCGCAGGGCGCGAAGGGCCAGACGCCCGGCGGCCAGAGGGCCGCGTCAAGCTACTCTGAGAGACTACTTGATTGCGAGTCCTGGCGGCGTGAGACCGCGCATGCCAAGAGGGCGGACGGTCGCCGCCGCGCCCGCGCCCAGCGCGTCGGAGGCGCTGGAGGCCCAGCGTCGCGAACTCGCAGCGCATAATGAGCGCCAGATTGCGCGCGACGAGGCTTACGCGCGCCGGATCTACGAGGCCGAGGCATCGGCCGCCGTGGCTCCGAACGCGCCCGCGCCCGCGCGGGAACGGTCGCCGCCGCCGCGCACGCGCCCGCGCCCCGCCGCAACACCGACGCCTAATCGCCAGCGGCGGCGAACGGGGTCACGGTCGCCCAATCGCGGTGGTTAGTTCCGGTGGTTCGGTCGAGATGACGCGCTTCTAAGAGTTTCTCCTAGGAATATAATATATGTATTTGGACTATGTTACAATTGAGCAGAGGCATGCGTTACGTCGTCCAAAGCATTCGAAACGAGAGATCCCCGGCGCCCAGAGTGCGGCTAGTGTCTTAGGACGCTAGCTAGCAATCTGGCCTCGCAAAGGTGTCGTGCCTATTCGTGGCTCCGCGATTTGCAAAAGAAGTGATCCGGCCTTCAAATCGCTGCCAAGGATATGCTGCGCCCGCTCCTCACGTCGTCCGTCTTCGCCCTCAGCCGCGCGCTGGTGCAGCAGCGCTGCATGCTGCAGGGCGCGGCGAAGCACCAGCGTAGCGCTTCGCGCATGCCGGAGAGTGAACCGGGCCTCCGCTGGGCGACGGGCACGGGTGAGCCCATCAGCTGCAAGGCCGCGGTCGCGTTCGGCGTCGACGACCTGAGACCGACGGACATTGTCGTGGCCGCGCCAAGCTATCCGATTGCGCCCGAGGACCTTGAGAGGGCTGCCGCCGCGTTGGAGCGCGGCCTCGTCGAGCGTTCGGCCGAGGCGCGCCTCGTGCTGCTCGGCGCCGCGACGCGCGAGCACGTGCTGCTAGTGGGTCCGCCCGGGGTCGGCAAGAGCCTGCTGTGCCGGCGCCTCGGCGCGCTGTTCTCGGAACACGACTCGTACTTCGAGGTCGCGCTGACGCGCTTCACGACGCCCGATGACGTGTTCGGGCCCCTGTCGCTCAAGGCGCTCCGCGAGGACGTGTCGCAAAGGGCCGCCGACGGCTTCGCAGGTAGTGCGGAAGTAGTCTTTCTCGACGAAATATTTCGCGCGCGCGCGCTGCTGCCGGCGCTGCTGCAGCTCCTCAACGAGCGGACGTGGCCCGACGGCTCGCGGAACCGGCCCGCGAAGTTGGTGAGCGCGGTCGCCGCGACGAACGCGCTGCGCGACGCGGACGACGACGACGACGACGCGCTCTTCGACCGCTTCCTCTTCCGCCGGGCCGTGGCGCCCGTGTCGGACGCCGGCGCGCTCGACCTGCTCCTGACGCCGACGGACGACGATTCTCGCGACGACGACGCCGCGTTGCTAGCGCCGTTGAGGGAGACGCTAGGCGGCGCGCGCGCGAGCCTCCCGCGCCGTCGCGCCGCGGTGCTCGCGTCTTGCAGGGCGTGGCTCCGGGACGAGCGCGGCGAGTACGTCTCGGACCGACGGTTACGGCGGTGCTCCGAGGCGATCCGCGCGGCCGCGCTGGCGTGCGGGCGCACGGAGGTGGGCGCTCTTGATATCTTGCTCGCGGCGGACGCCCTGTGGCAGCGGCCGGAGACGCGGGCGCCGCTCGTGGAGTGGCTTGTTGATCACACGGTTCCCGACGACGCGGCGACGATGCGCCTGCTGCTGGACGCGCTGCGGGCGCGCGATGCTCCGAGCGAGCAGGACGCGGAGGAGATCGTCGCCGCCGCCACGGCCGCGCGAAGCGACCTCGCCGCCGACGCCGCGGCGACGGCCGAGGCCGAGTGCGTGTTCCTCGCGCCGGCGGCGCTTGCCGCCGCGAAGCAGGCGCTGGCGTCCCTCTACGCCGAGCGACTGTCCGCGCTCGCCGCCGTCCTCGAGAGCGCGACGGCCGTCCGGGACGCGATCCGTGCGGGCGACCCGCTGCCGGTCGCGGATGATGTTTCGGTCGTCGAGCGCGTCTGGGACGACGAAGACGGCGACGACGACGAGTCGGACGGCAAGAAAAAGCGAAAGAAGCGGAAGAAGAAGCGGTGATCGCGATAAATAAGTTGTGCTAGTGTCTTACAGCCGCTAGCATTGCCTCACTCGGCGCTTGTCTTTTTGCGCTTGGACCACTGGCATCCGTGGATATAACGCATCATTTCAGGTAGCTGCAATAAGTGCTGCGCTCTGCCAGAGCGAGGGAACATCAATCGCGCCGTCTTGAGAGCTTTGCTAGCTTTGCTCTCAGACAGCTTCACAGCAGCAGCCGCCATCGACGCGAGGCAAAGAGATAATGGCCGCGCACCAGCTGACGACAGCCCGCGCCCCGCCCGAGCCCGAGTTCGTGCTCCGCGGCCACTCGCACGCCGTCACGGCGCTGCGCTTCCTCGACGAGCACAGACTGGTCTCGGGCGACGTGGGCGGGCATTGCTTGCTCTGGAACCTCGCGACGCGGCGCCCCGTCCAAAACTGGGCCGCGGCGCCGCTCGGCGTCCTCGAGGTGCACGACCACGCCGGCGGCTTATTAACGCAGACGCGCGACGGGAGAATACGGCTCTGGGACCTGGAGAATTTAGCAGAGCCGACGACGACGCTCGCGACGAACTCCTTTTTCTTCGCGCGCTGCGCGACCGTCGGACATAGTGAAGACTACGCGGCGCCTCCTATCATATCGACGTCGCAACCAAGGCCGCCACGCACAAAGGCGGAGAGCGGCATTGGTGCCCAACTAGCCTCCGACGACGACGAGGAGGAGGAAACGCCACCACCAGCAAAGCGCTGGTGCGATCACGAAGGCCACGCGCGGCATTTGGTGCTCGCGCCGACGGAGCCGCCCGAGGCTACGCTGCTCTGGGACACGCGCCAATCACAACCCGCGTTGAAGCTCGCGCCCGACGCCGGCGACCGGACGTTGGTACGGAAGGGCGACGCCTCCGTGCTGGGCAACGCGATGGCGATGCGGCTCTGGCTCCCGCAAACGCAACCGTCCTCAAAACCGCCATTAGCATTGGTGGGCCACGAGAACGGACGTATATTGGCCTGGGACCTGGCCATGCCCGTGCCCCAAATCTGCGCGAAGACGCCTCAAAATGCTTTCAAGTCGCCGAACGTCGCGCTCGATATTAATGAAGAAGGCACGCTGCTCTTCGCGGGCGGCGTCGAATCAAAAGCGCAGGCGTTTCGCGTCGAGCCCGGGTTGCTGAAGCCCCACGGGTCCCTCGACGTGACTTGTGGAGCTGTGAACGAACTCGACCAGCACCCGGGCGTCGGCCAGCTTGCATTGAGGGGGGACGGAAAGGTAATAGCGAGCGCGGGCTGGGACTACCGCGTGCGGCTCTTCTCGGCCAAGTCTTTGAAACGCCTGGCGGTCCTGCGCTACCACGACGCGTCCGTGAACGCGCTCGACTGGTCCAGTGATTTACTGGCGACGGGCTCCAAGGACACGAAGGTCGCGGTCTGGCGGCTGTCGTTTTGACTTTTGTTTGTTTTTGTTTTCGTGCGTGTCGGCGGCGGCGGCGCGCTCCCGGGCTCTCTCGCGTGGTCGAGGAGCCTTGTGTTTAAGATTGTCACATTAATACAGGGCGTAGCCTTCCACCGCGCTCGGGCTCCGCGCCAGCGCCGCGGCGCCGTTCGGCCGGACCGGCGACGCCGGAGGTGTGTGGATGACGGCCTTCGGCGGCTGGGACGCGACGCCCCGCGACGTCGCGAAGCGCTCGTCGGCAGTGGCGGCGGCGCGGAGAGACGCATGCTGGGGATTGTTGTGGAACTGCCCGGGGTACGTGGTACCCGCCCGGGGGTCTGCTGCGACACTGGGCGCGCCGACGCCCCGCGACGTCGCGAAGCGCTCGTCGGGCGTGACGCGCGCCGGCGCCGCGTCGCGCGCCGGCGGCAGGTCCACCTCGGCGTCCTCGTCGAAGAGCTGCCGCGGGGCGATGCTCGGCGGCCTAGGTGCCTCGTAGTTGCCGTGCAGGTAGGCCTCGGGCGACGTGAACTGCGGCGACGCCGAGGGCCGGGGCGACGCGAAGCTCGGCGACGCCGGGGGCCGCGCCGGCGCCTCGGCGTCGGGCGTCAGCGCGACGGGCGCCGGGGCGTCGCGCCGCGGCCGCGCGGGCGCCGCCGGCCGCGCGGGCGCGTGCAGCGGCAGCGCCTCGTCTCGCCTCGCCCTTAATCGATTCCGCGCGAACGCGATCGGCGCGAGCGGCGCGAGCAGCGTCCAGCGGAGCGTCCGGAACCCCGCGTGCGCGACGCGCGCCGTGAGCGACAGCGCCGCGCCGGACACGGCGTCGACGTCGACGGGCAGCTCGGCGTTGAGGACCGTCGTCGCGAGGCGCGCCGTCCGCTGGATCGGCGGCTTCAATCGGTCCTGCAGGATGCGCCGGCACCACCTCGCTAGTTTCTCGCGGCGCGTCGGCGGCGGCGGCGGCGGCGGCGGCCGGTTCAGCTCGAGGTCGAGCTCCTCGCACGCCGCGTCGACGAGCTCGTCGAAGGAGAGGTCGGATGTTTCGTGCATCATCTTGGTGCTTTTGTTTTTTCACCGCTCGGCGTGCGTGGAGAGGCGTAGCGCCGCCGCGCAGGCGTGCCTGGTGAGGCGTAGCGCCGCCGCGCAGCCTACTGGTCCAAAAAGCCGGGTCGGCAGTTTTTGCCCAGTAGACCACCGCAACAGCTCGGCGTCGGCAGCCGCGCGCAGTAGTGGTAGGGCTACCGTCTCCGGCGACGACGAGGTTGCAGCGGTCCAAGGCGCAAACGCAAGCAAAAAACTACGGCCGCGGGCGCTTTATCTAGCGGCATGTAACACACTAGGAACAATCTTCAGCGCTCCGCGCTCCGCCCACTAGTCCTAGCACCGTAAAATCGACACTTGAGCGCTCCGCGCACGAGTCCTAGCCCTTGACAGATAGCAAGCACTCACAAAACAGAATATTAACGCCGTCGCCGATGCGCTACGCAGTCAGTACAACAACAAGCCGGTACGCCAGCTCGTCGTCGTCCGCGGCCACGAATTCGGGGTCGAGCGCGCCGTACGTCGCCACTTCTTCCCGAAATCCCGCCGCCTTTGATAACAACCTGAGTTCCTGGAGCGTGTACTCGCGCGTCGGGACGACGTCTGTTATCGATGTACCGTCGGCCTCGAAAGCCACAGAAGCTTGCCTGATTTGCGTGAGCGGGTCAAACACATCGTCTTCAGCACCCCAGCGCACGCGCAGGTCGCCGCCCTCGAAGGGCACGTCCCACCCGTCCTCTGATACGCCATCGACGCGGAAGGTCTCGCGCGGGTGCGGCAGCTCCAAGATTAGTGTCCCGCCGTCCGCCAACGCTTTGCGTGCATTTTGGAAACACTGTAACGCGTCGTCGTTCGTCAACAAATGGCCGACGGACCCCAGGAGCAGCCACGCGCTGCACACTTTGTCGAATGGCAAGGCTTCCCGCACGTCGCCCACGCGGTAGTCTAGTGCTACGTCCTCTTCTTTCGCAATTTGTGTACCGCATTTCACCATCGCCTCCGACAAATCAATAGCCGTCGCGTCGACGCCTCGCTTTGACGCCTCGACGGCGTGCCGCGCCGGCCCCGCCGCCAGCTCCAGGATTTTGGAAGGCGCGCCGCCCGTGTTTCCATGTTTTTCGTGCGCTGCGCAGAGGAAATCCACTTCATCTTCAAAATCGCGGAAGCCGAACGCGGCGTCGTATAAAGTTGGGGCGTCGTAGATGCGAGGCTGTGTGCTGCGGAGTGCGAGCGTGCGCCGCGTGCGCAGCGGGGCGCACCGCAGCGCCCTCGCTGCGTGCAGCATGAGTAAGGTAACTGTATTGCGTCGCATCGATGGCGTAATTGTGGTGGCGAGCTGCTCACGCGTCGTCTCGACAAGCGGCTGTGTTAGGGCAGTGTTGCTCAGCAGTCGTATGCGGCAAGCAGTGAGATACTCTGGACGGCTTGTCGTAGCACTGATGCGAGAACCACGAGTCCTGGTGGCTACGTGTGCGGCCGTAGCAGAGCACACCGGCGTTTTTGGGAGCCATGGAACTAGCGTTGGTAACATACTAGAATATGGCCGCGGCCACAGTTTTTTTACGTGTACGGCGCCTTATTTCACTCGCTGTAACAATAGAACACGCAGAAAGACGCCTTAGAAGGCCACAGCTGTTGCGTAGTGACGCCGGTGCTTGGCCGCCCGGCTACCTCTCACACAGACACACCACCCTCAGGAACGCGCAGCGCAGCTGTTGCGAAAGGACGCCGGCCGCAGCGCACTAGAACTCATAGGACGCGCCGCGCAAGAACAATGGCGTCAACAATGGGCGCCTCGCGCGACCTCACGCGCACCTTCGTCGAGTGGCGCGCCATGCGCGAGAAGTCCCTCGGCGGCGCGCGCACCTTCGGCGGCTACGAGCGCGGGTCGAGCCAGGAGCACAGCCCCATGTCCTCGAGCCGCGCGGCGCTGCCGCCGGTCTGGGTCGACGTCGTCGAGAAGGTCGAGACCGACGTCGCGACGCTGGAACGCGCCCTGAAGTCGCTGAAGGAGGCGCACCGCGCGCGGCTCATGGTTTCATTTGATGAATCGCGGGAGGCGGAGCTGGATCGGGAGATCGAGCGCCAGTCGCAGAACGCGACGCAGTTGTTTCGAGCGTGCGAGAAGACGCTGAAGCGCGTCGCGACCTTCGGCGGCGACGCCGCGGACGATTCGGAAAGGAAGGTCCGGGCGAACGTGCAGCGGAGCGTGGCCGTGCGGATCCAGGCGCTGAACACGGAATTTCGCCGGGCGCAGAAGGATTATGTGGTTCGCTTAAAATCACAAAAGGAAGGCAGTGCCGGCGGGGGCTTCGACTTCCTCTCGGCGTCGTCGCGGAACGACACGGGCGTCGCGTTCAACGAGCAGCAGATGAGCGCCGTCGTCGACATCGAGCACCTCGTCGAGGAGCGCGACCAGGAAATCCGGAAGATCGCCGAGTCCATCCAGGAGCTGTCGGGCATCTTCAAGGAGTTGGCGGTTCTCGTGATCGACCAAGGGACGATCCTGGACCGCATCGACTTTAACATGGAGCAGGTCGCCGAGCATACCCGGAGAGGCGTCGTCGAGATCGAGAAGGCGGAGCAGTACCAGAAGGCCGCGCGGCCGCGCATCTGCATCGCCTTGTTACTGTTTCTGATCACGATCATGATGATCGCGCTCATCCTGAAGCACCACCCGTCAGGCGGCGGGAAGAAAGGAGGGGGTAAGAAAGGCTAGCAAAACTAAACTATGACCCCCGCCACGGCCTCGATCCCCTGGAAGCGCGGCCCCGCGGCGACCTTCCAACAGGATGCGCCTGGCGCCGCGCGGGCGACCGGAAAATCCTCAAATCCATTTCTTGTGGAGACGGCGGCGCCTGCTTGGACCTTGGCGATGGCGACTTCGTCGTAGAGGCCGCGGGCGGCTTGGGCGGCGTCGCGACGAAGCGCCCGCGCGCGTCCGTCGCTGTTTTTACAGACGGCGGCGCGCTCCGCGGCGGCGTCGTCGGTGTAGCGGGCGCGGCGTCTGGCGCGCGCGTGGCCAGCGCATCACTCAAGCGCTTGAGGGCGCGATCCAGCAACGGCGCGGGGTCGATCACCAGGCGGCACTCGACGCGCAGCGCGCAGTCGTCGGCGAGGCGCGTCTTGACCGCCGACGGCGCCCGTGTCAAGGGCAGCCAGAGCGTCTTTGAACGCTCGCCCAGGTCCTGGAGGGCGAGGCTGCACGTCCCGACGGGCCGCGGCGGCTCGCCTCGCGCAGGAGGCGCATCTAAAACGCGGCACCGCAGGACCGCGGTCTTCCGATTCACGCGCAATTCGAACCGCTCCCGCGCCCAGGTCGGATATAAAGAGTCGTAGACCGTCCCCGTCTTTTTGGGGGACGCGCCGTCGACGGCGACTTCCACATAGGGGTCGCACGAGCCGCGGTGCCGCCGCATCTGGGGCAATGAACGAGCTTGGACCACGCGCACGTGCAAGCGCGCGCAGCTCCGGCCCGTCTCGGCGTCCCTTCTCACGCCCTTGTCCTCGTCCCACGGGTAGTGCTCGTCGAGCAGAGCCCGGCGCTGTTCTAATCTCGTTTTCCGCGCGGCAACCACATGAATGGGCTCCGTCTGGGCCGTCAGCGTGCCTCTTTTAGCTCTTCCATCCAGCAGACAGTAGGCCCAGTCGTCGTCCGCCCAGTCATCATCAGATTCGTCCTCCTCCTCCTCTGATTGCACCTCCTCGACTTCGGGTTCCCGGGGCTTCGGCTCGTGGAGCGGCCGTCTCACTGAAGACGCCGCTTCGGCTCGCGGCGGCCGCGGCGGCGTCCTCATGCGCGGTGTTGGCTTCGGCGACGGCGGCGGCGCGCGCGCCGTCGTCCAGCGGCCGAGGTCGTCGAAGGCGTCCAAGCACTGCTCGAGCGCCGCCGCCGCCGCCGCGGTGCGCCGCTCGGCCATGGCCGACGCGCCCGCGCGCGCACAGCACGTCGCCTCGGCGGCGGCCGCGGCCTCGAGCGCCCGGCCGACCTGCGTGGCGCGGTCCTCATCGACGCGCCGCCCCCTTGCGCCATCGACGCGACCCCCGGAGTATCGTGAGAGGGACGCCGCATCCGACGCGGACGCGGTAAGCTTTAGCAGGCTCCCGCTCCAGGCGCCGCGGCGTCGCGTCCTCGCCCGCCTTGCCCGTGCGCGCGACGCGCGCCGCCGCGTCGAGCGCCGCGACACTTTCATCCAGGGCCCGGCGCGCGTCGCGGCACGCGTCGACGAGGCTCTGGTTGTCGGCTTCCGTATCAGCGGCCGCAAGTTTCTCATCGGCGTCGGCCGACGCCGCCCGCGCCTCGTCGACGCGTTTTGTAAGTTCGTCCACACCTAAACCGTCGGGGTTCCGCTGCGAGGCCTCGAGTTCCGCGTCCGCATCCGCTAACACGCCGACAAGGGCCCAGAGCTTCTTGCGCGCCGCGGCGAGGGCCTCGCGATCGGCGTTCCGCGTCGCGCGCGCGGCCTCGGCCGCGACGCGCGCGGCGTGCAGGTCGTCGCGCGCGTCCGACCGAGCCTTCGCGAAGCGCAGCTGCGGCGTCGTCGGCTCCGGTGATTCCGGTTCCGGCTCCGGCTCCTCGTCCTCGGAGAAGGCGCGCGCCGGCTTTAATTTTTGTGCCGACAGCAGCGCCGTCTCCGCCTTCTCCTCGGCTACACCCAAGGCCGCGAGCGCCGCGACGTGCTTCTGCGTAATCTCGCGGACCATGCTCCGCAAGGCGTCGTTCGTCGCGTTCGATTCGGACAGAGACGCCGCGAGTTTGCGGCTCCGGTCGACGGCGGTCTGTTCTCGTCTCTCGTGGCGCTTCGCGTCGCGGGCGCGCGCGCGGGCGACCATGGCCTCTTTCTTTTTCGTTTGGTTGGACTCCCAGCGGCGCATTGTAACAGTGTCTACAGTTTTTGGGCTGGCGCAATTTTAAGCCTTTGGCTCGCCAAATTGAGATCAGATCCGATGAGTGCGGCTACGCGGCAGCCTGTTTTTGGCCAACTAGCTGAGCCCTGCAGTGATATGCTCGAGTGCTGCTACGGCTGTGCACAAAGCTGGGGCTTCTAGTGTGTTACAGGCGCTAGCTTCAGATCCCGTCCGCGCCTGTAAGAGCTAGCAAGCAAATGAGACAGACCATGCTGTTGTTATGAATCTAGTCGACTTCCTCTGCCAAGTTCTCTGCCGGCTGCGTTTCTTTGCGGGCGCCGAGGATTTCGTGCAATTGTCCTAAGTAACCGTCAATGTTCCCTGTGAGTGGATGCGCGCCACCAAGCACGCGCCGCGCGGTCCGTGCTGTTTGCAAGAGCATCTTCACTGCCTCCGCTAGATCGTCGACCGTGGCGTCGGCGTCCGTGTAGAGCGACTTCGCGTAATTCATCCTCATCCTAAGCAAGGTTATATCATCCTCGCCGAGAGCGCGCCGCGCCACGGGCATCGCCTTGCGCAACACCGACTTGGCTTCTTCGGGGCGCTCTAGATCAATCAGGGACGACGCGTAGTTGTTGGCTGCTATGAAGAGAGAGTCATCTATGCCTATGAGGGTCATTTCATTTTCCTCGCCGTTGAGCTTCAGAAACCCAAAGTATACATCTCGCCTCAGGCTCAGGGCCGATTCTTTCTGTCCAAGCTCATCGTACGTGAGATTAAGAGCGGGTGTAACTTTTTTTTTTTCTTAATTTTATCTCATTCCCAATCGCTTCGCTGCGCATTGACGCAACAGAAGAACACATGTTCGTCGTGCAGAGCAATCTTGCGAACACCTATGAAAGGCTAGGACGGGATGATCAGGCCTTAGATTTGCGACGAGACGTATACTCCGGACGTTTGAGGCTCCTCGGCGAAGAGCATAAATCAACCCTCCTTTCAGCCAACAACTACGCGTTTGGACTTGTCTTCCTCGAGCGCTTCGAGGAAGCCAAGTCTTTGATGCGCAAGACAATACCCGTTGCGCTACGCGTCCTCAAAGATGATGATGATCTCACGCTTATGATGAGGTCGAATTACGCGGAGGCGCTCTACAAAGCCGACGACGCCACGCTCGATGATCTCCGCGAGGCCGTAACGACGCTAGAGGACACGGAACGGATTGCGCGGCGCGTGCTCGGCGGCGCGCATCCAACCGCAGTGGATATTGATCGCACCTTGAAACACGCGCGGGCCGCGCTCCGCGCCCGCGAAGACACGCCATCAGGTGCGTAAATTAAAGTTTTTACGCTCCGACGCCATCGACACGATACCGAATGACTACCCAGGCCTAGTCCAAGCTACTTATCCCCGACGCGCCGCTCTCGAGGCTCCGGATGAGGTGCGCGGCGACGCGCGTCTCACTTTCTCCGTCGTCATAGTCTATGTCGTAGAGACTGTCCCCGCGTTCACGACTGATGCGGCCTCTATAGTACTTGGCGCGGCCTCTATAGCGAGCCTCGATGCGCTCGCCTCTTCTAAACTTGGGCACGGACACGTCGCGGCCGCCGCCGCTTCCACCGCGCGGCCGGATGTACTCCTCTAGCACGCGCGTTTCTTGTTCCCCATCATCATAATCGATATCGAAGGTCCCATCACCGCGGTCGCGGCGGATTTTACCTTTGTAATATTTGCTGCGGCCGCCTGTGAGGTAATCGACGGTGAGCTCGGAACCCTATCCCATTCAACTTCCGCGCCGTCGCGTACGGTAACGCGCTTCGATCGAGTCGCCCTCGCTCAGGCGGCTTCCCCGGCGCCCCCGCGGGCTGCGAGAGTCGCCCCGCGAGCTGCCACCGCCTCCGCTCGATTTTATATACTCAGCGAGGACGCGCGTCTCCGACTCCCCGTCGTCGTAAGACACATCAAAGGTGCCGTCAGCTCTCACCCGACTGATTTTCCCGGGATAATAACGAGATTTCCCTCGATATCTAGCCTCTACTCTTGTTCCGACGCGCATCCGGCCCCGCGACGGACTGCGGCTCCGGGAACGGCTCCGATCGCTCCCCGAGTCCGCGCTCTTGATGAGATCCTCGGCCACGCGCGTCTCCTTCTCGCCGTCGTCATCTGTGTGTGGAGAAATCGTGAGACGCGGCGCGTCGAGGGCGTAGACACTGTGTCGCGTTACAGTAGATGTCGTACGTCCCGTCCCCTCGGTCGCGTTCGATGCGGCCCGGATAGAATTTCGACCGTCCACCTGAATTTGGAAAAAGTAAACATAGACTGTCGAACGGGATTCCACACTGGCGCCCATACGATATCGAGCTTGAACCTTGGCTCCCTCGCGGAGCTTGCGGCCCCGTTTGGGGCTCGGGCTGCGGCTCCCACCCTTCTTGCGGATCAGGCGTTCTTCCACGCGCGTCTCCCGCTCCCCGTCGTCGTAGGCAATGTCGTAGGTGCCGTCGCGCCGATCCCGGTCGATCTTGCCCGGATAAAATCTGCCTCGGCCGCGATAGTCGGCTTCGATCTTGTCGCCCTCTCGTAGGCGGCCGCCGCCGCGCGGAGAACGCGAACGCGACCTCGATCGGTCCTTCTTGCGGATTAGGCGCTTCGAGACGCGCGTTTCCCGCTCGCCGTCGTCGTAGTCAATATCGTAGGTGTCGTCCCCGCGGTCTCTGCTAATTTTGCCCGGGTAGAACTTGCCGCGGCCTCTATAATCGGCTTCGATCTTGTCTCCCTCGCGGAACCGATCGCTTCGGCGGTCGGAGTCGCCGCCCCCGCCGTCAAGCGGCGTGATGAGGCGTGCCTCGACCCGAGTCTCACTCTCGCCGTCATCATAGGCCACGTCGAAGCTTCCGTCAGCGTGGACCCGAGAAATCTTTCCTGGATACTTCTTGCTACGACCCCTGCGCGACGGAATCGACCAGTGATGAAGGTAATTGTAATTTTGACGCTGAACCAGTACCGGTACCGCGCCTCCACGCGCGTGCCGACGCGCATGCGTCCCCGCGACGGGCTACGACTCCGGGACCGGCTCCGGCTCCGGCTGCTCCCACGCTTCTTGCGGATTAGCCTGGCCTCGACCCTCGTCTCTCGTTCCCCATCTTCGTAGGCAATGTCGTACGTACCATCACGCCGGTCTCGGTCGATCTTGCCCGGATAATACTTCTCGCGGCCGCGGTATCGGGCCTCGACGGCGTCGCCTTCTCGCAATTTGTCGGATGACCCACGATCGGAGTCGCTGTCTCCGCCGCCGAGCGCCGTGATGAGGCGGGCCTCGACGCGCGTCTCGGATTCACCGTCGTCGTCTGTGTGATCAAACCATCAAAATCACGGCTGGAATCAGGCGTCGTATCGATGCCGCGGAAGTCGAAGGCGCCTCAAAAAACACTGGTCATACAAGCGACGTCAAAACTGCCGTCCGCGTGAACCCTCGAGATCTTGCCAGGGTATTTCTTGCTCCGGCCCCTGCGAAAACGACCAGTGAGTGAGGTAATTGTAAGTGAACGCCGAATCAGTACCGGTATCGCGCCTCCACGCGCGTGCCGACGCGCATGCGGCCCCGCGACGGACTGCGGGAACGGGATCGGCTCCGATCACTCCCTGAGTCCAACGCCTTCACGTGCGACGGCTTCAAGTTTCGGTCGCTGTCCCCGTCGTCATACCTGTGTGGAAATCAACCAGTGAGAGAGACCCTCGTCAAACTCCACGCCATCGAGCAGACGCAATTACATGGACAACTTCGCGTCGAATGAAATTTGATTTCTACTCCGACCGCCACTTGACGTCGATCGAGCCATCACTATGAATACGAGTGACCTTCCCCGGGTACATTTTGGCCGACGACTTGCCACGGAACCGTGCCTCGCACTTGTCCCCTTCCCTCAACTTCCGGCCGCGCGGGCTGCGACTGCGGCTCCGCGAGCGCGACCGGCTCCGGGAACGGCTCCGGCCGCCCTTGACCTTGATGCGCGAGGCCTCGACGTAGCTCTGCTTATCGCCGTCGTCCTGTGTCGAGTTAAAATTATGATGATATAGAACTCGCGGTGATTTTCCACGCCGCGCTCAGACGAAGACGATATCGCAAGTGCCGTCCCCATGCACGCGCTTGACCGTTCCGGGGTAGAATTTACCAGTGTTCTTGAATTCGGCCTCGCATTTGTCTCCTTCACGGGGCTTCTTCGACGAGGAGCGCCGGTCGTCGTCGGAGTCCGAGTCCAGCGCCTTGATGAATTCCTCCTTCACGCGCGTCTCGTGCTCCCCATCTTCATAGCTGATGTCGTAGGTCCCGTCGCGCCGATCACGGCTAATCTTGCCGGGGTAGAACTTCGAGCGGCCGCCTGAGTGGAAAATGTGACGACAGAACTCGGTGATTTTCCGCGCCGCGCCCGGACGATACCGCGCCTCAATTTTCGCTCCCTCGCGCAGCTTCCGCCCGCGCTTCGGGCTCCGCGAGCGGCTCCGCGACCGAGAACGACTCCGGTCGCCGCCCTTGACCTTGATCCGTTTTAACTCAACCCGCTTCTCGGAATCTCCATCGTCAAATTCAATGTCGTAGGTGTCATCCGAGCGCACGCGCGTCACTTTTCCGGCATAGAATTTCCCCCTAGATTTAAAATCGGCCTCGACCCGGTCGCCCTCGCGCGGTTTCTTCGAGCGCTTCGGGCTGCGGCTGCGGCTCCGCGACCGCGAGCGGCTCCGAGAACTAGACCGCTTCTTGATGTAGCGCTCCTTGACGTGGCTCTCCTTCTCGCCGTCGTCGTCTGCGTGGGCAAATTGCGTGAACAGTGAACAGTACATGACGGGCGCCGCGTCGCACAATCAATCGAGAACGTCCCGTCCGAATGCGCCCGGCGGATGACGCCCTTGTAGTACTTTTCCAGGCCGCGGTATCGTGCAGTTATCTTATCACCTTCGCGGAACTTGTCCTTCTTCGCGCTGCCGTCACTTTCGCTGCCCGAGTCGAGAGCCTTGACGTGCTTGGCCTTGAGGTTCTTATCCGTATCGCCGTCGTCGTACCTGTGGAGGAACACGTCGCGTCGATGGCGTGGGGGGGCACGCCATCGCCGCGAGCTGGAAGTCTCAGACGCTGAACCGCACTTTACATCTATAGTGCCATCACTATGAATGCGAGACACCTTGCCTTTATAGTATTTCGCCGACGATTTCCCACGGAAGCGTGCCTCACATGCATCGCCCTCCCGCAACTTCCGCCCGCGAGGGCTGCGGCTGCGACTCCGAGAACGGCTGCGGCTACGCGAGCGGCTCCGGTCGCGCCGCTTCTTCCGCGCGCTGCCGTCGGAATCGGACCCCGCGTCGAGGGCTTTCACGTGCTTGGCCTTGAGATTCTTATCCGTATCTCCGTCGTCATACCTGTGTGGAGGTCAACCAGTAAGATAGGTTATCCTGAGCATAATTGCGAGACCTTCGTCAACCTCCACGCCATCGAGCAGACGCAATTGCATGAACAACGTCGCGTCGAATCGCGTTGCAGTGAAATTTGATTTCCACACAGTACCGACTTGACGTCGATCGTGCCATCACTGTGGATACGAGACACCTTGCCTTTGTAATACTTGGCGCTCGATTTTCCACGGAAGCGGGCCTCACACTTATCTCCCTCGCGCAGCTTCCGGCCGCGCGGGCTGCGGCTCCGGCTCCGCGACCGCGACCGGCTCCGCGACCCGCCGCGCTTCCGTATGTATTTAGGCTTCACGCGCTTTTCGCGCTCGCCATCATCGAACTCGAGGTCGTAGGTGTCGTCCCGCACGCGCCGGACCTTGGCCTTGGACCACTTGCTCTGGCCCGATAGGCGGGCCTCGACCTTGTCGCCCTCCCTGAACTTCGCGGGGCTGCGGCTGCGCGAGCGCGAGCGCTTCCGGTCCGAGTCGGACCCGGAATCGAGCGCCTTCACGTACTTCTCCTTGAGCCGCGTGTCGCTGTCGCCGTCCTCATACCTGTGCGGACATCATCCACTGAGTGAGGGAGTCCGGGGAACGCGTCGACGGCGTGGGCGAGTCTTGATTTCCACGCCGTGACCCGCTTCACGTCCACGGTACCGTCGGAATGGATCTTGACGACCTTGCCCGGGTACCTGCGACATTGCTTATGATGGCGAGCACGAGACGACTAAGGCGCTGGATTCGAACAGCTTTGCCGATGATTTGCCCCGGAAGTGGGCCTGGCACTTGTCGCCCTCGCGGAGCTTGCGCCCGCGCTTCGGGCTCCGGCTGCGGGAACGGCTGCGGCTACGCGAGCGGCTCCGGTCGCGCCTCTTCTTCCGCGCGCTGCCGTCGGAATCGGAACCGGCGTCGAGGGCTTTGACGTGCTTGGCCTTGAGGTTCTTATCCACGTCTCCGTCGTCGTACCTGCGGAGAACACACGTAACGCCATCGCCGCGAGCTGGAGGCCTCAGACGCGGAAAGCGCACTTCACATCTATAGTGCCGTCCGAATGGATGCGAGACACCTTGCCTTTGTAGTACCTGCGCGATGCGAGCGTGTCGCGGCGAGGGCCGAAGGTCGAAGGTCGGAGGACACCGCGTCCGTACTTGGCAGACGACTTGCCTCGGAACCGCGCCTCGCATTTATCGCCCTCGCGGAGCTTCCGCCCGCGCTTCGGGCTCCGCGACCGGTCCGACGACGACGAGCGCGACCTATCGCGGCGCTTCTTCTTCGAGCGACTATCGTCGCTCTTCGACCGGCTGCGGCTGCGGCTCTTCGCCCGCGTCACCGTGATGAACTTCTTGTTCACGTAGGTCTCGATCTCGCCGTCGTCATACCTGTGCGGGAATCGGACGGTGAGTCGGGTGCTCGGAATCGATCGGTGAGAGACCGCGTTGCCATGCCATCGAACTGGCGTCGCGTCGATGGCGTGGAGGCCATGATTCAGCGGTGGCGGAGACGAGCCGCGACAAATTGCTTTATGCACTGCAGCAGACTTGATCGTGAAAGTGCCATCATGATGCGCCTCCTTGATGACGCCGTCGTATTCCTTCGCGCGGCCCTGCGTCGAACGGACCCGTCGCGAGACACGCGCCGACGGCGTTAAATTCAATTTCCGCGCCGAGTCACGGACCTTGTACCTGGCGCGCACCTTGTCGCCGACGCCCATCTTGGACTCATCGCCATCAGAACCGTCGTCGCGGGCGCGCACGTCCTCGGGGTCAATACGACGCGCCTTCTCGCCGTTCGACGCGTCGACGTCAAGAGTCCCGTCCTTGTGCGTGCGCTTGACCTTGCCCTTCACCCATTTCGATTTTATTTTGACCTCGACGCGGTCGCCCTCGCTATACTTCGACTTGGACTTTTTGGCCTTGCGGATCTGCTCCGCGGGCACGTTGCGCTCGCGTTCACCATCCTCCATTTCAATGTCGTAGGTGCCGTCGGCGTGGGCCTTCCGAATCTTGCCGGGGCGCCGCGACCTGCCGCCGATTTTAGCGTCGACCTTGTCCCCCTCCCGGAATGATTCTTCATCGTCCGACGAGTCCCGCCGCTCGTAGCGCTTCCGCTCCTTGCGCCGGCGGTCGTCGTCATCACTACCCTTGTCCTTTCTACGCTTTCTACGATCGTCCTCGCTGCCCGAGTCCAGGCTCCGGATCTTCCGCTCCTTGACGCGGCGCAGCTTCCGCCCGTCATCAAAGGTCAAATCGTAGGTCTTGTCATCATGGACCTTGGACACCTTGGCGCCCTCGTAGTCGCCCTCTCCATCAAAACGGGCCTCGACGGCGTCGCCGCGCCGGAAGCGGCCCCGCCGCTTCTTGGGAGACCGCGATCGCGACCGCGACGACGAGCTGTCGTCGCGGGCCCGGCCGATGGCGCGCCGCGACCGTCTAGCCGTCTCCTTCGCGGCCTCGACCCTCTTGTCGCGCGTGCGCCGCGCCGCCTTGTTCACCTTGCGGTCGAGGCGCTCGCGCGACGAGTCCGAGCCCGACGACCGCGACCTAGATCTACCTCGCGACAACGGCTCGTCCTCAAGCTCCAAAGCAGCAAACGCCCTTAAGAACTCGAAGAAGCTCACGTCGCGCGACGGCCCGCCCTGCGCGCCCCGTTCCCGAAAGTAGGCCGCCGCAGCACGTCGAGGAATGGTACAGCCGAGCTCCGTGAGGGCTTGGAGGGCCTCGGCGCCGGTCAACAAATCGTCGACGGCGAAGCGGTCGAATTTCTGCTTCAGTTCCGCGAGGCGCCTGTGTGGAACATATACAATCGCGGAACTGTCTCCGTACACACCCACGAGGCGAGATCGCGACGACGCCGTCGACGCAGCCTGAAGTTCAGAAAGGTTCGGCAACAGACGCTGGGTCAGCACCGCACGCTGCCGAGCGTCTCGTCGGCCGCGCGCGCGGCCGCCTGGGCGTCGCCCTTGGGCTTCCAGACCTTGCCGTCGTCCTCACTATCAGATGAAGATGCGGAGGACGACCGCTTCTTTGTTTTTTTCAGAGCATCAGCGATCTCCGTCTTCTTCGGCTTACTCTTCTCTGGCTCTTTCTCCTTGCTTAGTTGGACGTGGCCCGACGCGAGGACCTTGACCCGGTCCCCCAAGGCCTTCGCCGCGCCGTGCGACAGTTTCAGGTCCGGATCTTCCGACGCAAAGAGGGCCACGTACGCGTCAACAAAATCGAGGAACGTCAGCGCCTTGTCGTTCAGGTCGTCGAACCACTCGCGGACGTGGGGCGCGTTGAGGTCGCGCCGCAGCGACTTGAATGCTCGATGGAGCTGCTCGGAATCCAATGCCCTATCGTTTTCATCTACACCTTCTTTTTGAGGTGCTTGCGCGTCGAAGGCCACCTTGAGCCTCGCGACGCACCTCACCCGGTCTCGGTCTAGCGTGTCGATGTAGCCGTCGAGCTCCTTCCGAGCCTGTTTATCACCTTTGAGTCCAGCATCGTGCCTCCGCGCGTTTTTGGAGTGGGTACTTCTCCTAAGTTTGTCGAGGGCCGTGCACAACCGCCGTCGATCCAGGGCCTTGTCGATTTTTAATGTTTCTTCCAAATCCTGCGCGTCGATGCGCATGAGCAAGGCGCCGTTGACCTTGGCCCTCTTGAACGTCGCGGCATGTGCTGGTTGTTTCGTGGTCTCGAGGACGAACGCCGCGACGTCGTCCACCGTCCAGGCCCGCGGGTCCGCCGGCTTGTCGGTTGCTTCGATGTCCGAGCCCGAGTCCTCTTCTCTGGATACGTCGGAGTCCGACGAAGCAGATCGGCGTCGTCTCGATCGTTCCGGCGAGCTGTCGGAGTCCGAATCTCGTCGCGACTTGCGCTTCGGAGAAGAGCTAGAATCAGAATCTGAAGACTTTGAGCGCCGCCGCGATTTGCGCTTCGGCGAAGCTGAAGGAGAGCCGTGGCGGCCGGTAAGCACCTCGCGCGCCGCGGTGTCTCTGACAGCTTTGGCGACGTGGCCCGTTAACGCGTCGTCTAAGGCCTCGCCGGCCGTCGCCGGCAGCGTCGTCGCCAGAGGCGCGTTGGCGTTCGCGTGCCCCGCCTTGACCCGCAAGGGAAAGAGCTCGTGCGTCGTCACGCGCCGCGCGCGCAAATCCCTATTGACGAGGTAGACGGGGAAGTCGCCGTACTCCGCTAAAACTTGCCGGGCAGCACCGTCGGGCACGGGCAGCTCCTCGGAGTTCGCGTCCGCGACGACCAGTCCAATGAACTTGCGATCTCCGTCCGCGACCGCTCGTAGCACCACTGCTCTTTCCGCACTCACACTTAGAGCTGCGTCCGTGTTCGACCGGACGGCACATGCGACGTGCACGCGGCCCGACGACGCCAGTAAAGCGGCGCAGGTCGTCGCGCGCGGCACGATCTGTGACGAAGACCGGTGCGCGGCCCGCTTCTCGGCCTTGTAGGCGGCTACCGCTCGTTCGGACGCGGCTAAAGCGGCCTCCACGAGCTCCTCCAAACGTGTGGCGCCGGTGGGACCGTAGGCATGTAAACCGGAGAAGCGCGCGTCGTAGTCTCGACGTAGCGCCTCGACGTCCGTCGGCGGCTCTATTATCGGCTTACGCGGTTCCGGCGGCGGCACGGCGCAGTGGTCCTTGATGGACATCAACTGGCCGTCGTTGTCAAAGTTTGCCAATTCGTCTTTAGATGCACCAAAATCGAGCTCCGGTCTTTTGCCAGAAGCGAGTTGTTGCATGGTCCGGCTCTTCCAGCGCGTCGTGCGCAGCTTCGAGGTGGGGCTTGTGGTGGAGGCGCGCTGCGTCTGTGTTTTCCTCATCGTCTTGCGCAGCGTCGACTGGCTCCGTCCTAATGTCGCGTCGTTTTCGTGCACGAGCGAGCGGGCAAGCGCCAGGATATCGGCGGCCTTGTCCTCGACGCCGCGCGTCAGCGTTTGTCCTCGCGTCGTCGTGCGCGTCGGGCCCATGGTGGTGCTTTTTGGCAGCAACGCGGTCCTCCGCTGTGCTTGGGCAGCCACTGGTGCTTTGGGCAGCCGCGCGGTGCGACGTCCGCTGCTCAGGCAGCCGCGTCGATGGCGTGCTGTGTGCTACGGTACCGCTCGTCGGTCGCCGTGCGCCTGCAGTCCGGGCTAGCGGCCGTATGAGCCGTGCGCGTTCACAACCGCTGCTGCCTGCCAGTTGGCTGGACCCCCTACCCCCCCAACACGCTCGAGCCCACTAAGATCGCTGCGGGCTCCCGTCGGAGAGGTACCGAGACGGTCGCGTCAAGCATGGGCGTTTCGGCACGTTTTCGTGCGGGTTTCCGCCCCTTCCACAATAAGGGACTCTCTCTCTTCACGAACGACGACGATTCACGACGACTAGTAGGGATCCGAGTTTTAGTCGAGCGGGGGGTGGGGGGAAAAAGGGGTCAGAGCTCGTAGGCGGCCGAGATGCCCTCGCAGACGAACTCCTTGAAGAGCTGGACGTCGAGCGGCGCGTCGTCTCCTAATCTTCTCGACCGGAAGCACGCCGCCGCCGTGTCGTCCGCGAGCTTCAGGGGCCCGCCGGCCTGGTGGATGCGGAGTGCGAGCGAGGCGGAACAAGCCCGCAGGACGCGGTAGACCGCCAGGAGGTAGCCCCGCAGTTCCTCGAAGGCCACGCCGCCTCTCGTCACGTCGTACAACGCGAAGGCCGCCTCGATCTTGTCGTCCATTGACGCCGGCGCGAGTACGGCCAAGCCCGCGGCGACCTCCACGAAGTCGACGTCGTCCGTCTCCTGGGCGTCGAACGCCGCGAAAATGCGTCGAGATAAACGCGCGGCGGCGTTCCTCGTGTCCTGGTCGCCGCGGCCGTTGCCCCCCAACGTCGCGAGTCTCCGACAGACCTTGGCAAAGGCCTCCGCACTTAAACCACCTCGCGGCGCCGCCTCCACCACAACTTCCACCAACTCGTCCAACGAGAAGTGGTCCAGATTGAGTAAAGCTCGAGCTTCCCGGAGCTCATGGACCGCCGCAGCCGCGCCCGGCGGAGGCGCCGGGTCAACCGTTTGGTACCTAGGTGAACTTCTTTCCTGGGACGCGGCCGCATCGGTATCATCATCTTCTTCGGACTCGCCGTACAGGGCCTCCGTGGTGATGGCCTCTTCCGTGGTCGCCTCTGAAGAGTCTGACTCCTCCTCGACGCTATCGGACGCGATCCACCGCGCGAACTCGTCGAACGAGACGCGACCATCCCCATCGCTGTCCGCCTCCCGGATGATGGTCGAGGCCGTCGCCGCGGCCAAGTCCTCCGGCCGCACGCGCTCGCCGTCTTCGTCCATCAAATCTTGGCCCGGCGCGGTGCGATAGACTGACCGTAGGTATCTCCTCACCTCCCATTCGTCCAGATAGCCGTCGTTGTCCGCATCAAATAGATCAAAACATAGCCTCACTTTCACGTCGTGCCGCCCACCGCACAAGCTACCCAATCCTGCAGCGAGCTCAGCACCGTCCACGAGACCGTCGTTATTGTCGTCAAAGAGATCAAAAGCAGCGTTCAGCACGGCCTTCGCATCCGATTCCGGAGCGTCTCCAAAAAGTTCCGCGAAGGCCCGCGCGAAGCGAGCTCTGGTGAGTCTTCCTTCGCCGTTCGCGTAGGCCCCCAGTTGCCGGAACACCTGCCGCGGGTCCAAACCGCGCAATCGGTTCTGTAGAGCGGCAATGGCGTCCTGCGCCTCGACGACTTGCGAATCCTGCTCCCCATTCTGCGTAAGGTACCACCTCCTAAATTCTCGATAATCTAACCTTCCGTCTCGGTTCGTGTCGCACAGCGCGAAGGCCTGCTTCGCCGTCGCGTCGGCGAGCTCTTCCGGTGTTGCGGCCACTCTCGCTCGGAGCGTCTCGTCGCGCGCGAACCTGCGTGGAAATCAACCAGTGAGTTAGGTTATCGCGTGGACCTTCGTGAGCCTCCACGCCATCGTGGGGCGCCCGAAATTTGATTTCCACACAGGCGCGAACGCGACGCGAAACACCGCACCTAAATAACGGGTCATCTCCCGAGGTGATATGGTCCCGTCCCCATCTAAATCAAATAATGAAAAAGCTAGTCGCACGCGCTGCTCCGCGTCGCCGCCACACAATACCGATAAACCCGCACCTAATTCAGCAAAATCGATACTACCGTTGCCGTCGCTGTCGAACGCGTCAAAAAGAGCATCCGTGGCGCTCGTCAACGATGCTGAGGGTTCCGTGGAGAGCATGCCCCGGATCGCCTCCGCGAAGGCTTGTCTAGAGACCTGATTTCTGGAATCGCGGTACTGCGCGAGGTACGCGAACGCTTGTTCCGCATCGGTAGGCTTGAAGGCGGCTTCGACGATGGCCTCCGCCGTCCAGTCCTCTTCCTCCTCCTCAGTCGTACTTTTACCAGACAAAGTATCGATGTACCACTGCACGAAGTCGTCCACGTGTATGGATTCATTTTCCGTCAGGCCGTGGTCTTCGAAGCAGCGACGAGCGGTCGCGTCTCCCGTTGACCGGGGAGACGGCTTCTTTGTACGTTCCTCATCCGAGAAGTTCCGGGCCTCGAAGACGACCTTGAAGATGGACGTGAGGTAAGCTCGTAGCGCCGGTAGTGTGAGTGACGTCTTCGACGGGTCAAGGTAAAAACCGAGCGCCGCTCGGATCTTCGATTCTTGGTCGCCCGCGCACAGTAGTGACAGGCAGGCGGCCGCGTCGCCGAGGTGGATCGTCTCGTCGAGGTTCACGCTCACGTCGTAGGCGCCGTCCTCGTGCCTCCGCAATACTCTCGCGGGGAGCCAGCCGCTGCTCGCGTCGAGGACTTCGACGACTTCTCCTACGGAGTGGGCCATTTGATTTCCGTCGTGTCCTGCGCCCTAGATCCCAGAGCGAGGTCGATTTGTGCTGCTGCGCGGTGGCTGCCAGGTCTTGCAGCGCAGAAGCCAAGATGGCGTCGGCGGCAGTCCAGCGAAGGTCGCGCGGCTCGCGAGGGAGTGCACACGATTCTAAACCCGCGGCACGAGCCAAAAACCAATTTCAGGCAATTTGTTTGAACTAGCGTCCTGTAAGACACTAGAAAATACCCACGAGCCTAACACCGTAACAGATAGAATAATTTGTTCGGGGGGTTCTGCCGAGGCGGCTCTGCTTTGAGGGCAGTATGATGCTGCTATGAAAGGCGCGGCACGCCGCCGACGAATCGGCGACGCGCGGTGTCCCCAGGCCCACTAGTCCTAGCAAAGCAACAGAAAAACCCACAACGTAATCTTTAACCCCCGGTCCGCCCCGTGGCGATCAACGACAGCAGCGCCGCCGCGTCGCCCTTCTTGATCGCCCTTCTCGCGTCCGCGACGACCCTCGCTTTGGCTTTACCAACTCGTAATTGCGAGGCCCGCTGCACGACCTGGTTCACCTGCTTCAACGCAGCTAATAAAGCTTCGTGGTTCGTCGCCCGCTTATTGTACTCGGCGATGAGCCCCTCGTTCACGCGCATCAATTCGTCGTAGTTCCGCATCATGCGCGGCATGTCCGCCATGAGTCGCGCGTCCTCCGCTTTGAGTACTAAGGCCTTGACCCGTGAACTTCCGTCGGCCATCTCCGCCGTCAACCGAACTCGGATGCTATTATGCGTCGATACTTTCTCTAAAGTTTCTTTGAGTCTTCTCGACTCATCCGGAAACGACGCCTCGCTCTCGAGCTCATGAACATCTAATGCTGTCGAGATGTCCTGGACGACCTCGGCCGCCGTGGCCAGGTCGTTCGTCGAGACGCGGACCTGCGTTCCAGTTGTATCCTTTGTAGCTTCGACCCGTAGCGGTGAGCCATCCAAACCGACGTAGTACGCCTTGACTTGATTATCTTCAGTTTCCACAGCTTCTGTGGATACAAATGCTTGCGTGAGGTACTGCGCGACCCTTTGCACGTTCGTAGGGACGTCGAATTTGACCCAACTGGAAGGCTGTGCGACTTCTTCAGCGACGCGGTAGAAGCGGCAGAACTTCGGTAATTTATAATCGACCTCATACACATGTATCGAGGTCGACATCGGCCGCGCGGCGACGTGGATTTGTAACTTGAGGGAGGCCGGGAAGTTTTTTTTGGGTCGTACAATGATCCCGAGCTTGTCCGTCGGTCTGGCAGGTGCACAGGACAACGTCTCGCCGTCGAACAGGCCACCATCAGTATCTAACACGACGGCGCCGACGACGTACGTCTCATTGGACGTGGCTACTATAAGCTCGAAACCGCCTCCATGTACGGGCGCCGCCACGTCCAAAGAAATCTGCGTATCACCAGGAATGCCCTGCGCATCGTCAGACGGTGTCTGAGGCTGGTCCTCGAGCGCTCTCAGTTCACCAACAAGTCGCCTTTTCTCCGCCTGGAGTTGCTCGATCTCCCGCTTCCGCCTCAGATCGTCCTCGGCTTTCGACGTGTCCCGCTCCACGACCGCCGGTAGATACCCGCGGACTTCCCCGTCGACACCTGTGCGGAAATCAAATTTACGGCGCGTTCGTGCTGAATCATCGCGTTGTCCTCCACGCCATCGACGCGACGCCTGCTCGATGGCGTGGCGGTGTCGGTTCCCCACCGCTCGACGGAGCCAGCGCAGCCACGCCATCGCCGAGAAATGACTTTGCACCCGACACACTGGTTGATTTCCACACAGATCGACACCGACGGCGATCAATTGCACAGAGCCGCTCAGCTTGAGGTCCGCACAGACCAAACTGCAAAGGGGAGCGTCGAACGTGTCCCGGTACAAAACTTGGCCGTTCGATGCTGAACGTAACGTCACGGCACCCGACGACCAGCCGGCAGCCACGTCCCTAGTCTGCGTGGCTAGCAGCGCCACTAAAGCGTTTTTGGATTTGACGCGCCACCGCCTTTCGTTATTCTTGTAGACCCCCACAGTACCATTGGCTAATCCAAAGGCAAACCGGCCCCTTTTGCCCAGCGAACACAACGCGACGACCTTGTCCGCTTCCGAGATTTCGTAAATGGACTCCTCCTTGCGGAAGATTCTTATTTCATAATCGTCGCTACCGACTAACAGGTCGCCCTCGCATGGAGCGACACATCGCACGTCGTCGCCGGCCACGTTCCAAAACAACTCCGTGCCCTGCCAGCCGAAGCCTACTACACTGCAGTTGCCTCCCACAACAGCTAAGGGCTGCTCAGTACCTTGTAAGGTACAAAATCTACACGAGAAGACCCCGTCCGGGCACTCCCGGTAGAAGATGTCGGAGTTGAGATCGACGTCGTAGACCATCAACGCACTCCCAAGACCGACGAGCAGCACGTCGCGTACGACCTTGTCGTCGTTCTCGTCGGGCGTGACACCTCTAGTAGTTTTGGCCTGGGCTCGCGTCCGCGCCGGATCTAGAGGCCCGGCATCCAGCGCCGTGATGGTCTTGTTGAAGTTCAGCGTTCTTAATGGAGGCGCTCCAGATGTGGTCGTGACCTGCAGTTCATCATGCGGGTCGTACAGGAGCACTTGCCCGCACGCGCCCGCCGCGCACGCGACGGCCGGGTGGTTCCCATCGAAGCGGCCGACGGCGCACAAGCCGGCCTCGAGCTGCTTTTCTAGTCTTACTTTGTAGGAGACCTCCATGTTGGCGCTTTGGGCGGCCGCGTCGATGCCGCGTGCCGCGGTAGCGACGTCCGCTGCTCGGGCAGCCGCGTCGAGGGCGTGCGGCGTGCTACGGTCTCCGCTCGTCCGTCGCCGCGCGCGTGCGGTCCGGGGCAGCGGCCGTATGAGCCGTGCGCAAGCTTGTAGGGCTGCCCTGCTGAAATGCTTTTTGGGTCTCGGTCGCTGCTCAGGCTCCCGTCCGGCGCACTGGTGCGCGCAAGCGTCAAAATGCTTCGTTTGCAACGCAGTCAATCAATATACGCGGCGCTCCGGAGCCCGCGTGCCGCCGGCGGCGCGAGACCTCGGGGGCAAATTTGCATCGTGGCAGAGCGCCGCGCCGCGTCCAGAAGATGTCCTCGAGAGCCGTTAACGTTATCTGTTGGCGTTAGACGTTCCGCATTTGAGTGCGGGTGCGGCGGAATAAAAAACAATAAAAAATCCTGAAATCCCAGGAGCTCTCGCAACAGAGCGACAAACAGAGGCAGCCTCTGCCCCACGCAACGCGAAAAGGCAGTCAGGACCATCATGGACTACAACGCCGAGCATAGCCTCGCCCCGCCGCCGCCGCCGAGCGCGGCTCCCGCAAACCTGCCGCCGGGCTGTGTCACGGGCGCCCAGGCGGCTGCCATGGCCGGCCACGGCGGGGCGCCGCCGCCGCAGTACAACAGCTTCACGTCGCCCCGCAGCGCCGCGCCGCCGCAGCCCTTCGACGCGAACGGCGAGCCCCAGCAGGGCTTCTTCCCCGACGCGGGCGCGCCGCCGCCGCCCTACACAGCGCAACAACCGCCCCCTGCCACGAACGCCGACGGCAAGGTGTGGGGGCGCAAGGCCGACGGCAAGACGGGCTGGGTCACGCCCAAGGCCGGTGACATGAACGACGAGGGCCCCTCTCGGGCTCCCGTGATGCCGGTGGCCGCCGTGGCTCCCCCGGTGGCCCAGGTCGTGCCCATGCGCGCGCTGCGCAAGCAGTTTTCTGGGCTCACTGGTGTTTCTGGTGCCTTCTCGGGCAAGGACAAGGAGGAGGAACTACGGCAAGAACGGGCGAAGCTCGAGGCGGACAAGCTCGCGTTCGAGCGCCAGAAGCTCGAGGCGGAGCGCAAGAAGCTCGAAGAAGAAAGAGCGAGGCTCGCACAACCCGTAGCGGAGGACGCGAAGTGGTACTGGGAGGAGTCACCTGAACGATTACACCTCCACCAGAACCTGAAACGGCCCCACTGGGTGCCGTACGAGGCCGAGGCGACGCAGAAATTGGAACGGGCCTGGCAGTCCAATCAAATGTCCGTGCCGCTCAACGCGTCGTACACCGCGAATCTCACGGCCATGACGCAGATGAAGAATTTAAATGGATACAAGCGGCGCATATTGCGCGACGCGCGCGGTGTGAGGGACACATCACCTCCGCCGCCGCTCGCGCCGCTCAAAGTCGTGACCTTTGACGAGAAGGTCGAGAAGCTGACGTGCTACTACCGTTTGAATGAAGAGCAGATTTCATATAGTGAGCACGAGCGCAAGGCCCGCGAGCGCGGCGCCACCGTCGCCTCCATCGGGTCCGCCGAGGAGAACGAGGCCGTCGTGCGCGTCGCACGGGGGCAGTTCTGCTTCATTGGGGCGCTCCGCATCGGCGGCGGCAACGGGCCGACGTCCGCGAACTGGAAGTGGGCCGACGGCAAGCCCTTCCAATATACAAACTGGTCGCGGGACGAGCCGAACAACTACATGGGCCACGAGGACCGCGTCATGATCATGGGCAACGGAAAATGGAACGACATACATCAAGGGTGGACCGGCCCGGCCGTCTACCGTTTTGCGGGTAAGCCGCAGTGGTACTGGGAGGAGTTCGTGACTGCGTAGAAATCATATTTTCTCCACGCCATCGACGCGACGCCGCCTCGATGGCGTGGCGGTGTGGGTTTCCCACCACTCGATTCAGTCGTCACGGCCGCGTTGTCGCCAAGAAGTGACTTTGTGCACTCGACTCACTTCATGATTTGCGCAGGTCCGCGGAACGGTTACGCAACCACGCCAACCTCAAGCCCGGCACGAATTTCGTGCCCTATTCTTCAAACGACAACGACAAGCTCGAGGAGATGCATATGGCGCACAAGCCGTTCTGTCGCCTGAACCCAGGTTACGGCGTCGACCTCATCAAGATGCAGCAGACGAGCATGTCCACGGGCTACGCGCGGCGCGTGATCCGCGAGGCGAGCGGGCCCCAGGTGTCGAGTCCGCCGCCCGTGATCAAGTACGATCGATCGAGGGTGGCCTGGTACTGGGAGGAGAGCCCCGAGCGCATGGGGATGCACAGTTTGGTGAAGCCGCCGCATTGGGTGCGCTTCGACCCAGCCACCGAAGACAAGCTCGAGTCAGCTTTGCAATGCGGCAACGCCGGCGTCATGACAGTCCCTGGCAAGTACCACGCGGACATCAAGTCGATGATGCAGAAAAACGTGAACACTGGTTTCGGGCGGCGCATCTTCCGGGAGCTCGCCTGAGCCACCTCATGAATTCCTTCGTCCCATTCCCTGCTTCCGTGCACGCGTAAATTCCCAGAATTCCCTACCTATGGATCCCATCGGGGCTCGCGACTACGTACGGTGACCGGCACGCGGCGCCGTCCGTGGCCACGCCGGGCCAGATCTACTACATATGTTAGCGCCCCGCGTCGACCGGCCTCGAGTCTAGGCGCTCGACACGGCCTTCCACGCGCGCGAGATCGCCGCGAAGGCGCCGCTCGCCGACGCGTTCGTGTTCTTGTCGGGGTGGTACTGCAGCGCCAGGGCCAGGTAGGCCTTGCGCAGCTGCGGCCGCGGCGCGCCAGCCGGCACGCCGAGGACGACGTAGGGGTCGGCCGCGCTCCAGCGCGGCGGCAGGGGCGGCGGCGGCGGTGCAGGTGGTGGCACTGCCGGGCCGCCCTGGCGGCCCGCGAGGAAGCGCCGCCGGGACTCGGCGAGGAGCCGGTCCTGCTCGGCCGCCGCCGCGCGCCGCTCGTGCTCGTCGTCGAACCTGCGATTGGAACCGCGGCGTCGAAGCTCCGCGACGCCCTCTCGGTGGTACGGAAGTTTGAAGGCCCTCGCGAAGACGCCGCCTCGGCACTCGAGCGGGTCGCGCTTCCGTGGCGGCGCCCGCGGCGCCGCGCGGACGCGCGGCCCCCGGCCCCGGCCGCGGCCGCGGCCGCGGCCCCGGCCCTGCGTCGCCGCCGCCTTGCGGGCGCGCGGCTTCCTTTTCTTGGCCGCTCCTTCTTCGGCCTGCTCGGCCTCCGCCAGCGCGTCGACGGCCGTCGCGATGGCCGCGATGGTCGTCGCGGCGAGGCGGCACGACCCCGCCGCGTGGGAGCTCGCGCCAAGTGCCGCATCAAAAGCCCGGTCGGCGGCCGCCTCCCGATCCGCTGCGACGGCCTCCGACGCGTTCGACGTCGCCTCGACGGCGGACCCCTCGGCAGCGTCGACCGCCTTTGATGCTGCGTGCGCCGCGGCGCGCGCGGCCGCGAGCGCGCGGTCCATCGCGCCGCGCTCGCGCCGCGCGCGCGCCTGCCCCGCCCGGACGTCGGGGTCCTCCTCGACGCGCGTCGGGCCGTTGGGGTCCGCGCGGCTCGCGTAGAGGGCCCGGCCGTTTTGACGCAATTTCGCCTTCTTGGCGGGGGGCGCGGGCGGCGGCGCGCGGCCGAGCGAGCTGCCGGGCACGACGCGGCGCTTGGCGGAGCCCGGCACGACGCGCGCCGTGGGCCGCAGGCTCGCGCCGGGCGTGACGCGCGCGCGGGCCGGCGGAGGCAGCTGCGCGAGCGACTCGGGCTGCGCAAACCGGCGCGGCTCCCAGCCGCGCGGCGCCATCGCGTAGCCCCGCGGCGGCAGCTGTGGTTGGTAGCCCCGCGCCGGCTCTATGGCCGGGACCCGCGGTGGCGAGCTCGACCGGTCGCGGCGGCGGCGCTTGCCGCCGCGGCGGCCCCGGCGCGTCCGGGGCGATTCCTCTTGCGGGCGGTCGTAGCCGCCGCGCGGTGCTTGCTGGCTCATCATTGTTGTTGTATTGTACTTGTTGTCCGTGTTGTTGTTGGTATTGTACGTATTGTACTTGGACAGCGCGCTTCAAGGGGCTCCATGATGGTCGTCGGCGTCGGCGTCATCGTGTGTGGCTGGCTTTGTGGTTAAAGAGGGTTAGAAAAAAGGTGCTCTCGGACCCCACTACAGAGTCCAGCGCGCTGTAAACAGCTGTTTTATGCGTCTGCAAGCGCTGCAAAAGCTTAGTGTGTTAGTACGCTAGGTTTTTTAGCTTTTATACTAGTAGTCTGGCCTGTGCGTGGTGTGCCACCTATAATAGCACTCGGCCTCTCTATCGATAGCTTGGGCGCTGCGTTTGCACCCATCTACCTGGCTGATTGCATCAGTGCCAGCCGCTTGTGCACGCATCATCATCAGCACTGTAGCTTGCCAGCACTGAAGGCTCAGAGGCTCACCAGCAGAGGCAGAGAGGATCACGCTGTATCTAAACGTGCAACAGCGTCGTTACAATCCAAGTGATTGAACGCCCGAAGCCATGGAAGCGCTAAACGAGGCCCTTTTAGAACCCACGAACGGCGCCAGAGACGACGACGGCGCGGCCCCGCTGCGCCTCGAGTGGGCAGGCGTGGGAGTGGTGGCGGGTCGTAAGCGCCGTATCATTTTGAGCGAGGCGGGCGGCGTCGCGAAAGCGGGCCGCACGCTCGCGCTGCTGGGTCCCTCGGGCGCCGGCAAGACGACATTATTGCGCTGCCTGGCCGGCCGTGCCGAGCCGGACGCCGGCAGCGTCCGCTTGGTGGTCTCAGGCGGGTCGACGCGCGCCGCCCGCGCCGTTTTCGTCGAGCAGGAGGACGTCTTCTGCCCGGAGCTGACGGCGCGGGAGCACCTGCGCTTCCGCGCGGGCCTCGCGCTCTGGCGCCGAGACCGGACCCGCGCAGCAAACGCCAAGGCGGCCGATAGTCGCGCGGCGGAGCTATTAGAGACATTCGGCCTCGAGACGGTCGCCGACCACCCGCGCGTCGGCGCCTGTGTGGAAATCAACCAGTGTGTCGGGTGCAAATTTCTCGGTGATGACGCGGCCGTGCTGGCTCCGTCGAGCGGTGAGCAACCGGCATCGCCACGCCATCGAGCAGGCCCCGCATCGATGGCGTGGAGGTCGACACGACGATTCAGCACGAACGCGCCGTAAAGTTTGATTTCCACACAGGTCGGCGCGCCCGCGGACGCCCGGGCGCTCGGCGGCGCGCGGGGCCTCTCGGGTGGGGAGCGCAAGCGTCTCGCCGTGGCGCTGGAGGTCGTGGGCTCACCAAAAGTCGTCTTCGCTGACGAGCCGACGAGCGGGCTGGACAGCCAGCTCGCGGCGTCTGTGGTAAGGACGCTGGCCAAGCTGGCCAAAGGCGGCGCGATCGTCGTCTTCTCGATCCATCAGCCGTCGCAGCGGTGCTTCGACCTCTGCGACGACCTGGTCGTCCTGGCGCATGGCAAGACACTGTATAAGGGTGCCGCGGCTAACGCCGTCGGGCAGCTCGCGCCGCCGCCGGAGATAGCTGCGTTGCCGCCCGCGGAGGCGATCCTCGAGGTCGCGGCGCGCGACGTGCCCACGGCGGCTCCACCGCTCGTCAAGGCGCCGCGACGCTTCGCGACGGCCCGCGCGCCCGCGCCGAGCGCACCGTTCTACGCTCGCGCGCTGGCCCTCGCGCACCGCGGCGTCGTGACCCAGTTAAGGCGGTGGCCTTTGATAGTGGCCCAGTTCGCGACGTGTGCCGTCTTCGCCTCGCTCATCGGCATGCTCTACGAGGGCGACGGCAGGCCGCGCATCGACCAGAAGGGCGTGGAGAACGTCAACGGTTACTTGTTTATGTTGTGTACCGGGACGCTCTTCTCGTCGCTCTTCCCGCCGTTGCAACTGTTCTTCCGCGGCTTGGCGATGGCGCGCCGCGAGGCTGCCTCGGGCGCCTACGGCCTGCCGCTCTCGGTGCTCGCCATGCAGCTCGCGGATGTCGTGCTGCAGCAGGCCCTCCCGTGCGTCTTCGTAAGCGTCACGTACCGGCTCATCGACCCGCGGCACGGTCTCGAACAGCGGCTCGGCGCGTTCCTGCTCGTGGCCCAGGCCGTCGCGTTCGCCGGCGCGTCGCTCGGCTATTTGATCGCTTGTTTGTCCCCCGACTCCGAGTGTCGGCGGCCGGCGTCCTCGTCCTTCGACGATGGGTCGCGTCGATGGCGTGAGGACCCGTCGCTCACCGCCCGCTTTTCCCACGCAGTCGCGACCGTTGTGGCGCCGCTGTTTGTCTTCCCGATGATCCTCTTGGGCGGGCTCTACGCGAACGTTGGCGCGATTCCAGTGGGGGCGCGCTGGATCAACAAGGTGTGTCTCCGAGCCCGCGACTTCGAAGTGCCTTCGGCTCGATCTACCATACGCCATCGACGCGACCCGCTCGCCGCACAGGTCAACCCGATCAACTACGGCTTCCAGGCCGTGAGCCAGAGTCAGTGGAGGGATTACGGTGACATAGATGGCTTCCCCCCCGTCTTCGCGACGGGAAAAGACGTGCTGGCTTTCTTCTCGCTGGCGCAGCGGTCCTTCGAGGCGAACCTGTATCGGTTGTTAGCGGTGGGGCTCTGTCTGCGCGCCGCCGTCTTCGTGGCCGTCGCTCTCACGGCCGGCCGGCGCGGCCTGCTGGAGGTCGTCACGGAAGCTCAAGCGACGGAGAACCCCCTTGTTAGTTAAGTACACATAATTTACACAGCCAGCAGCCTCCGCAATTCCTCTTCGGGTTTCGATACAAGATCCTCCGTCACTTTCAACTCGGTCACGCTCGACCCGGGCAGCGCAAAGGCAAACTCCCGAAAAACAGCGTCGAGCTCCGCGACCAGCGCGCGCGCACCTAACCCGTGAGCGTGGGCGCGCTCCGCAATGGTCCGCAGCGCCTCCGTGTCCCACGACAGGTCTATGGCATGCGCCGCGAACATGTCTCGGTATTGCGTTAACGGAGAGATTTCGGAGTCTGATTCCATGATCGAAAGTAAATGATCGACCGAGAGTGGTTCCAGGGCACATCTAATAGGCACGCGGCCCACAAATTCATGTAAAAGCCCCGCATTAATTAAGTCAGAGGGCTCCGGCGCCTTCACACCCTCCGACGCATAGACCGACGACAGCTGCTCGAACGCGCCCGAGAAGACAAACAAAACGTGCTTCGTCGAGAAGAGCTTTCGGGAGTCCCCCTTCTTGCCCTTTAGAGGTACCTCGGCGTCCTCCATGAGTTTTAACAATGCTGTTTGTACATCCCTGGTGTTGACCGTACCACTAATTAACCCGCGGGGACATATCTTGTCGACCTCGTCGATGTGGACCACGCCGAAGGGCGCTGCCTCGTTGTCGACCTCGTGCAATTGGTGGATCACGTCGTCGACATCTCGTCCAACAAACCCCGTCGCGGAGAAAGTAGTAGCGTCGGCCTTCACGTAGGGCGCGTCGACGACGCGCGCCAGCGCTCTGCATAATTGCGTCTTGCCCGTGCCCGTCGGGCCGACCAATAAAATGTTTTTTTTGTGCCACATCTTCGAAGATCTATCGGGCTCTTCTATACACCGCCGCGCGTGGTGGAAGTGCTCGCAGAAGGCCACGCTCAGCGCTTTTTTGGCGTTGTCCTGGCCGACGACCATCTCGTCCAACTCACTTTTCAGTTCGAGGGGCGTCATCGCGAAATTCCGGAGCTTCGCGACGCGGTCCGACGGCGTCACGTCCGCGCTGCCCACGGGGCCGGCAAGCGTCGAGGGCGACACGTTCGCGTAGCCCTTGCCGGACATCATGTCGTCGAATTGTTTTTCCGCTCGTTTTTCGGCCACCTTCTCCGCGGCTCGTTCCGCCTTCCTTCGGGCGTCATCGGCGGCCTTCGCGGCCGCGTCGGCGGCGGCTGCTTTTTGCGCAGCTCTTTGTGCCACAATTTCCTCGGGCTGCGTTTGTACCGGACTCCGCAACGCTAACCACAAAGGCGAGTGCGGCTTCGGGAACTCGCGGCCCGGCAGCGGCGCGATGGTGCGGTCGTCCTTGCCGTTGACGGCGTTCTTGCGCTGGCTGAAGCGCCGCGCGGCGAGGCGCGCGGCGCGCCGCGCGGGGCCGCCGTAGTAGGCCATTTGTCGTGGGCAGCGCTGGTTTGTCGCGCGAGTATCAGGACGCCACGCACGATGTGTGAGATATGCTCTGTCTAAGGCTGTGCGGCCCGAGGCTTCCGGATCTCTCGCACAACTGGAGAATGGTACGTTAGCTTTGCCCTTCCTTGCCTCACGCTGTCTGGGAAACCGGATAGCGGCAGCTAGGGCCTGGACAAACTTTGCAGGCAAAAGCTGGCGTGCGGGTTTTAATCCATCGCACGTACGTTCTCGAATCCGCATCGGTACGGTTCCTATCGCTCCGAGGAACCCTCCGACGTCAAATGCTGGCGCTCTGCCATCGCGTTCAAAGCCGGCGCGCGAGCTCGACGCTGCCCGGCGTCGAGACGCTACCGCATTGCTGCCCGCACGAGCACGCATCACCGAAAAGACCTTCATTTACACAAGCCTGCACCGCGCGAGGCTGCCCACGCCATCGCTGCGGCCCCGACGAGCCACCCCAGCCCATGGAGGCCAAATCAAGTGAAAGAGAAGACGCCAAGGACGCGAAAGAAGACAGCATCGTAGCGAAGGTCGGCCGCTACTTTTTTGAAGATTCCTCCTTCTCGCAGACCTTTGAAGCGTGGGTCTCAAAAAACGCGCCGCGCATCGATCCCGCATTAAGTGACGACGAGTACCCCCTCGAGTACACGGCGCTCTACGAGGAGTTCAAGAAGTTGTATGAGGGGCTCCTCGAGGATTATATTGAAAGGGAAGGTAGTAGTACGGAAGCCTTCTACGCGGAGCTCCGCGAAGCCACCGAGCGGGATGAAGATAGTTCAGAGGCGCTCATGGGCCAGATCATGCTCGCAACCACCGATTTCGACGTGTTCATGCTGATGATGAAGGAAAGTAGGCGGCAGTACGACGTCAAGGAGAAGAGTAGGCACAAATAAGATTTATACATTCGATATCCCCAACTTCCGCCGCAGGTGCTCGCCCGCCGACACGGGCGCGTACTTCGCCGGGCCCATGCCTGGCAGGCACGAGATCCGGGCGTCGTCGTGGGGGCCCGTGAAGAAGGGGATCGAGAGGCGCGGTTGCGTCGCCGCCTTTGATCCTTGTGGAGGCTTCATGACGCGGTGCACGGTGCTGCGCCATCTTCCATTGGTCCAGACCTCGTACAAGTCCCCGATGTTCACGACGAAGGCGTTCCGTTGGGGTGTGACGGCCGCCCACTGCCCCGACTTGAGCAAGACCTGGAGCCCGCCCGCGTCGAGGGCGCCCACGTCATTGTCATCTTGGCATAATATGGTATAGCCCGTGTAGTCCGTGTGCGCGCCGTAGCGCACCGCCGACGACGTCTGTTGCGTTGTCGAGAGGGGCGGGTAGTAGGCGAGTCTCAAACTACACTTGGCGGAGGGCGCGTAGTAAGGTGCAAAAAAGTCGGCGTCGAGGCCCAGCGCCGCCGCCGTCACCTTGTGCAGCGCGTCGAGCACTTGTAGCAACGCCGCGTGGTAGGCGTGGCCCGCGTCGTCCATAGACGGGGGCTTGGGCTTCGTCGTCTCCTCGGGCTTGAAGACGAACGACTCCACGAGGTCAGGCAGCGCCGTCGTCTGCGTGGCGCCGCCGTCGCTCCCGTGGTCATCTCTCGACCGCGCCACCGCTTCGACGCCCATGCCCGTGAACCCGCCGAGCGGGTTGCCGTAGGGCCCGTAGCAGTACTTTTGCTTCGATGCTGCAGGTCCGCCGAAGAAGCTGTGCGCGCCGCGCCGCAGCGCGTCGACAATCGCCGGATCGACACCGTGGCCCGTAATCATCGCGAAACCGACGTTCGTCATCGCGGCGTCCCACTCCTGGCCGACGGCTCGTCGCGCTGCGTCCGAGTGCGCTGCTGGAGCTGTGAAAGGTGAGATGTCCACTGTGGGCACAGCCGTGTCGAAAGCTGCCATTTTTGTTAGTGTAGGCGTCGACGGCGTTAACGAATGGACCACACCAATGGCCAACAGGCCCAACAGCATGCCTCGTTCAGCTCACGCGGAAGCCGTAGCTAGCGGCCGTAAGGCACTAGCACTTGAGGCAAAAACTCGAGCGACAGGCTGCCGCGCGTTGTACGCGCGCGCCGCCCCTAGCCACTCCGCGCACCCCGGGCTGCTCGCAAAGTGCAGCGCCGCCCCTGTGGGCCCGGAAGTGGGAGTTGCCCGCGTGGAAAATAGCCCAGAACACGCTGAGCACGGCCTTCAGCTTGGGGCTGCCTCAAATGCTGCCGCGACGCGCCGCCGGCTTCCTTCGCCTTGACCTTTACCTTTTGCCCCTCTACCCCGCGGTGACGGTGCGGCGCGGCATGCCGGGCAAGTAGGCGATCCATCCTGGGCGTCCTCGCAATTCAACGGGTCGACGGGCCTTCCTGGCGATGTCGACTCACCCCAGCAATTCAAGCTGCTTCCGATGACTACACCCCGGGTCTTCCGTCGGCGCAATGTCGCAAACGCGAGGGTGTTTTTCGCGACTCCCCCGCGGGCGCGGCGGCGGGCCGGCGGCAGGCCGCGGGCAACTCGTCGGCGGCGGCACTCGGGCACGACTCCACGGAGCGGCGGTGCAGCGGGACCCTGCATACCTTGACTAGCTCTGGGTCGGGTCTCAAGCAAAGCGCCTTCGCGTCCGCGTTCGGCAGATCAAGGTTGTGTGGCGGCGGTTCCCTTTTTTTTTCCCGCACATCGCTGCACGACCTCTGCGACGAGTCCCCTGGGGCGGGGAGGGGTCCCGCAAGACCGCGCGCAAAACCCGTCGGTTAAGCTGAGGCTAGGCTAGAGGCAAAACAGGTTTTTGCTGCACCAGGGGAGCTGTAGGTGCGCAAAAACGCCGTAGTGGTAACATTTTGACAACTGTGCTTGTGTGCTGCAGCGCCAAAAGCATTGCTGGCAAGTTCAGTGCAGCCTGCACCCTGCTGCACTTGCAGCAGCCTCATTTTTGCAGCAATGCGGCGAGGCAAGGGCGGCATTGCTCTAAAGCATGCAATAAAACGCACGGCACTACTCCTCGCACTCGCACGGACCAGCAGTCTTGTCCCCGAGGGCGGCATCCTCCGGGGACGTGTGCACGTCGTGCTGGAAGGAGACGAAACGCCGCCCCCCGGCGACGCCGTCCAGGTGGTCCTGGGCACGAGCGAGACGGCCGCGGGCGGCTGGGGCGACGGCGCTCACCCGTCGACGGCGCTGTGCCTGGAGTGGCTCTCCGAGCGGGGCTTTAAAGAGGACGAGACGTTCCTCGACTACGGCTGCGGCAGCGGCGTCCTGGCCATCGCGGCGCGGAAGCTCGGGTGTCGCGAAGCGGTGGGCGTCGACGTCGAGTACGAGGCGCTCGAGTCCGCCGCCGAGAACGCCGAAAGGAACGGTATTGTTGACGGCGTCGACTGGGTCCACGGCCGTTCTGTGATACCGGGCATGGACGAGTACGACGCCGTCGTGGCGAACATCCTGGTATTTCGCGGCGCTTCTCGAATCATGACCTGCACGCCATCGACGCGACGGCTGCTCGACGGCATGTGCACCCGACTCACCGGTTGATTTGCGCACAGGTCGGCCAGCTCTCCCGGCCGTCCATGGTCGCGACGCTCGCGCTCGGCACGAAGGTCGGCGGCGCGCTGTGCCTGTCCGGTATTAGACCGGACCAGTGCGCCGTGCTCGAGCGGCTCTACGCGCCCTGTACCGCCCGGCGTCTCGCGGTGCCTTCGCGACCCGCGACGCCATCGCCGCGACGCAGTCGTGCCTCACCGGTCGACGTCCGCGCAGACTACGACGTCGCCGAGAAGACCTTCCGCGACCCGGATGATTTTGGAAAGGAGTACTGGGGCTCCTGGGCCCGACTCGTGCTGACGCGGAAGGACGCCGATCGGAGGGAGCTCCTGGAGCGGATCAGCGATGGGGCGATAATGTGAACGTGTACTTAGGGGATCCATCATCACTGCGCTAGCATCAGGATCGCGACGTCTAAATGAGGAGCTGCTCGATCTTGTCCTTGAGCTGGACGATCTGGTCCTTGAGCTGCGAGGCTTCGTTGGACGTCACGGCACACGCGATCACGGGCCGCGAGACGCCGCACGCCCTTCCCAAAGCCAGCTTCGACAGCACGAAGACGTAGGGCACGTTCTTGTCCTCGCAGAGCAAGGGAAGGTGCAGCAGGATCTCGAGCGGCTCGGCGTCGGCCGCGAGCACGACGAACTCGGCGATTCCTCTGTTGAGGGACTTGGTGGCCTCGTTCGCGCCCTTCTTCAGCTGCTTGTAGTTGCAGGCTTGTTGTGTGAGATCTAAAATCGTCACTTGCAACTGGGCGTCGGCCAGGGGGTAGGCCTTGGGGTTCACTTCAGCCATGGTTTGTTGCGGTGGCGCGCGGCGGCGGCGCGGCGCTGTTGTGCGATAGTGCTGTTTTTGTAGGGCGGCGGCGGCGCGCAAGCGCGGCGCGAGCTGCCGTGCGAAGGTGAGGCTGGAGAAGTGCTCCGCAGCGTAGCGCCTTGTCTCGGTGCTCGTTATTCGCTGCAGCGGGGTGCAATGTTGCTCTCGCTGCGAGCATAACTCGAGCACCTAGCGTGAGAGCTACTAGCTGCAAAAAAGCGCTCTCTGAACGCAGCGCAAGAGGTTTCCTTCCAATCTCATGTACACATAAGTTACAAGCGACAACGGGTGGGTGGCCAGGGCTAGCGTCGCCGCGAAGCAAAGAAGCCGGCGAGCATCGACGCCGCGACCGCCACCCCCGTGATCTTGACCGCGCGGCGCACCGAGTCGCGCTGGTGTTCGTCAGAATAAATAGCTTGAGCTAGCGCGAAACCGCCAACAAAACCAGCCGCGCCGCCGACGACGGTCCCCGTGCTGAACGCGCGGAACCACGCCTTCGTCGAGAGGCCCTTGTGAATAATCACGCCGCCGTTGGGAGCTACTCGTACGTCGCCTTTCATCTTTTATTCTGCGCTTGCGCTGGCTGCTGTGCAGCAGGGTTCAGGGGTGAGGGGCCTAGGGCCACTTGTGTGCCCGCAACGACAGCGCGCGCAGTTGAGTTGGCGTTGAACTGGTCCGAGACGAGCCACAACGAGCCGTGAGCTGTTGGTACGCGGCCGTAGGGCGAGCAATAAAACGAATCGAGCTAGCGCGTGTAAGGCACTAGCAAGAGGCAACAAGCTGGATGAAAAAAAAGCTCATCCGGCTTAAACAAGGACACACCGGCGCTTGTGTTCTCTTCCCGCGGACGCCACAGCATCCCTGCGACCGCCACAGTCATCACAGAGCCGCCGCGCACTCCAAACCACTAGTGCACTTGCACAGCTGATGAGTGGACTTCCGCCGCCGCCGTCGCTAGGCCGGGCGCAGTCCCTCCCTGGTCAGATGCCGCCGCCGACGCCGCGGCGAAGGATGCGCCGAGGCGTGGTCGAGAAGGACGACCTGGACCTGGTCTTCGGACGGTTCGAGCGCCTGGAAGGCGGATTGATGGGCTTCTCCGACTTTGGCCGATTAGTAGCGGACCTCAAACTCGGTTTGAGGGAGGGCGAGGTCAAGCACCTGTTCCTCCATTTAGCCGAGGACGCGTCGATCAATTCGACGGCGTTGCAGATCTGCGAGGACGACGCCTGCCGCCGATTGACGAAAGCGAAGACGTGGGCGCCCGGGCTGCAAAGGCAAAAAACGGAGGACGCGCGGATAAACGTGGAGCAGTTCCTCGCGGGCATTAGGCGGCACCGCTTTTTGAGGAGGATCGTCTCACATTACGCGTTTCCCGACCTAGATTCGTGGAGCATACCCGTCGACTACGACTGGAAGCGGAGCACGCAGGATAATTATGGAGTATCACTATCAGAAGGTTTCGTCGGGGCACTAGCTCATTTACGGGAGCACCTGGACGCGAACTGGCACGGGAACTACAACGCCGCGAGACAACGGTGGCAGGACGCCGCGGTGCATCGAGTTGTCGCTACTGATGATGATAGGGCGGGCCCGACGAAAAAGCCGTGGCTCGTGTACACGTGCGGGCCCATGGGCGCGGGCAAGGGCTGGGTCATGAACTGGATGTCGCAGCGCGACATCCTACCACTTAGAAGGGTCGTGCACGTCGACCCCGATAGATTTAAGCGTTTGATGCCGGAATGGCCGTCGTATATGAGTCGGGACCCGAAGTGTGCGGGGACGTTGTGTCACCGGGAGTCTGGTACATTAGCAGAGTTAGCGCAAGCCCTGGCCATGGACCAGCGCTGCCACGTCTGGGTCGACGGTAGTCTGAGAGATTTTGACTGGTACGCGCCGAAGATCGCGTCGCTGCGGAAGCAGTTCCCGCACTACCGCATCGCTCTCTTCTACATCCACGCCTCCGAGGCGACGGTGCGGCGGCGCGTCGAGACGCGCGCGGCACGCGGCGGCGGCGGCGAAGAATCCCGGTATATTCCGGAGGACGTCCTCGCCGCGTCGCTGGCGGCGCCGGCATTAACGTTGCGCGCCTTGACGCCGCACGTCGACTTCGTCGCGCGCATCACCAATGAATCGAATGATGATCCGGAGCTCGAGGCGCTGGAGGCCGTGGACTCGTCGGGCGACTGGGGGGCCATTTCTCGGAGATTTGGTGGGTCTTATACATCTTCCTTGACGGCGGCGGCGTCGGCGCTGTCGCTGGCTTCCAGTGTGGATGATGATCCGGAGGCGACGCCTCCTAGACAACGGCCGGCTTCTCCACGTGCGGAGATCTCTGCTTTGAAACTGCAGGCCGAGAATGATAGAAGGACCATCGACGGCCTCCGGGCGTCCCTCAAGGCCGCCGAGGAGAAGCTCGCCGAGGCGCTGAAGGCGAAGAACGGGCGGTAGGTTGTGTTTGTTCATAAGTTTCGTTACTTGGACGCGTCGCGTCGATGGCGCTTCGCTGGGTTTCTGGAACAGTGCTAGGACTAGTGGGCGGAGCTCTTGCCCAGGGCTGGGTGGGAGACACCGCGCGTCGCCGATACTCGGACGCCGTCGCCGCGACCGGCACACGAGAGCCCCCGTTCGCAAGAGGACTCGTGGCGGACCCCGACGAAGAGGACTGCGACGCGACGACGTCGCGCGCCGCGCGCGTTCCAAGAACGGGCGGGTACAGCGCCAGGCGAGCTCACGACACGCACAAACGGGCTCCCCATCTGCGCGTTTGGACACGGGGGTTGGGCAAGAGAGTGGTCGAAGCAGTTTTCAGTGCCAGCGCCGCCTGCTGCGCGACCGGGCAACGTAGCCCGACGGGCCGGCAGCCCACAGACAAGAGTGGAGGCAGCCCCAGACACAATCAACGATGGGCGCCGGCGCCACGACCCTCGCCGAGACGCCCAAGCCCGACCTCGAGCTGTCCCAGTCCGACTCGCTCAGCACTTTTGATAGTCTGGCCCAATCCTCAACTCTGGACCGGTCGATGTCGATGAAGCAGTCCTGGCACGCGTCCTACATGCAGCGGAGCCGCTCCGCGAAAATAAATGAAAATGATATGCCGCACAAGCTCGCCATCAGCTTCGGTGGGAGCGGCCGCACTTTGCTAGAGGACGACGACGACTGGATCGCCGTCGAAGAGACGCACGACTTTAAGGATGATGAGAAGTGGGAGCGCCCGAAGCTGCGGAAGGGGCGGTTGGACGAGAGTTATCGATTGACCGAGTCCGGCACGATCTTGTTGCGAGAAACGACCAAGATCACTTCTACTGGATTTAACGATGAGGATGTGTCTGTGGTGGACCGATGCGTGTTGCTCGGGCCGTTAGGTGCGGGTGGCGGTGGTCGTGTGCATAAAGCCCTGGATCTCGTTGGTAGGCGATTAGTTGCTGTGAAGGCGATCCCGGTGCACAACCAGCAGAAAAGACGACAATTAGTAGCGGAGCTCAAGGCTCTGCGATCGACGTCGACCGATGACGAGACGCACGTCATACGAATCTTGGATTGCTACGCGCACGCGCCGTCGGACGCCGCGTGGTTAGTTGTTGAGTATGCCGATGGTGGAAGTGTACAGGACTTTGTCGAAAGGGGAGGTACGTCCGATGAAAAGGCAATAGCCTGTCTCGGGAGGCAGGTCGCGACCGGTCTCAAGCACGTGCATGGCAAGGGCTACGCGCACCGGGACGTCAAGCCGTCGAATATTTTATTGGATCGATCTGGTGTTGCGAAACTCGCGGATTTTGGCATCGCGTCGAAGTGCGACGACGATGCCTCGACGCGCACTTTTGTGGGGACGGCCCAGTACATGTCGCCGGAACGGATCCGGGGCGACGCTTATACCACTGCCGCTGATGTGTGGGGCCTCGGCGTGTCTTTATTAGCTGTCGTGCGGGGCAGCGCGCCGTTTGGCAGTCAAGAGAAGAATAATGAGGACGCGGAGTACTGGCGGCTCGTGGGCGAGGTCGTCGAGGCGCCCGCTCCATCACTCCCGGCGGACTGGTCCGCGCCTGCCAGAAGTTGTTTGGAGGCGTGTCTCGCGAAGGACGCCGTTGAACGGCCGACGGCGGATGAGTTACTCGTGATGGACTTTTTGGCGGCGGCGCCGGCGCCATCTTCTCAGTATTTCTTTGCTGGTCAAGCGCCGCGCGACGGGCGCAACGAGTTGAATGTCTGCCTGGACGCCGTCGCGGACCACCTCGCGGAGCGGCGCGCGGCCGGCGTCGCCCGTGCTCTCTTCGCCGCTGGTGGGTTCCAGGAGCTCGCGCGGCAGTTCGACTTGTCAGCGGACGACGTCGAGGACGCCGTGCGATCGAGATTAGGACCGCGCGACGCGGCGTCGCCGCCCGATCTTAGTAGGAGACGGCCGAGCCGCGACGACTCCGCGCGGCTGACGGCGGAGCTCGCCAAGGAGCTGGATTCGCCTCTGCCTTTGTCACAGTGTCAGAAACTTCCTTCACCGTGATGCGTCGATGGCGTCACTGGGGGAGTCTTTGCCGGCGGCGTAAGTGTGTGTGCTTGTTAATAGCGATCGTCGTCTGGGGTTCTAGGACTGATGGTGATATCGGCAAAAACCCGTTTGTTAATTTTAATGAATTTCCTGATTTAGTCACGATCCGCTGTGCGTGCGCGACGCGTGCGCGCGACTGTGTAGTTTCTCAAGCCTCGAACACCTTCAATTCATTCGCCAGCAATGCGTAGGAAGCATCTTGCAGCAGTCCTTGCTGGAGCGGCCGTCAGCCAAGCTGCAAAACCAGCACAAGGAACATCTCCAGCAAAAGTAACCAGACGAGCCCTCGGTGCGGTAGCGGCAGCACCATTCGTCACACCCGAGATAGCGGCCGCGGCACTGACGAGCGGCGCCGCGCTGCCGCTCAGCAGTGTACGAGGCGGCCTCGCGGCGACGTACGCCGTCGATGGGAGGGCCTTTCTAGGTGTTGTCGACACGGGGTCGCCGTTCCTGCTCGTCGACGGCACCTGTGGGGAATTAGAGAACGGGCGCTGGGGCTGCTACCCTAAAGGTGGCGTCCCGCAACCCTTCAGGAAGCAGGGCGGGTTGAATGATGCTTCGTTGGAAATTTTTGGAGGGCAGGAGACGTTGGTGGAGTGGCGAAGAGGTAGGGTGGAACTCGGAAGGCAGGTCTTGGAGCCGGCGGTCTTTGGCGTGGTGCGGTCCCTGGCGCGGCGCGGCGGCGAGGGCGGGATCTACCTCGGTTTGATAAAACACCGGCAGCCTGTGGTAAGGCCCACGTTTTTGGAGCAGGCGCAAGCCGAGTCGATCCGCGTCGACTTGCGGGACCCCGAGCAGCGCACCCTCGCCATTTCCACGTCTAGACCTTCTATTTCGAGACAGGAGGACGCCGTACCTTTAATTGACCTAAGGGCCTACGGCGCGCCGGTGGAGCCCTACGCCGCCAGGGTTTCTAGGCTGGTGGTGAACGGCGAAACCGTGCGCTTGCGACGGCCTTGTTTATGCGTCTTAGACACCGGAACAACAGGCCTGACCATGTCCGATTCGTTATTGGGCAACGGTTTCGGGGGCACCGATGAATTACCTTTGCCGGGCGCGGCCATCAAGCACGTGGATGTATTTCTAGAGACGGAGAGCGGCGGCGAGGTATCACTAGGAGCGGACTACCGGCGCGGCGCGGAATTCCCGCTCGTCGTGACGACGGCGCGACTGCCGTGGTTCGACGAGGACGCCCTTGGTAGGTTAGGAAGGAAAGGCAATCAAGATATTGATTGGAGGAACCCGCCGCACGTCATCTTCGCGGGGCTGTCGTTTCTGGATAGGCAGCGCCTGACGATCGACGTCGATGCGCGGCGGCTGGCGCTCAAGGGCGCGGGCAAGCAGCCGCCCCGGCCCGCGGCGAAGATGTTCCGCGGGCGGTCGATGTACGACGCGCTCGAAGAGCCTGGAATGATACTGTAACCAGGCCGTCGACGCGACGAGAGAATGCGAATGGTAAGAATATGTGTATGTTACAGTCACTCAAGAGAACTCCTCGAACTCCTCGGGCCGCGGCCGGAGCGCCTCGAGCGCGCCCGACGGCTTGAACGCGTAGAACGCCAGGGCCGTGCGGCCGTAGCGCCGGTTCCGCACGCCCACGAGCTCGCCGATGCGGAACGGCGGCTTGCCGCGCTCGACGGGGTACTCGACCACCACCACGCAGTCCGCGTTCAGCAGCGGCGACGACGCGACGGACGCCATCAACTCGTCGTAGTCGATCTCCTCGTAGGGCGGCGTCAGCGTGAGGAGGTCGAGGCCCGGGCCGCGCAGCGCCTCGTCGTTCAACGCCGCGGCCACGTCGCGCGGACACGTCTCGTATTTATTTGAGAAGCCGCACGTCTCGGCGTTGCGCGCGGCCACGGCGCACGCGTCCGGCGACAGGTCCACGAAAACGCAGCCGGCGCCGCCGCGCGACAGGGCTTCGACGCCGACGCTGCCGGACCCGCAGAACGCGTCCATGTGTCTGACCTGTCTGGGCGCCCGGAAGACGCCCAGCGAGACCAAAGTGCTAAACAGCGCCTCCCTCACTTTGCCCATCATCGGCCGCAGCAGCGTCTCGGGCGACTCGAGCTTGCGGCCGCGCGCCGTGCCCGCGATGACCCGCAGCTTCGTGGGCGTGCCCTTCTCGCCGGGCTTCAGGCGCTCCGACTGCTTGCGCGAGGCCTGCTTGTTCGCGAGGCGGCGGTGCCGCGGGATCGGCCGCTGCTTGATCTTCGCGTCGGCGCGCGACCAGCCCTTTTCACTCGGCTCGGCGCAGTGCTGCACGCGGCGATGGCGTGTTGGCGCATCGCGTATTGGCGCCCGCTGAAAGCCGTCGCAGACGACCGCGTACGCTGCCAAGAGCAGCGCTGAAGAGACCATCTTATCTACCGCACCGATGGGCTAACTGATGCCACAGCGCTGGCGCGGCGATCAGTGTTATCCAAGAGCTTATATGCTGCGTAATTTCTACCCAGAGCTGCTCTAGCTAAGCCGTACAGCCCAAAGTTGCACAAGCGGGGCTAGCGGCACAAAGACACTAGCATTCGCAGCCTGCACCCTTTGCAGCTGCTTTTTAGCGGCCCCCGAGGCAGCAGGGGGCACAGGATTGAGCCCCCTTAAGCCCCCAGCGCAAGCAGCGACAGCGAGCGCAGCCGTGGGTGCAGTACAGCGGCGCAGCGAGCAGTGGCAGCGAGCGCAAGCAGAGCCGCCGCAGCGAGCCGGCAACGCGCAGCGGCAGCAAGGCAGCTGTAAGGTGCAAAGACCGCGTCGCAACACTTCGAATCAAAAAGCTGGGATTGTATCACGTCAGCCGGCGCGACTTTGTGGCGCGCCCGGCATCACTTCCCGAGCGAGAGCAACGCTTGGTATTACTGCGGCCCGGGCCTTTTCCCCACGCCGGACGCTGGGAAAGCCTCGCTACACGCAGGTCCTATCGCGGGGAACCTCGGACGGCGTACGCGCCAGCGTCCCTCGAAATAATCACAGTCACGTGCCGGGTGAGGAACAACCGAATAATCTGTCAATCTTCCGACCCTCTCGAGGGGATGGCGATCACTCTTAACCAATGGATCCTTCTGACGGCACGCGCTATACAATCGAACGCCGTCGCTCCGAACGCCCGCCGCGGCACACATATCTCCCGCCGCCGCAGGTCTCGCGGGTAGCGCGTTGACGTGCGTCCCGGCGTCCTTGACACAAACAACCGACGCGCGCCGGTGACGATGAACGATGAGCGTATGTCCGATCACGATGAAGAAAGCAAATCTAGACTACGATGGACCGAGGCGCGACGCGCGGGAGGGCACGCGTTCCTGGCGCCGTCCCGCGTCGACTCGCATAACGCGCAGGCGCATGGCGTCATCCTCGTCCTCGTCGAGCTCGTCGTCGTCGTCGTCATATAGGCGGCGCCCACGGCGCGGCCGGTCCCGGTCGCGCAGCCAGCGCCGCCGGCGGCGGTCCTACTCGTCGTCGTCCTATTCGTCGCGTTCGTCCTCGTCGCGGTCGCGGTCCAGAGGCCGCCGCCCGCGGTCGCGGTCGCCGCGGCGCCGGCGGTCGCCGCCGCGCCGCCGCCGCTCGCCCTCGCCGCGGCGGCCGCGCGGTGACCGCGGGGGCGGCCGCTACTTCCCTAGGTCTGGACGGGCGCCGTCGCCGCGGCGCCGTCCTGGCGCCGCTGCCGCGGGCCACTACGGGCCCGGTGGTGGAGGAGGCCGCGGCCGGTCGCCGGAGCCATTCAACCCGCGGCGCGGGCCGCCGCGGCGCCAGCGCGGGCCGTCGCCCGCGTCGCGTGCGGCCATGAAGCAGATCGCCGCCGCCGCGAAGCAGGGCACGGGAGGCGTCGGCCGCGAGAGGCTCAAGTCCCTGACCGCCGGGAGCAAGGCGCCGCGGACCGTGCCCTCGGACCCGCCCAACACGCTCGTCGAAGAGCGGAACTGCACGTTTGAGCCGGCACCGGCGCCCGCGCCCGCGCGCCGGCCCAGGGCCGAAGTCGGCGCGGCGAGCCGGCGCAAGTTTGGTCTCCTCGGGAAGACGCTCGCTGCGGCGAAAGCAGACACGTCGCGAGATAAACTCGGCGGCGACCTCGGGAAGCTTCCTCCCGCGGCTCAGCGCGCGTTGCGGGCACGGATCGTGCGCGGCGCGCTGCGGCCCTCCGAGGTGACTCGCGACGCGGCGCTCTTCGGCGAGCTCTGCGCCCTGCCGCCCGCGAAATGTGATGAGGCGGTCGAGGCGTTCCTGGGCATGTTGGACCGGGAACAGGGCAGCCGCTCGGAGATGCTCCGCCGGGCCGTGCATGGCGACAAGCGGTCGCGCTCGCGGTCCCCGCCCGAAAAGGAATAGGATTGTTGTATTGTAAATTCCCCGTCGACGCAGCAACTTATCCCGGCCGCGCCGACGGCACTTCCGACGGCGATGTCAATTGTAGACGAAATTAAAAAACAACACATTATGGGACGTCGACGTCCGCCGCCGATGACAACTGGCGCCGCCGCGGCGGGGGTGAGTGCCCCGGCGCCCACATCCCTGGCTTCATCTCGAGCTTCATCGAGTGGTCGTGGTCGAGCGCGTGCGCCGTCGCGCCGAGCGCTCCCAAAAAATCAGAGTGGCGCAGAAAGTGCGCAGGACTCCCGAGCGACTTGAGGGAGTTGGCGATCGTCGCGCGCGCGAGAGGATTCTCATCCAAAAAACCGCCCGCGAAGAAGACGCGCTCCTGGCACCGCCACTGCGCCGCGTGCGCCCGCGCCAGCACGCAGCACGACTGCGCCACCATCTCCAGCAGCGCGCGGCAGACGTCCTCGTCGCGCGCCGACCGGTTGCCCTGCCGCGCGAGCTTGCCGAACGACGCCGCCGTCAACGACGGCGGCAGGCCCAGGTCGACGCAGCCCGTGCTCCCGTAGATGTCCTCGACCAACGTGTCGACCTCGGACGAGTCGCCTCTAGCTGCCAATGCTAAGGCTTCCCTATAAGTCGTGGCAGAGGTCAGCGCCCGCGCGAGACCCAGGAACGACGCCCCGCCCAGCGCCGTGCCGCCGACGCGCGTGTAGCCCTCCTTGTTCACCACCAAACACGAGACGCCGCTGCCGACGTTCACTAATAGCAGAGGTAGCAAAGGCTGCGGCCACTGAGCCGGCTCGCCGAACCGCTGCCCGATGTCGATCTCGTGGGCCTCGCCGCCCGACGCCGTGTAGACCTCGTCCGGCACATTCAATTCATGTAGTAATAATAAACCGTCTACAACACTTTGCATCTCGGGAAACGCTTTGAACTCAATACCTAAAGCTGACCGGAAGGTCCTCCTGAGTTTATGGGCGCCGCCGCCGGCCGCGACGATCCTTCTAGATGCCCGGTTAAACGACCGGCGCTCCTCGTCCTCGTCCTCGTTGTCGGAGCATCCTAGGGCCGCCAGCACTTCTTCCAACTCATCGGTGGCCGCCGAGACGAATTGCAACCGGGTCCGCACCCCATTCACGTCGCACGCGACTCTTAAATGAGGCTTGTTCGTCCGCGGCGTCGTCGGCGTGTCCGTGTCCTCGAGCGGCGTCGCGATGACGAGTTTTGTCAGAGAGCCACCTAAGTCGAGGCCGAGCTTGACGCGCGCTTGCGACGCCGTGATGTTCAGCTGCTGGAGCATGGCGCACGACGCCGACAGCACGGGCCGCGGCGGCGACTTCGGCGAGGAGTCCGCACTTTCGGTGATGTCGCGCTGCGACAGCGACGGCGTCGAGGCGCTGCGCTTGAGCGAGTCGCCCTCTCTCTTAATAAACTCGTCGACGCGGCGCCTTACGCGCGTCTCCCTATCATTTTGTTGGTCCTCGCTCGCCGTCCGCACCTGGCGCGCCTCGACGGACGGCGTGCGCAACAACGACGTCGCGGCCTCGCTTATGCTAGAAGCCGCGTTCGACGCCGCCTCGCCTAGAAAGGACGTGAGCGAGGAGCGCGTCGGCGAAGTTTGCGAAGAGGGCGGCGGCGGCGGCGGCATGGAGGCCAGGGCCTGCGTCTCGCGATTGGCGAGCTGCTGGTTCCGCGGCGGCGGCGGCGGCATGAGCGGCGCGGGCGCCGGCGTCCGCGGCTCGTCGCCCATCAACTGGAGCGCGGCGCGCCGCGCCAGCTTGTTGCGCGGGTCCGCGCCCTCGAGGAGCTTCACGACCTCCACGAGCGTCTCGCGGTCGGCGTTGCGGCACAGCGCCGCGGCGGCCTCCCTTAATGAAGGTAGCAAGTTGTCCTGGCGCGCGTCGGTGAAGCGATGCCGCAGGAACGGCGACTCGACGGTGCCGCGGAAGTTGCCTCGGCGTCCTCCCGAGCGCATCATCCTTTACAGTAATTTTTGCTCGCAGGGCGAGTGCTGCCGGGTGTAGTAGTGATCGCAGCGCTGGGGAGGCGGGCGCTGCGAGTGCTTCTCGAGCGTCAGCAAGGCACGCGGCGCGCGTACAGGTGTGCTTTGCTCCCGGTTTTGTGTGCGACCGCTAGCGTGCAGTAAGACACTAGCGAGCAACTTGTCCGATCTCAGCTCAAATCATCTGTGTGCGCTGCACTGCCCCGGGCGGGCAGCCGCAGTCCCATTTTTTTGTCTCAAACATCATGCCTCGTCAAACACTCATCGCCTGTTGCAGCTTCGTCGGCACGTACGCCTTCGGTGGCCTCGACCTTGCGGCCACGCTCCCACCGGGCGTCGCCGCCGGCGCGACAGCCGCGGTGGCGGCGCTCGGGGGCGTCGCGGCGGGCCGCCTCGCGAAGAGCGACGACGCGGACGACCGATGGCTCAACGACTGGACCCAAAAGACGCGCGGCGCCGCGGCGCTCTGGGCCTTGATGGACTGTGGTATCGTCGACGCGCTGCCGGACCGGGACTGCCCGGGCCTGTCTTCCGCAGAGCTCATCGCCGCGGCGCGGGAAACCAGTGAACGCGCGCCCGCGGCCGACGCGGCCGACGCCGTCGCGCGCTTGCTGCGGCACCTCGCGCTCCTGAAATTCTGCGACGAATCGCCGACGTGGCGGTTCAGGCATTCCGCGAGATCTCGAGCTTTTGTATCAGATGATTTGGCGCGGAGCCGGGCGCTGAGCAACCTCTCGCCGGCGCTCGTGCGGCCCTGGTGGCGCGTCTCGGAGGCCCTCCAGCAAAACGAGGCGCCCTTTTCCCTCGAGCACGGCGAGGGCGCCTGGGACTATCTGTCCAGGAACGAACGCGATGCGAGTCATTTTGACAGTCTTATGAAGGGCCTCTCTGAGAAAGGTGGCGCGGAGAGGTCGCTCGTGGCGCTTGGGGCGTCCGACGCCGCGTTCGCGTGGTCCGAGCTGCCGCAACGGTCACGAGTGATTGATGTGGGCGGCGGCGAAGGCCATCTCCTGGCACAAATACTCAAGAACCACCCGCACTTCGTCGGCACGTGCGTGGACCGGTCCGACGTCGCGGCGCGGGCGTCGGCCTACCTCTCGAACGTCGCCGGCGCGGAGGCCGTCGCGGGGTCGTTTTTCGAGCAACTGCCCGCCGGCGACGTCTACGTGCTCAAGTGGATCTTGCACGACTGGGACGACGACGACGCGCTTAGAATATTGCAGGCGGTCCGGAAATCCATGACCGCAGACGCGCGCCTCGTCGTCTTGGAGCGCGTCGTCGGCGACGCGCGCGCGACGGACGCGCACATGTGGGTCTGTTTCGGGGGGAAGGAGCGAAGTACCGCGGCCTTCGAGGGATTACTCGGAGACGCCGGCTTCGTCACACGTTCGATCACCCCTCTGGACGGCGACGCGCTAGTAGCGATAGAGTGCGAAACGAGACAGTAAAACAAGGGGGGCTAGGCTAAGCAGTCCTTGAGCCCCGCGTCGAGCTCCTCGAACTTGAGGTTGCGCCCGATGAACACGAGCCGCGACTCCCTGACCTCATCAACCCCCCATTCTTCCAGCGGCTCGCCACTAAAGAGCATGTGCACGCCCTGGAAGACGAACTTGCGCTCTTGCCCCTGGATATGCAGGATGCCCTTCATGCGGAAGATGTCGACGCCCTTGGAGGCTAATAGTTCCGTCAGCCAGCCGTTTATCGAGACCATGTCTAACGGTTTACTGGCTTTCAGACCGACGGACGTTATAGAAGAGTCGTGCTGGTGCTCGCCGTCCTCGTCGAGGAAGTCGGGCTCCATGTCCAGCACTTTTGCCAGAGAAAACGCTTTCACGCCCAGCACGAAGTCCAGCGCGAAGCCCGCGCCCTTCGTACAACGTACGAGCGGTGCGAGCTTGTTTAAACTTCTAAGTTTGGCTTCTACTCGCTGTAGTTGTTCCTCGTCGACAAGGTCGCACTTATTCACCAATATTCTATCAGCAAAGGCTACTTGTTCCACCGCTTCGTTTTCCACGCCCTCCGGCTTGATCTCACCCAGTCTCGTCAAAGCGTGCTTGGCATCAACCACAGTAACGAGGGCATCTAACCGAGCCCGTTCCTTCAGCACCTCGTCAACGAAGAACGTCTGGGCCACGGGCGCCGGGTCCGCCAGACCTGTGGTTTCTACGATGACCCCGTCCAACGGCTTCATCCCCGGCTGCAGTAGTTTATTTAGGATTCTCGATAGATCCGCCCGCACCGTACAGCAAATGCACCCGTTATTCATCTCGAAGATGTCCTCCTCCGCGTTGACTCTACGTCTAACTAATCGATCGTCGATGCCCAATTCCCCGAACTCGTTCACGATGACCGCGTATTTCGTGTCTTGCTTCTCCGTCAGGATTCTATTGAGTAGCGTCGTCTTGCCCGCTCCGAGGTAGCCGATCAATACGGTGACGGGCACGCGCGCGTCCGTGTCCATTTTGTCCATTTTGCTGGCGAGCTCGGCCATCCTGCCTCGCCGGCGTTTCTGCTGGCGTACTGTGGCTGCGGGGCGAGCTGCTCGCGAGATCTGGGCCGCACCAACGCAGGGAAGGCTGAAAGCACTCGCACAAGCTTTGCGAGCTCGAGTGCGCCTAGTGTGTCTCGATACGCTAGGTCGGTAAAAACGCGGCTGTCCACGCTGAGGCCTGTAGGACCTAACGCTCGCCGTATTCATCAGTTATTGATCAGATTCGAGCTGCAGAAAGTGTTTACAAGGGCGCAAACCACATCTAAGCAGCAGAGCCAAAATGGCTTCTCATGAGCGCCAGGTCACGCTGCACGTCTACACTTTTACTGGTGTGGGGGGGCGCACGAACTCGATCCTCAGCTCGCTCAGCCTGGGCCTGCACCATTCCGGTGTCGAAGTGTCAGGCAGAGAATTCTCGTTCAACGACGGCGGCGTCTTCCAGACGCGGCCGCACGAATGCACGCGCGGAGACGAGCCGCAGTGCGTGCTGAAGGAGTCCAAATTTCTCGGCGTGCACGTCGGGTCCACGAACGAATTCAACGGCGTCCTGAATGAATTGAGGCGGGCGTTCCCGCCCGGGTCTTATTCGCTTACGGGAAAGAATTGCAATCACTTCGCGGACGTGTTCTGTCGGGCGCTCGTCGGGTGCGGCATCCCGTCGTACGTCAATAGAGCGGCGTCTTATGGGAGATGGCTCAATTTCGGAAACAAGGGGTACCAGATAGGCGACGGCGCATCATCCGAAGCGCCGAAGGCGAAGCCTGCGAAGGCCGACCCGAACCGCAGCAAGAAGAAGGAGCTGACGGAGCACCAGAAGATGCTGCTCGAAAGGATACGCAACGGCGCCACGGATAAGTCATAACATGTGTCACTTAACATATAGCGCGCTCTCGAACAGCCGGACGACTTCCAGGGAAGCGCCGGCGGCATCCGTCGCCGTGTACCGTCGGGGTCCTGCACGCGCGATCTCGATCGACTCGCCGTCGACGTTTGTGTAGATACGGTCCTTGGCCTCGGCGGGCGCGCCGGCGAGGCAGCGCGAGAGCGGGTCGTCGTCGGAACAAACCCCAAAGTCCAGTTCCTCGTCGGCCGCGTAGCGGAAGCCCTCCGGCACGAGGCACGCTCGCAATCCTTCTCGCAGCGACGCGGCGTCGAGCTTCGTGCCCAGTACGAAGAGCCGGAGCTGCGGAGCGGCTTCGCGGCGCCAGTCGCCCGCATCGACGACTTCCGAGGCCTCGGACGACGCCGTCGACGCGTCGTCGTCCGGTTCGACGCCCCCATCGCGGCGGACAATGCGCAACGCATCGCCGGCGCGGCCGCCATCGATGAGGAGCACGCCGGTCGCAGCGCCGTCGGCGGCGACGCGAAATCTCGCGACCGCGGAAGATGCGGCGAGCTCCTCCGCGAATGCCAACACGTCGGCGTCGCGCGCCGCGCCCTGCTCCACGACGGCCACGGCCCGCAGCACGCCGTCGGACGGCGCGAACGACACGACCGGCCGCACGAACCGGCACGGCCGCGTCGGGTCAACGCCAAGGAAATCCATTCGCCTCTCGACGACGGCCGTCGCGTCGAAGCCACCAAGGGCGCCGCGCCCGGGCAGACCGTGGTCGACCGTGCCGGCGAACCCGGGCAGCGTAATGTCGTCGTCGCCGCGAGTCAACACAGCGTGGTTCGCGGCCAGCAGCTGGAGGCGGTGGGGGTTCGGCGCGCCGGGGCTGTCCGGGGCCGCCAGCTGTTTTCTTACGTCTCTTGCGTCGGCGACGAACACGACGGACCGCAGGACGTACAACTCCCTTAAGATTGCGTCCTGGTGGAGGACTCGCGCGAACAGCGCCGGGTCCGCCGTGCCCGTGGTTTCGATGAGGACGGACCGGGCCGATTTCTTCGTGAGGAGCGCCTGGAGGTCCCCGTCCGGCGCGCAGCAGACGCACGCGTTTCCGAAGTCGAAAACGCTCGCGCGATCGATTCCATCGTCGTGCGGAGGCGGCGGCGTGGTGCCCCAGTCCTGCCAGTATCTGTGCGTGACGACGAGCGCGTCCCGCGCGGCCAGGTGGCCGACGACCGACGACTTGCCGCCGCCGAGGGGCCCGGTCACGATGATCACTGGCGTTCGCGCGTCGCCCGGCGCCCAGGCGCGCGCAGGCGGCAGCGCTTTCGGCTTGCGTGGCGGCCTCGACCGGTCGGACCAGAGGCTCTCGGTCTTCCTTAGCACCTCTTGCCGCGCGTCGAGGTGGCGGAACCACTCCTTTTCGAACAGACCGCCCTTGGTGCTGCCACGCTGGGCGAAGGCGTTGGCGGCCATCGGGCAGCCTCGAAATGCTGCACCGAGGACGTATTCGATCGATGCGATGGTCTGGGCCGCTGCACGGGCTAAATTCCGGGCAGCCGAGCTAGCGTAGTGGCATACTAGACAAAATAATGCCGCAAACGCTCATGGGACTCCGAGCGCCTAGCGCCTGCCCCAGCCATTGAAAACGAACCAAAGCGGCGGCGGACCATGTTCCCGGCCCGCGGGGCAGCTCGCACTGATGTGTAACAACTGACCGCGGCTGCAGACAACACCCCAGCGGCGCCGCTTGGGCCGCACGCGCACGGCCTGCGCAAATGGAGGAGTCAAAAGAGGAGCCGCGCCGTGTACACCGCAGCTGGCGCGACCGCCTCCTCCTGTTCTATGGCGAGCGCCACCTCGAAGACAAACGAGGAGGGCCGAGGGTCGCGCCGGCGCCGGTCTGGGCGCCGCTCGCGACCGGCTCGAGGTGCGAGGTCGTCTTATCAAACGATTACGTCGTCGAGACGACACAAGAAGAGGAGACACATCGAGGCCGCTTCTCGGACAAGATGCTGATGAGTCGAGATCAAGGCGGCTTCATACGGGGAATTGTAGAAGGCTACTCTGCCGATGGTTACGACATAAGGTACGCCGACGGGCCCTATCGGAGGGAAGACAAGCACGCGCCGCCGCCGGGGTATCCCGCAGAGGAGCGCTGGTGGGTCCCGTCGAACGTCATCATAAAAAAGACATTAGGAGACGACGTCGTACTGAGGGAGGTGCCCGCGACGTTGGTGAAGGAAGATGTGTTGACCGACGACCGGCTCCCGAAGGGCGTGCTCACGTTAGTTACGATACAAATCGCCTGCGCGATCTGGACGAGGCGCTACACAGCGTCAGGAGCCGAGCAGGGGACATCCACACCGAACAGAATTGTTTATAGATTAGTGGGCCCCTGGCCGCATTGCGAAGATTCGAGATCCGAATTCTACCGCCTCATCTTGTATCAGTTCGTCCACGGCAGCTGGCTCCACCTCATAGCGAACGCCTTGACCCAGATCGTGTTTGGTTTGCCCATGGAGCTCGCGCACGGCACACCAAAGATCTTGGTCGTGCACAGCGCGGGCGTCGTCGCAGGCGCGTTAACATGCGCCGTCTGCGACGCCTACGCCGTCGTCATCGGCGCGTCGGGCGGCGCCTATGCTTTTATGGGTGGGCACGTGGGAGCCATTTTCAAGGACTGGGACCGGTTAAGGCACGGCGTTTTTGATAGGAGGACGCGGCTTGTTGTTTTTGCGTTTATACTCGGAGCGGACGTGCTCCAGTGGGCGCTGACGCGCGAAGCTGGAGTGAGTTATGCCTCTCATGTGGGAGGCGCGGCGGCGGGGTTGTTATTGGGTGTGGTCATTCTGCGGCGGCGGCCGGCTCGATCGAATTCGGATTTTGTGAGGCGCCTCGGCCGGCCCGCCGTGTTCCTGGCACTGGTCCTTTCAATTTTCTTATTTGCGTTTGGAATAACGTGGTACGCGGCGGTCTATCCACCTAAACCATTGTCGCGGGGCTGGTACGACGCCTACGGCTTCGGCGTGCGGCCCTGCTGCCACCAGGCCTGGTTCTGCGACGTGGAGCCGACGGCCGCGCTGACCTGCGAGTTCCGCGAAAGCGACGCGACGTGGGCCCTGGCGTCGCGGGGGGAGGTGCTCGGGGGCTGCGGCGCGCTCGCGGCGGCCCTTGTTGGTGCGAACGCGACGGCGAATGTCACGGTGTAGTAGTCATCTGTTGTAACTTTTTAAGCACGTTTCCGTCGTTCGTTCCTCCGAACTTCCTCGTGTCGCGGCGACGGCGTGCTGGGGTAGTTGTCGCGAATACCTCTACCCGTGGACGCCGAGTACTTCTACCCCACGAAAACGCCATCGACGCGACGCGTTCGGCGTTCAGACTCTCAGCACGGAGGGCTAGTACGTCTTACTAGCAAAATGGACCAGGTTGCATCCAGAGCATCGTGAGAGCGCAGCAGAAGCGTCAGTCCGCTGCGTTTTGATCCAATGAGTGCGCAAGTCATGGGCTGTGCACCAGTGGAGGGGCAGCCCGCATCTCCCCCAACGTCTCCCGGGAGGCTGCGCGCTCGGCTTCGCGCCGCCCAGGCCGCCGCGCGAGATGTGACGGCAGCTGCGGCCGAGTCGTCGGCGCGGATAGGAAAGAGGGTCCGCGAGGACAACGTTGCCGCCGAGCCCGCTCCGTCGACGGAGCGCGGCAAGCGCCCGGCGACGAACCGTCGACGGAGAGCATCAAGCGACGGCGACGACGAGCGACGCCGACGACTGAGTAGCGCGGACTACAGCGAGGACGTGGAGGAGGTCGACGAGCGGATCGACTACGTCGAGGACGTCGAGGACGAGGACGAGGACGACAAGACTCCACGACGGAAGCGCCGACCAGCCCGGCGCGAAACCGGCGACGCGTCGGCGCTCGACTCGAAGACGAGCCTAGCGAATCGCTTTTCGAGGATAAAGTACTAGGCTGTTAGAACGGGGTCCGCGGCCCAGGGCGTCCCGCGGAGCGCCTCGCGGACCTCGTCGAGGTTCTCCACGTACTCGCTAAGCGGCTTCCGCATGGACCGAGCGTAGAGGTCCGGCCGCGTCTCGTGCGGTTCGACGCCCAGGAAGGCGTAGATCCGCGAGACGACGCCGACGGGGTCGCGCCGCAGCTCGTCATGAATTTTGTAATTGCTTTTATTCCGGCCCATTCCTTCGGCAAGTCAATGCGTCTCGATGATCGGGAGACGAAATATGGCCCAGACAGAAGCTCAGTGCACGTCGGCGCCGCTCACCTCGCTCAAGAGCACTCGACCAAAAGCAGTGAAGCTAGCGTCCTGTAACACACTAGGAAGCGGGCTGAGTGGGCTGGGGCTGAACGCATGCATGGAGTGAGTGCACCAGCAGCATGGCTCGGCATCGCTTTACTGGAGCACTGATGCTAATGCTTGCCAACGCATTCTTGCACCCTCCCAGGCCGACGCTCAAGCCACACGCCATCGATGCTGCGAGAAGACGAGTGAGCCTGACGGCTGCACCGAACAGCAACGAAATCGACGTGCAGCGAACGCTCGCGACGCTCATCGCCGCGCAAGTGATTCTTTTTGTTGGCGTCGGCGCGGTCATCCCGGTGGTCGCCATCTACGGCCGCGAGACGCTGGGGCTATCGGCGGCCGCGAGCGGCGTCGTCGTCTCCGCACCGGCCCTCGCGCTGCTGCTCGGCGCTAAAATTGGAGGCGCCTACGCGGACAAGGCGCGAAAGCCGGCACTTATTGGAGGCATGCTGTTCATCGCGCTCAGCGACGCCGGCACCGCGCTCGCGTCGTCGCTGGCGCCTTTGGTGATTGCGCGACTCGGCCTCGGCGCCGGCCGCTGCGTCTCGGAATCGGCCGAGCGGGGCCTCCTCGCGGATCTTGGAAATGTCGCGCCGGACCTCCGCGGCCGCGCGATCGCGGCGAACCAGGCGGCCGCCGCGGCGGGCATCGCCCTGGGCGCGCCGCTCGGCGGCCTTTTATCAGAAACCTACGGACCGCGGGCCTGCTTCCTGGCGGTGACGGGCGCCGCGCTCGTCACGGCTTGTTGTTATACGCTGCTGCCCGAGACGGCGACCGCCGCCCGCATTGATGATGACGACAGCGTCGACTGGCTCCTGCTCCTGAAAGATGGAAGATGGCGCGGCCTCACGGCGGCGGAGGTTTGTTCGCGGTTTGGCTTCGCGGCGAAGATCGCCAGCGTGCCCCTGGTGGCCGCGCAGGTGCTGCCCGGCGGGGCAGCCGGCGCGGGAGCGCTCGTGTCGCTGGCGGGGATTGGTGGCTTGGTCGGGGCGCCGGTGGGGGGCTTTGGCGTCGACCGCGTCGGCGCGCGGGCGACGGCTGTTGTTTCGGGGCTGGTGGGCGGCACCGCGTTGAGCGCGGTCCCTGCGGCGCTATCAATAGAGGATCCGGCAGTGCCTTTCTCCGCACTCATCATCCTCTGGTCTACGGCCGTCGCCGCCCAAGCCCCGGCGCTCCAGGCTCTGGCGCAACGCCTCGCGCCGCCGGGCGGCGAGGCCGAGGCGCTGGCTTTGCCGCGCGCGGCCGGCGACGGCGTCTACATCGTCGTGCCGTATCTGCTAGGGCTCGTCGTCGACGCGGGCGCGCCGCGGGGCGCCGACGTAGCCCTCGCTGGTGTCGCCGGCGTCCTGGGCGCGGTGGCGGTTTTCGTGGCGCTGCCGTCGTCGCCGCGCGACGAAGAGAAAGTCGGATAGAGTTGTGTGGCTAAGATTTTTTGTTGTTTGCTAGTGTCTTACTGGCGCTAGCTGCGGGTCGAGTGCTTTGCTATGATTGAGCGAGGCGAGCGGCACCGACACGCGCTGAGCGACTGTCTGCGCACTAGTTCGCCACCTCATCGAGGACGCACACTCTTTGGAACCGAGGAATGGGTCGGAGCAAAAATAAAATATTCACTGACTAGTGCGCGACGACGACGTCGGGCTTGAGGTGGCAGCAGCCTACACGGATCAGCCGGCGCTGGACCTGGGGGCGGCCCGACTGCTCGTCGAGGACGGCGTCGAGGTCGACGCCCTCCCCACGAACTACAACTTTAAGATCGCCCCGTGCGACCCGCACCACGACGCGCGGCGCCAGGCGATCGGCGCGGCCCATCTGGTGCGCGGGCCCGTGCGGCTCATCCACCATAAAAACCTCAAGCACCCGCACTCGCTCTGCAAACTCGTCAACGCACAGCAGCAGTACAGCAGCAATGCCGCCGCGTCGGCGACGCGCGTCGTCGTCGGCGCGACGGCGTGCGCCATGCACGACGTCAATGAAATTCGAGTGCATGAGATAAGCGACGGGAGCCCGTGGCTCGCCGGCGATTAAGTATGGGGCAAAAGTTAGTCAAGGGAAGGCTCAGGCCTCGTCCCCGAACTCGTCGTCGTGCGCCGCGTCGGCGTGAAAGTACCAGAGCGCGCCCTGGGCCGTCGCGACGAGGCCGAGCGTCACCGACGCGGCGGCCTCGACGCGCGCCGGCGCCGCGTCCAACTGTAGAGACGCCTTGGGCGTGAGCAGCACCTGGCCGAGTTTGTCGTCGACGACCATGGCCCAGATCCGGACCGAATCGGCGTAGGCCACGAGCAGGTCCGTCGGGCCGCATTTTATAGAAGCCGCGCCGCCGCCCACGCTTACTACTTCGTAGCACGGGTCCGCGGCGCCGCGGTGGAACGACACGGCGCCGTTTTTATCAAGCGCGACCACGGCGTCGCGCCACGTCGCGATGGACACCGCGTCGGCGACCGCGACGAGCAGCGTCTCCTCGAGCGCGCCGTCCTCGACCTCAAAGACGCAGGCGCTGCCGTCCTGCAGGCGCGCCGCGCAGGCCGGTCTGTCGTGGGCGAACGCCGCGAGCTCGATAATCTGCCGCGTCTCCGGTGCTGTTGAGGTCGTACCCCCCTCCTCTATGTTGTATGCCGCGACTTTATCACCGTGGGCCGAGAAGATATTAGTAGCGTTGAGGGCCAGCGCCGTGCAGGGCTCGTCCATCGCACCGCACTCGACTGACGCCCAGCCCCCCTCCTCATGCGACCAGCACCGCACGCCATCGGCGAAGCCGAACGCGACGAGCTCTTTGTAAGAAACGCAGCACAAGGCCGACGCCGTGTCCAGGGACACGGGTTCACTGGATGCGTCTCCCGCGACGCGCGCCACGACTCCGTTCGGCGCCGCCTCGACAATGGAGTCCGCACAACGGCACCAGACGGCCCCCGCGACGACGTCCAATTTCATGGAACAGCCCCTATGCTCCGGTAAGTAAGCGGAGACGGCGGGGTCCCCCATGTCGTCCCAGCCGAGCTGCGTCTGGTCCTTGCAGAACGCGTCGTCCGTCCCGAGAGCCATTGGAGAAGATTTCGGTGAAGGTAGGACTTCGCCCCGCCGCTCCCAGTGCCACACGCGTAAATTCCCCGTCGCGTCGCAGGTCACTAACCTATCTGAGGGTGTAAACGCGCACCGTCTGATCGAGGATGCATGGTCGTCGAGGCGACACGTGAGATCGGCGCAGGCGCCCTTCTGAATCGCGCGCAAGTGGACGATGCGGTCGTCCTTGGCATCCAACCCGCAGAGCACTTCACCTGTATGAGATACCTGGGACACTTTGCGACCCGGCACGAGCGGCTCGGACGCGTCATATACGGTTCGGGCCGCGTAGACGCGTTGTAAAACAACATCCGATACCGTCGCCTTGCCCGACGACGACTTACCGGCCGGCTGGTCCCCCGAGATGCCCTTCAATCCTAGTGAGGCCTTGGACAGATCACACCTACAAACGGAGCCGTCCTCCTCGACCGCGTGGAGGGTCATATTCTGCCAGTACAGATCCACCAGGGGCTTGAGGGGCCACCTTGCTGCCTCTTTCACATCTAGTGTGAGTGGTGACTTTCTGAGAGATGCGGCGTCGAAGAGACAGACTCGATCCGGCGCGCGACTCGTGACGCATGCTACCACGGAATGTTCCGGTGACGTCGCCAGAGTTAGATGCTCGTCTCCGCCAGACGGGCCCCAGGCGTGCTGCGGCAGGTTCGCATCCACATGAACCACGGCCACAACTGAAAAGTTTTGCTGCGCGTCGTACAGACATAAATGACCATCTCTAGAAGCGGAGTACAAGTGGCGCTTCGACCGAAACTGTAGTGATGAAACGGCGGCTTTGTGCTGGCGCATGTCGAATAACGTTTCGGTCTTGTCCAGATCGAACACTCTTACCGATCCGGAAGCAAAGCCCACGGCCACGTCGTCAGACTCCGGTCGCCAGGCCAATACTAAAGCTCTATCATCAGGGGAGGCCAGCTCGGACCTTTGTAATCCTGTTGTCTCGTCCCACACCCTTACAGTAGCATCAGCACCACACGTGGCAAATTTGCCGGACGTACAAGCGATGTCTAGGATAGCGCCCGTGTGGGCTCTCACGAGAGTACCGTACTTGTGGGACGCCACGTCTAAGACACCGAGAGCGCCTCTAGACGTCCCGCAGGCCACCCTCAATCCATCCGGCGCGACAGAAATGGACACAACTGGAGCATCATGTTTGGCCTCCATGAGGAAGTCCGCGAAGCCCGGCGGCCACAGTCGCACATACCCATCGTCCGCTGCTGTTACCACATAACCGGGTGTGGCAGCTACTCCACGTATGGGACCGTCATGGAGCTTCAGAACACACAACAGACTTCGTTGAGCATAGGACACTTGTAAGACGTGGCCCGACGCCGCCGCCACGAAGACGACTTTGTCGCCCCGTTCGGACTTTGTAGCTAAAGCTTCGGCGACGTCCTGGCCGTCGCGCGCGCCGTAGACCGGCTCGAAGCACAACGCCGTGAACTTGGCATCTCTAGCGTATTCATGGAGTAAAGCGGGGCAGCCCGGCAGGTGGCCGTGTCGTAACCGCCAGAACCTGACATTTTCCCTTCCGCAGCTCACCAATCGGTCCGACTCGTAGGGGCTCCATGCTATCGCTGAAACGTCAAAGTCCGAGAGCTGCCTCGCGATAATCGCCGTACTGACGTCCTTACGTCTCTTTTTTTGTATGAGCTTCGCGACGTCGAAAATCACCAATTGAGCTCGAGCCTGCGCGTCCAGACCCACCGAACACAACCGCCCGCCGTCGTGCGAGAAGGCCAGACAAGTGACAGCTCTAGCGTGCGGCGCGAAGTCCGTGATGTACTCGTCCTCCCGCGGTCCCGGCTTCCAGAGGGCCACCCTACATTTTTCATCTTTTGATTGCGCCGTCGCCAGGATGTTATTGGAGGCAGCGACTAATGTAATCGCCTCGGTGTGGCACCTCGCCGTACACAACTCATTTAATTGGAGAGGCTTGGAGATGGGATTTCCTGACGAAGCGTCGACGGAGGCCAGGGACCTTCCGGAAGCGTAGACGCACCTCGTGGGCGAGGCCCAGGCCACGGCTCGAGCGTAGCCGAGGCGGCACTGTAATGACGCGCGCACCGAAGCGTTCCTGAGGACCTTCGGGGCGTAGGGCGGGGGCGCGCGCTTCGGCGTCGGCTCTTCGACGACAATAGGCTCCTCGTCACCTTCGTCCTTCTCCGGGAACCTCAGAAACTCGACGGGCGTCCTTGTTTTTAAACGCATGTCCACGGGGCAATCTACTTCTGTGAACTCCTTCTGCGACGTCCAGACACCCTTTACTTTCACGTCGCCTCCGATCGTAATTTTGCGGACCGTGATGGGACTCTGATTATCCGTCTTGTGGAACAAGTCGCAGCAGCCCTGGAGGTCGACGACCGACGTCGTCCATCGGGAATGCTCCGCGAGCGGGGCCCTTAACGCGCCTCCCGCGACCTTGTACGTGTCTTGCGGGGTGTTGGAACTCAATGAGACCCGACACGAGTCCTGCGTTTTTCTTCTGGTGAGTTCGATTTCGATGGAGCAGGGTTTGGACGGTGATGCCCTTGCATACTGGACGTAGACAAATCTAGCTTTCAGTCCGAGCTCGCCCTTCTTCGGGAGTATGAGTGTACTGCGAGCCGTAGAACCACCGAGCGTCAGCACGATCTTCTTCAATTGGGGGTCCAAGCCCCGAGCAACGTCGCCCTTCCGCCCGACGCCGTCCCACGAACCAAGGGCACCCAACCGATTGAAGACGTCGACCAGGGGCTGCAAGGACGCGGCGGCGGGGGACCTGGGCGCGGGCTTGCGGCTCCGCGCCGGCTTCTGGTTCACGTCGACAAGGGGCATTTTTTTTTGTGCGGCGCCTGCTCTGTGTGACCGCTGGTTGCTGCCTTAATGTATGAATCCCGGCGCCTCGGGGAGCCGTGCTGCCCCGCGCCGCGCAATACGATGTAGGCACGCTGCCGATGTATAAATGCGGCGACGGCAGCCGTATTTATGCGTATATTATCGGCAATTCGGCACCTCGTTTTCAAAACACCCAGGTTTTTTGCCCCGCACGAACGAGCCGACGCGGGCGGAGGAGGGGTAGTACCCCAAGCGACTCGAGGTCCGCACCATGGATAATAAGGATACACGTGTTACTACAGAACGGAGCGCGCGAAAGCTCACGGCGCGCCGCCGCCGCCGCGCAGCTGGAGCACCATGTGGATCGTGCCGCCGGCCTGGATGTTGTAGAACTCGAGCGGCTTGTCGTCCGCGAGCTGCTTGCCCGAGTAGATCAGGCGGATCTGGTCGACCTGGATGCCTTCCTTTTCCTGGAGCTGCCGCTTGATCTGCAACACCTCGTCGGTGGGCTCGAAGGTCATGGCCTGCTTGCGGCCCGTCAGCGTCTTGATGAAGATCTGCGCGCGCGGGCGGCGTGAGGCGGCGAGGCGGCGCGCGGCGGCGTGAGACGGCGAGGCGGTGCGCGTACCGCGTCTCTCTCACGCGCGCGTTCTCACGCGTTTGCGCGTCGTGCGCTCGATGCACGGTTAAGCTGCAGGTCTGCGCGCTGTCCTACAGCTCTTGCCACGACGCGCGCGCTGCGATTTGGCGCTTGACTCGCTACGCTGCTGGTCACCTGCATGCCGCCACGGAGCCGAGGCCGCTTTGCTGCCCTCTCAGTGGCCATTTGAGAGCCTAGCGACGACTGATTATAGCCGAGGAGTGGTGTGGGCCGAGGGTCTCGACTCAAAATCGAGGACGCCGGCGCTTTGACTAGTATGTCTTTGAGCTAGTAATCATGTGGCTACACGTCCGTGCCGTCGAGGGAAGGCCTCCACGAACTCAGGCAGCCCCATGGACGCGTCCTCTGTGTCGTGTCTCCGTAACGACTCCTTGCACAGCGGCGCTCTCCGAGACAATCACTCTCTCGCGCGGCCCAGAGGCAAGCGCACGGGGGGCACGACTCAGGCCAGCACAAACGCAACGCATTACGCATCGCCGCGGCAAGGGGCAGCGAACGGGCGCTGTCGTGTGACACGGCCAGCAGCACGTACAACGCACATATACGACACCGCCCGGGGCAGCCATCATGACGACCGCCCGCCCCTCGCGCGACTTCCGCTGGACTTGTAGGAGGAAGCCCTGGCCCCAGGTCGAGGAGCTGCCGCGGCCCCACAAGGGCCCGAAACCGTACAAGGGCGACGAGGCCATCCACTACTCGGACCGCCTGAACTCGACGTACCAGCAGCGCCAGTTCACGCGCGTCGTCATGGACAAGCACCATAAATTAATAAGGGAGGCGGTCACGCGCATGCACGAGGAAACCCACCTGTCGAAGCACCAGTACCGGGTCATGGACTACTACGACAAACAGCGGCAGATCCGCGACGCGACGGATACCCATGTACCGCGCACCATGAAGACGGGCATGTCGGCCATCGCGCTGCACGGCTGGCAGGCGGGGCTCGAGGCGCACTACCAGCGGAAGGCCCAGGCCGTGCCGACGCTCAACCCGTGGATCGACAAGCACCTCCAATTCAAGCGGGACTACTGCAACAAGCGGCGGGCGCGCGCCAAGGCCGTGGACAAGCCGCCCCCGAAGCCCCCTCGCATCAAAAAGAAGAGCGTCGACCAGCTCCACGCGGAGATCATGGCGGGCTGGGAGGCCGTGCCGGGCGGGCGCGCCGCGCCGCGGTCGCCGCGCCTCCACGACCCGGCGCCGCGCCGGCCGACCTCTGCCCCGGCGCGGCGCAGGGCTGCGCGAGAAGCTGCTCGCGCGGCGGCGCCGTTCCCCGCGATCGACGACGCCTTCGCGGAGGCGATGCGCGCCCGCGACGCCGCCTCGTTCCTCGACCCCACGTGCTCGCCGCAAGCGCTGAGGCGCGCCCTTGGCAAAAATGTAAAATATCCGTAATGAGAGACAACAAGGTTAACCAGAAGAAATCGCCCGCCGCACGAGCGCCGCGCACGACCCGCGCGCGCCGTAGTAGCACGCGAAGTCCGCCTCGTAGAGGGCGCACGCCGTCGCGAGGATGCGCCGCGCGACGGGGAGGCTCGCCGCCGCCCCGACGAGCTCCGCGCGCGCCACGGCCCACGGCTCCGCGCGCGGCCGGGCGCCGTGCGCGTAGATGAAGTCGTGGAGCGTGTGCAGGGAGCAGGGCCCGAGCGCCCTGTTGAACCGCACGTACTCGCGCGCGCACTGGACGCCGCCGGTCTCCGGCAAATTCTTCCGGCCGCCGTCGACGGGCACGCGCCTTTGTTTACAGAAGGCCCGGACCTTGTCGAAGCACGCCGCCGGCGATGCTTCTTTCCTGTGTTCGGTCTGCGGCCTGAGGCTCTCGTCGAAGAAGCCCCTCGCAGCAATATCATCAACAAAGGCCGCCAGCCGCGCGAGCTTGTGCTCGAGGCCGAAGTCGTGCACGTCGGTGGCCTCGTGACGAGCATGATCATCAATTTGGTGCCACACGAAGCAGTGCCGCTCGGGGAAGCGCAGGTCCAGGGTGTCGACGTCGGCGTCGCGCCAGCCGAGGAGGTACTGGGCGTCGTACGTCTGATGAGCTCGTAGTAAGCGCTTAATGGGGTCCTCAACATTTGAAACGCAGGCGTGTTTCTGAAGCGCGGCGACGGGGAGCGCCGGCCTCGTCGTGGAGATTGGTGGTGGGTACGGCTCCGGCACCACCGCTTTGCCGAGCGCGACGCGGCACAGGTCCGGGGGCTCGAAGGAGAAGCAGGCGTAGTCGACGGCGACCAGGCGGCAGATGCGCCGCACGGCCGCGCGCGCGAGCGCCCAGTCCGGATCCGCAGAATCCGTCGCCGCCTGTACGAGCGTCCGCGCCCAGCCCCGGCCGGCCGTCGCCATCGCCGTGCCCACGCGCATCGGTTTTCCTAATACGGAAGGCAGCTTCGCGTCCAGCTCGTCCGTCTTCACCAATGATACGCTGTCCATGGACACGCCCGCCCGCGCGAGCGCCGCGAAGTAGGGCGCCATGGGGTACAGGTGATCATCAAAGAAGCCGCACCGCTCGACGTCAGAAACGAAGCGCAGGAGCCGCCGGATCTGCCGCGTCCGGCGCCGCGCGGCCGCCGCGGCGGGCACTTTGCGCTTCGCGAGGACATATCCCGATTTCATCTGCGGGTTGCCCGCGCAGTCGTCGCGCGTCCATTTGAGGACGCATTGCCCCTTAAAAAAGTGCTTCGGGACCCAGCCCAATTCATAAAACGTCTCGACCTGGCGGTAGCCGCTCGCGAAGCGCTCGATCGGGTCCCGCACGGACGCCACTATATTAGAACCCAAGTAATCCGCGGGGCGCCGGACGCGCTTTGCAGTTGGCCCGGCGAAGCGCTGCATCGTCGTCGAGCCCGTCTTGCGCATCAGCGGCCCGAGCGTCGCGTTGCCGACCCTTCTCCCGTCGAAGAGTAACTTTAAATTCTGGAGTTGTTGGTATTTCGCGACGTCCTTCGCGACGTCGCAGGTGAAATGAACTTGTGCATTTGCGCAGGCTAGGAGCAGGAATGCCCTCATTTTGCTTGTTGGGCCAATCTTATGCCATCGGCGAGGTAGAAGCCGGTGCCGATCACGAAGCATATGCTGCCGAGCATGTAGAAGATGCAGCCCCAGATGTATGTTGTGAGTGGCATCGTGCACGCTTGGCTCAGAGGCTGCCCCAGGCCATTTTAATTGTTTTTAAGTGGCTTTATGCTAGCTGATTATGCTGACGGCTGAAATCAACCGGAGAGCATTGGTGAAGGCAGCTCTCTTTGCATACACCAACGCGTGGAAGTAGTCCCAGCTGCTGACGCCTCTCGCATCCAACTGGACTGCATTGGTGAAGACAGCTCTATTTTGCACACACCAACACCAAGGAGCAATCAACTTTGCACACGTGCACGCTGCCGACGCTGCCGACAGCATTGCACCATGATGCGCATCTTGCTGGCAGCACTGCTGCTCCACACAACTCAAAGTCTAGCACCGCCGGCGCAAGCCTTGAGGACCCTCGCGAAGACGAGCGGCGACGACGTCCGCGGCATCACCTCCCCCGAAGCGGAGAACGCGTTGCTACCGGAGAGCGCGTATTTTGTGGGATTGGGGTTCCGCGCGTGGCTCGGCGACGAGCAGACGCCCATTTTTGTGGGGAGGGACCCGCGCGCGTCGTCCGATGAAATCGGTGAGGCGTTCTGCCGCGGCGCGTCTGCTTTAGATGCGGGCCCGGCCACGACGCCGGCCATGCTCGAGAGTTTGCTACGGGGCGGCTCCAAGGCCTGCGGCGCGTGCATGGTCACCGCCTCGCACCTCCCGAAAGAGTGGAACGGGCTCAAGCTCTTCTCGGCCAAGGAGCAGCGCGGATTGAACAAGAAAGAAGTGAAGGAGGTCCTGGGCCTGGCGGCGGACCTCGCGGACATGATGCAGCCTGTTGAGGGTGACATCGCGAGTGCCGAGCTGTGTGGAAATCAACCAGTGCGTCGGGTGCGGAACCGGCATCGAGCAGGCGTCGCGTCGATGGCGTGAAATTTCGATTTCCACACAGGTGCTGAGGCCGGTTTCATGGACGACTACGTCGAGAAGCTGCGACAAACCATCATCGAAACGTCGGGGATCTCGACAACACCGTTGAAAGGACTGAAGGTCTGCGTCAACCCGGGCAACGGCGCGGGCGGCTTCTTCGCTACTAGTGTATTAGCGCCGCTCGGCGCCGACGTGTCGTCTTCTATCAATTTGGAGCCGGACGGCGCCTTCCCGAACCACCCGGCGAACCCCGAGGACAAGAAGCATGTTCAGGCGACGATCGACGCCGTGGCGGCATCGGGCGCGGACGTCGGCGTCATGCTGGATTGTGATGTGGACCGGTGCGGCTTGATCGACGGGACCACTCCAAAGCCGGAACCGGTCAACCGGAACCGATTGGTCGCGTTGGCGGCGCAGGTGGCGCTCGAGGATGGTAATGGGGTCATCGTGACCGATCCTGTGACCTCCGGGGGCATGACGCAATTCATTGAGGAGCGGGGCGGTACGCACGATCGGTTCAAGATGGGCTATCGGAACGTGATTGATCGGGCGGCGGAAACTAAACCGGAGCCTGCGTTGTTGGCTATTGAAACAAGTGGACATAGCGCGTGGCGGTCGAATAATTTTGTGGACGACGGCTGCTACACGGCGGCGAAGCTGCTTGGGAGGTTGGCAAAAGCTAGGGTTGCGAATCCTAGTTGTGGGTTGTTGGACTTGCTCGGTGGTTCATTAAAGGAGCCGGCGGAGTCGATCAAGGTCAAGATGCCCGTCTCAAGTCTGGAGAAGGTGCCCGAGGCTGAAATCAAACTGTGCGACGCGCTGAAGGCGTGTGAGACCGCGACTGCGTCTTGGCGAATGGAGCCGGTCAACCACGACGGCCTCCGCTGTTCAGTGGGCGACGGCGACTGGCTCATCGCGCGCGCGTCGCTCCACGAGCCCGTCGTGTCCTTGCAGATGGAGGCCGACGACGCGGGCGGGACGGCGGCGATCTGCGCGGCGGTGCTGCCCTACCTCCAGCCTTTTGAGGAGGACATCGATCTGGCGGAGCTCGAGGCCGTCGCTAAGTCTAACTAGTATTACTCGCACTGGCCGCAGTCCGCGATGACGACTTTTGCCGCAGTCTTCCCCGACGACGACCCTACACTTTCGATCGCCTTGACGACGCCGTAGCCCTCGACGACCTGGCCAAACACCACATGCTTCCCATCCAGCCACGACGTCAGCGCCGTGCACAGGAAGAACTGCGAGCCGTTCGTGCCCGGGCCCGCGTTGGCCATCGAGAGGATGCCGGGGCCGTCGTGGCGGAGTTTAAAGTTCTCGTCGGCAAATTTTGCTCCATAAATAGACTTGCCTCCCGTGCCGTTGTGATTCGTAAAATCACCGCCCTGGCACATGAACTTCGGAATCACGCGGTGGAACGACGAGCCCTTGTAGCCGAAGCCCTTCTCGCCGGTGCACAGCGCCCGGAAGTTTTCTGCCGTCTTCGGCGCTACCTGCGTCGCGTCGATGGCGTGGTGGGCATGATTCAGGCCGTGGGCGAGAATCGCGGCGAGATTGATTTGTGCACTGAGCTTACATCTGCCTTCAATTCCATGACTATGCGCCCAATCTGAGCACTACCGATCATCATGTCGAAAAAGACCTTGGGGTTGGCTGGATTAACTTTGAGTGGCGGCGTGTAGCTGCACTCTACGGGTCCCGTGGGCAGCTCGGCGCTGGCGAATGTGTTGCCCATGGTCTGTAATGTGTCTGCTTTGAACTCAGTGATCTATGGGCTCGCCAGCGCAGTTTTTATGCCTGGCAAAACTCGACGCTCTCCGTGCTCGCTAGTGTGTTACAGGACGCTATCAAATTAAACTAACTTAACCCTCCACCGTCGCCTCGTCGTCGTCGTCCGAGGACGCGTCGAGCGTCTGGATGAGGCTCAGGTCCGCGGCGAACGTGGAAGACTGCCGCGCGGGCGGCGCGGGCGGCGGCCGCGCCGCCGCTGCCGATCGCAGGTTCGCCAGGAAGGGCGCCAGGGTCACACAACAGCCCTCGAGGTCCAGGCCCGCGAGCCAGGGGCCGCCCAATAATAAATCGGGCAGCGCCCGGTCCTCGGCGCGCCGCCGCAAACAAGCCTCGGCGAAGTCGACACAATCAGTTGAGACGTCGACGCCCGCGAGCTTCTCCGCCACAAAATCCCGCGCGAGCCGCTCGCAAGCGCCGTTCAAGTCGAGCGGCGTGCAGGACGGCGGGAAGACGGCGTCGCCCCGCAGCAATTCCAAGAGCACCATGCCGGCTGCCCAGACGTCTGACTCAAAACTGTAGGCGTCTCCTCGCAACCGCTCGGGCGCCATATACCTAAACGTGCCGACCATGGTCTTCGCCGACTCCTCCTCGTCGGTGAGAGCCTTGCTGATGCCAAAGTCCGACAGACGCGCCTCGCCCCGACTACTGAGCAATATGTTGCCCGGCTTGACGTCGCGGTGTAGCCGGCGCTCGAAGTGCAAATAGCCGAGGCCCCAGCAGCACTGGTATAAGATGGAGGCGGCCACCTTCTCGGGCAGAGGCGCTCGCCGCTGTTGGATCAAGCCTTCGACGCTACCAGCATCCATGTAGTCCAGCACGACGCCGACCTTGCCAGTGGCCCCATCCAGATAAGCACCGTGGAACTGCACGAGCGCCGCGCAGTCCAGACTAAATAATGTACGGATCTCCTCGACGAGCTGCCTCCTTTTGGCGTCGTCGAAAATAGCAAAGAGCTTCACGGCGTACCTTTGATTCGTAGCCGTGTGGCGCGCGAGGCGCACGACGGAGCACGCGCCCGCGCCCAGCGCGCCCGGCTCAAATCTCAGATCGTCTCGTTTGATGGCGCCGTGCTGCTCGCCATCGACCGTTAGACCGCGCGTCTTCGAGATCTGCACGCCCCCGGAGACCATCGTGGCGCCGAGCTCTTGCGTGTTCTCGGGCTCGGCGGGCGCCATGTCGATGCCGGACAGGCGCCGCGGCCGGGGGAGCACCATTTTGACTGTTGGCTTCTAGGGCTGCTCCCTCTGCTCTAAGACGTTTCGTTCGCGGTGCCGGGCGCCGCGGGATCCCAGGAGATGCTCCCAGGGCTGCTACAGCTTGGGAGTGCACGACTCCGTGGCTTAAGCCTCCGGCTGCCGCTTGCTGTGTTGGTTGGCCGGGCTAAGCTTAGTTTGGTTGGCCGGGCTGCCGCCGCGCCACCATGCTGCGGTGTCCTCTCGTGAAAGCTTCGGGCTTGGATTGCTAGTGTCTTTACAGGCCCGCTAGCTCTCGCAGATCTCAAGACGCCAACATCGGCCACGAGCCGTACTTAGACCTCATCTGAATTCACCAAACGTCTACCAGCATGCTCTTCGCTCTCGGGACTTGGGCGCGGATACGCAAGCACTACGCAAGCGCCTTGAGCAATCTTGAGCAGGCTACTAGTAGGGTCACTCCTCCTTATCCTAACCCGTACGGCGAATGCGGGTAGGACACGGTCAGCGCGTGGTACGCGGCGAGCCCCGTGTCGAGGTCCTCGGCGACGGTCCTATCTGAATTCGGGTACACGTCCGGAATTTTGCGGTGGATGTCGGGCACGAAGACCTCGAAGTAGTCCGTCACCTCGTGACGCTGGTCGTAGCCCCCGAAGCGGAAGAGGCGGTCGTCGCGGCCCGTCTCCGCCAACCGCGCGGCATGGTTTGATACGAAGCGGTCGTCGTTGCCCGTCGCTGATGATGAAGCGCCGTACCGCGCGTGCCGCGCCGGCCGCGTCTGGTAGGTGACGTCCTCCCAAATGCCCTCCCCCACTTTTAAAGCAGCGTGCTGGTCCACAGCTTTTCCGTCGGCGTCGAGGCCCGCTATTATGTACACCACTCCTTCCCGGGGCGAGTGCAGCTCGTGCGCGCAGCGCGCGGCGCCCTCGCGGTCCTCGCCCATCGCCAGCTTTGCTCCTTTTTCCGCCAGGCGCGTCCAGTTTAACGAAGGCACCGTGGACGCCAATTGTGCGACGTTGACCATCCAGGTATCTTCTGAAAGCGCCATCGCCGCTTGTCGATGAGACACGCCGGCGTCGACGGCTCTTGAGGATCCGCCGAAGACGTAGAGCACGTCATCCACAAAACCGCCGTACGCCGGGCGCGTACTTTGTGCGTAGGACGCCGCGAAGGGCGCGTGGCCGCGCGGCGCGGGCAAGCGGCCGTACAATGGAGGAGGCGCGGCGCGCCACGCGCGTGACGTCGTGTTGAAGAGGTGGAGGTCGTTGCGCGCCGCGCCGTCGCCGTCGAAGCCGCCAAACAGCACCAGCAAGTCGCCGTACGCGGCCATGGCGGCGCCGAAGCGCGGCGCCGGCTTCGCGCCCGCGGCCGCGACGTGGCCCGACCACGTGGCGCTCTCGTCGTCATAAAAGTGGAGGTCGCCGAGCGTTCTGTTGCTGTTGGCGAGAGCGTGCCGCGCCGTGCCCAGGACGTCGTTCTCCACACCTGACGCGTCGCCAATACCACCGTAGATCCACAGTTGTGTACCGACGACTGCGCTCCCGACGTGCGCCCTAGGTGATGGTCTTATACCAAGGGCGTCGAAGGGCGCGCCATCACGACAGCAGCTCGTCCTCTTCAATTCGCCGCTCCAGCCGCCCCTTTGTTGGTCGTAAAAGTGCAGATCATTTAAAAGTAGCGGGCCGCCGTCCGTCACATCTTTTCCGACACCACCAAACACGAAGAACTTGTCCTCAATTATTCCAGTAGCGTGAAACGCCCGCGCGCGGGGCCTCGGTCTATCGGGAGAGGCGTCGAAGCCGTGGCCCAGCCGCCGCGACGTTAATCTTACCGCTTCAATATCGTGCTCGCCCCAGTTCAGGGCGTTCATGGCCTCCTGGCCCACGTCGCCGGGCGCGCCGAAGCCGCCCAGCCGCGGGTCCTCGGGCGGCGTGGCCTCGATGTCCTTGTCCCGGAGCTTGTAGAAATACTCTCCCGGAGTCTGTCCGTCGACCGCTGCCCAGGCCGCGCAGAGGAGGGCTGCCCGCATCTTCCTGTGGCCGCTGTGCTGCCCAGAGACGTTGCAGCGCTGAAGCTGTCGAGCTCGAGGCCGCTGGGGCGTCTGGGGTGCCAGGGCCCGCCGTCAATGCTGCAGCCCGGACCGTAGATAAGCACAGTAGCACAGCGCAGCGGACCGGAGTCTGGAGAGCTTGCTAGTGTCTTACAACCGCTAGCAAAGATGGATCGGTCGCCGCACGGAAAAACGCAAAAAAAACGAGCACACCTCTCTATGAACACTATTAATTATCTCGCCGATCCAAATAAAGCCCGAGCGCCCAGTTCACCGCCGGCTCGCGGCCCACGGCCTTCGGCGGCAGCGCGCGGAACGTCGCGTCGTCCTTGAAGACCAAATCCAGCACGCAGCCGAGCTGGACCGCGTAGATCAGCTCCCGCACCGCCGCCGCGCTCGCCTCGTCGTTCACAAGCGGCCGGTCGGCCGAGTTTTCGGTGGGGTTCAGCTGCGCCTCGAGGTCGGCACGCCGCTTCTTCAGGAGCGCGGCGAAGGCCGCCGCGGACACGTCATCGTTCATCGGCCCGCCCGCGAGGTGCAGCGCGCCGGCCGCGAGCTCCACGAGCGCGAAGCGCCCTTGATACGTTCGCACGCTTCCTTGCAGCGCGTTCGCGACGTCCTTCCGGCTCGCCCACTCGTGCATCATCGCGCCGGCCTTCGCGCCCTGTGTGGTGACCGTCGGATCGGCGCACAGGGCTCCGTCCAGTGACCGATACGCGATTCGAACGCGTAACCTTCAGGACTGGAATCTGACGCGCTACCGTTGCGCCAATCGGTCGAAGACACAAACCCAGGACGCCGCCGCGGTACGTGCTTCTTGACGCGCTCGTGGCCGGCGAACGAGTCCAGATCCAGCGACGCCGCGTCTTCGAGACTCGACGCGACCTGCAGGCTCTTGCCGCCTCCAGCTAACACTCCGACGCCCGGCAGCGCCGCGTTGACGGCCCTAAACTCGAGCCGCGCCTCCTCGGCGCCGCTCAGCACGGCGAAGGCCGTCGGGCGGCCCGCGGTACTCGCCGCGAGCGCCGCCTCGACGGCGCGGCCGGCTTTGCCGAGGTCTTTCTCGCCGCGCTTGCGCAGCGCCTCGCGCGCGCCGGCCGTGGCGGCCCCACGGACGGGCGTCGTGCTTCGGGGCGCGATCGCATCGACGGCGCGGGCGACATCCCTTGCCCAGGCGTCGACCTCGTCCGCGAGCAGGGCGTCGCCGAGTCGCCGTGGCACGCGTTCGGGCCCACCGACGACACGGACGGCGCCGTCGCATCGCCGCGTCCCTAAGCAGACGCAGCGCGTGCTGCCGGAGCCGGCGTCGACGACGACCATCCGTTTGTCCGTGCCGAGGCGGCGGCGTTGCAACGCCCATGCCGTGACGGCAGCAGCACCGAGACCAAGAGTCGACGGCGAGACTACGACCATTGTTGGAGCCGCCAAGAGCAGCACAGGCGCCAGGGTGCACGACGCGCAGCACTCGCGCGCCCTGTCTAAGCTACACTCAGCAGTGCAGAGGTACGCCGCGTCGAGCGGGAACCGTGCGGAGCGCTCTGCTGCGATGAATGCTCGCCTGTGCGCTCGCGTCTGTGACGCGTGATACCCGCGGAGGCCTAGCCGCGCGGCAAGACAGAGAAGGCTGAGCAGGCAGTGCAAAAAGCTCTCAGCAAGTTGTGGCTTGCTGAGGCGCGTAGCCGTCGTCAGCGCGTGAGCGCTCGTTTGTCAGTCTAACAATGCGTTTCGCTCGAGTGCTGCTGCTGCTGCAAGCCTGCAGCGCACTGCTGTGGCACCAGCCTCCACGCTGTCGCCGCGCCCAGCCGCCCCGCGTCGGCACGAGTCTGGACGACTTTCCGGCGGCGCGCTGCACGGATGCCTGTAAACTGCGGACGACGGGCACGTTGCCAAAATGGCTCGCGGGCGCCGTCGTCCGCAACGGTCCCGGCCGCTTCACGACTGCGAGGCAGAACTGCAGCCACCTTTTTGATGGGATGGCGCTGTTGTCGCGCTTCGAAGTGGACGGCGCCACGAATTCTGTGAAGTGGACGAGCCGCTATCTCCGGTCGCAAGCCTACGAGTACGCTTCTACCAATGGAGGACTGCTCTACAACGAGTTCGGGACGGCCGCCGGCGTGGGGCTTGCTGGGAGGGCCGTCTCGTTGATGCGCGGCGTTTTGGCCGGAGGCACCACGGACAACGCGTGCGTGTCGGTCGTGCCGACTGCCGATGGACGCGCCGTCTGCCTCTCGGAGCCGACGCGGGCTTCGTACGCCATCGATCCTAAAACCCTGGAGACGCTAGGCGCGCACTCGTATAAAGGGAGCGACCTGCCCGGGCTGCTGCACACCGCGCACCCTATCCCTTATGGAGACGGTTTTGTGAATGTGGCCACGGCCCTATTTCCCGTGCCGAAATACACGGTCTACAAATCAGATGGCAACTTCCAGCACCCTCGACGCATCTGCGACCTCGCGCCCTCCCAAAACTTTCCCGATGTCAGTTGGCACCACTCCTTTGCGGTGGGGGGCCGGTACGCGATTGTTATCGAGACCCCGTGCGTGTATAATGTGGCGGCTTTGGTGGGAGTGGCGGACGCGGCCCACATCGCCTTCGACTGGCGCGATAATGCGCCGACGACTCTTCGAGTTGTAGACATTGAAAAGGGCGAGGAGGTTACAAAGCGTACATTGCGCGAACCTTGTTTTTTCTTCCACGCGGCGAACGCGTTTGTAGAAGGCACGACGTTGCACGTCGACGTCGGCTATTACGACGACGCGTCGATGCTCAACGGCCTCGCGCTGGATCGCATGCGCGCGGCGCCGTCGACGAACGGGGCGACGCCGTCGCGGCTGACGCGTTTGTCGATTGAGCTGGGGAGCGACGCGGACGTGCGCGCGACCCGGCTCGACGGCCCGGCGGCGGGCGAGTTCTGCGAGTTTCCCGTGGTCGACCCGCGGCTGGCGGGGCGGCGCCACCGCTTCGTCTACGCGGTGGGTTTAAAACGGCCGGGCAACGTCGGGAACCTCTTGACGCGCACAGATTGCGAGACACAAGAGACCATCGCGAACGGCTTCGGCGCCGTCGTCGTCGGCGAGGCGCTCGTCGTGCCGCGGCCGGGCGTGCCTGACGACTACGTGGTCATGGTCGTGGTCCACGACGCCGCGGGCGACGCGCACCTAGTCGTCGCGTCGCCGGCGCTGGAGGAGCTCGCGCGCGCGACGCTGTCCGCGGGCGGGGTCCCGTACGGGTTCCACTCGTGTTGGATTCCTGAGGCTTGATGGGTTTGTTTCGAGTAAGTAGAATGTCGTGTGACGCGGACGAGCACGAATGCCGACCACTGCGCTTGGAGCTGTCCCAGCCTTACGGAAGGCGTCGGAAGGACGGGCAATTGATTGTCGCGCGGGAAATTTGCCGCCGGACAGCTAGATTCCCGGGTTTTTACAGGCAGGCTAACCGGGCTTGAGCCTTTTTTCAGCGCGTACGTACGTCGTACGCTTCTGTAAACGATACGCGTGACGACCACAACCAAAACCATGGCGCCTCGCGCCCTAACGCTTCTCGCGCTCGCGCTCGCGACGCAACTTAGTGTCGAGGGCTTCAGCCAGAGTGACAATAGCGCCTGGAACGCGCGCTTTGCAGAACTGCACAACGACCTCTACACCGCGCCGCTACCGGCCGCTCTCGATCAGTGCCGGAACAAGGGCAAATCCACTCTCGCCCAAGTCACGGTCGCCGGCAACAAGCTATCGTCGGAGCTCGCGGCGACCTGCGGCGCGAACACGCTCTGCATCATCGAGGGCGCCGTCGAGGTCGACCGGAACTGGAACGTCGGCGCATTGATCGTCAAGGGCTCGCTGGCGCTCTCCGGCGGCCGCTGGCTCTGGCGCGTACACGGGGTGCGACACTACCCACGCACCGAACACGCGACCTTTCCCCCGCCCCGCCCTGCGCGTTCGCTTATTAGGCGACGCCTCTTCCTCTTCCACGCCCTTTTCCTCTTTGTTTCTTCTTCTAAAAATTTTACCCTCTCAGCCAGGAACTACCAGTGCTTTTTGATCAATTGCTTGTTACGGTGCTAGGACGAGTGGGCGGAGCCCCTGCCTTTTGCTGCACGGCCACGAGCACCTCGTTGCGCCGTCGCCATGGCGGTGTGAAGGGGTCGTTGTACGCGGCGGAATATGTCTCGCCGGCCACGTCGTAGTCCTCGCTCGCGTTGATCGCCTCGACGAGCTCGGCCGATCTCCGCTCGACTTCGTCCTTCGTAGCGTAGCCTCCATAGTACGCGGCGGCCACAAGCCCGCCCTCGCCGTAGGTGAGCTCCACGTTCGACACGGGCGCCGGTGCCTTCCCAAGATCTTTCCAGTAGGCCTCCGGTAGTACGAACTCCATCTGACCTGTGTGGAATCGAGACATCGCGTCGATGGCGTGGCGAAGGTTGATTTCTACACAGGAGCTGGCCGGCGCGTGTAAAGACCGGCGTCGTCATTGCCATCTTCTCGTCGCGCTTGTTCTTCCCAAAGATATAGCCTGCCAACGCTTGGAAGGCCCCGGCACCTGACATCTTGGGTTCTCCCAGCTTGACGCCGTCGTCGGAGACGGCCCGCTGGCGCGCCGTGCGGACCACCGCGAAATCAGCGTAGCGCCGCACCTGGAACGCGCCCTGCTCCTCGACGATCTCGAATGCGGGAGTCCCAATCTTGGGCGTCCGCTCGAGCATCTCGTCGAAGGAGGCAGAAAGCCTCGCCCGCCGCCGCGCTTCCCGTTCAAGCTTCAAGACGCCGCGAGTGTTCGCGAGCTGCCTCAGCGTCGAGAGCACGACGCGCCGCTTGGAAGCGTCGTCCTCGGGCACGCCGCCGATATCCAAGACGCGGTCCAGCGCGGCGAGGTCTCGCGCCGACCAAGAAATCGGCGCGTAGCGCATCAGGGGCCGCCGCGCGAGCTTGGAAGGTGTGTCTCGGACAGTGTTCACGTAATCGAGGAATTTGTCCCTCTCTTCTCTCTCCATTTCGGTGATCAGAGTGATGGCCTCTTCCCGCGCTTTTGGTTTCGCGGAGCGGGAGAGCAAAGTGCGCAGCGGGGGCGCGAGGGCTGCGGCATTCGTAACCAGTAGTGCTGTGATTAGCAACATCGTGCGTACGCTGCTCGACGGCTCGACGCCTGCTCGACCGGTCGCGCTGGTAGCGTGCGAAACGCGTTTTGGCTGCTCGACCAGTCGCGCTGGTGGCGCGAAACGCTCAGTTTTGCAGAGAGCTAGCGTCAGTAGGGCACTAGCAAGCCAGGCACCCGCGGCGAGCTAGCCAGTAGGAGCGCGAGGTGCAGCAGCGCTGCCTTCAAGAGAGCTCCTGATAGCCTCTGTCCACTTGCACGACGCCTCAGTGCATTCCGCGACGCGTACGGGCAGTACTCACCAGCCAGCTCCAACCACTGCAACAACGTCAGCCAGCCGCGCGCGCGTCGAGAGAGGTCAAGAGCTCGGATTTGCAGACCTTTTGAAGTGGTCTAAAGATGCTCCATCGATGCGACGCGGTGCTGTTCTTCTTGATCGGTTCCGCGGCCGCCGCGGCGCCGCCGACTCAACAGCGGACGCGATGCCAAGCCGCAGCGTCACCAACTCAGCAGACGCGGCGCCAAGCGCTCCGCTACGGCGTCGGCGGGGCGGCCGCGTGGCCTCTCGCGACCGCGGCGCTGCCCTCGGACAACGCCGGCGCGCTGACGACGCTGCGACGGCGCGTGGGCCAGAAGACGCTGGCGCAGGGGAGCTACGGACTCGACGCGCCCGACGTCTACTATCCCGACTTCTTTGAAGGGACCTGGCGCGTGACGTCGAAGGCGGTCGAGGTGTCGGCACCGTGTGGAGCTCCCCTCTTCGGCGGCAACGCGTCGCTCGCCGCGGCGCGCGCGGAGCTTGAGGCGGCGCCTGTCGTCTACGAGGCGCGGTGGATTCGCGACGGCCGTGGACGCCTCATCGCCGATCGCCCTTATAACATTGGGAGCATCGCAGCCGCAACGATGGGCGGACGCGATGTGTTACAGCAGCTGCCGAGCTCCGACGCCTTCGACCCGAACGGGCTCATCTTCAAGCTCCGGCCCGAGGGTTCGGAGGTCACCTACCGCGCGGAATTGAGGGCGCTGGCGCGCCGCTTCGAGCCGTCGGCGGGCGAGCTCCGCGACTCGTCTGGCCTCCTGGTCTTCGACGCCGGCGAGCTCTCGCGGCAGTCCATTTCGCTCCCCGGCAAGGACCTCGTGCAGCCGCCGTCGGTCAAGGACATCGAGACCATCAATCTTTTTACAAGGACGAAGGACGGACGCATCACCTCCACGCAACGCACGTCGACGTGGCTGGTCGGCACGGAGGGCATCGCCGCCATGAAGGCTCAAGCTGCAGATGGTAGGGCAGTAGATGTGAGGACCTACCGCGTGGACTACGAGCGGCTCAAGTAAGTGTGTTGTAATTTACTCCTCACCACCTTTGGACCGCTTCGCCGCCGGCTCCGAATCCCCGAAATCGAGCGGCGTCCCGTAGCCCCGCGACGCCCCGAGGCCGCCCTCGATGCTCCCGACGACCTTCTCCGGGTTCATCTTGCGCTTGCCGCGGCCGCGCTTCTTCTTCGGCGCCTTGAATTTGCCTCTTTTCGTCGGGTCCGGGTTCGCGAACTTCGGCTTCTCGGCGAGCACATCATTTGAACCGCCGAAGCGCACGAGGCAGCGCGCGGCTGTCCCTCGCTTGCCCCACTTGTCTCCTTTCGTTTTTTCTATTTTCGCGAGGCGCCACCCGCTCAGGTCGACGTCGCCGAAGGGCGCCGCGGGAATCTCGGCGGCGAGGGCCAGTTTCGCCCGTGCCGCGTTGTCGGCGTCCGGGAACCAGACGTTCGCGGATTGTTCCCCGAGCCATTCGACGTACGACGCGCCGTAGGCCGAGAAATGGCCCTCCAAATCATTACTCCGCAGCTTCTTGAAGACCTGCCTATCAACTGGCAATACTCGCAGATGTAATTTCTCCGTCGCCTGCGCGTCTCCATCAGTACGATCAGGATCATCAGCTAGCAGTTCCTCGGCCGACAGTTTCAAAGGCCTCAAAGCTTCCGCCTCAAACCTAGTCCAAGCGGCCCCGTGTTCCCCCAAATCCTGGCCGCCGAAGCGCGCCAGTCTTTTCGCCCGCTGCGCGAACTCCTCATCTTTCTCCTGTTGTTCTTTTTGCAACTTTTCGGCGGCTTCCGGGTCGAACTTCGCGAGACGTGAAGCGGCCTTGGCCCGTTCTTCGGCCGTGGAGATGTCGAAGCCCGTCGTGATGGCGGGGCCCCTGCTCGGTTTCCGCTTGGCGTCGAGCTGCTGCTTCTTGAAGAGCGACCAGGGCACGCCGTCGGGCGGCGCCCAGGGCTCGTCCTTCTTCTCCGGTTCGTCGACCTCCATGTTGAAGCGCTCCGCCCGTTTCCGCTTTTCTTCTTCTAGCACTTGTTTTTTGAGGTCTCGCAGCTCGGCGTCCTCCTTTTCTTTTGCTTCCTCTTCGGCCGTCTTGACGGGCAAACCTAAGCGCGCGGCGGCGTCCATGCCTTCGGCGGGGGCCTCGTCCATGCCATCGACGCCGAGGCCATCACCGGCCGCGTCCGGCTCACCAGCGGGGGGCTCTGCGGCAGGCTCGGCGGCTGCGGGCTCAGCATCCATGCTGCTGAGAGTAGATTGATATGTGTGTTGGAGTACGAGCTCGCACAGTTGTCAGCGACCCGCGCTCTGGCGAGGCCTACAAAGGCTACAACGAGTCGTACTTAAGACTCTTGCTGTCTCCGCGCCGGCGCGAGCTCGAAAAGCGATTATAGATGGCCGCTAGCGCACATGTAAGGCACTAGTAAGCAAAAATCGTTTGGTCCTGTGCGAGAGACGGCCGGGCAGCCTGACGCTGCGACGCGCCCCATACATCGCGCGATGGGCGCCTGCCTCGGCGCAGGACAAATCGACGCGCACGCGACGGACGAACCACCACAAGAGCAAGAAAGCTACCTCTCGTCGCTCGCCTGCAGCCTCGCGCCGAGCCTCGTCGAGAAGCACTTCGTGCAGACGGCCGTGCAGGCCCTCGCGCGGCCGCCGCGCCGCGCCTACGGGCGAGACGCGCTGGGGCCGAGCCGCACGGGCCGCGAGGGGCTCATCGTCACGCGCGAGGACGTCGTGCTGACGAACCGCCGCGGCCTCCGGCTGCACGCGTCGTTCTGGTCGACGGCGAAGACGTGGGCCAAGACCGGCGCGACGTGCTGATGCGGCGTCCTCTTTGCGCCGTCGCGGCGATGGCGTCAACGCGGCGCCTACGTTTTCATGACGGATTCGTCCCACGCAGGTACCTGGAACCGCGCCCAGCAATAGTCTACGTGCACGGCGCCGGGTCGAGCCGGGCCGAGGCCGCCGACGCACCTTTATCAGTTGCGTGCGCCATCGGCGCGTCCCTCCTGGCCGTGGACACGACGGCCCAGGGGCGGAGCGACGGCGACGTCGGGTCCTTAGGCGGCGATTATGAAATAGCGGACGTCGCGGCGTGCGTCGACTGGCTGCGCAAGGAGGCGAAGATCGACCACATTTTGTTGTGGGGGCGGTCGGCCGGCGCCGTGGCCTGTTTAGGATACGCGCGCGAGGCCGAAATGAACGACGCGCCGGTCCGCGGCGTTATTGCGGATTCGGCCTTTTCGAATTTAAGTGACGCCTGCGAGGGGCTGTTTGAGAGGAGAGCGCCGGCGCTGCCGCGGGCCTTCCGGCGCCGCGTCCTCGACGCGGCGTTCGTCGAAGTTAAGAGGGTGGCGGGCTGGGACCCGCGGGAGCGGCGCGTCGACGAGGTATGCAAAAAACTTGCAATGACACCGGTGCTCTTCGCCGGAGCTCATGAAGACGACCTCGTACCCGTCAAACACGCCGAGACTTTACACGAGGCGACGCGCCGCGGCGAGCTCGTCCTCTTCCCCGGCACGCACAACTCGCCGCGGCCCGTCCAGGTGCTGAACAGCTTCCGTTCTTTCGCTAGAAGGCGGCTCATGGACGGCTCGGCGTTCGCGAGGCGGGCCTTCGGCGACGTCTCGAATTCGAGTTTAAGAATTGCTACTTATTCGCCCGCGACGCCTTGAGCTTGCCGTCTACCTCATAAGTCCGGACGTCCAGATCCACGAACGCGTCGTGGTCCCCGTTGTCCAGGTGGTCGATGGCCGCGCAGGCCTTGGGCCCGAACGTGTTGCCCCACATGGCCAGGTACTCGAGATGCGTCTTCGCGAGGCACGCGGTCGCGAGAGCGGCCCCGCCCTCGTCCCGGATGCCGTTGTTGCAGACCCGCAACTCTGTGAGAGAAGGGTCGGCGGCGATCATCTCCGCCAAAGCCGCGGCGCCGCCGTCTCCCACCACATTGCGCGAGAGGTCCAGCTTCTTCAGGGGCGGTTCGGGCTCCATCTGCTTGCGTCTTGCGGTAAAGCAAGCATCGTACAACGCCCCAGCTAACGCCGCGGCGCCGGCCGCGCATATTCTATTCGCAGATAAATCAACTTCGGTCAACGACTTGTTTACTCGAATAGCGTCGCTGATGTAGCCGGCGCAGGCGTCGTCGAATCTCAAATTGCGCAGTCTCAGGACTTTCAGCGTTTTGTTCAGGCCGACACAAGTGGACACTTGTTTCGCGACGTCCTCGTGCGTCTCGCAGAAGAGCTTGTTGCTGCCCAGGTCCAGGATTTCGATGGGCGGCGCCGTCTCCTCATGTCTCAAAACCGCGCAGATGGCTATTAACCCGGGCGCGTCGATTTCGCAATGGCTCAGGTCCAGTTCCTTCAGGGGGCAGCCCGGCCGACCCATAGCCTTTGCGACGATCTCGCCGCCCGCCCTTCCTAAGGCGTTCCAGCCCAGTTTGAGGGAGGTGACGCCGGTCATGGCTTCGGTGATGGCCTCGAGGCCCTTCGCTGATAAACCATTGGCCGTGAGATCGAGCGCCTTGCACATGGACAGCTTGGCCAGATGGGCAGCGCCGGCGTCGCCCACCGAATGGTGCGGCAGCGCGACTTTCTCGATCCACAATCCCGCGTCCTTCGAGCCCTCCGCGATCACTTCAGCGTCCTCGTCATCCAACAGTCGCGACGCGTTCGCCGCGCCCAATTCGATGACGACGGGGGCGCCCTCCTCGGTGGGAAGCAGCTCGGCGAGGTCGGGCCGGCCTTGCGACGCGGCGTAGTTGCTGAACTTGCTGATGGCGGAGGGCGCCATTCTGCGTGCGTCGGGCAGCCTCGGCTCGGTTTTGAGACGCGGTCCGGCTCTGCCTTTGTGCAGCGCCCGCCTGGAGATGAGATGCTGCCCCCGCGCGTTTCAGCAAAAACAAGCTTCCGTGTGGCTCCGACTACGTGGTGGCAGGCGTGCGCGAGGGTCTAGGCGGGTGTTCAGCGGCGGGCCTTCGCGCTCTCACTGCTTGGCCATCATCTTGCAAGGTGCAAAGGACTGCCGCGCGCGCTCACCCCGACGCCCTCTTGCCATCAGATCGCTCACCCAGACGCTGCTCCGCCGCTCACACCGATCGCTGCTGCAGCGACACACCGGAGAGTCCGCAACCAGCAGTGCTACACCCAAGTGCTGCAGCCCTGTCGTCGCGCGCGCGATAAAAGGCAAGAAAAATGGCCGCGCGCCTCCTCGCCACGACGGCCCGCCGCCTGGCCATGCCCGCGGCCGCCGCCCTCACAGCCACCACGGCCGCGGCGTGCGACAGTAAGAAAGAGGACCGATTAGAAGCATTAGAAAGACGAGTGGCAGCCCTGGAACCGCGGAAGACGAACCCCACCGACCACTGGGCTTCTGATCTATTAGCGGCGGACGTGCTCTTCTCGGAACACCAAATCGAGCAGATGGTCGGGTCCCTCGCGACGCAGATTTCCCGGGACTACGCGGGGCGCGACGTGGTCATTGTCGGTTTGATGGACGGCGTCTTCATGTTCCTCGCGGATCTGTCGCGAAAGATCGACACGCAGCACCAGCTCGACTTTATTTCCGCAAGTTCGTACGGGTTAGGTACCGTAAGCAGCGGCAACGTGCGCATCAAGAAGGACGCGGACACGGCGCTCGCGGGCAAGCATGTGTTACTGGTCGACGAGATCTGCGACTCGGGCCGCACGCTGGCGTCGCTCAAACTACTGATTTCGCAAAGAAACGCGGCATCCGTGAAGACCTGCGTTCTACTAGATAAAGTAAGCCGGCGCCAGGCCGACATCCGGCCGGACTACGTGGGCGCGGTCTGCCCCGACGAGTTCGTCGTCGGGTACGGCATGGACTGGGGCGGCAAGCTGCGGTCGCTGCCCTTCGTGGGCGTTGTTAGGAGGGAGCTCTACGAGTCCTGACTTTCCTTCTCTCTCGCGTCGACGTTCGTCGTATGACTCGGGCGACCGCCACCGCCCCTGTACATAGTAGCTCTAATTGGCCGTTGTTAGACTTGCGCGGGTCCACGCGCGGGTGGGGGGTGGTGGCCTAGGCCTCGGCGCCCACGAGGTCGAGCGCCACCGGGCGCCGCCGGCACAGCTCGATGACGCCCTGGAAGTTGAGCGCCTCGCCGACGGCGCGGCCGTTCACGCGCCAGACGCGCTCGCCGACCTTGACGCCGAAGCGCGCCTCCGCCGCGCCTGCGTAGACGCGACCCGTGAGTAGACGCTCTCGTGGTCATGAAGACGCCATCGACGCGACCACATCACGTTCAAGAAAAACAAAGTACGGACGCCATATCAAACCGTCAGGCGTCACGCTCTTCACGACGACGCCCCCGTCGTCCGTGCCCTCGAGCACCACGCCCAGGGGCGCGTCGCTCACGAAGTGGCAGAAGCGCGTCGTCTCGAGCGACGCGAGGACGGACTTCGGGGAGTCCCGATCTTCCGTCACTTGCGTCGCGGAGCGCTCCAAGGGCGATTTCGCCGGACCGACAACAGTCACGCCCGGCTCGCCAATCGCCAAGAAGGGCGACGCCGGCCGCGCGTCGCTGTCCACGAAGCGCGCGGCGGGCGCCGGCGTCGCGGCGAACAGGGCCTGGAGCGCCTCGGCGGCCGAGACCTTGTTTGGGGTGGGCGCCGGCGGCGCCGTCGCCGCGCGCTTCAGCGGGTGCGGCGACGGCGGCAGGGTCATGAGTGGAGGCGGCGCCCGTGGTGCCATGGGTACCGCCCCCGCGGGCCGGCCGTTCTGGCAGTCGATGCACTTGCACTCGGCCACGCACTTGATGCCCGCCCGGAAGCAGTCGCAGTACCGCTTCAAACACCGGCTCTTCTTGCAGGTGCAGCCACCTTCCGTCACTTTCCGTTTTCTAGAGGCGGCGGCTCTCCGCTGCTGCTTCGCTACGGCGCTATCTTTCGTGTTCTCGCAGTTCACGCACTCGCAGGTGTCCCTACACGCGTCGCCCCTCTCAAAACAGACGCAGTAGCGCTTCAGGCACTTGGAGTTCTTGCACCTACAGACGTCGCGGAGCTTGGTCGGCTCGGGGAGGCTGTCCTGGGTCACGAGCGGCGCGTCGTCGGAGCTTGTTGATGAGTCGTCCTGCAACATGGGTTCCAAGCCGCCGTTCCGCGGTTACTCGGCGTCGATGCCGCGGCTACGGTGCAGGCCCGCAACTGACGCACGGTGTTTGAATTTCCGGGCGGCCGGCGCGCGGAAACTTGGTTCCGCAGCGCGACCCTGGGCTGGGCTGCGGCTTCCTGTGGGAATAATGCACTGGCGCGGCGGTGCGGCCGTTTTTTGAGGCCAAACTGCGTTTTGCCGAATTGGCCGCTGGTGAATGCGCGAACTGCCGCACGCGCGGTTTCTCGGGCTGACTGTGGCGCGTTCGGCTGTGAGACCGTTTCCAGCGCCTTTACAGCCACGGCAGCGTGCCGTAATTGCCTTTTTGGCTGCCGTTTTACAAAGTGCTTGAGAGCAGTTGCCAAAACAGGTTTTTAAGAAACGGCCAGCAAGAAGCGTCGACGAGGACCCAACACTCCAGCGCTGCTGCACGCAGCGGCGGCGTCCGCAACCGCTTCGCAAACCGCGCACACGCGCGGACAGCACCGCGCGGCAAACAAAACCGCCCAAGCCTCCGCGCGGCCCGCGACGAAAGGTCGCGCCGGACCCACGGGTCCCAATGGCAGCCCCGGCGGCGGGGGTTCAACGAAAAACCCACTAGCCAAAGCGCCCAACTTTTGGACCGGACAGGGGTGAAACGGCGCGCGACGGCGCGCGGTATGAGGCGCTAGGGGCAGCCCCGACGGCACGATGAGAACGCTCTTAGCGGCGCTGGCCGTCCGCGCGGCCGCCGCCGCCTGGTCCGACGGCGCGGTAGCACCGCAGGACTGCGACGCGCTGTCCGGCGTGCCGCTCCAAGTCCTCATGTACGGCAACAACGACGCCTACACGCTGCGAAAGTTGGACCAGGGCGAGTGGGAGAAGCTCTTCAAGATCAACTGGTTCGACGGTCATATTAATGCCGCCGCCGTCTTCGTAGACGATAATAATGATGTGTACTTCTTCGCGTCGTTCGGGGGCTATCTGTGTCGCTTCGACGAGGACCAGAAGGTTTGTTTCGACGGGCAGCTGAAATACTCGTCGCCCAATGCGGGGGTGATCGTCGGGGCCACGTTTTACTATAGCAAGAATCTCGGCCGGGACGGCGGCGAGACGATCCACTTCGTGACGGACATCGGTTCGGATTCACCGACACAAGTCACGTCGGACAAAGTCGCCTTCTCATCCACCTTATTCGAAGGGGCAGTTTTGGATTTCGCTGCTGTTGATGAGGCCGATGGTGTCTCGTACGTCGAGGACGGCGACGACGATCTCGCTTACTTGCTGGGACTGGGGGCGGACTTCGAGGTCGTCGTGATCCGATTGGATAACGACGGCCACCCGGACGCCTATGCTGTTCTAGAAGGTACTGTAGAGTGGGGTGCCGGGGAGGAAGGCGAGTCCGGCGGCTTCGGCGCGGCCTACATGTTCAAGTCCGATGGTGATGATGCTGTTACTTCAGTGTTCTTTTCCTCAAATGGTGGGAAGGGGACCTTTGGGCTGGACCTCGGGTTTGCCGTCGACGACGACTGCTGGAACGAAGGTACTGATGTTTCCGGTCATACGACATGTACCACATCACAACCAATCGTGCGCTACGAGGCCGCGTCCGAGGAGTCGTCGTCGAATGATGGGTTAAATTGCCCCTTTGGCGTGCTCGGCACCGACGCGCCCACGGCGCTCCCGACGACGTCCTCCCCAAGTTACGCCCCCACCGTCGAGAAGACGGAGGAGCCCACGCCGCGGCCGACGCACGATCCTACCAAGGCCCCCAAGCCGCGGCCGACGGCGGCGCCCACTTATCAGCCTTCTGTGGACCCGACGATCGAGCCTACCGAAATGCCGACGTACGAGCCCTCCAAGGCGCCAACACCCAAGCCGTCGCCGGCGCCCACCTCGAGGCCCTCGGCAAATCCGTCTTACGCTCCAAGTATCGACCCCACATTTGAGCCCACGCACGAGCCCAGCTATGAGCCGACCGTCTCGCCGACGCCGAGGCCGTCCGATGCGCCGAGCTATTCCCCAACCGTGGACCCGACCTTCGAGCCGACGGTCTACCCCACGTACGAGCCCTCGACGTCACCGACGCCGAAGCCGTCACCGGCGCCCACGTCGCGCCCCTCGCCGGAGCCCTCGTACGCCCCCACTGTGGACCCCACGTTCGAACCGACGGTCTACCCCACGTACGAGCCGTCGACGTCGCCGACGCCGAGGCCGTCCGATGCGCCGAGCTATTCCCCGACGGTCGACCCGACGTTCGAACCCACCCATTTGCCAACATACGAACCCTCGGCCGGGCCGAGCCCGCGGCCGACGCCCCAACCGTCGTCAAAACCAACAGCGGCGCCGTCCTACGCGCCTTCCGTGGATCCGACCTTCGAGCCCACGCTCGCTCCCACCTACGAGCCGACCCTCAAGCCCTCGGACCGCCCGACCGTCGCGCCAAGCTATGGGCCCTCCGCGCCGCCCTCGATCGGCCCTTCCGCGGAGCCAACCTACGCCCCTACCTTCTCGGAGACGCACGAGCCTACATTAAAGCCTTCGATGGAGCCGTCGGCCGCGCCGTCCTGGCAGCCCTTCATTATTGATAGTGTCAACTGCGACCCAAACAAGGCAGCACCTTTACAAGTTCTAAGGTGGGAGGACGCCGACGAATACAGTCTGAGAAGTTGGGACTTCCAGACGGGCGAGTACAAGAAAGAGTACAATATCGACTACTTTGATGGGCACATCAACGCCGTGGCCATGTGGGAACGCGCGGACGGGAACAACTACGCCATTGGCTCATTTGGGGGCAACCTGTCGTGGTTCTCGAAGAAGAAGCGCATCGACATTGGAAGCTTAGTCTACGACACGCCGAATGCTGGTACGGTCATTGGAAATGATTACTACTACGCCCGTTCCCCGGGCAAGGACGAGAGGAACTGCGGCATTTATTTCGTCGAGGACATTGCTGGGGAGCCTAGATTCGAAACGACCTCCAATCTATGTATTTCGAAATCAGTCTTCGAGGGTGCCGTGCTAGATTTCGTGGCCGCGAACGAAGACGACGCGGATAGGTACGGTACTTCATCAACGTATGTGGACGACAACGAAGCGGAAGGTCTATATTTGTTCGGGCTGGGCGAGCAGCACGAGGTGCTCATCGTCAAGTTAGTAGACAAAATGCCACAAGCGTACGCAGTCGTCTCCAGCGTCATCGACTGGCGGAGCAAGGAGGACGACGACGAGCCTTCGGACGACTCGGGGTATGGTGCTGGGTATAGCTTCTTGGGGCCGACCGAGCAGCGCTTCTTCTTCACATCGAACAAAGGATTTGGCATGTTTGAGCTCCAGATGCCCATCACTGTACCAGACGATTGCTGGAACACCGGTACAAATACCGATGATCATAAGGAATGCAAGGATGCGCCGGCGGCGACGCTGACGTGGATGGGCGCCTCCGCAGTCACAAACTACAACGACGGCTTGAACTGCCCCGTGACGACTGTGTTTGGCAGTGCATAAATCAAATTGTCGCGACATCACTCACTGGTTGATTTGCGCACAGGTGTTCGGGCACATCTCCTATGCGCCGACCTACGTCCCGTCGCCGATGCCGTCCAAATCGGACCGACGGCTCACCGATTCGTCGGCGTCGGACCGACGGATACGGCGGAGTCTGCGGCGGGGGAATTGGCGGGGACTTTGGCGGGGGTTCTAAGTGTAATTCGATGACATGAGTCGCTAGTGCGTCGCGACGGCGCCTTGTTTTGCTCACCCCGTGCCTACCCCGTTACGGTGCTAGAACTAGTGGCCGGAGCCCCTGCGCCGATTCATCGGCGGCGGGCGCGGGCCGCGCCTTTCATAACAGCGTACCTCCTAAACAGAACCGCCTCGGCAACCCCCCCCGAACAATGTGCAACGTTCGCCCGTTCAGTCAACTTGTCCCGCGACTTCCCGCAGGCGACCTAGGACCGCGGAGATGCCAGCGGTGCCCGGGTTGTAGAGATCGTCGATGGCGTGAACGTGGACGATCTAAGTATTGTTGTTGTTACGCGAGGGGTCTCTGAGGAATCGGCTTGCGGTCGTCGAACATGATAATAAGGAAAAAGAAGAGAGTGAGTGATGCCGGCCGTCAAAAGCAGCTGCGTCATCGCGTCGACGCCATCGACGCGGTTCCGGAGTGGTCACTTCTGATGCTCCTCGAGGAGCGCGACGATGTCTGAATGATCTTCATTTTCCGCATCCGCCAAGGGCGTGTCGCCGTATTCGTCCTCGCGGTCGATATCAGCAGTAGCGCCATTCGCTAATAACAGTCGAACGGCGTCGATGTGACCTCTGTAGGAGGCCGTGTGCAGTGGCGTTTGATTATTGTTCGAGGCCTTGTGCACATCGGCGCCTTTATCCAGCAACAGTCGCGCCGCGTCGACGTGGCCGTTCAGGCAGGCGATGTACAGCGGCGTCTGGCCTTTCGTCCTCCACCCTGATGTTGCCCGATTGACCTCAGCACCTTTCTCCAGCAGCAGCCGCGCCGCGTCGACGTGGCCCTTCTCGCAGGCAACGTACAGCGGCGTCTCGCCGTTCTCCGTCGCCCGGTCGACCTCCGCGCCATTGTCCAACAGCAGCCGCGCCGCGTCAACGTGGCCGTTGTGGCAGGCGACCCACAGCGGCGTCTGGCCGCCCTCCCTCGCCCGATTGGTGTCCGCCCTTTTGTCCAAAAACAGCTGCGCCGCGTCGACGTGGCCCTCCTCGCAGGCGACGTACAGAACTGTTGTCCCCTCTTTGTCGGCCAAATTCACATCGGCGCCGCGCTCGAGACATAACTGCATTATATCGAGGTTCTGGTTGCGATAAGCGAACAGAAGCGGCGTCGCCCCATCCAAGCACAAATCGACAGCTGCACCTCGGTCTAGCAACAGCGTCGCCACGTCGACGTGCCCAAGGGCGCACGCAATCCCAACCGGCGACCAATCACCCGCACGCCGCTTATCGATCGCGGCGCCCGCATCGAGCAGCACGCGCGCCGCGTCGACGTGCCCTTTCAAACTCACAACGAACAGAGGCGTATACCCGTCACTATCTTCCTGATCGACGCCAGCGCCCTTCTGAAGAAGATCGCGTATTGCGGCGACGTCACCCTGATAGCATGCTAGCGTCAGTGGCGTCGTGCCGCTCTCGATGCGCAACTCCCCCCATTGCTTCCCGAAAGCCACGAAGAGCCCGTCGCCCCTGACAGCCAAGGCCTTAACCTCATCTTCAAAAGCGACCACCACCAGCGCCGCACCGCCCTTGTTCGCGTCCCACACCCGCAAGGTCTTGTCACTCGACAAGCTCGCGAGCCGCGGCTCGCCCGTCGCCGGGTCCGCGTAGGCCGTCAGCGCGTTCACATCGCCCGCCTCGAGCACGAACAGCGCCGCGCCGCCCGCGGCCAGGTCAAAGACGCGCACATTGTCTCTGCAGCCGCTCGCGAGGCGAAGTCCGCCGGTCGCCTGGTCTTCGAAAACAGTCAATGCCGACACCTCGTCCGTATGCCCCTCGAGTACGGCCAAAGCCTCGCCGCCCGCGACCAGGTTGAAGATGCGCAACCACCCCGAATCGCAACCACAAGCTATTCGCAATTCACCAGTCGCAGGGTCTGCGAAGAGCGCCAGCGAGAATAAACAAATCGAGCCATGTTCGATTACAACCAGCGCTTCACCACCAGCGACCGGGTCAAAGACGCGCACCCGTTCGCCTGCTGCGCACGCGAGCCGCGGCTTGCCCGTCGCCGGGTCCGTGAAGAACGCCAGCGCATACACGTTCGAGTCAACCTCGAGCACGAGCAGCGCCTCACCGCCCGCGACCGGGTCGAAGACACGCACTTCTCCAGAAGGCCCTGAGTCTGAGTCTGAGTCTGAGTCTGAATCTGCAATATTCACTCCACAAGCAAGCCGCGGCGCGCCCGTCGCCGGGTCCAGAAAGAACGCTAGAGCTTTCAACTTCGAGCCGACGTCGATCACGAGCAGCACATTACCGGTCTCCGCGTCCCATGCCCGAACAGTCCCATCCTCCGACCCAGTCGCGACCCGCAGCGCGCCCGTCGCCGGATCCACAAAGGTCACTAGGTGCTCCACATTATCAGAGTGCCCATCGAGCTTCGGCTCGATCGCTGCGCCGCCCGCCGCCGGGTTCCAGACTCGCACAGTATTGTCGTAACACGATCCGCTCACGAGCCGCGGCTCGCCCATCGCCGGGTCCGTGAAGGCTGTCAAAGCGCTTATAGGTCCTGTGTGCCCCTCGAGCACGACCAGCGCCTCGCCGCCCGCGACCGGGTCGAAGACGCGCACCTTATTGCCTGGGTACCCATCCCCACATGCGAGCCGCAGCGCGCCCGTCGCCAGGTCCTCGAATGCGACCAAAGCTCTCGCTTCGTCGCCAGCGTCGAGCACGAGCAGCGCTTCACCGCCAGAAACCGCATCGAAGACGCGCACCTTCCCATCGTCACAACCGCACGCGAGCCTCGGCGCGCCCGTCGCTGGTTCCTTGAAGACCGCCAGCGCCCACACTTCAGAACCAATATCTAGCAGGAGCAGCGCGTCGCCGCCCGCAGCCGGGTCGAAGCTAAGCACCTTCTTTCTCAGGCGCGACGCGCACGCGAGTCGTGGCGCACCCGTCGCCGGGTCTTTGAAGACTTCCAACGCACTCACTCCCGCGCCCACTTCAAGCACAACCAGAGCTTCACCGCCCACGACCGGGTCGAAGACGTGCACTTTTCTATCCCTGTCCTCAGATCCGCACGCGAGCCGCTGTGCTCCCGTCTTGTCCGTGAAGACCGCCAGCGCCCACACCTCCGAGCCAATGTCGAGCACGAGCAGCGCCTCGCCGCCCGCAACCGGGTCGAATATACGCACCTTCCTATCACCACATCCACAAGCCAAACGCTGCTCACCCGTCGCCGGGTCTTTGAAGACCGCCAGCGCAGACACAGTAGAGCCCAGATCAATCACGACCAGCGCCGCGCCACCCGCGACCGGATCGTAGATGCGCACTTCGCTTCTTACCCCATAGCAGTTTTTTCCACAAGCAACCCGCGGCTCGCCCGTCGCCGGATCCACGAACGTCGCCAAGCAATAAGCACTAACCTCGAACCGACACCGCTCCGCCCCACCCGCCGCCGTCAGACCCATCGGTCGCACGGCCGAGAGCGGCAGCTTGCTCGCGACCCCTTTCGCATCGTCGGCCAGGCGGCGCGCGGCAGGAGACGACTCCGCATCGGCGCGCGGCATCAGCCGCTGCCAGAGCTGATCGACGAGCGCCGCGCCCTGCGACAGCGCCGTCCGCGACCACACCAAGGAGTCGGACAGCAACAGCGTGTCCTGACCCTGAAGAACGTTCAGGTCCGCCACGAAGGAAACAATGTCGCCGCCCTTGACCCGCTTCTGCACGTACGAGAGACTGCAGGTGACCGCGACGGCCTCACCTTCAGAGCAAGACCGCTTCATGTGAAACAAACACCAACGCAACGCATAGGCATCCGACGTCGGACCACCCTCGCCCTCCACAAATGAAGCCAGCACCTCATCCGCGGCCGCGTCGCTCGAGTACGACTCCGTATCCAGAACCCCAGCACGAACCGCCCGGGCGCACGCCCGCGCCAGCCGCCGATGCGCCGCGTCCCGCGCAACAAAGAACGCGTCCTTGGAAGAGCGCTTGTCGAACGGCGCCTCGCCGGTCAGCCAGTCGGTCACCGTCTTATGTAGCACACCAATCACGTCGCCCTCGCGCAGCGGAAACAGCAGCGACACGCTGTCACAGACCTTCTTGCACAGCGCTCGGTCCCAGCCCAGCGCACCACTCGCAGCGTCAATTGTCAACGGCTCTGCAGCAGCGCAGATTAATTCGACGAGCGGCAGCGCTTCGCGCCACGAGGCATCATCAACGAATACACGCCGAAAGTTCTCCGCGTAGATCTCGTCGAGGCCCGCCGGCAGCGCGCCGACGCTCGCAAAGTCGATCTTGCCGCTCGTGGACGCGAGCTGTTCCGCGATGAGCCGCGCGTAGAGCATCAGCCCGCCGGCCTTCCGTTCGAGCGAAGTGACAGCCGCGTCGAGCGCCGAAGAGTTGAGGCGCTCGGCGATGAACGTCTCAAGCGCAGTCGCCTTGACGCTCGTGCCCTCGCACATCTTCGGTAGCGCCAGCCGAATCACCTCATACTGCTCGTGGGCGATGTGCTTGGCGTCCGCGACGCTCTTGAGATTCAGCTGGACCTCGGCGAGATGTTTTCGGCCGTCGTCGAGGCGCACGCTGATGTTCAAATTCATATCGCGGTAGCCGAGCGGCGTCGGGCTCGCGAATTTGTTTTTCAATTGAGCAATCTCCAGCCCGAGGCCGCCGCCGTCCAATTCAGTCAGCACCTTCAGAAGGTCAGTAGCGCTCTCGAACAGAACCGTCGCACGCGCAAGGTCCCGGAATTTCTCGGGATGTGGCACACCATTCTCGTCGGTGTACTTGTCCGTGAGCTTACGCTCCGCGGATCCACGCCCTTTCACGCCCGGATCCGAAATGTCGCCAGGGAGCGTCTTCAGCGCGTCGATCAAGATCGTCTGCGCCAGAGCTGCGTCGGCGTAGAGCTTCTCGAAGTCGGTCTCGTCTTGTATCAAGTCGAGACGTCGCTCCTCATACTTCTCGAGATCGTGGATCCCGGCGACGCCACGGACCGCCTCGTCGTACGCGCCCTTCGACCGGCGCAGCGGGTCCTCGAGGTCGGCGAACGTGTCGAGATTCTTCAAGCCCGGGAACTTTGCCTCGACCTCGCGCCGCAGCGACTCCATCGTTACCTCGAGCTCAATGTGTTCCTTCGCGAGCACCGTCAGGTACGCCCTCACGTCCTGTCGGTTCCGTGCCTCGTCGACGCGCAGCTCCGACGGCGCGAAGCACGAGAGTCTCGCTTTAATTTGAGCTTCGTCACGACTCGTCACGACGAGCTTGATCCAACTTGGCAACGTCTTCAGTTCATTCGCGAGCAGCGAGAGTACGGGCTGCAAAGCATCGCGCGGCAGCTCGTCAAGCGCGTCTATGATTAACACGAGAGCGTCGTCCGCATCGCGTGTCTCCTCGACGCGTTCCAGCGGCTCAACGATCAGCCCCTGGAAGAGCTCGTCGACCTTATCCGTCGTGTTGTCGCCGCCACCGCCCTCGCGCAGCGCCTCCTCAAACCCAACGACCGTCGCGCAAAGCATGCCCGCTAAAGACCGCAACAGCGCCGCTGGCGCCGACCGCGCTGGCTCGGTGTGCTTACAGAAGTGCCACGCGGCTGCGTTTTGTTTATCGAGCAGTCGCGCCAGTAGCTCGGCCGCGGCGACGCTCTTGCCCGTGCCGCCGCCGCCTACCAACCAAAACAGCTGCGCCGCGTCCGGGTCGACGCGCCACTTTTCTACTGCATCAAACACCCACTCGCGCGTGCCGGGCAGGTGCTGCCCGCGCTTCTCCGCAATTATGGCCGAAAAGTCCAGCGCCTCCGCCACGCCGGAGCGGTCGACGCCGTGCAGCTTCTCGTAGAGCTGCTCCGAAATGCCCGCCAATCGAGCGCGCTCGAGCGCCGCCGCCCGCGCTCTCGCGTGCGTAATCCATCCGATCTTCGCAACACCTTTCTGCCACAGCGCCTTCGTTCTTCTCACGCGCGCGTCTGTCGTCGCGTCCGCCGCTGCATTTCCTCTGGCGCTGCCGCGTCTCACGCGCGCGTCCGTCGCGTCCGCATCAGCTCTGGTCCGGCCGCGTGCCGCACCGTTCGATGATTCGCGGGCGTCGACGACGCGTTCGACCGGCGCGTCCTCCGCCTTCGAACCGTCGCGCTCCTCCACACCGCCATCCTTCGGCTCCGCGGGCGCGTGCCCGGCCGCTACGTACGCCTCCCACCGCTCGGATTTGGCCCAGACGCGCTCGGCGATCTCGGTCGAGACGGTTTTACCATCCGCGAAGTAGAACTCGTCCCAGTTCTCGTCCCATTTGTCCTCGGGCACAAGCTGCTTGCATTCCTCTCGTGTCAAATGCGCCGAGGAGGTCCCGCTGCCCATCGAGGCGATTTATTTCGCGCTGCCCGTTTATGTGCGGCCGCTGCCTATATCACGGCTGATGATATGCAGCAGGTGCGACGCGTTAGACACAAGATAGACACACTAGCTGCTCGACCTACGGTCCGCGCCGGTTGCGGGCCAAGAACACAAGCGGGCAGCCCCAACAGGACGCCCAGCGCAGCCTCGCAGCACGAGCAACACCCACAGCTCCCGGACGCCATCGCTGCGATGCGCCAGACAATTCTAATCATAGCAGCCGTATGGGCCCAGGACGAGGTGCTGGACCTCCGCTCCCCACAAGAAGTCGATTCATATCGAAGCAAGGGCCTGATTCCCTTCCGCGACTTGGTCGATGAGTCACCAGGACCGCAGTTCAGCTGCGACCGGCTCGTCTCCCGCGGTCCCATAAAACTACCTAGACAATCGGCGTGGCGCGAGAAGGTGAGACGAAGCGGCCCGCCCCAGAACCACACGCGTCCTTCTGATGTGGGCATTGGCTACATGTTTCGATCATTAACATCGACCTACAAGTCGGACGTCCCTTTATTAACAGCAGCGCGGCAGTCGTGGATGGCCGACGCCGGTAGTAGTTTGGAGATTTTGTTGTTGGTCGACTGCGACCATGACACGGATGTTGCTTCCCAACTAAGACCGCCTGAAGAGCTTGAGGCAAGTAGACCGGACCTCCCTCGATTACATTTCGAGTGCTACTACCCGACCTACCAAAGGATAGACGCGTCGAACGAGGTCACGGCCATCCTCAACAACTTCGACAAGTTCTCTGCTTTATTGAAGGGGCTACTCCGGATCCTACCGCACAAACAATGGTATATCAAGCTGGACACTGATACCGTGATCGAACCGCACAACCTCTACCGCTTCCTAAGTTTCTTCCAGGTTAGGGTGCTACGAGGAGAAACGAACTTGTATTTCGGCGACGCCGGCGAGCTGCCCCAGCGATCACCAAACCCAGAGGACTGGGCCATGTATCGCATTCACTCAAGGTCCAAGGACCAGTTGTTTAAGAGACCAGGCTGGCAGGATTTGGTCAAGGAGTACTACCAGGACCGAAAGACGTCACAACAGTCGACAATAACTTATGTACATGGTGGCCTCGAGGGCTTTTCCAGGGACGCTCTTCAGTCGATAGTCTCGAAGGACTGCATCAGAAGGGTCGGGGAATTACCATGCGACCGGTCCATAAAGAAGCACTGCATCAACAAGCCCGAGGACGCCACTGTGGGATTATGTGCGCACCTCCACAAGGTCGCGCTCGTGGACTGCCAGCCGTGCATGCAGAACATCGCGGGCGCGCCGGTCGTCGACGGCCGCACGCCGGGCGTCGTGCAATGGACGCGGCACGAGCTCGCCAAGGTGTTCACGAGCGACGCGCGGTTCTGCCCGCGGCCCGTCTCCGTGCACCCGGTCAAGGACGCGCACGACCAGCGGACTATATATAGGGCCCTCCACGCGTACACGCACAAGGTCCACGCGGCGGAGTCGATGGCCGTGGCGCCGCCCGAGTAATATGTGTGTCCGAGTCGATCACTCGCACGGTGTCTCCCCTCCAGGGGCTCCGCCTACTAGTCCTAGCACCGTAAAGAATATGGGGTCGATCACTCACAAATCACTTAGTCTCCGGTCAAGAACACGGACGACGGCGGCTCGGCCGTGAGCTGCTCCATGCGCTTCTGCGCGTCGGCGTGGGCGCTCCGGAGGCGCTCGATCTCCTCTTGCGCGGCGGCGGCCTGCTTTTCGGCCGCACCGGGCGCGGGGGGCGGCGCCGCCGGAGCCGGCGCGCCGGCCGAAGGCGGCGGGGGCGGCAGATTCATCATGCCCTCGACGTTGTCCAGGAACTCCGCGATCGACAGGCCTTCAGCAATCTGCCCCGCCTTTTCCATAGCATCGAGCATCGGCCTCAAGTCGCGCTCGACGCTCGCCCTATTACCGGCGCTCAGCTTCGGCGACCGCAGGGCTTTCGCGAGCCAGCCCAGGGCCACCTCGCCCCGATCCTTGCGGATATTGTAGATGGGGATACCTGCATCCGCGATGCCCTTCTCGAAGGCCCGCTCGAGGTGAAACAAGGCCTTCTCCCGGTCCAGGGCGACGCCCTCCTGGCCGCGCAGATAGTACAACCCGAGCCGATAGTTCGCAATCGTATGGTCCGGCTTCGCCTCCAGGACCTTCTGAAGCAGGCATGCTTTATCTTTAACCTCGACCTGGTCCGCTTTACAAGATGGGCAATAGCCTTGGACCCACTTCGCCTTACAACTCTCGCAGGACGCGAAGCCGCACGCGAAACAGAGGACATGAGCGCCGTCGTCCTCGGCTCTTTCCAAGCACAGCGGGCAGGGATCATCGCTGCCGCAGACGTTCTTGTGCCTCGGCCAATGTTGGCGCTGGCACTCGCGTGAGCAGTACCGCGCGATTACTTCACCCTGGCAGCGCGCGCAATGGAACTTGGCCTCCTTCTCGCACACCGCGCACGCCTTGGGGCTGCCCTGCTCCTGCTGGCCCTCCTCCATTGGTTCTCGCTTTTACTGTATCACTTCGACGGCGTGCGGCGTCCGACAGCTTCCGGCGGCGGCGCTGGCGACGCCTGTATGTTCCTGGGGCTGCCCAATTACAAAGACTGGGCCAAACTGGCGCGCGAGGCCGCTACTTGCTAGTGCCTTTATCGCGCTAGCTAGAGGCAAAAGTTGGAGCCGCTCCCACGTCGCCGCTGCGGCATCATCGATTGTATCTCTGCCTCGGAGGGCTTCTCATATATACCGGCATAGTCCGTGCGAGATCTTGCGAGCGCTGCTGCACCACAGCGCGAGATAACCCGCCTCTACAGCACACCTGCAGCCAGCGGTACATTGCTGGAGTAATAATCGATCACAAAACTACCGGACGCCATGCAGCCCGCTGCGGCCGCACTCCTCGCATTAATACCACTCCGCCTCCTGAACGCCTGGCTGGCGGGCGTCGCGGACTGCGACGAAACTTACAACTACTGGGAGGCCGTCTGTTTGCTCGCCGCGCCGCACCCTTTTCGGAGACCGCTGCAGACCTGGGAGTACGCCCCGGAGTTCGCGCTGCGGAGCTGGGCTTATGTGTTGCCCTACGCGGCGATCTCGCGGATCGTAGACAACTCGTTCCTCGCCGTCCGCTTGTGTGCTGTCGCGCTGCCGTTCGCGCTCGCCGAGGCGTCGCTCGTCAAGGGTATGGAAAAGCGGTTCGGGCCGGACGCTGGTTGGATACTGCTCGGCCTCCTCGCGAGCTCGGCGGGCCACGCCGCGGCCGCGCCGGCGCTCGTGCCCTCGGCCACGATTTGTGCTCTCGCCGCGTGGTCGCAAGGTAGGTGGTTGAAAGGAGACCGCCGCGGCGCCGTGTTCCTGGCCGTGCTCGCGACGCTCTGGCCCGGCTGGCCCTTCGTGGCTGTGCTGTTCATTCCCTTGGCGGTCGACGTTTTGCTGAAGGACGGCCTGCGCGAAGCGCTACGGCTAGGCGTCGCGAGCGGCTTGTTTGTTCTGATACCCTGCGCGGCCTTCGACGCCAAGGCCTACAGCCGCGCCACGAGCCCGCTCTGGAACGTTATCACGTATAATGCAGTGGGCGGCGGCGACGAATTGTACGGCGTCGCCCCCTGGACCTACTACGCGAAGAACCTCGGCTTGAATGCGGGCATCGCGCTCGTACTAGTATTAGTGATGCCCATCACGCTCCTCCTCCGCCATTTACTAGCGCGCGACCCGCGGCGGCCGGCATCCACGGTATTGACGCACGCGGCGCCGTTCGTATTGTGGGTCGGCATTTTACTCCTGCGGCCCCACAAGGAGGAGCGCTTCCTCTTCCCCGCGTTTCCGTCTCTGTATATCGGCGCGGCGGCGTCGTTGGATGCGGGTGCTTCTGCACTGGGCGCGCTCGGCGCCAAATTCGTGGCACCGCGGACGACGCGGCGTTTCCTCACATTCGCGGCGCTCGGCGCGGCAGCTTTGCTAGGCGTCTCCCGAATTGCGGCCCTCGCCGTCTACTACGACCACGGGCAGATGACGGCGTGGCGCGCGGCCGCGGCGACGGCGGCGAAGCTTGGTCCTGGGGTCACGGTCTGCGCCGGTTCCGAGTGGCACCGCTTCCCGGGCACGCTGCTCCTGCCCTCAAATGCGCGTTTGAGTTTCGTGCGCTCCGCGTTTGACGGCCAGCTGCCCCGGCCCTACGCGTACGACGCGGATCCAATGGAGACGGCGGCCCGGGATGTGAAGGGCTTCAACGGTCATAATGGAGGCGAGGCCAACGTTTATGTAGATGCGGCGGCCTGCGACGTGGCCGTCGACCTGCGCCTCGACGAGGGCGACCCGCCGTTGTGGGTAAACGACACACGGACGTGGACGCAGGTGCACGCGTCGCCGTTCCTCGATTCAAGTAGGACGCCGGCGCTCGCGCGCGCGTTCCTCGTGCCGGGCTACTCGCTGCAGCGTGCCAAATTCGGGGAGTACGTCGTGCACATCCCGGCCGAGCACTTCGTGCGGATTTACTAACTATTTTTATGCTTGATATGTTCCGCCACAGTGTAATAAAACTAACATTGGAGGAGCTCCCGCGCCCAGGCGTCCAGCTGCTCCACGCCGACGACGGCGCCGCCGCAGACCTCCACAACCACACAGCGCCTATTTTGCAAGACGGCCGGCACGTCGTCCCCATAGACGCAGGCCAGCGCCGCGCCGCAGGCCGGCTCGACGAGCACGCGCCGCTCGTCCGCGAAATTGACGCACGCGCGCACCGCGGCCGCGTCGGAGACGACGTGCGGGTGGACGCGCTTCGATGATAACGCGTCCCGCAAGACAATGGGAGACGGCGTCCCCGCGCCCAGCGACTTGGCGATGGAGGTTATAGGGATCGTCGCCGGCGTTCCTGCTTTGAATGATTGCGCGAAGGAGTCCGCCCCATGCGTCTCCGCCGCCACGATGGCGCAGTCGTCCCTAGTACCAACACCTCGCAACACGCCGGCGAGGAGCCCGCCGCCGCCGACACAACACACTATTGCGTCCATTTTTTTACCTATCTCGGCGAGCTGCTCATCGACCTCTTGAACTAATGTGGAATGCCCCTTCCAAGTAGTCTCGCCCTCGAAGGGGTGCACAAGCGGGCGCTCGTACTCTGCTGCTAGTTGTTTTGCTCGTTCATTGGCCTCATCCCAGACCGCACCCTCCACAATCACTTCGGCACCGTACTCCTTTTCTAATTTGCGCCGGACGGCATCAGGCGTCGTCGTCGGCAGCACGACCGTGCATGCGATCCCGAGCGCGCGCGCGGCGTGCGCCGTCGCGAGGCCCGCGTTGCCGCCGCTCGAGGACACGACGCCGTCCGCTCCGTTCTCGACTGCTTCTTTCACGGTCGCGCCGATGCCTCGCAACTTAAAACTTCCAGGTGGCTGGGCGCAGTCCATCTTGAAGAAGACGTCGCAGTTTAGTTTGTTGGAGAGCGGGGCGGACTTTATGAGGGGCGTGACGTCGTGGAGCGGCGCCGTCGTGAGCGCTCGCACGGCTGCCAGAGTGAGCGCAAAAGTGGTGTGGCGCATGGTTTGCATGCCTCCTGCTCGAATCGAGCTTCTACACCCTCACAATCACTCGGCGCGCCGGCGTGCTTGCTAGCGTACACCGACACTAGGATTTCACCAGCTAGCTGGCAGTCTCGCTCCCTGCCTGCGCTTGGACGCTATACAGCTCTCGCTGACAGTAACAGCACTTGCACGCGCCGGCGCTGAGACCTGCACTGCAAGAAGGGTCGCACGGCTCACACACGCATCATCAGCGAACTGCAGCCACACGCACGTGGTGCACAGCTCGCAGCCGCAGCGATGGCGCAAGCAGAAGACAAACCCAGCTTTAAGCGCGCCCTGCTGGCGGGTGGCGCGGCGGGCTTCGCCGTCGACGTGTCGCTCTTCCCGATCGACACGCTCAAGACGCGGCTCCAGGCGCCGGGCGGCTTCCGGCAGGCGGGAGGGTTCTCTGGTATCTACCGGGGGCTCGGCGCGGCCGCCGCGGGGTCCGTGCCGGGCGCGGCGCTCTTCTTCACGGCCTACGAGCGCACGAAGCACACGCTCGGGGCCGAGAACACGTCCGCGCAAGTTTTAGCAGCGTCCGTGGGCGAGACCGTCGCTTGTTCCGTACGTGTCCCTGTCGAGAACGTCAAGCAGAACCAGCAGGCCGGCAAGATCGACGCGAGGTTACTGAGCGGCGCGTCCCAAATACTGAGGGAGAGCGGCGTCGGAGGCTTCTACCGCGGCTTCGGCGCCACAGTCGGCCGCGAGGTGCCCTTCGCCATGATCCAGATGCCCCTGCTCGAGTCGGCGAAGCGGGCTTGGAGGAATTATAGAGGTGCTGATCTCGAACCGTACCACGTCGCTCTATGCGGCTGCGCGTCCGGCGGCTTCGCCGCTGCGGTCACTACGCCGTTGGATGTGGTGAAGACGCGGCTGATGCTCGGGGCCGACGCGAAGGGTTTGGCTTATAACGGTGTGGCGGACGTGTTCTCGCGCGTCGTCAAGGAGGAGGGCGCGGCCGCGCTGCTGAGCGGCCTCTCGGCGCGCGTGTTTTGGATCTCGCTCGGCGGGTTCCTGTTTTTTGGCGCCTACGACGCGGCGACGAGCCAGCTGAAGAAGCGCGGTGTTTAGGTCTATTTGTGTGTGTGGCGTAACGTGTTGCATATATATTTGAAGGTCGCGATAGACCTCTGAGGTCTAGGAAAAGGCAGCACGTATTCTTAGTAGTACCCCACGTGAAACGCGAAGGCGACAATTCGCCGGAGGACCTCGGGCGGGACGCGTCGGAGGGGAGAGAGGCGTCGTCGCGAACGTCGCTGCCCATCGGCGGGGGCCGGCTTTGGCGTCAGCATCGCAGTGAGTCTGTCTAAATGAAGACGCGCGTAGTTGGCGAACGAGCCCGCCTCGATCACGCGCTGGAGGTATGGGTCGCTCGCTTCGGCGGGGAGCGCGGCACCGGCAGCGAGCAAGACAGGGTAGACACGTCGTATGGCGGCGAGATCCCGACCGAGACATCCTTCAGCCTCAGAAATTGCGAGACTTAACGGCGTGTCACCAAACACATCTATCGCCGTCACCGAGGCGCCGGCTCTGATGAGCAGGTCTACTTTGGTGGCACCGATCGGACCGCCGTGGGCCGACGACCAATGCATGGCCGTTCGAGAGTGCTGGCCGGTCGCATTCACGTCGGCCCCCGCGTCCACGACCGCTTGCATGAATTCCACGTCATCGCGTGATGCAGCATGACCTGCTAAGTAGTGAATGGCCCGATCTCCAGCCCGGTCAGGCAAATTCACGTCAAAGTCCGGCTCTTGTCGGAGCAGGTCGAGGCACGCTAACCGGGCTTTCGGGTCAGTACCGAGACGTTGATTCGGGTGGAGCCTGCTAGATAAAAGGATGATAAGCGGCTGGCCGTCGCGCATAATATTGGGCGAAACTCCAGCTATAGCGAGCGCGCGTCGCATCTGTCTTACATTACAAGTCCTAGCGGCCTCCTGAATTGAGTTCGGGTCCCATTGATCCGAATCGTCACCGCTCCCTGTCTCCGCCATGCGCTCAAAGCAGAGTCGGGATAATCTCCGGCGCGCGTCCACGGGCGGGCGGGGGCCTAGACTAGCCTAACACAGCCTAACTGGAAAAACAGTCGGCATGCTAGCGTGATGTAAGACACTAGCTTGCAGCCTGAGACTTTTGGAGGCGGCCGTGCGCGCACCACGCGCAATAATCGATCGAAAAAACGCTCGTCTACAGCCAATCATAACACAAGACGCAGCACTAGCATCCGTTCGCCCGCACACAATGCTCCTAGTCTTGCTACTGCGACACGCCGAGTCGACGAGCAATGTGGGAGACGACGTCGAGGACCCAGCACTCACGGCCACGGGCGTGGCGCAGGCCGACGCGTGGCGCGACCGCGCGGCGGGTTGGTCGCTCGACGCGATTCTGGTGTCGCCGATGCTCCGCTGTGTCGCGACCGCGGCGCGCGCGCTCGGCGCGTGCAACTGCAGCAGGTGGGAGGTCTGCGCCGCCGCGCGGGAACACTGGTGGGTGCACAAGCAGAACCGCGGCCGCCTCGCCGCCGACCTGCTGCCGGACCTGGCCGACCTCCCATCCCACGGCCTATCGACGGCCACGATCGAGGCCGCCGTCGGCGCGCCGTCGGAGCACTGGGATCCCGCTGGCGAGGCAAGGGCGAGTAAGCGGTGGCTCGGACGGCGAAGCGCCGCGGCCACGCTCGCTCTCGTAAACGATCTATGCGCGCGGGCCGACCGCGGCGCGGACAAGAGAATAGCGGTCGTGTGCCACTGGGGCACGATCGCGGCTTTATCAGACGCCGACGCGCCGAACGCCGGCGTCGTGGGACTCGCCTTTTCGCCGGCGGCCGACCGCCCCGCGGACCCGCGCTGGTCCTGCCACCGGCGGGCCGCGGCCGACCTGGGCTGGCACTGGGACGTGATAGGGCCCTTCGCGGCGGACGCGCCGGCAATTCCGTGTGTAGAAAGCTAAGTTATGTGTGTTCACTACTCCGATGGAAGCGCCGGAACGGCAGCCGTTGCTCGCGTAAACAATCAACAACGTGGGCCGTCAGCGCGGAAAGACGAGAAGGGAGCAGCGGCAGGTAGTGGACGCCGTCGCGCTGCGTCGCCCAGCACTGCTCCCGCGTCAGCGCGTGCGCGTCGACGACGCGGACCGGCGTAGAAAGTCCAGAGAGGGCTTTCTGTTCGAGGGCCGCGGCGTGGGCCGAGCCCGCCGCGTCGAAGGATAGTTTAGAGCAGGCGGCGGCCTCGTCCTGATCCGACGTGATGGCGGCGCACTCCCTGGTGTAATAAGAAGTGTTCTTCGCGGCAATTCGCAAAATCGCGGCCTTGCGCGCGGCCCACGGGTTATTTACATCATCAAGGAACCGTGTCAATTGAACCAGATCCCAGTCTCCCGTAGGAAACTCACCCGCCTCGCTCTCGTCGCGCCGCTTCAGGAACTCGCGCGAGCACAACCAGTGGCCCGTCATGAAGACCGGGCAGGCCCCCACTGTTGATACGGCATCCACAGCCTTCGCGAGCTCTCTCCCCAAGTCGCGCGCGGCGGGCCAGCCGCGCCACTTGATCAGAGGTAGCAGCTGGAGCATGTGTAATGACGTAGAGCCAAAGTACACGACGTCCCACCTCTTCACGGAAGCGCCCCTTGCTAAATTCCGCAGCACGGAGCGCATGGAACGCATCGACCAGGGGTCCGAGTCCCCATCAAAGACCTTGAGCGCCACCGTGATGCCTTTACCAGAACACATTAAACCAGTGGACGACGTGCCCGTCGCGATGTCGCGCGGCTGCGTGCCCAGCACGTCGCACAAAAACTGAAGCTGGTTCCGGTGCGTCGAGTCGCCGATGAAGGCAATGGTTGCTTCTATGTTCTCAAGTCCGAGCGGGCCGTAGTACCACGACGCGTTCCGTTCTCTATTAATTTGTAGTGCGTTTCGGTACATGGTCTTGGCACTTGTGTGGAGCAGCCCAATCAGCATGAGGAGCGGGCGCATGCTGCCGCGGCTGGCTTATGCTATGCATGCTAGCACTGCGGGGCAGCATCATCGTGCCGAGGCAGTTGCTAGTGTCTGACAGCCGCTAGCTACGCGGGAGCCCTGGAGGCCGCGTTTCGGAGCTCGTGCCAGGTCTTCGTACGGGGAGGGGTGCGTATAGATAGATACTATCCTGCTCTTATTCGGCGGGTGGCGCCGTGGCCGCGGGCTCGGCCGCCTGCGCCGGCGCAGGCGCTACGGGTCGCTCGAAGACCATCGTCACGGAGTCCGTCCGTCGGGGCTCGTTCGTGACGAGCTTCTCCAGGGAGCTCTCCCAGGACACGAACGTCGCGTCGAAGAGCTGGCGATTCCACGAGTAGCCGGCGCCGCTGAAAGAATTGAACATCGTCAGCACGCCGCCGCCGTCGCTGGGCGCGGCGCCGTATTCGTAGTACGTGAACGCGCGCAGGCGGTCGCCCACGCGCTCGACGCCCTTGTTCTGCTGTTCGCTGCCGTCCTTCGTGACGACGGCTCCCAGCTGCGCCCGATTCTCGATGTCGATGAAGAAGGGAAGAGGATACTGCGCCACGACGAGCTCCGAGTCGCTCATCGTCGGCGTGATCTGGATTTTTACCGGTTCGCCGGCCTCGAGGTCCACCTCGCACTCAAACGGCTCGCGGGCCGGCGCCGCGTGCCTCGCGAGGCCGACGCGTGGTGCTGCTGGCGGGGCGAAGCCTAATGCGCATTGCGAGACGCACACGATGAGTGTGACACGCAGCATGTTGTAGTGTGCAGTCAGATCGATGTGGAGCTGGCTGTGTTGCGCCAAGTCGTTTTGGGGCCGCTCAAAAACAGCACGAGAGATGCTCCGTGCGTGCAAACCGATGTGTACTCGTGCACCACGGCCCAAATCGGAGAGCAGACTAGCGTCGTTGACACACTAGGAATGCCCAGCCGAATGTTATGCGGCTACGTAAGGGATTGATAGGCCTTGTGCGCGTCAAGCAATTGCAGTAACTAATAAGCTGCAAATATACGCGCGAGGCGCCACGGGCTGCAGGATGCGCCGAGCCACCCAACTCCTGCGCCGCCACACCTCCAGCGCCGCAGCACGCGCCGCCGTACGACAGGAAATAGCATCACTGGAAAAGGCATCGATCGACGGCGGCGGCATTGACAGGATAGAAGCGCAGCACGCCAAGGGCAAGCTGACCGCGCGCGAACGTTTAGACGTGCTCTTAGACACGGAATCATTTAGAGAAATCGACGCCTTGGCGTCGCATCGCTGCGACGACTTTGGATTAGAATCCGACAAAGCCCCTCCGGGCGACGGCGTCGTCGCGGGGTTTGGGACCGTGCACGGCCGGCCCGTTTGTGTGTTCTCGCAGGATTTTACGGTCTTCGGCGGCTCGCTGGGCGAGGCACACGCCGCGAAGATCGTGAAGGTCATGGAGCGCGCGCTGCACTGCCGCTGTCCTATCATAGGATTATCGGATTCCGGAGGCGCGCGCATACAAGAAGGAGTTTTATCTTTAGCCGGCTACGCCGACGTCTTCCAGAGGAACGTGGACGCGTCGGGCATCGTACCTCAGTTATCCTTAGTGTTGGGGCCCTGCGCGGGCGGCGCCGTCTATTCACCAGCAATGACCGACTTTCTGTTCATGTCAAGGCAAGCCTACATGTTCGTCACCGGTCCTGATGTGGTAAAAGCGGTCACGAACGAAGTCGTGACGCGGAACGACTTAGGCGGCGCCGACGTCCATTGCAGCAAGTCGGGCGTCGCGCACGGCGCCTTCGACGACGACCTGGCGGCTCTGAAGGCGACTCGAACACTTTTGGGGTATCTGCCCCAGTCGTATGATGGCGAGAACCCCGACGTGTTGCCCTACGATGATCCGGATCGGTGCGACGCAGCCCTCAACACGATCATCCCCGACGACCCGAACCAGTCGTACGACATGCGCGAGGTCGTCAAAAGAGTTGTTGATGGTCATTCTTTACTCATATTAAGTGAGGACTACGCCTCAAATATCATCACGGCCTTCGCGCGCTTGAATGGGAGGGTGATTGGCGTCGTGGCGAACGACCCGCGGCACCTCGCGGGTTGTCTCGACGCGGACGCCTCGACGAAAGCGGCTCGCTTCGTGCGCTTCTGCGACGCGTTTCAGATACCTTTGGTCACGTTTGTGGACGTGCCGGGCTTTCTACCGGGCGTGGCCCAGGAGCACGGCGGCATCATCAGGCATGGTGCGAAACTGCTCTTTGCTTATGCGGAAGCGTCCGTACCAAAACTCACGGTCATCACCCGAAAAGCTTATGGCGGCGCCTATGATGTTATGTCCTCGAAACACTTGAGGGGCGACGCGAACTACGCCTGGCCGTCGTCCGAAATCGCGGTCATGGGCGCCGCCGGCGCGGCCGAGATTTTACATCGAGGGGTCAGTGATGAAGAGCGTGTGGCAAAGGCCGACGCGTACGCGGCGCGCTTCGCGAATCCCTTGCTGGCGGCGAAGCGGGGCTTTGTCGACGCCGTGCTCGAGCCGTCAGAAACGCGACCGCGGCTCATCGCCGATTTGGAAGTGCTGCGGCATAAAGAGCGGCCGAATTTGCCAAGGAAGCACTCGTGCGGGCCCCTGTGATTTAACAACAATAATTTACGACCACCAGCGCCTCCGCTTCGTCTCGGGCGGCGGCTTGAGCTCTGCAAGCAAGGCCTCGAGCCTTTCGAGCCGCGCCTCGACGTCGGCGCGCCGCTCGGCCTCCTTCTCCTCCTTCCGCCGCGCCGCCGCCTCCTTGTAGTTGTTCTGGCGGTTGTACTCGTAGCCCATCACAGTAACAGCCACGGTCAGCACGAAGCCCTCGGAGACGATCTCCGCGCCCTTCTCTCTAGCTTCGGTGGCCTTCAGTTCGATATGTTTATATGGCTTCTTCCATTTATCTAACGACGACGCGTGCGTCAGGCGGCTCGTGAGGTAGTTCGTGGTCTGGCCGATGGACGTGCAGGCCTCGCGAAGCCAGCCCACGTGCTCCGCGTCCACTTTCAGCTGGCGCGCGACGGGCTTGGCCAGCGTCTTCACGAGGAGGCCGCCGACCTTCATGAGGACGCCCGGTTGCGCCATCTTTCCGCTGGTTGTATCGCGGCGCCGGCGTAGAGCAACTGTGCTACTGATCAATGCAGTCAAGGGATGCGGCCGTCGCGCTTCGAGACAGCGACTGCTTTGGTATTTGCAGGCGTGCAGGGAGTGCAGCACTTAGCTAGACAGCACCTGGGTCGCCAAGGATCCGTGCTTCACGAGCTGCACGAATAGGGTACAGTTGGACAAGTGCGCGCGTGCAGCGCCGTGGGCTCGGCCAGACTGTCCCGCTACGGGCACCAAAGGCGACGTAACTCTCTCACTATATTTCGAAGCCTAGCGGCACACCGATACTAGCCTTAAAGGCAGCTGAAGAGGCAGCGAGAGGACTCCCCGCGCTGCGCACTGAGGTCTGCGAATCCGTTTTGGATACCAAATTTCGCTATAGAGTGCTGCGGCACAACGGGAGACGCACGCGCGGCATCTCGCAAAAGTTGCAGCCTCTCATCGCTGGGAGAGCACCACCCAGCGTGCAGCGTGCAGCGATGGCCGAACAACAAGCGGCAATAGCAATCAGCCCCGACGGCAAGACCATAGCAACAATAGCCGCCGCGCGCCTGACGCTGCACGCCGGCGACGGCCGGACGCCGGCGCGCCAGTACGTCCCGCCCCGGAACGGCGCCGCGAAGCGCTACGGCAGCGTCTGCTGGGCGCCCGACGCGAGCTTGGTGGCGTGCGGCGCGGCCGACGGCTCCGTGACGGTCTGGGACGTAAGAAAAGGCGTGATTCGGACGACGCTGCCGGGATCGGATCCGGTGAAGACGGTGCGCTTCGCCGCGGACGGCGCCGCGCTCTGGGTCGCAACCACAACCCCCGACGGCGCGCCGCGGCGCACGGTGAGGCGCCTCGCGCTCGACGGCACAACAAACGACGTCGACGCCGACGCGCGCGGCGTTTCAACTCTAGCGCCCCACCCGTCGAGCGGCGACGCCTGCGCCGTCGCGTCGAGCCGCGTGCGCCTCGTCAAGGGCACGGAGCGGCGGACGCTGCCCGGCGCGCACGCTACCTTTGTGCGATGCCTCGCGTGGACAAAGGACGGGAGGCGCGTCGCTTCTTCGGCCGATGCGCGCGAGATCCTGGTCCACGACTGCGTCTCGAATTCATCAGAGACGCTGCGCTGCGCGGCGCCTCTACTTTCGCTGGCGTGCTTCGTCCGAAATGACGTGGTCGTGTGCGCGGCCGTGCTGGCCGACGGCCGCGTGCAGCTCGCAGGATCGGAACCGGATTCTACAAGGACCGCAGTCGCCGTGCGGCACGTGGCCGGCGATGCCCTGGTCGTCGCGCGCGGCGACCCGCCCAAGTGTTCGCGCGAGGCGCTCAAGATCGAGGGCGACCGCGTGGCGGGTTTAGTACCCAAGGTGGCGCCTGCGCCCGCGCCGGAGAAGCCCTCCAAGAAAAAGACGAAGGCCCCGCCGGTATTAGGATTTGCGAGCCTCTCGGGCGATCCATTGTTAGAGGAAGCTAGGCAGCAGCACGCGGCCAAGCGGCAGCGGTTAGAGGCGAGTGAAAGTGGAGACGCGTCGCTGGGCGACCGCCTCGCGGAGATGGACGCCCTCGCGCGGCGCCACGAGGCCGGGTTGAGGGCGGACGCCGCCGCGCGCGACGCCGCCGATTCATCCAGGTGGGGCGGGCCGGCGGCCGAGGGCGACGCCGCGTCGCTGGCGAAAGTATTGGATCAGGCGGCGCGCTGCGGCGACGACCGGCTCATGGACACGGTTTTGAGGAGGACTGAACCCGACGTCGTCGAGGCGACGCTATCGAGGCTGCCGGCGGCGTCGGCGCTGCCGCTCTTAAACAACCTGGCGGAGCGACTTGAAAGGAGACCCCGCGACGCGCCGCGCCTCGTCCCCTGGATCCAGGCCACGCTGAGGCACCACGCTGCCCATTTGGCGAACCACCCTGGCGCGCGCGACGCACTTGCCCGTTTGCAACATGTCGTGGCGGAGCGGGTCCATTTGTTACCCAAGTTGTTGGCGCTCCAGGGCAAGTTCGACCTGTTGCTGCGGCGCGCGGCGGCGGCGCGCGCGGCGCCGGCCGGCGGGCCAGCCGTCGAGGCGGTGCCCCGGCGCACGGTCGCGGCCGACCCGTCCGACGACGAGATGGCGGATGATGACGACGAGGAGGAGGAGGAGGAGGATAGCAGCAGCAGCAGCAGCAGTTCCGGCTCCGGCGACGGCGGCGAGTCGTCGTCGGGCTCGGACAGCGACGACAGCGACTAGGAGTAAGGAAGGGTAGTTATTTGAGGAGACGAGGAAGGAAACTCGGGCGACGAACAGCAACAGCGACTAGGAGTAAGGAAGTTATTGGATTTCGAAACGTCGAAGGGAGGAAGGAAAGGGTGCTCAGAAGCCCAAGGCCGAACCGATGGCGCCCGCGACGTCGCCGATGGCCGAGCCGACATCGCCGCCAACACCGCCTATGGCCTGGCCCGCGTCGACGGCGAAGCCGCCGATCGCCTGGCCCGAGTCCATTGCAGCGCCTGCGGTCCAGTCGCCCGCGACGGCAAATGCGCCCCCGGTCGCGTCGGCGGCGTTAACAATACCACCGCCGGCAACGTTGGCGGCGCCAGCCGTCCACTGTCCGACGTCGCCCGCCGCGCCCGCCGTCCAGTCGCCTGCAGTGCCCGCGGCGCCCGCGGTCCAGTCGCCGGCCGCATTTGCGGCCCCTGAGATCCCAGGCGCGGCAACGTTCGAGCCCCATTGTCCGACGTCCGATACGGCGTTGTTGATCCCAGGCGCGGCGACGTTCGAGCCCCATTGTCCGACGTCCGATACGGCGTTGTTGATCCCAGGCGCGGCGACGTTCGAGCCCCATTGTCCGACGTCCTGTACGGCGTTGTTGATCCCAGGCGCGGCAACGTTCGAGCCCCATTGTCCGACGTCCGATACGGCGTTGTTGATCCCAGGCGCGGCGACGTTCGATCCCCACTGTCCGACGTCCTGCGCGGCGCCGCCCGTCCACTGCGCGACGTCGTTCGCAGCGCCGATGACTTGCGCGTCCGACGCGATATTCTGTCCGGCCCATTGGCTTGCGGCATTAGCGCCGTCTACAATGGCGCCCGGGTTGGCCGCCGCCATGACGACGCCCGCGCCGACGGCGCCGCCGACGACGCCCGCTGCCACAGCCCCACCGACGCCCAGGCCGCCGCCCGACGCCTGCCCCTCCTTCTGGACCGGCGGCGCCTGCGGGCCCGGCGCCGGGCCTCCAGGCGCCTGGCCCGGCACGGCGCCGCCCGGCCGCTGGCCCGGCACGGGGCCGACGAAGCCGGGGCCGCCGCCGCCGGCGAAGGGGTGGCCGCCGCCACCGTATGCCGCCGGCGCGCCGCCACCTCCACCATAAACCGGGGGCATGGACGGCCCGCGCGGGCCTCCGGCGAAGACGGGCAGCGGGCCCCACTGCCCGCGGATCACCGTGGAGCCGCCCTGCGGGCCCACTAATATCAGACCCGTGTGCGGCGGCTGCGGGTACGTGGGCGTCGTAGCATTCGTACCCCAGCGGATCTCGAAGCCCGGGCCCACGGCCTTGGCGCCGCCGTGCGGCGCCGAGGCGACGGCCGACGCGATGAGCGCGTTCTGCGCCGGCGTGAGCGGCTGGAAAGCGCCAGAAGCCGTCTTCTGCGCGTAGGCCGGCGCCGTGCCCAGCGCCACGCGGACGATGCGGCAGGCGCCCGAGTTGTTGTTCACCTGGAGCAGGCCCGAGTCCGGCGCCACCGGCATGCCTTGGGCCGTCGCGTTACGGCCGCATTTTACCGAAAATGGTAGGCCCGGGAGCTGTATAATAGCGTCGGGGTTGCCCGCGAGCGCCGTGGCGATCAAGCACGATTGTTCGGGCGAGTATCGCGTCCACTGCTGCATGCCGTCGTGGAGGTGCTCGAAGCAGGCGGTCGCGCCCTGGCCCTGGGCGTTGACCTGGTACCGCAGCGCCGCGAGCGTCCGTCGCAGCTGGACTGCTTCCGCCTTTGCGGTGTTGAAATCTCTGAGATCGGAGCCGTCGGCGGGCTTGGCCGCCGCCGCGTCGAGGGCTGGGCCGAATTGGGCCGAGGCGCCGGCTCCCATCCTTCCACTGCTTCTATCGCGTGGAGGCTGTTACTCGGGTTGCTTCTACTGGACCCGAGTAACAACTACTACTGGATCCAGCTGGACTGGGGTCCAGGCGCTTCTGCTGGTCCGCCGTGTAGCTGCTGGGCCACAAAGCACAAAAACGCGTTGGGGCAGCCCTCGGGCTTGCGTACGAGTCGCTACTACGTCGTAAAACCTCTGCCCACTCCTCGCAAAGCGCTGCGCGAGCTCGGTCGCGCGATAAATTAGGGCCTCGGAGGCGTCGGTTCGCGTCTGTATGCGTCCCCGAACCTTTTTCGCGCTCCCTCTCGAGACGCTAGTGTCCTTACGACGCTATGCGATTATTTCAGCGGGAGTCTGTGAAGTTGCTATTCAGAGCCATAGCCATCGTGCAGCAGCGCTGCGCCTCGAGCGAGTGTGCGCTGGCAGTGTTTTACAAGCGCCGTCGTGCCAAGGAGCGCTATTAGCACGCGCAGCACAACATAGCACATTGTAGCGCCTTGCCACTCGCTCCGGTGTCCGTCGCCGAGCAGTAGCCCAGCAAGGTAGAGGAAACAACAGAACGATGCGCGCCCTCGCCCTCGTCGCCGTCTCGACGCTGCGCGCGCCGTCCCGACTAGTGAGACATGCGGACGACCTCCCGACGGTCGAGGAGGCGCTCGCGAGCGCTGATAAATACGAGGGCAACGCGATCGTCGACCCGTATTACGCGCACCCCGATACCTTACCGATGATGCACGAGTGGACGGCCGAGACCTTTGACGCCGACTTGGAGGCGGGGGGCCACGCGGAATGGGATATACCAGGAGAGGCGTTCGTGTTCCTGCGGACCGTCGCGGATCCTTCATTACGTCGGAAAAAACACGAGGACCACTTAGTCTGGGCGCGCGAGTCCCATCTCAAAGCCGATAAGGATGATTCGAAACCGCGCGTCTACGTGTCGCAGCTGTTGAGGGATGAGGCGGGCACGGAGGTGGCCGGATCATTACTCGCGGTTATTGGTGGTAGTGAAGAATCAGCGAGGGCATTAGTCGAGACGGATCCGTTGATCCGAAGCCTGGACGACGACGTGAAAGCCTACCACTGGACGATTGCTGGAGATCCTTACTTACAATTGGAAGTTTGGCCCGAGGGGTCGGCGCCCTTCGCGATGTTGAGGCTTGATGACCAACAAGGTACACAAAACCGGGGCGCGACGCGGGAGAAGCACCTGTCCTTCCTGCGCAAAACGAAGCGGTGTCTACGGGCCGGGCCGCTCCGGCCCCTTGATAACTCAGCAACACCTATTTCAGAGAGGGCGCCGTGCGGGTCTTTAGTGTACAGCTTCCACGAAGATGAACAAAGTTGTCTGGCGTGGGCTTCTCGCGATCCTTATGTCGAGGCGGGCGTCTTCACGGAGCCTCCTCTCCTACTCGCGTCGTACTGCGACTTAGATTGTAGCGGCAAGCAGGTGACAAGACCGGCGCCCTTCAACGAGCTGCCCGATCCGGTCCTGGCTAGACTCGTGTCGGCGGGTCTGGAAGAACTTCCCGAACGCGTCGTGCAGCGCATCGAGCGGGACCCGCAGACGGGGAAGTACGAGCGCTACAACATCACTACATTAGATCCTCGATTAGAATCGAACGTGCGCATCGACGACGAGCTCATGGCGAAGATGGCGTCCACGCCGAAGGCGAAAAGGGCCAAACGCGCGCGCGACAAGAAGGCGAAAGAAGAGGCCGAAGAGGAAGAGTTCATGATGGAGGACTTCTAAGTTGATTATTCTATCTCTTTTACTCCTAATAATCCTGCGTGGCGGTACCTATTGAGTTGGGTGGCGACGCCGGCGTTGCCCCCGCAGTGCACGTAGCACTGGGGCCGGTCGTCCACCGTTTGTAAGAGCGTCTCAAAGGCCGCCGGCGCATAGACCAAGTCGACGTGGAGTCCTGACGCTGCCAGCTCGCGCCACGTCGCCAAAACGCGTTTATCCGGCGCGCCGAAGCGGTAGGGCGGCGCCCCAAGGATAGTGGGAAACGCGCCTATGGAACCCGAGGCGTCGTCCAACAGAGTCATCTGGCGCTTCAATTCGATAGAACTGGTAGCGCAGGGCGCCGCGCAGACCTCGACGTCCGCGTCGCGCAAATGCCTCGCCAAAAACAGGGCCGTCGTGCCCGTTCCCGCGGGGACGACGACGCGCGCGTTTGCATACTCTTTCAAGTCATCAACAAGCTCCGCGGCGAGCATGGCGACGCCCGCTTCCGCGTCGCGCGACGCCGCTCCCTGCGGCACCCACGCGACCTCTGAGACGCCCGCGACGTCCTTCAGGAGATCGGCCCGCCATTCAGGATCAGCAATACACCGCCGGTAATCATCAGGTTTCAAAGGAACGAGCTCGGCCCCCAGCGCCAATGCCCTAGCGTAGTTGCCCGCCGGGTTTTGGCGGAGCCACCGCGGCACCGGCTTGCAGACGAAGTAGAAGGGCAGGTCGAAGGCCCGACACAACGCCGCGATGCACGGGAAGGCGTTCGACTGGTGGCCTCCTAGCGAGGCCACGGCCTCCGCATCCCCAAAACCGCGCTTGTACAGCCCGTACAGCTTCCGCGCCTTGTTGCCGGCGACGCCCGATAAAACTCCAGGTAGGGCGTAGCGGTCGTCGCGCTTGACTAACACAGAGCGGCCGCGCACGGTGAAGGGCTGGAGCGGCGACGCCGGCGGCGCTTTTATGGGTGCCGCGGCGCGCGCCGCCGTGGCGAGCGCGGCTATGGCCATGCGCATGGCTGCGCTACGGCAGCATCCGTGCCGCGGGGCGCTGCAACGCGCGTGAGTGCTCCAGTGCTACACTTGGGCGACGAATGCCAGCGTCTGTTTTGCTCCTCGCCGCGTACGAGCCCGCGTTTTGCTCAGTGCCGCTGCAGCTGGCAGAGGGTGTAGTCGCGGTCTTGGCGCGCCGACTAATCGTCTAGAGTTAGCGAGAGCTGGCGCGTCGCTCGTTATCGCTCATAAAGGTCACGACGCGAGCGCTGAAACTCTATTGCGAGTGCAGCCGCGTGCGGTGCACAAAAGTGAGACACTGCCACTTGCACTCTGCGGACCGATTAAGCAGCTGTCGAGAGGTGCATCTGCCCTTAGTAGCATCTACAGAGTGTGACAAATGCTGCGCCTTTGGCTCGCGGTCGGGGCCGCCGCCGCCTTCGCCCCGCCGACGCGCCCGCCGCCGCGACAGTCGGCGCTGCACGCTGAAACGCAAGCCCCGTCGTGGAAGGCGCTGCGGCCGCGGCCGGGCGACGTTGTGATAATCGACGGCGACAACTGCCGCGGCAAGAGCAAGTGGCGGCTGTCGGCAGCAGATGTAGACGCCGCGGCGGCGGGCGCGCACGCGCGCGGCCTGCTCGGCCAAGAAACAATCCTGATGCTCGACCACGGCGAGCGCCGGGACTGCTTCGTTTCATCATCAGGCGCCTACGCGACGGCCTTCGCGGGACGGCGCGGCACGGCGGACGACGCGATCGTCGACTGCGTCGAGCACTTCCTCGCTCACAATAGGACGCTGACGGTCGTGACGTCGGACTTCGGGCTGCGCGCGCGGGCGTCGTACGTCGCGGCGCGCGCGATCCGCGGCGCGCCCGAGGCTGGAAGAAGGCGCTCCCCCGAGACGCTCGTGCGGTTCGCGCGGTCCGAGGCTTTTGCGGACGCGGCCCTCGCCGACGCGACAATTGTACAAGGCGCGCACGCCGCCGCTTTTGATGAGGCGGTTGATAGATTAGCGAAGCACGTGCTGACGGCGCCTTCATCAATGCGCGCGCGGATGCGGCGCCGCGCGCGGCCGCCTCTGGTGGAGGGGTCGCCGCTCGGCAACGAGCAGACGTGGATGCGCGTCGTCCTCGCTGAAAGATTGAGGTGGCTCCTGGCGCGGGACGCGGCGGCGCCGCGCGGGCCGCTGGCGGATTTCGCAAACTGGTTCGCCGAGGAGGCGGACCCCGACGACGCTCCGCGCGTCCTCACGCACCGCCTCACGGACCGCAAGCACCGCCACGAGCTGCTGCGCTTCGCGGACGCGCTGCGGCGGCCGCCGCCGCCCGATATTGTTGAGGAGGCTGTCGAGGAGGAGGAGGACAGGGAGGAGAAGGAGGCGCGCGCCGCCGTCATGGTCGCGGGCAACCGCCGCCTGCGGCGGAAGCGCCGCAAGCGCGAGCGCGCCCGGAAGCTCGAGGGCGTCGAGCGGGGCGCGGGCGCGTCGGCGCGCGCGTCGGCCAAGAAGCTCCTGGCCGAGTCCGACGAGCTGGAGGCGGCGCTGCGCGGCTGGCTGCGGGACGCACCAGTCGCCGAACCGTCCGACGACGCTTTCGTTGAGAACCCGTTTCATTCGAAACCTGGATTCGGCGGGTCCGATGCGTTGCGGTGCATCTGCCAGAACCCGGACGAGCCGTTCTGGCCGGACGGGCACGGGGGAGACGATGACGTAGAATATTAAGTAAGTATTATACTTTCGCTTCGATCGCCGCTTGCAACTTCGCCGTCTCCCCAATAAACGCGTTGATGCCCTCGGCGAGCTTCGTCGTCGCCGCGAGGTCCGCGTTCATGGCCAGCCGAAAGCTCGACTCGTCGTAGACGAGCTCGGCGTCGGCGCAGGCCGCGGCCGCCCGGGCCGGCTCCAGCTTTCGCGGCACCGGCTCGTCAGACGACGCCAGGAGCTCAAGTAGCGGCGGCGGAATCGTCATCCGGTCCGTGCCTGTGCGTAAATCAACCAGTGAGTCGGTGCTCGTACTGGTTCCGTCGAGCGGTGAGGAACCGAAATTGCCACGCCATCGAGCAGGTGTCGCGCCGATGACGTGGAAGTCGACGCGGCGATTCAGGACTAATGCGTCGTAAATAAATTTGGTTTCCACACAGGTACGTGCCCGCTAAAGCTAAAATCTCGTCCACAGCATAAGACGGGTCCGACGTGCCGCGCGACGGCCGCCACGACGCCGGCATGCAGATCGTGCCGTGCCCGTGCTTCTTGTAGTACTCGTAGATGCGCCTAACTACAACGACGCCCGGATCCTCGTCGGGCTCGTACGTCGGCGCGCCGCCGTTCGCCGCGTGCCAGTCCTTGACGCGGCCGGGGAAGGGCGAGATGAGCCGCGCGCCGGCCTGCGCCGCGGCCACGCCCTGCGCGAAGCCGAAGATGAGCGTGATGTTGCACGTGATGCCGTCCCTCTCCAAAATCCGCGCGGCCTCGATGCCCTCCCACGTGCCCGCGAGCTTGACCAGTACTCGACTTCTGTCGACGCCCTCCGCTTCGTACATCGCAATAATTCTTCGAGCGCGCCGGACGGACTCCTCGGTGTCGAAGGACGCGCGGATGTCCACCTCCGTCGACACGTAGCCAGGCACGAGCTTCACGATCTCGAGACCAAGCTCCACGGCCAAGCGGTCCATCGCCAACGACACGACGTCGTCGCCGCCGCTGTTCGCCTTCGCGTAGGCGATGGCCTTATCCACAAAAGCGACGTACCTCGCGTCGCCCGATGTCCCGGCCTGCGCCACAAACAACGGATTCGTCGTGGCGTCGGAGATCAGGCCGCCCTTCGCGTATTGTTCAATTATATTCAGGTCGCCGGTGTCAATCGATAGGACCGTTTGCTCGGCTAATTGCTCGAGCTGCGTCGCTTGGCGCAGCGTTTTGGGGCGTAGGGTGCGCGGCGCTTGCAAGGCGAGCACAGTGGTGGTGATCACCAGGCATCGCAGCAACGGAGCCATTGCTGCTGCAAATTGCGGGAGCCCGCCTGCCAGGATCGCTTTTGGCGTTGCACAAGCGCTGTGTGTGCTGCGCCTCCGCTGCGGTGGCGTTTCAGCCTTTTTGCCTAGGCTGGGCCTCTCCCAAAAGCTGGAGAGCCCTCTCTAAAGCCGCCTATACGGCCGCATCAATCTCAAGCTCAGTGGAGCAGGCCAAACGCATCAAGCACAGACAATTCGCACCGAGAAAACGCCGCAGCGGCCATGCGTGCGGCAATGCCAGCCATCCTGCTGCTGCTCTCCCAGCCCAGCCGCAGCCTCAGCCCCCAAGCGCGGCGCACGCCCCACGCGGGCTACCACGGCCAGGGGCAGACCGACTTCTTCGTTTTTAACCGGCGTCCTATGTATTTACTTCACGTCGCGGCGATGGCGTGCACGCCCATGCCGTCACGCGTCGGCGCGGTGAGAGAGAGGGACCGCCGGACACGCCCCACACTAAAGAAAAACGAACGCAGGAGGGCTGGTACAACCGGATCACCCTACCCGAGAACGAGCAGTCGTTCGCGTTCATCTACGCGATCTTCGACCCGGGCCGCCGGACGGCGCGGTCGGGCGTCGACGCGCAAGTCCTTGCCTCCACGGCGGACGCCGCAAAAGCGATCTGCGCGTCTTCAACAGATTGCTCGCCCTTCGCCGCGGCCCCCCACGACCTGTCGCTGCGCTACGCCGGCGATACCTTCTCGTTCGCGATGACGTCCGTCCAACACCGGGGCCGCCTCGACGGCGTCACGTGGGACTTTCGCGTCCGCCCGGACGTCGGCTGGGGCGGGCGCTTCGGCGACGCGCGGCAGTACTCGACGGCGGGCTGGCTCGCGGCGCTCGGGCCGCTCCTGAGCCCGCACTACCAGGTCCTCATGTCCCTGGGCCACGCGACGGGCTGGGTCGAGATCGAGGGGCAACGGACGGCGTTCGTCGACGCCCCGTTCTACGCCGAGAAGAACTGGGGCCGCGGCTTCCCGCGCAAGTGGTGGTGGCTCCAGTGCAACGCCTTTGATGCCGTCGAGCCGGCGTCGCAGCTGACGCTCACGGCGACGGGCGCGCGGCGGAGCCTGCTGGCCGGCGGGGCGCTCGAGCGCGAGGAGGACGTCGGGCTCGTGGGCATCCATTTGGACGGAGAGTTCTGGCCCTTCCCCGAGGTCGAGTGGACCGTGGCGCCGTGGGGCGCGTGGCGCGTGACCGCGTCCTACGCCGACCGGGGCACGTCCTGCACGATCGAGGCCGAGACGGACGACGAGGGCTGCGCGGTGCGCGTGCCGTCGAAGAGCGGCATGGTCGACGGCGCGCGGGAGACGTACCGCGGTACTCTGCGCGTGACGATGTTTGACAACGGCCGCGAGGTCGTGTCCGCCACGACGAGGCACGCCTGCCTCGAGACGGGCGGCGAGTTCGACGCGGAGTGGGCGGCGGCCTCGGCCATGACGGAGCCGCTCAAGTCCGTGGCCTACAACGTCGATTTGGAGAGGGCTATATCGTCGCGGCTCGACGCGGCGCGGCGGCGCGGGGTTATCGACGTGCCTGGGTTATAGACGTTGGCGACCTAAGTATTCTTGTTGTTACGCGCAGGGATGTTTACATTGTTGGGGTTGGGTCGTATAGTTTCCGTTCCGGCGGCTGGCACTCGGAGAAACGCTATTTATGGATATTATTATTATTGTTGTTACTCGAGAGGCGCGTCTCTCTCGCTCTCGCTCTCTCGCAGTTGTGTTGCTTGCCCCGTACGTTAACCGTACGGGGTCTGTGTTAACGGTACGGGGCATGCTGAAACTCCTCGCTCTCAACAAACCCAAAACCATGTCCTTGCAGTTGTTGCCGGCCCGCCTGATTTACGTATTCACGACGTCTTGGCCGAAGGTGGGCATGATGCAAATTGACTCTCCATTTTTGGTAGGCTCCGTTGTCTTGGAACCGCCCCGAGAATAGCTGGTGAATACACCACTCTCGACTCTGGCGCCGCCATCCCGGATCGAAGACAAATTGCAAGCATTGCAAATGTCTGTGGACCCAACTTGGCTGATGCATTATGCAAATGCCATAGCAGATGAGGCGCCTACGACGACGGGCTTAAGCAAAATGTGTGAAAACTGTAAAACCCGTATAAAGCTAGCGTCCTGTAAGACACTAGCAAACCACAGGCTCGCGGGGCCACAGGCTAATCTACCTGCTTTACCGTCGGAAGAGCATCTCCGCGGCGACAGCAGTCAGCCAGCAAGTCACAAATACACATAGGACGCGAGGCAGTTCAGCGAGCGCGCATTTATTCCGCTCCCACAGAGAATCCAGCCATAGCATGGGAGGCCGCTTCTCCAGGAAACAAGCGGCAGACGGCGCGCCAGCCGGAAGCGGAGTCGTCATCGAGGCCGGCCTCGCCGAGGCCCTCGCCTCGCAACGGAATCGCCGCGACGCGGCGCAGCGCGCGGCCGACGCCGTGGGCAACCCGGACGCGGCCGCCGACGCGACGGTGCGGAAACTCGCCGCGGACTTCGAGGCCGAGCGCCGCGCCTTCCAGGAGAGCCGGGCGGCGGAGCTCAGCTCGCTGGAAGCCGATCGATTGGACGACGTCAAGCGGCAGGTGGCTTTGTTACACAGCAAATACGACTTCGTCCGCAAGGAGGCGGCGCCGCGGTGCGTCGCGGAGGAGAAGGACGTCCTCGACTGCTACGCGTCGAAGAGCGGCGCGGGGGTCCTCCAGTGCGCGGCCGTCGTCGACGCCTACGCCGCGTGCGCGCGCGGCGTCGCGGACGACCTCGCGCGGAGCCTCGCCGCCGCGAAGAAGAACTAATTACTGTAACTTATCAGTCTGACTCGGAAGACGAGTCGCGCCGCCGCCGCCGGTCGCTGCCGCTATCACTATCACTATCGCGGCCGCGACGCCGTCTTCGCCTCTCATTTCTCTTCTTCTCCTCCTTACGACGACGCCGCGCATCCACTCTTTCAGTCTGCGCGGCCTTTTCCTTGCGGCGCATCTCCTCCTCCACCCTCCTTTCCTCCTTGACCTTGGCTTTCCGGGTCGCGCGCGCCTTCTCCCGTTCTTCCCTTATATCTTCCAGCGCGTGGTCCAGCTCGTCGATCTCATCTCGAATATCCGCGAGACTGCCGTCGTCGTCGTAGTCCTCGTCCCTTTCTTTCCGCCGCTCGATGGCCGCCGCGCGCCGCTCGGCCCTCTCGACGCGTTTTTTCATCTGATCTTCTTGGCGCGCCAGGACCTTGTCCCGCAATTCTTCGGCGTGCTCGCGCTTCCTCTCCAGACGCTCGCGTCGCTGTTCCAAGGCTTTCTGCCGCCTTTCTCTAGCTTGAATTTCTTTTTCCTTGCCCTCCTTCCGCCGCGTGATCTCCAATTCATACGTCGTCAGCGTCTTCTCCCGTAAAGCCAGGGAGTCGCGCGTCGTCCGCCGCTCGATGGCCTCCTCCCTTCTACCGAGGAATTCGGCCCAGTCCGACGGTCTCGACTTGTTCTTGTGCTTGACCGGGCTCGCCGCTTCCCGGGCCTCCCGTTCGTCTTCCTCCGCATTTCTTCTATCTTCTTCGACCTTCTCGCGCTCGTCCTGGAGATCTTCCAACGCTCTCTCGAGCGTCTCGATCTCCTGCTCGATCGCGTCCAATGAAGCGCCGTCGTCGTCGGCGTCCGCGGCCCGCAGGAAGGCCTCCCTCCTCCGCGCGCGCGCCTCCTTCGCGCGCTCGGCCCGTTCCTCGCGCTTCTCCTTGTTCCTTTCATGAATCTCGAGCAACCTTTCTTTCCTCTCCTCCTCCCTCTCGAGCCGCTCCTCGCGCCGCTCGCGCCGCGTCTCTTCGAGTTCTTGGCGGCGCTCCCGCTCCTTGACCTCGTTGCGTCTCTGATTAGTCCGCTTCTTCATCTCCTTTTCGCGCCGTACGAGCGCCGTCTCCCGTAGTTTGAGAGTCTGGGCCGTCGTCGCGCGTTCCACGACCTCGGTCTGCCGCGACATGAAGTTCAGGTAGCCCGACTGGGGCGGGTCCACGTAGGCCTTCTTGTTCGGGTTGTACAGCGGGACGTCCTTGATGCGCCCATCCACAAAAGCTTTTTTGGTGGGCGCCTTGGGCTTCGACTTGTGTTCTTTTTCGGCCTCCAACTCGGCGAGCTCCTCCTTGCGCTGTTCGATGTCCGCGAGGCGCTGCTCGATGTCCGGGAGCTTATCTTGTAAAGCGTCCTCGACGGCCGCCGCCAACTCGTCTTCATCTTCGTCCTCCTCCTCAGCATCTGAACCCGCCTCAGCCCGCGCCTCCTCGCGTTCCCGCTTGCGCTCCGCTCTCAATTTACGAGCAGTACGCTTCCTCAGATCCGCCTCGAATCTGCGAAGAGACTGCTCCCGCAACTCCAGCGCCGCGAGCGTCTCGCCCTTCAGCAGCGTCGCCTCGCGCCGCTCGATGAAGTTGTCGAAGGCGCCCTCGTCCGCGTTGAACAGAGGTTCTTCGGTGGTCTCGCCCGTCTCCGGATCATAGACCTTCTTCATCGGTGCCTTGTCGTAGGTCTTGTACCGCTTCTCCTGCCGCTGCTGCACGTCGCCCCGCCTACTCTCGATCTCGCCCTGCACGCCCTTAATCTTCTCGCGCAGCTCCTCCATGTGCGTATCAAGTTTTTCTAATTCATCCTCGACGCGCTGCGCGACGAGCGGGTCCACGTCCTCCTCGTCGTCACTCTTGCCCTCGGCCTTCTGGCGCAGGGCCTTCTGCGTGAGTAGTTTTTTACGCCGCATCTGCCCCTCCATCTCCTTGCGATACTGCTCGATGGCCCGCAGCTTCCTGTCTAGGAGTTCCGGCGTCTCCGTCTCGTCCAAGGTTCGCTGGTACCGCTCCCTAAACGTGCCCAATCCTTTCTCCCGGAGTTTATCCATCAAGGGGTCCTCCTTCTTCGCCTCCTCTTCCTCATGGAGCGGCTCGTCGGGCTTCTCCGAGAGCTTCGCCCGCCACCGCCGACACTTATCGAGGCACGCCTGGTTGTAGTCCAGCCGCTCCTTGAGCGCCGGCACGGCGTGCTTGAACGCCGCGTTCCGCTGCGCTCTCGCTTCGTCCACCTTCGCCTCCAGCGCCTCGCGCCGCTTCGGGTCCGACTCGTAGACCGACGCCGCCTTGGCAGCTTTACGCTCGTCGTCCAGCGCCTTGACGATGGCCCGTTCGTCGGCGTCGATGGCGTCTTTCACCTTGGTGCCGGCCGCGCGGCGCCCCGCCGCGCGCTCGAGCTTGCGCCTCCGCTTCAGCTTCCTTAATTCTACAGTCAAAAAGCCCGCCTCGGCCTGTAAGATGGACCGCTCCCGGAGCAACAGCGCCTCAAGGGTCATCTGCGCGCGCGCGTCCGCCCGCAAGCGCCCGAGCAGCGTGCGCGGGCCCTTGCGCTTCGCCACTTTACGTTTCTTCGTCTTCTTCTTCTTCTTGGCCTTCTTCTTGCTCTTCACAGAATCCTCATCTTCTTTGGCCTCGGAGCCGTCCCCATCAGAGTCGGCCTTGGCCTCGGCGTCGGAGCCGTCGCCCTGCTTGGCCTCCTCGTCACTGGAGTACTCGTCGTCCGAGCCCTTCTTCTTCTTCTTCTTGGACTTCTTCTCCTCGATAAGCTGCAATTCGTCGAAGTAGAACTCGTCCTCGCCCTCTTCTGCACCGCCCGTTTCCTTACCCTTGCGGCCCATGAGCGGCCACTGCTCGCGCACCCATTGCTCGGCGTCGCCCTTGCCATCCGAAGCATCATCATCATCATCGTTCTCCTCGTCGCTCGAGAGATTGCTCTTCTCCCGCCGCCGCCGCGACGACTTCTTCGTCGGGCTCACGTTAGCTAGGGGGTCGTCGCCCTTCGCCTCGTCGTGAGAGCCGCCGTCCGACCCCTTCGCCTCGGACTCATCATCAGAACCCTTCTTCTTTGGCTTCTCATCACCTTCCTTGGCCTCAGCACCACCATCAGCTTCTTCCTTGGCCAGAACGACATAACATAAATCACCTTCAACTCTAGAAATCTTGCCGACTTTGCCCGACGGCGTCTTCACCCGCTTGCCGACGTGCTCCTCCAGATTATCTTCCTTGTCCGATTCCTTCTCGGATTCCTCCTCCTCCTCCTCACTACCACCACCCATCACGAGCTCTTCGTACACGATCGCACAGACGGCACACGTGTCGCGCGTGTCCAGCAACTCCTCGAGCGTCTGGCGCGCCCCGCATTTGCCGCACGTCTCCGCATCGTTACTACCAAGTAACTCCCGTTCGCGCGCCAGCTTGATCGCACTACTCGACTTATAGGCCACCGCGCATTCGGGACACCTGTCTCTCTTGTTCACAATCTCGTCGTACTTCTGGACCGCCCCGCAGGAAGGGCACATCTTCTTGTCGATGACATAGCCGTACTCCTTCTCGCCTTTCCTGTGCTCTCGGTCTTGCCTGACTTTGCGGCCCCACGCATCTTGGCGCTGGATGAAGTTGTTCGGATTATCCTCATCTTCCTTCTGATCTTCGCCGAGCGGGTCGCCCTTGCCTAATCGAGGTCGAAACGTGCAATTCAACGCATCATCTCTCGAAGCGAATTTGAACAATCGCTTTTGTGCCGCGTTCGTGACGTCTTTCACCGTTCTTCCGTAGACGTCCGTAGAACGATCAATCGGTTTTGATAATCTATGAGCAGATATAGTAGCGAACTTCGGGCCGAGCTTCTTCTTCGGTACCGAAAAGTCGACGGATCTCGCGAGCAGCACGCGCTGCTGCCGCGAGATGGCGTCCGGTGCTCTAGATCGTCTTAAACTTCGTTCAGCTAGGAGAGCGACCTCGGGCCTGTTGCCCGTCGGTATGTCTGACGTGTCCCAGGGTAACGCTGCTTGTAATTCAGGCGTTGCCTTCGCCTCGAGGCCGGACCAGGTCCTCGCCTCTACTTTATCCGGTAGTGCCTTTTTAGACGACATCCAGGCGTGCGGGTCCTCCTTTGACGCCTCGTATTTCGATGCACTGCGGCCCAGATCAGCGACAGAAGCTGATAGCTTCTCGCCATCCACTTTCCGCGCGGCCTCCTTGATGGCCTCGGGCGCCTGCTCCTGTTCCCGGCGAGCCTGCTTCTCCAGTTCGCGTTGCGCCTCCTGCTTCTTCCGTTCTTGGAGCTCTTCTCCGGCAGAGCGCATGCTTCGGGACGCCTCCAAAGTTTGCGACGAGTCCAATTCCCGGGCAGCACTCTGGAGGTTCCTTGAAGCGCCCTTCGCGTCGGCCCGCTCCTTGTCCTCGACCTCGGACGCGGCGCGCTTGAGCTTCTGCGTCGACTTGAGCGAGTCCTCGGTGTCCTGCCTCTTCAGAGGCGTCTTCGGCGGTTGTTTCATACGCACGAACTCGGCGATGACCTTCGTTTCTTTGTCGCCGTCCGCATAGTCGATATCATAGGAACCGTCGGCATTGACAGCTTTTATTGTCCCGGGGAACCACTCGCTTTCGCCGCCGTAGCGCGCCTCGACCTCCGCGCCCTCCTTCAACGGAGGCGCCTTGGCCGGCGTGCGCCCGCCGGGGAACGTGTCGCCGCTCACGCTAAAGTCCAGCGAGCCGTCCATCCTTCCTCGTTGGTGCTGCGCAGGTGCCACGGGGCTGCCCAACGGTAAACGCTGCCCGCGACGGCTCCTCGCGCGGTCCCGGTCCGAGCGGTGCCGTCCGGTGCTCCTGTGCCGGCGGCGACGCCGCTCGCGATGCGTACCGGTGCGCAGCGCGTCGCAAGCTGCCACAGTTTGCGGTTTTTGCTGGTATGAAGCTGGACCCCCTACTCCGCCTATCTCCGCCCCCCGGGCCCCTCGCACATTGTTCGGGGGGCTTGCCGAGGCCGTTCTGCTCCGAAGGAAGTATGCTGTCACGAAAGACGCGGCCCGCCGCCGATGAATCGGCGACGCGCGGTGTCCCGCCCCTGGAGGGGCTCCGCCCACGAGTCCGAGCTAACACCGTGCAAATTACAACAGATATTTTTTACGTCAGGTCCGGCAGCTCGTCCGCGTCGTCCTCGGTCAGCCCGGGCGCCGGCGCAACAGCGGGCGCCGCGGACTCAACAACCACGACGGGCCGCGGCAGCGCCTTGGCCACCTGCGCCACGGCGTGGTCCAGACTCTGTAAAGCCGGCGACGCGACGGCGTCGTCGAAGGCTTCATCGTCCGGCGCCTTGAAGCACTGCAATAAATCTTCGGCGGCCTTGGCCTGCTGCGAGGCCGCGTAGCCGTCTCTTCCTAAGGACTCGAGGAAGGCCGCGTCGGCTTTTTGCACGTCGGAGCCGTCCGCCAAGGCTAAGATCGTCTGTGCTGCCAAACAGCGATACAGCGGCGCGCCCGCGGCCATCCGCGCGCGGTCGAGCGCCTCGAGGAGTGTATTATTCGCCTGCAGCGCTTCTCGATAGTAGCCCTTTGAGCAGTAATAACCCACGACCTTCTGGAGGAGCTCGGGCGCGTGCGGCGAGCCTATGCTTGTCGAAGCGAGGTCCGTCGCCTTTGATACTAACGGCCGCGCCGCGTCCACTTGTAATGAAGCAGCGAGCTTCAGCGCGACCTCGGCGCCTCGCAACGGCTCTCCCGCAATGGCCCAGGTGTCCGCGGACTCCATGGCCAGCGTCGCCTTCGCTCCATCGTTAACAGCGAGCGGTGCCGCCTTTTCTAAACATCGCGCGGCCGTGTGCGGCGCGTTCGACTCGTTATGACATTTTGATGCCTTCCGGTATGCCTCGATCGCTTTCTCATTCGCACCGGCAGCAGCGTAGGCGTCCGCCGCCTTGCCGTACTCCGACGACGCCAGTAACGGGTTCGGCTGCTTCGACATGAGAGCCGCGAAGCCCGTCTTCTTGGGCGGCATGAGGGCTTCGGCCGCCGCATAAAAATCGTCTCCTCTTTGCTTCAGTTGTTGTTGGCGCTCGCGCTGGCGCTGCTGCGCGGCCTTGGACTGGCCGCCGAGCGTGTAGCTCTTCTTTTGGGGCTTGGGCTTTGGAGCGTCTTTCTTAGAGGTGCCGAAGAGGGCGCTACGATTGTCGGCGTAGCTGGCCATGGCGCAGCAGTTGTGCAGCGCTCAGCTAATGAGGCCGCGCAATTGCGCAAAAAAGCTTGCTAGCGTGATGTAAGACACTAGGAAAACTAGTGTGTGTGAGTACGCTAGTAATCGCTTTTGCCGTCAGCAAAGCCAGGCTAGCAACCACTACATCCACCGTTGCGTTAGACCAGGCAGAGCATCTCGACGGAGCCGCGGCGTTGGTCGCGCGTGCAGCATAGAGGTGAGCCCAAGGGTAGCTTGCAATCCACTGCTGCCTCCAAAGATGTGGCTACAAGCCATCTCGTTATCACTGCTAGCCGTGTCAAGCCATGCGCTCACGACGACGGCAGCACAGAGACCGGTGCAAGCCCTACAAAGGTTCCTCGACGACGTAACGACAACGAGCGCCGCGCGCGTCGCGACGGAAGACGGCCAGCTCCACCTCCAACTAACAAAGAATATCAGGAGGGGCGACTGCGTCCTCGAGGTGCCCTTGGACGCGTGCGTCACCATTGATCGGGCGCGGGCCATGCCATGGTTACAAACCGCGGAGGACAATGCGGGAGAACCGTGGGACCCCTGGTGCGGAGATGCGTCGTTGCTAGCAGCGTGCTTGCTCCGGGATGACCTACCGCGGGAGTGGATCGAATCGTTACCCCAAGACCTGTGGCTGCCTTTACTTGATACAAATGAGCCACCGAGTTGTTCCGCGCGGGACCTAGGGGCGCTCAGAGAAAATGCGGTTGATGATATGCAGTGGTTAGTAGACAACACGGGCGAAAACTGGGACGACTTCCTACTCGCGCTGGCCTGGGTCATATCGAGGAGTGTCGAGGTGCCCGACGTCGGTCTATGTCTCGCGCCCGGTCTGGATCTGGTGGATCACGACGACCTGCTAGATCCCTTCGAAGAAGATCTATTGTGTGAATTGGGACCGCGGGGCCCGGGCGGCATACAATTACCAGGCCGGAAGACCGTGCGGTTTCTGGCGCCCGAAGATCGCACCAAAGGTGAAAAACTGGTAGCTTCGTACGGCGCCCTTCCCGCCGCTGCGTATCTTGAAAGGTATGGATTTCTGCCTAGGACCGGTGCGGCGAGACGCTTCGCGGCGACGGCGGAGCTGAGATTTGAGTTACGCGAGGAGGACCGCTTTATCGATGATAAGCTCAACTTGTTATATTTGAACGGCGCCATCGACGGCGAGGAAGTGGACGATGGTTTTGTGGAGGCCTGTTTAGGTGGCGAGCCGGACCCGGAGGTGCTGCGGTTTTTACGGCTGTCGCTCCTCGAGGGCCCGGACGCCTTTTTGTTGGAGCCCATCTTCGCGAACGAGGTCTGGAACCACCTGGGCGCGCCTATTTCTCGCGATAATGAGGCTGCCGTAATAAAAGCGGTGGCGGACGAGGCTGAAGCTGCGCGACAGGGCATGCTCGTCGCAACGATTGGTATTTATGAGCAGCTGCGATCGGCGGAGCTCGACGCCCTCGAGGCGACGCAACGGTGGGCCGACGCCGAGGTCCTGACGCTGCCCGCCAAGGAGTACTACCAGGAAAGGCGCCTCAAGTCCCTCGGGTTGGACACGGAGTGGGACGAGGACGAGGGGAACCAGTGGACCGGCTCGAGGGGCGCGGCGTGGTAAATGTTCGTTTGTAGTTGCTTTCGTTGGTGGCGTTGGAGGTGTTCGTGTGTCTAGTGTTACGTACGGTGAAAACCGGCGGATGCGAACAATGCTGAACATACGGATCCATATTAACCACACCTACAGTTACCCTCCGGAGGGCGGAAAGTCCACCGGCCGCCAGCCGCCCGACGAATGCCGCGCCTCGACGGCCTCCAATTCAGAAAGAGAGCCGCGCTCGACGTCGAAGGCCGCGCCCAAGGAATCAAATAAACCAGAAGCGAGTTTCAATGCGCCCTCACCCGCATCCACGCCGCTCAGCGCGCCGAGCTTCGCGAGGAAGTCGTCGTGCGACCGGTCGCCTCTATACTCCGGTCTCTTCTCCGGCAGCGTCAGATACCGCATGTCCGCCTCGTCAAAGTCCCAGAGAAAGCTCGTGTGGTGGATCCACTTGTCCTTGACGATGGACTGCGCGTTGCCGCCGACCTTCCGATCCTGAAAGACGTAGTCGTGGTCGCGGAGCGCAAATTGCGTCGAGTCGATCATCTGGGAGAAGGCATCCCTATAGATACCCTCGGTCCACTTCATGATGTCGCGCGGGAAGGGCGCGCACGCCTCGCACCCTTTGTCGACGATGAGCGACGTAACTACAACACCGCCGTTCACAACCACAGTACCGCCGCCCGTGAAGCGCCGGATGACCGGCACCGGCCTCTTCTGCAGTTCGCCGGCGTCGAGCAACCGCTCGGGCTTGCCGCCCAGGCCGACGACGACCGTCGGTTGTTGTGGTGGCAGCGCGGTGATTAAACACCAGTTGCCGGGCTCGTGCCTGACCAGCGCCTCCTCGAGGCGCAGCATGCGCTTGATGGGCCAGCGCGGCAGCTCGACGAGGCGCAGCGCTGCCCTTGCCATGGCTGCTGATGCGTCGGCTGCGCGGCGACAGCGTGTGCACCGGTGAGGAGTAGTGCTCCTGAGAGTGCGGCTTGCAGCAGCCGCGGCGACGGGTGCAGAAGGTCGAAATTGCAGCAGCCGGCACAGCACTTCAAAGCGACACAGCAGCGGCAACAGTGCGTCGCGAAACGCACAAATGCGAGTGTTTGCTGCACACAAAGTCCAGAGATGCAAGCTTTTTGCTTGCTGCTAGTGTCTTACAGGCCGCTAGCGCAGAGCAATACAGTCGTACAGAAGACAAGCTTGCCAGTCCGCCCGACGTTGTCGGACGGGTGGAGCGGCGCCGGCGGAGATGCCCGGAGGTTGTCGACACACAAATTGTGCTGCAAATTGCTGCTTGCAAAAACACAACATCAAGCGGTGCAAAGGGCGAAAAGCAAAGCGAGAACACAAAATTAGTGAAGGCTGCTCGCCGCGGGCAGCCATGCCGGCGCCCCGGCAGCATGACATGAGCTAGCACCACCCATGCCCAAGTTTACGAAGCGCGACGTCGCGCCGCCGCGGCACCCGCCGCCGGATGTGGTGGATGCGATCATCGGTGCAGACGACGAGTCTCCGATGCGCGCGTCCGAGAGCGCCGCGGCGTTAAGGGCGATGGGCGAGGTCGGCAGCGACGCTGTAGAGTTGGACGAAATGGAGCGCCTGACGCGCGCCCTGGACCCTCCAAAAACGCCGGAGCAGCCGCGCCACGAGCGGCCGTTCGTGACACCATCAGAGGAGGAGACGAAGGACCTCGCCGAGCCGGCGCGCTGGGCGCCCTGCCCCGTCGAGCAGCGGAAGTGGAGCCATTCGATAGTGGTGTTGAATCCCTCCGATTTAAGATATGGGCACGAGCCCGGCGGGATGGCTCGTAAAGAAGCGTGGAAGTGGAAGCGGCGGCGGTGGCTGCTCGCGGGGTTGGTGGTTGTCATGGCTTGTGCTGGTGCGTTGGGGTATGTCTTTGGCGTGTCCTCTGATAAAAAAAAGAAGCGGAGCCAACCATCGCCGTCGTCGATGCCGTCGTCCGCGCCCTCATCATCGGCTCCTGCGCCGAAGCCCTCGCCTTCACCAACACCGTCGCCTTCAGTGAAACCGGGCAACCCGACGGCATCTCCCGTCATCGCTCCGACGCCACATCCTACTCCTCTACCGTCGCGCACGCCGTCGTCACTACCGACGACCACACCACCGTCGCCGGCGCCGTCATTGCAACCGACACTCACACAATCACCAACCCCGACGACGGGCTGGGCCCGCTTCACCGTCGACGCATCACTACGAGGCGCCGACGGCAGCCACCTCGCCGACGCCGATGGCGACGGGTTTCTCGACCTCGCCATCCCCTGGGAGGAGTCTGGGGTGGTGGCCGCGTACCTCAATCCTGGCGATAGTGAAACGGCGTGGCCCCGCGTCGTCATCGCCAATCTTACTGATAGAACAGACCTACTGAGCCAGGACGGAATTGAAGATGCGGAATTCGTCGACCTCGATGGAGACGGTCTGATAGACATCGTGAGCTGCGCCGAGGCCGGCGGCTGGATGGCGGGGAAGGTCGGGAGCTGGGGCGCGGGCTTCGTGAGGTTGCACTTCGCTCCACCCGATCTGTTTGGTGAATGGACGACGCTGGAATTACTGGAAGGCGTGGGCAAGTGGATGGCGTCCTCGTCGACGGATGTCGACGGGGACGGTTTGACAGATATCGTCGTCGGGGCCAAGGAGAGCCCCGTCTCTGTGGCGGTACTCAAACAAGGTTCCGACGCGCGCGACGCGACAAAGTGGACCTACGTTCCGATCAGCTCGTCCATCGAAGAGCGGTGGGTCATGTCCCTCGCGGCGCACGATGTTGATGGGGACGGGTTAGTGGATGCGGTCGTGTCGTTTCGCGGGACGAAGGATGGCCCCGGCGTTTTTTGGCTCGAGAACCCCGGAGTGTTGGATGGCAGTGACTGGCCCCACCACCGCATGCTTGGTGACGTCTCGATGCGGGTGATGATGCTCGATCTGGTAGATTTGTACGGCACGGGGAGTGTGGACGTCGTCGTCGCGGAGGAGCGCACAGGTGTTGTGGTACTAGAAGCTCCTTCGGGAGATAAGACCCAGACCTGGTCTTCTACCCATTTGCGATGCGACGTATCTGATATCGACATCGGGACGACTGTGAAATCAGTGACGGCGGGCGACCTCGATGGAGACGGCGCGCCCGAACTAGTCATATCGTGCGAGGACGCGACCGATGAAAAGCTCGGAGTGTTTTACTTAAGAAGGGACCCGTCGCAGCCGTGGACGGCCCAATGCGACCCCGTCGACGTCGCTGGTCAAGATGGGGCGAAGTTCGATTTGGTGCGCGTCGCCGACGTCGACGGCGACGGCGCTTTTGATATAGTAACGTCCGAAGAAGGTTTGGGCGAGGACGTTGGGTTGGGCGTCGTGTGGTACCGCAATCCCGGTCCGTAGTCGGCCACCCCGGGACGGCGCCATCGGCGCGCGCCGCGGCGAAGACGGAAGACGCGGCCGCCAGGACTCTTATTATTATTGTTAGTGAATCACAACATGTCATCGGCCGCTCACCTGCCGGACCGCTCGCGCCAAGTCGGGGGGAGGCGGCGCCACGACCTCGACGCGCTTCCTTGAAACGGGGTGGTCGAAGCCCAGCCGCCACGCGTGCAGGAGCGGCCTCGTCACAGACAAAGGCGCCTTCGCGGCGCGGTCGTTCGCCGAGGCGTCGCCATACACAATATCGCCGAGCACCGGCGCGCCGACGTGGGCTAAATGGACGCGGATCTGGTGCGTGCGGCCCGTCTCGATCGCGACCTGGACGACGCACCTCCTCCCGTCCGTCGCGAGCACGCGCACTCTGGATACAGCGCGCCGGCCTCCCTCCACGACGGCCATGCGCTCGCGGTGAATAGGATGACGACCGATCGGTTCATCAATCACAAGCTCATCTGCATCGCTCTCGGTCTCGGGCGGCGGCCGCGCGACGACGGCCAAATATAACTTGGAGACCGTCCGATCGGCAAACTGCTTCTGGAGCGACCGCCGCGCCTCCGAGTCGCGCGCCACGACGACGCACCCGCTCGTGAACCTATCTAGGCGGTGCACGATGCCCGGCCGTCCGCTTTCCATCCCCTCGGCGTCATGGGCGCAGTAGCCCGCCACGGCGTTCGCGAGAGTGCCCGTCCGGTGCCCCGGGGCCGGGTGCGTGACCATGCCCGCTTCCTTGTTCACCACCATCAAATGGTCGTCCTCGAGGAGGAGGTCGAGCGGTAGGTCCTCTGCGATGCACGTCCTTTCGTCTCCCTGTAACGTGGACGCGGGCAGCTCGACGACGATGGCGTCGCGTTCCTTGACGGTCGCGGCCTTCTTCGTGCACGGCGTGTCGTTCACTGTGACGTAGCCCAGCTTCACAAAGTCGCCCCACTCGCTGCGCGACCGCTCGGGGTAGGCCTCGGCCAGCACGGCGTCGAGGCGACCCCCGTTTGTTGCGACGAGCTCAAATGTTGTGGTTTCATCATTGGTGCTGCGCAGGTGCAGCGGCCGTCGTCGCGGCGATGGCGTCTTCGACGCGGCCGCACGAGAGCCGACGCGTGGCTGCGAGACGATGAATGCGTGCGTCGTCCGCAGGACGGCCACGACGAGGAATGCGCAGTGCATGTTTGCCCAGTGTGCAGTGTGCTGAGAGCTTTGTGTGAGGCCAGCGCTGGGCTGCAGTTGATGCGGCCGCTTGATGCGCTATCGTAGAGCTTCTGGGAAACTCGCTTATAGGTATTTATAGGCACCGGTACAGCAAGTGCAGCGATGTTCACCGACTTGCTTGGCTTGCTAGTGTCTTACCGCTACCCCACGACTGACTTAAAACTCGTGCGCCGCCGCGGCGTAGACCTAGGGGGGGCTATGAGCAAGGAATCAGACGCATTTTAATCGGAGGCGATCACTGGCGGTCGGCCGGCCTGGAATTGTGAGTGCTGTGGGGAATTAAAAATCAAAATGTGGGATTCAGACGGTTACGAGTCTGACGGTACCTGGGCGCGTCTCCCTGAGGAGGAAAGACCACAATTTCCGGCGCTCCAAAGGGCGTGCTTCGAGGGGCGGGCCGATGTTGTGCGCCAGTTGCTGGCCGCGGGCGCCGACCCCGAGAGCCCAGACGAGCGTGGCATGCCAGTGCTTTTCGAGGCGTGCGGATTCAGTGGTGTGGACACCGGCAGAGAAGACTATGTCGGTGTTGTCGAGGCTCTTCTTGAGGCGGGTGCTGACGCGACTGTGGCCAACGAGTACGGCAACACGCCGTTGCATTATTTGACACTTCATCGCTATGCAGCAGACAGAATCGCGATATTGCTTCTTAATGCGGGCGCGCGCCCCACGAAAAACTGCCATGGAAGGTCGCCTCTTAAGGATCCTGACCCTCGAGGTCCCGCAGAGTGCTGGTATAGGGAGCCGGGAATTTGTGGATTCAAGGCCGCTCGTCGCGTCGCGCCGATTTTACTACGCGCCGGCGCCGACATGAGCTACCTGAAGCCACCTTTCCACAACCCCTACCTCCAGAAGATCCACGACACGCCGGGCGGGTTCAAGGCTCACGAGAAGCAGCACGCCGACGCGCTCGTCGCGATCTTCGTCCCCAAGCTAGGCCTCCCACCGGAGATGGTCCGCCACATCGTCTTCTTCTGGGCGCACGTGGGCTTCTATTAATAGAACATATTACACACAAAATAAGTCACATCAAATGTCGACGACGTCCGCCGCCGCGCACAGCTCGTCGACGTCAGCCGCGGCGCAGAGCCCCTCGAACCACCCCACGAAGTCCCGGAACGAAGTCCCGCCCATCTCCGCCAGCAGCGCCTCGGGCCCCGCTAACTGATACCCAGCGTCCAGCAGCCCCTGGTACAACCCCGCAAAACCCTCGTCGTCGAGGACGCCCGCCCGCCTCTCATCATAATTCAAGAAGAAGGCGACCATCGTGTACGACGCCGCATTCAGGGGAGGCGGCGTCGCGCGCCCGCGCCGCGCCCACCACGCGCGACACTCATCCCTAGAAACCCGGCCATCCTCACAACGCCGCGGGAGGTCGGCGAACGCGTCCGCGTCGACGGCGGGGAAGCACCCGAGCGCGTAGGCTAATGCTTCAAACCCATCCTTGTCGAGCGTGTCTCCCGTTGCAAGGGCGTCGAAGTGCGCGTCGAAGGCGTCAACTTCGGGAGCGAAGACGCTGTCGAAGTGCTCCACCAAACCTTGTACAATAGCGTTGTGCGCGTCCATGCTACTCAAATCGTCGTCGCCGTGGCACAGCGTCGGTCCGAAGCAGACGCCCAGATTGCCCGGCGTCATCTTGTTCTCCTCGCTCTGGTCGGCGACGCGGCGTAGATGTCCGAAGAGGTGCTTTGTTGTTGAGTGCGCGTGGGGCGGTAATAGTCTGACGGCGTCGCGCAGCTTTGATGGGGATTGCGAGGCCGTGAACGCGGCATAAGCCCGCGACGAGCACCGTAGTACCGCGGGCGTTAATTCTTTAAGGTAGAGCTTGAGCGCCGACGCAACTACACTTGGCTCCGCGCTTTGAACGACTCGCAAGGCATCCTCAAAAGATCTGGACGCGTCGAGGGCGTCCCTCACCCTTGATACTTCCGCGTTGTCGCCCGGTACGCGGTAGAGCCCGCGCTGCTTCGCTGGAGGCAGCGCGTCGAGGCAGGCGCAGCACGCGGCGACGACGGCCGGGACGTCATTGCGACCGCGCGCCGCCGCCGCGCGCAGGTCCAAGCCATAGAGCGGCCGTCGATCCGCAAAGTAGATCGTCGCCTTGAGGCTGCCCTTCGGCTGGAGCGGCAGCTCCACGTCGGCCTCGAAGGGTAACAACACGGCGTCTAGTGGTAGGGTGCACGACGCGACCGTCGAGCCGTACAGTCTACCAGGCTCGCGGATCTCGAGTTTGAGCGGGCCCTGGAGCGATGCGAGCGCCTCGAACTGGAGGGGCTGCGCATCTAATGAAAGCGTGTCTCCGACGCTCTTGACGTTGTCGTTCTTGGCCAGGGTCCGGCCGTGCTCGTCGACGATCTTGGCGTGGGCCTCTTTTACTGATAACCCATTTACGACGTCGATCTTGACGCCGACGGTGCCCAGCGATGCAGCGTCGTGCCGCGGGGCGAAGTGGCTCATGGCTCTGTGCTCTGCTGAGGGTGCAGGTCTGGCGCAGCGCGGGCTGTCCGCACAAAACGCGGCTGCGATGAATATACCCGGGCCGCTCCTGATCGCTGCTAGCCGTAAATAGAGCTAGGACACCGGCACAAGCCGAGTTTGCTAGTGTCTTTATCTAGTGCAAGAGATCGAGAGATTCCGAGCTGCCACGCGCCGTCGCGGTCCCACGGCCGCACGCGTCGTTCGCAGGGCGCAAGCGATCGGAGCATCACGCTGCGCATCCGAAAACGCCGCACAGGCAGCCTCTGCCTAGCTGGGGCAGCCCCGTCGGACGCCTGCCGACGCGAAAGGCAGGTCGGAGTGTCTTTATCTAGTGCAAGAGATCCGATTCCGATGCCGGCTGGCACCTCCAAGCTGCTCGCGTGCGCCGGCCTGTCGGTTGCGCTCCTCTTTCGTGAGCGGGCGCGCCGCGTCCTCCTCTGCTGGCTGGAGGATGGGATGCGAGAGCTGGCGTGGCGGCGGCTGCCGCGCAAGATCATCTTCATCCGGCACGGCGAGGCGCAGCACAACCTCGAGGGCTGCGCGATTCTCCAGGAGGACAACCCCAACCGCAAGCCCGACAACCTGAGCGAGCTGACGCCCCGGGGTCGCGAGCAGGCCCGAGCCGCCGGCCACCGCCTCCGCAGGCTGCTCGGCGGCGGCGGCACCGTCTCGGCCGTCGTCTCGCCGTTCGAGCGCACGCAGCAGACGCTGTACGCGCTGCAGCAGAACCTCGGCGACGTGCGTGTGCGCCGCGTCCACGTCGACCCGCGCGTCCGCGAGCAGGAGTTTGGGAACTTCCAGGTGGCCGAGGACATGCCGCGCCACAAGCAGACGGCGGAGGAGGTGGGTCGCTTCTACTACCGCCGGCCGACGGGCGAGAGCGGCGCCGACGTGTACGACCGGGCGGCCTCCTTCTGGGACTCGCTGCTGGGCGGCTCGTTCGACGTGCAGGACCTGTTCCGGCGCCGGCGCGCCGGGCCGGACGACGCGCTGCTCGTGGTGACGCACGGGCTGACGATGCGGCTGCTGCTGATGCGCTACTTCAACTGGTCGCCGCAGACGTTCGACGCGGTGTACAACCCGGGCAACTGCGACTTCTGGGTGCTGGTCAAGGACGAGGCGCGGCGCGCGTACCGCCTCGAGCCGGCCGACTGCTCGCCGCCGTGCACGCCGTGGGCGACGCGGCAGGTGCGCGTGGTGAGGCACGCCGGCGCCGGCCTCGAAGCCCAGGACTACACGCTCGTCGACTACCTCGCGCTGCCGCAGCCGCGCACCTCGCACCTGGAGCCGGCGCTGCAAAGCCTCGTGCCGGGCCACGGGCACCACCTCAACCCCTCGCGCCTCGCCTCGCCCGAGGAGCGCGAGGCCTTCATCAAGGAGCAGCTGGCCAAGGTCGAGCCCATCGAGGGCAAAGTCCACAGCATCGACTGGTGGTGCGGCAAGATCAGCGAGGAGGGCGTCGGGCTGCGCATGGACAAAAGCCTCCCGATGCGCCGCACAGTGAGTGCGCGCCGCGAGCGGGCAGCTCGATGTGAAGGGTGGTAGAGGCCGCGAGGAAAGGGCCAACACCGGTCCCACGAAACCCAGTCACGGTCACGCCGCCGCGCATTCTTTTTGATTTCCTCTTGGTTTTATTCCGTTTCTTAGACGAGCGTCGTCGAACACGCGTGGTAGATCCTTCGGGCGGCCGCTCTTAATCATTTTATTTCATTCATTGTTGACCATGGAAAAATGGACGGGTACTAGCTAGTAATTACGCAGCACGCCACCGAAGCACCTAGCCCGTGATCTTCGACACGACGCCCGCGCCGACCGTCTTGCCGCCTTCCCGCAACGCGAAGCGCAGGCCCTCCGTCAACGCCACGGGCGCGATGAGCTCGATGTGCAGCGTCGCGTTGTCCCCGGGCATGACCATTTCCGTGCCCTCCGGCAGCGACACGGTCCCCGTGACGTCCGCCGTCCGGATGAAGAACTGGGGCCTATAGTTCGCGAAGAAGGGCGTGTGCCGCCCGCCCTCTTCCTTGGTTAATACATAGACCTCGGCCTCGAACTTCGTCTTCGTCGGGACCGTGCCCGGGGCCGCTAAAATTTGCCCTCGTTGCACGTCTTCGCGCTTGACGCCTCGCAGCAACGCCCCGACGTTGTCGCCCGCCTCGCCCCGGTCCAACTGCTTCTTGAACATCTCGACGCCCGTGCACGTCGTCTTGACCGCATCTTGCAGCCCTAAAATTTCAACTTCGTCCCCGGTCTTCAGGACACCGCTCTCAACACGACCAGTCACAACAGTCCCGCGACCGGCAATCGAAAAGGTGTCCTCCACGGGCATCAAGAACGGCTTGTCGACGTCTCTTTTAGGTAAGGGTATGTATTCATCCACGTGCTTCATGAGCTCGAGGATGGCCTCCTTCCCCAACGTGTCGTTCGTCCCCTCCAACGCACACAATGCACTCCCACGAACAATGGGCGTCTCCTCCGCCGGGAACTCGTAGAACTCGAGGAGCTCCTGCACCTCCATCTCGACGAGCTCAAGTAATTCTTCGTCCTCGACCGCGTCGCACTTGTTGACGAAGACGACGAGTTTCGGGATGCCGACTTGCCTCGCTAGTAGGATATGTTCCCGCGTCTGGGGCATGGGGCCGTCCGTCGCAGACACTACTAAAATTGCGCCGTCCATCTGCGCCGCGCCCGTGATCATGTTTTTGACATAATCGGCGTGGCCCGGGCAGTCGACGTGGGCGTAGTGCCGCGCGTCGGTCTCGTACTCCACATGTGCCGAGTTGATCGTGATGCCTCTCGCTCGTTCCTCCGGGGCCTTGTCGATGTCCCCGAACGCGACGGCGTCGGCCTGGCCCTGGTCCGCTAATACTTTGGTGATGGCCGCGGTCAGCGTCGTCTTGCCGTGGTCGACGTGGCCGATGGTGCCCACGTTCATGTGGGGCTTGGAGCGGTCGTAGGTGCTGAGACAGCGGAGAGCCCGCGGCTGGCGCAGGGCCGCGGCCGCGCGGCGGGCGACGAGGAGCATGGTTTTCGCGTGGCGATGCGCCTATGCGTCTCTGGTTGGCGTGGCGATGCGCTGCTTCTACTGTCGCCGGTGGCTGAAAATTGTCAGCGACGGTATCGCGTATCTATAGCGATGCGTTTCGCTGCACCAATCGCACAACTGCTGCTTTAGCGGCGGCGTAATGAGGGAGCGACTAAGACTTAGTCTTGGAGAGGAAATGACTAGCATGTGTATCGACGCTAGCCCTACTATATGAAGCGTTCGGGGTCCGTACTACCTGGGGGTGGGCTCAATAAGTGGCTCTCTCTCTCTCTCTACTATTTTCCGGGCAGCCCCAACTTGACTCCCTGGCCGGACATTGGCCCTTGCGGCTGTTTGTACAAGGCAGTGGCGATTCCCTGACTGGACATTGGTCCTTGCGGCTGCTTGTACCGCACCAGTGGGGTCTGACAGGATACAAGCACACTGTGACATACAAGCACACTTACTACGCGGCCAGGAAGAAGTCGCCGCTCGCCTCGCCGTCGCTCGCCTCGCCGGCGTCGGCGAACGCGTCCTCGCCGTCGCTCTCATCCTCAGAACTCGACGACGACGACGACGCGCCCGCCGCCGCCGCGGCCGCCGCGAGCGCGAGCTTCCGAGCTTCGGCGCGCCGCTTCGCCGTCCGCGCGTCCTCGGCGCCGCGCACCGTAAACAATCCGACGTACTTCCGATCTTTAGGATAGAAGGAGACGTAGGCCAGGTCGCCCTCCAGAGCCTCGAGCCGCTCTTTTCCATCATGAGGTGGAGAATCAGAAGCCATCTCCTTTCTCAGACGCTTGAGCCTTCGGAGTACTTTCCGCTTCTCAAAGAACTTCACTTTTCTATACCTCTCAGCATACCTTTTTTCTTTGTCAATTCTCTTGCGTTGCACCTCGTCCGAGGCCTTCTCCCTGCTCAATTCCTCCACCGCTTTTTGGGCATTCGTGATCTGCTCTGGATCGGCACCGTTCGTCTCCAGCCGCCGCAGCCAGCGCTCGGCATCTCTCAGTCGATTTTTCGCCGTCTTTTTGTTCGTTTTCGGGAGGTCGCGCGCCGCGCGGCGCTTCTTGTGGGCGGCGTTGCGTTTGTGGTGGTCGCCCTTCTTCGAGGGCGGCGCGGGCTTGGCCATCTTTTGCTTATTCTCACTGATGCGTCTTGCGCTCACTGATTGAGGCTGCAGTAACGTGCAGTGTGGCGAAGGGCTACGTATGCGGCGCGCGGTGACAGCGCGCAGTTGACGTGGCGTTTCACTCGTCCGAAACACGCTCGGAGGAGCCGTGAACAGTGCCGCGTCGACGAGTGCGCGAGCACGGACGCAGACTTCGCCCAGCGTGCGGGGACTGCATGCAGCGTCGAGCGTCTTTTCCCATCGATAACTCGCCCGTGCAGCGGGCCCGGAGCGAGAAACAGTGCGCAGACGCAAGCCGAAGGGTCCACCTTCCAAGCGCTAGCCACCACAAAGCGGCGCGGCCGACGCCGCTGCACACAACAGGCGCGCCCAGGCTGCTCTTTGCAGCATCGATTACTCGCGCGCGACGACGACGCACGAGCGGAACCATGCCCCCCCAGCAGGACAAAAGAGTACTGTACGTCGGCGGCCTCTCCGAGGAGGCCACCGAGGAGACATTGCACGCCGCGTTCGTGCCGTTCGGGGACGTGAAGGAGGTGAACATTCCTAGAGATTTCGCCGGCCAGACGAACGACGCGAATCGGGGCTTTGCCTTCGTCACTTTTGAACTTGAGAATGATGCGGCTGAAGCATTGTACAACATGGACGGTTCCGAGCTCTTTGGACGGGTCTTGCGGGTGAACGTCGCGCGGGCCATGAGCCACAAGCTCGGGAGTTCCAAGGCGGTGTGGAGCGCGGACTCGTGGTTCCAGGAGTCGCTGACGGAAGAGGGGGTTGGGAAGGAGTCTGCGGCACCACCACCTGGCTAAGTATTAGGGAGAAATTACTCAAACCTTTTTGGCTTCGAGCGCCGCGCGCTGCCTCCTTTTCAATTTTCTAACAGCTCTTGCCAGCTTCCACCGGTACATCGGGTTCCGCTCGGCCTTGTCCAGCAACGCCTGGAACGTCTCGAACTCGACGCCGTTCTTGAGGACCAATTCGCGCGCTTGCGCCGGGAACGACGCGCAGGTCCGCCGGACCTGATTCGACATCATCGGCAACAACGCGGAGTCGCATATGGGGTAGTCCGGGAAGACGTCGACGCCCTTGAGGGACTTGACGAGCTGCGCCCGCTGCTGCTGGCGCAGCAACTCGACCTTCTGCGCGACGGCCGCGAAGCGCACCAAGTCGTCCTCGTTCTCGGGGACCGGTATTTGTAACTTGGGCACGGCGCCGTCGTCGACGTTCAGCGAGCCCGTCTCTATGGTCGACGCCAGGCCGTAGAGCTTCGCCTGGTTGAGCACGCGATTCCTCAGATTGCGGTCTGAGGCAAGCGCGCGACTGACGGAGTTCCACTCGGACGGCGTGAAGCCAAAGGACTTCAAAACGCGCGTCGCCGTCGTCGTGTACATCTCGCAGGCCTCTTTGGTTCGGTCACTTGCGGAAAAAGCCGTGCCCTCGCACGGGTTTCGCCTTAATAATTTGCGTGTGACGAACAGCTTGCGCCTTCCGACGGTACGCTTCAGGGCGTCGTCGCGCGCGCGCCGCAGCGGCTCCGTCGCCGCGAGCGCGAGCGCGTAGCGGTCCAATCTATCCCCGACCGCATAGACGTCGACGACCTTCGACGTGCTCGGGCCGCGCCGCGCGCGGACGCCGTCGAAGACCGTGCGCCGTGCGCCAAGGCGCGCTAGTGCGCAGTGCGTCGCAAGGATCAAGGCCAGCGCGCGCAGCGAGCGCGCCATGGCGCGACGCGTGGCTCAGCTGCACACTGCACTGCCCTAATCTCGAGCGCAGCGCTGCCGCTGGACGTGGAACTCGCACCAGCTTCGTAGAACAGCACAGTGATACGAATATATGCACCGGTTTTCTCTGAGGCGCAATCGCAGAGCGGTTTTAGGAGATGAGTTTCAAAGCTTGTGAGGCGCCCGCCGATGGGCGGCACCCGTGCCCGCGCGAGGCCACCTCTCCGCAGGCGTCTCGTGGAGACGTGCCTTGAAGCTTAAAATAAGGAGACGCGTGCATCACTAGTATGTACATGAGCTAGCTCACGATCAGGGTCGAGCATTGTAGCGAGGCCTTTTGTGGCCCCGCTGTGGCGGCTGCGGCCGCTTGCATACATTATTAGGTATCTCACGTATCACACAAAACGTGATATAGACGAGCGAGCGTGCCACAAACGCCCTCACACTCCTGAAACAGGAGGGGACCCGCAGACGGCCCATAGCAGCGCGAAGCCGTCGAGGAGGAAGCCACGGCGCTCGTGATGGCCGCCACGCCCGCGGCGCCGGCGGCGGCAACACCAAGGGCGCCGGCCGCGCCGCGCCCGCGGCCCGTCGACGCGGCGACCGACGAGGCCGTCGCGAGCATCCTCAACTTCCAGCTGCCGTCGTCGGCGGCCTTTTTGAGGCCGCAACTGCGCGTAAGGCTGAGAAAAGTCGCAAGGCACCGCTACGCGCCTTCAAGTGATCCGTTCGGGAGCCGCGCTATCACGACGAGCGCGCCGACGACGACCGTCACACAACCGCTGGGCCAGCCGCGCGCGAGGTCCGGTGTCTCTCCTGCCGTCGCCTACTACCGCTCATTGCAAGGCGGGCCGCCGGACCCGGCCCCTCCCCTCGACCCTGCTTTAGCGGCTTTGACGCTCGGCTACCCCGCGAAAGACGCGAGGGAAGCTCTACAATGTTGTAGAGGCGGCTGTCGACGCTTAGAACTCTTCGCGCGAAGTGCGGGCGTCGCCGCGTCGGCGCTGAAAGCCGCGCGGGAGGCCGGAGTCCAGAAGATCGTCATGCACGCGGCAAAAGCAGATGGGGCCTGGGCGCCGGCCGCGGCGCGAGCCGACCTGGCCCTGGCCAAGTCGCTGGGGGCGTCGGCTTTGTGTACGGACGCGTTTCTGGCCGACGACCCGAACGAAGGCGCAAAATTACAGACCTTCGTCCAAACGGCGAAGCCCGTGAAGGTGATTATCGGTAGAAGAGCTTTTGATGATGTTTTAGAACGAAGACCGCACATGGCCGAGCGACGAGATGTCTTGAATCGGTTGGGGGCGGCGGGCGTTTCTGCCGTATATACGTCCGGTGGTACCGGCGACGCCTGGACCGGTAGGAAAACACTGAAGGAGTTGTTGTTGATAGCGAAGCACGTGCCTGGTTCTCCTACCATCATCGTGAGTGGTGGTGTGGTGCTTGATAGAGTGAAACGACTGGCGGCCTACACCGGCGCCACTACATTTGCTTTGGATCATGCGGACGCGCCGGAGCCGGAACCCATCGACGAGACCGAAGTAGAAGCGCGGGAGGAGGTGCGGCCGCCGATGCCTGCGCCCGACGCGCCGGCGCCGCCCGTGCCGGCCGCGTGGGTCGCCGCGGCTTTGGCGCTGGCGCCGCCGCGGGCGCCGGCGACGCCGGCGGCCGCCGCGGCTTTGGTTCCAAAAGCTGCGGCTTTGTCCATCTCGCGCTGGCACGCGGGCACGAATGACCCCGACGCCGACCATGAGAAGGGCGCCATCGCGCCGAGGAGGTTTGGGGGTCCCGCGCCGCCGCCGCCCCCGAAGGCGTCGCCGCGGGATCGCTCGGAGAGCTCGTCACCTAGATCCTGGGCCGAGTCCCCCCGAACGTGCCGCAAGGGCTGCGGGCGGAGCTTCGGCCACCCGCCCGCGCGCACGGCCCACGAGAAGACGTGTCGCGGGCTGCGCGGCTCCTCGACAAGGGCCGGCCGCGAGAACCACTACGCGCGGACGGCCTCGCGCTCCAACAGTCCGCGGCCCGAACCAAAACCGGACGGCCGCCGCCGCGGCCGGCCGGGCGCGCCTCTACTCGCGCAGCCGCGCCAGGACGCCTGGCCGGGCCTCGGGTATCAAGAAGAAGCACCCAAAGACGCGCCTCCCAAGGCCTGCCTACCTTTTGGGGGCGAGGCCGGCGGCTGGCCGGGCCTCGGCGACCCCGAGGAGGAGCTGGACGTGGACGCCATGGACTTTGATTTTGGCGGAGATCCTCTGTTACCGCGATCAAGGGCGCCGTCGGCGGGGTCCTGGGCGGACCTCGGGTCCCAGCCAGGGGGAAGGGCGCCGTCCGGGAGCTGGGGCGACTTGGGTGATGGTCCCGCGCCATTTACCTTACCGCCGTCGCCCGCTCGGCCCGTTCCGGCGCCGGCGGCCTCCTTCGTGCCGCCGCCCGTGCCACCATCCATCACCGTGCCGCCGCCGCCGGAGGTCGCGAGCTGGCCCCGGGACTTATCTCCCCGCTCGGAGGCCGCCGCGAACGACGCGGCCATCGCGCGGGTCATCGCCGAGCAGGGCGGCTACGTCGGCCTGCCGGCCATCGGGCCGCCGCCGCCGTCGTCATCTTCGGAGTGAATCCTCCGTCCGTCCCCTGTGACAAGTTAATCCTAAGAAGTTGTACCCTACGAGTAGTACCCGGTAGATTACCCGGTCGTGGGCGACTGCTCCGCATAAACGTTGATGTCAAGGCCGTGCGACCGCCCGCTGCTGCTCACGGTGAGCCGAAGTTGGTGGAATCTTACAGTTTCGTTCACGCGCTGCGAGGACGGTAAGCCGCCGCGACGGAATTGGGAAGGATCCCGAGACCAAAATTTCCACTCCTTCGCATTATTTATGCCATATTCAAGCGGCCAGCGCGGGCGACAGGCGCACCAGGCGTGGAAGTCGATTTTCCGTCCATTTTCATCCTCAAATTCGATGGTGAGAGATTTTGAATGACTGCGGGACAAACCGGGTCCCTCCCACGAATATAAACTCACCACGATGCCGGACGCACCGAGGAGGACCCTCCCTCCATAGCTCAGTGTGAATTTGTCGCAGTTCTCAGTCAAGGAGTTCATTTTGCTGAAATGTGACCCTCACTGAATTTGCAATAAAACGGGTTTCATGCGCGAGCCGACGGCCGAAAGTCACTCGGGGACATAAACGGGGCATAAAAATTCAGTGGAAACTTGGATCTTAGTTCAGGATGTCCCCTACGGCCGGGACCCGGGCCGCCGGCATCATCCATGCAGGGGGTGCGTCCGCGTCGGGGGTCGGAGGTGGTGCCACCGCCGCATTCGTGTCGTCCGTCGGCGGCGCCGGCCAGGCAACCGGCTCGGGCTCTTCCCGCGCCGGCCGCAGCGCGCCGCCGACCCGCACCGCGCGCGCGTTTTGAGGTTGGTAGTGCGCGCGTTTCGCGTCGTCGCGCCGTTTTCGGTTCTTCGCCGCGACCGCGTGCGCGGACAGCGCCCCGAAGATCTGGTCGTTCCGCCTTTCATTTTCCAGCTCGAGCTCCGTGCGCTTTTTTGAGCGAGCTGCCGCCGTCCGCGCCTGATCCGCGCTCGCGACGCGCTTCTTGAGGACCGCTATAGTCTTCAAATCATCAGCTCTAGACTCGCGCGCGTCGAAGCGTCTCTGTAAATTCTGGAGGTCCCCCAAGACGCTTCGCGTCTTCTCGTCTTTCATAGACCGCGCGCACGAGAAGGCCCAGGCCACTCTACGGGACGCGACCGTATGCTTTTCATGCAACGCCTTGACCTCTGTGATATGGTCGCGCCGCGCGGCCTCCGTCTCCTCGATCGCACTTTGTACTTCATTCTCCAGCCGCGCTTTGTCCTTGGTGAGGCGCTCGGTCTTCTCTTCCTCTATATGTAGCTTCGCGGTCGTTTCATGGAGCTCCTTGCGCGCCTCGCCGATGCTCTTTCTACTCTTCTGCGAATCTGACATGGCGCGCTCCTCGAGGGCCGCGAGCGACGCTTCTAATGATCTATTCTGCACGTTGGCCTTGGCGAGGCCGTCGCCGAGTCTGGAGATTTCGTCTTTGGCCTGGACCAGCTCGCTCTCGACGTGGTCGCGCTCCTTTCTGAGATCAGTGCACTCTTTTTCGACAACGCGCCGCTCGTCCTCGAGCGAGGCGACCGTCGCCATGTGGGTCTGGAGCGCGCCCTCCTCGCGCACGCGGTGCGCCTCGGCCGCGGCCGCGAGGCGCTTTTCAGCATCCGCCGCAGCCGCCTCCTGGGACGCGTTTGATTGTTCATGAACCGCGCGCAGCTCCGTCTCCGCGGCCGCCGCCCGCAGCGCGGCGTCGCAGGCCGCGCGCGCGAGGTCGCCCTCCGTCGCGGCCAGCTTGCCCTCCAATCCGCTACACTTTTCGGACAGAGTAGACACCTCCTCCGCCTTCGCCTCGACCTCGCCTCGGAGCTGCTCCGCTTCCAACCTTCGCTCCTCGCGCTCCTTCGCCACCTCGTCCTGGGACAGCGCCGCGCGCGCACTCAGCTCCTTCCGCACGGAACTCAACTCGGTTTTCGTCGACTCCAGCTCCTTGCCTAGCTTCGCGGCCGTCGCCTCCGATTTCTTGAAAGAAGCCTGCGCCTTCGTGAGTTCGGTCTTCGTCTCGCCTAGTTTCTTCTCGAGGCTATCCCGCGCGGTCTTCAGGCGCGCCGACTCTTGGACAGCTGCGTCCTTCTCCTTGGACAGTTGATCCAATTTAAGCTGGAGGGCGGCCCGGTCTTTTTTCGCGTCCTCCTTGACTTTGCTAAGCTCCGTCTGGACGGTCGTATTCTGCTCGGTCAACTTTTTCAGGTCACCGTTCAACTTTTGGTTTTCTTTGTCCTTGCGCCTCGCCTCCTCGAGCTGCTTCTTGCCCTCTTTACGAGCGGCCGCGGCGGCCTCTTGCTCTTTCTTAGCTTTCAGTAACGCCGCCTCCTTCTCCTTGGACAACTCTGAAGTTTTTCGCTCGGCGGCGACCAGAGCTCTTTGCCTTTTATCAGCTTCCGGGTCCGGGATGATCTCGACGAGACCGAGAGCGCCGGAGAAATCACCCACCTCGGCGACGTTCACGACGGCCTTGCACTCGCAGCGCATCGCTCGTTGCGCGAAGCTTAGGGCGGATAGCGTCTCTGAGGTAGAGTCGGCTGCTGGGGAAGCGCAGCAGAGTAAAGTAGTGCGGCAGTTCCCGCCCACCGAACCTTCTAAAACGCGCGTTAATTTAGAATCGCGGTAGGGCACGTGCTTCTTCTTCGCTGCCAGAGCTGCGACCACGTTGCCCAGCGCAAGTAAACTACCGTTGATGTTGATCGCCTCCTTCAACTCCTTGCCGGCCACTCCACTTCTTTTCACTCGTTCCGAGCCGGCTAGATCGACCACACTACAAAGCGACACGGAACCTTTGGTCGAGTTCTTTTCCCTTCGTGTTACGCGCAACTGAAAGCACGCATGGCTTCTAGAAGACGCCTTGTTCATCTTCGTCTCCGCATAGATGACGTTCTTGCGAGCATAGGCAAAATGATCTAGCAACTCTTTGGCCGAGGCGCAAGGCTTCCACGTCAGGTTATCTACTTGGCCGTGGCCGTCCTTCTTCGACACGGACAGGTTCTGGCCCTTGCCGTTGCGGTGTTCCGGATGTAAGAGATCGGCGACCTGCTCGTTGTACACTTGGAAGGCGCCGCACTCGACGGCATATTGATGGGCCGCGTCCTGGCCTGCCCTTACATATAAAGTAGCTACCAATCTCGGTAAGAGTCCCGCATCTTCGAAATTCTTAGCAGCAGTACCAGCATTCAGCAAGGAAAAGGTCTTCCCGCTACCGGTCTGGCCGTAGGCAAATATACAGCCGTGATAACCCTGTAAAACGGCCCTTACGACCGGCGCCCCGACGTCCGAAAAGACGTCGGCCTGCGTACTACTACCACCGAAGCTCCCGTCGAACTCAAACTTGCGCGTCGCCGCCGCCGCCTGGGCGACGCCGCCCTGCACGCTGTTCCTCAATGAGTCGTTGACGGCCCCCTCCAAATCGTCTACAGACACGCTGTTCTCTCCAAGACAGCGCACGGCCGCGTCCCCAAATTCCTCGCGGCTCGTGCCCTGGGGCCGTATCCGCGCGTAGACGCGCACGCGGTCGTCGGCCATGCTGCCCGTGAAGCTGCCCGTGTGTGTCGCTGTTCTTGTGCCGCGTGCGACGCTGCCGTCCGGTCGAGCTGCCGTCCGGTCGGGCCGCGCGCCGCGGGCTTTCCCGGTGCGGTGCGCAGCGGCTTTTGGGCAGCGAAGCCGCCCGTTTTACGCTTCGTCGGCAACCAACAAACGGGTGGCGAGGCGGAGCGAGCCCCAAGCGCACCGACCTCCCGGGCGTCCGGGACGGGTCTGCGCAGTCGCCAGCCTGTCCGCGATGGCTACGCCACGCGCCGCGCGTGAGTGGCTCGCGCTGCTTGTGTGCAAGCGCCGCGGGGCTCGAGGGTTTACGAGCTCGTAGCCAGCGCTCGAGGGGCGCGGCGGCGGCGTCGATGCTCTCTAGAGGCGATCAGATGCCCCCAGAGACGTGGCGGGGCGTCTGCTTCTTGAGACTCGCGCGGCGCGCGCAGAGGAGGTCCTCTAAGGTATCCTAGACGGAAGGTACCGACGATTAATAATCTATTAATTAAGCAGGGCGACGACGGGCGACGCGCACACACGTGCGCGCCTCAGGGGTATACAACAGGTCGTCAGGCCGGCAACACGATCGGCGTGGCCAAGGCGTCGCCCTCGCCCACGTTCCAGGCGAGCCCAGGGCCGGCCATGCGCTTCCGGAAGACCTCCCGGAACTTCTCCTCCAGCCCGGGGTAGGGCGCGAAGTGGTCGCGCCACGTCCCCGTCTTCCCGACGCGCAGATGGTCACTCGAATTTAAGCGAGATGAATTCTCAGCACGACTAGCGTGGGCCTTCATCTTCTCGAAGGACGCTCCTTGTACTAGCTTTGACACTAGTTCGTCATCGGGTTCCACACCAGTAACGAAATGGGCCACTTTCCTGGCCCAGTAGTCCGGGTTAGAAACTAAATCCTCGTACCACAGCCAGAGACACTGGTCCGTGTTCGACGCGTGCGTGTCCCGCCACTCCGTGTGCCACCGGAACCAAGAACTGTTGGGCGACCACTGGTCGCTTTCCAACCAGGCCTCGGCCCACGCGTCAAAAGGCCATCCTGAATTTTTCGGGTGCCACGCGTGGTAGTAGGCCGAGACGCAGGCGTCGAAGGGGTTCCGCGTGCAAATCACGTACTTCGCGCCCTCGACCAAACCTCCCTGGTCATTCCCGAGCAAGTTCCTCACGCGCGCGTGCGTTTTTATGACCCTAGGTGCAGGTAACGCGTCAAACGCCGAACGCGTCATGGGCACGAACTCCTCCTTGCCCTTATCACCACCCGCCTGGGCGTCGTCGGGCCGCAGGCAGGCCTCGGGCCACACTTTGCCTATGGACGCTTCGTCGCCCAGGTAGTTCTTGGCGTTCTTTGATAAAGGGTCCAATGATGCCGCGTCGCCGCCGTTCAAGGCTAGCAACACGATTTGCTCCGTTAATGTAGTCCCACATTTTGGATAGCAAGCCACAACCACATCCGTCGGCCGCAGTTTCGTGTTCGTCCGCAACCACTCCCTCAAACTTCTAGGATGCCAGGCCGCCGTGCCGTCCTGCAACAGTCGCACGGCGGGGCCGATGCGATGGCGTTCTTTCCCTTTGACACAATCAAAGGAGTATTGGGCTTCGTCGTTTGATGTGGCCGGTACTGATAGGGTGCGTTCTAACCTCCACTGGTCGTCGGGCTTGGGCCGCTTCGGGGCGGGTTCCTCGCTCGGAACCTCCATTTTTGCTGGTTATCGTGGTCGTTGGTGTCCGCGTTCGCACGCGCTCGCGTTCGCACCCCAAGGCGGGGCTTTTTTTGTATGAAACTGGCTGGGGAGCCTCCTGAGGGTCTAAAATCGCTGTTGCGACCCTCGCACTCAGCGTTCCTCACGCGACGGGGCCCGCCACAGCGTGGGTGAAGGGTTGAGCTGGGAGAGCAGTGCCGTCAAACGACGGTCCGAAGGCGTGCCCGCAGCAATCCTAGGCGATGGATCGAAGAGGTGCGGGACGCCAACCGTGTGGAACGGCGCGGGGCTAGCGGACGTGGACCAATTCAAGCTCTCCAATCATCGATCACAGGCGGCCTGGTTGTTGAGGTGTTTGGTGTAGCATCGTGGAACACCGCAGCTGTTTTTATCCGGGCTTCTACCGCCTCTTTGGCGTACGACTGTTCGTGTCGTCGGGGGCTTTTACGTGCGGGGCAATGGGAAGCTTGGGCAATGGCAGGCTGCTGTCTTAGAATTATGGCTGCGAGAGGCTGCCCAACCGCCGCGAGGCATTAGATTTTGACAGATGCGAGCGCTCCTGCGGCTGCAGCTTGGCTGCCATCCGACCATGCGCGCCTGGTCGCGCCGGCGGGCACCACTGTGGCAGACGGTCCACCGCGGCTGCCCCGGACTGCTGCGCGGCGTCAGCAGCAGCAGCGACGCAAAGCTCCCGGCCGTCGTGCACCCGGCCGAGGCTAGAGCAGTGCGCGTGCTCACCGCCGTGCTGACGACCTTGCTCACGCCGCTGCACCGGCCATCAGAAATAAAAGACGAGTGCCATCGCGAGATTTTTGATGGTCCGGAGCGGCAGGCCGGTGAGACTTTTCTCGCCTACGTGGACCGGGCGCCCAAAGCAGGTATAGCGAGAAACTACGACGGCAAGGGCGCGGGCTCTGATATTTCGCTCCACTCGCACCCGTCGCTCGTGAAGCTGCACGACGCCCTCAAGCAGTTCAGCGCCGAGCGCGGGACCGCCGTGCACGGTGGAGCTAGAGGCTTCACGCAGGACGTGCTCGAGACGGTCGTCGCCAGGAATGGTGGCGATTCAGAGCACGCGGCGTTGATGATGGACCTGCTCGACAGCGACGGCGACGGCGTCGTGACGTTCGAGGAGTTCTGGGCCTACCACGTGGTCATGGAGGACGGGCGCACGCAGAACAAGGTCGATTTATTACTGCGTGGGGGCACCGACGGCCGCCTCGGCCGACGCGAACTCGGGTCCTTGGTGGGGGCAACCTACCTCACAGCGATGGGGATGCGGGGCAAGACGAGCCAGCTACCTTTGCTGGAGGCGCTCGTCGATCAGCGCCTCGGTGCCATCCCCACGGGGGTCGAGGAGAGCGTCCGCCTCTTGGCCGAGACCGAGGAACCCTGGCAGGACGGCCACCCGGTCGCCACGCTCGACGTGACCGAGGCGACGACCAGTGCATAAATCAGATTATCGCGCACCCGACACTGGTTGATTTACGCACAGGCGACGACGGTTCGAGACTTTGCCGAAACCGTCGGAAAGGTCTGCGCGAATTATTGCTTCGCCATCGCGAACAAAAGCGGCACCGAGCTCGACTCCGAGGAGCTCGCGAGCTGGGTCAGGGGCGGGTCGGACAGCTACCGCTTCGTCGAGGAGCTGCTCCTGTCGACGCTGTACACGACGCGGCGGGACCGGTCGTCGCTCGTCAGGTATCTCACCGAGCACCACGAACGGCACGGCGACGCCTCGGTGGCGGACGAGTCGCTCCTGGGCATCCTCAAACGGGAGTTCTGGTTCCAGGGTTGACTACTAACATGTGATAAACTTATCCGTTGAGCTCCTCGTGGAGCCGCCGCGCCAGCTCCTCGTCCGAGAGCGCCGCGGGCGGCGCCGCCTCGTAAGCCGGCGGCGGCGGCCCAGATCCGTCTTCCTCGAAGGACGCCGCGAGCTGGCGCGCCAAGGCCTCGTCGTCGGCCGTCGGCGCCGAGAGCGGCACGGGCTCCGCGTCCGCGATCAGACAGAGCGGCGCCTCGGGGCCCATGGTCTTCACGGCGGGGGGTGCTCGCAATTCTTTCGGCGCCGGCACCGTCTCGTAGTAGATCCTGGAGTTCTCGTGGTCCGCGGCCGCGCGCGCCACTTGTAGGGCCTTCTTCAGCGCATCGAGGTCGCGGGGCCGGTCGGCGCCCGCGCCCGAGGTGGAGACGATCGCCGGCGCCAGTCGCGCCTCGGCGTCGCGGTACCAGGCCACACACACCCCGTGCTCCTCCTTGGCTTTGGCCTCGCGCGCGCAGAAGTAGGCGCGCAGGCCCCGGAACAAGTTTGCATCAGCCGCTGCCGAATTGGCCGCCGCGCGATCGAGCCGTGCGTGGTGCTTCGGCGCGCCGTCTCTGGACGCGTTGCGCGCCGCCTCGAGCTTCTCGGCGACGCCGCCACATAATTTGGCGGCGAGCGAGTCGGGCAGCTTGTTCTGGGCGAGGGCCGAGGCGATGGCACAGCGCTGTGCTGAGGCTGATGCGAGCAAAGCGGCGCCGGCGCAGCAGGCCCGCGTCGCTTCCGGCGGGCGCTTCTCGAAGGTCATCCCACAATTCTCGGGCAAAGCATCCAACAACGCGATCGGCGTGCGGTCGCCGGCGTGGCTCAAACTCTCCCAGAGGCCCGCGGCCTTCCGCAGCTTCGCGCAGGCCCTTTTGCAATCGCCGATGGGGGGGTAGCCCGGCTTCGTCGCCAAGTGCCTAGCGCTCTTCTCGAGGGCTTTCGCTTCCCTAGCTGTGACCGCGATCACATCTAACGCTACACTCTCAATGCACCGGTCGCGCTTTGATACGCCCCGATGGCCGCCGGACCCACCGGAAATCCAGACGGCCTTGGCGTCGTTCTCCAATACGGACGCCCAGGCGCACGTCGCATTACCAGTCAAATGGTCTTCTAGGTCCGACCGCGCGGCTTTGTGGGCCGCGCACGCGAGGCGTTCCAACTTGGGCCTTAATTCCCCGCAGGCGCCGGCGACCTCGTCTGGATTGTCCTCTTGAAATGCCTTCTTACAATCACTCCAGCCGGATTGCACGTCTGATAGCAGCGCGCGCGATGAGGCATGAGGTGACGCGAGCGCTCTTAAACAACTGTAGTCGACGGGCTGGCACTTCGATCCGCCGAGGTGCGGCGGGTCCGGGAGGGCGCAGACTAATCGTAAAATGGCGTCGTGGGTGGCCTGGGCTCGTTCGAGCTCCTCGGTCATGGAGGCCATCTTTCTTGTGGCGCGTCGATTTATGCTCACTTGTTGTTCAGGCCTTGAAACCGGTGCAGGCGACGTGTGTTGCTGCTCGGTAAGCGGTGGCGCCTCGAAATGGTCGTCTGGAGGCTAATAAATTTCCGATTAAATTTTCGGGCTAGCGGTGCGTAAGACACACTAGCTTTCAAGGCTTTGGCAAAAAACGCCGCCGTACCCAGCGTCCGTGCCTCCTAGCAGCCAACCTGCGCCGCCCTGCCGCGCGCCAGCAACCCTTTAAGCGACCTGACTGTGCTAGCTGGCCGAGCCAGCGGCCGCCACGAGATTAAAACCCATCGATGGCCAACCAATTCCTCCTGGTCCTCGCGGCCGCCGGCGCCCTCCAAAAGCCCCAGACGCCGCCGCGGCGACCAGCCCTGAAAGCGGTCGACGACCCGGCCCTCAACAGCCTCAGCAACGAGCCGCTCACGCACTCCGTGCTGGCCCACGACGACGGCGCCGAGCATCTGGGGGATGTCGGCGGCGCGCACCTCGACACGGACCTGAGTTTTTTCGCGAAATCGAGAATCGCGTTCACGCCCGCGCAGCGCGTCGCGCTGACGGCGAACGGAAATTTACAAAGGGTCCTGAGCGCGTACCACAACGAGCGCGTCACGATCCGCGTGTTAAGTCACGAGCGCGAGTCGCTGGGATTGTGGCGGCGGCGCGTCGTGCTGGAGCTCGCGGACCGCCCGGCCTGCGTCGCGCGGTCGTCGGTCGTCGCGCGGACGCGGACGGCGATAGAAGAGGCATCAAAGGGCGGCGGCCTCGGCCAGCTCTTCTCGGAATTGGGCGGCAAGCAGGAGTTTTCCCTGCTGGAGGTGGCGCGGGCCGAGGCGACGTTCTCGCGCGTCTACGTGCTCTCGAACGCTCATTTGGTCTGCCACATCGAGGAGGTCATGCCCCTCAACCTCTTCGAGGACGCGTTCCTGGACGGGCCGGCGTGGGATCCAACAGGTGTGTTTTTGGACGGAGAGCGCGGCGGGTTCGCGTCGAGCCGCTAGTGTTGGCTTTTGTGTTATATAGTATGTTCGTGTGTCTCTTGCCACCGCGTCTGCTCGACGGCGCACCAGCTCGTAAACCCGCCCGGTAAGGGTCACAAACAGCACAAAACTTAGAGAAAGTCAGAACTTGAGCGCGTGGTAGAGCCGGTCCGCGCGCCGCCCCGCGTGCGACTCCGTGATGTGCGCCCACTCCTGTTGGGAAACGCGGCCGTCGTGGGCGAAGGGCGTGCCGAGCCGCGGCAGCTCCGCGACGACAAACCCTTCGGCGTGCGCGATCGTCGGCACCAAAGCTTCGCTCCAGCACGTCACTCGTTGCAGACTCAGCACGTGGAGCCTATCTAGAAACCTCATCGAGAAGCGCTGGACGTGCTCGCGCGAGATGTAGACGTCGTCGCCGTAGCGCTCGGCGAACGCCGTCGAATGGACGTCGAGCCACCACCACGCCTCCGAGGGTCTGAGTTTGATATCCGCCGTCACGAGGTCCGCGTCGCCGCAGTCCCGTTTCACGATATCCACCAGCGTCTCGAGGGACCCGGAGAAGCCCACGTCGTCCTCGAAGCACCAGACGAAGCTCGGCTTCCTTTCCAAACTCTGGTACCAGGCGTTCAATGCTTCCGCGTGCAGGCCCCACGCAAGCGAGTGCGTGCCGCGCTGAAACTCCTCGCTCTCCTGCAATCTCGGATTCCTTTTTAAGTCGCGCAGCACGGGATACCTCCGGACCATGTCGGCCTCGTCGTACTCGTGGACTCGGATGGCGCCGCGCGCGATGTGGCTCGAGAGCGTCCTCCGCACCTTTTGCGCGGGCGTCGGCGGCGCCGACCGCCGCTTCTTCCGGGGCGGCGAGTGCTGGAGGATCGGGAGGAGCGAGGGCGGCTCCTCCGGGACGTGCGTCGTGTCGAGCGAGACCCAGACCGCGACGCGCGCTTGTTGCAATTGGTCCGCGGCGGCCGCGATGCGTTGGAGGGCGGCCGGCGTCGGGTCGTGGCAGCGGAAGACGAGCGCGTGCGTGTCGTTGTTGTCCGCCGGCGGCACGGTGGCCGGCGAGTCCGTGCGCATGTATTGCAGGATGGAGGCCATCTCTGTATATGCTGCTTTTTGGCCCTGAGGCGAATGTGCTGTTTTGGGGCCTCGTCGACGGCGTAGCGCTGCGGGTCTCGATACCGAAAGAATGAGTCGCACGTCTGCGTCCCTTAATGCATAGCAGAGGCGGTTTTGTGCATAGTCAGGCCCAAAAAAGCGCAAAAGTAGATTGCTAGTGTGTTACGGTCGCTAGGGTCGCAAAATTTTGCAAAGCGACAAGGCTGTGTCCGGCATCCTCCGCCTCAGAGGCTGCAAGGGGTCTTGTGTGGTAGCGACCAGTGCTGCGCGCTACACTTACCGGCAGGACGCCACCGCTGCGACGTCAAAAGCCAAAAAACCGCAGCCGCAGCCAGCATGGAGCCCATCTCCTGCCCCATCCGCGTCTCCACGCAAGTCAACGCGCCGCACTCGTCCCGGAGAAGCCCTCAATTATCAGCCGTGCCGCGGACGCACGACTGCCCGCTGAATGTGGTCATACCGATGGGCGGCCTAGGGCGGAACGAATTTACGAATGCCGGCTACCCGACGCCGAAACCCATGATTCCCGTCGTCGGGAGGCCCATGTTGTTCTGGTTGTTGGACAATCTTGATTTGAGAGATACCGATGCGGTGTGGCTCGGAAGCAAGCGCGACGTCGAGGCCGAATACGGCATCGAAGCAGCTGTTAGGAGAGAGTATCCATCGTTAGAAGTGCACTTTGTGAGGTTCGACTTCGATACGAGAGGCGCCACAGAGACGTTATATTGCGTTCTGAATGCGATGGACGCGAATCAGCGACGACGTAGAACAATTTCTCTAGACTGCGATACGCTTTGGTTCTGTGATGTACTAGGAGGCGCCAGGGCCCTCCCGTCCGATACGGGGGCCTCCTTCTACTTCCACGACGACGCGGAGGACGCGTCCGCGCCTTATAGTTATATAAGGGTCGACCCGCGGACGCAAAAAATTGTCGACATCCGAGAAAAGGTGGCCATCTCGCGGCTGGCGAACAACGGCGCCTACGTCTTTGCGAGTGCGGCGCAGGCTCTCGCTGGTCTGGAGCTGTGTGGAAATCAACCAGTGCGTCGGGTGCATCCAGGCTCGGTCGAGCGGCGAGGAACCGGCATCGCCGCGCCATCGAGCAGGCGTCGCGTCGATGGCGTGGAGGACGACGCGACGATTCAGCACGACAGCGCCGTGAAATTTTGATTTCCGCACAGGTCTCGAGGAACTGCTCGACGAGAAAGTGGGAGAAGTGAAAACGACAGACAAACAGCAAGCTTGGGTGAAAGAAGACGACGCGTCGTCCCTGAACACGGCGCTGGCCCAGGAGAACCCGGCTGCTTACAGTCATCGCCACCACTACGTCTCTGGTCTCATTGCGAGACTCATATCAAATAAAGCCCCGTTCTTAGCCGTACGAGCGAAGGACTTTGCGTCCCTGTCGACGCCGTCGCAGCTCAAGGCGTTTCTAGCTAGACTACGAAGAGGTGAAGTATTGGGCGCTAGAGCAATGCGCTTCTGCTTCGCGTTGGACGGCACGCTCGTGAACTGCGTCGACGACGATTTTGAAGATGCCTCACCTATAGATAAAAATATACAAATTGCAAGGCAATTGCACGCTGCTGGGCATACGATAATCATCTGGACGGACCGGGGCATGGAGCGGGGCAACGCTGGGAGCGCGATGGCTCGGGCCGGCGCGGTCACGTTCCGGCAGTTAGGTGAATTTGGCATTCCCTACGACGAGCTGCTGTTCGGCAAGCCTCGTGCCGATGTCTACATCGACGCCCAAGCAGTCAGTTCACTAGGAGCGCACATCGAACGTTCGCTAGGATGGGACCTCGAGACTATATCAGGTAATTCGGACCTGACGGGTGGCGTCAAGCCGCGGCATTTCAACGCCGTGCGGCGCGTGGGCGACGACCACGTCGAGAAGACGGGCCCGGAACACATCCTGAAGGGCGAGATTTACTGGTACCAGCACATTCCGCCTGCGTTGTCTGATTTGTTCCCCCAAGCGGTATCAGTGTCACAGCATCCAGATAGGGACCTGTCGAGCATGGTCCTTACGAGAGTCGCTGGTGTGACTTATTCGCACCTGTCGGCGAATTTTTGTGTGACGCCGGGGCGGTTGGTGGCATTATTGGATTCGCTGAAAAGGTTGCATACTTGTGAAGGTTCCACAGACAATGTTTCGGACGAATTACTATGTACGAATTATGCGAGGAAAGTGAAACAGCGGTACCAGAAGCACGAAGCGTTTTTTAGAAGCTTCGGCGCTGATGTTCCCGCGTTAGCGTCAAAAATATTGAGCTTCCTCGAGGACTACGAGTCGCAGAAGCGCTTTAACAAGGCGGGTTATATTCATGGCGACCCCGTCTTCTCCAACGTGCTACTGACGCACGACGGCCGCGTGAAGTTCCTGGACATGCGCGGGGCGCTTGGAGATGTACTCACAACATGTGGAGATGTCGCTTATGACCTGTCCAAAGTGTATCAATCTTTATGTGGCTACGACGCGATTATTCTAGATGTGCCCGTCGATGCAGCGGGCGCGCAGACGCTGGCCAAGCTACGTTCATGCTTTGCGACGTGGCTGTCTCGTAATTATCCGTCGGTGAAGATGCGCGACGTCCGCTTGATCGTCGCGGCGCACTACTTCTGCATCGTGCCGCTCCACGACAACCTGCACCACCAGCGCCAGTTCCTCGCCAAGGCGCGCTGGCTCCTCGAGGCGGACGACGACGCGGCGGGGACGGGCCCGGACGCGGTCGTGGCCTAAGTACCGGTCTAGTGTAAATTTACGTTCCAGTTCAGGACTCGAGTTCAGGACCTCGCGGGTTATGTGGAAACAAATTTGTTTTTTGAAGAGGAGTTAGTCGAGGCGAAGTTGTGCGCGCGCACAGGAGACGGTGGGGGCGCCGCGGGGTTAAACTCTCCTCCGAGAGTCCCGCGGCGGCGTGCTGGTGAGCCTACTTCGTCTTGGACTTCGTCATTTCCGTGTAGCCCCATCCAGCGAGTACGATGTTGATGGCGATCTGCAAATACCACACCCACGGCGTGAAGGAGGTGCCGTCATCGCTCGCGCATTGGAGGAAGAAGATCGGAGTCGAGACGACCTGTGTGGAAATCAAATTTCAGGCGTCCCGGTAACTCTCAATGGTTGAGTTCCACACAGGTACCCACGTGGAAGAGCATCGTCTGCTTGATCCAGGCGTCCTTCGAGACCCCGCACTTGGCGTAGCCGAGCGACATGATGGCGAAGCCGAGGCCCGTCATGCGCTGGAAGAAGGCGCTCTGCGCGTCCGCGGCCGAGCTCATGTACTGTGTGGAAATTAAGCAGTGAGTGAGGTAATCGTGAACTCCACGCCATCGAGCCGACGCGACTAGAAGGACAACGTCGCGTCGATGGCATGGGGCGCCCGAAATTTGATTCCACACAGCGACGTGCGGGCAGCATCATGATGCTGTCCGGGCCCCAGAACAGCTCACTGTTCGTCGTCATCGTGGCGCCGTACATGCCGAAGTAGATGGTCATCGCGAGGTCGTACATTTTGGCCTGCGGTCGGCGCGCCGCTGCACACTCGCGCCGTCAGCGCGTCGTTGCGGACAGAAGGAGAACGCAGCGAAGGAGAACGCAGCGGGGGATCCAAGCTGCTGCCTTACGTGCCGAGCGGGCTGCCCCGTGCGCGCGCTGCGGTCCGCCGCTGGTCGACGTTTGCATTTGAAGTCCACGCGGGTACTTACGTTGAGGTCTTTTTTTATTTTTGGTGTATATTGGCGGGCGGCTTTGACAGCTCTGTCAATTCTTCTGGCGGGAACAGGCGGCGCGCGCGCGAGCCACGAGCCAACCGACGCAAATCGACGCGATGGGTCGGTCGCGCGCACGGGTCCAGGGGTCTCGCCGGGACGGCTCTTCCCGACCGCTTTGCCCTCAATGCGCCGCGCGTCGAAGCGCGCGCCGCCCGTGGAAACGCTTACTTAGAAAACTTACCGCGAGGACCTCACTCCTCCGGCTCAGCGGGAGGCGCCGCGTCCTTCCGCGGCACGGATATCGTCCCGTACTTGGAGTAGTCCTCGGCGACCTCGTAGATCGGGTCCTCTGAACTGGGTTCCATGAGCTCGTAATCGGTCGAGGCACCGTTGAGCCGCTCCAGCAGCTGGTAGCAGTCCGACGACAGGCCCCGCAAGTGAACCTTCTTCGACAGGTCGCCGTACTTGCGCGCGAGCTCGTTGATCGACTCCAGCGCCGAGTGGTCCACGACTCGTGAAGACTTGAAGTCGATGATGACGTCATTCGGATCGCTCTTCGGGTCGAACTGATTGGAGAACGTCGACGTACTCCCGAAGAAGAGGGGCCCGTCGACAGCATACGTCTTCCAGCCTCCGGTAGGCACGGATGACGTCGCCTTGATCCTCGTGGATTGCTTCCAGGCGAAGCCTAGAGCCGACGCGACGACGCCGTAGAACACAGCTTGAGCTAAATCTTTGGTGACGGTGACCGTGGACACGAGCGCGATCGTAAATAGGTCCACTTTTGGAATCTTGTTGATCAAGCGTAATGACGACCAGGAGAAGGTCTGCTTGCACACGAGGAGCATGACACCTACCAACGCGGCGATGGGGATCCGGCCAAGCCTGTGTAGTGAAGAATTATCGGGTGCACCCGACGCACTGGTCGATTTCCACGCAGGGCCAAGCAGTGGCGCGGCCGAGACGAGGCCCGCGGCGAGGCCACCAGCCATAACCATACCGCTCAGGCGCGACGTACCTCCAGCCTCCACGTTGATCAGCGACTGTCCTATCAAAGCGCAGCCGCCCTGGCCGCCCGTCAGGCCCGAGGCTAAGTTGCCCAGGCCCTGGCCGATGCACTCCTGGCGCGTGGAGCCTCTATTACCGTCGTCGGCGATGCCGTCCACTAATTGTAACGTAAGCAGGCTCTCGACCTGTGTGGAAATCAAAATTTTACGGCGCGTTCGTCGACCTCCACGCCATCTTCATGATATCTGCTCGATGGCGTACGGAGCCAGCGCTGGTTGATTTCCACACAGCACTCCACCAAGCCGACGCACGCCATCGTCGCCGCGTAGGGCAGGACCACCTTGAGGAACGCAGCCGGTGCGGTCTTCAAAGCCGAGAAGGCCGCCGGTACCTTGAACGAAGGCAGGACTTTCAACCCGCCGGCGAAGGCCTCCTTGCCCGCCAAATCGGCTAATGTGGTCGCGGGCAGTTTTAACACTGACGACAGCACAGATACCAGAGACACTGCTGCCAGCGTCGGCGGCACGGCCCGCGTCAGCCGCGGCACGAGCCGCACCAAGCCCATCGTTAATGAAGTTAAACCGACCATCGCCAGCGCTTCGGGGCTCGCCAACCCACAGGCGAGCGGCGCCCGGAAGTGGCGCAACTGGGCCCGGGTCATCACTACTGCCAAACCGTTCACAAACCCCAACATCACCGGGTGCGGCACCAATCGAATGAACTTGCCCGCGCCCAAGACGCCGAGCGACACTTGTATTAAACCGGCGAGCGCCACCGCCGCCGAGAGGTACGACGCGCCGTGTGATGCTACCAAACCGGCAACGACGACGGCGCACGCGCCCGACGCGCCCGTCGTGATGCCGCCGCGCCCACCAAAAGCCGCCGCCACAAATCCTAAAACGGCCGTCGTCTGGAGGCCCACGATGGGGGAAACGCCAGCGACGAAGGCAAATGCCACAGCCTCGGGGATCATCGCCAGCGACACGGCGAAGCCGCTGAGGGCGTTCTTTGTTGCTGATTCCGGCGAGAGGGGGTTTAAAGCCTTGCGCGGGCCCAGCGGCGTGAAGAGCAGTTCGGGTGCATTTGCTACCAAATCTTCGTCTCTCGAGATCTCCGCGACCGCCGCGGCACGGGTCGCTGTCGGTGCGTTAGATGGGCGCCTGAGCAGGAGCCCTCTCGGCATCCGCAGGCTGGTGCCGAGTCCGAAGAGGACGGCATGCACGAGAAATGACCGCATGTTACTGAATGAATGCCCGGAACGAGAAATGGCAGTTCTGGCGTCGGCGGGGCAGCCGCTCAGCTCGGTGCTGCTACTTCAGGCACAGCAATCTCAAGCCTAGTGTGTCTGCCTACCCGAAGCACCCGGAAGTTGCCTCCACGCCTCTCCCGCAAGCGTCCGATGAGTTTTCCTTTCTCCGTTCGAATTTTTTTTTAGGCAAGCAAGAGGCTGGCTCCAAGCCTGCCAGCTAATTGGCCCACCATCACATTCGTGCGTTTCGCAGCCAACTGAATCGCTTCGTGCGCTATTTCTCATCGCATTAATCGAGCGAGCAAGTTGTTGCAAGTGCTAGCTATCGCGAGGCTTCACAATAGCATCTCAAAGCTCAGCCTGCAGCCTGAGCTAGCTGCGCTAAAGCAATGCAAAGACTCGCACTCCTCGCCGCAGCAGTACAAACGACGGCGCTGCAGCGCCCGCCCGTGGTCAAACGCGTCGACGTCGAGGTCACGCGACAGCTCGACGGCGTCTCACCGGAGCACGCCAGGGAAGCCTGGCTCGACTACAGCTGGACGAGCGGCGGCGGCATCCCGGCGCTTGTGTTGCGCGAGCCGGCGGACGCGAAGCTGCCATCAGCAAGAACGCTCGTCCCCGCGGGACTGCGCGAGGAGCTCGCGTACGTCGACGAGACGGCCGACGAGGAATTGGTCGCGCGTTACCGCGTGAGCGACCCCGGCCCCCTGCTCGGTTTAGATGTTGTGAACGGCTCGCATACTGGATTGGTCGCCTTCTCACAAACAGAAAACGGCTGCGAGATGCGCTGGGAGGTGTCCTTCGACTGTCGAGGACGGGCGGGCTTCTGGAAGCAGGCGACGGAGTTTCTGGTTGGGAACGCCGCCGATGCGCTGCAATCTTATGTAACGAAACCGAGCGCGCCGTACTGGTTCGACCCTCTATCAGAATTCGGCCTCGCGCGCGACGGCGACGCATCAGACAAGCCGCTGCTTTTGGTTTTGCCGGGGCTGGACGGCTCGTCGGTGACGGCGTGGATGCAGTACCCGGAGCTCGGCGAGGCCTACGACCTGCGGTGTTTGGTATTGCCGGCGAACTGCCGCGGCAGCTACGAGGACTGGGTCAATACAGCAGTCGAGGAGGTCGAGAAGGCGGCGCTGAGAGCGGAGGCGTCGCGACTGCTGAAGAAAGTGGAGAGGCCCGTCTTCGTGCTCGGCGAGTCCATGGGCGCGGGCGTCGCGTTGGACGTCGCGGCCCGGAGTAGCGTCGCCGGCGCAGTCCTCGTCTCGCCGGCGACGGGCGGGGACCGCACGGCGCTGGGCGGCGCCCGATCCAAGCTCGTTCGGCTTCCGGACCCCGTGCTGGCGTTGGTCATCGCGCTGTCGTCTTATCAATTACTGGACAGAGGCCAGCTGGACACGACGCTGCGGAGGATAGCGACGGGCGAAACGTCTCCACTGCTAGAAGGCGAGGATCGGGAGGCCTACGCGTGGCGCGTCGTTGGCGAGCTGCCGCAACGGCTCGCCTTGCCGGCATCAGCCTGCCGCCACCGCATGCGCGAGTGGGTCGGGCCGTCGATCGCCGCGGGCTCCGCCGATGCGCTGCAAAAGCAGACGGCGCCCCTTTTGATAGTAGCGGGCACGGCGGATTTAAGGGTACCGGCGGAGGAAGAAGCGAGACGGATCGCGCGGGACGCGCCACCACAATGTTTACCGAGATTACACTTCGTCGAGGGCGCGGGCCATGCTGGTGCGACAGATGATCGACTTGACCTGAGGGCGGTCATGGACGCGTGGCGGCGGGAGGTTGTCGGGGTCTGAGGCTCGCGTCGGCGGCGGCGCGGGCGCGACCGAGACTCTCGCGCGGCCGCGTCGACGGCGTCTGGCGACACCTCCACGCCACCGACGCGAGGCCATATCGACGCGTCATCGCCGCGACTCGGAAGTAATAAATGTGGATAGTTATGCCATGGCCTCCTTCGCGAGCTGCTCGAGCTTCTCCTTCTCGTCCATGGCGACGCAGGCGGCCACCACCGGTTCTAACTCCCCGGCCAGGACCTTGTCGAGGTTGAAGTTCTGCCCGAGCCGGTGGTCCGTGCACCGACTGTCTTTCCAGTTGTAGGTGCGTATTTTCTCGGATCTACCACCGGTGCCGACCTGCATCAACCTCTGTTCCTTGATCTCGGCGGCCTGTTTTTCCTGCTCCAATTCAAACAACTTCGACCGGAGTAGTTGCATCGCCAGCTCCTTGTTCTTGAGCTGCGTCCGTTCCTGCGTGCAAAAAATCCGAATCCCCGTCGGGTGGTGCATGAGGTCGCAGGCCGTCTCGACCTTATTGACGTTCTGGCCGCCCGCGCCGCCCGACCGCGCCGTCGTCATACTAATATCCTTGGGATCAATCTTAATTTGGACATCATCAACTTCCGGCATGATGGCCAATGTAGCGGTCGACGTGTGCACCCTGCCCTGACTTTCGGTCGCTGGTACTCTTTGAACCCTATGCACGCCACTTTCGAATTTCAGCTTACTATAAACTGATTGACCCGTCACCTCCATCGTGTACTGCCGGTAGCCGCCGTCGTCGCCCGGCGACGCATCCACGACGCGCGTCTGCCAGCCCTGCGTCTTCGCGTACCTCGTATAGGCCTCCACGAGATCGCCAGCCCAGATGGCCGCCTCGCCGCCGCCCGTCCCCGCGCGGATCTCCAGCATGACGTTCTTCTCGTCCATGGGGTCCTTGGGGATTAACAGTAAAGCTAGTCGGTCCTCGGTAGCCTTGATCCTTTCTTCAAGGTCCTTGACCTCCTCCCTTGCGAGTTCTCTCATCTCCTGGTCATCGGCCTCCTGGAACATCTCCGTCGCTCCCGACAGCTCCTCTTCCAGGTTCTCGTACTCTTGGTACGTGTTCACGACCTCCTCGGCGTCGGCGCGCTGCTTCGAGATCTGGAGCATCTTGTCGGGGTCGTCGAGGACGTCCGGATCAGCTAAACGTGCCGTGAGCTCGTCGAAGGTGCCTCTCATATCATCTAAACGCCCTACCATGAAGCTGTCGAGCGCGTTGAGCTGAGGCGCACGCGGCGCCGGCGGGGGCGCGAGGAATGCATGTGTGGTGTAAATGCAAAGCAGCAGCGCGCGGCCGCTGCATCGTCGTCTTGGTCCCGGCATCCTTGCTACCGCTGCCTCGGCGGCGCTGCACACTGACTGCAAGTTCAGCAGCCTGCGTTGTCGCTCTCTGGACGCCAAATTATATAGCGCGCGTTATTGTAGCGCCGTGTCAGACTCGAACACACCTAATGCTGTGTGCCTGGTCGATGGGGGCTTCGTGCTAGGCCGCTCGCGGTGGCTTGCGCCGCTGCAGCTTGCTAGCGTGCTGTAAGGCACTAGCAACCCACCAAAAAGGTCTTGTGTACGCTGTAATTGGCGCCTCTTAACTCCAGAGGCCGGCTGGCAGTCTTCTCGCAGCCGCACTGCCCTCAGAAGGATAAGACTGCATTTCCTGCGCTGGAGAGCACTCATCAGCAGAGCAGAGACAGTGGGCCCAGCTCACGAGTGCACCGCGTGCGTCCTCGAGCAGCTTAAGCGCTGCGGCAAGCTACGCACGCACCGCTCTGAGAGTAGTTCCATCGATTATTCACACAAGACATGGACGACTGCGATAACTGTGACGGAAAGAAAGCGGCGTACGAGGCGTGCATGCTGCGAGAAAGTACGAGCCTGAGCGGCATGAAATACTTTGGTAGCGGCGCGATCGTCGGAGCAGCGCTAACGCTCGCCGTCCCGCGCGGCGTGACGAGCGTTTGGATTCGACAAGCGCCATTCTTCGTCCTCGGACTCTCGGGCATCGCGGCGGATTACTACGCGATCCAAAGTTTGTGTGCTCGCGAGTCCGGGTGAGGGTCGCGCGTTGTGCCGCGTCTCGCGGTCACCGGGCGGCGACCCCTACCTCCGATCCCGCCGACCGACGAATATGTGATAATGAGTTGTCTAAAAACCACCAGAACGAAGTATCCACAGGACTTTACAAAACTCTACCCCAGCAGCTTGTCGATCGTGTCGTTCGCCGCGGCCCGCTCGACCGCGTCCTCCTTGCCCTGGTCCAGGACCGCCGCGGCCTTCGTCAACTGCTTCCGGACGAGGCCCGCGTAGACGCCACCCCGCTCACACAACTCGTCGTGCGACCCCTCCTCCTTGACGCCGCCGTCGGCGATGACCGCGATCTTGTCGGCGTTCATCACCGTCGAGAGGCGATGCGCGACGAGGACGACCGTCGAGTCGCCCTTCCGGATCAGCGCGTCGAGCGACGCCTGCACCTGTGTGGAAATCAAATGTCGCGGCGCATCTTACTGGTTGATTTGCGCACAGGCCCGCACCGCCTGCTGCGAGTCCTCGTCGAGCGCCGACGTCGCCTCGTCCAGGAGAATGATCTTCGGCCGCCTCAAAAAAATGCGCGCGATGGCCACGCGCTGGCGCTGGCCCCCCGACAGGCGGCCGCCGCGCTCGCCGACGCGCGTTTGATAGGCGTCCTTCATCTCAGAAATGAAGTCGTGCGCCTGCGCCTCCGCGGCCGCGGCCTCTACTTCTTTGCCCAGGTCCTCGTCGGCGTCGGCGTCGTCTTTATCGGCACCCGGGTGGCCGTACGCGATGTTCTTGCGAATGCTTCGTGCGAACAACGGCGTGTCCTGGGCCACGATCCCAAACAGCCCGCGGTACGCCTTCACGTTCAATGAACTCACGTCGCGCCCGTCCAATTTGAGTGTGCCCCCACGGCAGTCGTAGAAGCGCATGAGCAGCGAGACGATCGTGCTCTTGCCACCGCCAGACCGCCCCACAAGGGCACAAACGGACCGCGGCGCGATTTCCAGGGACAGACCCCTCAGTACTTTCGCGTCGGGCCGCATGACGTAGTGGAACTCGACGTCCTCGAGGCTCAGCTTCCCGTCCACGTCCCAGTCAATCGCCTCGCCATCGTCGGGCGAGATGTCCGGCAGGCTGTCTATGAGTGAAAAAACTTTCTCCGCGGCCGCCGCGGACCGGGTAAACGACGTCACGAGCCCCTGCAACGCCTGGTAGGCCGCGTTCATGGTAGTCCAATACAATTGAAACGTGACGAGCTCGCCGATTGTTAAGGAGCCGTCGCCCCGCAGCACAATTCGGCCACCTTCCCACAGTATTAAGACACCAGTGCCAAGATCTAAATAGCCCGTCAACGCGCTTGTTAAGCCAAAACCCAGCGCGTCGCGAATACCTAACCTCAACGCCTCGCCGCAGGCCTCGTCGTACTTTTTTGTCTCCGTGTCCTCCGTCACGAAGGCCTTTACGGTCCTGATGTGGTGCAGGGCCTCCGTCGCGACGGCGTTGGCCTCGGCCCAGGCCGCTAACACGCGCCTCGACAGGCTCTTGGACCAGTTCCCGTACAGGTCCCAGAGGTACATGATCGGACCGACGACGACGAAGGCCAGCATTGATAACTCATAGGACGTCGCAAAACACATGGTCACTCCACCAATAAGCATGATCGAGTTCGAGAGTAACGACGCTAACGAAGCTTGGATGGGCGCCATCATGACTTGCGCGTCGTTTGTTAATCTAGAAGTGAGGTGCCCGGACGTCGTGCCATCAAAAAAGGCCGTGTCCTGCCGGATGACGGATTTGAACAAGGTCGTGCGCACGCCGAACAGGATGTTTCTAGAGACTACCGAGAACGCGGCTTGGTACGCCGCCTGGCACAGGCCCTGGGCAATCATCAAATACAGGTACTGGACGACGGCGTTGCGGAAGGCGCCTCGTTCTTTCCTCACAACGCGGTCGACGATCCTTCCTTGATATTTGGGCAGGGCCAAAGCTAAAGCAGAATTGCATGCCAAGAGCGCGAGGGCGACGAAGAGGAGCCCCTTCTGGCCCGCCGCGAGGCTTATAGCTCGGCGCAGGTATGAGGACGACGACACGTTTGTTTCTCGCCTTGCCCCACGGTCACCGCGCAGTACGTGCTCGCCCACCGTCGCCGCATCCGTGCGGGACGCGCACGGCACGCATAAATCAAAATCGCATAACTTGCAGCGCCACGCGCCACCTCTCCTAATAGGCGTGCCGCAGAGGTCGCACCAGTGCCGCGAGAGCGTCGCGTCGTAGACGAGCGGGTGCGCGTGGACCTCCGGGAGGTAGAGCCCGTCATCCCTCGTCAGCTCGCGCACGAGTTCCCGCGCGAGCCAGGCGCTAATATTCGTGAAGAGCACGCCCGCGCAGACCAACAGAATCTGCGCCGTCTTCGTGCGCCGCCGCTCCCGGCCGCGGTCGCCCTCAAAATCCGCGGGTGGGCCCCAGTCGAAGTTGTTGAGCTTGACGCCCACGTAGACCTGCATGCCCGTCGCTAAGACAAAAAGTAGCCCGAGGATCGCGTGCTTGCGCGCGGCGGCGTGCGCCTTCTGTCGCTGGCGGTCCTTGTCGGCGAGATCGGCCGAGAGAGCCGCGGCGGCGGCGGCGCCCGTGCGCTCCTCGCCGTCGAGCGCGGCGTAGCCCTCCGGTGCGGCGGGCTTCTTCGCGCAGAGGCAGCCGTCCCGGCGACCGCACCGCACAGCTAAACGTGTCAGCAACGGAAAGACGATCGCCCGCGCGAGCGCCATAAAAAATACGTCCGTGACCTTGTGGCCGAAGGCGAAGTCCCAGCGTTCGAAGGGCCGGAGGGCAGCTTTAGTTTCGAAGCCGCCGTAGCAGGCCACGAGCGCGACCGCCGCGCAGACGTCGAGGAGATGCGTCAGGGCCATGAGGCCGCCGTAGACGCGCAGGACACGTCTGCGATTCTCCTGCTCGCTGTTCGCTTGCGTCCTCAGTACGTCCAGGAGGTTCACTCTGTAGGAGGAGGCCATCGTTTACGGTTGGTCGTTGGTGCGTGGCTTTTTTCGAGCGTTAATCGATGCAGCTCTCTTGGGTGCAGTCGCCTCGATTGAAGAGGCGCAGTGTGGTCAGTGATGGTAGCTGGGTGTGGTCCACAGCCTTTGCTAATGGGCACAGTCCGAGATTGATGCTTTCGCGCCCGATCTAACGAGTGCAGAAAACCTTGCTTGGTGTATTTTTCCTGCTCCCTGCGCCTCACGAAGCGATTTTTGCCCGGGAGCAGCCCAGGCTAGCGGCATGTAAAGACACTAGCAAGCAAACTCGGAACGCGCATGCAGCCGTTTGAGTATCGTTCAGTAAGCTAATGGTCCAAAGAGATCAATGGGACACGTACTGGGGGCCGAAAAATTTTTTTTTTAATTCGCGGCCGACGAGCCGCCCATGGCCATGCCAGTGGAATCCTGTCAATCCCTGCCAAACAGGTCTCCCGGGGGGCGCATAGGGTCGGTACTATACACGTGCAAGCGCCTACGCCGCATACGCCGCCGCTTCAAGCATTTTTGGTCGATTTCTCTCAGTGGCCCACGCATCCTAAGATACCGCTCAACATCATCCGCGGCCGGTCGCCGTTCCACGGCATCGCCGGCATCGGCGAGGAGAAGAAGGAGAAGGGGGAGGTGAAGGAAGAGCCCGCCGAAGCTATCAAGGCGGCGGCCGCGCCGGCGGCCGCGGCCGTGGCGGCGGCCGCGGCGCCGGCCCCAGCCCCGGCTCCGAAGAAGAAGAAGTGGTTTTGGCAAAAAGACCCGATCCCGGAAGCTAATCCTGAAGAAAAGATCAAGCCCGCGCCTGTGCGAAAAACATCACGCCATCGCATGGGGCGCCTGAAGTTTGATTTCCACACAGGCCGGCGCCTGCGTGGGCCGTCTACGGCATGCTCGTCGTCTGGTACGGCGCCGCGCTCGTCCTGAACGGCACCTTCCGCTCCGCGCTCGTGCAGGACCTCGGCGCACGCGGTGCGAAGGAGGCCATCGCGGCCGAGGCGCGCATGAAGATGGGTCTCTAGTCCACCTCTCCGCGCAATTTATAACAGTCACTTTACAAACAACTACCGCCGCAGCTGCGGCTGGGGCGGCCCCCGCTGCTGGAGCGGCTGCGGCGGGCCCCGCGGCGCCGGCCGCGGCGGTTGAGCCGCCGCGACCTTCGGCCGCTTGTTCTGGTCGACGCCCGCCGGCGCCGGCGGCCCCCGCGTGCGGCCGCCCCGCCCACGCCCTCCGCCCCGTCCGCGCCCGCCGCGGCCCCGCCCGCCGACCCGCAGGTTCCGCCGGTCGAAGCCCAGATGCAGGATCTCTCCCCTGCAACACAGCGCGCAGAGCGTCGGGTTGAGGTCCGTCCCCGGCGGCACTTTTGCTGACGGGAGCTTGAGCTTGAGCCGGCGGACCGGCGCGCCCGGCGCCGAACATTGTGGACAGTCGCTATCTTCCAAGACCCGCGCACTAGCAACGGCCGAGGGGAACCAGGCCGCCGAGCCGCATTGCTGAGACGTGCACCCGAGCACGAACTTGGCCGCCGGCGTCCTCCGTAATTTCAGGTCGCCGCCGCAAGCACACTTCGCCACGGCCAGGGACCCGCCTCGCACGCCCGTCGCGAGACTACAACCGGCATGGGCGCAGTCGCGGCAGGCCATGCGCCCGCCCGTACTTCCCGCGTGCGCGCCGGGCGGCGGCGCGGTGTAGCAGTGCGGGCAGTGCGGCTGCTTTCGCCCATTGGGATCGAATTTGATATCAACCAACTGGAACTGGCACAATGGACATGTTGCCGAACGCGGCTCGATGGTCACACCTTGTCTATCAGGTAAAGGCCACCACGTCTCACACTGGTCGCAGCGCAGCGACGGGCGGTCATTTCTTGAGTATAACTGCATGGTACCGCCGCAGTCGCCGCACGTCGTCCCCGCGAAGTCCAGGTTCAAATCCGGCGCCGGCCCGTCTCCGGCGGCGCCGCCGAAGCGCTTCCGCATCGCTTCATCTAATTTCGCGACGTCTCTCTGCACGACGTCGAAGCACCTCCGCATCGTTACCAACGTCTCCGCTATCACTTGAGCCTTCGTCTTCTTGCCATTGGCGATGGAGGTAAAGTCCGCTTCCGCAGCCGCCCGTAACTCAGGTCTGTTGAGGCGCTCGCCCATGGCGTCGTAGGCGTCTACTAATGCCCTTCCCAACGGTGTCGGTTTGAGCACGTGGGGCGGCTGGTTCGCTCGCGTCGCGTACTCCCGCGTCAGTACCGTTTTTATATGATCGGCCATCGTCGCGTCCGTGCCGATGCCGTGCGCGTCCATCTTCGCGAGCAGATCCGCCTCCGTGAGTAGGGGAGGCGGTTGGGTCTTACCGGCAACGAGTTCCACTTTCGTGATATCAAACAATTGGCCCTCTTGGAGTAGAGGCAATTGCGTCCCGGACCACCGCTCCCAGCGATAGATATCCAGCCAGCCTCGCTGGTCGATAATCAAACCTCGCGCTTCGAACTTCTCGCCGCCGATATCCGCATCCACCAACGTCTGTCGTCCCACACCGTCCTTCGCACAACAGGCTAGGAAATGCCTCGTAACTAACTCAAAAACGGCCTTCTGTCTTGGGTCTGTTAACTGCGAACCGTCGCCCGTGGGGTGGATCGGCGGGTGGGCCTCGTCGTCTCGTTTGCCGGCTCGCGGCTGGCAAAAACTACGAGGGTCATTCGCTGGTTTGTCCAGTAGGTCTCCACAAAAACTTGCGAAGCGAGGATCGCCGCGCTGCCTATCGATCAGATCTCTCAAGTCGAGTCCAGGCTTGAAGATCTCCGTTTCTGTTCTAGGGTACGAGATGAGAGCGTTTTGATATAATTTCTCAGCTACTTCCATGGTCGCGTCTGGAGCTAAACGTAGCCACCGCGACGCTCGTTTTTGCAACTCGAGCGTACACAGGGGCACGGGTCGCACTTTCGTCGCCGGTTTGGGTTGTACTCGTTCAATAGTACCAGGAGATTCTAACACGCGTTCGAACAACAATGAAGCTACAACTTCATCAAACACTCGTTTTCTCCGCCAGGACCACTTCACATGTTGTTGGTCTATCTTAGTAGCTAAATCAATCTTCCAGAACTGTTTGTGAGCGTGGGCCTCGATCTCCTGCTGGCGCTGGACGATGAAGCCTAGGGTCCTGCGCGGAGCATCGCGGTCGCTCGACTCGGTCCGAAAGGCCTCAAACTCAAAAAAGAGACCACCCACGACCTCGTCTGATGGACACGAGTCGCGTCGATGGCGTGAAGGCACCGCAGCACCGCGGGACGCCGAGATCGCACGGGAACTGGCAGGGCCCGTAACTGACCACTTTCGTCTGGACGTCCTCGTACCGCCCATCGATCCTGAAGGTCTGGAAGCGCGTGAAGGCCGCTCCTGCTCGTAAATCTAGTTCACTTCTAGCAGCGACGGCGTCGGCCTTGCGCTTGTCCGGTCGCTGCAGTGATCTCCAAGCCTGCTGGATGGACTGCTTATCGACGGACGAGAAGACGGCCCGATATAAGTCCAACGACGCCTTCTTCTTCCGACAGACATCGACCACCTCATAGGCAATCGCCTCGCCCTCCCTATCACAATCCAACCATAAAACTAACCAGTCGTTCTGGCGCGCTTCTTGTTCCAGTTGTTGCTTCAGAGGTAGTTTATCATCAGCGACGCGGAATTCTACTTGTGATACGTCCTCCCGCAGTAAATCCCGAGGCGCGCACGCGTGCCACTTGTTGTGCGGCTCGGCGAACTCCGACGCCATCAGATGACCTGTTACTGAGGTAACGGTGTGCCTGACGCGTCGGTTGTTTGTGAGTGGTGTGCCCGGCGTCTCAAAATCATAAAGGCGGTTGTAGGGGCTCGGTCCCGATCTATTGGTGGTGGGACCACCTAGGCTCCCGAGGTGCTCGGCGACTTTTTTGGCCACGCTCGGCTTCTCGGCGACGTGCAGCGCGCGCAGCATTGTCGCCGCGCGGGCCGCCGTCGTGCGCGGTGCGCCGCGGCGCTGGGAACGGTCTCACGCCTCTGCGGCGGCGTTGTGCGGGGCGAGACGCCGCAGCGCGCGACCAGCGGAGGCCGCGGATAACCTGGCGCTGTCGCTTCGAGCAATGCTCGCTCTGGCGCGCTCGTAAACGCAAAAAACGACAAAAACTCGAGCGCTGGCTAGTGTGTGTCGACACGCTAGCTCTCCATGCTCGATCGACCAAAAAACGGTCTTAACAGAGGCGTACAGCGAAGACTGAGCCTGGCTGCGCCTCTCACGAACGCTCTGAGTAAGCAGACATCGCTGCTGCACACGTCGAGGTCGCCGCGAACGTCTGTGGAGTATCAGCCCTACCCTGCTCACAGATAATTCCACAGCGCCGCCGTCGGGAACAAGCCGTCGACGCGGCAAAGATGCCGGGACAAGACCGCTACCGCAGCGTCCGCGGCCGCTACCGCCCGTGCTGCGGCGGGCGCTGTTTACTAGCAAGGCCGCGCAGCGGCGACGACGCGTCCGGCGCTTCTGTAACAATGATCCTCGTGCCCACCGCTTCATTCTTCTACCTGCTCCCTCGTAAACAATCATCGATCCTCCCCGCATGCTTGGCACTACTGTGCTTGACCCTATCTCTAGCATCATTGGTAGCGGCCATGGTCACCGAGCCCGGCATCCTGCCGGCGGCGCCGCCCGACGAACCCCGGGAAGAAACGAAGCAAGCGCGGCGCAAGATCACGCACGTCGTCATACGGGGCCACCGCATCAAGCTCCAGGAAAGGCGCGCGAAGTACACGCGGCACACGGATTCAGTAGTGGAACGCTTCGATCACCATTGCCCCTGGGTCGGCAACGCGGTCGGGCTGCGGAACTATTACTATTTCGTGGCTTTTGTGTTTTGGACGACTTCATTGGCATTGGTTGTGGGTCTGAAGAGCGGTCTTAGACTATACACGTTGTCAAAATCAAAACATTACCTCGATCGCGTCGAGCCGTGGCACGTTATTGGATTGGCGTCGTTGACGGCTTATTGTGTGGTGATCTTTCTGCTGGTCGGTGGTTTGTTCGCGTATCACTTTACGCTTATCTCGCGGAATTTAACGACGAACGAAGACCTGCGGGCGACGTATCCCTCTCGAAGGAGCAACCCTCATGATCGTGGGTGTGTACAGAACTGGCGCGCATGCCTATTTGGGAAGACGCCGCCGTCCTACGTGCTCCAACTGGACCGGGAGGAGCTGCTCGGGGACGTCGAGCTCGCGCGGAGGGGAGAAGTCGAGGACGAGTTCCGGGACGCGAAGGACGTTGTCTAATTTTGTCTTAACTGTCACAACACACGGCGCCGCCGCAGCTCGTCCGAGAACGCGACGAGCCCCGGCTTGAGGACGGCGTCCCAGTAGTACGCGTCGCGCGCGACCCGGAAGATCGCCAGATGAGAAGGGATCCACATCACGAGGTCGCACCACGCGTGCCCCGAGAGCGCGAGCTGGCCCTGGACCTGCGCCAGGAATCGCGCCGGCGGCTTCGCCGCCGAGACGAAGGTACGTTTTCGCTCGCGGTAGAGGCACTTCACTTCCAACAACCCCTCCTCGCCCGTCGCGCGGTCGACGACGACGCCGTCGGGGCTCGCGCCGTAGCGCAGGTCGGCGCAGGTGTAGAGGCCCGTCGCCCGCACGTCAAACCCGGTCTTGTCGCGGTACGCCTGCACGGCGAGCGGCTCCGAGGCCTGGCCGAAGCGTGTGGCTGGAGTGTCGACACGGGCCTCGGAGCCATGCAGCTTGCGGTCGAGCAGCGCCGCGCGGCTCAGGAACGGGGATTCATCCAGCGCAGCGCAGGCGAATTCAGACGCGGTGGCGTCCAGAGCCGCCCGCGCCAGCATCCACGCGCTCGTCGCCGCGTCGTCCTGGCGCAGCGTGCGCGTGTCTTTTGTTTCAGTGTTGCCGTCGGCGTAAGTGATAAGTGCGGTGTTCTGCCGGACGATCTCCAGGTTGGTGACGTCTGAGACCTGGCGGCGCGGCCTCAAAACCGCCCTGCAGAGCCTGGAGGCCAGCAGCCTCGCACGCATCCTTTCGTCGACCAGCCGCCCAAACAAATGGCTTATGCGATCGGACAGATGGCGAGGCGTTGCACGCGTATGACGGTCGCAAAACCGGCTGTGAGAGAGCAATAGTCAGTACAGCGAGCTCCCACGGCGCACCGATGCTCCAACGCTTCCAGCGCGCTGCCACGCAACTGATGCGGTATCAGAGACGACTTGTTCGTCTCCTTTGCACGTAAAATGCCGAAGTGCGGCCAACTCCCGCTAGCGTCCAGTAAGACACTAGCGAGAGCTGAAAGCGGAGACCACACTGAAGCATAAGCACGCATACGGCCGACGCGACAGTTTCCCACGCGCAGCAGTAACTCGCCGCAAGCCGTTAAAAAAGTACAGTCCACCTCCGTGCATTGCGGGGCCGCCACAAGCAAGGCCACAGCACCACCTCGCCAGGGGCCGCAGCGCCGCCGAAGAAGAGCGATGGCCAAAGCCCTCGCCGTAACGGGCGCCCTCGCGTGCGGCGCCGCCGCCGCCTACTACCTCTACGGCCCAGCCGAGGACGACGACGACGCGGACGACCTCCCGACCGTCACCCCCTCGGAGTGTACACAAATCATGGAGAAGATCACTATGATCATGCAGCAACAAATCAATAATTTAATGAGAAAGATCCAGGCCCAGGGCGCCCAGATCCCCCAGCAGATGCTCCAGAGTTACTTAGTGGAACACTTCGAAACCCAACTTAAGGAAGTGCAGTCCGTGGTCTTCCGGGAGTTCGGCAAGGACGAGGACGAGGTGGAACACGCTTGTGCGTATTACGAAGCGAAGGAGACGCGGGATGATAAGGTCGTCGAGGCGTGCAACAACCTGAGGAGCCTGTACACGAATGTCGGCGGGAGAGTCGAGTTGGATTTACCTGAGGATTTGACGGTCGAGAAGATGTGTGTGATCTTCGAGGAGTACATGGGCGCCGTGCAGCAGGCTCAAATAGCCTTCTCGCAACATCTGCAGCAGTTGAAGGCTCGAGGCGCGCAGGTCACGACGTCCCAATTGAATGAAACTAGAAACAACCTCATGCAGAACCACGTACTGACGGTGCTCAAGAAGTACGACATGACGAACTTACTGTGGGTGGCGGCTTTGGAGAAGTACAGCGATTCCCAAGTGTTCAAGGCGGCGGTCGAGCGGTGCAAGAAGGGCGGCGCGGCGCCCTAGGGAAAGTAAGTACCACATCTTGTTAATTCTAGATCGGCTCCGTCGTGAGCTCAGGCTCCGAGGTAGGCTCGGCTGTCGGCGGCTCGGCCGTCGGCTCGGCCGTCGGTGCGGTCTTCGACTTCTCCGGGGCCCCGAAAGCGCCAGCTCTCGCCGCCATGCGCGCGAGGGCCCCCTTCGTCGCGGAGAGCTCGGCCCGCGTCGCGGCGTGCGCCACTTGCTCCGCCTCGAGCGCGCGCTTCGACTCTACGACTCGCATGACCGTCCGGTCCCGCGTCGCGGCGTGCGCAGCTTGTTCCGCGTCGAGCGCTCTCTTTGTCCGCACGTGGACGTCCCGCTCCATCGCGAGCTCCTTCAGCGCGTCCTGCGCGGTGCCGCGCCACTCCGTCAGTTGCGCTTCGACGCCGCCCTGGTAGGCGCCGCTTAAGAAAGGAGTCAGCTGCTGCCGCGTCGCTTGGTGCGCCTGTCGCTCCTCCGCGAGTCCCCGCACGGCGTCCTCAAGCTCCGTCGCGAAGAACATGGCGCGGGTCCGAGCCTTCTCGTCGCGGTCCTGGAGTTCTGCCCTCGTAGCGGCGTGCGCCGCGGTCTCCTCGGCGAGCGCTCGCACGGCGTTTTCCCGTTCCCTTTTCATGAGCTCCAATCCTTCCAAAGCGCAGCGATTCGCCGCCTTTTCGGAGGTGTAGGCCTTCGCAGCGGCGGCGGCAATTTCTTCCGAGCGACTCGCCTTCGCGGCGGCCAACTCGTCGCGGAGGCGCCGGTTCTCCTTCACCAACCCGGCCGACGACTCCTCCCGGAGGCGCTTATTCTCTTCCATCAGCCGCAGCACGGCTCCCTTGGCCTCCGCGAGGGTGCGCTCGTGCTCCCCGTTGGGCTTCTTGGGAGGGCTCGGCGGCGCGGCCGCGGTGGCCACGATGAGCTTAGCCTCGTTCTTTGAAATCCCGGCCTCGACGAGGTCCTCGACACTGAGCAGCGGTAGAGTCTCCTCATCGATCTGTTCTCGCGCGAGGACGGGCGCGAGGTGTCCCAGACCTAGGCGCCCGAGGAGTGTGCCATCATCATCGGAGATGACGACGACGTTCTGGAGCTTGTGAGTGTGCTTGCTCCCAGGATTACAGGAAACGACCTCGAACGCCACTCTATCTCCCTTCACCAAACTCTTCCTCCCTTCAACGTCCTTGAAGCTGCAGTAGTAGCCGTCCTTGCCCTTCTTTTTCGGTTGACCGTCCGCCCTCACGAAGCAATAGCCCTTGCACGCGGTGATGACCGTGCCGCGCTTGCGCCCGTCGCCGCCGCGGCGGGCCAGCCGCGCCCGCAGCGCCTCCAGCAGGAGGATCCTTTCCCCAGGGTTCTTCGCGCTAATGTCAAACTCGTTCAGCGTCTCCAGACCTACACTATCGAGCGTCGCGTCCTCGACGCCCGCCTTCGATAATGATACGAGCAGCTTCCGGAGCTTCACGGACTGCAGCAGTCTTGAAAGTTCGTCGTAGCGGCCCGACGCGACGAGGGTTCTCCTCCTCAGCTCCTCGTCCGAGATCGGCATATTGTATATTACGGTGTCTGTGTGCTTCGTCCGTGCGGCGCGCGGTCCCCCCGCGGCGCGGCGGCTGGCGTGCGGCCCGCGGGCAGCCTCGGGGCAGCGCTTGCGTCGGGCTTGCGGTTTCGGGTGGCGAGGGGACTCACACCACAACCATAGTGTGGGCAGCCTCGCCCACCGTAAAACCAGCAGAGGGTCGCCCTGCGCGCAGGGCCGAAGCACTCGTGCAGCCTCGCGGGTCTGTAGCGAACTGTGCGCCTGTGTCTCGCTGCGAGGCTGTGGAGGCGATTTGCGAGTTGGAACACTAGTATGTCTATAGACGCTAGCCTCCTAGCTTCTCGCGTCGTGAAGAAGGCATTGACGGGCGCCCTACGCACCGCCTGTGCCACTGGGGAGCTCGCCGCCAAGACCTTCCTCACGCCTCCCAGTTCGCCGCATCGCTGCGCGCGATCTGGACGTGACCAGCTCCGAGATCAGTCCAGGGACCAGCGCTAAAAGATGGCCGCCGCCGCCGCCGCGCGCGCCCTGCTGGACAAGAACGGCGACTTGACCGTCGAACAGTTCTCCGCCGCCCTGACGAAGATCCTGGGCAACATCCTCGCCCATCCCGCGGAAGAAAAGTACCGCCGCATCAAAGCAAAGGCCAAGCTCGTGCAGCAGACCATCCTCGCGGCGGACGGCGGCCTAGCTGCATTCTTGGCATTAGGGTTCCGCAAGGAAGCCATGACCGTAAGCGCGCCGCCGCCGCCGCCGCCTCAAACGTACGAGCAGTCGACGACGATCGCCACGGCCGCGGCCGAAGATTCATTGATACAGATGGGGTTTAGAAGGAGCGCGGCGCGCAGCATGCTCCAAGAGTGCGGCGGCGACATCTCGCTGGCGCTGGACCGCCTCGCGGGCCACCCGGAGTTCATGGGCGTCGACGACCCTTCAGTCGAGGAGGAGGCGCAGCGGCTCGAGGCTGCTAAACGGCAGGCGGCGGCGATGCGCCAGGCCGCTTCCACTCCAGTGCGGACCGAGGACGTCTACGTCCTCCAAAACGTGGACGAGGCTTCATTAAGGGCGGCGCTCGAGGTCTACTCGTCAGAACTCCCGGCCGCTTTGACTCGAAAGAAGGAGGAGCGCCGGGCGGAACAAAGAGCGAGAGCCAAGACCGAGGCCCGCGCCGCGGCCGCGGAGCGCGCGGCCTCGCAGCGGCGCTGGGGCGAGGACGAGCGCGACCGGGCCGCGCGGCGCCGCAAGCTCGCGCCGGCGCCGGCGCCGGCACCTATCAGGGACGACACGGGCGGGCTCATCGACGCGCAGGACCGCGAGTTCCAACAAGCGGCGGCGGCCGACGGCGCCGCACCGCCTCAACAGACAACAAACAACCCGCATGCTACACTAAATGTCGCAGTCCGCCTGCCGGGCGCGCCTCCGATGAGACGCCAGTTCCTCGCGGGCTGGTCACTTACACAATTAGCCGACTTTCTCTCGAGGCAGCTGCCGGACGAGACGAGCGCGCGCCTGACCGTCGCCGGCGCGCGCCAGCCCCTCGTGATTGATGGTCGGACGCTGGCCGAGTGCAACTTAGGCGGTTCTACACTTTATGTGGAAGCTATAAAGGTGCAGCCTCCACCGGCACCGCAATCCCAAGATGACGACGACGCTTATAGGGCGGCATTACAAGCGGCAAATGTGGACGTCGTATCAGGTGTAGACGGCCTCGCGCCCCGAAACTTCACGACTGGCGCGGCACCTAGAAGACTGATGCGCGAGTTAAGGTCGCTAGGTTCCGATTTACCGCAGCCGAGCTGCGCCTCGACCATCTTAGTGAGATACGACAGCGAAAAACCAGCTTATATGCGAGCGCTCATAACAGGACCTTTGAACACGCCCTACGCCCACGGCTGCTTCGAGTTTGAGATCAAATGCGGCGAGGACTACCCGCAGCACCCGCCCAAAGTTAGGATTTTGACCACAAAGCGGGGCACGGCCCAGTTCGGGCCGAACCTCTTCGCGGATGGACTCGTTTGTCTCTCGTTACTAGGGACGTGGGAGGGCCCGGGCTGGGAGCCCTCCCAAAGTTCACTGTTGCAGGTGCTCGTCTCCATCCAAGGATTAGTGTTGGGCATGCGCCACCCGCATTTCAACGAACCGGGCTACGGAGGGTGGGAGGGCACCGAGACGGAGACTAGTAGAAGCGGTCGGGTTTTATCTAGTGGAGAAGATGGCGGGTCCCACGTGCCGCCCGACGCGCGGCGGACGGATGAAGTGCTTAGTGTGCAGACTCTAGACGTGGCCTGCGCCTTTGCGCTGGAGACGCGGCGCGAGTCGCCCTTTTCTTCGGCGATTCTGGCGCATTTGTCTACTCGTTCTGCAGCCATCGCGACGACCGTTGAGACGCGCATTGCTGAGGCCCATAGTGACTACCCCGCGACGGCTCAACGCTTCGAGGTCGTATTGAGGAGGACGCTCCAAGCGTTCCAGGAGCGCCTGGCTGCTGCTTCGGCGGAGCCCGCGGTGTTGCCTCCTGCGCCCGCTGCGCCCGCGGTGCCGCCTACGACGCCCGCTGCGCCGCCTACTACGCCCGCGGCGCCGCAGCCGCCGCCGCCCGCGGCCCCGCCGCAACCGCCGGCCGACGCCGAAGAAATCGCGCGCCTGGAAGCGCGCCTGGAGGAGCTCCGCCGCCGCAACAACAACGCCGGCGACGCCATGGAAGAATCGTCCGACGACGACGAAAGCATGGACGGCGCGGGATATGCCGGCCCCGAGGTCTTCGGCCCCGGGCGCCGCCTCGACTCGACCGAGACGGCGCCGGACCCCGCGCCCGCGCTCGCCGCCGCAGCTGCCGAGGAGGCGCGCCGCGCGGCTTTAGAGGAGCAGCGCCGCAAGGACGTCGCCGACAAGCGCGCGGCGTTCCTGGCACGCCTGTCGCCCTGAGACTCCCTCCTCGTGTAGTAATGTTCGAACGAAAACACAGACAACATTAGACTCATCATGCGGGGAAGAGGTCGATGGCGAAAGCGAGCACGAGGTGGACCAACACCTCGGGCAGCCGGCCGAGCGGCCCATCCCCGTCGGCGAGATCAATTACCGCGCGCGCGCGGGCCGTGGCGGCGTCTGAGAAACGTACAGGTGTGCCTGGGCGCCAGACGGCCGCGGTCCGCGGACCGAAAACGACTCCGAGGCAACAGATCTCGAGTAACCGGTACTCCGTTCCATCTGCTTCCGCCATACGGAGCCTTTTTAAGGAGCTCGCTCTAAGCTTTCTAACTCGCCCATAGAAATTGCGGATCGCCAACCCCGGCGGGGCTTCTATAAATCTTTCTGGCCCGTCCGTATAACGCAGCGTCTTGAAGCGCGGTGCAGAGCGACCGGCGGTGGTTTCGAAAAGCAGGCCGTTGACTTTACCATCGCGACGAAGCCCGGAATATCTACAAAACACGGAGGCCAAGTGTTCACCGGGCCTGAGAGCGAACTCGTTTCTGCTAGTGTCATGACCCAAAATGACTCTGCCATCGTCCTCGTTCTGGAATAGGAAGTTGAGCAGGAGTCCAGAACTCAACCCATTCTCGAATGGAGTGAGTTCTGGACTCCTCGCAATTGCTGGCAATTCAAGGAGCGAAACGAGCGCGGTGCTTTCAATTCTGTCGAAGCACGGCGGTTCAAGCCGCTCGCCGTCGCCAACCCCGACGCAAGGGCCTAAGCGCCAGCCGTCCGGCAGTAGCGCCGCCAAGCGATTTGTCCACGCGGTCCCGCACAACGCGCGCGCTTCGTCGAGATCTTTATTGGCAGCCGCGGCCTCGAGGCGGCCCGGCGCCGGCGTTCCAGTAAGCATCAGGCGCGACGGCCTGCGCAGCGGCGGCGGCGCAGAGATCGATTCCGCCTCGAGCCGCCGCGCCAGTCGGTTCGTGGCATCATCAAATGCACGCTGCATGGCTGAAGGCTGTGCAGGCCTGCCCTGCCATCGATCACCATCCGCCATTAATGCACTGATGCGATCAGCTGTGGGAGAGCAGGACTTGTGCGGAGCACGCAGAATGAATGATGGATGATTCGCGTGTTTGCGACAGCAAGGAAGGACGAATGCCGTTCTCTGCGCCTAATCAGTGGCACCACTTTGCGGGAGGAGGAAGGAGTGACAGAGACATACTAGCTCCAAAAGCTCCTCGCAGCTCTGGCGCCATCGTGCTTTATAACAGCGTCCGTTCGCAGCCTACAGGCTGTCTTCTGGGCCCCACTTGCCGGCAGAACCGCTTGCTGCATCGCTGCGGACAGTTCGACCAGCCTAAAAAGAGGCTGCAGGCCAAGCCAGCCTGAGCCCTGCATGCGGCGTCTGCTTCCCGTCGCATTGATGTCGCGCCACGTGAGTAGCAGCGCGAGGATCACGGGACGCATCAATGAGAAAATAAGGACGGGCCACCCGGCGGCAGAGCTCGCATTTCTCCAGCACGCGTTGTGGGGCCTCGACCACTACCCGGACTACCTGCGACGGTGGCAAGATAAAGACGTAGAAACCTTGGAGAGCGCGCTCGAAGCCGTGCTAGCGAAAGTTCGTGCGCAGCGGTTGGACGCGCGGCGGGAGTGCGACGCCATGGCCGCGAAGCACCCGGAAGCCCTGGACGCGCTGCGCGACGCCGCGACCTGGCGCGTCGACGACGTCGTGAGCCCGAGGGTGGCCAAGGCACTGGGCTGGGCGCCGGGGGCCGGCATCGCAGACGCGTTGCGGCAACCGCCGAAGACCAACGGCTTCTGGGGCCTATTGTCCGAGCCAGAGGACGACGTCTATTCCCTGGACCTGTTCCGACCCGATTTTTGTGCGGCGATCATCGCGGCGTCGGACGCGGCGGCGGAAGACGATGGCCACCCCCGACCGCGGGCGAACCTCGACGTGCTGGGCGTCGGCTGGCTCGCGGACCTGCTCCTGATCGTCGCCGAGCAGGTCGCGGCGGCGGCGTGGCCCAGGGAGACGCTCGTCGACGCGGCCGGCGCGCGGGCACCCCTCGACTGGAGGCATGCGTACGTTCTCCGATACGCGCCGTCGGGCCGCGACTCGCTCGTCCCCCACACGGACGACAGTGAAGTGACGGTGAACGTCGGGCTTGTCGCGCGGGAATCATTCGCGGGCGGCGACCTCCTGCTGGGCGGCGTGCGCGGCCAGCCGGATTTGGAGGAAGACGTCGCGATCACGCCGGATTTAGGTGTGGCGACGTTCCACCTGGGCCGGCGGCTCCACGCCGTCGACAAGGTCTTGGAGGGGGAGAGGAGGGTGCTCATCTGTTGGTGCCGCTCGATGAACGGCGTGCGGTCGCGCGTCTGCCCGTGCTGCTGGATGAACCGGCGGGACAACGGCGACGCGCGCGACTGCGTCTGCGGGGACGCGTGGAACTCGTAGATCACGCCGTCGCCGCGATTCTCTCATCCCCGCGCCATCGACGACGGTCTCCCTCCGTATGAATAAATACCTGTATAATTACGACAACCCGTCCGGGTAGGGCACGGGGTGGACCCAGCGCGTCGCGATGTGCTTCGCGCCCCGGACCACGGGCGCGCCCGCGTGCGCCGAACTCTCATGCGTTTCCAACGAGAAGGGGTCCGAGACCGGCTCGCGCACGTTGCGGAAGTACAGAGCCGTGCCCGTCTCCGGCTTTATCCGCAAGCCAAGGTCCGGGAAGTCCGTCGTGCCCCCCTCGGCCGGTTCGTCGAGGTACAAGAGCAGCGTAGAGAAGCGACCGCCGGGCGCGAGGTCGTTAAACTCCGGCACCGTGTCGACGTGGAGTTTATATTCACAGTTCTCGCCGTATTGCGCGAGCTGCCAGCGCTCCGCGTTTGATACGGGCAGTTCTGACACCACGGCGGCCCGCTCGGACAGTCGTGCAGGTACCTCATCATCATCTAACCACTTCGTCCGCGACGTGCGGTGCGAGGTTGTAACTTGTTCGTTGTCGATCGTGCTCCGCTGCGCATCGTCGCTCAAGTTTAACAAGATGGCGCACTCGTCATGAGAAGCGAAGCCCGGCATTTTGACGACCAACGGTGACACAGACAGTACCTCACTGCCAGCACAAAGCATCCCATAGAAAGATTGCGCCTCCGCGAGCGTGCGGACGGGCGCGACGTAGCGCTTCCTTGAATTAATACAAGGAGCGAGCTCCTTCAATGCTTCAGCCGAAGTACACTTCTGGAGCGCGCGCCACACGGATGATGCCTCCAACCCATCCCAGGGCTCCCTTAAATCAGCTCTGACAAGTAATGGCGTCGAGACCCTCTTCTCTGAACCGCCCCGGACCCGATGCACCGAAGCTTGGAAAGAACCATGCGAGGCCACCTCGAGGAACTCGCCGGGCATGGCCAGGACGAGATGGCCCTCTCCCTTTGATGGTGTATCAGCCTCGGGGCAGACCCACCTCTGTAAGGAGGGGTCGAGGACCTCCAGGCCCGGCACGCGCGCGAAGGGCACCAGGGTAAAGAAAGAAGTATCCGTGTGGGCGCCGAAGGCCGTTACATTGGAAGGCGCGTAGGCGCACAGCCGATGCGCCGTCGTCGACGCCTCTTCCCTATTACCGCCGCTGTCGCAGGCGACGTCGTCGGCTAGATTGGCTCGATCGTCTAGTGTTGCGACGCAGAGCAACCTCCCAAGACTCCCGAGGCAGCGCCTTGCTTGATTAAGCTCGGGCAGTTCTGGTTGTATGGTGGTCGGTAGTGCCTCATTGTTATGACCGTAGCGCACCTCGACGAAGCGGTTCTCGGTGCCGCCGAAGACGCCGACGAACTCCGTTGGTCGGTCTTGTGACACGGGCGTCGCGCCTCCAATAATCTGCAGCCGCGCCTCGTCTTCTGTTAATGAAAGCGCGGCGTCCTGCAGCGCCTGGCACGCTCCAGCATCGTCCACTCGCAAAATCGCGTGGTGGCGCTTGCGTAAATCCTCGGCCAATCGCTCTCGTCCGTTTGCCGTCGCGAGGTCGGCGACATCAATAGGGTCTATCGATGCCGACGCGCGCGGCGCATCCACCGCAGCGTCGAGCGCGCGCTGGACGCGGTCGACGCAGGCTACGACTTGCTTTTCGGTGGCGGCCAGACGCGGTGGCGTTAGGGTGGTTGTGCTTAGAGCTTGCGCTGTTGCTAGTAGTGCGGCGCAGCGGAGCATGCTTGCCACAGCGTGCGCGTGCTGCTGCAACACCTGAGCCAGCGTTGCAGCGATGCCTGCTCGCCTCACGTGTCCTCCAGCGTTTCGAGCACTGCTTTACGAGTCTGTACTCGAGCGCTTCGGCTGTGCACCGTGCAGCAATGCGTATGCAGGCTGGCGTGTGCGCAGCGCTAGTGTCTTACAACGCTAGCTCGATGGGCCTTGCGACCACGTTTTGAGCCTTACGCGTCGCGATCGTTTGTATATTACTCACGGCCGAGCGCGCCACACAGGGGTCGCGTGACACGCAATGGGAAGCGCCGTAAGAGCAAGACAAGAGAAAAAGCATGCAAAGGCAACTGGCCCTGCACGAGCACAAGCGCCAAAGAAAATCAGTCCATTGGAAACGGCACTTCTAGTGGGCATACCGATCGTCTTCGGCCTTTGCGCGAGTTATTTCTTCTCGCGCGGCGCCGCGTCGATGGCGCACGTGGAGCCGCGCGACACCTGATTTCCACGCAGGCGCCTCGTGAAAAGATTGAGAGGCGATTATATGCTGGGGGTCTTCCCGAAGGACGCCAAGGGCCTGAAAGCGTCCGTGCTATTGATGGTCGTGGGACGCGTGGGGTACTTGGGCCTCGACCTCCTCAAGCGGCGGGTGAAGGCCGTCGAGGCGCGCGCGCGCGCGGACGAGGCCGCCGCGGCGCCGGCGGCCGCGGCGGCGCAAAAAAAGAAGGACGAGTGACTCGGCGCTCCTCTGCGCGGCTCGTCTGTTTCGGCTAACTTAATTCCAAGTAGTTGGCCGGCGAGCGCTCCGGGGCCGGGCGAGGACGGTTCGAACACCGTCTATCATCGGATTTGGGGCCGGCTTGAGGCTGGAGGAGACCTCTCGAGCATGTGCTAGTGTGGTTACCTAGCGCAATTTTTTGCTTTACCCACCCCGACGGGATCGAAGCAATATATATCGCTGCAGCTTTAGCAATACGTTCAAGCGGTCCCCTCGCCCAAAAGCCAGCAAAGCAGGCAAAGCACTGCCAAAAAAGGCTGCGGCCGATAGCAAACCATGGCAGCTAAAGCAGCCATGGCCCAGGGCGCGCCCAACTATTTCACGGCGGAGGCCATGGGCTTCATCCTCGCCGCGTTATTCTTCAACACATTAACAGCCCCGGTCGTGAAGATGACGCAAAACGCGGACGGTGGTTATGACTACAACAAGTGGTGCATCTATTTTTTTGCGGAGCTCATGAAACTAAGCGTAGCTTTAGCTTGGTGTTTTAAAGCGTATCAAGAGAACGACCGAGAAGTAGTCAAACATTTCAATGTCGACCGGAGCGACTTTCTGCAGTACGCGGTGCCCGGCTTCGTGTTTTTTGCCCAAAACAACTTGAGCTTTTTGGCGCTCCAGCACATGAACTCGTCGGCCTTTCAGCTCCTGATGAATACAAGAATAGTGTCGGTAGCTATTCTGGCCGTGGTCATGCTCGGCAAACGCATGCATGCGTTGGAGTGGACGTCGATAGTGCTGTTGATGGTGGGCGCGATGCAGTACCAGTTGAGTGGGTGTGGGGACGACGGGTACAAGATCGACACGATGGGGCTCTGTGTCATGGCGGTCATTGTCGCCTGTGCGGCAGGAGGTAATGTATATACCCAAAAAGTAATGCAAAGAAAAATGGACCAGCCCCTCATGGTCCAGAACGCCATGCTCTACGTCTGGGGCGTCATTTTCAACGGCACGAACTGGATCTTGAGCGCGATGCCTTCTGCTGATCACCATGGCGCACCGACAGAATTGTTCGGTGACGTGGGCGGCGTCCAGGTCTTCTCGATGGTGTTTTATGCTATCTATGGCTTGTCTATTTCTATAATATTGAAGAGATTCGGCGCGATTACTCGTACGTTTATCAATACCGCCGCGATCTGTTTCACGGCTCTGATAGATGTGCTCTTCTTCGGCGCGGAGATCACTCCTTTGGAACTGACGACGTTCGGCGTCATCATGTTGGCCGTGTACTTACATACGGTCCTGGCTAGGAACTACGCGCCGCCGCCGCCGCCGCCGCCCGCTACCCCGGAGGTCTAAGATTTTTAGCCCGGCTCGGAGGTCACGGTTGCTTTGCTTAGAGCTAGGCCGCCTAGCCGCGGAGCCGCCGCAGGGCCTGCTTGACCGAACACTCGCCCCGCCCCCGGCCCCCATACGCCGTCGCCCCGAGTGTTAGCTCGGAGAAAGTGCTCGGAGGCGACGACGGATGACTCGTGACGGCCGGCGACTCGGAGGTTTAGAAAAATCGTCTTTATGCGCTAGGCTTCGGGGGCTCGTCGACCTCGATGCCCTTGTCCCCGTCCATTTTCATGTAGACGACGACGTCGGACTCGCAGAAGTTGTCGACGAAGGCCGTGTCGACCGTTTCTGTCGATTCGTCTCTACTGGTAAAGAGGTGTATCTTCTCGGCGTCGGCGCCTAAAATCTCCGCTAATTTGGCCTTGATGCCGCCGAAGGAGTCGCTCTTCTCTACATTAAGAAAGACCGTCGTGTTTTTCCGCTTGACGCGGACGTACCTGCGTGACGCGGCGGTCGCGGACCCGCGCGCGGCGGCGCCTCGACGGCGTTTCGCGGCGGCCGCCCCAACCGTGGTGCTTATGTTATCTGGACACGGCAAGGCACATCTGCGGGGACGCCATCGATGCCCAAGGCTGTACGACTGTAGAGCAGCGGTGTGGGAGATTAGGTGAGCGCCGAACCACGCCCGAAGATTTTGAGGGACAGCGATATGGGTCGTAAGGCTGCGATTATCACGTCCCAGCGTAACGCCGCTCGATGTATAGCTAGCTTGGACGACGGGCAAAACTCGCGCTGTTTCTAGTGCCTTACAGCCCGCTAGCACCAAAAAATAACCGAGAAAAACGGAACGTAATTGCTCGCAAGAGGCAGCCCAAGGGGCAGCCCAAGGAGGGGGTCAGGCTAGAGCACTCTCGCAGACCCACGTAACTGGACGGGCGCGCAGCCGCGAGCCGTGGACCCACAGGGTGGTGGTGGGCAGCCCGGCTGACGCCGACGGCACGCGAGTCGGAGCGGCGCGCACGCGTGGGACGAGCGCCACAAACATGATGCGCCGCCTCGCAGCGCTCGTCGCGCTCTTGACCGCCTTCAGCAGCGCCCAAATGCAGAAGAGCCGCGAGGTCCGGAGCCACGAGGAGTATCACCAAAGACGCCAGGAGCAACTGAGCCGCAAGGCCCAGTCCCGCAAGAACGCGCTCAAGAAGGGCGGGACCCAGTCGAAAACTTTACATGAATTACGAATGAAAAAACAACACAAAAATCGCGCAAAAAAGCAAGCAAAGAAAGCGTCGAAGAAGCGGCGTCCCGGCCTTTGATCGCGATAGAGTGTATTGATTGTGCAGGCGCGGGCCGTCGCGCCACCACCACCACCGGCGGTGGCACGGCCGCGAGTTCTAACTTGACAAAATATTAGACCCAGTTTTCTAGAACCCAGTCATCCGAAACCTCGTGGGGCTTCGGCGTCAGCGGGAAGCAGACGACCGATATTTGGGGAGACGGCGGACCGGTTAACGACGCGTACTCCGCGACGCCGCCGTCGACGAGCCGCGCATCTTCAATAACCATCTCGAGCCAGTGGTCGAACTTGTAGACACAATTTGTGATGACCTCGTAGGCGCCCGGCTCGTTTAATAACGCCCAGATCTCCGAGTAGAGCGGCGCCGTCCACGCCATCACACTCGAGTTGTAGCCGCCTGACCTGTTCTCGTTCCTCATGGCCGCCGTCCCGAGCGTCGCGAAGCGTGATCCCGAGGCGAGCGCGGCTATTTTACTCAGATCGCCGCAGACGACCGTGTCCAGATCTAAGTAGAGGACCGGGCCCGTCAAATTTGCTGTGTCTGAAAAGAGGTAGGCCTTGAGCCACCAGGCCTTCATCGTTGTTGTTGGTAATGATCGAGCCTCGACAATATCATCTAAACCTGCATCGTCGTCGGTGAAGCACACGAGGCGCCCCATCCCTTGCAGGTGCCTCCTACAACTTCTCGCGAGCTTGTTGACATACGTCGCATCGTACTTCGCGCCCCACTTGACGCAGACGACCGTTATGGATCGGTCGCGGCCCCTTGACTGGATATAGTCTCGCAATTTCGGCGGCGCGTCACCCAAAATCTTGGCCCACGTTATCCGGATGGCCTCGTCCTGCCGGCCCAGCTGCCTTAGAGCCGTATTCAGGTTATATAATGCGGTAGGCGAGTCCATCTCCTGGCAGTATTGTAACGCTCTATCGGGCTCTTGGGCCTTAATACAAGCACAAGAGGCGTTCGCGCGGCAGGCCTTGGCCAGTGCGGCGTCGTCCGTCTCCCGTATGGCCGCGTCGTAGTGCGTTAAGGCAGCGTCCAGTTTTCCCAGAGCTGATTGGGCGTTCGCGAGGTTGTAGCGCGCCGCGCCGTCCTCGTTATTAGCGTCGACGAGGCGCTGCCAGAGCTCTTCGGCCTTGGCGTGCATCTTGGCTTTTGATGCGAGGATCGCGAACTTGCGCAGCGAGTCCGTTTGGGCTGCCATGGCTGCTTGTGTTTGCTGCTTTTTGAGTCTTGTGAGCTGTTAGCGATGGTGAATCGTTTAGCAAGGCTGAAAGGTGATAGAAAGGTGTTGTTTGCGCGACAGTCTATGATCTGTGGAGGCCTATATGCCTGGCGTCGAGCGCGCGAGCAAGCATTCGGCAAAACCAGCCCAAATTCATTCAAGAGTCCACCATACTTCCTCGGCGAATTCGACTAAGTAGAGGCGCCTAGATTCCAACCGGCGGAGACGTGTGCTCAAAAACCCGCGACGCTCGATCGATTCGAGCGCTCGAGCGCGACTCGGCATTTTGCGCACGTAGCAGCGCCTCTACCGGCCAGTTCAAAATTTTAACGTCGCAGACGTGATCTAGACGGCTGCGCGAGAGCGCCGAGCCCTCCGCGGCGCCTGAGCGGAGCGCAGAGCAAGGAGGGACAGACCTGACTCGCAGCGCGCCCGGCGCGGCGACGGCGGGGCGACCGCAATGGCTGACCGTCATCGAACAGCCGGCGCCGACGGCAGAGAGCGCCGCAGGACCGCGGAAACGACGCGACGCCCCACGCAGACACGGACCGCGGCGGAACGCGCAGAGAGAGACAGCAGCGGCGACAAAGCGATGGCCGACTCGGAGGACAAGAAGCCCGAGAAGAAGGAGGGCGGCGAGGGCAGCCTCAACATCCGCATCCGCGACCAGACGGGCGAGGAGACCTTCTTCAAGGTCAAGAAGACGACGAAGCTCGACAAGGTCTTCAACGCGTACTCGACGCGCAAGGGCGTCGCGGCGACTTCCCTGCGCTTCCTCTTCGACGGCTCGCGCGTGCGCGGCGACCAGACGCCCGCCGACATCGACATGGAGGACGGCGACCAGCTCGACTGCATGCTCGAGCAGCAGGGGGGCCTCTGAGTAAGTGTATTGCAATTATCAGGCGTCCTTGTCGCCCCCGCGCTTGTAGAGCCGCCTGACGTCGGCGCGGATGGCGCGCGGCACGAGGCCCTCGAGCGGCTCGTGGGCCGCGACGCGGCGGCGCACTTCCGAGGAGGAGCAGTCGCCGTGCGCGGCGTCGGCCGCGAGGTAGCGCGTCGCTACCGGTCTTAAGCACGGGCCGAGGACGAGCGGGCCCCTGTGTGGTGTTCTTGTTGTTTCGGTCTCGCGTCCGGCTCGTGTGTAGATCGGGCCGCGTCGATGGCGTGGAGGCGGCGGAGAGCCCACCCGGACGCCGTCGCCGCGACCGTCACGAAGGGAAGGAACGGACACCGAGCACACACACGAGGTTCAGCACGTGCAGGACCGTCTCGCTGAAACCGTCCGCGCGCCAGCTCCGGACACCCCTATAGAGCGCGGCGCATTTCAGCCGCTTGGCCTCGCGCCAGACGTAGCCCGCGGTCGCGACGACCGTCACCCTGTTTCGCAGCACGGGGTCCGCGTCCACCACAACGCGCACGAGTTGTGTGCGCTGCTCGGCATCCACCAAATACGTCTTCTTCGCGTTGTGGCCGACGCAGGCGTAGACGTGCCCGTGGCGCCTGGCCAGCGCTCTTAATATAGCGACGTGGCCGGCGTGCGGCGGGTTCCAGGACCCCGCGAAGAGCACGCGGTCGCCGTCCACGGCCTTCGTGAACTCGTCGACCTTCGCAAGCTCCCAGACGGGCGCGCTGTCGAGGCGGTAGAGGACCCATATTGCTGTCAACGCTATCACCGTGAAGATAAGTAATGCGACGAGTTCTTCAATTGTGTCGACCTTGGCCAGTTGTTCGGCGTCCTTGAGGACGGCCGTCGCTTCTCTCTCTATCGCGGCGCCCATCCTGGTGGCGCTGGACTTGATGTAACCTGGCCGGCAGCGATGGATTGCGATGGCCGAGGGATCGATGCGCCTGCAAAGCACTGCGGCAGCTCCTTTTTCGAAGATTTTTAATGATCACAGGCGTTGTAAAGCAGCTTTTTTAGGGCTTGTCTGTCTTGCTAGTGTCTTTGCGCACGCTAGGTCTCGGCGCCGGGCGCCGCGGCTGATTTGGGCTGCCCCGCGCCTTGGCGCACCTCATTCCGAGCCATCTATTGTGCAGAGTCGTCACCCCTCAGCGGGACGGCTGTTGTAACAAGCAGGGCACAAGCACACACCGGATCCAGGAGATGGGCTGCATCATGGGCGCACTGCGTCGCGCGACAGTGATTGCTGCCGTATTGCTGCACACAACGAGCGCCACGATCCTGTCATTCGATGAAGCCAAATTACTGAGAGTAGACGCCATCCTGGTGCTCGGCGGCGGCGCGCCCCCCGCGCCCGACGCCCAGCTACCCTTCGTCGCCGCGCGGTGCAAGGCGGCCGCGGCGCTGTGGAAGGCGGCGGCCAAGAAACCGAAGATTCTGACGCTGTCGGCGGGCACGGCCCACGTCCCGCAGCTGCTCGACGCGCGCGGCTCCGTGGTCTTCGAGGCGACGGCGTCGGCGGCGGTGATCATCAATGAAGGCGTTAATTCAGCGGACGTCTTCGTCGAGACGACGTCGTTCGACACGATCGGCAACGCGTTCTACTCGCGGAACGACCACTGCTCGCTGGCGGGCTGGAGACGACTCCTCGTCATCACAAGCGAGTTCCACCTCGCCCGCACGAAGGCGATCTTCGACTGGGTCTACGGGGCCGCCGGCGCGGAGCCGTCGGGGGCCTACGAGCTCTCTTATCTTGGCACGGAGGACACGGGCCTGACGCCGGCCGAAGTATCTGCTCGCAAGGCGCGCGAAGACGCGTCGACGCGAAACGTCGTGTCGAGCCTGGAGCCGGGCTACCGAAAGCTCGCCTCGGTCCGCGAATTTCTCACGACGCGACATGACCTCTACTCCGCGAAAGGGTTAGTCGCCCGGGCCGCGCGGCGCGCGGGTGGCGGCGAGGGCGCCGCCGCGTGGGCCGCGTCGTACGGCGGTGGACGTCCGCAGCCGGCATCAGCAGTCAAAACAACACCAGCCGTCTCGCCCGGCGCTGCGACACCAGCCAAGCCTGTCTGTCCACCGTGCGAGGCGGCGACGCCGGCGGCGTGCGGCTATAGTTTCCTGACGGTACTCGTCGCATTCGCGGTCGGCGCGTTTCTCGGGGGTCGCAAGGACCGGGGGCATTATAGGACATATTAGTGTTCTCGTGGCATTCGTGGCACCACGCGACCGCCACGACTCACCCAGTAGTTTCAAAGATTACTCGTCAGTAGGAATCGCACCGCCGCGAAGATGTGATCGCGCGCGTCGGCCTCGGCCTCGCCGTCGGGGAGGAACGCGTCCCTTGCGACGGACGCGAGGCGCGTCGCCGCCGTCGTCTGCCACGACTTCGCAAGGACCTCGCGCAGCAACGCCAACACGTAGACGAAGGCGTTGTAATGCGCGTTCGGGAGCGCCTCGAGCAGGTCAAAAGCCCACTGCGAGATGCGGTCGTCGTCGGTCCCCGCGAAGGGCGGCAGGAACGCGGGAGCGCACACGGGGACCGCGAGCGTGGCCAGAAGCGACGTGAGCGCGGCGGCGACGGCGCGCGGCGGGGCCCCCGTCGGCACGGCGCCGGCGTCGACCTGCGTGCGGCGTCGTCGGCGCAGGCGTCGCGTCGATGGCATCATGAAGGATCAATGGGCCCCGACCGCGTAGACGTCGGCCGGCGCGGACCGGGAACGGAGCCAGGGTTCGAGGTCGAGGTTTAGCTTCGTGACGTCTTTGCCGTTGGCGTTCCAGGTCGCGCAGACGACGTCGACGGCGTGCGTCTGGCCGAACTCGCCGAGGCGTTCGTCGAGGCGGTCCGCGATCCAGGCGCGGCGCAGCTCGTTCTTTATCGCGGGGTCGTCGGCGGCGTGGCAGGTGATGCCGTCGTCGAGGTCCATCGTTATGAGTCGCGAGCGTACGATTTTATGACCAGGGCCCAGCCTGGGGGTTTCAGACTTCCAGGTTCCACCCGTAGTCGCGAATAGCGATCGCAGTTGAATTCACGGCGGAATGACGATGAGTTGAAGCGATTCGCCGAGCCGTAACTCCCGCGTGGTAAAAAAGCTAGCCTCAAAAAACGGGGCTAGCGTGCATAAACGCACTAGGACGAGCTCGAGCGCACTTGAAGCTGCTCGTACGCGTAGCGTAGCGGTGCAACCGGGAAGCAGGCGTGGGAATCGAGTCGTAGTGAAGGTTTGCCAGTGCTGCGGGGTTCCCTGCTTGCGTACGCCTCGCCGCAGCTCTTGCCGTGACACTCAGCACACAGCAGTGCCACGCGGAGCTGCGGAGACGCGCTGCGGAGTCATGGCGCGGGGCATAGCCCTGATGCTGGCCGCCTTCGTGGGCGCCGCCGCGGCGCGCCCGCGGCCCGTGCGCGCACTCGCAGTAAGGGGCGGCTCGTGACCCCCGCCGGCGCCGCGGTCGAAGAAGAGCTCCAAAGTGAAGCTCGCCGACGAGCCCCTGGCGCCGAAGAAGAAGAGTAAATCCAAGGTCAAGCTCGCCGCCAAGGCCAAGAAGGCCAAAAAGCGCGGCGCGATCGGGACCGCGACTTTGATGACGCGGGCGTACTGGGGCTCGCTCTTCGACCCGGCCTACTCGCCGTTCCCGAAGAAGAAGAAGTCGAACATCCACGGCGTCTACGACGACGACGTCTCGAACTCGCCGGCGCGGCCGCACATCGCGTCCGCGGGCGCCGGCGTGCCGACGTCCTTCGGCTCCGCGGGCGGCGGCGGCGGCTGAGGCTAGGGCATGCGCGGTTGCGGACCGCGCGATGCCGGTGACGCGCTCGATGTGTGCGCGACGCTCATGACGGCGCCGCCCCCCTGTGATGGGGCGGCGCCCGACCGCGTCGCGCGCCGCGAGCGACTGATGCCGGTAAGGGTCGTGTACTATTTAGTAGTTAATACGGCACAACAGAGCTAGCGTCCGCGCTTGCCCAGCTTCTTGCGGCGCCGCGCCGTCCGCTGCACCCCCCCCGCGTCGGCGGGCGCGGCAGGGCCTTCGCGGTTGAGCTTGTTGAGCCGGGCGAGCTCTTGCTTGCGGCCGCGGCCCGACGGCGTCGACGCGGCGACGAACGTCTGCTTGGCGCGGCGGCCGCCCGGCGCGACGACGTGGCGCTCGAAGACGATGTGGTGCTTTCCGCGCTTGAACTCCCAGCCGCCCGCCTCGAGCGCCTCCTCGATGGTGCGCTTCTTGGGCAGCGGCGCGGGCCGCACCGGCGGCGGCTCCTGCGGCTCCTCGGGCTCTTCTCGCGGCTCCTCCGGGCTCGCGGGGCTCGCGGGGCCGTTCTCGAGGAGGCCCGCGAACCGCCCCGACGCGACGCCGCATAACGACGCCACGAGCGCCGCCGACGGCAGAGGGAGGGGCGCTGCGCCCGTGTGCTCCTCCTCGACGGCGAGGCCCAGGAACGCCTCCGCCTCGTCGCGCGTGCCGGGAATCACGCCCCGTGTCGCGCCCTTCTCGCCGGCGTACTGGTAGAGCGGGTCCTCGACGTCGGCCCGCGCGGGCCGCGCGGGCCGCCTCGCGCGACAGCGAGCGACATCTTCGAGAAATAAACAAGCGTCCGACGCCCGGATGCGCCCCCGCGACAGGTGCTCGCGGAAGGCCTGGCGCTGGAGGCGCCGCGACCACCGCAGCACCACGTCGCCGCACGACGCCTGCAGCGCCCGCGTCCGGGCCACGAGCGGCAGCTCCCAGGACATCACGCGAGCCAAGCCCTCGTGGAAGCGGCACGTGACGACGGCGGCGCGGCGCCAGGCCGAGGCGTCGGCGTCGACCTCGAGGAACGCGGCCGTGTAGTTGAGCGTCGAAGAGAGCGCCCAGAGGTTCAGCACGACCGACACCGCCAAGGCCATCGTGTCCGGCAGGAACACGACGAAATTGGTGGCCGTACCCCAGGCGAACCCGGCGAAGCCTATTAAGACGACCACCGCGAACGCGAGGCGGAACGCGAGTGGCACGTACGCGACGGCCAGCTCGCGCGCGCTCCGGCGCCGGTCCCGCTCGCGCTTCACCAGCACGTGGCGCGTGCGGGCCGCGTAGGACCCGTTATGCGTGAACCCGAGCCACTCCCGGTCGGCCTTGTCCTCCACCGACTCGTCGGGCACGACCTCGACCGGCGTGCGGCCGTCGGCAAGCCGCGGCACCTTGCTCAGTCCGATGAGGATGAGCTCGGCGTACTCCGTCGCGAACGCGTCGACCTCTTCCGCCACGCCCGGGCCCGGGCCCTCGTCCGCCTCGCGGTCCGGCACGACGCGGACGAGCGCCGCGGCGAGGGCGCGGCGGACCGTCTGCGGGTCGACGTTCAGCAGCGCCTCGTCGGCGCCGCGCAGGAACTCGAGCGTCACCTCCTCGTCGCGCCGCGACTCGATGTGCACGAGGTCGCCGCGCCGCGCCGCGACGTGCTCGAGCGACCAGGGGCCCGCCTCGCGCTCGAGGGCCTTCGCCCAGGCGTCGCCGACGGCGGCCGTCTTCAGGGCCGCCAGGAAGTGGGCGCGCGCCGCCACGACTTCCTTTTTTGGTTGCTGGTTCAGCGGCTGCTTGCCCGTCGCCTCTCCCATGGACTTCATGTAGGTCACACCGTTGTCCTCGCGGCGGATCGACGACCGGTGCACGGGCACGGAGAAGCCGCCGCCCGGCGCGAACGCGCACGACAGCCACAGGGCGTCGCGGGGCCCGCCGTTGCTGGCCTTGCGGTATTTGATCTGGAACGTGTGCGGCTGGTAGCTCTCACCGTTACGATCAATAAAGTAGCGGCCGGCCTCGTCGAGCGTCGAGGGCAGCTCGCCCGACACGAGCCGGTCCAGAAACGAGTCCGTGTTTTCGGCGTAGACCGAGTTGACGATGGCGTTGCCGCCCGTCTCCTTGAGCGCGGACTGGCGGCAGACGCCCACGCCCAGGCTCTGCCCGAGCTGCCGCGCCAGTTCCGTGTCCGCGCCCTGGGCGGCCCGGACGCCGGGCGCGCCGCGCCGCCAGACCCACTGCGAGACGACCTGGTACAGCGTGACGATGGCGGAGTCCTCCGGCTTCCAGTCGTTGACCTGTTCCTGGACCTCTCCGAGCATTACCTCCGGTTTCTGGGACACCCGGTTGATCTCCAGTCGCGACCGGGCGGCGTCGAACGTCACGTTGCTCTTTGGCGCGAGCGGCTCGGCCCCGAGCCCGCGGCAGAAGTCGACGACGGCCTGCTTGCCACCGGGCGAGTCAGAGAGAAAGCTCGCCGAGATTCCGACGGATTTGGACGCGGCCAGCGCGGCGCGGAGCTTCCCTTCGGCCGCGCTGCGCGGCTCCTTGTCTTCGTCGTCGCCGAACAACCGCCACGCGAGCTCGTCGTCGCCGAGCGCGAGTACGCACGCCAGCACGACCGTCGCGGGCGCCGCCTCGCCGATCTCGAGGAACGGGAGCGCCGTCACGGCCGACGACGGTGGCGCCGCCTTCTTGAGTCTGAAGAAGAGCTTCTCGAGCGCGACGCAGAGCAGCTCCGCCTGCTGGGCGTCCTCGAGCCTCTTGAACGCGTAGCCCTCCTCCGTCCCCCGCAGGCCCATCGGACCCTCCTCGGCCTCGCGCTCGAACATCTCCATGATCGCCCGCTTCTGGTCCTCCTCCTCGCGCCGCGCGGCGCGCGAGCGCAGGTGGTCCTGCAGCGCGTAGGCGCCCACGACGGTCGCCGCGGCGCCGAATGCCGCCGCGCGGCCCGCCGGCATCGTTGTTCTTCACAGAGCAGGTCGCCTCCTGACGCTCTCCCAAGTTTAATCTGCTGGGGCTCTGCCGCGGCTTTGCGAGCGCCGATTCCGTTCCGCGGCGCTGCGCGCTGCGCGTACAGATCTCAACGCGCCTGAAACTCCCCGGCGCCGCGCCTTCGCGATGCGCCAGCCAGCTTTGACCGCCGCGCGCGATTACTAGCGGCATGTAAGACACTAGCACTTTTGTCGACGGTGTTTTCTCGAGTCCTTGCGCTTACATCAGGCGGCGTCTCTCACCAAGGAGTCAGTCTCAAACAACCGCGCGCCCCCCGGGACCCTACTAGTGCTGCTAAAATCGCATAAACCCCCCCGGCGTCGGCGTGCTCCACAGCCGCTTCGCCCGCGCCGCCTCGCGCGAACCAGGAGGGTGCGGGTCGAAGTCCCGTTTGAGAGGTTGCAATTGCCCGGCCAGCGACGCCTTCCACTCCATGAACGGCGTGTCCCCTCCTGTTACAGAAGGCCGGGCCGGGCTCCTCACCGATTCCTCCGGACCGAAGCGCACGCTTTCTTCGCGCTGCCGTCTTCTTTCCTGCCGTTTGGCCTCCTTGTCCCTCAGATAATTAAGCTCCGCGATCATTTTTTGGGTATTTTCGTCGCGCTCCCGCAATTCCTGCTTGAAGTCCTTGTATTCTTTGGATAGAGTACCGAGGAGCTTCTTCGTCTGGGCCTCCTTCGACTCCATGAGCTTCAGATTCTTATCTTTCGCATGCAACTCGTTCCGCAGTTGCTTGATCGTGCGGTTGTCGAGGTCCACCTGGGCTAGCGCCGCCCGTAGCTGCGTGCACTTTTCTACTAGTGAGTCCTTCAGCCTTCTTATGTCCTTTAACAGAGCCGCCTCGCCCTCCAAACGCATCTTCACGGTCCGCACGGCCCGCTCGTGCTTCTCGCAGAACGCGTCCCAAGTTAAACGTTTCCTCCGATGCACACCCTCGCCGACCCAGCCGTCGTCCTCCTCGCACACTTCATATTTGTCCTCCTCGCCCTCCTGGAGTCGGTTGGGATCGATGCCCTTTGCTCGTTGTTCGGCGTCCTCCAGGCTCCGCTTGAGCTCGGCGACTTCTTCTCGCAGGCTATTGTTTTCACTTTGGAGCAGCGCTACTTCGTCGGTCGTGTCGACGATGCCGTCGTCGTCGGCCGCGGTCTCTGCTAGAGGTTCTTCCGGCGCCGGCGACGACGCTCGGGACCTCATGCTGCTCGTAGGCTGCCCACGGCGCTCTGCGGTGGCTTGCGCGAAGGTGCAGCCTCGCGGCGGCGGCGTGGGGCTGGACGTGTCCTTCCCGGGCCGTGCGCAGCCACCTGGTGTCGGCTGCGGAGGTCTTTGGCTCTTGCAATGGCCCGCGTTGCGCAAGGGAGAGCAGCGCCCCCACGAGGGGCAGCGGACGGGCTTGCTCGCCTGAAGGACTGTTTTGAGCCGTCGGAGGTCTAGACCATGGGGTTTCGCAGCTTTACGGCTTGCTAGTGTCTTACATACCGCTAGCTCGTCCGCCGCGCCGCGACCAAATTTACGTCGATTTGCAGCGTTCTCCTGGTCGCTGCAGCCACATCTCTCGCTGCGTAAGCAAAAACCAATAGCTGCACACGACGCACTAGCTGCAAAACCCTAGCCAGCAGCACGCCATCGCTGGCGCTCTCACCGTCACATCATCACTCGCTGGCCCTCACGCCAAAGCACAATGGCCGCATACGGCAACACCGGCGACCCTTTGAGACCGGACAACCCCACGCGGCACCCGACGCTGGGCTACCATAAGATTAGGGGGCTGGGCGCCCCGCTGCGCATGATGCTCTACGCCAAGAAGCAGAACTTTCGCCACGTTGCGTACGGTACCGATTGTAATCAGAAATGGTTCAAAGAGGACAAGGAACTCCTGAAGAAGAAGAACTCCTGCGCGAACCTGCCGTATCTTGTGGACGGCGGCTTGGTCGTCTCCCAGTCGAACACGTGTGCCCTGTATCTGGGGAGGAGACTAGGTATCGACGACGGCATGAGCGGCACGTACCAGACCTACAACCATACTGTCTTAGATCAGACCTATGACTTGCGGAATGATTTGATGAAGGTCGTGTATCCCTTCGGCTCCACAAAAACGAAGGCCGACTTCGAGGCGGCGGCGAAGAAACATTTCGAGAGGAACGTGAAAACGCACTTCACGAAGCTCGAGGGCTTTTGCATCGGGCCCTTCATGACGGGAGTCAAACCTCGATCCGGCGACTTTGTACTATGGGAGATGTTGGATCAACACATCATCCTGGCGCGGGCGTTAGATTTAGATGACTGGTTAGGAGAGTGCCCGAAACTGGCAACACTGCATTCCACAATGCGCGCGCTGCCCGAGCTCGCGGACTACTTCGCGGCGCCGTGCTACGCGGAGTGGTCCCACAACTCGCCGGCGTACACGCACTTCACGGGCCACGGCGACATGGACCAGGGCGGCACGGTCGAGGAGGACCTCGTGTTTCCTAGGGAATAACACATCATTAGTAGTACTTCTGGAAGCGCGCGTCCGACGCCCTCCAGGCCGCTACGTCGTAGCGTTCGACGGAGAGGATCCCGTCGTGCCCTCGCAACTTCTTCATGAACGCGTTGGCGAACGTGACCTCGTCGGTGTCCGGCGCGACAATGGCCGCTTGGACCAGGCACGGGTAATCTCTAAAGTAGGAGTAGACGCCGGGCGCCCAACACTCATGCTTTTTGACGGCGAGGTCGACGCGGTAGCCGGTGTAGCCCTTGTCGCCAAACAGGGTCTGGTTCACATCATAAGGCAACTCGCACTGGTAGAAGTACGTCCGGCCGCGCTCGCCGCGCCATATGACCTGGTCCTGATCCGTGTGCTCCACGGCGAGGCCGTAGGCCGTGACGTCGTCGCCGTCGACGACGAGGCCGTTTTTTACCGCACATTCGCCCGGCACGACGAGGTGGTACTGCTCGCCCGGGCCTGCGCGCAAATCAAGCAGTAGAGACGTCGCGTCGATGGCGTGGAGGCCACGATTCAGCAATGGCGGAGACGAGACGCCACAATTCGATTCATGCACTGGCCTCGAACGCGGCTGCTCGCCGGGCGCCAGCTCCGCGTGGTCCGCGCGCCAGAGCCACAAATTGTCCAGGATGACGTGGCTCGCCGCCACGTGGACCATCACCGAGGCGCGGACCTTCAGCGAGCCCGGCCCACCCACGCGCGCGAAGACGTCGCTCAGGACCGACGGGTCCGTTTCCGAACCGTCTCCGCCCCAGCGCAGCAGCGACGAGTCGCCCGCCGGCACCTCGCTCGCCTGGAGGACGACCGACGCTAAACGCATGCCTCCGGCGTCGTTCGCGATGACACAGGGCGCGCCCGACGCCGGCGCGACCAACGTGGCATACCCTAGGCCCATCACGACGGCGCCCGGCCGCGCCATTCTGATCGACGATTCGAGCTCGAAGATGCCGGGCGCGAGAACGACGTCTAAGCCACGCGCCAGCGCTTCGTTTATATGCCGCGCGCCGTGACGTGAGGCGTCGGCTACGAAAACGCTTTCGAAAGGCACGTCGCGGTACGGCGCGTCGAGCGCCGCGCCGACGACGTCCTTGGCCACGAGCGGCACGCGCAAATCGTAGCGGCCCGTGGCCTCGTCGATCACGATGTAAGGCTTCGCGGCGACCACCGGCGCCTGATCGACGACGCTCACGCGCGGCTCGGCGCCGGCCGCCGACGGCGCCGCCACGGCCCCGGCGCAGCCCACGTAGACGTTGGACCAGGCGCCGCCGGTCGCGCCGTTCATCTGCACGTTGCGATTTATCCACTGCTGCTGAGATCCAAGAATGAGCGAACCCTCGACGATGGAATTGCCTAAATAGCCCCCGGACGCGTAGTTGACCTGGGCCGTCGGATCGAAGAGCTCAAGGTCGCCCGCGGCGACGATGCGTCGCAGAGGAGCGGCCTGGCTCACGGCCCAGCGGAAGCCCGTCGAGGCCTCGTGCCGGAAGTTGTCGCCGCTCCGCCAGAACGTGTCGAGGGAGCCCGCTTGCTGCGGGTCCATCGCATCCACATAAACGCCACGTTCGCCCGCGAAGACGACGTCGTACGGGCTGGCGCCGAGTCCCGTCACGCTCGTGTAATACCCAATCTTCGCCTCCACGTCGTAGCGGCCCGGCTTGAAGAGGAAGGCCAGCCGCTCCGAGCTGAAGTGCCCCCGGGCCCGGTCGTTGAGCACCTCTGACCGCGCGGCCATGCGCTCCGTGATATTCGCATCATCAGGCGCAAAGACGACGACGCTCGCCGGAAAGACCGGCGGGTTCGGCTGTTGGTGCGTGTGCGTGCGCTGCTTCTTCTCCGGTGGCGGCATGGTCACGGCAGCGGCGACTGCGGCGAGGATGGACAGTGCGAGATGGACTCGCATGCAGTTTTGCCGATCAGACGGAATGCTGTCGGCGTTCACGCGTTACGATGCGCAAAAGTGCGAGGGTTCCTCCAGGTGTATGCAGAGAGCTCTGTGCGCGAGACGGCGGAACGCGTAGCCAAGCACACAAGTACAGCCTACCAATAGCTATTCACGCAAGGCTCCCAGCGAGCGCTGCGCGAGTTTAGGCTGAGTTATTGCTCGGTGAATGCCGGCTGTCGATTGCTAGTACCTTACGGCCGCTAGCTACGCCCAACGCTCGGCCGAGCTAAGGTGCAGTCCGACGCCTACGCAGGCGCCCAGACGACGAGGACAGTGCCAGACAACCGCAGCGATCGTCGAAGGCTGCCCCAGCAAGCTTGCCAGCCGCACGAGGCGACGGACGAGCACTTAAGCAAGGGCTGCCCCAAACAATGCGATAGCATGCCCGACATCCCCGAGAAGTACAAGACCCTGCGCGAGATCACGGAGGCAATAGCGAAGGCCGACGACGAGATTATTGAATCATACCAAACCTCGACCCAGCGGGCAAAGAGGTACAGCCGCGCAGTACTTGCAAGGGAGAACTACGCCGACGCCAAGTATGAAGTAAAGGAGCGGACCGAGAAAGCGACGGCGGATTTTTTGCGGGAGGCGGCGCACCACGACGTAAAACATGCCATTCACAAGGCCGAGCATCGACTCGCCGAGGCAAGGTGCCAGGCGGTGTTCAAGCAAAGGCCTTTCCTGCAGCATCTGGACAAGGCGCGAGACGCGGCGGCGACCCAGGGCCACGCCAAGAGATCACAACACACGGTCGAGGCGGGCCCGTGGCGCGCCGCCGTCGTCGCGAATTTGGATAGCTTCGAGGATTCAGTACGAAAGCCGGCGCACGAGGGCGGTTTAGGATTGGGTCCGAAGGGCGACGCGTCTTCAAGTGGAGGTGATGGGGACGAGCTCATTGTTGGACTTAGAAGGTTGCGGCGCGAGGTGAACGCCTGCACGGGAATCCAGGCCATGGAGCACCTCGAGGCGCTGCGTAGAAGGTCCGCGGAGCTCGCGGCGCGCGTCGACCCGCACCTCGGGCGTCTGACAGAGCTCAAGATTGAAGCTAAAAAGCGCGTCGATGAAACAGAAAAGACGGATGCGAATCGCGCCGCAACCCTCAGAAAGCGCGCGGGCGGCGACGAGTTGAATGAACTGAGGCGCGACCTCCGCCTCAAGGCTCAAGAAATGCATGAGGCCACGGAGGCGGCTTTGGTTGATGACGGCGCGGACCCGAAACCAAGGAGAAAGTCGGTGAAGAAGCAAGTCATACAATCGGCGCTCGACGAGCCCTCGGACGCGGGCATCTCTAACTACATGCGCACGCGGCGCGCCTACCTGGGGGCGGAGGCCGAGGTCGTGGAAGACGCGCCGCAGTCGCCGCCCCGTTTTAAACCGGGCGGTAGGGTGGACGAGGCGCGCGCGCTCGTCGCTGATGTTTTAAAGACGCCCGCGGAGCCGTTCAAGTCGCCCAAAGCAAAGTCGCCGGTCAAACGACCAAAACCCAAGAAGCGTGCGCCCGCGGCGGCGCAGGCTAGAGTTAGGGGCCCGCCGCCGGAGCTCTCCGAACTCAAAGGCATCGTCGTGACCAGGGCATCCGAATCTATGTATGCGGACCGCTTCTACCGCTTCCTCGTGGACTGCTCGACGCGCGGCGACTGGCGCAAGGCCGTCCAGGCCTACCGCCTCATGGTCGCCAAGGGCATTGTACCGGACGCGCGGACGTGGCGCGTTTTATTGCGAGCGGTGAAGATCGGTGAGGAAGGGCGCGTTGCTTTAGTGTTACTGGAAGAGATCGAGGCCCAGGCCGCGCAGCGCGCCGGAACGGACGGCCTCGTGCCGGTCGAGCTCTACAACTGCGCCCTCGAGGCGGCGGCGGCGGGCGGCGGCTGGCGGCGCGCGGTCCAGGTCTTCAACCGCATGCGCCACATGCGCGTCAGGCCGAACACGAGCACGTACCAGGCGCTCATGGCGGCCGTCGCCCGGGCGCGGTGCGCGTCGACGGAGGTGTACGACGGCCTCAAGTACGCGGGCGTGCCCGAGTACCTCGCCTACACGGCTGCGGCAGCACACGCCCTGCGGTGGAGTAATGGATAGGTGTGTTAGTCTTAGGCCTGGGCGGCGTCAGCGCATTGGCCGGCCGGGGCGTCGGATATCGCCTCGTCGTCGTGGCAGGGGCAGCACTTGCAACACACGTGATTGAGGAGCAGCCGGCCGAGCTCGAGCGCCATCCCAATAGCCACCGACGTCAGGAAGCTGACGACGAGTAGTCCGCCCGACCCCTTGTGCCAGTCCCGGGCCACGACGACCGACATTTGGCCCAGGGCTACACTGAGGAAATAGTTGAAGACCACCTTGACGGGCGCGGCGACCATGCTTAATTTACGAGAGCCAGTACCGGAGCCTGGGACTGTCAGCTATGCCCACTTTATCGAGGAGTCGGCCACGGAGGGCCAAAAAGTGACAGCGAACGCCGGCCAAATTTCTGCCTTCACCGATGATGATCGCCACAGCAAATATCCTCAGTATGTATTTAAATCCACGGAATCTCCTTGGATCGTCGTCCCGAACTACCTCCGGCAAATACCACAAGAAGCCGACACCGAACGTTTCGCCGATGGCAAAAAAAATCGTTACGGACAACGCAATTAGCCAGGGAATATAGTCGTAACAGGCAACTCCAAGGTCTGGAAATTGAGCTTCTAGGCTTTGACGGTCACGCTCAATTTCTCCTATCTCTATAAAATGGTTGAGTGCAGCGAGCCCAAAGTGCAAGACCAGAAGAATGGCAATAATACGCGCTTTGTGCGTGCCGCCGACGAGCACCGCGAAACGTAGGAGCATAGCCGACTGGCCGCCGCACAAAAATTTTTAATCTGGTAAAAACGGGTTTCCCACAAAACCCGTCATTTTTCGCTCCGCGCGCCCGTGCCGCAAACGAGTCCCACCCGTGCCGCAAACGAGTATAGCCGGGCTGCCCGAGCTTCGGAACCTCGCACCGCAAGCCACGAGTTCGACGCCACCGGCTGCCCGCGCCACGAACAGCAGCCCAACATGCACAAGGCATAAAGCGCCAGCCGCTGGCAGCAGCCATATGGCCACCTACGCCAAGCCCACGCCCGGCGAGGGCGCGTATAAATCCCCATGGCTACAGGCCCATTTTGATAAATTGGCCTCTTTAAAGACGGGCAACGAAGGCCTCTGCCTGGCCGACGTCGACGGCAAGGGCGAAGGGTCATTGGTCGTCGCCGACGCCACGGGCAAATTGAGGGTGTTTTCAGGTGTAAGACAGCGCAGCGAGCACCCGATCGCGTCGCAGGGCGAGCCCTGCGCCGTGACGAGCTTCTACGCCGACGACCGCTTGCCACGCGTGCCGGCCGTCGCCGTGGCGGCGGGTCCGCACGTTTATGTTTACAGAAGTTTGCGACCGTTCGTGCGCTTCACTACACCACAAATAGACATAGACAAGAAGGAAATCGACGTCTGGCGCCAGGACAGCGACGCGGCGGCGACGCGTTCATTGTTGAGATCCTTGCACGACGGCGGCGCGCGCCTGTCTCCTCGATCCTTGGCCTGCCTGCCCATGGAGGGCGAGCAGCTCGAGGACCATGTGGAAAGATGTAGGTCCATCCCCTTCTCGACGCAGGACGTCGTCACGTGCCTGTCGTCCGTAAAGAAGTCGCTGGACGAGCCCGACGCGCAAGGCCTGTTGGTGATCGGCACGGAGGCGAAGCTGTGCTTGGTCTTGGACCCGACCTGCACTAATATAACAGCGAGGGTCCGCCTTCCGAGCGCTCCGGTGGCCATCAAGACGGCCGGCGTCTTCGACGTGGACTGGCGGGCTTATGTCGCCTGCCGCGACGACCGCGTCTACACGCTGACTTCCGGGGAGCACAAAGGTTCAGTTGTCATAAGAAGGCCGCATATTGAATTGGAGACGGCCGTCGTCGGCGTCGCGCCGGGCGACAAGTGCGTCTACGTGGCGACCGCCGATTCGAGCATACGGTGCTTCGCCGCGAAAGCTAGAAAGCAGTTCACGCTCCACACGCCCGCACTTTATCAGTGTGGAAATCAACCTCGCGTCGATGGCACCTGAGAGTCGATGTCCACGCAGGAACCGATCACAAATTTAGAACGCTTGGACCTCAAAGGGCAAAGAGAAGCGATACTCATACTAGCGGCTCTGACGAACGGCGACGTCCGCATGTATCGCGGGAAGGATTTAGTGGACGTCTTGCGGGTAGGGGAACGCATAGCAGCGTTAGCGTGCGGTCCGTACTCTAGGGAAGTCAATACGTTATGCCTCGTCACGAAAGCAGGTGGTTTGATCGTGAAGATGTTACCTCGGAGACATGAGTTAGCAACAGCGACCTATGGCGGCGGCCCCCCACCGGAGCAGGACATTCCGCTGGATATCCCGAAGAAGACGAAACTCTACTTAGATCAAACGGAAAGGGAACGAGAAATGGCCCCCGAGATGCACCGGCGGTTTCAACAGGAGACCGTCAACTTACAAGTAACAACAGCAAAGGCCTACCTGGAGTTGTTGCAAAGGGGCGAGATCGCCGGCGCTTCCGTGCCACCGAAGGAGGAGGATACCAAGGAGGAGGAGGAGGACAAGGTGCTGGTCGATCTAAGGGCGGTCGTCAAGGGTCTCGGGCCGTTCTTCCACCTCGAGGTCGAGGTGGCGAATCTCGGGGACGAATCCTTACTCCAAATACCGATATTGTTGAGTTACAATCCGGAGAAGTACAAGTCGCCGAAGCCGCTCATCCAGATCGGGGCGCTCGTTCCGGGCATACCTCTCAAGTGCATCTTCGAGCTGGAGTGCCTGGATACATCGGCCGTCGATCAAGAAATAGAGATCCAGGTCCTGCCGTCACAATTGGAAGACGTGTTGCGGGAGACCGATAGACTGGAATCTGACGTGAACTTTTCCGCACTAGTCATGAGCCGCGTGACGATGCCGCAATCTAGCCTGTTATAACTTAAATACCTAATTCAGCTGCTAGCTCCGGGGCATGTCGTGAGACTTTCCGGAATAGTGATATCGCGTCCGCGTGTTTTCCTCGCTCCGACAAATCGACGGCCCGTTCGTAGTCCGCGTACTCGTTTGCGTATTCAACAAACAAGGGCTCAATTCTCTGAAACATGACGTCCGTGCGGATGATGTGCTTCCTATCACCAATAGGTGGTATGCCCTCATGTACTAAACGCTGGTCGAACACCAGAGCCCTTCCCATCAAAGGTTGGACCTCGAAGACCGCGAGGTCCTTGCGGCCCGTCCACCTCTTATCTTCTAGGACCACATCAGTGGCCGACTTCTTATAAAAGCGCGTGCCGCCGCCTTCAGACGGCGTGTTCAGGTAGATAATAACCGAATAAAAAGATCGCAAATTCAAGCCTTTAGCTGTGGCGCCGTCGGAGTGCGGCGCGAAGCCTCCTTTTGCCGGGTAGTTGCCGAACAAAAAGTCCTCGTTCAAAGAACACGGCCGCCACTCTCCTCTAACCTCCAAATGTTCTGTCGAAGGAATGGCGATCGGTGTCTCTGATAGATAGGGCGCGATGCGCTCGTAGATCCGAGCCGCCAGCTTCGGACACGAAACCTCGCACGTGTCCGCGTCGCGGAACGGCCGCGCGTCCTCGTGAGGCTCGTCGCCGGCCCAGAAGGAGTCTCGGGTGCATGATGATGCGATCAGTTGTTTACAAGCATCTTCAGAAAGGACGCCGTCGACGACGAACACGCTCCTGTGATCAGGATATGGGTCTACGAGCGTTCGGGCTCGCTCCGTGAAGTCTTCTGATGTGATGAGAGTGTCACCATCAGAAACATCGTCGAAAAGAGCCGCGTCGTCACCTTCTACTTTATCCTTGCGGCCCGGTTGGATCGCTTGTAACGCAGGGCCACTGCGTTTCGTGAGGCGCAACAAGTCGCGCTTCTGCCACGTATTCACATTTGTACCAGTCCGCGCCGACCCGTCCAACAACTCGACATCAAAATAACGAGGCGCCTCGGCCAGAAAAGCTTGATACGCGTCCTCGCCCACGGCGCCACATAAGTAGATAGATGTTGATGAAGAAGCGCAATCTAACAAACCTCGCACCAGTAAATGGGCGTGGTCCCTGTTGTAGAGGCAGTCGCCGCACACTATTACATCAGCCTTAATTGGTGGTTCTCCGACGCCCCAGCTGTACGCAAGAACGTCGGGCTTGGCTTCCAACACGTCGGCGTTGCGCGCGACCGTCTGCCGCGCATGTGTAACATCAGCATCGCTACAGACGACGCGTTTACACCCCAGCGTCGCGAGCACACAACTCGTGAGGCCCTGGCCCGCTCCGAGCTCCAATACAACCTTATCTCGCCAGTAGTCCTGACCAAAGACGCTCCTATCGTCAAAGAAGCGCGCCAACCGCACCCCGCCGGCCCACTGGAGGCCCGCGATCGCGTCTCCCTGTTCGCAGTGCCAGTCCTCCTCGACCGTGAGTCGCAAGTTGTCGTTAAATTCCAACGTCATCGCGCCCATCTGCACTTCCACGTCTTGCGTCTTGCGCTGGGCGCGTTCCCTTCTAATAGCATCGATCTCCTGCTGGGAGCGGCGGTGGGTTTTGCGGCCCATCGTGCTGCCAGCCTGCAGCCTTCCCGCGGCGCGTCGCGACGCAGCGCAGACGATAGGTTACCCGACTGATAGAGGCCGCAGTGGTCTCAAGCACAGGTCTGATTGATCGGACGGTGACGAATGCGCGCATGAGCGGCCTCTAAAGCCAACACATCGCCTTGCTCTCTCCAGCAGCTCAAACTCTCTTGTGAGGCCATCGGCTGCGCGCACGCGCACCACGCGTGGTATTGCTGCGCAGCAGACGCGTTTAACGCTACTGCTGTATAGCGCATCGAAATTTGCACCTCGTCGTCGGCTCAATCCTGGTAGCACTTTGGAGATGCGACTTGCAGCGCTGTGTCTCGCCGCGCTAGCCGTCGCCGCCGCGTTGTCGGCTCAGCCAGCGACCGGCACGAAGCCAGCGGCCGGCACGAAGGCGAAACGCGTCCTAGTACCGATCGCCGACGGCACGGAGGAGATCGAGGTCGTGACCGTCGTCGACGTTTTGCGCCGGGCCGGCGCGGAGGTCGTGCTCGCGAGCGTCGAGGAGGAAGACCGCGTCGTTTGCAGCCGAGGCGTGAAGATCGAGGCTGACTGCAATATCAAGGCGGTGACGGGCCGCCAAGGGGGCAAGGAGGGCTGGGACCTGATCGCGGTCGAGCCTGTGTGGAATTCAAATCTCGCGCGCCCCACGCCATCGACGCGACGTCATCCCCGTAACCGAACTCACTGGTTGATGTCCACACAGATCCCAGGCGGCATGCCGGGCGCCGAACGTATCCGCGATAGCGTCCGATTGCATCCCGCGCTCGAGAAGCACTGGCGGGCCATGAGGCCGCTAGCCATGATTTGCGCGACGCCAGCCGTCTTGGGCGAGCCGAAGGGCTTCCTGGAAGGCGTCGCCGCGACGTCTCATCCCGCGTTCATCGACGAGATCGGCGGAAGTCTGGAGGAGACGCAGCCTTACACGGAGGGTCGGGTCGTCTGGGACGCGAATATTATTACCAGTAGGGGTCCCGGCACCGCCTTAGAATGGTCGCTCTGCTGCGTCGAGGCGATCTTCGGACGGGCCAAGGCGTTGGAAGTCGCGGGACCCATGGTCACGCAACCCGCAACGCTGCCCCCGAAGCGGCCCTTCGAGTGGAGACTGGAGGAGGAGGTCTCCTCGCGCGTCGATAGAGCGCTGGAGAAGTACGCGACCTAAGCACATGTATTGTTCTTACTAGCCCGCGGGCGTCCCCGCGAATAATGAGAGAAATTCCTCGCCGAGGTTCGTCTCCAGGTGCGGGTCGTCGTCGTCGTCCGTCGTCCCCGACGCCACCTCGAGGATGTCCTCGTCATCTGATATCGATTGCAACTCCGCGTCGTTCACCTCCTCGATGACCGTTCTCTCCAATAGAGCAGCGACCATTTCCGGCGAACTTCCCGAGCGGACCACCCGGCGCGGCTGCATGAACGATTGTCGAGGCGGCTGGGTCCAGGAGGCCTTGGGAGACCGATGTCGCGCCGACTGCGGTCGACTCGTCGGCGACCTTGCGCCGCTGTCGTAATTGCGGGACAGACCAAGGTCGTCCAATTCAACCGCATCTTCGCAGCCGTGCTGGACCTGGATCTTGAAGGGGCACGGCGTCCGAGGGCCGTCGATGGCCGTAAACCCGTCGGCTTCCGGGTCGTGGTGTCTATCCTCGGAGTTGGGCTGTCTTTTCGAGGGCGACGTCGGGGCGTCGTCACTTTCATCACTGTATAAAGTAGGCGTCGGCGCCTTATCACTCCAAGCGTTCGTCTTTTTCGGGGATGGCGGGCCACTCACACCATCCAACACTAAAGCTCGCTTGGGTAATTTCTGCCTAGAGGGCGGCCTCGTCGGCTGCTCGTCGCGCCGTTGGCGAGACGCCGTCGCCGGCCGTTTGACGGGCGACGGAGGTGGTGAGTCAGTCTCGGTTGACTCTGTCTCGAGATGGGTCGGGTACGCGCCCTTCTGTCTGGATGGCGGTCGTTGTTTCCGCGCCTCCGCACGAGTGCCAAGTGCGGCCTCGTTCCAGGACCGCTGGGGCTCGGGGACGCCGCGCCGCGAGATCGATCTTTTGACCAGAGACCTGGTGGGATAGGGGTCGTCCTTCAGATCTTTGACTGGTGATTGTGGCGCCCTTAACACGCCGCGCTCCCAGTCGGCCACGTCGCGCCGCGTCCTTAATGTTAAACGCGGCCGGTCCGTCTGGACGACGGGGGGCTTCCTTCTCACGGAAGATGCTGATTTCGGCTGCTTGGCCACTCGAGGCCGATACGCTTGTTCGGCTTGCTTCGTGCGCTCGCCTCGAGCTGATTTCGATCGCCAGGCTCGCGTCGCCTGCGACTCCCGTTGTTTCGGTTGGCTGAAGCCGGGTCTTGCGCTTGTCGATCGTTTCACTGGAGTGGAACTGAGACCTTTGTTGCCGTGGGCGACAAAGGACCTAGCTGTGGCAGAGCGAGGCTTGACCGAAGCTCGTCGGTCCGGCGACGTGCGACGCTCCGTTCTATATTTAGGAGCGGACTTGGGCGTCTTCTTCCTCGTCCCCGAGGGTTTCCTCCGCAGGTCCCGCGGCTCGTCAAAGGCCTTCGACGGACTCCCGCGCCCCTCGTCGACGGGCTTGAAGGCCGCCCACTCGTCGAAGGCCTCGCTAATGTGGGGCTGGACGAAGGACGACTCCTTCTTCCGGTGGAACTGGGCCCGCAGCGCGAGATTTAAGTCGACGAGGTCGGACGCGGACGTGTCATGAGTTCGAGGCCGCGTGCTTTCGTCGTGGGCGAAGAGGCCCTGGTGCGTCGGTGTTGGGGTTGGGGCCGTGCCTCCTCTCTTATCGTCGCTGAACATTCTTGTCCTTGCTATGGGAGGCTGTGCTTGTGGGGTGTGCGAGGCGCGTGCCCGCGGGGGCAGCCCCCTTCCCGCTTTGAGCTGGCTCCTGGACGAGCGATGCGAATCCGCAACGCGCCCTGCACACAGGGCCCGGGCGGTGCGCGCTCCTGCCAGTGCTGCCCAGGAGCTTGGCCCAGGCTGGGCTCCGTGCGGCCGGGGCGGCGCGGGCGCGCCGGAGACGTCTCTCGTGGGTTCGACGACTCCTGCGGGCGATCCTCACGGCTGGTTCCGGAGCCCACCGCGTTCCTAGTAGCATCAGCTAGCATCGGGGACAGCGCTCGAGCGGTAGAGCTAAAACTGGCCCTAGGCGGCGGCAAGGAGCGCCCGTGGGACCGAGCGGACGCGTCGGCGGCACCAGACGCCCGGCACGCAGCCCCGTGGCACGCCAGGGCAGCCAGCGGCCCGTCCCTCCCCAAAAAGCTTGAGCGCGCACGCCCTTCAGCGCAGCCCGGTTCCCGTGGAACACGCGCACGCCCTTCAGCGCAGCCTGTGATCTAGCGGACGGAGGCCGTGAACCATGGGCAAGGGCGCCGGCAAGGGCCGGGGCAAGAAGAAGGGCAAGAAGGACAAGGTCCAGGTCATCCCCGGCGGCCTCACCGCCGAGGAGGAGAAGGACCGCCAACTAAAAGCGAAGAAGGCCTTCGAGTACTTCAAGGAGACCAAGGTCGAGGAGAAGAAGTTCGACACCTACCGGCAAGAACGGGAGCAGCTCAACTACTTCTGGATCGTCGAGAAGAAGAGGTTGGAGGACAAGAAGGCTGAATTAAGGTGCGCTCGCGGCGTCCTACGATGTTTTCACTTCATTCATGCGACTCGTGTCCAGCTCACGATGCCGGGGGTGGTCTCTTTTTCGATCTTGAGCTGTTTCGGACCGCGTCGGGGCCGTCGCGGCGTGTCAGAGAGACGGCGGTCGCGTCGATGGCGTCGTCACGGGACCGCGGCGCCTCCACGCCGTTGTTGTGATCCCACGAGAGTCTACGTGGTCATCAGCGATGCCACATCGGACCGCGTCGAGCGACCGCGACGCCCCGCGCAGGAACAAGGAGCGGGAGCTCCAGGATCTGGAAGAAAAACATGCGGTGGAGGTCAAGGTCTACAAGCAACGCGTCAAACACTTACTCTATGAACACCAGGACGAGGTCACGCAAGAAAAAACGAAAGGGGAAGAGGCTTTGTCTCAAACACAAACGGCCCACCGCCTCGACGAGGCCGAGCTCAAAGCGGACCGACGAGCTTTGAGACTACAAAAGCAGGAGAACGAACTCGCGCACGACGCCTTTCTCAACTCATTAAAAGCGACGCATGACAGGGCCGTGCATGATCTGAGAAAAGAATTCGCGCGGAAGGGCACCGAGGTGCAAAAATTATATGAAGCGAAGACGAAAGCGGTCCGAGAAGCGCTCGAGGAGGAGCGCAAGAAAGATTGTGGAGCGATCGAACGGCAAAAAAATGTCCACATCGAGCAGTTGATGGCGAGTCACGAAAAGGCCTTCGCCGAAATAAAAAATTATTATAATGACATCACGCACAACAATTTGGATCTCATTAAATCCTTGAAAGAAGAAGTTGCGGATGTCCGACGTCGAGAGATCCAGGACGAGAAGGCGATGGAGACGGTCGCGAGCTGCGAGGAAATCAAGTGCAAGCGCCCTTCAATTTTTGGTGTGTCGTGGTCTGGGTGAGGTGTTACTCTCCATACTCGGTCGAGGGTATCTCTCGGCGATCGTGTCCGAGTTTGGGCCGCTCCGAGGGCCGCGGTGCCGACATAGCGGTGACTCACTGGTTGATGTCCACACAGGTGGCGAGGGAGAATAGGAGGATGGCCGAGCCCTTCAAGAAGGCGAAAGAGGACGTTGCTGTTCTTACGAAGGAGCTGGAGGCGTATGACGGGGAAAAAGCTTTATTACGACAAGCTAAGGCTCGGTTACTTGTGGCCGAGAACCGTCTTAACTCATTGAAGTGGGAGGACGAGGTGTTGAGGCAGAAACACCTGGAAGTCGTAGCTCAGCGAGATGAACTGAAAGAAAAACACAGGGAATTGATTAGTGAGGTCAAACAAAAAGCTAGCTTTAAACACCTGTTACTAGAGAAGAAGCTCGACGCCGTGGCCGAGCAGCTCGAAGCGCGGGATGCGCAGCTCGACGATGCCCTATCTAGAGCCAATGTGGATGTGTCTCGGTTGTCCAAAGAAGCCGCGGCGCAGCGGGCGCGCGCGAAGGACATCATTGGCCGGAAAGATGCCGAGCTCGCTAGCATCAATGATGAAACAAGTAGGATTGTGGCGGCCCACCAGGACCTGATGGACGCCGTGGCCCAGAAGATGACGGACTTGGGGGTGCCGACCGCGGAATTAGGGTTTGCACCCTTACAGACCTCTGCCTTGCAGACCTCGGTCTTCCAGCAGTCGCGCGTCCCGTCCCAACGTCGGCAAACTGTGGTACAAGATCAATTGCCAGTACAGACGGCTTCCCTGGAGGTCTCCGGCGCGCACGCGGCGTCGCCGGTCGCCGTCGCGATGCCGCAGGCGGTGTAAGGGGCTTGCGTTTAGTTTCTGTTTTCGCGTCGATGGCATGTTGCGGTGAGGAGGACTCGTTGGCGTCGCCCTTCCTGGCTTGCGTTTTTTGGTCGATGTTACGGTGCTAGTACTAGTGGGCGGAGCCCCTGCCGGGCTGGGGGGGAGACACCGCGCGTTTTTCACGCCTGCTAGTGTCTTACCTACCGCTAGCCTCGGCTGTGATTAGCTTTTTGGCATTTGCGTGCGCCCTTGCACCCGTTTGCACCCGTTCGCGCGAGCAAAGGATCGCAGCGCTCCCCCGCGACACCGTCGACCGCAAGAAGTGGTCGCCGCGCACTGCTCGGCCGCCAAAAACAGCCCACTCAGTCGCTGTGTAAAACGCCGCGCGCGGCGCGGCCGCCAAACAGCTCGCTGGCGCAAAGCAGCGCGCAGCAATGGTCGAGTCCGAGGAGGCCGTGGCCGAAGCGCTGCTGAAAGCAGTCGGAGTAGACGACCACGAGCCCGAGGTCGTCGGCATGGTGCTAGACGCGATGCACCGCGCGGCGCGCGACGCCTTAGGGGATGCGCGGGACTTGGCACTCCACCGCAACGAAACGAAGATCGAGGCGCACGACGTTAGAGCTGGCGACGACCTGAACGCGGCCGCGGGCTATTCGAGACGACCGCCGCCGGCGCGCGAAAATGCCATAGCGGCGGCCGCTTCCGTGAACGCGGCACCACTAAATCTCGCGGACGGCCACGGCGTGCGCCTGCCGAGTGAAGGCAACCTCACGACGCGCGGTTATTCCCTGGAAGCGCGCAACGACGACCTCGAGTCGATGGCCTCGCGCTACAAGTCCTAACATTCACACTAACTTAGAGCCGTCCACTCCCTCCCTTCTCCTTCCACCGCCTCCTCCAACCCTGGTGAAGGCGGCGCCAATAACCTCCAAGCGACGTCGTCGCCGGCGTCGGTCAGCGTTGATACTACTTTCCGAGACGAGTCCACCACCACATGTCTCGTCTTCCGCCTAAATCGTTGCGGAGCGTCCCCCAGCAACGTGTTCACGCCCGCACCCACACCCCGTCGCGCCGCGTTCAGCGTCCGGAACACGTTGGTCGTAATGGGATAGCGGATCTCCTCCTCCTCTTTCGGGATACGTCGTCGCTCGAGAGACCGCCCGATCTCATCTAACCTTCCAGCGACCACGGGCGACGTCAGCCACTCTTTCACATTAGCGTCCATACTCTCTAGCTTCGACGTGTCCGTCTCGCTCAATGAAACGGCACTCGCTAAAGGCGGCTCGACCCGAAAGTACTGGGCCTTTCTACGTTGTAGAGCCAGTCTAGCGCGTCTCCTTATGCGAGGCTCGTGGTCCCAGGTCAAACCTACACGTCTAAACCACCTTTCTGTTCCACTAAGCTCCTCGCGCGGTTTCTTTGACTTACGTCTTCGAAACCAGCGCCGCTCCTCCCTTCTCTCGGCTCGTCGCTCCCTCTTGGTTTGACCGCATCCTAGTGAAACCACGACCCCGACGGGCCGTCCCGGAAACACGGAGGCGACCTCGGCGAGAGCGAGTAACGTCGGATCATTGGCCACGACGCCGCCGTCCACATAACTCTCGCCGTCGATCTGGACGGGCGCGAAGACCGCAGGAGCAGCACACGTCGCCGCGACGGCCTGCCACAGTTTCACGTCCGATCGGCCCGGGGCCGTGCCCTGCTCGCGCGGATAGGTTCGGAACAGAAACGGCTCCAAGGAACCGGTCTCCGCTTCCCGGGCAGCAACCGCAAAGGCCAGGGGCTTCCGACCGGCGAGCTTCGGCGGAGGTTCCACCTCCTGCCTCCGTCGGAGCACGACGCGCGAGAGGAATCGCCGCACGCGCCGCCGCTTCTTTGTTTTTGGTGGGGGCGGCGGCGGTTCCACGACAGGCGCCCGCAGGTCCTGCGACGCCCCGATGCGCTCCGTGACGACCTCGGTAAGCACCGATCGACCGGTCATCTGCCCTCGCACGAGCAACCGCCAGCCGGACGCCTTCGCGAAGACCGCGTCGGCCATGTCGGACATGGCCTTCCGGCATTGTTCTAAGGGGTCCTCGGTGTGCGCCATCAACAACGCACCGGCTCCCCCAATGGACGTCCCACAGACGACGTCGAACGCCTCGTGCAAAGGCCCTTCTATTCTCTGATCGAGCGCATCGAGCGTCGACAGCAAGTTCGCGCCCCGCACGCCGCCGCCGTCCATGCACAATATGCGAAGAGGGGGCTCGTCCGTCTCGACGGTGCTCTTGATGTATGTAGAAGCTTCCTCCCTAAAGCGGCGCTCCATCAAGTCTACTCTCGCACTACGTAAGAATAGCAGTACGAGGGACAGGGTGTCAAATAAAGGCGTCCAGGGCAGCAGAATACCGAGCGAGGTCCAGGGTACGGTCGGCCACGGCCCTAGCGCGCCGACAACACCACCAATAGTGGACCGGCGCAGCTTCCTTCTTATTCTGTTCCGCCGTCTCGGCGGTGGTGACGGTGCCTCGTCCAACTCATCGTTCTCCTCGCAGAGCTCGATGGGTGCTTCCGCGGGCTCGACGTGCTTGACGAGCGCGCGCCTCCTGTGCATGGTGGGCGCCCGGAACGCTGTGCTCAATCCGAGGACGCATCCGGCCAGCGCGCGGCGGCTCGGAGCCATGGCTGTGCGCGCGCAGCTGCACGGAGATGCAACTATGTGCCGTCAGCCCGCAGGCGACTGTTCGCGCCTCGTGCCGCTTACTATTTATCGTATGAGTGCTCCGCAGTGGCGCAGACGTACGGATGCAGTCTAATGGCCGTGCTACGCAGACAGAGCGAGTTTTTTTTTCAGTTCTAGTGTGTCACGATACGCTAGAAAGAAACTTTAGTCGCGTTTGTCGCAGCCGTATCCTGCGGTTTGCAAGCAGCACGGCAGCAACCGATCAAAAATAATCCCAGGCGTGCTGTCGCCAACGCTCGGTCGTAAAGACAGGCCTCTATTTGCAAGCGTGTGCAGCTTGTCGCTGCAGCAGCGCTGCCGGACGATGATGTGGCTCCTCCTCCTCGCCGCCTGCACCACAGCAGACGCATCAATCATCCAACGAGTGGCAGCGACGCCGCTCGCGCGGGGCGCTGTACTCAGAGTAGCGTCGGACCTCACGGGCGGCTTACCATTGGAACAGTGGAAGACGCGGGTGACGCGCTTCCCGAACGAGACGGCCGCGACGTCGCTGCGAAGCGTCTACAAATACCAAGGCGGTCTAAAAGCGTTCTGGAGCGGCACGGGCGCGAGAGTAGTAGAAGGCTCGTGCAGCGGCGCCGTCTTGTTAGGCGCGAGAGGATGCGCACATGAATTTCTGCGACAAACAGCGCCGTCCATCGCGGACACGGCGCTCGCGGCGTTCGCGGTCGGCGCGGCGGCGGGCGCGTGCCAGGCCTTAGTGATGGGGCCCTGCACTTATTTAGTCACAAGGTCGGCCGTCGAGGGCAAGTCTGCGGTGAGATGCCTGCGAGACGCGTTCGCCGACAAGTCCCTATGGAGAGGAATCGCAACTATATACGCGGGCGCCGGCGCCGTGGCGATGCGCCAGGCCACGAACTGGGCGTCGCGCCAGGGCCTCACGGACTTATTTCAGCGGCGGCTGGGCCTCCCGCTGTTGGCCTGCGGCGTGCTCGGCGGTATCGGGAGCTGCTGGAACACGCCGTTGGAAGTGAAGCGCATCCGCGCGCAAAGCGGCCTCGGGTCGCTCGGCGACGTCTGGAGGGAGGAGGGCCTGGCGGGCTGCTTCCGGGGCGTGACGCCGCGGGCCGCCCAGGCGGCGTGGCAAACCTGCTTTATGGTCGTCCTCCCTACTCTGTTGTTCTAAACTTAACTTTAGCCAAAACTACCGGCGTTCGCCAGCAGAAACCCGAAGAAGAGGATCAGGATCGCGACCGTCGAGAGGTACTCCGTCCAGTCCTCGAAGGACGGCGTGAGGACCGTGAACTGGCCCTCTTCACAACGCCATCGCAGATTCGTCTGCGCCTCGCATTCAACCAACGACCCCGGGCCGACCGTTTGAGCCTCGTCGTCCGCCACGCCGCCCGCGTAGTCCGAGCACTCTACCGTGCCCGTTCCTTTCAAAACATATCGTTGGGCGCCGGCCGGCACCGTCTCCTCGGCGCCGTCCTTCCGATCCGAGAAGGGCCACTCGCGCACGCCCATCTCCGCGGCGGCGTCGGGCTCGATGTAGGTGACCTTGATACTGCGGAGCGCCGTGCGCGGCCGTGCGCGCGCCGGTGTCGGCGGCGTGAGGGCGGCCGCCGGCGCCATTAGGAGGAGGGCTACGGCGATGAGGCTCTGCATCGTTTCCAGGAGGTGGGTGGTGGTGAGTGGCAGTGCTCCTTGACAGATAGCGACGCAGGCCACCGAGCACTGCTTACGGATCGCGACCGAGGTCAACGAGGTGCAAAACCGAGTCCTACGCAGCCGTGCGGTAGTTTGCGCAGCTTGGTAGAGAGCAGCTCTGCCAGCGCTGGTGAGAGCAAAGAGGCAGCAGAGCCACGCGACACGCGGCCTAAGCGCTGGTTCAGCTGTAGCGCGTTGCTAAGTACTCGCAAGCACAATTACTGGTACTGCGGGGACAAGTAACTGCCACGTCGTCTCGTGCAGCACACTGGGAGCCAAGCAGGCAGGCTGTGCAGGTTTTTGCAGCTCCGACACGAACACGTGCGATGCGCGGACTGTGAGGCATAGACACAGAAGGTGCTACCATGCGATGCTGGGCGGCAGCGCTCCTCTGCTGCTGCTACACACGAGCCGGCTCCCTCGTCGACGACCCGATCGGCGCGGACGCCATCACCTACCTCGACGGTGGCACGTGGTCCTGGTATCGCGACGACGACGGCTTCACGATATCGGCGTCCGTGCCCGGCGACGTCGTCACGGACCTGGAGCGGGCCGGCGCGATCGGCGACCCCCTGCGGGACGACAATTTTGTGCGCGACGCGCCGGTCTGGAACCGCACGTGGACGCTGCGGACGGCCTTTGAGGCACGGAGCGACGCGGCACGCATTTTGCTGGTGTTCGACGGTGTGAAGATGGGCGCGACTGTCACACTGAACCACGTGCCGCTGGGGACGGTCCGCGACCAGTTCCTCCGCTACGTTTTTGATGTGAGGAACGCGTCCACGGACCTAATTAGGGAGACGAACAAGCTCGAGCTGATCTTCGATCCATCGATCGACGTCGGCGGCCGGTTCGCGGCGTGCTCGGGCGGCTGGGACTGGGCGCCCTACATAAGTACCAAACAGGGCCGGGCCTTCACGCGGGGGCCCTGGAAGAGCATATACCTGGCAGAGAGTGGTTCTGGAGTTTTTGTCACGCACCTCGTGCCGCGAATTACGTATCGAGGCGCGTACCCGACGGAGCCACTCGCCGATGGCGATTTCGACGTCGCCGTCAAGATTTATATTGATGCGGACCGGCCGGCGTCGTTGCAAGTGACCGCGACCGGCAACTGGTCCACCGATTCCATGCAAGTGACTGTAGATGTAGCGGCGGGAGAGAGCACGCTGGCCCTCGACCTACCGAGCGCCTCTAACGTCGCCCTCTGGCGGCCGAACGGACTTGGAGCTCGCGCGTTCTACGAGGTTTCGGTGGATACGAACAGCATCACGACGAAGCGCCGCGTCGCCTTCCGGACCGTCGCCCTCGTCACGGGCGACGACACGGACCCAGCATACATATCAAAGTCAAAGAACGCCTCGGGCACGGCGTCCCACGGCCTCTTCCTCCGCGTGAACGGCGCCGCGCTCTGGGCGCGGGGCGCGAACGTCGTCCCGGTCGACAACCTCGAGGGGCGCGACACGGCCGAACGGCAGCAACGGCTGGTGGCGAGCGCGGCCGCGGCCGGTTTCAATACGGTGCGCGTCTGGGGCGGCGGCGTTTTCTTACCAAGGGCCTTCTACGACGCGTGCGACGAGCGCGGTCTCCTCGTCTACCACGACTTGATGTTCGCCCAGAGCGGCCACGCGCCCCGCGGCACAATCACTGAACGGAACGAGATCCGGCACCAGGTCCGCCGCCTCAGTTCTCACCCGAGTTTGTTTATGTGGAGCGGCTGCAACGAGTGCACGGACTTGAGCATTTACGTGGATTTGCTTGGTGTGATAGCGGCGGAGGATCCCACAAAAGCGATCTGGCCGGCGTCGCCGTCAAATGGCTGGGTTTCCGGCGTCGCGCGGCTCTGGGCCACGCCGGACGGGACGGCACTGCAAGCGCGGGACTCCGGGGCGATCGAGGCGCACGGGCCGTATATAAGAGGAGGCGGCTTTCCGGCCGTGAACGGCGTCACAAATTACGAGCCCGTGGCGACATCGGTAATTTTCGACGAGGGCCCCGTCGGGCTAAGTCACGCGTCTTCATTTATTTCGGAGTTCGGCGCCGTGGCCTGGTCCTCTCCCGAATCCCTCGCCTCCACTCTATCGCCGCGGTACCGGTCGCTCTTCGGCAATCAGCCGCCGGACGTCTGTGAGGGCGACGGCTTTCCGAACGTGTGTCGCGGCGGTAACGTGCTGGCGCGGCGGAACTACCCCTGCGCGAACTTTGTCGGGAGCTTCTTCGGTGGCTCGGCGGACTACCTGCGGCCCGGTAGCACACCACCCGCGTTGGTGGCGTACCTCAACACCACACAACACTTCGCTTCATCGTTGTACCTGTGCGGCCTCGCCAGCGCGTTGCTGATCAAGAACCTGGTGGAGGCCCACCGCTCGCGCAACGAGCTCGGCCACCTCGTCTGGCAATTGAATGAAGTCTGGCCGACGGGCGGCTGGGGCTCGCTCGAGTACGGCGGCCGCTGGAAGCCGCACCACTACTGGTATGCGAAGAGTCTGTTCCGCGACGTGGTGGCGGCGTGCGACCGGACGGGACGGTGCTACGTGCGGAACGACCGGTCGCACCGCCCGTTCACCGGCGCGGTCATTATCGACTCTGTGGACCTCACGACGGGCCGCGAGACCAGGTTCCTGACGAGACGCGTCGCGTTGGCGCCGGGCCCCGCGGTGCTCGAGCGCTTCTCGGCGCCGCTGGGCGCCGTCGACGCGACGCGGACGCTTTGTCTCATAAAATGCGTCGACGAAGCGGGGGTCGTCGTTTCGTCTTCCGAGCTGATCCTGGCACGGCCCGCGGACCTGCGCCTATCGGCCGCGCAAGTAAAGTACGAAGCGCGCGGCCGCGAGGTCGCTTTGGAGACGAACGCAACGGCCTTGTTCGTGGTGCTCACGACGCGTTCCCTGGGCAGATTCGCGGACAACGCGTTCGCCCTGCTCCCCGGGCGGCCGAGGGCGCTGGAGTTCCTGCCGTTCGGTGCGTTCGACTCTGGGCTCTTCGCTTCGTCGCTGCGTGTGGAGCATTTGGCCGAGCGGGTGGGGTTGTTTTGATGTGTAATTTGTGTATCAAGAATCCTGCTTCAAAGGAAGACTCGTATGGGCGGTGTGATGTTACGGTGCTAGGACTAGTTGGCGGGGCCCCTGCCCAGGGCTGGGAGAACTCGGGAAAAAATTTGCTAGTGTCTTACACGCTACGGGGGCTAGCGATTATTTTTTTGGACGGCGCACCCCAGAGCCCGCTACGACCGCCGCTACGACCGCGGCGCGAATTAGCAGCGTTTCCACGAGCACGCATCGCACGCTGTCACTGCGGCATCGGTCCACAGCGACGCGACAACAACCGGAGAGCTACTTCAGCTGTGACCACTGAGAGAGCAACTCCTGGCAGCAGCGACAAACAACGCACCTACTTCGGCTGCTGACCGCTGAGAAGCAACAACAAACGCTAAGAGCAAACTCCAGCAGCGCACCACAACAAACACCAACAATGGACAGCGACGACAGCGACACCGCCAAGGCCAAGGCCAAGGCCGAGCGCAAGGCCGCTAGAAAAGCGGAAAAGAAGCGCCTCGCGGCCGCCGGCGAGCCCGTGCCCGAGAAAAAGAAGAAGAAGAAAGAAAAACGCAAGGCGAGCGAAGACGACGCCGACGCCCCGAAAAAAAAGAAGAAGGCCAAGACCGAGGATTCCTTTTATGCGGGCATGGAGACGGACTCGCGGCCGCGCACGCGGTCCGTCGACGCCCAGGACAAGGCCTCGAAGGAGGCCCTCGCGACCGCGCCGGAAGGTAGCAAAGCGTTAGGTGATTTCTCCCTCTCGTCCGTGACAAGGCAGGCTTTACAAGCTCGAGGCGTCAAGGTCTTGTTCCCCATCCAAGCGGCCACATTTTCGACAATTTTCGACGAGAAGCGCGATCTCCTCGCAAGGGCGCGGACCGGTACCGGGAAGACGCTAGCCTTCGCCCTACCCATCATCGAGTCCCTGATCGCTGAGAAGTCGACACGGGAACCGAGGGCGTTGGTCCTAGCGCCGACGAGAGAACTCGCCCAGCAGGTCCTGGGCGACTTCGCGGAGATCTCGCGGAATCGACTGAAGACGTTATGTGTGTATGGCGGCTCGGCCTACGGCCCGTCCTGCGACGCTCTTAGACGAGGAGTAGATGTGGTGGTAGGCACGCCGGGGCGGACCATGGACCTGATTGAGAAACAGGTCCTGCAGCTATCCCAGTTGAAATTCGCGGTCCTCGACGAAGCGGACCAGATGCTGGACATGGGCTTCAAGGATGAACTGGAGAAGATCTTCGCGGCCATGGGCAAGACCGTCGATAGGCAGTTACTGCTGTTTTCTGCTACATTACCGCCGTGGGTCAAGAAGATCGCGGGCGAGTACTGCCAGAATCAGACGTCGTTGGCGGAGATCGACCTGGTCGGTGGGGGCAAGGACGGCCTCAATAAAATAGTGCAAGCCTCCACCGATGTAAAACATACGTGCGTGCCCGTGTCGTCGTGGAGTCAAAACCATAAAGTTATAAATGATGTGGTGGGGGCCTACGGTACTGGTAGTACGATAGTATTTTGTGAAACGAAGGCGGAATGTAATGATGTTATAGAAAGCAAGGACATCACCTTTGATCGGAGAGCTCTGCACGGCGACATCCCGCAAGCGCTGCGCGAGAAGACGATGAAGGCCTTCCGCGAGAAGAAGTTTTCGGTGTTGGTTGCGACCGATGTGGCGGCGCGGGGTTTGGACTGCATTGTTGATTTAGTGGTGATGAACAAGCCTCCCGCGACTCGCTCGGGTTGGGCCGACACGGAGACCTATGTCCACCGGTCGGGCCGAACGGGCCGAGCGGGAAGGAAGGGTACGTGTGTCACGTTGTATCAATTGAAACATAGAGATACGTTACGCGAAATTGAGAGAGCGACGCGGAACACCTTCGATTGGGTGGCCGCGCCGCGAGCCAGGGATGTCCTGGGTGCGGCGGCGCTGCAGGCGCGTGTCAGTGTGGAGGCCGTCGACCGGAGCGCCCTGCCCTGCTTCAGCGACGAGGCGGCAACCTTAGCAACTTTTTTTGGCTCGCCGGAAAAAGCCGTCCAGGCGTGCCTCGCGAAAATTGCCGGCTACGAGGCGGGCAAGCCCCCGGACCGATCTTTATTAACGAACACGGAGAACTACGTGACGTGCCTCTACGCCGCGGGCCTGCAGATCCACTCCATCTCGTACGTCTGGAACTTTTTAAGGAGAAGCCTCCCGCCCGATATTTGTGATGCCTTCAAGGGCATGCAGCTCGTCGCCGACTCGGACGGCGCCGTCTTCGACGTGCCGGCGAAGCACAAGGCGCAGCTCGAGGGCTTGGATGGTGTTGCGGTCGACGTGCAGGACCTGCCGCGGCTCAAGGAGCGCGCGTCCTTCTCCAAGGGCGGCCGCGGCGGCGGGCGCGGCGGCAAGGGCCGGGGCCGCGGGGGCCGCGGGCGGGGCAAAGGGGGCCGCGGCGCGCGGAAGTCGTGGTAAGTGCATATCTCTCGAATCCGGTTTGCACAACAGGACTAGTGGGCGGCGGGCGCGTGCCGCGTCTTTCATGATAGCATGCCTCCGCCAGACCCCCCGAACCATATGCAACGCTCGCCCGTTCAATCGACTTGTCGCGCGACGTCCCGCAGTGCATCGGGTGTGCGCGCGGGTTGGGCTATCTGCGTCGTCTGCGTTTGCGTCGTCGCGAGTGCGGCCGTTTAGAGCAGGCTTCGTATGAGTTCCGGTGCGCTGCCGGGCCCAGACCTCCTGCGCGTGATTCCTCGCGCGTCTTGAAGGGGGGCTAGAGGGGCTAGGGTAAGAGCTTGGAGGGGGGGTTGGACGCCGGCCGCTGTACAGTTGGCGCTGTGCAGCAAAGCAAGCACAGGACGCGGCAGCCCATAGTAATCAAGCACCGCAATTCGCAGCCACCAGTAAACACGACGAATAAGAGCCATGCCCAAGAAAGGAGGCAAGAAGGGCAGCAAGAAGGGCAAAAATGACGAGGCAGCCCGCGCCCTGAAACTCCAGCAAGAAGCTGCCGCACGGGAAGAGCAGCGGTTGTACGAGGAAGCAATCAAGGCCCGCGAACAACACATCGCCGCGAGCGAGGCGGCGCTCCAGAAGCGCGAAGATGGCGTAGGTGTGCTCGAAACCGAGCTGCGCCAGAAGTTCGAGAGCCTCGACGCCGAGGTGGTCCTGCGCGCGCGGTCGGGCGTCGCCGCGGCCGAGGCGCGGGAAGCGGCCTGTCAGAAACTAGGCGCCATGCGCGAGGAGGCAGTCATGCAGCGGCTCGCCTCCTTCGCGGACGCGGAGACGGCGCTGGCCGTGCGCGAGATGAGGGTCGCGGCGCGCGAGCGGGCGCTCGAGGCGAAACTGAACGACACGGTCGCCGGGCACATGGACAATATGGTCGCCGCGCAGGGCGACAAGCGCGAGAAGCTGGACGCGCTCAAGCGCGAGGTCGCCGTCGCCGAGGACGTGCTACGGAGGCAGAAGGACGCGCTGACGGACCGCGTGACGAAGGCGCGAGCGGTCCTGGCGCAAAAGAACCGCGAGGCGAAGAAGAGAGTGGCCGTCGCGGAGCGAAAACTCATCGAGAAGGAGTTTGCGCGGAAGCGGCGGATGGCCCGCGGCGTGAAGGAGATTGAGGCCTTCCTGGAAACGCAACGCGAGAAGGTCGTGGCGCGCGAAGGCCAGGTGGCGTCCCGCGAGGAGGCCATCGCTCGTCGCGGCGAGGCCGTCGAGCAGCTGGTCCGGGAAGCGCGGGCGTACGACATCGACTTGCCACAAAACGAGGCCGCCGCGTCGCCGGTTCCGGACCGAAACGTGCCCGTGGCCGAGCTGACGGGCGTGATCGAGCGCGTCCGGAAGATGGCGGGCGCGGACGACGGCGCGACCGGCGCGGATCCGAGCGAAGAGGCCGGCGCCGTCGCGGCCGCGGCGAAAGAGGTCCAGGCCGCGGCGCGCCTCGCGTCGCGGCCGTACGCGGCGCGGCGGTTGCCCGATCGGCACGTCGACGACGCCTTGGATGCGGTAGAAGATGATTCAGCGCGAAAGGAAGCGGACGAACAGCGGCAAAAGTCTCTCGTCGCGAGGGCACGTTGGAAGAGGAGCATCGCGAAAGTCGGCTGGGCTGCGTCCCTACATACCATGGCGCGAAGGAGGGCCGCCGGCTTCTCCGACCAACTCCACGAGCGACTCCACCGCACCGATCGGCCAGGTGTTGCCGAGGCATTGGACTTCTCCGCTATTATCGCCGACAAACGCCAACAACATCTGAAAGGAACACGCGAGTGGGTCTTCGACTTTGTCGAGAAATGGCGCGTTGATCCGGAATCAGCAAAGCTCTTCTGGCTCGTGGGCGGCGGCGGCACGGGAAAGAGCGTCGCCGCTGCGGAGCTACTCGTGCGGCTGCTCGGCAAAGAAAACGCAGCGGCGTGGCACTTCTGTAAGCACACCGAGCCGGCGCGGTCCGCGCCAGCGGTGCTGTTGCGGTCTCTGGCGGGCATGCTCTGCGCAACGGTCGAGGGCTTCGAAGACGCACTGACGGAGACCGCGGACGTCAAGACGGACAAGGTCGACGAGCTCTTCGAGGCTTTAATAGCAAAACCGCTGCAAAGCGTCGAGGCGCCCCGTGACGCGGACAACGCGCTTGTTTTGATAATCGACGCGCTCGACGAGCTGCCCCGCGACGCGCTCAAGCCGGTGTTGTCGTTGCTCTCAACCGAGCTGAAAGAGCTGCCACCATGGATCAAAATAGTCGCGACGAGCCGCGATGAGGCGCAGATTAAAGCTGCCCTGTCCGGCTACACGCCGACGGAGCTCCGCGTCGACGAAGGACGGAACCGGCAGGACGTGAGGGCGTACCTGACGGTACTCGCGAAGCAACACGTCGAGCTCGAGGTGACGATGGAGTCGCTGCGGCAGGAGGTCGAGGCGAAGTTCCCGGGCTTGAAGAATCTCGACACGTTCGCCGACCTCGAGGATCCGCTGCGCCGGTCAAAGGGCGCGTACGACGAGGCGGTCCGCGGCGTCGCCGGGATCCACGATCTCGAGAAGTATAAGGAGCGACGTCTCGACTTGATGCAAGACGAGACCGACTTCGAGAAGCTCTACGCCGACGCAGCTCTGGCGCAGACGATCTTGATCGCCGCGCTGAAGACGCTCACTGGCGACGTCTCGGACCCGGGCGTGAAAGGACGTGAATCAGCAGATCGTAAGCTTGCGGACAAGTACACCGACAAGAATGGTGTGCCGCATCCCGAGAAGTTTCGGGATCTAGCCCGCGCGACAGTTTTGTTCGAGAACGCCGCCGACCTTCTGAAGGTGCTGACTGCATTGGACGGCGGTGGCCTTGGGCTAGAGATTGCTCAATTAAAAAACAAGTTCGCGCACCCGACGCCGCTCGGCTACCGCGACATAAATTTGAACGTCAGCGTGCGCCTCGACGACGGCCGAAAACATCTCGCCGAGGTTCAGCTGAATTTAAGGAGCGTCGCGGACGCGAAGCACGTCGCCCATAAGCAGTACGAGGTGATTCGACTAGCACTACCGAAGATGTGCGAGGGCACCAGCATCGGCGCGGACGAGCTCCAGACATTCATCACGGATCGATTGCGGTCTTCGGCGCTAGATTCAGCCGTGACCTCGCTCGAACGGAAGGCCGGCGGGCTCATGCTCTATGCGCGCCTCATTGCGGACCAGCTCGAGGCGACGAGCGGCAAGATCAACTTTGCAAGCGTCGGCGCGCTGCCGGCGGGCCTCGACGAGATCTACGCGGAGAACTTTCGGCGCGTGTTTGTTGATGATGGCGCGTGGCGCGACGCGCTGCCGCTCATTGAATTAATCTGCGCTGCTGCAGAGCCGTTGACAATTGACGCTGCGAGTGGAGCGCTCGGCTGGGATCGGGCTCGCTGCGAGCGTCTCTGCGCGGAAGTGTCGCTACTGTTTCCGCTCCGCGAGGGCGAGGTGATCGGTGTGCTACATAAGACCGTGACGGACTGGCTGACCGGCGAAGCGCCGTTTGACAAGCGCTCTTCGAAGGACGCATTCTTCGTCGCGCGGGACGCGGCGCACCGGCGGCTGGCACGGGCGTGTGCTCGAGCGATTCGTGCTGGGGTTCTGGATACGGAGTCGTACTCGAGCGACGCGGCCGCGGATGAGGTGTTGGCTTCCTTCGTCGAGGGCGAGGGTGGTGTGGCGTCGGATGCTTATGCGTTGCGTTGGTGCCTGTTTCATATGAAGCGGTCTTGTTCTGAGGCTAAGGCCGTTGCCATGGCGTGCGCCTTGTCGTACGTGGAGAAACGGAGCGATGGCGACATTGTCTCCTTCGTGGCAGACTTGCATGCTCTGAAGGGTCAGGACACGTTGCTGCTGTCCGACTCCGTGGTGTTGTCACGGAAGGCGCTGTCGCAGGGCGCGGCGCTTATCGAGCAGCTGTGGCAGCGCATGACGCTACGCGCCGATGCGGAGTCATCTCCTGCCGCGCGACGCCTGGCCGACGACGCAAAGCGAGTCGCGAGCAATTTGATGTACTCAGCCGTGCGGCCGATGGGTCTGACGGCGGCGGGTGGGGCGGAGCGGTGTCGGCTTGAGGTTCGTGCTGAGTGTTTGGCGACGTTCGTGGATCCGGCGACGGGCGAGCCGCGTGTTGCTTGTTATTGTCGTGGCGGTGTGAAAATCTACGATCCGGTCGCGGGTGGCGCGGCGCTGGTCGTGATTGATGTGGACTCTCATGTGGAGGCGCTGGCGGTCTTCAAAGATCCGGCGACGGGCGAGCCGCGTTTGGCTTGTGGATGTCAAGATAAGAAGGTGCGCATCTATGATCCGGTCGCGGGTGGCGAGGCGCTGCTTGTGATCGACGTGGGCTCGAACGTGTATTCACTGGCGGTCTTCACGGATCCGGCGACGGGTGCGCCACGACTCGCGTGCGGTACAAGCAAGAACGACTCCGCGACAGACTCATGGATTTACGACGTGCGCGTCTTCGACCCGGTCGCGGGCGGCGAGGCGCTGGTTGTGCTTAAAATGGACGATGAAGTGGACGCCTTGGCTGCCTTCAAAGACCCGGCAACGGGCGCGCCACGACTCGCGTGCGCGTCGGAAAAGAAGGTGCTTGTCTTCGACCCGGTCGTGGGCGGTGACGCGTTGCTTGTGCTAGATATTGGTTCTTATGTGAATGCACTGGCGGTCTTCAAGGAACCAGCGACGAGCACGCCGAGGCTCGCGTGTAGCTCTGACGATGGGAAGGTGCGCATCTTCGATGCAGTTTCTGGCGGCAACGCGCTGCTCATGCTCCGCGTGGGCTCCCCGGTGAAGGGACTGGTCGTATTTAAAGATTTGGCGACGGGCGCGTCGCGGCTCGCGAGCGGGTCGCGGGACAAGAAGGTGCGCGTCTTCGACCCGTTCGCGGGCGGCGAGGCGCTGGTCGTGCTCGAGGGGCACACTGGGCTAGTGACTGCTTTGACAGCCTTCACAGACCCGGCGACGGGCGAGTCGCGGCTCGTGAGCGGATCGATGGGATATAACAATGACGTCCGAGTCTGGAACCCGGCGGCGGGCAGCGCGGCGATCAAGGATAAGCCCGAGGGACACTCTGGTGGTGTGCATGCTTTGCTAACCTTTGTGGATCCGGCGACGGGCGCGCTTCGGGTCGCGACCGGGTCGTTGGATAAGACGGTTCGCGTGTGGGACGCGGTGACTGGCGGTGCGCTGCTCGTGATTGGCGTCGGCAAGAGGGTGAATGCGCTGGCTTTTTTTGTGGACCCGGCGACGGGCGCGCCGCGGCTCGCTTGTGGTTGTGACGAAGGTGTGCGTGTCTTCGACGCGGTCGCGGGCGGCGAGGCGCTGCTCGAGCTCCACGTGCGCGCTGGCGCGCTGGAAGTCTTCACGGACCCGGCGACGGGCGCGCAGCGGCTTGCTTGTGGAGTGAATATTGCAGACTCAGACTCAGACTCAGACTCAGACTCAGGGCCTTCTGGAGAGGTGCGTGTCTTTGACCCGGTCGCTGGTGGTGAAGCGCTGGTCGTGATCGACGTGGGCTCGAAGGTGTGGGCGCTGGCGGTCTTCGCGGACCCGGCGACAGGTGAATTGCGAATAGCTTGTGGTTGTCAAGATGGGAAGGTGCGCATCTTTGACCCGGTCGCGGGCGGCGAGGCTTTGGTCGTGCTCGAAGGGGGCGGTAGCTCGCTGGTCGTATTCACGGACCCGGCGACGGGCGGACTTCGCCTCGCGAGCGGGTCGGACGACAAGTCCGTGCGCATCTGGGACTTGGTTGCGGGCGGCGCGACGCTGTTTGTGCTCGAGGGACACACGGGTTATGTCTACGTGCTGACGGCCTTTGCGGACCCGGCGACGGGCGAGACGCGGCTCGCGAGCGGGTCGTACGACAAGACTTTGCGGGTGTGGGACGCAAACAAGGGCGGTGCGGCGCTGCGAGTGGTTTCTTTTGATGATGCGGTTAAGACCTTGACCGTCGGGCGCGACACGAGCAGGCTCTTCGTGGCTTCGGGGAAGCGGTGGGGGGAGCTGCGCGTTGAGAGCGGCACGACGCCACTGACGCTCGCCTGCTACAAGGGTGACGTCGCCGCAATATCAGCTTTTCTTCAGCGGGGCGCTGGCGTCGACCAGCGAGATGATGACGGTTATACGCCCCTGTTCGTCGCGAGTTCAAAAGGGCACGTCGACGCTGCGCGCTTGCTGCTCGATGCGGGAGCCGCGGTTGATAAGCGGCGCGAGGGTGATTTTTCGCCGTTTGGGATTGCGTGTGCCCTCGGGCACGTCGACGTGGCGACGCTATTGGTGGAGCGAGGTGCTGATACCGCCGCAGTCAACACGTGCAGTGGCGGAACGCCGCCGCTTCTGTTTGCTTGCCGGCAACGGAATCTCGACGCAATGCAGTTATGTCTCGAGCATGGCGCAGATGTGAATTGGGCGAACGAATATGGTAAAACGATTCTGTATGACGCGTGCAAAAATGGCAGCGTGGACGCGGCGCGGCTGTTGCTGGACAAAGGCGCGGAGGTCGATCGGGCGGATGAGGACGGTCGGACGCCGCTGTACGTCGCCTGCAGGGGCCACGTCGACGCTGCGCGGCTATTGCTGGACAACGGCGCGGAGGTCGACCGGGCCAGGGAGGACGGTACGACGCCGCTGTACGTCGCCTGCCAGAAGGGCCACGTCGACGCGGTGCAGCTGTTGCTGGACAATGGTGCGGAGGTCGACCGGGCGCCGGAGAGCGGTATGACGCCGCTGTACATTGCCTGCTCGAACGGCCACGTCGACGCGGCGCGGCTTTTGTTGAAGTGCGATGCGGAGGTCGACCTGGCGACGAAGAAGGGTACGACGCCATTGTACGTCGCCTGCCAGAGAGGCCACGTCGACGCGGCGCGGCTGTTGCTAGAGAAAGGCGCCGACGTGCACAAGGCCACCAACAGAAAACGAACGCCGCTACACGGCGTCTGTGATTATTTCCAGTGTCGTGATTCTCACATCGAAGTGGCCCGGCTTTTGTTGGCAAATGGTGCTGATGTCGACCGCAAGGACAAAAGTGGCAAGACACCGATGGCGCTCGCGGAAGATCAGGGGCATTCGGACATGGTCGCCCTTCTCGTCGCGTGCAAGGTGCAGACGGTGCCCGCGCCGGCGCCCGCGGCGGCCGCGGAAGCGCCAGCACCGGCGGCGCCCGGCCTGGAGCCTTGTTTGTGAAGGGTGGATGATAAGAACTATATCACGATAGTGCAATCCGGGCGCAGAGGTACGCCCGCAGGCTAGCGGCTACAGGCGCTAGGCAGCCTAGCGCAGCTGCCTGCACCGCGCGTGCCCGGGTGAACGTTTAAATCATTTGCGCGCAAGAGCATCCGTGCGCAGGATCAAATAAGCTACATCCTCGGGCAGCATTGCAATCGCTGCGCCTGTCATCTGTAGGGGTGCTCTTCCAAGACACGCGCTCTCAGATAGAGCAACACGCACCGATGCTGCAGCGCGCCATGATGCTGAAAGCGATTGCTCTCACATACTGCGTTGTACCGACGACAGCGTTCCAGCCGGCCCTCACCCGTCGCATCGCTACCAAGACCCCGACGCCGCCGCCCGCGTTCTCCCCGAGCGCGACCCGGCGCCGGCCATGTCTCGCGGTGAGCGCCGGCGGCGCCAGCAGTCCGGGCGGCGGCGGCCGGCTCCCGGCGCTGCTGCGCGCCCTACGCTCCGTGGGAACGATCTCCGGGCTATTCCTCGCGGCCGGCCTCGCGGAGATCGGCGGCGGCTGGCTCGTCTGGAAGGCCGTGCGCGAGGGCGCGCCGCGCTGGTGGGCGGCGTGCGGCGCGCTGGTGCTGGCGGCCTACGGCTTCATCCCCTGCCTCCAGCCCATCGACGACTTCGGGCGACTCTACGCGGCCTACGGCGCCGACGCAGAGTCCCCCGTCTCTCGTGGGTACGTTCGTAGTCTTACTGGTCGACGGCCGCGCAGGTGGTATTTTCATCGGCATGAGCTTCGCCTGGGCCCGGGTCGTCGACGGCATGGCCCTCGACCGGGGAGACGTCATCGGCAGCGCGGTCGCGCTCGTCGGCGTGGCGATCGTGCTGCTGTGGCCCCGTGATTAGTTCTAGTGTGTTCAAAAGTGTCGTAAACAGGGGGGATGGCTCTCTAGACGCCCGCCGACGCCGCGGGCAGCTTGACGTAGTAGCCCGGGCTCCGGACGGCCGGGAGGCGCCGCCGCTTGCCGCGCCGCAGCTTGGAGCCGTGGGCGAGCCGCGCCGGCGACGCCTCGCGCGGCGGCGGCGGCACGTCGCCGTCCTCCTCGACGACGTCGGGCCGCCGCCGGCCGCCGTCGCCGCCGTCCGCGAGGCGGCGCTCGACCTTGCGCAGCGCCGCCATGAGGACCTCGTGGCGCATCTTCGCGTCGTGGTCCTGGCGCTCCTGGACCGCGCCCAGATGAGACGCGACCTGCTTCGCCTCGCCGCGGCCCGCGAGGGCGCCGAGCGCCTCGAAGCCCGCGGCCAGATGCTCGACGTCCTCGTGCAAATCCAGCACGGCCTCGTGGAGCGCGGCCACGGCGTTGATCTGCTGCTCTTCGGCGCTCGTGTCGTCGCCGTCGCTCAGCTCCGCGATGTCCGAGAGCAGCGACGGCAGGAAGCAGAGCACAAAAAGTAAAACGAAGACGACGACGCCCTTCCCGAGGCGCGTCGCCGGGTACATATCCCCATAACCCACCGTGCTGAACGTCACGATCAGAAAGTAGACGCAGTCCTGGTAGTGGCGGAACCGCGCGTTGCAGTCCGCGAGCTGCAGGTCATCTTCCAGCTTCTCCGAGCGCTCCACGCAAGGATACTCGGCCATGCACACGATCGCCGCGGCCGCGCAGATCGTCGACCCGACCTTCAGGATGAGCATGTAGAACCGGACGAGCGGCCCGTTGATGTATTGTTTCAGGAAACCCGGCGCGCCGTTCTCGCCGTAGCGCATGACGCAGAAGCGCTCAAACCTTAAAAGTCTCACGAAGCGGAAGAGCCCCCCCAGGATGTAGATGGAGTAGCCTCCTATTTTCCAGCCGGCATACCCCCGAGCCTCCAGAATTCGAGCCAAACTAATAGCAGCACAAGTCCCGACCTCCACACAATCCACCCCCACCCACAACGGCCGCACGTACATCGTCGTCGGCATGGCCAGCCTCACCAATGTCCCGAGCATGCCGTTGAACGCGACCGACCAGAGTGTCAACAGCTCCATCGTGTGGAAGGCTCGGAGCTTCTTATCGCCGGGCACGCCCAGGGGATTATCTTCCGAATAAGGATTTGCGCGCGTCGCGTGCTTGTGGCCCCCGATGATGTAGTGCATGTGCAGGTCGTCGCCAGGCGCGTCGACGAACGCGATCATTTCCAGGCCCCAGATAAAAGTGACCACCCCCAGCAGGGATACGAGGAACTGGAAGAACTCGTGCGGCGCGCTGCGGTAGGCATTACACGAATTGTGGACGAAGCCACTGCCCTTCATGGGAAAGCCCCAGCGCGACTTGTGCGGGCTGACGAGGAGATGGGCTATTGTCAAAGTGAAGACGAGGTAGCACGCCGCCGCGACGCCCGTCGAGGCGAAGATGGAGTCGGCCCAGTCGTGGCACGTCGCGCACCGCGCGCTCTTCGTGTCCCGCTTCAGGATGACGTGGTGGAGGTGGAGCATGGAGACCGTACAAGCCGCCACGATACACAGGGAGAAGACGGCCGCCTCGACGTTCCGCGGGAAGCCGAAGTGCTTGCCGTCCTTGTTCGTCGTCATGTTGCGGTTGCTAAGGTTCGCGACGCCCCAGGCGCCGCCCTCCATGGAGCAGCGGTCGGCGACGTCGCTCTTGACGTGGTGGCGCTTCTCCTCGATGGTCAGGGGTCGCCCGTCTTGTTCCTTGAGGCGATCACGAAGAACGTCCGGGGACGTCGGGGTGACGGCCATGGTCGCTGGGTGGGGGCGTGGCTGCCTCGGCGGCGTTGGTGGGGTCGCTGGCGGAGGCTGCCTCCGCCGCGTGCGATCGCGTTTTTCGTGGGCTGCCCGCCTCCAGCACGATGCGGGAGCTGATCGCTCGCGCGCTGGGGTCCCGGCGGCGCGTCGGTGGGCGCTGCGAAGCTGTTGTATTGGGGCGCTGCGGAGGCTGCTGTACCGGGGTAACGGGGCCCCGCCCGCGCGCGCCGCGAGCCACGCCCGACCCGTGGTCTGACGGACCCCGCCGTGCCAGGAGCTCCTAGCGGGCGCCCGGGCGGGACGGCTGGCGTGGTGGGGTCTTCCCGCGCGGCGGGCTGCCCCCGGCGAAAGAGAGCTCGGGACGGTCCGCGGGAGCCCCCCAGCCGTCCACTGCGGCGTGTTTTCGGAGGCGTCCGTCATTTTCGCACGTTCTTGCCAACGTGTTGCCGCTTCGAGGCTCTGAGCTCTGAGGACATTGATCGCCGGCCTCGCCTCCGGCACGCGCAGCCGTCGATTTGCAGCGCTGCCGCGTTCCGCAGCACTGCCCACAGCCCCCTGCGACGCCTGGGACGCTTCCGTGCAACGGCGCCGCGTTCGGCGCCGGTTGAGGGTCGCCCAAATCTAGTCGAGTGCACCCGGTTGCGCGGCGCCGGCGGCCTCGTCGCGGCGCGGCGTGCTTGTACATAGTTAGGGAAAGCCCCCAGAGCGCTCTCGCAGCGCTTTGGGGCTGCCGCGCTTGCACATATAGGTGCGGACGGCGCGACGCAGAGCGTCGGCCAGGAGACTAACAGGTGATCCCACTCCAACAACAACAATGGCCCACTTCCAGGAGCCGCGGTCGCCGCGGGCCCTGCGCAGCCCGCCGGCGTCGCCGGCCAAGCCCGCCGAGAGCCCGACGAGCCCGACCGCGCGCAAGACGGCGAAGCGGAGTCTGGGCGAGACGTCGCCGGGCGGCTCGCGGCCGCCGCGGCCGAAGCGCGTCAACTCCTACAGCGAGCTCAACTTCTCGTCCATCGTGCGCGTCGACTCGCTCGGGACGATGGCGCTGCCGGCGTTCGGGGAAGGCGGCTCGGCGTCCGAGGACGAGAATTCGAAGCGGCGGCCCGCGCGCGCGCCGTCGTTTGGCATCGACGTCGACGAGGAGGAGGAGCATGGTGAGGTTGAGCAGCGGGCGGACACGACGGCGGGCGCGACTCCGCCGGCGATCGTCGCCGCGTTCGGGTCGCGGCCCATGCCCCCGCCGCCGCCACCGCGGGGCGCGTCGCCGGGCGTCGTCACGGCGTCGCCGGGCCCGACGCCGCCGCCGCAACCGCGGCCGTCCGTGCGGCGGAACGCGCGGTCCTTCGCCGAGCTCGGCGAGGAGGAAGTGGTAAGGGAGGACGAGCAGTGGGTCGCGCCGGAGCCAGCATCACAGCCGTCGCCGCCCATCGCCATCGGCCAGCCCGCACCACAAACGCGCGCCTCGCCGCCGATCGCCATCGCACCGCGGGGGCCGCGGTCGCCGCCTTTGCGACCGCCGGCGCGGTCGGCGGAGCCGCGCTTCCCCACGGGCCACCGGGGCTTCGGCGAGAGCCTGGACCTCGGCGGCTTCTCACCGGGCGCGCCGCCGGCTTCGGGGTCACGGCGCTGAATTGTTGTGTTGGACAAATGGAACCAGACATCATCATACCTTATCCTCCCCGTGCGTATGGCGCCACATCCGGAACTAAAACCGTTAATGTACGAGTTCTCCTCGCCGTCTCGCGGCGCCGGCGTCGGGGAGTCGACTCGTGAGGAGTAGGCACGCGCCTCACGAATGAGCAACGTGTGTGAGATGGCGCGCGCCCAACTAGGCCCCAAGAACCGGCACGCTACGGACAGCAAACAAGCGGAGACGCGCGCCCCGAGCACCCACCCTCACGCCGTCGACGCGGTGGCTCGGGGCTAGGCTCTAAGCAAAGCCGTAGACCACCAAACGATATACTAAGACCCTTACTTCAATTCTCCGGCGGCGTCAGCGCCCCGCAGCAGTGCGCCCGCTGGCCGTAGAGGAAGACGGAGTAGATCACGGCCGCGATGCCCGCCGCGAAGGCCGCGTTCAGCTCGAAGTCGAAGAGCACCGTCGACGCGAGAGAGCTGCAGACGATCGACGAGCCCAGCGCGACGTCCTTCATGACCGCGTCGGCGTACTTGATTACCGTGCCGACCAGTAAGCCGCCGAAGGCGTTCATGGCCACGCAGCACCAGGTCATGCGCGTGTAGCCGTAGAAGAAACTTGTGCGTCCCGCCCTCAACGCCTCGCCCTGCGGCGACGACGCGAGCTTGCCGTACCCTACTAGAACGCTGTAGAAGGCTAACTGCAAATTGCGCGTCCACAATCCCACTTTTGCGCCCTTGAGGATCTTCTCGAAGTAGACACCTGCCAATGCGGAGACCATGGCGGCGAGGATGATGGCTACCAACCCTACTGCTTTTCCCGCTGTGTCTTCTTCTCCCGATTGTGCCGCTTGTTTGCTGCCGGCGATTTGCACGGCCGCGACGCCGCCCGCTAATAACGTAATGCCGAGCCACTTGTGCGGTCCCAATCGCCTTCCTAGGAGGAGTACGGAGAGCATCCCGCTCCAAATGATCTTGCTCTGGTAGGACACCGTGTACGTCGCAGCGTCTAGATAACCAACAGCGACGTACTGCAGGTTGTTCTGGACCAAATACAGCAAAGCCGGCACCGAGGTCTTGAGGGCTTCCCCCGGTTTGGCCCAGGCCGACGATAGCGTCCCCTCGCCCTTCAGCAGCAATAAAATGCAGGTCAGCCCCTTGATCACCTCCTGCATGATCACGGCCGTCTGCGTCATGTACTCCGTCTCGCCGGGCATGGACCGCGTATACCTCATCAGTAAAACCGCGCCCGTGTTTTGCAAGACGAGCATGCCGCAGACGAGGTACCGCAACTCTATACCAAATAAAGATGGAGGGGCTTGGGCGGGCGCCTGGGCCTCGACGTCCTTGCCGCGCCTGTGTGCGTCAGTGTCTCATCGAAAGGAAAAGGCGGCGGAACGTCCGCGGCGGCGCGCGAAAATTTCAACACGGGCTGCGGACCCCGCGATGGGTTGGACCTCGCCGCTGCCGGCCGTGCGGATGCGCGCCGCCATGCTCGTGTCAGCCGTCGTGGCGACGTGCCGCGGGCGTCTGCGGCGAGGAGCAATTAGGGAGGATGTGCTCTCGCTGAGCACGGATCGTTTGCAGCGTCAGCTGTGAACCGTTGTCAACGCGACTGTCTCAGAGTGGTGCCGGTTGCTCAAGGCTGTGCGCAAAGTATAGGCCGATGGGATGAGGCGTTTTGGTGTCGGCTGCCGCAGGCTAGCAGGCTAGCACGCTAGTCGGGTTGCGGCAGCTATCGGTCCGACGCCGCGACGGCTCGCGCACGGACTGTTGTCGGGGCTTGCGAATTTCGAACCGCGGCGTCTGGGCAAGAGCATGCTGCAGTGAAATTAAAGGCAGCCCCACGCGCGCGACGCCGCGCCACGATGATGCATCGGTAGCGCACGCCATCGCGCCGACGCCGACCCCACGCACGGTTCGCAAGCACTCACCGCTAGGGCTGCTGCCCCGAGCACTACTTGGCAGCCACCAGTGGCCGTTCGCCGCCGCGACGCGCGCGAGGACCATGAGCTGGGAGCTGCGGCTCTGGCTCCCTACATTACCGGAAAGTTTGAGGGATGTCGACTTCAGCAAGGTCGAGCGGCGCACGGACCTCTACGCGCTCGGCCTGGGAGACGACGTTGGAGTGAAACGTAGGAATGGTACTGATCTCGAGATCAAGCGGCGCGAGAAGCGCAAGAAGCGCGGCGCCGAGAAGTGGCGCAAGACCAAAGTCGAGGCGACCGAAGAAGCGACGTGGATAAGCTGCGAAAAACAGCGCGCGAAGTGCACGCTGCCGCCGCCCCACGATAATATAAAGGTCGAGGTCGCCGACGTGCGCTTCGAGAACGGCGTCAGTTCCAAGTCGGTTGCGTTTGAAAAGGGGAAGCCCCACGAACTGTACGCGGCCTGCGGGAGCGTCATGGGCCTCGGCGAGGACTGGACGGCCGACGATTTACAAGGGGCCCTGGGGCCGGCGGGCTTCGTGGGCGGCTACCCGACGGCTCTTTTGCGGTTTGTGTCGTCTCCGGACGAGCGGACGAATAACGACCGATAGTAGTAGTCCTTTTTTGTAGTGTCGGCGCCTCGTCGTCGTTTCCCGTCCGAAGGTCACTTTTACGGTACTAGGACTAGTGGGCGGTGGCCCTGAGGCTGGGGGAGTCGCCCGTCGCCGATTCGTCGGCGGCGGGCGCGTCGCGTTTTTCACAACAGGTACCTCAGTCTGAGCAGAGCCGCCTCGGCAACTAACGTCCCCCCCCCACAATGTGCAACGTTCGCCCGTTCGATGAACAGCTGTCCAGCTTGCATCCCTAGTATCTTACGCTACCGCTAGCTAATCTCAGGAGCACGCTCTCGCGGCCAACCGTGCCGTGTGCTGCGCGCCTGACTCAGTGCGCACTTGTCGCTAGCGCATCCGCTTCGCCATCGCTCGGGCGCAAGCGTTCGCTGACCAGCACTTGCCTAGCGAGGGCAAAAAAACCAAGGTTGCAGGCCAGTCAGAGAGCGCGAGCTTGCCGCGCACTCGTTGCAATAATCGCACGCATTGACAAAGAAAAATGCGTCGCCGCGGCGCGTCGCTGCTCTTTGCGGCCGCCACTGCAGCGGCGCTGAGCCCTCCAAACCGCAGCGTCAAAGCGCCGTCTGCGAGACAGGCCACGACCGCAGTAAGAGGAGGCGTCCTGCGCGCCTACGACTCGTTGCTGAAGAGGCGGCCGCTGCCCACGAAAATGGCGTCGTCTGGGGCCGCGTCGGCGTTGGGCGACGCCCTCGCACAGACGATCGTCGGCAACACCTACGACCCGCGCCGTACGTTGGTGTTTGCGGCCATCGGGGTCTTTTACTTCGCGCCCTTATTGCACCTGTGGTACAAGGCGCTGCATAAGCTTGAGAAAAGCGGCGTCGCTTCCGGGCGATTTACGAGGAGGCAAATTATAGGACTACAACTCCTCATGAACCAGAGTATTGGAGCGATGTGCGCGAATGGAGGCTTCTTCTACGCCTACGCCGCGTTCGACCGGTGGCTGCCCGGCGGCGGCAACGCTCCTATTTTAGAGACGGCGTCGAAGGCGTTCCACCGGAAGTTCTGGAGGATCATGAAGGCGAACTGGGTCGTCTGGCCGCTGCCCTCCTTCGTCAACCTGGCGCTCGTGCCGCTGGACTACCGCGTGCTGTTCATGAACTGCTTTGCGGTCGTGTGGAAGTGCGTGCTGTCATTATTGACGCGGGCTGGGGCCTAACACTAGTGTTGTTGTTTATTTGACTCGTGTGTCTCCGTCGTAGCACCTCGGAGGAGGCGCCGCGCGACGCCGCGTCGCGGTCGCACGGCCGCAAAGCACAGCAAGGCACGCTCGCCGCTGCTTCTCCACCCATGGCACGCCTGCCGGAGCGAAGAACGGCGTCAGTGCGGTGATGTTCTCGCGTTCTCGGCTCTAGAGCTACTAGGGTTCGAAGCCCCGCGCGGCCGACGTGGCTGACTCTCGGCGGCCCAAACTCAGCCCGTGTCGATCAGTTCTTGCTCAGAGCTCGGCGCTGGCTCAACTCTGGTCCGTGGAAGCAGCGTACCGCGTCTTGTTGCCTCTGGCGGCCTAGACGATCAACCGAGCTGGCCGCGCGAAGGAAGAAATCCTGGGCCCCTGGCAGCGCCAGGACGACTGGAAAGGGCTGCGGGACGGCCGGAAACGGTGGTAGCGCTACCCTCTCCCCTGGAAAGCCGAACTAACTCACGAGCGTTACGGGACGAGACACGATGGAGCACCAAGCGTGCCCCCCCCAGCCAACAGCGATAGAAGAGGACGAGATGGACATGCTCCAGTCCTTCTCGAAGCATGGATCTTCTGGAGACCCCTACGCCTACGACATGGACCTCGAAGGCCTCGACGCCGTCGCGCTGGACGCGCTGCGGTCCGATTCGGGCTCGCCCGATAGTGATAGGAAGAACCAGGCGACGTCGTCCCAGAAGAGCGAGAGCCCGCCGCGCGACGCGCCCGATTCCCCTCAAAGGGATGAGGCGATGCCGGCCGCGACCGTGACGATGGACACTAGTAGGGGAAGACCACAAACCCGAGAGCGCTACCCCGACGACCGGACGGGCGGTTCCTACTTCCGGCGGGACCAGCTCGAGAAAAAAGCGCCGACGCCCAAACGACCACCGGCCTACGAGCTGCGACCTCGAAGGCAGTCCACGAGAATCCAAAAGAACATGTCGACGTCGGAATCGGAATCGGGAAGCGGCCGACCACCCTCCGACAAGGAGCGGAAGCTGTCCGCCGCGGACCAACGGCGGTTGGAGCGGAACGCGAGGGAGCAGCGGCGCTCGGTGAAGATTGTGCACCAGATCGAGGAGCTCGCCGACATGTTGGAAGCGGCGGGCGCCGGGGCGTCGAAGCAGTGCAAGTCGTCCGTGCTCCAAGCCGTCGGGGAATATATTCACTCCTTGGAATCGAAGAACGCGCACCTCGAGCGGGAGCAATGCGGCCTAGTTTCCAAAATTGTGAGCATAGCAGCTCTCGCGAGGCGGAAACACGACCGGACCGAGTCGACGACGCGTTTGGACTACGAGCAGTTGTTCCTCCAGTCGTCGATGCCGATGGCCGTCGCAGCTTTAGATGGGAAATTTACCGCCAGCAATGATCGGTTCGCTCATGTTTTAGGATTGAGGGAGGCTTCCGCCGTCGTCGGGCGGTCAGTCTTCGACCTGGCTTCTCCACAACATTTGCAGCACGTCTTTTCGTGCATCGGGAGTCTGCTGCGGAGTTCGGAACCGGTCCCGCGCGGCGAGGTCCACGGCGCGCTCGCGGATACGGCTCGAGTCATCGCGATCACATTGCTGCGGCCGGCGTGCTTTGCGGTGGCGCTGATCGAGCCGGTCGGCGTCGACCAGCCGCGGCGCGTGGTTGGTTAATGATTGACTGCCATTTTGTTGTAGAGGGGTGATGGCGTCTTGCTGGTGCCTGGGGTTCGGGGGCGTGTTTTGGGATTCGATCTATGGGGGGTCAAGCACCAGTGTAAATGGCGTACGTTGGCTGTGATTCGGCGCAATGTGCGCTTCACCCACGCGCCGGCCGAATGGCGGGAAACTTTCGCTGAGGCGCAGGTTCCGTATGATAAAATATTGGGCTGTGCAAAGTTTGGTGCGGTTTGGACAGCCTCGCGCAGAGAAAAGAGCGGCGACGCGGTACGATGGAATTACTAAATTTAGCTAAAAATCCCGACCTCGCCTTACGGGAGCCTTGTGGGGCCCAGTCAGGGTTGTAAATTACACAGGCGTCTATACGTACCCCCGCCCGCCCCCCAAGGCCCTTGGTTTGAGCGCTCGGGAGGTTTTGGCCGAGCGCAAACGCCCCCGCGACGGTGCTTTGCGGGCCACTTTTCACACCGATTTTCGTTCGCCAGAAGCGTATCGAGGGTGCGGGAGCGTCGTCGGTGACCCCATGACCGACGCCCATGGGCTGGTGAGATTGTACGCGGCCAGATCACGTCTGGAGACATTCTCCCAAAAACGCCGAGTTCGTCGACGTGCAAGTGCGCGTCGTCAAGGTACCGCCGGCTGCCCCTGAGCGTTCCGCTGGCTATGATGCTTCCTTGGGCTGCCCCGGCGCGGGCCCATTGCTCCCAGGGGCCCCCGCGATACGCCGAAACAGCGTGACGGAGGCCCAACTTCACCGGGCCGTAGCTCGCCCGCGCTGCCGCGTGCAATCTCACGGCCAGCACCACGGCCAGCACCGTGAGACGGGCTTTCCAGCGCACTATCGCTTGAGATTGCCCGCGGCAGCGGCGCCGCGCTATGCAAATAAACCGCCCCACTGCGGGTGCTCTAGCCCTCCGATCTCGCCGCCGCGGCGACGCGGGATCGCGTCGCTGCGGCGACGGGGAGCAGCGGTCGGCAGAGGTCGTCTCCAGAAGGCACGAGTGCAGAGGGAGGTGTGTGGTTTATTTTGGAGGCCGGCTACGGCGGCAGCTAGCGGCTGTAACACACTAGCAAACAAACCAAGCTCGTCCTCTTGAGGGCATTTTTGCATCGCAGGGCTGCCCCCGAGCGAGTTGACCACATACAAGATGATCCTCACGCAGTGCGCCGTCTGCGCCACGGACCTTGGCTTAACCTTGGGCAAGAAATGCGGCCGCTGCAGCACGCGCTATTGTGGGCCCGAATGCCAGGTGCAGCACTGGAAAGACGGCGGGCACGACCAGCTCTGCAAGAAAATAAAAAAAGCTGGCGGCGCCGAGCAGTACAACGCAAATACGAAGTATACGGAGGCCGTAGCAGTCGCGGCGGAGGTGTGCGCCGAGGACACGAAGGGCCAGACGTGCTACATCTGTACGCAGGCCCTCCACTGGAAAACGAAGGAGGGCCTCGTGCGCGGGTGCTCGTGCCGCGGGACGGCGGGCTTCGCGCACGTGTCGTGCCTGGCGGAGCAGGCGAAGATTTTGGTCGCGGAGGCCGAGGAGAACAATTTGGGCACCAAGGCGTTGAACGAAAGGGGGAAACGGTGGTACTCGTGTAGCATGTGCGAGCAAGACTACTACGGCTTCGTGCGATGTGCACTCGGGTGGGCGTGCTGGAAGACGTACGTGGGCCGGCTGGAGACGAACTGGCCTCGGAGCTTTGCGATGCACCAGCTTGGGATCGGTCTACATGAAGCAGGACGCCACGAGGACGAGTTGTCCGTGCGAGAGGCCGAATTGGCTATGCTGCGGCAACTTGGCGCACCGGAAGGAAATCTGCTCGTCGTGCAGGGCAATCTTGCGAACACATATGATAAGCTTGGACGGGTCGAAGAGGCCCTAAATCTATATCGTGATGTATACTCTGGAGAGTTGATACTCTATGGTACGGCACATGAACAAACCATTATATCAGCCAGCAACTACGCATGGACTCTGAAAGCGCTACATCGCTACGACGAAGTGAAGACACTGATGCACAAAACACTGCCTGTGGCGCGGCGCGTGCTCGGCGAGAGTGATATCACCACGCTCAGACTGAGGTGGAATTACGCGTCGTCGCTCTACCTGGACTCCGGCGCCACGCTCGACGATCTCCGCGAGGCCGTGACGACGATCGAGGAGACGGAGCGGACCGCGCGGCGCGTGCTCGGTGGCGCGCACCCGACCGCAATGGCGATTGCAGATTCCCTGCGAAGGGCGCGAGCAGCGCTCGCCGCCCGCGGCGACGACGTCAGCGCCGTCTGCGAGGCCCTGCGTAAGGCCGAGGTGTAAAATCTATCTTAAACTCGAGGGGGAGGAAGAGGACCTAAAACTCGAGCGTGTGCACCTCGACGCGCCGGTTGCGGTGCTTGTCGTCGCCCTCGGTGTCGACCGCGAGGCGCCGCGACCCGGCGAGGCCCCGCGTCTCGATGCGTGCCGCGTCGATCTTGTTCCGCTTGACCAGCGCGTCGCGGACGGCGTTCGCTCTAGCTAGCGAGAAGCCCGCGGCGCCGCCCCGCCCGCCGAAGTTCTTCCGACACGCGCTGTTCTCGCACTTGTTCTTCCCGTCGCACTCGAGGCCGCACTTTGAATTCGTGTGGCCCTCCAATCGGACCGCGACGCCGGGGTGCGCCTTGAGGGCCTTGCCTAAAGCATCTAGCAACGGCAACGATTCATCCAGAATCGTCGCCGCGTTGCCCACGAATCTGATATCATCACTCAACCATAACCGCCGCGCCCCGACGTCCACGGCCACGGACGCTTCCGTCGGCGGCGGCGGCGGTCTTTTGGACGGACTCGCGTCGTCGCTGTGGCGGTGCGGTAAAGCACATCTCAGACACAGGTTAAACCCACAAGTCTGGCACGTGAAGCCCTCGCCCTGGGCGAGCTTCGCGGCGCAGACCGAACAGCCGAGGTCGTCCGGCGAGGACTTCGAGTAGTGCAGACTCCGTAGTTCGTGGGCATGTGCTGAGGTGAATAAGAAACTGGGAGGCTCCAGCCGGAAGCCACCTGAAGCCAGTTCCGAGTCCAACAAACCCTTTTTTAATGCACGAGCGACAACCACGTGCGTCCCCGGCTCCCTTCCGCGAACTCGCAAAATGCCGTCCTTCGCGGGGTCGTGCCGTCGCAGACCAGCTGTGGGACTACTACGGTCGCCCTCGGCGGCGGCGAAGGCCCGCGACGCGTCCTGGCCGGGTTTCGCGTGGCACCAGTAGAGTAACGCTCCGGGCGTTTCCGACGTGACCTCGATGACCAATTCCTTGCTATCAGCCGCGACGTTCGCGAAGCGAGGCGCGACGCATTGCCCATCCCTTCTAGCGCGTTCTATTTTAGCCAGCCACGAGGACCTTCGACGCCGCAACCTCTCAGCAGCTTTCGCCGCGTCCGTCTCCCTCGCTAAAGCGTCCTGCTCCTGCAGCCGCTGCCAGGCCTCCTGCGCCGCGTCGAGGATCAACGACTCATGTTTTTTCACCAAATCGTTCACGCGGCCCGTCGTACTACGTCGCTTCTTCGGCGGCGTCCGCGCCGAGATGGGATGGTGCTTCCGAATCACCCCGCACGTGCACATGTCCTGGATCGGCGAGTCCACATCGATAACAAAGTTCTGGCACGCCTTGGGGTCGATAAACTCCTCCGGGTCCCTGAAAACTTTTTTATCAGTACGAGCTGGGGACCTCATCGTTTGTGTTCTTCCCTGAACAGCTCTAGACGAATGTTGAGATCTAGGAAACCCACATTTGCACATGCCGAACGTCTCGTGCTCGATGTCGACGCGGAAGTCGTCGCAGGCCTCGGGATGACCTTCCGCCGTCGGGTCGATCCACCCTTCTCCCAAAGATCTTTTTGACGCTGATCTTTTGGATCGGGACGCCGCCGAGTGCTCCGCTTGCGGTCTTCCACAGACGCAAATGCCGAACCCGGAGGCGGTGACGTCTACTCTATACTCGTTGCAGGCCGGCGTCTTCTCGTCGGGCGTCGTGAAGTTCGAAGGTGGAGAAGGTGGGGGTGGTGCCTTGTCCTTGCCGGGCGTGCGGGGCGACGCGCCGTCCTGCTCCTTGGAAGGGGTGCAGCCCATGGCTGTTCCTTCGGTCCGGGGCTGCCCTTTGATTTGGGGCTGCCTTGCGGCGGCTGCCTTATCTCAAAGCTGCCCTTGGTGGGGCGGCCCGCGGCGCGTTTCGCCCGCGCTGTTTGGGCCTCTCTCCCTCGCTTTCCAAGGCCGGCCTCTCCCGGCTTGTGGGGGCATGCGGGGCGTTGTTTGAAGCGTCGTCGGAGCGGTCGGAGCGGTCGCGGGGGCGGGAGAAATCCCGGAGACCTGCAAATGTGCTCTAGCTAGATGCTCTAGCTCTCCCAAAGTCGTGGGAGCTGTCGCTCCCTACTGCGGCCGTGCACCCGCTGTGCGTTCGCGCTGTGGATAGCGAAGCATTGATTTACCCCTCGCCGGTGACCGCTGCGAATTTCCGCCGAGAAACGCGGCTTCGTGTGCCGTAAAAAACAAGCCACTCAAGCGGGGAGCTGCAGCAATGCGAGCCGCATCGGTCGTCGCGCGGCGCGCGCTCGTGTCCAGCCGAGGCGTGCGCGCCGCGGCGCCGCGCCAGCTGGCACCCTGGCGCTGCCTCACGCAAACCACGGCGCCCGGCGCCCAGGAAAAACGCGACATCCTCAAGGCGTCCGTGCCGCACGTCGCCTCATTAGGCTGGTGCGACGACGCGCTCGCCGCCGGCGCGCGCGATTTAGGATTGTCGGCGGCGGCCCAGGGCCAGGTGACGAACGGCGCGGTTGACCTCGTGGCGTTCGTCGCCCAGGAGCAATGCGATCAGTTAAGGGAGGAGGTCGACGATGCCGCGCAAGAATTGGCGGCCCTGGACGACTGGCGCGACCGGCTCAAGCTCGCCATCTCCAAGAGATTAGAATTATCAAAGCCGTTCCACGCGCACCGGGCGCAGGCCATGGGTTTGATGGTCACCCCGCTCGCGCGCGACGACGGCGCCGTGCCGCCGGCGGACCCGCCGCCGGCGTTTGAAGTATTACACCGGCTCGTCGACGAGCTCGCGCGCGCGACCGTCGTCTCTACCGAGGAGTTGGATGTGCCGGAGTGGCGCCTGCGACGGGCCGCGGCGGGCGTCGCCTACGCCCTCTGCGAGGTCCGTGCTTTGACGGACGACTCCGAGGACCTCGGGAAGTCCCTTAAAGTCGCGGCGGAGGTCGTCGACCGCTTCGGCGACGCGTCCGAGGGGCCCGCGGCGCTGAAGCAGGGTTTGAAGGCGGGGGCCCACGCCGCGGCGTCGCTGGGCACGGCGGCCTTGTCCTTCCTGCCGGGGCCGGCCGTCGGCGCGCTGCCGCAGCTGTTGGACGTCTTCGCGTCGCGGCTGTCGGGCGGCCTCGAGGACGTCTTCGAGCTCTCGCTGAAGAAGGCGCTCCGGGCGCTGCCCGAGTCGCCCGTGCCGGCGCCGCCGGGGCGCGCCGCGCCGGCGCCGGAGCCGGAGCCGGAGCCGGCGCCCGAGCCGTCTGCTAAGTAGGTCTGTGTAGTCATATTCATTCACAAATTAATCGTACGTTCGCTGTCTATGCTGGATCGGCGCGCGACAGCCCGGGCACTCCCTCACTTCCGCCGCACATTGCTCGCAGGTCATCTTGTGACCACATGGGACAAACGTCACATTCGGAGGACGGTCGAGACATATTGCGCACGGCCGCTCTTCTGCACGGGGTACGGCGAGCTCGCGCCGCATCACCTCGCGCTGCACCCGCTCCGACGCCGTCTCGAGCGTCGTTTTCGTCGTGGCGAGGTCAATCTGCATCGTGTCGAGCTTGGGTTGGTCGAGCGCCGAGGGGTCAAGAGTCGCCAGCATGAGGCGCGCTTGTTCCAACGGCTCCGGTGGTTCCGGGGCCTCCGACGCCTGCTTCTGGAGCTCCCGCAGCTCCAACCGGTCCGCAGCTAGCACCGACAGGTCCGCGCCTAGATTGGCCAGCGCCATGAGGGCCAGCGTGTCGCGCTTCGACGCCGCCACATGAGCAGGTGTGAGACCGGTCCTCGTCTTTTTGTTGACCGAATCGGACCCCATCAACTGCGCGACCAGCGTGAGCATGGCTCCGCTGTGGCCGCGCTCGACGGCCTCGTGGACGATCGTCCAGCCGGTTCGAGAGTTGACGTAGATACCTGCCGGCGGCTCCACCCAGGGGATTTGCTGGTGGAGCTGCGCCTGGCTCACGTTGCCCTCTGCGACCGCCTTCCAGAGGTGGCGCTTGGTGATTCTGCGGAGTCCTGGGATTCTCAGAACCATCCCCTGGTGCTCTGGACCCATTACTTGCCGAAGTGACAGAGATGCCATAAGAAGGCCCTCATCATCTATTTCGCGCACGGCGGCGGCGATATTCGCGGCGGCGGCGTCGGGACTCCGAAGGGCAGCCTGTAGGTGCTGAAGTATTCTATTGCCCACCTCATTCTCGGTGGGCATCGTCGTGAGGACGCCTGTGCCACCGCCGGCCGCGCGTGCGCTTGATCTCGCGGCCGCTCAGCGCTTGCTCTACTTCTGCTAGCATGCTCTCCCTGTGGCTTCGCGGGTTTCATAAGGTGCGGGCATTGCGAAAAGTCCTTGACGCGGTTCAATCGTTAAGATGCGCGAGCCCGGACGCATACTGCTCGGGCAGCCAAAGTTACCCCGAGTGAGAAACGCTCACTTCTCTGAAAAAGTTCCCCGGCTCTATCTTGACGAGTGTTCCGCGGAACTCTCTTTTTGCCTCTTCGCCATCGGTGGCGCGCGCGCCAGTCTCGGCCGAGACTCATCCGAAGAACCCGCACTTTCCATGAAATCACATCATTAATTTTACAGGGCCATCCACGCGCGCCTGCCTCGCCGGGCTGCCCCAACCGCAGCCAACCGCACCGCATACGCGCGTCGTCGACGGCTGCCCGTGAAGCGAAGTGATGGACAAATCCCTCATGGAGCCGGCGCGGCCCCGCCGCCCGCGCCCCCGCCACGGCGCGGGCCTCTCCTCCATTCTGTTATTAAATACGATGATCGGCAGCGGTTTCTTGTCGATGGCGTTTTGCGTCCAGACGGCCGGCTGGCCGCTCTTTGTAGGAGCGCTGGCCGTGACTTGTTTCACGACTTACTTGACGAGTGTGATGTTATTGGAGACGGGCCGCGCGGTCGCCCTCGACACGGGCGACATGTCCGAAGTCGTCGAAAAAGCCCTTGGTATCAAGTGGCGCCGGGTGAACGACGCCTGCAACGCGCTCATCTGTCTGGGCGCGATCATGAGCTATTTCAACGCGATTGGGGCTTTAGGAGCGGACGCCCTGCAGGACCTGCGCCACGACGGCGGCATTTACGTACTGTTCGCGACGTACCCGGGTTTCATGTGCTGGACCGTATTGTTATTCGCGGCGCCCTTTTGTTTTTATAGAGAGTACGGCGAGCTGGAGGTGGCCTCTTGTTCTGCGTTAGCGTTGACGGTCGTCACGTGCCTCGCGTTGGTTATCGCCGCATTTGTGAACCCGCACGCGATACCAGCGGCGCCGGCGTCGGGCGTGGCCTCGGTCGGCGTGCTAGGTAATGTGTTGTACGCGGCGGTCATGCAGTACGCCGTCTTTGAGATGTACGCGGGCCTCCAGGACCGGGATACGACAAAGGGCCGAGGCGTCGTGGCGCATTCGGTATTAGGTGCCGGCGCCATTTTGTTAATAGCCGGCCTAGCTGGCTGCGCCGCCACGTCCAGTGACGTCGACGCGAACGTGCTCACGTCGCTCAACAACGCGCTGACGACGATCAAAATCCTCTACGCGTGCGTCGTCATGCACCTCTGCTTCTACATCCCGAACGATTTTATATTGGGAAGGCTCTACGCTTTTAGGGTTGCGGACCTGAACTACCTCCAGGTGTCGGACTCGGTGCACTACGCGGCATCCACAGTATTTCTGGCGGCGCCGTTGGCCGTCATGGCAATAATTCCGCGCGAGCTCGTCGACTGCGTCTTCGAGCTTATATTAGCCCTGACGGGCGAGGTCCCCATCGCGCTGTCGTGCTTCGTGATCCCCTGCCTCGCCTACCGGGCGGCCGTGCTCGAGCGGACGCCGGCGACGACGCCGCTGCTCGGTGGTGGTGCGGTATCTGAGAAGCCCGTGTCGGTGGCGGCGACGACGGCTACGTTGATGTTCGCGGTGGTGGTCCTCGTCGTCTGCCCCGTGTGCACGGTCTACCAGTTCGTCGACGACTGCGTCACGGACGGCTGCGCGTCGTATACCGGTAGACGACGGTAATATAGACTTCTTAATCCTAGCTTCGGACGGGCGACCTCGATGGAGACCGCAGCGACGCCTCCATGCACGACAAGTTCGCCCGATCCACCGTACTATAGAGCGACCCCTCGTCCCGCGGTTTATTTTTGGAAGGCGGCTGGAGCGAATCCAACAAGTTGGCGTCGAGGTGCGTCCATTCCCTATAACCCTTCTGGAGCCACGAGTGGGGCACGCCGCGCAGTTGCACGAACACTCCTTTCTGTAAAGCTCTTGAGTCACGAGCTCTCAATTCCCGCATCTTCCGCAGCGTCGCCATCCTCACAATATCGGCGGCGTAGGGCGGCGGGCCTTGTTCATTGGGATTCGGCCCGACCCACTCGTGCTTCACGAATAGCGGGTTGAACCGCGTCGCGTTCGCCGGCCATCTCAACTCACGACGGTTCGGTATGAAGGCGTCTTTCCTTGGCGTCCGCTCGTTCCGTCTACTACGTTCTAGCATGCGCCCGGCCTTCCGTTCCAGTTGGTGGAGCCCCGTCGCCGGGGATCGTCGGATCGTCGTCGCCGGCCGCCAACTCGTAGTCGTCATGATCGCATTGCGCCACTCCTCGTCGTACGGATAATTTGAGACTTGCGACCGGTGCACGGGCGCCATGGTCATCGAGGCCCCGAAGCCCTTCGGGGCTCTTCTCCGTTCGAAGGGTGAGGTGGCCGGGCGGTAGCTTATGGTGGACGGCTCGGCATCGAGGTAGGGCGCCGGCGCGGGCGCGTCCCATTGACTATTGCCGGTGCAGAGCTCGCTAATGATCGGTTTCTCGTTGCCCGTGACGGGCCCATTGTATGCGCTCTCTGCGGGCAGGTCGTTGGGCAGCCAGGTCTGGCCGTCGGGCCCTTTGTAAGGGCCCGGTTCGCCGTCGGCGGCCAGGAGCACCGTCGGCGGGCCCATGCTGGCCGGGGCAGCCTCGCTTTGTGCTCCGCGGGCCATGGCGGCCTGGGAAAACCCTGCACGCGCGCGGTCGACAACGATTGGAGAGCGCGGACCGGCTGACGCGCCCCGGCGGTGCCCTTGTGGGGCGCTGGGCGCTTGGCGCGATGCTGGGCCACAGCGCTCTCCGGTTTTTGGTGCCTCCGAAGTCGCGCTTCCCGAGGGGTCTGTGCCTCGGCGGAGGGGTGTGCGACTGGGATAGGTCTATGAAACCTTGAACCCTAGAGCTCTTACCTAGCGTGAACCCTAGAGCTCTTACCTAGCGTGCGACAGAGCCCGCTCGTGATGAGAGCACAGTCGACTGCGCAACTCTTGCGTGTGCTGGTTGCAATTACGCTGCAATTACACTGTGCCTGACGCAGTCCGAGCGCAATTTGCGTCCTTAGACAACTGCGAGCATCAACTCTGTGAGAGCTTGCTCTGCGAGACGCCATCAGCGCGTATCAGTAAGCACCTGACCGCTCAGCACAGCACGATGCTCGTCATCGGCGCGCTCATCATAACGGGCGCTACCTTCCTGCACGGCGCGCGGCGCTGGCGCCGCGAGTCGGCGACGCGCATTCTCCTGGCGCCTGGTGCCTATACGCAGCCTCATCCCCGCCCGACGTCCATCTCCATGCCTTTGTTAGCAAACGGCATCAACGCCAACCACAGCGTATGGCTCGACGCCGGCGGGCGGCACATCGACACCGCATTTATATATGGAGACGACCAGCAAAAGTCTATTGGAGAGGCCATACGACGGAGCAATATCAACAGAGGCGACCTCTTCATCACCACGAAAGTCGCCTGCTGCCCGACGCTGCGCTGCAACAAGTTTTGTACCTCGTCGAATGACGTGAGCGCCTACGACCCGGCCGCGCAGCTGAACCACTCTATAGAGTTGATGGGCCTCGGATGCCCTCCGGCAAGATTTGCGCATCGGAAGAGCCACGGCTACGCCCGGTCGACGTCGTGCGGCTTTGTGGATCTGGCCCTGTTGCATTTTCCCTGTTCGAGGTTCGAGGACACGTTGCGAGCGTATAAAGTACTCGTCGACGCGCGGGACCGGGGCTTAACGCGGGCCATTGGTGTTTCGAATTTCAACGCGTCGTTGCTCCAAGCGCTGCTCGACGCCGTCGAGGCGCCTTCTCTAGGCAAGGCTGGGGCGCGGCCCGCCGTCGTGCAGAACGCGTTCTCGGTGGCGGGTCATCCCGCATCGCACGACGGCGTAGGAAACGCTTGTTTGGAGGGTTCGCGGTTGTATGGTTCGACGGACGAGACGCTGGAGCTCGCTCATCGTGCAGGAATCGTTTTCCAGGCCTATTCGCCTTTGGGCGGCGTGTCGAACGTCGACGTGCTCGGGCGGCGCGAGGTCCGACGCATCGCCGAGAAGTATGGGAGGACGCCGGCGCAAGTCGCAATGCGGTGGCTCGTCCAGCAGCGCGTCGGCGCCGTGTCGGCGACGGCCAATCCTCAACATGCGGCCGAGCTCCTCGACGTCGCGCGGTTCCGGCTGGCGGACGCCGACATGGCGGCGTTGTCGGGGTTAACATGAGTTTATAGTTACCACAAAACACACAGCTAGTCCCGGCGCTTCCGGAAGTCGCCCTCCACAAAAACGCGCCGGCGACGCGTCTTCGTCGCGCGGTTCGCCTCCTGCCGGCAGTCGAGATTCAGACTGAGGACGTCGAAGCCGGCGAATAATTCAGAAACGTCGTCCAGATCGAAGTAGAAGCAAGCCGTGCCGTCGGCCTTGACGTACCGGTGGTCGCCGACTTTCTGGCCCTTCCCGAAGCGCAACTGCGCCGCGTCGTAGCGGCCGTAATCTCGAAACAGAAGCCGGCCACCCGGCTTGAGCGCCGCCCCGAGCTTCGCGACTACTCCTGGTAATGCGCCGGGTGCGATGCTCGACAACACAAACAGACAGAGGACGACGTCCACGCCGTCGCAGGGCAGCGCGTCCTTGACGACGTCGCAGAGGGCCACCTCCACGCGGTCCAGCCGTCTCGCCCGAAGCCGTTCCACGGCGGACGCCGCGAAATCAATCGCGACGACGCGCCACCCAGCATGGTCGCGCAGGATCGGCGCCGCCGCGCTGCCACAGCCGCAACCGACTTCCAGGGCCACGCCACGCGGCGCGTCAAAAGCCCCCGGGAAGTTTACGTCGAGGTAGTGTCTATCTTTGTACGGCGCCACGCTCGTCCGCCGGTAGAAGCGGTCCCAGGCCTTACTTGCCTCCCGGTCGTACTTGTCGACCCAGAACGGTGCCAGCACTCGGCCCTGTGCTTCAACAATAGCCTTGGCCTCGCGTCGGCGCGCCTCGTCCATCTCATCAGCGGCCCAAATGGCGTCCTCGTCGTCGAGCACGCTGCACCCGCGCGCGAGCGGCGGCGGGCCGGCCTTAGTCCTCACGTGCGTATTCACGGGCGGTGGGTCGAGGCGCCAGGCGACGAGGACGGCTAACTCCTCCATCCCTGCGTCCGTTCACGCCGCTCTCTCTGAGCAGTGAGAGCACTTGCTTATTTGAGCAATTGTAGCTCGCCAGCGATGGTTTAAACGTTGTGGCTCGACGACAGCGTCATTATTACGCCGGCACACGACCTAATATAGACCTTTTAGTGCGCTGCGACGTGTGCGGCGCTCATGCTTGGACGCCTAGTGTCTTACGCCGCTAGCACACGCGTGCTTTCTAAGCGCGGAAGCTCTGGAAGCCGCGCCCCAGGGACGGTGCCGATGCGGCAATGAGCAAAGGGGAGGGGTTTGGAGCTCACGCCGTCGCCGCGGGCGAAACACGAAAACGAGCCCTTACCCCCGACGCGGCGGCCCCGGCGGCGGCGCCCCGGGCGGCCGCGACCCGAGCCGGTTCGGGTCCATGGACGGGTACGGCGCGTGCGGCGGCCGCCGCGCCTTCTTTTGGGGAGGCCCGGCCGCGCCCTGTTGGGCCTCTAGACCAAAGGCCGCGGCGAGCTCCGGGCGCAGCGCAGGCGCCTGTTGGCCCGGGAGCACGCCGGGCAGGCCCACCTCGTCCGCATCGCGCTTCTGCGAGGGACCGCCGCGCGGCCGCGCCCAGTCGAGCGGCAGCGAGTTCCCCTTGATGACCAGATTCCGATATTTCGCGTCCGCGGCCCTCTCCGCCGACTCCCGGTCCGCGAACTCGACGAAGGCGCAGTTGTTCGCCAGGCGGACGGCTTTGAGCTCCCCATAGCTATAGAACGCATCAACTAAATCCGCCTCGGTCACGCCCTCCGTCGCGCCGACCCACAGCGTCGTCACAGACTGATCGGCGGGCTTTTCGATCTTCTTCTGCTCCTTACTACGGTTGATGTAGACCTGCGTGTCCGTGTCCCGGCCCGACGCTCTATTGCGAATTGCTTCTTCCTTGTTGCCGCCGAGCGCGTCCTTGATCATCTGCCGCACCTCGACCGGACAGGTCGCCATGGCCTTTTCCGGGCCATTTGCTTTCAGGTCCTCCACCAAAGCCGCACACTCGTCCCGGTGGTTCCGCGCGAGCTCCGGGAACTTGAACAGGCCACAACAGGGTCTAAATGGACATGTGCCTTTCGACACTCTAGTACACGTGCCGGCCATCCAGAACGAACAAATCTTCGGTAGGTTCCTAAACGCGGTCCCTGCCTTGGCATTCGCGGATTCGATTTGCCTTGCTAACGATAATAACTCCCTGGAAGGCTCCATCCGCTGTGCGCTCCCGAGCGCCCCTCCTTGGTCGATCTCCGCTCGCCTTTGCCCATAGTAGTGGGCCTGGTTCGCGTTCGAGAGAGCCTCGGCGTAGCCGCCGTGTTCCGGGGCGCCTCCCGCCCGTAACAGAGCGTCCCTAACACCCACAGGAACGCCAAACGTCATGTCCGACAGACACGCCTGGCAGATGTTCTTTTCCACTGCTACCTCCCTACACACGATCGTCTCCTTGAACCGCCCGTGCGGCCCGGCCTTCCACCTAAAACTTTGCATCGGCACGTTCGACACCTTGCAGAGCTTCTCGCCAAATCTACACTTGATCATCCTTACGTACGGGTTCGGGCCCAGGCACGTCTCGCAGACGATGGGGAAGTCGGTCCCGACTTGGAGCTCCGTCTTCTGGCCGGGGACGCCGTTCGTCGCGACGCTCGTCGCCAAATGCTGCTCGACGCCCATGGCGGGGCGGTAGCCGCCGGAGGCCATGGTTTATGGTCGTTCTTGTGCGGATTTCCCTGTGGTCCGCGTCGTCCGCGTTGCGCCGCCGGCTTTGCGGGGCAGAGAGGTAATGGGCCTCTTGCTGTTACCCGGGCGGCGCGGGGGCGTCAGCGGTTGTCTTATGCAGCGCGCCCGGTAGTTTGCAGCACTGTGGTGTGTTCGAGGCACTGTTCTTGTGGATCTATACGGCACGCGGCGCGTTTTGTCGACAATGTGCTTTTAGCTAGCGGACTGTAAGACACTAGAAAACAAGCAGCCGTCCGCGCGCGCTTGTTTGCCGTTTCTACTTCTCTGTGTAGGCGTGCATAGGTCCCTCCAACCGCGAGAGGGGTACCCGGACGTCGGTCGCAGTGGCTTGTCATCCTCGCACGCGCCGTCCGTCTGCGTCGCATCGGCATCGGCAGCGAGCGAGGCTGTGGAGGAGTGCTCCAGGTTCAAATACGTGCGTGAGAAACGCAGCTCTTGCAGCGCTTGCATTGGCGCATCGCTGTGCAACAAAAACTCCCTGATTGGATATTGCTGTGATTGCAAATCACACAAGCAACAAGATGATCGAAACGACCTGCCTCAACGACGAGAAGAAGACAGACGACCTGCCGCCCTCCCTGTTAAAGAGGGAGGAGACCGTCGGCGCGGGCCTCGACCAGCTCGACACCATCACAGAGAAGTTGGTCAGGCACCGCGCGAGCTCCGTCGACAAAGCGGAAATAGCGCAGAAGCCGCCGCAGGGCATCTCTCTGGTCGACGCGGCGCTCGTGCTCTGCTGCGGCGCTTTAGGTAATGCGGCGCTCGAAGGGCCTTCTTATCAACATTTAGTATGTTTTCTAGTACTGCTGGCGGTGTTACTCTTAGGAACGAACAATGTGGGACCCATCAGCCGGGACTTGGTGAAGCGAAAGGGCACCGTATTAAGACGAGTGCCGTTGACCGACAAGGCGTTCAGTATAAAAACACTCAACCTCATCGCGAACTCGGCCCAGTGCAGAGAGAAGGGCCTGAAGATCCTCCAGTATGTCTTGAGAGGTGTATCTTATTTAGACCTCACGCCCTGGTCCAAGCAGCTCAAAACGTTATCAAAAAGTACCAGTATAGCGCGGCGCTTCTTCAAATTTTGCCGGTGGGTCAAGCACTACGAAGATGTTAATGAAGCGCGTTCACAGTCTGGTATCATGAAACTCTTTTTATGGGTTCGCATAGGGGCGAACTTCGGCGCCGATTGGGCCGAAGACGTCTGTAGTCTGGAGCGGATGGGCTTTTTACCTGCCGGCACGCTCTCCGTAGAATTTATGTTGTTTGCCGAGTACTGCCAGCTCGTTTTGGCGGTGGTCGAGGTCGTCGTCACGAAGGCGAGGGAAACGAAGGAAAAACACGTTTTTGACTTGGCAAGAAGTGTAGGGGCTTCTCCATCAGAACTAACAAAACTCAGGAGGAAGTGCGCCATGGTGCGCCTGGAGATGTGCAAGTTCGTGTCGGACCTGGGGAAAGCTTTCTACGACTGCGAGCTCAGATTCGCGCACGAGGGCGTCTTCATAGGATGTGCGCTCTTCTCAGCGTTGCTGAGCACGCACAAGAACATGGTCAAGGTCCTCAAGTAGGCAATCGAAAAATCGTAACGTCGCTGTAATGTGTAATTCAACTTAAACACGCGGCCTCGACGACGTCGAGCTGCGCGCGGAAGAACCGCCGCTGCATCGGCCCTATGAATGGGAAGATAAGTCTTCCAAATCCTCGACCGCGGCTCACGGACAGGATGTCCACGATTATTGAGTCGCCTTGATCGACGACGCTCAGCCGCTCCTCGCCCGCGAGGAGGTGCCTTCCTAACGTCGTGTAGGCCGCGCACGCGTAGCGTCTTCCCGAAGGGAGGCGCTTCCACGCCGGATCGGCCGGAACCGCCTTATTCACGTCGACGGCGTAGGACTCCCGGACGGGGTTCACGACCCACGCCACGCGGCCGTACGCCCGCGCGACCGTCGCCATCTGTAAAACGCCGCCGCTCCGGCCCTCCCGGCCCTCTACCACACAAACGAAGGACGTCGCCTTCTTGTCAGGTTCGCCGCCCCAAGCCAATACGCAGGCCTTCGCTCTCGCGTAGTCGCCTCCTGGTATGACTCTCTCCAGACGCCGCGCGTGGCAGCCGCGGGGCACCTCCCCATTATCCCGGCCGGGCTCGGTGCTCTTGATGACGTCGGGCGCGTTCGGTCGCGCCGTGGCGTGCCGCGCGATGAAGCGCTGCAGTTTTAGTGGTGAAGGGCGCCGCGGCCAGAACTGCGTGCCGGCGAGGGCGGGCGCGACGAGGACGAGGACGAGCATCGCGCTCCAAATGCCACGCCCGCTGGCGAAATTCTTTGTCGCTGAGCCGTGCGGCTTGCTGCGATCGCTGCGGTTCCAGCGACGCGATCTCGCACCGCTACGGGCAAGTGAGTTTTTGGGCCCCCTGCTCTCTACGCCTTCCACGGCGAATTGAGCAGTGCTTTCACCCGCGGTTGCACAGATCGAGTCACCCGAGGTGTGGACTGCTGCGCCGCGTCGCGACGGCAGGCGTGCGGCACCTCTGCGGCTGCGGCGCCTAGCGTGCTGTAAGACACTAGCAAGCTTTTTGCGCATGCGTCGGCTGCCGAAGCATTCCACAACGCTGCCTCAAGCATCTTACCAGCAATAGTGGGCTATCGCACCAGCAGTAGCGGGCTGCCCCCAAGGCACCTCTTAGCCGCGGCTGCCCATAAGCTGGTGCCAGCCCCACGCCGTCGACGCGACGATGGCGTGGATGCGCGCGCCGCTGCTGCTGGCCCTCTCCCTCGGCAACGCGGAGTACCGCACGCTGCAGGAAGTCAACCTCGTGCCCGAGGCCGAGGCCGACTTAAAAAAGCAGGAGGCGGCGCAGCGCGAGAAGGCACTGGCCCTCCCGGACCACGCGCGGTTCTCCGTGCCTAATCTGGTCTGCGCCGGCGTGAAGCCGAAGCGCACGGCCGTGTGCGTCGGCGGCGCGGCGCGGACCTTCGGCCACCCTGTGGTGTATCGCACACTTAAAGCCAACGTGATCGACGCGCTCGGCGGCATTGTGGTCCCCTTCGCCTACCTGAAACTGGGGGATGATAGAGGCACGATTCGGGACGGGGGCCAGTGCGTCACGAATTGTAGGTTAGCGGCGAACGTCACTGCCACAAAAGAAGAGGTCGACGAGGGGCTCAGGCACCTCCAGATAGCGCCAGACAATGTCATCATCAAGGACACGGCTCATGTCGAGCCGCCGCGCTGCCCGAATTATGGCCATTTTCGTATCAATGGAAGTTCGGAAAATGATAGAAGCGCTTTACCGGAGGACACGCGCCAGTGGGCGGCCTACAAGTCCTTGCAGGGCCAGCTCGACAACCGGTACCAATGCTATAACATGATTAAGCGCCACGAGAACCGTTCTGGTTTTAGGTTTGACGCTATACTATATGCGAGAGCGGACCTCATGTGGCCCATTCCGTTCCGCCCGTTCTGCACCTTTGAGTTCGATCTGAATCGCATGCGCCAGGACTGGACCTGGTGGATCCGCCGAGATGATGCGAGAAGGGCCTTCGAGCACAACCGCCACGAGTTATATTCATGTAAAAAAGAATTCACGCCGGGCGTAAGAGCGGGAGGCACGACCATCGAAAGGTATATCCTGAATGGCATCGACTGGTACCAGGGCACGCACTGCTCGGGCCTTAAACATTCGAGCGCCGGCGATTTATTGACGGGACACATCGTGCGGGTGCCCGACCGGCGCCAGGGCTTTACCTTGTGCCCGCAGTTCGGCGACGCCTACTTGCTCCACGACAAGGAGGTGATGAAGGCAAGTTGTGAAGCGATCCTGACGCGGAACCCCTTCAATTGGGGCAAGGGCGACGAGGACGCGACGTATTTGAAGGAACTGGTGCCTTTGCATAGCTTCTCCCATGAATCGCCACCGCATCTGCCGCCGCCGCCGCCACCGCCGCCGCCGCCGCCCCCGAAATCGGCCGAGGAGCTCAGGGCATTGGAGGAGAAGTTCCGCGATAAGGGGTCCACGCCGCCGCCGGCCGCGCTTGCTAGGATTGCGGAATTGGAGGCGCGGAGGCGCGACGGCGGCGAACCCAAGCCATGCCGTCCTACATACCTCGTCGACGGGATATGCTAGTAACAAACATAGTGTGTTACCCGCCCCGCGCGGCCAGGACGGCATCGCGTATCGCCGGTCCCACTCCGAAGTGCCACGTGCTGAGCAGCGCGAAAAACGCCAGTCCCGGGACGTCCCTTTGTCGAACGAGAGGACTCCCCGAGAACGCGCGCGGCAGCAGCACGTTGAGCGCGAGCCAATTGTCAACGATGAGAACAGGCGCGGCGAGCAGGGCGAGCGGAGACGCCGGCTCGTAGGACATTGCCAGGTCGACGACCGAGGCGTCACCGTCCGCTTCTATCGAAAAATCCATGCGGCAATCCGTGGCGACGCCGGCGAGGCCGTCCGCGGAGCGAACGTCCAGCGTATTGGCGCCGGCGGCTTCGCAGCGCCACTTTACGCGCAACGGCAATATCGGCGGGAGGCCGAAGAGCTCGTCCACTTCAGCTCCGGGCCGCAGCGGCGCCGCGGTCGAGGCACCTTCGACGCCGACTGAGGACAGCACGATGCGCGGCCAATTCGCTGGCGTAGCGAGGAACTGCTGAAGCTCCTGGGGTGATGCATTGGGTACGCGCGATCGCGTCGTCAGCGTCAGGGCGGTGCTGACGCTCGCACATGCCACAAAGCTGAGAGAGCGTGGCATCCTTATAGGACCCACAGCGATGGAAACAGATGGACGACGCGACTCTCTGGGGCACCAATGATGTCCTGCTGAATGCCACTGTGCGTTCGTGCCGTCAGTGCCGCGCAGGGCCTTGCCACCAGGGCTGCTCTCCGAGCCGAGCTTGAGTTTTGCAGCGGAATAATTGGCCGCCGTGCGCACCCGTGACACACCCACAACGTCTAAAGACGCGCACCGCACACGTGTAAATCGCAAACCTCCAGCCAAGGCGCTGCCGTCTCGCTGAAGAGCACTTGCTTGCCTGAGAGCATCTCTGGATCTCGCAGCCGCCGCAGCGCTGTACGCCACCGCCGCGTGAGCGTCGCAAAAGGCTGCTCCCCGAGAAAGCAGCCATGCCACAAGCACCAACCGAGGAGCTGCCGCACCGCGCGAGGGTAGTGCCGTTCCGGTTCGCCGACGTCGGAATAATAAATGTAATACTGCTACCGATCCGCATCACGATTTGGATCGGCGTCTGGGTCTTCGCATTAATAGCCACCCTCGCGTACTCGTACCTGCGAAGTCTACCTGGCGCGGACGCCCTATATAGAGCCGCGACGAAGGCATCGTCCTACATCCTGTTACGAAGCGCGGGCTTCCGCGTGCGCATCGTGGGCGCCGCTCTCGCAGATGATTTAGCAAGCACAACAAAGAACCGGCACGCGGTCGTCGCAAACCATATAGCAGTCTACGACCCCTGGACTTTGATGTGTGCCGTCGGGCCCGTGGCCTTTGTAGCTAGACAAGGCTTGTTCGGCGTGCCCGTGGTTGGAAGGGTGTTGACCGCGATGGGCGCCGTCGGCGTGGACCGACGAGCCACGGCGTCGCCGGGCGGCGGCGGCGCGCGGCGGGAGATCAGTGAAAGGTTGAGCGGCGATGCCGAGGTGAGGTGGCCGTTGCTCATCTTCCCGGAGGGCGCGACGACGACGGGAAGAGGTTTGGCGGCGTTCCGGTCCGGGGCCTTTGCGCCGCGCGCGCCCGTGCTGCCCGTCGTGATCTCGTATACGTGTCCATCGGGCTTCGATCTGTCGTATACGGACAACCAGTCGACGGCGTCGGCGGTTCTATGGCACTTCGTGCGATCACTCCTCGAACGCGGAAAAACCATCGACGTTAGGGTATTGGAGCCCTTGCGACCGACGCCGCTCATGCGCACGGACGCGGCGACGTACGCGGGGGCGGTTCGAGCGGCCATGTTGGATGCGATGCCCGGCGCGCGCGACTGGCACGACTGGGACAACCGGCGCATGCGGGACGCGTGGTACGGCGCCGACGCGGCGTCGAAGGACTAGGTCTTCTGTTTTTGTTTCATTCTTCTCTTATTTTCTCGCAGAGCCCCGGCTTCCAGGGCTTCCGCGTTTAGGAATTTGCTCTAGTGCCTGTATGAAGCTAGCCAGCGAGGATTAAATTTTATCGTCGCAAAGTAGACGCGCTCTTCCGGTGTACGCCCCGCCGCTGGAAGTTTCACGGGTGTGCGTCATCCCTGCGACTCGCCAGCAACCCCGCAAGCCAAGCACCGCGACGCCGCGACGCCCTAGGAAGCAGCAAATCCACAGTTTCTGCGGAGAGCGTGCCGCTAAAACGCAGCGCCGCCCGAAGTTTTGCACGTGTGACGCCATCGCTGCGGCACACCACCAACTCGTCAAACAGTATGGCCGAGCTAAAACCCGTCTACGACCCCATCGGCCAACACCACGCCATCCCCGGCGGCCTGAAACAGTACGAGGAGATGTACAAAGAGTCGATAGACCCGTCGACGAGAGACGAGTTCTGGCGGAAGCAGTCCGCGCAGTTCATCGACTGGATCCGGCCCTACGATAGAGTGTCGACAGGAGGCTTTGCGGTCGGTGACCATGCGTGGTTCGTGGGCGGCCAACTCAATGTGAGTGCGTGCTGCTTGGATCGCCATTTAGCAACCAAGGCGGACAAGACCGCTATTCTCTGGGAGGCGGACGAACCGGGCCAATCCAAAAAATTGTCCTACCTCGAGGTCTTCCACGGCACCTGTAGAGTAGCCAACGCTCTCAAGTTGCATGGGTGTAGAAAAGGAGACTTTGTGACGATCTACATGCCCATGATGCCGGATACGGCGATGGCCATGTTGGCCTGCACGCGCATCGGCTGCCCCCACTCTGTCGTGTTTGCTGGGTTCACCGCAACCTCACTGAAGGACCGGATTGTCGACTCCCAATCGAAGTGGGTCTGCACCGCGGACGTCGGGAAACGAGGCTCGAAGACCATCAAGCTCAAGGAGATCACGGACGCCGCCGTGAACGACTGTCCCAATGTAGAACGTGTATTCGTCTTCAAGCGCACGGGCGAGCACGGCGTCCCCTATCATGCTAGGGACGTGCACATGGATCTCGTGGTGCCGAAGATGAGGCCCTACTGCCACGCCGAGGCCATGGGGAGTGAAGAGACGATGTTCACTTTGTATACCTCCGGCTCTACCGGAAAACCTAAAGGTGTTGCGCATAGCTATGCGGGGTATTTGCTATTCGCGGCGATGACGACGAAGTACTCGTTCGATCTGCGGGATGATGATGTCTTTGCGTGCGTCGCCGACGTCGGGTGGATCACCGGTCACTCCTACATCGTCTACGGTCCTCTGTGCAACGGCGCCACGACCGTCATGTTCGAATCAGTACCTACCTACCCGGACCCGGGCCGCTACTGGCAGATGGTGGCTACGCACAAAATCTCCGTGTTCTACACGGCACCGACGGCCATCCGAGCCTTGATGGCTTATGGAGATGAACCGGTCAAGAAGCACGACCGTAGCTCGTTAAGAATCCTGGGAACGGTCGGCGAACCGATCAACCCCGAGGCCTGGCGCTGGTACTTCCAGGTCGTGGGCGATAGCAAGTGCGCCATCGCCGACACGTACTGGCAAACAGAAACCGGTGGCCATGTGATGACGCCGCTGCCGGGTGTCACGCCCATGAAGCCGGGGTCCTGTTGCCTGCCCTTCTTCGGCGTCGAGCCCAAAGTGTTAGATGCCCAGTCCGGCCAGGAGGTGGCCTGGTCCAAAGGCCAACGAGCTGATGGTGTGCTCGCGCTAGCCAAGCCGTGGCCGTCGGCGTGCCGCACGGTCTGGGGCGACCACGAGCGCTACATGGCGACCTATCTAGACTGCTACAAGCCCTACTATTTTACCGGAGACGGCTGCACGAAGGACGAGGACGGCTACTACTGGATTACTGGAAGAGTTGATGACGTCCTGAACACGTCGGGGCACCGCATCGGCACGGCGGAAGTCGAATCGGCTCTAGTAGCGCATCCGGCCGTCGCGCAGGCCGCCACCATAGGCTACCCGCACGACATCAAGGGCCAGGGCATCTGCTGCTACCTCGAGCTGACGAAGGGTATTACCGAGTCTCCGGAGTTACTCAAGGAATTGAAAGGGGCCGTTCGTTCTGCAATCGGGCCCTTCGCGACGCCGGACCTCTTGATTCCGGTGGCCGGCCTCCCGAAGACGCGGTCGGGCAAGATCATGCGCCGCATCCTGCGCAAGGTCGCGGCGGCGGAAGAAGATCAATTGGGGGACGTGACGACGTTGGCGGACCCGTCCGTCGTGCCGTTGCTGATCGCCAAGGTCAAGCAGGCCCAAGGCCGCGCCTAGTCGTACCCCTCCCAGGCTAATGATTCATTAGTCTATGAGCCTCCGAAGGAGGCCGTGGCGCTCTTCTCCCTTGTCGACGAGGAGTTGGAGCATGGCCTTCATCTCGGAGAGTTCGCGCCGCGTCGCTGCGAGCTCGGCCTCCAGCTTCTGCGTTCGGTTGTCGACAATCGCAGCGACGGCGTTGATCGTGTAATTCAGACGGTTCGGGTCGTCGTCGGCTTGTCTGGTCGCTCTGCGGAGCGCAAGCGCGAGGCTCGCCTTGATCGTCGCTTCGTCATGCGTCGGCAGGCACCGCGTCGGTAGAAGGGACGCGATCAGTGCCGTCTCCGTGATGAGCTCGCACCGGCTGCGCAAGAAGAGGCCCTCGGCCTTCGCCATCGAGAGATCGTAGCTATCGGAGACGATTGCTATCAAGACGTTCAGAAACCTGTGTGCAATAGGCTGGTGGGGCATCGTGTGCAATAGGCTGGTGGGGCATCGCGAAATTTGATTTCTACACGGGCTACGAACACGACCATTACGACCAGGATGAAGAATACTAGTAGGACGCGCACAGCGACCTCGTCGAAATTGTCCGGGTCGAAATCACCGACGAAGCCCAGCAGTATCAAGTTGTATACCGTATAGGGGAAGGTCCGGAACGCGTTGTGCCCGTCGTGAAATCCAAACTCGTCGCTCTTGCGCGGGCCGAGGTACAAATAGAACGCGCTCGCGAACATCAGGAGAACCACGAGAAAGTAGAATAAATAATAGCGAAGGTCCCAAACAATGTCTTCGAACATGAGTACAAACTTGGCCCAGCCGAGCCGCATGTTCTTGAGGTACCAGCAGAATCGGACCCACATCAGCATCGAAGTGGCGACGGCTAGGTCGGGACTGAGCCGCGCCCCAGGCATCGCCGCGCGCGAAAAGGCGGCCCACGCGCAGCCGATCGTCGCCAGGTCTATCCAGTTCCAGTAGTCATAGCGCCACGCCCGCGACAGGCCAAGGAAGGTCAAAGCGTCGTATCTGATGGGTTCTCGGATGGCCTTTTCGGACCAGTCCTCGAATTCGTCGCGTTTCCCAGCGCAGCAGGCCTGCGTGGAAATCAAATTTCGGACGCCCCACGCCATCGACGCGACGTCGTCCTCGTAACTGCATCTGCTCGATGGATTTCCACACAGTAACAGGCAATGAGATGCAGCGGGACCACGATCGCATCCGCCAGGTACGCAGCGAGGCCTTCTGCGTCGTCGAGCTGTTCCTCAGACGACTCCAGCTCGATGGCGCGCGTAAATGCCATTTGGTAGATCTCGCGCACCGAGAAATAAGCCAGCACCACAAACGCGAAAACAATCTCGACAATGTTTTCCGAGGGAAACCACTTCTCCCCCCGAGCAAACACTTGGTACGGAGCGACGCGCGTAAAGCATAACCCGAGCACAATAAAGATAAGAAGTTCGAAGTAAAGCACAAACTTCGGCCCGGCGGCGAACTTGGCGTCCAGCACGACGCGGAATAGCGGACTCGGTGCGAGCTCCTGGATGGCGGCGTTCGACACACCGCGGCGATACATGTCGGGCAGCAACGCGTCGTCGCGGACGAGCGCGAGGACGCTCGGCGCGAGGCTGTCGATCATTTGCGACCGAAATCCGGCGTCTTCCTTTGCCACCTTGGCGAGCGCGTCGAAGACGTGGGCCTGTCTGGCGATGGAGGCAGACGCACTCAAGCCACCAATGTGTTCGTCGAACTGCTGCACGGCGGCGGCTTCGAACAGGTCGCCGAGGCAGCCCTCCTTGCGACACGAGCGAGCGACGTCCTCGAACTCGAACGCCCTGTACTCGGCCGAGGCGCAGGCGTTGAACCTGTACGCGGCCGGGTGAAGCACCGGGCGAATTCTTATCGTCTCGTCGCTTCCACCTGATGCGAGCGCCGCGCCGTCGAGCGTAGCTAGGCATCGGACCATGGCCGTGTGTCCCTCGAATTTGGCGATCTTTCTGCCGTCCGCAAGATTCCAGATAATGATTGAGGTATCATCGCCACCGGACGCGAGCCGGTCGCCGTCAAACGTGGTCAGGCATTGGACCGAGCCCGTGTGCCCCTCGAGCGTGGCGAGCTGCGCACCGTCCGCGGGATTCCAGAGGATGATTGAGCTGTCTCCGCTCCCTGACGCCAGCCGGCCATCGGCAAGCACGGTCAGGCTCAGGACCGCGCTGGTGTGCCCCTCGAGCGTGGATAACCGCGTGCCGTCCGCGAGGCTCCAGACGATGATGGATCTGTCTCGGCTCCCAGATGCGAGTCGCTCGCCGTCGAGCACGGCCAGGCATTGGACATAGCTCGTGTGCCCCTCGAGTTTCGTGAGCTGTGTGCCGTCCGCAAGATTCCAGATGATGATGGAAGCGTCGCCGCCCCCGGACGCGAGCCGTCCGCCGTCGAGCGCCACCAGGCTCCAGACGGGGCGCGTGTGGCCCTCGAGCTTGGCGACCTGTTTGCCGTCTTCAAGGCTCCAGATGATGACGGAGTTATCCCAGCTGCCGGACGCCAGCCGACCGGCGTCGAGCGCGGCCAGGCTCCAGACAGCGCGCCTGTGCCCCTCGAGCTTGGCGAGTTGCGTGCCGTCTTGGCTCCAGATGACGACGGAATTGTCCCAGCTGCCGGATGCCAGCCGGCCGCCGTCGAGCGCCGCCAAGCACGACACGGGGTCGCTGTGCCCCTTCAGCAGGAGGGTTCGAGCAGTCGCGCGGCTCTCTTCTGCATCGCTCCTCCGTCGGCTGGATTTGGAAAGATGATGGGACGACAGCCCGTCGGGCGGGAGCCGTGCTCGAGGCGAGGCCATGGCAGGCAGTGTGAGCAGCCACAGTAATGAGCAGCCAACCGCACGCGAGCGCGGCGATCAATGATGGATGCGCGCTTTCCTCCACACTGATCAGTCGCTCCGGCGCGACGGCCTAGCGCTCTGGGGCTGCCCCGATCTGCACAGACCAGAAATGGCTGCATACCCGCGCGAACGCCATCGACGCGCAGCACATACAGAACCATCAAATTACGAGAGCCGCTCCCCGAGCCGCCGCGCGACAACCCGTATCTTCGCCACGTCGCGCGGCGAGAGCGCGCGCTTGCGGTCGCACGCCACGGCGACGCAGCCGCCGGAAAAGGGCTGGATGAGCGCGGATTGGGCGTTTTTGGGCAAACACCCAAAGTCGACGCGCGCCGGCACGGCCTGTAAATCGGGCGCGTACGTCTCGACGGACGCGCGTAGAGCCGCCGAGAACGTCGGCGAGGCGGCGTCGACGTCGCGCGACGCACCTAGAATACCTTCTCGTAGTATAGTTTTGTCATTGTAGTACAATACGACAGTTTTGACACTTTCAATGGTCCGGATGGCTCGGGCCGCCCAGCGCGCCGCGCTCGCGTCACCATCTGACAATGACGACGACACGCCGCGCCCCCGCTCCCCTCGCAACTGCACGACTTCCGACTCGCGCGTTTCGACGTCGACCTGGCTCAGCCCGTCCAGTATTAAACCCATCGTCGCCGCCACCGCGAGTAGATCCGCGCGGCTCTGATCCCCAAAGGCCAGCTCGCCGGCGAGGAAAATTCTGTTTGCTGCCACTAAAGCCAATCCAACGATGCCGCCGGCTACCCTCGCGTCGCCCGTCAGCTGCGCGTCTTGTCTTATGCTTGGTCGTCTTACGGGTGTCGGTGCGAAGGCATTGGTAACACATAGAACCTGCGTTTTTGTACAGCCATAAATTCCCGGGGGGTGTGTGAGCTTGCCCTTTGGGACTCAACAGGCCTTCTTCTCTCGCGTGGAACTAGTAGCTCCCGTCGATGACTGGCGTGCATCGCGGTGCGTCGCAAGATGTCCCGCTTGTTTTTTTTTTTTTCGCGGACGCTGGTGGTTTGCGGCGAGCAGCGCTTTGGAGCATTGGTGCCGCCGCATGGTCCTTGCGCAAGGCTGCACTGGCTGCACTTGCACAAGGCTGCACTGTCGTTGCGCACTCTAGAACTCGTCGGCACGTGTCACAGTGGTTAAAGGAGCTCCTAAATTTCCTAACAACTCAGTGCAAGCTCCAGCGGGCGCTGGACAAAGTGTTTGCACGGTCGGCCGCGAGGTAAGGTATCGTATGTACCTTATACCTGGTGGTAGGGTACTGAATAGGGGGTCGGCTTGTCTGACCTGTCCGCAAAGCCCCGGTTTCGGCTGTGTTACACGCCATAGACCACTCATCTAACGCAACGAAACAGACGTAACACTTCTAAAGACACGACTGCACAAGTATGCGGACTTTCACCCTCATCGCCCTAGCTCCTGCCGCGGTCTCAGCCTTTGCGCCCAAAGCTGCGGCGCCGCGTGCCGTCGCGCTGTCGAAGGCCACCGTCGAGGACGCGGTGGTAGACGTCGTCGAAGCCGTAATCGAGGACGTCGACGTCAAGGACGAGCTCCTCTCCGTAGTCGGCGCCGCCGTCGGCGACAGCGTGTCGTCGGACCTCAGAGATGAAGTGAGCGAGCTCCTCGTCAAGATGGAGAGCAAGAACCCGACGGCCGAGCCGGCCACGTCCGCTCTCTTAAACGGCGTCTGGGACGTCGCCTACCAGGGCTACGCACCGGGGCCGCTACCCTCGCCGACGCGGCCGCTCGCGCTCGCTTTGTACGCCGGCGGCTTCACGCCCGGCGTCGCGGGGCTCACGGCGGCGCGCATGTTACCTGATGCGTTGGCCGACGTCGGTTCCCTCGAAATCGCCATCACGCGCGACCAGCCGCGCGTCACGGCGTCCACCAGTGTCTCTTTGGCCGGCCTCGGCGCCCAGGACTTCGAGGTGCAGACGTCGCTCGAGGCCGAGACCGGTATTAGGCTCAAAGAGACCTACGCGTCCCTCAAGGCGTTTGGGCGGGAGCAGGACATCCCGGCGAACCTGCGCTACAGCCGGAAGCTCTTCGTGACGTACCTTGACGAGGACATCCTGGTCATGCGCGACGAGAGCGGCGTGCCCGACGTGTTGCTCAGGAAGGGGGCCCCTGAGGGCGCTTCTTTACCCGACGAAGGCGTGCCGGGCGACGGGAGCGACGAGGCGCCTTGAGTAGGTCCTTCCCTTTTGTCTTAAGCACTATGTCATTCCTCCTTACTCACCGTCCTCATCAATGAAGACAGTCAACGTGTCCGGCCGCGTGCCGATGCTGTTGAGCATGTCAAAATACTGCGTGATGAGCAGCAAGTCGACGACGTCCTTCGACGAGGCGCCCTTGATCTGCTCGTTCGACGTGAAGTCGCTGATCGAGTTCTTGAGGCCGTCCACGATAGCTTTGCGCTGGCGCGCGACGCCGACGCCCGCGAGGTACTTCGACTCGGCCTCGGCCTCGGCGGACTTGACGCTCAACACCTTGTCGCCCTCGGCCTTCTCGGCCGCGGCCTCCTTCAATCTTTTGGACGCGTTGATCTCGTTCATGGCATTGCGCACGCGGTAGTCGGGCGTCATGTCCGTGACCTGTGTGGAAATCACCCAATGTATCGGGTGCACCCCGTAATTCTTCACTATCCGCTGATAAGTCATTTCTCGGCAATGGCCCGGCCGTGCTGGCTCCGTCGAGCGGTGAGGAACTTGCAGCGCCACGCCGTCGAGCAGGCGTCGCGTCGATGGCGTGGAGGTCGACGCGGCGATTCAGGAATCAGGACGCGTCGTAAAATTTTGATTTCCTCACTGTCCGTGACCAGCGAATTGAGGATGAGATACCCGTACGTGTGCATCGTCGCGTCCAACCTTCTTTTAATGGACAGCGCGATGGCCTCCTTCGACTCGAACGCGTCGTCGAGCGACTGCGTCGGCAGCACGGCTCGCACGACGTCCTCAATATAAGCTCGGATCTGCAGCTTGTGGCTTTCTAGCGAGTAGAAGGCCTCCCACAATCGCTCCTGGATGGGCGAGTACTGGATGCTGACCACGACCATCACAAAAACGTTGTCGAGCGTCTTCGTCTCGATCTCCACATCTAATTGCTGTACTCTCATGTTCACGACACCCACAATCTCGTCGACGGGGTAGCAGACGCAGTTCGCGCCTGGTCCCGCTTGTCTGTAGTACTTCCCGCAGCGTTCGACGATGCCGACCTCAGCCGTCTGGATGCACTCGATGCAGCAGGGCATCTTGCTTGTCGTGGCTCGCGGCGGGGGCGTCAACGGCGTCTGTCGTGGCCCCGCGGCCTCCCGCGCGCGCTCGCGCGTCTCCCTAGAGCCTCTGGTGAGGAAGAGCTTCAGACTCGCCTCTGAGGCGCCTTTTCCGCGGGCCCGGCGACCGCGCCGGGCTCAGGACGGTCAAAAGCCGCGTCTCCCTCGGTCAGGGACTATGCGCCAGGCCTAAAGCGGCAGCGCGACGGATTTGGTCTGGGAAACCCGTGACAAGTCACCTGGGCCCGTTCGAGAGCCATAACATGGCCTTGCGATCGGATCGAGGGCAGTTCCGATGAGTACGAGGCGCTCCGCGACTCGTTGATTCTTTCTAGTATGTTACCTAGCGTGAATTATTTGGGATGACAATGCCTCTCGATAAACCAGTCCCTGCAGACGATACAAGCAAGCAGGCAGCGTCAGATTGTTGTCTCGACTCTTGTTTGCACCCTGTTCGCACGTGGCCGCTGCACTGCAACGAAACGCTGCAGTCACAAATATTTCCCATAGTGCTGTGCGCTTTTGCTGCGTTGCGAGAGCGCACGCATGCATACGCGGCCTCGTCGCAAGCGCACGACGCAGCCGCAACGCGCCGCTCACACACTGCCTGCAAAACGCGTTGCAACGACGCGCGCCGCGCGACCCGCCGCCGCGCAGGTACGACCATGGCCGCCTTCCAAGCCGACGACGGCTACGAAGAACCGCACGTCATCGCCGAGATCGGCTGCAACCACATGGGCCAGTTCGAGATCGCCAAGGAGCTCCTCACGCTCGCGAAGAACGCGGGCGCGACCGTCGGCAAGTTCCAGAAGCGCTGCCCCAAGGAGCTGCTGACGGAGGAGCAGTACAACGCGCAGCACCCGAACCCCCACAATTCCTACGGCGACACGTACGGCCAGCACCGCGAGTTCTTGGAACTGGACGTCGAGCAACATAGACTCCTCCAGAAGCACTGCGAGGAGATCGGGTTGCTGTACTCCTGTTCGGTCTGGGACACGACGTCGGCGAAAGAAATCGCTTCCTTAAACCCGCCGTTGATCAAAGTCGGCTCGCCGTCGAACCAGCACTGGGAGATGCAGAAAGTGCTCAGAGACGAGTACAGCGGCATGGTCCACATCTCGACGGGCATGACGACGAAGGACGAAGTGGAGAAGATCGTGAGCTTCTGGGAGCAAGGGAAGGGCAACGCGAAGGAACGCGTCATCCTCTACAACTGCACCAGCGGCTACCCCGTGCCCTTCCAGGACGTATGCATGCTGGAATTGAAGCTGCTGCGGGAGCGCTTCGCGGGACGGGTCCGCGGCTTCGGGTTCTCGGGCCACCACCTCGGGATCTCCGTGGACATCGCCGCGTACGCGTTGGGCGCCACGTGGAACGAGCGCCACTTCACCAAGGACCGGACCTGGAAGGGCACCGACCATGCGGCCTCGTTAGAACCGGCCGGTCTCAGCAAGCTATGCCGCGACCTCAAGGCCGCGTGGCAGTGCATGTCGTACAAGAAGACGGACATCCTGCCCTTGGAAGCGGCGCAGCGCGCCAAGCTCAAGTGGGGCTGCTACAACCAGGACCTCGCCAAGAAGACCGCCGTCTAGGTTCTCCCCATTCTCCCCCTGTTATCCCCTATCCCCCTGTGGTAACAACTGTCCCGCCGAGGTTTGTTTGGAGGCGGGCTCGGGGGGTCGCGTCGATGGCGTAGGGGGGTCGGATGCAGTCGCGGGGGTCGCGTCGATGGCGTAGAGGAGTGAGCCCGGTAGCCGGTACGTTCTCTCGGACTAGTGGGCGGACCCGGGGCCGCGGCGCGAGACGCCGCGCGACGCCGATTCAAAGGGGCCGCGTTTCATGACAACATACTTCCGTCCAAGCGCAATAGCCGCCTCGAAACCCCCTGTGCCTGTGGCCAAGAGGCCCCACAAAACGGGTTTTCCACAGCAGGGGAACATGACGGACAAACTCTACACGGCGTCGTACGGACTGACCAAGGACGGGAGGTACGGGGCGGAGTTGCTCGCGTACCGAAGGTTGGTCGAGGGCATCGCTCGCTATTCATTAAAGGCGCCGGCGGAGCCTGTTGTGTTACTAACGTCGCAACGGGCCGTCGTGACGCCGGGCGGGGCCTCGGTGCTCGACGAGGCGCTCACGTACCTCGAGTCGGGTAGAGCGGGCGGCTGGGACGCGCTCTACGCGGGCCACTGCGGCGAGTGCGGCTGGTGGACGCCGCCCTTCGAGAAGCTGTCGAGCGCGGCCTTTCAACTCGGAGGTGGCCTAGATAATGATAAGGTGGGCAAGGAGCACTTTCTGGCGAGAAGGTCGAGAGATGTGGGGTGTGGTACGTTACTCTCGAGGCAGCGGGACCAGTTGCGAGGCGCGAAGCACGTCAACGACCCGAAGGTAGTATCCCTACCGAAGGTGAGCAAGGGGTCCGATCCTGCCGAAGTAGCGAAGGCCGTGAGGAGGCGCGTCGTCCAGTCGTTGGGTGGGGACACGGCGGTCCTCGCGACGGCCGTCGACCCGCGCTGCGCTTTTGCGGTTGTGCTGCGCTACACGTCGCGCGTGGCGCGGTTGTTACATACCGCAGTGTCCGGCGACGGTCTCTACAAGGCGGTGCTCGAGCCCAAGTTCGACCTCACGCTGGCTAGGATGGCCTCCGAACGGTCGCTCCGGACCTTCGTCGTGTGGCCGCCGGTCGTCCACCTACAGCGCGACGACGACGACACGCCGACGGACGGCTACGGGGGCAACTCCTCGCGCTTCATCGAGGCGTATCTGGGCATGGACGAGCGCTGATTCCCTCCAAGTAGTATACATAACACATTAGTTCCATCGGGGCCGCGCAACACTTTCTAGTCCAGTGCGCCCGTCGAGGTCTAGGATAATCACTTCGTTCGCGCCGCGTCTCAAGTAAGGCGCCGGCACGTATAAAGTATGCTGCGGGCCGCGCGTCTCCCAGAACCGGCCTAAATTTTGCCCGTTGACCCATATAAAACCTTTGGAGAGGCCGCGCGTATCCAGGTAGGTATCGTGCGCAGCATCTACCTGCAAATGGCCCCGGTAGAAGCGCGGCGCCGCGGGGCTTCTTCCTGGTTGTATAGAATGCCACTCGATCGCCGATAAATCAGCAAGGGGCAGGCAACTCACGGAGGGCGTGCCATCAAGGGGCGGCTCCAGCAAGCCCTTGCGGTCGTCGACCAATTCCCGGCCGTAGTTCACTCTACCACAATTCTCCACGAGCAGGTCCAGGCGCGTCATCGACGACGGCAGCGCGATGCTAACGTTCTTAGCGTCGCCGCGGTAGGCGCTGCCGACGAGGACGCCGTCCGCGAGGACCTGCACTCGGTCCCTCAGAGTGGACGGCGAGAAGGCGAGGCGGTCCGGGAAGGGACCCGTCAGGGCGTAGTTAATAAAACCGTGGGCCTGGCCGAGTTGCTCCTGGGTCCGCCAGCCCGTACTGGCGCAGGTCGCATCCTGCGCCAACAGGTCCGCCTCGTCTTCGAAGACGACGGCGCCGTACGCCCGGAAGACCGGTGGCGGCGGCTCCTCCGACGTACCATGAAGAGCGTTTCGGACCGCCGCAAAGCCATCCGCACCGTCGGCCCCGACCTGGTGCGTGCCGTCCTCGGAGATCGGCGCCGAGTAGTCGTACGACGTCACGTCGGCCACATATCTACCCTCCAAGATGTTCGCGCCCGCCCAAAAACCAAACGACGTGCCGCCGTGGGCCATATACAGCGAGAAGGACGCGTTGCTATCCGACGCCATCGCTTTCACACCATCCCCGTAGTCCTTGGCCGTGCGGTTCGCCGCTTTCGAATCGCCCCAGTGCGTGTACCAGCCCGTCCAGAGCTCGGTCCACATTTTTGGCGAATTACCTTTAGCGTTGAACGCTTTCTGGAGCGCAAAGTCCGCATCGTATGAAGAAGATAAGGGCCCGTCGATCGTCGCGAGGACTCTTGCATCGTGGCGCCAGGGCGACGCCTTGTGCAAGTTCCGCGCCGGCGACACCGTCGTATAGATAACAGACGTACCCAGGTGCTGCGTCGCCTTACTGTAGAGATGTTTCATGTAGGCGGCGTCATTCTCGTTCGCAGAACAGTCGCCGTAGTCGCCGAACTCGTTCTCGAGCTGCACCATCACGATCGGTCCTCCATTACTGTACAGCCGTCGCTTGAATCGCGGCAATAGATGATCCCAGAATTTGTCGACCGCGTCCAGATAAGGCTTGTTGTGTGTCCGCAGCGTCATATTGGCCTTGGTCAGGAGCCACGCCGGGAAGCCGCCGAAGTCCCACTCGCCGCACATGTAGGGCCCGATCCTCAGGATGAGCAACAGATTTAATTTGCGTGCTTCGTCCGCGAAGGCGTAGACGTCCCTATCCTCCGAAAAGTCGAAGCGTCCCTCGACATCCTCGTGGAAGTTCCAGGGCACGTAGGTCGTGATCGCGTTCAAGCCCAAAGCTTTCGCGCGTTCCAACCTGTCGCGCCAATACGCACGTGGCACCCGCGAGTAGTGCACGCTGCCCGACTTGATGTTGATTGGGTCACCTTCCTTATGGAAGCGGTCATCTTTGATCACGAAGGATCGCCTCGCGGTGCGGAGGCTCTGGACATGCGACCAGCAGCCGTACTGTGCTACCAAGAGGAGGGTGGCCAAAGCGGTCATGGCTGCGAGTGCTTTGGGCACAGGCGCCAGCTTGCGAGCGCTCTGGTCCACGAATAGAGCTTGTATGGCTGTTATTGCGAGCACTGGTGCCGCAGGTGAAAAATCTAGTGTGTTTAGCGCTGGTACCCATCAGATTCTCGGATGCGCGGTACGCATAGCGCACTGATGAAGCACGAAGGGCACGCTGCCCAATAAAAAGCCTGGATGATGCGGGTGGCGCCTATCGTCGCGGGCGTCGCGGGTGAGGGTGGTCTCACAGCCGACGCAACATTTCTCTCCTGAACTTGAACGTGACTGAAGTAGCTCTAGGAAGTAGCTCTAGAGCTACTTCAGTAAGTCCGCCGCCGCCGCCGTGACAGCTTTCAAGAAGGAGCTTCAACGCCGCGCTGCGTTTGGGAATACATACTGAAGCAAAGCAGACAGCGGATCCACGCTGCCCATCCGTGAAACTCATGTTAAGGTTGCTCAACCCACCGCTGAACCACCTAACTGTGTGCCTAGACCACGGGGCGCCTTTGTGCTCCTTGCCGCACATCGATGTGAACGATGTGAACACCATAGCAAACGACCCGCGCGTCCTGAGCGCGGGCGTTTCGCAGGAGGAGGCGCGGACTTACGTCCGTGGCGTCAACGACCAGGTCGCGAAGGGTGTCGGTAAAACCCATTTGCTGATCCCTGGCTCTATAGGCTGCGCGATCCTTTGTGTTTTCCTGGTATTCATCACGCGGATAGAACTTTTTGGGTTGGTTGCCTTTCTATTCGTCGTCTCGTCATTCGCCTCATATTTCTTTGTATATTTCATTATGGTAAGCCAACTGTATGAAAAAGCCTTCGCGGAATGGCGGCAAAGGGGGATCGTGACTCGCGTCGAGTTCATAAAAATACCTTGTAATGGGACTCAAGGTCCATCATCAGGTCCATCATCATCAGAATGGCTCCGGTTGTGTTTCCCTCCCGCACAGCAAGCGTCGCAGATAGCACCGCAGGGTCTAAACGTTGTCACGACGGCTACGCCAAGTTCGCCGTCAATGTTTACCGTCCGAGTGGCGCCCGCCCGCGACGAACCTGTTGCGCCGGTGGCGACGATGGCCGCGTCACCTGTTGTGCCGGTGGCAACGGTGGCCGCGTCAACGTTTACCGTCCAGGTGCCGCCCGACGGCTCTGCCGGTCAAGTGATGCAGCTCCAAGCGCCGAACGGCGTGACGGTGCAGGTCCAAATTCCGTTTGGCTGTGCAGCGGGCTCGACGTTCGAGGTCGCGATGCCGGCACGAGCATGATCTCGGGCACTGCTACAAGCTTGTACGCCACTACGCCATCGACGCGACGCCTACGAAGCTAGGAGAAAAAAACTCGGTGCGATAATGTTATGTCCACTGAAGTAGGTCTAGAGCTACTTCAGTCGTGCACCGCCGGCCTGGCCGCAGCTCGACGGCAGAAGCGGACCGTTCGATTGCTGATCGCTCGAGCGTAAGCACACGAACACAAACACTTATGCGCCCTTCGACTCCTCCACGCCCCCCGAGGGCGGCGGCGGCGGAAAGGCGCCCGGCTTCTGGAGGTCCGGGTTCCAAATACTACAATCGGGGATGTCGATGCGCTCGCAGTCCGGGTGGTCCTCGTACCACCTTTCTAAGAATTTTTCGACCTCGGAGAGCGGCGGCTTCGGCGGCGGTTGCCGCCTTTTCCGCTCGGCCTCGTCGCTCTCATCCCTCAAGGGGTGGCCCGGCGGGTAGTCGAACTGGACGTCGACTTTCGGGGGCGGCGGCAGGACGAGCGGCCTCTTTGGCAGGTTCTCGCGTAATATTTTCAGCAGCCTAGGCACATCTAAGCAACCTGGTGGAGGGGGTGTTTGTTGTAAAATAAATTGCAAAACAGCAATCGCCGCGGGGTCCTCGCCGTCTCGCTCCATCTGGTCCCACTCCTCCTGCGTCGGAATGTGGTCCTTCTCCGGGTCTCCTTTTTGCACGCCCCGCAAGACGATGCACATGAGCTGGTCCCAGGGGTCGTCCGAGTCCTTCAACTCCGACACAGGCGGCACGCCCGGCGGCGGCGGCCAGGAGCCGTCCGGGAGACGCTCGGGGTCGGGGCCCGGCCAATCTGCTAATTCTTCGAACATATGATCGCCCAACTTGAGTAAACCTTCGTACCAGGCGTCGAACAGCACCTTTCGGCGCGCTCGAGCCTGGCGGCACCTTTCTGCACATTGTATGACAATGGTGGCTCGTTGTTTCATGAGGAGCGCGTAACGTGCTCTAGACCCGCGCCAGAGCGCCGCCACGCGTCTCTGGCAGGACATCATCAGGAGCTCCCACCGCAATTTGTCGCGCGCGGCTCTTAGTAAAGCCGCGTACCGCCGCGCGGCGGCGCCGCGGATGCGCCTTTGTAAGCGTACCGCAGCCAGGCCCCTCCTCCTCAACTCGAGCCGCTTGGCGCTCATGTACCGCTCATTGATGCACTCGACACACAAACCGTCCGTCGACGCCATCGGCACGCGGCCCACATTTCCACATTTAATGCACCGCCGCGGCGACATCGGGCACGCCTTCTCCTCATTATCGTCGTCGGAAACGGAGGCGGCCGACGACGACGACGACGAGTAGCCGCGCTTGGCGGCGAGTAGCCGCAGCAGCTCCGCCGCCGCGCGCGCCGCCTGAAAAGCGCGGATGGCGTCGTCGCGGCGCCGCTTCTGAAACGCGGCGCGCCACGCGGCCCACGCGGCGTCGCGCCGCATGCGCGTCGCGCGCGCGCGCGCGACGGGGAAGAGCGTCCGGCACCGCCGGAGCATCGCGCGCCACCTCCACCGCTTTACCAAAAGGCGCCACCAGCGCTGCGCCGCGGCGGCCAGGCGCTTCCCCCGCTTCGTGTCCCGGAGCCACCGCAGGAAGACGCGCGCACGGACGCCCTCGCGCGCGATCGCGAAGAAGCGCCGCGCGCCGACGCGCGCCCGCCGCAGCCGCGCGGCGACGCGGCGCCCGCGGCGGCCCCGCAGCACGCGCTGCGCCGTGAGGCACGCCTCCGCGCGCGTCCGGAAGCGCTGCGCGCGCATCCGCCGCAGTAACCGTAAAGCACGGAGCCGCCGGATGAAGCACTGCGCGAGCAACACGGCGGCGACGAGCCGTCTTAATCGATACTGGTGCCCACGAATGCATGATTGTACCGCGACCGCGGCGGCGTAGAGCCGCCAATACCGTCGCTGGGCCGCCTTGCGCCTTCCACAAGTACCGCGGCGCCGCCGCTGCGCCGCGACGGCCGCGAGCCTCTCGAGCCGCCGCCGTTGCACGCGCCGGAGCGCCTCGGCAATCAGCGGCCGCGCGACGCGGCTCGCGTGCTCGTGCGTGATGCGCCGCCGCCGCGCGCCCGTCGAGTAGGGGTCCGCGTGCGCCGGCGCTTTCGTCACGGCCGGCGCCGGCGCCCGCCCGAGCCAGGCGTCGAGCGACGGCGGCTGCGGCTGGAGGTCGACCTGGGAAGGTTCCATCGCCGCGAAGGGCTTTTGGGGCTCGTCCTTCGCCTTTAATAAATTCGCGGCGGCGGCGGCGCGCGCGAGGCGCCGCTTTCGCGCGGCGGCGGGGTCGTCTTCGGCCGCGAAGCGCTTGGCCTTTGCTGGAGGCGATTTTGGCCCTGGTGGCGGCGGCTCTGTATTCAGCGGCGGCGCGAAGCCGAGTTGCCTCGCGACTGAGGCGGTGCTCTGCATGCGCTGCATGACCTGGCCCTGGCTCTTGCCCTGCAGCGCGACGCCGTTGCAGCTCACGAGCCGCGCGTCGAGCACGGCGCCCGCGCGCTTCGCTCGCGCCTCCGACGCGGCATCGACGAAGCCGACGACGGTCAACGCCCCCTGGCGCCACTCGAAGCGGATGTTGGCCGGTTCTCCGGCCGCCAGACGTAGTGCATCGATGCCCCCGAGCTCCGGGACGTTGCGCCTTCTCGAAACCTCGGGCCGACGCGGCAGCGCGTCGAGCCGCGGCGCCCGCAGCGTGCGCTGGATTTCTGCGGTCGTCATGTCGGCCGCGCCCGTCAGGCTGTTCAGGAGCTCCTCGGCCTCGCGCAGCTGCGCGTCATACCCAGGTGTCCCCGGCAGGCCGCCGCCGCGGCGGGGCCGGCGCGGCGGCATGGTTTTGCCTGCCAATCGATTCGTCCAATCGATCTGCTGCCCGACAATCGATTCGTGCCGGCCCGATGCGATTCGTCTCCCGTTCAATCGATGCGCGCCGAGCGATCGTCGGGGGCTGCAGCCCGAGGGCAGCTACCCGCTCTCGCGCCCTGGTTGTTTGTCCAGGTACGGGTCGGCACCCGCACGGAAGCGCATGCCGCTCGGGGACACCTGGAGGTCGAAGACCCCGAAGACCCGTGCCTGGTGGGGCTGGAAGAGGGTACCTGCTATCTCGCGGGTTGCATCTCCAGCTGGAGCCTGAGTCTATTGCGGGCGCTGCTGCCGCGTTAGACCCATACGACTCGTCGTTTCGCAGCGAGACAGCATCTACAGACCCCTTAGCAACGCCTGCCGACGCAGTTCCAGCGGTGCGGCCGATAGCGGCTCAGGAGAGCAGTGGTGGTTCCCACAGTGGTTCCCACAGCAGCGCGATGCGCGGCGCCGCAGCGATGCGTGTCCTATTGCTCGTCGCCGTAACGCTAGCTTATGATTTCAACGATCCCGACGCGCCGCACACGTCCATGGCCATCCGGTTTGACGGCGAAGGGAGAAGGGCCGACTCGCGGCGCGCGTTCGAGGCCGCAGCTAGATTTACACCGACGACCTCGACCCTCGTCAACTTGGGCGTGTGCTACATGCGCATGGCGAGCGCGTCTGCTCATCGAGCGCGCAAGGTCGAGCTGTATGGACTTTCAAGAGACGCGATGCGGAGAGGTGGAGAATTGGTCCAGGACGACGAGGACCAGCGATTATATGGAGAGAACTGGGGCCACCTCATGACGAACTTTGAGATTGAGCACGTGCCTTTTGACCAAGAAGAGGTCTTAGAGGCGGACCCGCAGATGTGCGGGGCACCACCGCCGGCACATGATGATTCTTGGCTCAAGCGTAATGACGGTTCCGATAGGGACGGTTTACTGTTACATCGCGTGCCCGTGGAACCTGGTATTGATTTACCTAGAATCCACGTGAACGATCTTGATCAGTACCAACACTTTCTGGAACGAAGAGACCCGTTCATCCTACTAGGAGCAGCTGATTGGCCGATCGTAGAGAAGGCGAAGGACGGCTGGTCATGGTTAGAAGAACTCGCACGAAGGTGGCCTAAGGCAGTGACGGACTTCTACCCGCACAACATGCTCAGTCATAGCAGGCAGTCGCCGTATTTAACTCGATTATCAACAGCGGTCGAGGAGTTGAAAGTAGATCCAAGGACCCAGGAGTCGAAGTTTAGGTATGAGACCAAAGGTGGGGCTTTGGAAGGGAGGTACATGCACCTTCAGTTAACACCGGCGCAGTGGCTCGAGCTTGAGAAAAGCGACATACCTGTCGAGAGACATGTTCACCTCGAGAACGACGCCTGGCTACGATCATGCTTAGGATACCCCGACGACGCCGTAGCAGCCGAGTACCACCTGAAGACGCACTGGAAGATATTGCTCGTGGGAGCGAGAGGTGCGGGCATGTTCAACCACTCGGACAGTCTACAGACGTCGTCGTGGCACCTGACGGTATCCGGTAGGAAGTGGTGGTATGTCTGTGGTACGTTATCGAACGAGTCTTCGTCGAAATGCTTCGAGGGTGTTGTAGGGCCGGGCGAGGTGCTCTACTATGGGCGGGGCTGGTCGCACGAAACGCAGAACGTCGATTCGCCCACCATCACCTTGACGGATACCGCTGTTCATTCTCGCAATTATGCGGCTGTCGCTGATAAACTCTACGGAGAATGTACCCGAGAGGTCCTCGACTTTAAATTTTCTGGTGCTTTATGTGATGCGCTCGACACGTGTTACGGTGCGCTTTATGAGTTGTATGGCGGCGACGAGCCTTATAGTATCTATAGACCGTGGCGCGACGTGGCTTCCCAAGAATTGATCGAGAAGCGCGACCGGGTCTCGCCGCTGGACAACAACTACGACGGGCGGAACTACATCACGGAGTAGTTTGTGTGTAAGTGACCTTGTGTTCTACCTTTATTGCGACGACTGGCGTAGTCGATGTTACGGTGCTAGGACTAGTGGGCGGAGCCCCTTTGACGAAGTACCCATACTACGGGCCTACCGACGGGTGTTTTTAGCTCGATCCCCAAGGCGCTAGCGCCCCCAAAACCCAGCTCTGTGGTAGCTCCACCCTTGGTAGCTCGAGCGGGCTCGTGGCGCGTCGTCGAGGTCGACGGTTATTTACCGGCGGCCACGTCTACCTCCACGCCGTCCACGGTGCTCGACGACAATAAAATTTTGACCTTGGCCAATGGTGATAGGATGCCCATGATGGACACCACCACCCGCCGGAAGCAGCTCACCCGTCGGGTACAAGTACTTCTCTCCGGCGGGGCCGGTCCATACCTGGCGGTCATCGAGACCGGGTCCGGCTGCGATCAAACAGCAGCAGAGCCAGCACCCTCCGAAAAACATAAGTGTCCTCGCCATTTGGGTATTCGGACCGTGCCACTTCTCGGTGTAGGGGCCTGTCGCCGCGGGATTGGTGGGGCACGGAATGGCGCCGGGTGACACTTGCACCTGTGCCTGACCGCGAACCATAGCTTGAGGGGCAGCGGGAGCGACAGGGGCGCTGCCAGCCAGGACTTTCGCCTTCTCCGCGTCGAACTCTGCTTGCGTCAGCACGCCGGAGTCGAGCAGCTCCTTTAACTCCTTCAGCTTTGCGGCCTTGTCCGACATGACTGTTACGGGCTGGGAGGGCGGCTGAACGACTGTTCCCTCGACGACGGTTCCCTCGACGACATGGGCAGCATTGGACTCTCCTTCTCCCTCAAGTTCTGGAGAGAAGCCCGGCGGAACCTGGGGCTGCATCGTGTGGGTGCCGCGACCGGGCGAACGCCTCGTCGCTCCACTCTCCGCGGCGACGATCTCCCCGTGGAGTACGGCGTCCCCCTGCCTGATGTTTCAAGAGTAAGCGGGCAGCCTTTTGAGGTGCAGATTGCGAAGATTAATGCTAAAATCAAAGGCTAGTAAGGCTAGTAAGTCTGGCTAGTGTCTTACAAGGACGCTAGCCCCACCAATTTTTTCGATTCCAAGTTTTGTTTCGGCACGGGACTAACCCAGGCTGCCATAACGCCGTCGAAGAAGCGGCCAATTGCTGCGACATCGCTCGCAACAACTGCGCCCGCCCGGCTCCTTTTTGTGGACACCAGAGGGCAAAACTCCCGACACCAATAGGCTGCGCGCACGAGCCGCCGCGGCGCCCACACCACCACACAACCTGCCAACCGTGAATGCCCACAGACACGCCCGCAGCCATGCCCCCCCAGACCTCCGCCGCTAAAACATTATGGGCGGTAGGCGGCTACATGATGTGCTCCGCGACACTGTTAATTGGCAACAAGTACGCGGTGCACAAATTGCCCGCGCCCTCCTTCATCCTCTGGGCCCAGTTGTTTGGGACGGCCGTCGCCGTGAAAACGGCGCACATGGGTGGGCTCATTTCTCATCTCGATGCGCTCGAGTACGATAAATTGAGAGCCTTCTTCCCCGTGGCGCTGATCTTCTGCGCGACGATCTTCACGAACATCAAATCGCTGGAGTACGCCAACGTCGAGACGTTCATGATTTTTCGGTTCTCGACGCCGCTGTGCATCTCGATAGCAGACTATATATTTCTGGGAAGACACCTACCCTCCGCTCGTAGCTGGTTGTGCCTCGTCATGCTCTTGCTAGGAGCCATGGGCTACGCATTAACCGATGCAGCTTATGTGGTAAGGGGCTACATGTTTTGTGGTTTATGGTACTTCATATTTTGCATGGACCAGATCTACCTGAAGCACGTCACGTCCACCGTGAAGATGGAGTCGAACTGGGGTAGGGTGCTCTACTCGAATCTGCTGGCTTCTCTCCCATTATTCTTCATGGCGCTCGGAGAACAGGAGGCCATCCAGAACGCATCCACCGAAGCGTTGATGGTGGTCATGGTGACCGTGGTGTTGGGGACGGCCATGTCCTACTACGCCTGGCTGGCTCGCTCACTCGTGTCGGCTACCTTATTTACGATCCTCGGCAACGTGTGCAAAGTGGTCAGTATCGGCATCAACGTGTCGCTGTGGGACAAGCACGCGTCGCCGTTTGGGATCGCCTGCCTCATGTTCTGCCTCGTCGCGGCCTACTTCTACAAGCAGGCGCCGCTCCGCGACGCGCCTACTGACCTGCCGAAGTAGAGGTCTTCCGTCGGGTTGCGCGCGTAAGTTTCTCTCGGTTTCTAGCTTGTCTCTCGAGGTTGCTGGGGCCGCGTCGTCGACGGCGCCATGCTCCGCGTATAGTCGATGTTACGGTGCTAGGACTAGTGGGCGGAGCCCCTGGGGGGGAGACACCGCGCGTCGCCGATTCATCGGCGGCGGGCGCGGGCCGCTTCTTTCATAACAGCGTACCTCCTTCTAAGCAGAACCGCCTCCGGCAATCCGCGCGATCTAGATCTATAAGAGTCACTAGTGAGGAGTCAAAACCCCAGCCTGCGCATGCCCAGCAGCCCCGCCGCCGAGCCTGGGGCAGCTTCAGGCGACTCCCCGGACCCTAATCTCACGCCCGTATAGGAAAGTGCCGGCCTCTGAGAGCGCTCACGTCGGTGACGCGACGGGACGAGCACGGCGTCGCCCGGAGCTGTGATTGCGTGCGTGCCTCGAGCCCGGTCCAGCGACGACGTAATGTTAGCGTCGATGCAGCGCGTAGGCGGTGTGATCGTCTGAACTTCGCGTGCCCGGTCTGTGGCCGCGTGCCACAAGTCAGCGAGCGCTCACGACTCGCTAAGAGGGAGAGTCGTTGAGTGGCCCAGCGCAGAGGTGCACGATGCGTCGCCCGCCGAGGGGGGCGAAGCTGGAAAGAAAGCAGGCGCCGCCAGTCCGCGTCAGCCGCGCATTGACGCGACGCGTGCCGTGGTACGCGCTCGCCGCATTCATTTCTGTCTTGGTCTTCGGGAGTTTCCATGGGTTGAGGAATCTGGATATCTCCGGGCCGGCGCTTATCTACGGCAGACTCTACCCCTGCGGGCGCCCCCCCTGCAACGGCCACGGCACGTGCGTGCGGCGGGACGAAGAGGAGGCAAGGAAACGAGCCAACAAAAAGCGCGAAGATGCCGAACGGCAGCAGCGCGAGCACGAGGTGGCGGAACAAGTCGAGCACGTCTTTGCGTCGCCACCAAAGGACGCGTGGCGACGCAAACTGAACACAGGAGCGTCGATATTGCCCGAACCAGAGCCTGAGCCCGAGCCTGAGCCTGAACCCGAACCTGCGCCTGCACCCGAACCTGAGCCTGAGCCGGAACCTGAGCCTGAGCCCGAGGAGACCGCCGGGCCGAGCTGGGCGCCGGCGCCCGACCCGAGCCCTGTCTGCCGCTGCCAGGAAGCCTGGAGCGGCCAACATTGCGAAAAAGCGGCGGACCAGCCCGTCGTTCTCCGGGCAAAGGTCCAAATCCTCTACCAGACTGTTTTCTACGGTGTCTGAACCTTCGACGCGGTCGCGGCATCGTCGCATCGATGGCGTGGCGGTGGACGCATTGCCCACCCCTAAGCCATCGACGCGTCTCCCCAACGCAGGCGGCCATCCGCAAGCTCGAGATTCAAGGTAGTTCGTTCTGCCAGCGACCCTCATTAGCGTTCCAGCCTCCTTTGACCGATGGTGTCGACTACTCTATTACCAGGGCTACCTCGGAGAAACTCTCATTAACCCAAAAGCCGCACAAGAAGTGGCGCTACAAGGCCGGGCCCTTATATCTCATGTCGATCCAGTGCGGTTCTGATGCGCCCGTGGAACTCGCCAACGGTTGGGGCCCGGGCATCGTGGTGGCGACGGTGCTCGCGGACCCGACCATCGAGGCCTCGGAGCGCAAGATCTACGCGACGCTCACGAAACGACTCATTGTACGAGGTTCTGGTTTCTCATTGGACGGCACCGAGCTGACGTTGCGACCGACGTCGCGCAGTTCATATGAAGTAGAGTCCGTAGAGATGGCCGAGATGGTCCTCATCCTCAAGGAGGGCAAGTCCTGGGCGCCGGCCAAGACCATGGACGACGGCAAGCCTGTCAGTATTTACGTGACGAAGATCGACACCGGTGCCGGCGAGGTCGTCATGGAGGACGACGGCGCGATTGTGGCTAGGGTCTTCCCGGACCCGTCGGGCGACGAGCGAGCGGCGGCAGAGGAGCGCGAGCGCGCCGAAGAGGAACGCGTCAAGAGGAAAAAAGAGGCGCGTCGGGAGCAAGAGGAGCGAGAGGAGCGGGAACGATGGCAAGAGTGGCATGAGGGGGACGAGCGGATGGCTCGTCGTGAAGCGTGGCTCGAACCCGCAAGAAACATCCTGTACTACATCGTCGTCGTGGCCGTCGTGGCCGTCGGCGCCGTCATTGTCATTGGCGTCGTCCGCTTCGGCGCCGTCCTTATCGCCGACGTTGCCAGGTCCGTCGAGATCATCTACGATGAAGATGGAAATGTGGTCTCACTCGAGTGGCTCAGTGCGGATACGGACGCCGAGATGGTCCCCGCCGACGCGATCGCGAACCCTAACATATCCCGTCGACGGGATATGTTATACGGCACTTTCACTTAGGGAGACCTCAAACGGGGCACTCGGCCCAAACTCAAAAAACCCGCTTTCCCTTTAAAAGGGTAGACGACAACGCGCAGACACAAAACGCAAAATCGTAAGCCAAAATGGATTAATTTTAAAGCGGAAAAATAGATTTAGCCTGAATCTCTTGAAAACGCCTAATCTCCAAGAGAGCTAAAAACGGCAAACACCCTAAAAATCGACGGGATATGTTAACCCCACGCTCTTCAAGCACTTCTTCAAGCGCCTGCTCGACGCGTGACAGTAGACACGAATTGCCCCGCCGCATCCAGAGGTTTCATAAGTACACAACGAATTTAAGAAGCATCATCCATCGGCGCCGCCTCCCACAGCGCCTCGGCGACCGCGGCCCACCGCTGCGCGTCGCGCCGCGCGGCGTCGGCGCGCGCGCGCAGGGCGGCCGCGTCGACGGACGCGGGTTCCGAAACGCGCGCGCGCGGCCGCAGCAGCGCGCAGGGAACGTCATCCGGCGCCTCGTCGGCGTCCCGCTTTAAGATAGATGCGACGGGCGGCGCAGTCGCGCTCGGCAAAGGCGCCAGGCTCCGCAGCGGCGGCGCGCCGGGCGCGACCTCGACCCGCCGGACCTCGCGGCGCGCGGCGACGTCCCAGACCCGGAGCGTGCCGTCCTGCGACGCGCTCACGAATTGAGTTTCATTGGAAGCGACGACGCCCACGACTTTTTGGGAGTGGCCGTCGTAGGTCGCTATGTTGAGAGAGGGCTCCTCGCGCTTGGTCAGGGCGTGCGCCCAGGCGTCCAGATCTACCCGGAGAATCGGACCCTCGGCCGTGCCCACCAACGCGAACGAGTCGAGCGCGTCGAGAGCCAGACACGACGGCGCCCCGGCGAGCGACGCCTGGAAGACCTTGCGCCCTCCATATAATTCGCGGCCGCACAGAGTCCTATCGCTGGAGACGGACCAGCACCGCCCGCCCTGTAACACGATACCAACGACTGGTAACGTGTGGTCGCTCCAATCATCATACAAAGGCGCAAAGGCGTCGCGCGGGCCGCGGCACCGCTCCGCGTCGCACGCTATTGATAGGCACCAGGGCCTGACCAAGCCGTCGCCGCCGCCACTGACCACGTGCTCGCCCCGCTCGTCTACACAAAGAGCGGTGACGCCGCGGAAGTGGCCCTCCCACCTTCTCGCTAGTCTTCCACTCCAGAGCTCCCAGAGATATAATCGGCCCGACGCCGCGCCGCCCCCACAAAGCCAGAGCCCGTCCGGCGTCACCGTTATCGACGATAACTTCTCAGGGACACGAGAGTTAAGTTGTGGAGCGTTCTTGCCGAGGGGCCCGCCCGCGATACTTGCATCCTTCGCCATGGATGCTATTACTAAACCGCCGTTCGCCGTGATGGATGCGGGTTGTGCTGGGATGGACAGCGACGCGCGCGGCTGGTAGCCGTCGAGGTCGACGCTTATCAATGCCTCGTCCGTCGCGCAGACGACGTGCGCTCGTTTTGGTTGGAGGCGGCGCCAGGGGTCGTCGTCTTGTTGCGGCGTCTCAGCCATTGCTGCAGCCTGCAGCACTGCTTTGTTGCAGCTCCTACGCTGGAAATTGATGCAGCAATGGAAGTTGCGCGCACTCGTGCTGCGATGCACAGGTTCACAACTTGCGCAGTCTCGACGTTGGCGCGCTCGCTGGCTTGTGCTAAGCTGGGCAGGAGCTCATCCTAGTATCCATGTGCGCTAGAGTGAAGCGCCACTCCTCCTTTCGTACGGCTCATTGCACGAGTCGAGAGCGGCAGAAGGGTGTGAAAGGTCCGCAACGCCAGCGAGCGAGCAGACCTCTTTGTACTTGCTGTGTGGCGAGGGCACGCACTGCTGGCACGCCGTAACGTAAAGCGAAGCATCGGTGCCGAGCAACACTCATTTTACGGCAGCAAGCGCGCTGCACACCAGCGATAAGCTCTCAGTCGCTTTGCACGTAGAGCTCTCAGAGAGGTTGCTGCAGAGAGCGGATTGCAAAGCGCCATGGTCCTGAGGAGAGCGTTCCTCTGCGTCGCGGGCGTGCACGCCCTGCTCGCGCCGCGCGCGCCCAAAACAAGTATAACGACAAAAGCCACGATAGCCCCGGCCGAGCGCACGGCCGTCGGCGGCGCCGCGCTCAAGCAAGCTTTTGATTCCGCCAAAGATGATGGGAGAGCCTCGTTAGTCGGCTATCTGACGGGAGGCTACCCGGCGAAGGAAGAGACCGTAGATTTGCTCCTAGCTCTAGAAAAAGGTGGTGCCGATGTTATTGAATTGGGAGTCCCATTTACGGACCCCATGGCCGACGGCGCCACGATCCAGGTCTGCAACGAAGTCGCCCTGCAGCAGGGTGTGGGTCTCACCCAATGCCTGGACTACGTGAAGAAGGCTCGGGAAAGCGGTCTCGAGACCCCTGTAATACTTATGGGGTACTATAACCCCTTCCGAGCTTATGGGTTGGAGAAGCTCGCGAGCGATGCGGCGGCTTGTGGCGTGGACGGATTTATCATTGTGGATTTACCCCCGGAGGAGGCAGCTCTCGAGGGAGTGTTGGAGGCCTGTCAAAAAGCACCTGGCGGCTCTCTGGGCTACGTACCCTTGATCGCACCGACGACGACCGACGAACGGATGTCCTACCTCGCGGATGCGGCCCGTTCGACGGGTGGCGGCATGCTGTATTGCGTCAGTGTTACTGGTGTGACCGGGACGCAGTCCGCGACCGTAGCCGATTTAACTCCTTTCATGGAGCGCGTCCGGGCGGCGGCGGGCGACGTGCCCGCGGCCGTCGGGTTCGGGATTTCGACGCCGGACAACGTCCAGTCGTTTGCGCCGCTCGCTGATGGTGTTGTTGTAGGAAGTGCGATCATCCGCCAGATGGACGCCACGGCGGACCTGAAACCGAAGGACCGCGCCGACAAACTAGCTGACTTTGTTTCGACATTATCCGCGGCCACGCGTGCGACGAGACCCGGTCAACCGTCGGGCAAAGCCGCCGAAGCTTCAGGCTTCAAGCAGACCTCATTACCGGACCATTTCGGCGCCTTTGGAGGTAGATATATCCCCGAAACGCTGGCGGCGGCCCACGCCGAGCTGGAAGTGGAGTACGAGAAGGCGATGGCCGACCCCGCGTTCGTCGAGGAGCTCGCGTTTTATAGAAAACAATTTATTGGAGGTCCCACGCCCCTCTACAAGGCTGAACGACTCTCAGAAGCGGTAGGAGGTGCTACGATCTGGCTTAAAAGAGAGGAATTAGCCCATACGGGCGCGCACAAGATCAACAACGCCGTGGGTCAGGCTCTACTCGCCAAAAGGTTAGGTAAGACCAGGATCATCGCCGAGACCGGCGCGGGCCAGCACGGCGTCGCGACGGCGACCGTCTGTGCTTTACTCGGCCTCGAATGTGTGATCTACATGGGCGCCGTCGACTGCGCGCGGCAGTCGCTCAACGTGTTCCGGATGAATGTATTAGGAGGGAAGTGCGTGCCTGTTCGGGCAGGTGAAGCTACCCTGAAGGACGCCATCAACGAGGCGATGCGGGACTGGGTGACGAATGTGAGGGACACGCATTACCTCATCGGTTCGGCCATTGGCCCCCACCCCTTTCCTACGATCGTGCGGGACTTCCAGGCCATCATCGGCAAGGAGGCTCGCGAACAGTACATGGACATGAACGACGGGGCCTTGCCCGATGCTGTGGTAGCATGTGTGGGTGGCGGGTCGAATGCGATAGGTATGTTCCACCCGTTTACGCAAGATGACGGTGTCGCCATTTATGGAGCGGAGGCCGACGGCGATAGCACGCAGGGCTCGGCTACTTTAGCAAGGGGCTCGCCGGGCGTCTTGCACGGCACTCGAACGTATCTGTTACAGGACGAAGAAACGGGCCAGGTCCAGGCCACTCATAGTATCTCTGCGGGCTTGGACTACCCCGGCGTCGGCCCGGAGCACGCCTTCCTCAAGGACTCGGGGCGGGCGTCCTACGAGCCCATCAACAACGACGAAGCTTTAGCGGCCTTCCAGAAATGTGCTTCTACGGAAGGCATCATCCCGGCCCTGGAGCCCAGTCATGCGGTCGCTCTCGCCATGAAGGTCGCCAAGCGCCTGGGCAAGGGCAAGAACGTCGTCGTGAACCTCTGCGGCCGCGGCGACAAGGACATGATCACCGTCGCGAAAGCCCTCAACGTCGACCTGAACGACTACACGCCCACCGACGGCAAGTGGGAGTCGTTCACGGACCGCATCACCTACGACGGCAAGGACGCCTAGGGGGTGCCTTTCTCGTTTACTAAGTGTCGCTTATACTCGGTGAAGCTGTTGGTGTATGTGTCGCGCGTCGGTAGCCGCGCCGCCGCCACTTTGGCTTGCCGCGGTACGGTCCTATTCGAAAGATCACGTCCAACACACCGCCCACCAGAAAAGCCAGGCCGGCGCCGTAGAGCAGGCAGACGTAGCGGCGGCGCTTCGCGAAACTGCGACGACGCTTCGACGGCGGGTCGAGTCGTAGCCGCGACGCGTTGGCGCACGAGCCGTAGTTCTTCGTTAGGAGCGGCGCGGCGTCGTAGGCGTCGTCTGTGGCGTAGTCTTGGTCGTCCTCGCCGATCATATTGCGCGTGCGCTCACGGCAGAGTCATGGGAATTTTATATTGTACCATTTGTGGGGCCTGTAGCAGCTCAAATGGTCTCTCCTCGTGTCAGAGCAGTCGGCGATGGCCTGGAACTTACTATATATGACCAGTGTCTCGATAATGAACCGGTAGGCGTCAATTGCGGACGCGGTAGGCTAGCGGCCTGTAAGACACTAGCAAGCTAAAAAAACACTCAAGCCGCTACGCAAACGCGAAAACGCCCCCGCCCAACGCAAAATGATCCTCACAACATGCGCCGCCTGCGCCGCCCCACTGGCCCACAACGCGCCGCGATGCGTTAGATGCCACACGAGATACTGCAATCAAACTTGCCAGCATGACCACTGGCGCCGCGGCCACAAGCAGATGTGTAAGAAAATACACCGCGGCGGCAACGCAGAACAATATCACGCCGACAAAAAATACAAGGAGGCCGTCGCGGAGGCGGTCGAGAAATGCGCGGACGACACGAAGGGCCAGACGTGCTTCATCTGCACGCAGGCCCTCCACTGGAAAACGAAGGAGGGCCTCGTGCGCGGGTGCTCGTGCCGCGGGACGGCGGGCTTCGCGCACGTGTCGTGCTTGGCGGAGCAGGCGAAGATTTTGGTCGCGGAGGCCGAGGAGAACAATTGGGACAACGATAGGTTTATGCCGAGGTGGAATCGGTGGCACACCTGCAGTCTTTGCAAGCAACAATACCACGGCGTCGTGCGGCGCGCGCTCGGGTGGGCAAGCTGGAAGACGTACCTGGGGCGACCGGAGACGAGCTGGCCTCGAATGTGTTCGTTGTCACTGCTTGGGAACGGTTTGGCCGGAGCAGACCTCTACGAGGAAGCGTTGTCCGTGCAAGAGGCCGAGTTGTCTGTGCTGCGGCGCCTTGGCGAAGCAGAATACAACATTCTTGTCGCGCAGGGCAATCTTGCGAACACGTATCAAGAGCTCGGACGGCTTGAAGAGGCCCTACCCCTACGGCGAGACGTATACTCTGGATGGGTGAAGATCGAAGGCGAAGAACATAGAGAGACTCTCCGAGAAGCCAACAACTACGCGTCTTTGCTAAAACGACTGAAGCACTTTGGAGAGGCCAAATCATTGCTGCGCAAAACGACGCGCGTGGCGCTACGATCCCTCGGCGAGGACCATGACACCACGTTCAAGTCGAGGTGGATTTACGCGCGGGTGCTCTGCGAGGACCCCGCCGCCACGCTCGACGATCTCCGCGAGTCCGTGACGACGCTCGAGGAGATAGAACCGATCGCGCGGCGTGTGCTCGGTGGCGCGCACCCGACCGCATTGTCGATTGAGGCGACTTTGCGAATTGTGCGAGGAATGCTCCAATGCCTGCGAGACGCTGTCGAGCGCTCAGGATAAGTAGATACAAAAATCACATTAAACCCCCTCCCCAGGCTTCGGCAGCTGGACCCGCATGTTCCCGAGGGCGATCTGCGCGTTGTAGTAGTCCTGCTTCGCCCGGCGTCTAGCTTCCTCTTCTTCATCAGATATATCTTCGATCTCCGCGGCCAGGTCCTCAACCACCACAGGCTCATGTCTATCGTCGCTACTAGTAGTATAGGCCGGCCGTTCCTTGGTATACGACGTCGTCCAGTCGTAGTTTTTTTGAGAAGACGTCTTCGTGACGGGCTTTCGCGTCGAAGGACCGCGTGCTTTCCGCCGCAATGCATCTTCCTTGATATCCCTTAAAGCCTTCTCGACGCCCTTGGACGTCGCTGTGTCGTAGATCGACGGTCTATCAGGATCGAACGTGTGTTTTAGAGCTTTGCCATCCTTCGCATCCTGTTGCCGCTCTAATTTCCGCAACCTGTTAAGCTCCTTGTCGACGTCACCAGAAACAGCGCCGCACTCGACCGCTTTCATAAAGTCGTGACGCGCGTCCTCCCACTTCTGCAGATCCACACGCACCTGGCCCCGCCTAAAAAAGGCCTTCGCGAGGCTCGGGTCGTTCTCGATCACTTCATTACAGTTCTGTTCACATTCCTTGAAGGCGCCGCGCCGCCGCATCAGCAACGCTTCGTTCAACAGCAACGGGTTCGACAGCGCCCGCAACCGATTGTTCTCCCTCAGGTGGTGGTCGTGCGGGTCCATGACGGAGTCCTCGGGCTTCCAGAAGCCGAAGAGCCTCACGCCCTCGTGCCAGACGCTTTCGGCTCGTCGGAAGCGTCGCGCTTTGTAGAGTGCCGTACCTCGCTCTTTAAGAACTTGGGACCGTTCTTCTTTCTGCTGGAGACTCATGGTCATCGGGTCTCTACGTTTTTTGCCGGTGTCGTCGATGGCCGTGACGGAGACCTCCAGTATTACTGACGGGAGGTCTATGTCCTCTGATTGATCACTGTTCCAATACTCAACGGGTACGATGGCATGCTGCTCTTCTTCGCTACAGAGATCGGGCAGCAGGCATTCGCCGGCAATCGTACACTTCGCCGAGGAGCCCTGTTTGATATCTGTTAAGCAAGCCACGAAGCCTTCGGACAGTAACCCGTCCCCTAGTTTAGCTTCGAAATCATTTCCATCGAGGCCGAACCATGATCGATCTGGTAGCGACCCTCGTAACACTTTCAACGTACCGCGCACAACACATCCGGAGGAAGGCGGCCGCACGACCTGAGATTTCGTTGCTCGCAGGCGCTGCGTCCTCGTAAAACCCGCCGTTGATTCGATCAAATTCTTCTCGGCGAGGATCTCGTGGACTTCCACATCCACGACGAACCCGTCCACCGTTTCATAGATGATACGTTCGCCGTCCTTGCATCTGAGGAGAGCGGCGTCGACGGCTTTTATGTAATCTGGTTTTTGGAAGACCGAGGGCCTCGGTATCATCAACCACTCGTCGAGGCCGTCGTCATCGTTATGGAACGGCGGTTTTGGGGGAGGGGGCGCGTCTACGGTGATGACTTCCTGCTCGACCTTGCAGAGCGGTGGTGCTGTGTTGCGTGCTGCATCAATGGCGGGCGCGTCTCGCAGCGGGCCCGTCGCGCGCGGCCAGCACGTGAACGACGCGAGGACGCGCTGGCCCCTGCGCGGCGTCTCCCAGCCGCACGCGCTTGGGTCCGTGAGCGATTTCGTGACGTGTTGTCGCTCGTCCATCGTGCCGCGACGGCGAGTTTGTTTTGGAGAGGCGACTGGTGTGCTCTCCCCAGTGAGCTAAAATTTACGCAAAATTTGCACCGCTTGTCGTCCGCAGAGGTTGTGTGAAGCTCTGGTAGTCTCCTCCTAACCGATGCAGCTCTATGCGGTGCGTAGCACCTGCTTTTGTCGCGACAGCCTTGGAACTCTAGTGTGTTCATGCCGCTAGCTGGCATTTTTCCCAGCTTGTGCTATCCGTTGCGCTGAGGCGGCTAAGAACGCAGGAGCAAGCGCAAAAGCAACGGTAGTTGCCACAGAGCACGAGCGCTCGATCCCTTCGAACGCCTACTGGTCACAAAAAAAGGCTGCCAGAGTGCGCCCATCCGTTACGCGGTACGCCGCCGCCGTGCGGTAATAAAAAATGTCCACCTACACTCCCGCCGGCATCTCGGCCTGTGACATCGACGTCGCGCGGCGCAACCTGCGCAAGACGCCGCCGAACTCGCCGCCGCGGCCGGCCGCTAAGCGCTCGCCGCAGAAACAGAAACGAGTAACACCGCGCGACCTCGAGCTCGTGCCCGTGGTGCTCTGCGTCGCCCGCGTCGCCTACCTCGCGACGCCTACACAAGCGCTCGAACTCGTGCTGCTGCTCGTCGCGTGCCGCGACGGGAGCGCCTCCACGACTCTCGCGCTGCCGTGCGCGGCCACGGCCCTCGCGTCGGCCCTATCCACGTCGCACATGGACGCCTTGCGTGCGGCCACGATCGCGACGGCCGCCTACGCGACGGCGCCTGAACAATCGTGGAAGGCGCTGGCCGCCGTCCTCGCCGCGGTGCTCGCGCTCCTGGAAGCCCCGCGATCGTTCATCTGGTGCGCCCTGGCCATGGTCCTCCAGGACGCAGCCCAAATGCGCCTGACGCGGCGCGTGGCCATGCCGCCGAGCAGGGCCGTGCCGACGTCGCCGCTCCGCGGCCGCGCGCCGCTCCCGGAGCCCTCCACCACTGATAGGAGGGGCGAGCTGCAGCTCGTCGCCCAGCTCGGGGCCCTCGCTTGTGTACATGTGGCCATGGATCTGTGGCGAGGGACCTGCGGCCTCTCACCAATGCTCGCGGCGCGCGTCGCACCTTTGATAGCTGGGGCCGCGTTACTCGGGACGCCCGTCGACGACGACGCCGACGCGTTCCTCGCGGGCGTCTTCCACGTTGATGTGAACCACGCTCTCATGAAGCGCCTGGGGGGCTACTACGGCGCCGTCTCGCTGATTTTGCTGGTGGCGACGCGCCGCGAACCCATTATCAGTATGCTGGCCTTCGTTCTTACATGGAGACGCCTCGCGCACGTCTTGTATTGGGCCTTAGCCATTGTAGGAGGCGTCTACGCGTCCACTTCTATCGTTCTGCCGAGGATCGAGCGGCGCAAGCTCTTCCACGCGCTCGTGATTCTGCTGTTTGCGCCGTCCCACGACGACGCGTTATTGGGCGTGGCCTTCGGCGGCGCCGCCTTCCTGATGCTCGCCGTCGAGGAGGCGCGGGCGCGGCGCTTGCTGTCGCTGGATGACTTCTACGGGCGCTTCCTCGATCAGCGCGACTCGAGCATCGCGCTGACGCATCTTTATTTATTGTTGGGCTGCGCCCTGCCCCACGGGCTCAACCTCGTCCTCAAACATGATGGAGCGGACTGCCTCGTGCTCAAGTTGGGGGGAGTCGCCGTGCTCGGTGCCGGCGACGCGCTCGCCTGTGTGGTAGGAAGACGTTTCGGAACTAAACGGTGGCCCGGCTCCCAGAAGACTTATGTTGGATCGGCCGCCTTCGTGGGAGGCACTTTCGCCTTCTTCCTCTTCTACAGGCCCATCTACCTGTCGCGCGGCCAACTCGTGTTGGATTCGGTGATAATCGCAATACTCGAGGCCACGGTCGCAAGCGTGGACAATTTGGTGTTGCCCCTCTACTTCTCCGCGCTGGCGCTCTGCGCCGTCGCGGTCGACCGCTCTCAGCAATTCCCGCTCGTGGAGCTGCTCCACGACCTTTAATTTTGATGTTGTTTTCTTATCCTCCCGATTACCATACGGTGCTAGGACGAGTGTGGGGGAGGGAGACACCGGGCCGCGTTTTCGGGGGGCAGGTACCAGGTCCGCTAGCCCGCCGACGACCCGTCCATGGCCAGGAATTTCTCGAAGCGCGTCCCGCGCAATGTTGATACAACATCCTTCCAGTCCGCGACGTAGGACGACATGGGGTGCGGGTGGACGACGTGCCAGGACGCCTCCTCGCCCGTGTACGTGAAGCCCGCCGCGTCGCAGCCCGTGCCGGCCGAAACAAATTTCGCGACGCGTTCCAGGCCCGCGCCCTTGTCCTCGACGAGATCCTCGTACGTGACTTTCAAAGTTCGGATGCCGCGCGCCAGGGCGTCGTCCCGCATGCGGTCCATCTTCGCGAACTCGTTCTCCAGGTACCTGTGGGAAATCAAATCTCGGGCGCCCCACGCCATCGACGCGACGTGCTTCCGTAGCCGCGTCTGCGCGATGGCGTGGCGATTCCACGCCATCGACGCGATGGTGTCCGATTTCCACACAGCCAGGTACGTCAGTTGGTCGATGAGCGCCTTCCCCGTCGGTATCAGTATGCAGCGGCGCTCTACACGAACCCCGACGTCACGCTCGACGATCTCCGCGAAGCCGTGACGACGCTCGAAGAGATTGAACCGATTGCGCGGCGCGTGCTGGGGGGTGCCCACCCGAAAACAGGGTCGATTGAGCAATTCATGGTAGATGCGCGAGCCAAGCTCCGCGCCCGCGAAACGCCGTCGAGCAGTGCGTAAGATTGAACAACAAGCCTTACCTGGGGAGGGGAGACAGGACTCAGCGGCGCTTCTTCCGCGCCGCCGGCTTCTTGGGCGCTTCGTCGGCGTCGGAGTCGTCGCCGCGCTTCCGCGGCGGCGCCCGCGGCTTCTTGGGCGCCGGCGCCGCCGCCGCGGGCTTCTTGTCCAGCACGTGTTGTAATTGGGACCGCGGCAAATAAGCGGCGCCCTTCGCCTTGACCCTAGCGCTTCCAGCATCAAAATGCGCCCGCGTCAGACGGTAGCCCCAGTGCTGTAAAGTTTGCCGGACGACTGGAGACACAGAAGCGTCGTCATACGACTTGCCATCTCTCAAACACTTCCCGATCAAGTTCGACTTCCACCTACCTTTAGGACCGCAGCACTTCATCCACCGGCTGAGTTGGCGCTCGTCATCATCAGAGCGTCTTCCCTGAAAAAAACGGCAGTACCACTGGAACCACCCGTACGGGTCCTGGGCGGCCATCCAGCCACTTGCTTCCCAGGCCTTGAGGCCGAAACTATCGGATTTATCGGTCTTCACGCCGCAGTTCACGCCATAACGATTGATCGACGTTCGATACGTCTGCGACGCTACTTGCGTCTTGATATCCAAACCTTCCAACCAATCTGCAGGTAACTCCTTCCAGGCGTCTTTATAGGTTGTCTTCGTTACGGAGGACGTAATGTCGCGAAAATAGCCACCTCCGAAACTACCGGCCTGCAGCACTTCAGCTGGAGACAGGTTGGGCTTAAAATCGGGGGCATCATTAAAGATGAACTCGCCCGTTTTTGAGCGCGTCGGCGGGTCCTCGACGAGGCCGTCGCCGAGCGGGTCCGTGCCGACGAACCAAGCCGGCGTCTTCGGCGTCGCTGCTTTGCGCGCGGCGAGCTTCAGGGCGCGCGACGCCATCGCTCGTGCGAGGAGTAGAATCGCGGCACGCGTCGTGTTGCCTGGCGCGACGCTGCGGCTGGCGTGGTGCGGAGTGGTGGAGTCTGAGAGGCTATTTGAAGCCTCGTTGCTGCAGTTTCGCGCTTGTTTCGATCTATGCTCTACTATGAGAGAGCTTTGAAGCGGCTGAGCCCACGAATGCGGGCGTTCGAGCAGCGGCCAATGCGCCCAGCTGGCAGCACTCAGTCCTTGAACGCCCAGAACAAATGAAGCATAGACCGCGTCCAGGAACCTTAGAAGTAGACTACGGCATGATATCAGGCGTAAACCGGCTGCGGGACTTCACGATCTTTCGTGCGGGTACAGACTGAGTCTCAACTTGCTCAGGAGCAGTGCTGCGGCACAGACGGTAATAGACACGCAGCGCGACCAGCAAAGACAACTTACATACGTTTCCCACCAGTAGAAAACCAGCGAGCATCGATGCGAGCCGCCGCCGCACTCGCGCGCCACGCGGCAAGGGTGCAGCGCCGGACGCCAGTCGCCGCGCGGCGCTGGCGCCCGCGGCCCACACAACTGCGCCGCAACGCATGGAGATGCCTCAGCTCCAAGAACGACGGCGACGACGACGACGGCGGCCCCGTCGCCGTGACCATCGACGACGACGACAGCGACGCGCCCGCGAGCGTCGGCGTCGGCGACGGCGCGCCGACGCCGGATCGAGTATTAGCGTTGGCGTTGGCGCGGCGACCGTTGTTCCCGGGCATGGTCCACTCCTTGTCTCTGGGTCCTACTGCGGCCGCAGCCTTGCAAGCTGAACGCGACGCGGGTAGACCTTACGTCGCCCTATTCCTACGAAAAGAACCCGCGGAGGAACACGAGGCCGCCGAATTATTTACGCCTTCTGATTTGGACGAATGTTTGGATACAGTCCACGGCACGGGCGCCTTCGCCCAGGTGCACAACGTCGCCGAGGGCTCCGACGGCCAATCTCAAGCTTTGTTGTTAGTCCATCGAAGAGTCGACGCCTCGACCGTAGTAGATGCCGGCCCACCACCTAGGTTAGGAGTAGAACACTGGCCGAGAGAAGCGTGGATCGACGAGGACGATGGCACGATCCCACCTACCAAAACGGGAAGGAGAAAGAAGGACGCGTCGAGGGGCGACCTCGTGCGAGCTCTGTCGAATGAGATCGTGGCGGCCATCCGGGAATTAGTGCAGCTCAATCCATTATACCGGGAACACATGCAGTACTTTACGCAGAGGGTCGACATCGCGGACCCGTTCAAGCTGGTGCGCTCGCGGCGTCCCGTCGCGTAGAGTCACGCCATCAACTCGTGGCCATCGCACGATGCCGGGTGTGGTTTCTTGTTCGAATTTGAGCTGTTTCGGACCGCGTCGGGGCCGTCGCGGCGTGTCAGAGAGACAGCGGTCGCGTCGATGGCGTCTTCACGAGACAGCGCCGCCGCGACGCCGTCGTCGTGATCCCACGAGAGTCTACGTGGTCATCAGGACGCCGTCGACGCGATGCCACATTGGACCGCTTCCAGTGAATACGATGCCCCGCGCAGGCCGACTTCGCGGCGTCCTTGGCTACTGCCAAAGGTCCGGATCTCCAGATTGCTCTGGAGGAGCGCGACGTCGTCAAGCGATTGAGGTTGGCTCTGGATCTCGTTTCCCAAGAACGCGAACTAAGTAAACTCCAACAGGAGATCTCGCAACAGGTCGAGACAAAATTATCGTCCCAGCAGCGCACGTTTTTACTGAATGAACAGTTAAAAACCATCAAGAAGGAGCTGGGCGTCGAGACGGACGACAAGGATGCGCTGGTCAAGAAATTCAGGAACCGCATCGCGTCGATCGAAGGTGTCGAGGATGTCGAGGAGGAGTCGGCGGAGGAGAAGTGGAAAGATGGTGTGATACCAGCAGTAGCAAGGGCGGCCATCGAGGAGGAACTTTCGAAATTGGAGGCGCTCGAGAAGAATTCCGCTGAGTTTAATGTGACGCGCAATTACTTGGACTGGCTCACGGGCCTGCCCTGGGGAAGCGTGTCGGGTGAGGTTTTTGACGTGGCGGCCGCGAAGGAGGCTTTAGACGACGTGCACTACGGCATGGACGACGTGCGATTGCAGTGTCATCACGCCGTCGCCGCGTCGATGGCGTATGAGCTCTCGTGGATGCGAGTCGCGAGTCGCGTCGATGGCGTAGAGAGACGCGTGGGTACCCACACAGGTCAAGGAGCGCATCCTGGAGCTCGTAGCCGTAGGGAGTTTAGTAGGCGGCGTGCGAGGCAAGATCTTGTGTTTAGTAGGGCCCCCAGGAACGGGCAAGACCAGCATTGGGAGTAGCATCGCCCAGGCGCTCGGGAGGGAGTTCTACCGCTTTAGCGTCGGTGGTCTCGGGGACGTGGCGGAGATCAAGGGCCACCGCCGAACTTATGTCGGAGCCATGCCGGGGAAACCGATTCAATGCCTGAAAGCGACAAAAAAATTCAATCCCGTGGTGTTAATTGATGAAGTGGATAAATTGGGGCGCGGCGGCAATTCGGGCGACCCCGCGTCGGCGTTACTTGAGCTGCTGGACCCCTCGCAAAATGCGAACTTCCTGGACCACTATTTAGATGTACCGGTAGACTTATCGAGGTGTCTATTTGTCTGTACGGCAAACGACGCGTCACTCATCCCCGGGCCGTTGCTGGATCGCATGGAGGTCGTTAGGTTGGCGGGCTACGACCTGGAGGACAAGGTCGCCATCGCGCGTCAACATCTGGTGCCCAAGGCGCTCGAGGAGGCCGGTCTCCAGTCTACCGATGGTGTTTCTTTTGATGATGATGCTCTCGTAGCGTTGATCCGGGGCCACGCGCGGGAGGCCGGTGTTCGAACGCTCCAGAAGCTCGTGGAGAAGATTGGGAGAAAAGTTGCTTTACGGGTCGTGCGCGACAATGACCCATCAGCTGCTGCTACGAGACCGGAGTCGGAGAAGGGTTCTGGATATGCCGTGACGGTGGACACCTTGGAGGACTTCGTGGGCAAGCCCCGGTTTTCCAAGGACCGGTTGTACGACGATGCTGCCCCGGTCGGGGTCGTCATGGGCCTCGCCTGGACGTCCATGGGCGGCGCGGCGTTGTATGTGGAAGCTACGAAGTTGAGTGGAGGCGACAAGGGCGCGCCGAAGCTGTCGACGACGGGGCAGTTAGGGTCAGTCATGGAGGAAAGCACGCGCGTCGCGCTGAATCATGTGAGATCACGTTTAGATGGAGAGTTGGACGGGGATGAGTTGCATATTCATGTGCCCGACGGCGCAACCCCTAAAGACGGTCCTTCGGCTGGAGTTACTGTGGCGACGGCGCTGCTGTCGCTGGCGACCGACAAACCCGTGCGCCAAGATTTAGCGATGACCGGTGAATTATCCTTGACGGGTAAGGTGCTACCGGTCGGCGGCATCAAGGAGAAGGTCATCGCGGCGAGACGCGCGGGCGTGGCGCACGTGTGCCTGCCCGACGAGAACCGGCGCGACTTCGACGAGCTGCCCGAGCACCTGAAAAAAGACCTGGAGGCGCACTTCGCGGCGACCTTCGAGGACGTCGTGGGGCTGGCGTTCGCGGACTAAGAATGTTTTAATTTACCTGCGGCCGGGTGGCTAGGCGGCCTAGCTCAAGCAAGGCAATTTATAAATCTCGACCGCGGACCGCGCGCTGCGCGACTGTCGGCGGTGCATTCCCTGGGTCTCCGTACTCCTTCCTTGGAGCATTCATATTCCTCACCTCAGCCTTCAGCTGGCCGGCGAGTATATGCCTCGGGCGACGGTTTTGCCATGCAACGATCGTTTTTGAGCAAGCGATGATGTCAAGTCGCCTGCGGTGCAGCGTCCGCATCGCAAAGGCATTCGCTGGGTGTATCACTTGCAGCGCGTCATCTTCACCACGTCCCGTATTGCTGCGGCCGTGACGCCACGTGTGAAACCACCGCTATCTGAGCAAAAAGCAAAAATATCATGCCGCCTAGAAAGCGGCTTTTGCTGAGCGCCTACTGCGAGTCAGTGGCAAAGAAGGTCGCCAAAGGAGAGCAAGTGCCCGCGCCCGAGCTCGCCAACGCCCTGAAGGAGGCGCAGGAGCATCTAGCCTCAACGCTCCACTTGCGAGACACAAACGAGTGGCGCATGTGCCTGGCCCTCCTCGCGGCGGCGACGGAGACCGCCACGCCGCCACCGCCGCCGCCGCTGTGCCGCCTGGTCACGGACTCGGGCGACGAGACGGCGAGCGACGGCGACGCGGCGCCGCACGCGCCGCCGCCGCCCCCGCGACCGCGCCTCGAGGTCCTCCACGCCGCCTCCTCAAACGCCGTCGCCGATCAGGCCGGCGCGATCCTCAAGGGCGCCTTCGGCGAGCACTACGGTGATGAATTAGACGGCGTCCTGAACGGCGACGCCTGCGCGAACCAGGAGAACGACCGCACGTTCGTCGTGGCGTGGCGCGCGGGCGGCGTCGTACATGCGGCGGGCGTCGTCGCGGAGCGGCGCGTGTTTCAAGGCAAGGCGGCGCCGCGGAAAGTGGTATGGGAGGTGCTATGGTTGTGTGCGCCGTCTACTCAGCGTGGTAGAGGCCACGGGTCGCGCGCCTGGGCGGCGCTCGCGAGTTTAGCTGCGGCGCGGCGCGTGGAGGGCGTGCTCGTGCCGTCGACGGACGCGGCGCTGCTGTTCTGGCTGGGCTGCGCCTCCGACAAGTGTCCGCTCAGCGCTACCGTGTTGCGGGAGGATTCAACCGATGGCTGGCTTGCGCGGTCGACGCAGTTCCAGAAGCGGGGCACGGTCGACCGCGTCCGAAGGGCGTTCGATGGTCTCGAGGCCCGGGCCCGGCCGGGCAAGGGCCTGGCGGGGCTCTACGAGGCGACCGCGGTGCAAGCGCCGTCGTCAACTGGCGGGCGCCTGCGGCGGCGGCGGTCGAAGCCCTCGCTCGTGGCCGCGGCCGCGGCCTTCGAGGGCCGGCCGTTCCGGTGGGACCCGTCGGAAGCGACGCACGTGTGGTTCTTTCCGGGCGTCGCGGCGCCGCCCGTGCGGGTCGTGACCTCGGTAGTTGTCAGGGACGCGCGGCCTCGCGCGGCCTCCTTCATCCGCGAGGACGACGACAGTCGGCGGCCCCGCGCCTCGTCGGCGTGCGGCGTGCGGGGCTTCGAAGCGGAGGGCGGCTAGGGGATTGTAAATAGTGCTACTGTGATCATCATGAGAGTGAATACTGTTAATTTAATCGCCACGGGCCGCTACCAGTCGTCGATCTCCTCGACGGGCGGAGCAGGAGCCGGCGCGGCGGCCACCTCGGGCGGCACGCGCAGCGGCGGCCCGTCGTCCGAGTCGTCGTCGACCTCCGGAAAGAGCCGCCGCGGCACGGGGTCCGCCTTTGGTTTCCCTGAGAAGGTTCCATGCATGCCGGTTGCTTTCGCGACCGCTTTGCGAATGGACCGCGCGCCGCTCTTTTTTTGCGACGAAGGCCCCGCGCCTTTCGCTACGGTGCCGGGCCCGGCCTCGGGCGTGATCGCGGCGGGCAGCGGCTCGTCGCCGCCCGCGGTGTCGTCGAGGTCGCCGACGGGCTGCGCTTCGCGCGGCGCCGCGATGCCCAAAGCTCGCCTCTGGCCCTCCGTAGACGACAAAATTTTTGCGGCTTTGACACCATCATGCATCGTGTCGCGCAGGCCCCGGCCCAACGACGACGACGCGTCTTTACCAGCCTGTTTCACAGCATCACCCGCGGCACCCAGGCCCCCCTTGACCTCTTTGAATGCTCCTTTCGCGGCACCTTTAGCATCACCTCTCGCCAAGCCGCGCCCCGCGGCCCCGACGCCACCCAAAACCCCACCGACCACACCGCCCGCGACGCCCAGGGTTCCCGTGACCACATGGCCGGTCGCGTCGACGATCCCACCGACAGACTTGCCCACAATTGGCACGTACCGCAACGCCGCGCCGACGCCGTGGACGACCGCCCCGGTCCCATCCGCGACACCACTGATAGCCGTCCGCGTCCCCTCGTCAACTCCATCGATGACGTCGCCCGTGCCGTCGCCCAAACCTTTGGCGACGTCCGAGGCCTTCCCCCGCGTCACGCCGTTGACGACGCCCGAGGTTATTGTTTTAGCACCATGCGTGACACCATCTACAACTGATTTTGTGGCTTCCAAGGCGCCTACCGACGTATTCAAAGCGGCACCCGTGCTCCCTTGCACGACGTCCTTGAAGGGACCGCCTAACTTCGACGCTTGCCTATCTACACCTCCTAGAGTTGTTTTGAGCACTTTTTCGACAGCTGTAGAAGCGCCACCTACCGCCAGATCCAGCCCATCGAGCGCCGTCGACGACAGGGCCTTGAAAACCACTCGGTGCAGGAACAAGGCCAATCTACGCTTCGACTGGAACACCTGCGACGCCACGGTCACGTCCTTTAGTGTCAAAGGTACTACTGGTCGATACTCGTACTCAAACTCGTAAGTATCGGGTAGCTCAATGTTCTTAGGTTGTTCTTCAGCGTGGTGGCTCATCTTTTCCACCAAACCATCGTAGAGTGTATGGCGGTGGCTCACGCCGTACAGGTTCACTTTTAGATCTTCTACCTTAGCCTTCTCGAACACTATAAAACCCTCCTCCTCCTCATCATAATCCTCGGGGTACTCTTCATCACCAACTAACGCTTCGATCAGCTTCATCAGGTTCGTGTGACTGAAGTGGAAGTCGTATCCTACTAGATTTATCACAACATCGTGTAGAGCGACCTTGATGGTCATCCATCGATCACCTTTCTCCGCAGGAGGGGGCTCCGCGGCGTTGTCTCGTACCTCCTTCTCAGCTTTTCGAGCCTCCTTCTTCGAAGCAAGGGTCAATCGCGTCGAACCGATCCTATGTATGTGCGGTCTTTCCTTAGTCTCGTGACGGGAGTAGGCGACCTTGTGGATGCTCTCCTTGACCTTGCGCGCGCCGCCAGCCACCTTGTCGCGCGCCTGCTGGAGGTGGGACTTCCTCCTCGCCTTCTCCGGGTACCTGCGCGGAGGCCGACCCGTGAGAACACTCTACGCCATCGAGCGGGCGCAATCCGGAAATTTGATCTCCACGCGGCAGCATGCCACTCGTTGATGAGCGTGGCGTGGACCCTCCTCGCTAGTAGGAAGCGCTCCTCCCGAGGCCGCTCCTTGTTGGGCGTGAACACAACTAATCGCTCGATGGAAATGTATATGCGAGACACGGGCAGGTTGTTGCAGCGCTTCAGTCGCCGTCGGATCTCCCGCAACGCCGCGGACCGACTCTCGCACTCGTTTCTGTAAAGAGCGATACACGACTGTCGAAACAAGGGGTCCCATTCTATGTCAAGGTCGATGGCCGTCATTCCCAGCTCCAATCCGACGAAGTAGGGCGCTATATATGAGCCGATGATCCTGCAGCGGTGCCTCCAGCCGTAATAAGCTATCACTGAGACGAGGGCGCCGACTTGCAGACCCCACGTCGTCGCTGTAAGCCAGAACCCGGCCCACCACCACACCTTTCTCAAAAGGTAGTCGGGGAGCCACCGTGGTACTACTACGTACAGTAGACCGAGCACGATTATTCTTGCTTTGACGATGAGCAGGACGTGCAAAATGCGCTTGCCCCGGTGCCGCTCGTATTTTTCTAATTTTACCACCGACTGGTCGGGCCACGTGGGGCCCAGGCCCACGAACCTCGCCACCATGCCGAGCGTGCACACCAGTAACGTGCCGCCGAGGTTCAGTAGGTGTTGGATCCGCGGCGGGAGGACCGCGTTGCTGGTGAGGCCGGGGATCCAGACCATGGTCTAGTGCCGCCTCGGCGGCGCTACGACCTCGTATCTGAGATGCTGGCCACCACCAGTCTGTGGCTGCCGAGGTCCTGACCGCGCAGGGCTGCCCCCGACCACGAGGGCTCCCCAGGAGGACCCGTCGGTGTCCTGGACGTTACCGGGAATGGCTGGTCGCAGCCCTAAGGGCTTTTAGCCGAGCTTCCGCCAGGCCAGCTTTTGGGTGATGCCCCGCACGATCACGCGTCTCCGGCGCGATTTCCCTCAGCACGGCGCTCGCAGGGCCCAGGACATCCGGTCTAAGCCCTTGGTTTATCCGGACTCGGACACAAGCTACCACGGCGTGAGGTCCCGACGCGCGGACAACAACTACTAAGTAGACGCACTTACCTTCTGCAGCACGACGACGGCCGTCGGCACGAGGCCCTCGGCCTCGAGCGTCGCTTCATTATCACGATAGCTCCGCGGCGGGAAGGCCGTGCGGATCTCGTAGGGCTCCGGCGACGCCGCCTCGGCGTCGATGCGATCCCTCAAATCCGCGACCGTCGCGCCCGCGCCGAACTTCAGCACGAAGCGCGCACCAGTAAAAGCCCGGACTTGGATCGTCGCGAAGGCGTCGGACGGCACGGGCGCCTCGACGGACGGCACGAGCCGCTCCCGGATCGCGTCGCGCACGTCGACCGGCCGTCCGTCGACGATGGTCTTCTGCGGTAGTTTATTCAAAAAGTCGTCGACGCGCATATCCGTGGCACCGATATCTGACAAGGTCCGAGCCTTCCGACCCGACGCCTGGCCCGCGCCCTGGAAGGGCGCTCTTTCAGTCCTACAGTCTCGCACATCCAACTTGATGCCGTCGGGATATGTCGCCTTGAACTCCTGCGGAAAATAGCCGTCGCACACGTCCTTGACGAAGGCTTCGGAGTCTTCAAATGATCTAGCCGGTCCACCACCAACGAGCAGCCCGTCCGCATAAACACAAACACGGAGCATCTTCGCATGCTCGAATCTTGCGGAAGAACCGTTCTGCACGATCTTCTTGTCGGCGACCTTCTCATTTAAGTCGTTGAGCTTCTTCAGCAACTTGTCGCTATCAAACGCCGGCGCCGGCGCCGGGCCGCCGACCCAGACCAGCCCGTAGTCCGCCAGGAAGGCCTTCATGCCCGCTATTTCCTTCCTCAGGCTCTCGCACTCGTCGAAGGAGGTCACTGTCGAGTCGTCGCCAACTAATTTGCGGAGCTCGGCGTTTTCATGTCTTAATCGTCTTAGTTCTAAATCGCGCTTCGACGCCTCCTGTCGCAGTTTCAAGACACTTTCTTCGAGCTTGCGCAGCCTACCGGCCATCTGGCCCACGAGGTCTCCCGATGATGTCTCGGGTGCGGCCGGCGCCGGCGGAGCGCGTCCCGCGCCTCGCAATATTTCGTCCATCATGCGCCGCTCCGCATCGTACTCGTCCGGCGGCGCCTCCAATGGAGCGTAGGGGTTGTAGACCTGGCGCCGCGCCTCGTTCTGCTCGCGCAGCTTGTCGCGCAGGCGCTCGGGCAGGGGCTTGCGCGCCGCGGCGGCGGGCGCGCCGGCCATCGTGCGTCGTCTGGGCTGCGTCGCGCGTCCTGGTGTGTGCGTGAGCGCGCCAGGGCAGCCTTTTACGAGCTTGTAGGCAGCCTTTTATCACAGCGCCCCGACACTCATCAAACTGCCGGGCTGCTATCCGCTTCGCCGCGCCACAGCCGCCCTTGCGCAGCCCCTTCTCGCCGGCCGAGCTTGGTGTTACGTAAAAGCCGCCGGACACCACCGCTCGACGCCGCCGACGCGCGAGGGCTTGCCTCTACACGCTTCGATCAGTGCTGGGTGGGAACAGGGCTGCCCCCACGCCCGCCGCCGCGGCACAGCTCGACCAACACGACCACCGGGACGCCGCGCACCGCCGCGGACAACGACCATGCTGTCGCCGGACCAGCTCGCGACATTAACAGATGACGCGGTGCCGCCGTGGGACGTCGACGGGAGTTTACCCTCCAATTATGATACCTGCTCCAGCATCGGCGACCGCGAGACGTACCGAGGCGCGGCGGCCTTCGTCGCGGAACTCCTGGAGAGCAGCGTCGTCCAAAGGGTGGTGCACCCGTCGGCGAAGGCCGTCCTCCAGCGCACACTCACGGCGCTCGCCCAGAAGGACGACCCGCTGGCTACGGCTTTGGCGTTGGCCAAGGCCGGCGAGGTCCTCAAAGACGCGGCAGAAGGCAGGCCCAAGGTCTTTGATGTGGCTCTCGATACCATAAGGGTCGCGCTCGCGCTGTATGCCGAAGGGTTAGGGAGAAGCCACCACCGGACTCTTTCAACGAGATTGCAGATCGCGGAGACGCTCGCGGCCAAGGGCGACCCCGAATCTGCCAGGCGGGACTTTGTCGTCGTGCTCGATGAGTTAGTTGGAGACGAGGCCGAGATGGTGAAGACGCGAAAGCGCGCCATGCGGGGGCTGGAAGCGCTCGACGCGCGGCACACCGTGTCGGCCACTTTACGACGGGAGCGGCGGCGGCGGCTCAAGGCCGAGACGGCGGCCCTCGAGGCGGAGTTTCCTATTTTATATGGCCAGTTCGCGGGCCGCCGGAACCCGGATATTGATGACGGTGGTGCGATTGAAGGTAGCCCTTCCTCAAAGGACCGGTCGCTGACGATCGACGAGGCCGAGGAGGACGTGTCCGATCTGGAGGAGCCGGGGTAAGTGTTCTCTCGATGTCGCCTCTCTACGCCCCTGGCCAATCCCTGGCCCCGCGCTTAGGCTTCGAGCCAGGGATATGTTTAAGCACAACTGTTACATGTACACGTCGAGTCGTGAACCGCAGGTCGGGCGCGCGAGGGGCTAGCACCCTCGCGCGCCGTCATGGCGCGGATGAAACGACTCGCCTAGGGTTCCGCGGCCGGCGCGGGCGCTTCCGCGTCGGTCGCGCGGTAGAGCTTGTCGAAGTCAGCCTGGTCGTCTTTGCTCACGCCGAGCGCGTATTTGAGGTTCAGCATAAGAACCAACAGGAAGGCCAGAGGGAACATGATGCACGCGATGATCAGCGTCGCTTTATCCTTCAGGAGCCCTCCCAGCAAGAACCCGAGGAAGACGCCCGCGACGACCAGAAGCCCCAGGAAGAGCGAAAACCGCATCACGCGCACTGTGCGCTCCTGGACCTTCCGTCCTTGGGCTACGTCCGCGTCGCCGTCCTCCGTCTGCGCGTAGTTGTACGCGAGGCGCGGATCGCTCGTCGCCGTTTCCAGCAGCGCGTCATGTTCCTTCTGCGACTTGCCCTTGCATTGGCCGCCCTTCTTACCCGAGGGGGGTCAGGTCTTAAAGTAAACCAACACCTCAAACGCTAGACCAAAGACGACCGGCAGCAGCACGATGAGATGCGCTCCCGGGGGAATCCACGACACAAAGACACCTCCCACGAGCAGAATGGACTCGTAGCCGACGGCGACGCCGGTCACGACGTCCCGCGCCTGCTTGAAGCCTTTCACTTGCCAGTCGGGCGCGTTCCCATCGCTGCCGAAGGCCACGACCGCCGCCGCCCCGGCGACGGCGCCCGCGGTAGCTAAGCCGGCGCCGAGCATCTGCGACATGGGACTCAGGATGCCGTCGTGGCGGTGGTGCTTGGCCCGGTCGATGCCCTTCAGGAGCTTGAGGCGCAGGCCCAGAGCGGATTCGGCTTCAAAATATTTGTCCAGGTGTGTTTCCGTCAGCAAGAGCAAAGCTTCGCCGTCGATGCACTCCGCGGCGAAGTGCCGGACAAGCGCCTCCGACGCGCCGAGCCGCGCGAGAAATCCTCCGACCTCGTCGACCGTCCACGTGTCGGCGTCGTGGGGCAGCCCGGCAGACGCATCGTCGAAGGAGCTGCCCCGGCGCTGCGGCGTCGCCGGCGCGGGCGCGACGCGACACGCCGAGCCGTGTCAGGAGCGTCAGTTCGGCATTTTTGGGTGCTGTTGCTTCCCCGCGACGCGGCAGCCTCAGCGGCCTCCTTGTCTGTGCGGCTACTGCTGCCCCCGCCGGGCGGTTTGGTGCGGCGCGACTGCCTCAGCGCGACCTTCGCACGCCGGTGGCCAACGCTCCACGCCCTGCACGCACTTATAGGTGCGTACAGGCTCGTACGTTGCAGCGGCGGCCAGTCGTGGCATTTTTTGCTAGTGTCTTACAAGACGCTAGCTAATTTCTTTTTTCAGCGCTCTTTCCGGGCCTAAACTCAGCGTAACTAGCACGCCAGAAGCTCTTGATCACGGACAGCACTCACGCAAAGACGCCATCGACGCGCACGCAGACAGCACTCAACGCAAGACGCCATCGACGCGCCCCGCACTCCCATGGCCCAAGACGCCACCCTGACGCTCAACTCCGGCCAGGCCATGCCCGTCATCGGCCTGGGCACGTGGCAGGCGCCCGCCGGCCAGGTCGGCGCCGCCGTCAAAGCAGCTTTGGAAGGAGGCTACCGCCACATCGACTGCGCCGCTATCTACGGCAACGAGGCCGAGATCGGCGCCGTGTTTGCGGAGGCCTTCGCTTCGGGTTTAGTCAAACGAGAAGACCTCTTCGTGACGTCCAAATTGTGGAACTCGGAGCATTCACCAGAGAACGTGCGCCCGGCCCTCGAAGTCACGCTCAAGGAATTACGGCTGGACTACCTCGATTTGTATCTGATCCACTGGCCCCAGTGCTTCGCCAAGGAGAGCGAGGGGAATCGGTCGATCCCGAAGAATGATGATGGGTCTATAAAATATGACCTGGCGACGCCGTCCCAGAAGACGTGGGCGGCCCTGGAACAGTGTGTGGACGCGGGCCTCACGAGGAGCATCGGCCTGTCGAACTTCAACTCCGAGCAGATTGCCGGTATTTGTGACGGTGCGCGCATCCAGCCCGCGGTTTTGCAGGTCGAGATCCATCCGTATCATTCTCAACAACCTCTTGTCGCGTTCTGCCAAGCCCGGAACATCGTGGTGACGGCCTACTCGCCGCTCGGGACTGGCGCGGTCATTGACGGTTCTACGGTCGTCGGGAACCCTGTCCTCAAGGAAATCGGCGAAAAGTACGGAAAGTCCTCGGCCCAGGTGGCGATCTGCTGGCTGGCGTCGCGCGGCTTGGTCGTCATCCCGAAGTCCGTGACGCCGGCGCGGGTCCTGCAGAACCGCGAGGTCAAGTTCGAGCTCTCCGCCGAGGACATTGCGAAGGTCGACGCGCTCAACAAGGACTGCCGGAACGGCTGGGGCGGTCCTTTGAGCGCGGACGGGTCGCCGCGCGATATCGCGCATCCCTTGTATCCCTTCGGGGCGGGGCGGCCGGCGTTTTAAGGTTTCTCACACTTTTACATTCCTAATACCAGACCAGCGGCCGCCAGGCCGCCTCGAGCCGGTCGAGGTCGTCGAGCACCCTCTGGCGCCGGTCCGGGTCGAAGCGGACTTCCTCGTATTTCTCGAGGAGCTTCTTCATTTCCCAGGCGTCGTTGTCGAAGTAATAGTCGTCGTCGTCCGAATCCGTGAATTCCATGTCGCAGTTTTCCGCGACGGTCTGCAGGCGCTCTCGCGTCCCGACGATGATCTCCTTCAAATTTGCGCCGGCAGCGCCATCGCCGTACTCATTTATTAGATGCTCTCGTGACTCTAGGCTTGCATCAGCGGAGCGCACGTCGGCGCCCTGCGAAGAGAGGTAGAGCGCGACGCGTAACGTGTCGGCCCGAAAGTCCTTGATCGCGGTCGAAGCGCGGGACATGGCAAACGACAGCGGGTGCACGCCAGCCACGCACCAATGCGGATTGGCCTTGATGTTCACGTCCGCGCCGGCCGACACCAACAGCTTCGTGAGCTCCAGGTGGCCCTCGACGGCGGCGAAGTGAAGCGCCGTGATGCCCTCGTTGTAAAAGCCGCCGCTTACGTACTCGACGTCGAACCGCGCGCCAAAGCCAATATACCCCCGCACGATCTCCAGGTCCGGGGCGAAAACAGACCAGTCTCGCGGGACCTCTTCCCCGTTGTTGTGGTTGTAGTAAATCCCGCCAGGCTTGCCGGGCGCGTAAGAATCGTATCCGAGGTAACGCACGAGGCGGAAACCGGCACTGTTATGGAAAGTGTGACTGTATGGCTCTATAGTAGCGTCGGCCTCTACGTATACGCAATTGCTGTCCATGCGGCGCCATTTAATCCAGTGCGAGCCAGGCGTTAAACCACCGTAATAGTACGTCGCCATGAGCCGCTTGGGTTCGTCTAGGATGGTGAGTTCCATGAGACGCGTTTCGCCGGGCAGCTCGCGCTTGTCGAAGACGCTCTGGACGGATCGCTGCAGGTCGCGTGGAAGCGCCATGAGCAGGGCCGGCGTCCAGACGAAGGACGCCACGACGCGCAGCGCGTCGGGAGAGATCCCCGTGAGTCTTGGACCGGTTACGCGATCCATGGGCGCCGTGGGCGCGCGCGGCTGCTCCATGCTCTCACACAGCCAGGAGAGCAGAGATGGTTTCAGCGCCTCGCGCGCGTGCAGCGATGAACAAGCACTTGCGCGCAGCAAAAAAATCACGCGCGCGTGATCTCTGGTGCAGAACTGCGTCTGGTTAGGGCTGCGCGGCCGCGGCCGCGCGCGTCTCGCATGTGTACGGGTTTCGACCGCGAAACGCCATCGACGCGACGCCTTAGTGACGACTTGTGAACACATTCTTATGAACTTGAACACAATATGGACACACACTTCGGACAGGGAAGGGGGGGACAGTCAGTTCGTCACGTACGCCGCGAACGTGCCCCGCTCACCTTCGCTTTCGACCTCGCCGCGGTTCGAGATGAAGAATGATCGCCCGTCCAGATCCACGAAGTGGCCCGCGCGCACGGGCTCGGCCTGAGCCACGCAGGACTTTTGGACCACGTAGGCCATGTCTAGCTCGTCCATGGCCATCGACCGCGCCAACGCCCGCGGGATCATGTCCAGGGGACCCTTGGCGTCGGCCAGCCTCCGCTCGGCGTCGGCGAGCTTCTGGCTCAGCCGCTCTATGAGCTCGAAGGCGTCCTGCTCAACTTTCAGTAGTTTTTCGACCTCGGCGCGGGGCGTGGCCTTGGTCGTCAACCGATACGTCTTCTCGCCCTGGGTGAACCAGCACTCGAGGACCTTCGCGCCGGTGGGCGCCGTGTGCGCGTCCTCGTACATCTTCCAGCCGGCCTCGGCGCCGTCGACCTCCGCTTTACCGCCCTCCTGGAACTTCGTCCAGGCTGCTGATACGACCTTGTTGCCCTCGAAGGAGAGGCGCGTGCGCCACGCCTTCAGCCGCTCGAGCGGCAGGATGTTGTTTTTGCCTTCGACGGCCTGCGGCTTGGCCTCATCCTTGAGCGCGTTGAGTTGCCTCTCCTGGATCTCGGCCTGGTCGCGCAGGTGCTTCGCCTGGGCCAGGAGCGCGTCCGCTTCGGGGCACGACACCGCGTGCGTCGTGATTAGGCCGCGCGAACTTGGCACATGTTGCAGCGCAGTTTTTGGCGCCGCTAGCGCGCGGCGGCTGGTGGCGCGCTGCAGGGAGTGTCCCACGGTACAGCAGATGAGCGCCAAAATGATGCGCGCCATCTTAGGTACGTATGCGCGATGTTCGAATTTACGAGCTCTGACTCGGTGCAACCGCGTGCCCAGACTCGCTAGGGTCATACCGCGGTCCACGGACCACATAACGCTCCGTCCGGGACGCCTCCCCACCCGCTCCGGCAACAAGAACGACGTCCAACGGCCCCAAAGGCAAAACGCGGGCCCGTCGCGGCCGCGCACAAGTACAAAGCGCAGGGCCCCCGACGACGCCGTCGCCGCGCACCAGTGCCGAAGCCCCCGCAGCCTGAGGAAGAACCATGAGGAACCGAGACTTACCCAAGCCCCCCCCCCTCACTTCGCGCTGGCCTTCTCGAACGCCTTCTTCTGCGCTTCCCACTGCTTCTTCAGTTTTTTGAATTGCGACTTCGGTAAAGGCTCGCCCTTGTCATTCTGGGTGGGCACGCCGTCGGCGTCGAACGCTTTATAAGGCCCGTTCTTGAACATGTCCCGAGGATCAACACGAGCCGCAGCTTCTTTAGCGGCGGCCTTCTCCGCGGCTAACCGTTTCGCGTCGGCCTTGGCTTGAGCTTCCTCGACTTTTCTTGCCCTTTCAGCCCGTAAAACTTCCGGATCGTCGAGCTTCCAGACGCTACCGGCGCCCTTGTCCTCTAAGCGAACGCCGAGCTCCGGCAGTACTAAATCCCTCAATTCATCACATAACCGCAAGACCCCAGCCGTATCTTGAGTTCTACCAGCACCTCGTACGCCGTCTCTGAAGTTCGATAGCGCATCCAACAACGGCGCGGACGCCGCTCCCGAACTCTTCTTTGCCGAGGTTTGGGAAGGATAGACTCGCAGCGCGTCGAGCACCTCGTCCGAGCACAAACCCTGGACGCCGAGCTTGAGCCAGGTCTCGGCGACGTACCTCGCTGCCGCGCATAAGGCTAGCGACGACGGTTGCGAATTCGTCGCTTCGAGGGTCGACAAGTAGCTTCCCGTAGAATCAACTAATTTCTGCAATGCTTTCACCGCGTTCGGCGTGTCGAAATCATCTAAAAAGCGCGCGCGCACCTCCTTTGCGCAATCATCTCGCGCTTTCAACAGGGATGCATCCTCGGGCCGTACTTTGAACTTCGCGTTCACGTCACTATCGACCACTCGTAGCGCCGCGGCGACGTTGAGGAAGAACTCGCGGAACTTCTTCTCCATGGCGCGCGCGTTCGCGAGCCTGCGTTCGATGGCGCGGTGGCGGCGCGTTGCGTCGGTGCGCGTGCGTGCGCGGCGACGGCGTGGGGGGAGGCCGCGTCGACGGCGTCACGGCGGTGCGGCATCGCGTCGACGCCATCGCCGCGACCGCGTGATCGCGGCGACCGCGTGGCGATGTAACTCGGACGCCGCTCGACACATGTTGTCCGAATAATCACAAGGCGCGTTGTACTGCACGAGGCAGAACATGATGCGCATCGTACTAGGTCTCACACCTTCTAACCCATCGACGCCCTCCAGCGCCTGTCGGATCGTGATGAAGTTCTTGAGACTCTTCGACATTTTTAAACCACGAATATGCAAGTGGCCCGTGTGCGCAAAGTAGTTCACGGTCTGCCGGCAATTACAGAAAGCCTCCTGTTGCGCGAGCTCGTTGTCGTGGTGGGGAAACTTCAAATCCACACCTCCCCCATGGATATCAATAGGCCCGCCGTGCCCGATCGTGTGCTCGATCATGGCACTACACTCGATGTGCCAGCCGGGCCGGCCCGCCCCCCAGGGCGACGGCCACGTCGGCTCGCCGGGCTTCGAAGCCTTCCACAACGCGAAATCGCGATCATCGCGTTTCGTGAAGGTTGTACTGGCCAGTTTCCCTTCGCCTTCCGCCATGAGGCCTTCGTTGCCGACGTTCTCGGGGCAGAGCTTGCCGTAGTCGTGGCCCTTGCTCTCAAACGCTTTGGTGTCGAAATAGACCGACCCCCGATCTTCGTACGCGAAGCCGTTGCTGACGCACGTTTCCACGAACGAGACGATCTCCGGCACGTACTCCGTCACTCTAGGCATCGCACTGGGACGTTCGACGCCTAGCGCCGTCATGTCTTCCAGGAACTTTCTCTCCCATTCCCTCGCGAGTGCTTCGGGCGTGATGCCTCGCTCCTGGCTTCTCACAATGATTTTGTCGTCGACGTCCGTCACGTTCATGACGTAGACGACGTCATACCCCAGCACATCCCTCAAGATCCTTCTTATAACATCGAACTGGAGATACGTACGGGCATGGCCCAAATGTGCCGCGTCATAAACCGTCGGGCCGCAGACGTACATCGTCACGCGCTGGCCGGAAGGATCGATGGGGTAGAAGGGCACCTTGCTTCGCGTCAACGAATTGTAGATGTGTAATTTTGGAGGCGCCTGGTCGCAGGGCCGGCACCAGCGGCCGAAGACGGCGGCGGCTTTTTCGCTCAACGCGGCCATATTGTCGTGTTCTGGGTGCAAGCGGCGCGTCGGCGGCGTGCTGCGAGCGCTGCGGTGTTTCTAGCGCTGCTGCGGCGGCGCGTTTCCAAGCTGGTGGGTTAGCAGGCAAGCGATATCAATGCGCTTTGCTGCTCGGTGCTGTGCGCGAGTGGCAGCAGCGGTCGTGCGACAGCAAGTGAGCAATGTATCGTGCGTCTGACGTCGCGTAACCAATGTCTAAGGGCCGAAAAATCCAGCTCGCCGCACAAGCTCGTGAGCTGAGGTCGAGTTCCTATCTAGGCGCAAGCAGTCGTCCGTCCGCGCTAACAAGCTCTCCTGACTTCCTTGATGACGTATGGGCGGATCGGTTCTTGCTAGTGTCTTACATGCCGCTAGCTAACTCTTCCGCCCAAACCAGCCAGGCCCAGCCTACGGGGTCTGTAGCTGCAGATTTGCAGCAACTAAGACCTCTCCGAGTCACCAGCTTCGCCACCGAAGCCGTGAGCCACATTGGCCGCTCGGCGCACGCCACCTGCGAGCTCCAGGACCACCCATACCAGCTTCCTCGCGCGCGTGCGTCGCGACCCGGTTATCTGTGCTAAATTATACAGAAGCGAGTAAAACCATGCGCGCCGCAGCCGCCCGCCTCGCGGCGACGAGGCGTCTCTCGACACCGCGCAAGGTCGTCGACGCTAGAGCTACCACAAAAACGAACGTGCCCTTACTCGCAACGGGCGTCGTCGCCGGCGCGTGGCTCACTTGTTTAGAATTACCCGTCCAGCTCGGAGACAATTGCCCGGCGTCGGTGAGAGACGCCTGGTGGCTCAAGTTGTACAGGGAGGCCACGGGTAGAGCGTTAACAAGAACCGCAACACCGGTGACCGCAATCGCCGAGCCCCAGGTGGAGGAGGACGACCTCGTGCAGATTGCGGAGCCCGACCTCGACGACGACGACGACGAGGTCCTAGATCCTTCTCTCGAACGGGAGCGGCTAGATGCGCTCGAGGACGCCAGGAAGAAGGCTCAAGCTGAGGCCGAGGCCATCAAGCAGCGCGAGCTCGACGAGAGAGCCGTCAAAGTAGTGCAGAGAGCTTCGGAGATCGTGGACGCGGTGCAAAGTGTCCCCGAGGAGGCGGCCGACGACTTAGTTACACGATTAGCGAGAGACCTCCAGGGGCTGAGTGTGGACGAGCTTTCCCAAAGGTTGGCGGCGGCCGAGGCGGCTCAAACGAAGGAGGCGTCTCGGGAAGCGGCGAGAGCAGCGACCGCGAGAGACGAAGCGTCGCGGGTCTACGCGAAGCGGACGGAAGATTTAGTGAAGGCCCAGCGCCTTAAACTGCTCGAGGAGATGGGTTCACTCGTACAAGCGGACGCGGCGGACAGTGACCGTATTGCGGCAGAGCGTCGTAGAGCGTTGCGGGCGGAGAAGGAGTCTGTCCTAGAAACGCAGCGGAAAGAAATAGACGCGCGCTGGGCAAGTGAAGGCCAGCGCGCGGTCGAGGACGCCATCGGAGCCGTCGAGAGCGGCGCCCGGGCGCTGGTCGACGCGGCGCGCGCGGACGCGGCCCAAGCCACGGGCGACGCGGCGGTCTCACGTTTAATGTCGTTGAGGGAGCTCGAGGTCCGCGTCGCGGCGGCGCACCGCGCGGCCGACGCGGTCCCGCCCGACAGCGACGCCAGGATTCTGTCGGAGCACGCGGTGGTCGCGCGCGGCGCGGCGGGCTCGCGCGCCGTCGGCGCCGTGGCCGATGATGCTGTTGTCGGCGTTGCCTTACGGGCGCGGGCCGAGGCGCCCGGTGTGTCTACGGACGTCGCGGCGCTGCGCGCGCGGTGGGTCGAGCGCGTGCGGCCGGCGGCGCGCGCGGCGGTCCTTTCCGGCGTCCCTTTTTTTTCCTTGGCCCTGGCCGCGGCGCCGTCGCGGCGAGTGCGTCAAGCGCGAGACACCCGTGGACGCCGTCGCCGCGACCATGGCGCAGTCCATTTGTCGACGTCGCCGCGACCATTCGGCACGGTGGGAACGAGTCGCGTCGATGGCGTAGGAGCTCTACACGCCATCGCCGCCATCGCCTCGACTCACCGCGATTCGACGCAGGCGCTGGAGCCGCAGCACGCGGGCCCCGTCGCGCGCTCGGCGCTCGGGGGCCTCTTCGCGGCGCTGCGCCTGCCCGGGGGCCGCGCGCCGCCGGGCAGCCCGCTCGCGGCGGTGGAGGCCTGCGACGCGGCGTTGGAGATGGGCGACGTCGTCGGCGCGCTCGCCGCGCTCGAGGCGGCCGACGGCGACCTCGCGCTCTCGGTCCGCGACTGGCGCCGCGACGCCGCGGCGTCGTGCGTCGCCGCGCAGACGGACCGCGTGCTCGCGGCGCGGTCGGGGCTCGTGGCGGCGCAGCGCGTGGAATGAGTAAGTCACACGAAGATGCTATAGGCAACCCCCTGGACGTCCTATCGGAGAGAGGGCGGGGTAGCATATGGGCGGCTTTTTTGAGGAGCCGCGTCAGGACCGGCGCGCCGCGACGGCGGCCTTGGCCAGGGAGGGGTCGGTTGCCGGGTTAACAGCCCGCGCATTCGAGTCGGCGCGGCCGAGGAGGCCCGCGAAGAAGGACTTGTGGTCCTCGAGCGCCGCGGCGCGCGCCTCGCGCTCGTACTTGTGCGTCTTGAGCGCGGTGTACATCTCCTGGGCGCGGATGGTCTGGACCTGCGCGTAATAGGTTGCTGGCCTCGACGTTCTGGGGCAGGAGGCGTCCGAAAAGCAGTCATTGACGCCGGGGACACGCCTCCTCGTTCACGTTCGCGCTCCAATGGCTGTAGACAGTTGGCGCATTGATCTCAATTGGCTCGGAGCGCACGACGACGGCGGATCGGGCAGCAGCAGTGCGAGCTGGGACAAAACCCTGGGTCAGCGGCGCGAGGCACGCTGCGGCGGCCCACCGGAGCTTCATTTGGCTCGGGTCGGGTACTTGGAGAACGTCGGCTTTAGCAAAAGTGGGTTTCGAGTGCTCCTCCAGCCGCAGAGACGGTGGCACTGAGAACGGCGGAGCTTGTCAAGCTCGCGTGGAAGATCACGATGACGAGCCCTTCGACGCGTCAGAGAGGGCCTCTGCACCTGATACGACGCTTGGAGGGCCGTGGGCGCGATTCGCGCGATTCGCGTGCGGTCGGCGCGCCGCCGCGTCCAGAATGCACACCACTAGTCCTAGCACCGTGACAGATACAAGTCCAGAATGCACATCAACAAGGAAACTTACTCTACCGGATCCGCAGGGGGACGGAGACGAGGGATCCCAGCTTTCCTCGGGGCCACGCTCCGTCGTCGATCAGCAGGGGCCGTTCCTTCCACATTTCCGCACCGTCGTCCCATTCATAATGGTACGTCGCGGGCGGATTTATTTCATGGAAAGGCTCTGGGTCGTAGTTCACAGTGCCCGCAACAACGAGGCGGCCGTCGTGGACGCACGCTGCCAACTCGCTGTGCGAACCTACGGGCAGAGCGGGCAGTTCCGACCACGAATTTGAGTTAGGGTCAAAGCAGTACACATGGTAAGGTTGGGCGCAAAGTTCAGCGTCAGGGCATGAATCCATGGCACGCTGACAAAAGACGTACAAGCGCCTGTGGAAAACTGCCGCGGTTGTTGGTTCCTCCATTCTATCCTTGAGCGCATCCAGAGGCGGCCCTAGAGACCAAGTTCTCGTTGTCATGTCGAAGATCTGGAGGCGTGCTGTATAACTGGACATCCGGCCCATGGTCGCACCCGGGACCATAACCCCACCATATTGCTCCGCATGAGCTCCGCCTCTTGAATAGCCACCCACAACGAAGAGACAGGATCCAATGACGCCATAACTAGCATGCGCGACGACAGTGGGCACCGGGGGTAATGACTGCCACATCCTCAACTGCTCATCCCACGAGAATCCCCAAGGTCTGCCAACCGCGTTAGTCCCACCCGCAACCACGACGAGCGTGTTGTCGAGGAAAGCAGTGCACTGACCGTACATAACTACAGGTATGCTCGCCGGGTAACGCGGGTCTCGGACCCATTCATGCTTCCGCGTGTCGTAAATGAGCAGCTTTCTATCGTGGTTTGCATCGCCACAAACGAAGAGTCGTCCTTCCGTCGAGAGCGCTGTCGTGAACTCATCAAGATCCAAGGGGCAATCGGTCTGAGCTGCGAACCCGAGCGACTCCAGGTTGTGCGTTAGACACACGAATTGCTTCCCCCGCTCCACCATTGCCCCGCCATCTTCGTAAATGCGCCCCGCCAGCAGCAGGAGCCCGTATTCCTCGAAGCCCAGCGTCTTCCGTAGCTTCGCAAAGTCGTCGCTATAGACGAGGCGCCGCAGTGCCTTGCAGGTCTGGGCGAGCGCGCGGTGAGCCTCGATCGGTACGCGCGCGAGCACGACGTCGCGCACCGACCCTAGCCGCATGAGGCTGTCCGAGGGCGCCGCGGGCAATGTCTCGCCGGAGGCCGCCATTCGTGCAACAAGCGATGCGCAGCGTGCGCACGGATCGTTAGCGATGCGTTTGCAGCGTGACCGCGTCGCAAAGGATGTCCCGCGCGCTCAAAAATGCGCGCGCGCCAGGGGCTAGCGCCCTGTAAAGACACTAGCAACCGAAGAATACAAAAACAAACCCTACCACCCCTCCGGCACGACCGTCGACGCGTCCAGCAGAAAGGGCAACACGTGGTCGCGCCAGACGCCGCGCGCGTTCGCCGATTCGCGCTCGTAGGCCAGCGTCCGCGCCCAGACCAGGGTCAGCGACAGCGCGTACCGTCGGACGGCCGGCGACCAGTGCCGCGACCAGCCCGGCGGCGGCGGTGAATAGGAGAGCAGGTAGGGCAGGATGCGGCCCGTGAGTAGTACTGAAGCGTGCGACGGCTCGCGCTTCCACGCGAGCGTGTGGATGAGGTGGTCCTGCACGAGGCGTCTGACATAGTCCCGCTGGCCCTTTCCATGGAAGCGGTGCTGCGCGAGGGACCAGGGCGTCGCGGCACAAATTGGTTTGTGCGTCTGCCACGCCTCGCGCTGGCATTTTCTAGAACAATAAAGGACAGAAACGCCGCGCCGCCGCAGGCAGGGCCCGCAGGGGGCCAGCGTCACATTGTCTAAATTGCGCTTGCCGACCAATTTACACCAGGAGCACGTCCGGCCGTCCCTCGTCTTCTGAGCTTGCATCAGCGTCTTGCTGAAGAGGGCGGACCGCTTCGGCATTTTTTTGAGCGCGGCGGCGGCGTCGGCCTTGGCGGCCCTCGCGCGCGTTAGCGTCGTTGCGGACGCGGCGCGCTGCGGGACGACCGACACTTGCTCGGCAGCGCTCGCGCGCGCGGGAATCGGTGGTCCACAGGGCCCGGCGTCGGCAGCGCTCGCGCGCGCGGGGATCGGTGGCCCGGTTTCCCGCGCCGGCACGGATGCGCGCGGCTGCGCAGAGCCAGGGCGCCGGATGTGCGGGCCGCACGTCGCCGCAGCCGTCTCCGGCTGGCGTTTCGGAATCGGTGGGCCACAGGGTCGGTCCGACATGGCCCAGATCACACCAAGACACAAATTCTAGCCCTTCAGACGAGCAGCGTCGAGATTGGCTGGGCTAGCGTACATCGACACTAGGGGGAGCAGAGAGCAAAAGCAGGCTAAAAGCACTCGCTGTTGGCCTTAAGCAGCCAGACGCGGTCGCCGCAGCACCACTTTATAATACACAAGCGCCTGGCGCCGCTGCGCTGCCACGCCGCGCTCCGAAACAGCCCCTGCAAGCCCCACACCTCGCGAGCGCCTCGAGCCGGCTCTAAACAGCAGCAGTCATCATGGCCGAGCCCCCGCCCGTCCAGGTCGTCGCGGGCGCCACACAAGCCCCGCAGCCCATGGAGGACACCTTACAAATAACACCTTTGGGCGGCGGCAAAGAAGTCGGTCGTTCCTGCCATCTACTGGAATTTCGAGGGAGGTCCGTTTTATTAGATTGCGGCATTCATCCCGGTAGATCCGGCTTAGATGCCCTCCCATTCTTAGACACCGTAGACTTATCAACCGTAGACCTACTCCTCGTTTCTCATTTCCACATCGACCACGCGGCCGGCGTCCCGTACTTGACGGAGAAAACGGGTTTTAAAGGCAGGATCTTCATGACCCACGCCACAAGAGCCGTCATGAGACTACTACTGTCCGATTACATTCGTTTACTACCGTCGGGCGACGGCAGGAAGCAAGGCGGCGAAGGGAGCGGTGGCAGGGACGGCTTGTACGACGAAGCGGACCTAGCTAATTGTTGCGACAAGGTCGAGTTGGTCGACTTCCACCAGGTCGTCGAACACAACGGCATTAGGTTCTGGAGCTATAACGCTGGACATGTTCTTGGCGCGGCGATGTTCTACATCGAGATCGGGGGCGTGCGCTTGCTATATACCGGAGACTACAGTATGGAGGAGGATCGTCATTTAGTACCTGCGGAGGTACCTTCTCTGGAACCGCACGTGTTAATTATGGAGAGCACTTACGGAACTCAAAAACATGAATCCAGAGATGTCCGAGAAGCTTTGTTCACGTCGACGATCGAGCGCATCGTGCAACGGGGCGGTAGATGTTTGATCCCGGCCTTTGCCCTCGGGCGGGCGCAAGAGTTACTGTTGATCCTGGACGAGTACTGGAAGGAGCGGGAGGATCTCCACCGGATTCCCGTCTTCTACGCTTCCAAGATGGCGACGCGCGCTTTGAGGGTCTACCAGACGTATATAAACATGATGAACCAGCACGTCCGCGACCAGTGTCGAAACTCGCGGCGATGGCGTCTTCGCGCGAGTCCACGCGTACACACGCAGGTGAGGGACCAGATGGACGTCGCGAACCCCTTTAGGTTTGCACATGTGCAAAATTTGAATTCGGTAGATGATCTCGACGACACGGGGCCCTGCGTCGTCATGGCGGCTCCTGGTATGCTCCAGAGTGGTGTTTCTCGTAGATTGTTTGACAAGTGGGCCTCGTCGGAACGGAACGGTGTGGTCATTGCGGGGTACTCCGTCGAAGGCACGCTGGCGAAGCAAATCTTGAGTGAACCGGACGAGGTGAGAACGATGGACGGGCGGGTCCAAGCGCGACGGTGTACGGTGGTCTCTGTCAGTTTCAGTGCCCACGTCGACTTCTTCCAGAACTTTTCGTTCGTGGAGGCGACGCGGTCCGTGACGCAGTGTCTGTTTCTGAAGGTTTCTGAACTTCAACTTTGGGAAGATGGCGTCTCCACGATATCACGCCGCCGCGACGCCGTCGACGTGGCCGTCAGAGAGTCGACGTGTCTCGCGACGCCGTCGGTCGACGCAGGCCCGACAACATCGTCTTAGTGCATGGCGAGAAGAACGAGATGGACCGCCTGAAGGGTAAACTAGTGCAAGAAACAAACAAGTGGCCGTCGGACAGAAGACCGACCGTGTCTTCGCCGGAGAACGGCCAATTGGTGAAGATGAAGTTCCAACGCGACCGACGGGCGGCCTGCGTGGGCGCGACGTGGGACGACGATCAGATGAGTGACGTAGACAAGCCGAAACGTAGGAGAGTGCAGGCTGGCGTACTCGTAAGGAGGGATTTGAGAACGACGCTCTACGCTGATGATGAATTAAGGGACAGTTCGCCTCTCGCGGTCACGGCCTTAGCGCAGACGGTACGACTACGATTAAGTTGTGGAGTAGATGGCTTGGACTTTCTGCTGAGGCAGACCTTCGCGGACGTGCAAGAGGGCACTGCGACAGATGACGAGTGCGACGGCGCCTTCGAGAAAGGATGGGTCATTTGTGGCGCCGTGCGTGCGTCTGTTTATGGACTAGAAGCAGGGGAGAAGGAGTTAACATTAAATTGGAATGCGGCACCCTTGGGTGATGCGGTCGCCGACGCCACTGCTTGTCTCGCGTTACACGCGGCGACTTCCGTACCAGCTTTGAGGAATGCGGGGCCCTGCTGCGCGCCGCCGGCGACCCAGCGCGACGGCGGCGCCGCTGCTGCCGCATTGGTCCGGGACGCGTTATCTGATTCCTTCGGTGAGGAGAACGTGACGGATTGCGAACCGGCGGACGGCGACGAACAAGAGTACATTTGTCTGATGAAGGTCGTCCTCGACGAGCAGAGCGCGACCTGTGGATTAGTGCGCGAAGGGAGCGAGCTGCGCGCCGACGTCGCGTCGGACGACGACGCGCTGCGAAGGCGGCTGCGGAAGCTGCTCGAGCGGACTTTGTCAGTGTGCGTGCCGATCCCGACTTCGAGTGGGGGGTAACATGGAGTGCTGGGTTTTCGCGTCGGCGGCGTACCGTTTTGGCATCCCGTGCTAGCACTAGTGCGCGCGGGCGTTTAGTCGATGTTACGGTGCTAGGACTAGCGCGCGGGCGTTTTGGCTAGCTTGTAGACCTACTAGCGAGAACAAACCGAGGACCGACGCGGCGCGGTCTTTGCGCGGCGCTACCAGGCGAACTGCTCGCCAGGACTGTGCTGGTGGCTTCGCGCAGCAGTGCTGCGACGGCCGGCTGCGCTTGGCGCGCCCATAGGACGCCGCGGAGGCGCTGCGGGCAATCAACTGCGGCAGACCCCAAACGCCCGCGCGGCCGCATAAGTTGGCCGCGCAGCGCGTGATATCGCGGAGCGGCCGCGCGCGCAACCGACAGCACACGTACGGGCCAAAGCCGGGTCACCGGACGCCGGCGCCGTGACCGAGCGCGGGCGCCGCGATGGCCGATTTCAACTTCTTCGCCCCAAGAACCAAGCAAGAACCGGAAAAGAAGAAGAAGAAGCGCGAGCCGCTCGACCACTCCTGGGCCACGCGCCCACATGGTAACTGCTGCGAGGGCGACTCCGAGCTCTGTCCGCGGTGGACGGCGCGCATCGACGAGGGCGCCTGCGAGACCTGGACCTACCCGAACAACTATCCGGTGCGCCAGTACCAGGAACAGATCGTCAAGCAGGCGTTACTGAAGAACACGTTAGTATGTTTACCTACCGGATTGGGAAAGACATTAATAGCGGCGGTGCTCATGTACAATTATCATCGGTGGTTCCCCGACGGTCAAATTATTTTCATGGCCCCGACGAAACCTTTGGTGGCGCAGCAAGTCGAGGCGTGCCACGACGTGGTCGGTCTCCCCGAGGAAGACACGGCTCAGCTCGACGGCAACGTCCCGGTCGAACGTAGACGAGAGTTATGGAGGAAACGGCGCGTCTTCTACTGCACGCCGCAGACCGTGGCGAACGACCTGGCGAAAGGCGTGTTTGATGCTAGTCGCGTAGTACTGTTAGTGGTGGACGAGGCGCATCGCGCGCTCAAGAAGTACGCCTACTGTTCCGTGGTGAAGCATGTGGGTTTTAGACACGCCCATTTTCGCGTCTTGGCATTGTCCGCCACACCGGGCAGTGACGTGGCCGGGGTCCAGGACGTCGTCGACAACTTGCGGTACGATCTCGGCGTCCCGCGGTGCTGCGGTGCCTTCACGCCATCGACGCGCGTCGTCTCCAGGAGAGGAGGTCGTGGGCGGACAGAGTCGAGCGACCGCGACGCCCCGCGCAGGATCGCGCACGTGGAGGTGCGGACCGAGGACGACCCCGACGTGGCCAAATATACGCACCACCGCCTCATCGAGAAGATCATTTGTGAAGAGGGGCCTGTTGTCAAAAAAGGCCTCGAGGCGCTCCAGAAGGTCGCCGAGCCCTTTCTCAAAAGATTACAGAATGCGGGCGCTTTACATAGCACGGACTTGTCGACGCTGCGAGCCTATACGGTGTTGCAGGCCGGTCGCGATAACAATAGGGTGTCGTATGCGGACAAACATGTCGCGCACAAGCTCGCGTCGGCGGCGGACGCTCTACGGCACTACGGCACTACGGGAGCCTTGGAGAAGTTGGAATCCGTGCGTTCGGTAGCTCGGGACGTCGCTGCTAAATTGTCACGAAGTGAGAGTGTCCCGCCCGGTGATCGGGCGTTGCAACGGCTGGCTGGGAGTCCACAGTTCCTAGACGCTCTGAAGGCCCTACGATCGTCCGGAGAGCACCCGAAGACGACGAAGTTGCGAGAGCTCCTCGTGGACCACTTCCAGCGCGCGCGGGAGGCCCACAAATCTTCTAGAGCCATGGTGTTCACGGGCACGCGGCAAAGTGTGGACGAGATCGGCGACGCGTTGTCGAGAGCTTCCGGCGATTTGTTGAGAGTCCAGCGCTTCGTCGGCCAGGGCGGCGGCGACGGCATGAAGCAGTCGTCGCAGAAGAACGCCGTCGAGGCGTTCCTGCGGAACGATTCGAATGTGCTCGTGGCCACTTGTATTGCGGAGGAAGGTCTGGATATCGGCGCCGTCGACGTTTGTGTCTTCTACGATCAAGTTGGAAGTCCTATTCGCATGGTCCAGAGGATGGGTCGTACGGCTCGCAAGAGGACTGGTAGAGTGGTACTGCTCATGGTGCCCGGCGAGGAGAAGAAGTTCGAGAGTTCTGGGAAACGTTCAGCTGCTGTGGTTCACGCGTTACGAGACAGACGAGGACTGCGGTTGCGGACGGACCTGTCGAAGCGACTCGTACCTCGACGGGTGCAGCCGTCCTGGCCTCGACGGGTCGATAAAAGGTTGAGTATAGACGCGTGGCGCTCGTCCCAGGTCGGCGGGCAAGTGAAAAGGAAACTCGTGGATCCAGCTCGCGCTGCGGCGAAACAAGATAGGAGCTGGCGGTTGAACGAGAAGCAGCTCCAAGTCGTTAAACAACGAAACTGGACGGGCCCGGTGCAGTACAAGGCGCGACTCGCCGACGGCTGGCGCCGCGCGTTACGGAGCGGCCACGCCGGTCGGCCGCCGCCGCGGACTGGACAGATAGTGGCTCCTCCAGCATCGTCGTCGCGGTCGGCGTTACTCAGGGCTGTTGCCGACTTTGTCGCTTTACGACGCTGCGACGACCTGTACGATCTCGAGAAGTTAAGTGCGCAGAACGGCGCTCTGGCGTCCGTGGCCTTCCAGAAAAAGATGCCGCGCCACGCGGCCTTCGCGGGAAATGACGTCTCGGCCTGTGTGGAATAAAATTTCGGGCGTCCCACGCCATCGACTAGCCGCGTCGGCTCGATGGCGTGGAGGCTCACGAAGGTCCACGCAATAACCTAACTCACTGGTTGATTTCCACACAGGTCTGGGGCCTCGACGCCGCTTCCCAAGGAAAGAAGGAGGTGCCCTGGATGTGCCTCGAGTGCTTCGCCGCGGGCCAGACGGGCGAAACTTGCGGGGCGTGCGGCGCTTCGAAAGCCAAGGCGAACCAGGACGTCTGGGGCTTCGACGACCCGTCTCCTGCTGGATCGCCGCGGGCGCCGCCGCCTGCGCCCGCGCCGGAAGGCGACGGCGCTGCAGCGCGCATGGAGCGGTTCCTGGAGGCGAACGGAGAGGCGCCGCCGGCGCCGCCGACGCCGGCCTGGGACTGGACGCAGGAGTCCAACGCCGACGCGCCGCCCGTCGTTGCTCCGCCGCGGCCGCGCGGACCACCGGTGCCGGCCGGTGGCGCGCCGCCCGTCGTCGCGCCGCCTCCGGCGCCGCCCCAGTTCCGGCTGCCCTCGGGCTCGGACACGCTCCCGTCGCCGCCCGAGGAAGAAGGGCCGCCGCGGCCCGCGTGGCTCGAGGCGCCCGCGGCACCGGCGCGGCCGCCGCCGCCGCCGCTCGTCCCGGCTGTTGGCGGTGGCGCGCCGCCCGTGCCGCCGCCGCGGCCGCGCGGGCCGCCGGTGCCGGCTGGAGGTGCGCCGCCCGTGCCGGTGCCGCGCGGGCCGCCCGTGCCGTCTCCCGCCGGGCCGCGCGGGCCACCGCCCGTCGCCGCGCCGCGAGAACCGCTCCGCGAGGTCCCCGCGCCGCCCCCGGACGCCCTCAGCGACGCGCAGCGCGCGCGCGCCGAGGCGAACAAGCAGCGCGCGCTGCAGCTGCGCATCGCGAAGAACCGCGAGAAGGCCCTGGCGCTGCGGGCGGCGAAGCGGGAGCGGTCGGGGCCGTAAGGGTGTTGTGTGCGATAGTTCTAGCGACGAGTGATCGCCGGGCGAGAGCTCTGCCGGGCGGCCTCGCGGCGGTGCCACTGCCGGGCATCGCAAGGCATCTCAAAAATCATTCAGAGCGGACCTTACTCATCTAAGTTGCTCATTCCAGGCTTTGAGACCCTCAGGGCGCGGTTCGGGAGGCGTTGAGTCGCGAATCTCGCGGGTCCTTCCGGCGATGTCAGCTCAAACCAGTTCCCACCAATGTTCGTGCTGCTCTTTTGCTCCTTGGATGTCTACGATGGCGTTTGGGCGTGTTTCATTGCAGTCTCAGATTGGCACCGGGAAAGCAGCAAAGCAGCCTAAAGCACATTGGAGGGCAAAATCGCAATCTTCCCGTGCCCTAGAGATTAAAGTTTTTGCATCAACGGCGAGAATCAAACCCAAAGACACTCTCTGCAGCTTACGGCATCAACAACGGAGCTCTGTACGCCGCGAGAGCGTTTTTGCAGGGTTGACGTCAAAGACACGTGCTTCCTCGGAAGGAAATTCCAACGCCGTCCGTCGAGACGGCAAGCTTGCGTGAACGCGAGTTTGCCGGAGCATTTGCAACGCAAAACGCGTCAGCGCAGCGCCGACGATCACAGTCGCGCGCCGCGAGAGCGCTCGCCGCGCCATACACCTGGCTTCGGCGTCAGCGCTAAAGCATGCGCCGCGACCTGGAGGGCTCCGTGGACGGCACCTTTGAAGTGAGCTGCGTCGTGCCCTTGCAAGCGAGCGCCAGCGCGCTCCACGCCGCCGCCGACCGCTGCGACCTCGACGGCGTCGAGTGGGCGCTCGCGGCGGGCGCCGACCCGTCGACGCGCGAGGCAGAGCACGGTCTGACGCCCCTCTGTTTGGCCTGCGGCGGCGCGTCGGCCAACTGCGGCGCGTCCGAGGCCTCGACGTGCTCGTCGCTGGAAGGCGACGAGCGCCTGGCGTGCGTCATCGCCTTACTCCGGGCCGGTGCACGTCCAGACAGAGCGACCTGGGACGGCTTCGCTCCGTTACATTACGCGGCGTCGAAGGACGCTGGGATTTGTGACCAATTACGTATTATCGACGAATTGTTGGACGCCGGCCCGGACGTGTGCCAGCGCAACGACGCCGGCTGGGCCCCGGTGCACTACGCCGCGGAAGCCGGGAACCTGGAGCTCGTCCGGCGCTTTTTGAGGGCCGGCGCCGATGTTAAGTCCAGGAACCCCGCGGGGTTCCTGACCGAGTGTCATAGGAGGGCCTGGCCCGCGGTCCTCAAGGCGGGCTACCCCATTCCAAGATTGCGCCACCCCGGCACTTCCCCAACACACTTCTCCTGGGATTTGGTGCATTACCTGCGCCGGACGAAGCCCGACACGTTTTTGTACTTGGAACGAGTTGGGAGCCACGAGTCGTTCGCGAAGTACGAGGCGGCCCATCTGACCAAGTTCGTGAAGTTTCTGAAGTTCCTGCCCGTGCCCGAGGCTTTGCTACCGACCGTCGCGGCGTTCTACGCCCACGCTGGCTCCTACTGACTAAACCCCCTGCGCGCCGGCCGAGCGTGCAAACGCAGCGGCCGCGTACGCGCGTCCCCCTTCCGACCACGCCCCCAAGCTAATAACCTTATATGTCCGGACGACGCGGTTTTACGGCTCCCCACGGGCTGGAGCAAGCGCACCCACGCCGCCGCCGCGACACCCGTGCCAAAAGAAGAAAGCATATGCATATGTTGTTACACGGAACGATGACAGATATGTGCGACAGATATGTCTCAGTCACAGATGACAGGGCCGCGGGCCTTAGGACCCGGGCCGCAGGTGGGGCACGGCGTACCAGCCGACGTGGGCCCAGAAGTCGATGATCGTCGGCAGTAATTCGGCGGGCACGCGCGTGCCCCTTCCTAAAATCCACGCTAATCTTCGTCGATGCGCGCGCTCGTACTGCGCGAATCCACCGCATTCGAGCACCTGGCGCAGGTAGGGCACGGTCTCGGCGTGCTCGAGCTTGATCGTGCACCCCGCTGCTACGAGCGTCGGGATCACCCGATTCGGTTTGCTGCCGAAGCGCCGGACGGCCTCGTCGAGCGGCGTAAAACTGCCGCGGACGACCTCCAAGCGGATGGAGCTCCCGACGCTCTCGACGGCCGAGTCGTCGTCTTGGACCTCTTCCTCGTCGTCGTCGTCGGAAGAAGACGATTCACCGGCTACATTCGCGAGCGTCACTGCTCTTACCACTCGCCTTGTAGCATTGTCCGCGTCGACGTCGGCGCCGGCTTTTAACAAAGCTTGTACAGCAGACGCCGTGCCTAGTCTAGCAGCCCAGTGCAACGCCGTCGCGAAGGACGAGCCGTTCCAGCTCTCGCGCCAATCCACGAGAGCACCCGCCTTGATCAAAATTTTGATGGCCTCGGTGTGGCCGCCCGCCGCCGCCGTGTTTAAGGGTGTTCGACCGCAGCGCGCCGCGGCGTTGACGTCGGCGCCGTGGCGCCTTAGTACATCAATACAGCGCGCATGCCCGTTTGAAGCGGCGTACAGTAAAGGCGCGTAGCCGTCCTCGTCGCGCTTGTTTGGGTCTGCCCCCGCGTTCAATGCGGTGGTGAGGGCCTCGACGTCGCCCTTGAGGGCCGGGGCGCGGAGACGCGGGTCCATTATTCGATATTGGGGGTATACGTTTTTTTGAGTTGAGGCTGTGAAATCTAGCGCGGAGCGCGACGCGCAGCCCGGAAAACCGCTTGAGCAGCTAGGCAGCACCCCGGGGCAACCGCGGCGCACAGTTTTTTGGGGGCCGGGGGGCTAGGAGCCACACGCGCCAAATCCAGGGTGCAGCGTCTTCGGGGCACGCTCGAGTTTTTTTAGACCGCAATTCGCAATTTTTTTTATTTCGAGGGGCCGTCTGATGGGGCTTGGCGGTCGGGGAGGCGTGGTGGGTCCGCGGGGAGGCTTGAGTTGGCATGCGGGGCAGCCCAGATGGGCAGCCCAGAGGGGCAGCCGGTCGCCCCTATGGAGCCCCCGACGGCCCCGGGCGGGCGGGCAGAGCTCCCACGGGCCGCTTGAGTGGGCTAGCCGCGCGTCAAGACGCGTCCCTGTTTGCTAGTGTCTTACAGGCCGCTAGCCGCTGCGCGATTAACTTGCGTAAATTCTTGTTTTACCGCACACTGGGTGCAGATTGGAGCAGTTGTAAGCTGTTGTGACACATTTGCTGCGAGCACAGCAGCCCAGCCCTCTGGCGCCACGTCTAGAGCTGCACCCATCGAGCAGCACCTCAGTGTGCTACCTTGGAGACGCAACTTGTAGCGACGACGCCATCGCAGCGCCATAAATAATGGGTCGCCTCATGCGCCGCCGCTCGACGACGACGACGGACGACGCGGCGCCAGCACCGGCACCGGCGCCGGAACCGGAGACGGCCGCGGAGAGGCGCTGCTGCCGTTTACGAGACGCGGCGCTGTCGCGCAACGTGCGCGTGCGCTTTTTATTTGATGAGATCGCGAAGCTCGGCTGCGACGTCGGCTCGCCCTTTGGGTTTGTCAGGTGCGCCTCTGTAGAACGGAGCGGCCCGCTCGGCGACAAGATGGTCGGCGGCTTCGCCGTCAACGACGGGTCGCAGAAGCGCTACGCGCCGGGCGTCGTCGTCGTCGCCGAGCACGCGCCGGACAAGGCGGTTTTTGAAAGGACGCTCGTGCACGAGCTCGTGCACGCGTACGACCAGTGCCGCGCGAAGGTCGACTGGAAGAGCGGCGCGCACCACGCTTGTGCCGAGATTCGCGCGTCGTCGCTGTCCGGCGAGTGCGACCTCTCGCAGGAAATTAATAGAGGCGTCTTCGGCTTGATGGCACATCACGGCAAGTGCGTGCGGCGGCGCGCGGCGCTGTCGCTGGCGCTGGCGGGGCGCGCCGAGCCCGAGGCGACGGTCGACGCCGTCTTCGACCGCTGCTACGCCGACACGGCGCCCTTCGAGCGGCACCCGGACTTTGCCGGCTTGAGGCCGAGCGAGTCGTTTAAAGTTACTTAGGCATAGCATCGAGTTCCGACAGGTCAATGCCCACAGCCTTCTGCGATGCCTTCTGCGGGTCGCATTCTCACGGGCTGCCGCTCCTGTGCCTTCCTGCCGCCCGGCAGTCGCGCTGGGGCTCACAAAGCAGCCGGATTACGCGCAGAAGCCACGCGTCCGTCGCTAACATGGACCAGAGGCAGCCCGCCGGGGAGGGCGAGCGAATTAGGCGCTCCCGGAGCCGCTCAGCTCAAGGTTTAGGCTCGGCTGCTCGGAGCTTCTCGCGCAGCCGAAGCCGCTCGCCGGTGGCCGCGCGCGAGCCGCGCGACGTCGCTCGCCGCTACCAGCTCGCCTCGTTGCTCGCGCCGACCACTGCCGAGCTGGTAGCGGAACCGCGACCACTGCTCACCGCGACGGCGGAACCGCCACCTTGGTTTTTGTATTTGCCCGACCAAGCCGACCAAAAATACGAAGAGGCCTCGGCGGTGGCGGTCAATGCGTGCGCCGAGGACACGAAGGGGCAGACGTGCTGGATCTGCTTTGACGACGGTTCGGAAGAGGGCCTCGTGCGCGGGTGCGCCTGCCGAGGGGGGGCGGGATTCGCGCACTTGTCGTGCCTGGCGAAGCAGGCGAAGATCTTGGTCGCGGAGGCTTTGGAGAATAATTTGTTCGACCAGGCGAATGAGCGCTTTAACCGGTGGGACACGTGCGGCCTGTGCGAGCAAAAGTATCACGGCGTCGTACAACACGCGCTCGGGTGGGCGTGCTGGAAAACGTACGTAGGGCTGCCGGAGGCGGACAGGGTTCGGGTGTTGGCGATGAACCTACTTGGGAACGGTTTATCCGCGGCAAAGCAACACGAGGACGCGTTGTCCGTGAGAGAGGCCGAGATGTCTATGCTGCGGCGCCTTGGCGATTCAGAAGGAAATATACTTATCATGCAGGGCAACCTTGCGTCGTCGTACAGAGCGCTGGGACGACTTGACGAGGCAATAAGTATGCGGCGAGACGTCTATTCTGGTTGGTTGAAGCTCGAGGGCGAGGAAAGTAGGAAAACCCTCCTAGCAGCCAACAACTACGCTTCGACGCTGAGACAACTAGAACGCTTCAAAGAAACTAAGGTCCTGTTGCGCAAAATGATGCCCGTGGCGCGACGCGTTCTCGGAGAGAGTCATGATCTCATGCTCAGAATGCGGTGGATTTATGGTAAGGCGCTCTACAAAGACGACGCCGCCACGCTCGACGATCTCCGCGAGGCCGTGACGACATTCGAGGAAATTGAACGGATCGGGCGGCGCGTGTTCGGCGGCGCGCACCCGCTCGTAGCGGGGGTTGAGGGGGCCCTGCGACAGTCGCGAGCCACGCTCCGCGGCGCCAACGCCAACGAGAGGCACTTTCCCCTGGGAACTCAAGTATCATGATCGCTCCTCGGTCCAGCGGCTCGTCTCTCGTTGGCGCTGGGGGCACGAAAACCACAGGCCGAGTTGTTTAAAGTTACTTAATAATCATAGCGTCCAACTCCGCCAAATCGACGCCGCGCGCCTTCAAAGCCTCGGCGATTTTAAGCGTGTCGGAGGCGTGGTCCGACAACGCGGCGTCGAGCGCCTCGCCCGGCGCATGGCTCTCGCGGATGGACCGCCCCCACGCCTCCCGATACGCGTAGCGCGCCATCAACCTCCGCTCGGCCTTTGTCTCATCAGCAACCGCGGCGCCGCCGCCGGGCTGTGTCCGGTAGAACCAGAGCGTCACGCAGAAGCGCACGTTTTGTGCGGGCAGGGCCCGGTGTAGCGTGTCGTGCGACGCGAAGAGCACCAGTCGGTCGAAAAGCGGCGCGACGTCCACCGGTGTTTCCGGAAAGGGCACGAGTTGGAGGTGGCCTCCGTCCGCGTCGGACCAGTCCGGGTTCAGATATAATACTGCTGTAATGACCCGATCATCTAACGACGGGTCGCCGTCGAAGTGGAGGGGGAAGCAGCCCCCACTTCCATGGTTCAGTTGGACCTTCAAGGATTGCGAGCGTAACGGGCCGCCGACGCACGCTCTCAGTCGTTCTCGCAGCGTTCTGTCGTTATATAATGTGGCGAGGTGCGGCGCATTAACTCTAGCTTCCTCGTGCGCGCCTATTTCCGTCTCGAAGATGTTATTCTTGACCAGTAAGGACGTCGTGCCTCGCCGCACGAGATGCGTCGCGTTTCTCCCCAATAACCGCCGCTCGGCCAGCGTGATGATGTCGTCGCGCAGCAGGTGACACCTGTGTGGACATCAAATTTCGCGCGCCCCACGCCATCGACGCGATGCTGCCTCAGTAGCTGCGCCTGCTCGACAGCGTCGAGGTTCCACGCCATCGACGCGACATTGTCCCCATAACGTTCTGCTCGATGGCGAGACAACCTAACTCACTGGTTGATTTCCACACAGGGCGACACCACGTCTCGCCCAAAAAACCGTCCACAATAGCATAACCTCTGGTGCGAAGGCCCTCGCAGGCCCTTCCATCAATCTTCGCGGCGAGGTTCGGGAGCAGCCGGCGCATTATTCCACATCGGCCCAGCTCGGGTGCGCGTCTATCCCTTGATCCTGCAAAGCAGCTAATTGAGCCGTCTTCGCTTTCATTTTCTTCTCGAGGCCCGGCGCCTTGTCCGGCGTTTCTCTACAAGCTTTCAGGTAGGCGATCATGAGGTCGTCGAGCTCGTCCGCGAGCTTCTCGGCCGGCGTCGGGCCCGTTTTCGTCTTTTTCTTTTGATCGCTCGCGGGCGCGTCGTTAGATGGTGCTGCTTTTTTGGGCATTATGGCGGTGCAGTGCGGCGGCTTGGGAGAGCAACGGCGTGCGAGCGCGGCAACGGCGTTGCGACCTGCAGCGTCCAAGGTATGTAGAATTAACCCTGCGTCTCGTACAAAGCGATCGCTGCGGCGTGCTCGACCAAGACAGCTGGGCTGGGCTTCCTAGTGCCTTACAGCCGCTAGCGATCGTTGCTCAAATCGCTCCCTAGGTTTGTCCACGCTCGCAGAGGAATACAAAGGGCGCCAAGGAGGCATAGCTCAGCGGGACGACGATGTGGTGGGCTGGCCTGCTTGGTGCAGTTTTGTCAGGCGTCCTGCACCGCCGCCCGCGGATATCCGGGAGCGCCAAGCTCACAGAACGTTTGCCTTGTAAGGGTTTTCGACCTGGAGACCGCAAGGCGTGCGACGGGAAACGAGAAACTCGCCCAGGCGGCCTGGCCTCACTTAGGCACCCGCAACCCGCCGCGCGCGCGAGTCCCCGGAGCGCACCGTATCTCTAAAACAGCCGCAGTGATATGGCAGATGACGGCCCGCAGGCCAAAAGGAGCAAGCCGGGCCCGCCCGTCACGGCAACGATGCTCCGCGTCGAGTCTTGGTCCCCCCCCTCCCCGCCCCGCTCTCGCTCTCGCGTGAATCCAACCGCCATGGAACTCACATCGGTGAGAACATTCCCCGACTCTGGTACGTCGTCGAGGCCGACTTGTACATAAAGAGCTACGTCTTTCGACTTACTAGTGGGGATGGGGCGCCTCGCGGGCTTCCGAGCCCGGCCCGTCGCCGGCCGCATCGGACCGGCGGTGGGCAGGGGCGCCGCCCACTAGCTTTAGCACCGCGAAAGATAACGCACGCGGCGGCTATTCACCAACTACTTACCCCTTCGCCTCGTCGACGATGTCGCCGTCCGACCACGCCTCGAGGTCCCCGTGGAGCGCCTGGAACGGGCCGGCTCCGGCGGGGGCCGCGGCTCCGGCGTCCAGCGCTCCTCGGCCGCGGAGATGCCCCGCCGCCCGCACGAATTCCACGGCGGGCGCTCGTCGATCGCGACGAGCGGGCGCGGCGCGCTCCTTCGCCGCGCGGGCGCCGCCGCGGTACGCGGCGCAGGACTCGCCCGAGGCCGCCGGGCGCCGGGATTCGTCCGAGGCCGCCGGGCGCGCGCCGCCGCGGCGGCCGCTGCCAGCCGGTCGATCGCGGCCGCCCGCCGGTCCTCGGCGCGGCGCAGCTCGGCCTCGGCGGCCGTTGCCGCCTCGACCAGAGTGGCCTCGTCGTCCTCGTCGTCCTCGTCGTCGACCGTGCCGTCGTCCGTGGCGTCGGCGGCGTCCGCCTCCGCCGCGAGGCGCGCGAGGTCGAGCTCGCGCGCGGCGATGTCTTCCCGGAGCGCCGCCGCGCACGCGTCGGCCTCGTGGCGCTCCCGGTCGAGCCGCGCGAGCCGTGACTGAAGGTGCTGCAGGGCACGGACCGTGTCAAAGCCGGCACTGCTTGCGGTCGAGGCCCCATGGAAGCCGCCGCCGTCGTCAAAAAATGGGCTGCCCGCGGCGGCGGCGACGTCGTCGCGGCCGCGGAGGCACTGGACGGCCATCGGGCTTCGGCTGTGCGGCGTACGCTCCGTTTGCACACCGCCAACGATTACTCGTCGTAATACTCGACGGCCCCTAAACCCGAATTTTGGGCACAGTCGGCGATGGAACGGTCTGGAGAGGCCTCCGAGGCGGCGCCGACGGCTGGCGAGGCCAGGCCCAGGCGCCGCAAGAGGGCACCGGCAGCGCCTGGGCTGGCCAGCAAGCGCCCGGGACGCCGGCCGCAGTGCGAGCGAAGGTGTTGCGTCGAACGCCGACGACGAACCGCCTGCAAGGCTAGCAGCCCAACACCGAGGAGCAGCCAAAGAGACCACTATGGCCCTAGCACAGTACCGCAGCCGCCGCGATTCAGAGAGGAGCTGCCCCTGGTTCCACACGGAAGAACAACTGGAGGCCATCGCCGAGCAGGCCTATGATGAAGAAACAGTTTCCACCACGGAAAGAGCACCAAAAGAGGACGACCCGCTCGTCGAGCCCGCGTTACTGCGGCGCTACGAGATCTGCGCGAGGGTCGGTGGGACTTCTAGATGTATTGTATATAAAGCCTACGAGCGCGCCAGAAGACGCTTCGTCGCGCTGAAATTGCTACGAGGCTGTTTTAGGGATAGAACGTCTTCACAAAGGTGCTATCGGGAGGTGGCCTATCTCCACGCCTTGCAGGGCCATCCGTGCGTCGGGAGACTGCGACGAGTGTATGTGGGCGAGAGTGGCCTGCATGCGGCCATAGCTCTCGATTATTTTGGGACTGATTTAAGGCATGCCATTTTAGCCGACAGACTGTCCCCGGAACACCGGACGTGCGTCGCAAGACAACTCTTCGCGGCCCTGGCTTTTGTCCACGATGCGAAAATAGCCCATCGAGACGTGCGACCCTCAAACATCGTGCTAGATGAGAAGTGTCACGCGCAACTCATCGACTTTGCGTCCGCGAAGTTTTTAGGGTCAGATGATTCGACGTCGGCCGCTTTAGATGGTCTGCGTTCAACCACAGACGACATCGGCGCGCGGTGCTACCAGCCGCCGGAACAGCTGCTGGGGTCACCGCGACGAGGCGGAAGGGCGGGCGACGTGTGGGCGTGTGGTTGTATCTTGGTCGAGATGGAGACGTCCATACCGCTCTTTGCGGGCAAGAACACGTTGGATGTACTTACGAGGCAGTGCTGGGTGCTCGGGGCGCCCTCTCCCCAAGACTTACGAGAGCTCCATTGTTCGACAGATGCCGACCGCGTCGTCGCCCATGCGGCATCAAGGGCGGCGTTGCTAGACCGAGCCCCGTCCATCTTGGAACTCATTGATGACGCCTTTTCACTCAGACAATCACTACAAAAGACGGAAACGAAAAAAGAATCTGATGTGGACGCCAGTGTCCTCAAAAAGGACGCGAGACGGCTGGAGCTGCGCGAGGAGACAAGAAGAGGCGACGTCAGCGACCTGGCCTTGGCTTGTGTTTCAGGACTGGACCCTCGCTTGGGCGCGCACGACGCGCTGCGGCATCCCTTGTTTGCTGCTTTCACGGAACGACTCCCGGCGTTCGAAGATAGCAAGGACGGCCTCTTTTCGTTATTGGAAAGGCACTGCGGCGACGGTCTAGATTCGGGTTGTGCTAGGTTGCCTTGCAGCGAGTACCGCGCGCGGATCCAGTCGTACGTCCGCATCGACGAGGTGACGATCCAAAAGTGCCGGCCCCCGCACCTGCGGACGCAGATCCGCATTTTGACGGATGACGATGATACTTCGTATGCGTCGTCCTCTCATCGTAGTGGGACTGCTGTGAGCTGGGCCGACCTGAGCGCCGTGTCCCAGGCGTCGCCCGGTTCGGACGGGACCTACTCCTACTACACGCCCGAGTCGAAGTCGCCCGTGCGGGCCTTGCCCGCTTCGCCGACGAGTCCTAGCACCGATAGTGATGTGAGCGCGCGGGAGTAAGTGTGTTTTGTGTTTTTCTTTTTCGTCGGCGGCGTTTTATCACGTGGGTTCTGCTCCGGTGCTAGTCCGCTACATCGGCGGCGGGCGCGAGCCACCGCGTCTTTCATAACAGCACACTTGCTTTTTTAAGCAGAACCGACTCGGCAAACCTCCAGAACCTTGTTTGCTAGTGTCTTACATAACGCTAGCTCGACCGGATCCGCGGCTCTGATTTGACTCATTTGAGCTCAGACGCTGGACCAAAACCCAACAACGGTGCTGAAGGGCATCCTCGAGGCTTCAGTGCACCGCATACGGCCGCACAAGGCGGCCCAGCTGGTTCCCGCAGTGTGCTCTCTGGATCTTGCTCCTGTGCTCTCACAGCAGCTTTTGTCGAGCGCCAACCGCGGCGCGACCTGAGCCCGGGACCATTCCCACCACCCCTTCGCTGCTCTTTTGATACCACGTTACCACGATGCTGCGCTGGCTCCGTCTCTCGTGCGCCGCGCTCGTCATCGAGCGAGCCGCGCCCCTCAACCCCCTGCGCCGCTTGCTGAGGCGGCCGCCGCCCGTCACCGATCAGATATATGAATCCTGGAGCGTCGACGTCGAGGCCTATGAACGAGCGGACCCGCGCGTCACGTTGCAAGAGAGCCCGGGCGCCGGCACGGGCGTCTTCGCCGCCCAGGATTTAAAAGAAGGCTCCACGGCGACGGAATACGTCGGGCTCCTCGCGGAATGCCCGGACACGAGATCCGGCGACCTCGCTCTATATCAGTCCTACTACGGCGAGAACTGGCGGAAGTACTGTCAGCGGTACGAGATCGGCTTGACGGGGGCGCGCGTCGCGGACGCTGTTGGGAGAGCCAAGGGAGGTTCTGTTGTGGCCGGCTCCCTGAAAACGACCTGTAATGTCGATGAAGATTTAGATGCGTGTGTCACGCGAGCCGGGGAAGGCGAGTACGTGCTACTGGGGAAAGTCGAACGAGCTACTGTGGATGAGGGTGTGGCACAGCTGATAAATGACCACTCCACCATAAGGGCGCCGTCGCACCTAACGCCGTCGGAGGGGTCGTTGAGACCTAGTGATGTGGACGGCTTCGTGCTCAAGGATCCGGCCTGGCCCTATCCTCCGGTAGCGGTTGATGGGGCTGCTCTGAGAAGAGCCACGCAAGAATACGTGTCCAACATTGAAAGTAGCACAAATTGCGCGTTGGTGCAGGCTACTATTGGAAGTTCGGGCCTCTTCGCGCCCCGCATTTTTGCCGTGTGTACGCGCGATATCAAAAAAGGCGAGGAATTACGCCTGACGTACGGGGCCGAGTGGTGGCTCGCGCAATTGAGACGGGCCGCGTTGGCCCAGGTCGTAAGTTGCGCGCCGTCGCCTCGGCGCGCCGCGGCTTTGGAGGCGATGATCCGGGCCGTCGAAGATGTAAGTGTAGACGCGCGCGACGCGCAGGCCGCGGCCTGCGCGAGGGCCGGCTGCATGCCGCGGGCCTTCGTGCAGCCCCTCGAGCGCATGGCGCCCCTCGATGAATTATTAGCGGACGACTCCTGGCAGAAGATTTTGTTAGCGGAGGAGTTCCTGGGGGCGGAGTGCGTCGTCGACGAGATCTACGCGGACGCGTTCCAGCCTACCTTGAAATAAATTTACTCAGTCGTCTTTCAATGACTCCTCCGCCATCTCCTCGGCCTTCTCCGTGTCGTCATCTGATGATTTGCGTGCCGCCGCCATCTGCGTGACGAACCCAGAACCGGCAATAAACGTGGACTGCACCACCGCGATGAAGGCGCCGTCGGCCTGCGCGGGGACGCGTCGACGGCGTGGAGGTGGACAGCGAAGGCACCCCAAGGACGCCGCCCCCGTACGTCGTGCCATGCGCCGATGGCGAGGAAGATGAACGCAAACAGAGCACAGACCGCGATCGTCACGCACGCCACAAAAAGTATGATCTGCGTCGTCGACAGGCCGACCTGCTCCATGACCGCCGCGACCATCTCCTCCTGGATCCGCGCCCAGGCGCTCCGGAACTCGCCCATGTCTATACTCCCAGAACCGTCGGCGTCGGCGAACGCAAAAATCGTCTCGAGCTGCTCCTCGCTTATCGAGATCTCCATCAGGTAAAATAATTCCCGGAGCTCCTCTCGGTCGAGGGTATTGGACTCGTCCTCATCCACGAGATCGAAGATGCGCTCGATCTCGAAGGGCGCATCTGGATCATCCCCGGCCTCCACATCTTCTGTAGTTTCACCTTTGCGCTGCCGTAAACCAGCAGCGCCGACCGCGACAGTGCCGACCGCCGCGCCTTCGACCACGGCCTCCTTGTTCATCTTCTCGCGCGTGAGTTTCTCGTGCCTGTGTGTCAACTTACGGGGACAACGCCGCGTCGACGACACGGGACGCGACGCTTTCTTCACGCTTTCGTTGAGCGTGCGGTCCATGACCCTCGTGATCGTCTCCTCCATCGCACGCGCCGTGGCGGCCATCTGCTTCCAGGACGTCGTGATCACGAAGATGATGAGCGCGGCGGCCGCCGCGTATTTGAGGTACTCCGAGGGCTTCATGACCTGCGTGGACATCAAATTTCGGGCGCCCTACGCCATCGACGCGACTCGTGTCCATCGGGCGAGGTCGTGGGTGGTTTCTTTTTCGAGTTTGAGCACCCGACGCACTGGTTGATTCCCACACCGTTCCTCACGGCCGCGACCAAAATCCAGCACGCTAAGATAGCGCAGTACGCGATGAAGAAGACGACCATGAGGGTGGAAGCAAACCCGAAGAGCCACATGCTGACCAACGTCATATATTTGATAACCCCTTTACTACCTTTTGTAGTAAAGGCGTAGTTCGCGATGAGTCGTAATAAAGCGAGGGCCATATAAGCCAGACAGAAACTCCCAAGATACATGCACGTCGCGTTGATCTCCCTATCCTCCTTCATGGGCCACGTGAGGTCGTACTTGGATAAAGCTCGTCTGACAGATAACGCTTCCGCGTACATGAACTGCGTCTTTAATAACGTCGCAAGCACCAAACAAGGCAGGGACATCAAGAAACAAACGTGGCCCAACACGAGCAACGCCTCCCGCTTGTACTCGTCTCGGGAAATGGCGCCGACAGCTTTATCTCTACCAGCATCTTTCAGCGTGAGGCCCTGCGCGAAGACGACGCCTTCCACCGAGAACACTAAACCGGGCCCGACCTGCTCGAGCAGCTTTTCGGGGTCGCCTCTGACAATCTTTCGGCAGGCCGTGCGCACGTCGTCCTCGCTCACCAGCTGCGCCGCCGGGTTCTGCACGCAGATCCAGTCGTAGAACCTCGAATAGAGTCCGGCGGCAATGCCCTTGTGGCCGGCCTCGTCCCTTCTTCTCCGGTCAAAAGTTTGGATCTGGTCGATCTGGTTGTGGCCCGTGATCTCGCACTCCTCCCGCAGGAACCGCGCGACCAGCGCCCCGTCGATGTTGAGAGATGCGGCGCCGCCAATATCTCCAAATTCATCCAAACTTGCAGTCATCCTCAGCTTCCGCTCCCGGAACGCGTCGAGGTCGCGCAGCGTCTGGTCCCTCCACTTCAGTCCCGAAATTTGGGGCATCCTGACCTGTGCGTGCATCGACCCGTGCGTCGGGTGCACCCGATCACGCCGTCGAGCCGGCGTCGCGTCGATGGCGTGGAGGTCATGATTTATGCACTGCTCCTCACCCGCTTAAACTTGCAATCAAATCTCGAGGCGAGCTCGGCCTGCAACTCCTCTTTCAGGAACGGTTTCAGATCTTGCTGAGCGCAGTACTTGTTGTAGTGACATTCGAAGTTCTCGAGCGCGCAGGAGTTCAAATCAAACAGCATGACGTTGTGGTTGTTCACGCCGTCGAGCGACGCGTGGATGGACCTGTGTGGCAATCAACCAGCGTCCATCGCGGTGGCGTCGCGTCGATGGCGTAAGGTCATGATTTCCACACAGGCATGGACCGCAGCTGCTCTCCCGGTGCCGGGGCCGGTGCGCTCGCATCAGCAGGCTTGTCTTCGACCACCACGCCACCTCGAACAGGTCGCAATAAACACTCGGCCTGCACAAACGCTTTCACACTATTAACGTAGTGCCGCTTCAGGGGCTTGGCCACAAAAATAGTGAACAGGCGCAGCGGCTTGGCCAAGGGATTTTTGGGGACTTGCAAGAACCGCTTCCAGCCCGTCTTGCGAGGCGGTTTCGGGGGCGGCCTCAGGGCGGCTTTGATCTCTTGTTCCGACGCACCCAAAGCAGCTAATTGCTTGGCCGCCTCCATCTGGTGTCTTACCTGTTGTTTTCTTTCATGATTATCCACGAGTATCGTCGCGACCTTGATCAGGGCCAATGTACTGAAAATAGCGACGAAGACGCCAAGCGCAGCACTAAAAACTAAGGCCGTGCGCGGCGTCCCCTGCCGCACCTCGTTGTAGGGCGTCTCGTAGGGGTCCGTCGGTGTGTTGGCTCCCGTTAGTGTGCCCACGCGACTGGGGTAGGCCCACATCTTCCCTAAGGCAGGCAGCGTTCTTCTTTTTTGTCTCTCGAGCCGCACGAGCATGCCCCGCAGCCCGCTCTGCTGGAACCTGGGAACTAGAGCCTGATATAATTGAGAGTAGATCTCCAGCGTTGCTGTTTTTACATCTGTCGCGTTATGATCGCCACAGACGCCTGCGTGGAGCATCGCGGTCGCTCGACGCGGTCCGAACGGCCTCAAACTCGAAAAAGAAACCTCCCACGACCTCATCTGATGGAGACGACGCGCGTCGACGGCGTGAAGGCGCCTCTACACCTCAAAACGCCGAGATTGCACCGTTCGTAAAGTGCACTCGATACCTCTTCATGTCCGGTACGAGTAGTCCTAAAGATAATAAGTGGAGCGTCGGGGGGTCGATCTCGAGGAAAATCTTTCTAGTAGCATAAATCCAGCGCTGCTCCGGGACACCTGGTGAGGAGACCACATCAATAACGACCAGCACGTCGCCCTCCGCGTCATTGGCGCCATAGACGTCTCGTATTTCACTAATTAAGGCATCACTATCGTACTTCGCCAGTCTTAAACCGTCTGGTTGGCCCGTATCCCGAAAGACGCCGTGGTCGTCAGTAGTCCTATCAACACCTTTCGTGAAGCGAACTTCGCCCGCGTCGCTCCATAGCGTAACACTTCGTCTAGTAGTACTATCTTCAACAGTGGCTACTCTGTGACACCCCGGAATTAATGTAGTGTCGCCCATCCCCTCCAGTTTGTCGAGGAATGATCCGGACGTGACCACGTTGCTGCCCATCAACAGTGTTCCAGTGTTATCTACGGAAGGAAACACCTCGTCCTCCAAGACGCCGCACCAGGACCACTGGGGGCAGCCGCCGCCGCAGCACCTTCCCAATTTCTCGTAGCCTTCCCGGAACTCGTCCTTCGTGATTCTCCCGTCCGCGTCGCCGTCGTAGGTCGCGAAGACCTGCGTCTTCCACCACAATGATTGGGGGTTGCAGTCCGTCCACCATGAGCCTGTTGTGGAGTTCGAGAAGACCTGCTTCGGGGTCCAGACCTGTGTGGAAATCAACCCGTGTGTCGGGTGCCTAAGTCATTTCTCGGCGACGACGCGTCCCTGATGACTGAATCGAGTCGTGTAAGACCCACACCGCCACGCCGTCGAGGTGGCGTCGCGTCGATGGCGTAAGGCCATGATTCAGCAGTGGCGGAGACGCGCCGCGACAATTTGATTTCCACACAGGTCAAGACTCCGTCCACCGTTCTGCCAGAATAGTCGATGGACAGGGCGTCGCGCGCACCGCTCCCGAAGGTCTCGAAGCAGGCTTGGTTAGAACCGGCGCGCCAATTCAAATCCCAGCTATCCGTGGATTCATCGTCGACGTAGATGTTGCCTCGGGCGCTTTTGAGGAACAACGCGCCGCCTCGCACATGCGACGCCCGGATCGTGCCGGACTCCAATTGCGCCTTCAGTATCGACTCATGTATTGTGTCCTTGACGACGAGCTCGACGCGCGGCCCGTTCACCCTACAATCTTTGATTTTAACATCTTTGAGGACCACCTTCACGTGGTCCGCCTCGTCGGCCGCATCTTGATTAATATCTAACCTTACGATCTCCTTCGCATGGGGTACTTCAACCGTGAGCTTGCAGATCGGCGCGCACCTTAGACCGGGCGACGCGTCGCAGCCGCCTGGTAACGAGTTCGTCGCCGTAATCCGTTCGAGCTTGCCGCTGCGCATCTGGATGCTCGCCGACCTGTGTGGAAATCAACCCGTGCGTCGAGTGCGAGACGCGCCGACAATTTGATTTATGCACTGTGCTTGACGCCGCGCTCGAGAGGTGCGTCTTGAGGCGCACCCGCGCGTCAGGCCCGCGCTTGACCACGAGATCGCAGCCTTTCAACACGACCCCCAACGGTTTGTGGGGATTGAACTCGAGCTCATAGAGCGAGATGCGGTTGTGCCGCAACGCGAGAATCCAGACCCCGAAGAGTAGCGTCATATACAAGAACAGGAACCCCAGCCGCGTCGCCTGGAGCTTTTTCGCCTTCCGGGCCAGCAGCGCGTCCCGCAGCCCCACTGTGTCCCTCGTGCGCAGCGTCGGCGACTTCAGCTCCGGCACCGGCGCCTCGACGTCCACTTTTGCGGGCTGCCCCATGGCCGGCTGCCCTTTGGCGGCACGCCTCGCCGCCTCCGCTCGTATTTGGATAGCGCTGGCGCTGCCGGAGATGTGTTTTTGTTTTTTAGTGGGCTGCCTGCTAATAACCGTGTGTTGTTCGCGGGGAGGGATCGGTCGGCGAAGAGGGTCGCTCGTCGTTTCGCGGTTGGCATCTCGCGTAGCCATCTCGCCGTCTGAACCTAGAGCTAGATTGCAAGATGAGGTTGATCGCACGCAGCGCGCACTCTCCCAGTAGAGTAGCGGTTATCTCCCAGTGAGGTGCGTTCGCTTGCGAAGCTTGCGCAAGTTGCACCAGCAGCAGCCCGACAACCCCACCGCAGCCCGCAATTACACCAGCAGCCAGCCCACAGCAGCCCGCAGCCGCGACCACGAGAGGAGCAGCCATGGCGGGATGGCTCGCAGCCCACGCGGCAGCAATGAACGCCACGAACTACACAAACACCTACGCGCGCTGCGTGTTCCAGAAGGTGCGGCGGACGTCGTGCGCGCACAAGTCGCGGAACTCCGATCACCTCTTCAAGGGCAGGCCGACGGCGTCGCGGGCCGAGGCCTTCGCCCTCTGCGACGCGGACGCCGAGTGCGACGCCGTGCAGCAGTACGGCGACGAGGCGCTGATCAAGGAGGAGAGGGACGACTGGGCCGAGGCCTGCGGCGCCGATACTTGTTACATGAAGTGCAAGGACCTCGGGAAGGATGGGTGTGGTAGGACGCGGCTCGTGGGGTCGGGGTATGGCGGCGACCGACGACTCGCCGACGAGGTCCTGCTGGACGACGCCGAGGTCCCGTGGGACGACGACGGCGGTCGCCGGTTGTACGGCGGCGGCGGCGGCGACGACTACGAGAGCCCGGCCCAGCACGTCTACACGTGCCGGCCCCACGACGACGTCGGCGGCATGCGGTCGCCCGCGGCGTTCTGGCTCTGCCTCGTCGCCGTGTTTTGCTCCGCAGTGCTCGGCTGGGCTTCTACAAAGATTCTGCGCAAGCGCTTGGACCCGTCCGGGACCGCAGGGTCGCGCTTCGGCTGGTCCCTCTGCGCTTGGCTTCTGGGTTGTTTGCTCGTGACCATCGGCTTCGCGCTCTGGGCGTCGCACTTCGGGCCGATCGGGAAGTTCTCGAAGGGCGGGTGCGACGAACGGCTGGTCGGCGCCGCGGCCGGCGTCCACGGCGCCGCGGCGTTTCTCCTCGTCGCGGCGGCGGTGGGCCTGGTCGCGCACAAATACGGACCGCAGGACGACGCGGGCGGCGCCAAGGTCGCGCCGGCGGCGCAGCAGTACGATGCCGCTCGTTTATTGCAAGCGAACCACCGGGGAAGAGCGTCTCGAAGGGCCCACCCGAACGTGGCGCCGGTGACGTACGCGGCGACGGTCGTACCGCAACAGCAGACCATAGCGGTCACCATCCCGCCCGGTACTGGACCGGGTTCCGTGCTCAGTTGCCCGCTGCCGGACGGCCGCACGGTCCAAGTGACCGTCCCGCCCGGCAGCGCCCCGGGCGCCGTAATTCAGGTGGCGGTGCCGCCGTGTTTATAAACTTGTCCTTACCTCACCACGACCCTCTCCCCGCCGAGCGCCGCCTCGACGCGCTCCAGCCAGGCCCCGATCTTCGGGTGCGCCTCCACGACGTCGTCGCGCGCCGGCAGACCGGCCACGGCCCCCAGGACGCCGTGCACGGCGACGTCCGCCAGGTCCGGCGCGTCGCCGCCCCGGAACGGCCGATCTCCAATACGCGCCTCCCACGTCGCCAGTTTCTCGAAGAGCGCCGCCCGCTCGTCCTCGATGCCGTACTTCCTCTTGATCTTGCCGTGCGCCAGGCTCATGCCCAGCGCGCCCACGTGCTTGATCAGGAGCGCATCCATTGGCCCAAAGGCCCCGTCGGCGTAAGATAAAGCTCGGCGGCACTCGCCGTACGTCTTCGTGAGGTTCGGGTAGACCATCGGCGCCAATTCATGAGTTGCCCAGGCCGCCCACGTGCGCGCGGATTCTGAAGCGAAATCTTCCGAGGGCGGCGACCGCCGGAGGAGTTCGTCCACAATCGCCGCGGACTCGACGACAATCGACCCGTCGTCAAAAACCGCGATCGGCACCTTCCGATGCGTCTCGCTGAACTTGATTTCGGCCTTGGTCAGCGGATTGACCTCCGTGAGGGCTATCGTCGTCTTCGTGTAGCGCGCGGCGCTTCTTACAAAATGGCAGAACGGACAAATGGAGTAGCCGAAGAGGCGGAGCGCCGCGCCGGCGGGCGGCGGCGGCGGCGCCGTGCCGAGCCGGCGCGTCGGGCCGCGGCGGACTAATAGGCGTCGAGCAGCGGTCGCCATCATTTCTCGCAGGCGTGCGGTTGCGCGTGCAGCACTTTTGCTCTCCGAGGTGGTGGCTTTGTTTTTGGGTGTCACGCGTTACTGCTCGCTCGAACGCTTGCACTCGTCGTCCGCGAGGGCAAAGCGCTGTCCCACGCGTGCTGGCTCGTACCCTTCGCACGACGCGCCGCAAAGCCGCAGCTTCCGACCTAGCGGACTGTAACACACTAGAGACTGCTGCCGCATGCGCCGCGACGCCCGAGCAGCCACTGCCAACCGACGATCGGTTTAGACCTCCATTTTGCGCGGGCTGCAGCGCTCGCACCCATCCCATCAGCCATTCGGGTGATCCCGCATAGGTTGGCAGAGCACTCTCCCAGAGGTGGGTGGGGGCGCGTGCCACAGCATGTTCTCCCTGACCGACCTCTGCCTGAATCGGATAACGGAGGACCCGGCGCGGTGCCTGCGACATGGTGAGGAGACGCACCCCGCTTTACTGCGATCAAGTAAAGACGCGTTCCTGCGGTGCGAGGCGCAGACCGTACATAGGGACCGCTGGGCCGCCGTCGAGCAATCTACGAGCGACGCGAGAAGAAGGCCGCGGCCGGAGGCGCGGCCCCAATTGCTAGCTACATTGGCTGCGCGCGGCGCTTTAGTGGATGGCGTGCTGCCGCCGAAGTTCTTCGAGTCTCTACGCGTGGACACGTTGTCGCTCGCGGCGTGTCGCGCAAGGGCGCCGTTTCTGATGTTGGCGCAGGCGCAAGCAAAGACGTCCGAAACTTTATCTTGTTTAGATTTAGGATCGTGCCTCCAGTTGGACGATGCTGCGCTAGCTATCATAGTGGACGCGTGCGCAGCAACCCTAAGAAGGTTGAATCTGAGAGACTGCCGCAAGCTCACGGATAGCGCATTTACCTCGTTACAAGCAGCGCGCGTGCTGGAGGACGTCGACGTGGGCGGCAATTTCAACATGAGCATAAAAGGAGCGTCAACTTATGTCTCATCCACCGCGAAGCGCAAGTCGACGGACGATCAAAGATGTCTATCCGGGATCGCCGTGGGCGGGCTCGGGTGTGATGACGCGTTTCTCACAGTACTCGCAAAAAAAGTACCGTCACTAAGAGTTTTTGGGGGCAGCTACGGCCACTTTTCCTCGTCTGGCTTCGTGGCCGCGTGTGCGTCTCTCCAACATCTGTCGGACGTGCGCGTGCAGTGGACGGAATTCTTCGACGACGCTTGCTTAGATGCTTTGTGTCAAGTCGGTCCGATCCGATGCTTGGACTGTCTGGGGACGGCGGTGACCGTCGACGGTCTTTCACGGTTCCTGTCGTTGAAGGTGCACGACGACGCCTTGGGGCCCCAACCAGCTAGGCTGCTCGAGTGGGTCAACGCGCGGTATACCGCGGGGCCGCGGGAGCGGTTGGAGAAGCTGCCCAGGGTGTGGCAGTTCGCGGCGGTGGAGGTCGTGGTCTAAGTCTATATGCTTGTATCATTGCGGCGGCGGGCGTCCTGGCATACACGTCGTGTCTCTTGTTACGTCGCTAGGGGGCGTCCCCGCGCGGCCGCCGGTGGCGCGCCTTTTGCCTGTTTTACTAGGTCGCTCACCTCATCGTGGTCTGGATGAATGCTGGGAGGGGGCGCCCGGCGCCTCGATGGCGCCTTGCAGCGGTGCGGTGCGTACACAGCTAGCGGCGGTAAGACACTAGCAACCAAAAGCAAACCCAGCGCTCAGCTTTGCTCGGGGCAGGCTACGCCCGCCGGCTCACCGGACCCCGACGTGCTGGTCGCGGGCTCCCGACGTCGACGCGTGGCGGCTACCGCACGCCGGGCAGCACCCCACCGCCGTCCGCCCGGCAGCCGCCCAGAGCTAGGCTTGAGCCGTAGGCAGCCCGGACCGGGCCCCCGCCGTCATAAACCATGGGCAGGGGCGCCATGGGCCTCTTCGGCGCGAACATGGCCGACTTCCAGTTAGGCTTGGCCCTGGACGACAAGGCCGGCGGCTACTTGGAGACGGACGAGGAGATCGCGCAGGCGCGATCTCCGCGTTTTGAGGTGTTGCGGTGCCTTCCCTTCATCGGCATGCGTCGTCTCCGGGAGAGGAGGTCGTGGCTGGTTTCTTTTTCGAATTTGGGGCCGTTCGGACCGTTTCCAGTGAATACGATGCTCCGCGCATGACGTGGTCGCCGTGACGGCGTCGACGCGATGCCGCGCCGCCTCGACGCCGTCGTCATGATCACACGAGAGTCCACGCTCGCGCGCGAGAGCCGCGGCGGTGTCGTGACGCTATCAATCAACGCAGGACGACGACCCCCTCGCGGACATCAAGGCCGCCTGGATCATGGCCGGCGAGGACATCAAGGACTTCACGGTCATGAAGTTCAACAAAAAATTGCGCGAGGAGGAGAAGCGGGACTTCAACAAGAACTTCATTTCCGGGAACACGGACTACGAGGAGAAAATTGATTTGTGGATCTCCGCGTTTTATGAAGGTGCCTTCACGTCCATACGACTCGTCTCCATCAGAGAAGACGGTGGGTGGTCTCTTTTCCGATATTGAATCGCGCAGGCTGAACCGCATGCGGCGGACGTCGACGTCGTGGAAGGACGTGAAAGGGAACCTCCAGCACGCCGGGAAGCTGCTGAAGAAGGAGCTGGGCACTGTTGGGAGAGTTGTTGGGAGGGTGGCCGAGCCGGGGTTTTCTCGGAGGGAGCGGCGGCGCGTTTTACATTTGAAACGCATCGAGGAGCACGAGCTGCGGTCGCTGGCCATCACGCGCCAAAGACTACAGATCGAGCGCGATCGGGAAGCTTTGCGGTACCGGAAGGCCGGCATCGAGCGGAGTCGAGGGAGGTTGTTAGATCATCTGAAGCCGTCAGAAGACCTCAAGATGGCTCTAGCTAGAGTCGCGGCGACGCGCCAGCGCGAGAAAGATTTAAAAGCGTACCGGGAGAAGACGCAGTCCCTCATCGAGGAACGCGAGGCGGCCGCGGCCGGGGCCAACACCGCGGCCGCTCTGCATTACCGCGAGACCATGTTCCAGCGCCGCAAGTTCCGCGCGTCTCATTATACTCAAGTATCGAAAGATGCTCGCTTAGAAGCCAAACTCAGACGCAAGGAGGCGGACCGGAAGTTCCTCGAGAGAGATGCGGAATTAGCCGCGCGGCAAGCCGAACAAGAGGAATCCGTACGGGTTTCTAGAGCGATAGAACAAGTGAAAGGTCCTGATTTGACGCCTGCTACTACATTCCCATCTGGCAAGACATTAGGAGTGTTCGGTGGAGGTGGCGTCGTGATTCCCGACAGCGCCACGACCGCCGAGGGTGAAATCATCCCTGGTGCGATTACGGATGGTAAGTCAGCGGCGGACCACGGACGCGTCCGAGTGTTCCATGGGACACCCACCCCAGTCATCGAGGAGCAGTGGGAGGCTTTAGGGGACCTCGAAGGTCTACGGGGCCAAGCGGCGGCCGAAGCGTCCGCGCGGCAAGCGGACTGCGACGCTCTCGAGACTTCGGCTCGCGATCTAGATGCTCAGAGAAGTAGATTGTGTGCGGAACGCAAACAGTTAGCGGCCGAGGACGAGGTGTTGCGGAGGAGGATCGCCGGGCCGCCGCGCCGCGACGCGAACGAGGCAGAAAAAGATAGTCGCGCAAGACGCGCGGAGCGCATGAAGTTCCTTCACAGGAGAGAATCGAAATTGCTCCACGAGTCGGCTGTGTTGAGGACGAGAGCCAAGGCGCATAGAGAAGGCGCCTCGACGGCTAGAGCGCGAGCGGCCGCTCTGAGTGAGAAGTGTTTAACAATGAGACGACCTCTGGAAGCGTCGTCGACGGACGCGGGCCTCGGCCCGCCGCCCATGATCCTAGGACGTTCATTATCGAAAGTACCGACGCTCGGCCTCAATCCGTTGCAAGCAAATCCGGCCGAGGCGTTGCGGGCCATCACGCGCCATTCGCAACTGGAGGTCTATCGCGACCAGTCCAAGTCCATCTTAGCTACAAGAGAAGAGGCCACGAGACTCGAAAGAGGCCTCTGGGCGGCCGAGCGCCACCGCCAGAACGAGACGGTACACCTCGACGAGATGCTCGTCAAATTAGCGAACATCGCGACGCGCGTCAAGAAATCTAGATTCGAGGACGTGCGCCACGATTTAGTCCAGGCGATCCGGCTGTTCTGGGCCAAAGGGTCAAAACTGAGAAAAATAAATCTACGGCACGAGGGGTCGCTCGACTGGTGGGCGCGGCGGACCAAGACTCTTAATGTAATACAGTGGGTCTCGAGCGACATGCGAGATCCGGTGCATGACTCAAATCGTGTGTCGCGTCGATGGCGTATCAGTTCTCGTGGATGTTCGCCCCCACGCCGTCGCGGCGACGCGTCGATGGTGTCTATCACTCGATTCGCGCGCAGGCAAGATCCAGATGAACAGGTAGAATCGAGACCCTCGACGGCGATGACCGCCGAGGAGCGCTTACTCATGGAGGACGAGACCAAGGAACAAAGGTGGAATCCAAGAATGCAGGGCTTCGCGCATCATACGGCTCGAACTGGATACTTGGAAGGCGAGATGGCGTTACCTCGCCACGACGCCTACACGATCGAATTTACGATTACCAAAAGAAATCCGATGGCTTCAGACTTAGGAGACCCGACCGACCGGTGCACCGTGAAGCTCGGGCCGAATTTGCGCAATTTACAAGAAGTAGCGGTGGCCAAAAATATTGTGGACGAGTACGCGGGCTGTGCTGATCGCGGCGTTTTATGAAGGTGCCTTCCCTTCCATGCGACTCGTCTCCGGGAGCGATGGCCGGGGGTGGTTTCTTTTTCGAGTTTGAGCGCGTTTCGGACACGCAGGTGCGCGCTACGAGTTCACGCACGGGATGAGGACCGACACGCTAGCGTGGCGGTTTGAATTCATGTCGTCTACAGAGGCTGTTGAGTCACACTTCGTCGTGGAGCAAGGGGCGTATGCACCTAGGGATATTCCTGACCTGGAGGTCACCGACGGTGCGATCTCGGCGTCCCGTCGTGTGGAGGCGCCTTCACGCCATCGAGGCGACTCGTGTCCATCAGACGAGGTCGTGGGTGGTTTCTTTTTTGCTGAAGAGGCCGTTCGGACCGAGTCGAGCGACGCGATGCTCCGCGCAGGTTCGAATCGCGTCATCTCGTCCTACGTGAAGCAGTTACGGCTGGAGATGAATTCGGGATCCATGAAGTACGCGGACTGGCTCGCGGAACTCATTAAGGCCGATAGTGTCCCGCCCGTGCCTTCCGATCCCGATGCTGCGGCATTACTCGCGGCGAAGGCCGCGAAGTTCGGCGTGCGCTCGCCGCGTTTTGAAGTGGTGCCTTCACACCGTGCGTCGTCTCCGGGAGCGATGGCCGTGGGTGGTTTCTTTGTCGACTTTGAGCGCGTGTCGAGACCGAGTCGTTTCCGCGCAGCAAGCGCCGCCGGGCTACTGGGATAGCGATAGTCTGCACGCGACGCCGCAGCGGCATCATATTGGTACTTTCAGAAGGTTGTTGAGGGACGAGTTGATGCAAGTGGCCGACCAGGCGGCCCAGGACGACGTCGAGACCAGTGTCGAAAACTTCAAGTTGTACTTCAATCTCGGGTCTCTCGCGGTCGGAGTGGGGTGCTGCTCGCCCCACGCGGTCGCGTGTAGCAGAGGGACGTCGTGTCCAAGTTTGAGCCGAAACCAGGGCCGCGGTGCCGAGATAGCAAACGCGACCGCTCTCACTCGGCAAGAAGCGAGGAACGCGTCGCGTCGATGGCGTGGAGGCTCGACGAGGCTCGACGAGGCTCGACGAGGCTCGACGACGCTCTCAGACGCCGTCGACGCGAAGATAGCCTGACTCACCGGTCGATGGCCACGCAGGTCGAGAAGGGCTTCGCCGAGGAGACCGGTACAAGACGACGCCGACGTTCTCGTGTGGCTTCTCAAACGCCCCTGAAACCTCCCACGCAGGAAGAACTCGCTCAGCAAAAGAAGCAAGAAGCTCATGCTCGTCGAGTCCGACAGTCGCTCAAAAAATATCTCAGACGTAAAAGAGAAGCCCTGAAACCGAAGGTCGAGGCCGCGAAGAAGTGCGCCGGGTGCTCGTTGGAGGTCTTCGACGAAGACAACAATACGTGGAAGCACATGCGCGTGAACCGCGTCGACGTGCAGTGGTTGGAAGGCGGTATGCTGCGGTGTTGCGGGGCCTTCACTTCGTTGCCGGGACTCGTGGCCATCTCACGAGGCCGGGGGTGGTCTTTTTTTGGATTTCGAGGCCGTTCGCGCGCAGGCGTCACGTGCCGCATCCGCTACGAAGTGCAACCGGTGGACGACATGGAGCGCATGGCCGGGCCGCCGTACTGGCTCGATCTCGACGAGTGTCGCTACTACATTTCGCAGCGCGTCGCGCCCGATCCCGAAACTAGAAAGATCTGGGAGCACAACGAGGCGGAGGCTGCTATTGTGCGATACCGTGTCTTCACGCCGTCGATGCGACTCGTGGCCACCTCACGATGGTGTGGGTGGTCTCTTTTCCGATTCTGGGGCCGTTCGGACCGAGTCGCTCCACACAGGCGGACGCGAGAGCGTATCTCGCGCTCGTCGAAGTCGACAACCGCCGCTTGAAGCGCGAAGCCAAGGAGCGCGAGGACACGGCGAAGTTCGAGGCAGCGAAAAGGGACGCCGTGCGACCTCCGCGTTTTGAGGTGTTGAGGCGCCTTCACTTCACTGATACGACCCGTGACCATCTCACGATGACGTGGGTGGTTTCTTTCTCGAGTTTGAGGCTCCGCGCAGGTCAAGAGAAAACGGAGAGAGGCCTACGCCGAGGCCGCGGGCCTCATGACGACGCGCGCCGTCAAAACATTGACGAAGATGCGGGCCAAGAACGTCGTCGAGGAGATGCGCGCCGGTTTAACGCCCATCTCGTTCTTCATCAAGAAGCCGGGGCCGCCGCCCGAGGTCGGCAGCCGTGTCCACGCCGTCGACGCGACGCCTGCTCGATGGCGTGGTGGTGCCGGATCCTCACCGCTCGCCGAGACTCACTGGTTGCTGGCCACACAGGTCGACAGCGAGGCCGAGAGCGACCACGAAGCCGGTACTCCGGGCAAGCCGGGCACTCCAGGCTCACAAGACGGGTCCCGACCTGGTACGCCGGGCTCGAGGCCCGGCTCGCGGCCGTCGTCGAAGCGCTCGACGCGGTCCGACGACGACAACGACGCGCTCACGCCCATGAAGGAGCGCCTCAAGAAGACGTCCGCTCGCGGCGTCCCGTCGTGTGGAGTCACGCCATCAACTTGTGTCCATCAGACGAGGCCGTTCGGACCGCGTTCGACGGGAGACGCTCCGCGCAGGCCCTTCTACAAATTTAAAGAAAGAAAGCTCCTCAAGAGGCAGATCGACTCGATGACGAACGCGGAGTCGCAGGCCGCCCTCGATCTGGCGAAGAAGGAGGAGAAAGAGAGAAAGAAACTCAAGAGACTCGAGAAGAAGGTTTGTTGAACTTGAACTTGAACTTGAACTTGACACGATCCCACGCAGGCGGGCCTCAACAAGAAGATGACCGACGCCGAGATGCGCGAGTTACTGAAACCGCCGCCGCTCATACCTTTGAGTAGGGCCGACATCCAAAAAAAAGCGCGGATCATGATGTTGCAACGGAGCGCGCACGCCGAGGCCGAGCAGCGCTGGATGGACGACTACGTCGGACGCGGCGTCCCGTGATTCTACGAAGGTTTTACGCCGTCGACGCGACTCGTGTCCATCAGAGAAGGCGATGGGTGGTCTCTGGTCCAAATTTGAGCCGTTTCGGACCGTTTCCAGTGAATACGATGCTCACGCAGTCGTTCCGCACAGGTGGCGGCGCTCGTCGGTGCCGAAGAACGGCAGTGGCGCCAAGCGGGCGAGCAGCGGCTGCGGGACGTCGCGGCCATGCGCAAGGCCGATGATGATGCCGCGCGTCGTGCGAGAGCGGAGGAGCGCGCGCGACAGCGGAAAGAGGAGAAGGAGAAGGCGAAACTCCGAGCTGCTAGGCGCGCCCACATGCGGGAGAAGATCGGCCTGATCCCGAACTTTGACCGGGCGATTCGGCTCTTCGAGGGGCCCTCACGCGAGGGCTTCTGCCAGCATCTGCGGGCCAAGGCCTGGGGCGATAAATATGGGAAGGGCGTGCGGTGTTTGGACTGCGGCAAGGAGATGACGCGGACGCACGAGGAGCCGGAGCAGTTACAAGGCTTGGGGGGCGGCGACGATCCCGCTTTATGTCGGAGGGTCGCGCGGCACCGCCTGAACCCCGCCGCGTATCGCGCGGAGACGCTCGATATGGCTTCGGAGTTAGCTGAGATCGAGGAGGAGAGGATGAGACTGGAGAAGGAGGAGTATCTGGTGCGCCAGTCGGACATCCATTTTTACGACTTCGACGAGATGAAGGCCGTGTACGCATCTCGGCGTCTTGAGGTGTTCAGGTGCCTTCACTTTGTTGCTGGGACTCGTATCATGTTGTGGGTGGTTTCTTTTTCGAGTTTGAGGCAGTTCGGACCGCGTCAGAGAGACCGCGGTCGCGTCGATGGCGTCTTCACGAGACGCCGTCGTTGTGATCCCACGAGAGTCTACGTGGTCGTCAGGGCGCCGTCGACGCGACGCCACATCGGACCGCTTTGACGGAAATGCTCCGCGCAGGTACGACTTAGATAGGAGGCATGCCGGGTTACTCAAATCGCACGGGGCCCAGCGCCAGGGCGTGCAGTGGTCCGACCGCGAAATCGACGAGCGAGCGAGTGCGATTGAGCGAGGTGAATATCTCTCAGATGAGGAGAACGAGCACGTGGCCCTGCCCTCGCCCGAGAAGCGACCGGCCGCGGGCAGTCCCGAAGCGCGATCCATGCGAGACTTCGACAAGGAGGCCGAGGATCAACTCAAGAGCGTCAAGTACGACCTCTCGCCACGAAGTAAAAAGCGCTGCGAGGCCGAGGCGGCGTCGTTCCGCAGTGCGGCTAGGCCGGACGACGAGCGGTTGTACGTCATGCGCCACCGGGCGGCGTTCCACGACATGTTGTTATTAGTTGGCAGGGTCAACGCGTACCGGCAGAGACTGGAGGATCTCAAAGGGCGCGATCTCCGCGTTTTGAAGTGTTGCGGCGCCTTCACTTCCTCAATACGACTCGTGTCCATCAGACGAGCTCGTGAGCGACCGCGACGCCCCGCGCAGGCAACGCATGAAGCTCGACCAGGAGAAGCGCCAGTTCAATGATGTTTTAGGATATTTGCATCGGGAGATCTTCACCTGCGAAGTGCACCTGAAGCAGGTCGAGAAAGATTTGGTCGGGGCGTCGAAGGTCATGCAGGTCAAGCGTGCGACGCGGCGTCTCGTGGCCATCGCACGATGACGTGGGATGCTCCGCGCAGGTGTCAGCGACCAGCAGTTTGGGAACGCCCTTGAGGTCCTTAGAGCAGCGAAGATCGACAAGAAGGAGAAGGATCTAGCTTTATGCGGTTTAAAAGACTCGGCCGAGGACTGCGAGAAGCTCGCCGCGGAATTGGGTACGGCTACGAGAGATCTCCTGAGACAAAGGGTCAGACAGGAGCGCCAGCTCCAATCGCTGTCGGAACGAGCTTCTGTTAAACGCGAACAAGCTGATGCGAAAGCTATCGTGCTGAGAGAAAGAGCTGAGATCGTCGCGTCGATGCACTATCGCTCGCGAGGCGTTATTGTTCCCACGCCGTACGGTCATTGCCCCATTTTATTATTTAGACCGGAAGATAGCATTTGCGTCGTCGAGCTCAAGTTCGGCAAGCCGCGCGCGCGAGCCTACATGCCCCTCGAGGGGATCATGCTGACGGAGCGAGCTATTGCACAAAGTAACTTAGTAGCGATGCGCGAGGACGAGTTGTATGTCCGAGCCTTCTATTCTGCCGAGTTAACAATTAGAAGAAGAGAAACGGAGCTCATGGCTAGAGATGAATATCTATACAAGAAGAAGTTGAAATTCGACGGTGCTAGGGAGAAAGAGTTACTAGAAGTCGATCGGAAGGTGAAGGCCGCGGTCACGTGGGCGTTGACCATCCTGGGAACAGCCAGAGGCAAACTAGGCATCGCCAAACGATCGCTGAAAGCCACGGAACGGGAAGCGCAGCGCATGGAGATCGCCGCCCGGACGTGGAGCGGCGAAGGGACGAAACCCGTACCTTTAACAGCCTATCAAAAGGCGAAGTACTTCGCGAGTCGCATGCGCAAATTGAGGAGAGAGTTCGTCCTCGAGGCGGCGCGCGTGTCAGAAGCGGATGCTCGGAGCGCCGTCGACGCGAAGAACGCGGCGCTGACCTCTGAAAATGCGCTGGAGTTCCTGTACTTCGAGTTCCTGCGCGAGTTCCTGGCGGACATCAGCGAGGACGGCCTGAAATCGGGTTTAGAAGCGAAATCTCGCACGGAGGACGAGACGGGCATCGTCTTCCTCCAGCCGCAGCACATGCAGCACGGCGTCTACACGATCCTGTCGCGGTGGTGGACGACGAAGAAGAAGGAGTTGAAGAAGCAACTCGAGATGTGCGCTCTCGGCGTCCTACGGTGCCTTCACTTCACTGAGACGACTCGTGTCCATCAGACGAGGTCGAATTTGAGGCCATTCGGACCGCGTCGAGGTGTCGCGGCGATGGCGTGTTGGTGAGATCCATGGCTCGCCCCTGAGATCTCCACCACCGGGACGCCATCGACGCGACCTGCGAGGGAGATGCGGACCGCGAGACCGCGATGCTCCGCGCAGGTGGGGCGCCACCAATAAACAGGACCAGGTGCGCATGGAGGAGGAGCGTCGCAGACGTTTATCGTTGGTGAAGGACGAGGAGGCGAAGGAGGCCCACGAGAGGGAGGTGCGACGGCAGAACCGGCTCATCGCTGTACTGGAAGAGGAGGAATTGCGTGCGAGAGCGTTCTACGAGTACGAGTTCGCGAACAACCTGCGGGAGCGGCGGGACATGAAGGAGGCGGAGCAGGCCATGCGGCTGTTCATGCTCGAGGCGAAGAGCCAATCTGGATCGAAGTACGACGTCGGCGGCGCTTCTACTAAAAAGTCGTCGAAGCAGGAACGTAGAGATCAACTGAAGAAGGAGCAGGCCCAGAAACTTGTCAGGGAAAGAGAGTGCAAGGAGATGCTCGCCGAGGACGACCTCGCCATGTCGATACGCACGGAGGAGAAGAAAGCCGAGCAGTTAGCCGCGCTGAAGAAGGTCCGTGACGCAGCGTCTTCATTGACCTTGAACTTGATCTGGTGGGGGCGATGGCGTCGACGCGGCCTCATGAGAGTCTACGGCGGTGTCGCGACAATGTCCGTGCCACACAGGAGATGGAGCTCTACGCGCTCGAGAACGAAGCTGCGGACTCTACCGTCATTGAGGACCTGTCAGATGACGAGGGCTACGCGTCTTCGGTGTTGAGTGATGATAGTCAGGAGGACCTCATTCCCGAGACCCTAGCACCGCCTCTCGACGAGGCTCCTGAAGAAATGAGAGATCGAGTCAAGAAGGAGCGCCTTGAGAGGAGGAAGTACCGCCATCGTAGGAGACGAGAGAAAGCTCAGAGGGAACTGAGGAAAAGACGGCAGCGCCACGAGGCCGAGCAGGCGGCGGTCCTCGAGGCCTTCCGGAAGGATGCGTTGATAGCGCATGCGAAGGCCGAGCTCGAGTGGATGGAGCTCGAGGAGGAGGCGCGCGTCATCGAGAAGCAGGCGTTTCGCGCGCGGGCGAACCTGAGAAAAGTCGCGCTCTACTGCCAGGGCAAGGGCATGGACGAGCTGCGCGCGCGGTACGTATCTCGGCGTCCCGTCGTGTGGAGGCGCCTTCACGCCATCGACGCGACTCGTGTCCATCAGACGATTTTGAGGCCGTTCGGACCGCGCCGGGGCCGGTTCGCGGCCTGTCGCCCATCAAGTCGACGTGGCGCGTCGATGGCGTCGGCGCGACGTCCCCGCACCGCGACGCCGTCGCCGCGGCCGCCGAGAGGGTTTACGCTCCTCGTGAGTCGAATGCTCACGAACGATCGACCGCGACGCTCCGCGCAGGTCCAAGGCCATCTACTTCCGCAAGGAGTGCACGGAGAAGACTTTATTGAGGGATAACGCCACGAAATGGCTCGAGATTTGCACGGAAGAAGAGAAGAGGAAACGGAAAACGAAGGTCAGGGTCGACAGAGACACGCTCTGCATGGACACGCGATCCATTGCTGGTGTGTATCAACGATTCTTCACGCCCCTATTGCACCAACAACTACATGAACACTACTTCCGGACGCTCGCCATGATAATTATCAATAGATCTGAGATCGTGGCCACGGAGCGGCGGCAGATGCTTTTATTTGAAATGACGCGGCGGAATGAAGCCGCCACGGCGGTGCGGGAGCGAGACCTCCAGAAGACGTGGCGGAAACGTGTTAGAAAGGACTACATGAGACTGTTTAGAAGTGAACTAGGCAAAAAGATCTTCGGCCGGAGTCAACGTAAGGTCTTAGCCGAAGTGTTTAAAGGCTGGGTGCGCTACTGGTCCTGGCACCGGGGCCATAAAGAAGCGTTCGAGCTCAAGTACGCCGTGATTAAGCACGGTGTTGATTTGAGGCGGCTCCATCCCAAAATATTGGGGATGCGACTGCCTGGCAGAGTAGTGCGAGACGACGACGTGCCTTCATTAACTGGATATGATAAACGTGTGGACACGAAGCCTGTGCTCGAGATCGAGCCAGAGCCTGAATCTCCAGGAGAAGAAGATCCTCATGCTGATGATGAAAATGATTCGCCGGACACTCGGAGGAAGAAGGCGAACATGCGTGAATATCTCAAAGAGCAGGTCCGCGCCGCGGCGTCCCGTTGCGTCCTTCGACGCCTGTCGCGGTTCGGCACTCCGACCGGCACGCCATCGCCGCGAGGCGCGCCGCGTCGCCGACGTCTGCTCGATGGCGTGACCTGCACGCCGTCGCCGCGACGCCTGCGCGATGGCGTGCCGTCGACCCCCACGCCGTCGCCGCGACGCCATCGCCGCGCCACCGCCGCCGCGACGCGCCACGCGACGGCGTCGCCCACGCGTCTCCCCGCGCGCAGGCCGAGGACGAGCAGAAACGGCTTGAGAAGGAGGCCGCGGACGAGGCGCTCTACGGGCCGCGCTTCGCGGAGATCATGGACGGGAATCGGCGCATCGCGAAGGATCGCGACGCGGATCGTGTTGCAGGTGGTTTATCACATGAGACCGGTGGTGTACCCGTGGAATGTGTTCCTTGTTCTCCTCGCAAGGTCCCTGACCTCGTCGCGCAGAAAGCTCAATCCTGGCAAGCGCCTCCAGAAAACGAAGTAGAAAAACGTCTGAAGTTCCGAAAGACCTACAATGAGCGGTTGCGAGAACGATCCATCATTTGTCGGACCTGCGGCCAGACCTACACCGAGGCGCACAACTCGGCCTTCGCCTGCGGCTACCATCCCGGGACGTATCGGGTCGCGTGTCCCGTAACGTGTCCCGCCCATAAAGACGTCAAAAGGATCACTGCGAGTTGCATGGGCCACCGGCGGAAGCGGTGGTCGTGCTGCGATTCCGTCTTCGAGGGCAAAAGTGTCGGTGGGGCGACGGGCTGCAAGTATCGGTACCATCTGCCGCCTAGCGAGGAACCGCGCTACGGCGATGTTGCTTCCAAGTTACTGCAGGACGTCGTCCGGACGGAAAAGCAGCTCGATGCACAGATCGAGGAGAGCCGCTCGAATAGTACCGTGAGGCACGCCATGAAATTGAACAGGGACCAACTAGCGTTAGCTGCGGACCGGCAGGCGAAGGAAAGATCCATCGTCAATCGCTTCAAGGAATTGAAATGCGACAAGCACATGGACGAGCACGTCCTCGTCTCAGCTTTGCAGGAGTACGAGACGAGCAAAGCCGAGGAGGAGAAGGAACGGATGGCTAAAGTGATGGGCCACGAATATCGGAACAAGAATCTTATTGTGTACGACAAGAAGGAGGAGGTCGAGGAGCTGCCCGATTTGACGGACCCGGACTACCTGAAGAGCGTCCTGGATTCGGTGCGCGACGAGGCGTCGACCGCGTTGTCGTCTTCATTAGCGTCGCCGCCGCCGACGCCCATCGCGACGCCGTCGACGACGACGTATGGGTTGACGCCGTCGACGTCCGCGCCCTCGACCTTCCGCAGGCTCGAGGACGGGTCGCGCCGGTCGACGGGCCGGTCGTCCTAACTGTCGTGTTGTATATCTACTAGTATGTACACCTTACGCGCCTCGCGAGCGGGAGCCATATGGGGCCCTAGGGATGTCATTGCGTAGCCCGACGGGGGGGCGCTTCGAGGTGTTTCCTGGTCTGCAGGGCCCTTCACGACTAGGGGCAGAGCGCGGGCGTCGAGGGCGTCGCCGTCGCGTCCGCACCGTAGCACTTGAAGATGATGTCGGTTCCACCATTGGCCTGCGTTTCGAATTCTTCGCTTTCGCGCGGCGGGCTCAACGGACGCGGGTCGCGCACGAAGATCTGCGCTTTGCCCGGCTCACTCACCGTGATCTCGGCTCCACTAGGCGAGAAGACCTGCGCGCGAGGGAGGCGTCGTCGAGGCCCTTCGGAGGCGGAGGGACGCAGGGGGCGCGCTGCGATCTGGACGGGGTTGCCGTCGCTCATGGTGCCGGTGTTCGTGATCTTCGTTCCGTCAACTGTGGGTTGGACCTGCGTGGTTGAAGGCCTCGCAGAGCAAAAAGCAATAGACGCGGGAGGCGCGCGAAGATGGAAATTACCTTGCCGGCGTTGACGATCTCCGCGTTGTCGCCGAAGACCTGCGCGCGCCGCGTCTCAGCGTTTCGCGGGGCGCGGGGCAAGTAGGACGCGGGATGTGTGCGGAAATGAAGACTAGGCCGGAGTCGCTCGGGACCGTGATCTTCACACAGTTGACCCCGTCGGGGACTCCTATCCCTCCGGAGGGGAACATGCCGTCAAATACGTAACAAGTACCGGATTCAATCGTGGGGAAGGACGGCGAGTCGATAGTAACGACATCCGCGCAGGGTTCGTCGCACCCGTTCAATTCGGACGGGACGTAGGGCGCCATCGCGAGGGCGGACGGCGCGGCGGCGAGCGCGAGGGCGATGAGGAGCTTCATGTTGTGGTTTTTTAGGTCTCTGCCTGCGTCGGCGAGCGCGAAAACGCTCAGGAAACGCGGCTTCGACGAGACGCCCCAATTTTGCTCTCTGACGTTCGCCTGTCTTGGGCCGCCCTCTCGGGGGGTCGACGGCGCCGCGCCGCATCGCCGCGGGGCGTTTAACTGCTTGCCAACGCTGAATCCATGCCGAAGTTCGGGGCGCGGCCGCCGACGCGGTGGGCCTCCTCGTCCGTCGCGGTGCCGCGGAGGCGCGACTTGACTTGGGGTAGCGCGGCCGTGCCGGCGGCCAGCGCGAGGGCGATGATCGTCTTCTTCATGATGTCTTAGGCCTGCGGCGCGGAAGGGTTTCGCCGACCGCGCGACCCTCCCGCTCGCGCGCCGAGCGCGGCTAGCGGTCAGCGATTTTATTGCTCGTGGACTGCGTGCGCGCCGGAGGCGCTGATAGGGGCGTTTACGGGCGCACGGAGGTGAGTTTTGTATCCAGCAACTTTGTGCTGTTGTTTTTCGCACGGACGCGAACGAGGGGCGGAGCGCGGCCTCAATAGGACCTCAAGGGGTCGACCTTGACTGTGACTGCGCCTTAAAGCCGAAACTTCCGCGGGTGGCGCGTATAGGGCTCGTCTTCGTCTTTCGTCCTTTGGTCGATTTTACTCGTGGCTACCATTCTTACTTGTTTACACTTTCACACTTTGAAACTCATTTCCCGTGCATCTTTTAAATCACGCCTCACACCGAAAGTCTCTACACATTTGTCTACACGTCACTTAGCAGATACACTTAGCACAAGCCGCCCCAGCACCGAGGCCTCCCTCGCCCCGATGGCGCGCCCCCTCCCGACAAACGCCCGACGCGGTCTTCGCCGCCGCGTCGTCGCGCAGCAGCCGCGCGCGCTCCGCCTCGCGATCGGCCCCGTCGCGCCCCGCCGAGAGGAGAGCCCCGGCGCCGCTTCCCGCTCGCGCGCGGCCCGCGCCGGCACGGCCGCCCGGACTTGCTTCACGTCCTTGAACTTGGCGCCGGAGGCCTCGTCGATCGCACACCGGACGGCCTCGTCGGCCCTCTCAAAAATAAGTAGAGCTTTTCCCTCGAAGTTCGAAGAAGGCCGCTCGCCTCCAAACACTCGCTTCGCTTGAGGACGTCGTCGCCAACCGCCTCGCGGCCGAACTTCACTTCCACGGTCCTCCTTTATCCGCTTGGCTCGGGCCGCTTCACTGCCTCGCTTGCGTGGCCAGTTTTGATTCGAAACACAACACCAACAACCAACACCAACACTAACTCCGCTCGCGGAGCTCCGCCGACGACATCCCGAGCGCCCGGAGCGCCTCCGTCGCCTCGCGGATCGCGCCGCGGTCGATCCCCGGCGCCGCCGGGCCCTCGAGGGCCATTCGCGCGTCGTGCGCCGCCCGCGCCGCCGCCGCCGCATCATTCTTCGCCGCGGCGTCGTCGTCATCAAAGATCGGCGCCTCCGGGCCCTCGGCCTCGGCCTCGCGGAACACGTCGTCCAGGAACGCGGCGCGCCGCCGCGCGGCGGCGTGGCCCGCCCGCGCGGCCTTGCGGAAGTACTTGAGGGCCTCCTGCAAGTCCAATCTAATCTGATCGTCGACGGGCGCCGCGTAGGCCTCGCCGAGGGCGACGCAGGCTTGGGCGTGGTGCTGCGCGGCGGCCAGCTTCAGAAAGCGCTCCGCCTCCGCGCCTTTTTTATCTTCATATAAACGAGCACCGAGGCGATACTGGGCTTCCGCGTCGCCCGTCGCCGCTTGTTCTCGCAACGCTTTCATATCAAGCGACTCGGGTCCTGGAGCCGGTTTCTTCGTCTGCGCGGCCCTCGCGGCGGCGTCCCAGGTCGAGAGGTCCTCGCCGCCACGCACGCGCGCGCGGCCGCCGTCGCAGGGCGCCCCCGGCGCGCCCGGGCCGTAGACGCACCGGTCCCGCGCGGCGAGCTTCAGTTGCTCGCGGTGCCACGCCGTCGCCTCGGCCCCGAACTCGTCCTTCGCCGCCTGGAATTTCAGTTTTGACTTCCTTAAGAGCTCGCGTTTTTCTTCATCCGTGAGCGGCGGCGGCGGCGGCATGGGCAGGCCCCCATCCAAGTAGGCGGAGATGTCATCTTCAAAGTCCTCCCGGACGACCTCGGGCCCCGCGTGGGGTTTCTTCCTCACTCGTTTTTGTGGGACGGGCGCGTCGTCGCCGATCTCATCGAAGTGCGTGTAGTCGATGGGCATCCTGTTCTGGCCGGTGGCTCGCCTCTGTGTGCCGTTGTCACGCCTCTCCTGTCCTCTGTCGTGCCTCGGAGACTTCCGGACGGCGGCGCGCAGGTCCTGTGCTCAAGGGCTGTCCTGTGTCTCGCGGGTGGCGGCCGCAGCGATGGTGCAAACGCGGCTGCTGAACAGCGGGCGTCAGTAGAGGACCTGCGCCGTTGTATTATCCAGACCTATGGAGGTTGTGGGAGTTTTGGCAGGCGGCCTGAGCTAGCGTCCTGTAAGACACTAGCAATCAGCCGGGTTCTACTGCCGCAGCTTTTGATCGCTTGGAGCTCCACAGGCGCCCCAAGCGAGGTGGAAGCGGACTTTATAGTCGTCACTTGTGCCAAGGACAGCCACTCGGGTGACTGCCTTAGCAGAAGGACGCGACTAGCTTAGCAGCGAGTCTCGAGGCCGAATCCTCGCTGCCGGACAAAGGTCCGCGGGGGCGAGTAAAAGGCAGCCGTAAGCGGCGCGAGCAGTTCTCAGAACCAGCAGCACTTCGCTGCGATGTCGCACTACGGCGGCGGAGGCGGCGGCGGCCGGTACGACGACCGACGGGGCGGCGGCGGGGATCGCTACGGCGGCGGAGGCGGTGATCGCTACGGAGGCGGAGGCGGCGGTTACCGCGGCGGCCAAGGAGGCTACGGCTCGAACGACGCTTATAGAGGCGGAGGCGGGGGCGGGGACCGCTACGGAGGGGGTGGCGGCGGCCGCTACGGAGGCGGCGGTGGAGGTGGCTACGGCGGAGGCGGTCCGCCGCGAGGAGGTGGGTACGGAGGCGGCGGCGGCGGCGGCGGCTACGGCGGCAGCCGCTACGACTCGTCGCGGGACGCGGGCCGCAACTGGCGCGACCGCGAGCTGGGCGGCGCGCGCGGCGGCGCGACGCATCTCGCCCGCATCCACGGCACGGAGGAGGACAAGGTGAACTGCCCCTTCTACTTCAAGATCGGCGCGTGCCGCCACGGCGACCGGTGCTCGCGCCAGCACCACAAGCCGCCCTTCTCGCAGACGATGATCGTGCAGCACATGTACCAGAACCCGGCGTCGCGGACTGTGTGGAAATCAACCAGTGCGTCGGGTGCACATTTCTCGGCGATGACGCGGCCGCGCTGGCTCCGTCGAGCGGTGAGGAACCGGCATCGCCACGCCATCGAGCAGGCGTCGCGTCGATGGCGTGGAGGACGACGCGACGATTCAGGACGAACGCGCCGTAAAATTTTGATTTGCACTCAGGTCGCAGATCGCGGCGGCCGGCGGCGACCCGTCGCAGCTCGACCCGAAGAAGGTGCAGGAGGAGTTCGACGAGTTCTACGAGGAGGTCTACGACGAGCTCGCCGGCTACGGCGAGATCGAGGAGCTCAACGTTTGCGAGAACCTCGGCGACCACATGGTCGGCAACGTCTACTGCAAGTTCGCCGACGAGGAGCACTCGGACGCGGCGCTCAAGGCGCTCTTCGGCCGCTTCTACGCGGGCCGGCCGCTCGTCTGCGAGTTCTCGCCCGTGACGGACTTCCGCGAGGCGCGCTGCCGCCAGTACGACGAGGCCGTGTGCACGCGCGGCGGCTACTGCAACTTCATGCACATCCGGACGCCGTCGCGCTCGCTCCGCAAGGACCTCGAGAAGCGCTACAAGAAGAAGTGGCGCAAGGCGCGCGAGAAGCGCGAGCGCCAGGAGCGCGGCGAGAGCGTGTCGTCGAGCGACGACGGCAAGGGCTCGCGCTCGCGCAGCCGCTCGCGCAGCCGCTCGCGCGACAAGGGCAAGGAGAAGGACCGCTCGCGCTCGCGCTCGCGCGACAAGGAGAAGGCGGAGAAGTAGCCCCTCGACTCCCGCCGCGCGGACGCGTAACAACGTTACTACCGTGACAACTTCCGTGACAGTACCGTTCGGCCTGCTCCCCCCTCGCCGTCGTCGCCTCCGAGCTAACACTCGGGGCGACGGCGTACGGGGGCGGGGGCGGGCGTTCCGGTCACGCGGACCCCGCGCAGCCGCCACTTTGAACGCCGCGGCGGGTCGTGGCTAGGCCTAGCTAAGCAAAAGCAAACTTGCCGGCCGGCGGCGCCCCGGGGGGAGAATAGATCGGAGCAAGACGCGTAAACAACCTTACTACCAGCGCTTCTGCGAACCGGGAAACGGGTCGGACCGCTCCCAGTCGGGCAATCTATTGCGGCCCCCGTGCGACGTGCCCGTGCGAGCATAACTTCCCTCGTCGGCGTCGCGCAGCTTCTGCTGCAATTGCAGCGGTAATTTGGAGGAGAACTCGCGCAGCTCGCGGATCTCCCTTTCCCGTCTTCTTTCCCGCTCGCGCTGCAAGTCGCGCTCGCGCGTCGCCACCTTGGCTCTATTGGGAACCGGCGACCGCGCGGCGAGCGGCTCGTGGTGCGGCTGCGTCAGGGGCTTCGGCTCCCGCTCCGAAGCCGCTCGTTCCGCCCGCGACCGGCGCGGCTTCCGGGCGCGCAGCGGCGGCGCTCGAGCCCGTCCATACAAGGACCCCTCCTCGGGCAAGGGCGCATCTTCTAACGGAGGCACCTGGTTCACGGGTTTCAGGGCCGGTTTCCGTTTCCGCGGCTGCTGCTGCCGTCTGGGTTCTTGCGGCTGCTGCCTTCGACGTTGCTGCTTCCGTTTCGGCTTCTGCGTCCTCTGGAAGGACGGAGGCAGCTTCTTCGTCGCGCGAGGCAGGCGCGAAGGCAGGGCCGGCGGTAATGAGGGCGGCTCGCCCTGCGGCGACCGCGGCCGCGCCTTAATCGTAGGCAGGTCCTCGGACGGCGCGCCACTCACAACGCTACTTTGCGCCGTGCCCACTCGACTGCGAGACGCCGCCGTGCCCGCTCTGGACGTGGGCTGCTTGATGTACTCGTGCCGGATGTCCTCGAAATACGGGTGCTCGAGGCACTCTCTGGACGAATAGCGCTGGTGCGGCTCCATCTGCAATAAGGCCTGCATGAAGCTCAATGACCTCTTAGATAAAGTGCCGACGTACTTCTTCTGCAGCGTCTCCGGCCGCGACATGTCGGGAAATTTGAGGCCCACAAACCTTGGATTCCGCAAGAACAACGCGTCCTGGGCCGGCGTCAGCGGCCCGAGCATGCGCTGGATGATGTAGAGTTGGTCGATCTCCGATTCGCCGGGAAACAGGGGCTGGCCGTCCGCTAATTCGCCCATGATGCAACCCATCGCGAAGACGTCTACTGTGGCATCATAATCTGTGCTTCCGAGTAACAGTTCCGGGGCTCTGTACCATCTTGTGGCGACGTAGTCGCTCAAGTCCGTCGCTCCCGGTGCGTAACTCCTCGCGAAGCCAAAGTCGCACAGCTTGAGCTGCTTGCCGCGAGGATCGACCAGCAAGTTCTCGGGCTTGATATCTCGATGGATCACAGAGTGGGAGTGGCAGCAGTCGATGGCTTGCGCTAATTGCAACATATATCTACAGGTCGCATCGGAACCCACACCGCCCACTTCATTTTCTAGCACTTCCAACAGGTTCTTGGAAACGAACTCGAAGACGAGGTAGAGTTTACCTTTTCTCCGAAAGGCTTCCTTCAGCGACACGATGTTCGGGTGCCGCAGCATCCTTAATAATTTAACCTCGCGCAACGTCGTCTTCCGGACATTTTCTTCATCATCTTCGCTTTCTTTAAACTTTTTTATTGCCACCGTCTCGGCGTTCTCCTTGTTGCGGCACTTGAGGACGATGCCGTAGGCGCCCTCGCCGACGACGCCGAGGACCTCGTACTTGTTCATCGTTTGTGCGGAGGGCACGAGCGGTGACGGGTGCCCTGCGGCCACGCCCGCGGCTCAAGCTTTGAAGGGTCCCCTGAGGCTGCGCCCGCGTCGACAACTGCTGCGGGGCGGCTCCCAGGCCGTGAAGGATCGCGTCCGCGGCGGCGGGAGGCGGCGCCTCGCCCCGGGTGGGGCAGCGCTGTTCTACCCTCGCGGGGCGGCGTGGGCTGCCGGCACTCGTGCAGCGGCCGGCCCTCGAGCCGTTCGACTGCGGCGCGGCCTCGGGCTGCCTTGGAGGCTGCTGGTACGGCGCCCGCGCCTTGGCTTTCGCGGCGCTGGGAGCCAAAACGTGATCCCTAGTGGCCGGGCTGGGGTCCGCGCAGGAGTCCTGCCGGCCGCGAGGCGTGCGCGAGGGCTCTGTACGCGTGGCATTTGAGGCTTTGCGTACACTCCCTTAGTCTAGTGCGTCTACGAGCTAGCTTGTGCGCAAGCCGGGGCCGTCGTACCAGCTGTACGCGTCGATCCAGCGACTGCGACGCAACACTGCCACATTCGTCGCCTGTCGCAATCCTTTCGAAACTGCGGCAAATACAAAGACCAGCTGCAGCGCCGCCCGCAACACAGTCACAGCAATGTCCGCCCTCACGAACTACGACAAGTGGAAGGGCATCGGCGACGAGGAGGACGCCGAGGACCAGCGCTCCCAACCGCCGCGGCCCGTCGTCACGCGCCTCGACGCCGCGACGACGGGCGTGACCATCGGAAGCGACGGCTGGTCCGTGACGCGCACGGGGCACGACAAGTTCGACGTCACGCCAGCTTCAAAGCCGCAAGAACCAGCAAAGCCGAAGCGGGGGGGCATCGACTACTCGAAGTGGGACGCCTTCGACGAGAGCGACGGCGAGGGCGAGCCGAACCGCTACGTCGAGGACGACGTCGAGGCCGAGCGCGTCGAGCAGTGGAAAGCAGAAGCTGCTCTGTCGAAGCCCGTGCCGCCGCCGGCCAGCAAAAATCCAGTGGTAGACGCCACCAAAGACGGCGGCTTCTGTACAAGAAATGGAAGGATCTGCGCGGTCTGGAGTCAGTCTGCGGAAGATATAGTTGCGAGGTTCCCCGTCGGTGCGAGTACGCGGGCGCACAACGTCCGCTGCTCATTACAGTACAAGGGCGACGCCTGCGTTTTGACCGTGAATGAATTGACCGAAGCGCTGAAGCACGACGTCTGGTGTAGCGACGACCCCCGGCCTTCCTTTCGCTTGGCGCCGTCTCACGACGAAGATGCTCTCAAGGACTCCTTCGACTGGTGCCTCGAGGACAGCGTCATACCGCTGCCGACGGATTGTAGGTGTGTCTGCGTTTCCCTCAAGAAGCGGCCCGTTGCCCTTGGCGTCGTGACGTGGTGGTCTACGTTGTTTGCTGAGAGTGCTGATGTTGATGAAACGCCGCGCGACACGACTTCATTGGAGAGCCGCTCTAAAAGAAGAGCGGGCACGCCCGAGGAGTTCCAGGCGGCCTGGGCCGGCGCTCATGCTCAATTCCGCGAGAAGGTCGCGAACCACCCTCCGCCGGTCGAGGTCGAGCTACCGGACGAGGGCTAGTGTGCTTAACAGTGATAAAATTAGGCTCCACCGCCGGCGGCGGTCGGAGTGTGAATTGCTGCTCGCGTCGACGGCGTCTCCCGCCGCGCCGGCGAGGCGACGCGTCACCGAGGGGTTTCCGCGTCGGCGTCGTCGGCCGGCGCCGCGGGTCGCGTCTCGGTCAACTCCACGTCTCCCAACCCGACATTGGACTTCGCTCGATGTAACCCGCCCTGGCCCGACGGGTTGTAGTCCACATGATCGAGCTCGAGGCACGCACAGCCGCGCTGCACGCTTCGAGGCGGCGGATCGCTCCCGGACGTGTAGTACTGGTGGTTCAGCGACCACGCGCTGAGCGGAATCAGCAACACCGCCCGTACAAAATTGCAGGCGACCTCGACGTCGCCCCTTTCATACCGCGTGTCGTCGAGTAAAACGATTTTGAGGACGAAGCGCGCTAACTGGATGGGCACACCTGCCAGGCGTATTCTCGCGCGGATCCAGAGCTGGCGATGCCCGTTGTCCGGCGTGACGCCGTCGCCCACGAGATGGTACTGGTTCAGCAGGGACCAGGCGTTCGCCAGCTGCCGCACGCAAGCGAGCACGTGAATGCACCGGAAGGGCAATCTCACATTCTCGTGGCCGCGCCAGGGCTCGGCGTCGCAGCCCGCCCAGGGCGGGAAGACGCGGCCGCAGGCGCTCGTTCTTAGGACCACGATGGCCCTCACTAAAGACGCGCAGCCTCGTACGACGTACATGTGGTCCCGTCCCGACTTGTCCCACTGTGCTAATAAAGTACAGGCCGACACGAACTGCATCATCGCCAGGGGGATGGTCTGGCTCCAATTAATGCCGCTGAAGACCAAGATTAGAGTGGTCGCGCACTGTAGTAAAGCGACGCTGCCGCGCACCCCCAACATGGGGTGGCCCTCGGGCTTCCATCGTTCCGCCTTTGCGTCTGTCATCTCTGCTGTTGTCTATCGTGCATTTTTGCGTTTGCGCCGCGGCGTCGACGGCGTACCGGTGAGCCCAAAATCAGCCCACTGCTATGGATGCCGCAGCAGCGGCGATGGCTCGAATAAACAGCGCGCGCAACTGACGTAATTAATTATGCTTAAAAAACGCAGCCGATTGCGATCTATCGCGGCCAGCGTGAGTTGCGCTTTTATTTGCAATTAAAATAGCAGGCAAAACCCGAAACGCGCCCTGCCTCGGGGAGTCACGCAGCACGCAGGGCTCCTACGACGCCGGCGACATGCTCCTAAGACGCTCGGCGGTCTCCCGCCCCGCGGAGATGCGCAAGAGCCCAACAATGAGCCCCACTAGCCAAAAGAGAAAAAAACCAGGCGCGCGCCCGCCAAGCGTCGCGCGCGAGCCCTCCGCCCGCGCACGCCTGCCAAAGACGCCTCGCGCCCGGTGCCATAACCGTCGGCCTCGTCCGTCGCGACCGGTGGGCATCTGGTGGCATAAGCGTCTTGGCACAGCCCACCCGGGCGCCGCCCGCCGTCGCGAGGCCCCAGGGAGGATCACATTCAATCCGAGGGAGGGCCTGCCCCAGCCACGAAGGCCCGCCGCCCCGCGGGGCAGCCCTCGAGGACAGTTCTGGCCGACGTGTGCCGGCGGCAGCCCGCGCGCCCCATCATCTTGAATGTTCTTCTGCCTCGACCCGGCGGCGGGCCCGCAAGTCCTGCCACCCGGCAGTGTATTGCCGCCGGGCGCCGTGCCCCTGCTCCAGCCGCCGCCGCCGCCCGACGCGGAGATGGCCGACGTCTATAGAAAGCCGCCTACCAAAAAGAAGAAGGCCACTGCGCCCCAACCGGTCTACTACCAGGCGCCCCAGCCCGCGCAGACGCGAGGCACGTCGAAAGCGGCAGCTCTCAGTACCAAGAGACGATGGTCGAAGCACGAAGACGAAAAGTTGTGTGCAGCGGTGAAAGCCGTCGGCCTCGGCGACTGGAAGACCATCGCGACCGTGTACATGCGGGGCCACGATCTCAGTGACGCGCAGTGTATGCACCGGTGGCAGAAAGTTTTGAGGCCTGGCCTGGTCAAGGGAGCTTTTTGCGAGAAAGAAGACAAGGTGCGATCTCGGCGTCCCGTACGGTGCCTTCATTCGATGCGACTCGTGTCCATCGCACGAGGTCGTGGGTCGTTTCTTTGTCGAATTTGAGTGAAATGCGCCGCGCAGGTGATTGTGGATTGCTTGCGGGAAGGGGGGTTGAAGCGGCGGTGGACGAAGCAGGAGGACGAGAAGCTTTGTTTAGCCGTGAAAGCTGTTGGGACTCATGATTGGAAGAGAATAGCGGAACAGCACCTCGCGGGCCACGGGCGGAGTGATGTGCAATGCTTGCATCGATGGCAGAAAGTACTCAGGGCCGGCCTCGTGAAGGGCGCCTTCACGGAGGAGGAGGACAAGATCATTATCGCATGCATGAACGAGGGCGGCCTGACCTGGATGCAGATCGCCGAGAGAATCCCGGGAAGGATCGGCAAGCAGTGCCGCGAGCGCTGGACGAACCACCTCGACCCGAACCTGAAGAAGGGCGGCTGGACGCACGAGGAGGACACCATACTAGCCGAAGCGCAGCAGCGCTGGGGCAACGCCTGGACGAAGATCGCCAAATTACTCCCTGGAAGGGCGGAGAACGCCGTGAAGAACCGCTGGAATTCGGCTTTTCGCCGGAAGAAGTCGGCCATGTTCGGCAAGGGCCCGCCGCAGGACGAGGACACGGCGACGATCGCGCGGGCTCGCACACAAATGGAGGCGATAGATAGAGATGAACGAGAACCCTCCGACAAGCAGCGTAGCTCGAAGCGAGCCGTGGCGTCTTCATCAGCAGTTCCTGCGCCATCACGGACGACGCGCTCCTCAAGCGCGCCGCAGCCGAAGACTAGAACTCGGGTGAAGACCGCGGCCGACGCGTCCGCCGCTTTAGATCGCTCTAATTCCATGCCGGCGGGCCAGGACTCGCCCTCGACGATGCTCGACCTGTTCGGGGTGTGTTGCGGCGTCCTTTTTTACTTGTGGGGCCTCGTCGCGAGCGTCCTTGTTCGTTCGACTCACGGCGATGGCGTGCGCCCCCACGCCATCGACGCGGCGCCGCGTCGAGACGATCGAGAGCGTCCTACGGCCGCGACTCACACGATAAACACACAGATGAAGGGCGGCGGCGCCCTCGACTTCGACGGCGACGCTCTATTAGCATTGGACGACGACGACGCGGAAGACGCGCTCAAGACGGACGACGGCGACGCGCTCGACGTCTCCTTCGATGCATTGGACATGAACATGGACGCTCCATTAAAAGGTCCGAACGGCACGCCTCTGAGCGACATGGACGGGTTTAGTCCCGCGAAGAACGGCATCTCGGAGCTGTTCTCGTCGGGGCGGACGGGCCTGACGCCTTCTGGACCGATCGGAAAAACGCCCGTTGGCGGCTACGGCGGCCCCGGCGGCCTGTCGCCGCTGCACGCCCACTACAAGGCCCAGATGGCCCAGAATCCCGGTGTTGCGGTGCCGATGAGTGACGATCTGGCCTTGCAATTGCCAGGGACTGCGCGACCGGAAGACGACTTCTACGACCCCAACCTGAGAAGGGGCCGCTGCGAGTTCGTGTCGCCGAACGGCCAGGAGTACCACGCGGCCTGGGGGTTGCCCGCGCCGCGGGTCCAGCTGCCGCACAAGGTGTCCGCGCTGCTCTCGTCGTGCGCGTCGCCGCAGGCGCGGCGGCGCCAGGTGAGCGAGTCGCCGCCCGAGGCCGCGTAGGCGTCCTTCCTTTTCCCTTTTTGTTCGTAAGGGCCTGAATCTTAGCGGCGTCTTAGGAGGTAGTAGGCCTTTTTCTCGCGTCGCGCTCTCGCGAACTCGACCAGAATTTTTTTCGTGGCTCGGAAGTGTGCGCGGGGGGCGTAGGGACTCAACAGACGTGCGCGGGGGGTAGTTGACTCTTCAGCTGTATCGGCCTTCATTTCGTCTAGTCGCGCTCGGACGCCGAGTAACAACTAGCTAACTAGCTAAATTAGGCACCGGCGCCTTCTCTACGCCATCGCCTCCTCCTCGCCCTCGTCGCCGCCGCCGTTCGCGGGACCCTCGCGAATCACCGCTCGGACGCCCCGGATCGTCTCCAGCGCGGCCGCGCGGATGGCGTCCGCGACCTCCTGCGTCACGTACAAATCCTTCGCGATGTGGCGCCGCGAAGCGCCGAACGACATATTCGGACCTCCAATCATGGCGACGAAGTGGTGGGGGCCGTCGCCTAATTGTGCGATGTAGTGGTCGATGTGAATGAGCGCCCGTTCCGTCTTCGTCCCCTTGCGGCAGAGCTTATTGACGTCCTTGTCCGACAGCTTCGGGTAGGCCTTCTTCACCATCATGTGTAGTATCTGCGAGTCTCTCAGATAATTGCGCACGTCGTCCAGGAGGCCGCCCTCCAGCCGCCGCGCCCCGTATGCGCAGAATTTCTTCATAATCTCCCTGCAAACCTCCGGGTAGTTGACGAGAGCGAGAGCCATTGCGCGCTCCCCCGTCGGCGGGGCCAGGTCGCCCGGTTCCAGAGAATCACGGAAATATTTTTTCCTATACCTTTCACACATCCCTTTGAGGTGTTCCAAGTCTTCCTTCGCCTCGGCCCTCATGGCGGCCCGTAGCGCAGCGATGTCATCGCTCAGGTCTTTGCTCATTGCTTGGGCGTACCTTTTTTCCAGCTCGGCGCAGCGGCCCTCGTCAAGTTCGATGCCGCCCTCCTCTTTCATGAGGCCGTCCACGACGTGACGAATTCGGTCGTTTGCGACCGAAGTGATCCGGCCCGCAGAAGCTAACGTGCGGACAAACGCTTTTAGGTTCTTCTTCGAGAAATCGCGATGACACCATTCTCTAGATTGCTGGCCGTCTGCATCATATACACGCCGGAAGACGGCGAGTTTGGTCGGGGACACGCTGTTGTTTATGTAGAGGTTGGTGATCTCGCGGCCGTCGTGCTCGTACTTGGTCCAGCCGGCGTTGGCGAAGTTTTCGTAGTTGGGGTCGAAATTCGTCGGCTCCCATCCTTTTACCATCTTTGACGCACTTACGGACGGCGCCGGCGTCGCCTGGTCTCGTGCCTGGAGCTTGGTGTGCTGGTTTTTATCAGCGGAGCAACGGGGCTGCTCCGAAGGAGGCGCTGCGTGATCGCGGCGGGGCGCCGCGTTAAGAAGCTGCGATATTGTGCCGCCTTCGCGGTCCGTCGGTCTGTGCCTGGCGCAAAGCCTGGCCTCGAGCTCGGCCTGAGCGCAAATATTGGGTTTTTCAGATACGCGCAGATTTGTCCCGCAGGTCATGGCTTGCTCGGAAGCGAGTAAAGGACCAAATGGACGAGAAAGCAAAGTCGTGCGGGCAGGCGCACAGCGTCTCAGCAGCTCTCAGCAAGCTGATAATCGCGACTCTAGATGGCTTTCCAGTGGTGGACGACGATAGCCGTGGCGCTGGTAGCGCCGCCCGGCCTCCTGCCAAGGCGCTCGGCCCATTTTTGGGGCAGCCCGGCGCCGTACGAGCGCGTGCGCTTCCCATCAAGCGGCCTGCGTCTCGCAAGCCGCCGCACATCGCGCCCGTCGAGGCACACGTCGCAGAGACCGCCGCCGCGGCGCAGCGCGAGGGCGGCCGCACGCGGAAGACCGCAGCCCGCCGACACCAGGCGGCACTCAGCACATTCAGCACTTCTGATGGCGGACGCGGGCGGCGCCGGGAATTCCCCCGACGGCGAGGAATACGAGTCATGCTTCGATTTAATGAAGAACAACGCCATCGAGGTCAAGAAGGGGGGACGCGGAGAACGGGCCTGTCCCAATTGTTGGACGGCCTGGGAAAGGGGTTCGTCGACGTGTGGTAACTGCACGATTAAGAAGTTACCCGCGAGGACGTCGCGCCGCGGAAAACAGGTCGAATTTGAAGCAAAGCAGCAGCCGTCCAAGGCCGATGTCGACGCGGCGGCCCGCGCGAAAAGGCCGCGGCCGCCGCGGGAAAGGAGGAACTGCAGCCAGTGCCAGAAATCTTGTGTAAAGGCTCAGATGAAAGAGGACTGGGACGAACCGGCGGATGAGCGCTGGTGCGACGTTTGCTGGAAGAACGAGAGGCGAGTATTGACAACAGAGCCGGTCCGGCTCAACGAAGTGGTGTACATTAAATCCGGATCCGACTATTCTACATCAGTAGAGGTGCCCAACGCCACGGACGGGCTGCGCTGCAAGGTCGTCGTGGATGTTACATTAGAGATCGTGAAGGACGAGCCCGAGGACGCGAAGCAGGAGCGCGCGCGCGCCAAGGTCTCGAGATTCATGGGAAATAATTATGGTAGCTGCCACGGCAAGGTCGTGAACGTCGTCGACGGCGAAAGATTAGGAGAGTATGCAACTAGGGTGTCCGTGAAGCGGGACAACGAGAACGACTTGTATGTGGAGAAGAGAAAAGTAGAAGAAGCGCTCGCGAAGACCCAAAACGGGACGCGTCCACCACCCAAGAAAGATTGGGGCCCCTTCAGGCGGGACGGGGACTGCTACTACTTAGGACACGCCCGGGAGTTGTTTAGTGAAGAACGGTACAAGCTAGTGTTAGCGAGGGAGTTGGACCAGTTCCCTAAGCAGGAGGACGCGGACTCGGACGATGGGGACGAGGACGAGGACGAGGACGAGGAGAACGAGGACGCCGTCGACGAATTTACATACGTGAGAAGCGATAGTTCTAAGGTCGACGTCGACTTTGACACGTTCTCGTGGGCCGCGGAGGAGTTTTTTTATAGAAGACCGGCAGTCCCTGCGTATGGAAATAGACGCTTCGGCCACTTCGGCAGCACGCCCAAGGAGGTCGTGACGAATTGCCTTTACCAGTGTCAAGTGAGCCTCGTGTCGCAATTGAACATACCTAAAGATGAATTGCTCATGAAGCTCGCGGAGGGCAAGGTCAAGGAGCTCGAAGATGCAGGTATCAATGTGTCGCCCGAGAAATTGAAATCCATGGTCGCGGACGTTAGAAAGGCCTTTGAAGGCCTGCCGTTTGATGCGGATGAAAACGATCGGGATTGGAAGCGCAATAGATTCAAACGTGCGTCTTGTGTGGCGATGGGCGTCACGCTGATGAAGGTCAGAGGAGTCCCGAGGTACGTGGTGACCAGTTCTCCTGAATATAACTATGAGTGCACGGACGAGGGGCACAAGCTGGCGCTGGAGAAGGCGTTGGAGTTGTCGCCGTCGCTGCGCAAGCGTTACGATGAAGCCTGTGCCGTGCAGAGCTTGTTAAGTGATCTCTCGGACGAAGGAGACGACGACGACGAGGAGCACACTGGTTCGACGTCGAAGGAGATCTTCGAGGCGATGATGGAAAAGGTGGACACCACGTTACATGACAGCGATATTGATATCTCCCTCGTCGCGACCGACGAGCGACTTTTACTGCCACTGCAGATCGGCTTCAACATCAAGACGAGGGCGACGCCCGCGAAGACGCAGAAGCTGTGGGAGCTCGCCGAAGCCGCGACGGTCGCCCTCGGGCAGGTGGACCAGTTTGAACTAGTGGAAAAGGTCAACGAGCTCGCGTCGGGGCCCGACGGCCTCAAGAGAGAGGCCCTCGCAGAGGCGTATAAGCTAGACCTCGTCGAGGACAAAGACAAGCTCGATATTTTGGAAAAGTTCTTCGTGGTCGGCACGACGTATCGCCGCGACATGGCGAATGTGGAGAGTCTAAGGGTGATGCCGATGCCGTTGGCGGTTTACACGGAGGGGTATCCCAAGTACTGGCACGAGAGCGGCAAGGCGCACCGCGTCGCTTTTTTAGTGGCCCAGCAGTGCAACAAGCACAGATACGCGCTCGGGAATATATTGGAGGAGGCCGAGGCGAAGGGGCTCTTGGAAGACACGGAGTCGGAGTCGGAGTCGGGCGGCGACTAGGGAGTGCGCGCCCGCCCGCGCTTTCCCGTGCTTCTTCGGGGCGTACTAACTTTACTGAACTTAACACAGCCTATCCCTGCGCGCAGTCGCTCGGCGCCGCCACCGCGACTCAAGAAATTAATTTTTCCGCCCCCAAGTACGTCTCGTTGCCCGGTGCCGGTCAGCGTCCGTTATTCGCGTCGATGGCGTCACGGTGTCGTCCGCGCAGCACTGGACGCGGACCAGCAGGAGCGCGTCTTCCAGCGCATCTACGCGTTGTTCGGCTCGCACGCGACCTACGGCGTTTTTGCCGACGTGATCCCATTTTTGACCTGGGCTCGCCGGAGGAAAATTGTCACGGGCATCATTAGCAATGCCGACGAGCGCTATGGCGACGCGATCCTGCCGATGCTGGACTTGTCAGATCATCTCGATTTCACGATTTTTGCCCGCGACGTCGGAGCGATGAAGCCCGACCAGCGCATCTTCGACGTAACGCTCGAAAAAGCCAACGTAGCGAGGGAGGTGCTCTACGGCGCGGGCACTCCGATCGGCTTCAGCGACGTGCTCCACGTGGGCAACTCGTTCTCGAAGGACTTCGTCGGCGCGCGCGACGCGGGCATGCGGGCCGTGCTCCTCGACCGCTTCGGCCGTGAGAATCACGGCGACGAGTTATCGGCGGAGGGCGCGCGCTGGCGCGAGGGCGGCGCCCCCGTCGTGCGCGACCTCTCGGACGTGCTCGAGCACGTCGCGCGGAGCGACTTCGCGCTCGGCTGCGGCGAGGGCGTGTAAGTTAGTGCTTGTGTCCAGCCGCGAGCGACAGGGTACCGCAGGATACGGAGGGCAAGCGCTCCCACGTCGGGCGTGCTCGAGCACGTCGCGCGGAGCGACGTCGCCCTCGGCTGCCACGAGTAAAACACACATACTTACCGCCGGAGCGCCCTGCGGAACGCGCACTCGAAGACCTCGGATATATTGGCGCCGGACTGCGCCGACGTCTCGAAGTAGTCGTAGCCTCGGTCCCGCGCCCACTTCCGGCCTTCGCTCTCGGAGACCTTCCGCGGCCTATCTATTTTATTCGCGCAGACGCAGATAGGTATTGATTCCTTCATGCCATATCTAAAAGCTTCCCGGAGCCACGTTTCGAGCTCCTCGAAGGAATTGCGGTCCGACGCGTCATACACTAGTAAAGTAGCGGACGTGTCCTTGTAGAACTCGTTCCTTACCTCCAAGAAAGCAGAATGGCCGGACAGGTCCCAGAAATTCACTCGTACCATCGTGCCGTCGACGTCCACGGGCTTGACCCCATAATCGACGCCGACGGTCTGCACATATTTCGAGACGAACCTCCCTTCGCAGTAGCGCTTGACGATGCAGCTCTTGCCGCTGTGCGCGGCGCCGATCGTGAGCAGTTTCAGCCGTATCGTCGCGTCGCCACTTGCGGGTGGTGGTGGTGGGTGTCTGAGGCGGTTCATGTCGGCGTTGCTTCTCCTCTTGAGCTTCGCGGCGGCGAGGGCGGCGGTGGCCATGGTGTCGAGGCTGCCCGGTTGCAGGCTGGGCTGCCCGCTCTACTGGACCGCTTCGCTTGGGACTGCGGATCGTTTGGAAACGAACGAATGCGTTCTGGCGCTGCCCCGTGTGGCGTGCGCCGTACAGTTGGGAACGCTGTGGCCGAGCAAACCGTACAAAGGCTAGTGCCTCTTTGCTATCGAAGGGCGCTACGGCACAACGCGTACGCACAGAAGATTCAAGGCCTGCCTCGCCGCCGTCGCACGACAAGCGTAGCATAGAGAGGCTGCCCCATGGGTGCCGGTGCCTCCGCAGGAGCACTCCCCGACACTGTCACGCTCGACGAGGCCAAGGCCTACGCGGGCGACGCCTGGACCGACGACGCGCAGAAGGCGTTCGACGCATCGGCGTCGAACGGCACGACGACGAAGGAGGCCATCGCCGCGTACGAGCAAGAACAGCGACGGGCCGCGACGAAGCTGCAGGCGAGCATCCGGGGGCAGCAGGAGCGGAAGAACCCGACGCCGCCGCCGGAGAAGACCAAGGCCAACGTGGGCAAGGAGCAATTCGTCGCATCGTTGATGACGCTCGTCGCGTTGGCCGTCGACGGCCTGCCAAAGGGCTTCCGCAGTACAAAAGCAAGGCGGAATAAACTACTGAGGAACTTCGCGGGCGACGCCGACCGGTGCTGCGGGCAGGCCTTCGCGACGACCATGTCTGAAGATACGGTTCAATTCTTGGTGGCCTTCGTGCCTGGTTTAGGAGCGTGTTCTGCTATTATTGCCCCCCTTTGGAAGTTGCTGCGGGGGACGCTGTTGGTCTGTGCGTTGCGCGGGCACGACTTGAGCCTACCTCAAACAAGAGCTCGTGTTTTGTATGCTATGGCCGGGACCAAGGCCGAGGCGGTCGCCGCGGGGGCCATGAGTACGGTCGTGGACTGTGTGGAAATCAACCAGTGCGTCGGGTGCACGGTCGAGCGGTGAGGAACCGGCATCGCCACGCCATCGAGCAGTGGAGGACGACGCGACGATTCAGCACGAAGGCGTCGTGAGATCTTGCTTTCCGCACAGGTCGTGGAGACGGCGGCCCAGGCCCTGTTCGTGTATTTGTGTAGCGGCGTCCCAGGAGCGTCGATGCTGCCCGTCGGCGCGGCCGTGTCTTCCTTGGTCGACACGGAAGCGGCGGTCGCCGGCAAGGCGGGCCTGGCCGACTTCCGCGACGGGTCGCGACCTGCGTGGAAATCAACCAGCGAGTTAGGTATGGAGGCAACATCGCGTCGATGGCGTGGGGCGCCCGAATTTTGACTTCCACACAGGTCGAGGACCATCGAACTCGCGGAGTACTCGGAGGAGTTGGACCCGGAGCCGTCGATGGCCGACCGCGCAGCGTTAGCGCAGGAGATGGCCCAGAAGGGCGCGCGCGCCGCGTTCGACGCCGCGCGCGACCCCGCGAAGCGAAAGGCCGCCGCGCAAGCCGCCGTCGGGGGCGCCGTCTCGACGGCGTCGGCCGCCGCATCCCAGGCGTCGGCGCTGATGGGGTTCGGGAAGAAGCCTACTTAACGATTGTGTTACTTATGACGCGTCGTCGACCGCGGACCGCCTCAAGTCGAAGTCCGCGCGCGAGAAGAAGCCGATTGTGCCCACCAGCAGTAGTAATAATAAAATATCATCACCACGCATGTCGAAGGCGCGCTCCACATCTAAAAACTCCGGGTCGATCAGAGTTATGGTCGTGACGTCGGGCCGCCCTGCTGCCGTCACGGCGCGCGCAAAGCCGCCCGCCGCTTTGGACAGGCCTAGCGGCCCGTGCGGCGCGTCCGACGGCACGAAGGTCACGTCGACGCCGGCCAGGAACTGATATAGTGGGACCAACAACGCGGAAGCTAAATTCCCGGACAGCTGTTGTGTCGCCTCGATGGCGTTCTCGTCCGCTGGGTAAGCGACTTCCACCGCTAGCTCCGCGTTGATGGGCTGCACGGGACCGATGAATCCGCCCAACAATAGCAACACGCCTACGACCACGAAGTTCGGAAAGTGTTGATCAAAACCCTCGGCCAGGCCTAAGGATGTCACACAAGCGGTAGCCACCATGAGACAGACTAGTGTCGTCCGCTTAAACGTCCGCGTTTCGTCGACGTAGCCACCGACTAAAACACCTCCTAGAACAATAGCGACCTGGAACGCCGCACCCACCACGGCCAGCTCCGCCGGGGGACACTCCGCGCGCTGCAACGCTTCGGCGGCGAAGGCCGAGATGACGTTCGTCACGCCTATCGAGCACACGAACGCGCCTAGAGAAGGATTGAAGCCTTCCACTTGGAGTAAGTCGATCAGGAGGCGGGGGTAGCGCAGGCCTAAAAATGTAGGTTCGTCTTCTGGCGGTGCTTCGGACTTTTCTACGGCCCGTTGTGCCGACGCGGTCGGCGGCGTCGGTGGCCGCGACCGGAAGAACACACATGTCAAAGCACAGGCTACGAGAGACGCGGCAGAGATATCGAGAAAATACGCCGGGAGTTTCGAGGCGTCGTCGCCGACCACCAAGCCACCAACCACAAAGGCCGCGGCGATGCCCAACTGATTCGCATTCAGAGCAGTGGCCGTTGCTGTTGCTCGTTCGCGCGCGCCGAACCACGTCGCACTGAGCAAGGGTGGCGAGCACTGGAAGAAGGGCTGCGAGAAGCCTACTAAAGCAGTACCCAATCGTATCATATCATACGACGGTAAAGATGAAGGATCGATGCCGCTCCGCAAGAAACACCCCGCCGTCATCAATACGGACGCGGCGACCATGACCCGTTGCAGGCCAAAGGCTTTCGCTATATCAGTGAACAAGAAACAACTCGCGACGTTGCACAGGAGAAACAGGTCGATTATCTCGGCGGGGTCCCTACCAGTAGCACTGGAAAACGCCCCGGGGTTCGCCGCCGTCGCGAAGCAGACCCAGTCCGACACGAACGCTAGGAACGAGAGCATAAACAAGTGCGCCCAGCGCGAGTCATACAGCGTGTACTTCTCGGCCGCGGCGATCGGCTTCGCTTTTAAGAGTGGCCGTCGTCGCTGCGTGACTGCAAGTGATGGTCGCCGCGGCGGCGGCGGCGGCAAGCTGGTCGCCGGCCGCGCGACGACGCGCGGCCGCGGGGCGACCAGGGCGGCGGCTCTGGGTGCAGCCGCTGCAAGGCCCAACAAGAGCACGCGGCGAGCCATGATCGATGGTTAGTTTGAAAGTCCTAGTCCGCAACTAACATATTGATGCTGAATTTCGGTGCGTCGATGCCAACTCGCTGCGCTACACCGCAAAAGCCACGGCCAGCAGGGAGTGCAAGACCTTGCAAAAGTCGATGAGTCCGCCCTCTTCGCGCGGATGCCTGCGTGGAGAGCCGTGGATTGGTCCATGGGACTGGTAGAGTCAGGCCAGCCAGCCAGGAACCCAGTCAAACGAGGCCACAACGCGCGCGGGGGCTACAACAAAGCACCGCACACCTCGACGGGATCGGCTGCCCCGCGACCGGTGGGACGTCTCTCGGATCGCCCCGGCCGCCGCTTTACCTGTTCGTTTCAACTCGGCGGCGAGCCGAACACAAAGACAAAATTTGTTGGGTGGGAGCCAGCGCCCTGCGCTGCGGCCGGGCAGCCGCAAAACGGCGCCATGAACCCTCCCACGCCGCAGCGCGCCGCCGCGGCACCCCGCTGGCTGCCGCCGCGGCACGCCTTGCCACCCGGTGCGGCCCCTGTGATGATGCTGCCATTCGGGCCGCCGCCCGGGGCGGGCTGGCTGCCACTAATGCCCGTCGTCGGCGCGGCGCCGGCGCGGGGCGTCGTCCCCGGGCCGGCGCCGGCGCGGTGGGTGCCGCTGCCGCGGCCGCGCGGCGCCGCGGCGCCAGCGCCGGCCGGCTGGGTCCCGCTCCCTGCGCCGCGCGGCGTCGCGCCCGCGCCCGCGCCGGCAGGGTGGGTGCCGCTGGCGCTGCCGGCGCCACGCGGCTTCCCGCCGGGCCGGGCGCTGCCCTTCGTGCGGCCGCCGGGCCGGGCGCTGCCGCGCTTCGCGCGGCCGCCGCCTGTGGTAGTGCCGCCTGTTGTGACGCCGCCCGTGACGCCGCCGCACGAGCAGCAGCGGCGCGCGATCCCCTTCGTGGCCCAGCTCAAGCGCATGATCGAGGAGCGGCCCGAGATCATCCGCTGGCGCCGGGGCGAGATCGTGATCCCGGACCCCGCGGCGCTCGAGCGCAACCTGTCGAAGTACTACAAGCACTCGAAGTACGCGTCGTTCCAGCGCCAGCTCAACAACTTCGGCTACCGGCGGAGGTCTACTGATCAGCAGGAGGCGGAGACGGTCTACGAACGGGCCGGTGCCTCGGAAAACTTGGACGACCTCCTCGCGCTGCGCCCCGTGCGCCCGGCGCCGGGCGGCGTAAAGAAGCGCGGGCGCGACGAGCCGCCCGCCTCGCCGAAACAGCGCGTGCGCGTCGCGTGCGCGCCGCCCGCGGCCTTCGACGCCGCGGCGTCGCTCCTCGCGCTCGGGGCGTCGTGATGAACCTTTGTAGCTACTAAGAATGTGGTACCGTGACTTTGCTGTTGCGCGTCGCCGATTCATCGGCGGCGGGCGCCTTTTACCCCCTCGCCATCGTCGCCTCCGAGCTAACACTCGGGGCGACAGCGCATGAGGCCGGGGCGGGCGTGCGGTCAAGCAGACTTCGCGTCGGTCGCGGTGGCTAGGCGGCCAAGCTCTAGCAAAGCAGAGCAAACTCCCCCGCACCGCGCCGCGGTCCGCGGACCCGAATTCAAAATCTTAGGCCCAGCAACCGTAGCCGGCCGCGTCGATGCGTCGGGGACCCTCCGCACGGAGTCCCCGAGACCTCGCGTACAAAGCCCGCACGGTTCGCACTGTGATGTCAAGCATAAAGTGATGGCCGCATTGTTGTAGTCGGCGCACACCGCATAGCAGTGGAAACGCAGCCTCCGGCGCACCCATGGGGCGCCTGCGCTACCACTGCCTGAGCGGGCTGCTCCTCCTTTTAGCTCTCGCCGCCAAGGCCGAGGAGGCCACTGCTGTACCACCATGCGACAAAAATGACCATGACAAAAAAGAAGACAAGTTCACTCACTTCACGGAGATTTTTTACACGGTCATCTTCATCATTCTCGTGTGGATCAGCGGCAAGATCGCGGCCGCGGCAGGCGCGCCGTCGCTCGTGGGCGAGATCCTGGTCGGCGTGATCCTAGGGCCCCACGTCGTGGACTTCGTGCCTTTCCCCTCCGCTCTTAAGAGTATAGGAGAAGTGGGTCTGTGCTTACATGCGTTGGAAGCGGGTCTGATGGTCGACGTCGAGATGTTGGAAATTGTGGGCGCGCGAGGTTTAGCTGTCGGATTCGTCGGGAGTGCCGCACCTTTAGGACTTGGACTATTAGTAGCATTGGCCTGGGGCGCCAAATTAACGCCGGCCTTTGTCGTCGGCGCGTGCACGGCGACGATGTCGACTGGTATTGCCCTTAATGTCCTCAAAGCCGGTTCGGTCATCAACCAGCCCATCGGCCAGTTGATCATCGCCGCGGCGTCGGTGAATGAATTGGTGAATATCACGTTGTTGACTTGCGTCGACAACATGATGCGGCGAGCAAAACCGATGGCCTACGCGCTACCTTTGGGTAGTATGATTTTACTGGTCCTCATAGTGGGCTGGGCCGCGGTCAAGATCGTGCCGCGGTGGCTCGAGAAGCATATTTTACCAAGAGTGCCGCAGCACCATCGACCGAACGCTGTCCTTTTATGTTTGTTTTCGGCGGCCATCATCTTGATACCGGTCTGTAAATATTCTGGTAGTTCGGAGTTATTGGGAGCCTTCTTAGCTGGTCTATGTTTCTGTAGCGACCACGTCGTCCACGCGACGTGGGACCGCCAGGTAAAAAGAGTCTATGCGTGGTTGATGCGCTTGTTTTTTGCGGCGACGATTGGGTTCGAAATACCCATCGAACACATGAACACGCAATCTTTAACCAAGGCGTGTATCCTATGCACCGTATCCATCGCTAAACTGGCGATGGGCGCCTTCGCCCAGCCGCTGGACAGCGACCACTTCTGGATCCTGGCCTGGGCCTGGGGCGAGTGGGGCGAGATGTCTTTTTTTATCGCCGGTGTCGCGGCTACTGAAATTAAGTCGGGCCGGATCATCTCGAAGGACACCCATAACGCCATTTGTCTGGCGGTACTTGTGTCGATGTTGGTGTGTCCCGCCGGTCTACGACGGAAGCTCGAAGAGTACGAGAAGAAGGCCAAGTACCAGATCGCCGAGGCCTGTACCCGCGTCTCGTTATCTCGGCTCAAACTTGGACACGATCTCCGAGGGATAGACAGAAACACCGCACTCCGACCCCAACAAACCTCAAATTGAAGCACAAGTTGAACTTTGATTCCCACGCAGGCGATTGCCGACACGGCGGACACGTCCGGTCGCGAGCACGCGACCTACTTCTGCTTGCAGACGAAGTCCCACGCCCACTGGGACATGTCCGGTTCGCTCCAGAAGATGATGCAGAAGCTCGGCTGCGACGTTATTGATTACCGCCAGTGGCATCCGAACGATCATTTCGGCCTCGCGCACTGTGCGATCTCCGCGTTTTGAAGTGTTGCGGTGCCTTCACTTCACTGATACGACTCGTGTTTCTTTTTCGAGTTCGAGGCCGTTCGGACCACGCAGGCGTCAACGAGATGTACGTGCGCGACGACCACGTTCGCTTACCGACGGCCGTCGACATGTCCGCCGAGCAGAATGTGAAGTTACGAGAGCGGATCGACGCGATCTTGGACGCTACTCGGGCGGCCCTCCACGAGGACGAGCACGACGGCGCGGAGATTAGGGTGCAGAGATGGTTACCTGGAAGTCACTTGGAAGGGAGTCGTTTGGTCGCGAACGAGGACGCGAAGGAACGGATCGAGGTCCTAGCCTCGGATACGAACGTGTATAGGGGCGCCGACGGCAAGTTGCATGGCAAGTCCTACGGGCCCTGGCGCTCTACTTCTCACTCTAGGAAGGCGAAGTCGGCGAAAGAAACCCTCACGCATAGCGTCGAGGACACGATCGACCAGGAGCAGTGCCTCGAGGGCTTCGACGAGGTCAGCTCGCAGAAGGGTTCGGTACGGAAGGAAAACCGATTGAAAGCGTTCGCGCGACACGTCCTCGACCCTTCTGAAAAAGATCATGGGTTGGAGGCGGAGCGCGGCACGCGCGGGGCGTTGCACGCCGAACCTCATCATGAATTGGACGGCTTCGTGCACCACGGCGCGCACCACCCCTTCGCGTTGCCGGACGACGACGACCACGAGAAGGAAGATGAGCTCGTGTTCGGGTCGAAGTTACCGTCCTCGACGTCGTTGCGACGGATGGCCTCCTTTAGATCGATGGCGTCGCTCGACGAGTCCGAGACGAAGGAGTGGCACCAGCACGACGTGGAGACGGCCGACGACGCGGGGACGGTGTTGCCTCTTGCCTCTACTTCTCTTGGTAAAAGAGCCAAGTCCTGGTCTGGGCGTGGTGGTTCTCCTGATGATCGGTCGCGGCGCGACGCCGCGCGGCGGCGGACGCTGTCCGATTTGCCGCCGCCGCCGCCGTCGCCGGACTCGAAGCCGTCGACGCCGGCCCATCTGGACGAGGTCGGGGAGAGTAAGCAGCTGTGAGCGAAAACCCGTTTTGAGCAGCCATTTTTTGTATCGGTTTGCGGGGCTGCCCCGGGCCGCGCTGCCCGCAAGTACGCAGCGATGGCCTCCTTCAACGAGGACCCCGCCGACCGGGCCGCCGAATTAGAAAGGATGCTCGTCGGCCACGTCTGCACGCTGGAAACAGCCTTCGGCTTTTATACCCTAGGAGACTGCCGCTACGCGATTGGTGATTATAAAGGAGCGCACGAGGCCTGGAAGACGCTGCACGAAGCTAATATCACGAATGCGCTGACGGACCAGGCGCTGTTTCAAGATGGAAGAGCGCTGGACGCGAGCGGCGATTTACTGGCTGCGATCCACGCGTACAATAGTTTTGCAGCTAGACAGCCCGAGGAGGCCCTGGTCCATTTCAATCTGGGCGAGATTTATGGAAGACTGGGGCAGTTCTCGGACGCGGCGAAAGCTTACCATTTAGCTGCCGATTTGGACAAGAGCGCCGACCTGCAAGTCCGGAGAGACGCTCTATTTAACCTGGGCGGCGACCAGACGAAGCAGGGCCTTTATCTGGATGCGGTGGCGACGCTGACGACGCTTGTGGGTCTAGACGACGGCGCGGGCTTCCACGTCCTACGCCTGGCCGAGGCGCTGAAGGGTGCCGGAAAACGGGACGACGCCCTGCGGGAGGCGCAGCGGGCGGTAGCTCTCCTGACGAAGGCTACAATCGACGGCTTCGACGCGGACTGGGAGAACGAGCGCCAGACCGCGCTCCGCGAGGCGTCGGCGCTCGTCGGCGCGCTCGAGGCGGTCGCGGCGGCGGAGGCGTCGCTCGCCGACGCGGTTGTGGGGGTGGCGACGGCGCTGCCCGGGGCGAGTAATGCGGGGTAGTAGTCCTGCGAAAACAGCCCTAGTGCCTTACAGAGCCGCTAGCTCGTAGAGGCGCGCCGCGTATTGGCTTGGCGTTCAAATCTGTAGCGGCAATTGTGGTAATTCTGCGGCGAATTGAATAGCTTCCCAGCATCCGCAGCCTCTCAGCATCGCACGGCTCCTACCAACTGCAGGGGCTAGCTGTACTCCACACTACAAAAGGCAGCTGTGCCGCGACGCCGCCGCGGAGCCAATCAAACCATGACCGACTCCTCCGACGACGACCTCTTCTGCTCGCCACGAACCACGAAGAAAGCCAAGCCGCCGCCCAAGAAGAAGGCCAAGACGACGTCGATCTTAGATCAAGTGATGGCGGCCGACGCGAAGACCGAGGCAAGGGTCAACCAGCTCAAGGAGATGAACGCCGCCTCGCGGAAAGATCTAGGAGAGCAGGCACCGTCGACGGGCGTGGCCATCGACTGGGATTACATTCGGAGGAAGCCCGGTTCGATCGCGGCGCGCGCGGAGGCGGCCGTCCGGGCTGTCGACGAAAGGCCCAGTGATACCGGCGTGGAGGTCGTGCTGGGGTGTTCGTCGGTGCGTCGCGTCCGTGTGCCTGATCAAGATAAAGCTGAGCGATTGCTACGTGACGCGCGCGATGGCTTGAGCACGGAGGGCGAGCTGGCCACGGCCTTCGCTTCTCTGATCAATGATGATGCTTCCAAAAAAACGCCGGCGGCGCGGAACGCTTTACTAGAGGCGCTGGGCGGCCGCTACGCGGCGCGCCACCCCGACGAAGTGCCTCAATCATTGACGAGGTGGCTCCAACTCACCGCCGCCCTCGACGCGCGGCCGGCCGTGGCGCGCGGCGCGCTCGAGACACTGGTCGAGATGGACCAGCGGAGCCTCGACGAAGGTATCGTGGACGACGTCCTCGCGCTCTACGTCGCCGACGCGGACGTGCCCAAGGACGAGGACGCCTGCCGGCGCCTCGACCGCGCGTTCCAGGCCTGGAGCGCCTCATTTGGACACGGCGGCTTATCAAACGAGGCGCTGCAGCGCGTCGCGGAGCGATGCATTGACCTGGCACACGACGAAAACGTCGCGACGTCGAGTGGCGGCGCGGCAGCAGCAAGGCGGTGCGTAGAAAGTGCGCTGGCGGCGCTCGCCGACGCCGGTGGCAGTATCGACGCGGGCGACCCTTGTTCTTCGCGCGACGCGGCGCGGCGCTGCATTTCCATCCTGCGGGCACTGCCGCCGCCCACGTCCGATTTGAGATGGGCGGCGATTCAGGGATGCTGCCGGGTCATCTTCGCCGCCACGCTGAAGGAGCAAGCGCCCGCGGCCGACGTGAGTCCAATAGAGGCCTGCGCGGCGGCGTTGCGCGCCGTGCCCGGCGGCGACCCGCCCCTGGGCGCGCACGCGACGCTCTACGCTCTTTTATGTGCAGTGGCCGCGCTCCATTCAATCTGTGGCGACGCGGTCTCGAGTGACCACGACGCCGTCGCGAACGCGGCCGAAGCTTTACGGAAGCGCGTCGTGTCGCTCGACGCGACGGCGGCGCGCAACGCCGAGTTCCTGGACACGTTGATCGCGACGTGCCATTTAGATCGGGACGCGCGCGCGCGGAAGGGCTTGGTGCAAAGGACTATTGACGCGGCGGTTGTCGCGCCGCCTCCTCCGGAGGCTTCTTCGCCGGGGGCCGCCGCCGCCGCGGGGGAATAATCTTGTCTTAGTCGCCTTTATTAAGGTAGACTGCGTCACTACGTAGGACGCCTACGGCGGCTATCGCTAGCAGACAGAGTTGCAGACGGGTTTTTCAAGTCGATTTTGCGGCCGCTGACGCCGCGCGGTGCAGGCAGGTGCGATCAACGCGTCAAGGAAGTCTATATTTTCATCTCTCTCGCTGCGCGAGCACAGCATATAGCCGTCCAGGGCCACAGATTTTACAGGATCTGCAAAGATCGATCATGGCGCGGGATGGAGAAGGTCACGACCTCAGTGAGGAGGTGAGGCGCATGGTTGTCACGACGATGGACGAGGCCTCGATGAGAGGCGACGCCGTAGAGGCCCAAAGAGCTGCCTACGACAAGACGGACGAGGCGGCGATGCTCGCGGTCGTCGAGCGCACGGACGAGAGCATCGCCGCCGCCGCGGGCCACGCGAGCATCGAGAGCGCCCTGGCGCCCTTCGTGACCGAGAGCGCCGCCGCGGGCCACGCGAAGGTCCTGGCCGCGTGCCTCGCGAAGGGCGCGCCGCCCGACGGCGACGCCGACACCGCGGCCCTGCATCAGGCCTCCCGGGACCAGCGCGAGTTCAAGGGTATGGGCGGCGCCAAGCCGGAGGGCAGCATGATGCTCGTGGTGCCTCGGGTGCCGCTGACGCTCGCTATCGGGGCGAATTCGCTCGAGTGCACGCGCCTGCTGCTCGACGCCGGATGCGATCCGAACGCCGGGAACATGGGCTACGCGTCGCCGTTCTTTTGCGCGTTAAGTTCAAGCGTCGGCGACCGGGACAGGAAGATCGCGATCGTCCGCCTCCTCGTCGAGGCGGGCTGCAACGTGAACGCCAAATGTCTCGACGGCGCGACGGTGCTCTTCGGGCTGGCCAAGGCGAGCCTCCACGAGGTCGTTGAGGCGGTCGTGGCGCGCGGCGCGGACACGGAGTACGGGCCCGGGCCGCCGGACGGGAGCTACATGACGCCGCCGCTCGCGTTCGCGTGCGCGTGGAACGGCATGCCGCCGCACCTCGTGGCCCGCTACGGCGGGACGGCCCTGGTCGACAAGATCGCGACCGTGCGCGAAATGATTCGCCTCGGGTCGAAGCTCGTCCCGCGCGGCGCGCCGTCGCGAACGCATCCCGCGACGCCCGAGGCGATGCTCCGCCGCTGGGCCACCGCGGAAGGCCCGCCGCACCAGGCCGACGCCCTCCGCACCGCCGTCGCGGACCTGAAGATCAAGGACATGAGGGCGCTGATCACGCGCGCGGGCCTCTCGCACGGCGACTGCGTCGAGAAGAGCGATCTGAGGGCGCGGACCTGCGAGGCGCTCGAGAAGACGGCGCCCGCGAACGAGCTCCTCCGCCTCGCGGACCTCATAGACCATCTGATCGAGGGCGGCGGCGACGACGCGGAGACGCGCGAGGCGCGCCAGGCCGCGCGCGCGCCGCTCATCGAGGCCTTCGAGGAGGCGCGGCCGGTGCTGTACTAGTCGGGTAGCCTGGCTCTAGCAAGGGAACGCGTACACTAACTTGGAAGTTAACGAGAGAGAGAGCGAAACCTAGAAGGTGAAGCCGTTCGGCCCGAAGCCGCCGGGCATGGAGTCCTGCTTCGGCGGCATCGAGGACGGCGGCCGCGGCGGCGCCATCATGCCCCGCGGCGACATCATGCCGCGCGGCGACATCATCGGCGACGGCATCGAGCCGCCGCCCATCATCCCCATCTGCGGCGGCATCGGCGGCCGCGGCGCGTAGCCCATCCCCATGCCAATCTGCTGCTGCTGTTGCGGCGGGAAGCCCATCTGCTGTGGCATCTGCCGCGCCATCATCATCCCTTGCTGCGGCTGAGGCGGCCGCGCCTGGCCGAACGCCGCGAAGCCCTGCTGCGGCTGCATCATCGGCGGCTGGCCGAAGCCCATGGGGCGCGGCGGCTGACTAAAACCCATGGGCGGGCCCCGCGGCGGCATCGACGGCGCCGGCTGCATGGGAAAGCCACCGGGCATGGGCCCGCCGCGCGGCATCGCCGGCGGCGCGTTGAACATGGAGAGGATCGCGTCGTTCGACGCCGGCGGCGGCGCGGGCTGCGGCGGCGGCGCGGCCGGCGCGCCGGCGAACGCGTCGAAGGATGAGGAGGGCGCCGCGCGCGTCGCTTGCGTGCCGAAGGCGTCGAAGGGCGCCTGCTGCTGCGGCGGCGCCTGGCCGAAGGCCGCGAAGGCCGGCTCCGCCGCCGGCGCCGGCGCGTCGAAGGACAATAAGTCGGGCGCCGGCGCCGCCGCGGGCTTCGGTTTCGAGCGGCTCGATACCTTGACGCGCGGCTTCGCAGCTTTGCGGGGCTCGGGCGTCGGCTCCGGCGCGGCGGCCCGCGGCGACCGTGAGGGCTTGCCGCCCCGTCGTGGATCGCCCTCGCCGCCGTCGGGCACCCACTTGCCCATCTCGTACTTGTCTCTGATGTAGCGGTTCATCTCGTTAACGCTCGCGTGCTGGTCGGGCTTCTTCTTGTCGAGCCGCGCCTCGAAGTACGCGTTCGCGTTGAGGTTGCCCCACTCCTTCATCTTCTTGTATTGTTTTTCCGTCCACTCGTCCAGGTTCACCGATCTAACGAAGGACAGGTGGGTTCCTAACCCACGGTGCAGGCCGCTGCAGTTAAAGCAGACGAAGACGCCGCACGACGCGCTCGCCCAGTTGGGCTTGGGCGCCGTGCAGTCGGCGCATTCATTATTTCCGGGGAGTTTTAGTAAGGCTTCGACCTTCTTGCGGACGGCCATGGGTGCGTTTTTTGTCTCGCGCCGGCGGCGTCTGAATTAGCTGCTTTCTCAGCGGTTACAGCTGTCCTCGCAGCGTCGCCGCGGCGGCTGCGTCTCAATTATCTGCAATAGCTGCTATCCAGCGGTTTTGTGGGCGTGGAGCGCTGGCGTCGCTAGGCGTCGCTGCAGGGTTTTCGAACGGCTACTGGCTGCGCGACGGCGCTCTGCTACAGGAATCTGTTCGGTTATTGCTGCGCAGCGCGTAGCCGAGCTAAAAAGCTCGTGTAAGTCTAGTATCGATGTGACGCTAGCTCGGCTTGTTGTCTGCATCCGCAATCGCGGGCTGTGCAGGCGCTTCTGGCACAGAGATCAGTGAAAGGAGGTCCGATGATCGGTGCAACAGCTCTGCTGCGCCTGGCTCTGCTGCAACTGGCAGCCCTGAGCATATGCACAAACGCACTGCAAGCAACGCATTGCAGTAGACGCCGCGGCGTGCGACGAAAAGCCGGCGAGGACGACAGCGTGCCGCGGCCGGATCCAATCTACTCGGACGAAGCTGTCGTCGCGCTCTGCATGAACGCCCTGGGTCGCAACGACGACCCGGTCCCCGACGCGGGCCTGCGGACGTGCTGGAACTTCTCGCGCCGACCAGTGCATGAATCAAATTGTCGTGGCGCGTCTCGTGGTGGCGGCACCCGACCCACTGTTTGATTTGCCCACAGGAGCGACATGTGTCGCGCGGCCGTCGGCGGCTCGCTGGCGGATTTTTTGAAGTATGCGAGGAATCCAACGTTCGCGCAACTGGTGGACCACGAGTCGTGGAGCGGCAAGCTCGGCAACCGCATCCCCGCGACGCAGACGCGCGGCGCGCTCACTACCAATATGGTGACGGTGCAGACGAATCGCGGCCAGGAACGCAAGTTCCTATGGACGCTGCAGCAACAACGACGGCCGCCGGACCAGGGCTGCTGGCTCGTGCACGAGTGTCTGTACGTGGAGAACGCGATCGAGCAAACCTTGTAATGTGTTAAACAACAATCTAACTCCACAACCCAATACGCGCGAGCAGGTCGCTGCGCAGGCCGAAGGCGTCGCAGGCAACGTACGGGGGCAGCGGCTCGAAGGCGATCCCGAGGGCGTCCGCGTCACGCGGTGCGCGCTTTGCAAACTCGACGAGCGCCGCCGCGGGGCAGACCGCGTGCGGCGACTCGTCGACGCGGCGCGCGGCGGCGTCGCGCCAGGCGTACAAATCGACGAAGCGTCTTGCTTGCGTGTCGTCGCGCGGGAGGCGCTTGTCCCGCTCGGCCGCGAGGAACGAGGCGCGCGGCGGCCGCCACAGAGCGCGCTGAGGGGCCGCCTGCGAGTCGGCGAACGCGGCCCGCTCGAGCCCCGAGTCCGCTAACCGAGTCCACAGCGCCGCGTCCAGCGCGAGCAGATGCGTCGCGTCGCCGCGCGCATAGTCAACCTGGTCCGACGAGAGCGGACGCCTCCGCCAGTCGCAGTTCTGGAACCGCTTTTTGAGAATCGCCGCGCGCGCGGCCCAGGCGCCGTCCACGACGCCGCAGGCCCCCAGGAGGTCGACGAGGCCGAGGGGCAGCTCCAGCGCCGCGGCGGCGATCTGCGTGTCCGCGCAATTCACCACGCGGATCCCGAAGTCGCGGTCCAGGCGCGGGATGTCCACGCCCTCGCACGAGTGGAAGACCTTCCGGACCGCCGGGTCGGCAAATACCGCGCGCAGCGCCGGCCCGACCTCTTCTCTCAATTTGAGGCAGTCGACGACGTAGTCTTTGCTGTGCGTCGAGACCTGCAGCAGGCACGCGAAGCCCTCGAACGAAAACTCCGCGTGGGCTTCCACGTCGATGGCGATCGGCGTTTTCGACCGGGCGAGCTCCGCGGCCATGGCCCGGAGCGCGTCCGGCGAATCGACGACCTCGACCGGGACCTGGGGTGGTCGCACCACCGGCGCGGGGCGCGGCGGCCCGGCCGCGACGAGCGCCGTGTTCGCGGCCGCGTGCTCGAAGGCGCCGGTCCGGGCGCACGGCGCCCACGTGCTCCCGTCGAATCGCTCCCACGCGTCGTCGGCGACGCGCCTCAGATCGTTCCGCGGCGCCGGCCACGCGGCTTGCGGCCGCGTGAGGCGCGATGACGCCAGCGCTGCTACCTCGCTCGCGGCCCGCGAACCGTGCGGGTCCGGCCGCCGTTGTCGCGACGCGACGCACCGCCGGCCGCCGTCGCGCACGTCCTCGCTCCAGTGGTGCAGGCCTAGGTCTCCACAGGCGCCGTGCGCCGCGCTGCGGTCCCGCGCCGAGAGCGACGTGGGAAATCTTGCGGTGTCGTCGTCGACGCGCTCCAGCAGGCTCGGCCCGGGCGGCGGCGGGAGCCGCTGTGCGAAGGCGGTGAGGGCTGCACGTATGTCGGACTCGCGGCCACGGCCTCGGCCTCGGCCTCTGCTTCTGCCTCTGCCTCTGCTGCGGCCTCGTGGGCCTCTGCCTCTGCTGCGTCCTCGGCTGCTGCCTCGCTCCATGAATCGCACTGCTGCGCGCGGCGGCACGCGGACTCAGTGGGTACAGGCAAGCAGGTGCACTAATCGATGCAATCGATGCGGCACTGCAGCTGATCTTGATCAGTGGGTGTATGCGATCTTCAGGATGCACTGGCAGAGCCTGGCTGCATGAATGCGGCCAAAGCGGGCTGCGCGAGTGCTCGAGCTCAGTTTTGGGTCACGGGTTTTACAAGTCGCCCGGCTGTCTGATGGAAGCGACCTCATACCGCTACAGAGACGTCCAAGCACCCCCCCGACGGGTTTTCGGCGCCATCGCGCGAGGCCTTTGCAGCATCAAAAGCCTCGACGCATGCGTTTTTGAGCGGCGCCGCTAGGCCCAATCTGTGCAGGTAGGCTAGCGAGAACGCTTGACCCGGCATCCAAGGCACCAGCGCACCGAGCTTGCAAGCGTACGACAGCACTGCGCAACAAAAAGGCCTAAAATAGCCCTGCTGGACCCAGCCTCGCAGAGATGGCTCGGCAACGGCGACGGATAGCGTCAGCGCTCCTCATCACCGCGACGCATGCCCTGGCACCACCCAGAGTGGTCGTCACCGGCGTCGGCGCCCTGACGGGCGTGGGCAACACCTACGAGGAGACCTGGACCAACATCTGCGCGGGCAAGACGGGCATCGCGCCTGTTGATGCCTTCGACGAGCCGGAGCGGTTTGGGAGTACGGTCGGCTGTCAAGTGAGAGATTTTGACGGCAAGGCCTGGTTCGCGAGCCCGAAGACGGCGAACGCGAACGACCGGTATACGCACCTCGCGATGGCGGCGGCGAGGCAGGCCTACGACGACGCGAAACTTGATATCGGTGAGAACGCGGACCCCGATCGGGTGGGCGTGATGATTGGAAGCGCCTTCGGGGGTATTGGCACCGTCGAGAGCGAGTACGAGCGCATGCAGAAGCGGGGGCCGAGACGGGTCTCGCCCTTCGCCATCCCCGCTTTACTGGGCAACACGGCGTCCGGCGTTGTTGGGATTGAGCTCAATTGCCGGGGCCCGAACTTTGGCGTCGTCTCGGCGTGCGCGAGCGGCACGCACGCGATCGGTGAAGCCATGCTGGCCATTCAGAGAGGAGACGCCGACATTGTCATATGCGGCGGCAGCGAGGCGGCGATGACGCCGCTCATGTACGGCGGCTTCGGGGCCATGAAGGCCATGTGTACGAAGTTTAACGACACACCAGACAAAGCAAGTAGGCCCTTCGACGCGGACCGGGCGGGCTTCGTCATGGGCGAGGGGGCCGGCGTTATTGTCTTAGAGTCCGCGGACCACGCGGAGAAGCGAGGCGCGTCGGTCTATGCGGAGCTCGCGGGCTACGGCGCCACCTGCGACGCGCACCACATCACGACTCCCGCACCGGAAGGTGCCGGCCTCGCGCGGTGTCTCGACGTCACCCTCAAACATGCCGGTGTGGAGCCGTCGGAGGTCGTCTATGTCAATGCGCACGGCACGTCGACCGCGTACAACGACAAATTTGAAACGATGGCTTTGAAAACGGTCTTCGGCGACCACGCGTATAACTTACGGGTCTCGTCGACAAAAGGCGCGACGGGCCACACCATGGGCGCCGCCGGCGGCATCGAGGCCGTCCTGACGTGTTTAGCGGTGAAACATGGCGTCTGCCCGCCCACCATAAACCTCGAGACGCCGGACCCGGACTGCGACCTGAATTATGTTTCCGACGGCGCGGAGCAGCGCTCGGTGGACGTGGCGATCACGCAGAACCTGGGTTTTGGGGGGCACAACGGCGCGCTGGTCTTCAAGAAGGTCTAACTATATCTTAAATCGACTAGTAGAAGTAGGAGTGGCCCAGTGGGTGGGAATGTCGAATTTTGGTGGGCGCCGACCGCTCAGACGCGCTCCAGCTCTTTGGCCGGGTCCGTCGGTTCCTTCGTCGCCGTCCAGCTGTCCGCCGTGTCGCAGAGGACGCCGACGGCGAGCGCGAGCAGCCCGGCCGCGTAGAGCGCGTGGAACAGCGCGTTGTGGTTGAACTCCATCGGGTCGGGCAGCGGGCAGTCCTCCCAGCAGTCCTCGTAGCCCGGGTCGCCGCACACGTCGGCGAGCGCGACCTGGATAAGCATGCCACCGATCATCACCACCTGTGTGGAAATCAAAATTTACGGCGCGTCCGAATCTTTGCGTCGTCCTCGACGCCATCGACGCGACGCCTGCTCGATGGCGTGGTGATGCCGGTTCCTCGCCGCTCGACCGAGCCAGGACGGCCACGTCATTGCCGAGAAATGACTTAGTGTACACCCGCCGCACTGGTTGATTTCCACACAGATCACCACGCCGGCCGCCACCTTGACCGCCCCGGCCACGCAGACGCGCGCGCCCTTGCAGCACGCTCGCGCGAGGTCGAGGCCCGCCGCCTCGCCGCAGCCACATGGCCTCATTGCGTGCTTGCCCCACACGCCGATCATTACCAGTAAAGTGACCGCCGTGAAGACGCCGCAGGCGAGCATGTTCTGGGTCGCGGCGACCAACAAAATGACGGCGACGTTGACCAGCGCCGTCGCCGCGACGCCGAGCTTCCATTTTGTAGAAGGCGCGTCGCCGCGCGTGAGCAGCGCGCCGACCCCGCAGAGGCCGGCGTTGCCGAGCAACACGACGACGTACGCGGCCGCCCAGTAGCCCGGCGCCGCCAGCGCGAAGCGGTGGTGCAGCACGCCCGCGGCGCCGTAGCCCAGGCCGGTCAGCGCGAAGAACGCGGCGTAGGCCGCGGCGAGCCCCCGCTCGACCCCGCTCGCGCCGGCGCGCTCGAGCCGCTCGCGCGCCCGGACGAAGGCGCACGCCGCGAGGACGCCGATAACGAGGATCAGGTAGTTCGTCGCATCTGTGTGGGGTACGCGTCGTCGCGGCGACGGCGCGCGCGCGCGTGTTGTGAGACGCCGGCGGACGCACAGCACCCGAGCGTGTCGTCGGTCGTCGTGTTCTTGGGCGGATCGCCCTGGCAACCGCCGTCGACGTAGTTTTGGCTGAAGAGGCGCCGCGGGACGGCCAGGATGCCCGGGTCGTAGTCCATTTCTTGCTGCCTCGGGCTCCGGGAGGGCAGCCCCGATTCCACACACGAGCTTGCTAGTGGCTTACCAGCCGCTAGCGCGCGGATTCTATGTGTCGTCGATCCACACGCGATCACGGGGCGACTGCAGGCCCCGCGCCGGCTGGGTGGCGAGGCGAACGCGGCCCGCGCCCGTCGCCGATGAATCGGCGACGCGCGGTGTCTCCGCCCACCAGTCCTAGCACCGTAACCATATAAGTTAGGTGGCCGAGCTCCAAGCAAAGCAAGACTGTTACGAAGTAGGAGCGGCCCGGGACGGGGGAGTGGAAATGTCGAATTTCGGCGGTCGGCGGGCGCTCAGACGCGGTCCGCGGCCTTGGGCGTCTCGGTGACGCCGCGCACGCGCCGGAAGAACAGGCACCAGAAGACGATGTTGAAGAAGGGCGCGACGACGAGGAGGATCATGGCGGCGAGCTTGGACGCCTTGCCGTGGTACTTCCAGTTGAGCGTCGCGTAGATGTAGCGGTCGTTCTCGCAGTTCTTCAGGCCGCTGGCGAAGTGGATATAGGACCAGAGGCAGTACAAGAACGCGTACACCATGAAGAGCAGGCCGTGGACCAAATACATGGGCTGGTTGCTCACGGCCTGGTCGAGCACCATCAATACAAAATTGACGCCGTGCGTCCACGGCGAGATCGGGTAGATCTTGCCGCCGTCATACACGAGACCCCAGTACAACACGAAGATGAGGAAGGACGCGGGGAGCGTGATGCCCTGCAGAATCCAGGCCGCGCGGCAGTACCACGGCGTCCGCTCGGGCGCATCCTTCGTGCCCTCCACGTCCCGGTAGTAATACGCCTTGGCGGTGGTGGAGAAGGCCAATCCTAAATACACGGTCTCGATGAGCGCGCCCTGGTGCGTGAGGTAGATAGGCCAGCAGCGGCCCTTCCCATCCAAGCTTTCGATCGTGATGGAGGACACCAGGATCGACAGCATGCCCGCGAACAGGATGCCGCGGAACGCGAGGTACTGCCCGCGGTCCTTGATGATGCGCGAGCTGCCGAAGTACCTCACCCACCTTCCATCGTACTCCGTCAGCCAGAACTCGCGCCGCTCCTTGGACCACTCCTCGCCGCAGGTCCGGCAGACGGAGTAGTTGTCTCCTTCGCCCGCCATGTTAGCGTCTCTACTACTGGGGCAGGCTCTACTGGAGCAGGCTCTACTACTGGGGCAGGACGCGGCGTTTAAGGCAGCCCCGATCCACACGCGCCAAGATCGAGCCCCGAGCTAGAGCCCCGAGCTAGCGTAAAAAATCGACCTCCGCGCCGCCGTGGATATCGAGCCGTGGGAAACTAGAGGCTCAGCGGTCTCTAGCTCGACGGGCTTCGCGCCGCCGTGCTAGCAAACACGCCTCACAAGGAGCGCTGCGGGCTGCCCCGCCCATAAGAAGCAGGCAAGGGCAGCATGCGGCGCCGGCATCAGCGGTCGCCCCAGAACCACGCCCTCGTCGCGAGCGTCGCGGGCGTGATTCTGTTGTGCGGCGTCGTGAGCGTGCAGACGACGCAGGCGTCGCAGGCGTTCAGCCACGAGCAGGGCATGGCGCGCATGGCGGCGCCGCAAGGAAGCGACGCCGGCGCGACGACGGCGGGCGACGCGACGTGGTGGTCCTTCTGGCGCGCGGTGCGGACGCTGCCGCACGCATACGACGCGGCGACGGCGACGGTCCTGGGCGCGGGCGACCGCGGCCACGCGTCGCTCGACAGGGCGCTCGCCGAGAAAAGAGCGGAGATCGAGCGGCTCCGGGCCCAGACGGCGTCCCTCAAGGCCGAGCAGGCGCGCATCCTCGAAGGCGCGAAGGCGCGCGCCGCGGCAGCGCCCGCGGCGGCACCGGCGGCGCCCGCCGCCCCGGCGGCGCCCGCGGCGCCAGCGCGGCCGCCCGCGCCAGCGCGGCCGCCCGCGGCGCCGGCGGGCCTGCCGGCGGAGGAGCTCCCCGCGGCCGCCCCAGCCGCGCCGCGGCGGCAGGCGGCCCCGCCCGCCGCCGCGGCCCCGCCGCCCGCGGAGCGCGAGCTCCGCGGCGTCGCCAAGCGGCGCCACGCGCGGCTGCGGAACGCGGCGGCCGGCTGCTTTCTTGTTGTAAGAGCCAAGGACGGCAACAAGGGCGACGCCGAGGGCGACGAGTCGACGTGGCTGCGGTGCGACTCCGTCCAGGCCGACGGCGTCGAGGCGGTCTTCGAGGTGACGCAAGGTAACACACCGGACACGATTCGATTCAAGAGCATGGCCAACGCGTTATTTGTGGAGATGGTGCCTCCCACAAGAAGACTGGGCTGGGTCGTGAGAGCTGTCGTGGCGGACCCGTCAACTCGAAACGTGCCCACGGCGGACTTTCGGCGAGAGGGCAACGCGTTCAAGGCTATTGCAAGTGGCGGCGCCATCACGGTCATCGTCGACGGTAGTCTGAGGGACTCGAATCCGGTGCGGGGCCACGGCAACAAGCCCCACAACAAGCAGGGTGGGTCTGCTGGAGATCGGTACGCGCAGTTTCAGGTGGATTATCTAGATGAAGACGCGTTACGGAAAGCGCAGACCACCCAAGCGAGGGTAGAAAGGGAGCAGACCGAGCTCATGACGGCGCCCGCCGACGTGAAATGCGAGGGCAAGTGCGTCGTGAGCTACGGCTTGTATGGATCAGATCCAAAATACACGCAGGGCGCGGTCCGGAACTCGGAGTTGATCCACAAGGTCTTCCCGGGCTGGACGGCGCGGTTCTATCATCGCGAGGACGTGCCCGAGGATATTTTGAATCAATTGAGAAATAATGGTGCCGAGTTGGTCCTGATGTCGCGGGGCTCGCGGACGACGAGCGGCGCGATCGCGGGCATGTTCTGGCGGTTTCTGGTCGCCGATGATCAGGAAGTGGAGCGGTTCATCGTGCGCGACTCCGATTCAAGATTGAATGCGAGAGAGGCGCACGCCGTCGCCGAGTGGATGAAATCGGGAAAGAAGGTGCACACGATCCGCGACCACCCGAACCATGATAGACCCTTGAATGGCGGATTGTGGGGCGGTGTGCGCGGGTGCGTCCCCGGGGGCCTCGCCGAGGAGGTCCGCAAATTCAGCAACAAGCAGGGCTACGGCGGCGATTTACAATTTCTGAACGAGGTCGTCTGGCCGCGCGTGAAGCACGACCAGATGGCCCACGACGCCTACACGTGCCGCAAGTACCCCAACTCTCGTCCGTTTCCGACGAAGCGCCCGGACAACTACCAGCACGTCGGCCAGGTCTTCGACGCGCGCGACCGGTCCCGTCAAAGGGATATAAACGGCTATATGCGGGGCCGCAAGGTGCCGAGGCAGTGCCGCGCGCGCGAGGAGTGGTGGTACGGGTAAGACGTTTTTTTGCTCAGGCTCGGGCTAGCTTCGTCGCGGGGTCCCCCGTACCCCTCCCGCTCCCCCCGGGCCCACCCGTCCGGCTGGACTAGGACGCAATTGCTGAGTCGCAGGGACTCGCACGCCCCCCCCCCTTTTGCTTGCTAGTGTCTTACAGGGCGCTAGCCTAGCTCGAGTTTCTCACGGCTTTCCAACCATCAGATCCCAAGCAGACAAGACTAGACCCCTCCTCAAGCAAAACCATGGCGAAGCTCATCGTCGCCCTCTGCCTCCTCTTCGGCGCGAACGCCATGGGTATTTATGGCGGCGAAAAGAACGGGTGCGGCCAGACCTGCTTAGCGGTCGAAACTCTCAACTCGCTGCCCTTCCCCCTGGGCACGATTGAATCCGATACTTGTTACGTGATTGAAGGCACGTTCCCCTCTCCCGCTGACGCACTTTTTGTCTCAAGCTTGGTCAAGTGTGCGAAGATCACGATCCCGAGCGGCTCCCGCGTAAGCGGCATTTTCGCACACCTCCCGCGTCCGCCGTCTGCCCCGCGCCGCGAAACTGAGACGCGGCGCGCGCAGGTTAACGGTGAGAACACGGAGATCGTCAACGAAGGTCTGCTCGGCGGCATTAACGCGCGCCTTCCGCGTCCGTTGCTTAAATTGCGTGGGAGTACTTAGCGATCATCACGAACGCTAGACTAACTCATGCATTGATCACTACATCGCGCAGGTCGATGATATAGCAGTCGGAACGAAGATCACGAACACCGGCATCAGGAACGACGGCGACCCCGTCATCATCAACGCGCGCACGCCGCGTCCCTCCGCCTCCGAAGATTTTCGACGCCTCCCTCGCGCGCAGGTCCAGTCGGCTACGACCGAGATCACGGTGAGCGACCCGGGCGCGGCCGAGGTCCGCGTGCGCGACCCGCGTCCATAACGCCCGCCCGCACGAAAGCGAAGGAACCGAAACGCAGGCTTTTGGTGTAGACATCACCTTCCAGTGCTACGGCGAGGACGCGACCGCGGTCTCTGACACACCCGAGGTCTGCTCGTCATGAACCACTCTGCGAACCAGGAAACACGCCCCTCCCGCTCGCGAGGCGCGTAAAGGTGTATATAGATATAGACTTACGCACAAAGGGCCTCCTCAGCGCCGGCCGAACGCGTCGAGCGCGTCGTCGCCGCGCGGCGGCGTCCGCGACCGCGACGGCGGGGCCAGGCCCCCGGGCTTGCGCGCCTCGACGTCGCCGCGGACCTGGGCCCGCGCGCGCTCGAGGAGCTCGACCTTGCGCGCGCGCGCCGCGGCGGACTCGGCGCGCTTCGCGCGGAGCTGCTTCGCCGAGCGCCGCGCGAGGGGGTTCTCGACGTCGTCGGGCCAGAAGCCCTCGGAGCTTTCGCGCTTGAAGCGCGTGTCGCGCACGTAGCCCGGGTCCGGCAGCGCGAAGCCGTAGGGGTACGCGCCGCCCGCGACGCCATCCAACCAATACTTCTTCTGCTTCTCGCGCCGCGTGTAGAAGTAGTAGCCCAGCGGCGCGAACTCCCAGATATAATTACCGACGCGCATGAGCGCGAAGGTCACGAAGTACATGCCGGGATCGAGGTCCGCGGTGGCCGCTAATATAATACCAGCGACGAAAAACGCGAAGGATAGGATGGATACAATATATAAACCCTGCTTGCCCGCGTCGATGCAACAATCGCGACACAACCAGCAGACCTTGTGCAAACAACCGCCCGGCTGGAGGCACGGTGACGTCGCCATGAATCTCAACAGAAAATCGTACGCTACCAGCGCGATCGACGCGACGCAGACCCACAGTCCATAGGTCACGAGTCCGTTGTGCGGCGGGTGCCGGTTCTGCACCAGAGCTGACAAGAACAGTGTGAAGCAGATCACGCACATCAGGTAACAGATCCGATCAAACCGCTCGAAGTGGTGCATCGCGTGGCCCCGGCAAATACTGATGAGCGTGTGCTCGTTGGACACGTAGAACCACCAGTCCTCCTCCCACGCGTCCCGGCCCCCGAACCACACGACTCGACCTCGCGTGAATCCTTCTCTTAGTGCTTGTTCGTTCGTGCCTCCATTGGAATTGGATGGTCGGCGGAAGTCCTCTGGTATTGAAGCGCCGCCGTTCTGCGGCTCTTCTGGTTGGTCCCAGTCCGGGCGGCTGCTCGATTGCGAGGCCGCGGCGGGCTGGTCCCAGTTGCTCGTCGGGGCGGGCGCGCCGGGCCGCTCCCAGTGGTCCGGCGAGTCCATGTCGCGCGTCGACCGGCGTCAGTTGCGTTTTGTTCAACCCCGCGTCGACGAACGTGCGCACCGCGTTCAGGCGTGCAGCTGTTGCTCCAGGTGCGGCAAGGAACAGCAGCTTAGGCCGTCTCACGTTAGTGGTGCTGGATCTGCGTTACGATGAGCTGTGGAAATCGATTGCCGACTTTAACGTAACGCCACTTGTGCGAGCACTATGGCAAAAATTCAGCAAAATTCCCGGGAGCTGCTAGCGTTGTAAGACACTAGCCTGAAACACAATGGCCTCAAACCGCAGACGGACGGGTGACGAGAGCTGCACCGGGCTAGATGGCGATAGTGGCATCCGGGCTCACCCCCGGAGCGGTCCGGGGCGACCTCATAGGAGAGTGCTACTCGAGTACCGTTGGAGTACGAGACACACGAGCTGGAAGGAGCCCCCCAACAACAACAACAACAACAACAACAACAACAAGGAGAGAGAAAGATGCTTGTGTAGGCCGAGGGAGGACACAACCTAGAGGTCGGCGGAGAACGCGCGCTTGGGCCGGCGGTGGCCGTTCTCGCCGTTCGCGACAACGGCCGCGTCGGCGACGCGCGCGCGCTTCTTCCCCGGCCGCGCCGGCGCCAGGAGCGGCGCCGGCGGCGGCCCGCTGAAGGGCGTCGAGGCCCGCGCCGCGGCCGAGTCCGGCCCTCCTAAATCGGAAGCGCGGCGCGCCGCCGCACACACGCCTGCCAGTCCGGCCGTCGGCAGGAAGGCGCACACATGTAAGCTGGAGCCGGTCTCCGCGCACGGTCGAGACACGCAGAGGTCCGGGAGGCCCCGCATGCAATCGGGGCAGCCGCGCTGGCGGCACCGGGAACAGCCGGTTGCGACGAGCGACGCGTACGGCCGCGCGTCCGCGCAGAGCAACGTCTCGCCCACCAACTCCGCGCACGCGTTGTAGTCGGCGACCCACTGCTCCATGACTCTTGCGAGAGAATCGCCGAACTCCCTCACCACAGATCCTTCAGGATTGTAGTCGCGACAGTTCTGGAAGACGCGCCGCAAGTCACTATCCACGCTCTCCGGCGTGCGGTACCTTCCTGCATAGAGCTTGTCGCCGATGTCCCGCAAGCATATCGGCGGCGAACTGACGCGAGCCTCGTAGTCGCCGTAGCGCTCCGTGTCGACCGGCAGCTCGAAGAAGAAGGACGTGGCCACGACGGAGCCCTCGTGGCGCGACGTGTGGGAGCGGAGTCTCTCCAGTAAAACGACGCGCGACCTCGTCGACGACGCCCACACTTGTTGTGCGCCCTCGCCATCACTTCCCAACTGCTCGGGCACTTGCGAAGCGAGCGGCCCCGTGCCGTGCAACGCACTCACGAACCGGTCGCGCTGCGCTTTGCGAGAAGTCTCGGCGGCGTGCTCGGCGAAGGCCCGCAGCCCCTGCACGACCTCGTCATGTTCCAAATCCTCAGAATCGCCGTCGTCGTGCGCCGCGTGCCACAGCACGGGCCCTTCCAACTGTCTCAAAAAACCAGTGACCTTGCCCAGGACGAGTCGCCCGTCAAAACTGCGCGCGATGGGCTGGCCCACGTACTCGAAATCCCCATCGTCGTCGGACCACTCGGCCTCGTCTCCTTTGGGCTCCTCCGGGCTTCCACCTAGTAAAGCCCTTCGCGCCAGTCTAGCCGTCTCGGGCAGGCGCACTCGTGAACCTTCCCTCGCTTTGGCCGACCTTCGACCGTTCGTCGACGGTCTCCCTTCGAGCGCCTCCACCCGTTCCACGAGGGCGCCGAGGCCGCGTTCCACGGCGCGGATCCGCTGGCTCTGCGCGTCGACGGCCATCTGCAGCCAGACCCGCAGCGCCGCGCCGTCGTCGCGCAACGTCCTATCGAGCCGCCGCTCGACGGCGTCCACCCTCCTATGAACTTCGCACGCGAGCGCCGCGAACGCGCCCGCGTCGATGAGCACTTGCGGCGGTTGGAGTTGTGAGGAAGACGTGTCCATGGCCTGGGGCGCGCTCGCCGCGTCGAGCGGTTGCGTGAGGCGCGCTCTAATAGGTCTGCCGTCCGAATCGAGGACCGGGCCGCTGCTTTCCGATGCCGCGGCCGGCGCGCGCGGCGCGGCCGGCGGGGGCGCCTGCCTGGCCGCGCCGGGGGATCGAACGCCCGCGCGGGACATTTGTCGGCCGCAGGGCAGCTGCGACGGCTTGCGCTCTATGCTGCTCGCGCACTCCCTATGTTTTCGGGCACTTACCGATACCCGGACGCTAATAATGTAGCTAGGGTAACTCTACTGAGGTCCGGCTTTTGGCAGTCGGGGGAATTGGCGTGCACGATAACTCAGTCCGAGTTGCATAATCCTGCCCAGTGGCTCGGTTCGGAGCTTCGTGCAGCCGCACGAGCCTGCATCTCGTCCACTGGGCAAGATTATTGCCCAGGGGCAGCGCAACGAAAATCAGGCCGTTTCTCGTCTTCGAGGCACGAAATCTCGGCGCGAGGTGCCTAAAATCTAGCAGTGAGCGAGCTGCTGCCCGACGACGTCAGGGACGAGCTGCGGTCGAAAAAAGGGGTGTCGGCGACCGAATATTGAACGAATGGTGCGCCTCATTCGTTTCGAGCGAGATCGAATGGGTCACACCATTCGACGAATTTTGGGGCTGCGAACGAGCTGACTGCGGATTATCGTTCTACCCCAGCTGCTCGGCGATATTGCGGAGGAGAGGGCCACACAGCGTCCGGTATCGGGCGGGGGAGGGGGCATCGAAGGGCTGCTGCAGCCAAATGGGGCATTTTCTCGCGACGCCGACGTCGGCGCGCAACGCACCCAGTGCAACTCCGGGAGATCGCGCGCGCGCGCGTCATTGTGTAAGTGGACTTTTTTGTGTACGCGACGATCCGGCTGAGATAGCGGGCTGCCAATTGCGTCGCTTTGTTTAGCTAAATTTAGCAAGCGTTTCGTCCGGGTTCTAGTAAGAGTCGGGTTGCCAGGCGGCCCGCGCGCGAGGCCTCGCTGCGGGCGCCTTGGGTGTTGAAGGGGTGGCGGAGACGTCTCCGGGGTGCGAGGGGCTGCCCGCCGACACCGAAAATCAAGTCAAACCCAGATGGTGCTTTTTCCGCTGTAAGGGTCGGTTGGGGCGGCGCCGGGAGCCGTGGCGGGGACATGGAGCACCTAGGGAGGGCTGCGGCGGGGACGCGTCGATGCAACCCGTTTATTTGGGCAAAGCCAAAAAAGCAAAAAACTCGGCGCCAAAGGGCCGCTTTTTACCGCGCTTAGGCGTTGGCTCCGCGCCTGCACACGCGCAGTGCTGCGCTGAGTTGCTCTTGCGCCAGCCCTGCGCAGGAACGCCGCGCGGGAGCCGCGGGAACCGTCGCAAACACTGGAGCACTGAGTAGGCAGTTGTTGCCTCGCGCGACGTCGACGTCCCCTCCGAGTCCGCGCCGCGACACAATCAAAGACCCAGCCAAACAAACACCCGATTCAGACCATGGAGGCACGCCCCCTCGGCGAGAACGCCGAGAGGAGAGACGACACCACCGACGCGCGCAAGCGGAAGCGCGCCGCGGCCTCACCACAAAACAGCCGCCGCCGGTCCACCCAGACGCCGCGCGAGACGCTGAGCCCGTCGGCCGCGGCGGCGCTCGAGGCTTTTGTGGGAGGCGAAGACTCCGGGAGAAGGAAGACCGCGGACGTCGAGACCGTAAGGGCATTGGAGCGCTGCCTCGGCCCTTCTGGTGGCGACGACGACCGCACCTGGGCCGGGCCCGCGCTCCCGCGAGACGACAATGACCGCACGGCGACCGAGGGCGAAATTGAAGCATTGAGGAGGACGGTCTCGCAGCCGCCCCAACGACGGCAATCTATAGCCCCACCCAAGAAGGGCACGGGCGCGCGCGCCTACGAGGAGCTGCTGGGCACGCGCGCGGAGCTGCTGGACGAGGACACGGGCGAGCCGGCGCGGACCGGTCTGGAGTTCGTGAGCGCGGCGGCGCACCTGCCCTATCCGGGCCAGGCTCTTGACGAGGGTGATGCTTTATTACCAGCAGGGACGCCGCCCGCGGAGGACGCCCATGCGGTCGCAGCTAGACGTAGGGCCGAAGCTCTCGCGTTGGAGGCTGATCTAGCCCCACGCTCTCCGGAGGCGCCGCCGCCGCGCCTCAAATCGTGCCTCTCGTCGTCGAAGAAGCGGCGGCCGTCGGCCTCGCCCCAGAACGTGACATTTGCTGCTGGAGCTACTACCATGGAGTTCGAGCGGAGCGACCCGCCGTCGGCCCTCAAATCGAGGAGGCCCCAGACCGTCGACGTTGAGAGAAGGTCCTCTGCTCCTTCTCGCGCTACTAGTCCGCCACCTCCTTCACAAGAAAGGAGACACACGATCGAGAACTCGGCAGCACTAGCAAGGTGGACCATCGCCCACGGGGACACGCGCGGGCCGCGGCCGCTCACGAGTCCAAGACGGGCCTCGGGCCGCTTTGATCATGATGACGCGTCGGACACGTCTTCGGCGGATTCGGAAGAATGCCAAGCACCTAGAAGGTCCTGGGCCCAGGCCATGGAGCTCACCGGTGACTTGAGGAGACCGGAACTATCGCCGGTCGTCGAGGAGTCGAGCCCGGATTCGGACCGGAGCACGCCGCAGCCGACCATACCGCTCGAAGATCATTTGGGGGATCTACTCGCTCTACCGCCGGCGCATCAGCGCGCAAGACCGTCGGAGACGGTCCAGCTCGAGGCCGACCTCGGGGCGATGTTGGAGGCGGTCCGGCCGGCGCCGCCGCCCCAGGAGGACGTGACGATGGAGGACGCGGCGCTAGATACGACGCAACTACTCGCTTCCCTAGGCTTAGATGATGCGTCGCTCTCAAAAGACGCTCCGGGCGATGTCGCCGCGGACGACGAGACTGGCAGACAATTGGCGGCGGCGCTGGCCGCGGCGGAGTTAACAGGAGACGACGACGACGGCGCGTTGGTTGCGGCTACGCTCGCGGCGCGAAGCGAAGCGCAAGCGCTACGGGAGGCCGCTGCGAAGATCCGCGAGGCCGCGGACGAGTGCCGACGAAGATCCGCGAACATATTACGTACTTCCGCTAGTGACGTGGAGCTAGCTGCAAGAGTGGCGCCGGAGGTCGCGAGTTCCGTGGTCGAGGCCGCGAAGACGTTTGGGCGGACCGTCGTACTGGCTGCTAGTGCGGACGCGGACCAGCGCATCACACGGGCCTTTGATATGGCTAGGGTGGATGTGGAGCAGCGCGAACGCGAGTGCATGGACGCGATTACGGCTCTTAGCGAGCAGGAGAAGGCCGGGGATAACATAGATGCCCAGGCGGAGCGGTTAAGGCAAGATGCCGAGCACACCATCCAGCAACGGAGGCGATCCGGTATTAGTGAAGAGACCTGGGATGCGACGATCGCGGCGAAACTCGCAGCGGGCCTGGAGCCCTGGACGCCGCGTACCGATGGTATTCTGGACTTCCCGCACGCGTTGTATGGCACTTGGCTCTCGGTGGAAGTTGCTGCCGACAGATTGATGGGACGGAGGGAGCGCCTCGACGACGACAAGGACCTGATGCTGAAAGCTTTACGAAAAGCTAGAGGTACGGACGCGTGTGCCACGGCGCTGTTCGACGCGCCGGCGACGTGGCTGCACCCGCGGGCGTCGGGCGGTCGGTCCTTCGAGGTCATGGGCAACGATGTTGAAGTGTTATCATTATTCGCTTCCAAGTTAGCGCGCTTCGCCAAGGAGCTGTTTCGGCTGGAGCACCGCTGCGACGTGCGAGGCGTCGCGTTCGGTGAGACCGATTGTGTGGTCGATTGTCGAGTCGCGTCTTCCGTGCGGCCTGCCGGTTTGAGGGTGGAATTTAGGGTGGCCCGGGGCTACCCGGCGGCGGGCTTCGAACGAGCGGGTTTGATAGGCGCAGACGGGTTGTTGAGTGTGCGGCTCGCGGCATCAAGGGGCGACGACATGTTGGTCGGCGCGGCGGAGCGCGCCTTATCAGCGCGGGGCTTGTGCGGCGAGCGGAAGGACGGGTGGTTCGCCGCGAAGTCGACGCCGGGGAGTCTGCTGCGGACGCTCGCGTGCGTGCAGGGCGCGTGCGACGCGCCGGACGGGTCGGCCATCCTCCAGCCGGCGCAATAAGCACACATTCACTTACGTACGTACAGGGGGTTGTTGGGGGCCTAGTCGATCTCGATGACCTCCGAGTCCTCGCCTTTGCCGACGACCTTTGCCGACCGTGCCGCGCGCCGCGCCTGGGCGACGCGCTCCAGGGCTTCGGCGGACGCCTCGTGGGGCCGCGCGAACGCGATGTCGAGCTCCGTCAACGATGCGTGCTCCTCGGCCGTCATGTGCCGACCCGTGTTTACGAAGATGTTGTAGTCGGCGGTGTCGTAGGCCTCGCGCGCCCGCCGCACGTCCGGCGGCACATCTTCGGTATGATCGAAGCGCGAGCTCCAGGCCGATTTTCTCGCCTGCTGCACCGCGCTAAGCCCCGGCTGGCTCGGCGGCGCCGCTACCGCGCTCGAGTCGTCGTCGACCTCCAGCACGTTGCCCTCCTGCTCCGCTCGCTGGCGGTTCGCTTCTGAGCGTTCCTCCGCCGTTTGGACGCCTACTAACTCGAAGCCTTGGTCGGCCTGAGCCGAGCGCCGGTGGGCCGCCATGCCCGGGAACGCACCCACTGCGTTCCGGTAGGCTTCGCGCGACGCGCTGGCCGGCAGGTTTAGACCAAAGTCGCGTCGCCCGGCGGCCATCGGACGGCCGAGCCTCGTTTCCTTGAGCCGCGGGCGCGGCGGCGGCGCCCCGGGCGTTTTTGCAAAGTGGGGCGACGCCGACTCCGCCTTGGCCTTCTTCTTGGGCGCGGCGCCCCAGAAGTCCTGGAGCGTCCGCGACTGCGTCACGGCGCCGCGCTTGGCCGCGCCGGTGACGAGTCCGAGCGCGTTTGTTTGCGCCGCGGCCTCGATCTCGGCAGCGACGGCGGTGGGATCCTCCGCCGACGCCGACGCGCACCACCTCGCCGCCTGCTCGCCGCTGGCGTAGAGCGGGCACCGGCCAGACCCGAACCCGTCGCTCTTCTTCGCGCGCTCACCGAGGAGCGCTGTTTCCTTGGCGTCCGTCGTGAGAATCACAAAGCTGTCGTCGCCGATGGCCAGCGCGAGGATGAAAAACACCTTGTCATCCGGTCGGCGGCACGTGATGCCTTCCACGAACGACGTCACGACGACGGCGCAGCGGCCGGTCGCGCTCTTGGCGGCCTTGGCCCACGTGGGCTTCTGCATCCAGCCGTCGAAGACGCAGTGCGTGCCCCGGAGGCGGGCGACGCCGAAGGTCCTGGTTTCCAGCGAGAGCGAGTCCCGCTTCTGGACGACCGCCGGGTAGTTCGCGCCTTTCTTGGCCGTCTTGTTCGTGCCGGTGTCGTAGCTTGCCGGCTTCGTCTGGTCGACTGGACAGCCTGCTTTTCTTACATGCTCTCCGACGGCACCTGCTCCCACCGTGAGGCCGGCGTGGCCACACATACTTGCGCTCGAGCGCTGTGGTACTCGAGCGCTGTGGGGCTCTCGTGTTTTGCTATTCTGGCTCGTTTTGCGCCCGGTCTTCGGCTACGCTGCACGCACGTTGGGTCCGTCGGCGCCAAAAATGCAAAATTACCCTCTCCGGATGAGTTTGTTGGGCAACGCGGCCGCTGTAAAGGAGGAGACCTCGTTTCCTAGTGCCTTACAGCTAGCTCCGCAGCGCAACTCTCCGGAGAACTTAGCTGTACGCGCGTAGAGCGGCGCTCGGAGCCCCGCCAGATTCGCTGGCGACAGCCGCCAGCCAGCCCCTTGCGCCTCGGCCAACCGCGATTCCTGTCACCCAGTTCCTGACCAGTGCCCAGCCACAGAGCTGTCGGCCAGCAGAAACATGCCGCGCCTCCACGCCGCCGTCGCGGCCCTCCTCCTCCTCGCGGCGGCCGGCAAGGACCCCCGCGAATTAACGTTAGAGCTCCTCAGCTCTCGTGAAAGCTGGTCAGGAATGAAAATGGTGAGCCGGTCGGGCGCGCGCTACGAGTGCTCGGCCGGCGAGGCGCGCCTGGCCAGTCAAGTAGCTCAGAAAACACCGGACAAGAAGCCCGAGACCCTCACCACCTTACTCTCAGCTCTAGACGGCCAGTGCGCCAAATTAAGTCAAGGCTGGTGGACGTACGAGTGGTGCCACCGGCGGCACGTGCGGCAGTTCCACGCGCAGGGGTCTAAAATAGATCCGGACTGGTCGCTGGGCGGCTATTCCCGCACCGTGGTGAAGGGCAACCTTGGTCCACAAGACGCACCGGCCGATCCGGCCCTGGCGCGCGACGTGTTCGACCAGAAGGGCCAGATCTGCCACGAGACCAACACTTTGAGACAGACAAACGTCACGTTCAAGTGCTGCGAGCCCGACAAACGAAGGCGTCATAGGACGTACCTGGTGAGCGTCGACGAGACGTCTTTATGTAATTATGAGGTTGTCGTCTGTTCACCTTCGTTGTGTACGCAACCAGAACCACAGAAGAGGAACGCCTCTGCGTCTGAGTTACTAAAAGCTCTGGATGGCACGTGTTTGCAGCGCCACGAGGGCTGGTGGTCGTTCGAGCTGTGCTACGGGACGCATGCGCGCCAGTTCCACGTCGAGACCGTCGAAGCTTCTGACGGCCGGAAGAAGGCCAAGGTCGCCGCCGAGTTCTCGCTTGGGGATAGGATGGAAAAAAGGCGGAAACCGTCTACAAGTGACGTGGTCGTGGTCGAGGGCGACGAGCCGCGCGTCGAGGTTACTTATGAAGGTGGTACAGCGTGTGATGTCGATGTGGAAGGTGATGGTGTGATCAGGAAGCGGTCGACGACGGCGCGGCTCGTTTGCGGCGAGACGAATGCACTTGTAAGCATCGTCGAAGACCGGACGTGCCACTACTTATTCAAGGTGACCACGCCCGTGCTCTGCGGCCATGCGGCTTTTGTCAAAGATGAACCGACGCGACCCGTGACTTGCGTCGCGCTGGACCCTGTGGAGGACAGTGAAGAAGAAGAAGTCGAGGAGGAGGACTACTACGACTATGAGGATGATGACGACGAGGAGGATGAAGAAGATGAGGAGGACGAGGACCTGCCGGCTGTGCGCGGGCCGCCCGGCCTCAAGGTCGGGGCGAAGATCGCCGCGCGGTGGAAAGGAGGTTTAGTTTACTACCCGGGCCGCGTCGTCTCGGATCATGGGGACGGGTCGTATGATATCGACTACGACGACGGGGACACGGAGGACAACGTGCCGGCCGCGTTGATAAAGCTGCAGCGCGGGGAGGAATTGTAAGACTTGTGATATATCTTCTTCTTTCTTAGATAGCACACAGGGGCGCGGATTCGGGCCCGCGGCGGCCAGGATGTAGCCGCCGCGCGCCGTCACGGGTCGCGCGGGAGAGGAAGCCTCACTCGAGGTTGAACATGGCGCGGAGCCGGGCCACGGCCGGCTCGAACGTCGCGCCGTCGGGCTCGGCGATCCAGGCGAGCGTCGCGCCGCGCACGACGTAGAGGCGCAGCGGCCACGGCGCGTAGAGGCGCTCGAACGCCTCGTCGGCCGGGTCGTCCACGAGGAGCGGCGACTCGATACCGTAGTCGGCTTTGAAGCGCCGCGCGAGTCCCAGGCGCGCGTCGAGCGTCTTCGGCTGGTCGACAACCACCGGTTGGCCGTCCGCCGAAAAGCGCGCCGAGCGGAGCGGCCACTCGTCCTGGGCGTGGGCCTCCGCCACGTACACGAAGCGCCAGTCCGCCGCCGCGGCACCGGCCGGCGACCGCGCCATGGCGTCGATCTCCGGCGCGATGCGCCGGAAGGGCGGTCACGAGAGCGAGCCCGAGACCACGACGAGCGGCTTAGCCTCGTCACGGTCCGCGAGCAGCGACGTCGCCGCGCCATCGAGATGCCAAAGCTTACAATCCGGCGCCGCGTCGCCCTCCCGCAAATCGCCGACACGCGCGCGGTTGAAGCGCACCCAATGACAACACTCCGGGTGGCGCTGCGCCGCGTACCGCACCGCCGTAACCCGCGCGTCCACGTCTCCCTCGCTCGCGCCGGCCGGCAACGACTCGCGCGCGACGCGCCGCTGCACCGCCGTCGCGACCTCGATCCAGTCGCTCGTGCCGCGCCGCTCCGCCTCCTCCATCCGCCTCTGCGTCTCCGGCGCCCGCCGCGCCGCGTCCTCGCGCCGCAGCAGCGCCACGAGCTCGGCCTCCGCCAAGGCCGGCGCCGCGCCTCACGCGCTCTTCGCCTCCTCCGCGCCTATCTCCCTCGCCTCCCGCCGCCAGCCCTCCGCCAGGGCCTTGAGCCGCGCGATGTAGGCCGCGTCGTCCTCGCCCGCGCGCCGCTCGCAGGCGTATTCCTCCTCGTCCATCTTCCGCACGCGCTCGATGACGTCGTCCAGGCTCTCGAAGGTCCACGTGACCTCGTGCTCGCCGCCCCTCGGAGTCATGACCGTGAACGTCTTGGGGAGGCCGCCCTGCGCCGATGGCGGGGTGTACATGCCGCCGCGCAAGCGGAGAATGAGGTGGAGGGTCAACTTCGGCTGGATGTTGTAGTCGCGCAGCGTCCCGCGGTCCTCGAGCTGCTTGTCCTCGAAGACGAGGCGCTGCTGGTCGGGCGGGATGCCCTCCTTGTCCTGGATCTTCTGCTTTACGTCGTCAATCGTCGACGAGCTCGTCACCCGCAGCGTGAGGGCCTTGCCCGTCAGCGTCTTTACGTAGATCTGAAAGGTGCCCGTCACCGGCGACGAGGTCGGGGCGGAGGTGGCGTGGAGGGTCGAGCCCGACTGGTCCGGCGGCCCGAGCACGGGGGTCTCGACCACTAGTTGGGGCGATTCGAACCAGTGGATGTGTTCTACGCACGTGCCTCGGGACTCCTCGAGCGTGTAGAGCCCGTAACCGGAGCGTAAGAGCTCGTAATCGAGCCCGTAATCGTCCAAAAACACGACGGCGCCGTCCGTGAGTTCTGCTTTTTTGAGCATGGGAACTGCACTCAAGCGGCCCGGCGCGGCCTTGATCCTAATCCCAACGTTGTCAAGCGCGAAGGCGGCGCGCGCCTCACGCAAGAGCTTAAAATAGCTCGCACCGCTGGAATCCAGGGGGAAGGAGTGCGTGTCGTTGCCATACGTGAGCGTGCAGGTGGCCATTTTTGGACAGGTCAAATGTCCGTGACAAAGTGCTGTCGCGATGCCTGCTGGCGCTGCGGAAGCATTCCGGGCGCTGCGGAAGGCCGAGCTTTTACTGCGCCTATCTGTGACCGGAGTACGAGCTTGTAATAATGTCTTGTAAGCCTCGCGCCGTCGGCCGGGGATTTTCTTGCTCGACGTCGTCAATGTCTTGTGCATCTAGCTTTCTAGTGTCTTACAAACCGCTAGCCAGTATTCATCCACAAAAAAAAACGATTTACAGGCTAAGAGGCCGGATTGCCGCGCGCGTACGCCTCCGCGAGCTCATACACGTCCCCGCCGAGCCGGTATCGCAGCAACAACCGGAAGCACGTCCACAAATAGGCGTAGAAGCCGGCGGCGTCGAAGCGCCGCGCGTCGCAGGTCGTACGGGCGGAACGGAGCTTCACCACCCGCAAACCGCGCTTCCGGAGCCGCCGCAACAATTCGACGTCGTCGAAGAGCGGCCAGCGCGGGCCGCCGCTGACGGCGTCCCAGCACTCGCGGCGCAGAACGATCCCCGCGTCGCCGAACGTCGACCAGGCCGAGTCGAGGCCGCACCACGCCTCGAGGGCGCGCCAGTGCGGGCCCCGCCGGTCGAACCGAGGCGCGTAGCAGACGACGGCCCAGCGCCGCGGCAGCGCCGCGATGGCATTTTCAGAGAGCGTCGCGTCGGCGTGGAGCAACAGGAGCGCGTCGCCGCTCGAAGCGGCCACGGCATCCACAAACGCGCCGCCGCGGCCGCCTCCGGAAGACGCGACGACCGCCGCGCCGTGGTCTTGCGCTATGTCCGCCGTCGCATCCGTTGAGCCGCCATCCGCCACAATTACTTCGAGCGTCGCGCCGTCGCACGCCGCGAAGGCTCTCCGGACGCTCGCGATGCACCGGCCGATGCAGCCCGCCTCGTTCCTTGCAGCTATGCACACCGAGAGGCGGGCAAAGCCGGCAGCGTGGTGCGCAATTGTTCCGCGTGGCGCTGCCGACTGTGCACCGGCGCCAGACCGGTGCAGCGGCGTGGTGTTGAAAGTTATACCAGCATTTATCGTCGCGCTCGACGTATTGGGCTGCGTTGGCAGGTTGCTCTCACAACTGCGGCAGCCCCACCCTGGTCCCGCGCCGACAGAATGGCAGACAGGCTGATGTCACATAGTTCTTTTTATAACGTTCGACGGGATATGGGCAGCGCGTTTCGGAAAAGGGGACGGAGGGGCCGCATAGAGGGCCTCCGCATGGTGGGGGGTTCCGAACGGGCGACGCCAGCCGGCGTCTACTCGATCTTGCCGGCCGCGACGTTCGAGGCATACGCGATGACCTTGGCGAAGGCCGGGAAGTCCTCGTCGTCGAAGTACGGCGGCATCTTGAGGTCGTAGGCGAAGCGGAGGACCTCGTCCGTGTTCGGGAGGTCGAAGGTCGGCGAGCCGTACTTGCGCCAGTTCACGTGCCAGCGCGCGTTGACCTTGGACTGGAACCAGGAGACGGGCACGCCCATGGCGACGCACGTCTGGCGGAAGAGCGCGTTCTGCTCGTCCGTCACGCCCGTGAGGTAGAAGTTGAGGTGGTCGCCGACCGTGCCCACTCTTTCGTCCTGGGTCGGCACGACGATGACGTCGCCGGCCTCCTCGCGCAGCACCTTGACGACGGCGTCGTAGCGGCGGTTGTAGGCCTCGACGCGCTGCGGCAGGTTCTTGATGAGCGGGCGCATGACCGCGGCCGTGACCTCGTTCATGCGGCAGCTTAAGTTGGGCATCTCGGCCATGGCGACCTCGCAGAGGTCGTCCGGCGGCCGGACCGCGTGCTTGCCGTAGCGGCGCTCGTAGCAGCCCGAGAGGTAGATCATCTTCGCCGCGATCTCGTCGTCGTCCGTCGTCACGAAGCCGCCCTCTCCAGAATTAATGACCTTGTCCGACTGCGTCGAGTAGGCCGTCACCTTCGCGTGGTAGCCGAGCTGCTTGCCCCGCCACGTGACGCCGCAGGAGTGGGCGCAGTCCTCGACGAGCGTGATGCCGTTCTTCTCGCAGATCTCGACGACGCGGTCCATGTCCGCCACTTTGCCGCGCATGTGCGACAACAACAAAACCTTCGCGTCCGGGAACGCCGCGATCTTCTTCTCGAGGTCGTCCAAGTCCATGATCCAGGACTTCGTGGCCTCCACGAGCACCGGCTCGGCGCCGAGGCGCATGATCGTCGACGGTAAAGCGGTAAAGGTAAACCCGTTCGTGATGACCTGGTCGCCGGGCTCGACGCCCACGGCCATGAGCGCGAGCATGATCGCCGACGAGCACGAGTTCACGCCCAGGGCGTACTTCTGGTTCACCATCGCGGCGAACTCCTTCTCGGCCTGGGCGACCTGCGACGTCTCGGCCGACGTCGCGCAGTAGCGGAAGAGGCGGCCGCCGCGCATGACCTCGACGGCGGCGGCGATGCCCTCCTCCGGGATGGACCTGTGTTAGGGAAGTGAGTCAGAGGCCTGCTGTTTTCTCCGGCCGACGAAATTTCCTGACCGTCTTCATCCTGGGGTGCCGGCGGCCCGTAGAAACGACGGAGGGCTGTCTGTGGGACGCTGGTAGGCACATGGGCCGCGTGAAGTCCTTGAGGAACGGCTCCGGCGCCGCGGCGACGGCGGCGCGCGCCGGCGCCGCCGTCTGGGCCTGCAGGCCCGCCGCCGGCGAGGAGAGCGCCGCGGCGCTGGAACAGCAGAGGGCGATGGCCGCGATACGAGCCATTTTTAGTGTCTGGGGGTGCGTTTGGGCGTATGTATCGCAGCGACGCGCCAATTGCTTGCTTGCGCCAGCCGGAGGCTAGAGGGTTTTTAAACCAGCGAGAGCATCGCTCCAAAGACGCCTGCAGCGGACCCTTCGCGCGGCCGCGGAAGCCTCCAGACGCTTAAACATTTTGACGTACGCACAACTCCCCTATCTAGGCGTACAGCCTACCTCCTCTCCAAGCTTTTCAGGCAATTATTTGGGCTGCGAGCCCAAAAAGCGGCTGCCCGCTGCATAGACCGCACCTCGGCAGAGCCCGCGCCGCAGCCTCCCCGAAAAAAAAGCCAGCAAAGGGCAGCCACATCGACCACCCAAAAAAAAATGGGCTGCGGCCCCAGCAAGGACAAGGCGCCGCCGCCGACGCTCGCCGACAAGGTCAAGGACAAGGTGCGCATCGAGCACTACGGCGTCCTGGGCATGCGGCGCGAGGGCCGTTATGAAGTGAAGGGGAGCGAGCTGCCGGATGGCGACACGGTCATCATCGACCCGTGCAACGCGGACTTCGTCCACCGGAGCGGCCCGCAGCATGCGGGGGGTGCTGCCGGGGCCATTTATCAATTCCTGAACATAAAAACGGATCCGAGCTTCGCCCAGCAGGTCAAGGCCGAAATTAAAGGCGAGGGCTCGTGTGCCTACCACCGGTACGGGTACCCGACGTCGAAGCACGTGATCCACGCCGTGGGTTATGATTTTAGACGCCCGGGGCCCTGGGGCAGCGGCTCTGATGTAGATGAGGATGCGGTTGTTGATCTACTAGGTGGTTTATATGCCAAGATTTTGGCCCTGGCCTCGAAGTACGGCCGCAAGAAGCTGCGGTTGGTGCCCATCTCGGCGGGCATCTTCTCGGGCAGTCTGCAGAATCGCATGCCCGAGCTCACGGCCCAGGCCCTGCTCGGGGCCATCAACATGACGTTCGGCGCGGACGCGGCCGAGGACCCGCACCGAAGCACGTACGTGGACATGATTGAATATATAGAAATGTGCATCTACATGGAGAGCGACTACCGCGCCTACGCGCGGGCCTGGGAGCGCACGAAGAACGGCTACACCGAGGCCTCGGAGAACGCCGTCACGCCCCGGGGCGCCGACGCGCCCGTGGCGCCCGCTGCTGCCCGTGTGCAGTCCACGCGGGAGGTCGACGCGCCGGCGATGGCGGCGCCGCAGCCCGTGCGGAACTCGACGGAGCCGGCGATGGGCACCGCCTCCTTCGATGCGGGCGGTTCGCCCGCCGTGAGCCCGGGCGGCGCCGCGCCCGGCTCGCCGCCGCAGATGCCGCCGGTGTCGCCGCCGCAGATGCCGCCCGTCCAAGATTACGGTTACTAGTTATCCCCGCTTCCTCCACGTCTTTAATTTCGACATTTTTCGTACTTGTCGTCGCGGCGGCGGCGGGCGCGGACGCTGGCTAGTCCGAGCCTGAGGTCCCCGGGCCCCTATATTGTTACGGTGCTAGTCCCCGGGCTGGACGGAGCGCGGGAGGGAAGACGCCATCGGGCTTGATTCATAACAGCATACTTCCGTCGATGCGAAGGCGCCTCGGCAATTTTATAATAGCCTCTTATAACTCTACCTCGAGCTTTAAGGCGGAGTTGAGCTAGCGGCCTGTAAGACACTAGCCAGCCGAAGCAGAGAGGCTTTTTTGCCAGGGATTCCTGCCATTTTTGCCACCTCAGAACGTGTGAAGGTCGTATATATTCAGCAAAAGCTGCCGTGTAACACTGTGACCACAATAATAACTTAGACCAGCCCACGGAGCGGTGAGACACGCCAGCCCACGCTCCCTGGCAGACGCAGCAAAATCCAGCAAAATCCAAGCCATCGAAAATGGCAGCCCGCTTCCGCATCATGCAGTACAACGTGCTGGCGAAAAGGTATGCGAGAAACATGGAACCATGGTTCCTCTACGACGGCCTGCGAACGGAAGGCGACGAGGACCGCGCGCGGGCCATCCTCGCGCGGCACGCGGCGCGGCGGCCGGACGGCAGCTACGCGTACGCGGGCTGGCCCAAATATGCGGAGGGCATCCTCACGGCGAAGGAGCTCGAGGCCGTCGAGCGACGAAATGAACGCGACTTCCCCTTCGAGCGCCGCGCGCCGCGGTTGCTGGACGTGATTCGAGAAGCGGACCCCGACGTCTTCAGTCTGGTCGAGTGCGACGAGTACGAGGCGTTCTGGCGGGGGCGGCTCGAGGAATTGGGCTACGGGTCCGTGTGGCACAAGCGGCCGCGGGCGTCGGCGCCGGATGGGTGCTGCCTCGGGTTCCGGGAGCGGGACTGGGCGCTCGACGCTCATAAAACTATATCGTACGACGACCACGACCGCGCGGCGCTCATGGGCGTCTTGCGACGGAATGATACGGGCGAGCGCTTCGTGTTCGTGTCGACGCATCTCGCGAGGAACCCCGAATCGTTACAACAGCAGGGCGTGCGCCTCCGACAGGTGGCCCAGCTCATGCGCGAGCTCCACACGTTCTACAAGGAACAAAATATAGACACGGCGGAGGTGCCGGCCATCGTGGCCGGCGACCTGAACGCCGAGTCGCTCCAGGAGGTCACGGCCGTCGCGGGTGCGGTCTGTGGGTTGCGGGATTTGGACGTGCACCCCCTACTCTTCGCCTCGAATGAGGTGCCGTCGCCCGTGACCTCGCAGACGATGCGGCGGAAGTCGCGGATCGACTACGTCGTCTTCTCGGACAACGGGTTGCTCGAGCCCATTGATGATGACAGGGCGCCGCCCCCGTTAGAGGAAGAGGCCTGCATCCCCGACGCGACGCATCCCTCCGACCATCTGCCGGTCATCGGCTCGTTCAAATTCGCGGATCGGATGCGACGAGCGTTGTTCTGCGCGCGGCGCGTGGTAAGAGACATCCTCGGGGCGACGGTGCCGCGGCCGCTGCTCTGCGGCGAGGTTGCGCTGGCCTTCGAAGCATTAGGCGGTCGCGGGGCGGCGGAGACGGCGCGGAACGCCTATAAAAACGGCCTGTGCGCGGAGGGCGACGTCGATAAATTGCGGGACGCCATCGACGTCCCGCGCGACGCCGAGCGGCCGCACCTGTTCCTGCACCACGCGCACACGGCGGCGCTCGAGCGGTCCGCGGGCGTCGATGCCGCGGCACGCCTCGCGTTCCGGTTTTTTGATAGGGACGATGATGGTTTTGTGGCCCGCGGCGAGCTCTTCAAGACGCTGGAGACGATCCTGCCGGCTGACGTGTTCTCCGAAGCTGCCGTCGACCGCATCTTCGCGGCCGTCGACCGCGACCACGACGGCAAGATCTCGCTTGGCGAGTTCTCGGTCGCGCTCAAGCACGCGGCAGTTGAGCGCGAACGGAGAGACGCGTTATCGCGCCGCGACCGGCGCGGGCGCCTCGGGTGTTGACGCCTTTTTTTTTTGGCTACTTGTAATAATTTTGATCTCTCGAACTTAGCACTAGTCGCCTAGCGGAAGATGCGCCGCTTCTCCGTGATCGGCACGCGGCACGTCGGGCAGGACGCCGTCCGCGGCGCGCACTGCTCGCAGACGACGACGTGCATGCAGGACAGGAAGACGATATCGCGCGGCCGGTCGAGGCAACATACGCAAAGCGCCTCGTCCTCGCGAACCTCTTGAGCGTCGGAACGCGTCGCCTCGGCGGCGACGAGGCGCCGCGACACCTCGGTCTCGACAGCGCTGACCGCGCGCGGGAGCGCGGCGCGGAGGGCCGCGAGTTCGGAGGCCGCGAGCGTCCGCGGCTCGAGCGCCTCGAGCGACGCGGCGACGCCCGTCGACGCTTGCTGCCGGGACTCCTCGAGCGCCATGTTGAGCGACTGCACTTGGGCCTTCAACACGTCGATGTCGGCCTCCTTGCTCGCGAGCCGCGCCTCGAGGCTCGCGACGGTGCCGGAGCTGGACCGCGGCGGCGACCGGACCGGGCGCGCGGGGGCCGTGGCGCGCCGTGCGGGGGCCTGGCGCGGTGCGGCGACTGGGCGGCCGCCGAGACGTCGCTGGCTCGGGGGACCTCGCATGAGTTCTGCGGCGAACCTCGCCATGGCATCCGGGTTGCCATCCAGTAGGCCATCCGCGATAGAGGACGCGCGTCTTTGCGCCGCCGCCTCTGCGACGTGAGCATCCATGTCCCAGGAGCGGAGCTCGGCCTCGTCGTCGCCGGGCCCGAGCACTCGCGTGTCCAGGAACTGGCGCCAAGTCATTGGCGCGCGACCCGCGGCTTGCGCGTCGTTGTAGTGATCGGCAAAGGCCAAGAAATGCGGGTTGGAGAGCGAGGCGCCCATGGTTTTTTTCGACTCGGCGGGTAGGTGGCTCTAAGCAAGGCAAATTTAAAAATCTTTAAATTGCTCACAGGGATTTGAGTGGCTTGCTCGCCGGGCGATCTCGCGTCGTAATCCCTCGTGTCAGAAAGGCAGGCGCCGGCCCCGAGGTGTGCCAGATCGCCTCTGTCTTGGGCTGGCGGAGGCGCCGCTTCACGTTAGCTAGCGTCGTAAGACACTAGCAATTTCCGGGAAACCTGCTGCCCAAGGCGTGCAGGGCAGCCCACGATGCGTCCGCCCCACTTGCTTCTGCTGCTCCTCACGCGGGCCGCAGCCAACTCCTGCGCGGCCGCCCGTGCGGGGGTGACTACCTGGTGGGACACAAACGCGGAGTTGTACGCCGACGACGACGAAAGATTGCGGGCGTACCTCGCGTCCGACGAGTATGCCGACTACGTGATCGCCTGGCAGTCCTACTGGGATGGGCTCCGGCAGTGCGGCGAGGACCACTGCAATGGATTCATGGAAGACAACCCGGACTATTTCTTTGCGCAAGACACCTGCGAGGAGATCCAGGCGGAACCCGAGATCGCCGAGAGCTGCGCGACGTGGTCCGCGGAGTGCAACGGCGGGTGCATCGCCGAACTCGAGGCCTGGTACGGCTGCGCGTTCGCTGGCTGCGGCATCACCTGCGGTTTTGGAAAGGGCAAGAAGAAGGACGAGCCCGACGCCGCCTCCGCGGCCGTTATGGACTTTGTGGCCTTTTTCGTCCTCGGGTCGCTCGCCCTCGCGACGCTGGCCGGCGCCGCCTGCGCCCGCGGCGCCGCGCCCTACGACGTCGTCGGCGAGAACTTGCTCGTCGTGCTCCTGGCCGTCTTCAACCTGTGCGGCGACGCGGCCATGTCCATATTAATAAAACGCAAGCTCAACAACACGATGTGGCTCGTGTGCGTGGGCGTCATCTGCGCGCCGCTCGTCGTCCACGTAATTGCGATCCTGGACGCCTGGCTCTACCGTGCGGATTTGACCAAGCTCACGAAGTGCAACAAGGCCGTTGTCGCATTAGCGCTATTTTTTTCGCTGCCTGCTTTAGATGGATTGGCGCTCGCGCTGCCGTGGCCCGACCGCGCGCACGAGGGCTTTCCCACGGCGCGCTACTCCAAGGCGAGTTTGGTCAGGGCCGGCCAGGACGCGGTCATGCTCCTCCTCAAGCTCGTCTTCTACCAAAGTTATGCCGGCTTCTCAGCGCTGGCCATGGTGCTCTCGGTCTTCTCGCTGGTTTCTTTGGTTTTGCACGCGCGGCGGGCCCAGAAGATCTGGCCCGAGATTTTTGTAAGAAACCGGAACCGTGACACGCGTAGTGACACGGAGATGACGCGGGCCGTCGCGGTGCCGGAGGTGCCCATGGCCACCGCCGTGCCGGCGGGCGACGTGCCGCTGCCGGCCGTGCCCAAGTCGCCGCCCGCGCCCGCGCCCGCGCCGCCGCCCGCGCTTTCGTCCTGGGAGGACCAGAGCTTCGCCGGCGACGTCGCGGCGCCGCCGCCCACGGCGCCGCCAGGGCCCGCGCCGGCGCCGCCGCCCGCGCCTCGGCCGGCGCCGCTGCCGGCCGCCAAGCCGGAGCGGCCCGCCGGCTGGCGCCCGCCGCCGCCGCCGCCGCGCGCCGCGCCGCCGGCCGAGCAGGCGCCCACGCCCGCCGGCCAGGTCCGCGTCGTCGCGGCCGCCTTCGTCCCGTCGGAGGACTGGCAGCTCGCCTGCGCGGCCGGCGACCGCGTCACCGTCACGACGGAAGACGACGGCCTCGGCTGGGTCGAGGTCGTCCGCGAGGCCGACGGCGCGAAGGGCCTCGTCCCGCTCTCGTACCTGACCGCCGAATAGTTTCGTCTATTCGCCGTTTTTGCGCGTACTCTATACATAAGGGTCTTCCTCTTCGTCTGTGTCGTCGATCCATTGTCCACGCGTGGAAAAAGAGGCTGAGGCTGAGGCTAGTTACGTCGCAGGGTTCAAAGAGGCTGAGGCAAGAGGCTGAGGCTGAGGCTAGTTACGTCGCAGGGTTCCCCGTACCCCTCCCGCTCCCCCCGGGCCCACCCGTCCGGCAAGATTGCTAGTGTCTTACAACCGCTAGCTGGACAAGTGCAAAAACTACGCAGAGATGCTCGTGCGGCTGTAGGCGTGCTCTGAGCTTGTTTTCGGTCGTTTTCCAAAGCGTTCACGTTGATCTCCGCGCGCTCCTCCATCGCTGCGGCTGGTTACGGCATTCTAGCTGGTGTGCAGCCTCAAGCTGGTGACAGCACCACTTGTGTCGCCGCGGCGCGTGGTGCCGGGACCAGAGCGAGCGAAACACAATGGAACGCCGCCGCTGTGCCAAGAAGGCCGGCGGCTCGCAGAAGCCGCAGTGGTCGAACCGGCGACCGCTGATCGAGATCGAGCGACTGAGACGCAGAGAAACCGACGAGGGCGGCTTCATCCGCTCGCATCAAGACGAGCAGGCGCGGAAGCGCCCGCGCGTCGAAGAACCGGTCGCCGACGACGGCTGGGAGTTCGACCCCGACCACCTGCCGACGGACGCCGAAGTGGCCCTGGACTTCCTGAAGCCGCGGCAGCCGCCTTCCTTAGTTTTGGTATCCCACGTGCCCGGCGTGCTGAAGGATCGAGGGAAAGCAGAAAGGGAGCTAAGGAAACTTGCACAAGAGGGCAAGATCACCTACCTCCAGCTCCCCACGTCATCGGCAGACGTCGCCGTGCTCGATGGCGACGAGTACCGCGCCCTGTTGAGTGAGAAGGCGGCCTTCGCGGACTTCGCTTTGAGGAATGCGGCCAAGTTGTATTGTACTCGAGAAGAACTAGACAAGGCGGGGTGCCTCGAAGGTGATAATGAAAGGGAGAAGCGGGCGGCTTTAGATGATCTGCGGCGCCTGGGCTTCCTCCGGCCGCGGCGCGGCGGCGGCGGCGAGGACGCCTACTGGTTCGCCGTGCCGCAGGGCGGCGACTTCGCGCGCGACGTCCTGGCCGGCCGCGAGGCTCTCCTAAACTCGCTCCAGCGCGCCAAGTACAAGGAGGTCGACGTGTCGCGGAGCGTGCCGTCGCTCGAAAGATCGCCGCTGGGCCAGGCCTTCCACGTGCGCGACCTCGTCGGCCGCGGCGACGCGGACCTGCTGGAGCGGCCGGCGGGGCGGTTCCTGCGGCTGCGGCGGCGATAGTCTTTGTGTAAGTTTAGTGTGTGGGAGAACGTTCTTATGCATTCCCCGAAGGCGTCTCGCGGGCGCGGAGCGCCGCTCGCGAATTCCGCAGATGGCGCTCAATTATCGGTGTGAGCGGGTGTGCGCCACCAAGCACGCGCCGCGTGGTCTGTTCCGCGTCCTCTAGCGTCGTCACGGCCTCGCGTACATCGTCGAGCGTGGCGCCGGGGTCCGTGTAGCACGCCTCCGCGAAAACCTTACTCATCGTGAGCGTGATCCGATCACTCTTCCCGAGAGCTCGTCGCGCCACGCGGACCGTTTTGCGCAGCAGTGCCCTGGCTTCTTCGAAGCGCTTTAGAGTCATAAGGCAAAGCGCGTAGTTGTTGGCTGCTACGAGGGTTTCCATATGTTCTTCGCCATACTTAGAGAGCTTCAAATATCCAGAGTATACTTCCTGCCGCAAGCTTAAAGTCTCTTCAAGCCGTCCGAGAAATTGATACGTGCCTGCAAGATTGTTCTGCGCTGTGAGAATGGGGTGTTCTGGTGCGCCAAGGCGCCGCAGCATAGACAACGCGGTCTCTTGCACGGACAATGCGTCCTGGTGGTGGCTTGCCTGGAATAAACCGTTACCAAGCTGCGTCATCGCGTTCACCCGAGGCACGTCCCTCTCCGGCCGCCCGACGTACGTCTTCCAGCACGCCCACCCGAGCGCGCATCGCACGACGCCGTAGTAATTTTGCTCGCATAAGCTACACCTGTCCCACCGCACCCACCCCTCAACCATTTTTTCGCCCAAATTATTCGCCTCGGCCTCCGCGAACAAAATCTAAGACTGGCCAGTTGCAGTGAGTGCTCAAAGTTGTTGATCAACCACTCCTCTTGCCGTCAAATCGATACGGATGGAGGGAACGATATATGTATGATACGACGGTGTTCTCCAAGGCGCGAGCACGCTGACGCCGCTTGCAATCCGTGATTACCTTGAAAAACCCGTCACTAACTAGGAGCGCTTTCGCTCCACGCCGTCGAGGCGAGGCACCTCCACGAGAACACAGAATCCACAACAGGGATGCTAGACAATGACACACAAAACTTAGTCCACCGCGCCGTCCGGCGACCGGATGACCATGTCCCGCTCCGCGAACGGGTTCGCGTGGATCGTGACCCGGTCGATCGTCACTTCGGTGACGGGCCGGTGCTTCTTGCCCACGGGCAGCTTTTCCAAAGCGTCTAACGTTTCAAAACCGTCGACCAGGTGCCCGAACACGGAGTACTTGTCGTTCAGGTGGGGCTGCGGGCCAAACGTAAAAAAGAACTGCGACCGATTCGTGTCGGGCCCCTTGTTGGCCATCGATAACACACCTCTTGAATCGTGCGCGTTGTCCGGGTGAAACTCATCCCCAAAGGTGCCGCCCCAGATGGATTGGCCGCCCTTGCCCGTGCCGGCCGGGTCGCCGCCCTGGACCATGAAGCCCGGCATGAGCCGGTGGAAGGGCGTGCCGTCGTACGTGCCGGACGCCGCCAAGGCTAAGAAATTGAACGAACATCTAGGTGCGGTGTCGCATCTTAATTCCACTTTGAGGTCGCCGAGCTGCGTGTGGAGCGTGACGGCCATGCTTGTCGTGTGACGTGCCGCGACGGCTGGCTCTGTGTTCGCGCGCCGCTGTCCGCGGGCGACGCAGGAGGGCTGCTGTGGCTCAGGCTGCAGCGGGCCTGCTGCGTTGCGGGCGGGTCTGCAGCTGGCTCAGCCTTGCTGCGAGGAACCCTGGGCAACACCTGGCTGTGCTCTTCTCGACTGATGCGGCAAGCTGTGCCGCGTAAGCCCCCCGTCTACTTTTGCTAGTATGAGTGCTACGCTAGCCCTCCCAGGCTCCGGGACTCGTTTGCGCGGTTTTAAGGACGTAGAACCACCTTGAGTCGCCAAGACAGTTTCCCCGCAGTAGCTGTGACCCTGCGCAACATCCAGCGAGGAGCCGCCAGCGCCAGCAGCCGAGCAGAGCTCCTCCCAACAGTCAGTGCCAAACGATGGCCGACGCCGCGAAAGTGCGGCGCGGGGCGCGACGCAACCGCAACAAGAAGAAAACGAAGGAGCCCGCGACCGCGTCGCCCGAGGGCTCGTTCGACGAGCCGGGCGACGGCGCCGCGCCGCCGCCGCCGCCGTCGCGCACCGACGCTGTACTTAGAATAGAAGAACTAGAACGAGAGAACGCCGCCGCGCGCAAAGCCGAGGCCGAAGCTTTGGCCAAGATTCATGAATTAAGCCAGAGGGCCGAGGGCGACGCGTCGTCTCTAGATGAACAGCTCGCGAAAGTCACAAAAGCGCACCAGGCCACGGTCGCGTCCTTACAGAGCGAGCTCGAGGCCGCGCGCCAGGCGGGAGCCGCGCCGCTCCAGCAGGAGCTATCGCGTCTCCAAGCAGCTTTGGATGCTGCAGAGACGTCCAAAGCAAAAGCTCTAGCCGACGCGTCCGAGGCGCTGGAGCAGTTCAAAAGAGACGCCGCAACACGAGAAACGGAATTACGGGAGGCGGCCCACCAAGACATCATGCGCGAGCGCGGTCTGGCCGAGAAAGCCACCGCTCAAGCGCCCGACGCGGCCGCGATCCGGGCGGCGCTCGTCGAGGAGTTCAAGGGCAAGCTCAAGCAAAAGGAAGCCAAGCTCGTCGCCCAGTTCGAGACCAAGTCGAAGGCAGCGAGCGAGCTCATAGCCAGAGCTGATGAAAAAGAAAAGGAAGCGTCGGCACGAGCGGAGACGTTACGAGCTGCTGCTGCTGCTGCAGAAGCCGAAACGAAAACACTCGAGGCGCGCATCAAAGCACTCGAGGGCGGCGGCTCCGACGCTCTCAAAGCCGCCGTCGACGCCAAGGAGGCCGAGGTCCGCCAGCACCTCATCGGCAAGCTGAAAGAAAAAGTGCAAAAAGCTAAGCAAGATGCAATTGCCGACGCCCAGAAATTGATCGCAGAACGAGAACAAGCTGCCAAAGATGAGGCCCAATCTCAAATCCAGGCTTTGGAAGCTAAACTCCAAGAGATCCAGCAGGCTTCGGAACAAGCCATCGCTAGCTTCGAGCGCGAGAAGGGCGAGGCCGCCCAAGTCTTTGAGGGTCTACTCAAGGAGAAGGACGACCAGCTCGCAGGGTTCAAGAGCGACTTCGACAAGGCCTGTGCTGCCGAGTCGGCGAAGAGGGCGGAAGAAGCCGCGGCGGAGGCCTCCAAGAAAACAAGGGACGAGCTCCTGGGCAAGTTGAAAGATAAAGTAGCCAAGGCGCGGGAGGAGGCGCTCGCCGAGGGTCGCAAGCAGGCGGAATCGGAGGCGGCCGAGGCGTTGAAGGCGGCGCGAGTTAAGGCTGAGGAAGAGCGGGCCGCGGCCGCCGAGGCCGCGGCCGCCGAGGCGTCGTCCAAGGCGGAGGCCGCTGCCAAGACGAAGATTGCTGAACTGGAGACGAAGCTAGGTGCGGCTTCAGATGATAAGGAGCAAGCGGTCGCGGCCGCGTTGAGTGAAGCGAGCGCGGAGAGCGAGAAGGCGTTGAGTGAAGCGGCCAAGAGAGTAAAAGCTCTGGAGGACGCCCTCGCGGCGGCCGGCGACCTCTTCCAGAACGAGAAGCGGGAGGCCCTCGAAGACTTGACGCAGAAGCACGAGAGTGTTCTGGCGGATGTTGAAAGAAAAGTCGGCAAGGCGCGCGCGGACGCGGAGAGTAGTCAGAAGGCCCTGGAGGCGGCCCAAGCGAAGCACTCCGAGGCCTTGGACGACGCGGCCGTCGCGCAGGAGGAGGCCGTCGCGACAGCGTTATCGAAGGCATCAGAGGAGCACGCCGTGACGAGTGCCACAAAGGTGGCCGAGGCAGTAACGAAGGCGAACGACGACGCGGCGACGGCGCGGGCGGCGCTGACGCAATCCTTGCAAGCGGCGCAAACGAAAGCATTGGAGGCGCAGGCCGACTCCTTGCAGGAGACGCACGAGGCTTCGACACGCAAGCTCGAGGCGGTCCACGAAGAAGCCCTGGCCGCGCAGAAGCGTGATGCGGAGGCCCTCTCCAGCAAAATAGATAGAGCGGACGCCGCGCGCAAGTCCCTGGAAGCGAAGTGCAACGACCTCGAGGCCAGGCTTAAACAAGCCGCGGACGCGCACGCGCGGGAGTTGCGGGCGACGCGGGAGGATCTAGAATTGAGACACCGCGCGGACAAGGAGGCCGCGGTCCTCCAGGCGAAGTGGGGGGCGTCCTCTGAACCGGCTAAACCAAAGGCGGCGCCCGTGCAACGCGACGACGGCCGCCGCATCAAAGAGTTGGAGGCCGCGCACGCTATTGAGCTGCGAAGGGCTAGATCGGAAGCCGAGCACCTGCGCCAGCAGTGCGACGCGCTCCAGCAGTCGAACGCGTACTACGAGCAGCGCGGGAGCGGCGGTTGCGCGGTCGACGTCGTTCCCCGCGCGTCCTTCGCGGCGCGGGGCTGCATGGCGTCGGTGTCGTCCAATATTGACCGGCTCATGAACATCGAGCTGCCGTTCAACTCTCGATGAGTAACTTCGTGCCTGTCTCTCCTCTCGTCGGGTCGCGTCGACGGCGTCTGGGCTATAGCACCGCCGTCGTCGTCGTCGTTATCCGTCGCTAAAATTTTACGGTGCTAGGACTAGTGGGCGGAGCCCCTGGGGGGAGACACACCGCGCGTCGTCGCCGCTCGCGCGACGCGCGCGCGAGCCTAACATCAGACCCGCACGCAAAATATATGGCCAACCCCAGCCAATACCCCGGCCAGCCGCGCCCGCCGGACCGCTCGCAGTACTGGCTCGAGCGGGCCTCGGTGCCGCGAGCCATCATCGTTGCATGGAGCGCCGAGCGCCGAAGGTGGTAGCGCGAATAGCGCCCGTCCGATTAGCCTGGCCCGTACGCGGCGAGATTCGTGCGCGCGGGACATTCGTGCGACCCGCGGTCACGCTGAGGCGGCAGCCCGACCGGCGGGGGCAGCCCTGGCACAGCAGCACATAGCAGGGGGGCTTGCCAACCACAGATTTTGTACAGATCAACGCAAAACCATGGACGCCAAGGTCGCCCCGACGAAGACGCAGCGCAGCCCCGGAGCAGCCTGGCGCCGGGCCGCCTTCGAGCGCCTGGAAGCGGCGAGGCCGCGCCGCAAGACGCGCGCCCAGGCGACGCGCCTCGAGGTCGAGCGGGCCTCGGCCTACTATGCGCTCAACGAAGCGGCGATCCCGGACGGCCTCGTCGCTGCTCGGCGTAAACCTACGATCTCGGCGCCGACCCCACTGCTGCGGCGGCGCGAGCGCCAAAAACCCAAGGTCCCGGCGCTCGCCGTAAAAAAAGCGCCATCACCCCCAAAGCCGCCGCCAAAACAAATCTGGCGGCCGCCTTCAGGTAATACGCCGCGGCCGCCGCCGGGGGCTTCCCGAAAGCCGCGGCCCGGCGCGCCCTGTTATCTGTTTGAAGCCGACGCCGACGCGTTCTTACTGTCGCTCGAATTTCTGGATGTGGACGTCCGCCGCGTGCTCCAGATCACGACGGAGCTGTCCAAACAATGTACGAGCTGGCTCGCGCCCGCGGCCGAGGGCCTGTGGCGGTCGCTGTGTGATAGTAGTGGGTGCGACGTCGCGCCGGATTTAAGCTCTTCAACACCCTACAAGGACGCGTTTCGTTTATCCGCGGACTTGAGGGATCGCGGGTTGGTCGTCGAGGTCGGCATGGGCTGTATTCGAGCAGGCGCGGCGACCGGCGCGCCTCATTATATTCCTCTCTACTATGATACGGTGCGGTCGACGCTCGAACTTTCAGATGGAGACGCCTCATCCTTACCGCCGCCGTCCGTCAAACGCCAAGAATTACTCCTACAAGACCCGTCTCTATTGAGGCGGCTCGTGACGGCCGCGCGCGAAAGCATTGGACTGCGTTCACTCAAGGGCGTCTCCGTCGTCTTGATACGACCGCCGGCCTGCGAGAGGCAAGCCTTCGAGCGCGCCGCGGCGCGGGCCCTGGACGACTGCCGACGGTTTCAGGTCGTGGACCCTCCACTAAACGCCGACGTGGCCATCGACGTCGGGCTGTTCCGATGTAGCGCCTCCACGAAACGGAGATGCGCGCACCAGCGCCTCGCGGGCGCCGCGCTGACGCGGTTCGTGCAGCTGAATTTGGAGGACGCGGACCCCTACGGTTTATCGTCTCTTGCTAGAGCCGAGGCACTCAAATCAAAAGACGAGGCCGCGTCCTGCGTTGAGGTCTTGATGGACCCGCGCCGCGGCGGCGACGCCCTCGAGGCCGCCCTGGGCGAAGACCTTGAAGGAGTGAAGGGCCTCGTCGGGCTCGCGCGGAGTATCTGCACAAAGGACGTCGCTTCTGTAAGTCTGGCCGGCGGCTCAGCACAACTCCCCGGCCTGCGCCGGGCGCTCGCGCGGGCGCTGCCCCCGAACTGGCGGCTCCTGCCGACCGAGGGCGACGCGTGGCGCGCCGTCGCGGCAGCGGCGGCGGCGCGCGATATCGCGTGGGCTCCGGATCTGGACGCGCCCAACCACGTAAGGACATGATGTTTTAGTGCCTCAGAACCGCTGCCAATGCCCCAGCTGTGAAGCCCAGCGCTATCGCGCGCCACGCGCTATGCGGCGCCGCGCCGCCGCCGCCGCCGCCGTAGGACGCGAGGAGGAGCGCGTCGGACGCGGTCGCCGGCCGCCGGCTCCCGCGGGCCACGAGGCGCGGCGCGTACCAGGTGCGATGTATAATATAGGTTTTACGCGGTATCCTCCGCGCTATTGAATGCTCAGCGCCAACGACGAAGGCCCGACGTGGCCGCTAAGAGCGGCAGCGCGAACGGAGCGGCTGCCGTCGCGACGTGAAACGCACGTCGCGGATGATCTAATTTGAGCTTCAATTCGATGTAATGACAACGCATGAAAATAGCTCCGCGAATTCAGAAACCGAAGGCCATGACGCTCACGTGCGCCGGCGCTTGTTTCGTCGCTTGGTCTTGTAGTCGGAGTACTTGGACGACTCCCAGGCCGCGCGCAACGCGACCACGTCCAACTCCTTTCCTTTCCAGATTAACTTGCGCGACGGGTTTTTGAGGGCCCGCTGGCGCGCCGCTAAAACACCGCAAACAAAAATTCGCGTCACGACGGCGTCGTAGTCGCCGAAGTGTGGCTTGAAATTTTCGGACTGGGCGAGCTTGGGGCAGAAGACGCGTCCAATTAAATCGGTCGAGAGACTGATACCGTCGCGACATAAGTAAAGGGGGTGGCCCACCGGGACGGCGCCGTTCAATTCGAGGCCGAGGATGAAGCGCATGACGAGCAATAGATTGAGGACAGTAGCATTCGAGTGATGATGAGCGTCGATGAATTTACCATCGCCGCCGCCCCAGAAACCGAGAATGGAGCCGCCCTTCGCGAGCCAGGCGCCTAGCTGCGAGAAGAAGCCGCCCAATTCTCCGGCGCGATTGTCTGCTAATGGGGTGCGGAAGTTGTAGGTGCGGCCCCCATCAAAGAAATGGGGCGTCTTTGGAAGATAGCGAGAAGATAACAAATCGGTGACGACGCTCTCCATACCGTCCTGAAAATAACCCCAGCACCCGCCAATTTCATAAAACATAGCGATGTCTCCAATAGTAGGGCCCTCGCCATCGACGATGGCCAGACCCAAGTTCAAAGCGTAGGCAGTAACGAGTAACAACGCCATCGCCGCGAAAAGAGCATCACGACAACCAAAGGTCCTTTCCTTGGGATCTATCGACGGCGCGCCAGCGACCCCCCAGTACAAGTCGAACGCTAAATCGTCATCGCCCTCATTGCACATCTCTTGGCAAATCTTGTTGACCTCCCAGTCCATGGCAGCACTGGCTTTAGGACTACCAGCACCGGCGTTGCGCAAAGGCTTGCCCTCGCGGGCCCGCTTCGGTTTCGTGACCTCGTGATGATACTTGTTGAAGGCGTCTCTAACTCCCTGGCGCTTCTCGGACGTCATGTCAGCGCGCCGCTCCTTGGCCCGCTCCAGAAGCAGCCCACATCTACTATAGAGGCTCATGTTCCACAACTGGCCGTTGATGGACACGGCGTCACACCTATTGGCAGGACCTGCGCGCGGAACGAAGCGTTCCCGGACCGCCTCAGCCCTCGCGACGCGCGTAGGCGCTCTCGCGGTCGCGTCTCACGAATCACAATATTCTCGCGACCCGCTCGACGCCATCACGGCGGCCACGTCGAAGGCCGTCGCGACGACCGCGTCTCACGACGCGTGCAGACGCTCCTAGGACCGCGCTCGACGCGTCGCGGCGACCGCATCACGTTCAAGTTTATTTTCTGCTCTGAGTCGGACCTTTACCATGTTTTTTGCGATACTGCTTCATGAAGCATTCCGCATGATCTTTGTTCTTGGGATTGAAATTGCTGATTGTAGAAGTGATGGCCACAACACTTGCTAATTGGAAGAACGCAGCCGTGGCTTTACTGGTTTCCTCGGCCTTCTGAGTGTGTTCCGACTTGGCACCCTTCTCTCCGGTCTTGAGAAACCTAACTAGGGCCTCCTTCATCTCGGGCACCGTCGCACGTGCTTGCACCAGTTCGGAGCTCCAGAGCTCGTGTTTGGTGCACGCCGCGCGCAACGCCGGCTTCTTCATTGTTTGCACTTTCTCCACTAATTCTTCGACGTCCTCGTCCTCGTCCTCGGAGGACTCCAGGATGCCGCGGACGAGAGCTGCTTTGCCCGGGACTTGGACGACGACGTCGCCGCCGTCTTTGATGGAGGGGCGTTGTCTCTCCCTCTGTAAAAATATGTTGGGCTGGAACCACCCATCCTCGTCCGCGACCGACAACTTCCCGGCCCCCGCGGACGGCCAGAAGAAGGGGCTCTGCTCCTTCGCTGCGAGTAGCGCCTCGGTGGGTTTGATCCACCCGTCCTCGGCCGGCTGGGCCAGAAGCCGGCCCGCGGCGGCCTGTAACTCGTCGTCGGAGTCGGTGTCGTACATTTTGGTTACGACTGGGCCGTTCAATACATAGACGGGCGGCTCTAGTTTCATGTACGTGGTGCCGAAGTCGAAGACGAGCTCGTACGTCTCCACCAGGGGGATGTACTCGTTCACGAGACCCGTGACCAAGCCGTGCTCCTTGATGAATACTTGGACGTACTTCCCGACGATGTAGTAGCCCACAGAGGTCGTCTCCATAACAGGCGCCGAGGAAGACATCGTCTACGTCGTCGCGCGCGTCTCGGTATATGCTTGTCGAGAGGGCGACGCGGCCCACGACGGCGGCGCGCGACCTGCGGGCGTGGTACGTTCGTGATCTGGGCCTCTCTGTCCTGCCTCTCTCGTGCATGGCCGCGGCTCAGAGGAGCAACAGTCTGATAGCCACAAACAGCGCCGTCCGCGGACGCGCGCGGCTAAAAATTTCGCAAGCAGGCGACCTTGGCTGTAGGACGCGGGCCACGCGCCTGTTTGAGCGCTGCGCCGCGAGGAGCTGCGTACACGCGCAGAACGCCAGAAAGCAACAGCCAGCCAGCTTCGATGTTGTCCATATTGTTGAATTTTTTCTAAAAATCATTTTTTCTAGCCTAGCCTCGCTGCGGGCTCGGTGCGCGCGGCACACGGCCGAGACGAGCGTTTTGTCGGCTTGTTTGCTTGCTAGTGACTTATGCCGCTAGCTAATCTCCTCTGTCTTTAGCCATGGTGGAGGGACTTTCAACAACAATCAGGGCGCGGCGCGAGCTCGTGCGGAGCGAGCCCTGCATTATAAAACTTTACAAAGACTACGCCTCCACCACGACACGCGAATACCCGGGCCGCGCGACATGATGGACCAGCAACTTATTCAAGGGGAGGGGGTAGCCTAGTAGCCACGCCATCGCCGCGGCACCGACGGCGTACCGAAGAACTCAATTTACAGGGGGAGAAAGGAGGAACACACCAGGGACTAGTCGTCGTCCGACGCGCCGTCCATGCCGTCGTCGTTCGTGAACGTGGCCGAGCAGCGCACGATGGCGCGCCCGATGGCCCCGATCCAGTCGTCCTTCTCCTTCTCCGTGTCCGCGCACATCAAGTATGTGGTGTCTTGTGTTGAGACTTCCAACGCATGGCGCCTCCTGGCTTTGAACTCCGCGCTCTTCACCGTCATGCACCGCGCTAGGTCAATCATGCCGTGGGGCGGACTCCCTTCGTGCTTGCTGAAGAAGAGTTTGGATTGTTTCAAAATGAAATGGCGCCTTCTCCAATCCCTGAGCCACGCGCTTTGTTTGGTGAGCCAGCCGCTGTGGTCGGGGTTCGAGGTATCGTATCTGATTCCGGTCGCGGGGTCGGTGTAGAGGGCCATGGGCTCTTCGCGGCACCGCTGCGATCTCCCGCAGGCTAGCTTCGTACCGCTGCGTTCTCCCGCAGGCTGGCTTGTTTGGGCCGCTCGTGGAGAGTGGCTCTATTTGCGAGGCGTTTCTTATGCCAGCTCGCCGCAGCGGTGGATTTGGACGACTCGTGAGAACCGTGCTAGCTCGTGTGGCCCTGCGCGAAGTGCCGTGGCAAAAAAAATGCGAGGCTAAGGCCAAGAAATCTAGTATGCTTAACACTGGCAGCATGACCCGAATGCCCCCCAAAACAAGCCGCGGGTCGCCCAGGGACTTGTCCCGGGATTGATGAGAGGAAGTGTAGAGGAAAGGAGGCGCAGGCCGAGTCTGAGAGGGCGAGGTCGAGCGCAAAGCACGGCGGCGCACGCCCCCACGGGGCGATACCAATACTCCTGCGCGCGTTCCCCCGGCCCCATCAGTGCGAGGAGGCCGGGGCGCGCTCGACGAGGGGCGCCGCGCGGCGCGCGCAGAGGACAGCCCTGCTGCACCTGAGGAGCTGAGGAGAGCAAAGCGAAAGCGAAAGCCGAAACCATGACGGTCCGCTCGCCACCGCGCAAGTCCTTCGCCAGCCGCAACCTGAACAGCGCGACGCGCAAGCCCGAGCAGGCGCGGCCGCAGCGCGCGTATGGCGGCGGCGGTAGATTGCTAGTGCTCGGCAAGCGGCCCGAGCCGACGGCGGCCTCGAAGACGAACACGGTTGCCGCGCCCGTGCCCATGAACACGCCGTCGCTGCGGCGCGAGTCGGGCGGCCAGGACGTCTCCGTCAAACTAGTTCCGAGCGGCGGTGGTGGCTGGGCCCAAGAGAAACAACCGGAGCCGGAACCGGAACCGAGACGGCTCGCCCCGCCGGCCAACAAGGAGCCGCCCGTCGCGCCCTGGGCCAAGCAGGCCGTCGTCGACGCCGCGAAGCCGCCCGAGGAGCGCGCGCCGGCTTGGAGTTCCAAGCCTGCTCCTCCTCCTGTTGAGGAGCCGCCGCCACCGCCTCCCGTAAAACCGGAGTCGCCGCCCCAGCAGCAGCACCAGTGGCGCCGGTCCCAGGACGCCGAGCGACGCATGGAGCAGTCGACGCAACCGCCGCCGCCTCCCGCAAATACGTCCCCGAAGAGTGAACCGCCCGATAAACTGCAAGGCGAGTCCCAGAGCGACTACATGAAGCGGTTGGCGCAGTTGCGAGCGGCGAAACGTCGCGCCGAGGAGCAGGCCGAGGACGATGCCCGACGCGCGCGCGCCGCGGAAAGATTAGCGCGCCTGGACGCCCAGCGGCGCGCGGCGCATCCACCTGCGCGACCTCCCCCGGTCCAGCAACAAGAGGATGACCGGTGGCAGCGCGGGGCGCGCGTACCGGCGCCGCCCGTCGAGCGGGAACCGTTGCGGGATGCCGGCGTGCCCATCGAACGGGCGGCGACTAGAGACGGCCGCTCCTTCGCCTCCATGTTCTCGCCACCTTCGGAACCGAACCCGGACCAGCTCAAAGTAGGTGATGGGTATGATAGGCACCCGAACCGCGAGAAGCCGAAGCTCTTCGATCCCAAGTCTGGGAGTTATGTCGATCCTTCGTCGCGACCGCCGCCGGCGCCGAAGACGCGCGGAAGAGGTTTGCGGGTCATCGACGACGCCGCGGCTCCGAAGAAGGAGGCGCCGCAGGTTCGCTTGTTGGCGCGGCCCGCGGACGCGAAACCCGCACCTGGAACGATCGTACAGAAGAAGGAGGAGAAGAAGAAGCTTGCGGAGCTGCCTAAAGATCTATCGAACGCGGACGCGGAGACTGTCAAAAGGTTGAAGGCTGAGAGAGCTGCGGAGAAGGCTGCGAGGCAGCCGCGCACCCGAGGCTTTCTGTACAAGCACGAGAACGGCGACGTCGTCCTAGCTGACGGCCAGCCTTCTCGTAGGTCGAAGCGCGGTCGAGGCGGGCGTAAAAGGGCGGAAGCCGCCGCCGCCGCCGCCGCGAAGGCCGAGCAGGAGCGGCTCGCGCCCGGCCCGCCCGTGCGATCGTCCTCTGCTGGCTCTGTGTGTTTCAGTGTCGTTGTATCAACTACGAGCGGGAAGACGACCCCAGAAATCAAACACCATCTTTCGAGTCTGACTACTGACTGACAACCTTCCACCCATAGCCCGACCGCTCCCTTCGTCTTTGTGTGAGAGTCATACATACTCATACCAATCTCACAATTCCACGCACAGGTCGGCGACCGAGGGAGAGCCCCGGGCCCCGTGTCGCAGCAGTCCCCGCCCGAGCCCGCGCGCGGCCTCGGCGTCTTCTCTCAATCTGACGCGGCGCCGGGCAATTTGTCGTATGCGCCCTTCGGCGGCTTCAGCACGGCGCCGCCGCCTCCCGAAAGGGCCGCTGTTTCCGCTCTGGGTGGGGCCGAGTTCATTCCCCGCACTTCGAGTGCTGGTTCTTTTGGCGGCATCGGCATCGTCCAGGACGACGCGCCGCCGCGCCACGACGGCCCGTCTACTCTAGGCGGCGCGGAGTTCGTGCCCGGCGCCGGCCTCGTCCGGCCCGAGGCCGCTTCGGAGCAGCAGCTGTCGTCCTCCTTCGACGCCGCGGGCGCGCCGGAGTTCGTGCCCGGCGGCGCCTTCGGGTCCGGGCTGCTCGGCGCGCCCCAGAAGCCCGGCCAGCCGCAGGGCTCGGGCCTGCTCTGGGACCGCTAGCTATTTGATGATTGGGCCTTGCGCCCCGACCGCCGGCCTCTGCACGCTTCATGCGCGTAGGAGCTCCTACCGGCCGTCCACCCCGTCTGGACTCTACTAACAGTCCGACACTATCTTTTTCTGGGGCGCGGCGGTGGCGTGCTGGCGGGGAAGGAGTCGTTTCGCGGCTCGTAAAACCCGTTTTGCGGACCAAAATAATTGAGGCGTCGCGGACCTCGGCGAAGCGACCGCGCGATTGCCGCAGCGCCCTTGGGCGGCCGTATTATCGCTGCTTAAAACACTCCCACACGTGCGCGCCACATCTGCGAGCAACAGCGTGCCCCAGCGATAGCTCCAAGGCCTGCAGCAAGAGGTCAAGCGGACAGCAGCGCGGCGCCGCGCAGCCGACCGCAGCTCGACACGCCGCCGGCGCGGCGGCGCGTCGCCAGCGATGTCCGTCGCCGGCTTCAAGCTGACCTTGTGGATCCCGGTCGAGCAGGTCGGCATCGTGATTGGCCGGTCCGGCCAGACGATCAACAAGATCCAGGGCGGGACGTCGTCGAGATTGAACGTCGTGCCGGACCAGGATGCAAGTGCGTGGGCGCCCGTGTATATCCGGGGCGCCCCGGATGGGGTGTTTGCGGCGGCGCAACAAGTGGTGGAGCTCGTGGACGAGGTCGACGACTGCGTCGCCGAGTTCCACCTCGGCGGGCGGGGGCGGACGTTGCTGCGGGACGAGAACTCCGGTCCGAGTAACCTCACGCTGGAGACGAAAAAAGTTTCCGCGGACCACAAAGTTCGGATCTTGATCCCGCAAGCCACTGGGAACGCGAAGTCCGACAACAAACCGTCGAAAGACGACGCCGCACCTTGTTCCCTTGAGGGTCCTCTAGATGGTGTGAAAAAAGCACTGAAAGCTTTGGTCGAGATCGCGTCCCGGAAAGTCGAGAAAAGGCCGCAAGAGCCGCAAGTGCCGCAAGTCGAGAAATGCGTCTCCGTGCCGGCTACTAGATTACGAACGGTCGCCAGACGGGGCCAGCAGCAACCGGTCTATCGAGTAGTAGCGAGGTACTCCGGGACACAGGTGGCCAAGCGACCTAGAGATCAACCTATCCCGGAGGACGCCATCATCGCGAGGGAGCCGGAAGATGCCCTCTCGCAAGCCGCTTTAACGGTAGAAAGCGTAGTAGAGGCCTGCACGGAGGAGCCGACGAAGATCACTTCATCTGTTATCTCACATGTGTTACCTGATGAAAATATCGACAACGATGATTTCGAGGATCCTGGGTGTAGCGAGGACGAGTCCTCCTCCGAGAGCGAGACTGATGAGGACGACGACGAGGAGATCGAGGAGGTTCCGACAGAACCGTCGAAGGATCGCATTGGGTTCATGGTGAGGGGAGGGGAGAAGAACGTCGACGCCGCTTGTGCTGCATTGGTGCAGATCGTCGAAGGGAGCAGCGTGAAGGACGTGGTGGCCCAGCTCAAGCTCGAGTTCCCCACCGCGGCGTCTCGGCGGGGCGGCAGAGGAGGTAAGGAGAACCCGCCGGGGACCGGGCGGCGCTCGCGCAACCGGCGGGGCGGCAAGGCGCACCGCAAGGACAAGGACAAGGCTCCTTCAGGTGGAGAGAAGGAGAAGAAGGAGGGCGAGGGCAGTTCCAAAAGACGCGGGCGGCGCGGGCGGCGGGCCGGGGGCGGCGGCGGCGGCGAGGCCGGCGCGTAGCTTTCTTCGCGGTGAGGCCTAATTACTTTCTCTAGCTAGTTGGCTCCTGCTAAGTGTCCGACACTTAGTCCTAATTTAGATAGCTTATTCTTCACAATACACCCGCTGGCCCGACTCGGGCGCGCGGGATACCTCTCGAGCGAGTTCCGTGTGACCGCGACGCGCTGCCCACGCGGATGCCGTGCGCCCGCGACCATCGCGTGCGTCGACGGGCGCGCCGGCCGCCAACAGGCGCGCGCAGACCTCGCGGTGCCCCGCTGCCGCCGCGGCGGCCAACGGCGTCATCCTGAGCGGATGCCGCGTCGAGGCGACGTCTGCCCCCGCGCCCAGCAACAGGTCAACCGCACCGATGTTTCCGTTATACGCCGCCAAATGGAGCGGCGTCGCATAGCCCACGGCGTAGTGGTCCAGAATCGTGGGCGGCCGGTTCATGAGCCGATTCACGAGCTTGCTGACCCAGAGGATCTTTTTTAGTTTCGGGACGGCTCTGGACACGTCAAAGTAGTCGACGGCGTGGCCACGCGCGATTAACATGGAAATGAGGTCCAAATCACCGACCAGCTCGCATGCGTAGTTGACCCAGCCGGCGGGGGCACCAGTGTTGTCGTCCCGGAAGTCGTCGGGGAACCGGTCCATGTAGCGCTCGAGCGCCGCTGTATGGCCGTTCAGCGCGAGGTAGCCGAACGGTGCCACTCCGAAACTCATCGGCTCGTCCTTGAGGGCAGGGAGATGCTTGAGAATTGCCTCGATGCACGAAATATGACCCAATGTGCAAGCGAAGTGGAGGCACGAGTTGCCACTCGTGTCCCTCTGGCCGGCGTCGGCGCCGCGCGCGAGGAGTACCTGTATTATTGACTCGACGCGTGTCGTCTCGCTCTCATCTTCGTCGCACCGCATCGCTGCGAGGTGCAAATCAGACATACCCTTGGTCACGAGGAATGCGGGCTCGTCACGCCTGAGCACGCCCGTCGCGTTCGCCCCAGCGTCGAGCAACGCCGTGACCAGATCAACTCGCCCCTCGAGGATGGCATATGACAGCGGGCTCCAGCCCTGGCCGTCGCGCTGCGTGGCCGAGGCGAAGGCCAGCCGCCGCATCCAGGCCTCAAGTGTATCGTACGGTGTTACCTTGATACCGGTACCGAGAAGTAACGAGGCCTTGTGCGCGTGGAGGAAGCGATACCATCGCAGCGCGGCCTCGGTGCCCTCCGCCCGCTTCGCCGCCATCCGCTCGTCGATCAATCGCTCAATGACGGGGCCGAGGGCAACACGATCCGCCTCCACTGTAAATTCGCCGCGGCCCACGGGGCTTATGATCCAGTTGCGGCCGAAGAGGCCGGCCGGCCCATGACTGCGTACGTCCGTCGGACTCTGGAGCACGATAAGCGGCTTGGCCTCGGGCGAGAGCAGGTTGCACAACAGCTCCATCCGACACCACCCTCGCGCGCACCAGGCACGCACGTCGCGGAGTGCGCCGCTCTCGTGACGCCACGCGCCGGCGACGCAGACAAAAAACGCGGCGCTCGAGACGTAATTTGGGATCGAGGCGATTGCCGCGCCCTGTTGTTCGCGGTCCGCCTGTGGTATGGAAAACACGTCGAGCCATACGTATTGTATCTTGCGGAGTGCTCGGGCCTTGATTTTCAGGCGTCCGCCCCAGAATATCTCGCAGAGGAGCGACGGACGGACGTCCTTTTTGCCTGCACTCGCGTCCCGCAGAAAGCTTTGGAGTAGCGTTAGTTTTACATTGTCTGCCGTGTCAGGGTGCGAACGACTGAGCCAGGTCTGCGACACAAACACCGTCGCCATGCCGTCGCGCTGCAGAACCAGCTCGTCCTTGATCTCCTCGTGCGTCGGCAAGCGTTGGAGTTGTAGCAGACGCGCGACGGGCAGCACATGCATCGGATACTGTGCGGCCGGCATGGCTGCGATGGCAGCGTTGGAAGCGACGCGGTGGCAGCCGTCGCACGTAGCCTAACGACCCCTATAAATCAATTAATGGGCTTCCGTCGTCCGCGGGGCTACCAGTGGTCCTCTGAGGCTCGCCCGTAGACCGCCCCGCGCCGCGGAAGGACTCGATCTCGAGAATCTGCTCGAGCTAGCGTGCGAATAAGACACTAGCAAAAGCAGCGGACTTGGGCAGCCTCCCAAGCGCCGTCCCGCAATCGTTGGGGGCAGCCACAGATGCCGTAACACATAAAATGCTTCGCCTCGTCGCCGCGGCGCTCACGCTCGCCGCCGCCGCGCCACCAGAAAGGAGCAGGCCCCACACCCACTTGTTTGTGGAGCTCTCCTGCGGCCCCCGCGACCCGTCGATTGATTGCGAGGCGCTCGTCGCCCTCAACGACAATATCGGCGTCGCGGGCTGGGCGACGGGCGAGTCCTTTTGTGGGTGGCCGGGGGTCCTCTGCGGCGACGACGGAAGGGTAATAGCGCTCAGTCTGAGAGACATGGACCTCAAGTCCAACGCCAAGGAGAAGCAGCGCGAGCCTTCAAAAGGCAAGAGCGACAGTCACATGCAACGCGGCAAAAGGTTAAGGAAGGAGGTGCCGCGGCAGCTTATCAAGCGGGATGAGGTGGAAGAGAAAGAGCCCGAGCCCTTCGTCGAGCCCTCCCTGAGGCAATGTAGGAAACGGCCGGTCTTTCCGCATAGAGCTCTCGCGAAACTCGAAAGGCTCGAGGTGCTGTCTCTCATAGGTCTGAACATGACGGGAACCGTCCCGCAATCATTGAACGCGCTGTCTTCATTGAGAGAGCTCCACCTCGCTGAGAATTCTTTAAGTGGTTCGTTGCCCGAGCTCGACGACCTGACGCAGTTACGAGCTTTACACTTAGATGGGAACGGCTTCTCGGGCACGCTCGGTGGCTTGTTGAGGAGCCTCGCGACGAGTAATCTGAGACGCCTGGGCTTGTCGCGAAATATGTTGACGGGCCACCTGCCCGGCGGTTCACTGGAGAAGCTGAAATCCCTGGAAGCATTTAGAATAGGCGGCAATCGACTGGATGGGCCCTTTCCCGCGTCATCACTCGCCAAACTATCAAACCTAACGAACGTCTCGGTCTGGGGCAACGCTTTTGAGGGAGACGCGTCTCTCTTCCTGGACAAGGCGTCCTCCACCCTAAGAACCTTCGACGCCACTTCCAACAAATTGAGAGGCGATTTACGAGACATGCCGCGTCGAAATCTCGAGAATTTGAGATTGGGCGGCAATGCGTTGGAAGGCTCGTTACCGAAACCAGCAAATTTGAGAGATGTCGCTTCGATGCAACTGTGGTCTGAAATGGAGGGAAGAACAACCACGGAGGAATGCGACCTCGAGCCGACGTGCGGCGGCGCGTCTGCGGCGAACTTGGCTCTATCTCGTGCGCTGGACGACGCGACACTGTGGCTCGGCGGCGACGTGCGGCCCTGGCAGAAGCTCCTGCAGGACGACGAGCGCAAGGGCGGGCCGGTTCGTTCAAGGAAGAAGGACGACGACATCGGGAGCGATATGCTCAAGGAGATGCGGAGGGAGCGGGATCGGAATGAGCGGAAGCTGGCTCGAAGTGGGGGCGGCAAGAAGTTGAAGGCTGTGTGGAAATCAACCAGTGCGTCGGGTGCACAGCGGTGAGGAACCGGCATCGCCACGCCATCGAGCAGATATCATGAAGATGGCGTGGAGGACGACGCGATGATTCAGCACGAACGCGCCGTAAAATTTTGATTTCCACACAGGCTCAAGGACTTCCGGAAGAAGATCGATGACCCTAAGAAGAAGAGCCAGAAAAATGTGGTCGAGGCGATGTACGCTACTCGGCGGTCGCACTGGACGCAGCAGGTCGCCGACTTTGTTGAGTCAGTTGATGCTGCCGAGAAGGCCGAGTTGGATGCAGCGGAAGCTGCCAAAAAAGCAGCTAAAGAGGCTGAACAGAAGGCGAAGCGCGACGCCGACGACGCCGCGAAGGCTCTGAGGGATGCGGAACTCGCCGAGGAGAAGGCGTCGAAAGTACGGGATGCTACCACTGAGAAAGAAAGACGCAAGGCCGAGGACACGCGGGATGCCGCTGTAAGACTGAAGGCGTCGGGCGAGCGACGTCGAAGGATCGACGCGCGGAGCGACGACGCCGAGGCGCGCATGGCCGAAGTGCGGAAGGGCGTGGATAGGGTAAAGGAGCTCATGGACCGTCATGATAATACGCCGTCCGAGGCGGAACGCCTGAACTCCTACGATGATGGTGTGAGACGCTCGCAGCAGTTCGCCGATCGGCGGGCGGAGATCGATGCGGGCGTCGCGGCGGCGCGAGCTAGAGCTACCTCCATGCGGGATCGGTACTCCGGGGGGCGCGCGTCGTCGTCGTCTCGCGATGTGCGAGGCGAGGCTCCGGCGGAGGACTCCGCGAGGCGCGCCGCGTCGTCGGAACATCGTGAGGCTCCGGAGGACTGGCACGCCGACGCGCTGCCGGAGTCGCACCAGTTCCGCGCTGCCGATGCGTTCCCTACTGCCGCCGAGACGACGGACAAGGCGTCTAAGGCAGACGATGCGACGACCGAACAGGATGGTCGGACCGCGCAGGAGCGCGAGCGCGCGTGGGAGGCGGCGTTCGCGCGCGCGGAAGCCGCCGAGGCTCGCGAGAAGGCCAAGGCGGCCGGCGCGCCCGTCGTCGCCGCGGCCATTGATGCAGGCGTCCCTCAAGACAAAGAAACGCGCCTCGAGGAGCTCCGCAAGCGCGCACGGGAGACCGTGAGACTGGCGAGCCAGGGCGAGGAATTTTAATTTATGTGAACTTACTAATTAAGGCTAAGGAGTCGCCGTGTTTTCCGGAACGGTGGGCAGCTGGCCGTCGGCATCCTCGCTATGGCGCGAATTATCCGTCGCCGGCGCCGGTGCTGGAGCCGACCGCGGCGAGAACACGCGCCGCGTCCTGTCGCGCACGGACGACGTCATGTCCAGGACGAAGGTCGCGCCCCGCCGAAAATTCGATAAACCCGTCGTCGGCGACAGGTAGGGCAGGTTCCGCGGCAGCGCGGACGTCTCCGGCCGGACGCAGCGCGGGAAGTCCGCATCTAGATAATTATAGGACCGCGTGTAGGAGAAGATTGATTTTTTACATTTGAGATAATCACATTCCTTCCCGCCCTGGAACCACATCGCCCGATGGATCGGGAACAAAAATAAAAACAGCGGCAGGAACTTCGGGAACCAGATGAAGAAATTGACCACTTCACTCCCAAAAATGCGATTCAGAAAAATCTCATCTAATGAAGAATACTCGTCGAGGTGCCGCCAGTTTTCTGTGGTTATGATTATGATCATGAGCACGATGACGACCAGATGAGTGACCAATAAAGCTAAAATGACGCGGTCGCCCCGGACCTTCCACCGTCGCAACTTCCGAGCCCTCGACAACAAATCCTTCGTCGACTCCTGGCGCCAGCCATGCGTATGGTCGCCGCACGCCATTCTTATCACTGGTTCGTACAGGCACGGGCAGATCACCAACTGCCTGATTAAGACAGCATAAATCACGGTCACCGTATGTTTGGAAATAAAATAGAACCACCAGAAGCACACGCCCTTGCACTTGAGGACGTCCGAGACGTTTCTCTCTACTCGTCTTGCATTGTATGTGGTACAAGCCGTCCAGAGGAAGTTGAACGCTACCGAGCAGATGAAGACCACAAATCTCTCCCGTCCAGAAAAGGGGCAGAGGGGGTGCACCATCCAGACGCTCAGCAGAGGGTGGAAATTCCGCACGAACCCTGAGAAATTCCCGCACCACCCTCCACTCGTGTTCGGAAACCCGTAGGTCACGGGCACGGGCATGCCCCGCATCAAGAGTCGTACGGTCTCCCGGTCGCCCTTCCCTAGCAAGAACATGGAGTCCAATACTCTATCGCGGAACGGCTTCGAACTCAAAACCGAGCTCTCGCGTCGCGTCCGAGGCCGGCCGCCCGGCGTGTCGCTGATGACGTAGCGTCGCTCTTCCTCGCCATCTTCGGCGCGCGCTCCGGGCGCGGGCGCGGGCGGCGGGGCTGCCATGACTGGTGCTGTCAGCGCCGGCGTTCGGCAGCCGGTTTCGGGGCGCAGAATTCAAGGCATGAGTCGCTCCGACGGCGGCGCAACGTCGCGGGCAGCCCTTAGCTTTTGCGGGCGCTCCTGGGCTGTCTTCCACTTTTGAGCCCTGCCACGGGATGGTACCCCGCACCATATGCCTGCCCGTGGTTTGGAGTCCATATTGAGGGCTCCTACTTTATATCTGTGTGGGGCGAGACGTGGAGTCGAACAAAACAGGTTTTACGAGCCGAGTCAAGCAGTCAAAGCGAGCTATCCTCTTGCTATCGCGGCCATCCGGAGGCGAGACCGCACCGCGCGTACGACTCAGACCAGAGTAAAACGTCGCGCAAAATTCTGCGGCGAGCGGACACGCGCGTGCGAGTTGTTCAGGTAAATTGACCTGAAACAGCAAAACAGGTTTACGCGGCGCGCGGCGGGGTCTCTCTCGCGCGACCGCTACTCCTCCTCGACATCGTCAAAAGCATAATGGTCTCTCTGGGTCCGCCGGCAGGGTGGACGCCGAGCGCGCCCGCGGCGACGCCGGGCGACCCGGGTCACCCGGCGCCGCCGGCGCCGGCAACCACGGCGCCGACGCCGGCCGCCGCGGCGCCGGCGCCGGCCGCCGCGGCGCCGGCGCCGGCGACCGAGTGGCGCAGCGAGGGGAGCGTCCTGCTCGGCCTCGACCTCGTGCGGAGCGTCTTCGACGCGACCGGCGCGCCGACCGCCCAAGTCAAGGCCAAGGTGATCGGCTGGCTACCGGCGTCGGTCTCCGACTACGTCGACGGCGCGGGCCGGCCGGCGGCGCTGTACCGCATCTGCTACCTGGACGGCACCGTTCGCGGCGACGTCGAGGACCTAGGCCTCGACGCGAAGGCCGTGACGCCGCCCCATTACGTGGCACCGCGTTCGCCGCCGCGGGTCATGCTACCAATTGTCGATAGCGAGGACAGCGACGACTCGGAGGAGGACGACGACGACGACGAGGAGGACCGCACCTGGGCACCGCCCACGCCAGTTCCGATGCGGGAGGTCGACCTCCGCGCCGCGACCTTCGCCGGAAGCTACCAAGATGCCGACGATGCTGATGTGGCGCCGTTGCCCAAGCGCCAGAAAATTGCCGCCCCGAGGGTCGGCGACCGCGTCAACCTGACGCTCGACCCGCTCGAGGGCGTCGTGACGAAGACGGGGTCCGGGTGGTACACGGTCAAGTTCGAGTTCGGAGGCGTCGATAATTTCCGGGCGGACGAGCTGATGGTGCTCTAGAACACTAACCTAGACTTTAACTTTCTCCCAGAGCCACGGCGCGGCGCCCTTGAGGTCCGCGATGCGCCGGACCTTCGCCTCGTAGAGATCCGCGTCGCCGGCCTTCGCCGCGTCCCCGAGCAGCGCCGCCTCGCCCCCCACTTCCTCCTCGACGAAGACGCAGCGCATGCCCAGCGCGCGGCATGCCCTTATATTCTTCAGCGAGTCCTCGAACATGATCGACGACGCGGCGTCGGCGCCGACGGCGTCGAGCACCGTTCGAAACGCCGCGGCCTCGGGCTTGCACGCCGGCATCACATCTTCCACACCGAAGATGAAGTCGTCGCGGAAGAACTCGCGCAACCCCAGCGAGTCGAGGCACCGCCGCGCGTACTTGCGCGGCGCGTTCGAAAACACGACGAGCTTGTAGCCCAGCTCCCTTAATTCACCGAGCTGTTCGCGAAATTCATTATTGCGAGGCAGGTACGCGTCGAAGTCGCAGTGCGCCGCCCAGTACTCGCCGAGCATGGGCTCCGCGAAGGGTTTCGGCAGGCGCCCCTCCTGTGAAGCTAAAGTTAATCCTTTGAGCGTCGAGTGTGTCGCCCGGAAGACCTCGTCCCTCAATTTGAGAGCCTCCGCTTCACTTTCGAAGCCGAGTTCGTCACACATGAACTTGGCGACGATCGGCCCGTTCCGGTGCTTCGAGAAGCCGCTGCTCACGGGGTACAGCGTGTCGTCCACATCAAAAATGAGCGTGTCGACCGCGCTGCCGCCCGTCGCCATGGTGCGGGTCGCTGCGCGGCTTGTGGCGAGGCGCAGGAGCGTCGGGAGGCCGCGCATGCAATTCAGACGTCGCGTCGATGGCGTCTAGGGTGCCGCAGCGTGTGTAGCAGTGCTGGTGGTGGGAGAGCGCTCTCTCACACAGAGAAGTGCTCGCGTTGCAGCACTTGTGGTGCCTGCAGCTGCTGGAGAAAGGGCGTGCGATACTGTTTGCAATCTAGATTGCAGCCCTTACGAAGCAGACTCAAGACTGCCGCATCACCGCCGCCCAGGCTGGCTTGCTAGTGTCTTACACGCCGCTAGCACATCGGGAAGCGGTACGCCCCACCCCTCGCAACAACAAGACTCGAGAACACACTCATTAGTAGGAAGGAGCAACATAGGACTACTTCCACTCGAGCAGCACCGGGTCGCGGAAGACGCCCTGGGCCTTGAGGGGCGTCGCCAGATCCAAGGCGACGCCGTGGTAGTACAAGGCATCCACGGGCACGCCGAGGTCCTTGGCCGCGCGGTCCGCCAAAACACCAGCGGCCGCCGTCACGCTCACGCCCTCGATGACGAGCGCCGGCGCGCGGCCCGGGGGCCCCGTCTTGAGGAAGACGGCGATCGTCGGCTCTCCCTTACCATCGACCTCTCCACTTAACTTCTTGTGGTACGCGTCGACGCCGCTCACGTCGTCTGGTAGTTTAGGTCGCGCCATCACTTTGGAATCCCACTTCGGCGGCAGGGACTCCTTGCCGCCCTCGACGAAGTAGCCCTTCTCCCGTACTTGACCGGCGTCGGCGGGCAAGGGCCAGGGCAGGTCCGTGCGGCGGCCGAGGCCGGCGCTGAAGCATCCCAGGGTCGTGGTCATCGTGTGCTGTGGTGCGTCTGCGGTCTCGCCTCGCGGTAGGGCGTTGGCTGCGCGTGTATGGGGTCGGCTGCGCGTCGATGCAGCCCGGCAGTCGCCCCGCACACGACAAAAGCACTTCCAACTTGGAAGTGGACCTAAACCCGAACGTACACAAAGGACGCGTCGATGGCCCGCACTCCAGCCGCTGCTCAGTGCCTCGGGGCCCCGCCGGACCGCTAGAAACAGCAATGAACACAGGAGAAACCCGAGCTTTCGATCTGCGGCCAGGCTGGAATTTGGACGTGGATAGCGGGGAGCGGGCTGCCCCAGCGCTCAAAAATGGGCCTGACCCACTCCTTCGCGGCCGACGAGGCTGAGAACAATGCGCCGCAGCGGTCCTTCAGCGCCGGGCTCCTGCCCGAGGACCAGGCCGCACCCCTGCAAAAGAAGGCGAAGCTCGAGACCCTGCGATGCGGCGCCGACGACGACCTGGTCCAGAAGTACGACGAGTTGCTCGAGACCTTTGATGCCGAGCAGGCGCGCTTTTCGGAACGATTAAGAGGTTTGGAGCGCCAGCACGAGGTTACTATGTCTACATTAGCTGCGGAACGAGATTCATTGCAAGCGCAGCTCCAGGCGAAGCAGGCGACGTTTGATGAGCGACTCGCCGACTTGGAGGCTAAATTGACCGCATTATTAAGGATACGGCTCGAGGAGAAGCATACGCGACTGTGTAAAGAGTATGATGATGAATTAGCTCGGTTGTTGGCCGAGATCGCTTCATTAGAGGAAGCCATTGCCTCACTAAGAGGGCAGTACGAGGCTTTAGTTGCGAGGATGGCCGATAAGGAAAAACAACACGAGCGGGACGTGATCCGCGCCATCGACGAGACGACAAAGCAGCAGCACGTGAGCAGCCAGGAGCAGCTCGCTACCCTCCAAAAGACCATTGATGACGCGCTCGACGCTCTCAGAAGGCGCCGCGACGAGCTCAAGAAGCTGTTGAGTGAGGACGAGGCCTCGTATAAACGCGAGTTAGATGAGCTCAGGGCGGCTCATATGAATGCGCTACGATCCTTAGAAATGGAGTTGCGGGCGTCGTTTGACGCCGCGCAGCAAGCTTCGGAGGGGGACCACGCGCGTGTCGCCTCGGCCAAGAAGAAATTGGGCGACGAGGCCGAGCGGATGCGCTTGGAGCGGGACGCCGCCGACGCTCGTTTGAAAGAGTTGGAAGAGAAGGCGCGCCTGGCGAAGCTACACTTGGAGGAGACGCGGGACCGCCATTCTAGTGAAGATGCGAAGCTGACTCAACGGTTAGATGCGAGAGAGAAGGCTTTCAGGGAGTCGTGCGTCGACGATCCCGAGGAAGAACTAGCACATAAGAGCTCCGTGGCGGCCAAGGCCAAGGCCGCGCATGACGCCGAGGCCGACATTCAGAGGAGTAGACTCGAGGAGCTGAGAGCGAAGCTGGAAGCCATCAAACAACAAAAGCAAATGGAAGTAGACGCCTTGAAGGAGCAAGTTCGTAAGGCCGAGGCTACTAGAGTCAAAAACGAGGCCGACGCGGAAGATGCTGTGCAAAAAAGAGCCAACGCGTACAAGCACGAGCTCCAGACGGCCACAAATATGGCGAGGCAGCACGCGGCGGAGCGCGAGGAGCAGAAGGCTTTGTGTAGTGTCGTCGATAGTGGTGGGGGCGAGGCCTTCTCTATCACTGGTAGTGGTGATCTGGACGGGAGGTTAGCTACTTTACGGAGTGACGCTTGCGCGCTCAAAGCCGCCGTCGCGGAGCTGGAACGCACCCTAAAGGCCGAGTCCGACGCCCACGACGCGCGCTCTAAAGCATTGCAGAACGCTCTGCGGAGGGCGGACGCCCAACTTAGTAAACTAAGGACAGGCAAGACGTCGGCGGCCGTCGGTCTGGGCACGTTCGACGACGCCACACAGGACGAGTGGCACGCCGTCGTGAATGAGGGAAGGAGTCTGATCAACGCCTGGGAGCACGACGGTGGCGGCGAGCCCGTATCTGAAGAAAACGCACTGGGGCGGCGGTCTAGTACTGTGGCTCAAGCGATAGGCGTTGTATCACAGGAACTAGGAAGGGCGACGGGCGACCGCCAGGCCAAGCTCAAAGCTAGGCATGACGATTTATCAAAGGAGGCGTCGATCCTAGAGCGGCTGCAGAAGAACACCGTCACCTCGGCATCGCAACCTGCATTAACAAATACGCGGTTGGAAGCTCTCAAGATCGCCAAGGCCGTTGAAATGAGAACCCAGGGCGCCATGGAGGCCATGAAGAGCGTCCAGGTGGATGTGACTGATTCATTGGAGGCGATCAACGCACAACTCCAGGGCGAGGTTTTTGTGGACCTGAGCTACCCGCCGACGGAGGTGCCTGGCATCCGAACAGAGAAAGATCAAAAACCAGCAGGAAGACTCGTCTACAAGCGCGCTTCGGACATTTTCAGCGACCCTCGGGTCTTCAGAGACGACATTCATCCGGACGACGTGCGGCAAGGCCGTCTAGGCGACTGCTGGCTCATGTGCGCGTTATCGGCGTGCGCCGAGTTTCCTGGGTTAATAAAGAAGCTGTTTCCGGATGGTACGAAGCATGCTCATGGGTTATATAGAGTGAAGCTCTGTCTGGGCAGCACGTGGCGCACCATAGTCGTAGACGACTTCTTCCCCTGCGACGCCCACGGCGGCCCCGTCTATTCGAGAGCGAAGCATGAAGAATTGTGGGTTTTATTACTAGAAAAAGCCCACGCCAAGGCCTCCGGGAATTTCACGAGGCTGCGGGGCGGGCTCGCGGCCGAGGGGCTCATGGACCTGACGGGGCTGCCGACCTTTCGTTTCAAGTTCACGCACGTCGACCACGTCCAAGAGGTCGAGTCCGGGGCGTTGTTTGATCGCTTGGTGTACGCTGATACCAATAGATGCGTCGCCGTCGCGTCGACGCCGGGCGAGGACCGGTTCTCTGAAAATGGATTAGCACCTTCCACGACGTCGGACGGCGGCCTCGTGCCGGGCCACGCCTACGCGCTGATCGCGGCTCGTAACGTAGATGGCCACCGATTGATCTGGCTGCGGAACCCCTGGTGGCGCTCCAGTGTCCTTTGTTTTGAGTCGCGTCGATGGCGTCCCTCCCTTCGTCGTTCCCTCCCCGCCGTCGCCGCGGCGGTCCGTCACGCGTCGATCGCGCAGGGGCAAGTTCGAGTGGACGGGCGCCTGGTCCGACGCCGACCCGCGCTGGACGCCGGAATTCAAGCAGCAGGTCGCTTCGGAGCTCGGCGTCGACGCTGCCGAGATCATTAAGGATGGCGACGGCGCGTTCTGGATGTCCTACGAGGACTTCGTCAGGTACTTCGCCAAGTTTTCTGTAGCTCTGCAGCGGTCGCCGTCCCAAAAGGCCTGGGCCGAGGCGCGGTGCCGGGGGGCTGTTACGGTGGAGGAGCCGGCTCTGTGTTACTCGTTGAAATTAACGAGGCCCGCTCATGTCGTGGTTGGTGTGCATCAAAGAGACGAGAGAACGTTAGGTGCGCCATCAGAATACGCCCATGTGGGCTTTGCTATTCTGAAAGATGGCCAATACGTCACGGGCTGTTCCCCAGCTGCCGATCGCCAGCAATTCTCGCCCGACATCAAAGAATTAAGTGAATGGCCCGCCGGCGAGTACACGGTCTGCGCCTACTGTCTACAACATTCATTGCGAAAACCAAAATCAAACTACTTCACGGATTCCTGGCCGTCTTCCTATGATCCGGTCGCGTATCGCACGACGACCGATGAGATATTTTCGAGGTTCAACGTCTCCGGATCCGGTGCATTAAGTGTGGGCGAGGGCGGCGAGGCCGCCTCCTTGTTAAATGCTTGTGGTCTCACGAAGATCGCGGACATCACGCAATTGATGGCCCACGCTGTTAAGAGAGACGGTCTCTCAGCAACTGACCTGGGCAACTGGCTCGCAGCGCACCCGACATATACGGAGATCCTGAAAAAGTTAGGATACGAGCACACGTCAAAAGGCTTGATTTGCGTCGGGGCGCGGGGGATCGGCGTCTCGGTCCACGCGGACGCCCCTGTCTCCCTGAAACCCATCGCATCCACACCATCCATCGTCAAGGCCGCCGAGGAGCTGCCCATCCTAGAAACGGGCACGATGGTCCCCTACGACGACTTGGAGGTCTACGCGTCGCGGCGGCTGTCGGGCGCGTCGGTCCTCGTGAAGAACGTCGGCTCGCAAAAAACGAAGGTCACCGTCGACGTGGCCAAGTCGCGCAACTGCCAGTCCCATACCGGGGCCCTCGTCGCGTCGGCGTCCCTAAACCCGGGCGAGGCGCGGGTGCTCCACCACGTCTGCCCGGCGGGGCGGGGCGCGTGGGGGTTTGCCTACGAGCTGTCCTGGAAGGTGCTGGGGTAAGGTTTCTTTGCACATCCCCCCACGCCGTCGCTGGGACACACACAGGAAACTTAGGACGGGAGCGAGTTGCCGATGAGCGCCGCGCCCTCGGCGATGAAGCCGCACGACAGCGCCCAGAACGCGACGGTCTGGACCGTCTTGCCGAGCGCCTCGCCCTGCATTGCGCGCTCGGAATTGTCTTCTTTCACGTACTTCGGCGTCGAGATGCCGTCGGTCCTCGGCTCGATGCGCACGTAGCCGTTGTCCTTTTTGCAGTTGATCCGCTCCGGCGTGAGCACGAGGTGCCAGCCGTACTCGCTCTCGACGGGCCCCTCGACCTCGCCAAGGTTCGCTGTGAAGCAGGCTCGATCCAGCGCCTTCGAGCGAATCACGCCTTGTTGGATCATCTCCCCGAGCAGGCCGCCGCTCGCGGCCGTCTCCGCGTCGCTCGAGTACTGCGTCGCCGCCGCGGCGAAGGCGTCGACCACAAAGGTGCCGCTGGCCGTCGAGTTTTTAATTGATTTTAAGATAGCGGCGCATTCCCGCCGCCCCTGCTCGGTCCGCGGTCGCATCAAATGCCGCGGACTCGCCCGTACCGTGAGCGCGAGGAAGTCCTTGCGAATCCTCTGCACGGGGTTGAACGAAACACAGAGCGGCGCGAGCACGAGGACCGCTGATACCGCGAGGCGAGGTCTGGTCATCGTTTTTGATTGTCAACGACTTCTTGAAAAGGAGCCGTTGATGGTCAGCGCGTCGGTGGCGTGCAGGTGTGCGCTCTTTCTACGCTTAAATTGGAGTGCTCTCCACGTCGACGCGTAGCAGCAATTCAATTCCTGCGGCGCTCGACGAGCAGTGCACTGGACGAGCAATGCGTGTCGATTGGGTGTCTTACAGGCAGCTATGATACACCAGCTGGTGGCGCGCGTGCCTGCCTTGGCCTGAATAATAATGAGACATGCTAGCGGCCAGTAAGATACTAGCAAATCCAAAGATACGCCTCGATAGCGTCAAAAGGATGACCGAGATTCAGAATACATCCTAGTCGTTCGCCGAGACCAAAGATTTCAGAGTAGCGGCCTGGGAACATACCCTCGCGCCTCCCGGAAGGCACCGCCCGCGACATTCGCGGATGAGTCTTGCGGCTCCCCAAAATACACCAGCGATTGACGCCGCCATCTACCGTCCGGATAGTACATCATATCAACTCCAGCCCAGTTTTCATACACAATCGACGGAACCGGAGCCGACGGCGCGCGCTCGGAGGGCGGGAAAAGAATTCTACTAGACAACTCCCGAGTTTATGTTCGTTTCCTTCCGTTTGTTAGTGGTAGAGTCCATCTAGGCCGATTGAACAAGTACTCATCTATTTTAGATATTCCGTTAGAGCCGCGCGATTCGTCATCTTCGCGACCACGCGTTTGTTCAAAAACGGGCAATTCAGCAGAACCTGCGAGTATCAGCGACGCCACCATCCAGATGGACCATAACGCCGTTGTTCTATTCACGATCGACCGACTTGCCCGTTCTCCGCGGACGACGGTACGTAGACGGAGCACCAGAAAGGCCCCAGACCGGTGGTTTATAAAATAAATTTGCTTTTCAGGCGCTTCGGTTACCAGACGGGCCAGATAACCGGCCTGAACGTCTACTACATTGCTCGAGACCCCACGATGCTCCGCGCGGCTCAGCCAACTCGCGAGCCCACAATCTGACTAATTGGGGCGAGTTACTTGAACCTGCGACCATCAGCCCGTGTACCTTCACCATGGACCATAACGCGATCATTTGTTTCATGACCGACCGACTTGAGCGCTGTCCAGATCAAGATGTTCACGTCCCGAGCGTGGGCTGCCCAAAGTACCCTTCTCGTGGTGTAGATGTCATATACTTGTAATTGACTATCGCTGGGGTAGTATGGGATCCGACGAGGCCGCTATTACGATTCCTGGGGGCCCTCGGGTAATTGACGTTTTTGACGGGAACGGGGCGCCATCGGGTCCAAATTATTTACTTTTTTCGGATGTAGATCGGCTCGCGGACGCCCTCTGGGATAGGTCTGGGGTCGGGTAGTCGCCTACGCCGCATGCGCCCGTACTTGGAGCTCCCCAGAGGGCTCTGAATCGAAATCTTTGGCAAATCATGGTCCAGAGCAGTAGAGCGCAAAGGACCTGTACTGACATGTATACACCGATGGAAGCCGCCGCGCGTGCGGTGTAGGCGCTTGCGCACGTCTAGTAGCGACCCTAGGCACCCCCAGGGAGACCTCAGGACCACGAATTGACAGGTTTCCATCGACGCGCCCGCCATGGTGGCGTCGTCAATATCGCGAATTAAAAAAATTAATTTTTTCGGCCCCCAGTAAGTGTCCCACTGATCTCTTTGGACCATTAGCGAACGGAAGGATACTCAGACGGCTGCTTGGCGGTTTCGATCCCTAGTGTCTTTACAGGCCGCTAGCTGGCGCAAAAGCGGCATCGACGAGTTTGGCACGCGACGAGTGAGTACGCGGCGTAGCCAGCTGATTCATTTTCCGCTTTGCACTGCCGCATCGCTGCTTTCGTGCATCGCTGCTTCCGTGCATCGCTGCATACAAGATGATGAGGGCGCTAGCAGCCCTGCTGCTGATAGCGGCAGCAGCACAAGCGGACGACGTCGACAACGAGAACGCCACCGCCGCGTCCTCGCTAAATGACGTCGTCGAGGGCCTCAAGGACCAGATCTTCGCCGACCACGTCAAGGGCGCGCCGCAGACGTTCCGCGAGGAGTGCGCCGCGTTTATAGCCGCGGTGGACTGGCGCGAGAACTGGATTCGGTGTTTGCTGCTCTGGCATCTGAGTTTGTGGGTATTGTTCGTTTTTACGCGGAAGAACTTCCCCGTGCAATGTGGATTGTTTTTCGGCATCGCGGCGTGCGTGGCACTCGCCGAGACGCTGAACGGGTTGTGCGCCAAGCGCTGGGAGAAGTTCGCCACCCAGAACTACTTTGATGAAAGAGGCGTCTTCGCGGGCATCATGCTCTGCGCGCCTCTACTCGCTCTGGCCTTCGCAATGCTCCTGAATTTTCTGGTGATGGCGTCGTCGATGCTCGTGACCGTGAAGCGGGCGGAGTTCCGCGGCAAGGCCCGGGAGCTCGGGGCACAAGCGGAGGCGGAGGCGCAGGCGGTGCCCGTTCCAGCTGTATCGGAACGCGACGAACGCGCCTACCGGAGGACGAATCGGAAGAAGGGTAAGTAGTAACGTCGTAGAGGACTCCTGGGGGGGCACTATAGATGTCTTTTGCCTAGTTTCGCTTTGCTCTTCCTATCGAGATGAGCAAGAGATGAGCAAGAGCGGGCAGTTTTAAGCCCGTTCCGCGAAACAGTTACACAGTTTCGATTCTCGTTCCAGAGACTTCTTCACGTTTCACAGCCAACATGACGCGTGCCAAAACGGCGCTCCTTGCGTTGTTCGCGCTGAAACTTCAAGCATGCACTGCTTTTCAGCACAGCAAGGTGCAAAGCAATCGAGCCGTGAACGCGGCGCCGCCAGTGCGGCTCGACTGGTCAAGCGCGAAATCCGCCACACCGGAAATCGGGCGCTTCACCACCTCAAGGACCTCCCGTACACGAGCACGTTCGAGATGTCCCCAGACGCGCAGTTGGTCGGCTACCTCAGCCAGCACACCACGCACGCCATCCTGCAGGCCAAGCCCGAAATCGACGCCCTCATGGCCAAGTGAGGGGCGCCCCCGTCGAACCCCATAGCGTGCGCCCGCTTAACTATCCCTCTCTGCACTATTCCTTGACCGCACGCCCGGCTATTGGCCTTCTTCTCCTTCCCCAGGCCTAGTAGTGACCGCTTACTACTCTCTCCCCATCCAACATTTGCCCGTCGCGCGTTCCCCGCCGCGAAGACCGTCGACCGGGGGATAAGGCACGGCGGCGCGCGGAGGCGTCGGAGTGGTCTGGAGTCGCAAATAGGGAGTATTGAAGAAGCTCGCGCGAAAATCCTTTTTCCCAGCCCCGTGCGAGCGCAGCGAGCCGGAGGCTGGATGTTGCTAAAGGGTAACGTACTAGGATGCCATAGGCCGCCAGTGGAGCGCGGTGCGTGCCCGAAATATGCGCTCCACCTGGACAAAGTTAGAGGGCGTGGCTGCGCGCACGCAAAGATTACAACCTTGGCACTATGCGCTATTGATCTGACGCGCTGTGAAGCGGTACGCGGAGAGTTCTGAGCGCTCAAAGACGGTATATTCCCCGTAAAAATCGGTTTCGGCGCGTCGCGGCAAAGCAACGCGTCAGGTGGCGCGCGGGAGCACTGCGGTGGACTACGCACAGCCTTGAGTCGTGGACTGGTCGTGCCGGCGGTTTCGGACCGCGCGCAGCCCTGCGGCGGCCGAAAAAATCTCGAATGAGGCCAACGAGGTTTCTTCACCACTGCTCGCATACGCAGCATCTGGCGCAAGCGTGCTGTACCGCGTGATGACTGAAGGTTGTTCTGACGAAGCCGTGTTCGTCGAGATCGGATGACGAACAAGTCCAGGTCCTGTGTGTGACATTGGCTTCGACGCTGCGGCCTATGGCATCCTAGTACGTTACCCTTTAGCAACATCCAGCCGAAGGCTCGCTGCGCTCGCACGGGGCTGGGCCAAAGACTTTCCGCCCTTTACCGATTCGCACACCATAGACGGGAGTGGGGGCGCACGCTGCACTAAGTTGGGTCTACGACGCAGTTGAAATCTAGGACCGATACCCAGACGCTCCTCCTCACGGTGCGCCCTCGACGTGTGCTCTACGCGCCGGTCTAGCGCGGCGACGTCCCACACACGCGCACTCCTCCATTCGCACAAGCCGCCTATACACGATCCTAGACCTCCTTTCGCTCGCGAACAGCCTCGTTAGGCGCCGCCCCAACCCGCACACGGGCACATTATTGTCTTGTCTTTGTGCTCTGCCAGACAGCCTCCACAAAGTAACAAAGCTCGACACGACCGACGTTCCGGCCCGCGTCGGCGTTCACGCGTCGCACAAATACACGCACGAACGACAGAACGAGAGGCCATACGCGAGACTGTCGCCGAGACTACGGCTCACACTTTGCTTGCAGCAAGCAAATTGCCAACAAACCAGAGAGAGAGAGTACTTAAGCGGTCACGAACCAGAGAGCGCCGCGCGTGAGACGGTACCTTGCGCCAGGCAACAACTCCAGTGATGTCGTCCAGCGAGGCCGCGCGCGAGGCCTCGGGCCTCGCGGGCAAGCCGCCCAAGAAGCGCCGCGTGGATAGCACTAGGCCACTTTGGCTAGCACTTTTGCTAGGAGACGACGAAACAATAGAAGCCATGGCGCCTGATTATTACCCGGAATCACCTTGCGACCGGATCTGTTGCAAGAAGACGAAGCGGGAGGCGTCGCGCCAGTTCGGCGCTAAGTTCCGTGCATCGTGCAAGAAGGAGAAAGCACGTTTACAAAGGCGTGTGGATAGTATGAGAGAAGACGCCCTGAATTGGAAAATAAAGAGAATGATTGCGGAAGACAGATGCGCGGAGCTCGAGAAGAAAATCGCAGCTAAACGTCTCGCACTGCGGCAGCGCTAGATGCGTAATTCTACGATGAAGGTCCACAGCGGCTAGATAGTATATACGATGATTTATGTGGGGGAGCGGGGAAGGGGTGAGAGGGACTGCACAGGACCTAGGCCGCGATGGCCTTGGCCTCGTCCTCCGCCTCGGCATCAAGGGCGAAGTCCGCGGCCTCGGTGAACTCGGGCAGCTGGTCGAAGTTGAGGTAGCGGTACGTGTCCGCGGCCGTCGGGTCGATCGTCTTCATCGCGTCCAGGTACTCCTGGGGCGTGGGCAGCTCGCCCTTCAGGGCCGCGACCGCGGCCAATTCGGCCGACGCCAGGTAGACGTTCGCGCCCTTGCCCAGGCGGTTCGGGAAGTTTCTAGTTGATGTAGACACGACCGTCGCGGCATCGGCCACGCGCGCCTGGTTGCCCATGCACAGCGAGCATCCGGGCATCTCCATGCGCGCGCCGGCCTTGCCAAATATAGAATAATATCCTTCTTCGGTGAGCTGCGCGGCGTCCATCCTAGTAGGGGGCGAGATCCACAGTCGCGTCGGCGTGACACCGCCATCGGCGTCAAGCAACTTCCCGGCCGCCCGGAAGTGGCCGATGTTCGTCATGCACGACCCGAGGAAGACCTCGTCGATCTTCGTCCCGGCGACGTCCGACAACGTCCGCGCGTCGTCCGGATCATTCGGCGCGCAGAGGATCGGCTCCTTGATTTCATTGAGATCAATTTCGATGACTTCGGCGTACTCCGCGTTGGCATCGGCCTCCAGCAGCTCCGGGTTCTCGAGGAACTGCTCCATGCGCGCGACGCGGCGTTGTAAGGTCCGCGCGTCCCCATACCCCTCGGCGACCATCCACTTGAGCATGACGATGTTGCTCCGCAGGTATTCACACACCGGCTCAGGGTCGAGCTTGATGGAGCAGCCGGCCGCGGACCTTTCGGCAGACGCGTCCGACAGCTCGAAGGCCTGCTCGCACTTGAGGTGGCCCAACCCCTCGATCTCGAGAACCCTTCCAGAAAAGACGTTCTTCTTGCCCTGCTTTTCCACAGTTAACAACCCGCGCTGGATCGCCGCGTGGGGAATCGCATGCACCAGATCGCGCAACGTGATGCCCGGCTGCATGTCGCCCGTGAAGCGCACCAACACGGACTCGGGCATATCCAAAGGCATCACACCAGTAGCCGCGGCAAAAGCTACTAAACCAGATCCGGCCGGGAAGGAGATGCCGACCGGGAAGCGCGTGTGCGAGTCCCCTCCTGTACCTACGGTATCAGGTAACAGCATGCGGTTGAGCCAGGAGTGGATGATGCCGTCGCCCGGTCGGAGGGAAACGCCACCCCTCGTCCGGATGAAGTCCGGTAACGTCGCATGCGTGACCACGTCCACGGGCTTGGGGTAGGCCGCCGTGTGGCAGAAGGACTGCATCACCAAGTCTGCCGAGAAGCCGAGGCACGCGAGGTCCTTGAGTTCGTCGCGCGTCATCGGGCCCGTCGTGTCTTGCGAGCCGACGGTGGTCATGAGCGGCTCGCAATAGACCCCAGGCGCAACACCATCCACACCACAAGCTCGTCCGACCATCTTCTGCGCTAAGGTATAACCAGGAGGCGCTTCCGGAGAACCAGGAACTTGAAACACCGTAGACGGCTCCATACCGAGAGAAGCCCGAGCCTTCGCCGTCAGCCCTCGCCCGATGATCAGGGGAATCCGACCACCCGCCCTGACTTCGTCCTGGATGACGTTCGTCTTCATGGAGAACTCCGCGAGCACTTCGTCCGTGCCGTGGCGCTTCGCCACACCTTCAAACGGGTAGACGTCAATCACGTCGCCCATGTTCATCTGCGTCACGTCCATCTCGAGCGGCAACGCGCCCGCGTCCTCCATCGTGTTGAAGAAGATGGGCGCGATCTTGCCGCCGATGCAGACGGAGCCGGCGCGCTTGTTCGGGACGCAGGGGACCTGCGTGTGTTGTGGCGTTGATATGGCGCCTCTCTCGCGCCGCGACGGCGTCGACGCCCGGCACGCCGTTGTCTCACGCGTCGATGGCGTCGAGCTGGCACGTCGTCGCCACGATTCTCCTCTCTCGGCCTCTCGTCTCGCGCAGAAGATGAAAGGGACGCGGGCCCCGCACGTCGTCGCCCATGTACCACAGCACGCTATTGGTGGCCGACTTGCGCGAACTACCGGTACCGACGACGTCGCCGACGTACGCTAACGGAAAACCCTGCTCCTTGAGTCCCGCAATTTGCCCCGCGACGTCGTCGTGGTCGATGCCGTCCCTGGGGTTCTTGAGCATGGCCAAGGCATGCAAGGGGATGTCCGGCCGCGACCAGGCGTCCGGCGCGGGTGACAAGTCGTCGGTGTTCGTTTCTCCCGTGACCTTGAAGACCGTGACCGTGATCTTCTCTTGTAAGGGTTCTCTTCCGGTAAACCACTCCGCGTTCGCCCAGGACTCCATGACCTCCCTTGCCTTCGCGTTGCCGGCTTGGGCGAGCTGCTCGACGTCGTGGAACGCGTCGAAGACTAAAGTTGTTGTTTTGAGGGCGTCCGCGGCGATCTGGGCTAATTCTCCATCTAATTCTAGCCCTTCGACTAACGCGGCCACGTTGTAGCCGCCCTGCATGGTGCCTAATAACCTCATAGCTTCTTTGGCATCGACTAACGGCGACTTGACGTCGCCTTTGACCAGAGCGGCTAAAAACGAAGCTTTGACGTACGCGGCCTCGTCGACGCCCGGCGGGACGCGCTCCTTGAGTAGTTCTAAAAGGAACTCGGGCGGGTCCTCGGGCTGTTTCAGCTGCTCGACGAGCGCCGCGGTCTGCGCGGCATCTAACGGCTTGGGCACGATGCCGACCTGCTCGCGCTCCTCGACGTGGGCCTGCGTTTACCAAAAAGTGAGCCATTGATGCCGTTTCCGGGCTTGGCGGCGGCGCGCGGGCGGCGGCGGTCGAGCGCGAGCGCGCGCGCGCCGTCGGGTAACGTCTGAGCCCCGCAAAACCCCGGTCTTCTGCCCTTCTATGCACTGGTGTATACCAAGTACGCGTCTCGAAACGCGGAAAGGGCGCGCGCGCGCGGTGCCAGAGCTAGTCTGGCGCCGCGCGCAGCGCGCGTAGCACTACCTCGTAACATCTTCAGCCGATTCTCATGCGCAAAAGCTGGGTCTGGGATCTCGCGTTTTTTGGAGGCCACGGGTTTTCCGTTCTCGAAGGGGTCGGCGTGCGTAGAGAGGCCTCCGTCCCGAACCAGGAGCGACGAAATACCTTTCAAGACCGTGGCCTATCAAAAGGCCCGCAAAACGGGTTCGGCGCAGCCCAATTGATTGGTTGGCAGCTTTTGAGCCGCGCTGTAGGGGATCTTGGCCTGTTTGTTCCTTGAGGCAGCACCACCGACCCACGCGCTGCGATTCCGCGCTGCGGCGAAGCGCAACCGATTCATATCCTCTTTGAAACCGCACCTGGCCGAACGCTCTGAAAGCGCTCGTAACGTCCGCATCCGTGCATCATTACGAGACAGGAGGCTCCGAAAAGCTGAAATCGATGTCGGAGCTGAGCTTCCGCCCGGCGCGCGTGCCGACGAACGACAGCAAGAACTCCGTGACGAGCAGCACGAACTCCGTGACGTCGACGAGCAAACGGCCGTCCGCGGCGGCGCCATCATCCGGCGACGACGGCATGATCACCGTGCGCGCGCACAACAAGAAGACGGGCGAGATCACGGTCATGCGCGTCAAGCGCGGCACGCCGATGCGCGAGGTCATGGCCTCGTACGCGTCGAACTCTGTGTGGGAATCATCGCGTCGTCCTCCACGCCATCGCCGCGACGCCTGCTCGCTGGCGTGGTGATGCGGCACCCGACGCTCTGGTTGATTTCCACACAGGTCGAACAAGGGCGTCAAGGCCGAGCGCCTCTCGTGGAAGCGGCGGTCTTCCGCCGCGTCCAACAGCTCGCCGACGTCGCGCGACGGGTCGGTGGTGGTGGGCGAGAAGCGGCTCGACGAGGACGGCGGCGACGAGTGCGGCCTGCCGGCGTGCGGCTGCACGGGCTTCTCCTAGGCTCTCTTCTCCCTCTCTGGGGTCATGTGTAATATGATAAGATAAAACACCACAAACTTACATACGCGAGACGTTTGCTCGACGGCGTGGAGGGGTAGTATAATCCCTCAAGTACATGATTGCTCAACGCCATCAACGCGACGTTGACTCAAGTACACGAGTCCCGACTGACCGGCGCCCCCCCGCGGAACGGCTCCGCGTCGCGCGGGAACGTGCCCCGCGCGCGCCTCCTCCACACCAGGTAGTCCTCGATAATGGCAGCGTGGTCGAAGGCGTAGTCGAGGCCGCGCAGCTTCGCCACGGGCACCTTCACAACGGCGCGCGCATCACTCCCAGGATGCGGCTTTCCAACTGTCCGCGCGACGTACACGGCGGATACGGTGTGCCGCCGCGGGTCGCGCCGCGGGTCCCCGAACACACCAAGCAAGAGGGGAGGCGCCGCGAGCTCCAGCGCCGTCTCCTCGCGCAGCTCGCGCGCCACGGCGTCGCGCGGGTCCTCTCCCACGTCGACAAAACCGCCCATCGTCGCGTACTTGCCATTATCGCCGCGCCTCACGAGCACGACGGCGTCGTCGCCCGACTCTATCACTAGATCGATGGCGAGAGACGGCGTGCACATGGCGTAGCCGTCGTTCCCTACCCAGCAGCTGCCGCGCGGCTCGCCGCTCGGCGCGCCGCCGTGCCAGACGTAGGGGCAGGGCTGCGTGCGCTGGGCGAAGAGGGCTATTAGTAGCACGCTGGCGACGATCCATCCTGCTACTTCTCGTACTGACGGCGCGGGGCGGCCGCGGTTGGCCATCGATCACTTCTTACCTCGCGTCGCGGCGACGGCGTCGGGGCTGTCTAGCAGGTGTAGGCTGCACTGTGGCCACTGGGTGGCGCGCGGCAGGCTTTTCGTGACAAGAGCTCGATGCTGCGTATTCAGGGGTATCACTTAGCTGCTGAGCACACTCAACACGTGCTTATGCAGCTGTACGGGTCCAATGAGTCCTCGAGGCAAAATCTAGTGTGTTACTACGCTAAGCCACGTTGGGGCGTGCTCGTACGTGCAACTGCTAGACTGGGCTGGAATAGACATCAAATATCGCTGGGGCTCGCTCAGCGCCTGCCTAAAGTTGCCGCGATACGTGCAGCGACACTACAGCTGCCGTCGTGTCGCCCAAAAGCAGAGATGCCACGATATGTGCTCGCATTGGTGTTCGCCGTCGGACAGAGCCTCGTCGCAAGCGTCGCGACGCCCTCACGACGACCAAGAACAATCATACGCGCCGAGCCGCCGAACGTGCCCCAGGACCTGCCCTTCGACATCCAGCGCCGCGTCGACGAGGCGAAGCGCCGCCAGACCGAGCGCCAGACCGAGGACACCCAGCGCAAGCGCCTGCGCAAGAAGGAGCTCCTCAAAGCGTTACAATTGGCCAAGCTGCGGCGCCAGTTCTCCGCCTTCGGCTTCGATGATGTGGATCGCGAGCTGAAGCGCGTCGCGGCGGCGCGGCGCGACCAGGACTCCTTCTCCAATATTACATTGGGCGACAGGGCCTCGTGGCTCGGGCCCCTCGCCGAAGGATTATTACCGCCGAAGCCGGCGAACGAGCGCCCCGTCGTCAAGCTCAACCGGCCGCCCGTCGCCAAAGGGTTGAAGTTTCCGACGGAAGACGCGCACCCGCCGCCGGCTCCCGCGCCGCCCGTGGGGGCCAGCGGTCTGCGGCCCGTGCCGCCGAAGCCGGGGTTGCCAAAACTGCCGAGCGAGCCGCTCCCGTCCCTGAAATTGGAGAAGGTCCGCGTCAAGACCAAGAGCGAGGTCTACGAGCCGCTCACGGAGCGCGACACGACGGGTGGGATGGCGCGGGGCCTCGCGCGCGACGACACCGTGTCCTCGCTCTATTGCTCGACCCCGGCCTGCGCCGACGACGTGGAACCGGCGAAAATAAAACGGCGCTTTCGCCGCGTCGACGCCGCGCTGGGCCGCTACGCGAAAGCGCCGCGGCGCTGGTGGTTCCGGCGGCCGCGTGCGGCGGGCGTCGGGCGGCGGAAGGGGTGACCGCGGATCCTGTGTTTGATAAGATGCTTGTGTGATATTTTTCTTGTGTATTTTTTTGATTCGCGACGGCGTCTGGCGCGTCGATTTTGCTAGCGTAGTTACATGCTAGAGTTTTGCGGCAGCACACATTGACGACCGCGTACAGCTGCACTCGTTCGTGTCCAGCGCATCGTGGGTTCGAGCTGTCGCCTCTGCAGCCGCGAGAACGAGGCCGCAGTGCAAGCCTGCTCTTACGCCTGCCGCCAAGATGGCTGCTCGACGCGCCGCCCTGGTCTGCGGCCTGGCAGCAGCCCTCGTGCCGCCGACGACAAAACCACAGCGTGTACGCTGCCAGGCCGCGCCCGCCGAGCGCAGCATCGACGCGTCGCACCCCATGTTCCGCAAACTGCTCACGGTGCGCGGGCCGGCGATGAATAGGCGAGGCGAGAGCCGCCACGCGAACCTGAAATGCTTCGCCGAGCCCGGCGACCCCTACGGCAAGCCCTTACCATATGTCCTGGCGCACGGCGACTTGATCATTTGCTTGGACTACGAGGATTTCGCGGGCCAGACCTGGGTGCTGCACGAGGTCGACGAGCGGGCGCGGGGCCTGCGGAAGGACGGCGCGCAGCCGTCGTCGGAGAAATACCTGGCGTGGTCGCACATGGATTTCTGCGGCCACCGCTGGCTCGTCGACGAGACCATGGAGCGGCGCGACGACAATAGTGACGACGAGGCCGAGTTCGGGGCCATGCTGCCGGAGGCGAAGCGCATGCTGCGCGAGATGGCCAAACTAAAGAGCGCGGGCGCGGCGAACGCGGCCGACGCGCTCGCGGCGCTCGAGCGCATCGAGAGGATAGACTTCCCCCCGTAAAACATTATCACAATTTGTACCCGAGGCGCATCTCTGACACGCGCCGCTGCGTCCGCCGCGACGCATGGAGGTCCGGCCCGCGCTCGACGCGGCGCCGCTCCTCGGCGGCCGTGTAGCCGCCGTCGTAGTCGGGCGGCACCTTGCAGACGCGGCAGAGCGGCTCGCGGAAGTCGCTCGCCGCGTTCCGGCGGCCGCAGACCTTGCAGACCCAGCCGTTGGCCTCGCGGTCGGCGTCTAATTCATCAATCGACTTGCGCTCGCGGCGCAGGCGCATGCCGGGGTCGCATTCGGTGGAAAGGGGCGGCCGCACGGAGGGTATGGAAGGCAGCTTCTCCCGCGACGGCGGCTTGTAGGAGGGCCAGTCGGCGACGCCCGCGAGCTTCCGCTTCCGCCTTTCTATCAATAAGACGACGTCGTCGTGCCCAGCCTCGCGCGCGGCCGCGACGGGCGTGATGCCGTGCTTGTTCGCCTTCTCGAAGTCGCACGGCGACTCCTCGAGCAAGACCTTAATCATCGCGGCGTCGCCCTTCCGCGCCGCCGCCCAGAACGGCGACGCGTCCAACGCCCGCGGACACACGAGGTCATAGTCGAAGTCGTCTCTGTTTAGTCCTAAGAGAGTCTGGACCGCATCGATGTGGCCCTTGACCACGGCAATATAAAACGCCGAGCACCCGTGCTCGTTCCGCCAGTTGATATCTAACCTCCTGTCTAGCGCCAGCGACATTAATATATCGCACTCGTTCTCGTGCGCCGCCCACCAGATGACCTCCTCCGGCGTGCCGAAGGACGATAACGAAAAGTTCCCCCGGAGCATCGCCGACGGCTCGCGGACGTACGTGCCGGGGTACGACTGGACGCGGTTGATCGCGGGGTCGCCGTCGGCGTCGACCCAATGTTGTTGCTGCCATATGTCCGCGGCCTTCTCCCGGGCGTTGAGGGTGCCATCGGCCCTAGGCATCCTGTCCTTTATGGTTTCGCGTCGGTGGCGTTTGGGGCAGCCTCGGTAGCTTGCTGTGGCACCAACCGTTCGATCGACGGCCCGGGGGGCGCGCTGCGTGCGCCAAGGCCAGCCCAACGCCGCCGGCGCAAAAATAATAATATAGCTAGCGGTACGTAACACACTAGGAGGCTCCGGCAAAACTCCTTGTGCCTAGGATTGCTACTGCTTAGAGTGTTTTAGGAGTGAAGTCTACACGATGGCAGCCGCCTGGCAAACGATCACCGCTTGGGCATGCCTATTGCTCGCAGGGGTAGCGGTGCACCTAGCTCTGGGGGAGGTAGTATTGACCGTGCTGTTGATCGTGTTCACAACTGTCGCGTTTACGGGCCGGAAGGGTCCGCAACAAATCAATGACAGCCATGCCGAGGACGTAGACATCGAGGTCCAACACCCGGACGAGGACGAACCAACGACGGCCAACCCGCTCAATGCGTCTGAGCAAACGCCGAAGCTGCGCCCGCTCCGGTCGCCGAGCGCCGAGCTCCGCCGCAGCGCGCCAGCCGAGGCCGCGCCCGTGGCCGCGGCGCGCCTCCCCTTCCTCGACAACGTGAAAGTTTTCCTGACGGCCCTGGTGGTCCTCCACCACTGCGCGTGCGCCTTCGGGGCCTGCGGTGAGGGCACCTGGTACCTTATCGTTAAGGGCGGCGGCGGCCCGCGCGCCTTCCGCTTTTGCGTGAAGACGTTTGTGACCCTGAATCAGGCTTATTTCATGACGTTGTTCTTCTTCGTCAGCGCCTACTTCGTGCCCACGAGCTACGCGAAAGGGGGTTGGCCGACGTTCCAAGCGAACAAAAGGCGGCGCCTATTGGTCCCGGCCCTCGCCGTCCTCCTCGTCGCGTCGCCGTTGACCACGTTGGTCGCCGGGAACCTGACTTACGCCCCGAGCCCAGGGGTCGGTTGGTACCTGTGGTGGCTCCTCCTGTTCAATGTGGTGTACGCATCGTTCCAATCAGTAAATCCGCCCGTCGACGAGGCGCTCGCCGAAGCGCTCACGGGCGCCGACGCGGCGCCGACGGCGGCGCGCGGGCCCCGTTTGCTTCTGTCCACGGTCTTCCGTATTGGGGCCGGGCTGGGAATTTGTGGGCTTGCGCTGCTGCCGTTTCTGGTGCTCACGAAGGGCTCCTTCGCGTCGATGCCGGTCTCGATAGGGTCCGTGACTTGTGATTTCCTCATGTTCTACCTCGGCCTCCAGGCGAAGAAACAAGGATGGCTCGAACGGCCGCTGGCCGAGCAGCTCGACGTCCATCCGTTAGTACTGTTAACCTTCGTGGTCGTCGAGGCCGCCGGGATAGCCGTCGCGTCGCTGGACGTCGACAAGTTCGGGCTGGTCGTCGTCATGCTAGCCGGCATGTTCTGCCTCGACATGAGTCTGCTGGTGTTGCTCACTTTTCAACGATGGGGAAACGTCGAAACGCGGGTGACGCGGTTCCTGGCGCGGGGGGCATTCGGCGTCTATCTGTTGCACCCCCTCGTCGTCACGGCCGCGACGCGGGTCTACCTCAAACTCGCCGGCGACGGCGTCAATTATCCGGTGGGGTTTGCCTTCGTCGCGGTCGTGAGCCTGTTGGTCGTCTGGCCGCTCGCGTACTCGCTGGCCCAGCTCCCGGGACTCAAGACGATACTATGATGTTCCCTAAGTTGTTGTTCGCTGTTTTCTGCGGTGTATATATATATCCGGCGGCTAGTGTCTTACAGGCCGCTAGCTCCACGCTGCCCCGCGCCTGCGAAGGCGACATCAAGCAGCAAATGGCCGCTAGGGGGTTGGCGTTCGTAGTGGCAGTCATAAATTGACTTCTCCCAGCGCGCCGTGCCTGCGGACGACAGCCGCGGCGCGTGTAACCCGCCGTACCTTCAAACTGAGCCTTGGCTCTCCCGGCTCTAGATCCGGCACCAGCGCCATATACCGCTCGACGAGACCGGTGCCGCTAGCGTGAGCCTAATGGCAACCTCTCAGCACCAGGATGCCCTGGAGAAGGCGAAGGAACGCCTCAAGAGCAATTACTCGAAGGCGCGGTCGGCGCGGCACGGCGCGCAGCTCTGCCAGCCGACCGCGCTCGGCTCGTTCCGGCGGCCCGGCGCGCGGCCCGCACCGCCACCGCGCCCGCGGGCAGCACCGCCCCGCGCCCCGCCGATCGACCTCACCGGAGAGGCGCCGACGCTCTCGCCCGCTCTGAAGGCGCAGGGTTGGGCGGTGAAGCAGTCTCGTTCGACGGGAGGGTATTACTACGTCCACACGGCGAACGGGCGTGAGTGGTCGCAGTGGGAGCCGCCGGTCGCGCCGGAGCGGCGCTCGTCGCCTGAGCGGGCCGCGGCGGCACTCTTCAGCGATGAAGACGACGACGGCAGCGCCAGCGACAGCGAAGACGAAATGCCAGTGAGCGCGCTGCTCGCGCGGCAGGCGACGGCCAACGACGAGGCGATCGCTCAGGCGCTGGCCGGTTCGCCGCCAAAGCGGAGCCGTAGGATTACGGGCGGCGTCGGCGGCCGGCGCCACGGTAAGAAGCGGCGAGAGCCCGTCGTTCAAGTTCCCGCTGCGGCGGACGACGGCGACGACTCTTCGAGCGTCTGGAGCCAGTCGTCGCTGTCCGACTCGAACCCGCCGTCGCCGACCTACGAGAGCGTCATGGAGTCGGGCGGCATCGACTACGAGAGCGGGTTCCTCGACGACGAGAACCCAGCTCCTGCGGGCCGCGGGCGCGGAGCTATCAAGCCAGCATGGATGACCCGCGGCGGCGCACTCGTCGACGACGACTTCCGACCGCTGGGTTCGCGAGCGGTGCTGGCCGCGGCGCCGGCGCCGCGGCCTCCTCCGCAGCCGCGCGCCGCTGTTTCGACGCCGCGGCCGTGGAGGAATCCCTACGCCGCCGAGGCGGCCGCGACGAACGCGGCGCCGGCGCCGCGCGGCTGGCGCAACCCGTACGCGGCCGAGGCGGCGGCGACCCACGTCATCACGCCCGAGGGCGCGCCGTTCGGACAGGCGCCGCGCTGGGCGCCGCCCACGCCCTGGGGCCCGCCGGTACTGCCGGTCCAGACGCAGTCGGAGCCCTGGACCTCGCCTCAGCAATGGTCGCAGCCCCCGCGGGGACCGGCGTTCCCGCCGTATGGTCCAGGCGGTTATACGCCGGCCCCGCCCGGTCCGAGCGGTTACACGTCGGCTCCACCCGTCGGTGGCTACACGCCGGCCCCGCCCGTCGATCACGATCTCTAGTGACGATGCCGACTTTGACGGCGCGGAGTTCTCGGGCGACGAGGGCGAGACGCCGTCGGTGAGAGCCGGGCGGGCCGCCGAACGGCGGCGGGCCGGCACCATCGAGCCAAGAATTCCGCCGCGAGCGCCGTGGCCCCCCGCGTCGGGCGACGGCAAGACGTCGCACGGCCGCCAAAGGGCGCGCAGAGTCACGGCTGCCGAGGTCGACGCGCCAGCCCTCGCGAATGCCCTCAGAGGCTGGCTCGCCGCGAAGGGCGGCGGCATCTACGCCTGGCAGCTCCCCGATTTCTACAAGAGTCCCGCCTGTACTGGTCTGGAGGTGCCGACGCGCAAGTCAGTCAAGCTGCTCCGCACCGTCGAAAACTCGGGCCTGCGCTTCACGTACATGCCCCACCATAACACAGGATCTGAGGGCACCTGGTGGATCGCGCTCGATCACGGGGCGCCCGCGTTTGCGCCGCCCGCCGAGCCGAAGCGAAGTCCGCGTGGCGCGGCGCGCGGCTCGAGGTCGCCTGAACGCGACGAGCCGGCGCCGCCGTCGCGCAGCGCGCCCGCGTTCGCGCCGCCGGGTTCTGAGCCGGCCGCGCCCGCGTTCGCGCCGCCGGGTTCTGAGCCGGCGCCGGCGCCCACCGATATCCACGGCCTGCCCGACGCCATCACGCGCCTCGACGAAGACGTACTCGCGTATCTATTTCAAAACGACGCGCTCTACGACTCGCTCTTTGTCGAGGGCCGACTGGACGAGGACCGGCTGCGGGACGCCGTTGCGACCTTCGAGGCGTCGGTGCGCGGCGCGGCGACGTATCAGAAGCCCGAGGCGACAGAAGAGGCACCGCCTCTGACCGCGGACGGGGCGGTCGACGCCCTCTACGATATCATCGTGTCGCAAGGCGTCGACTGCATCGACGCCTCACGCCTGACGCTGGATTTTTCTGCGTTCGGTGGTGTCAAGGCGCTTGTTAGGGCGCACGGTGGCGAGAAACTACGCTGGGTAGACGTTGGGCAGCGCGGCCGCGTCGTCGTCGTGGGGGCGGGCCGCAGAAGTTGCGAGGCCGTGGCGCCGCCGCCCACGCCATCGTTCCTCAATCGCCCCGCGGCGGTGGTGGCGCCCGATCTGGCGCCGTCGTCGACCGGCTTCTCGGCCGAGGCCGCCTCTACCCCGAAGGCGATCCCGGCGCCGCCTGACGAAAAGCCGCGGCACTGCCGCATCTGCGGCGAAGCGTTCAGCGTGGGTTGGAGCGCTACTGAGAGCCTGTGGGTCCTGGAGGGATGTGTCGCTAGCTCCGTAGACGACGGCACCACGGCCCTGGTCCACGCCGACTGCCGAGCGTCGGCCGCCGCCCTGGGCGACGTCATCGAGGCGGCCGCGCTCATACCCGATCCTAGCGCCCCGAGGACTGTCTCACCGAGGGCCGTGTCGCCGCCGCCGCCGAGCGCCGTACGTACCATCAACGACGCCACGGTCGCGGCACGCACGAAGCAAATTCTAGCGGAGGACGAGTCCATCAAGGCGCAGTACGGCGCCGGCTCGCTCACCGTGCGCACGCTACGAGCCGCGGTCGCCAAGGCGCTCGGGGTCGAAGAGGCCGCGGTCAAAAAAGTTGTGAAGCAGACGCTCATGGCTCAGATCGCGGCTGATAACAAGACTGCCGACGACGACGTCGCGGTGGCGTCCGCACCGGCACCGGCAGCCGCCGATGCTGACGACGACTGGGGCTCCGCTACTTTCGGGATGTCTGCGGCCGCGGCTCCGGCGCCCGCGGTGCCCGCGCAAGCGAGGAAGTCGCGCTTCGACGTGCCGCCGAAGACCGCGCCGGCACCGGCAGCCATCGCCGACGTCGCCGCTCCAGAACCCGACTTCGGAGCGCGGCTGGCCGCCCGCGCCGAGCGCTTCGGCGCGAAGGCGCCGACGGACCAGCGGGACCGGTCGCGAAGGAGGGATCGCTCGCGGTCGCGGTCGCGCGAGCGCTCCAGGAGGAGGGACAAGAAGCGGAAGGGAGGCGACGTCTACGTCCCTCCCCCGCGGCGGCAGGAGCGGCGGTAGGTGACTTATGTGACCTAAATACACGAACAACCTTACGCTCCCACCCGTTCCAGCCCCTGCTCCAGCAGCAGCGCCGCTATCCGCCGCGACGCCTTCGACGCGCCCGCGCGGTTCCGCCACAGCAGGTCGCCGAGCTCCGCGAGCGCCTCGCGCTGCTCGTCGACGGGCAGCTCCGACAGCGAGTTGACCGCCGCGCCGAGCTCGCCGCCCGCGCGCGTCGCGACCCTGGAGAGTGTCGCGAGCTGCACGCGGTCGTCGCGGTCCGGCGCGACGAGGCGCCCCTTCAGCAACGGATCCAGCACGCCGAAGGGGTCCACGAGCGTCCGCGCGAGCGTACCTGCCCGCGAGTCGCGCGCCTGCGCAAAAGACTGCCGCAGCGACGCCCCGAGCACCTTCGCAAGCTCCGCCTCGACGATGGTCTGGAGGGGAGTGGGCTCGTCCCCATCCACGAGTAGCAGATCGGCCACTTTGCGCGCGACGCCGACGGCGTCGTCCAACACATCCACATCCACTTGATTGCCCGTCTCCGACTTGGAATAACTCTGCAAGCCGTCCGCGAGATAAGTCAACCGGTCCGCATCGACTTTTTTGACGAGCTGGTCTTCCCCACCGTACACGAACGTCTCCAGTGCTTTCGCGACGCGCGGCGACGGGTCCGACAGGAGTCGTTGCGACACATACGGTAGGCACTCTCCGACAATAGCATAGTCAGGGTCGTTCTTCAAACCGATGCCTTCCAAGACCGAAAACGCTCGGGCGATGTAGGCAAAGTAGGGCGGCAAGCGGAACAGGTTGCCCTGCCGGTCCGCCAGCGCGCGCATCTCCGTCAGAACTGCTGGCACATCAATCTTCGCGGCGCCGCCGCCGCCCGCGAACTGCGTGTAGACGTCCGTCAGTACGGCGACGGCGTCCGACGACTCGATGGCCTCCTCGTAGCCCTCCGGCACAAAACCCAACTTCACCAGGTCGTTCGGCACCTTCCCGTAGTCCTTGGCCACCAAATGCGCAATGTGTTCGATGTACGACAGGCGGAGGTCCGGATCCATCTCCGTGACGAGGCCCCAGTCCAAGATCGCGAGCCGTCCCGTCGACTCCTCGACGATCAGATTGCCCGGGTGCGGGTCCGCATGGAGTATACCCGTCTCGAGCATCATCGTTAAATAGCTATTCATCGCCACACCACAAAGCTGCGACACGCGGCGCTTCCTTCTTAACTCACCTTCGGCCGTGGCGTCGGCGACGTAGTCTAAGCGTTGGCCCTCGACCCAGGTCGTCGTCAGCACTTTTCGCGACGTGAGGTGCTCCAGGGGCTCGGGCGCGAAGACCGCGCCGCATAAAGGCGTCTCGGCGATGGCCCGGCTAAAGTCGACGGCGTGGCCCGCCTCCCGGACGTAGTCGAGCTCGTCGACGAAGCGCACGCCCCACGTGTCCACGAGACCGACCAAGTCCGTGTTGGCCTGGAATAGAGCTTTGAGCGGTCCAGCGCCAATCCTTAACAAATGCAAGTCCAGCGCGATGGTCTCGGCGACGCCCGGCCGCTGGACCTTGACGGCGACCTTGACTTTTTCGTCATCCCGTAAGACGTGGCCGACGTAGACCTGGCCCAGCGACGCCGACGCGATGACGGAAGAAGACAGATCCGCAAACGCGTCCGCGCCGACCTCGTCGGCGATGACCTTCCGCGCTTCTGCATCATCGAAGGGCGGGCAGGCGTCCTGGAGCGTCGTCAGCGCATCACAATAAGCCTCCGAGAGTAAATCAGACCGGATCGAGAGGGCCTGGCCGACTTTGACGAAGGTGGGTCCGAGCGAGACGAGCGCGTCGACGACGGCGGTCGCCCTCTCTTTCTCGTTCTCCTTGACGGAGTCCGTGGCCACGTCCAGCAATATCGCAGCGCCGAGGCCCGCGGCCCGACCGGCGATCTCCGCGCCCCGTTTCAGCGTTTGGATGGGCCTCCTTCCGAAGTAGGCATCTGCGGCCTCGGGATCATACCGCCCATCTTTAGATAGGGGCGACTCCACCGGCGCGTCCCGCTCAAAACTTCGGAGCACGGCCGCGCCGGAGACCGCCATCGCGCCGGCGGCGGCGCCCGCGGCGGCGAACGGCGCGTACTCGCCGATCGGCAGTTGATCAGCATTCGTACCGACCCACTGCGCCACGTCCAAAACTTCATCGGTGAGGGCGCTGAGTCGCGTGGCGCGGGGTTTGGCTGCTGGGGGGACTAATGCCAGGCTGTGTCGCAGCAAGAGGAGCAGCGAAAGCACTCGCATCGCTCCCCAGCGCTCTGGCCTATTGCAGGGATGCTGTTTTGCAGGTGTGCTTTGGTCCAGGGCTGCGATTTGACTGTATAGGATGATGCTTTTGGCTATGCGCTGGCCCAAGGTGATCATCTCTGGTGGCCACCGCCAGACGCATGTCTCCTTGTACAGGGCATTCCTATCGGTGCATGGGTTTCTCTATGATTACGTTTCTTGTTGCTGAACGCGGGTTTCCTGGACCGCGCCGCCGCCGCGCTTGGAGCGTCCTGGCGGCCCACCTCTGCGTCGGAGCCCTCGGCTTCGACCTGGAGGCGCCGGAGGCGCAGACAATCGGCCCTCGCAGCGTGCCGATTTTGATCCTGACCAGCGTCGTTGCGGTGAAGTGGCGACGGGCCGACGGCGAAGACTTTCGAGGAGTATGGGGTTATGATTAAGTTTTAAGTTTAGTGAGAAAGATGGGAAGATGAGGGAGACGATGGATGCAGGACGCAATGGAGCTCAATGCGGCAGCGCGGCTCAGGAACTCGCAGCGGCGGGCGCCGTCGCCGCAGCGGCCGCCGCGGCCGCCAACTCCGCCGTCGACTCCAACAACTGTGTACGAAACACGGTGCTCGGGTTATCGTAGTGCAACCAACGCGAGGGCCGGGGTCGCGCCACCGCTGGCCTATAATGCTAGGCGCGTCCGTGAATTACACATGGAGGCCATCGAGCTTCGCCGTCAGGAGCGCATCTGCCGCGGCCGCCGCCACGGCCGCCGCGATCGCCGCGTCCGCCGCCGCAGCGATCGCCGCGTCCGCCGCCGCAGCGTCCGCCGCCGCAGCGTCCGCCGCGACAGCCACGGCCGCCGCCGCCGCGTCCGCCGTCGCCGCCCTGGCCTTCTCCCGTTCAAGCTGTACACGAGACTCGGGTCTCGGGTTGGATTTGGTCGGGAAGTTGGCATGGTCCGCCGCAGCCGCGTCCGCCACGTCCGCGTGCGCAGCGGCCGCCCCGTCCCTGGCAGCGGCCACGGCCCGCAGCAGTTGAAGCTGTGCATGAGGCGCGGTGCCCGGGTTGGCCGTCGCTTCCGCCACCGCCGCGTGCGCAGCGGCCGCCGCGCCCGCCGCCGCCGCCTTGACCTGCAACAGTTCAAACAGTTCAAGCTGATTATTTAACACGGTGCTAGGGTAGCTGTATGCCTGCTTTTTGCTCGGCGTGCCTTTTTGGGTCGTTTCCTTATCCCCTTCGAGAATTGGGGGCGCAGAGAACGCGGCGATCAGCGCAGTGGAAACGGCCCGTGGGTTCACGCCGTCGGCGTTTCGTCCCTCGAATAGCACTTCGAGGATGACGCCCAATTTAGCGACGACCTCGATGATCGAACGCTCAGTTACTTCGGTATAGGGGTAGCAGTTTAGTTGGCCATGGCCCGACCACTGAACGGGTCCGTCGGGTCCGTCGTCGGCGCTTCGCACCAGACTAAAAGCATGGAAGCGCATATTTCTCCATCGGTCGGCCATCGTCAACGGGGCACCGAGCAAATAGTCGCCGGCCGCGGCAGATCCAGATAGATAGGCCAGCCGCTCCACAAGCACACGAACACCAAAGACGGCACTCTGCAGGTCGGTTGGGCTGCGCGCATCCTTCCAAAGGTGAGCCGTGGTCTCTTCGGGCCGCTCGTAAAATAGTTTGCCCTGCGGGAGGTTCTGGTCGACGTCGCTCATGACTTGCCCGTATTGGCTTCGGAGCTCCCGGATAGCCGCGACGCTAACGCGATGGTAGGCCATCCGTTCCTGAGAATTTGCAAGTCCAAGCTGGCCGCCGTAGACCCAGCCCATATGTATCAGATCACGAGGAGCCAGACCTTGATTCACCAGCCACTTGTCGTAGCCCGCAGGTCGCAGCCCAGGTCGCAGCTCGTGAGAGCCGTCCCTACAACATGTGGTTTTGGACAGCCACGGGTGAGCAAATGTGCAAAGGCCGAGCAGATAATTTGGGCATGGGGCGCGATTGACGAGCTCAAAGCCCGGCTTCCCATTGCGGATCTCGATGACCTTCACATCGACAGCGTCACCTTTCGAGATCCGCAAGTCATCGCGCACGACGCGCTCCACGTCCGGCTCGGTTGATCCACTATTTAGGCTGTTCGACAGACGCGGCTTGAACACGAGGCCTATGGCTCTTTTGCTGCCGGGAATTCTACTCATTTTTGCGTTGATTCCTACGTGCAAGCCGTACACAGAGGTGCCAGTCACCACGCCTTTGTACTCATCATTTACTTTGACAGTGCCGCGGGCTGGGCTGATAGAAAACCGGGAGAATGCAGCGCTGAGGTTGACGTACCCGGGCATGATGCGTCGATGTCGTTCTTAGCAATATGTCGCTACGCTCGTAGACGAGAGTCCAGTTGCTGCTGCACCCAAACTTGGCAGTGTGCAGTTCCACTTCGCGGCTGGTTACTGTCTTGGTTGTGGGGCTGAGATAAGCCACCCGTGCGCCGAGATAAGCCACCGTGAAGGCAGCCCGCGGCCAATTGTTTGGGAGAGGCCGGGTGTGGGCCGCGCAGATGCGCGGCGTACGCCCGGGGTCGCGAATGGATGCTGTCTGGGGGACATCTCTTCCCCACCAGACTCCTGACACGTGTCATCCGGGGTAAAACATGGTTCAGAGTGGAGACGGGTAGCCCGCGAGGATCCCGCGAGGCTGCTTTTAATTTTCATTAATTTAGACCGCCCAATGTCGGCGCTCCACCGCGGCGACACCTTGGTCAGAGTGATCGTCGGCCGCGTGCCACTGACGTCGTCTAGTGCAACCAACTCCCGGGCCGGGGCCGCGCCACCGCTGGCCTGTTCTTCTTTACTGCGCCACCCTTCTCTAAATTCCCAGTTGCATACTAACTACAACTTAACTTTGAAGCACACTAAAAGGGGGGGGGATATTAATAAGACCTACATACTTCCTACATACTCACTTTTCACAGCGAAGTTAGGCAGGGGATTTCGCGCTCTGCTGCTTGAATTCCGGACTTGTGACCCGGCCCCGTCGGTGAGGACGGAGGTGGCATTACGAAATCGGCAACGACGCCGCCTTGATTATCTGCCGCCAGCGCGGTCTGTGGTCCGGGTTATCCGCAGCCCTATGAGCTTGTGGTCCGAAACCCCCTTCACGCCCATTTTGTTGTTGGCCATCTGCCTTGGAAACTCGTGCACGCGGTACTCAGTGACGAATGAGTCCTGCGTCGTCTCCTTCGATATCACGAAGTTGTCGTACGGCTGGTCACCGGATGATGTATTGACTTCGTTTCCAAGGCCGACGTGCCACCCGTTAGCGTCGCTTGCGCCAAGCTCTTTTAGGTGGTTGCTACTCGCGTTTTCATCGCCGCCGACGATGTGAGCTACCGGCTGTTTCTTCGCCTCCCTTGCACCTTGGCGTGTGAAGGGTACCTTCAACGCATCCCGTGCCACCTCGCTGGCGTAATTCCCGAACAGGGCCCGCGCCTGCTGGTCCCGCTCTTTTCGCTTGGACGACGGCGGCAGGTGCACGCTCGTAATGCAGACATCCTGCACCTTCTTCTTGTCTTCGGAGAAGAACGCGGGGACACGCACCAACACCGAGAAGGGCGCGTAGGCCATAACTCGGCCGCCTATTGTGTGGGTCGTCGTCGTGCGCAGAACCTCCAGCGAACTCTTGAGCAAGACCGCGTGCACTTGTAGTCTCTTCCTCGATTCTGCACCCTTTGCGCCCGACCCTTCGGAATAGCACACCTGCCAATTCTGCCTGGATCTTGTCTCGAGCATCTCCTTTAGCCTTCCCACCCGTTCATCTTTGGACTTTTCGAATACCTCCGACAGCATGATACCGTCATACTCGGCCAATACTCCCACCAGCCACTCAAAGTCGTCTTTGAACTCCGGATCTAGGATCTTCAAACCTTGCGTGTTGAACGCGACGATCGAGAGAGACGGACTGGTGGGCGTGACCGCCTGCAAACGACGCTTGAGAGCGGCTATTTCCGCGCGCTGCTGTTTGTTGACGTCGCGTTCAGTTCTGAGCTCCTCCTTACTTCGCGCTACCTCGGCTTGGAGCTCCGCGGTCTCCGCACGCAACGTCAATTTCTCCAGATCGAGGACCTCGGCGCTGGCTTGCGACTCCTGCGCTTCCTTGGCTTGCTCGCCGAAGAGAAATTCAACAACGAGTTTCCGAGCGCGCTCAGGAAGCTTGCCGAGCAGGTCCGGCAGCGATTCAGCGAACTCATGGCGCCCTGCCGCCGGCGCCGGCGCCGCTGCGGCAGCGTCTTCATGAGTTGACGCGGCAGCCCCTTCGTTCGTGGCCATCTTGCCGCCGGCAAACAAAGCCTCCCTGCACATGCACAGAGCAGCTAAGAGCCAGCGGAAATTTCTGGAGATCACGCACTTGACGCAGCGATGGCAAGACAGGAACCCCGCATCGAGTGGTATGGCCAGCCCGGTCTGCGTTGGCTCCATGATTTACCGCCCGAGCTCATCGTAAACGAGATCCTGCCAATGGTCGATGCAAAGGCTGCATGCAAGCTCAGCACATATGCCCGCGCCTTCGTGCTCCCGCAGCCCGGACTGGGGAGGGCGGTGCCGAAGAGCATTAATGGCAGCCGTGGTCTGTGCGTTCTGCTGCATCCGACGTTGGTGTCTTTCTGCGCGCGGCCGCGGCTCGTCGTGCACTTTGCCTACTACGGAAACGTACCGGACCACATCGAAGGTACGCACGACCCAGTCGAGTACTTGCCGCCCGATGATTTCATAGCTAAATGTCTGCGCTACCGTGGAGACGACGTCACGGCACAAGTCCGGAGGCTGGTCACGGGCGACACCCTCGACATAAGGCCACACAACCAACAAGGCCACACTGTTCATTTCGGGAACACCTCCGCGCATGGCTTGCCCAAGCGGCTCCTCGTCCAGTTCTCATACGATAACAAACGCCGCAGAGCCATCGGATCATGTTGCGGGCACGACGATCGTATCCTGATCTCGCCCACCCAAGTTTCAGACTACGCGGGTGGAGGCGTGAATGGTTGGTAGAAGAGCAGCGAGCCCGGCCTTGACGTGCAGTGCAGTACTGGCTCAGAGACACATCCCTCCCTTTCGCAAAACACCACTCCCTTCCTTTCGTGTTCGAAGTCACTATAACACATTAATCAAAGCTAGGACGGACCCGAAGCCCCGACCACGCTCAACGATCGCGCCCCGCACGCAAATCGGCAGCTTGTCACACTAGCCCACCCGCCGCAAACCAGCAGGCGGACCCGCACGTTAGGCCCCATAATTGAGGCCGCCCGCGCGACGCGGGAAGTGGGATGGGGGTGGGTGCTGGCTGGATAACGTGGACCCGCCGACCCCATCTACCGCCGTGCCGAGTTTGGTGCCGGGCAGCGCGGCGGAAGGCGGGCAACGGCAGCCCACTTTTTCACAGACGGGCCACGGCCCGCCTTAAGTACCGAGAAAAATGTTAGTTCGGAGATATATCACGGCCGGGTACGTGAACGTGCGCTGGGTGTCTTCAAACTTTGGGTTCCACGCACTTTCGCGTCGGCGCGGCCGTCGACGCGTATAATACGGCACAAAACGGGGAGCCCTTCGCTCGTATCGCAGCCGCACGATCTTCGGAGCAGTGTGGGACCGAGACATGGTGTCCGCACTCGAGCATGCCGGAGCTGTGGAGCTCTCGATGCGATCCTGGCGATTTATCAGCGGTCGAAGACGGTGCGCCGTCGACCGTCTTGAGGGCCCGCGTTCTCGGCGCCATTAAGTTGTTGTGTCCTCCTGCTTTGGTCAAGCCATTTTTACTATGAAACGCGGCTCCGGGCGCCTTGGCGGCGCCGAGAGGCCCCATTGGGGCCCGGTAGGCCCCATTATCGGCCCATTTCTATGGGACGGAGAGCAAAGGGGGGCTGTAGCTCGGTAGGGGGGCGTCGTATAACCCTCTCATTCGGCTTCTGATAGGACTATGTACTAATTGGCCCAACGCGACCCGCTTTGCGCTGGCCTGGGGAGGGTTTGTCCTCAGTTTACAGCCTAGAATTTTACCCACCGAGGCGCAATGGGCCCACCGAGGCGCGATGGGGCCCCTCGGCGGCGCCGAAGGGGCCCGGAGCCGCTTTTCATAGCGCCGATGGCCGTGCCAAAGCAGGAAGACACAACAACTTGATGGCGCCGAGAACGCGGGCCCTCAAGACGGTCGACGGCGCACCGTCTTCGACCGCTGATAAATCGCCAGGATCGCATCGAGAGCTCCACAGCTCCGGCATGCTCGAGTGCGGACACCATGTCTCGGTCCCACACTGCTCCGAAGATCGTGCGGCTGCGATACGAGCGAAGGGCTCCCCGTTTTGTGCCGTATTATACGCGTCGACGGCCGCGCCGACGCGAAAGTGCGTGGAACCCAAAGTTTGAAGACACCCAGCGCACGTTCACGTACCCGGCCGTGATATATCTCCGAACTAACATTTTTCTCGGTACTTAAGGCGGGCCGTGGCCCGTCTGTGAAAAAGTGGGCTGCCGTTGCCCGCCTTCCGCCGCGCTGCCCGGCACCAAACTCGGCACGGCGGTAGATGGGGTCGGCGAGGCCGCGTCAACCCGGTTTCACGCCCCCCACGCCGGTTCCCGCCTCGTGCGGAGGCCCTAAAGTCCCGCAGTGGCTGGTTTGCTGAGAGGCTCTAGGAAACCGTCTAGTGTGTTGTGTCGGCGCTGGGGCGCGGCTGGGTGCCCACAGGTGGCAGTGCACGACAAGCCTCCCAAGACGCCGGTGTCGGCGCTGGGGGCAGCCCAAAACAGGTACAGCGCACGAGAGGCAGCCTCCCTAGACGCCGTCGACGCGCACAACACCCTGAGCTATGCCCCCCAAACGCGTCGTCGACACGGCCCGCACGGGCGCCGAGCGCGGGAAGGGCGCGGCGGAGCTCGCGGCCGAACGCGTCGCGCTGCAGGAGGAGAAGGGCGAGGAGTCGAGCGATGACGAGTTCCTGATGCCCGGCGAGCGCCGGCTCAAGAACCGATTGAAGCTGGAGGTGCCGCGGCAGAGCTGGCAGATGGAGGTGTTGGAGGCGAACCGGCTGGGCGACGTCGAGCGGCTGCGGGTGGCGTTTCGCCGACCTGGTGCCAATGTTAATTTGCGGACGGCGGAGGGCGCCTACGGCGGCTTTCGGTACGCGACGTGGGGTACTCATTCAAGCTATCTAGGAGGCAACCCCTCCGGCGAGAGTTTATTGATGCTGGCCGCAAGACCGGACAACGCCCAGTACCCCAATCGGAGGGAAGTCTTGACGATGCTCATCGAGGAGTTCGACGCCGAACGGAATTATCGCAACGGGAATGAGAAAACGGCGCGAGATCTCAACCCGCTGCTCATGGACGAGGTGCACCCCCTGAAGCGGTGGACAGTCGAGGACGCGCACGCCTGGGCCGAGAGCGCGGGGCTCAAGGTGAAGATCGAACACACCTACGACTGGCTGAAGATCTTCGACGCGTATCAGCTCGACGGGCGCGGGCTGGTGGACATCTGGACCAAACAAAAGTTCGAGGACTACGTCGACGAGCGACTGGCGGACTTGACGCGGGTCGGCGTGAACACGGACGCCATCGAGGAAGAGACGCCGCGCTGGATCTACTGCCTCGAGCAGCTCAAGCTCGATGCCAAAAACGCCCAGAAGACGAAACGGCGACGGGAGGCCGCGGCTCGCGCCGAGGCAGAGCGGCGGCAAGCCATCCGGGACGAGCAGCGCCGGGCCAAGCTGCGCGGCAAGCTCGACAAGGGCGCCGCGCACGTCCTCAAGCACGCGAAGAGTCTGGGGGCGTTCGGCTCCATGGGCTCGCTGGCCGCGGCCAAGCGCGAGGCCGCTGAAAAGAAGCGGCGCGAGGAGGAGCGGGCCGCGGCGCTGGCGCGCATTTCCGGGTTGAGTGAGGCGGACGTGGACGCGCCTGCGCCCGCACCCGCTCCCGCGTCGTTCCTGCCGCCCGTGAAGGACGCGCTGCCCGCCGAAGCGACGCCTCCGAAGCCGCCGCTCGACGCGGAGGCGGCGGCGGCAGCGGGGGAGTAATGTGTTATGTGTCTTAGGATCAACAACAACAGAATAAGGTTCTAGAACGATATTCCGGATAGGGCTAGTGGGGGTTCACTATAGGGGAGGTTCACTAGAATAAGCCAGTGTAATAACATCGGAGGAGAATATGGTAGTCGAAACCATGTCTTTCGCACTAGGCGAACGCTCTTCCACTGAGCTAATTCTCCGGTAAGAGGTTGTTGCCAGCCCCCTCAGGCTGGATTTTTTGTTTTTTGTTTTTTTTTTTTGTGATTTTTTTCGACGACGACGATGGGGATTGGATGCATGTGCAGGAAGTGAGCTATTTCACTATAGCCTAAGCGGTGAAGTGTCTGACGATGCGGTCAATACCTAGGCGGCAGACGGGACATTTAGATCGTTCATCAGGACGTACGCCTTCAGGAACAACGTTGAATTCTGGCGCACATGCCTCGCAGCAAGCCAGGTGTTCTGTGTCCCCGTGGACGAACGACATCTTGGCCTCGGCAACCAAGCAAACCACACAACGGCCTTCCCGCGCCCTCGACGCGTTCACATCACCAGACGGTGTCGCAGCGACCGCAGTGTTCTGCCCCCGGGACACCTGGGCCCGCTTCGCCGCGGCCCGTAGTCTTTTGATCGCGTCGCGGTTGTTTTCGTTGTGGTAGGTGAGCCTTTGCAACGCCATCGTGGGCGGACAGCGCGGACCGCGGCCGGTGGCCGCCTCGAGCGCGACGAGCAGCTCGAGGGCGCCTTCTTCGGCGATCGCGTCGCGGATCTCGTTGTTCTGCGCGAGGTAAGTCAACGCCCGCGCGGCCTGGTTCTTGCCGCCGGCCGTGCCGTTCCTTAAGAGCCTCACGAGTGGCGGGATGGCGCCGGCCCCGAAGATCTGAGCGCGGTTGGCGCGGTCGATTTTGGCACGGTTCGCCAACGCCTTCGCGGCCTGCTCCTGGTCGCCTGGCGCGGGGCTCGCCAGTGCCTCCAGTACCAGCCTGAGTTGCTCTTCGCTCAATAAAGCATTAGCGATGGAGGCCAGTGTCATGCCCTGCAGCGCCGCCGTGACTCCCTGGGTACCGTTATCTAGGTGCGCCATGGGCCGTGCAATCTCGCGCTGCTGGGTGGGCTGCGTGGCGGTGCTTTGTACCGATTTCTGTGTTTTATCGACAGACACTGAGTTGATGTCTAGTGTCTTCAGCCCGCTAGCCTGCAGGAACCTGTGGGTTCAATAAGTGGCTCTCTCTCTCTCTCTCTCGCAGGAACATCGCCCCCTCAAAAGTGGCTCATTGCCGAAAGCTGAGATCAAATTTCATTAATGATATTCGGGTGCAAGGCGCGGACTCTAAGTACGAGTAATAGCAACTATCCTTCTCCACCACAAAGCGGCGGGCGCTTCTTTCTACTAGGGACCGTTGAAGAGGATGCTTACTCGACGCCATCGCCGCGACCTAGGACGTGTAGAGCGCGTCGCCCTTGGAGTCCTTTTGCAGACATCATCCGATTCAAACACGTGACACAAATTACCAAAACCACCACCACCTAAAACGCCGCCGCCGCAGCACGAACAGCTTCTCGACCCCGCCCGGGAACGGATCCAGCGCGACCGTCGCCGCGACGTAGTATCGCGCGTCCAAGGCGTCGAAGAAGGCGTCCGTGCCGTTCGCGCCGCCGCGCGGCTCGCCCGCGTAGAGCACGACGCGCCCCGCGAACGCGTCGAGCGCGTCCAGAGCCATGGGCGTCGGCGGCGGGAAGACCAGTAACAGCGCGGCGTCCGGGCTGGCTCTCACCGCGGCCAGGCCGTCTCCCCTATTAACGGGAAACACGGGCGGACCGCGGCCGGGCAGCGCCGAGCCGTCGTCGTACGCCTCGACGGCGACGCCCGCGTCTCCGAGCGCCCGCGCCCAGTGGCCCCGGCCCGCGCCGATCTCCACAATTCGTGGGAATTCCGCACAGGCCGCGGCGGCCTCCGGCGTGCACCGCGTGCAGCCGTGCCGCGCGTGGTAGTGGCGCATGGCGCCGGGCGTCGTACCCGGATGTGCCAGCGCGTGCGCTGCATCCTCGATGGTTCGCCGGGTCTCTGCGCAGCGCTGCGACCGCTCGGCGCCCTTGCAGTGCCGCGCATACAGCTGGAGAGCTTCGGTCGACACGTACTGCTGCAGCTGTGCTTAAAAAACTGCAGTCTGACCGCCGGTCCGTCGGAACCCTTCGCGCCAAAGCGAGTCAATCCACGCTGCGCTGACGCGCGACACCCCACACCTCGAGCAGACATACTTGCAATGATGTAGGAATTTTCATCTGCTGCTCTACTGTTGTGGTCACGGGTCCGTAGAGTGCCGGAGCGATCCTAAACGCCCCCGTGGCATCTATGTACTCGCGAACCACCTCGATCCGAGAACACTGCCCGCGAGGTCGCCGCGCGGAGTGCCTCTCATACTACTTCTTCCTGACGCCGCGACGCGACGCCTATCTCGTGCGACGAGGCGGCGGCCTCACTGACGCCCGTGAGGTGCTTGATATCCATGTTCGAGGCGACGTCGCCGTCGAATTGATATCGAAAGCTCACGATGCCGGCCCGTGGCAGCCGTTGTCGCGGGTCGCGTCGCTTATGGCCGTCGTCGCGCGGCGGTTTGAGGCGCTCGCAGGCGCCACGCGCCGCCGCGAGGGCGCTCGTCATCGGCGCCGTGAGTTTGGGGCGGCGCTCGGCGAGCTCGCCGCTCGGCGTGGCCGCCGCCGCTGTCGCGGGTCGCGTCGCTTATGGCCGTCTTCGCGCGGCGGTTTGAGGTGCTCGCGGGCGCCACGCGCCGCCGCGAGGGCGCTCGTTATCGGCGCCGCGAGTTTGGGGCGGCGTGCGGCGAGCTCGGGGCCGCGCCCGCGGAGAAGCAAAGCACCCCTCGCTAGTGATGCGTTCTCGACGAGTCAACAACACCTACAACTTAAACTAAGGCCCAGACTAGTCGAACTGCACGAGGCGCACCGGCATCCTCATCGTGCAGTCGACGAGCGAGTCGTGGGGCGGGTAATCGCCGCGTCTCTTGCTGCCATTGCTATGCCGTTCCTGATACTCGGCTTGTTCTTTCTTAAAGTACTCGACAACGTCAGCGGTGAACAACACGTCGGCCCGCTCCTGCAGCAAGAGGAGTTGATGCACGCCGCACTCGATGACCTGTGCACCGGCACCGCGCCCGACCATGCCGTTCGGTTGCTGCCCCTCCCGCAGGCCATAGTACCGTTTTGTCCGCACTGCGTCCCGCGGCAGCAGCTCCAGACCGGGCAGCATCGTCTCTTCTTGGTAGAAGTAGCGGCCCTTGACGATCACCAACTTGCAGCCGTCCGGCAGGATTCCAAACTTCTTAAAATATAGATGCATCGATTGCGTAAACTCGTGGACCATCGGCGTCGGCCGGTCCGAACGCCAATTCCGACCCTCTCCGAACGCCGACTGGACCGAAGGGTCTCGAGACATTTCGACGTTCGCGAGATGGAACGACGTCGCATTCTTTTTTGCCTCCGACGCATTGTAATCGCGCTCCATCTTCGCGATGAACGCCTGTGTGGAAATCATAGACTGAGTTAGGTTGCTTCACCTGAAGTCGTCGGCCTCCACGCCATCGAGCAGACGCCGTACTCACGTCGATGGCGTGGGGTGCCTGAAATTTGATTTCCACACAGATGAACGCGTCTCGGGCCTGGGGCAACATGCTACCCCAGCGCGCCCCAATGCCATCGTACCCGGAGAACTTTTCATCCCGGAAAATACGGGCCAGCAGCTTGATCTGGGTCGGGAGGCGGTTTTCCAAGGCCGCACGCAAGTTGAAAAACTCCGTGCACGTGGCCGATGCAGCTGCGACGAGGACGCCATGCCCGATTTTCGTCTGCGCGACGCTGTCACAACGTTGCTGGAGCGTGCCGATAAAGTCGTCCCTCAAGGCGCCCGGCACGGCGATGTCTTCCATACGACAAGCCATCGTCGTCCCAGTCTCCCCTTCCTGCACCTGGCCGGCGTCGACGCTCACCACCGCGTAGTAGCCGTCCACTTCACTGATACCGACGCCGTTGGCATGCGCGACGACCGCGCGCATCATGTCCTTACCGCTGCCGAAGCTGCAGCCGCCCACGCGCAGCCCTTTGAACTCGCCGCGGCGGATCATGTTTGTGGCCGCGGGACTGTCGTAGTCGAAGGTGCTGCGGCCTTTGACGCCCTTTTTCGCCTCGAGGCTCGCCTTGAGGCGGTCGACGCGGACCTCCACATCTTTCCAGCGGTTCCTGGCCTTTCCGATGATGTCGGTCTGCGCCTTGCGCAGGAGCGCGTGCGCCAGCTGCACGGCGCGCGTTCGGCACTCGTCCTGCGTCGTCTGCCGCAACAAGCGCGCACCCTTGCCAATGCCATGCACACGGTCCTTTAGCCGGCGGTGGAACGCGTACGCATTGGCCGACGTAACCTCTTCGATAATTTCCAGCAGCTCCAGGTGGGTCAGTCGGACTTTCTGCCTCCTGGCCCACCACCGCGCAGATTTCGGCGTGCGATAGAGCAGCGGGCAGCTGTAGGCCTGCACCAGTTTGTTGGCTGCCCCTGCGGGAGTGTCGCCCTCGGCTCTTTCGGCAGCGCTATCGCACGCAGTCACCAACCAACCAGGAATTTTGTGCTGCGGCTCTTTCGTGGCCCGGCGCTTCATGCGCGTACGTTTTGTCCCGAAGCTCTTGTGCTCTGCTCTCACAAAATCTGGACAATTTGAAAAACAACGAAAGGCAGCTCGACCATGGGATGGCTAAGCCAGGAACGTTCTACGACTGGGCTGGGGGTCAAAACCCGTGCACAATTTTGGACGCGATGCGGTTAAGCAGTTTAGAGCCGCGTACGCCGCCTGTCCGGGCCCGTGCGCCAGGCTGGTTAGCGTAGACTCAACAGACATCGTGTCGCGCTCGGACGCGTGCGAAATTAGCCGCCGCGCCGCACCGTGGTGCCGCTACCAGCCGCTTTGCGTCCAGCGCTCATCCTCAGCGTCGCCGCGACGCCGACCTCCACCGCGCCGTCACAGCACCGGTACGATCGCTGTGCCGCAGCGTCGCTGCGCTGATCCACGAAAGCGCGCGTGAGCTCGCCAACACGATGGCGACAAACACCGCGGCGGCCGTTGCGGCATCTGCGGTGGAGCTTCAGCCCAGCACGCTGAGCAAGGTGGTCACCCAGCACCTCGGATTGACGCCCCGGCAGGCGCTCTACACGTCGATATTCATGGCGCATCTCATCTCATTCTGTCAACTCTACCCGCGATTCATGTGGTACGTCTCGTTCTGTGCCGCGGTGGCGTTGGCCTGGCCGGACATCGTCGCGGCCTGGCCGGGCGTCGTGGCAGCTGCAGAAAACGCCAAGTCGATCGTCGTGGCAGTTCTTGTAAAGGCGCCGCCCGCCGCGCCGACCGCACCGACGGGCCTCACGGACGCGGACGCCGACGAACTCCCGGACTTGACGTAGTCGCGGCATCCCTCCTCCGCATCCAAGTTGTGTAATATGAAAGTGATTTAGGCCCCGGAGTCACTGACGACCCGCACTCGAGGCCTTGTGGGTCGCTCGCACGCCTCGTGGCGACGGCGCGCTAGGAAACGCTGGATCACTTCGCCATCAACCTGGCGCCATACGACCCGGAGGCGGTGAATGAATACCTGACCGCGACCGGCCACGAACCTACGCGCAGGGCCAACGCTACGGCGCCGACGGCACGAAATCAGCCATCAACGTGCGCGAGAAGCTCGCGCCGGTCTATCGCACGCTAGCGGAGGTCCGCGAATTTCTGGTCACGAAGCACGACCTCTACGCCGCCCGGGGCCTCGTGGCCCGCGGGAGCCGGCGGCCGGCGACCGCGTCCGACGCGCTCCTCCTCGCGTCCTGCGGCGGCGGCGGCGCGGCGCCGACGAGCGCGTGGCGCGCGATAGCGCTCGGCCTCGCAGTCGGGGCATTGGCGGCAATGCTTACCCGGAGTAGGCACTAAAACATCATGTTCTTACATGGGTGGGCACATCAAGTTCCGCCCACGCGATGTCGCGAGCAGCAGCCTTCTCAGCGACGGCTCGCCAAGAGAGAGTAGCAGAGTCGCCCTCCGCCGGCAGCAGCCGCCAGTTCTGGGGCAGCGCCCGCGCGAGCGCGCGACGCAGGCCGGGGAGCTGTGATGAGCCGCCGGTCAGACTTACAGAAGCGACGTCCTTTGTACAGATACTCCGGGCGAGCCCGACGAGGCCCTTCAGGTTCGAGGGGGCCTCGCCCAGGGCGGCCTCGAGGGCGTCGCTGCCGCGGCGCGGGTCCATCAGGACGGCAACACAGCTTTCAGCGTGGTCGGTCGCCTTGCGCGCCTCGGCTCTAGCAATAGACGACAAGCGGTATGGGTCCGCGTCCTCCAAATTCAGCTGCACGAACCGCGTCAGCGCGGCGCCCGCGAGGCGCTGGTGCGCCCAGCGCCGCTTCGTGGCGGCCGTCGTTCTAAATAATCCCACGTCGATGGCCACGTCCGCATTTAGTGGAGGGTCCTCGGGGCACGACCGGCGTCGTGCCTGCTGTGGCCTGGCCGGGCACACACCGCTCTCAGGTACCTTCGCGTTCCGCGCGGTCCCGCAGCGCCTCCCGCTCCGACGGCGTCGGCCGCGTGCTGCACAGGGCTATCGGTGCCGCGGCGGCTGGCAGGAGAGTAGACGCTCTGCGAAGCGCCATTGCTGCACAGCGATCGAAGACGTGCACGAAACGAGGGCTGCGCGCACGAAACGAGTGATGCTGTCACGAACGACTCAGGAGCCGGCTGTAATGGCCTCAGCGGGCCAGCACGCGCGCGAGGCAGCTTAGCCGAGCTAGCGGATGTAAGACACTAGCGCAAAAGCAAGCGCGTAGGCGTACCTGTTGCGTGAACGCCTTTATAAATGGTGATTTGACGCTAAACGTTACCGCAGCATTCCCACGCAGCGCGAACTCGCACGAATTCGGCGCGCGCGTTGCCGCATCCCCTCAAACCTCAAACCAGCAAAAAAGCAGCAAAACGCTGCGCGCGAGCCGACGCAGCCGCAGCGCTGGATTAGAAGAAGCAGAGATGCACTAACATGCCGTCGTCGTCGCTTCAGCTCGTGCCGACCGCCAGCGCGGACGATCTGCGCGCCGCGGCGCCGGCCGCACGCGACGACGAGGACAGCGACGACGAGCCCGACCTCACGCACGAGTGCTTCAAACTCATGGTCCTCGTGGGTTTAATTGTTGCGCTCGTGCTCCTGAACAAGGAGGTCGGCGCCGCGCTCCTGACGATGAAGAACTGGCTGCTCAAGCACATCCCGCTCTACGCCTACTTTCTAGGCTACGTGGCCGTCCAGGGCTGTCGGCGGCTACTGCCGCCGCTGTACTACGCGATGCCCATCGGCCTGTTGACGATATTCTATCTGGTCGCGCGGCTCGGGTGGCTGCGGGCCGGCTTCCTGTACCAGGCCTGGCAGATGCTCGACTGCGTCTGGTTCGTGGGCATCCGCTACGTCTACACCGACAAGGTCGCGCTCGTGCTGGACAAGAGTCGCGAGGGCAAGAAGATTCGGAAATATCTCCCGAGGGACGTCGTCCGGTTGCTGCGCGTGCTGGACAGGGAGTGGAAGCGTAGGATATCCACCGGAGACTACTCCGTCGCGTGGCGCGTCGTGACGGTGGCATTATTAGGAAGTGCGTATGGCTGCGACGAGATGGTCACGCTCTACTTCCTCGCGACGCGCTGCGACGCGTCGCTGGCCTTCTTTGCCGTCGCTTGGCTCGCGACGCAGCTCCTGCAGCTGCCGTCGGCGCTCGTGCGGGCCTACACGGTGCAGTCCTTCGTGGGGGCGTCGGCGGCCGTGTGGAAATCAACCAGTAGTGAGTTGGGTTATCCTGAACGCCATCGAGCAGACGCAGGAATGGAGCAGATGCAGTTACGGGGACGACGTCGCGTCGATGGCGTTGGGCGCCCAAAATTTGATTTCCACGCAGGTTGGCGGAGGACGACTGGGGCATCCTGGGCAGCGCCTTCCGGAAAGCGCCCGTCGCGTTGGTCGTCGTCTGGGTCGTGGTCGCAGTCGTGGCCACCGTCGCGGTCCACTCGGTGCACTGCAAGTTGTTGTGGGACCACGCGCCCGCAAGCCCGCGTTCCCCGCGGACGGCTCGGCGCGCGGAGCTCGTCGCGCGCCAGCGCCGAGACCTGTCGCCCTAGACGCATGTTGTCGTGACTGTTAATTGTACTATTACATTACAGGGACCTCGTACCCCAAGCATTCGTAGTCCTGCCGGAGGTACAGCAACGCGCTTCGCACGCCGCGGGGACTCGTCTTCAACAACGTGCGCGTGTCGAAGTTGCCCTCGACGGTGTTCTGCTTCGGCGGCAGCGACGGCTCGAGCGTCTGGTTGCGGGGGTCCAACAAGGGCAGGTCCCGTAACAGGACCTTCAAATCATCCTCTAGACTTTCGAGGCGCAAGACGCGGTCGATCGGCCGCCCGAGCAATTCGAGGAACCAGGTCTGCGACATGACGTGGAACCACAAACATCCTTCTTTGGGCCGCGATGTGACGAGGCCGTCGCCCTCCCTTCGCAGCAAATCCACAAAGGCCTCGAACTTCTCTGGTTCACTCATGGTCGTGTTGAAGGGCCACCAGTGGCCCGACCGAGACGCGCGGTGCCGGACCGTGCCGTAGCCGCTCAGGAAGCGCTGCAACGGCTCGCGGACGACCGTGAAGCTTCTATGGATCTCAAAGCGTTTATTTCTCTTGTTCTCCGCGAAGGGCCGCCCGAGCCATCGCTTGAGGGTCGTGGAGCCCGTCTTGGGGATTTCCAGGAAGAATGCGGGGTCCGATCCGTCCGCCAGATCTACAAAACGACCGTAGGGGGCCTTGAGACCGCAGGCGTAGGCCGGCCGCGCGCTTTTACCACGGATGGCGTCCTCCGTCGTCACGACGCTGTACTCGCCGCGCGCGCCGTAGACCGTTCGACAGCTATGGAGCGCGCGGGGGTCGCCGATCGTGGCCAGGGCGTTATGAGCCAGGTCCGCGAAAGCATGTCGTGAGAGGGTCATGCGCGCGAGCGACGAGTCCTTTGATGGTTCTGAGGTGTTGTAGTGGTCCCTAATGCCGCCGACCTCGCGCTGCACGTGCAACACGACGTCGTCCTTCTCGACCAATAATCCACAGGCCGGGTGGTCGACCTGGCGCTCGCCCGCGAAGGGGCTGTCTCGGATTTTGACCAAGGGCGACCACGCCCGCCCATCGATGGAAAAGGCCGCGTAGATGCCCGCTTCTTTTCTCTCGGGAAACGACACGGGCGCCAGCGCGACCAACGTATCCTCGAACGCGTCGACGCAGGCGAAGTAGACGTGGGACCGCGAAAACGAGTAGGAAGCGAACTCGACGGGCTCCCAGCGCCTCCAGGGCAGCGGCACTTGGCCCTTCGAAAAGGCCTTCACGTCCACGGACGTGTGCTGCACGGCCCGGATGCCCATGCGCACGTTTGCGCGGGCGAACAAATGCAGACGGCCCCTGAAAACCGTCGCCGAGAGCCGTCCGTCGAACTCGCACCACATGCCTCGCGACCGCCCCTCGACGCAGCCCGGCACGCGGCCCGAGCCGTCTATAATAGAACGGCCGCCGAAGAGCGGCTCCACATGACCCTTCTTCAGAAGATACGCGCGGACGCCGCTCTTCCGCCGGTCGCGCTCCACGCCCTCCGGACACGTGCCCGCGAGCCGCCTCCTCACGTCCTTCTGCGACGAGCGGCCCCCGAGCAGCACGACTCCTAGGCCCGGCACGTGTAGTGCTGCGACGTTGTGCGCCGCGTCGCCGCACAAAAGCACGTCCGGCGCTCGAGTGCCGTCGCCCCAGAGGACCGAGCCCTGCGGGCCCCGGCTCCGCGCGACGAAGGTCCCGCCGGGGAGCGCCGTGAAGTAGCGGTCGCCGTTGTCCGTGCGGCGCGCGTCGTGGAAGGTCCACTTTACGTCAGTCTCGGTGGCGCGCGGGCAGTCGAGCGGCGCGTCGCGGCGCTTCGCGCAGGGCGCGCGGTCGGCGGCCGCGGCGACGATGAGTATCGATGCGGTGCGCATCCAGCACGCCATCGCCGCGTCGCCTCGACGGCGTATGGGCAGCACGATCAGTGCCGCCCCGGCACCGCGCGCGCTGCTGGCGGGCAGCCCATGCCTGGGAAGTTAGGTGCGCATGGAGGATGAATTCGATCGCTTACGCGCGGAGAGGCATTTCTCGTCGCGTACGCGGCCATTAGAGCGGCACAAAACCCGTCGAAATCACAAAATCGTGGCTATGTACTGAATGTGGCGCTCCATGGCCTGACCGGTCTGTGTTGCAGCCATGGGGCAGCCATAATATGATGCTGCTGTGGTTGGTGCTGCACACTGCGGCCGCAAACAGAGGCAGCCACCGCAATGGCCAAGCCACGCCGGCGCCGACGGCGAGCGACCCGCGCGTGCGGCGCGCCGACGCATTGAATCGGTGGTTTTCAATGATAGAGCACGTGCCCGCGCGGGCGCGGCCGCTCGAGGGCTGGACCGTCTCACATCGCCGCGACATTCAGGGACGCATGCGCCTGGTGACGAGCGGCAACGCCAAGCAGGTGCTGACGGGAGGCACGTATCGCAACCAATCGATAATTGTCAAAAGCTCGTCCGCGAACCACACGCGGGACAAATTGGGAGACGCCGTGCACCTCGAGCTCGTCTACCTCGAGGCGCTACGGGGCGCGCCGGGCATTCCGGAGTTACTGGGGGCCTGGCGCGAGGGCGAGCACGTCTGGTACGCCGTCGCCGACGGCGGCCGGCCCATCGGCGTCGCGGGCCAGCCGGGCAAGGGGAGCAAAGCCACCGTGCTGTCCTCGGAGTTTATCGAGTTGGCGCGGCACGAACCCCTGAAATTAGCAAGGGCGCTGCTGCGGTGCTTCCGGTCCTGGGCTTCGGCCGGCTTTTTGCTGGACGACTTCAAGGCGCAGCAGTTCACCCTGGACGGTCGGGGCGACGTGTACCTCGTGGACGGCCCGAGTCTACTGAGGGCCTTCCCGGTGGGCGCGGCGGTCTACCGGGCGACGTCGCACCATCGCCAGAAGAACAACCTCGCGCCGCCCCCGTCGGACTGTGCGACGAACGCCGACTGTCCCTCGACAAAAGCGCACCACGCCTGCGGCGTTGCTGGAGACTGCGAGGCGGGCGCGCGGGGCGCGCCGGAGAGCGCCGGCCTTTGCAGGGCGGGGGCCTGCGTCGCCGTGGGGCCCTGGACGCACGTTTTTGATACCGCGTCGCGGCCGTGGCTCTTGCCGGGCGTCGTCAAATATGCGGAAGATTCTGCGCCTCGCAAGGTCCTGGACCGCGTCATGTCGAAGGCGCGCCTGGCGGACCCCGCGAAACGGCCGACGTTCGACGCGATGCTCGCGGAGGTCGAGCGGCACATCTAGCCCCCGAGCACGCCATCGCCGCGACCAGGACGCGGCCGCCGCGTCGTATGTGAGTAATGTTAACAGACACAAACTAAGAGTCGTCGCTCGAGCTATCGTCCCAGTCGTCGCCGCCGACCTTGACGTCCGCCTCGTCCTTGGTGACGTCGCCCCAGGGCGCCGACGCCGTGCTACTCCGCTTCGGGGCTGCGGGCGCCGGCGCCGCGTCATCGTCGGCGGCCGTCATGGGCGCCTTGGCGGAATGCTTCCGCGACCCAGGTGCCTTCGCCTCCTCAGCCGCAGCTTCCGGAGCCTTGGCGCCGCGCCTCCGCGCCGGCGACGGCGCCTTCGCCTCGGCCTCCTTCGCCGCTTCCTCCTCCTCCCTCTGGCCCATGAGCTCCTGCACGTGAACATCATCTTTTTTCTCGGACAGCTTCTCCCCCAATTGATCTTCGTCGATCTCGTCGCCCTCGGCCTCCAGTATATCGTTCAGGAACGACGAGTCTTCCGAGTACTTGAGCAAATTGCCCAATCCAAAGAGTTCCCCATCCCTTTTGCCCTTGACGCCCTTGAAGCGCCGATCGTCATATTCGCCTTGTTTGCGCTGTTTCGCCTCGATGGCAGAGCCCGTGACCTTGTTCTTGTAGAGCTGCCGCATCAAGGTCAATTCCTCAATCGTACCCCGCGACACCAATTTATAGACGCGGACCTCGCGCATCTGGCCGAGTCTATACGCTCGATCCTGCGCTTGCGCGTCGAAGGTCGGGTTCCAGTTCACGTCAAATATCACAACTCTATTCGCCGCTTGTAAGTTCAAACCCGTGCCGCCGGCTTTTGTGGAGATGTAAGCTAGGAACACTTGCGGGTCGCTGTTAAATTTGTCGACGTTTTTTTGTCTTTGAGCACCATTTGTGGCGCCGTCGATGCGCACGGAGTTGGGGTAGACGGTCTTGAACGTGCCCTCCAAGATATCTAAGGTCTGTGTCGAAGCTGAAAAAATCAGCACCTTGGCCGGCGGACTTTCGCGGTCGAAGCGGTCCAGCAAGCCATGCAATGCGCCCAGCTTACCAGCCTGCGTCTCATCTCTCAAATCCTTCCAGCGCGTCGTTCGTATGATGCTAGCAGGTTCAGAACCATGAGCCAGCGTACAGAACTTTTTACAATCTGCAACCTTATCCTCGTCGTCTCGGTACTTAGCATCCAACTTAATGAGCTCGGGGTGGTTCGCTATTTTACTGAGTTTGGACATCACAGAAAAAGTATAACACTGGGGGCACTTCTCGCAGGGCTGGCCGTCGCCGTTTTTACATGAAGAAGCAAAATAGCACCGTGCCTCGAAGTCACCACCAAGTTTTCTTGGTAACAAATCCGCGCGATGGCAGCACTTGCCCCGCTTCTCGCCTTCTCTCCCACAATCGCATGGTTCTTTGGCTCGTTTCAAGCATTCGACGTCCGGCGACTCTACCACATTCCGATACAAGGTAGCCTGTAAGGGCGATAGCTTGCACATGACGATCTTTTCTTCTTTCCCATGAGTTAACTCCTCACTCAACTCTTCCTCTTTGGTTCTTCTGAGGATGTATTTGGACGTGATGCGCTGCAATTGCTTTCTACGCTCCGACGCTAGTCCGCGCGCGTTCCGGTCCGCGCCCCGTTGCTCCCCTCTTGCGATGGTATTTTCATAAGTCTCCTTGAAGTCGGACTTATTCCCGAGCACCGCATCTGTACATAATGATAATAATGCGTGTAATTCATCCATGTTGTTCTGCAGAGGCGTACCCGTCAGGCCAAAAAGCACGTCGGCCCTCGCTTGGATGGCTCTTAGTTCTTCATACCTCTTCGACGCGGGGTTCTTATACCCATGGGCCTCGTCCACAATCACACAGCTCCACCGGTCGGGACCGCTGTCACTCAAGTTCTTGGCCAGCGAGTGCGTCGTCACGAGGACGTCCCTCGCGCCGTTCTTGGCATCTCGCGCGGCTTGCGCCGCCTCGGCGCCCGTCTTCGCGACACTGACGTTCAACAGCGTGTACTTTGCTAGTTCTCGCTTCCAGCCTTCTAGGAGTGAGGTCGGAGCTAAGACGAGTGCAGGTGCTCGATCCGGGTCCGGCGCCTCGCCTCTTCTAGCAGCTCTACGCCGCTTCCTAGCAGCCGCGCTATCTGTTCTTCGAGACCCCGTGCACCCCAATAACGCCGCAAAAAACGCCACGGTCTGCAGCGTCTTGCCCAGACCCATGTCGTCCGCGAGAATACCACCTCGGCCGGACGACGCCTGGCGCCAGAGCCACTTCACGCCCTCGACCTGGTAAGGAAACAGATATCTATGAATCGTCGATGGCACGGTGATGGACCCGCCGCCGCAGTGCTCGCCCTCGCCCTCAATGACTAGATCGCCCCTACCAGGCGCGTCGAAGAACGTGATGCGGAAGGCGTCACTTTGTGGGTCGGGCACGGGGCCGTCGGACTCACTGCCGGAAGATAACGAGAGGTTCTCGGTCTTGGCTCGCGACGAGCCGCCCTTGCTCGATGAACCGCCCTTGCGCGGCTTCGGGGGCGCCTTCTTCTTCGCCGCCGTCTTCTTCTTCTTCTGGGCCGCCCAGGGGTCCCAGCCGCCGCCCATGGAGTCGTCGGAGTCGCCGCCTTGAATGCCGCCGCCCAGCAGCGCGTCGAGGTCGGGCGGGGGCGTCGGCGGCCGCGGGCCCCTGGGCTTCTTCTTCGGACGCTCCTTGCGCTTCGGGGGCGGTCTTGGTGGAGGAGCCTCTTCCTCGTCGGAGGAACTCTCTCCATCGAAGGGCGCCGGGGGCTTGCGCTTCGCCTTCGGTGCCGGTGCTTCATCGGACGACGACGCTCCATCGAAGGGCGGCGCCGGGCGGGCCTTCTTCGCGGGCGGCGGCTTTGGCGGCCGTGCGTCGTCCGACGAGTCGCTGTCTAAAATGGACCGGGCCTTCTTCTTCTTCGAGGAGGCCGGCGCGGCGGCCGGCGCGGGCGCGGGCGCGGGCGCCGCGGCGCCCGCGGCGCTGCGCCGCCGCGCCTCGGCGGCGGCGCGGCGCTTCTCGTCGCGGCGCCGCCTTAATTCAGCGCCGCTGAGGCCCTTTACTACTTTGGGCTTTTCGGCGAGGAGCGACTCGGCCGTGACGATGGTGCTGCCCTTGGTTAAAGCTGCGCCGAGCGATTGCTTCGGTTTCGGTTTGGGCTTGGTTATGGGCTTTTGTTTCGGCGGCGCCTCGTCTTCCGAGGAGGTGGAGAGGACCATCCCTGCTGTCCTGCCGAAATTTAAATATGTGGCTCGGCGCGGCGGTTCTCTAGCAGCCGTGTGCGCAGCGCAGTGGCCGAAACTTAAATCTACCAGCGTTTCTCGGTCTCGCAGCTGGTTTGCGCAGCGCACAGTTCCAATACTAAGCACGCGCGACGTCAGGTAAGGCGGTTTTGCGCCAGCCGCGTCGTTCCTGCGGCTGGTCCTGATCGAGTTATTAGTGAATAGACACACTAGCACGATGCGCTACTCGGTTTTTTCACCGCATCAGTGCCATTACTGCATTGTCTCAGCTTCCAGCGGATCCTTGTTACCCGCACAACTTTTGCGCAATCGCTGTGACCGCTGCCGCGCCGTCGACGCTGCCGCTGCCGCGCCGTCGACGCTGCTGCAGACATGCACTCCCTCCTCACAGCTGTGTTGCTGGCAAGCTCTCTCCAAGAAACGGCCGGCGAGGCCTGGGGCCCGGCGCCCACACCGTTGCCAGAACTTGGCTTGAAGGGCACCGCGCTCCTCGGCGGCACGGTCCTCGGCTGCTCGGCGCTCGCGGGCAGCTTCGCGTTCGTGCGCCAGGGCGAGGCCTGCTTGATTGAAAGGCTCGGGCGCTACAAGCGCACGCTGACGGCGGGGCTGCACCCGAAGCTTCCGTTCATTGAGTCGGTAGCGGCCTACTCGTCGATCCGCGAACGCGTCCTCGACGTTCCGGCGCAGCGATGCATCACGAAAGATAATGCGCCCCTGTCGGCCGACGCGGTCGTCTTCTACCGCATCACGGATCTGACCAAGGCCAAGTACGCCATCGACGATTATCGGCTGGGCGTCTCGAATTTAGTGCTGACGCAGCTCCGGTCGGAGATCGGCCAACTCACGCTCGACGAGACCTTCACGGCGCGCGAGCAGCTGAATGCCATTTTGCTGCGGGAGGCGAATGCGGTGTCGCGGGCCTGGGGGGTCGAGGTCTTGAGGGTCGAGGTCCGGGACATCTTGCCAAGTCCTGAGATTATTTCCGCGATGGAGCTGCAGATGGCCGCCGAGCGCCGGAAGCGCGCCGCAGTCTTGGAATCGGAGGGTAAAAGAGAAGCGGCGGTCAACGCGGCGACGGGCCGCCGCGACGCGGTCGTGCTGGCGGCCGAGGGCGAGCGCGCGCGCCTCACGGCAGAAGCGACGGGCATGGCCGAGGCGCTGGCTTCGATCGGGAGCGCGCTGGCTGGCGCCCGGGGCGACGCGGCGGCGGCATTGCTCGTCGCGCGCGCGAAGATCGCGGCGGACCTCGCGCTGGCGACATCGACGAATGCCAAGGTCATCGTCTCGGGCGGCGGCGGCGGCGCGGCCGACGCGGCGGCGGTGGCGGGCGCGACGCTGGGGTTGGGGCGCGACGTGCCAGTAGTAAACTAGCCGTCACTAAAAAACAAATCGGTGGAGCCCCACCGGCAGCCTCGCAACGCGCGCAAAACGGACGGACGTAGTACCAGCACGCCAGTCGCAGCGTGCATTCCATCGCCTGGAAGCACAGCAGTGCGGCTCGCGAAGGGCTGCCGCGCCACCAAGCCTCAGAGCCACCAGTGGCAGCACAGCCAAAGGGCTGCCAAACAAGCGCCAAAGGGCTGCCCCACCACCGTAAAAAACGATGGCCGCCCTCCGCCGCAATTTCAAGAAGAACCCCGAGGTGAGGGTCGGCAAGCGCGAGGAAAATACCATAGTGTTTATGGAAATTTCTATCGGCCCGCGGAAGGTCGGGCGCCTCGAGATTGAATTAAGGCGGGATCTGTGCCCGCTGACCTGCGAGAACTTCCGGCAGTTGATCACGGGGGAACGAGGCACCATTCGCGAGACGGACGAGCACGGTAACAGTCGATGCATAAACCTCCACTATAAGGGCAGCAGGATGTGTAGGGTGGTGCGAGATTCGCATTGCCAGGGCGGCGACATCGCAAACGGCAACGGCACGTGGAGTCGGAGCATTTTTAAGAGGGGCGACTTCCCGGACGAGAATTTCATTTTGAGGCACACGGGCGCCGGGTGCCTCTCGATGTGCAACCGCGGGTTGGATTCCAACGGGTCGCAGTTCTTCTTCACGTTCGCCGCCAAGCCGGAATGGGACGAGCGCCACGTCGTGTTCGGGGTGTTGCGGAACCGGGAATCTCTCAGAACTTTATTCGCGATCGACCAAGTCGGCAGCCAGTTTGGCAAGCCGTCGCAGGAGGTCATCATCTCGGACTGCGGCCAGCTCTGGCCGCCCCACCACACGCAACAAAAGAAGAAGTTCACGTCGACGTCGGGCGCGCGGCACAAGTCGGAGCAGGGTTTTGTGGACTATGACTGGTAACAACAAATTGTCTGTTAATTCCTACGCGCCCAGCCGCCGCTCGTCCCGTAGTAGCACTCCCACTCGTTGCAGGTCTCCAGGGGGTCCTTGCCGCTCCAGAGGAGCGGTTCCACGTTGAGGGGCCAGGGCCGGCCCAGGGCCTTCCTCTGGTTCTACTATGGGGCCAGCGGCGTCGACGACGTGTTTCCACGTGGTATTCTCTATTTCGACACGTGGCGGGCCCGCGTTCGACTGAGGTAGTCCGTACGGTTACTCTGACGCGACGTCGTCGGCCGCGGGCACCACTCAGACTTTATGTTAGTGATACCGAATCAACCCGCACCGACGTATCTCCGGACGTCTATCGGCGGCCTTTGGATCGCTCAGACGGTCGACGGAGAGGCGTCGACAACATACCTAGTGTCTTTACTATGCCGCTAGCTGCCAAAAATTAGTGCATTTGTTTGCCGACACTTACGAGTGCCGAGCTACAAACTTCCGCGCCGTAGTTTCACGGCTTCAAGAAGCGCTTGCGCACAAGCTCACGCGAACGGATACCCCGGCATCCAAAAACTCTATGTCCAGAGTCCTCCTCGCCTCTTTGGTCCTAAGCCCGACATTAAGGCGGGCCGTATCACAAAAGATATTGGGAACGTCACGAAGGCTCGCCTCGACATGAGGATCGGCACGGCGAAGGCGATCGAGAAGGACGACGACGACGACTCGGACGAGGAGCTATTCTTCAAGTACGAGAAGGACCAGCCGGCCGGTGAGATCCTCAAGTTCGTCGTCAACAAATACATGGAGCACTACTTCCCGGCTGGTGGCCGGGTCGCGTGAGTCTCTTCGGGTAGGGTACTTGCGTTGTACTAAGTTCAATATACTTCTAATTTAATTTAAGACCACATCACACGATGAAGAGGGAGGCGGCTTCGCGCGGCCATGTTATACTACACACTACGAAGAAGAAGAAGAAGAAGACCGCCGGACCTTCTCGAAGCCCTCGGGCAGCCCGACCTTGCGCCGGATCGCGTCGATCCACGACAACGCGCGGAGCGCGACCCGCCCCTTCGGCGCGCGCGCGACGATGCGCGGGCGCCCGCCTTCATCGGAAATGAAGGACGAGTCCCACTTTTGTTGTGAAGCGCCGTCGACGTTGACCTTGCCGGCGCCCGCGCGCGACGGCTCCCTTTTTGCCTCCAAGGCGCCCTGTACTCGTCCCGCCTCGTCCACCTCCCTCCTTAACATCGGCGCGCCCGCACAGTCGACATGTCGACCCTCGAGCTCAACGTCACATTCTATACTTGGAGCGACGCTCACGTCGACGTCGCCTCGGTCAGAAGAGGCCACGGCGTCGCCGTTCATCGCGTCGAAGGCTAGGGAGATGGTCCCGGCGGCTTCAATGGCACAGCTCCCCGAGCACCGCTGCAGCGAGACGCCGCCATTTGAAGCCGTTGCGGCGACGTGGCCGTGCGCGGCGTCTATTTGTATAGCGTCGACCGCCGACGCGCCGGTCGCGTCCACATCTAATTTTCGGCAGTAGGCGGCCACGATGGACACGTCGTCTCCCCTTATATTCGCGTGCGACGCCTGGAGCTTCGCTAGAGTTATGGAAGTGCCGCTTACGTCCACCTCCAGGCCCTCCACGAGCTTCGTCGACGCCACGCCGCCCTCACTCAGTAGACGGACGGTCTCGCCCCTCACGCTCTCCACTTCAATCATCGCTCCTCTGATATCAATCAAGTCGCCCTCGACCTTGCCGCGGACGGTAGCACACGTTGATGTATCGATAGTCAGTGCGGTGCGCTGCCGCGAGTTTATGCATACGGATTGGTCGACCGCCGTTATCACATCGCGCTCCTGCCAGGTGGACGTCACGCGGACGTCGACGCCGGCGGCGCAGCGGAGGAGCGTCGGCGTCGCCTCGACCACGACTTGTGCCTTGCCTACAACCGCGCGCAGGGGCGGCCGCGCGGCGACGACGGCGAACATCGCTCAAGCGTTGCGCAGCACCAGCTTTGCAGTGCTTGCTTGGCAGTGGTGCGCAATCGCGCGCTATTGCGCGATCTGACACAACGCTATAGCACTCGACGCACGAATGCAAGCACAAGTCCGCTCGAGCGATGCGACCACGCACGCGTCAGGCTTCGAGGCTGCACAGCTCCTGTGAGGCTGCTCTGCGAGCTGGTGTGAGCCGTGGCGCGAACCACTACACACAAGAAACGCACAGCTGCAGCGCACCAACTTAATAACACACTGCGACGTCGCTGCGCCGGTCGATCCGAAGCAAGCATCTCTCTGCAGCAGCCAATGGACAGCGACGACCAGACCGTGCACACGGTGCCACCCATAGGCGTGCACATTTCCAATGATGAAACCGAGCTCTCGGTCGCGCTCATCGGCTGCGGCTGGTACGCGCTGCGCACGCACTGCGTTACGTTAAGCAAGGCGAAGACGACAATCGCGGCCGTGTGTGCTCGCACGGAGGCGTCGCGACAGAAAGCTCTCGCCAAGCTCGGCACGAGCGCCAAGGAGTTCGCCGACGTCGCGTTCGCCATAAATGCCGCGTCGTGCGCGCTCGTCGCCTTGCCGGCCGCCGTCGCGGGCCGGGCGTGTCTGACATCCATACAACACGGCAAAGATTTGATAAGCGAGAAGCCCGCGGCCTGGTCGCCGCAGGAAGCGGAAGATCTCAGGGAGGCGTGGAACGACCGGCCGCGCGACGACCAGAGGTGGCGCGTCCTCGAGAACTGGGCTTTGAAACCTGGTGTTTTGAAAGTCGGCGAGTTATTGGATGCGGGGCATGGTTCCGAGAAGTACGAGTGGCGCTGCAAGAGGCGACGAGCGGCCAAGGGCGACTGGCGGCGGGAGGACAAGGCCGCGGAGTTGTTGGATGTGCTCGTGCATCTGGTGCGGGCGCTGCGGTGCTGGTTCGGCGACTGTACGGTGACGAGCGCTTCTCTAAGATCGTACGAGTTTGATAAAGTGAGGGAGGTCGAGTGCTCCCTGAAACATGAAAACGCGGGCGGTTTCGTCGTGCTGGAGTTGTTTGATGGTGATGGTGGAGAGGAATCGGTGTTCAAGTGTGGGGATATCACGTGGGACGCTCATAAGGTAAATGGCGAAAAAGTGGACGGAGACGGCTGGGTGGCCGGCGGCGCGCGCTCTACACTAATGGAGGCCCTGAAGAGTTGCGAGGGCGACGCGCGGGCGGACCCCTGCACGTCCTGGGAGGAGGGCATGCGGGACTGCGCCGTGTGTTTCGCGGCGCTCGGGATGGGCGACATCCATCCGGGATCGTTCTACGAAATGCCTGTTGTGATAGGTACGGTACCACGAAGTCCAGAAGGCTGTGTTCTATCTCTGAAGGCCCATCCTTCATTAATTGTCGTGGGGGGCGGCGCGAACCTGCGCCAGAGGACAGGGGAGTTCCTCGAGACGCGGCTCATGGCTCGAGTCTTGAAGGTCGAGGGTAATATTGTGCAGGTGGAGGCGGGCTGTACGCTGCGACGGCTGCGCCAGGCACTAATGGCGCGCAAGTTGACGCTCGCGTCGTGGCCCTACTATCTAGACTCGACGGTGGGCGCCGCGGTCGCAACAAAGAGCCACGGGTCCTCTGTCAAGTATGGTACGGTGGCGGATTTTGTTGTAGCGTGCCGCGTCGCTACTTCTACTGAAGATGTCTGGTACGACGGTGAGTCCTTCGACATCACTGCTGTGAAAGGAGTGTTTACGGTCGTGTCGCTGCGGTGCGTGCCTCTTTTTCGAGTGAAGCGGTCCGTCTCTACTACCGACAGTTTAGATGCGGCCTGGCTCCGTACGATACGAGAGCACGACCACGCCTGGGTCTGGTGGGACGCAGCGACGGGCCGCGTGGCGGCGATGGCGCTCGATGCGGATGCTGATGGCGAAATTTATGACGGGCGCAACTGGAGCCCCTACGCGCCCGAGGTGACGCGGTTATTAGGCCCGCCCGTCGCCGGCGAGGACTGCTACACGGCGCAGTACGCGGTCCCCGACGCGGCCGCCGATGCTGCCGTTACTGCTATAAAAAGCGTCGCGGGCGCCGGCGTCGTCGAGGTCAAGTTCCTGCCGCCGTCGGCCATGCTCCCCGGCGCCGCGGCCGTGTGCTTCAACGTCTACGTGGCCGCGCCGGCGCCGGCCTGGGTTTTGGGCGTCGAGCGGGCGCTCGCGGCTTTGGGCGGGGTGGCGCACCCGGGGAAGTGTTGTGCCACGGACGTTTAGTGTAAGTATATGTGACTAACTTAGGCCGACGATCCTGCAGGTACACATCGCGTCGAAGACGCCCTCGACGATGGGAACAAAGAGAGACGCGCGGTCCGGCCCCAAGGGGGGGTCTTCTCCCATGCCCCTTTCTACAACGCCCTGGTGAGTATAATATGATCCTTTGGGCACTCCCGGGTCCCAGAAATTTCCAGTTTGGATCTTGAACGCCACGTCCCGCCAAGAATGACTGCCAGCGCGGCAGTGGGCCTTGATCTCTGGTCCAAGTTGCATAAATGCGGGCGGACCCGTCGGATTGTGAGTGTTAGGTTGCTCCACCGCTTGAATGTCGTCAGGAAACGAGACGTTAATCACCGCCGCCGGAGCCTTAGAGCTTCTGTCTGTGAGGTTGAAACTACTAGGGCGTCGTCCGATAAGGTCGACAATGTCGCGAATCCGTGTAACGGATGGCCGACCATATTTATTGCACCAGGTCTGCACCCACGGCGGCCTTCGCATGGCATCAGCTCCAAAAAATGCCGCGAGACCCGCGTCCAGCGCGTCGAAATCGTCGTCGTCGCCGCGCAGCCATTCTCCGTCAGCCCATTCTTCGTCGTCGTCGTCGACGAAGCCGCCCCGATACATAACCTGGACGCCTTCGACATGTAGAGTCCACATCGTGCCGCTGAGCACAGCGCTGCGGAGACCCTCGAGGAAGCTATCGAAAGCAGTCGCACACAGCGACTTGAGGAGCGTCGCATCGACGGGCGCGTGCATCTCCCCCGAGGTGCTCGTTCGCGTGTGGGCCCAGGAGAGCTGTTTGTGCTCTCTCTCGCCAAGGGGCGAGCGCTGATACTCAAAAAAATGTTTGACGGCGTCAGTCCTTCGCTTGCGCCAATGGCCCGGCGTTTTAATGGAGATGATACGGGGCCGGCGATGCTGCCCGAGGCGCTGGTACATAGCCAACGCGAGATTGCCGCGACGCGCGACCGCTGCTCGCTCGCGGCAGCCTTCGAGCACATAACTGCTCGCGGTGTACTCCATCCCTGGGATGATTTCTGCATCCCATAAACCCTTCAGCCAGGCTAGTGGCGTCGCGACCGACCGGTGGGCCTGTCGAGGCGCGCCTTCGAGCACGCGCACGTCGGCCGCGACGTCCCTGCAGACAGCTTTGATGCTCCGCGCGTGAAACGTCAGTGTACGGAGCGCTTCCACGGCGGAGAAGCGCACGCGCTCGGGAGCACCAGGCGCCCCGAGGGGATAGCTCCTCGCGCCTAATAAGAACGATAGCACGACGCGGCGCTCGTCCGCGGCCAACTTTAGGAACGGAAACGGGTCGACGACAGCGAAGGGGTGATCGTGTATGCTCCCGGGGCCGGGGAGCCAGTCATCGTCGGATTCTGACTCTTCCCTGTCCTGTGGGGCCTGCGTGGTGGCGTCCTTTGTGGCTGCCCCTGGCGTGCTGGCGGCCTCCGACATGGCTGCAGTAGATGGGCAGCCTCTAGATCTTAGCCAAGCCGCAGCCGCAGCCGCAGATTAGCTAGCGGCATGTAAGACACTAGCAAAAGCATGCCGGCAGCGCTGCGCGTGCTCAAGCGCTGGCGCGGCTATTTCTCCAATAGTGAACTGAATAGTGCTAAAAACTGACGCCGAGATCACTGCCATCCGTTGCTTGATCTGTGCGCAACTTTCAGAGGCCAGGGGCTGCACGCTGCAGCCACGCCGTCGACGACAAGTGAGCCATGCGCGGCGCATTTGTCCTCTTACTTTTCGAGAGATCGGCTACGCTTATGCCACGATCATCTGGTGTGATGCGAGCCGCGCCGGAGCCGAACGCCGAGCGCGAGCCGGCAGCTGAACTGCAGCCGGCAGCCGCGCCCGAGCCGGACACACGACCAACGTCGTACGACAACAAATATAATTGGACAACAAGCGCGCAAGCGCCGATGGGCGCGACCACGGCGCAAAACCGCCTGGCCGCGCTCAAAGCCGCCGCGGAGACCGACGAGCGGATCATAAGAGTGCGCTGGTCGGACCCGCGGACGATCGCGGGGCTCTGCGTGTTCATTCCCCTACTATTCTTCGACGAGTTCCTCGCGATCTCGCGCGGCTTCATTTGTGCGTCGAAAAATATCGAGCTCGCGGACTTGTGTTCGGCGGTCCAGGGAATAGGATAAATACACAGTTATATGTACCAAGGGCGATGGACGATCCCCCCACCATGTGACCTAGGCGCCCTCGTCGATCTTGGCGCGCGACGCCGACTCCTTGCCCGGCTCCTTCGGCGGCGCGAGGCCGAGCTTGATCATCATCTCCGTGAACTCCTCCACCGAAATGGACCCGTCGCTATCGGTGTCGAACTCGGCGAAGAGCTCCTGGACCTTGTCCGTGTCGACCTGCTTGGCCGCGCGGCGCAGCAGGACGGAGGGTTTCGAGGCGCTGGGGTCGACGAACTCGTCGTCGCTTTCCTGCGCGAGGTACTTCGACAGGCGGTTGCCGACCTTCTCGACGAACTGTTCGGTAGTTAACCCGGAGGGCCCGGCCATGTCCCAGGTGCCCTGGCCATATTTGAACGTGTTGTGCATGGCTCTGCGGAGGCACGTCACGTACTCGTGCGTCTTTCTAGCTGTCTCCTCGTCCTTGCTGAGGTCCGCGGCATGAGATAGTGCCCCCATGACGGCCTCGGCCATCCCTAAAGGATTGAACGACGTCGGCTCGCCCCGCAGGTGCTGGTGCCACAAATCAGAAACCGTGCCGTGCGAGGCCTCGAACTCCTTGATCTGTGTGATTAAGTGAAAGGTGAGATCGCGCAGGCTCCAGCAGGGTCGCGTCGATGGCGTCGCGCCGACCCCTACGCCATCGGCGCGACACGTCGATGGCGTCGCGCTGACCCCACGCCGTCGACGCGACGCGATGCACGAAAGGACACAGAATTTCACGGGAGAGCCGTCCGCCGCGACGCCGACCAAGTTCGACGTAATAAAACCGGGCGACCGGTGGACCTGGGCGACCTCGTCCGTCAACATGTCCCCGTCGTAGTTGTGGGCCGACATGCCGAAGCCGCCGCGCGTCCAGCGGATGATCTGCATGGTGGCTGCGTCCGATATAAGATGTTGCAGCTCGCCGCCCGTGTTCTCGAGCAGGCCCTTCTCCAGGAACTTAGCCTTGTAGTTCTCGTCGAAGACCTTCTTGTGGATGGCCCAGAAGGGCTCCTGCCACTTGAAGACCGTCTTCTTCGTTACTACGTAAGGGGTGACGCCGGCCTTGAGCGTTCTAGAAAAAAAGTGATGCGCGAGCGCTTCCACGTTATCCAAGGGGTTGTGGTAGACCACGGCGACGTTGCGCTCGTTGTCTAGGATCCTAGCATCCACAATAATGGCATCTTCGCCATCTTCAAATGACTCTTTATCAGGGAAATAAGTAGTGATCAATCTACCTTTGCCTACTTCTTTCCAGCCCGCACCGTACTCACCACCCACCGCATGTCTCTCGAAGAGCACGGGCGACTTGAAACCGAGCTCGACGCCGTCGATGTGGATCGTATCCCTGCTGATGGTCACGCCGTTCCAGCCTCTTCTCATCGCGCCGTTCGGCGACGGCAATGGTTTCGAGAGACCGAACTCCTTGACCTGCTCGGCAGACGGCGTGACGGTCGGCTCCTTGAAGATGGCGCCGATCTTGGCTCCGGCGGCCACGGCGTCCTTAAGGGTCTGGTCGTTCGACGCGTCGCGCGCGGCGCAGCTCAGGTCGAAGAACTCCCAGGCACTCGTATCAATATGGGGCTCGAGCCAGTTCTCGAGCATGAGCTGGGCCGCGTAGCGCGTCATCTCCTCGCCCTTAATGTAGACCATCGGGAGCGACTTGATCTTGCCCTCGGCGGTGAGGCCGTCGCTCATGAGGCGCCGGCCCTGCTGGGCGGCGCGTCTCATTGTCGTGGCGAGCATGGTTTTGCGCTGTGGCGTCTAGCGTATAGCTGCCTTCTCGCGTGGAAGGAATCCTGTGCTTTGTGGTTTGGGCTATGGAAAAGCCCGAAAACCTCGGGTTTCGCGCGCAAAGCTCTCACTGAATGCAAGGTGCAGCGATGCGGCAACGTTATCAATTCGAGATGCAGCTATACCCGCTGCTCCCGCGGGTGGCTGCGATGGGAGGAGTTAATGCCCTAGCGTACACCGGCTCTAGCGCGGCGAAATGCAGACCTCCTGCCGGCGCCCCCGCACCGCTCGCACCGACCCCTCGACGCGCTCCTCACCAACAAAACCCGCCGCCGTTCTCGCATTCGATCTGTTTGCAAGGCGGGCCGAAAACAAGCGTGGCCGTCGACGCAGCCCGCGGCGACGCCCACGCAACACGAAGGACTGCGCGCGCTTGCAATTGCAACGGTGCGCCGGAAAGAGCACCGCGCGCGCCGCCGCCACATACATCTACAGCTCACATAGAGGGGGCAGCCCCGCAAAGCAGCACCGGCAGCGATGGGCTGCAGCTCGTCGAAGGATGATGATTTTGCGGAGACCGACGACGAATTTATAAAGGGGCACTTCGAGGAAGTGGTTCCCGAAGCCGCGGAGAAGCCGTGCACGACCTTTGTCAGGGGCCAGCCGAAGCCGACGAGCTGGCTCGTGGGGAACGGCTCGCCAACACAAGCGCCGGTGACGCGGCGCCGGTCCTGGGACGCCCTGCCGCCGAAGGCCCGAACGGCCCCGAAGGCGGCCACGCCCGTCCGCGTCGCCAAGCTGACCACGGAGCTCGACGCGCTGAGCGCGCGGCTGCCGGCGCCGGCGCGACACAAGCCGGTCCCGCAAGTGAGCCGCGCGAACTCCACCAAGACGGCGACGCCGCAGGGTCATAGAGTCGTGACCATGTCGTCCGGCGAAATGGCCCGGGCGCCGCCTCCCCCAGAACCGGAGCCGGAGGTGCCGCCGCCGCCTCCGACAACTTTCTCGTCGCCGCCGCCGCCGCCCGCGACCACGAAGGCGTCTCCCCCAGAACCGATCGCGTCGCCGTCCACGCCCGTCAAGGCCCTGGCCAAGGCCTGGGACGAGGGCCGCGGGCCGCCCTCGCCGCGGTCGCCGGTGAGCGACGCGTCCGACGAGTCGCCCGTGCGCGCGGGCCACCGCGTGCGCATCGTCGGGTTGGAGAAGGCGGCGCAGCACAACGGCTGCGAGGGCGTCGTGATCCCGAAGCGCGACGGCGAGCGCATCGGGGTCAAGTTAGATAATGGGAAGCTGCTGTCGCTGAAGCCGGCGAATTTGGAAGTACAGCGTAAACCGCGCCTAGAAGATCGGATCAAGGAGAGCCAGGAGCGGGCGCTGCGACGGGCGGAGGAGCGGCGGCGCGCCGACGCTAAAAGAGAGGAGGCCGAGCGTGCGAGGGTTGCGGTCCACGAAGCGGAGGCGCGCCGCCAGAAGAAGATTCATGATGCAGAACTGGAGCGAATCGCGGAACAGAAACGTCTCAACGACGCGGAGGCCCAGGAAGCTCTAGAAGCTCGCGAGGCGCTGCGGCAGTCGTCGCTGCGCAAGAACCGCGCCAAGGCGAAGGCATCCGCGGCGACGGCCGAGAGTACCGCCACGAAGGCCACGAAGGCCGCCGCCGAGGCCGAAAGAATTGCGAAGCAGGCGGAGGCCAAGGCACTTGAAATTCGAAAGCAGGAGGAACTGAGGAAGGCGAGGGCCGCCGCGCGCAAGGAGGAGGAAGCGCGCCGCGCCGAGAAGGCCCAGAATGAAGCCGCGCGACGCAAGGCCGAGGAGGAGACTGCTAAGGCTACTAAGGCCAAGGTCGCGGAGATGAAAAAGCTCGCCGAGGCGCGCGCGAAGGCTGCGAAAGCCGCTCAAGCTAAGAAAGAGAAGGAACGAGCGGACTTGACCTGGCTCGAGAAGAAACGCGCCGACGAGAAGGCCGCGAAAGCGAAGCGCGAGATGGAAGAGCTAGCCAAGGCCGAGGAGAAGGCCGCAGCAGAACGAAAACGCGCGGCAGATGAGCAACGGGCCCAGGCGAAGGCTGCCAAGGCGAAGCGAGACGCCGAGGCCCGGGCCAAACGCGAAGCCGATGAAAAGAAGGCTGCAGAAGCCAAGGCGGCAGGTATCGCCGAGGAAGCACGGAAAGCACGAGCAGCCAAGGTCGCGGAGAACAAGCGCGTTCAGGAGGCTAGAGCCAAGGCCGCACTCGCGAGAGCCGAGGCGGACGCCAAGATCGCCGAGGCGAAAAAGAAGTCTGAGGAGGCTCAGAAAGCTATATCGGACAAGAAGGCTTCGGACGCCAAAAAGGCACAACAAGCCAAGGCGAAATCCGCCCAGAAGGAGCAGGAAGCGGCGACGGCCAAGGCCGCGGCGGACAAACGACGGGCGGCGGCGGCCGAGGCTGAGGCAGAACGCGAGCGCGAGCGCAAGGCGAACGAGCGTGCCAACGCCTGGCGCGAGGAGGAGGAGGAAAAAACGAAACAACGCGAGGCCGCCGCCGCCAAGCGCGCCGAGATCGAACGCAAGGTCAAAGCCGCAAAGGCGGCCATAGCGTTCACGGCGCCGCCGCCGCCCGGGGCCGGCAGCGACGCGCGCATCTGCAGCGTCTGCAGGGCGCACCTCCCGCCGTCGGCCTTCTCCGCGAAACAACTCAAGGCGAAGGCCGCGAAGAGGAAGTGCAAGGGCTGCGTCGGCAAGCCGGTGCCCGAGTCGTCCTAAGGAGGCTTCAGTCACTTGTAACCTCTTAATCTAGTCTAGACGTCATCGCTGCGAAAGGAACCAGATTTGGAAACAGAGCCTCAGAACAAAAACGGGACTTCTCGCGTGAGGGTGGTTTTTGAAAAAACCGGGTGTGAAATGGGTGAGCCAGAAGCGCCAGCGCCGCGGGGTGCGGCGGACGTTTACTTCTTGTTCGTGGCGGCCTCGAACTTGGTCACGGCCTTGGTGCCCTCGGAGACGGCGTGCTTGGCGAGCTCGCCGGGGAGGATGAGGCGGACGGCCGTCTGGACCTCGCGCGAGCTGAGCGTCTGCTTCTTGGAGAAGCGGCAGACGTTCGCGGCCTCGTTGCCGATGCGCTCGAAGAGGTCCTGGATGAAGTTGCACATGACGACCATGCCCTTGGACGAGATGCCCGTGTCTGTCGCTCGCTCGACCTTCGCGCTCACGCCGCCGCCCCTCGCAGTCTACACACTTCACTCAAATCATGTCTGGCAAAGGAAAAGGCGGCCGCGGCAAGGGCAAGGCCAAGGGCTCCGGCGGCGGCACGTCGACGGCGGCCAAGGCGGGCCTCCAGTTCCCGTGCGCGCGCCTCACGCGCTACTTGCGCGGCCGCGCGCCGCGCACCTCCATGTCCTCGGGCGTCTACATGGGCGCCGTCCTCGAGTACCTCTGCGCCGAGGTCCTCGAGCTCGCCGGCAACGCCGCGCGCGACAACAAGAAGACGCGCATCATCCCGCGCCACATCCAGCTCGCCGTCCGCAACGACGAGGAGCTGAACAAGCTCCTGGGCTCCGTCGCCATCGCCGGCGGCGGCGTCCTGCCGAACATCCACGCGAACCTTCTCCCCAAGAAGTCGCAGTCGAAGAAGTAGATCTCTTCTCGGTCGTTCGCGCACCACTCACTTTACCCGGTTTCTCCAGAAACCACCCTCACACGAGAAGTCCTGTTTGTTTTCTGGAGCTGCGCTGGAGCTTAAAATTAATGTATGCACGAGCAGGTCTAGCTCCCCAGGACCCTGAGGAGGAGGTCAGTGTGCGTCCACAGTCCTCCTCGTTCTCTACTACACCGTTGTTCTTTAGCTATCCGCTCGTTTAGCTCTCCCTCTCGCTCGCTCGCTCGCGCTCAATCATTTGCAACAAAGCATGAGCGTGCGTATCACTGATTTGTAAACTTAGTCACTTACTCGTTCGTAGTCCTTCCCCTCGACGATCTCAAAATGCATCGTGAATTCCCGCAGACCGGGCGGCACCCGATACTGCTCGAGCACGAGGGACACGCGGTGGCCCTTGGGAAAGCTGGCGTCCGCCTTGGTCACGTTCGTGACCCGTCGTACGGCGTGCTCCGCGTCGCCCCTGAATACCGCGAGTCGGTTCTGCTTCGGCGCGACCTCGCGGTCGATCACGCCGCGCTCGGACCGCCAGGGCGGCCGATCCGCATTCCGCAGACACAGCTCGCCGCCCGTCGCCTCCGGCACCGCCACGTACAGCACGGAGACGCGGTGCGCGAGCGGCGGCGCCGCGTCCGCGCCGGGCTTGAGGCCCAGCGTCGCGTCGCGGTGCCAGCCCACGGCGTACTGCTCATCTATTGATTCCTCCGCCTTCTTTCTCAATAAAAGCTTGACGGCCTCGGGCGCGTTTTCATCTACAACAACCTCCTCCTCGTCCTCGGCCGGCGCGACGACGAGCACGTTCAGCACGAAGCCCGTGCACTCTTTATCAGCGCACCGCCGGAAGAAGGGCACGAGCGGCCGCGTCTCCGAGCGCACCCAGAGCTTCTTCGCCGTCGCGTCGACGCCGCCCCAGCCGTCGAAGCGCACGACGAAGCCCGACGAGCCCGCAAACGACGCGCCCAGGGCTTCGCTATCCGCGTTTTGTAAGCGAGGGTGGTTCACCAACGCCGCTTTCAACGTCTGGAAGGTCTCTTCATCTAAACCCTGGCTCACCGTCACGAGCGGTCGATCATCTTCCATTTCTTCGGGGAGCTCGCCGTGGTCGACGACGTGATCCAGGACGGTCTGGGCGGCCGTCGACTCCGTGATCTCCACCACAGGCATTTGTGGAGGCTCCGGCGCCGCGTCGCGCCGTCTTGCGCATCTTGCCAGGAAGCGCCTTGCGGCCTGGGCATCATCACAAGCAGCAGGTCTGTCGAGGTCCAAAATCGCCTTCTGCCAGGCTGGCCTTTGTTTAAGCTTGGCCGGCGGGAAGTCCCTCTGTGCTCGTTCGCCCCACGGCACGCCCATGCAGTCCTCGCCGTCGACGCGCCACCGGTCGCACCGCTTCAGCCAGAGCGTGCAGTAGTCATCGTCCTCCTCGTCGTCATCACCTCGCAACGCGTGGACCAATGCTCTGCAGAGAGCGGCCTCGGCGTCCTTCGGCGACGCCTCGAGCATCCCGTCACAACTTTCCAATGCGGTATCAAAACGCTTGGCGGACAGCTCTTCGACATACGTGGCGAGGTGGGTCTCGTAGTCCTCCTCGGCCGCGTCGTAGGCGTCAAAAAGCTTCTCCTGGAAGTGTGCCATTTCTTATTTTGCGTCGACGGCGTCCGTGGCGCCTAATGTTCGCGTCGATGGCGTCGGTGGCGCCTATTATGTTCCACTTCCAAATGAGTGTGCTGGCTCTCCTGTGGGGCAGCCGTGACGAGGTGCTGCGAGGCTGCACCTGAGGGTGGTGTAGCGAGCCCTATGCTGCCCCAGGCGGCGCCATTTGATTGCAACCCGCACGCTAGCACGCTACGCGCGCGTATCTCGCAAGCACGCCATCGCCGCGCTTCAGAGAGACTCACATGGATTTCTTACGCGTTCGTCGAGTTCACTATTTCGAGCGACGCCTGCATCTTGTCCGTGTACTGGTCCAGCGCGCGCATGATGTTGTCGTCCTGCCGCTCCCTTTGACTGACTTCGGCATCAATGAGTGTCTGGATCTTGTCCACTTCTTCTTGACACACTCGATCCAACTCGACGTCCGCCGCGACTCGACTTTTCATGCACGCCACCAGTTCCTCCTGGATCTCCTTGACGCGTTTGACACGAGCTTCGTACTCGACATCAAAGTTCTGGGTGATGTGGCGCTCGTGCTGGTCCATCTGTCTCAATATGACTTCCTCGCGAGCCTTCCGTACCCTCACCTCCTCCTCGAAGGCCTCCTGGAACTCGTCTAACAACTTCGACAAGCGTTGAGATTCCGCCTCGATCTCTTCTAGTATTCTAGCTTTCTCGGTCGCGAACCGCTCCTCCAGCGCATCGGCCCGCTTGTCGTACGTGTCCAGCCTTTTATGCACTTCGATGTCCTGATGTTCGAGTAATTCCGCGAAAGCTTGATAAGCTTTGACCAACTCCGCATCGCAATGCTTCTGCAGCGACCTTTGTTGAGAGTCCGTGATCGCCACTTGGTCCCTCAGGAGCCCTTCCAACCGGCTCATCTCGGCCTTCATGGCCGCGATCTTCCGGGCGTCCTTTTCTCGCCTCAACCGCGTCTCCTCGCGCATCGCATCATCAAAAGGCTCGAAGCCGTCGAGCAGCGTCTGGAGCTTCTGCGCGGTCGCCGCGTGGTCCACGCTCGGCTTGGCGCCGACATCGCCCAATACAGACGTGGTCTGCGCTTTGGCCTTCTTCGGCGCCATCTTGGTGCTTCAAGTGTTGGGGCGCCGCGGCGGCGTGGGTGGCACTGGGTCCTGGGGAGGGCAGCCTGGGTGCTGGTCCTCGGTCCCTGGCGGGTGGGCGCCTCCAACGGTCGTGCCCTGGTGCTTAGGGCTTACTCTTCGCGCGTGTGTGTGCTGCAGCTCTTTGCGGGCAGCGTTTGCGCCTTGGTCTGTAGCGCTGCTTGGCCGGCGCTGCCCAGCGCCGGTCTGGCAGTGAGGCTCGAGCTCGGACCCTTCGAGGGCTGCCAGAGAGCTCGTTCTCTCCCCAAGACGGCGTAGTCGCGCGCCTGAACAGGCTCCTTGCTTGCTAGTGTCTTTACAGGCCGCTAGCTAGCTTCACACCTCGATATACAAGCTCGCGGTTGGACAACCAGTTGCAGCGATAAGCGATTGAAGGGCCTCTCGCGAAGCATTCCTGCAACCGTCGAACTTGGCGCCGAAAACCACCACACGTGCGGCTGCTGCAGGCCCAAAAAGCATATTGGCTGCCATAAAACCAACGCGCCACGCGCGGCACAAGCTAGCAAAATGCGCACACGCAGCCGAACAGCCAAACATACAACACTCGACAAGATAGCTCATCCCCACGATGCGCCGTACACACCGTCGCGCGCCCGATTAGTGATCGCGACGGCAGTACTAGCCGCACTAATAGCAATCATACCAATCGGCGCCGCATCCATACAAAACGGCTGCACGATGACGCGCATGTGGCCGTACTACGAGGACGCGAAGATCAACCACGGGCGCTACGGCGTACTTAGGTATCGAGAGCGCGGCCGCGACCCCTACGAGGCTAAGGAGGGTGCGATATTGTTCCTGCCGGGCAACGCCGGCGACGCAAGGCAAGTTAGAAGTTTGGGCCACGAGGTCGACCTACTAAAAGGCGCGGCGGTCTACGCCTGCGATTTTAAAGGAGAGTGGTCGGCCTTCGACGGCCGGATTGTGAGGAGGCAGGCGCGCTTCGCGAAGCGGGTCACCAAGATTCTGGCGAAGCGCCACAGTTCGAAAGTCGTGGTGGTGGGCCACAGCATGGGTGGGGTGGTCGGATTATTAGCGGCGGATCAAACAGAAACGATTTCCGCCGTCGTCGCGCTCGCGACGCCGTTGGCGGCGCACCCCTTCGCCTTCGAGCGGCATTTGGCAGGGATCTACCCGCTTCCCGACAAAACACCGCTCGCCAAGATAAGTGGCGGGCCGCGCGACTGGCAGGCGCCGAGTTGGCTCGTCGGCGGCGTCGAGGCATCGAGCCTGCCCGGCGCGGCCCATATTGGGGGAGTGGACCACCAGTGCGCCTGCTGGTGCAACGAACTCATCACGAGGGTAGCACACGTCGTGCACGCGCCTTCTGAAAATTGGGAGAAACTTACCGAACTGCGAGGCTCGGACACGGCGGGCGCGTCCCTGGGTGCCGCGCGGCGCCACTTCCGGGGCGGCCCGGCGGGCGCGTCGCAGCTGGCTTCTTTTTTAGTGCCGCGCGTGCCATCCTTACTAATCGCGGCCGCGCTGGCGCCCGGCGACGTGTATACGTTTACGGCATTGACGGCGTTTCTCGTGGAACCCGATGGACTCTCGAAGGCGGCGTTGGCGCTGCTGCTTGTGGTGTTAGCGTACGTCGTCGCGATTCCATTGGGAGCGGCGCTCGGCCCCGCGGCCAACCGGGCCGCGAAGGCGGTGTCGAACGGCGCCTGCGCGGAGGTCGTGGCCCGGAAAGTGGCTACGGTGCGGTGGGCCGCGGCGGCCCTGTGCGGTGTCCACCCGGCCCTGGGCCTCTACGCCGCCGCCTGGTTTTGTTCGACGGCCGACGGCGGCCCGCTCTGGGCCGCAGCATTATCATCGCTGCCGTCCCTGGCTTCCGCGGCCTCGGCTCGCCGATTTCTGTCGCCCGAACCGCTCGCGGCACTGGTATGTATCGGGCTCGGGGCCGGGCGGCGGCGCCGTTTTTCTAGGCGCCTCGGCGCGCTCTGGGCGGCGTACGGCGCGGCGGCGGGGGAGCCCTCGAAGGCCCTCGAGGCCCTCGGCGTCGTCGCTCTCTTGGACCTCGGCGCGGAGTTTGTTGTGCGAAGGTAATTGTGACAAAATTAGATACCCTACTAGAGGACGAGCTTCCGCCGCGGGGACCGCGGCGGCGACCGCCCGACGTCGCCATAAATACCGCCCGCCGAGGACCGATGGTGAGCGTCGACTCCGTGGAGGATTCGATCTTCGGTGGTCCGCCGCCGCTGGGGCGAGGGCGGCGGCGTCGAGGGCTGCGGCGGCTCGACCGCGCCCCCTGCGTCGCCGCGCCACGCCGCGGCGGCAGCTGAGCGTAGCGCATCGAGGCCGACGGCAACTCGTAATATTGAAAACGGCCGCACGACGTCGGCGTCGAGCCAGCGCGCCGCCACGCCCAAAAAAGGTAAAAGCGGGTTCGCGGCGACGCGCACCATGAGATGCGTCGCGCGGCGCGGCGCGCCACGGCCGCTCCGGACGAAGCGCGCTATTCCATCTATCAAAGCAATAACGCCAGCGATGCAAGCGATCGTCGCGACGTCCGTCTGGGCGTCGCACGTCGAGGGTGGTGCGATGGCCTCATTTTTTAAATGCCGTCGCAGCATGCGCAACCGCTTGAGCGGACCGACGGGAAGCGGCGGCACGTCGCATGCCACATCTATCGCGCGCTCCCTACATTTTCTCAAAGCGGACACCTCGATTCCAGCACACACAGCCAGGAACACGCCCCACTTCGTATCAGTTGTGTTCTGGGCCCGCAGCGCGCGGAAGGCCCAGTCGCCGCCGCGCACCGCGGACGCCAGCGCCACGTAGCCGTCGAGCGACGTGACCTTCGCGATGGCGTCGGCGAAGGGCGTCGTGTTCGTGAAGCCTCCTGCCAATTTAATGGCAGCGCCCGTCGCCGGCAACAGGGCGAAGGCGACGGCCAGGTGGTAGCACCATTGTATGAGGATGCGGGCACCGAAGGTCGCCTCTTCTGCTCTCAAGTGGAACTCCCAGAGCCAACAGGCTTTGACTACGAGGGATACGGCGAACGGCAGCGTCGTGCGCGTGACCAGCGTGTAGCTCTCTACGGCTGCCGCTATCACGAGGTGGAGGTGGCTCGTGAGCAGGGTTTTCAGCGGCAGCTTGGTGTTGGGGCGCGCCGTGGCTTGATATACACGGTGTTGGTTACGCATGGCTGCAGCAATGCCGCAAACGTGCAAAACCTTGCACTCGCACGGGTCTAGCCCTGTAGTCCCGCTTTTGAGCTCGGCACTCGAGTCTTGCTAGCGGCCGGTAAGACACTAGCGGCCCAAACGCTAAAACCTACCAGATGCCTCTGTCTACAAAATTTATCACGTACAAACATCGTCGTTGCAGCACAACCGCACCAGTCGCCGAACCCGCGTCCCCGCGTCAAATTTTAAGCCCGCGCGCGTCGCGTTCTCGTGGATCCGCGCGCGTCCGAGCGCCCGCTTCGCGCCCACGAGGAGCGCGTTGCCGCCCGTGGGCGATGAGTCGACCGAGTCGGCGCGATAAGCCGCGTGGAAGTGCCTCGCCAGAGCGTCCTCGGCTCGCGCGACCGCGGCGTCGCGCTTCTTGCCACCGATATGGAGGTTGTGGATCAGCACGCCGTCATCCGCCAGCCTAGACGCGGCAGCGTCCAGGAAGATCGCCCCCGAGAACGCCGCCGGGCAGACGTTTTGTTCGTCGAAGATGTCCACGAAAATCGCGTCGTAGGTCTCTTCGGAGCGTAGCACGTAATCTAACGCGTCTCCTCGAACGGCGCGGCCCGCGTGCGGCGCCTCGAACGCGGAAACGTCCAGGACGGCGCCGTCGAGGTCAACGGACACGTGGTCGGAGCCCGGCAGGACCGCCTGGAGGTAGCGCTGCAGCACCCCAGCGCCGTGGCCCAAATGCAGAAAACGAAGCGGGCGATCAATCGGTAGCGCCGCGACGAAGAGGGCCGCCGCCGTCCGCAGGTGCTCCGCGAGGAGGAGCGTCGGGTCGTCGGCGTTGTATATGCCGTGGTAGATATTCCGCCCGTCGTCGCAGTTTAGCCCGAGCGTGCGCCATCCGCCATTCCTCTCTCGAAGCTCGACTGTGCTATTACCAAAGTCACTAGCCTGCGACGCGAGCACGCGCGCGTCGCTGTGCGAGCCTGCGGCTCTGAACCACGCAGCTACGTCGTGGCTCTCGTCGTCGCCGGGCGGGAAGCGTCTCGCATCATCGAGGAGCGCCGCAATGCCCGGGAGCGCCGTAGGGCCGTAGTAGCCGTTCTTCCGCGGGCGCTGGGTTGTCCAGAGGTCCTCACAGCTCTCCTGGCTCTCGGAGACCTTGAGCAACAGCCGCTCGACGCCGGAGTCGTGAATTAAGTTCAAACCTCGCGCCGCGACCCGCTCTGTCGCTCCGTCGGCCGACGCGGCGAGTTCAGCCACGAGGTCGTCCGGTAGACCTGGCCGATGAATCCCAACAGAGCGGCCGCAGAGGAAGCGACGCCGGCCCTCGTTCGCGTCGATGGCCATCGGCAGCGGCGGCATGATTTCCACGGTCTCGAACCCGATGGCCCGCCAGCCCGCGCCGCCGCCCCAGTCCCGGTCAATGTTCGTCACGATGTCGTCGACGTCCCGGTCCTTCTTGAAGGCCGACAGCAATTTTGTGATGCCGCCGACCACCCGCATGTCCCGCCGCGCGCAGAACCGCAGGAGCTCGTGCGTCCGCCTCTTTGACCCACGGCCGCGCTTCACGAGCTTCCGCTTCGTAAACGTCGCCACAGCTATTAAATCGTCCTGGAGGAAGAGACCGTAGGCGTACTTGGCGTTCGTCGGGCCCCACAGATGGTGTGCGTCGAGGAAGGCTATCGCCTCCTCGGCGGCGATCGAGCGCGCCGTCGTCTTCCGCGCGTAGACGCGCTGCGTCGCTTGGACGCGATTCAGCAGCCGGTCGCGCACGATGTCTCCTCTTTGTCGCCACGTGTCCTCGTGGAGATGAATTATCGAGGAGCCCTCGGCCTCGGCGGCGTCCGTGAGGCGGGCCGACGAGCCGGGGTCGAGGCAGTCCTCGGGCGAACGTGGCGTCGGCAGGAGCCGGAGGCGCAAGTTATTATCGCCGAGGACGAGCGTGGTCTCGCGGCGGCCGCGCGCCGCCGCGTTGTAGTCGATGCCGCGTGTGCGAAGCCACGCCTCGACACCGTCGACGAATGGTGGCTCGTCGACGAGTGGCGGCTCTCGCGACGCGAGCGGCTGGGGAGCCTGAACCGGCGCGCGTAACAGCGCCTCCGCCAGCAAATGCCCGACCAGCGCAAGCAATGCACCACGCGCGCGCATACCGCCGGCCTGTGCAGTGGTGTGCAGCACGCTGTCACTGTCTCAACCAGCGGTGTGTTACGAATGCGGTCAGTCGGCTAATTCAACGCGTGTTCATTAATGTTACGCGTCCAGTTGATAAAAACCGCCTCCTGGCATGCGATCGCTTTCAGTTGTGAGAGCTGCTCTCCCCCGCAAGCAGCTCTCTGAGTGAGCTGCGGCGCGCACGAGCGCGAGAGCTAAGAAATTGATGCGCGTCGCAGTCGCTGCGGCGGCCCTGCTCGTGAAAACGGCGGCGCTTTCAATGGCAGCGCGCGGCCTGCCGCTGCAGCCCTCAGGCAAGGTGGTCATCCTGGGCGGCGGCTTGCAGGGCTGCGCGTCGGCCTACTACCTCAAGCAGCGCGGCTTCCAGGACGTGACGATTGTGGAGCGAACTTCTGTAGCGGCGGCAGCGAGCGGCAAAGGTGGTGGCTTCCTCGCCCGCGGCTGGGGCTCCGGGCCGACGAGGCCTTTGCACGAGGTGTCGTTCGACCTCCACGCCGAGCTGGCGAAGACGCTCAACCTCAAGACCTACCGCAAGATCAAGACGTTATCTGTGACGGGCGAGCTCGGCCTGCGGGGCTGGCCGCCGGCCGACAAGCCCGCGAAGGCGCCGTTCTCGCCCGACGCGCCGGCGTGGCTCGACAAGGAGGACACGGGCGCCAAGCTCATGGACCCGGACACGGCCCAGGTCGTGCCAAAGGAGCTCTGCGAGGCCCTGTTTGCGGCGAGCGGCGCCAAATTGGTGGAGGGGCGCGCGAGCGGCCTCGAGATGGACGGCGACGCCTGTACCGGTGTAAACGTGGACGGCACAACGGTCCCTTGCGACGCGGTTGTGTGCGCCATGGGCGCATGGAGTGTACTACTCGAGGACTGGATCGGCGCCGAGACAGGGCTCTCCGTGCCGCTGGAGGGCGTATACTCGTCGTCGATTGTCTTCGAGGGCTCGCCGGAGGTCGCCGCAGAACCCTGCGCTCTCTTCTGCGCCGAGGACTCGAACAGTTGTCATTTGGAGGTGTACCCGCGCGTCGACGGGAGCGTGTACCTGTGCGGCATCGGCGGCTCGGACCACGTGCGAGGAGCGCGGCTGCGCGAAGGTGGGGACCTCCAGGACGCGTCGCTGATGAAGGCGAACCCGGACCGTCGGTAGCCGTGTCTGAATCGTGTCGATGGCGCCCTGCCGTCGCCGCGACGACGCTCGACGCGTCCTCCACACAGGTGTCGCCGCCGCCGTGGCTTCTTTCCAGGGCATGGCGCCCTTCGCGCGCGGGCAGACTCCAAAAATCGAGCAGGCCTGCATGCGCCCGTGCGCGCCGGACGCGATGCCCGTGCTCGGGCTCGTCCCCGGCACGGCGAACGTCGTCTGCGCCTACGGCCACAACTGCTGGGGCATCCTTTGGGCGCCTGTGACGGGGCTGCTGATCAGCGAGCTCCTAGCGGACGGCCGCGTCAAGGCTATCCCCTCGCTCGACCCGTTCTCGCCGCGGCGGTTCATGCGGCGCGCGCCGAAACGGGGCCGGGCCAGGGGCGACGAGAGGGTCGGGGAGCAATGGTAAGGCGCTAGTTAGGAGCGCAATACGTCAAGAGGGGCTCACTTGCCCTTGGGCGCCTTGCCCGCGGCGCGGTACTTGGCCTGCTCGGCCGGCGTGAGGCGGTTGAACTTGCGCTGCTCCTCGCGCGCCTCCATGGCCGCGCGCTGCGCCTCGCGCTTCGCGCGGAGCTCGTCGTAGACTGCGCCGCTGGCGACCTCCGACGAGTCCGCCGGCGCCGGCTTCATCTCCTCCTTCTCCCGCTCCGGCGAGAAGGCGCGGTTCCGCATGGCCTCGGCACGCTTGCGGCCCGCCTCGCGCTGGGCCGCGCCGAAATCCCCAAAACCGCCGGCGACGTCGGGCACCTCGATTCTCTGCACCTCCGGCGCGGCGCCGCCGCTCGCCGCCTGCTTCGCCTTGGGCTTGGGCTTGGGCTTGCCCTCCTTCGGCGCGAAGCTCGGGGCCTTGACCGACGGCAGCTCGATGCCGAAGCCGCCGCCGTCGTCCTTTTGCGCGACGCCGCGGGCCTTTGCCAGATTTTCGTCCGACAGTTCGGACTGGAGGCCGCCCATCATGGCCTTGAGCTCCTCGGACGTCGCGGCATGCGCTGCCGGCGCGACCAAGATGGTTGTTAAGCCCAGCAGGTCACGCCGGCTCGTTTTCAGCGCCTCCAGGGTCTTCTGCGGCCTAGGCTGCAGAGCCGTCGCACTGGCTGCAATAAGCAAGAGCTTGTACATAGCTTCAAGTTTGCCTTGGTGGTCTACCCTGCGCGTATATAGTCCAGATTGATGGCTCTGCCTTCGATAATCCTAGCGTATCGAGAGACACACTAGCACTCTCAAAGACCTCTCAAAAACGCGGGCCGCAGCTCTGCCAGGTGAGAGCAAAGTTTCGCGATCTGACGCATAGATCCAGCACTGGACGTTAAGCACAGCAGCGCTGCGAAGCAGTGCGCCTTCACGCCGTCGCCGAGCCAGTGACTAGGTCACTGCCAGAGGCACAGGAGTCTTACTCGCGCGCAGCAGTCATGGCCGAGGACACCGACGTGACCATGGCCGACGCGCCGCCGCCGGCACCCCAAGACGAGGAACTCGTCCTGCCGATGGTCGACGAGAAGCTCTTGGAGGACGTCAAGTCCATGGGCTTCCCCGAGCTCCGCGCGAGAAAGGCCTTGATGGCCGGCAGCAAGAACGTGGAAAGCGCCCTGGACTGGTTACTGTCCCATGAGAACGACGGGGACATCGACGAGCCCATCAAGAAGGTGCCAAAAGGGCAAACACTCGCGTCGAGCGGCCCGGTCCAAGTCGCGAAATCCATAAAATGCGTCGAGACCGGAAGGCTGTTCCGCAACGCCATGGAGGCCCAGGCCTACGCGGAGCGAACGGGCCGAACCCAGTTCGAGGAGACCACAGAAGTAAAAAAGCCTCTGACCGAAGAAGGAAAAAAACAGAAGGTCGCGGAGCTGAAAGCCTTGGCGGCGCAGCGTCGCGCTGAAAGGGAAGGGTTGGAAAAAGTAGAAGATATTGATAGAGAGAAGAAACGTAGAGAGCAGGGCCAGGAGTCGATCAAGACGAAGGAGCAGCTCGCCAAGGCTCAAAGATTAAGGGAGATCGACCGCATCAAGCGGGAGAAAGCTGCCGAGAAGAAGGAGCGGGAGCGGTTGCGGGCGGAGATCGCCAAAGATAAAGCGGAGAGAAGGGCGCGCGGCGGTCGGCTCGCGGGCAAGTTGGGCGTCGACGGCTACAATCCTTCCATAGATCAGAACGACGACCGGCGGAACGACGCCTGTCCTACGACTGATGAGCCTGCTCCTGCTCCTGCACCACCGAAGAAAATAGATCTGCCTCCTCCAGAACAAGTCGACAAGGCTATCGGTACAATTCAAAAGTACAAGACGGCCGGCGACGGCGGCACGTGTTTGAAGACGCTAGGGGCGTATTTACGGAACGCAATCAACAAAGGAGACCAGGACGAAAAATATAGAAAGATACCGTTGGACAATGCGGCGTTCAAGAAACGTGTCTCTGGTTTAGTTGGTGGGATTGCTTTACTGAAAGCCGTGGGCTTCGTCAAGGACGAGACGCACCTTGAGTTAACTTTAGCTGTGCGGGACTCCAATAAGGCGTTGCTCGAGGAGACGCTGGCCAAGCTCGAGAAGGCGCACGCGGCGTACGTCGCGGGGGCGTGCTAGTCTACTATTATAGGGGGAGGGTTTCTTAAGCGTATGTATCTACTCGGCGGTGGCCTTGTGGTGGAGAGAGTAGGGGGTGTCGGTTTTGACACTCCCCAGGTCATTCGACCTGAGTCGCATCAAAACAGAGCACCCCCGGGGCTGGGAGACTGAAAATCCATCCGAGTCGCGTTCCCCCTAGTTTCCCATTCCCCCGAAATTACCAAAATGTGTAAAATAATTTATTACGGGATTTCGTCGGACCGTGACGCCCCTTTCTTACCATCCCCCTTCTTCCCAACTTCCTAGAACTGCTTGGCAATGCGTTCGATACCTTGGCGGCATACGGGGCATCTGTCAGCAATGCTAGTGGCGGGCGGGGACGATATGCGGCTGACCGCTCCCGATGCTCCGAGCTGATTATGTCTTTTGAATTTTTTCGCACATGCCTCGCAGGTAGCCAAGTGAGCCGTGTTCCCGTGGACAAACGACATGTTAGCAGTGGCATCCATGCAAACCACACAACGGGACACGTCCTTCTTCTCCTCGCGGAGCGGGAGCTGCGCCGCGGCCGCGAGCTCCTCCTCCTCCATTGTGAACTTGTGGTGGTCTTCGTCGATCGTCGAGTAGAGTTCGCCCTCGTCCTCCAGGAAGTCCACCGCCGACCGGACTTTGGCCAGGTCGATGCCGAGGCTCGCGGCGACGTCGTTCATGTTGCAGCCTTCGTAGCTCGTGCCGTGGATCGTGTAGTAGTTGAGGACGCGCTGCTGCAAGGTAGTCACCTCGATTTCGGCCTCAGCGCCCGCCGCGAGCGCTCGTGCCGTCGCCGCTAATTCGCGCAGCTCGGGCTTCGTGAGGTTGGTGCAGCCCGGCGTCGTTCCTTCGCGCAGAAGCTGTACGGCGCGTTCAAGCAGGTCAAGAAGGGCACGACGGGCTGCCATGGTGATGTTTGCGCTCGTTTAATGTGCTTTGGGGCAGCTGTCTAAGGGCGAAGTGCTGAGCACTGAAGATCCAACCGATAATAATTATTCAAAAAAAAAAAAAGACACGACGAGACTTACACGCGAGGCCGGGACCTCTCCTACCTAGCCTTCCGCTTAGTCTTCCGCGCCGGCGCCGCGATCCGGAACGTGGCGCGGTCGGTGCAAGCGACCTCGGCGGAATCGGAATTGCAGTAGCACATGATCTGAGTTTCGGCGACGAGCCGCAGGGTGCCCTTGCGGTTCGCTTCGAGAATCACCGTGCACGTCGAGCCGGGCGCGCCGCATTCGTCGCAGCCGCCCTCCTCGCCGTCTTCGTCTTCCCATACTAAGTCCCCCCCATCAAGCAAGTCGTTGACTCCCGCCATCGACATCCCGTGCCACAAGTTACCGACGTTCACAGTAGCAGGGGCGTCCTTGAAACGAATGGGACCCGTCTCGCCGTATCGCGGCTTCGGGTCCTCCTCCCAATTGTGCGCCAGCATCTTGCGCTGGTCGGCTGCCCGGCTCCACGTGTCCGCCGTCGCGGCCTCCAACTGGCTGCGCAACGCCGGAGATTGGTCCCAAGCTCTGCCAATGGCAGCCACGAGCTCGCCTTGCTTCATCGCGGCCAGGAACGGCTCGGCGGCTTCGAAGGTCATGTCCCTGGTGGGCAATTGGTCCCTGGTGGGGTACTGGCGAACGTAGACCCTGTCCTCGATGGTGCGTCCCACATCGTCGGGCCGTGTCCCGTCCCACCAAAAATTATTTTCGTCGGTATTGTTGAGAGGGTTCTCGCTTTCCGCAAAGTAGTCGAAACGTTCTCGGATCTCGACAGCCTTCTCCCTTGCGCGCCGGATCGCGTTGCAGAGCTGCAGGAACACACCAACCACCTCGGCGTCGGTTGCGTAGCAGTGGTTCCTGCCAACCTCCAACTTGTCGTAATGCACGACGAAGACCTCCATTTTGCGAGCAGCGGGCAGCCAGGCTTGCCAGTTGGCAGCCAGTTTTGTAATTGCTAGTGTCTTACATGCCGCTAGCTCGGTTGTAAGGCGCAGCGGCGCAAACACTGCCTGCATTCGAGCCCACACTGCGTGGAGGTCAGCAACCGCTGTCACTTGCTGGCGCACGTCGCTGCTGCAGCGATGCTCGACCGCCGCTCCCTCAGCTACGCCGCCCTGGGCCTAGGCCCGTCCTGGCTCCTACTCGATGGAATCTTCGCGGAGGTGGCACTGTTCGACCGCACGCAACCGGAAGGCTTGGCGCTCGCCACGTACTTGACCGCCGTGTCCGCCGTTGCCAACACGGTCGTCGTGCCGGGTCACGCCGTCGTCCAGCGCCGAGTGCAGTGGTCGCTGCGCACCTGGGTCGGCGGCGCCGTCTACGCGCAGCTCGCCACCGCACTTATATTGGCCTTTTTTTGGCATCAGAGCGTCGGCGGCGCGTCGGTCGCGCTCTATCTGTGCGTCTTCGCCACGTCGCTCGTGGGCAACTTCCAGCAGCTCGCCCTGAACCCCTGGGCGGCGGAGACCGGGCGCGCCACGCGCATCGTCGAGCTCATGGCCGGCGGCAACGCGGGCGCTTTGCTCCCGGCCTTCCTCGCGCTGCTGCAGCGCGTCGACAGCGTGCGGCGGGAGTTCGGCCCGACGCCGTTCTTCCTCTGCCTCGCGGGGCTCCTGGTCCTGCCGGTCGCGGCCTTCCACGCCATCGGCCGCGTGGCCAAGGCCGCGCCGGGCGAGACCGAGTCGCCCAAGGGCTGCGAGCTCTCGCCGCAACGTGGCGGCGGATTCGGCGCGCCCGCGGCCCCGGACGACGTCGCGCTGTCCGAGGAGGAAGAAGAAGACGCGACCTGGGCCGAGACGCGGCTCCTCTCGCTCAAGATGCCGCCCTTGTCACGACGGGTGCCCGACGAGGACCGGGAAGCGCGCACGCAGGAATGTCGACGCCTTGCGTACTCGGGAGCATATTACCAGCTGGCCTCCTGGGTGTTACTGCGGTCGTTCCTGCCCTACGCGGCGTCGCTGACCGCGCCGGAGGCGTCCAAGGACGGCGCGGCGTATTTGGCAGTCGCTGTCAGCGGCTCGCTGATCACGTGCTTCGTGGGCGCGCTCTTCGCGATGCGGCGCGACGCGCCGATCAACGTGGCGAAGTCCGACGCCGTCGTGACCGCGGGCTGCCTAGCGGTGGCGCTCGCGTCCTTGATTTGTGGTGTGGTGGGCAGACCGCGGAACCCTATCGCGGCATTGGTGGTCGTCTTCGCGACGTGGATCGTGCGTTTCCTGGACGGCTACTGCTCGCCGCTATTTTACCGGCGGATCCATACGCTTTCGGAATCGATCGACGTGCTCCAGTGGGCCGGCGTCGTGGCCATCTGGGTCGTCAACGCGGGCGTCTGGCTGTCGCTCGCCGTCGTCCTGGGCGTCGAGAACTAGTCTTGTTGTTGTGAATAAAGTTGTACAGTCATAATTCTTAGTTCTTCAGTCTTGCGTCAGGTCCGCGTCGACGTCGATTACCTCCGGCGGCGGCGGCGGCGGCGGCGAGTCCTCGGGCGGCGGCGGGCCCGGCGGCGGCGGTGGCCGCGGCGCGAAGTTGAGGAAGGTCTGGCCCGGGACGAGGTCCGGTTTCTTCTTCTTCCGCGGCTTTTGACTCTTCTTCTTCTCGATGGCACCGTTGAGGTGCGCCCAGAAGTCGTTCCGGTAGGGCGCGATCTTCTCGTGGGCGCGCTTCTTTTTCGCGCCCGGCGGCTCGGGCGGCGGCTTGGGCGCGCGGCGCCGCCGCTTCTTCGGCACCTTCCGCGGCCGGCAGATGAGGTCGGCCTCGTCGTCTTCTTTTGGGGCGGGCGCCGGTTCGCGCGCCACGTTTCGACAGAGCGGGCAGGACACCTGGAGCGACCGCCGCGTCGGCGCCGCCATAGGCGCATGGTCCGCCAGCTCGCCGATGCACTCGGAGTGGAACGTGTGGCCGCACCGGAGGACCTGGGCCCCGTCGTCGATCTCCCCGAGGCAGATGGCGCACTCGGGCGGCGGCGACGGCGGCACGGGCGCCGGCGCTTCCTCGGCGGGAGCGGCGAGCGGTGCCGGCGGCTCGGCGGGCTCCGCCGGTGGATCGATGGGTAGCGGCGGCGCGGCTGGCGCGGCCGGCTCCGCGGGTACGGCCAGCGCGCGCACGGCGGCGACGATGTAGGCGTAGACGGCCCGCTCGCGCGCGTCCGTGGTCGCGGCGGCCGCGGCCTCCATGCCGTCGAGGTCGCCCTCCTGGGCGTTGTCGAGGGCGAACTGGAGCTGCGCGTCGAAGTCCGGACAGACCTCGTAGAAGCCGCCCTCCCGCGCGGCCTTCCGGTGCGGGGCCCAGGCGTCGTCGGCGGGTGGCTCGACTGGCGCCGCGGCGCCAGCTGGTGCGGGCGACTCGGCCTGTGCCGGCCGCTCGACTCGCGCAGGCGCGGGCGGCTCGGCGGGCTCCGCCTGTGGCGGCGACTCGAGTGGCCGAGGCGGTTCGACGGGTAGTGGCGGCGCAGGAGACGGCGCGGGCGGCGCGACCGGCTCGGCTGGTGCCGGCGGCTCGGCTGGCCGAGGCGGCAGCGCGGGCGCGGGCGGCGCGGCCTTGGCCACGACGGGCGGCGGCGCCGCGTTCACGTCGCGATCGTTCACGTCGCGGCAGGCGAAGGACCGCCGGCGCGGCGCCGGGGCGGCCACGACGGCGTCGCCCCGCTGCCGCGCCGCGCACCCGGCGCAGCCGGGCCCGTTCCCGTGGGGGCAGAGATGCCCGGCCGGCGCGGGGCGCAACTCGAACGCGGCGGAGCTCGGCGGCACGTAGGGCTGCGTCAGGTCCCCGTCGTCGTCCGACGCGGCGTCGGCGGCGCTTTGCCGCGCCTCGAAGTCGTCGAGGCAGTCGACGAAGTCCTGTGTCGACGGCGGCTCGGGCGCCGGCAACGGCGACGCCGCGGCCTCCGGGAACGCCGCGGCCGGCGACGGGGCCGGCGGCAGGAACGCCGAGGCGGACCCGCGCGACGTCGTCGTGGCCGGCGACAGCAGCGACTGTCGCGGCGGAGGCGCAGATGGCGTGGCCGGGGGCACGCGCGGCTGGAAGAAGGTCGTGATGCGGCCCCGCGCCTGCGTGTGACAATGGTGATGGCTTCGATACCCACGCGAAGACAAGGACGCCGGATAAAGCACCGGGTCGGGCGCCGTCTCCCCAGGACCGAGCACAAAGCCGCAGGCGAGCTCGGCCGGCAGCGCGCACACGTGCGAGCCGTCCTCGCGGCGGACGCAGGCCACGCGGTGCACGCGGCACCGGACGCGCGGCGGCGGCGTCGGTTCGGGAGGCGGCGGCGGCGGCGGCGCCGGGGCCGGCGCGGCGGCCGTGATGGAGGCGGCCGTCTGGAAGGACGGCACGGGCGGCCCTTTCAACGGCGGCCCGGGGCGTCGCGGCGGCGGCGGCGGCGACGCCGTTTCAGAAGAAACGGTCTCGCGGCGCACGCACGCCGCCGGCAGGTCCTTTAAGAACGGCGACGGCCGCGCCTCGCCGTCGCCCTCCAATTCCCGCGTCGCGTGCGTGACCACAAACGACTCGCGCGCGCGCGTGATCGCGACGTGAAACAACCTCCTTTCCTCCTCGAGCCGCTTCGCGTCGTCGCGCGGCGCCAGCGCCCGCGCGGCCTTGGCGTCGCAGCCGTCCGCGGCGTCGCTCGCGCGCGCCGACGCCGGCAGCACGCCGTCGTTCGCCCGCACGAGCAGGACGTGGGGCCACTCGAGACCCTTGGCCCGGTGGATCGTCGTCAGCGACACCTCGTCACTATCATCATCACCATCACCCGCGTCCAAGGCACAAGTGTCGAGGAACTCGCGTAGTAACGATGGGCCTTCATTTTCGGTCGACTCGTCCTCCTTCTGCGCCGCGAGGCGTCGTAGTTGTTCTAGTAAATCTACCGCGACGGCGCGCTCGCCGCGCCGCTTCTTGGCCTTCTCACCATCCACGCCCTCGTCGCCCGGTTCCTGGGCCGGAGGGATGATAAGCGGATCGAGGAGCTTCAATGCGCTTCGAAGGGGCCGCGGCGACGTGTGCAGCGTGTCGTGGATGCGATCTAAGGCCGAGAGCACGTCGTTGATCGCCGTCCGCGTCTTTTCATTCAGTGAACTTTCGAGGGCCGCTCTACACGCCCCAAGCAACGGCAAGTCCGACCGTATCCTATCGAGCGTCTTCGGCCCGAGGCCGGGTCTCTGTAATAAAACGGTCTCGGCCGCGGCGTCATCCAATTCATTCCGCGCCAACCTCAAATAACTCAGCGCCGCGTGCACGACCGGCCGCTCGAAGAAGCGCTGCCCGCCCACCACCCTACACTTGATGTGTAGTTCAGTAAGCCGCTTCTCGACCAGTCGTAATGCGGGAGACGCGCTCCGACACAGCACCGCTACATCCTTCGGTCGACACTTTGATAGCAACCGCTGGATGCGCCGCGCGACGACGCGAGCCTCGGCCTGGGGGCCGCCCTCGACTCTCAAGACAGCCACGGGCTCGCCGTCGCTCCGCGCCGTCCAGAGGTCCTTGTCGACCCTCCCAGCGACCTTGCGGACGACGGCGCGCGCCGCGGCGACGACGTGGCCGCCGCTCCGGTAGTTTCTCGTGAGCGGTAGCACGGATGCACCTTCAAACACCCGCCGGAACGCGTCGAAGGCCGCCGGTAATGCATCCCTCCAACCATAGATGGCTTGGTCGTCGTCACCGACCACTGTCAAGGGAGCTCTATCCCCAGCAAAAATCGACGCCAGTAACGCGAGTTGGTTCCTCGATGTATCTTGCCACTCGTCGACAAAACCTTGAGTATAACGCGACCGCACGAAGGCGCCGCATCTACCTTGCTGCGAGCACGCAAACGCCGCCGCATCGACGACGTCGTCGAAGTCGACGGCGCGCATGGCTCTTAACTTCAAACGATACAAGCGGAAGATCGCGCCGACACTACCATCGAGATCGTTTGACGAGACGCCTCGCGACCGCGCCCGCTTGATCAGCGCCCACGCCCTCCTCACATCGTTCTCGTCCTCGTCGCGCGTAATTTCCTGGCAGCACTTCTTCACGAGAGCTTTCTGTTGGCTGTCGCCCAGGATGACGAAATCTCTCCCTAAATTGGCCTCATCCCCAAATCGTCGCAACAATCGCAGCGAGAAGCCGTGGAACGTCCGCACCTCGACGCCGCCACAATTCAACCCGCGCAGTCTTTCTAATAATTCGCGCGCGGCCTTGTTCGAGAAGGTGAGCACCAGTACCGAAGCCGGCCGGGCCCCCTCGGCGACGGCCCGCGCGACCCGTCGCGTCAACGTTTCGGTCTTGCCGGAGCCCGCGCCGGCGACGATCGCGAGCGGTTCGGTTAATGGCGCGTCGACGGCGGCCTGCTGCTCCGCCGTGAGCGGGCGCGAGGCGGCGCGGTTTGGTGTTGGCGCTTGCGCCCCCGCCGACCGCGGCCGGCCCGGTGGTGGCGCGGGCGGCGTGACGACGCGGCGCGGCGGCGCCTCGGACGACGTCGTCTTGCGCGGGACCTGGAACTTCTTGCGGCGCGGCGGCATAGTGCCACCGTCGCCGTCCCAGGCGTCTCGGAAGTCGCAGAAGCCGCCCCGCAGGACCGAAGCGCCGCGCGCGGCTGAGCTAGCGGCTATTAACGTGCTTTTGCTTCAGCGCCGCTGTTTGACGCCGCGCGAGTATTTGGGCCAGGCCACGGACTGAGGAGGCCGGCGGCGCTGCGAGCTCTTCGTGAGCCGTCGCGCTGGCTCAGAGCCGCGCGCGCGGCCAACTTCGCGGCCTTCGTGAGGGAAAGTCCCGTGCGATTAACTAGCGTATCAACATACTAGCACCGCAAAAAAAGCACAATAACTATACTTCACAGGTCCCCCAGGTGCCACCCACCCGGTAAGCGCCGCTCCGCACTCTGGGGAACAGAAGGGACCGCGCTCGCGGCGGCCGCGCGCCGCTTGGCGTTCCACGCCGCGACGTCCCTCGGTGAATAGGGCGCGCCGTGGCCCCGCCTCGAAAAGAGCACCAACGAGTTCCAGGAAGATGGATCTTCGGTAGGAGTAAAGACCTTCTGGCCCGCCCACATCCAGAACTTGCGGTCCGCGTCACATTTTATCGTGGAATGACAGAGCGCGGCGTTCAGCACGCTCTGGTCCCGCCGTTGGTTCGTGTTGCCCACGGCATCCTTAGGGTACAGACAAGCTCTGGAAGATGCGCACTTGTCTAAGGAAGGGAGGAGGGCATGCAACTCTGAACCGCGGACAACCCCCAAATAGGCCGACGTGCACTCGGGCATCGAGGCGAAGGCCGCTCGACAACCGAAATGTTGCAATGTAGCCGGTCGCACGGTCTTCGGCGTGGGGAAGCGGTGGCCCGCTACAGTTAAAAAGTAGCCCGTCTCGTCTAGTGAATGGCGGATCGCCGTGAGTGGCCGTCGCAATTCGGCGTTCGCGTCCATCCAGAGCACTTTTGTATGACGTGTCAACGCGTCCAAGACTACTGAGAATTTCCAGCCCACCAGCGGTATATCCGTATACGACGTCTTGAATAATGATGTGCGGTCCCACTCTTGTACATGTGTAAGTTGGTCAGACGATAACCCGAGGTCATAAATATCAATATGAAGAAACGGCTCCCAGAAGTGGACACTTCCGATAAAGTTCGATAACCGCTCAAAGTACTTCGCGTCGGCCGCCGAGACTATCGTTACATCGCCTCCCGTGTCACCGCGGACGTGCACCTCTATCGAAGACGCCCCGTCGGCTTCCACGGTATAAATGCCCGGTGCCGGCGCCCGCAAATCGCCGCAGGCCCGCCGCATGGCCGTCACGTAGGCCCGGCACGGTTGCTTATCTCTCACAATACCATGCTCGTCCACGAGCTTCACCCAGGTCCGCAGGTCTTCCACAACCGCTACTTGAAAAACGTGGACCTTCACCAGCAACCCGTCGACGTGGCTCTTGTCGGGGAGCTCACTTAACAGAATAGTGGTCGCGTTCCTCGGGGGTTCCACTGTAAAAATGACGGAGTCGTGCTCCGCGAGGTTGCAGTCTAATCTCGTTTTATTGTCGAGAGCTAGATACGCTTCGACAAAGTGCTCGCCCACTCCCAAATCCTGTAACGTCGGCAATGACTGGTCGAGGACGGGAATGCACGCCGGCTCCAGCTCGTCGAGGACGACGCAGAGCCGCACGTCGCGCCGCGCCGCGATGTCCACGGGCCAGGCCTGCACCTCCAGCCCCAGGGGAATGGCTTCGCCCTCCGTGTAGCGCTTTCCATGCTCCGGCGAGAGGACGTCGACCTGCGTCGAGACGTAGCCCGCGACGCCGCCCAGCTCCACGAGGCAGTCGGGCCGGGCATGGACGCTGGCCGCCAGGAGGCAGCCCCAGACGGCTCGGCGGGTCATGGCATCGATCGATGCGGTCCCGCTGCTGCTGCTGCCGCTGCAATTCTGATCAATATGGGCAGCCGCGCGATGCGATGCGCAGCCTCAGCAATACCCGAACGATGGTGGCGCGCGCCATATCGCTCCTCGCCTCGGCGAGGCGTCCCCACGACTTCTACGCCGCGCCGAGCGCGGGCCCCCAGGGTACGGGTTCCTAGAGAGCTTTTGCTTGTCCAAAATAATTATTGGCATTGTGACTTGTGCCAAGCCGTGGTGCTGCCGCGTGCAGGACCTGGCGGACACGCGGGGGCTTCATCCGAGTCCGTGCCGTCGTCGCGCCGCCTGCGCTGCCCGCGTAGGCACCGCCTTGGACCCAGGGTCACTCGCCACTGCCTGGCTCCGGCGCCGCGGCGGCGGCGCAAACCGCACGCGTCGTCGGCCGTGGCATCAACAACAAAGCAAACAAACCATGGCGACGCCCGCGCCGACGCCCAAGCCTACACCTCAACCCACGCTCGCGCCGACCCCGGAAACCTGGTCCGGCGACTCGCTGTACGTGGCCTTCTATTTGAGTTTTGGGTTATTTTGTTGTTTACTCGTATTGTTCGACGTCCTCCGCTTGAAGATGTGGTGGGTCTACGAGCCGCGATTGGTCCACAAGAAGTATCAAGCCCCGAAGACGCCAGACGCGCCCCCTCGCTATCCTTTAGGATGGTTGGTGGCCGTCCTGCGGAGCTGGCCCGACGAGACGTTTTTGAGGTATTCGGGAGTGGATGGGCTCGTGATTATTTACTTTTTGCGATTTGCCACGAACCAATGCTTCTTCTGCACGATTGTTGGGCTTCTGGTCTTAGTACCGTCCTATAGGACCGGGAGAGGTTTAGCGGCTCTAGAAGACTCAGAGAGGGGAGATAGGTGGTCCTTTTCGCTCAATACCGTATTAAACATCAAGTGTAGATTTCCAGTCAACGACGACGAGGCCGAAGAAGTTCGGGACAACTTGCCCCTGTTTCCCGGGTGTGCGAACGGGCATTCGGACTTTCGATTCATACTTATTGTTTTATGTGCGTGGCTGTTCACGCTACGAGCGCTGTCGGGTCTAGCGGCGAACTATCAAAGATTTATGCACCTGCGGCACTGGTATTTGACATCTGGCCTTAGTTCACATCGAGATGCGGACCCGGTCGACGCTCAGAGAGCTTTGACGGTCAAAGTCGAACGCGTACCTCCTAGATTGAGATCAAGAAAAGCTCTTCGACGAAAATTTGAACATTTGTGTGGCGCGGGCACGGTGCATTCGGCCCAGCCCATGGTCGGTGACTTAAGAGAACTAAATAAGCTCGTGGCGAGGCGAGATAGAGCGCATGCCGCTTGGGAAGATGCGAAGCAAAGGGGCGCCAAGCTCGCGAGAGACGCGGAGAAGAAGCTCGTCAAGCGGCATGGGGGAGACGCCTTGTCACGCTTGCCTCCTAGACCTAGAAGTCCGTGGCGGCGCGTGCGGAACGCGATTTGGTTTCAAGATTTGGAGACATTGCAAGAGCCTGTACAACGATTGGACTTTGACGACGAGGAGTCGCCCTCGGAAGCGGCTCGTAGACGTAGTGTCGGGGCGCGCCAAGATAGCACGGAGCGAGGTAAAGCGATAGAAGACGTCTCGCGGGAGGCGACAAGACGCCTATCCTACGCCATCGAGGAGACGGACTCCGAAGCTACCAGTACAACATTGGGCGACCTGAGTCCGAGACCCCAGAGACGATGGTTTTGTAGGAAGAGGCGCGACGCGCGAGTGCCAGTCGTACAACATCTAACTATAGGATGTTGCGACGTCGGTCCTTCCTGCTCATGCTTGCGTGGTGTGCTGCCGGACGACTACTACGTGGATAGCGTACCGTACTACGATCGACTGGTCAAGGATCTGGATTTAGCGATCCGCCGAGAACACTTCGCGAAAATGAATAAAGTCATGCAGGAACCTCGGCGCGAGTGGTGGTTGAGGCCTTCTGCTCCTCAAACAGTGGAGAAGAAGTGGAAGACCTGGCGGGGCTGCTTTTGGAGGGTGGACGACGAGTTGTCGTCAGATGATGATGAGGAGCAGGTCCAGACGCGAGGGAGATTACCTAGCTGTATTTTGACGCGGGACGGGCGGGGCTGGTCCGAAACCAGTGTTACGGTCCATGATTCGCCGGGATCTGATCGCGACGCGATGCGTCGGAGAGACGCCAGAGAAGAGGCGAACAAACGCCTCAAAAAAAGACGAGAGAAGGGCTGGAAACGAATTGTCGGGAGGGGCACGGCGACCGGTCATTGGCTCGTCACGATCGCGTCGCTACCCTTCAGAAGCTCAATAAAAGACCTGTGTCGAAGGTCGAAAGAGTATATAAAAGACTATCCCTACATGTCAACTTTCGACGCCCTGAAAGATGGGTTGTACTCATTATTGATTACCTTTTTAAGGATCGCATTGCCTTGTAGTCCACATATCGACGAAGCGAGTGTGCAGATGGAGGGGTTTCGACCTAGCAGTACCGCCTTCGTCACCTTCACGAAACCGACGGCGAAGCTCGAAGCGATCCATTCCTTGCTGGCCGCCCAACCGTTTGCGATGACGGCTCGAGATGCGCCCGAACCTCGAGATGTTATATGGGAGAACGTTTTTTTACCGACTGAAGCGGTTACGAGACGAAAGTGGGTCATCGAGCTGGGACTGGGGGCCTTGACGATCTTCTGGGCTACTGTTGTCACGTTCTGCTCGTCTTCCGCAATCCTAGCGGATAAGTTGTTCGGGTTTGACCCCGAGAGCGCGACGGCGCGGGCGTTCGCTTCCATAATTCCTATCCTGCTCTTGTTGTCTATTTTGAATTTACTACCGTTGATCTTCCAGACGATCGCGCGCTTCTACGAGCGGCTCAAGTCGCATTCGGAAGTCGACCTGTCAGTGGTGGAGCGTTTTTTCCGATTTCAGTTCGTGAATGTCTACGTGGCCATATTCATCACGGCCATACTTGAGCATCTACAGCAGGCCTGGCAGTCGCCACTAGCGTTCGTCCAGATGGTCGGGCAGGGCACGCCCCGCGTGTCCTTTTATTTTGCGAAGTTGTTAGCGTTTCAGTGTGGGGCCTCACCACTATGGTTATTGAGGACCTGGCCCCTCGTTTCTCGTGGATTCAAGTTCTACACGGTCCAGCCGCCCGAACTACCAGGCATGCTGTACGGCTGGGCCTTCCCGAAGGTGAGTCTCGCTATCTCGGCGCCGCGACTCTGACACGACTTGACCTTGGATTGCCACGCAGGTGATGATGACGTTCACGATCTTTTGCACGTTCTGGGTCTTCGCGCCGGTCCTTTCTTTTTTAGCGTTGATCTATTTCGTGCTCGTGCAGTGCGCGTTTCGCTATTTGATACTGTACGTGCACATGCCGGTGTATGAGTCCGGTGGGCTGTTCTACTATCGCATGGTCGACCGGGTGCTGTTCGGGCTGACGGTGTCCAACATCGTAGTGTTGTTCTGGCTCGCGTCCGTGAAATTGTGGGGCTACGCCGTGATGGTCGCGCCCATCCCACTGATCGTCGTGGCCTTCGGGCGGTTCGCGCGCGAGGCCTACGAGAAGCCGTCTCGGGAACTGCCTCTGGATGAATCGAGATTTAGGGACCATTCCGTCCAGAGCGAGGTCTCTCAAAGATTTGATGCCGCGCTGTACACGCAGCCGGCGTTGCGGGATCGGGGCGATTTGGACGCGGACGCGGAGCTCGCGGCGATGCTAAGAGGCGACGAAGACGTCGAGGACGAGCCCATCAAACGGAAATGCTGCGGCCGGCGCGCGAGGGAGAAGGAGGAGGAGGTGCGCGCCGTGCGGCGCGCGTCGTTGGCTGGAAGACGCATGACGCTGCGGGTCCCGGACGCGCAGCAGCCCTACGAGGCCTCGAGGGAGGAGCGGCGGCGCGTGTCCGCGCGGCTGTCCATGGCGTACCGGGGCGAGGCGGACTTCTTCGTGGGCGGCGAGGACGCGAAGGAGGCGCCGGCCGACGAGACGCCCTCCCCGCAAGACGGCGCCTTCTTCCCCCCGGCGGACACGACGCCGCCGGCCGCGGCCGACGAGCGGGACGCGGCGCGGTCCGCGCTGCGGCGGCTCCAGGAGATGGACTCCGGGTCATCGGACCTCGCGACGCAGCCCACGGACGAGCCCGACGTCTTCGTGAAGCCGCGCGCGCGGCGCGTCGAGCTCGTCCCCACGCGGCCGGCCGGCGCGCCCATGCCGCCGCCGCCGCCGCCCCCGGGCCCGCCGCCGCCCGGGCCGCCGCCGGACACGACCACGCTGTAATTATGAATAATACTTACTAGTATTCGTATGGTCGTCTCTTGATCTCGCGCAAGAGCACGGGCTGCCTGCAAAACGGACACGGGGCTCGATTCGCCGGCGGGTTCGTCCGACACACTCGCGTGATGCACTCGCGGCAGAAACTGTGGTTGCATTTCGTCCACGCGCGGTCGCTGTACGGCTCGAGGCAGATAGAGCACTGGACGTCCGACTGCTGCCGTTGGAGGCGCGGTCGTGCGCGTGCTAGGTGATGCTCGAGCAACGCGACGAGTGCGTGATGTTGCCGACGCTTCGCAATGTCCAGTGGCGTCGAGCCTTCGTCGTTCGCCCGGTCAATCTCTGCGCCCTTGTCCAGTAACATCCGCGCCGCGTCGACGTGGCCGTTTTCGCAGGCGGTCCATAGTGGCGTCGTGCCGTTCTCCGTCGCCTGGTTGATTTCGGCGCCGCCGTCGAGGAGCCGTGCCATCGCGTCGACGTCGCCGGTCTTGGCGGCGGCAAGCAGCGGGTAAAGATGTTCCTCGAGGAGCCCGACGATGTACGAGTGGCAGTTTTGCTTTGCGATGGACAGTGGCGTCCTGCCGTTCTTATTCGCCCGGTCGACCGCCGCGCCGTTGTCCAGCAACAGCGTCGCGACGGCGAAGTGGCCTTTCTGGCAGGCGATCCACAGCGGCGTCTCGCCGTTCTTCCTCGCCCGATCGACCTCCGCGCCTTTCTCCAGCACCAGCCGCGCCGCGTTGACGTGGCCCTCCCGGCAGGCGGCGTACAGCGGCGTTTGACCGTTCTTGTCCGCCCGGTCGACCGCCGCGCCGTTGTCCAGCAACAGCGTCGCGACGGCGAAGTGGCCTTTCTGGCAGGCGATCCACAGCGGCGTCTCTCCGTTCTTACTCGCCCGTTTTTTCTCTGCGCCTTTCTCCAGCAAGAGCCGCGCCGCGTCAATGTGGCCGTGCTCACATGCGACGAATAGCGGCGTGTGACCGTTCTTGTTCGCCCAATTGACCTCCGCGCCGATGTCCAGCAACAGCCGCGCAGCGTCGACGTGGCCGTTCTTGCAGGCGATGTACAGCGGTGAGAGTGATAGCTTGCGGATGAGCCGCGCCTCGACGCCCCTCTCCCTGTCTCCATCGTCGTAAGCGATGTCGTACTTTCCCTCGCCGCAGTTGCGGCTGATTTTTCCAGGGTAGTATCTCTCGCGGCCTCGATACCTAACCTCTACCGCAGCGCCTTCGTAGAGGGCGCTGCTGCCGTGTTCGTCGAGAACGGTCCCGCGCTCCAACAATAGCCGCGCCACGTCGACGTGGCCCTGCTGGCAGGCGATGTACAGCGGCGTCGCGCCGTCCTTATCCGCCCGGTCCACCTCCGCGCCGTTGTCCAGCAACAACCGCACAGCGTCGACGTGGCCGTTCTTGCAGGCGATGTACAGCGGTGAGAGTAATAGCTTGCGGATGAGCCGCGCCTCGACGCCCCTCTCCCTGTCTCCGTCGTCGTAAGCGATGTCATACTTTCCCTCGCCGCAGTCCCGGCTGATCTTTCCGGGATAATATCTCCGGCCTCGATACTTTGCTTCTACCGTGTCGCCTTCACAGAGGGCGCTGCTGTCGACCACGGCCCCGCGCTCCAACAATAGCCGCGCCACGTCGACGTGGCCCTGCTGGCAGGCGATGTAGAGCGGCGTCCGACCGTCCTCGCACGCCCGGTCGACCTCCGCGCCATTGTCCAGCAACACCCGCGCCAGGGCGACCTTGCCCTTCTCGCAGGCGTCATACAGCAGAGCGGCGTTGCCCAATGATAGACAGCAGCCCATCGCTGCCTGTAAGGGGCTGCCTCAATGCACCTGGCGGCTGCCTATCTTTCACTGGCGTGCAGGCTCGAGCCGGGACCCGCACTGCAGCTTCTACTGGCGCGGCGTGGGCTTGCGGCCAATGAAGCTGCCCACAAGCTGCCCCAAGCAATCCAGCCGGAATATTGCGCGCGGGTTGTGAAAAAATGATATGTGTGGGGTGCGAGCAGCACTCCTGCCCGGCGCCCCCGACGGATGTTTCCCTCGTTGCACTCTAGCACACTAGCCAGGTTTTGCTGGAGCCGGCACCGCCGGTTGGTCCTGCTGCACGAACTGTGCCGAGCCGCACGGCTGCCCGCTTCGCGCAGCGCGACGGGATACGAGACGTGCGGCCCCAGCGACGGAAGCGTTGGCATCGGACCGATTCCTGGGGCACCAAGTAGGTGAACGATGGCGGACGACGAGCGTCAATGCCCCGTCTGCTCGGCCATCTTCGCCACCGACGCGGCGCTCGGCAGCCACCTCGCCGTCTGCGTCGGCCGGGCCCGGAGCGAAGCGAAACGGCCGCCGCCCAGGACCGAGGACGACGTCGACGACGCGCGCGGCCGCGTGCTCTGCTACGTCTGCGGCCAGCGCGTGCTGACGCCGGCGTCCTTGGCTCCGCACCTCAAGAAGTGCGAGCGCGCCGCGCGCGCGGCGCACCGCCTCGACGCGTCCACCTTACTCCCGACGCGGCCGTCCGTCGCGCCGCCGACGGATCCTACGGATACGAGCCACATCCGGGCCTGGAACGTCGCTGCTAGACAGGCCTTCGAGGCGTCCCTTCCCAAATGTTTACACTGCGACCGGCGCTTCGCGAGCGTCGCGGCGCGCGACGCCCACGCGAAGCGGTGCGTCGGCGTCACGGATCGAGGCCTGAAGTTCGGCGAGCCCGAGGACAAGCAGGCCGCGCGGCCGGCCATCACGGGCGCCGAGTCGTGGGCCGTATCTGAAAGAACCGAGTCCATCAAAACGCGGTATCTGTCGGACCCGGACCCAGCCGTCGCAAAAATCCTCGCGGGCGTCGGCACGCGCGCCGCGGTCTGCGTGTTCTGCGGCTCGGCGACGCTGCCGCACGGCCTCGAGAGCCACGCCGAGGCGTGCGAAGGGAGGTGGCGCCGCGCGGAAAACGCGCGGCCCCTTGACGAGAGGCGGCCCTGCCCGGAACAGCCGCCGTGGCGGCCCGTCGAGGAGGACCTGCTCGATCAAGAATCGGTGAAGGCGCACCGGGCCGCGTTGAACGCGTACAACCGTTTATGTGGAAGCATCTACGTCGAAGCGTCGAGGCGAGGCGCGTCCGCGCAGTGCGGCGTCTGCGGTCGGAAATTCGTCGATCCTGTAACAAGGGAGAAGCATGAGCGGCGGTGCGCCGGGCTGACCGGAGACGAAGTCGTAGAAGTGTCCCGGAAGTCTACTGATGATCAAATAGCATGGCATGAAACCAGAGAAGGCGCCATGAGGGCGGACCCTATCCAAGAAGCCTTCGGCGCGACTTGCTACGTCTGCGGCAAGGCTTGTCTGGTGAATTCTTTGAGGAGGCATGTCCGGCGGTGCACGGCGCGGTGGGAGCTGTTCGAGAGGAACCGACCGTTGGGCGAGGACATGCGGCCCGTGCCGACGTGTCCTTCGGTCGATATGCCGCCCCTAGGTACGGATTTCTACCGGAGGCGTGGTAGGAAGCCGGACGAGGAGTTTCGGGATGTCGAGGATGAACATGCGTCACGAGCCGCCGACGCGGCCGCCAAACTATTACTAGAAACCTGGAATAACGCGGCCACGCAAGTTTTTGGGACGTCCTCGCACTTCGGGTGCGAGTTCTGCGGACGGACCTTCGCCGAGCGTGAGACGCGGGACAAGCACGCGCGGCGCTGCCAGGGGGAGAAGAACATCATAAATGTACCGGAGGAGTCTAGGAAAGTTGATGACGCGGCGGCGCTCTGCCCCATCTGCGGGCGACGGTGTCTGCTCGGGTCCTTCCTCAAGCACCTGGACGCGTGCAAGCAGCAGTTCGAAGCCGAAGAAGCCTTGAAACCCGTGTCGGAGAGGCAGATGGCGCCGTGCTGGCCGGACCTACCGCTACCGACGAAGCCGGGCAAGGCGCTAGATGAGTGGAACGCGGCCGTGAAGCAGGAACGAAATGTATTAAGTTGCCCGGGCTGCGGGCGCGGGTTTGAGAAATTACAAGCTTTGAAGGGCCATGTAAAAAGGTGCTGCCCCGCCGAATTATCAAAGTTATGTGAGGGCGAGGAGGTCAAAACGTCGACAGTCTTTGCGAGGACGGAGTCCGGCGCGAGGGACCCTACCACTCTATGTTTCATCTGCGGCAAGCGCTTCGGGACGGCGGGTCTAGGCCGGCACACGCGGGCGTGCGCCGCGCGATGGACGCAGTGCAACGAAAAATTGCCTGTGAAAGCTCAAAGAGTTCTCGAGTTCCCGCCGAGTGATCTGTGGCCCCCGCCCCAGGATGATGTCGTACGGCGGGAGCAGTACGAGGAGATAGCACTAGCTTTGCACAAGAAACTTTCATTGGTCAAGTGTTATGGTTGTGAGAGAACTTTCAGTGACCCGGAAGCTAGGGATAAGCACGCGAAGAAGTGCTGCCCCGAGCTCATGGCCGAGGCGTCCAAAGAGGAGGAGGAAGATGTGGTGGGAAGGCCGCACGACCTGTCCCCGAAATGTTATGTGTGCGGCAAGACCTGCGCCACGCTCGCGGGCTTCGGGTTCCATGTCCAGGGGTGCAAGGCGCGCTATGAAGCGCAGCGCGCCATCGACGGCACTACCATAACTGTGAAGCCGCCCGAAGGTTTCGAAGTTCCTACCTCTTCGTCCTCAAGGGAAGAAATCACGCTATGGAACGCCGCCGTCGCCAGGCAATTCAACACCGATGCCCAGAACATGTGCCCCGCCGAGCGGTGTGGCAGAACTTTTGAAAGTGAAGCGAAGCTCGAACAACACATGCGGAGCTGCTGCTCTCAGTTACTGTACGAGCGCCTCGAACGGAAGCGTTTACGAGCCCTCGAGAAGGATCTGGGCCAGCCCGTGTCGTCGAAAGGTGGCGTATGTTGTCATCTGTGCGGGCGGCACGTGCTGCACCCGCGGTCGTTGCCGTTCCACTTCCGGAGCTGTTTGCGACGCTTCTACGCCGTTGAAGATGAAAAACAAGCTTCTCTCCAGAACGCGCCGCCACCGGCTCCCGCCGTTTGTGAGTTCGGGGACAATGACGTTGTAGATGATGAGGCGAGTGACGAGTCTGATGAAGATGACTACGGTGACGACTTCGAGGACGACGTCGAGGCGGAGGATTCATCTAGAAGAATCATCCGCATGTGCTATTGTTGCGGCTCTACGAGAGAATCAGAAAAGTCGATCCGGGACCACGTTTTGAGTTGTAGGAAGCGCTGGTTACGGAGAGAAAGCTACCGGCCGACGGCCTGGAGGAGGCCGCTCCCTTCGAAAGGATGGTGCCGCCTGCCGGGGCCCGCGGCCGCATCTGACGCCTTGAAAGCCTACTCGGAGGCGGCCGAGCGGTACTATCAGATGAATGCGCCGAACCGCTGCCCGACCTGCGACCGGACCTTTGCGGATCCCGGGAAGTTGGCTGCCCATTGCAAAGCGTGTAAAGCCCAGCCCAAGTGTACTGGGTGCGGTTTAGTGTTTGAGATGGGCTTGACTGGAGAAGAAAAGCTTAAGAGGCATATGTCGAAGTGCGACAAGTGTCTCCCGGAACCCGTTGTGCAGGAAGAAGAAGTCCAGGACCGCAAGGGCGTCCACTGCTACCTCTGTGGGCGGCGGTGTCTACTCGCGTCCCTGGCTCTGCACGTCCCGAAATGTTATCAGAGGTGGCTCCGCGAGAATAACACAACACGAAGGAAGCACGACCTGTGCTTCGGCGACTCGTCGGAGAGCGAAGACGAGGTTGTGCCACCAACACCACCTTCATTGCCGATGCCGACGCGCGTCACGCCCAAGGCCGACCGCGACGCTTATTCAGAAGAGGCATTGAGGATCTTCGAGCGGACGCGGCCGAGTTGCGTCTTCTGTCGAAGAGCTTTTGAAAGTACAGAGAAGCTCACGAAGCACCACCGGAACTGTAGTTCCGTCGAAGTGGTTTTTGAGTGCCAGCTCGATGCGAACAAACTGTTGATAGCGTTAGATGAAGACCCTTCGCTAGCTATAGAAATTGATGATGGGATCAGGGATCGTTTATCATCCCGATGTGACGTCGATCCTTCGCAAGTTAGGGTCGTCAAGGCCGACCTCGGCGGGTCTCGATTGGAAGTGACGTGTCGAGTCTTCAACAGCGCCGGGCCCGTTTCTCGCAAGGCTATCGTGAATGATGATGCTTTCTCGTCCACGCCCTTATGCACACCGATGCTACATGAACCTTCAGTAGTTTCAGCGAGGGTCGAGGCCGACCTCGGCAGGCTCGCGGACGTATCGGATCCTCGCTCGTTAACGTTCTACGTCGCGTTCATTCGTGCTCTTGAAGAAGCCAAAAGTAGACGTAGAGGATCGGGCGACATCTATCAAGTGCCGGTACCTATACGAGGGAGAGTCATCTCGAACGCGCGCACGAAGGATCGCAAAAGACGCCAGGATCTGGTGGATAAGCGCAACAAACAACTATCTGAGAAGATCCGGAACGTCAAAGGGGTGTTGGACTTTCGACACATAAAAGCGCCGAGGCACTGCCACACGGCGATCATCCGGAAACGCGAGGACAAGGAACGGCGCCGAGAAAACGCGAAAATACGACGCGCGTTGCGGGACATCTACAGGACCAAAGAATCGAGACTGGCGAACTTCGGCGTCAAAGGTAAAGTTATCCACGAGGAGATGCGAGGAAGAACGGCGCTGTATGATGATGACGCCCCAAGACAAAACGATGACAGCGTGCCCCAGAATTTAGCTGTCGCCCAATGTGCGGCGTGTGGCATCCGGAGCTTTTACGGGTCCGACGGCACGCCCATGGCGAAGTGCGCTTTGTGTGATGAAGTGTACTATTGCGACGCGACGTGCGCCGCGGTAGATGCGCCGGCGCATGCTCTCACTTGTGCTCATTCAAGAGGCCGGGCCAAGTGGCCGACCAAATTAGCGCAGTTCTGGATCCAATCGAGGGCGACCGTTGTGGCGCGGAGCGCGTTACGTAGAAGACCAAAGCCGTCCGTGGAAGTTGTCATGAGGGAAGTCGCCATGGCGCAGGCGGCGGACGCGCGCGCCGACGCCCAACTGCATCGGGAGGCGCCTCCACCATTGACAAGAGCCGAGAAGAAGAACCTCGAGGCGGATCTGCGGGACGCGGCGGAACGAGGCCCGCCGCCGCCGCCGACGGATCAGTATCGGAGGGCGGAGATCGAGGCGGACCAGCAGGCCTGGAACCGGTTAAATGCCTCTCGTATCGCCGAGGAGCGGCGGCTTGGGTTGCGGGCCGACGCGGAAGCGAGGTACGGGTCCCTGGACGACAATTTGAGGCGGGTGGAGGCGCGGGCTTTGGCGTTGGCCCAGGAGCGGCGGTCGATACTGTTGCAGATGAACGCGTCGCGGGCGCGCGATCAAGCAGTCATGGAGAAGCCTCCTAGAGCTGCGCGGATCCACGGCGACGAGCGAAACAAGCGGCTCGAGCGGGAAAGGAGGGCGCTGGCGCGGACGCCGAAGCCCAGCTCGGCGTCCATCGGCAACCACGCGCCCTATACGAAGGCTGCCCCGAAGGCCGGCGTCGGCAAGGGGGGGTTCAGTGAAGGCCGCACGAAGAATACGAAGGGGTCCTTCCGCGGCGCGGTGCCGGGCTTCGACGTCGCAGGACAACAGTTCGTGGACCAGTTCGCGGGGGACTAAAGTTCTTATTGGAGTGGTCTGGGTGTATGAGTGCTCTCCCCTCGCATGCCCCCTCCCACCCTCCTCGCTCAGGATTTAGCAAAGCAACCTGCTTTGTTTGGCACCAAGTTTTCATGTAAAAAACGAGATTGTTACGGCGGCTCATTCATTGAAGATATAGCCGATAATTGCCGCGCCGCGCCGCGCCGCGCGCTGGCTTCGAAACGACTGCAAACTTTGCAAAAAAGCTTGGAGGAGACCAGTGGCGAAAGTGGCGGACAAGCTTGGGCCGTCGAACATCATCGTCCCGGCACTGCTCGCGACGGCCGGGGCGTTCGCCTACCTGCCGTGGGCGTCCCACCACGGCTACGAGTTCGTCGCAGTGGCGATGGCGGTGCAGGGATTGGGGTCCTGCGTCCTGGGCTCGGCGCCCACGGCGGCCGCCGCGAACGCGGTGCCGGAGGAGGAGCGGGCGGGCGCCCTGGCATTGCTCCGCGTCTGCGGCGACCTCGGGCTTCTCACGGGCTCGGCGGGCTTCGGAGCCCTCGCGGCCGCGGCCGGCTCGGACGCGGCGTTCGGCGCGGCCTCAGTCTTGCTCGTCGGCACGGCCGTGCGGTTTCGCTACCTTGCACCTAGTAAGTAGTTTCACGACGGACCTTACCCCTACCCCGCCGCCGCCGCGACCCGGTTCAGCCGGATGAAGTACTTCAGGTTCGTCCCGGGCTTGATGAGGCACTCGCCGTCGTCCGTGCAGACGCCCTTGTCGCCGTAAGCTAGTGATGCCGGCAAGAGCGCCTGGACCTCCTCCCCGGGCTTCATCTGAGCCACCACTTGCTCAATCCCAGGAACGACCTGGCGCTCGCCCAGGCGGAAGGAGAGGGGCTTGCCGCCCTTCTTTTCTGTCGAATCGAAGACCTGGCCATTGGGCAGGAAGCCAGTGTAGTCGATCGTGATGTACGACTCGGGGCGTGGGTAGCAGCTGCCGAGCGCGCCGCTCGGGTCGATGAGGGGGCAACTACCTTCCTTGACTATCACATATTTCGCGCCGCCTTTGGTCGTTCTTACGGAGTTGGGGTCGACCTTGACATCTGCTAGTGCGGGGCGCGGCGCGAGTGTGGTGAGCGCGGCGCCTCCCAAAAATGCGCCGACGTCCCGTCGCTTTGCTGTGGGGGCAAGAGCTTGCACCGATGAAATGGCAATACATAGGCAGGCGGCGCGCATGGTTGCGACGCGTATGCTGCGTGTCACGGTGGTGTTGCGACGCGTATGCTGCGTGTCAAGGTGGTGCTCTCAGTGGTGTGCTGGGAGATGCTCAAAGTTGCACCGCTTGTCGTGGCCTCAGCGCTTCACCGGTGCCCACCGTGACCTGATTGAGCACACCTGCTGCCTCACACAGCCACAAATGTCGATGAATGAGCGACTTTTTTGCCCTGCAGTCTGCCTCAGCTCCAGGGCATGGTTGAACTCCGTCCTGCTCTTGTTGGCTGCTCAGACGCCCCGGCAGCCTTCGCGTTGGTGATTGACGCGTGCTGGGAGGCTTTGGCCGGGGCTTCGAACTTGGAGCTTCAGTGGCGGCCGGTTTGATGCTCTGAGCTAATCGGAGCGCAAACGCACAGCGCCGGCGTCGATAAACATAAACGGTAGCTTCGGAGAAGCAATCATGGTGTAGCCGCCGCAACGCCCGCTTGCGAGCAGCTGCGGCGGCTCAGCAGAGACACAATCACCCATAGAAGGAAAAAGTGCTGCGGGCTTGGGGCGGCCGCGGCCGGGGCGACAGACGTTGTCGGCCCACGAGAGGACCACCCCCACCCCCCGCGCTCGCGCCGTGGTCTCAATTCCTCCATCGCAGGCGACCAGCGCCCAACCGAGCCATGAAGCTCCTCGCCACGCTGCTACTGTGCGTAGCGACCGCCGTCGCCCGCTTAGAGTTGGCGTCGGACACACCGACGACCATCAACACAAAGTTGGAGGAGCAGAGCTTTCTCCACGCGGAGCTTGCGATCGCGACGCGGTCGATGCCGACGCGGCGCCGCGGCCTCCGGCCAAAGCGGTGCTGAAATTCCCCAGAAGCTGTCGCCGCGGGAGGACACCGCGGCGCCGCTTCGTCGTTCGCTCGTCGAAGTCGTGTAAAAATATACATATGTAATCCTGGTTCGTTCTGGACGAATATTGACTTTCGACGGACGACGAGCAGTGGAACCCTCGCGGCGACGGCGTGGCGAGCCTCGCCGAGCGCGCGGCTAGCGTGCGGGGGCAGCCCCAAAACGACATGATGAGCGCTGGGCGTAACGAGCTGTACACAAGGGCGCACGGACGATGGCCGCACTCGTAAAAACATAAAAAAAACACCCATGCAGACCACCGGTCTCCCGCCGGTCAGCCGCGGCAGCGTGCCGAGCCGCGCCAGCCGAGCCAGTAGAGGCAGCCAGGATGAGGCTCACAGTAGACGACGGTCGCGGGCCTCCATGGAGAGCCGGGGCTCGTCCAAACACAGTCGACGAAGGTCCATCGACACGGCCGGTTCTGTGCGGTTCGTCCACAAAGAAGAAGCCGTACGACTCATGGTCTGGGATTGGGTCTCTGGTAATGAACAAGAGCTAGATGCCATTCTACGCATCCAGAAGAACTGGCGGAAGGGGAGACGGATGAAGTTGCTGCAGCGGCACCCCTACAAGAAGCACGTGACCCCGGACGGGACCTTTTTTTACTCGAAACGCGACGATCCAAGCCAAGTGACGTGGTGCGCGCCCCACGTTCCGGATAGGCACGGCCTGCCCATCGCGTTTCGGGACGAGGCCGCCATGAAGGCTTTGGCCGCGGCCAATGCGGAATATCAAAAAAATAGGGCCGAGGAAAAGGCGAAGCGACAGGTGTTCATCGACATCATCAAGGAGAAGCACGCCGTCGGGAAAAGAAGGAGAGATGAAGAGGCGGCGCGAGCCGCTAGGGCGCTCTTCGACAAGCGCTGGGGCGACGCGTTCGAGTTCGCGCGCGAGGTGCGTGACGCGGCGTCTGAATCGTACTATAAGTTGCCGGGGTCGCGTCGATGGCGTCCCACGGCGCCGCGGCGCCGTCGTCGCGGTCACACGAGAGTCCACGCAGGCCGGCGAGCTCAACATGCTCAACAAGGGCGCCGGGGATTTCCCGGACCAAATCTACGACTTCCACGAGAATTATGGGAGACCGTTAAAAGCGTTGCGATTCGTGGCGCATGGACTCGATAGGTTTCCTGAGAGAGCTGGGAAGGAGCTCACACAATTAACACAGCTCACGCTAGCGTCGAATCGACTGACGGAACTACCCGACAGCATCTGCGACCTCGCGAAGCTGAGCGCCCTGAATCTGTTGAGGAATCAACTTACGGAATTACCGGACCGACTCGGTGACTTGTCGCACTTGAGGCATTTAGATATAGCTACGAATCGACTGCAAACGCTGCCACTCACGTTCGGTAATCTCACAAGGTTAGAGCGGGTCGTGGCGGACTGCAACGATCTTCGACGAATACCAGAAACTCTGTCGAGGATGACGTGCCACACTTTAAGCTTCAACCACAACAAGTTGGTGGCGCTGCCTCGGTGCCTCGCGAACATGATCAACCTCACTGCGTTATCAGCGAACGACAACAGGATCTCCTTCCTACCTTCCAATTTCGGCGACTCTCGAAGTCTCACCACAGTTAAATTATGTGCAAATATTATTGAAGAGCTCCCCGAGTCGATATCGCGCCTACCTCGCTTGAAATCTTTATGGCTCGATCATAATGCGCCCATGGCGGCGTTACCCTGGAACTTTTATATGCTTACTTCATTGGTGGAATTGCGGATGGACGCGAACCCGGGGATGAAGTATCCCACACCTGATACACTATTACAAGGCGCCGAGGCCGTGAGGAACTGGTTTAGGAAAAGACAAAAACAAGCGTTGTTTGCGAGGAAGCATCGCGTCGTGGCCACCATGCAGGACTTCATGGAGCAGTGTGGTGAGGTGAGACCGTCGATCGCGCACCAGGGCTACTTCGAGGCCGGCGTGGAGCGAAGCGGTGCCGTCTGGTTCCAGGTCGTCTGGGACAAGTTCTGGGACGAGATGCTGCCTGGTTTGAGAGATGCCTGGGCCGAGAAGCGCGTCGACAAGCATCGGGTCACGGCGATGCCGTTTTCGAGGAGCGAGGTGCAGAAAGTCCTAGAAGATTATAAAGATGCGGAAGGTAAAGTGTATATGAAGGACCAGGTCTGCATGTTTAAAAGGTGTCGGTGTGTGGATGCGGACGGCAATAAAAAAGTCTGTGTTCCACCCAAGCCGGGCTGGATGTGTAAAAGGCGGGCTGATCTATTCAAGTGCAGGGTGATCCTCCAACGAGAAAAGCGTATGATGGACGAGCGTAAACGCGAAGAAGCCGCTATTCAACAAGCGGTGGAAAATGCGCGCGTCGCCGCGACGGCGTTTTGTCACTCCGAGGAAGGCATCCAGAGGTTTAGGAAAAGAGCTGTGAAGCGGGCGGCCATCGAGATGGACGAACGTAGAAGGATTGAATTCAACGAGAACTATGACAACAAGCTCAAGGCGAAATTAGCGAGGATCGAGAAGCGATTTGATGATAAAGATAAAAAGCTACGGGCGCGACGAGGCAAGGCCGAAGCCGAGCTGTATAAACGTCTCAAAGATGATTTGGAGCCGAAGGAATCTACCACGGAAGGCTACGCGCAAGAAACCATAAAAAGGCAGATCAAGGAAGTGCTCACAACTCTGAAAAATATGCCTGAGGATCGCGATATTCGTTATAATGAACGAGCGAGGCAACGCGCCATCAAGGCCGCGCAAAAGAATCGCGACTCAAAAGAATGGCACAAGGCTGTGGGAATTATGAAACTTTTTGAACCTGCTAGCACTAATCTGTTGGCGGAGGCCGAGCTCGCCCAAGAGCTTAGTCATGACCTGCACACGCGCTACATCGATAAACAACTCAAAAAAGCGGAAGCCGAGGTTAGGAAGGAGCACGCGGCGATGCGGAAGATTAGCGGCGCTTGGTCCGGCATGGGCGCCCTCGAGGTGTTCCGAGGGTGGCGGAAATGGGCTCGTAGAGAGGCCAAGAGACGAGCGAAGGACGTCTTCTGTGCTCAAAGAGATGAACTGAAGTGGGCGGCGGACTGCGTCGCTGCGCTCGAACTAGCTCAATGGACGGTGGACAAGTACGACAAGTTCGTCGACGAGTGGAGCGACGAGCCGTACTGGGTCCATAGGGAGACGGGCGTTACGGTCTGGGACGAGCCGAATGTCGAGTCATTACTACCACCAGGCATGGCCGAAAAGTTTCCGGAGCGACTAGTCATTGAAGATGAACGAACTTGGCTAAGGATCAAGGACGAGCAGGCCGAGGCGAAGAGGATGGAGTTGAAAGAAGGCTTGGAGGAGTACTCCGACAGCGAAGACGAGACGAGGACGATGGTCACCGGAGGACTGAGTGACGACGAGGAAGAGGGCTGGTCCTCCGCCGAAAGTTCTACAGAGGACGAACAGACGGTGGCCACGCAACTCAGCGATGACGAGTCCACGAAGTTCACGAAGGGTACGTCCATCACGGTCCACACGCGCGAGACCGACGACCTGAGTGACGAAGAGGAGAAAAAAGTCGAAGAGAGTTCGTCGGACAGCGACGATTCCGATGATTTAAGGTGGGAGCCGGATCAAACGAGGTTCATCAAGGCCGAGGACGCCTTGGCCGTTCTGAGGATCGACGCGGAGACGGCCGAAGTAGATGACGAGGAAGAAAGAAAGAAGCGGCGCGACGACGCGCAGGCCGAGGCGCTGGAACGATGTCGCATGCGCCGGCGCATCGTGTTCAACCCGAAGACCTACGTGCCGCCCGTGCCCGTGAAACATTATCAAGCCATGGCGCGCGGTGAAATGAGGGAGAACAAAGTGTTTGGGACGAACTTCGAGGACGGCGAGGTCCTCCCGGAGACGGAGGAGGACGTCTTCCAGATGATTGGGTTTGATGCGCAGAAGGAGTACAACCCCGGCGAGATGACGAAGATGGCGCGCGAAGCGGACAAGTTATGTAGGAAGTTCAAGATCGGGGATTACGATCCCAGAAGGCAGCGCGAGGAGGAGTCGGATTCGGACGATGACTAAATGTGCTGTTTTATGAATACACTCTTACCACATCCCCGTTTCCTAGGGTTATGTCTTCAATATCGTCGGGGTCGCGCCAGAAGGACAGGATGTTCCAGACGATCCCGTTGTCGCCGAGGCGCGCGACGAAGGCGATTGCTATCTTGTGCTCAGCGCCTCGCGTGCGACGCCTTTGATACGGGGTGATGTAGCCCCGCATCGCGAGGCTCCGTAGCGCCAGTATCTCGCGGTGCGGGGCCCGTGCCCGGCAGTATTTTTTCCACGAGCCCGCGGCGCGGACGCCTCGGATCAAGGTAATTACAGCTTGAAATTGCACTTGATCCTCGATCACCTCGGGACGTTGCCGTTGCTCAGCTGCAATCCACTCGTCAACCGACAGCTCCCCCTCAAAGCTGCTGTCTAGCGATGCGCCGGCCCTCAGCAAGCGCACGACGACGGGAAGCTGCCATGATGTCCCGCCATGCGATGCAACGAAGCTGCGAATCGCTCCCATGAGAGGGCTTGTGTTGGGCTCAGGGGTTGAGTCGGCCAGCCTGAGCCTCAAGTTTGGGTCGGCGCCGGCGCTAAGAAAAGAAGCGACAGCGTGCTGGACGAGAGGAGAATTGCTTGCGGAACAAATGGCATAAAACGGAGTCATATATCCTTCCACGTTGAATTCTTCGTCTTCGGTGTCAATTAGGAGGCACATTTGATTTGGATCCGCCCCTCGACTCAAGAGGTAGCAGACCAGTTCAAGCTGTTCTTCTCGCTTTATTCCATTATCAACGCATAGTAAGAGGAACGACGCTCCGGCGTTGTCGGTGTCGTTTACACGCTCCGGGTGCTCGTCCAGCCACTCTACCACTGTGTCCTTATCACCGTCGAACGCAGCATCCGCTATTTCGTCAGGAATCATCGCACGACGATGCATGCAGCATGGCTGCGGGGCGGCTGTGGGCGCTCTCTTGCTCTGTGGCTCACACGCGGCCGTAATTCTCTGCACGAATGCAGCTGGCTGCGAATAGCTCTAGGATGCTCTGCAGCAATCACGCGGCCGGCGCGTGCAAGCAGAGATCCACACTTGTGCGCCCAAAAACTGACCTAGCAGTCTGTAACACACTAGGAATCCAGCCAAAGTCGACGAGCGGGAGTTTGCGGCCCATAATTGCTGCGTAAAAGACACGTTGGACGCGTTTCATACGTACCGGCATCAATGCAGTAACTCTGGGGGCCATCGGACCGCACTAGTATGGCTGCACAAGAGCTGCAGCAGCAAGACGACGCACTCGACCTCCAGTCCCGGTCGCTCACCGCCCTGCCACCTCTGCCCACAACTCTACTAGTTCTCAATCTCACGCGCAACCGGATCACAGATCTCGCGCCGTGCAGCGCGCTCCTCAACTTGGAGCGCCTCGACGCGTCGAGGAATAAAGTGCGAGTGCTGCCGCACGCCGTCGCCGCGTTGCCCCGACTCAAGGAATTATTATTATATTCGAATCACTTACGGCGCACCGGCCTGCCGGAGAAAATTCAAGCGCCGCTCGCGTTGCTCGACCTGCGGTTCAACACCAAGCTGACAGGAGACGTTGTCAGGGAGGAGATCTCCGCGCGATGCACAACTGAAACAAAGGTGCTCGTCTCGCCGCGCCGGGCGCCGCTCCCACCGGCCGGCACGGTCGACTGCGCGGCGACGCGCGACGCCGAAACGCTCGAGGCCCAGCTCCAGCCCTGGTCGACGCCGCAATTACGTAGAAGATTGTCGGACGAGTTTTCCGTCCAGACGGACCCGGAGGCGCCGCGGAGCGTGATCATGGCGTTATTACTTACGGCTTACTTACGCGAGGGGCTCTTCGATCAAAGACGCATTCGGAGGGTGCGGCCCGTCCGGCAAGTATCCGCGGCCACGGCGTCCGCACTGCTCGCGGAGATCCGACGGACCCAAGAATTAGTGAACAGCACGCCCGGGAGTCGACGCGAGCGCCCGCGCGTCGACGCAGAATTATACATCACCTTTCACGCGCCAAATACAATTTTTCGCGCCGCCGACGGTTCGTATAACGCCGAATCCACGAAAGCCAAGCTCGCGACGCAGAAGCGCCAGAAACATCAAAAGCTCTGGGATCTAGCCGTCCAAGCGTTGACCGAGGCCGACGCAAGTTACGCGGCGACGTTCACCTCCCTAGCAGTCACGGGCAACTTTAGGGGCAGCCCGCACATCGACACGGAGAATGTGGCACCCTTCTACGCGCTGGCCCTCGGCGAGTTTACGGGCGGCGGCCGCATCGCCGTCGAGAGTGGAGTAAGGGAGGTCACGCACGTCGACACGCGCTTCGGCTTCGCCAAGGTCGACGGGCGCTTCCCGCACTGGGTCACGCCCTACGATGGAGAGCGGTTCTCGCTGATCTACTACACGACGGAGGGGGCGTCGGTGCCGGTCGCGGGGGCGGTCGTGGAGGGGGCGGTCGTCGACGGTTAATGTCCTGTTTTGTAATTACTAATCGGTTTACACAACGAAGCGTCTTCAACGGAGCGGCGAGTAGCGATCTTTTGCGGGTGCGATGCGGGTGCGAACGAAAATACACGCACGGGACGGACGGGTGCCCATCGACCGTGCGGCGCGCGGGCGGACCTAGTACTCCTCGCCGAAGTCCTCCTCCTCGCCCTCGCCCTCGGCGGTCTCGGCGCCGACCTCCTCGAAGTCCTTCTCGAGGGCCGCGAGGTCCTCGCGGGCCTCGGAGAACTCGCCCTCCTCCATGCCCTCGCCGACGTACCAGTGGACGAAGGCGCGCTTGGCGTACATGAGGTCGAACTTGTGGTCGATGCGCGAGAGCGCCTCGCCGACGGCCGTCGTGTTGGCGACCATGCAGACCGCGCGCATGACGCGGGCGAGGTCGCCGCCGGGGACGACGGTGGGCGGCTGGTAGTTGATGCCGCACTTGAAGCCCGTCGGGCACCAGTCGACGAACTGGATCGTGCGCTTGGTCTTGATCGTGGCGACCGAGGAGTTGACGTCCTTGGGGACGACGTCGCCGCGGTACATGAGGCAGCACGCCATGTACTTGCCGTGGCGCGGGTCGCACTTGGTCATCATGCCGGCCGGCTCGAAGACCGAGTTCGTGATCTCGGCGACGGAGAGCTGCTCGTGGTACGCCTTCTCGGCCGAGATGACCGGCGCGTACGACGTGAGCATGAAGTGGATGCGCGGGTACGGCACGAGGTTCGTCTGGAACTCCGTGATGTCCACGTTGAGCGCGCCGTCGAAGCGGAGCGACGCCGTGAGCGACGAGGCCACCTGGGCGAAGAGGCGGTTGAGGTTCGTGTACGTCGGGCGCTCGATGTCGAGGTTGCGGCGGCAGACGTCGTAGAGGGCCTCGTTGTCGAGGGCGAACGTCACGTCCGTGTGCTCGAGGAGCGCGTGCGTCGAGAGCACGGAGTTGTAGGGCTCGACGACGGCGTTGGAGATCTGCGGCGCCGGCGAGATGCAGAACGAGAGCTTGGACTTGCGGCCGTAGTCGACCGAGAGGCGCTCGAGGACGAGCGAGCCGAGGCCGGAGCCCGTGCCGCCGCCCGTGGCGTGGAAGCAGAGGAAGCCCTGGAGGCCCGTGCAGTTGTCCGCGAGCTTGCGGATGCGGTCGAGGACGAGGTCGACGATCTCCTTGCCGATCGTGTAGTGGCCGCGCGCGTAGTTGTTGGCCGCGTCCTCCTTGCCCGAGATGATCTGCTCGGGGTGGAAGAGCTGGCGGTACGTGCCCGTGCGGATCTCGTCGCAGACCGACGGCTCGAGGTCGACGTAGACCGCGCGCGGGACGTGCTTGCCGGCGCCCGTCTCCGAGAAGAACGTGTTGAAGGCGTCGTCGCCGCCGCCGACGGTCTTGTCCGAGGGCATCTGGCCGTCGGGCTGGATGCCGTGCTCGAGGCAGAAGAGCTCCCAGCAGGCGTTACCGCCCTGGAGGCCGGCCTGGCCGATGTGAAGGCAGACGCACTCGCGCATGGTTGTTGCTTTTGAGGTGGTTGGTGAAAGAGGTTGTGCGAGGAGGGACCGGGGGTGAGCCGGACCTGCGATGGGCGGCGGTGAGGCGGAAGTCCCTTCAGGCGCGCGTCGGGGGCTCTCCTTGCGCGGGGCTCGGGACGGGGGCGACCCAGGGCCCTTCCGGGTGGTCGGGGCGCATGCGGGCGGGTATTTTTTTCGACCGGCAGGCAGTTTTTTCTCAGGGCTGCCGAGGCTCGGTGCTCCGCCGCGCGCAATCGGATTGCCGCGGGGCTGCCCCGGGGGCTTTATTGGGTGGTACGGGGGCTGTGTGCGCGCGCGCTGCGTTTGCGGGGCTGTTTGCGATGCGGCGCTGGGGTAGACCGGAGGTGATATGGCCGGCCGCTGTTAAAAAGGGTACTAGGAATCCCACTAGGATGGCCACGCGCCGTAAAATTTTCGTCCTGCTCGGGGCCCACGAGCCCTCCAGGGCCGGCCGAGGCCCTGCGGTTGCCGCTGGGCCTGGGCTAGTGCCTCACAGCCGCTAGCTGGGAGCTCTCTTGCTCACGAGTTCCACATTACGCGGGCAGCCCAATTACTGTAACACGATGCTCCTCACGCAATGCTCATTTTGCGCTGTCGACCTTGGCCTAACTTTGGGCAAGAAATGCGGCCGCTGCAGCACGCGCTACTGCGGGGCAGCCTGCCAGGTGCAGCACTGGAAAGAGGGCGGGCACGACAAGCTGTGTAGACTGATTAAAAAAGGAGGCGGTGCCGAGCAGTATAATGCGAATAAGAAGTACACGGAGGCCGTAGCAGTCGCGGCGGCGTGCGCGGAGGACACGAAGGGCCAGACGTGCTACATCTGCACGCAAGCCCTCCACTGGAAGACGAAGGAGGGCCTCGTGCGAGGGTGCGCTTGCCGCGGGACGGCGGGCTTCGCGCACGTGTCGTGCCTGGCGGAGCAGGCGAAGATTTTGTTCGCGGAGGCCGAGGAGAATAATTTGGGCGACAAGGCGATGAATGAAAGATGGACGCGGTGGCACAAATGCAGCCTGTGCAATCAAGATTACCATGGCACCGTGGCGTGCGCGCTCGGGTGGGCGTGCTGGAAGACGTACGTCGGACGGCCGGAGGGGCACTGGATTCCGGGAGCTGCGATGGCGCTGCTTGGTAGCGGTCTATCCAATGTAAATCTTCACGAGGACGCGTTGTCCGTGAGAGAGGCCGAGTTGGCTAGGCTGCGGCGCTTTGGCGGGCTAGAAGAGACAATCCTTGCCATGCGGCGCAACATTGCGAACTCGCATCAAAAGCTCGGACGGAACGAACAGGCACTGCGGTTGATGGGAGATGTATTTTCTGGATATGTGAAGCTCAACGGCGAGGAACATGAACAAACCCTCCTAGCGGCCCACAACTACGCGAATTCCCTTCTTTGCCTAAAGCGCTTCGAAGAAGCCAAGTCTCTGATGCGGAAAACGATACCCGTGGCGCGACGCGTTCTCGGAGAAAGTAACCAGACGCTCAAGATGAGGGCGATGTACGCGACGGCGCTCTACGATGACCCGGCCGCCACGCGCGGCGATCTCCGCGAGGCCACGACGACGCTCGAGGATATAGAACGGACCACGCGGCGCGTGCTCGGTGGCGCGCACCCTCTTGTACGGACGATTGAACGAAATCTGCAAGAGGCGCGAGGCGCGCTCTACGCCCGCGAAAGCGGCGCCGTCGAGTCCATCCGTGAGGGGGTGGGCGCGATGACGGCGGGGGGTGCGTAATAAGACGGTCCATATGTCTACTTCGGCTTGCAAATCGACCGGCTTCGTGCGGGTCGAGCCTCGAGGCCGCAATTTTTGCTCGACGCGATCGAGGCGCGATAGGGCTCGGCCCGGCGTGTGGGCTGCCTCGCTAGCATCGAGAGCGACTGCTGCAGCCAGCGGGCAGCGATGCGGGCGGCCGTGCTGCTGCTCGCCGCACCACTCTATGCGAGGCCCCATGGCGCCGACGTCGCGGCCTTCGTGAGGGACCGGCGGCGCCACCTCAACGCCACCGACGAGGACGGCGACCACAGTTTCGCGGGGACGTACCAGTGCCCGGAGGCCGGCGAAGCGTATTCGGCAGCATTTTTATGTAAGAAAAGTGTATTTCTCAAGCACCTCGTGCCGGAGACCAGATTGCACAAGGGCGTCGGAAATATGGAGGGCGCGTCGAACTACATGTTCAAAAGAAACAGATTGTTGAAGACTGTGGACTTATTCGACTTTTTTGTAGAACACCTGTCCTGGTACGAGCGTCGACTGTTCAAGGACGCTTCGTTACTCAGAGATAGATCCTTAGCTCGCATCAAGACGCAGACCTTCCACCGCACGTCTCAAGTGAATCCTTCGGGCACGTCATCGGACAGAGTGGTCGTGATCATGCCCTATTACGCCACAAAAGGCGGCGACAGCGGCCACTCCGCGCTCGCGAGTCGTCGCATCTACCTGAGGAAGACGGTAGAATCCTTGAAACCTACGTTCCCTCATTATACCGTGTGTGTCGCCACGAAACCGGATTATGAGTACGTAACTGATCCACAAAATGACCTGGGCTTCTACGACGTCTTGCACTACTACACTTTGCCGAAACCTTCTCGGCTAGGCTTCGCGACCGTGCACACGGCCCAGCAGGCGATGTTGAATAACCCAAAATGGTCTCGGTTCGAGTACGTCTTTTACACGGAGTCGGACCAGATCTTACACGTGCGAGATGTCAATCGTTTGTTACATATCGCGTCGTCGGAAGTGCCGAACCATGTTCTGCCGCATCGCATATCTCCAGTTCCAAGGAGAGTGGACATGGGTCCCGAGCCGTTCGATTGGGGCAATGGAAGAGTACTAGGTGTGGCGGCGGGCACGAAGGCCATGCAGGAATTTGGGAGAAACGCGCCGAAAAAAGTGCACCGCATCACAGATGTAACAAAGGCGTCGTGCTGTTTTGATAGGAGTCAGTGCGTGAAGCACCGGTCGCACTGGAAGCACGGGGGGCATTCCAGCGTGGAGTTGTTTCAGATCGCGGATCCTACGTCTGGAAAGGAGGAGACGGTCCGCGACTCCTTCGCGCTCGTCGCCGGCGAGGGGAACTTCCTGCGGCAGCAGTTCCGCCTCTGTAAGACGCATCCCGACCGGCGGAGTATGTGCAGGGGCGACGACGCGCCGCCGGGGCCGCACCCCGTCGATCCGAATGCGTAAGTTGGGTGTTGTGTCGTAGCCGATGGACATCTCGATGGACTCTGGCCCGCGGCGCACGACGAGGGGCTGCGCGGCGCTTCTTCGGGGCGGGAGCGAGTGTGGGATGTACTGGGAAGGATATTCGGGAGGCTGTTGGGGCGTTGAGACGAGTCGTAGACCGGAGGCCATTTCGCGACCCGCACGATCAAGCTAGTAGGTTTTCCTGGCTCTGCTCAAGCTCCGGTTTTTGCTCATTTGCTCGCACGCTGCGTCGATATTCGTCGAGTTCTCGTGCCTGGGTGGACGTTCTCGTGCCTGGGTGGACGTACGCACCAATTTTTTTGCGAAACGGCTGCGTTCCGGCTGAGATGGGGTACCAGCTGCTCGTGCGCGCAAAGCGCTCCTTCCACGGACGCGCGGCCGCCCAAAAGCTTCTGTATTCCTCAGCGATGCCGCCGCACGCCGTGGACCGCTGGAGGCATCGCTAGCTATCCGAAGCGCTCTCCAAATCTCATACCTCGAGAATTCGGCACGAGGCGGACGTAGCCTGGTCCAGCCGCCGCACGCCGCGCGCTGGCCGTCCGCCCCGACGGCTTCGCACCGATGGCGCACTACACACACGTCACGCACACCTCTGACCAAGAAAGGAGACCGGACCGGCCGCCGAACCGAACCCCTCGTTTACGCAGGTCGCAGCACGATGGCCCGGTTCGCGCTCCTCGCGCTGCTCACGGGCGCTGCGGCGTTCGTGTCGAAGCGGGCGCCGCTCCCCGCGCGCCGCGTCGCCGCGCGCCGGCCGACGCGCGCCGCCATGGTCATGGAGGACACGTACTGGGAGGGCGAGGCGCCGCCCTCGTATGTTTTGGGCAACCTCGCGAACGCGCCGTCGGGCCTCCTCGGCCCGATGTCGGGCATCTTCCTCCTCGTCGGCCTGTACTGCGTCTCGGCGTCGCAGCTCGGCGCGCCGCTGACGGCCGCCACCGTGAACCCCTTCTACATCGCGGGCTCGCTCTGCGTGCCCGTCTCGTGGGGCCTCCACGTCGCGGCGTGGATCCAGAAGAAGAACGACATGTAAGCGGGCGCGCGCGGCATGCCTTCTCCCGCGCGGGGTAAGTTGTTGCTGATAATAAAGGCCAGAGAGCCTACCACTACCCCTCTCATCCCTCTACATAGTGGATGCACGTGAAATAGTTATTTGTATTCGAAGACCACTCTCTTCCCGGCTTCGCGGGCGCGGAGCGCGGCTCGCGCGTTTCGCAATTCTTTGTCTATCAGTCCTGTAATCGGGTGCGCGCCGCCCAACACGCGCCGCGCGAGCCGTAGAGTGTCCTCGAGCGTCGTCACAGCCTCGCGGAGATCGTCGAGCGTGGCGCCGTCAGCTCGACAGAGCACCTCCCCGTAAATTTTCCTCATCAACGCGTCGCCCGTGATGATGAGCCGCCCGTGCCGGAAGTTCCGCCGCCTCGACGCGCCCGTGCTGAGCCCGATCACGCGGGTCGACGAGAACAACGGCTACGGCGACGACGCGGCCCTCGAGCTGGCGCTCCAGGCGTCGCTCGAGGACGCGGCGCGGGCGACGCCGCGGCGCAGGCCCGCGCCGCCACGCGCGCCGCCCGGGCCCCAGCTCCACCCGTTCGGCTAGACGAGAATCCGTGAACATCGCGCGCGCGCACAAGTCCGCGGCGCGTCCCCCGGCAAGTAAGGATCATGCCTCCCCATAAAACTAGAGATACTATTCCGTAATTTCTTAGGACGTAAAGCACAGCAGCGCGACGCCCCGCAGGATCCAGTGGTCCGGCTTCTGTTGGGACGGCAGGTTGACCATGAAGATGATGTACTTGTCCGTCCGCCGGACGTACTTGTAGACCGGACAACTAAAACCGCCGAAGGGGCCCAAGTCGCTCGACTTCTTCGCCGTCTTCGTCACGGCCGTGACGAAGAGGACGGGCATCTCGCAGAACAAAATCTTCGGCTTCGCCTCGGCGACACAAGCTCCCGACTTGTCCCAGATGGCCCCATCCAACGATAGTCCACTGATATAAACTCCTTCTGGGGGAGGCGCACGGACTTGCTCCGCGCGGTCGTACTCCGTGACTTCGCTATCGACGCGAACGCCGTCCAACGCCCAGCCCTCATTGCGATGCCGTCTAGTCACCTCCTGCTGGACCGCCGTCAGGAAACCCGCCGCGTTCGACCAGCCCGGGAACCAGTAGGACTTCGGTCTTCCTTTGCCGGCGATCCATTTGCGTAATTGGTCATCTCTCGCCCCGAGGCCGGACGCCCAAAACCCGATAGTGGGAGCTTGCCACGACACCTCATCTCCCGCGGGAGAAAAGACCCAGTCGTGGGGCACCTTCGCGTCGAAGATCGCATTGATCCCGTCGATGATCTGTTGCGTGATTACGACTTCGCCCCTAATAGCTCCCAAGATGGTATTTGATTTTTGTCGCACCGACCCAATCACGAGCTGCAACCTCTGAATTTCTTGGTTCAGGAACACGTCCAGCGGTTGACTCATATCCAGGGCCTTCGCATAAACTTCCTCGACGTAGTCCTCGGGTATGCCCGACAAAATCTCCTCGCACTTCGCGTAGACCACGTCTTCTCGCGTCGGGCCACCTCCACTCGAACCGCCTCCTTTCGGCTGCGTTTCCAAAATAGTAGCTAATAAGTTCCGCACCTCCTTGTTGCGGAACGCGAGGTCGGCGTTCGGATGGAGCCCGAAGACCTCCGGCGAATCGACAGAAGGCAATGTTTTCGCAAACGCGGCGTAGTCGTCGTGCGTGTCGCCGGGCGGGCAGCCATACCCAAAGTCGTTTTCGATTTTTTGCAAGGTCTCGGACGGCCGGAACGCGAAGCCGGGTTTCGTCGTCGCACTTGTGAGCCACTGGTTCGCATACGTTCGGAATAGTCTCCTGTCAAGATCGTCCGTGATCTTGCCGCCGTATTGCACCTCGGCGACCATGTATTGTAAAGTTGGCCAGCTCAACGCCCCTTGGTACAAATGTCGTTCCAAGAAGAGTAAACAAGCGTTGATGTCTCCATCGTTGTATTCATACGGCACGCACCAGCCCATGGCGCCGTACTTGCGACGCTCCTGCACGACGGAATGCTGGAAACATAGGGCATAGACCAGGACCCGCCACTGCGCCGTCTCCACTCGCTCTAACCGGTCTTGGTCCACTATAACAGTATACGAACGCATGAGACCCGCCCGTAAACCGCTAGGAGGCTGACAAGTAACCTTAACAGCTAATTGTAACAACCCGATGGGAAACTTGGGATTCGGTTCCGTGGTAATAAATAATCGGAAATCAGGTAACGTGGCTTCATTGACTCTAATCTTGCCCAAAAGCTCCTCGAGGCCCTCCATGAAGGGCAGCCCGAGGTGGCAGTTCTGGAGCATGACCCACATGCCCTCGACCGTCGCACTGTTGATCGCTCGCAGCGCGACGGGCTCCTGGCCTTCCCCCATGCTGACACAGGTAATGTGCTTCTTCTTTTTGCGAGCGTAGGTCTCGACGGTATCCGTGGGGTCCGCGCCCGCACTCAACAGATACACGATGGGTATCGTCGTCGACATGTCTGCGTACGTCATCTCGATCGTTTCGGTGACGGGTTGCGTGAACTTCCCGCCCATGCAGGGGAGTTTCGTCCCGGCGACGTCGATGGCTTCGAGGCGCGTGATGAAGTCGTCCACACATAGGATGGTCCGGTCTTCTCGGAGTGACCGGACGAGGAGCATCCTGTAGAAATCGCCGTTCGGATCGGCCTCGAATCTAGGTTGGTAGTTGCCCGGTATGGGCTGTCGTTCCGGCTCATTATCATTATACCAGGCCTTCCACTTCGCGTCGTCCCTTAGCACGTCGTCCTGCAACGAGCGGAAGACGATTGCCCCTTGATCCGAGGACAGTTGCACAATATTGAGCCAGGCCGTGTCCGTGAGCCAGGGCACGGGCTTCGGTTTCACGGCGTTGATATCCAGGGCCGCGCCGCCCTTCAGGAACAGCGTGACCTCCGATGGTGTTAATCTGCCAGCAGTCACCAAAATGTTGAACAGCACTAAAAGCTTGAAACTCAGTCGATCTTTCTCATATAAGCCACGAGAAATGTAGCGGTAGACGATGTACGTCATCGTATCAATAACATTGGCCACGCGTTTCGACGCGAGCGACGCTCTTTCCGCGAGGTCCATGCTCGAGTCAAACAGCCCCTGGAACTGATCTAGGCTGGTCTGGTACATGACGTTGACCTGGGACATGTCCACGATCGCAAAATAGAGCACGGAACCGCGCGTCGCGGCCGGCCGGTACTGCTCGCGCTTCTCGTCGATCGACGCCCGCGTCGTCCCCGCGGCCAGCAACTTCTCATTCACTTCGACGGCTTTCGTTTTGGTTTCGGCCAGCACCGCAATGAGTTCTTCGTCATCTAGTAGGTTACCCGTGTTCGCCGACAGCCTTTCCAGTAATAGCTCATCTAACCTTAAAAGTGCCTTCGTGTTCGTCGCCACGTCGTTCAGGACCGACGACAGCTGCTCCTCCAAGGACCGCTGTTCCTTCTGAATCACTCTCCCCAAAAGCTGCTCCTCCAAGCCCTTCCTGGTAACAGTGAAGTCGACGACGACGCATTTGGCCTGGTCCTCTGGACTAAAATGCGGATTCGGTAAGCGAGTAATCAAATACAAGGCAAAGGTCTCCTGGAACTCGCAGAGCTTGTCCATGAGGTTGATGTACTTGCTTTTCCCCTTCTGGATCCACTGCTTGTTGAGCACTGGGTCAAGCATGGGGTCGAGCTCCTCCTCGACGCCCGCCACGATCAACGCCTTGCCCTCGGCCATGGCGAACTCCAATTGATCCTTTATTCTTGGATTATTTAGTGCAGTAACACCAAAGTTAGGTAAGCGCTCCGCCTCGTGCTGCCGGATCCACTTGATCGCTTGGCCCTGGGGGTCGATCAGCAGTGGATATCTCGAGGATCGTGTCACCACGATGCCGTTCTGGATACTGAGAGGATCCCCTGGTAGTCCTGCCAAAGCCCAATCGGAAGTCTCGGAAACGTCAACTAACAGACTAATGACATCTAGGGACGGAGAACAAGGGACATCTTTCTTGCGAAGGTCAGCCGTCAACTTCTTCTCCACGATGTAATCCCTAAATTCCTGGTTGAAGGGCCCGCAGTACGACACGAACGCGCAGCCTGCGCGGAGCATCGCGGTTCGGTCCGAATGGCCTCTTCAGCAAAAAAGAAACCACCCCCGGCATCGTCTGATGGACACGAGTCGCGTCGATGGCGTGAAGGCGTCTCTAAACAACGGGACGCCGAGATCGCACCGACGGCGACGTCGCCGACGAGCGCCGTCTTCGTCGCGTCGAACTTGGCGCTGTCCTCGGTCCAGCGCTTCCGCTCGCCGGCCAGCCCGCCGATGAGATCGGTCGCCTGCTGCATCTTGTCGCGCGTCTTTTTGGCGCCTGCGCGTATCGCGGTAAGAAACGACCCCCGGCGTCGGACGCCGCAAACGCACCGGCCTCGATCTCCGCCTTGACGGCCATCTGGTCCTCGAACTGCTTCTGGAGCTTATTCAAAACATCCATGACGCCCTGGAGCTTGGCCTCGGCCTTGTCGAGTTCTTTTTGCGCTTCGGCGAGCTTCGCCTCGGCGAGCTTGAGGGCCTCGAGCTTCGGCTTGACGATCTTCGAGGCCGCCTGGTAGCTACACATGGCCTTGGTCCACGCACACAGGCCTTCGGCAGCTTTCGACGCGTTCTTCGCCACGAGCGTGTTGTACTCCTCAATATCTAAATAGGGTTGCCTGCGCGGGGCATCGCGGTCACTCGAACTGCCTCAAAAATCGAAAAAAAACTACCCACGACCTCGTCTGATGGACACGAAGCGCGTCGATGGCGTGAAACCTACTTTGAACCACGGGACGCCGCGCGCGCGCATGAACTCGATCGTCTCGTCGTTGATCATGTCCTTTTCGTATTTACTGAAGTAGAAAATATTTTTGAGAAATGACGAGTCGGCGAGCATGCCGCCCTGCATATTTTTAAAACTATCCTTGATGAAGCCGAAGGTCCGCTTTTCTTTCCCGATGCCTGCGCGCGGGTCTCGCGATCCGAACGGCCTCTTCAGCAAAAAAGAAACCACCCGCGACCTCCTCTCTCGAAGGCGACTCATGCCAATGAAGGGAAGGCGAGCTGCGGCGCCGCGGCCGCACCCATCGTAATTTCCGCGGTCTCCGTCTTGACCATCTTTTCCATTTTCAGTAAACCGACCAGGTCGAACACGAGCTTGATGATGTCGGAAGGTTTCCCGAGCTTCTTGACCTCGTTCAGGTCGTTGGGCTTGATCGAATTGGCAGCTCTTTCCGCTTCTTCCACAAAAGGCATCGCCTTCGCGAGATCCTTCTCCGCGTCGGCCTTCTCGAGCGCGATCTTGTGGGCTTCCTCCTCGCAGCCCTTTTTTATGTCATTGACAATATCAGCTTCTTTCTTGGCGGCCATGCTGCTTTTTTGTAGTTTACCGAGCATCTTTGTGGTATCTTCATTCGCTTTTTGGAGCTTGACTTCTTCGTCCGCGAGCACGACCTTCATGCTCTCGACGTCCTCGGCGCCCTTCGCGAGCTTCTCCAAACCAACGCGCACGTTCGACGCCTTCCTTTCTACTTCTTGTAACTTCGTCGCGTAGACTCGTTTATAAAATTGTAAAAAGGCCAAATAGGAGGTAGGCGTCTGGTAGACGTGCCGCCGCATCTTCTGGAAGTACTCGCCGCAGCACTCCACCACGCAGTTATGGACGAAGGCCATGTGCTCGATCAAGTTACTTTTCACGGTATCAGAGCACATGATGGGCATGTCTCCGACAAAACCTTCGCTAACAGCTCTTAACGCTTCCTTGGGCCAGCCCAGGAACCAGTCGATCGCACACCCCGTGATGAGCCCAGGAAACTTCTGCGCGCGATCGGCGAACTTCGCATTGACCGGCGAAAAACAAAGGACGACGTGTAAATTCCTACGGACCGTGTCGAAGAAGAACTTCACGAGACTTTCCGGCGTGTCCACCGGTACTGATTTGGGCGCATATTGCTGGATGTCCGACGCCATGATCTGGAGCTCGTCCTTCGGGAAGAGGCCGGGGATCTCGCCCGTCATGAGTAGACTGTTGAGTAACTCTAAGAAGTTCTCATCCTTGATCTGCGAGTCCGTGAAGATGAACGTAGCTTTTTTTCGTTGCTGTCCTGCGGTCTTGTACATCATTCTAAGATCATCGAGGAACGTCGCGAGGTTATATTGTTTCGTGAGCACGATCTGGAAGGGCACGGAGCCGGCCATGTACGAGGCTAAGTGGGTGAGGGACTGCTTGCCGGAGCCGCCGACGCCGACGAGCATCATGTTACCTCGAGGCATGCCCAGCACTCTCGAGATTCTAACTAGATGCAACAGCGCGTCGTCGAAAATAACTAAATTCATCTGTCTTGCTGGATGTTCCTCGTTGTAGAGGTTGAGGAAATGCTTCGATCGAGTACGTAACGAGTCGATGTCGCCGCCGACCTCGTAAATCTTCGGCGCCTCGGCGACCTGCGCGGAGCATCACGAATTGGCCTCTTCAGCAAAAAAGAAACCACCCCCGGCATCGTGAGATGGACACGTCCAAGGAAGTGAAGGCACCTTTACTAATCAAAACGCCGAGATCGCGCCAGGATGCCGTCCTCGTCGTACTCGTCATCTCTAAGAAAGTCCACAAACAGTGCGGGAGCGACGCAGCGCGAATGAATATCGGCGGCTGGCGCTGAACCAGGCCGTGAGACGGATTTACCTCTTTTGGTAGGAGACTTCAGCGCCGACGGCGGCCGGTCCTTTTTCCCTTTGGCAGGTGCGGCCCCGGTCAACTGTTTGGAAACGAGATCAAGCTCCTTCTTGAACTTGTCCTTGTCCTGTAAATTGACCAACTTATCACTGAACACTCTTTCCGCTTCATGTCTCCACAACTGCACCAACACAGAATCCTGCGTGTACGTCGACTTCGGCGTCCGCAGGATACCCTGGAATAAACGACTAAGATCCTTCAGCGTGAACGTGTAGTGGAATTTCGTCGGTGAGGGCAGCATCTTCTCCCTTAACCATTTAAATAAAGCCATCGTCGTCGGGGGCATCCTCGCCACGAAGCCCGGGAACTCCCCCCCTAAATATTTAAATTCTTTCGCGTCGAATCTGGATTGCAACAATATACCATAGATAGCGGCTACCGACGAGGGAGAAGGCGTCACGACCGTCAGCATGAAAAAATGCCTTTTCAGTCTGTTGGGGATGTCATTCTTGCCCCCTCCCGGCAGGTCCATCGCTCCAACATAATCCACGCCCCTTACTTCTTTGACATCTCCCCTCTTGTCCTTGTCCAGGAAGCAAACTCCACCCGTCTCGACCAATTGACGAGCTAATTCGAGAGTCGGCTGGTCGCCCCACGTATTAACTTCAGGCATGGATAAATCATCTAAGAAGATGGTCATCCTTTTACCCGTTGGTGGTCCATAACTCTTGCCGCCCTGCTTGTCGAGCTCGGCCTCGATGCTACCTTGGAAGGAGCCAGGAGTGGTAGCAAAGGAAAAGTTCATCTTTTTAATGATGTTCTTTTCCGTTTCTAAGGAGTCGAAGAACATGTAGGCCGTACTGGTTTTCGCCGTGCCGGACCCGCCTAGGAGCAGTACTGGTGTTTCTCTACTACGTAGTTGACTTAAGATGTAGCCACATCTAGTTGTTTCCAGCGTGGGCACCAAAACACCGGACCAGTCCTCCACATCCCCACGGGGAGGTTTGTAGACCGGCGTACTCCACCGCTCCCACTCCATCGTTTCATGGTCGATGCCGTACTCGAAGATGGACTCGCCTTGTGCGACGTGGAGAGGCATGTTCGTCGGTTCCGAGTCCATCTCCCGCAGCCAGGCGTCCCACTTCAATCGATCATCACTCTCAAGTAAGCCAGCAACGCCCCAGGTCAGACTGAAGAGCACGCACCGCTCGAGCTCGTGATGCGCGTCGTCGATCGACTCACTGATCTCCATACATGATAATAATGCGTCCATCAAGGTCAGCGTCTTCTCGACCATGCCCACCCTACTGACGGAAATGGGCACGTTGCAGTTCGCCCGGAGCCACTCGAAGGCCAGGCCGCAATCCCTGAGGGATGTACAGTGGCCCAGGTAGTTCTCGAAGTGCTCCCGCAGCATGTCCGGGTGGTGCACGGGGTCGCATTTATTCAGCCAGGCTTTTAGTATTGGTTCCCAGTCCAAATCTGAGGCACTGACGAAGATGATCCCTGCTCTAGATACTGTCGCAGGAGAGGCGTTCCTTAAATCTTCAACCTCGAACATGAGCTTGACGTTGTCCGTCATGGGTATTCTATCACCATTGGCTAATGTGAGGATCTTGTTGTCATCGAGCACCGTATTCAAGTTTTCGATCCACACGGCATCAACAGGACCGTCACATAAAATCCAGGTATTATCTTTCCGCGCCCGATCGTTGAACTTGCCCCACATGGCCGCGAAGATGCCGCTGATCCACTCGCCGCTCAACCTGCGCGGAGCATCTCTCGTGAATACGGTCCGAACGGCCTCTTCAGCAAAAAAGAAACCACCCCCGGCATCGTGAGATGGACACGAGTCGTATTGAAGTGAAGGCACCGACGTGGGACGCCGAGATCGTACCGGTCGGTCTCGCCGAACATCTCCTCCGCCCTTATGGCCTTCGGGTTCATCCGGACGCGCTTGTGGGCTATGCCTAGGACTCTCGACAATACGTCTTGCAACACGTTTATTATATTGGATTTTCCTGCTCCAGGGGGCCCGACGAGCATGATGCCGTGCCTTACCAACGTCGTTTCGTAGAGTTGGATGACCTTCAGCCGCCAACTATCGTGGTCGATGAGTCGGTACTTGTCTATGACACTTGTGAGTGTCTCCTGCACTTTTTCGTGTCCCCCGCCCTGGGGAATGGTGATTTGCGGGAACAGGTCCGCGAGTAGAGATAAGAATAAAGGCACGTCTTGCGCCACAAATTTTGATAAATTCATATCCCTTAAAGTACGCATGACGAGCAACTCCTCGTCAGCTTCCAATTCTTTCCGTTTCGTCGCACCGGCCGTCCTCAAAACACTGAGGATGTTCCTTAATCCAAAGTCGTAATGTTTCTGTTTCGAGAGTTGCTGTTCACACAATCGGTACAAAACATTAAACTTCCGGGCAAGTTCCGGGAATTTACTATAACCGACGGAACACAATTTAACTTTCATGATGATCTCGCCTGCGTGGACATCAAAGTTCAAGTTGCGCTTCAATTTGAGGTGTGTTGGGGTCGGAGTGAGGTGTTTCTCTCTCACTACGGTCTCAACTATCAGTCGGAGGTCGTGGCCGAGTTTGGGCCTCTCCGAGGGCCGCGGTGCCGAGATGATTTCCACACTGATAACTCGCGGTCCGGGACCATCATCGATACAGATCTAAATAAGACTTTGAGGTTCTCGGGCAGCTCCTGCCTGCCAGCATAGCCCGGGTTCATCGTGATGAAGTAGCCGACGTTCTGGATGAGACCGATGACCTGGGGGTCGCCCGGGAACGAAAACGATTTCGCGCCCACTCGTTTCGCGTTCGTTATAGCTAAGACCTGCTGGGCCACGACCGACAGGACAGGTAACTCGATGCGGTTGAACTCGTCGAAACACCCCCACAAGCCACCTTGACAAAGACCCTTGAAGATCTTGGCCATGTCCGTGTACCTTTGCTGGTCCGTACAATTTGTGACGACCACGAAGACACCTAGCGCTCTCCCTAGATCCTTGACCGTCTCCGTCTTGCCCGTGCCGGCGGGGCCCGCGGGAGCACCTCCCAGATGCATTCCTAAAGCTTGTGATAATGTAATATAGCACCTATCGGTCAACGGCGTGATCACGAGTCGTTCCTTGCATCCTAGGTACTCGAAACTATAAGTAAACTCGACGTCGCAGACCGCGACCACACAGGCGGACGGACCGTGATCATCTTTGGCGTCGGGGCGCCAGTAGAAGCGCGCTTGTTTGAGCCACTCGAAATCCCCTGCATCTAACCCTCCTTTCCTCGAGCGGTGCAACCTCGCTAAGTCTTCAAACACGTCGCGCTGGTGCACATGAATAGTAACCAACGTTTCGATCTTCCGGCGGTTCATTTTGGTTTTGAGGTCATTGAGACACCACGACGACAGCTCCTGCAGCACGACTAACTGTTGCCGGTTCGTGTCTTGCACGATAGCCTTGTTCTGCTTCGATTTCTCAAGAGCTTCTTGACACTGCGCCGTCCAGTTGAACTGGATGCCCAACAAAGCGAACTGCGCGCAGTTCGCGTCCACAAAGTCGCCGAGCGACATCTCCGCGCATTGTGCTGCTGCGGTTTCACACAACGCTTTTAACGTCTTTTGCATCTCTATGACTAGTTTTCCTAACCACACTTCGATGCTACCACTCGCAAGACAGACTTTCGCGAGCTTGACCCGTTCCTCGTCGGAACCCGAAATGTTTTTTATGGCCAAAATCTTGCCCTTGTCGCTCTTGTCGTGTTCCACTTGGTTCACCGAATCGAACACCTTCTCGTAGTAGGGCTGCATCTGCAACGGGTCGGAGCCTTGAGATAAAATTATGAGTATGGCAGCATTCGACACGAAGTAAAACCGCGGGAAGATGGCCCTTTTTTGTTCTAAATACCCTTCGAGAGACTTCTGGCACCGCTCGAGCTCATCATACAAGACCGGCAGCGTGTTCTTCAGCAATTCGTTCGCGCAGCACTGCAACACGATCTGCGTCTGCTCGGCCTTGGCCATGAGCTTCACGAAGTCGCGGTCGACCTGCGTCGAACGACCGCGTCGCGAAACCCATCGATGTGCACTCGCGAGGCGCGTCGACGCTCCGATGATCATGATGAGGGCGACATGACGCCGTCGACGCAACTTCAAGTTGAGAAATTGAAGGAAATCACGCTGAGTCACTGACCTTGAGGAACTTCTTGGCCTCGAGGGGCATCTGCTTCGCGATGTCGCCGCCTGCGTGGTTCAATCAAAGTTCAACTCGGGGTCTCTCTGGATACGGTCGATTGTGTCGAAGGGACGTCGTGTCGAAGTTTGGACACTGATACATGCCCATGAAGACGCTCTCCAAAGCCGTCCAGAGCAGCTGGACCTTGATCCACAGCTCCAGCGTGTCCGCCGTGTCACTGAGAGCCGTGAGCTGCTCCTGCACGGGCTCCCGAAACGGCCCGACGTGGCGCATACTCAGCAGGGTCTGCATGTTCATCTGGGCCTCTTCCAAATCATCGATGATCTGGCCAAACGCCTGGAGGATGGGACAGTCCCGACCCTTCCACCGGCCGAACGTAAATGTCGTATGAGACCACGTTTCTCGGGATTCATTGAGTTTGGTCTCGATGCCCAGCTGCTTGTCGGCGCCCTCGCAGATCTCCTCGACCTGCTCTCTCCATGTAAGAATGGGCGACTCGAAGATGTCCTGGAGCTGGAAGGCCTCCTTGTCATATGGGAGCGTAAAACCGCCCTGCGAAAACAATTCCTTCCAGTGTCTAGGTTTGACCGAAGGTTTGGCCAGCTCTGATATGAGAGGTAGCAGGTCCTGGAAGTCCGTGAGCTTCGCCCGTAAATCCTCGTAGGCCCGCCACTCGCGCAGCCGTTTCGGCATTTTTTTGCATCGCAGGTCAAATTGATTGGCCTCGTCGGTCATTTCCTGTAATCTTCCCGGAACATCAATCCACAACGTCGACTGGTTGACTTCGACGGACTGGAGGACGTCGAGGTACAAACCGTAGAGCTGGTCCAACAAACCGACCTCCTTCCGCGTGCGCGCCATCTCCGGGTACTTCGACGTGCGTAGCGCGAAGAGCTCCTCGCCCGCAATGTACATGTCCATCTTCCGTTCGCGCACGTCCAATTCATTTTTATAACGCTTCAACCGCTCCACGGCCTCCTCGGGCGAGCACCCGGGCGCCCCAGGGCCATTACGCTCGAAATCACTTCTAAAATCACTACAGTCCTGCTTGAACTCGCGCACATCCAAAACTAATTTCTTTTTATAATGCCCTTGGATCTTGCCGAGCTCGTCGGCCACATCTTCAGCTAAGTCGGCGAGCTTGTGCCACGACGGCCGCAGCACACTCTTTTGGTCCATCTCGTCCTGATCCACGAGCCCACCGGGCAGGTAGTGGTCCAGCATGGCGTACATGTCGAAGATGGGTGCTATTTCCATCTCTATCGACGACTCCTTCTCCCTCACGTCTTTGAGCACGGTCATCACATATCTCAAAGTGTCCAAATCCGTGACCTCCGTGTGGAGCTTTGTTGATGTTGTTCTTATGTAGTCTAACAAGCCGCGTAACGCATCTCTAGCCATATGATGTATTTTAGTAGAATATATTTGTTTCCACTGGCGCGACTCGTTCCGCAACTGTAGCTTGTAATTTGCCGTGTTCAAGGTGAGTGCGCCGATGTTCGTCATGGGCGTGATCCTTGTGATGGCTTCCTCGACGGACATGAAGTACTGCAACTGCTTATCGAAGTCCTCGAGCTTCGGGTTCCGAGCCGTAAAACGCGAGTAGTGCTTATCTCTATCATCTTTCCACAACCAGTCGTACTGCTTGAACGCTGATAGGCAATCTTGCACTTGATTTTTTGTCGCATGGAGAGCGCCCGTCAACAAGAGGGCGATCTTCACGATCTCCGTATCTCTACCTAAACGATCAAAAAAAGCTGACTTCCGCTCGTCCGGCAGGCCGAGCTGCCCCCAGTTGAAGACGCGCTTCGCACACCCCAACACGGCGACCGCAGACCTATTGATGGCCCGCTGGACGTCATCTAACGACGGCGCTAGCCTGACCGAAGGCACGGAGAGCTGGACGTCGACCGTAAAAAACGGCCGCTGGACGAAGAGAAAACCCGTGCCGCCACCTCTTACACAGACTCTCGCCTTCATCTTATTGAGCGAGTTCTTGACGCAGTTCAAGAGCGCCGTGTAGAGCATCTTGTTGTAATGGACTCTTAACAAATTTATGGCTTCGGTATCCAAGGTATCGTCGTCACATAGGGGGTATCTCGCGAGTTCCGAGATGAGATCTTCCACGGCCGTCTCTACTTCTAAGTTTTTGGCTATTAAGATCTCAGATTCGGTTCTCACTTTTAATTCTTGCATCGAGACGAACTCGTCGAGCGTCACTGACCTATCTGTGGGTAGATCAACTAACAAGATGCGGGAAATAACTTTGAGGTTCTTCTCGATGCGGTTTTCGACCAGATCATTAATCGTGCCCACTAAATGTTCGAGCTGGTTTAATGCTGCTCGTACTTTTGAGGCGTACGACCCGAGGTTCATCGACGTCCACGTCAATGCGACCATGCCTGGTCGTAACGCCGCTTCGACGGTCGCGACGTGGGGGCCCAAAGCTTTCAACGTGGTCGGCGAGATCGTTGATGTTATTCTGTCAAAATCCGACAGACACGACCGTAGCTCGTCGTAATAGCCCTTGAAGCGCTGCTCTTGGGACTGGACGGTGCGCGCGCCTTCCGGGATCTCGACAGACATCCTCTGCAAGCATTTCGCCTCCCGTATGAGCTGCAGCACTTGCGCGTCGAAATTGACATGTAACGTATTATGTTGCGGGTGTCGTATGATCAGCGTCGCTCGTAGGCCAGCCTTCGCCGCGTCGACGGACTTGCACCAGGCCTCGTACCACAAGTATTCAAAAGCGACGAGCGTGCGCGCGACCTTGTTGTACGCCTTGACTATTCTCTTCGCCTCCCTCGAGCTACCGAGCACGGCCTTGTTCGACTGGAAGCGCTTCATGGGCTCCTCGATCCTCCTCAACAAATGGCGGGCCCAGGTGATGTTTCCGGCCACCGGTGGCAAGTTTCTAGCGGCGGGCGGCGCGTGCTTGCACTTCTCGTACGTCTCTTGCACCGACGCCAACTCGAGCCCATAATTGTGGAAGATGATCATGAACTTGGCATCCAAATCAGCTCTGAGAGTCTCTCGGTGCAAGATCTGCTGGTACTTCTTCAGCAACTGCAGCGACGCCTCAATAGAAGATATACTTTCAAAGGACCGGTTGATGAAGTGCTGCAGCGACGTCTCCAGCTCCCCGACTCTCACATTAAACTCCACGAAGTCGCGATCGAACTTGTTCGTGTTGTAGTCCAGCAGGTCGTGCTTCTTCTCCTTAAATTGGTCGATAATTTGATCGAACACTAGTAATAAAGGCTCCATCCCTTCCAATTTGTGCTCCACCAACGCTCGGAACTGTTGTATAGTAGAAAACACGTCAATGAGCTTGATCAGCCGCCGACAGAACAGGTCGAACTTCCCGAACAGCTGCGCTTCCGCAAAGTCGAACTGCCTCCCGGTCGGCATCTGCGCGAGCTTGTCCTTGGTCAGTTTGTACTGCTCCTGGTAGAACTCGTTCATCCGCAGACACGTCTCGAGCATGTCCAACAAAGGTCCGACGGGCTTCTCCCACATCTTCGCGGACGTGTCCGTGCCGTTGATCGCGAGGCGACAGCTCCTGATCATGGCGTTCGTGATCTTCATGAAGAGCTTCGTCATGCGCTCGGAAGTGTTGAAGAACCTACTAATGGTGTGGACCATCTTGAGGGCGTTCATGAGGGCCGGTATGGAATCGATAATTTGCGTCGGCGTGCCGCTCCTCAGGGGCTCCAGGAACCGTTCCAACGTCGACAAAAACTTGGAGTTGTCTTTCGCTTCGTTCGCGGCTTTCGTGATGCAGACGTCGATCTGGCGCCACCGTCTCATGAGCGCCAGGACCTTATTCCGCGGCGCGGCCATCTCGTCCTCAGGTTGTTTCGTGACCGCTGTGAGTAATACGATGACTTGCTTGCAGCGCTTCGTCTTGAGCTGGTCCGTGATTGAGGTTAAACGTTGCATGCGTCTTCTCCAATACTCTAACTCACTGTCGGGGCCGCTGTCGGGGGTCTCCCATTTACTTCTGTCCGTATCCCCCAAATAGCCTTCGATGGACGTGCACCACTCCTCTAGCAACTCTAAATGAGCTTGGGCGATGCGCGGATCACTTGCTTGTTGTTGCGGATCATCTAACTCATAGAGAGCGCCGGACGGCTGCCGCAATTCTAATCCACCTCCGAGAGATCTCACGTTCTCGCGAACGTTCTTCGAGAACGAATCGACGGACACCGTAAACTCCGTCCGGTGCGCATCCGACGCGGCGCCCCACACTATTTTATTTGAGGTTTTTAGCATCGGTTGATAGAGCGAAGACAAGTACGCTTCGAGGGAACGCATGGGGTCTCGGACCGTACCGAAGACCATGGACCCGTCGCGAGCCTTCAAGGGGTCCAAGGCCAAAGTACGGCCCTCCTTGCCCGTCGCTTTTTTCATGAAATACGCACACGTCCCTTGCAGACAACTCTCGGGCAGCTCCGTCAAATCACTTCCATCAGAATAGTACAACGCGATGCGGTCGTCGTGGACCATGTTTTTATTATGTAAAGGCGCGTTGCCGGGCTTATCAAAGTCGCCCCGCTCGAAGAAGAAGAAGACGCGCTCCGGCCCGCGGCTCCCGAAGAAGTTGTTGAGCTTCTGCAGGAACGAATCTCTTCTGACGAGCGCTTCGACGGCCTCCTCGTCGTTCACCTCGAAGGCCTCGTTCAATCGCGCCACGACGTAGCGGTGCCGCGCCTGGAGGGCCATGGTGGCTCCTGGCTCCTGGCGCTAGCCTGCGCTAGGAGCCCGTGTCACTGTGTGCTGCGCGACGGCTCGCTAACAGCGGTTGCGGGTGGCACCGGGCAGCCCTTCGCGCGCCGGGCCTTTTTTTGGCCCTATTGCCAAAGCGCTAAGCCGGCTGCCTCCGCCACTAGTATTGGCTAGTATCCCCGGTGTATTCGCTCCCGCGCAGCCCTGGGCCAGGTCTCCTACGACGGCCGGTCACCGCCGGGGCGGGCGGGCGCTTCGTTTTTATGGATCATTTTGCCTCCTTCACAAGTCCGAAGAAACACCCCCAACGCATCCGACGACGCCGCGCGGGCGCCGCGAGCCGTCGCGCGCGGCCCGGGACCACGTTCGGGCAGCCTAACACCGATCGGCGCGTGCGGCTAGTGTGTTTAAGCAGCGGTCCCGACCCAAAAGCAGACGGTCTTTTAGAACGCCCTGGAGAGGCCTTCTGTCCTGCGAAATTTATAAAGTTAGGCCTGGAGGGACTCGCCTCCAGCCCCGATCCGGCGCTGGGAGCCCTTGCGCCCGTGATCGACGCGCGCCGCACGCTCCGCCGGCCGAGGAATCCATCCGCCCGCCACCACGAAGCGCGCTTTCAAAGGCGCGCGGAACCACGAGGGCGCGGTTTCCGGACGCACCGGAGCCCCCCGGAGCCCCGCGGCGCCCGAATTCAAAGATGATGATCCCTCTACCATGCACGCCGCGCGTGGGACGGAGGCGGTCCGACAGCCCCGGGCGCCTCGAACCGCGACCTTTTAGGACGTCTAGACGTTCGAGGACGAAGGGCGATAGGTGGCGGTCGGTAAGGGCGCCGCTGAAACTTCCGGAGAGAGATGCAAGGCATTTGAGCACGGCGTGCCCCTGGCTGGCCAACGTACCTTATATAGGACCGTCCTGCGACCTCGAGCGAGTGGCCGACGTCGTCTCGAGACATTACCGAGGAGAATTTTGCTGGTCGTCCTCGTTCGACGGCGACTTCGTCGCGCGGCTCATGGCCCACGGCTTCCTGACCATGGCGCAGAAGGTCGGGAAAGACGGGTACGCTTTGCTGCCGAAGATGCACCGGCACCGCTGCGCCTTGGATTTTCGCGACACGCACGTCGCGCGCTCGACTCGGCGGAAGGCGGCAAAATTTGAGTTATCTGTCGACAGGGCCTTCGAGGACGTCATCGAGGGCATCCAGCAGCAGCACGGCGGCGAGTGCTGGTTCTACCCGCCCCTCGTCGAGGCCTTTCGCATGTTACATGCACAAGGGAGCACACACGTGAAAATGCGAACTTTTGAAGTTTGGGACAAGGCGACCGGCTCGTTGGTGGCGGGCGAATTAGGATACGCCTGCGGCGACGTGTATACGTCGTTGAGCGGTTTTTCGAGGATGGCGTCGGCGGGGGCGGTCCAGTGCGCTGCCACGGCCAAACTACTGGCGCGGAGCGGATATGCTTTGTGGGACCTGGGCATGGAGCTGCCCTACAAGACGAAGCTCGGGGCGCAACTGCTGCCGCGCGACGCGTTCCTCAAGAGGTTGCGGCAAGCTAGAGCGGTCGGCGCGCTCCGGCTCTACCCGTGCGCGCCGCGCGAGTGCTGCCGGCTGCTGATCGATTGTCCAAGGGTTCCCGTCGTGTCGCCGCCGGCGACGGACGACAGCGCTTCCGCTACATCCGAGACGACGGCGTCGACGGACACCGTCTGAAATTTGAACACATGTGCCCGGGACGATACGTCCGCCGCGGCTATCCCTGTACCCCAGAAGTCTTTTTTACAAGTACGTAACACAAAATATACATATACTAGTAGCGCCGGCCGCCGCCCGTCAGCGAGAGCGTCTTCTTCACCGGCTTGCCCTTTGGTTTTGGCGGCGGCGCCGCGGCGACAGCCGCACCGCTGCGGTCGCCCCATGTCGTCGCCGGCGGCGCGACGGGCGCCCGCGGTGGCGCCGCGAAGCGCGCGCGATCTAGCTGGTCGCCTCTTGTCACGGCGCGACCGCCCCACGACGGCGCCGGGGCTGCCGCGACCGGCGCGGCCGGGGGACTCGCCGAGAGCTCCGGGAAGGCGCCCTCCGGCGCCGCGAAGTTCCGCGCCACGGTGTTCGCGAAGGACATGGCCGCCGGCGCCGCGCCGAGCGCCGCCTCGGCCCGCGCCTGAAGTTCCTCGGTTATTTCCGGCTCGACGGGCGCGAAGTCGCCCTCTTGCTGGATGTAGGGCGCTGCTTTTGGCGGGGCCTTCTCGGCGAGGCGCTTCTCGACGTTATGGGCGTGGCGGCGCTCGGCGCGTCTCGATTGCTCCTGGTCCCGTTTGATAGTTTTGGCCCGCGCGGCGAGGGCGTCCCTAAGAGAGGGGTCTTGTTCTCGCGCTGCGCGGCACCGCTCCGTGAACTCAGAACCGAAGCCGCCGTCGCCGCGCGCATCTAACAAAGTCACGTCACTACCAATAGGCACGTGCGCGAGCCAGGGGAAGCGCTTGCGCGTCGCCGGCGACTGCTCGAAGCGCTCGGCGTGCGCCACGCGCAATTCCGGCAGCGCCTCGGGCAAGTGTTCGATGCCGCCGACCGCCGCTATTAGTAATTTGAGGTGGAGCGGGTGCAGGAAGACTAGACTTCCATCCTTCCGCCCGTAGAAGCGGTACGTCTTGGCCTCCGTTGGCTCTTCCATTGATGGCTCGTTACTAGACACCGGTTCGACATCTAAGTACGCCGCGGCCGCCGCGACGGCGCGGCGCTCGGCCTCGTCGTCGGCTTTCAGGGATGCGTCCGCCAGGGCCGCGCGGAAGCTTTGTTGCGCGGCTTGGACAGCGGCGGGCGTCGCCTCCGTGATTTTTGCGAGGAGGTCGCAGCGGTCGTCCGACGCCGGCAGGCGGCCCGTGACGCGATCCGCGAGGCACGCCCTTCTACCACTCTTCGGCCGTTCTAGTAAAACGAGGTCCGCCGCCGGCTTTCTCAAAAACGCGGGCCGCAGGTCCTTTACTGAAAGCGGCGCGGCGCAGCACGGGCACTTCCGGCTGCGGACGTAATCAGACGTACAGTGGCGCACGACGCAGGCCGCGCAAAAACCGTGGCCGCAGCGCGTGACGACCGGCGCTCTAGCTTCGTCCTCGAGGCAGATGGGGCAGCGGATCGCGTCTCCAACAACATCCGCCGCGACGACGCTCTCCCAGGGCGGCGCCTCGTCGGCGTCGCAGGCGAACGGTGACGCGACGCCCGCGGCTACTAATAACCGTATCGCGGGCGCCTCGAAGGCGATGCCCCGCGGCCGGTGCGCGCTCCGCGGCTTCGCGGGCGCGCGCCGCCGCGGCGGTGGTTGTTGCTGGGGCCGTTCCGTCGTGAAGCGCAGCAGGTGGTTCGCGTTGCCGCGAGCTTGTTGCGTGTCCACGGCGGCGCAGTAGCCCGGGTCCAGCGCCGAAATGGCCGCCTCCACGGAACCCGTGGCCTCCAGCGCGCGCCGCGCGGCGGCCGGCGCGTAGCCCATCTCCACGAGGGTCGCTTCGGCTGCGCTCCTGTGGCCGCGGCCCTTGCCAGCGCTCCGGCTGCGGCCTCGTCCACGACCTCGACCTCGACCGCGGCCCCGTTCACGACCGCGCCCGCGCCCTTTCGTTGTTGCCGGCGCTGGCGGTGGCGGTAGAGGCGTCAGCACGGGCGGGACGGCTGCGGTTGGCACGAATGCCGCCGCATTGCCGCTCAGTGTGCTGCCTTGCTGGTCAGCCATTCTCGTCCCGTGGTCGCGCGACGCTTCTGAAAATGGGCAACGCTTCGTGATATGCTAGGAGGAGTACCCACAGAGCTTTGCGCCAACCGTAGCACGCCGTAACCCCTCCAAAAGCGCTTGCACAGCTTGGCTGGCTTGCTAGTGTCTTACATGCCGCTAGCTGTTTATGCTAGACCGCGACGCGGGCACGGTCCATTTGCGCCAATACGCGCCATATACGCAGGCTGCAGGCACGAAGAGGCGCCGTACAGCAGCACTTTTGAATCTGCGCCGGCCCAGCGCTTCCAGAGGCCCGACGTTGCTCCGCAGCGGCCACAGCGGCAAGCGGCTGTCAGACGCGGCGCCATGGCCGATGAAGCGGCATTCACGGGCTTCGTTACAGCCGGCAGCAAGAAGGCCGTGAGGCCGTCCGCCGCGCCGTTCGACCCCTTCGCGGACGACGCCGCGCCGGCACCGAAGCCAACAGGCGGCGCATTGTTCCAGACGGCCGGCGCGCGGCGGCCCGTGCGGCCCAAAGCGGCGCCCGCGGCGACCGCTCGGAAGGCCCCGAAAGCGGCGTTCGACCCCTTCGCCGACGACGACGCGCCGGCGGCCCCCTCGACAAAAACGCCGAGGCCCGGGCGGCGGCCCGCGTACCGGACGCCCGCGACGGCGTCGACGCGCGGCGTGCCGACGCCCCGGTCCTTCGACCCCTTCGCCGGCGACGACGGGCCGCCCGCCACGGCCACGGCGCGGCCGGCCGCGCCGCGGCCGACGACCATCCAGAAGCCGAAGAAAAAATTCCAGATCCCGCGGACGACGCCCAAGGCCGTCGCCGCGCCGATCCTCCGGCCGCACGTCTTCCTCGAGGACGCACCGGCGACGCAGCCGGCACGACCACCGCCGCCCGCGCGGCCGGCGCCGCGCGGGCCGCCGCGGCCGGCGCCGCGGCCGAGCTCGCTCGACGCGGCGCTGGCTGACTTTGACATCGAGGCGGCGACGCGGCCCCGGCCCGGCCGCGTGACGCCGGCGGCGCCGGCGCCCGCGGCAGCGCGGCCGCCGGCGCCGCGCGCGCCGGCGCCGGCGCCGGCCGCCGACGCGGCGGCCGCGGCCGCGGCCGCCAAGATCGCCCGCCTCGAGGCCGAGAACGCGCGGCTCAAGGCGGCGGCGGCGGCGGCGCCACCGGCGCCGCCCGCGCGGCCGCCGCCGCCGGTGCCCGCGCCCGCGCCGGCGTCGACGGCGCAAGCGCCCGCGCGGCCGCCACCGGCGCCGATGGAGGCCGAGGCCGCCGCCGCTCCGACGCCTGCCGCGCCAGCGCCCGCGGCGTCGACGGGCATCGACTACAGCCGCTTCGACGGCATCGGCGACGACGACGACGACGACGACGAGCCGCCGGAGATTATCCATAGGCCCATCCTGCCGGACAACGAACCTCAGCCAAAACCGCCGCCCGTCCCCTTCGACCTCTCCACCCAAAACGTGCCCGCGCTCGCGAAGATCTGCGAGCGCGTCGGGGGCAAGCCCGTCGACGAGGCCAAACTGGCCCGCGAACTGGAGAGGCACGCCGCCTTGTGGGCCCGCGACGACGCGCCCGACCAACATAAAATCCCGACGTGGACGCGGCCCTGCTCGGCCCAGCCCGAGGCGGGGTTGATAGCGCGGATCCGCAAGGACCCCGGCGGCGTGGTCGCGCCCGTGCTTAAAGTGAGGAAGAAGGAGGTGCGGAGCACGCCGCTCGGGCCGCGCGTGCGCTTGGAGCTCGGCGACGGTGGTAATGACGCCATGGCCGCGCACTGCAAGGGCGATTTGACGGAGAAGTTGCGGTGCTGCCGGCCCAATGCTTTATTACGGCTCGTGCAGTGGTTGGTCAATGATATCAATGGCACAAAAGTTATTATTGTCTTACAGTTCGACTACGTGTTGCAAAGTGTCGAGGACCCGTCCAAGTTCGTGGCCGTGCCGCCGCCGGAACGTACTGTTCAACCCGAGGACGAGGTGAAGGCGCGCGTCGAGGCCAATAGGGCCGCCGCGCTGGCGATTCGCGACGCGAAGCGGCGGCGCCAGGAGGCGCCGCCTCCGGCCACGGAGGAAGCGCCGCTCGGTATATTTAGGTCGTCGGAGGAGGCCAAGGTCGTCGACGCGGCTTTAGGTGCCGCGCTCGGCGCCGCGTGCCTCTCGCACGTCTACGGCCCCGCTGGTTCTGGGAAGTCTTGGTTGTGCGCTACCTTAGCGGCGCGCGCCTTGTTACGACGAAAGCGGGAGGCCGTGGTCTACCTCTGCGCCACGGCGGCGCGATCCCGGCACACGGCCACCCATATTTGTAACATCGCCGTGACGCTCGGCGTCGACAAGGACGACGCCGCGGGACGAACTGTCGTCGCCAGCTTCCTCAACTCGGAGCAGATGGCCCTGGCATTGGACAACGACGCCCAGTGGCTCGCGCGGAAGCGGGGCGTGAGCCTGGTCGTCGTCGACAGCGCGGCGGCCGTGTGCAAGGATTTGCCGCGGCACGACCGCAACGCGGCCCTGCGGCGCATCCTGGCGGCAGCGAAGGAGCTCGCGCGCGCCCTGAACGTGGCCGTGGTCCTGGTGAACGAAATTTCCCACGACTTTAGTGATGGCGCGCGGCAGGGCGCGTACCGCCCGGCAATGGAACAATTGTACGCGTTCTGCGGGCGGACCTTCCGCGTGGCGCAGCACGTCCAGGGCCGGCGGTCCGTGGCGCTCATGGGGTCGTCGCCGTCCGAGGAGATGCGGGCGCCGCTGGCGATCACGAGTACGGGCGTCGCGGACGCGGGGGACCTCGCCGACGACAACTCGGATCGGGGCTTCGACGACGACTCGGGGGACGACGACGACGCGATGCGGGACTCGGACTAAGACCCAAGTGTTCTGTAGTTCAGAGAAACGAGCGATTTAAATCATCATGGGAGAACTACTACAGCAGGAACGCGCCTCACTTCTTCAGCTTCTTCTGGAGCTCGGGCGTCAGCCACTCGGCGAGCTTGAGCGCCTCGCAGGCGATCTCGATGGTCGCCACGCCCGGCGGCGTCGTGCCCGCGAGCGCGTGCGCCGCGCAGACGCCCTTGAGCTTGGCGTACTCCTCGGCCTGGGTATATAAGTAGGAGAACCAGTTGGGGTGCGCGGCGGCCTCGGCGGCGACCTTCTTGGCCCGCTCGCCGCCGACCATCTCCTGCGAGTAGAGCACGACGCCGTTCGACGTGTCCGTGACCGTCGCGCAGCAGCCGTCGCCCGAGCACCGGTCGGCCGAGATGCGCACCTTCGTGCCCGAGCTGTTGACGAGCGTGACGTCGACGGAGGCGAAGTCCGTCTTGCCGCCCAGCGTCCGCATGTCGCAGCCCGGGGAATCCTTGCCGCCCTTCGCGTTGCAGATGACGTCGGTAATGTTGTCGGCGCGCATGCCCCAGAACTGGCACGCGAGCGCGATCTCGTGGATGGCCATGTTCTTGAGCATGCCCTCGGCGTTGCGCTCGAAGCACTCTTCTAAAGTGGCCTCCGTGTAGTCGTTGCGCGACACGAGTTTGGTTTCGACGGCCTCGGCGCCGGCGGCGCCGTTCGCGGCCGCGAGCGCGCCCTCGACGTAGCCCGAGATGTTCTTGATGAAGCCCATGTAGACGGGCACCTTGGCCGCCCTGGCCTCGCGGGCCATGGCCTCGAGCTCGCCGACGGTCGGCGCGCCGGGCTTCTCGAGGAGGATGTGCGTCGCGCCCGCTTTAATGGCCTGGCGGAAGAAGCCCGGGTTGTCGCAGGTCCGCCCGGCGATCAACGCGATCTTCGTGCCGGACGTGGCCCCCGAGAACAGCGAACCGCTGTCGACGGAGGCGTGGAACTGGACGCCCTTCGCCTTCCACTTGGCCGCCATCTCGGCGAAGGCCTTCCCGGGCGGCAGGTCCTTGCCGGCTCCTAAAAAGAAGGGCTCGACGACGTCCGACAGCCGCGCGCGCGGGATCTCGCCGTTCAGCAGCTGCAGGGCGTGGTACCAGCCCATGCCGCGGCCCTCGACGCCGCAGCCGATGATGGCGTAGTTCGCCTCGCCGCCCGTCAACGATGAGATCATCTCGCCCATCTTCGTGGCGTGCCTGCGTGGGAAATATGTGGAACGACGCGTCGTCAGATGCGCAGCCGCGCTGCCGCAGCAGCACGTGGGTCGCTGCCGCGGTGGGAATATTTGGAGCGACGCGTCCTTGGTGGCGCAGCCGCGCCGCAGCAGCAGCCCGTGGGTCGCTGCCGCGGTGCCGCGCGCTCGCGCGGGCCGGTCGAGAGGCGTTGCGGCGTTTCATCGCTTTGTTTCCCTTTGATATGAGGAGCTTACCCTTCGCCCACGCGGCGCGCACGTTGTCGAAGGCATCGTGAATCGTTGCACGGATGGGTGGTTCGGACGCTGCGTGAATGCAGTCGTTAATTATCGCTGTCGACCCGCTCTGTAATCTCACAGACGAGAGGCTGTGACCTGGACTGTGATATGATGCTAAGGCAGCCCAGTACTTTCGGAACCGGCCAGAGAGGGGTACGGACGCGCGGTACGAAGGCTCGAATGAACACGGGTAAGGCTGCCTGCGTGGCCAGAGCTAGCGTACAAGGGCACTAGCATGTCGCAGCTCCCTGGCAAAACGCGGCCCTGCTTGCCGCGCGAGCGCACCCACGAGCCAGCAGGGAGACGTTTTGAACATATAAAGCCACTGCAAGTCGCTGCCGGACCGGAACGCCGCCGCCGCGCCGCGCAACTAAACCCACACTCCGCCAGCCGCACAAAGCAAGATGGCCGCCCCCCAGTACTCCTGGCAGACCTCCCTGACGAGGAACACGAATAGTAGAGAAGATGACCCGCGGCCGGACCTAGAGAAGCAGGCCGCCGTCGTCGCGTGCCTGAGGCGACGCGTCGGGCAAAAACCGCTAAATGCGCAAAAGTTGATAGAAGAAATGGGCGCCGATGCTGTCGATTTGAGAATTGATTCTGGCGTGGATGCCATGCTGCGACGGAATCCGAGAGTGCGAGTAGCTCTCGATGATGAAGGTGAAGCTACTTATGTCTATAAAGCGGCTCATGACGACGTGCACGACTTTGAGTCGTTGGTGCAGTTCGTCGAGCAGGCCAAGGACGGTGTCAGGGCCGTGGATTTATATGATACGTACATTGGAGCTGCTGACGACGTCGAAAAAGCGATTGTTGCTGGGGATGTGTTGGCTTGTTTTGATGCATCTATCAGGAAAGTGTGCCTGTTCCCGCGGGGCCAGCCCTATGTCGTCGGGTTGTCGAACGCTGTTAGAGATTCTCGCGCTACGCTACAGACGAGAAGAGACCTAAGGGGAGATGTGAGACGAGGCGATGCCGTCAAGATCGCCAAGGTCTCGCGCGGCGCCCACGAGCTCATCATGGACCGGTCGTCCGTGAAATGGTTCCGCATCGACTCCAAGGTGCACCATAGCGGGGCCCAGCCGAAACGGGCGCAGCGACCGCTCTCCGCGTCGTCCTTGCGCGAAATGCACTCCTCGAACGTTTATGTCTCAGAGTACAACGAGCAGACCGTGCCCCTCGGCGTCGATGAAGAGGATGAAGATGATAGTGACGACGAGTACCCCGTGCACGTGTCCCTCGCGAAGCATGGGTGTACCAATGATGTAAGAGCGCTCTGGCTGGAAACCGCCGAGCAGACGCCGACCGATAGATCATTATTGCAACGCAAGTTGGCCGAGGCCGACCTGCAGCACGGCTCTCTCCAAAGGCGCCCGCGCGGCAAGAAACGCAAGGAGGAGGAAGAGGCCAAAAAAAAAAGACGAAGGGTCAACCCGAAGTTCGCGAAGCTGACGAACACGCACCTCGCGGGGACGCCCATCGGCGACGTGCTCCAGGCGGCGCTGGAAGGGAGAGATATCGAGGGGTCGGCGACGGGCGGGGCGCGGTTCGACGTGGCCTAATTCTAGGATGTGTGTGTGATTACTCCCCCCACCATCTGGAACACCAACCCCCCGGGGGCGGGCGCAATACCAAGTGCACAGTTGTGCCGTCGAAGACATTCGACTCGTAGAGGCGCTTCCCGTCCACTAACTGCCGTCCTCTGATTATCAAGCGCTGTCGCTCGAGTGGGATATTCGTGCTGTCGCGAATCTTCTGCTTTAACGATAGGACAGTATCACCGGGACGAACCTTCAGGCACAATTTCTGGCCACTAAATGCTGAGGCTATGGCTCTGGCTGAGGCTGAGACTCTGGCTGAGGCTGAGACTCTGGCATTGGGCGGTATCGGCGCCCACCGGCGCGCGGCCGGCGCGGGCTCTACGGTCGCGACCGGGGGCTCGGAGAATGCCGCGACGCGGCGCGCCTCGTACAGGAGCGCGCGCCCGGACGCCTTCGATCGGTCTTTGACGATCTGCGAGACTTCTGACTGGTAGAGGCCGAACGCCTTCGCCGCGTCTGTCTGAGTGCCAAAGCGCCGCCACGACGCGTCGCCGATGCGGCGCATCTCGATGGCCTTGCTGACGACGCGGCGCAGAGCGACGGTCTGGGGTCTGACGGCCGGCGGGCGCCGGCCATTAAAACTTGAGGCAAAATCACCCAGCTCCTTCAAGACCTCCACGGGAGAGAACTCAACGGCGTCTACCATTGTCACTGCAATGTGTGAGCACTTGCCTGCTCGGCTCGGCCCGTCTCGCTTGTAACTCGCGTACAAGCAAAAAGTGGCGTGGAAAACCCGTTTTTACCTCTCCGAGCTGACCACATAGACGCCGCCGCCGCGCCCAAGTATATATAACACTCGCTACTTAGATACGGAGATAGAGGAAAGGCGCCTAGTTAGTCGTCGCCGAGGTTGCCCAGGATGCCGCCGCCGCCGCTCGCCGCGACGACGTCGTACATCTTGCCCTCCGTAGGAATGCCCTTCGCCGAGAAGATCTTCTTCCTATCTAACACGAGCGCCAGCTCCTCATCCGATAGAGCCTCCTTGTCGTCGCCCGTCATGCCCGCGACTCGCTGCGCGATGTTCACGTCCGAGTCCAATAAAGCTCGTAAGCCATCCGTCGTCAAGTCGCCCCTCGACCTTCGACCGGCCTTGTTGTAGTCGCCGCCCGTCACGGCCATCCTCTCGAGCTTCTTCTTGGAGATCTGCTTCTCCATCATACTTATCTCCACGCTACCCGTGGTCAATAGCCGATACACAACTACCGGTTTCGTTTGCCCGATGCGATGCGCTCGATCCATGGCCTGCGAATCCTGGTGCGGGTTCCAGTCGCTATCGAACAACACCACCGTATCGGCCGAAGCCAAGTTAATGCCCAACCCACCGGCACGAGTAGACAAAAGAAAGATAAAGTGGTTGTTGCTCGACTGACCCTCCGCATTAAAAGCATCAATCTGCCGCTGCCGCTCCGACAACTCGACGCCCCCGTCGATCCGAAACACGCCCCACTTTTTAGATCTAACATAATCCTCGATGATGTTCAGCAGCTCCGTCATCTGCGAGAAGAGCAGGACCTTGTGGCCGCCCTCCTTCAGCCGTACTAACAGTCGATCGAGCAGCCGGAACTTGCCGGACGCGTTAATTAACGTCTTGGGATTCGCCTCTCCGACGAATTCTCCGGTAGGTGTGGTAGGTTCCCCAAACAAAAACGGGTGGTTCGCATTTTTTCTTTGATTCATGAGCATGTTGTTCTCCGAGACCTCCTTGCCCGTGCAGGGGATGCCCGAGGACTGGAGCGTGTCCTTCAACTGGTGTTGTAAGATCAAAGCTTCGTACGTCTTCTGGAGCGGCGTCATCGCCGCGTAGACGACGATCTCTTTTTTGGGCGGCAGGACGCCCTTGAGGACGTCGGCCTTGACCCGTCGCAACAGAAAGGGCCTCAGGATCTCGTGGAGCTTCGAGACGATGCGGTCCTTGCTCTCGTCGTCGACGATGTCGTCGACCTGCGTCTCTTGCCCGATATTTCTGAACCCGAACCACGACTGGAAGACGGCCAAGTCGTCGAAGATTTGCGGGTTCACGAAGTTCAGGAGACTCCAGAGTTCTTCCAACGTGTTCTGGATCGGTGTTCCTGACAGTAGTAACCGATTCTCCGTGTCGAGCTTTTTGAGCTCCCTCACGAGTCGGCAGTCCCTATTTTTGACGCGCTGGCCCTCGTCAATCACGAGATACTTGAACTTGAAGTGCGAGAGCGCCGCCCGATCCAGGATACAGATCTCGTACGACGTAACGATGACCGGAAAGTCGTCGTCGTTCTGGTGCGCCTTGCGCATGGCCGTCTTCCGCAGGTCCGCGCGGTGTTGTTTACTCCCGTGGTACAGTAACGCCGAGATGCCGGGCGTCCACTTGCGGAACTCTGCGCGGGGAGGCGAGTGACGCGGCGACGGCGTCGGGGCGGTTCCGAACTCTACGGCGGGTACGCCATCGCCGCGCGTCGACGGCGTAGGGGCGAGCACGCGTCACATGTCGAAGAAGGGACGCCGGCGGCGGACCGTTCATCCAGTTGGGCAGCGTCGCGAGCGGCGCCGCGATGCAGATCGGTCCCTTGACGTTCTTCTCGCGCACATGGGCCACGAGCGCTATCACTTGGATCGTCTTCCCGAGGCCCATCTCGTCCGCCAATATTCCAGACAGCCCATTCTCGAACAACGTCGCGAGCCACCTAAGACCTTCCACTTGATAGGGCTTCAAGGTCCCCCCGGTCATGGCCTTGGGCTGGACGACCAACGCTTTTTCTTTTTTCATTTTTTCCGCGGCGTCTTCCAACCCCGTCTTCTGTTTTTTTTTGGACGGCTCCGCTTCCGCTTGTTGGGAGTTCACGATGAACTGGGAGTACTGCTCGGCCTTGGCGAGGAGCGTGTCGAGCTGGGCCTTCTTCGCCTCGGGCTTGTCCTTCGCGTCGAGATTTATTGATTTATCGGTGGCCGCCGCGGCCTGGAGTAGGACCGGTGCTGACGTGGGTGTCGTCTCGGTCGCCTGGGACTGATCCAAGAGAGCAGTAACTCTAGCTTCCTCCTCGGCCTGCTCGTCGGGCTCCTCGTCGATCGAGCCGGCGGCGTGGCGCCTGTGTGGTATGAACGTGTGTGGCCGCTCGTGACGCGTCGAGACGCCAAAGTTGCTGCTGCGCTACGAGGCGCGCGCCGCCCGGCGCCATCGATGCGTAGGTCACGACGCTGCGGAACGCGCTTGCTAGGGGAGGTGGGGCAGACCGGCGCGCCGTTTTGAGAGGGCTTGTTCGCCTGCTCGCCATTGCTGCTCATGGCGCTCATTGCTGGTCGTCTTCTGTTCAGGCAATGATCACCGTGCTGGGGTGATCACTAGAAACGCCTCGGATAGCGTAATGCAAGGCTCGCCGCGTAATGGAGTGGCCACTTTGCGCGCGCCGCCGATGACTGAGGCCCGCGAGATTCTAACCGCGTTTGAATCGTCCAGCCGTCCAGCCGTGCCGGGAGGACTCCTCGAGGCACGCCTCAGGCAAAACGGAGGCGCCGGCGCGCCCCGCACCGCGCTCGAGCAAACAGCTAAAACTGCTGCCCGTAGCCTACAAAACGGTACAAAACGCAGCCCCGGCACACACAGCAAGACATATAACCACCACCAAAGACGCAAGCAACGAGCGCGCCCCATCCACACGGTATGGACACCCTCAGCAGTACCGAGGACCAAGCGCCGCCGCGCAAGAAGCGAGATGATGACCATCACCGGACGAACGAGGGCAAGACCATCATCCTCTTCGGTCTCCTGCTCACGGACCTCGTCTTCAACTCGACGCTCGAATACGATGAGTGGGACTCGTACCCGACGATGTTCGGCATCCAGGTGTTCATCGAGATTTGTACGTTTGCGGTGGTGTTTCTCATGTTGTGTGAGACCTATCCGTTTCGGGTCGGGTTATTAGATGCTTTGTTGGCTGAGTTTCGGTCGATCTTCTGGGTGCACCCGTTATACGTGTGCTGGTCGCTGCTCGTCGGGATTTATCGCATCTTCTTGGGCCGGCAGGTGTCGAAGTACTCCGGTGCCGGTTTTAGGCGATTACCGAACATGTGGGACACGTCGGACCCCGCGGGCGAGACGTATACCTATCTGTCGCATACGCACAAACTGTTGGCGGCGATCTACTACTTCATCAACATCCGGGCCGCTGTCAGACTGGGCGACGGCGTCTACTACGCGCGGGAGCAGTGGGTGAAGTTGTACCACCGGACGGGCGGCTCGCGGCACGAGCTGCGCAAGCTTCTTACAAAACGCCACGACGAGTTCGAGGACGACGTGGGGGTCGAGCGGGAGCGGTGAGTAAGGTCCGTGGGAAATATCGCGGCGGCGTCGTAGACGGTGGTCGCCTAGGACTAGTCGGCGGCGCCCCTGCGGGGAGACACCGTGCGTCGCCGATTCATTGGCGGCGGGCGCAGGCCGCGTCTTTCATGAAGCATACCTGCCTTGTAAGCAGAACGGCCTCGGAAAACCCCCAATATCCATGCTCTAGATTTGCTAGTATCTTTAAGCGCGCTAGCTGGTTTATAGGCGGGCAACTCCAAACGCCGTCTCTGTGTGTCTCTAGCATAGATACGCATCTACACGACTGCCATCACTCGGCTTTCTACGCAGTGTTTGGCCAGATCACGCGACAGAGCTTGCGGTCGCGGGTGTTGGACACAGCACAAATTAAGCTGCCGATCACAGCGCACACTAATCGGCGCGCGGCGGTGACGGCGTAACGCGTTACAGCTATCATCATGGAGACTGAGCCGCCGTCGAACCCCCAGGACCTGACGGCCTTCGTCACGGACCTCCTCGAGCAGATGCGCGCCGCCCGCGTCCGTGAGCCAGCGCGCCGTCGTCGCCACGACGCTTAGGGCCGTCGGCGCGACGCTTATCCGGAAGAGAATTGACTCGCCAACACGCCGTCGCCGCGGCGCCGGCAGACTCCGACCCGCGAAACCACCGCAGGCAGACGCGCTTCGAGAGCATGTCGAACCAGATCGTCGCGCGCATCGACGAGATGGGTCAGCGCATCGACGACCTCGAAAAGAGCATCGGCGAGCTCACGGACGCGGCCGGCATCGACCCCGACGTCGGCGAGGAGAAGGCCTAATTTTTGTTATCCACTATATCTCCCCACGAGCTCGGGCGGCGGCCGCGTGGCCATGACCTCGGGATGCGTTGCTAAGAATGCGCGCACCGTCGTCTCGCGATCCACCAGCCACGTCTCGTCGAGGAACGAGTCGGACGCGACACGCCCGGCCTTCTCGGCCGCGAGGACGCAGTGGCGCAGGTAGACCGGGCACGGCGTCGCGCCGCAGTCGCGCGGCCAGCCCCATATTTGTTGTACGCCGTAGCGGCCGTACCGCTCCTCGAAGACGGCGTCGCCGTATTTCGCGCGGTAGCCCTCGTCCGTCCACTGCGCGCAGAGGAGGCCCTCGCCCGCGGGCGCGCCCTCCAGTGTGGTATACGGCGCTGACACGACATGGAACTCCTCCTCCCGCAGCTCGTAGGCCGCCCTTTGTTCCCCCTCGAACGCGACCTCGAAGGCGCACGCCACGAAGGAACTTCCCGGGCACGGCTCCGCCGAGAGCGAGCACCAGTTCTTTTTTTGCGGGTCGGCGATGCCGCGCTGGAAGAAGATCGAGGCGGGATGCTGCATGAGCCGCCGGTAGTTCGGCACGCGCACGAGCCGGAAGTTCTCGAGGTCCGGGAAGGTCAGGCGGCTCGACTGCTCCGAGAGGAGGCTGCCGAAGCCGAGGATCGTCGTCTTGGCCATGGCGGCGCCGGCGCTTCCCCAGAGCTGCATGCCTACTGCACGCTGCAGTGCTGTGCACTGATGCTGGGAGCCTCCCCGCGCGGGTTGCAAAATCCTTGTCGGTCGCGAGCAGCCCCGAGAGGTGCAAAGCAGGCCGAGGGTAGTCTCGAGAGCAGCAAAAGCGCTTTTGGCAAGGGGGCCGCGAGCTAGCGTACATCGCTACTAGCGCTGGCTTGTGAAAAAAGTCTCGAGGTCCAAGCTGGAGCCGAGGTATCGTTTCAAGGGCTGGAAGGACCTCGTGGGCTGTCGAAAATTTCAACTATTTATTCACGCGCCAGCCGTGTGAAAAACGAGGCACCACAAGCTTGCAAAAGCTGCCACCTGGAGCCGAGCACGCGTCGCACACTCGCAACAGCATAAAAAGCATGGGCGGCGACCACAGCGACGCGCCGGGCCTGCTGCCGGGCGTCTCGAACAAGAAGAAACCCGTCGACCAAAATGTGGTAGGCGCGTTCGCGCTCAACTCGCCGAAGGAACAGGGCCTGTTCAAGTACGAGCCCATCCCGGCGGCGGAACTGGCGCGGGCGGAGGCGCTGCCGCCGCCGCCGCCGCCGACGCACCCGCCGCCTCCGCAAAGATATCGACGGGCGAGATCAGCACGCCGGCCGGCGCCCGCCAAGTCGCGGAGCGGCGCCGGCCACTGCTATCGGTTGCTAGGATGCATCCGGACGAAGGATTACGGCATTCGGGGCGGCGACGCGCGGGCGGCGCGATTGGCGCGAGGCAACGGGTGCTTGGACGTCCTCGAGGCGTCCGCGCCGTACGCGGAATTTGAATTAGGCACGCATAGCAGTGCGCCGTGCACCTTAGATGATGGCACTTTGTTATCGAGGGTCGAGGGCGAGCTCCCGTGGCTTCTTAAAGTGCTATCCATAAGAAACTGCACGCCGTGCGGTGCGCATCCCGACTTGCAGAGTGCGGAATCCCTTCATTTGAAGGATTCAAAGATATACCCGGACACGAACCACAAGCCGAAGCTCATGATCGCATTAACTCCTTTCGAAGCCCTGGTCGGGTTTAGGCGAAGGGCGGAGCTCGCTGAATTACTAGCGCGGACGCCGGAGCTCGCGGCGTGCGTGCGGCCCGAGGCCCAGTTGTTGTTGCATACGTGCACCGACGCGAACGAACGCGAGGCTGTTCGTTCTGTTTTTGAGTCGTGGATGCGTAGTGCCGACGTGGTCGTGCAAACTCGAAAGTTGGTGGAACGGTTACGGGGAGAACACCAAGCGTCAAAAGCGTCGGGCCCGGCCTGGCTCAAGAAGTCGCAGAGGGCGGTGCTTCAATTGGCCGAGAGCCACCCCCAACAAATGGGCGCGATGCTGCCCTTGTTGCTCAACTATTTGTTGGTGGCGCCGGGCGAGGCCTTCTACGTGGCGCCCTGCGAGCCGCACGCGTATGTCGCGGGTGAGTGCGTCGAAGTGTGTGCTTCTTCAAATAATTTCGTGCGCATCGGACTCTCCCAGCGTATCGACGTCGAGGCCGCCATCACCTTGCTGAGCTACGAGACCGGCGGCCCGGACGTCGAGTTCGGGCGGCTGGCGCACCAGGGCCCGGGCACGCATACGTTACGATATGCCCCTGATGTCGCGGATTTCGAAGCTAGAGTGACGACGGTGGAACCGGGCGGCTGCTTCGAGCTGGAGTCCTTCCCCGTGCCGTCGATCTTGCTGGTGGTGGCGGGGAGCGGCGAGACGGGCGTCCTCGCGCATGGCGCCCGGTCGCCGCCGCGGAAGCACCGTTATACATTAGTGCCGGGGACGGCTCTCTACGTCACGGAGGGCACGCTGCACCTGGCCGTGAGCGTGCCTTCGGGAAATTCCGGGCCGCTGCGCCTCGTGCGGTGCTGCGAGAACTTGGACGGGGTTCTGCAAACGGTGGCGGAGACGTGAACTTTACGCGCGAGAGACACGCGGACCTAACTATCTGGTTGTTATGGAGGGTTTTCGTCGTCGTCGTTAACTCTTGTGATGATTCGTTCGTCTAATTCGTTGGAAGGGCCTCGGATTTCGGCTACTGGTACGATACGGTCTACAGGTACCGGTATACCGTACCGCATACACAATACCGCGACGCCAAAGCGCGCCTTAGCCGCAGCGTAAGTGCAAGCGCGTGGGCTCCTGGGCTCGTTTTTAGCAGTGAAAAAAAGCTGCAAGGCGCCGCAACTGCTCGTTGCACAGCTTCGCAGAGAGAGCACTCTCAGGACAGCTGAAACCACCCCTGCATCTCGCGCAGCACCGTTCCGACAAAAACCGCTGATCATCTCGCTGCGCGATAATGGCGGAGGAGACGGACGACCTCAGCCTGGAAAGGGACCTCGACGACGCCGCGCGCGCGGATTTGCAACAACGAATAGCTGATGAGCTCGAAAGCATCCTCGGGACGCCCTGCGATGCTGTGCTTGCCGAGTACGCGACGGTACTCGTCGCGACGGAGAAGAAGAGCATGGCCGAAATAAGGGTGGCCCTCGCGGAGATGATCGAGGAGGAGCGCGCGGCGAAATTTGTAAATTGGCTCGCCGCGGAGCTGCCGGCGCTCGAGACGGCGAAGCGGAAGAGGGATGAGGACGACGCCGAGGACGACGCCGCGCCGGCGCGGAAGGGCCCGATCCTCTCGGGGCCGAGCGTCTTTCCAGGCCGCGGGTTTCGAGGGAGAGGCCGGGGCCGGGGACGGGGCCGCGGCAAGGGCCGAGGGCGCGGCCGCGGCAAGGGCCGGGGCAAGGGCCGGGGCCGGGGCCGCGCGCCGGCGGCGGCCGAGGGCAACAAGATGTGGGTGAAGGAGGGCCACCAGATCCAGTCACCAAAACTCGACGGGGCCCTGAACGCCTCTAGGTAACACAATTTATCAGTCGCCCCCCTTGACCTTGTCCTGCCACGCCATCACCGCGAGCGCCGCTAGGGCGAACCACGCGAGCACGACCGCGCAGTCGAAGACCTCGTCCGCGCTCGACCCGCCGCCGCGCCAGTAGGCCGCGCCTGCGTGGAAATAAAACTTCAGGCGCCCCCCTTAGCTGCAAACCTAACTCACCGCTTGATTTCCGCACGGCGCCGCGCCCGTGACGGCGACGGCCAGCTGCATCGTCGCGAAGACGCCGTCCGCGACGAGGAAGCTCCGCGTCGCGCGCTCGAAGAACGTCGTGTCGCGCGCGTCGACGACGCAGGCCCACGCCCCGTAGAGCGTCTCCGCGGCGGCGAGCGCGAGGTCAAACACGAGCCAGGACTCGACGTGCGTCGGCCAGTCGTCCTTCAGCACGGCCGCGCAGAGGATCCACGACGCCGTCGAGAGCGTCACGAGGATGAGGTGGGACACGAAGAGCGGCACGTTGTCGTTCGGGATCCCGCGGCAGCCGTCCTCGCAGCATGCGACGTTCATGGTCTCTACGTTCTACGCCGATATATCTACGGGCGCTGCGTCTTCGCAGTGCGTGACCCGCTGTCTGACCCGCTGGCTGACCCGCTCTCTATGCTCTTGGTCTTTCAAACGCAACCGCTCGAGCAAAGAAACGTGGTATGACCGGTAAAGTCTATGACGGCGTTATGGAGAGACTACGTTAGCGTTAGCTAATCGCTCGCGCTTGGAAAAGCCCGCTCTTTTGCCATCGCGCTAGCGGCATGTAAGGCACTAGCAAGCAAGCCGGCGGCTTGACATTGCTCCTGAGCCGCCGCGCGAGGCCGCGCGCGTGAAAGTCAGCCTTGTCCGAGCCCTTCGCCAGCCGCAGCGCGCCGGCGGCCGGCGGGGACCGGCGCCACCGAGCCCCCAAGCCCCAACAAGCCGCAGCGGCGACGTAGCCGCAACCATGTCCTACTTCGGCCGCGGCGCCCTCGTGAAGTACCTGCCCAAGTTCGCGCGCGACTTCGTGCACTCTCTGCAATTCAGACCGAAGCACCCGCACCGCATGGAGCCCGGCCAGGCGGCGAACTGGGTGCCCGAGGGGCCCCAGAAGGTCGAGAGGATCAAGGGTTATAGATATCCAGCGCCCGGGAGCCGGGAGGCGGCGCGCGTGCCGCGCGTCGAGAACACGGACGAAGTGTTTGACACGAAGTACTACTCTCGAGATACGAGACGCGCGAGGCGCGACCGCGCCGTGATACTCGCGCGGAAGTACCTCGCGCCGACCGAACTGAAAGCTATAGAAGCGGCCAAAGCGCCGCCGCCGGAACTCAAGGAGGGCGAGGAGGCGCCGCAGCCGATGTCCATTGGGTCCTCGGGCAACTTCGGAAAGTTGAATTTCGAGATCGCCGTGAGCCGCTACTCGCCCGACGGTTTGAGGAGTGCCATGTCCGCGACGCATCCCGCCTTGGAGGCGGCGATCAAGGAGCAGGACGCGGACCAGCTCATCACGTACGCGTGGGAACCGGACGCGGACGAGATCCTCGCGGACCTGAAGGCCAAGGGCCTGCCGCCGACGCCGGGCGCGGCGTACAAGTGGACGCTGCCGGAGAGCGCGCGCCAGGCGCAGTGGTAGGTCGGGCGCTACCTGTGTAAACTTATCTGGCTTTAATTGCGCGCTGTGTGGCTTGATCGCCTGCGTGGCGCGTCTCCTCGACGGCGCGCGGTGGGGTGCCGGGTCGTCCCTCGCGGCCGGCAGCTTGGAACCACCGTTGCGGGCTTATGTCGCGCGCGGCCGCTCGGAAATAAAATCGCGCGCTCTCGTCGGAGGCGTCGCCGCCCGGCTTGGAAGGGTCCTCACTTGTCCCGGAGGGTTACAATAAAAAGCGTCAAGATCATTTGACCTAAGCACGAGGCAAAAGCTAAGGCCAACTCTCCTGGCCTCCGCGCGGCGCCGGAGCCAAAAGCCCGACGGCCAGGACCTCGCCGCCTCGACGCACTATAGCCCCTGGGCGCGCCGCGCCGGCCCCGGAGCGCCGCGAGCGAGAGATATTTGAAGATTTGCCTGAGGCGCTCTTGGCCCGCGCTGCCGCCGGCTAGTCCCAGCACCGTAACGGAGGACAGGAATGAAAGCAAGAATTCAGAGTTAGGACAGCAGCGGCGGGTGCCGCGCGTCGTTCGCGTGCGCCCAGTAGCAGTCGCCGTTCGCCGCGCGCCAGCGGCGCACGGCGTCGCCCACCCTCCTTCGGATCGCGCGCGCGCTCGCGACGTCCTCCACGTCGAACGTCGCCGCGACGGCGCCCGACGTCGCGCGCGCCACGATCAGGTCGTAGTGGGCCCCGCTGAACAGGAGGTGCGCGCGCCGAATCGGGTTCACGGGCTTGTAGACGAGCGGCGCGTCGCCCTCGAACAGCGTCGACCAGACGGCGATCTCGAGGCCCAGCGTCTCGGCGAGCGCGACCAGCTCGGGCTCGCCGCAGCGGTGCCTATTTAAATCCGCCTTCGACAGCCACGCCGCGTACGCTTGGGGCGCCTGGCCGAGGACCTCCTCGCGGAAGTGGTCCGGGAAGTGGGCCACGAAGTCCGCGCAGCGCCTTCTTAAACAATCCGACGGCCGCGCGCGCCGGACGCAGCACATCGATCGGTCCTGGAACTCGAGCGCCGACGCGACGGCGGCGAAGGGCGAGTCGTCGTCGCGGTTCGAGCGCCGCAGGCCGACGCTCGCGATTTTTGGGTCGCCCGGCGGCGCGCGCGCGACGACGACGGCCGTCGCGTCCTTGGCCTCCTCCGCCATGGCAGCTACTCTGGGGGCCCGGTCATCGTCCGGGCCGCCCGAGGGCCATGGTGCGAGCGGGGCAGCCTCGGTGGAGCTGCAATTCCCTTTTGAAGACGAGTGGGGCGCCCGAGGTGCCTTGCGAGGCGCGCCAGACCAGAATCAGCCGCCGATTCCGCAACTCGCGGGTTTTGTGCCTCACGCCATCGAGAGAGGCGTGCGCGATTATTAAGAGGCCTCGAGGCACACACACGACAAAACTTACGCGGCGAGCGGCAGCGCCTGGTCCCCCGCGACCGTCCAGGACTCGAACGCGCCTCGCCCGAAGAGCTCGAGGCCCCGGAACGGCGGCGCGCCCGCGCGGAAGCACGGCGCGAGCGCCGCGTCGAGGCGAGGCTTCGCCGAATGCGGTCCGGGGACACTCGCGACGGCGCGCCGGACCGGCACGCGGCGGAGCCACGAGGCGCCGAGCGGGGCCCAGGCGTCGCCGTCGACGGCGCCGGCGGCGTTGACGACGCCGACGACGAGGGGCTCCCAGGGCTTGCGTTCCGCGTGCTCGTCCAGCGGCAGCACGGGGGACCCGTCCGACGCGCACTTGAGCCAGTACCACGTGCCGACGTGCCGCACGCCCCAGGCGCGGAAGAGCGTCTTCGCGACCCAGTCGGCGACCTTGCGGTCGTTCGTGACCCAGACCGCGACGACCGCGCCGGACGATGCGGCGAGCCGTCCAACTGGCAACTTCCGAAGGGGTGCGCGCCACGCGTCGCGCGCCGTGTCGTAGGCCCCGCGCCGCGCCGCCGACCGCGACGGCCAGGGCGGGTCCGCGACGATGCACGTGTACTCGCGTGTTCGCGGGAGCAGCGCCGCCCAGCGCGAGACGTCGGCGAGCAGCGTCGCACCGCCGGGCGGGAGCGCGCACGCGCCGACCGCCTCGACGTCGAAGCGCGCCGACGGCCCCTGAAGCACCCGGTCGACGACCTCATCCAACGTGTACGTCTCGTGGACCGGCCGGAGCGGGTCTCGGGAATCGCCTCCGCGCGCGACCGCCACCGCGACGGCTTCGCCGGCGGCCGTGCGCGCGTCGAGAGGCGCTGGGAGCGCAATCCGCGGCAGGGAGGCGGGCAACCGGCCGAAGCACGCGCGCGCGAAGGCGTGCAGCCCGGGCTCGTTCTCGTATATCGCCGTGCGCTTGCGCTTTTTGGACTGCGCGACGTAGGGCGCGGCGAGGCTGCCGCCTGGTACGACCACTAGCTCATTGTCGTGGCCATCGCTGTCGGCCATGCCCAGCTGTTGGCGCTGGCAGCACAAAATGCCAAAGGCTTCCCGATGTGTTTAAAACCGATTGGTTATGTGTGGCAGCTGTGCGACCCCTTTTTATTATTGCAGGCTCTCAGGACCGCTAGTGTGTCTTACATGTCGCTAGCTCGATGTTAAGCGCCAAGCAAGCGCAAGGACGCTCCGCTGCGCTAAAAGCACTATCTGGCATCGCTCTGTCCGCCAGCCAACGCAACCGGACGAAGCAGCGCTCGCAAACATGCTATTGCTCACAGCCCTGCCATTGCTCACGGCCCTGCTGACAGCAGCACTGGCCAGTGCAGGAACGCCTAAGTACTGCGGCCGCGCTGGCTCGGGCGTAGACGGGCTGCGAGCGCCGCAGACAGAAGCCAGCTTGAAAAGTGTGCAAGTCGTCGCGCGCCACGGCGCCCGCGCGCCCGTCGCCGACTGCGGCCGCTGGCTGCCCGCCGCCGCCGGCGCGGCGTGGACCTGTCCCGGCGAGGCCGTCGAGGGCGTGTCGAGCGGAAGCACGTACCGGCTCCGCAGCGGAGTGAAGGACGAGTGCGGGCCCGGCGAACTCCTGGAAGAAGGCTTCGCGCAGCACCGCGCGCTCGGCCGCGCGCTGCGCGAGGCCTACTGGGCGCCGGGGGCCGTTGGCAAGCTCCCGACCGATCATATAACATTGCGCTCGTCGGACCTGCCGCGGACGCGCCGGTCCGCCGAGGCGCTCGCCGACGCGTTCGCGCCGTCGGCCGACCCGCGCGACCTCCGCGCGCCCGCCTTCGCGACGGACTGGATCTACCCGAACAGTAACGAGTGCCCGGCGCTGGCCGCCCTCGAACGCGCAGCCTTCGCCGCCCCGGCGTTCGTCGCGCGCAACGCGAGCGACCTCGGCGCGCTCGCTACAAAACTGGCGCCGGCGATCGGAGGACCCGTGGACTTTGGGCTGGACGACGGCATGGCCGGCGGCCACCTGATGGACTGCGTCGCGGCGGCGGCGTGCGCGCGGCGGGCGTTCGCACCGCCGCGCGACGACGTCGACGCGCTGATCGCGGCGATGGAGCGCCGCGAGGCCTCCAAGCTCACGCCGCGCTACGCCCGCACCGTAACGAGCCCGCTCGTCGCCGCGCTGCGCGCGCGCCTCGTCAACAGCACGGGCCTGTCGGTCTTCCTCGCGCACGACACGACGCTCATGCCGCTCCTCGTCGCGCTCACGACCGACTACGACGGGGCGTGGGCGCCCTACGCAGCGGCCGTCGTCGTCGAGACGTGGACGCGCCCGGGCGGTTCGGACGCCGTCCGCGTCGCCTACGACGGCGCGTATCGGACGCTCGCCGGCTGCCCGGGTCAAGAGCTGTGCCCCGTGGATGCTTTCCTGGCGGCGACGGCCTGGGTGCGGGACCGCGACTGCGCCGTCGCCCCGCGCGTGGGGTCCCTCCGGGTCGACGCGAATGAGGCTCCGGCGAATGGGTCCGTGGTCGTTGCGTTCGCCGCGGGCGCCGCGGCCGCGCTCCTCGCGAACGCGTGGATGCGGCATGCGTCCGGGCCGCGGTGATGATGTCCTGTTGTTGTAAATAATATCTTGGTATGTTTCTTAGTTACACATTAGTATTGGAAGCGGTCGGTGTAACCCGCAGGTGGATATCCAAAGAGACTTCGTGCCAGTGGCTCGCGCCGAAGGTGCGCGACAGGGCCGGCTCGAGAAGATCATACCCGCGGAGGAACCCGAGGATGTGGCACCAGGCGTCGGCGGGAAGCCCCTTCGTTCTCGCGACTTGGCAACTCTCGACAATAGCGCGCGCCGCCGGTGGCGCCTTCAGCAGGCGATGCGTTCGCGGCGTCCAGGGCTCGTAGAGCGACGTCTCCATGACTAGGAGGCCGTCGCACTTCCCGGCGCGGAAGACGGGATATAAGACCGCGTGGCCCGGCGGACAGACGTACTCAAACGCCTCGCCGCACCAGTCGCCGTTGTCACCGGCCGCGCTGATGACGCGGCCGGAGGCGAGGTGCAGGTCGATGTCGAAGCAGAGGTAGTCCCCCGGCAACCCGGCCATGTGATGGCCGGTGACGCGGACGACGCGGTCGCCGGGCGGAATCTCGTAGAAGTCGTCCACGCGGTGCCGGCAGTACTCGCGCTTCAAATCCTTCGAACGACCGCTGTTTGCCAAGACCACGCCTTGCGGTGTATCGTTGGCTAGAGTTTTGGCAGTGAGCGCGTGCAAGGCCCAGCCCGAGCCGAACGCGACCTCCAGCCACACGGTGCGACCCAGCATCTCGGGCTCGCCGCGGTCGTCGTACACGAAGATGCCATTGCCAAGGCGTCCTAGGCGTCGCGCGTCTACGATGAGCCCAGTACCGATGTTATATGGTGTGGAGCCAAAATGTACTTGCGGATTCATTGTTGATGCTCTGGCTATGGCAGCTCCGAGGCTTGGCTAATGGCCAGCGCAGCACCACAGCTCACTCCTGCCCTTGAGCTCTGTGCTCTTCTTAGCTTTTTCACCCAAAAATGCTGCTAGCGGCATGTAAGACACTAGCCTTAGGCTAGTATCTTCATGCCGCTAGCCAGCAATTGGGAAAACGAGGCGGTCTGACCGCGTAGAGCGATAAAAGTAGGCATGGAGCAGTTCGCACGCAGCTGCTCGTAGCATCTGCACCACTATTTTGAGTAGGTGGTAAGCAGGCCAGGCTGGGAGGTCAAAAAGCCAACATGGCAGAGCACCTCGACACGACCAAAGACCTGCTCGTGGCAGCAGCCCGGCTGCGCTACGCGCCGGAGACGGCGCAAAAATGTGTATTATTGCACCACCGGCTCCAGGGCGTCGAGCCGAAATCGGCCGTCGCGGCCGCGTCGCTGTTCCTCGCGGGCAAGGCCGACGAGCAGCCGCGGCGCGTGCGCGACGTGCTCAACGCCGTCGCGCCCGCCGGCGGCGTCAAAGATTTGGATGAGGCGTACCATGACGCCAAGGCCGACCTCGTGGACGCCGAGCAGGCCGCGCTGCGGGAGCTGTGCTTTGACGCTTCGATGGAGACGCCGCTCGCGCTCGCGCTCGCGCTGGCGCACGCGCTGACGCTGCGGCCGGCGACGGCGCAGCTCGCCCTGTGCCTGGCGAACGACGCGCTGTTCTCGGCCGCGTGCCGCGCGGCGCGGCCGGTCGCCGTCGCGGCCGCGGCCGTCGACGTCGCGCGCGAGGCCGCGAGCGACCCGGGCACCGGGGCCGTAACCACGGGCTGGGCGCGGCGCTTCGGCGCCGCGGACGCGGACGTGGCGGCGGCGCGCGACGTGATCCTCGACGTCGTCGAGGCGGCCGCGGAACGGAGGCGAAAGGCGGCCGGATAGTTGTGTTCGCTCTGTGTAACTGTGTTCACGTTCGTGCACTTACATGAGGGCGCGGGGGGAAAGGAATGTCCCGCGCAAACGCCTCAGTCCGTCGCGGGCTGCTCCTTCGACTCCTCCTCGGTCTCGATGGACTCGCCCTTGACGGCCAGATCGTCGGGCCCCGCCGCGCCACGGCGGCGGAAGAGGTACGCGCCGGCCACGCCAAGCGCGATGAGTGCCACAGAGGCCGCGACGACGACGCCCGCGACTAGTGCGGTGTCGGGGCCCGACGAGCTCGAGCTCTTCTTCTTGCTCTGCGGTTCGAGTGCGCCGTCGTCGGTCGGGGCCGGAGCGTCGTCGGTCGCGCCAGCGTCGTCAGTGGCACCGTCGTCTTCCTCGGCGCAGACGCCGTCGGCCGCGAGAAAGTTGACGCGTAGGTGCCCTCTAGTCTCGTGCATGCCGCGCGCGAGAAAGAGCGGGTCCGAGGCTAAGTCCGAGTCCGTGGACACCGCCCAGATGAGGTCCGTGCACGTCGAGGCGTCGAAGGGGTCCTCGCTACTGAACGAGCCGAGCGTGTACGTGGCCCGCGCGAAGCAGTTGCCCTCGCCCACCTCCAGCGACGCGTCCGTCAGGTCCGCGCCGGGGTCCGTGGCGTACCAGTGCCGGAAGGACGACTGCTCGTCGTCGATGCGGTACTGGTCGACGTCCGCGAAGCCATCGACTGCGCCTCCCCCGGGAATCGCCATGATCACAGGAGCGCCGTTCATGCCGTTCTTCTTGCCATCGGGATGACGTAAACCAATGGCCATCCATCCGACACGCCCGGACGTCAGGTGCGAGATCGTCACGCGCTTGCTATCGGAAGACACAGACCAAGCGAGCTGACCCACTGTGTAGGGCACGAAGTAGGCCGCCTGCCAGGACCGGCCCTCGTAAATGAGGTCGACGGACCCCGCGTGCGCCGCCGCGTCGGCCGCGGCCTCGGCCTCGTAGGCGTCGCCGCAGAGCTCCTCGTCGGCCGGCGCGATCGACGGGAACGGCGTCGCGTCGTGGACGTAGTTCGTGCACTGGGGGTAGTAGTCGCCGTGGCTGAAGCCGTCGCTCGGCTGGCGGAAGACGTCCGTGCAGTTCAGGTGCGCGTAGCCCTGGTCCGCGCAGATCTCCTCGGACACGGCGTCGCCGTCGTGGTTCACAAGGTCCATGCAGCGGTACCAGCAGTACAGTTGGTCCGCGGCGCAGGCCTCCTCGGCCAGCTCCCGCGCCGCGAGGTTCCGCGAGCAGCCGACGTGGGCCGCGTCGGCGTCGCCCGCGCGCGTTAATTTCTTGAGCTCGCCGAAGGTCTTGTCGCCGTGGAGCGGCGACACGGCGGCGTCGGGCGGGAGCACCATGAGCCCGTACCAGGCGCGGTCGACGTTCGAGTGCATCTCCAGGGCATGCGGCGCCGCCCGGAGGCCGGCCTCGCGACCGGCGGCGTACTGCGCGACGCCATCCCCTAACATCACGAAGACGCACGACGCGTAGCGGGGCGCGTCGAGGGCCACCTCCGCGCGGCTCCCGTCGCGGCGCTCGAGCGTGAACGTCGCCGCCGAGACGTCCTCGGCGCCGACCGTGAGCGCCGGCGTGAAGGCGATGAAGAGTCCCTGGTCCGTGTGCAGGTCTATCGTGGCTTCCGGGGACGCGCTTTCCTTGCGGTACCTGTGTAGTAGACGTCGCGCCGAAGGCGTGGATTTAATAGTGCACTGCGCGGCACGAGTGGAAGTGCTCGAGGTGGTCGCCCGCGCGAACTATATCGGACACCGTCGCGTAGGGCGCGCCGTCGCGCGTTCTTAACAGCGGCGCCGCCGCCTCGACCTCGTCGATCGCGCCGAGCCACGCCGCGACCGCCTCGGCCACCGACCAGACGGCCGCGCGGAACTCGGCCTCGGCCGCCGCGAGCGGCGCGCACGTCTCCGGGACGTCGAGCGGGGCGGCTTCGCTGTCGGAGCGGCTCGCGGCCAGCGATCGGCGCACGGTGCCGTCCACGAGGGTGGCTTGCGGTGTACTGGTGGAATCGATGCACTCGTGCGCCGCTCGAAGCACCGCGCGGTTGAGTTCGTCGAAGCCCGGCACTTCAACGGCGATGATTCCGTCCTCTTTCAGCGCTTGCCCGACGTCGCGCACCACCGCGCGGTTGGAGTTTTGATGCAGCTCCGACCGCGAGATTTTTGCTGGATAAAAGTTGGGCGCGGTTGCAGGCCTCCCACGGCTGCTAATCGCCGCCGCTTGCAACGCCGTTGCAAGGAGGACGAGATGACAGCTCTTGCGCACCATTGCGAGTGTTTTTTAATGCACTCGATTCGTTTTGGCGTTGTGTGCTTGGCAAAGTTGCCGCCGGGGGTCTTGTTTTTGCCAGGTACTAGCCTTTTGCTAGTATGTCGACCCACATTGAAATTTCGGAAAGATTGAAATGGTAGGAGGATTGAAGGGGCGTATTTCGAGGACTCGCAAGAGACAATTTCAAAAGCAAACATTACAACTCACCAACAAACGCCCCCGCCTCCCTCCGCGCCGCCGCCCCGCGGAACGCGCGGCCGTCGGGCCGGACGAATAATGGCTGCCGGAGGTCCGCAAGGACTTCCGGCGAGACGGGCGGCGGTCGCGGGAGGCCCGCGGGCCGCGGCGGCGGCGCCAGGGCCCGCGCGTCGTCCGTCGCGCCGGCCGCGGCGGACGTCGCCGACGCGAGGAGCCAGTCGACGCGCGACACCGCGCGGTGGTGCGCGAGCGCGTCCGCCAGGGCGCGCCGCCCGAGGGCGCCGGCGTTCGCGTGCGCCCGGTCCATCGCGGCGTCGAAGGAGGACCGCGACCGCGCGTCGTAGACCAGTCCAAAGCCGCCGTGCGGCGTCGGCGCGTAGAGCCGGTCCCGGACGACGGCCGCGCCGCTCGCGAGGGCTTCCCACGTCCGGAAGTCGCCCTCCCAGTCGCCGGGGTTGCACGTCACCACAATCCGCGCGGCGCGCATGAGCCTCAGATAGTGGGGGCTCAGCGCCGTCCGTGTCGACGTCGTCACTTCCCCAAAATACCCGCTCAAATTCCGCGCCGCGGCGTAGGCCCGCGCCCAGGCCAGGACCCGCGCGCGCGCGGGGTAGACGCCCTGGCCCACGCGCAGCGTACAAACAATATCCAGCGGCCGCCCGCCGGAAGCATCCGACGAGAGGTACGCGTCCGATATTGAATAGGGGAGGGCGTAGGTCCGCGCGCCGAGCGGCGCCTCGAAGAGGCCCTCGAAGGCGCCGTCGGTCTTGCGCACGAAGCTGCGCTTGTAGTACGCGAGGTACGCGTCGCTTCCGTAGCCGCCGTCGCGGCGCGCCCGGTCGTCGTGCTCGTCCAAGATAATGAGGCGCCGGCGGGGCTCCTGTATCATGGGTATGCGGTTCGTCCACTGCGGCAGCCAGAGGACGACGTCGGCGTCCGCCTCGCGGCCGACGATTTCTACGCGCGGGTGCGCCGCGAGGCCCTGATCTAACAAATGGCGGAAGCGCCAGCTCGTCTCCGCCTTCTCGCGGCCGTTCGTGAAGATGTGGACCCGCAATTTCGTTGCGAGGCGCAGCCGCGGCGCGACGCAGAGGCCGCACGCGCACGCCGCGGGGCCCTCGACCATTGGTGTCTCCTGTACTGGCGCATTCTGGACATGGTGCGCCACGACAAAAAGCCAGGCTACGGTCAGCGCGGCGAGGGCCGTCCAGGTGAGCGTCCAGCAGCAGCGGCGCTTCATGATTGTCCTAGGCGACGCCCTCTCGTCGGCTGCCCGCCCCGCATTTTTGGCAGCATTTGGGGGAGACGAGTTGCATGGGTGCTCGGCTACCTGTCTCGAGCAATTTAGGTACTATATTTTGCAATTTAGAGCCCTGCCATCCCTGCCTCGAGATCGGCCAACTTTTGGAGCCAGCGTTTGATGGTGCGCGCAAACGGCTGCAACGCGTTTGATTGCAACTGCCGCGCTCGTGATCGGTGGCTGCCGCGCGATGCGGAGCAGCTGACCGAAAGGCTGCCCAAAATATGGCTGCCCTAGGCGAACTGCGCCGGCGGGGCAGCCATCAAACGCGTAAGCCGCCCGCGAGGCGCCTCCGGGCGCCGCTCGCAGCGCTCGCGTTGATAACAGCCGCGATCTACGTCGCGACGCGCCTGGCGCCCGGCGACCGCCGCGCGGCGAACTACCGGAGGCGCCAGCGACGGGCGGAGGCCTGGGCGGCGCGCGAGTACGGCCCGCCCTACGCCGAAAACCACAACGCGACGTGCGTCGAGGTGGCCGTCGCGTACTTTGCCTGCGACGCCGAGGGCCTCGAGGCCCTCCTGGCGAACCACGCCGCGCACCTCAAGGCCGGCGCCGTCCATCTGATATACACGCTGGTCGTGTCCCGGGCTTCGCTGGCCTGCGCGAAGCGGTCGCAGGAGGCCGCGCGGCTGCGCGCGCGCGTCGACGTCCGGGCCGACGCGGTCGCCTCGATCGACGCGTACTCGCGGGTCCTGACGTCCCCTTCGTTCTGGGAGCGGCGGCCCTGCGCCTACACGCTGGTGACGCAGCTCGACGTTGCGGCGTGCCCCCGCGCGGCGGGTATACTATCTGATTTCGTGGGGCCGTTCGACTACGTGGGCGGCGTCACGGACCGCCTGCGGCGGCGGTGGAAGCACGTGGCGCCCTACCACCTGAACGGGGGGTTCAGTCTGAGGCGCGTCGCGGCGATGCGGCGCTGCGCCCGGCTCTACAACGCGTCCCGGAACTGGCCGGAGGACTACGTTTTCGTGACCTGTCCCGAGATCAGGCTGGCGCCGCCGGCCGTCGCGGATGCTTTCGCGCTGGACAACGGCAACCGCCGGCCCGGGCCGACCGCGCCGCTCGCCTTGCACAAGCCCCTCGGCATGCGCGCCAAGGGCCGGTCGCGGTTCGGGGAACAGGCTATCGATGTCTGTGGCCTAGGGAAACCCCCGTAACGTTAAAGGTACGGGTCACACCACTCCTAGTGAGTTTTGCGCCACTAGCATTTAAGCTGTTTTGCGCCGCTCGTCAGAACGCTGTTCTTCGTACTTTTCTTCGCCGCTCGCAGTTTCGCCACGTCTAAGATCGTTTCTCTCACTCCCCGCGACGATGAGCACCTTTTCAAAGCCATCCGAGCCCACTGGCACGTTGCCGCGAAACTGCCGCCGACACTAGGACCATTCAAGTTTCGGACCCGCTCTAACCCGACTCTCGCCCAACCCTAACCCTAACCCTAGTCTAATCATAATCCTAACCCTTACTCGGACCGAGTCCTAACCTCAACCTCGCGACAGAAAAAAAAAAAAGCCGAGTCAGTCATTCCGATTCTGACTTTTTCCATCGGCGGCGGGCGAGGAGGAACTCAGATCCAGAAGTGTGCCCTCACGCCGAGGGTCCGGAGGCGGTGCATGAGGCCAACCGCCGTGTCGACGTCGGCCTCGTACGCCGCCCGGCTCCCCCAGCCGAAGTCCATCCCGTCGAAGTAGAAGTGGTACTCGAAGAAGATCTCGTCGACGAGCGCGGCGATCTCGGGGCGGTCGGCGATGGCCTCCATGATGGTGAGCTCGGCGGCCGGCGTGTCGATGTCTACCTTGACGACGACGAAGTCCTCCGGCGACGCCCTGGCCACGCTCTCGAGGATCTCGAGGAACGACTGGGCGGGGTGCGCGCCCTTTGGGCCCTCCGCCTGCGCGCGAATCGACCATGAGTCTGCTGTGGGCGGAAAGCGCCGCGACGCATGATTTATGCGCTGCCCTCCGCCTGCTCGATCTCGCCCTCATCAACAATATCGTTGTAGAAGCGGACCTTCGCGCGGAGGCGGGCCGGGAGCTCGCCCCACCAGTCCGCGCCCCGGACGCGCGGGTTCGGCTCCCACGCGTAGACCTCGTCCGGCTCGAGGCAGCGGTCCGCGTAGATGCGGTAGAAGAGCGGCAGCGACGGCGCGAGCCCGCCGCCGTCGGTCGGCAGCGTCGCGTAAACGCCCCCCGGGACGCCCGCGAAGCCCACCGACGCGCCCATGTCGAAGAGGAGCGTGCGCGGCTTCGGGCCCGGCCGCCCGCACGCGTTGTGGATCACCAGGTACGTGATGTCGAAGAGGCCGGCGTCGTGCGCGTGCGCGGCGGAGTGCGCGCAGCCGACGCGGGCGAACGGGTGCCGCGCGACGCCGTGGAGCGGCTCGATCGCCTCCGTGCGATTGGCGACGTGGAAGTGCGACAGCGCGCGCCGCTCGTCGGGCGTCGGCTCGGGCGCCGGCGCGCCGCCGGGCCGCCACGCGCGCCGCGCGTAGCCCGTCCAGGCCCGCGCCGCGGCCTCGACGTCGGGCAGTTCGGCCGTCGCGCAGATCTTGCCGCGCCGTTGGCCGTCGAGCCAGACGAGCTCGCTGGCCGCCGCGCGGTAGCCCGTGGTGCGCCCGTGCGTCGCCACGGCGGTCCACGCGCGCGCGCCGCGCTGCGGCGACACCCACCGCCGGAGGTTCTCGGGCGCCAGCGCGGCCGACGCGGGGCCGCCGTCCCGGGGCCGCGGGCGCGCGCCGCCGCGCCGCGCCGGGTGCCACCATGCCACGGCCGCCACCAGAGCCGCGAGCACGCCCGCGCACGCGAGGCGACGGGCGGGCAGCCCCATTGCTCCGGCCATGCCGACTTGTGAGGTTTGTTCTTTTTAGGGAAGCGACGGAGCTAGCGCAAATACACCCGTGGTTAGTTTCTAGCGCAAAATTAATACACCCGTTGTCCACAGGCAGAGCTTGCTAGTATCTATCATCGCTAGCTCTCGGACAAGGTTATGAAAGAAGCGGCTCGCGCCCGCCGCCGATGAATCGGCGACGCGCGGTGTCTCCCCCCCCAGCCCTGGGCAGGGGCTCCGCCCACTAGTCCTAGCACCGTAACAATATCGTGGTGGGCCCGACCGTAACAATATCATTACGGGTGGGCCCGGGGGGAGCGGGAGGGGTACGGGGGACCCTGCGACGTAACTAGCCTGAGCCTGAACCACACGGGCGGGGGTTCCGTGGAAAACGAGTCAGTAGTAGACGCTTACGGACGCGACCGCCGCAGCGAGGCCCGCCGCGAGGCCCGGCGCGAGGCCCGCCCCGGCCCCTTTCTCTTCTGGGGGTTGGCAGGCCTTTGTCCAGACCGAAAAGGCGCCGCCGCACGAATCGTACTCCATTCCCTCCTCGCGGTCGATCTCGTCCTGGGTTCGCCCGGGCTGGGAGGCGAGGGTCGGGTTGCGGAACGCCTTGTTCGTTTTCAGGTCCTTGGGGCATTTGCAGGCCATCTCGCACTCGTCCTTGAGCTCCACGTAGACCTTGGTGTTCCGGCAGCCCGTGGCCTCGAGGCACGCGAACGCGTCCGGGTACGCGTACGTGTTGTACTGGCGTTTCCGCGCGCAGCACCGCCGGTTGTCCCGCTGGCGTTCGTACTCCGCGGCGAGCAGGAGGTTGGCCTCCTCCTGCTGCGTGGCGTCCTGGTACGGCTGCGCGCCGGGCAGTGCGACGTGCGCGGCCCCCTGGAACACGCCCGCCTGGGGCGACGTGGCCGCGCGGTACCTGTATTCGGTGCCGTCGACGTCCTCGCGCGGGTACCGCCGGATGACGGGGTCCTCGCCGTCCAGGAGCGTCTCCGGGTCGCGGCGCGCGTGGGGCCACGTCTGCTGGAAGGAGTCCTCGATCCACGGCTCGGAGTACGCCGTGCCCCGGTCCGGCTGGCTTGCGACGGCGCCGAGGTCGCAGCCCACGGGCACGTTCAGGCTCACGTTCGCGCGCATGTCGGCCACGCACTGGAGCGCGTCCGCGAGCGCGCAGCCCGTGCACGACTGGAAGTACGGCACCGGGCCGCCGCCGCTCAGCATGCAGGTCGCGCCCGCCCCGTCGAAGAGGCGCCGCGCGACCTCGAGGTAGCCCATGTCCGCGACGCGCCGCAGGCCGTAGTAGCCCGCCTTCGGCGCCAGGTCGTCGCCGTGCTCCCTGACGTAGGCGTCGTACTCGTCCTCGAGGCGCCGCCGGCGGGTGTCGCCGCGCAGCGGCCAGGCGGCCGCCGCCGCCGCGAGGGCGAGCCAGCGGCCCATCAATCCGCCGGCGGGGGCAGCCTCCTTTTACCTAGCTACTCGGGTATTGGGGCGCTTGCCCAGCTTGCCGGGGGGTCCGTTGTTGTCCACAGGCAGAGCTTGCTAGTATCTATCATCGCTAGCTCTCGGACAATCCGACGTTGTTGTGTTGGAGTGTACGGTGCCGAACGCGTCGCCGCGGTCCAAGGTCGCCTGCGGGAAGTCGCGGGACAAGTTGATGGAACGGGCGAACGTTGCACATTGTTCGGGGGGGGTTGCCGAGGCGGCCTCGTCGCGAATTGACTATAGCTATTACCCACCCTGGGGCAGGCCTCAAAACACAAACAGTCTAAGGACGGCTTCCTCGCTAGGACTCGATACGGACCTTCCAGCGCGCGTAGTCCACGCGGACGCCGTCATCAAAATCCCACGCGCGCCCGAAGATGTAGTGGTACTGCTGCTCGAAGAAGTAGCCGCCGCACGTGCGGCCGCGGCAGGTCTCGGGCGTCGCCGCCGTGGAGAGGTTGTAGGCGCGCGCGTAGAAGGCGCGCGGCCGCGTGCGAATAGCATTTCGTGATGCGGCGAACTGCGCCGACGCCGGGAACGCGAGCTTGGTGGGCGTCGATACTGGTGGTTGTTCGGCGGTTCCATACAACTCGGCGAGGGCCCGCGCCAGGAAGGCGGGGCTCCACGGCGCCGGCATGAGGCGGTCGGCGTACTTCCGCACCGTCCGCCCCCGCTTGTCGTGGTTGAGCGACGCGAAGCCGCCCATCGCCTCGACGGCCGCCGGGACGTCCAGGCGGCACGTCGTGGCCATGCTCGTCGGCGCGTGGTAGGCGTACTCGTGGCCGTGCACGAACATGACGTACTCCGGTAAATCGTCGTAGTGGTCCACCAAGTACCTAAAGTACGCGGCGGCCTCGTCGCCGCGGTTGACCGGGAGCTGGTCGTTGGCGTTCGGTGCCTCGGCCCCGGGCCGCCCGTAGACGTGGGTTCTGATCCCGATCGCCTCGACGTTCCTCAGCCAAGCGAGGTCGTCGCGGTAGGCCGAGACGACCATCCCCAGCGTCCCGTCGGGCCACCGCTCCCAGAGCTCCGTGCGCCTCTTGAACGCGAAGAGGGGGTGGCGCGCGAGCTTCTTCCTCTCCTGGGCCTTCTCCTCGTCCGTGCGCGGGCGGTGGAACGGGCTCGAAGGCGCCGGGCGCTTCGCGACGTATACTATCGCGGCAATGGCCGCGAGCGCCGCGAGCGGCGCCCGGAGGCGCCTCGCGGACGGTTTACGCTTTTGATGGCTGCCCCGCCGTCGCAGTTCGCCGAGGGCAGCCATGTGACCAGTTGTACGCCGACGGGACGTGTGCAGACGAATAGGGTGGGGATCGGCTTTTGGGCAGCCCTTCGTTCAGCTGCCCCGCATCGCTCGGCAGTAAACCGATCACAGCCGCAGCAGTTCCAATTCGAACTCGCGATTGCAACAAAAGCTTGCAAGCCCGCCCGCGCCGCGGCCGCGGTCGACGGCCTCGCTAGTGCGTCATTACGCTAGTTCTCGAGGCTAAAAATCTACGTGGGCGCTCACGGTGTGGCTCCAAACTCTACACATTGGCTCCTGCAGCAGCACTGCACTCCTAACTAAGGGAAACTGCAAGTGTGTGCCCTGGCAGAGCACTCATAGGAGAGCAGACACACCAGCTCACAGAGTGCCACCTCTGTGAACGCCATCGCCGGCGCGTGGGATTCGAACGCCAGCCACGAAAAGAAGACCGACAGCACCGCCGAACCCATGCACCCGCCGCTCTACCGGCCGCACCCGAAGTGCGCGGCGCTCGTCGACGCGCTCGTCGAGTGCCACGACGCGAACGTCTACGGCAAGTTCTGGGGCGCCTGCAACGACCAGAAGGCCGCGATGGACGCCTGCTTCAAGGCCGAGAAGGACGAGAAGCGGCGCGAGAATTTGAGAAAGGCGCGCGCGTTCGACGCGGCGCGAGCGCGGCGGCAGGCGGAAAGAGCAGCTGCTGCGGCCGAGGACTGACGCGGTCGCGGCGAGCTCCTAATCTAAATGTGTGTGTTAAGACTAATACCGAGTTTTCTAACCAAGTTTTACACGTCCGGCGACCGCCGCCGCCAAATTTTTGTGGCGCCACCCTAGGCCTTCGCCTTCGCTTTGGCCTTGGCCTTGGCCTTGGCCTTGGCCTTCGGCGCCTCTACCTCGATGAGCTCGTCGACGGCGTAGTTGTTCGAGTTGACGCCCTGGTAGTTCACCTTCTCGAAGCGCACGGTCACGCCGTATCGCACGTTCGACTGGTCCACCGACGCGACGGTGCCCAGCTCGTTCGCCCAGTACCTGCGGGGGGGGGGGCGGGTCGCGCGCGGCGCGCGGCGCGCTCTCGCGGTCGACGGGCCTCCGGCGAGCTCTCGCGGACGACGAGGCGGCGGCGGCCTCCGATCGGCCCCCGCGCCAGCGCGCCGGCGTCGCTCCGTCCGCGCAGACGGCGTGGCGGCCGGCCGGGCGTCGGCGGTCCCGCCGCCGGAAGGAGGCCAGCCGAGTAGACCCACGGCGACGCAGCACGCAGCGTAACGTTTCGGACGCGGCGGCGCACGACTCGGGCCGCATGACGCGCACGATGGATCCTTTTTGGACCTCCAGCGGCGCAAGCCGGCTGGACAAAGCAGCGGCGCCTCGCGCTTGGGGCGCGACGAGCGCGCTCGCGCTCGCGGCCAGCGCCGCGAAGCAAGCAACCCTCAACATATCGACGGAAAAAGTGGCTGCTCGGCTGTCAGGGCCGCCTCGCGCGCCGCAAATCAGCCTCGATCAAACACTCAATGTGAGCCAGAGGGCCCCCCGCACGCAAATAGCGAGCCGTGTGGCGTATGCCACGACTCCTGTAGTGGTCTTCTACGTTTCCTGACGGGCGGAATTGCAAAAACGGCGATTTCAGCCGCGGGGGCGCCGCGCCCGTGGCAAAGCCAGAGACCGGGCGAATCCGGGGACCGGGGGACGCCGGGACTCCGTCGACGGCGGGCGTCCAGCAGGGAGCGACGCGAGCGGCCTCGGCGGTCCCCGTCCCCGCGCCGCGACCGCGTCGCCTCTCGTGAGACGCAACCCTGGCCGCCGCGGCCCCGACCCGAGGGACTCGGCGCGCTATGAGGGTGTGCCACAACACACGGATGCGAGCGTCGCGAAGAAGCGCGAACGAAATGATCACGGGCGCTGAGCCAGATGTCCCCACAACTATAAGATAGTGGTAACTTACTTAAAGGGGGAGAGGAAACCTAGGTCGCCGCGAGGATCGCCTCGACGTAGCCTGGCTCGACGGCGACGTACGTCGAGCCCGACCGCACCTCCTTGCGGCAGAGGCCGTGGTCCGTGAGCTCCACCAGATAGGAATGGACCTGGTCCTCGGTGTGCGCGATCATCTTGTAGCGGCACTGCGACTGTAAGGTCTTGAAGAGCATGCCCTCGTTCGACTCCTGCTGGGCGGTCGCTAGTAATCGAAGTAACTCGACGTGGCGCGGCGTGAGCGATTGCAAAACATAGACCAATCCAGAAGTATCGAGCAATTTTTGTTGGCTCTTCGCGTTACTCGTCCGGTCGAAGGGGTCCCACCGGCCCGCCTCGCGGTCGTAAGGTGAGAAAGTGGTAGCATCTTCCGAACAGAAATTGGCCGCGCGCCACGTAGTAGCGTTCCATAATAAAGGCGCGTTCACGTGGTCCGCCGACGCCACGAGGTAACTGTGCGACGCATTCAAGGCGGCCAACGCCGCCTGGCAGTCCTGGGACCGCAGTCTTTTGGCATCGACGGAGTGGACCACTACAAATACATCTCTTTGAGCCTTGGCACAGGCCGCCGCGAAGCGCTTCGCTATGGCTACGGTCGAGCCCCGCTCTTCGTTCGGTAACGGCGCTAATCTTAACTTCAGCGACGACGCCGCCCTGATGAGCTCCAACCTTAGGTCGGCGTCGTCAAATCCCTTAATGACCACGACCTCGCCCTCCTCCCTCAACACCTCATCGGTGAACGCCTCGAGCAACTCAAATTTCGACCCGAACCCCTGCAGCATCAGCGACACGCCGCCCCCTAATAACTTACAGAGCCAGGACCCGAACTGGCGCCGCTGGTCCTTCACGAAGTGTTGACTGAGCTTGAGCGTCGTCGGATCCTTGTACTTGAGGGCCTCCGCCACTGAAGGAAGAACGAGTTCCGACGCGGCCTGCCGCTCGGCCCTTCGGCGCTCTTCCTCGCCGCGCAGGCGCGCGTCCCTCGCGTCGAGCCTCCGACTTCGTTTCCCCGGCCTTCGCCCGTGGCCATCGTAGCCCTTGCGCTTGCCGCCGCGTTTTTCTTTTGATTTCGTCGTAAAGAACGTAGACACGAAGCCCTTGGTGGTCTGGGGAGTGGTAGCGCTGCGCCACAGAGAAACGGTAGACGGTTTGAAAACCGAACCGCCACCAGAAGCATCGTCTCCGGCCAATCTGCGCAGCTCCTTCGCCATCGACGGGTCCTCTCTCACAAACTTCAGGACCTCGTCCGCGGACTCGAACGTGTGCGTGCCCGCAATCTTCTCGGATAGACCTTTGGCACCCGGAGCCGTATATAGACCGCCCGTGCGATTCGCAGTCGTAGCGTAGGTCCAGCCCCGCGGCTTGAGTAAACGCGAGTACAGGGCCCCGAAGTTGTTGCCCATGTTGTGGTACGCGGCATCGAAGACGCGCGCCGCAATAGAACTGTCGGCCTCCTCCGCGTCGGCGGCGCCGCGGCGCTTCGACGGGCTTGACGTGGCCTTCTTCTCCGGCACGCCCGGGGCGGCGGGCGCCTCGACGAAGGGCGCGAGGGCCGCGTCGCCGCGCCAGCGGTCCGGTGGGGGCGTGGCTAGTAACGCGTCCCAGCCGCGCTCGTCCCAGGCGGGGCAGGGCCGGCGCGGCGTCTGGGGCGACGGCGGTAAGGCCGCGGGCGGCATCGGCGGCGCCTTCAATACAACCGGCGCGGGCGCGTCGTCGTCCTCGGCGGCAGCGGGCGATTTTCGCGGCCGTCCGCGCTTCTTTTTCGGCGCCGGCGCCTCCTCGGCTTCCTCCTCGTCGTCGGCGGCGTCGGGACTCGCCGGCGGCGGCGGCGCGTCGTCACTCGCGACGTCGTCGTCGCTCATGGCCGCCGGCGCAGCCGCGTCTTGGTCGCTCGTAGACGCCGGCGCGGCGTCGTCGTCGCTCGCGGCCGGCGCCGGCGCGTCGTCGTCGTCGTCGTCGTCGTCGCTCCAGGAGGCCGGCGCGGCGCCGGCGTCCGACGTGGGCGCGGATCGCCGCGTGGGCCTCGGCGCCATCTCGCAGACGGAGCCCGCGGACGACCGGCGCAGCCGGGCCTTGAGCGACGGCTCGGCGTAGGACACCGGCCCGCTCCGGCGGCGGCGGCCCATCGACGCGTCGCTGCTCGAGCGCGAGAGCGGCTCGGCGGCGGCCTCCTGCGTCAGGAGCGGCGCCGACGGCGACGGCGGCGCGACGCGCAGCGCGTCGTCGTCGTCGTCGTCGTCGTCGCTCATGGGGACGGCCGCGGCCGCCTGCGTCAGCAGCGGCGCCGACGGCGACGGCGGCTCGACGCGCAGCGCGTCGTCGTCGTCGTCGTCGCTCATGGGCGTGGACGGCGGCGCGCCGCCGGCGGAGCCGTTCGTGAGCTCGCGGCCGAAGCGCCGCGGCGCGGCCGCCGCGACGGCGCAGCCGCCGCGGTCCGGCGCGTCGCCGTCTTCATTAGAACCGGCGCGCGGCCCGCCGCCGCCGCGGCCGCGCTTCCGCGGCGGCGGCTTGCCGCCGCCGCCGCCGCCGCGCCGGGGCCGCGAGCCGCCGCCGCCGCCGCGGGGCCCGCCGCCGCGGCCGCGCGGCCCGCCCGCGGACGGCGCGTCGCCACCGTCGTCGTCATCATCATCCTCAGGAGGAGGCGGCGGCGGCGGCGGGCTCTTCTTCCGCCCCCGCTTCCTCGGCTTCGCCGCCTCGTAGACTTCGTCGACGTGGCCCTTCCGCTCGACGCCGTCGATGGCCCGTGAGACGACGAAGTCCGCGACGTCTTCCAGACTACAGAAGAAGTGGTCTCTAGTGGGAGGCACCTCCAAGACGTCCGCGCCGGGCCGGAAGAAGCGCCACGGCGGCTTCGACGCGTCCGTCGACGCGCGCTTGATCCAGCCTACTTCTCTCAGTCTTTGCCACAGGTCCGCGCCCCGCAGATCAACTAATTTGGGCTTGGACGACTCCAACACTTCGTTCAACGACCCGCTCCGCTCGACCCCGTCGATCCGATGGTCGACGCACCAGGCCCTCAAGTCTTCTTGCGTCGCGAAGTAGTCGCGGCCCTCGCGCCACTCGGACCGCTTCTCAGAAACACCTGGTCTTACATAAAACCAGGGCCTCAGGTTATCACCGCGCGCGTCGCGCCAGCCGTGGTCCGCCCGCAGCCGCTGCCACATGGCCTGCAGCGGCAATTTGTACAAGGGTTTTAATGAAGGCGACACGCCGTCGTCCGACGCCCTCCTCTTCACGACGGCCGTGACCGCGCCGCGTTTCGCCGCGGCGCGCGCCTTCGCCTTCTCGATCTTTTTGGGTTTCTTCTTCTCTTGCGCTTTGTCCGCCAACCGCTCGGGCGCCTTCCGCCGGCGACCTTTCTGCGCACTGCCCTGGGACTTCCGCGGCGCGCGCGCCCGTCCCATCAGCATCTGCTCGGAGACGTGGCCCGTCCGACCCTGCCAGCCGACCTGCCACTCGCGGCAGAACCGTAACACAGCGTCTTCGCCCTCAAAAAACTCGGCGCCGCTCCGCGCGTCCCTCCGGACGTTCTTGGACTCGTCGTCGATGCCGCCGGGCCGCACCCAGCGCGTCGCGCCGGCGGGACCGTAGCGCCACTCCCAGCCCAGCTCCCGCAGCTGCGCCCAGCTCTGCGCCCACGGGCCCCGCCACGACGGCGCGTAGCCGGCCTGGTCCGGCGACGGCGCCTTCAGGGCCTGCTGCCTTCTCGTACCCTTCTCTGCCGGCGCCGCTTGGGCGTCCTCGTCGACGTGGCCGAAGGTCGTCACCAAGTCTATTTTCTTCCGCTCGACGAACTCGCGGACCTGCTCTTCGCTCCCGAAGTAGTCGATGCCTAGGATGCCGCCCTTCCTTCGCGCGCCCGGTCGGAGGTAGTGCCAGGGATACTCGAGATCCCCCGTTTTATAGGTCCAGCCGTGGTCTCTGAGGGTTTTCCAGATCTCGGACGGGGCCCTCCTCCAGAGCGGCGTGTCCCTTTGTGGTACGGGGGAGTCGCTGCTCTCCGGCGACTCGACGGCTTGGGGAACGTCGTCGTCTGAAGAACTGGGACCGTCCTCGTCCACATGACCCGTGAGTTCGTCGCAGTCCACTCGTCTCGACCGAACAAAGTCCCGCACCTCTGTCCTAGACGTGAAGAAGTGCCTTTTGTGTTCTAGCGCTCTGCAGTGCTCCGCGCCGGGCCGTAAAAAGCGTTCCGTCTCCAGTCCAGACGGCGCCGCGCGACTCCACCCGACCCTCTTCAGATCCTTCCAGAGCGACGCCCAGTCGTCGTCCTCCTCGGTGACAGGCGGCTCCCGTCGTGGCAGGCGCCGTTGTTGAGGACCGTCCTCGCCGTAATTTTCGTCGAACGGGATCGGCGAGTTCCGGAAGACGGGCCATCGCGGCGTATCTCCTAAACCAAGAGCTTCGATGGGGCAGGACATGCGTCTAGGTGATGCCGGGTCGTCGGGCGACTCCTGGGTCAGCGGAATTTGCGGGGATGCCGGCGCGACCCTCAGCTCGTCGTCGTCCTCTTGCACATGTTTGGCGGCATACTCAACAGCGTCCTCGCGGCTCCGGAAGAAGTCCTGGCCTTCTATTCCGCCTCGTCGCGCCGACACGCCGCCGGGCCGCAAGTACCTCGCTTCCTTGCGGCCGTGCGGGCCGCGCGCGTCCTCCTTCCATCCTAACGCTTCCAATGCTCGCCACGCCTCTGAGATGTCCTTCGTTTTTGTTGGTGGTCTTTTACGAAAGGCCACGACATCGTCCGGCGCCGCGAACCATTGTGCGCCTTCCCTACCTTCTATGCTCCCGCCCGGCGCCAGTAACTTGCCACTCCGATGCCTCTTCCAGCCCTGGTCCCGCAGCGCGTCCCAGAGCTCCCACCACTCGAGCGCGCCCGTCCGCTCCCGCCCGTCGATGCAGTGGTCCCTGACATGGTCCTGGACGGCCTCATCATCCCCAAACCACTCGAAGCCCTCCTGCCCGTAGCCCGACGCGCAGCCCGGCCGCACGAAGCGCGGGTCGCCGCCCACGCGCACCTGCGTCCAGCCGCAGTCCCTCAAACAGTCCCAGACCTGCCAGAACTCCGTGAGCTGGTCGAGCGGCACGCCGACGCTGCTCCGCCGCGGCGGCCGCGCGTGGGCCATCCGTTACGGGTGTCCGCGGTCGTCCGCGGCTCCTCGGGGCGCGCGGCGCCGCTGTGCGTGCGTTCGCGGCGCTGCGCGGCGTCGGTCGCCCGCGCTGGCCCCAAACGACGGCTTTGGTTTATCGCGCCCGCGCAGCGTCAATCGCGGCGGTACGTCGAAAAAAAGCCTGGCCTGCCAGCACGGGGCGCTCGGAGGTTGACCTGAGCGGCTACCACGCCGCCACAGGCGAAATGAGCGGCCGTACACGGCAATTTTAGGATGCAGCGGCTAAAATCGAATTTGAGGTGCCGGGTTTTGCTGGCCAGAAGTGATTGGCCTAAATATCTCTATATATCGTTCCAAAGGGCTGGGATGGACACGTATATAGATCCCTCCAAAAGCCTGGGTCCGCCGGACCTTGCCACTTTTTGGGCGCTGGGAGAGCCTCGCAACAGCGCGCCTTTGCAGTGCCAAGAACTCGCAACCGAGACCAATCGGGCTGCGCGCGCGGTCCATTCAAGGCCCACGCGCACCCCCAAGCCGCAAAGAGGCTGCCCAGGATGACCATGGCCATCGCCGTGCCCACGGCCACCGCAATCGACGAGCTGAGCGTCGGCCGCGGCGAGTTAGTACGGGACGAGGCGCCGTCGCCGGCGTCGCGGCGCAGCCAGGGCACGACGCGGAGCGGCCGGTCCGTGGCCTCGATCCCGTCGAAGTTCCCGACGGCCGTCCCCGTCGCGGCCGTCGGCCCCGATTTGGGGTTTGGGTCCACGGCTATTCGAGGCTGGGTCGCGTCCACTTCTGATCCGACGCCGGGCCCCTACCAGCCGGTCACGACGCTGATCCACCGGGGCGGCTCGGTGTCGTGCAAGGGCTCGGGCGGCTTCTGCAGCGGGACGGTGAGGCCGACCTTCGCGCCGCGGCACCTGCGCGAGACGCCGGCGCCGGGCTTCTGTGGCGTCGCGGAGGCGGCTCCACCGCCCGAGAAGGTTGAGAGGGAAACCGGCAACTTCATCAAGCCGACGGTCGAGCGGGGTCGTGTTGATGCGGCCTTCGGGCGGGACGAAAAAGTGCCTGGTCCAGGTCAATACGTCACGACCGCGGCCAGAAATATCACGAACTACCGCGCGGCCTTCTCCAGTACAAGTAGCCGCCACAAGTACCAGTCCTTCGGGCCGGCGCCGGGCGCCTACGACCCCTCGTGGAGGGCCTACGACGCGCACGGCCGCGATCTGGCGCCAAAATGGTCGCGGAGCCACACGAAGCGCGGGAATGCTCCGGCGCCGTCCTACGAGTCGAGCGTCGACCGCGCGTACCTGAAAGCGCTGGCGATCCCGGGCAACGAAATCGTGGTCCCGCCGACGCACGTCGCGTTAAAATACGAAAACATGCGACAGGCGCAGCGCAAGCAGCCCGGTCCCGAGTACGACGCGATCGCGGGTTTCAACGCGTCGCGCCTCGACCAGGCGAAGGCGACGCGCGCGGCCTGGAAGCACACGCTCGGCGCGGACCGCTGGGGCCGCTCGCAAGGTAGAATAACGCACACGCCGACGCCGGGCCCGGGCTGGTACGACGTTGGAGGCACCGCGGCGCGGTCCCGGCGGCGGACGGCCCTGTCGTCATCCTTCGTGTCGAAAACCGAGCGCAAGTTCCTGCCCAAGGGCTCGGACGCGCCGGGGCCCGCGTACTACGCGCCGAGGAGGAATCGCGATTCGTCTTTCGTCCTCAACGACACGGGGCGCTGGGTCTAATTTGTCTTACTCTCCCGCACGCCCTCGGCGGGAACGTCGTCGGCCTTGTACTCGGCGACGCCTTCAGATGGTTCGAACGGCGCTGCGCGCGGCGACAGCGCCGGCCGTTTGGACACGGCCAGGACGCGCGCGCTTTCATCCGTTATGAAGAGCTCCGTCTGCGTTTCTCCAGCGGAGACGTCAGCAGGCGGCGGCGGCGGCGCGACCGCGCGCGCCTCGCAGGCGTCGAGCCGCGCCGCGTGCGCGTCGCACCTTTCTAGTAAAGCCGCGAGCGCCTCCTCGAGCGACGCGTTGCGCGCCTTGAGGTTGCTATTTTCGGCCTCGAGCGCATCGAGCCTCGAGTCCGTCGCGCCTTGCAAAGCGCGCGTCGCCGACGTCTGCGTCTTCAGTGAGGCGTTCTCTCTTTCAAGAAGAAACAGCCGTTTCGACGTCGTTGCTAGACTCGCGTTGAGCTTCAGGACCTCCCTGTCCAATGCGCTCCGCGCTTCGTCCTGCCTTTCCTTGACCTCGCCGGCCATGACCTGGAAGGTTGCGGAGGAAGCCAATAAGTCGGTGCGGGCCTTCTCCAGCGACGCGCGGTGCTTCGTGTCCACCGCGGCCTCCAAGCCCTTCAACAATGAAGCTAATATTCTCTCGTCGGCCTCTTCACATGACGTCAGCCGGTAGACGGCCGTATCATTTAATACTTTGGTCGAGCCGACGCTCTCGAAGCGCAGCTTGTCCAGATTCACGGGCGGCAGCGGGAAGCGGTGCGCGAAGCCGCGCTGGAGGGCCTGTTGGGGCACGTCGGCCGCGGTGCGCCAGCGCGCGTCGCGCGGTACACTGAACGTGAGTTTGGGGGTCACGAGGCAGGTGATCATGCCCGGCACGGGGGCCTGTTCCTTCTCTGGGCGCGACATGGTGGTTTGGGCCTCGGGAGAGGGTCTTTTGATAGAGCGCCTGGGAAGCCCTGGGACCAAAAGTATGGGCGCGCGCTGCGCAGGAGGCCTGTCTGAGGTCTCTGATGTGTTTGCGGCGGGCGCTGAGCAGGCTATACCCTCGTGTTAGGTATTTTGACTACAAAAAATATAATGAGCTAGCGGCCTGTAAGACACTAGCCTGCGGAAACGTCTCTGCGACCCAGAAAGATAACACTCGAGCAAGTTAGTAGTACGGCTCCCCGCCGCCCAGCTGGAAGTCGACCACCCTCCAAGCGAGCTCATGACTCTGATCATCATATTCCCTTTGAAACGCCATGACGTAGAAGTACGCGCGGATGTCCGACGGGTAGCCCTCGACGACGTCCCCCTCCCTGTTCCTTACACAATTGACCTGCTGCGTCATGAACTGCACGACGAGGATGGGCGACCGCTGCTCGTCGACCTGGACAGCTATAATTTCCACTTTTTCGCAGTCGGTTATTTGCGCGTCGTCATAAACTAATCCCTCCTCCTTCCTTAATCTGATTTCATGCGATAGTCGAGAGAACAGGCCTTCGCTCAACCAAGGTTTCAATTTCATCGTATCTCCTTGGATAAACGCGTCCACAAATTGCGGGCACAGCTCTTCGCTCACGCCGTCGCGCCAGACCTCCAGCGAAAAGTTCGGGTCGAGCCGTCGTAGTTCTCGCGTCGCCGCCGCCGTGTCGGTTTCGGCAGTAACAGCGTCCACAATGGACGAGGCTTGATACACCAAAGGGTTCTGGGACGTCTCCCAGAACTCTCTCGCATCTTCCCCCAGATCCTTGACGCGCTTCGCGGCAGAGGTTTCGTTGATGCGCTTCCTCGCGCGCTGCGTCCCGTCGAGAATATCAGAAATGATCGGGGCCTTGCGCAGCCGCTCCCGGAGCTCGGCCCACGTGTCCTCCTGCTCGATGACCATGAGCTGCGCTTCCCGGGGATCAAATTCTTTTGTTTCTGTGGGCGCCTGGTCCTGGTCCTGGAAGCCGACCTTCCTTTTTAGGACCGAGGGTTGGTTCTCTCCTCTCAATTCGTCGACGGCCCGCCGCAATTCGCTGGAGGCGCCCTGCAGCGCCGCGCGCCAGTCGAAGTTCTTGGCGCGTTGCTGCACGCTGTCCCAGGCGTTCGCGAGTTTTTCGGCGTGCTCGCGGCCCATCGCTTCGTCCTTCGCGGCTTGTTGTGCTTTGGCGTCCTCCTTGGCGGTTTTGGCGTCCGCCTTCGCGTCGCGCTGGTCGAACTTCGCGTCGCGCGCCGCGTCGGCCGCGTCGAACTTCGCGTCGCGCGCCGCGTCGGCCGCCGCGGCATCGCTGTCCGCCTTGGCCTTGTCGGACCAGCGCGCCGCAGCGCCGCGCGCGAGCGGTGGCCGCCGCAGCCGCGCCGCGGCCGGCGCGCGCACGAGGGCGAATCGTGCCGCGCGCATGCTCTTGAAGCTCTTCTTGTTGTGCTATCAAAGCTACGGCTAGGACGAGCTGTGACTGGTGACTGCGCTGGGCGAGGTCACTGCTACTTGCTGCTCCGCGTCGAGGCCGTCCGCTGCGGTCTTGTGCTGATTGATTACAGCTGTGCGAGCGGTTTGCAACCCTCGGAGCAACGCTGCGTCTCGCGCTCGTGGCGTGTGGCACTGCTGCAGAGGCTCTCTGGCCATCGACATCGAGTGTCTTTGGCACCCTGGTGCGTGCCGCTAAGGCTAGATAGCGAGGCCAGGCTTCACGCACAGATGGAAGACGCCGCCGTTGAGGCGCTGAAAGCCCGTGTAACCGGCGGCGACCTCGACCCCGGCCTCCTGCGCCAATTAGCAGACGCCCTCGACGCGCAGACGACGAAGGAGAAGAGAAGGAGACTGCTGCGCACGGGCGGACGAGTGCGGGCGCCGCGCGGCGTCGGGCGGGAGCCCTGCCTGGTGTCTGATTACGATGGCGGCGATTCAGTTGATGTCGTCTACGACGACGGCGGCGAGGGCACCGTCGAGGCGTCGAAGGCGTCCTCGTTGTTAGATTTTGAGATGGATGAGAGTGCATGCGGCGACGCATCAGAATTGAAAAGGAGGGGCAACGCGCTCTTCGGCGAGAAGGACTGGGTTAATGCTGCAGCTCATTACGAACGGGCCCTCAAAGTTCTAAAGCGGCCACCGACGACAGGCGCCCGAGTCCTGATCAATGCCAACTCCCAATTGAGGTGTGGCACGCTCAGTGATGTCTCGACAAAAACTGTCGACGTGATGTACGACGACGGCGTCGATGAGGACGACCTCGATCGAAGACGAGTTATTTTGGTGGTGAATGACGCCGAGCTCCAGTGCTCCTTGTACTTGAACCTGGCGAAGTGCGGCCTGAAGGTCAATCGCCTGAGGGACTCGACGTCGGCGGCGACGCTGGCGGGCGGCCTCGCAAATAGTACAGAGGAGCTGAAGGCGCGGTTTTTGTGTAGCGCGCGCGTCGTCCGCGGCCGCGCGAACCTCGCGCAGAAGAAACTGAGACATGCGCTGCGCGACGCGGACGTCGCGCTCGAACTCAACGCGAGCGACGCGGGCGCGCTGGCGCTGAAGCGCGACGCCGAGCGCGCGAAGAAGCTCGCCTTGCGGGAGAACAAAAAATTAGCGAAGGAGGTGACGCAGTGGGTCGAGACCGCGCAGGGCAAATTTACCGAGAACGGCGGCGACGCGGGCGACTGCGCCCAGCAATAATGTGATTTTTACTTAGTCTTCGTCGTCATACTCGTCGAGATCCAAACCGAAGTCGAGGCCGCCCTCGATGACATCATCATCCAAGCCTTCATTGGCCTCGTCAATCAACCTCATCAGCGCCACGGCGCCGCCGACGTCCGCCTTGCGGAACGTGACCTCGGGCACGCGCTTCGAGTGGCGCAGCCGCTGCGCGAGGGCGTACCGAAAACCCTTGGCGTTCGCCACGAGCCAACTGAAGGCCTCGCGCTTTTGGGCGGCGTCGCCGCGCGTCGTCACCGTGGCCGTGGCGGCCCGCAAATCCGGCGACACCGTCACGTCCACGACGCTCGTCGCGCGCAGCACCGCCGGGTCGACGCGCGCCGTCGACTTGACGCGCGTCGCGCCGTCTCTGATTAATATCGCGAGCTCGCTCCGCACCTGCTGCGCGACGCGCGCCTGGCGCCTAGTTGCTTCGCCCGTTTCTGCCCTTCGGTTGCCCGCCGCCGGCCGCGGCGGCAGCCTCGCCGGCAGGCGGCTGCAGGAGCTGCAGGACGGGTGCTGGAAGGCGGCGACAGCGAGAGCTGCTACTACTAGCAGACATCGCCTCATCATGCACACCTTTTGCAGTTCTCTCTCTCGCTCCTAACATGCGCTCCGACCTGCACTTCAGCCCGAGTTGCGACCTAGCGGCCTGTAAGACACTAGCCCGGCCTGAGCCTGAGCCTGGCCTAATTGGTCGCCCTCTGGACGCATTGTCGCTTATCGTAGAGTGGCAGTGATTGTACGTGCCCTCCTGCGTGCGTCCGTGCTGTTGCTGCGACGAGATCGGACGCATTGCTTGTGCTGGACTCCTCGCCAGGCTGTAGCTGCAAACGCGTCGCGAGCTGCAAGCGCGCTGAACGCGTCGCGGCTGCAAGCACGCTCGAACGCATCGCGGGCTGCAAGCGCAAACCATGGCCGAGGTCGTCGCGCTGCCGGGCATGGCCTACTCGCGCAGCGGCAACGCCCCCGCGAAGACGAAGAGGAAGGCGCCCGCGCGGCGGAAACCGGACCGGGGCCCGCGCGCGGCCGCGGCCCCCGCGCCGCTGTCGCTGCGCGCGGCCAAGCGCGACGTCTTCGACCTCGGCGCGACGGGCCTCGACAAGCGCCAGCGGAAGATCCGCGACGACGCGCGCCTCGCGGCGCTCGGCTGCAAGGCGCCGCGGAACCCCAAGATGCCGTTCAAGATGGTGCTGGGCATCCGCCGCGCCGAGGACGCGCGCGAGCGCAAGCGCCTCGCGGAGCGCCGCGAGAGCGGCGTCGTCGCGCCCAAGGAGAAGCGCGACGCGGCGCGCGGCGGGAGCCGCAAGGGCAAGCGCGGCCGGCGCGGCGACGCCCTCGCGCCCGACCCGCGCGACGGCGTCCTCCGCGTGGACCACCTCGCCAAGCGCCGTAAAAAATGATACGTATCTAGGAGTATTTAGGAGCTAGAGGCCCCGGAAGCTCCGCGCCGCCGCGACGGACCGCGCGCCGGCGCGGAGGGCGCGGCGCGGCCGCCGCCGCGTCGCCGCGCCGCGCCAGTACTTCTGGATGACGATGGCCTGGGCGGCCACGCGCTGCCGGCGCGCGGTTTTCCGCGTGAAGCACCCGCGCCAGTACTTCTGGATGACGATGGCCTTCGCGACGACGCGGCAGAGGACGCCGCGCCACGTCTTCTGGATGACGACCGCCGCGAACCAGAGCGACGGCAGGTGGTCCACGCCGTAGGACGCGCCGCGGAGCCGCTCGCGCGCGCGCTCCGCGTCCGCCGCGCGCCGCCGCTCGGCAACGGCCGCCGCCGCGGCCCGCGCGCGCGCCGCCTCCTCGGCCGCGCGCGCGCGCTCGAGCTCCGCGAGCCGCGAGCGCGCGCGCGCCAGCTTTCGCCGGTGCTCGCGCTCGCTCAGCAGGCCGCGGTCGCGCAGCCGGTCCAGGGCCGCCCGGCGGTACTCGAAGCTGTCCGCCTCGCGCGCCTCGAGGCCGCTCTCGACGACGCACGGCATGGCTCTCTGTCCCTGAACGCGCCACCAGAGGTGATATGAGTGCCTCCGGCTGTCTGTTCGCGTCGAACGTAAGCTCCCAGTGGGCACTTCGCTGCGCTCTCACTTGGTCTGCCCCCCGCGGCCGACGGAACAGATTCGCCGGCTGCCCCGGGCGCTCGCAAGAGTGCCGCCGGCGCCCCCGGGCGCTCGCAACACGGTCTGGTCGCGTCGGAACGCGAGCTCCCAATGGCACTTCGCGGCGCTCTCACTGAGGGCTGCCCAAGAGCGGCCGACGGAGCGGACTCGCACCCGTCGCCATGCGTCCGGGAGCTGTCCGAGGCGTGCGCCACGAGCTCTGCCGGGGGGCGGCATAAGACGGCCGCCCACTAGGGAAATACAGTAACGCCCCCGGCAATATCGACCACCGGCTCGAGCCGTGAAAGCCGGGACAGCCCACCGGTGCGCGAGGAGGCTGCCCCGCTTGCCGCCAGAGAGAGAAGGCCAACGTTCCGGCAAGCACGCGTCGCGCAGCAGCGCTGGCGCCAGGCAACCAAGCCTAAGCCCGGAAGCGGAAGCGTTGTGCGGCTCCGCGGCGCGGCGCTAGGACGCGGCGACCATGGCGTCGAAGGTCGCGCCCGAGGGCGGCATCCAGGAGTTCCTGGAGTATGAGAAGGAGGACGCCAAGTACCCCGCGCTCGCGCGGACGTCGTGCGGCTTCATGAAGCGGAGCCATCCGTTGCGGAAGTGGTGCATCGCGGTGATGCGGAGTAGGACCTTCGATGCGGTCATCATGTTCTTCATCATCACCAACAGTATCGTGATGGCCATGAGCGACTACCGCGTGAAGTGTCTGGGGCGGAACGACAAGCAAGGCGCGACGTTCGGCCAGCCGGACCCGTCGCGGTGCTGGCAGAACACGTTCGGCGACTTTACGAACCGCTGGGTCTTCGGGATCGTGTTCATCATCGAGATGGTGATCAAGATGGTCGCGATGGGGCTCTTTAGCGGAGAGAACACGTATTTTAAGGACGCGTGGTGCTGGCTCGACTTCATCTGCGTCCTGGCCTACGTCGTGGGCCAGATGGGCCTGAACGTGGGCGGGTTGATGGGCATCAAGGCACTACGGTTACTCCGACCATTAAAATCGGTCAACAAGTTCCCGGCGCTCAAGAAGATCGTGGTGGCCTTCACGACGAGTATCGAGCCGCTCTTCGTGACCATGGTCATGCTGTGCTTCCTGCTCTTCGTCATTTCGATCGCGTGCATGCAGTTCTTCAAGGGCGCGATGCACTACCGCTGCCGCCTCACGCCGTACCCGACGCGGGTGCCCGCCACGTGGTACGAGAACCCTAAGAACTGGGAACGGACGGGGTTTCCCGGGTGCCCGAACAACGACAACCGCGGCCGGGCCGCCGTCCCCTGCATCAAGAAGGAGTACTACCCGCATTTGGACGACGACGGCGAGGACGTGGAGTTCGAGACGTACGCGGCGCTCATGCAGGCCATCGCGGTCGCCGACCACGACGCCACCACGACGCCACCAAAAATTATTACGAATGCAGAGATCGACGCCCTCCTCGCGGCGGGGGCAACCTTCGGCTGGCCCGCCTCGGACACGGACCCCGCGCTCCTCAACGTGAACACGTGGGCCTGCACCGACGACGTGGACTTCCCGGGACCGGCCGGGCTGCCCGTCGAGGACACGTACTCCACGGACCACTACAAGAACTACGACGACGGCGGCACGGGCCTCGGCGCCGCGGACCCGGCGGCGGCCAAGTACTGGTCGAAGCCCAAGAGGTGCCTGTGGCTCGTGAACCAGGACGACGTGCGGCCCTGCGCGTCGCGGTCCAACGAGATCTTCGGCATGGGCGGCATGCACAAGTGCTACAACCGCGAGGACCAGGAGGCGATGGGGGGAAAGGGCACGTACTGCGGCTCGAACTACGACCCCTTCGGCCAGGTGCGCTTCGAGAAGGCGCCGCTCGTGGGCAAGGCCGTGTACCTGGCCCAGTGCGACCCGATGGCGAGCGGCACGTCCGCGTCCGCCGACGGCAAGTCGAGCACGTGCGACACGGTGCCCATCCAGCTGGACGACTGGTCGCGCTTCTCGACGGGCCTGTTCAAGACCCTGTACCCCGAGTTCGAGGGCGACCTGAACTTCGGGTACACGAACTTCGACAACATGTTCTCGGCGTTCGTGACGCTCTTCCAGGCCGTGACCATGGAGGGCTGGACGATCATCATGTACCACATGATGGACGCGGCCTGGCCGGCCATCTCCGTGTTCCTCTTCGTGACGCTGTTCGCGGTGGGGTCGATGCTCATCCTGAACCTCGTGCTCGGCGCCATCGTCGGCGCTTTGGACGACGAGGAGGACGCCGAGGTCGAGGCCGAGATCGAGGCGAAGCTGGCGGCCGAGGAGCACGCCAGGGGCGAGGTCGAGGAGGCCGCGGGCGACGGGCCCCCGCCGAAGAAATATCGGGACACGCTGACCGGCCCGCGGGCGCGGCTCTACGACGTGGTCAATGGAGACGCCTTCACGGCCTTCATCTACGTGGCCATCCTCGTCAACACCGTCGTCCTCATCATGGACGACTACCCGCGGCCGCCCGAGTACTCCCAGGCCATGTCGATGATGAACTTCCTGCTGGCCCTGGTCTTCCTCGTCGAGATGGTCCTGAAGTGGGTCGCCATGGGCCTGTCCTACTTCGAGGACCCGTTCAACAACTTCGACTGCGCGATCGTCTGGATCTCGGTCGTCACGATGCTCTGCGCCTGGTCCGAGGCGGGCTTCGGCGGCGGCGCGATCTCCGCGTTCCGGTGCTTCCGCGTGTTTCGGCTGCTCAAGGTGCTGAAGACGTGCCTGCCGAACTTGATGGTGCTGCTGTCGACGGTGGGCGAGACGGCGCGGGAGATCGCGCCGTTCCTCGTCCTCCTGTCGCTGATGGTCTTCATCTTCGGGCTGCTGGGCATGATGTTCTTCGCGAACCAGCTGCGGTTCGACGGCAACACGGACGCGAAGATCGCGTTCAGCGTCTTCGACTACGGGACGAAGGCGGCCAAGGAGGCCCACGAGGGCCGCATGAAGGTCAACGCGGGCTGGGGCGAGACGGGCCGGGACTCCACCAAAGTCTCGGCGGTCTGGCTCGACGCGGCGCCCGGCCTGGACCTGGGCTGGGGGTCCTTCGACGACTTCTGCATCAGCATGATCGCGATCTTCGGCATCCTGACGGGCGAGTCGTGGAACGCCGTCATGTACGACCTGATGCGGGGCGCGCACCCGATCGGCGGCGTGCTCTACATGCTCCTGACGATCATGATCCTGGCGTTCTTCGTGATGAACATGTTCCTGGCCATCCTGCTGAAGAACTTCGAGGACAACGAGGAGCTCTCGGCGAGCGACGGGCCCTCGCCCTTCGTGCGCATGAAGACGATGCTGAGCGTGACGGCCGCGTTCAAGAAGGGCAAGAAGGACACGGCCGACGAGGCGCCCGCGACGCCGACGACGGAGGCCGCGCCCCGGCGGGACGCGAGCCTCTTCGTCTTCGCGCCGGAGAGTCCGTTCAGAAAAGCGTGCGCGACGCTCGCCGCGAACCCGACCTTCGACAAGGTCATCATCACGTGCATCCTCGTCGGGGCGCTGACGATGGCCTGCCAGACGCCGCTCATGGACCCGAACATGGGCATCGTGACGTTCTTCAAGGTGCTGGACTACGTCTTCGCGCTCATCTTCCTGGTCGAGTGCGTCGCCAAGGTCGTGGCCTTCGGGTTCCTGCTCAACGGCCCCGGGAGTTACCTGCGGGACAACTGGAACATCCTGGACTTCGTAATTGTGGTGGTGAGCATCCTCATGCTGATCGGCGACGTCGCGGGCGACGCGCTGCCCTTCGACGTGAAGGTGTTCCGGGTGCTGAGGGTGGCCCGCGTGTTCCGGCCGCTGCGCATGATGACGCGCTACCCGGGCCTGAAGCTCGTGCTCAATTCGTTGATTTGCGCGATCCCCGGCGCGTTCAACGTCATGATCGTCTGCGTGCTCATCATGGTCATCTTCGCCATCCTGGGCCAGGGCTTCTTCAAGGGCACCATGGGCGCCTGCGATCTGGAGGAGGCCGAGGCCTGGCAGGCGAGCCTCGTGGCGCACCCGATCTCGCTCAGGGACGCGGTCGAGCACGACGTCTTCGGCCTCGTGAACGACTACGCGATCAACGACCTGGGCGAGCCGAACACGCAGTGCTGGGTGACCTGGGACGAGGACTGGATCGAGAAGAAGTCGTACTTCAACCCGAAGACCCGCGTCGTGAGCAAGGTCGTCGCGGACTGGGAGAACGGGGGCCGGCCGGCGCTGATCGGCGGCGACTTCGACGAGACCGTCGCGGCGCCGAAGCCGGGCTACAGCAAGGCCGTGCGGGACCACTTCGAGTCGCATCCGCTCGGCGTCGCCGCGCTCGACGCGGCGCTCGCGAAGGACGGCAACCTGGACGACTTCGTCCCCACCTCGAAGGACATGTGCCGGTGCCTCTTCCAGGAGGAGTCCGCCTGGATGGGCGACGGCGGCTACTACATGACGTTCGACAACACGTGGGACGCGTTTAGATTACTCGTCGAGATCTACAGTACGGAAGGGTGGCTGGACTACATGTATTATAATGCCGACAAGAACGGCGTCGAGATGCAGCCCATGTCCACGGGCACGAAATTAGGCCGGGCCGCCGGGCGGTCGTCGACGGGCGTCCAACTATCGGGCCCCGGCGCCTCGGACCACGGCGGCGACGAGAGTGACCGGGGCTTCCCGCGCTTCTACTCCTTCTTCTTCCACGTCATGTTCCAGTTCATCGGGGGCTTCTTCGCGATGCAGCTGTTCGTCGGGATTATTATAGAACAGTTCGCGACCCTCAAGGAGCAGGCCGAGCAGGAGGGCCGGTCCGGGGCCCTCATGACGGCGTCCCAGGAGCAGTGGGTCAAGACCCAGGCCTTCATCATGCAGCAGGTCAAGCCCAAGAAGAAGACGCGCGTCGGCCCGCTGCCGGCCTTCTTCAGGGTCGTGGAGAGCGAGAACAAGGCGCTCTTCGAGGGCTTCATCATGGGGTGCATCATTTCGAACGGCGTGGTCATGGCCATCGACTACTACGGCGCGCCGACGGGCTACGTCGCGCTGCTTGAGTGGCTCAACCTGCTCTTCGCGATCATCTTCGGCGTCGAGGCGGTGCTCAAGGTCGGCGGCATCGGCTGGACGCAGTACTGGTGCGAGGGCTGGAACCGCTTCGACTTCATCATCGTGATCGGCACGTTCGCCGGGTACATCGTCAGCGACCCGAACGTGTCGTCGACGGACGTGGGCGGCGTCGTCTCGATCGTGCGCCTCTTCCGCATCGCGCGCATCTTCCGGGTCATGAAGTCGTGGCTGGAGATGAAGAAGCTCGTCAACACGTTGCTCAACGCGCTCCCCCAGATGATGAACGTCGGACTGGTACTGATGATCTTCGTCCTCATCTTCGCGATCCTGCTCGTCGAGCAGTTCGCGCACGTGGGCTACGCCGGCGACGTGCACCAGATCTCGAACTTCCAGCACGTGCCCGTGGCGATCCTCACGCTCGTCAAGTTCACGACGGGCGAGAACTGGAACGGCTACATGCACGACCTGAACGCGAACTGGCGCGAGGGCTCGGGCTGCTGGTCGAAGAAGAAGTTCGCGCAGATCCGGACGAAGATGTACGCGGCCGAGCCGGGCACCATGTTCGAGTCCGGCGGCGGCTACTGGGAGGAGAAGTGGTGTACAAGGGGAGACGGCGGTGACCGGCCCCAATGCCCCTGCGCGGGCGAGGCCGACAACTCCAATTACGACGACGCCTTCGGCTACAAGCGCGGGTCGATGAACGGCGGCGTCGGCTGGGCGAGCAAGGAGACGTGCCAGGCCTTCGAGTCCTACAAGGACTGCTGCGTGCCGCTGAACGGCTGCGGCGACCGGCTCTGGGCCGAGTTCATCATCCGCTTCTTCGACATCCTCGTGACGGGCGTCGTCCTGAACCTCTTCGTCGGTATTATATTATCGGCCTACGAGGAGGAGGACGAGGAGGCGGACCTGGGCCTGTCGGACGCGGACCTCGAGAACTTCGTGGACGACTGGGCGCGCTTCGACGAGCACGCGACGTGGCTGCTCCCCGTCGCGGACCTCAAGGACTTCATGCAGGTCCTGGACGAGCCCATGGGCTTCGGCGAGGCCTACGCCGCGACCGACGCCGAGCTCGAGGCCGAGATCCTCAAGCTCAAGCTTCGGGTGCGGAAGGGCTACCTGGACGAGAAAAACTTCGCCGAGTCCAAGCTCCACATGTTCGACGTGGCGACGGCGCTCGGCAAGCGAGTCGTGGCCAAGGTCGCGGAGGACGAGGGCGGCGACTCGCTGCTCGAGGAGGAGGTCACGGCGGCCGAGGACGAGACGACCGTCGACGCGACGCCGCACCTGAAGAAATTATTCGCACAGAAGGAGGGGTGAGCCCCATCCCCATCCCCTTCCCGACCCTTCCTTCACATACCAAGGTGCACTATTAAAAAACAAAAAAATCAAAGCATATCCTAAAGATAGGACTTAGCCCGGGATCTCGAGGAGGAACTATGCTACGCGCCTCAGGGGGCCTTGGACTCCTCGGCGCCGTCGCCGGTGAGGAGGTCGGGCGCGGCGGCGCGGGCCCCGGTGCGCGAGAAGTCGATGACGGTCTCGCCGCTGCGGTGGCGCGTGACGGTGCCGGCGGTCACCTCGACGCCGCCCGGCTTCGAGTAGTCGAGGATCGTGTCGCCCTCGGGGTTCTCGACGGAGACGACGGGGTCGGCCGGCGACCGCGGCGCGGCGAGCTGTCCGCGTTCCAGCGTCGGCGCCGCGGCCGCCGCCCCGGCCCGGGCGACGGCCGCGGCGGCGCGCGCCTTCGGCGGCGCGCGGTCGGCCCGCTGGCGCGCGCGCTCCGCCTCGAGCTTGCGGATGAGCTCGGCGGCGCGGTCGGCGGCCGAGCGGTCGCGGTCCTTGTCGAAGTCGTCGGCCGAGTAGTCCGAGCCGAGCTTGAGCCGCGACCGGTAGTCGGCCAGGATGGCGTCGAGCTTGGCGAAGCGGTCGCGCGCCGCGGCCGGCCGGCCCCCGAGGTAGCGCGCGCGGCGCTCGTCGTTCGACAGGACCTCGACCGGCGCCGGCCGGCGGCGCGCCTCGACGGCGCCGCAGCGCACATCAATACAGCCCGCCGCGCGCGTCATGAACCCGAACTTGCAGAGGAAGCCCGAGTCCTTCGGCGGGCGGTCGGGGTGCGCGCCCCACTCGTCGGGCGGGTGCGCGGCGTACCTCAGATCCTTGAGCCGGTGCGCGCCGCCCAGGAAGAAGTCCTGGAGCTGGTCGCGGATGCGCCCGACGGGCGCCCAGGTCTGGAGCCGCTCGCGGCTCAGGGGCTGCGGCTTCGCCGGCAGGCGGAAGTGGCCGTAGCCCTCGACGGTGTGCCGCTCGAAGCGGCGCCGCGCGAAGACGGCCACGTAGCAGCGCGGCACGCGCAGCGACGGCCGCGCCGCGGCGCCGTCCGCGTCGCCGGCGTCGCAGTCGTCCTCGGGCGGCACCACGTATAAGTCGAGGGGCAGGCCGACGTGCGCGACGCTCTCGCAGGCCTCGTGCGGCGACGTCTGGGCCGACGGCGCCGCGCCGACGGACGCGAGGACCAGGATGCCGGCCGCGAGGGGCCAGACGCCGTAGCCCGGCCCCGCGGCGAGCGCCGCGACCAGCAGCAGCGCGCCGAGCGCCGCGAGGACGGCCTCGGCCGCGTCGGGGCCCCGCGCGTGGCGCGCGACGCTCGGGTCCTCGGCGGACCGCTTCGACCCGTGCGCCGCGCGGCAGGGCCGGAGCACGGACCGCGCGAGTTGGGACGTGCCCGCGCAGCACAGGCCGCCCTCGTCGTTCTCCGTCCAGGTGCGCCCGTGGTCGTCGCCGCGCGGCGTCTCGGCGCGCCAGCCCGGCGGCAGGTGGACCTCGTACTCCGCGTATAATTCCACGCCCGGCGGGAAGCCTACGAGACTCACGAGCTCCATCGACACGCCGAAGCCCCTGCATTGGGGAGGAGGCGGCACGAGGGGCGGGATGATGGGGTCCCTATCCCTGCGCTCCTCCATCCGTTGGACCTCCTCCTTGAGCTCCTCCTCGAGCAGCTGGACCAGCTCCTCGTCGGTCGGCGCCGACGCGTTCTCGACGACGTATTCAAAAACGCGCCCCGCCGGCGTGGCGATGCGCGACGTGAGTAATGGAGCGCCGTTGCCCACGTAAAAATCATCTTTATCGTCGCCGCCGTCCGAGCCGTCGAAGACCATGCCCACGAATCTCGGATCGGGACCGGCGAAGGCCGGCGTCACCTCGAGCCGCCCGTTCGTGAAGTGCTCCAGCTTGCAGAGCACGCCCTCGAAGCCCCGGGCCGCATCCGTAGAATCCTCGGGCTTCGCGCAGCCCTCGAACGCGTCGACGTCGACGTCCGCGCCCAGCATGATGTAGTAGCACGTCCCGGGGTCGCCGCCCGTCCGCCGGTCGGCGACGGTCATCTTCTTTCTTTCCTTCGACTTGCCGAAGCCCGCCTTGCGCGCGTGTTGTAGCGGCGCGCGCGACGCCGCGAGCGCGTGCGGCACGAGCGGCGCCGCGGCGCCCGTCGCGTCCCGCACCAAACTCCGCTCCTCCGTCAGGGTGTAGCCCTCGGCGGCGGCGTAGGCGAAGACGCGGTGCTGCCTTTCTTTGAGGTGCTCGAGGACCTGCTCCTTCGCGTCGTCGTCGCCGTCGTCCTTGCCCTTCTTCTTCTTCTTGGTGGGCGCGAGGCTTCGTTCCCCCAACGCGTGGCGCGGGCCCGGCACGCGCTCCTGCCACCGCAGCTCGTAGGTGTAGACGCGGCCCGTCGCGTCATGGTCGTCCTGGGTTTGTTTGTCCCTGGCCGCGAGGCGCACGTCCTGGATGAGGCGCAGGCGGACGCGCAGGCGCAGGCGGTTCAGCGGGTCCACCACGCGGTAGCTGCCCGACATGGTTTTTGCCTAGCCGGGCTGCCCGTGCGCGGCGCGCCGGCAGCCACCCGGTACCCGCCCAAAATTGGAACCCTGCCCGGCGCCCGCGACCCCCGACGACACCCTTGGGCGGCGATGACGACGACTCCAGGGAGGACTGGTCTCGAAAGGAAAGTCCGCCTAAAATCGTCTAGAGTGTCTCTCGCTATCGGGTGCGCCCGAGTGTTTTTGGGCTATAGCCGCCAGCGATTCTTGGCCGAAAGCTGAGCTCGGTCTGCCGCAGATTCGCCCACACTAGTCGTATTGCCTTCAGAGCGCGAGCGCCTGGCCCTTTACAAAGAGCTTTTGGGGTAAGCACAAGCGCCGCGCGACATGGACGCCTACAAGAACGTGGTCCGCGGCGGCGGCCTGAAGCTCAAGGGCGGCAAGAAGAAGAAAAACAAGAAGCGCGGCCTCGACGCGGCCGCGCTCGTCGAGCTCGCGCCCGCGGCGCCCGCCGCGGCCGCCGCGCCCGCGGCCGCCGCGCGGGACGACGGCCTGACGGAGACCGAGCGCGCACACAAGCGGCGCCTCGTGGCCCGGCGGAAGGAGGCCGCCGCGAGCGGCGCGGCGAAGTCGCACCGCGAGCGCGTCGACGACCTCAACGAAAAATTGTCGACAATGACGGAGCACAACGACATCCCGCGCATCTCCGCCGCCGGCAACGGCTAGTCTTTCGCCCGCCTGCCTGTCCCTGCTGTTGTGTACACCGCCGCCGCCTTCAGGAGTCTCTCGTGACGACCTCCTTGGGGAGAGCGCCGTACTATAACTATCCCGTCGACGGGATATGATTAACTTAACTGAGAAAATTACTCGTCCTCCTCGGGGATGTAGACCGTGGAGCACTCGGGCCGCGACCCGATGTCGCGGAGCATGTCGAAGTACTGCGTGATCAGCAGCAGGTCCACGACGTCCTTGGGCGACGTGCCCGTGATGTTCGACGTGAACCCCGCGATGCTGCCCTTGAGGCCGTCCACGATAGCTTTTCTCTGCCGCGCGACGCCGACGCCCGACAAATACTTCGACTCGGCCTCGGCCTCGGCGGACTTGACCACCAGAACCTTGTCGCCCTCGGCCTTCTCGGCCGACGCCTCTTTCAAGCGCTTCGACGCGTTGATCTCGTTCATCGCCGCGCGGACGCGCGAGTCCGGCGTCATGTCCGTGACCAGCGCGTTCACGATGAGGTAGCCGAAGCGGTGCATCGTCGCGGACAGCGACTTCTTGATGGCGACGGCGATCTCTTCTTTCGACTCGAAGGCCCTATCCAACGTATTCCGCGGCAGCGTCGAGCGCACGACGTCGTACACGTAGGCCGTGATCTGGCGCCGCGGGTTCGTGAGCTCGTAGAACGCCTCGCGCACTTTCTCCTGGAGCACGTTGTACTGGATCGCGACGATGACCTCGATGAACACGTTGTCCAGGGTCTTCGTCTCGCACTTGACCTCGAGCTGCTGCACTTTCAGGGAGAGCGTGCCGGCGACCTGGTACACGGGCCACAGCACGAAGTTCATGCCCGGGCCCAGCGTGTGGCTGAAGCCGCCCCACCTCTCCACGACGGCGGCGTCGCTCTGCTGGACGCACTCGATGCAGGCGCAGCCGGACATGGTTTAGTCGGGGGCGCCCCCGGCTGCAGTGCTGTCCTGCTCCTTGGTTGGCTTGGGCTGGGGCGTCGCGCGCGGGGCTGCGTTCGTGGCTTCGCGCCCGGCCGGTCGGTCCCGCCGCGTGGCTTCTTGCGCCCGACCCGGGTTCGCGCGCGCCGGCCGGGAATTAAGGATGGCGCCGGCCCGCGCCCCGCACTCCTGCCGGCCGCCTGGTTTTTGCCCGACTCTCTTTGGACGGGTGGGCGGTGTTCTTTTTCCGTAGAGACGATCCGGCAGGGGTTAGTTGTCTTGAGTCTAGTGTCTATCATCTAGCTCTAAGGCTTGGGCCCCCGCTGTGCTTTGCGAGACATAGCATTTGGTACCGCAGAAGTCATCGGCAGAAGTCATCTGCGCGTCGCGTGCGCATTCGTGCGTTGCGAGCGAGCGAAACGGCCCTCGGTGCACTGATTTCTAGGTAGCGGCACCCAGGGTCAGCAAGCAGCGGTGCGCCCGGAGCGGTGCAGGACGCAGCGGTGCGCCTCCGCGGCGCGTGGCACGGCGACCGTAGGCTGCGCGACGCGAAAAAACAGCGTGACGCGCGGCCGCGCCCGACGCGCGGGGCGCGGCGCGAGAGCGGCCGGAGCCGCGCGAGCGAGCCGCCGCTCAGGCGGCCGCGCGCGCCATGCAGTTCTGCCCGCACGACGGGACGTTGCTGCAGGTGCACGTCGAGGACAAGGGCACGCCCGTCGCGCGGCTCCAGTTCTTCTGCCCGCTCTGCCCGTACGTGCACCGGCCGCGGCGGAAGCGCAAGGTCGACGTGCCGACGCGGAAGAAGGCCGTGGAGGACATCATCGGCGCCGACGACGACGGCCAGGACCGCACGAGCGTGCGGTGCCCGGCCTGCGGCCACGGCGAGGCGTTCTTCAAGCAGCTGCAGATCCGGTCCGCCGACGAGCCCATGACGATCTTCTACCGGTGCTGCGACAAGAAATGCGGCCACCGGTGGAACGAGTAATGTAATTTATTTCTAAGCTGGGACGGCGCGCACCCAGCTGTAGGCCTCCGCGTAGGGCATGCATCCCTGCTTGGGACAAGAAGACAGGGTATTTTCCGCTCTCACCTGAATTCTAGTGCCTCACACCACTAGTCACTAGTTAAAGCCCTTTTTCATCCGACACAGACAGTGGCATACCGCGCTCGCGCTCCGGAACCGCATGCAGGAGGCGTTCGGCGTCACGCACGCCCTCGCGCCACCGCGGCAGGTGCCGCCTGGCGGCGCCGAGGGCTGGCGCCTCCAGCACGGCGAGCACCTGCTGATTCGCGATGCGGCGGAAAATCTAGTCGCGAGCATCGCGCTCGACAGGCCGCAACACGAGAGTCACGACGAAATTTAATTAACAACCACAAATATTAGGCAGCAGGGGGCACCTCCCGCTCCGGCGCGCTACTACTACTACCGCCCGCCGCGAAGGCCGCCGGGGAGAGCGTCAGCGGCGGCGCGTAGCCCGCGACGAGCGCCTTGAGCCGCCGCTTCTCCATCGCCGCCGCGTCCTCCGCCGCCACGCCGCCGTCGTCCGCCGCGAGGAGCCCGACGAGCTCCTCGTCGCCCTCGTCCTCGTCCTTTTGTAAATCGGGCAGCCGGTGCGAGAGCGCCCACGCGAGGAGCGCCAGGGCCGCGCACGCCAGGTAGGGCAGGCCCGGCAGGGCCGTCCGCTCGAACTCGACCATGACCAGGCCAAAACCGAGGGGCCCGACGCCCTCCGTGAGGGCCTTGACGCCGTTCAGCGCGCCGAGGGCCTCGCCCACCTCCGTCGCCTCCGCGCGCCGCGCGACGAGGGCCGAGAGCGCGGGATATACGAGGTTAGAAACTAATGAAAGCGCCACCGAGGCGAAGAGCGGTTCTGGTGACGTCGCGCCCGCCACGATGCAACATTGCGCCGCGAACGCCAGCAGACCCAAACGCGCCGTCGGGAGCTCGCCCAATAGAGGCACGGCGTACCTCACAATCACGGATTCGGCCACCATGGTGCACAGCCCGTAGAGACTTAGTAAGTAGCCCACCTGCACCGTACTCAATCCGAACACGCGCACCGCGTACACTACTAATGTTGTCACTAGGGCCCAGACACCCGAATAGTAGCACAACACGACGCCCGCGACGCGTCGCAGGTACAAGTCCTTCTCTAGTAATTGGAACGTCCGCCGCGGGTCCCACATAGGTTTGTGATGTCTCTTCGCAGGGGGCAGGCTCTCGGGCAGCGCGGCCCCGACCAGAAATGTGTCGAACAACGCGATAGCTAGAGCCACGAGGAAGACGCGCCGGTCGCCGACGCGTCTTGATAGTAACGCGCCAAGGGGCGGCCCGACGGTGAACGAGAGGCCCAGGGTCGCCAAGGCCGACCCGTAGGCCGCCGCTCGGTCCGACGGCGGCGTGACGTCCGATATGTAGGCGAAGACGAGCGTGAACGTCGCCGCGGCCGCGCCCGACGCCGCCAAGGCGACGATGTAGATGATCAAGTTGTCCGTGAAAGCCAGGACCCAGCAGGGCGCCGTCGTTCCTAGTATCGTGAACAGCAGGCAGGGTCGTCTTCCCGTAGAATCGCTCAGCCGCCCCATCATGGGGCATGCTAAAAAAGCCAAAAAACCTTTCGCGGTCTCGCCCGCGCCGAGCCACACGTAGACGTTATCGCCGAAGAAGGCGTTCAGCCTCTCCGGAAGTAATGATTTGGTGATGGCAATCGCCAAAAACTCGAGGAAGAGCACGGGCAGGATCCAGGAGAGGTGCGCCTCGTCGGCGGCCCGCGCGGGCGGCATTTTTTGGCCGGGCGCCCCTTAGTTTTTTTGGTGGACGTCGCAGCGATAAGAATAGATCACCGCCCTGCGGATGGCCGTCCGTCGTTGCGCCATCGGCGCGTCGGCCCGCTGTAGCCTAGCCCGATGGCGTGGGCGTGGGGCATTTAGACGCGTCGCAGGATGCAGCACCGCAGCGCTGTGTTGAAAGGGGTCACCGAGGAACCTCTGACGTGCACTGACGTGCACAGGGGACGACGAGGTTCGTCGCCGTGCTTGCTAGTGTCTTACACGCTATCCCGTCACACGTACGCAGCAGCGGCCCAGGAACGAGCAGTTGCAAGCCCGTTGACACGCAATTAGAGCAGCCTTGCAACGTCCCGGCCCAGCGCTGCCACGGGGCGCCGCACGTCGCGCCCGGCGCCTCCCGGCGAGCTTCACCCATAGCAGAGGACTTGGCCTTGCACCATGGTCGCGACGCGGCGCAGCAGCGCCTCTGGTAAAGCCGCGCCCGAAAAGCCGCCGCGGCCGCCGCCGGCCGTGACGCAGCCGGGCTTCTGGCGGTCCTTTGCCACAAGAGCAAAAGCGGCGCTCGCGATGATGGTCTGCTTCTTATGTATCCTGTGGGCGGGCCACTTTTATGTGTGGTTATTGATATTGATGCTCCAAGTTTTGAGTTTCCGGGAATTACTTAATGTGAGGTACCAGGACTACAAGAAGGACACCGAGAAGGCGATGCCCTTGTTTCGTACCTTACAGTGGGGCTGGTTCTACGCGGCCCAGTTTTATGTTTATGCGGACTTTGTGCATGAGTTTGCCCTCCAGAACCACACGCAGCATAAACTCACGCAGCCCTTCTCGCGGTACTGGGAGGCGATCTCGTTCTTCCTATATTGTGTGGTTTTCACCTTATCGGTCTACACGCTGCGGGTGGATGCTGTCAGATATCAGGTCGGTCAATTAAGCTGGACCATCGTGACGCTGTGTATCGTCGTGGGGCAGATGAAGTTCGTCGCGCACAACATCTTCGAGGGGCTCTTTTGGTTCTTCTTCCCCGTCTGGCTCGTCGTGCACAACGACTGCTGGGCCTATGCCTGGGGGGCGTTACTGGGGAGGCGGTTCATCACGCAGCCGTTCTTCTCGCTCTCGCCGAAGAAAACGTGGGAGGGCTTCGTGGGCGCGCTGGTGTCGACGATCGTCGTCGCGTTCTACACGGCGCCCCTCTTCGCGAGGAGCAGGTGGCTGAGCTGCCCGGCCACGTCCCTGACGTTACGGTTCCACGAGCCGCTCGCGTGCGAGCCCGCGGCCGTGTTCCGGACGCGGAGCGAGATGAAGCTCGGTTTCGTCACGTTACGTGACGTGAGCCCGATCCAGCTCCACGCCGTGGTCTTCGGGCTGTTCGCGTCGGTCGTCGCGCCGTTCGGCGGCTTCCTCGCGTCGGCGATCAAGCGCGCGTACGAGGTGAAGGACTTCGACTCGCTGATCCCGGGCCACGGCGGCGTCACGGATCGCGTGGACTGCGAGTTCATCATGGCGCTCTTCGTCTACGTCTACCACAAGACGTTCATCGCCGAGCCCGAGGGCTGGCGCGCGCTCGCGGCGGCGGCCGCGCGGCTCCCCGAGGGCGACAGGAGGTTATTGGCGGGGGCGATATGCTAACTAGGTCCGAATATTTTATCCTGCCGCGTTGAGACCGCCTACGAGACGGGTTTCAAGTTTTCAGCCTCTCACAATGATCTCTCTGATTCTCTCACATCATGAGTCAGGACTTACCCAGCACGAAGTCCGTCTCGCCGGCGAGCGCGCGCTCGAGGCACTCGCCCGCGGTCCCCGCGGCCATGCGCTCGCGCACCGCGTCCGTCCGGCAGGCCGCGACCGCGCGCCGCTTCCGGGCCTTCGCCGACTCCGGCTGGCTCGCGTCGACGTTGCCCGCGCCGCGCGCGGCGTTCAGGATGTCGTCGCCGGACATCTTCGACGCCTTGGCGGCGCGCTGGGCCCAGGCATCCTGCCAGCTGCCGGCCTCCTTCGCCTCGTCGAAGTACTCGCCGTCGGCGTTCAGGACCGTCTTCTTCTTGAGGCCGGCCGCCGCGAGGAACTCGTCGCTGCCGGGGACGACCTCGTTCTTCGCCTCCTCGGCGTGTGTTTTGCGCGGCAGGATCATCAATGATGCCGCGAGCGCCGCGCGGCGGCCGACGGCCGCGGGCGCGGGCGCCGGCCGGCACGGCGCGGGCGCCGGCCGGCGCGGCGTGGGCGCCGGCCGGCAAGGCGCGTGCCGCAAGGCTTGCACCGCGGCAAGGGCGAGCAGTAGACGGGTCGGCATTGCTGCGTATACTTGCTAGCGGCTACGTGCGTGACGTGCAAGCAGTCGTTGATGCTTTCTGACGCTGAGCACCGAGGTTGAGGCAAAATGCTCTCACTGCTGTAGGTTGTCTCTGAACCGCGCTAAGCGTGCAATTTTTTCCAATGCGTACGGATACACCGTGTGCCAGGCTCTCCTCGCTAAGTTTTCTGTGCAAACAGCGGAGCCAGGCGGGCCGTATGGCACGAGTGCAGCAAACACTGCGCAACTGGCGGGTTTTCGTCAATTTTTTTTTGGGTGGTGCTGCTCGCATATATACGCATGCACAGCTCTGTGGACAATTGCAAAATGCCACGATAAATACGCGAAGCATCCGCAAGTCGCGGCGGCCATGAGGCGGAGCACCTCTTTGGCCGTGCTGCTCGGCGCGGCCGCCGCTGCGGCCAGCAGCAAGAAGAAGCAAAAAAAGAAGCCCGTCAACGTGCTCTGGCTGCTCGTCGACGACCTGCGGCCGCAGCTCGGCGCCTACGGCCAGCGCGAGACGCAGACGCCGCGCCTCGACGCGCTCGCGCGCGAGGGCGTGGTCTTCGAGCGGGCCTACTGCCAGCTGAGCGTCTGCGCGCCGTCGCGCAACTCGTTCATGACGGGCCGGCGGCCCGACTCGTTGAGAGTGTACAACTTCGTGGACCACTTCCGGTCGACGACGCCTGACGCGATCGCGCTGCCCGAGTTCTTCCGGAGCAAGGGCTACGTGACGCTGGGCGCGGGCAAGACCTACCAGCCGGGCAAGCCGCCGATGTACGACGAAGGAAGGAGCTGGTCGGGCGAGATGCCCTATTTACATTTAACGAAGAACCTGACGCGGTGCGCGGAGCGCCATCCTCAATCAAACAAGTTCCTGGACGTCTGCCCGACGGAGGGTCCCGACGTGGACTTCATGGACCGGCGGACGGCGGATTATAGTATCGAGGCCATGTCAATTGCCCGAACAAAAAAAAAACCGTTCTTCGTCGCGTGTGGCCTCTACCGGCCGCACCTGCGCTGGCACGTCCCCAAAAGATTTTACGACTTGTACGGAACGTCGAACATAAGAGCACCTAGAAGAACGAGGCAGGTGCCCGTGGACATGCCAGACGTCGCGTGGGCGAACGAAGGGTGCCACACGATGACCACCCGTGAATACGGGACGAAGAAGGTTATGATCAATCGGCCTCTGCCTGTCCAAATGCAGCGGGACTTGGTGCGCGGGTACATGGCGTGCGTGTCGTGGGTCGACCAGTTGTCGGGGGAAGTGTTGGACGCGCTCGACGCTCGTGGAGGGAAGGAGGATACAATTGTGTTGTTGAGCTCGGACCACGGCTTCCATCTGGGCGAGCAGGCGTCCTGGACGAAGCATACGTTATTTGAACATTCGGCGCGCGTGCCGTTCGTGATCCGGGCGCCGGGTATCAAACCGGGACGGACTCGAGCCCCCGTTGAGTTAATTGACATCTACCGGACGCTCGCCGACCTGGCGCACTTGTCAAAGGTCCCGGAGGACGTCCAGGGGTCTTCCCTGGTGCCCGTCCTCCGCGATACTCGCTCGCAAATACGAAATTTCAGCCTGACGCAGTACCCGCGCTGCCCGCGGGACTGGAGCAAGATGTGGGACGCGAACTGCAAGCGCCTGAGCGCCAAGGATATACCGGTGATGGGCTACTCGCTGCGTGTCCCCGGCTGGCGGTTCACGGAGTGGTACCGCTGGGAGCGCGACCCGGGCGCGCCTATTTTTGAGGGCGGGCCGCCGCGCGGCCGCGTCTCTACACCGATCGCGACGGAGCTCTACGCGCTCCCCGAGACCATCGAGGACGACTTCGACGCGTTCGAGCGCCGGAACGTCGCCGCGCACGCGGACGCGGCCTGCGCGCTGCGGGGCCTGCGGGAGGCGCTCCTAGAGCTGCTCGCCTGCCAGCACGGCGCGTCCGCGCGCGACCGCGCGGCGTGCGACTCCGGCGTGACGGCGCGCGTGAACGCGGCGGCGCCGTGCGTCGGCGAGCGCGCGCGCGCCGCGCTGTTTGCGAGGGGTGAGTAGTGTTTCTGCCACGTTCATTCACTGAGGGAGGGGGACGTTCATTCATGTTTCGTTACTTCTACTCGGTCGGCCGCCAGAAGCCGAGAACCTGCCGCGCGAGCTCATCGGGGAGGGCGAGCGATCCGGCACCGAGGAGCCACTTTAACCACGGCGCCGTCCGCGACGTTGCCTTCGCCCGGCGGCGAGAGACGAGAGCGCGGAGAACGAAAAGCTCATTTCGCTGCGACCTTGCATACTGCGCCCTGGCATACGTCTGTTTCGCATACACCTTGATGATGAAACCGTGGTTTTCCCTGCCGATGCTGCTCACGGTGAAGCGAAGTTGGTGGAATACTACGGTTTCATCGACGCTATAATTATCTTTGCCCATACACGTCCACTCCTTTGCATAAAGGCGCCACTCCTTTGCATTATTTAGGCCATATTCAAGCGGCCAGAGCGGGCGACGGGCACACCAGGCGTGGAAGTCGACACTCGCTCCATTTTCATCCTCAAATGTGATCGTCAAATTATTGTGAAAAGGGTAACTAAATGTTCTACTAAAACTTACCACGACACCGGACTCGCCAAGGAGGACCGCCCTCCGATGTTGGCTCAGTGTGAAATGGGAGCAGTTATCAATCAAATGCATCTTTGAGACCTTGTTGACATCATCTTCGGTCTGCGCGTCCAGCCGCCATCTGTACAGAACGGGTTCGGTCGGATTAATCGCGAGCGAACGCCGCACTCGCGAGACGCCGCATCGTGAACTAGCGATGTAAGACACTAGAAAGCACAAAAGTAATCGCGGCGAGGGTGGAGCTGGTCCATGCTGCAGCATCGGCAGTGTTTTATTTGCAATAGTAGTCCACATACAATTGTTCGCTGTGGCTTGCGTTTGCGCACGAGAGCTTGATAAGGCAATATTATTGTCCTCTGCTGAGCCACGATGGACGGCCCTCCGCAGCCGAGCTACGAGATGCCGCCGCCGCGCTCGCCCGGTGGGCGCGACCCCGCCGGCGGCCCGCCGCCGCAGCCGAGCTACGAGATGCCGCCGCCGCGCTCGCCCGGCGGTCGGCGCGACCCCGCCGGCGGCCCGCCGCCGCAGCCGAGCTACGAGATGCCGCCGCCGCGGCCGAGCTACGACGAGGCGCCGCGCTCGCCCCCGCGCGAGGCGCCGCCGCGCTACGCGACGTTCGCCTCGCCGGTGAAGGACGAGCCGGCCGCCGACGAGCCCGCCGCGCCGCCGCGGCCGAGCTACGACGCGTCGGACGCCGCGGGGCCGCCGCGCTCCCCGGGCGGCCGGCCCGAGCCCGCGGACGCGCCGCCGCAGCCGACCTACGCGGCGTTCGGCGCGCCGGCGGCCGACGCGCCGGCGCCCTTCGCGCCTGCGGCGCCGGCCGACGCGCCCTACCCGGGCGCCGCCGACGAGCCCGCCGGCGCGTACGGCGACGCCGCCGTGGACCGCCTCATCGCGCAGCGGCGCGCGCAGCTCGAGTCGCTGCGCGCGCGGAACCGCGCAATGATGCAGTCGCTCGTGGCCGCGTCGCCGCAGCGCCCGGCGCCGCCGCGGTCGCCGCCGCGGCTCGAGGCCGCGCCGCCGGACGCGCCGAACGGCGCGCCGCCGCCCGCGGCCGCCGCCGGCGGCACGGAGCACAAGTTCGGCGAGGTCGGGACCGTGGCCGCCGTCGAGCGGACGTACCTCATCGCGTTCCAGCGCCAGGGCGCGCGCCACGCCGAGGCCCTGGCCGAGGTCCGGGCCATCGCGGCGCGGTCGGAGTCGCGCTGGGCCAAGATTCGCTTCGGCGTCGTGCTCGCCGCCGTCGCCGTCGCCGCCTGGGCGACGCGCGGCGAATACGACCGGCTGTACCCGTGCCGCTGCCCCGCGCCGCCGGCCGCGGCGGCGAGCGCGGCCGCCGCCGAGCCGGCGCCGCCCGTCGACGTCGACGAGGCGCCGCCGCCGCCGCCGCCGCCCGCCGACGACCCGGTGCCCGAGTGGGAGGAACCGGAACCGGAGCCCGAGCCCGAGCCCGAGCCGGAGCCCGCCGAGGACGCGACGCCGGCGCCGCCGCCGCGCCGGTCGTGGTGGGGCGGCCGCGCGGACCCGAGCAAGGAGGCCGCGGCCGAGGCCGCCCGCCAGGCGGAGGCCGACCGGGCGGCCGCGGAGGAGGCAGCGCGCCTCGATGCCGAGCGCTTGGAAGCGGAGCGCCTCGAGGCCGAGCGGCTCGAGGCCGAGCGCTTGGAAGCGGAACGGCTCGAAGCTGAGAGACTAGAAGCGGAGCGGCTGGAAGCGGAGCGCCTCGCCGCCGAGAAGGCCGAGCTCGAGCGCCTGGAGGCTGAAAGGTTGGAAGCTGAACGCCTCGAGGCCGAGCGCGTCGATGCCGAGCGATTAGCCGCCGATCAGGCGGCGGCGGCGGCGGAGGAGGCGGCGCGCGCCGAGGCCGCCGCGGCGGCCGAGGCCGAAGCCGCTGCTGCTGCCGAGGCCGAAGCGGCCGCCGCGGCACCGGCACCGGAACCGGACCGGCCGGTGCCCGGCGACGGCCCCGAGCCCGCCGCGCCGGAGCCCGAGCAGCCGGAGCCCGTCGACGAGCCCGTCGCGCCGGAGCCAGAACCCGTCGACGAGGCGGCGCCTCCGGAGCCCGAGACCGACGCCGTGCGCACGCCGGCCGCCGAGGCCGCGGCGAAGGCGGCGAAGATGAAGGAGCGCGCAGCGGCCGTCGCCGCGCGGCGCGAGGCCGACCAGCGCGCGCGGGCGGACGCGGCGCTGCGCGACGCCGCGGAGCGCGAGCGGCGGCGCGCCAAGGGCGTCGGCGGGCCGCCGGGCGGCGCGCCAGTGCCCGAGCCGCCGTCGGAGGAGGAGGAGGAGGAGCCGCCCCTCGAGCCGCCGGGCCCCGCGCCGCGGCCCGCTCCCGGCGACGAGCTGTGAGTAGGTTCCCTAGTTATGTCTCTGATACACTTACACAGTGTCGCTATCTCTCACCCGCCGGTAAATGTCACCGGGATCATGGCGTCGCGGTCGATCTGCAGGGGCAAGGCCTTCTTCTTGTACGTGGCAAACTTCTTGCGGTTGCGCATCAGCTTTTTCTTGTCGCCGATCAGATAGTTCCGGCCCCATCCAAAGTAGGGCGTTTCGTGGGTGCAGGGCACCTCAAAGCCCGAGAGCCGACCTTTTATCTCCAGCTCCTGGCCGTGCAGGTCTAACTTAAGGACGACCTGCGGGATGATCAAGCGGCGTTTTTCCCACTTGTCTCGACCGTGGTCGCTCGTGCAATAGTTCTCCCGTTTATCCCAGTCCCCCCACGGAGCATCGACCTTCTCCATGGAGATCTCCATCCTTCGCAGAACAGCACTCCCTTGACTCGCGTCGCGCTCGTCGCCGACGCCGATCATGAGGGCTATGCGGCGGAATAACTCCGGTGGCAGACCCACGCCGCAGAACCGTCCGAGAATCGATTGCTCGGGCACCTCGGCGCGCCCCGCTGCCACGAGCGCGCGCATCGCGCAAAGCGCGTAGATCGTTGGCGCCACCGACGTCCGGCGACAGGCGGCCGCCTGCGCCGTGAACGCCGCGCTGCTCGCCGCGAGGGCCGCGGTCGCGAGTGCGGTGTTCCACCCCTCCTCGTCCCGCAGCTCTTCGGCGGCGCGCCGGTCTCGCTCCGCCGCCCGTTCGAGGACTTTCGCCGTCGCGCCCGGCCCCATGCCGCGCCCGTTCCCATGCCCGTCGCCGGAGGGAAGCAGCGGAAGCGCGCCGTCGGCCGTCAGCACGAACCCTCCGTGAAATTCGACACAGGAGCGCCTGTCTCCGTAGGGAGTTTCATTATACAAGCTGCCGCGGGCCCGCTCGTGCGCGAGTTCCGCCACGGAGTAGGCGAGCGGCACGACGCGGAACACCTTGCGCGCGGGCTCCGCGCGTCGCGTCATCTCCGAACAACCCACCTGCTCATCCCAGCGGGGCATGAGTTTGTCCAAAAAGTCCTCGACGCCGCGAACCCACTTCGTGCACGTCACGTCCTCGACGTCGACGAACCACTCGCGCTGCACGAGCGCGTCGGCGAAATCCTTCCGCAGGTTCTGGATCTCGTTGCAGTATTCGCCTGGCGTGTCGAATCCGGAATCCCACGAGCAGGCCGCCTCGTGGAACTCGAGGCCGGTCGTGGCGCGCGCGATCAGCTCCTCGTGCGCCGTCCGCCGCTCCCAGGCGAAAATCGGCTGCGTCGCGAATTCCGGACCCTGTTGTTCTTCGTCGTGCATGCCATCAGGAACGTATCCCAGGGCGGAGCGCCATGCGCAGTCGGCGAAGGGGATGTGCGTGACGAGGCCCCCTCCTATATGGTGGGGGACCGACTCTTCGCCTTCGAATTCCGCTCTCACGTAGTTGAGCTTCTGGTCGAAGACGCGACTGAGACCTTCCGCCGCCTCGACGGGTTGCAGCAGGCGGCGCGCGGCACCGAACGCGTCGGCGTGGATCGCCGCGGCCGAGAACATGCGGGCCCAGCTCTTGCTCACGAGCCGCAGCGGCGCTTGCGCGATCGCTTGCGCGAGCGGACCGGCGGTTTCGGCCGCGCCCTCCGCCAACGCGCCGTCTTCCACCTCGCTCGTTCCGGCCGAACCGGCGAACAAGCGCAGGCGGCGCAGGAACGCCGCGTCTTCCATCGGCCGCGCGGCGACCGTGGCGGCGCGTTTCTGGCTCGGTTCTAGCATGAAGTACGTGCGCGGCGTCGTGACAGCCCACTGCAGCGGCGTTTCGCATTGCTGCGTCTCTTCACTTGCTTCATTTTGTAGAAGGCACACGCGCTTCAGTCCGTGGGCACCGTCGCGCGAGGCGACTCTCTCCAGCTCCGCCTTGTATTCGAGAGCCATAGTTCACCTCGATAAAACAGTGAGGCTGGTTTTGGCAATCAAACAAAGGCTCTCCGCTTACGCTCTCGACTGGTAACCGCGAGCTCGGGGGCCGCTTGAGCAAAGGCTCCCTCTCCCAGGTCCCGCTGCTTACGCAACCCGCACGCTAGGCTCCGCAGCAGCTCGAGGCTAGCGGCTGTAAGACACTAGCAAGCAGAGAAACATACGACCCATCAGCCACCGGACAACCACTCTTAGAAACAAACTAGGACAGGTCCTGGAGGCTCGGCGCGGCCCGCACGACCGCCGCCTCGGCGTCGGACGCGTCGCAGCTCGCGCGGCACGAGCAGACGAGGACGGTGTGGACGTCGAGCGCGTCGTGCCTGAGCACGTACGCGAGCGTCGGCATGAGCTGCAGCTCGAAGTCGCGCGGCGCGCCGCACGCGCACGGCGGCGCGGCCGGCGGGCCGTCGGCCGCGGGCCAGAGCGGCGCCGCGCCGTAGGCGTAGCGGACGACCTGGTCCGGGCACCGCGCGAGGCGGCGCGCGAACCTGTCGTCCGCGCCTGCGGCCTCGTAGCCGTCGCCGTCGGCGGCCGGGCCCGGCGGCGCGCCCCCGTCGAGCGCGGCGCGGAGCGCCGCGGCGTCGTCGCCCTCGGCGAGGTACGCGGCGAGGCGGCGGCGCATCGCCGCGTCGTCGCCGCCCGCGTCGTCGCCGTCGTCGTCCGAGTCGACGGCCGCCACCTCGGGCTCCGCGACCCAGTCCAGCGCCACGCGCGGGAGGACCGGGCCCGCCGCCGCCGGTTCCGGTTCCCGTTCTGGCGGTGGCGGCGGCGGCGCCGGTCGTCGCGGGGCGGGCGGCGCGGCGGCGCCGGCCTCGTGGCTGCGGAGGAGCGCCTCCAGGTCCGCCTCGTCGTCGTCCTCGTCGTCGTCCCAGGTCCAGGCGTCGGCCGCGGGCGCCGGTGCTGCGGTCGCCGCCGCCGGCTCGATAGAAAGCGCCTCGACGGAAAGCGCATCGACAGCGGCGGCCTGCGTACGCCGCACGCACCACGCGCGCGCGTCGCCGGCGCACGGCGGGCAGCCGAAGACGTGCAGCGCCCGCGCGCGGCCGTCGACCGGCGCCGAGATCTGCGCGACGAGCGGGAGCGGCGCCGCGCAGGCGCCGCACGTCGGCGGCGGCCGCTCCCGCCCGTCCAGGTAGCGCGGCCGCCCGCCGAGCCACGAGTCCGCGGGGCCGTCGCCGCCGCGGCCGGTCGGCACGGCGAGGCTGCACATTACGATTTGGCACCGATGATTGATCGATGCGAGAATGCAGCTGCACCTGGCAGCCTGCAGTGCTGAAAGTCTAAACTCGACGAAGTAAGCCGCGTTGCAGCTGCGAAGTAAGCCGCGTTGCAGCTGGCTTGCAGTAATGTAGTCGCAAAAATATACCGATGAACTCTGTCGATGCCACTAAGTGAGGCGCCGACCACGGTACCAGCCAAGGTACCTACCCTATAAGTATAGTACCTCTTGACAGAACCCGTTTTAATATTTTTATGAATTCAAGCTCGGAGATCCGTTCACGGAGCCGTAGCGCGCCCCGGCGAGGACCTCCTAGCGCAACATCATCGTGGGACCCGCGGAGGGAGAGGGGCAGCGCCAAACCAAAGGGCTGCCCAAATCGGTGCAAGCGGTCCGGAGAACACCTCGCACGAGGCAGCCATCGAGCCGTCGCGGCCGGCACGCAAGAGGTCGAGAACGCGGCTCCGCGAGGCAGCCATCAAGCCATCGAGACACAGTAAAAGATGGGCGTGCGCGCCAGCACGCTGACAGGCCGCGCCGTCGTCGACCCTCGCCTCCTACACCTCACCAAATGGAAGGAGAGGCAGGTCGACGACATGCTGATTGCGCACGAGCACGACCTGGGCGGGCGCTTCGCCCTCGGGCCGCGGCACGCGGCGGTTTTATTGGGCATGACGGACGACGAGGCCGCGCCGATCTTCGAGCTCATGGACACGGATCATAATGACCTGGTGGATGCCTTCGAACTCATTGCGACGATCGTGACCTTGAGCGGCTTGACGATCCGACAGAAAATTGATGTGCTACACGCGTTGTTCGATTTCTCGCGGACGGGCGAACTTACGGTAGATGAGCTCACGATCTTCTTCCGGTGCGTGTCGAGCGGCTGTAGTAAGGTCGACGGCAACGTCGTCGCGCCGACCGTCGCGGAATTGGAGAAGACGGCGAAGTGGTGCTTCACGAAGGCGGACCGATCTTTGTCCATGGAGCTCGCGAAGCGGGAATTCGACGAATTTGTGTTTACGGACCCGCGGATCTTGCACTTCCTCGAGTACTTCTCGGGGGACACGCGGCAGGTGCCTCTGTTAACAGGGGCGAAGTGGACCGATAAGGGTTGGCGGCTCTTCGCGGACGCCGGCTCGCCATTAAAGGGCATGCCCTTCGAGGGCGAGTCCTTGCATAGTAAGAGGCCCGACGAGTGCCTGGAGCTGTCTCCTGCACTCTTCGGGGGGACTAGACTGGGCCTCATCCGGCCGGGCCTCGTCCAGGACCGGGGTTTCTTGGGCGCCGTCGCCATCTTGTCGACGGCGCCAAAGCTGATCAAAAACCTCTTCGTGCCGACGGGCCAGGAGGACCCCCACGGGCGCTTCGCGCTGCGGTTTATTATAGGCGGGCGCGAGCGCGTCGTCTGCGTCGACGACCGCCTCGCGTGCTCGTCGCTGAACCGGCCCCTCCTCGCGCGGACGGAGGACCCGGCCGAGAGTCTCTGGCTGCCCCTGCTCGAGAAGGCCTTTTTCAAGCTGCGGGGCTCGGCCGACGCGGCCGCGGCCGCGTCGACGCTCGACTGCCTGCGGGCGCTGACGGGCGACGCCTGGGAGGAATTTGCGGAGCTCCCGGGCGACGCGACGGCGCTCTGGGACCTCCTCAAGGCCTGGACGGCGCGGGGGCGCGCGGGCCTCGCCGCGACGCCGCGGGGCGGGCGGCCGCGCGGCTGCGGCGTCGTCGCCGGGCGCGCCTACGGCGTCCTGAAGGTCGTCGAGGCGGGGCCGAAGCGCGTGCGTCTGGTCCAGTTTTGTCGGGGCTGGGCGGGGCCGCGGCCCGGCGGGCGATGGTCTTTGGACGACGAAAGGTGGGACGACCCGGTGGTCGCGAAGGAGTGCGGCTTCCGCGCCAAGGACGAGGCCGTCTTCTGGTTGGAGTTGGATGAAGTGCAACAAGTGTTCGACTGCGGCTGGTCCTGCAAGCTCTACGACCCGGAAATGTGGACGACGCAGCGGCGCGCGGCGGCGTTCCCCGATCAAGGGGGCGGCTGCCTCAACCAGACGACCTGGGTCGCGAACCCGCAGTTCTTCCTGGACCTGCCCCACAAGACGCCGGTCCAGCTCACGCTCACGCAGAACGGCACTCATGCGATCGGCCTGTGCGTCGTCCGGCAGGACCGCGGCGACGACGGCGCCGCCGTCGAGAAGGTCGTGGACGTCAAGCAGGACCGCGTCGTGGGCCTGACGGAGCGCTTCGTGAAAGGTCCCGCCGTGGACATGTACCTCGACGATTTAGATGTAGGCGCCTACGCGATCATCCCGATGACGCTGTCTCCGGTCGCGGGCACGGGCGGCGCCGTGGCCGTGTCGACGCGCGCGCGGACGCCGCACACGCTGCGGGGCGAGGAGGAGATCCTGGCGCGGGCCGTGAGCGACGAGGGCACGAGCTCGCACGACACGATTTTACTGGAGGCGCCGCCGGCGCCCGCGCTCCTGGCCGGCGGCGACCAGGAAGCCCAGAGCGTGGCGGCGCTCTACGGGCTCATCGGCGACCTCTGGGTCGAGGCCTTCGGGCTGCAGCTGCGCCGCGACGCGCTCCTCGGCCGCTACAAGAAGCTCTACCGCGCGAAGTGGGAGCAGGCGCAGCGGCGGCTCGCCGCGGGGTAAGTACACGAATTAAATTAGTCCTCGGGCGCGTGGAGCGCCGTGAGCGCGTCGACCTTGGCGAGCGCGTCCATGACGCTGTTCGACGGGCCCGGCGGCGCGTCGTACTCCCAGACCCGGATCCGGTCGAACGTGCCGCGGACGCGCGCGGTGCCGTCGCCCGTGTCGACGACGAGGCCCGTGGTGCCTTTACGCAGCGGCGCGTCGACGCCCCGCAGCTCGCGGCCGCGGAACGCGGTCTCGAGGCCGCCGTCGGCGTGTTGCTTCACGATGAGGCGGCCGGAGACGTCCGCGGGGCCGTCGTACTTGATGTTGCAGGGCAGGCTCTGCACGTGCGCGTGGGTTGCTTCGCTGCCGGTCGTCGTCGTCGTCGCCATGGGTCCGCCGGTCGTCGTCGTCGTCGCCATGGATTTAAACACCGCTCTCCTCCTCCTCCGGACGGATATTGAGCCTCTGTGCTATTTGACCCTCGTCGTTCGAGTGCTATCCACACGTGCGGGCTGTGATGGGTCTCAGTTGTACCCAAGCTTGGCTATGGGTGCAGTTTTTGGGCTGATAAGGCCGCCCGCGCCCACTGCCTGTCTAGTGTCTTACCGCTTAGCTCTGCCGGGCGCGCCTCGATTCTATCCTTTTCGCGCGAGCCGAGGGGCACCGCCGCCAGCGCTCCAAGCCCCCCGTCTGTCTCGTGGCCTGGCGCTGCCGCCCGCGCCAAGCCAGACGCCAGCAATCTAGCAGTGAGGGCCCACTGCGGATTTTGAGTTTGGGTCACTCTCATACGCGCGCGCGGCACTGCGGCGCCGCCCGCGCCACCGCCAGACGCCAGCATCGAGCAGTGCGGGCCCACTGCGGCATTTTAGTGAGCAAGCACCATGTCGACCCGCCGCACGCGCTGCGGCAAGTGCGACGGCTGCCTGGCCGTGGAGTGCCGGAAGTGCAAGCACTGCCTGGACATGAAGAAGAACGGCGGGCCCGGCAACCTGCGGCGGCCCTGCGTCGACCGCGTCTGCCGCGCGATCCAGGCCGCGCCGACGAAGAAGGAGGTCGCCGAGCGGAACAAACCAAAATCAGAGTACGGCACGTACAAGGGCGGCGAGGAGCAGAAGGGCGGCGGCCTCGAGGGCCAGCTCGCGGCCGAGCGGTGCCGCGCCGAGGCGGCGAAGCACGCGAAGGCGCCGCCGCCGCCCCGCGTCATCGGGGGCGAGACGTTTGTGTGCAAGGACTTTATCCGGTTGGCGAAGGCGCTCGAAGTGACGATGCGCGGCGACGGGTCGCTGGACTACGAGGCGGCCTCGGCCATTCTACTAAAGGAGGAGCCGGCGCGCGTGAAGTATATTGAAAAGCTGAAGGAGGAGGTGCGGCTCTGGGACGAGGGCGTGCCCGAGGAGATCGTCCCAGATTGGGTCCCGGAGGCGCGCAAGGCGGCGGACGCCGAGGAGAAGAGACAACAAAGGTGGACGCCCGCGCGGTGCCGCGCGCTCTGGCGGTGGGGCGCCTACGGCTACGACGAGAAGGCCGAGGGCGTGCTCGACCTGGCCGAGAGCGACGACGACATCGTCACGAGCTTTCTGGATCCCTTAACAATGGCTGTCGGCAAGAGGGCGCCCGGCCCGGCGCGCGACGCGGACACGTATTTGGGTGTCGCGGACCCGGACACGCGCGTGCCGCGCGAGATCGACGAAAAGGAGCTCGAGGCGCTTCGGGCCAAGTACCCGGCGCCGCCCAGCCCGCCGCCCGCGCCGCCCGCGCCGCCGCCGGCCCCGGCCGGCTCGTCGTCGTCGTCGTCGTCGTCGGACGAGGGCCCGGCGCCGATGGACGTCGACGAGCCGCCGCCCGCGCCGGCGCCGGCCCCGACGATCCACCGGCCGTCGTCGGACGCCGAAAAGGCCCAGGTCGACAACGACGGGTGGATCGTGAAAGCTTTGTACAAGGAGCAGGAAGATTGGGACGCCCTGCTCACGAAACCGGAGTACGACGAGCTGCGGCGCGGGCGCACCATCGAGCAGCTCGAGGCCGCGATGACGACGTGGATGTGCTACGGGTCTAAGAGGTAGGAGTTTCGTTTTGGGTCGCGACCCGGACCCCCGGGAAGATGGGGGAGACAGCTTATTTCGAGTAGAACGATCGGAGCGCCTTGCGCGCTCCGGAAACTCCAGAAGATGGGGGAAGGGACGACGGGGGAATGGTCAAGAGCCCCTCGCGGCGGTCGGCGACGCCGGAGGTTCGGCAATGGCAAAGGGCAACGACGGGGGGGGGGACTTGGAACTTGGCGACCGGGCCGTTCAGCGGTACTGCGTCGAGCGGCGCCGCAGGCGGCGCTCGAAGTCGGCCGCGTGCCGCACGGCCGGATCCGCGCAGACGAACGCGTCCCCGCCGGCGCGGCCGCGCTCCACGAACCACGAGTAGTAGTTCATCTGGCGCGCGAACGACTCCCACATGGTCTTGCGCCGCGCCGCGGGCGCGGCGCCCGGCGCTGCCTTGAAGAACTTGGGGAGCACGCGCTCGGCGAAGCGGGCGCGGTCCGGGATCACGAGCTTGCGCGCGGTCGGCGAGTAGCTGCAGTAGTCGCCGAAGCCCTCGACGATGCGCCGGAGCTTGCTCGGGAAGATCTGCGCCGGCGTGCTCGGCGGGTCCTCGGGCGAGGCGTCGTACCGCGCCGGGCGCGCCGGCGCCGGCGACAGCGGCCGCGCGCGCTTGCGCGCCGCGCGGACCGGGCGCCGCGCCGCGACGGACGCGGCGGTCGGCGGCGGGAGCGTCGCGGGCGGCGCCGGCGGCGGCGGGGGCGGCGGCCCGGGGAACGTGGCCCGCGGGGCCGCGGCCGCGCCGGGCGGCGGCGGCAGCGCCGGGTCGAGGAGCGAGCCGCGGGCGCGCGTCCGCGGCGCCCGCGCCTGGCGCGGCGCCGCGGCGGCCCGCGCGCGGCGGCGCGTCCTCGGCCGCGGCGTCGAGCTCGGGCAGGAGCGACCGCGCGCCGCCGCCGCGCGTCGCGCCGCCGCGCGGCGGCGCGCGCGGCCCCGGGCGCGGCCCGCCGCGGCGCACCGCCGCGGCCGCGGGCGGCGCCGCCGCGTAGATGTTGAGCGCCGCGGCGGCGAGGTCGGTCGGCGGCGCCGACGCGGCGGCGGGGGCCGCGGCGGCGCGGAGGAAGGCCTCGTCGGCCCAGAGCGGTGCCAGACAGAGCGCCGCGCGCGCGCCGCGCGCGCCCTCGGCGGGCCAGAGCGCGGCGGCCGCCGCCGCCGCCGCGCCGAGGCACGCGTCGAGGGCCGCGCGGAGGTCGTGGTAGCGCGAGACGCGCGTGAGGTGGCGCCAGTTGAGCTCGGCGTCGACGGTCGGCGAACCGGGCCGGACGTCGTCGCCGCGCGCGGGGGCCGCGGCCGCGGCGGGCGCCGCCGCCTCGCGCCGGGCCGCGAGGCGCCGCGCCGCGGCGTCCGCCACGTGGCACGTGCCCTGCGTTTCCTGTAGGCCGGCCTCGCCCGAGACGGCGCCGAAGGCCCTGGAGCGCATGACGTCGCGCAGGACGCGGGCCTCGGGGCCGAGGTCGTCCCAGGTCGCCGCGGACATGGTCTTAGCGTTCTTAAGGGCCTGCGCGGGCGCTGGGGTAGGCTGGCGCCAAAGCTTCAGGGGCTCGCGGCGGACGCCGCGGCGCCGCGGCGGCGGGACTTTGCTTGGGGGCTTTGTGTGGACCCGTGTGGACGCCGCGGACGCGCGAATTCCTCCTCTGTCTGTTTTTTCGGGCGGAGCTAAATGCCAGAGTTAATGCCTCAGCAAATCTGCCTCTGCCTGCCTCTGCCGTTTCTGCCTGTCGCGAACGCCGTGCCGCGAGACATCTAGGAAGCGAAAGTGAAGACCTTTCCGGTTTCCAGTAACTCAGAAAATTTACGCCCCCGCGCCGCCCCCGTCGTCGTCGTCGGCCTCCTTGGCGTCCTCCGTGCCCTGGCGGTCGGGGAAGTCCCAGTCGTCCTCGTACTCGACGTCCCTCCCGATCTGCAAGTTCGTGACGTCGCGGTGCAGCCGGCGCTGCTCCTCGAGCTTGGCCGTGATCTCCGCCTTGATGGGCACGACCTTTGAATACTGGAACTGCGCCGTCGCCCGCAAAAAGGCCGGCCGCCCGCCCTGGCCGCCCGGCCGCGCCAATTCCAGATCTAAGGCTTGCTGCTTCTGATCACCTAACGCGGGCAGCGGCAGCGCCGCGAAGCCCCTTCGCAGCTTCTTGGCGTCGTCCACCACTTCTATCCGCAGCTCCGCCCGCGTCGTGCGCACGGGCGCGACGCTAAAATGCTGGTCGAACACTAAACGCGCGCCGACGTTCAAATCGTCCGCGCCGCCCTCCTCGGCGCGCGGCTGGCGCGCGGGCCGCGAGACCTGGGGCGCGGGCCCCGCCGCCCGTCCGGGCTCCGTGCCGCGGACATGAATTACCAATCGCGTCGACGCCGCGTCGACGGGGTCGCCCGCAGAACCTAAACCCACCACGTCCTGCACCTGCAGGGACACCATGCCCAGGGCCAGGTCCGGGTGCTCCCGCGAGTACGAAACGCCCTCCGTCTCGTTGTAGACTTCTTGCGCCGTCGCGTCCCGGTACTGCTGCCGTAGGTCCCTTAGATCCTTGTCGCATCCCAGCAACTTCCTTCTCAAGTACTCGAGCCGCTTCGCTTCGGGCCGCGCTACTCGTTTAGCGCGTAGCGCGGCGACGCTCAGAGCGTCCGCGTCGACCGCGATCGCGTCTCCGCCCACGTCCAGGTCGTCGTCGAACACCGCGTTCTTGTGCCTCGCGACCACGTGGGCGTTGCGCTTCTTCAGTTCGGCCAGGGGCGTCGGTTCGTCGTCTATGTACGCGTGCACCGCGAGCTTCAGCGCCAGCAGGCACTGCTCCACCACGAAGAAGATGATGACCCGTTGCAGCGAGCTATACGCGTGGAACGACTTCGTCGTGGCCACGATGATGCCCGCGTTACAATAGACCGCCAACAACCCCATGGACTCCATGAGCACGCCCCAGGAACCCACCGATTCCGCGGGCGTCGGGTCCGGCCTCTGGCTCAAAGCGGTTAATTTGTAGGCGTCGACCCTTATTTGCAACAAGACTTCCCCCGCGCCCAGCAAGGGCGTCAAATACAGCCCCAGCGTGAACATGCTCACGAGGCCCATCTGCAGCACCTGCGCGGAGCTCAACATCGAAGAAGCGACCACCCACGCCCATCGTTCCCGGAGACGACGCATGCCGATGACGGGAAGGCGCCTCCGCACGACGGGACGCCGCGGGCGCGCGATCTCCGCGTAGTCGTCGAACATGCCCTCGTACTCCTCGAGTTTCAGTTCGGACTCGAAGCGCGGCGCCTCCGCCGGCGGGCCCTCCTCCTGGTCATTTTCAACGTCGTCGTCGTCTTCGCCCGGGAGCTCCTCCTCGGCTCCTAGACACGACGGCGTGCAGTACGCGATCAGGTCGTTGATCGGCCGCGAGAACGCGCCGATCAACGCGAGCGCGTACCGCGTGATGAAGATCACCGCGAGCAACTCCTCGAGGTCGCCCAGGCAGTTCCCGGCGTCGCCCGAGAACCCGCCGTCGCACTTGAAGTAGGTGCCCTTGAAGAACGCCGTGATGACCAGCGCCGTGTAGTTGTTGAAGACCTCGAAGGCGAACTTCTTGATGATGAGGTTGTTCTCGTAGGCGGTCTGGGTCCGGTAGTTCTCGGCGTCGTTCCGGGCCACGGCTACGCTGCCGTAGATGGACGACGCGACCTGGATCAGCAGCGCCTGGACGCCGGACATGCACGACCCGACGCCGCCCCAGAAGGTCCCGCCCAAAATGTAGGTGAAGAAGTACTGCAACCAGAAGATCACCGCGATGAGCGTCACGAGGGCCGCGATGCTCAGCGTCACGAACGCGAGCGAAACGATTCTCGTGCGCGTGCGCTTCGACTCGGGGTAGTAGGTCTCGGACTGGTTCGTGATGGGCGACACGCGCCGGGGCTCCGCGGGGTCGCCCTCGAACTGCGGCCGGTCGGCCTCCTCGGCCTCGAACCGTAAGGTGCCCCACCGCACCGCACAGTACTGCGATTCGATGTCCCAGGACTCCTTGTAGTACGCGCTCCACGCGACCAGAAAGCCCGCGACCAAAAACTGCTCGACGTGCACGCCCTCCTCCTCGTCGTCGACGTCTTTCGCGCTGTCGTACGCGTAGACCGCCGCGCAGAACAGCGCCGGATAGATCAGGTAATACCCGTAGAACGCCAGCCACGCGAAATAGAGCGCGACCTTTTCCCCGAAGTACGCCCTCACCTCCATGAGCGGCTGCGCCCACGGCCGCATGTAGCACGGGCAGCTCCTGCCCTTGAGCATGTACGTCTGACTGAGCAGGGGCGCGCCGGCCCGCGTCGCCTCGGCCCGCCAGAAGAAGACCCACCGCTTCTGGAGCCAGTCGGTCGTCGGCATCTCGCCGTGGTTCGCGTCGTGGAGCGCGACGAACGTCTCCACGAGGCCCCTCTCCTTCAGGACCGCGAAGTCGAAGACCTCGTCCACGATACGCTTCGTGAGGTACAACCGGTCTTTGGGCAGAAAGAGCGTCCTGCCCCTCACGGACGGGTACTCCTCGTACAGGTGCCGTTCCCGCGGCGCCGCGTCGTAGGGCGCGTAGGCCGCATAGGCGTTGTGGCACGGGACACGGTCGGAAATTCGTTCGAGCGCGTGCACGCGCCGACTCCAGTGTCGCGGCGTGGGCTCCGCGTCCGCGAACACCGCGACGTCGGCCGGCCCGCAGCGCCCCTGGGCGTACAGCTGCTGCAGCGTCTCTTGGGCCTTTTCTCGGTCCAGGATCGTCGCGTCTTCGATGATCTCGTCGTAGACGGGCCTTCCGCTAACGCGATCCGTGCCCGACGACCTTCTCCAGAACGCCGGCCCCGGGTCGATCTCGTCCTTGAACTTGAACTTGTAGTCGAGCGCGTCGGCCTTCCTCTCTAGAAGCGACACGGGCGCGCGCAGCTGGCAGTAGACGCGCCGCGCGCCGTCGCTCGGCAAAGACAGCTTGAGCTGCAGCCCGCTCCGCCGCGCCAGCAGGTCCACGACGTGCTCCCGACATAACCCCAGCACGTCGCCCTTGGGGCACTCCTCCTCCTCCCCGAACCTTTGGACCCAGTCGCGCCTCAGGAGTTCGACGCCGGCCGTCTTCTTCTCCTCGTCGCCGGGGATGGCCTGGAACCAGGTCTCCCGCACCTCGTTCCACTTCAGCGTCTCGCTCGACCGCGACCGCTCCGTCGCGAAGACGAGCAGGTAGTCGTGCTTGTCGGCCGTCGGGTCGAACGCGGCGACGTCCGGATCCGTGAGCACGGCGCTGGGCGCGGGCGCCTGGCGCGCGCGCGCGCGGTCCGACGGCGGGACGTAGCCGTCGTCCTTCTTGTGGTCGGCCCGGCTGGCGCCGAGGCCCATCTCTCTCTGGCTGTGCGCTCTCCAAGGGCCGGGCTGGCGTTTTACGTCGTGCGGCGGCACGCCGGTGTGTAGCGCTTTTGGCTGGTTGGAGAAGACACCGAGTTGGAAGCGTGCCTATTGTAAAGAAGAGCTTTGATAACTCAGGCGGTCGCGGATGCCCGCCGCTCACGAGTGGAAGCCGCTTTTTCAGCAGCCATAGCGTAGCCTCACTAGCGGAGGGGTACGGGGAACCCTGCGACGTAACTAGCCTGAGCCCAGTAACAACTTCCTACCGAGGAACCCATGCGACCACGAACGGTGCCGCCCGCCGACGCCTCGGGGGCGGCACGCCGCGCGCGCGACCAGCGCGCCCCGGTGGCATCATGATCGGTGGTACTTTTAAAGAGGCGAATTACTGGGGGGCGCGGGGCCTACTAGTCCTCGACGGCGGAGGGGCTCGTCCGCGGCGGCGCGTGGTCCTCCTCGTCGAACATGAGCATGTTCGTGTGGTACGCGCCGTCGTCCATGGCGTGCACGCGGTAGTCGATCGAGGCCACCTTGAGGTCCTCGTGGACGTCGAAGTCCTTCTCGCGGTCGACGATCTTGGACTCGATGAACTCCTGGCGCTTCACCTGGATCTCGACGGACGGCGGCACCGCGTCGAGCAGGAGCCGGCAGGACGCGTAGAAGGAGAGGCCGACGGTCACGACGACGATGAAGAGGTTGTGGCGGTTGTGGTCCGACCAGCCCTTGTTCTCCGAGAAGGGCTTGGACACGTAGACGGAGAGCGCCGCGTTCGTCACGACGCCCGCGACGTTCAGCATCTGGAAGAACTTCTCGAAGACGCCGATGTCCTCCGCCGACGAGGGCATGACCCTCCTGTACAGATGGATGAACGCGTAGCAGTCCGTGCGCACCTGCACGTTGTTCACCAGCAGCGCGACGAACGGCCCGAGCGGGAACGCCGCGCTGAGCAGCACGATGTAGCCGTACTGGATCGTCGTCTGCATGTAGTCGACGGTGGTGTGCTTCAGTTCGTCGTACTCCATCAAGATGTACTGGAGCTCGGGCACGGACATGGCCACGGAGATGCCGCCCTCCTTCTTCTTCCGCAGCGTCTCCTGGACGAGCGGCGCGATGAGCCGCCCCACGAAGCTGCCGGACAGGGCCGTCGACAGGATGATGGCCAGCGACGTCCAGACCTCCTTGAGGACCTGCGAGGCCACCGTGTCGTCGCAGGGGTTCGCCGCGGCGCCGTCCAGCGGGTCCTTGCCCCCCCCGGCGTGCTTGCCCGTGCAGCCGCGCGCCTCGCGCTGGGACACCCAGGGGTTCGCGTAGTACTGGATGAAGGTCAGGTAGAAGAGGGGCACGTAGTAGTTCACGAGGAAGAAGTAGAAGAGCTTCTGCGTGAACGCGTCGTGGTGCTCCGTCTCCGTGCGCCAGTTCTCGCGGTTCGTGCACCACTCGGCGACGCGCGTGAAGGCCAGCTTGAAGACCTGGATCCCGATCGAGTTCACGACCGCCGTGGCCAGCACGAAGTGCTGGTGCGCGACGAACTTGAGCGCGCCGGGCTGCTCCGCCTTGCACCAAAACACCAGGTAGAGGAATAACAGGTTGGCCACGACCATCAGGAAGACGATGGCCGTCGACGCCCAGACCTTGTACCGCCGCTCGCGCGGCGGGTACCAGATCTCGTCCCGCCCGTCGACGGGCGACCGCGCCAGGTAGCCCCGGTGCTGCGGCCGCGCCTTCTCCCGCTCCTCGAACCCCCGCGTGCCCCAGAGCACGGAGATCACGGCCTGGCGGTGGCCCCAGTACTCGACCGCCAGGACCGACCACACGACGAGCACCGCCGAGTACCCGATGACGCCGTGCGTGCTCATCTCCTGCTTGATGCGCCGCTCCAGGAAGACGGCGAGTCCGGCGATCGACAGCGGGTAGTACCACGTCGTCACGTGCGCCGTGAAGTACATGCGGAGCCCGTGCATCTCGCCGAAGTACGCCGCGTACCGGTCCAGGGGCAGCTCGAGCGGCGACCGGCCCGCCGAGTGGTAGCAGAACTCGCGGTGCAGCTCGTGCCTCTCCACGGCGTCGTGGAGCGCCAGGAAGGCCAGGACGTCGCCGTGGTACGTCAGCGTCGCCACGTCGAGCTCGCAGCCGCCGTCGCTGCGCTTGGCGTGTAGCAGGTCCCAGATCAGCTTCACGCGCTGCATGCTCGAGAAGGGCCAGGCCGTGTCCTGCTCGCTGCGGGGCACGTCGTAGATGCCCGCGAGGTCCGGCGCGCGGTCGTACTTCGCGTAGAGGTGCTCGTAGGGCCGCCACCGCGCCATCTTCACGCCGCGGCACTCCTCGCCGATGATGATGGGCTGGATGCCCTGGCGCGGGAAGCCCCGCCGCGCGCGCCGCTCGACGACGCCCGCGTGCAGCCGGAACCGCGCGCGCGTCGCCTCGGCGTGCTGCTCGAGGCGGCCGAGCGACGCGCGGACCTTGACGTAGATCTCGTCGCCCTGGACGCTGCGGTAGCAGTAGTGGTCCAGGCCCGACGCCGTGAGCCGCAGGAGCAGGTCGTCGAGCGTGAGCGAGGCCTTGGGCCGGTGCTGGAGCGCGCCCGCCGTCGCGCCGTCGGCGCGCTCCACGAGCGACGCCGTGTCCCCGGCGTGCGCCGTGCGCGCGACGCCGCCGTCCTCGGCGTCGGCGTCGCCGTCGCGGTGCCAGTCCGGCGCCGCGAGGACGAAGCACACGTCCCAGCGGCCGTACGTCGAGTCGGCGCAGGCCTCGACGTCCTCGACGGGGTCGTTCAGCGTGACCTGCTCCGGCGCGGCCTCCTCCTCCTCCGCTTCCGGGCGCCGCATGGCGGCTAGGCGTCCGGCGCGCGGCGTCCGGCGCCGAGGACGCTGCCCCCGGCCGCGGGATGTACGAGCGCGGCGCGCGGTGTCCCGGCGACGGCTGCCCGGTCCGGCGCGCTACTTTTTGCGCCGCTCGCGACGGCGTGCAAAAGGCAAAAAAAACTGGCAACCCGGACGCGCGCGCGCGGATACGGCTCCCCGGCCGCGTAGAGTATATGTCGTGCGGCGCGCGGGAGACGTCCTCCCGCGCCGAGCAGGCTACCGCCGGCGTTTCTGCCGCGCCCCGTCCACTCCCTGGTCCACAGGAGCTTCCACAGGGTAGGCTCTCGGCGCGTCGTCGCGGCGGAAGATGCGCGCCGGCGGGCGGCGGCGAATACGCCCTCGGCACGCCACGGTATAGGCCGGCCGGCGCGCGTAGCCGGCGCGTGCCGCCCGGCGCCCGCCCCGCCGGGCGGCGCCGCAGGGGCTCGCGTGGTGGTGAGTGAATTAGAGGTTACGGCGGGGGGCCCCCGCGGGGCCGCCTGGCCTAGACGTTCTCGGCGGCGCCGACGCGCGACGCGGCGTCCGCGTCCGACGCGCGCTCGAGCCAGCCGAGGTCGAGGCTCTTCTGGACGAGCGCCTGCGTGTCCATCTCGATGACGACGGCGATGGCGAAGTCGTGCTGCATGTGCTTCTCGGTGGCCAGGTACTGCGCGTAGCGGTGCCGCAGCGCGCAGATCTTGTGGAAGCGCCGGACCTCGTGCGCGCTCAGCGAGCCGTCGCCGTTGGAGTCGATGCGGTCGTAGGCGCGCTTGATGGCGTGGACGCCCTCCATGTCGACCTTGCCCTGGCGCAGGAGCTCGAGGATGAAGAACTCGCCGAACTGCACGGTGCCGTCGTCGATGCTCAGGCCCGCGACGCGGTTGAACTCCTCGTCCGTCAGGTCCGAGGGCAGCGTCACGCGCGCCTGGACCAGCGAGTCCACGAAGATGTTCGCCACCAGGCCCATGGCCACGCCGAAGAGCGGCACGCCGAGCAGGCAGAAGACCGCGACGAAGTAGGCCGAGAAGTCGTCGCCGAGGCCCGTGCCGTCGCCCCGGATGGCCGGCGCCTGGAGGCCCGCCGTCGACATGGCCGCCACCGAGAAGTAGAGCGAGCGCACGAAGCCCCACTTCTGGTCGACCATGCCGAAGACGACGCCCACGCCGACCCAGAGGACCATCGCCAGCAGCGCCTTGCGCGTGAACGTGAGGTGCTTGCCGCACGACTCGTGCCAGAGCTTGTCCAGGACGTCCCAGCAGTCCGTCTTGCCGTCGCCGTCGACGTCCTCGATCTCCGCGCCCGTGAGCACGCCGATGAGCGTCATCGAGCTGTTCGTCGCGTTCTCGTCGAGCTTGTCGAGGTGCTGGAACCAGCTCTCGACGTAGTAGCCGAGGGCCGCGGCCGCCGCCGTCGCGCCCGTCGCGATCATGAAGATGGACCAGAGCTGGCTCTCCCACTTGTCCTCGCTCAGCGCGCCGAAGCCGATGCTGAAGCCCGCCTGCACCGTGTAGTAGACCGACGCCCCGAAGCTCCACTTGTTGATGGCCTTGTAGACGGCCGCGCCCACGAGGACCCAGGTGAGCACGACGACGAAGACCTTCCAGCCGCCGTTGATGCTCACGTCGACGGTCTCGGGCTTCTCCTTCTCCGAGAGCGGCACGACGACCTGCGGCGGCGGGCGGCGTGCGGGTTGTGGGCCGGGGGCGCGGCGCGGCGCGGCCGCGCGGCCGAGGGCCCCCACGAATGGATTCCGCGCGGGGTGGTACGTGGCTGTCGAGGATGTCCCCGGGCCGCTGCTTGATGAGGCGGTTCTGCCAGCGCTTGACCATGTTGCGCTTCACCTTGCGATTCGTCTCGCCGCTCAGCTTGACGTGGTAGGGGCTCCGCCGCTCCATGGGCTGCCCGCGACGGCGACGTCTCTCCCAAAAGTGTGTTCGGGTTGCGCATCGCGCGCGCTTTCGGACGCGTCCCGAGCGCCTTTCGTACAACCTACGGACGCTTGAACCGGCGCAACCTACAACCAGCAAAACCCGCGCACCATAAATTTCCTAGTGTGTCGATACGCTAGATCACTTGCGGAGGCTCCGCTGTTATGAAAGAAGTGGCCCGCGCCCGCCGCCGATGAATTGGCGACGCGCGGTGCCTCCCCCCCAGGGGCTCCGCCCACTAGTCCTAGCACCGTAACATCGACTATACTACTAGGTCTTGCAGCTAGACGCGCGGCACGTCGACTCCGTCGAGCAGGCCGCGCTCAAAGCGGGTTGTGGTTCTGTAGATAATACTTGTTATAGACATTACACTAACACGGCCGCGTACGTGATGCCTCCGGAGGGAGTGCGTCGCACAGCAGCCGTGGCCCGGGGCGGCCCTAACAGTCCGGTCCAGTCGTGATAACCAGCCCGATCCGTTCCCGACCGCTCGCCTCTCAATAGTACTACGGCAGTGCGTCGACCTGGCCTTGCGCCCTGTCCGCATCGACGGCTTGAACCGCAGCTTCGTGAATAGTTGAGGCAAAGGCCTCGACGACTCGAAAATACGCGATTCGACCTCCAAGGGGATGGAATGATTTTTGCACGAGGGCTGGCAGAGATTGCCAACCGCTCGGCGCCGGCGAGGTTTGGTGCGTTCTCATTGCTCCCGCGCGTGTGGCTTCGCATTTCTGATGAGCTTCCTCGCCCTGTCGAGGTCGCCGCCAGTGTCGCGGAGCGCCTGGCTCGCGTCGTCCTTCGACAGGCCCGGGAACTCGGCGAGGAGGACATTGCGCGGGCGCGGCGGTTTCGCCTCGGCCATGGTCGCTCGGGCCTCTTGCTTCGGCGGCAGAAGCGCCTCGCGCGCTGGGCCAGTCACGCTGGGCCAGCGATGATGTATACGTCCTCGGTGCTGCGGCTGTTAATGGAAGGCCGGGCGAGGCGAGTATTAGGCTGCCCGAGCCGGCGAGGCGATTCTATTAGGCAAAGCATGCAATTGCGCAAGCCTCTGCGGAAGGTGCGGGGCCCACGCCCGTCGTCGTGGCCGGCCGCGCGGAGGGGTAAAAGGAGGGGTGGACCTACTCCGAAACAAAAAACTCTACCCCTCTGCCCCCCACCGCGCAATAGGCGGCGCCGGGGGCGGCATCCAAATAAAACAAGAGCGAGCGCGGCACCGCCGGCGCACCCTAGGTGACCGTTCAATCAATCGGGCCCGCCCGACCGCCCCGGCGCGGCGCGCCGCGCCCGGCGCGCCATGACGGCCAGCAACGCGGACATCGACGCGCTGCTCGAGCGCGTCTTCCGCAAGGAGACGCTGAGCGAGCGCGAGATCACGGGCGTCTGCGACCACGTCAAGGAAATATTGAAAAGGGAGTCGAACATGCAGCTCGTGACCGCGCCCGTCGTCGTCGTCGGAGATATTCACGGCCAGTTCTACGACCTCTTGGAGTTGTTCCACATCGCGGGGCGCCCGCCGCACACAAATTACTTATTTTTGGGCGACTACGTCGACCGGGGCCACTACTCGCTCGAGTGCGCGACGCTGATGGTGCTGCTGAAGGCGCGGCACCCGCGGCGCGTGACGATGATCCGCGGCAACCACGAAAGCCGGCAGATCACGCAGGTCTATGGATTTTATGATGAGTGCCTGCGCAAGTACGGCGACGCGCGCGTCTGGCAGGCCTTCACGCAGCTCTTCGACACGCTGCCGCTGAGCGCGGCGGTCGAGAACCGAGTGTTCTGCCCGCACGCGGGCCTTTCGCCGTCGCTGGACACGGTGGACCACGTGCAGCAGCTGAACCGCTTCCAGGAGATCCCCCACGAGGGGCCCATGTGCGACCTCGTCTGGTCGGACCCCGACGAGCGCTGCGGGTGGGGCATCTCGCCGCGCGGCGCGGGCTACACCTTCGGCGCGGACATCACGGAGCAGTTCCTGGCGACGAACGACTTCAAGTTCATCGTGCGCGCGCACCAGCTCGTCATGGAGGGCTACAGCTGGACGCACCCGAACACGTGCGTCACCGTCTTCTCCGCGCCGAACTACTGCTACCGCTGCGGCAACATGGCGGCCATCATGGAGGTCGGCGACTCCATCGAGGCGCGCCCCGACTTCGTCATGTACGAGGCCTCGCCCGACCAGGGCGACAAGAAGGAGCTCAACCAGCGGATGCCGGACTACTTCCTCTAGGCGCCGCGGTTAGTTGGCTAAATTTTAGGCGGGCGCCTCGCCCCCTCGGGGGCTTCCGACGGACGTGCCCCGAACGCGGACCGCTCGCCACGCCCGACGCGAGCCGGGCGGGCGAGGGGCTCCGCCGCGAGGGACTCCAGATCCCGAGGTCATGTGCACCCGAAATCTGCCGTTCCCTCCCGTCGGGCAGCGTCTCGCCGCCGCGCGCGGCGGGCTCCCTTAGATATAGACTGCATACCGTATGTACGGTAGCTTTATGTACAAAATCTGTACAAATTTAACAAAAGCCGCGCGCTCGTCGGCACCGTCGGCAAGGGGCTGCCCGCACAGCACACGAACCGCTCCGTAAACCATGGCGAGTCAAAGGCTAACGCTGGGCCTGGTCTGCCGCACGCTCGACGTCGAGCCAGAGGCGCTGCATACCGTAAAAACGCTGCGCCTGGAGCGGCTGCGCCTCGCCGCCCTCTGCCCCCTCGACGCGCTGGCCGGCTCGCTGCGCGAGCTGTACCTGCGCGACAACCGCCTGGAGACGCTGGACTGCGCCGAGGCGCTGGCCGCGCTGGCGCCCCACCTGGCGGTGCTGGACCTGGCGCGGAACCGGCTCGCGGAGGTCCGCGGGCTGGCGGCGCTGCGCGGCCTCCGCGTGCTGGACCTCAGCGCGAACGAGCTCGCGCGCGACCCCGGCGCCGACGAGCTGCCGCTCGCGTCGCTGACGGTGTTGGACCTGCGGGGCAACCCCTTCGGGAAGACGCGCGTGACGGCGGGCCCCGTCCTGGAGGAGCTGGACGGCGAGGCGGTGGTCCCGCGGGCCGGCGGCGGCCGCTCGACGGTGACGGCGGTCGGGGACGCGGTGCGGCGCCCCGTCGCGCGGTCCGAGTGCGTCGTCTACGTGCCGCTGGTCGGCAACCGGCCCGGCGAGGCGGCGAAGCGGACGCTGGCGCTCCGCTTCGGCCGCGCCGACGACGTCGCGCGCGTCGCGCGCGACTTTTGCGCCGCGCACGCCGTCGACGGCGCGGACGCGGTCCGCGAGCTGACGGAGATCTGCCGCGCGGCCGCCGCCGCGCCCCCGCGGCTGGTCGGCCCGGACCGCGGGGACGCCGGCGCCGCGCTCGGGCTCGAGGCCCAAATCGAGGAGACGGGCGACGCGCTCGCGCGGTGCGCGCGCGGCGTCGACGGCGCGCTCGCCGGCGCGCGGGCGACCGCGGCGGCCGCGGTCGAAAAGCGGCGCGCGGCCGCGCGCGCGCGCGCCGCCGCCGCCGCCGCCGCGCCCACCGCCGCGGCGCGCGCGGACGAATCGGCCAGACGCCGCGCGGCCGCGGCCGCCGAGGAGGCGGCGGCGCGCCGGGCGTTCGCCGCGTCGGTCCGCGCGCGGCTCCCCGCGGCGTACGAGTCGTCGCCAAAGGCGAAGCGGGCGCCGCCCTCGCGGCTGCCCGAGGCGCCGCGCGACGACGAGGAGTTCGACCGGTACACCGCGGCGCCGGCCGAGCTCGACGCGCGGCCGCCCGACGCCTACGACGCCGCCGACGACTCGTCCGACGACTCGTACGCTGCGGCGTAAGAACGGACCCCGATTGGGCCGATTCCTAGCTACGCTTCTTTGCGCATCCTGACCAACTTCCTCTTTTTTAGTCTTCCTTTATATTTATTATCACGCCAGAGCTAGTCGATGTTACGGTGCTAGGACTAGTGGGCGGAGCCCCTGGGAAGCCCCTGGGGGGGAGACACCGCGCGTCGGGTCGACTCACCATAAACGTATACTCAACAAAGAATACTAGTAGGTTACTAGTAGGTTGCCATACGCAGGCTTCCGGGTACTTCTGAAGGGGGGACTCGACGGTTTTGAGACGGGCGGGTCCCGCCCGATCCATTGGAGCAAAGTCCCTCTAGTGAAGAGGCCCCCTAGCCGACGGCGACATTCGCGGATGAGACTTACGGCTTGCCAAAGTAGACCAGCGATTGACGCCGCCATCTACGGTCCAGATGGTACATTATATATACTCCAGCCCAGTTTTCAAACATATCTGACGGAACTAGAGCCGACGGCCCGCGCTCGGAGGGCGGGAGAAAAATTCTACGAGACAACTCCCGAGTTTATGTTCGTTTCCTTTCGTTTGTTAGTGGTAGAGTCCATCCAGACCGCTAGTACAGTTGCCTATCTATATTAGGGGCTCCGTTAGAGCCTCGCCGCGAAGCGAATTCGCGCCCCCACGTTTTCATGAAGAATGGCTCAAGACCTGGACCCGCGAGTATCAGCGACGACACCATCCAGATGGACCATAACGCCGTTGTTCTATTCACAATCGACCGACTTGCCCGTTCTCCGCGGACGACGGTGCGTACGCGGGGCACTGAATTGGCCCCAGACCGGTGAGTTGTAAAATAAATTCGCGTTTGAGGTGCTTCGGTTGTGGGATGGGCCAGACAACCGGTCTGAACGTCTACTACATTAGATGACCGGTCCCGTTTCCAACTCGCGCCTCGTCAGTCTCGCGACCCCACGATCTCGCCAAATCGGCCGAGTTACTCAGACCTGCGACCATCAGCCCGTGTACCATCACCATGGACCTTGACGCGATCATTTGTTCCATGACCGACCGACTTACGCGAGCTCCAGATAAAGATGTTCACGTCCCGAGCGTGGGCAGCAAAAAGTACCCTTCTTATAATGTAGATGGCATATACTCGTAATTGACTATCGGTGGGGTAGTATAGGGTCCAACGAGACCGCTACGGCGACTACTGGGGGCCCTCAGGTAATTGGCGTTTTTGCCGGGAATGGGGCGCCATCGGGTCCAAATTACACACTTTTTTCGAGGGCAGATCGGCTCCCGGACGTCTCTCGGGGTGGGTCTGGTAGTGGGTAAGCGCCTGTACCGCATACGCCATCGATGCAGCAGCCTAGTGGTCTCGGAGGGCTCTGAAAGCAAATCTTGGCTAAATATTGCTAAAGTGCCGCGGGCTGCTGAGAGAAATCGGCCAAGAATGAGTGAAGCGGCGGTGTATGCGGTGTAGGCGCGTGCTCGTGTATAGTACCGACCCTAGGCGACCCCAGGGACACCTCCCCGGCAGGGATTGACAGGATTCAGCCGGCGCAGCCTCTATGGACCATGGCGGCCTCGTCGCCGCGATTTAAAAAAATCAATTTTTTGGCCCCCAGTACGTGTCCCATTGATCTCTTTGGACCAGTACCGAACCGAACGGTACTCAAACAACTGCAAGCGGCGTTTCGCACACAGGGCTAGTGTGTCTACAGCTGTCCACACGCTAGGGCTGGCGAATTGGCTGGCGGCGCTCGCTGGCCTGGCGTGCGCGCGGAGCTGTGCCGGTGACAGCACAGCGTCTCAACAATGCTTAGCCATCATTGTTGACCGCGCGCGGCCATGACGACGCAGCGCCGCGGCCGCCTGTTGGGCACCTTCCCTGATGGCGAGACTGACGACGGCACGGTGGCGGAGGGCACCTTCTTCGAAGACGCGAGCGGTTTTGTTAGCGTGCGCATCGGTAATTGGAAGCATATCCCAGCGCATCGCAGAAAGGCTAATAAAAGGCCTCGCGACGACGACACCGCGGAGATGGCTGTCCGGCGCAAGCTCGCAAAACTCTGGCCAGATAAGTTCGTCCTCGAGCGCATGGTCTACGAGCAAGAGCCGGACGCCGCCACTCCCGAACCCGAACCACCACAACCACCTCTACCTGTTCAACGACCACGCCATCCACCACAAGTAGAATACGTGCCGCAGCTCCCCGAACACCGGCGCAACAGGGGTACCGGTCGTCGCCGAGAACTTGCCATCGTCGAGGAGACCAACGCCGAGGTCCAAGTACTACGCCACCAGCGAGACAACATCATCAAGATGATTAGATCGCATGACCGGCCGGCGGCGCAAATAGTCCAAGGAATCCTGTTCGAGGTCCTGGGCCGCGAGAACGACAGCGATAGCGAGAGCAGCGACGAGGAGGAGACGCCGTCGCCAGAAGAACTCGATGAAGCCCCGGCACCACGGCGTCGGGAAGCTGCTCGAGTACGTGCAGGACGCGCACTGCGTGAACTTATACGCGAAATAAACCGGCTACGACGCGCGGGAAAGATGAAAGAAGCGGCAGCTGCGTCGGACCGCCTCGAGACCGAAGGCGCTATTGCTGATGCAAAGAAGCGGGCCGGAAATAGTTTGATCACTAGGCGGGCGAAGGAGATCCAGGACCAAGTTTTCGGTATGGGCGATCTAGAAACGACGCGAAGGATTGTTGAGGCCTTCCTGGATTCTCCAGAGATGAAAGCTGTGCTCCCTGCCCATCTCCAACAAACGTCGAAGGACGCCGAGACGGCTAGATTGATGCTGGAGCAGGGTAAAAGTTTTGTAAAGCGGTTGATGAAAGCGAAGGGACGACGCAACGACTTGGAACGGAACGTTTTATTAGGAGCTGTTGCCGCTTTGTGTCCTGTGGACCTTTTCGAGTTGAAACGAGGCCGGTCCTTTATGAGGGCCATGGGCACCACCTGGGCCGTTACCAGTCAAGCGGTGAAGGCGCGTCAGGAGGCCGAGGACCGCGGCAAGGGCTGGAAGCGTGTAGATACGAAAGGGCACTACGACAAGGTCGACATAGCCCCCATGGTACGGTTCTGGCACGAGTCGGCCGAAGCTAGCTCTTATGACAATGACAACAAAAGGCACGCAAACGTGTTTTTGGGGCCTCATCCAGAGACGAAGGAGGAGATGTATGAGAAGCATCCCTTACGATACCAGAACGGTACGAACGAGCAGGTGCACGAGGCGTTCACGAGGTCAAGTTATGCGCAGCAGTGCAAGGAGATCTCCGCAAAGACTACGGGAAAGGAAGGCATCATCCCTGGGCTGACATCCCTCATCAACACACGGTGTGCCTGCATCAAGAAACGGGGCGTCGGCGAGTGCGACTGTTCGATCTGCAAGACGATCCACCGGTAGATCTGGGCCTGAATCATGGCCGCCGCGTCCTCGACCGAATCAGCGTCGATGAGGCCCTTCCGGAACCCCTTGCCGGCGATCTTGTCGGCGCAGACCCGGGCGAGTCGATGGACGTCCGCGGACGCCTCGCCGGCGCTCCACTGGCTACTAGAGGTAGAGATACTAGAGCGTGAGATATCGTAGAGAGAGCAGCAGGCGAAAGTATTTACAGCGTCGGACTGCCGAGACTGCCGACGAGATAGCCCACCCCGACGAGAAGGCCTTCGCCGATCAGATAACAGCTCTGGGTGCAAACCAGCTAGTCTCGCTCCGTAACACTCTCAAGCTTTAACCCGCGCCAAAAAGCCAAAAAGCTATATATAGACGACCATGCCCCTCGACTCGCTCCAAACCCTCTTCCCGATGCCGCCGCCGCGGCACAACAGGAAGCGCAAGCGCCGTCGGCAAAAGCGCACGGTGCCCTGTTTGCCTGGGCTCGAGACGACGGCCCCGGCGCCGGAGGCGCCGCCGCCGCCGCCGGTGGACCCGTTCACGAAGGAGTACCGCCGCGAGGCCGCGCGCGCCCACGCGCGCGAGGCGGGCGAGGGCGCGGGCGAGGGCGCCTTCGCCGCCCACGACGAGCGGCCGCGGCGCGCGCCGTTCGTCGTCGTCAAGAAGCGCGCCTGCGGCACGGCGCGCGAGAAATGCATGATGCGGCCGCGCGAGGAGGCGGACTGCGGGCCGACGCGGTTCGCCGTGGGCGATTACCTCGGCCACGGCGCGTCCGGCGCCGTCTTCGCCGTCGTCGTCGCGAACGACGCCGGCGAGGCGCTCGGGCCCGGCGCGCGCGTCGAGGCGCGCTACCAGCGCGGCGACCGGTGGTATCCGGGCACCGTGCAGGCCGCGTCCGGCCCGGCCGGCGTCGCCGTGGCGTACGACGACGGCGACTTCGAGGACGCCGTCGCGCGCGCCGACGTGCGGCCGCTGGCGCCCGAGGTCGCCCTCAAGGTCGCGCGCCGCGCGGCCGCCGACGACCTCGAGGCCGAGGCGGCGCTCGCGGCGGCGGTGCGCGCGCGGGCGCCGCCGCGCCCCGCCGCGCTCGGGACCATCGTCGAGCCGCTCGCCACCTGGCGCTGGTGCGACGCGGCCGCCCTCGCCGCGGCGCGCCTCGGGCCGACGGTCTCCGACGTGCTCCGCCGCGGCGGCGAGCGCGCGGGCGAGCGGCCGCCCGAGCCCGTCGCGCTCCTCCTGGCCGCGGGCGTCATGGAGGCCGTCCTGTCGTGCCACGAGGCGGGCGTGCTCCACTGCGACGTCAAGCCCGACAACTTCCTGCTCCGGGCGCCCGCCGCCGGCGCCGCCGGCGCCGCCGCGGCCGGCGACCGCGACGCGCCCGCGGCGGTGGAGGCGGCGCGGCGCGGCCACGGCCTCGTCCTCACGGACTTCGGGCGCGGCGTCGACCGGCGGCGCCACCGCGCGGGAACCCAGTTCTCCACGGCGCTCGACCACGCGCACCTCGCGGCCTTCGAGTGGCCGCCCGCGCGCGCGGACCGGCGGCGCGCTCCGCGCCCGCGCGCGCCCTGGGTCCATGAAATCGACACGTACGCCGTGGGCGTGTGCCTCCACCTCATCGCGACGGGCGCCTGGCCCACGCGCGACGGGCGCCGGCAGGGCACGCCGCCGCGCGCGTGGGACCGCGACCTCTGGACGTCGTTGATCGACGCCCACCTCCACACGGACCCCGACGCGGGCGCGCCGAGCCTCGCCAGGCGCCGCGCGTTCGTCGCCGCCACGCGCGCCGCGCTCGACGCCCGCCGCTTCGAAGACCTCGACGCGGAGCTGCGTCGCTGGTGCCGCCGCGCGGCCGGGTAATAACCTCTCCCCAGCAGGTGCCTCCCCCCCCGGGGGCTCCGCCCACTCGTCCTAGCACCGTAACCGGGCTCGGACGTTTCAACTTGAAGTTGTAGTTTATTTAGTTACTCACAGGCAGGGCCCTCAGTCCTCCGCCGACTCCTCGATGGCCGTCACGCGGCGCTGGATCCGCGTCTTGAGCTCGCCGGCGGAGTCGGCCTCCTCGGGCGAGAGGTCCTCGGCGTGCTCGAGCGCGGCGGCGATGGTCTCGTGGAGGCCGGGCTGCTTGGCGGCGGCGGCCGTGATCGCGGCCGTCGCGGCGGCGTTGTCGGCCGCGGCGGCCGCCTCCTCGGCGCGCGTCGCGCGGCGCTGGAGCACGCGGTCGTAGAAGCCCTTGGCCGAGCCCTCGGGCTTGGGGCGGCGGCGCGACTCGACGCCCGTGTCGCGGCGCTCGAGCGCCGTCGTCGCGCGGCGGAGCGCGCGCTTGGGGGCGGCCGCGGCCGTCTGCTGGCGGCGCAGCGAGGCCTCGCGGAGGTCCCTGAGCGTGCTCTCGAGGCTCGCGACCTGCGCCCTGAGCGCGGCGAGCTCGGCGGCGTCCTTGGGGGCCTGGCCGAGCGTCGCCAGCGCCCTGGCGGACTCGCCGAGCTTGGCCTGCACGTCGACCTCGAGGCCGTCCAGGAACTGGCCGAGCAGGTGCTTGGGGATGTTGTGGCGCTGCGCGACGAGGTCGTCCTCCTCGTCCTCGTCCTGCGCGAGGAAGCGCGGGCTGTTGAGGTGCTGCTCCGTCGCGTAGATGACGTAGCGCGCGTGCGTCTGGAAGATGAGGCGGATGAAGAAGGGCCCGCGCCAGGACTGGCCGTAGTGGTAGACCTCGCTCGTGCCGTCGTCGCGCTGCGCGTAGCCGAAGTTCTGGACCATCTCCCAGAGCGTCCAGCCGAAGATGGCCGCCGAGCACTTGAAGCGCTCCTTCTTGTTGAAGCAGACCGTGTGCGCCTCGCCGTCCTCGTCCTCCTCCTCGCGCTCGTCGAACTGCATCGACACGACCATGTTGCTGACGATGGGGGGCAGGCCGAAGGTGTGCACGTGCCCGTTGTCGTCGAAGTAGCCGCTCCGCATCATGAAGTCGACCATGAACGGGAAGACGCAGAAGATCTCCATGAAGTCCTCGTTCCCGTAGAACTCGGCCATCGCGTCGGGGTCCGCCTTCGTGATGAAGCGGTGGTCGTAGAAGTTGTCCGCCGACCCGAAGAAGTACTGGCCCGCCACGAGGCCGCCCGTGAGCACGCCCGCGCCGACCGCGACCTTCGCGCTGACCACGGGCTTCGCATTGGTGGAGGCCCCGCGATTCTGCGCCTGGCGCCGCCGGAAGGCCGCGCCGCCGGGCGTGAGGCTGTAGGCCCGCTGGCGGAGGGGCGCCGGCAGGCGGTTTGCCAGGCTGCGGAGCGCCATGACGATTATCGGACAACACTTATCGCAGTCCCACCAGGTTTTGTTATGCCGCGTGCGCGTCGCGTGGCAACCAACGTGTGTGGTGTGGACGACCTGCGGCTTCGCTTAGGCGCGTCGGCCTACCACACGGTCCTTCGGGCCGCCCGGAAAGATACCCTCGGACCGAATAGGGGTGCCGAAAACCGCCAACGTACACTTTTTTGGGGTGAAAAGCAAGACTCTGAGATCAGCACCCTGTCCGAAGCACCAGCCCGAGGTGGGGCAGCTTCGTGTGGTTTGACGGGCAGCGAAGGCATGAGGCGCTGGCCGCACCGCTAGTGCCGAACCGGCGGACCCATGTGGCTCCTGCGCCGCGTGGGCGGCCTCTGCTGCACGGCGGACCTGTACCGGGACGAGGCCGACGTCTGGTACAGCAGCCGCATCCAGCTGGAGATCGACTACGAGCCGGGCGAGAAGCTGGGCGAGGGATCCTACGCCGTCGTCCGCGCCGTGCGCCGGCGGCGCGACGGCGCGCGGCTCGCGGCGAAGCGCATCAGCAAGCGCCTCACGATCAGCGACGACAACGTGCTCTGGGCCGCGCCGGCGGAGCAAAAGATACGGCGCGAGATCGAGATCCTGCGGCTCCTCGGCGGCCAGGGCCGGTGCCTCGGGCTCGTGGGCGTCCTCGAGACGTCGGACGCGCTCCTGATGCTGACGCCGCTCTGCGCCGGCGGCGACCTCATGCGCCACCTCGCGCGCGCGAAGCACTTCACCGAGGCGGACGCGAGCCGCTTCTTCCGGGACTTCTGCGGCGCCGTCGCGCACTGCCACCGGCGCCGCGTGGCGCACCGCGACGTCAAGCCCGAGAACCTGCTCGTGACGTACGAGCGGCGCCGGCCGGCCGTCGTCCTGGCGGACTTCGGGTCGGCGGCGCGCTTCGCCGCCGACGGCACCGAGCGCTTCCGGCGCGAGTGCGGCTCGCCCTTCTGGAGCTCCCCCGAGGTCTGGGCGCGCGACTACGACCACCGCGGCGACGTCTACTCCTGCGGCGTGGTGCTGCTCGTGCTGACGCGCGGCATGCTCTCGGGCGACGAGGTCCGCACGCTGCACGGCGGCGGGCTCGCCGCGCTGCTCCGCCTCCAGCGGACCTTCACGCGGCGCGCGGAGCCCTCGGCGGACCTGCGGGACCTGCTGGAGGCGCTGCTGGCGCCTGAGGCGGCGCGCGCGTCGGCGGCCGACGCGCTCCGGTCGCAGTGGCTGACGGCGGCGCGCGGCGACCGGCACCTCGCGAACCCGGCCGCGGCCGCGCTGCGGCTCCGCGCCACCGAGCGCGCCGCGCGCGTCGCGCTGTCGACGCTGCTCGACCGCGCCGCCGCCGCCGCCGCCGAGGCCCTCGTCGAGCCGACGCCGGGGCTCCCGCCCGACTGCGCCCTGCTCGGCGACGTCATCCGGAGCCTGGCGCGGCTCGGCGCCGCGGGGGCGCGCGCGCGCGGCGTCCTCGCGGACCTCGAGCGCGACCCGGACCTCGTGCTCGTCCACGCGCCGTTCGTGCTCGCGCGGCTGTCGGCGCCGCCGCCGCGGGAGGAGCCGGCCGCGCCGCTCTCGCCGGAGAAGCGCTGCCACTCGAGCGACGCGCTGTCGTCGCTGTCGGGCTCGAGCCGGTCGGCGCCGGGCCGGCGCGGCGCGCCCGGCGCCGGGGTCCACGGACTCTCGATGGACGGGACGTTCAGCGGCCACGCCGGCATCTTCCTCGAGGACCTCGACGGGTCGCCTAGCGCGCGGCCGGTGGAGGTCGCGTGATAACTATTTGTGGTAGGTGACTAGTCTAGGTGACTAGTAGGTGACGTGGGGTTCATGGGTCACCCACGAAGACACGCGCGCCGCTCTTTGGAGAAGACTCCAACCGCCGACACGGGTGCCCTTTAGGTATTCCTGCTTGGGCTCCCCCCGGGGACACTTCCTGCGAAGAAGGCCGTGGCCAGGCTGGAGGGGGTCCGAAGTGTCATGTTGCCATGTTAGACTGCCAGCAAGGGTGAGGCTGCGGGGCACAGTGGTACGACGAGTCGCGAGGCTGCCTCGGGCTGGGACGTGGGCTGGCTTCGGCTCGCGTGAAACCCTGGAGGCGCCATGGCCGGCGGCCGGCGCGTGACCTGGGGCGACCTGGACGTCCACTACTTCGACTACGGGCTCGGCGACTCGCCGGCCGTGAGCTGCGGCGTCGCCGTGCGGCTCGGCGCGGCGCTGGCCGCGCGGCCGGAGAAGGCGCGCCTGCGCGACGCGGAGCGCCACAGCCCGCCGAGGTGGCTCGAGCCGGCCACGCGGCGGGCCCTGCTGCGCGAGGCGGGCTTCTCGGAGGGGGACATCGAGGCCGCGCGGAAGCGCATCGTCGAGGACCAGCGGCGGCGCATCCAGTCGCTGCCCCCGCTCCACTACCTGGAGCAGCTGCCCTGGTTCGTGGCGCGGAGCGTGCGGCGCAAGATCCGGAAGCGGTTCCAGGCCTTCCGGGACAAGCGCCGCGCGGCCCGGCCGCCCGGCGCGCCCGCGCCGCCCGCGCCGCCGGCGGGCCTGGGCTCGCCCGGCGCGCAGGAGGCCGTCGCGGCGGCGCCCGACGTCGTGCCGGCGCGGCCCGGGTCGGGTCACGAGGTCCGCACGCTGTCGCGGCGCCTGGGCCTCACGGGCCGCGGCTCGTCGTCGACGGGCAACCTGCTGGCGCTCGCCGCCGCCGAGGAGGCCGCCGCCGGGGCGGGGCCGCGCGTCTCCTTCGACGACAAGGCCGACGGCGGCCGCGCGCGCGGCTCGTACCGCGGCGACCTCGACGACTCGGCGCGCTGGCGGCGCTCGCGCGCCTCGCCGCCGCCGGCCGACGCCGCGGGCCTCGACGACTCGCTCCACTCGCTCGGCCTCGACGGCTCGGGCCACTCGTCGGGCTCGGGCCACTCCTTCGGCCTGGACCACTCGGGCCACTCGCTCGGGCTGAGCGGGCTCGCCCCCGACGCCATGGACGCCTCCATCCACGCGCCGCGCCACTTCCTCTTCGCCGACCTCGCTGCAGGCGGCGAAGCGGACGACGAGCCGCCCTCCATCTAACGTATGTGCCCCCGCCCGCCCCCCGCTCCGAAGCGTCCATCCGTGTCCTCGTAATGATAGTTCTAGCTGACTCGCTGTGCGCGGGCGTCCTTCCTGGCTGCTCTATGCTCTGCGAGCTAGGCCCAGTCAGGCACTAGCAAGCATCGACTCACGCGTAAAATTTAATGGCGCTTCCTTGTGATGTGAACCGCAAGTGGGCTCTGTGGTTCCCCCAGGGACAGCTCGAAGCACCTTCGGGAGGCACATTCAAACTCCGCCCTGGATACGTGTTTGAGACAGTTTTTTCGAGAAGCGTAGATAGCGAAAGCGGCTTCGTGACTCGTGACTTAGATGCGTCGTCGCCCAAGCCAGTAAGCTTTCGACTTCGGGGTAGTCAAATGATGCTAACTTGTCAGCATTTGGTGCGAGGGAAAAAACACACCCTGGTACGACGTGCAGTTGCGTAGTGGCCCGCCCGGCAGCCGCGCACACACGCCCCGGCAGCGCCTCCGCCAGCCCCGCCCCCGCCCGCGCGTCGGGCAGCCCCCCCGCGCGCCGCGCGCACCATGTGCGTGCCACCGACGAGCAAGTCCATGAAGCAGCCCTCCAAGGCCGAGGCGCGCGCGCCCGAGGAGTACCCCGTGCCCGACCCCAAAGATGCGACGACGCCCGACAAGTGGGTCAAGCGCCACCCCGCCCTGGTGCGCCTCCGTGTGGAAATCAAACGTCGCGGCGCATCTCCGCCCTCGGCCGCATCATGACCTCCGCGCCATCGACGCGACGCCTGCTCGACGGCGTGGCGGTGTCGATTCCTCACCGCTCGACGGAGCCAACACGGCCGCGTCATCGTCGAGAAATGACTTCGTGAAGAGTCATCGGGCGCGCCCGACACACCGGTTGATGTCCACGCAGGTGCGCCTCACGGGCAAGCACCCGTTCAACGTCGAGCCGCCGCTGCCGCTGCTCATGGCGCACGGCCACTCCACGCCGGCCTCGATCCACTACGTGCGCAACCACGGCAAGGTCCCCGTCGCCTACGCCGGCGAGAGCGACATTTTGAAGATTGAAAGAGAGTGGCGCGTCGCGCTGCCGGCGGGCCACGGCGTCGCCTCGACGGCGGCGCTCTCGCTCGCGGACTTCCGGAAGCTGCCCTTCGTCGAGCGGCCCGTGCTCCTCGTCTGCGCGGGCAACCGCCGCAAGGAGCAGAACATGGTCAAGCGCACGATCGGCTTCAACTGGGGCGCCGCCGGCCTCGGCATGTCGACGTGGGGCGGCTGCCACCTCGCCGATGTCCTGGCCGCCCACGGCGTCTCGACGGACCCGGCGACGTGGGACGACGGCCGCCACGTCTGCTTCCGCGGGCCCGTCAAGGAGCTGCCCGCCGGCGCCGACGGCTCCTACGGCACGTCCGTGCCGCTGCGCTACGCCATGGACAAGTCCAACGACGTCATGGTCTGCTGGGAGCAGAACGGCCAGCGGCTCCAGGCGGACCACGGCTTCCCCGTGCGCATCATCATCCCCGGCTTCATCGGCGGGCGCATGATCAAGTGGCTCTCGGAGATCAGCGTGAGCGACGCGTGCTCGGACAACCACTACCACTTCAAGGACAACCGCGTGCTGCCCGTGAACGTGACGCCCGAGCAGGCCGAGGCCGAGGGCTGGTGGTTCAAGCCCGACTACATCATCAACGAGCTGGGCATCAACTCCGCGATCTCGCGGCCCGGCCACGGCGAGGTGCTGGACCTGGCCCGGTGCGGCGAGACGTACGACGTCAAGGGCTACGCCTACAGCGGCGGCGGCCGCAAGATCATCCGCGTCGAGGTGACGCTCGACGGGGGCCAGTCGTGGCACCTCGTCGAGGACGGCAACGTGACGCACCCGCCGAACACGCCGACGGCCGCCGGCAAGTACTGGGGCTGGTGCATGTGGACCATCACCGTGCCGACGGCCGACCTGCTCAAGGCCGAGAACGTGGCGTGCCGCGCGTGGGACGCCGCCATGAACACGCAGCCCAAGGAGCTCACGTGGAACGTCATGGGCATGCTCAACAACCCCTGGTTCACGGTCGTGAAGCACTTCGAGTGCGCCGAGGGCGGCGCGCGCCTCACGTTCGAGCACCCGACGCTCGCCGGCCAGGCCACGGGCGGCTGGATGACGCCCGAGGCGCGGCGCCGCAGCGGCGCCGTGCGCACGGCCGAGACGCAGTACAAGGAGGCCATGCGCGACATGCACGCGGCGCGCGCGGCGGCCATCGCCGAGGAGGCCGACGGCGGCCTCGCGCTGTCCAAGATCAAGACGCTGGGCCTCGCCGCGTCGACGACGGACCTCAAGTCGCTCGCGCTCGCCGCGACGCCCCAGGAGCCGAGCTACACGCTCGCCGAAGTCGCCAAGCACGACCGGCCCGACGACTGCTGGATCGTCGTCAAGGGCGCGGTCTACGACGCGACCAAGTACCTCGAGAGCCACCCCGGCGGCGCGCAGTCGATCACCATGGTCGCGGGCACCGACGCGACCGAGGACTTCGAGGCCATCCACTCGAAGAAGGCCTGGGCCGAGCTCGAGGCCTGGCGCATCGGCGTCGTGAGCGCGGCCGGCGCGACGGCCCGGGCCGAGGAGGAGGCCGCGCCGACGGACGCCCAGGGCCGGCGCGTCGCGCTCGGCAAGAGCAAGGTCAAGCTCAAGCTCGTGCTGCGCGACGCGCTGTCGGACGACTCCTTCCGGCTGCGCTTCGCGCTGCCGGCGCCCGACATGGTGCTGGGCCTGCCGGTGGGCAAGCACGTCCTCATCTACGGCAAGGACGGCGACGGCAAGATGGTCGCGCGCGCGTACACGCCGGCGACGGCCGACGAGGTCCGCGGCCACGTCGACTTCGTGATTAAGGCCTACCGGCCGCTGCCGCCGCGCTTCCCGACCGGCGGCGCCCTCTCCCAGTACCTGTGCGACCGCATCCCGCTCTACACGGACGTCGAGTTCCGCGGGCCGCTCGGCGAGATCGAGTACCTCCGCAAGGGCCGCTTCGACGTCGCCCACGGCGGCGGCACGCGGCGCATCACGTGCAAGCGGGCCGGCCTCATCGCGGGGGGCACGGGCCTGACGCCCATGCTCCAGCTGATCACGGCGGCGGTGGCCGAGGGCAAGCGCGCGCCCAGGTACTCGCTGCTGCTGGGCAACCGGACGGAGGGCGACATCCTGTGCCGCGAGCAGCTCGAGGACGCGGCGGCGGCGGGCGCCGTGGACCTCCACTACACGCTCGACCAGCCGCCGGCCGACTGGCCGCACTTCACGGGCTTCGTCGACGCGCCCATGCTCGAGAAGACGATGCCGCCGCCCGGGCCGGAGACCTACGTCTTCTGCTGCGGGCCGCCGCCCATGGTCAAGAGCGCCATCGCCAAGCTCGAGGCGCGCGGCCACGCGGCCGACCAGATCTTCTGCTTCTAGGGGCCGGTCGGGCCTGGAGACGAGTCGTATCAGTGAAGTGAAACCGCCGGAAGACCGCGGGGCGCCGCGCGACGACGGGCTCGTCGGCCTAGGGGCGCGCGCCGGCCCCGCACACCATGCACAAAACCCTCCCCCCCACCTGTCCATAAGCCCCGCGCGAGCCTAATGACGATGTACCCTGCGCTTGCCCGGTCTCGAGACGCGGCCGCGCGGTCCGAGTCCGCTTCTTCTTTCGGGGAAGTACGCTAGAGAAAATCGACATCGAATTTGGCGCTATCATCAAAAGCCACCTTTACGCGCATTTACAGCCACCCACCGCCATCTCCTGGCACCAACCGGGAGTCGCGGCCCCACGCCCGCTCCCGGCTAGTAGTTGACGTGAAGACGAGAAAGAGAATACGAGAAAATCCCAGTGGGCCCCGCACCGAGTTCGAAGCTCGGACGGGGCGTCACCTGTCAGCCCGCCCCAAAAGTTGGGCAGGCCTAGGGTGAGTAGTAGGTAGTCTTTGTGCTGGGCATCCCTAGTGTCGTACAGCCGCTAGCCCGAAACCCTGGAAGGGGGACGGTGTCTCCTCAGACTGGCTCAGGCTAATTATACGTCGCGGCTAAATGCTCTTAATCGGGTTTCGTGCCCAGAGATATGTGGCCACTACGCGCTCCCTTCGCTGCGGGGGAGCAGAGGATGGGCACCCTTCTCAGGACTCTGCCACGGCCTCTCCGAGTAGGCCGGGACGAACACCACCTCTCGGGGACCCCGCGACCCCGTCTAGTGGGGGTGTTCTGAATGAAAACCTAACTTGCCATAATAGTCTAAAAGCGCCTCATTACACTGCTAGGCGGGGTGGGGCCAAAACCCGCCACGTAGACTGCATCCCTTTTCGAGGAGAAGGAGGGAGGTCCGTTTGACCACCTTACTCTGTCCTAGCCCGACGGATGGGTCCCGGAGGAGCGGTCGCGCGCCGTGTAAAACCCGAACCCGACAGAAAAAAGCTGCTTGGCTGTGCTTTTGCTAAGGACTAGGGATACGCATCGGTTTCGACGCGTTTGCGTGACGCGCTGGAGTGAGACGCTCGAGATGCCGTCGTCGCTCCTCGCCGTGGAATGCCGCGAGGCCGTCAGCCGGAGCAGCCACTCGTGGGCGCCCGACTACGCGCTGGGCGGGACGGCAGCGGCGGCCTGGGCGCTCTCCGCGGAGGCGCTCGACGAACTCGCGGAAGTTGTCGCGGCCGCGGGCGGCCGCGGGCCGGCGGCCGCCGCCGCCGCCGCCGCGGAAGCGGCGCCGTCGGCGCGCGGCCTCACGTGCGTCGCGTGCGGCCTAAAATTCGCCGACCGCGGCGCGCAGGCGGCGCACTTCGCGTCGGCGGCGCACCGCGCGGCGACGGCGGGCGGCGCGGCGGGGCCCGCCGCGCGCGGGGGCGACGCCGCCCACGGGGGCGCCGAGGTCGCCCCCGGCGACGACGAGGGCGACGACAGCGACGGCGACGGCGCCGACGACGGCGCCGACGACGGCGCCGACGACGGCGCCGACGACGGCGCCGACGACGCGGCGTCGTCGGACGACGACGCCGACGCCGACGCCGGCGGCGGCGAGCTCCGGCGCGACGCGCGGTCGTCGACGGTCGCCCTGCCGGCGGGGCCGGCGGCGTGCGCGTCGGTGTGCGCGGCGGTCGCCGGCGCGTGCGGCTTCGGCGGCGGGCGCGCCGCGCGCCGCGCGACGACGGCCCGGGCGGCGGCGACGCTGCGCGCGCTCGCCGCGGCGCGCCGCGCGCCGCGCGCCCCGGCCGTCGCCGTCGTCGCGCTCGCGAGCGGCCGCTTCGCCGGCGCGATCTTCGCGGGCGACGGCCGGCTGCTCCGGCACCGCGCGCTCGCGCGGTACACGACGCGGCGCGGCCAGGGCGGCGCGCAGAGCGCCCTGGACGCGAGCGGGAAGAAGGTGAGCAGCGTCGGATCGACGCTGCGGCGCCACGGCGAGCGCGCGCTCGCCGACGACGTGCGCGCGCTCCTGGCCGAGTGGCGCGCCGACCTGGGCGCGTGCGCGCTGGTGGCGGTCGCCTGCGCCAAGGCGCTGCGGCCGCTGCTGTTCGGCGGCGCGGGCGCGCCGCCGCTCGACGCGGCCGACGCGCGCGTGCAGAAGCTCCCCTTCGCCGTGCCGCGGCCGACGCTCAAGCACGCGACGGCCGCGTACGAACGCCTCGCCACGATCTTCCTCCACGCGCCGCCGCCGCCTCCGCCGGCCGCGCCGCCCGCGCCCGCGCCGCCCGCGCCGCCCGCGCCGCCCGCGCCGCCGGAGCCCGCGCCGCCGGGGCCCGCGCCCGCGCCCGCGGTCGACCCGGCGACGACCGAGCTCCTCGCCGCGGCCGCGGCCGGCGACGCGGCGCGCCTCGACGCCGCCCTCCGCGGCGGGGACGTCGACGCGGTCGATGCCGACGGCGCGACGGCGCTGCACGCCGCGGCCGCGGCCGGGCGCGCGGACGCTGTCCTGCGCCTGCTCGCCGCCGGCGCCGACCCGGCGCGCCGCGACGCCCGCGGGCGGCCGCCGTACCGCGCGGCCAAGGACAGGCCGACGCGCGACGCGTTCGTCCGCGCGCGCGCCGCGGCCGGCGCCGACGACGTGCGCGACTGGGACGGCGGCGGCGTGCCGCCGCCGCCGGACGCCGACCAGCTTCGGCGCCGGCGCGAGCGCGACGCCGAGAAGAAGCGGCGCCAGCGCGAGGCGCAGCGGCGGCGCAAGGCCGAGGCGCGGGCCGCGGCGGCGGCTGCGGCAAGCAGTGCCGAGGCCGCCGCCGCGCGGCGGGCCGAGCGCGCGGCGCGCGACGAGAAGGCGGACCGGTGCGCGGCGTGCGCCGGGCCCGTCCGCGGCGCGCCCTTCACGCGCCTCGACTTCGTCTACTGCTCCTCGGCCTGCGTCCAGGCGCACCGCCGCGAGCTGATGGCCGCCGCCGCCGCTGGTAGGCTTCATGGGACGCAGTAGGCATTTAAGGGGGGGTCGTGACGGTTTTTTTACTTGCTTGCTAGTGTCTTACAGGCCGCTAGCCCACTAATTTATGGCCAGGGTAGAAGGCTCATACCAAAAAGGGCGGCTCTGCCTGGGAGCCCCTGGGGAGGTACACGCCGCGTCCGCCTCCTTCCCATATGGCGCTATCTTCTCGCGCAGCCCCGCCCTGCGCGCCGTACCGCGTTTACGGCTGTGGCCACAGCAGTGGCCTAGCCCGCTTTAGCGTTTTAACGTCGAAGACGCTGCGCGGGCGTATCAAGGAACATCACCCGCGCTAAGGACACACGCCCGGAAGTCCGCGCGGCGCGGCCCGCATCGCGCGCACGCGAATTTCGTGCGTCACCGACCGCGACAACGCCTCTACCCGCGCAGGTCTTGTGCTGTCGCAGGACATCGACGAATACGAGAGGTAGAATTCTTGTGATAGCGCGTCAGAAGCGGCGCCGTCGGTCTTAGGGTGGCGCGCTTGCCTTGGCGCTGCATTAAGACTACCCGCCGTCGGCGCTTGCATTAAGACTACACCTTGTGTGCTGACGCGGCGTCCTTCGAGAACGTTGTGTCGTTGCCGTCGACTCAATACGCATTTCACGTCGTCGCTGCGATCCACGTCCACGCCATCGTTTCAAATACGCGTATGCGCCATCGACTCGACGTTTTCTAAGCCGTCGGCGCTACTCGTCTTATGCTATCGGTGCATCGACGCCACACATCCGCGCCGTCGCGCCATCGCGTGACGCCAATGGCACGCCATCGACGCCGTCACGATCCACTCAGGCCTCTCCCAGCAGCAAATCGTCGACCTCTCGCTGCGGCCTCGCAGGACTAGTTGGTTTGCTACCATGGCCACGTTAGACGGCTGGCTACGCAAAATGCAACTCAAACGCGGATGGACTTGTCTCGTTTGTACAACGAGGCACGAGAGCGATACGAAAGATTATTTGTTCTGTGCGAACTGTGAGTACCCGAAAGGAACGCAGCGTCCCCTTCCTCTTGTTGATGGCTCGGATAGGGCAGATGTCGAAGAGGTCGCTCATTTTGAAGAAGTGGGTGATGGCCCCACAGAGGATGGGGCGCCTGAAGTCGTCCTGTGTGGAAATCAACCACTGAATCCCGTTAAAGATAGAAACTCAGAAGTTTCAAGTTTTCGACAGATATTTAAACGCGTCCCCGACGGCCCAAACTGCCAGGAGAGCCCTAATTACGTTTCACGAGATGATTTCAACTCTTACAAACCCCACGCATCCCGGGACATCTATGCGTGTAGAAATACGCCACGTCGAAGCGGGATCGGACCTACGCCGCGGACGTCGTGCTGAACTGCTCCAAGCTGAGCTGGCTCGAGGGCCACGTCGCGCCGCGGCTCGCGCGGTACCGCCTCGAGACGCGCAAAGCAGTCGGCCTGCCGGGCCTGGCGCACGCCCTCGGCGACGCGATGAAGATACTTTCTTATACTTGCTCGTGTCCAACAGCGCTCCGATTGTGAGAGCGCAGGACAAAGGAGCAAGAATTTTTGGCCCTCCCACCCTCCCTTGGTTGTTTTGGCGCGGGGGCGCGTGGTCCGGGGTCCCTGGGGTTGGCGCCCGTTGTGGCAACGGCCTCTTTTCCACTTATAAATCTCCCAAAATTTTATCTTAGCTTCACTATCCTAGTCTCACTTATCTGTCTCCCTTATCTTGGTTAAATACCCGGATAGAGTAGGCCTAGTGAATACTAGCCCTTCCTACCCTAGATATGTATCTCCCACTCTCTAATATTTGAGTCTATACAGCGAGTGTCTTTGACGCTACGGTGTAATAACAGTTCACTATAAAACACTCTCGTAGTCAGCCTGAGGTTCAAGTCACGGTTGGCCCAGCCCTCGGCTGGTGAGCTAGGACCCTGCTACTTTACATAACGCTACGACATACTCTTGCTAGGTTATGGGCCCACAGGGTTCTGCCTATTGACGTAGAGTGTTTTACAGTGGAGATTTTGGGCTGCCTTCGTCGCGAGAGCGACGACCTCGGGCTGCACTTTGACGGCGGCGCAGCTGTGATGTCTCAACTATAAGACAAATAATTAGCGGCGAGCGGGGCCTCCCTGAGCCCAAACGGATCGCAGAGGCGGCCACGCGCATGCGTGGTGGCAGCCTCGACCACCATATGCGATGGATTGTTGTCGTGAGCGCCGCCCTCGCCACGCGGGGAGCCGCGCAGAACCGGACCGAGGCCTCGGTGGAGTGCGCGGGGCGCCTCGCGGGCGCCGGCGCGGCGGCGTGGGCGCGCGGGCTGTCGGCGCTCGAGCTGCGCGCGCTCGCGCGGACCGCCAACGCGACCTGCGTGGCGGGCGTCCTGCCGCTCGTGGACGCGGCCGGCGCGGCGGCGCTCGCGGCCGGCGCCGTCGACGTGGAGGTCGACGCGGCGGCGCGGTGGGCGCGGATCGTCGGCGGCGGCGGTGACGCCTCGGGGGGCGGCGCGCGCGCCCCGACGACGGCCGCGCCGCGCCTGGAGTGGGCCCAGCGCGCGGACGCCGTCCTCCTCCGCGTGACGTGGGCGACGGCGGACGCCGCGCCGCCGGCGCTGGACGTGGCGGACGTCCGCGTCGCGTGCGCGCCGCGGGCCGTCGCCGTCGACGCGGCCAGCGCCGCCCGCAACGCGCGCTTCGCCCTCGCGCTCGAGCCCTACGCGCCCGTGGCGCGCTGCCTCTACGAGCCCGGCGCCGTCGGCCGCGGCGTCCTCACGCTCGAGAAGCGCCGGCGGGCGCGCTGGCCGCGGCTCGAGCGCGACTCGGCCCGGCCGCGGCCCAACACGTGGTGGGATCGGCAGGAGCAGTTCCGCGACGAGCTCGTGGGCCTGCCCGACGACGGCGCCGACGCCGACGCCGCGCCGCGGCCGCCCGCCGCGCCGCCCGCCGCCGCCGCGGGGGCGCCCGCGCCGAAGTCGCTCGGCGCGCGCCTCGCCGACTTCCTCGCACGCCGCGGATCCGGCGCGGCGGGGGCCGTCGAGGCGTGGCGCGCCGCCGCCGCGCGCCTCGCGAGCCGGCTGCGGCCGGCGGAGTAATTCTGTACCTCGTACCTCGCCACCGCCGGTCCGCGCCGCCACGTGCGCCGCCGCCCTGGTCGACGGCGGACGGCGACGGGGCGGGGCACATCATTACACACCTACCTACGGCTACGGGGCAGGTCTGCCCGCGGCGGCGGCGACGTCGCGGGCGATCGCCTGGAGCGACCGCCGCAGGCTCGCGAAGACCATGCCGTTGTGCGTCCCGCCCCGCTCCTCGACGAGCTCGACGGCGGCCGCGTCGCCGAGGCCGCGCCGGAGCTCGCTGCGGAGCCACCGCGCGCTCTCGCCCGCCACGAGGCTGTCCGCCGACCCGTGGTACAGCCGCGCCGGCCACCGGACGTCCGCGTAGGCGAAGCCGAAGGCGCCGCAGCACAGCGCGAACTCGTCGCGGAACCCGCGGGGGCCCTGGCGCTGCGCCTCGATGACGCTCGCCAGGAGCACCTGCGCGCGAAGGAGGAAGGATGAGAGTGCGAGGCGCGACGAGCGTGAGTCGCGCGCCGCGGCGCGCGCGCCGTGCGAGCGGCATGTCCTCGAGCGCGCGGAGCTCCCGGGCGCTGAGCTCCTCGCGCGAGGCCGCCGCGTCCGCCTCGTCCTCGTCGCCCTCCGCCGGCGCGCCGCAGAGGTGGAGCTCGCCCCGGGCGGCGCCCGCTAGGCCGAGCGCGGCGAGCGCGGCGGCCGGCGCCGAGAGCGCCTCGTCGGCGGCGCCGCCGCCGCGGCGCAGCCGCCGCCGCTGCTCGTCGACGGCGCCGGGCGCCGCGAGCGCCGCGAGCGAGCGCGGGAAGAACCGCGCCGCGCGGAAGTGCAGCGGCACGCCCGGGCTGTCCAGCGGCACCCAGGGCGACACGAGCGCCAGCCGCGCCGCGAGGCGCCGCCGCCGCAGCGGCTCGTGGAGCGCGCACGCGGCCACGTAGGCGCAGCCCACCGAGTGCCCCCAGAGGGCCACGCGGCGCAGCCGGAGCGTGGCGCAGAGCGCCTCGACGTCCCGCGCGAACGCTGCGAAGCCGCCGCCGGCCGCCGGGCTCGAGCGGCCGAAGCCCGGCCGGTCGCACGCGATGACGCGCAGGCCCAGCCGCCGCGCCACGTCGTCGAAGAGGAGCACGAGGTAGCGGCTCGAGCCGACGCCGAAGAAGCATAGCACTGGGAACCCCGCTGGGTCGCCGGCCTCGGCGAAGCTGAGGTGCCGGCCGTCGCGCGTGACCATGACGCGGTTCGCGCGCCGGCCGCCGAGGCCCTCCGGGCCGGCATCCGCCGCCGCCGTCGCCGGCGTCGGCGGCGGCGGCCCGGCGCCCGGCCCGGCGCCTTTGCTCTTCGCAACACCCATGGCTAGAAGAGCCACATGGCTGCAGTGCCTTGCGCTACTCTGCAAGCCGAGCTGCTCGGTTAGCCCGGAAGCTTAAATAGCTAGTCAATCAAGCTACGGATCGTACGGGCATGCCGAGGCAATTCTAGTTACTCGGGTTTTGGGGACGCTAGCCTAGACCAATATTTACGACGAGGATGCAATGACTGGTCCTATGTGCCGTGCGATCGGGGGCCGCGGGGATGTCATTGGCATGGCCTTCGGGGCTGTTGGCGAGGCCAGCTCGAGCGTGTTGGTTCACGCGAAGGCTTGCGCGGAGGTGATAAGCAAGGAAGCTATGTCGGAGGGCGATGTAGACGCAGTGACGAAGGATACGGGATATGGTAGCGTCTTGGGCGAGATCATCAGGGATTGGGGCGTCGCGTGCTCAAAGCGGAAGGTGAGCCGGGCCGGGGCAGCCTCCCAGAACCCAGATAAGCATTTCCAATGGGACTGACGCGTAAAAAGCTCACTTGGGACCGTGGGACGATGCCCCTGGGGCATGGGCTTGGCCATATCCTGCCCATAGTCCAAAACGCGTCTGCCGCGTCCACCCTTTACTCACGCGTTTTACCTTTCCACCCCAGGGGTCATTACCCGGTAGCCAAAAATCGACTCCGGTAATTACCGGTAATTACCGGTAATTTCCACTACCGGCAATTACCCTGGTAATTTGATTGCCTACTATATCCCCGCGTTCCGATGAGCACCTTTTCAAAACCATCCGAGCCCACCTTGCCGCGAAACTGCCGCCGACACTAGGACCGTTTCGGACCCGCTCTAACCCGACTCTCGCCCAACCCTAACCCTAACCCTCACGCTTTTTACCCTTCCAGGTGCCCCAAAGGTCATTACCCGGTAGCCAAAAATGGACTCTGGTAAAATTTTACCAGTAATTACCGGTAATTACCATTACGGTAATTACCCTGGTAATTTGGTGCTCAACTATAGATCCAAATCGTTGGTTGGCGGGGAATCGGCGCAATGAAGGGCCACGGAGTCGCAGGTGCACTCGCCTCCTGTAGGCACACTCTACGGAGCGCTGGAGTGAAGCCTCCGCTGACGCTTCCTGGGGGCGGACAAGGCCGCCATTCTCTTCGCGAATTCGCCGCGCGCGTTTCGTGCGGGGCTAAAAACCCGTCGCCGTCGTCGCGTGATCACGCGTACACGTGGGCTTGCCGCTTAAGCGTTTGTTTTGCGGCGAAAGCACTCTTTTGCGGATCAACACTGCAAACGGCTCGCAAAATGCAACTAAGGATGCTGCTCGCCCTCCTCCTCGCGAGCGCCTGCGACGCGCTGGTCGCGCCCGCGCGGCGGAGGCCCGGGCGCGTGGCGCTGCGCGCGGCCTCGCTCGAGTTCTCCAAGTACCAGGGCCTGGGCAACGACTTCCTGCTCGTCGACAACCGCGACGCCGCGGCGCCGAAGGCGACGCCGGCGCAGGCGCAGCGGCTCTGCGACCGCCACTTCGGCGTGGGCGCGGACGGCGTCATCTTCGTCATGCCCGGCGACGCGGCGCACGACTTCCGCATGACGATCTACAACTCGGACGGCTCCGAGCCCGAGATGTGCGGCAACGGGATCCGCTGCCTCGCCGCGTACCTCGGCGAGCTCGGGGCGGCGGGCGCGCCGCGGGGGCGCGGCGAGGCCTTCACCATCGCCACGGGCGCGGGCCCCATCGTGCCGCTCGTGCTGCCGGACGGCCGCATCACCGTCGACATGGGCGAGCCGGTCCTGGACGGCCCCGCCGTGCCCTGCGCGCTCGCCCCCACGGACGGCGCGCGCGTCGTGGACGCGCCGCTCGAGGCCGCCGGGCGCGAGTACCGCGTCACGGCCGTGTCGATGGGCAACCCGCACTCGGTGGCGTTCGTCGACGACGCCGGCGCCGTCGACCTGGCCGTCACGGGCCGCGCCGTCGAGGTGAACACGGCGGCCTTCCCCGAGAAGGTCAACGCCGAGTTCGTCGACGTCGTCGACGCCGCGCACGTCAACATGGTCGTCTGGGAGCGGGGCTGCGGCGTCACGCTGGCGTGCGGCACGGGCGCGTGCGCCGTCGCCGTCGCCGGCGTGCTGACGGGCCGCACCGAGCGGACCTGCGAGGTCATGCTGCCGGGCGGGCCCCTGTCGATCGAGTGGCGCGAGAGCGACAACCACGTCTACATGACGGGCCCCGCGGAGTTCGTGTTCCGGGGCACCGCGGAGCTGGACTAGGTAACTTCCATAGTACTCGGTTTGCCCCCCGGCACGGCAATTGACCGATGAGGGCCGATGTCGCTTGGTCATGGGGGACGAGTTACCCCGGGAGATCGAAAATCCGTTGTAGTATAGGATATTCCTCTAGGTTGTCATTAACCTGTTAATTACCCGTTATTAACCTATAATTACCCCTCGGAGGGGATCCGGGGTTAATAACCCGCTCAATAACCCGACGGGTTTTCGACTAAACCCGTTTAGTGAGTTTAGCGAAAGACCCCTCCGGGCGAGCGGATGGGCGCAAGCAGCCCGTTGGGCTTTTGGATACGTACAGGTGCGCCAGGGCAAGTACCAAGTCATGTGGCCCGGCGCGGCCCAGGCCCGCGCCAGTGGCCCGTGAGGCCCCCTCCCCTACCCCTCTATAAGATCCCGGGGTTAATAACCCATACTAACGGGTAATTACCCGGGTTACTGACCCCGGGCCACGATTGGGGTTAATAACCCCTCGGGTAAATGCCAACCTAGATATTCCTTCCTTGATTAATTATTTATTTATTTAGTATAGATACCTTATTGCTATTTCGAGGCTCCGGTTGGGCATCCTGACCGAGCAGGGAGAAGGCTCCTAGGAGCTTGTTCCTTTTTTAGGTCTTCCTTAATTTATTTATTTATTATTTATTTATTTATTTTATTACTAGTCCAGGACCTTGACGAAGTTCGTCACGGGGACCCTCGACGGGTCGTTCGCCGGGATCGAGACGTCCTGCTTGCCGAGGGGGACCTGCGAGAACGCGGCGAGCGCGACCGCCAGCGCCGCGCCCTTGAAGGCGGCCCCGAGCCCCGGGCCGCCGGCCGCGTCGGGCTCGTCCTCCTTCCACCTGCGTGGAAATCGAATGGTGAGCACGGTTTCGTCGATGGCGTGCGCGTCCAAAGTTTGATTTCCACGCAGCCTTCCACCGCTCGCTCAGCAGGGCCGAGTCCTCGGGCGGCCGGTTGTACGCCGAGACCTTGTCGCGGGAGGAGAGGGTCGCACCGTCGAATTGCTTCTCGGGGTCGGCGCCGCGGGGCGGCGGCGTCGGTTTCTTCGCGAAGGGGCCGAACGCCGCGGCTACGCTCGCGACGACCGCGCACGCAAGGGCGCGCCGCATCACTTTTTGCTCTGTGCCGCTGCAGGGATTATGGCTGCTCCGGTGGAGTGCACTGGCAGTCTTCGACCCGCGGGAGCCCTTCGTCGCTGTACAATCAAGCCGGCGCCACTGCTTGGCTTGCGTGCTTAGACTCAGGTGGTCAGACACAAAAAGCCAGCCGACCAGTAGAGCTGTACAATCAAGCCGGCCCGGCGCCGAGACTGTGTGCAATGCGCGGCCCGCCGACTGCCTCGTCGGTTTTGAGAGGATGAGAGGCCTGGAGAGCTGAGCTACGGTGCGAGCCATGTCGTCGGTGCCCGGCGCCTTCGCCGAGAATCTGCGCCGCTACGCGCCGGCCACGCGCCGGCTCCGCGAGGCCGCGCAGCGGTACGTGGACGCGGCGGTCCCGGGGGCGGTCGCGACGGTCGCGGCGCTGCCCTGCCGCGAGCCGGGCTGCCCGCCCGTCGAGGTCGCGGTGCAGGTGCTGGTCGCGGCGCACCCGGCGGCGTTCGCGGTGCGCCGGGCGCCGGACGAGGTGACGGAGGCGGAGCTGCTCGCGGCGCTCGCGGCGGCGCTCGCGGCGCCCGGCGCGCGCGCCGCGGCCAAGCCCGCCGCGCCGCCCGTGCACCTCGCCGACGACGCGCTCGAGGTCCGCCGCGAGGACGTCGCCGCCGTCGCGCGCGAGGTCGTGGACGCGACGCCCTGCGTCGACGTGCACACGCACCTCTTCCCGGCGGCGCACGGGGACCTCATGCTCTGGGGCCTGGACGCGCTGCTCACGTACCACTACCTCGTCGCGGAGTACTTCATGGTCGACGACGGCCTGAGCCACGCGGCCTTCTTCGCGCTGCCCCTCGCGGCGCGCGCGGACCGCGTCTGGGACGCGCTCTTCGTGCGGCGCACGCCCGTCTCCGAGGCGCGCGTCGGCGTGCTGCGGACGCTGGCCGACCTCGGCGCGCCCGGCGCCGCGATGCGCGCGGCGCGCGCGGGCGACCTCGGGCCGCTGCGGGCCTGGTACGCGGCGCGCGCGCCCGGCGACCACGTCGACGCCGTCTTCCGCGCGGCGAACGTCCGCTACGTGCGTTCGCCGTGTGGAAATCCAGTCGCGCGACTCGCGTCGGCGGGCCGACGACGGCGTCACGCAGGTCGTCTGCACGAACGTGCCCTTCGACGCGCGCGAGGCGAGCCGCTTCGTCGACGCGGGCTGCTGCGTGGACCCGGCGACGGGGCTCTTCCGGGGCTGGCGCCCCGGCGACGACGACGCGGCGACGGCCGACGGCCGCTTCCGCACCGCGCTGCGCGTCGACGCGCTCCTCGCGGGCGACTGGGCCACGGTCGCCGCGGCGCTCCGCGCGCGCGGGCTCGACGCGACGCTCGGCGCGGCGCGGCTCTTCCTGTCGGCGTGGGCGCGGCGCTACGGCGCGGAGTACCTCATGGCCTCGACGCCCGGCGACCTGCGGTACGCGGCCGGCGACGCGGGCCTCGAGCCCGGCTGGCCGTCGGCGACGCGGCTCGTCGACGAGGTCCTGGTGCCCGTCGCGCGCGACCTGGACCTCCCGCTCGCGCTCAAGCTCGGGTGCGTGCGGCGGCTGGCGCCGGACCTCGCGCCGTGCGGCGGCGGCGACGGCCTGCGGCGCGTCGACCTCCGCCCGCTCGCGCGGCTGCTCACGGCGCAGCCGCGGCTCAAGGTCCTGGCGACGCTGCTCGGGCGCGCGGACCAGCACGAGGCCTGCGTCCTGGCCCAGAAGTTCCCCAACCTGCACCTGTACGGCTGCTGGTGGTACTGCAACAACCCGTCCATCATCCGCGAGCTCACGAGCATGCGGCTGGAGATGCTCGGGACGGCCTTCACCGCGCAGCACTCGGACTGCCGCGTGCTCGACCAGCTCGTCTACAAGTGGCGCCACTCGCGCGCTGTCATCGCGGAGGCGCTCGCGGCCCAGTACGCGCACCTCCTCGGCGCCGGCTGGACCCTGACGCGGGGCGACGTGCGGCGCGACGCGCGCGCCCTGCTGGGCGGCGCCTACGAGGCCTTCCTCGCGAAGACGCTGCCCTGCGACGCGGCGCCGCCGCCGCCCCCGCCCCCCGCTTTAACGTGTGCGCCTGTCTTGGTTAACTGGCCGCCTATCCCCGCCACTGGCACCACCCGGCTCCCCGGGCCAGTGGCTCCCCCGGCGCCCGGGCTGCTAGACGTGCCTAGACGGCATTACGCGCGGCGTCGCGGTCGCGCTTCGCCTCGATGGTTTCTTTTATGTGGTCGAGCATCGCGTCGCCGCGCGCGCTCCGGGCGCACTGGACCGCGAGCACGACGAACGTCGCGCCGGCCCAGGCCAGGCCTCCCGCCGCCAGCCACTTCACTTGCCCAGGCCGCTTGACGCTGCCGCGGACGAGCCAGAGGATCTCGCGCGCGTAGAACACTGTCAAAAGCGACATGCCCAGCGCCACGAGGCCCGCCATTTTCCTAATCATGCGCGTCTCCTCGACCTTCTCGACCCACCGCTCCTTGCCGATCGCGAGAATCTCCTTCTGCGCCGCGTCGAGCCGCGCGGACTTCTCGCCTGTGTGGAAATCAACCAGTGCGTCGGGTGCACCCGACAATTCTTCACTAAATTTCTCGGCGATGACGCGGCCGTCCTGGCTCTGTCGAGCGGTGAGGAACCGGCATCACCACGCCATCGAGTAGGCGTCGCGTCGATGGCGTGGAGGACGACGCGGCGATTCAGCACGAACGCGCCGTAAAATTTTGATTTCCACACAGCTTCTCGCCCGTGCCGATGCCGACGTCCACGAGCTCCTGGCGTACCGACGCCCATCGTCCCTTGCCGACAGTGATCCTGTTCGCCGGCGGCGCGGCGAAGGCGGCGAGCGCCCCGCCCCGGCCGGCGCCGCCGACGGGCCGCCGCGGCTTCGCGAAGGCGTCCATGGGCTCCACGCCGCCGGCCCGATGCTCCCCGGGGGCAGCCGAGGGAACGGCGCGTGCGCCTCCTGCTCCTTGTTGGCCTCCTGCTCCTCCACTCTAGGACTGCGACCGCCACCCACTCACGCTGCCCCCGCGCTGGGCAGTCTACACACCACGCGCGATCTGAGCTCTTTTGGCAAGGCCGTGCAGCGCTTATAAGCGCTTCCCCCCCCGCTTAAGCACGGTACTACCGCAGTATCAGTCTACTATCAGATAGGAGGGGGGGGGGGTCCGATTCACAGCCGGTGTGATTGCTGCTGGTACCTAGCACACTCAGATGCAACGATCTCATCTGAGACGTGCCACGCGAGTGGGCGCCGCTTCCTTCGGCCGCGCGGTCCTTGTGGTTTTGACACGCCCAAATGTTGTCAGGGTTTGACGCGCCCCAAGTCGTTAGACGGCCGGCGGGCTCTCGCTTGAAGCGGAATTTTCGCCGGTGGTCGCAATCTGAGGAAATGTGCGTCCTTCGTCGCCGCCGGGGGATCACGAGAGGGGACGAGCCGTTGTCCTGGCAGTAGATTGTTCGTGAACAGGGTCTTATACACTTACATCACCCTTCAACACGCAACGCGTAATAAACACAGTTAAAACCAAAACTACTAGTGTATTTAAGGTAGCTCCGCGGCAGACTATCTCAGCCGCCGTACTCCCAAAGGTGCGTACTCCTTTGGTCTTGCATTATTCGCAGTCGCTCTCGACGGACGAGGTCCTTACTCGGTCAGACGTCCCGGTGCTCGCGGATGATCCGGTCCACGAGGCCACGCCGGTCGGTGGCGTGCAGCGTGCGTAAAAAGTTTCGCAAAAGAAACTGGGTTTGCTCGTCTGGACGACGTCCTGGAGGTGGCCGGCACCGACGGCTGTGCCGATGGAGGAAGCGTAAGTAATCGTCCCAGTTGCCGTACTTGCCCACGACGTTCAGGCGCTGCGCCGACTTGACGACCTCGAGCAGCGAGTCGCCGCGGATGGGCGCCGGCCGCCGCGGTTCGAGGTGCGCCTTGCGGCCGAAGCGCCGCATCCACGCCACCGCGCGGTCGTCCTGGTCGTCCGAGTCGCTGTGGAAGCCCTCGTAGAGCGCGGCCTCGGACCCCGACGACGAGGACGACGAGGACGACGACGAAGACGACGACGAGGGAGAACGTCGGCGGCGCCTTCGGGAGCGCTCGTGCCGCCGCGACCGGGAGCGCGACCGGTGCCGTTCGCCACGCGCTCGGTCGCGCGAGCGCTCCATCGACGTAAGTCAGCTGTAGTTTTGTACGCTAGTACTTTGTATGCTGTCTCTCGTGTTGCTGTCGACGTAGAAAACCGCGAGCTCTCGGGGCTCAATCGCCGTGATTTATCTTTGGCCTTAGTCTCCTCTGCAGCCAAATGTGCTCGACAGGTACGCCCAAACAGCGTCTCCTGGTCGCGCGTTTCGCCCACTCTCACGCGACACGCTAATTGACGGGGCGATGCACGGCCGAGCCAGGAAGAAGCACAGCAGAGTAAAAGGTCGGCGTTGCTGTTTAACTAGGCTGTGGAAACAGCGAGCTCGGATCTCGGCGAGCACTCAAAGCCGAAGCAGCAAGGCAAAAGCACTCTCAAGCAAACCCGTTTTGGATTGAATTGAAAATCTAGAGCACACACAAAAAAAAACTGGTCCCTGGGGCCGGCCACTAGTCGTCTGACCCCTGCTTCTCCTCCTTCGCACGCGCCAATCTCCGGCGCTGCTTGCGCGCCGCGCGGCAGGTCCCGGCAGGTCCGCTCCTTGTCGGCGGCCCGCCGACTTCGTACGCGCCCGAGCGTCGCGGTCGCGGGGCAGCCTCGGGATGGGCGCGGCGGCGAGCGCCCGCGCCGACGAGACCGTGGTAGCGGCCTGTGTGGAAATCAACCAGTGAGTTAGGTTCGTGCTGCCGCAGATATACGGGGATAGAGCAGACGCAGCTAAGGGGACAACGTCGCGTCGATGGGTGGGGCGTCTGAAATTTGATTTCCACACAGGTGACGGCGCTGCGGACGCGGCTCGGGCTCGAGGCCCTCTCCGGCGAGCGGCGCGCCCTCGTCGAGGCGCGGCTCGACGACCTCTACGAGAGCCGCGGCGGCGATCGGGCGTGGGCGGAGGCGGCCGAGGGCGAGCGCCCCGCGCTGGTGGAGGCGTTCGAGGCCGCCGCGCGCGGCGTCGTGGCCGACCCCGAGACATTCCGGCGCCGGCGCCTAAGTTACGCGACGGCGCCGGCCGGGGCGGGCGCCGACGCCGGCGCCGGCGCCGGCGCCGGCGCCGGGGCGGAGGCGGCGGCGAGCGTCGAGTTCCGCAGCCCGGCCTACGACCCGCTGCGGCCGGCGGCGCCCGCGCAGCCGTGGCCCGCCGCCGCCGTCGGCGCGCTCACGTACCACGGCATCGAGCCGCGCGCGGTCGGCGCTGCCGTGGGCAGCGTGGCCAAGATTAATCAGGACCGGGGCGTCGTCGTGCAGCCCTTCGGCGGGTCGCCGCGGCGGGCCCTGTACGGCGTCTTCGACGGCCACGGCGAGCACGGCGAGCAGGTGGCCGAGTTCTGCACGCGCGCGGTCGTCGCGGCCCTCGAGCGGGCCGTGGCCGCGGACGCCGGCGCGGCGGCCTGCGAGGCCGCGCTCGCGGCGGCCTTCCGCGAGGCCGACGCGGCGCTCGCGGCCTCGGCCGTCGAGTCGACCTACTCGGGCACGACGGCCGTCGTCGTCGTGCGCCTCGGCGGCACGCTCGTCTGCGGCAACGCGGGCGACTCGCGGGCCGTCGTCGTGCGGCGCGCCGGCGCGGGCTTCGAGGCGGCGCCGCTCAGCCGCGACCACAACCCGGACCTGCCCGACGAGCGGCGCCGCGTCGAGGCGGCCGGCGGCTTCGTGAGCGACCCGCCCGCGCCGGGCCTGAGCGCGCGCGTCTGGCTCGACGCGAAGCGGACGCGCGTCGGGCTGGCCATGTCGCGGAGCCTCGGCGACGGCGCGGCCAAGCGCGTGGGCGTCGTGAGCGACGCCGAGGTGCGAAGACACGCCGTCGACGTGGCGCGCGACGCGGCGCTCGTGGCCGCGAGCTGTGTGGAAATCAACCAGTGCGTCGGGTGCACCCGACAATTCTTCACTAAGTCATTTCTCGGCGATGACGCGGCCGTGCCGGCTCCGTCGAGCGGTGACGAACCGGCACCGCCACGCCATCGAGCAGGCGTCGCGTCGATGGCGTGGAGGACGACGCGACGGTTCAGCACGAACGCGCCGTAAAATTTTGATTTCCACACAGGCCGCGAGCGACGGCGTCTGGGAGTTCGTGGGGAGCGACGAGGCGGCCGCGCTCGTCGGGGCCCAGCTCGACCAGGGCGGGCCCGAGGCGTGCGCGGACGCCTGCCGCGCGCTCGTGGACCTAGCCGCCCAACGGTGGCGCGACGCCGAGGGCCTGTACCGGGACGACATCACGTGCGTCGTCGCGCGGCTGGGGGAGTGATGCGCGTTAGAAGAGGCTTGGTGTATGTCCTTTTCCTTTAGGATATTCCTTCCAACTTGAATTATTTATTAAAAAGGTATGAACCACTTCAGGGTCACCTGCCCTGAGGGCAGCTAACCCTGGAGGAGTTCATGCCTTTTTCCCTGCCGGGGGCTGCTCCGCAAGGGTGCCAAATCCGGCGTGGGGGGTGATGGTTCGGGTTTAAGACTTTTTGATTCTTATAAACCATCCCCAAAACCCGAAATCAGTGGTTTATAAGAATCAAAAAGTCTTAAACCCGAACCATCACCCCCCACGCCGGATTTGGCACCCTTGCGGAGCAGCCCCCGGCAGGGAAAAAGGCATGAACTCCTCCAGGGTTAGCTGCCCTCAGGGCAGGTGACCCTGAAGTGGTTCATACCTTTTTTATTTACTAGCTCCGGTTGGGCATCCTGACCGAGCAGGGAGAAGGCTCTTACTAGGAGCTTGTTCCTTTTTTAGGTCTTGCTTTGCTTAGAGCTAGGCTGCCTAGCCGCGAGGTCCCCGCCGCGGGGGCTTCCTTAATAATTGCTTTGCTTAGAGCTAGGCCGCCTAGCTACCCGGCCGCCGCCATAATTAATTTATTATTTATTATTAGTTTTGTCGCGCGCCAGCGGCGGCCGCGAGGATGCGCCCGAGCTGGTCGTCGTCGTAGCGGCGGAGGCTGGGCACCAGGGCCCGGGCCTCCTCGGGCTCCGAGTCCCGGCCCATCAGATTGGTGATCGCGGCGACCTCGAAGACGTGGAGCGCGCCGGCGTCCGTGCCCTCGAAGTCCAGGTCCTGCAGCGCTTGCCGCACGTGCACGGCCTCGGTCTTCACCGCCTCGAGCGGCCGCGCGCCCACGTTGCGCCGCGCGTACTCCAGGGCCTTGCGCGGGAACGGCCGGTCGGCCGCGGCCGAGCTGCGCAGGTGCGTGTCGAGGATCGTCGTGACCTCCGCGTCCGAGAGGCACTCGCAGCTGTCCAGCGGGAACTCGGGCCCGAAGGCGAGCGTGGCGGCGTCGTCCGCGGGCTGGCCCGCGAGGGCCATCGTCTCGGTGAGTATACGTTCGCGAGTGGTTGTCTTTTTTGTGGCGTGCCGTCACGCGGCCTGTATTCACCGCCTGCTATTCCTAGTGGCTTACGTACTCTAGCTTCTCGTTGGAGTCTCTTTTCAGCCGGAAGACCCGCTTTGTGTGTTTGCGGTTCCTGCATCCTACTAGCCACTTTACTTGTTTGATTCCGACTCCTGCACGCCGTAGAGAGGTGTCAGGTCTTTACGCGGTTGCGCCTAAACAACTGTGCCGTAGAGGAAGCTTAGGCACCGTGTCTTTACGCCGTAGGGTCTTTAGAGACCGCGACACAAGCTGTTTGCGTGAGACTGCCGGTCTTTAGGTCTTTACGCGGCGCGGGACTATGAGGATTACTCACGCTTGCAGCGTGCTCGCCACTGCGGCCTACGTGATACCCGCCACCGAAACAGCCGCCTCGCGCTGGCGACGAGGCTCGGCGCGCCCCGCCCCGCTCCACGGCCTATTCGGCGGCGGGGCGAAGGAAGACGTCGCCGCCGGCCTCGCGGACGACGAACTGGAGGTCGAGCTCACGCGGCCGCTGGGCGTGACGGTGCAGGAGGGGGCGAACGGCCGCGTGCTCGTGCAGGGCTGCCGCGCGGGCGGCTGCGCGGCGGCCGCCGGCGTCGCGCCCGGCGACGAAATCATAGGCGTCTCGGCCGTCTTCGGCGCCGGCGTCTGGCGGTGCGAGGGCGCGGGGCTCGACCGCGTCGAGGGCCTGATCCGCGCGCGGGAAGGGTCCGTGACGCTGCGCCTGCGCCGCGGCGCGGGCGAGCCCGCGGCCGCCTCCGACGGGCTCGACGAGGAGGACGTCGACGCGGGCACGTTCAGCGCCATCTTCGACGACGACGACGAGCCGTCAGCCGCCGACGGCCCGGGCGCCGCGCCCGACGGCGGTGGTGCCCTCGACGCCCTCGTCGAGTCGATCCTGTCCGCGGACTACGCGCCGCCCGACGCCTAGGTCCACTTCACTAAAGGAATGCCCAGTGCACCCCCATGGGTAGTCCGCGCGTTCGTCCAAACTCCGCACGGGTTTCGAGCAGTCCAAACTCCGCACGGAATTCGGGGCGCCCCAATCCGCTGAGCTTGTTTGCCGTCGCGAGTGTGGCCGTTGAGAGCGCGCTTTGTAGAGTTCCGGTGCGCTGCTGGGCCCAGTCCTTCTGCGCGCGATTCGACGTGCTGCAGGGGCGGCTAGTGGGTTAGGCTTCAGTGGGCTAGGCTTCGCCCCGGGGCGCGGCTTCCCGAAAGCCGGCTAGGCTTGCCTGCCAGTGCCTGCCTGGGGGTTGCACTCGCATATATCCCCGGTTCGTCCGAGTCTTCTTGCCAAGTTCCTGGTGGGCCGGAGGCACAGGGTTGTTACGTTACGCGGGCGGGGGGTACTGCTAGCACCCCGACCACGGCGCTGGCCACACGGTTGCGCACGCGTCCGAGATCGCGATGCGCACGGCCTTCGATTCCGGGAGGTGCCCCGCGCCGGCGGCGAAGACATCTTCGCGCACGCGCACGCGCACACACGCACACACAAGCCGGCGCCGGGCATCTATCGCATCGCGTCGTCGTCCACCTGCGACTACTTGAGGTTTGTTAAGACTTAGCTTGGCACCAAGTGGCGTGGGTATGCTCGCTGGAGCGGCGACCCGCAGGTCGCCTGCATGTACCCTTCATTGGCACGCAGGGCGATAGTTCTCGGGTCGTTGTTGTACTGTTCCGACGCACGGCACTCCCTAAACATCAGCCCCGAGCGCCTCGCTAACAAACTGGCCCGATGCCCAGGCCGCCAGTCGGACATAGAGGCCGCCCGGCGGGCGGCCTCCTGATGTCGACGCCCGCGACGTAGCACTCCTTGATTTTGTTCATGACGCCTTTCTTATTTCTTTTGGAGTTATTTATCCAGCTGAACTCATCAGCGCCGAGGTCCACATCTTCTATGCGCGTCGGCCGGTTCGGCTGGGCCATCGCGCGTCTGCTCGTGTGCAGATGGCTGTCTGCGATTTAGAGCTGGAGAGCACGAATCGTCGTCGGATTTCGCAGGCACCGCAGGCTAAAATAGAGATGCTCTGCTGCCCTGTCCGCTATTTTTGCCGCACGTGAGTCCCAGACGCACCAAGCGGCACCACAGTAGTGCGCCACATCGTCTCTAAGGGAGGCACAACTCGACAGGGGAAGGGACCTAGGGCGTCACGCCGCGCGCCGCCAGCGACTCCAGCGACTGCTGCGTCCGGTCGTGGTTGTCCTTGAGCCAGGAGGGCGCGAGGCAGACCAGGAATCGCCGCCGTCGAGCTCTGGTTGTTTGGCTAAGTAAAAACCGCGCCTACCTCGAAGCGATCGCGGGAAGCCGGACGCGGAAGAAGTAAAAACCGCTCTCGACAAGCTTTGGCTCTTCGCCGCCTGCCTAGTAAGACCGCCGTATACGCGTATTGGATGTTTGGCAACAGCAGCCTCCCCCCGGCCCTCGCTGCCCGGCTGCAGGGCGCCGTCGACGCCGGCCTGATCGAGGCGAACGCGCTCGACCCCAAGGTCCTCCAGGACCTCGCCGCGCTGCCCGAGCCGCTCGCGGCCGTGGTCGTCGACAGATTTCTCGCCAGCAACCTGGCCTCCGTGCGGAACCCGTCGGCGTTCCTCGTGGGCGTCATCTCGCGCTGCCGCGGCGAGCAGTGCACAAATCAAAGCGTCGCGACGCGTCTTCGCCAGTGCTGCATCGTGGCCTCCGCGCCATCGACGCGCCGCCAGCTCGATGGCGTGGCGTTGTGGCCTACGGCCGCTCGTTCCGGCCGACGCAGCCGCGTTCTCGCCGAGAAGGGACGTCGTCGAGAATTGTCGCGCGCGCCCGGCTCACCGGTCGATTCGCGCAGGCGGCGAGCTCCCGGGCGCGGGCCCGGGGACCGCGCCCGCGCCCGCCGCCGCGTTCGCGGGCTTCTCCGAGGCCGCGCAGCTCATGGGCAGCACAGCCGTGACGTCCACGGGCGTGCCCCAGAACGCGAACCCGCTGCTCGCGCCCTCGCGGACGATCCACGTGGGCAACCTGAGCCCCGGCGCGTCGCCGGCCGTGCTGCGCCAGATCTTCGAGTGCATCGGGGGCGTGCGCGACGTGCGCGTGGCCGGCGACGGCCGCTACGGCTTCGTCGACTTCCTCGACGCGGCCGCGGCCGAGGCGGCGGTGGCGATGAACGGGACGATGGTCTGCGGCGCCGCGCTGCGCGTCGAGAAGGCCATGCAGCCGCGGCTCTTCGCGCAGTCGAACCAGCCGACGCCGCTGCCGCCCGCGGGCGCGCGCGACCCCGCCGCGGCGCTGCTCGCGTTCCGCGCGACGCAGGCGTCGGCGCTGCGCGCCGGCGAGGCGGGCGGCCCCGCGCCCGGGGCCGGCCTCGCCGGCGTCACGTCGCCCGCCGTCCTGGCCGCGCTCGCGCGCGCGGGCGCCGGCGGGGGCGCGCCGGCGCCCCCCGCGGGGCCGGACCCGGCGCTCGCGTTCCTGAACCCGGCGCAGCAGCGCGCCGCGCGGGAGGCGCAGCACCGCGAGCGCCTCGCGGCGGCGCCGAGCATCGGCGGCTGGGGCGTCGCCAAGCGCCGCGACGAGACGTCGTCGTCGTCGGACGAGTCCTCGGACTCCTCCGACGCGTCCCGCGGCCGCAAGCGCCGCCGCCGCCGCCGCGACCGTGGGCGCGCCCGCCGCCGCTCGCGCTCGCGCTCGCGCTCGCGCTCGCGCCGCGAGCGCCGGCGGGGCCGATAGGGCCTGTATCTTAGGATACTTCCTTCTCCCTCTTAATCTCCTTTATTCCAACTCGTCTTCTCAGGGTTCAAGTTGAGGGGGTTCCGCCTACGCGAACAGGTCGAAGTTCCCCTCGAAGGGCTGCATGTAGTCGCCCGCGTAGGGCTTGATGAAGGACAGCGCGGGCACGGAGCCGTCGACCTTCGAGGCGGCCATGAAGCCGAAGATGCCGAGCATCGCTGCGCGGCCGTTGTTGATCTCCACCGCGAGGCCGCGCTTCGACTTCTCGGCCGACATGTCGCCCCAGAGGCCGGCGGGGTCGTAGAGGTCGACGGGCATGACCTGTGTGGAAATCAAAATTTTACGGCGCGTTCGTGCTGCATCGTCGCGTCGACCTCCACGCCATCGACGCGATGCCTGCTCGATGGCGTGGCGGTGCCGATTCCTCGCCGCTCGACGGAGCCAGCACAGCACGGCCGCGTCATCGCCGAGAAATGAGCGCCCGACACACTGGTTGATTTCCACACAGGGCATGACGGCGTCGAAGCCGGTCTCGGCGAAGCTGGGGTACTTGCCCGGCACGCCGCCCTTCATGTAGTGCGTGCCCGCGATCTCGCTGTAGAACCTGCGCGGGCGCGGCCGGCGCGTCGCGGGCGGCCGGCGGGCGGGGCGGGGCGGGGCGGCGCGGCGCGGGGCGGGCGCCGCGGCGCGCTCGAGGAAGCCGACGAACGCGACGATCTGCAGCTTCGCGTTCAGCGGGATCGCGTCCCACTGCTCCGGCGGCGAGCCGGCGACGTCGAAGGACCGGCCGTCCATGGTCATGGCCCAGGGCCAGTGGAAGCCGTTCGCCTGGACGACGTAGCCCGAGAAGGCCGCCATCGCAACGCGGCCGTGCTTGATCTCGGCGTGGCGCAGGAAGCCGATGGTCTCCTCCTCGCTCTTGCCCCAGAAGTTCTGGGAGCTGAGCCCCAGCGGGTCGTAGAAGCCGACCGTCGGGTTGAGCTCCTTGGCCAGCGCCTCGAGGTCCGCCTTGGTCTCCCGCAGCCGCGTCTCGGCGGGCGCGGCCGCCGGGCCGACGAACGCCGCGGCCGCGGGGAGGACCGCCAGTGCGACGGCGAGCTTCATCCTTGTCTCTGCCTGCGTTGTGTTACGGTCCCGGGCCTGCCGCGGCGCGCGCGCCTCTCGCTTGCGTTGTGTGTGTGTAGATAAGTACTAAATCCATCATGTCCCGTGCCAGCGGCGCCACGCCATCGCCGCGCCGCTCACACGGAGACGGCGTCGCGGCGATAGCGTCGAGGGCGCACGTCCGCGAGCAGCGCCGCGGCCGGGACCAGAGGTCCATGGCCAGCGTGACGAGTCACGGCTCGGCAAGATTTTTGTGTGTAGCAACCAGATTCCCCCAGCGTGGTTGTCCGGTCGCCCGCAATGGCTTCGCTGCCCGTCTTGGTCCAAGGACCAGGCGTGGACGGGCTAGCGCCCGCGGCAGATGGAAACGATGGCAGAGGTCCCCTGGCGCGTCAGAGCCACGGCGCGCCAAACCGGCGCAGCGCTGCATGCTTCCGACCGTGTTGAGCACGTCTGCCAACGCTGTGGCTGCAAAATTACTCGCACACTGACCTGCTTGGGCTGAGATTGCGGGTTATCGTCGTACCTGTGATTGAGGGGGAGGGTGAGGCGTGGTGGGGCGGTGAGGCGGGTGCGGCGCGGCGACTCGTCGACGCGCGCGCCTCTGCGGTTTTGGGGCGGCGTTCTCGGAGGCCTCGAGTCGGATGCGGGTGTGTCAAGAGCCGCTCGGAACGTTTCGCGGCGCCAGCGCAGCCATGCGGCGCCACCGCGACGGAACACGGTCGCCGAGCCAGCCGGACGCGTCGTGCGCCAGCCGCGCGACCCAGGCAGCTGCTAAGCTGTCCGAGGCTCTATCAGGGCCCACAAAGGCGCAGCATCCGCAGTTTTCGAGCTGGGAACGCTAATCAATCCGCGCGTGACACTCGCAATTTGTTTTCTCTCAGTGGATTGCGTATCGCTCTGGTAAAGGCACAAATTTAGCAGTCCTTGCCGAGGCCCGGCTCCAAGATCTCGACCCCCTACTCCTGCCTCCGCTGCCCGAAAAACGATCCGTAACCGTCCCGCGGACGAGTAGGAACCAAGCCTGGTCCAATTTCCGGACAGGTCGAAAACTTGAGCGCGGGCATGGTCTTTTGCTCCAACGGAATCCCCCCTAGCTGCTTATTTTCGAATCCGATGCTACACGTTCGTTTCCCAGCCAAAAGCAACGGTCCTGGGCCACATTTGACCGGTCGCAGATCTACAATTGGCTGGGATGGTCGCTTGCTATGCCACCGCGAAGACGCGCCCAGTGCGTTTTGGCTGTGTTTGGGGGCCCACAAAAGTACCTTCACCCGCATCTGGCTACGGATAGGGTGCCCGGGCAATGCCAGGGGTCCATGGGGATCGGCTACTGCACGTTTGGTGCTAATTTAGCCCGATTAAAAAATCGCCCACGTTTCCCGCGAAAACGAATGGTGAAACGCGTCGCGTTAGAATCGGAATGACTGACTCGACTTTTTTTTATCTGTCGCGAGGTTGAGGTTAGGATTGGGTCCGAGTAAGGGTTAGGATTAGGATGAGACTAGGGTTAGGGTTAGGGTTGGGCGAGAGTCGGGTTAGAGCGGGTCCGAAACGGTCCTAGTGTCGGCGGCAGTTTCGCGGCAAGGTGGGCTCGGATGGTTTTGAAAAGGTGCTCATCGGAACGCGGGGAGCGAGAGAAACGTTTTTACGGGGACGGAAAGGGCGAGCGGCGAAAAACAGCGTTCTGACGAGCGGCGAAAAACAGCTTAAATGCTAGTGGCGCAAAACTCACTAGGGCCTGTGTGCCCCGTACCGTTAACGGTACGGGGCAGGTGCGCGACCACGTCGCGAGTCTTAGGCGCCAGCTTCGGCTCCGCGAAGAGCTGGAAATACTCAGACGGGACAACGATCGGCTCAAGAGGATCAGAGAGGCCAAGATCGAGGAGCTCCGCGAGGAGCTAGAACAACTCAGACGGGACAACGATCGGCTCAAGCGGACCAAGAAGCGAAAGACTTCAAATGTCACCGGCGCCGTGTCGGGCGGCGACGTCGAGATGTCCGAGGCACCGTCTCCTGGGACGTGACCACCGGCTGCCCCGTACCGTTAACGGTACGGGGCACACAGGCCCTAGTGAGTTTTGCGCCACTAGCATTTAAGCTGTTTTGCGCCGCTCGTCAGAACGCTGTTCTTCGCCGCTCGCCCTTTCCGCCCGTCTAAAAACGTTTCTCTCGCTCCCCGCGTTCCGATGAGCACCTTTCCAAAACCATCCGAGCCGATGCTGCCGCGAAACTGCCGCCGATCTCTGTGCAGAGCGCTGACACGCGCGCACGCCAGCCGCACTTCATCCCGTGCACCTCGCACGCGCAGCGCGCAGCATGAGGACGCGATTCGCACAAGTGTGGGATGCATACAGCAGTAGCAGGCGACGACAACGACCTATCGGTTTCCCTCCTGAGCTCCGGCTGGTACACCCTGCGCACCCACTGCGACACGCTACGCAAGTCGAGAAGAGCAGTCGTGGCCGTTTGCGCCCGATCTGCTGCCTCGTGGCGCCGCGCGCTGTCAAAGCTCGGCGCTGCGGCGGCGTCCGCGACGGAGCACGACGACGTCAAAACCGTCAAACCTGCGGTCGCTGCGGCATCGTGCGCCGTCGTCGCGCTGCCCCGCTGCAGCGGCGACGAAGGCGTGCGTAGCGGCGCTCGCGAGCGACGTGCACCTGATCCCCGAGAAGCCCGCGGCGTAGGAGGAGCTGCCGCGCCGCACCCGGCGGTGGTGCGTCCTCAAGAACTGGGCGCTTAAGCCGGGCGTACTTCGCGTCGGCGAGCTTGTGGACGTTGGAAGCGGGATGTGCGCTTGGCGCTGCCGCCGCCTGCGCGCCGCGCCTGGCGACCGATGCCGAGCCGACGCGGCTTGCAAGTTTTTGGCACGTGCACCTATCAAGGGCGCTGCGTTGCTCTGGTTCGGTGACACACGCCTAATCAACACGCCCGTGCATGCGGCGGACGAAAGACGCGTCGAGTGCTCATTGGCTCACGAGCAGTCGGGCGTGGGCGGCGGCGCGGTCTTGGAGCTCTTCGATGGATAGGCGTCGAGGGAGAATGACAACGTGTCATGGGATCAATTCGTGCACGGTGTCGAGATCGACATTTGCTGTATGTAACAGCGAGGTGCCGGCGAGCCGCCAAAATGTCTAGAAAATTTTCAAGCAGCAAAGGGCGCAAGTGCACGGAGCGCACGGAGTAGCGCGGACATCTGTGAAACATAGTGTTCATGATGACTCTACAAGATTTGACCCACGTTGAAGTACGAAACCAGAAGGCCGCCCGCACCCCGAAGAAGACGTGCCCGAAATGTAAAATGCAAGTGCCCGTGGCCCGTCAGCGTTGTGAAAACTGTCCTCACCAGTTCATCAGCAACGCAGCCCCGGACCGCGAAGCACGCAAGGCAGCCCGCAAGGAGAAGAAGCGGCTGCGCGCCCACCGCGACGGCATACAAGCCGCGGCGAAGCGGCTGCGCGCAGCGGCCAACGAGCGAGCGGCCAACGCGCGGGAGACCGTCGATTTCGCGCCTGATCTGGCGACGCACGGATCCTCGCACGAGTGCCGCGGCGCCCACGTGGCCGCTCCGACGGAAGGGATGGCGCTTGCGCGCGAGGCGCTAGATGTCGCGCCGGCGGAGCCAACCGTTTTCGAACCGACAGTTTTGGCCGCAGTGCCGGAGACGCCTGCGTCTGCGCCAGAGGCGCCCATGCCGATGGATGTCGCGCCGGATGTGCCGGTCGCCTTGCCGGATGCGCCAGCCGTCGCGCCGGAGGCGCCCATGCAGATTGATGTCGCGCCGGAGGCACCTGCTCCCACGCTGTATCCGCCTGCTCCCGCTTTGGAGGTAGCCGCCGCGCGTGAGCGCGCCAAGTACCAGGAGATGCAGCGGTCTCTGAGGCAAGAGGTCGCTATGTGGAAGAAGCGGTCGCAGCGGTTAAGTCGTGGGTCGTGCGTGGTGATAAATGAGCTGGCATTGCTGATCGAGGGAGGAGGTGACGAACCAGATCTCCACGAGCACAGCTGGGGGAGCGAGAAGGAGGTCGCAAAGAGCGGACCGTGGAAGTTGGATCCAATTAAAAATTCTGTCTACAAGACGCATCCAAGGAAGGAAGAGGCTATTAGGCTCTACCAAGACTGGTCGATTCGCGTCATTCAATGCTTCTTGAGGCTTGGGTACGACATCGACATCGGCGTGACGAAGCAAGCTCCGTTCGTCCGCTTGGGCCAGAAAGATCCGAGCAACGGAACCAAGAAACGCATGTTCGCCCTTTTTCAAGTCGAGGGCAAGGGTACTGCACAGAAAATCGAGACGGATTTGCAAGCATACGTCAAGAGGCTCAAATACGAGGGCTTCACAAATACATTGAAGGCTGCTGGAAACGGCGTGCACGAAGCCATGAATACGATTTACCTCGTCTTCTGGATGAAAGACGAAGAAACGCCCCCGGTCGCTCCCGATGCACGACCTCGCGGAATGGCGGCGCGCGCTAGCGCGCTTGTTCAGTCCACGCTGTCCGGTTTTCTGAAGTGACTGGGTTGTTCGTCAGCAGGCGGTCATGGCGTCGCAGTGCTGGTCGTGGTTCTATTTGGGGGTTGGTTATAAATCGGAGTAATTCCCCTCTATGTAAAACCCGTGCACTACTGGGTTTGATTAAGGGCGAGTACCACAGATCACAAATTACTCGTCGACGACCGCACGGAGAACGATGGCCCGCCGCGTGGCGTGTCCGCGGCGCGCTTTAGCAGATCCGCCACGACGCCCTTGAGCGATGCGTTGAATTGGTCGAGGCCACCAAAGCCCGCTTCGATGGTCGCTAACCCAAAAAAATGGCTATGAATACAGATTGTTTGTTCCTGGAATTTTTCAAGTAGAATTGTTAAATCAATTTGGTCGGCGCACGAGGACATTGACATGGCCTATCAAGGCGACGTCGAAATCATCCACAACTGGCGCGAGGAGCACTCCATCGAGGACCTCCAGCGCATCGTCGAGCGAAAGGGCTACTCGGCCTTCTCCGTGGGCAGCTTCGACTTGGATTTGTGACTTTGCCAAATTGAGCAGCGTTCCTCATCGCTCTTGTAAAGTTGTTCCATAAGTCGCAAGGATGAAGATGATTCAGACATGTTTCTAATTATCTAGATTTTTTTTTTACAATGAACTCAAGTTGAAGTTTCACTAATGTACCGCATGCGGTACATTAGTGTACACCGCAGCCCCCGGCCCGGGCGAGGCTTAGGGCTGCGTAGAACTAGAAGCTTCCGGCGCAAAGGCTCCGGAGCTCGGTACGTAAGTATTGATCTTTAGCTGTGCCCCAGCTTGGGCTTTCCCTCTTTCCCTTGAGGCAGAGCAATTTGCGCCCTGCCTGCACCCAGGCTGCCCCAGGAGGGCGCCTCGGCAAGCATCCGCGGCTTACTGCCGCCCTCCCTATCCACTGCGGCGGACTCGCCTCGGATGGCATCTTCCGACGACGCAAAGCTGCCCTGTGACAAGAGAACACTGCAGGGAGATCTTCTCGAGGTGCTACGTCGGAGTGGTTTCCATGATGCGGCCGCAACACTGGAGGATCTGCGCGCGCAGGAGCATCTCGAGCGGAGAAAACTAGGTGATGGGAAGAAATTTGCCCTCGCCTGGGCGCAAATCGTTGCCGCAGTCGTACGCGACGGCTCGCTGTTTGGGGAGCGTGCGCGAGAGGATCAGCTAGCGCGGCTCAAGGGAGCATGCCACCTGCCGAGCAGGAGCAGCGTGGGGGGGAATCATGCGGGCTCGCAGCTGCGAATCGATGCAAACGGCAGGACGGGACAACGAGGCCACACTGGTAATTTTTGGACCACCGCGCCGGACATGGCGCGCCCCGAGGTGCGGGAGCACCTCGAGCACGCGCTAGACAAGGCTGCTGCAGCGGCCGTCTGCAAATTTGCTTGCAAAGGTTGTTCGCCACCGTCGCTCTGCGTTACTACGGCAAAGTGCGAGGAGATTTTGCGTCCGCTTCTTGACCGTGATCCTGAGTTGCGACACATGCTCAATGCAAAAAAGTTTCCGATGCGCCTTCGCATCCTCGCCGACATTACGCGCTTACGCGTAACCTGGCCGGAAGATTATACAAAGACGACCCTCAGGCCCATCCCGAAAAACTCACACTTCAGGCGGGGCGCTGATGCGATTTGCGCCGGGCCGACACCAGATGCCGAGCTCGACTTCGTCGTAGTCCGTGGCAAGCTAAACAGCGAGTTTCGACCGTTCGCCAAACCCTCCGTCGACCTAGCGCGCATTCTCGCGGCCATCGCGAGTGAGACCGCTGATGAGGTGGACGAGTTCAGCGGTTCCAAGCAAGCACAATCCAAGGCACGTAGCAGAGTTTACAAGCGGGCGTGGCACAGCGGGTACCGCGCACCACCCCACCTTGACCGGAAAACATCAGTCAGGAATTTGTTTTACGAGCCAGCAGCGCCGTCGGCGCGGCGCGCACGCCTCAACGAGGAGCTACGATGCACCTTGGAGAAAATATACCAGGAAGCTCGACCCTACCTCTATGCCCAGCTTTTGCCGCACGAAATGGCGAAGCTGGCCTTCAACATGCAGGATTGGCTCGGCGAAGGCAGGACGGAAGCCCCCAGTGTACCCTTACTGGCGGCCGTCTGGTTGGATCTCGGTGCCATTTTAGCACATGTTGACGATGATCCTGGTCTTGCGTTTATGGTCGCTTGCGCGTGGGGTTCGAATGACGAGACGGTGAGACCGCCCCGTAAGCGCGCACGTGCTCAGTCCCGGGCACACGGCCAAAACGTGCGTGGAAGCGGTTTCTATTTTCCTGCCAGTGGACCCGAGGGAATCTACGTCTCGCTGCGTCAGGGCGACATACTCTTGTTTAATCCTTCGGCGCCGCACTGCGCAACAGAGCCGTGGTACGAAAGTGATGATCCCGGCTGGTTCCGTGTCCGCTCGTTGGTTTCGTGCTACCTGAACCGTGACATGATCGGAGCGGCGCGTGCCGCCCAAAAAATTGCCCCCGGCTAGACTCAACCTCACGAAAAGAATGAAGGGGAAACCGCGTCCTTGGCATCTTCACGTAATTTCCTGGTGGATATTTAACCCTAACCCTGACCGACTCGATTTTTTATATCTGTCGAGCTGGACCTTATAAGGTCCAGCTCGCGGTGCTAGAACTAGTGGGCGGAGCCCCTGGGGGGGGTGACAAATAATAGGGTTAGCGGCAGAAAGACACTAGGGATGCCTAGCAGGATCAGCCAGACCGGCCGCGCGCGGAGTCTGGCCAGAGTAGGGAAGCCGTGGGCAGCCAGCTTGGCAAGGCTGCGTCCAGTTGTGTGCTCAAAGGGCTGCTACTGATGAAAGTGTGGTGGGGGTAACTCCTTGCAACTCCTTGGTCTGGTTCTGGGAAGGCAGCCTGTGGTGGATCACCGATCTGTCGCATCATGGGCTGCTCATCGTCGCAGCCGGCGCCGCCGCAGGAGTTCTTCAAGGTCGGCAACCGCGTCGCGGCGGTCAAGCTCCAGCACGTCAGGCGGTTCCGCAACCCGCACACGGGCGAGATGGAAGACACCCTCTTCGGCGCCGCGTGGTCGCCGGGGATCGTCACGGCCGTCAATGAGGTGCAGGTCATGGCGAAACGTTACGACCGGGGGTCCGCGTATAAGGTCGCCTGCCAGGCCCAGGCCAATAAAACGCGGCGCGTTCGCAAGTACACCGTGACCTTTGACACCGGTGATTGCGAGGCCGACGTGCCTGTCGACCGCATCCGGGCCGACGCCTCGCCGGCGCCCGCACGGCCGCCCGGGGCCGCCGCGACGGAGGCTGCCCGCGTTTAAGACTATGATCCAAAACTATGATTACTAGAGCCGTGGCGGCCCCGTCGCGGAGGGGTCGGCGAGCCGCTTGGAGTGCGTGCGACGTGAGAAAACGCTGCGAGGCTCGATGCACTACGCGGACCGGCGGGCCGGAGCCGAGCTCGCGGTAGCATTTAAGCTGTTTTGCGCCGCTCGTCAGAACGCTGTTCTTCGCCGCTCGCCCTTCCCGTCCCCGTAAAAACGTTTCTCTCGCTCCCCGCGTTCCGATGAGCACCTTTTCAAAACCATCCGAGCCCACCTTGCCGCGAAACTGCCGCCGACACTAACCCGCACCATCTCATGTCGCACGCACACCAGCCGCACTTCATCCCGTGCACCTCGCACGCGCAGCGCGCAGCATGAGGACGCGATTCGCATACGTGTAGGATGCATATAGCAGTAGCAGGTGACGACAACGACCTATCGGTTTTCCTCCTGAGCTCCGGCTGGTACACCCTGCGCACCCACTGCGACACGCTACGCAAGAGAAGAGCAGTCGTCGCCGTCTGCGCCCGATCTGCTGCCTCGTGGCGCCACGCGCTGTCAAAGCTCGGCGCTGCGGCGGCGTCCGCGACGGAGCACGACGACGTCAAAACCGTCAAACCTGCGGTCGCTGCGGCATCGTGCGCCGTCGTCGCGCTGCCCCGCTGCAGCGGCGACGAAGGCGTGCGTAGCGGCGCTCGCGAGCGGTGCTCGCCTGATCCCCGAGAAGCCCGCGGCGTAGAAGCTGCCGCGCCGCACCCGGCGGTGGTGCGTCCTCAAGAACTGGGCGCTTAAGCCGGGCGTACTTTGCGTTGGCGAGTTTGTGGACGTTGGAAGCGGAACGTGCGCTTGGCGCTGCCGCCGCCTGCGCGCCGCGCCTGGCGACCGGTGCCGAGCCGACGTGGCTTGCGAGTTTTTGGCACGTGCACCTATTAAGAGCGCTGCGTTGCTCTGGTTCGGCGACACACGCGTAACCAATAGTGCATGCGGCGGACGAAAGACGCGTCGAGTGCTCATTGGCTCACGAGCAGTCGGGCGTGAGCGGCGGCGCGGTCTTGGAGCTCTTCGATGGATAGGCGTCGAGGGAGAATGACAACGTGTCATGGGATCAATTCGTGCACGGTGTCGAGATCGACATTTGCTGTATGTAACAGCGAGGTGCCGGCGAGCCGCCAAAATGTCTAGAAAATTTTCAAGCAGCAAAGGGCGCAAGTGCACGGAGCGCACGGAGTAGCGCGGACATCTGTGAAACATAGTGTTCATGATGACTCTACAAGATTTGACCCACGTTGAAGTACGAAACCAGAAGGCCGCCCGCACCCCGAAGAAGACGTGCCCGAAATGTAAAATGCAAGTGCCCGTGGCCCGTCAGCGTTGTGAAAACTGTCCTCACCAGTTCATCAGCAACGCAGCCCCGGACCGCGAAGCACGCAAGGCAGCCCGCAAGGAGAAGAAGCGGCTGCGCGCCCACCGCGACGGCATACAAGCCGCGGCGAAGCGGCTGCGCGCAGCGGCCAACAAGCGAGCGTTCTACGAGCGGGAGACCGTCGATTTCGCGCCTGACCTGGCGACATACGGATCCTCGCTCGGGTGGCGCGGCGCCCACGCCCGCGCCCTCGGCCCCGCCCCTCGGTTTTAACTCAACCCTAACTCAACCCTACGTCTGCGTCGCGGTCGAGGTCGTAGGCGACCATGACCGGGCAGCGCGTCACGCGGAGGAAGCCCTTCCGGTAGTCGTGGAGCACGTCGCTCTTGGAACCGCCCCACGCCAGCACGTCGGCGCCGCACGTGGCCGCCTTGTAGGCCTCGTAGCGCTTGAAGCTCGCCGAGTCCGGGCGCTTCGGGTTCTCCTGGTCGAACGCGATCTTAAGGCTCGCATTCGCGAGGAGCATGTCGACGATGACGCGCTGCGCGGCGCCGTCGAGCAGGCCCTGCACGTCGGCCGCCTCCTCGCAGCTCTCGTCGTCCGCGGGCTGCTCGGCCGCGGCCGCGGCCGCAGCCTCGGGCGCCTCCTCCTCGGGCGCGGCCGCCGCCTCCTCTTCGGCCTCCGGCGGCGGCGGCGGCGCGGGCTCGTCGGCCGCCGCCGCGCGCACGTCGGCCGCCGCCACGGTGTTGAAGACGTTGGGGTCGTCGAGCCACTCGAGCTCGTAGCTCCCGTCCCCGTGCGTTGAATCGACGACGGCGCCGTACCACGTCCCGGCCCACCGCGCCTCGACGCGCGCGCCGACCGCGAAGGCCGGCGGAGCCGTCGTGGGCGCCTCCGCGGGCGGCGCGGCCTCGGGTGCCGGCGGCGCGGCCGCCACGACCGGCTCCTCCTGCGTGGGCGCCGCGCGCGGCGCCTTCGGCGGCGTCACGGGCGCCGCCACCGCTTTGGCAGCCTTCGCCGCTTTGCGCGCCTTCTTTGCCTTGGACGCCGCCTTCGTCTTCGCCGTCTTCTTCTTCTTGGCCTTCTTCGCGGCTGGCGGCGCCGAGCTCTTCAGCACGCCGCCGAGCGACGCCTTGACGGCGTCGCCAACGGACGCGGCCATGGCCGCGACCGCGCCGCCCGCCTTGTCCACGAGGCCGGTCATCGTCGACTGCACGCCGTCGACGACGTCCTCGGGCGGTCCGTCGTCGTCGTTCATCATGGCAGCCATCAATCCGACGGTCACGAGGCCGCCGCCGAGGGCCAGCGCGGCCTTGAGCGACTTGTTCTTGCTGATGCTCGACATATTGGGGGTTTCGGCTGAGTGTGCCGCTGCTATACGTTGGGGCAGCCGCTTCTGCGAGGGTTTCGGCTGAGTGGCCGCTTTGCGAGGTCTCGGCTGCGAGTGCGCCGCTCCTCTATGGGCTGGGGCAGTCCGCGCTCCACAGATTTGAACTTAATACTTTAGCAAACCTCGGGGGCGAACGGTAGGGAAGCCCTCCCAGGAAGGATCCGTCCTTGTGCGGAAGTGCGCCGTCCTGAAGCCCGAACCTGCTAGGGGGGGTCTTGCCCCAAATCGGCCAAATTTAGATTGAGAATGTTACTCCACCAACCCTACGATTCCGAGGCTTCAAAAGACCCGCAAGACGTCCGCCAGCAGGCTTGGCCGGCGGGTGACCGGATCGCGGTCATCGCGGGGGCTACAAGTGCCTTTTTTGGAGCGCTAATGTTTTTAATTCCATTCGTCTCGACAGCCGGCACAGGACGGCCCTCCGCTGGGTGGGAGCCTTGAGGGGTCTGGACGCGTCCAGCACCAGCCGGGTGGCCCGTGTGGGTGGGTGCAAGGTGGTCTACCGGCCCTCCAAAGCACAACCTACTAGGGGCTAGTGTCGGTAAAAGCTACTTTAAGCTAAGGGTAATAAGCGACCCTAGTAGGTCTAGATAACCCGCACGGCGTTTCAAACGAGTCCGGGGACGGCGGAGCCCAACAGGTCCGAGCCAACTTCGCGCTTCCGAGTTGCTGTCGCCAAGCAGCCCAGCTCGTCCAGCTCTCTCCGCACGCAGGCTGCAGTGACATGTCCAGTCGCCCGATGAAAGAAAACAGACCGTCTAAGGCCCAAGCCGTATTGGCTTTGGCTGGAACAGGGTTGTGCCTGGGCGCAATTCTCTGCATGAGCGGCGACGATGCATGGGAAAATGCCGGCAAAAATGCACGGCTATCGCTGGGGAGCATGCTGGGCCTCACTCCCAAGTCGAAAAAGGCCAAGAAGAGCAAATACAAGTCGAAAACCAAAGCCGAGTCAACCACGACCATGGCGAAGCATGTGCTTGAGAAGAAGAAGAAAAAGAAAAAGAAGAAGACGACGACGACGACGACGATAAAGAAGGCAGTCGAGGCGCAGGTGGAGGACGAGGCGCCGGACGCCACGACCGAGCCCACGAGGCCACCTCAATCTCTACATATAGGCGGTATCGGCACGCGGACGACGATGGGCGTCGAGGCGCCTTTAATGGACGCTTTATCATGGTCCACGGAAGACCAGGACGAAACCTCCGAGCCGGTCCACCCGTGCTTTGTTTTGCCTCCGGTTGAGCGCGGCTTCAAACGGATCTTCTGTCGGAAGGCAACCGTGACGGTTCCCGGTTTCGAGCCCTTCATTTTGGACAGCATGGGCATCGACGACGCCGACGGCTGCGTAATGCCAAAAATTCGAGTGGTCGCCGGTGAAGAAAACGGTGAGGTCACCCTAGACGAGTACGTCGTCGCGGTCCAAGAAATGTACTACGATGAACCCTTAGATGATGCCAACGCCAACGCCGACGTCGATCTGAAGTTGGTGTTTACCTACATGTATACGCGGGCCATGCTCGTTGAGCTCCAGGACGCGCCTTTGTCCACGGCAGACCTCGATGGTCTCCACCCAGCCTTCGATCACGAGCGAGAGCTCGCCGAGGCAGTCTCTTTCGAACAAGAGCTGACGTCGGTGGACATGGTCCGGGGCTGCGTCCGCGTCGCCTGGTGCTCTGACGATACGCGCGCAGACTACTTCTGCACACGCGAGCTCGACGACGATCATATACGCATGTCCGAGCGCGCCATAATAGCACAACTTCGATCGGAAGCGTATTCTAGACTACAATCCGTCGTGGGTGAATCGTGACTAAGTACTTCCTCCCGCTGGAGCTACTTGGCCGCTATGTTCGACGTCCAAAAGCTCCGGGAAGAACCCAGCAGAAGTACTAGCAGTGAATTCGTGGAACACTTGAGGGGAGTCATTGTGGAGGTACCACGCACACACGAATGCATTTTAAACAACCACATCATCAAATGATTTCACGTTTCACTTTGGACTTCTGCTGAAATTAAGTCTGGTTAATATACGTCGACGGGCGCGCTTTCCAACAACAACGCCACGGTCTTAATGGCTCGATCCAGGCGAGGTAAGTATATCGCGCTAGTATGATCCAAAGTAACCCTAGTAGTAGGGGGTCTTACTGAAGTAACTCTAGAATTACTTCAGTCGGCGGTGGGGAAGAAGGGGATTCGCCCGGTGGGAGTGGCACTCACTCGCAGGCCACGCGTTTGGCCCTCTTGTTGTCGACGGTCGCTGACTCGGCCACGAACAGCTCCCGCTTCTGGGCGCGGCGCGCGGTGCGCCGCGCCAGCATCGTTGGTTCCGGCGGCGCGTCCTCCTCCCCCTCCTCCTCCCGCTCCGAGGACACGGCGTCGCGGTCGAGGTCGTAGCCGATCATGGCCGGGCACTTCACGACGCGCAGGAAGCCCTTCTTGTAGTTGTGCAGCACGTCGCTCTTGCTGCCGCCCAGCGCGATGACGTCCGCTCCGCACTTGGCCTTCTTGTAGGCCTCGTAGCGCGTGTAGCTCGCCGACTCCGGGCGATTCGGGTTCGCCTGGGCGAACGCGATCTCGAAGCACGCGTTGACGAGCAGCATCTCCGCGACGACTTTGGGCGCGGCGCCATCCAGCAGCCCCCGCACGCTCTCGACATGTTCCTCCCCCTCGTTGCCCACGGCGGCCGCCGCGGGCGGGGCCTCCCCCTCGCGCGCGGGGGGCGTCTTTCTCTTGGGCGGCGTCGCGGCCGCGGCCGCCACCGCCGCCGCCGAAGCCGCAGCCTTTGCCTCCCTCTTGCGCGCCTTTTTCACCGCGGACTTTGACTTGATCTTCTTCTTGTGTTTGCCTATCCTAGTCTTCTTCGGGGCGAGTTCCAGCACGCCGCCCAGTGACGACCTCGCGGAGTCCAAGACGGCCGCGCCTGCTCCCGCGACCGCGCCGCCCACCTTCTCGGCGAGCTCCTTAGTCGTTGACTGCATCTCCGCGAGGACGGCGTCCGGCGGCCCGTCGTCGGCCGTCATCACGCTCATCAGGCTCAGGCCTAAGAGACCGGCACCTACAGCCAGCGATGCTTTGCCGATCGTCAATCTCGTTCCTTTGACCGACATGGGATGCCGCTCGAAGCCGTTTGATGTGGTGCTGAGAGCTGGGGCAGCCCGCGCGAAGTTCTGTCGCCTCTCTAAGCGCGCTCCCCAAAAGAGTAATTTGAATTTTTTTTTTTTTAATTCATTCAAATGGAGCCGCGCAAATTACTCTTTTGGGGAGCGCGCTTAGAGAGGCGACAGAACTTCGCGCGGGCTGCCCCAGCTCTCAGCACCACATCAAACGGCTTCGAGCGGCATCCCATGTCGGTCAAAGGAACGAGATTGACGATCGGCAAAGCATCGCTGGCTGTAGGTGCCGGTCTCTTAGGCCTGAGCCTGATGAGCGTGATGACGGCCGACGACGGGCCGCCGGACGCCGTCCTCGCGGAGATGCAGTCAACGACTAAGGAGCTCGCCGAGAAGGTGGGCGGCGCGGTCGCGGGCGCGGCCGCGGCCGTCTTGGACTCCGCGAGGTCGTCACTGGGCGGCGTGCTGGAACTCGCCCCGAAGAAGACCAGGACGGGCAAACACAAGAAGAAGATCAAGTCAAAGTCCGCGGTGAAAAAGGCGCGCAAGAGGGAGGCAAAGGCTGCGGCTTCGGCGGCGGCGGTGGCGGCCGCGCCCGCGACGCCGCCCAAGAGAAAGACGCCCCCCGCGCGCGAGGAGCCAACCGCGGCGGATGCAGCGGCGCTGCCAGCCTTTGCGGTCGGCGCGCGCGTCGAGGCGAAGTGGGGCTGGCAGTGGTCCCGCGCCGTCATCGACCGGGTGAACGACGACGGGACCTACGACGTCGAGTGGGTCGACGAGCCCGACGTGTTCAACACTGTCGCGTCGGCCGACGTGCGCGCGGTGGTCGGCGACGTACCTGCGCCAGCTGCACTACCGCCGGCTGCCGTTCTGGCCGAGCCAGCGCACCCCAAGAGGAAGAAGAAGAAGAAGAAGAAGAAGAAGAAGAAGCTGGCCAAGTTCGCCAGCCTCAGCGAGGCCGCCGCGCCGCCCGCGGCGGCGGCGCCGCCCGCAGCGCCATCGGCGCCGCCCGCTGCGAGCAACGACGACGACGACAAGCAACCGGTCGCGCCGGACGACCTATTTGAGAGAGAGAACGACGACTTCATGGCCGCGGCAGCCTTCGAGGCAACCGATCACCCAGAAATCCCGGAAAACGGCGTTGAGTACGACGAGAGACTCATCGCGAGACTGAACACCCAACTCAAGGGTGTAGAATTTGTCGACGACGGCGAGCGGTGGCGCGTCCTAAAGGTCAGCTTCGACGCCGAGCACGATGAGCCGGTCTGTTTCTACCATGACGCGAAGTTTGGCGACAAGGGCACTATTGATGATTGCGAGTACTCGGCCGTCGACGAGGTCCAGGGCTGGATCGAAGAACACAGGAGACGCCTCAAGGCCAAGGCGGCGCGCCAAGCAGCGGAGCTCAGCGAGGCCGTGCTGCCAAAGAAGCGCCGTGTTATTAGTGATGACGACTTCTCGTCGTTCGCGGCATCAATCGGCGACGACGACGACGCGCTGTCCGCGCAGCGGCGCGCGCCGGCGCCCTCGCCCGCGCCCGCGCCGCGGCAACGCACGGTGCCGAAAAAGAAGAAGAAGGACGCGCTCAAGGTGACCCGGGTCGGGGCGGCGACGATCCCGCGGCGGTGGCCGGCGCCGGCGCCGCGGCCGGTACCGCCGCGCGGCCCCAAAAAGCGGTTCAAGAGCACAAACCTGCCGCGGCCCTCCGCACTGGACCTGATGCGCGCGACAATTCTGGGGCCGCCGCGCGCGGCGCCGCCGATGCTGCAGCCCGTACAACGGGCGGCAGAACCGCCGCCGGGTTGGCGGCAGGCGAAGGCTGCGGCGGTGGCGGTGGCGGTGGCGGCCGCGCCCGCGACGCCGCCCAAGAGAAAGACGCCCCCCGCGCGCGAGGAGGCAACCGCGGCGGATGCAGCGGCGCTGCCAGCCTTTGCGGTCGGCGCGCGCGTCGAGGCGAAGTGGGGCTGGCAGTGGTCCCGCGCCGTCATCGACCGGGTGAACGACGACGGGACCTACGACGTCGAGTGGGTCGACGAGCCCGACGTGTTCAACACTGTCGCTGCGGCCGACGTGCGCGTGGCGGTCGGCGACGCGCCCGCGCCCCCTCCCCAAGCCGCGTCCGCGCCCGAGGAGGAGACTCCGCCCGCGGCAGCCGCCGTGGGCAACGAGGGGGAGGAACATGCCGAGAGCGTGCGGTGGCTGCTGGATGGCGCCGCGCCCAAAGTCGTCGCGGAGATGCTGCTCGTCAACGCGTGCTTCGAGATCGCGTTCGCCCAGGCGAACCCGAATCGCCCGGAGTCGGCGAGCTACACGCGCTACGAGGCCTACAAGAAGGCCAAGTGCGGAGCGGACGTCATCGCGCTGGGCGGCAGCAAGAGCGACGTGCTGCACAACTACAAGAAGGGCTTCCTGCGCGTCGTGAAGTGCCCGGCCATGATCGGCTACGACCTCGACCGCGACGCCGTGTCCTCGGAGCGGGAGGAGGAGGGGGAGGAGGACGCGCCGCCGGAACCAACGATGCTGGCGCGGCGCACCGCGCGCCGCGCCCAGAAGCGGGAGCTGTTCGTGGCCGAGTCAGCGACCGTCGACAACAAGAGGGCCAAACGCGTGGCCTGCGAGTGAGTGCCGCTCCCACCGAATCCCCTTCTTCCCACCGTAATAGGAGCGACCTCCTTCAACCAATAGCTCAGTAGAGTGGACGCTCTATTCCGGACTAGAGTCCCAGCCAACTTGCAATAACGTAAACCTACTAGTCGCGTCGATTGCTTTGCTTAGAGCTAGGCCACCTAGCCGCTCAAGATTTGACCATCACGGGTTAGCTCCGCAGGAAGAGAGTGCGTTACTTAGCTAACGGCGGGGGGTGAAACCCCCCCCCGTTACTAAGCAACTCTCTCTCTCCGCGGTGCGCGCTGGGGCCGCAATGGATAGGGAGTCTAAATCATTATTCTCGGCCCTAGCGCATGATTGTAGTAGCAATGTAAATGCGGGGTATTGCCCATGTATAGACTCCAAAAATTGTTCTGTAAATGCGGACGACTGTGGAATATCCCGATTTAGCTTTATCTGGGAGGCTAACGGCGCGGGGAGTAGTGGGGGCAGATAAAAGGCCTCACTTCTTGGATATCTCGAGGACGATGTCGCGTGTCTGCAGGTAGGTAGGCGCCGCGGCCACCATGCCCAGGGCGATGAGCGGGCCAATGCCGTAGGGCACAGGGACGTCGTCGCCGTTGCCGCCGACAAGCTTCGTTGAGACCTCCCAGCGGTCGTTGTCGCGCGAGCTGACGATGTCATCGACGACGCGGACTTCGTCGTGCGTGGCGTCTATGTGGCGGAAGACGATGCCCTTGTACTTGGCCAGGAGCCGCCCGCGTGTCGCCACAGCGCTGCCCTTGCGCGCCTCGGCAGCAGCCTCCCACGACTCGGTTTGCATCACGAACGGCGCCTTGCCACCGGCGGCGGCTCCAACGGATGTCTCGGGCTGCCACAAACCGTCGCGGAAGGCCTTCGGACCGAGTCGCAGCTGGACGCTGCGCTCTTTGAGGCCGTGTGCCGGGTCAAGCAGGACGTCGCAGGTGTCAGCCTTCGTGCGCGCATCCTTACGCAGAAGACACGTAAGCTCAGTCGACGACAAATCGTCGGTTGGCCGCTTAGTGCGCAGTGCAGCGCGGCGCGGCCGGTCGCCGGTTTGCAGCGGCAGTGGCGCTGCAGGTGCATGCGGTGCCGGCTTGGTCTCAGCCGCCGGCTTCTTGGCCTGTGCCAGTCTCTTGGCCGGTGCCTGCTTCCGTTTCAATGCCTTCGCGGGTTTGCTCATGTGTCTGACGAATGTCCACGATGCGCCGCTTGTGTCTTCGCCGCAGACGACGCGTGCGAGGCGACATTTTACTATTTTGCGGCCGTCGGCAAGCAAAAGGTCGTGACGCATCGCGGCGCGCGCTGCGGAAGCACGTTTCTCGGCCGCGAGTCGGAGTGCGCGCGAATATTCTGTCGACGAGAGGTCAGCGGCGAACTTCTTGGGCTTGCGGCGCTCGCGGCGCCCAGCAGCGGCCGGTAACAGTGCTGGCGCAGCGGTCGGATCGCGTGCATGCCGAGGCGGCGCAGCATCGCCATTGTCGGCTCTCCAGTTGCCGTCATCCTTGACAACGTAGCTGCTCTCGACCCTCACGCGCGTGGCCGTCGCCGCGCCGGCAAGCAAGACGTCGATGACGTCGCCTTTTTTGAGCCGCGTCGGGTCTGTCGGCGTTGCGTGCACGTGTGGTGCGCGTGGCGGCGACGACGGCGACGGTGGCGGCGCGGCAGCAAAACGGAACTGCTCGGGGTCGCCGTTGGCCCCAGCCGGCGGCGTGCTGTCGCCCGCGAACGGCTTGTTTTGGAGCGCATGATAGATCGTCTCACCGTCGGCGTACGCGACCTGGAACTCGACGCCACCGCTGGCTACCGTCCGCTGGCCAGCGATGCGGCCTAGGTACCAATCGTCATCGCCAGCCCAGTAGACCTCGATCCACGCGCCTATACGCGCGTCGCACGGTCCGCGCTGCTTGTACGCCCGTGCCTTCTTCGGCGCCGGCGCTAGCTCCCAAGGCGGTGCTGCCGCCTCCTCGAGTGCATACCTACGGCGTGTGGCGCCGACGTGTTCGACGACACCCGTGCGGTTGATGCCGTTGATGCGGCAGACGACCCGCAAACCCGCAACGGCCGCCGGCGCCGTGGCCGCCGAGGCAGTGCCGCGACCCCGGCCGCGGACGTAGGCCGCCACCACTGCCGCACCTGTCGTACCCGCTGCGTGCTGGAAGCGCCAGACGGGCCGCGTAAGGCCATGTGTGTCGATCGGCGGCAGCCGCAATACGCGATGCTGTGCGCGGCACGCGCCGCCCGCATCCACAAAACTGCAGGTCCGCCACTCGCCGGTGTCGCCGTAGCGTGCGCCGACGACGACACAGCGCCGGAGGCCGTCACGTGCGACGAGGTGCGCCGGCACGTGGTGGCCCGCGGCTGCTACGCCTGGCTGGTGCGTGAGATCGTATTCAAGCACGTCACCGCACTCGGGCACGTCGTCCCAGCGCCAGGCCACGCCAAACGTCGCGGCGTCGAGCTGGGCCGGCAGCATCGTGGTTGCCGACGCATCCAACGCCACTCTGAGGGGCGTCGCGTCGCTGCCGTCAGCCGTGGCAAGCGCCACGACGCCGCGCGCCCAAGCACCGTCATCGCAGAGGACGCGGACGCGGTCGCCTGGTAATGCCCGTTTTTCATCCGTGCGGCGGTGCCGCGTCGCGACAGCCTTCATAAGTGCCCCATCGGTATCAGCGCCGCCGCCACCCTTCTGCCGTGCGAGCCAGACCTTGTTCACAGAGTGGCCAGTGGGGTTGAACCAGTTCTTGACAGCCTGCCGCACCACAGTGTTCTAGTCTGTGTCACCATCACAGAAAAGGTACAGGTCGTGCTTCGCGCGGTTTGTTCTGACCAAATCACGAATCAAATTCTTCCACGCCCCCCGCAGATCCAAGCGGTCTGCCCTCCTCCGCGCCGCAACAGCGCGCGCCAGCTCGCGCACGCAATCATTTCCCAGTCCTCCTGGGTCATAGGGTACGCAACTAAGGTTGTTGCACTCCAGAAAGATATGCGTCACGCCGCAGCGTGCGTTCGCAAAGCATTCGCAGAGCCGCCCCAACTCTGCCGGCGCGAAGATCAGCTCGCCTAGATTGATAGACCAGATGCGCGCTGCTGCGCGCTTGGGCGCCAGCGCGTTTTTTCCAGCCTCGGCGGTTGACGTGAGGCCCTCGACAGCGAGCGCCTCCGCCGCCGCGTGCTCGACGTCTGCCTCGTACAGGTCCGTGCGCGCGTCAAACGCCGCATCGTCGAAGCGCGCGCGGAAGAGAGGCACCTGCCCAGATATTGACTGATCAGATAAGTTTAACTCGAGGTCTTCGCAATTCTCTTCTTTTGGGACTGAGAGAGAGAGAGAGCAGTGGCAACATGCTCGACGATTGGTGCGACTCCTATCAAAGAAATTTGAAGGTATCTTTGATGTCCGCACGGTCTGGCACGTAGGGTCCATGCTGCTCGATGCGCAAACGTGTCTCAGCGGGCGGCCGGTAGCCGTCGACCGTTGCCATGGACGGAATTTCGCCGTCCGCCTGAGCGTACCATCAAATGATTTTCTTCGGCACCTTTTTCGACGGAGGGTTGCACTTCGAAAGCGCCCCGCAAGGATGCAAGAATTTGGCGCCGATGCACGCGGGCTCTAGGATGATGCGCCGACCAAGCCACGACGATCCCGTTGTCCGCCAGGCGGCGGCCTCCTTTTTCTTTGCGCAGCCGCGGCCTTGGCACGTGGTCGCGATGGCCAGACCGCCACCGTCACCGCCGCCGGTGGGCCCCTGAAGCAAGTCAATTAGCTTGTCGAAGCAGGCGCCGGCCTGAAGCGGAATCGCACCCTGGAGGAAAGCGACCTGGACCGGTGGCCGCGGCACGTGGAGCATCTTGTCGAGTACGTACTCCACCTGAAGTTATGCCGGTCACAAGCCGTGGCTCCTCTTTGAGATTGAGAGCGAGTCGATTGATTATGTCCTGTCGGTCCCACTCCAGTTTGAACGTACCATGAACATTTCTGCACTGGCTCTCTACCTGCTCGGGGCTCTTCTTGTCGATGAGGTCGTCCAACCGGAGCACAGCAACCCGCGCCGCGAAGGCCCCGTCCTCCTCCTTCTCGTCACAACCAAAGAAGCCGTCGACGCGCTTGCGCCACTTGGTCAGCTTATTCTCATAGTGCTCGCCCGCGTGGTTCCCGGGCCTGCAGTCAGCGCTCGCGACTGCGCGTGCTGTGCCGCCGAGCGTGTACTTGACGCAAAGCGTCCCATCGTGGTTGACAGCGCGGACCTGCGCCGGCCAAAATCACGCGGCCACGCGCGCGGCGTGCAATTTGCGTTCGAGCACACACACAATTTGACTTTCACAGGGCGCCGCCAAGTGCTACGCCGACGCCGCCACTGCCAGTGCCTTGCCTCTCTCTCACCGTGACCACGGCGCCGACGGCGATGATCTCGCACGACTCGCACGAGTTCACGCACGCCATCGCGCCGATTCGCTCCGGCGGCTCGCGATTCGCTCCGGCGGCTCGCCTTAGAGGAAGAATGCGCGCGCGGCGGACAGCGCGGCGCTCTGTGGTTCGCTAGAGTCAGTCGCTGCTGCGCACTAACGAGCGCAGCTGGAACTCGCGTGCGAGAGGCTGTGCACCCGACGACGCCACCCCATCCCACGGGGTGTCGGCGGCAGTTTCGCGGCCGCATCGGCTCGGATGGTTTTGAAAAGGTGCTCATCGGAACGCGGGGAGCGAGAGAAACGTTTTTACGCGGGCGGAAAGTGCGAGCGGCGAAGAACAGCGTTCTGACGAGCGGCGCAAAACAGCTTAAATGCTAGTGGCGCAAAACTCACTAGGGCTGGTGTGACCCGTACCGTTAATTGTTTGGGAGCACTCCACGTTCCGTTTTGGGGGAAATTCGCGAGATGCATCCTTTACTTACGCCAAAACTTACGAACGCAACCATATAGCAGCGGCACACTCAGCCGAAACCCCCAATATGTCGAGCATCAGCAAGAACAAGTCGCTCAAGGCCGCGCTGGCCCTAACAGAAGATAGAACGGTTAGAAAGTTACTTATTTTTTATTTTTCACGCGGGTCTAGGGAGAGGATGGGGATAACATCAAGAGGATGAGGAACTAACAGGGGCAAGGGAATGGTCCGTAGCCCAAAAGGAGGGAGTTTGGCGATAGGTGGACTCGTCGTCAACCACTGACGAGTATGGACTAGAGGACACGTCAGAAATGGGGTAGTAGGAGAATGTGAGTGTCATCGGTCGTTGCATATTTCTGATACGCTCACAGAAGGTAACCCAGGCCTGCCGGCCAAATAGCTTCCCCATCCGTGCGCCGTTGACCGCAACCAGCGATGTGCCCACATTGACGCGTCCGTGCGCCGCGCTCTGCGGTTCAACGCAATCTAGCCATACTGTCCCAGCCTTATGCAGGGTGAGCTGCACGTGCAAGCTTTGCTCCGTAAAGGTCACATCAACACTTGGTTTCTCCGACATGGTCTCTAGCGTGGACATGGTGTCCTGCGCGCTTCGTGTCAGGTGTTGCGCAGAGGTGCGCAAAGCTTCTGAACTCCTGCGCAAGCTATGTATCGCTGCGGATTAGCTGCGTAGTGTGTCAGCAGTTGCGCGCGGGAGGTAGCTCGATGTCCGGATAACAAACCCGCACTACTATGTTAAGCTACGTCGAAATGAGAGCCATCATCGCCCGATCCATCGCTCGATCCAACATTGATCGTAGCATCAAGTCAGTCGGAATTCTTTGATTTTATCCTTTCTAAATTTGTGGCCAAGCTCCAGCTCCAGCCCCAGCTCCACGGTCCGGAGCTGCGTTGCTGATGAATTGGTGAGGACAGTTTTCACAACGCTGACGGGCCACGGGCACTTGCATTTTACAAGGCGCGGCGCGCCGGCGGCGGCAGCGCCAAGCGGACGTTCCGCTTCCAACGTCCACAACTCGCCGACGCAAAGTACGCCCGGCTTAAGCGCCCAGTTCTTGAGGACGCACCACCGCCGGGTGCGGCGCGGCAGCTCCTCCTACGCCGCGGGCTTCTCGGGGATCAGGCGAGCACCGCTCGCGAGCGCCGCTACGCACGCCTTCGTCGCCGCTGCAGCGGGGCAGCGCGACGACGGCGCACGATGCCGCAGCGACCGCAGGTTTGACGGTTTTGACGTCGTCGTGCTCCGTCGCGGACGCCGCCGCAGCGCCGAGCTTTGACAGCGCGCGGCGCCACGAGGCAGCAGATCGGGCGCAGACGGCGACGACTGCTCTTTTCGACTTGTGTAGCGTGTCGCAGTGGGTGCGCAGGGTGTACCAGCCGGAGCTCAGGAGGGAAACCGATAGGTCGTTGTCGTCGTCTGCTACAGCTGTATGCATCCCACACGTGTGCGGATCACGTCCTCATGCTATGCGCTGTGCGTGCGCGGTCCACGGAATGAAGTGCGGCTGGCGTGCGCGCGTGTGAGCGCTCTGCACAGAGATCGGTGGCAGTTTCGCGGCAGCATGGGCTCGGATGGTTTTGAAAAGGTGCTCATCGGAACGCGGGGAGCGAGAGAAACGTTTTTACAAGGGCTAAAAGGACGAGCGCGAAGAACAGCGTTCTGACGAGCGGCGCAAAACAGCTTAAATGCTAGTGGCGCAAAACTCACTAGGGCCTGTGTGCCCCGTACCGTTAACGGTACGGGGCACGGCATTGTTGTAAGTCTTAGTGTGCCAAAATCACCAGCATGCCCGCGTCACCACGATCCTCCACGATCGATACGTGCCCGCAGATCGATTTCAAATAGTTGGAGATGGAGATTTCAGATCATTTGATCCCAGTCACATGAATGAAATAGTAAAGCAGCTTGGCGATGTCCCTGACAGCATTTTTTCTTCCACTGGATGTTGCAAAACGTGCTCTTTGGGGAACATTGTTCCCGAGGAGACGCTTTGGCACGCGCGGTTTTTTAGCCTCCGCCCCCCCCCCCCCAGTCCTATACTCTAAGAGTAAGCTCGGCGAGGAGGCGATTGTTGCCTCTTGTCCGTGTTTCCGCTCGGCGCCTTTGTCGTGCGTTTGACGCGGCGTCTTTATTGAGCGGCTGGTTGAGGTGCGCGCTGCGTCGAGAGAGAGAGAGACTTGCGCCGCGGTTGCGCGTCGGTTTTAAGCGAGCACAAAAAAAGCCATATAGAGCTTTACCCGAGGGCGGCGGCGCGTGCCCGCGCGCGCCACGAACCGCCGAGCCGGCCACCACGGGTCGAGCGCGGGCGTCGGGTTGTGTGCGACGACGCATTGAGCCATGTCTCTGCGAGGCGGCTCTCTTGCCGGCGCGCTCAAAGCCGGGGCCGGCGCCGGCGGCGCGAGCTCGCGCTTGAGACCGTCGTCGCCGGCTGTGGCACGGTCGAGCGTGCTGGAGCCGGCACGCTCGACCGTGAGTGAGAGGCCGTCGCCGCCGCAGACGCCCGCCAAGGTCTTCGCGAGAGGGCTTCGAGCGCGCGATCCGAGCGCCTGCGCCCCGACGCGCCCCCGCCCTCCCCCCATCCGCAGGCCGCCGCCGGCCGCGAGGGCATTCGCGACGCCGCGATGAAGATCAAGGCGCACGAGCTGCGCACCAAGAACAAGAGCGAGCTGCTGAAGACGCTCGAGGAGCTGAAGAATGAGCTCGCGCAGCTGCGCGTCGCCAAGGTGACGGGCGGCGCGGCGTCGAAGCTCGCCAAGATCGGCGTCGTGCGCAAGTCCATCGCGCGCGTGCTGACGGTGTACAACCAGACACAGAAGGCAAAGCTTCGTGAGGCCTACGCCGGGAAGAAGTTCCTGCCCAAGGACCTGCGGCCCAAGCAGACGCGCGCGCTGCGGCGCGCGCTCACGCCCGCGGAGCGCGGCCGGAAGACGCTGAAGCAGCGCAAGCGGGAGCAGAACTTCCCGCAGCGAAAGTACGCCGTCCTGGCGGCGTAGTAGCGTGGGTCAGTCAAGTAGCCTAGGTTAGTACCGGGGGCACCGGACGTCGCTGATCTGCAAGGGGGCGGACACACTTGCGGAAACTGGCACCCGGTCCGAACCCCAAACCTGCCGGGCAAGCCGAGCCTAACGGGCCTACTTGCCCCTCTAGGACGTGACTGAAATGGGCGAGCGAAACGATCCGGCAGGCGTTCTATGTCAGCTCTCCAACCCGCGAACTCGTCTCCGATACCAGCGTCCAAGTATCGCTTTCTGTCATCATAGACTTTATCAAAATCAATAGTTGCTTTTTTGTGTGCATCTCTTCTTTTCTGCTCGGCTTCAGCCGCTTTCTTCGCCGGATCTTTCGGCGGCCGGCCGCACGCGCCCGGGCCGCCCGGGCCAGCCGAATGGCAGGAAATTTTTGCTGAGGCGCAGGTTCCGTATGCCAGTGCTAAAATAATGGGCTGTACAAAGTTTTTTACCATGCGGGCAGCCTCGCGCTGAGAAAGCAGCTGCGACGCGGTGCGATGGTCCGAGATAAAACCCGCCCCAACCCAAAAATCGCCCCTGAGACGTATAAATTGAACCATAATTACGCAACTTGAAAATTATTTCCTAACATTCCATATCTATATAGGGCTCAAAGGGAATTTCCGGTGTGTGGCTAAGCCGAAACGGCCCCTATCAAACAAGTCTTACGTGCGGGTTTGAGTTTGAGTGCGGACTTGAGTGCGGGCTCCCGGTGATCAGGATAACCTTGAGGAAAATGCCACGTCAATGGCATACAGAGGCTCTCGATCAATTGGGCGCGAAGACTCATTCTCGACTGATGGTAAGTCACGCCGGTGGCCTCCTAGCGGATGCCCTCTTGTAGCGCACAGGTGGCAAATTTGCGAGTGTGCAAAATTTTGGGGGAATCCTGAGGTCGTTGTCATTGTTGTTGTTGAGTCAGCTAGCTTGATTCAACTCGGTCCAAAATATGGAACTGGGGAAAGCAGGCCCCAAATTGAGTTGCTCGCTGGGTAACATCTAGTCATCTGTCAAATCATCATTAAAATAAATGTGCACGACGGGCATGTACTGGTCTTGATTAATTCCCGCATGCTCAAATACTTTGCTCTCATCCACAATGCCAAGTTGTTCCAATGTTTTGCTCATTTCTATCGGAACAAAAGTGCGATCTTTCAGATATTTCCATGTATAAGACTGTGCATGGGTATTGTATTCCGTGTAGCTATTGTTGCGGCGTGTGTGTACGGATTTTGTCACGCCAGAGAACACTGGACCGCGCCGAGTTTGGATTTCTTTAATTGTCTCTTCACCACAAACCTCAAAGACATCGGACTGTTGCGTCAAAGTATTCACTACCCTCAACTTGCGAACATTACGAGAGATGTTCCCAATTATGTACTGAGTGTCGCTCCACCTAAAAAAAAAATTTAATCATGATTGAAAGATCACAGCAAACAACCATGGAATTTCTTCGAGCCCATTCGAATCACTAGTACACCATTTTGAGCTCGGTTCCGAAGGCGGCACCTATATGTCAGGGTTCACCCAAGCCACGTGTGGCGATAAGACGAAGACACTGTTGGAGAGATGAATTCTCTTACAAACTAACATGTATAAATCTCCCCATCGGAATATATGGAAGCGCTACTTTTTTAACTTGACTGTAGTAACTTTTTACTGTCCGTGATTTGCTATTAAACCAATGGGATATGTCACTGCCAGCACAGTCTATTAGAGGGGTTGCCAAAGCAGTATTCTTTGCTATAAGCTTGGTTAGATCCAACACCTTGTCAAACAAAGAGAACCACGCATCGTCGGCAGAGTTGTGTGCTTTTACCTCTTCCGGTGTGTAAAATCGGCGCCTCCTACCGTGCTGTGTTAAGAGCATTTGGGGGGACATTATTCGTCGTTAGGTGACAATCGGTCGATACTGTATCTATATTTTGTATCTATGGATATAATCAAGATCGTCTCCCCTGTTGCTCCTACAGCTCGTACGTTCAATATAACACCCAGATGGATCCTGATGAAACGCTATTCCTGGCTCACGTGTCTTCGTCCCTTGTGCATTGGTCAACTCGGACTCCAAATGCTCCGGCAATCTTCGGTGGTCCATCGCTTTAACTCGTCTAATTTCATTTTACAATTAGGCCGTCAATGGGCCGGCAGTGGACGGCGCCATCAGAGTATATCACGACCAGTCCGCAGCGACGTGGTGTGATCTGGTAGCACAAGTTGGTAGCCTAAATGAACCTAAAATCCGATCTACACACTCTGCAGCGGCGTGTGAAGAACTTGAAAATTTGCCCCGTGGAATTATAAATCCATCTGGTCGGCGTAAAATCTGCTGGGATGCATTTGTTTGTTGTTGTGTTGTCTATCTCACTATGACAATGCCATATTCCATGGGGTTCAATGCCGAGGCAAGTTGTCACATCCTGGGTGGCCTTCATCTATCAGACAAGCCATGGCGAGCATGCATTAGATTTGGCATAGATTTTGTGGTTGACCTAAGCTTTTTGCTAGATATGTTTTTTTCGTGCTTCACTGCATATCAAACCCCAACAGGAGCTCTGGTAGGAGACCCATGGAAGATTGGTGCGCATTATCTCATTCAGTGGCACGGTTTTCCAGTTGACTTTATTTCTACGCTGCTGCCATACATCCTAAGATTTTGTAATATTAAGGCCACTCTAACTAAGATTACTAAATTTGTCCGTGTAATCCGATTGTCCAAGCTTTTTAAACTCACTCGCCTCATGAGGCTCCGAAGCAAGAAGAATAATCCTACGGAAGAGCCGTCTCTCCTCTTTCAGCCCGGTTTCGTGTCTGCAGTTCGTATGCTCCTCACTCTTTTTGTAATAGCCCATATGCTCTGTTGTGTACACTATTGTGTCGCAGCAATTATGTATGTGAGGTGAATAAGGCAGCAATTATTTGTGTAGGTCTGGTATTGGCTGGTTGTTCTTCAACACCAGCGGGGGGACCCAAAGCGCGTGAGACACTGGGTGAATGCAAACTCTCTCCCCCTGAAAACAACTCGCTACAAATACCGTGTCGCACTCTACTGGGCCTTTACAACAATGACGACGGTGGGTTATGGAGACATCGCGATTGTAAACAACACGGAAAGACTCGTCGCGATGTTTGCAATGATTGTGGGCGGCGCATGCTTTGGTTACATCATTGGTGGTGTTACCTCAATCCTGGAAAATCTTGATCTCTCATCAAAGACTCACAATGAGAAGATGGACGCAGTCGAAGAGTACCTATATGACCGACAGTATCCCCCAGTACTCGCCGCTCAAATCAAAAGGCACTTTAATAACATTTTTACGACGGACGGAATCTTCGACATGCAAGATATTCTAGAGGTGCTTCCAGCAACAACGGCCAATGACTTGGTATATACATGCTATAATCAGTTGGTTTACAACACATCATTTTTCCAGGGAGCTCATTGTGAGTTTATTGTCGCAGTTGCTCCAAATCTATTACCATGCAATGCCAATGACGGCGAGTTTCTTTTTTTCGAGGGCTCAGTTGGAACCCATTTATTTGTAATTGGCTCCGGTGTTGTTTCTATTCTATTGACTGCACTTGATGTCAATTCTGTTGGTCATTATGATCTTACTCGATTAACAACGCTGTCTGGAGAGCTGTCTGGAGATGCTTCAGATAATATACGCATTCCATCTCCCGTCGGTTTTTGTTGTGGCACCTTTAGTGCGGGACAGATTCTTGGTGATGTAGCCATATTGCTCACATTAATCAACCCGTTTTCTGCTTATGTGCAGCACAAGGCAATTTTGTATTCTATCAAGAAGGAAGTCCTACTTGGGGCGTTAACGGGCCACGATCCCTTTCGCACTGACCTCATGCAGGTTGCCTCTGAAGCTCACAAGCAAATATGTAATCGTCGTTCTCGACTCAATGGATCACCTTCTACTATGATGGGAGGGGCGAATATTGAAAAAAATGAGGAGTCTCCATTTGTTGCAACTTCAGGATATGTGAATGCGCATCGTGGTTTTGGTTCAAATAGTAACAATGCGGCAGTCCTTGAGATATCTTCGCTTGATTTCTGTTGCCAGCACTGGATCATTCACCCAGAACTCCCAGCAAAAGTGACATGGGACGCCCTGATTTGTTTCTTCATCATTTACTCTATAGTTGCAATCACCTACACAATTTGTTTTGAAATCATAGAGCGACCCTGCTCGCCGCCAACAAATATTTGGATGGGTCATTGCTGTGTCTTGAAAAATAGTGATTTATGAGTTTTCCGTAGGCATGAACCTCTGCATAGACGTTTGCTTTGGTTTGGATATGATCCTTTCATTCCAAACGGCATACTTTGATAAGAGTCAAACATTAGTATTCTCACGGAAACTTATTATAAGAAAGTACACCTCGGGCTGGTTGCCAATTGACCTGGTGTCAACAGTCCCCTTTGATAAATTGGTAAAAGTGGCAGCGTGAATTAAGTTTGCAAAATAATAATTGCACTGGGCATTAGGCAAACTGTGTATTTAAGAGAAGAAATGCAGGTTTTAGGGCAATTAAGTTGTTCCGCGCAATGCGCCTTGTGCGATTGGCCAAAATTCAGCAGAAGCTTAAGCTCGGAGAGCTCGCTGAGCATGTTGAAGATAATCTTGGGATAAATCCCTCCATCTTAAAGCTTCTCAAGCCCCTTATTGTTATGGGCGCAGTTGCGCATGCTCTGACATGCATTTTCTTTCGGGCCTCCCGGAGAATGCGTCAATCCAAAAAGCGACCCACACAATATTTGACAACGATGTATTGGGCTTTTGCTACGATGACTACAGTCGGATACGGAGATGAGAAACCCTCCTTGAATAGTGCAAGCAGCCTCATCGTCACCATAGTCTCCCAGGTCTTAGGTACCATGATTTTTGCGTATGTCATTGGGATACTTGTTAGTATAGTGACGAATCTTGATCAGGCAAAGAGGCAATTGCAGGCAGAAAAAAGCTATCTTTCTGATTTTCTCTGTGAAATCCATTCCATCTCTCCAACTTCGGAGCTCCTCCTTCGTGTACGTCGCAATCACCATCACTTTCTTCTGATTAGCGGCGTATTTGATGAGAGAAGAATAGTGGATTTATTTCCTCCTCACATGCAAACTGTGTCTACAGTTTATGTCCATCGTGCCGTACTTCCTTATTTACCTTTATTCTCAACAATTGAAAAAAAGTACATGGGGGCCGTGGCTATTATTCTCAGAAGTCTAAGACCGGCTAGTTACTCTAGCGGCCAAATTATCAACTCTGCCCGAATCTCTGCACGCGAGCTTCATTTCATAGTGAAAGGTTCAGTAAATGTGCTGTACACAACTTGCGCAAGCAAGTGTGCCACGGACACGATTTCTGACGAAATGTACGGTCCCCAGACATTTTTTGGTGATGCTATGATACTCACGCCCACTGAAAAGCGGGTCAGGTTAAAGATTCGCATCGTTTGCAGCAGTCGTTCTTGTCATTGTTTTGTATTCTGCAAGAGTGACTACAATACCTTGCGTGATGCCTATTCGCTAGTTGCACAGGCAATAGACGAACAGCTCGATCCATCTTACATCAAAAGATGGATTAGATGATGTCACAACGGACTATCTCCCTAAGCGGATTGTTTTTTCCACAATGACCGGCTGAGTATCACCGCTTCGCGGTATCACCTCCTCTCCGCAGACCACACAGCCAGGCCTCCTCTAAACAACGTGTGTTATTGCTGCTGCTAGCATCCGCTTTCAAGGTTCCCGGGCAATAACGGCCTGGAGCTACGGCCGTGCGTGTGAGCGCTGGAGTTTAACAAACGGGTGTTGCTGTTTTTTTCCTTCGCCGTAATCAGAGAGTAGTTGCAATTGCCTATTTTGTAGATGTCATGTATTTTGTCCCCCTGTGATTGCGGTAATTGAAAAACTACCACGATCTCCTATACCGTGACACTCTCAAGGGCCGCTGCAGGGGCAACCCGCGGGGGGATTCTCTCGGTGATTCGTACGCCAACTACATCGCCGTGGCTGGATCCGCCGGTTCTCTGCCGAGTCGGACGCGGCGCCGGGGCGGCTCCGGGCGACATGCGGCGCGGGGGTGGGGGGCGATTATCGCTAGTCCGCAGCATGACAACAGCAGCGCCGCGGCGAGCTTCATGACCACAACATTTTGCGTGGGGCTTCGGCGCGTCCTATGGATCTGTGCGGACCGCTTGGTCGCTTGATTCAAGTCCCAGTAGTATAATAGGGATTTTGTGTATACTTTATGTTCCCTTCTGACGGATGATACATAGAATATAAATATACAAATTCCACTTTTTTGAACCATCCCCTCTAATAAAAACATGTCAAAAAAACTGACATAAATCGCCAAAATAATTTAACCGTTGGCATTAGCAGTCCTCGGCGATACCCGCCAAACTTGGAATTCTCGCCGGGACTTAGTACTGGTAACCGCGCTGCCTCCCGCCAGTCGCCGCGCTCGCGGAAGATACATCCGCCTCCGGAGCCCCCCAGGCCACTCGGACACACCGTGACAGGTCGGGGCCTGCCGAAACCACAGCCTGACTGAGTCCACCGAGTCCTCCCCTTCAGGCCCGGTTTTTGGACATCTAGAACATTCAAGAATTTACCCCCTCCTCCCTTCTACTTCGACTTTAAGTTGAATGTCACAGGACCCCGAGTCGGACTTTTGGTTTCGGAGTCACTGATCAGGCCGCCGGAAAAGTTAAAAGTTAACTTGAAGTTCAGATCTCGATTTCTACCCTGCTCCTGTGGCACCGTGGGGGTCACTGGGGGAGCTTGTTTTTGCGTGGCCAGGTTCAAAGGCAGCTCTAGCTTTACTCTATAGTGAATTGCTTCAGCAGGGCCAAGTGTCGTCTCCGTCATGTGCGTACCACTTGCTACTGCACTTTTCGGCGGGGCAGTGCTCGGTTCGACGGCGGACAAGCGCAACGGTCGAGTTCACTCCGAGTCTCAAGATACCGATAGACATCATCGTGACATCATGATTGATGCTGGTGGCCCGTCGTAAACGGTCGTAGGTCGCCATTGCCTCACGAAAGATTCATGTTGGTCGATCAACAAACAGTTGACCTCTGAGATGAGTCCTTGACATTCTCAGCAACATGCAGCCGGCGCCGTAGGCTGTCTGGCACCCGCGAGGCCAGCCCGCTTCCTGCCCGGCATCGTGGCTGCGACAAGAACGGGGTTTTCGAGGATCTTGTTAACAACCTCGCAGAAAGCCTGGGTGACACCAACCGCAGCTTTGGCTGACGTTTCGACGAAGAGCATGCCCCGGCGGCGGGCCCAGGCTGCGGCCTCGGTGCGCGGGACAACGACGTCGCGGTCGATCTTGTTGCCGACGAGCAGTTTCACAACCTCTTCGCCGCCACCGGGCGCGTACGCGTCGACCTCCTCCAGCCATCGTTGGAGATCATCGAATGTCGCGCGCCGGGTCACGTCGTACACGAGAACGACACCCTGCGCACCGCGATAGTACGACGACGTCAGCGTTCGGAAACGCTCCTGGCCCGCCGTATCCCAGAGTGTCAGTTTCACGCGTTTCCCGTCAGCCTCGACCGTCTTTACCTTGAAGTCTACGCCGATCGTGGACCCGAGCGCCTCGTCGAATTTGTCTTCTGTATAGCGCAGGAGTAGCGAGCTCTTGCCGACCCCCGCGTCGCCGATCAGCAAGACCTTTAAGAGGTGATCGTACGCCATCACCTCATGATGACTGATAGGAGGCTTACAAGACCGATTATTAACTACGACGAGGGGGGTTTCAGCATGCAGCGACATCCCCCCCCTGACAGAAACGGATGGCCGAATTACGTCCCCCACCCCATAAGGGAACTGTATACATCGGTAAGGACTCGATTAAGGATGTGAACGGTCTCGCCGACGGTGGCAGCCCTCCTGGGAAACCTCTGAATGCTGCCAAAGTTCCGCTCAGAGGGCCCCAAGCGATGCGTCTGTCCCGATAGTTAAATTGATACATAGGGAGTTTTCATCCTTGTGTTCATACTAATGTGTCAGGGAGCCCTCAATCGGCTAGTATCCCACCGACGCTAGCTCCCGCTCTCAGCGGGGGCACGCGCTTTAAAAAGCCCCTGTGGGGCACGGCGCGCTGCCGCTGCCAGGGCAGCTACAGCTCTTCTTCGCGCAGCATGTCAGCGCCTCCGGCGGACAAACAGTACGTGCGCACGACGCTGTGGCCCAACCCAACCGAGCCCATTCCCAGCGGCGAGCCGCCGGCGTACGTCCAGCAGTGGCCCGACAACGAACAAAACCGCAAGCAGCGTCGAGCTGGGCAGTGGTTCCTCTCAGTTCACGAGTATGATAGGAGCCGACACAGTCGAAGCGCTAAGAGCACAATCAGACGTCTCGGCTTGTTTCCCACTTGGCAAGACGTCGTCAAAAATGCGGACGATTTAAGGGAGGATAAAGAGGGCAGGTCGTCGAAGCCATCACGGCCACCTCCAGATGATCCTTTTGCTATCGGCGAAGCTTTGCCGACCTGTGTAGGCGTCTTCAGAGAGTAGAAGGCAGGAAGCCGGCGGCGAAGCGAGGGTCCTTTACTCGGTGGGGCCCTGACGCAAGGAGAAAGAAGAAAAAACAAAAACACGCAGAAGCACAACCTGAACCAGCACCTGTGCAGCCCTTTGTGCTGTCCTTAAATGTCGACGCGGGCTCCGACGACGAGTCTGACTCCAGTGACGACGACGAGGAGTCCGTGGACATCACTGACGACGGCTGCGTCGATTCAGATGAAGATGATGAGGTGGACGAGGATGGCGTGGCGCTCCCAAAAAAACCACTGCCTCGCTATCGTGCACGTGATTTTGATAGATACTCAGAGAAGGCCATGCGGTGGCTACATGGCCACGTCTACCGTGCACGAAAGCCACTTAGCCCTTTTTTTGGAGGCACGCAATTCGTAGTAGAGCCCGAGGCGTCTCGAAACACAACGCGGGAGCCGGCCGTGCCGCTCCGACGGCCGGAGAAGGGCAAACCTAGTCATTTCGTAGACTGGGTGAATCGCCGGCGATACGCAAGTCCAAATTTAAAGCGCGGCCGACAGCAGATCTCGTTCATACTCGATCAGTCGTTTAGACGCGTGTCGACGCCGTTTCCACAAATCGCGCTACTAGCTGCGACGAGATTTCGAGATCGTACGGGCACCGACCTCGAAATCTCCTCGTCGCGGCTTTATCACCTCGAAATAGCCTCGGCGGCTAGCACCGCGGCACCGCGGCGGCCGTAGGACACCCCTAAACGCTTCTGCGGCCTAAATTTCGCTCATGGCTGGCACCGCATCCGTTTCCAGCAAAACGCCCCGATCGCGGCGACGCCCGCCGCGCCAAGTCCGCCAGCCCAATCGTCGCTCCGACCCGTCGCAGCGCCATCATATCTCCCGGGGCGACTCCCGAAGGCCCCTCGCCGCCGCGCGATGAGATTTGTGTCAGCCACGCCCACACTTAAGGTTTTCCCAAGTCCGTCGATTTCTTCGCCGCGTCGGCGCCTCGGGCCTTCTCCTTTGGACCGGGGGCCGGGCGTGGGGCGGAGCGATCGCACCTATCTCGGTTTTCTCGGAGGTGCCCCGCGCGCCGCGCAGGGCCGGGGCCATTGCGCTGGAAAACCCGTTTAAGAAGTGAATTGTTTTAGGGTTTTTTAGCGCCCGGGCACGGCGACGACGACGCACGCTTCTACGACCGGCAGCAAGCTTACGTACACGCTCGCGGGGGATAGCTACCCCGTCACCCCTCTAGGCGCGCGCCCCCGCAACCCGAATTGACTATAGCCAAGCGGTCGGTTGCATGATGCTAGTCTAGTGTGTCTATTAAGTCGATGCATTGGCCTCTAGTGCGGCCCTGGCGGCCCCTCGGGCGGCGAGACTCGGTAGGAGTCGAGACTGGGTACTGAGCTAGGGGCCTGGCTAAAAAAAGTGCAGCGCGAACGGCCTCGACGGCGGAGAAAAGCGCCCTCTGAGCGCGATGGCTGCGGTCGGCCACATCGCTACGCGGATCGATCCCCGTCGGCGGAGCGCCGCGTAGGGATGCCGAGAGGCACTCTGCGGGCCGGCGGCGCGGTTGAGGCCGGGAGGTGGCCACGGCCGCGCGTCCCGAGGACGGCGCCGGGGCGGCGCGGCTCTGGCGCGCCGCCGGGGCGCGGCGCCGGGCCGACGCCTACCGCCGCGGTAGCGAGGTCGAAGGCGCGGCGCAAATCCGGCGCGGCGCGGCGCCGGCGCGGCCTCGCGACGGCCGCGAGAGGCGCTCGCGGGCCTCGAGCACACGCCCGCGCGGGCGTCGTTTTGTGGGGCGCCCGGGAGCTCGCGCAGAGGACCTTTCGAGTAACATGAAAAGGGAAACTTACTTGCGAGTGACACATAACAACAGCGACCGGGGGGAGGGTCCCTCCAGGGAGGCATCTAGGGCCTGGTCACCCAGTTTGCCTCATCTTGGCCGGGGGGCGCCGAGACATCTCCCATTCGGTACGAGGACTCCTGGGGAGACCTAAGGGGCGCGTACGGGCCGGTTTTGCCTTAATTTCGAAAACCCTGCAAAACGGGGTTCGATGGGTAGGAGGCTTATCAAGACCGAGTACCGTAGGTACCGTAGGTACCTACCAGTACGGTACCGTAGGCGCTATCGCAAGCGAGGAGCTCAGGCTCTAGCTTAGTATTTAGGAGGTAGTAGCTAGAACACTACTCAGTGAAGGCCAAGGGAGGCCGTCACGGACGACGTGCCAGTGCGAATGATGCAAGATGTGATGGTAGAATTTTCGGGTCGATTTAGTAGTTGGATGTGGATCCTCTAAACCTCGTCCTGGATTAAGGCGTAGTCTTCATTCATGCATGTTCTGTTAAGCACCAATCATGCCTCGTCGCGGCCCATGCAGTGCCACGGCCCGGCGCCCCCGGGGCCCGGCTCTATATCATACTATATCCAGGCCGGGAGCCCTTGAGCTTTATTTGCACATCCAATTCTGAGTACTACTAGTTACCCTGCTCTCCTCTCTCCTCTCATACCGTAGGTACTAGACGTAGGTGCCTTTACTCGACAGACATACTGGGTACTAGGTACCCCAGCTCCAATAGCTTAAATACTGGGTTCCTCTTTTTCGACGAAATCGCCCGTGCGCGCGCAAAGACGCCTTTCGCTCCGTTTTTTTTTGTTGAGGCCCGACCGTTTGGTCGCAAACTCGGCTAGCCGCCGCGATTTCCGCAGAGGCGCCGCTCGCGTCGCGCACCGAGCTCTGCTAGTTCCGCTAGTAGGTAAGAGTGAAAAATGAGTCCGCGTGTATGCAACGCCACCACCTGCGGCTTTACGAGCACATCTATACGCGCCGTGTGAACGATTTCTCCACTGTGAGCGACCGCCAGAGATGACTTGGGTCGGAGCGCCGCGCGCCGCGACGCGGCAGGAGTTCGCCGTGCCCGGACCGTTTCTGGTGATCTTGGCGACTCTGTCGGCTCCTAGCATCGCTTCCGCAACCATGTGCAGCATGTGCCGCTGCGGTGTCGCTTGTTCCGAACGTGCGTGACGCACGCCGCACGCCGCCCGACCTGATGCGAAACGAGCGTTCCCGCTACTCCCGAGGACGCCGGCTTCCCGATTTGGCAAAATAAGCTCGCCAGCGGCCGCGCCGCATTCCGATTACCCGTTGTCTTTTAAACTCTGGAGCGGTGTCCAATACTGTGTCGCTCTTAGCTCTAAGACTAGGCATCCCTACTCTCAAAGTACTTAAGTAAGAGAACCAGGCTCCAAAGTAGATAGCTAGTACAAGCTCGTAGCTGGCAGGTCGGTCGGTCGTGCCTGACGCCTGTGGTTGGCTCGAGACGCAACGCGCATGTGGTTTCTAAGACGACCGGCGCCTCCCGAGGAGTTGGTCTCAGGCCTAGTCTCCGCAACTTTGGAATTGACTTCCACCAGATACGCGCGGTTTCAAACTCGACTTGCTGGTGTTGACAAAACATCGCTAGAAATTGCAAACAGGTCTACGACAGTTGTGGCCACGCACCTTCAAGAACTTGGCTTGATACTGATTGGTATCATTTGGAAACCTTCAATCAACTAACTCCAATTGATCTAGGTGACGCTGAGAGTGATCCTGATGAAAGCAGAGGAGCCCTTGTTGCAGCTGCGGCTGCTACGCAACCTGACTTTGCTGCAGGCTTGGTCTCGTGCCTTGATCTTTTGCCATTAGAACAACGTAAAAGTGCAGCGCATGTGTTTGCCAACTTGGTGAATCGAACAGATACTACTGAATTTGCTACAGTAATTGCAAAGAGCCCTATAATCATCTCCTCTCTTACGAACGCCTACAAAGATGAGACCGCCGATCTCGCATTGATTCGCGGTATGATGTAAGTGCGCCCAAATCCACCAGAATCAGCATGCTCCCAGATCAAATCTGCAGTTTATTATAAAATTAGGCTCCGGGAAGCAGCGCGACATGAAATAGTGGCAAAGTCACTTTTGGAGGCCCCAAACTTCTGGCTTTTTTTTTTCACCGCATCCAAGCAGTGTCACCTTTCACTCCGGGGATCCAGGTAGCAATCCTTCTTTTTCAGGACTTAGTGCAGCTAAAAAGTTTTGAGGTAACAGCAGATGCATTTGAGTTGCTAAAGGTCCTTCTCATGGGACATGGTGTCCTGGCTGCGAGGTTTATCCAAAATAATTATGCAGCCTTTGTGTGCCATTTCAACCTTTTGCTTCAATCAAATAATTATGTGACATGCCGTGAAAGTATCCGACTCCTCGGCGAGCTCCTTCTTCTGCGTGAGAACTTCAGTATTATGATGAGTTACATTTCAGACCGTGAGAACCTAAAGATACTTATGAATCTGCTCAGATGCAAACGAAAACGCATTCAAATTGAAGCTTTCCATCTCTTCAAGGTAGTCTTGCAAATTCAGTTAATGAGTCACCATGGCGGATGATAAAGGTATTTGTTGCAAATCCCCGGAAACCCGTAGATATTACCCTCATTCTGGTGAAGAATCGAGATAAGCTAGTTACATACCTTCGTAACTTCCACAACGACAAGGACGCAGATGCTCAATTTGCTGAGGAAAAGGCCCTCGTTGTTGAGACTTTACTTAGCCTGGACGCTATCGAACGCTAAAATGGATAGGAAATTGAACGCGCTGTTGCTAGGCGTGAAACTGCCACCTCGACCATGGGCCTGGCATCTGCGACAGGTCTCCTTGAAGTCACTCGCGTGCCGAGGCTGTCAGCGCTGCAAAAGCTTTTCGTGGCAGCCGACAGCATCACAATGAACACACGCGCCCGCCACGCTGCTTGACGAAATGTGTCCCGTAAGCCTATGCGGTGGTGTTTGAGAGCAGCTGTTCACGAGGCCTAGGCCTCGAGCTCGTGGCCAAAAAGGTATGAACTTCTTCTTACTGATACCCGGACGGTGCGCTTTGCTAAATTTAGCCAAACAAAGCGTCGCAATTGGCAGGCCGCTATTCGGCCGGATCGTCGAGGTTGATGTGATTTGCGTGGTGTGAATTGTAATGAGAGACTCGGAGTCTATTCCAGTGAAAAATAAGATGTTGGGTATTAAAGTGCCCACCAGGGGTCCGTTTCGATGCCCGAGGTCGTCCGGAGGGCTGCATAGGAAGGGGAGGCGTGTAACTTGAATATGCGGCCTCACCCCGAATCTCGTCCTGGTTTCAAGACGCAGTCTTTAAAATGAGGGTTGTCATCACAACATGCACCTAATATGCTTTGGACGAATACTTCGTCCGTCACACGGTAACCTGGGTGTCTGGCTCAGGCCCGGTGCTGACTCAGAGGGCGGAGATGCTGACTCAGAGGCTCGTTTTATTAAAATGCTAACAAACTGCTGGGTTTTCTCTCCCAACGAGTGAAGTGTGGTCACTCGTGAAAGTGTAGGATTTCAAACTTGAAAGGCAATACGGCGGAGTATGATGCAAGACCAAAGGAGTACGCACCTTTGGGAGTACGGCGGCTGAGATAGTCTGCCGAGGAGCGGCTACCGTAAAATACACTAAGTAGTTTTTGGTTCAAGTTTACGGTCACGGTAGGGGGGGGGAAGCCAGGTACTGACTAAGTCTTAATCGATCCGAAATTACCGGCTTTTTCGCATGAAGTCTCCGAGAGGGATCGGTCAGGGGTCTGTACGGAGGTCGATGACGATGAGAGGGAGAGCTCCAAAGTCGTAAAAAACCCGTTTAGTACGATTGGCGCCGGCTGCAGCTGCATGCGTTCAGCACGGCGGCTACAACGGTATTCAAGGGTGCTGAAGCAAGGCGATGACTGTGTGGCGGCTCTGGACGCCGTTCGGGCCGAAGAAGACCGCTTAGGAGCGAGCCGAATCACATCGTGCGGGTATTTTTTGCAGTCATCGGTCTGCCAAAACGCCAAATCCCGACGACCCCATCCCAAACTTTGTTAGGGGACGGGAATCGACCTGGTTAACCTTCGTTTTAGAAAATCCACACTACAGGACAGCGTTTATATTCGCTATGGAGCAATCCTAGTCTGGCTTCCCCCACATGTCACGGTGTTTAATTACGCGTGGCGTGTTGTGCCAGTGTGTGTGTAAGTGTATATAAAAGGGTATAGGATAGGGGGGGTATAGCAAGTGGCGACTTCCTCGGGCGTAAGAACTTCAAGTTACCCGGAGATTCTACCGTCGGCAATTTTGGGCAACTCGGGGCAGATGGCCAGTTCCTAAAACTTCTTGAGCAGGTTCAAAACCGATTTCATTGGGATAAAGCATTGGGGGGTTGACTGTTTTGCCACTGGCATTTAGTACTAGAGCGCAGGAGATCAGCATGGACTGCCTGTTTGTACAACAAATGCAATTCACCTTCTATCATCCACTGCCTCCAATACTTGTCTTCATTTAGCAGTGCTTCCATCTGACTAGTGGAATGCGATGGTGTACTACTGAGGGCACGTGACTGAACACGCGAATTTAAGCTTCTTAACGCTGCAGTCTGAGAGCACACTCGTGGGTTTTGGTTAAGCAGCTGAGAGAGGAAACCAACAGCATGCAGCCACTTTCGAAGCGAAATGATTTTGGCGGAAAAAAACTTTTCCAGCAAGCGATTGTAATCATATATCATGCTCAAAACTACGGTAAACACGTGGCAAGTGAGAGACGTATCGTGCTTGGTGGCTAGCTGTCGAAATGTATTGCAGGATTCCATAACATTTTTCAACGACAACGACGATTCAGTTGCAGAAACAGAGGAAAGAGTACCCAAGACCACGCAAGGAAGACGCATACCAGTAGCGTTGCCAGAAAGTAGTTGAATTGCCAAAAGCAAGGGTGGCAGATCAAGCTGTTGAAGGCTCAGGCGTCGAATTCTGGAGGAGGCCCGAATGCACTGGATAAAATTCAGAAGGATTACTTCGCTGTCGTCCAGCAGCTTTGATGTCAGACAATGGTAGCTTTGACTGCATGCGAACGAGGTTAGGCAGCAGCACAGGTCATTAGACGCCGTGGCGCTATAGGGGAGCTTATCTTCACCAGAAGACCTTATAGCGCTACTACGTTGTGCATACAAAAAACTCCAGAGGCGAAGGAATAAAGCATACCGCTTGCTTTCGTCTCTATTGTCTCGATTGATTTCCCGCTGAAGGTAAGTAAGAAAAGATGAGTGGCCGCATCGCCCTGAGACAAGGTGAGTGAAATTGCTTTCCTTTTTGATAGAAACGTCATTGGGCGACCAGACCTGAGAGGGAGCATGCTAGCCCTGTGAATTGCAAAGAGAAGGCGCAGCTAACAGACAGCTACCATTGGCATGTAGAAGTCAAGACGGAGCAAATAGGAACTAGCTGCCCACGAGCCTAACAGCTGGCCAATCTGAATGACAAGCTAAAAGGCACTGCTCGATGACGACTTTTCATGGTATTCCCGGGTGCATGTACAATGTTGTTGACAATCCACACCAGATCCTTGAAGAATAAAGAGGTACACTCTAAAATAAACTTTTGGCAACCAATAAACGTTCCAAGAAATAACCAAGTTGTCAATTCTTTCATTGGCTTTGGGGGATATGTTGCCAGAGCACTCGCGTAACCAATTGAAAACAAGCATTGGACAGAGGAGACTACTGAGGATGAGTCCTCTGAAGACAATTCTGTGGCGAAAAGAGCTTGAAAGCACCCAGGAAGCCAAGTTAGCCACAAATGCCTTGGAGTGAAGCCATTTGGCATGCAACTGACTCGTTGAGTTATGCGCTCAAAGGGTTGACGCATCCCAATATATGAGTTTCGCATAGTGTGAGTTTGACTACATCGTATGCTCCCAACCAAATTTTGAAGTGTCTTGGGGCTGGAAGGATCACGAAAAGGATGTGAAATCAGACCACAGACATGTCGATGGAAGACACGACACATCACCACAGGAACCTGAATAGCTGAACTGTGATGTACAATAAGGGGATACGGCGTGTGCACCATGTTACCAATGAAAGCTTGTTCCTACAATATCAGTTGGATGGTTGGAGACTTGTTGCTTTCAAGTGACACAGAAATTTGCATAGATCGAGGCATTGCTTAAGGCCTATTGGGCAATATTGAGTTAGTTCCAAACAGAACTCGAATACGCGTACATTTTGGTATGAGCAGCAGTCACTGTCACCCTCAAGTAGCCACCTAGATGACTGATGGTTCTATGACACGAGTGTGATTATTTCATTATGGCTCAATCAGTTACTCCAGTAGCATGCAAGCTTGAGTCGGTGAAATACATCTTTCAAATAGACCATAGCTATGGGCTTCAAGTTCAAAGATCAATTTGTGGTGCTTCTGGTCTATTCTGGCCTCAGTCAAAACTGCATCAACAAGCGCCTAGAGGTATCATCCTCATTATGTGCTCCAGCCATGGACAATGCTCGCACAGAACCACAAGCAGGACCACGGGAAAAAGCAGGACTCCCAAGTACCAGCGTTGCCAACTCACTAACTGTTGAGTTCACTGCCAGGTGCAAATGAGCCTATATCAAGAATACCACAATGTCTTGCTTGAGATTTTTTTGGCGCCGGAATGCTCGTTTGTTGCAGATCTCAATAAAATATTAAATATGTGGGTCTCTAGTACTATGCTAAGAGGAATAGAATGACATAGTCTACAGTTCGATGATATCGTGCATCGAGACTGAATGTCCAGTAGCTCAATAATTTTGTGCAGTACGGTATCCCAGCAAGCAAAGGCATTACCATTTTTGGTGTGTGGTGCGAGAAAGTCAACTAGAACAAGTAGGGCATGTCCGCAAGCACGATCAACCTATGGTCATAGAATTCATGGAACATAGCAAGTATAATGCAATGAGAAGACGTTCATTGCTCTGCAAACATCAATAGGATGCCCGGAAAGAATGGCAATATATATCAGGAGATCCAATGCGCGATCGGTGGTTACCCTTGAACTCAACGTCTGAAGCTCTCCAGTCATTTCAAGGACAGCATTGCAAACAATATCTTCGAATTTGTTCATTCTTTGGTTGGGCAAGGAATCTGCCATTCGTTCCAATAATGACAAGAAAGAATTTTGGATAGTGTGCACAAGCTCACCAAAACATCGGAAGTGGAAGCACCTACAAATTTTCTGCTAGGACCTTCAACATGGGGTTGATTCATGTCGACTCTTCCACGGACAGATTTGATCCAGCTGGTTTAATGTGCAAATCAGTCTCCCGTCTTTCATGTATCACAGGTAATCCTGAGGTAGTGCTGGTAGTATCCATTGCAAGCACATGATTCAGGTAATTTTGTGGCTCTTGATCAGGACAATTCTGTGCATTCGCCCTACTCACACCAGCAATATTAATGGTGCACATAGCATGGTTTCTCTGACCAGATTATTAAAAAAGAATATGCAAAACTATGCAATGGAAGCTTCAAATCGACCAGGAGAGTGAGCTCTCGGAGCAGACTGTGGATCAGCCAAAACGGTAAGTCAAGAGATGATGATACCGAAAGGAGAAACGTTAAACTTGAACATTCAGTCTGTGCGTTCAGTCTGTGCGGCGTCTCATCCAAGGTCACTGACACATCACCAACAGCAGCTTGGATAAAGCCGCGGAATAGAGCCAAAATGCTTGCATACCTGCCATTGTGACTCGATGAACTAATTATTGCCGCCAACTGAGCTGCCTAAAAATACATGCAAATTACATACCATTGACCATGAAGCAATGATTGCTCACCAGGTACGATGCGCTTTGTTTACTCATGGAGACATTATGATTCTTCATGAGTATGATTAAACTCTCAAGCGCCCTCCAGAGAGGTGTATAATGCAAGACATTCACCTTTTCAAGGATTCGTGCTCGACAACGCATCGTGGTTGAACATAAGTGCAGGGGCACTTCAGTCTGGCCGAGACCACGCATATATCTGACAAGTAGGATACAGAGTGCGTTCGTTTCATTCCCTGCCGTCGTTAAACCGCGTAGCAAGGAGATAAGGTCTAATGCTGGTGCCACAAAGGCGAACTGATAATTATCACGACTCCATCTACGCCGAGAAATCTTTGACACCATAGTTGGCATCGGCATCGGCTCAAGCAACCCTAGATCATTACATTTAAAACCCTAGATCGTTACCATGCCGCTAGGAAAAGTACGCGAGTCGCACGGATGCCAGCGATGCCAGTGCGATGATTTTCGTTTTTCTTCGACCCCCCCCCCCCCTTTTCAAGTTTTAAAAGGAAAAGCGAGGGCTCCTAAAAGGAGTTGATAGTAGAGACAAGACGCCCGCGTGTGCGTGTGTGTATTTTGAAGAATCGTGTCCTAAGAGATACTCCTAAAGACACGGTCCTAAGATACTCCTAAGTAGTTTTGGTTTAACTGTGTTTATTACGCGTGGCGTGTTGAAGGGTGATGGGTATAGGATAGGGGGGGGTATTTCGCCCTGTTTATCGCACACCCCTTCCCTCCGTCAGGACGCCTACAGCACACGGCGTCTCCAGGAACCGCCTCTGAGGGCTCCTCGCGACGTGGTGATTTTACATTATTTTTTCGAGCCGACGCGCGCCCGGCGGGCGCCGGCGGCAGCCGGACCGGGGACCCATCCAAAAAAACAGGCGACGGCACGTTCGCGACGCCGGCCCGAACGCGCCCGAAACGCGAGGCCGCTCGCGGCGGACGCGGCGCGGAAAAAGTTGGACGCGCCGTCGGCTGCGGCCCGCCGCCGCCCGGGCCCGGCAGGGTGCGCACGGCCGAGCTGGCCATCGCGAGGGCGCCCGCCACGGATGCGGGCTCCGCCCGCCGCGGTCCCACCATGGCCGGGCCGGTTTCAGCGGTTGACGCGCGGGGCATCGTCGGGCCGCCCGACGCGAGGGCGGCGCGGGAGAGCGACGCGGCGCCGAACCTGTGGCCCGCGGCCTCCAGAGGCGCGGTCCGGTGCGACCGAGCCGCGGACGCGCTTGGGCGGCCGTCACACGGCGCGTCAGCAGGGCTCGGAGCGCTCACGGGCCCAAAACGCTAACTCTGCGCGCGCGCGGCGCCCGCGCTCGCGGAAAGAAGCGTCGCGCAGGTTCTAGGTCGCCGACGGCGGCCTCGACGCGAAAACTGCGTCCGTAAAGGGGGCACTGTCCCCTTTTGGCGGCCGATCGGCTTATCTCATGAGAGTGAACCCGAACTCACCCTAGGTTTGAACAGCGGCCTGCTACGCCTAGCTATGGATGAAAGCACGTTCTTGTTCACTTCGGAGTCTGTTAGTGAAGGTCATCCAGGTATTCCCTATAACGATTAGAATTTACCATAATACTTTATGTGTGTGCAGATAAAGTTTGTGATCAGGTGAGTGATGCTGTGCTCGATGCATGCATCAAGGACGATGAAACTTCCCGAGTAGCCTGTGAATGTTGCACCAAAACTGGCATGATAATGATATTCGGTGAAATCACTACATCAGCAACTGTCAACTACGAGGCAGTAATTCGTGAAACACTTCGAGAGATAGGGTATGATGATCCTGCCAAGGGCATGGACTATAGAACTGTTAATGTGATAGTTGCTGTCGAGGAGCAGAGTCCGGACATAGCCCAGTGTGTGGATGCTACAAAAATCGAAGAGATTGGTGCCGGAGACCAGGGCATCATGTTTGGCTATGCAACCGATGAAACGGAAACCAAGTTGATGCCATTGACCCATGTGCTTGCAACACAACTCAGCATGCGACTTACAGAGGTTCGTAAAACAAAACTCTTGGACTGGGTTCGCCCAGATGGTAAAACACAAGTTACCTGCGAGTACAAACTTAAGTCTGGACATCCATTGCCCCAACGCGTGCATACTGTTGTGATTTCAACACAGCACACTGAGGTTGTTAGTCAAGAGCAGATACGTGAAAGCTTGATGGAGCAAGTTGTGCGGGCTGTTATTCCAGGAAAATATATGGACGATGATACAATTTATCACATGAATCCTTCCGGTCGATTCATTGTTGGCGGACCGCATGGAGACGCTGGTTTGACTGGTCGAAAACTTATCATCGATACATACGGTGGATGGGGTACTCACGGTGGTGGAGCATTCTCGGGCAAGGATCCGACCAAGGTAGATCGTTCTGCTGCGTATGCCGCTAGATGGGTAGCTAAGTCCCTTGTGAATGCCAGACTTTGCCACCGTGTTCTAGTCCAATTATCATACGCCATTGGCGTAGCTTATCCTTTATCAATACATGCAAATTCCTACGGCACCGGACCTGCCTTGAGTGGCAAAACTGACGTTGAGCTGGTGGAAATCATAAAAGCTAATTTTGATCTACGGCCTGGTTGCATAGTGCGCGATTTGCAGTTGCGACGGCCAATGATGCAAAAGACAGCTGCATATGGTCATTTTGGTCGCGAAGATGATTTATTTACCTGGGAGAAACCTAAGGAGCTATCCTTTTGACCCTCACACCATCAATAGCCATAGCTGCAGGATAAGGGTTAAGCTCCTGCGGGTTTCTGGATCTTCTTGAGCCCGCCCCCGGTATTTGATGCATCTCACCCTCCCCCACCGTGACAGCTGTGCCGGCATGGCACGCAGCTCCGGATGCCCACCACACATGGAGCGCGTGCTGGGCAATAAGCCATCAATAGCCAGCTAACCAGATAACGCTGGCAGGAGCCATAAAATCGAAATTCGCCCTGCAAATTCGCCCCTATTTACTAGTCCGACTTGGCCTACGTGTCGCTTCGGGGTTTGGGCCTACGTGTCGCTTCGGAGGCGCATTGGTGCCGCCAGCGCGTGTGGAGGTCCTAGTGACTCGTTTGCGCCAGGCGTAAAGAGCGCGCGTCGAAAGCTAGCCGCCTCGGCGGTCTGCGAGTGCCCAACTTGAAAGCTGCTACGAATAGCGCAGCGGCGGCTGAGATAGTCTGCCAGAGAGCCCAGGCTACCTTTAAATACAATACTAACTTGAACCAGTCTTGGTTTACTAGTTTCTCCGAGTCTGAATTGGCTCCCTTTAGCTTGTCATCAAGCCTGAGGTCTACCGTGACTGGCCGCTTCATTTCGGACGCCCTGTTAAAAAAACTGGCACTTGGCACAAAAATCACCAAAATATTTTATTCGTTGGCATTTATAGTCATTGGGGATACCCGCCAGAACCTCAGGCTCGGGGAACTTGAACTTGAACTCCTCAGGCTACGGACTCCGGGATATCATCGGGAATTTGTGGGGAATGATTAGGCATGTACCGAATGCATTTATTAGTAGTATAGACAAAACGCTAGATAGGGGGAAGTTAGGTATACTTTGTGCTCCGGCTGCCTTAGTGTTATCATGGCTTTGAAAGCGGAAGAAATTAATCTGCTGGTGTATCGCTATCTCCAAGAGTCAGGACATCTACATTCGGCGTTCACCTTTGCTTACGAATCTCTGGTCACACAATCTGAGATTGCAAAGATGTACGCAGATACGATGCCACCAGGAGCACTCATTTCAATAATTCAAAAGGGCCTGATGTACCTCAAGGTGGAAGAAAATTTGGATGCAGACATTTCAAAATGCAGCACCGACCCGACCTGTTGCATTGAATCATCCAAAGAATTAAGTATCTTGAGTGCCACAGTTCTACAAGGTATAACAAAAAGCAAGTCCATCAAGTACTCCAAGTGGTACGTCAAACATGACAAGAATCGTAATGAAGATGAGGATGAGGAGGTAGAAAAGGCAGAAAGCAGAACCATTGGCAAGCGAAAGCGTATTGGAATATGCGTGGCACCAAACGCAACACAGTCCATTGACTTCTCTAAGAAACACACGAGCGAAATGGAGGGTAGTGCGATCCCTGAAATTCATTCCACAGAAAGCACTTCATTTCCTAAAATTCAGTCCACAGGGATGACAGAAGAACAGGCGAGTACAAGCAAATTAATAAGCATGGTCCAACTAAGTTAGCGCAGGCAATTTCATCTGCGGATGTGCTGATCCTGACTGGCCACGAAGCAGAAGTATTCTGCTGCTCCTGGCATCCAAGGGACGAGCTTCTTGCATCAGGCTCAGGTGACTCTACTGTGCGCCTCTGGAACCTCCCAGATGACAAAACAACAGCAAATCTTAAGATCAAGTCCCCCTTACCTAGAGTCCTTGAATGCATTGCGCCCATGCAACAAGAAAAAAAATCTACTTCAGCGGGTGACGATCACGACGTTTCTCAGCCGAGTTCTTACCGAGTTTCTCATCCTTAGCTAACATTGTACTAGGTGACTACATTAGAGTGGTCAGTCGATGGAAGTCTACTCGCAACAGGCTGCATGGACGGCATTGCTCGCCTATGGTCTCGCGAAGGCGTTTTACAGCATTCTCTCAACGCTCACTCCGAGTCCATATTCTCTTTGAGGTTTGATTCCGCGGGCAAGCGGCTCTTAACTGGTTCATATGATAAGTGTGTGTCAGTGTGGGATGTACGTACTGGTAGCATTCAGTGCAGAACTTACATTATACAAGTTAAAAGACCCTTGCAGGAAAGTTGCAGCATAAGTTTGAAGCCCATTCAGCACAAGTCCTTGACGTTGATTGGAAAACTGGTGTCCGCCCGAGCCCATTCGAATTCTGATTGCATCAGCAATAGCTCAATTGTTCAGGTGGATATCATGGGCTTGATGTTTTCGCGTCGTGCTCAACAGATCGCACAATTGCTGTCTGTGCGCTTGCAGACAGAGAGGCTGACACCGACCCGGCAGCAGCAACTACCACACCGTTGCAGGTGCTAGTTGGCCACGCTGATGAAGTCAACGCAATAAGATGGGACCCATCCGGCGGGCTGCTTGCATCATGCTCTGATGACCACCAGGTTCTGATTTGGCAGCTTGGGCAGTCTCTTGCACAGAGCATGATCGATAGACAAAAGTTTTTGCCACCTGCCCTTGCTCAGGTCCGTCCCGGTTCATCGGTTCAGTAATCACACTGAGGAGATATACACAATTCGTTGGTCACCGACTGGCCAAACTACGAATATGCCCAATGTATGACCTGAAGATTCCTAAACTTTTAACCAGTGTTTTATCATCGTAGGCGCCCCTGAGGTTGGCTTCTGCATCATTTGATGCAACAGTTCGCCTCTGGGACACAGACATGGGAGTTTGTTTGCACACATTGCGAAATCACACCAAAAAAGTATATACCATTGCTTTCTCTCCTGATGGCAGACTGCTCGCATCTGGCTCACTCGGTGGCCAACTTAACATTTGGTCCGTCCCTAATGGCAAATTGTTAAAAACCTACAACCAAGGGGGTGCCGACATCTTTGAAGTAGCATGGAATGCAAATGGTACTCGCCTTGCCGCAACATCGACCAACGCGGTAACTCTGATCGATGTGAGAGTCATATGATTGTGTGGCGCATAGCAAGGTAGTTAAGCTCATTCGCCACGCTAAAATCCTCAAATATCTGCGGAAGAAGTCGCGGAATAAGCTGTGATGGCTTTGCGAGCTGAGCCTTTGGCGCCGGGTCACACGAGGCCCTTCACACCAGGGCGGACGGAAATGAAGGGCCTTCTCACGGAAAGATACGGCTCGGGCGACTCTGAGGCTCGGGTATCTTAGTTTGCAAGCTGAGCTACGAGTAGCTAACTTGAAATACCGAGTCGAGTGGGTAAAAAAAAATGAAAAAAGTTACCGTGACTGGCAAGACTCGGAGCCTGAGAAATTTTGCCAGTGGGTAGCCTGAGCATGCCAGTGGGGCGTTGGGCGCAGGCTGTTGATCGGCGTGATGGGGGCGTTGGAGCGATTTGGGGGGCGTCCTAGATTTCCGAGTCTAAATAGAATCATGATCCGAATCACTCAGCCACTCAGGCTTCAAGTAGTTATCGGCGCTCCTGGTCCTAGTATCACGGTGACGTCACGGTATAAATTGAACTTTAAACCATAATTACGAAGAATATTCTCTTCCTAACGTTCTAAGACGTTCTAAAGGGAATTTCCGACTTCGTCTCAGAGCCGTTTGGTTCATGGCAACGTGCGGCTATCTCTTAATTCTGATGTACTCTCAAACCCCCACTATCCGTCTTTTGCTGCTTTTTTGGCCTTGTGATTGGCAATTCGGCGCCCAGTTCCTCGAATCCTACGAGACGGACATTTATTAAATAGTGATATGCTGGCATCAACACTGTCGAATCTGCTTTTTTTTGCGATTCTTAGCCTCTTTGATCTGTTTGCGGGATGTCTCTTTTTTCTCGACAAAGCCGTTCCGAACCAAGCGGTACTTGGGCTCATACTTCTTAGCCGATTCGGCAGAGTCGTAAATCAAGCAAAAGCCAGTAGACTTGCCACCTCCAAATTTGTTGCGGAACCCGAACAGGGAGATGAGGCTCTTGTCGGTGACTTTGTAGGTCTACGGGAGGGAATGAGACACAGTTGACATGGTAAAAGGCTCCGGGTATGGCTTTAGCGATCATATCCTGGAGCTCGGACTTCGGGACATTCGCTCGGTCAGGATGTAAGACGTCTACCACCTGAGCGGCAATAGCGCGAGTGAGAAGTGTCGTTTACTTATCCACTTACAAACTGTTTGCGTTGCAACAGAGGATTGCGAATGAACTTCCGTGTCCGGACGGTCACTGTCATGATGGCGATTGGCGAGTTAAAAGATAGCTACAGAGTATTAGTAGTATGACTTATGGGTTGGGCTAGAATGAGTGACTTACAATTTCAATCGCCTGTGTTCCACTATTTCAGGAGGAAAGTCCGCATCCACCGCCGCTCGTTCGTCCTTGGGTGTAGTCGTTCGTCGTCGGTCGTTGATAGAAGAGTGACTGGCAAAACCGTGACACTGTGACACTCCGAGTCGCGGCCAGGACGGCGCCAGCCGTCAGATCGGGAAAGCGGCCTGGCAAAACGCGTCGCGGTTGTCATCGAGGCGTTGATACCTACCGGCCGCGAGAGGCCGGTAGGCAAAACAGTCGCAGCGAGATGCGCGACACGCGTTGCATGAGCGACTCGGACCGCGTCACGGGACCCTTCCCTTGGGTGGGTCGGGCGAGCACTAAAGTAGCGTTATTTCGAGGTCGGACTGCGCGGTCGCAAACGCCACGGGCAGGACGTCGCTACAGGGCATATCTAGTGCCCTGCCGATTTTGGTGCGCATGGTGCGCGGCGTTGGGACCGCGCACTTGGTTCGCGAGCCACTTCTTCAACGGTGGTCAAAGGCAAAAAATAGGTAATCTATAATATACACACACACAGGGGCAAACGGGCTCCGACTCGGAGTCCGAGCCTGAGTCAGCCGCAGAGTGCCTACGCGTTGGCCAGATCGTCGAGCTAAACTCGGACAACAAGCTCGAGATCTACCAAAACCGGAATGCCGAAGGGGCAGCGCAATTGATCTAAAGACCAACTTCAAGTTCAAGTTGAAGGCGCCGCGGACTCTGTCTTAATTTGAAGGCTGGAGAGGTGCCGGGCGACCCGCCAGATGGGGGGCCGCCGGGCGCCTCTCTACTACATCGAGCCATCGGGTGACAGGACCAGCTGAAACTGTCTAGGTACCTTTGGTAAACTTGCCTGCCGTTATTCTAATCATGTCGTGTCACACGGAGGGCAAACGTCGACAGCTATTGGAACAAGCTGAGGAGCTGATCAAGACTTACAACCCAAAGCGAACAACTCTTGAATCGCATGCGAACGAATATCTGTCAATAAATAAGCTCAATGCCAATGATGCGGATGGAGCGTTTCTCAAGGAAGTTCTCTATGGAGTAATGCGCTGCAAAGCAGCCTTGAAGGTATTCGCAGCTTGCTTTTTCAACGACATGTCAGCTCGGGTACTTCGTTCAGATTATACCATGTACATGATACTGACATATCTCAGTGTGTTTCGGCTCCAGGAGCTAACAATCTCAGAGTTCCGCAAGTTTGTACTGAGCATTGACCCAGATAAGATGGTAAATTTTCTAGAATATGTATTCAATGCCTCGAGTCTGGAGGACAGTGGCGTAGTTGCACACTGGACCAAGATATTTGATCCAGATTATGTACGCAATACGTTACTCAAACAGTTGACATCTTCTTCACTTGAAATTCAGCAGATAATTGCTGAACTACGCGACAAGTCGACGGGTATTACAGCTGCAAAGCAGGCATGTAAGGACTGTGGAACCATGGTCATGACACCAGGTCAGAGAAAAGAAGTTAAGCCGCCCAAACTCACGGCTCCTGTCCCCCGAGTGGTACCAGAACCATCAGTGATTGAGCAGGAATTAAGTTGTAAGTCTTCTGGATTTGTCGCAGACATGACGCCTGAGCGGAGAGTAACTGGGAAGTTAGAAAATACGATCTGCCACCCAATAGCGCTGCACGGGACTAGGTCGACCGTCTTAGTAGCTCAAGAGGCAATGGAAACAAAAAGGGTGGATCAGCTAGATTTCTCAAGGACAAACGGCAGCAAGGGCAAATGTGCATCAAGCGTTCGCTTTCGGAGTGCACTCAAACATCGACGCAGCGCCCGAGGGGAACCTGGGGCTAAAGAAATCATTTATTACGCGCATGCGCATAGGTGGCAATGGTAAAACTAAATGCAGCAACTATGTTCCGGGAGGATGCACTGTTTCGCACAAAGCAGGAACAGGAGGCCGTAAATATTAATACATACGAGGCAGAGCTTAGAGATTGCGCCGATTTTTATCACTGGCAACTGGATATGCGTGCTCGGGACCAGAAGACACGCTATGAGCAAATCGCGCGAACTCGGGATCTTGCCAGAGCGAGTGCAGAAGAGGCACAGCAAGCAAGATTGGACAAACTGGTGCACAATAGGCAAACTGCGTTGCTCGGCGTTGCGGAACGCGACGCGATGCAGACGCAACTCTGCCTCGAGAAAAACCTGAGTTTGCTCAAAAAGCGCCAGCTAGTGAGTGCACTGAAGCAGGGTCGCACGCATGCACGGCAGCATGCGCTTGAGGCGATCTTGATTGAAAAACGTGAGTTTCGTACAAAGCTACAGCAAGATATCAAATGCCGATTACACGAACAGGATTTGCATGACAAGAAACGAACCAAAATGCTGACTCAACGTGTAAAGCAGCTTAAAGCAGAGCATAGTGTGCATTCAAAGAATATGAATATCTTCGACCCAACAGATGCCAGTGGTTATGGTTTGCTTGATGAGATGTCCCTGGTGGAAATGCATCAACGACTTGCTAAAAACAAAAAAAGGGCAGATGAAGAGCGCAAGTGCAGGCGTTTAGATTTCATTGAAGCCAACAGGGCCAAACAACACCGCTTGATTGAACGGATTGAAAATATAAAAAGGATTCGCGTTGCAGCTGCAGCAAAAAACCATCAGACAAAGCAGGGACATATCGAGCGGCTGTCGAATTTTAAAGCAGACCTAAGACACCGCGAGGCTTCACTTCTGTTGAAACTCGGCGAAGATTTCAAAAACAAGCAACAGAAGCTTATAGTCGAGGAAGCGCAGACCAATAAAAACCAACACGTTACTGGTGCTGATAAAATGGTTAAGGAACGCATTGCTCAAGAAGAACTTTTACAAGGAGCAGCACGCATGGCCAAGGTTGATCAACGCAATTGCTTGGGGTTGATGGCAAAGTACGAGGTAGGAAAACGCAGGGACCGTCGTCAAATTGATCGCAACCACGCACTTGAGAATGAGGCGCAGAAAAAAGAAAAAACAAGCGGAGATACACGTGTGGCAGAGGGAACTCGGGAAATGATGAAGCTGCAGAAACAAGTAATCGCCAAAAAGAAAGCGGCGTACTTAACGCAGAAAAAGTTACATTGGGAAAAAATGCGAACTATTGTGGATCCGTACACAAGACACACAAATCTGCTTTCCATCACTCGCGCCAAGCGACACCTGGTGACTAGTCAATGAAGTTTTTAGCGTGCTTTATTATTCTAGTACTACTAAGCGGCGTCACTTGTCTGGGTAACTTAGGCAGTGCTCGGGTGCAGAGCCACTGGCAGCAACTTCAAGTCGAGGTGACAATAATGTGTCGAAGACAGAATTCAATATAATGCTCGACGACCCTGGTTGTTCCTCGAGAATTTGTCCTTCTATCCCGAGCTACGTCTCTTGTCAATTAGGTCAATATTGTCTGGAGTTCATAATAGGAGACGCCACGCGTTATTGAAGATGCGCTTTTGTTGCTTTTTTTGTTTCTTTTTTGAAACCCTGGTTGGTAACCTGATGGGCGGGGTCTTCTATCTTTCCTGGTGTCGAACTTCGGGGATCAATCTAACGGCCTATCGAACGCCGATGCACATCCGGCGTTAAGTTAGTGGCTCCTTCGTCTGCTGGAATGCATACGTACGTCCTCGACCGGTAGGCCTTACGTCGACCGGCAGACTACAAGCTTTCGTCCGGCCGGCCGCTGGTTTGCACACGGCGACGGACTATTGGTCGACTTCTGTAGCAGCGATTTTGAGATCTATTTGCGGTTCGCTCATCCGTTTGCAATTTACCAACTCGGGTTTGATCTTTTAAGGTCCCTCTAAAGCACGGTGACGACTTTGGGGGGTCCGAGCACGCTCAGGGACTTCGATTTTCAGTTCCCCGGGGTACCTCTGTTGCTTGCAGTCATAGTTTATACTAGTAAATTACACTGGCACATCGATTGAAATGCGCCATGGCTGCATTTCAAGTTGCCATGGCTTGCGTCGTATCTATCCGCGGGAAGGCTCGATTAGAAACCCGTCTCCAGCCCCATCATGTGCCAGGGGCCGGGAGCCCGGGTTTTTTCAGAGCCTTCCCGCGGATGGGGGGTCCTTCACGGATCCATAGGGGCGATGGGGTCTACGGGGATCGGGACTAGGGCGCAGCGGCGCGCCAAAAACGGCAAAAACCCGTGAAACTCGATTAAACGCGAAACTTTTTTGGCCTCGTGTGTGCAGCCAAAATGCGCCCGTAGGCAGCCCCAAGCTATTACTGACCGCCCAAGGGGTCGGCCGATGTGGTGCGCCAAGAAAAAGCGCGGCAGCACAACATTTCGCGGTGCGCCAAATCGCTCTCCCACCACATGATGTGCGATACGCGATGTGGGCACGCCCCTGCACAAAAAACCGTGCGGACAGTACGGTGGGTATGCCCCGAGCCCCGCGGACGACTTCGCCCGCTCAAAACGCTGGCAATAATCGCACCGCGGCGGCCGCGTCGAGGTCGACGCGGGACGAACTGAGAGCTTCGAGGGCGCTCCTGCGAGAAACCACGGGCCCGGGGACCGGCGCGGGGTTATAGTCGATGATTTCCGACACTGCGGTGGCCCGCACGGTGGCAATAAGCCTCATCGAAGGGGGTTTCAGGTGCGAGTTGCCCTGTAACCGTTCCAGCAACGCACGCTTCTCCAGACTCTGCGGAGGGATCCATAAGGGTCTGATCCCTCTTGCTCTCGAACTGCGTCCGTATCCATCGGAATGCGGCTGCGCCAGAGCCGATTTTAGGGGCGGGTTCCCGGCCCTTCATGTGCCCCACGCCAAATACCCGCAAGTTAAGCTAAATACCGGACGTTAGGCCCCGATTGGCACCGCGTCTCGCCGCGAGAGTGACCCTTTCCCCCCATCCCGGTCTTGGGGCGAACAAAGGGACACTGTGGGACCCCGCAGCCAAAATCTCCCTCGGCCGCGATGTTAAACAAATACAAATAAACAGCTAAGCTAATACTTGAGCTGGCTTTTGAGCTCAGATGCTTCAGGGTAATTGGCGAAGGTTGATGTGAGGAGCTCAAACAGGGCGTTTCGCTCAAAGGCACCATCACTTTTAGGGTCATCACCTCTGAGCCGCGAGTTGGCAGTTAACCAGGCAATGTCTATTATTTTAAGCTCCAGACACACTGAAACGAGCTTTGCAACCTGACAGAGTAGAATAGCTCATAAGATATCAGAAGTAACTAACTCACATGTTCTACAGCCATCGGTGAGTCGATGCAAATATCAGATAAAAACTCAATGGTATTGCCAAGCGCATCGGTAACATCTTCTGCCTTTAACTTTGATTTTAATGCGAGAGCGTGAATTGCTGCCAGAGATGAATTCCGTTCAGCATCCTTGCCCTCGACAATGCGGCCAACTATCAGCTCGAAAACATGTTTATACACCCGATTCGTGTTGGGAACTTCGTCTAGAGATGCAATTAGTTCCTCTTGATCCTGGAGCTGTGCAAACTCGTCGAGCGAAGATCTCGCGCGATTTTGCGCGCGATCATCTGTCCACAGCTTAGCAGTGTCCTTGGCTGCCGGCCGTGCCAAAGGGGTGTCATATGTGTCACTCGCTGATTTGTGTGCACTGCTCGTTGTCTCCTGGTCCCTCGACAGAATCCGCACAGTCGATGCCTGGCTATGACGCGATTGGCGCGCATCCTGGGACTTGCTGCTTACGTCCTTAGCACTCAGGAGCCGACGCCGTTGCTGCTGCTGCTGCTGTGAGATAGCTTGGCGCTGGCGCTCACGGGCAAGATTTCGTTCCTCATCACGACGAGACTGATTTTCGCCTTTTCCTTGTGTTGTGGATGCTTTTGTTCCCAATTTGTGCGGACCATCTTTAGCTCGCCGTTCTCTCCAGCCATTGCGACGGCACTCCAAGAGGTCTCGTAGCATAAAGCGTGTGCGTGCAGCAAGCCTCGTTTTATCTCTTGAAAGAACAGAGAGCCGCTTGCAGTACCTAGAAAGTGTAGTGTCGTAGCTAAGGCATTGTTAGAGATAGTGGGCTCAGGGTAGTGCGCATCGAGCTTGGCCTTAGATGCGGCTGGTGACTCAAGCTGCTTGCCAATTGTGAGGAAAAGCTTTGCTGCAGCTTCTATGGACTCGTCGTCTGGAACCGCGTTAGGATCATCGAGTGACCCAAGAAGTAGCTTAATACATTCATGCATTATCTTTTCTTTTAGAAGTTGCTGTTTAAAGAGCTCTCCAATAAACTTGACATTGCCCAGCATGCGTCGCTTCAGCTTTGTGATCCAGATTTCCAATTCAAGTTCATCTGGAAGTTCCTTGGGTGGCACCCCTTGCTCTGCAGCAGCCCTTGTGGCGTCTATGGCGGCTTGCTTCGCATTATCTCTTGCCTCACGTGCTGCTGCTTCAAGGGCTGCTGAACCGCCAGAACTTCGAACGTTTCGCTCAAACTCTTCTTGGCATTGATTGAGAAGCAAGCGTTTGAAGGACGCTTTTTTCATTGCATCTTGTTGGGCATCTGCCTTAGTTGCAAACGTGCCAAATAGCTTGCTTTTGCCATTATCAAATAGTCTGGCTTCAGCGTCTTGTACCACAGCAAAAACCTAACAGCACAGTGTTCAATTTTGAAGCCCTCACACGCTAAACACAGAAACCAGACAACTCCAGGTCGCTGCTCGGCAAAGTAACAGCACACTAGAGTATTGTTCTTAAGAAAGCAATCTGATGGATGAAGCTGTAGCTGACCGATTCCAATTTCCTCAAAGTCATTATCTGGGGAACTTAGGAGTAGGTCCACAGATGAAAGCTTGGGTAGTGGTCGTAACTTTGACGTGTCGACATCAAGATCGGCAATCCACGACCAAAGTCCAGTAGATTCATCTTTCACAGAGCGAATAAAAGGCCAGACACGTGTTTCCTCGGCAAGGCGTGCACAGAGGGCCGCATATACAACAGCAAAGTGCGGCTCATCAACTGCCTTGTCAAAGATGACACCAATCACTCGTCGAAGCATTTCAGATGATGTCATTTCCAGTTTGCAAAGCTGTCCTGAGAGCTTTTCGAAAGATTGCGGGGTCATTTTGTTCAGGATTGCGGTCACTGTATTTAGTGACCCCTCCAGTTCATTTGCGTGTTTGTGCTTGCGATCCCAGCGATGGAATGTTGTTTTAAGCGGCTCAACCGCTTCAGGGCCCCAGTGGTCTTGAGAGCAATCCTTTTGCTTAACTCGGTGACCGCGATCCCATTTGTGTGCTGCTGCAGTATGCTCAGTCTTGCGATGGCGCCCCCCTCTTGTGCTTTCTATCCCGCGGCGAAACGTCTGATCACGTCTTGGATCTTCCATTGACCCAGTATAGCGAGGGCCAGTCCCACCTGATCCGCCACCTCCCGCGCCAGCACCGCCACCCCGCGTGGTACCTCCAGGCCCAAGGCGCCGAACTCCACGAAAATCTCCTGCTGTTGATACCCCTACTAAGAAGCTTGGTAAATCGGGTGGAGGTGATGTGCTGCGCTGAAGACGAAGCTCAAACAGTTCTGACTTCGTATATGTGCGCGGGGTCATTGATAAAATGCCGTTAATGGGTTGCTTCTGCAATATATCCTTCCCTAAAGGTGGCGCTGCCACTGTGCTAACGTCTTCCCAGGAATCTCGTATCTTTGCGGGTGCTGTCGCCTCATTCACCACTTCGCGTGAAGTTCGAAGCAAATTTTGATCCTGACAGTGGTCGACTGAACTTGGTCTCACGACTGTGATCAGAGAGGCAACAGACTTCCTATCCTTCTTTTCAATTGGCTCAGGAAGAGGACTATGGGATGATGCATTGATGTTTTTTTCTAAATGTGTGTTTAATTAGTTCAGGTTGGTGGGTGGTGAAGGGGCTCACCTGCTGACTTCCCAGATTTAGTTGCGGGCATTGTCTGTCGTGGTGCATGCACTATATCTGCTGCAGATGCCGATGTTCGAGGGGCGGCTACTTGCGATTCAGTCGTAGTTATAGGACGCAAGCAGCCATCTGGGACGATAGGTGGAGCAACAACGGGGTGACTGTGGATCTCAGTGTGGGACTGCTCCTACACAGATGAGCCAATCTTCTTCGACCCTTTACATATTACCCTAGACGAACCTTGTCACCATCAAGAACTGGGGAAGATTGGGCAGTAGCCACCTCGGTATGAAAGTCAATCTGCGAAGGCATCCTGTGGACATCATAAAGTTACAATTCGACAATTTCTAAACCAATGACTCTGCTATCTCGCATGTGGGCATGCGGAAAGCTATTGGGATGTTGCGGAGGCAAATACTGCGCTGTACCTCTGTGTGCCCACGGAGCCTGAGAATGCGGTTGTCGGCAGACAAAGCCCAGATAACATACCATGAAATTAGTGGGAATTGCTCCATATTGGTATGATATCTGTGGATATGGGTATTGCTGCTGATGTAACGCAGCAGGTATGCCGCCCGGAACAAACTCTGCTGCATCTGGTTGCAACGTACGGGGTGCCTGAGAAAAGTATGTACTGAGAGATGTCGTTGGGCGAAATAGCGACATTTTCCCGCTGGTTTGCTCTAGGCAATCTGGCTGTGGGCAGGGGATGGTGTGGCGTCGTATCGGCCGCAACTGAGTGGCTAGTTTCGCCACTGACTTTGCTGGTAGTGGGATCAAGGCTCAAAGAATCCTTAGCATCCTTAGACGCATGCGTTCCCGTCGGGGGCATTCTCCGTGGCGTGGTATTTCAGAGCGAGTAAGTCAGAGCGAGCCCTTGGTAGATGTACGATACTCTTGCCCGGGGGGCAAGCCGGCGAGGATCTGTCACCTCCCAACATAAGCCCGTCAGTTTCGCGGCCTACTTTGGTGTCGAATGATAAATGAGCGCGAAGTCTTGAAGGCAGCTGGGCGTAGTGCCATTACGACATTTCTCCATTCCCAAATTGCGTTTGAGCTTGTGCGTATTTCTGGCAAGGTCTTTGACGTGCTGGTTATGCATTTCTGATTTCCCCTGCGGGTGTAGGTTGTAGTCTTCGAGACCAATATTCCAATCCAGCTGGCTTTCTATGCTTTACTGGAACATGAGTCGTCTGCGGCCCCACTCTGGGACAGTTCACGCCGGGAGTTTGTGGGTCTCATGACGATTACAGATTTCGTGGATATTTTGCTGCACTACCATGATCAACATGGACGCACTGGCGCAGCCATTGAAGTGCTCGCATCTCGTTCAATAGCACAGGTGCTGAGCGATCCTGTCGCTGGAACACTTTTTAAACATGCAACAGAGATGTTTGCGCAGCCCAGTCCACTTCAACCACCTTCACACGACCACGCAGTTGACTATGGGGGCCTCATTGCTGTCGACGCAAACGGTGTGTGCTGCACCTCTTTATCCGAATATCATGACGCGCCTCAGGTTCTTTGTATGATGCATGTGGCGCAATGAGAACCAATAAACGACGATACTTGCCCATTGTCACGTCGGAGGACTGTGGGATACTTGCTGTGGTAACCCATGTTGATATACTCGAATACTTTGTTGCAACGTTTCGGGAAGAACGACGCCTCTTTGACCAGCCCATCCAGGAGTTAGGTATTGGCACTTTCGATGAGGTTATGACTGTCAACACCACGACTTCACTTGAAGATGTGTTGAAACTTCTTTGCAGACGTAATTTAAGCTCAGTGCCGGTCGTTGACAAGTCGGGTCGCATAGTTTCCCTGTATAATCATTCTGACATTACCTTTCTTGCAACTGCAACTGATGCTGACTCTGTCGTCGTCAACCTTGGGTCCTCGATTGAAGATGTTATCGCGCAGCGTCGCTCTGATGAACCATTACATACTTGTTCACAGTGTGCTACGCTCCAGTTTGTCTTTGAATTCTTCGCGGATGTCAAGTTTCGGCGTCTCATCTGCCTTGATGTTGACAGGAGGCCGGTTGGAATTATCTCGGTTCGCGACCTCCTTTCGTACTTTGTCGATTGAAACACGCAGCAGGAAGCACAGGCACTAGTCATCAGATGCTTCGAACAACTCCCACTCCAACTTGACTCTTGAATGATAATCAGGATGATTATTAATAACAACAAAAGTTCACTGGCAAGTCAAGGACTCGGAAGACCTATAAAAGGCAGAAGCTCCTAAGAGCCTTCTCCCTGCTCGGTCAATACCCAACCGGAGCGTCGAAATAGTGATGAAATAGCGACAAGAAAATTTCAATTTCACGTGGAGACGTGGAAGCGCCGTGCATGCGCATCTCCCACAAGAAAAGGTAAGCAAAATTTCCAATAACCACCATGATCAGTGGGAGGGTCTGTCAGTCGAGCCGACAGCTTTAGAGGGCCGGAACCCCGCGATTAGTACTAATAGTAAGAACTGCCAGTGCCTGACTTAGTTGGATGGCCAATGTCATGCCCGTCGTCAAGTCCGTGACACCGTGACCGCGACCGTCACGGGCGGCCCGAGTGACCGGACTCGGACCCTGAACTTGACTTGCCGGAGTCACGGTCCGACGGTCCGAGTCGCCGCCGAACTTGAACATACTATCACGGCCCATGGGGGGTACACCAAGCTTGCAAGGTGATTTTGGTGTGCCCCCGAGTGTTCGGGGGTAGCACCAGGTGTGGGACTAGTTATTCCCATCCTGGTCTAAAGATCCAGCTGTATATCTTCCTTATATCTTCCTTTTCGCGGTCGTAAGCGCTATGCGAAAGTGAGTTAGGGACACGAAAAGGGAATGACCTTCTTTTCCTTCTAGGTACAGACTTGTTGCGAAGAAAGGCGAGGGTACTTTTAGTGAGGTTTTGAAAGCTCAAAATGTGAAAGATGGGAAGTATCACGCAATCAAATGCATGAAAAATCACTTTGATTCGATCGATCAAGTTAGTTCGTCCGTATCTAAAATAATTATATGAGCGCCCATCAGGTAAACAATCTTCGAGAGATCCAAGCGTTGCGCAGGTTATCTCCACATGGGCACATTATAACACTAGAAGAAGTCCTCTACGATCAACCAACAGGGCGTTTGGCACTTGTGTTTGAGCTTATGGACGCCAACTTGTATGAACTAATTCGCGGTCGGCGTCACTATTTGAACGCGCAGCTGATCCAATCTTACATGCATCAGCTTTTAATGGCCTTGGATCATATGCATCGCAAAGGAATTTTTCATCGCGATATTAAACCAGAAAATATCCTGATTGAAAATAAAAGTGATGTCAACAAAGGACTTAAGCTGGCTGATTTTGGATCTTGCCGTGGGATATACTCAAAGCAACCTTACACTGAGTATATTTCCACCCGGTGGTATCGTGCGCCAGAGTGTTTGCTCACAGATGGCTATTATGGCCCTGAAATGGATTTGTGGGGTGCCGGATGTGTGTTTTTTGAAATTACTTCGCTTTATCCGTTGTTTCCAGGAACGAACGAGCTCGACCAAATTAATCGTATTCACAAAGTCCTTGGAACTCCTGACCCACATCTTATAAGTAAGTTCAAGCAAAATGGTGCCGCCCACGTGAACTTTGACTTCCCTCCTCAAGCTGGGATTGGCATTGCACAGTTGATAAAACACGCCACTTTAGACTGCGTGGAGCTTATGATGAAGATGCTCGTGCACGACGCCTCGGAGCGTATTTCTGCACGCGAAGCATTGCGGCACACATATTTTATTGCAGCACGCGAATATGAGACTCGAAGACAAATTTCCATGCAAGCAATTGACCACAGCGCAGCAACTCTGGAGAGAGATGGTCTTCCTTTGCCTAAGGGATTGCCCACTATTACCGGCAACGTGGCTCACGCCCCCGCGAAGGACGTAGGTAAGAAAGTGATGAAGGGCATGCATCAGAGCTCTGTTACTCGGGTGGGTGGACAGACAAAATACTCGGTCAAGGACACGCACATTGATGACATGGAGGGCCCGGGAAGTCTACCACCTATCATGGGAGTCATGGGAAATAATAAAATGCAGCAATCTTATAAACACCAAACACTGGATAAGAAAAATGGAACTAAGAGAAAGAAAAGACTGAGGTCGTTTGAGAGCAAACACATGTACAATGCATCCAGTTATGCCCAAGGGAATGCAAGTAGAAACTACGTTGGTGCTGGCATCTTGGCACAGCAAGGTTCAAATCAAAACAAATCATCGAGTCATTTTAGCTTTTCGTCACAATCAAAGGCTAGTTACATGCACGTGCCTTGTTCAAATGCTGGTCGCCAGCCACATCTTCAAACCCGCTTCAAGAAGAAAACCTAGTTCGGCATGTAGCTTCGCTATGCTTCAATTGGTAGTTTGAAATTTGCCACACGCCCTGGGCTGGATCTTGTCGGCAGCTTGGGACTGACCCCCCCCCCCCGGCGGGGTCCGGCCCGGCGGACACATCCATGGGCGGGCCCACACTGCCGGGGCCGCAGAGAGGACACGGGGCGGATCACCGAACCCCAAATTTGCCGTATCTCTATAACTAGACGTCTTGGCCGGTGCCGCCAAATTGAGCCAGAGGGGCCTTCTACCCCTCTAGGACGTGACTGAGACGGGTAAGCGAAACGATTAGGTTTGGAGATTTTAATGGCCTACGAAGGTCGCGCCAAGTGAGATCGCCAGTGCCAGTGGCGTTTCGTGCCGCGTCAGGCGACCTATGTGGCAGCCCATCGGTTACCCGGCCGCGCCTACGCATCCAACCCACGCCATAGGTACCGGAGCCCCCCTGGGGGACCAAATTACCAGCATAGAGACGAGTTTTTATTTTTCAGTCCAGAGGTCCCTGAAATACCCGCACGTTAGGCCCCAGATGCAACCCCCGGGGGGTACTAATATATACTGGGGGGGTCACCCAGGCAGCTAGCAGGTTAGACTTTAGTCCGCTTTAGCGTTGGCGTCCGTGCGGCTGCCCATGCGGCTGCCGGCGGCAGTGCGCGGTGCGTGTGGGCGTCCGAGCACCCAAGCGGCCCTCGGCAACTTCAAGTTTCTTCAAGTTTTTGCGCGCAGGTGCAAAATTGGCCGTGAATGACGGCAAAAAGTTTAGCAATTTTAGTCGCCGCGCGAAAATCGAAGCCTCCACGCGACACGTCTCTTTCAGTGCTCTCTCCACCCCTCCCGCGGTCCCGGAACGAGTAAAAAATTTTACTTTATAAAAAGTACCATATACGCGCGATGGTGTGCACACAGCCTTAACGCAGCCGTTGAGCGTCGTCGCGCCGCGAGGCAGCCTCTCATACCCCACCGACCAGCGCTCGTCTTTGGTTCCAGCGAAAACCGCCGGGAAGTGAGCCGTAGTGCCCCCGTTCGCGACCGTGTTGGAAACGAATGGGTGCGCGATGCCTTCGGTGAATCTTCAACATTATTCACTAAATCGGCCGTTTGAGTGGGTCCCAACGCAAAACGCCAATAATGTTGAGGATTCACCTACGGGCCGCCGGATGGGAGTAAATCGCGATTTTACGGCATGGGAATTTTGGGATTGGCTGCACTTCCCGCCGGCCGTTTTCGCTAAAACTCGGCGTCCGAGGAGCTCATATGGGCGTGCCTACGGTCGCCGAGTCTCAGCTGCAGCGGCCATCGGGAAGCGGAGTTGCCTCGCTCACTGGGGACCGGACGATACTCTAACCGGCCGAAAACAGCCGAGACACCCCCCGTTGTACTTAGTACCCCTTGCCAGATGGGCAACTTCGCGACCGCGTCTCGCCGCGAAAGTGACCCCTTCCCCCCAGCCCGGTCTCGGGGCGTACAAAGGGACTCTTCGGGGCCCCGCAGCCAAAATCGCCCCCGGCCAAGTGGCTGGGAACTCGAATCACTTCTGCGGTCACTTGGTCAAGGGGCGACACCGAACCCCATAGGTCGGAGGTAGGGGTCCTCTGCTAATATTTTGGAAGCCTGAGTATTTTATTTGAAATCTTTGGAACTTGAATTTGAAAGGGGCCGGCCCTGGGAAGGGGACTTGAAAGGGGGAAAAGGTCCTGTGCCACTGGCAGTGCACCAAGCACTACGCCCCCCCCCGCCCCCCCCCCGCCCCCCCCGCCCCCCGCGTTGCACTTTCTAAGTAGCGAACGGTGGTAGCAACCAAATCCCCGCACAACGCGCAACAACTTGAAGTAACCAACCAAACAAACTAGCTGCGTCTAGTTAGTGTTTTTTGGGGAGTTTCATTGGCGGACGCTCTCGGCGGCTGCACTCCCAAAGGAAACCCCGGGCCAACTTTAGGAGCTGCGTTAAACTTCTGTGCCTTGCGAACCTTAGCTTGGTATATTGGAAGGTTAACAGAGATCATCCGAGTCTCATACTAGTATTTGTATTCTATGGGTGAATTACATCAAAGCGTAGCCTGGAGGTGTATTCAGGTAAAAGCGTGAATTATGTCCCGATCTCCATCAATAAGACCTTCGCATCTCCAGACCACCGCCCTCAAGAATCGGAACAATTCCAGATAAAACAGCATCATAGGTGGTTCTGAGCTTGCTCACTGCACTGGCCTCATCAATTGTCACGTCATTGAGGAGTTTGGAACGCATAGCACGGTCCTTCCTTGAAGCTTCGTGTAGTGCACTCGTAAAAAGTCGATGCTGTTTATATGCTGAAAGCGTAGACGATACAGCAAGCTCTCTTCTTTGCAGTGCCATCACAAACAAATCGGCCATAGTCTTGCGTTCTCGCTTTAATACATGCATGCGCACATTTCTCACTCTCCAGCGCATACGCTCGTGGCGCACACGCGCGATCCAGCTGCTTTCAGCACGCACTTCTGCATGCTGGATCTCAAGTCGACGCAAAAGTTCGAACTCCTCTTGTTCGCGCATGGCAACGTCATCTATGTCTAATTCGATGTCCTCATATTCAAGCTGAAGATCAAGTAGCTGGGTATCGCAACGACTAGCTTGGATTTTCATCAGCCGCTTTTCTTCGACCGCCATCGCCAATTGTGATGTCAAGCGTTCCCACTCATTCTTGAGCGCTTCATCCCAGCCCTTATCGATATCTACTGTATCCAAAGCTATTATCTGGCTCTGGACTTTCGGTAATCGTAGCTCTGCTTCGGCAATGAAGCTTCGCAGATCCCGCACTCGCTTCCTCGCCCAGCTACGCGCTCTGCGCGTGCTTTTTATGTCCGCTCGCACGTCTTCCATATCTTGATGGACATCATCTCTGAGGGAATGCCAGGCCATCAATGTCCTGGTCGAGTTTTCTACTTGCCACTCCTCTTTCAAGACAGCAAATCGCGACACACTACGATATCTAAGCCATGATCTCAGAATTGTCCGCGCGGATTTGAAACGATGACCAGCAGTCGCGTGGCGCATTGAAGAGCATCGTTTCCGTGCAAATAGGCCTCGGAGTCGACTTGTAATTTGCGTTGATGCATGTGTGTGGATTCTTAACAATTTTTTATTGTACGCGTGCCTGGCCTCAATGCGTAATGAATATTGACACCAAGCACGCTGAACTCTATTGCTGCATACTATCAGAATTCGGAGACGCATGGCGATTTGCCTTGCCTTGATCCCTCGCACGTAAGCCTGAAGGCGCGGTAGAAGAATCATATATAGGCGTATGCGGTTAGTTTCATTGTTCTTGAGTTGCACAAAAATGCGGTCTAAATGACCACGCGCAACTTTTTGGAGCTGTATCACGCTGTTGCTTTTAAGTGTAAGATAGCAAGTGCGTTTTCTCCAAACAACTTTTGTATGCCCACGGATGACTTGCTGAATTCTGGTTGCACTCTTGTTTTTTTGCGCGGTGTTTAGTGCTAAATAACGACCAATACAACCCCGCATAAAGCGCTGCAATAAGCTCCGCGCAGGGTTGACAACTCTATGTACAACGTTTGCTGATAGCTTTCTTACAAAATTCGTGCGGCCGAGATTGCCGCGAAGCCTCGCAGCAATACGAGCGGGAGCGAGTGCAAAAAGTAAAGGGTCCTCTTGGAAAACCGACATGGGCTCAACGCGTATTCTCCTAAAAAGCCACAGCTTGAACTGGCAGAGAATCAGAATCTGACGAGCCCCAAACTCTAGCTTGGCGGCATTCTTCCAGTTTTGCTGCAGCCAATTGACATAACAATACGCATGATATCGTCGTGTGTAACTCTGGATTTTGCTCGCGGCATCACGCATTAGCATGCCGCGATGTACCTTGCAACGTGTTGCAATCACCATGCGATGTCGTGTTGCGATACTAGTTGCAGAGAGTGATGCAACTTTCGCAAAAAGCGTCGTGTAAGCCCGCCCAATTCGCCCACGGATTCTACTCTGGATATATGTGATAGCAAGTTTGCGCTGATTATTCTGGTAGAGGGCTCTAGTCAGTAGGGTTTTTCTAAATATGTGTTGAATTCGCACCGCAAGCTGCTCTTTGCACTTGCGATCCACCGAGAACCATGACGCAAGCAACGCATTGTGTCGACGTTCCTCTTTTGCTGGGTCTCGCAGCGTTCCTAAGAGGATAGATGTGGGTAAGGTTACCTTCCCAGGCTCCGCCCTTGTCTTGTGCGATGGGCTATGAGAGAGTTCAAAAGAGGCTTGCCTTCGCATCGCTTTGCGCTGCACTTGTTCCAGATTACTATCTGCATTCCGCTGCTTCGCAAGCAGAAACTCTTGGTGTCTCGGGGGGAGTGCGTAGAGGAAGTGCCCGAATGGATTACTTGTTTGTTCGGCCATCCTTCTGACTGAATTCGAATTTTGATGGCTTTTGTATTTTTCTGATGAAGCTTCCCTAAGTAGTCTTGTCAAAGCAATAGAAGACCCTGCTTCTTTTACTCGAATTGCTGCTTCACTTTGAGCAAGCGATGCGCTGTGTTGTCCAAAAGAATCGCCACAGCGTTGAATTGCACCAGTCACAGAACCCAGCGATCGCCACTGCACGGGCGTCATTAATTTTAATTCAAGGCGAGAATTGCCCAAAGTAGCAAGCGCGGTATTGACTTTAGCTTTGTTTTTGTATGCTTGCATTTTCGTAGCACCCATAAAAGCTCCTATTACCAAGTACAATCGTTCCATTTGCATCAGGCCGGCAAAGAGAGGTGATACTACTGTCGCCTGCAGAAAGGTGCAAACGAGATCCTCCTGAGAATGCTCGCCAGCACATGATGCCTTTGTTAGCTGCGCATCACGAGCCATGCATGCATTATCTGCAAGCCTCCAAGCTTTAAGCGGCATTGACGCCGTGCCAGCGGGAACTCGCGTAGGAACAAGGTCGCCAGCCTTATTAGACAGCATAGTATAGTAGAAACCTTGAAAGGTTGACCGATTAGAGGCGGGGCACTTTATTTCTCCGATCACTTCCTCTACATCTCGCCGTAGATGCAAACCGCCACCCAGTTCCTTCCGAGCCTGATACCAGGAGCTTTCGTTTTCAATCTGTACCTGTTGCAAATTGAGCAATCAAACTCTGCACAACTAACTCGAACACGGGAGTTCCGCATGCGTTGCACCGAGCATTGTACTTGAGAGAATCTTTGCGAGCCGTTGCTCCATTGTACAAGCTAAGGGGGGGATCGCAGAAGCCTAGTTAACATTCTATTTTTTGGTGACCATTTTATAAATGTTTTGTTACCCCCTTTGCTGAGGGAACCATCGATGAGCTGGTCTCAGTGATTCCATTTGGCAAAAAATATAATGATTTGGGACTAACAATGTAGGAAACCACCTCAGATGAGCAAATAATCCTAAATGCATGGCTGTATGTTACTTGGAGCAGCGCATAGTTAAGCTGATGTTGCAAGTCTTCCCAGATACTTGGTTCCATTGGGACGCCCCCGACAGATTCAATTACAACTCCATTTCGTTCGATTTGCGGAAACATTTGCTTTGCCTCGGATAGGTTAGCGACAGCCATGCCAAGCGTGTATGTAATTTCTATCTCCGATGGCCGATCTGACATGTGCATCGGAAGTACCATACCAAGGGAATATAGGAACGAGCCAGCTTGAACTCGGTTGGCGCGCGCAAGCTGAGGAGGAACAAAAGGGGCCGTAAAAATAGATTTAAAAAAGGATACTGCGGTATATCTACGAAATATCGGAGATAATCGACTTAGGATACTGCAGTAGGATGTCGCGGTAACAATATAAGGGCTGCAACTTGTCTTTATCTTGGGGGGGGGGGGTGATTGCCCGGTCACGGTGCCCCCAGCCATAGTTGATCCCCCTGGCCGTGACGGCCCGGGCCCGTGCCCCGGCGGCCCCCGGGGCGGGTCCCGGGCCGGGCCCGCGGCCGGCCGCGGCGGGGCCGGGCCCGGGCCGGGCCCGGGCCCGCCGGCGGCCCGGGGCCGGGGCCGGCCGCCGCCCGGCCCAGGCCCCGGGCAAAGTCCGAGTCGTCCGCGCCGCGAGGAGGTCGCCTGTTCACGCGGGAGTGGGTGGGTCTTGGATTAGCTTGATTTTATTTTCCTTCTCTCTGCATGCATATACTGCGGTATATACATTGCAGACAATAAAAAGCTCGTATCTTTTGCCTTTTGCCAAGTTTTGGGGTCGGACGTCCCTCGCGCCGAGGGTGCCCGAGTGTCCGGGCTGACCTTGGCTGGGGAACGATGGTACTCACGCGCTGGCAGACTTCGTGCCCGTAATAACATAACAGCTCGGATGAATAAGGCCGCCTCTCCCTCTCTGGAACATCGCGTAACCGCAGCACAGGTGGTGTGTAAAAGGTTGAGGACTATAAAGGACCCTGATGCGTACTTTGACACAGCACAACACGAGTTTAGTGTTGCTTTGCGAACTATGTCTCTCGATCTACTGGACTCATTGGACAGACGCCTGAATGCTCTGGGAGAAAAGGTTGCCAGGCTGGAGGCAACCACAAGGAAAGTGGTCATCTCTCGTGACGCACGGGCTGGTGCACAAGAGATAGCGGCTAATTTTGCTGCACAGCAAGAACGTGCTGAAAAATCATTGTTGTCACTATGGCTACAGGGTTATGTCCGTCGCCTCCCACGACTCACGGCCAACGCCAATGATCATGAAGAAGATGTTGACCTTTTGCTTGATGCGGTGGATTTTGCTTTTTGTCGTTGTGCACTGAATGTTGCTATATCATCTTCAAGTGTGTCTCAGGAAAAGCTCATGTCCTCGAGGGTTGTAAGCATACTCATCTCTATGGTTGATGGGGCCAACAAGGTGCAGCTACAGCAAGTATTATTCCTTAAATAAGTCGCTGAGCCATATCAGGCAATGCAACAAACAAAAAATAAAAGTAATGACCAAAGCATTAGCAACAGTGTCTCAAGATTGTCGGTGTCTTTTGGTATTGAAGGGAATACAATAAACATGTTCTTGTGCTCAGGCTACTTTAGATGCTGCAGCGTTGGTGACTGGCCCATGCCTGATGGCATTGGCACATCTCGCTCGTAGAGGTGATCTTGTGTGTAGCCAAATTGCTGACGCAGCAAGCCGTGTCGTGTAATGAGAAGTGATTTGCACAAAAAAGCAATATAGTACAGGCAAATGGAATTCTGGTTGTTATTAATTGCATGAGGATAGTACAACACCCAACTGTCCTCGCCCAGGCCTGTCGTACACTTAGTACCCTGTCTCTGCTTCCCCAAAATAGGCAGCAAATTGCAAACAGAAAGGGCATAAACATCCTTGTTCGATTATTGGCCGCTTCTCAGCTATCACCGATACCAGGAGATCATTTCTTGAGTGCCGAATTTAACGGTATGCAGGTAAATGAGTCTATCCAGGAGGCAGCCCTTGCTGCATTTACAAATCTCACGTAAGAGCCAGTATATAGTGGAATACTCCGATGATGCCTTCCTTGTATTCTAGGAACTCATCGGAGCCAAATCGACAACTCGTTGCTGAGCTGGGTGGTATTGAACATATAGTTTCATGTATTCTCTTTGCACGTCATGGGGGGCCGGTCCGAAACGCAGCTCAGGCAATAGCGAACGTTGCATACGGATCTCATTTCTCAGTTGCGAGATGTATCATGGCGCGAGCTGACGTTGCAATTTGTTCTGCAATTGGTGCTACAGACTTTCTAGACGAGGACAGACTGCTTGAAGCAGCGTGATCCAGCGGCGTGCACAAAAAGTCACAAAAGTTTATAGTTTCGCAATGAATATACGCACAGGTATAGGGCACTGGCAAATATGGCTTTGGATGAAGCAGCTCAAACAGGACTAGCCTCTGGTGATGCAATGACCTGGTGTGTCCGAGGGCTTCAAAAATGTGGCTATGTTCATGTACTCAGAGCAGCTGCGCACGCCACAGCTGCTATTGCATACAAGTCCAGAGCCAACAAAGCCCAATTTGCACAACTTGGTGCCCTCGCGGCATGCGTGCGAGTGGTGTCAGAGTTTGGATGTGGTTCGCTTGCACATACACGACATTATCTATCAGCAGTACATGTGCGCCTAAAGATGTCCGCGTAATGTTAGACGGTCTCAATAAACAAATTTTGCCTTTACCTTAGGCCACCTCACTGGCCGCGTGCACTTTGCTTTCCTTTAGTCCTAATCACCTTGTGTTTGAAGACTGCTACGGAATTGAGATGTACACCACACTCTGCGAGACAACAGAGCATTTGGAAATATTGAATGTCGGGGCGATGGTACTGGCTTCAGTAGCACCTACTGCGAGTGGCCGCTGGGAAGCACAAGCTGAAGGCAGAACACTTCACTTTGAGAAAACAGCCGGCCTCCGGGCGCTTGTACGCTGCGAAAAATGGGTCTTTTCAAACTCCTCATCTCCCCACTGGCTCCACCAAGCTATTTCTGCCTTGCAGATGAGCCCTATTCAGCTTGATGAGGTGCAAGCGGCTCACCAGTCTTCTAGTGGCAAGCTTAGTGCGCATGATCTTGAGCTATTTCCCCAGGAGTATCTCTTTGAAGAAGTTCTAGCACTGACTACTCTAGATCACATTGTAACAAATAGCCCAGATCTGCGCAACCTAGCATTCCGCTTGTATTGACGACTGCAATGTACTGCCAGTGCAGTCTGTTTTTCTAGAGGGGGTGTGGGTTGAAACTGCTTGGGCACCCCTCATTTTTTTCCCGCTGCACCTGGCAAAGAAGTCTTAACGGGCAGCAAACGTATCAATTACACAAAACTAGCAGCGTGCACCGACAATGAAACAATTTGCACAAGCTTTTTACGTGATCAAAAAGATAGTTTACTCCTCAGGCTCATGTCACTCCACGACTAGCTTTACTATAACCGTTATACGCAGACTCTGGATTGGATCCTGAGCCCATTAGCTAGGACGTGCTAGGACCAAACATTGGAGTATGTATCTATCCCCCAGCGGCCTCAAGCCGCACAGTTCGACCGTCGGCGACAGCATGAGAGAGAAATGAATTACGGCCCATTTTGCAAAAACGGGCGCTCACGGGAAAAACCGTCCGCTAACCGTTTAGATGCCAAATGAGCCGTAATTCAATTATATTGCGACCTTACGAGCTTGTAGGATCCGCGAAGCCCCCCAGCCTCGAAAGCCGGTTGCGCTGGGAGAGCGGTATTAAAAAATGATCTCACCCCCCATCGGAGGAGGGTTGCCCCTGCTGGTGTCGACGGCAGACACGCCACACATGTGACGGAGGAGTCCATCGTGGGGCCCATTTGAGTCCTATAAAGGGGCCTGCACCCAAAGTGAGGAATTACCGTAGCTTTTCTCCCTGAATAGCTTGAACCCCGAAACTTGCTACGAACATACTTAAGGTAATGACTAATATTCACGCAAAACAGGGGCTGCAAACGGTAGGGGGGTTTGGGGTGCGCCGGCCGCGGGCAGGCCGCTGGCCGGACGGCGGAGTCTCAAAGTTCCAAATCGTCGTCGTCGTCGTCCGCATCGTCGTCGCCCGCATCGACTATAACCCCGCGCCGGTCCCCGGGCCCGTGGTTTCTCGCAGGAGCGCCCTCGAAGCTCTCTATTCGTCCCGCGTCGACCTCGACGCGGCCGCCGCGGTGCAATGATTTCCAGCTTTTCGAGCGCTTGAAGTTATCCGCGGGGCTCGGGGCATACCCACCGTACTGTCCGCACCGCTTTTTGTGCAGTGGCGTGCCCACATCGCGTATCGCACATCATGTGGTAGGAGAGCGATTTGGCGCATCGCGAAATGTTGTGCTGCCGCGCTTTTTCTTGGCGCACCGCCTCGGCCGACCCCTTGAGCGGTCAGAAATAGCTTGGGGCTGCCTATGGGTGCGTTTAGGCTGCGCACGAGGCCAAAACAAAATCGCGTTTAATCGAGATTCACGGGTTTTTGCCGTTTTCAGCGCGCCGCTGCGCCCTAGTCCCGATCCCCATACACCACCCTGACCTCAGCCGACCCTTAAGAGGGCCCTACGAGTCCCCCCGACCAATGCGCGACGTTCGGGCGCTCGGTGGAGGGAATCCCCACGGTGGGTGATATAGATATCCACGGTGGGTGAAGTTTCTTTCGTAATTATGGTTCAACCTATACGTCTACAGAGGCGATTTTGGTTTTTTTTTTGGGGGGGGGGCTGGTTACCCGCGCAATTGATTTCCCCGCGCGAGGATGCCCGCACTACACTGGCACCAACTTGAAACTTTGCACAGCCCATTATTTCATCATACCGACTCGGAACCTGCGCCTCAGCAAAAACCTCCCGCCATGATTCGGCCGACACGTGGCTGTACGCTCATTGCGCTTGACCCCAGGCCCCCGGGCCGATAATTTTGGAGGTTGCCACGTACTTCGCAGGGTAGTTCATCTTGATTACAACTCATGGAGGATGGGTCAATTTCTAATTCGAAAGAAATGCCCGACGGGCGGGGGGGGGGCTAAGCTAAAATATGGAGGCGTGCCAGTAAGACTCACGGTGGTGATCTTAGAAGTTTCAGTCTGATCGTGGTCTCTAGTCGCGGTCCCATTTGCTCCAAGCCATAGTCACCGGTCTGCTAGGCGCCCTCGTATCCACTCTGCTTTGGCAGTATCCAGAATGCAAGAAATGCTATCAATTTCACTGCGAAACGTAGCAACTTGTTGCTGATACATTTTAAGCTCCACCATCATTGCCTTCATTTGATCTCTTTTCTCCCTGAGGTTATTTTTGTAGGCGACTAGTCGGTCCATGGCTTGGTGACCATGCTGCCGGCTAAGGAGCTTTTTAAGCTTGATGTACGCGCGTTCCTTATTTTGAATCAATGAATCTTTCTCCAATATCTCCGCTGTTTTCAGAACAATTTGTTTCTGAAGATTGTGAATTGCTTTTAACATCTCAAAGCGTTGAGGATCTGAAGACTCCAGGATTCTCCAGCGATGCACATTGATTGGGCGCTCCAGTTTGTCTCGAAGAGCCTTATTCTTATGGCGCTCGTGTAGTAACTTCCTTTCGAGATTGAGGTGTGTCTGTTGAAGATCTTTAATTGAGATCATTTGAACTGCAGAATCATGGCGCTTGCGTTGTCTGTCCTGGACATGCTTAGTTAAAAGTCGAAGCTCGGTTGCCTTTTCAGCATAGTAGGACTCGCCACGCTGCAGAATGGACCAGTGCGCCTTTATTTTTGCATAGACCAAGCCAAGTTCGTGGTTGCGCTGAGTTAGTTGAGAACTGAGTATCTCATGTTCGCCAACAAGAGCATCATATTCTTTGCGCTGGCGCTGGCGCTCCTCGTCAGCCTCCTGCGTGATTTGGGTAAGTTTTTGTATTTCGGTGCGTTGGTTCAATAATATCTGTTCGCTTGACACAATTTGTTTCCTTATTTTCGTGAGCTCATTCCCCAAGAACTCGCACTCCTTCACAACATTGTGGTGATTGAAATGTTCCTTCACAAGATTGCGGTCCTTTGTAGTGATTTCCTGTTTTAATTGCTCAATTTGGTGGCTCATGATTTTAAATTGACGTTGCAGGTCTGCTATCAATTCTTGCGACTTGACAAGGCTTTTGGAATTCAGGTTTTTATCACACTGTGCTGTATCATATAAATTTTTTTGCTGCTTCAACCGAGATCCATCATCGATTATCTTGTGGTGTATTTCGGAGATTTGCACCTCTTGCAGTTTGAGCTGTTCAAGTGCAACATAGTACTTGCGAGAAGCTCCCTTTGTCTCTCGTTCATGACGCTCATTTTCTTGCACGAGGTCCTCTATCTGTGCCCGCTGTAACTTTATGTTTCTAGTGTAACTTTGTATCTCATTCTGAAGATTCTTTTTTGCGTTCTGGTTGACTTTCATCAGGTCAAATATGAGTTGTGATGTTGTCTCCGATGTACCAAAATTTCGGCTAAGTATCTCATGTTCTCGACCAAGATCTTCGAGCTGCTTTTTGTAGGTTTCTCCTTCACGCCGGGCCAGTCGAATTTCACAGGTTTCTAGTCGCATGATACTTGCACGTAGTCCTTCGCGCTCTGTTGCTCCACGCTCATGCAATTGTTCTACCGCAGAGAGCTTCTTAAGCATTGACTCCTTGGCTTTTGTTGTCTGCTTCACTTTGGCAGCTAGAGAAGTTACACGTTGTTCCATTTCAGTAACATGGTGGCGCAGCAACTCATTATCATTCTCTGTTGTCTCATTTGCGTACATCAAGGACTCCAGTTGTTCTGTCAGTTGCTGTGTTAGTTTAAACAGCTTCTCATATTCCTTAAGATTCAGCTCCATCTCTTGCTTGGACTTGAACAAATGAGCCTCTGTGTCTGCGATCTCCGTTTCTTCCACATTTTCACCGTTTGCTAGCTCTCTCGACACTGCTGAGTGATGTCCTACTTCTACTTGGACCTGCTGAAGCCGTTCATCAAGCGCCAATTTTTTACGCTGTTCTTGCCTAGCTTCTCCACGTCTGACCTCGACCTGCGCATAGATTTCATTGATGTGAGCGCGCTCTTGTTCTAGAGCTAGCTCTTCTCGATCAACAACTTGATGCAATCTCTTGGTGTCTGATTGCAAGGCCAACGACAATACTTTTTTGGACTCAATACTAACTGTTAAAGTCTCTATCTGCTCCATGATACGCTGTCTGTGAGCCTCTTGTTCGTCTGACCAGCCGGGGCCTTGTTCAACCTTCAATTTTAGATTTTCTGTTGTTGCGAGGAGCTCATTTATTCGAGATCGATTGTGCTTCTCCCTTGCCTGAAGAACACCTATTTTTTGCATTCCTGATTCAACTGCTGTTGTCATGCTTTCTTTATGGTTTTTCGTGTCTATTCGGGATCGCGTGATGGTTCCTGCTCTATCTCGTAATGCAGCCAATTCCACTGTCTGTGCCTCGATTTTAGCCTGTACAGCCATAATGTTTTGGTTGTAGGTTTCCAGTAATAGCTTCATCTCGCTGCATTCCTTTTTATAAGCGGCGAACTGCAGTTCAGTATTAATGCGCGCACGCAACTCATTCTCCATAGTCCCATACCGTAGTAGTGAGTATCCGGCTGAAGAAAGTATCTAAAGATTATAGCGTGCGGGCTTAGACTCGGACAGCAGGTGGTGCATCAGATATGCCTGGCCGGAGTACCTCGAACGCAGCCGGTGGACAGCATGGGAAGACCGCCGCCCCAAGACCGCGCCGGCGTATAGTACTCCTCCCTCAGCCCGAGGCTGGCTGAAGTAGCCGGGAAGAAGTCGGACCCCGGGTTTCGACCACAACCTCAGGCCATCCGGAGCTCTTGTAGTCAGCAGAGGGGTGCATAGTGTAGTAGTCGGTTCAAGTTGGGTTCACGGTCGATTGGAGGTGGTCTCGGACATCCACCGTGACTGGCACTTCTGGACTAAACCTGAGTGCCCATGTGCCCTATCACATGTCATTTGGGGCTTCGCAGTTTTGACTTGGAGTGGATGTGTGTAGGGCAGAATAGTCCTGGTGGACGTTCCGTCCGACTCGGACTCCAGGCCCGGGGGTAGCAGAGACTCGGAGAGGAAAACCCGCTAGCCTGCCCTACCCTAGCCTATGGTGTATCTTCCTCGGGCCAGCCTGAGGGTCATAGTGACTACTAGTACACTCGGCTGTTCTTCTATTGCGGCCAGTGAAGTCCGCCGGCGAGTCACTGTTGAACCGTGCCAGTGACGGCGCCGCCGGCTTGCTTTGCCTCTAGCCTGAGACCACTGGGCAACTTTACCTCAACACTCGTGTCGGGAACGGGGGGCTGTCTTTCTCGAGGTGGCCGAGGACTCTTTTTACATTATTCAACACAGCGACATTTGCTTGCTACATAATACCATAATACCGTAAGAAATCTACGAGCTTGTATGCCACGGTATCGTGGTATTGACGTATGGTTGTTTCAGCCTCTTCGATTCGGAATATGGGCGACGATGGGAGGCTTAATCGTGTGGATTCGGACGGTTCCCTCGCATCTACGGATACTGGGGATCATGCTGAATATACTGTGCAACGATCGCGCTTAATTGGGATGGTCAATTGGTGGCATGTAGCCATGACTTTCTACCCGTAGTACAGAGTTATTCAATAATTATTCTTCCGAGCACAAGGTACTTGTAGGCATGTGTTGGTTACTATGCTTTGCTACCTAACAGCACAGATTACATTTGACGTCATAACCATTGGTCCAAGCATACCCATTGAGATCACTTTGAAGGTTCTGCAGGGTCTTCCTCCAGCGCTGCTGGATATGTCTTGGCGTTCGACGCTCTTGGGGTTATGCCTTGTGTGGTATCTTGCCAGACACCACCATCCTGTGTACCTGGTAGATTTTGTGACATTTGAGCCCCCCGAGAGCTGGCAATTGACTCATGACCAACTGATGACTTGTATGCAGCGTCAGAGGTGCTTCACTGAGGAGAGCATCATGTTTCTGAAGAGAATTCTTGATAAGTCTGGGACCGGACAGCGGACTGCTTGGCCCCCAGGCATAACACAATGCCTCAGAGACGAATCCAAAATCGCAGACCAGTCCGTTGAGGCAGCACGTAAGGAATCAGAGACAGTAATCTGCAACGTAGTCCATAACTGCCTCAAGCGTACCGGCATACTAGCGCCAGAGGTAGATATTCTGATTATCAACTGTAGTCTCTTCTCGCCCACTCCTTCTCTTTGCGCCATGGTCATGAATCGTTTCAACATGCGTGGAAATGTCATGGCTTATAACATAAGTGGTATGGGTTGCTCTGCGAGTCTTGTTGGAATCGAACTTGCGCAAAACATCCTGCGCTCTCATCCGAGTAAGGTTGCGCTTGTTGTTTCGACGGAGAACTTGACGCAGAATCTTTATCATGGAAATGACAGAAGCATGTTGCTCCAGAATACTCTTTTTCGCTGTGGTGGTGCTGCCATTATGCTGTCCAACAAATGGCGTGATGGCCAGAGAGCCAAATTCAAGCTGCTTCGTGTTGTCCGTACCCAGGGTACCGGGGACGAGGCGTATGCTGCCGTCTACGAATGCCAAGATGCCAATGGTGAACATGGTGTCAGGCTGGATCGAAATATTGTAAATATAGCAGGCCATACAATGGAAAAAAATTTCACTGTCCTCGGCCCCTACGTCCTCCCGCTCTCAGAGCAGATACGAGTCGCTTACAGCCTTGCCAAAAAGAAAATCTGCAAGTATCTTTGGAAGCTCTTGAATAATCGCAATCAAACAGCAACATCACGCTTGCAGAAACTTCTGTCGAACTGGGTTCCTGTCAAGATTCCTACATATGTTCCAGACTTTAAACGCGGCATTGATTACTGGTGTATTCACGCAGGTGGTCGTGCTGTGGTTGATGGCGTTGCTAAAAACCTTAAATTGCAGCCAGAACACGCAGAGCCAAGCAAGTATGCACTTTTTAACTACGGGAATACTTCCTCTTCTTCCATTTGGTATGAGATGGAATATGTGCGCAAATTTCAAAAGCCGAAAAAGGGCCACCGTGTTCTTCAAGTTGCATTTGGAAGTGGTTTCAAATGCAATAGCGCGGTGTGGCTGTGCCTCCAGGAATGACTTAGTCACATTCAAGGCACCCAAGCTCCCTCAGTACACCCGCAGAGGTAAACGTGAAAATTGCTCCAGCTGTCACGGCCATTCAGTCGCTCAAGGCATCTCCATTCGGACTTGGTGATGGTGCTGAATCATGCCAATGTGCGAAATGCGAGGACCACCAATAACGCCGTCACAGACGAATTTCTGCTTCCGGCTGCTTACGATGTTGCCATCGAGGGCATATCCGACTCAGGCCGTGGACAACGTGAACTCTACTACCTGGGTATTATTGACATTTTACAGAAGTACAATGTTCGAAAGCACCTAGAGACTGACCTCAATATCCTCACGAGGGGACTTAAACACTACAAGGAGTTCCTGTGTATCACCAAATGAGTACCGTGATCGTTTTCTTAAGTTCCTGCGTCGTATCTTTTGATGTCTCGCACAATCAGCGAGATACCCAATGGAGTCTGCGTTGGCACGATGTCAGCTGCATCGCACCCGCGCACATATCACAGGGGAGTTTGCTAGAATTTAGCCGCGGCCCGGTCTCGAATCCGCTCCTTGTACTTAGTACAATAATACCTCTGAGCCAAAATAAGACATTTTTTTGGTTCACTTGTAGCCTGAGTAACTAGTCGCTATCCCGCGGCGGCCCCCGATGCGCCACCGTCGCGGCCTTGGGATTCCGCCCCTCTGACCACTCGGGGCGACGGCGTATGAGGGCCGGAACGGGGCGGGCTAGCTTTAAGCAAACCAACTAGGCCTGGTATCATCAGATACCAACCTCAGGCTACTAGTAGGATATCAATCAATCGACCGAGCCATCGGATGGGTAGATTTGAGTTCGATCGTATCACACTGTCATGGTAGGTTCTTAGGCGATCTGGGGTGACCACGCATGCGTCCGAAAGGCCCGGGCCGGTTGACGCGGCGTCCAGGCAAGGCGATTATCTATCCGGCAGCCGCCGCCGCGATCACAGAGCCTGCTTCTAGCCAGTTTGCCTGATGAACCATGACTTAAAATTGGTGATGATCAATCCCAGAGAAACCGCCTTTCATAATCATACTATCATAGCGGCATCAAACAAATATGAACTTGAAGTCATGGCCCGTTCGAGTTCAAGCAAGTAACTCCAAAAACCTTTTGGGTATTTGGTTTTTTTTATCAACGTAGCTACTGTGATTGGCAGCCTTGACAGCATCAAACATTGCTTCCTTGAAGACGTACGTCTCCTTTGTTGATGGCTTCTCACCTCTTGATTGTTCAAACGCGGCGTCTTGCAATTCAATCCTTTCATCCTGGTATTTCTTGGTGAGCTCTGCCTCCAGTGCTTTGAGTCGCTCTTCGAGTTTCTGTTCAGCTTTAGCGTTTGCTTGATCGAGCGCGTTTTGCAGAAGCCGCCGGTTTATTTCAGCTTCATCCATCGCTGGATCTTCTCTCTTTTTGGGTGATTTGTCTTTTCTTTTCTATTTAGGTGATTTGTCTTTTTCTTTTCTAGGCATTCACTGTAAAACACTCTACGTCAATAGGCGAGACCTTGTGGGCCCATAACCCGGGCCTAGCAAGAGTACTATGTTGCAGCATTATGTAAGCCTGAGGTAGCAGGGTCCTAGCTCACCAGCCAAAGGCTGGGCCAACCTAACTACGAGAGTGTTTTATAGTAAATTGTTGTTACAACGTAGTGCAATAGACACTCGCTGTATAGACTCAAATTTAGAGAGTGGGAGATACATATCTAGGGTAGGAAGGGCTAGTAGGTTTCTCTCTCTACTACGGTAGGCGGTATGCAGGCCTTATAATTACAAGCTGGCATGGCTTGTGGTTATGCCTGCTGGTCCTGGTTGTGATATTGTACTTTAATCGCGCCCAGCGTGTGGATGGCCGTGATGGAGCTACGGCGAAACGCTGCTGCCCTAAGACTGCAACACATGCTGCGTGCCGCGATACTACGGCCACCTACGACGAACTGCCACTGCCCGGCGGATGTGGATGATGAGGGATCAACGTCAACCGGACAGCTCGTTCAACCACATTTTAGTGGCAGACGACCAAAACGCATAGTGCGATTGCACTATGAAAGTCAAAGCGCGGTAGCTATACAAAGAATTCAGCGCGGGGTATTTGCTCGTCAAATGATCTCCTCCAAACGCGAATTCGTAAATTTTCAGCGGGCCGCGGGACGAATACAACGATTGGTTGTGAGTTGGCAAGCATCGTGCCATGGTGCAGACATCGATGCACTGAAAACAGTCAGGGATACTTGTGCACGATGTGCCACATGCCGGGCATCGGTGTTTGTTTTTGATCTCCAGCAGTTGCTCTGCACAAACTGCGTGACAGCCATGACTAAGGCAATGTCACACCAACGAGAGTCTTTACGGACGTGCGGGCGATTCCTAGGTACAATGATTCCATTAGACCTTAAGCGCAGATTAGACCCCCGAGTGGCGTCTGTTCAAAGATGGTGGCGACTTCGAGCATTCAGAACTGTAGTCAGCACGTGTTGTTGCACGTGTCACCGGACTGCTACACATATTGACCATCGTTCGCAAAAACGCCTGTGTGGGCTTTGCGCGTTACACGTGCGCTGCCTCAACAATCTACACCGAGATGGTCGCAGAATTCAAACTCTCGCACAGTTTGAGGCTGATGTAACAGCTGCGACAGTCATTCAAGCTTTCTGGCTCTCGTGGCGAGCTACAAAGCGGTGGCAAGCCATTAGGGACGTGACCTTCACACGTGCGACTTTATTTGCCACAAGAGCTCAAAGTGTCTTCCGCGGCAACGCGTCGCGTCGTGCGATACGCGCATGCATGGATACGCTTGTCTGGCTCTGTAGAGCAGCGAACAGATTGTTACAAACAAAGCCAGGATCATGGTTTGTGTGTCTTTGTGATGATCTTTTATCTCGTGTACCGGTCTTCCTCGTTGGTCGAGAATGCTGGAGGCTTGCTGGGGAGCCGCATGCCTTGGGCAATGAAGTAGCATTTCGCTTACTACATGATGCCGTCGCCGGACAGATTACACGTCTGGGCCGGGGGTGGGTTTCGAGGTGCAAAGCTAGAAGGGGAAAGTCAGAAAGACGGAGGCACCTGCAAGCTGCACGATATCATCAATCTTCAATCATCAACTCTTGTAGGACGATCCAACGCTTGGTGCTGTGCGGAAGTCAAATCTGAGTTCGACTAGGCCCGCGCAAAGGCAGCAGACGCGTGGACAATTGACACGTCAGTCCTCACGTCATTGACGCGACTTGTCTGGAAGTGCGTCTGCTCGATGGCCTGGAGGGTGACGAGTACGATTCTCCCGTCCTCGGCGTCGGCGGACCACTGATTGATTTCAACACAGGTTTTGTAGGACGACGAGCAGCCGCGAAGAAAATCCAGGCGGAAGTGCGTTGTTATTTGGTCCGTTTGCGGATCAAAGGTACGAGAGCACAGCACGCCGCGGCTGAAAGAATCCAGCGGTGGGTCCGCCGCTTTCTGGAGGAGTGCCACGCGTGGCGCGCAACGAATAGGCAGCTCTTGACGTTGTTGCTAAATCGTGTGAGAATACTTCTTCCGTTCACGAGTGTCAATCGGAATATGGAAGTCCTGCGGACGGCCACTCATCTGGGACGACGGGCTAAGCCCTCCACCGAGACATTGTCGAGGGTCGCAGCCTCCGATTTGGTGGTCTTGAGCACGCCTGCCATACTGCGAGGCACGCTCCCTCATCATCGTTTTCTACAGCGTGCGGGCCTCAGTTCAGCTCAGCTACTGGCGACACAGATAGTAACCAACACGGCCTTAATTCAACCACGATGGTCAGCATCAGCTTCGGCAAGCGGGAAGTTTCTTTCGGCTGGTTGCGAGGTTCAGTATCCAGGTCAATTTTTGCTTCAGCTTGTGACTGTATCTTCAGCTTCTAGTCCCATGCCTGTGGAGTCTTGCTCTTCTGTGACTGTGCATTGGTGCGGAAACACCCGACAGCCATCCGGATCGCCCTATCTGATGCGCGTGGGTTTGGACTCACCTGAGTGGCATCATTTCGTCATCTTGACTTGTGATACCTCTCGTAAACCCAAATACTTTGGTCCCCGTGCAAAGAAATCGCTTCTCCGATTCATTCTTCATAAAAGAACGTTGTGCAAGCGTCGTTGGCTGAGCCACGCAACAACAATCTCACCTGATGCGTTCCTTAGCTCCCTTGGCGCACGTGCAACTTTCACTGTGACGGCAGGACACCAAGGTGGGTACCGTCACGCAAGCATCACCGTGCTTCTGTCAATCCATACGCTGAGGAGGGCAGAAGCTCAAAATATCGCATCAAATGTACTTCTTGATCTCCTGGAGGATTTGATTCACATCACTCCTAGGGCTTCTGTTCACATTGGATGTACCGTTTCTCGGTACCAGGCCCAAAGCAAAGGCCTTGGAGCGTGGACAACTTCTTGCCGACAAAGAGGAGCATGGACTCGCCTCACGTGGAACGGCTGTGTCGCCGGGTACTTGCAGGTCCCCATGCGTGACCGTCATTCTCGTTCTGTCATGATGCGAAACAAAGGTCTCCCCTGTGCCGTCGGACACTTCATCCTAACCGGCGATAGTGCTTCCTCCATTAGCGGTGGTGGTGGCGATTGCTACGACCAGAACAAGTTTCTTTTGCAAATCGAACTTTCCCGCAGCGTGGGGGGGCGGCCCTGTGGCGTTGCTATTCTAAATGAACGCTTCCTGGATTGTATCCAAGCTAGGAGGAATGTATCGGTCTTTGTGAAGTCCAGTGTGTGCACCGAAAATTCGCGAACTTCCGCTTCGTCGCTGGGCTACCTTCGCATGCAATTGACTGCACGCCGCCTTGAGACGCCACACTGGCGACAAAGGCTGCAGGTAGTCAAGTCGTATGTGGGTACCATGATTACAGCTGCCCTTTGTAGTGTACCACAACCGCGAATTGAAATATCCCTGGAACGGCTTACAGGCTTACTCCCAGAAGTAGACGTCGCTTCACTCGAGTGTCGGGTCACATGGGGGGAGAGGGTAGCCACCACTTGGTTCGCCGCGTCCGAACCTGCTTGTGAAGCATGTATTTGTGCTTCAAGTCCCACTGTGCGATTGAACTTGCCTGCCCACGGGCTCGTCGCTCCAGTCCTCAAGCTCGAAATTTTGGGTACGTCTTTCTCGAGCTCGAGCATAGATACCGCTAGAAAGACTTGTTTTGGCGTCTGCTCTGTAAATAGCCATGAGCTCACTAATAATACCGGTCGCGTCGAGCTGAACTTTGTTGAGCCCCCCAAACCACTTTCGGCGAGTTCCAGGTTAGACCGGGTGGCCCGCCTCGTTCCAGGTCGTGTCGTTATGTTTGTTGAAGTGTTTGATGTTCACTACAGCGCGGGGTCGCCTGAGTGCACAGACGTCACGAGACTGCAACTTTCCATATTGGACTTGGACATGACTGGCTGCAAAAGTGACTTGGTGGGTTCACATCGTACCGTCTTCTCGACCTATGGACTTGTTTTTCGTAGGTGAAGTCCCGTCCATTCAAAAGTCTAATTCGGCCATACGCCGTTGTGCGATGGCACGGCCGCAAAGTTGGCCAGGAGGAAATAGTGCGGCCTTCCCTAAATCCACTATTCTGCAGCTCGCTACAAAATGCCCACCTAATCAATCGATGCGGGCTACCTCCACAGGGGGGGCAACTCTGCTTCGGTGGGCAGCCGTACATTTTTCGCCTTACCCCAGCCAACAGGCGGGCTCTCGATCGCTATGTGCCCACTAAACACAAAATTGGTGTTACTCTTGATATCTACTCTGCCAAAGGTGACATGCATGAGTCTCAGGCGCACCTCGACTTATTTCTTGGACAAGCAATCCTGGAGAGCCCGATGGCAAACTCTTCACTTGCATCCTATTGTACGCTCCCCCTGCGCCGGCGACGCGAAGACACTTTAAACAATGCCTTCGTAAAGTTTCGCTTGAGCAGAGTGGCAGAGGAGACTATTGAGTTGAATGTTTCCTCACTAAAATTAAGTGGAATTGCGGCGGCCGAGCGGCGCGCAGCCGAGAAGCACGAGGCCGAGACGGTGCCATCCGCGTCAGAAAGCTTCAACAGTCCCCGCACCATCAACCCGATGCTGCACACCGTGTGCCGGTTCAGTGGCGTGGTGGCTGTAAGATCTCTTGGGTTCGACCCAAGTTCACTCGTCGATGTCCGCACAGGCGGCCGCAGGGTCACACCAGAATCGACCGCACAGATCACATCGCACTTTAAATGTGTGCTTGGAGGCTATGCAGGCTAAGACTCTCTTGAGGCAAACACGTTTTCAATCTCTGACATATGGCGATATGGAGGGAACCGTGAACTGGCCGCATCACAAACCTCTCACCCTATCCATTCCTTCGACTTTATCTGGCATCCTTGAGGATGCTGTTCTTCGAATTTCCGTGTCACATGGAATTCAAGTTCCCAAGAAAGTTGGCTCTGCAGACTATTCACTGCGGGGTCTTCTGATGGAACGGCGAAAACATCCGAGGGGGCGTCCTCTCTCAGAATGTGACGTGACCCTTTCTCTTGAGAAAGACGGTCGTCCCACCAGGGCATTTGTTAGCTTTGCAGTTGGTCTAGGACATCGTGTCACGTGCGCCTCTGGACGTTCCTTCCCTGTAAACAGCTACAGTAAGTCTCCGGGTGATACTTCAATACTGACCCCAAAAAATATTGGTATCGTCGACGATGTGCACAGCAGTCATGAAGCTCAACATGCTCGTCGTGTAGCACACGCCTGGCCTTCCCATGTCCTAGATTCAAACGGCACGAATAATTTTGCCGATACTGCCTTAGCTCTTGACGCAGAATGGCAAAACGCAGGTGAGAGCAGTGCACTGCGGAAAGCCGCGGTAACAGTAAATATCTCTGATGTGGAGTTGCTGGACACATCTCTCCAAATAGAAGTCTGTAACAAAAATATGCAGCGACCAGATACTACAGTCGGCAAGGCTTCATGTATACTTGATAAAGTTGTCAACGCCATGCACGCCGGCAGACCAGAATGTAGATTTCCTTCTGTTGGGATCGAACAAAATAAAAAAAATGTGGTAAAGAAAATTAGCTTCACAGCTTGGCTGGAGAGAAATCGATATTTCTCAGTAGGTGTGCACAATGTGCAGATTGCATGGTGGCCAGGCAAACAGCTCAACAAAAGAAATCATGGCGCCGCGGTTTCGTATCTCTGCTTTAAGCTGGGGGGGTCCACTCTTCGCAAGACTCGAACGACGGACACGCACTTATCTGCAGATGCTTACTTGCCCGCAACTGCGGGTGTCCTCGAACATTGCCTCCTCTACGTTGAGCTGTGGCACTCCGACGCAGTTTCCGAGGTGCTTGTTGCTGTTGCTAGTACTGCGGTTAAATGCTTAACTTCTCTGGAGGCGCCAATTTGCTTCACCTTACCGCTTCTGCGTCGCGGGGTGCAGGAGAGTGATGGTGAAGGTCTCATCTCGCTCACGCTCACGTGCACTGAATTGACCCACGAGGTGACAAAGGCGGGTATTTCAGTAGCACGGGATTCCTCGGGTCCCTCAAATCTTTTCAAAGTACCACAAATTCAATTGCAGGGAGCTGAATTGTGCTTGCGGGCCCTTCGCTTCCGCAGAGCATCGAGTCCGCCAACCAGGCTCTACTGTACGACGCAAGTGGGTCGCATTTTTCGTCGAACTTCCATCAAGTCAGTTTCTTGTGCTACCTGTGACTGGCCAAACGAGGCGCTGGTCTTTCACACAAGCTTTGACGTGCTCATGGGGAAGTTTCTTCAAATGCAGATCTGGAGTCGCGCCAATGGATCACCGGACAGCCTGGTGGGGCATGCCAAGCTTCACCTTACGCCAGCACGCTGCATGCTACATTGCAGCCATCGAGCTATTGTGAGGACGTCGCCTTCTGAACCAGTATGCGTGCAGCTTCGACAAGCTCTAGGTGCACCATGTGGAGTTATTTCTTTCGAGCTTGAAATTATTGCAGAGGATGACTCTGCAATCACAGAGATCAGATGTTTCCAAAATAATAGCGTGTCGTCGTCGGCGTTTCGTATCGGGCACATTACATTTGCATCGATGAATCACCTAAATGACGACGAGCTATGTTCTTCACCCCTCGAACAGGATGCAACGGACAGCATTACGCCGAGTACCATGGATGGTGCTCAATTTTTAGTTGGCGCTTTTGACGACAACCGCTGCGATAAAAAAGACCCTCGCGATCGAAACGAGCTTCGCCTCATCTTGCTCAGGACGCGAGGCCTTCGCGTCCTGGGGCGATCGCATCCTCACGATGATAAAGTATCCGGTCTGCAAATTCGATCGCTCTTGGGGGCGGCACCACTGTCGAGGTCCATGGCACGCCCGGGCATTGTGTCTGCGCATATGGTCGCAAAAAATGCAAAGGTGGGCATTCGTTCAATGAATGGAGTAGGTGAGCAAGAATATAGCTACAAGTCTATTGATGTTGCGGAATTGGAGCAGGAGCTGGGTGAGCAATTTATTCTCCCCGCATCGGACGTTGATTTCAAGCCACTTGGCTTGGAACTAGTTGTTCAGGGCAGCCACAAAATCTCAAGCGAGCGAGTGATGGGGCGCAGTTTTATCGAGCTAAGTGAGAATGCACTTCCTGGTTTTGGTGTGGGGCTGGCCTATAGATTTTGGCTACAGCTTGGGGGGAACCTTGGCTCCGGGTCTCGTGCATGCAAGGTGCGAATGTGTGCGCAATGACTCCCACTGACTCCCGCGCGCGCAGGTCTTGACAGCGGAACCAGCGAATCCCGGACCGTATGGTACCCTGCAAGTGGCGGCGAGGTGGACTCACAACCCCACGCTTGCATTCTTTGATCTACCGTGCAGGACGGTGTCCAATGCCATTACTTGTTTGTTCTGAGCTAGATCTGAAAGCAGGTGCGCGCACGACGACGCTGCACCTAATGAGCTACATGTTGCGCTGCTTCGAGCTCGAGGACTGCCAGCCGCGGATCGGGGCGTGCTAGAGGCTTCAACAAGCGACCCAGTAGCGAGGGTCACGATTCTTTCTGCTGGTGGAGGCGTTATGGATGTTACAGAGACCACTGTGGTGAGAAGGTGCTTGAACCCCATTTGGAACGCAGCTTTCTCTTTTGAAATTCAGCACGGCGAAGTATACCAAAATGGGCAAAGTGCAATGCTACATATCACCATAGAGGATTGGGATGCTTTGTCAAATAATGATGTCTTGGGCCACATAGTAGTCCCGGTGTCGTCACTTCAAAGCAAGTCGAGACTACACAGCTGGTTTCCCTTGTCGAGCACAACAGGGCCAAGCAACGCGTGCAGCTACGGGAGAACTAGCTTGTGCGGCGAGGTCGAGCTAACGGCGCGGTGGACACACAATCCCATTCTTTCACGATTATCTCTTTCAGAGTCAGGCTCCGATGCCACACCAAACGAGCTTCGAATCACGCTAGTAAGAGCTCGCGGGTTAGACCAACCTGGACATCTACCTGATACCACGATAATACCAGACGATCCGTTCGTTAGACTGCGCTTTGGTACCAAAGTTTGGTTCACCGAGCGGTTTAGAACCTCGTGCCCTGTTTGGAACGAAGCCTGCGCAGTTCCTTTTCATGCATGCGACATCTCCTCGGGGGGGTTAGAGGTTGCAGTGGCGCCAAAGCTCGACTATGGCGCCGAACTCAAACTTCAATCTCTGGCTGCCAGACGATCATCCAGAAATGTCCAGCCACTTCAGCAATGGCTGAGCCTTACCCGGCGACCAGACCGTGCGCGTCTCGGGCGCGGGGTGGATGCCTGTGTGGAAATCAAACTTCAGGCGCCCCACGGCGTTGTCCCCAGAACTGCATCTGCTCGATGGCGTAACCCAACTCACTGACTGATTTCCACACAGGCGGATGGAGGCCGTGTTCCTGTCAATGCTACTGATATTTCCGGGGAAGTAGAGGTGGTGTTGGAGTGGGGTTGCAACCCGGTGCATGGATTCTTCGATCTGGAGGACGGCGAGAGCGCTGGTGCCCCAAACATGCTTTACGTTGCTATTGCCCAAGCCCGTGCGTTAAGACCTCGGAACTCGTTGCCAAAAGGGTCTAGCGATCAGCGCGCCTGCAAACCCTACGTCCTAATCAAATGGCGTGGTCGGCGAATGGCATCGACCGTCCTACCCCGAGCGCAGTTGCCGTCTGTGTAGAAATCAAATTTCGCGGGTTTCTCGCAAAAGGCTGAATCATAACCTTGACGCCATCGACGCGACGCCTGCTCGATGGCGTGGCGGTGTGGGTTACACCCGACGCACTGCTTGATTTCCACACAGGTCGCCGTCTTGGCACGAGACCTTTGTGCTGCCTGTGAGCATAGGAAACATAAACGAAGCGATTACAAACGCACACGACAGGCAACTGACTCTAGATGTCATCCACTGTCCCAGATGCAGCGCTGACTCGGCGTCCTGTCGAACTTTAACTTGGACTGGCGGGCCACGGGATGGCGTGGGGGGCGGCAGAGGAGTCTGATCTTGGCCGGCGGCGCGCCGTCGTCGTCAACGATACGCGACGACGACGTCGTGACTACTGCTGTGCTACCCAGCCCCTCGGCCGGGGACGCGCGGCGCGAGAGCCCGTCGAGCCTGTTGAGCCCATCGGCGTGGGCGGATGCGCGACGCGAGGACGGTGCCTAGGCGACACCCCTGGCGGAGGTCGCGAGCCCGTTCGAGTCCCCCGGCCTGGGCGGAGGCCTGCTCACCCGGACGATCCGGCGGACGCCGTCGCGCCGCCGCGCCGCAGCAGCAACGGGAGCTGGAGAAGAGCGATGCGGCGACGGTGGACGATGCGAACGGGGGTTCCGCGCGCAGGCACAAGCTCACGACCTACAGGAGGAGGAGATAGGGCAAACTGTCAGTTAATTGGCTCTTCTAGAGTGGACATATGTGTGGAAATCAACCAGTGAGTTGGGTTACTAAACCAGTGGGGTCTCCAGTCGGGCCACTGGTACCAGGCCCGGTCACGTCGGAGGGTTACCCAACCACTCGGTCCGGATCGATCTTTCTAGACCCAGGCTCTTTGGTTGGAGGCCTCCGGTCTGGAGACGCAGTTACAGAGACATGTCGCGTGATGGTAAAATGGGGCGCCTGAAATTCGATTTGAACGCAGGTAGACCTCTTGACTGAACTGGGTCATCGACGGCCTTTTCGATCCTGGCGAAAGTTATATCAGGCCTCGGAATCATATCCAGTGGTAAGCGGAGAGTTGGAAGTTGAGTTGAGATGGGTAAGGTCTCAACTCACCTTCATTCCTGAGCCCCTGTATAAGCTACACATTGGCGACATGAGTGCCGCTATACTCAGCTCAGAATCCATACTGTTGGACGGTTCTGCACGCCTCGGGGTACACACAGCAATGATAAAGCGTGCACCAATCGCTGACAAGACCCTTGTTTGCTCAAATCTATGCATTCTACGTGCCACCAGTCTCGATCCAAATAGCGTCGGGATTGGCCATCCTTTCGTTGTCGTGCGTTGCAATGATAGTGAAGTCCATCGAACTCCTGCACAATGGTCTACTCTCAGCCCAACGTGGAGTCGTGGTGGATCTGCTGCGTGCGTCCAGATACCCTCTGTTGCGTCGGGGCCACCATACGGGCTGTCCGTCGAGGTGTGGTGTGCTACTACATCGGCTGCAAGAGCATGCTGCCTAGGACGTATTGCATTGATGCCGACCGAGCTGCTAGATCACGGCGGGGAGTATGAGCACCAGTTGCTCTCTGGGACCCTCATTCTGACTTGGAGGCAACTCGGGCCAAAGAGCCCTGAGTTCCCTACTGAGCTGGAGTTCACACGTGATGAGTCCGCGAGTAGTGCAGCCAAAGAACTGTCATACACAGTTCAAATTAGTAACTGGACGGTATATCCGCGAATCGAGGGGGTTTATATCGTTGCGTCCTGTGTGAAAACCAAATTTAAGCACCTCGCGCGATGGTATCCCGCCACTGTGTCTGCTCGGATGGCGTGGAGGTTCACGGAGGTCCCTCGCAATAATTCTCAGGATAGCCTGACTCACTGGTTGATTTCCCACAGGAGGCCTCTCTAGGGAGGGAAGGGGCCCGAGGGGAGGCTTTCCTGGAACTCATGGCAGAACCTAGTTGTTTCACATCAGTCGAGGAGCTACAGATCGAAGTGAAATCCAAGGGAGAAACGGGGGACAATTCAAAGTACGGTGAATGTTTCATCCCGCTGCAAACACATTGGGTTGGTGACAAAGAACCGCACCAACTTGTGCAGATGCTCACACACCCGACTGGTGGCCTTCGTGGGCACTTGACATTCAGCATACAGGTCCGCCGTTGCCTAAACAAAGCTAAATATGATGATGAGATCAGAACTACTCGTGAACTTAAGCACCTTAGCGCCCTGCACGCCTTGCGTCAATCTGCGGAATATGCAAAACGTGCGAGTCAAGATGCCACAAGTGCATTTGAAAGAGCAGCCGATTCTATAGAGCGGAGGGCGCTCTCTGCCACGCAGGCTGTCTGTCGTCGTGAAGCGATGCGCGCGATGAGTCGCCTGCAACATTCCATTGAACTTGGCATGTTCTACGACGGAGTCAGATCAGAAATTACGACGGAAACAGTTGAACAGCGTGCTGGCCACGGAACCAAATGCGCGGCACCCAGATCAGAAATTACCGCAGGAAGTGCAGTTGCACAACAGCACGCTGGTCGCGAAACAAGCCGTAGAGCGCTGCCTTCTTCATCCCTGGCAATCAAGCACAGGGAACTAGCTCACGTCAGGATGGACATTCGCATCGACCCAACAGAAAACCTTGGCATAATCTGGGGCGACGTTGAGAGGGATGAGCTGGCCGCACTTGTGGCCAGCCGTAGTGGTTTCTCAGCCAGGGTGACGTCCACACCTCACGCCCGGGTCAGTCATGAAATGTCACTTCGATTCGCGAATGCTAGTGATCAGCGATGCGGCAGCAGAAGGGATGCCGGGGGACAATATGGCGAGACTGACGACGTGAGTGAGGCCATGAATCACTATCGCAGCACATTCAGCTCATTAGAACCACTATTAGCTCGAATCGGTGTGGTCGATGAGGAGCTCACAAAACTTTCGGCCAACTGTAAATCAAACGCTCGGGCACTTGCCTTAAGAGCTGGACACAACTTGACAGTCTTGGGCTTACGTAAGGGCATGCAAGCTGCGCGCCTTGGTGTGTGTCTCGGATGGCGCGCTGTTTCTCTGAATGGCCGGGAGTTGGGCTGCCGGGAGCAGCTTTCGACGGCGCTGAATGCTCCCATGGAAGAAATGATCCTGACCTTTACGGCAAGGATAGAATGGAGGCACCATTTTCACGCACTGCGTAACCTGAAACGTTATCTGGTCGCCACCAAGCGTTGCGAAGAAGTCTCGCAGGTCACAGCTGCGGCCCGGGAGAAAACAATAAGCCTTGATCTTCGGAAGCCGCTAGGGATAAGTTGGACAGCTGCGACAGGGGGGCGTGGGCACTCGAAAGGTGGCCTTGAGGTGAAGGTGGTAATGCCAAATTCGGCTCGTATCAAGTGTATCAGAGGGGGTATGATTCTCACCCGAGTTGCCTCAAGGCCCGTTCACGACGAGGAAGATTTCTCCGATATTTTAGATAGTCTTCGCTCGACTTCTACCTACGTTGTAAATTTTGATTTTATGTTACCACGTCACGTTCACAAACGGGTAATTTTCTTTGATGCTCGTTGTCCCCTTGGGGCAATATTTAAAGATTATTCGATTTTGCGTCTCGACCCAAACTCACCAGCGACCAAAGCTCGAGTTAGACCAGGTTGGATTTTGTTGAGTGTGAACGGGCTTACTGTGACCGGGGGCGCCTCGCCGGTAGCACTACTTGCCGACTTAAGGCGACGGGCCCGAGATCCTCACGACCCGTTTAATCAAGCCGCAGCTGCACGTCACACAGAACTAGTATTCAACGTCGCGGTAGACGATCTTATATCGCTTTTCATCGATCCGAGGAATCCGGGAATCGATTGGACTTTCCTGCCACGACCCACAAAGGAAGGTTCGAGTTGTATGGCCTGTGCGTAAATCAACCAGTGCGTCGGGTGCACTACTCTTCACAAAGTCATTTTTCTCGGCGACAACGCGGCCCCGCTGACTGAATCGAGTGGTGTAATACCCACACCGCCACGCTATGGAGCAGGCGTCGCGTCGATGGCGTGCAGATTGACGCGACAGCAAGGCGCCATGAAATTTTAATTTCTACACAGGCAATGACATCGGTGGTGATATATTTGTCAAGGAAGTGGTCAACGGCACAGGGCGTCCAAGGAGAGGCTGGCGGCTAGTAAAAATAGAATACAATGATGCCCAGCATTTTCCAGCATCACCTGGCGCCATGTTGGCCGCATTCGAGAACGCGACAAACCTGCGACAAGAAGAGGTAAAGGTGACTTTTGACTGTGCTGAAGAAGAAGATTTCCACGCAGATGGGCATGATGTGCATGATGGGCATGATGACACCCCCGAAGGAGACCCTTTGTCAGAGGCATTTGGAACGCCAAATCTTCCAGTCGTGGAGCCTTCAATTTACTTGACTATTATTGACGGAGCTGAGTTTCAACTTGGCGGGGTTGCCCCCCACGTGCGTTTGTTTTGGTGCGAGAAGGAAGTGAGTCGCACTGCTCCGGGGCGACTAGACAAGCATAATCAACCGCATTGGAATGCTGAAAGTTTTCTTTTGCCTCTTCCAGAAAATACCGACGATGTTGGCCTTCGACTGGAAGTTTGGACGACAACATGCCACGGCCAGGCCCTCCTCGAAGGCCAGGATCTTTTGCGCCAGTGCTTCACAGATACTGATAAGCGAGCTAAGCGAGCTACAAGATATCAACTCACGCCACACAGGCCAGTCAGACCTGCTTCAGAGAGATTCAATCGACGCAGAGAAGTGACCTCTTCTCTTGCACTCATGATGTATCTTATATCTCCAGCCCCCAAAAAAAAGAAAGTGACGGCATCGGACCTTAGTGTCCACCTAAGTTAAATCGTGACATTCACAAGTGCGCGTCGGGGGCACAGCAACCCGCATCTCGCCAACATTGGCAAAAAGGTATTCCTGTGCCAGCGGGACCCGTCAGGGGGAAGAGCTCTCCGAGTCGCCGGAAGGCCGGGCTCGCCGGTTCGTCACATGTGTCACTCCCGTCGGAATTCCCGTCTGCCCGGGCCCGGGGGGGTCCAGATGGCGGATGCAACAAGTGATGCAACGCTCGTCGCTCGGCGGGGCTACTTGCGGGGCTCATAAAAAAGGACAATACTTAGGTATGGCACAAGAGGGCTAGGCTAGGATGCGGCCCCGTTGGCCCTTATTATAACATTTGGGGGATCGCTGTCAAGAGAAAAACGTCCCACGGGGTGTTTTAGAAATTCTCAAGCAGGAAACCCTAGAAAGAAACAACGAAACCCCGAGTTGTTCGCTCTCCAAGGCATTCCTGTCACTGAATCAACGCCACTATGAACGCCAGCATCGCTGGAGGAGAGCGTTATGTGGTTCTCAATTTCTGATGCTGCCTTGCCACCATGTGGGGCGTGATAGGTTTCATCAGCAAGTTCTTCGCCGAAGCTGTTGACTATACTAGGGTCCCCTTTCCTCTCAACGATTGCCTGCCTTTGGTTGGCGAGGGCGAGAAAAGCTGCCTGTGCGGAAACAAAAATTTTACTTCTCCGTCCTTTGTTGTTGCATATCTCCTCGTCCAACGCAAAGCGAGCCAAGTCTCCTATATGGCCAGCACAGCCGTCCGGTTTTCGCCGAGAAATGCGTTTTATCACACGGGAAGTAGCTTCTGAAGCCGCCTCAGCATGATGATTTATAGTTGCTGCAAGGCCAATGACAACTGCCAGGTTCCTCGACGCATTAGATCCGTGTTGTTCAACTGACTTTTGTTGTCGTTCAAAGCTGAGTGAGCATGATAGTATCCCCTGGTGACGATGACCGGGTCGCCCCATCTCGAATGTGGTTGGGGTTGGTTTGCCTTTGGCACTGATGACAGCATCGAGCCGGGTACGCGATTCACCTGTGTGCAAATCAACCAGCGAGTCGGGTGTCCCCCACGTAGTGAAAATTGATTTATGCACTGCGACTCACCCAGTAGATTATCTGGAAGTGCTGTTCTTTCGCTCCAGATCTGCACATGTAGTGGTTCCTCGCTCAACATTGACTCATCTACAACGATCGATGCGCTGTCGTTCTTCCACAGAGCGCGCTTCCCCGCGACTCTTGTCGTTGATGACCGAGCCTTTCTGTCTAGTAGTCGGAGTACGACGTATGACAGTTGCGTTGTGCGCAACGCACGGCCAAGCAAACTCGACGAGGTTGTCAAAGCTGGGAGTTCAGTGGCTGCCATGTCTGTCATCGACAACAGGACTCTTGGGATCATTTGGCCGGTGATTTTGTTGTCTTCCTTGTCCTCGCGATCTGCTTTGTGATGTGACATGCTATAATCAACTTTCACATCCGTATAAATTTGTTGGTGCAAATAAGCACGTCGCTGTTGTCCAGACTGGCGTCGCGTGATCTGGCGAAGCTCTAGGAGCTGTGCCGGCGACAGCGTTACTTTCCCACGAAGCGAAGTGCCTTCTTCGGGTAGGCGAGCTGGAAAGCAATCGTAAACCTCCACTACAATGAGACGGGCAGGAGGTACTGGGATCAGTGCATTCCAACAAGTATCGGTTTCAAGCGCACAAACACTGGTGCATCCAAGCTCAACGCTGTCGTAGCGTACCATGCAGTAGGCAGCTGAAGAAATGGGGCAGCTTTCAGGACCATGCGTGGTATTGGGAGAATCAGGAGATGCACCAAGGCCGACTCCGTCTATCACGTGCAGAATAGTATGTCTACCAGCTAGTATGAACCTCCAAGCTGCATGTAGCACAGCACAGATGGTATCTTTTGCAATTTGAATACTCGGTTGCATGATACTCAACTTGCCGCTGGTCACAGTTGGATTTTGGCTTATCCGCCCTGACCGAGAGACGCTGAAGTAGTTCAGACGAGTGCTGAGGGCAAGAACAATTTGACTACTAGCGTTGGATGCCGCCACCGCAGCATGCCGAGTGGACCATGGGGCCAATTTGAAACTACTGGGCTGTCCATTAACAGAACACAATGGACCATTATCTAACCAGGATCTGGCTTTTATTTCCTTCAACATTGTGCTACACAAAGCGCATCTTCCAAGGTGTTCTCCCGCATTGTCATCAAAAATGTCAAAACACAATTCGTCATTTCGGGAGACAGAGTTTTTGAGGTCCGGCGACCAGTTACTCACTGTCAGTAGGAGCGCAAGCCTCGATGCCACACAATTTGTGCTTCCACTCCGCATGTTCGTTTGAACGAAAAATTCCCGAGGGAAGCAAGGTCGTCGCTGTCTTGTTACTGTATCATATAAATAGCTGTGGGGCCACCATAACTCCACGCGGCCAATCAACGTGTCGTTGACACCGCCTGGGTGTGCGACCCGCAAGAAGCAACACACTTCTATGCGCTTCTCAATCAGCGAGCGCATTGTAGAGGTCAGTACGAGGTCGTCAGGCCACACTACGTCCGCACTCTTGCCAGAAAATCTAGTCGCAAATGTCCGTGCGACACATCCGCCAACATCCAGTCGTAAATACACAGTATAGTCATTTTTGCACAACGACAAGGCGAATTGAGAAAGGCTCAGCCACGGCACGCGCAAGACGACCTCGGGCTCCAGGAGGGGATCATAAGTCCACAGCAAATCGAGCTCCAGCTTGTGGTCAGACCCAGCGTGTACCCAGGAGCGACGAGGGCGACAACTTATGTCTATTGCAGCTACACCCAACGAGCCCAAGGTACCAATATGCGTATGGTCAAGAAGCTCGATAGCAAGTACGGAACCACAGCCGGCGCTTCTGTGCTCTGGCCCTTCTGGTGTGTAGTACGGAAATTGAAAGTGTTCGTTCCAAATAGGGTTTCGGGTATTTTCGATACGTGTGGTCGAATGGGCTGTCCTATGAGTTGCACTCAAATTAGACGCTGGAGCGCCAAATTCATGCGAAGCATGAAGCGATGCTGTTGTGAGTGAGTTGCACTCCCCGCAGAACCCTTGCGCCCGAACTATTGCGAATTTGAGGCAATTGGGCACCAAATCGAAATAATCGTCGTCGTCGTCGTGGGGAGAAAACTCAGGATTATGTATCCAACGCAAGGCAAGCTCAACTTCCCCGCAGTGACCCGTGAAGCACTTATCGCCGCCAACATTGAGTGGAAACCATCGCCGAAGGGTCCTGCGATTCATTAGTAAGCTCAAAGCTATGTCCGTCATGCCTAGTACATTCGGAAGACTTCCAAGATTCCAGTCGAAAACTATGACTTTCAGTGAAGATTCTACAGAGTCAGGGGTGCGCATCCTGTACCTTTCATTCCATATCGGACATGACGTTCGGTGGGAAACTCTCGACTCGTGTATTTCACCGCTTAAATGCATTCTGACAAATGGATCCGCAGTTACTTGACCAAAGAGTCCGTGTTCGAGCGCCCGCAGGCCCCTTGCTCTAATTAGTTTGATGAGTAGTTCGTTTGGGGGCCGTGCGCAGTGGATGGGGGGCTCTTGAAATGTCTCAAAGTAATCATTATTTATGTTATACCTAAGTGGCGCAAAGATACCAAAATTTCGTGGGCAGAGCTTGAAGTAGAGGGAAGGATGTCTAAAAAAACTATGACTCAGTGTAGTGCCGCCATTGAAGAGCAAGTTCCAGCTCCCCACGAGTGGATGAAAGTGTAGGGCCTTCGGGATGGTTGGCTCTAGGGAGGAGCTCAGATCGACCTTTTCTCAAGTCAGAACAAGGAGGCATACCATTTTGACTGGGCTTTACAACCAAATCATGCCACGTGCGTTTCGTCACACCGTCGGCTAACATCGAAATTGACATCCTACCGCTTCCCAAAAGTACATCGTCAGAGGAGACATCTCCGTCGAATATATCTGCCATCAACTCAAGCGCATTAGCACCATCGAAATCTGCGAATGCACGCATTGTTAGGACCTCATTCCAAACTGGGAAGGGTGAAATAGGCCTCAATGACGAAGACGTGTACTCCCCGTTGCAACTTACAGTCACTAGGGGGTCAGATTTGCGTTCTGTAACAGGAAGGTTACGTGCCTGGATTATAGCCACTAACAACTCGTTCCCGGGGGCGAGCCCGGCAATCTCGTCCGTGAAATAATCGTATGCGGGGTTTGCTACCACACAGAGATGCAAACTTCCCCTTGTCTTGATCGAATGCGGACGCGATAGACGGAGCTCAAACGCGCACTGAGTTCCAACCTGTGTCAGACATTTGCCAATGTGTTTACGAGCTTCACCAACGAGGAAGTTATTATTCCACAGCTGAAATGTCACCTCGTGGCTTGAGGACCTATGAATAACATCAGGAATAGATTCAGCTGGTAGCGAGAGAACCTCCTCTCGCCAATCACAGCCATGTTTAGTGGTCGTCTTCGCACATCGTCCACACATGCGTGCAAGAACAAAGAATTCCCGTGCGTCCTTGCACTTTGCTCCCCAGTACTCTGTTCCCGGCGAGAGTGTGGCGGTCAATTTGTAAAATTTAAGGTCATGTCCTCTGTAAGTGCTACAAATCTCAGGGACTAATGTAAGGCGACCTTGACTGGTGGAACTGCAAGACTGCTGTGGTACTGCCTGGCACTTTTGTGGTACCGGAGCACCCGTTTCCATTCGCGTCAGTGAAAAAGAGAGTGTGGCATTTGCAGAAATCGCCACTTTCTGAGGGTGCCATTGATTTGTGCAGCAAGAAAGGTCTATCGACTTTGAACCAAAAGTATCATCTGAACAAGGACTGCGGTCGTGAAATAGTTCAATTTTGAAGGTAGAGTATGGGGCAGTATGCCAACCAGCTAGTGTTACAACTTCTCCTGGCGGCCAGGTCATCAAGGGGCCAATGGGGCCAACAGCGCTCAGAACTGACGAGCGTTGAGTGTAAAAACCCAGTGTGAATTTTATATACGGGTCTAGGGTGCGCAGCGACCTCAGATGGCACGGTGACCCGTGGGCAATTTCTAACGTAAATTTGGATGCTTGAAGATAGAAAGAAGGTCGAGGCCGCGGGAATTGAGATCTAGGCCGCAATGTGGACCTCATACTGGTCGTGTGCTGGGCCGGGGAATGTGTTGTACTACAAGAAAACGTAACCTGAAGACGCACAAAACCGAAAGAATAATGCATGTCTGCCAGCGTCTCCTCACCCGAGTAGTCCATGAGACGGATGCAGGGTTGCATGGAAGTTCTTGTTAAATTGGCAACTGTCCCGCGGCCGATGCAAAGCGCATTAGACTCGATTGTTCTGGCCCAAATTTCCAATTCTAGCACTCGACCTACGAGTGCTTCGATTCTAGTCTTCTCGTCCCCGCCAATAATCCCTGTTGCAGGAAATCCGATTCGATCAGCTAGCAAACCTGCGTACGTGCATCGCCGTCGATCACACTGCGTGAAATCTACGTTTTCCGTGCATATTAGTCGATCACCGTGGCGCGCGACGAGAAACACTTCCCTCGCGGCGTGGGCCCGAGTTTTGACCCTCTGGAAGTCGCAGGTCGTGGCGAGTGCCGCGTAGAGCACTCGTACTCGATCTTCCGGTTGCAGCACCATGACGACAAAAACCGGGAGCTTCTCTGCGAGGGTATCAATTGTCCCCTGGTCTTGGCCTCTCTCAGGGAAAATGGTACTTTTTAAGTGCAAAAAGCACTTTTCGTGCCAGAGTGGTCGCGTGCTCCTATACTTGGTGGATGTCCGGCCAATTTTGACTCCATTGAACGTTATCAACACAAACGGATCATATTTAGTCGTCGTCGAATGTGAATAAACAAGATCATCGCTACCAAGAACGCAGATCACCGCGTCGCATTCGTCGCGATCACAGTGAGTTGATGAGCTCACGTCTGGTGATCGCTTATTGGGCCCTAGCTTCAAAAGCATTAGACTGGTCACTGCAGATGCGCCTTTCCTTAACTGCAGCCGACCGTGTGATTTCCATGTTTTTTGGATCAATGTAACAGCAGCCAGAGCCGAACCATCTGGTTGACATGCCACTATTCTCGCGCGCTCACGCGCAATGCGCCTGCACGCAAGAACCTGTCGGGCCTGGGCTTGGATGCGCCTGGCCTCTGTCCATTCATTATCTGAGTACTTTCCAAAGTGAACAACAAGGAGATCGATAGAACAGGGGGGATGCGTGGAAGAACTAGGCCATACGACTCTCGGTGTTGGGAGATGAAAGGCACTCTTCAAGTCAACACCGATATTATTCCACGGACTAGAACCATGCCATTGCGGACTGTTGCACTCTGCTTGATTGCGCACGGAGCCCCCCCGAGGTCCTGGACCAAACACAGAGGCAAAGGGCCAGCGTTGAATCGACCCAGGCCACCGTGTGTCACCGACTAAACTGCCTTCGGTAGTTGCGAATGAAGCTGGTTCGCGCATATTATTCCCTTGAAATCGAGGGTCTTGCAGAGATGCTAGACCCTCCAGCTGGATCGAAACTGCATGGGGTGCTGAAGCACGGGACTCCTCCACCACAAGATGAAGAGTGATCGAGCCGGTCCCCGCGCGCAAGAAGACAGTTCCATGCCCATCTGATATGGCAGCCATTACTTTACCAGCTTTACCGGCCCGAGAAAGCTCGAATTCAATTGGTGGCGTTGCGACGAGTCTGCTCATGTTGTATGGAGACCGTATGTGGGAGGGGTCTATGTAATAGTCCGTCTGCGCCGAAGGCAGTCGTTGGAATTCATCCCAAGAGAGTAATATTGAGTCCACGTGCGTGACGCGTGCCGCTCTTAGGGAAGTGTTGGTAGAGGGCTTGCTCCTTACTCTCAGCTCTAGGAAGTCTTTGTTTCTCTGAGCACTGACGACACCGCGGCCGAATGGGAGCAAGAAAGCAGTTCGGTCAGGCTTCCCTGGATGGTACTGGCAGAAGCCAACCCGCTCGCCACACCAATAGACGCCTATCTCTGGAAGTCTCTCGGGGATATTGCTACCAAAAAAGATTGGACATATCATAACAAGCCTAAGTCTGGAGATAATGTCATCACCGGCAAGTGCTGAGAGCAATGGAAGCAGCGGACCTGACTTTGCACGCCGGCCAGTCATTTGCTTCCCACGCCGCTTAGTGAGCTGCACCTCCTCTAGCAGTATCCGATGGTGGATCCGAGCGCGCATCACCGCAAATGCGGGAAAGCTCACCAAGAAATCGCACTTGTGCTTTGCATTGCTTGGTCGCAAAAGCCGCTGAGAGAATGTCGAGTCGGCTACCGAATCACAACGCACATTGAACCTATTTCGCAACTCGAGATAGGAGATATCGGTTTCGCTGACACGCCTTGGGATCTTCGCCAGGGCGCTCACTCCCGTAAATGCAATCCCGAGCAATTGTTTCGCAGACCGAAGCTCAATCCAGAATGCTGCACTGCAACCGCATGCCAGGTCGGCGTCCCAGTTCAGTGGCAGCCATACTAAAACTTCCTCCGCGCTAGCAAAAAAGTCCCTCCTACACTTACTCGGCATAGGAGCCAAAATGGACATTTTAGTCGGTTTTGCGTCTCCCTGCTGTTTGTAGCACACGACAATCAGCACGTCCTCTATTGACAAGTCCTCGCATGGAGCTACAGGACATGGTTGGGAGACTGAGTGTGACGTCGCCGTAGGTCGTCTAGTTATGGCACCGGAGATTCCAAGGAGAGTTATTCTGAGTCGTATGCGCGAATTTCTCCCTCTCGCGGGGAGCGATGCTGTATTTATTGGACACCCTGGCCTTTGCTGATGCAATCGGACAATGACTTCACCCAGAACATCTGCATTTTCCGAGCGGTGATGCGTTTTGGCAGACAGTGCGCCGTGAACATCAGTGAAGCCGACGACTACCTTTGTCGGCGCGACCGCTATGACTCCAGGCCCACGAACTCTGTCATCTTCAGACAATGGCGAGGGAGTGGGGCGGATGCGAGAAGTTGAATCACTTTCCTTTGGCTGGAGTATTAACGTCCGGCGGAACGGGAACATCTGATTCGTGGCCGACACAAGAATGCAAGCGTGCCCCAAATATAGGTGCTCGAAGCGCCGCATATGATTCATTCCCCGGACCGTGATGCGAAGCATGCCGGAGCCGGGAATAAGATGTACTGGAATCAAGAAGTCTGAGTTAGACCAGTAACGGCAGCGATTCCGATCTGCCGGATTTGATTCTGTGGTTCCGACGTAGCCTCCGTTCCAGCTTATCACGGCACGCGCATCGCATGTATCTTTTCCACCGCGCGAACCAGAAACCTGGATCAACAGCATCTTGCACGGGAATGAATTCGCGCCCCACCACGCTGCGGCGTGAGAAAAGTCTGGCTCTGCGGCAGTACAAATGCCAAGCATCAGAGTTCCTGAGATGCGAGAGTCAACATCCTCAGGAACATCACGTCTTGCGATTAAGGGCAGCACTAGTTTGAGTCCCACACGGCGGGTATACCTAGGCGGACGCTTGATTGCAGATGTTGTTCCAGCTACCAGGCTTTCTCCCAAAAACCCATATCGAGTCCCGTTTTTCTTTGTTACTTTCCACAGCATCAAACGCAGTTCAGGCCAGACTGACTGGTGTCCTGCAGCAGATATGTCATATGCTGAGAACTCAATAATCGAGTTGAAGACCGCGGAGTTGTAGTTGTGGTCCTTACTGCCCGGCGTGGTACTTACACCCTTCGCTTCGGCAAAACACACATGACGCCGATTGTAAAGGACCTCAATTGTAGCGCCATAAATCGCTTCCGAAATGCCGCGAGCTGAGATTAGCTGCAAGGACATCCTTTTATGCGGAGTAGTCCCGTCTTCTGGGTGCAGGGTGTACCACGGCCAGTTTGAGGAGTTGATCTGGCGCCGTGCGAGGCATTTAATCCACAGTCCTGCTTCGTCAGTTGCTAAGTCAAACGTCCGCGAGTCGCAGACACGAGGTGAAAGGTAAAGACACAAGCTTCCCTGAATTCGTGATGAAACCTCCTCAGATTGTGTCGCACTTGCTCTGAGTGGCATGTCGATTCGGTGAGGGGGCGGGCTGCGGAGCATGCCGTCCTTGATTCGACATTGGCCTAGGAGCACGTACTGACTCTCCCTCTCGCTTCGTGTCTGCCACAACTCGATTAGCACATGATCTTTGATTTTGTACATTGTTCCGACATTCAATATAAACCGCCCCTTGATGGTTCTAGAACCATCTTTGTCCCTCCACTTCGTGTGGCTGTCAGGCGCATTGATTGTAGTTGGAGCCTCCGGAACGAGCTTGCCATTAAGCCACACCCTCAGAAAGCCAACACGGCACGCAAGATTCGATGCACCGAGAACATACAAGTCCAGGGTGTTTGGCGGTGTACGTTTTGGCTGATTGCCAATGCGGATCCAGTCCCGCATAGAAGGAACGACGTCATTGAGCACCAAACGGACTTTGAGCACGCCTTCACTTGATTCTGATGCCACTTCTCTACCGTTGACACCCTGAGTGCGAAGCTTTAAGGAGAGGCAATCTGGATCGACTTGTGATGAAACGGGTGGCAATTCCCCCGAGCCACTTAACGCCGCTGTTCCAAGGAGAGACCCTCTCCGAGCAAAAGCACTAGAGCTGACCGTATCGTATACCTCAAAGCAGAGCTCAGGGTGCGAGCTATCACTGCAGCTTACGGGCAACTTGCCGGGGTTCACAAATATTTGAAAAGTATTTCCGAGCGGGTTCCACCTTGGATGCCGAGTCTTGTGCTTGATGTCAGTGCGACCCACCTCTGTTCCCTCCCAATAGCAAATGACGAACGGACTAACCTCACCAGAGCCTGGAATCAGTCTTGTAAACGATGCGAGATTTGTGGGTCGATGAAAAGCGGAGAGTCCCTGTGCTTCAAGTACCTGCACGACGAAGTGCGGCTCTCCAGGGACTAGGTGACCGGCCACGTGCACCTCACCACCGACCAGGCTACTTCTGTTGTTGTTCCTCGATTCTTTGCTTTGGAGTGCTTTGACGATCCGACGACCAACCGCAAGGCGAAGGTCGGCTGGACTGAGTGATGCAACGCCGAGAATAATGTCCTTCCCCCTTGGTACGCGATCATGCAGCTCAATAATTATCTCAGGGTTTTGGGAGTCACTGGCAAATACGATAGCGTGGGGGATGTCAACACTAAACAATGGACTGGTTGGAGATGCCATTTGAGCTCGGAATAGCGGCGCGGTCGATTTCAGAGTCACGGCAGAGCGGGCAAGTTCTTCCCCGAGGTAGCTGACAACCACATAGGCGTCAGAGGTGCGAGGAGATGCCGAGAACATGTTAGCATCGGCTCCCTGAATATTTGTGGCGTACAGTATTTGGAGTTTATATACCACTGCCTCCATCACGCCCTGCTCTCCGTTGCGTAACTACCCGACTTGTACACCACGTCTTAGGGAATTTTCAGCCTGTGTGGATCTCGTCGCGCTCGTCTGCGCATTAACTCAATAATTTTAAAAAAATCGAGTAGTACGGGACCGCTAAATTACGACGCTTCGTTTTCGGTAAACGTAGCTCGAGATCCCGCCGTCGATTGCGATGATAGTAAATTAGGCATCCCCCATAATCAAAAGTGATCGCTCTGGTGTCAGAGGCGCAGCATACGATAAGAGATTGTGGCAACTCGATATAGCTCGGGCTGCCGCAGTAGTCGTGATGATACTTACGGTAGTGGTACCTACGTAGGTACCAGCTTGTACCAGCTTGTACCGTACCTAGTACCTACGGTACCGCAGGTACCTACGGTACCTGCGGTACCAGCTTGTACCGGCACCATGGTACCGTAGGTACCTACGGTAGGTACCGTACTGGTAGGTACATGGAGGAGAGAAAATTTGAACCAATTTCGAACCGTGACTCTAGCCTATCCGGGCCTAGGTGTCGTCGAGGTAGAGAGAGAACCGTGCCAGTGACCGTGACCCTCCGACTCGGAGTCAGGCGGCTGTGGCCTATCCTATCCCTGCGTTGCATCTCCCACTCGCTAATATTTGAGTTTTGGACTGTTGTCACGGTTCCGAGTCTATTCGAGTCACGGTTGACGCCTGTCCGGGTACCAATAGCGTGACCGGTCACCGAGACCATGACGGTAACTCTCCGTCACGATAGTCGGATACTGGGGCAGTCTTTTTAGAGGCTGATCAGGACCCCAACGACGCTAGGGCATAGTCTTTCTAGGTAGGGGCTGGGGACTGGACCTCTTGGAAACTCCGCACTGGCATCCATCAGGCGGGGCTCGACTTTACTACTAGTATTGCCCACTGTGCTCATCAAATAGTGAGCCTGAGTTTGAAGTGTCGCCAGCTGCCGCGTGTTTCGCCTCTTCAAGTTGATGATGACACGCGACCGCATTCTGACAGGGGCCAAGGACCGGGTGCGGGTGCCGCGGAGGCGGCTGCGAGTTGTTACTATGACTTGAAGCGTGGACAACGAAGAGGATGATGTGGAAGATGAGGACGTGGATAGCTCCTTCAACCAGCCGCCCAACAAATTGAAGTTGACCGTTCACGCCGCAGCTTAGCATGCCAGGGCCAGCCTGAGCCTGAGTGAGCGAACGGACGTCACGGTCACGGTGCTGCCGCGGTGGTTAAAAAAAATCGACGCCATGTGTCTCGTGCATAGTTATGTCCGCTTGTAGCCTGAAGCCACGGTCTAGTTACTGTACGGATCATGCTACGACGGGCCGGCGTTTGTACAGTACTCCATCTTGCTAGGATAGCCACAACCATGTGCGAGCGCTCATTCTCTGATGGGTCTCGAGGCGTGGGTTTGGGCGTGCCCCCGCATATCCGAGACGCCCTTGAGCAGGCGCGGCTGGCCGCGCGGGAAGCGGAGACACCGACACGCCAATCAGAATTTAGCCGCGAAAATACCGGCGAAGGAATTCACTCTCTTGCGCGTACAGCAATCAGACGCGAATCATCGTTTGTACAGCGTCTTCTGAATAAAGAGAAACAATTGATGAATATACGAACGTACGTCAATGATTCCTTGCGCTCACATAAAATGCATCATGCTTATCTGCGTAATTCGTTCTTGGATCCTGCCATTGGTCTTGAATTTAAACTCTTAGAGCACGGTGCACAGCAGGGAGTATTGATGTTGCCAAACCCTGACGTCGAAGCCCTCGAGAAAGCCCTTGCTGCATGCGAGGTGGCACAGAACGAACTCAAAATCGAGAATTGTCGCCTTCATCTGAGGCTTAGACAGGCCATGGAGCGGAATAATCAGCTTGAGCAAGAATGCGAAAATTTGTACCTCCAGCAAAGACAGGAGATGTAACATAAGAATTGAGAGCCAAAAAAGAACATGCCAGCGGGGAAGTTTGCTTTTTTCCCCGTTACTCTGCTAGACGGACTTGGGATTATGAGCCACGGTGTGAAGGTAAGGACCCTCGCATACTTAATTGCGAAGTACTGCTTGTGAGTCAGGTGCAGTAGTTTTGCATCTCGTCTATCAGCTTCATACTGACGTCTGATCTTGCGGTGATCAGACTTGGTCCATCGCTGGCTTCTATTGGTGAAACTTAGCATAAAATTTCGGAAGTAATCGCGCGTCACCTCCTCTCCCCCGGAGCCGAGTGTGGACCAATTGGCCGCACTATTAGCTTGCAAATCCCATAACTGGGTGTCACGAAAGTGAAACACACCTCGTGAAACATCGTTTCTGTAATCAGATACTGTCGCGCCACTATTAAAGTACTCTTGCAGGTTTGCTGCATCCTTATATTTAGTTGCACGGGATCTGGACCTGACAGAATTTGCAAATTTTCCGTCACTGCTAAACTGAATTTCTGCGTTAGCGGTATGTAGCTGCATTAGACAGGGTAGTATAGTGCGTGATGACCTCTCACCATGCTTTCAAAGACGGTCAGGTTATGTGTGGCCGTCTTTCTGCCACGGTACTTTGATTTGCTTACAAAGTCTGATAGGACGTCTTCCCTATTGACGTAACATTTTTGTCGTCTTTTCGGGTGTAAATCTTCTAGGCCGCGTCCTTTTTGAGTGACGTAGTCTTCGAAGTTGAACGTTTCCTCCTTTCTATTAGAACATGATTCTAATAATTTTCTGACGTGCGTCCTTTCGTCATATGGAGTCCCCTGTTCTAAGGGGTCTTCTCTCGGTTCGCCTCCGTCGCTAAGCGTGCTTGCTTGGGGGCTGCTCATTTTATTAAAATGCTAACAAACGGCTGGGCTTTGGTCCCAACGAGTGTAGTGTGGACACTCGCGAATGTGTAGGATTTCAAAAGGTAATACGGCGGAGTATCTCTTAGGACCGTGGGCCCATAACCTGCGAATATGCAAGGCCAAAGGAGTACGCACCTTTGGGAGTACGGCGGCTGAGATAGTCTGCCGCGGAGCTACCTTAAATACACTAAGTAGTTTTGGTTTTAACTGTGTTTATTACGCGTTGCGTGTTGAAGGGTGATGTAAGTGTAAAGGAAGGGTATAGGATAAGGGGGGGGTATTTCGCCCTATTTATCGCAGAACCCTGTGGGCCCATAACCTAGCAAGAGTATGTCGCAGCGTTATGTAAAGTAGCAGGGCCCTAGCTAACCAGCCGAGGGCTGGGCCAACCGTGACTTGAACCCGGGCCTGACTCGGACTACGACTCGGAGAGTGTTTTATAGTGAACTGTTGTTACACCGTAGCGTCAAAGACACTCGCTGTATAGACTCAAATATTAGAGAGTGGGAGATACTTATCTAGGGTAGGAAGGGCTAGTAGGTTCTCTCTCTACAGGGCCTAGTTACTTTATCTGGTACCATGGTAACCTTGGAGCCACGCGCCTATAACTAGGTACCTCATAGTGGATTAGGGGTCGAGCTGAGCCGCAACAACGATGCCTCTGCGGTACGTGTAATCAGTTGCGCCGTATTAGTATCTACAACAGGCTGGAGATCAAAAAGAAACTTTCGGCTCGGCAAGTTGGTGTACTCAGGGACTTCGTTATGCTAATGACACAGGTCTGACCGCGTCAAGTGCGTGGACTTGCACCCAACCGAACCTTGGGTCCTGTCTGCGCTGCACCTCTCTGTGTTTGAGACTGCCTGCAGAGAAAAATGATTAACGATTTTAGGTACTCCGGCAACATTTTCCTGTGGGATACAGAGACAAGTTCGCTCCTCAAATCATGGGAGGTATGCGAACTGCCCGTACGCTCCTGCAAATTCATTGCGCGTCGCTCCCAATTTATTTGCGCATCCGGTAAGTGTCCTTTAAATGTCAGCTCTAATCCTGATAGCAGATGACATGCGACTACGGCTCTATAACTACAACACAATGGAAAAAGTCAAGGATATGGAGGCTCACGCCGATTATATCCGCTTCGTCGAGATTCATCCAACCCTGCCCTACATTCTATCTTCATCAGATGACATGTCCATTAAGTTGTGGAACTGGGAACAGAATTGGGACTGCACATCATCTTTCGAAGGTCACGCACATTATGTAATGATGTGCAAGTTCAATCCTAAGGACACAAATACCTTTGCTTCTGCTTCATTGGATAGGACCATAAAGGTGCCGCATAGGATAGAGGCATCTACTAATGGACCACTTATCAGGTTTGGGGCCTTGGCGCTCAACAGCCCCATTTCTCGCTCGAAGGCCATGACCGGGGTGTCAACTGCCTGGACTACTACCCGGGTGGTGAGGTCCTCTGTTTTTCACTTCAATTGACTCGCGCTTTCACAGGGGATAAGCCATATTTGATCTCTGGGGCAGACGACAAAACTGTTAAAATCTGGGACTATCAGACTAAGGCTTGTGGCAACCCGTGTGATTTATATTGCGTTTCATTGGCGCCCCTTTTGACCTCCTTGCAGGTATTCAAACCCTAGACGGGCACTCAAACAATGTGTGCTCGGTTCTTTTCCACCCACAGTTGCCTGTTCTTGTCTCTGCATCTGAAGACGGGACTGTCCGAATATGGCATGCAATGACATACCGAGCAGAGACAACGCTGAATTACGGATTGGAACGTGCGTGGTCAATATCTGCAGCCAAAGAGTCAAACGGATTAGCAATCGGCTATGATGAGGGTACCATCCTCATCAAGCTCGGGCACGATGCTCCTGTTGCATCTCTGGACACGCACATCTCGTGTCATCTGCAAGCAGGTAGTCAGATAAGAGTTACCGATTTAGGCATACCGGAAAGGTGGTGTGGGCACATAACAATGATATTCAATCTGCATCATTGAAAGGAGTTACCAGCGACTTGGCCGACGGTATGTATTCGCTCCCAGAGGTGAATTCACTATCACCGCTGCTTAGGCGAAAAGCTAGACCTACTTATCAAGGATATGGGTTCATGCGAAATTTTCCCGCAGACTGTGCAGCACAACTGCAATGGTCGCTTTTTGGTCGTATGTGGGGATGGTGAATACATTATATACACTTCCCAGGCTCTTCGCAATAAGGCATTTGGTCAAGCACTCGACTTTGCATGGTCTGCGGTTTCTAAGATCTGAGTCTACCTGATCTTGTACAAATTCAACTTCCAGTCCCACAGGTAGGAACTGGTGACTTTGCTATTCGCGAATCATTGGCACGAATTAAGATTTTCAAGAACTTCAAAGAGCACCGCACAATAAAAGCGCCCATTTCTTCATCTGAGGGTCTCTTCGGTGGCGCTTGTGTGGCGCTGAAGGGCCCAGACTGTGTAGTATTTTTTGATTGGAACGAAGGTGCATTCTTGTGTAAAATCGATGTCGCCCCTAAAGCACCTCTCAGTGTCCGCATACTAAGTTTCTACTTAAAGCATTATACTTCACTCACAGGTAGTGTACTGGAATGAGACTCAGGAGCTTTTGCTCCTTGTTTGCGATGAACAGGCATTCATTTTGAAATATGACAAAGACAAAGTTGATGCTGCTATAGCTGAAGATTCTGTGTCACCTGAACTGGGAGTACCTGGGGCGTGATCGATCAGAGTAACTGTGGTGCATTTTGCAAATGCTTGTATGACTTGCGCGCGTAGTATGTGTATATAGGTTTGAACCAGAACATGAGATCACTGATTGTGTAACTAAGGGTCAGTGGATAGGAGACTGCTTTATTTTCTCCAATATAGCGGGGCGGCTGAATTATTTTGTTGGTGGCAACACCATGACACTGTGCCATCTTGACCAGCAGAGTACAGGGCCGCTCTTCATGCTTGGCTTTCTACCGAAAGAGGACAGAGTCTATCTCATGGATAGATCCAGGAACGTCTTCTCGTACCGAGCACTTTTGGCTGTACTTCAGTATCAAACTGCTGTTGTTCGGCATGACTTTGAAGCTGCAAATACAATCCTTCCTGCAATTCCAGAATCCGAGCACTCCTCTGTTGCACGGTTTCTCGAGGCCCAGGGATACAAAGATGTAGCTCTTCAAGTATCCAAAGATCCAGATCACAAATTTGACCTTGCTCTTGATCTTGGCAAGCTCGACGAGGCAACCAAGTTGCTTGATGCCGCGCCTGAACAGGATAGAGACACGACTGAATCAACCACGAAGTGGAAACGCCTTGGTGATCTTGCACTTGCAAATTGTGACTTGGATCTTGCTGAGCGCTGTGCCAGCAATGCCAAAGACCTCGCAGGGTTGCTTTTGCTCCATACTGCAGCCGGAAATCGTGCTGGTATATCTGCTCTAGCTGCGAACGCAGTCTTGCAAGGAAAGTTTAATGTTGCATTTATTTCATTCTTTATCTTAGGAGACGTTGAAAAATGCTTCGAACTACTGCTTGATACAAATAGAATCCCAGAAGCTGCGTTACTGTCGCGAACATACCTGCCATCTCAGATTTCACGGGCGGTGAGGTTGTGGCGTGAAGATCTCCGGCAAGTTTCGGACAGAGCTGCAGCTGCTCTTGCCGATCCCGTGGAATACCCTAATTTGTTTCCTGATCTTGATTGGGCATTAAAGGTCGAGGAAGTTTTCAAATGCAACCGAAACAAAGTCGTCCCTGCCACAGAATATCTAACGGCGAAGGATGACCTTGACCTCGACCTAGTTAGCCTCATGAAACAAACGCACACCGACAATTCACTCGGAGAAAAGTCTCCCATTCGAGCTAAGTTTGGCTCTACCCAGAAACACGATACAGATTCCAGTGTAAATCAAGTCTTATCTTGTGAAGCTACGGATACTAAAACTATCGACCATGACGTTCATGCTACGCCCCCCTTAAAATGCAGCGTTGATGATGAAGCGAATGCTATTCTGCAAAATGATTTTGGCAATGATGATGATGACGATGACTGGTGATCATTAGCATTCGAGCGGTAGTATACTCTTGGAACTTATGGCATGCGCAATTCCCTGCTCCGAATTCAGAATTTTTCGGTGTCTTGCGCGGCACATTAATTGCCTATCAGGTTCGAAGCCTAGGAATTCATTGAATACGCCCCATAGTTTCCATTGCTGAATCATCTTGCGCCCAAGCACACAGTCGCGTGTTGCATCCTGGAGACTTGCAGACAGGGTGGGTGGTCACATGGACTTCAACTAGTATTCGCACAGCCTGCCGGTGAGGGGGGTGGGAGTAACTAGTATATAGAACTAAGTAGTCTTCGATTAGTCATGATAGCCACAGACCAGGCCCTGGAGGGGGGTTATAATACCCGCAGCCTTCTCTGCCAGACTCTGGCTCCATGCAGCCGCACAGCCGGCGCGCCAAATGTACTAAACGACCCCTCTCGGAGGCTTCGTGCGAAAAGCCCCCACCTTTTCAAACTCACGCAGTACTTGGCTTCCTCCCCCGGGCCCATCGTGACTCGGACTCGGACCGTGGCTCTACAACGAAGTGACTTCCATGGAGTCAACTTCAGGTCGCGGATCTACACACTCCCCTGGACGTGAAGCTAGTTTAGGGGCGACGGTTTGGGTCTAATTCTGATGAATAAGTGGCCCGTGCCCGCGAATGCGCACCAATGGCATTTCTGACAGCCCATCGAGTATCTGGCCGCACTTACGCACCTGCCTCACGCCACTGGTGCCTGAGGCCCCTGGGAGCGAGTTTTGAAATTTCAGCCCAGAGGCTCGTGAAGTACCCGTGAGCGCGCCTCGCTGCGAAAGTGGCCCCTCCCCACCAGCCCGGTCTCGGGGCGCGCAAAGGACCCCAGTGGGGCCATACGACCGAAGTTGACTCAGCCTGGGGAGAGTCCTCGGGAACCCAATCTTCGAATTAGGGAACACGCTACGTTTACGTTGAGTGGCGTCACGGTACGCTCATTGCGCCACAACCTGCCACAATGTCGACTATTGCGCTTGTCACGGCGTGCGTACCGTGGCCGTGACTAGTCACGGTATCCGACATTGTGGCAGGGTAATTCATCTTAATTAGGATTCATCATCATGATGATGATGCCCGGCCAGTGCCAGTGGAGGATGCGTCCAAATCTTATTCGAAAGAATTACCCGGGATTACCGAGCCCTGGGGTGACTACTCTCTCGCAGGCCCTCGAAAAATCGGCATGATACTAAAGTATTACATTTATTCTTAACTTCAAGTTGGTACCACGGTACCGTGGTAGCTTGTACCAGCTTACACATCTACTGGTATCACGGGGCGGGACTAGTTATGGGGTGGGGGCATATTCCTCGATCGACCGAACTTGGTGAATGATGACAAAAGAAAAAGAGGCGCGACCAATAAGAAGCAGCGAAAGCGGAACTGTTCGCCGAATTAAACAGTACACACTGCTGACGAGACTTGGGCAGGGTTCCTTCGCCGAGGTATTTTTAGCAAAGTCAGACGTTGACGAAACCTACTGCGCCGCGAAAGTATTTGACAAATCATTATTAAGACGAAAAAGAACAATTTCGCGCACAGTAGAAGGTTTTAAGATCCATAGCGAGCTGGATAAGGCGCGTCCTCACCTAAGGCTCGATCATAGCCAACATCGCCCGGGAAAATCAGGTTGATAAGGAAATTGGGATCATGAAGAAATTGGTTCACCCAAACCTCGTCCGTCTCCTCGAGGTGAGCATCCTAGTGTTCGCCATGAGTAGTTCTCCAAATTGTAGGTAATTGATGACAAGAAAGACAACCAGCTATTCCTCTTAATGGAGTTTGTGGAGCTCGGGCCAGTCATGAAATACGATCGTGAAACGAACAAGTTCACATCTACAGTGACGGGCGGTCTCTGTGAAGAAAGACTTGCGGGCCAGTATTTGCTGGATATTGCTTCTGGGCTTGGATATCTTCACCTTCACCATATTGCCCACCGCGACCTTAAGCCGGACAACGTCCTTCTCGGTAAACTTGGTCGCTGTAAAATTGCAGATTTTGGTGTGGCTCATTACTTTGAGGAGGACCACGCAAATGACAAGTAGACTGTCGGCCGCGTCCTTTTTTCTTTCTCAATCCTTGATAATTTTATTTGGAATAGAACCCTATCTGTACGATCCCTTGAGAGGTCTCACAGCCGGGCGCAGATTCGAGATACCCAGGGCACTTACTGCTTCTGGGCCCCGGAGATGATCCAGGCCAGTCAACTGCGTCTCTGAGTATTAAAAGCAACACACTCAATTTTTTTAATTTAGGGTGACAAAAAGTTCAATGCATATTCCTGTGATATGTGGGCAGCAGGCGTGTGCTATTTTATATTCGTGACTGGGAAGTTGCCCTTTTATGCCGAATCACCTGTCGAAATGTTTGATTTCATTGCCCAAGCGTCTCCTGTAATTCCGAACACCCTAAGTAATCACAGCAGGCGGGTCATCTTTGGCCTTTTGGCAACTAATATTGACACGCGACTCACTGTCCAAGACTTGCAGTCTGATCCCTGGCTAAAAAGCACTGAACTACATTCAACAGCCAATGGCCCTGATAATCTCCACCTCTCGGCTGGTGACATTCATCACGCATTCCCAACAATGACTGTAAAGCAAAGAATGTCAGTTTGTCTAAGTGGTGCTAGGAATTCCATTGCAAGTACACTTAGTCAAGCCAGCGAGGCTTTCCACCAGATACGCCGCCGCAGCTATACCTTTCAGGGCAGCCAGACTGGTCCGAATGAGTAGATTTAGACCCAGGTGCTACTTAGGCTATCCTGAGCAAGTATCAGGCCTTAGGATATCAGAAGAGTTACGTTAAAGCAACATCCATGTAATGCCCTTCGTCAGTCTCCTGGTAACAGGACGGGTGAGTGACCGATCGGCGAGTTCTCGCTGTTCATGAACTGCAGCCTACAGGGGACTGCTCAACCATTGTGCGCACTGGTTCGGTCCCCATGGATATATCGAGCCCCATGGATAATTTGGCGCAGGAACTCTGGGGGTGAATGTAGCCCGGAGAGATACGTCGATTTCCGGCCTCGAACCACACCGACTACGACTCGACTACATAGATATCTGAGGCACCGCTCAAGCGGTTGACCGTGCCCACTGGATTACAATCCTTGACTACTACAGGGGAAATTACAGGGGGGGCAGACCAAGATTGCTCCACTCACACCACAGCGGAAAATCCAAACGCATAGTCCAAACGCATAGAACAGACACAGCCCCGACGGGAATCGCGCCGTGGGAGCTGCCGACGTAGCTGCCGTGGGTGACGGTCGCGGCGTGCATGTGGTCGGCGGTTCGGGGGCTGTTGAGGACCGAGGGGGCAGCCCGGAGACGCTAAAATCGAGCCTGAGTCACCCATATAAGTGCTCAAACCGGCCTTCAAGTTATTCCGCTGCCGCAAGCGCTTAAGCGACTTAGACAAGGCAGCCACAACACTTTGCCACTGTCGATTCCACTGTCGATTCCGCTGAAACACTAGTTGGCGTCCTCCTGAGCCGTGACGATGCGTCTCTTCGTATGCAGCCACTAGTAAGAGCGATATTAAAAAAAACGTACTAGCTTTACATCAGCGCACTAACGGCCTTGCTCGAAATGCGTCATCGAAGAAGGCGCCGACGTGGAAGGCGTGATGAAATCCTGTTCTGTGCAACTGATTGCAAGCGCTGGCACAGTGTCATGCATGTCATGTCATCATGGTATTTCTAATATCTTTTCAGGTATGAGTGTATAATTGAAACCGCGCAACATCTTGGATGGCGCATTGTAAGTGGGCGTGAGAAAGACCAGAAGAAAAGCGTGACACCTGAAAATTCGGAAAGTGAGATTTGTAACGTGTACTGGATTGACATATCAAATATCGCCGAGAGAATGAGCAAACTGCGACCATGGCAGCGAATAAACCACTTCCCGGGGATGAGCAATATTGCACGCAAAAACAGACTGGCTCAAAATCTCGAAAAAATGCGGCGTGGATTTCAAAAGGAGTACAATTTCTACCCTCGAACTTGGGTTCTTCCTCTCGAACTGGCCGATTTCCGAGCACAATTTGATTCGAATGGACGATCATCGCAATTTTATATCATCAAGCCAGACTCTGGATGCCAGGGTCGTGGTATATTCTTAACACAGAACTTTGAAAGTATATCGCCATTAGAGCAGGTTGTGGCTCAACACTACATACGAAAGCCATTCTTAATTGACGGATTTAAATTTGACTTGCGTTTATACGTGCTTGTAACTAGCTGCAAACCGCTTCGCGTCTATCTTTTCAGGGATGGACTCGTCAGGCTATGCACACAGAAATATTTAAAACCAAATCCTGGTAATGTTGCTATGCGCTGCATGCACCTTACTAATTATGCAATCAATAGACATAGCGAGAACTTCCAAGGTAACGAAACCTTAGGGGCTTGCGATATTGGATCAAAGCGTTCATTGCGATGGTTTATGGATTTCCTTGCCAATGAGAAGGGGCAGAGAAGATCGGATGCCCTGTGGAGTCGCATGGGGGCAATGGTCGTCAAAGTGATATTATCAATCTTACCGACCCTGGTACGAGAATATGAATCAACTTTTAATAAAGGTATCAGAAGTGAGCCAAAGCAAACTTACAATTCAACTAGCTGTGAGAATCAGCTAGATCACCATCCACAAACTATTGAAGGATCACAGTGTTTTGAGGTTTTGGGTGTTGATGTTATCATTGATCAAGCCCTTAAACCATGGCTCGTTGAAGTTAATCACCTTCCATCGTTTGCTACTGACTCACCGCTTGATTCAGACATCAAAGCACGAGTCATTGAGCAAACCATGTCGATTGTCCGAGCAAAAGCCAGTGACCGCTATACTTATGAGAGAGAAGAGCGCTCCAAAGCTGAGGCACGGTTGTACAGCAACCAGTTTGCTACAAACAATTTGATCTTGGCACAAGAAACTCAAGCATCTAAAGTTGCGTGTCGTATAGAGGTTATACTAGAACGCCACGCCCCAGAGAAACTGGGCAAAATAAATGCCCTCCTTCGCAAATATACAGGAAGGGAGGTCAAGCTACTTCATCTCATCGAACAAAAATATCTAGAGAAAAAAACGAGACAACTGCCAACCAATCTCCAGGAGTTTCGGCAGCATTATGTAGGAAGCGAGGAGCACACTAGCCCGAATCTCACGGGGACTAATAAACAGCCGTTTGAGCTATTAAATGAAGATAAATTGCCTGTTGCCAGTTGCTCCGAGACCGATAGTGGTGTCGAACTCGAAGACAGACTGCTTGTTGACTTTGAACGAATTTATCCTGTGCCGCTGGCAGCAAGGATGCACAGCGATCACACCCCCAACTACCGAGCTTTGAAGAAATTCGTTTTCGAGCAGGATGAAAAGAGGATGAGGCGCATGTCGTGCCCACTTCGCCAGACTCGTAGATCAACACTGGATTCCCCAGCGGCCCTACCTCCATTGCATCGAGATTTGAAAGACGCAATAGAGCAGAAAGTCCCTTGGGGAGAACCTCCTCGTTGCAATGGCGTAGAGAAATCCCCTATTCCACGAAAGCCACTCCCAATGCCAGGAGAGAAGCAACTTCTTGCTGCTGATAGACTGACAAGGGGGTTTTCTTCCCGGCAGCAAGTCTCTGCGCCGTGCTCATTGGTGACAGGTGATCATACGGATCTGAAAGCCACTCAGGACTATGCTCAAAGAGTTGCAAGCACAGTAGCACATGCCAAAAAATGGCGCCGCAGGATGGACGACTCGCGAAAGCGGCAAAATTGCCAGCAGGTTGCTCTACAGCCACGAACTTTTGTGTTTGCACGCACTTCAGACACTCTGCGTGATCCTCACCTTCATATTACCAATTCAGGCACTGGGCTTAAAGACACAGCCACACACAAGTGAAGCCGACATGGTGACGCAAACACACTCGTAGAGTACGTTAAATCTGATTGATTGAACTAGCTGCCCGATGTAGAAAGACCTGTACATGATCGCCTACGAGTAATTGATTTGGACATGATAGTATTAGAATGATGGTCCAACTGGCATGCCACAGATAAGTTTGCATGATTATACCCCCAAAAGACTTAACCAGGAGCTGATCGCATACTCCGCTAGAAGGCCCAGATGATCAGTAGGTGAATCAGCCTGGCGAAGTGAAGGATCTATAATCTTGTCTATAATCTTGCCCTTTTTGCAGGAACTCTTAGTCCTGCCCCTTTTCAGTCGCAGCCGCAACCGTCCTAGTTGCTACAAGAACATTGGCATAATCCTGCGGCACCCGTGGTGACTGCCGTATCCTATAACTAGACGTCTTGGCCGCGGGTAATTCGAGCCTAAGGGGCCTGCTTACCTCTCCAGGACGTGACTGAAACGGGCAAGCGGAACGATTTGGTCTCGAAATTTTGGTGGCTTACGGACGTGGCGCCAGCGCAGCGGCGTTTCGTGCCGCGCCAGGCTACCTATCTGGCAGCCTATCGGGTACCCGGCCGCGCTTGCGCATCCGCCCCACGCCATAGGTACCCGAGGGCCCCTGGGAGACCAAATTACCAGCATAGAAAAGGGGCCTGACGCCAAATTGGTGAGATTTTCAATTGATAGCCCGAACCAGCAACTTGCTCGTTTGGTCCCAGGGGCATCCTAAGCACACGGCGATACTAGCTTGCCACGAGCCCCCCCGAGATGGGGTGCGGGTATTTAGCTTAACTCGCGGGTTTTCAGGTGGTGAAAACTCGCTTGCTTCTATGCTGGTGATTTCCCCGTCGAAGCCCACCATGGCACCCGCGGCGTCGGTAGGATGCGCAAACACGGCAGCTCTTAGTGAGAACTGCCCAAACAGTCGCCTAGCGCGGCGCGAAACGCCACTGGCGAGACGTTCGCCGCAACGGTTCGCGCGGGGGCCCTTCCGGCCCCTCGCATTTTCAGGGCCCCACACTCTGCCAGAATGTGAGGCACCCCCTGAGGCCCATTCGTAGTAAGTTGCGGGGTTCGGGCTATTAAAGGGGAGGCACCACAGCCCCGTACATAAAAGTGAGTTTTCTTTTTCAGAAGTTCCGCCCAGAGGCGAGAGAGAGAGAGGGAGAGAGAGAGAGAGGGAGAGGGAGAGGGAGAGAGGGAGGGAGAGAGAGAGGGAGAGAGAGACGCTTATTGAGCTGGCCCTCTAGAGATCTCTAGAGGCGCCTGAAATACCCGCACGTTAGCACCAGAATCTGATGGCAAAGCCCCTTAGACGGCGCGCGAGTACGCCCGGATCAAGATCGACGGCCTCCGGCTCGTCGGCGGCCCGGGCACGGCGACGACGACGCACGCTTCTACGACCGGCAGCAAGCTCACGTACACGCTCGCGGGGGACTCCCCCGAAAACCCTCCCCAGGCCAGATCCTGGCTATCCTATCCTACTGACCTACGCAACCGCAGGAACCAAAGCTAGCTAGGCCGAGGCCGTAACCCCAAAACCCGAATTGACTATAGTTATTTTTCAAGGTGGCCCCTTCCCCCCGGTCCCGGCGCCATAGAAAGGGACCCTTTGGGACCCCGTAGCCAGAAAATCGCCGCCACCAAGTGGCAGGGAACTCGAATGATCTCAGAGGCTCAGGCTCACTTGAAATTAGGGGGACTCCGAGTCGGACCCGCCGGCGAGCCGTTCGTGGTGGGCCACGAGCCCACCGAGAGCGAGGTGAACACGCAGTATGTCACTGAGCATTCTCTGGACCACGCAGTATGTCACTGAGCATTCTCTGGACCGACTCTGGCAGGTCACGTTAATCATAATCATATAATCCTGGTATTAATTCCATACCGAATTACCGCAGTAGGGCCACCATATTATGATACGACTCCGTGGGATGTGCTTGGAGCCCGCGTGAACTTCGCCCATCAAAAGCCGCTCCTGGCGGACTAGGACTAGGCTTGGGCCCGGAGGCATCACCGTACGGATCCTTGGCCTCTCTAAATATTTAATGAGGAGAAAACAGGGGAGAAACCAGGGGAGACAGGAGATTTTGGCTGCCTTCCTCCTTAATCATAAACTAGTTGATCATCTTATTGAGGATCTTGCCAACCCTACCCAAGTTCCACGTTGCATGGGCACATTAATCCTCCTGATTTCGGCTGCCAACGGATGTGGCGCCTCTAGGTTGCATACAATGCTGACCACCCGACTTCAACAATCTACCTTGCTGTGGCAAAGTATACGCGATCTGTTAGCTTTGCCAAATCGAGACTTGCTTTCATTACGCGCCACTTATTGTTTGGTATGCGAAATGTCTATCCTGAGTCCTAAGCTGCTGTGCCACAGCTACTCTCTTGGCATAATTCTGTGTATTTTAAAGTCTATGCGCAATAAATCAGCTCTCCTCGAAGCAGCGCATCAAACACTGGTTGCATTTGTTAAGTGCGCAGTAATTACCACAGGGACGCTAAAAAAGGAACTCAATGACTTCTTAACTATGGTATTTTGCGAGGACACAGTACAGTGTGATTGCTACCCTCGAGTAGCTATTGGACTCGTGTCCGCTCTGCGTGGTAGTAATAATATTGGAATATGCAAGTGCCAATCGTCATCCGTTTTGAAACTTCTCTTGTCCCAGACTCATTTCAGACAGGCGTTTGCAATCAGACTAGCTCTTGGCGAAATATGTCATACAAGCACAAGTTACACGGCCATTGATAGCAGAGTCTTGGTGCCACTTATATGGATGTTGTTTCATTCAGATCAACTAGTTGTGAAAATGGTTGCGACGAGCATAAAAGCCCTGCTTGATACACTAGTCGATTTGACTCACAGGAGTACTGTACCTGACCTCATAAGTGGGGGGGGGGTGCCAATCCTGTGGATGGCGAGACATGACCCTACCGACGACCCTACCGGATACTATCGCTGTTGCTCCCCAAGATCATTAGTATCACAAATTCTAGATTGCCTCCAATGCACGCTGAATGGCAGAAAACACCCACATTTCATGTTCCAAAGGGAGCAGGTAAGCAGACTTTTTGTTTGCACAAAGATTGTCCAATTTGATTCACAGGCGACAAAATGGTCATGCAAAAACACAAATATCGCCCTGACTTTATTATTGATATCTTCTAGCACGCCGGTGTTGCTCGACACACTTAGACAGTTGTCGAACAGCCTCTCTAGTGATGTACAGGTTATCCGTGTTCTTTGCAGATTGTTAGTGATTCTCCCGCAATTCTCAAACAATCTAAATGTGGATGTACCTAGACCGCAATTGAATAGCCTGACAGTGCTTATCCGAACTGTCCAGCGAGATACCAAGATGATGATACCACCATCAAAGCTACTGGAAAAGTTTGATTTAGATATTCCATCTATTCTAAAAGGCACTTACCTCAGCCAAGGTGAGGTTTCAGTTCTCTGGGGAAATTATGAAAGCTGGGAATGTTTAATTTCCCTTGCTTCCTGCCCTCTTGAGCTAAAAGACGCTCGAGAAACAATAAACAGACTCCAAACGTGCGAATCAATCATTAACTGCGTTAATTTGTCACCTTGATGTGTGCATCGTGAATCATAGGCTCTCGCCGAATTTAGTGCTTGATGCTCTTAGTATTGCATGTTGCCATCACTTTTGTTTACCGAGACATGCGTATTTGACTATGTTCTCCAATAGTGGGGGGAATTGCAATTCTGCAGCGGAAATTGTGCTTTCTGCACTCAAGTACGGTGCACCAAATTTGGCGGTGGGTGCCCATGGTGCTTAAATTCTATGCTGATTGCAATTTGTTTTGTTTAGGTCAACATGTTCAGTACTCTCGTGGATTCGTGCGGCAATTCCACTGGCGACGTATTATCTGTGTGTACAGCTGCATTTTTTTTCATGTGGTTAGCGCAACCACCTTTAAATAAAACGACACTCTCGGTGCCTGTCCGCACGGGCTAACTGCACAGAGCGACAATTATCGATACCCATGGTCAGGGTTGAACTCACGAATTTTGAGCGGACTGTACAAGAAAAGTGCGAGGACCCCGAGCGAAAGGCATGAATTCGCCTCCTTGGACTTTGTCCGGCGATGCGGGCGCACCTGCTCGCGAGTTGTTCTCGTCTGAATCACGGTGACGAGCGACCGGACTAGTCGTAGCCGTTTTTTTTTTTGTAAACACGACCTGTACTTGCTACGCGCACAGGTCATTCGATTTCTATCTACAGCACTGAGTAAAGCTCAAGCGAAAAAATCGGACTTCATTCGACCCAGAGACTCTTCTGAAGCCCCGGAATGGTGCAAAAAAATCATAACCTTGGAAATTCCTCTACGCGACCGCCCAGTTTTTATCGCGTTCCCCATGCTCGCGTACGGCACGGGGCAGCAACCGGGCGCGCGTGGAGGTTCTAGGTACTCGTCTGCGCCATGCTTAAGACGCGTGCGCCGAAAGGCAGCCATCTCGGCAGTCTGCTTAGGCAGTCTGCGAGTGCCCGAGAGATGCTGCTCTCTGCGAGGCCCTAAATCGGTGCACGACCGCAAACACAGATCTGCAAATTGTTACTAGTACTAGTAGAGAAGCGCCCGACCACCTAACACAGCAACGCACCTCAAACAGACCACCAATTTCCCGTCGCCACATGCAAGCCAAGACATGGCTCAGGACGTTAGTTGTCGGCTCAGCCTGAGGCTTAGACAGACGAGGGGATTCCCTCAGGCTTTGAGCCATATATAGATATGGCCCAGTGGGACGATAGGAAATAATTCTTTCGTAAGTGCCCCTTGGTTTATTTACACATCTACAAGGGCTCCTTGGTTTTGGGCGGGGTTTTTACGGTTTATATAGCCAGTTTCTTGGGAGGTATAGTAACTTGAAATAAAACCCGGCCAACTAATATTGATTATATATATATTGTTATGCCCTTGTACTCACTCATCAGAAAGCAGGTTTTTATCATTCGGAACCTGCCCCTCCGAATCATAACGCCAAACGACGGACTCTGCAATTACTATTCTCCTTCTATCAATTTCGAAGTCCCCACGTAGTATATATATTCACAGGGGGTCATGCCAGTGAGTCCTAATTCAAGACGAACGAACCCAGTTTCATATTCGAAAAAAGCCTGAGAATGTACTCCGAGGGGGCCGGCTGTCTACGCTAGCCGCCTGAGTTGTACTATCCCAGGCCAGGCCCTACTAATAATACCAGAACGGGCGGGGGTGGGGTGGGGGGGGGGCATTGCACCACCCCCATCGTGCTCGCTGGCCCTCACGCGTCAAGGTAGAGGTAGTCATTGACTAGTTATAGACGACAGACAGCCAAAACCCCACAGACTTCCACAAACGCGCTCTGCTGCTGGGTTCGACGTTTCTTTGGGGGGTCAAGTTATATTTAAGAATGCGGAAAATCGGTAATTCATGAGCTACTAATTAAAAAAAAAAGTGTACTTGGAGCCATAGCAAAGTGACCGTGTAGTCTTGTGACTCCCGATGTCGGAAAAAGCTAGCCGCTTTGTTTTGGGAAGCCCAGTCAATGAATCTTCTGTTTTGGGAAGCCCGGTCAATCAATCTTCCGCGGCCATCGCGAGCTTTTAAAACCTATCATTAGATTTTGAACCGTTCACGGATCTGCATCGTCGCCGTTAGGACTACTTGCTCAACCTCTCTGACGACCGTTTCTGATCTTGTCGCTAATTTTTCTTCCCACATATACGACTGCAGGCGATGGCGAGGTAAGCCCACTCACGTTTCCTCCCACTCACGAGACGGGCGGCCGGCAGATTCGACTTTCGGCGCTCAGCGACTTGATAAGGAATTATGACGCGGCTTGATGTGGAAATTTAATATAGAGAGAGATCTAGCAGGCGATCCAGCAGACGAAGTAATGATTTCGACGCGGCCCAGGTGAATCAGCCATTGCACACGCTCCAAGACCGCTCGGGCGACTTGCCAGACCCAACAAAAAAAAATTTAAGGGGGGAAATATTTCTAAGAGCTCGTGGCTGGATCCTTGGTTGGTCCTAGCTCGCCATCGACGCCTGTTGGGGATTTCTGGCACAGAGCGCTTCCTACGCCAGGGCAGCCTCCCGAGGTGACAATGGGATTACCAGGCCAGCTAGCTTACTGTTGATCAAACAAAGGATTTGTGGATCAATACGCCCCCCCCCCGCTGCGGTTTTTTTTTCGGTCACCGAATTCGTCTTCATTCCATGCTGCAGTAGGCTATATAGTAGACGGGTTTAGGAAGTCGCCAGTTTAGATGGCTTTCCCATGAGCAAAAGTGTTGCTTAATAGAAGGGGTGGTCATTTTGTCAATTAAAAAAGGTAAACAGGACATTAGAAGACCCGGCAATCAAGGTTGCCCTTACGTGTTACTAATCGCAGCAAACCTTTAAAAGATACTAATCGAGACGCGGACGGAATAGACAACCGATCTTGCACCGCGCCGCGTGCCCGCCTCTGCATCTCTGCTAAGTATGTTAGTGGATTCAGTGGATTCTGGCAATTTACTCATCCCCGTGGGAGTCGACTCTACCACTTAGCAGGATTGCATGCTGCATTATTATCCAGAACCGCTGCTTTTTGAAGCATGAGGTACGATGCGAGGGAAAAGCCAACTAACTGCCAATAAAAAATTCAAGAAGCGAAAGGTCCACGTCGAAACGCCGAAAAACATTGAGTCGGCTACTCTCTCGACGCTATGATACCTACGGCCCGGGCACTTCAAGATGACCGTAGCCTCGCCCGGTCGAACCAGGGTGAACCGCGCGCGCGGACCGGGGCGGGAGGATAGATCCGGCGCGGCGACAGGAGGCATCAGACTGAAGGGCTGCAGCGTAAAAATACCTAGCGTCCAAACGGGCTTCGGAGATATAAACTCGTCTATGTGTACATCGCCTGGTACACCACGAACTTCGCATTGCCCGCAACGGCGGTCGTAATCGGAATCCGAAGGCCGCTGTGGCAAGCCAATTGGATTAGGGTAGACCCCACCCCACCCCGGGTTGACCCATCCGCCATGAGTCCTAATTAAGATAAATTACCCTGCTAATCTTAAGACTCCTTGGAGACTTCGAATTTTATAGGGGGTCAAGCAAATAGTCGACTTTGATTTTGATTTTGTGGCGCGCATTGCGCGTGCAGCCACGCGCCGGCCAAATGGCGGGAAACTTGTGCTGAGGCGCAGGTTCCATATGCTAAGAATAATAGGCTGCAAAAGTTCGGTACCATGCGGGCAGCCTCGCGCTGAGAAAGCAGCTGCGACGCGGTGCGAGGGTCCCGGATAAACCCGACCCAACATCGCCACGTACAAATTGAACCATAATTACGTTATTGCCTAACGTTGCCTATCTATATAGGGCTCAAAGAGGAATTCCGTTGCTAAGCCGGGGATTGGGTGGAACCAGAATTTTCTCCAAATCAGGCAGGAACATACTAGTACTGCCTGCTAGCAACGCCAGTGTTTTGTTTGGTAGGAGGAGGAGGCTACGTCATCAAACACTCTACAAAAATCGCACTTTGTTGGTCACTCGATTCATCAGGTGTTACGGACTAAGGACAAGTGCAACCCGCCAGAAGCCACAATCGGCACAATCGGCGGTGCTGTACTACGTATCAACCCGCGGCGGCAAAGAAACCAACTTGGCAAAATGATCGGGGGCGGGCAGAGAGCCTGAGGGAGGGGATTCATCCTTCACGGCCGCCGGCGGGTTACCGAAGTCATCATCATTATGTGGATCATGATTTTTGAGAGGTAATGCGGATCGGTCCTAAAATCCGCGTGCGGGCTCTGTGGTGTTAGATACAGCTCGTATGCGACTCGGATATATATCTGCCATGGCTGGGACAGAGGAGATGGCAACAGATGATGAAGTCGCTGAGTGAGCATCGTACTATACGGTGCGTATTGACACAGGACGTATGCCCGTGCACAGATGTCATCGCCACCCACAGCAGCATTGCGCTATACTAACACCTGGGGCTCGCGTGGGGCGGACCCATGCCCGTGATTCGCACAGACGGAATAGCATGGGCGCCTGAGACGCCAGCTGCGCGGCATGCAATCGCGGCACGGCTCGCGAAGGACCCCACTGCATGCGCCGCAGCACCACCGAGTGCTCGGCTTGCTCTTGTCCTTGCCAGGTGTCACGCGCTCGAGGCGACACGCCGTGCGCATGAACTAAAGGGTGAGGCCTGGAGATCGGGGGGGATCAGCCCGAGTTTTTCATGGGTTGCGGATGCCCGCGACTCAACCTCTGACGCACCTCCGCTCCTTGACGTGCTTATTCGGCTCCGTATGCGTGCAGTTGCCCTCTGTCGCCTCTGCCACGGAACGGCAGCACCCGATACGCTCGAGGCACTCCTTGACCTTGCGCGCGCATACGCCGCGTCCGGACTTTGGTTACAGGCGGAAGCACACGCAAAGCGAGTGGTCTCGCTGCTCACTGAGACGCCGGCTCGCGTAGATGATGGCAATGATGTGGTGTCCATGGCAGATGAAGCCGCTGCCACCTCGGTTCTTGGACTGTTCTCGCGATTAGCATCAATAGCAGCAGCAGCAGCGCATCAGAGCCGCGTGCCATGGCATGCATTGGTCACCATACTGGCCAACGCCGGCGAGCCGCGCCTCGCCGAGCAGCCCTGGGGCGTACTCGAGGGTGCGGACGGCTTCGCACGGCGCCCAGACGTGCCAGGTGGCGACCTAAGCTGGGCTGGCGTGGTTTCATTTCTCCGCGTAGCGCATGGTGGTTTTGCAGCGGTGACGCGGCGCCTAGAGGCTGTTGCACCCACGCACGATACGGCTGCACTAGATCATGCTTTCCGTGCAGCGGTGGTCACGCCGGGCGCAGGTGCAGCGTTTGCCGCCCCACTTCGAGATGCTGTCATCGCATCATCATCTGCGGCAGCTGCCCTGGCCGGCTCAGGCTTGGCCGTGTGGCTCTGCGCGCGAGTGGATGCTGATGCCGCGCGAGGAGCTGCAGCTGCACCTGTCACCTGGGAGGAATGCGTTGCTGCTCTTGTCGCCTGCCCTTTTCCCGTCTCTGTAGGTGGTACTACCTCTCTGTCACCTCGTGCAGCCGTACAGCGCGTGGCCAACCTCCGCGCACGCGCACACGTGTTGTGCGGTCGAGCACACGCGCGCCGCGGAGAGCTCGCTGCGGCTGCACATGTGCTCCGCTCCGCACTTCATGCGAGCAAAAATGCGGACCGGCCCTCGGGAGCGGTCGCTGCTGATGCACACGCGGCGCTCGCCGATGTTGCAGCGTGGATCCGCGTCTTTCACATCCACACGTATTTCGGCAAGTCTCCTGCGCAGGTCGCTGCGTGCGCAGTCTCACGTCGCCGCGGAGATGTGGCTTTGCAGTGGATTGACTCAGAGGCAGAAGAATTCGCGGCTACTTGCGAGTCTAGACGCCACCACGCCAATGGCACTACTGCGGACGCAAAGGCTGATGCAGAGTGGACGCCCGACGTACGCGCAAAGGCTTCGGTCACCGTGCGCCCGACGTGCTCCGGCAGCCCTGGTGCAGCTCGTGATCCGGCCGCCACTGCCGCTGCTTCACATCTAGAGCGTGCCGAGGCTGCCTCCGAGGTAGTCTACGGCCGTGTTACAAGTAATTTCGCCGCTGCGCTCGTGCTGGCTGCGCGAGGTGCATTAGCTGCGGCAACTGGTGATGATAAGGCTGCATGTGATACTTTCGCCCGAGCAGAGGTGCGTCTTGGAGCTGCAGGTGCCCCCGCACCTCGCGCAGCCACGAATGTGCGACTTGCTCGCATTCTCCGTCGTTATCCATCTCGTCGGCACGAGGCAGCGCGGCGTCTTTCGGCCGCGGCAGTTTTTTACAATGGATGCGCGGTTGCGGCGGCGGAGGTAGCGGCCGCCGCTGCAGATGCTGCAGTCGTGGACCGCGCAGACACCGCGCGTACACAATACGCCCGACTCGCCTCCACATGCTGGGCAGAGGCTGCTGAAATTCTTCGCCGCTGCGGTACAATCGCCAACGGCCCTGGGCTCACGGCTTGTGTCGACGCCCTTTGAAGCTCCATCGTCTGCAAGTTAGAAGATTAAGGAAAAATATGCCTCAGGCGCTTAGAGCTTGTAGAAAGAGCTTGTCGCATTTTAGCCTGAGATGATGATATAAGTTGTAATGAAAATTACACCAGTTTTTCGATTTTAGAGGTCGATTAAGCCCTATTTGCTGCGCTCATAGGACAATCGACCTCTAATAAAAAAAGGGTAGTGTAATTTTATAAAAAAAGGGTGGTGTAGTAATCATGATTTTCATTACGACGTTCCCCGGGCCTCCCCCGACCTTACCATATGTTGATTTTAGAATCTTAAGATTTATATTTATGACGTATGACTATATATGTGTGAGTCCCCTGATGATCGGAGGGGACTTGCGCTGACTCTTCGGTCTCGGAGCCAGCAGTTGCTTGGTCGCTCATTTTATTAAAATGCTAACAAACGGCTGCCAGTGGGCTTTCTATCCCAACGAGTGAAGTGTGGACACTCGCGAATGTGTAGGATTTCAAAAGGCAATACGGCGGAGTATCTCTTAGGACCGTGGGCCCATAACCTGCGAATAATGCAAGACCAAAGGAGTACGCGCCTTTGGGAGTACGGCGGCTGAGATAGTCTGCCGCGGAGCTACCTTAAAATACACTAAGTAGTTTTGGTTTAACTGTGTTTATTACGCCTTGCGTGTTGAAGGGTGATGTAAGTGTATAGGAAGGGTATAGGATAAGGGGGGGTATTTCGCCCTGTTTATCGCACACTGATTCAGCCTCGGATTTACGAGTCCCGTGCTGCCAGGTCTCCCAGTGGTCTACCCCGTTGGTATTAGGATTTAATTGCGTGAAGAAATGCCCCCATACGCGTGTTCTTAGTCTAAGGGGGAATAGGGAGGCGGGGTAAGAGGTATCTTTCTCACGCTCCCCCACTCAGTGGCAGGTCCTGGATGTGTCAAGGTGCAGACTGTCATATTCCTGATTCATTTCACAGGCCTTCGATGATTCTGAGTCGGATGAGGACGAGCCAACAATAGAGATCAGAGAGACGCCAATGGAGACGAGCAAGGGCGTCAACCCGAAGTAAACCGCCGTGTGGTCTTTGGAGGGGCCTCGGCTTCCACGGGGCCGTATCCACGTCGTTTTCCCGTCTTACCTCTGCCACCATATCCTGCACCATCTGCCGCCCCCAGCACCCAGCTCGAGCGCTCGAGCGCTCCGGATGCCGAAAGTCATCCACTTTTCGGCTATTCATCATATTCTTAACCACTTCATATCTACATTTTCTATCCGTGTGAAGCAGAGGGAACAGGCGGCAAGCCCTGGACCATTCGATAAGCAGTGCCAACTAGCTGTTCTTCCCTGTGAACAAAGGGTGCAAGAAACAGGACTGACCCGCCTCTGTTGTTTAGTTCCGCGGGCGAAATCATGATCATCAAAGGAAGCGCGAAAGCAACGAAAACAGAAAAAGCCAGGTACATCAATGCATTCCAAAAGCGCAATATTTTGAAGACATTTGGTGCATCGACGGTATCCTGAAGGCTTGTTCCACATACGGAGATGCGCTTCATTAGGGGACATGCTCCACTTCACAAAGTACACGCGATTATTCTCATTTACAACAATATAGTCTTGCGGAGCATGAAGCACATTCGACCCGTGTCGGGGGGGGGTCCAGGTGCACTCACCAGTATTGTGGTTGCAATAGTACCTAAGAAGAAATTAAATCATTTGTTGGTTGGAGAGTACTTGGCGCGCTGCTGAGCGACAGTTTTCTCTCTACAAGATTTGGGATGACCTCCACATGGTGCCGTACTTTTGCGATGAATAATAGCCTGGCGCTTACCACTCGCCACCAGCACTGAAGTTTCGTTGCAACAATGGCATGGCGTGCTGCATTTCGCTTTTGCCGCCGTGCTTGGATCTTCCACATCAACCTTCCCTGTTCTCTCCTTGATCTGAAACTTCGATACATTCGTGTCATGACCACGCTAGCATAGTCCTCTTTAACACGAGTCCAGGCCTAACAAGAATTCATGATTTTTAAAAGTTGCAACACGCTGCTAGCCCAGTAGGCAAAATTACGAGGGCGCGTTCTCGCCGAATGTGATTGATGGCCTCTAGCTCCGTTTCAGCGATGAAATTTGATTTTGTAATCTCCATTAGCTTCGCATCATGCATACGATGCTCGAATACTAATTCACTCGTTGCTAGGTTGTGGTAACACATAACATCCTGGGCTGGGTCAATGTACATTCGCCATGGCGACGCAGAAACACCATTATATTTATGAACTTGGTGTAGTGCATTTTCAAGCTCTTCGACACCCAAATAACCATCATTGTCAGCATCCAAAGTACCAACGACCACACGAATTTGCTCTGGAGACAGGTCAATTGGCAAGTCTCGAACTAGCGATCTGAATTCATCATGAGAAAGAAAACCGCATGAACTTTCAGCATACTGCTGAATCAAATGCCCCATTACGATTCCTTTTTGGAAGAGCACTGATTCCATCTTAATAAGCACAATCGAAGTTAAAGATTTCAGTTGGGCTTCGCGATTTATACTTCTCGGCGTGGGCGGTTGGTAGAACTCTCGCTTGATACGTTTGAATGCCTTCGACACGTGACTCTTGGAGGAGCTGGAGTCTAACCATGATAAAGTTGCTCGTTGATGTTCTTTGATGTACGAGTTTTCTAGCGCCTCCCATGCGGCCTTGAAAGCTGCTGCACGATCTTCTTTCTCTTTCGCTATGCGTTTCGCTCTCATGTCTTGTTGCGTAGCCAACTTTATGCGATCATCTGCGGCACGCTCTGCCTGTCGCCTACGTTGATTCCAGGCCAGCAAGTTCATTTTTACTGAAGCTGCTTTTTGTTTTTTATCTGCTATAGCAGTCAGCCGCGTATTCTTTGCTGCTTGCATGACAAACATATTTGCTTTCTCCGCTTGCTTGATCACGGATGCCAACCAGATCTGCTTGTTGATAGATTCCTCCTCTCCAACCCTAAAACCCCTAACGGCTCGAAAGTGAGCAATCCATTGCTTGAAGATCCGCCTCCTGAGGTATCTATGCATTAGTAGCCCGGCTTTTTCCCATTTCATGACATTTGCAATCCAACTTAGCCACCGAATCATTGCTTTACGGCGAAAGGTGGATATCATGGTATGACGGAGAATGAAGGCACCATGCGCAATCTCCACAGAATGACTTTCAAAATTATCTGAAATTTGGCGAAGACGCCCCTTGCTGCAACTGTATCGATGCCATTTAGTCCTAAATACACGGCGCATAATTGCACGTTCACCAAGGACAGCCGCAATATGCCTCCGTGCGTGTGATATACGTTGCTGGGTAGTATAAGAGTGCCACCACAGGATAGAGGTCTTGCACTTGCGGAGAGACACCGTCCTCTGCTGGAGTTGTATGCGAGTCACCCCTTGATGGAACTTGCACCATGCACCAAAACTACAGCGCAATGAAGACAGATCTCTAAAAGTCGTGGCAGATTTGACATTTATTTCATGTGCATATTGGCAAAACCACCTGGCTGACGCATCCTCCCGCGACTGCAAATATCCCAACTTTGAAGAGTCTGGAAGCTGGTTCCATAATTGCAGTCTAAATGCATCAATGATATTCGGGTGAACCGCCAAGAAGCTCTGAAATCTAGACAGCTTAACAAATCGAGGTAAGTGGTGAGTAACCATCAGCATGCGCGAGATTTCTGCGCGAGTCACAGCTGCTATAGAAATAATGCGCACCACATCACTCCGAACAGCGCTTCCTCCCGGCGCTGCATACAGCTTAAAGAATGAGAAAAGCAATCTGCTTGGATTTTCATACACATGCCTGGTGTTTTCAAGTGCATAGAGCGAGCATAGCAGCTCCCTCAAGTCGAGCTGACCAGTTGTTATACTGAGACAATGATATAGCCGTGTCAAGCAATTGCGAATTTCTGGTTGGCGCTGACAGCCTAGGCTATTTGAAATCGCGCTTACCTACGACTTTTCTATATACACTTATGAGTCAACTCTGATACGCTGTTCAAAACAAATAAACCAGGTTTAATAGTATGGTAATCTCCCTCCACTGTTGCCGCCACCTCCCAGAAAATGTTCTCTATGCAACTCCCTGGATGCGAAGTTGAAGGCCGGATTGATAGCAGCTGTCGAAGTAGGTGCCATTTCTCTCGTCGGCAACCCTCGGTACTCATACAACTAGCGCTAAACGCTCTGGAGGCTCGGGGCTCAATCGCCTATTGATTTTTCTTGTCTTAGCTCTACGGCCTTTATGTGCTCATCAGGCTGCTCCAAACAGCGATGCGTTCGCCCACAGCAACGACACGCTTTTTGTTTGGTTAGGGCGATGCACTGGCGGCCGGCGCGAAGTACGCACGGTAAAGCAAAGTCTACGCGTTAGATTTTTGCGTCTACAACGGGGGCGGCTTGTACCTTCTACTCGTAGGTACCGTAGGTACCGTAGGTAGTTTACCTAGTTTATTACTGCGGTATAAATCACGCGCATAAACGTACTGAAATCTCGCGTAAAGATGCACGAGCGTACGAGCTCGCAGCAATGAAACGGGGTCAACTTAAAAGTGCCAGTCGTCCGAGTCCGAGTCACCGTCGACTCGGCGGACTCAGGCTCGGAACCCACGTAGTGGCGACGCGCCCGAGCCTGAGGCCCTAAGCGTGACCACTGGCACTGCCACTTCGAACCAAAGAGAAGAGGTCGAATATATTGTCTGGCACCCGCACAAAAGTAATTGAGGATGCCAGTGGCGGCCGCCGCGGTCGCGTGCGTTTGGGCCTTTTTATACTCGAAGCAGGGTTGCATCACTCAGCTGCTCGAATGCCCGGAAAGTGGCTCTGTGGTGCACCACAGCGGGCTGCGAGGCTGCCTGATGACTGGGGAGTTTGGCTCAGGCTGCCTCTAAAAATAATAATATTGAAGGGGAATTGACTTCAGCAGCTGTTGGAGCGCCAGCTGCCGAATCCCCGCATATGCCCGCCGTGGTGGCTGGGAAGGCATACAACAAAAAGTCCTAGACATTCAGCGCGATATTCGCCCTGCTTTTTGTCTCAGATCGTCGGCGGTCACACGGACGATGATATCCGACACTGCGGTGGCCCGATCGGCTCGAAACTGCGCCAAAAAAGGCGATCGCAAGTCTTTTTTCATGGTTTTTGGCCGTTTCTCGGCGAGAAGGGATTCGTTTGCTGCCGCGTTTTCGGCATTGCGTCGCCCGGCTGCCCGCGACCACGACGTAGACTAAGTGTTTTGCACGAGGATGCCCGCGCGCTGACGTACACACCGTGACGGATTACAAGCTGTTCATCTTCCGCTGACTACCTGTAATGTAATGAAACTGCCTAGACAACGTTTGGAGGGGGGGGTCAAAACGCCCGGGCCTGCGACTCAGTCACGGTCGGACAGAGTGGCTGGCGTCCCAAAGGAAGGAACGTGACGATAAATAGTATCGGGCCCGGGTACATGCCGCAGTACAAGTACAAGCTGGTAAGCCACAGACCTACTGCGGTACGGTACCGTAGGTACCGCAGAACGTGCTAGTACCGCAGTTTGGTGCATGAAATGAAAATCTTTGAAATGAAGAATCAAGCGGCGGGGCACGGTGCAAACTGTCTGCGGCGCCAATGGTTGATCAAGTCGAGGTGGGTGAAGATAGAATATGAGTGACATAGAGACTGACATGCAGGACAACTTGAAACAAAGCGACTTGGCCAATGACAAATGACTTCGAGGTTAGGGCTGAGATGATTCTTCCCAAGTCTGACATTGCTCGTACGACACGCCGACAAAAGATCGCAGGGAAATATTCTGCCAGGTTTCCAGACGCGCTAGAACGGCAAATAGCTAGCAACGTCCCGTTCTCATTGCAAAATGCCGCGTCTGAAAAAAAAACTAACGGACCTCAAGTCAAGCGAGTTTCGATGCTCGATTGTGGAAGATTGTCACCATGTATTTCGAAACTTGTTGCTACAACAGCCACAGTACCAAAACAAAGAAAAAAGACTAATAGAATAGCACTGGCCCGTAATAAGCATGGACTCAAATTGGGAACGACCAGGCAAATTGGTGTATATCTCAGGCTTGAAGCAAGTTGAACACACACACTCAAAAAGCATAAATCATTTTCGTCATAACAATATCATAAATTAAATATAAATCTTAAAATTCTAAAATCTACATTTGGTAAGGTCGGGGGAGGGGGAACCCTAAAAATAAGTTGATGTCGGTTTTTGCATCACTTTTTTGATTAGAGGTCAATTGTCCTATGAGCGCAGCGAATAGGGCTTAATTGACCTCTAAGCATCGAAAAAGTGGTGTAAAAACCGACTCAACTTATATCATCATCTCCACTCAGTACTAGCTAGATAATGCTACTCCTCTACCCAGCCCTCGTCGTCGTCGTTAGCCTGATTACCACAAGTACCATCCTATTTAGGTCATATGATGACACCGAATATTAGGGTTGGAAGTTGCTCAACTCGGCGTCTCGACGATGGGGGGAGGGGGGGGGGGTGCTGTCTCCAATTACGAAAAGGCAGCTCGGATTTTCCCAAAAGGCAACTTGGGATTTCCGATGTTGAATGGCCCGCCAATGACCCGGGACTTGCCGACTCGACGTCGACGCGACTAAAAAAGGGGCACCTCGCGGAGTTGAATTCCGACCTCGGAGTAGCTAGCGATGGTCCCTCTAAGGTACTCACCATAATAATAGCGAAACTAGACGCAGCGGACAGGATGCTCTTGCTTGCTTGTCTACGCATTACGAGCACAGTGGTCCGCCGGTAGCCGGAAAATCCAAGCTGGTTCAACGAAAACGCTTTGCCTGCTCATCACATCGACGTTTGTATATTTTGATGTCAATCGAGTCATCGACGAGGAACCGGTAAAGATGGACAATTTTCCGCTGTCCATAACGACGAACACGCCCTATGGCCTGAGTCTCACACATGACGTAATTCTGTAAGGTCTTGACCTGTGTAAATCAACTTTCAGAGGGAGAAGAATCAAGATAAAAATGAGACTAGGGGAAGACTGTGCATCTTACGTGAAGTGGGTGCACAAAGATCACATGATTTGCAGCAGTTAGGTTCGCACCAGATGCAGACTCGTTGTGGAGTTCTAGAAGAAGTATGCGCTCATCATTCTTTCCCAACTTCGCTTTTTGAAATTTTGACATTATGGCCGACATTTGATGAGCTGTACCTTTTAGCTTCAGCGCTGGGAAACCCTCCTTAGTGAGGACAGCATGTACTTGGGTCAGGAGATCCTCAAATTGAACAAATATGAGGACCCGCTCATCCTTTGGGAAACCACTCACGAGATCTATGATTTCTGCAAGCTTGGCACCATGATGAGTGACCGCCTTGGCATTTGAGTTGCTTTCATTAAGGCAAAGCGATGCGCATTCCACAACAGAATGAGAGCGCACATTTGCGTGGCATCCAGCTGCTGGACATTCCTCTCGGGCTGCTGCTGCACGCATCTTTGAGGTTTCGCCAACATGACCGCAGCATGAAAAGATGGCTCGATTGGTGAGTGGAATCTGTACGTTAGTCGCCTGATCAGATGATGAAAACGGCTGTGAAGCAACAAACTCTCTTTGAGCTTGCTCGATGGCCCGAAAGAATCGGAGGGAACGTGTCCTGCCCACGTACTCTTTGTTCAAGGCTCGTAGTTCATACACTTGGTTTCGCAGAGCCCAGAAAAGCTCTTTGAGAGTGTCATCCCGTTGTTTTCTCACGGGAGCAGATTCGCCCTCAATAATTGGTTCAGGAAAGACAAGATCTACACAACGGGTTGCCTTGATGATCTCAGGACGGGTCTGTGCGTCTAATCTTCTTCTTACTTCGGGACTACGTACGATACCAGATGCAAATTCATGTGACTCGCCTTTAAGACTATGACTTGCAATGGCTAGGCCTTCGGCAGCCAGCGCAAGCAACTGGGCCGATGCATCACTGTCACCAATTCCCTGATTTAGCTCGTTCCACCACTCGCGCATATGTTGGTGACCCGTAAATTTATCGAATGGTTTGCCAGGTTTATCTTTTTTTTTGGTCCGTCCGCGAGCATTCTTTTCTCCATCAACTTGCCACATGCTGTTCCCGTGCTTTTTGAAAATATTATCACACCCTCGGTCTCCATTGAGAGGCCTGGACATACTCACTGCAGCCCAACGCCGAATCTCCTCCTCAACGCGATGTGCTGCAGCAACCTCCCTGACAATTTGAGTTGCACAATTCTCCAGCTCCGCAGCGCGCTTAGACACAACGTTAGAACAGGCTGTAACATCGCTGCCGTCGCCACTACTACCATTCATTATCGTATTGGGGGCCGAGGCTGGGCGTGCACATCGTTTCAGGAGCGCCTCCTCAGCATCGGCGCTCCCTTCCAGAGCCTCTGAAAGTCTGGTCTCCCGATCACTCTTATCACGGAATTTCTTCTTACCACGTGCTGCGGCCTTTACCTTCTGCATTTCGAGTGCATGGAGATGATGCTCAAGCTCTAAATACACAGCACGGTCCGGTGCAGGCATAACTACCCGTTGTATTGTTGCTTGAAAGCGAATCTCATCTATTTCAGCTACATTTTGTCTTACAAATCTGTCCAAAAATCTCTGTGCAACATCCTGGCGACGCGCATGCCACGACTGGGACTTCGCTTCCAAGAACTCCTGAAACAGCTCTGACTTGGACAGTTCCTTACGCGAATCAGTTGGACGATCACCTTTTTTGGTGAGTACCACAGGATTGCTCGCCCCAAGATGCACTCCCAAGTATGCTGCTATGCCCTTAACGTCATCGAAGGACTCGAGTGGTGGGGTGCCAGATAGAACCCACGAGCAACGTGCCTTGATGGCTTGTACAGTTGGAACATCACGATGGTCCAAGTATGTATACTCATCCACGACTTTTCGGGCAAAATAAAACATTTCAAGAGGTGGTGCCTTTGGACCAGGGCGCTTAGTGCGTACCGACTCCACCCTCGGTTTGACAAAGGCCTTTTCTTCTTGTTCACTATCATCCGACGAAAAGTATTCCACAACACTGGGCGATGACTTTTTTCTCTGCGCAACCTTGGATTCACGCGCCCCCCGCAGGGGCACCCCGCTCTCGTAGGCTTGCTTCTTACTAGTATTCACAGCTAGTGTCACCCTCAGGGATTTTTTATCAGCCTTTCGCATGGAATCAAGACCTGCTTGGCCAGAAGCTTGAAACGCGGAAACATACTTTTCTATGTTTTGGAGAGCCCGACTATGAACCTCCTCAAAGTACCGCCCACCCTTGCTCGGGAAAGCATGGACCGCGGCAAATTCAGCAAGATGATCAAAATACGCCTTTGATCTGAAAGTCTGCACCGACATGATAATGATTTCCGCATCGAGAACTTTTGGGATTGTAAGCCGCATTAGATCACCGACACTCATAATCGTAAGGCACTTGTAGCGATCACCGAGGAATTTTCTTAGCTCACTTGGCCACTGTGCCATGAGGTGCTTAGGTACGATAACGAGAGTGGCCTTACAGGGAATAGCCTTGCCCAAGAGGTGTGGAGGGAGCTCTGGGGCTTGGTCTCGCCACTGCGCGTCAATCAATGCAAGCGTAATTGCAGTTTTTCCATAGCCAACCGCATCTGCAAGCACACCCCCTCGGACCACAACAGGAATTTGCACACGAGCTTCTGCTCGCCAGCCAAGAACAGAAAGAGCTTCATCTACAACTTCTTCCTCAATAAAGGGCTCACATGTTGCCTCCATGCGCTGCATCCAAGTTAATGACCGAAGTTGTTCAGGCCGCAGTGCCGATGCTGCATTGCCAAAACCAGGAGTCTGGGGAGCCTGTTCGTCAACACGATTGCTACAAAGAGAAAATGAGCGAGCGGGCAGCATTGTCCTGCCAAAATTACTACTAACAATCCGAAAGTCAAGTTGGACCTTCCCTTCGCCGTCAGCTCGTGCCTGAAGGAACCGCGGGAGCGCAGAGAACGCCCGCACAGCAATGGCAACGGGATTAATGGCGATACGTAGAAAGCCGATATCAGCATTCTGCTGTTTTTCGCGTTTAGAATCTAGTTCGAAGGCGGCGGGTCGGTTTTTTAGCGCTCGCTCGTACTCACCTGCGAGGTATGGGTCTTCAATGGCGGTGAATTGATTCGATTTCCCCGCTACTTTAACCCAGCTTAGTGTTGGTGCTAGGGGAGCACATGTCGTGCAACATGGCAGTCCGGCCCGGACTTTGGCTGCAAGTCTGGACCCCCCTTGTACTGTCTGCCAGACAGAGAGTGCCACTGGTAATTTCAGTCGAGGTACCAGAAACCCTAAGGCCATCTTTGACGCCGATGCGACAGCACCACACGCGCCTACCACCCTCAGAGTGAGCGACTTCCACTGTTCAGGATGTACTGTCGATGCCCCCCCCCAGACAGGCGATACTGACGTCGCACAGAGATCCCCGAGATCGACTGCGATCTCAAGAATGGAACTTGCGTTCCAGGGAGAGGAAACGTTCACGGAAATGGCTGTTTGAACTTGCTCTGTATATGCGGCCGCATTAACCTGGGAAATATCAGCACTAATAGGCACCCAACGCCCCAAAATAGTTGATGTCTTAATCTCTGTAACATTGGCCTTATCTTTAGTACACTCAAGTGGGTGCCAACCTCTCTGGAGTGAGCACACGAGTGATGACCGTGCTTCGCGCAGAGCAAGACGTCGCCAGTCACGCGCAAAGACGTAGGTATCCAATGCTGCAGGACCAACAGGCTTGGATTCAAGAAAGAGATAAAGTTCTGGTCTGTCGTTTCCCAACCTCTTATGGAGGGAGCCCAAAGGCGCGGCACATTTATGCAGTAGCACATAACCTGCACAACACAGGGTTATTGCCGGTGAGACAAGGCCGTCGCTGTGTATTGAATGAAGGGAGAGGGGGGCACTAGTGGTGGGGCAGGTTAAGGGGAAACATAGACGCTGTTGTCGACGTCCAGATACATCTTCATCAAGATACGAGGCACCCTTCAGCACTTTCACATTGATATGTGAATAGCGTTGTTTGCCGATCATATTCTCATCTTCCATTCCAAAGGATGATGCAAACGATTCTACCACAGGCCCATCGTAGCTCAGCTCAAGGTCAATATCATCATCAATTGGCAGCCGCAAACTCCAGTTGGCATCCAAGAGGCTGTCCCCCGTACTCTCAACGAAACCGCGAAGAACTGCGAAACCTTCAAGCCGGTCTCGCAGTGGACCTCGCCCCCGAGGTGGCTCAACAAATGCATGCCATACAATTCCATATACACCTCCTAATGTCAGTTCAAGAACAAGGGCGCTTGACGCATCTGTGTATCGTACTTTCCAACATTCAACACATCGTCTCATCTCAACTAGACGAAAACTTGCTCTGTCAAGATGAGACACAATTTCAACCCATCTCCTCCAGACCTCATCGTCGAGGGCAGTTTGTGCGATAGCACCCATTTCTGACTTGCGTTTCTTGCTTGCAGGCAGATTACGAGAGAGGCCAGCAGTTTCTGGGCGTAATTTGCAGAGAGAAGCTGTCGACAAGCCAGAAAGAGTGACAATTGTTGGGAGTGCCAACCCAAGAGCAACCTCAAATTCCTCAGGAGATACCCGACCCCGACAATCCACTTTGTACTGAGTGTGTTCTGGTTTGCCTGCGCATGCCTCGCAAGCGCTGTGACCACAGGCAGTGCAGTAGAGAACCCTGGACGAAGAATTAGTCCGCTGAGCCTCGCAGACGCACCGCTTGGCGCTCTGGGAAGCGGCGTGAAGGACACGTTCCGCGAATGACCCAGCACCTTGAAAGTACTTTGGAATTGTTGCACCCAATTCCAGCGGCTCCCGAACCAGAACTTGCGATCTTACAACATTTGCATGTCGATCGCTACCTCGCGTGCTATGGTGTTGGACTGGATAATTAGTGTCCAAATGTCTTGCGCAGGCTTTTGAATCAACAATTCCTATGCGCCCAAGGACGCCCATGGGAAGTGAAAGAAGCGCAGCAAGAAGAGCAGATCCAACAACCGTCGTAGACATAGCGTTCCCGGAGAGCGAGGTGAGATTCTCTTCGGTCTCACGAGTGAGCAAGAGGTCATCAATTGGGATACCTTGCAGAGCGAGGGTCTCGACACCGACGACGGGCCGGCCCTGATTAGTGACGTAGGCACACAAGGAAGGCGTGAGACATGGACATATTCCCAGCTTAGCTTTGGTCGGGTCAGATCGATCTACATTTTGAGATAAATCCCACACACTTGTCTTGAAGTTTGCATCTTCGCGGCGCTTGACGAGGCGCATGTAGTCTATATCCATACTGTCGAGAACCCGCTCTGTTTGAGCACCCGCCCAGTCGCGCCAAGCGAAGTCCGGCAGAGATGCAGCATTCACGCCATGCACCCAGTTAGTTAGCGGGCGCTTTTGTCCAAGTTTTTCCTCAATACGAACTCGAGCATGTCGCGCCTCACACTTGTCCCAGGGCGTATCTTCCTTATCTTTCTTTTTGTAGCTGAGGTCTTCCCGCGCTGCCTGAACACGTGGATCGTGGGCGTCAAGCATAAAAGCTTCAAGGCTTGCGGATGCATTGCGTTCCATAGCGCGGAGTTGTCTTTCCCAGCGATGAATTACATCAGGCAATGCCACTTCGTCTGCAATGGCCAGAAGGTAGCCTCGAGTGCGAGTTTGAGGGAGGTAGTAATTCTTGGTATCAAGACGAACTGCTTGAGCACGGTAGTTGATTGCTTCAAAGTTTCGAATCATTCCTTTCCACGGTGCGCCACATACGTTCTCTAGAAGTACTAGAGGCGGCCGTGCTCTTTGCACCCACTCGAACATGCCATAGAACGTCTGACCAGATTCCCCTAACTGCTCTAATGTCTTCTTACAAGTGTTAAGATTAGAGTAGTCAACACATGACGTGCCGGCAACTAGAATATCCACGTCACCACGTTGACGCGGCACATTTTCAAGTGAACCAAAGGCCGTGTGTGCTTGCCTGCTGCCAAGTTCCCGAACGTCCCGAAATAGAAGAGGCGGTGCGAAATTACGTTCGATATAAGCCTGCTTGAAAGGTTCAACTTCACTTGAAAAGACGTGTGTAACTGCGAGGGGGCTCTCTTTTTGAACTTCACAGGCACGCGATACAAGTTCCAAGGCTAAGAGTGGGGCTTCTGTGCCACTGCACATAGTTGCAACTCGCAACGGTCTTTCCATTTTGCTCGCTAAGTCACTTATCTCGGGGAAGCGCCGGACAATATCTCCAAATATTTCCTCTGGTCGAGATAGCACAGGCAAGGATTCGTCTAGCCAATATCTGGATGCGAATTCTGTTTGATCAAATTCGGCATCCTGGTTACCTACTGCCTTTGAGCTTCGCTTTTTAGAGCGTCGCCTTTGGTCTGCTGTCATGATCCTGTCAAACGCATTCTGCTTGGGTTTCTCACCTTGTTTAGTCTCGCTTGTCTCGTTACATGCTTCATCAGGTCCATCGCGGCACTCTATCGGCGGAATAGGAGACCAACCCGGGATATCCTTAGTCTTGCGTTTCCTGCCATCGTGCTGCTGGAACAAGGTAAAACACTCACGCTCTTCGCGTGTTGCATGCGAAATCCCGAGTTTTGGTGGAGGCTTGGGAATGGGATCCGCTCTCATGCTCAATGTATTCCTACACCGAGCGGAGCTGGCGCGCAATAGCCTACGCGCCAACCTTGAAAAAATTTAAACCGGCCAAAAGCAAAAGACCCCTGGGAACACACTATAGTACTTCCAACAACAATCAGAGAACTAACAACTATTTCTAATATATAATTAAGGAAGGAATATCCTAAAGGAAAACTTGAACTTGAAGGACTCGGCGGAGCACCGAGCCTCTAGAGACTCGGAGATCTCTAGAGGCCTTCTCCCTGCGCGGCTAGGATACCCAGTCGGCGCTTGAAAAGAGACGTCAAGAAACGATAGAGCGAATTCTCAATCTCCTGGGGCGGGTCATCTCCCATTAATAAAGCCAAACAATCCGTCGCGGCGTTCGTTTCTAGTTCAACTTGAAGTTTCTGGAGGAAGATCGTTTCTAGTTTCTGGAGGAAATCTCCTCTGACGTCGTCCAATTTTGGACACTCAAATATAGTGTGAATGATGATGATGATGATGATGATGATGATTGCGATAAATATGATGATGATGATAAGAGCCTGAGGCCCGAGGACAGACATCGATGAGCCACTGCAATTACGGGATCATCTCCCGTCGCAGACGCTCTGAAACATGGGACGCCCTATTTCGCTAGACTACGCGGGTCCGCGTGCCCGCCGGGGGGTCCTGGGCCAGTGGAATTACACACTGCCAGTGCACGGTGACGGTGACCTATTTCCCCCCGGGGTAATTTTCCCGATAATCTCCCCAATATTAGTAGTCGACACCCCCACAGAACCCCCACACCACCACACCCCCAAAAAATGTTTTCAAGTTTATTCTACTAGTAGGCATTAATTGAAAACGGGCCTGCCTGCCCTGTCCTTGGCCTTGGCCACCTAAGACCACCATCATGATTGCGCTGCTCTCGAAAAAAGCTCTTCTCGGACTCTCGAAAAGCTCTTCTCGCGCATCCAGATTTAGGTCGCGGAAAAAGACTCCTGCAGTCCAAAATAGCTGGCATTCTTTTATTTCATTGCAGACAAAGGGAGAAGTCGAGAATGTACATCAGTCCAATGACCATCAGGTATGTATGAGAACTATGCCCTTTTGCAGCAAGTTACTTCAAGCTGGAGCTTGGAGAGAACAAAAGCTGAGTATCGGTTAATTTCGAGGCAATATTGCTTTAGCTGATTGGCAATGAGAAGTGAATCTAGACGAGGTGGGCTCGTAGCATTTTTCCACATGGGCGCATCATCTTCTTCATCATTAATATCAACTCGACGTTGCGAAAGCCAACGCGCATGATCTTTGAAACGCTCAATATTGCGGAGATAGTATTGGAACTTGGCCTGCTCTTCAATCAAGTCGTCAACCCACTGACAACAGTGTTCAAGGTGGCGTTCCAGGGGATTTGCACATTCGGTGTTTTGATCTACAAGATTGAGCCACATTTTGAGCTGTCTGGATTCATTTATGTCGTGAAGCAACGCGGTGATAAGGCTAGAGTTGCGGACTTTAAGTGGAAGCTGCACCAAAATGGAGGAGGGCGACACAAATGAGTTTGACTTCGCCCTGTAAGATGTGATGAATTGCTCAGAAAGCTGGTACGCCTTGACACTCAATTTCCCATTGCATATTGCACTAGGATCGTAAAGCAGAACAACGCAATTATTACATAGGTTATCTTGGTAGCTGAACTGAGTCTCCACTAAAGGTGTCTGGCAGAATGACCCCGCATAAATAGACTTGTACCATCCCACACAGTTGTTATCTACATTCACTTCCCTGAGCATTTTCATCATCTCCATCTGATATTCTTCGCCGTCCACATCCTCTTCTGTGCCTCCGATATCTTCGTAATCATCCTGAGACCTGGGGGCCAGGAATGGAAAGCAGTGCGTCACCTCAAGAATTGAACCCTTGTCGAGCCCCAGTAGCGATCCTGCGACCATCTTGGGCAATGCATCACGACAATGCTTTACCTACGGTTAGACGTCACAATATTTTTGAGTTCCTATCTAACAAGTTTAAGCAGAGCAAGGCCATCTATTTGTACTTCTTCAACTCTGCGCTGAGCGTTTATCTGCGAAAATCGTTTTTTAATCACAGACAATATAATTTTTACCATAGAGCGGACGCCCGCGTGAGCCCACGCCATCAAAGCTTGGCGAGCTGTTGTAGCCTAGGGATTCCTAGTGCTTTTGACAGGAGTAAACAGATCAACTCGCGTCGCGCACATTTGGCCCAAGGACCAGTCGCCATCCGGCGTTGGGCGTATCTCCTATCGCGACGCGCCCCTCGAACCACCCTTTCACACCGCGGGCGCATGGCTGTCTGATTCTCGCGGACTACAAACTTGAAAACCTTGAAGCCCCGCCGAGGGCACGATAGGCACTGTAGCGAAATAAACCGTCCGCGCATGGAATCACGGCGATCCGCGACCTCGGTCAGGTGGTGTGTTGTTCCTCTACTCCTTGATCCGTCGCACGTGTTTTGAGCGGCCGCGTACCCCTTCCCCTGCAGTACAACGTTTTGGGTGGGTGGGTCGGGCGAGCCCTAATGGGGCGACTGCGTGGGTGACCGAAACGAGGCTTTATTTAGGCCGGACTGCGCGACCGCAACGCCGTGGGCAGCCCAAAAGCCTGGCAGGGACGTCGCTACAAGTAATATCTGCGCCCTGCCAATTCGGTGCGCGCGGTGCGCGCACAGACCGAGAGGAGTGGTGCGTGATAATTCGCAGATTCGTGTTCCCGGCCACTTGGCCGCTGGCCGAGTCGTTTGTAGAGTGCCATCGAGAAGTACTCTGCCCTGTCCGAGACTGGACTGGCAGGCAGGGGTTACTTTTTCAATCGCCGCCGCTGCAGCAGACTCGGAACGCGATCTACTAGTCACGGTCACGGTCACGGTCACGGCCTAAAGCGAATTCGGCACAGACTCGAGACCCTCGGGCTCCGAGTCAGGGTCAGGCTTCAGTTTAATCCGCCCTCTCTCCTGCTTCAGTTTATGATTACTATTCATACGACACTAGTAATTTTAAATGAGCAGATTAATCTAGTCACGGCGGAAATTTTTCTGATCTTTCACCGTACAAGCCTCCGAATGCTAGTGGCAAACTGCTTTCCTCGGCGCGGGGTCTGAGATTGCTTAATTGACAAACCCACGATTTACGAACTAGGTCAGCACTAGTGCGTATTGACTGCCATCACCCGACGAGACTGGGACATCTAGGCGCATCTTGAGGGCATTCTTGGTATCCAGCTAACTAATACCTCGATGTTCAATCTAGGAAGGAAAAACACCAAGCTCGGGTTTGATAACTTGAACCTAAAATAGTCATGCTTTTCTCCACCAGTGTCATCACGAAATATGAAGATATTTGAATTGTTCCAATGAACTTATTGCCCTGTACTCGGCAAGCAATCGCATGATCCGATCAGCCGCTTCAAAGCGTGCTTTCTCTATCTCCACCATTTTAACATGCTTCTGGTAAGAGCTATCTTGGGCATTATCGATGCATAAAAACTCACGTTCAGCTTCATTCTTTAGCTCACGCATGATAATTGACAGGAAATGGGCACAACTCTCACGTTGATGCCTCATGGATTTCCCTTGAAACTTGCTCCAGCTAGCCTGTAGTTTCAAACAGTGTTCTAGCCGAATACTTTCCCTTGCAGCATGAAGGCCAGTTGTTGACCACATTTTATAGGTGGAGGTAATATCAACCCATCCTTTGTGGCTATGAATATTGCGCTTGCCTGCCCTTGGGTCCATGCAATAGTTAAGCAAAACTTCCTTTGCTCGCTGTTCGTCGCATGCGGAAGAGCGATCAAAGCAGTACGCCAGACCGCATTTTGTCACCTTGTCGAGGTTTTTAACGTCACCATCAAGGGCACGTAAAAAACCACGATGCCGATGTGCACGCCGTGCTGATGAAGGTTGCTCAAGCCGCTGCTTGAAGTAAATCCGATCGTCATCACATATTCGTTTTGAATGAAGCCAAGATCCTTTGGTTTTGATAAGTGCAAGAATGGATGAAGCGAATTCAGGAACTACAGTCTTAAGCCTCCTCCTGAGTATCTCAATAGCATTGTGGAGAACTGCGTGCAAGTTTGCTTCTCCCTGAGATCTAGGTGCATGGGGCTCACCCTGGGGGGGGGCTTTGAAAGAACTACCTATTGTTTCGACGCGTAGAGCGCTAGCGCATTGCAATCGAAGCGAATTCACTTTTCCTGAGGGTGCATCTATGTAACCATTGCAGGGAAGACAACTAAACTGGAATACGCCCACTGCTCCACAGTTCTCACAAACCATGCCGGATTGGCCACGCACAGCCCGTAATGTTGGACCTTAAGAAAAGCACTGCTATTTATGCGAAAAAAACAAGGCACTGGCGAGTACATATTTTGTGATTTTGGTCACTCTGTTTGAGTGCGAGGAGCTTCCGCATGTGAGTCGAGATCGGTTTGGACATCCGCTCGCAAAGGTAGTCAGAAATCCATTGTGCGCCCGCCTCTACTCGAAGGAATTCTGCGTATCTACTTTTTGTGACTTTAAGCGTCTTGTTAGCAAAGTCAATCGCTTTCATGGCCGCATTGCTGCTGATTTTGGAGACTTCTTCAGCCCTGAGGGCTGCCAATCGATGTATGGCTTTCCTCGCGATAGACTTAAATATCTTGATTCGTACTCTTAACATGGTCTGGCGCGTCAGCATGCCAAAATTAGTTTTGCATATTTCTTCTCGTGCACGGAGGTACCGTTTGGAGCCCCCGGCTAGCCAACGTCTTGCTTGCGCTTGAATACCACTGGCAATGGCAGAACGCTTATCGAGTAATGAAGGCTGCAAATTCGTTGCGTTCATAATCAATCCTGTTGTATTGTTACGTGTACCACGTTATTACCGAATGAAGGGAGACTCCACTGGGCTACTTTCTCCGTGGGCTCCCAGCGCATCAGGAATGGATTAAAATTATGTAAAAACAAAGCTGCTCAGACTTCTTCCGAGGGGGGGGGCGCCTAGTAAGGTCCGCGCTGAGGAGCCGCGACGACGATATCCGCTGCGCGCCCGGGCCACGCTAAAATCGACCGGCGATTCAACAAATCTTGAGATGCTCCTGGATATGATCTACAAGGCGAAAAAAACCAACATACACTGATATGGAACGCTAGGAAAATTTTCCGTAATTATGGCTCAATTTATACGTCTCAGGCTCGGCGGGCGATTTTCCAGTTTGCCAGTGGGTTTTGGGGCAGGTTTTTATCTCAGGCTCGGACCACTGGCATCATGCGGCATCACCGCGTCGCTCAGGCTGCCCGCATGGTACCAAACTTTGCACAGCCCATTATTTTAGCATACGGAACCTGCGCCTCAGCAAAAGTTTCCCGCCATTCGGTCGGCGCGTGGCATTACCGTGACGCTCATTGCGCGCCAAATCAACTTGAAAATCAACGTCGACTATCATGATGATGATGATGATTCGCTTGACCCCCCTGTGAATTTCGAAGTCTCCACGCAGTATTAAGATTCGCAGGGCAATTCATCTTAATTAGGACTCATGGAGAATGGGTCTATTTCCTTATTCGAAAAACTTGAAAATTTACGGCAAGCCTGAGGGGCGGGGGCCGCGGGGCCTAACAGTTGAGTACCGTGCCAGTGTTGAGTACCTGTTACGGTAGTTCCCCCCCCCCCCCGGCTAGTGCGCTTTTTACGATGATCGCGGGCTCATTGGACCAGCCCAAGTACATTCGCACCCGGGGGGACTCAGGCTCCGGACGACTCGCCGTCACTCGGGCCCTTGGAACTTGAATGCTAGCGCACTAGACAGCCTGAGACCGGCCCAGCTGCCACGGTAGGTGAAGACTCGAATTTGGAATTCAAGTTTCAATTAGTCACGGTCAAAAAGGTGGCACGACTTGAAGGCGTTGGAATTTGGACGTTGCCGAAGAGAGAAGAGCAATAAGTATCACCGCGCGAGGTTCAAATTAGGCCGGAGGCTTCTCTAATCTCAGGCTGATGAAGTCACGGTAGCCTGGTTTCGGGATTAGGCGATCAAGTAGGCGATCACACCCTGGTTTCGGGAACTTGAACTTGAAGCTCGCAATAGATCTTCGAGTCTACAATAGATCATAAATTCACCTTAGGGTGGGTCGTCTAGGGTTTTCCTTGGAGAAAAACACCCGGCCCGGATCGATCTCATCAAATAGTTTAATTAGCTGAGCTCGAGCAGCACGTGTTGCAATGCAAACACACGAATTTCTCAATAAGATTCCCTGTCATGGTCTGGGACCTAGACTCACAAGGTATGAATATTGCGGCTGAAGACTCTGAATCTAACCTTTTTGCTCTTCTTATTTCCCTTTTTTACTCTTTTTATTTCTAAGCTGTTGTGTGAATGTCCTTGCTTGCTCGCCACGGGCCTTATATATTAATGTGCCAATCAAGGGCCTCATGAGAAAATGAACGCTGCTCAGAGGATTACTACTCTTTGAATATTCGTAATTGTGCCATGGAGTTTCCCCTTGGCAAAGAAGCGGCGCTGTTGGAGGGTCGAAAGCACTGCGATCTCTTCGCTTTGAAACTTATGATTAGTATCTATCTTTAAAAAATGAGTTTCTAATTCAATTAGTTGGTCGCGTTCAAGGTTTTTTTCGTTCTCTATTTTTTTGGTCTGATTCAGCAGGGAACACATATCCTCATCATATTTGGCAATCTACATTCAAGCATAAGCCTGTAGGTGATAATTGAGCTTACGTGTGCAGCCAGGTCAACTTCCACTCTTTCTTTCTTCTTGCGAAAATTTGCCTGTTGCACACCGATGCGTAAGAAAACATTAGTATCTGCTACCTCAGTGTCTCGATAGGATTGATGTTCAGCTTCGATTTGTGACTCGAGTGACCCAATTTTTGCTGCCAGTTGCTCATAGGATCCAGCGTGACGTTCCGCAGACCTGAAGATACTCTTGTAAGTCTCGAGTGAATCACGCTAGTACAGACCTAGTAATTTGATCTTCCATCCGTGAATTAACCATAGCCATCTTTGTCTCATTGTGTTGTACCATGTCCTGTAACTCGGCACGAATCTTCAATAATGTCTGCTGATGTGCTAAAACCTCTTTGTCCTGCTCTCTCCTCTGTATCTCTAATTTTTGTTGCAAGGCCTATCTCTGAAATGCACGCAGTGAGAGAGGCGGTAACTGGCGCTGACGATAGCACTTTTGCACCTTGCGTTAGAATAAGCTCCTTTTGAGTGAGTTCTTGCCTAAGACCCAACTATACAATGCCTAATGGCCCAACGATCGGTCATTTCACCACATTTGTTTATCTGCTGCGTTTTCTTCCACCTGAGAAGGATACAGCTGAGTCCTGTAACCCCTCGGGCTCCGTACCGTTGTCGAGAGTTGGCGGGATGCTATTTCTGTAAAATTAGCTAGATACCTATTAATCTTGTTGGATTGATTGCCAAAAACTCTGCTCAGTGCATTTTGACTGTTGAAAACTGAGTAAGGAACAATTTTCTTTCGAGGGCGGAGTCGGCGACCAACGCGAGTTCTCCCTGACTTTGAGATACCGGCATAACTTATGGGTGGTGGTGTTTAGGCGACCCAAAATATTATCAGACCCCGGGTCATCATCAATTGCTTCGCTGTAATGGTCTGATACCGTCAGCCGAAGACTTTCCTCGATTTGCCACAACTGTTTTACCGTGTCCGTCAGTCCGAGGTCGTCAATCTGGCTCAAAAAGGAGGGATCGGGAGCTGCTGGTATGCACGAGAGAAGCGAGAGCCGCTCCAGAGTATCTTCAAGAGCCGCAATCACTCGTTGCGCCTAAAGATAATAGTTGTGAACCTGATCTAGTTATGCAGAGTGACCTCTACGTTTATGAGCTTTTGCATGTACGCAATCAGAAGCCCACGTGCAATTTAGATACATATATGCACAGACTCAACATATCTTTTGTCGAGATTCGTGTTATGTCCGCTGAGGGGCCACAGCACCAGGTGGTCTATTTTTAGCTATCGTCGAGGACCACGGTCATAGGTCTCAATCGATGAGATCTTTGACAGCTTTCAGGAAATAGACGTTGATGCATCCGGGAAGGTTAGAGGGCTCGCCCATGATTCTCAGATTACGTGGCAAACAGGTAAGCAAGCGCGAGCTTGAACGTTATTTAGCAGGAGGTGATATCCAACATACGTTCGTTGTTGTTTTCAAAACAGCTGACATTGGTATCACGTGGGTTGATGGAGCCAATGGTAGTGTCCTTTTTAGCGCATTATTTCTTTGCTACTCGCATGAGGGAAAGCGATTTTAGGTTGTGATTGGCACGATCGAACCCGGTTCCCCAGCATTTGATGATGATGATGTTGTTGTTGGTCTTGCACTCGCATCAGTAAATGGAGCACTGCTTCCACCTGGCGGAGCACATACATTGAGGAAGGCATGGCGCGCGCTTCTCCCAGAAGCACATATAACCCTGGAGTTCTCATGCCGGCGAAGTTCTTAGTCTTACGTGACATTGACAACCTTGATAGGTTCTACGAACCATTCATTATTGCACATGATTTTGCTTATACATTTGATCTGGAAATCGACACGTCGCGCAAGAAGCATGCCCATAAAAAATCACCTGCAAGTGGTCCAGAAGCGACACTACATGGACGATGGTCAAGCCTCTGGTCCAAGCTTAATGCATGGATCAACCTATCAAGTCCGCGTTTTGGACAGATATCGGAATCATCTTCACAAAAACGACAGCTTATTGTTGTGACTGTGCGTATCCCGCGTTCTCAGACACCTTTTAGTTTTGCCATCCAAAGTCCAGGCCAAACTGAACATGCGGGCTTATGCTTTTGCGTCAGATGTTGTTGACGCACTTGGAGATGCGCTATTTGTTGCAGCCCCGCAGCATTTTAAGCTGGAATCTGCTGTATCAGCCAACGAACTTATAGGTTGACGCATGGCTTCAATCCTACAAGACGAGTATAATTTGAGTTGCGCAGGTACATTGAGCATCCGGAGCGAACGTTCACCTTTCCGACTTCTGATGATGGATGGCCCCACGCGCACACTCACAGTCCACATGTAATGAAATGATTAATTTGAGAGTATAGGTGCAACACATCGCTGCATCGCCATCTTGGCTTTGGCAACACGCCATTCAAAGCTCATAGCTACTCAATAGATAGCAAGGTGAATGAACAAAACTGCAGGGGAATCAATTGCTTGTTAGGCGCGAAGCCTGCTTTCACTCCGGTTGGGCTTTCAGAGTATGGCATCCGTGTCATCTTACCCTTTATTACAAGGCAAAAACAAAAATCTAGGCAGCGACCAGGTGCGCACCTTCACATCAGAGCTACTCCAGGAATTCGACGGAAATGACAATGCGTTAGTGGCCAAGTCAGTCCGTAAGCACAACAAGGCTGATGTAGGTGGATAGAATTTGATGAATTCAGAAGATTGTTTGTAACTCATCTTGGTGACGAGGACGCTCTCAATAAATTACGAGATCGTATAAGGATTCGATTCAGGAGCAAAGCTGAGCTTAGAGCGCTGGCCGAAGAACGTGCAGTGCTGCAGCGTCGAGCAAAACTAAAACTGGAGCTTGAGGCTCGCCGTGAAATCAATCATATCATCAGACGACGCCAAAGGAAGCGTATGAAAGCGTGTTGCTACCGTGACTGTGACGGGAATCTACGCCAGGTCAGATACACATCTAACTCAGCATCTCAGGCGAAGGAAAGTCGTTGCACTGGTGGTAAGGCAGACTCACGACGGATACGTCGCAGAGTATTGCGCACGAGACAAATGACAGATATGACGGTGGAATGCGGAACAAAACACAGTCCAGGCATACTCCAAGGAAAGAACTCAGAAAGTCCCCCAGCCGGCAAGTACTCGGAAAGCCCCCTGTCCGCATTCCTTGAGAGACAGAGCTTACCACATCCCTCGTTTTCTGGGCGAAGATTTGTGCGTCAGTCACTTCAACCAGATATGCGCCTTAATGTAAAACACCCTGTATTCTGTGACCTCATTTGGGCTCCAATATGCACACGAAGTCCTTTAAATGCCACTGAGTTGCACTTTGTGATAGTGAATCTAAAACTACGAAATCAAGTCTATCATCAGAAAGCATGGCGTGCATTCCATTCCCCGCCATTTTATCGAGGCCGAGTTCGTCAGTGCCACCCTGCTTTTGCACATAAGTATGATCGTTCTGAAATTGTTCATCCGGCGATTTGGGGTAGTTTTGTGGCACAAAAAAGTGTCTTTAATGATTCTATGATGACTTGCCCAGCATATATTGGGTATGTTCTAAACTCACAGGAACAACTGCGAGTTTTGAATAAATCCCAATCATCAATCCGATTTCAACATCAAGTTAAGGTTGAATCCCCTTGTCAAATTTGCCTCAGTGGTCAGCATGGCTGTCCATTTTGTTTCGAGCTTCCGGAGGGATTGAAGCTCAACGACTACTCTTATACGCCAGGCGATGCCACGCACAAATGCGCTGAGCATGCTCTACGAATGATGCATACCGACCTTACCACCCGAGCGGCCTTGGACCATGATAGACGCATTCGACATGATAGTGCAGAGGTTCTCATCAAATCAGTACCTTGTGGCGCAATAATTAAATTTGCCATTCTCTGCGACTACACCGTAGCGCACCTGCATCATTTATTTCGTTCTGCCTCAGTACATGGCATAGATGAACTTACATTCTTTTACATCCCAACTGAAAATGGACTTATCGAAATGGACATCAAGGGGCCAACAACTACCTCTATTGACCAAGGATTTAATTTTCCAGATCATGGTGCTATCCCTGTCTTTCGCTATGGGCTAAACAAAGCAGGTGCTTGCACAATCATTTTCCATGGTTGCTATGTGTCAACGTCCGCTGCAGTTGGTGTATTTATTCGCACTAATATGCTTCTGAAAAAATTTCCTTCGGCATCCATTTTTTTACCACATCTTGATGCGATCACAGCTTCGTTATCCAGAGACTCTGTTCAAACCGGACTCCAGGAGACTTTTCTCGTAGCATAAATCAATTTGCAATCGGGACGCCATAGGATAGTGGAGACTAAGTTGGAGACTAGACTTATACTACTGCAAGCTAGGTTGGCATTTACCTGAGGGGTTATTCCCCCTGGCGCCGCCCGGGGTTAATAACCCGGGTAATTGCGGCTTAGTGCGGGTTATTTACCTCAAGATCTTATAGAGGGGTAGGGGAGGGGGCCTCACGGGCCACTGGCGCGGGCCTGGGCCGCGCCGGGCCACATGACTCGGTACTTGCCTTGGCGCACCTGTACGTATCCAAAAGCTCAACGGGCTGCTTGCGCCCATCCGCTCGCCCGGAGGGGTCTTTCGCTAATCGCACTAAACGGGTTTAGTCGAAAACCCGTCGGGTTATTTACCGGATTATTTACCCCAGATCCCCTCCGAGGAGTGATAATGGGTAAATTACCGGTTATTAACCAGTTAATGCCAACCTAGACTACAAGTAGTAGACTAGTTAGACTCAGGTAGTATGCACCAAGCGGCGCATCGCGCGTTAAGCCCGCATCGCCGCTGCCCCGGTCACGACCGAGTGGAGCTCTGGTCAACTTCGTGTACCAGATTCGATGGTCTCCCGTTTTTCGGCGACAGGGTTATCTCCATAAATTTTGGGGCTGTGGGCGCGTGCAAACCTCTGGCACGGATGGCTGCAGATGTTCTACGATATCCGACGCTGCTAAGCCCACAGCAACCGAATCGGGGCGAGAGCGGCTGTCGGATGACTTCTTTCCTGGTGCCAGTGGCTTCGTGGTGATTAAGATCACTCAGGGTCTGGCCTCTTCCCTCAATCATCCGAGTCACCCGCTGGTGCCAAGGACTTCCTGCTCTGTTCAAGGTGCGCCTCTAACTCACTCGGAAGTTGCGCCAAAGTTCTAGGCCGGGACGGGGTAGTATTTAGGCGGGTCACCACACTAATATTATACTTATGCATGCTGCCGCTGGGCAATGTAAACCCCTGCCTGCGCTTCCGCACACTTGAGATACCGACCTATACTACTTTATTGTTCCTGAATTGTGGAAACAAGTGGTTGGAAATGGGGCCTTTGGGTGGCAAGTTGATGAAGATGGAATGAAGCAAACTCTTTAACGTCATGGATGTCTGAAAAGGCATCCTCGACCTTCTTTGAGCCAAAGTGCAGCTTGGAAAAAGTAGCATCGTAGCTGGCCATGGGACCATCTGGAATCTCTTTTGCACACTCAAAGCTTTCATTCGGGGTGTAGGACTGCCCACGAATCTGACGGAGAAGCTTTACGAGTATGGCACCTAGGGCTCTCCAGGAAGCGGGGTCGCCCTGATTAACAAGAACGTCAGGTGCCTCACAAAGAATTCGTGTGGCTCCAATAACAATAGCTTTGGCATCGAACGGATTTGCAATATCTGACTGTGCAATTTTAGGTGCGAAGACATGTAAGATAAGATTAGCGAGAAGGCCGGTTTGCTGATTTTCTATACTATTTGCGAGGCTTTTCCCGCCGTGCTTACCAGCAAGAAGGCCAAGAAAAGACAATGTTTTGTGACATAAATCACAGCGATCTCTATCTTGCTGAAGACGGGTCAGAAGCAACTGCAGAATGGTCATGATATAACGATCAACGACGATTGAATCAACATGCAGAATGATTGATTTCAAGAGATCAAACGCGTGAGCCTCAGATAACTTCGAGGCAAGAAGCTTTTGAAAGACGCCAAGTATAGGCTCGAGCTGATTACTCGCAACAAGTTGATCAGCACCAACCGCAAGATAGGCCTCTAGAAGAGCAGATAGTGCTGGCACATTGCCACAGCGCTCCCATAGAGCCGGATGCAGAAGTGCAGGTAGCAGGGAAGCATAGGCATCTGAAAGTGCATGCTTATACCGGAGAATGAGGGCAAGAATCTGAAAAACGTAAGGAGCAAACTCGACAATGTCCATCTGGAGAATTACTTGGAATTGAGGGAAAAACGTCTGCTCAAATTGATTCGTCAAGGTACCACTGCTGTCGGCCTTGCAGGCAACCCGCACTAGAATAGCAAGAGATTCAAAGAGATAGTGAATAAATCTTGGATTGCCAGGGTTAACGCATGCTCGCGTGAGGGAATTGCAGAGTTTTTCTGTGATACTCTTGACTATGGGAATCACACTTTCTTGGCTGGCTACTAGGAGGCGCATTACTGCTTTCATGGCATATTCATTCTCCCATGGCATGCTATCTGAATACGAAGGACTTCCAGTAAGCGCAACTTCAGGGACTACCAAGAGGGCCTCGAAAAGTTGTGTGAGCATTGGCTCGATTTGATCCTTGGCAATTTTGCCAGGGGCTGCTAAAATCCTTTCAATGCAGGCAGCAGCATAGCTTCGAATGACAACTTCAGTATTACAAAGACGCCAACCAAGCAGCGGAAGAAGCTTAACAAGTTCTTCGGGTGGAATATGATTTCGAAAAGTACAAACAAATTTGATTGCGTCAGCAAGAATGATTGGGTGGGAGCTAGCTTGAGCTGCAATTTCCCCCACAATGTGCAACGAATACATTTCCATGAAGTTTATTTGGTCTGGGAATTTGTCCGAACCGCGCGCTGGGGACTCGGCACGACCTGTTAGAGAAATAACGAGATGAAGTGCGGTGTCCTTGCTACGCCAATGTTCAGATGGTGATTCGGCATACTTCTGGAGCATAGCAGCAATGTAATCAACACAGACACGCGTGGTTGTAGCATTGTGATGCTTACATAAGGCAGCAATTAAATCGCAAGCACCTCGCCGCCGCGTTTCGGCGTCTGCACTTTCGAAGTCTCGAGAGATATATTCAAGGGGGCTATCCTCAAAAAGTTCAATATCTGAGTCCTGAATACTCATGTTGGGGAGTACAATAGCTTCAATTACCTGGCTTAGTGCGTTTCCTTCCATGAACATGGTCGTATGCATCTGCTTACTAGCGACTTCTGCAAGAAAACGAATAGATGCTGCTGCAAGGCGGTCATGCTTAGGTAACAAACCCAACTTGATAAGGCGTTGCCAGGTCGCAGAAACAAAGCGTGGGAGAAAAGGGGTAAACTCCTCTTCATACTTCTGGGCATAAAGTGATATATTGTCCATAATTGCAGATTGAAGGCGCACTATGCACTCATCATCGCCTTCATTCTGTGGCGCTTTGCTTTTGTAGCCAAGATATTTCTCAAACTGGCCCATCCATTCTGCCATGTGATCTTCAAAGAACTCTGGCAAATCCTGCCAGTTCAGACTGTAGAAGATGCGGCAAGCAAGCCTGAGTGATTCTAAGACCTCCTTGCAGCACTTCTGATCGTCATCCGCTACATCTAACGCCTGCCCAAGTCGCATGAGGAGAGCTGTCAGTGGAGCCGCCAGAATTCCTAGGACATACTTAAGCTCACTGTATAGCGCATCAGATTTATACGTAAACCGAAATCGCTTGAGAATGGAGTTCGCTGCTAAGAGCATCCCAGAGGTTGTCTCTCTATCACCTCCCTCCAAGTTTTTGACAATTTCTGGCAATAAACTTTCCCATTTTCCTGGGAAATCGGATGCGGCCATCAGAGACAGGGCTTGAGATAGTTGCTGGCGTATATCTTCAAAGGAACCACATTCACACAATAGTTTTACTATGTGCGCTTTGATCGCATTTCGGTCACCGTCAGCCATCAAAATCTCGTTTGCTCCCTTTGGATCCGCCTCCCAACTTTTTTCAATCAAATTTTTGAAGTAAATTGCTGCCTACATGCAGAGGCTCTCTTACGACAAGAATTAGATACAAGCCAGGGGCGCACGCTGGACTATGCCGATGATCTAATCACAGCCGACTGCTCATTCGCGCTCACGCTGCAATGCTCCTGCACCTACCGCTAGATTTTGTGTTTCAAGGTGTCCCAGACCGACGCGGCTAGCACCAGCTGAAGTAGTAAAAGCGGAAATCCAACTGTCTGTCTGCAATTATTCAAGTACGTCTCGGCGTCGCAACGCTGCGTCAAGTCTGGCGAAACCGTCGCACAGAGTGCTCTACATACTTCATCAACATGCATGGCAGGAAAGGATGGTGGCGAGTAGTAGCATGCTACCTAGTCCTACAGCTGGTAGGGTCTAGTAGCATGTGGAATAGTGGAATAGTGGAATAGCAACAGACTAGTAGTTGGGATTTTATTCTTTTGCTCTGTTGTCGCCCAAAGGGCGAAACCAAAAAGGGAGGCCTAAGAGCCCCGCCACCAAAAAGGGAGGGCCGGGAGGGAGACGGGGGGTGTCCCCTAATTCTGTCTTATCAGAGTTGAGGGGGTTCCCACCGTGACACTCTCACGTTTCAGTGAGAGTCCTTCCTGTTGGTATCTCCGTGTCACATTGACACCCGAGAGACCTAGCTACAACAGCTGCATTGTGCACTTCAAGTTGCTGCACCCAGCTCATTAGATTCAAGCACGCACATACCAAAGCTAATATCGCTGACTCGGAAGGTTCAGTGGCCGGTCACAATCTCGAGGGGAGCCTAGAGGCCAGTAGCACAGTACCATTCGGGTCACGGTAACTGTTCAAGTTCTGGCCCGGGCTCAAGCTGGCTCCTCAGCCTGACTCGGAGCCTGAGGCTAACCCGGGCCGTGACCGTGACCTTCTAGCTCTTCCAAAGTGGCCGGCCTTCAAGTCAAGCCAGGCCACGCCTTATGTATGGGCTACAACTGAGCAAAGAACAAAGATCCCCCAATTAATTACTCTGCTGTCATTGTACTGGTTTCTGGTAACCTCTCAGGCTCACTACTTACCGCAGTATGCCCTTACTTACGCGTGTATCTTACACGTCTGCGCGGCACAACGCGTGCGGTGTTTGCGGAGGCAAAAGAATGCAGCTGATTGTTCAGCTTGGTGAGCAGGTTAGATAACCTAATTTCGATAGTCCTCTCAGAGTAATGTCGCTTAGGACCTTGTTGTGCGGACGGGGCCAAATGCTACGTTGGGCAATTTACTTGACATGGTGGCTTCACGGATCAACACATTCGACTACATACTCAAATCATCTCGAAAGATGTTGGGAGGTCCAAGGCGACTCAATCTAGAGGAGCTGCTGTCCGACGGCTCGGTTCTATTATTGCTGCCGCGAATGCTTGGAGGAGCACTGTTGGGGAAGTCTCTCAAGGGCCGGACCCCGGGACTTGACCTTGAGGAAAAGTTCATGCGGCAGCGTGAGTATGACGCGCAGAACCAAAAATATCAGGTAGCTCGAAATGAGTTGAATCGGCGAATGGAGCAAGAGAGAGCGAACGCACAAATAAATCAGCTTAAAATCCAGAATCAGTGGCGCAAGATCATGCGTCTGGCGAAGGTGGAGTCGCTTCGCAAAGGCATTGAAATTCTCTCGCAAAACCACGAACGTGACGTTGATCGAAAGGACGCAATCATTCAGATGCTGGACCGGGACCTGGAAGAAGCTGAAGGGCAGTTTCACATGTCGCTGCGATCTCATCTCCAGAACGTAGACCATCTTATTGACTTGCAGGATACTCGACTACTGAAGTCGGAACAGGAATTCGAACACGAGCTTTGTACCTTAGAAGTGGAGTTCCAAGCAGAAAAGGGGGCCATTGTGAAGCAACATGTGGCAAATGAAAGAGAATTACATGACGTCATTGCTGCTATTGATAGAGAGGAACAAGAGCACGGTGCAGATACAAAGCAAGAGCACGACCAATTGGGCGAGGAGATACGAAATAGGAACCTGGAGGAGATAAACATGCTCCGTATTGGCCTTGATTCAGAGATCGAGGATCTTGAACAACATTTTGAAACTGCTCATCTTAATTATCTCCAAACCACAGATCAACGAACTCATGACTTCAAGTACTATACAAAGAAGGACCAGGAGCTATCAAAAGAGATTGAAATCAAGATAAGGAAGATTGAACGTCTACAGGCAAATCTACATCACTGGCGCACCAAGCTCACGCAGAACACAAGAGAGAGTGCACAACGGAATGAGGTTCTCTTGCTCGAAAAAAATAAAGTTTTGTACTATTTTCAACAGCTCAAGGTGCGAATGAACATGTTCCGTCGAGTCCAGATTTGCCGGCTTGCTGAATTGACCCAAGATGCACATACATGCAAGCAGAAGATATCTAAACGAGTCGTTCTTGCAGAGAGAATTATTGTACTGGCAGAAATGGCCCGTAGGATGGAGACAGAGCAAGAAAAAATCGTCCCTTTCCAAAACACCATAGATCCAAGCAACCCAACAGCTGCCATATCGAGTGCAAAACGTGCTACTGATACCTCTGGTCTGCTAGACCATGCATATTTTGAGAGTGGCGGTAAGGCTGAAGTGCATCACAACGCACTGGCTTTACAGACATCGACGTGGATGCATGATGGAGGCCCTGTACCAAAATGGAGTCACCTAGACCAATTTCTCCAGAAATACAACAAGGTGCTACTTGACAAACTGGCAATCGAGAGCGAGCGGAAGGGTCTCGAGCAGGAAAACACAGAACTTCAGGCTATTCTTAAGCAGTATTTCGACGGTGTGTCGGTCAACGATAGCGTGATGCAAGCTTCTAACCCACTCTTAATAGTCAATGGAAAAGTAAAAGCACCACCACAAACCACCCTAATGGACCGCATGGAGCAATCAACTGTCGTCGATGCAAACCACATGGTCACAACTTCCAGGGTTGGCACGAGCTTCTTTTAACTCACCTTCATGGAGATACTTACCGCGACTATCACTTTACCTTACCTGGGCAATATACTACTTCGCTTTTGCGGGCCCCGGGTATTGTGGGCACCCAAAATGATATGTCACTCCGAATTACTAGTAGTAATAAATAATAACTTGAAATAGACAAACTTGAATAACTCAAGGAGGAATATCCGAGGCCCACAGCGGGCATACACCGTGACCAAGCCTAGTAGTTGATTCTACGCCGACTCGGAATCTACGGTATTGTGCTTACTATCCTACTCACTGTAGCCGCCGCAGGCCTGAGACTGATGGGCGGCCCTTCCGGGCCCTCGCTTCTTCAGGGGCCCATGTTCCGGCAGAATGTCAGGCATCCCCCAGGCGTAAATTATTAATTGGGTAGGCACTACAGTGAAAATGCCACTCGCTGATTTCCGGCCGCCGCGGTTCCTCAAGCTATTAGTAGCTGCCCGCTTCCTCCCCGCTTCCCTGGTTCTAGGTTCCCGCTGACAGGGCCTGTAAATTGCCCGTTATTAACCTATTATTATCCCTTGGAGGCGCGGAGCGAAAGCCGCCAAGCGGCGTGAGGTGGAGCTCTGCCTCCTCCGTCCTCGATTTCTAATTATTTATTTTTCATTTATTTACCACCCGGTACTTTAATCACTAAACGGGGTCGAGCGGAGGCGCGCAAGTAGCCCCTTGGCATACTATTACGTGCCGTGCACTGGCAGGTACGCCAACTTGAAGGCAAGCACCAAGGCATGGCGCCGCCGACGGCGCGGCGTGGCCCAGGCCCCTCTATAACTGGAGCTCCTGACGGCACTGACGGGTATTTACCTGGGTTAATGACCCCGGGCCGCGCCAGGGGTTAATAACCCATCATGATCGGATAAGTGGCCCTGGTTCACGGTGACAAAAACCTCAGGAGGCCCGGCCTCAGGCTGTATTTGCAGTCGTGAGCTATCATTCGCCAGATCGGCAGGGCCTACTGTCTATATATATCGCGCCAAAGTGCCGCGTGCGCCGCAACGAAGCCGCCCTACCACTTCAAGTTGACCTAGGGGGTGAGAGAGGGGTCACGGTCACGGTGCCGCTGCTTGGTTCAAGTTCGACTCGGAGAGCTTTCCACTGCAAAAAAGGCTTCTCGCGCGATATATCACAAATCCGAGACGCGCGCGAAGTAACGTACACATTACATTTCTAGTGTGTTTCATTTCCTAGCGTCATGCCTGGACTTACACCCCCGACCGGGGATCGTTGCCGTCTTGAAGAGTTCACGCGATGCTCGGACAGTCTCCTTTGGAAGCTGATGATGTCATTCTATGACCGGAATGGCGTTGAATCATGGAGTCAGGGAATTGTGCCTCATTTCATTACCTGCAATGCGTTCATTGGACGTTTGGAACGGCGATAATGCGAAAATTTTATTTCAACTTGCTAAATTAGGCGCATATGCAAAAGTACTCCTTGGGTTTCTTCATGATTGCACATGTGCAAACAGCAAAATTCCACTAAATAAAACAGAACCGCTCTACATAATTGAGCTGGGGGCGGGTTCCGGCAAATTCTCTTTTTTTATACTCCAGGTAAGTATTCACAGTGACCATTCTTCATTGTGTGGGCATGAATAGGCAATCAAAGAACTTCCGGAGGTGTTTGAGTTTCCTGCAGAGAAAGTCGTGTATGTTATGACTGATTTCACGTGGAACAATTTGAAATTTTGGAATGACCATGAAAGCTTCCGTCCATATTTAGATTGTGGTCAGCTTGACATCGCTATATTTGATGCAGTACATGATGAAACCATCAGGTTTATTGTATGGTCTTCTGCACAATTATCTCGCGCTTCTTTAGGCTCCACCATTCAAATGTGGTAATTGGTCGTAGCACGCTAAAGAATCCTATTTGTGTTATTGCAAATTATCTTTTTGACACCCTTTGTCATGACATTTTTCAAGCAAGTGCCTATATTATCTCATTATTTACAAACCACTATGCCTGGAAACATAGATTGAAGCTGGTCAACTTAAAGAAGGGCTGATATCTGTCGGGTCGCGCAATCTATTCGAAACAGATGCATTGGACCCTGAAATAATCAAGCGATTCGACAATCACTTTACGTACCGGGTTATCAATGAAAATTACTACGCGGAGAGTGAACCAGAGGATTCTTGTCATTTACGACGGATTTTGCGGTAATAGTAAAGCTAAATCGGTATGCGTGCATCTTGGATGTTTTAGGTGGTATAGAGATTTCTTTGGAGATGCTTCAGATGAAGCATCGATACTCCTGCCCATAGGCGCCTTGAGAGCCCTTAGGCGACTGACCTCCTTCTCTTGTGAGCATTTCTGGTGTATGGCGTAAGTTACCTCGCAGGTGGTCGTGCCCTTGTCCTTTCCGGAGACAAAGGAAATAATAATCACGAACAGCATGCGCAGCGCGCAAACTGTATTGTTTTTTATCTTGTTCTTTATTAGGTTTCGAGGGCTAAACGACCCTCACGTGGCTGTGCATGGATCATTTTCGGTGATGGTCAACTATCATGCGATCGGACTATATTGCACAAGCCGTTCAGGCTTTGTTCTGCACGATCCTCAGGAGGAAGCGTCACTGAAAGTCTCTGTTTTAGTATTTACAAACCAAGAAGACGCCGTGCTGGCTACATTCCAGCCATCAACCATGGGTCATCAAAGCTCACCATTCTATGATTTAGGGCGTGTTCAAATCCATAATTGGGTTGGGAGTGATGTGGAGCGCCTTTCAGCCGTACAGTAGCAAGCCAAAGTCAGGTAAATTCTTACTTCACAATTATAGGCGCGCTCACTCGCATTTCCTAATCTTTGTCGAGCTTTCTCTGATTCTATTACTTCATTTGGTCCTAACGACTTTTTTGTTGTTCAAAAGAGCATGAAGGACGACACTGAGCGTCCCACACTGAAGGCAATTGTTGCTTTGCTTAAGTATGCTTGGACTGTTCCAAAAAATACTCAGCTACCTTTTCATAGGCTCAGCAATTGGGATCCGGACGTGTTTTACAAATTTCGTGATCCGATACTACAACAGGTCTCCGCTTGTACAATTAAATTGCGAAATGATCTTTGCCGTAATTTACCTCAATTGTGGCGTCAGCATTTCATGTTGGATAAAAACAAAGACGTGGCTTTTGAGGCATAGAGCCGGACGTTGGCTGTGTTCAGTTGCCCTTCCATAGGTTGGTCGTTTGTATTATGGATTGAGGATGTACCAAAAGGCGATTCGATTTTATCAAACCTCAATTGAATGCAGTGGCGAGCATCACGTAACCTTTCATAATATGGGACTTTGTTATTACTCCTTGTCACAATATCAACTAGCATTCCATCATTTTGGCAAGGCTCTACTGCTGAAGAATGATTACACAAAAGCTCGTGCTTGGCAAGACAAGCTGCACCGTGAAAAGCCGTATCAATTTGAGGATTTGAAATGATGAGGACGGTGTGGAATCCGCATGCTCGCAAAGGCATCGGATGGCCATAGAAGACCAACAAATCCCTGGCGCACGGCGGCTTATCACGCACCTGCACGGGTGCGAACTCTGCATGTCCGTAGAGGCGCCTTGCCGACTCGGTCGGTCACCGTGTGAAACGCGGCGCATGTCACGGAATCTCGGCGTGAGCTGCTGAAATGCGAACGCTGTGACCGCACCGCTGCTGCCCTGGTACGTCCAAGTGTGCTGCCCTGGTACGTCCATAGTGACCATCTTAGCGTCGCGAGAGGCCGACTCGGAAGCCTGAGTTCTCGGCATTTCTCGGCGATGGGTTTATCTCGATGAGTCTGGGGCATGTCTCCCCATATGATTGGTGAGCACGGACGACAGCAAGATTCATACATCTCGCTCTGCACCCCCATCATGGAACCGTAGATCCTCGACAGCGTCCCGCCCAGGCCGCCCGGGCTGGCGATGGGTCCTCGCGACTCGGAGCTACGGCCGGAGAGAATAAGGTACGGTGGAAGAAAGCAAGGGACCCGGGAGGAGAGAAACCACCCCCACTCCCAAACACTGCACCAAGCACAAAAAAAAAAAAGTATCTGAGGAGCTTGTTCCCTTAATTTGTTATTACTCTTATTATTATAACAAGTAGGCCCTTCTTCTTCAAGTTCTTCTTTCTTTTATTTTACTAGAAGTATCCTAATGGATCTTTAAAGATCCATTAGGAGTAGGTCCTAGGACCCGGGGTATATGAGTAAGGTAGGGGTACATATCATAGGGGGGGTATTAGTCATTCCACTTACACGTGGAACCAACCCGTGCATTGGACTCGCCGTGTCCCAGGATCCGCGCGCCCCACGTGTCTGGGGGAGTATGGGACACGCGCGTGCCCCACTCAGGGTAAATTCGCTAATCCAACCAAAACCTACTAGCAAAGGTCCCCAAAGGTTATTATAGTATACTGTGCCTATGGCTTTTTGTAGCTAGCTAAGGTAAGGTAAAAATTTTTGCTAGTAGAAAAAGTAGGATGTAACTAGTAGTTAGGTACGATAGGTAAACCATTATTGCATGGGAGCGCGCGGCTACGGGGGAGGAGCGCAGCGCTCAAAACGGGGGAGTTGGCTTCTATTTCTTGGCCGCGGCCTTCTTTGCAGTATATCACTATTTGCTTCTGCGCCTCATCCCTAATTGCCCCAAAAGGGGGAACACGCTCCCTCTCGGGACGCGCGTTTGTGCCGTCCCCTGTTCCTGGATGGTCCCCCTGGTCTGGCGCGCTCGAAAAATAACAATTTTTTTTCGGCGTCGGCGACGCGGGCCAGCCGTGGGCGCCCGACATATGTGCTGCGTCCAGAGGAGAGATACACACAAAGACGCCGCATGCGTCTTGTGCAAACTGTCCCACGAGCAGCCGCAGACGCTCTACGATATCCAACGCTGCGAGGCCCCACAGCAACCGAAGTCGCGGCGGAGAGGGATTATCGAATGTCGATTCTGTACTCTGGCATCCCTAGCTCGCCGCGACGGCCTCTACGCTCGTCGCACCCCGCGGCACTTCGATAGATCGCGAGCTTCGGGCCAACTTCGTAAGTGGGCTCGCGGTCTAACTCAACGATCCGGCCGAGATAAACGCGCATTTTAAATGCAGGTCTTACTAAAATGTGTCGCGAACAGACAGGTTTAGCTCACTTAAATCGTGACCTTCCGGGCCGCCGCTGACCTGGCCCATGTCGGAAATGCTCCAAGTCGCCACTTAAGTCGCCGACTCGGGACGAGAATTAATAAATAATAAACTTGAATTCACATAGCGGATAACCCCCTGAGTACTCGCCCTAGTGGGAAGACTGGTGGGAAGTGCCCGGGGAACTTGCATCGTGACCTCCCTCCTAAGCTTATGAGTCCCCACGCAATGTCTTGTACTGAAAATGGCGCATTTCTATATGCAAGATGATCTAACATGTTTGGCTACATGTCCACCAACTTTAACCGCGGCGTAACATTCATGCATTGGAGTTCTGACACACAAAGGTTACCCGACACATGGCTTAGAAGCAGCGTACCTTGGAAAAGAAGTTTGCAAGCATAAGGAATGCGAATCTGTGCCATGCGACTATCCGAGCGGCACTTTTGACACCAACTACTTCGCGTACAGATAGAGCGCTCAGTGCTTGATGCCTGCGTGCGCATTGTACCGAACGAGATATATCTTGAAGAGAGTATTGGCACTCGGTGAAGGCTGACTGTTGAATATCCAAGGAGGCCACAATACTCACATACATGAACATCAAATTGATCCGATGAGATCATCAGTCGTTCGGTAATTAAGTTGGCTGCGCCATATGATATAAGGCAATCACGCTCCATTTCGCCTAAGGCAAGTCTTCTCAAATATGTACATGAAAGCAGTCTCGTCACCGAGTCGCAAACCACCGTCACGCGACCGCCTACAAAGAAGAGAATCAGGTGCCAAAAATCAAGGCCATTCGCAGGGCGGTGTTATTACCCTTCGGTGGGCTGGCGCGTGAGCCTAGATCAAAGAGTGAATCATGAATTACGTTGAACAAGACTGCGCAGACGCACTGTGCTCTCGGACCTAGATAAACATAAGAGCAAGGATTAAGAACTGTATATCTACAAGCACAATATACAATATATAACTCAGAATCGAACCGCGCCTGTGGAGTCCTGTTAATGTTTAATGGACTTAGTTTGACAAACACACAGGGAAGGTACGCGCGTGAATGCATTTTGTCCATGACCATGTGTTTTAATTTCTGGTAGAACACAGGCCCCATGAAAACAAACGCCCTCAAAAGGTCGCCGGAGGTTCCTGAATAGAGCAAATCTTTTCCAATATAGGAATACCCATATGCGAGGAGTTCTCTTGATGCTTCCCTGTAGTAGCAAAGATATCCATGTAAGCAAGGCACGGATATTGTTACTTTGAGTGATCTGCAGAACCGCGAGACTCGCCAAATGCTGTGCCAAATGCTTGCCGCCCGTGACATACTCCAGCCTTCCCAGCAACCTACGTGTTTATTGGAAAGCATTATTACAACGGCCATATTGTCGTCCACACTCTCTGAACAAGTTCAATTATTTTTCCTACTGTCATGCGACTAGGAAAGCCATGAGGATTCATAATTACATCAGGGCATATTCCCACATCCGTAAACGGCATATCCTCCTGTATAATAATAATTACATAATGTTAAATACAAAAATAACACAAAAATCTTTGAAACCTGTGATATAATTGCGCCACAGACACCTTTCTGTCCGTGGCGGCTTGCAAACCTGGGTAATGTTGATTAGCTCAACCCGATTTTGTTTGTCTCTCTTACGCCGGTAGCCAGCTTGTCTCCAATTTCAGGACGACGAGACTGTCGCACCATGACTTTAACCAAAAACTGATCAGTTTCGTTTGCAGTGAGGAGCACACGGTCCACTACACTCGGTGCTGGTGCTTTGTACCTGTGGTCTAGATCATATCTCACCATCAAACAGTGCTCAGATTCCATGCGAGCACGACTGGGACTTGAATTTTGCGGGCGATCCTGGAGTTGTGGACATCCGCCATCCGCCACTTTGACTCCCTGACAGTGATATTTATGTGCAAGGCCGGCACTAAGCAGCAACACTGGGCATGACTCTCTCTCGCAGAAGAATAAACAACATCAGGAGATTCAATCGGCACTTCGCGGTTGATAATTATTGATTGGTCATTGAGTCTTTCGCCAACAAGACAAATCCCATCATCGTCGAGTGCGGAATAACGTTGGTATCGGGTGTCATGTATCCCTATTCCAATCGTATGATCTAGTTAGCCAACTCGACATAACCTTGTATAAACGAAGATAGTGGAGGCGGACCAATTGTTCGGTCAAATGTACCATTAGCATACCTGTATCAATGCAACTACCTGCCTCGTGGGGTGTAAGGCATGAACGGACCGTCGAATAGATGCCTGGTGCTTCTTAAGTACAAGGCAACGCAAAAACCCTCTATCAAGCGAGTTTTTATTGAGGATTATTGCGTCTTCAATGTCATAACCGGAGCACGACATAACAGCTAGCGTTGCGTTGCAACCACCAGGGAGATCATCGAAGTGAACTAGGTCTAGAATGCGACTCTTGACTATTGCCTTTTGTGGGTAAACGAGAGAATACAAGAGAGAGTCCATACGTTCGAACTGGTTTGTTGCCACTGATCCCATTGATTGTTTGCCCATTGCACATTGATATGTATTTCTTGGCGATTGATTGTGATGGGGAAATGCAACAAGACCACATACCACACCGAGAACGGTTGCTGGGTCGACCTCTAGATGTGTATGGCAGTGGGTGAGCTGATTTTCATCCAGTGCTATGAAACAATTGTTTTCTTCATTAACATCGACGTACTCCACGACACCTGATGCTGTCAGCTGACCGAGAGCTAATCTGAAGATGTGTACATTTAGTGTCTTGTGTTCGAGGATTTGGGGCAACAACCGGGAACGGCCGCGAGAAGCGATGATCAATGGACGACAGACACGTCCACCGTCGCAAGCTATATATATTGCTCGATGCACAGAATGGGTATAGACTGAGATGTGTTCGCCAATTCGTTTTGAGCGGCGCATCCGACGCAGCGCGTGTGCTAATTTGTGCGGCCTGGAGCACGCACCAATCACCAACCCATTGAGGAAAACCAGGTAAGCAGTGGCATGTGAGTTTAGGGCTGTCCCATTTAGGTGTCCTAGTTGTTCAACACCAAGGTCATAGCAGGATCGTTTTGTTGTTTCAATTTCAGCATCTGTAGTAACATGAGCAAGAAGTGCCAAATTTTTAACTAGGCCGCATGTTTCGCCCTCCGGCGTGTCTGCTGGACAAAGCATCCCCCATTGAGAGGGCTGCAAAGCGCGTGGACCCGATGTCTTCCTTGTTTTTTCGAACTGGGAGTTGACACGAGTCATCATCCCTATAGCTGATATGTATGACAGCCTCGAGAGGACCTGTGTGACACCAGCACGATCCATCTTGAAACGCTTCAGAACCCAATTTCCTGTTGATATGGCATGCACAAACCCCTGGGCCAGTGTATCAGTACGCCAAATGGTTGATTTCACAATGTCGAATACAGCCGTTCTGTTTTGCTTTTGCAAAACAAGGTCAGCTGATCGCTTTAAATCTGAATTGAATCGCTTAAAAAGATCTTCAAATAAAAGGCTTAGTAGTTGACCAGCAAGCTCGAGCCTCTTGTTACCGTAGTAGTCCTTGTCGTCCAGTAGTGAGTTATCAAGTAATGCAGCAATTACACGTTTTGTGACGTGGCCAACGTATGTACGCTTCGCAACAAAATCGTAGTTTACTACAGGCACATGGGATAGTACGACATGAGCCAAGACATCCCGCGCCTCTTCATCTGCAGAGATAGATCTTCGACCATGTGGGGCATATTGTAAAAACCGTACACCATCAACAGATTGTGCCTTATATTTTGCTCGAATCGCTTCACCAATGTACGCGAGTGCCTGTTTCTGTGTTTTCACGCGAGCTGCACTAGGTTCCTCCATGGAATTCACGAAGATGCTGGCAATTCGACAGTCCCCAGAACCTACCAACTCAGCAATTTCCTGGTCACATTCCATCCCCATTGCCTTCAGTATAACCGCAACTGGAATGTCGTCGCCCAACGTGTTGTGCTTTAGGTACACCCGATACCCATGCGATGTGGGTTTGACCACAATGGAGCATCTGCTTTTGCGTTCGTGAGTAGAACTCGTGATAGCTGCGCAGAACACCCCCTTTGCATCACGTTCAATTATCATTCGATTTTTTGAGAGTTGCTCCTGCATAAGTATGACCTTTTCAACACCCTTCACGATGAAGTAGCCACCCGGGTCGTGAGGGCACTCTTTTAAAGCTTCTAGCTCAGAGCGCGATTTCTCGTACAAGACGCACTTACAAGAATGCAACATAATTGGTATGCACCCTATTGGAACTTTTGAGGTGGTCACAATCTGTGGACCGCGGCGGTACTTTACGTCTACGTAGATGGGTGCGCTGTACGTACAGTCACGAAGCCGACATTCAAGTGGAGTTGCAGCTGTGCTTGTAAAAGCATCTTCTTCAATTGATGGCGATCCAACATAAACGTCTGTGTACGACAGATAAAAGTTTGGATCGACCTCTGATCGCACGGTCTGATTTGGTGCCTGTCAGTGGTATCGTTGAAAAATGTTTAGAATTGAATTTGTAGGCGCCGTGGCGCTCTGCAGCAACCACTTTCTTTATCTCGGTTTGAACAAAATAATCGAAAGAGGTCACATGCTGCTTCATGAGACGCAAAAAATGTGGTAGGATTTTCCATCTCGTCTAGATGATTTATTCGAAAGATAGCAGGTACAGAAACCACACACCTGGACATTGTGGGGCAATTGCAACATGGCTCCTTAAAAACCCGTCCGTCGCAAGGGCGCAATCATCGTGACTTCCCCGACCCCAGCCTTATCTTCTCTGCTCCCGGGAGTTGTCCACCGTCAAATTTCGCCAGTGCTCCGAGTCATGTCCACCGTGACTGCCAGTGCAGAAGCTGAAGCAATTAGTATGATTGCCACCACGACTCGGACCCTGCGGCTATCGCATCGACAAATACAACGACGCCAATATGTGCGTGCGTGTGACCAGATTAAGCACTTGGGCTGCGCGAGGCACTATCATTCGCGCAGTAGCGCAGTAAAATCATTCCTAGCCAGATATATCTCCAGCTAGAATTTTCAGCGCCACGCTAACTATGGCTGAAGAGAGTACATCGGAGGAAAAAGAAGTTTCCCGCAAGGTTTGCCTGCATCGAGTTGAAGTTCCTGTTGCGATAAAGGATGCAGCAATCTTAGCCGCAGATGCGGCCATGGACAAGTATAGTACTGAAAAGGTGCGATTTACACTTTCAAAAGGCAAGTTTGCGCTACGTATTCCCTCGCCCTAGGATGTGGCAACGGATCTAAAAAGAATCTTCGACGTGGCGTACGGTGGAACCTGGCATTGCGTGGTAAGATCAAAATTCAGCGAATCAATATGAAGGCATTATTTATGTATAGGTTGGTGCGAACTACGGGAGCTCAATAACCCACCAAACAACATCTTTGCTTTTCTTCCAGCTTGACCAGGCACACGTGCTCATCTTTTGCAGTGATACACCGTCCAAATGTTAGAAACAGAGACAAGCCATTGAATTCACCTGGCTAGTTGAATGGCCGTCAAGCAGGCTGGCGAACGCCCAAATCAAGGTTGGTTGACGATGCAAAGGAAGACATTCCCTGCACCACCGCTATACTTGTACTAGCACTGCGAATGATGCAAGACCAAAGGAGTACGCACCCTTGGGAGTACGGCGGCTGAGATAGTGCGATGCATAGGGAAATAGAGTGTGTAGCTCCGGACTTCACCGGCAGCGTAGTGTAGTCGTCTAACGAAATAGTTTCTCCCATGTTTGATGGGGTTTGTGACGGGGAATTACGTCCGTCAATTAAAGGTGACTCAGGATGATAATAGTTAGGAGTGAGAGGCGACTTCCCCCTACTAAGGGGATATCGGAGTACCCTAGGATGGGAAGTAGCCTAGGCGGGTAATACAAGTACGGGTTGTGCTTGGATACGTCTCAGTTGAACCTTGGGATCCTACTAGACGTGTATTTCCATTGCACTCCCCCATTGTCGTGATCGTGATCAGATTGCGATAATCATGAAATCGCGGCAAGGAGGATAACATTTAAGTTTAACATTTCAATAAGGTGGATCATCCTCCGCCCGCGCGCGGGAAGGGAGTCTATCGACGCTGACCAGCGAGTGAGCGTAAATTTGGCAGCATCCGGCGGCCGTGCTGTCGATCGCACCGACGCATAGCACGCAAATAGTTTCGATCTCAGCTTCTGCGCTGCCCCCAAGGATGCAGACAGGACCTACGTGAAGCGAGCCCCCATTATTATATGGCAAAGTGTGGTTGCTTTCGCCCCTCGGGAATCGGAAGGTGCCGAACGGTGGCAATATTCACTGGCCATCAGGTTTGAGCGCGCCGTTCACGCTGAAAGGGGGGGTAAAACAGCCAAATTTAGCTGTACTCACGGAGCATTAAGTGTCGCAGGGTAATTCAGCACGAATTTACCTTGGGGAGGATCGCTCAGGATCTTACTGTAAAAAAGAACCCGGTGTCCGGCTCGGGTTGGGGGCCCCCGCCGCGACCTCCGAGTCTAGTAGCCCTGCCAGTGGTACGGTCAATTTAGGCGGCGAAGTGGCCAACTGGCCAGTGCCAGTCCACCCGTGGTTATTTTTCGGCGGTGGATAGGCCCCGTAAATTACTTCAACTAATCCAATATAGAAATCCAATACCTAAGTTGTTGGCGAGTTGAGGCTATTTCGCGTCCGCAGAACCTAGCCTGATGTGCCGCAGTTAAATCTGCGCGCATCTGGAGAACCACATATTCTGCTTTTGTTGCGATAGGAAAGCTAGCAAACCAAAAAACCAAATTGATCTACCTTTAATCAACCACATCTGCAAACACAGTGTTTATAGTGAGGGGATTCGTCTGGGCAGTTTGGATTTGCTTTGTGACCTCAGCGCGCCGCCTGGTGTAAATCTGAAAGGCGGCAGGCCAGATCTGCTCCCCCATGCCAACGTTAGTTCCAGAATTATCAGAGAGCCAATTAGCTTCACTCTTAACTGCTTCGATCTCAGCCTTAACACTGGTATCAACTGCCTCGAAGCAAGCAATGTCTTTTTCATTAACATGACCAAGCTCGACAGCTTTGTTGAAGACAAAACCTTCAGCCTGGAGGCGCTGAATAAGAGGTATTACCTGCTGGCAGCGTGCCATCAGGGCAGCACGTAGCTGGCGAGCAGCCCGTTCTCCAACCACCCGGGGTGCGGTATGACCCTGAAGCATTGCGGCCTGAGCAGGTTGAGACAGTTGCTGTAATGCTGCCGACTTCATCTGGTCATAGATTGAACGCTGTTTGACGCCCGGTAGGTCAGCTGGCCAGGGTTTTGCAGTTCCTGCCGCATAAGTCTGGAGAATCTTTTCTTGGTGTAGTTGGAGTAATCTCTCGCGTTTCGTATTTTGGGCATTGGCCTTGGCGTGAAGCTCAAACGCCATTGACCATATCTTTTCTCCCATTCCTGGAGTGCCGTCTTGTTCCCCAAGCCATTCAGCCTCCTCCTGAATGCTGGCTGATTCCATCTTGCACTTAGTTTCGAAGACTTGGAGTGTGCTCAAATATTCAGCTGTTGGGATTTCACTGGACTGCCATCTTGCACGCTCCGTGGCAATACGTGTCCGCTGTTGCTCTTGCCGCAGGCTAAGAATCCACGGTATCTGCTGTTGGCATCGCTGCAAGAGGGCATCTCTTAAACGCTGTCTAGCTCTCCCTACAGCCTCGCCTTTGTCCTGGTCCTGGTTGAGGAAACCAGCCTTGATAAATTCATACTCTTGGATAGCGCGTTCTCTAGGATGAGTCTCTGGCCACGTCATGGGTTTGAATGCCGGCTGAGTAGAAGCAAATTGTCTTGAACTGCTGGGCTTAGAATCTATCACCTTACCCAAAAAACCTCCCTTCAAACCCTTCAGACCACTGCCAGCATCACGGCGCCGAGCTGCATCTTCAGTCGTTGCTTTTAAGGCACGTGCACGAGCTGCATCCTCCTGCCGCCTTTGGTTCCATATTTGCACGGCAATCCGCCTAGAGATAGATATTTTCATGCACACAAAAGATTTTTGCGCACCAAATTTCTTCTGAGGCCTGTTGGCTGCGCTCCAAATCATCACAAAGCCACCCTGCTTCGTGTCGAACATCGTTAACCTCCGTGTCTAAAAGTTGAGAGAACCGTGCGAATTTTTTCAAGTCGGATTCAGACATCATTCCTCGACGAGCCATTCGCTCGATTGACTGCTGCTCTCTTTCCACCCGCAGTAGCCATGTAATATGAACTTGACAACGGTCCATCAGTGCATGTCGTAGTTGCTGGCGAACCTCAGCTTTCATGTCTTCGTTTTCGTTCCATTGCGCCAGAACATGTCTTTTCAGGGCTTTGTATTTGTCAATTTGCTTGAGGCCCGGCAAACTCCGAGGCCAAGGCAATGCCTTCACTGCTTCAAATCCATCGCTAGCAGTTGCCGCCAGAGCTTTCGGGCCTTCCTCTCTGAACAGAGTTTCGTTGGAGATCTCATATGTTGTTGTAAATATGTATCTATATACCAACAACAACAAAATTGTAATAACGCCAACTGACGCCCATAAAGCTGTCATCGGGGTTTGTCTCTATCTTCGCTCACCATGCGTGCGGGTTGGACCGGCGCAAGGGACCTCTCTACTCATAAAGTAAGTTCCTCTTTTCATGCGCTTTTGACCAAAGCTGTGGGCTTTGTTTCAGTCCGTACAGGGCCCGCTTGAGCTTAACAGTTGTGTGAAGCTTGCCGTCGGTTCACCAGAATGTGACAGTTTACTATCGAGGAGTACTCCCGGAGTCCTTCTCTAGCTAGAGCCTCTTTAATTTCATTCATTTCATCCCAAAGATCATGGGTGTCAAAGTCCGTATCCAGGGAAGAGAAGATTCCAAATATCATGATGATGATGATATCATGATCCCGGGCCCACAAACCGGCGAAAGATTGTCCCCTCTTTTTCAAGCACTCTCTAAACTTAATTTCAGCTGTCCCTTGAGACTTTTCTAGTAAGTCTGGTTGTGTGTGTAGTAAGTGTATATAGAAGGGTATCACCGTGACTGGCATATGATAGGATAGGATTGGGGGGGTATTTCGCCCTGTTCAAGTGCATCGCAGTCGGCCCGGGTGTCCGAGTTCGCCGGGTGTTCAAGTTTGTAGCATCACGCCGGGTGTCCGAGTTCGCCGATGGTTTCAAGGGCATGTCGACCCTCCATAACATGAGCAAATGGGTTCGGACGGAACGATTCGGCCTGCCGGAATATCTGCTCAGAACGTGCACCTCGTCTCTTCATGTTCGGGAAGGGCGGAGGCTTAAGACGAAGTTGCGTCTGGGCTGCCACGATCCACGGAGCTCGAGCTGCCGGATGCAGCGTGTACGCAAGGCCCTTGTTGCGAATCCCGCGAGTCGGAGACGATTTAACACATGTTGTTTGAAACTTTGAATGCAAGGCCTTCGAGAAATAACGTGAAGTATTTCTTTCGAGATTACAACGGGGCCTGACGCCAAATTGGTGAGATTTTCAATTGATAGCCCGAACGGGGCGCCTTCGCCCGTTGGGGTCCCAGGTCGCCTGACGCGGCACGAAACGCCACTGGCGCGACGTTCGCGTGGGGGCCCTTCCGACCCCTCGCATTTTTAGGGCTCCACACTCGGTCAGAATGTGGAGCACCCCCTGGGGCCCATTCGCAGTAAGTTTCCCCGTTCGGGCTATTAAAGGGGAGGCGCTACAGCCCCCGATTTAATCGGGGTCCGGCCCCGTAGATTATACTCGGTTCGCCCCATCGCACGGCAATGACTGCTGAATATCGTTCTCGTTTGGTTATGGGGGAAACCCCGGGAGATTGAAAACCCGTTGTACCGTTATCTTACTGCTGATTCGAAGCTCCGGTTGGGTATCCTTGAGCAGGGAGAAGGCTCTTAGGAGCTTGTTCCTTTTATAGGCATTGTAGAACTTGTTGCCACTTTGCCTTGAATCAGGCTGGCGTGCTTGCTTGCAATAAACAATCCTCCGTCGGGACCCGATCATGTCATGCGCAACTGATAGTCGCCGTTTTGGGTGATGTAACGGACCCACGGAAGTGCTTGATAACCGCTTTTTTCGATGATTTTGAGGTACCGAACTTGAATGCCAGAAACCGTAAAATAAGGAATTTCGAATCTAACTTCAATTGGAGCTTTCCAACGATCTGGGTTCTCACCAGAGACAGAAGGTAGACCAAAATGCGCACGCATCAAGTACTCTCTTGCGCCATTGAACTGCTTTATACTCCAAATGATGACATTGCGATCTGGAAGATAGCTTACTGAACCAATACTCGATTTAAACGAAGGCGAATCCACATCGTGGGGGACTGGTATAACAATATCCACACTATTGGCGACAGAACGACTCTTGAACTGACTTTTTGCTTTGACCATGTACTCTATTCGACTGTGAGAGTGTGGCTCAACTACAGCCTCAACCCAAATAAGCGGTTTAACTTGAGTGGTCAGCCTGTATGTCATCAAATCAAATTCACCATCAGGTGGAATGAATGATATGGTGCGATCATTCTCAAAACGAGCAAGGCGCACACATTGATGAAACTTGATGTCCTCAAGTTCGACTGCTTTGCCCCGTGCGATTGACCTGCCGGTAGCCTCGAACATAAGCTTGTCGTTGAGACCCAGCTTCAGCTCGGGCATGCCGCTGAGGTATGATTTCATTCTTATTGCACCGATTATCTCTGAATTGAGAACGCCACCATTGCCAGAAACTAGAAGATTCAGTTTTTCAATGACATCGAGGAATATTTCATTTTTTCTGTGCTTTATGCCCTCGCTGCGCCAGGAAACGGCATTGGTGACGGCAATTGGAGGTCTTGGTGCAATCTCGTGTCGATTACTTTTTTGAGTGATGAACCTGCTAAAATGGTTTATATGGGAGCGGCATTAATGACCTACTCTCGCAAAATTTTCGCATCAAGTGACTGGGGGTAGCCAAAATCCAAAGTTTCATCCATGAGCTCATAGATGACAACAAAGTTATCCCGAATGCTTTCCTCGTCTAGCCCACCAAAGTAGTCCTTGAAAACCTGATCGTCAGGATTTTTTCGATGCTCAGTAACGTGGGCCTCACACTTATCAAGCGATACAACGTCATCAAAGCTAGAGCCACATTCGAATTCTTCCTGGTGACACAGGTCAGGAACAGGTTGTTGTGCTGTGAAGTATGGAAAGATTATTCTCAGTTTTGTATCAGTTTCAAACCTTGATGTAAGCAAAGGTACATCCACCCTCTGTGAATATTGGACGTTGATCCATCTCATCTTTATCTTGAATATATTGAGCAAATCTGAGTTTGCATAGCATATTGAAAAAGAGCTAAGCAGGTATACCTTTCTGAAGTCGATGTTGGAATGTCACCGCGATAGTTTCGGCCAATGATTACTTTTCCTTTCGCGTCTGTGAGGAACAGGCAAGATATAGCCATGGTGTCAAGGTCGCTGCGGTGCTGTCACCCCTGCATTCGAGGAGGAGAACCTACTAGGATAATTGCCCTCGTACGGGTTGGGACGGCGCCTAACGAGATCTAACGAGGCTGTTCGCGAGCGAAACGGGGTCTAGGATCGTGTATAGGCGGCTTGCATGAGTGGAGGAGTGCGCGTGTGTGGGACGTCGCCGCGCTAGACCAGGCGCGTAGAGCACACGTTGAGGGCGCACGGTGAGGAGGAGCGTCTGGGCGTCGGTCCTAGACTGTTTCCCGAACTTTGAACTGCGTCGTAGACCCAACTTAGTGCAGCATACCATAGGCTACGCGACACACAGGCGCGCCTGGACTTGTTTTGTCATCCGATCTCGACGAACACGGTTCAGAACAACCTTCAGTCATCACGCAGTACAGCACGCTTGCACCACATGCTGCGTATGCGAGCAGTGGTGAAGTAACCTCGTTGGCCTCATTTGAGATTTTTTCGGCCGCCGCAGCGCTGCCAGTCCACGACTCAAGGCTGGGCGTAGCCCCCCGCAGTGCTGCCGCGCGCCACTGGACGCGTTGCTTTGCCGCGACGTGCCGAAACGGACGAATACGGGGCGTAACCTCTCTTTGAGCGCTCAGAACTCTCCGCGTACCGCTTCACAGCGCGTCATCTTCAATCCGCAACATGCCAAGGTTGTAATCTTTGCGTGCGCGCCCGCGCTTTTTGTAATCTCGAGCCAACGCGCACGGGTTTTCTCAAAATGGGAGTTGGAATTGGGGAGCCCCAACATCTCCCCCAACCCTGTTCAGATAAACCCGGCGCCCTAACTTGAACCAAAGACCGCCCTGGGCAAGTCCCTGGGCCCTGCAGACTTGGACGTATAAATTGAACCATACTAATTACCGGGATTTTGCTAGGCCTAAACGTGAGCGTGCAAGCGACGGCGAAGAATCACAACGCCCCCGGTGGTCCGACGACCTTTGCTGGATGCAACGGTTCAAGTTACGGTGCCAGTGACTTTGACTCGACGCCAAACAGCCTTCAACCAAGGCTAGAAACTTATAGACTCAAAGCACAACCAGTCTTTATGGTGTTGCAGGCCCGAGTTGTTCGACTATTTTAGCGAGTTGCAGGCCCGAGTTGATGTGTATGGTGTTCGTGATGAAGGTAAATCTCGCTAAACCTTTTGAAACTTTGATCTTCTGGTCGCCTTTTGCTGCATTTTGACCCGGTGTTGCTCACGGGCCAACAGTGACTCAGTTGTGCCCTTTAAAAGGCACTGCCGCCATTTATGGAGCATGGAGTTCTGCGCATACTCGATGCTATGAACTCCATATGCCTCGGCAGCCTTCTTATCCCATGCGTAGGGTTTTGACAAGGCAGATTTGGACTTCATACAATCGTGCAAAAACTCGTGCCCAGGTCGAACAGCCTCAATCAGGATTTTGCGCAAGGCTGATCGTGGTCTCTCGCGCTTTAGCTCAATTTCAGAATTGATAAACCTGGAGCCCAGCGCATAGTCCTCGGTGAGCTCTCTTTCAGTGGACCGAGTTCTACCTATTCCGAATTTGCTCTGGACATCTTTGGCTCGCGCTCCCCTCCCAGACTCTCGCGCTTCCCATTCATTTTGTATTACCTGGTAGGTCCGCTCTTGGTCGTCATTGTGGCGAAGCAACAGACCCCCTGCGGACGCATGTAGCGTTAGGATCCAACTAGCCTCAAGATGTTTTCCTGTCAAACGTTGAGCAGGCGAGAATGGCGCATCTGAAAGCTGAAGTTGCTTTGACGATAAACTTTGGGAAGCATAAGGCTGGGGAGAGTACAAAGTATCATCCGCACGAATGAAATTTGTGTCCAGTTTGGCCTCTAGCACAATGTTAAGGTTCGCCGGTGATTTGTCAGGTCTTTCAGTGCCGGAATCCCGAGGTGCGTGCTTAGCTTGCTTGGGCCAGAAACAAGGCACGCACGCACGTCGTATTCCCAAAAAAGATTTCCTGGGGAAGACTATAGAGGAAGCGCACGAAGCGGAACGCAAGCTTGTTTCCTTGTTTCTTTCGAGCGAAGAAGTTGAAGATGGATTTATTTCCTCTGTAGATTCACCAATGACAAAGCGCACTGGCAGATCTTCAGTATGGATCACATCCAGGTTTATAGACAGCGGAAAACATGCTTGTGGAACCTCAAGGATGTCACGGAATAACCGCAGGTGCTTGTTGGGTGAATACATAGACCCAAAGCGGTAAGTCATGCCTTCTTCTTGTGTGCCAGCTCCATCTAACTCTTTTATGTGTAGTAGTTGTGGCCTGGGGAGACTAGTCGCGGAATAAGCAATAAGCGACCAGGAACCAGCTGAAATGGGTGTGTTGCTAGGAGCCCGCAGGGTGGCACTAACAATGAAGCCCCTTTCGCGGAGGCGTACTTTTTGGAGCCGCAACAAGCTGTGCGTTGTCGAGACATTCTCATCTATGTCAAGCGTATGGAGCGTGATATTATTAGCTGCGGTTGGGTCCGAGACCGAAAGCTCCAGAGCGATATCCATAAATTGAGGTGTCTCAGGGAAACATCCCAGTGATGTAGTTTTTGGGACTTGCTCTTCTTTGCAATTTGCATCAGTGTTTGAGGTCTCCGCGGGGGCATTAACGTCGACGACTGGGTTTATCAGCTCAACGACACGTTGAAATACGACAATTTCGCAGTCGGTATGGACAGCATCGTAGGTGCCATTCGCTGACGTCGACCAACCACCAAGTTGCTCGCATACTGGTGGTAACGTTTTGTATGACACAGGCGCAGTGCAATTAAAAGTGACATCTGCACCAAATGGCGCGTCTAGACAGACCCTATACGCCCGGCCTTTGGGTGCCAGCGGAGCGTAAAGTATTCCACTTCTTGATGGATATGGCCCAGTGATTTTTTGTACGAGCCGCAAGGACACACCTGTGGATTGGCTTTCTGTGGATGAGCAACAAAATGTCGAATTCTCTTGCTTGAAACGCCCATCTTCTTCTGATGTCTGTGCAGGAGACACCAGCTCCTCGAGAGTCAAAACCGCACTTCGCGTTTGTAGGGTGTGAATTGAGGTTGGTCGGGGCCCCGCTGTGGTACTATCGTCCGACAATGGTGCCGTGGTGAGTATATTGGTTTGTATACAGGCGACTAAGGTGGCGGAGTTGCAGCTCGTATTTATGTGGAGTACTCCAGGTTGACGCAAAGGTTGCGAAACAAATCCTACCCCGCTCGCTGACTCAACCCAGGAACTCTGCAGCTCGGCAGTGAATGGCAGCCCGTACTGCGTTGAAAAGGACAACAAGCGACTCGTGCTCAAACGATCAGTGATGTGGCAAATTGGCTTCCTTAAGGTAGTAGGTGGCAAAGTCAGGGGACCCGATTCAAAGTCAGACAGTCCGGACTTTGCGCACGACCATTCAAGTATCGCATCAAAACAATTCGTAATATTTCTTTTATCTGTTCTAACGGAATTGGCTTCGGGATATGTCAAAACCCCAAGGAGAGGATGTAAACAAACACCAGTCTCCGTCGTTTCTACGAGCACAATAAGTTCTTCGCGTGCCGCCATCAACTTGTTCTTTGTCATTCTTGCTGCTGTGCTGCGTGCCATAGATGCTTGATTTAGCATCTCATTTGACACTTCACGGGATTGACCGCTTCTTCGACGACCGCTTGGCTTAGAGTGTCGATTCAAAGAGGACCCTGGAAAACAGTTGGTGCTTGCCAAATCAATCTCCGCCAACGAACATTCAGGTGTCCCGCGCTGAGTAAGACGTGCTGTGAAAGCATCAATAGGACCTGGCTTCGACGGTATGTGGATGGGAGACGGGGCCCAGCCCGTAAGTGCCGTCGTAGCAATAGCAACTAAGTCAAATAGTGCCTGTGGAGATGATTCATCTACTGATGGTATCGCCCGATAAGCTAGATGGGCAACTTTGTATGCTGCCTTTGCCAGAATAAATGGCCACAACTCGCGCCTCTCGCGCGAGAACACGATGGTCGCTTGTCCACGTGCATTTATGGGCACACGATCATCAATCTGAACTCTGCGCCATGAGCCACAAAAAAAGACTTTTACGACGTATTTGCCACCGGGGTTATAGCACGGCCTTCCTGATCTATCTTGAGGGTATATGGCCTCCCAAAGAAAAGGTTTATTCCGATTTTGATCGCACTGACGTGCATACATTGCCACCAACCGAAGCAGCGATGCTCCAATCTCATCTTGCTCTTTGGATGATGTAGCGATCCCATTTGGTTGGTCCGCCAAAGCAAAACCCCTCTCAAGTGGCAACGAATCCGGGGGGGGGGGTCCCCTGTCAGTTTGTGGTGGTAGAACGACAACCTGTGGGAGCGGCTCATTTGTGATTGCATCAATAGCTGTCTCACTCCACTCCGCAAGAGCAGTGTTTTCCACGGCCTGTGCACTTCGTACATTTGACTGGTCATCTGTCACAAATTCCTCATTACTTATTATGCTCGTCTTGACTAATATCTCAGAGCTCGCTGATTGCGCTGACTGAGAGCTAAGACTGGGTGCTCGAACCCAGCCCACACTTGTATCCCGAAGCCAGAACGGCAGAGCTTCAAGGTCGAACTCCTGGTCCACATACGCATCATCTGTGCTAAACCATCTCTCGCCCTCAAGCTCATGTGGCCATTTAGGCAAAAGAGCGTCTGCCACCCGCGGCCAGAGACCGGCGTGCTTATTTGAGGTACACTCCGCCTGTCCCAGGGCAGGCAGAGGAGTCCGGTTGTCACTGCTCTCAGAAGTTATTGGGGGATCCGTGGCTTTGGACATGCTTACAACAGCTTTGATTAAAACAATATAAGATATACAGCGACGTATCTTGCTTGTGAGCCGATGGCGCCGAGCTCGCGGAGCGGGCGAGCGAGGCGCTAACTAGGTAAACGAGATGGTTCCAAGGGAACCATCGCCGCCGTGCGCGGCAGCAAGCAGCCGAGCACGACCGGTGTCACGTTGACTCGGACAGTGCACCTCCGAGTCCGAGTCATCATGATTGTCAGTGCCGCGGACCGAAGTGTGTGCCTGTGTCATTTCGGGGAACGTTACACCGTGACCTCGACTGCCTCGGGCTGCTGAGTTTTAAGCTCAGCGGCCACTGGCAGGTTCGGAAACCATCAAAACAATCAACTTGAACTCCTTTGAAGTTGACTTTCACTTCACGTTGAAGTCATGTTTCAGGTTACGTGCCCAGACCATACTAGTATTGTGGAAAACGGTAGGCCGGCAGTATGGCACTGCCGGCATCCCAGCGGGTTTGGCGACTGAGGTCATAGGAGGGTCCCCGTAAGGGATCAGCACTTCATGTGGTGTAATGCGAGGAAGTGTCATAATTGCGCTGTTGAATGTAGATAGTATGTGGATAAGGGGGAAGGGAACTTCCTAGGGGCGAGCTAGGGTAGGCCCGGTCCCGATGATTTCCCGGCCCGCCCGGGCCGCGGCCGGGGCCCGCAAGTATCGTAATGATCTAGCCTAGGAGACTTCGGCGTCCTTGGGGGGCGCGCAGAAGCTGGGATCGTGGCATTTTACGTCAAAAAGCGGGGGCGGGATCGACCGCCCCGGTCGCCGATGCTGCCAAATTCACGCTCATTAGCTGGTCAGCGTCGATAGACTCCCTTCCCGCGCGCGGGCGGGGCGGGCGCGCATTGCCGTTTTTTGGCACAAAAATGGGAGCCTTGCCGCCGCCGGCCGGCCCAGCGAGCCGATAAAATGTTTGATAAAGCTACTAGATGAGGGTAATTAGGCTAGCTTCGGCTGATGGACCTCCCCAACTGAGCTAAGAACCACAGGCTGAGCCGGAATAAAAAAACCTTGGGCCAACTGAGCGCCAAATGGTGCTCCGACAGGTCGATTAAATGCTAAACTCCCCTGATGGACCTCCCCAACTGATCAAGGGGGAGTGATGATCAAGGGGCCAGAGGACTGCACCGTGACTTCTAGACTGCACTGCCAGTGGCAAGGAATATACCTCTAGAATACCCCCCACCCGGTGGGCCCGGCCGATTAATTTTACTACACCGTGACCGTGACTTTTTTGCCCTCGTCAAAAGAAGCTCCTGAGCCTGAGGCTTATTCAAGTTCTGTTTTCTACTATCATGCCGTTATTGAACGAGCACGTGCTAGACTCAGTAAACCCAATGAAGACAGTGCTGGCGGTGCTATGGCCGGCGACGTAGTCTGAAACCTTGTTGTGTGTAGACCTTGTTGTGTGGCAACGCGATGCAGAAGGCGCCTTATTTCAATGTCTATACTCCCTAAAATCATTGGGAGTGCCAGTGTCACTGTCTACAATATTCTTCTTTGTGAATACATGAGCATCATGATCAACAATGAGAGCGGCACTCGTTATATCACTAGAGAGTAGCACTCGTTTGAGGACAACAGCAGATTTGGCAAATGCCTACGAGTCGTGTTGATCAAATCATATGAGCACTTGTCAAGTTAAGCGCGGGAAGCTTCTCACAGCCACCTGAGCTACACCGTTTCTTGTGAGGTTGCAGTTGCTGAGAAAGCAAATTGCGTTGGGTGCCACACAGAGACCACAGTGATTATTGCTCTTAATATCACATAGTGAGAACGTAGCCTTGGCACCAGGGTAGACGAACACCCCGGCGGCAGTGGCACTCACCACAATGGAGCAGCTGACGTGCAAACTTGCGCCTGCTCGCATTAGAGTATTCTGGGTTACAACACAAATGGGCAAGCGCCAGGAGACAAACCTTTGTGAAGAGATATCGCAGCGCCAGGTGCCCCAGAGCAATCCACTACCACACGATGACAAACAAGATGACCACCTTTAACAACAAGTGCTGAGTTTGTGATACCCCGTGACTGCAAGCGGTGGATTGTGATACCAATAAGAGCACCGGAGCGACCGCGCCATTCCAGTGCGTTGTTGAGCTCAATGAGAACCCGCTCTGGCATGTTTAAATCTCCAACAATGCGGATTTTGCTGTCGATGAAGAGGCTTGATCTCTCCCAGTAACGACCGGGCCCAAGAATAAGAGTTTCTCCCGGCAATACCGACTTCAACGCGCAACTTAGTGAGGTGTGGCGTTTACAAGGTGGTTGTGAAGATTGTTGGTCCCTATGAGTCAGGGTTGGGGTTGGGCTGTTCGCAGGTAAGACTCGAACAAGAAGATTATCCTCGCGGCAGGCGCGGGCCCAATTTTGGCACACGAGTGCGCAAGTCAAACGTGTGGGAATTGGCTCACACATTGCGATGAAGAGGAACGAAATTTCTCGGGGCCAATGGCTATACCCACCCTGGCACGCCTGCAGATAGGCGTCGCCTGTGTAGAATAAACCATGATAATTCTCTATCTTCACGAAAAAATCTCAACTAAAAAGACACCCTTCAAATTTCAACTTCCTCGCCGGGCATCGCGACGCTGAATGACAAATGGCTTCATCCAAGTGGCTTCTGCTGTGTCTACATTGTACCAGAAAGGACTGCCAGTAATAGCATCCGTGCGAACTTCCCACGCAGCGCCCGTGCACTTGCGCTTGCGCTTGGCTGACTGTGCAAGCTGGCGGCGTTCGAGGAATTCCCGCCTGTTGGAATTTTCAGGGACACTAGACGATGTGCCGGCTCTAGTTTTAGGGATGAAATACAAATCAGTCGCTGATAGTTCACCTTCTGAACAAGCACGGTGTTCCTCTATCTGTTGAAGGCCTTCGGTTGTTTTGGCACCCGCGCCCCCTTCCCATTCTTTTTTTTTAATCGTTGCTACAAGCCTGCGCTCAGCTGGTACTAAGAAAGATTCTTCTGCAGCCGCTAAAGGAACTTTCGAAATTTGAGCCTCGCGGATCAAAATAGCGTATCGCTCAACAGCGCTCAAAGACCTCGTCAATGTGCCAATATCCATCCCGATTTGTTCTCTCCATGACACAGTCTCTGGTCCTCGCGCCACCGCGCCCACTCCAAAGGCAGCCCCTTTGTCCGCTCCAATTTCGGTACAGGGCTCTTCGAACTCACGAGATTCGGAGGCTGCTTCGGCTGCCGCTTCCCGTGCACATTTGGCGTCGATTTCATCTTCAAGTTCGGCCATGGTAGCTGCGAGCTTGGCGTCGTCCTCTTTTGCCGGTGCTTTTCTCTGATCATTATCTCCTTCCGTGTTGAGCAGCTGGCTGCAGAAATTCCCTTCCGTGAGAGTAATAAGCTCAAGCTTCTGCTTTTGCCGAGCTTTGAGGAGGATATTTTCTTCAATTGTCGAGGTGCAAACAAGTCGATAGATGTGGACATCGCGACTTTGCCCAATTCGGTGTGCGCGGTCCATAGCCTGCGCATCCATCGCTGGATTCCAGTCGCTATCATAGAAGATGACGGTGTCCGCACCCGTAAGATTAACACCTAGTCCTCCAGAACGGGTCGAGAGCAAAAAGCAGAACACAGCTGTGTCTGAGTTAAAACGAGTCATCAATCGCTGCCGTTCATCTGGTGAAGTGCCGCCATCAAGACGAAGATAACTATGTCCATGCCAGCATAGAAAGCCTTGTAGCACATCAAGCATCTTAGACATCTGAGTGAAAATCAAACAACGATGTTTCTGAATTTTTAAGCGCCTTAACAATGGTGCGAGCTCATGAAATTTTCCCGAGTCCCATTGCAAAAGTGTCCTATCGGGAAATGACACGCGCAATGCGAGTGTAATGTGGCGTATTGGCAAGAAGGCGGCGGTAACTTTAGCAGCAATGTTGGTAGACACCCCAGACAAAACTTTGTTTTGTTCTCTGAATGTGAAGAGAGGGGCACTGGCTAGGGCTGCTGGTACTACAAATGCAAAGCGCTTTAGTAAGTCAAAAAGATTCCAATATCGGGCGTTCACCGTAGCTTGATGCTCCAGGTGTCTTCGCAATGTGTCTGATGCCTTTAGGCTTTGCCTATTTGAATGGAGCCTACTATCATTTGGATGAATGAGAGATTGCCAAGCCAATGCAAGAGGCGTAGATGATTCAAAAACCTGTAAGATGAAGTGGAGTGTACAAGATGAAAGATGAGAAGGTAGTGTAGCATCTAGCGCGCGCGTGCATCTCGCTGTGTGGCGTAACATCATAGCAATAGTGTTTTTGACAAGTAATCTACCCGTCAACGTGTGGCTTGACATAGGCAAGTTGCTAGAGGACCGTGGTGAGCTTACTAAACAATGTTCACTAAGTACAAGAAATGCCGATGCAGGCAGTGTGGTCATACAAGAGGTGCACCTGGCATCCTCCACGCAGCACGAGATGCCACGCAAACAGGTAAGTCCAGACAGCATCAGGGGAATTCCAAATGACAAACCTGGCAAAACAAGAGGTGCCAAAACAGAGCGTGGCTCACATAGATCGGGATGATTGCACACCTTTCGCAGCTGCATCACAATGTTCATTAGTGACACGAAGCTACTACCGCAGATACCATATTTACCTGAGGCAACGCGACGACCTTTGCTGTGATTCATAAACTCCTCATAGAGTAACTGCTGACGTCTCGAAAGTTGGCACTTGAGTTCGTGTTCAAATTTAAGAGGCAATTGTTTAGCGACATCCTTCTTAAGACGACGCAAGACAAATGGACGCATAATTGAATGGAGCTGCTTAACTAGGTCCTCAGATATGTTGGAATTTCCTTCAATGGCACACTGAAGCGGATTTGCAAACCAGTAAGAAAATTCGTGTCGTGACCGAAATAGATGAGGCATTAGGAAATGCATCAAAGACCAAAGCTCCATTAGCGAATTCTGTAACGGTGTGCCTGTCAGTAGCAATCGCCGTTGCGCCTGGAATGAAAGAAGTGTGCGCCATCTTCGACTGTCAAAGTTTTTGATGTTATGAGCTTCATCAAGAATGAGATAGTAGAATTTCTTGCGGCGGAGGATCGAAGCATCTTGAACAGCAAGTTGATATGATGTCACTACAACATGCACAGATAATGATTTCGACCAGCCTACCCGCAGTTGTTTGCGGGCCTTAGCTGCACCATAATAGGTGAGCACTTTGAAACCAGGGCAAAACTTCTTCAGCTCCAGCTCCCAGTTCACGAGGCACGAAGTCGGAACAACAACAAGGTGCGGACCCCATAGACCTCTACAAGCCGCAAGATGTGCCAGGAGGGCTATTGTCTGCAAAGTTTTGCCGAGCCCCATCTCATCTGCAAGGATGCCGTTCAATCGTCGCTCATGCATTGACACAAGCCAATTAAGACCAATCTGTTGGTAAGGCCTCAACATGACAGTACTATCGAGTAAATATGGTCGAGCGACCTCTGCCTCTCGCACACGCGCGTCTGCTGCCTCCAACTGTGCCATTAGACTCGAGCTCTTCCCGCTAGTGCGGATATTTATAGGTTCAGTCTGGCTGCGATGTGGTGGTACTATTTGTTTTGATGTCACTAGCCCACCAAAGCTGCTTGCTCCTCCACCGTGCATGCGTTCCGCTAGATCTCCAGTGTACTGTTCCGTCTGGCGTATAAGTTCGACTAAGTGCTTATCCATCGCTGCTCGTTGTGACGCTTGCCAAGCCAACCGTTGCTTGTGCGCAATGACCCGATCAATTTTTACCCAGAACTTTTTAATCAAGCGTGATGCCCGCTGGGCCAACTTTTTTTTTGATACCTGACGGTTTATGAGATCGAACTAAATTTAGCCTGCAAACTTTGACTTACCTGGTGTTCGCGTTCTTGTTTCTGTGCACGGCCCCTCGCCCCTCGGAAGTGTTGCACAACGGCCTATAATTGAGCTAGAGTTCATCGGTTGAGTTTGAGATGGCCAGGACCTTTGATCGTTTCTTTCGCATTATATTGTGTCGCTTCCCTAAAAGTAAGAACTAGCTGCAACTAAAAGAAAAGTACAAGAACACCGGTGGCTGGCTTTCTACCCTGAAGTCTGCGGCCATCCATGCCATTTCCTTCAGCAGAAAGCCTCGATGTGTCTCAAGAACTAATGGAGGTTCTATCGGCTCCACCGTCGTCTGACATGCAGTCGATTCAAGCATTCTCCGCAGCTCGAAGACTCTGACAACGCATTCGTTCCGAGAAGCTTCAGGCGTCGCCCCCCCGCCCGCCTCCAGTAAGGCGCTACAAATGTCATTCTTGGCTCCGTCCATGCTTTGCACTTCTGTGCCGGAGGATTATCGCGATGCCGATACACCTACCGTAGGCACGTACCTACCTACAGTACGGTACTGTGACAGCTTATGATAGAAATAACCAGACACCCGCGGGTCGGGCTAGACACACCCGGAAATTCCTTTTTAGCCTTATAGATATTGAAGTCAGGGATTCTTTTCGTATTGCGGGTCCATTTATACGCCCACAGCCGCATTCAAGTTACTAGTAGCCTGCCAGTGAGTACTAGCCTGAGTACACCGTCACCGTGACGGTGACGTCCACGTCACGGTGGCACCCGGGCCGTGACTGGCACACTGCGCCGGCCCAGGCCCCGGGCCGGGGCAGCTGTGCAGCTGATTTCTCAGCGCGAGGCTGCCCGCACTGCACCGAACTTTGCATGCCCCGCCGGCGGGCCCCGTACCGTTAACGGTACGGGGCACACAGGCCCTAGTGAGTTTTGCGCCACTAGCATTTAAGCTGTTATGCGCCGCTCGTCAGAACGCTGTTCTTCGCCGCTCGTCCTTTCCGTCCCTGTAAAAACGTTTCTCTCGCTCTCCGCGTTCCGACCGAGCTTACCAAATCATGATGTAGATTTCAGAATTTTAAGATTTATATTTTTATGATTTATGACGATGAGAGCTCCAAAAAGCGTCAAAACCCCGTTTAGTAGGTTTAGCGGCAGCTGCACAATATCATGCCACCCGCGTGCGGGTTGCTCCCCAATTCCCCCTCAACGGCTAGAATGGTGAGTCATTCAACACCCGAGCCTTTTTGAGTAAAACCGCACGCGACTGGCGGCGGCATCAAAGGGTACTGCAGCAAAGGTGATGACTTAGTGGCGGCTCTGGCGCCGTTCGGGCCGGAGAAGAGCGTGTCGAGTCACATCGTCAGTCTTGCCAAATCCCGACGACCCCACCCCCATTTTTGTTAGGGGACGGGAATCGACTTGTGTGCCCTTTGTTCTGGAAAATCCTGACCTACAGGCTGCCAGTGCGTTTATATTCGCTATGGAGCTCAGGCTATCCTAGTCTGGCTTCCCTGGGTTGCCATTTACCTGAGGGGGTATTACCCCTGGCGCCGCCCGGGGTTAATAACCCGGGTAATTGCCGGTTAGTACGGGATATTTACCTCAGGATCTTCAAGTTATAGAGGGGTAGGGGAGGGGGCCTCACAGGCCACTGGCGCGGGCCTGAGCCGCGCCGGGCCACATGACTTGGTACTTGCCTTGGCGCACCTGTACGTATCCAAAAGCCCAACGGGCTGCTTGCGCCCATCCGCTCGTCCGGAGGGGTCTTTCGCTAATCTCACTAAACGGGTTTAGTCGAAAACCCGCCGGGTTATTGAGCGGGTTATTTACCCCGGATCCCCTTCAGGGGTAATAATAGGTAAATTACCGGTTATTAACCGGTTAATGGCAACTTAGTGGCTTCCCCCCCAGGCCACACTGGCATGTTTATATTCGCTATGGAGCAATCCTAGTCTGGTGTCCCCCGCCGACTCGCTGATCTCAGGCTCAACTAACTCTAGCCGCAGAGCATTGCGGCGCAGATCACTTACGCTGTGAGCCAGGCGTAAGCGGCGGCAAGCCAGGCGATGTAGCAAAACTTAAAATTGTACTTTTGAATAAAATGCTCCTCACTGGCAGGCTCACCCAGGCCCGCTCGTAGATGCCTGGGTAGTCTCTTTATCTCGCTCGTTGGACCAAGCCCGTGATCAGCCACTCGGATAGGGACCTGAAACTGCATTAACTCCGTCACTGGTCTAGAAGACAACAACTTTTAATGCGAAAGTCCCAATCAGGATGCTAACTTCACAGAGTGCGCAGGGTATGTTGCAAGTGGCAATAGAAAACCTAAGCATTCTATGAATGTGAAAACATTTTTATTGCGGATCGCACCAGATATACTGATATTGCCAGGATTGGGTAATCATAGATGTTATAAAACAGCTACCCACGAAGTGGCAGATAATTTGAAGAAGGTTTGCCTTGGGGAAGAATAGGGATGTGCCCATAAGAATTCCCAGCACATCAACGGCGAAACACACCAGGCAGATTGCATATGCCATCATGAACTACAGTAATAAATTAGATGCTGGGCTGCTTCACAAGTCTACCTCTTTTTGGGCATCCTTGGGATCAGCGGAGACCGCAGAAGAGAGATTCTCTTTTCGCGTATGAACCATCGTTAAAACAGAAACAAGATGACCCACGGTCAGCAAGAAGCGTGCCGGGATAAGAAGGTTAAGAGAACTACGACCCATATTTACAACTTGAAGAGTGTCCCGCTGGCACGCGCTTGAGCTACCAGAGCAGCCAGGGTTTTACACTGCAAAATATAGATGTAAGTTCTTTATAGGATTTTTTTTTAGTCACGGTCGGGAGCTGGAGTGCTGAAGGACAGAGCCAGACTCGGATCAATTTGAAGGAATGGACTATTATATCTTGGGTAATTTGGGGGGGGGAGAAGCCTGGGAGGCCTTTGGCTGAGTTAAACCAAGGCCCTCCGACTCCGTCACTGAGACAAGACAAGAAGGAGAGAACTTCACACAGGACCGCGGCGCCGAGCGTGGGCCTCGAGCAGACCAAGGAACAGTCGAGCGGAAGGCCGGGCCTCGTACGTTCCATCTGGTGGGCCCGGGTTAGTTTTGCCCTTTGGGTCTACAAGTGGTCAAAGACTAAATTCCCAAATTGCACCCTTTTCCCCGTGCGTGCGCGAAATCGCCAAATACTCCGATATTTTTGGCTCAACCCCCGCCCTTTCGGTGCCAACTCGGCTAGCCGCCGTGATTTCCGCCGAGGCGCCGCGCCCGTCGCGCACCGAGCTAGTAGGTATGGGAGAAACACGAGTCCGCATGTGCGCAACGCCACCACCACCTTTTTACGAGCACCTCTATACGCCCCGTGTGGGACGATTTCTCCACTGGAAGCGCCCGCCAGAGATAACTTGGCTCCGTGCGGGGACCGTTTCCGATGATCTCGGCGACTCTGTCAGCTCGTAGCATCGCTTTCGCACCCACGCGCATGGGCATCTGCCCACACTGCGGTTTCGCTTGTTCCGAAGACGCGTGCTACGCGTGCCGCACGCCGCCGACGCGCGCCACGGCCACTTCGACCTACTGGCGAAGCGAGCGTTTCCGCTTGCTCCCGAAGGTACAACTGCGGGGTCGAATCCTGATTTGGCGAAACGGGGTATCCAAGCGGGTCCCGGGTGACATTCCACTAGTACTGGACTCGAAAATACGCTGCTGCCATTTATTTGCACCTCTCCCTTGGTACGCATCGAATTTTAGCCGTACGACTCAAGCCACACATGCGAGCGAATTCGATCATGCTGTTGTTGCATGTTGAAAACGGGCGTAAGATGCCATAAGATGCTGCGGCATGCGATGACCTACGCTAGAGTTACGGCCTACATTACACGCCAAGTCCGCGGGGCACACGACATTGACGGCAGTCCCACGATATTACAGGTATCAGCAAATCGGGTCATAGTGAAATCCTTGATTGGACAGTGCGCTTACAGAAGTCTGAAATTTGATGATGTCGCAAAGGTGGCAACCGTTACCTGGGTTTCATTCAGTGGAAACACTGGCCCGTGGCTTGTCGTGCTTCTGGATAGTTGCAGTCTTGTCCTTTTTGCACCCGACGGGAGCCAAGTAGAAGCAGCACTACCGTTTCATGTTGACTGCATCTGGCCAATCTTACCATGTCCTGTAAGCAAGGGGGGGCTTGTTCTTCAGTGCGTGCAATCCCAGCTTTGTGCATCTAATTTATCGCCACGAATTCCCCTATTCTCAATGACTCATCCACTCGAGAATTTTTGTGCTGTTGAAGCCCCATACCAAGCATATGACGGCAACATATCGTATAGTTCGCCAGACCGTGTGGTCTTCGTCGCTGAAGGTGTGCCCCTTTTAGTAGTCACATACAGTAAGTCGCAACAAAAGCATTTTGTATGGCGCATCCATAAACGATCTTCACGTTCACTTAGAGTAGACTATGGAAGCACTCCGTCTCCAAGCACGTGTACAAAATGCAAACTTGATCCGCCGCGTTTGCCTCGAGTAGTCACCTCATCCAAAGAAGGCAGGTGCGGTGGTCAAGTGTCAGGATCAGACATGTCTCTGCTTCATACACCAACAGAGAGCATATTCCCGCAAAGGCCGGAGCTATTAGCTCAACGCATAGGGGCTCAAAATGGAAATATTCACCTTGCTAGTTCATCCGCTGCTATTCGAATTTTTTGCGTGAGTGGCGAGCAAAATGAGTCCATGCTCTGCCTCCTGTTGCATAAAAGTAATTTTAACTTAGAACCTTCGTGAGATGTCTGTGCAAATTGTTACAGGATACTTAGATGGACATACACCACACAGGTTGATTGGGCTGAAAGTTACCTCACTGAGTGAGGTTGATATTCTTTTACCTCCTATGCTCCAATTTGCATTTAATATACAATGCATTGATGCCCAACCTGTTAACGTACAACGGCACCGTGTTGGTTTTGTAGTCTTAAGGCAAGAAGGGAGTCTTGCTTTAATGATTGATGGTCTTTCCTTGTCATACATAGAGACTTCGAGTTTGCTAGCCAGTCCAGCTACTACTTCTAGTGCCAAAAAATGTCAAATGATAACCTGATTTCAAATGACAACGTCTAGGTTTATCGAGTCCCCTGTTTGCACCTGGGGCACATCTTCTTGGCACGCAATGGGACGATTGCTCCGCCCTGACCATGACATCCTCCTGGCAGCACATGCGCCTGAAGGTCTCCCTCACGCTTGATTCAGCACTCGCAGAATCAGCTCTATCAGCACTCGATGACACACTACCACATTCGCTCGCATCCATCTTGTAAGTTACCTTGAGGGTCCAAGTACTGCGGTTCATGCCTCGCGCGATGTTCTTACTACACAGGCGTGCCTCGGTGCTTACTGTCGTGGACTTTCTGGGCCGCAGCACTTACCCTTGTGGTATTTCACTCAGTGAAGTCATATGGACTGCGTTTGTAGTTACGCTTAAATCTCTTTTTGGTTCCCTGGATGCATCATGAGCAACTTGTGTCCTTTACAATGAAAGCGTCGCTCTTGTTGAGCATTTTCCACATAGGTAGCAAACTATTGAATGCTAATCTGAATCCGAGCCATGATTTTGTCAGTGATAATCGCAGCGACAGCAAATGGTTCTGGTTGAACTTGATTTGCAATCAAACACACCGAAAGCATTCGTTATATGCATACAAGATCGCGATTGCCTTGCCTATCAGAGCCGGGAGCTTACTAACAGACCGCTCTCGTGTGTGTTACTTTACTCTAATTTCTGCCGCCCAAGACGTAGCCCATCGAGCTCTGGGCTTCACCCAAGTGGATGCTGAGTGGAGAATGCACCTGAAACGTATCTATGATGCGATCTATGCAGCTCGCGAAGACTGTAAGCTATCATCACTCTCCTGGGCTCACTTAGAACCGCTAAGCTTCTTGCTTGATTCCCTAAGCACGGATTTTCAGCCAGCAGACCGCGTAAATTCCCAGGATCTTCAATCCAATCTAAAAAGGGGCCAATCTCATGCTAGTAGAGACAGCTGTAAGAGTCTTGCGTTTAAATAAACTACGAACCTGATGTCAGTGAGCGCATAGGTTTTGTTTCTTCAGGTACTCTAAACAAGAAGCAGTTAATTGGCGTTCAAGAATGGGTTTCTGATATATTGAAAAGTCAGTTGTTTGGTGACGTAAAATATGGTTCTTGTGCTTCTTTTCGCTCTCGCGCAAGGCGCCTTTCTTGCATCTTAAACGTACTTAGTGGTCAAGCTTGCCTAGATTTGCGACGAAAACTAGCTGAAGAGCTCATCCTTGCGATGGTACGCACTGGACTACATTTGGATGAGCTTGGCTTTCTGACCCCGGGGTTTGTTGTGCCTATACAAGATGCTCTCAATGTGTGTTGCCTGGGACCACCCGACTGTTGGCCTACTTCTGCATATGAACTTATTGGTCGTGGTGATCTTGCTTGTCTAAATCTAGCGATCCAACACCGTGAAGAATCATTAGTTACCATAGAGGCACGTAGTTGGGAAGCAGTACAGATGATGTGCGCCAGGACACACACGTACGCTGCTTATGTAGTGGATAAGGGCCACATATCCTACCTAGACGAAGATGGGTATCTCTCGGTGTCCATAGAAGACACTGTTAGATGCAGGCAGCACTATCAACACTCTAATTACATAGACTTACACGCATATGTACTATGGCCTCTCTGTGCCATGCTGACAATTCCCTCTTGCGTGAAGTATCTCGATTACTATGTTCATCAAAACTGGTTTTGTTTAATGCAACACGTCCCCCTGAGATATCTGATCATGACTTTGAGCAGCGCAAGCAAGCATCTCTCCTTTTAGCATGCACCCGATCATTTGCGACAGCTGCAGGCCGAGGTATGATCACTTTCAGGTCATTACCATCCTTAAGTACCCTAGCGGAGGTTCTCCTGGTGAGTGACTGATATACGTATGTAGTGCAACCTGCCTTCCAGGTACCAAGAATGTGTCTTTTGGGTCGTTCACCACCTTGCAATGTCACTGTGGCTCTTGACCTCTCGTCGCCTCTCGCAGGAGCTCTGAGCTTATGGCCAAAGTTTCACAACGGTGTTGCTGTTGGTCTGCGACTACAGTCCTTAAGATCGACATCTCGCCTCACTGCTAGACAAAGAAAGTCAGTGTGCATCACACGAACTTGGATAGTGTACAACAAGCCAGAGATTCCCACACCCCAACATGGTGGGCTGTTGCTCGCATTGGGCTTACAACAGCAACTTCATGTTTTGGCAATGACAGATATATACGAATATCTGACCCTAGGTCATGATCCGACAACAGTTGGTATGCTGCTCGGGATGGCTGCAGCAAAATGTGGCTCCTGTGACGCAGCAGTATCAAAGATGCTATGTCTGCACATCCCGGCTCTCCTCCCACAGCCGTTCGCAGAGATGGAGGTCTCTGCTGCAGCACAAACAGCCGCAATAACTGGTATCGGCATGCTTTATTGCGGCACAGCTCACCGGTTAATGGCAGAATTTCTCCTTGGCGAGATAGCATGCTGCTCCCGTGGAGATCGTATGCGGGACCGCGAAGCTTATACACTTTCTGCCGGTCTGGCGCTAGGACTCGTCACGCTGGGTAAGGGTTCAAGCAATGAGGCCGCTGGTCTTGGGGACCTCGAGATCGCCCAGCGCTTGCATCATGCCCTTGCTGGTGGCACTGAGAGCAAATCAGGCCAGATCTTACGTCTCTTAAGTAGCACAGTAGACCAAGGTAACTATTTGTGTGAAGACCATGTATGCAATTCTCGCGTTCGTGAGGGTGAATATCTAAACACAGACCTGACTGCGCCTGGTGCCACCCTAGCACTCGGACTTTACTTCATTCAGACAAACTCCACCGCCGCCGCCGCACGACTTCGTCTTCCAGACACAGGTGTCCTCATAGATACAGTACGACCAGACTTTATGCTACTTCGTGTGATAGCACGCGGGTTGATACTGTGGGATTTCATTAGACCTACAACCGAGTGGGTTGAAGCCCAGCTTCCATCTGTCCTTGTAGACTCGATGCAAGCACTGCTAGCCGTTTCGTACAGTCTAAAGTCTGCTGCTCGTGCTAGTATTTCAGGCGATGCATGTGTAGGTCATCTAGGAGTAAGATGTGCGCAAAGGTCCTGTTCTGCAAGTGCAGTTGCCAAAAAGAATTGCCCTTGCAAGACGCAGCTGACTGGAGTACCTTAAAGCAAGCACATGCCAACATTGTCGCTGGTGGCTGCTTCGTGCGCCCGTGTACAACCTATTGACAGCATTTTTCAATCTACCCATAGGCAATTGGTCTACGCTATGCCGGAACTGGTTGTGCTATGGCTGCTGCAACCCTTAAGTACTTCTTAATACGATTCAAGGCTCTGAGAAATGCATGCGACTTGGTCCCTGGAGTCGTGACGCGGGAGTCAAAGCACACCTCCCATAGCAACGCTCTCTTAGATCCAGTCATACGAGAACATTCACTGGCTTGGCGGCCAGATCGGCCTACCTTGGAGATGTGCCTCGCTACAATATCAATTGCGTTGGGAATGGTGATGGCTGGTACTGGTGATCTCGAGTCCCTGCGATTACTTCGCCAGCTTCGTTTGCGCATCGACGAAGACATCACATATGGTGCATTTGAATGATTCTCAGTTTGAAATCAGTTCGCACTTTACGCAATATAGGTACACACATGGCCTTGCATATGTCTATTGGTCTTCTATTTATTGGCTGCGGTCGTGCATCATTGTCAAGATCGAAGGAAGCCATCGCAGCTCTCGTTGTTGCTCTTTTTCCACGCTATCCTCGGAGCGCTAGCGACAACCAATATCACCTTCAGCCCCTAAGGCATCTGTGGGTACTGGCCGTTGACTGGCGGGGCCTAAAGACGGTTGATGTAGAGACTGGCACCGATGTCCCCGTCCCACTCCAGATAGACCTAGATCCTGACATAGACTATATTGCGAAGGGTGTCGCTGGCTCATTTGCATCCAGACAGATCTTGCGGGTGATGTCGCCGTGCCTTCTTCCACCTGTGTGTAATATTGGCTCTGTGCAAGTCGCATCAGGGCGCTACTATCCAGCTACTCTGCATAGTCTACAGAAATGCACAGCGCCCTGAACTAAAAAGCCGACTGTCCCACGTTAAGCGCACAATTTAATGTAGGCATCTCCAGAATGCTCGTGCAATTGTGTGTCTTATTATTCACGTGAAACGTCGCCCTGGGTACTTGAGCTACATTCACGACCCATGTGCACTGCGCGAGGCATCCGGTGTAGCTGGAGAATCCGGAATCAACAACAAATCAGATCTCTGCTCTTTACGCATCTTAGCACCATGGGCGCGTCGCACCTTCCACGCCTCTGCTAATATGGGTAGCGCCCTGTTTGATTTGAATCATTGCTTATATTTACGCATGAAATCACGATCAACCACAACTCAGCTTACACAGGTACTCAAAGTGATGTTCTTGTGCCATATGCAGATGATCCATTTCTCCTAACTTTTGCAAGACAGTTCTGTGATAATCTTGGTTATCATGTAAGTTTTGGGCATGATCCTCAAGCATTGGCTTTTGACAGTTTGCTTGGAAGAGTGGCATCAGTCGAACATTGGTGTGCCAGGATTCTCTATGAATGTGTGGCATGCGATAAACCTGCTGCTTTAACCCTCTACCTCCAGCTGCGTCATGCTGCGCTATCCATCTGGTGGAAAGTATGTTCCGCACAGATATGGTCACTTCGAATTGCTTTAGAGCCCTCACACTTTGTTGTTCTCACTTCAGAGCAAGCAGTGTCCAGTATCTTGTGTGTAAAATCATACCAGAAAAGACATTTATTATGCCATGGATCATATGTACACCCCGCAGGTACTCGAATGGTGAACTTCAAAAGTCGATGAGAAGCAGGACTGTTACAGAGGATCAACCACTTTTGCTACATCATTTTATGGAGGCGGTTCGAGTCTACATAAACACTGTCCTGCGCCAGGGCGAGCATAGAGACCCGCAAATAGCAAGTTCGATAGACACTCTCTCGCCAGTTCTGGTTCCATGGGAAGAGATTGAAGTTGACCGTTAAGTTCAACGTCCGAATCGCCCGCAAGTTGCAGTGGGCTTGTGGAAGCGCCCGAGCTTGTGGGGCTGCCTAGAATTGCTTACATCGGGGTGCTGGCCAAGGATCCCAGTGATGAGTTAAATTATAATGTCCGGATCCCCCCGTATACTTACCTGCATGACGTCACTCGCGGGGGAAGGCAACTTGAAGTGAGAAGGCCTTTAGAGGTATTCCTCATTAATTAATTATTTATTTTTAATGTCACGCGCACCGCTGGACCGTGACATAAAAGTTATTTCTAGTAGCCTGAGTAATGCAAGGCAAATTGGTGTATATCTTGAGCAAGTTCAACACACACACACATATTGCATAAAATTATTTTCGTCACTGCCAGTGCTGGCATAACAAATTAAATATAAATCTTAAAATTCTAAAATCTACTAGTACATTTGGTAAGGTTGGGGCGGGGGAACCCCAAAATAAGTTGATGTGCCAGTGTCTTTTTTTCATCATCCCAGGCCGCTTTTTTGATTAGAGGCCGATTGTCCTATGCCAGTGAGCGCAGCGAACAGGGCTTAATTGGCCTCTAAAATCAAACTTTGAAAAAGTGGTGTAAAAAACCACTCAACTTATATCATCATCGGCCTCAGGCTTCGAGGAAGAACGTGAGGTATGATTTCTTTCGACTCGGAGATACTCGGTTTGCCCCCTCCGAATGATCGCACGGCTCGGCCTAGCCAAACACCGGAAAATCCCTTTGAGCCCTATATAGCCCTATATAGATATCGCGAGGCTGCCCGCATCATGATGGTACCAAACTGCGCACAGCCGCCCACTGGCCCGGGCATTATTTTCAAGTTAGCAAAAATTCCCCGCCATTCGGCCGGCGCGTGGCTGTACGCACATTGCGCAAAATCAAAATCAACGTCGACTAATTGCGCTCACCCCCCTATAAAATTCGAACTTGAAGTCTCCACGCAGTATGATTAAGATTCGCCGCAGGGTACTAGTAATTTATCTTAATTAGGCCCGGGACTCATGGAGGATGCGTCCAATCTTAGAAGAAAGAATTACCCGGGGTTACTCGGCCCGGGGCCCTATCTAGGGTAGGAAGGGCTAGAGGGTTCTCTCTCTCTCTAGTGCCTACGGTAGGACCTACGGCACACGAGTTACCTACGGTACATGAGGTGCTTTTGGCAAGTATGATTGCTCGTGAAGTTCCCGCATTCTCCTGGTTCGTACTTCTTGTACTAGGACTGATTTATACGCAACAGCAGTGGTCACGCTACTCCCTGAATTACCTGTACAATGTAAGTCAAGATGATGACTTTGTGTCCATCAAGCATGCAGACAGCATTTCCTACACGGAATACGGTATATTGACCGGCTATGGATTTAGCGGGACGTTCTGTTTGGCGGGACTGGTGGCTGGACGCGCGGCAGACATCTCCTCACGAAAATTGATTATTTTTACTGGCATCTTTGCCTGGAACGTGGCCCTGCTTATGATTGGCTACAGTGAGCACATTTCCTTTTATTAAATATTTAATAGATGCCTAAGGTCTGTGAAACGTAGGCCACTCCTACTTGGAGGTCCTACTTTGGCGGCTGGTTCTCGGTTTTGGCCAGGCATTTTCGAGCCCTGCTAGCTACTCTCTAATTGCAGACTACTTCCCGGAGAGCCAGCGGTCACAAGCCAATGGCTTATTTGCTTGTGGTGTGTACATTGGAGGCGGGATGGCATCCATGTGTATATCCATGAGTGCGGACCTGGGCTGGCGCAATACTTGCTTTTTAATTGCAACAATTGGCTTTTGTATTTCAGTAATCGAGGTCGTGAGCATTCGTGAGCCACAACGTCCTTCAAGAAAATCGAAATTGCCCGCCTTAAATGCTGAAGGCGGGCATATCCCAGCGGCGGCGAAGAAGAATTTTGTTCAGGCAATTTGGGCTATATTTAGCAATGAATTAGTTGTACTGGTTTTTGCGGCTTCATCCCTGCGTTACATGGGTGGCTACGTGATTGCAGGCTATTTGCCTGCACTATTTGCCTCCGTGTTTCCAAACTTTGACGATCAATACTCCTATATAAACGCATATGTTGTTGCTGGTGGTGGGTTCATTTCTTCATGGCTTGGAGGCATGCTGGCAGATAAATGGCGCGCCGTCGAGCCACGAGCGCGCATGTACCTTCCAGTTTGCGGTTGTTTTGGCTCACTACCTTTCATGGCTATTTGCTGCCTGGCTTCTGATTTTTATGTTTCAATTTTCCTTGGCCTTTTTGTGGAATATCTAATTGCGGAGTGCTGGTTTGGTCCTGTTGTCGCTACCATGCAATCAGCTCTTGAAGCAGATTGTCGCGCACTCGCGATAGCATGTTTTACCCTCATTGCTACTTTCTTTGGGTCTCTAGCCTCCTATATCCTTGGCTATATCTACGATGCAATGCTTGCCCGCGGCTACCCAGACACTATAATCAGATGGTTGGTCTTGTGGTCTGTTGTTACTTCATATGTTTTCGCGGGTGCCCTGTTTCTCTACTGTGCGACCTTGACTAGGCTAGACACACTGGTCACACAAGAGAAAAAGCCGTTGTTACGGGGGAAGGGTCTATTCATAGACAGCAGCGAATAGCTAGATATGCATTTGAGATTGTGATGAGGGTTTTATGTACAAACAGGTGTATATTCGTCCCTAGGGATCTCGGCTGTATATTCAAACGACAATCCTCACTACCGCCTGTCGGACTGAAATCACTGGTACTCAGCTGAAGATTCACCCGGATTTTGCGAAGAAAAAGGAGTCCCCCCTCACGTATCATCTATTCTTCAACGAAAGTCTAAATTTTTGTACTAAGGCTCCAGATATTAGTAATTGATTACCAAAATTACCATCTACCCGATGAATGCGCTCTTCAAGCGCCATCGACATGCGTCTTTGTCACAATAATCGATCCACATGTTGATGATAGTTTAGATGATAGAATTAGACAGATGATTTTTGTTTGAGAATTCTGGCGATGAACTTACGACGTTGAAAGGGCCTGGAGGTTTGTGAGACTGGAATCAAAGCTATTTATCGTCAAAGCCTCCGGAGCGTTCGCTGCCCCTCTCGTGTCTTCCCTCTCACGCATCTCAGGACATTCCTGGACTGCCCTTTCGCCAGGCTTCTGGGCTTAGAGCATCTCTTTGAATGCCGCACCGTGACCGTGGCACCGAATTCCAAGCCGAGGATAAGAGCCAGGCAAAACAGCTACTATGATGATGGTACTGTAGTGGCCCCCAGGCTTCCCGGGCCCTCATGCGCAAAAAAGGTATAAACTCCTTCAGGGTCACCTGCCCTGAGGGCAGCTAACCCTGGAGGAGTTCACACCTTTCCCCCTGCGGGGGGCTGCTCCGCAAGGGTAAAAAATCCGGCGTGGGGGAACTTCCGTGCGGGTTTAAGACTTTTTGATTATAAACCACTGATTTCGGGTTTTGGGGGGGGGGGACCTTGGCCTAAGTAGCCTATCTTTAGGTCTAAGCTGCCCTCACTTAGACTAGGCATAGCCACGTCCCCTTCGGGGTGTCTGGGGGGTCAGACGGGTTTCTAATCTCGCCTTCCCGCGGATGGATATGGGGGCAACTCCGGCTTTCGAGGGTTGGGGGGACCATTCACGGATCCTGGGGGCGATGGGTTCTACGGGGATCGGGATTAGGGCGCAAAGCCTCAAAAACGGCAAAAACCCGTGAAACTCGATTAAACGAGACATTTTTGGCCTCGTGTGCCCCAAGCTATTTCTGACCGCCCAAGGGGTCAACCGAGGCGGTACGCCACAAAAGAGCGCGGCAGCTCTCCGACGCGATGCGGGCACCCGCCCACCACAAAACCGGTCCGTGCAGTACGGTGGGTGTGCCCCGAGCCCCGCGGACGACTTCGCCCGCTCAAAACGCTGGAAATCATCGCACCGCGGCGGCCGCATCGAGGTCGACGTGGGACAAATTGAGAGCTTCGAGAGCGCTTGTGCGAGAAACCACGGGCCCGGCGGCCGGCGCGGGGTCATAGTCGATGATTTCCGACACTGCGGTGGCCCGAACGGCAGCAATAAGTGGCATCGAAGGGTTTTTCAGCCGACGTTGCCTCGAAACCGCCCACTTCCTGCAACGCACGCTTCTCCAAAGTCCGCGCAGAGGTCCCGAGGGGCCTGAAACCTCTTATTCTCGAGTTGCGCCCGTATTCATTGCAACGCGGCTGCTCTAGATGCGAAGAATATACCCCCTAGTACTACACTAGGCCCCTCTTACTCTCCTACTTAGTCCCACCTTGACGTAATGAAGGTTTACACCACATTCATTCTTAGTGCTAGTATTACACGGGGAGTCACTTACGCCAAACTCACTCACACCGTTGCAGAGGGTCGGTATACCACCGCACCCTACTTATTTCCTGCAGGTTGTGTGGCCCACACGCAGAGCGGATCCGGCGTCATTCTCCGTGGATATCGTCTCTGACGTGACTGCGTGGCCTCTCCTAGCACGGAGGTCAGAGGCAGCGTCCGCTAACTCGCTACACTCTCCCAGTCACACCTAGAAACGATAAAAACGACCCCGAAACGAATACTTTAATGTTACAGAGTTCTCATGACTCTGGTGACGTAACTCTTGGTGAAGAACACCAAGAAGAACTAAGAGACACACTATCAGGCCTTGCTCCAAGAGCTCAAGACCCTGATGAAGATGAAGCATACACACCTACTCAATACGAAGAACGATCTTGGGATACATTTGAACAAAATCCATTAAGATCCATGTATGGTCTAGCAGATGACAACACCAATTCATCTTCAAACAATAATTCAACCAACGGATTTATACATCAAGAGAATTTTGTCGGACGGCTGCCAGTCCAATTAAACGTGCCGACGTGCCGCTACAACTCCATCGGCGCACGGACACATCAGGTCAACATACCCTGTGTTACGAGCAGCAGATTTATCTAATTGCCGGCGCTTTTCTGTCACGGCATTCACTACCTAAAAACGACTGCTTAGCCCTTAGCGCACTGCGTAACTTGTTCCCAAGCACTGTAATGAATGCGCGTTTGGTCTCGGTCGCGTGGGCATTAAACTTTGCTCGTGCGTTCTACCTCCCAGGCGTGGCTCCTAGGGAATACGAATCCGGAGAGAAGGTCGAATTGAAGGTAGTCTTAATTTTCTAGGTGCTCGATATGACGTCAACCACAGGTAAACAAGTTGACCTCGGTCCGCACGCAACTACCGTATGATTATTACAGCCATAAATTTTGCAAACCGCATGGCGGTGTGCAAGCGACTGCGGAGAATCTAGGGGAATTTCTTAGTGGAGACCGAATCGAAAATTCTCCGTGAGCTGTCATGCCCGATTTTTGAAATCTTTCTATACACGATAGGTACTTGCTATTCATGCGTATGGATGAGTATTGCAAGGTGTTGTGTCAGACCAAGCTTAATGCACACAACATACTACAATTTAAACGATCTATTGACGAATGGTACCATCATAATTGGATTGTAGACAATATTCCGGCTGCAAGCGTGATAGATACGGAATCATTTGTAACGACAAGTTATAGTCGCGGTTTTCCCGTGGGTTACTACGACCGAGTCTCGGGTAAGCACTTTCTTTATAACCACGCAAACATCGTCATTGAATATCATGAAGCAGTTCCTGGTGGGAATCGGATAGTGGGCTTTTACGTCGAGCCCTTTTCCGTGCAACATGAATTTGTTGGTGGTGTGTCTTGGGATGGCAAGGATACGACACCAGCTCTGCAGACATGTTCGACGGCGGAACCCATGGATCTGAATCAGGCGAAAGATCATGCATTGGCGCTAACAAAATCGATCGAGGTGCTGTTTACGTATGACATTGTATGGAAACCTAGCAATATCAAATGGGCTTCCCGCTGGGACATATACCTATCGATGGACAACGCAGTGCCCAAAAAGGTGCACTGGTTTTCCATCGTCAACTCGCTCTTGATCGTATTCTGCTTAAGCGGTATGATTGCCATAATCCTGACGCGCAACTTGCGTCGCGACATAAGTCAATACAATCGTCTACCAACTGATGAAGATCCAGAGTCCGAAATTTCAACAAGCGAAGAGACAGGCTGGAAGCTGGTACACCAGGATGTATTTCGGCCCCCGACAACATGTCCCATGTTTCTTTGTGTTTTTATTGGGGGGGGCGTACAAGTTCTTGTCATGGCCCTATTAACAATTGCGTTCGCGGCCGTCGGCTTTATTTCACCTGCTAATCGAGGATCACTCATGTTTGTGATGCTTGTATTATTTGCCTTGATGGGTACCTTTGCGGGGTACCACTGTGCCCGCCTTTACAAGACTTTCAAAGGCCAACATTGGCAGCGCGCTACAGCAGCAACGGCACTTCTCTTCCCGGGTGGTTCTTTTTTGGTTTTTGTGAGCCTCGATTTGGCGCTCGCGTCCTATAAAGACTCGACGGGCGCTGTGCCTATTACCAGCATGGTCGCCTTACTTGCACTGTGGCTAGGTATATCCGTCCCCCTGGTCTTTCTGGGTGCTTACCTTGGGTTCCGGAAAGAACCTATAGAATTCCCAGCAAAGTATTCAAACATTCCTCGGCCCATCCCTATGCCGCCTTGGTATCTTAGCTCCGCTTTTACCGTAACCACCGGCGGCATCTTGCCTTTTGGTGCTTGTTTCGTTGAATTATTTTTTATTCTCTCCTCTATGTGGATGGACCAATACTATTATGTCTTTGGTTTTACTTTCCTTGTCTTTGCCATCCTCTTGATTACATGTGCAGAAATCACCATTGTGTTCTTATATTTCCAACTGTGTGCGGAAGATTATCGTTGGTGGTGGAGAACATTTCTTACTTCAGGATCCACCGCTGCCTACGTCTTCGTGTATTCTTCACTGTATTTTACAAAGCTAGAGTCCAATCTTCCGATTACATACCTCCTCTATTTTGGCTACATGTTGATCATCTGCTTCGGTATATTTCTTTTTACTGGAACTACTGGCTTCTACGCTGCATTGTGGTTCAACATTGTCATATTTGGTTCCATCAAGGTTGACTAATGCAGGAATAAAACCCTCCTACAATGAACACATTGCATCTCGTAACAATCTAGCAGCCTGTGGCGGTTTGCAAGTTGTATCCCCTGCACATTGGGGTCACGGTTGATGAAAGCAGACAAAGATAAGGCATGACATCCGTCATGATAATCAGGACTCACCTGCAGCATCATTGTAGTCCGCATAATATAGTATGCTTGCGCCTCTGAAACAGTGAGTAAAACTTGAAATACTACCTGCCAGTCCGAGTCACGGTCACGGCCACATCACAGCGCTTAGCACTTTTTTGTGCCGCGCCCGGACCCCAGGCTCCCAAGGGCGACACTTCGACCAGGGCATGAAGCCAAGATACCCTGCAATGTTGAACCCAAGCTAGGGCATGATGACTCGGATAAATAAATATCTCTCCATACATAAAAAATAGAATGTACGGAAATCGTCGTAGCTCTCCCGGCCGCTATTAGTCTTCTTAGAACCCACCGTATGATCGATATAAATTTTACTGAATTTTCTTCCCGCAACAGCGTCTCCAACGGACTCCACTGCTGAGCTTATTTTGAAGCGCATAAAACCCGTTTAGTGACTTCAAGTTTAGCAAGAAAACCACTAAGGGCCAACCCTGGATTTTCAAATTTTCGACGAAAGCCAGCATAAGTCCGGATGGTGCAGGGTCCGGATCGCCCGAACCCAACAAAGATACACAAAATACTTTTTGTAGATTTTACAGAACATGAAATCGAATTTAGTAATTTCTTATTGGACAGTTACCCTGCCATTGATTCGCACCGCTTCTAACCAGCTAAGGCTGCCACCACTGGGCCCGGCCGCTGCCATTGATTCGCACGGGGGCCCCCGGCGCCGCCGTGCGTTTGCCTTCCTTACTTGGCGCTGCGACCCAGAGCCGGCTTTAGGCGGTGTACGGTGGGCTGCCGCCCGAGGGACCAGGCGACAATTACCTTCTGCTTTTTCTACTCTGGAAACCCAGTAGGAAATGAATCGCCCGCTGTCAGTCTCCTAAAACGGAGGTTTTGATTTGCTGCATCGGCGATGAGTCAGTTTGGCGGGCTATGAGCCACGGCTTGAAGGGCTTTCACATATAGACTTCAAGGAAAATGCGCGCTAGCTCCCCTCCCCGGCGCGCACAGGGAATTCTAAAAGTCCCCTGCGTTCATCCGCTCATAATCATTCATTCAGTCGGCCCGTCGCTGGCGACTGGGCGCTCCCGCATCAAGTCTTGGTGCGGCGCACGACAAAATGCCGAAAGTCCTATTGGAGAACCTTGAAACAGCCTAAACCTTTCAGTCCCAACTAGAGGGATGTATACCTCATCGCCAACTAGAAGCCTCAGGAAGTTCCTGATTGTGTCAACCCAAGCGATTCCAATACAGTATAACTATTAAAAAGCCCTTCAAAGTTAGCATAAGGTGGACAAAAAACTCACAAGGATGTAAAATATATACCGCAAAACCCTATTAAAATCATAACCAAAAGACAGCAAAAGCAACATCCGACCTACGTTATAGAGATAAAAAATATCATCTGCTAGCTGAGGCTGGGAATATCGATGGAGACCTGAAATGCAATTTTTGGGCCAAGCAAAGCCTAAAAACCCTTTGAGGTAATTTTATATGCTTCTGCCATGCAAAAGACGCTGTCTCCTCGCGGAACACAGGGCCAATGGATTGTAGGAAAATCTAAAGCGGCCAGCCGTTGGTGGAAGATATGGATTTGCATTTGGTTCTGTGCGCCCATGTCCAGCAGGTCTCAGTTCAACCTCCTCCTCAGGCAATATTTCAATCTAAGGATTAAATAATGATACTTGGTTGTTTCAGTAACGTCGAATGTGCCTACCGAGAGGGCAAGACTGCCACGAGGGAGCACTCTGCTTCTGCGTCTATCATGGTACGTTATATTTATCCATTCCGCCGACTCATCAATTTCACCAAGACCGACCATTTCCTTGAGCTGCTTGACAAAGTAGGCAGCATCTTTTGAGTCGCTTCGTGCCTCAATTCTCGCCATTTGAGTTGCGTGTCGCCTGGCATCCTTCGAGTCTCCATCCGGTTCGATAGCCTTATGATGATTCTACAAAAGGGCTGTCTGCTAAAATAAGAAGAACAATATCACGCAGATCCTCCTACCTCCAGAGTATCTGGTGAGGTTCGCACTTCTGTTTCATTAATTTCTGTTCCCTCCTCATTCGAATCTATGTTGCGCCCATATGTCTCTTTTTTGGCGGCCTTCATTTGCTGTCTGGAAATTGCGTCCTTGACTTCCTTGAATACATTCACGACACGTTGTTCGTGGTAGGCTTTGAGAAACCAGCGATACAGATCAACCTGTGTATCGCCAATTACTTCATTCCACTTGATAACATCTTGGTCCCAAAGCTGCAACATGAGGCGACCTTTCTCTGGTGAGTCTAGTGGAAGTTCAATTGGTATCTTGATTCGCCAATTCCAACTAGCTTGTCCATTTCTGCAACGCCAGTGGACATCAGTTTTTTGCTTCCGGGAATCGCCAATCCAAAACTCGGCAAAGTAGTCACCCATATCGAATGGCACATCCCTAGACTTCCAACAGACTATGCGCAATTCAAACTTTTGCTTCTTTGGTCCGTGGAGCTCGACAGGTGGCTCCCTGTGAGCTTCTGCCTCTGGCCTGATCTCTAACCAAAGATGCAATTGGCCTTGGATGATAGGTGATGTGTCTTTGTGTAAACTCCTGATTTCAATTGGTTTCAACCTATCTAGCTTTTGCCACCCATAATGAAACCACCGGTCTTCAAGATCAATTTCTGTTTGACCAATAATCTCGTGCACGGGATAAAACCTATTCCAGTCCCTGACTTGGACTTTAAGCAGGGAAGGACCAGGGATCACTGTACGGAACTCAAACGTTTCATAGAATTCAGGCTTAAGTGTCCTAGTACAGTGTGAGCTCCTGCTGTCTTGAATATCAGTGCCCAACTTCACCCTGAGATATGGATCAGCTGAGTTCCCATTTACAGGTTGGAGATTAGAGCCTCGTATTATGTACAGACGCACTGTATATATAGCGGATGAAAGAATCTGTAACGGAAAAAAAGGCTCCTTCTCACACGATGGATTTGTCTCTAGGACTCGTAGTATTCCCTTGAATACCCCAACGCAGCGAAGAGTAGATTTTGAGGCATTTGGATGAAACTTTCCTCGGAACAACTTGTATGTTTCAAAAGGTTTAGTTTTCAAGTGATTCTCTAGTTCCCTTCCCCCCTGTTTCGTCCACCACTCACGTCCCTCGATATATTCTGCAGCAGCCCATTGTGATGGAAATGAGATGGGAAGTTCACTTAGTTTATAGCTCGCCTGGCTCCCAAGGAGGGTAGAGTATTCGGTCGAAGTGGAACTCGCATTTATCATCTCAGGGAAGGGAGTGATATCTTCATCAAGTGGAAATTTCTCGGCAAATTGAATCTGCTTCTCTCTGAAGATAACATCTTCATGGATCATTGGAAGCCCGGACAAAATCATGGGATCAAAAGCTCCTGTCCCAGAATCTCCAGGCATAGAACTCAAGGCATCTGGAGAATGACGTTCTAATTCGAGGTGCTCAACATCACACTCAAATTCGTCATAGTCGTCTTCATGATTGCTATCAAGTCTCTCACGAAATTGCAACCCTGCATCACCAGGATATTTGATAGTCCATTGTGATAAACCACTACCTAGAAGCTCAGATTGGGTTCGCAGATGCGACTCTTCATTCCTTTCCTTCTCTTGTTGCCACACATCGCTGCCGCTGAATAATTCTGTTTGCGGCGCCACAAAGGCCTCAGAATTCCATGGCAGTTTGCTGGAAAGATCAATTGAGCTTGCACCAAGAAGACGTTTGTGAAGCCCTGCGGAAATACCAACCCGGGCATCGTACACACGTAGGTCAAGGTTCGGAGCGTACAGGGGGTTTTCTGGCATATCAATAGCCATGACTTTTCGCTCTAGAAAATTTGCATTCCGTCCAGACGGCACAGAACTTGGTTGTGTTCTGAAGCAATTGCCTCTATCATTCGGAGCGGGCACATCAATGCGCACACATGGCTCTTGGGGTGCCCGCAGCCGATGAGCTTTTAGCTGACGTACGCCAACACATGTGATCTCCACCCAAGCCTGTCTCATCTGTGGGATTATGCACTCGGAACGGCCGAGTCTTTCAGAGAGGTCTCTTTTTCGAATAAGCGCTGCTGACATGAGAATTTGGCTGCTTATTGGCTCTGCACCAATACTGGTGAGGTTTTCCCAGCTGGGAGAAGGAATTTTAGATCCTTCTGAAGCAAGAACATGGCACTTGGTCAATGGGAAACGCAAGAGCGCCCTCGGAGTATTAGACGAGAATACATCCCTGTCCCACACTTGCACAACGATGTCAGGCCCAAAGCGCACGTCGAGTGGAAGCATCTCATGAAATTCTAATGTCTCATAGAAAAGCGGCGCCGTTGTCATTGCATGCACTCGTGTTTTCTCTTTCTTACCGCAGAAACGTACTTTGACATATGGATCAAGGAGACTAGTTTGGTCCGATGCAGGCAATTCCTTTGCTTGGTAGATAAAAACCCGAAGGCAAAAAGGCACACGATCCTTGGCCTTCCTCAGGAGCTCTTCTTCTGGCCAACTAAAGTCAGGATCCAGTGCATCTTCTGATAGACCAAAGCCAAGCTTAAGAAGCACAGCACCAGGATTTGTTTTGAGCGCAGCTCCACCAAGTTGAGACGCTCTTGATGGCTCGGGTTTCAGCAATTCCCAGCATGGTCCTGCACGAAATTGCTCCCTGAGCAATCTTGCAGCAGCTATGCGGCTAAAGCACACCGTTAAGATTTTAGGCGGACCACGTACAAGGTACAAGCACACATCTGGTATCTCCTCTACAAGCACTGGAAGCTTTATTGCCTATATCAATAAGAAGTATACGAGAGCAAACATGCAATACTACCTTCAAGGTTAGTAGCATGTTCCACATCACAACACCGCGCTTGTTTGGCTCCCAAGCATAAGTAAGCGTATGATTACCTGCAGAGCGCAGTGCAATCGACAACAGAAATTACATCCGCACCTATAGAAATCACCAAACGCATTTTGGTACAGTTCCCGATGGCTGGGGAACGAAATTGTGGTATCTCGGAGCCCATCACCACAAGAGCACGCAGATGATACTTGGCAGATGCCGATGTGAGGCGTGTGTTTGGCTTGAAATGAAATGGCCTTCGATGAGCCATACTCTTATGCCGTTGCTCGTTAGGTGGTCTAGCAAGAAGTTCCATGGAAAGAAGAAGTCGACCACGATAGGTGGAGGCTTCATTACCATATCGATTCTGCAAGGCACCACGCTTACCTTGAATACGGATGGGCGCACCGTATAAATTATACCAGCGAGGCCTAGGCCCCATATAGTTGTTCTGCTCCAGTAGCCCGCCACCCAAAAAACTTCCAGATATGTATTTGCTGCTCCGTTCGATGTCGTCTAGGTCGAAATACAAGTGTGCAATCGGCCTATCTCTAGTATGGGAGCTATAGTTCCAGAGCCCAACTGAAATGCGTCTTGTTTCTGTCGGTTCTGTGACTGGAAGCCAAAGTTCTTCATTGAACTCAGGAGCCAAACGAGCACGTCCCCGAACACATACTACGGATGTAATTGCCTGGGATCCACAAAAGTTAACTCTCACGTATGCTTCGATCCGGGTGTTGGAGAAAAGATTCGCTTCCATTATGTTGAGATCCTCAGCTTCCCAGACAAAAATGACCAAGTAAGTGGTCTTCCTACAATATAGAGAATGCGACACAAATAAGCACGTTGACACAGATTGCACATAGTAAAGTTCGGTTTTACCATGCCATCCACGCCATAGCCGACTTCCTCAACAAGTTCTTTTTGATACTCAGCATCTAGATCATGTGCTTGTTGCACATCATTAGGACCAAGGACTGTGACTGATAGTTTAAGGAATCCACGAAAACCTGTGGCTCTAGAGTGTGTTTTGAATCCCTCGGTGCACTGCAGCGCAGTTGTCTTTGCTTCTGTTCGCATTTGACTGACTATTCGTGAGGCCAACCCACTTGCGGTAAAACTCATGGTTTGGAAGTTCACGCACTGATCTCGCATCAAACACAGTCGCACCAATAAGATCATGGGCTAGGAAAGCATCAAAGTCGTACATTTTAACTTCAATGCTCGCCTCTTCAATTGCTGAGCAGGAAAGTCCAGCGAAGTTAAACTGAAGCGTGTCGTCAAAAACGCAAGCTGAAACCTAACAGACGACCCCAATATAATTGGCTATTAAACTCTCTGTTGTTTCGTCACACCTTGCGAATGACACGCGTCTTTTTTACTCTCCCCATGACCTTGACTCTGACATAAGGATCATGGAGTCCGGTGAGATCACGACATTCAATAAGGTGAACCTGTATTTGGTAATCGCCAGAGGGCATTATGCGGCTTCGTTGCTCAAGCTGATCGAGGTGGCGGCTCGCTGTCATTACCTACATTTCATTTTTGTTAAATTTCAAACAATACAATATTGTTGTGTGATGATGGTATTATGAATGTGTGTGCGCGCATGTGCTTGTGCGACTGTGTGTACTTCAATATGCCAAGGGCTGTTACATTTGCTTCTCGTCTGTCAGTTCGTTCTTCTCGTTCCTTGGAAGAAAGCTCCAGCGGCATAAATGCATCTTCCTCTATCATCCATGCGCTCTCTCTGTCAACTAATGCCCCTGAGCTTGATTTGGGGCCTTGCATCTTTCGACTCATTGTGAGCAACCCAGCGCCTGACAAGTAGGAGAGAAATTAATGCTAAACATACTATGAAATTCGCTGAGAGTCTTGCTGGTCGTCAGCATATGCCGCGAGAGACTTTGAGCATACTGCGCGTCAAAACGCCACGCAAGATAAAGTTCGACATCGCCGCGTCCCTAAGGGGATTATGAAAATTTATTCTTTTTTATGGATCACTCGCATGATTATCAACAAGACCGTCACTGCCATGAAGAGAGCACCATTTTGTTAAGCCCGCCTCGCCATGTGCGGCTACTTCAACCATGGGTATGATGCAGGTGCCGATAAGACGATTACGAAGAACACCGTGGTCTTTGACCTACAGCCAAAGTATTGGCAATGCTCCTTTTTTTATGTTGAGCCCGACCTTCACAGTGATCATTCTTGACCCATCAGAAACTGGCAATTTGAACTCATGGTCCCAATGCGGATTGCAGTTTTTCCCGACAACGGCCGTAGAATGTTTATGTGCGCCTACCTTGAGTGTCACATAAGCGTCAACAAGCTCTCTTCCCTTGAGATGCAGAGAACGCCCACAGATGATAGTTCCAACGAGCATATTTGGCGTGTGCACAAGGTCACCCCCATCTTCTGCATCCTTACGCCCAGGTACAATATTATTCGAGTCTGATATGAAGTAAGTGCACTCTATCCGTATGCGCCCCGAGACTTCATGCCTCATGCCTGTCCTCTGTTGGAGCATGTACCATGCGTCAGACTCTATGGAGGGCGATAGTACGACAGTGCGCAGGTCCACAATTGCCTGTCCGAGTTCTACATCAGATTGTGCAGACAGACTTTTGTGCATCACTGTCACAACAATGTGATCTGCATCATACTTCCCTATGCCCGTAAAGATCATAGTTGCAGAATTCCATTCTGGGTCTGTTGTGTGACTCGCGACCTGCACACACACTTACTAATACTTTCGAACCAACACACAACGCGATTTTTTGACCATGGTCTGTTCCAGCTCCTGTCATAATACTTTGTGAATGCAGGTAACTTTAGCCTTTGACACGTACCATGTTGCATTTCACTACAGCAAAAGGATTACACTCGCCTCCTTCGGCTTCAACGAGATCTCGAGCAGCGATAACTTTCACCTCGAGGCGATCGGCTAGGTCGCTCATGTTATGCGTATCAGCGGACAATGAGCACAGCAGCAGTCCTCCTAGTGGGGGAGCGAGGGGGAGGAGGGGGGTTTCGCGCGAAATTCAGATGCGAATTTCCGACATTGTTTAGGCCTCACCTGACGTCGCGTAGTCCTCCCGAACGAGAATTCGACCCTTCCTCCATGAGTTGTAATTAAGATGAACTCAAGTTACCGTGACCGTGACCCGGGCGGGGCCTTGCGACTAGGTGCGAGTGATGCAAGACCAAAGGGATACGCGCCTTTGGGAGTACGGCGGCTGAGATAGTCTGCCGGGGAGCTACCTTAAAATACACTAACTAGTTTTGGTTTACGGACGGTGTTTAATTACGCGTGCATGACCAACCCGGCCGTGACATCAAAGGTTTTGCGAATAATGCAAGACCAAAGGAGTACGCACCTTTGGGAGTACGGCGGCTGAGATAGTCTTCCGGGGAGCTACCTTAAAATACACTAACTAGTTTTGGTTTACGGACGGTGTTTAATTACGCGTGCATGACCAACCCGGCCGTGACATCAAAGGTTTTGCGAATAATGCAAGACCAAAGGAGTACGCACCTTTGGGAGTACGGCGGCTGAGATAGTCTTCCGGGGAGCTACCTTAAAATACACTAACTAGTTTTGGTTTACGGACGGTGTTTAATTACGCGTGCATCATGATGACCAACCCGGCCGTGACATCAAAGGTTTTGCGAATAATGCAAGACCAAAGGAGTACGCACCTTTGGGAGTACGGCGGCTGAGATAGTCTGCCGCGGAGCTACCTTAAATACACTAAGTAGTTTTGGTTTTAACTGTGTTTATTACGCGTTGTTGAAAAGCGATGATGTGGCGCGGAAGGGTGGGGATAGGGGGTATTTCGCCCTATTTATCGCACTCCCCTTTTTCATGAGGGTAAGCTCTTGTTTCCCTTAGGAAAATATGGGGTGAAAGTTGTCCTCCATCCTTGTCGTTCGTTTCATTGAAATGTGCATTTTGGCAAATATCATCAAGTAGCACATGGGCATTTGCCTCTCAATGAATACACTTAACCTTCCACGTGAGAATTGGTAGAGTGTTCTGTAGGTTGTTTTGTGGTAGGTCGTAGCTCGTGGTAATGTAGTACTGAGGTGTCGGGTAATTAGGGGGCATTTATGTCACCATACGAGTTAGGAGCTTCATTATTGTCAAAGTGTACCGTACGTGCCACTTTTGGAGTGCTAGGAATCTCGGTAGAGAAGGTCCACTAGTCTCGTTGACTTGCTTATCGAGAATGCGGAGAACATATCTATGCATTGGGTCACTCATGGTTTTCAATTCAATCCGATGTTTCTCCTGAGTGGCGACAAGGTGATCTAAGGCGATCATAATTAATTGAATGTATGAAGTCTTGTCTCCATCTTCCTCGTCCTCTCGTTTACTGTACTCTATGGCATCTTTAAGCTTGGCCCGAATCTCCGCAGCCGTATGCTGTTCCTGCTCTGTAGAATCAGAATCTTCTTCTTGAGGGGAATCGCTGTTGAAATATTTCAACTGTTCTTTGAAGGCTGGGGAGAGACCACCACGATTTGCTTCCCATAGGTACCACTCCACTCCATAAGCTCCTTACGCCTCTCTTATGCCAGGAATGTCTAGCTCCAAGATAGTTGATTCGTAAAATTTGATCGTTTCTAAGGTCATTTCTATCACTCAGGCCCGGCGGCCCGGGCCCCGGGGCTGGCATCATCATGATGATGATGATACCAGCCTCTCTCAAGACATCCTCCCCGATCAAGGTGCTGTCCTGGTGGAATCCATCAATCCCATACAATGCTAGGTTCACAACAAGGGCCTGCTCTTACTAGCCTCTTAGACCCGAAGTGTATTAGGCTCCAACTTGAACTTGAACTTGGACCTTGGCAGCACCGTGACGTTCAAAATGCGAAATAGCAGAATAGCATTCAAAGTTTAGAAATAGCATTATAATATTATTGAGATTAGCATACTACGCTGGTAATTGTGCTATGTAGCACGATCATGATAGCATGATGGTCCGGGCCCGGGACTCGGACCCATTGAATACCAGTAGCCTAGTAGTAGTAATGTGGAATATGGAATTTTACTCCGAGTCGAACTTGCCAGTGAATAATTGGAACTATCAATTTTTCAATAGTAGCACAAGTTGAAGTGCACTGCCAGTGACAGGGGGCAGCAACAACAGGCCAGCCCGATTGACCAGTTTGCCCGGCCCAGTCCGACGGTCAACGGTTTGCCCAGTTTCGAGTTTCCAGTCCCGAGTTGTGCGTGGCAGTCACGATAGTCCGGTCCGGGCCCGGGCCGGGCCCCACCCGAGTCATGCCAGGCCGCCTAGTGATACTCCCGGCGGGCCCGGGCCGGCGGCGGCGGCAGCGCGGCGGTCTACAAGTACTTGTCCCACTGGCATTGATCTCTTTGGACCAGTAGCGAACGGAAGGATACTCAGACGGCTGCGTGACGCGTTTGGTTTTGCTTGCTAGTGTCTTACAGGTCGCCGTCCTATAGGGCTCGGCGCGGCCCGTCATATAGGGCTGGACTGGAGGTTACTGCGGTAAATAAAAAACTTCAAGCATGATATATGGTACCTGGATAGATACCTTCGGTCCGCTCAAAATAAGTGTCTTTGAGATGGAGTTCCTATAGGAGCGGTTGGAAAGCGAGGCTCGTCGGGCGGCATGCGGGTCTTGTCACTCGTGATCGCGTTGGTGCTAGAGGCGGCAGCGCACGAGTGCGAGCGGTTTAGCAACGACGGCGGTGACTACTATGAGGCAATCAGCGATTGCGGCGCTTGCGCTGCCAACCCAAGCTGTGGCTTTTGTTTGTCGACACTTCAGTGCATGGAACGGGGAAGCAATGGGCCTTTGAGTGGGCTCCCGTGTAATTACTGGCTAACGGCGGCTGCGGAATGCCCTGAGATACCCCAGTGTGAGCAACTTAGCAGCTGTGGCGTATGCGTGGATATGGAAGGGTGTGCGTGGTGTGCCTCCGAGCAGCGATGCCTCACTGTATCTGAGATATTTCTCTCAGAGTGCGAAGGTTCCATCTTCGACCCGCCGTGTCCATCTAACCCCGTCTAAATTCATGCATGTTCCTGTTGAGGGTTAGGCAGAGTCTTGCGAGGTCATACTGAAACAAACTTCTTTCTCATCAGGTCGAGAACCGTATTGTGGGTAATCTTATTGTTGAGGCTGACCCTGTGTTTGGAGGTGGGCACTTCCGCTCATCGGGTGTTGGGACGGGCGGCGGCACTTTCGAATTCATCATAGACGAGGTCGAAATATCCGTCGTTTCAGCTGGCGATGTATTTATTGATTTCTCGTTTGTTGCTCTCCCGTGGAGAGCAACACTTGAGTTTCCGTGTCTAATTTCCCGATCCGGAGGATTTCGCGTTCCGAACACAATGAATGTGTGTAGGTAACCATCAAGGGAGGTCAAAACTTCAAAGAAAATGGAATGGGTGGGTCAATGTCACTGGCAGCCGGTTCAGGTGTAAACCCGCATGGCGGCCAAGGTGGCTCTGCGACCCTCCGTGGTGGTGATGGCTATGGCAGCCCCGCCCTTGGTGGCTATGTCGGCGACGGAGGAAATGTGGACATTACAGGCGGCGATTCCATGGCAGGAGCGGGTGGCCTTGTGAGCCTTCGAGCAGGAGAGTCTGCAGTGGGAGTTGGTGGTGCTCTGGAACTGATGTCTGGCTCCGGTGGTACAAATGGAGGCGTGCTAACATTCATGACAGCAAGTGGCGGCAGCCATGGCTCATGCTCCGGTGATATTTCGGTATCCACCGGGAGCACTGCCCATGGTGACTCCGGAGCTGTGTGTATCTCGACCGGAGATGCCGTTTCAGGACTTGCGGGTGGGATTGCTTTGCGCGTCGGCGAGTCAGGCAGTGGTGCAGGTGGTTCCATAACACTCACCGCGGGCGAGGGCGCCGAACAAACGCCTGGTGGTGAAATAGTGCTTGTTTCTGGAGATGCCAAATCAAGTTCGGGTAGCGTGACTGTTTCAACCGCGAATGCAACTGCGTCGTCAGGTTCCGTTTCGGTCTTGACCGGCTCGGCCACGAGTAGCTCGGGAGACATTTCGGTCGCCACATCAGACAGCGGCCAGGAGAGCGGTGGTATTTCTATTGCATCCGGTGATAGTGGCGACGGGGTTGGAGGAAGTGTCGAGATCCGTGCCGGCGCTTCCTCGATGCAAGGTGGACAAGTCTTGGTCAGTAGCGGCGCCGGGGATGACGGTGCAAGTGCAGGTGGTGTCATTCTTCGAGGCGGGCATGCTGCTGGGAGTGGTGCGGGTGGAGATGTATTGATCAAGGGTGGAACATCGGTAATGGGAACCGGAGGTTCGATTTGTATTTTTTCTGGTGAAAGTGAGTTTTCGACATCTGGTGGTCTGTATGTAAGCTCGGCGAATGCTGGCCAAAATGGTGCCAGCGGAAGTGTGTACCTGCGGACTGGCACTGCGTCATCACAAAGCTCCGGGGCAATTCTGCTTGGCACGGGAACTTCGACGGAAGGCACCTCGGGCACCATTTCGCTCGTGGGCGGAGACGGTTATGAGACCGGTGGCACCATTTCAATTTCAGGCGGCGACTCGCCCGATGCTAATGGCTCAGGGGGAGATATCAGGCTTGCATCTGGAGGTGGCATTGGAACGCCAGGGGCGCTACTCATTAGTACGCCACACAACTCAAATGGCAACACCGGGAATATGGGCTTCACTACTGGGACCAGTGTGTCTGGTAACTCGGGATGCATCGCCCTTGCAGTTGGATCCTCTTGTCATGGATCTTCTGGCAATATTGAGCTCGGGGCTGGTGGCGGTGAAGTGGGGGGGGGTTTCTTCATCAGCGCGGGAACTACAATGGGCGGTGATGCATGTGGTGGTTCGATTGAAATTGCTGGTGGTGACTCCTCTTGTGGTGCCGGTGGGCCCGTAACGATAAGTGCCGGCAGTGGCCTTGAACACGCAGGTGACATCAATTTTTACGGGGGAAGATCGGGGGATGGCGGCGGTGGTATCTACATCGCCGCAGGTGATTCCAAAGCTGCGGTGGGTGGAGATTGCGTTCTGGTAAGCGGTGCCGGCACACTGAGTGGGTCTGGTTCCTGCCTGCTATGTACAGCCAATGGAGGCGACTCTAGCACATCAGGGATCCTCTCCCTCGCAACGGGCACTACGGCCTTTGGAACCTCGGGATCAATCAAGTTCACAACTGGTACGTCAGGCTGTGGCGCGGCTGGTAGCATTTTATTTGGCGTCGGCGCAGGAGCCTCTGGAGACGGTGGTCACGTGGCTCTAGTTGCTGGTGCCACATCGGCAGATGCCGCGGCAGGCGGCGCAGTGACCCTCCAAGGTGGCAATGGACTGTCGCTGGATCCGCGAAATGGTGGGGATGGCGGGGCCATTCTCTTAGAAGGCGGAGCAGCGCTTGGTCGTGCGCGATGCGATGTTGGCGGTTCTATGATGATCAGCGGTGGATCTGCAACTTGCGGGACCGGCGGTTCCGTCACGCTACAATCAGGAATCGGCCACGCAGGGTCTTCGGGCCGCGTTATTGTGGGGTCGCCAGATGTCGGGGGCGACGGAGCAAGTGGGGCTGTGACAATCGCAACTGGCGATGCGGTGACTGCAGACTCTGGCCAAGTATCGATCAGTACTGGCGATTCACTCGATGGGGCGGGTGGTGACATCGCCTTGCGTGCTGGTGAAGGTGATTTGGGAGCCGGCGGTGACATTTTGCTCGGAGCAGGCTGTTCGTCTGCTGCCGCTTCACAAGGAGGTGCAATTACACTCCAAGGGGGCACGGGCGCCTCGACCAATCTGAATGACGGCGGCGATGGCGGTGATGTGATGATCAAGGGCGGCACAGCCCGAGGTTCAAACGTCAATGACAACGGCGGCGATGTCTCGGTTGTAGGGGGGCAGTCGCAGTCGGGCTATGGTGGGCGTTTGCGCGTATCAAGTGGCTTGTCTACTCACAGTTCGAGTGGAGACCTGCTTGTTGCAACGGGCAATTCAGGATTCAGCGGCATATCTGGAAGTATGACTCTTTCCACGGGCACATCCAAAGATGGATGCAGTGGCGCAGTCGAGATTGTCTCTGGCCAAGCGACGTCTGGCCGTGGTGGCTACGTTAATGTGAGAGTCGGCGATGGTGACACTGGAGAAGGAGGCGAGATAGAACTCGTGGCCGGCGACACGACTGACGCAGCGACGGGCGGCTTCCTGGTCCTCGAATCAGGATACTCTTCTGAGACGTCTTCTGGTTTCATTGACCTAAGTACTCCAAATGCCGGTTCAGTTGGCGTGAGTGGGGAAATATCAGTCGCCACAGGCACCACATCTGCAGGGAACTCGGGGGCGATTGCACTTGAAACAGGTTACGCACATGATGGCCATGGCGGAACTATTATGGCACGAGTCGGCACTGGCCATTCTGACGATGGAGGAAATGTTTTCTTGGCTGCTGGAGAATCTACAGATGATGAGGCTACAGGAGGTTCCGTGACAATTCAGGCCGGCGAGGGCTCGTCCACATACCAGTATGATGGTGGGAATGGTGGTTTAGTACAACTATTCGGTGGTGCCGCGCAGGGCGGACTCTCAGAGGACGACGGTGGAAGTCTCGAGTTTGCTGGTGGATACGCTAACCAGGGACGCGGCGGTTCATTCGTTGTTCGCACGGGCTACGGCGAGGCATCTTCGTCTGGGCTAATTGACATCTCGACAGCAAACGGTGGTACCCAGGGCACGAGTGGCTCGATAGATTTCTCCACGGGCACAAGTTCAAATGGGAATTCTGGGTACGTAAACGTTGAGACGGGCCAAGCTTCAGGAGGGCGTGCCGGCTATATACACGTTCTAGTTGGCACAGGGGATTCCGCGGCCGGTGCTGACTTCGTCGTGGTTAGCGGCTCGACCACGGCAGCGGCAACGGGAGGACTGATTTCCATAACTACTGGATACTCAGAGCAGTCAACGTCAGGAACCTTCTCCCTAGATACGGCGAATGCTGGTCAAAGTGGTGTCTCTGGAGCCATACATTTTGCATCTGGGACGTCAAGTGCGGGTACCTCGGGCTTGATTTCTTTAGCAACCGGTGATGCAGTATCAGGTGCTGGTGGAAACATTGAATTTCTTGTCGGCACGGGAAACGCCAACGATGGCGGCGATGTCATTGTCTCTGCCGGTGAAACGACCGATAAGGCTTCTTCGGGTGGATTGATTCTAATTTCTGCTGGTCATGGATCATCAACCGCAAGCGACGATGGTGGGGACGGTGGCGCCCTGCTCTTGTACGGCGGGGAAGCGAGTGGCTTGGAGGCAACCGATGATGTTGGCGGGAACATTGAGATAGTCGGTGGGTGTGCAACAGCAGCTACGGGCGGTTCTCTTATGTTTCAGACCGGCTCTGGTACCCGGACGAGCTCTGGAAATGTTTACCTGTGGACCGCAAACGGCGCCGTTTCTGGCAGTGGCGGCGTTTCTGGCTCAATTTCTTTTGAGACAGGCACAACAACTCTTGGCAACAGCGGGTACCTGTATTGCGGGACAGGCGACGCTACGGATGGAAGGGGAGGGAATATATCGCTTCAGGTTGGGACCGGAGACTCTGGCGATGGCGGCAATCTGTACATTTATGCTGGAGAAACCACGGAAGCGGGACAAACGGGCGGTTGTCTTTCAGTCCTAGCAGGCCATGGTTCGTATTCAGCATCGGGCCAAAACGGTGGAAGCGGGGGAACCGTGATGATCCACGGCGGCGCAGCCAAGGGCAATCTTGCTGACAACGACGGAGGAATTCTTGAGTGCCACGGCGGGCCTGCGGCGGCAGGCCCCGGCGGGGCAATACTGCTGCAGACTGGATATAGCATGGCAAGCTCCTCAGGTGACATGACGCTCCAAACAGCCAATGCAGGCGAAGCGGGTGTATCTGGGGGGGTATTCGTGCACACCGGCACGGCCTCTAGTGGCAACTCCGGCCACCTCGAGGTACGCACCGGCGATGCATACGATGGTCGGGGTGGTGCCATTTCGCTCGTGGTTGGTGATGCCTATTATGGTGCGGGTGGCGATATCACTTTTTCTGCGGGATCAACTTCTACAAGTAGCGGACTGACTGGGGGCCATCTTTGCATGTCCTCGGGCGCATCCACCCTTTCCACGTCAGGTCCAATATTCATCAGAACAGCCGAAGGGGGATCTCTCGGCGCAAGTGGCTCGATGTATTTCACAACTGGAGATGCAGAATCAGGCGATTCGGGCTCAATAGTGATGGAGACTGGGTCTTCCGCGGAGGGCGGCTCGGGCGGTTCTATCTCTATGTGCGTCGGGACGGGTGCCAGTGGAGACGGTGGCAATCTTGAACTGGTTGCTGGTGATTCGAAAGCGACCGATGGTGTTGGCGGCAAATTGAGCTTATTTGGTGGTAATTCCATTCACACAAATGGTGGTAACGGGGGCGGAATACTGTTTCAGGGCGGACTTTCACTTGCGTCCGAATCTCCAGACAGTGAAGGTGGAAACGTGTCTCTTGCAGGCGGCACTGCCCTCAGCGGCAGTGGGGGCTCTGTTTTAGTATCTTCAGGAGCTGGACTGGACAGTTCATCTGGCAAAATTACACTGTCTACTACCAATGCTGGTGAGGCGGGTGTGTCCGGCGACATCCTCTTCTGCACTGGATCATCAAGTTGTGGAGATTCGGGCGCAATTCACCTGAAAACGGGCGAAGGGAACGGTGGTCCAGGCGGGAACATCTCACTTGCTGTTGGCGAAAGCAACTCCGGCATGGGCGGTTGTTTGACGCTCCAAGCGGGCGACTCGCAAGCCGACAGCGGAGCCGGTGGGGACATTTTGATGCGCTCCGGAAACGCAAAATCGTCGATGTCAGGGTCAATTAAGTTCCTCACAGCCGATGCAGGCTCCGAGGGAGCCTCAGGAGATGTTTTATTAAGTACTGGTATCGCAACTGGAGGAAGCTCAGGTGCTATCTGCCTGAAGACAGGGTCAACAAAACAGGGAACAGGGGGCAAGCTCTTGCTCGAAGTGGGCTCAACAGCCTCTGGTGCTGGCGGCGAGATATACATTCAGGCTGGGAGAACTTCAGACAATCAGGGCGCAGGGGGCAGCATCACTATTGAGTCGGGAACAGGCTCAGACACGTCCTCAGGCGAAGTTACGATTCGGACGGTGAACGCAGGGTCGGATGGAAGCTCGGGTAAGCTAGATATCGAGACTGGTTCCTCTACAGATGGGACGAGCGGCGGCATTATGCTGTCGACCGGAGACTCCGCTGAAGCGAGCGCCGGTTGCATCACATTGCTTGTTGGTAAAACCGGATGTGGGCCTGGCGGGTCCATCACCATGGCCGCTGGAGGAAGCGAGCTTTCGGATAGCTCGAATAGCTTGGGCGGATCTATGGCCCTCGCCGCCGGTCAAGGTGGAACGGGCGGCAATGTGACGCTCGCTGGCGGCGACTCTATTGATGCGGCCTCAGAGGGCGGATCTCTTGTCATAACAGCAGGAGGAGCGGCGTCAGGTGATGGCGGCAGCATTCAATTGCTATCTGGACCCTCAGATACCGACAGGTCGGGTTCTGTGAGTCTCAAAACAGCATCTGATGGACTCGATGGCTCTGGAAGCATTTCAATCCACACGGGCGCGTCTACGGGCAGCTCTGGCGACATACTTATCGAAACTGGCGATGCAGAAAGCGGCGATGCAGGGCGCTTAACGCTGTCGGTCGGATCGTCAACGGGAATCGGGGGCGATATCAGTGTAACTGCAGGTGCGAGCGCAGATTCAGCTCGTGGTGGGGGCATCTGCGTGACATCTGGAGCCGCAGCTGAATCGACTAGTGGACCAATCACCCTTCGAACGCCGGACGGCGGTGAAGGTGGCTCTTCGGGAGATGTTCTTGTCACAACCGGTCGTGTTTCAGTGTCCTCACGTGACAATTTTGTACGCAAGCACACGTGGGTGCTGGCACTTGTTAAGCAGTCCCCCGCTCGTAGGCAAAGGCGGCACAAATGGTCTGTCCGGGAACCTCACCCTGGGAACTGGTCTTGCTAGCTCAGGCGACGGAGGTCACGTTGAACTTTGCGTCGGTGAAGGTCTAACTGGTGCGGGTGGTAATATCACGATTAATGCGGGAGGTACAAACGGCCCAGACTCGCCCGGTGGTAGTGTCAAATTGCTGGCAGGCGGCGGGATGGCGGGTGGTGGCGGTCAAGTCATCCTTCGGTCTGGCAACGCATCAGACTCGTCAGACGGCGACTCGGGCGGTGATTTGGAGCTAGTAGCCGGGTCCGCATTTGGTGGGACGGAAGGTGAAGGTGGGTCAATCTTAATCCTCTCTGGCCCATCAACCGAAGGAACAGCGGGACAAATCAGCCTAAAATCTGCAGACGACTCAAGCACCACGGGTAAAATAACTCTAGCCTCTGGCCAGACCTCGAACGGCAACACAGGCGGACTGACTGTTGGCACGGGTGCGGCCGCAGGTGGCGTTGCGGGCGCCATCTCGCTGACAGCAGGCGATACGAGTGACGGATCTGCTCGAGGCGGGGCCGTGTGTCTTGAGGGGGGATGCGCTACTGACGAGGGTGGTAACATTGAACTGCTTTCCGGTGCGGCGACGGGCACCTCAAGCAAAACAGGGGATATTGAAATCGCCTCAAGTAACACGGCAGATTCAGGGGATTCCGGCCAGGTAACAATAGTGACAGGGAATGCTACCACGGGTAATTCTGGAGATGTTTTGCTGACCACAGGTTCATTCCAGCGCATTGACTTAAGTATCTTGAAGTACGCCGAATTTCTGTCCCGCAGGCACCGCAACACAAGGCAAAGCGGGAACAGTCTACATGAGGCTCGGCATTTCGGAGTCGGGGGTCGGTGCTGATGCTATTTTGCAAGGTGGCGATGCTACAGATGAGACGGGTGGTGACATACGGATCGTCAGCGGTTATTCAAGGAAAACTACTTCAGGCTTAGTCATCATCGAGACAGCCAATTCTGGCAGCAACGGTGCTAGCGGATATCTTTTGCTCCAATCCGGTACGGCCGAAGGCGGAGACAGTGGCTGGGTCAATGTATCTACCGGGCGTGCTAGTGGAGGCACGGCCGGCTCAATATCGATGTCCGTTGGAGAGGGTGACTCTGGTACTGGAGGGGACATATCCTTCACTGCAGGGGCCTCCTTAGAGGATGGCGGGGATGGTGGTGCCATCATACTCGCTGCGGGCGAATCTCAATCGGGGCGAGGTGGGCATGCCATCATCCAAGCTGGATCCGGAGCAACGGGAGGTGGAGATATTGCACTGCTCGCAGGCGAATCGTCTGAGCAAGACGGTGGTGCAGTCAATCTAACCTCAGCGTATTCGGCTGAAGCAGACACGGGCACTCTGACCCTGGCGACGGGTACGTCAAGAGAAGGCAACTCAGGGAGCATTTCGCTTTGCACGGGTGATGCGAAGTCTGGTCAAGCTGGTACGATCGTGGTGTCGACTGGTACCGGCAAAGCTGGCGGTGACGTCGCTATGGCCGCGGGAGACTCAACATCAGGCCGCGGCGGTTCTGTGACAATCAGCTCGGGCGCTTCAGCGAAATCATCAAGTGGTCATGCTACAATTCAAACCAATGCAGCCACGGGACAATCTGGAGCGATCGAAATAGCAACAGGCGATGGCGTGAGTTCGGGCAGCATCAGCGTGGCCACGGGCTCGTCTAAAAGTACTTCGGGGACTGTCGAAGTTTTTCCTGGAGTCTCAACGGCTGGTGCTGGCGGTGACCTGGTGCTGCAAGGCGGATCCTCGACAGACTCCACCGGTGGACTGGTCTTGATCCGTTCTGGTGCGTCAACCTCTAGTACGTCGGGCTCTGTTTCGCTGGCATCGGCAGACGGCGGCGACGGGGTCGGTTCCGGCCGGTTCAATGTGTCGACGGGGTCGGGCACAGGTGCTTCCGGGGGTATCCAAATCACCTCTGGTGGGGCATCAACGACGGGCAACTCTGGAAATATTGTGATTCAGTCTGGCAGTGCCACAGCCGGCCGTTCAGGCGCAGTTTCCCTGACTACGGGAAACTCAGAAGCAGGCGACGCGGGGTCAATCTCTCTCACTGCGGGGTCCTCAAAGAGTTCGCGGGGAGGCAGTCTCTCTTTGATGGCTGGAAATGGCTCCGAATCTGGGGACATCCTCATAGCGTCAGGTTCTGGTGATCAAAGTGGTCTTCTAACACTTGTTTCGGGGACAGGCGAAACGTTCTCCGGAAATTTGACCATTGGTACCGCAGATCCAACTGATGGCGCTTCGGGCGACATAATGCTGACAACTGGTGCCGCGTCGACCGGCACGACCGGCGACATTTCACTTAGCACAGGCTCGCGACTGAGCGTCAGCTATATTTTGTAGTTGCAATCAGTGTGATTTATAACTGCTCTTGTAGGCTCTGCATCAAGTGGCCGATCAGGAAATATATCCATGTCCATTGGCGAGGCTTCGTCAGGTTCAGCAGGTAGCATTCGCATCACTGCCGGAAAGCTTGATCTCAAAGAAGCAGAGGACGACGCAGAGACCACCCCTTCTGGGGGTGCCATCGCACTCACATCAGGAAAGTCAACTTATGGGGAAAGTGGCTGTATCACGGTAAGGACGGCAGATGGAGGACGGAGTGACGACGAATATCGCACGAACTCGGGTAGCATTCATTTGGCGACAGGCACAGCAACTGGTGCTGGGGGTTCGATTATTATGGAAGCAGGCGCAGGTTACGGTGATACCGGTTGCGGCGGTTCGCTATACCTCACCGCAGGAGATAATCTCAACGAAGTACCAGAGGAAAATTATGCCGGCGGGAACATCCACATCAGCGCTGGCGCTGGATCTTCGCAAGCCGCGGGTGGTTCGGTGGCTCTCCTCTCTGGCGGCGGAAAGTTGGCAACAGGGGGGATCGCCATCGCTACAAGTAATGCGAGCCAAACGGACAGTACGTCTGGATCTATACAAGTAGCTACTGGTGCAGCCACTGGTAGTGCCGGTGAAGGTTTGCCGGCTTCAGGGTCAATTGCAATTGCATCCGGAGACTCTTCTGCTGGAGAAGCTGGAGATGTGATTATCTCTGTCGGGATGTCAATAAGTGGTGCGGGGGCACCTCTGTCACTGGCTGCCGGTAACTCCTCCCGGCAGCATGGCGGCAACCTGTCAATATCCTCTGGTGCGGGAAAAGAGAGCGGCAACGTCACAATCGCCACAGCGGGCGGCGGCGCCACCTCGGGAAGCGGTCGACTTGCAATCTCGACTGGGATCTCAAGCTCGGGCACCTCCGGCTCAGTCTGCGTCCTCTCCGGGAGAGCGACAACTTCGGTGGGAGGTGGCATTGCGTTGTCTGTCGGACATGCCACCTCAGGCAACGGAGCTAACCTGACGATGACAGCTGGCGCATCGACCGAGGCCAGTTGTGCTGGTGGCACCATCCTGCTTGAAGCTGGTGTCACTGCAGGTGGTCTCGGGGGGGACGTGGAGGTTTCTTCCGGACAAGGGACATCATCGTCGGGTACGATTAGCGTGACGACCGGCGATAGTACGTCCGGCGCTTCGGGCTCGCTGCTTGTCACAACGGGCCAGTTGGTTCTGTCTACGGGTGACTCATCTACTTCATCAGGGTCGTCGGGCAGCATATCAATCTCGACAGGCAGAAATCAGAGTCAGTTTGTTGGCTATCGTAGTCAACAAGTCATAATTGATACAAATTGAGAGAGTTCAGATTTATTTTCCCCGCCGTTTAAATCAATTTACGTAGGTGACACTGCCCCTGCATCTTCAAGCGCTGGCAGTATTTCTATAAAGGCCGGTACCGACGATGCAGGAGGCAATCTTTCTATGACAAGCGGCGCGGGCACAGCTGGAGGCGGCACACTTAGCATCTCGAGCGGCGCATCGACGGTCGGAGCTGGAGGCGTCGTCGAGATCTCGACGCCAACTTCGAGCACCGGGGACACAGGCAACATTTGCTTTACCTCGGGTACTGCGGAAAGTGGGAACTCGGGAAACGTTACCATCTGCGCAGGCGGTTCGGAAGTCGGTGCTGCTGGCGCTATCTCTCTCGTGGCCGGCGAGTCAACGAGCGATGCTGGGGGCGACCTGAGAGTGGCCGGTGGCGCGGTATCGCTGACTGGGGGAGCCGCCCCGGGGGGCGTGACGGGTAGTCTATCTTGTGCCACAGCCATCGCAGAAGGAAATTCTGGCGACCTTAGTCTCATAACAGGGGATGCTGTTGGAGGCATTGCCGGAAGTATTACCATAACCACAGGTGCGTTTAGCCATCGGGATCCTGGGTATTGATAAGGGGGATACCTTTAGCACAAAACGGATCTGTCTTTTCGAACTTCACTTTTTCCGGCAGCTGCATGAAAACAAACCCCATAAACAAGCCCTCCCCATGCCCCGTATTTACTCACATGTATCATTTGCGCTGTGTAGGGGATTCCACCGGCGGCGATTCTGGGGATTTAATCCTGGCGACGGGAAGCACAACTAGTGGTGACGCCGGCGACATAGTTTTCCAAGCCGGCGAGTCGGATAGTGGTCGGGGAGGGGACGTCTCGATTACCTCAAATAAAGCATCGGCCACACTTTTGAGCACAGATGCATACTTGAATATCACTGGCGACAACATCGATGTGGTGAGTGGCTCGGGAGGCAACGTCTCTTTCCTCGCTGGTCCGGACGGCACAATTGGTTGGGGCATCACTGATAGTGATGGCAGTTCTGCGACGTATGATGTTCGACTCACCACAAATGGTGACGGCAACACCGAGTTATATTCTGACGTACCAATCTCGGCTCCGTCATTTACAAGCCCTTCGGATCGTCGCATCAAGAAAGACTTTCAGCCGGTTGACACGGCCGACTTGCTTCACCGCCTGCAAAGAGTTCGAATTACTGAGTACGGATACACGGACGAGTGGCGGGCCGTTCGGGGGATTCCCGACAAGCGAGTCCGCGGCGTGATTGCACAAGAGCTCAATGAGATTTTCCCTGAGCATATATCCGTCCTCGAAACATACTCGCTTCCAGACAAGGGGTTCCAAAAAACGAGATTTTATCGGGTTGATAAACAACGGCTTGCCCTTGACGTCATCGGCGGCCTCCAAGCCCTTCACGACCGGTACTCTATTGGTGAGTCTACATCTTCGGAGTCCGGTTCTCTCGCACTGACCACAAAGGCTGCGCCGAGCTCTGGCGCCATTTACTTACAGACGGGGCGCGCATCTTCGGGTGAGAGCGGGGACATTCTCGTACAGAGTGGGGCCGCCGCAAGCGGCAATAGCGGCTCTATTTCACTCATGACTAGCTCGAAGGCCAAGAACAAGGGAGATATTTTGCTATCTACCGGCTCTGGTGTCGCAGATGGTGGCTGTATTTCTCTGAAAGCGGGAGATGGTGAGAACGCTGGCGATGTAAGCCTGACCGCCACCAGAGGCGGCGTTGCCCTCACAACAGGGGAAGCAATGAACGGAGATTCGGGCAATGGCATCTGTGTTGCCGTGGGGGATGCTGTATCTGGTATCGCTGGCGACATCTCGCTGGCGTCCGGGGCCTCGCTTGCCGGCGACGGCGGCAGAATATCCGTGCACGCAGGCGACGGAGGGGCTTCTGGCGGCAGACTCGACGTAAACGCCGGCAATGGAGACATCGGTGGCAGCATCCAGTTCAAAGCTGGCGATGGTAGAGAAAGAGGTGGCACCCTCACTTTATGCAGCGGAAGTGGTGGCGAAGGGACCAGCGGCACTTTTACGATCGCAAGTGCCGAAAGCAGTGCAAGTGGGGGCATTCTACTCGCAACTGGGACATCTGTTCAAGGGAACTCAGGGGACGTATCCATCGCCACCGGGGATTCGGCGGGCTCAGCTGGCAACATCGAGCTTTGTGCTGGTTTGGCTACCAGCGGTGGGGGCGCGGTGAAAGTATGCTCGACGGGCTCATCTTGCGGCAGTGGTGGTAGTGGTGAAATTATTGTTGCGTCTGGTCAAGGTGATCTTGGGGGCCACACGAGCATCCGCGGCAGCAACCTCGAGCTTGTGGCAGGCGAGGCGACCGGAGGACTCGGTGGAGCGGTTGACCTACATGCGGGTGGGGGACGTAAGGGCGGTGAAATAATTATCAAAGCGGGGCGGGATGATATGGAACTGGGCGGCTCAGTAGTCGTCGAAAGCGGGACAAGCACCGGTGATGTGGGTGGACAGGTTGCCATAACCACTGCTAGCGGCAAAGCTTCCGGGGACGTATCAATATCATCGGGACGGGCACAGACTTGGGGCGCCAGTGGCAAAATCATTCTTGCCACTGGTGATGCTCGAGATACTGTGGGGACTTTATCAATTCAGGCGGGCGACTCAGAAACCGGTGTTGGGGCCAGCGTCATTTTTGTAGCCGGCGATTCGGCGGCTAGTCAGGGTGGGCTTCTGCGCCTTGCGGCTGGAGATGGAGCCTCTGCAGGCCACATAAGCTTGAACGCGGGCGCTGGCATCGACGCAGCCGGCGGCAACTTGGAAATCTTCAGTGGAACGCAGCTTACTAGAAGGGCCGGCAAGAGTGGTGACGTTACCATCAAATCTGCAAAGGGCACTATTTCTTCAGGAGACATTGAGGTCTCAACTAGTTGTGTGGCTGAAGGCGCCTCCGGAGACATTTTTGTCTCCACCGGTGCTGGCCATTGCGGTAGCGGCGGAATCAGTCTCTTTGTTGGTTCGAGTTTGTTAGGTGATGCTGGAAATCTGGTCCTGGGCGTGGGCGAGGCTTCAACGGCTAGCGGCGGCTATGGCGGATCCATAGGAATCTCAGGTGGCGGCGGAAACGCTGGTGGCGCCATTCGGCTCCGGGCGGGTGTGGGAACTGCAAGGAAGGGCGGCGATGTCGAGCTTAGTGCCGGCACCTCAGACGAAGGCAACGGAGGAAGCACGACGATTTCCGCAGGCGATGGCAGCTGCGGGGGAAGCGTCTTGATGACCGCAGGCTGTTCAGATAGGGACAGGGGTGGCAACGTGGACATCATCGGCGGCGATAGCGACGGGGCGGGTGGGAACATTAAGCTGTCCGCCGGAATGGGCCAGAGAGCGAGCGGGGAGATCCACCTGGCTACCGGCGATGCGAAAGCGTCGAGTGGTAGAGTTCTCATCAAAACTGGCGACGCAACGGATGGTAGAGCCGGGAACATTAGTTGCTTTACGGGCGCGAGTTCTTCTGGAGGGGGCTCAGCCATTGCGTTGCGAGCCGGCATGGCAACCGCTGGTGCTGGAGGACCGACTAGCATTATGGCAGGCGATGGACTAGCCGGTGGTGAAGTTAGCATCATGGCCGGAGCTGGTTCCGACTCCGGGGGCTCTCTTCAGGTTGGCAGTGGTACTGGTGCCTTAGCTAGTGGCGACGTACTCTTGAAAAGTGCGGACGTTTGCGGCACGAGTGGCTCAGTAGCTATTGCAAGCGGATCGGCTGATGTTTCGGGTGGGGTAATCATTGGCACGGGCAATTCAGTGAGCCAAAGTGGCACAATTGAGCTGTCAGTCGGTTCGTCACGCCATGGAAACGGTGGCTCTCTAATTGCGTCTGCTGGTGACGGACTGCGGAAAGGTGGTGGTGTGGATGTTTCATCCGGAGACGGTAAGAGCGGAGGAACCATTGCGTTACAAAGCGGTTCTGGTAGCTGTGCTTCAGGCGGAAACATACTTGCGCGTGCGGGCGCTTCGAAAGAGACTGGCGGGTCTGTGTGCTTTCGGGCGGGATCGGGAACCAAGGGCGGCGATATTTCGTTGCAAAGTGGTGCATCATCGGGCACCGGGGGTAATGAGGACGCCAGCGGTGGAAAAGTTTCAATCATTGCGGCATCCGGCGGCTCCGCTTCCTTTGGGTCCACGGACGCAGCCTCCTCAAGTGGAAAAGTGTCTCTGTGCACCGGTGAGGGTAGAACGAAAAGCGGGGGGATAACCCTTGCCACCGGGTCGGCTGGACGCTCAGGAAACTTGACCCTTGATGTTGGCGAGAGCTCAAGCGGAGCGGGAGGCCAACTAGAATTGGCAGCGGGTGACTCGTCTCAAGGCCAAGGTGGTAATATCGCCTTAGTGGGCGGGAATGGCACCTGTGGCGGTACCGTGTCCGTCATAGCCGGAGACGGGACCGGAAGCGGGGGTGGCGGCGGACATCTGGAGCTCGTCGGTAGTGAAGGGGGGGTCGTGTCCATTACAGGTGCAAGTAGTGAAGCGCAGTCTGGCGGCGTTGTTATTTCGAGCGGCGTGGCATACGCAGGTGCCTCAGGTGAGATATTCATCTCAACTGGCGAAGCCGAGACAAACAGTGGCTCCATCAACGTGTGTATCGGTAGCAGCACAGTAGGATCGGGTGGGGAACTGTCTCTGCAAGCGGGTACAACGAGAGATGAGGGCGGATCTGGCGGTTCTACTTGTTTCGCAGCAGGCGATGGAAGTATAGGAGGGGCAATTGATCTGCGTGCTGGTGTTGGTGACACCAGCGGCGGTGACGTCGAAATAGCGGCCGGAGTTTCTACAAGGGGCACTGGTGGTAGCATGGAAATAGCCGGAGGAGCCGGTGCACGCGGCGGCAAGTTGTCGCTCAGTGGCGGCAACGGTGCTGCGAGAGACGGCGGCGAGGTATGTATAACAGCTGGCGGGAGCACGTCTGGAGTTGGTGGTCACCTCAACATAAGCTCTGGCCCGGGTGCAACCAGAGGTGGGGACGTGAGGCTGGCAACATTGACTGACGCCAGCGGATCAAGTGGAAATATTCGGCTTGAGACGGGCAACGTACCCGGCGGCATTGCTGGTGATTTGGACCTGTCCGTTGGATTGTGCGCCAACGACAATGGTGCTGCTATTACAATGCAGGCTGGCGCATCCGCATCAGGTTTGGGCGGTAGCACGTCGCTCATCGGGGGAGATGGCAGTTGTGGTGGCGAGCTAAGTTTACAGGCGGGCTCTGGTAGCTGTGGTCCTGGAGGAGCTGTGGTGATGCGCAGCGGCGCAGGTACCTTAACAAGCGGGGATGCTTGCCTTATGAGTGGACAGGCAACCCAAGATAGCGGGGCTATTTTGCTGGCTACCGGAACGGGCTGCGTATCAGGTGGGGTGAGGATTGCCACTGGAGACTCTGGGGGCCAAAGCGGCTCCATTGGCATCTCGACTGGCGCGTCGGCCCTAGGTCATGGCGGGGACATATCAGTTTCTGCCGGTGACGGAGCCACAAGCGGAGGAAGGGTGGAGATAGCGTCGGGTGCAGGTGAATTGGGCGGTGGCGTCGCGCTGATAAGCGGTGCGGGACCTGATAGGTCGGGCGACATATGGTTAAGCGGAGGTGCATCCAATGGTATTGGATGTGGTGGTAGTGTGAGTCTGGAGGCGGGCTCGGGAGGATCAGGTGGTAGTCTGTTACTCCAATCGGGTTCGAGCAACGAGGGAATAGGCGGTAATGTGCGCATCGCTGCAGGCGCAAGTGCGTCGTGTACTGGCGGCTCGGCGACATTGGGCTCAGGAGCCTCCGAGCAGGGAGATAGCGGGGACGTCATGGTCTTGTCCGGGCCAAGTGGGGCTTCAAGTGGCAGTGTTCTAATTGAAACTGGCTCAGCAGACGTAGCGGGTGGAGTCAACGTCGCAGCGGGGGAGAGCTCAGGTTCGTGCGGGGGAAATATATGTGCTCAGGCGGGAGCAACCCAGCGGGGTACTGGAGGATATATTGATTTGACCGGTGGTGATGGCGTTTCTGGCGGAAAGGTGATTCTAACAGGTGGAATTGGTCGCGAGCTCGACGGCGGCGGTCTACTGTTGGCCAGTGGTCTCGGTGCGACGGGCTCGAGTGGCAAAGTTTCCATCGCGAGTTCGGATAGCGGGGAACTATCTGGTTCTGTCAAGCTATCGACTGGAGCGGCAGCTCGGGGCGTCTCGGGCAGCATGACACTGTCAACAGCAAGCGCACAGGAAGAGAGCGGGAGCATTCTCTTGCATGTTGGTACGTCATCGAACGCTGCTGGGGGCCACATAAGCCTAAGAGCAGGCGCGAGTTCCGATGCTTCCGGATCTGGTGGCTCTGTAGAAGTAGCCGCAGGTGGAGGGCATGCCGGCGGTGACGTGATTGTCCGTGGCGGTCTTGCTGAGTCTGGCAGGGGTGGGTCTATAATCATAGATGGTGGCGGTAGGGGAGACCCAGAAATTGGCGGAGTGGTATCGTTACGGACAGGAGCATCCCGCGACGGCAACGGTGGCTCTTTATCCATCTGCGCTGCAAACAGCACAGATTCGGGCCCCAATGTGACAGTATCGGCAGGCGTCGGCGGAAAGTCACATGGCATGGTGCGCGTGCTATCTGGATCCGGCAGTAGTTCAATTAGAGTCGACGGGACCACGGTGGAGATGCTTGCCGCGGAGCAAAGTGTGACGGCGAGTCATATTAGTTTGGATGCATCGGGCGCGATTGGCAACACCATCGAGTTTTCTGTGTCAAATCGACCTGGACCAGACTTTAGGCTTGAATCTGCGGGCGCCGGCGGGTCGATTATCTCGACAGTGCCGATGCGTGTGACCAAGATCGAGTATTCGTCAGACGAACGCATCAAGGAGGATATACATTATCTTGACGATGCGGAGCTAGATGATATCTACGACAGGTTTACCCAGATCAAGTTAGCTAATTATCGATACACTGATGAGTGGCTGAAAATACGCGGAGTCGACGACGTGGTTGTGCGAGGCGTAATCGCGCAGAATGTACGCGAGGTATTCCCAGAGCGTGTCGAAGTGGTGGATAACTACACCCACCCAGCCTACAATTTCTCCCTCGATGGATTCCACCAAGTTGACAAGCAAGGCCTCACGCTAGATTTGATTGCAGCCATGCAGTCGCACAATCAATATTTTACGATTCACAAGGACGGCAGAATTTCCATGCAAACCAAGGATAGTCAGAGTCATACCGGTGATGCAAGCATTGGGACTGGTGACGCATCAGATTCTTCTGGCCGGATTTGTGTTTCGACAGGCACTGCGACTGGCACGTCAGGAGGAATTTCACTTGAAGCTAGTAGTGCAGGCATTGACGGCGGGAGTGTGCGCGTGGCGGGAGGGGAGGGAGAAAATGGAGGTGCTGTTGTTGTTTGTAGCGGGAGTGGTGCTGTCGGGGGCGGCGACATTGTTCTTCGAGGCTCAGATGGCGAGGCAGGTGGTGACGTAATCTTTGCTGCCGGGGGTGGAGGCATTTCAGGCAACATCGTCGTAAGAACCGGCGGACCAGACGGCAATGTGTCCATGACTTCCGGAGCTGATCTGCACTTGACCAGCGGCACCGGCGCTGCGCAGGGTGGTGAAATGTGGATAACTTCAGGTGCTTCCGCGACGCTTGCTTCTGCGCGGGGTGGAATCTGCGTTTCGACGGGCAGTACGGAAGCTGGCGGAGCTGGGGATTCGGGTGCGCTCTTTCTTGGCACGGGCGAAAACCCAGAGGGTGCGGCCGGGGGGATTCAAATCGCAGTTGGCTCGAGTGGCTCTGGCAGGGGTGGGACCATAAATGTTACGGCGGGATCTGCGATCGAATGTGGTAATGCTGGGGGTCATGTCCAAGTCGTCGGCGGAGAAGGTGCGCGGGGTGGCGGAGTTGCTTTGCGCGGTGGGTGTGGGGACAGTGTGGGTGGGCGAATAGATGTATATTCCGGTGCTGGTATGAAGGGAGGGTCAGGTATCGTGCGTCTTGCGACAGCGCAAACTTCCTCAGAGGTTGGACCAAGCGGCGATGTCTTGGTGTCGACTGGGGATTCACCTGCAGGAAGCTCAGGGACGGTGCTTGTTTCCACGGGCACATCAGAGACCGGCAGCGCAGGCAGCATTCTCATGCACGTAGGCAGATCAGGTCTGCAGGGTGGCGAGATCCGCATCGAGGCTGGGAACTCAACTGGAAGCTTAGGTGGAAACGTCACCGTTGCGGCTGCAAACGGCCAAGTAGGCGGAACAGTGAGTATCTCAAGCGGGCTGGGTGTCGCTGGTGGAGCTGCCGGCAACGTCTCTGTATGTGTCGCCAATGCATCCTCTGGCTCTGGAGGGTGGCTGACGGTGACCGCAGGCAACTCAAAGCAAGCCAAAGGTGGTGCAATTTTATTGCATGCCGGTGCATCGACATGTACGACGGGCGGCGAGATCTCGGTAGCCGGTGGAGATGCTCTGCAAGACGGCGGCGGCATTGACGTCAAATCTGGCGCAAGCGCGACTCGATCCGGGAATCTTACGCTTAGCACCGCAAGCCCTGCCCTAGATCAAGGCGAGGCCGACGGCAGTACCACGACGGGCAGCATCGAGATGAATACCGGCGACGTGTCGTCTGGAACATCAGGCTCTGTATCCATTCGGACTGGCCATGCACCGCAGGGCAAAGCGGGGGACCTAAGCTTGCAGGTGGGAACCGGTATATCAGGCGGTGGAAAAGTCAACATCTCCGCTGGTTCTATCTGGGGCGAGGCAGCACAAGGTGGGTCTGCCAACCTTGCTGCCGGCGGCGGTGCCTCGGGAGGCAACTTGACAATTCGGAGTGGGGAAGGCAGCGTATATCATGGTGGCGCATTAATACTTGAATCTGGTCCTGGTGGGGAATCATCTGGTAACATTAGCATTGCGACTGGTCTGAAATCAGCGTCTTGTAAAAATGAAAGGCCCCATAGCTCGATGGCCCTAATAAGTAAGCCCTGATTTGTCGCAACCCACTTTTTTCGTAGGCAGCGCGAGTCCGGGGGGCGCGGGTGGCTCGGGGGCTATCTCGCTTACGACCGGAACGGCAGGCGCGGGCGATTCAGGTGACGTTCGTCTCTCGACAGGCGCAAGTAGCAATGGCAACACGGGGTCTATAAATGCAACTGTGCAGACATCTAGCACTGGACATGGTGGCAACATACAAATGAGCGCAGGCTACCTCCGGTGTCGTTGCAAATCAACCCCTCCCCTCTCGCGCATGTGGGGGCGTCCCTGGGCTGTGCCAAATTTGACAGCATGCCGTCGTTTTTCGCAGGCGACGGTAAGCGCGGCGGTAACGTGTCAGTTGCCTCGGGAGCTGGGACTCAATCTGGGGGTAGCCTCACCTTGCTGTCACGAGGTGGGGGAAATTTTTCGGTTGTCGTTGGCGAGGCGACGTCGGGTCTTGGGGGGTCAATTAGGGTCTGCGCTGGTTCGTCGCAGAATGGAGGCGGAGGTACTATAAATATGACTGGTGGAAGCGGTGACGGTCGGGGTGGCGCCATTCATATTTCAGCAGGACGTAGTTCTGAAAGTGGAGGAGACGCCGAGATCCGATCTGGCGATGGACGACGATCAGGATGTCTCAACTTCACAACTGGCAAAGCAAGTGTACAGTCTGGAGATCTCACAATGTCGTCTGGAAACGCCACCACGACGTCAGGGAGGGTGTTGATCTGCTCTGGAGAATCAACCCTAGGTGCTGGCGACATATCTGTGCGAGTGGGCCAGTCGTGCAGTGGACCAGGCGGAACCCTGGAAGTCCGCGCGGGTAGTTCAACCAGCAACACTGGTGGTTCTGTTCGGGTTGCGGGCGGATCAGGATGCGGTGGTGGAAACGTTACAATAGAAGGCGGGACAAGTACCCAAGCACAAGGGGGGAGTGTGTCGATGCAATCAGGTGTTGGCATGATAAAGTCAGGTGACGTTCGTATTACCACACCGCCTGGATCGGATGGGCCTGATGACAACGATGCTCAAAGTCATGGGAATATTTGCCTGTGTACCGGTGATGTGAACTCCGGCCAGTCTGGCGCCATCCAAGCACACACTGGGGCTTCCGATGGGTCAATGTCTGGAGCCATAGAGCTACTGGCGGGAACCTCGGGCCATGGGCATGGCGGTAACGTCGTTTTCGCAGCAGGAGGCGCGCACGCCTCCGACGTCCAGTTGAGTGATGTAGAGGCTAGCGTGGGAGGCGACCTGCTGCTCAGAGGAGGCTCTGGTGTCACCGGAGGCGGAGTCGAAATCCAAGGCGGTGACGCAACCGACAACCACGGCGGTAACTTGAACATCAAGGGGGGAGATTCCAGGCAGGACGACGGTGGTTCCATAAGCGTAAACGCAGGCAGGTCTTTCTCCGAAACGGACGACTCTAGTGAAGGTGGCAGCCTGGAATTTACATCTGGCGCGGGTGTAGCGGGGGGTAATCTCATAATCAATGCAGGTGCTGGGAGCGCTTGCGGTGGTGGCGTAAGCATAGCATCGGGCGACGGCGCAGCGGGTGGTGATATAAAAGTGGCAACGTGTGCAGCGTGTGGTACCGTGGACAGCCAATCTGGACATCTAAGCTTTGAGACCGGAGAGGGTGATATGAACTCAGGTTCAATACGTTTGCACACTGGCAAAAGCACGACGACCGGTGGTGGTGGTATCAGCATGTCGGTCGGTGAGGGAATGTCGGGTATTGGTGGTGCTATAATCATGCAGGCGGGCGCGGGCGGAACCGGAGGTACACTACGACTGGTCGCCGGGAATGGGACCGAGGCAAGTGGCGGTGACCTCAGTCTTGGCGCAGGTAGCACGACTCAGGGGACGGGTGGGTCGGTTGCCATCACCTCGGGCAGAATTACTGGCAACACGGCAAGCAATCAAGCGAGTTCAGGCGATATAAACGTCGTGAGTCCACCTGCGCTAGGTCACACCGGTGCGCTCGAACTAAAAACCGGTTCCTCGGCTCTTGGGAACGCAGGTTCAATCAGTATTAGTACTGGCGTTGCCCAAGAAGCCGGGTCTGGCTCTATTTCCATAGCCGTCGGCTGTGCGACTGGTGGTGTCGGTGGTGACTCTAACCTGACGGCTGGCCGCTCTCGTGACGAATGTGGGCGTGGTGGCAGTGTTCATCTTAGGGCTGGTAGCGGAGGAGTTGGCGGTGACATGGTCTTGTCAGCCGGTGACGGCGAGGTGGAAACTGGAGGCCGTGTGTGCTTTCGTGGTGGAAATGGGACGGCTCACGGTGGTGCGCTGCATCTAGAAGCTGGTGGTGCAACCGAGGGTGCTGGCGGCGATGCAGACTTTCTAGCAGGCTTTGGATCAGTCGGGGGGTCCTTTACTATCCAAGCCGGAGCGGGAGCTGATGATCAAGGCGGCTCAGTGGCGATTCAGTCCGGCACCTCGGTAATGGGGCCATCAGGTAACATCACGTCTCGCAGTCCCGCGCCTTAAAAAAAGTGTTACACATAGAGCCCACAACCGCAGTTTTAACAGCTGGCGGGGGATCAGACAGTATCAACACTGTTGTACCTACTATCTGCCCTCATCCAATTTTTCTTACTTATCACGTCCTTATGACTTGTTGACTTGTAGGTTGCGTACTCCTTCATCTTTATCTTCGGGATCGATTAATTTTACAACCGGTGCGGCAACGGGCACGACGGATAAAGGAGATTCAGGTTTATTTTGCTTCCGCACGGGCGATGCCGTTACGGGCCGGGCTGGTGGTATTAAATTTTCAGTCGGCTACAGTAGCTCTGGTGCCGGAGGCGACGTGGAATTACAGGCCGGAACTGCTCTCGGAGGCAACGGCGGCGCCTTGTGCCTGTGCGCGGGCTCTGGCACTGCGGGCGGAAGTGTGACTCTTGCTAGTGGATCTGGGAAAATGGCGGAAGGAGGCGACCTGTGCCTCGCATCTGGCGCATCCGCCACAGGCTCTAGTGGCGAAATTCAGATCCAGAGCGGCGACAGTCAGGCAGAGACCGGCACGATGTCAATCTCCACTGGTCTATACTCCGGCGTCCTTCGTTTGCTTGTTTCAAAGCCCATAGACGTTCGGACATTGCCTGTATCTGAGAACTTCGCACATAGGTGATAGTATGAATGGTGATTCGGGCGGACTCTGGATATCAACTGGCAGCTCCTTTCAGGGCAATGGTGGCGCACTCTCGCTTCGAGTCGGTCGTAGCGACCTGGGAATAGGTGGAAGCATTCAAGTGTCAGCCGGAAACTCGTCGACCTGCGCAGGCGGTCATCTATCATTTGTCGCCGGCCATTCTAATTCGGAGTCTGGAGCTGGTGGCGGGGTGTCGATTAGAGGAGGTTCGGGAAAGACGTCGGAGGGGGGTGGGCTTAGAATACTGGGTGGAAACTCGAATGCGCAATGTGGCGCAGCTGTGACACTGCGAGCGGGTGACTCACTTAGCGAGAGCGAAGCAGGGTGTGCGGGCAACGCCTCCATCGCAGCAGGCAGGGGTGAACAGGGGGGGAGCCTGTTGGTCGAGGGCGGCCTGGGCCGCGGCGGCGGTGGTGCCGTAGAGATTCGGTCCGGTCCATCAACGGACGGCAAGGGTGGCGATGTGTCGATAATGACATCACCAGCCCAGACTTCATCGGGAAATTTGCTGTTTGAGACAGGCCAAACAAATAGTGGCGACAGCGGGAGCGTCGCCATGACCACGGGCCCGGCAACTTCCGGATCTGCAGGAGGGATTTTCTTGTCAGTTGGACTGAGCGATGGCTCTCAGGGGGGCGAGATTCGCATAGATGGCGGTGATTCCTCTGCAGGCAAAGGAGGGCAGGTGGAGCTTAGAGCCGGGAATGGGGCGGACTCAGGAGGAAACATGACCATGACCGCAGGCGATGCCATTGATGGTTCCGGAGGCGCCATGACCATATCAAGTGGCACCTCCTCTTCAGACCAAGGAGGTGATGTCAGCGTGTCAACGGCACAGGCAAACTGCGGCTCAGGCTCCGTTGCGATTTGCACAGGGGATGCTGGGGAGGGCGATTCTGGTAAGATCCGCATCTCGAGTGGGTCAACCGCGTCCGGTGCATCTGGGTCTGTCTCCATCGAAGTTGGGCTTTCGACATCTGGCCGGGGGGGGGGCGCATACATCTACGCCGGAAACTCAAGTGATGATGAAATGGGAGGGGGTATTACTATGTCATCAGGCAGCGGCGAGATCGGCGGCAGCCTATGCTTGGTCTCTGGCGATGGCTTGGACGGACGGGGTGGCGCCGTCGCCATCGCCGCAGGATATGCTGCGGAGGGCAACGGTGCAGGCGTCTCGGTGATTGGAGGATCTACGGAGGGCGAGGATGCAAAGGGGGGCACTACAGCCATTGAGGGTGGCGCTGGCATGTCGTCAACATCGGAGGGTGGTAATGTTGAAATAAGGGCCGGTGGATCCAGCACAGCAACAGGTGGGGAACTTTGTCTGTTATCTGGCTACAGTGAAAAGTCTGCCTCTGGTGATGTGACCCTTGCAAGCGCCAACGCTGGGCGAAGTGGCGCGAGCGGTGCGCTGCTGCTTCAAACTGGAGACGCGAAAGAGGGATCGTCTGGAACTATCGATATTCTCTCGGGCGAAGGTGCTGGCGGTCGCGGAGGCCAAATCACGATCATGGTTGGTACGGGCGACAGTGGCACGGGAGGTAATGTGGAAATGTATGCCGGAGACTCTACAGCAGGGGATGGCGGTGAGATCATACTTGCTTCGGGCGAAGGCCTTTATGGTACCGGAGGGGGCCTCTCGTTTGTTGCCGGGAGTGGATCGCCGGGAGGCGACATCTATATCTCCTCCGGACAAGGGTTGAAGTCAAGCTCAGGGCGCCTCTACATGTGCACAGCCAACGTGCTCAGTAAAGGCTCTTCTGGCTCCATATCCTTGACGACCGGTTCAACAAATGATGGAAACACGGGTGCGATCTTATTGTCGACAGGTACAGCCTCGGGTGGAAGTGGTGGCTCTATATTTATCCATGCTGGCTGTGGCGAAACTCGAGATGGAGGGGGCGTCGAACTAATAGCAGGAGAGTCTGAGATCGGCACGGGAGGGGAGGTCTTTGTGACAACGGGATACGGGCAAGAGACCACATCTGGAGCTATGACCTTGCAAACGGCGAACTCAGGGATAACAGGAGTCTCGGGCGGAATGGTTGTCTCGACGGGCGACGCAAGTGAAGGGAACTCGGGGCAGATCCAGATGACTACGGGCATTGCAGAGTCTGGGTCAGGGGGGAGCGTGTCCGTCGAGGTCGGAGGGGGGGACTCGGGTACGGGGGGCAGGATATCTATTGTTGCCGGCTATTCAACTGCATCGACATCGGGAACGGTGTCTATGCGCACGATGAATGCAGGAGATAATGGCATAAGCGGCTATCTGTTCCTTAGCACAGGCACGTCTTCGGGAGGGAACTCCGGCTACGTAGCTTTAGAAACCGGGGCCGCTACAAGTGGCAGAGGAGGAGCTTTCACTATTCTCGTTGGAGACGGCGACAGTGGCGACGGCGGATCGGTCAGTCTCGCAGCGGGAGGGACCAGCGCGGACGGCACAGATGGCAGAATATCCCGTGGCGGCACGGTGACTATCGTTGCTGGTCATGGTGCCGGTGAAGAATTTAGCATGGGCGGTGCTTTCTCAGTTTCTGCAGGTATCGGAGGATCAGACACCGGTGGATCTGTCTTCATCAAATCAGGATATGGATCGACATCCACATCCGGTTCAATAACCACGTCGACAATGAACGGTGGCGAAATGGGAGCATCGGGGCGTGTCGAATTTACGACAGGCTCTTCTTCATCTGGAAACACGGGCTCTGTTCTTATAGCAACAGGAACAGCCGATATCGGCGGAGGCGGGGCGATTGAGGTCTCGGTCGGTGCCGGTGACAGCGGCCATGGAGGTAGCATCACTGTCACCGCTGGAGACACTTCACAGTCCGACAAGACGGGCGGGTCTATTAGCATTCACGCGGGCGATGGTACCGGCATATGCAATGGATGTGGCGGTCACGTTGCCATCACGGCGGGGCAGGGATACACATCGAGCGGCGGGAGCTGTTGGATTACATCGGGATATGGAGCAAAGTACAGCTCAGGCAACATGACAATTGCCACTGCGAATGCAGGTATCGCTGGTGTTAGTGGCCACTTGATCATTTCTACCGGCACAGCAAGCAATGGCAACAGTGGCTGGATAAACATAACGTCTGGTGACTCTGCAGGCGGTCGCGGCGGTAACATGACGATAGTCGTAGGAACAGGGGACAGCGGGACGGGAGGAAACGCCACTGTGGTTGCTGGGGCGTCCTCCGTGCGTACGGGCGGTTCATTAATCTTGACCACTGGCGAGGGGGCCTCGTCAACTTCAGGCACAGTTTGCTTTCTTACCGCAAATGCCGGTTTTCGCGGTGTATCCGGCTCCCTGATTTTCTCTGCAGGAACATCAAGTGGTGGAAATACAGGAGCTTGCCTCATCGGGAGTGGAGCCGCATCTTCTGGGCGCGGGGGTCGGATCAGTCTCACCGTCGGCAGCGGCACGTCCGCCGGTGGCGGCATGCTTTTTGTTGCTGCTGGCCGCTCAGGTTCGTACACGGGCGGTGCTCTGCTACTCGAGTCTGGCGAAGGAACCGCATCTACCTCCGGCTCAGTCTCTATACGGACAGCCAACGGTGGGGAGGATGGAGCCAGTGGATGGCTCTCGTTTTCATCGGGGACTTCAAAAGACGGCAATACGGGCGGAGTGCTCCTTGGAAGCGGCGCTTCGACAGGAGGCCGTGGTGGTGCCATCAAAGTCTCTGTTGGCAGCGGTACCTCTGGCCGAGGCGGCGAACTTCTGATCCTTGCTGGCCGCAGCACCTCTCGCACTGGGGGCAGCCTGAAGCTAGAGGGAGGTGAAGGAACTGCAACAACTTCGGGCGCCTTGACCATCCGCACAGCCAACTCGGGTGGCAACGGAGCGAGTGGGCTAGTAGCCTTTTCCTCCGGCACGTCAAGTAATGGCAATACTGGGGGCTGCCTTATTGGCAGCGGAACCGCCACTGGCGGTCGCGGTGGCATGCTCAGTATAGGCGTTGGTAGTGGTACTTCAGCACGGGGTGGAGATCTATATGCATCGGCCGGTCTCAGCAAAGTAGCAACGGGCGGTACTGTTGCAGTGACGAGTGGTGAGGGAACAGCATCAACCTCGGGTGCATTAGTAATTCAGACTGGCAACGCGGGGGTTACAGGGGCAAGTGGCCATCTTGTCTTTTCTTCTGGCACAGCCAACTGCGGAAATAGTGGCGCGTTACTCATCGGTACTGGAGTGGCCACAAGTGGACGTGGCGGTGCCATAACACTAAGTGTGGGCTGTGGCACAAGTGGGGCCGGTGGCTCAATGAGTTTACTAGCTGGACAGTCCGCGGTTTCCACCGGTGGGCTGATCAAAATCGAGTCCGGAGAAGGCACCGCCTCCTCCTCCGGATCAGTCAGCATACGCACGCCCAACGCTGGCGCCGCAGGCACGAGCGGTCGTTTGTCGTTTTCTTCGGGAACCTCAAAAACGGGAAACACTGGAAACCTGCTATTGGGCAGCGGCAGCGCTACGGGGGGGCGTGGTGGCGCCATGTATATGACGGTGGGTAGCGGCACTAGCGGAGACGGCGGTGTTCTGGGTTTACAGAGCGGATCGAGCAATGCTCTGGCCGCGACCGGTGGAGTTCTCTCGCTTCTTAGCGGCGAAGGGACAGCGACAAGCAGCGGATGCATAACATTCAGAACCGGAAACAGTGGCGTGGCTGGGTCAAGTGGACACCTCGTGTTTTCTTCTGGCACAGCAAGTAATGGAAATAGTGGCAGTTTGCTCTTGGGAAGCGGAGCGGCAACAGGCGGAAGAGGCGGTGCTATATATATTTCTGTTGGTAGCGGCACAAGTGGATCGGGTGGTGCGCTTGTCCTAGACGCTGGCCTCTCGACCACGAGGACAGGTGGCTCGGTTGCAATTGAGAGCGGAGTAGGTGCTTCGAGTAGCAGCGGCTTGATCACTGTCCGCACTAGTAATTCCGGCACTACAGGCTCCTCTGGTTGTCTGATCTTTTCCTCTGGATCTGCGAAAAGCGGTAACAGTGGCGATATTTTGCTTGGTACTAGCACCACGACAGGTGGACAGGGCGGCGCGGTGTTTCTCACGGTGGGTAGCGGCACAAGCGGTCGCGGTGGAGACATCTCGCTCTGTGCCGGCCAGAGTGGCACATGCTCCGGCGGTTCGGTGGTGCTCGCAAGCGGTGAAGGTACGGCAACTAGCAGTGGGACGGTAATAGTTCTTTCTGCGAATGGTGGTGCTTCTGGTGCGAGCGGATATCTTATTTTTAGTAGTGGATCTAGCAAGGCGGGCAATTCCGGCATGCTATTCTTGGGTACGGGCGCCGCGACAGGCGGACGAGGTGGAGCCATCGGCATAACTGCTGGGAGCGGCACATCGGGAGTGGGAGGCGGGATTTGGATAATGGCAGGAGGGTCTATCGTCCAGACTGGTGGCGAGTTGTCTGCAGCAAGTGGTGAGGGGACAGCGACAAGTAGCGGGTCCATCTTCGTTTGCGTACCAAATGCTGGCACAAGTGGTGCAAGTGGTCGCCTTGTCTTTTCATCTGGTACTGCAAGTGGAGGGAATAGCGGCGACATGTGTATGGGTTCGGGTGCGGCAACGGACGGTCGCGCTGGTTCGCTCGTCCTGACTGTGGGAAGTGGCACATCCGGTAAGGGCGGTATGATGACGCTGCAGGCAGGTCGCAGTGAGATGAGAACTGGTGGGAAGATGTCGATTATGAGTGGTGAAGGCACGGCAACCAGCAGCGGATCGGTGCTCTTGACCACGGCAAACTCCGGAATTGGGGGTAGTAGCGGCCGTCTGGCTTTTAGCTCTGGAACATCTAAAGATGCAAATAGTGGGGCTATATACATTGGAACAGGCGCGGCGACAAATGGTCGTTCAGGGAGTCTTTCCCTCGTTGTTGGCAGCGGCACTTCGGGTAGCGGGGGTGGAGTGAGCGTGTGCTCTGGTCGCTCAACACAGTCCACTGGCGGGGTCATATATGTGGGGAGCGGCGAGGGCACGCACACAAGTAGCGGGTCTGTATGCGTGGCGACAATTAATAGCGGGGTCGACGGCTCTTCGGGCGTACTAACCTTTAGCTCAGGCACGGCGAAGGGTGGCAACAGCGGTGGAATATACATCGGCTCGGGCGCAGCGACGCAGGGACAAGGTGGGTGGGTGACATTGGCAGTCGGGAGTGGCACCAGCGGCGCTGGAGGTGAGCTTACCCTGCGGTCAGGCCGCGGTACAACATCAACAGGTGGAACAATCATCGTTGCTAGCGGCGAAGGTTCAACTTCATCGAGTGGTAGTCTGTTCTTTTCGACTCCCAATGCGGGTGATGTGGGATCTAGTGGCTTCCTCCTTTTTAGCTCCGGCATCGCGATAGGTGGCAATAGTGGCATGTTGTCCTTTGGTTCAGGCGCCTCCACCGATGGCAGGGGCGGTGCCATCGGCATCACCGTAGGCAGTGGGACTAGCGGTGATGGTGGGATTGTTAGCCTCCTATCTGGGCGCAGTACCACGACGACAGGGGGGTGCGTTGAGATTACGACTGGCGAAGGCACTACAACAAGCAGCGGAACCCTCAATATTGTCACGGCAAATGCAGGCGCAAGCGGAGCTAGCGGCCGTCTCATATTCTCTTCGGGAACATCGAGTTTTGGCAACACAGGTAGCATATTCGTGGGTACGGGCGCCGCTACAGATGGTGCGGGAGGGCCCGTGTGGGTAAGCGTCGGTAGTGGCACCAGCGGTGTCGGCGGCTTAGTCAGTCTGCTAGCCGGACGAAGTACTGTTCAGACGGGTGGCATGTTACGCATTTGTAGCGGAGAAGGATCGTTAGCGACTTCAGGTAGTGTTCATATCTCGACGGCAAACACCGGGGCGATCGGCGCAAGCGGTCGACTCGTCTTCTCCACGGGAACAGCTGCGGCAGGGAATAGTGGTCAACTTAGCATTGGCACTGGTGCCATGACAGCTGGTCGTGGTGGCCAGGTGATGGTAAGTGTAGGCAGCGGAACTAGTGGCACTGGTGGCCTCGTGAGTATCTTGGCTGGTCGCAGCGAGTTTCTCACCGGCGGCGCGCTGGTGTTCCATACAGGAGATGGGGCGATGGCCAGTAGCGGTGCAGTGATCATGACGACAGCAAACTCTGGTGTTTCTGGTTCAAGCGGTAGACTTGCCTTTAGCTCAGGATCATCCAACGTTGGAAATAGTGGTGCGCTTTTTCTCGGGACGGGAGCGGCGACAGGAGGGAGTGGAGGAGGTATTCACGTTTCAGCTGGAAGTGGCACTAGTGGTGCCGGTGCCTCAATCAGTATGAATGCGGGCAGGAGCAGCGCTGCTTCTGGTGGTTTTGTGGCTATTGAGTCTGGTGAGGGTACACAAACAAGCAGTGGCAAAGTATTTATTCGGACTGCTAATGGTGGAGCCGCGGGCACTAGCGGGCGCCTTGCATTTAGTTCGGGGACTAGCAAAGTGGGAAACAGTGGCGCGCTGCTCCTAGGGACTGGGGCGGCCACTGACGGGGCGGGTGGAGCTATCATTGTGGCTGTCGGGAGCGGAACCAGCGGCACTGGTGGCGCACTTACTCTACAGGCGGGACGCGGTTCTGTAGTTACAGGCGGCAAGCTAGTTGTGCAAAGCGGTGAAGGGACTGCTACAAGCAGTGGTGCCGCATTGATTCACACCGCCAACAGTGGCCTTGCTGGAACAAGTGGCGCGCTTGTATTTAGCACTGGATCAGCTGCAAATGGGAATAGTGGATCCATATATCTCGGTACCGCACCCTCAACTGGTGGAAGTGGAGGTGCCATCACTCTAAGCGTCGGTAGCGGCACAAGTGGTCCTGGCGGCCAGATGCGACTTCAGTCAGGGAGGTCATCTACGTCTAGCGGCGGGAGCGTGACAGTCAAAGGCGGGGAGGGCACACAAACTAGCAGTGGATCTGTGCAAGTGGCATCGGCAAATGGTGGTGTAGGAGGGGGTAGCGGCAGACTCGCTTTTAGCTCTGGTACAAGCAAAGATGGGAACTCTGGAATGATCAGTCTTGGGTCCGGGGCGAGCTGTGGTGGACGCGGAGGTGCTGTAAGGCTCAGCGCTGGGAAAGGCACGAGTGGGACCGGCGGTTCTATTGGCACCTGGGCCGGACGCAGCGCGGTTCAAAGTGGTGGAGCTGTAATCATGGCATCTGGGGAAGGCATCACTACAAGCAGCGGCGCGATTCTCCTCTTAAGTACCAACTCCGGATCCGCGGGCTCCAGTGGTCGGCTTGTTTTCAGTTCTGGCTCGGCAAAATCAGGGAATTCGGGGGCCATTTTGCTCGGATCAGGCTCTGTTACTGGCGGACGTAGTGGCTCTATCCTGGTGAGCTCTGGTAGTGGGACAAGTGGTGCTGGTGGACAAGTGTGCCTATTTTCGGGACGAACCACTGACGCCACGGGCGGGGCACTTTGCATGTCAAGCGGGGAAGGTACCGCCTCTAGTAGTGGAGAGGTGTGCATAGCAAGCGCCGACGCCGGTGGTTCTGGCTCTAGCGGACTATTGGTCTTTAGCTCGGGATCTGCAAACGCAGGGAACAGTGGATACGTCTTAGTTGGTTCGGGGAGCGCAACAGCTGGTCGAGGCGGTGCAGTATGCTTGAGTATCGGTAGCGGGACGAGCGGATCGGGCGGTATCGTCCAGGTGCACTCTGGGCGCTCGACGGCATCTAGTGGTGGAAGTATTGCAATCAGTAGCGGCGAGGGCACGCAAACAAGCAGCGGGTCAGTTCGTGTTGCATCGGCAAATGGCGGTGTAACCGGCAGCAGCGGGCAACTCGCGTTTAGTTCCGGAACGAGCGCTATGGGGAATTCAGGAACTATCGTTATTGGAAGTGGCGCAAGTACATCTGGACGCAGTGGCGCAATACTTATAAGCGTGGGCCGTGGCACAAGTGGCTCTGGCGGTGAGGTCGGCTTATCGTCTGGTCGAAGCGCAATTGCATCAGGTGGTTCTCTTGTCGTCAAATCGGGCGAAGGCACACAAACAAGCAGCGGGAACGTAATTATATGCAGCAGTAATGCAGGAGTGGCCGGGTCAAGTGGGCGACTTGTATTTAGCTCAGGCTCGGCAAAAAATGGGAATAGTGGCTCGGTATTTCTAGGCTCGGGCACATCCTCATGTGGCAGGGGGGGTTCAATGACGTTTAGTGTTGGTAGTGGTACGAGCGGCTACGGCGGCTTTTTGCGCCTGCAGGCCGGACGTAATAATCCGTCTTCAGGTGGTGAAGTTTTAGTTCTCAGTGGCGAAGGCACAACAACCAGCTCTGGCAAAATATCTATATCAACCGCAAATTCTGGTGCCACTGGCTCGAGTGGAAAACTGTCGTTCAGCTCAGGCACCGCAAGATATGGAAATAGTGGTGCACTGTGTATTGGGACTGGTTCATCCACAGGTGGTCGGTCCGGACAGATTACTATAAGCTCTGGGAGTGGCACGAGCGGTGTTGGCGGGGCAGTGGCACTCATGGGCGGTCGGAGCACGTCTAGTGCGAGCACTGGTGGATTTATTCTTGTGAGCTCTGGTGAAGGGACCACCACGAGCAGCGGGATGTTAAGTGTTTTGACATCAAATGGTGGCGGCGCGGGAGCGAGTGGGAGGCTCACTTTTAGCTCTGGAACCGTCGGCGGAGGAAATAGTGGGAGTCTTTCTCTTGGATCGGGTGCTTCAACTGGAGGTCGGGGTGGAGCTGTTGTGGCTAGTGTGGGAAGCGGGACTAGTGGGATAGGTGGTACAGTGTTTATACTGGCTGGTCGAAGCAGCTCCAGCACGGGTGGATCTGTAGCTGTTGCGGCAGGTGAAGGTACAGCGTCGAGCAGCGGTGCAATTCTGACCTGCTCACCTAATGCAGGATCGAGAGGAGAGAGCGGTAGGCTCATTTTTAGTTCCGGTAGTGCGAAGCAGGGGAACAGTGGCGCCATCCATATTGGCACCGGGACCGCAACGGGCGGCCGAGGTGGTGAAATTATACTGAGCACAGGCAGTGGCACCAGTGGATCGGGAGGTGCTGTTTGCATGTTGTCTGGCCGTGGATGTGCTAAGACAGGCGGCGAGTTTGCGGTACAAAGCGGCGAGGGCACCGCCACTAGCAGTGGCAGTATAATCATCACGAGTTCCAATGGCGGCATTAGTGGCACAAGCGGATCACTTGTGTTTAGCTCTGGCACTTCTAAGTCTGGAAATAGTGGCCAACTCCTTCTAGGGTCTGGGTCGGCAAGTAATGGCCGAGCGGGCGATTTGATATGTAGCGTCGGCAGTGGAACAAGCGGATCTGGTGGTAGGCTTATCCTTCAATCGGGTCTATCCATGCTTGCCAGCGGAGGTTTAATTACAATTACGAGTGGCGAAGGTAAGCAAACCAGCAGTGGAACTGTAGTTACTAGAACAAGTAATAGCGGCACCGGAGGAGGTAGTGGACGGCTCATATTTAGCTCCGGAACCGCATGCGGAGGAAATAGTGGAGCAATATCGCTAGGAACAGGTGCTTCGTCTGGTGGTCGTGCAGGTGGCTTAATCATGACTGCTGGTAGCGGCACAAGCGGCTCGGGAGGTCAAGTGGAGCTCTTGGCCGGTTCGAGCAATCATTGTACGGGAGGTGCTATTGTCGCCCTATCTGGTGAGGGCACTGCTTCTAGTAGTGGTTTAATCCATTTTGGGTCCGCAAACTCCGGACTCACAGGTGTCAGTGGGAAATTGGTTTTTAGCTCTGGGTCTGCCAAAGAGGGGAATAGTGGTGCTCTGAGTATGGGTACCGGTAGTGCCTTGGGTGGGAGCGGTGGGGCTATTTTCATCACGGTTGGTGCGGGGACAAGTGGAGAGGGGGGTATGTTGCGAGCGGCAGCAGGTTTTGGCATGGCAACAGGTGGTCTAATGTCGTTGCAAAGTGGACAAGGTGCCCAGACAAGCAGCGGCTCCATAACTGTAATCACACCCAACACCGGTGCATCTGGTGGGAGTGGCAAGCTAGTTTTCAGCAGTGGGACAGCAAAACGGGGAAATTCTGGGGCTGTTCTTATTGGAACTGGTGCGTCCTCGTGCGGACGGGCAGGACTGTTGAATGTCGCCCTGGGCTCTGGCACGAGTGGAAGGGGCGGTGGCATGATTTTAATTGGTGGCAGATCCACCTCAAGGACTGGAGGCGCCGTGTGCATCTTCACAGGGGAAGGAACTGCCACCTCTAGCGGCAGTGTTACTATTCTCAGCGGAAATGGTGGCGTTGCTGGCTCAAGTGGGGTACTGATTTTCAGCACTGGATCATCGTCTGGCGGAAACACAGGGTCAATTTTGCTTGGATCTGGATCAGCGACGGGTGGTGTTGGAGGGGCAATAATGATGACAGTAGGGAGTGGCGCAAGTTCAGCTGGGGGCTGCATTAAACTTATGGCAGGCCGCAGTGTTGCAGGAACCGGCGGAGCAATTTACATGAACAGCGGAGAGGGAACAGCGTCAAGCAGCGGCACAATAAGAGTGTCTACCGCCAATAGTGGCGACTTAGGAACAAGTGGCCACCTCCTATTTAGCACAGGCTCCTCTTCGTCTGGCAATAGCGGCACTTTGACTTTTGGAACCGGACCAGCTACATTTGGTCGCGGCGGTTCTATCTCGCTACATGTAGGAAGTGGCACGAGTGGCGAAGGTGGTATCCTGGCAATGCAGGCGGGCAGGGGAACGAGACACACCGGCGGCAGAGTAGTTGTGTGTAGCGGGGAGGGTACGGGTTCCAGCAGCGGGATGGTCACGCTTGTGACTGTCAATAGTGGAATTGCTGGATCGAGTGGCAGACTCATCTTCAGTTCGGGAAGCTCAAAGTCTGGTAATTCGGGCACTGTTTTAATTGGATCTGGTTATTCGAGTGGTGGCGCAGGTGGATTGGTAGGCATACATGTTGGGCGTGGTACGAGCGGTGCGGGTGGAAGCTTAAATTTGAATGCTGGTCGAAGCACGATGTCAAGTGGCGGGCAGGTTTCAATATGCTCAGGAGAGGGAACCAGCTCCACTAGCGGGAGTATAACTCTCTGCTCAACCAACAGCGGGGAAGATGGGTCGAGCGGGTTGCTTATCTTCAGTTCTGGGTCAAGCAGGGGTGGAAATAGCGGCAGCCTTCTAGTTGGAACTGGTGCTGCTACTGATGGACGAGGTGGGGCTTTACACTTGCACATCGGCAGTGGGACAAGTGGATCAGGGGGCGTTCTTCAGGTGCAGTCCGGACGCGCGACGGCAGCGAGCGGCGGCGCCGTGGTGGTCGGCAGCGGCGAGGGCACGCAGACGAGCAGCGGGTCCGTCAGCGTGGCGTCGGCAAACGGCGGCGGCGCTGGGACGAGCGGTCGGCTCGTGTTTAGCTCCGGGTCGAGCAGGGGCGGCAACTCCGGCGCCATCTGCGTCGGGAGCGGCGCGAGCACCGCGGGCCGCGGCGGCGGCGTTGTGCTGAGCGTCGGCAGCGGGACGAGCGGCGCCGGCGGCGCGATGAGTCTCGCCGGTGGGCGAAGCACGGCAAAGACGGGCGGCGCCGTGGTGGTCGGCGGCGGCGAAGGTACGCAAACGAGCAGCGGCGGCGTGGTTATCCAGACAAGCAACTCTGGCGTCTCTGGGTCGAGCGGCTCGTTGACATTTAGCTCCGGGTCTGCCTCGGGAGGCAACAGCGGCGCGGTGCTGCTCGGCAGCGGCGCGGCGACCGGCGGTCGCGGCGGCGCGGTCGTCGTGAGCGCGGGGAGCGGGACGAGCGGCACTGGCGGCTCGGTGCGCCTCCAGTCTGGTCGTAGCACGTCGGCGTCCGGAGGGACCGCGGCTATAGCCGGAGGGGAGGGCACGGCGTCGAGCAGCGGCGGAATCTCGCTGCGGTCCGCGAACGGCGGCGTCGTCGGCTCGAGCGGACGGCTCGCGTCAGCCCGCTCGTCGGCGGATGGAAACAGCGGCGCGCTGGACCTCGGATCTGGAGCCTCGACCGGCGGAAGCGGGGGCGCGGTGCGCGTGCGCGTCGGAAGCGGCACGAGCGGATCCGGTGGCCTGGTGTCGCTGGCCTCTGGGCGCAGCGCCGGCGCGAGTGGGGGGTGCCTGTCGGCGGAAAGTGGCGAGGGCACGCAGAAGAGCGGCGGGGCGATATTGATTCGTACGGCGAACGGCGGCGCGGCGGGCGCGAGCGGTCAGCTGGCGTTCAGCTCCGCTCGTCTAAGGGGGAACAGCGGGCTGCTTCTAGTTGGATCTGGCGCCGCGACGGCGGGCCGATCTGGTGGCGTTGGGATCAGCGCGGGAAGCGGAACGAGCGGCGCCGGTGGCGCATTGAGTCTCCAGTCTGGGCGCAGTACTGTCGCGACTGGCGGAGGACTCGGCGTCGCATCCGGAGAGGGCACGCAGACGAGCAGCGGAATCGTCGCCGTCCGCGCCGCGAACGGCGGCGCGTCGGGAGCGAGCGGCCGCCTGGCGTTCAGCTCCGGAAGCTCGTCGGCGGGCAACAGCGGGACCGTCACGATAGGGTCCGGGCCGGCGACGAGCGGGCGGGGCGGCGACGTGAGCGTCGCGGTCGGCAGCGGGACGAGCAGCGCCGGTGGGGCGTTGTCGTTTGCGTCCGGCAGAAGCGCGGCGGCGACGGGAGGTCACGTTGCGGTCTGCGCTGGCGAAGGGACGGAGAAGCTAGCTCGGGCGCGGTGGTCGCCGCGAGTGCCAACGGCGGTGCGTCCCGCGCGAGCGGGCTGCTGGCGTTCAGCTCGGCTCGGCCAAGAGTGGGAACGGCGGCGGTATCTCGATTGGCTCCGAGCGGCGTCTGGCGGTCGCGGTGGGGCGGTGAGCGCCAGCGCGGGCAGCGGACGAGCGGATCTGGCGGCGCTGCGTATTTTGGAGCTGGCCGCAGCACGTCGAGGACCGGCGGGAGCGTCACGTTCGCGGCCGGGGAGGGCACCGCGACGAGCAGCGGCGCTGTTGTCGTCGGCTCTGCGAATGGCGGAACGTCGGGCGCGAGCGGGTCGCTCGCGTTTAGTTCTGGGTCTGCGGTATCTGGGAACAGTGGGAGTCTGACCGTGGGCACGGGCGCGGCCACTGGGGGACGTGCTGGTGCCATTGTGATGTCGGTCGGAAGCGGGACGAGCGGATCTGGGGGTGCGGCCTCGATGGCATCCGGTCGCAGCACCGTCGCGAGTGGCGGCGCCGTCCGTATCAAGAGCGGCGAAGGCACCGCAACAAGCAGCGGCGCTTGTGCGATCCGATCGAGCAATGGCGGGTCGGCGGGGGCTAGCGGGCGTCTCGTGTTTAGCTCGGGAAGCGCGGCCGGCGGAAACAGCGGCGCGGTGCTGCTCGGCAGCGGCGCAGCGACCGGCGGTCGCGGCGGCGCGGTCGTCGTGAGCGCGGGGAGCGGGACGAGCGGATCCGGCGGCAGGCTGAGCGCAGCCGCGGGTCGGAGCACCGCGGCGACCGGCGGGACGCTCGTCGCGACCAGCGGCGAGGGCACGCAGACGAGCAGCGGCGCGGTGCGCGTTGGAAGCGCAAACGGAGGGGCATCGGGCTCGAGCGGGCTGCTGGCGTTTAGCTCCGGGACGGCGAACGCGGGGAATAGCGGGTCCATCTTGATTGGCTCGGGCGCGGCGACCGGCGGTCGCGGCGGACGGGTACATATTTCTGTTGGTAGTGGCTCAAGCGGCACAGGGGGGGATTGCTGCTTTCACTCGGGTGCAAGCTCTGCCTTGACTGGCGGTCAGCTTGTTGTAGCAGGTGGCGAAGGAACTGCTTCTAGTAGCGGTGCTCTGTTGTTGAGAAGTTCAAACAGCGGCGAAGCAGGAAGCAGCGGAAGAATTACGTTCAGTTCTGGTACTGCCATGGGCGGTAACAGTGGAAGTATTTCCATTGGTTCCGGTGTTGCTTCTCGTGGACAAGGTGGCATTGTAAAGTTAACTGTTGGAAGTGGCACAAGCGCGTCAGGGGGAAATATGCAGATTCAGTCAGGCAGATCATTATGCAAGTGCGGCGGCGCCGTGGTGGTCGGCAGCGGCGAGGGCACGCAGACGAGCAGCGGGTCCGTCAGCGTGGCGTCGGCAAACGGCGGCGGCGCTGGGACGAGCGGTCGGCTCGTGTTTAGCTCCGGGTCGAGCAGGGGCGGCAACTCCGGCGCCATCTGCGTCGGGAGCGGCGCGAGCACCGCGGGCCGCGGCGGCGGCGTTGTGCTGAGCGTCGGCAGCGGGACGAGCGGCGCCGGCGGCGCGATGAGTCTCGCCGGCGGGCGAAGCACGGCAAAGACGGGCGGCGCCGTGGTGGTCGGCGGCGGCGAAGGTACGCAAACGAGCAGCGGCGGCGTGGTTATCCAGACAAGCAACTCTGGCGTCTCTGGGTCGAGCGGCTCGTTGACATTTAGCTCCGGGTCTGCCTCGGGAGGCAACAGCGGCGCGGTGCTGCTCGGCAGCGGCGCGGCGACCGGCGGTCGCGGCGGCGCGGTCGTCGTGAGCGCGGGGAGCGGGACGAGCGGCACTGGCGGCTCGGTGCGCCTCCAGTCTGGTCGTAGCACGTCGGCGTCCGGAGGGACCGCGGCTATAGCCGGAGGGGAGGGCACGGCGTCGAGCAGCGGCGGAATCTCGCTGCGGTCCGCGAACGGCGGCGTCGTCGGCTCGAGCGGACGGCTCGCGTTCAGCCCGGCTCGTCGGGCGGATGGAAACAGCGGCGCGCTGGACCTCGGATCTGGAGCCTCGACCGGCGGAAGCGGGGCGCGGTGCGCGTGCGCGTCGGAAGCGGCACGAGCGGATCCGGTGGCCTGGTGTCGCTGGCCTCTGGGCGCAGCGCCGGCGCGAGTGGGGTGCCTGTCGGCGGAAAGTGGCGAGGGCACGCAGAAGAGCGGCGGGGCGATATTGATTCGTACGGCGAACGGCGGCGCGGCGGGCGCGAGCGGTCAGCTGGCGTTCAGCTCCGCTCGTCTAAGGGGGAACAGCGGGCTGCTTCTCGTTGGATCTGGCGCCGCGACGGCGGGCCGATCTGGTGGCGTTGGGATCAGCGCGGGAAGCGGAACGAGCGGCGCCGGTGGCGCATTGAGTCTCCAGTCTGGGCGCAGTACTGTCGCGACTGGCGGAGGACTCGGCGTCGCATCCGGAGAGGGCACGCAGACGAGCAGCGGAATCGTCGCCGTCCGCGCCGCGAACGGCGGCGCGTCGGGAGCGAGCGGCCGCCTGGCGTTCAGCTCCGGAAGCTCGTCGGCGGGCAACAGCGGGACCGTCACGATAGGGTCCGGGCCGGGCGACGAAGGGGGCGGGCGGCGACGTGAGCGTCGCGGTCGGCAGCGGGACGAGCAGCGCCGGTGGGGCGTTGTCGTTTGCGTCCGGCAGAAGCGCGGCGGCGACGGAGGTCACGCGGCGGTCTGCGCTGGCGAAGGGACGGAGAAAGAGCTCGGGCGCGGTGGTCGCCGCGAGTGCCAACGGCGGTGCGTCCGCGCGAGCGGGCTGCTGGCGTTCAGCTCGGCTCGGCCAAGAGTGGGAACGGCGGCGGTATCTCGATCGGCTCCGGAGCGGCGTCTGGCGGTCGCGGTGGGGCGGTGAGCGTCAGCGCGGGCAGCGGGACGAGCGGATCTGGCGGCGCTGCGTATTTTGGAGCTGGCCGCAGCACGTCGAGGACCGGCGGGAGCGTCACGTTCGCGGCCGGGGAGGGCACAGCGACGAGCAGCGGCGCTGTTGTCGCGGCTCTGCGAATGGCGGACGTCGGGCGCGAGCGGGTCGCTCGCGTTTAGTTCTGGGTCTGCGGTATCTGGGAACAGTGGGAGTCTGACCGTGGGCACGGGCGCGGCCACTGGGGGACGTGCTGGTGCCATTGTGATGTCGGTCGGAAGCGGGACGAGCGGATCTGGGGGTGCGGCCTCGATGGCATCCGGTCGCAGCACCGTCGCGAGTGGCGGCGCCGTCCGTATCAAGAGCGGCGAAGGCACCGCAACAAGCAGCGGCGCTTGTGCGATCCGATCGAGCAATGGCGGGTCGGCGGGGGCTAGCGGGCGTCTCGTGTTTAGCTCGGGAAGCGCGGCCGGCGGAAACAGCGGCGCGGTGCTGCTCGGCAGCGGCGCGGCGACCGGCGGTCGCGGCGGCGCGGTCGTCGCGAGCGCGGGGAGCGGGACGAGCGGATCCGGAGGTATGGTGCTGGTGCAGGGCGGCGCCACGACGGCAGCGAGCGGCGGCGCCGTGGTGGTCGGCAGCGGCGAGGGCACGCAGACGAGCAGCGGGTCCGTCAGCGTGGCGTCGGCAAACGGCGGCGGCGCTGGGACGAGCGGTCGGCTCGTGTTTAGCTCCGGGTCGAGCAGGGGCGGCAACTCCGGCGCCATCTGCGTCGGGAGCGGCGCGAGCACCGCGGGCCGCGGCGGCGGCGTTGTGCTGAGCGTCGGCAGCGGGACGAGCGGCGCCGGCGGCGCGATGAGTCTCGCCGGCGGGCGAAGCACGGCAAAGACGGGCGGCGCCGTGGTGGTCGGCGGCGGCGAAGGTACGCAAACGAGCAGCGGCGGCGTGGTTATCCAGACAAGCAACTCTGGCGTCTCTGGGTCGAGCGGCTCGTTGGCATTTAGCTCCGGGTCTGCCTCGGGAGGCAACAGCGGCGCGGTGCTGCTCGGCAGCGGCGCGGCGACCGGCGGTCGCGGCGGCGCGGTCGTCGTGAGCGCGGGGAGCGGGACGAGCGGCACTGGCGGCTCGGTGCGCCTCCAGTCTGGTCGTAGCACGTCGGCGTCCGGAGGGACCGCGGCTATAGCCGGAGGGGAGGGCACGGCGTCGAGCAGCGGCGGAATCTCGCTGCGGTCCGCGAACGGCGGCGTCGTCGGCTCGAGCGGACGGCTCGCGTTCAGCTCCGGCTCGTCGGCGGATGGAAACAGCGGCGCGCTGGACCTCGGATCTGGAGCCTCGACCGGCGGAAGCGGGGGCGCGGTGCGCGTGCGCGTCGGAAGCGGCACGAGCGGATCCAGTGGCCTGGTGTCGCTGGCCTCTGGGCGCAGCGCCGGCGCGAGTGGGGGGTGCCTGTCGGCGGAAAGTGGCGAGGGCACGCAGAAGAGCGGCGGGGCGATATTGATTCGTACGGCGAACGGCGGCGCGGCGGGCGCGAGCGGTCAGCTGGCGTTCAGCTCCGGCTCGTCTAAGGGGGGGAACAGCGGGCTGCTTCTAGTTGGATCTGGCGCCGCGGGCGGGCCGATCTGGTGGCGTTGGGATCAGCGCGGGAAGCGGAACGAGCGGCGCCGGTGGCGCATTGAGTCTCCAGTCTGGGCGCAGTACTGTCGCGACTGGCGGAGGACTCGGCGTCGCATCCGGAGAGGGCACGCAGACGAGCAGCGGAATCGTCGCCGTCCGCGCCGCGAACGGCGGCGCGTCGGGAGCGAGCGGCCGCCTGGCGTTCAGCTCCGGAAGCTCGTCGGCGGGCAACAGCGGGACCGTCACGATAGGGTCCGGGCCGGCGACGAGCGGGCGGGGCGGCGACGTGAGCGTCGCGGTCGGCAGCGGGACGAGCAGCGCCGGTGGGGCGTTGTCGTTTGCGTCCGGCAGAAGCGCGGCGGCGACGGGAGGTCACGTTGCGGTCTGCGCTGGCGAAGGGACGGAGAAGAGCTCGGGCGCGGTGGTCGTCGCGAGTGCCAACGGCGGTGCGTCCGGCGCGAGCGGGCTGCTGGCGTTCAGCTCGGGCTCGGCCAAGAGTGGGAACGGCGGCGGTATCTCGATCGGCTCCGGAGCGGCGTCTGGCGGTCGCGGTGGGGCGGTGAGCGTCAGCGCGGGCAGCGGGACGAGCGGATCTGGCGGCGCTGCGTATTTTGGAGCTGGCCGCAGCACGTCGAGGACCGGCGGGAGCGTCACGTTCGCGGCCGGGGAGGGCACCGCGACGAGCAGCGGCGCTGTTGTCGTCGGCTCTGCGAATGGCGGAACGTCGGGCGCGAGCGGGTCGCTCGCGTTTAGTTCTGGGTCTGCGGTATCTGGGAACAGTGGGAGTCTGACCGTGGGCACGGGCGCGGCCACTGGGGGACGTGCTGGTGCCATTGTGATGTCGGTCGGAAGCGGGACGAGCGGATCTGGGGGTGCGGCCTCGATGGCATCCGGTCGCAGCACCGTCGCGAGTGGCGGCGCCGTCCGTATCAAGAGCGGCGAAGGCACCGCAACAAGCAGCGGCGCTTGTGCGATCCGATCGAGCAATGGCGGGTCGGCGGGGGCTAGCGGGCGTCTCGTGTTTAGCTCGGGAAGCGCGGCCGGCGGAAACAGCGGCGCGGTGCTGCTCGGCAGCGGCGCAGCGACCGGCGGTCGCGGCGGCGCGGTCGTCGTGAGCGCGGGGAGCGGGACGAGCGGATCCGGCGGCAGGCTGAGCGCAGCCGCGGGTCGGAGCACCGCGGCGACCGGCGGGACGCTTCGCGACCAGCGGCGAGGGCACGCAGACGAGCAGCGGCGCGCGCGCGTTGGAAGCGCAAACGGAGGGGCATCGGGCTCGAGCGGGCTGCTGGCGTTTAGCTCCGGGACGGCGAACGCGGGGAATAGCGGGTCCATCTTGATTGGCTGGGCGCGGCGACCGGCGGTCGCGGGGCGCGGTCGTCGCGAGCGCTGGGAGCGGGACGAGCGGATCCGGAGGTATGGTGCTGGTGCAGGGCGGCGCCACGACGGCAGCGAGCGGCGGCGCCGTGGTGGTCGGCAGCGGCGAGGGCACGCAGACGAGCAGCGGGTCCGTCAGCGTGGCGTCGGCAAACGGCGGCGGCGGCGCTGGGACGAGCGGTCGGCTCGTGTTTAGCTCCGGGTCGAGCAGGGGCGGCAACTCCGGCGCCATCTGCGTCGGGAGCGGCGCGAGCACCGCGGGCCGCGGCGGCGGCGTTGTGCTGAGCGTCGGCAGCGGGACGAGCGGCGCCGGCGGCGCGATGAGTCTCGCCGGCGGGCGAAGCACGGCAAAGACGGGCGGTGCCGTGGTGGTCGGCGGCGGCGAAGGTACGCAAACGAGCAGCGGCGGCGTGGTTATCCAGACAAGCAACTCTGGCGTCTCTGGGTCGAGCGGCTCGTTGGCATTTAGCTCGGTCTGCCTCGGGAGGCAACAGCGGCGCGGTGCTGCTCGGCAGCGGCGCGGCGACCGGCGGTCGCGGCGGCGCGGTCGTCGTGAGCGCGGGGAGCGGGACGAGCGGCACTGGCGGCTCGGTGCGCCTCCAGTCTGGTCGTAGCACGTCGGCGTCCGGAGGGACCGCGGCTATAGCCGGAGGGGAGGGCACGGCGTCGAGCAGCGGCGGAATCTCGCTGCGGTCCGCGAACGGCGGCGTCGTCGGCTCGAGCGGACGGCTCGCGTTCAGCTCCGGCTCGTCGGCGGATGGAAACAGCGGCGCGCTGGACCTCGGATCTGGAGCCTCGACCGGCGGAAGCGGGGGCGCGGTGCGCGTGCGCGTCGGAAGCGGCACGAGCGGATCCGGTGGCCTGGTGTCGCTGGCCTCTGGGCGCAGCGCCGGCGCGAGTGGGGGGTGCCTGTCGGCGGAAAGTGGCGAGGGCACGCAGAAGAGCGGCGGGGCGATATTGATTCGTACGGCGAACGGCGGCGCGGCGGGCGCGAGCGGTCAGCTGGCGTTCAGCTCCGGCTCGTCTAAGGGGGGGAACAGCGGGCTGCTTCTAGTTGGATCTGGCGCCGCGACGGCGGGCCGATCTGGTGGCGTTGGGATCAGCGCGGGAAGCGGAACGAGCGGCGCCGGTGGCGCATTGAGTCTCCAGTCTGGGCGCAGTACTGTCGCGACTGGCGGAGGACTCGGCGTCGCATCCGGAGAGGGCACGCAGACGAGCAGCGGAATCGTCGCCGTCCGCGCCGCGAACGGCGGCGCGTCGGGAGCGAGCGGCCGCCTGGCGTTCAGCTCCGGAAGCTCGTCGGCGGGCAACAGCGGGACCGTCACGATAGGGTCCGGGCCGGCGACGAGCGGGCGGGGCGGCGACGTGAGCGTCGCGGTCGGCAGCGGGACGAGCAGCGCCGGTGGGGCGTTGTCGTTTGCGTCCGGCAGAAGCGCGGCGGCGACGGGAGGTCACGTTGCGGTCTGCGCTGGCGAAGGGACGGAGAAGAGCTCGGGCGCGGTGGTCGTCGCGAGTGCCAACGGCGGTGCGTCCGGCGCGAGCGGGCTGCTGGCGTTCAGCTCGGGCTCGGCCAAGAGTGGGAACGGCGGCGGTATCTCGATCGGCCCGAGCGGCGTCTGGCGGTCGCGGTGGGGCGGTGAGCGTCAGCGCGGGCAGCGGACGAGCGGATCTGGCGGCGCTGCGTATTTTGGAGCTGGCCGCAGCACGTCGAGGACCGGCAGGCGCGTCACGTTCGCGGCGGGGAGGGCACAGAGACGAGCAGCGGCGCTGTTGTCGTCGGCTCTGCGAATGGCGGAACGTCGGGCGCGAGCGGGTCGCCGCGTTAGTTCTGGGTCTGCGGTATCTGGGAACAGTGGGAGTCTGACCGTGGGCACGGGCGCGCCACTGGGGACGTGCTGGTGCCATTGTGATGTCGGTCGGAAGCGGGACGAGCGGATCTGGGGGTGCGGCCTCGATGGCATCCGGTCGCAGCACCGTCGCGAGTGGCGGCGCCGTCCGTATCAAGAGCGGCGAAGGCACCGCAACAAGCAGCGGCGCTTGTGCGATCCGATCGAGCAATGGCGGGTCGGCGGGGGCTAGCGGGCGTCTCGTGTTTAGCTCGGGAAGCGCGGCCGGCGGAAACAGCGGCGCGGTGCTGCTCGGCAGCGGCGCGGCGACCGGCGGTCGCGGCGGCGCGGTCGTCGCGAGCGCGGGGAGCGGGACGAGCGGATCCGGAGGTATGGTGCTGGTGCAGGGCGGCGCCACGACGGCAGCGAGCGGCGGCGCCGTGGTGGTCGGCAGCGGCGAGGGCACGCAGACGAGCAGCGGGTCCGTCAGCGTGGCGTCGGCAAACGGCGGCGGCGCTGGGACGAGCGGTCGGCTCGTGTTTAGCTCCGGGTCGAGCAGGGGCGGCAACTCCGGCGCCATCTGCGTCGGGAGCGGCGCGAGCACCGCGGGCCGCGGCGGCGGCGTTGTGCTGAGCGTCGGCAGCGGGACGAGCGGCGCCGGCGGCGCGATGAGTCTCGCCGGCGGGCGAAGCACGGCAAAGACGGGCGGCGCCGTGGTGGTCGGCGGCGGCGAAGGTACGCAAACGAGCAGCGGCGGCGTGGTTATCCAGACAAGCAACTCTGGCGTCTCTGGGTCGAGCGGCTCGTTGGCATTTAGCTCCGGGTCTGCCTCGGGAGGCAACAGCGGCGCGGTGCTGCTCGGCAGCGGCGCGGCGACCGGCGGTCGCGGCGGCGCGGTCGTCGTGAGCGCGGGGAGCGGGACGAGCGGCACTGGCGGCTCGGTGCGCCTCCAGTCTGGTCGTAGCACGTCGGCGTCCGGAGGGACCGCGGCTATAGCCGGAGGGGAGGGCACGGCGTCGAGCAGCGGCGGAATCTCGCTGCGGTCCGCGAACGGCGGCGTCGTCGGCTCGAGCGGACGGCTCGCGTTCAGCTCCGGCTCGTCGGCGGATGGAAACAGCGGCGCGCTGGACCTCGGATCTGGAGCCTCGACCGGCGGAAGCGGGGCGCGGTGCGCGTGCGCGTCGGAAGCGGCACGAGCGGATCCGGTGGCCTGGTGTCGCTGGCCTCTGGGCGCAGCGCCGGGCGCGAGTGGGGTGCCTGTCGGCGGAAAGTGGCGAGGGCACGCAGAAGAGCGGCGGGGCGATATTGATTCGTACGGCGAACGGCGGCGCGGCGGGCGCGAGCGGTCAGCTGGCGTTCAGCTCCGGCTCGTCTAAGGGGGGGAACAGCGGGCTGCTTCTAGTTGGATCTGGCGCCGCGACGGCGGGCCGATCTGGTGGCGTTGGGATCAGCGGGGAAGCGGAACGAGCGGCGCCGGTGGCGCATTGAGTCTCCAGTCTGGGCGCAGTACTGTCGCGACTGGCGGAGGACCCGGCGTCGCATCCGGAGAGGCACGCAGACGAGCAGCGGAATCGTCGCCGTCCGCGCCGCGAACGGCGGCGCGTCGGGAGCGAGCGGCCGCCTGGCGTTCAGCTCCGGAAGCTCGTCGGCGGGCAACAGCGGGACCGTCACGATAGGGTCCGGGCCGGCGACGAGCGGGCGGGCGGCGACGTGAGCGTCGCGGTCGGCAGCGGGACGAGCAGCGCCGGTGGGGCGTTGTCGTTTGCGTCCGGCAGAAGCGCGGCGGCGACGGAGGTCACGTTGCGGTCTGCGCTGGCGAAGGGACGGAGAAGAGCTCGGGCGCGGTGGTCGTCCGCGAGTGCCAACGGCGCGTGCGTCCGGCGCGAGCGGGCTGCTGGCGTTCAGCTCGGGCTCGGCCAAGAGTGGGAACGGCGGCGGTATCTCGATCGGCTCCGGAGCGGCGTCTGGCGGTCGCGGTGGGGCGGTGAGCGTCAGCGCGGGCAGCGGGACGAGCGGATCTGGCGGCGCTGCGTATTTTGGAGCTGGCCGCAGCACGTCGAGGACCGGCGGGAGCGTCACGTTCGCGGCCGGGGAGGGCACCGCGACGAGCAGCGGCGCTGTTGTCGTCGGCTCTGCGAATGGCGGAACGTCGGGCGCGAGCGGTCGCTCGCGTTAGTTCTGGGTCTGCGGTATCTGGGAACAGTGGGAGTCTGACCGTGGGCACGGGCGCGGCCACTGGGGGACGTGCTGGTGCCATTGTGATGTCGGTCGGAAGCGGGACGAGCGGATCTGGGGGTGCGGCCTCGATGGCATCCGGTCGCAGCACCGTCGCGAGTGGCGGCGCCGTCCGTATCAAGAGCGGCGAAGGCACCGCAACAAGCAGCGGCGCTTGTGCGATCCGATCGAGCAATGGCGGGTCGGCGGGGGCTAGCGGGCGTCTCGTGTTTAGCTCGGGAAGCGCGGCCGGCGGAAACAGCGGCGCGGTGCTGCTCGGCAGCGGCGCAGCGACCGGCGGTCGCGGCGGCGCGGTCGTCGTGAGCGCGGGGAGCGGGACGAGCGGATCCGGCGGCAGGCTGAGCGCAGCCGCGGGTCGGAGCACCGCGGCGACCGGCGGGACGCTCGTCGCGACCAGCGGCGAGGGCACGCAGACGAGCAGCGGCGCGGTGCGCGTTGGAAGCGCAAACGGAGGGGCATCGGGCTCGAGCGGGCTGCTGGCGTTTAGCTCCGGGACGGCGAACGCGGGGAATAGCGGGTCCATCTTGATTGGCTCGGGCGCGGCGACCGGCGGTCGCGGCGGCGCGGTCGTCGCGAGCGCGGGGAGCGGGACGAGCGGATCCGGAGGTATGGTGCTGGTGCAGGGCGGCGCCACGACGGCAGCGAGCGGCGGCGCCGTGGTGGTCGGCAGCGGCGAGGGCACGCAGACGAGCAGCGGGTCCGTCAGCGTGGCGTCGGCAAACGGCGGCGGCGCTGGGACGAGCGGTCGGCTCGTGTTTAGCTCCGGGTCGAGCAGGGGCGGCAACTCCGGCGCCATCTGCGTCGGGAGCGGCGCGAGCACCGCGGGCCGCGGCGGCGGCGTTGTGCTGAGCGTCGGCAGCGGGACGAGCGGCGCCGGCGGCGCGATGAGTCTCGCCGGCGGGCGAAGCACGGCAAAGACGGGCGGCGCCGTGGTGGTCGGCGGCGGCGAAGGTACGCAAACGAGCAGCGGCGGCGTGGTTATCCAGACAAGCAACTCTGGCGTCTCTGGGTCGAGCGGCTCGTTGGCATTTAGCTCCGGGTCTGCCTCGGGAGGCAACAGCGGCGCGGTGCTGCTCGGCAGCGGCGCGGCGACCGGCGGTCGCGGCGGCGCGGTCGTCGTGAGCGCGGGGAGCGGGACGAGCGGCACTGGCGGCTCGGTGCGCCTCCAGTCTGGTCGTAGCACGTCGGCGTCCGGAGGGACCGCGGCTATAGCCGGAGGGGAGGGCACGGCGTCGAGCAGCGGCGGAATCTCGCTGCGGTCCGCGAACGGCGGCGTCGTCGGCTCGAGCGGACGGCTCGCGTTCAGCTCCGGCTCGTCGGCGGATGGAAACAGCGGCGCGCTGGACCTCGGATCTGGAGCCTCGACCGGCGGAAGCGGGGGCGCGGTGCGCGTGCGCGTCGGAAGCGGCACGAGCGGATCCGGTGGCCTGGTGTCGCTGGCCTCTGGGCGCAGCGCCGGCGCGAGTGGGGGGTGCCTGTCGGCGGAAAGTGGCGAGGGCACGCAGAAGAGCGGCGGGGCGATATTGATTCGTACGGCGAACGGCGGCGCGGCGGGCGCGAGCGGTCAGCTGGCGTTCAGCTCCGGCTCGTCTAAGGGGGGGAACAGCGGGCTGCTTCTAGTTGGATCTGGCGCCGCGACGGCGGGCCGATCTGGTGGCGTTGGGATCAGCGCGGGAAGCGGAACGAGCGGCGCCGGTGGCGCATTGAGTCTCCAGTCTGGGCGCAGTACTGTCGCGACTGGCGGAGGACTCGGCGTCGCATCCGGAGAGGGCACGCAGACGAGCAGCGGAATCGTCGCCGTCCGCGCCGCGAACGGCGGTGCGTCGGGAGCGAGCGGCCGCCTGGCGTTCAGCTCCGGAAGCTCGTCGGCGGGCAACAGCGGGACCGTCACGATAGGGTCCGGGCCGGCGACGAGCGGGCGGGGCGGCGACGTGAGCGTCGCGGTCGGCAGCGGGACGAGCAGCGCCGGTGGGGCGTTGTCGTTTGCGTCCGGCAGAAGCGCGGCGGCGACGGGAGGTCACGTTGCGGTCTGCGCTGGCGAAGGGACGGAGAAGAGCTCGGGCGCGGTGGTCGTCGCGAGTGCCAACGGCGGTGCGTCCGGCGCGAGCGGGCTGCTGGCGTTCAGCTCGGGCTCGGCCAAGAGTGGGAACGGCGGCGGTATCTCGATCGGCTCCGGAGCGGCGTCTGGCGGTCGCGGTGGGGCGGTGAGCGTCAGCGCGGGCAGCGGGACGAGCGGATCTGGCGGCGCTGCGTATTTTGGAGCTGGCCGCAGCACGTCGAGGACCGGCGGGAGCGTCACGTTCGCGGCCGGGGAGGGCACCGCGACGAGCAGCGGCGCTGTTGTCGTCGGCTCTGCGAATGGCGGAACGTCGGGCGCGAGCGGGTCGCTCGCGTTTAGTTCTGGGTCTGCGGTATCTGGGAACAGTGGGAGTCTGACCGTGGGCACGGGCGCGGCCACTGGGGACGTGCTGGTGCCATTGTGATGTCGGTCGGAAGCGGACGAGCGGATCTGGGGTGCGGCCTCGATGGCATCCGGTCGCAGCACCGTCGCGAGTGGCGGCGCCGTCCGTATCAAGAGCGGCGAAGGCACCGCAACAAGCAGCGGCGCTTGTGCGATCCGATCGAGCAATGGCGGGTCGGCGGGGGCTAGCGGGCGTCTCGTGTTTAGCTCGGGAAGCGCGGCCGGCGGAAACAGCGGCGCGGTGCTGCTCGGCAGCGGCGCAGCGACCGGCGGTCGCGGCGGCGCGGTCGTCGTGAGCGCGGGGAGCGGGACGAGCGGATCCGGCGGCAGGCTGAGCGCAGCCGCGGGTCGGAGCACCGCGGCGACCGGCGGGACGCTCGTCGCGACCAGCGGCGAGGGCACGCAGACGAGCAGCGGCGCGGTGCGCGTTGGAAGCGCAAACGGAGGGGCATCGGGCTCGAGCGGGCTGCTGGCGTTTAGCTCCGGGACGGCGAACGCGGGGAATAGCGGGTCCATCTTGATTGGCTCGGGCGCGGCGACCGGCGGTCGCGGCGGCGCGGTCGTCGCGAGCGCGGGGAGCGGGACGAGCGGATCCGGAGGTATGGTGCTGGTGCAGGGCGGCGCCACGACGGCAGCGAGCGGCGGCGCCGTGGTGGTCGGCAGCGGCGAGGGCACGCAGACGAGCAGCGGGTCCGTCAGCGTGGCGTCGGCAAACGGCGGCGGCGCTGGGACGAGCGGTCGGCTCGTGTTTAGCTCCGGGTCGAGCAGGGGCGGCAACTCCGGCGCCATCTGCGTCGGGAGCGGCGCGAGCACCGCGGGCCGCGGCGGCGGCGTTGTGCTGAGCGTCGGCAGCGGGACGAGCGGCGCCGGCGGCGCGATGAGTCTCGCCGGCGGGCGAAGCACGGCAAAGACGGGCGGCGCCGTGGTGGTCGGCGGCGGCGAAGGTACGCAAACGAGCAGCGGCGGCGTGGTTATCCAGACAAGCAACTCTGGCGTCTCTGGGTCGAGCGGCTCGTTGGCATTTAGCTCCGGGTCTGCCTCGGGAGGCAACAGCGGCGCGGTGCTGCTCGGCAGCGGCGCGGCGACCGGCGGTCGCGGCGGCGCGGTCGTCGTGAGCGCGGGGAGCGGGACGAGCGGCACTGGCGGCTCGGTGCGCCTCCAGTCTGGTCGTAGCACGTCGGCGTCCGGAGGGACCGCGGCTATAGCCGGAGGGGAGGGCACGGCGTCGAGCAGCGGCGGAATCTCGCTGCGGTCCGCGAACGGCGGCGTCGTCGGCTCGAGCGGACGGCTCGCGTTCAGCCCGGCTCGTCGGGCGGATGGAAACAGCGGCGCGCTGGACCTCGGATCTGGAGCCTCGACCGGCGGAAGCGGGGGCGCGGTGCGCGTGCGCGTCGGAAGCGGCACGAGCGGATCCGGTGGCCTGGTGTCGCTGGCCTCTGGGCGCAGCGCCGGCGCGAGTGGGGGGTGCCTGTCGGCGGAAAGTGGCGAGGGCACGCAGAAGAGCGGCGGGGCGATATTGATTCGTACGGCGAACGGCGGCGCGGCGGGCGCGAGCGGTCAGCTGGCGTTCAGCTCCGGCTCGTCTAAGGGGGGGAACAGCGGGCTGCTTCTAGTTGGATCTGGCGCCGCGACGGCGGGCCGATCTGGTGGCGTTGGGATCAGCGCGGGAAGCGGAACGAGCGGCGCCGGTGGCGCATTGAGTCTCCAGTCTGGGCGCAGTACTGTCGCGACTGGCGGCGACTGGCGCGTCGCATCCGGAGAGGGCACGCAGACGAGCAGCGGAATCGTCGCCGTCCGCGCCGCGAACGGCGGTGCGTCGGGAGCGAGCGGCCGCCTGGCGTTCAGCTCCGGAAGCTCGTCGGCGGGCAACAGCGGGACCGTCACGATAGGGTCCGGGCCGGCGACGAGCGGGCGGGGCGGCGGCGTGAGCGCGCGGTCGGCAGCGGGACGAGCAGCGCCGGTGGGGCGTTGTCGTTTGCGTCCGGCAGAAGCGCGGCGGCGACGGAGGTCACGTTGCGGTCTGCGCTGGCGAAGGGACGGAGAAGAGCTCGGGCGCGTGGTCGCCGCGAGTGCCAACGGCGGTGCGTCCGGCGCGAGCGGGCTGCTGGCGTTCAGCTCGGGCTCGGCCAAGAGTGGGAACGGCGGCGGTATCTCGATCGGCTCCGGAGCGGCGTCTGGCGGTCGCGGTGGGGCGGTGAGCGTCAGCGCGGGCAGCGGGACGAGCGGATCTGGCGGCGCTGCGTATTTTGGAGCTGGCCGCAGCACGTCGAGGACCGGCGGGAGCGTCACGTTCGCGGCCGGGGAGGGCACCGCGACGAGCAGCGGCGCTGTTGTCGTCGGCTCTGCGAATGGCGGAACGTCGGGCGCGAGCGGGTCGCTCGCGTTTAGTTCTGGGTCTGCGGTATCTGGGAACAGTGGGAGTCTGACCGTGGGCACGGGCGCGGCCACTGGGGGACGTGCTGGTGCCATTGTGATGTCGGTCGGAAGCGGGACGAGCGGATCTGGGGGTGCGGCCTCGATGGCATCCGGTCGCAGCACCGTCGCGAGTGGCGGCGCCGTCCGTATCAAGAGCGGCGAAGGCACCGCAACAAGCAGCGGCGCTTGTGCGATCCGATCGAGCAATGGCGGGTCGGCGGGGGCTAGCGGGCGTCTCGTGTTTAGCTCGGGAAGCGCGGCCGGCGGAAACAGCGGCGCGGTGCTGCTCGGCAGCGGCGCAGCGACCGGCGGTCGCGGCGGCGCGGTCGTCGTGAGCGCGGGGAGCGGGACGAGCGGATCCGGCGGCAGGCTGAGCGCAGCCGCGGGTCGGAGCACCGCGGCGACCGGCGGGACGCTCGTCGCGACCAGCGGCGAGGGCACGCAGACGAGCAGCGGCGCGGTGCGCGTTGGAAGCGCAAACGGAGGGGCATCGGGCTCGAGCGGGCTGCTGGCGTTTAGCTCCGGGACGGCGAACGCGGGGAATAGCGGGTCCATCTTGATTGGCTCGGGCGCGGCGACCGGCGGTCGCGGCGGCGCGGTCGTCGCGAGCGCGGGGAGCGGGACGAGCGGATCCGGAGGTATGGTGCTGGTGCAGGGCGGCGCCACGACGGCAGCGAGCGGCGGCGCCGTGGTGGTCGGCAGCGGCGAGGGCACGCAGACGAGCAGCGGGTCCGTCAGCGTGGCGTCGGCAAACGGCGGCGGCGCTGGGACGAGCGGTCGGCTCGTGTTTAGCTCCGGGTCGAGCAGGGGCGGCAACTCCGGCGCCATCTGCGTCGGGAGCGGCGCGAGCACCGCGGGCCGCGGCGGCGGCGTTGTGCTGAGCGTCGGCAGCGGGACGAGCGGCGCCGGCGGCGCGATGAGTCTCGCCGGCGGGCGAAGCACGGCAAAGACGGGCGGTGCCGTGGTGGTCGGCGGCGGCGAAGGTACGCAAACGAGCAGCGGCGGCGTGGTTATCCAGACAAGCAACTCTGGCGTCTCTGGGTCGAGCGGCTCGTTGGCATTTAGCTCCGGGTCTGCCTCGGGAGGCAACAGCGGCGCGGTGCTGCTCGGCAGCGGCGCGGCGACCGGCGGTCGCGGCGGCGCGGTCGTCGTGAGCGCGGGGAGCGGGACGAGCGGATCCGGCGGCAGGCTGAGCGCAGCCGCGGGTCGGAGCACCGCGGCGACCGGCGGGACGCTCGTCGCAACCAGCGGCGAGGGCACGCAGACGAGCAGCGGCGCGGTGCGCGTTGGAAGCGCAAACGGAGGGGCATCGGGCTCGAGCGGGCTGCTGGCGTTTAGCTCCGGGACGGCGAACGCGGGGAATAGCGGGTCCATCTTGATTGGCTCGGGCGCGGCGACCGGCGGTCGCGGCGGCGCGGTCGTCGTGAGCGCGGGGAGCGGGACGAGCGGATCCGGAGGTATGGTGCTGGTGCAGGGCGGCGCCACGACGGCAGCGAGCGGCGGCGCCGTGGTGGTCGGCAGCGGCGAGGGCACGCAGACGAGCAGCGGGTCCGTCAGCGTGGCGTCGGCAAACGGCGGCGGCGCTGGGACGAGCGGTCGGCTCGTGTTTAGCTCCGGGTCGAGCAGGGGCGGCAACTCCGGCGCCATCTGCGTCGGGAGCGGCGCGAGCACCGCGGGCCGCGGCGGCGGCGTTGTGCTGAGCGTCGGCAGCGGACGAGCGGCGCCGGGCGGCGCGATGAGTCTCGCCGGCGGGCGAAGCACGGCAAAGACGGGCGGCGCCGTGGTGGTCGGCGGCGGCGAAGGTACGCAAACGAGCAGCGGCGGCGTGGTTATCCAGACAAGCAACTCTGGCGTCTCTGGGTCGAGCGGCTCGTTGGCATTTAGCTCCGGTCTGCCTCGGGAGGCAACAGCGGCGCGGTGCTGCTCGGCAGCGGCGCGGCGACCGGCGGTCGCGGCGGCGCGGTCGTCGTGAGCGCGGGGAGCGGGACGAGCGGCACTGGCGGCTCGGTGCGCCTCAGTCTGGTCGTAGCACGCCGGCGTCCGGAGGGACCGCGGCTATAGCCGGAGGGGAGGGCACGGCGTCGAGCAGCGGCGGAATCTCGCTGCGGTCCGCGAACGGCGGCGTCGTCGGCTCGAGCGGACGGCTCGCGTTCAGCCCGGCTCGTCGGCGGATGGAAACAGCGGCGCGCTGGACCTCGGATCTGGAGCCTCGACCGGCGGAAGCGGGGCGCGGTGCGCGTGCGCGTCGGAAGCGGCACGAGCGGATCCGGTGGCCTGGTGTCGCTGGCCTCTGGGCGCAGCGCCGGCGCGAGTGGGGGGTGCCTGTCGGCGGAAAGTGGCGAGGGCACGCAGAAGAGCGGCGGGGCGATATTGATTCGTACGGCGAACGGCGGCGCGGCGGGCGCGAGCGGTCAGCTGGCGTTCAGCTCCGGCTCGTCTAAGGGGGGGAACAGCGGGCTGCTTCTAGTTGGATCTGGCGCCGCGACGGCGGGCCGATCTGGTGGCGTTGGGATCAGCGCGGGAAGCGGAACGAGCGGCGCCGGTGGCGCATTGAGTCTCCAGTCTGGGCGCAGTACTGTCGCGACTGGCGGGACCCGGCGTCGCATCCGAGAGGGCACGCAGACGAGCAGCGGAATCGTCGCCGTCCGCGCCGCGAACGGCGGTGCGTCGGGAGCGAGCGGCCGCCTGGCGTTCAGCTCCGGAAGCTCGTCGGCGGGCAACAGCGGACCGTCACGATAGGGTCCGGGCCGGCGACGAAGCGGGCGGGGGCGGCGACGTGGCGTCGCGGTCGGCAGCGGGACGAGCAGCGCCGGTGGGGCGTTGTCGTTTGCGTCCGGCAGAAGCGCGGCGGCGACGGAGGTCACGTTGCGGTCTGCGCTGGCGAAGGACGACGGAGAAGAGCTCGGGCGCGGTGGTCGTCGCGAGTGCCAACGGCGGTGCGTCCGCGCGAGCGGGCTGCTGGCGTTCAGCTCGGGCTCGGCCAAGAGTGGGAACGGCGGCGGTATCTCGATCGGCTCCGGAGCGGCGTCTGGCGGTCGCGGTGGGGCGGTGAGCGTCAGCGCGGGCAGCGGGACGAGCGGATCTGGCGGCGCTGCGTATTTTGGAGCTGGCCGCAGCACGTCGAGGACCGGCGGGAGCGTCACGTTCGCGGCCGGGGAGGGCACCGCGACGAGCAGCGGCGCTGTTGTCGTCGGCTCTGCGAATGGCGGAACGTCGGGCGCGAGCGGTCGCGTTTAGTTCTGGGTCTGCGGTATCTGGGAACAGTGGGAGTCTGACCGTGGGCACGGGCGCGGCCACTGGGGGACGTGCTGGTGCCATTGTGATGTCGGTCGGAAGCGGGACGAGCGGATCTGGGGGTGCGGCCTCGATGGCATCCGGTCGCAGCACCGTCGCGAGTGGCGGCGCCGTCCGTATCAAGAGCGGCGAAGGCACCGCAACAAGCAGCGGCGCTTGTGCGATCCAATCGAGCAATGGCGGGTCGGCGGGGGCTAGCGGGCGTCTCGTGTTTAGCTCGGGAAGCGCGGCCGGCGGAAACAGCGGCGCGGTGCTGCTCGGCAGCGGCGCAGCGACCGGCGGTCGCGGCGGCGCGGTCGTCGTGAGCGCGGGGAGCGGGACGAGCGGATCCGGCGGCAGGCTGAGCGCAGCCGCGGGTCGGAGCACCGCGGCGACCGGCGGGACGCTCGTCGCGACCAGCGGCGAGGGCACGCAGACGAGCAGCGGCGCGGTGCGCGTTGGAAGCGCAAACGGAGGGGCATCGGGCTCGAGCGGGCTGCTGGCGTTTAGCTCCGGGACGGCGAACGCGGGGAATAGCGGGTCCATCTTGATTGGCTCGGGCGCGGCGACCGGCGGTCGCGGCGGCGCGGTCGTCGCGAGCGCGGGGAGCGGGACGAGCGGATCCGGAGGTATGGTGCTGGTGCAGGGCGGCGCCACGACGGCAGCGAGCGGCGGCGCCGTGGTGGTCGGCAGCGGCGAGGGCACGCAGACGAGCAGCGGGTCCGTCAGCGTGGCGTCGGCAAACGGCGGCGGCGCTGGGACGAGCGGTCGGCTCGTGTTTAGCTCCGGGTCGAGCAGGGGCGGCAACTCCGGCGCCATCTGCGTCGGGAGCGGCGCGAGCACCGCGGGCCGCGGCGGCGGCGTTGTGGTGGGCGTCGGCGGCGGCACGAGCGGCGCCGGCGGCGCTCTCGAGGCAATCAGCGGACGAAGCACGGTCGCGACGGGCGGCGCGGTCGCCCTCCGCGGCGGAGAGGGCACGCAGACGTCGAGCGGGGCGGTCAGGCTGGCCACGGCAAACGCCGGCGCGAGCGGCGCGAGCGGGACGCTGGTCTTCAGCACCGGCACCTCCAAGACAGGCAACAGCGGCGCGATCGAGATCGGCACGGGGGCCGCGACCGCCGGGCGCGGCGGCGCGATCAGCCTCGCCGTCGGCAGCGGCACGAGCGGCGCGGGCGGCGAGCTCGCGATGGAGTCGGGCTCCTCGAGCGGCGCCACGGGCGGGGCGCTGAGCGTCCGCGGCGGCGCCGGCTCGGCGAAGAGCAGCGGCGCGGTCGTGGTGGCGACGGCGAACGCGGGAACCTCGGGCGCGAGCGGGCGGCTCGCCTTCAGCAGCGGGACGTCGAAGGCGGGCAACGGCGGGCCGTGCTGGTCGGGTCCGGCGCGGCGACGGCCGGCCGCGGCGGCTCCGTCCGGCTGGCGGTCGGCAGCGGCACGAGCGGCGCCGGCGGGGAGCTGGCGGTGGCCGCGGGGAGAAGCACGATCGCGACGGGCGGGTCGGTCTCGGCGACGAGCGGCGAAGGCACGCAGACGAGCAGCGGAGCGGTCGCGATCTCGACGCCAAACTCCGGCGCGAGCGGCGCGAGCGGCGTGCTGGTCTTCAGCTCCGGGTCGGCCCGCGGCGGAAACACGGGCGCGATCCGCGTCGGGACCGGGGCCGCGACCGCCGGGCGGGGCGGCGGGGTCTCGATCTCGGTCGGCAGCGGCACGAGCGGCGCCGGCGGCGCCCTGAGCGCGGCCGGCGGACGGAGCGCCGGGAAGACGGGCGGCGCGCTGGCGGTCGCGTCGGGCGAGGGCGCGGCGACGAGTGGCGGACGGGTCGCGGTGCGGAGCGCCAACGGCGGAACGGGCGGCACGAGCGGACGACTGAGCTTTAGCTCCGGCTCCTCGACGACGGGCAACTCTGGCGAGCTCCGGCTCGGCTCCGGGGCCGCCACCGCGGGCCGCGGCGGCGGCGTTGTGGTGGGCGTCGGCGGCGGCACGAGCGGCGCCGGCGGCGCTCTCGAGGCAATCAGCGGACGAAGCACGGTCGCGACGGGCGGCGCGGTCGCCCTCCGCGGCGGAGAGGGCACGCAGACGTCGAGCGGGGCGGTCAGGCTGGCCACGGCAAACGCCGGCGCGAGCGGCGCGAGCGGGACGCTGGTCTTCAGCACCGGCACCTCAAGACAGGCAACAGCGGCGCGATCGAGATCGGCACGGGGGCCGCGACCGCCGGGCGCGGCGGCGCGATCAGCCTCGCCGTCGGCAGCGGCACGAGCGGCGCGGGCGGCGAGCTCGCGATGGAGTCGGGGTCCTCGAGCGGCGCCACGGGCGGGGCGCTGAGCGTCCGCGGCGGCGCCGGCTCGGCGAAGAGCAGCGGCGCGGTCGTGGTGGCGACGGCGAACGCGGGAACCTCGGGCGCGAGCGGGCGGCTCGCCTTCAGCAGCGGGACGTCGAAGGCGGGCAACGGCGGGGCCGTGCTGGTCGGGTCCGGCGCGGCGACGGCCGGCCGCGGCGGCTCCGTCCGGCTGGCGGTCGGCAGCGGCACGAGCGGCGCCGGCGGGGAGCTGGCGGTGGCCGCGGGGAGAAGCACGATCGCGACGGGCGGGTCGGTCTCGGCGACGAGCGGCGAAGGCACGCAGACGAGCAGCGGAGCGGTCGCGATCTCGACGCCAAACTCCGGCGCGAGCGGCGCGAGCGGCGTGCTGGTCTTCAGCTCCGGGTCGGCCCGCGGCGGAAACACGGGCGCGATCCGCGTCGGGACCGGGGCCGCGACCGCCCGGGCGGGCGGCGGGGTCTCGATCTCGGTCGGCAGCGGCACGAGCGGCGCCGGCGGCGCCCTGAGCGCGGCCGGCGGACGGAGCGCCGGGAAGACGGGCGGCGCGCTGGCGGTCGCGTCGGGCGAGGGCGCGGCGACGAGCGGCGGACGGGTCGCGGTGCGGAGCGCCAACGGCGGAACGGGCGGCACGAGCGGACGACTGAGCTTTAGCTCCGGCTCCTCGACGACGGGCAACTCTGGCGAGCTCCGGCTCGGCTCCGGGGCCGCCACCGCGGGCCGCGGCGGCGGCGTTGTGGTGGGCGTCGGCGGCGGCACGAGCGGCGCCGGCGGCGCTCTCGAGGCAATCAGCGGACGAAGCACGGTCGCGACGGGCGGCGCGGTCGCCCTCCGCGGCGGAGAGGGCACGCAGACGTCGAGCGGGGCGGTCAGGCTGGCCACGGCAAACGCCGGCGCGAGCGGCGCGAGCGGGACGCTGGTCTTCAGCACCGGCACCTCCAAGACAGGCAACAGCGGCGCGATCGAGATCGGCACGGGGGCCGCGACCGCCGGGCGCGGCGGCGCGATCAGCCTCGCCGTCGGCAGCGGCACGAGCGGCGCGGGCGGCGAGCTCGCGATGGAGTCGGGCTCCTCGAGCGGCGCCACGGGCGGGGCGCTGAGCGTCCGCGGCGGCGCCGGCTCGGCGAAGAGCAGCGGCGCGGTCGTGGTGGCGACGGCGAACGCGGGAACCTCGGGCGCGAGCGGGCGGCTCGCCTTCAGCAGCGGGACGTCGAAGGCGGGCAACGGCGGGCCGTGCTGGTCGGGTCCGGCGCGGCGACGGCCGGCCGCGGCGGCTCCGTCCGGCTGGCGGTCGGCAGCGGCACGAGCGGCGCCGGCGGGGAGCTGGCGGTGGCCGCGGGGAGAAGCACGATCGCGACGGGGCGGGTCGGTCTCGGCGACGAAGCGGCGAAGGCACGCAGACGAGCAGCGGAGCGGTCGCGATCTCGACGCCAAACTCCGGCGCGAGCGGCGCGAGCGGCGTGCTGGTCTTCAGCTCCGGTCGGCCCGCGGCGGAAACACGGGCGCGATCCGCGTCGGGACCGGGGCCGCGACCGCCGGGCGGGGCGGCGGGGTCTCGATCTCGGTCGGCAGCGGCACGAGCGGCGCCGGCGGCGCCCTGAGCGCGGCCGGCGGACGGAGCGCCGGGAAGACGGGCGGCGCGCTGGCGGTCGCGTCGGGCGAGGGCGCGGCGACGAGCGGCGGACGGGTCGCGGTGCGGAGCGCCAACGGCGGAACGGGCGGCACGAGCGGACGACTGAGCTTTAGCTCCGGCTCCTCGACGACGGGCAACTCTGGCGAGCTCCGGCTCGGCTCCGGGGCCGCCACCGCGGGCCGGGGGCGCGTTGTCGTCGGCGTCGGCGGCGGCATCGAGCGGCGCCGCGGCGCTCTCGCGCAATCAGCGGACGAAGCACGGTCGCGACGGGCGGCGCGGTCGCCCTCCGCGGCGGAGAGGGCACGCAGACGTCGAGCGGGGCGGTCAGGCTGGCCACGGCAAACGCCGGGCGCCGAGCGGCGCGAGCGGGACGCTGGTCTTCAGCACCGGCACCTCCAAGACAGGCAACAGCGGCGCGATCGAGATCGGCACGGGGGCCGCGACCGCCGGGCGCGGCGGCGCGATCAGCCTCGCCGTCGGCAGCGGCACGAGCGGCGCGGGCGGCGAGCTCGCGATGGAGTCGGGTCCTCGAGCGGCGCCACGGGCGGGGCGCTGAGCGTCCGCGGCGGCGCCGGCTCGGCGAAGAGCAGCGGCGCGGTCGTGGTGGCGACGGCGAACGCGGGAACCTCGGGCGCGAGCGGGCGGCTCGCCTTCAGCAGCGGACGTCGAAGGCGGCAACGGCGGGGCCGTGCTGGTCGGGTCCGGCGCGGCGACGGCCGGCCGCGGCGGCTCCGTCCGGCTGGCGGTCGGCAGCGGCACGAGCGGCGCCGGCGGGGAGCTGGCGGTGGCCGCGGGGAGAAGCACGATCGCGACGGGCGGGTCGGTCTCGGCGACGAAGCGGCGAAGGCACGCAGACGAGCAGCGGAGCGGTCGCGATCTCGACGCCAAACTCCGGCGCGAGCGGCGCGAGCGGCGTGCTGGTCTTCAGCTCCGGGTCGGCCCGCGGCGGAAACACGGGCGCGATCCGCGTCGGGACCGGGGCCGCGACCGCCGGGCGGGGCGGCGGGGTCTCGATCTCGGTCGGCAGCGGCACGAGCGGCGCCGGCGGCGCCCTGAGCGCGGCCGGCGGACGGAGCGCCGGGAAGACGGGCGGCGCGCTGGCGGTCGCGTCGGGCGAGGGCGCGGCGACGAGCGGCGGACGGGTCGCGGTGCGGAGCGCCAACGGCGGAACGGGCGGCACGAGCGGACGACTGAGCTTTAGCTCCGGCTCCTCGACGACGGGCAACTCTGGCGAGCTCCGGCTCGGCTCCGGGCCGCCACCACCGCGGGCGCGGCGGCGGCGTTGTGGTGGGCGTCGGCCGGCGGCGGCACGAGCGGCGCCGGCGGCGCGCTCGAGGCAATCAGCGGACGAAGCACGGTCGCGACGGGCGGCGCGGTCGCCCTCCGCGGCGGAGAGGGCACGCAGACGTCGAGCGGGCGGTCAGGCTGGCCACGGCAAACGCCGGGCGCGAGCGGCGCGAAGGGACGCTGGTCTTCAGCACCGGCACCTCAAGACAGGCAACAGCGGCGCGATCGAGATCGGCACGGGGCCGCGACCGCCGGGCGCGGCGGCGCGATCAGCCTCGCCGTCGGCAGCGGCACGAGCGGCGCGGGCGGCGAGCTCGCGATGGAGTCGGGCTCCTCGAGCGGCGCCACGGGCGGGGCGCTGAGCGTCCGCGGCGGCGCCGGCTCGGCGAAGAGCAGCGGCGCGGTCGTGGTGGCGACGGCGAACGCGGGAACCTCGGGCGCGAGCGGGCGGCTCGCCTTCAGCAGCGGGACGTCGAAGGCGGCAACGGCGGGGCCGTGCTGGTCGGGTCCGGCGCGGCGACGGCCGGCCGCGGCGGCTCCGTCCGGCTGGCGGTCGGCAGCGGCACGAGCGGCGCCGGCGGGGAGCTGGCGGTGGCCGCGGGGAGAAGCACGATCGCGACGGGCGGGTCGGTCTCGGCGACGAAGCGGCGAAGGCACGCAGACGAGCAGCGGAGCGGTCGCGATCTCGACGCCAAACTCCGGCGCGAGCGGCGCGAGCGGCGTGCTGGTCTTCAGCTCCGGGTCGGCCCGCGGCGGAAACACGGGCGCGATCCGCGTCGGGACCGGGCCGCGACCGCCGGGCGGGGCGGCGGGGTCTCGATCTCGGTCGGCAGCGGCACGAGCGGCGCCGGCGGCGCCCTGAGCGCGGCCGGCGGACGGAGCGCCGGGAAGACGGGCGGCGCGCTGGCGGTCGCGTCGGGCGAGGGCGCGGCGACGAAGCGGCGGACGGGTCGCGGTGCGGAGCGCCAACGGCGGAACGGGCGGCACGAGCGGACGACTGAGCTTTAGCCCGGCTCGACGACGGGCAACTCTGGCGAGCTCCGGCTCGGCTCCGGGGCCGCCACCGCGGCCGCGGCGGCGGCGCGTCGCGTCGCGGGCGCGGGCGGGCGGCGGCATCGAGCGGCGCCGGCGGCGCTCGAGGCAATCAGCGGACGAAGCACGGTCGCGACGGGCGGCGCGGTCGCCCTCCGCGGCGGAGAGGGCACGCAGACGTCGAGCGGGGCGGTCAGGCTGGCCACGGCAAACGCCGGGCGCGAGCGGCGCGAGCGGACGCTGGTCTTCAGCACCGGCACCTCCAAGACAGGCAACAGCGGCGCGATCGAGATCGGCACGGGGCCGCGACCGCCGGCCGCGGCGGCGCGATCAGCCTCGCCGTCGGCAGCGGCACGAGCGGCGCGGGCGGCGAGCTCGCGATGGAGTCGGGCTCCTCGAGCGGCGCCACGGGCGGGGCGCTGAGCGTCCGCGGCGGCGCCGGCTCGGCGAAGAGCAGCGGCGCGGTCGTGGTGGCGACGGCGAACGCGGGAACCTCGGGCGCGAGCGGGCGGCTCGCCTTCAGCAGCGGACGTCGAAGGCGGGCAACGGCGGGGCCGTGCTGGTCGGGTCCGGCGCGGCGACGGCCGGCCGCGGCGGCTCCGTCCGGCTGGCGGTCGGCAGCGGCACGAGCGGCGCCGGCGGGGAGCTGGCGGTGGCCGCGGGAGAAGCACGATCGCGACGGGCGGGTCGGTCTCGGCGACGAAGCGGCGAAGGCACGCAGACGAGCAGCGGAGCGGTCGCGATCTCGACGCCAAACTCCGGCGCGAGCGGCGCGAGCGGCGTGCTGGTCTTCAGCTCCGGGTCGGCCCGCGGCGGAAACACGGGCGCGATCCGCGTCGGGACCGGGGCCGCGACCGCCGGGCGGGGCGGCGGGGTCTCGATCTCGGTCGGCAGCGGCACGAGCGGCGCCGGCGGCGCCCTGAGCGCGGCCGGCGGACGGAGCGCCGGGAAGACGGGCGGCGCGCTGGCGGTCGCGTCGGGCGAGGGCGCGGCGACGAGCGGCGGACGGGTCGCGGTGCGGAGCGCCAACGGCGGAACGGGCGGCACGAGCGGACGACTGAGCTTTAGCTCCGGCTCCTCGACGACGGGCAACTCTGGCGAGCTCCGGCTCGGCTCCGGGGCCGCCACCGCGGGCCGCGGCGGCGGCGTTGTCGTCGGGCGGGCGGGGCGGCATCGAGCGGCGCCGGCGGCGCTCGAGGCAATCAGCGGACGAAGCACGGTCGCGACGGGCGGCGCGGTCGCCCTCCGCGGCGGAGAGGGCACGCAGACGTCGAGCGGGGCGGTCAGGCTGGCCACGGCAAACGCCGGCGCGAGCGGCGCGAGCGGGACGCTGGTCTTCAGCACCGGCACCTCCAAGACAGGCAACAGCGGCGCGATCGAGATCGGCACGGGGGCCGCGACCGCCGGGCGCGGCGGCGCGATCAGCCTCGCCGTCGGCAGCGGCACGAGCGGCGCGGGCGGCGAGCTCGCGATGGAGTCGGGCTCCTCGAGCGGCGCCACGGGCGGGGCGCTGAGCGTCCGCGGCGGCGCCGGCTCGGCGAAGAGCAGCGGCGCGGTCGTGGTGGCGACGGCGAACGCGGGAACCTCGGGCGCGAGCGGGCGGCTCGCCTTCAGCAGCGGGACGTCGAAGGCGGGCAACGGCGGGGCCGTGCTGGTCGGGTCCGGCGCGGCGACGGCCGGCCGCGGCGGCTCCGTCCGGCTGGCGGTCGGCAGCGGCACGAGCGGCGCCGGCGGGGAGCTGGCGGTGGCCGCGGGGAGAAGCACGATCGCGACGGGCGGGTCGGTCTCGGCGACGAGCGGCGAAGGCACGCAGACGAGCAGCGGAGCGGTCGCGATCTCGACGCCAAACTCCGGCGCGAGCGGCGCGAGCGGCGTGCTGGTCTTCAGCTCCGGGTCGGCCCGCGGCGGAAACACGGGCGCGATCCGCGTCGGGACCGGGCCGCGACCGCCGGGCGGGGCGGCGGGGTCTCGATCTCGGTCGGCAGCGGCACGAGCGGCGCCGGCGGCGCCCTGAGCGCGGCCGGCGGACGGAGCGCCGGGAAGACGGGCGGCGCGCTGGCGGTCGCGTCGGGGCGAGGGCGCGGCGACGAAGCGGCGGACGGGTCGCGGTGCGGAGCGCCAACGGCGGAACGGGCGGCACGAGCGGACGACTGAGCTTTAGCCCGGCCCTCGACGACGGGCAACTCTGGCGAGCTCCGGCTCGGCTCCGGGCCGCCACCGCTGGCCGCGGGCGGCGCGCGTTGTCGCCGGGCGCCGGGCGGCGGCATCGAGCGGCGCCGGGGGCGGCGCTCTCGAGGCAATCAGCGGACGAAGCACGGTCGCGACGGGCGGCGCGGTCGCCCTCCGCGGCGGAGAGGGCACGCAGACGTCGAGCGGGGCGGTCAGGCTGGCCACGGCAAACGCCGGCGCGAGCGGCGCGAAGGGACGCTGGTCTTCAGCACCGGCACCTCCAAGACAGGCAACAGCGGCGCGATCGAGATCGGCACGGGGCCGCGACCGCCGGGCGCGGCGGCGCGATCAGCCTCGCCGTCGGCAGCGGCACGAGCGGCGCGGGCGGCGAGCTCGCGATGGAGTCGGGTCCTCGAGCGGCGCCACGGGCGGGGCGCTGAGCGTCCGCGGCGGCGCCGGCTCGGCGAAGAGCAGCGGCGCGGTCGTGGTGGCGACGGCGAACGCGGGAACCTCGGGCGCGAGCGGGCGGCTCGCCTTCAGCAGCGGGACGTCGAAGGCGGGCAACGGCGGGGCCGTGCTGGTCGGGTCCGGCGCGGCGACGGCCGGCCGCGGCGGCTCCGTCCGGCTGGCGGTCGGCAGCGGCACGAGCGGCGCCGGCGGGGGGCTGGCGGTGGCCGCGGGGAGAAGCACGATCGCGACGGGCGGGTCGGTCTCGGCGACGAAGCGGCGAAGGCACGCAGACGAGCAGCGGAGCGGTCGCGATCTCGACGCCAAACTCCGGCGCGAGCGGCGCGAGCGGCGTGCTGGTCTTCAGCTCCGGTCGGCCCGCGGCGGAAACACGGGCGCGATCCGCGTCGGGACCGGGCCGCGACCGCCGGGCGGGGCGGCGGGGTCTCGATCTCGGTCGGCAGCGGCACGAGCGGCGCCGGCGGCGCCCTGAGCGCGGCCGGCGGACGGAGCGCCGGGAAGACGGGCGGCGCGCTGGCGGTCGCGTCGGGGGCGAGGGCGCGGCGACGAAGCGGCGGACGGGTCGCGCGTGCGGAGCGCCAACGGCGGAACGGGCGGCACGAGCGGACGACTGAGCTTTAGCCCGGCTCCTCGACGACGGGCAACTCTGGCGAGCTCCGGCTCGGCTCCGGGGCCGCCACCGCGGGCCGCGGCGGCGGCGTTGTCGTCCGGGCGTCGGGCGGGCGGCGGCATCGAGCGGCGCCGGGCGGCGCTCGAGGCAATCAGCGGACGAAGCACGGTCGCGACGGGCGGCGCGGTCGCCCTCCGCGGCGGAGAGGGCACGCAGACGTCGAGCGGGGCGGTCAGGCTGGCCACGGCAAACGCCGGGCGCGAGCGGCGCGAAGGGACGCTGGTCTTCAGCACCGGCACCTCCAAGACAGGCAACAGCGGCGCGATCGAGATCGGCACGGGGCCGCGACCGCCGGGCGCGGCGGCGCGATCAGCCTCGCCGTCGGCAGCGGCACGAAGCGGCGCGGGCGGCGAGCTCGCGATGGAGTCGGGTCCTCGAGCGGCGCCACGGGCGGGGCGCTGAGCGTCCGCGGCGGCGCCGGCTCGGCGAAGAGCAGCGGCGCGGTCGTGGTGGCGACGGCGAACGCGGGAACCTCGGGCGCGAGCGGGCGGCTCGCCTTCAGCAGCGGGACGTCGAAGGCGGGCAACGGCGGGGCCGTGCTGGTCGGGTCCGGCGCGGCGACGGCCGGCCGCGGCGGCTCCGTCCGGCTGGCGGTCGGCAGCGGCACGAGCGGCGCCGGCGGGGGAGCTGGCGGTGGCCGCGGGAGAAGCACGATCGCGACGGGCGGGTCGGTCTCGGCGACGAGCGGCGAAGGCACGCAGACGAGCAGCGGAGCGGTCGCGATCTCGACGCCAAACTCCGGCGCGAGCGGCGCGAGCGGCGTGCTGGTCTTCAGCTCCGGGTCGGCCCGCGGCGGAAACACGGGCGCGATCCGCGTCGGGACCGGGCCGCGACCGCCGGGCGGGGCGGCGGGGTCTCGATCTCGGTCGGCAGCGGCACGAGCGGCGCCGGCGGCGCCCTGAGCGCGGCCGGCGGACGGAGCGCCGGGAAGACGGGCGGCGCGCTGGCGGTCGCGTCGGGCGAGGGCGCGCGCGCGACGAAGCGGCGGACGGGTCGCGGTGCGGAGCGCCAACGGCGGAACGGGCGGCACGAGCGGACGACTGAGCTTTAGCTCCGGCTCCTCGACGACGGGCAACTCTGGCGAGCTCCGGCTCGGCTCCGGGCCGCCACCGCGGGCCGCGGGCGGCGGCGGCGTTGCGTCGGCGTCGGCGGGCGGCGGCACGAGCGGCGCCGGCGGCGCGCTCTCGAGGCAATCAGCGGACGAAGCACGGTCGCGACGGGCGGCGCGGTCGCCCTCCGCGGCGGAGAGGGCACGCAGACGTCGAGCGGGCGGTCAGGCTGGCCACGGCAAACGCCGGCGCGAGCGGCGCGAGCGGGACGCTGGTCTTCAGCACCGGCACCTCCAAGACAGGCAACAGCGGCGCGATCGAGATCGGCACGGGGGCCGCGACCGCCGGGCGCGGCGGCGCGATCAGCCTCGCCGTCGGCAGCGGCACGAGCGGCGCGGGGCGGCGAGCTCGCGATGGAGTCGGGTCCTCGAGCGGCGCCACGGGCGGGGCGCTGAGCGTCCGCGGCGGCGCCGGCTCGGCGAAGAGCAGCGGCGCGGTCGTGGTGGCGACGGCGAACGCGGGAACCTCGGGCGCGAGCGGGCGGCTCGCCTTCAGCAGCGGGACGTCGAAGGCGGGCAACGGCGGGGCCGTGCTGGTCGGGTCCGGCGCGGCGACGGCCGGCCGCGGCGGCTCCGTCCGGCTGGCGGTCGGCAGCGGCACGAGCGGCGCCGGCGGGGAGCTGGCGGTGGCCGCGGGGAGAAGCACGATCGCGACGGGCGGGTCGGTCTCGGCGACGAGCGGCGAAGGCACGCAGACGAGCAGCGGAGCGGTCGCGATCTCGACGCCAAACTCCGGCGCGAGCGGCGCGAGCGGCGTGCTGGTCTTCAGCTCCGGTCGGCCCGCGGCGGAAACACGGGCGATCCGCGTCGGGACCGGGGCCGCGACCGCCGGGCGGGGCGGCGGGGTCTCGATCTCGGTCGGCAGCGGCACGAGCGGCGCCGGCGGCGCCCTGAGCGCGGCCGGCGGACGGAGCGCCGGGAAGACGGGCGGCGCGCTGGCGGTCGCGTCGGGCGAGGGCGCGGCGACGAGCGGCGGACGGGTCGCGGTGCGGAGCGCCAACGGCGGAACGGGCGGCACGAGCGGACGACTGAGCTTTAGCTCCGGCTCCTCGACGACGGGCAACTCTGGCGAGCTCCGGCTCGGCTCCGGGGCCGCCACCGCGGGCCGCGGCGGCGGCGTCGTCGTCGGCGTCGGCGGCGGCACGAGCGGCGCCGGCGGCGCTCTCGAGGCAATCAGCGGACGAAGCACGGTCGCGACGGGCGGCGCGGTCGCCCTCCGCGGCGGAGAGGGCACGCAGACGTCGAGCGGGGCGGTCAGGCTGGCCACGGCAAACGCCGGCGCGAGCGGCGCGAGCGGGACGCTGGTCTTCAGCACCGGCACCTCCAAGACAGGCAACAGCGGCGCGATCGAGATCGGCACGGGGGCCGCGACCGCCGGGCGCGGCGGCGCGATCAGCCTCGCCGTCGGCAGCGGCACGAGCGGCGCGGGCGGCGAGCTCGCGATGGAGTCGGGGTCCTCGAGCGGCGCCACGGGCGGGGCGCTGAGCGTCCGCGGCGGCGCCGGCTCGGCGAAGAGCAGCGGCGCGGTCGTGGTGGCGACGGCGAACGCGGGAACCTCGGGCGCGAGCGGGCGGCTCGCCTTCAGCAGCGGGACGTCGAAGGCGGGCAACGGCGGGGCCGTGCTGGTCGGGTCCGGCGCGGCGACGGCCGGCCGCGGCGGCTCCGTCCGGCTGGCGGTCGGCAGCGGCACGAGCGGCGCCGGCGGGGAGCTGGCGGTGGCCGCGGGGAGAAGCACGATCGCGACGGGCGGGTCGGTCTCGGCGACGAGCGGCGAAGGCACGCAGACGAGCAGCGGAGCGGTCGCGATCTCGACGCCAAACTCCGGCGCGAGCGGCGCGAGCGGCGTGCTGGTCTTCAGCTCCGGGTCGGCCCGCGGCGGAAACACGGGCGCGATCCGCGTCGGGACCGGGCCGCGACCGCCGGGCGGGGCGGCGGGGTCTCGATCTCGGTCGGCAGCGGCACGAGCGGCGCCGGCGGCGCCCTGAGCGCGGCCGGCGGACGGAGCGCCGGGAAGACGGGCGGCGCGCTGGCGGTCGCGTCGGGCGAGGGCGCGGCGACGAGCGGCGGACGGGTCGCGGTGCGGAGCGCCAACGGCGGAACGGGCGGCACGAGCGGACGACTGAGCTTTAGCTCCGGCTCCTCGACGACGGGCAACTCTGGCGAGCTCCGGCTCGGCTCCGGGGCCGCCACCGCGGGCCGCGGCGGCGGCGTCGTCGTCGGCGTCGGCGGCGGCACGAGCGGCGCCGGCGGCGCTCTCGAGGCAATCAGCGGACGAAGCACGGTCGCGACGGGCGGCGCGGTCGCCCTCCGCGGCGGAGAGGGCACGCAGACGTCGAGCGGGGCGGTCAGGCTGGCCACGGCAAACGCCGGCGCGAGCGGCGCGAGCGGGACGCTGGTCTTCAGCACCGGCACCTCCAAGACAGGCAACAGCGGCGCGATCGAGATCGGCACGGGGGCCGCGACCGCCGGGCGCGGCGGCGCGATCAGCCTCGCCGTCGGCAGCGGCACGAGCGGCGCGGGCGGCGAGCTCGCGATGGAGTCGGGCTCCTCGAGCGGCGCCACGGGCGGGGCGCTGAGCGTCCGCGGCGGCGCCGGCTCGGCGAAGAGCAGCGGCGCGGTCGTGGTGGCGACGGCGAACGCGGGAACCTCGGGCGCGAGCGGGCGGCTCGCCTTCAGCAGCGGGACGTCGAAGGCGGGCAACGGCGGGGCCGTGCTGGTCGGGTCCGGCGCGGCGACGGCCGGCCGCGGCGGCTCCGTCCGGCTGGCGGTCGGCAGCGGCACGAGCGGCGCCGGCGGGGAGCTGGCGGTGGCCGCGGGGAGAAGCACGATCGCGACGGGCGGGTCGGTCTCGGCGACGAGCGGCGAAGGCACGCAGACGAGCAGCGGAGCGGTCGCGATCTCGACGCCAAACTCCGGCGCGAGCGGCGCGAGCGGCGTGCTGGTCTTCAGCTCCGGGTCGGCCCGCGGCGGAAACACGGGCGCGATCCGCGTCGGGACCGGGCCGCGACCGCCCGGGCGGGGCGGCGGGGTCTCGATCTCGGTCGGCAGCGGCACGAGCGGCGCCGGCGGCGCCCTGAGCGCGGCCGGCGGACGGAGCGCCGGGAAGACGGGCGGCGCGCTGGCGGTCGTGTCGGGCGAGGGCGCGGCGACGAGCGGCGGACGGGTCGGGTCGCGGTGCGGAGCGCCAACGGCGGAACGGGCGGCACGAGCGGACGACTGAGCTTTAGCTCCGGCTCCTCGACGACGGGCAACTCTGGCGAGCTCCGGCTCGGCTCCGGGCCGCCACCGCGGCCGCGGCGGCGCGGCGTCGTCGTCGGCGTCGGGCGGCGGCATCGAGCGGCGCCGGCGGCGCTCTCGAGGCAATCAGCGGACGAAGCACGGTCGCGACGGGCGGCGCGGTCGCCCTCCGCGGCGGAGAGGGCACGCAGACGTCGAGCGGGCGGTCAGGCTGGCCACGGCAAACGCCCCGGCGCGGCGGCGCGAAGGGACGCTGGTCTTCAGCACCGGCACCTCAAGACAGGCAACAGCGGCGCGATCGAGATCGGCACGGGGCCGCGACCGCCGGGCGCGGCGGCGCGATCAGCCTCGCCGTCGGCAGCGGCACGAGCGGCGCGGGCGGCGAGCTCGCGATGGAGTCGGGCTCCTCGAGCGGCGCCACGGGCGGGGCGCTGAGCGTCCGCGGCGGCGCCGGCTCGGCGAAGAGCAGCGGCGCGGTCGTGGTGGCGACGGCGAACGCGGGAACCTCGGGCGCGAGCGGGCGGCTCGCCTTCAGCAGCGGGACGTCGAAGGCGGGCAACGGCGGGGCCGTGCTGGTCGGGTCCGGCGCGGCGACGGCCGGCCGCGGCGGCTCCGTCCGGCTGGCGGTCGGCAGCGGCACGAGCGGCGCCGGCGGGGAGCTGGCGGTGGCCGCGGGGAGAAGCACGATCGCGACGGGCGGGTCGGTCTCGGCGACGAGCGGCGAAGGCACGCAGACGAGCAGCGGAGCGGTCGCGATCTCGACGCCAAACTCCGGCGCGAGCGGCGCGAGCGGCGTGCTGGTCTTCAGCTCCGGGTCGGCCCGCGGCGGAAACACGGGCGCGATCCGCGTCGGGACCGGGGCCGCGACCGCCGGGCGGGGCGGCGGGGTCTCGATCTCGGTCGGCAGCGGCACGAGCGGCGCCGGCGGCGCCCTGAGCGCGGCCGGCGGACGGAGCGCCGGGAAGACGGGCGGCGCGCTGGCGGTCGCGTCGGGCGAGGGCGCGGCGACGAGCGGCGGACGGGTCGCGGTGCGGAGCGCCAACGGCGGAACGGGCGGCACGAGCGGACGACTGAGCTTTAGCTCCGGCTCCTCGACGACGGGCAACTCTGGCGAGCTCCGGCTCGGCTCCGGGGCCGCCACCGCGGGCCGCGGCGGCGGCGTCGTCGTCGGCGTCGGCGGCGGCACGAGCGGCGCCGGCGGCGCTCTCGAGGCAATCAGCGGACGAAGCACGGTCGCGACGGGCGGCGCGGTCGCCCTCCGCGGCGGAGAGGGCACGCAGACGTCGAGCGGGGCGGTCAGGCTGGCCACGGCAAACGCCGGGCGCGAGCGGCGCGAGCGGACGCTGGTCTTCAGCACCGGCACCTCAAGACAGGCAACAGCGGCGCGATCGAGATCGGCACGGGGGCCGCGACCGCCGGGCGCGGCGGCGCGATCAGCCTCGCCGTCGGCAGCGGCACGAGCGGCGCGGGCGGCGAGCTCGCGATGGAGTCGGGGTCCTCGAGCGGCGCCACGGGCGGGGCGCTGAGCGTCCGCGGCGGCGCCGGCTCGGCGAAGAGCAGCGGCGCGGTCGTGGTGGCGACGGCGAACGCGGGAACCTCGGGCGCGAGCGGGCGGCTCGCCTTCAGCAGCGGGACGTCGAAGGCGGGCAACGGCGGGGCGTGCTGGTCGGGTCCGGCGCGGCGACGGCCGGCCGCGGCGGCTCCGTCCGGCTGGCGGTCGGCAGCGGCACGAGCGGCGCCGGCGGGGAGCTGGCGGTGGCCGCGGGGAGAAGCACGATCGCGACGGGCGGGTCGGTCTCGGCGACGAAGCGGCGAAGGCACGCAGACGAGCAGCGGAGCGGTCGCGATCTCGACGCCAAACTCCGGCGCGAGCGGCGCGAGCGGCGTGCTGGTCTTCAGCTCCGGGTCGGCCCGCGGCGGAAACACGGGCGCGATCCGCGTCGGGACCGGGGCCGCGACCGCCGGGCGGGGCGGCGGGGTCTCGATCTCGGTCGGCAGCGGCACGAGCGGCGCCGGCGGCGCCCTGAGCGCGGCCGGCGGACGGAGCGCCGGGAAGACGGGCGGCGCGCTGGCGGTCGCGTCGGGCGAGGGCGCGGCGACGAGCGGCGGACGGGTCGCGGTGCGGAGCGCCAACGGCGGAACGGGCGGCACGAGCGGACGACTGAGCTTTAGCTCCGGCTCCTCGACGACGGGCAACTCTGGCGAGCTCCGGCTCGGCTCCGGGCCGCCACCGCGGGCCGCGGCGGCGGCGCGTCGTCGCCGGCGTCGGGCGGCGGCGGCATCGACGGCGCCCGGCGGCGCTCTCGAGGCAATCAGCGGACGAAGCACGGTCGCGACGGGCGGCGCGGTCGCCCTCCGCGGCGGAGAGGGCACGCAGACGTCGAGCGGGGCGGTCAGGCTGGCCACGGCAAACGCCGGGCGCCGAGCGGCGCGAGCGGACGCTGGTCTTCAGCACCGGCACCTCAAGACAGGCAACAGCGGCGCGATCGAGATCGGCACGGGGCCGCGACCGCCGGGCGCGGCGGCGCGATCAGCCTCGCCGTCGGCAGCGGCACGAAGCGGCGCGGGCGGCGAGCTCGCGATGGAGTCGGGTCCTCGAGCGGCGCCACGGGCGGGGCGCTGAGCGTCCGCGGCGGCGCCGGCTCGGCGAAGAGCAGCGGCGCGGTCGTGGTGGCGACGGCGAACGCGGGAACCTCGGGCGCGAGCGGGCGGCTCGCCTTCAGCAGCGGGACGTCGAAGGCGGGCAACGGCGGGCCGTGCTGGTCGGGTCCGGCGCGGCGACGGCCGGCCGCGGCGGCTCCGTCCGGCTGGCGGTCGGCAGCGGCACGAGCGGCGCCGGCGGGGAGCTGGCGGTGGCCGCGGGGAGAAGCACGATCGCGACGGGCGGGTCGGTCTCGGCGACGAGCGGCGAAGGCACGCAGACGAGCAGCGGAGCGGTCGCGATCTCGACGCCAAACTCCGGCGCGAGCGGCGCGAGCGGCGTGCTGGTCTTCAGCTCCGGTCGGCCCGCGGCGGAAACACGGGCGCGATCCGTCGGGACCGGGGCCGCGACCGCCCGGGGCGGGGCGGCGGGGTCTCGATCTCGGTCGGCAGCGGCACGAGCGGCGCCGGCGGCGCCCTGAGCGCGGCCGGCGGACGGAGCGCCGGGAAGACGGGCGGCGCGCTGGCGGTCGCGTCGGGCGAGGGCGCGGCGACGAAGCGGCGGACGGGTCGCGGTGCGGAGCGCCAACGGCGGAACGGGCGGCACGAGCGGACGACTGAGCTTTAGCTCCGGCTCCTCGACGACGGGCAACTCTGGCGAGCTCCGGCTCGGCTCCGGGCCGCCACCGCTGGCGCCGGCGGCGGCGGCGTTGTCGTCGGCGTCGGGCGGCGGCATCGAGCGGCGCCAGCGGCGCTCTCGAGGCAATCAGCGGACGAAGCACGGTCGCGACGGGCGGCGCGGTCGCCCTCCGCGGCGGAGAGGGCACGCAGACGTCGAGCGGGGCGGTCAGGCTGGCCACGGCAAACGCCGGCGCGAGCGGCGCGAGCGGGACGCTGGTCTTCAGCACCGGCACCTCCAAGACAGGCAACAGCGGCGCGATCGAGATCGGCACGGGGGCCGCGACCGCCGGGCGCGGCGGCGCGATCAGCCTCGCCGTCGGCAGCGGCACGAGCGGCGCGGGCGGCGAGCTCGCGATGGAGTCGGGGTCCTCGAGCGGCGCCACGGGCGGGGCGCTGAGCGTCCGCGGCGGCGCCGGCTCGGCGAAGAGCAGCGGCGCGGTCGTGGTGGCGACGGCGAACGCGGGAACCTCGGGCGCGAGCGGGCGGCTCGCCTTCAGCAGCGGACGTCGAAGGCGGGCAACGGCGGGGCCGTGCTGGTCGGGTCCGGCGCGGCGACGGCCGGCCGCGGCGGCTCCGTCCGGCTGGCGGTCGGCAGCGGCACGAGCGGCGCCGGCGGGGAGCTGGCGGTGGCCGCGGGGAGAAGCACGATCGCGACGGGCGGGTCGGTCTCGGCGACGAAGCGGCGAAGGCACGCAGACGAGCAGCGGAGCGGTCGCGATCTCGACGCCAAACTCCGGCGCGAGCGGCGCGAGCGGCGTGCTGGTCTTCAGCTCCGGTCGGCCCGCGGCGGAAACACGGGCGCGATCCGCGTCGGGACCGGGCCGCGACCGCCGGGCGGGCGGCGGGGTCTCGATCTCGGTCGGCAGCGGCACGAGCGGCGCCGGCGGCGCCCTGAGCGCGGCCGGCGGACGGAGCGCCGGGAAGACGGGCGGCGCGCTGGCGGTCGCGTCGGGCGAGGGCGCGGCGACGAGCGGCGGACGGGTCGCGGTGCGGAGCGCCAACGGCGGAACGGGCGGCACGAGCGGACGACTGAGCTTTAGCTCCGGCTCCTCGACGACGGGCAACTCTGGCGAGCTCCGGCTCGGCTCCGGGGCCGCCACCGCGGGCCGCGGCGGCGGCGTTGTCGTCGGCGTCGGCGGCGGCACGAGCGGCGCCGGCGGCGCTCTCGAGGCAATCAGCGGACGAAGCACGGTCGCGACGGGCGGCGCGGTCGCCCTCCGCGGCGGAGAGGGCACGCAGACGTCGAGCGGGGCGGTCAGGCTGGCCACGGCAAACGCCGGCGCGAGCGGCGCGAGCGGGACGCTGGTCTTCAGCACCGGCACCTCCAAGACAGGCAACAGCGGCGCGATCGAGATCGGCACGGGGGCCGCGACCGCCGGGCGCGGCGGCGCGATCAGCCTCGCCGTCGGCAGCGGCACGAGCGGCGCGGGCGGCGAGCTCGCGATGGAGTCGGGCTCCTCGAGCGGCGCCACGGGCGGGGCGCTGAGCGTCCGCGGCGGCGCCGGCTCGGCGAAGAGCAGCGGCGCGGTCGTGGTGGCGACGGCGAACGCGGGAACCTCGGGCGCGAGCGGGCGGCTCGCCTTCAGCAGCGGGACGTCGAAGGCGGGCAACGGCGGGGCCGTGCTGGTCGGGTCCGGCGCGGCGACGGCCGGCCGCGGCGGCTCCGTCCGGCTGGCGGTCGGCAGCGGCACGAGCGGCGCCGGCGGGGAGCTGGCGGTGGCCGCGGGGAGAAGCACGATCGCGACGGGCGGGTCGGTCTCGGCGACGAAGCGGCGAAGGCACGCAGACGAGCAGCGGAGCGGTCGCGATCTCGACGCCAAACTCCGGCGCGAGCGGCGCGAGCGGCGTGCTGGTCTTCAGCTCCGGGTCGGCCCGCGGCGGAAACACGGGCGCGATCCGCGTCGGGACCGGGGCCGCGACCGCCGGGCGGGGCGGCGGGGTCTCGATCTCGGTCGGCAGCGGCACGAGCGGCGCCGGCGGCGCCCTGAGCGCGGCCGGCGGACGGAGCGCCGGGAAGACGGGCGGCGCGCTGGCGGTCGCGTCGGGCGAGGGCGCGGCGACGAGCGGCGGACGGGTCGCGGTGCGGAGCGCCAACGGCGGAACGGGCGGCACGAGCGGACGACTGAGCTTTAGCTCCGGCTCCTCGACGACGGGCAACTCTGGCGAGCTCCGGCTCGGCTCCGGGGCCGCCACCGCGGGCCGCGGCGGCGGCGTTGTCGTCGGCGTCGGCGGCGGCACGAGCGGCGCCGGCGGCGCTCTCGAGGCAATCAGCGGACGAAGCACGGTCGCGACGGGCGGCGCGGTCGCCCTCCGCGGCGGAGAGGGCACGCAGACGTCGAGCGGGGCGGTCAGGCTGGCCACGGCAAACGCCGGCGCGAGCGGCGCGAGCGGGACGCTGGTCTTCAGCACCGGCACCTCCAAGACAGGCAACAGCGGCGCGATCGAGATCGGCACGGGGCCGCGACCGCCGGGCGCGGCGGCGCGATCAGCCTCGCCGTCGGCAGCGGCACGAAGCGGCGCGGGCGCGCGAGCTCGCGATGGAGTCGGGTCCTCGAGCGGCGCCCACGGGCGGGGCGCTGAGCGTCCGCGGCGGCGCCGGCTCGGCGAAGAGCAGCGGCGCGGTCGTGGTGGCGACGGCGAACGCGGGAACCTCGGGCGCGAGCGGGCGGCTCGCCTTCAGCAGCGGGACGTCGAAGGCGGGCAACGGCGGGCCGTGCTGGTCGGGTCCGGCGCGGCGACGGCCGGCCGCGGCGGCTCCGTCCGGCTGGCGGTCGGCAGCGGCACGAGCGGCGCCGGCGGGGGAGCTGGCGGTGGCCGCGGGGAGAAGCACGATCGCGACGGGCGGGTCGGTCTCGGCGACGAAGCGGCGAAGGCACGCAGACGAGCAGCGGAGCGGTCGCGATCTCGACGCCAAACTCCGGCGCGAGCGGCGCGAGCGGCGTGCTGGTCTTCAGCTCCGGTCGGCCCGCGGCGGAAACACGGGCGCGATCCGCGTCGGGACCGGGGCCGCGACCGCCCGGGCGGGGGGCGGGGGGTCGATCTCGGTCGGCAGCGGCACGAGCGGCGCCGGCGGCGCCCTGAGCGCGGCCGGCGGACGGAGCGCCGGAAGACGGGCGGCGCGCTGGCGGTCGCGTCGGGCGAGGGCGCGGCGACGAGCGGCGGACGGGTCGCGGTGCGGAGCGCCAACGGCGGAACGGGCGGCACGAGCGGACGACTGAGCTTTAGCTCCGGCTCCTCGACGACGGGCAACTCTGGCGAGCTCCGGCTCGGCTCCGGGCCGCCACCGCGGGCCGCGGGCGGCGGCGTCGTCGTCGGCGTCGGGCGGCGGCGGCATCGAGCGGCGCGCCGGCGGCGCTCGAGGCAATCAGCGGACGAAGCACGGTCGCGACGGGCGGCGCGGTCGCCCTCCGCGGCGGAGAGGGCACGCAGACGTCGAGCGGGGCGGTCAGGCTGGCCACGGCAAACGCCGGCGCGGCGGCGCGAAGGGACGCTGGTCTTCAGCACCGGCACCTCAAGACAGGCAACAGCGGCGCGATCGAGATCGGCACGGGGCCGCGACCGCCGGGCGCGGCGGCGCGATCAGCCTCGCCGTCGGCAGCGGCACGCGCGCGCGGGCGGCGAGCTCGCGATGGAGTCGGGCTCCTCGAGCGGCGCCACGGGCGGGGCGCTGAGCGTCCGCGGCGGCGCCGGCTCGGCGAAGAGCAGCGGCGCGGTCGTGGTGGCGACGGCGAACGCGGGAACCTCGGGCGCGAGCGGGCGGCTCGCCTTCAGCAGCGGGACGTCGAAGGCGGGCAACGGCGGGGGCCGTGCTGGTCGGGTCCGGCGCGGCGACGGCCGGCCGCGGCGGCTCCGTCCGGCTGGCGGTCGGCAGCGGCACGAGCGGCGCCGGCGGGGAGCTGGCGGTGGCCGCGGGGAGAAGCACGATCGCGACGGGCGGGTCGGTCTCGGGCGACGAAGCGGCGAAGGCACGCAGACGAGCAGCGGAGCGGTCGCGATCTCGACGCCAAACTCCGGCGCGAGCGGCGCGAGCGGCGTGCTGGTCTTCAGCTCCGGGTCGGCCCGCGGCGGAAACACGGGCGCGATCCGCGTCGGGACCGGGCCGCGACCCCGGGCGGGCGGCGGGGTCTCGATCTCGGTCGGCAGCGGCACGAGCGGCGCCGGCGGCGCCCTGAGCGCGGCCGGCGGACGGAGCGCCGGGAAGACGGGCGGCGCGCTGGCGGTCGCGTCGGGCGAGGGCGCGGCGACGAGCGGCGGACGGGTCGCGGTGCGGAGCGCCAACGGCGGAACGGGCGGCACGAGCGGACGACTGAGCTTTAGCTCCGGCTCCTCGACGACTGGCAACTCTGGCGAGCTCCGGCTCGGCTCCGGGGCCGCCACCGCGGGCCGCGGCGGCGGCGTTGTCGTCGGCGTCGGCGGCGGCACGAGCGGCGCCGGCGGCGCTCTCGAGGCAATCAGCGGACGAAGCACGGTCGCGACGGGCGGCGCGGTCGCCCTCCGCGGCGGAGAGGGCACGCAGACGTCGAGCGGGGCGGTCAGGCTGGCCACGGCAAACGCCGGCGCGAGCGGCGCGAGCGGGACGCTGGTCTTCAGCACCGGCACCTCCAAGACAGGCAACAGCGGCGCGATCGAGATCGGCACGGGGGCCGCGACCGCCGGGCGCGGCGGCGCGATCAGCCTCGCCGTCGGCAGCGGCACGAGCGGCGCGGGCGGCGAGCTCGCGATGGAGTCGGGCTCCTCGAGCGGCGCCACGGGCGGGGCGCTGAGCGTCCGCGGCGGCGCCGGCTCGGCGAAGAGCAGCGGCGCGGTCGTGGTGGCGACGGCGAACGCGGGAACCTCGGGCGCGAGCGGGCGGCTCGCCTTCAGCAGCGGGACGTCGAAGGCGGGCAACGGCGGGGCCGTGCTGGTCGGGTCCGGCGCGGCGACGGCCGGCCGCGGCGGCTCCGTCCGGCTGGCGGTCGGCAGCGGCACGAGCGGCGCCGGCGGGGAGCTGGCGGTGGCCGCGGGGAGAAGCACGATCGCGACGGGCGGGTCGGTCTCGGCGACGAGCGGCGAAGGCACGCAGACGAGCAGCGGAGCGGTCGCGATCTCGACGCCAAACTCCGGCGCGAGCGGCGCGAGCGGCGTGCTGGTCTTCAGCTCCGGGTCGGCCCGCGGCGGAAACACGGGCGCGATCCGCGTCGGGACCGGGCCGCGACCGCCGGGCGGGGCGGCGGGGTCTCGATCTCGGTCGGCAGCGGCACGAGCGGCGCCGGCGGCGCCCTGAGCGCGGCCGGCGGACGGAGCGCCGGGAAGACGGGCGGCGCGCTGGCGGTCGCGTCGGGCGGGCGAGGGCGCGGCGACGAGCGGCGGACGGGTCGCGGTGCGGAGCGCCAACGGCGGAACGGGCGGCACGAGCGGACGACTGAGCTTTAGCTCCGGCTCCTCGACGACTGGCAACTCTGGCGAGCTCCGGCTCGGCTCCGGGCCGCCACCGCGGGCGCGCGGCGGCGGCGTTGTCGTCGGGCGTCGGGGGGCGGCACGAGCGCCGGCGGCGCTCTCGAGGCAATCAGCGGACGAAGCACGGTCGCGACGGGCGGCGCGGTCGCCCTCCGCGGCGGAGAGGGCACGCAGACGTCGAGCGGGGCGGTCAGGCTGGCCACGGCAAACGCCAGCGCCGAGCGGCGCGAGGGACGCTGGTCTTCAGCACCGGCACCTCCAAGACAGGCAACAGCGGCGCGATCGAGATCGGCACGGGGCCGCGACCGCCGGGCGCGGCGGCGCGATCAGCCTCGCCGTCGGCAGCGGCACGAAGCGGCGCGGGCGGCGAGCTCGCGATGGAGTCGGGCTCCTCGAGCGGCGCCACGGGCGGGGCGCTGAGCGTCCGCGGCGGCGCCGGCTCGGCGAAGAGCAGCGGCGCGGTCGTGGTGGCGACGGCGAACGCGGGAACCTCGGGCGCGAGCGGGCGGCTCGCCTTCAGCAGCGGGACGTCGAAGGCGGGCAACGGCGGGGCCGTGCTGGTCGGGTCCGGCGCGGCGACGGCCGGCCGCGGCGGCTCCGTCCGGCTGGCGGTCGGCAGCGGCACGAGCGGCGCCGGCGGGGAGCTGGCGGTGGCCGCGGGGAGAAGCACGATCGCGACGGGCGGGTCGGTCTCGGCGACGAGCGGCGAAGGCACGCAGACGAGCAGCGGAGCGGTCGCGATCTCGACGCCAAACTCCGGCGCGAGCGGCGCGAGCGGCGTGCTGGTCTTCAGCTCCGGGTCGGCCCGCGGCGGAAACACGGGCGCGATCCGCGTCGGGACCGGGGCCGCGACCGCCGGGCGGGGCGGCGGGGTCTCGATCTCGGTCGGCAGCGGCACGAGCGGCGCCGGCGGCGCCCTGAGCGCGGCCGGCGGACGGAGCGCCGGGAAGACGGGCGGCGCGCTGGCGGTCGCGTCGGGCGAGGGCGCGGCGACGAGCGGCGGACGGGTCGCGGTGCGGAGCGCCAACGGCGGAACGGGCGGCACGAGCGGACGACTGAGCTTTAGCTCCGGCTCCTCGACGACGGGCAACTCTGGCGAGCTCCGGCTCGGCTCCGGGGCCGCCACCGCGGGCCGCGGCGGCGGCGTTGTCGTCGGCGTCGGCGGCGGCACGAGCGGCGCCGGCGGCGCTCTCGAGGCAATCAGCGGACGAAGCACGGTCGCGACGGGCGGCGCGGTCGCCCTCCGCGGCGGAGAGGGCACGCAGACGTCGAGCGGGCGGTCAGGCTGGCCACGGCAAACGCCGGCGCGAGCGGCGCGAAGGGACGCTGGTCTTCAGCACCGGCACCTCAAGACAGGCAACAGCGGCGCGATCGAGATCGGCACGGGGCCGCGACCGCCGGGCGCGGCGGCGCGATCAGCCTCGCCGTCGGCAGCGGCACGAGCGGCGCGGGCGGCGAGCTCGCGATGGAGTCGGGCTCCTCGAGCGGCGCCACGGGCGGGGCGCTGAGCGTCCGCGGCGGCGCCGGCTCGGCGAAGAGCAGCGGCGCGGTCGTGGTGGCGACGGCGAACGCGGGAACCTCGGGCGCGAGCGGGCGGCTCGCCTTCAGCAGCGGACGTCGAAGGCGGGCAACGGCGGGCCGTGCTGGTCGGGTCCGGCGCGGCGACGGCCGGCCGCGGCGGCTCCGTCCGGCTGGCGGTCGGCAGCGGCACGAGCGGCGCCGGCGGGGGAGCTGGCGGTGGCCGCGGGGAGAAGCACGATCGCGACGGGCGGGTCGGTCTCGGCGACGAAGCGGCGAAGGCACGCAGACGAGCAGCGGAGCGGTCGCGATCTCGACGCCAAACTCCGGCGCGAGCGGCGCGAGCGGCGTGCTGGTCTTCAGCTCCGGGTCGGCCCGCGGCGGAAACACGGGCGCGATCCGCGTCGGGACCGGGCCGCGACCGCCGGGCGGGGCGGCGGGGTCTCGATCTCGGTCGGCAGCGGCACGAGCGGCGCCGGCGGCGCCCTGAGCGCGGCCGGCGGACGGAGCGCCGGGAAGACGGGCGGCGCGCTGGCGGTCGCGCGGGCGAGGGCGCGGCGACGAAGCGGCGGACGGGTCGCGGTGCGGAGCGCCAACGGCGGAACGGGCGGCACGAGCGGACGACTGAGCTTTAGCTCCGGCTCCTCGACGACGGGCAACTCTGGCGAGCTCCGGCTCGGCTCGGGGCCGCCACCGCTGGCCGCGGCGCGGCGGCGTCGTCGTCGGCGTCGGCGGCGGCACGAGCGGCGCCGGCGGCGCTCTCGAGGCAATCAGCGGACGAAGCACGGTCGCGACGGGCGGCGCGGTCGCCCTCCGCGGCGGAGAGGGCACGCAGACGTCGAGCGGGGCGGTCAGGCTGGCCACGGCAAACGCCGGGCGCGAGCGGCGCGAAGGGACGCTGGTCTTCAGCACCGGCACCTCCAAGACAGGCAACAGCGGCGCGATCGAGATCGGCACGGGGCCGCGACCGCCGGGCGCGGCGGCGCGATCAGCCTCGCCGTCGGCAGCGGCACGAGCGGCGCGGGCGGCGAGCTCGCGATGGAGTCGGGCTCCTCGAGCGGCGCCACGGGCGGGGCGCTGAGCGTCCGCGGCGGCGCCGGCTCGGCGAAGAGCAGCGGCGCGGTCGTGGTGGCGACGGCGAACGCGGGAACCTCGGGCGCGAGCGGGCGGCTCGCCTTCAGCAGCGGGACGTCGAAGGCGGGCAACGGCGGGGCCGTGCTGGTCGGGTCCGGCGCGGCGACGGCCGGCCGCGGCGGCTCCGTCCGGCTGGCGGTCGGCAGCGGCACGAGCGGCGCCGGCGGGGAGCTGGCGGTGGCCGCGGGGAGAAGCACGATCGCGACGGGCGGGTCGGTCTCGGCGACGAGCGGCGAAGGCACGCAGACGAGCAGCGGAGCGGTCGCGATCTCGACGCCAAACTCCGGCGCGAGCGGCGCGAGCGGCGTGCTGGTCTTCAGCTCCGGGTCGGCCCGCGGCGGAAACACGGGCGCGATCCGCGTCGGGACCGGGGCCGCGACCGCCGGGCGGGGCGGCGGGGTCTCGATCTCGGTCGGCAGCGGCACGAGCGGCGCCGGCGGCGCCCTGAGCGCGGCCGGCGGACGGAGCGCCGGGAAGACGGGCGGCGCGCTGGCGGTCGCGTCGGGCGAGGGCGCGGCGACGAGCGGCGGACGGGTCGCGGTGCGGAGCGCCAACGGCGGAACGGGCGGCACGAGCGGACGACTGAGCTTTAGCTCCGGCTCCTCGACGACGGGCAACTCTGGCGAGCTCCGGCTCGGCTCCGGGGCCGCCACCGCGGGCCGCGGCGGCGGCGTCGTCGTCGGCGTCGGCGGCGGCACGAGCGGCGCCGGCGGCGCTCTCGAGGCAATCAGCGGACGAAGCACGGTCGCGACGGGCGGCGCGGTCGCCCTCCGCGGCGGAGAGGGCACGCAGACGTCGAGCGGGGCGGTCAGGCTGGCCACGGCAAACGCCGGCGCGAGCGGCGCGAGCGGGACGCTGGTCTTCAGCACCGGCACCTCCAAGACAGGCAACAGCGGCGCGATCGAGATCGGCACGGGGGCCGCGACCGCCGGGCGCGGCGGCGCGATCAGCCTCGCCGTCGGCAGCGGCACGAAGCGGCGCGGGCGGCGAGCTCGCGATGGAGTCGGGCTCCTCGAAGCGGCGCCACGGGCGGGGCGCTGAGCGTCCGCGGCGGCGCCGGCTCGGCGAAGAGCAGCGGCGCGGTCGTGGTGGCGACGGCGAACGCGGGAACCTCGGGCGCGAAGCGGCGGCTCGCCTTCAGCAGCGGGACGTCGAAGGCGGGCAACGGCGGGGCCGTGCTGGTCGGGTCCGGCGCGGCGACGGCCGGCCGCGGCGGCTCCGTCCGGCTGGCGGTCGGCAGCGGCACGAGCGGCGCCGGCGGGGAGCTGGCGGTGGCCGCGGGGAGAAGCACGATCGCGACGGGCGGGTCGGTCTCGGCGACGAAGCGGCGAAGGCACGCAGACGAGCAGCGGAGCGGTCGCGATCTCGACGCCAAACTCCGGCGCGAGCGGCGCGAGCGGCGTGCTGGTCTTCAGCTCCGGGTCGGCCCGCGGCGGAAACACGGGCGCGATCCGCGTCGGGACCGGGCCGCGACCGCCGGGCGGGGGCGGCGGGGTCTCGATCTCGGTCGGCAGCGGCACGAGCGGCGCCGGCGGCGCCCTGAGCGCGGCCGGCGGACGGAGCGCCGGGAAGACGGGCGGCGCGCTGGCGGTCGCGTCGGGCGAGGGCGCGGCGACGAAGCGGCGGACGGGTCGCGGTGCGGAGCGCCAACGGCGGAACGGGCGGCACGAGCGGACGACTGAGCTTTAGCTCCGGCTCCTCGACGACGGGCAACTCTGGCGAGCTCCGGCTCGGCTCCGGGCCGCCACCGCGGGCCGCGGGCGGCGGCGTTGTCGCCGGCGTCGGGCGGCGGCACGAGCGGCGCCGGCGGCGCTCTCGAGGCAATCAGCGGACGAAGCACGGTCGCGACGGGCGGCGCGGTCGCCCTCCGCGGCGGAGAGGGCACGCAGACGTCGAGCGGGGCGGTCAGGCTGGCCACGGCAAACGCCGGCGCGAGCGGCGCGAGCGGGACGCTGGTCTTCAGCACCGGCACCTCCAAGACAGGCAACAGCGGCGCGATCGAGATCGGCACGGGGGCCGCGACCGCCGGGCGCGGCGGCGCGATCAGCCTCGCCGTCGGCAGCGGCACGAGCGGCGCGGGCGGCGAGCTCGCGATGGAGTCGGGCTCCTCGAGCGGCGCCACGGGCGGGGCGCTGAGCGTCCGCGGCGGCGCCGGCTCGGCGAAGAGCAGCGGCGCGGTCGTGGTGGCGACGGCGAACGCGGGAACCTCGGGCGCGAAGCGGCGGCTCGCCTTCAGCAGCGGGACGTCGAAGGCGGGCAACGGCGGGGCCGTGCTGGTCGGGTCCGGCGCGGCGACGGCCGGCCGCGGCGGCTCCGTCCGGCTGGCGGTCGGCAGCGGCACGAGCGGCGCCGGCGGGGAGCTGGCGGTGGCCGCGGGAGAAGCACGATCGCGACGGGCGGGTCGGTCTCGGCGACGAAGCGGCGAAGGCACGCAGACGAGCAGCGGAGCGGTCGCGATCTCGACGCCAAACTCCGGCGCGAGCGGCGCGAGCGGCGTGCTGGTCTTCAGCTCCGGGTCGGCCCGCGGCGGAAACACGGGCGCGATCCGCGTCGGGACCGGGGCCGCGACCGCCGGGCGGGGCGGCGGGGTCTCGATCTCGGTCGGCAGCGGCACGAGCGGCGCCGGCGGCGCCCTGAGCGCGGCCGGCGGACGGAGCGCCGGGAAGACGGGCGGCGCGCTGGCGGTCGCGTCGGGCGAGGGCGCGGCGACGAGCGGCGGACGGGTCGCGGTGCGGAGCGCCAACGGCGGAACGGGCGGCACGAGCGGACGACTGAGCTTTAGCTCCGGCTCCTCGACGACGGGCAACTCTGGCGAGCTCCGGCTCGGCTCCGGGGCCGCCACCGCGGGCCGCGGCGGCGGCGTTGTCGTCGGCGTCGGCGGCGGCACGAGCGGCGCCGGCGGCGCTCTCGAGGCAATCAGCGGACGAAGCACGGTCGCGACGGGCGGCGCGGTCGCCCTCCGCGGCGGAGAGGGCACGCAGACGTCGAGCGGGGCGGTCAGGCTGGCCACGGCAAACGCCGGCGCGAGCGGCGCGAGCGGGACGCTGGTCTTCAGCACCGGCACCTCCAAGACAGGCAACAGCGGCGCGATCGAGATCGGCACGGGGGCCGCGACCGCCGGGCGCGGCGGCGCGATCAGCCTCGCCGTCGGCAGCGGCACGAGCGGCGCGGGCGGCGAGCTCGCGATGGAGTCGGGGTCCTCGAGCGGCGCCACGGGCGGGGCGCTGAGCGTCCGCGGCGGCGCCGGCTCGGCGAAGAGCAGCGGCGCGGTCGTGGTGGCGACGGCGAACGCGGGAACCTCGGGCGCGAGCGGGCGGCTCGCCTTCAGCAGCGGGACGTCGAAGGCGGGCAACGGCGGGGCCGTGCTGGTCGGGTCCGGCGCGGCGACGGCCGGCCGCGGCGGCTCCGTCCGGCTGGCGGTCGGCAGCGGCACGAGCGGCGCCGGCGGGGAGCTGGCGGTGGCCGCGGGGAGAAGCACGATCGCGACGGGCGGGTCGGTCTCGGCGACGAGCGGCGAAGGCACGCAGACGAGCAGCGGAGCGGTCGCGATCTCGACGCCAAACTCCGGCGCGAGCGGCGCGAGCGGCGTGCTGGTCTTCAGCTCCGGGTCGGCCCGCGGCGGAAACACGGGCGCGATCCGCGTCGGGACCGGGGCCGCGACCGCCGGGCGGGGCGGCGGGGTCTCGATCTCGGTCGGCAGCGGCACGAGCGGCGCCGGCGGCGCCCTGAGCGCGGCCGGCGGACGGAGCGCCGGGAAGACGGGCGGCGCGCTGGCGGTCGCGTCGGGCGAGGGCGCGGCGACGAGCGGCGGACGGGTCGCGGTGCGGAGCGCCAACGGCGGAACGGGCGGCACGAGCGGACGACTGAGCTTTAGCTCCGGCTCCTCGACGACGGGCAACTCTGGCGAGCTCCGGCTCGGCTCCGGGCCGCCACCGCGGGCCGCGGGCGCGGCGCGCGTTGTCGCCGGCGTCGGGCGGCGGCACGAGCGGCGCCGGGCGGCGCTCTCGCGCAATCAGCGGACGAAGCACGGTCGCGACGGGCGGCGCGGTCGCCCTCCGCGGCGGAGAGGGCACGCAGACGTCGAGCGGGGCGGTCAGGCTGGCCACGGCAAACGCCGGCGCGAGCGGCGCGAGCGGGACGCTGGTCTTCAGCACCGGCACCTCCAAGACAGGCAACAGCGGCGCGATCGAGATCGGCACGGGGGCCGCGACCGCCGGGCGCGGCGGCGCGATCAGCCTCGCCGTCGGCAGCGGCACGAGCGGCGCGGGCGGCGAGCTCGCGATGGAGTCGGGGTCCTCGAGCGGCGCCACGGGCGGGGCGCTGAGCGTCCGCGGCGGCGCCGGCTCGGCGAAGAGCAGCGGCGCGGTCGTGGTGGCGACGGCGAACGCGGGAACCTCGGGCGCGAGCGGCGGCTCGCCTTCAGCAGCGGGACGTCGAAGGCGGGCAACGGCGGGGCCGTGCTGGTCGGGTCCGGCGCGGCGACGGCCGGCCGCGGCGGCTCCGTCCGGCTGGCGGTCGGCAGCGGCACGAGCGGCGCCGGCGGGGAGCTGGCGGTGGCCGCGGGGAGAAGCACGATCGCGACGGGCGGGTCGGTCTCGGCGACGAGCGGCGAAGGCACGCAGACGAGCAGCGGAGCGGTCGCGATCTCGACGCCAAACTCCGGCGCGAGCGGCGCGAGCGGCGTGCTGGTCTTCAGCTCCGGGTCGGCCCGCGGCGGAAACACGGGCGCGATCCGCGTCGGGACCGGGGCCGCGACCGCCGGGCGGGGCGGCGGGGTCTCGATCTCGGTCGGCAGCGGCACGAGCGGCGCCGGGGGGGCGGTAGCCACATTAGGGGGTCAGTCGATGAAAAAGACAGGTGGTTCTATCATTTTGAGCAGTGGCAAAGGTACGCAGTCGTCAAGTGGCGCAGTCATAATCGCCACGATAAATGGTGGGGCCGTCGGGACCAGTGGTTGTCTTGCTTTCAGCACTGGCACTACTAAGAGCGGCAACTCTGGAGCTATTCTCATCGGCAGTGGAACAGCCACTGCAGGTCGTGGTGGGGATGTTCATGTAGCTGTTGGCAGCGGCACTTCAGGTACGGGTGGCAAGTTGCAACTTCAGGCAGGATGTAGTACAGTTGCTACAGGAGGCCTTATCAACATGTACAGTGGAGAGAACTCTGCAAGAAGCAGCGGTCAAATTACGATCAGAACATCGAACTCGGGCACTACAGGGTCATCTGGGTGTATTTTGCTCTCCACTGGTGGCTCAACTTCGGGTAATAGTGGATCAATCACCTTGAGTAGTGGTGTGGCGACTGCAGGTCGAGGTGGTGCAATTTCACTCACTGTTGGCGCTGGTGATAGTGGCACGGGTGGAATGCTATTGATGACAGCAGGTCAGACTTCCGCAGCTGGAGCAACTGGTGGCAGTGCATGCATAAATGGAGGGTCGAGTTCTACGGGCGGGATCGGCGGAGCTGTATTTGTGCGTGGCGGATCAAGCACTTCTGGTACGGGTGGGCTTGTCCTTATCAGAGGTGGGGAGGGACAAGCTACAAGCAGTGGTGCCGTTTTGATTTTCTCTGCGAACAGTGGTTCAACAGGCACAACGGGCCGACTGGTATTTAGCTCTGGTACATCAAAAATGGGCAACAGCGGCGCCCTGCTTTTTGGTTCTGGCACAGCCACGGGGGGTAGCGGAGGAACTGCTTCTGCCGCAGTTGGTAGCGGCACAAGTGGGATTGGTGGTCAATTACATTTTAAATCGGGCCGGAGCACGGCTGCGAGTGGGGGGGGGCTCTCTTTGGCCAGTGGCGAGGGTACACAGACGAGCAGCGGAACCATAGTAATCCAAACAGCTAACTCTGGCGCCCAAGGTACAAGTGGGGCACTGGTCTTTAGCTCGGGCTCTGCCTGTGGTGGCAATACTGGCACGATTCTCATTGGAAGCGCAGCAGCAACTACAGGACGGAGCGGTGGGATAGTCATTTCAGTAGGTAGTGGAAGTAGCGGTTCTGGTGGATCAATTTCACTCGCAGCAGGCCGTAGTATTGTAAAGACTGGTGGCATGATGGTGATGGCGTCGGGCGAAGGCACAGGAAAGAGCAGTGGGCAAGTAGTACTACGAAGCGTAAATAGCGGAACGAGTGGAGTGAGTGGGCACTTGAGCTTCAGTTCTGGGTGTTCAGCAGAGGGAAATTCTGGTGCCCTGTTACTGGGGTCTGGCGCAGCGACAGGTGGTCGTGGTGGCAGCGTTCGCATAGCAGTGGGTAGTGGTACTAGTGGTACCGGTGGTCATTTGTCCTTCGGCTCAGGAAGAAGCACTGTTGCGACAGGCGGTCTAATATGCATGCAGTCAGGAGAGGGTACAGCAACATCAAGTGGTGCCATCATTGTAAAGACTGCAAATGCTGGCGTTGCTGGCTCAACTGGGCGGCTGATTTTCAGCTCAGGGAGTTCAAAGGATGGAAACAGCGGAGCAATCATTATAGGGTCTGGTGCTGCTACGGGAGGCCGAGGTGGAGATATTAATTTTGAGGTTGGTTCTGGGACAAGCGGAAGCGGAGGCGCAATAGCTCTCACGGCGGGACGGTCCACACATTCTTCCGGTGGCAGAGTTGTAATATGTAGCGGAGAAGGCACGCAAGGATCGAGTGGTGCAATTTTCTTTGTGAGTGCAAATGCTGGCGTCTCTGGTTCAAGTGGACGGCTTGTCTTTAGCTCGGGCAGCGCAAATGGGGGCAACTCAGGCGCTATTCTAATAGGTAGTGGCACAGCAACAGGTGGTAGTGGAGGCTTGGTGAGCATTTCAGCAGGCAGTGGTACGAGCGGCATCGGAGGTGCGGTTTATATCAGCGGCGGTGCATCTGTCGGCACCGGTGGGAACGTGGAGATCAAGGCCGGAGCATCAACCGGTGGCACCACGGGGTCGACCTATGTAAAGAATCCAACAAATGGTGCTGCAACTTTGACAATATCCGCAACATCCTTTATAGTTGATACCGGCACTGTCACTATCGCTGCGTCATCTACAATTACTGTCGAGGCAGGTACAACGCTTACCTTAGAGGGTGGTTCCAACGGTGTTACCTTTGATTCTAGCTACGTCTATGGGTTTGAGTATGATTCGGGCACTGTTTCAAGCGGTGCAGTCACATTAAATAAAATGACGGGTAAAATTACCTCAGATAGCAGTGATTTGGTTCCTAGCGGAAGCTCACAAACCATCACTTTAACTAATTCACGAATAGTAACAACATCCTTGGTTTTTGTCAACGTGAAGACCACATGCACTGGCGGGCACATTGTGGTTGTTAGTTCAAATCCTGGCACTTCGGGCGGATCTGCAACTATTGTAGTCTATAATGCTGGCCAAAATGCCTGCACTACTGCATATTCGCTTAGCTTTGTGGTAATAAACTGAGGTAGCAAGAATGTTTAAATGTTTTCAACAGATATTGGCGGTTTTCAACAGAACTAGGTCTAGACTAGACTATCCACAGTGGTCTAGTACAACAGACCAATCACGCAGACCGGGTGCATGGCCGGGAACATGGGGAGGAAGCCATTGACTGCGCAACCTCTGACGTGGCACATGCCCGCCGCCGATGAATCGGCGACGCGCGGTGTCTCCCCCCAGGGGACCCGTCCACTAGTCGTAGAATCGTAACAGAAATGTAATGTTCTTCCCTTGATCTCCATCTCTCTATGTCATGCTATGTTGTTGCGATTCCCGTGATTCGGAGACGATCCAACACACGTTGTTTGAATGCAAGGCTTTCGTGGAAGATCACAATGAGCCCCTTAAGCGTCTGTATGTAATTCACCCTGCCGCACGTGGTTTGAGTGCAATGGAAATACACGTCTAGTAGGATCCCAAGGTTCAACTGAGACGTATCCAAGCACAACCCGTACTTGTATTACCCGCTTAGGCTACTTCCCATCCTAGGGTACTCCGATATCCCCTTAGTAGGGGGAAGTCGCCTCTCACTCCTAACTATTATCATCCTGAGTCACTTTTATTGACGGACGCAATTCCCCGTCACAAACCCCATGGTAATGGCGTCAATGCCGGCCGCTTTCCCGTACTTCAGGCGTCCGATGAGCATCCGAAGTTCGTCGGTATTGATGCGTCCGCCGGCGGGGCCTCTATGCCTCGGTAGACGCGCGATCTCGGCGACGCATTCATCCTGACGTCTGCGCGCGGACTCGCAGAACGTGTTACCGCGGGGCGGTGTGTCGGCGCCGATTCTCTCGTAATTGTCGCGGAACGTCGTCGCTACGGCTACCGGATCGGAAGTTGTCTCTGATTTCTGTTCGTTCGCCCACAACTCAATCGCGCGATGGACGTCTTTCGCCGTTTTCTGGAACACCACGTTCCAGAATTGTTTCGCCCGCGACGGGTCGTATTAAGGAAGAAATATCCTAAAGAAAAAGGACATACACCAAGCCTCTAGAGGCCTTCTCCCTGCGCGGCTAGGATACCCAGCCGGCGCCTAAAAAGAGACGTCAAGAAACGGTAGAGCAAATTCTCAATCTCCTATTATTTATATTTCTTTCTTTCTTTCTTTCTTTCTTTATACGCTGCACACGGGCGTCGTCCCGGAGGCGGGCGTACGCGTCGCCGACGCGGGCGAAGTTTTCCGCGGCGGCCGCGCGGTAGCGCGGCCGCGTTGTGGTCCAGCGGTCGGGGTGCCACGACCGAGCGGCCGAGCGGTAGGCGGCACCTGCGGGGGCGCCGACCGGAGTAACTCGTCGTCCGCGAAGCTCGAGAACCACGGACGTCCACGCGGGCCGGCGCGGAGTGCCGCGGCGTCCGCGGGCGGCGTGGCGAGGCCGAGGCGCTCGAGGGGCGCGTTGGCGTCGGACGGGACAACGCGAGCGCCGCCACCGTCGGCGGCGGCGGCGGCGGCGCGCGCGGGCCGCGCGTGGTCTAGTGCCGCCGCCTCGAGCCAGAGGAGGCCGGCGCGCGCGGCTACCCAGGGCCGGGGAGCCCAGGAGGCCTCGTCGCAGCGGAAGCCCGCGGCGGTGAGCAGCGGTGCGCAGCCGGCGACCGCCCCCCGCGCGACGAGCGCGCCTGCCGGGACGCGGGCGATGACGGCGGCGGCGGCGCCCGGCGGCGTCGGCGGCGGCGCCGCGCGGGGGGGGCACCGCGCGGCGTCGACGAGCGCGGCCGCGCAGCGGCCGCCGGGCGACGCGCCGACAGCGGCGTCCAGGGGGTCCGGTGCGACCGTCACGCGGGCTGCCGCGGCCGCGAGGCCCGCGGCGGCGACACGCAGAACGTATGTGCCGGGACGATCGACGCGGAGCGGTGCGAACGTGGCGACGTCCCCCCGCGCGGCAGAGGTGCGCGCGCCGAGCAGCGGCGCGCCGCGGCCACCGGGACCGACGGCGGCCGCCGAGACGATCGCAACGACCGGTCCCGCGGCCGGGGCCTCCGCGCCGACGGGTGCCCCGCGCGCGTCGACGACCCGGACGGTGAGCGTGAACGGCGCGCCGGCCGTCGGCGCCGGGGGCTCGACGCGGCCGATGGCCAGCGCCGCGGCAGCCCGCCGCGGCGCGCGCCGGCAAGCCTCGAGGCCGCGGCGGCCGCGGCACGCGGCCGCCGCCGCGCGCGACGTGCCGAGGCACCCACGCGCACAGCGCGCTGGCGCGACCGACGTGGCGCCGCGGCATGCCGTGACGGCGTCGCGGGCAGCGGCGGCGGCGGCGGCGAGGAGCTCCGCCGCGCACACGGCGGGCGCCTCAGGCCGCGCGGCGGGCGCGCCGGCGCAGAGCGCGGCTCGCGCGCGCGCGGCGAGGCGCGGCGCACGGACGCGCGCCGCCACACCGCACGCTTGCGCGGCGGCCGCGCCTCCGCCGCCGCACGCGGCGCCGGCCTCGGTCGCCGGTGCACCGGCGGCACGCGCGGCGACGGCGCACGCGGCGACGTCGAACCACTCGGCACCTGCGTGAAAATTGACCAGCGAGTCAGGTTGTCCTGGGAATTATTTGCGTCTCGCTATCTTGGAACCGCGGCCATGCTTCCGGCTGAGCTCGCTCCCCTGTAGAGACTCACTCGACCAATGGAGAGCAAAGCCACAATCACTCAAACGGGACAACGACCCACATCGAAGGCGCCTTTGAGTTCCCCACAGGTCGGTGCCGGCACCGGCGCAGAGAGCGGCGAGATCGCGCGGCGACGCCGGCCGACCGCGCGTCGCGAGACCGCGCGCGATAGCGCGCGCGCAAACGGCCGGCGCGTCTGGCGCCGCGGGGGCCGCGGCGGCGCAGAGCGCGGCGGCTGCGGCCGCGGCCGGCCCGCCGGCCGCCGTCGCGGCGCAATGGGTCGGCGAGCCGCCGGTGGCCGCCGCGCAGAGCTGCGCCGCGCCGGCGGCGGTGGCACCGCCGCGGACTCCGGCGGTGGCGCACGCGGCGCGATCCTCCGCGGCGCCGCCGCTCGTTCCGCCCGCGGGTGAATCGTGGCTGCCGAAGACCTGCGGCGCGTCGGGGGTGCGGTGGCCATTCTCCGTAGTTGCGCACCGCGAAGGAAGAAGCGGAAAACGTGGAAGCTGTCGCGTTCAATGACGCCGACCCGTTCGGCGGCGAGCGAGCCGCAGAGGCGGACGCGATCGGCCGCCACGAGCCCGCGCGGCGCGCGAGCGACGCAGCCACCCGCGTCGGCAGCGGCGCCACGGCAAATCACGACGACGGCAGCACCAGCGTCCCGGCCGAGCGCACGCGCGGCGGCCGCCACGCACGCGGCGTCCAGCGCCGCGGTCCCGGCGGGCGGCGGCGGAGGCACCGCGGCGGGCGCGGACGCGCCAAGCGCGGACGCGCCAAGCGCGGGAGCGGCGCGCGCGGGCTGTCTGCTGTTCGCGCGGGCGACGCGCGCGCGCGCTAACGCGGCGACCGCGCCCGGCGCCGCGGCGCAGAGCGCTGCCGCCGCGGCGCGGTCGCGGGTGGCGAGACGCCGCGCGCCTAAAATGGCGCCGAGGCACGCCGCGGGCGCGCCGTCGCGCGCCGCGCTGCAGGCGGAGGCAGCCGGCGCCGCGCGCCGCGCCGCGGCGGCGAAGCACGCGCCGGGGGCTGCGTCGACCGCGCCCGCGCAAAGCGCGACGACAGCATCGGCGCCCGGCCGCGCGGCCCCCGGCGCGACGACGACGGCGGCGCGCGCGCAGGCCGCCGCGCCGGGCGCGCCCCGCGCGCAGAGGGCGCGCCGCCGCGCCGCCCCGAGCGCGGCCGGGGCCGTTTCGACGCAGTCCGTCCAGTCCGCCGCCCCCGCCGGCGCCGGCGCCGCGGCCCCCCACCAGTGCGCGGCGGCCGGGACGGCCACCGCCAGGAACACGGGGCCCCATGCCCGCGCGCCCGCCGCAGGCGGCCGGACGCACATCGCGAAACGGGTCGGGACCGCGAATAACTATAGTCAATTCGGGTGTCGGAGCACCGCCCGCCCAGCTACCAATTATTGTACCTTAGTTCCCCTTGGTGCATCCCACGGAGAATGCAACTTTATAGTCCATCCACCCGGGGCTCGGCGGGGTCGGGCCCGCGCGGGCGGGGCTGCCTAGAGCTATTTACGTCCCCGGCCCCGGGGGGGAATACTATTTGAGACTATGTGCGGGTAAGTCCCAGGTTTTGGTAGCGAGTGCATCCCGTGCATCGCGGCTTCGACGGCGATGCGGAGGATCCGGCGCGTCGCGTTGGCCGGCGCCGCGGCGCTGGCATGCGGGCGCGCGGCGCGCCTCTCGCGGCGCGGCGAGCCGCCGGCCTTCCTCCTCCAGGACGCGCGCGGCGACGGCCTCTGCCTCGCGGGCGCCGCCTTCGGGCGCTGCGGGCTGGACACGCTGTGGTACGTCACGGGCGCGCCCGGCGCCTACGAGATCCACGCGCGGCCGGCCGACGGCGCGCCCGGCGGCGACGACGACCGCTGCCTCGGCCGCGCGAGCTGCGACCTGCCGCGCAGCGCGCTGCGCGTCGCGGCGTGCCGCCACTGCGGCGCGCGGCGCTGGAACGTGCTGGGCGACGCCGAGGCGGGCTACGTGCTCACGACGCGCGGGCCCGCGGCGGACGCGCCCGAGCACTGCGTCGTGCGCGAGGGCCGGGCGGCGGCGGCGGCTGCGCGCAACGCGACGGGCGGGGAGGAGCGGTGCGCGCTGCTGGACCTGCGCTTCGCGTCGGCGGCGGACCTGGCGGCCATGGGCGGCGACGGCGCGCGGCTGGGGGCCGCGGCGGCGGCGGGCGCGGTGGACGAGGTCGAGGCGCTGGTGGCGGCGGGCGCCGCGGTGGACGCGCGCGACTGGGACGGGCGGACTGCGCTCGGCGCCGCCGCCGCCGCCGGCCACGCCGCGGTCGCGCGCGCGCTGCTCGAGCGGGGCGCGTCCGTCGCCGCCGCCGACGAGCACGGCGTGACGCCGGCCATGGAGGCCGCGCTCGCCGGCGAGGCGGCCATGGTGGAGGCGCTGCTGGCGGCGGGCGCCCCCGTCGACGCGGCGGCGGCGTCGGGCGCCGGCGCGCTCTGGCTCGCCGCGTCGGAGGGCCGCGCCGAGGCGGTCCGGGTGCTGCTGCGGGCGGGCGCGGACGCGAACCTCCCGCGGGAGGACGGCGTCGGCGCGCTGGCGGCGGCGGCGGCCGGCGGCCACGCGGCGGTCGTCGAGATGCTGCTGGCCGCGGGCGCGGCCGTCGACGCGGCGGACCGCGACGGCCTCACGGCGCTGCTGAGCGCGGCCGAGCACGGCGACGGGGCGACGGTGGCCCGGCTGCTGCGCGCGGGCGCGGCGGTCGACGCGGCGTCGCTCACGGGCTTCACGCCGCTCATCGTCGCGGCGGCGGGTGGCCACGAGGCCGCCCTGGATATGCTCGTCGCGGCCGGCGCCGACGTGCACGCGGCGCACGCCGAGGGCGTCGACGCGCTCATGTACGCGGCGGCCGGCGGCCACGCGGGCTGCGTCCGGCGGCTGCTGGCGGCGGGCGCGGACGTGCGCCGCACCCACCTCCACGGGGGCACGGCCCTCATGGAGGCGGCGACGGCGGGGTCGGTCGCCTGCCTCGAGGCGCTGGCGGCGGCGGGCGCGGCCGCGGACCACGTCGACGGCGACGGCGTCACGGCGCTCATGGCGGCGGCGTCGCAGGGCCACGCGGCCGCCACGCGGTTCCTCCTGGCCGCGGCGGGCGGCGGCGCGGCGGGCTGCGACCGCGCCGCGGCGTCGGGCGGCACCGCGCTCATGTTCGCGGCGGCCGGCGGCCACGCGGGGGCGCTGGAGCTGTGCCTGGCGGCGGGGGGCGCCGCCGACGCGGTCGTCGTCGGTGCGCCCGGGCACGTCGCGGAGACGGCGCGCCGGCTCGCGGAGGGCGAGCCCGACGTCGAGCCCCACAAGGACGGCGTCACCGCGCTGCAGGTGGCGGCGCAGGGCGGCCACCTCGCGTGCGCGGAGCTGCTCCTGGCGGCCGGGGCGGACGCGCGCCTGCGCGACGAGGAGGGCATGTCGGCGCTCGCGAACGCGGCCGCGGGCGGGCACTGGGCCGTCGCGCGGCTCATCGTGGAGGGCGGGGGCGACCCCGACGACGGGGGCTGGGTCGACGGCGACGGCGCCCCCCGGAACCTGCTCGAGGCGGCCGTGGCGCGGGGGGACGACGCGTTCGCGGAGGCGCTGGTGGCGGCGGGCGCGGCCGCGGACGGCGGCGGCGCGCTCCGCGCGGCGGCAGCACGCGGCGCCGCGGGCGTGGTGCGGGCGCTCCTCGCTGCCGGCGCGGACCCCCGCCGCGCGGGCGCCGACGGCGCGGACGCGGTCTTCGCAGCGGCCGCCGAGGGCCGCGCCGACGCGCTGGCGCTCCTCCTGGGACACGCCGACGCGTCACCCGACGCGGCCGACGCGGACGGCACGCCGGCCCTCGCCGCGGCGGCCGTCCGCGGCCACGCCGACGTCGTCGCGCTGCTCCTGGAGAACGGCGCGGCCCCGGACGCGGCCAACGTCGACGGCCACACGGCGCTCATGTTCGCGCAGAACGGCCGGGCCCAGGTCGCCGCGCTGCGCGCCAAGTACCTCGCGAGCGTGCCGGCCGCGGCCGGCGCGCCCGACGACGCGAACCTGGCGACCATCGACGCCGCGCGCGCCGCCCACGAGCGGTGCGTGCAGCTGCTGCTCGCGAACGGCGCGGACGCGCGGCGCGCGGACCGCGACGGGCGCATCGCCGCGGACTTTGCGCCGCGTGAACCGGCGGCGGCCGCGTAGGTCGCCCGTCCGGGGGGCGCACTAACTTATCAGACGGACGACAGCGCGTCCGAGCCGGGGGGGGGTTGTCGCGCTACGCCGGCCGGCGGCCTCTGACGAGCACACCGGGTAAACTAAACATGAAGAGTCACTCCGAGTCAGGCTCAGTGGCAGGCTACCTGTAGTTATTTCAAGTTCAAATTAGGAAGACCTAAACATAACGAGCAAGTTCCAAAGGCCCCCGATATATAGACAAACGACCACAGTCCCCTACGTGGAAGAAGCCGTCAGCGCGTCGCCTTCCTCCGGCGCCCGCGCTTCCGCTCGAGGCGCGCGAGGAGCTCGCCGCCCGCCGCCGCGGACGACGGCGCGGCCGCCGGCGAAGCTGGCACCGGCGCTGGCGCGCGACCGCCGCGCGCGCGGCGCGGGCCCCGGAGCTTGGCGAGGACGTCGTCAGCCGTCTCGGTCTTGAGGGTCGCGAGGCGCGCGGCGACCGCCCCCCCGGCGCGCGGCGGCGGCGCGGCGGGCGGCGGCGCGGCGCTTGCCGTTGTCGCGCCGGGCCGCGCGGAGATCGGCGAAAAACGCGGCGAGGGCGCCGAAGAAGGCGGCGGGCGCCGCAGGCGGCTGACTAGTTCCTGAACTTTCTCCCGCGTAGCATGGAAGACGCGCTCCGCACTCTCATGTCAGTTTAATAACATGATTGATAATGGCGTCCACGGCCGCGGTCTTGAAGTCCATAAGTTCCGTGATGTTGATGTTCGCTCGTTCAGCGGTTTCTCTAACGGTCAAGTCCGTCGGTAAGAGATGGCATTCAGAGCACCCTTTGGTAGGAATCACGCCTCGTTCGAACAGCGTACCCCTAGCCGCCAGCCCGTTAGCATGCTGTAAGACACTAGCAAAGTGAGGGATAATAGCCGCAGTTAGAAAGAGCTATAGGGGTATCGGCCTGAAAATGGCGTCGCTGGGAAAAGCGTGCGGGTACGAGGCCTGCGCGAGCCTCCCAGGATGCCCCCCTAGCCGACGTTCGGTCCGGCGCGCGGGCAGTTTGTCCGGGACTCGTTTTGACCCGGTCCGGCCCCCGTCGGGCTCCGTCCGGGGAGTGGCGTCCGGCTGGTCGGGCTTCTGGTCCGGCTCCGGTCGGGGGCCCCGTCCGGCGTCGGGCTCCGGTCCGGCCCCGTCCGGGGCCGTCCGGCTGCGTCCGGCCCCGTCCGGGACCAGATCTGCCGTCCGGCGCCCCGTCCGGCACCGGTCTAGTGGCGTCCATGCTAGCGTCGGCCCGCCGTCGGGCCCCGTCCGGCGCGAAATTTCCCCGTCCGGAGGTCTCCGTCGGGCGCCCCGTCCGGCGGCGTCGGCCGGACCGAACGTCGGGTAGGAGGCCCAGGCTGGGGAAGCACTGCTGAGACGGCAGTAGGCAAAGCTGAGCGGGCCCGCGCCTTCTCGGGGGTTCGGCTGCTTTGCGTGCGATACGGCGGTCCGCCACCAGTCAACCCATCTGTACCTGCTGTGTGTGCCTCAGCGACGCTAGGGTCCGCACAGGGCGGGGGCGCGCTGGAAATAGCCGCGGCGCGGAACCCGTCACAAGCACGCAAAAAGCGGCCAGCATGAGCGCGCCGCCGATGCCGCGCCCGGAGCGCCTGGAGCTCCTGCGCACGAACCCCCTCATCGAGATCACGCTCCTCCACCGGGCGATGCGGCTCGAGCTGGAGGCCATGTGCGAGGCGACGCGGGCCCTGGCGGCGGCGCCGGCGAACGACGGCGCGGCGCTCGCGGCGCTGCGCCGGCGCTTCCGCGCGTTCGACGCGGTCTTCGCGAGCCACTCGGCGGCGGAGGACGACGTCGTCTTCCCCGCGCTCGCGGCCTGCGCGGGGCGCGACGTGGCGAGCCACGCGGCGGCGGAGCACATCGACGAGGTGGCGCTCGTCGACGGCGCGGCGGCGGCGCTGGACGCCGCCGCGGCGCGCGGCCGCTGCGACGGCGCGACGGTCGCGGCGCTCCAGGACCTCAAGGAGAAGCTCGCGGACCACATGGACCACGAGGAGGGCGAGATCTTCCCGCTCCTCGCGGAGATCCCCGAGCGCGAGCTCAAGCGCATGGCGGGGCTCGTGCTCGGCGCGCGGCCGGCCGACGTGCTCGAGCTCACGATCCGCCTGCAGGTGCAGCACCTGGAGCCGGCGCTCGCGCGCCACGTGCTTGGGACCATGTGCGAGGTCGCGCGCGGCACGCGGTTCCGGCGCTGGCTCGACCGCGCGCTCGGCGCCGCGGCGGGCGCGCCGGCGGCGGCGCCCGCGGCGCCGGCGGCACCGGCCGCGCCGGCGGCACCGGCGGCGCCGCGGCGGCGGTGCCCGCGCCACGGGCACCTCGCGCGCGTCGCCGCGCCGTGCTGCGGCCAGCTCGTGTGCTGCCGCCGGTGCCACGACGCGCGGCCGGGCGCCTGCGACCGCGCCATGGACGCGCGCGCCGTGACGGAGATGGCCTGCCGCGCCTGCGGCGCGCGCGGGCCCGTCGGCCGGCGCTGCGCCGTCTGCGCGGCGCCGCAGGCGGGCTACTACTGCGGCCACTGCCGGCACTTCGACGACTCCGGCGCGCACACGTTCCACTGCCCCTTCTGCGACGTGTGCCGGCGCGGTCACGGCCTCGGCGTCGACTTCCACCACTGCATGCGCTGCAACATGTGCGTCGACATCACGCAGCTCGCGACACACGTGTGCACGGGCGCCGCCGGCCGGGCCTGCGGCGCCTGCGGCGGCGACCTCGCGGCGACGCCCGACCGCGTCGTCGTGCTGGGCTGCGGCCACCCCGCGCACGCGCGGTGCGCCGCGGCGCCGCCGGGCCGCTGCCTCGTCTGCGCGCGCGCGGCAGCAACGGACTAAGCACCCGCCGGGGGCTCGTCGTCGCCGGGGGGTAGGGGCTTCGCCCGTACGTCGGCCCCGCGCGCCGCGAGCGCTCCGACTCTGGGGAGCCTCGTGCCGTGACGTGGGGCTCCCGAGGCCTCCTCCGTCCCCACTGACTCCCCAGCTCGGGTTCTAATGTTTTATTTTACGGTCCGAGCCTTGTCGGCCGGGGGAGGACGCTGCCGGGAATTTCTCATGCGTAGCATGGGAAGGGCTCCATGCCATAGCTGGTGCAATGGAAATACACGTCTAGTAGGATCTCAAGGTTCAACTGAGACGTATCCAAGCACACCCCGTACTTGTATTACCCGCCTAGGCTACTTCCCATCCTAGGTACTCCGATATCCCCTTAGTAGGGGGAAGTCGCCTCTCACTCCTAACTATCATCATCCTGAGTCACTTTTATTGACGGACGCAATTCCCCGTCACAAACCCCATCGAACATGGGAGAAACTATTTCGTTAGACGACTACACTACGCTGCCGGGGAAGTCCATTTCCCCCTGCATCGCGCTGGAGCGGCTCTCGGGAAGCCTGGCCCGGTGAACAGCGCTAAGCGCTGTGACCGTCCTGATTTCTAATTGTCTATCTACTTATCTGGCGAGCATCCTACTACTACTCCTAGTACTACTAGGAGGCACGACTCGGAGCGCCTCCCCGGCGGCGCGCCTACTTTAGAAGTCCAGGTCCGCGGCGGACAGGTCCGCGGCGCGCGAGACGATGAAGTCCTTGCGGTCCGCGACGGAGTCGCCCATGAGCAGGCTCACGACGCGGTCCGCGCGCGCGGCGTCGTCGACGTCGACGCGCTGCAGCCGCCGCCGGCCCGGGTCCATCGTCGTGCTCCAGAGCTGGTCCGGCATCATCTCGCCCAGGCCCTTGAAGCGCTGGATCGGCGGCGCGGAGGCGCGCGCGGCCAGCTCCGCCGCGAGCTCGGCCTCGGACCAGCAGTACGCCGGCCGCGCGCCGCCGCCGACCTTGTACAGGGGCGGGCACGCGACGAAGACGTGGCCGCCGCTCACGAGCTCGCGCCGGTAGCGGTAGAAGAAGGTCAGCAGCAGCGCGCGGATGTGCGCGCCGTCGACGTCGGCGTCCGTCATGATCACGACGCGGCCGTAGCGCAGCTTGGCCGCGTCGAAGGCCTCGCCGCGCGCGCCGAGGCCGAGCGCGGCGACGACCGCGGCGAGCTCCTGGTTGCCCGCGATGCGGTCCTCGGCGCAGCGCTCGACGTTCAGGATCTTGCCGCGCAGCGGCAGGATGGCCTGTGTGTCGCGGTCGCGGCCCTGCTTCGCCGAGCCCGCCGCCGAGTCGCCCTCGACGACGAAGAGCTCCGTGCGCGCGGCGTCCCGGCTGCTGCAGTCCGCGAGCTTGCCCGGCAGCACGCTCGTCGCCAGCAGCGACTTGCGCCGCACGGCGTCGCGCGCGGCCCGGGCCGCGGCGGCGGCCTTCTGCGCGCGCGCGGCCTGGTCCGCCACGGCCCGGAGCGCCGCCGGGTGCCGCTCGAAGAGGTCGCGGAGCGCGTCGCCCACGACCCCGTCGACGGCGGGCCGCGCGGCCGGCGAGCCCAGCCGGCCCTTGGTCTGGCCCTCGAACTCGGCCTCGGGCAGCCGCACGCTGAGCACGGCCGCGAGGCCCTCGCGCAGGTACTCGCCGGGCACGTAGTCGCCGGCGGCGGCGCTCCGCCCGAGGCCGCCGTTGGCCGCGCGCGCCACGGCCGCGCGCAGCCCGTCGAGGTGCGCGCCGCCGTCGCCCGTCCTGATCCCGTTCGCGAACGTGACGAGCCGATCCCCAAAGGCGCCCTTGCACCAGCGCAGCGCCGCCTCGACGCGCACGCCGCCGCGCTCGCCCCGCGCCACGAAGCCCGCGAAGGCCGGGTGGAGCAGGTCGCCCCTCACCAGCGTGTCGCCGTACTCGCCGACGCCGCCGGCGTGGCGCAGCACGTGGACCTTGGGGGCGGCGCCGCGCAGGTCCCGCAGCTCGAGGCGCAGGCCGGCGTTCAGGTAGGCCAACTCGTCCATGCGGTCGCGCAGGAGCCCCGCGTCCCACGCGCGCGCGCGGACGTCGCCGAACACCTCGCCGTCGGGCGCGAAGCGCACGGCCGTGCCGCCGCGGCCGCCGGCGGCCGCCGGCCGCCGCGCCAGCGGCGCCACGGGCGCGCCCCTCACGAAAGCCAGGCGGTGGTCGAAGCCGTCGCGGACGACGCGCGCCTCGAGCCGCGCCGACAGCGCGTTGACGACGCTCAGCCCGACGCCGTGGAGGCCGCCGCTCGCGCCGTAGGCGCTCGCCGCGCCGCCGAACTTGCCGCCCGCGTGCAGCACCGTGCAGACCGTCTCGAGCGTCGAGACGCCCGTCTGCGGGTGCGTGGTGCACGGGATGCCGCGGCCGTCGTCCGTCACGACGACGGACCCGTCCCGCCGCAGCTCGACGCCGACGCGCGACGCGTGGCCGCCCGCCGCCTCGTCCACCGCGTTGTCGAGCAGCTCGAAGACGAGGTGGTGCAGGCCGCGCGGGCCCGTCGAGCCGACGTACATGCCGGGCCGCTTGCGCACGGCCTCGAGGCCCTCGAGCACCGTGATCTGGTCGGCGCCGTAGTCCGTGGCCGCGCCGCGCGCCGCGCGCCGCAGCGGCAACCTCGCGGCCGGCCGCAGCGCGGCGGCGAGGCGCAGGAGCAACATGGCGAGGCGCATGCGCAAAACGCTCGCTGTCACACCCTACAGATTTAGCACCGTTGACCTTAAGTGCGCATGCGTTAGCCCTTTGAAGGGGGGCTAGAGGGGCTAGGGCGAACTTGGCTCCAGTGGTTAGCTAGCGGCCTATTACACACTAGGCATGTGGGCAAAAACCTCAACCTCAACCCACCCCCGAAATGAAACCAACCCCTAGAGCACGCAGTTGTTCGTGCGGGGCCCTACTTAGAAAGCCCTCGCGAAGCTGCCCTCGCGAAGCTGCCCGCGCCGCGCTTCTTAGCCGCGCCGCAGCACTTGACCTAAGACAACCTACAGCAAGAGGCACACTGCGTTTGTGGAAGGCGGGCAGCCGCTACAGGCTCTCTGCGAGTACAGTTTTACTGTAAAGCGGACTGCAGCAAGTCATGATGCTCCTGCCGCCTGCGCAAAGCCCCTCGGGCAGGACGCCCCCGCGCACTGTGTGAATTGTCGAACAAGATACTGCGGCGATCGATGCCTCCGCTACCACGCGCACCGCGGCGGCCACGACGAAAATTGTGATGAAATAGCAAGCGGCGGCGGCGCCGAACAACACCACGCCAACAAGAAATACGAGGAGGCCGCGGCGGAGGCCGTCGAAGAGTGTGCGGAGGACACGGAAGGCCAGACGTGCTACGTTTGTCTGGAGGACGGCTCGGAGGAAGGCCTCGTGCGCATGTGCGCGTGCCGCGGGGCGTCCGGCATCGCGCACTTGTCGTGCTTGGCGCGGCAAGCGAAGATTTTGGTCCAGGAGGCCGAGGAGAGGAATTTGAACACCGCCGCGTTCAATACGAGGTGGCGGCTGTGGGACACTTGTAGACTGTGCAAGCAAGACTGGCGTGCGCACTCGGGTGGGCGTGCTGGAAGACGTACCTCGGGCGGCCGGAGAGGGACTCGAATCGGCAATTGGCGATGAGCGTGCTTGGGGGCGGTTTATCCGAGGCAAGGCACCACGAGGACGCGTTGTCCGTGTACGAGGCCGAGTTGGCTATGGAGCGGCGCCTTGGCGCATCAGAAAAAACACTCTTCGCTGTGCAGACCAATCTTGCGTCCACGTATATGGTGCTTGGACGGAAAAAAGAGGCCCATAAGATCTTTCGAGACGTTTACTCCAGAAGTTTTGATCTCGTCGGCCAGGACAATGAAAGGACTCTCATAGCAGCCAGCAACTACGCGGATGCCCTTGTTCGTCTGAAGCGCTTCGAAAACTCCAGAGCGGACACCTCGGCGCAACCCTACGTCGAGTACGCGCCGACGCGACCATCGCGCGTCGCCCTGATACGACACGTGGACGGCGTCGACGCGGGTGCCTAGACCTCTAAGAAGAATTCATCCATCTTTTCCTCTCAAGTTGATGATTGAATGGCAGTCAGCGAAAAGCAGCGAGTAGCGTGTATCGACACTAGATTGCTCGACACGCGTTTTTTTTGTAGTTGTCGAGCAAGGGATCCTCGGCAACAAAGCACGTTTTTTGCTCAGCACACCTGCGTCCAGCAAGACTGGCAACCTCCCTGCGTGACAGTAAAAAAGTACACACATCGAAGCATGGCAGAAGCCACGCCCGTCATTTTCACCTGCACCTTCTACACGTCCGAGGCGGACGTGCGCCTCGCGTGCTGCCTAAAGTTCCTGGGGCAGTGCCGGGCCCACGAGCTGGACGTCGTGGTCGTCGACGCGTCGCCGAGCGAGGCCATCCGGGCGAAGATGAAGGAGGCGCACCCCGCCGCGGAGGTCGTCAAGCAGACGGCGCAGGGGCGCAAGGGCGCGGCGCTGCGCGAGGCGCTGGGCCTCGCGGCGGCGCGCGCGGCCGGCGACGCGGCCTGGCTCTGCTGGCAGGAGCCCGAGAAGGACGCCATGGTTCCCCTCTGGGCCGCGTGCCTCGGCGCGGCGTCCGAGCGGGCCCTGGACGTCGTCGTGCCGCGGCGCCGCGCGGACCTCTTCCGCGACACGTACCCCGTCGAGCAGTACCACTCCGAGTCCTTCGCGAACGCGCTGCTGACGGCCGCCGCGGGGGACGCCGGCTTCGACGCGGACCTCGACTGGCACTTCGGGCCCTTCGCGCTCAGGCGCGCGCACGCGGGCCTCTGGCGCGCGCACGCGGGCGAGCTCTGGGACGCGCAGGTCGTGCCCGTCGCGGACGCGCTGCGCGCGGGGCTCCGCGTCGGCGGCGCCGAGGTGCCGTTCGCGGCGCCCGCGGCCATGAAGGCCGAGGAGGAGGGCTCGTTGGCCTTCATCCGGAAGCGGCTCGACCAGATCAACTTCCTCGACCCCAAGGTCATGGCCGCCCTGAAGAAGAAGCGGCCCGCGCCGGCCTGAGGCCCCGGGGCGGGCGCGGGACGACGCGGACCCGGAGGCGATATAATAAAAACATGTGACCCACCGTTGAACGTTCCTCCGGGGGGCGGGGTCATCGGATCGCTGTACGGCCGGCGATCGCGCCGAACTCGTCCTCCTCGGCGGCGTGGCGCGCGGGGCAGAAGGGCTCCGCCGCGGGCGGCGCCGCGGGCTCGGGCACGACGAAGGCGCCGAGGACGTCGGCGGCGGACGCGTCGCGCGGCGGCGCGGCGGCGCCCGCCGCGCGGCCCGGCGGCGGCGCGGGGAACGCGTCCGCCGCGCCGCCCGCGGCGGCGGCCGGGGGGCCGCGCGGCACGGGCGCCGCCGCGAGCGGGTCGAAGGGCGCGGCGGCGGGCGGCGGCGGCGCCATCGCGAGCGGCGGCGGCTGGTAGGGCGCCGCGCGCGGCGCCGGGACCGCGTGGCCCGGGTGGCCCGGGTGCGCGGGCGGCGCGAGCGAGTCGAACGACGGCGTGCGGGGCGGCGCGGCGCCCGGCGGCCCGGGCGGCGCGCCCGCGCCGGCGCCCGCCGGCGCGGCCACGGCGGGCGGCGCGGGCGGCTGCGCGCGGCCCATGGGCGGCGGCTGCGGCGCGCCGAAATGCGGCGGCGGCGCGGACGGCGGCGCCTGGCCCATGGGCGGCGGCTGGAAGTGCGGGGGCGGCGCGGACGGCGGCGCCTGGCCCATGGGCGGCGGCTGGAAGTGCGGGGGCGGCGCGGACGGCGGCGCCTGGCCCATGGGCGGCGGCTGCGGCGCGCCGAAATGCGGCGGCGGCGCGGACGGCGGCGCCTGGCCCATGGGCGGCGGCTGGAAGTGCGGGGGCGGCGCGGACGGCGGCGCCTGGCCCATGGGCGGCGGCTGCGGCGGCCCCGGCGCGCCCGGCGCAGCGAGCGGCGGCGTCGCGACGGGCGCCGGCGGCGCGGTCGGCTGCGCCGCCTGCGCCGCGATCGCGGCGAACTCGCGGTCCGCGGCGGCGCGCCGCGCGACGACCGCCGGCGCCGGGACGGGCGCGCGGCTCGCCGGTGCGGCCGGCGGCGGCGGCGCGGCCGCGGCGCGCGCCTGGTGCCGCGCGCGCTCGTCGTCGAGCTCGCGCTTGAAGCGGTCGCGGTCCCGCCGCAGCGCCTCGTTCTCCCGCCGCAGCCGCGCGGCGTCGGCCTGGCCCGCCTCGAGCTTCGCGGCGAGCGACGCGTGCTTCTGCTTCAGGAGCTTCAGCATCGACTCGTGCTCGCCGGCCCGGGTGCGCGCGGCCGCGAGCGCGTCGCGCAGCTCCGTGGCGAGGTCGTGCGCCCGCCGCAGCGGCCGCGTCGCGGCCGAGGCGTCGAGGTCCTCGAGGTTCGCGCCCGCGCCCTTGGGGGCCTCGCGCGGCGGCTCGTCGCCGCCCCGGTGCTGGGACCGCACGGCCTTCTCGAGCTCGGCGAGGCGCTGGAGCACCATCGTGCTCTGGTGCTGCAGGCCTCTCAAGACCCGCTGGTCGTCGGCGCCGTCGCGCGGCGCCGGGGACGCGGCGGCGTCCTCCTGCGTCACGCGGAAGCGGCCGCGCGTCACGGCGCGGGCGGCCGCCGGAGGCATCGCCCCCCCGCGCCCGGGCATTTTTTGTGGCGCTTAAGCGCTTGTCTACGTTTAGCTAGCGGTCAGAAAGACACTAGCAAGCAGGGGCGGTACCTTTAATCTACCCTCCTAGAGCAGGAATCCCACACACACACACACACTGCGCTTCAAGGCCTCCGTCCCCAAGGACATGCGCTTCAAGGCCTCCGTCCCCAAGGACACGCTCGCCCTCCTGCTGCAGGTCACGCAGGCGCTGCGGCGGGTCGAGCTCGCGTCGTCGTCCTGCGCCGGCCGGCGCTGCGTCCTGCGGCTGAGCCGCGAGGGCATGAGCTTCGGCCTCGTGTGCGCCGCGGACGACGCGCGCGCCTGGGCGGACCTCGACCCGCGGCTGTTCGAGCGGTACATGGTCGAGAGCCGCGCGCGCGGCGAGGTCCTGCTGCACGTCTCGCTCAAGCAGCTCGTGAGGGCGCTGCAGAAGCACTCGGGCGACGCGATCGCGCTGCGGCTCGCGAAGAACGCGCGGGCGGCGCCGCAGCTCCGCCTCGCGTCGCAGAAGCGCAGCGTCGTCCTCCGCGCGGCCCCGCGCGGCAATCGAATGTCGGGACGTCGTTCCCACGACCGCATCCTATCGACGGCGTGGTTTCCGCGCAGGCACGGACGTGCCCGTCAAGGTCATGCGCGCGGCCGAGGCCGGCGCCTACGCGCCGCCGGCGCTCGCGCGCCGCCGAGGCGTCGTCCTCGACCTCCCGGGCGGCGGCCGCGGCGTCGCGCGCGTCGTGGCGCGGCTGCGGCGGCTCGGCGACCGGCGCGGCGCCCGGGCGGCCGTGAAGCCGGTCGGCGTCAGGCTCGACGCGGCCGGCGAGCTGACGGTGCGCGCGCGCGCGCCGGCGTGCGCCGTCCGGGCCTTCTTCCCCGATTGCCCGGCGCCCGCCGGGTTGGCCAACGAGGCGGGCGCGGCGGCGCGCGTCCGCGTCGACGCCGGCAAGCTCGCGGCGGCGCTGGGCCTCGAGAAGCTGGACCCGCTCGCGCTCAGCTGCGAGAAGGCGAGCGGCGCGCTGCGCGTCGTCGCGACGCTGCGGGACGCGCTCGGCCTCGTCGTCGTCTACGTGCCCGCGCTCGTCGACGACGACGCCGACGACGCCGCCGACGGCGCCGTCGGCGACGACGGGCCGGGGGAGGAGTAGCTCGGACGTGCCCAGAGGGCGCACTAAGATTTGTGTTGACGCGGTCCGAGGTGGCGCGGCCGCCGGGGTCGGTCGAGAAAGGACTCCTGGCCCACGCCTCCCAGTCCGACTCGTCGCCAGCCAGGATATGGAAGAGACGGCACTGGCACTTCAACATTTATAAGCGCGCGCCGGCGGCACACATGTAAATAAACAAGGCGGCCGGGTGGGCTAGGCGGCCTAGCTCTAAGCAAAGCAAATAAATAAATAAATAAATAAAGGAAGACCTCTGGGCCAAGTCCCAATAAAAACGCCCGAAGATGACGTATCATGATCCCATCGTCAAAAACCCCCGGAGAGCAAGGCTCAGCAAGCACCCGGGCCCGGAATAGCCTAGCAATGGGTTGAACATTGGGTTCCAGAGCTCTCGACGAGCCCTAGGCTGCTGCATCGACGGCGTATGCAGTGCAGGCGACTACCAACTACCAGACCTACCTCGAGAGGCCTCCAGGAGCCGATCTACATTCGAAAAAAGTAAATAATTTGGGCCCGATGGCACCCCGTCACCGTAAAAATGTCAATTACCCGAGGTCACATCCGCTAGTTAGAAGTGGTCCCCCGGCCGCGGCGCGAGGCCCGAGACGCCGTTCTCGGGCGAGTCGTCGTCCGCGAGCGCGTCGGGCTTGAGGACCACGACGAGCGCGGTCCGCAGCTCCCCCGCGGACGCGGCCGCGCGCCGCGCCGCGTCCAGGATGCACTCGCGGCGCGCGACGCGCGCCGCGGCGCGGTCGCCGTCGCCGGCGAAGGCCTCCGCGAGCCACGACGACGACACCGACCGCGAGGCCACGAAGAAGTCGCCGCCCACGGCGTCGTCGAAGGCGTCGCACGAGGCGAGCCGCAGGCCCGCGGCGGCGGCGGCCGCCGCGAGCTGGGACGCCGAGCACGCGGGCCGCGCCGGCGGCAGCGAGGGCACGCGCGCGACGTCGGCCGGCGCGGCGACGCCGGCCGCGCGGAGCGCGTCCCGGACGTGGTCCTCCCACGCGCGGCCCGGCTCGCCGTGCTCCAGGTCGAGGACGAGGCAGCCGCCCGGCTTGAGCAGCGCCGCCGCCGCCTCGAGCACGTCGTGCTCGTTGATCTGCGACAGCGCGCCGCGGCACGTGACGCAGTCCGCCGCGCCGCGCAGGCGCGCCGGCAGCCGCTCGGCGCAGCGCTCCACGGGCACCTGCCACACCGTCGCGACGCCGCGGCCCGGCCGCGCGCCGCGCGCGCGCGCGAGCGCCGCCATGGCGTGCGACGGCTCCACGAGCTCCGCGCGCACGGGCCGCCGGCAGTGCCGCGCGAGCGCCCAGGCCGTGTGGCCCGCGCCCGCCGCCAGGTCCACGGCCACGAGCGGCTGCCGCGGGTTCGCCGGCGCCGGCGCCCAGCGCAGCGCCGCCCGGGCCACGCGGTCGCACAGCTCCTGGAGGATCGGCTGCGACGCGACGAGGCGGTCGTAGGCCTGGGCCCGCCGGTCCCACCAGCGCACCCAGGGCACGTCGCCCTCGGCGCGCGCGCGCTCCGCCCGGGCGGCCGCCGCCCGCGACGCGGCGATGTTCTCGAAGCCGTCGGCGCCCGCGAACGCCGACGTCGCGTCGGACCCGCACTCGCTCGGGGCGACGGACCCGTCGACGGACAGCGCCGCGTCGATCGCGTCCGAGTCGTAGTCGGCCGGCCGCGCGTCGAGCGGCAGCGGCACGCGGCTCACCTTCCGCGCGACGACGGGCCGCTCGCGCCGCTTCTGCAGCAGCCGCGGCGGCTCGTCGCGGCGCAGCTTGCGCAGCGAGCCGCCGCCCGACGTCGACGCGCGCGCCGACGCGGCCGTCGGCGTCCCCGAGGCGCCGTCGTCGTCGCCGTCGCCCGGGTCCGGCGCGGCCCAGGCCGCCGGCGTCCGCCGGAAGACGGCGCGCCAGGCCAGGGGCGGCGGCGCCAGCGCCGCCGGCCCGTCGAAGCGGCACTCGCGGAGGCTCCGCAGCTCGAAGCACGGCGGCGGCAGGCACGAGCAGAGCTCCGCGCACGTCAGGCTGGCCGCGCCGTCGGCGTAGGGCCGGTACTCGTTCGCGTTGCCGCTCAGCGAGAAGACCTCGGCGCCCGGCCGGAGCAGGCCCGCCAGCAGGCGCGCGGCGCCGTCGGCGTCGCGCGCCCAGAGCCGCTCGAGGCCCCGCCGGTCGACCGCCGCGTCGAAGCGCCACGCGGCGGCGGCGCCCCGGCCGCGCGCGCGCTCGAACGCCGCCGCGCGCTCGAGGAGCTCGTCCGCGGCCACGGCCAGCGGGTCGGCCTCGACGAAGAGGCACCGGTCGGCGACCTCGGCCCGCGCCGCGCGCCGCCGCGCCTCGGCCAGCGCGGCGCCGTCGGCGTCGACGCCGACGACGAGGCGGCAGCCCGCCGCCGCGAGGCAGACGCAGTCGACGCCCGCGCCGCACCCGAGCTGCGCGGCGCGCCGGCCCCGCAGGCCGCCCGCGAACGCGACGACCTCCTGCTCCGCGCCCGGCGCCGCGGCCGGGCCCGGCGCCGGCTCGGCCTTGGTCTCCTCCGCGGCCATCTCTGCCGGCCGCCGGCGCTATTGGTGACGCGGCCGCTACACGCACAATAACGCGTCGCCCACTCGCCTGCCTTGTTAGTTTGTAACCATGTCACTAAAGATGCCTAGTGTCTTACGTGCCGCTAGGACGGATTCTACGGGGGGCATGGTGAAACAACACCCTATCGCCAATCCCAGTAGACACAGTGGCGAAGCGTTCGGGGTCCGTACTACCCTGGGGGTGGGTTCAATAAGCGACTCTCTCTCTCGGTAGTTCCAGGTCGCCTGCGGGAAGTCGCGGGACAAGTTGATTGAACGGGCGAACGTTGCACATTGTTCGGGGGGGTTTGCCGAGGCGGTTCTGCTTAGAAGGAGGTACGCTGTTATGAAAGAAGCGGCACGCGCCCGCCGCCGATGAATCGGCGACGCGCGGTGTCTCCCCCCCATGGGCCCAGGGGCTCCGCCCACTAGTCCTAGCACCGTAACATGAGAACAGTTCATGCCCGCGACCAACGGTGCTTACACAGTCTTCCTACTACGCCAGACTGATCCGGCCCTCGCGGCACGCCTTCTCGTAGGCCGCGCGGTACAGCTTCGACTTCGCGACGTGCTTCCGCAGCGCCGCCCGGTCGGGGAACATGCGCGCCGAGACGCGGCACACGAGCTTGCCGTCCGCGCGCGTCTTCACGAGCGGCGCGCCGCCGTAGAGGATCCGGTCGAGCTGGTCGCCGTCGAAGCCGACCGCGAGGAGGTGCGACGTCGCGACCGCGGGCGCGGCGGGCGCCGCGCGCGCGGCGGGCCGCGCGGCGGGCGCCGCGCCGAGGCTGATCGAGACCGGGCCCGCGACGAGGGGCGCCGGCGGCGGCGGCGGCGGCGGCGGCGCGGGCGGCGCGGGCGCGGGCGCGCGGGCCGCGGGCGCGGGCGCCGCGGCGGGCGGGAGCTCGAGGAACGGCGGGTCGCGGCCGGGCGCGTGGCGGAAGCGCTTCCCCGTCCGCGCGGCGGCGTAGACCTTCTGCTTCGGGTCGAAGTAGAAGCCCGACGCGGGCTCGTAGAACGAGCCCGAGGCCGCGTCGAAGCGCCAGCCGCCCGCGCCGCCGTGGAACGGCGGCGGCCACTTCGGCCCCCCCGCCGGCGCCGGCGCGCGCTCGGCGACGAGGCCGGCCTCGTCGGCCTCGCGCTCGCGCGGGAGGCCGCGCGTGAACGCGGCGCGGCAGCGCGCGCCGTCGACGTCGCAGGCGCCGCCGCGCGCCGCGATGGCCCGCAGGACGTGCTGCGCCGGCTCGACGCCCGCGAAGTGCACGAAGGCCACGCCGCGCGTCTGGCCGGCGCGGTCGCGCACGAGCTCGACGCGGCGCACGGGCGCGTACTGCCGCATGCTCGCCGCGACCTCGGCCTCGCCCGAGTACTGGCTCAGGCCGTAGAGCACGAGGGTCGGCGTCGGCTCGGCGCAGTCGTACATGCCCTCGCGCACCGTGCTCACGGACGCCGCCGTCAGGAGCGACGTGCCCTCGCGGTCGCCGACGACGCGCGGCCGCGCCGGCTTCGGGTCCTGGCACTGGTAGCAGCGGCTCCGCCGCGCGAAGTTCACGGCGTTGCACCGCTCGCACAGCCAGTCCGTCGCCGAGGACACCTGCGTCCGCCGCCGCCCGAACTCGAGCGTCAGCGCCGCGCCGAGGACCACCAGCCGCGCGCCGGGGCCGCCTGCGCGGGGGGGGGGGCGCCGCGTCGACGGCGGCGCCGGCTCGTGCCGGGGGACGCGGCGCCGCGCCGCGTGCGCTCCCGCCGAACGCGTCCATCGCCCGCTTCGCCGCCGCGGCGTCCGGGAAGTCGACGAAGCAGTAGGGCGCGCGGCTCGCGTCGCGCATCACGCGGACGTGGCGCGGCGCGAAGGCGCGGAGCGCGGCCTGCAGCGCGACGGGGGTGAGCGGCGCGCGCGGGCTCTGGCGGGTACGCATGGACGGACTTCGACGGCGGCCTCCGTCGTCTCGGGCGTGAGGCCCCGCGCCACCAGCGTCGCCGACTCGGGGGCGCCGCGCTCCGGGCTCCGCGGCCGCCGCCGCCGCCGCGGCGACCACGACCGGCTGCGGCTCCTGCGCCGCGGCGAGTACGAGCGCGGCGACCACGACCGGCTGCGGCTCCGGCGCCGCGGCGAGTACGAGCGCGAGCGCCCGCGGTCGCGCGAGCCGCGCGGCATCAGGGCTGGAGAGCGAGTGGAGCCTAGCCACGGCTCCCCCTGGCTTTTTGCTATTGCTTACAGGCGCTAGGCGGCACGGTTGTTGCCGCTCTTGCGAGGTCAATACCTCAGGGCCAAGCCCGAGAGTGAAGCTTACGGGACCCCAAAGCTCGTCTTTCGGCCGTGGGGCTTCGCCGCCCCGCTTGTCGTTCCGCCCGCCCGCGGCGAAGCCCGGGTGTTGCCCGCCGTCAGACTCTAAGTTCTGATTTGCGGGATCGGCGATGAGTCAGTTCGGCAATGAGCCAGTTTGAGGAGATCCCGTCCCCGGGGCGCGGCTTCCAGGGCTCCCGCGCTTAGGTGGGCTAGCGGCCTGTAAGACACTAGGGATGCCTAGCAAGCAGCAGCGGAGGCACAGCTTGCGGCACGCAGCCGTGCCTCGAAGCGGAACGCGATGCGCGACGTCCGCGCCTGCGCCGCGACGGGCGCCCTGCAGGCGGACACGGCGACGCCGCTCCTGCGCTGCGCCCGCTGCCGGAGCACGCATTACGTCGACGCCGCGCGGCAGCGGGCGCACTGGCCGGCGCACCGGCGCACGTGCCTGCCGCTGGGCGACGGCGAGAAGGAGCGCGTGGCGAACCTGAAGGCGCCGCGGGCGTTCGCGGAGCTGGCGGGGGACCTGCGCGCGGGCGGCTCGGCGCGCACCGTGGCGCTGCTGCGGCGGTGCCGCGTCGTGCTGGACCAGGGCGCACCGCCGGGCGACTTCGAGGCGACGTGCCACGGCGCCGCGCGCGCGTTCGCGCGCGCGTCGGACGCGACCGTCGCGGCGCTCCTGGCGGCGCCGGGCCTCGCGGCCTACCTGCTCTGCGGCGACGACTGCCTGACGCCGGCGGCGCGCGCGACGCGCGCCGCCGGGTTCCCGCGGGGCCTGCCCCAGGCGGACGCGTTCGGCGCGCGCGGCGACGCCTACGCCGCGTGCGCGCGGCGCGAGCGGCGCGAGTGGGAGGCCGGCGGCCGCGCGGGGACCGCCGCCTTCGCGACGGTCTACGTCGCCCTGGCCGGCGCCGGCGGCGCGCGGCGCGCGGCGCCGCCCGGGCCGCCCGCGGACGACGCGCGCGGCGCGGCGCGGGCGGGCGCGCTCGCCGCGGCGTGCCGGGCGCGCGTGCTGGGCCTCTGGGGCGACGTCGCGGCGCGCGAGTGCGGCGGCGACGCCTTCGCGGCGGCGCCGGGCCTCGCGCTGCTGCTGCTGCGGACGGAGCGCGCGGCGGGCTCCGAGCCGTGGCGCGGGCACCTGGACGAGGCGCGGCGCGTGCCCAAGGGCCCGGTCGTCTGCGCGGCGCTGGCGGACCTCGCGGACGCGGCGGCGCCGCGGGCCTGCCGCGAGGTGCTCGAGGCCGCGGTCCGGCGGGCCGACGCGTGCCGGCGGGCGGCGCCGGCGCAGCCGCCGGGCCCGACGCGCGTCGACTCGCGGACGGACGTCGCGCGGGGCCACGGCGGCTTCCGGGACTACTGGGCCGCCGTGCCCTTCGCCGACCGCGCGGCCGTCTGCGCGGCGGCCGCGCACGCGCTGCTGGACGGCTGCGACGACGCCGGCGTCCTGGGGCGGCTCGTCGACGACGCGGCGCAGCGCCCGCGCGCGGCGTCGGCGGCGCGCGACGCCGCGGTCCGCCACCGCGTGCTGAGCGCCGCCGCCGGCGCGCACCGGGCGGGGCTGGTCGGCCGGCCCGGCGACGACGACGAGGCGCGGGCCGTCCTCGCGGGCGTGCTGCGCGCCGCGCACCGCCGCGCCTACCCGGCGCTCGCGGCGCTCTGGGGCGCGCGGCTGCTGCGCTTCGCGCCGGAGCGCGCCGTCGAGCGCTGCTGCGCCTTCGCGGCCGTCTTCGCGGACGCGGACGCGGACGTCGCGGCGCGCGCCGCGGCGTGGGAGGCGACGCCCTGGCCGCGCGACCGCGACGACGCCGCGGCCCGCGAGAAGCTCGCGTGCGCCGAGCTCGCGGCCGGCCGGCCGCTGGACGACTGCGCCGCGCGCGACAGCGACGACTCCGAGTCGGAGCTGACGACGTTCACGCTGAACGACGCGGCGTCGCTCGCGTCCTACGGCGTCTTCGCCCCGGAGTAACCGTTGTGTGTGTGCGTGGTCGTCCGCAGTTCATCTGCCGCCGCGATCGTGCGAATGATTCAAGACCCAAGGAGTACGCGCCTTTGGGAGTACGGCGGGCGAGCTAGTCTGCCGGGGAGAATTGCGCGTTGCGTACAACGTGTGCCACTGTGTGGCGTGTCTAGCGCATAAGGAAGGGTATTTCGCCCTATTCATCGCAGATCGGCGGCATGGGGTGTGCGTTCGTGCGGGAAGCGCTGGTCCGGCGAGAGTCCGGCGCCGGACGACTCGGGACCGGCCTCCTGTCGACGTCTTTCGGGTGTACCCTCTTTCCCGGGCCCCGTCGCCAATCCCTATAGTACGCCGCGGTGACACACTCGGGGTCCGGGTTGGTTGGAGGGGCTAGCACAATAAGCGACTCTCTCTCTCTTCTCGGAGCGGAGGAGTCGTGGTCTCAGGCTCTACTCGACGGACCGGCCTCGCGCGCCGTCCATACTCGTAGTTTAATTTATTTTTACGCCCCGCGCGCCGCCTACTCCTCGTTGCCACCCCGCGCGACCTGGCCCGCGATGCGGTCCAGGTCCTGCTGGCCGACCCGCGTGATCCGCCGGCCGCCCGACGCCGTCTTCTCGACGACCTTCGTCTCCTCGAGCTGCTGCAGCACGCTGCGGATGAGGCCGCCGGCGGCGCGCTGGAACGTCTTGGCGCGCGCGCCGCGCCGGTACTGGCCGCCGTACCACTTCCGCAGCGCGCCGACGCCGACGCCGGGCTTGAGGTAGACCTTGCGCGCGATCGACGCCGCGCGGACGAAGTACCAGTCGTCGTCCGTCGGGCCCAGCTCCTTGTGGACGCCCGTCTTGACGAGGTCCGTCCACTTGGGGATCTCGAAGCGGTCCGAGTTTTTGAGGTGCAGCGCGTAGGCCTCGATGAAGACCGCCGGCGCGACGTCGCGCACGGTGATGCCCCGGGCCTCGTACTCGACCATGGTGGGAGCGGCGCTGGTGGCCCTGGCGCAGCGCGCGTCGCTGGTGGTTGGCTCTATTTTGGGCCCGTCGCCGATGCTAGGCACGCCGTCGCCGCGCCCCGGGTAGACAGAAGAAAGAGCACGCTTCTTATATTTGCAAGTCACCCGTAGATGTCGTCGTCGTCGTCGCCGGCGCCGCCCTCCCCGTCGAGGTGCGCCCAGGGGTTCTCCGCGGGCGGCGCAGCGTCGTCCGACTGCAGGCCGTCGAAGTCGATGAGCGGTTTGTCGTCTCTCAACCACGGGCTCGGGAAGAGTGACCTGCGTGGAAATCACCCAGTGAGCAGGCCGTCGTAATTATTGTGACAGTCGTAGCCGTGCCCGTTGGTGCCGCTTGCCGGGCGTGGTAGAGGGCACGCTCGCGTTCTTCCGCGACTACCGCACCGCGGGCGGCACGTGGAAGCGCTACGTCGCCGAGCCGCGGAAGGAGCTGCTCGTTCTGCGCAAGTTGGCGGAGAAGGGTCGCGCGCGACCGCCGCGGGCTCGACTAGCCATGGCCCCCACGGGCCTCTTCGCTCGAGACGGCCTGCCGGACGTCCTCTTCTGGAAGGTCCTCGTGTACTGGCGCTCGGAGCGGGACGTCTAATGTATCGTTCCTGGGTCGAGGAGTCGACGAGGACGGCGCGACTTCGCAGGAGCACGCGGCCGCCCTGCTCAAGAACCGCATTTACCGTCGCTGGGGCATCAAGACGGCGCGCGAGTACGCCCGGATCAAGATCGACGGCCTCCGGCTCGTCGGCGGCAACCCGGACTTCACCAACGCGCCCGGGCACGGCGACGACGACGCACGCTTCTACGACCGGCAGCAAGCTTACGTACACGCTCGCGGGGGATAGCTCCCCCGTCACCCCTCTAGGCGCGCGCCCCCGCAACCCGAATAAGACTATAGCATTTGCCCCCTGCTGGGCTGGGAGCCCAGGGAGAGAGAGGCCTGGAGACGTGTCGTCCGAACGCAACGCGGCACCGCTTCCCAGTCGTGCGCTCCGGCCGCGGACGATGCGCGCGCTGCGAGCGCTGCGGCCGACGGCGCGGCAGCGGCGCGCCAGCAGCTCCTTCCCGCGGCTCGAGGTCGCGCCGCGCGCCGACGACGGGTCGCGCGCCGCGCGGCGGCTGCGCGCTGCGGGCCTGATCCCGGGCGTCGTCTACGGCGGCGAGGCCGCGCGGCCGCGGCGGCTCGTCGCGGTCTGCGAAAAGGCGCTGGGCCGCGAGCTGCGGGCGCGGCGCGCGGCCGTCGAGAACACGGTCTACGAACTGAACATCCAAGGCGAGGCCGGGACCGAGCTCGTCGTGCCGCGCCAGGTCCAGCTCCGCGCGGCGACGAGCGACGTCTTGAGCGCCAACTTCCTGCGCTTCTCGCCGGACCTCGTGCTGCGCGTGCCGCTGCGCTTCGTCGACGCCGGCCTGAATCAGACGCTGCGGCGCGGCGCGTACCTGCACCGCGTCCGGCACGCGCTCGGCGTGCGGTGCGCCGACGCCGCGTCCGTCCCGGAGGCGCTGGAGGTGTCCTGCGCGGCCGGCGGCAAGGGCCACGTATACCATGGGACCGACGTCGCGCTGCCGCCGGGCGTGCGCCTCGCGACGCCCGCGCACGCCGCGCACGCGCTCGCCGTCGTGAAGACGAAGTAATCTGGGGGGTGTGTTATCGGGGGCCCCCCTCACGCGTCGCGCGGCGGCGAGGCGCCGGAGCCCTTCCCCTTGCGCCGGCGCGGCGCGGCGACGGGCTCCCAGTCCGTGTGCTGCGGCGGCTCGAGGTCCACGTCGACAATGTCCGCGAGGTCGACGCCGTCCACGAGCGTCCGGCCGTCGGGCTGCTCGCCGGTCGCCTTGGACTCCTCGGCGGCCTCGCGCCGCGCCGGCGGCATCGGCGACGTCGCCTGGTCCGCCGTCGGCGCGGGCGGCGCGGCGGGCGCGCCCGCGCTCGCGCGCGCGTCGTCCGGCGGCGGCTTCGCAGAAGCGCCCTTCTTCCGCTTCGCCGAGCTCGGCCGCGCGGCGCCGGCCCGCCGCTTCGCCTTGGCGGGGGGCCGCCGCCGCTGCGCGCGGTACGTGACGGCGGCGGCCGCGCAGAAAACGACGACAATCCCCCCAAACACCTTTTCGAGCGGCTCGGAGAACGTGAGGCCCATGGCGCGGTTCAGCACCCAGCGCAGGACGCTCCTCTTGTTAAGCAGCACCAAGCACCCTGGCGGGCTGCGGACGCCGCGGAGGTTTTGGTAGGGCCGCGGCGCACGAACAGGCTCCGGCACGCTCGGTAAAATGCTCGTGGCGTGCGCGCGGCGCGGCACGTCTCGCTCTGCTGGGGGTGCTAGCATAAAAGGTAAATTAAGGCCAAGCTAAGGAGCCGGTACCCTAGCGCGCGCTTATGCCGCCACGGCGTCGTTCTCTTGATACCAGAGGACGGTTCGGTCGATATCCTCCCCTGACAAAAATCCCCAGGGCAAACAAGAGTGATGTGGCGGAGACGCGCGCGCGCGAACCGCGGGGACCAGTTGACTGACCAACATCAGACACATCTGTCCGAACCATTGATCAGCAAAGTTACTGCATCATTTTTTACAATATTTTTGAGAGATTCAATGGTGCGTGCCCTCGAATATTCAGGGGACGCCGAAGTTTACCTGCGCGTCCTACCGTAAGCGTGGCGTCGTGCGTGCGCGGCGGCGGCCGACCCCATGTAGTAGACATTCAGGCCGGTTGGCTGGCCCGTCCCGGAACCGAAGCGCCTGAAACGCAATTTTATTTCATAACTCACGGGTCTGGGGCCTTTCCAGTGCCCCGCGTACGCACCGTTGCCCGCGGAGAACGGGCAAGTCGGTCGATCGTGAATAGAATAACGGCGTTATGGTCCATCTGGATGGTGGCGTCGCTGATAGTCGCGGGTCTGGAGTAGTTGCCTGTTTTTAGGTAAACGTAGGGCCGCCGAATCGCAGTTTCGTGCGGCTCCAACGGAACATCTAACATAGCTCAGTCTCGGCGAGGCGGTTAAGATGGACTCTACCACTAACAAACGGAAGGAAACGAACATAAACTCGAGAGTTGTCTAGTAGAACTCTTCTCCCGCCCTCCGAGCGCGGGCCGTCGGCTCCGGTTCCGTCGATTGTGTATGAAAACTGGGCTGGAGTTGATATGATGTACCATTTGGACGGTAGAAGGCACCGTCAATCGCTGGTGTATTTTGGCGAGCCGCAAGACATAGCGATCTAGCGTATCGACACACTAGAAACCCGTTTTAGCGTTTTTGGGAGATTGGAGATTGGGACGTCATTTTAGGGGTACATTGGAGATTGGAGAGCTCTGGAAGGGTATGAGATTGGAGCAATTAATCCCAATGCCGGTCCTGGGCTCTCTGGACACAGGGCCAAAATAAGTAGTGTGAGTATCGATCGAGGCTGCCCAAGGTTGCGAGGTTGCTGGCAATTGGACCAAGCATCGATGCCGCGAATACACTGAAAACAACTCAGCCCAGCCGCATCATGCTGGGGGCGGCCCTTGTGTGCCTGGCTTCCGCGCTGGCTTCTGGAGCGACCGACGACCCGGCCGTGAGCAAGTTCTCGGTGCGCAACCTGAGCGGCGGCTTCATCGGGCTGTGGTGGATCGACCACCGCGGGCGGCAGCTCGTCGCGCAGTCGGCCGTCGCCGTGCGGCACACGTCGTCGGTGGAGATCAACTCGTTCCGGGGCCACCGCTTCGTGATCCGGCGGCTGCGGCGGAAGGCGCGGCTCGCCGACGTGCCCTACGAGCCCCGGGCGACGGACGCGGTCCTGGAGGTGGGCCCGACGAACGACCTCGTGGTCGTCGACGGCGACCTGCGGCTGACGGTCCACAACGCGCGCTACCGCGCGCGCGAGGCCGTCGCCGGGGCGCTGCGCGCGCGCGACCCGGTCGAGGCCCTCCGCGGCGCCGTCGCCGGCTGGCGCGCCGCGTGGACGGCGGAGCGGGCGCTGCGGGAGCGCGCGATCGAGGACGTGCGGCGCCTCGGCGGCGACCGCCCGGAGGAGCCGGCGCCGCCGCCGGGCGGCTGGCCCTTCGAGGAGCGCCCCCTGGACCTGGCGCCGTGCGGCGAGCTCGTCGCGGAGCCCGGCGCGCCGCGCGGCGCGACGGCGGCGGCGCTCGAGGCGCTGCTGGCGGGGTGGGGCGCGGCCCGCGACGACACCTGCGCGTCGCGCGAGGCCCTGGCGGCGCGGGCGTCCCGCGAGGCCCTGCGCGGGGACGGCCACGCGAGCTGCGGGCGCTGGGCGGCCGTCGGCGAGTGCGCCGCGAACCCCGACTACATGCTCGCGAGCTGCGGGCGGAGCTGCGAGCTCTGGGCGGACCACGCCCCAGAGGCGACGGCCGCCGTCGCGCGGCGGGCCCAGCGCCGCGACGCGTGGGCCGCGTGCGCCGTCGACCGCGTCGAGGCGGCGGGCGCGCGCTACGTCGCGGCGACGTCGGCCGAGCTCAACGGGCTCGCGCGGTTCCACGACGCGCTCCGCAATCGCACGTGCGCGGCGTACGAGGCCGACGGGACGAACCCGCTCGCGCCGGCTGTGGGGGCGGCGACCACGACTCTCGACCTCGACCGCCCGCTGCGCGTCGCGACGCTCGCGGCGCCCTCCGCGGCCGCGGCGATCTACCACGTCGAGGGCTTCGCGGCGGCGGCCGAGTGCCGCGACGCCGTCGCCGACGCGGCGCCGCGCATGGCGCCGGCGACCGTGAACGAGGAGGCGAACAAGGCCGCGAAGTCCACGTCGCGGCGCGCGCACGCGGCGAACCTCGTGCCCGACCTGGGGAGGCACGACTCGGCGCCCACCAAGCTCTGGCGGCGCGCGTTCGCGCTGGCGAACGCCCTCACGGACTACGACCTGGACGGCGAGGCCGGCCAGGAGCCGTTCTCCGTGATCCACTACAACGGGTCCGTCGCGGGCGCGGGGCCGCCGGACGAGTACCTGCCGCACTGCGACGGCCAGTGCGAGGGCAGCCCGCACCAGGCCGGCGGCCGCGTCGCGACGCTGCTCCTCTACTGCCGCGCGCCCGCGAGGGGCGGCGCGACGACGTTCGCCAACGCGCGCGTCGCCGTCGCGCCCCGGGCCGGGGACGCGGTCTTCTTCAGCTACCTCGACGCGGCGAGCGGCCGCATGGACGTGGGCCACACGCTGCACTCGGGCTGCCCCGTCGTCGAGGGGGACAAGTGGGTGCTCACGCTCTGGTTCCGCAAGGGCGTCTCGGCGGCGGAGCCCTGGGAGCGCTTCGACCCGACGGGCGCGCGCCACGACGCCACGGAGGTCGTCGCCTGGGACGAGGGGCTGGTGTATTCGTAAAGTCGCAAAGGTCGCGTCCCGGACTCCACTGGCAGGCCCAGTACGCGTCTCATTACAACCCTCTGACGTTATACTGCTACGGTATTGTTACGGTGCTAGGACTAGTGGGCGGAGCCCCTGCCCAGGGCGGGGGGGGGGGGAGACACCGCGCGTCGCCGATTCATCGGCGGCGGGCGCGTGCCGCGTCTTTCATAACAGCGTACCTCCTTCTAAGCAGACCGCCTCGCCCCCCCCCCCCGAAGATATTCGAAAGTGGCCCATCCCAGATTCCCAGGAGCAGGGCGGGGAGGACTACCCCCGGCAGCATGCCACTACCTACCACACCTCTGCAGGGGTCCCTGGAAAAAAAATGGGGTTAGAAAAATCCCACTAGCTCCGTTTTACCCCCCCCTTTTTGGCCCGCGGCAGGCCCGCGACCAGCGTAACGTCGACTCGATGAGTACCGCGGTCAGAGGCGCGGCGAGAGGACTACTCTACGGACAGGAACAGATGGCAGTCACGCAAGTCGACCTGCGGCTTGCCTCTGCTGTGGCTCGACCCCCCACTACGCCCCCTACTAGGGGGGACTACCCCACTATCACTACCCCCAACCACCATCTCCTGGGGAGCTTCTACAAAACTCGGGATGCTGCTACCCTGTTTTTTTTGCCCCTGTCTTGGCCCATAGGCCTAGTGTCTTACGGGCAGCGCTAGCCACGTACAATATCGGCAGCTACAGACACCAAATATGGACGCGGCCAGCGCCCTCCCCGCCGTCGCGGCGTCGCTCGCCGGCGCGACCGGGGCCTACATGCTCTACAGCAAGCGCCGGGGCCTCGACCGCGACGCGAGCGGCGGCACGGGCGCGTCCTTCGACGGCCAGCTCGCCGCCGGCGTGAACATGCTCGCGAACAAGGACTCCGTCCTGCGGCGCGACCAGGTCGCGGGCTCGATGGGCGCGTACGCGGACTTATTTGAAGGCAAGACGGGCAAGCACTCGGGCAACGGATTAGAAGGAGACGGCGCCGTGACCACGCAAGCGTCCATCGACAAGCGGAGGGAGGGCTACCGCACCATGGTCAACAACTTTTATGATCTTGTGACGGACTTCTACGAGTACGGCTGGTGCCAGTCCTTCCACTTCGCGCCGCGCTACAAGGGCGAGACCTTCCTCGAGTCCATCAAGCGCGCCGAGTACTACCTCTGTTCGCGCCTCAACATGAAGCCCGGCGTGAAGGCATTGGACGTGGGCTGCGGCGTCGGCGGGCCGATGCGAAACATGGCCGTCTTCTCGGGCGCGACCATTGAGGGCATCACCATCAACGAGTACCAGGTCAAGGTCGGCAACAAGTACTGCGAGCAGCAGGGTTTGAAGGCGACGGCGCATCTCACCAGAGGCGACTTCCAGAACCTGCCCGGGTTTCAGGCGGACGAAAAACACAAGCTCTGGGAGGGCATCGACTACCGGGGCCAGGACTGGACGGCGAGGTTCGACGTGGCTTATGAAATTGAGGCCACGTGCCACTCGCCGGACAAGGTCCGGTGCTTCTCCGAGGTCGCGCGCTGCTTGAAAAAGGGCGGCCTCTTCGCGGGCTACGAGTGGGTCGTCCTCCCGGAGCGGGGCTACGACGCCAAGAACGCGCGCCACGTCGCGATCAAGGAGGGCATCGAGATCGGCAACGGCCTCCCGACGCTCGCGACGCCGGCGGACGTCGTCGCGGCGCTCGAGGCGGCGGGCTTCGAGGTGCTCGAGCACGGCGACGCCAACGCCAACGCCCACGCGCCGACGGAGATCCCCTGGTACGACACGCTCGACGGCAAGATGTCGCTGAGCGGCTTCCGCATGACGCGCCTCGGCCGCGCGTGCACGCACGCCATGGTCAGCTCGCTGGAGTTCCTGCGCGTCGCGCCCAAGGGCACGTCGCACGTGAGCGCCATGCTCAACGCCACGGCCATCGACCTCGTCGAGGGCGGCAAGGACGAGATCTTCACGCCGTCCTACTTCTTCCTCGCGCGGAAGAAGTGAGCCCGTGGCCTCCTTCCCCCCTTGTCCCTCCCCTGTCCCCCCGCCCGAACGCTGAACCCCCCCAACTCTAACTGGAATAACCCCAGGCTTGGCGCGGCCCGTCGCCGGGATATGCGGAAATACGTTACGGACCCCGCGCCGCGGTCCGTCCGCGCCTCACCGCCCGCGGCCGCGGCCGCGGCCGCGGCCGCGCCCCCGGCCCCGCCCGACGCTCCGCGCGGCGTCGCCGCCGCCCTTCTTCTTCGGGCCGTCGTCGACGAGGAGCGCGTCGAGGTTCAGCGAGTCCGGCAGGATGTAGTAGCGGATCGTCGACCCGCGGACGCTCAGCGCGTCGTACTTCACCTGGTTCTTGCCCTTGGGCGTCAGCGCGACGTTCCGCAGGAACGTGTTCATCGAGACGTCGACGCCGTGCACCGTGCCCTGCACGACGGTGCCGTTCTTCAGCTCGATCGTGACGCTCTCGTTGTTCAGCTTCATGAGGAAGCGCACGAGCTTCATGGTTCGCTCCTGCGCCGCCCGCGCGCGCGGGGCGGCGACGCTGCAGCCGAAGCAGGCCTCTCGCCGGCGGGGCGCGCGCAGCTGGCTGGCGTCAAGCCTCGACGGGCCGCTTTCGCTGCGCGTCCCACTAGCGTAACCGGAGCAGCTCTAATGGCCCGCAAGTATGCAAAAGCGAGGCTTGCAAAACCCGTGCAAAATATGAGGAGTACTCATGCGCCGGAGCCCCGGCCCACAGAGCTCTCTCCGGACGAATCGAACCCGCACTCACAAGCGTCTTGGTCACAGCTTTGTAATAGGCCAGCCTCCCGGGCAGGGCTCACTACAACGTGCCCGCGGGGTTAATAGCACACCTGAAGAAGCTGTCCAAGCGCGAACCATGGCCGCCACTCGACGCTCCACATCTCAAGTCGCGGTGTGCGGTGATCACTCATGCGGCTGCTGCTAGCGCTCCTCAGCGTCCGCGCCACGCAGCCGTGGGCCGTGCGGCGCCGCGCGACGCCGGTGACGCCGCGGCGCGCGACGAGAGATGCCGCGCCGGCGGCCCCGCGGGAGGCGGTCGGCGCGCGCGCCCCGCCGGCACCGGCGAAGCCGCCGAAGATCGGCGAGTGCAACGAGCACCTGCGGCGCCGCGCGAAGGCGCGCGACGCCGCCGGCCTGCGCCGCGAGTGGCGTGCCCTGAGGCGGCACCACGAGCCCAACGACCGGAGCTGGGGCATCCTCCTCGACGGCCTCGCGCGCGTCGGCGACGCCGACGCGTGCCTGGCGACGCTCCGCGCCGTGCCCGGGGGCGGCAACGTCGTGCACCACACCATCGTCGTCGACGCGCTCGCGCGCGCGGGCCGCGGCGACGACGCGCTCTCGCTCTACGCGGCGGCGGCGTTCAAGGAGAACGCGCGGTCGCGGCACGCGCGGCTGCGGGCCCTGACCCAGGCGGCGCGCGACGCGACGCTCGCGGGCGACGTCGAGCGGGCCCGCGGGCATAGTCGGACGGCCGAGGCCGTCGCCGCCGAGTGCGGCGACGCGCGCGGCTTCCAGACGGCCGTGGCCTGCTGCCGCGAGGCCCGGGACTGGGAGGCCCTCCTCCGCGTCTACGACGCGCACGCGGCGTCTGCTCACTTAGATGCGCCGGACGGCCTCGCGCGCACGGCGGCGCTCCAGGCTTGTAGATTAGCGAGGCACGGCGCGCGGCGCGCGCACGAGCTCTGGCACGCCTGGCGGCGGGACGCGGACGGTGGTATTACAAGGGACCGGCCCGACGCCTTCGCGTACAGCGCGTACGCCGCGGCGTTCGCGCCGCGGGGGGGCCTGGACCTGGACGACGCCCGCCGCCTCCTGCGCGACGCGGAGCGCCACGGCGTGCTGCGGCCGCGCAGTTTTAATGGAACGGGCCGCGTCGACCGGCGCGCGGAGCAGAACCAGATGAATTTGTTGGCGTCGCTGCTGGAGGGCTGCGCGGCGCGCGGCGGCGTCGGCGACGCGCTGGTGCTCGTCGACGACATGGAGGCCCGGGGCCTGGCCCACGACGCGGGCTACGCGGCGGCGATCGCCGCGTGCGCGCGCGAGCTCGACGCGGACACGTCCGGCGGCCTCGTGCAGCGGGCCGGGGAGCGGGAGGTCGCCCTCGGGCCCCGGGCCTGGGCCCTGGCCGTCAAGGCCTGCGGCGCGGACGCGGCGCGGGCGGAGCGGCGGCTCCGGGCCTGCCGCGCGGCGCGCGCGGCGTCGCCGCACGCGTACGCGTTCTGCCTGTTCGCCTGCGGGTCGGCGCGGGACCACCGGCGCGCGCGGCGCGTCCGGCGGACGGCGGCGGACGACGGCCTCGGGGCCCAGCCGCGCGTGGCGCTCGCGTTCGTCGCGGCGCTGTCGCGCTGCGGCCAGCCGGACGCCGCGCACCACCTGCTGGCGTGCGCGCGGCGCCACGCGGAGCTGGACATCCCGGCGGGCGTCTGGACGAACTCCATGGTCGCGGCGGCGCGGTGCCAGCGGGGCGGCGACGCCGCGGCGCTCTACGCCGAGGCGCGGCGCCGCGACGTCGACGTCGGTGGCCGCGTGGTGGACGCGCTCGTCGAGCTGCTCGCGGACGCGGGGGACTGGCGCCGGGCCTGGGGCGTCGCGCGCGACCGCCGGAGCCGGGGCGAGCGGCCGCCGGCGCAGACCGCCATGGCGCGCGTCGTGCGCGCGGCGGAGGCCGCCGGCTGCTGGCGCGAGGCGCTCGCGCTCATGGACGACATGCGGCGGGACGACGCGGTCTTCTACCCGAACCCGCTCCTCGACGCGGCGTTCAAGCCGGGCATCATGGTCTGGTCGGCCCTCGCGGGCGCGGACCTCGGGCCCGACGACGACGACGACCTGCGCATGCCGCCCGAGAAGGGCGACTGGGGGTACAAGGGACCGATCTAATATGACCTCAGGACGCGTCCTTTAGGCCCCGGTGGAACTCGGCGTACGCCGCGTCGAGGTCGAACGCGAGCTGGCGCGCCTGCGCGTCGTCGATCTCCTCGGCCGCGCGCATGCCGTTCAGCGCGACGAGCCACCGTTCCAACGACGCCCGCCCGCCGGGGCAGGGCGCGGCGACGCGGCTGAGCGCCGCCGCGAGGTCCGCGACGAGGGGCTGCACCTCGTCGACCGCGCGCTGGTCGAGGCGCAGCGCGTCCATGGCCGTGATGAAGTGCTGGACGCACTCGGCGACGCGCGCCGCGTCGACCGCGTCGCCCTTCTGCAGGTGCGTCGCCGGCGCGCCCACGCGCAGCAGCCGGTCGCGCGCGCGCGGGCAGTCGACGCGCCACTGCGCGAAGAACGCCTCGGTGCTCGCGATCGTGCCGTCGCCCGTCAGCGCGGCCTCGCTCGCGCGGAACTGGGCCATGAGCTGGCTGCACGCCGTCTCGTAGTCGGCCGCGGACACGGCGCCCCGCGCGTACGCCTTCTCCACGGCCTCGCTGGCCTTGAGCAGGGCATAAAAGTCCGCCAGGTCCGTCTGGCGCCGCCGCTCCCGCGTGCTCGTGTAGAGGGGGGCGTCGGCCATCAGGTAGGATCTCAGCACGCGACGACAACTTTTTTTTTTAAGTAAAAACCAACACTTAATACCCGTCCTCCTCCGCCTCGGCCGCTTCGTCGGACTCCTCCGCGTTCCAGTCGCGCATACCTCCTGGGAAAAAGGCCGGTCCCGCATCATTTGCAACGTCCGCACCTTCTCGACGAAAAGTAGGCCTCGTCTCTCGGCAGCCGCCACCAACGCGCGGGCGAGCTCCCTGCAGGCCGCCTCGCCGTTGACTTGAGCTCTGTAAGCCATCCGCGTACTCGTGACGACGCGGTTGCCGACTACGGATTCGGCGATCGGGCTCCTCGCAATTCAACGGGTCGACGGGCCTTCATTGGCGATGTTGACTCACCCCAGCAATTCAAGCTCCTTCCTTGACGTGACCCGCCCGGGCCCGTTGTCATGTCGTGCGGGACGCCCGGCGGGTGTGTTTTTCGCGACTCCCCGTCGGGTTCTCGTGCGCGCGGCGACGAGGATCACTAGGCTACGGGGGCTGTCTTGGCGGCGGCACTCGGGCACGACTCCACGGAGCGGCGGCGCTGCGGGATCCCGAATACCTTGACTAGCTCTGGGTCGGGTCTCAAGCAAAGCGCCTTCGCGTCCGCGTTCAGCAGACCCAAGGTTGTGCGGCGGCGGTTCCCTTTTTTTTCCCGCACATCGCTGCACGACCTCTGCGACGAGTCCCCTGGGGCGGGGAGGGGTCCCGCAAGACCGCGCGCAAAAACCCGTCGGTTAAGCTGAGGCTAGGCTAGGCTAGGCCTCCCAGGCCTTGTCCATAAGCACTGTCCATAAGCACTGTCTTCAAGACAAGAGGTCGTCGTGCTCCGAACGCGAGCCTCGATACTTTTCCGCCGCGCAACACCGGCCCCAGACGCCATACGCAGCGCTCGGTGCAGCGCTGCCACGCGCACGGTAGGACCGGAGCTAGCCATGCGCCGCGCCGCTCTCCTCCTCTCCTGCGTCGTCGTGGGCGCCCTCGTGCCCGCGCCGCGGCAAGCCCTTCAAAAAACCATACGGCCCTCGACGACGATCGACGCGCCGACGCGCAAGCCAAAGCTGGCCGGCGGCGACCCCAAGAACAAGGAGAACACGGGCGGCGGCAAGGGCAAGCACGAGCTGCTGCTCTTTGACGACCCCGTGAACACGCGCGAGTACGTGAGCCGCGTGCTCTGCACCAAGGTCGCGCTGAGCGAGGGCGAGGCCTACGACTGCATGATGACGGCGCACCAGGCCGGCATGGCCGTCGTCGGCGTCTACCAGTTCGAGGTCGCCGAGAACTACTGCACGCAGATGAAGGAGTCGGGGCTGGTGGCGGCCGTGAAGCCCGTGGGCGACGGGAACGAGTAAAAGGGTTACTCTAGCGCGACACCGCGGGCACGAGGCACTCGTCGGGCGCGGCGAGGCACGCCTCGTCGTCCGCCGCGCAGGGCGGCGTCGCGACGGACCCGCCGCCCAGGGTATCGAACTGGACGAGGCCGGCCAGCGACGCCCAGTGGCTCTGCTCGTCGTCGCGGACGCGGACGAACGCGTCGTAGAGCGTCTTGGGCGGGTCGCCGTCGACGCTCTCGTAGTACTCCCGGATGACCGGCGGCGGCTCTTGCATCTTCAGAGCTGAACCCTCCCGCCGCAGATAGTCGTCGTACGTCTCGTACGCGTGCGCCTCGATGAGCTCCGAGAGGTGGTACGCTAGCCTCCGGTTCGTCGCGTAGAGCGCGCAGCAATACCCGAAATAGCCCACGGCCAGCGTCTGCGCCAGGCACCGGTCGACGACGCTCGCGTTCCCGCCGAGCGCCTCCATCATGAGCAGGTGGTGCAGCTCGTTGTCGGCCTCGGCGAAGTGCACGCGGATGCGCGCGACGTGGTCGTCGTCCCGATGTCCGAACGTCTCCCGGAGGTGGAGCACGGACACGTACGCGAAGTACGGCACCCGCGCGAGCGTCTCGAGCACGTAGAAGCGCGGCACGTCGCGCCCCTCCAGGAACACGTCCAAGAAGCCCTTGACCGCGGCGACCAGGCCGCGGTTGAAGTCGTAGAAACGCTCGTCGAGCCCCGCGCCCACCTCGCAGTCCGCCGCGTAGACGCGTTCGTACTCGGCCGGGCTCGCGTCGGGGACCGCGGCGGGGCACGCGGGTTTCGGGACGTGGTGCGGGCGTTGGAAGGCCCGCGCCGAGGTGATGAGGACGAGGACGGCCCTCATCCTCTACGGATCCAGAAGATCAGCCGCAATCCTTCCACACGCGACGCGCGGCGGCAGAGCAGCGCTGGGAGCGCGATGACCGCAACAATTTCAATCAAACGCGCTGTAGGAGCCGCGTTTAGCTGCTCTTTGCCTCAGGCGCCCTACTGCCGCTACCACCTGAACCAGGGAGAGCTCAGAGCTCTCCCTCTGCTGTGGCAACAGGGTGATTGAAGTAGTACGCCAGAGAGTCGCTGTGTCCGAGCACGGAGACGTCGAGCGCGCTAGACCACAGTGCTCCGGAGCCCAGCTGACTATGCGGCTGGTTCTAGCCTGCGTCCTCGCGCGGGCCGCGGCCCTGCGACCAGAACCGGTCCGCCACGCGCCGCCGCGGGCGCCGCCGCGCTCGCGGCGCGCGCTGCTCCGCACCTTGTCCCTCGCGCCGCTGGGCCTCGCGCGCCCGAGCCTGGCCGCGGACGCGACGGAGCGGCTGCGGGCGGGCTACGACGGCATCGAGGCCCTCCTCAAGAACTGGGACAAGGAGACGTTCATCAAGTGCGGCCAGGAGGGCCAGGTGACCCTCGCGGCCGAGTGCGACCGCGACGCCAACAAGGTGCCCGCGGCGCTCGGCCTCAAGTCGACGGACGCGCCGCTCTTCAAGGTGGAGAAGCTCTTCAAGGCCGCCATCACGCCGGACGTCGACATCGACGCCTGGAACCTGGCGACGGAGCAGTTCGTGCAGCACAGCACGTCCGCGCAGGAGTACGCGTACACGGCGTCCTTCGGCGAGTACAACCCGTCGGGCGGCAAGGACCAGGTCGCCAAGTACATGGACCTGTCCAAGGACGAGTTGGTTCTTGCCCGGGACGCGCTCCGGGACGTCCTGAAGCAGATCGGCGGCCTGTGAGTAAGTGCCGCTTCGTCTCTGGATGTGATTTCTAAAACGGGTTAAGGGAAGGCTTGCGCAGGTTGCTTGCAGCGCGGCGCCGTTGACGACAGCGGCGCGGTCGTGGAGGCGAGGAGGACAGGAGAGGAAGACGGGAGAGAAGCGAGAGCGAGCGAGAGCGAGGAGGGACCGTCACGACTTCTCCGGCGCCTTGCCCTCGCCGGCCGGCCGCTTCTCGTCGTCGTCGTCGCGCGACGCGCGCGACCGGCGGCGGTCGACGTGCTGCGCCACCTCCTGGAGCGTGCCCGCCGAGCGGCACTTCTTGAGGGTCGCCGGCGGCGTGTCCGAGCGCCCCTGCTCCATGGTCTTCGTCTCGTCTAGCGTGGGCAGCGGCATCTGCGGACGGGTTGCCGCTCGCCGGGGCTGCCGGGGCTGCCAGCCGCTTTCGTCTCGTCGCTGGGCCTGGGACCACCACGCCCGTCGTGGCGTGGCGGCTTTGACCAAGATGGCAGAGGATGTTGATGTCTGGCACGACTGGCCAGGTACCACCTTTGCGGGACAGCTTGTGTCGAGGTGCAAGGCAAAGGGGGGTCTCAGACGGTTTCTAATCTCGCCTTCCCGCGGATGAATACGAGCGCAACTCCGGCTTTCGAGGGTTGGGGGGACCCTTAATGGATCCAAGGGGCGATGGGTTCTCCGGCGACCCGGAATCATGGTTGCTTGCGGGGCCCGTACTTCTGCTGAGTCGGACTCGGACGCGGCGGCTCCGGACGAACGAGTCTCGGTATGTATCTTAGGGCCGGGAGGAAGGCGGCTGGCTAGACCGGGCGCGCGGCGCCGACGACGACGCGCGGGCCGTCGTCGGCGAGGTCGAGCGCCTCGAGGAGCGCCTCGAGCAGGCGCGGCCGCCCGCCGACGGCCGCCGCGACCTCCGCCAGGTAGGCCTCCACCGCCGCCGCGTCGGCGCCGCCGCCGGCGGGCGGCCGCGGGAGCGCCGCGTCGTCCTCGGCCAGCGCGCCGAGCCGCGCGTCGAGGTCCGTCGTCACCGCCTCCACGGCGACGAAGCGCGACGCGCGCAGGCCGCCCCGGCGGGCGCGCACGTCCACGTAGCCCGGGAAGCGCGGCAGCGGCGCGACGGCGACCGCGACGTCGCCGGGGCCGCCGGCCGGCGCGCGCGCGACCGCCGCGCGCAGCGCCGCCGCCCAGACGTCGCGGCGCAGCGCGTCGGCGGCGCGGAAGCGCGTCGTCCCGTCGAGGACGACGTCGTCGCCCTCGACGGCCACGGCCGTCGCCGCGCGCAGGTCGCGCGCGCCCGCGTCGCGCGCCGCCTCGCCCGTCCACGACACGCACGACCCGGCGACGACGACCCAGCGCCGCGCAAAGCGGCCGGCCGCGTCCATCAGGAGGAGCTCGCCCGACACGCGGCCCGCGTCGAGGCCGAGCGCGCCCCACGCCGTCGGCGGGGCGGGCGCCGGCGGCTCGGCGGGCGGCGGCGGCGGCGCGACCCCGGCCGGCGCCGGCGGCGCCGCGACCGCGCCCGCCTCGCTCGCCAGCTCCTCGAGCCACGCCTGCGCGTCCTCCGCGAGCGGCCGCTCGTAGTCCTCGCCCGCCAGACACTGCACCGCGAGCTCCACGAAGCTGTCCGGCGCGCCCGCCAGCTTCGCCCGCAAGATATCGTCGTCGACCTCGAACATGTTTCTAGCTTCCCGCACCAAACACGTCGCGCACGCCTCGCGCGTCGCGAGCTCCACCAGCACGCAGCCCAGGCTGAACACGTCCGCGGCCAATCCATACGCCTCGACCTCGCCGAGCAGCAGCTCCGGCGCCATGTACTCCGGCGTGCCGCAGAGCGTCTTACATTGTGAGTTCTCGTCCGCGTCGCGGGCCATGCCGAAGTCGCAGAGCTTGCCCCGCCAGTCCTGGGAGAGCAGCACGTTCTCGGCCTTCACGTCCCTATGCATCACGCCGCGCTCGTGGAGGTACGCGAGGCCGCGGCACGCGTCGCCCGCGAGGCGCAGCCGCAGCGGCCAGCCCAGCTCCGCGTTACCTTCCAGTAACCTCAGCAGGTCGCCGCCCGCGCACAGTTCCGTCAGCAGCGTCGTCCCGTCCACGACGCCCACGAAGCGCACGACGTGCTCGTGGTCGCAGCCCCGCAGCATGCGGATCTCCTGCGCGAGGTACCTGGCGACCTCCGCCTCCTCGCGGTCGTCGTCCTCGTTCCGCACGGGCAGCTTCGCCGCGACGACGCGCCCTCCATGCGTCGCGCGCACGACGCGCGCGAACTTGCCGCGGCCGATCTCGGGGCCGAGGACCACGTCGGCCGCGGGCGGCGGCGCCGGCTCGTCCTCGGGCATCGGCGGCGACGCCGGCTCCGTCGTCGCGAGCGACGCCGGCGACGCCTCCGATGGCGTCGCCGGCGCCTGGTCCGGGCTCATGAGCGCGAGCACGTGGCGCTCGACGTCGGACGCGTCCGACGCCGGCGACATGGGCGCCGGGGGCGCCATGGGCGGCCCGCGGAGGGACGAGTCGTCGAGGGGGCTCGCCGGCGCCGCCGGCGCCGGCGCGGGCTCGGGGAAGGCCGCCGGGAGGCGCGGCGGCGCGGCCGGCGCCGGGGGCGCCATGGGCGCCGGGGGCGCCGCGACGGTCGCGACGTTCGTGACGTCCGCGGCGGCCGCGCGCGGCAGCGGCGAGAGCGGCGCGGGGCCCTTGCCCTTCTTCCGGTTGCGGCGCTTGCGCCCGCTCTTGCCGGTGGTGTTCTGCGGCATAGGGCGGACCGCCGACGCGCCGAAAGGGTTTGCTATCCCGGCGCGGCCGGCGCCTGATGGAGCAACGACGTTCCTGGAGAAACGCTGTTGGGCGTTCCTCGGGCGTTGGCCGAAGCAGCAGCAGCTAGCGCGGCGGGGTCAAGGGCGCGTACGGCCGGCCCGCACTGTGGAGTACGATGTGTAGGTTTGTGCGGGCGCGGCGCGGCTAGCATGCGCGCTTGCTTTTTGACGCGGGTTTTGCGGCGCGCGAGACATCTTTTAACCTTGTACCCATCGAGCGCAAGGAATTATAAAACGGTCTCTTTCGCAGAGTCTAGTGTCTATCATCTAGCTGTAGGCTTTGTCTGCGAGTGCTCGTCGAGCTAAGGAGGAAGGTGCGACTGCATTTCACAAGTAAACCGTGCACGCGATTAGTATCATTAATACCTCTCTCCGTCCTTGCACTACCGGCGCGACGCTGCACGTGTAGCAGCCTGGCGCCACTCTGCACTGCTGCACCTCGGCGACATCTGTGCTACGCCGAGCGGCGCGCAACAGCATAAGAACGAGCGCACATACGCCGAGCGCCGCGCAACAGAATACGAAACGAGCGCACACTAACAAAATGGTCAACCGCGCCAAGCAGCAGCAGCGCGAGGCGGCGCGCGCGCCGCCCCGCGACGACGCCGTCGCCGACCGCTACCTGCTCCGCTTCGTGCTCGAGGCGCACACGGACCGCTTCCGCTACCTCGAGCTCGACGCGCTGCTCCGGAGCGCGGGCCTCGACCCGGCGTCGTGCTACGACCGACCGAGCGCGGCGGCGGCGGCGGGCGAGGAGCCCTACGTCGTGCTGCGCGCGCCGTCGCCCCGGCTGCTGCGGGACGTCGTGACGCGCGCCATCCTCGTCCGGGACGCGCTCGAGATCTGGGGCGTCGGGGCGGACCACGGCGCCTGCGCGGCGCAGGCGGCGGCGTTGGAAGGCACCGACGTTTTTTTCGGCGAGGAGACGACGTGGTGCCTGGGCGTCGAGGCGTACGGCGTCGGCCTGGATTTGGGCGCGCAGGAGGCCGTGCGGAACCAATACCGGGGCGCGTTCCGGTGCCGCGGGCGCGTGCGCCTCAAGGGCGCGGACGTCCGCTACCGCGTCGTGGAGGTTTACGACGAAGCGCGGCCGGCGAGGGGCGCCGCGCCCGCGAGGTGCTACGCCGGCCGCGTCGTGGCCGCGTCCCGGGCGCGCGAGCTCGTGTCCAAGTTGGACCTCAAGCAGCGCCTGTACCTGGGCCCGACGGCGTTGGACGCGGAGCTCGCGCTGATCATGGCGAACGCGGCCGGTGTGCGCGAGGGCTGCTCTACTCTGGACCCCTTCGCGGGCACGGGCTCCATCCTCGTCGCGTGCGCGGCGCTGGGCGGGAGGTGCCTGGGAAGCGACATCGACTGGAAGGTCCTGCGGGGCAAGCACGTGTCCGAGCGCGACAGCGGGGAACGGCGGCGGGGCGCGCTCCCGCGGAAGCAGCCCTCGGCGGCGCTGCAGCCGCTGCACGCCGACGACAGGGAGCGGCGGACCATCTTCGCGAACTTCCGGCAGTACGGCCTGCCGCTGCCGGAAATCCTCCGGATGGACAGCTCGCGCTTCTTCGACTCGTTCCGGGGGCCGAGCATCGAGGGGGCGTTCGACTGCGTGGTCAGCGACCCGCCGTACGGCGTGCGCGCGGGCGCGCGGTGCGCGGGCAAGGACGGGGCCGTCAAGCCGGTGCCGGACGAATTGCGGAGGGAGCACGTGCCGGCGACGAAACCCTACGCGACGGCCGACGTGCTCTGCGACCTGCTCGAGATCGCGGCGCGGTGTCTGAAACGGGGGGGGCGCCTCGCGTACCTCCTGCCGGCGACGAACGACCTGACGCCCGAGGACGTGCCGCGGCACCCGGCGCTGACGCTCGTGGCCTGCGAGCCCCAGCAGCTGTCGACGAAGTACGCGCGCTGGCTCGTCGTCATGGTGAAAGGGAGGGACTGGTCCGCGCGCGACTGGACGCCCGCGGTCCGCGCCGGCGTCCGGCGCGGCGCCGACGCGCCCTTCGCCGCGCTGAAGGAGAAGCTCGCGCTGCCGGCGCCGCCGCCCGCGCCGAAACGTTGATTAAAACTGTGTGTCAGGCCTTGACTTACCCCGCGAGTAGTCGCCGGTTCAGCGGGCTCGCCGCCGCGCCGCGGACGGCGCCCAGGAACGCGGCCGGCGGCACGACGACGTCCTGGTTCACCCAGAACGCGTAGACCTCGCGCCCGCCGGGCGGCGACCCCGCGTCGAGCACCGCCGCCCTGCCGGCCTCGAGCCGCTCCGGGTCGAGGAACTCCCAGTGGAATACGCTCCGTCTCCGGTCCTCGAGCACGAGCTCGCCGTAGCTGACGCCGTTCCGCGTCGCAATGCCCTAGTGGTGTAACTATCTTGTAATCGATTTTTGGTACGGCGGTCTAAATGCTACGTATAGATCATAATGGGAACGTTTTCGTGCTAGGGACTAGGCCCCTAGACAGGAGCTAGACCACTAGAGAGGGGCGTACTCGTACGCTGCTAGTGTGTTGGTGTACGCTAGCTTTATGGCAGCCAAGGCTGTCGCATTTTCACCCACAGCTACCAAGCGTACCCAGCCTTAGACGTTACCAAGATGCCCGTCTTCGGCTCCAAGAAGAGCGCGGCCCCGCCGCCAAAGCCCGCGCCGGCCGCCGCGCGGCGCAAGTCCGACGCCGGCGCGGACCTGCTCTGGCAGGCCCAGCTGAACGCCGACGCGAAGCGCCAGGACGCCCTGGCCAAGAAGCCGGCGGAGCCGCACCGGGGCCCGACGAGCGGCGGGGCCGCGGCCGCGCGCGCGCGGCCCAAGTCGCTCGCCGAGACGATGGCCAGCCTCGACCAGCTCGAGAAGGCCTCGTCGCTCGACCATCCGCCGTCCCCCCTGGCCCCTCCTGCCCCCGCGGCGCCGGCGTCGCCGGCGGCCGCCGCGAAACCGCCGCCGCGCGCGGCGCCCGCGGCGGCCGCGCCGCGGCCGCGGCGCCGCGGGGCGCCGACGTACCGGCGGCCGGCCCTCCTCGTCGCCGGCGCGCCGCCGCTCGTGTCGCACCGCTCCAAGCGCCGCGCGAGCCTCCAGATCGGGGCCGCGCGGCCCGCCGGCGCCGACCTGCTCGAGCGGACGCGCGCGCGCTGGGCCGAGGGCCGGCCGATCGACCCCGCGCCGCAGCGCTTCTCGACGAGCGCCGGGAGCGGCCCGCCCGCGCCCGCGGCTCCGGCGGCCGCGGCCGCGGCGCCGGCGCCGTTCGCGCCACCGCGCGCGTCCTACGCGCCGCGCGTCGAGGCGCCGGCGCCGCGCCAGGTGGATCTCCTGGACCCCTTCGCCGCCTGCGCGCCGGCGCCGCGCGACGCGCCGCTGGCCGGCGGCGGCGAGCCGGCGCCGCCCATGGTCCCGCGCCCCGCGCCCGCGATGCCCATGCGCGCGGCGCCCGGGGTGCCCATGCGCGCGGCGCCCGCGGTGCCCACGCGGACCGCGCCTGCGGTATCCGCGCGGACCGCGCCGGCCCCCCAGCCCGGGTGGCCCGCGCCGGCGGCGCGGCCCGCGCTCGCCCATGCCGGGGCGGCGCCGTCCTGGGGCAGCACCTGGACCGCCCCGCCGGCGCAGCGCCCGGCCGCGCCGGCCGCGCCGGCCGCGCCGCCGCCCGTGGCCCGCCGGCCCGCCGCGCCGGCTGCGCCGCCGCCCGTGGCCCGCCGGCCGGCCGCTCCCGCCGCGCCGCCGCCCGTGACCCGCCGGCCGGCCGCGCCGGCCGCGCCGCCGCCCGTGGCCCGGCGCCCCGCGGCGCCCGCGGCGCCGCCGCCAATCGCGCGCCGACCCGCCGCGCCGGCCGCGCCGGCCTTCCAAGCCGCCGCGGCCCCGCCGCCGGTGCAGAGCGGCGCCTGGGGCGCGGGCTGGTCCGAGGCACCGGCGCCGACGCCGGCGCCCGCGCGCCAGAAGAGCGGCGACTCGCTCCCCGACTGGATGAAGGGGTTCTGAGCCCCCAACAACAAGACCCGGGTAAAGACTGTGCAGTTGCTTGTTTGTCCTACTAGCTTGGCATTCGGGTCGTCGTCGTGTTCGCGCGACGCGTGTGCCAGTGGCCGTTGAGAGCGGACTTCGTATGAGTTCCGGTGCGCTGCCGGGCCCAGACCTCCTGCGCGTGATTCCTCGCGTGTCTTGAAGGGGGGCTAGAGAGGCTAGGGTAAGAGCGGGGGGGGGTATACGCTAGGTAAGTATCTGGCTCCAGTACCGCAGTAAGTGCTCACCTTAACAGCGTCGCCCCACAAGCCGACGCCGAGCAACGAACCCTGTATCTTACGCAGCGCCGTATTTGCCGAGCAGCGGACAGCGGCCAGGGCGCGCATCAGACCGCGAGCGGAGCGGACAGCGCTTCAGACCGACCAGAGCGCGATGCGCGAGCGCAAGTGCTGCACCGAGTGCTCGCGGCGCCGCCGCAAGGTCAAGGAGTGCAAGCCGCGGGGCCCCGGCCGCAAGTGCTGGACGTGCCAGAAGTGGAACCGCGAGTGCAGCTTCGTCCACGACTACCCGCCGGCCCTGAAGGGCCTCGTCTTCGAGCTGAGCCGCGAGGAGAAGCGCGCGCTCGAGCAGCAGCGGCGCCACGACGCCTGGCTCGCCGCCGCGGGCGGCGGCGGCGCGGCGGGGCCCGTCCCCCCCCTCCAGCCGCCCGGCGCGCCGTCGCCGAAGCGCCCGCGCGTCGCGCCGCGGCCCGCGTCGCACGAGATCGCGGCGGCCGCGGCGCGCGCGGCGCTCGCGCTCGGCCCGCGGCAGGCCCCGGGCGGCGCCGAGGCCGCGGCCGAGGCCGTCCCGCCCCACTACGCGGCCGAGGTCGCGATCCTCGCCTTCGCGGCGGCGTCGGCGCCGCGCGCGCCCGTGCCCGCGCGGCCGCCGCCGCCGCCGGGCGCGCCGACCACGTCGCTGCTGATTAGCGTGCCCGACATGATGTGCGCCGCGAGCTGCGGCAGCGCCGTGCGCGGCGCCCTCGACGCCCTCGCCGGCACGGAGCTGGTGGGGGTCAACATTCCGCGCAAGCTCGCGCACGTGCGGACGACGCAGGACGCGTCGGCCATCCTCGGGGCGCTGCGCGGCGTCGGCTTCCCGGGCAGCGTCGTGAGCGAGGCGCCGGGCGACGGCATCGAGCCCGCCGCGGCGCCGGTCGCCGCGGAGTTCGCGCTCGCGGACTCGCTGGGGTTGTTGGTGGAGGGCTGCAACGCGCGGACGGGCGGGCCCTGCAACTGCGGGCCGTCGTGCATGTGCCACTTCTGCCCCGAGCACCACCCCGAGCGGAGCGCCAAGCTCATGGAGGAGCTCCGCCGCGCGGCGGCGGCGGCGCCCGCGGTCGCCGCCGCCGTCACGGTCTCGCCGCCGGCGCCCGCGGCGCCGCCCCTGGTCGCGCCCTCCCCACCGCCTCCCCCCTCCCCAAAACCGGTCCCGGGGGCCTAAAGATCGAATGCGTGTAAGCGGCCGCGTCCGAGGGCTCCACTTCGGGGGCGACGAGGCGGCGAAGCGGGACTTCGGGCGAGTCGTCCGGTCGTCGCGGCGGAGGCCGCGGCGACGCGCCCGGGTCGCCGGCCGCGTTTCCGACCATGCAGGGTCCAGATGTCTCTGGGGACGCTTCGCCCGCAAAGCTCCCCAGCCAACGTCTCCCTGTGTCGGTACGGCGGAATGTCAAGTGTCCCGGAGTCGGGTAGGTGAGACGACGCTGCAGGCGCCGCGCCGGCTCGGCCCCGACTTGCGGGAAGCGGTCGGGCAGCCCCCCCTTGGGAAGATCCGCGCGGGGCCCGAGGGGCGGGGCCCGGGAAGCGCCCCGGGCGCAAACAGCACCAGACCTGAGACAGAGCGATTTTGAGGCCGCCGCCAAAGCCATGCGCCGCCGGGCCCTCGCCGTTTGGGCCCTCGGCGCGTGCGTTGACGCGCAGTGCGCCGAGACCTGCCAAACCTGCAAGTCTGCGAGTTCAACGGACTGCAAGACGTGTCGCGACGGCTACGTCTTGATCGACGGGGACCTGGACGGCGTCGGCGCGTGCGAGCCGCGTTCTGTGGACTGGGACTTTAATGCGGGGGCTTGTCGCTCGTCATTAGGCGATCATGTGGGCATGGCCTCGGATTTAGAAGGGTGCTGGACGCTGTGTTCGGAGCTGTACGGCGCGAACCTCAAGGCCATCGACCTCGACTCGAACAACTGGTGCACGTGCCAGGACGCCTGCGAGTGCATGGATCCCGGGAACGGGGGCGGCTACTACGTGATGACTTCGTTGGAATTCGCGAACGGCCTGCCCGCGGCGTGCGAGACCGACGAGACGCGCCTCGTGTGTGAGGGGACGTGCCCCGACGGGTCCTCTCCAGAATGCTGCGACATCGACGGCGACTGCGAGGACGGCGACGACGACTGGTGCTGCGGCGACGATTACCTGTGTTCGAACGACTCCAGCGAGTGGGCGGCCTCGCGGGGCGGCAAGCTCTGCTGCGTCCTGGACACGATCAAGTGGGGCGCCACGGGCACCTGGTGCAAGTCGGAGTTAGACCACCTCGTGGGGCTGGCAGCGACCCTGGAGGACTGCTGGACCTTCTGCGTCGAGGCGCATCCGGACGGCCTGGCAGCCGTCGACCTGAACGACCGGGGCGAGTGCTTCTGCCAGGACGCGTGCGCGTGCCTCGACGCCCAGGACGGGTTCGAGGGGCAGCTCATGACCGCGGCGAGCGTCTCCGCGTTGCCGGACGCGTGCAACACCCATCTCCCCGCCGACGTCGTCGACGGCGACGACGGCGACGACAAGACGACGCGGCGGGCGGTCCAGGTCCTGGTCTTCGCGATGGCCGCGACAGTCGTCGTCTGCTGCTGCTTCGCGGCGGCGGTGCTCGCGGCGGCGGCGCGCGTCGTGTACCGCCGGGATCTGCGCAAGCCGCGGGCCGAGGCGGCGCCGCGCGCGACGGCCGTCGAGTGGCCGAGCGTCCCGCCCGAGGCCGTCGTCGTGCTCTGAGCCTCGCGACAAAAAAAGCATCTTCCGCAAGTCCTCCATGACCCCCTTCCGTCGCTCCTTCCTTCGTAATCTCCTGTGTGCATTATTGTCACGGTGCTAGCTAGGACTAGTGGGCGGGGGAGACCCCGCGCGTCGCCGATTCGTCGGCGGCGGGGCGCAGCGCCGCGCGTTGTTCATAACAGCATACCTCCTTCCGAGCACCTCGGCAACCACCCGGTTTTTCGATGTTACGGTGCTAGGACTAGTGGGCGGAGCCCCTGGGGGGGAGACACCGCGCACCTCGGCAACAACCACCCAGGCTCAGGCTAGTTACGTCGCGGGGTCCCCCGTACCCCTCCCGCTCCCCCCGGGCCCACCCGTCCGGCTGGACTAGGACGCAAGGGCTGAGTCACAGGGACTCGCACGCCCCCCCCTCTTCGGGACGCCCCCCATCAGGATGTGGAACTGGCCGCCCGGACTAGTAGGTGTGTTGCTAGCTTCTTGCGCCGCTGCCATTCACATTTTTAGTAGACAGCGGTGCCGTTGCAGCACGATAAGCAACAGGCGCAGCCGCCGTTGCAGCACGATAAGCAACAGGCGCAGCCGCAGCCGTCAGCATGGCCGCCGGCGAGAAGACGCCGCTCACCCGCGACGTCGAGCTCGGCGGCGGCGGCAAGGCGGCGGTGCGCACGCGCCTGCGCATCGACAACGCCTGCTGCGAGGCCGAGGCGACGCTCGCGAAGAAGACGCTGCACGCCATCGCCGGCGTCGACAAGGTCTCGGTCAACGTCGTCGGCCGCATCGCGTACGCGACGCACCGGCCCCACCTCGTGGGCGCGCAAGCCCTGGCCGACGCCCTCAACGAGCACAACCTCGGGGCGTCCGTGGCCGCCGCGCCCGAGGCCGCCGATAACGTTGAGGAGCCCGTCGATTACAAGGAGCTCGCGTTCGTCGCCGCGTTACTCCTCGGCCTGGCCCTGGGCTATGTTATTCCAAGCCTCCTCGTCGTCGTCGCCGTCGGCGGGGCCGTCCCCCTCGCCCGGGACGCGGTGCGCGGCGCGTGGCTCCAGAAGCGGCTCGACGTGAACGCGCTGATGCTCTGCGCGGTCCTCGGCGCGCTCGCGCTGAAGGACACGGGCGAGGCCGCGACGGTCGGCGCCGTGGCGGCCTTCGCGCGCTTCGCCGAGGCCGAATGCTTGCGGCGCGTGCGGAACGCGCTCGCGGACGCGTCGGCGAGCGAGGGCGCGCAGGTCAGGGCCACCAAGGGCGACGGGACGGTCGTCGACGCCGATTCCCTAATCGTGGGCGACGTCGTCATCGTGCGCGCCGGCGAGCGCGTGCCCTGCGACGGCGTGGTGGTGAGCGGCAAGGCGGCAATCGACGAGTCGGCGCTGACGGGCGAGCCGCTGCCCGTCCACAAGGCAAAGGGCGAGTCCGTCTCCGGGGGCACGGTCGCGACGAACGGCTTCGTCAAAATTAAAGTTTCGGCGACGCGCGCAGAGGACGCCGCCGCGGAGCTCCGGAGGCTCGTCGACGAGGCCCAGGCCTCGTCGACGCGCACGCAGGAGGTGCTCCAGGAGTTCGCCGCGTACTTCACGCCGGGCGTGCTGGTCGCCGCTATGCTTGTCGCGCTCGTCGTCTCCTTGCAGCGGGCGCTCGTGCTGCTGGTCGTCGCGTGCCCGTGCGCGCTCGTGCTCGCGGCGCCCGTGCCCGCCGTCGCGTCCATCGGCGCGGGCGCGCGGCGCGGTATACTAGTAAAGGCGGCGTCCGCCCTCGAGGCGCTCGCCCAGGTATCAATTGTGTGCGCCGACAAGACGGGCACGCTCACGCAGGGCCGCTGCCGCGTCGTCGCGGCGGGCGGGCCCTCTGGGAAAGATGCCCTGCGGCTGGCGGCGTCGCTCGAGGCCAAGTCCACGCACCCGCTGGCGGCGGCCGTCGTGAACGAGGCCGTCGGGTGTGTGGGAGAGGACGTCGCGGGCGGCGGCAGCCTGGCCGAGGACGTCAGGGACGTGAACGTCGTCGCCGGCGCGGGCATGGCCGGCACGGTCGAGGGCCGCGCCGTGAAGGTCGGCAAGGCCGCGTTCTGCGGCGTGACCACGGAAGATTGGGCGCCCAAACACCCCGGCGCGACGTTGGTGTGGGTGGCCGTCGATGACATACCGTCGCTGTGCCTGGCGATCGTCGACCCGCTGCGGGCCGAGACGCCGCGCGCGTTGCAGACCATGTTCGGCATGGGGCTGCGCGTCGCGGTGCTGACCGGCGACACGCCCGCCGCGGCGCGCGCGGCCCTGGAGGCGACGAAGATCGACACGGCGCGCGTCGACGTGCGGGCCTCGTGCGCGCCGCCGGACAAGCTGGCCTACGTGAACGCGTGCAGGGAAGGGGGCGCGGGCGTCCTTTTCGTCGGAGACGGCGTCAACGACGCGCCGGCGCTCGCCGCGGCGTCCGTGGGCGTCGCCATGGGGGCCGGCGGCACGGCCATGGCCGTGGACGCCGCGGACGTCGCGCTCATGACCGACGACGTGGCGCTCCTGCCGGCGGCGATCGACCTGGGCCGGACGTGCACGCGGCTCGTGAAGCAGAACATCGGCATCGCGGTGGGCGTCAAGGCCCTGGTCGTCGTCTGCGCGCTGGCCTTTGATTTGGCCCTCTGGGTGGCCGTGCTCGCGGACCTGGGGAGCCTGCTGCTCGTCGTGGCCAACGGGTCGCGGCCCCTGCTCGACGCGGCGCCGGCGCCGCCCCCGGCGGAGACGCTCTACCAGGCGACGATGTCTCCGGTGGTCGCGGAGGCGCCGAGGGAGCCGGCGACGCTCTACCAGGCGACCCAGCAGACGCCTCCCCGAGCGCCGTCGCCGCCGCCGGGCGAGTTTGTGGTCTACTACGCGGCGTGGTCGCAGCCGTCCATGCTCGCCAAGGCGGCGCTGGAGGCGGCGGCCGCGGCGCGCGGCGGGTCCGTCAGGGCTGTCGACGTCGACGACGACAGCGACGACGAGGCCGGCGCCCACGGCGTGGCCGAGGTGCCGATGGTCGCGCGCGTCAGGGGCGGCGCCGTCCAGGCCAAGCTCGTCGGCGCCGCGTGCAGCGCCTCGGCCATCGGCGCGCTCGTCCGCGGCTGATGCGAGCTCTCCTTCGAGCCGAGAAATTCGCAGCTCCCCCACCCTCCCGCCTTAACGTGTCTTGTTGAGCGACTCGGTAGATACAAGATAGAGCTTACCCGCCGCCGGCGGCTACTGCGCCTCGCCTTCGGCCTTCGCCGCGTCGAGCGCAGCGTTGTGCTCCTCGGCGAGCTTGATCGCCCGGATCTTCGCCGACCGCGTCGAGCAGTAGACGAGGTCCGGCCGCACGTCGGGGTCGAAGTCGATGCGCTGGGCCTGGCCGAAGTCGGCCGCGGCGCCCTCGTAGTCGCCCGCGAGGCGCCGCGCGCGCCCCCGGATCTTGTAGGCGCGCGCCGAGTCCGGGTTCAGCGCGAGCGCCGCCGACGCGTCCAGCGCGGCGGCCCGCGGCCGCTGCGCCTTCAGGAGGAGCTGCGCGCGCTTGCACAGCGTCGAGGCGGCCGCGCCGCCGCAGGCCAGGCAGGCCGACAGGTTTTCCAGCGTGGGGTTGGTCGCGCACTCCTCCATCAGCTTGTCCCGCTTCGCCACGTCGACGCACTCCCCTTCGACCGGCGCGTCCGGGAAGGGCCCCTCCTCGCCGACGACGCCCTCGTCGTCCGAAAGCTCCTCGATGACTTTCCGCGTGTCCGGCATCCGGATGTGCAACAGTAGTACGACCTTCTCGCTCATGACGTCCTTGAGCTTCGCGAGGGGATCCAATACGGCCTCCGGATCGCGCGGGTGGTAGATAAATTGATGCTTCGGGTGGCTCCCCACGATCAGCCCGATGCGGTTCGACAGCATGCCGACCGTGGCGTGCGGCTCGATCGTCACCTGCACCGCATCCCCGACCTTGTACTGCGATTTCACGTCCATGCCGCCTCGATCCAGCTCGACGCATTTGACCTTGACGCGCCACTGGTCCTTGAGCTTGCCCTCCGCCGCGAGCTTCGCCTCTTCCTCCGCGGTCCGACGGGCGGCCTCGGCCTCGGCCTCGGCTCGCAATCGGTTTTCCTCGGCCTCGAGCGCCGCCGCGGTGCCCGGCGGCGGGCCCTTGTACTTGACCGCGCCGGGCACGACCCAGACGTCGCAATAGTCCGTCAATGCCGCGCCGACCTGGTCGTCCGGAAACAGCGTCGAACCCCTGGGCCGCTCGAAGTGGTGGTCGTCCTTGCTGATTGGAGAATCCGGGAACTTCTTGTTGTACGTCGCGCAGAAGAGCTCCAGGACCTCGAGCAGCGGCTTCGCCGCCCAGCTCTTCGGCAGCTTCATGCTCTGTTTCAAGTAGCCGGGCTCGCCGTCGTTCCCCTTGATGGCGTAGACTTTCATGGCCGTCGAACGGTTTGCTGATGGTGATGACAATCTCGTGCCCACCGCGTCGATGTCGAACGAGGTACCTGCGGTACCATACGTGTATGGTTATGGTACTATACTTAGGGCTGGGAGGGTAAGGCCTCTCACGCGTCAGCCACGCCCCCCGACCGCTCCCCATCATACAGAGGACGGCTAAAGGCGGCGACGCCCGCCCCCTTTTTTTTTGGTGGTTGGCATCGAGCTCGGCCGGCGCTGCCCGTGGTGCCAAAACCAGGATGGCCGTCGCTGTGCAGGCCGGCGACGTCGACGCCGTCGAACGGCTGTGGCGCGACAAGTGGCAGGCCCTCGACGAGCGGGGCCGGGGCGCCGTGTCCTTCGCGGAGCTGCCCCAACTCCTCGACGAGCTGGGCGTGGCGCTGACGCCCCAGGAATTGGAGGATGCGGCGGCGCGGATCCAGAAGTGGCAGGGGTCGCGGTTGCTATTGCAGGGTTTTTTGAGGTGGTTCTTGGGCGACGGCGGCGGCGACCGGTTGCTCGGCCAGCAGAAGGGCGACAAACGGAAGCTGCGGGCGGCCGAGGCCGAGGTCGCGAAGCTCCGGGGCGAGCTCGACGCATTGCGAAAGGAGCAGGCCGATCGCGTGGTGGCGGAGGCGCGGCGCAAGGGCGACGAGGCCGCGCTCGTCGCGCGCGCCGAGGCGGCCGAGAAGCTCGTCGATGAGTGTCGGGCGGAGCACGCCGGGGCGCTGGCCGAGCATGATACGAAGCTCGAGGCGGTCCGCCGGGAGGGCGCGGCGGCCCTGGCCAAGGCGCAGACCGACGGCGCGGCGGTCGACGCGCTGCGGGCGCGGCTCGCGGCGGCGGAGAAGGACGTGGAGGATGCGCGGAAGGAGGGCGCCGCGGCGCTACAGAAGGCCGAGCGCGAGGCCGCGGACGCCCTCGCCACCAACAGCACGGCCCTCGACGCGTTGCGCGCCGAGCTCGAGGCGGCGAAGGCGCAGGGCGACGAGGCCCTCGACGCCGCCCGCCGGGAGGGCGCCGAGGCGCTGGAGCACGCGAAGAGTGACGCCGCGGCCGCGCTCGAGGCCGCCCGCCGGGAGGCGGCGGAGGCGCCGACCGACGACGCGGCGCTCGGGGCCCTGCGCGCCGAGCTCGACGCGGCGCGCGAGGCGGCGCTCGACGACCTGCGCGCGGACCACGAGGAGGCCCTCGCCGCCGCGCGCGAGGAGGCGGCCGAGGCCCTCGCTGCCGAGGCGGCGGCGCGGGAGGACGACCTGCGCGCCGCCACCGCGCGCGAGGAGGAGCTCGCCGCGGCGCGGCAGGAGCTCGCCGCGCTGCAGAAGGCGTCGGAGGGCCACGCGGCCGCGCTCGCGCGGGCCCGCGCCGAGGGCCAGGCCGAGCTGCAGGCCGAGGCGGCGGCGAAGGCCGAGGAGGAGCTGGCCGCGCTGCGCCGCGAGCGCGACGAGGCCAAGCAGGCCCTGAAGCTGGCCAAGGCCGAGGCGACGCGCGCGTCGCGGTCGGCGTCCGCCGCGCGCGCGGCCGCCGCGCGGCTCCGCGAGGAGGCGGCGGCGGCGAAGGCGCCGAAGGCCAAGCCGGCGCCCGTCGCGCCGGTGGCGAAGGCGGCGGCGCCTGCGCCGAAGGCGGCGCCGGCGCCCGTCGCGCCGGTGGCGAAGCCGGCGCCGAAGCCGGCGCCTGCCGCAAAGCCGGCGCCGGCGCCCGCCGCGGCGCTCGACGTCGCCGAGGCCGCCGCCGCGCCGGACGCGGCGGCCGCGCCGGCCTTCGCGGCCGGCGCCCGCGTCGAGGCGCGCTTCGAGGGCAAGGACACGTGGTACGCGGGGACCGTCGCGCGGCACGCCGGCGGCGACCGCTACGACGTCGCCTACGACGACGGGGATCGCGAGTCGAACGTCGCCGCGGCGCTGATCCGCGCGTACGTCGAGCCGGCGCCGGCGGCGCGCGGTCCCCCGGCGGCGCTGCTGGACGTCGCCGAGGCCGCCGACGGGCCGGACCCGGCGCCGGCGCCGCTCCCCGCCGCCGCGCCGGAGCCGGCCGCCGTCGAGGCGCCGGCGGCGGCCGAGGCGGCCCTTCTCGACCACGCGGAGGCCTGCGACGGGCCGGATCGCCTGTTTGCCGTGGGCGACCGCGTCGAAGCGCGGTTCGAGGGCAAGGCCAAGTACTACGCGGGCGCCGTCGCGGCCGTCACGGCCACGGGCTACGACATTGCCTACGACGACGGAGACCGCGAATCCAACGTCGCGGAGGACCTCATCCGACGGCCTCTCCCCGCCACCGCCGCGCCGGAGCCGGCCGCCGCGGAGGCGCCGGCGGCCGAGGCGGCGCTCCTCGACGTGGTCGAGATGTGCGAGGGCCCGGACGCCGTAGAGGAGCCGGCCACCGTCGCGACGCCAGAGCCGGAGCCGGTCGCAGCACCCGTCGAGGCCTCTGTCCTTGACGTGGTCGAGGCCTGTGAGGGCCCGGATGCCGCGGAGCCAGAGCCCGTCACCATCGCGACGCCTGAGCCTGAGCCGGAGCCGGTCGCCGTCGCAGTTCCGGAGCCGGCACGCGTCGAGGCGGCCCTCCTCGACGTGGTGGAGCCGTGCGAGGGCCCGGACGCCGCAGAGGAGCCGATCACCGTAGCGACGCCTGAACCAGAGCCTCTCGCCGCCGCCGAGCCGGCAGCCGCCGTCGCGGCCATCCTCGACGTCGCGGAGCCCTGCGACGGCCCCGACCGCCTCTTCGCCGTGGGCGACCGCGTCGAGGCGCGGTTCCAGGGCAAGGCCAAGTACTACTCGGGCATCGTCTCGGCCGTCACCGCGCGAGGGTACGATATTGCCTACGACGACGGCGACCACGAAACTGGCGTGGCGGAGGAGTTGCTGCGCCGGGAGTTCGAGGAGCCGAGCACGCTGGCGGGCGACGTCATCGAGGACGAGTTCGACTACGACTTCGAGCCGCTGCAGGAGTTCGGGTTCAGCACGCGGCGTTTGGGGCCGGAGGCCTACGTCGAGCTGGCCGCGGGCGGCGCCCCGAAGGAGGAGGTCGTGGCGCTGCTGGTCCGGGACGGATTGTACCCGACCGCGGAGGCGGCGGCGGCGTTCCTGGACGCCCAGGACGTCTACGACACCGACGAGGTCCTGAGCGGCCCGCTCGACCAGTGGGGCGGGGACCACGTCGAGGCCTGCTGGCCCGTCGTCACGACGCACACGGACGTCTACGTCGGCACCGCTGATAAGCGCCACCCCGGCGGCATCATCAAGCGCGACGCGGACCCGCGGAACCGCGGCGCGAGCGCGCGGCGCGTGACCATCGGCGGCGTCGCCACGTCGAGCGCCGGCGGCGCCACGCCGCTCAAGATCAAGACCTTCGAGCAGCACGACCCCCCGTCCCAGATCCAGCAGACGGCCGAGGAGGCGACGTCGTCGACGCTCTACGACGCCGCCGCCTTCGCGACGCCGGCGGCGCCGGCGGCGCGCGCGTGGCAGCCGCCCGGCGTCGCCGTCCCGGGCGTCGCGGACGACGGCAGCGGCGACGACATCTACGACTTCGAGGACGACGAGGAGTTCGCCGAGGACGCCTCGCCGGCGCGGCCCCCCGCGGTGCAAGGGGCGCGGCCGGACCTAGACCTCGACGCCATGATCGCCGACTTCGAGGGCGCCGCGGCCGCGGAGGAGAGCGACGACGGCGAGTACTCCGACTCGTTCGAGGACGACTAACTTACTGCGTTACCCCCACAAGTCACTTCACAAGTCTACCACTTACGCGGCACCTCGGCGCGCCAGTCGATATCCGACTCCCCGGACGACGACTCGGCGTAGTGCTCGGCGAGGTACGCGTCGGTCGCGCGCCGCGAGGCCTCCTCCGCCGCGAGGTGGTCCTCGAGCGCGCCGAGCGTGTGCAGGTGGGGCGGGAGGTCCTCGAGCTTCGGTGGCGCGGGCGGCGGTGGTGGCGCCGGCGCGGCGGCGGGTTGCCGGGCCTTGCCGGCGCGCGCCGCCGCCCGCGCGGCGTCGACCTTGCGCGACGCCGCCCCCGCGGCCCGGGCGGCGCGCGCCGCCTGCTTCGCGTCGTCGCGCGCGCACGTCGCGCATTCGCAGGCGAAGCCGTGGTGGTCCCGCAGCCACCGGCGCCGCACGTCGCGGCCCCACTCCGGTAGCTGCGGCGGCCCGAGGTTCACCGTCAAGAGTTGATTTTCGGCGAGGTCGCGCGTCGCCGTCGCCGTGAGCGTCCCATCGTCGATGAGCATGCGCAGCGCCGGCGCGCAGGCGTGCGGCAGCGCGGCCACGGCAGCGTAGACGGCCGTGCCCGCGGCGCACGCCGCCCACGGCTGGCGCGCGCAGACCTCGAAGTGCCGCAGGCACGTCGCCACCTTGCGCACCTTGGCGTCGTAGGTCGCGGCGCTCTGCTTCTTGCGGAAGGACCGCGTCTTCCGCGTTTTGTAGTCATCGACGACCGCGCGGGCCTCCCGCATGCGCCGCGTGCGCGCGTCGAAGGTTTCACACAGAGGCTCCGGCGGCGCGAGCGCCTCGAGGCGCGCGACGGCCTCCCGCGCCGCCGCGTCGCCCGCCTTGGCGCGCGCCTTCAGCGCCACGGCGGCGCGCCACCGCGCCGGCGCGTCCGGGCCGACGAGGACGCACGGCGCCTCGACGAAGACGACGTCGCCTGTCGCGTACGGTTGTGTACTTCTGGAAGGTACTCCCGACGCGTCGCCGAGCATAACCCTATACGCGAAGTGCAGCTCGACATACGAAAAGCTCATGGGCGCGATGGCCACCTCCCGCCGGTGCAGCCGGACCAGCCACTTCCGCTGGACGTCGTCGTATTTTTCAATATCGCCGTACTCGCCGGAGAAGGCGTCCTGCGTCTTGAGCCGGACGACGGCGCCCTTGACGAGCACGCCGCGCGGGTCGCCGAAGAGGCAGCTGCAGGACGTCCAGTCCTTGGCCAGGCTGCCGGGCGGCGCCTTCGTGGAAGATGGAGTCTGGGCGCCGCGGACGAACTCCATCCCTATTTTGGTGAGGACGTCGACGGCTGCATCGGGTAGTCCGGCACGACGAGCCTGGGCTTAAGTGGGTCGCCCTCGACTTTCAATTCCTTGCGCAGGGCCGCGATCTCCTCGACGAGTTCTGTGTTTGGTTTGCCGGGCTTCGTGACTTGCGCCGGCGGCGCGTGGATGTCGGGTAGCGACGACATGGCGTCGAATAGGCTGCCCTTGCGAATGAACACAAGAGGTACTATACCAGTATACTTATATGCAGGGTAAGGTACCTTGGTTGGCGCTCCGCGCGGCGTAGCCTCGTCGGCAGTGGGGCAGCCCTGAACACACTTAGAGGATGAACACGGCCCTCTACTGCACGTCGACCGCTCCCACGGACACCTACTACACGCACACCAACCTCGGCAAGGCCGGCGAGCTCCGGCCGAGCCTGCGGCCGCGGTCCGCGGCCGGCCGGCGCCCGAGTAAGGTGAAGGACGGCCCGCGGTCCGCGCTGTGGCCCGGCGCCGCCGTCCGGTCCGGCGACGGCGACCGCTTCCGCCGCGGGCTCCTGACGCACAACGGGAACGCGCGGGCCATCGCCGCGGCGCTCGCGAAGAAACCGCGCCCGCGGCCGGGCGCGGCTCGGACGACGCGGGACCGCGGATTCGCGCCCGGCTGGGGCCCCGTGACGCGGGCGTCGTGGGACCAGGCGATGGCACCGCGAGCTTCTGCGGCGCGGTCGCGCGGGACGCCGCCCGGCTGGGGCCTCGGGGCCGTGGCGCTCGCGACGGCGCGGCCGAGGACGGCGCCGCACCCGCGGCTCCACTCGTGCGCGGGCTCCGTCGAGTGGACGCACCCGCACCCGCGGCCCCCGCACGAGGCGGCTTTGGGTGTGAGGGCGGACCTCCTGGCGCTGTCGAAAGCCGTGGCGGGGCCGGACTGGCGCGCGGTTCCGGACGCGCCCGCGCGGCGCGAGTTCCCCGACGCCTACTTCGAGACGCACGGCGGCGCGCGGCCGCAGAGTCTGGAGATCGGGCGGCCACGATCCGCGCCGCCGAGGAGGTATCGCCCGTCGCCAACTGACGCATAGGCCCCTCTAACTTTTCTCGTTGTGAACAACGTGCACCGCGGAGCCAGCCAATTCCAGGATCCGCCGCGATAGCCAAACTCGAAGCAGATGTAGTTACGCGTCCCCGGCCGCGCGCCGGAACTGGATCACGAGCTCCGAGGGCTTCGTCCAGACCGTGCCCTTGACGAAGCGCAGCGCGTGCTCGCCCGACAGCTCCTCGCCGTCGCACAGCAGCTCGAGCTCCTCGCTCCGCAGCCGCATCTTCCGCGCCAAATACTTGCGCAGCTGCCCGACCTTGAGGTTCCCGTTCGTCTTGAGGTAGGGCTTGTCCAGCAGCTCGATGGGGAGCGGCTCCTCGCCCGCGGCCAGGGGCGCCTGCTCGACCTTGAAGGAGACCTCCTCCTCGGGCGCGCGCGCGGTCTTGGCCGCGCGCGGCCGCGCGCGGGGCGCCGACGGCGGCGCCTCGAGGGACCGTCTAGCCTGCCTCGCTTGGCGATCAATATCCTCGAACTCCGGGAAGATCTTGTCCACGACGGCCTGGAGCTGGCGGTCGTGCAAGACCGCGGTCATCGGGTGCGGCCCGAGGTCGACGCCGCAGCGCGGGCAGCTGTTTTTGTTCTGGCGGAGGTGCGCCAATATGCACACTTGACAAAAGGAGTGCAAACACTCCGTGATCGTGTGGCAGTCGCGGAAGTAGCCTCCGCACAACGCGCACACCAAGTGCGGGTTCACGTCGGCGATCTTGAACGACGTGCGGCGCCAGTCGTCATCACTTTTTTGCTTCTTTGCGTCGGGGCCGTCGGAGGTCATCGTTCGACGAGCGCCCGTAGCGCCGTCTGCCGACCCGAAACTGGTAAAATGCCCGCCGCTAGCCGCAGCAATTGCCGAGCCACGCGTGGGCCTTTGCAGATGCGAGTGAAATTATTACCGACCACAGGTCACTAATTGCGCCGCGTATGGGGCAACCCGGTAGAGAGCCTGAGACCCGGAGCTAGCGTGTTGTAAAGACGCTAGCCGGCTCTCCTTTTGCCATTTAAAAAACATAGTACACCACACCTAAACACGCATTCATCATGGCCTTCGCCCCCGGCTCCCTCTCCGACGACGCGGCCGCCTGGAAGGGCCAGTCCTTGGTCGGCGTGCAGCAACTGGACGAGGCCGGGCTCAACCTCGTGCTCGCGCACGCCGAGCGGCTGCGCGGCCAGCCCCGGGACAAGGTCTTGGCGCGGCAGCGCGGCAAGATCCTGGCCAACGTCTTCTACGAGCCGTCGACGCGCACGAGCTGCAGCTTCCAGGCCGCGATGCTGCGATTGGGGGGCAGCGTCTTCTGCGTCGCCGAGGCGACGTCGAGCGCCAAGAAGGGCGAGACGCTCGAGGACACGGCGCGGTCGCTGGCGTGCTACGCGGACGTGCTCGTGCTGCGGCACCCCGAGTCCGGCGCCGCGAAGCGCGCGGCGGTCGCGTCGCGGAAACCGACGCTGAACGCGGGCGACGGCGTCGGCGAGCACCCCACGCAAGCGCTGCTCGACGTCTACACGCTCTGCCGCGAGATGTGCGGCGGCATTCCCGCCGGGGGCGTCCGGGCGGCCCTCGCGGGGAAGACCATTTGTATGGTGGGCGACCTAAAGCACGGCCGCACGGTGCACTCGCTGGCCAAGCTCCTCGCGAACTTCGACGTGGCGCTGGTCTACGTGGCCCCGGCGGGCCTGGAGATGCCGGCGGCGGTCACGGACGTCGTATCAAGAGGTACGGCTTCACAAAAGTCCGTGGACGCGCTCGCCCCGGTCGTCGCCGACTGCGACGCGCTGTACGTCACGCGCGTGCAGCGCGAGCGCTTCGAGAGCCAGGCCCTCTACGAGCGCACGAAGGGCTCCTACGTCGTCGACGCGGCGCTGCTGCGGACGGCAAAAAAAGGGTGCGCCGTCCTGCACCCGCTCCCGCGCGTCGACGAGGTCGCGACGGACGTCGACGCCCTGCCGAACGCGGCCTACTTCCGCCAGATGGAGCACGGCCTCTACGCGCGCATGGCGCTCCTGGACCTCGTCCTCGGCCGGCCCTCGATGCTGGACGGCCTCCGCGCGGCGCTCGGCCTCTAAGTTACTCGTTAGCCTTCTCGGCGGGGGCGGTCATGCGCGGCACGAGCTTCTTCTCGCACTTGGGGCAGAAGTGGCCCGACGTGTAGGACGCCTCGCAGGCCGGGCAGACGAGGGCCTCGCCCGGCGCGCACCGGCCGATCAGGGCCTTCTTCTTCGGCACCCAGATCAGCGCGTCGTCCGAGTCCTCGTCCTCGACGGCCGGCCGCGGCGGCGCCTCGCTCGCGTCCGACTCGGACTCGGACGACTCGGCCTTGCTGTTGTAGTCCGAGTCCGAGTCGCGCGCGGCGGCCGCCGGCTCCGCGACCTTCTCCGCGTAGAGGAGCGCCGCGGGCGGCTCGTTGCCCCAGCGCTGGAGGCGCGGCGGCGCCGTCGGCGGCCGGAAGTAGCGGGCCTTGAACGTGCCGACCTCGCCGCTGCCGAAGGCCACGTCCACGAAAGGGCCGTCGTCGTCGTCGACCCCCGGCAGCTCGCCGCGCTTCCAGACGCGGTCGATGATGCCCTGCTCGCCGGTCCGCGCGAACTCGACGCGGTCCGCCGGGCGGAAGCTGGGCGCCGGCCGCGGCTTGGGCGGCGCCGGCGCCGGGGCGGGCGAGAGCGGCGACTGGTTGGCCGGCATTGGCACGGGCGCGACGCCGCCGCCATAGTCCGCCCCGAGGACCGCCGGCGACGCCGGCGGCACGGGCGCGACGCCGCCGCCCCAGTCCGCCCCGAGGACCGCCGGCGACGCCGGTGGCGACGCGAGCGGGTCGAAAGTCGGCAGCGGCGCCAGGGGCGGCAGCGGATTTAACGGAGGCAGCGGCGCCGTGCGCAGCTGGGCGTTCTCCGAGCGCAGCGCGGCCACCTCGGCCTCGAGCTCCTCGCGCGACAGCTCGGCGGTGGCGGCGTCGCGCTTCATACCTTGAACCCTTCCAAGCGGAGGCAGCGCTTGTGCGCCTCGATTAAGTCACCGCAGTGCTCCTCGCCCTTCGTCACGATGCACTCGTCGCGGGGCTTCTTGGTCTCCGGGCAGCTGCAGCAGATCTTCTTGCCGCTCTTGCCGAGCTGGGGCGGCGGCTTGGTGTCCTGGGTGTCCTGGCTCTGGCTGGAGCCCATGTGAGGTCGCGTCGCACTCGTTTGTCTGCCGAGCAAGACCAAGCTCCCTTGGTTGGGCTCTAGTGTCTTACGGGCGCTAGCGTAGATGTCTCGGCGGTCCACCGCACGTCTCCAAACGTGCCCTCGCGATCGGTTAACCTGGTCCTGCGTCCGGGTTCGGTTCGGGCCACAAACAGCGCAGTCTCGCGGCTGCCCAAGCGCGCGGCGGAGCGCTCAGGGCTGCCTTCGATCGCAGCGCTGCCGATCGATTACGACTGCTGCATCGATTCGTACTTGCGGGAGCGCCAGTCGACGTGATAGCCACCGGCGGCGCGTGTGCAGGTGCAGCAGACATAACAAGTTAGATAGCCACCGGCGCGCGCGCGTGGCAACTGGCGCGCTGCAAAAAGGGACCTCTGGAGCCATGCGCGTCGTCCTGCTCGCCGCGGCGGCGGCCGCCCAGACGGCGCTGGACGACACGACGATCCGCACGGCCGTGCGGCTCTGGCTCGGCAACGCGACGGCCCGCGCGGAGGCGGAGGGCACGTGGGGCCCCATCGCCCAGTGGAACACCGGCGCCGTGCGCGACATGAGCGAGCTCTTCTGCGGGTTAGATGAGACCCCGACGCACCACTCGTTCTGCGACTCCTACAACGTCGGGGCGTCGGCCTTCAACGACGACATCAGCGGGTGGGACACGGCCCAGGTCACGACGATGCACTCCATGTTCCTCTTCGCGACACAGTTCAACCAACCGCTCAATAGCTGGGATATCTCAAAAGTCACGGACCTGACGTCGATGTTCGAAGGCAAGGCCCACGAAAAAAACACATACAACCAACCGCTGGACGCCTGGGACGTCGACCAGGTCGTTGCACTGGACTCCATGTTCTACGCCTCGGCGTACAACTCCCCACTAAACTCCTGGCAGCTCGGCACTCCCTCAATAAGTGAAATGTTCATGTACAGCGACTTCGACCAGGACATCAGTGGCTGGGACGTCTCGCGCATCTCGTCCTTCCTCAAGGTCTTCGCCTTCTCGGCCTTCAACCAGCCTTTGGATTCTTGGGACGTGTCGAGCGCCACCACTCTAGAATCCATGTTCTGGGGCGCCTCGGCCTTCAACCAGTCGCTGGCGACCTGGGACGTGTCCCAAGTCGTGAACATGCTCGGCACGTTCTCGCAGGCGTCCAGCTTCGACCAGAACATCGACAGTTGGGAAACCACCAGAGTAACGTCCATGTACCAGATGTTCTGGGAGGCGGCGGCGTTCAATCAGCCGCTGCGGAGCTGGTACGACGACACGAACAGCCGGGGCGTCCACGTCGTCGTGAACATGAACTACCTGTTCTGGAAGGCCGCGGCCTTCAACCAGGACCTCGGCTGGTGTGTCAACGACGACGTGGACCTCGAGAGCGCCTTCTTCGGCACGAAGTGCGCGGCGGGCTGCATCTTTGGCAGCGACTGCGCGTCGCTGTCCTGCGGCGTGGCCCGCGGCGCCGTCGGCACGTGCGCGCCGTCGTCGGCGCCGACACCCACGCCGTCGAAGATCCCGACGCCCAAACCGACGACGTCGTACCCCACGCTGAGCCTGGCGCCGACCGGGTCCCCCCAACCGTCGACGGCGCGGCCGACGGGCCGCCCGACGTACACGCCGCGGCCGACGCCGCGGCCTTCACACGCTCCGACGAGCCTCGCGGACGCGGCGGAGGTCGCCGCCCGCCTCGCCCCGACGCCGGTGCCGAGGCCCGCGCCCCAGGTCGCCGCGAGCAGCAAGAACGCTGGATGTGTATTACGGCCGGGGCTTGTCCTCGTCGCATTGCTAGGACTACAGTAACAACACGTATTAGTGGATCGGGTGCTGCCCGAGGTGCACGAGGAACGCGCGGTGGCGCGCCGCCTTTTTGGCGGCGAGCTTCGCGGCCCATTTCTTGGGCGACTCCGGGTCCGGTTTTCGATGGCCGAAGCGCGGCCCGTCGCGACTCAGGTCCATGCGCCCGGACTGCGCTCCGGGCAGCGCCGCGACGGCGGGGAACGTGCGCACCAGGTCGCCGACGACGCGCGTCCGGAGCGCGCCCTCGGCCGTCTCCTCCTTGAACTGCGTGATGCCCGCGTCGAGGATCGCCTTCCGCAGTCTTTTCGATTTGACGTTCGCCGCGAGACTTTCCCGCTTCTCCTGCGTGATCTGGCGGTCGTGCTCCTCGCGCCTCTTCCGCCGCGACTCGGCGCCCAGCCTCCTGATGTGGCTTTTGTGGTGCGCCAGGAAATTAAGCGGGGGCAGGTCCGGGTCGAACGCGTAGCGGGGCTTGCCCGTCTCGCCCAGCTTGTGCCGCTTCATCTTCCGCGCCTCCGGGAGCGCGCCTTCGTCGATCCGCGCCTGCCGGTCGCTCGCCTTGCGCGCGACCGTCCTTAATACGCTCTCCGTGCCCTTGGACGCGTCGAGCGCCGACCGCGGTGACAGGTCCCCGCGCTTGTCCGGCGCCAGGAAGGGGATGCTCTTCTTGAGCGTCAGCAAGGGCGCGCCCGAGTCCGCCCGTCGGGAGCCGCCGAACTGCACGGGCTTGAGGGCCCGCCCGGCCTCGAGCTGTCTCTTATACTCCGTCGAGTCCGACCGTATGGAGTCCTGGCTCGGCCGTCGCGACGGCGTCGGATGGATATCGTGGCCCGGGTTGCCGTGGACCGGTATGATCTTCCCGATCTTCTTGCACCTTGCTGACGCACCGTGGACCGCCAACACGCCGATCTCCCCGACCTGGCACAGGCTCAGATCCAACAAACCAAGATCCTTGAAGTCGTCCTCCTCGGGCTCCTCGTCCTTCACGTGGATGATACCCTCCTTGATGTCCCGCCGTCGCCGCGCCCGCGGCGACAGCGACCCGACGCGCTTCTTCTTCCTCTTCTTCTTCCGTTTCGGGACGAGCAGCTGGTCCACTTTATAATGCTTCAGCGCGAGACTACACGCCTTGACCGCCGCCTCGTCGCCTAATGAATTCATCGCGAGCCGCAACGTTTCTAATGAAGAGAGCGGGTTCGCCCAGCACTCGATCAACGCGGCGGCGCCCTTGTCGCCGACGCGATTGGCGTCTAATGCTAATGAGCTCAAAGCGCAGGAGCACTTCGTCTCCTTGTCGGCGAAGAGCACTCGAGATAACGCCAACGCGCCGGCGTCGCCGACGCGCTGGCCCGACAAGTTTAAGGCGGTCAGCGACGTGCCGTGCAACGCTTCGGATAACGCGAAGCAGCCCTCCTTGGAAACGAAGTTCGACCGCGGGTTGAACTCGGGGTCGTCCGTCGGCAGGCCCCAATTCTCAGGGCTGAAGTAGTCGCCCTCGATTTTGGGGATCACGATCTCCTTCGGCGGCTTCCGCCGCCTGCAAACATTCAGGTAGTGCTCCTGGTGGTATTTCTTTGACGCGAGGTTCAAGGAAAGCAGCGTCCCGGACTCCTTGAGGGCCTTGGCCATCGCGAGCGCGGTCTTGTCCCCCAAACTATTGCCGCCCACGGCGACCGTGACCAAACCCGGATGCTTCGCGACGGCGCTCGCGAGTTTCGTGCCCGACGCGTCCGTGATCCCATTCCCCACGAGCACCAGGTGCTGCAGCTGCGTGTTCCTCCTCAAGGCCTGCGCCGTCGACGCGCCCCAATCATCATCAATATTCTCGTGCGTGAAGCGCACGCCCACGAGACACAGGTCATCTCTCGCCAACCTAGCTAAAGTAAGCAGCCGATCCCGGAGCATCGCCGCCGCCCCGGAGCTCTTGGACTTCGAGGGCGACGTCGAGCCCTTCGGCACGGGGTCCGCGGCTTTACCTTTAGCTAATTGAGAACAGAGGGGCAGGCGGCGAATTTCGGGCAGCTCGGCGCGCTCGAAGACGTCCATCGGTTGGCCCGTCCTGTCGAGGGGAATTGCGTTCGACCCCTGGAGCGCCTCGACGGACGCCTGCATCCTAAGTTGCTCATTTTTCTGGTGCTCCCTCAGGATATTGATCGACGCCTCGACGTACTGGTTCAGGTACGACACGGACATGTGTCCGATCTTCGACATGTCCAACCCAATGCCCTTCGCCTTTGGCTGGGCGCCGGGCGGCCGCAGGTGGGGCCTATCCTGAAACCGCTTTCGGAGAATTGCGCGGGCCCGCTCGAAGTTATCATCAAAAACGGGCGTCGTCGGCCGCTTCTTGAGTTTCACGGGCCGCGCGCCGAAATCGGTCGACTCCTCCTCCTCGGGCTCCTTTCGACGACGCTCGCCCGTCGTGCGCGGCCGCGTCGCGACGCGTGCCACGGCCGCGGCGCCGAAGAGCCCGAGGCCGTCCTGATCTTCCTCCTGCTCTTGCTTGACCTCCTTGGATTTGCGACTCCGCCTCTTATTTTTCCGCCCGCCGAAGCCGGCCTTGCGCACGTGGATGCCCTGCTCGGACAATATCGACTCCTCGGACTCGACCGTGGCCTCGTCGCTGCTGTCGCGGCTCCGCCGTCGTCTCCGCCGCACGGCGCCGTCTCTACTCCGATGCTTCCGCCTCTTACCGTCGTCGCTGCCCCGCGTCGAGGGCCGCGAGTCGGCCGTCGACGCGCGGCTCCCGCGCGGCGGCTCCTCGGCGGCCTCGAGGTCCGCGAAGCTCACGCGGCTCGGCGGCCGGCTGGACGTGCCCGGGCGGCTGCCCTGGCCCGTCGGCGGCCGGCTGCCCAGGGGCGTGTTGTGGCCCGTCTGCGGCCGGCTGCCGGTCGGCGGCCGGCTGCCGGAGGCGCGCAGGAGCGCGTCCATTGTGTGTGGTGGGCACCGCTACGGCCCGCTACGCGCTTGTAGGCAGCGCCGCTCTCCGTGCGCTGCTGCGGCGGCGCCCGGACGATCCCGAGCCGCGGCGGGACAGGTCGACGGGGCTGTGCCGTAGGAGGTGTAGGTTCTTCTGATCCGTGGTTTCGGAAAGTGCGGGGCGCGCTAGCGCGCTCGTGTGAGTCGTGTCTGCCAAATCTGCTCTTGCGGCCTCACCGCGGCCTGCCCCGTCGTACCGCGGTTGGGCAGCTTTTGCCGTCGTTCCGGCTTACCTACACCCTTTGAGGAGCCAAAAGCACCTGCTGTACTCCCTATATTGAGATTTTGGCCCTTGGTACTCCCCATATTGAGAATCAAGAGTTACTCCCCAAACTGAGGTTTTTTAACAGCTGCACGACACCTTGACATGTGCGACTACTACTCGCCACCCGGCGTGACGCACGGCTGCTCCTGCTGCCCGGCGCGGCGCGACTACGCGCCCGCGGCCTGCTTCCAACGGAGGACGCACGAGAAGACGGCCAGTATCGGTGCGCTCTGCAGCCTCTGTTGGATCGTCGTCATGGTCTCGCGTTCCTGGCGCTCGCCGGCTCGCCTGGGCCGACCGCGGCGCGGGCGGGGGCCGGGTGATGGGCTCCATCTTTTTCGCGATGTTTGCGTCGGCTTTTGCTCTGGCGAGCTGCGCCGCCGCGGTCGGTGGCTGCTGTTGCCTGGATCTCTGCGACGCGGACGCGGGCGACGTCGAGGCGTCGCCCCGCGGCGTCGCGCGCCCGCCGCCGACGTCGGACTTCGACTGGCACCACAAGAAGTCGCCTAACCTAAGCCCTACCCAAAAGCACACGCACAAAAAGGTTAGAACTGCATCGCGTAGGGCGGCCGCCGGTGCTCCTCGGCGAGGTCGTCGAGGTGCGACCGGCCGCGGCGGTCGCCGGCGACGTCGACGATCGTGCGCACGCCGTGGAGCTTCGGCGTGACGCGCTTCAGGCCGCCGTGCTCCTGGAGCAGCGCGGCCACATCTATATGGCCCGCGGCGAGCGCGTTGTACGTCGGCGTGACGCCCGACGTCGTCTCGACGTTCACGTCGCAGCCCGCGTGGATGAAGACGCGGACGCACTCGATGTACCCGAAGTGCGCCGCGAGGTGGAAGGGCGTGTTGTTGTCGTCGTTCGGCCAGTTGATCTCGTAGCCCGTCAGGTAGAGCTCCTCCAAACACCAGGGCTTGTTCTTCGTGACGGCGCGCCAGGCCCGGTCGTTGGCCTTGAGGTGATTTAGATCGCGCATCGCCAAATCATTATCCAGCTTCGTGATCTTCAGGTCGCCTCCTCTACCTTTGCCCGAGTCGATTGGGAGGGGATGGGGGTACAAACATCGGTAGTTCAGCAGCGGCCGTCGCAGCAACGAGTTCTCGGGCACTTCCACGAAACGCATGGGCTCGCCGCGCGCGCAGCGCTCCATGAGCGCGTAGCGTTCATCTTCGTCCATGTCGCCGCGGAATTGCGCCGCGTCGTCAATCAGCTCGTCGTGGGTCATGTACTTCAGGCGCTCCTTGCGCCTATCGGCGAGCGCCTGGTCCATTAACGCTTTCCGCTCGGCGGCGTCGTCCGGCAGCCCGCCCTCCACGAGCTTGCCCGTCGCGTTGCCCTTGCCCTGGAGCTCGTGGGCCTTTGATCTTTCATACTTGCCCTCCGCCTCCCTGATCAATCGGTCCGCGCGGGCCATCATGGTTTCTAATCTGCGTCTGCCCCGGGCAGCGACTTGGTTGGTCGGCAGTGCGGCGCTGCTAAAGCGTCGAGAATAGTATGTTTACTCACGCTAGGTGGCTCGGATTTTTGAGCTCGCGGGTTTCTACGTCGACAGCCATTGTTGCCATTGATGCGCGTTACGCACTCATTCGTTCGTACTCTCGTCACGAGGGCTCTGCGGAGCCAGTGTGTGCGGACAGCGCTATTCATAGGCTCAGCGGCGATCGCGCGAGTAACACAAGCTCTGCGGACAGCAAAAAAAAGCAGTATGTACTCGACCCTCGAGGACAGCCGCCGCGCCGACGAGCGCGCGGCCGCGCAAGGTTACGAGGTAGAGGACTGGGCGCAAAATGATCTCGGCACGGCGGTCGGCTGGTGGACGCCCGGCCACGACATCCACGCGGACGACGAGGCCTCGGAGAGGCGCGGCGCGCTCCGGACGGCGCTGCGGAATCACCGCCGTGGCGACGCGACGCCCGTTGACGTGTCGGAGGCTGAGGGTAGTAGTAGCGACGGCGAGGAGAGCGACGGCGGCCAGGCGGCGCGCGGCGTCGCCGGGCTCCGGGCGCGCGGCGGCGAGCTGGCGCGGGCGGAGCGAGCCCAGGATGCGACGCGGACGCTCGCGGCGATCAAAGCGCTGGGCGAGTGCCGGGTGTCGCTCGCCACGCTCAAGGGCGCCACCGCGACGACGAAGCTCCTCGGGCGCATGGGCCGCAAGGCGCCGAACCGCGACGTGCGCCGCGCCGCCGCGGCCCTCGTCGAGCGGTGGAAGCGCGTCGCGCGGCGGGACGGCGTCGCCGATTAAGTACCTGTGAAGTTTAACGACAAAACATATTAGTACTGGCTAGGACTACTGGCAGTAGCCCGAGGCCTGGTTGCGGCCCTCGAAGCGCCGCAGCGAGCGGCAGCGCGCGCACGTGAGGCACTCCTTGAAGTTCGTGTAGTGGCACTTCGTGCAGGCCCAGTCGCCGGAGCGGTCGTTCTCGGCCTCGAGCTCCTCCTTGAACTTGCCCGTCGCGTGGAACGTGCCGACGGGCGCCTTCTCGCTCTCGGCCGCGTGGAGCGAGGCGAAGAAGGCCGCGCGGCCCGTCTTCTTGGGCGGTTCCGGTTCCGGTCGCGGCGAGGGCGCGCGCGCGGGCTCCGGCGGCGGCGGCGCGCGCGGCGCGGCGGCGGCGGCGCCGCCGAGGTAAACATCGGGCTCGTCGGCGCCGTCGCGGCGCCGCGCGGCCTTCTTCGCGCGCTTCCGCTCCTTCTTCTCGGCCTTTTTCGCCCTCTTCGCGGCCTTGCGCTCGGCCTTGCGGGCCCGGCGCCGCGCGTGGCTGTCGTCGCCGTCGCTGGCGGAGTCGAGGCGCGGCCGCTTGCGCGGTGCCGACGAGTCGTCGTCGTCCGAGGAGGAGTCGTGCCGCGCCATTTACCTCGGCTGCTTGTCCTAAGTTCGGACTAGCCGCGCGCCGGCGCCGCAGCGATGGCGTGCGCGTGACGGCCGGTGTTAGCACGCCTCCTGCCAGGCGTCCCGTGCCGGCCTAGCGTCGTCGACACACTAGGCGGCTCAAGCAAGTCGTGGTGTGTGCTCCCTCGTCCACTGTGCGTCGCTGTCGAAACAAGAGACCTGCAGACGCGTTCAAGGCATCAATATCAGCCTCTTCCATCGACTGATCAGTCGACCTTCCTCTGAATCGCGTCGCGAGGCCTCCGTCAGCCTCCACGCCATCTAGCCGTCGCAACCATGTGCAGTCGGAGGATAGCCCTCGCGCTGCTCGTCGCCCAAGCGGCGGCGCTCGTTGTCCCGCCGTCCTGCGCCCGCTGCCGGCGTGTACGACTGCGGTCCGAGCCCGGCGACGCGCCGGCCGAGGCCGCCGCGCCTGTAGAAGATGTGCCCATCGCGACGACGGAGCCGGAGCCGGCGGCGCCCCAGCTCACGGAGCGCCAGAAGGAGATCGCGCGCCTGCGCGCCGCCGAGAAGTTCCTGGAAAAGGACACGGGAAAGTACATGTGCAAGGTCTGCGAGTACCAGTCTGTGCGCAAATCAAACAGTGAGTCGGGTGCACCCGAAAATTCTTCACGAAGTCCTTTCTCGGCGACAACGCGACCTTGATGACTGAATCGAGTGGTGTAGGACCCACACCGCTACGCCATTGAGCTCGCGTCGCGTCGATGGCGTGGAGGCCATGATTCAGCAAGACGCGCCGCAAGAATTTGATTTATGCACAGGTACCAGTACGACCCCGAGGAAGGCGCCAAGGGCGTCGCCGCCTCGACGCCCTTCGAGGACATCCAGTCGAACTGGCGCTGCCCGCGCTGCCGCGCGTCGAAGGACTCCTTCGAGCCCGTGACGATTACCATAGCCGGCTTCGCGGAGAACCAGAACTACGGCTTCGGGGGCAACTCCATGACCGAGGGCGACAAGAACCTGGCGATCTTCGGGGGTCTGGGCTTCTTCTTCGTGCTGCTGCTGTCGGGGTACCTGATGACGTAGGCTCCTGGCGTAATAATGAAGAGGGGTTGTCTTATCCGGTCGGAGGGGGCCCGGGGCGTCGGGATCCCGGGCTTCTCTTCGTGCGGCGCGTATCTTCGGCGGCGCGTATCTGGGAGCCCCTCTCCGGGACTTGCTCGGTATTCGCCGAGAATCGTTTGCGGGCTGCCTGGGCTGCCGCAGCGGATTGGTGCCTTTTCGAGCGATGCCGCCAAAAAAAAGAGGCCGCGCGAAGGCCCCGGCCAGGGCCAAACGGCAGGCTAAAAAACGGCCTGCCAAGCAAGCTGCCAAGAAGCCGGCCAAAAAGGCGCCGAAGGAGGACGACGTGCGGAGGAACCGCTGTTTTCTGATCACCTCGAAGGATAGCGTCAAAATCCAGCTGGCCGACGCGAGCGACGGCAGCGACAATCACGAGACAACCGGACCGATGGGACTGCTCGAGAACGCAAGGTTATTTTCCAGGGACGACGAGTGGCAAAAGGAGTTACAGCGAAGCGATGAGGTGATACTTCGACACCGAAGCTGCAGCCCGTACTCCTACATGTCGAGGCAGGACGCCGTGCACTACGCGGCGTCGCGGTTGATAGAACGCATCCAAACCTACGGGCGACTCGTGCTCCAACTCCCCGGCGAGTACGTCAAAGAAAATCGTGGGGGAATGCACCCCATACAACGGGACATCGCCACGACCGAGCCCAAGACAAGAAATTCTCAGGGCCTCGTGGACACCGTCCACGAGTGGACGCGGACGTACACTTACACTGACAGTGAAGGATCCTGCGAATGCGAGGCCAAGTTCACAACCACGGTGACGTCGCTGGTTGAAGCCTGGTTCTCCTGGAGCCCTCGGCGGACCTCGTCGAATCGTCCGACGACTTTGGCTCGGACTCGGAGTCCGACTGCTAGCATCGAATCAATTAATATATTTGTATGAACCCTACAAAAAAAAACTCAGGCTCAGGCTAGTTACGTCGCGGGGTTCCCCGTACCCCTCCCGCTCCCCCCGGGCCCACCCGTCCGGCCGGACTAGGACGCAAGGGCTGAGTCACAGGGACTCGCACGCCCCCCCTCTTTTTGGGACGCCCGTGTCAGGATGTGGAACTGGCCGCTGGCTCCTCTTTTACGACGAGGCCGAAATCAAGCTGGGTAGGGGAGCGAGAGCTCCGACTACTAATCACACGCCATGAGGCTGAGGCTGAGGCTAGTTACGTCGCAGGGTTCCCCGTACCCCTCCCGCTCCCCCCGGGCCCACCCATGCCATGTGCCTAGTGCCTTACAGGGCGCTAGCATTGAGGACCGCTTTGCCCAGGCCTGCCTGCATTCGTGGACGAAGCCACAACGTCTAGCCACAACTTGCGCGCGCAACCACTCGTGCAGCCGGCGGCACCAGCGGTGCAAGCAAGACGCGTTGGAGGTCGAGCTCGTGTCAGGTCCAGTCATCGCATCGTCGGGATTCGCAAAACAAAAATGCCGCCCGCCCAGAAGAAGACCTGGATCGCCCTGAGCGCGGGCGGCGTCGGCGGCGCCATCGAGTGCTGCTGCACCTGGCCCATGGAGTACCTGAAGACGCAGCTCCAGAGCTTTCGCACCGTCAAGGGCGGGCCGCCGCCGCCCTTCACGGGCATCGCGTCGGGCTTGAGGTACACGATCCAGCAGAAGGGCTTCTTCTCGCTCTACACCGGTTTGACGCCAGTACTCATCTTCAGCGCGCCGAAAGCCGGCGTGCGCTTCGGCGCGAACCAATTCTTTCGGAACCAGTTGGCGGATAAAAACACGGGGAAGGTGTCCATGGGTCTGAGTTTCCTGGCCGGGTTGTGCGCGGGCATCTGCGAGGCGACCCTGGTCGTCACGCCGCAAGAAACGATAAAAACGAAGCTGATCAACCTGAACATGGGCCTGCGGCAGGGCATTCCCCATTTACTCAAAACGGAAGGCGTCGCGGGCTTATACGCCGGGCTCGGCGCGACGTGCCTGAAACAAGGAGGCAACCAGGGCTCGCGGTTTTTATTTATGGCGCAGTGGCGCCAGTTCCTGACGGGCGAGGCCGACGCGAAGCTGCCCAAGCATCTCACGTTCATCGGTGGGTTGGGTGCTGGACTGTTTTCCGTCGCCACCACCTCACCTTTCGACGTCGTGAAGACGCGCATGCAATCCACCGACGCGAAATTATACGAAAGTACTCTAGATTGTTTCGGCCAGATACTGCGGAAGGAGGGCCCTTTGGCCTTCTTCAACGGCGCTTTGGCGAGGGCCGCGCGCGTCGTGCCGGGCCAGGGCATCATCTTCCTGTCGGTCGACGTCGTTTACGATGTGATCGTGGGGCTCGCGGGCGAGGCGGCGGCGTAGGAGCGTGGCGAGGTTTATTTATAGCGAAGTTGTGTATTATAGCTACTTCCGCCCCGGCTTCTTGTTGCGCTGCGTGATCTCGTCCTTCTGGACGCGGTGGATCATGATCTGGTTCGGGATTTGGGGAGAGTGCGACTCGGAGCCGCGCGACCAGTCGTAGGACAGCGCGTAGGCGTAGAGGCCGCCGGACGGCGAGAAGCACGCCGTCGAGATGGTCTGGGCCGCCTTCTTGAACTGCATCAGGCGCTGCTTCGAGTCCTTGTCCCAGTAGTTGTAGACGCCGTCGGAACCGGCCGTCGCGAAGGTCCCGAGGTGGTGGAAGGCGATGCTGTTCACCGCATAGATGTTGCACAAACCCGTCTGGCCGGCGCGCGCGTCCTGCGTCTCGCGGTGGCACTTGAACGCGAAGTTCCGGTGCGCGTTCTTCGGGTCGACGTGGTGGATGCCGACGCGGCCCTCGATGCTGCCAATGGCGAAGCCCTCGCGGTCCGGAAAGGCCGCGACGCAGCGCGTCTGGTGTCGTAAGGGAGAGTCCTCGACGCGGTACGGCTGCTGCCAGTTGGCGCTGCTCAGGTCGTAGATGCACACCTTTCGTTCCGCCGTGCCCACAACTAACAAAGGATGGCGCACGTCCATGGCGTAGCATCGTTCCGGCAACGGTATGGTGGCTACCGGGTTCGGCGTGCGGCAGTCCCACGCCCTTACACTTTTGTCCCAGCCGCCCGTGAGGACGACGTTTGTCTCCGCGACGTGAAAGCAGTGCTTGATGGGCGCGTCGTGCTTGCCGACCTGCTGGGCCTGCGGCTGGCCCAGGCGCCACATTTGTAAAGAACCATCGCCACACCCGGCGAAGACCATGTCATTGGTCGCACTACAGCACAGCGCCGGCGCTTGCAACGTGCACTGCGCTCTAGGTGTGGCCTGGACCGCCGACACGCCGCCCATGGCCTCCTGGGCCTGGCACTCCCAGCAAGATAAAGTTGCGGCCCACGACGACGCCACCAGAAACTGGGACGACGGCGAGAAGGCGACCTCGGAGACACCATCCGCCGGGCTCGAGGGCACGGCGTAGTCATTATTAGGGTTCTGCGGGCTAGTCTGCATGCCGCCGAGGGGCTGGCCGAACATGGTGGGCTTGGGGGCTCTCAGGCCAAATAAGCTTTTGGTCGGCCGCGGCTGATAAGCGGTGGTGAGCGGCAGTTCTGGGGCTTGGCTGCGCTGCGGGAAGATCTATAAACAAGGTCTCTGGCGCTGCGTGCCCTACGCGTCCGCGTCCGCGCGCCGGGAGCCCAAAAAAAAAACTCAAATAAAATCGGGTTTTCATTTCCGCGCGCGAGGGCTCCTGACCCCCTCCTCCGCCAACAAGAGCCGTCCGTCCTAGCAGTCAGAAACACCCCTGGTGCTGAGTACTCCGGGGCTATACGCAGCGGCACCCGCGCGGTGGGCGGCCAGGAGTCTGAAAATCGGGCTAAGGACTCCTCTAGTCTCCGCAGCCTGCGTTCGAACCCCTCAACGTTCTAGTATCTATATTCCGTCAGCAAAAAAGGGAAGTAGACTTGGCGGCGGCTCGTAAACCGCACGGCGAGGGCAGCTTGTTCTGGCGGTGTCCAACCCGCGCAGCCGCCCCGCGCAGCCCAGAAGAGCAGCCCCGCGCATTTTGAGCGGCCGCCCACGATGCCCGCGACGCCCCCACCGGCCCCACCGCGCCCACCGCCACTTCTGCGTCGGCGCGCGCCACCGCCGTGCGCCTCAGCGTCCAGAAATAATCGCCCCGGTCGCCGCGATCGCCGCCACGCGCCTGAGCGTCCGAAGATAATAGCCCCCGTCGCCGCCCTCGCCTCAACGCGCCAGCCGCGCGTCCGCGAGGTGGTTTCACTGACGCGGCGACGCCCCCGCATTCACTGACGCGGCGACGCCCCCGCATTCACTGACGCGGCGACGCCCCCGCATTCAGTGACGCGGCGACGCCCCCGCAGGCACGCCCGTCAGCGCGCGGCGAAGCTCTTCGTCGCCAAGGCCGCGGCCCTCGACTCCTACGAGGTCGTCGGCGCGCTCCTCGTCGCGCACGCCAACGCCAAGAAGGCCGCGACTCCGCGCAAGCTCGAGGCCCTCCTCCAGAAGAACGAGCTCTCGCTCGCGGCGGCGCGGGCCCTGGAGGCCCTCGCCGAGGCCGCCGTCGGGCCCCAGGCCGTGCGGGCCAACGGCGTCGGCTTCTCGCTCACGGCGGCGACGCGCGGCCCGGGCGGCCTCTTCGCGCTCGCGCGGCGCTACCTCTGCGGCAAGAAGCAGTTCTCGCTCTACCTCGACTTCGTCGAGGCCTTCGCGCCGGCCCACCTCGTGCGCCGCACGCGCCGGCGTCCTTCCTTCCGCGCCGTCGACGCGACCGCGGCTCGACGGCGCCGCCGACTCACCGCGTCCGCGCACAGGGACGCGCGTCGCCGACGGCCGCGGTTTTGTGGGCGAGGTCGCGACGCTCGCCGCGGACCCGACGTCCCTCCTGATCGTGGCGGCGCGCCGCGCCGTCGGCCGCGCGCGCGGCCTCGTGGCCTACCCGCAGCTCGTCTCGTTGAAGGTCGGCGCCTGGACGCTCGCGACGCACGACGGCTCGCGCCCGGTCGCCGACGTCCTCGGCTCCTGCGACGGCGTCGTCGTGGACGTGCTGGGCGACGTGAAGGAGGTCCCGAAAGAGTCCGGCGCGGTCCTGGCGGCGGCGTCGGCGCGCCTCGCGGCGCTCGCGGCGCCCAAGAAGCGCGTGCCGCCGATCGCGGCGGCCGGCGTTGATGATGAAGACTTCCCCTTCGTGTCGCCGTCGCCGACGCACCGCGTGCTCCCCGGGTTCGAGGCGCCCGCGCGGCCCAAGAAGCAGGATTTTGACGGTGGCGACGCCCTCGCGGCGCTCGTGTCGCCGCCGTCGGACGCCCGGCCCGCGCCGGCGTTCGCGTGACATGCCGCCCGCGGTGGACGCCCGCGCGTCCCGCACCCCCTTGCATGCAACCCCCCCTTAGTAAACGGCAGTGCCTAATCCTAGCCCGGGGCCGCGGCGATGGCGTCTGGGGGCGGACCAATGCTTAGGAGAATGTGTTACACGCATATAGATTCAGTCCTGGTCGATCTCGATGACGTCGTCGTCGACGTCCACGTCGATCACGTCCACGGCGTCGTCGTCCTCGTCCATGGCGTCCGCGCCCGCGTCGCCGTCGTCGTCCTCGTCCATCGCGTCGCCGCCGTCGTCGGCGGCGGCGGCCTCGGGCGCGTCCTCGTCCATGTCGTCGGCGCCGTCGTCGTCGTCCGCGGCCGCGTCCACGACCTCGACGTCGCCGTCGGCGTCGGCGGCGCCGAGGTCGACGGACGCCGCCGCCTCGTCGTCGCCGTCGTCCGGCGCCGCGGACGCCTCCTCCTCCGCGGGTGCGTCGTCCTCGTCGGGCGCCGTGACGGGCGCCTCGGACTCCGCGTCGGCGGCGGGCTCCTCCTCGGCCTCCGCGGGCTCCTCGGGGGCTGCCGGCGGCTCCGCCGCGGCCTCGTCCGCGGCAGGCGCGTCGTCGGCCGCCGCGGGTTCCTCGATCGCTGCGGGCGCTTCGGACTCCTCGACGGCTGCGGGTTCCTCGGCCGGCGCGGGCTCCGGCGCGGGCTCGGCCGGCTCCGGCTCCGGCTCGGCGTCCATCGCCGCTGCTGGCTCTGCGACCTCTGCCTCGGCCTCCATCGCCGCGGGCGCCGCGACAGCCTCGGGCTCGGCCTCGGGCGCGGGCGCGGCGGCCGGCGCCGGCTCGGAAGCGGCGGCCTCGGGCTCCGGGGCGGGCTCGGGCTCGGCCTCGGGCGCGGGCGCGGCGGCCGGCGCCGGCTCGGAAGCGGCGGCCTCGTGCTCCGGGGCGGGCTCGGGCTCGGCCTCGGGCGCGGGCGCGGCGGCCGGCGCCGGCTCGGAAGCGGCGGCCTCGGGCTCCGGGGCGGGCTCGGGCGCCGCCGCCGGCTCCTCCGGCGCCGCGGCGGCCGGGGGCGCCTCGCCGAAGGCCGCGGCCACCGCGGCGTCGCCCGCGGTCACGGCCGGCAGTGCCGGCGCGGCCTCGGCGGGCGGCGCCGGGGCCTCGGCCTCCATGGCGTCGTCGGCGGCGACGACGGCCGGCTCGTCCTCGACGACGGCCGGCTCCGGCTCGACCACCGCGGCCTCCTCCGTCACGGCGCGCTCCGCGGCCGGCGGCGGCGGCGCGGCCGGCGGCGGCGGCGCGGTCGGCGCCGGCGCCGGGGCCGGCGGCGCGGCGGCCGGCGGCGCGGCCCTCGGCCGCTTCGCCGCGGTCGTCGGCGGCGCGGCCTTGCGCTTCGGCGGCGCCGGCGGCGCTGCGGCGGCGGCCGCCGCCGCGGCGCGCAGCCCCGCGACCTCGGACGCGAGCGCGTCGTGCGCCTCGGTCTTGCGCGCGAGCGTCTGCTTCAGATCTCTCAGAAACGCGCGCAGCCGCGTCGCCGACGCCTCGGCGGCCTCGGCGCGCGCGACGGCGGCCTTCTCGGCCGCGTCCGCGTTCGCGCGGTCCTCGCTGCGCGCGTCCGCGAGGGCCCGCGCGGCCGCGTCCGCCGCCTGCTGCTCGGCCGCGGCGACGCGCGCGTCCCGCTCAGCTTCGGCCTTCGACGCCTTCTCCTCGGCGGCCGCGGCGCGCGCGACGGCCTCCTCCTTCGCTTTGACGGCCGCCGCGAGCTTCGCCTCCTGTACCTTCTCGTCGACGTCGTCGACGGCCTCGGCCTCCGCGCGGCCCTCGTCGAGGCCCTGGGCCTTGCCTCGCGACTCGGCCTCCTTCACGGCCTCGTCGAGTTCGCTTTTGCCCTTCTCAATACCTCTAGCGACGCCCTTGGCCTCGGCCGCCTCTTCCGCTTTCTTCTTCTCCTCGTTCGCCGACGCGAGCCGCGCCTTGAGCTCGCGCAGGAACTTTCTTAATCTCTCGTTCTCTGCTGTCAATCTCTCCGTGGTGCCCTTGGCCTCGGGCTTGGCCTGGGCCTGCAGCTTCTTGAGTGCCGCTTCCGCCGCGTCGGCCCGACCCTTCTGCGCCTTCGCGTCCTTCCTTGCGGCGCTCAGAGCGGTCTCGAGGGCCTCGCGCCGCGCCTCGAGCTCCAAGGCCTTCGCGCCCTCGCGCACGGCCTCCGCGTCGCTCGCCTCGCGGGCCTGCTGCGCTTTTTGTGCATTGTCCGCGGCCTCGCTCGTCTGGGAAAAGAGCTTGCGCAGGTCGCCGAGCGAGGCGCGGAAGCCGGCGACGGCGTCCTGGCCGCCCATCTGTGCTTTCGGCCACAAGTAGCGTTGGTAGGTCTCTTGCGGCCTGCGCTCAGCCGCGGCGATGGCGTTGAGGCAGTGTATGGCAGCCCGTCGGCTGTAGAGCGCAGTCGATTACGAGTTAGGCTGGCATGGCTAGCGGCCTGTAAGACACTAGGTTTTTTTTCGCCCATGGTGCACTGGCACTCGTGCGGCACGTCACGCACGCATTTGACATCACCAAAGCCGAGCGGCACGCTTCGCGCGGCTGCCAGATTCAGACGGCGGCAGCAACAAAAGTGACCAAAAATAATGGGCCAAGCCCTGTCGGACGCACTTGGGGACTCTCCACCACCACACGATACTCTAGACCCGGGCCCGCTGAGCGACGCCGAGCTGGCCGAAGCGCTGAAGCGCTTCGCAGAGCACGCCACGGACGGCGCGCTGGCCCAGGGCGCGTTCGACGCCATCGCCGAGAATAAGCAAGACGACTTCGCCGCGGCCGCGCGGCACGCGAGCTTTTACGACGCGGCGCGGGCGCGGGCGGCGACGGTCGACGTCCGGGCGTTCTTGGAGTTCTGCGGAGTCGCGACGCGGGGCTCGCGGTCGCGGCGCTTGGAGCACGTGGTGACGGCCGGCCTCGGCGTGCGGACGTTGAGTGATGCCTGCGACGCGGCGCAGACGAAGCGGCTCGCGGCTCTGATGTTTTCCCTCGTCGGGGCGGAACCATCGCCGGCGGTGGAGCGCGCCCTCTCTATGTATGAAGACGCGGGCGCCTGCGCGCGCTGGTGCGACCGGAACGCGCCGGGCCTCGCGGACGCCTACGCGGCGTGGGCGCGGCGGCGGTTCCTGGACGACGCGCGGCCCGCGCCCACGATACCCGCGGCGAGCGGCTTGCTCGCACCCGCTTCGGTACGAGCGTGCCTCCTCCTGTCTGATGTGCGGACGTACGGCGGCCTCCTGCGGCCGCTCTACGCGTCGTCCAAGGACGGCTGGTCCTTCCAGCGCCTCTGCCGCGAGATCCTGGGCTGGGCGGGCCCCACGTTGTTAGTTGCGCGCGCCGGCGCCCGCACCTTCGGCGTGCTCGCGGACGAGGCCTGGCGGGACGACCGGAAGCCGTTCGGGGCCGGCGGCTGCCGCCTGTACACGTTCGCGCCGGCCTTCGCCGTCGCGCGGCCCCGCGCGGGGCAATCTCAGGACCTGCTCTACCTGAACACGAAGGGCTCGGCCAGCGTTCCGAAGGGCCTGATCATCGGTGACGGCGCCGTGCACGTCCCCACGGAACTCGGCGACGCGCGTATTAAGGTCGGACGATCCCTGGCGTTCGAGAGTCTGGCTCTCGTCGACGACGCGACGGTGCGCCGCGACGGCGGGTGGGTGGACGTCGACGAGTTGGAGGTCTGGGCCGCCGGCGACGCGGGCGCCCTCGAGGCGGCGGCGGCGGGCCGCGCCCGGGCCCGGGGCCTGCGCGCGGACCACATCGCCCGGGCGCGCAAGGTCGACAAGGCCAAGTTCCTGACCGAGTTCGACCAGGAGATGCTCCTCGGGAAGACGTTCAACACGGGCGCGGACCGGGCGAGGACGTAGTGGTAGTGTATACGTGTTTTTTTTTTGTGTGCAACTCGTTGTTGTCGGTGGGCCGCGTGTTACTGTTACGGTGCTAGGATAGTGTGTACTGTTACGAGGGGAAGGAGTAGCCTAGCCTGAGGTTTTTCTCTTTTTATGCAAGAGGCCTCGGGACTCTCGCAAGAAATGTTCAACCTGCTCTACGAACGGGTGCGCGCCACCGAACACGCGCCGCGCGGTCCGTTCCGCGTCCTCGAGCGTCGTCACGGACTCGCGGCGATCGTCGAGCGTGGCGGCGGGGTCCTGGTGGAGCGCCCTCGCGTAATTGAAGCGCATCCGGAGCGTGAGATGATGATCCTCTCCGAGGACGCGTCGCGCTATGGGCAGCGTTTTGCGCAACAAAGACATTACTGTTTTGTAGCGCTGTAGCTGGATCAGGGAGTCCACGTAGTTGTTGGCCGATATGAGGGTATCTGTATGTTCCTCGCCCTTGAGCTTCAAGTATCCAGAGTAAACGATTCGCTTCATTCGTAAGGCCAATTCGTGCCGCTCTAGCTTTGCATACGTCACCGCAAGATTGCCCTGTACGTCGAGGATGTTGTGTGCTAATGTGCCAATGCGCCGCAACGTAGCCAACTCGGTCTCTTTCACGGACAGCGCGTCCTCGTACAGTCCTGTTTCTAGTAAACCATTCCCATGCTCCGATATCGCGGCAGTCCGATGCCAGTCCGTCTCCGGCCGGCCCAAGTACGTCTTCCAGCACGCCCACCCGAGCGCGCACCGCACGATACCGTAGCAATCTTGCTCGCACAGGCCGCACTTGTGCCACCGCTCCCACCTCGGTTGCTGCTCCAAATTGTTCTCCTCGGCCTCCGCAACCAAAATCTTCGCCTGCTCCGCCAGACACGACACGTGCGCGAAGCCCGACGTTCCGCTGCACGCACACATGCGCACGAGGCCCTCCTTCGTTTTCGAGTGAAGGGCCTGCGTGCAGATGTAGCACGTCTGGCCCTTCGTGTCCTCCGCGCAAGCCTCCGCCGCGACCGAAACGACCTCCGTGTACTTCTTATTTGCGTTATATTGCTCAGCGCCGCCAGCTTTTTTTATTTTCTTACAGAGCTGGTCGTGGCCGCCCTCTTCCCAGTGTTGTTTCTGGCATGCGGGCCCACAGTAGCGCGTACTGCAGCGGCCGCATTTTTTGCCCCTGGTTAAGCCAAGGTCCGTGGCGCAGACGGCGCACTGCGTGAGGATCATCGTACCGCGTCCCTCCTTGGCTTTGGGCAGCCTCACGCCGTCGACGCGTCCCCAAAGGGCTTGCTTGATAGTGTCTTCAATCTGCAAGGGCAGCTAGCGGTCTGTGACATACTAGCCTTGCTAGTGTGTTACATGCGCTCTAGCTCGAAAAATAGTGACAGCGTTTGGACGCGATTTGACGCGCCGGGCATCGAGAGTGCGCGGCGACGGGATCTCAAAAAAACAACTCGCCTGCTCTGAGAGCGACGCCCGTGCAACCATGCGCCCGGCCGCCGCCGTCGAGGCCCACCGCCAGCGCGAGTGCGACCCCCCAAACCGATCGAGGCGACCAATTCAGAGTCAGGGGACCCGCTTCGAGCGCCAGCCGCCGGCGCCGCCCCAAACGTATGACGCGAGCTTCGTGAGGGCGGGCGGCGCGCCCGTCGCGTTCGCGATGAGCGACGAGCCGGAACGAAAGCCCGAGCGGAAGGGGCGGCAGATCGACGCCTTCCTCGAGGAGCTGAAGACGAGGCAGGCCGGCGAGCCGCAATTACCCATCAAGGGGTCGTACCCGGATGGGGATAGATCGACGACGAATCTCTACGTGGGCAACATCTCGCCGGCGACGACGGAGGCGCAGCTCGCCAAGATCTTCGCGCGGTATGGGCAACTTGAATCCGTGAAGATCATGTGGCCGCGGACGGACGAGGAGCGGCGGCGCGGCCGGAACTGCGGCTTCGTCCAGTACTCGAAGCGGCAGGACGCCTGCGCCGCCAAGGATTCGCTGGACGGCGAGTACGTGGACGGGAAACGGATCAAGGTCGGCTGGGGCAAGGCCGTGCCCGAGGCGCGCGTGCCTCAACAACCTGCGGGCCCGTCTTTATCCGATCTCGCGGCGGAAGCCCAAGCCCGCGCGAAGCAGGTGCTCATGAAGGCCACGGGTATGACACCGATGAAGGATTGTGACGCGCGGATCTCTGTTGTTATTCCCGCCGACCCGGAGCAAAAAGATATTGCGGACCGACTCGCGGAGATTGTTGTCGAGGACCCGGGTGTCGAGGATGTCATACGGGAGCGGGAGAAGGAGAACCCGTTATTTAGTTTCTTGCGGCGGAAATCATTGGTGCAAACGTATTACCGATGTCGGGTCTGGACGCTGCTCATGGGGGCGCGCAGCCCCCAGCCCTTCCGCATGGCGGACCCGGGGCCCTTCTGGGTGCCTCCTGGTTCGGAACGGTCTCGCAGTCCGTCGCCGGAGCCGCTTGAAGAAAGAGAAGAAGAATTTATGACCGGTAGACAAGCTGAGAGGGCGAGAGAAGCTAATAGAGCCAGAGGGAAGCACCGCAAGCTCACGGTCGAGGAGCGGGAGATGTTAGTATTAAGTGTCGAGGGGCTGACGTGTTCCCGTGCGCTGATCGCCGAGGCTTTATTACGTTGCTACGACGCCGCGACGTCCGCCCCTGATGTTTGCTTAATACTGAAACGATCTATTTGTAGATGCGCCATGACGACGTCCCTAGCGTCAAGAGCAGCGCGACTATTCTTGATCTCGGATGTGCTGAGGAACGCCTCTTCGTCGAGAACCGGCGCGACCTTTCGAACGACGATCCAACGGTGGCTGCCCGAAGCTTTAGAGTCGTTAGCGAAAGCGAGACACGCGACGACACATAGGATAGCGAAGGAACGTTTCGAAAGGCGCGTCGAGGCCACTCTACAAGCGTGGCTCCGGTGGTCCCTGTTTCCACCCGCGTTCGTCCACGGTCTGGAATCCGCCTTCTTCTTCGATGAGAACGACGACGACGACGTGCATGCTCATCAGGGCGAGCGGCCCGACGTGCTGGCTTTGAAGAGGAGGGCGCGCCAGGCAGGGGTCTTCGACGGCGACGACTGGCGGCGGATCGCGCGGCGCGTCAATCGAGCTAGAAGGTTCTCGAGGGCGCGGCTGTCGGGCGCGTCGTGCGAGGAGGCCGTCGCGTTGGCGGCGGAGGCCGCGCGGCGCGAGCGGCCCGTACAGCCGAAGCCTCCGGTCGTGCAAGCGGCCGAGGAAGACTCGTCGGACTGCGACGGCGAGCCCTGCGACGCGGCGGATCTGGTGGACGAGCGCGACCTCGTGCCGCCGGCGATGCTGCCGCCCACGGGCTTCGCGGTGCGGACGCTTCCTCCGGCGCCGGCGCCGGCGCCGCAGAAGCCGCGCTCGCCGCGCGCGCCGATTCAGCGCCGCCCCCGGTCGCGGTCGCGGTCCCGCGAGCGCCGGCGCGAGCGCGCGCGCTCGCCGCGGCGCCGCCGGAGCCGGAGCCGTTCGCGCGAGCGCCGGCGCGAGCCGCCGCCGCGGGGCCGGCGCGACGACTACTACCCACGGCGCTGAACGTCGTCGTCGCGCTAATCTTTGGTATTGTTAGGCCCCTAAAACTTGGCCGGGGCCCCTTCTTCAAGCGTCTCAGACGGCGACGGCGCGTTCCGCGGCGATGGGCTCCGAGAAGTGCTGCGCGACCGTGTCCGGCGTCACGGAGGGTTGCAAGGGCGAGCCCTTCGACGCGAGCGTCGCGAGCGTGTCGAGGTGCAGCGACGCCGCGCGCTCGAGCGACACGATCCGTTCCAAACCGGGCACCTTCGGCGCGCCCTCCACCACATTTCGGGGAGACGACGCCCGCCCGTCCGGCGGCGTCACGGAAGGAGGCGGCGGCGGCGGCGACGACGACCGCACGAAGCACATGGCCGACGCGCCCCGGAGCACCTCCGCGTCCGGCTTGCGCGCTTGTTGACTGCGGCCGACGGCGCCGCGCTCCGTGTTCTCGCAGTCGAGGCAGACGCAGTCGTCGGCGCAGAACTGGCCCGCCTCGAAGCACTCGCAGTAGCGCTTCAGGCAGCGGCTCCGCTTGCACGCGCACGCGCGGCCCTTCGTCTTGCGCGACGCGAAGGCGTCGGGGTCCCGCGCGAGCGTGGCTTTCACCGCGGCTTCGCGTTGCGCGCCGCCGTCGACGTTCAGGCAGCCCTGGCAGTTGCAGCCGTCGCACGGCTTGCCCGCGGCAAAGCACGCACAATACAGCTTGAGGCACTTGGACGCGCGGCAGTAGCAGGGCTGGTGGCCCTCGACCATTACCGTAGAATCCGACGCCGTCGACGGCCAGGACTGGAGCCGGAGTAAAGCCGCGGGCCGCTTCCGCGGCGCGGACGAGGACGGCGCGGCGCGCTTGCTCCGGGCGGGCGGCGCCGACTTGCGGATGACCGCGACGGCGCGATCGACGCGGTCGTCGTCCAATAGGAGCGGGAGGGCCGCCGTCGACGCGCCGGGCACGTCCGGGGCCGTGGCGCCTTGGGCCGCCTCATCAGACACGAACTGCTCGATCTTCCGCCGCATCGAACAGTTCCAGCGGTTCTTGACGGCGTTGTCCGTGCGCCCCGGCAGGGCCTGGGCGATGTCGGCCCAGCGCGCGCCGCACCGCGCGTAGCTCCGCAGGATGACCTTGTCCTCGGCGGCCGTCCAGGGCAGCTTGCTGATGTCGGGGTTCAGCTGGTTGTGCCACCGCTCCCGGCACTGCTTGCCCGTGCGGCCCGGCAGGTGCGCCGCGAGGACGGACCACTTGCGCGTGCCGTGGCCCTCGATCGCGCGCAGCAGGAGCTCGTCCTCGGCGGGGGACCAGGCGCCCTTGACCTGCGTTGCGTGGGGTGTGTGGGGCGGTTGGCGTCCGGACCCTAACCGGCGGCGGAGCGTCACGCGGGCGAAAAAGCGGCGCCGCCGGCGCCGGCCGCGCTGCGCAGCCGCCGTAGGGCTGTGCGCGCGGCCATCCGGCGGGCGGTGCTCGGTCTTGGGCCCAGCGCCGCTGCGGCGTTACAAATGCAGTCGTGAAACCGTGACGCCGGGAGCCACCACGATCACCGGCCCATTGCCGGTGACTGCGCGTTTCGCTGTGACCTTCCGCTCGGCCATAGGGGGCAAACTGCGTGAGGGCGGCGCCAATTACCAACGCCTTCGTCCACCATGCAACTGTGGGCTAGTGGGGCCGCCATTACGAGCGGAGAACGGAGGTGTCTCCGCCGATCCTTTTACCCCTCCTTTTACCCCTCCGCGCGGCCGGCCACGACGACGACGGGCCCGGGCCCCGCACCTTCCGCTCAGCGATGCCAACATGGGCAATATGATCAGATCCTAGTGGAAATCGAACTGAAATGGACGGACGTCGTACTAGGAGCTGTCAGACACGTCCTCTCTTGGCGGCGCAGCCAATTCATTGAAAGGGTGCGGGTCCAAGTGGGCCAGCGCCATTCGAATTAAGGCGACGACGTCACACACGCGGCTGAGGATTTGGAAAGTGCGCGGCGGCTCTCGCAAGAAGAAGTCCGCCATCGTGCCGTCGCCGCCCTCTGTTCCGACGCCGCTCGCTGCTGCTGCTGTTGCCGCTCCTGGACCGCTCTGCGCGCCGCCGCCCGTCGCGCCGTCGCCTGCCGCTTCTCTGGACGCCACGCAGTCGCCGTGCGCCGTCGCCGCGGCGGCGCGCGCTGGCCGAGAACGGCCCGCGCGTCTGATCGGATTGGATTTGGCCTGCGCCCTGCTGGCGTTCTCGCGCCTTCGGGCCGGCGGCGGGTCGATCTAGTCTCTGTCTCCGCAACACGGAGCGCTGTTGTAATAGTTTATCAAACTATATCTAGACGCACCGTGACACACACTAAACCAAAACTTACGAGAAGACAAAGAAAAAAACCACTACCGCAGCTCGATGCGGAACAGCTCCCGCTCCGCCGCGCTCACGCCCAGCTGGTCGAAATCGTCGGAGGTCAGCAGGGCCAAATCAGACACGCGCTTCGCCCCGAGGCGCTCCAGCGCCCCGAAGTGCGCGCCGAGGCCCCGCGACAGGAGCCACTCGTGGAGCCGCGACGTCGCCTGCTGCCGCGTCGACACGGCCACGGCGGCGTCGTAGCCCTGCGACGGGTCGGGCGGCGACGGCGGCCAGGGCCTTCCCGCGGCGTGGGCCGGCGCGCGCGCCGCTCTAGCCGTCCGCCGCCGCTGGACCACCTGCAGCACGACGTCGCGCGTGCCTCCCGGCGTCGGCGGCACGTCGTCCGTCACGTCGTCGGAAGACCCAAACAACCTCAGCTGCCGCAGGGCCCTCCCGATACTCTCGCCGTTCGTCTCCCGGGGCGTCCGCGGCGCTTCGCCGCCCCACGCTCTTTCCCGCGCCGCGGCGTCGCCTTCATCAGAAAAGGGCGAGAAGGGGGCCGCCGGCGCGCGCGCCTCCAACCTCACCTCCGTGAGGTGCGGGTCCGCGAGCGTGCTCTCCGACCCGTCGTCGCTGCCGTTGTCGGCCGCCAGACCGAAGCCGCAGGAGATGCTGCCCATGAGCGTGGTCAGCGACATGGTGGATGACGGTGCCTTGTCCGGCGCGCTCATGTCGTTGGTGGGGGTGTCCAATTGCGGTGCGGCTCCGGCACAATCCGCGCGTCAAAAAAAAGTGCGGGCAGCTGGTGCGGGATGTGGAGGGGGGGATGTGCGGGCTCCTCGCTTCCTTCAGCTTTTCAGACGACAACTCGCGAGCGCCACGCCGGGGCACTGCCCCGACGTCCACGCCCATCTTCTCGTGCGCCGCGGGGCTGCTACTCCGGCGGCAGCGCGTCGCGCCGGTTCAACTTCGCGTCAACCCTTGTTCCACCAGCGTGTTCGCGGTCGAGGGTGGTGCCACACCCGGCAAAAACGGCAATGAAGCCCGTCCGAAGGCGCCGCCCGCGCCACGACGCGCCGCTCGTCGACGTCGCCTGGCCCGCGAACGCGCGCGACCTCGACTGCAGCGGCCACTCGAGCGGCGCCGACTCCTTCGACCGGTCGCTGCGGGCCGCGGCGGCCGCGTCCCAGGAGAAACCGCCCGGACGGCGCCCGCGCATGGTCGTGGGGCTGCTGCTGGCGCAGGTCGCGGCGGTGTCGACGGGCGTGCACTATTCTCGAGAGATCAGACATTTGGCCGCGGCGGTAGATAGGGTCGGCTTTTTGAGATATAAACTGGGCAAGGTGTCGCAGCGGGCGACGGTCGCGGCCTTGAACGACTGGAATCGAGATCTGGGCGAGGTCGAGGAGGCGACGGGTGCCCTGGAGGACGTGCGCGCCGCCGCGGCGGCCTACGAGGGCGCATTAAAAGCTATCCATGAGACGGGCCTGGAGAAGCTCCACGCGGCCGAGGCCGTCGTCGTGCGCGCGCTCACGCACGCGAACGAGGCGCTCGCGCGCGAGCTCGATAGGAGGTGGCACGCGCTGCTCGCGCTGCTGGGTGCTATCGAGGGCTGCGCGTTGGTGGGCTGCGCGCTCTACGAGCGGCGGCGCTAGTGTTGTACATACGTGGTGGACTACGCGCCCGCCGCCGGATCTTCCCCCCAGGGGCTCCGCCCAGGCCTAGCACCGTAACAATAGAATGTGATTACTAGAAGTCGTCGTAGAAGACCTCCTCGAGGCACAGGCCGCGCGCGGGCGCGGACTTTGTCGGGTTGTCGCGGCGCGTCTTGCGTCCCGAGAGGAGCTCGTCGAGCTCGTCGAGTTTCAGTTTGCCCGTGCCGCAGGCCACACACGCGCCGACGACGTTGCGGACCATGCGGTACAGCGCCCCGTCCAATTCGATTTGTACGGTGTAGTCGCCAAAACCTTCGTCCTCGGCCTCGATGGACCGAATCTCGCGAATCGTGTCCATCTCCAGGGGGTTTTGCGTAGGCGCGTTGTTCGCGAAGGCCTTAAAGTCGAAGCGGCCCCGGCACCTTTGGAGTGCATTTGACAGCAACGCAAAGTCCAGGTCCTCGTAACACACGTGGGCCCGATACAACCTCTCCAGCGGGTCCTGGGACCCGTAGCGCGCCGTCATCCGGTACGAGTAGCGCTTGCCCGTGCTGCACGCGATCGCGTGCCAGGGCTTCTCTCCTCCGGGCGGCGCCTCCCGGACACAATTTATCCGCACGTCGTCCGGCAGCATGCGGTTCAGCTGGTGCTTCAGGAGATCCACGTCCGCCACTTCTTCCGGTAGATCGACGTGGGCCGCCTGGCCGCGGGCGTGCACGCCGCTGTCCGTCCGCGACGCGCCGAGGAGCGGCACGTTCGCGCCGTCGAAGCGCGTCGTGAAGGCTTTCCTTAATTCGCCCTCGACGGTCCGCGCGTTCGGCTGGTGCTGCCATCCATTAAAATGCGTGCCGTCGTAGGCCACGCGGAGCGCGTAGCGCGCGGCCCTCGTCGTGTGCGCGATGGTGGCGAGCAGCGGCAGCCGCATGCGGCCCACGCTGCACCGCTGCGCTGCCAAATGCTGCACTGAGGGCTGGGTGCCAGCCAGAGGGTGGGTGGCCCACGACAGCTTCGTGTGAGTTCCGTTTAGATGAATGCGACGTACTGCCGTCAAAATGCGCCTCTCAGAGCCCCCAGCGCACGCACGCACGATTGCAGCGAGCTAGCGGCATGTAAGACACTAGCAAGCCAGCTTTTGCGGCCTCTTGCGCATTGCCTCGTCTGTTATACATCGCAAAAGCAACCTCAGAAGTCTCGCACGCCATCGCTGCGACCGCGTGCAGCAACCCTGGCGAAGTCCGCCGTGATTCTTGGCGCATACAGTAGTGCAGCAGCCATGAGTGCCTTCGGTACAGGTACGAGGGCCATGCAGGGCAGCCTCTTCGTTTACGCGCCGGGCCGCCAGGCTTTTGTCACTGGCTCCCTACAAAAGAAGGCGGCAGTTTTATTAGGCGGCCTGTCCGACGGCCTCCTGGCGTGCCCGTACGCGCCGCCGCTAGCCAAGGCGCTGGAGGCGCTGGGCTACGCGACGGTGCAGCCCATTTTACGAACGAGCTACGCGCAGTTCGGCTTCGGGAGCCTGGACAACGACGTCGAGGATCTCGAGGAGCTGTTCGGCTGCGAGGCGTTCAGGGGCGTCGAGGAGGTTTTTATGGTCGGCCACTCGACGGGGTCGCAGGTCTGCGCGCACTACGCGAGGCACGGCAAAGCCGAGAAGAAATTGCGCGTGTGCCTCCAGGGCGGCGTGAGCGACCGCGAGACGGACTCGGAGCGGGAGGTCGTCCGGCGGTCGCCCATCTTAACGAGGGCGCAGTGGCAGGTCGACACGGGCAAGGGCGCCGAGTTCCTGCCGCGCGAGTGCCACTGGGCGCCCATGACGGCGCGGCGCTACCTCGACCTCCACGACGTCGGCGGCGCGGACGACTACTTCTCGTCGGACCTCGCTGCCGACGAGCTGCGGAAACGGTTCTCGGCCTTCGGCGCCCGGGGCGTGGGCTGCCTCGTCGCCTACAGCGGCGCCGACGAGTACGCGCCGAAGAGCGTGGACAAGGCGGCGCTCGTGGAGAAGATCTGCGGCGCCTGCGCGGCGGGCAACGCCGCGCGCGTCGCCGGCCTCGTCGTCGCTGGCGCGCCGCACAACTGCGCCGGCGCCGAGGAGGCGTTCGTCGCGGCCTGCGTCGCGTTTCTGACGGGCGGGGCCGTCGAGGGCGCGTGCTTCGATACACTTAAGTAGTCCTTATGACTGCGCCGACAACGGCGTGGGGGTTCTCGAAGGTCACAGCTTCGATACACTTAAGTAGTACTTTATCATTACACGGGCGTCCTTATGACTGCGCCGGCACGATGGCGTGGAGGTTCTCGAAGGTCACACGGGCTTCCCCGCGACGCACACGAGGTTGATGCAGTAGCGGTTGCCCTTGCCGTCGGGGAGGTTGTGCCCTAAATGAGTTCCGTCGACGGACACGGTCTCGCCGTCCCCCAGAACGCGCACGTGCTCCCAGTTGACCTCGGCATCTCTAAACGACGGCCAGCCGTGGGCCTTGGACTCCTTGAGGAACTCGGCCTTCGTGCGGCCGACGGGCGCCCGGAAGAGCTGCTTGCCGCTCACGGAGTCGTAGTAGTTGATCGGCTCCTCGGGAATTTCCGTCGGCCACGACGTGCCCCAGGCGTAGCCCGAGTGCTCCGCGTAGTGGCGGTTGAAGCAGCAGATCCTGTCGGCCGTTTTGGCGTCGCAGCCGAAGCGCAGGTCGTGCTGGACCGGTTGCGTGCACGTGCCGTGGGCCTTCGGGCCCATGATGTCCTCGCTGCCCATGACGACGGGCGGGCCGTACTTGGTCTGGCCCATGACGACTAGGACGAAGCAGGCGGCGGCAAGTGGAAGTACGAGTCCCCGACGTAGGTCTCGAGGCGCACGTTCGCGACGAGGCCCTCGGCGCGGAATGCTTCCTGGACCTGGCGGCAGCCCTCGAGGACGACGTCGCGCGTCCGCTCGGGCGTGGCCTTGGCGCGGACGCTCACGTAGACGTCCTCGTCGAACTGGTCGCTCGTCCAGTCGTCGACGCGCGTGAGCAGGAGCTTCGTCGTCTGGGGTTTCACGCCCCAGATCTCGCAGAGCCTGGCCTGCAATTTAGGCAGCGGGATGGCCTTCGTCAAGGCCTTGTGCGCGAAGAGGCGGACGAGCGGCATCAAAGGCCTGCGGCGGCGGTGGCTGTGAGAGCACTGCGTGGTTTTTGGGCGACGCGTGCACTGCTCGCGCGCTCGCACGCTGCGCGCCACGTGCTCGCTGAGAGAGAATTTTCCACGCTGTTATCAATGCCGATCGAGCGAACAATAAGCTCTGCCCACTTCAGGACGGGAAGCCACACAAGGCTAGTATGTCTATGACGCTAGTCTCCCGTCTCGCAAAGATTTTTTTTTAATTCGCGGCCGAGGAGCCGCCATGCTCCAAGGCGGCTGCGCCGGTTAAATCCTGTCAATCCCTGCCGAAGAGGCGTTCCTGGGGTCGCCTAGGGTCAGGACGGGGCCACAGATGCTCTGAGACAGCGCGCGCATGCGCTAGCCTGCTTCCGATGGACAACAATCGTTTTCCTGCTGCAACTTGACGTCTGCGGGCCAAGCTCTTACCCTAGCCCCTCTAGCCTCCCCTCAAAGCACGCCAGGAACACTCGCACAAGTGACATGCCGCCGAAGAAAAAGCCCAAACACGATCCGAATCAGACGACCCTAAACTTCGCCGGCGGCGCATTAGGCGTGCGGCGCGACGTCGTGGCGGGCGAGCCGCAGCAGCGCCGCATCACCGGCTTCGTGCCGCGAAACCCGCCGCCGCCGCCACCGGTCGCCGCGCCCGCGCCGCCAGCCGCCGCGCCGGCACCCGCAGCGCCCGCACCCGCGCCAGCACCCGCGCCGCCGGTCGCCGCCCCTGCGCCCGCCGCACCGGCCGCCTCCGACGGCGACGACGCCGCGCCCGCGCCGCCGGTCGCGGCGCCGGCACCCGCAAGACCAATCGACTCCGACACGGACGACGACGACTTCGCGGGCCCGCCCTGCTGCGTCTGCCTGCGGGCGCGCCGCGACCACGCGTTCCTGCCGTGCGGCCACCGCTGCGTCTGCGGCCCGTGCGGGCGCATGGTGTCGCGCCGCGAGGGGCCGCGCTGCCCGATGTGCCGCGCGCGCATCCAGTCCGTGCAGCAGATTTACACATAGAAGCCCGATGTAGCTGAACAGCCAACTACCATCTACGACTAAGAGACTATTACAATGGTGGATGGCGGGAGGTCAAAAGTCGCCGAGATCGTCCGTCAGGTCGAGCACGAGCTTGGAACCTTCGGTATTCTCCTTGAAGGCCGGCTTGCCGAGGTGCGGGCAGGACGCGCAGCGGAAGGCGTCGCCCTTGCCGCAGTTGCCGCAGCTCGACGCGTCCGCCGGCGGCGGCGGCCGGACGCCGTCGCCCTCCGCTTCGAGTTGCTCCTTGCGGCCGCACGTGCAGTTCTCGCAGGGCTTCCGCGGGGCGCACTTCGCCGCCGCCTCGTCGACGGCCGGCGGCTCGAGCCCGTCCGCCGCGAGGAGCGCGTCCTCGTCCACCAAGTCGTCGTCGTCGCCGTCGACGCGCGCGACGGGCGGTGGCGCCCGCCGCCGCCGCCGCGCCGCCTTCTTCGGCGGTGCCAGCTTCGTCGCGACGAGCTGCGTCCCGTTTGCTTCGAGCGCGAAGCCGCCCAACAACAAAGCCATGCGCGAGGCCTCGAGGTGCGCCGGCTCCGCGAAGTCGATGGCCACGGCGCCGCCGTCGGCCAAACAGTTCTGGTAGGTCTTCACTTGATCCGCGTCGAGGGGCGCCGGCGCGCGGACGCACATGGAGGCCATGGTTTTATAAGGCGCGCGGCGTCTGGCGTCTCCGAGCAGGTGCCTACTAGTAGTGTGGCGTGCGGCGACGAGGCGGCGCGTGCGCTAGGGCGGCAGAGAGCGGAAACGTTTGCGTTTGCAGCGTCCTGGTGTCGGGCCTGGGCTCAGGCGAGGATCGACGAGTTCGAGTTGCCGCGGCGGCGGATTAACTAGCGTGCTAACTTACTAGCTCAGCACGAGAAGTGCTCCGAAGGGCTCGTATCCCTCTCCAGGCCGCCATGCCCGTTCGGGGGACGTATGTAGTGTTCGGCTAGCCCCACCTCGCGCGCGCAGCGCGACATCACGCGCAGACTCTCGAGTCAACCCTTGAACCCATTGAGCAGAGTGCCGCAGCAACAACGCCATCGAGCAGGCAGCAGCCCCGGGCAGCCCCACCATGCTCCTCGCACCGAGGGAAAAGGCCCAGCTCCAATCTAGACGTGAGGCCCTGCGCCGGCTCGAGGAGGACTTCTTCGGCGGCAAGACGACGCGGCAGGTCCAACAGACGTGGCGGGTCTCTTCCCAAAATTACCGGGCACCTAAACAGGATTCTTTCGAGGCGGCCGCTCGGCGCGCCAAGGCCCTCGCGAGGTTAGGCATAGCGGACGCAGACTGCGAGAAGCGCGAGACGCGCCTGACGCTCTGGCCGGCGTACAAAGATTTGTCAGATGGCGACGTCCTCTGTACCATACAACAGCCCTCGAATGGCACGTGGCGGTCGGTCGCGCAAGCGGAACACCTCAGGAGGCGCCTCCTGCTGCGTGTTAAAGCATTAGCGGTGTGCGGCCTCGAGTTGCATTCCGTCAGGGTGCAGCTCGTCGAGCCGCCGTCACCAGCACGGACGGCCTCGGTGGAGCTAGACGACGGTACAATACATACGACAAAACCGACGCAAGCGGAAACCATCGACCGCCCCGTCGCTGTGCAAGTATGTGGGGTCTTCGGCGGCCACTTGTATGTGGATCGCCTCGACGGCGCGCGCGTCGGCGACAGTTTATGCGGCTGGCTCGCGGCGCGCGGCGCGCCCCTCGCGTCGATAGACGAGGAGGCATTGCTGGAGGTGGAGAAGGAGGCCGATTCAATAACGCGGCGGAGCGACGCGCGGAAGTGCCTGAAAGCGGTGCGCGCGCTCTGCGGCCACCGGAGCGAGATGCGCTTCGACGAGCTGCGCGAGGCGTTTTTGTACGCGCCGACGGACGTGCTGGACCCCTTCAAGGCGGGGCCCTGGGAGGACGTTTTCGGCGGCGGCGCCGTTATATCCCTCGCGCAACTGAAGCGCGGCCTGCACCGGCTTCTGAAGTGCCGCCGGCGAGGCGTCGGGCTGGAGGCGCCTCCCCTCTCGGTGGTCGGGCCGCCGATCTTCGGCGGGCCGCCGCCAGCGCCGCCGCCCGCGGACGACGCCGCCGACGACGGTGGGGGCGTCGACGACGCCGAAGTCGAGGCGCACGCCGACGAGTATGCCGACGACGCCTTCGACGAGGACCCCTCGGAGAAGCCTGGGAGCTATGCGGATGATTTTTTCGAGGTCGAGGCGCCCGCGGGCTAAGCTTCTTTTGTGAATTGTGACTCTAAATTGTGACATAACATCCCGTCGACAGGCGATAACTCTCTGCGCGTGTCGCGTTTGCTCAGGCTCAGGCTAGTTACGTCGCGGGTCCCCCGTACCCCTCCCGCCCCCCCCCGGGCCCACCCGTCCGGCTGGACTAGGACGCAAGGGCTGAGTCGCAGGGACTCGCGCCCTTGCTAGCGTGTTACAGGACGCTAGCCCGCAATATTGTACAATTGTCTCTCGCTTTGGCATTATTGGTCACACGTATTCCATAGCTTGCGACAAAGCACGGCATCGCTGCTGCCGCATCGCCACCCAACAAATTGCAAAACCTGCAGCCCTGCGGACACTAGCAGCACAATATGGGCGCCCGCAGCGCATTTGTCGCTGCAGCACGACGCCACGCGATAGACGGAAACTGGCGCGGCTGCGCGCGGTCGCTGCTGCGCTGGCGCAGCGCCATACGCAGGGGCGAGGCGGCGCGCGCGCGGCCCTGCGACGGCCGCGTCGTCGGCGCGGCGGTCGCGCGCGGCTGCCTGCCGCGCCTGCCGGACGCGGCCGCGACGCAGAGAATAGCGGAGTACCTGGGCGAGGGCCGGGCGGCCCTGCTGGACCGCGCGCGCGGCGCCGAGGCCGAGACGCACGCGCTCGCGGCGCGGTGTGCGCACGTCGCGGCGGCGCTCGAAGGCGGCGACGACGCCGCGCGGCGCGCGGGCGCGGAGCTCGCGCAGCGCGCCGGCGACCAGGTCGCCACGAAGACGTTGGCCAAGGCGCGCGCGCGGCTGCTGCTGGCACTCGGCGACGCGGAGGCCGCCGCCGCGTGCCACGCGTCGATGGACCTGCTGCCATTCGCGGATCAAATAACAATACGGCCCCTCGCCTCCAAGTTGCTTGCCGTGAAGGCGTCGCAGCGGCGCGGCGAGGACGTCGTAACATCAATATTGCGGGCGTGCCGGCGCCTCGCGCGCGTCGCGCGACCGGGCGACGCGGGCGTCGCGGACTTTGCGATGGACATCGCTGAGACTCATTTGGAGCGCCTGAATCATTTGGGAGCGGGCGCTTTGCTCGAAGTACTCTTCGCGAGCGATCGGAGGCGGGACGCCGCGTTCGTATTGAACCGATTGCGCACCGAGGAGGCCTGGCCGCGGCCGACGGCCGAGATTTTTAGTATCGTGGTCCGCGACTTGATTTTGCGAGGCGAGCCGGCCGAGGTCGTCGAGGACGTGCTGGTCCACATGGCCAACGACGCCATCGCGCCGACGCCGCGCGTCCTCGACGCGTGCCTCGCCGCGCCGCACGCCGTGCAGCTCTCTTTAATACAACGCCTGCACGCTTTGTCGGGCGCGCGGCCGTCCTATGACCTGTTCGTGGAGCGGTGCGTTTCTACGAATCTGGCCGAGGAGAACTACGACGAGGCCCGGCGCGCGGCCTACGTGCTCGAGCAGATGTGGCCCGACGCCGACGTGTCCTCAGTGTTCGAGGAGCACGAGGCCGAGCTCTACTAGCGCCCCACGCCATCGACGCGACGTGCTTCCGTAGCTGCGTCTGCGCGATGGCGTGGAGGCTCACGAAGGTCCACGCAATATTTCTCAGATAGCCTAATGTTGTTGTTAATCTAAAGCGGTTACGGGCAGGCTTTCCCGCAGTTCTAGCAAAGAAGCCTCGTCGTCGCCCGTCAGGGCGAACTCGACGAGGTAGCCGGGCGTCCCCTCGACCCGCAAGAGCGTAATGCGCGCGCCGCTCCTGTGGACGTAGCGTCGTCCACGAACCGTTCGTGCCGGCGCCTTCGTCGCGTAGCCTAGCCCTTGGAGAAAGGCCCGCGCGCCGTCGTAGTCGGTGCCGGCGAGCTCGGACGCGCGCCGCCGTCGCGTGCGCGCGACCTTGCCCTTGGCGCGCATCGGGTTCCGCTCGCCGATTACAACTATTTGGCGGAGCGCCTCGTCCAGCGCGTCGCTCGAGCAGAACGGCGCATTTGCCGCGTCGCCGCCCGCGCCATCGAGCAGCACCTCCCGCTCCTCGCGCAGCCGCCACAACACGTCCGCCCGCGTCGGCGCCCGGAGGTAGCTCTCGGCGTAGGTTATCAAAGCAGTGCGGCTCGGGTGGCAGCGCATGCGCAGCTGCAGCAGCAGGCGGTCGAGGCCGCCGTCGGCGCACGCGGCGCGCAGCACGATCTCGCTCGTCTCGTCGTCCTGCTGGGCGGCGAGCTGGGCGGCCATTTTTTATCTATTCGCTGTGTCTCAACGCGTGCGTTCTTCGATCGCGCGACGGCGTTTTTGCGCTGCTTTTACCGTTGCACGGTCAATCGATGCGCTGCATGCGTCGCGTGCGGAAAAATTCTAATGCGGCGACCATAACACTACTGCTGAGGAGCCAAGCGAGCTAGCGACCTGTAAAGACACTAGCCAGAGCTTGGCCCATAGTACGGGCGAACGTTGCACATTGTTCGGGGGGGGTTGCCGAGGCGGTTCTGCTTAGAAGGAGGTACGCTGTTATGAAAGAAGCGGCCCGCGCCCGCCGCCGATGAATCGGCGACGCGCGGTGTCTCCCCCCCAGGGGCTCCGCCCACTAGTCCTAGCACCGTAACATCGACTAACCATAGTCCTCCTTCTCCCGAGTAGTAAACGGACATATGCACATGCGCGTGCTAAGCCCCCCCCCCTAGACTTCGGTCTCTGAGCCGTCAGTCGTCGCCGCCGCGCCCCCCAAGTACCGCTCCGCGAGCTTCCGGAAGTTCCGACTTGCGCGTGCGTAGTGTCACGATGGGCCAGAACGGGGGAGGGAACGGGGAAGGAGATAGGGATGTATGTCGATGACTGCGCATCAGTATGCCGCCGCCGCCGCCAGCGCCCGAGAAAGAGCCGCCCCACGCGCGGCCGGGCGGCTGAGCACCGCCTGCCGGGCCTGTTGTTGTTGTGGCCCAGGCGCAGCCGCTGGGACCGCGCGTGCGTGGCGACACGAGTGATATCGTGAGCGCACGCGCACACGCACACCCCTGAACATTATTATTAGTCGATGATCAGGTCGCGGATGGGCCAGTCCTCGTAGGACCCGTCGGGCAGGTACCGCCGCACGACGAGCGGAATCTTGCGGTCGCGCAGCTCCTTGTTGGCGATTTTCAGGGGGTCCGTCTCGCCGGCCACGTCGACGAGCACCGGGGCGTTCATCGAGATCTGCAGGGCTCGCGTGCCCAGCACGCGCGCCTTCTCGTACTTCGTCATGTAGCGCGTCGTCACCCGGACCGCGTTCGGCTTCGTGGGCTTCGCCTCGTCCTCGTCCGGCGCGGCCTCCTCCAAAATGTCGACGCCGTCGTCGGGCGGGCCGTCGGCCATGTCCTCGTCCTGGTCCATGGGGGCGAGGTCGGCCATCGTCGGTAACGAGGCCTTTTTACGTCGCAGCGGCTGTTTTACGTCGCGGCGACTGTTTTTACGTCGCGGCGGCTGGCGTGCGTGCGCCCGGCGCTGCGCAGCGGTGCTATTTGCGAGCGAGCGCTGGCGGCGAGGTCTCGCTGTGGCGTCTCGCGGCGTCTCGCGGCGGTTAAGCGATGTGGTGTCGGAAGCACTGGCTAAAGCGATACGTGTAGAGACCTTCAGTCGATACGCTCGCTTTGCTGAACGCTGTCTCCCCAGACTCTCCCGGCTCGAGCTAGCGTCCTGTAAGACACTAGCAAGCACGCCGCAAAAGTGAAGGCCTAAGTGAGCAAAATCACGCTTAAAAAGTGACGGCGGCACCTCGCAGCTACCGCAGGCAGATACGGACAGCTCACCGTCGCGCCGTCGCGCAGCAGTCACGCAGTCAAGCAGTCACCAGCCTCGCCGTCAATCAGCCCAAGCGCCGCCGTCGAGCAGGCCACCAGCAAAGATGAGCACCGCCCTCGCCAAGCGCCAAAATACGACGACCCTCGCCGCGCGGCAACAAACGCATGCGCCGGACGATGACGTCGCCTCGGCGTCGCTCCGGAGCGGCGCTTTATTATGCGACGCCATGGGCTACCAGGAGCCCGTGGATCCGGCGGCGGAGCAGGCCGCCCAACAATTAGTCGAGGAGGAGCTGCGGCAAAACCCCGGCGCGCCGCCGCGGCTGCCCGCGCTGCGGCCGCCGCGCGATTCATCAATAATGGCGGCCGAGTTCGCGCGCTGCGACCGGGACGAGGACCTCGCACCCTTGGCCATCGAGCGCTACTCCTGCGCGCCGCCGACCGAGCAGGATCCGGAGGCGTGGAAGAGCGCGCGGACGAACGTGCGCGCGCAACTAGAACACCAGGCGAATCGGGTGGTGAACCTCGAGCTCGCCGAATCCTTCTCGGAACATACGTGGCGGCGCCACGTGCACGACCTGGGGCGGCTGCACGCGCAGGTCGCGGCGCTGGCCGAAGGCAAGGAGCGCGAGGCCGAGCAGATCAATTTGAAGCGGAAGCGCGACCAGGCGAAGCTCGGGCCCGACATAGTAAGGGCGGAGCGGGCCGTCGTCGAGCGGCTGGAACGGCACCGCGCGCTCGAGGCGCGCGTCGCGGCGCTGCGGAAGGAGGAGGCTAAGTAGGGACGTGTATACCGAGCTTTCATTTAGTTGGGTGCCACGCATGCGTGCTCGCGTCGATAGCGTGCGTGTCAAAACCCGCGCACAGCCCCACACACTAGAGCGCATCGATTAGTTTCAAGAAACTTATCAGTCCACGAATGGGATGGTCGCGGTCCGTGGCCGGAGCGCCGGCGGTGGCGCGTCGTCGTCGCGGTCGGGCGAGCGCGGCCGCTTCATGATGACCGGCTGCTTGAGCCAGCCCTCGCCGAAGTCCACGTAGCTCGTGCGGGCGGCCTCGCCGTCTATCCGTGCGTCCGTCAGCAACGACTCGTCCACCAATCGAAGACGGATCCGGGCGAAGTAGTCTAAGTCCTGGAAGGCCAGCCAGGGCACCCAAACGGGCTCCAGCGTCTCGTCGGGCCAGTCGATGCGCAGGCCCCACTCAGGGTTCGTCTTGCCGACGCGGCCGACGCGGCCCCGTACGTTCTTCTCTTCGTAATCTAACCGCACGACGTCGCCTTCGGCGAATCCAGCCACTGGTTCGTCCGCGTGGCCGCCGCACATCGTATCAAGCGTGTTTTTGCGCCCCCGTGTGGTGTGCTGGCTGTGCTGAGAGCTAGCTTGTACACAAGGCTAAAGACGGCTTCGTAAGGACTTCCGTGTGTGACTTCTCGACTTCTCCGCTTTCCCTGCTTAGTGCTCTCGCTCCTGGTCGGATGAGACGAGATGGCACGATCCAGTCCTGTCGGCACGAGCCACTGCTTGCTAGTGTCTTACAGGCCGCTAGCGCGCGGGATTTCCTAAACACGGGAGCCCTGGAAGCCGCGCCCCGGGGACGGGATCTCCTCAAACTGGCTCATTGCCGAACTGACTCATCACCTGCCCGACCGACCAAAACTTCCAAGCCACTGATGATTAGCGGTAGTAACACACTAGGTTACGCTCACGTCGTGCGTCGTGCGCGACGCGCCTTTCACTGGAAGCTGCAAGACGCGAGTCGTATCGTGCACCGCGTGTCATAGCAACACAAAAAAACGAGCCGTCTAATTAACTGACATCATAGCTCTCCGGACCAGCTTCCGGACAGCACATCTGGATACGTCGCATACGTGCGCTGATCACGTGCGCCGATCATGCGGGCTGCACTACAAGTCCTCCGTCGCGCGCCGCGGCTGCGCCACCAGTCGACGGCGGCCGCACAAAAGACCGTCGACGACGCCTTCCTCGCCTCGTTGGAAGCTCTGGCCACAACGTCGCAATCGCCCGACGTGCGCAAATTACATGGAGACGACGAGAGCCACCACGAACCAATTCCGCCCGAGGTCGTCGCGTTCCCCGAGAGCACGGAGGAGGTGGCCGCTATACTAAAACTGTGCAACGAGCAGTCCATCGCCGTCGTGCCCTACGGCGCGGGCACGTCCCTCGAGGGCCACATCCAGGCGTCGCGCGGCGGCGTCTGCGTCGACGTGTCCAAGCTCGACCAGATGGTCGCCGAGCACCCCGAAGATTTGGACTGCCGCGTCCAAGCCGGCATGACCCGCAAGGCCGTGAACTCCGCGCTGCGCCACACGGGTCTCCACTTCCCCGTGGACCCCGGCGCCGACGCGACGATCGGCGGCATGGCGGCCTGCGGCGCGTCGGGCACGACGTCTGTAAGGTACGGCACGATGCGCGACAACGTGCTCGGGTTGACCGCCGTTCTAGCCGACGGCACGGTCCTGGAGACGGGCTCGCGAGCAAGGAAGTCGTCCGCAGGGTATGATCTGACGAAGCTGTTCCTGGGCAGCGAGGGCACTCTTGGCGTGATTACGGAGGTCGCGCTACGCTTGCACCCGGTGCCCATGTGCGTCGAGGCGGCGACGGCGCGCTTCGACTCGCTCGAGGAGGCGGCGGACGCCGTCCAGGCTCTGTTGCTGCACGGCGTCAGCGTCGCGCGCTGCGAATTACTGGATGCGACGGCCATCGACGCCTTCAACGCATTTAGTAAAAGAAACGAGGAGAGCTGCCCGAGTCTGTTCCTCGAGTTCAACGGCCCTACCTCCGAAGCCGTCGCGGCGCACACGGAGCTCGCTTTGGAATTATGCGCCGACTGCGGCGGCCGCGATATCAAGCGGAGCCAGGACGAAAGTGAAAGGGACGAGCTCTGGAAGGCGCGCCACGAGCTCTACTACGCGTCATGCGCGCTGAAGACCAATGGAAGGGCCATCGTCACGGACGCTTGTGTTCCCGTGTCGCAATTACCGGGCCTCATCCAGGCGACGTCACGCGACGTGAAGGAGAACAATGTCGTCGGACCCTGTTTTGGCCACGCCGGAGATGGGAACTTCCACTGCATCCTCGTCTACAACGACGATGATGATGAAGACTACCTCGAGCGTCTCAAACAAGTGAACGCGAATTTGATTGAAAGGACGCTCGCGGCGGGAGGCACGTGCACGGGCGAGCACGGCGTCGGCTCCGGCAAGAAGGCCTATCTGTTACGGGAGAAGGGCGCGGCGGCCATCGACGCCATGCGCTCTATCAAAGCGGCGCTCGACCCCCGCGGCGTCATGAACCCGGGCAAGGTCTTCGACTAGGCGCCGGCGCGCGCGGGCTTAAAATATGTGACACGTTGATTTGCTTAGAGCTAGGCCGCCTTGCCACCAGGCCGCCGCCTCCCTGCTTCCCCCGGCCCTCCTGCGGTTTTTTTGTCACTATCATTATCGTTATCAATTGGCGCGCGCGCCCGCGCCGTCGGGAAACCCGTCGCCGCCGCGACTACTTCTTCGCCTTCTTGGCCGCGGGCTCGTCCCCACCCAAACGGTGCTCCGCCGCGCGCGCGTGGCCCTCGAGGCCCTCGATGCGCGCGAGCCGGACCGCGTCCTCGACCGCGACTTGTGCTTCTTTTTTATCATCCACACGCATCCACGTGCGGATGCGCAGGAAGTCGTTGACACATAAACCGCCCGTGTAGCGCGCCGTGCCCGAGGTCGGTAACGTGTGGTTCGGGCCGATCCCGTAGTCGCCGAGCACCTCGGCCGCACATCGGCCGATGAACAGGCCCCCGTAGTGGTTCATGCGCTTCGAGATCGTCCTTTCATCTCGACAGATCACTTCCAAGTGCTCGGGGGCGACGGCGTCCGACACCCTGATGGCCTCCTCGACGTCCTTGCACGCGACGGCAAAGCCCCTTTTGACCGCGGGCTCGGCCACGGCTTTTGTAGGTAATACTTCTAACTGCCGATCCAAGGCTTCGTTGACGGCGTGGATGTGCTTGAGTGCCGTGGCCTTGCCGTACTTGGAGAAAGTTACGAGAATCGGTCTCGCGACGACGTCGTGCTCCGCCTGGGCCAGCATATCAGAGGCGACCACTTCGGGGTCCGCCGTCTCGTCGCAGACCACCAACACCTCGGAAGGCCCGGCCAACATATCAATACCGACTCGAGCATGGGTCGCGCAGCACGCCTTCGCGGCCGTCACCCACGCGTTACCCGGGCCGCAGATCACGTCCGCGCGCGGCGCGCCCTCGCCAGCATAAGCACCAGTAGCTAACGCGGCAATGGCGTGCGCGCCGCCGATGCGCAGCATGACGTCCGCTCCAGAGACGTACGCGGCCGCAAGTGTCACGGGTAGAGGCTTCGGCGACGCGACCACAACCTTCTTGACGCCGGCAGCTCTTGCTGTCGCCGCCGTCATGATGACGGAGGAGGGCAGAGGGTATCTCCCACCAGGAGCGTAGCACCCGGCGACGTCCACCGGAGACACCGTATGCCCCGCCTTCCCGCCGGGGATGTCCGTCTCCATATCTTTAATGGAATTTCGTTGACAGGTGGCGAACTTCTTGACCCGAGCTGCCACCCTGTCTAAGCATTCCCTATCTTTTCTATCCAAGCTGTCATAAGCGGCCTTGAGCTCGGCTTTCTGCACGACGGCGGACTGGCCCTCGGTTAATTCCCCAAACCTCTGAGCGTACTCGGCCACGGCCTCGGCGCCACCCTGTTGGACTTTTCTCAGACACTCCCCAGCAAATGCCATCGCCTTATCATCCAACGTCTCCGAGTCGCCCGCTTTGATGTCCGTGGACTCGAGGATGGGGACGCCCATGGTTCGTACGTTGCGCGGTGCGAGGGCTATGGTGTGCCGCGTGAGTAGGAGGGCTAGGGCCGTGCGCGCCGTGTCTTCAGTCAGTGGTGCTGACTGTGCTTGCTGCTCTCTCAGCTAGAGAGCGATGCGCAGCGTTTCGAGGCGTGCTCGTCGTCAAAGACCGAGTGATGGCGTTGGTACAGATGTACTGCGCGTGGTTGAGCAGTCTGAGCGCGTCTCGCCAAGCACAGCGTGAGTGCTGCTGCTCCCAGGCTTTTCGTCCGGACGCGTCGAAAACGTCAAGTGGGGCCGTGTTTGGCCGGTTGCGGATCCCTGGCGGAAGAAAAAAAGCACGCAAAACCCGCTCGCAAGGCTTGAGACTCCGGAGCTCCAATTTGCGGAGCTATTTGCGGTGCTCACAGTGCTCACAGCCCACAAGCGCGCGACTAGCAATAAGAATTTGCGATTCTGGTGTCGATCGACGAGTACTGCTCTAATCGCTGCGAGTCACAAGGCCACAGCCTCCCCAAGCTGTGCAGCTGCAGGACGCGTAACGCGACTGCTGCACAGCAAGCAGTGCGGGACCGCCAACCTGGCGCACCGCCGCATCACCGCGGTGCTCCTGCTCCTCAGGCCACCGCAGAGCCGGGGCTGGCTGCGCGCGGCGACGCGCCCCATGTCGGCGCTCGCGGCGAAGCCGTCGCCGGAGGAGATCGAACGACGACGCCGCGCGAAGCGGGCCGAGCGCGCGGCGAACCCCAAGAAGAAAGTACAGCAGACGCAGAAGAAACAGCGCGACCCGGCGGAGGAAGCGAGAGCGCTGCGCGAGTTCCGCATCGCGCCATTGATCGACGCGGGCGCGAATTTGCAAAGTCGCGGGTCCTACGACGACGTCGTGCGGCAGCTCCGACGGGCGTCGCTGGCGGGCGTGGCGGCGGTTGTTTTGACGGGCTGCGACGTCGACGGGTCGACAGCTGGAAAAGACTTCTGCGAGCGCTGGGCGGCCGAAGGGTCAACCTTGCAGCTCGGGTTCACGGCGGGCGTCCACCCGCACGACGCCTCGAAGTTCACCGATGACACGCTCTCGAAACTGGAAGCATTATCGACGTCGCCGTTCTGCGTCGCCATGGGCGAGTGCGGGCTGGACTACGACCGCATGTTCTCGCCGCGCGAGGTGCAATTGGCGGCGTTTCGCGCGCAGTGCGCCCTGGCGAAGCGACTCGATCGGTCGCTGTTCGTCCACGTCCGCGAAAAGGAAGAGGGGGAGGCGCTGGGAGCTTATAGGGATGCCGTCGCGGTGATGACGGAGGCCCAACTAATACCGGAAAAGGTCTGCGTCCACTGCTTCACGGGAGGTACGGACGAGCTCGCGGCGCTCGTCGACTTTGGGTGTCGCGTCGGGTTCACGGGCTTCCTGGGCATCGCGAAGCGATCGGGCGCGACGCGGGAGGCCGTCGCCTCTTTAAAAGACCGGTTGGCGGGCCGGCTCCTGCTCGAGACGGACGCCCCCTTCATGCTCCCCGACAAGGCCTACCTCCCGTCGTCGCTCCAGAAGCGGCTCGGGCTGCGGGGCGGGAAGAACGAGCCGGCCGTCCTGCCGGCGGTCTGCGGCGCGCTCGCCGACGCGCTCGGGCGCGACGCGTCCGACGTCGCGCGCGAGACGACGGAGGCGTCCCGAACGTTTTTCGGGTTCGACGACGCGTCCAGCGACGACGACAGCGACGACGACCGGCTCGACGACGAGTTCGCGAAGATGCAGCGGAAGCTAGGAATAACTGGAAGTTAACCCCAGAAGTCGGACCCGGCATCCGACGCGCGCGGCGACGCCTGCGACGCGCGCGGCGAGTCCGCCGCGTCGAGCGCGACGTCCGAGACCGACTGGGAGTCGCTCCGCGTGTCGCTCCGCGAGGGCGATCGCGACGGCGGCGCTTGGGGCCGCGCGGCCTTGCGTTGCTCCATGACCCTCCGAAAGATCGCGTCGGCGTCGGTTTCGGCGGGCGGCGTATACTGCGCCGGGTCGAGCGCGCTCGCCAGCAGGACGAAGGCGTCGGCGGACGCCACGACCGCGCCCGGGCCGCCGGCGAGCGCCACGCCCTCCTCCCATTGGGGCTTCGTGCCCGTCAGCTTCGCGAACGCGGTGAGCAGGTTCGGGACCGGGAGGCGCCCGTCGGCGTCGCAGGCCTCTTCGTAAACTTTTCGCAGGCGAAGGACATCCGCTTCACCAATCTTGGCCTCGGCCTCGCTGACTCGGCGCGCCGCGTCCTCGGCGGCGTACTTTTCGGCGTTTTGCTCCCGGTCCAGTCGCCGCGCTTCGGCGTCGGCCAGGGCCTTCGTCGCCACGTATTCCGCCTCCTCGCGGTCCGCGGCGAGGCGCGCCTTCTCGCGGCGCGCCGCCGTCCGCGGCGAGATCGCCGGGGCCTCGGGCTCGCCGTCGCTCGACTCGTCGTCGTCGTCGAGCATGCCGCCCCGCACGCGCGGCGACCGCGGCGACCGCGGCGACCGGTCCTCGGGCGGCGGCTTCGCCGGCTTCTCCGGCGGCGACACGACGGCCTCGTCGGGTTCCGGTACGTGGGACCGGAACGTGTCGCCGAGCGCGACCGGCTCCGTCAGCTTCTGGAACGAGACCGGCGGCGGCTCGGTCGCGATCGGCGGCGGCGCGGCCACCGGCGGCGATGCGGGCACCGGCGGCGCGGCGGCCACCGGTTCCACCGGCGGGACCGGCGCCGGCGCGGCGATCACCGGCGGCGAGGCCGCCGCCGGCGCGGCGGCCACCGGCGCGGCGGGGACCGGCATCGGCGCGGCCGGCGGCGCGACGTACACCGTGGTCGGCGGCGGCGCGGCGGCGACGGGCGGGGAGACGTAGACCGCGGCCGCCGCGGCGCGCTCGCGCGCGACGAGCGCCGCCTCGCGCCGCCGCAGCGACGCCTCGGCCTCGGCCTCCGCGGCCTCGGCGTCGGCCTTGGCCCGCGCGAGGGCCTTGGCCCGGCGCTCCTGCAGCGCGGCGAGCTCGCCGTCGTCGTCGTCGTCGTCCGGCACCGCGCGCCGCCGCGACGCGTACAGGTCGCGCGTGTCCACGAGCTGGAACCGCGGCGGGCCCGCCTCTATCACAGAACGCGACGGCGGCGGCGGCGGCGGCTTGGCGACGACGTGGACGCGCGAGAACGCCGACGGCGGCTCCCTGGCTAACGCGTCCAGCGCGCCACGGCTCTGGTCCACGAGGTTCCGCAGGGCTCTTAACTCGCTCCGCAGCTCCTCGTTCGACGCGACCTCGGCGTCCAGCTGCGCGCACGCCTGGGCGCGCATGCGCTCGGCCGCGTCGCCGGCGGCCAAGGCCGCGTCCAGCGCCCGCACGGGGTCCTTGGGGGCCTCGAAGACGACCGTCGTGGAGACGGCTTCTCTCCTATTCCTCCCGGCCAGGCGGAACGCCGCCGCCGCCCGCCTGCCAATCGCCTCCTCGGACGACGAGAGCTGGCCGGCGCGGCTCGGCTCGAGCTGCACTTGACTATCACCGGCTAGATCGTCCGCGAGCTCCGACGCGCGCGCGCGCTCGTCCTCCGTTTTTCTTCGTTCGGCGGCCGCGAATTCGGCCTGCGCGAGCTGCACCCTTGCTCGGCTCGCGGCGTCCTCCCGCTGCAGCACGAGCGCCTCCCGCAAGTGCAACACTTCGGACCTAGCGGCGTTGGCGTCCGCGACGGCCGCCGCGAACTGCGCCTGGAGCCGCTCCGCCTGGGCCTCGTGCTTCCGGGCTTCCGCTCTCGCAGCGTCCGCCCTTGCTCTATCCGCCGCGGCTGATTGAGCATCTTCGCGGGACTCGCTCTCGCGCTGCAGGACGGCCCGGACGTTCCGCGACAAGGCATCGAGCTCGTCGCGGTAGCGCGCGTGGAGCCGCTTGTAGTCCGCCTCGACGTCGGCGTCTCGCTTGGCCTTCACGATGGCCTCGGCGCTCTCGATAGCCGCGGCCGTAGCCTCGGCTTCGAGCGTCGCTTCATTTTCGATGTTCTCCTTCTCCTTGGACAGAGCCCTAAACTTCCGCCGGACACTCTCGAGGCGGTCTCCCAATGTTTCGCCGGCCGGTCGTATGGTCGTGTTCGTCTCCACATCCACGGTTTTGGTCGTGGCCCTTCCTATCAGCTTGTCCAGCGCCGTGGACGCGTAGGGCCCGACCGCCTCCGTTAATTCCGAGCGGTCGAGGCAGGCCCGCTCCTCGCCGAGCGAGCTCTCGGGCACGAAGACGGCGTAGGCGTTGCCCGTGTGCTGCGTCCGCAGCGCCTCGGCGATGACCGAGTCCCGCAGCCTTTGCTGCGACGACGACGGCTGCGGCCCGTCGCCGCGCTGCCCTCTTACTTCGAGCGTGATGTCCCTTCTTAAACGAGCCGTGAGGCCGCGCAGGACGCCGCGGCGCTCGAGGTGCGCCCGCAGCGAGCGCGCGAGCTCGTCCGCGCTCATGGCCTTCGGTTGTGGATGTTGGGCTACCGCCGCCATCGGTCGTTCCTGCTGCTGCGGGCTGCGACGCGGCTGCCCCCGTGATCCGTGTGAGCGCTGGGACGCGGCCACGTACCGTCGCGATCGGTGCCGCGTCGCTCTCGGCTTGTGAGGTCCACCACAAACTGCCCTGCGCACCGAATTTAATCAAAAGGTCGAGCCCCCGTGAAGCGTCCCCCGCAGGGGCTCCGCCCACTAGTCCTAGCATCGTAACAATACAGAGAGCGGCAAAAAAAAGCGGACCGGCGGGATCCGTCGGGCGGCGCGGGGCCGACGCGACTCGGGTGGACTACTAAACTTAGCGTAGCCCCAAATTCAGAGCTCGCGGTGCGCCTTCGGCTTCCGCCCGAACAGCTTCGTGACGGGGTGGCGCGCGGCCATCGCCTTCCCGAAGGCCGTGTCGTCACTAATGGCCTGGGCCTCGACGGCCAGCACGAAGATCCACGCCGCGAGGCACACACCGATGAGCGCGACGCCGGCGCCGATCTGCGCCTTTTCGTCCAGTTTCTGCGTGATGACCTTCCAGACGAGGCCCGAGACGGCCGCGCCTATCATCCCCCCGGCCCAATAAGCTACATAAGAAGGCGACTTGGCCTCCATCGTCGGCCAGCTCCCGTCGACGGCGAAGTCGTAGCCGAAAGCCAATGCAGGATTCACGGCCGGGCCCGTCGCGCCAAAATACACTATGATCGTTCTCAAAGTAACATTGATCAGGCCCATCTTCGCCGCGTAGACCTCGCCGATGGACGTGGTCGCGAAGGCCCAGACCGCCAGGCACAGCGTCGCGCCGCCTAAACATTCAGACCAGAACACGTAGAAGAGCGGAAGATGTTCATCAGGAGAAGGCCCTCCCACGTCGCCGACCATGAACTCGCCCGCCGCAATTAATAGCTTCCAGCCGACGACCGCACCACCACATTGCGCAGCTACTTTCACGACCCAGTCCTTCGTGCTATCTCGCCCGGCCGCGACCATGGTGGTCGACACGAGGGGGTTGACGTTGCCCCCCGTTAATGAATCGGCGGCCATCATCATGAGCCAGTGGAAGACCCATTCCACTTGATAACCTAAGTGGCCGAGCAAAGCGCCGGGCATGCACGTGAGCACCACCATGACCGCCGTGCCCACAAACTCCTGGAGCCAGGCGTTCGCGAGCGCGTCGCCGGCGACGTGGTCTCCGCTCGCCAGTTCCGTCGATAATAAGGCGGGTAAGGCGCACGCCAGTAAAGACACGCCTAACTTCGCCTGCGCGCTCGCCGTCGCGCCGTAGACGACGACCGCAAAGCCTAATACATAAGCCGCGGCGCCGGCGCCGAAGAGGCGGTCGAAGAGTTCGCCTGCGTTTCAAGCAACCGGTGAGGCGTCGTCCTTGGTGGATGTGTGTGTGCGATGCAGCTTTTTGCAATAGCGCTGGCCGGGGAGCAGCGCGCGTGCATGCATACCGCTGCCGGCTGGTTTTTGGGCCGGCGGGAGGCGCGCGGCGATCGCTTTGGCAATAACTTTGGTTGCATCGGGCTGGGCGTGCAGGCCATGCTCAGCAGTGGCGGAGACGCGCCGCGCCAAGAAGATTTATGCGCTGGAGCTCGCCCGAGGCACCCATCTTGCAATTTGAGCTGTTGCGTTGCACCCTGGATGCTGGGAGAGCTGATTTCAGCCGCGATCGACGCATGCAGAGCGGGTTTTTTCGACGAATCTCCCCTAGCTCTCGCGACTGCTCCTTCCGCAGGGGAAGAGTGCCCAAGAAAGCGCGCAGCCCCGCGCGAGGCTCCAGCCAGCGCCTGAACTCGCCTGCCCAGCGCCGGCAGCCAAAGCTTGTTGTCTGGCGCTATTATAGAACGAGCGTCGTCACACCGGCCGCTGGGAGGAACGCAAGCGTCGACCGAGGCTGCCCCACGCGCGAGGCACGCGACAGTATGGGCCCCAAGAAGCCCAAGGTAGTGGAAGAGGCATTACTGTACGCGAAGCCAGAGATCGAATGCGTCATCGCCGAGAGTCCTGGCTTAGAAGATGACGAGGATCCTCTTTTGGAGCCCGAAACTCAACAAAAAGTCCACGAGCTCTTCGACGGCACCGGCGAAAGAAATATACCCTCGAGCGACGCCAAGAAGCTCCTCAAGGACCTTGGGGTGGTTATGGACGACGCGCGATATGCGAGGCTCGTGGATCCTTATGTCAGAGCCTTCCAGTCCAATGCGGAAACGCTGTCGCGGAAGCAATTCATGGACGTCGCGCGACACGTTTTGGCGCCGGCGGTGCGCTACGGCGCTCGTTTGCGGAAAGCGGCATCACGAGGGGATTTAGAAAGAGTGAAGGACTATATAGCCCGGGGCTGCGACGGCAAGGGGTCGGACGGGCTGGGCTTCACCGCAGTGCACTGCGCGGCGCAACATAACCGAGCAGAAACAGTAAAAGCGTTGATCAATGAGATCTGTGGCAAGGGCTACTGTAACGCGCAGGACGAGCGGGGCTGGTCGCCTTTACACGTCTGTGCCGCGGAGGGGCGCCTCGAGACGTTGCAACTATTACTTGGCTTGGGCTCGGACGCGTCCTTAAAAACGGTGCACGGCCGCACGCCGTTGCACTGGGCCTGCGCCAAGGGCCGCCTCGAATGCGTCGAGGCTTTGCTCAAGGGCAAAGCGGATCTGAAAGCAGGCGACGAGGCCGGCATGACGGCGCTCCACCTCGCGGCGCAGCACGGCCACCTGGAGGTGTGTCAAAGGTTGATCAAGGCCAAGGCGTCGCCCGAGGCGGAGAACACGCTGGGCCGGCGGCCGACGGACTTCCAGGATGCGGAGTTCTGGGCGGCCGCGCTCGCGTAAATCTTGTTCCTTTTTTTAGGTCTGGCCCTGCCCCACCGCGGCGACCGCGGTCACCGTGTTTTTTAGCCGGGGTACCTTAAGATCCATGGGCATGGGGGGACCCCCGAAGCCCGAAACCGCCAAGGTACCCCGCCAGAAGTCCTGAAGCGCGGACAGAGTGGGTTGAAGTCGATGTTACGGTGCTAGGACTAGTGGGCGGAGCCCCTGCCCAGGGCTGGGGGGGAGACACCGCGCGTCGCCGATTCATCGGCGGCGGGCGCGGGCCGCTTCTTTCATAACAGCGTACCTCCTTCTAAGCAGAACCGCCTCGGCAAACCCCCCCGAACAATGTGCAACGTTCGCCCGTTCAATCAACTTGTCCCGCGACTTCCCGCAGGCGACAGAGTGGGTAAACCTAGCGTGTCGACATACTAGCTGATCGCCTGCCCCGAGAGTGAATTCCTAGGCTGAATTTAATAGAGCGTGGGGCTGGAGCGTGGGGCAGCCTGTGACGCGGCGGCCCCAAGCACCATGGAAGTCCAAGCCGCCGCGCCGTCGGTCGCGGCCCCGCCGCCGGCGGTCCCGCTGCCGGTGGCGCCGCAGCCGAGCGCCCCGCCGCCGCCGGCCGCGGCCCCGAACGGTGGAGCGGAGCGACCTCCGAAGGCCGCCCCAGAGACCGTGCAATCGCAAGCCGCGCCAGCGGTCCCGCCGCCCCCGCATAACACTCCCGAAGCAGCTCAGCGGCCGGCCCCGCAGCCACCGGTCCCATCACCGGCGGCCCCGCCGGCGCCCCAACCGGCAGCTCCGCAGCCGGCGGCCCTGTTGGCCCCGCGGCCAGCGGCCCAGCAGCCTCAGCCGGCGATCCCGCAGCCGCCGGCCCCACCGCCGCTGGCCCCGCCGGCGGCGACAGCTAACCCAATTACCGTGGAAGCACAAGCCGCGCCGGCGGCCCCGGCGGCCCCGCCGGCGGTGTCGCCGGCGGCGGTCGCCCGGTCGCGCCCCATCACCATGGACCCGCAAGCCGCGCCGGCGGGGCCGGTGGCCTCGCGCGAGGAGATTGTCGCCTACACGCGTCTCCTGGAAACGGCGCTCTGCCGCCGCGGCGTGTCCCACGACGACCTGATGGCGCTGCGCGAGCAGGTGCGGCGGGCGCACCGGCGGAAGCAGGCCGCGGCCGCGGTGGCCGCGGCGCCGCACCCGTCCGTCGCGCCGGCACCCGCGGCCGCGCCGCCCGCGCTCGCGCTCGGCCCGCTCGCGCTCGAGCCGAAGCGGCCCGTGCCGGCCGTGTCGCCCGACGAGCCCGGGGCCAAGCGGCCGCGGTCGCCCGCGCGGCCGAAGCCGCGCCTCGGCGTCGACCAGCAGGCTCTGGAGGGCGCGTACGGCGCCGACGCGCAGCGCGCCGAGAAGCGGCGGGCCATCGAGCTCCACGTCCGCGCGTTAGAACACGCGGCGGCGTGCCCGGGCTGCGAGCGCAAGGCCTGCGCCAAGATGGCGGGCTACCTGCGGCACGCCGCGTCCTGTACCCAAGGCGCCGCGTGCTTGGATTGTAGGCGCATCGACACGCTCGTGCAGCTGCACGCGCGGCGCTGCACGCTGGACCTCTGCCGCGTGCCGGGCTGCGTGTCGCTCCGGGAGCGCCTCCGCGTGGAGAGCTGGAAGGCCGCGCTCGAGGGCTGAGGCGCGGACCGGAGGTCCGCGGGACTCCCACTGGAGTCTAACCCCAGCGGCCCGACGGAACACCCTGTATCATAAGTATATATTTACGTGTTCCAGCCCCGGTCCTTGAGCTTCTTGAGCGACGCCTGCCGCGCGTCCTCGTTTCCCGGGACGTTCGGTCCGGTCGACGCGGGCCGCTTCTCGGTCGACCCCGCCGCCGGCGGCCCGTCGAAGGCCTTGTAGTCGCCTCGTTCTTCGTCGAGGGGCTCGTCGTCCTCGCCGGCGCCGCCCTCCATCGCGCCGACGATGCCGGCTTTGGTCGTCGTCTCCATGTAGCGCGCCCACTTCATGGCCTCGGCCTGGTCCCCGCTCTCCGACACGCGGCCGGACGACTCGGACCAGGCGCCGCCGTAGGTCCGCGAGCGCTTCGACCGGAGCACTCCCAGAGCATTTACTAGTGCTTCGCTCAGCGCGCCGACGGGGCTTTGCGATTGGCTTGATAATAAGACGCCGGCATACCCCAACGTCTTGCAGGCGAAGGCGTCGGTGTCCAGATCGTCTACGTTAGTTGTCGTGGCGAAGGGTAATTCCCGAAGCACCGGCACGGCCGTGTCCGCCAGGGGGCCGATGACCTCGACGTCGCCTCCTCTCAAAACAAGGGCCTCCGAGCCCTTGTCCGCCGCCGCCTGGGCCGCAGCACCAACATCGGCCGCCGACGCGAGGCCCTCGACGACGGGCACGATGCCAGCACCGCCCTCGCCCCCTTCCACGAGGCGGGCGTCCGCGCTCGCCGGCGCGTCGTCGCCCGCGTAAAGCACGACGGCGTCGGACCCCGCCGCCTCGAGGTCGCCGGCGACGGCGTCGCAGGCCACGGGGTCGTCGACGACGATCGCGGCCGCGCCGGCCTCCCGCAGCGTCTTCGCCGCGCCACTTAACAGCAGCGGGTGCATGAACTCCGTGCCCGGCGCCGGCGGGTCCAGCGGCGCGAGGCCGCAGCAGAAGCGCTGGCGGCCCGCGCCGAGCGCGTCGCCGACCTTGGCTTGCAGCTTTGTTGTGTCTCTTGGTGCCGTTTTGAGCTGGAATGCATCCGTGCTCGTGAGGAGGAGCAGCAGCAACATGGCTTGATGGCGACGCATCGCGTTTTGCACCCGTGTGGCCCAAGCCCCAACGACGAGCGATGCAACAGGAGGCGCTCTGCTGCCGCGTAGGCGCGCAGCACTGCGCAGTGCAAGTGCTACGCAGACTAGCTAGCGACCTGCAAGACACTAGCCAGCTTATGGCGTCCTCGCACCGTAAAAACACTACGTGGCAGTCCGTAGGTACTTTTTATGGAGGCGTCCGTACCGGGACAGACGCCGTACAACGTATATAAGCGCACGCCGGCCCAGATCGGACCGGCGCCGCCGAGCCGAATCGAAGCGGAGAACCCCCACACTCTACCCCCACACGCCGTCGCCGCGAGGCATCTGAATATAAGAACACGTGCTTTTAACCAGGGAAGGGAACCAACGCTCAGTCCGTCTTCGGCAGCTCCTCGATCTTCGAGATGGCGACGGCGACCTGGCGCGGGTTGCCCTTGGCCGCCTTGACGGCCTTGGCGATGCCCAGCGACCCCGCGAGGTTGAGGGACACGCAGAGCTTGAGCATGAGGTCCGGCATCGTCGGCAGGTCCTTGACCTTTTTCACGCCCTTGGCGTCGATGAAGTCATTGTCGAAGTAGCCGCCCTTGATGGGCTTCTCGAGGCCGTTGTCCTTGACCCACCCGTCGAAGGCCTTGACCGTGGCCTTCATGTCGTCCGTCGTCGAGAAGACCCACATGTTGCTCAGCGCCGGCACTTGGCTGACGACGTCGTCCCCGTAGCCCGCCGCGGACAGGCCGCGCTTGAAGAGCGTCGTCTTCACGATGCGCGCCTTGCTGGCCTCGGGCAGGCGGTCCCGCAGGTCGTCGATGACCTTGATGCCCATGCCAGACCCCTCGAAGGAGTAGATGAGGTCCGCGCCCTCGATGTCCTCCTGGACCGAGGCCACGATCTTCTCCTTGCCCGCGAGCGTCTTCGTGCGGCCGAGGGGCGTCGCCGTGCGGCCGCCCTTGACAATCACGTTGGTTCGTCGCGGCGCGACGGACGGCGCCTGGAGCGCCGAGACGGCGACGGCGCAGCCGAACCTGCGTTTGGGGGCGGCGTGTTGCGCGGTCGTCGTAGCGAGCGCGGGCGGCGTTTGTCTCACGCGTCAGCGTCGCGCGCGCGCCCCGGCGTCATCGAGAGCACTGGGCGAGCATCAACTCTTTTGCCGCCGGGCCGCGCCGACGGCGTCTCAAGCGGTTGCGTGGTAAAGCTGTGGACGCAGCAACGTTACAGAAATCGTGTTAGCGCCATCTTAGGCCCCGGCCGGCGGCACTGCAATTGGCGCAATGGGCCAGCGCGTACACACACCTGCAACCTTGGCAATGAAACGGCGGGCGCGCTTGCCAAATCACCCCTGCGGGCCAAGGAGAGGTCCCGCGGAGGGCTCTGGCGCCTCATTTGCGTGTCTAAGCGGAAAAAACTCAGGCTCCAGGGACAGCAGCTGCATTAAAACGAGCAGCGCTGCTCGTAATGCTGCTTGAAACCTGGCGAAAACACTCGCTCGAACGCCTGTTCGACGTTTCAAAACGCGCAGCTACCAAAACAGCAAACGAGGGCCTAATGCTTCGGAGAGCACACTGCCTCTCGTTACTAATGTCGACAGCAGCCGTCGCACCAATAAGCTACAAGCTGCAAAACATAAACCTCGCAGAGCGCTGGCTCGGCCTCGTGCGCGCGGGCAGCGTGTCCGCCAGTACGGAGCACGGCGAGGCCTACGGCGTGACGGAAGTCGCCGGCGACCTGCGCTTCTTCGTACGCGGCGCCACGGAAAAGGCACAAAAAATCAACGCCACGCTCGCGGCGAGCGGCGACGGCCTCCGCGTGGCGACGGACGGGCCCTTCGTGGCGCAGCTGCAATTAAGTCGGACGCTGCGGCCGGCGCCGGCCTTCGCGACGGGCGGCGGCTTCGACGAGACGTCGTATACGCCGCCATCGTACGAGCCGGGCTCGTTAGTGGTCGGGCCGCTGCGGCTCCAGGACCGGCCCCGCGCGGCGGCGCTCGCCGTCCACGGCCGCGCCTGGGACTGCTACCACAACGTCGCGCCCTGTGATCCGCGGGGCCACTTCCTCCTGCTCCCCGCCGTCGGCGACCAAAAGAACTGGCGGCCGCAGCGCCTGACGGCGGAGGACTGCGCGGACCTGTGCGGCGTCGAGACGGACCTCGCGCTGGTCTTCAACTCCATCGGCGCGGGCGCCTCGCAGAACCACGTCCACGCTCACGCCTGGCCCGCGCCGCCCGTCGGCGCGGCGAGGTACGCCGTCGAGGGCGCCGCCGCGGCGCGATCGACGAGCGTCGGCGGCGTCGAGGTGGAGTTGCTCGACTACCCGCTCTGCGCCGTGCGCTTACGCGGCGAGGGTCGGGGCGAGGCGCTCGGCCGGGCCGTCGCGGCCGTCGAAGCCAGGCACCGGCCCCACAACGTCGCGGTGCTCGGCGGCGCGGCGTACGTCTTCGCCCGCCGCGCGGAGCGCTCGCCCCAGCTCGCCGGGCGCCTCGGGGCGGCGGAGTGCCTCGGCGTCTTCCACTGCACAAGCGAAGAGGACTTCGACCGCGCGGCGGCGCCGGGCACGATGGCCGCGGCGCTCGCAGCCGTGTCGGCGCCGGCGGAGGAAGTATGGGGCGACGTCGTCGGCGCGCTCGAATCTAATATGTGATCCTTGTATTCTTTGGCCGCGGATCGCCCGGGCGCTTACACACGTTACTTTTCGATGTCCATCAGAACACCGATCGCGAGATTGTCTCCAGCGAAAGGTAGACGGAGTCCGGCGAGTGCTCGGATCCGCACGCGCTTGTAATCCCGCACGCAAACTTCCCAAGCTTTAGATTTTGCTTTTAGATTTTGGTCTGGCACGCCGCCGTGAGAAGGGGTGACGCGGTTCTTTTGGGACGACCCCCGTCAGGATGTGGAACTGGCCGCTGGCTCCTCTTTTACGACGAGCCGGAAATCAAGTGGTGAAAGAGATGCCCTCGCACACCAGGCCGAGCAATCCTGAAGCGGGGAGCGAGAGCTCCGACCCGCCCAGACGGCCCTTGACAATAACTCGTCGGAACGGAACTAATGGGTTCAATGGATGCCCCAGCGATTCGGAGGGCCTACAAAAGCTCGGCCGGCGCGGCCAAGGTTACGGGGGGCGGCATGACCGTTTTGCTAGTGTCTTACAATCGCTAGCCCTGGTGTGCGAAGCTTTGCAGCCACATCGCACGGTTAGAACTATAGCCGGCTCGCGACGCAGCGTTAGCTTAGAAGCCAGAGAACTCGAAAAGATTCCGATCGCCCCGCCAGAAGCGGTCAAACAGGACTGAGTAGAGAGAGCCTTTTGTGCTCTCTCTGCTTGAAACGCAACATGATGCGGATGAACTACCTTGTTGCGTTACTGATGGTGCGCGGCGGCGAGGCATTTGTCACGGGAGCGCCAAGGGCAGTATCGGTGAGACGGCACCTGGGCGTCGACGAGGGCCTCGACATCGGCGTCGCGCCGCTGGTCCTCGCCTTCGCCGGAGTCCTCGCCGCGGCGGGCAAGTTGCAAGCGGACGCGATGAGCGGCGACCAGGGCCTGGCCGCCTTCTTGCGGGACGGCGACGGCTACAACAAGTCGGGCTACAAACCGCAAAAGCCGAATCGCGACGCCGACGCGGCGACCGCCGAGCGCTTGCGCCGCGACCTCGTCCGCGCGGCGGAGGCCGGCGACGCGCGAACGGCCACCGCGCTCGAGCGCGAGCTGACCGCGTTCCTCGACGCGCGGGGGCTGTCGTATGAAGATACTTAGTGAGACTCAGGGCTCCCAGAGGACCGCGTCCTTCGCGATGCGCGCGTGCTGCGCGACGAGCGCGTCCTGGTCAGTACCTGGTCCGGCGATGAGCGCGTCGATGGCCGGCAGGCACTCTTTGTCCTCCCGCAGCTGCGCACGCACCTTGGGGTGGACCGCCACGTTCGCGACGAGCTTGCAGGCCGTCGTCGTCAGGTAGGCGTCGGGCTCGGCCAGCAGCGCGATGATGGCCGCGACGGCGTCGCGCGGCCGCGGCTCCGCGGGCACCATGCGCCGCTTGCCCTCGTCCGTCGTCGTGACGCTCACGAGCGCCGCGCAGGCCGCGCGCCGCGCCCCCAAGTCCGGGTCCTCGAGGAGAGCACACAACGTGTCGACGGCGTCGGCCTCGACGGCCGCGTCCTTCGCGCTCATGTCGAAGCACAGACCCGCGAGGCAGCGGCCCGCCGCGGCGCGCACGGCGGCTTCCATGGATCCCAGGAGCGAGAGGCACGTCGCGATGCCGCCCGCGTCGAGGGCCTCGGCCAAGCCCTGCTCGTTTCCTAAACAACTCGTCAGCAGGTCCAGGGCCCGCGGCTGCAATCCCACACTTTCCTTTTCCGCCTTCTCCACGAGCGCCTTCGGGTAGCCCGCCGCGACAATAGAGGAAGCGCCTCTTCGAGGCCCGCCGCCCAACCTTATCAAAGCGTCGTAGCAGTGCATGCGCACGTCCTGCTCGGCGTCGTTCAAGCACGCGCCCTGGATCGCCGCCGGCGTAGCGGCGTCGACCATGGCCCGCGCGGCCCGCGCGTCGCGCGCGCAGCCGCACAAAGCCTTCGCGGCCAACACGCGCGTCGGCGCGTCCTGGCCGCCACTCACGTGCGCGTTCAGCGTCTCCACAACACCGGCGTCGGCGCAGCCGTGGGCCTGCTCCGGGTCGCTCAGCGCGTCGCAGAGCGCCGTTAGAGCATTGACGCGGACGAGGCGGTCCGTCGCCGCGACCTCGCCGGCGAGCTTGGGGCCGAAGCGCGTCGCGAAGGCGGGCATGATCTTGTGCGCCGGCGGCTCGGGGTGGGCCGGCGTCGGCTTGACGATGAGCGGCATTTTGGGGTGGTGTCCTTCCTTGTTGTGCTGGTTTGTGCCGCGAGGGGCAGCTTTTTTTGGCTGTCCTTGCGTTGTGGCAGCCCAAAGGGCTCGGCGATGCTTGTGCTTGCTCCGAAGCTGCGGTCCTATCGACGATGCGGCTCGATGTCCTGCTCGGCGCTGAGTTTTGCAGCCCGCCTCCCGACGACCCCCTACTATATGCCGGACGCGACGGTTGCTACGTGATATCGGAGCGGTGGCGAGCGCGCCCGGCGGGTGCAATGACGTTCGCCGCCGCGCGCGGCGCGCGGACTCCGCAGCAGCCCCCCTCGACGCCATCGCCGCGATAAGTAGATCAATTTCGCGCTCGACGACGGTTACACCGGGGAGCGCGAGGGGACTCGCGTGTCGAAGGGGGGAGGGCACGTAGAGGACATCTACACGGCGACCTTGGCGTCGACGGCGGCCATGTGGCACATGAGGTCGACGACGCGGTTCGAGTAGCCCCACTCGTTGTCGTACCAGGCGACGCACTTGACGAACTTGGGCGAGAGCATGATGCCCGCCCCGGCGTCGAAGACGGACGACGTCGGCTCGGTCTCGAAGTCGGTCGAGACGAGGGGCTCGTCGCAGTAGCCGAGGATGCCCGTCATGGGGCCGTCGGCGAGGCGCGAGACCTCGGCGCAGATGTCGTCGTAGGACGTCGCCGTGTTGAGCTTGACCGTGAGGTCGACGACGGAGACGTCGGCGGTCGGCACGCGGAAGGCCATGCCCGTGAGCTTGCCCTTGACGTCGGGGATGACCTTGGCGACGGCCTTGGCGGCGCCCGTGGAGGACGGGATGATGTTGCCGGAGGCGCAGCGGCCGCCGCGCCAGTCCTTGTTCGAGGACGCGTCGACGACCTTCTGGGTGGCCGTCATGGCGTGGACCGTCGTCATGAGGCCCTCCTCGATGCCGAACTTGTCGTTGATGGCCTTGACCATGGGCGCGAGGCCGTTGGTCGTGCAGGACGCGCAGGAGACGGCGACCATGGACGGGTCGTAGGTCTCCTCGTTGACGCCCATGACGACCGTCGGGGAGTCGTCCTTGGCCGGGGCCGAGAAGATGATCTTCTTGGCGCCGGCGGCGATGTGGGGCGCGACCTTGTCGGCCGTGAGGAAGGCGCCGGTGGACTCGCAGATGTACTCGGCGCCCATCGCGCCGAAGGGGATCTCGGACGGGTCGCGCGTGTGCGTCGTCGGCGTGAGGACGCCGTCGATCATGAGGCCGTCGGCCGTGGGCTCGATGGTGCCCGGGTAGCGGCCGTGGATGGAGTCGTACTTGAACTGGTAGGCCATGTACTCGTTGGCCGCGCCCGAGTTCACGAGCTTGAGGTCGATCGCGTCCGACTTGGCCATGATGCGGGCCACGAGGCGGCCGATGCGGCCGAAGCCGTTGATGCCGCCGGCGACGGCCATGGTCGGCGCCTGGGCGGCGGCCTGGGGGCGCGTGGCCGCCGGGAGGGCATTGCCCGACGTCGTGAACGCGGACGCGCCGGAGGCGAGGAGGGCGGCGGCGGTGTACTTCCTGCGTGGGTATTTGGGTTAGCGGTGGTGCGCGGGCGGCTTTTTTCGCTCCCGGGGGTGTGTGAGGGCTCGGGCAGGGCCAAGGATATTCGCCGTCGGCGGCCGGCCGCGGTTGGCTTATTGATGGCGTTTCTTGCACCACGCATTGCTGGCGGGGGCACGGAGGGTTTACTGGGGCCACCGGTGGCCGCGCGCTGCACCGCGGCGCCGTGGGGCGCGTCACGTGCGTGATCGCCCAGGCTTCCAGTATTGCTCGGCCATTACGAGGCCGCGCGCGGCCCTGTTTTTTGCATGCAGGCCTCCCCCACGGTCATTGCTCAGCCCTCCGCTGGTGATTTAAATTTGCAGACGCGGTGCCGTGCATTTTGGTAGCGAGATGAGACTTGCTGGACGACGTGTGTTTTGTGTGTGCCACCTCGGAGACCAAATCGCAGGTCGCGCGCACAGCCCATCCAGAGCAGCCACATTCCTCCGCTTGGTCGCGGGAGAGCTATAAGAGGGGAAACCCAGGCGCGGGATCAACACACCGCGGCGCGTCACACGCCTCTCCACCCATCGCGAGCCACGAACGTCCGCCCCCACGCACGCCGTCGCCGCCAAAAACCCAATCAAAGAACACAAGTTAACCGAACAACTATGGCGCGGCCGGCGGCCTACAGGGCACCGCGAATTGAGAACAGCACGCCCCCGGCGACGGCAAAGACACCGGGACCTCCTCGCGCGGGTCGTAGCCCGCCAGGGGCCGCGTGTACCGCGCTTCTTGCGACGGCGCCTCCGCGACGCTCACCTCGAGCGCCGTGATGCCGCGTTTCACGAGCTTCTCGACGCCCAGTTCGTCGATGACGCGCCGCCACACGAGCGCGGCGAGCTCCTCCGCCGTCGAGTGCTTCAGCGGCAACATCGCACAATCGGCCTCCGGCATCGAGAAGAACGACGCGTCCTCGCAGACGATCTCCACGTTCTTTTTATTACGAGTGATCGCCAGGGCGTCCGCCAGACAAGGGCACAAGAAGCGCTCGTTTAGTTGCTCACAGACCCTCCTGGTGGCCTTTTTCACGTCGCCGAAGTCCAACACGTAGCCGTCGTGCTCGGACAAGGGCCCGAAGACGCGCACGCTGCACGTGTAGTTGTGGCCGTGCAGCCGCTCGCGGTAGCCCGGGAAGGCGACGAAGTGCGCCGCGTTGAACTTGAACCTTTCGGACTTTACTTGGACCTCGTATTTGGGGGCGGCCCAGCCGGCGCCCGGTGTCGTCGCGTGGCCGTTCGCCGCCATGCCCTCTCGTTTCTTCGTATTGTGTTGATGCGGCTGGCGTCTTCCGCGGCCGTGTGGTGCGCTGCGTCACACTGCTCTCAGAGAGTGCTGGCTCCCTGTGCAGCTGTAAAGCTTGCAGCGATGGCGTCGCGAGCGTGCAGCCCTGTTGTCTTGCAGTTGCGCGCGTATGCTACGCTCGACACCGCAAGCGATGCCGTCTACTACGCGGAGCAAGGACGCCTCTGCAGTCAGTTTTTAGTAGCGGTGCGGATGTCACTTATTCTTCTCAGGACCCGTCCGGGGTCTCTCTTAGCGTTGTGCGGGTATGATTGTCGTTGTTGAGCTAGTTGTAACCCACTAGATTTTGTGCTTGCTCGCCTTGGATTTGTTGGCTGTGCGTTACGCGCACAGGGCATAACGCTCTCTTTTAAATAGGCTTTTGCAAGCGCACAGCTCTGATTCAAGTCCGGTGCAAAAGCGGTGCAGGAAGCGCACTCATTACGAGGCGCTCTCCGAAGCGGTGACTCAAAAACGCCCGCAGCGATGCCGCGAATCAGCGCTCTAGCACTCGTAGTGGCCGCCGCAGCGCTGCAGCGGCCATCGATGGCGCCGCTGCGTTGCAACGCCTTGCGCGCGGAGCCGGGCCCGGGCGGACCGCCGCCCGGCGTTGCAACCGGCGGCCCGCCGCGAGGCCCGCCGCCCGGCGTGAAAGGCGGCCCGCCCGGCGGCCCGCCGAAGAAGCAGCGCGACGAAACGAACCCCGTCGTGGACGCAGCCGTCGACGCGCTCTTCTCGCTGCTCTACGTAGGCGACGACAGCGGCGCCGCGGACTCGTCCAAGAACTTGAGGGTCTTGTGGACGCGCGCCGTGCTGTCCGGCCGCGGCATCATCGACGATCCGCAGGCCTTCGAGTGGCTGCCGACGAATACGAGGTGGCTCGTGAGCCCCGAGAACGCGAAGCGCCTCCCGGAGTCGCTGATCGAAAAGCTCGAGTGGATCGGGTCGCGGACGCGGTTTCTGGATCAAGCCGTGGACGCCTTTCTGGCCGAGCACGCTTCACCACAGATCGTCGTCGTCGGCGCGGGCTACGACACGCGCTGCGCGCGGTACGGCGGGCGCGCGAAATTCTTCGAGGTGGACCTGCCGAGCGCTGTGGACGCCAAGAAGCGCATCCTGGCAAAACGGTCGCCTTCTATCACCGTCGAGCACCTTCCTCTAAACCTGGAGGACCTCAAGGCAGGCCCGTCCCTGCCGGAGCGCCTCGCCTCTTCCACATCTTTCGACGCTTCCAGACCGACGCTCTACGTCTTCGAGGCCGTCCTCTTCTACCTCTCGCCGCCCGCGTGCTCTGCTTTACTCGACGCGGCCCTAAACCAGGGCGCGCGCGTGGCCCTCACGGACTCCCTCACGAAACTCGGCGTCGCGCCGCGCGGCCCGGCGCCGCCGCCCAACAAGGTCGCCTGCGCCGAGTTCTTCGAGGGCCGCGGCGGCGCGCTCGGCGCGCACGACGTGCGCTGGGGCGGGGCGCTGCACTACGCGGACGTCGTGGCGTCTTCTTCGACGGCGTAAGGCCTGTTTAACCTTATACGTGGCGGCCAGTCGCTGGTAACCGGTCCGTGGGTTGGATTGGGTTTCTAACGTCGCGGCCCTCTAGTGCAAAAAAACGGGTTTTCCTGGCTTGTCGCGCTCTCGCTACTTGATCGCGCTCTCGCGGCTGCAAACGCGCCTACGACCAAGACGAGGTGATTTGCGATCGTAAGAATAGAGCACACGTGCCTCTCGCCGACGGCGCCGCCTCTCGCCCCGCGACTGGCCTAAAAACTGCTGGAGTCTCAGAGAGCGAGAACCTAGAGCGAGCGTCCAGCGTCCGTCAATCCTGGTCACAGACGCGTGTCGGCCGCACGACTGCTCTCGCACACAATCGCTCCCTCGCAGGTCTGTCAGATATCATGGAGCACAAAGCCGCCGACGTGACCACGCTCAAGGTCAAGCAACTCAAGGCCCTCATCCAGGCCGCGGGCCTCTCGCACGCGGACTGCTTCGAGAAGAGCGACCTCCGCGCGCGCGCGACGCAAGCACAGGCCAAGCTAGCAGCGGCGCCGGCGCCGAAGCCGAAGAAAAAGAGCCTCATCGGACGCTGCGTAGGAGGCGGCCGCGGGGGGCGCTGCGATGGAGGACTGATTGCGCTAGGCCCTGGGTTTTGGTTTAAGTTTTTCTATTCGTGCTGGGCCTGAGGGCGCGCCGCGACGGGGCCCACGCGGCGGCCTGCGCGTACCTCGCGCAGGCCGCGATGCACTTCCCGCCCGACGACCTCCAGAAGGTCGTCGCGACCTGGCTTCTCGCCGACTGCCTAACGAGCTGCGGCGGCGCCGTCGAGGTGGGCTCGGTCCGGGCCGTCGCGGCCGCGGCCATCAACGTCGAGGCCAAGTTCAGAGAAGGCGCCTTCGGCGCGGCGGTCGGCATCGAGCACCTCCCGCCGCGCGGCCGCGTCCGCGCGCTCCTCCGCAAGACGTCGGCCCTCGCCGACGACGCCGCGCTGCCCGGGCCAGCGATCGAGGGTGCCGGCGCCATGATGCGGACGGCGGGCGGCGGCAAGGTCGTCGCGGGCCTGATCGACGGCAAGAACGCGCCGCCGCCCGGCACGGTCGACCTGCTCTCCCGCCTCGGGCAAGTTGACATATCCTAGGGTCATTCCGATCTCGTCATAAATATACATCTTTCGTGAAGCATCGAAGGCTTGCTAGTGTCTACATATACCGCTAGCACCCTGTTTTTTAGCCATTTTGGACAGGCCAGCCGCCTTACAGATCGCATACCTAAGCAAAAGTCTGGCAACATGGCAGCGATCGTCGATAGAAGTGCTGCCGCGGACTTCGCCATGCCGTGCACCTGCGAGCGCTGTGCCCCACAGACCGCAGACCTGAGACCGCCCACGCAAGACGAGCGCCGGCGCTTCCTAGAGGCGAGTAGTGGTGATGCTGGCAAAGCAGCACACCTCTTAACGAAAACCCTGGTCTGGCGCCGCGACAACAACATCGACGCGCTCACAAAGCTCGCGCGGGACGGCCCCGCGACGGAAGAAGACCGGGAGGAGCTCGCCAACGAGGCAAAAGTAGACGCGCTCTACCCCTGCGCGCTCCTGCCGACGGGTTATGACGGCACGTGCCTCCAGGTCCAGATGCTCGGGCGCGCGGACGTCGGCGGCCTCCTCGACGATGTCGGCGAGGAGCGAGCTTTAAGAGCGTCGACGCTCCGCAACGAGCGCGCGCTGCTCCTGGGCAAGAGAGTATTAGTGCTCGACATGGAGGGCCTCTCCCCATCGACGCTGCGGGGCCTGCCGACGTTCAAGCGGCTTATTGATATAATGCAGCGGCACTACCCCGGCAGCGTCGCGTCGATACTGGTCGTGAACTGCCCTTTATTGGTCTGGACGGCCTACAAGGTCGTGCAGCCCTGGCTCGCGCCGGAGACGGCGGCGCGCGTCGCGCTCTTCTCGTGGCGCGAGGCGCCCGATTTTGGAGATCTTGTGGCGCATGAGTGCCTGCCGGCGCGCTACGGCGGGGCGCGGGCGTGCCCGCGGCTCGACGAGCTGTGTGCTGCGCGCGACGCGGCTTAGATTTTTTTGTGGTGTGGTTTTCCCCGGCGGGCGTAACTCTATTCTGTGTTATGCGTTTTGCCTTCGAGCTGTGTGTAACTCAATCCTTTTTATCCTTCCTAACCGGCGGCCCCGGCCACGCCAGCGCCGCGATCGCGCCGCCCAGCAGCGCTATAAAAACAACGACCGGCGCGATGAACGCCATCCCCAGAAATTTCAAAGCCGTCGCGAGCCGCGACGGCTGGCCCGCCGCCCTACCAAGATCCCGGAAGTTCGCGCCGGGCGCGCCCGCGACGACGTTCGTGACGCTTCCCAATTCTTCGCACCGCACCTCCACCGTACAACCCGGTTCCAGGAAGCGCCCGAGTTCCAGCCCGCAGCAGTTGGGGACCGTACCCATCCCGAGCACCTCGCCCGCGCCCAGCCCCTCGCCTCTACAACAGTGCTCGACGTACTGTGATAGGGAGCAGAATTTTTGGGCGGACGTTCTGCCAGAACTCCACCGCTCCCCATCTACTAACACTTCACATGCCAGCCCGTCGCCAAACAGCCGTCCGGATTCGTCAGAGCGGTATAATTCATCAGCGGTCACGACTTCCGAACCCATGGACGTGCAGAAGGCCTTGCACTTGACGAACCCAAAACCCACGGACGTCATCTCGTCGGCCTGAACGTCCCGCGCCGAGAAGTCGTTGATGAGCACGAAGCCGCCGTGGTCCTGGACCGCTTTTGCACAAGTTGTTTCATCGGCGTCGACCTCGAGGTCTGACCCCAGGATCAGCGCCACTTCGAGCTCATAATCGAGGACGCCGGCGTACGAGGGCCACCGCGCTCGCGCGCCCGACGGGATGATCGTGCGCGGGTTTCCAACATAATAAGCCGGCGCCGCGCACGGACCCAGAGCCCGCGGCAACCTCAACTTCTTCCCCAGGACGTGGCCCAGTAAGAGCTGCACCGCGTGGCCGCAGCGCAGCGCGATGCCCACAAAACCTTTCGTGGCCTGAGCCATGTGCTCCACGTACAAAGCGGCGTCTCGCAGTGAAATAGCCTGGAGCGGCAGCCGCTCCTCCATAATTTTGAGGCCGGGGACGCCTCGAATCAATGCCCTCGCGTCCGCGCGGCCTTGGTGGTCTAAACCAAGAAACGCCACGACCGACGTCAGCGCCGCCGGGTCGTGGGCCCACTTCTTCTTCCTCGCCGCGTCGACGAGGCAGACCCAGCCGTTCGTCTCGTCGAGGAGGTACACGGAGTCGCCTCCATTTGAGGCCGTGCCGAGGCGGAGGCGCATGCTGCTGTAGTGCTCGACACGCGTGGATCGGCGTGTTTTTTCGTCGAGTTCTTGCTGGATGCGTTTGTTGGCGTGGTTGCAGCCAATCCTTTGCAGCTAGTAGCCACAAAGCTGTTCGGCGCCGCGGCAGATGGCTAGCGGCATGTAAGACACTAGCAAGCAAAAATTGATGGCTCGCACGCGTCCTGGGGCATCCCTGTCGCGGGCTTGAGCGATAGTACGGCACGGGTGCGCTGCGCCCGCTGCTCTCGCGGATCAGGTGTTACTGACCCTCCTCGCGCGGTTGGGGCTGCGTGAATCAATGTCTGGAATTTCGTCACAATTCCACGAGCGCCCTGCCACACGTTATGCATCAAGGCTCTTTTTTCGCTCTCGTTAACGGTAGGCTCGAGGCGTTTACGTACTTTCTTCCTCGATCGGCGTTGAGCTGGCGCTTTCTTCTTCGACGGAGCTTTCTTCGACGGAGCTTTCTTCTTCGATCGGCGCGGAGCTTTTTCAAAACGTCTCTCGTGCTCCACCTTGTGCTCCTCTATCAGCTCTCGGACACGAGGCTTGACGTCTTCATCTAAGCCCTCGAAGCCCTCGATGTCCTCTTCGTGAAGTGACTGACCGCATCGTGCACGCGGTCGCGGCACGCGCCCTCGTCTAGCACCGCCTCGAGCAGAGCAGCCAAGCACGCGCGCAAGCGCACGCCATCGAGCAGCTGGCGGTCTATTTTGATGGCGGCCGCATCCGCCGGGCGCTTCGTCGCGGCCCGCGTCGCGTGGGACGACGCCGCCACCGGGCTCCTCAAATTCGCAGGCCCCATGACACTTTTGTGCTGTACTCGTCAGCGAGAGCACGGCGCGCAGCCCCCTTTGGACACGATCTTGTCCGCAGCGGTCGCGACGCGCCGCCGCAGCGGCTGCACACGCGGCGCCCCAATAAGGCACAGTGGACTTCATTTTTGCGAGTCTGTTGTGGCAGTCTCGGCGCTAGTAGGAGGCGCGACGCGCGTTCGGCTTCGCGACTCGTGAAGAGAGGACGTCTCCGTCGTGGAGTACTCCCGGGAATTTGCGTCTCCAGTTCACCAGCAACGCGCGGCGGAGCAGGAGCGGCTCGCAGCGCTTTCTTCGCCGGCGCCCGAAGACGCGTAATTAGGCTAAGGCGGGTAGCCGGTTGCGGCTCAAGTTAGACTTGACACTTTCACTTTGTTGCGCTCTCCCGAGGCTTGCTAGTGCCTTACGGCCGCTAGCTCCGGGGTGAAACACAGGAATGATAGCCCTCGCCGAGCCTTCGGAGCCTTCCCGAGGAGTCTAATCATCAATACACGCAATCCTGCCAGCTTAGGACCCGAAACCCTTTGATCAGCAGCCCACAATCACTTTCGTGACCATTAGCAGTCCGCGAGTGCCCATCCAGCGCCGCCGCCGCACCTGCCCCACCGTCTCCGACCGCCACGGACGCGGACGCACAAAGAGTGCAGCCTCCAAGGGCAGCCGAACACGAATGGAGCCCTTGCAACCGGGCGTCCATCACTTCGGTGCGCCGCGCGTGACGGCGGAGCGCCAGAGCTCCGACGATGTGCAAATCCCACGCGAGCGGCCGACGCCGCGGCGCCTCGACTTTGGGGAGCCGGAGCCGAAGCGGCCTCGCACGGACCGGGTGCGCGTGGGCTACATCGTGCGGCACCCGCGGCCCCCGACGGGCGACCTCTGCCAGCGGTTGCGCATGCGGGTCACGGTGGACGGAAATGAGAGAGGCACGATCGCCGGCACGATCGTGTATCTGCGGCGGCTTCGCCAAGGCGCGAACTTGCACCGGGCCCTCTACGAGCACCGCCAGGCGACGCACGACCTGCACGAGGTGGGCTTGGTGTTGTGGACCGCGAGCGGCCGGGCGCGGGACGACATTTTGGAGGCGTCGGCGTCCGTCGAGGCCCGGGGCGCGTGGCTGCACGTCGAGACTATAGATGTGGACGGCGACCACGCGGCCGAGGCCCTGGCGCAGACGTTGCGGCGGTGCGGCTGCGCGGCGGCGACGCACGTCGCGCGGCCGGCGCTTTCCACGGCCGTGGCGCCGCTCGAGGACGAGTCGTCCGGCGAGGAAGATACTGAGAACCACGCGGCGGCCTGCGCGGCCGTCGGCTTCTCCCGGAGCGCGCTGAGCCCCGAGGCCCTCTGGGTCGTGACCCAGGAGACGTTGTTCCACGACGCGGCGCGTTTAGATCAAACGCAGGCGGCGCGGCGCGTCCGGCGCGAGGACCGCCGGGCCGCGGAGCGGGTCCCACGGCGGTCCGTCGTGCCCCCCAAGGATATTGGGTTGCGCGACGCGCTCCGGGCCTTCGACCCGAGTTTGTTGGACGAGGACGCCGAGCGGTCTTTATGTAGGGAGTGCTGCCAGCGCGTCCACGACCAGGGGGCGGACCCGGACGCGGCGGGTGCGCTCCACGTCGCCGTGGCGCTCAAGTCGCCGCGTTTGGTGGCCTGCCTCGTGGACGACTGCGGCGCGGACCCGAATCATCGCTTCGACGGCGCCACGCCGCTGATGAATTGCGCCGAGGGCCTTTCTTATTCTAGATGCGATTTCATGAGGACGGGCCAGGTCGCGGAACTGCTCCTCGAACGGGGCGCGGACGCGGCCGCGACGGACTTGCATGGAAGGACGGCTTTGGGGAGGCTCGTGGACCGCATGGGCGGCGTCGACGACGAGCGCGCGCTCTTCGACCGGCACCGCCTCGGCGTGCCCGTCTTTTTACAGCGGCTCCTGGCGCCCGCCGGCGGCCCGACGGCCGCGGACGCCGACGCCGCGCGGCGCGCGTCCGGGTTGCAGCTGCGCGACGTGCTCCCGCGCCTCCGCGAGCTCGGCGAGCCCCTCGCGCCGGAGACGCTGCGCCTGGCGGCGCCGCTCTGGATCTGCGGCTGCGGCGGCTCGGCGGCGCCCGACGTCGCGGGGGGCGCGACGGCGACGGTCTTCCGGTCCCCGGGCAAGGTCCAGTGCCTCGCGTGCGTGGCGCGCCTGCTCGGTGGTACTACAGAGTAACTTACCCGAACTCCCCCGACCGCCTAGCTTCCCGCCGCGCCAACTTCTCCTCAATAAATTGATCCTCCGCCAAGTCCTTGTCGCGCAAGCGGATCAGCCTCCTATAATCCTCCAGCCGGAAGCTCTCGGCCCGGTAGCGCGCGGTCTCGTCGACCATCTCTCGAATATCTTCCTCCTCGAGGTCCTCGCCCATCTCCTGGCAGACCTGCGTCAGGTTCGCCGCGTTCACGCGGCCCTTCGACTCGACGTCGAGCAACCGGAACACGTCCTCGTCGCTGTCCTTCACCGTCCGCTGTTCGACGCGCTCCCGGAACAAGTTCTGGAACTCGCGGAAATCGATGTTCTCGGCGTCGCCCTTGCCCTTCTTCGCGAGCATGGCTCGGACTTCCTTCCGCTTCACGCGAAGCCCGAGCGCGTAGCACAAGGCCTTGACCTCGTCGATCGAGATGAAGCCCGTGCCCCGGTCGAAGCTCGCGAAGCCGGCCTTCATCTCCTCCGTGCCCGTGTCGACGACGACCGCACGGGGCGTTTCCTCCGGCGTCTCGCCCCGCGAGGCGCGGAGGAGGGCCTCCATCACGATGGGGCTGCCCTACGATCGATGGCAGCGATGACGACGGCGGAACGGGCGCTAGGCAGTGCCTGAATCGCGCGAGGCTCGACAACAAAGGCCTGGGCAGTGCCTGAATGCGCCGCGCGGCCTATAAGCGCCTGGGCCGATAGGCGCTGTGTAATCCTAGTGTGTCGCTACACTAGCTAATCTTCAAACCGCGGCTGCTAAAACGCCGAGTACTACGCATATCGGCGCTGGCGCGCCGATTTGACCGCTTGAGCAGTACGAGACATCACTCGGTACACACCTTCACTGCGCGCCCGACGCGCGGCCGTCACGCACAGAGCATATACCAGCCGCTGCCGCTAGTGCTCGTTGCACGCGCTCGCGCTAAAAGACCAGCGCATAAACGACCAAGGGCTGACCAAAATGGCAGTTGACGCCGCGACGGTGCGAGCCGCGATCACAGAAGCCGGCGACGCCGTCGCAATCACCCACCGCCCCTGCGCGCTCGCCGGCTGGGGCGGCCGCGCGCTCGACGCCGCCGAGGCGATCAATGTGCTCGACGGGCCGGCGGCCGAGGGCGCCTGGACGGTTGGTGATAGGCGCTTCGACGTCACGCCCGTCGACGCGATGCTGCCCTGGAGCGGCCGCGCCGTCGCCGCGATCGCGGCGACGCTGGGCGACGACGGGCGCGCGTTATTACAACTCGAGGGCGCGGCGCTTGAAACGCCACCAGAGGAGGCGTGGCTCGAGCGCTGCGAGGGGTCGACCGTATCACCTCCATCCCGCGTGGCCCTCGCGAGTGCGCGCGGCTTCCGCGGGCGGACCGAGGACCTCCTCGCCTTCTACGACGCGGCGTTCCACGCGACGGCGGCGGCGCCCGCCGAAGACCTGCGCGTCGTGCTCGCTTGTAGAAGCAACGGCGCGGTCGCGCGCATCCCGTGCTTACTCAAAGTGCCGGACGCCTCATTGATTGCCGCGTGGGTCTCATCATCAGTAGAGGAGGACGGCGCCGGCGCGTGGCGCGCCGCCGCCGTCGAGGCGCGGGCCCGCTGGCACCGGGCCCCGACGATTGTTGTGAGGGACCGACGGTTAGAAATCGAGACGACGGACGCCTGGCGGCCTTGTGAAGGGGACCTCTGGACGGCGGCGCTCGAGGCCGGCGTCGACGTCCCGATTGAACTAGAGTCCGCTGTTTTAAATCTCACACCGGCGGATCATTTGAAGCGCGTGCCGCGCGACCGCCCGCACGGCGTGCGGCGCCTGCTCAAGGGCCGAAGTCCAGCGCTCGCCGAGGTGGCCGTCGGCGCCGCCGCCGAGCACGCCTTCATGCGGCTTCAGGACGGCCCCCTGCGCCTCGTGGACGGGCTCTGCCCGCCGCCGGTCCTGGGCGCGCTCGCGGCTCAAAAAGGCGTCGCCGTCTGCGACGACTTTGGGACGGGCGGCACGGTGCTTACGCTAGCCTACGACAACGACGACGACGACGAGACGCCGCCGGCCGCCCTTATGTTGATAAAGCGCGCGGGCGACGTGCTGGAGGCGACGAGCCCGCCTCTACTAAATCCGCTGCGGCGTGAAAATGAAGAGGGCGCCGTCGCGGTCCTCCGGCTCTTTGACATCGAGGAGCCCGCTCCAGAAGAACGCTGCTGGCTCGACGCGGCGCGGTGCGAGGCCGGCGAGCCGACGGCGAGCGCCGTGCCTCCGTCAACGGTCGACGCCTGCGCCGCGGGCCTCGACGCGCGACAAGCGAAAGCGCTCCGCGCCGGCCTCGTCGGTAAGGCGCTCGCTTTGCCAAGCGGCGCGGGCCGGACATTACTCGCCGCGCGGTGCGCCGCGGCCCACGCGTCCTTAGAGAGGAGCGTCCTCGCCGTCGCGCCGTCCGCGCGGGCCGGCGCCTCGCTCCAGGCGGCCCTCGCGGACCTGGGCGCCTCATCACTAGTCCTGCCCGAGGCCGAGGCGCTGGACGCCGACGGCGTCGCGCGCGTCGCGCAGGCCGTCGCGGCCGCGCGGCTCCGTGACGGATCCATCGACGCCGTCGCCGTGGAGACGGCAATCATCCCAGCGACGCGCGAGGCGCGCATCGCGGGCCGCGTCGCTTCGTACGAGGTGGCCCGCCGCCAGTTCAAGGCGACGTTGGAGCGGGCGGCCGCGACGAAGAAAGCGACGGCGTCAGACGCGGCGCGGGCGCTCCGCGCCTTCGCGGCGCGCGGCGAGCGGCCCGACGGTCCAAATCTCGCGGAGGCCTTTTCGCAATTGGACGGCTGGCCGACTTTGGTGAGGGACGCGGCGCTCGTCGTCATAGCGACGCCGCTGGCCCTCGCGCGCTGGCTGCCGCGCGCGCGCGTCTTTGACGTTCTGGTGCTCGACGACGCGCACGCGTTCGAGGCGCACCACATTCATCAGGCGCTCGGCCGATGTATTGAGGGAGCGGCGCTCGTCAAAGCATCAAGGTGCACGGGCGAGACGCCGTATCGCGGCGTTGCTGCGCTGCCAACGCCGCAACCCATTCATGATAATGATGAAAAGAGGGGCCCCTGGCGCCCGTCGAAGGTCGGAACGACGCTCGCCGCCGTCGCGGACGCCGTCGCGCGCGCGCGCGGCGACGCGCGGTTGAGCGACGCGGCTTATGATGTTGCGGCGAACGGCGATTCTGTGGTGGGCGCGGCCTTCCGCGCGCTCCGGGGCGCGCGGTGCCACGTCGCGCTCGCCGCGACGGTCCTCGAATTACTAAGACGGTACGCGGCGCATTCATCAACACCAAAGTCCGCGGTGGTCTGCGCCTACGACCTGCAGCACGCGCGATTACTCCAAGTGCTGATGACGCTCGAGCGCCACGAGGATGCGAGGTTCTTCCCGCAGGGCGTGGACGTCCGGTCATCGACGGATGGATTAGAGGCGCTCGGGGCGCCCGACGTCGTCTTGAGCTGCTGCGCGTCGAAGCGGGACTGGCGCGCCGACGCCCCAAGGGCGGCGCTGCTCGTCGGTCGCATTTTAGATGTGGACGGCGCCGGTTACGACGAAGACGACCCCGAGGTACCTCCTTCTGATCAAGAAGAGGACTGGGTCGCCGCGCTGGCCGCGGCGGCGTCCTCGGTGGAGGACGCGCCCATGCGCGACCTCCGGACGTTGTGCTTCCGCTTCGACGGGCGAGTCGTGAGAGCCATCGCGAACTTCGATTCGATAGTCGTGTGCCACGCGTGCGAGGAAAGCTTTGGGGACGACGCCTTGTCCATCGCGCTGCCGGCGGCGTTGAGGAGACGGGGCTGGGTGCGGGTTTACCACTTGTGCGAGACGTCGACCGTCGAAAATCTAGTGGAGCCGCTGCTCGAGGACCTGTGCTCCTGGCGCCACGCGCTGCGCTTCGCTTCTGTAAAAGTGGAGGCGGACCGTATCTGTTGTACGATCGAAGCGACGGAGCCCGTACCCTCGAAAGTTTTGCGAGCTTTAACCTGCGACGCGTCGATCCAGGTGGAGCCCTGGCGGACGGGGGCCAACGCCGTCGTCTCCTTAAAACGCACGTCCATGGCATTCGTCGGCAAGTGCCGGTGCGAGCATCGCGCCGTCGCGGTCACTTTGAGAGATGCGACGGGCAAGGTTCTGATAACGGAAACGCGGGACGCGCCCGTCGCGCCGCCAGCGACCCCCGTGGCGCGGCTCGTCAATGAGGAAGGCAAGGTGGCCCTGGTCATTCGCGCGCGCGGGCGGCGCGCGGCGCCGTGGCGGGCGCCGTCCGTGGATATCGTCGCCGAGGTGTCGGCGGGGGAGACCGTCGTGAAGACGCTGACCAAGGGCTGCGCGGCGTCCGTGCGCCTCGCCCTCGGGCGCGTCGCGGGTCCAATCAACGTGCGCGTCGTCGCGCGGAACAGCGCCGGGACGTCCGCGGCGCTGGAGCTCGCGGCCGACGTGCCGCCTCCGATTGATGATTTTGACGACGCCGCGCCGGCGCTGAGCGACGAGGACGCGCTCGCCTTCGACGACGACAGCGACGACGACGCCGCGCCGCCGGCGCCCTACGAGCGCTTCTCGCTGACCTTTGTCAAGGGCCCTCTGGGCATCAAGCTCGAGACGAGTGAGCGGCCGCGCGTCGAGGCGGTCACGAATGACTCGGAGCACCATTCATCTCTGAAATGTGGAGACGAGGTCGTGGGCATCGGGTCGACGTCCTTCTTCGAGAGCGACGATGACGTAGCAAAGGGCGGCGATGGCGTTTTTAGTACGGACGACTGCTACGAGTTGCTGGCGGACGCCGTAGAAAGGGAAGCCTTCCCGCTCACGCTCCACTTCCGACGGCGGCGCGAGGCCGACGCCGACGTTTTCGTGGATGCGGCCCCGTGCGACGACGCCCTCCCCGCCGCCGCGGAGGAGGACGACTACTTCGGCTTCGGCGGCGACGACGACGCGGGCGACGACGACGCCGCCGAAACGGTCGTCGTCCCGCACCTCCGGCGCGTCGACGAGCGCTCCTGCGTCGTCGTGGGCCGGCCCGCCGCGGCCCGGCTGCGGGCCGTCGACAGCGGCGCGCCGAGCGCGGACTGGGTTGTGTTCGACGCGGCCGAGGGTCAAATGCTCGACGGTGAGAGCCTGCCGTGGCCGGCTCAGGCGACCGTCGTGGACGTGCGGTTACGAGACGCCGAGGACGCGTGGAGCGGGCCCTTCGCGCTGCGGCGGGCCGGGACGGCGAGCGTGCTTAGGATAGAGGACTGCTGGTTCGTCGACGAGGACGAGGACCCTTTACGACGCATTCAGCGCGGCGGGGCGCTCTGTTTACGATTGAAGGCCCAGGGCGAAGGCCACGTCCGCGTCGTCGGTGAGTATAAAGACTTAACGCTGCGCGCCGACGCGCACGTGGCCAGCGACGACCCTCACATCTCGCTGCGGCCGCGGCCCGACGACCGGAGGCGCTGGTACGCCGCGGTGCTGGACGACGGTGGCGACGACGCACCGCTGGCCTTCTCCGTTCAGGTGGAAGTGGACGGCGGCGCCTCTCAAATATTTGCAGCGCGTGTGGCGAGGAAAGAGGACGTCCTACGACCGCAACCAGAACACGAGCTCGTGGCCAGCGCGTTGCCGGCGTTCCTCGCGCGCGTCGCGGCGTGTTGTACAATCGCGGACGTCTGCGCCGCATCGGACGAGCACGGCGCCGAATTGGAAGAAGCGGAGCGCGCCGCCGTCGCGGCCGCGTCTCTAGTAACTTGGACGCGGCGGCCCCTCGGCGCGGCCGCGGCCGCGTCTTTACTAAAAGCGGCGGGCGCGCGGGACGAAGCGTGCGCCTACGCCTCTTCCGTGCGAGACGCGCCTCCATCAACACCGTGCGCCCTCTTCCGCGGGTCGTCCGAGGAAGCGCCGGCGCTCGAGCCGCTCGTCGGCGCGGCGACGCGCGAGGAGCACAACCGGGAGCCGTTCTTCGACGTGCTCGCGACGTTACGAAAGGAGCAGGCGCCGCACCTCGCCGCGGCGTTGCTGCGGGGGGCGGGCGCGCGCCTTGCTCCCTCATCAAATGACGAGGTCCCGTGGTTCGCCGCATCTACGAAAGTCGAGGACCGCGCCCGGGCCCTGTGGTGCTTCGAAGGGAGTGAGAGGACGCTCTACGTGCCCACGTGTATCGAGGACGGCATCACAAAACTAGATCCGCGCGGCTACGCGTTCTTCGCGCCCGGAATCGAGCGACGGGCAGCTCAACCGTGGAGTAGGCTCGAGGGGCACGTGGGTGTCGTCGGCAAAGCGTCGCTCGTGGCCTACGATGCGCTCCCGCCCGCCTGGGAGGCCCTGCTGCGCCACGGTGTGAGACGGCTCCACGGTCCCTACGCGCGCGTCTTCGGTGGCGCGAGCGGCGAGGCGACGGACGCGACGGAGCGTGTAGCCATTTGCTCGAGCTGCGACGCGACGCAGCGGCGCGCCGTGCGGCGGTGCGTCGCGGGGGGCGCATTCGTGCTAAGGGGCCCGCCGGGCACGGGCAAGTCGGCGACGCTCGCGAATTCGTGCCTGGCGCTCGCGGCGACGGGGCGGAGCGTGCTCGTCGTGGGCCAGGAGGTCGCGGCGGCCCGCGTCGTGGCCGCCAAGGTCGGCGAGATCCTGGGATGTAGGAGGGGCGTCGCGGGCCCCGACGCGTTGATGTCCCGGCGGAAGCCGCACGCGGATTCGTTACAAGTCCGTATGCAGCGCGCCGCGGACGAGGCCGCCCTACCTCCAGCAACGTTCGCGGCGGAGTGGCTCGACCGCGGCTTCCGCGTGTCGCCTGTAAATGACGTGGACGACGCCTACGCGACGTGCCTCTTCAAGCCGCGGCCGAAGGCGGCGCCGGACCGGCGCTTCGTCTGCGAGCTGTGCGGCCGGGACACGGCCTCGGCCGCGCCAATGGCCAAGCACCTCCGGACGCACGCGGAGCCGAAGCGGCGGCGCAAGGGCGACGACGTCATTTCGGAGCGGCGGCGCGTCGTCGACGCCTGGCGCGCGGATGAATCGCGCGTCGACGTCGCCCACGTCGCGCGCGCCGCGGCGGTCGCGCGCCAGGCGCAGGCCGCCGACGCGTTGTATGACGCGGACCGGGCGTTACGCGAGGCTCTGAAACGTTTGGAGCCCGCGGACGCGGCGGGCGAGCGCCTCGCGGCGCTGGCGCTGCGCTGCGCCCTCGACGACGTCGAGGTCGACGGCGGCGAAGCTTTTGCACACGAGTGCGCCGCTGACGACGCGGCCGCGCGGGCGCTGCTGGCCGTGCTCGACGCCGTCGCCGACCGGCGCCTCGGCGCCGCGGCCGCGTCGTCCGCGCTCGAAAGGTGCGCGGGGCCGCCGGGCGCGCGCGCCGTGGCCCGGAGCGTGCTGGCGGCGCGCGGCGCGGAAAGGCGGCGCCGCGCCGCGCGCGCGGCCTTCGCCGCGCGGCGGGCGGACGCGTCGTCGGTCCCGGACGCCCCGTACGTCCGCGCTTTATCCGACGCGCGGCGCGCGGCGTCGCTGGCGCTCGCCCGGGCGGCCGTGGACGCCCACTCTCTGGAATTCAACGAACCGTTGATCACGTGCGCGACGCCCGAGCTCGTCGCGTCCCTGAATATCGTCGACGACGCGCGCTACGGCGCCGTGCTGATCGACGAGGCGTCGCAGTTCCCGACGACGCCGCTCGCGCTGGACCTCTGCGCGGCGGCGTCGTTGACGTTCGTGGCCGCGGGCGACGACCTCCAGCTGCCGCCGAGGCGCCACGCGACGGGTCTGCTCGACGACGTCGTCGATGCCGGGCGCGTCGACCTCGTGCCGCTGGAGTGGCACTACCGCAGCGGCTGCCCGACGCTCATCGGCGCGTCGAACGCGCTGTTCTACGGGAGTCGGCTGGTGGCGCCGGCGTGTGCGCCGAGAGATCCGGGCTTAGTTGTAATCGAGGTCGACGCGCCGATGGCGTCGGCGCGGGGCCCGCCCGCCGGTCTGGTGAACGAGGGCCAGGCCCGGCGCATCGCTGACGACGTCGTCGCGCTCGTGAAAAAGGCGGACGCGGCGGGCGCGCCGCTGTCCGTCGGCGTCGTGACGCTAAACCGCCCCCAGCGGGGTCTGATCTACCGGCTCCTGCTCGAGAGCGGCGCGGGCCTCGAGGCCCACCCGACGTGCAAGGGGAGCCTGCGGCGCACGCCTATCAGTGGAAGGGACGTGAGTGGCGACCCGCCGCTCTTCGTCGAGTCCATCGACCGCATCCAGGGCGAGGAGCGGGGCACGATCTTCCTCTCGACGCTCCTCGCGCCGCGCGCGGGCGAGGCGACGGTGGATCTCGAGACGCTGGACCACCTCGAGGAGGAGGAGGACTCGGACGACGAGCAAGTATCTCGAAGGACGCCGCGGCGGCGGCGTGCGCCGAGCGCGCGCCACTACTCGACCCTTTCCCACGCGCACGGCCACCGGCTCCTGAACGTGGGCATCACGCGGGCCGTCGAGACCATGCGCTGCTACATCCACCGCGAGTGCCCGGCGCCGGGCCCGCACGACGCGCGGCCGGGCCGGCGCGCCTTCGGGTGGCTCTGCCGCACATTACTCAAGCGGCCGTCGCCGTGCGGCTGCGCCTCGTGCAAGGCACTCGCGGCGCGCCTCGCGCCGACCCTCGGGACCGGCGGCGACTCGGACGACGACGACGACGACGTCTCGTTCGCGGCGGGCGCGCGCGCGTGGCTGCGGCGCGCGACGCCGCCGGGCGGCAGCGTCGCGGCCGCGTCCGGCGCGCACCGGGGCGCCGTCGACGCGGCGCTCGTGTGCGGTGCGGCGCGGAGCGCGGCGTTGCTGCGCGGGGCGTCGTCCCTGGATGCCCTGGACACGCTGCCGCGCGCGCTCGGGGCCCCGAAGCTCGGCTGGGGCCGCGTCGCGCGGCTCGCGCCGGCGGACGTCCTGCGCTGGCTCGGCGCCGGGGCGCCAGAGGAGGCGCTGCGGCGCGTCGCGGCCGGCGCCGCCGCGTTCGCCGACGAGGCCTGGGCGCCGGCGACGCCGTCGGCTGGTGCGTCGTCGCCGGTGGCGTCACCAGAGGACGACGGCGCGTGGCTCGCCGGCGCGCTCGCGGCGGCCGGCGCGGCGCCCACTGCCGCGCCCACTGCGGAACGCACGGAGGAGCTCACTGCCGAGCCTACCTCGGCGCGGTCTCCGCTCGCGCCGGTCAACGTCGCGCCGACGCCCGCTGAGAAGAAGGCTCCCTCTACGCCCGCCGACTCGACACATTCCGGTGCGGTTGCCTCGACGCCATGTGGTGCCGTTTCGACGCCCCCGGTTGGTTCGACGCCTAGCGCCATGGCGGTTGCCTCGACGCCTCACGTGGCGCCAGCGGCCGCCACCGCGGCACCCGTCGAGTCTCCCGCTCCACCGGCGCCGCTCTCGTGCCGCGCGCTGCCGCGGCGCCGCGCGGTAGTGGTAGTCGAGCAGAAGGACGTGGCAACGAGTGACGACGAGGCCGGCTCGCTCGACAGTTTTGTCTGCGAGGATCACGACTCCGACTCGGACGCGTCCGACCCAGGCGTCTCCGACGACGACGACGATGCGCCGCCAGCGCCGGTGCCGCCGCCGCCGCCGCGCCGCCGCGCCCCGCCCATCGTCGAAGCGCCCCTGTCGGACGAGGACGACGCCGCGCCGCCGGTGGCGTCGGAACCACAATACGCCAAGGCCGAGGCCGGCGAGGTGGCCTCCGAGGACGAAAGCGCCGGGAGTCTGGACGAGTTTCTCGCGGACTCTGCCTCGGAGGGGGAGGAGGCCGCGGCGGACGACTCTACGGCGTCGGAGGCGGACGAGGCCCCCGCGGCACCGCCCAAGGCCCGGCGGCGCGTGATCGAGGGGGATTACTAAGAAGAGTGTTGGTGTACTTCTACCTCCCGAAACTCCTGTCGACGAGCTCCTCGACGGCCGCGCCGACCGAGGAGATCTTGCAACGACCGTCGACGGACTTGAACACGACGTCGACGCCTCCGACGCGGCCGCGGCATGCGAAGATGTCTATCTCCGCGAGGAGCCGCGGCTCGACGCGGCGCACGCTCTCTACGTACCCCATGTACGCGCGGGCGAGTACGGCCGTGTCGTTGATCGCCGCGGCCGTCCGGAACATGTCGGCCACCGTTTTCTTTCCGAGGCGCAGGCCCAGCGCAGCGCACTCCAGGACGTCGAAGGGGTTCGCGACGGCGAATTCGGGGCGGCACACGACGTCGTGTTCGAGATGGCCGGCCCGCCTGCGTGGACCAAACTTGACGGCGCACCCGACTCGCCGATTGGTTTTCACACAGCCGCCCGCGCTCTGTGCTCGACCCACACACGGCCTTCGGACTCGAGCCGGACCATCGACGCGAACCCGACGCGCGCGCCCTTCTCGCACAACGACTGGATCGCGGTGCTGCGCCTGCCGCGGAACGCTTCCACGCGGTCGGCTACCGTCACGGAGACCTGCACTTCAAAAATATTCTGTGGAGCGAGTCGACGCAAAGCGTCAAAATTATAGATCTCGAGACGGCGCGCCCGGACGACGACCCGTGCCACACTGACAGCCGGGACGATGGCCGATGCGACGACGCCATCTCCGTGACTGCGTGGGATCTCAAGGTGTCGTCGGCGGACTCGCGTCAGTTTTGGGACCGCGTCGCCGCGTTCCTGGGTGAGTATGGCCGCTTCTACGATTTGAACTTTTTGAGGGACTCGAAGGAGTCGAAGCCCCTCATCGACACGAACGCCCCCCCCCACGCGACGTAAGAAGGTTAAATCCCAAGTAGCTTCTACAGAGCCGCACAGCCGCCAAGCTCAGTTCCGAACACCCCACACAAAAACACGAGGAATTCCATCACAGCCAGGTGGACGACGGCAGGTCGAGACGGTCGACGGGCGCGACGGCGGACACAGTAGCCACGGCGACGAAGGAGCGACGAGGGGGCGGCGAGAGGCTTACGATGGATGATCCCAAGTCCAAACTAATAGACCCGCCGTACCCCGGCCAGTGACTCCGTACGCCCTAGCGTGCACAGACACACTAGGCATCCCTACGAGTGGTGCGGCGACGACGGAGAGTTCATTGATACACACCGCCTGCCGCGATAACCACTCAAGCAGCGCCAGCGCCTCGGTTTTGTAGCTTGCAGCAGATGGCGACCCTCCAAAAAAAAGCCAAAAAGGGCGCCGCGATCAGCAAGCTCTTAAACAAGCAGTACGAGGGCGCCGACACGACGTCGCTGGATGATTACCTCAGAAAAAAGAAGAAGGTCACGCTCCCGCCGGGGCAGACGCGCACGGAGATCCCGGCCGTAGAGACCTCGAAATTCGTGGAGCGGCTCTCGCAATGCCCAGGGAAAGGGGAGAAGAAACAGTCCGAACAAAAAAAGTACCTCCGCCGCGTGGCCTCGTTCCACTTCAACACTTTTGCTTGGTCGAGTGGACCTATGAGCATTAGCGACGCCGTCGCGAACCTCGTCGCGGTGGGCGCGGTCGTGGACCCGTGGCTCAAGGCGGACGGGACGCCGGTACCGGTCGAGGACTTCCCGGGCTTCCGGCGCATCGGCTCCGTCGCGAAGCAGGACGCCGCCGACGACTGGAACGACAAGCAGCATAACACAAAAGTTAGGAAGCTCGAGAGACGCGAGCGAAATCCGGCGCCGGGCAAGAAGGAGGCGTCAAACACCCAGGGCGCGACGCTGAAGTGGGGCGAGGATTCTTTGGTCGTCGCGAACGCCGCGAAGGAAGGGGTCGAGGTGCCGAGGAGGAGCGAGGAGGGCGAGAGGCGGAGATTGTTGTACACGGGCCGCGGGCCGCGGGGCGACCGGCGCCAGCCGCGGCGGGCCGAGGGGGTCGAGTGCGACTCGTGCACGCGGAACGTCTCGGACGGCGCCGGGAAAGTGTACTCCCCGCACAACCACACGACGCACATATTGCTCGCCGGCGGCCAGCTCGTCTGCAAGATCTGCGACACGAGCGGCCGCGTCATCACGGACGACCTCGTCGAGGCCGGCGTGAAGGAGGAGGAGATACCGCTCGTCGCGCGGACCTGGCTCTACGCGAGATGCGCTCTACGCGAGGACCGCTTTGGTGACGCATCCTTTGGCGAGGCCAAGGACATCTTCGACGAGGCCATCGCGGCGTCCTATGACGCCACCGTCGACTGCAAGGAGGTGACGGACCGGCAGCAGCGGCTCGCGGAGCCGGCGTGGGCGGAGCAGGACCAGTCGCAACGCGCGGCCTCGCGGCGGCGGCGCGCGATGCGCGGCGTCGTCGCCGGCGACGACGACGACGCGGACGAGTCGGCGTCGTCGTCGGACGACGCCTCGGCACGCGGTGCGGTGTCGGCGTCGCCGCCGCCGCCGCGGCGGCCTTCCGGCCCGCCGCCGCTGACCTCGCCGGTCTCGGAGGGCTCGGCGGGCTCGGGGGGATCGCGGTCGCGTGCGAGCGCGGCGTCTCGTGCGGGCTCGGCGAGGTCGGGGCACTCGGCGAGGTCGGCGAGCGGCGCCGGTCGCGGCAGCTCGCGTCGTCGGCGCCGGATTCGCACGGTTCTCCGGTCGCCGCGGTCGCCGAGCGAGTCGCCGGCGAAGCGCCGCCGACTCGCGAACGACGCCGCGCGGGACTACGTCGAGGAAAACTTCGGCGTGTTCGTCGACTTCCAGGCGGCGTTGCGCGAGTTGTGCGCCGGGGAGCACTCGGGGAGCTTTCTCGCCGACGACGCGGGCGCCCTGGACGATTTGTTGGATGCGTTCTTGGAGAAGGCTCGGCGGTCCTAAGTTAGTGTGTCTGTCTATTGCTCCCCAGGCTCATCAGCCTACTAGCCAATTGTCGCTCCAGGTCCGTTCGCCTCGAGCGGGAGGGGCTTTGCATATTGCGGGCCGCGCGGACCGTACCTCGCAAGGGCCGCGCTGCGGCGTGGTCCTGAGCACATCCGCTGGCGCCCTGCCAAATTTGGTGCAGCATGGGCAGCCTCAGGCTGAGGGCATGGGGCAGGCAGCTCCATTGCTCCCGCGCCTGCGCTCCCCAAGCTGCTGTGTGTGCAGCTCTCTCTTGTGTTCGTTCACGTCGAGGCCTAGGTGCCATCCTGAGGTGCGACGTGACCGTAGCGCCTCCTGTCGTCCAAAAACTGGTCCACCGCGTTGTTGGAAGGCTTCTGGGAATTATTTTTTTAGGGGCGGCAGGCAAGCAATCAGGCGGCGACCCCATAAAAGGAGATGTCAAAGTCGGGCGGGAGCCTCCGATCCAAGGCGCGCAAGCAGCGCAAAGCCGCCGCGCAGAAGCAGAAAAACAAGAAAAGCGGCCGCGCGAGCCGCCGCGGCCGAGGAAGGTCCTCCTCCAGCAGCAGTAGCAGCAGCAGAAGCAGCAGCGGCTCCTCGAGCTCCGGCTCCGGCTCCTCGTCCTCGTCCTCCTCCTCCTCCGACGACGACGACGACGACGAAGAACCGCTGCCGGCGGACATCAAAGCGGAGCATCGGGAGCCTCACGAGACGTTTTGGCCGCAAAAGCGTCGCGACCGCTTAGCGGCGATCCCGCGCCCGCGGCGCCCAAAAGGTAAAAAGAAGTTGCCTCCGATCCCGGTCGACGACGCGCCGCCGATCTTGGGAGGTGGCACGGGCTACCCGTCGGGCTGGGCGCCGCCGGCCGAGCACCCGTCATGGATCGAGTCGGCCGTCGTCGCCCAGGGCGGCGACATCAATGATCCGCGGTATAGACGCCCGCGCGACCGCATCGCCGTGGCCTGCATCGCTGCAGGCGTGCGGCCGCACCGCGGCCAGGCCGGCGTCGCGCCCAAGAAGTGGAGGACGTTCTTCGAGCAACGGGCGGAGAACTCGAGCGGCGCGGAGAAGAGGAAGTGGCAGCGCCTGGCCAAAGCGGCGGAGTCGATCAGCGACGACTGCCGCGACGCCGCCGCCGCGAGCGCGCCTCGGCGGCCGAACTGCTGCCAGGGTTGCGCGTTGCACTGCTGCGCCGTGATTCGGGCGAGCCGCGGCCGCAAGACGCGCCACCGGTTCCGGAAGACGCTCGCGGTCGTCGACGGCGCGGGCAAGATCCACCTGACGTACTACGCGGACCCGGAGGACCTGCGGAACGACCACCCCGAGTGGTCGGAGATCCACCGCCTCTGGGCGAGCGACCAGCGTCCATTTTGTGTCCTCTCATGTTCCACTCGTACTCATAGGTCTGCGACTTCTGCAACGGCAAATTTATTGCTTTCCTGGACCTGCTCGACGACGAAGAAATTATCGAGTGGTTTCGCGCGGGCCTGTGTCTTCCATCGGAATTTGCCTCGCTCTTCACTGTTTTTGCATGCAGAGCGCGACTACCACCTTTCTCAGAGAACGGCCGGGGCCGGCGCCATCCCGCGGGGCGCCTAGAGTGCTGCGCTGCCGTGGGCGACGCAGTCGTTGATGAGGTGGAGGAGGAGGTACCCGCGGCGCGAAGGGGCGTAAATTGTGGGTGTATGAAAGAAGCGGCCCGCGCCCGCCGCCGATGAATCGGCGACGCGCGGTGTCTCCCCCCCAGCACCGTAACATCGACTCCCAGGCCGAGGTCCACGCGGCCGCGCCCGATCTGGCCCCGCGGACGATGGGCTACGTCGCCATCGACGACGCGGGCCAGCCGACGACGACGTTTGTCGGGCTCGCTGAACGCGTCGAGGGCACGCCCCTGAGCGAGCTTGACATGCTCCGACCCTGCCCCCGACGACGAAGATCAAGGCCGAGTCCACCTCAAAAAAGCTCACGCCCGAGGACCTCCGCGCGACGCTCCTCGACTTCGGCAAGACGGCCAAGTTTTTGCGAGAGCGCCGGCCGGGCCTGCACGACCAGCTCGTCGACACGGCGCACCGAACCTTCAAGACAATGCATCTTCCGGGCAACCGTACGGCGCGCTTCGAGGACTATGAACATTAAAACCTACTTAAATTTCCCCCGAACCGCAGCCGCCGCCGCGACGCGCCGACGCGGAGCGCGTCGTCGACGTCAAAGTCGTAGCCCAGCGCTCGAAAGAGCGGCGACGCGCCCGCGACGTCCCGGACGTACTCGAGGTCCTCGCGCGTGTAGTGGCGGAAGCGCTCCGCCTCCGACCCATACAGCCTCAACGCTTTAGCGCGGTCGTTCACGGGGCCGACGTGGCCGAGGCGCGCGTCCTTGGACACGCCGTGGGCCTGCGAGAAGCGCCGGAGCGGCCGGCCGCCGACGCAGGTGCAGACTTTGCGGATCGTCTCCTCCGAGTTCCAGAGCAAATCCTCGAAGCGGATCAATAAGCGCGGCGCCGTGCTGTTCAGATACTCGCCGTTCCAGGCCCGCCAGAAGTGGGGCAGCGAGTCGTAGAACGAGGGTTTCGTCGGCTGGTAGCGCATCGTCGTCTGCGTCTCCTTCACGGGCGACGGGCACGCGGCGCTCCGGTGCGACGGCCGGTGCCGGAACCGGCACTCGTACTGGTTGCGGCACATGGACTTCATCCACGTCGTCGGGTCCTTGACCACCACGACCGGCAAAATTGATAAAGGGTCCGGCCGGAAGCGCCGCTCGCCCTGGAACTGCGGCGCCCAGTGCGCGCCGCGCCACGACAGCGGGTTGTGCTTCCCCCAGGGCACCTGCCAGAAGCCGTGGCGGCCCGTGCGGTCCGGGAACTGGCAGTTCATGTGCATGAGATCTAATAATGTGTTCGTGCCCGTGTTGAACATGCCCGCGGGCGCCCACCGCCGAATGTGGGGCTTCTGTTGCTTTCGGTAGGCGTCGCAGGTGTCGAGGCCGACGATCTTGACGCCGGTTCCGTAGAAGGGAGGCAACGCGTCGCTCACCGGCTCCTCTTTATGTACTGGCTGGTGCGCTATTGGAGGAGGCCGGGGCCGGGGCGGCGGCGGCGGCGGCGGCGGCGGCGCGCCGAGCCGCTCGGCCAGCGCCGCGACCGTCTCCTCGGCCGCGAGCGCCCGCTCCCGCCACGCCACCGTCGCGTCCAGCGACGCGTCGAGGCGCGCCGCCTCCTTCTTCGACTGGAGCAGCGAGTAGAGCGCGCAGTTGACGCCCACGACGAGAATCAGCGCGGCCCAGGGCGCCGCCGGCCGCCGCCGACCGCGGCGGCGGTCTTTGTCGCGCCGCGCCACGGTCGGCAGCGTCGTCCGGCTGATCCGCGGCGACGAGCCGCCCATGTCCTCTGTCTCTGGGCTTGTTGGCAAGTGTTGCTGCAAACAAAAATGGGGCAGCCCTGCTGCACGGCTGCGTGCGACGCCGACGCGCGGATGCACGCGCTGCCCCGTCACTGTCCGGCTGCTTGCCGCGGCCGTGCGCCCAATAATTTTTTATCCTTGGCTAGTGTCTTACTGTCGCTAGCAAGCAGCCCAGGACTTTTTGGCCGCATTGATGCAATTTCCGTCAGCACTGACTGTTCAAAAAAATTTTAACCACCAACTCCTAGACTGGTAAACTTGCTGGAGAGCACCGGTAACCGAGCACACACCAACCGCCTCTCCCTCAGCAGCGCAGAGATGGCGGCTCTGAACCTCAAGAGCCTCGCCGCCTACCTCGGAAAAACAGAGGCGTCGGCGGCGCTCGCGTCGACGGTCGTCGACGCCGCCGACGCCGCCGCCGACGCCGGCCCGCTCGTGGTGTTCTACACGAACTGCCAGGGGCGCGGGCTCGCGTACTGGCTGTCAAAATCGCCCGAATTCAAACGATCGTACCCGCGCGTGCGTTTCATTGCTGTCCACGACCTCGTCGACCGCCGCGCGGAGGACTTCACGCCGGCTCAAAAAGCCCTGCTCGGCGCCTGCGCCCTGGTCGTCTACCAGCCGATCGGCGCGAAGCACGGGCGTTTCGCCACGACGGAGTCCGGCGCCTGGGCGCTGCTCCCTCAAAAAGCGAAGCGCGTCGGCTTCGCGTACTTGTACGACGAGTGCTGCTTTCCGCTTTACATGACGCGCGGTGCCGTCTGCGCGCGCGGCGCCGCGGCGGTCCGGGCGGCCGTGGCGCGGCGCGCGCGCGCGCACGACGAGACATTCGTGGAGGCCGCTCGGGCCGTCCGCGCGTCGCTCAAGCGCGGCACAGCCGACAGCGACCTCTTCGAGCTGCGCGCACGGACGGCGGACTCGCTGGCGAACCTGCGGCGGCGCGAGGCGCCGCTCGACGTCCGCGTCGCCGACGTCGTCGAGGCGGGCGGCCGCCCCGCGTCGCCGCTCTTCCTCACGCAGAACCACCCGGCGACGGCGCTGCTCGTGGCCTGCGCGGACCGCGTCCTGCGGGTGCTCGGGTTCAGTGCGTTGCCGCGGGGGGCGTACGAAGACGCGGGGCCGAACGAGGCGGGGATCCCGGGCCGCGTCTTCCCGCCCTGTGTTTTTGATCGGCCGCACCGCATCGTCGGCGCGGCGCCGGCGCCCGTGCCTGAGTTCTACCTGGAGCTCTTCGACCGCGTGGTTCGTGAGATGTGTGCCGGCGACTAATGTGATATACTTAACAGTCGTCGTGTTTGTTGCAGTTGTCGTACGCGTCGGCCGGGATGAACGGCGTGACGCCCTCGTGGCGGCAGGAGAAGCCGACCAATCGGTCGGAACCGGTGTCGTAGCTAAAGGTATACACGAAGTCGAAGTCGGCGTCCGTTGGCCAACCGCCCAGCTTGCTATGGCACTTCTCCAGCTCCTGCTTGAATTCCGGGTTCGAGTCCGAGTACCCTAAGGCCTCGGCGAGGAGCGGGATGTTGCGGTGCTCCCACGCCACGAGCACGACGCGGGCCGGGGATGCGCGGATCTTTGCCGCGGCGTGCCGGTTCCCCTCCTGCGTGTGCGTCTCGTGCAGCGGCTGCCGGGGCAACGCGAGCTTTTCGCTCACGTATTTCAACGTCTCGTAGCAGCGCTGGTGGCTAACTCCGTGATATTTGTGCTCCATGTGGAAATAGAAGAGCGCGTCGGGTTTGGAAAAGACGTGGGGGTTGTCGTGGTAGCGCGCACCGCTCAGGTGGAACTACGTGGCGGGCGGGCCCGAGAGCCGGCTCCGGTGGCAGGTCAAGGGCTCGCGGTTTTATGTGCGAGACAGCGAGGAGGGCCGCGGCTTCATGAGTGCCTGGTTTCACAATAGGTGCACGTTCAAGGACCAGTACGCGCTCTGGCACACCATCCTAAAGCTCGCGTCGAGGTTCGGGTGTTTGGACTACGACGAGGTCTTCGGTGCGAATTGGCGCACCGACAAAGAAAGTATGTGCGTCGTCGCCTTCGAGCCGAACCCGCGCCACCGCGCCTGGCTCACGCGGCAGGCCGTGGCCTACCAGAGGCGCGGCTGGCGCTACGTCGCCGTCTTCGCGGCCGTCGGCGCCGGCGCGTCCGACGCCACGTCGGCCGCCGCACGTCGAAGGCAGTGCATAAATCAAATTGTCGCGACGCGTGCACCACGGCTCAACCATGACCTCCACACCATCGACGCGAGGCCGGCTCGATGGTGTGGCAGTGGGGGTCTCTTACCGCTCGATTCGGTCATTCATTACTGAAGACGGGCGCATCGCGGTCACTAAACTTGATCACGATGGAGAAGCACCGCGCGAAGAAGGTCTGTCCCCTGCACTTCCTCGACGTCGTCGTGTCGCACGCGCAGTGCAAGGCCATGGGCCGCGCGTGGAAGGGCCAGTTCGAGGGCCGCGGGACGCGACTCTTGTACCTGGACGACGAGTCCTACGCGTCTGACGAGGCGAAGCCGCTGCCCGAGTAATGTCGATGGCCTGAGGTGGGGGGGGGAGGTGGGGGGGGGGGGGATCTCTATTCGTACAGTTTGAGGCTGCCGCCCCCACGTCCTCCTTCGCGCGCTCTTGCTGCTCGCCAGCAGGCATCGCGATTTGTCACAAGGTTATTGCACCGTGCCGCCCACTACCTGAGGCGATGGTGTGCAGCTTTTTGTATCCTAAATCCATTCGCATCTCACTTTACTGCATTGCCGACTCTAGTCAGCTGCACGATACGCGGTAGACGCATTGTAATTTGTCATAACGCGCGCCGTGCACGCATTGCCACTTATCATAACGCGCTATCGTCAAGCAATCAGTGAGCAAAACATGCGCCTCCCGACGCAACCGGATCCGCTGGCCACGCCCTGCCACCAGAAGTGCTTCGCGCAAATCCTCGCGCGGCACAAGTGCACGCCGGGCGCTTGCCGCATCTGCCGGCTGCTCCAGAACGACGCCGACAACGAGGAGAGTCTGACGAACGCCGCTGAGAAGGGCTTCGCCTACTGCCTGGCGTCCCTCATCGACGCCGGCGTCGCGCCGGACGTCGCCGACGCGCGCGGCCTCAGTCCGTTGCACCACGCGGCGGGCAACGGGCGCACCGCCTGCGTCGAGCTGCTGCTGGCCGCGGGCGCGGACCCGAACCGCGCGAACCACGCGGCCGGGCTCACGCCCCTCCACGGCGCGGCGCTCGGCGGCCATACTGAATGCCTGCGCCTGCTGCTGGAAAAGGGCGGAGACCCCGACCGGTGCGACAATCACGGCCTCACGCCGCTGACGCGCGCCGCCGGCAAGTGCGCCGAGTGCGTCCAGGTGTTGTTAGATTTTGGCGCCGACCCGGACGCGGACTTCTGCGGCTGGGGGCCGTTGCACGTGGCGACGCGGTCGGGCGCGCCCAAGGCCGTCGTCGGAGCTTTACTGGCCGCCGGCGCGGACCCGAACCTACCTCGGGCCGACGGCATCACGCCGCTCGCGGACGCACTCCGCCGCGGCCGGCGCAGCGCCGTGCCTCTCCTCATGCGGGCCGGGGCGACGGTCGTCGGCACGGACCGCCTCTTATTGCTCCCGCGCGGCGCGGCGAACGCCGACGCGTGGGCCTTCGCCGACGCCGTCGCGGCGGCGGGCGGCTGGGCGGCCCACGTGCGGGCGCACCGCCGCGTGTGGTGCTCCTACGCGCGCAAGTGTACGGACGGAAAGCTGGTCGACGACGTCCTTGGGCTCGTCGTGGACTTCCTCGTGCCGCCGGGCGGCTCCTGAACCCCCTCTTGTCCATTATCATAACGTGAAGTCTAGGACTTGTCATGTACGTTGTCGGTCACGGTTGCGTAAGCCCAGAGGCGATGGGTATGCCATGAACGCCCGCCGCCGCGAGGGCCTAGGTAGACTACCGACGCTTAGAACTTAGGCCGCCTCCGAGAGTCCGCCGCCCGCGACCTCGAGCTCGCGCCGCCAGTGGTCGCACTTCGCCTTCAGCACCGCGACGGCGTCCCGGACGATCCGCAGCGGCGCGAGCTGGCCCGCCGTCTCGACGCGAAAGAGGAAGTGGTCGCCGCGCCGCGTCAGCCGGACCTTGTCGGCGAAATTTTCGGAGGACGGCTTCGATAACAACGGCTCGCAGACCTTGCAGGCGTGCGCCGCGTGCGGTCGAGAACGAGCGGTACAGTCCGGCGACGCGTCCTCGTCGAAGATCGACGGCCGCTTCACCGGAACATAGGGAGGCACGTCGTCGTCGGAAACCTCGACGACGGCGCGCATGCGGTAGGCCGCCGTACTTACCGGAGAGAACTTCGCGTGGTCCTGGCCGATGCCCTTCCGGCCGTGCGCCTCGAGCACAATGGACTGGCCCGGTCTCAACTTAGCTAACAGTATGTCGTCGTGCACGGGCTTGACGGGCCGGCCCGCGAGGAAGGCCTCCTGCTCGCCCTGCGGGAGCCACTTGAGGTCCCCGGAATAGACTTTGGTGGTGTGTAAATGTCCGCCGGGCTTTCGCGCCTCCTCCTCGTCATCGGAGTCCTGGTGCGGCAACGGTGTGCCCGGCAGCCGGTCGACCCTCCGCGCCGAGGGGATGGGGTTCGGCCGCGTGTTCGGCGGCGCCCTTACTTCTAAGCCGAAGACGATCGTGTTCGCGTCCGTCGCGTCCTCCGGATCTAGGAGTTCTTCGAAATCCCGCGGGTCCGCCGCGATGGGCACGAGCCCCAGCCGGTGCGCGAGGACCTCGTCCTGGACGACACCCTCGTTCTGCTCGACGTACACCGTCTCGATGGCCATCGTCGGCACCTCCGCCAGCATGATGCGTCGCAGGGCGTTGGCAAACGACACGTCCACGCCGCTCAGGTCGAACTCCACCGTCTCGTCGTCCGCGTGCGTGATCTCGAGCTTCATCGTCTTCGAGACGTGCGCCGCGTAGTCGCCCGTGACCTCGGGCTCGTTTGCGGGTATCGCGCGCACGCTGCGGTCCTCGACGGCGTAGCTCGCCATCGTTTTTATTGGCTTTTGTTGCGCCGGTGCGGGCGTTGGATACCGTGGTGGGGCTGAACTAGTGCTGGGCGCTGCTCTTGCACTGAGACTCTTTCTAAGGGCCTGGAGGGGCGCTGCGCTTGCAACTGGACGCTGGGCGTAGCCGCAAAAAGCGCGCCGCGCGAGTACGGCCGAGGAAGCGCTGCAAAAGCGACGACAAAGACTTCAGCCTGCCTAGTGGTCTTACGCTAGCTTCGTGAAGACGCCTGGCGACGGAGGCCGTCCTGAGTGCGCGAGGAGCCGTCTCGGACCGTCCGCAGACCGCTTCCTCACGTTGACGCGAGCGCTGCTCTCAGCCAGCAAAGAGACACAATGAGAGCAATGCGACGGTCACTCCGCATCGCAGCGGTGCTGGGCAGCGCACGGGCGTTTGTAGCACCTGCCAGCCGGCGCAGCGCAACGAGGCTGATGGCTTCGGCCAGCGGTGCGCCGGAGGACGAGACTAGAGGCGGCACTGCCTCCCTGGCCGACCAGGTGGCGCGCGCACGCACCCGCGTCCGAAAAGGCCTTCGCGCGCGCGTCGAGAGAGACGGGAGCGTGCTGCGGGGAGAGAGTAATCTTGCGCTGCGCTGCGGCGAGAGGTCACCGCGCCGCCGAGCGAGAGGCACTACGCGAGAGAGCATACTTCTGCCGCGTGTCGCGGCGAGAGGTCTCACATACAACCCCGCGTCGCAGTTCGCCCAAGCGCAAAAGGACGACAACCGGCGCTACCTCGACATCGCGAGCATTTTTGATGGGTCGTCGCTCAAGGGCAAGCGGGTGGCGATCACGGGCGGCAGCCGCGGGTTAGGATTGGAAATAGCCAAGGCGGCGATGGACGTGGGCGCCGAGGTTTTAGTTATTTGCCGAAGCGGCACCGTGGACGGTGCGAAAATCTACGACGGCGTCGACGTCACGGACGCCGAGGCCTGCGCTTCTGCTGCCAAGAAAATCGTGAGTGATGGAGGCCCCGTCGACGTCTTGATAAACAACGCGGGCTATTTTTATGGTCCTTGCGAGAAGGTCACCGAAAATTCCCTGAACTTCGAAGAGGAATTAAAGCAGATCGACATCTGCGCCGTCGGGCCTTTACGGGTCTCCAACGCTTTATATCAGGCCGGCGGGCTCGTCGAGGGCTCCAAAATTGCCATCGTCACGTCGCAGGCGGGCAGCTGCGAGTGGCGCTTCACGCAGAACAAGGACGAGGGCGGCGACTACGGCCACCACATGTCGCGGGCGGCCTGCAACATCGGCGGCGTGTTACTGGCTGAGGAGCTCAAATCCAAGGGCGTCTGCGTCGTCCTACTCCACCCGGGCTTCAACCGCACGGAGATGACGAAGAAGTACGAAAGTATCTGGGACATCGAGGGCGCCGTGCCGCCGGCCGAGGGCGCGCTGCGCGTGCTCCACGAGGTCATCCGCGCGTCGCTGGACAAGACGGGCGCGTTCGTGAACTGCGAGGACGGCCTCCGAATCCCCTGGTGATACTAGTAAACACAAGTTAGGTCATAGCTTGAAGTCCGAGAAGGCGTCGAAGGTCCCCTTCGGGGGCGGCGCGCTCGACCGGCGTGGCGGCGGCGGCGCCGCGAACGGGTCCGGCGCGTTGTTCGGTTGCATCGGCGCCGGCGCCGGCGCTGGCGCCGTCGCGTCGAGGCCGGCGAACATGTTCAGCGAGTCCGCGGCCGGCGCGTCGAGGCCCAGCAGGTTGGGCTCCGACCGCGAGATCGGCGGCGACCCGAGCAGGTTCGGCTCCGCGCGCGGCGCCGGCGGCGACGCCTCGCCGAGGCCCAGCAGGTTCGTCTCCCGCGGCGGCGGCGGCGGCGGCGGCGGCGGCCGCGCTGGCGGCGGCGCCGACGCGCGCCGCGGCGACGGCGGCGGCCGCGCCGGCGCGCGCGCCGCGTCGCCCGCGAGGCGGCTCGCCTTGACGAGGATGCGCCCCGCCAGGCGCGGCGCCGGCGCCGCGTCGTCGGCCGCGTCCGCCCAGACCTCGAGGCCCGCGACGCGCCGCCGGAACCGGAGGTGGAAGCGGCCCGGCAGCGGGAAGTGGCGCCGCACGTCGCCGACGCGCACCGCGCCCTCGCTCACGAGCTCGAAGACGTTGGGGTGCGCCGCGTCGTCGCCGTCCTCCGGGACGTGGTAGCGGATGCGCTCCATGGTGCTCTCCTTGCCTCTCGCCCGCGGCACTGCTCCTGCGTCGGCGCAGCGCGCTGCACCGCTGCGCGCGCAGGCGTCGCGAAGTGGCTGTGATGCTTAACGCCTGCAGCACTACGAGTGTAGGCGGCGTAAATAGACCGTCTGCTTGGCATCCCTAGTGTCTTACCGCTAGCCTACATTCGGACGCGGATCTCAAACCTCGCTAGGTAACCCTCCGTAGACCAATAGTAACCGCGAAGCAGACGCCTCGAGAGGCCGTGCGGGTTGCGTACGTGAGAGGGCGCTGTGTCTGTGTTTTGAGCGCCCTTGCCCGCTGCGGAGGCTGCCCGAGCGAGACGTGCCAAATTCGTGCGTCTTGCTCTTGGACCACTCGGCAAACGCCACGACTAGCCCGGTCATAGCTGCGTCCTGACCCTCCGGAGGGCTGCCCAGCGGAGGCACATGGGCGACGCCGCCGCCGAGGAGAAGGCGGCCCTCGACGACGCCAAACTGCGCTGCTGGAAGGAGTCCGTGGCGAAGGAGCTCAAGGTCCAGATCGTCGCCGCGCCCTTCCGCGCCAGCTACGCGCCGAACGACGCTCGGAGCTGGGCAGCCCCGGAGGCGCCGCACCGCCACGACCCGAGCGCGCCGCCGCCGGTGGCACCCGACCCCGCGAGCTCCTACGGCACGCACTATGCGGCGTTCGCGGCCGCGCGCACCGCGCCGCGCCGCCGCTACCTCTTCCCGGCGACGACGGCCCAGGAGATTGGCTGGCTGCGGCGGCGCGCGGGCCACGGCGGCGCCGCGGTCCAGCAGGGGGGCCTCCTCCGCGGCGCGTCGTATGGGAGGCGTCACGGGGACATTGTCAAGGCGGCCGCAGAGGCTGCGAAGAGCCCCGCCGTCGGCCGGCCGGCGCCGGCGGCGGGCGCGCAGACGTGGCACCCGTGAGGTAATGTGTTTAACTATCGTTCTCCTTGGGAACGGTGCTCTATCTGCCACGGTGCTAGGGGTATTAGGCGGCGGTTGCTCTTGGGAAGCTTCCTCCGTCCTCGATTTCTAATTTGCTTTGCTTGGGCTAGCCACCGCGACCGACGCGGGGCCTGTGTGACCGGCCCTCGTACGCCGTGGGTGTTCGGTCGGAGGCGACGAGGGCGAGGAGGTCGGACGCCGGAATCCCAGATCCGCACCATTGGCGCATCGCGGGCCGCTGAGGTTAGAAGGAGGTACGCTGTTATGAAAGGCGCGGCGACGCGCGGTGTCTCCCCCCCAGCCCTAGGCAGGGGCTCCGCCCCCTAGTGGCGGGATGTCGCACCAGCCCCCGTAAACTCCGACGACGACCCGGGCCACACTATGGTCTGGCCGGTTCACCACAAGTATATGTTACGAGTCATCGTCGTCCTCCGAGGAGGACGAGTACGCGACGAGGCCCCCGAGGCCGCCGCCCTCGACGCGCGGACGCTTCGGCGCCGGCGCCGGCGCCGCGGCGGGCCGGCGCCGGATGCGCACGGCCGGCGGCGGGTCGGCGGCGCGCGCCGGCGCCGGCGCCGGCGCCGCGCGGACGACGGGCGGCGCCGCCGCCGGCGCGGCCGCCGCGCGCGCGGCGGCGAACTCCGAGGCCTCGTCCTCGGCGCGCGCGGCGCGCGCGGCGGCCGCGCGGCGCTGCTCCGCCTCGTAGAACGCGACGTCCTCGGCGTCGAGGACCTCGCCCGGGCTGAACAGCGCCTTCGTGTTCGCGTCGTAGGCCTCCTGCTGCTTCTCCCGCTCGGCCTCGAGCTGCTCGTAGAGCGTCTTGCCGCCGCCGCCGCCGGCCGCGCGCGCCGCGCGCACCTCGTCGGTCTCGAGGACCTGGGTCTCGCCGTGCGACAGGCCGTCGGCGCTGCTCAGGATCTCGGTGGCGACGAAGCGGACGGACATAGTCTTCCGAGGGCGGAGTTTTTTTTTTTCGTCCGCGGCGTGTGAAACACTGCACCGCTAGAGGGGGGTGTGAGAGCAGCAACACAGCAACCGGTGCAGCGAGAATATCACGTGTATCTTTGGAATAGATCTAGAAACCACTGTAGCAACTCCTCGAGCCTAGCCGGAGTTGCTTACGATATTATATACAATGTCATGCTGCTTTGCTGGTCATCCCTAGTGTCTCACAGGACGCTAGCTCACTCAAGCTGTTTTGCTTTGTTTAGAGCTAGGCCGCCGAGCCACCATTTTAATTAACTGTTGAGCACGGGTTTTTGGTCATTACCCATACTAAAAATAGGGGACTTATGAGAGGCGAGTGGGATGCATGGGATGCATTGAGGGTGGTGGCGATGGGGCCGGTGGGAGGCCGGTGGCACTAGATCGCGACGGCGAGCGCCAAGAAGGAGAAGAACCAAATAGCGCGCGTGCCGCCGCCATCTATGATCACGGGCGTCGTAGGACAGAATCTGGATACGTTCCAGTTTAGTCACATGTATTATTATTATACTCTGCCCAGTGGACTGCGCATCTGCTCCGCGCTTCCGCGCTTATCTTTCCGAGTCTTAATTTAGTTTCTCTAGAATTCGCTAGGTGGCCTAGCTCTAAGAAGCAAAGCAACTCGCGAGTTCGCGGCCAGGTCGGATGCGGGGCCCTCTCGCTTGCGTCGATCGGGTCGATGATCTGCATATGCTTTTTTGGCGCCGCAAATCCGATTAGGAGTGAAGAGGCGTTCGCCCGGGCACGAGCACAGCCGCCCGGGGGTTCTCTCCAGAACTTGGTGGAGGGCCAGTCCCGGCCGAGGCCATGTCGTCGGGGGAACAATCGTCGAGCACATCCCAGGCACATCAACAACTTCTTACTATCACATCTCCGGCGGCCGCGTCGCCCCGCACGCCACGCAGGCCAGCACGAGCTGCGGGTTCGCGAGCGTGCACGCGGCGCAGGCCCAGCCGGCCTCGGCCGGCGCCGGGGCGCCGGGCCGCGGGCCGCCGCAGGCCTGGCACGTCGCTACCGTGTCGCTGTTCGCGAGCGTGCACGCGGGGCAGGCCCACGTCTCGGGCGGTGCCGCGCCGCCGCGGAGGCGCGGCCGCGCGGCGAGCAGCGCCGCCGCGTCGTGGCTCGTGAGGCCCACCTCCGCGACGTCCTCGGGCTCGAGGTCGTGGACGCAGTCGAGGTCGACCTCGGCGTCCCGCAGGAGTTGCTCGGCCGTCGCGTCGAGGGCGCAGCCGACGGCCGCGAGCGCCTGGACGAGCCGCGCCGTGCCGTCGGCCGGCGCCCGGGCGGGCGGCGCCGGCGGCGCCGCGGCCTCGGGCCGGAGCGCCCCCAGCTCGTCCGAGTCCGCGCGGCCCCGCGCCGCGCGGAAGGCGGCCGCCGCGGCCCGCACGTCCCGATTCGGCGCCAGGCGCGTGCTCGCGAGCGTGCGCGACGTGAGCGGGCTCGTGCGGTTGCCGCGGCGCAGCCACTCCTCGATGGCGCGGCGCTCGTAGGTCCGCCCGTCGCCCTCGAGCACGCACGGGTCCTCGAAGAGCTCGTGCGTGATCGGGCAGTAGAGGTCCTCGGTCGTGTCGAGCGCGGCGCCCTCGAGCGCGTCGGCCGCGGCGAGCTCCATGGCGGCCCGGCGCCGCGGCGACGCGTCCGGCGCCGGCCACGCCGCGGCGTCGGCGTCCAGGCCGCTCGCGGCGCGTGGCCGCGCCGCCGGCGCGGGGAACGGCGCCGCCGCGACGGCGGCGCGCAGGCGCTGTTGCGAGGCCTGCTTGGCCAGGGCCGCGCGGCGCCGGTCCGCAGCGACGGCGGCGCGCGCCGCCGCCTCGACCTCGAGCGCCGCCGCCGCCGCCTCGTGCGCCCGCAGCGCGTCGAGCGCGCGCTCGACGGTCTCGAGCGCGACGACGGCGTCGAGCTCGCGCGCGCTCAGCACGCGCGCGACGACGCCCGCGCCGACGCGGCCCTCGAGCGCGCGCGCCACGATCTGCGCGGCCGTCGCCGTCGACGCGCGCACGCGCGCGTAGGGCCGCGGCGCGAGGCCGGGCACGAACTCGGGCGGCCCGGCCTCGAGGAAGCCGAGGGGCGGCAGGGACCGGCGAATGCCCTCGATGGCCTTGGCGCTCAGGGCCGTGCGCCGCAGCGCCTTGTCGACGCGGCGCTCGAAGTCCGCGTCCGTCAGGGGCCCGACCCAGACGCTCGCCGTCGCGTCGGCGGGCAGCCGCGCCGCCGGCGCGGGGCGCGGCGCCGGCGCCGCGCGCTTGGGGGCCGGAGGTTTCTTCGCCGTCGCCTCCGGCGGCTTTTGCGCGCTCGGCGCCCGGCAGGCCTCCTCGCGGACCGCCTCGACGGCCCCATGTTTGCAGGTCGTCCGCTCGACGCGGACGAGGTGCCCGTCGCAGCCGTCCGTCGGGCACGCGTAGGCGCCGTCGCCCCGCGCGATCGCCGGCGCGACGGCCGTCTCCCAGCACTTGGCCAGGTAGGACATCGCGCAGCCCCCGGAGCACTTCACGGCGACGCGGTTCGCGCCGTGGATGATCGTCGACGAGCAGCTCCGGCACGTGCCGACGGCGCGCAGGGCGTCGAAGGCGCGGTCCGCCGCCGCGCGCGCGGCCTCCGCGTCGCGCTTTTGCTCCGCCTCGGCGAGCTTCCGCGCGCGCTCGGCCTCGGCCGCGCGCGCGCGCTGGTCGCGCGCCTCGCGGCTCCGCCGCTCGCGCTCGGCCTCGTGCTCGCGCTCCGCGGCCTTGCGCCGCGCCATGGCGGCCCGGTCGCGCTGCCGCTTCTCGTCCGCCTTCCGGATGAGCTCGCGCTGGCGCGCGCCGGCCTTGACGGCCTTCTCGCGCTTCAGCGCCTCGCTCCGCGCCTTGCGCGCCGCGCGCGTCGCCTCGTCGCGCTGCCGCGCGGCGCAGCACGGGCACGCGGCCGTGCCGAGGCACGCGTCGGCCGCCGCCGCCGCGGGCGCCGCGGCGGGCGGCTCCTGGTCCTCGAGCCCGGGCATCTCGTCGTCGGTCTCGGAGGCGCTCGAGGCGCTCTCCGCCGAGTCCTCCGCCGCGGCCGCCGGCGCCGCGTCCGGGTCCGCCAGGCCCGGCATGTCCTCGTCCGTGTCGTCGTCGTCGGACGCGACGTGGTCGAAGCGCGAGTAGTCCGTGCTGTGGCGGCCGCCGGGCGCCTTCGCGGGCGGCGGCCTCGCGGGCGCCGCCGCCGCGGGTGGCGCCTTCTTCGCGCGCGCGGCCTCGGCCAGTCGCGCCAGCGCCTGCTCGTGCCGCGCGACGACCTGCTGGCGCTCCAGGAGGTCGGCCGTGCCGAGGCCCGCCTCGCGGATCTTGGCTTTCATTTCCTTGATCGAGGGCGCGGGCGGCGGCGCCGGGGCAGCGGGCGCGGCGGCCGGCGGCGGCGCTTGCGCGGGCGGGCGCGGCGCCGATACGGCGGCCGCCGGCGGCGCCGGCGCCGGCGCCCGCGGGCCGCCGACCGGGCTCACCCGGCCCGCCGCCGCCGCCATCGCGGCGCGCGCGGCGGCCGAGACCGTCGGCGCGCACCACTGCGCGGCCGCGGCCTCGACGGCGGGGTCCTCCGCCTCTTCCCCTTCCAGCAAGTCCGGCAGGCTGTCCGAGTCCGAGCACGACGCCGACGCGGCGTCGTCGGCGGCGGCCGCCTCCTCCTCCTCGCCCTCGCCGGGCTTCTCCTCGTCCTCTTCGTCCGAATCGACAATGTCCTTGAAGCGCGAGTAGTCGGTGCTGTAGTGGCTCGACATTGCTGCGCGTGTCTCGCTGCGAATGTCTCTCGTGGCGTGGGCGAAGCGTCGATGCCGATGCGCGGTACAATCGATTTGGCCTTCCCCAGGCGCCTTGTGCGTGCTACCTCTCAGTCGCACGGGGTGCTCGTGAAAACACAGAGGGTTGGGGCGCGTGGCTGCTGGGTGCGTACGCACGCTGCGCCGCGCTGGCCTTCTGCTTCCCAGGAGCGCTAGAAGGCGATCTCGGCGCCCAGAGGCCCGCGCAGCTAGCGGCCTGTAAAGACACTAGCAAGCAAAACTCGGAACGCAGCATGCAGCCGTTCGAGTACCGTTCAGTTCGCTAATGGTCCAAAGAGATCAATGGAACACTTCTTGGGGGGCAAAAAAAAGTATTTTTTTAATTCGCGGCCGACGACGCCATGCTCCATGGCAGCCGCGCCGGTTAAATCCTGTCGATCCCTGCCCAAGAGGTCTCCCTGGGGTCGCCTAGGGTCGGTACTATACACGTGCACGCGCCTACACCGCATACGCCGCCGCTTCAAGCATTTTTGGCCGATTTCTCTCAGCAGCCCACAGAGGCTAGCAACTTTTTGCCATGATTTGCTTCCAAAGCCCTCCGAGAGCACTAGGCTGCTGCATCGACGGCGTATCCAGTGCAGGCGACCACCCGACCCCAGACCTATCCCAAAGGGAGTCCGCGAGCCGATCTACATCCACAAAAAGTAAATAATTTGGGCCCGATGGCGCCCCGTTCCCGTCAAAAACGCCAATTACCCGAGGGCCCCCAGTAGTCGCCGTAGCGGTCTCGTTGGACCCCATACTACCCCACCGATAGTCAATTACAAGTATATGCCATCTACATTATGAGAAGGGTACTTTTTGCTGCCCACGCTCGGGACGTGAACATCTTTATCTGGAGCTCGCTCAAGTCGGTCGATCATGAAACAAATGATCGCGTCAAGGTCCATGGTGATGGTACACGGGCTGATGGTCGCAGGTCCAAGTAACTAGCCCAATTTGATGAGATGGTGCGGTCGCGAGACCGACAAGGCGCGAGTTGTAAAAGGGACAGGTAATCCAATGTAGTAGGTGTTCAGGCCGGTTAGCTGGCCCGTCCCGGAACCGAAGCGCCTGAAACATAATTTTATTTCATAATTTATAGGTCTGGGTCCTTTCTGGCCCTCCGTCTACGCACCGTCGTCCGCGGAGAACGGGCAAGTCGATCGATTGTGAATAGAACAACGGTGTTATGGTCCATCTGGGTGGTGGCGTCGCTGATACTCGCAGGGTTGGGCTCCGAGCTCGTTTATGTGTAAACTTGGGGTCGCGGAGATGACGAATCGCGCGGAGCTTTTGGCGCGCGTAATATAGATAGGTAACTGTACTAGCGCTCTAGATGGACTCTACCACTAACAAACGGAAGGAAACGAACATAAACTCGGGAGTTGTCTAGTAGAATTCTTTTCCCGCCCTCCGAGCGCGGGCCGTCGGCTCCGGTTCCGTCGATTGTGGATGAAAACTGGGCTGGAGTTGATATGATGTACTATATGGACGGTAGAAGGCACCGTCAATCGCTGGTGTATTTTGGCGAGCCGCAAGACCTGGTGATCTAGCGTATCGACACACTAGGAATCCGTATATACGCGTATACGCGTATATACGCGCACGCCGCGTAGAATACATAGCGCGGCGCCTAGGCGGATATCTTTTGAAATAGACCTCTCCGACTGACCCCCCGAATAGTGAAGTTCAGAGCTTAATTCCCGCTCTGGGCGCTCGCGAGGGTATGCCTCGGCCGCTATCCGCAAAAAAATGGCCTCGATGGACGACTACGCCTCCGCAGACCCCCCCCCACGTCGAAAAGCAAAGCCATAGAGACACACGTACCGTTACCACTCACTACTTCGCCTCGGCGGCGGCCGCGGCGTCGCGCATGCCGTCGAGGAGCCCCGCTATCCGGTCCTGCATGGCGTGCAGGTCCTTGACGCCGGGCACGGCGTCGCCGTCGTCGCCCTTGCGCTCCGCCGGCGCCGTCGACGCGGGGCTCAGCGGCTTGCTCGGCTCGTCGTCGCCGCGCTGTGCGGGGGTAGGCTCGGTCACGGTCGCGCGCGGCGCTCGACGCGTGCTCGACGCGCGCGCGTCGCCGGCGTGTGGACGACAACTGCGCGTCCTCTCGCGCGGCGGGGCAGCCTCTCGACCAGGGATGGGATGCCTACCTTGGCCTGCATCCGCAAGAAATCGTTCACATTATCCGATAGCTCGGACAGCGCCTGGCTCGCATCGTCGACGGCGCGGTCGTCGTCGGGCGGCGGCATGGCGCGCCGCGCAATTGCAGCGCTCTGATGGTCGTTGCGAGGCTGCCCCAAAAGGCATCCCAAAACCGCGGCGTCGCCGCCGTCCGTGCGCGATGGGGCTAGCCATGCGGCCGCAGCGAGACTCGATGCGGGGGTGCTGGACGGGTCTTTTCTTGTGCCGAAAAACCCATCACCTGCTTAAGCTTAAGCTTTGTGATTCTGCGGCTGCTACGCGCGAACGCCCGTCTTTTGGCGGCCAAACACACGCGCGCTGACGCCTCCCGGACGTGCCCACCAGCTCCGAAAATATCAGCCATTTGAGTCGCATCAGCACCTAACAAGCATGATCGCAGTCGACCGGGACATCCTCGTCCACATCGGCGGCTTCCTCGTCGCCTACAACTTACTGGGGAGAGCCTACGCGGCGCTCTCCACGAAGTACAGCACGACCTATAACGAGTTGTCGCCCTTCGACCAAACGGGCTGGACCGGGCGCCTCGTCTCGCTGACGCACGCGCCGATAGCGGTGGCGCTCGCCTGGCGTTGTTTGCGGGACTATGAGTGCTGGACGTGTGCGGCCACCTTAATCCACGCGCACGATGCGAAGGGCGTCTTTGCGCTGGCGCACACCGGTGGGTATTTGCTACATGATTTTGTTGACCTGCTGATCAATGGGAAAAAACACAAGAAATACGACGGCGGGCCCCTCGTCTTCTTGCATCATGTTGCGGCCATCTGTTCGTATTGTATCGTGGCGTCCTATCGAAAATGCACCCTACTCTACGTCATCTGGATCCTCTGCGAGCTCTCGACGCCGTTTTTGAATGGGATCTGGTTCTTCTCGAAGATGAAGCTCAAACCCCAGAGGACGGCCTGCGGGTTGATGCTGTTCCTGTCGTACGTGCCGACGCGGATCTACGCGTCGCCGGCGACGGCCGCCGCCTTATACGCCGCGCGCGACGACGTGCGGGAGCTGCCCGCCTTCCTCGTAGGGTTCCTCCTGGCGATGTTGATTTTTGCGACGGTGATGAACTACTTCTGGTTCTACAAGATCTCGCTCGGCATTATGAAGGCGCTCGGCCTCGGGGCGAAGAAGAAGGCGGCGTGATGGATGTTTTAGGACGTGTTTAATCATATTTTTTCCCGTACGTCTTCTCACAAACGTGCGGGGCGCGCCATCCTGTGCGCAAGGTACCTTACCCTACAAGTATAGTACCTCTCGTGGTGGCGCCATCCTGTGCGCAAGGTACCTTACCCTACAAGTATAGTACCAGGTACCTCTTGTGGTGCGAGGCGCTGGGCCAGTGCGGAGGGCTGCCTCCGCACGCCGACGACGCATCACAACTGCAGCGATGCCCGCCCAACCACCACCACCCTTGCCCAAGCCCAAGAAATCCCTGAAAAAGGTCCCCCCCAAGCCCTGCTGCGGCTGCTGGTGCCACCGCCAGGTCACGCCGAACCTGGAATGTTCTATTAGTACGTGCGGCCACGATTCATGTAGACTACCGCTGACGAAGAACGGCTACTGCCGCGGGTCGACGAAAGGCCGGTGGGAGGGTGAGCCGAATTTGTACGAGCTGACGATTTCGGACCGGAACTTCGTCGATCCCCGGGGGGAGCGACGGTTAAAGTGGGGCATGCGCGGCTACGTGCCGCCGCCGCCCGAGTTGGTCTTTGGGGGTGTGAAGCCGCCAGCACCGCAACGCCGTCGACGGAAGAAGAAGAAGAACACGGAGGCTGAAGATGAGGCTTTATATCGCGAGCTCGAGGCGAAGATCAAGGCCTGGGCGCCGGTGGAGGAGCCCGAGCCGCCCTACCGACCCCCCACGCCCGACGAGGAGGGCGTCCTCGAATACGTCGAGGCGCCCCCACCTCTCATAGATGACGATAACACAACTTAAAATTTAAGGATGCAACGACAACCAGGTCCGCGACCTTCGATTCCAGTCCTTGGAATGTTTTGTCTGGAGAGGAAGGAGCCACGCGTCGCCCACTCGCTGGCACTCCGTGCTAAAGGCCGGCGGCTCGCCCAGCACAAAATGCTGACCAGCACTCCGTTGGCCGCCTTTCGTCCTCAGCAATACCTCGGCATCGTCGCCATCGCGCGCAAACTCGAACCGCAAAACGTGCCGCCGGAGCCACCGTCTAAAAGCTCGCGGCGCCACGTGCGCCAGATGATGGTCCCGCGCCGCATCGTTCGTCACGGCGAAGGCGTGCTCCGACTCATCTGATAACGTGGCTCGCATCCAGAACCAGTCGTCGTCGACTCCGCGCGGGACGTCTATCAGGAATGAACTCCATGACTCAACAAGTTTCCTGCGGTGGCCGTGCAGGCGCTTCACATGTTTCCTAGGGAGGAACAAAGTAGGCTCGTAGGCTTCGTCGTCAAAGAGTTGTGATAATCGAGACATCGCGTGATCCAGTTGCGCATGAGAAAAACCGCCTCGACTGTGGTTCTGGCCGTACCAGGCCACGTTCGCGCCATCGACACAGACGCGCACGGCCGGTTTCCGGCCCTCCCGCCGTCTTTTCTCACTATCCTCATGTACATGCTCATCCCAGCGCTCCCCGAACTCTTTGAGTAATCTGACGCCGTCCGGTCTCGCTCCGGCCTCGGCTCTATCTAATAAAGCTTTCCGCAACGCTGCTTTATCATCGGAATCGAGCGCCAGTCTTCGCAACTGCCCGTGCGACGTGACACCTTCATCAGTATCGACGCGTTCATAGCGCGCGCGCCAGGGCCCGGACTCCAGCGCTTTAGCTGTCTCCATTTTGATTTCAAAAGCTCCACAACGCGCCGCGTCGTCGGCCATCCTTTGTAGAATATCATGGGAGGGCGCCGCTGCGAACAACCTTGCTAAATCCATCTGGTCGGGCTTCACGCCATCTCTGACCATCTTCGCCCAGAGCGCCTCGACCTCATCTTTTTGTTGGTTGTGGCTCAGTGCCGCGAGGAGGGGCGCGTAGGCCCGTCGCTTTCTCCTGACATTATTCCGCGTCATCCGTTCCAGGATCTCCTGCCCGCCTGCAACGTCGCCGGCCTCGACGGCGTTCCTAATTAAGACAGAATACGTCGCCTCGTCTAAAGGTCTTGACCGTTGTTCCTCGAGGCTGGCACAAGCATCGGCGTAGCTCGCGGGCCGCTCGCGCTTCAGGCGCAGGCGGTTGTTCTGGAGTTGGAGCTGCTTTTGCGGGGTCGTGGAGCTGGCGCGTCGTACCAGCGACCTTAGGTGGCGGCGCACCAGCATGGTGAGCTGGTTTTGGCTGTGTGCTGGCGGCTGTAGCTGACAGGGTTGCCAGGCGTCGCTGGCGTGGCTTGCCACGGCTTTCGGAATGGTCTTGCCAAAGGTATGAGTAGCGTGGGTGGCGCAAGGCCGGACAGCTGGCCGCGAACCGTATTAGTCAGATCGAGCTTGCTAGCGGCCGTAACATACTAGGACTGCTTTTTCACACTCTTTTTAGGCTGGTTAAGCAAGCACACGCTGCACATTGAGATAAACGTGGGTGTTTTGATCTATTCGACCACCCAGCTGCAGCTTCGCCTGCTCTTTCCTGCGCTCTATGCCGTACAGCAACAACATAGCTCTCCCGCTCTCACTGCTGGGGTGCGGCGCTGGCTTGAGCTCCCTCGCACGCCTGCCGACGCGGCACAGTTATCGTCTAGCTACTGCACGCTTGCCAACGCGGCAGATTTCTCGACCAGGGCCACCATCAATGAAGGCTGAAATGTCCGCAACCGACGCGCGCACGTTCTGTAGCACCTCGCCGCACGCTGTGATTGTCACGGTCTGGCCGACGGCCCACGCCCAAGCAGGCTCCGCCCGCGCGTGGATAGAGCAGTGCGGTGGAAAAATCCTCCACGACGCCGAGGTCGCCATCGGCAAGCAAGGCGCCGTCGCCACGTGCCTCGCCCTCTATTCCGGCGAGGACTGGCTCGAGACCAACTGCTGGTACGGCGAGAGTCCCCTACCGACGGGACCGCCCGGCGGGCCCCACGCCGGCGCGCGCTGGAAGGCGGCGCTGACCTGGACGCAGGACGCGCCGCTGACCGTGTTCGTCGTGGACGCGTCCGAAACGGGCGGCGCGCTGTGGTCTAGCAAATATAGGGTGCGCGAGCAATTAAGGAGAGAGGTCGGCGGACTGGGGAACTGCTGCGTGCACCTCACAGACAATCAGGCGGCGGCGCTCGACGGTCGCGGCGCGCGCGGCGGCGGCTACGCGTGCGATAGTTCCTACGCGTACCACTGCGCGCGCGTGCTCCTCGAAGCGTCGTCGGTGCGATTTTTGGCAGAAGCGGACGCGGACGCGCCCGCGTTCGAGGAGCGCTTCGCGGCGTACGAGAGCTGGCTCGCGCGGGAAGACGCGCCGGTTGGCGGGGCGCCTGCATTTGTTGTTTAGCTTGTGTGATTCTATCATGTTACGGTGCTAGGACTAGTGACACCGCGCGTCGCCGATTCATCAGCGGCAGATCGATAACTTGCTTTTTTGCTAGTGTCTTACAGCCCGCTAGCTAATCACTGTGCGAGTGCAAGGTTGTGCAAGGCTGTTCAAGGTGCAAAGGGGTATCCAACAAGCTGAAACGTGCCTCAGGACGAAGCTTGACCAGTGCAGTGCACCCACACCATCGCTCAGCCCTGGTGCAGTGCAATCGCTCGGTGCTCTCTGTGCAGCACATTGCAGCGCTCGCCTACGAGCACGCACGCGCGCATTACTGCGTCGCAGACCATGAGCGAGCACGTCCAAGACGCGGACGATGCGGACGACGCCGACGACGCCTTCCAAACTCCAAAATACTGGGACGCGTTTTACGACGACGAGGAGGTCTACGACTGGTACTCGGCCGCGGGCGCCATGTATGCTGCTTGCAGACGGGAATTACGGCGGTTTAAACGAAGAGGCCGCGTGCTCGACGTGGGCTGCGGCACGGCGTCTCACTTATCAGCTCTGGCGCAGCATGCGGACGTGACGGGAGTCGACTTCTCGGAGACGGTGATCAGCGCCAACAACGCCAGAAAGGAGGGCGTCATCTACCTCGTCGAAGACGCCTCGTCCCTATTTTCATTGGAAGACAATTCCTTCGACGTCGTGCTCGACAAGGGCTGCTTGGATTGTTTTGTCTCGGCGCCCGACGCGTCGTTTGCGAGAAGGGACGCTTTTTTGCGCAGTGTGCAGCGCGTCCTCGATGACGGTGGCGTCTACCTGTGCATGCCCGTGTGTGGCGTGGACGTCGTGACTTTATTGACGACTGGTCTTGCGAAGCGGGCGAAGCCGGACGTCGCCGGAGCGATATCTGATGAAAGGGACGCCTGGGAAGTGCAACGGTCGGGTGAGAATGGGTGCGCCTTCGATATTCTACAAATCGTGGCCTCGCAGCAGAAGCACCTCTTCCGCTGCGCGCCCCGCGGCAACGACGTCGCGGCGCTCTGCGCGCAGCTGGAGGGCCTCGCCGCGGACGACGACGCCGGGGACTTCGACGACGCGCCCTCGACCGCGCTGACGCTCCGGCGGGGCTTCTTCTGCGGGAGCTGCGGCGGCGAGGTCGCGGCGCTGCAGTTCCCTTTGATTGTTCCGGCGGCGTGCCCGAACTGCCGGGCGGACGTGCGGCGCTTCGCTATGTCATGAGAGAGCGCCGACGGCGTCGACGTGTGTCAGTAATTATTCCTAGGTTACTTCTGGTGGCCCGCACGCGTCCTCGGCGGCGGTCGCGAAGATGTCGTAGAGGTCGTCGGAGAAGAGCACGAACTCGACGTAGTCGATATTCGACGCGACGGCCGCCCGCGTCCCGATGCGCGCCGCGTCGGCGAGGGGGTAGCCGAAGACGCCGCACGACACGGCCGGCAGCGCGACCGCAGCTAAACCTAGTTCGGACGCAACTTCGAAGGTTCGACGATAGGCGGCGGGAAGTTTCGCCGGGTCAGTCGTAGCGTCGCCGGACACGTCGCTCTCGTAGCGCCGTCCGGACACGTTCGGTCCGACCGTATAGATGACGTGCGTCGACTGCAGCGCACCGCACGCTTTTGTCGAAACAGCGTCGCCCGTGGGGCACCGCACGCCGGGCGCGACCTCGGGCAGCGCCTCGCACAACTTCCGCAGTTCGGGCCCCGCCGCCTTGTGGATTGCGCCATCCACACCACCGCCGCCGAGGCACCGCTCGTTCGCCGCATTCACGATGGCCGACGGCTGCGCCGGCGGCACCCAGCGCGTGAGGTCGCCCTGCGATATTGCCAGCAGTCGCTTCGCGCCTGGCACTCGGAAGCGCAGCATGGCTGCGGCCGCCATCGGGATGAATGCGATCAGTAACAAGCGCATCAATGGCAGCACTGGCAAAGGCTAATTCACACCAGCGACGGCGATCGATAGGCTGGTTTTGAGGCACGATCGAGAGGTCAAAGCGCCGCACGATAGCTAGCGGCTGTAAGACACTAGTAATCACCCGAGCCCAGGCTCGCGCGGTGGCCGTCAGCTCAGCTAGACGTGCATAGCAAGGCGTCTACAACGGCTCATCGCTGCAGTTGCCGCCGCGCTTCGTCTCCTCGCCGAGCAGCAGTACCAAAAAAACCAGAGAGCGGCCTCGCTTAGAGGGCCTCTCCGGATAGCGTAGCGATCCGATGGGCGGACCCTCCGCCCCGTCCGAGGGCCGGCGCAGCCGCGGCGGCCGCGGCGGCCGCGGCCGCGGCCGCGGCCGCGGTGACGACGGCAAGGCGGGCGGCCGCGGCCGCGGCGGTGCCAAGGGCAAGGGCAAGGGCAGCGACAAGCCGAAGCCGCCGCCCAAAAAGCGCGACGCCAAACAACCGCCGAAGCCACGGAAGCCCACGCCCAAGCAGCGCGCCGTGGAAGACGCTCGTGCGGCGGACAAGGTCGCGAAAGCAGCTCTCGACGCCGAAGCTTCCAAAGCCGCGTCGTCGGCCCAGTGCCGATTGGACGCCATCGCGGCGGAGAAGCAGAAGAAGGCCGACGAGGAACGGCGCGCCTTACAACGGCGCCAGGAGGCCGAGAGGGCTGTTGCTGACCTGCGGACGCAGGCGTCGTTACGAGCGGACGCGCGACTTGCGAACGCGCCCGAAGCTCTAGCTCAAAGTAGGAAAACCCACCGAGAGAAGCTTAGAAGCTTAAAAAGCGACCTCAAGAAGTGCACGACTTTAGTGCGGAAAGTGCAGCTCGGGATCACGGCCGACGATGAGGCGAAGCTCCTGAATGACATCAAGGCGCTCAATTTAACGAGGTACGTGTCCGAGCTGGTCGACGCGGTGTCCGAAACGAGGAAAACGAAAGATCGCGACTGTAGCGCACTGGCTCGCGTGTGCGGCGCGTTGCATTCGAGATTCGAGACCTTCTCTGGCGAGGTGCAGAAGAAGTTGCTTATTGTCGTGGAAGAACGCAGCGACGATGCGGATGACAAGAGGCAAAGGGCGGCGCTGAAATTGTTGCTAGAACTTGTTTTGCACGGCATCATCTCATCTGAAGTAGTAGATCCACTTTTAAGAAGGTGCTGCGGCGTCGGTCCCAAAGGTAAGGTTCGATTCCCCGTCGACGCTCCTTTGCTAGGCGCTTTTCTGAAGACGGGAGGGGAAGAGTTGTGTGGTGTGACTTCTCGCAAGGCGCGATTACTCATCGCGGAGGTCGGGGAGACGTACACTCGTGCTACCGTTGTGGAGGACCCCGCGTCGTTAGCGCAACTCGCTCTCGAGGCTACTAAACGCGTCTCGAGCAAACTACTATCGGACCACGAAGCTCTGAGATCCTTAGAACGGAAGGCCGCGCGGGACGCCCTGAACCACGGCTCCTTAACCGAAGAAAAAGAAAAGGCCCTAGAGGACGCCAGGAAAGCCAGAGAAAAGCTCGTGAAGGAAGTCTCGGCCTTGTGCGATGCGCTAGATATCGACCCTCCCGTGCTCTTGGACGGCGACGACAGCGAGGAGGAGGACGACAAGGGCGAGCTCTCGTTGTGGACGGCGGAGCGCGGCTCTAGGTCCGAGTCTGCAGGTGCTTACGACGACGACGCGGCCAGAACGTTCTACGAGGACTACCCGAACATTCTGGACGTCGTGCCGGCGCCGGCGCTGGGGCTGGATCCGGCCAAGGTCGCGGAGTTGCAAGCTAAAAGAGAATCGATCCGGGCGCTGTGGCGGGGCGCGAAGACGCTGGCGGGCGCCGAGGCCGAGGGTTTGGAGAACGCGTCGACGGTCGTTGCGGAGGATAACGACGACGTGGTCGAGCCTACTGTCGAGGATAACGAACCGAGGGACGCCGTCGGGCTGTTGTTAACTGAGGAGTTACCTGCTTGTCACAGTCGCGACAGAGCAGATGCATTGGCCTTGAAATTTTGTGAAGGTTTAGCTACGGGCAAAGCGAGGAAAAGATTGGTCAAGGCTCTCTATGCCTGCCCTCGAACAGCTTTAGATTTGCTCCCCCAGTACTCGCGGATCGCGGCCGTCGTCTCGCAAGCGTATTCAGATGTGGGCGAGTTACTATGTCAAGAGTTAGCACGAGAATTTAGGTGGCTCTTCAAGGGCAAAAAATTACATAACCTGGAGGGGAAGCTGCGGAACGCGCGCTTCCTAGGTGAATTGTCGAAGTTTCGGGTCGCGCCGCCGCATCTCGTGTTCGTGCATTGTAAACGGTGTTTGGAGGACTTCTCGGGCCACGCCGTCGACTACTGCTGCTCGCTGATCGAGACGTGCGGCGGGTTTTTACTGAGGAGCGCACCGACGAAGGAGCGGACCGCGCGCATTTTACAAAGCATGTCGAAGATGAAGTCGGCGAAGCCCTTGAACCAGAGGGATGCTGCGCTAGTTTCGTACGCCTGCGATCGCGCGAACCCGCCCGAGAAACAAGCCGTCGTCTTGAAACCGCGGACCGAATTGTACCAATTTATCGAGTGGCTCGTGATGATTCGGTTGTGCGACGGCACCGAGAAAAACGTCGAGAGCGTGATACGGGCATTACGATCGCTGCCCTGGGACACGAACGAAGCGTCACTCATAGCGAAGTTCGTGCTCAAGCTAGCTCGGTCGAAGGCCGATGCCGTACCTTTAGCTGCTGATTGTCTCGCGGGTCTCCATCAGTTCCGGCCGGAGGTTACCGCGCGAGTGGTAGATCAAATATTAGATGAATTCGACGAAGGTGTCTCCACACCACCGCCTCTACGAGCGTTGCGGACGGCTCAAAGATTAGTAGCGTACGCTGCACTGTTGGGAGAGTGCTACAACTTTTCCCTCTTGAGTTCGGCCCATGTCTTTGGTATTGTGGAACGATTACTCGGACGCGGTCATAGTGTAACACCGGGCTTCGAGGCGCACATGGCTTATAGAGCCGCGAAGGCGTCCGAGGACGCGCGGAAGAAAATCGAGAAACGGCGCGCCGACGCTCTTATGATGGAAAGATCCGACGAGGATGAATCTGAGGAGGAAAGCGACGGTGAGGACATCGATGAAGCCGCGAGGATAGCATCAGCCTTATATCGGTTAGATGAAGGCATCGAGGTCGACCCGCGAGTCCCGTGCCCGGGAGATCCTCCGTCGTGCTTTTTGCGCATTACATTGTGTTGCGCTCTCCTAAAAACGGCGGCGCCCTGCCTGTTAGCTTCGATCACGACGCACGGTCCTCTGGAAAGCGCTTTGGATGACATCCAACGAAGTTTTTTTGCGAAGCCGTCGGCGCCCTTGGGTCCTCGATATGCGTTGTTAGACGCTTTGGAAGATGTCAGGAGGCATCGTCGGGCCTTACAAGCGTCCTGGCCGCGGCGCGCGAGACAGGCTCGGCGGCGAAACAGGCCGCCGCCGCCGAAGGTCCCGGACCACGTCTACGCGTTGCGCAAGGGCTGGGCCGCGGCCGACGACGCGTGTCGAGCGCGGTTGGCTGCCAATAGAGCTAGGCTCATGCTGCAGCACCGACCGGTCGCCGAGGAGCCTGTCACAGTGGAGGGCCAGCGCCGCTCGGATATCGAGGAGGATGACGAGGATGACGAGGACGATGATGAACAACAGACGGCGTCCGAGTCCGAGTCCGGGTCCTCGGAGTCGGAGTCGGAGTCTGATGGTGAAGAGGAGGAGGAGGAGACCAAGGCTGTGGCCGACGACGACGCCGCGGAGGAGGAGGACGACGAGGACGAGGAAAAGCCGCCGGAGAAGTCGTTTGATGACTTGGCGTTTGAAAGAGCCTTCGAGAAGACGATGCTCGACGACGCGGCGGCGCAAAGAAGGCGAGTGATCGCAGGGGCGGACTCGATGGCGACGCCGTCGATGCTGCGGCGCTTCGACGGCCAGTCGCTCGCGAAGTCGCCGTTCGGCGGGATGGCGAATTTCAAGATGTTGAAGAGAGGCGCTAGAGGTCGACCGGAGGCGCGCGAGCTCCACGTGCCCGAGACCACGAACTTCGCGGCCCAAGTGCGGCGCAACAAAGAAGCACGGGATGCGGAAGATAGGTCGCTCAAGGAGGCGACCTACAAACTTGCTGCTCGGCAAGATGAGGATCCGGATTATAGTAGGGGGCCGCCGCAGCAGCGGAACCTCGGGAGGCGCTGGTGAGGTTTGGGGGAATTCATAGGTTTATTTGTATCTAGTATTTCTCCTCCATACGTTTGGTTTTCCCTTACGGTGCTAGGACTAGGGGGCTGAGCCCTCCCGGGGAGACACTGCGCGCCGCGGTCGCCGACCCGCGTCCGCGACGGTCGTTCGTTGCGCACCCGTCGAGCCGGGATTTGTCTTGGGAGTCGTGGAAGGGATGCAGTGGGCCCATGAGAGGGCTGTTCTTGGGGGCGGCCGGGGCGACACGCTCCGTTTGGCCGCTCGCAGAGCTCTGTGTCATTGGCCGCTGCGTGAGAGTGGCGACACGACTTCACATCAAAATTCATCAGGAGTGCTACCGTGCATTCTTTTCCCCACGCGCAACAAAAAATTGCATCAAATGTCTAAACTGATCTGTGCGCTGCTCCTCTCTACTGCTGCCGCTCTGCAGCCGACGCAGTGCTGTCCAGAGTCCTGAAACGAGTCTCGATTCATCCGTGTACATCCGATGCCGATGATCGGCGCAGCGTCGCGGCGATCGGCATGGTGGGCACAAGTACTATTCGACGACGTCGCGCGCCGCTCGATCAATTGTGCAAAAACACTACCTTACGCTGTCGTCGACGCGACGTCCCAAACGCAGGTCGCGCCGGTTCGTCGTGGCCAAACTGGCGCCGGCGACGCTGCTTGCTCCGCTCGTGGCGTTCGCCGACGACGAGGAGGCCCCGCCGCCCCCGGCCGAAGCGGTCGCCGACGCCGTCGAGGCCGTCGTGGTGAAGGTGGCGGAGAAGATGCCCACGAACGCCCGCCGGAAGACGGGCGACGGCATCATGGAGATGAACGCCGGGGGCGACGGCGGCTACCGCCGCACGTGCGAGAACTTCCGGACCGAGCGCCTCGAGGGCGGAGTTTGCGTGCCCCGCAAGAAGTAGTGCGTATAACATCTTATCTATCAACAACAGGACAAAATTAGGACGGGCTTGCGTCTCGCGCCGGGGGCGCCTCGGCTCGTCGAAGCGCGCACCGCGCGCGCCGCGTCGCCTCCTTCAGCGCCGCAGCTTCGGCCTTGGCGCTCCAGAGAGCCTCCTCGCCGCGCCGCGCGCCGTCATCATCATAACCAATAGGCACAATATCATCATCATCGTCAAGAGTGGTCAACGTCAGCGCGGCAGGCGTTAGTCTCCCGGACCCGCGCGGCGCCGCGGCGGGCGGCGCCTCGGCTTTCTTCTTCATGCGCCGGGCCTTCGCCGCCGCGGACGCCGGGCGCTTCGCCGGCGGCGGGGCCTCCTCCGCGGCCGCCGGCGCCGCCGCCGCGAGCTTGCGCTTCATCGCCTCCAAAAACGAGCCGTCGTTCGAGAACTTTTGGGGCGGCGGCGGCGGCGCGGGCCGCGGAGGCGGCGGCGCGTACGTCGGTCGCGGCGGCGCAACGTACTGTGGCGGCGGAGCGTAGGACGAGGCCCGCCCCGCCACGGGATGCGCGAAGCGGCAGGCCGAGCCGTTGCGGCAGCCTCCCGGCGCGGACCAGAACTTGCAGGGCGCCGGCGGCGCCCGCACGATTTCTGGTAGGGCCGCGTACTGCGGCAGCGGCGCCAGCACCGGGACGTCGGGCCGGTAGGCGGCCAGCGCGGCGGCCGACGGGCGCGGCATCGGCGGCGGAGGGGCGCCGGGCGGCAGCGGCGTCAGCAGCGTCGGCGGCGCCATCATCTGCGGAGCGGGCGCGGTGGGCCGCGGCGGAGGGCGACGGGTGCCAGGCGGTGGGCTAGGGTTTGGGTACATCTTGGGTGATATTACCGGTCCATCTGCATCTGTCTAGCTCACGCTGCACACTGCTCACACAGCTGCACTGGTTAGCTCCTCAACGGCGAAGGTCACAGGAGCGACAGCTGGTTTGCAGGTGACCAATGAGGCGAAATTTCAAAGAACAGGAGGTCGCGTCGAAGGCGTAAATAGCGAAAAAAGTAAAAATCAAAAAAGAGCTAAAAAAACCCGTGCTGAAACCCAAAACGGCCCCAGCTCAGCCAGGCGCCTCATCACCTGTATTCTACGTCTCCCAGACGCGTGCATTCCAACGGGAGAGGTGCCATTACGATGGGCGCGTGCGGCTGCTGCGAGCAAGGCCAAGTACGCAGTGCCACGACCGCCGCGCCAATAATTGCAACGCTCGTAAAAACCATCGACACATACAGCCAGGAAGGTGCTACAGCGGCGCACCAAGCTTCAGCTAACGTCGTCCGCGTTCAAAAGCAATCTCAGAGCACCTGAACCCGAAAAACACGTACCATGCTCCGCTTAACAGTGTTAACTGATTCCGTACGAGCCGTAAGGGCGGCCTCGGACACGCTCTCGAAACTGGGCCTCGCCACCTCTCCACTGGAGCGCGTGGCGCACGGCTGCCGCGCCGTCGCCGCCGCGGACAACGTCAGAGTGGAGCTGAGAGAGGTGAGCTGGCTCTCGGAGCTTCGACGATTACGGAACGCACCACGGTTGGGCGCCCTCGTCGCGAGCGGGCCGGACGGAAGCTCGCCGGCACCCTTAGCGCTCGCGTCGTCCTGGCTGGCACGACACGCGCTGTTGGGCGAGACGCCGGCCGTGCTGCGCGACGCGCGCCTGGAAGCGTCGCGGACGAGCAAAGGTTTACTGAGGGAGGTCGTCGTCTCCTCGTCGAAACTCGACGCGGCGGACGCGTTCTTCGAAGTAAAAAGAAGGGTGGCCCAGCCGAAGAGCACGCCGCCCGGCGTCATCCGGAGCGGCGGCGTCGACTGGCGCGTCCAGCCGCTCTCTTCGTCCGCCGCGGCCCTGGTCTTCCGGTGTAGTTCCGTCGCGGACACGGCCGACCAGTTACGACGGGCCGGCGTGCGCTTCGACCACGTGGGCCAGAACGGCACGAATGCGGGCCAGTTGGTCGTGGACACGCCCTGGCGGTGCGGGCTCGAGTTCCGGCTCTGCGAGCGGACGTCGCCCGCGGCGCAGTTCCACGAGTCGTTCCGGTCCATCACCGAGTCCGAGGGCCACCTGCCGGAGCTCCAGCCGACGTCGCTGACGGGCGTGCGCGAGGCGGATCGGGTCACCGCCGAAGAGGCAGGGTGTTGGGGCGAGACGCACGCGATATTGAGGAGGCCGCTGCAGCTGTTCGGCGCGAGTAGGTAAGTCATTTGTCTGTAGATCGTGTCTTGCGTCGACTGGCGTTTCGACTCGTCCTGATTTGTGACGAGTCGCTTGCTAGTGTCTTACAGCCGCTAGCTAACTCTTGTGCAGTAGTGCAGCCTTTTTGCTCCCTTATCCGTGCAATTTCTCGCGGGTTGCGGCACGCTTGTGCCGCATCGATGCGAGTTCTCGCCGCTGCAGTCGTGCTGGCCACGACTGAGGCCTTGGTCCGGACCACTCATTTCAGCAGAGGCCGCACGCGCACCCTCACGACCATGAAAGCGCTGCGCGGTGGCGGCATCGTGAAAGCTACGCGCGCAGTGATCACGCGCTTCCCGCTCGCTTCCGTCGGCGCGGCGCTCGCGATCGGCCTTGGCACCGGGCTCTACGCAGCGGCGCCAGTCATGGACGTCTTCGAGCGCTACCACACCGCGGCGGACATCCCGAACCACCGCTTCCAGGATCACGATGCGTTCTCAGTGGTCGTCGTGAAGGTTGCCGACGGCGATACGCTGAGGGTGAGGCATGTGCCGGCTCTGGACTTCGCCCGCGGCCGCTGGCGCCCGAAGAGCCGCGCGGAAGGAGGAAAACTCAAGCTCTCGGAAGAAACTTTGCAGATCCGCCTCTACGCCGTCGACGCGCCCGAGACGGCTAAATTCGGCAACAAAGGGATGCCGATGGGCGATGAGGCGACGGCATTCGTAAAGCGCATCGAAGGCAAGCGCGTCCGCGTCACGCTCCAGTCGAAGGACCAGTACGGGCGCGCCGTGGCCAAGATCTCCTACGGGCTCTTCCGCAAGGACCTCTCCGAGGAGCTCCTCGCGAACGGCCTCGCGACCGTCTACCGCTCCGCGGGCGCGGAATACGGCCAGGGCCGGACGGAGGAGTACTGGAACCTCATCGAGGGCCGAGCGAAGACGCTGCGGAAAGGGGTCTGGAAGGATGGGAAGGCTGCGGACCCCGCCGCCTACAAACGGAAGGTCAAGGCTGGCAAGTGAGACATGGCGGTCGGCGCGTCGAACTCTAGTTCTCTAGTTAAGTGAATCTGTGTTACGTCGTGGCGCTCCGGGAATGGGCGGGGAAGGGATCCAAGCCTGAGTACACGAAAAAATTTCACCCGGGGTTTCCGTTAGTCATTCCTCCGGGCGACCACCCCCTGAGGCGGCGGCGGGTCTCGCGCGCGCCAGCCGAGACGGGGCGCCGCGCGAGACATAGCGCAACGCGGCGCGGGGGCCGCCGCCGGACACGTGCCGGCGCGGCCAATGAACAAGAGCACCAAGCAAAAGCCCCACCTAGTAGTGCATGTCCTGCGAGCCCTGGGACTGCGAATACCCATACCCGTCCTGCGACTGCGAGTAGCCCTGCTGCGAGCCGTAGCCCGACTGCGACTGCGAATAGCCGCCTTGGGATTGCGAGTACCCACCCTGCGAGCCCCCGAAGGCTTGACTCTGCGACTGCGACTGGAAGCCGCCGTAGCCGTACGAATCGTCGTAGTTCGAGGCCCCCGGCACGCCGCCGCCGTAAAACCCGTCGCCGCCGCCGTAGTTCGAGCGGCGCTCCCTCCTGGGAACATTCTCTCGGTCGTAGTCCGGATCTCGCACGTCGCCGGCCCAGTGGTCGTCCCTGAAATCGCCCCGAGCCTGGTCGAAGTACCCCTCGGGCTTGCCGAGGGCCGTCCGCCGCAGCCGGTTCTCCGTGGCGCGGCCGCCCCGTCTAGGTCTCGGCAACTGCACCAGCGACGGTTTCAGGTTCGCGAGAGTGCCCTCGGCGAGGCAATTCTTCGACTGCATGTGCGTGAGCAGGGCGTGCCACAGCGGATCCTGGGCCAGCACGCGCGCGTTGCCGAGCAAGATCAAACCGTACCTCGCGCGTGTGAGAGCGACGTTCAGCCGCCGCGGATCGCTCAAGAAGCCAATACCTTGGTGCTCGTTCGACCGCACACAGCTCAAAATAATCACGTCCTTCTCGCGGCCCTGGAACGCGTCCACGGACGCCACTTGCACGTGTTCATAAGCCGAGGCCGGCAACGACCCCGAACATTCCAGGTGATGGCGCACGTAGGCCCGTTGGCCTTCATACGGCGTGATCACGCCCAATTGGTCCGCCTCCAGGCCCGCCTTCAGGAAATGCGTCGCGACTCTTTCAATAGCGGCGGCCTCGGATCGATTCAAGAACGACGTCCCCGACGCCGACAACTCTTCACACCCCGCACAATCATAAAACATCATCGGCGCGTCGCGGTTCGGCCAGGGGAAGGGCTCGCCCTTCGCTTCGACGGGCTCGGCGCCCGGGATCGGATCCGGAGCCGCGAGCCAGTCGGCCCGCCGCTCGTTCGCGGACACGCCGTTCTGGAGCTGGCCCTCGTAGAACATGTTCGACGGGAACTCACTGAGCGCGGGGTGGCACCGGTACTGCGTTTCTAATCGAATCGGTCGCAAGCCGAGGGCGATCAGTCTCTCATAAAGACTTTGACCTAGGCCGGCCTTGGCCGCGTCGCTACAAGTGACCACCGGCCCCAACTGCTGGTGGTCCCCGACCATGACCAACTGCTTGGCGCCCAGCACGAGAGGCACCAACGCCTCGGCCTCCGTCGCTTGGGTCGCCTCGTCGACCAGCACTTGTTTAAATCTCATACCGGCTAATCGAGGATCGCCGGCGCCCACGCACGTGCAGCAGACGACCTCTGCGGCCTTCAAAATGGCCCGTTCGGCCTGGGCCTTCAACCGCTTGAACCGCTTCAGATCTTGCATCGTGAGGTCGCCCGTTTCTTCTTTTAGTTTCGTGAGCTTTCTTAATTCAGCGACCTCCGGGGCGTCGACGTGTCTCAACACCACATGTAGAGATAAGTGGTCCACGTGACTCGGCTCGTTCTCCTTCGACTTGGCTACTAACCGTACTACCTTCAATCCGGTAGCGTGAATTTTCTCTGTTAATTGATCCACCGCGATGTTGGAAGGTGCCGCAACTAGCACCTGTCCCAACTTCTGCTTGGCCATGTGGTACACAATAGCTGCGCTCGTGACGGTCTTTCCGGTGCCGGGCGGTCCCTGGATCAGAGCTAGCGGTTCTCTCACAACAGCTCTGACGGCCGAAGCTTGCGAAGGATTCAAGGCGGGTAGCCCAGGCACCTCCTTCGCCGGTTCTTTGCTACCTTTCAACACTTGAGGTTCGACGTCGTGGCCTAACAGTCGATGGTACAAGTAGCCAGACAAGGAAGCGTCTTCGACGGCCAACGTCTTCAGCGCTCCCTGCATCCGGTCAAACGACGTGCCCTTCCACACAAAGTCGACAATATAAGAAGCCTCTTCGATCGTGGTGGGACAGTCGCCCCTTATCTCCAACGCGACTTCGCCCTCCGTATACCTCACGACCTTCCCCGTGGCCTCCCACTTCTTGCCTCTCTGGCGGATGCCGCCGGAATTCAATCGCAGCCCCATCTCGTCTCCTACCTGTAATTTATGTTGTTCATCGGACATGCCGACATAAGAAGCTGACGACCGGTCGTCGATCCGAAACACCGCAATGTGCTTCTTACTGAGACCGCGCTCCCATCTTACGGAAACATCTTCCTTGGACTTCTGGGCGACCTGGGCTTTGTCGTGGTCCGCCTCGAGCTTGACGAGGGGTGCTAACACGTTCTGGTAGTGATAGCCGTCGTCGTAGGCGAGTCTTACCGGCTCGACGTCGGCCTGGCCCTCTTCATCTAAATCCAAATCATTCAAATCCGCGTCGGGCTTCTTGGCCCACAGGTCCTCCAAGCGTCTGATTTGGGAGGCCGTCGGCGGTCGCAGGTGCATCGTATCCCTCTCCTCCGGCTCTCGCACCAGCCACGGTAAGAACCTTCTATCAGCTATGAGCGGTAGCCATTCATCTAACGCCCAGTCCATACTCTTGAGACTAGGAACGCCCTCGACGCAGCCGCGACACAGTAAAACTACTACGGAGTCGGCCTTGGCCGGCACGAAGCCAATCACGAAGACGTTCCTACACCCGCAGTTGTAGCATTCTAATACAGTATCACCCAATGGGGAGTCCTTGTGCAACGATACGGTCCTATGTTTGCCTCGGACCAAGTGCTGCACTAAATGCGAGCCAGAAGTCCCTCCGGACCAGTTGCAGAACCATTTCCCGGTATCAACACACTTAGCGACGCAGGCCGGATCCGCGAGCCCGCAATAGCTACAGGCCCAGGGCGGCGCCGGCTCGGGATCTTCCAGTTGCAGGTTCTCGAGGTCCTCGTCGATCTGCGGCTCCGCCTTGCCCGGGGCGATGTCCTCGAAGGCGAGGGCGGCCATGGCTGCTGTCTGTTACCGGCCTCGCGCTGCGATGGCGTCGAGCTAGGATAATTTGGTTCGCCGCGGCGCGCGCTGCGACCGAGCGAGCCTTGGGGCTCCAGCTGTGGGTGTGGCGAGCGGTGGCCGCAAGGCTACGTGAGGTGCAGAGATGTGGCACGAGGGCTACTCTCAGTCCTGACCGCAGCTCAGTAACAGCGAGACCAACAGAGCAAAGCTCTCTCGCGATTCGGCTTCGGCGCTTGGCCTAGAGCTCGTACCACGCTAGCTCCGGCTTAGGCTGTGAGCGCTTTGCAGCATCAAACGGCGTATACAGGCTGCAGTTATCGACGAGAGCTGCGCACTGGTGCCGCGCAGCACGCCTGTCGACGCACTGCCGTCCTACCCACTCGGGTGGGCCCCAAAGCTACACTGCACACTGCTGCTTGTATCGCTCACGAGCACAAGAAACGATGAGCGCCCTCGCCCAGCAAGCTCCCGTGGACGCGGCCGAGATCTTCGCGAACGCGGTGCGAGCCATATTCTCAAGATGGACGCTGCTGCGACTCGCGGTCGACCAGGGGTGGGCCGACGGCGACGAGGCCCAAAAGGCCGACGCGCTGGTCACACGTGTTCTGGAGATGGTGGCTCCCTCGGTGAGACGGGTGCCCGACGAATCGGAAATCGCGGACGTCCTGCACGACGCGATCGAAAGCACCTTCAACGCCCAGGCGGAAGATGGTTCTGTGGAGGAGATCTCGAGAACTATTCTGAGGCTGCGGGCCGAGTGCAGTGCGGGGAACGTGGCGAACGCTTTGGTGTACGTGCAACAACAGGCGTCTTCACTGGACGCAAGTCAGGGCCGCGAGGACGAAGCGGGGGAGGCCGAGGAGGTCGTCGTCGCACCAGCCCCCGCGCCGCTGCCCATCATCGACGAGGACGGCTTCGAGACGGTGCAACGGCGACGGAACCCGCGACGGGCCTGCGCACCCTAAAAGTAGCTCATAGTTATACCCCCATGTCCGGCACGTCCAACCAATCGTCCAACTGTTCACCGGTCATGCCCACGCGCTTCGCTAATCTTTCTTCGACGATCTCCTTGCACCGGTCGACCTCGATGAAGCCAGACGGGATCATGCGGATGCCGTAGACATACAAATTGGTCATCACTTCCACTAGTCCAGGAGCGTCCTTCGGGATGACCTCGCCCTTCGACGCTGAGGGCACTAATTTATTTTCGTCTGCTTCATCACGATCGTAGTCCAACAGAGACGTACACAGCAACTCGTACATCTTCGCGCCGATCTCCTCCGTCGCCTCGTCCTTCGAGATGGCCGCTTCGAGAGCTTTCAACTCGTCGCAGACGTGGCCGCCGTGCGACTCCTTGAACGCCGCGACCTGGTTCTTGGCCGCCTCGACGACTTGCGGCGACGCGTACAGTGGCCTCGCGACGCGGCGTGGCTGCTGCGGTGCAAAGGCTTGGGTGCAGCTCACCGCCAGCGCGGCGACGGCGAGGCGCATCGCTGCTGGATTTCCACGGATTCGATCTATGCGGACAAATGGCGCGACGCGTGCGGCTCGGGAGCAGCCGTGCGGCTTGTTTTGAGAGCCAAATTACGGAGAGCTGCAGCCTTTCAAGCTAATCCACTGGCTGGGGCGGGCGCGACGGCAGCCTTCGGAAGCAACAGCGATCCACCGGCACGCATAAAGGAATTCACCACCGCCGGCGGCACGGATGCTAGAGCCCAAGGCACTAAAATCGTTTACATTTGGCGTGCCAAGGAAGGGTAAAAAAGGGCAGCCGCCGGGGCAAAGAGGCAGCCCGCCAAGCCTGGACGATGGACGCCAAGCTCGGCGCGACGCTGCGCGCCACCAAATGCTCGGCGGAAACCTATAAAAAAGCTATAGCGCACAAAAAGGGCCGCTCCTACCACGAGGCAATTGCGTTGATACTCAAGAACCGTACGTTAAGTGGAGAGGACTGCGGTCCGTTGCTCGAACAGTGCTTCTCCAAACTAAGCGACCACTACGCCGCGCTCTGCTGCGCTCCTACGTCGTCGGCGGCGGACCTGAGAAAGAGCTACAAACGGTTGTGCCTACGCTACCACCCCGACAAGTCGAACGGCACCACCACAACACTCTTCCAGGTTTTAGTAAGGGCCTGGGAGGTGCTGTCCGACGCCGAGAAACGAAAGAAATATGACATGACGCGGAAGCCGACAACAGGGCTGGGCCCTAAACCGCCGCCCAAGCGGACGAAGCGCAAGGCGCCCTGCCCGCCGTCCGTGACCAAGAAAACAGCAAAACGGCCCGCCGCGAAGACCATGAGACGGCCGACGATGCTCCGGCGGCCGACCGGGCTGCGCGTCACGGCCCGGGCGCCGCACTCGCTGACGGTGGTGTGGGCTCAAGTGGGCGGCGCCGCGGGCTACGAGGTCATGTTCCGCCGGGCGGGCCGGCCCTGGCCCGAGAAGGGCGCGCGCGTCACGTGTGCCGCGGCTCGGAAGAAAAATCTCGCACCAGCACAAGCCTACGAAGCGCGCGTTCGCGCCGTGGACAAGGCCGGCCAACCAGCGTCGACGTTCTCGTGTAGCTGCGCCGCGGCGACGATGGCGGCGCCTCCGACAAAGCCGTCGGCGGCGGCGCGGCGCGCGGCGGCGGCGCGCGCGGCCGCCGCCGCGCGCAAGGCCGCCGCGCCGCCGCCGCCACCATCAACCGAAGCCTGGACCTGCCGCGTCTGCGCCCGGGGGAATGGTGAAGACGCCGCGCGGTGCCGCGTCTGCGCCGCGCCGCGCGCGTACGAGAACGACCGGCTCTTCGGGTCCGCGGCGTATGAGAAGTGCCGCGCGGAGAAGCGCGCGGCCCAGTTCGCGCGGCCGCCGCCGGCGCCCACGCCGCCGGCGCCGCGGCCCGTGCCGGCCGCGCCGCGGCCTGCGCCTCCGGCGCCGCGCCCGGCGCCGCCGCCCGTGCCCGGCGCCGCGCCGCGGACCGCCACGCCGCGGCGGAGCCCTGTCAACAAACCTCCGCGGTCGCCCTACGCGCAGCCCGCGCGGCCGGCCGCCGCGCGGCGGCGGCCCGCGGCGCGCGCCGGCGTCGGGCGCGTCGTGCGGCCCGCGGCGCCGGCGGCTCCCCGGCCGCCGCCACCGCCGCCGAAGCCGGACCTCTCGGCGACGCAGAAGTTCCTCGCCGAGAAATCAAAGACGCCCGGCTGGTACGAGGTCGCGGCGGCCGGCGCCGACGCCCGGACGTACTACGCGCCGGCGACGGGCGCCTCGTCGCAAGCGCCGCCGCCCAACGCGCCGCAGTGGTACCGCATGACCGACGCGGGTCACCCCTACTTCTGGCACGCGCCGACCGGCGCGACGACGTGGAACGAGCCGGGGGGCAGCGTCTGGCGCGAGTGCGCGGCGCCGGAGCTCGGCGGGCGGCAGGTGTTCGTGTGGGACGGGGTCGCGGTGCAGGGCGGGTAATATGTTGATACAATATTTCACTTAAACACGGGCTCGAAGATGTGCAGGTAACAGGAGATATGTCGGTAGAGCTTTTTCTCCAGTCGCGCAGATGTTACGGTGCTAGGACCGTCATCGAACACATAATCGGCATTATGTCCAGGATGTTCATGCGTGTATCCGCCGGTATACGACACCCCGGGGCCCACGCACCACAACCGGCCGGCGTCGTCCACGCAAAGACCACTCAGTGGCCAGCCGTCTGGGGAAGGGATAATCTGCAGTAATTCCAGATCCGAGCCGTGCATATCATCGGGCAGACGAAACACTTGGATTCTACGGCCTTCCAGCTCCGAGACATATAGTTTTCCATCTCGCACTGCAACGCCAAGGGGCAGATTGAATTCACCGGGGCCGTCTCCTTTGCGGAGATCATAATAGTCATCACGAAATTCATGGTAGCTAACCGGCTCAGGGGTCATAAATGCGTCTGTCATGAGAGTCTTGACATCCCATGGATCATCTTGGCGTTTGCCGAAGACCCTAACGAGCGTACCCTCGCGCCAGTCGAACACCTTAACAGCCTGATTGTGAGTATCGGCTATGAAGCAATACTGCTCGTGAACCGCCAGACAACTAGGACCGCGCAGCTCATCGCGCCACGACTCGCCGGTCGAACCAAAGGTGGAAAGCTGGGCACCCGTCTGATTATCGAGCACGTAGACGCGCCCGAGGCTGGGGTATTCACAAGACAGAACGAGCAGCCTGTCTCCAGCAAGAGCGAGGTCCACAGGCATGAAGCAGTCCGTCTCAATCAGCATGATATGCTCGCTGATCACCGCCCCCAGCCTCACACAAGCGACCTCCCCCTCATCTTTCAGGATCACCCATGCGGTGCCGTCGCCGCGGAGGGCCACCGCAGAGGGCGTCTGTAAAGTGTCTGAAGTCCAAGACTCACCGTCCTCTACATGACGAAATTGTCTTCCGGCACAGGTGCCTCGGTGCACGACCTCTGGCGAGTATATTTCCAGACGATGCTCTCCATAATGTGGCACGATAATGCCATCGCCGCCAGACAGAGCGGTGAGGTGATCGATGTAGGAAAATCTGCCAATGCGCTCTCGCGCGACGCGGAGCATCCCACGGCAGCGGCGCCGCCAACACGCGCGGTACGTCTTACAAGCGCTAGCGGCCTGCCAGCCGTCCGGCAGCGAGAGGTATGACAAGGCTTTAGCCATGACGTCTTCCGGTATGGCGCGGTTGGTGCTTGCGCCGCGCGCCATTTTGAGTGGTGTGCAGTGGTGTGTTACCGGCTTGCAACGCTGGTGCCACAGCGATCGACAGCTGTGCGCCAGCGGTGAAATAGTGAATTCTAGAGTGACCAAAAGGCCGTAGCGGCTGGTTTTGAGCGCGCGCGCCGGCGCTTGCACCTAGCGTCCGTAACGCACTAGCAAGCCGCTCCAGCAATTTATCGAGCCACACACAGCTCCAACCAATTGTGTTTCAAGCCCTAGAAGGCCGCCGCACAACGCTATCGAAGCCACCTTCGAGCCGCAGCCGCCTGCCGCTCGCATAGCGTCCCCGCAGCCGGAGATCCGGAGAGCGCCGCGCCAGCCAGCGGAGAGCGCGGGCAAGAAGCGGCGCAATTCATATCAAGAAATGGAGGACCAAGCCGCCGCAGCCGTCCTCGCGCACATCGAGGACCAGCCCCACGCCTGCCTCGAGCGCCTCGAAGCGCTGGCCGCCAGAGGCAAGTTGCCAATAGCCGCGCGAGGCGCGGCGTGGCGCCTCTTTCTACGAGCGGTCGACCCGCAGAAGCCGAAGTCGTGGCGGCGCGCGCTCGCCGACGACCGATCGGCCTACGCGAAGAAGCGCGACGACGCGCTGAGGAGGCTGAAGCGCGTGGTTGATGGTGCTGAGACCGACGAAGCGCTCGAGGACACGGCCGACCAGATTCGGAAGGACTGCGAACGGTGCTATATTGATGGAGCGGGCGACCACTTCGCGGAGGCTACAAGACAAAAAGCGCTCTTCGACGCTCTCTTAACCTGGCACTGCACGTCTGGAGATTATCGCCAGGGCATGCACGAAGTCTTAGCGACGATCTGGTGGGCGTTGGAGCGGGCGCAGGGCGCCGCGTCGCTGTACTGTCCGGCGCCGTCGTCGCCCCTGCACGCTCTGTTGCCGTCGGCGGACGACCTGGAAGCGGACGCCTTCTCGCTCTTCGCGAAGCTTGCGGCCGTCACACGACCGATCTTCGACGGCTTCGACGGGATGACGCCGTCGCCGCATCGCCGGCCGCCGGCCGTAGAGCTATGTGACGACGTGCAGGGCCGCGCGCTGGCGGCGGTCGACGAGGAGCTCCACGCGCATTTGGAGAGACTCGAGGTCCTGCCGCAGATCTACGCGCTGAGCTGGCTGCGGACATTATTTGGTCGCAGGTATGTGGCCGACGACGTCTGCGTTCTGTGGGACGCGTTGTTCGTGGACACGGCGTGTTTGTCGTCGAAGATGGTCGACGCCGCATCACTCCTCGTCGTCTGGGACCGGTCGGCGCTGTTGCGACTCAACGCGGCGGACGACTGCGTCGCACGGCTGCTGCGGCCGCCCGCGGCGCCGGCGCCGCGGCTGTTGGTCGGTTTGCTGAACGAGAAGACCGGGCGGCGCCTCGTCGACGCGCTGCGGCGGCGCGCGGCCCTCGAGGACGTGCTGGGGCCCTCCGTCGTCGGCGCCGTGCTCGGCCCGCCTGATCGCACGGCGTCGGGCCTGTCCGAAGAGGAGGACGATTACGTCGACGCGGCGCTCGCGACGCTCTGCATGAGCGGCGGCTCCAATGTTGGTGGTTAAAAATCTTGTACAGTGTTACTCAATGTCGAATACCTGACTAGGTATTCGACAAGTGGAAATTCGGGATTTGTTAATTTCGGATTTTAGCGATATTTGAATTTCGGGATTTTTGTCTTGGGCGTTTCGGACGTTCGTTGTCCGCGAGTCGCCCAAATTCTTCTTGGTGAATCTTGTCAAAGAGGGCTCTGTCTTTACTTATGGTCTGTGATTCTAACGCAGGCTCTTTCGCAAGTATAGTCTCTATCTCTTGACACGCGTCTTTTGTTGCGTTATCCAAAGCTTCTTTTTTGGCTTGGCCAGCGAGTGAATCTCCACGTCGTTTTATTTTATCCACAAGCTTCTTCATGTGGACTTTCTTCTGACAAGGCCAGCGTGACATCTTTGTTTATAGGGTTTATTTTTAACGCGAAGGTGTAAAAACCTAACGGAGTTTAACCTCCTAACTTTTAGGTATTCGACATCAAAAGACAGGGAGAGGATCAGATCTCGTATTCGGGTTCGGTCGAAACGGGCTCCTCGAGGAGCGGGTCCGCGAGGTCGCTCGGAGGAGTGCCGCCGCGCAGCTTCCCCAAAAAAACGGCGCAGGGGCCGACGCAGAAGTCGTCGAAGAGTATCGCGAGGCGCGACCGCTCGGGCGGCGGCGGCGGCGGCGACGCGCGGCGCGCCACGGCGATCCCGCGCTTCTGCAGGCGCGACACGGCGTCGTGGTCGCCTTGGGCCGCCGCGAGGCGCCACCAGCGCTCGGCCTCGGCGTCGTCCTTCCCGTCGATGCCGCCGCGCCCCGTCGAGTACAAATAGGCCAGTTGGGCTTGGGCTTGCGGCAGGCCGCCGTCGGCGGCCTGCCTCAAGAACCGCAACGCCTTGTCCCGATCTCTGGAACAGCCGAGGCCCCGCGCGTAGCAGACGCTACAGTTGAACGCGCCGTGCGCGTCGCCCTTGGCCGCGTGCTCCTCGTAGGTCCGCAGCGCGTCGAGCTGGGCGCGGCCCGTCGACGTGGGGAGGAGTTCGGCCATGCCTGCCAGAAGCTATTTTTGGGTCTTTGCGGCGGTATCGCGCGCGCTGCGCTTCGCGTGCTTCGAACTGAGAGTGATGCGATTACTGGTTCGTCCGGTAGGCCCGCGGGCGCCGCTCTTGTGCCTCCTCTGATGCGCTGCACTGCCTTGTCTTTTGCGTGCCGGCCGCAGTTCTGGCCACGGATCGCCTGCCGCCCCGAAAGCGATCGCTGCTGACGCGTCCTGAGTTGAGACCACTTTTAGAATTAGCTAGCGGCTGTAAGGCACTAGCCAAAAGCTGCATGGGCATGAGGGCTGCTTTGCATCGTAGGGCTGCCCCCGAAGGAGTTGACCATACAAAAGATGATCCTCACGCAGTGCGCCGTCTGTGCCACCGAGCTTGGCTTATCATTGGGCAAGAAATGCGGCCGCTGCAGCACGCGCTACTGTGGGGCAGCCTGCCAGGTGCAGCACTGGAAAGAGGGCGGGCACGACAATCTATGTAAAAAAATAAAGAAAGCAGGCGGCGCAGAGCAGTACAACGCAAATAAGAAGTACACAGAGGCCGTCGTGGCCGCGGCGGAGGCGTGCGCGGAGGACACGAAGGGCCAGACGTGCTACATCTGCACGCAAGCTTTGCATTGGAAAACGAAGGAGGGCCTCGTGCGCATGTGTTCGTGCCGCGGTACGGCAGGCTTCGCACACGTCTCGTGTCTGGCGGAGCAGGCGAAGATTTTGTTCGCGGAGGGCGAGGAGAACAATTTGGATGACAAGGCGTTGAATGAGAGGTGGGCGCGGTGGTACAAGTGCGGCCTTTGCGAGCAAGACTACCACGGCGTCGTGGCGGGCGCGCTCGGGTGGGCGTGCTGGAGGACGTACGTGGCCCGGCCGGAGACGGACTGGGCTCATGGCTTGGCGATGACGCAGCTTGGGAACGGTTTACATGATGCAGCAAACCACGAGGACGCATTGTCCGTGAGAGAGACCCAGTTGTCTATGCGACGGCGTCTTGGCGTACCAGAACAGAACATGCTCGTCACGCAGGGCAATCTTGCGAGAACGTTAAGAGCGCTAGGACGGCTCGAAGAGGCCATGCGGATGCGGCAGGATGTATACTTTGGATATGTGAAGCTCTGTGGCGAGGAACATGGAGAGACCATCCGGGCAGCGCTTAACCTCGGGGTGGCGCTTCACGGTCTGGACCGCCTCAAAGAAGCCAAGGCACTCCTGCGCAAGACGATACCCGTGGCGCGGCGCATTCTCGGAGCTAATAATTCTATCACGCTCACGATGAAGATGAATTATGCGCAAGAAATTTACCAGGACGACTGCGCGACAATCGACGACCTCCGCGAGGCCGTGACGACGCTCGAGGAGACGGAGCGGATCGCGCGGCGCGTGCTCGGAGGCGCGCACCCGCTCACAGTGGACATGGAGAAATGCCTGCGAAAGTCGCGAGCCGTGCTCCGCGCCCGCGAAGCGCAGTCGCCGGGCGACCTCTGCGAGGCGCTGGGAGCAATCTAAGAGGTTCATATCTTTACGCCCCGGAGAAATCAACTAGGGCTCGGGCGCGATCATGCGCTCGGGCCGCACCCACTCCCCGAACTGCTGCGCCGTGAAGAGCCCCAAGGCCTCGCCCGCCTCGATCAAGGACGTGCCGTCCTTGTGCGCCTTCTTCGCGACCTTGGTCGCGTTGTCGTACCCGATATGCGGGTTCAGCGCCGTCACGAGCATCAGACTGGACGCCATGAGGTCGCCGATGCGGCCCTCGTTCGCGACGATTCCAGACACGCATTTGTCCGTGAAGGCGACCGAGCAGTCCGCCAGCAAGCGCGTCGACGACAGTAAGGCCATGGCCATGACGGGCTTGAAGACGTTGAGCTCGAAGTGGCCCTGCGCGCCGCCGAATTGGGCCGTCGCACAATCGCCGACCACGCGCGCCGCGACCATGGTCACGGCCTCGCACTGCGTCGGATTCACCTTGCCCGGCATGATCGAACTTCCAGGTTCGTTCTCCGGTAATGCAATTTCACCTAAACCGCTTCGTGGGCCGCTTCCGAGCAGCCTTAAGTCATTTGCAATTTTATTGAGAGCACAAGCCGTAGCTGCTAACTGCCCGCAGGCCTCGACGATGGCGTCATGTGCGGCTAAAGCAGCGAACTTGTTCGGCGCCGTCTCGAAGGCTAAACCGGTCTCATTGGCAATGTCGGCGGCGATCGCGACGTCGTAGCCAGCCTTCGTGTTCAAACCAGTACCGACGGCCGTGCCGCCCAAGGCAAGCTTCCTTAGGCGAGGTAGGGCGCCCTTGACCCTTTCGATACTATCGGCAACTTGGGCCTCATACCCAGAAAATACTTGGCCTAAGGTCACGGGCGTCGCGTCCTGGCAGTGCGTGCGTCCTATCTTGATGATGGACGAGAACTCGTCCGACTTCTGAGCTAAGGCCTTCCGTAGATGCTCCAAGGAAGGTAATAAACGATTTTCCAACTCCGTCACGGCCGAAATGTGCATCGCGGTCGGGAACGAATCGTTACTACTCTGACCCATGTTCACGTGGTCGTTCGGGTGCACCGGTTCCTTGGAGCCGATGACACCACCCAGCAATTCGATGGCGCGGTTCGCGATGACCTCGTTACAATTCATGTTCGTTTGAGTTCCCGAACCAGTCTGATAGACCACTAGCGGGAAGTGGTCATCCAACTTACCTGAAGCGACTTCATCGGCGGCTGCCGCGATGGCGTCGGCGATTTTCTCATCCAGTCGGCCCGTGCGCTTGTTGTATAATGCACTGCATTTTTTGAGCACGCCGAACGCGTGGATCAGCGCCAAAGGCATGCGCGCCTCGGGCCCGCCGATGGGGAAGTTGATCATGGACCTTGCGGTTTGCGCGCCGTAGTATTTATCTGAGGGCACTTCCAACGGCCCGAAGGAGTCGGTCTCCGTGCGCGTCGAGAGCACCCTGTGGCGCAGGAGGGTCTGGCGCGACGCGAGGGCGCGGCGCAGCATGGTTCGTGGAGAGGGTGAGTGTAAGGTGCTGCGAATGCGTTCAGTCGGTCTGAAACTGCAACGCTAGGACGCTGCGGCCGCGGAAGCGGAGGAATGGCTGGAGCTAGCGACCTGTAAGACACTAGCTCCGAAACCTGATGGGGGGCGTCCCGAAGAGGGGGGGGGCGTGCGAGTCCCTGTGACTCAGCCCTTGCGTCCTAGTCCAGCCGGACGGGTGGGCCCGGGGGGAGCGGGAGGGGTACGGGGGACCCCGCGACGTAACTAGCCTGAGCCTGAGCGAAACGCCATCGACGCCAGCGCACCCAGAAATAGACTAGAGAAATACACAACATTCTTACGAGTCCCGGCTCCCGCGCTTCTCGAGCAACGACCCCAGCGGACTCTTGTCCACGCCGAACTTGCGCTGGCGGACGATGCCGAGCGTCGGGCTCTTTTGGGGCGTCGGCGTCGAGCCCCACGAGCTTTCATCGGAGGGCGACCCGAGCTGGAACTCCGTGACGTTGCGTCGCAAGGACGCGCGGTGCGCGTCCTGCACCTTGAGTAATAATCCAGTAGTCTTGCTCTGCTCGCGCCTTTGTACAAGTCGGGGGTCCGACGACGGCGCGATGGTCTTGACGATGTCCGCCCGCAGCGCTTCGGCCGTCCCGCCGTCGCCGCACGCGATCACGCACGAGTCGAGCAACTCGCAGGCCGACGGCCCCTCCGTCGGGATGAGCTCGGCTCGTCGCACGGTCGGGTTCGGGTCCCGCGAGATGAGGCAGACGACCGTACCCTCCGCGCACCGCGCGAGACCCGGCCAGAGCGCGGCCCGGACGAACGCGCCCTCGTCGACAAAAGCGCTGAATGCTGGCCGCGTCGCGTCGAACAAGGCCACGTCGCAGTCGTACCAGTCGCAGTTCCACAGGCACGACGCCTCCTCGATGTAGACTTGCGCCGGTGGTTTTTGCGGTTCCCTGCCACGTCTACTCGCCCCTCGCCTCCTTCGATTATGCCGCTTATCTCGCTCATCCACCAGCGCTTTGGCCAATACTCTAGCTTCGGGGATCGGCTCGATGCTCCGGCACGAGACCCAGTCCCGTAATAACGAAGCGGCGACGCAGTTCTCGCCATTACTTCCCGTCAAATCGACAAACCTTCGATCGGGCAGATGCGCGTACGTCGTCTCGGACCACACTCGTAGAGCTAGATCCAACAAATAAAACCTGGGGGCGGTCAGGTGGCGCTGCTCCTCGCCGTCGACGCCTTCTCGGGCGCCTTTCAACGTCGACGTCTCCAAGGGGTGCGCTTGGGCCGAAAGATTGACCAAAGTCTGCAGCGTCCGTTCGACGGACACGCTTCGCGCCACCGACGGCGCGTCGAGGTCGGCGTACTGCTCAGCACGGAGCGTGAGACTTCCGATGCCTTTGATGGTCGCGAAGGGGTCCGTGGCGATGGTCGTGCGCTGGCGGAGGTCCATGGGGCTGCCCTCCTGCGCCCCGCTTGTTTTTTAGGCTGCCCGGCGCCTCACAAAAGCCCGGCATTTCGGGCGCTGCGTGAGCTAGCTGTAAGGCACTAGGAAGTACCCCCAAAACGGGCCAAACGCGTCTCATCGACGGCGTGGAGGCTGCCCCCACGCAGTATGATCCTCACGCAGTGCGCCGTCTGCGCCACCGAGCTTGGCTTAACCTTGGGCAAGAAATGCGGCCGCTGCAGCACGCGCTACTGCGGGGCAGCCTGCCAGGTGCAGCACTGGAAAGAGGGCGGCCACGACAAGCTCTGCAAACCGATAAAAAAAGCGGGCGGCGCCGAGCAATACAATGCAAATAAGAAGTACACGGAGGCCGTCGCGGTCGCGGCGGAGGCGTGCGCCGAGGACACAAAGGGCCAGACGTGCTACATCTGCACGCAAGCTCTCCACTGGAAAACAAAAGAGGGCCTCGTGCGCGGGTGCGCGTGCCGCGGGACGGCGGGTCTTGCCCACGTGTCGTGTCTGGCGGAACAGGCGAAGATTTTGATTGCGGAGGCGGAGGAGAACAATTTGGGGGCCAAGGCGATTCATTCGAGGTTCCAGCGGTGGGACAAGTGCAGCCTGTGCGAGCAGGACTACCACGGTGTCGTGTCCTGTGCGCTTGGGTGGGCGTGCTGGAAGACGTATGTGGGGCAGCCGGAGGGGGGCTGGCTTCGGAGGTTGGCGATGAGCGTGCTTGGAAACGGTTTATTCGAAGCAGGGCACTTCGAGGACGCTTTGGCCGTGCAAGAGGCCGACTTAGCTATGATGCGGCGCCTTGATGTACCAGAAAAAACCATGCTCGTCACTCAGGGCAATCTTGCGAGGACGTATGTTATGCTTGGACAGGTTGAACATGCTGTACGGATCGAACGAGACATATACTCTGCAGAGTTGAAACTATATGGAGCGGAAAATAGACAGACCCTTGTATCAGCCAACAACTACGCTTCTTCCCTTTTTAAATTAGAGCGCTTTGACGAAGCCAAGTCGCTGCTGCGCAGAACGGTGCCCTTGCTGCGACCCTTCTTTGGAGAGAGTCATGAGTTCACGCTCAGGATGAGGTCGCTTTACGCGAAAGCGCTCTACTATGACGAAGGCGCCACGCTCGACGATATCCGCGAGGCCGTGACCACGCTCGAGGATGTGGCGCCGAGTGCGCGACGGGTGCTCGGTGGCGCGCACCCTCTAGTTTCGCTCGTGCAGCGTGACCTCAAATGCGCGCGCGCCGTGCTCGCCGCCCGCGAAGCCGAGGGCTAGGGCGCTAACATAAGTATGTACGACGCGATTAGACAACCGGGGGAGGACACGACCTACTTCTTCCCCGCGCCCCGCAGCAGCTCCTCGCCGGCCTCGCCCGCCTCGGCGTCCGCCGCGCTTTGGGAAGGCACCGCCTTCGTCTCCGTGAGCTTGTAGTAGTTGTAGCAGCCGAAGAAGAGGAGGCAGATCGTGTAGCCGAGCGCCTGCTGGCCCGTGACCTCCTCGCCCATCGCCAAAGCCGAGAAGAGGACCAGCCCCGCGTTCCGCGCTGTTCCTAACAATTTGACCATAACACTGGAAGTCCGCTTAATAACGAGGAAGGACGCCACGTTCACGGCGAAACCGAGCAACGCCGCGAAACAGAAGATCGGGAAGTGGTCCCGGATGCGTTGGAAGTCGCCCTTCGCCATCACGCGAGGCACCTCGAGAAAGCAGGCCAGGCCCCACATCCAGAGCGCACAGATCGGCGCCATGAGATACAAGCCTTCAAAGGCCCCGAACCTCAAATTGCACAATAGGCGTTGTGTGAGTACTAACCTTGTAGCCTCTGCAGTCTCCGCACAGCACATGATCAAGAATCCGAGTAAATTGAAGTTCGCTTCACCTAGAGAAGCTACTACCGTCCCCAAAGACATGCCTAGCACGCTCAATGAGACTTTCTGCGACGGCGAATCTACTCCAGTAACGTAAAGCATCGCCACCACGACACACGGCGTGAACGCCTTCAGCATCTGCACGAAGGACACGGTCAGGTACATGTAGCCCGCGTTGCCGAAACATAAGGAAGCGGCGAAGGCCGCGCCGACGACCACCATGTTCCGTCGGTAGAAACTCCACGTCATTTTTTGGGCCTGGTCCGACAACGGCTGCCACTTCATGATTTTCACGACGAAGGTCGCGCCGATGGCGGACGATGCCTGTCCTAAACCGCTCACCAACATGGGGTAGCCGAAGCCGTACGTCGTCAGGATTTGTTTATTGACGAGGATGAGGGCGGGCCCGACCGTCATGTACAAAAGTATACATGCCCCGACATCCAACCACCTGACCAACCTCCGCGGGTCCATCGCGCCGGTCGGGTGGTCCTTAATTTTTTATATGGCAGCGTGAAGGTGCTGGCAGCCTTTTTTTGGGGTGGTGGTGTATGTGTTTTATTGTGCGCCGATTGGTGCCCGGCGAGCGGCGACGGACAACAGCTGCTAGATTTTGGTTCCGGACGGACAGATCTATCGCTCGCTGCTTGTATCGGCAGCTTGGATGCCGATGAAACCACGATTTTTTTGGCCTAGCGCTCGGTAAGACACTAGTACGGATCAATCGAATCACACATACTATAACTTACCCACCATGACGAAGCATGCTCCCGCGGAACCGCCTCGAACTAATCGACCGCCCGTCGCCGCCGGAAGACGCCACGACTCTAAGATTTTTCGCCGCGCGTGACCCGGCGTCCTCTCTTGCTTGTACGATCGCCGCGAGCCGCTTCATCTTTTCATTTGGTAATGTAATTGTCTCCTCGCCCGACGTTCGGTTGCGCCAGACCGTGCACGAGCCCTTGATGCCAAAACGCTTCTTGCGCTCACCCGCGGGGACCACCTGCAACTCATCTCTACAAAAATCGCCTGGGATCCACCATCTTCCACAGACCATGGACCGATCGCCCCTCGCATATCTCTCGTTCCATCCTCGGAAATGCGCCAACAGGTCGGGAACGGCGACGGCGCATTCGCTCCGCTGCCACCAGTTCTTGTCCGGTAAATGGTGCACCAAAAAGTTCTGGAAATTACGAACCGGTAACACTTTACGTCGACCACAGTTCATGTACAAATTCCAACCTCCCGCTCGTACTCTCGTAAAGGATCCCGCGGTCTTCGGGATGTGGAGTATCCGACACTGCTTGTGATGAGCTTTTAGTTCCGCACGTGTAGCCATCCACGCGCCCGCATGAGGATTGACCATCGTCGCGTACAACCGACCACCGACCTCGACGCCGTGATAATTATCTACACCGTTCTCCCACATGACGTGTTCGGCTCCCAATCCAATGCCATTTCTCTCCAGCCGCTGCCAGCCCAGCACGTACTTGTGGCCGTCTTCTGATCTAGCTAGGTGAGATGACGCTTCCACATAGGCCGCGATGTGCCTCAACTCGATATGGACGTCGTCCTCGCTGTAGACAAATAAATCGTATTCATCGATCCTTCTCAAAAATTCCTTCCTATGTTGCATCGTCGCGTCGAACTTGAGTTGGGCGTCCACGGCGATGTTTTCTAGCGCGAGGGTACCGCCTGTTCTTCCCGTACACGAATCACATAGCGCTTGGAGTTCCTCGCGTTCTTTGGGCGTGTAGGGGTTGCTATCAGCCGTATACAGCAGTATAGTAACCCTCAACCCACCCTCGCACATGCTCACGGCCGAGTGGAGCATCGTCAGCAGGTGGATGTGCTGCTTGCGATCATACGCCATGATGGCGTAGAGCAACCGCAAGTTCTCCGGCGTCGCGTCGGCTCGAACCACGGTACTGCCGCGCCGCTCCGTCTCGAAGGCCGGCAGATGTCTCGATTCGCTTCGTCTCGATCGCGGCCGCCGCTCCGTCTCCTTCTTGCCGAAGATGTCGCGCGCGCGCAGCAGTTGGCGGCCGCGCCGCGCGAACCCACGCCATCGAGCAGGCGTCGCGTCGACGGCGTGGAGGGCATCATCAGCTGTGGGCGAGACGGCCGGCTCGCGCACGGTAGGCCCGCGCGTCGCGTGCAGCACGAGCAATAAGGGTAGCGCGACGCCGCAGAGCCGTAGGTAGCGCAGCGTCCACGCGTGCGCGCGCGACGGCATCGCTGCGGCTGCGCGGCGGCTGCGCTATATGCCTCCTGAGGGGCTGTTGTTGTCAATCCGGCACCTTTTTCGCACGTTTCTCGCTGGTGCGCGCGAAGGGCTATATATGAATATCGTTGTGCTACCAGCAGCACGCTCAGCGCTTTTGCAGCGAATTGAGGGCCGTTGGTGCTAGCGGCAGTAAGACACTAGCAAGAGATTTTTGCCCGCAGCCGCAATTCGGTGGCTTACGCTCGCTGCGCGCCCTTGCAGACAGCTGACGCATTCGCCGCAGCCCGCAGACGACGAGGGTACCAAAATTTTCGAGCCCTGCGCCTGGCGCGGCACACAAAGCGCTGACCCTGCGCACAGCGCGTGCGGCCCAATATTGACCGCGCGCATTTGACAGCGCACCCGCGCCAAGCCACCGCGCGCGCAAAGGATGATGGCGCTCCGTCTCATCATCCTCGCTTCCCTATGCCTCACACCGAACGCGCGCATGTCGAAGGCCCACAAAAAGTCCAAAGAGTTGAAGGAGAAGGAGAAGCTCGCCGAACAGAAACGCATCGTGGAGCGGTTGTACTACGCGCCCTACAAGTACTACGGGAGGCCTTTACATTTACTCACGGACGTCGAGTGGGGAAACTTCGAACGAAGATCGAGAAAACCGCGCGCGTGCGCATTACCTACTAATGTACCGGGCGACCCGAAGTTCTACCTCTTTTCCTATTTACGAGATGATTCGCCCGGACTATTGGCGCATTTTCTGCGGTGGTATGGTGCTGCTGGTATTGATTTCTCTCGATCTCGCTTTGTCATACATGGTGTTAAAGTAGAACCAGGTAGTGCGACGGACGCCGAGAGAACCGCAAAAGTCTTCCGGGACTATCGCGTACCTTCTGAGTCGTTGCGGTATGTGTCTTCCTATTCGTCGCAACTAAAAACTGCGGCCGTGAATGAGTACTTACAAGAGTTACCCCTAGAGGCGTGGCTGGTGTACCCGGACCTAGACGAGTTCTTCGCCTACCCCTGCTACTGGGGCGGTAGGGTATTACCGCTCGTGGACCATATGGCTCGACAGTCGGTGGACGGCCCGATGGCGGCTTCTATAGTCGCAGATACTTCATTACCAGAATTCGCTTGGTTGCGACAGTTGGCGGCGACGACGCCCCATTACCGGGACGCGCCCTGGCACCCTAATAGGCAAAGACCCGCTGATTTTGTGGGTGGCGAGATGTATGATAGGATCGCGCGCACATGGAGGTTAGAAGAAGTCGTACCACCACCTGCTCCCTTCTCGCCATCACGATGGACGGACGCGGACATTGGCGCTCGTAGTATCTTCCACCAGTACCCCCATTCTTTGAGAGCCACTGGTTGTTTATTGCACGCGCGGCCCTTCAAGCACGTCTTGACTTCCGCCGGCTGTAAAGATGATGAGGGCAAGCTCGTGTACCGTCAAAAGTTCGAATCTTCGCATTTAACCGGATGCTACGACGGCGAGAATAAAGTAGAGCGGAAGCCTCAGTTACATGAAACTCAATTAGCCTTTGCCCACTTCCGGTTCACGTCCAATGCCTCCCAAGCTCTTAGCGATAAGCGGAAGGCCTATGAGACAGCCGCCGAACAATTCAAGAAGCAACATGCTGATCTAGATATGAAGACGGCGCCACCTGCTTTGAAGGCGGAGTTGGCTAACCTGAACCACGCGCAAAAGACGTACCAAGCGCAGCAGTTGTTATTTGAAACTGATCAAGGGTTGTTGGCCTTCCGGGATGCGGTGCAGTTAGTGTTATTGTTGGACTGCAACCAGGACCGACCTCTCCCGAAAGTCGACGAAAGGACGGGCGAGCAACCTCCGATGTTGTACGGGCCCCAGACTTCCGGGAGGCTGGAAGATTCGAAGCGGAAGGCTTTACTCGCGCTGTTGGCTACTACTGATGCGGAAAGGGCTCGTAAGCTGGCCAATGCGTTATTCACGGCCTACTACCCGCCCGCGCGGAACCTGACCAAGTCCAATATATTGAACAAGCGCCTGGCGGCCTACCAGTACGACGGCCGTTCTCGAGACTTCCAGCGGTCCCATATTAAAGGCAGGGGGCAGACCGGGTTGTGATTACTCCACGGGGGACTTCGCGCCTTCGACCGCCGTCGAGACGAGCGCGAGGCGACCGCTCCCCCCCACAGTCGACGGGACATGTTATGATTAAGTGACCAATGTGATTAGCAACTCTTCGGGCGCCTCGGGCGGCAGCAGGAGATCGGCCTCGTAGCGCCTCGCAAACAACCGCACGCCGGGCCCGAACGAAATTGAATGCGACGCGTAGGCGGCCTTGAGGACCGCTCGGGCCGCCTCCAAACCGTCCGCGTGGGCCAGAGCCTTCGCGCACTGGACGCCGATCGCCGCGACCTGCTCGTCGTTCGGCGGCAGCCACTCCGAGGCCGCGAGTACAGCAGTGAGCCACGCCTCGGCGGCGGCGCCGGCGTCGCCGGACGCCTGGAGCGCGGCCGCTTTTTGTATTGTCAACTCCAAGCGGTCGGCGAACAGCGATGCCGCGGCCTCGGCTTGCGCGATCGTCGCCAGGCGCTCCGACGGCGAGAGCATCATCAGTTGAGCCTGGGCCTCTGCGTCCACCGCCGGCGACGCCTCCTCGCCATCGGCCACAAAGTCGAAGTGGGCCAGCGCGCCGCGCGCCGCTGCGGGGTCGGGGAGTAAAGGCGACGCCACGTAGCTCACCGTCAAGGCCTCGCCGGCTGCGACGGCCCGATTTGTCCGGAAACAGACGACGTCGCCGCAGTGCCACCTCGCCACATTGGGTTCATTACTATGGTTGAACACCGAGGAATCCCGAAACAAGGCGATGCCCGACAGTAGTGCTTCGGAAGACGTCGCATGAGAGTATAACTCACCACCGGTCTCGCAGGAGACCGCGTTGTAGCGCACGATGTGCGGCAAGCGCTTTGCGAGCGAGTCATCTAAAGTGGAGAGGGCCGCGTCGACGAGGCTCCGGAGGTGCGGCGCGCAGCTCCACGGTCTCAACTTGGACAGGTCGTCATCAGTGCGAGGAAAGAGCATGGACAGCTCCTCTACGAATGAAGGCTCTTCATTTATGCGGGAGGCGATTCTCAAAATGAGCAACGCGCTGTCGGCGTTGTCGCCGCCACTTGGGATGTAATGAACCTTGTTTGGATTCGTGTCCGTGTCGTCCTCAGTTATGCTGTCAACTTGCGCGTCGAGGACCATGGCCAACGCCTTCTCGCACACGAGCGTCGTGCCCGCGGGCAGGTCCTTCGCGGCCACGGCTCCTAGTCCGGACAAATGGCGTACAACGCGCACTGCATTCCTCGCCGGCCGCAGCTGCGGCGTCCGGAATGGCAGCGGCAGCGACGGCGCGGCCGTGGACTGTAGTGCGTGGCGCCGGGCCGCCCGCAGGAGGCCGTCGATCGTAGTATACGGGCGCATGCGACGGCGCTTGGCGCTGCGGCGGCGCGCGACGCGACCCATGGTGATCTATGCGAGTTAGAGATCGGAGTAGCGGTGCGCAGCGGCAGCACGCGGAGCAGGGGTGATGCCTTTGTACTTTCTGCAGCCCGGCGGCAGCGATAGGGGTAGCAATTGCGACTTTTGCGTCGCTTGGGGCTGGCAGAGATAGAGTGAGACATACTAGCAAACCCGTATGCGCCTTGGTACGAGTAGCATGAAGAGCGCTCTCCGGACTCGTCGCGCGGTCCCGAGGACGATTGCGATGATGTCAAAGCGTGCCCAAACCAAGGGCTGAAAACAAAGCCATCATCCGTGGCAAACGCTGCCCACCATGGAGCAGAAGGAAGAGGTCGAACGCTGGCCCCAGCTCAAGAAGAAGAAGCGGCGCTCGCTGAGCGTCGAGCGCCTGCGCGGTCTCTTCTCTTTCAAGAGCAGTCCCAAGGCCAAGGCTAAAGCCAAGGCCGCGGCGCCGCGCGGCCGGTCGCCGACGCGCGCCCAGATCCGCGTGCCGTTCGACAAGCCGGCGGCGGCTGCGCCGGCAGCGAAGCCTCCGGCGCCGGCGCCGGCCAAGCCGGCCAAGCCGGCGGCTCGGCAGCCTCCGGCACCCGCGGCGCCGGCGCCCGCGCCGGCGGCCGCTGCGGCTCGGCCCGCGCCGTCCACAGCAAAAACCGCGCCGGCAGCTCGGCAGCCTCCGGCGCCGGCGGCGCCGGCGCCGGCCGCCGCGGCTCGGCCCGCGCCGGCGCCGGCGCCGGCGAAACCGCGGCGGCGCGAGCTCGGCATCGTGACGCACCCGACCGAGACGTTCGTCGCCACGCCGCCGGCGCCCGCGCCGGCGGCCGCACGGCCCGCGCCGGCGGCCGCCGCCAAGCCGCCGACGGCGCCGGCAGCTGCCGCCAAGCCGCCGGCGCCCAAGCCACAACAAAGGCCCGCGGCGGCCATGCCCCCGCCCGCACCAGTAACACAGACGGACCGCCCCGCGCGCGAGGGCTCCTTCCGCCTCGTGCACCGCGACAAGGTGCGCAACACCACTCTCGCGTTCAAGACGCCGAAGCTCGGCTTCACGCTCGGGTTGTGGAAGGACGGCTGGATCCGCGTCCAGCGCGTCGCGCAAACGTGCCCCCACTTTTTAGCTCTCGCGCCGGGCGACGCGCTGCTCCGCGTCGGCGACGACAAGGTCCCCGTGCCCTTTCCACGCGACGACTTCGCGGGATTATTGCGGAAGCTCTCCGCGGCGCCGCGGCCGCTCGAATTAACCTTCGTGCGCGTCTTAGATGATGCGCCGGCGCCGCCCGCGACGTCGCCCGAGTTCGCGTTGGTGGAGGACCCGCCGACGCCGGCCGCCGCCGCGGGCGGGCCGCCGCCCGTCTTCGGATCGCCGCCGGCGCCGGCACCCGCCGCCGCGCCGGAACCGGCCGCGGCACCGCGGGCGCCGCCGGCGCCGGCGCCGCCTGCGCCGGCGCCACCCGCGCCGGCGCCGCCCGCGCCCGCTCCCGAGCCTCCGGCGCCCGCGGCGGTGCCATCGATCTTCCGGACGTCAGGATCGCCGTCGACGGTCCAAAAAAAGCTCCTGAAGTCGCCGCGCGCGAAACGCGACACGAGCTGGATAAAAAAGCCGACGGAGGCGAGCCCGACGCGGCGGCCGGCCTCGCCGTCGGACCCGCGCGCCGCGCCGGAGGCCCCGACGCCGCCGGCCTCGCCCTGGCGTTCTGATGAAGACGCGGGCGGCTTCGTCGGGCCCACCGCGGACATCCAGCCCGCGGCCATCCGTCGGGCGAAGGCGGCCGAGAAGGCGGACGTCGCCTACGCCGCGGCGGCCGAGTCGGAGAAGCCCGAGACGCTCGACTTCTTCAACTGGCTGAGCGGCGAGCAGGACACGCCGTCGAAGGCGCGTAAGAACTAATGATTCGAGATACGGAACACGTTAGGCCTCGCGAGCGTCTTGTGCGCCTGCAGAGGGCCGCTCCACTAATTCTAGTCCTTCGAGGACACCCGCTCCGGGTCGTCGGGCGACTCGAAGTTCGGGTCGCCGGGGTCGACCGGCGGCGCGCCCTCCATGGACGGGTCCTGGAGCGCGTGGCCGGACGTGCCGGCCTTGCGCTCGACGGCGGGGCCGCCCTTGCGCAGGATGTTGCGGCTGTGGCCGTCGCCCTTCGTCTTCGTCGCGGGCGCGGCGCCCTCGGACTTGTGGTGCGGCACGCCGTCGGACGCGGCGGCCTTCATCGCGGCCTTGCTCCCCTGCTGGAGGCCGGACGACATGTTTGTGGTGCGGAGGGGCGCCGTGGTGGCGTCGGGTTCGTGTAGTAGGTGCGCTGCGGCGGCCTGCGGGGGCGATCCGCGTCCGCGTCTCCTCTCGGCGCGCGACGAGGCGCCTCCGGTCAGTGCGGCTTGCGGTGCGGCGTCCGCCGAGGCCCGCCGCGAGACCCATTTGAGGCCGTAATCTCGCGCGCACGCGCTCGTTACTCTCGGAGCACTTATGGATCGTATGAGGCTCCTAGCGGGCGAGGGGCGCTCTTGTCGGGCCAGGGCTGCGGGAGGGGTATTTAGTGAAGGGTTCTGGTTCTTGCACGGTGGTCCACGGGGTTGCGGGCGTGTTCTCAGCCCTTCTCAAGACACTGCTTCGTAGCTCTGAGGGGGCTAGTATGTCTTAAATAGGCAGGTCAAAACCTGATAGGCATGGGAGGGAGGAGAAGCACCAACGGGGAATGCCGCAGACGAGCCAGGGGAACTGCGCGCCCCGCAAGAAGCGCCGGCGGCGAGGCCACACAGGTAACGGGAGCGCGGGCGACGGTGCAGCGCCGGGGGCAGCCTCCTCCGACCGGAACTTCGAGGAACAGGGTGGTTTTTGTAAAAACCGGTATGTAAATGAGGATGCTGGTGATCGCAGGACCACTTTTTGCACTTAGGCCGAGGCCTTGGTCGTCGACTTCTTGGGGAGAAGCGTGGCGTGGATGTTCGGGAGCACACCGCCCGAGGCGATGGTGACCGAGCCCAGGAGCTTGTTGAGCTCCTCGTCGTTGCGGACGGCGAGCTGGATGTGGCGCGGCACGATGCGCGTCTTCTTGTTGTCGCGCGCGGCGTTGCCCGCGAGCTCGAGGATCTCGGCGCAGAGGTACTCGAGGACGGCGCCCATGTAGACACCGGCACCGACGCCGACGCGCGAGGCGTACTTGCCCTTGCGGAGGTAGCGGTTGAGGCGCGCCACCGGGAACTGGAGGCCAGCCTTGGACGCCGAGGACGACGAGCCGCTGGACTTGGACTTGCCCTTGCCGCGGCCGCCCTTTCCTTTGCCAGACATGATGTTTTGGGGGTGTTTTTTTTCCGATGTGTTGGAGTGCTGCCCTCCCGCTTGGAGCACACCCATTTCCGGAGCGTGGCGCGCCGCTAATTTTTGGCGACGAATCATTTTGCGACCAGATACTAGGGTCACAATTTCATTGGACGCCAAAATTTACCGGCTCGCCGCCGCTCCGGAACCGTGCTGCGCGATTCGAGTGGGGAGGCAGCTCCAACACATCGGAAAAAATAACACAAAATGGCCAAGACCCCCTCCAAGAAGTCGGCGAAAGCCCCCAAGAAGGCCGGCGGCGCCAAGAAGAAGAAGTCGCGCACGGAGTCGTACTCGACGTACATCTACCGCGTGCTCAAGCAGGTGCACCCGGACACGGGCATCTCCAAGAAGGGCATGTCGATCATGAACTCGTTCATCAACGACATCTTCGAGCGCATCGCCCTCGAGGCCTCCAAGCTGTGCCGCTTCTCCAAGAAGGCGACGCTCTCGTCCCGCGAGATCCAGACCTCGGTCCGCCTCATGCTCCCGGGCGAGCTCTCCAAGCACGCCGTGTCCGAGGGCACCAAGGCCGTCACCAAGTTCTCGAGCTCGTAAGCGCTCACTGCCGTTTGAGTAGCAGCTCGCGCTGCGATACGCTCTTGTGACGACGGCACCCACATTACACCCGGTTTTTCTAAAAACCACCCTACTCCTCGAAGAAAGAAACGCGGCAGCGTCGCGCGGACGGCGGCGTCGTAGGGCTGCCTTACCTTCGCGCGCGCGCCTTCGCTCCTTTGCCAGTGCGGCCGCGCCCTGTCCCGCCGTCCGCAGCGCTCGCCGCCGCGCCGTAGTGAAGCCTTTGTGTTGCCCTGGGCTTCGCCACGGATTGCTCGGAGTATTAGTGCGCCTCTTGCTGCCTGCGGGTATATATAAGGTATAAGGTATAGGTAAGGTACCGAGGTACCTTGTTTTTGGCTGCGCTGCGTTCTGTGCTCACGCTGTGCGCAGGCAAGAAGGTCTAGGACGTGCGTAGTGATCCATTTTTAAAGCGCTTCGACGCATCATTCAAGTCCAGACGTCCACCAGTGGCCAGGGAGTGCGTTCAGGCTCAGCGCTCTGAAAGCTTCCGACAGTCTGTGCGTCCGCATCGATCGACATGGACCCCGCGGACCCCAGCGGCTGGCACGACGACCCGTGCGAACCAAAGCCGGAACCAAGAGAACCACCACGGACGTGGCGCCGCGGCCCGCCGCTCGCGCCGCGGCCCGCGCATAATTTACTAACAGAGCCGACGCTGACAAACTTACTGGACTGGCACTCGCACAACATCGACCGGGACCCGCTCTTCGCGCACTACTCAAGTGCAGCGGCGGCAGTCTTAGCTGGTGTTGTGTTCGGTCTCGCGCGGGGCGCGTCGACGGCGCTACTCTCAGCAAAGGGCTCGCGCCTGACGGGCTTCATCCTCGCGACGAAGACCGCGACGCCTCTGTATGTCACGCCCTTCGTCCTCGGGACCCAGCTCGACTGCTGGTCGACCGTTTCCGAGAGGGAGGCGAAGCGTCGCGGCGACGTGCCCCCGGAGCGGTGGGGGGACTTCGCGCACGACGCCAATGTACTCTAAGACTACTTATCTAATTCATAAACGAAGAGGCCCGCGTCGTCGCCGACGCATGCCACCAATGAAGAATCAGGAGAAAACGCGCACTGTCGGACCGCCCCGCGCATCTTCGGGTGCGTCAAGGATGCCTTTTGTTCGGTAGAATCGACGTCATAGATGACCAAGTCACCGGAAGTATTCCCAGCACACACGTACTGGCGAGACGAACACATGCCGAACCGCAGGAACCAGATGTCCGCCCCCGGCAGGTCCAACTCATGAACGATCAACACGTCGTCCTTCGGCTCACTGTCATCATTCGTCTCAGATAACAACGGTGCCGGTAATCTCTCATTGCGCTGCGGGTCCGGACTCCACAGACACAACCGCTCCGCCGTCGACTTCGAGAGGATCAATGAACCGACCCAGCGCGCGCAGTCGACGTAGTTCGCGTGGACACGACTCGTGGAAAACGCGGGAAACTGCTCGAAGACCGTCTCAAAAGGTCGGTGATTCGCCGGCTGCGGGTTCGTATGCGACCGTTCACAAGCTTTGGCGACGTGCTCCGCATCTAATTGCCATAATTTAATAGTGTTGTCCATGCCCGAACTCAGGCAGCAGCTTCCTGATTGATGGCAGTCTACTGCTAATACCTCGTCCCTGTGTCCCCTATCTCCCGCAAATACGGCGATGCACACACAAGTTCTCGCGTTCCACAACCTGATAGATTCGTCCTTCGACGCCGTCAAGAGTAGTGATTCATCGACGGCGTGGAAGCAGCAATCATTGATCGCGTTGCCGTGACCCACCAAAGCGCAGTCTAACCGTCCATCGGCGCAGTCCACAATTTTAGCTATGCCTCTAGTACCAGCGACGCACAGTAATGGCGCGTCGGCTCTGCGACTCCAGGCGCAGCAGAAGAAGGACTCGTCCCTATCGTTATCAACGTAGACCTGCCGCAACTCGATATCTCCCTCGGCAATAGCATACACAGACGCTCGATTCGAACCACAGACCGCGACCATCGGTTCATCAGAAGCCCCGGGCCAGAACGCGACGGCGTAGACCGGCTGGCGGTGGTCCTCGAACACAACACCGATGCATTTCCCACCCTCACACAAATCCTCGGGCGCGGGGCTCTCGGCGCGCTTCTTCTTGGGCATCGCTGTCGCAGCGGCGGTGGCGTATCGATTTGTTGCGCTCCCGCCTCCTCGTCTCCCTGGCTCCTGGACCGCAGCGGTTGCAGGCCGCGTGCAGAGTGCTCGCCGCAGCGATCGCGCAGCAATATAGATCGAGCTCTTGGTCTGAGCAGGCAGTCTATGCACGTTGCGCGCGAGTTTCGCGTCGGTCGCGCGCCGCGGAGCTAAAACTCCAAAACGGGTTTTCTCGCGGATGCAAATGGCCAAATATACCCTCAAATTACCCATTCCTCCTAGAATGCCGCTTCGCCAGGGTCGCCGGCCCCCGCGGCGCGACGTTTGGAGCGGGGCGGTTCGGCGGCGGCGCCCGACTACTCCCTTTCAGCCGCGCGACCTCGGCCTTCAGCTTCGCGATCTCCGCGGCAGCAGCGCGGGGATCGGACCCACACACGACGTCCTTGCACCTCGTGGCGAACTGGAACGAACTGACGCTTTCGGCGACGTTGGCATGGGCCGGTGAGCTACAAACCAACATCATCGTCTTCGCGGAGCCACCCACAGAATCGGACATGAGCATTGTCAAAGGATGGTTCCGGTAGGGCACGTGGCCGCCTTCTGCGGATGTCAACGCATTAATGACGTCGCCCAAAGCCGACAGCGATTTGTTGATGGCCGCGGCCTCCTTTAATTGCTGGCCTTCGGCTCCCGACCGCTCCACACGTTCCGAACCAGCGAGATCCACCAGAGTTAATTTACCGGTCGTCGAAGCGCCCGTCCGTTTATTGGTCGTAGTGATGGTCACTCCCATCACTAAATGAGACCGAGAAGACTCCGAGTTCATTTTCGTCGCGTGGACCGTGCGTGACTGAATGCCATCGGACAAAGCATTGACTAAGTCGACCGCCGACATGACTCGCTTCGATTTGGCGCCGTCGACCTGGACTAGTCCCGTCGACGAGTGCTCCGCCAACGTAATTTTTAACGAAGGTCCTTGATCCATGGGTGTCACTTTGCGAGGGGGCACCATAAGATCCACGAGATTGTTGCAGTACACCTCGAACATCTGCAACGACACATTTGAATCTAAACCTCTCTCGGCTAAAATATCAAATATGGCCTGGGCGGCCCGCGGGGCTATGCCCGCAGATTCGGACTTGATCACACCATTACTATCCAACGCATCTTTAATTTTGGAGTCGGACCCCATCGTGTATGTTTTACCGGAACCGGTCTGCCCGTAGGCGAACAGACAAACATTATAGCCGTCGACCGTCGACGTGATCAGGTGCCTCACATCTTCAAACAGTTTCGCCTGGGAATTGTCCTCTTTAACCCCTTCAAAGACCGCGTCGAAGTGGAACCGCTTCTTCTCCTGGTTCTCCTTCGCCGGTAGCACGGTCAGAGACCCTTCGCCATCTTTCACGACTCCGCAGTCGTCGCCCGACTCCTTCTTCGAGAGCGGTCTCACGCGACAGAGCACCCGAATCTTGCCCTTCATGTCCTCGATCTGATTATGTAATCTACGACGTAATGCCGACTCTCGCGTCAGGTCCTGCTCTGCCTTGGCCGCTCGTTTCTCGAGGTCCCGGACCTTGGCCCTTAATTCGCCTTCGGACACTGATAACCTCAGCAATTTCTCTCGGTCGGCCTTGGCATCTTTAGTTAAAGATGTAGCCTCTTCACCTCGCGAGGCTAGCTCCGCGGTCAAATCATCGAGTCTTCTCCGCAGAGCGTCGCAGCAAGCCTCCGCGGCGTGGACCCTATCAAGGGCATTCCCCGTACTCGCTTCGACACGAGAAGCCATATCCCGATACCTGACGACGTCCGCCTGAGCTCGGGCCGCCTCATCTCTCAACTTACTGATCTCCTCGTCGTACTGCAGCCGAGAAGCCCTTTCTCTATTCAACCGGGAATCCTCGTCCCGTAATTGCTGCCTCCTGCTTTCATCTTCACTCCTTTTGAGCTTTTCTTCGTAGAACTCGTCCTTTCTCCGCAGAGAACTTTTCGCCTCATTAAGATCTGACTCTAGTCTCTTGGCCCGCTCGTCCGCTTGGGACGCTCGCCGCTCCAAATTCTCGAGGTCCTTCTGGCAGCGCTCCCTGATTGAATCCAATTGGTTCGTCGCATTGTCCCGCTCCGCTTCCGCCCTCAACAGATCTGCTTTACATTTCATCACTTGTTCGCGGACCTCCGTGAAGTTCGCCCGGGCTCGATCTCGGTCGCTGGCCGCGTCTCGGGCGCTCTTCTCGAGCTGCTCCCGCCTCGCCAGATCCGCGGCGGAGCTTTCTCGCGCTTGAGCGAGTTCGGATCTCACTCTGTCGAGTTCCTGGCGGGCTTCCTTGCGCGCGGTTTCAACGGCCTCCATGTTACCGTTGCGGGACTGGGCCTGCTCCAGACCTTCCGTTAATTTTTGCACTTCCTCGACGACGGCCAGCCGCGCCGCCGCCGCTGCGCGTCCGTCGAATTCGACCAACACATCCCTTAGAGAAGCCACGGTCTCATCTCGTCGAGAAGCTTCATTAGCAACACTCTGGCTTTTTCTAGCTTCCTCCAGCAACTGTTGAGCTTCGCGGAGTGCTGATTCTTTGGCCGCGAGCGATTCTTCAGCTTTCGACCGCTGGGCCTCGGCCTCGTCGAGGCGCGCCTTGTGGGCCGCCTCCAATGCCGCGTCGCGCGCCTCGCCGCTCGCGGCCTGGGCCAGCGCCAGTAACTCGGCCTCCAATTGTTTCGCCTTGTCTTCGAGCTTGTCGGCGCGCTGCTTCTCCGTGGCGGCCGTGGCTTCAAACGAAGCGCGCTTGGCCGCTTCGTCCTTCAGCTGTTGGTTCAAGGCAGCTTGCTGTTCATTGGCCTTCGCCTGGCACTGCGCGGCCCGCTCCTCGGCGCTCTTGACGCGATCGCCGTCCGCCTCCAATTTCTTCTTCGCCGCGTCCCTGTCGCCCTTTAACCGTTCGGCCCACCTACCGAGTCGTCCTTGATCTCGCAGCGCCGCATCTAAAGCGGCGCTCGACGCTCGGGCGGCATTCAACGTCTTTTCCGCATCACTCCGGTCGTTCTTCGCCGCCGCCTCGGCTTGGACCGCGCGCTTTTCGGCGCTCTCGAGGGCGAGTTTCAAGGTATCGCTGTCCTCGGATGAAGATGTTGTCGTGGAAGGCACGACCGCCATCATCGCGGCCCGGGCCGCGGCGTGCGCCGCACTTAACGCATCGTCGCGCGCCTTCGCCGCGGCTCCTTCCATCTTATTCTCGATCTCCAAAGCTGTCAATTGATCGCTCTTCTCGTCGAGCTCTGAGACAGCTTTATCCCGCTCGGCCTTGAGGGAATCGACCTCCTCGCGCGCGCGCTCCAGGCGCGCTTCCGCCTGCATTGCTCTTTCCAAAGCATCATCTGCCCTTTGAGAAGCCTTCATGCGCGCCGACTCGGCCTCGTCGGCGCGGGCCTTATGGGTCGACGCGTCCTGGATCAGGGACGTCCTAGCTTTGTCCGCGGCCGTGCGCGCCGCTTCCAATTCAGCCTTGGCGGAGGACGCGTCCTCGAGGGCCTGCTGGTGCTTGCTCTTCAGCTTGATGAGCTCCTCTCGAGCCAACTGCAGCTGCTCGTCGGCGCGCTCGGCGCGCATCTGGGCCTTCTCCGCCTCGGCACTGACCAGCGACGCCTGGACGTGTAAGGAAGCCTTCACCTCCGTCAGCTCGCGGATCTGCTCGTGCAGCGCGTCCTCGCGGTCCTTCCTCCGGGCCTTGGACGCCGACTCGGGCACGACGACCGTCGGCGAAGCCACCTCGATGTTATAGTCTGTAGCGACGGGGCTGCTCAACGCGTCCGTCGTCTTCGACGTGAGAAACGCCTCTACATCAGAATGGCCCGCGGACCGCGCCCAGCCCGCCGCGTCGTAGCCCTGGAAGTCCGTTTGCGCGGCGTCGGCGCCGTGCTTCACGAGCTGCTCGCAGAGCCGCAAATGGCCCGCGTCCGCCGCGTACATCAAAGGCGTCGCGCCCGTGTGCAGGTCCGCGACGCTCGGATCCGCCCCGACGGCCAACAAAGCAATCACGGCGTCCGGACATAATGTGGACGAATTCGTCATGTAGTGTAAAGCTGTCGCGCCGGACGGCAGCGTGATGTCCACGTCCGCGCCTCGCTCGACCAACATCTCGACGAGATCGCCCGCGCCGTACTGCGCGCTCAACAACAACGGAGTGTCGCCCGTCTCCGGGTCCACCCTATTGACCTCCTCGTCACTTGCATTCTGGACGTCGCTCTTGGCATTGCTCTCGACGTCCTCGGCGCCCTGGCCCCAGTACGGTAACGCGCCTCGTAACGCTTCGAGCAGGTTGGGAGGCGGCGTGTAGTCGTAGGGCTGCGGCGTCCGCGGCCGCCCGAAGACGGGCTCGATGTCTGGCAAAGGCGAGGCGGCCTCGTCGGGGAACGCCGACGCGGTATAGCCCAACTCGCGCGCTTGCTTCATCGAGGGGCTCTCCATATCCGAATCCGGGCTGAGGTCCGCCGGCGCGCCCTCTGCGCGAAGGTCGCGCACCTGCTGCACCGTGGCCATATCGGCGCAGCGCTGCCGGCAGCCTTTGCCACTGTCAGGAGCACTGCGCTGTCGCTGCCCAACGCGAGCGGGTGGGTGTTAGGGCTGCCCCAGGCCTGATACTAGGTGCGTGCCATGCCCAGGAGACGCGCTAGGCCGCTCCTTGGCAGCCCTGGCCTCCTTTTTTTGCGTTGGAGCTGCTTTGACTGCTAGAGCAGTTGGCGCTGCAGGTCGTAATTGCGCGCCCCGTGGCAGCACCGCTGCGCGCGCCCGTAGTGAATTATGCTGCTCAACTCGAACCGCAACAATGAATATGTGAAACGCGCCGACGGCGGCTTCGCGCGCGGCCAGGCCACCGAGGACTTCTGGCAGAAGCCCGCCGGCGCCTCCAGCGGCCACCTCGCGGCCGGGTCCGGCGTGCTTTTGAAGGAGAAGCCGCCGCCGCCGCCGCGGCGGCGCCCAGCGGCGCCCTGGGCCTGGGCCGAGGAGGTGCGCGCGGCCGCCGCCGCGCGCGCGGCCGAGGAGGCCTTCGACGCTTCCACAGAAGTGGACGAGGCGCCTTTACGAATGCTCCAGGCGAAGCTCGTGGCGCTGCGGAGGCTGCGCGACGCCGCGGGAGTTGAGGACGCGGCGAAACTCGAGGCCGAGGCGGCGGAGGCGGCGAAGGCCGTCGACGCACACCGACGTTCAGTGGGTAAAGCGTGGCCCGTGGCGCCGCGCTATCTGCGGCACGGGGGCGACCGCGAGGAGATCGTCGAGGAAATAGCTGGTACGGACGCCCTCGGCAACAACGCCAGGGTAGTACCACCGCCGTTACAACAGCAGCCGCCTCTGGAAAATGCGACGCGCTGGCCCGTCGACGCCGTGCTTGCTAGATTACGGGCGCACCTCGCGATGGGCCGCCGCGACCCGCGCTTCGGCCTGAAGACGGCGACGCAGGAGTTGCGGCGGCTCGTCTTCGTCTTGCAGCCGCCCGTCGCGGACAGCCTCGGCCCCCGGGAATTAGTAAGGCTCTTCGCGGCGCTCGGGTTGCGGATCACGGACCACCAGGGCCAACTGATTTTGGACGCGTGCGCCGCGCCCGCGGGCCTATCCATCAACTCGATGGGAACGCTGGCGCGCGCCGCCTCGCAGCACAAGGTCGCGCCGCCGCCCACGCAGCAGATGAACGCAACGCAACAACGACGATGTTTAGTGGAGACGCCGCCGCCGCCGCCGCCGTCGCCTCCTCGAGAACCAAAACCCCAAGAGGAAGCTACGTTAGGCCACGACCTCGCCGACTACATCAACGACGACGACGGCGCCCATCCTCCGAGCAACCGGCCAGAATCCCCGGAGCCGCACAACCAAACAAATCCCCGCCCGCCGACCGCGGGACGGAATGCGCGGCGCGCCCGACAACCCGTGACCATGCTCCACGGTCTAGCGGATGTGGAGTTGCAACAGAACAAGGACCACTACCGGCGCAACATAGAAGCGAACAAGAGAAGTGGGAGGAACATCATTTTCTAAGTATATCCTTAGTCGCGCTTCATCATAGAAGCCTGTACACCTCGACCATCATGAAAAGCCGAGAGCAGCTGCCTTCCGCCCTCGCCCTGGATGACGTGGCGGCCCCGCGCCGCGAAGTGCGCGTCGATAGCGGCCAAGCGCTTCTGCTGCTCGAAGCGGATGCGCTCTTCCTGGTATTCCGCGGCCTTGCCCTCGCCGGCGGCCTCCGCTTCGCGAGCCGCCGCTAAGTCCTTGGAGGCCTCCCGCAGCGCCTCGCTCTGCGTCGTCTCGACGCTACATTCTTTTTTGGTAGTGCGGACGCGTCGAGCACATTCTATTTTAGTTTTCTCAACTAGTTCAGCTTTTTCGGTTCGTCCCGTAAATTCAGCTACTTCTAGGTCGGATCTAGCCTTGGTCAATATAACATCTTGGGCTTCGAACGCGGTCGTCGTCTTCTGGGCTCTATCTGAGGTAGCCACGGCCATCTTCTCCTGCTGCTCCGTGTCCTCCCTATCGGTTTCCGCCCTTACACTCCTCTTCTGCAGGTCGAAGGTTTGGGCGATGTTTTGCCTTTGTTGCGCGTACGTATTTTCTATAGTTTGAATAGTGTGCTCATGATTTTTACTTTGCATGGTCAATCTCGTCTTAAACGAAGTAGTGTTCTCCAGTCGCTCCTGCAAAATATTTGGTAATGCCACGTTCGTGATCTTAACAGCTTTGATGTCGACCCCAAACCGCTCCACCTTCGTCTGCAAGACGGCGAGCATGTCCTCGGCGAACTCGCCGCGCATGTCATTCACGCGGTCGTGGGTCACATCATAAACTAATCCTCGGATCGACTCTTCCACTTGAAAGGACAAATAAGCATCTAACCGCTCCGCACCCATCTCAAACACGAACTTCGACACCTGCTCCTTGTTCACTTTCAGCGTAACGCTCAAATCTAGATCGACGAACACGTGGTCGCGCGTCGGACACTTCTTGGGAGCGTGATTGTACGTCACGAGCTGCAAAGAGACGAGATGGGAAATGCGCCGCCAGCCGGGCCAGCAGGGCTTGCAGCCCGGGGATAATGTTCCGGCATTTCTGCCCCAGTTCTGGTACAAGACGACCGGTCCCGAAGGCACCGAGATGAAGGGCGAAAACCAGCAGATCGCAAATTCATAAGGGCAACAAAGAGCCGCCACGGGCTGGACCACAATACACGCTTCTTTCCCGTCCTTACCCCGCTCGACGAACATGCGGTTCGCCTTCGTGTAGTTGCTTCCGTACAGGACCTTGGAGACGATGCGCGTCCGGCCCGTGGACTGCGGGCCCCTCGAGATGGGGTGGACGGACTGGTTGGCGCCCATCTTGTGCTGTTTGTCTGGTCCTCGGCGTGTTCGCCTGTCCTCGGCGCGCGGCGGCGGGCGGCGGCGGCAGTATACAGGTGTGTCCTGGAGGGACCTCTGCGCGCGCGCGCGGCGGCGGAAAAGCTGCCCGGGCGCGCGTCCGGGGGTCCTGGCGGGTCACCGGTAAAACGGGCAGCCCCGGGGCCCGAAATAGAGGGCGTACGCCTCGGTCACGAAGCACTGCTCTGCGGGAGGCGCTACGCCTCTGGCTCTGGGCGCTAATTTGCCGCGCGGATACCGCGAAAAGCCACGGGACGCGGCCCCGCCGGCGCATTCCAAGGCCCTTTCGAAGCCGGGCGCCCGCGGCAGCCTCCCGGCGCGGCAGCCACAACCAACAATCGGGGCAGCCCAGAGGGCAGCTCCTCGGGCAGCGCCGCCGCCGCGCGCCGCCCTCCTACGACAGGGCAGCGCCGCCGCCGCTCCCATAAGCAAGCAAGATGGCCACTACATTATCAAGCGTCACGATCCTGAGCCCGGTCAGCGCCGACGCGTACTTCCGCACGGACCTCGGCTTGTTGGTCGCGCAGCCGAGCGGCATGTGCTGGAACCCTTTCTTACCGTTTATTATCATCCCGGAAGGCTATAACGCTTTGGTAACAAGGTGCGGCGCGGAGATCCCGGACGGCGACGGCAAGATCGTCCACAAGCCGGGGGTGCAATGTGCGGATCCGTTCACTACGGTCAGTCACCTGGTTACTCGTAATCATTGTGTGTGGAACGCGCCGATCAAGGGCTGCAAGACGCTGGATAACGTGCAAATCACGATTGATATCTCGGTCATTTTTAGGATCGTGAACGGGGAGCAGGGCAATGGCGTTCGATTCTTCGTCCATGAAGTGACGCCGGGTGGTCTGGAGCAACAGTTGAAAGACTCCGTAGCGCAAGAATTGAGAGCGTTAGCGCGTAGTATGCGCCACACCGAGGTCTACGCTTGCAGGACGGGCGCTCCCGCGCAAGTCGCGAGGACTGTGGATGACGACGACGATGAGGAGGACGAAAAGGGCCCGGGCATGACTTTTAAAGAAGCGGAGGCTAGTCGTGCGAGGGGCGAGGACCGCCACGCCCAGAAGGGTATCGACGTCACGGAAGCGATGAAGATCAAGGTCAACCAAACTTTAGATAGCTGCGTGGAGATCGTCGATATTAGTATCACGGATGTGGGGCTACCGTCGTCGATCGCGCAGCAGATGACCGCGCGGACGATGGTCCGAAGTAAGCAGGCCTACGAGGTCATGGAGCAGAAGTTCGCCATGTTGGAGATCAAGTGCGAGAACGAGGTCGAGCAGTTGAAGCTGCAGAACGACGAGAAGGAGTCGAAGCAGAAGGCCGTCGGTGCGAAGGAAGTCCAGGACCTCAAGGAAGATTTAGCGATAAAAAGAGCCAAACATCGGCGGCAGCTCGCCGAGTTCAACGAGCACACGACGTCCGAATGTCACAAGATCGAGGCTGATACCAAAGAACAAGCTAATAGTCTGGCTCTGGAGAAGGCGCGCGTGTTGGATACGTTGCGGTTATCGGCGCAAGAGGAAGCGGCTCTAGCTGAGGCGCAGGCCGAGGCCGAAGTGCAGCGGTTTCGGGCGAAGACCGAAGCGACCGTCGCTCATAACAGGGCCGAAGCGGCGACGACCGTAGCTCAGGCCGAGAAAAATGCGAATGCCGCGCTCAAGAAGAAGCGCGAATTAGATATAGATGAGAAGAGGCTCGACGTCTACCAGGCGCTGGCGTCGAACAAACAGGTGGTCGTCACGGACGCGACCGACGCGGAGTCGGCTCGGTTACTCGTGTCCGATGCCGTCTTGCAGCAGCACGGCGGCCAGCAGTCGTCGGAGGCGGCGCTCGTCGCGAAGATGAACGTGCTGCGCGTGGCGTCGAACGCATTAGGAATGCGGTCGGAGTGGGACCAGTCGAAGTTGGACGGCGTGCGGCCGCAGACGATGGGGCGATAGATTTCTTCCTTTTAAGTCCCTTTCTGTTCCTTTTTTTTTGCGTCCGCTTCGATGCGTTGTCTGTTTGAATTTGGTCCTGGGACTAGTGGGCGGGGCCAATGCGACAAATCGAGCCCTACCACCGAGGTACCACGGTATAAGGTACCATACCGATACCTTAAGCACACAGCAGACTAATTGGCGGGCAAAATAGCCCTACGTGCCACACCGCTGTGCCTGGACCCATCGCACGCTTCGCATTTATAGGCGGGATCAGCAGAAACGCGCTCGCGCCGCGTGCCGAATCCCTGCTCCATCCCTGCTCCAGGGCAAAAAAGCAGCAGCCCCGAAACGCCGCCGCCGCGAGCCAGCGACCATGGCCGACTTCGTGAGCGAGCCGCGCGCCGCGATCCAGGCCAGCCTCGAAGCTTTCAACAGCGAAGAGCAGCGGCGCATCCCCTGCGGCCCCGATTCCGGAGACCACTGGGACCAAGTAAAGTGGCCGAAGGAACCGCAGGCCGTGGACGAGGACGCCTGCGAGCCCGACTTACTGCCCCTCGATCTGAAAGCGGAGCACTCTACCACATTCGTCGCTGTCGAGATCGACGGCGCGTGGCGGACTATCATAAAAAAAGCAATTTGCAAGACGGAGAAGAAATTGTACGTGGCCCTCAAAGGCGTCAAGCGAGGCAAACGCGCGTTGGAGATCTTCCGGAGGGTCTTCGAGGACGTTGTTATCGAGGAGAAGCCTCAACTGGATGTGATACCGCTCACGGAAGATCAATATGAGTGGAACGCGTGGCCGTTGCAGGTCGACTGTGTTCGTGGGTTTAAGACAAAACCTGAATGCTTCGGCGACGCGGCCTTGGAAGTAGGCGCGCCCTACGTCGATTGTGCGCCGTTTGTGCCCGAGCCTCGGGAAAAAAGTTACACGCTGCACCCCTGCGAGGGCGTGGGCAAACCTATTCCGGATGGAGTCATTGCGGCGCACAAGTGCGTCGCTGTCGGTGGGACGTTTGACCGGCTGCACGCCGGGCACCGGTTGTTGCTCTCAGCCGCGGCGCTCGTTGCCGAGGAGTGCGTGTACGTCGGTGTATCAGGAGACGACTTGTTGACGGAGAAGAAGCACGCTGAATTATTAGAACCACTGGTAACGCGCTCGAAGAACGCGCGGGCATACCTCGAGAGCTGCCGGCCCGGGTTAGTTGTGCACGTCTCGACGCTGTCAAAGAAGCCGCCTCTGGCCGTGACGGACGCGAACATTACTTGTTTAGTCGTGAGTCGCGAAACACTAAAAGGTGCGGAGGCCCTGCAGAAGATGCGGCGGGACGCGCTGCCGGACGCGCCGCCTCTGGAAATAGTGGCGGTCGACGTCGTGGCGGTCGAGGGCCGGCCGAAGGTGTCATCGTCGGACCTCCGAGCCAAGGCCGCGGGTTTTGTACCGGAGCGGCCCCGCGACCCGCGGCGGCCCGGCGGCGACCCGAATATCTATAATGTCGACCGGCGGCCGACGTTCGCGCCACACAAGGGCATGTCCTTCGAGGAGTACAAGGCGAACCAAAAGAAGTTCGCGACTCCTATTCCGGCGGGCTGGAAGTGGGGGAACGAGGGGAAGGAGAAAGCCTAGGTTTTTGTCTTTTTATTTATGCCTCGGTCACGTCGGCTGGCGCATCCCTTCGCGGGCGTGGAGCACGGCTCGGGACACTTGCAATTGCTCCTCAAGCGCTCCTGTGAGCGGGTGCGCGCCACCGTACACGCGCCGCGCGGTCCGTTCCGTGTCCTCCAGCGTATTGACGGCCTCGCGGGTATCGTCGAGCGTGGTGTCGGCGGTGCAGAGCGCCCGCGCGTAAAGCCTCCTCATTGTGAGCATGTCAAAACTATTCTCGCCGAGAACGCGCCGCGCTATGGGCATCGTTTTGCGCAACAGAGCCTTAACTTCTTCGAAGCGCTGGAGACCAAGAAGAGACATCGCCAAGTTGGTGGCTGCCAATAATGTGTTCGCATGTTCCTCGCCATATAACTTCATGCGTCCAGAGTATACGCCTCGCTGCATAAGCAGGGCCTGCTCATGCCGCCCCAGCTCTCCATACGTGCCCGCAAGATTCTCCTGCGTATTGAGCAAAGCCGCTTCTGGTGCGCCGAGGCGCCGCTCTATAGAAAACTGGGTCTCTTGCACGGACAACGCGTCCTTGTGGTGACCTGCTGCGCCTAAACCGTTCGAAAGCTGCCTTATCGCATTCATCCGAGGCGAGTCCCTCTCCGGCCGCCCCACGTACGTCTTCCAGCACGCCCAGCCGAGCGCACAATCCACGACGCCGTGGTACTGTTGCTCGCACAAGCCGCACGAGTACCACCGCGCCCACCTCTCCTTCCTCGCCTTAGCGCCCAAATTGTTCTCCTCGACCTCGGCCCACAAAATCTTCGCCTGTTCCGCGAGGCACGACACATGCGCGAAGCCCGCCGTCCCGCGGCACGCACACATGCGCACGAGGCCCTCCTTTGTTTTCCAATGGAGGGCCTGCGTGCAGATGTAGCAAGTCTGGCCCTTCGTGTCCTCGGCGCATTTCTGGACTGCGGCCGCGACAGCCTCCGTGTATCTCGTATTGGCATTATATTGTTCTGCGCCGCCCGCCTTTTTTGTCGGTTTGCAGAGCTGGTCGTGGCCGCCCTCTTCCCAGTGCTGTTTCTGGCATTCGGGCCCACAGTAGCGTGTACTGCAGCGGCCGCATTTCTTACCCAAGGTCAGCCCAAGGTTGGTAGCGCAGGCGGCGCACTGCGTGAGGATCATCGTACGGCGGCCCTCCTTGGCTTGGGGCAGCCTCACGCCGTCGACGCGACCCTCCAGGTCCGGCCAGCAGCTAGCGACTGTAACACACTAGCCAGAAAGCAGAGCGCGCTCTCATCAGCCGCTCTCATCAGCAGCAGCTAGCCGAACCGGGGGCTGCAGAGCGCTCTCATCAGCACCAGCTCTAGCCGAACCCGGGGCTGCCCCACGATGCCCCGCGGCGCCGCGCTCGACTTCTCGACGCCGGCCATGCGCCAGCAGCGGAGCCGGTCGGCGCCCCCTGTCGTCATTGCAAGGGCCGCGCCCTGCGCACCTGTGAACGCGCCGCCCGTCGCTCAAGTGGAAGAGGTGACCGAGAGTAGTGACGCCCCCATGCCGACGGTCGTGGCCACGGCCGTGCCAGCCGACGACGACGTCGAGGCTGCGATACAAAGGCGAGAATGCGAGGCGGCGGTGGCCCAGCTCCGAGCAACCACACTACAAATCACGACGCAAGAACAGAAGCTCCTGAACTACCGGAAGTCCGTGAAGGTCTACGCTATACTAGATGCCATCGTCACTTTGTTCGCCTACTCGTCGCCTCATCAGAAAGGCCAGGCAAAGTGGTGGGCCCGCGCGTGTCTCGTGTTTTTGGTGAACCCCGTCGTCGGCTACGCGGGCGCGCGCATGCTCCACGCGCCACTACTATCGTGCTACCTCTGGCTCTGTTCGCTCAAGGAGATTTATATATTGGTGCTGTTCTCGTTCCACGCTACTGGTTCATTTTTATTTTTTACCTTCGTGGTCCAGCTGTGGATCACGACCGTGTCTTATAAATTATGGCGGCTGCTCGCGCCGGTGGCGCCGGAGCGGGCGCGCGCGCTCGCGAACGGCACCGTGCGCGCTAGGACGTCGCTCGTGCTCTTCTGACCGCTGTTTCGCTCTCGAGAATTAAGTTGGCTTTTGTTTAGTTTAGAGCTCGGGCGCCTAGCGCCGAGCGGGGTCCGCGTGACCGTGCGCCCGGCCCGCCCGATGCTGCAGCTTACCCTTGCTTCTAGGCTTGCGAGGAGTCACACGCGGAGGCGTTTGCTGTTGGTTGCCGTCCAGATTCTATCGCCCGAGGCTTACGTTTTTGTTGGTCAGGCCATCACGACTGGGTTCGACGCCCGCATTCACCGCCGGCGCAATACCTGACAACAGGACATTGTGTACAAGTTTACGATCATTGTAGCTCTTCGATAAAGGCAAAAAACCGCAGGAGAAAGCACGCTGCGCAGCGATATCACTGCCAAAAGCGCCTGCCGCGAAGAGTTGCAACACGATGCACCGCGTCACGTCCGCCACGAGCGTCTTGTCGCTAGACGACCTCGACGACGACGCCGCGAAGGCGCCGCGCTTCACGCGGCGCAACTACTCGCCCGCGGCCATCATCGACGGCGCCACGTTGAGGCATCGCAGGGGCGCCGGCGCGCCGGCGCTGTGTGAAATAGTGCTCGGCGAGGCCAGATGCGAATTAGTAGGAGACCCGGACGCCTGCGAGATCGAGTTGGTGGACGTCGGTTTTCGTTTGGGCGTCGGCGCGGTGCGCGACCGGGGCATCTGCGCCGCTCTTAGAGGAGGCGGCCTGCCGCACTGTTTTGAGGACGGGTGTCTGTTAAACGAGGGCGGGTCGTGGGTCGCCGCCGGGAAAGTATTAGCGTCGACCGAAGAAGGCTACGAAACATTCCGGGATGGTGATATTTTGAGATTGACGTGCGATCGGAAGGGCGCCTTCGCCGTGGAAAGGATACGTGCGAAACGCGTGACTTTTTTAGGAGCGATCTCGATGCCAGGGGCAGGTAGGTTGCGGCCCTTCGTCTTACTGAAAGGGCTCGAGACGGCCTGCGTGCGGCTGGTGGCTCCTCAGAAGCCGTGGCGCCTGCACGACCGGCGCCGGACGTATCCCGACGAATACGAGGCGGCCGCATCTTTGGTGGATGCGGCCTGCCCGGCGCTGCCCGGCGACGCGCTCGAGGTCGTCATGGCCTACTGCCGCTGGTCGGACTTCTTCGCCCACGACTAGGTGACGTCGCCGCGACGGCGTGCCGGTGGACGCCCCCCGCCGCGGTCGACGCCATCAAACTGCCAAACTTAGGCCTACTTTACTAACATAACTGTGAGCTTACTAGTATACACACAGAACACGGTTGTTAGGAGATCCCGCTCGCCGCGGCGCCGCGCGCCGGCGCGTAGTTCGCGTCGAGCTGCTCCAGGAGCGGGAAGAAGTCGCGCAGGTAGTTCGCGTAGCGCGGCTCCGCGGCGCAGGGGTTGTGGTCGAGGTACAGGCACGTGAGCGGCACGTCCTTGAGACATCCGACGGCCTCCAGCGACGGCACGCCGTTGTACGAGAGCCACAAATCGCCCAGTCCTAACCCGGAGAAAACCTCCAGGGACGTCAGGCGGTTGTGCGAGAGGTCCACGGTCTCGAGGGCGAGGCCTTGCAACGCGTCGGGCGGAGGGTCCGTGACGGCGTTGTGCGCGCCATACAACTCTTGTAATTGAGACGGCAGCGACCCGGGTTCCAGAGAAGTCAAGCGGTTCGACTGGACGTCCAAGACTTTCAACTTCTTTAGCGTCGAGACGTTCTCGACGCGTTCGATCTTGTTCTTGCCCAGGAAGAGTTTCTCTAGATTTTGTGGAAAGTGTTCCATTTTTCTCAAGCGGTTGCCTCCCAAATCAAGCATGACGAGGTTCTCGAGCTTCGACAGACCTACATAAATCTCCCGGAGCTTGTTGCAGGCCTGCGTGCGTACGCCGTCGCCGCAAGTATAAAAAAAAGGGACGCCGTTCCCAGACCGCGTAGAGCTCCCGCAGCTGGAAGCAGACCGCGACCGGCGCTAAATCGCGAGAACCGTTGTACGACACGTCAATGATCTCGAGGAACGGGCAGTGCTCGATGCCGCGCAGTGATCGTAAGCGGTTATCATACAATTCGAGATGTTTGAGGGAAGCGCCGTGCGCCGCTACTTCTTTGCACTCCGCTACTAAGTTGGAACGTAAAGATAATTTCGTGAGGCGCCCCTTATGCGTGTCTAGGCCTTCTAATATAGTCACTTTCAGGCCGGACGTACCCACGTAGGATATGACCGAAGCGTCCTTCTCCACAGACGTCGCCTCGAAGATCGTGACGAGTCGCTCCGCGGGGCCCTTCTCGTCCGGAACCGGGATCGTGTTTTCATCAACATAAGCATGTAAATGATCATGCACATGCAGCTGCTCGTCCGTGACGTGCGCGTGCGAGTGCGAGTGGACCTCCTGGCCCTCTCCATGACTATGCTCGTGCACGTGCGTGTGCGCCCCTGTCGCGTTCCGCCGCAGCTCGTCGGCGGCGTGCGCGTGGTCGTGGTGCACCTGGTCGTGCTCCTGCTGTTCGGGGATGACCGTTGCTTCTTCGTCGTCGTGCTCTTGGTCGGCGTGGTGCGCGAGCTCGCTCATGGTTTTGCAGCCCTGGGCTAGCCTATGGTTGCTTGCCGCTGCTGCGCTAGGCACGATGCTCGTTTCAACCGCGATTCGTGGTTGCCTCGCAGCGATGCGTTGCTGTGAATGCACGGCTGGTGCGTTCCCCTGGCTGGGCTCCAATCGCGATGGCGCCGGCCGGCACCAGAGCCTAGCGTCCAGTAAGACACTAGCAAGCAGCGCGCGAGAGCGTTTTTGGTCCCGGAGCACCGTACCCGTCTCGATGCGCCCCGAGGGAAGCGTGGGACGGGTCGATTGCTGCCTGCCAAAATGGACAGCGTGTCTAACTCAAGCCCCAAAATCCACTCAGTGCGGAGCGCCTCGCACGTGTTAGCCGGACGCACCGCGTCTCCCAGCAATCTGCCAGCACGCCTGCGACGCCTGTGGCACGGTCGTCGCTGCGTCAAAAACACCAGAGAAGCCCCAAGAGCATCTTCACTCAGAGGAGCATCCAGCCAAAGATGGCCCGTACCGCGCTCGCGCTACTGTTAGCCAGCCGCGCGGCCGCGCTCGTGCCGTCCTTGCGCAGCGCCGCCGTCGCAACCCCGAAAACCGTCACCCAAGTTTCGTACCTGAGCGAGGTCGAGGACGCCGACAAGAAGAAAAAGTGGTGGGACCAGGACGATCCCGACCGGGAGGAATCGAACCCCCGGGACCACACGGGCATCGGCGAGGCCGATTCGAACTACGGCCCGACGAACTACGAGGGTTTCATCGACGCGGACGGCTTCGACGGTGGAGACGGGCAGGTCGGCGTCGTCGGAGACGGCAAGAACCACATGGAGGAGTTCGACATGTCTGCGGAAGATTCGAGGGGTCTCAAAGGCGGGCGCAAGCTGAACCAGATGGGCGGCAGGGAGTCGAAGTTGAATGCGAAGAACGCGTGGGGCACGACGACGGGCTACGCGGACGAGTTGGCGAAGCGGGGCATGGTCGAGATCGACGAATATGGAGAGGACAAGCTCGCGCGACGCCGGCAGCAGCTCGAGAACTGGCGCAACCAGGAAGAATTAAGGATGAAGAAGGATCATCAGATGGCCGAGCTCGCTTCTCTACAGGGCAAGGAGTACCGCCACTTCAACCACGGTTCGTACTTGCAGCAGTTCGACAACGGGCCGAAGGACGAGGTTTCCTCGGAGCAGGTCACGGGCATGACCGCGGGCGACCTGACGGACACCGTGGCTGTTTCTGCCAGGCTGAACGCGCGCGGCGGCGCCACCATCACCGTGCGCAACGAGTTCTCGACGTACGCCGACTTCACGGCGGGCTTCACGGCCGGTTCTTCTTCCGCGGTGACCGTCGAGCCGACGCACGGCACGCTCAACAGACGTGCCGGGGACCCGCAGGAGTTCGTCATCAAATTCCAGCCGACGGACTACGCCGATTCCTACGACGCGACGCTGGTCATCGAGACGGAGGACATGAAGCAGACCTACGAGATCATCGGGAAGCTGCTCTGAGCGTGCCCTGTTTCCCCCCACCTCTCGGCGTAAGAAGCCTCTGTCCTTAAATCGCGGCGACGGCGTACCGGGGGGGGGCGATGCGTGCGCTGTCGAGTCTGGGGAAAACAACTTAATACGCCCATCGGTTCCCGCCAGCCGCTCCTCGAGGCCCCGGGCGAGGCGCTCCAACAATTCGTCAAAACGGGTTTTTTCACCCTGCGCGAGCGCGCGCAAAAATAGCCGCATCCGTGCCCCAACAGCTTGCAACGAGCGCGCGCAAAAATAGCCGCATCCGTGCCCCAACAGCTTGCAACGAGCGCGCGCAAAAATAGCCGCATCCGTGCCCCAACAGCTTGCAAGGCAGCGAGCGACCCTGGACACACGTCCGTTCGAACGCTAAAGCGCTGGCAGCGCGTCGAGCAAGCATCTCGCAGCAGAGCCATGGAGGTTCCCGCAAGCGAGCGCGCGGAAACCACTGCGCCAACGCAAGCCGCGCCGACGCAAGCCGCGGGCGGCGGCGGCGCGGAGCCGCACGACAGCCTCGCCGATCCGCCGGCCGACTGGCCGCGCGAGGGCCCGTTCGACGACCCAACAAAACCCGAAAAAGCATATGTCGAGGCCGCTATGCGGACGGCGCTCACGTCCAAGCTCGGGCTCGCGGCGGAGGACGACCGGGTCTTCGCGGAGGCGGCGCCGGGCGGGCCGGCGAGCGCCGCAGACGACAAGGAGGCGCGCGAGATGCTGCGCTACTTAGATGAAGAGAGCGCGCTCTACGCCGCGGGCGTGGCCGTCGACGACACGGAGCGCGAGCTGGCGGCAGCGGAGGCGGCGCGGCGCAAGGCCGGCGCACCGCCCTCGAAACGGCCGAAGGGCCTCGAGTCGAAGGCCTGGAAGGGCGGCTTTTTTGATACGAAGCGGCCGGCGGCGAAGAAGAAGCCCTTCGACAAGATGCGGCTGCTGCCGCCGGCGCCGGACTCGCCGGGCGCGGCGGCGGCGGCGCCGCCGCCGCCGCCGCCGCCCTGGGAGGAGCTCACCGGGCCCCAGTCGGCCGAGGAGGCCGCCGAGCTCGAGGCCGAGATGGCGCAGCTGCGCGTGCTCGCCGCGGCGCCGGCGCCCGCGCCCGCGCGACCAGCCGCTCCGCCCGCGCCGGCACCGGCGCCGGCGCCCGCGCCGCCCGACGCGCACGAGCTCTACGAGCGCGTCCAGCCGGGCGACCCCGAGGCGCCGGGCGCCGCGCGCGCGCCCGCGCTGGATACGCTCTCGTCGGCCTGCATCGCGAAGAAAAAAGAAGAGGTGGATAGGAGCTTCTTCGACGTGCTCGCGGAGACGGCGGCGGCGCGCGCGGGAGAGCGTCGGAAGCGGAAGGAGTCCGGCGGCGTGGAGAAGGGAGCGGCGGGGACGGGTGCGACGAGCCTGAGGCCCGAGGAGCGGCCGCGCTTCGAGCCGCTGGACCCGGCGAGCCTGCCGAGCCCAAGCGAGGGGTAAAATTCGAAATGTTGCATGTATTGGTCGTTTCGCGTCCGCGTCGCGGCGGGCAAATCAGGTTTTGCCTCTGCGTGAGCGCGATCGGTCTTTGTGCTGCTCGCAGGCGCCAGGTGCAGCGCGATAGCCCGCGGAAGACCGCTTCAGAGGACGTTGACGACCCGCAGTGCTGCCGGTCTGAAACGCGCAAGCCCTACGCGCGCCACAAGTTTAAAAAAATTCCAGAGACCAACCTGCAGCAGCCCTGCACAGCGACGCGGCGCGAGCCATGTCGCAGCAGTCTCCGATTCTAGTTCCCGACAGCGACGACGACGTCTCGGTCGAGTCCGCTGGTGCGGCCGCGGCGAGGAGATTGCAAGAGCAGTTCGACGCCGAGGCCCGCCGCGCGAGAGGCGACGACGAGGCGACGCAGCGGCTCGTGGCGCGCCTGGCCGCGCCGGCGCCGGTCGACGAGCGCTCGCTACGCCTCGCGCGGAGCCTCGCGGCACCACCGTCCGAAGACGCGTCCCTACGCCTGGCGCGGCGGCTCTCGGCCCCGCCGCAAAACGAACTGAAGGACGTCCTCGGCCGCGCGCTCGCGAGCAACGAGTTCACGGTCGAGACGTCGTCGCTCCGCGGCGAGACGGTAGCAGCGCTTGTCGGCGCCGGCTTCGACTGCGCCAGCGGCTCCCTCACCTTAGCGGACCGCTCGGCGGCTTTCGCGCTCTACTCCCGGCTCGAGGCCGCGCCGCCGGCCCCAATCTCGCTGGGCGGCCGTCCGCTCGCGGCGGGCGACGTCCTCGCCCTAGATGGAGCGCCGGCCATGGCGCCCGGCTTCGACCCGATGAAGGCTCAGATCGGCCCGAACCAGTGCTCGGGCGAGAAGGTCTCGTCGTCGTCGACGCCGTCGGCGCCGCGGCGCCCGGCGTTCGACGCGACTGAGGCGAAAGCTCGCCGACTGAAGCGCGAGGCGGAGCACCGCCGCGAGAAGGAGGAGAAGAAGCGGCAGCGCGAGCGCGAAGTGCAGGAGTTCCGCACGGACCGGCTCTACCGCGGCAAGCACGGCGCGCGCGCGACGGGCATCACCGACGCGAAGCGCGGCCCGGCGTGGATCTTGGGGTGCCTTCGATTCCGTTAGATGGCGCGGAGGTGGACGCTACTCACCGGTCGACGCTTGCGCAGGTGGGCCGAGTCCTTTGGTGCCTCGGGCGCCGCTGACCGAGAGAAGCGAGTCGTCGTCTTCAACGGGCCGGGCGGCCGCCACGACAGCGACGGGAACGGGAACTGCCGCCTCGCCGTGCTCTTCAAGGACCCGCTCGGCGACTCGGGCCGCTCCATCCTCGACGCCGTGGCCAAGGAAGTGTCGGGCTTCGGGTCCAAGGTCGAGCAGAACCGCGGGCGGAGCGCTGCGATGGCCGCGTGCGTCTCGGGCGTCGCGCGCGTCGGCCAGAATCAACAGTTCGAGAAGTACTGCTGCCGGTGTCGAACTCATCCTTTGAGTCCTACTTGAGTGCGACTTCTACGCCCTTTCCCCCACGCAGCAAGTATACCGAAATCCTCAACACGCACCCGCTGATGGGCCCGAAGCGCCCGAAGGCCGTCGAGAATTTGAAGGCGCTCTGCTACGACCGGCCGATGGCGCTGCTCGGCGACGTGCTCGACCCGGGCGGTGCTCGCACTGCGTCCGTGGATCTCCCGCTCCTTGACTGTGTTCGCGCGCAGGCGTCGTCGACTTCCAGTCCGGGAAATACCGGCAGGATTTTCGTGAGATGAAAACCTTCGACCACGGCCAGCTCCTCGTCCACTCCTACGAAAGGCAGGGCGAGTTCAAGAACCACTTCGACCAGAACTCGCAGGCTGTAGCGCTGTGGTCCGTCGGCCACTCGGCCGTGCCGTCGGTGTAGAAAACAACGGTCACGGACGCTAGACCAACCCTTGCGGCGACCATAGGGATCTATTGGCCACTCACAGGTTTTCACGTGCTGCTTCTCCGACCAGTGCGAGCGCCACGGCTCCGTCGACCGGCCGTCGTGCCCGCACTGCCACGAGTTCAAATTTGAAAGTGCGGCCAGCGTCGAGAGCAACGAGTCCGCACGATCGAACAAGTTTTGATTCCTACACAGGTGGCGACGTCCTCGTGTTCAACGCGTCGTACGACGACCAGGTCGGCGTCTGCCACGGCGTGAAGGAGATCCTCGACGAGGTCGCCGAGGGCGCCGCCGAGAAGCTGCCGGCCTGGATGAAGGGCCGGCGCGTGAGCGCGCGTCTTCGGTGTCGGACGACCCCCACGCCATCGACGCGACGTGTCCATGCGCAGGTCCAGTGGCGCGGCCGCAAGCAGGAGGCCGTCGCCGCGGAGACGGTCGGCGAGAGGGCCGAGCGCGAGGGCATGCGCCACCGCGGCGAGGACCCGGGCGACCTCGCGACGTACCGCCGCGAGAAGGCGATGGCGGCGATGCGCGAGCAGCAGCAGAACAAGAAGGGCGGCGGCTGACGCTAGGCGCCGGCGCGCGAGGACCCCTCCGCGCCCGTCCCGCCCTACTTCGGGGGCACCCATGACGACGCCGCGCAACGACTCACGCGCGGCGTCCGAACACCCCTCTAAAAATCACCAAATAACTACTCGGGCGGCGGCGGCGGCGGCCGCGTCGCGTCCTTGAACTCCTCCTTGAGGTCGTAGCAGACGCGGCCGCTCACGCGCACGTGCGTCGCGAGCTCCGAGAGCACGTCCTTCAGGAACGGGTCCGGCTGCGCGTCGTCGCCCAACCGCTCGTTGATCTCCTTAAGCGCCAGAGGATCGGCCGACGCCCCAAAAATGCCGAAGAGCCGCGACCGCAGCGTCGCGCGCGGCAGCTGCTTGCGCTTCTTGTTCGCCTGCTGCTCCGTCTCGCCCTTGCCGCGGCCGCCGAAGGCCACGACCGGTGCCCTATCGGCTCGAGGCACCTCGGATGCGTCGACCATCTGCGTCGCTCGCTCCGGCTTCAAAGATTGCACCATCCGGGCGCGACACACCCGTCTATACGACGTGCCGGCCGCGGGCCGCGGCACGAGCGTGCCCTGCGGCCTCCCTAGAAGGCGCCCCGTGACCGGGTCCTCGTCCTCGTCCTCAGTAGTTTTCTGCTTCTTCGGCGGCGGAGCCACCTCCTGGAAGGCGCGCACGTCGGCGCCCTGGGTGCGCTGCAACTCGAAAGCTTTCGTGGGCCCCGCGTTTGGTCTCAACCTTAGCTGGCCGTCGTCCTCTATTACTCCAAGGTCGTCGCCCGGTTGTGCATTGGCCCACTGCTCCTCGAGCGCTTTCGGGACCTTGAGGAGCCAGAGGCGGCCCGGCTGGCTGTTGAAGGGGGGCTCCTCGGCCATCGCTGCGTCCAGCCGGTGGGGCTCTTTGTGTCTGTCCTGGGTTGGCGCACGCGTCGCGCGCGCGGGCTGGACAGCAGCAGCTTAGAGGAGATAGCAGGCCCTGGCTGATAGCCGGCGGCGTCTAGCGCTGGCTGGATGCCGCAGCGCTGTCAGAATAAATGCGCGAGAGACCCTGTTACCCTATACGCAGCGTAAAAAAGCGCGAGCGTCGAGTGTCTGAGCGCTAGCGGCCTGTAAAGACACTAGCAAGTCGAAAAGTGGCGCGCGAAGTGCGCAAACTGTCCGCGGAGGCATCCACGCAAACAGCGGGCGCCGGCGTGACCGAGGCCATAACACAAGAAGATCCATGTGTAATTTACTTGCATAAGATAAACGGCGCGTTCAAGCGCTCGCGAAGAGGTCCACGGCCACGGCCCGCCGCGCCGTCGGCCGCACGACGCGCGGTGTCGTCGGCGCTGCCGCGGTGAACGCCACGAGCGCCTCCCTCGCGTCTGGCTCCATGCCGGGCCCGAGCGGCCGCGTCGGCCGCGGCGGCGAGCGCATCATCGGCTCCGTAACCAAAGGCGGCGGCGGCGCGTCGTCGCTCGATTCTCCGTCGTCGGACGGAGGCTCGAAAACCGGCGGCGCTATTGGTGCCTCGACGGGCCGGGGCCGCGTCGGCGGCGTCCGGTAGGCATCCAACGTGGGACGCGGCCGCACGGGCGTGCCTAATACCGGCGGCGGCGGCGCCGGGCCCGTCAAATCCAAATAAGGGGGCTCCCTAAATGGAGAGCGTTTCGGCGGCTCTGGCGAATCAAAGGCCAAATAGGCCGCCAGCGCCGAGCGCGACCCCGAACATCTACGTGGCGACGGCCTCGTCACACCAATAAAGGAGTCGTCGTCGGACCAGGGGCTGCAGCAACTCGAGTTCCGCCGCCGTTTGGGCGGGTACGAAGACTCAGATATGGTCAGCGACTTGCGCAGCGAACCCAGCAGTAAGGACTCGGCCTGGTGGTAGCAGGGCCTCGTCGGGCTCGGCCGCTCGGGCGTCCGCACGGGCGTGCGCATGGCAAACGAGCCGCTCCGCGTCCGAGTCGGCGACGTCGCGTCGAAGGAGACGGAGCTCCGGCGCGCGGGCTCCGGCGACATCGTCGCGTCGAAGGACACGGACGGCCGCCTTCGCTCCGGCGTCTTCTGGAGCAGGGACCGCGGCGGCGAGCCGACGGACATCAAAGCCGGCTGCGCCGCGGTCGCCACGGCCTCGACGGCCTGGGGCGTGACGATGGGCACGCGCTCGGCCGGGCTCGAGATGGAGCCGCGGCGGCGGGGAGACCTCATCTTGAAAACCTGTGCGTGTGTACGCGTCTTCGAAATCCCGACGGTCAGTAGTTCGCGCGGGGTCCTTATCACGCGAGTGGCTCTGGCCCCGCGCATCAACAATCCAGCCACGAAGGTTCGCTGGGTCATCATTTTAAAACGGGGCGCTTATTGCTGCGGGACGCTGGTTCATCACCCTCAAGGAAAAGCCAATTTCCCGGCGGATCCCGCGCCTTCGGTCGAGTCGGGGCCTGCGCGCGTTTAGAATCGTCAGCGGTCGGACGGAAGGTGCGTGGCGTCCGGCGTGTTGGCTGCCAGAGCCGTGGGCGCGCGCGTCGCGGCGGCGGCGAAGATAGGCTGACCCATGTGGTTTGGCAGCGACAAAGGTCCGTGGCGGACGCTGGTTCGTACGGAGCAAGCAGAGCCGATGCTGACAGCAATCGACGCCTCGATGAGCTGCCAAGTGATCTCTTGCGGCTCCACGCGCGGAGCGATGGTCAAACGCGGCGCGCCAATCGCGTGGCCTCTCGGGTTTTCGAAAACTCGAAACTCTCCAGCAGCGCCCGCTCGCTCCCACCGCTCTGACCATCGATAGGTGCGGCGGCGAGAAGACACAGGCCCACAGCGACGGGGAGCGCAGCGCAGATCAGCGCCGCAGGAGAGCCTGTCGAAAGGGCAGCCAACCATGCCCGCCCGGGCGGGGGAGCACGATGCGCGCGCGCGGCGCGCCTACAATGGCAGCAGCCCCTCGGTCATAAGAAAGCAGGCGCGGCAGAATGTCTATCAAAGTATAGAGAGGGACGCTGCGCGCGCCGCGCGGCGATATAGAAGAAAGGTCGGCGCCTCGGGCTCGCCTGTCTTAGCTTCCTCCCAATCCGCCGCGGCCTTAGCTGGGTTGCGACGGCTGGAGGCGCTCCGACGACTCACCGAGGCGGACCCAACCCCTCGGAACTCAGAGCTCAAGCACGACGAGGACGCCTTATTAGCGACGCGGCAGTTGCTACGGTACGCGCCGGAGCCTCGACAACAAGCCCCAAAGGTCCTCGAGCGCCCGGCGCGTGGCGCGCGCTTCGAGGCCTTTGAGCAGAAAACGAAGCAGCTGCACGGCCGGCCGCGCTACTCGGTCTACGACGACCCTCCCTCGCGACACCAACGGCGGCCGTCGCGCGGCACGCCGGGGTCAGGGCGGCGCGTGACCGTCGTGGCCGCGCCGCACAGCGGTGCGGGCAAGCGACGGACGCCGTCGAAGCGGAGTAGGACGCCGCGCTCGCGCCAGGGCTCGCGGGGCTCGCGGCCGTCGACGGCGACGGTGCCCGAGGATGCGGAGCTGCCGCCCCAGCAGTGGCCCTTCGCCGTTTTTTACCCGCGTCCTGATCAGACGCCATCGATGGGAGAGTAAGCGCATCGGCCACGTAGATGCGGACGATCGGCGATGGGAGAGTATCAACAGAAGCGCGTCGGCCACGTAGCAGGCGCCGCACACCGTCGACGCCATCGAGCGGACGCCGTAGATCACATTTATACAACGCAGGAGAACTCCGCGTCGATCATGGATAGGGAGGACGTCGACCCCGAGGACAAAGGGCGCTCTCTACTCAGTAGAGCCGGTAGCATCACGCGCGCGGAGCGACGAGCGGCAAGGGGAGAAGCCCCACCTCCAGAGGTCCAGAGACAATTGCAAGCACCGGGCGCGTCGGTCGCACGCCTAGAAAGGAAGATCTTCGTGATTGGGTCGGAACGGTGCCCGTCGGTGCAGGGGTGGCGGCGCGGCCCTCCAGAGAACTACCTCAAGAAATGTGATCAATATCATTTGGTGCCGGAGCCGAAGATGATGCAGTTGATTCAGTCCCTACACAAGGCGAAGCGACCGGAGCTCGACCTGAAAGACCAGAGGATTGGGGACGACCACGCTTGTGCGGTGATGGACTCGATGGCGTGTAGTGATCCCATTCATGTGATCGTCAAGAACTGCCGGTTGAAGGCGAAAGGTGTCAAAGCGGTTTGTGACGCTCTCGTGGCGCACTGCACTCGGTTAGAAGAACTTGATATGTCTGATAACCAGTGTCGACGGCCAAAAGCCGCGAAAGCAGTAGCAGCATTGCTAGACTGCAAGGGCTGCGACTCGCTCGAGAAATTATCCTTGTCGCACTGTGGGTTAGCCTCCGCACCGGCACTGACCATAACGTCCGAGTGGGCCCATCGCGTCGAGGGACGAAGGGCGATGCGGAATCTCGTGGAATTGCATTTGGCCAAGAACGACCTAGGCGTCGCCGCGGAGACGTTGGGCGGTCTCCTCGGGCCATATGGCGCCTTCCCCATGCTGCGTTTGCTAGATCTGGCGTGGACGGGATTACACGGCGCGGGCGCGGCGGCCGTCGCGCGAGGGTTACTCCAATCAAGAATCCAGCGCTGCGACCTGTCCTGGAACTGCGTGCGCGGTAATGACCCTCCCCTGGAGGATGACTGCATTGCATTACTGTCTCAATCATTGGGCGAAGCTCCAAAGCTCTGGCACGTGAACCTAAGTTTCAACGGCATGTCCAAGGTTGATCTGCGAAGACTAGAGAGTGGTGCTAGAGCATCGAGAACCTTGGCCGGTCTGCACTTGGGCGGCAATAAAGTCAAAGACGTCCTCGACGAGCGCTTGTCATACGTCAACGCCAAAAGACGAAGGGAGGCCATGTTCGCCGGCGAGAACAACCTCGCGGAGCAACTCCAAGCTGCTGGAAGGCAGGGCAAGCTGCTGGAGCGGGGTCGCGACCATTTGAACATGGCCGATGATAGAGACAGCAAGGAGTCCAATAGCTTAGGAGACGCCATCACCGTCGAGACGGCTCCATCACCTTTCTTGGTCAACAACGACGACGAGGTAGACGACGACCAGTACCTCTATACGCGTATCATAGGGACCAAAGACGTCCCGCAATCCCTAGAGTGGCAACGTAGTAAACATTGCTGGATCTGTGAGAGGTGGCACGAGATTAGATTTGCGTGGACGCCCGGTAGGTCCGATTCCGACGTGCAGCCTGCGTCGAGGAAACTTGTGCAGAGGTCCGATGTGAAAGTAGCATGTAGATGTGCTTTTGACGACTGGAAACCGCACGTCTGTGAAAAAATAAAAAAATCACATCAGGTCTGGCTGCTCGTGCCGCCGGGCGATCGGCAGTACACCTTCGAGCTGTCCGCTGGTTCTTCTACTGTTACCGAGGCCGCCTCCGATGCTGGGCGAGAAGTACTACATAAGAAAAATCTAGAAGCCGCATTGTGGGCCGGAGCCTTCGATAACAAGGACGAGGACGAAGGTTTGATTACGAATGTGCATACCGTCCCGCCCGGCGACTGGGACGACGTCCAGTTCGTGCCTATTCCCGAGAAACAAGCGGTCGTAGTAAAACAAAAACCGAAGGAAGCCTGGACCTGGCAGAAGTCGTTGTTTGCCCCGGCGTATGAAGGCGCCTACGAGCACCCCTTCGAGAAGGACTGGGAACTGGCGCACTGCGACAAGCTGGTCAACGACGATGGCTCGACGAAAGCACTCATGAAGGCGAACTACGGGGAATTTCTGTCGGTCTACAAGTTATTTTGTTCGAACAACAAGGCGATCTTCACGCTGGGGTGGAACGACTTCACGGACTTCACCGTATCGGCAGACCTCGAGGTGAAACGCAAGGCGGACGCGGACATGGTCTTCTTCGGCTGCTGCACGACGGGCCCGAAGAACCCGCACCTGAATCCGAAGAAAAGTCTGTGTCGGTTCCAGTTCCTCGATGCGTGCATGAAGCTCGCTCTCATTAAATGGTTTAGGACGAAGGAGGTAGCTACGCCGTTAGAAGCGGCTCAAAAGTTAGTTGAGAGGGTAGCTCCATTAGTACCGACAAGGGAGGAGCAAGAAGACTTCCATTCCAGAGTGTGGCGCGAAGACGTCGAGGACGCCATCAAGCATGACATGGACAATTTGAAAAGAGCCTTCAAGACGCATAGCGGGCGGGAAGATGCCTTGTCGAAGCACAAGATGTGTTCCTTCGGCGAGTGGCAGGACATGTGCGAGTCGCTGCATTTCGTGGACCCTACCGTCGGGTTTACCGAAAGGGATGTCAACCTTTGTTTCTTGCGGGCTACTCGTACACCAGATGACGAGCTCCATGATGAACACGCGCCGCACCGCAAATTGGACTGGGTGCACTGGATTGAAGCGTTGATGCGCGTCGGCGACCGGTTCTCGGAGAGCGAGAACGTGGACATGGAGCCGTACGAGGCGTGCATCCAACTCTTTGAGAGGGTGGCTTATGAATATCCTTCTGGTGCTGAGAAGCGACGACGGGCTAAATTAGCTGCGGAATTGGATAGAAAGCAAAAAGAAGAAAAGGCCGCGGAAGCGCGGCGGCCGTCCGTCGAGGAGGACATGAAGAAGCCGCCGAAGCTGTCCGCGATCTTGAAAGGGGCGCGGGGGCTCGGGGCGTTCAAGAAGAAGGCCTAATAATTAGTAGTGTGATCTTAGTCGAAGACGAGGAGGTGCTCGAGGCGGAAGAGGACCTCGTTGAGGGGCATGAAGGTATCGCCGCCGTCCTGGTTCATGCGCTTCTTGAAATATACGCCGCACCCGGGCCCGAGCATACTTCGCCACACCAAAGCCTCCACGCCGTTCCCAACGACATCTTCGACGTCCGATTCGTCGGCGCCGTCGTCGAGATCGATCCACGGCGGCTTGTAGCACTCGAACCATCTCGCCCCGGCGCTCGTCTCCTCTCCCGTGGCTGCCCCGCTGTAGAGTACGGCCGTCTTCGCCAGCCTGTCTGCCCCGCGGCTGATCAGCACGCGCATGAAAGCAATTCGGTCTCGCTGGAGTGAATCAGGGAAACCACAGTCGACGCTTACTTGCTCTCCGAGCGGCGACTGGACGAAGATGGCGAGTACACAGCGGTTCGCCAACAGACAGGTCGTGCCCCGAGCTCTGGGGTGGCCGTCGAAAGCTTCGAGAGTAAACATGTACCTTTGGTTGGCTTGCCTGATGGCCTTTGTCGGATCGACTGACTTGAGCCGCCGCGGCGCGGGCGGACGCAGCCGACGACGATTTAAAGACATGGCTTTGCGGCACAGCTTTCGCCAGTCCGGCTCCCCACCCCATTGCCGCTGCGCATGCCTCGCGTGCAGAACCAGACCAGGCCCTCGTTCCTGCGCGCGCGCCTCGAAACCGAACACAGCAGCCGTCGCCAAAATGCGCGACGCTCGCGAGCAGCGACCCAACTCCTTCACGCCGAGCAATTGGGTGACTACGTTTAGCACGTCGGGCGGCAGGCGATGCATTTGCAGCAGAGTTGCTCGGTTCAAACGAGTTGCTCCCGCCCTAGACCACGGCAGTACACACGAATCGCGATAATGCGGTCTCTCGTTGTCGGCGCGCGCCAGCCGCAGCTAGCGTCATGTAAGACACTAGCAAGCACCCGAGGCGGCGTTTTTCTAAATCAAAAGCGCACGCCGTCGCTGCCCCTGCGCACGCACCCACTCGCACGCGTTCGGACGCGCACCGTCGCGCTGCCCATCGATCAATCAAATGGACGACCTCCCGGCCACGCCGATCAGGTCCCCAAGGAGCCCGGGCAAGAAGCTTACATTAGCGGAAGATGAGGTAGCGAGATTACGAGCCCGCTTGGAAGAGGAGGAGGCCTGGCAGGCCAAGATCTTGAAGCGCCTCGAGGCCAAGGCCGCCGAGGACAAAAAAAATGAGTCCAAATACGAGTCCACAGCAAGGGCATTGGACGACTGCGCCGCGGACTTGGAAGCGTCTCGTCAAAGATGCGCCGTGCTGGACGATGATAATGCGTCGTTGCGAGATGAATTGTCGGCCGCACACGACCGAGCGGCCGACGCCGAGGAGCGGGCGAGGTTCGCGGAGCAGCAGCGGACACGTAATTTAGAAGCTTTAGCGCAGTCCATGGCCGAAGTTGGGTTATTGAAACATGAAGTGGAACGGTTGAAAAGATCGAAGAGTGGCGGATTGACGCCGCCGACCTCCCTGGAAGGTTTCCTGCGGGAATTGGGTCTACCAGACGACTACGCACCTAGATTGAGGAGGTTAGGCGCGAAGCGGGTCTTCGACCTCGCGTTTCTGAGGGACGAAGATCTCACGGACGTGACGGACGCGGAACGGAGGATTCTACGAAGGTGCGCGGGGCGATTGCGGGCGCTCGTGGACGTGCTGGGGGATGATGTGGAAGATAGGGACCCGGTCGGCTGCTCGTCCATAACGGCGATCGGCTCGCCCGACCAGAAGAACCGGAAAAAAGCGCAAGGGGACGACTGCTGCGTAATGTGAATTTTATTTGATCGCTAGCGAGCGGCACGCCGCGTCGACGGCGTGGGGGCTGGCGCGGTCCGACGTGCCTGCCCGCATTCGATCATCCACGTGCACGCGCCGCGTGACGCGCGGAGGGTTCACGGATCTCAAGAATTTCGAGCACCACCAGACGACGTCGGATCGGGCAGTGGAGCGGATCGGATCCACCCGGCCGCTATACCCCGCAAGCACGCCATCGACGCGACACGCTAGCCACGAGTCCACGACACACGAGTAATCCGCACTCTCAAACTTAGTCCAAAAAGAAGCCCACTAGTCCATCTCGCAGCCCCAGGGCCAGAGCAGCGGCACGTGGCCCCGGTGGCAGACGAAGTCCACGAACGCCGCGGCGCCGCCGGATGAGGCCGGAGGAGCATAAAGGACGAAGCATTTCACCGTCGCCGCCGGATATTCTGAACGGACAAACCGCAGCACGTTCTGCATCGTCTTGCCCGAACTCACGCTGTCGTCCACCACCAGTATGTTTTTATATGTCTCGCGAGAGGGAGAAACGAACCATCGGAGTTCCTTGCACTTCGAGTCGCGCCACTGCTCCTTGTCGCTGAAGACCTGCCCTACACTTCTAATGTTCTCCGACGCCGAAATGCGGCTCCAGACCTGGGATCGGATGAGGCCCTTGTCGGCGCTCGGGAATTGTCTTGCCACAATATGGCGAATGAAGCCGCCGCCCGACAAGACGCCGACGACCAGATCGGCCTCGAACCCACCAAAGTCCACACTATTAATGTCTTCCTCTATTCTCGCCCAGGACATGCGCTCCCACGACAGGACGGGCGAGGACGGTTTCAGCAGATACCCGATGGGGTTGATCGCAAACGCATTGCCTCGCAACTTCGTCCAGAAGGCCTCGTGGCACTCTTCTGGTAAATTACCGCCGGGACCCCGTCGTATCGTAATGATACCCAGTAAAACGTTGTAGCCGCAAAAGGCCAACGCCGTCAGGATCCACAGGACATAGACGACGCGCACGTCCGCATCTCTATAAACGTAGAGCGCGACAATCGATAAATGTAACGCACCACCGCCTCTCCGACCGGAAAACCGCAGGTCCATCGCGTCGGCGAAGCTCCACGCCGCCGCGAGAAACAAGTGCCACGGCTTTGCTCGTAACGCGTAGGCCACGATGATGGAGTGGGCGATGAAGGCCGAGTCGTCAATCACGACACGGCCTTGCGACGTGTGGAAGTCCCTTCCGGAACACAGCATGAGTATGCTTTCGACGACACAAAAGCCGTACAAACCAGTGGAGCCGAAAGCAATAAACATGGCGTGGCCCACTACCATAGCAGTAGCCAGTCGTAGCAGAGGCCTTGTACGTGCGCCGCCGCCCCGATTCTCGAAGACGTACGCTATGGTAGCTAACACAGCCACAATACCAACTCGTACTTTCCCAACAGCTCTAAAGAACGAGTAGTCCGCGGCCATCAATGCCAGCGCTCCTAGCAGCGCCCTTCCGCCGTCGCCGTGCTCGACGAAGGGTGTGATCGAGGCGCACGCTGCTACCAGAGTTAATCCAGCGGCCCGCGCGTACTCGAGCAGTCGGTTGTCGAAGGATACGGACGTGACCACGACGTACAGAAATAAATCCAGATGTTCCGCGGCGTGCGCGAAGGCGTACTCGTCTCTTTTCCCCCGCTTCATCCTCGCTTGGCGCTCCATCCTATATAAAAGTTTGCAGAGGCCCATGACCGCGATGGTCTGCCACCTTATGTTATCTTCCCTGAATAACGTGACAATACGAAAAGCCATCCAGAGCTGCCGCGCGCCGCCTCCTAATGGTTCTACCTTCGCTAGCGCCGGGAAGAGGAAGGGTACGATTGTTGTAGCTGCTACTGCCGTCACCAAGCGTGTGTCGGCACCTTGCAGGGCCACAGGAGTAAACGCCAGCTTGACCAAATGCGTCGAGCCGGCCAGCGCCCGAGGCCAGACGTGGCCCGCCGCCGCGACGACGCAAAAGACGAAGCAGGACACGCCGAGGACGTCCGCGCCCAGGTGACGCCTCCAAAATAATGCTAGAGGCAGGCACGCCGTTAGCGCGTTGAACATGTCGTTGCTGAATCCATCGCAGGTGAAGTAGGCCCTCGCGGACCAGCGCGGCGGCGGCGCGACGTCGCCGCCGCTGCCGTTCATCCTGGACATGGCTTGCTAGTCGCCGCGGCGCAGGCAGGCAGCAAATATGCGACCTTGCCAAATAATAAGTACGAAAAGCCTCGAATTGCTCGCTGTAGGGCGCCGGCGCTGGCTTAATTTCCCAAAACTTGCCCAACCCCCGAAATCCTAGTGTGTCACGCCCGCTAGCCCAAGTCGGCCTGTAGACACTAGCAAGCAAGCAAGTCGAGTCCATGATGGCCGGGCACGTAATTGATCACGATCTGTCCAGAAACCGTAAGCGCAGGCGACCCCCCCAGCGACGAGACACTGATGAGACCGTCGACGGCCGCGTGCTTGTGCTCTATGTAATTGCTATTGTGACCTCTCTCTTTTTCGTGACGAAATTCGCGCTCGGCCTCTGAAGAAATGAGACGTCTCGCCGCCCTGATCATCGGCGTAGCCACGGCGCAACCTGATATCGACGCCGCCTGCCGCCGGCTTTCCTCGGACCGCTACGTCGTCATGCTCTCGGCCTTCGAGCAGATGAACAAGAATATCGGCGTCGTCGCGGAGGCGGCGTCCTGGGCCAAAAAGCTCGGCCGCACCTTCGTCGAGCCCCTGTATTGCCGCTCGCGCGTGGCGCCGCCCTTCGCGGCGGTGGCAGAAACGGGACTGGCGCTGGCGGTGCGCGTACGAGCGGCGCACGACCTCCGGGGCGTCGACTGGACGTGCCGCGGCCAGGAGAAGGTGCCGCTCTCCGCGGCGCGCGACGTGCGCCAGGCCTGCCGGACGGTACCTATGATATGGGACACATCGCGGGTGACGGACATGGACTATCTGCTGGGCGCGTGCTGGAGCGATTCCCGGTGCGTGGTCTCGTGGTCGTTCAACGAGGACGTCTCAAATTGGGATACAAGCAACGTAAAAAGCATGGTTTCGCTCCCGCGTCGTATGCGCGTGTCAACACTTCTAACTACCCAAAATGTACAGGTCAACATGTTCCGCGACACGGCGTTCAACCAGGCGATCGGCGTCTGGGACGTGTCACAAGTGACGGATATGAGCTCGATGTTCGAAGGCGCCGACTCCTTCAACCAGCCGCTAAATGGCTGGGATGTCTCGAAGGTTAAGAGTATGTACGAGATGCTCGAAGATTGCACGGCGTTCAATCAACCGCTCGACCGCTGGGACACATCTAGCCTCACGGACATGAGCTACATGTTCAAGTACGCCACGAAATTCAACCAACCGCTCAACACTTGGGACGTCTCCACGGTCACTAGTACCCAACGCATGTTCGAGTACGCCTACAAGTTCAACCAGCCGCTGGACAATTGGCGGCTCGACAAGGCCAAGGAGATCAAGTACATGTTCCAGGGCGCCAGCAAATTCAAGCAGGACCTCGGCTGGTGCCTCGACGACGACGTGAACCAGAACGACGCATTTTTACGAACGAAGTGCGAAAAGACGTCGTGCGGTGTCGAAGGCCCGCCGTGCCAGGCTCCGGCCGAGATAGTACCGGCACCCACCTACCGGCCGACGTACAAGCCGTCGCTGCGCGGCAGCGACGACGACGACTGTGCTGATGATGAGGACTGGTCCTACACCACGAAGGAGGGGGACGTGTTCACGTGCGAGCGCGTCGCCGAGAAGCTCAAGCGCTGCACGATCCGCTTCAGCGCGGACGGCGTCCGGGCGGACGAAGCCTGCAAAAAAACGTGCGGTACCTGCCCCTAGGCACTCCCTATCCCCCAAGACCGTAAGAAAAACTCAGATACGTGAATTTACTTGGGCGACCCCGCATTAGGTGGAGGCACGATGCTCGCCGTGAACTTGTCGCACGAGTCGCCGACGCCATGAACTAAGTCCTCGGCGTCGGCCGTGCAGGAGAAGAGCAGGACGGCCGACTTCTTCTTGAGCTTCGCGTTGACGAAGGGCGCGCCGCCCGCCTGCTCCACGTCCAACGCGAGCTGCGCCTCGGTGCTCGGTTTGTAGCCGCCCATATAGGTCACCTTGACGCAGCGCTTCCAGAGCTCGCCTTGGACGACGGGCGTCGGTGCTTCTTGAGCCATTTTTTGGCGTTGCTCTTCTCGCTCTTGTGATCTTCGCAAAGCGGACGAAGCAACAGAGGGCGGCTTCTGGGGCGATAACGGCGCAGATGACTTGGACGCCCGAATCGCCAGAGCCTCGGACGCCAGAAACGCCTTCCACGTGCTCATGTCGTAACCCTCAACCGTACCAGACGCGTCTCTTATTTTAGAAACGGCCTTCTTCGCGGCGTCCGGCGTGGCGAATAGTGTCACGGCGGACTTGGTCCGACACGACACCTTGACCACGTCGGAGCACCCAAAGGCCCTTAACACTTCCATGACGCCCGCCTCGGTCGCCTTGTGGTTCTTGGGCCACGTGATGTTGACACATCGTTCCGGTAGGGGCGCCTTCTTCTGGGTCGTCTCGGCCTCCAACTTTGCTAAGGCTTCGGCCGTTAAGCGAGCGGGCTTCTTCGCAGGAGGGGGCGGGACGTCGTCGTCCTCCTCGTGATCGGCTTTGTGGTCCTCCTCGGCCCTGCGCGGTATGCGAGAGGTGAGGCGTCGCGTCAACGGCGTCGAGGCGACGACGGCGTGGAGTGTCGACACGTCGCGGCTCGGCGACGGCGTGAAAAGGGACGCGGCCCGCGCACGCGGCGGCTTTGTGGTGGTGCTTCTTGTGGGAAGCCAAAGCTTCTTCCTGGACGACGGGTGCCTGGTGCTGCAGCGGCGCCTCCCGAACAACTTCGGACTCCAGCGGCTTCATATGTCTAGGAGGACTGTGATGTGCCCTAGGTGAGGGCTTATGCACCGTAGGAGGCGGCGTTTTGGGGGTTTCGCCCGGCGCGCCCAACTCATTGAGACGCCAGGGGCCTCTGTAGTTCTCATCGGCATTCTTCGCGCCATTTTCATCCCTAAACATGACGATGGCCGATCGCTTCTTCAGCGCCACTTGGCGCACCGGTCCGTAGGCATTCAGGACGGCTCGTAATTGATCTTCGGTAGGCACGGCGGCGCCGGAAGACCACGTCACCTTGCGCGTGGCCTTCCTCAAATCTTGAGCCTTGGCGGCCGGCGTCTGAGCCTTAGGCGGTGCAACGGAGGTGTGCTGCTCGGCCTTGGTGAGCTTCCAGGGCCCTTGGTACTGAGTGAGGGCCTCGTTCGCTTCGGCTGACGACCCGAACAGGACCACAGCGTGCGTGCTGCCGGATTGACATCTCGCCACGGTGCCGAAATTCGACAAGGCGTCCCTCACGTCGTTCTCGGACGGCGGAGAAGACCGCCCGCGCCACGACACCCTTAAAGCTCGAGCCGCGACCTCCTCCTTCGTCGACGGCCGCCGTGTTGCTTTGGGTGTCTGTACACGTTTGGCATTGACCAACCGCACGGACCAGGGCCCCCGATAATCCTCGATGCAGCGCTGCGCCCCCTCGTGGTTCGAGAACATGACGACGCCCCGGTGGCCCGTTCTGAACGAACGAGTGACGTCACCGAAATAAGACAGTTGAGAACGCAGCTCCTTGTCGGAAGATGGGGGCACGGAGTCGTTCCAGGTCACTTCCACCGTGCGCGCCGCGAATCTAGAAGGTGCCGCTTTCTCGGGCGAGGGGACGTGCCCGAACGGATCCTCGAGGCCAGCAGCCGCCGGTCTTAACCGCCAGGGCCCGTTGTAGTTGCTGATCGCGTTCTCGGCGTCGCGCTCGCTGCCGAACAGCACCAATTCGGACTTGCCATGTGGGGTTTCACCTACTTTGGTCACCACACCGTATTCAACTAAAGCGGCTCGGATCTGGTTCGCGGTCGGCTTCGGCCCCTTGCCCCACGTCACCTTGACGGCCTTCTTCAAGCGTGAAGTTTTGCCGCTAGTCCAGACCGCCGAGGGCTTCTTCTTCTCCTTCTTGACCGTTTCAATAACTTCCGGAGCCTTCGCCGCGTGGTGCGCGCGGTGGTGCGCCGCGGGCGCCGCGACGGCCTGTTCGACGGCGGCCGCCGCTTGCAGGGGCGCCTCCCGTCGGACGTGGTGCGTCGCGTGGTGCGTCGCGTGTGCGGCCGCCACTTCCTTGACCGGCGCGCTCTGCTGCAGCGGCGCCTCCCGATGGACCTGGTGCTGCGTCGCCCGCTCCAACTGCAACTTCAGCGCGGCGATCTCCGCGTCCTTTTCGAGTTGTGCCGCTTTCAACTCCCCCCTATGCTTGGCCTGCTCTTCAGTGAGCGTCTGGATCTTGCCATGGACCAACTCGAGATGCTTCGCCTGGAGCTCGTGCGTGTCCTGGGCGTGTCTACTTGTTAACTGAGAGAGCTTCTCGTCCATGATCCTACCTAATTGCGATTCCGTGAGCGCCGGTTGATGACTACGCATCCGCTCGTCCATGAGTCTCGCGATCTGCGACTCGGAGACGCCCGGCTGTTGTTGTGACATTTTTTCTTCCAGTAAGGCACCGATCCTACTTTCAGTGACTTGCGGTGGCATTTGTTGCGAGACGAGTCTACCGACGTGCGACTCCGAGACACTCTTCTTCTCCGGTAGCGCGAGCATGCGCTGCTCAGCTTGTAGAGCGAGAGCCTGCTTCTCCTCCATAGCTTGAACAGCACGATTATGCGCCGCCTCCTGCTGCTCCCGCGCGGACTGCTCCTTCTCGAGCGCCATTTCGAGGCGGTGCTTCATGGCCTCCACTTCCGCCGCCGCTTTCAGGCGCACGGCTTCGGCCTCGGCCTCGGCCCGCGTCTTGTGCGACTCGAGGTGGGCCTCGTGCTTCTGATGTAATGTAGCGATGTACTGCTCGTGCTGGTCCCTCAGAGAAGCATGGTGACTTGAAAGCTCCTCCTTGTGGTGCGACGCCAGTTCTTCCCGCAGCTTCTCGAAGTCGCGTTTCGCGTCTTCCCTCGCGTTCTGAGCCGCCCTCACGATCGCCTCGTCGTTATTCAAGGGTGATTCCGGTCTCGAACGCTTCTCCGGCCGTTCGGACGACGCGCGCGGCGACCCTGATCTTCTAGATATGAGCGCACGCATCTCCTTCATCTCGCCATGTAAGTTGGCGATCTGTACTCTAGCTTCAGCGAGCTCCGGGTGGTGCGCGTGCGTTACCGTCGACGGCGGGGCGGCTTCCGTAGAGAAGATCTCGCCCGCGTCGGCCTTGGCCATTTCTTCCTCGAGTTTTCTTCTTTCGGCTAAGAGCTGGCGCTCGGCCAGGATGACCTGGCGCTCGCGGAAGATGGCCTGTCGCCTCGCCTCGGCCGGGTCCTCCGGCTGCGGTACGATCGCTTGACTCAAACCGGTCGTCGACGTCCTCATGGATTGCGCGCGCGGCGGCAGGCCCGTTGTTGATGTCGCGACCGGTGAAGATTGTACAGGGCGCTCCGAGGGCGCCGGTGACAGGGGAGGCGATTGGACCGGCGCCGGCAGGCGCATCGGCGACGCCGGCGCTGAAGGTGGCGCTTGGATTTGCTGTTGCCTCTCGGCCAAAGCCTGCTCGAGCTCCAAGCACCGCATCCTTGCTGCATCTCTCTCTTGTACTAAAGCGGTCCGCTCCTCCATCCGTTGGACCGCGGCGGATAAATGACCGACGGAAGAAGCTAAATCACCAACACCTCCGGCAGCTAGTCCTAATCGCGCAGCTTGAGCTTGTGCTTGCGCGGCGTAACCTGAAGACTCCTTGGCCCACCTCTGCGCATTCTTCGAGGCCTGCTCGTCCCAGGACTGGGTCTGCTGGTACTGTGGTGCTGGTGGAGGTGGGGGCACGTCTTGGCCGCCCAAATAGCTATTCAACGCGCCGTCGAGCACCGCCCAGCGCTGCTCGACCTCTTGGCCCGCGCCGTAGTCGTAATTCGCGGCGCCGTCGTACCAGGGGTCCGCCGTGTTGTAGGTCGGCGGGGGCTGGCCCCACATCATCGTTTTCGTGCCGTGTTAGCTATGTCGGCGTCGGCCGTGTTTTTTGGGTTGTGCCCGCGCGCGCCGGGCGGGGCCTCGCGCCGCTGGGTACTGGGTCGCGGCCGCCCGCGTGCCCCTCTGCCGGCGTCGCGCGGCTGCCCCGCGGACCGACGACCGGCGCACGGTCCCTTTTTTGCACTCGGCAGTTCGGCCAAAAATCAGGTGCCAGCTTGCCAACTTACTCGCGTTTGAACGCGCGCGGGGACAACTCGGCAACGCAGGAGTCCTCCGCGTTGGCACGAACGACTGCTTGGCCGTGCAGGCTCCTGACCCTACCACCGAGGTATAAGGTACATCCGATACCTTACCCATTCTTGCCGCGAGTGAGAACACATGATAAGCGGCCTCCGTGCGCCGCCCGCTGCAAATTGCACGTCGTATACGTCCACTCAACATGCCTCGCCCAGCTCTCCTACTCCTCGCCGCGTGGCAGGCCGTCACAGCCTTCAGAGTGCCTGCACCTGTGTTGCAGCGCAAAAAGCTCCTCGCGCCGGCCAAGTTGCCGCCACCGCTGCGAGCTGCCGCCGCCGACGACGCCGCCGTTGAGAAAGTCGAAAAACCGCCTCTAACACCACGTCTCGCGGGGTTCGCGGCGCTTGCCATTGCGGACGAGGCCTGCCGCGTCGCTTTCAAAGGATCGGGCCTGCCCCATTCCTTGGCCGGGGGCGGCGCACTAGTCGCTTTATTAATAGCGACGGGCTCGATCGGAGAAAAGCTCCATAAAAAACTACTCGCGCCTGGAGCTACACTATTACTTAGTTGGATGCCGGTGTTTTTTGCTCCCGCACTCGTATTGCTGCCGCTGGCCGAGCCCGTCGTCGCGACAGCCAGAGATGCCGCGGCGTTAGCGGTCGTGGTCTTTGGTGGGTTAGCAGTGTCGCTCTCGGCCACGGCACTTGCCGTCAGCACCGTCTGTTCTGATGAATGTACGGCGGCGTCGGACACCTGGTCCAAGTCGAGGCCGGCCCAAGTGCCCTTCGGGAGTCCTCTCCTGAAACCGTTAGGGGTGGCTACCCTTTTGTCAGGGGTGTTAGCGGCGCAAGGCAAACTAGCCTTCAAGAGGCCCTACTTCGTCGCAGCAACACTCGGAAGTTTCGTCTTTGGGAGCAGGTTCGCATCTAGCCTAGCGAAGAGCGAAAGCAAGACGAAGAAGGCCCTCGCGCGCGCGCTGCATCCCGTAGCACAATGCGCACTCGTGACGACGGTCGCGTGCCGCATCCTAGCGAAGGCGACGTCGAAAACTACCACAGCGACCCTAAAGTCCTACGCTACATTAGCAGGCGCGCCTCTACAACGTTTACTGGGCGCTTCGGTACTGGCCCTAGCCTGCGGCGTGTATGGGAGAAGAAGGGAGGTCAAAGACAACTGGAAACCCGTAGCGGCGGGCACGGTCTCGGGCGTCGGGGTCGGCTTGTACGGCACGGCGTTGGCCGCGAGAGCCGTGCAACTCCCGAAAGCCGCGAGGTACGCTCTCCTGCCGCGGTGCATCACCTCGCCTCTCGCGGTGGCCGTCTGCACGGCCTTGCAGACGGACGCGGCGGCAGCTGTGGCATTAGTAGTGGTCACGGGCGTGCTGGGTGCGGCCTTCGGTCCAAGTGCATTGGACGCGCTAGGAACGAAAGATCCAGTGGCAAGAGGCATGGCCATGGGCGCGGCGGCGCACGGCATCGGCACGGCGCAGATGGGCGACGAGCCCGACGCGCAGCCTTTTGCGGCGATCGCGATGTCTCTCGTTGGTGCCGCGTCCGTAGTGGCCGCGGCGACGCCGGCGAGCCGCGCGCTGCTGCTCCGGGCGGCGGGGGTCTAGGCGGGACGCGCCTTCTTTCCCCCTCTCTAAATTATACCAAGTCAGTTCGTCAACGACCTTCGTGAATCTCAACGCGATATGGAGCAGGCGCAGTTAGTACGGAGAGTCGGAGATGCAACGTCGTGTCGATGGCGTGGAGCTCCACACTATGTCCAGCAGCGGAGTCGGCGCCGACCGCTCGTAAGACGCTGCCCCAGCCACACGGCCAGGGAGCCGAACGCCATCGACGCGTCACGCGCGACTCGGTCGGACTAGATGGACTAGTACTGGAGCCAAACGCCATCGACGCGCGACTAGATAATCACAAGGTATCCTTAAAGTTCGCCACGTCCGTGGCCATCTTCCGGTCGATGAGCGACCAGGCGTCCCGCCTCTTCTGCTCGAAGGGCCGCCGCATGACCGCGCGCTCGGCGGCGTCCCGTCGACCGAGGTCCTGCAGCAGGCACCACACGTCAATCTTGAGCTGCTTGTAGACGCGCATGTGCCTTCTCCACAATTCTTCAAACCCGACACAATCCAAGAAGCCCTCCCTTGAGACACTGTCGAAATCCTCAACAAGTTCTTGAGCACACACAGCGTTCTTCGCCGGGCGCTCCTCCACGCGTCCCGACCGGTGGACGTGCTTCAGGCACACATCGCGAGCTTCTTCTCGGGAAATGGCGCCAGGCTGCTCTCGCGCATAAGTTTCAAACAACAACCTGAGATGTTGGGCCCGAGTGCCCTCTTTAATAGTGATGCAGAACGCCTTGCAGAACTGGGGCCAGTCGTCGGGCGGCTCGCCCTCCGCGACGGCCGTCGCCGGTCGTATGTGTTGAGGCCACACGATACCTTCGGCTAGGAACCGGGGAGCGGTGCCCGGCCGCCACGCCTCCTCGACCGGCGGCGGGTTCTTCGGTGGTGAATCGAGCAACGAGTCCCGTTGCCGCATGTGAGCGAAGGCGTCGGCGGTGAAGCCTAGATGGGTTCGTCTAGGTCGCATGGCATGCCTCAGTTCGCACAGCCAGTCATGGTGCAGCAATAAATTAATCGCGGTGGCCTTCTGGTGCGCGTAGATGTGCGTGCCGCAGCACCCTTTCACGTGCTCGAAGCACTCGTTGCCGACCCTTGCCATCAATTCCTTCTCTTTTTCTTTTTGTGCTGGTGTCATTTCTTTGGACGAGGGCGTGATGGCCCGTTGTTTCGACGAGGGTCTCTCAAAGACGCGGGAGCGGGGGCGGGCCATGGCCATGGCGTTTGCTCTCCCTTGGCTGGGAGTGGTGGGCAGCCTCTCACGCGACGCGTCGGCTTCGACGCCGCTGGACCGGTCCGGTGTGCGTCCGACGCGCGCTCGGACGGTGCCTGTACGCTTTTATGTGGTCCGGGCAGCGTGCCCAGGGCCCAGCGCCTCCCATCAAAAAGCTGGGCCATCCTCTCAGCCCCCGCACGAAGCGCGTTTTGGAAAATCCTGCTTCACAGCCTCATGCGGGACCTTTGCTGGCACGATCGTACGGATAGATCTTGCATCCAGGCGCGCGCCAAAATCGGAGATTTTGGGCCTCCAATCGCTGCCAAGCTATTTTTGCCTCGCGCAGCTTCACCAAAGCCGCGCCAGCCAAAACAGCAGTGCCAAAACACCATGGGCGAGTCTAGATCCCGATCCCGCTCCCGCTCGGGCTCGCGCGAGCGCCGCCGCAGCCGCTCGCGCTCCCGCTCGCGCAGCCGCTCCGGCGGCCGCGGCGGCGGGGGCGGCGGGGCCTCCGGCGAGAAGCAGACGGGCGTGGCCCTCCGCTGGCAGGGCCAGCGCGGCTTCGGCTTCATCAAGCCCGACGACGGCGGCGAGGACCTCTTCTGCCACGTCTCCGCCATCGAGGACGGCAACTGCCTCGTCGAGGGCGCCAAGGTCAGCTTCGTCAAGGGCCAGGACGAGCGCTCGGGCCGCGACCGCGCGCAGAACGTGACCGGCGGCTCGACCGAGGAGCCCGGCGGCCCCGGCGGCCCGCAGGGCGACCCCGGGCCGGCGCCCGAGGGCCACTCGACGGGCGTGGCCCTCCGCTGGAACCCGCGCGGCTTCGGCTTCATCAAGCCCGACGACGGCTCCGTACCGCGGCCAGTGTCCCATACATTTGTGAAGGGGGTGTAGCTCAGTGGCAGAGCGTCCGCTTTGCATGCGGAAAGCCCAGGGTTCAAACCCCTGCTCCTCCACCACAACACACACAACTCCGTGGCGCAATGGATAGCGTATCAGACTTCGAATCTGGGGGTTGCGGGTTCGAGTCCCGTCGGAGTTGTTCATGGTCTGACGGTACAATCCCCACCGCAGGAGGACGTCTTCTGCCACGTGTCCAGCATCATGGACGGCAACGCGCTCGCCGAGGGCGCGCGCGTGACGTACCTCAAGGTTTTTGATGATCGCCGGGGCAAGGACCGCGCGAACCAAGTAAGAGGCGGATTCCACGAGCAGCAGGGCGGCGGCGGCGGCGGCTTTGGCGGTGGTTACGGCGGTGGGGGCGGCTACGGCGGTGGGGGCGGCTACGATGGCGGCGGCGGCGGCTACGGTGGTGGCGGCTATGGTGGTGGTGGCGGTCCGTAGCATTGTTGATATCAGGGAGGTGCCTTCGACTGAGCTGTACATCGCTCGTGCTCACTCTCTGGGTGTCCACAGGTGGCTACGGCGGCGGCGGCGGCTACGGCGGCGGGGGCGGCTACGGCGACCGAGGTGCGTCTTCGTCGATGGCGCCATCGAGAGAGCAATGAGAGCGATGATTGACCGTGTCCATACAGGCGGCGGCTACGACGACCGCCGCGGGGGCTACGGCGGCGGCGGCGGCGGCTACGACGACCGCCGCGGCGGCGGCGGGTACGGTGGCGGCGGCGGCGGCTACGGCGGCGACGATCGCCGCGGGGGCTACGACGACCGGAGAGGTGGCGGTGGCTACGGCGGCGGCGGGGGCGGCTACGGCGGCGGCGGCGGCCGGTACTAGACGTAGACGCGGCCACAAGACGTGCCCACCAAGAAGACACAAGGAAGGAAGCGACCCCGGCTTACCTATCACGCGCGGAGGATTATGACGAGCGACCCTGGCTCTCTGAGAATTAAGGAATGCGCGTTCGACCGAGAGTGACACCCGACTTAGCGGGCGGTTCTGACCGTGTACGTGTGCGGGAGGGAGGGACCACTGCTCCGTGTGACAGTTGGGAGGCCCGAGGGAAGTAGTCGTCCACGCCAGTCGTCGAGTCGAGGACGGAGGACTCGCTGGCCGGCCGCGAGGCGGTCCCGGGCGAACGCCGTCGGCGCCACGTCCACCCGCGACTGCGTCGGCGGCTCGATGATGGCGCTCGCCGCGCGAAATTTTTGGTTGTGTGTAAGTACATGTGTATACGGACGTCGAACGCGGCCCGTGCTCGGAGCAACCCCGCCGAGCCACGCCGCCCGACCCCGACGTAGGCGTCTCTGCGCAGCGCAATGGACGTCTCACCGGCGCCGGCGCCGGCGCGTCAAGGGCGGCACTCAACGGATCCTGACTCAAAAAAAAACCAAAATAAAGTTGGCTTGTTGCCGGCAACTACAGTGTACGTCTGTGTCACTGCCGGGAGCGCCCGGCGCCGGCGTCGTTTTTGCACCGACGCGTGCACCGCCGGCATAGCTCGTCGCAGCGCCCCGAAGGGCAGCCTCCCGTCGCCGGGACGGCCGCTCCGGTCGCCAGGAGCCAGTGACGAAGACTCTCGAAGGGCTCCGGGAGCACGACGTTGCGCGACGACTGAGCGTCCTCCTTAGAACCAGCAGGCGCTTCTCGAGCTCGCCTCTCGCTCGTTAAACACGGCAGCCATCCTCAGGCAAAAAAATCAGTACACCGGACGCGGCGGCGTCACGAGACGATGGCCAGCAGCGCCCTCCTCTCGACGTGGACGACCTGCGCTGCCCTCCCACCAATTGATCCGGAGTTGGAGGAGCAGCCCATCACCCAAAAACACGCGAAGATCGGCGCCTACCAGCTCACGAGGAAGCTCGGAGTAGGAGAATTTGCTAACGTCTACGAGTGCATCAAGCGTGAAGAAGCGACAAATAGAGCTACTGCAAAAAAGTACGCCTTCAAGGCCATCAAGAAGGCCCGCGTCCAAAGGCACGCCCAACTCCACAAGGCGAAGCGAAATATTAAGCGCGTTGATACCGAGGTTGCGAGTATGAAGAAGTTAAGTCATGGAGCTGTCGTGCGGTTGTATGATGTTATTCAATCACCAAGTATGCTCTACATCGTGCTGGAGAAGGGCGACCGGGATTTGTACTCGTTCCTAGATTCACATGAATATGCCGATGGGTGCCCGGACGACGTCGTGAAGTCCGTGATGCGCATCGCGGCTCTTGGATTGAGACATTGTCATGCTAATGGAGTAGCCCATAGAGACCTGAAACCAGAAAATATCTTGGTCGTGGGGCAACCGGGCGACTGGTCACTGCTAGAAGAGAACGACGACCCTTGTAAAAGAGGAGTTGTTAAATTATGTGATTTCGGGCTCTGTGCCGACGTCAGTTCAGGAGAGAACCTGACGGATTTCGTCGGAAGTCCATGCTTCTTCGCCCCTGAGATTTTGTTGGATGGGTCCTACGACGGCCGAGCGGCCGATGTGTGGTCCCTCGGTTGCGTCATGCTCGAGATGCTTTTGGGGCATGCCGCCTTCTCGCAGGTCTGGTGCCCGCCCTACGACCAGCTGAAGAACGACGACAAGTTTCGAAGTGCGATCCACGTCGCGGTTCAAGAAGTCAAAGCGGGCTGCACGGAGTGCGCGCCCTCGCCCTTGTATCTATTGTTGGACAAAATCCTGGAGTTGCAGCCCTACCGTCGAATGTCCATAGAGGACGTCTGCCAGATGGAGTACTTCGATCTCATGCAGACCTCGCCGAATGGCCACTCGAAGATGCTGCGGATGACCTACGACAAGATGCGCCGATCCTTCGGTCCCGGGGGTTCTCCCACCAAACCCTTACAGCGGCGCCAGCGCATCACGCGGATCAGTCAGAACCCGCGGGAAGAGCAGATCGTCGTCGCGGCGCCTGAGACGAACGTCAACGACTTGTGCAATACGAACGTCAACGAGTTGTGCAAGATGCCGTCGCGAACCGTGTGGAAATCGAATCACTGCGTCTGCTCGATGGCGTGGAGGACTTTCCGCGCAGGTCGCCCATCGAGCGCATCATGAAGAAGTTCGGCCGCGTCAAGACGTGACGCCCTGTCCATCACTTATCCTCCCGGCACCTCACCATCGATCCTCCCTCCTGTCCATGCAGCCGCCGGAATTCGCAATCGATCCAGAACATTGGGCCTACCTGCCCGCGTCTTGTACATCGATCCCACCTCGGGCCTACCCGCCCACGTCACGCGCCCGACGACACAGGCCATCTAACTAAAGTTTGGCGCATTTTGAGAGACACCCCACGCGCGCGCGGGTAGCGCGATGTTCCTTACGGGTGTCGATGGATCGAGGGTAAACGATGGACTGGGCGCGGAGGCCCGCACAGATAATTTGCTCAGCCGCGGACGCGGCAGAGCGTGCTCTGCCGCAGATGCGGCAGAGCACAGATAGGGCGCTCAGCCGCAGATGCGGCAGAGCGACTCGTCGCCGTCGAGGCGCGCGAACGCACGGGCGAGGCCCGCGGCGTCGCAGGCGCCGGCGACGCAGGCGCAGGGTTGGTCGGGCGGCGCCCGTTTGATGGCTTCGGCGACGCGGCGGCGGCGCGCCGCGCAGCGGACCGCGTCCGGGCAGTTGCTAGAAGCACAGACCACGACGCCGAAGCCGCGCGCGCCCCAGTGCACCGGCGTGCCGGCGTCGCGCGGAGAGTCGGGCAGTGCCCGCGTCAAGCAGCGCGCCGCGACCAAGGAAGAAGTTTCAGGAGTAGCAAACAGTAAAGGACAGTCGCCCACGTTCTTCGACAGGGCCGCGCCGACGTGGTAGGAGCACTCGCCCGCGCACGCGTCGTGCTCCAGGCACCGCACGCGCACGTCGGGAAACGACGGCCCCGGCCTACAGGCATCATCTCCGGTCTCCTCGAATTGATCCCAAGCGGCTTTGGGCCTTCGCGGCGACGGGCGCACGGCCGGCAAGGAGTCGGTCGTATCCGCCAGCACCAAAGGCGCGAACGAAGACATGGACTTGCTCGGTCTCAGCGAACTGCGTTCGCGCGGCGCCGACGGCGGCCGCGGCTTGTAGGGCCGTCTCGGGGCTTCGTCGATCATCGTCGGGGTTAATGAGACGCGTCTCGGCGAGTTCATCGCGGCGCCTCGCGAGCAATCCATCGAGGCAAACTTGCGACTCCGCGGCGACGGCATGAGCGCCGCGAGCGCGTCCAAGGAACCAGCAGATCTATTGCGGCGAATGGGCTTCTTCGGGCTGCCTTCGTCATTCAGCGTCGTGAAGGACGCGAAGGAAGAAAAGGAGGCGTCTGAACCCTTCGGCGTTGGGGTCCCGGGTCCCAATACGTCTCGAGCCGTATCCGGTAAGTAAGGTGCTACCGTCTGCTTCTCTCGCAACTGAGCGAAATCAATAGAAGAGAAGGCCGCATGCAACTTCGCGGCGGCGCACCGGGCCCGATTCTCCGGCTTCTTCGCTAATAGTAATCTACAAAGACCCTTGACCGGATCATCGAGCTGACCCAACCAACCCAGATCCGCTTCTAAAACTAACGCTTCGACCTGCGAGACCGTAGACCCGACGAAGGGCGGCCGACCCGTGCGCATTTCGACTATAACACACCCAAGGGCCCACGCATCGACCGGCCTGCCGTGCGATCGGCCAGAAATGACCTCCGGCGCCGCATAGAGCGGCGTGCCACACCGCGTGCGACATCTACCATCATCGCCATCAACTCTACGAGCTAGTCCAAAGTCCGCCAGCCGAAGGTAGCCCTTCTCATCTAAAAGGGCATTTTCAGGCTTGACGTCGCGGAACGCGACGTCCTGCGTGTGGAGGTGGGCCAAGACGTCTACGAGCTGCGCCGCGTAGAAGGTCGCTAAGTCTCCATCTAATCGGCCAAACCGTCCTAGTACAGCGTGCAAAGTACCCCCAGGGCAATGATCCGTAACTAGATATACCGTAGTGTCGTCCTGGAACGCACCTCGCAAGGCTAAAGCGAAGGGGTGATCTATGCTACGTTGTATGGCCGCCTCGTCGTGCATGTGCCGGATGGCATCGGAGCCCGCTGTTACTAAGCGCACCTTCGGGACGGCTTTCAACGCTCTCAGATCACCGGTAGCTTTGCATCGCGCCAATACGACTCTACCGAATGCGCCTCTCCCAACCTCGCACAAGACAGCAAAGTCCTCGAGCGTCGGCACCGGGCTCGCGCGGCCCGACGCGGGCGACACGCGACCCAGCGTGCGCGGCGCTTCGAGGGGAGTGACCTGGGCGATGGCGTCCGCCAGCGCCATCCCTGCCCCGCGAGTCGGCTCCTCGTCGCCCGCTCAGCCCGCCTCGCCCGCTCAACCCAAGCTGTCCCGGCTTGCACGGAGGCAGCCCAAAGTACGCGCACGCGACCTATGCGCTGCGGACGCAGCCCCGTTCGCGCGAGAGACCTGCACGGTGCAGCCACGGGCACCCGCGCAGCCGGCCTTATTCACAATTGCGCCGCGATCACGCCGAAGATGGGCCACGCACACGAGATCCGACCGTTGAGTCTAGTGCCGGACGCCTCCGCGGGTCCGTTAGCTCCTTGGAGACGCCTCCCGGACGCCTCTTGGGCCCTGCGGCCGTTTGGGGCTTCGGTTAACTCCGCGGCCGCGGCCCTCAGCCCATGGGCCCACGCCTCGGCCCGGTCTTGTATTTGCCGTCGCGGTGCGAGGACTAGTGGGCGGCGGGCGCGGGCCTTCCATACAGCAGCTTCCGTCTCAGTAGAACGCGCCCGCGATAGCTAAACCCCGACTTAAACCCCAGCCTAGATGTAGAGCCCCTCGGGGATGTTGCCCTTCTTCTGGTACAGCGCCTTCTCCTTGGCCTTGACGAAGTCGTCCTGCGTCACCTTCATCCGACGCTCTCGCAACGCCAGTAAACCAGCCTCCGTGCAGACCGCTTTGATGTCCGCACCGGACAGCTCGTCCTTGGCCATGACGAAGGTCTCGAGGTCCACGTCTTCGCCGAGCGACATGCGACCCGTATGGATGTTGAAGATGTGTCTTTTCGTTTTGATGTCCGGCAGCGGGAACTCGATCTTCCGGTCGATGCGCCCCGGCCGGATCAGAGCCGGATCCAAGCTCTCGATCTTGTTCGTCGCCATGATGACTTTCACGTCGCCTCGTTCGTCGAACCCGTCGAGCTGATTCAGCAATTCGAGCATCGTCCGCTGGATCTCCCGCGTCCCGCCCGACTGCGAATCATAGCGCTTCGAACCGACCGCGTCGATCTCGTCGATGAACACGATCGTAGGAGATAAGTCATCAGCGACTCTAAAAAGCTCCCTCACGAGCTTCGGGCCATCCCCTAAATACTTCTGGATGAGCTCGCTCCCGACAACCCTCAAAAAGGTAGCTGAGGTCTGGTTCGCGACAGCTTTGGCTAGGAGAGTTTTACCGGTACCGGGGACCCCATACAAGATAACACCCTTCGGGGGCTTGATACCGACCTCCTCATAAAGCTCGGGATGCGCTAACGGTAACTCCACCGCCTCCTTGATCTCCTGGATTTGGGTTTCTAGACCGCCAATATCAGCATAACTCTCGAGCGGGGCTTTGTCGACCTTCATGACGCTCACCATCGGGTCCGTGTCGTCCGACAGGATACCTACTACGCCCATGACCTTGTTGTGTAACAGTACGGAGCAGCCCGGCTCGAGCAAGTCTTGGTTCACGAAGGACATGACCGAGACGTAGTACTCGGGGCCGACGCTCGACGAGACGATGGCGTGCCTGTGTATGTATGTATGATGGGCGGTGTCGCGGCGACGGCGTCGCGTCGATGGCGTCGCGTCGCCACGCCATCGACGCGCGGCGCCACTCGAACGCATGGGTGTATGTATGTATGTATGTATGTATGTATGTATGTATCAAGTATATGTATATCAAGGACGCCGACCACGCGCGTGTCGTCGATCATCTCCTCCAATGAACCGACCGCTAAGGGACTCCCGCGGATGTCCTCCATCTTGTCCCTTTCTTCTTTATCCTTCTCCTCGTGGGGCTTGAAGACCTCCTGGTTCCGAATAAATTCTTGTTCCATGAGCAAATAGTCTTTGATCCGTTCCAACTTGAGCAGGCGTAGTTTGCACTTGGACGTCGGGTAGACTTTTGGTAATTTACCAGAAGTGCCCGTGCCCCGGTTTCGTCGCCTTCTTCGTCCGGTGTGGAGCGGCGGTCGGGCGGCGTACGACTTCTTCCTGCGTTCCCGCTCGGCCTTCTCCTTCTCGGGGTCGCGCTCGGGCGGCGGGCCGCCGCCCTGGCCGCTCGGGGCCTGGCCCATGGGTTTGGTGCGCCGCGCCGCGCCGCGCGGTGCGCCTGACTACCGAGGTCGCTTTCCGCTGCGCGCGCACTGGTGATGTGCCGCGCCGGCCGCGCTGTTGCGCCGCTAGGTTGTGGTGCCTCTGGAGGTGTCCGCGGCTCGCGCGCTGCACGGATGGCCTGCGGTTAGGCCCGCTTGTTCGCGCCGGCTCCCAGCCGTATTCAGCCGTATTCTAGAGCTTTTACGACGCTAGGTTTAGCTTTGAATCTCATAGCTCGCAAGAAACGGCCCATCTCTCTCGTGAGACGTGTCTGGCCCCGTCATGCGACGGCGGGAGCCTTCCTAGCAGGCGAAGCGGATAGAGATCAGAGGGCAGATGAGTGCACTGAGCGCTGCAGAGCGACAGTTTCACGGCATCCTGCGACGATCTTACGCGTTCGCTGCGGTCCTGAGACACCGCCCTATCACGTACGGTCGCGCCCGGACAGCTTTGCTCCGCTAGGCTCTCCCCTTGAGGCGCTCTGTCTCTTGCCGCCTTAGCAGCTGCTCGACGCCAGACCCTTAAACGGCGCGCGCAGACCGCTGAATACGCGCGCCCTACCTGTCACGTCGACAGCGAAACGGCACCGAGGCCACCCAAGGCCCCCGAACCCGTAACGGCGAGCGCGCCACCGCCCTGCGTGGGCGGGAACCACCAACGACGATGTACAAACGATTCGTGATAGCCGCGGCCCTCGCGCGCGCGCTCCAACCTCATATAAGGCGCCGCCACCGGAGCCGGCTGAACAGAGCCACGTCCGCCGACGAAGACGGCATGGTTTGTACCCTTGAGAGGTTATATGGTACTACCTCCGTGTGGGGCGACTTGGACGCCGCGGAAGCGAGAGCTTTGTACCAGCAGCTGCTCCCGCGCGTTCTAGCATTACCGTCGAAACCACCGCTCAATGCGCGACCTTTGACACGCGCGGCACGAAAACGTAGATTAGCTCAACTCAAAAATTGGCGCGCCAATAGGAACTCGCGGTCGATAGCGGATCTGCGCTCTAGAGCGACTGCGGCAGCTGTGGCGCGGCGAGCGGTCCGCAAGTACGTGCGAGGGCGATCGATCCTCCCGCTACGCGCGTTGACGCACGCCGGCGACGGCGTAAGGACGTACGGCAAGACCGGCCGGTGGCGTCTGTACGGAGAGACGACGGAGGAGCTCGTGGCGCGGTACGCGTCCGCAGCTCGAGAAAGAGCAGCTCTCTGTGATGGAGACAATTGCGTCGCGCCCGAAGACGCGGTGCGCGAGGCCTACGCGGTTTTATTGGAGAAAAGTTGCTCGACCAATGAATTCTTGGACAATTTGCTGCTCCAAAGCTCGTCCAGTGAACTGAACGACGCGCTGCCCGCGGCGGAAAGGTTCTGGCGCGAGCTCCCCTTCCGGCCGTCGAAACTCTTTCCGGCCCTCGAGGCGTTGCAGCATAGAGCCGCGCGCAACGATCAACACGTGACGGAATCGCGGCCCTGCGACGACACGGACGACGTCTGGAACGCGTTCCTGCTGCGCTGCGTCGAGCCGCCCGAGGAAGGCCAAAAGGGCGAGGGCGTCCTCGCCTGCCGCACGTCGGGTTTTGTATTAGCGCCGGCCACGCGCGCGCGCTGGATCGCGCGGGCGGCCCATAGAAGGGCGCAAAAGTTCCGCAAGCCGTCGCCGCAGGACGACGGCGGCGCGTTCGGCGAGGCGTTCGCGGCGACGTGAGTAGTGTCTTCCTCCCTAAGTCCTCCTTCTCAAGTTTGCCTTTGCTTCTCAAGTTGCCTGCGACGGCGACGGCCTGTGCGAAAGGCTTTGTCCGCTCACTGTGCTGCCCGAGGCTGCCTTGGAGCAGGTGATGATCCTCACGCAGTGTGCCGTCTGCGCCACCGAGCTTGGCTTATCATTGGGCAAGAAATGCGGCCGCTGCAGCACGCGCTACTGCGGGGCAGCCTGCCAGGTGCAGCACTGGAAAGAAGGCGGGCACGACCAGCTCTGTAGGAAAATAAAAAAAGCAGGCGGCGCCGAGCAGTACAATGCGAATCAGAAGTACACGAACGCTGTGGCGGCCGCGGCGGAGGCGTGCGCCGAGGACACGAAGGGGCAGACGTGCTACATCTGCACGCAGGCTTTGCATTGGAAAACGAAGGAAGGTCTCGTGCGGATGTGTGCGTGCCGCGGGACGGCGGGCTTCGCGCACGTGTCGTGCCTGGCGGAGCAGGCGAAGATTTTGGTCGCAGAGGCCGTGGAGAACAATTTGGGGGCCAAGACGAAGAATGCGAGGTGGCATCGGTGGTACACGTGTAGCCTGTGCGAGCAACACTACCATGGCGTCGTGTATTGCGCGCTCGGGTGGGCTTGCTGGAAGACGTATGTGGGGCGGCCGGAGACGGACAGTTTTCGGCAATGTGCGATGAGCGTGCTTGGAAGCGGTCTATCCGATGCAGACCACCTCGAGGACGCGTTGTCCGTGAGAGAGGCCGAGTTGGCTATGCGGCGGCGCCTCGGCGATAGGGAAAGCAACATACTCGCCGTGCAGAGCAATCTTGCGGCCACGTATCGATCGCTTGGACGGTTTGAAGAGGCCTTGCAAATGAAACGGGACGGATACACTGGACATTTGAACCTCTATGGCACGGAACATAGAGAAACTCTCATAGAAGCCAACAACTATGCGGCGTCCCTTCTTGATCTACAGCGCTTCGCAGAAGCCAAAACGCTGTTGCGCAAAACGATGCCCGTGTCGCGACGCGTTCTCGGCGAGAGTGATGATACCACGCTCCATATGAGGTTAACCTACGCGATGGCGCTCTACAAGGACTCCACGGCCACGCTCGACGATCTCAACGAGGCCGTGAATACACTCGAGGAGATTGAACGCATCGCGCGGCGTGTGTTCGGTGGCGCCCACCCAGACGTAGCGAATATTGAGAAAGTCCTTCAAGACGCGCGAGCCGTGCTCCGCGCCCGCGAAACGGGGCTCGCCGAAGCACTGGCCGACATGAGGGTCTAGTCTAAGATTCTCTTAGGTCACGGCGCGCGCGGGTGGCCCGCGCGTCGCCACACACAAAAACTACCACTCGATCGTGCACTCCTCGCCGCAGAGCGCGTCCCAGGCGTCGGGCGGCTCGTCGAGGACCGCGCGCATGCGTAGTATGGAAGCGAGCTCGCCGGGCCCGGCCGGCGCGCGCTCGGTGAGCGTGCCCGTCACGAAGCGCGCCTCGAGGCCGCGGCGGAAGGCCTCGGTCGCCTCGCAGGCGGACGGGCGGCAGGCATCTCCATTTGACCGCGCGGCTTTGATTGTTGCGGCGCGGAGCGTCGGCGCGGCGAGGTTCATCGGTGCGAAGGCGCGGCCGCCCGCGGCGAGTAGCAGGAGATGGAGGCTTCTTCGTCTACTTCGCGTCGTCATCGTGAAAAATGCTGTACTGCAAACCAGTGCTCTGAGGGCTCCGCGAGTGCTCGAAGGCTACGGTTTCGCACAGAATCGACTCGTGGACGTAATTTGTGGCTGCTCCACAACTGGGGTTATGTCTGGGTGCTCTGGGGTGCTGTTTGAGAGGGCAGAGCGTTGCTTGCACGTCACACATAATCAGCTAGCGTCAATAAGACACTGAAATTCGGGACGCGTATTCTCAACAGCCACACAGTTACACAACCTAGCGCCGCCGCTTCGACGCCGACGCCGACGCCGATTCACTCTTCCACACCGCCAGCAAGAACAAACAAATCGCAGGAACGGACGGGACGACTACTGTTTTGCGGTCGGGAGGCTTCACCACGACCGTGTCCGCCCGCGGCGCCCGGTTATCCAAAAGCTGCTCCGGCTTGATCGGAATGTCGTCCGCCACATCATACACTGGATCATCATCACTAGTTTCGAGGACGGCCGACGCCGCTTGGAGTAAGGTCCGAGCGTCCGACGACAAATGCCTCAAGACCAGCGTGATTCCCAGATCACCATAAGCGCGACAAGCCGCATCAATCGCAGCAATAGCCGACGCGTCGGCGACCCGACACTGCGCGAAGTCGACCACAACTGTTCTTCTGAGCACTTTCCGTCGCCACGACCGCCCGTAGGCCCTATCTGACTGCGTCGGTGCCACATGGTTCGCGAACGCCGCCGCCGACCCGAAAAACAAAGTTCCGTGCATCTCGATTTCTCTTCGCCCCAATCCTTCCTCGTGGGACGAGTACAGGTCATTGGCCGTCTCCCAGCAGAACCGCAACGCCGTCACGCAGACGCCTACGACCACGGATACCGCTAGACCCTTCTTCACCGTGAGTAAAGAGACGCCCCAAATAGTTAACGCATCGAGAGCCGTACACCTCCGGTCCTTGAGTAACCGGATGGACGACCAGGAGAAAGTATGTCTTGCCACCGCCAGCATGAGACCCACTAACGCGCCGATGGGGATGCTTCCTAGCAATGACCCGCAGTAGACTAGACCTGTGTGGAAATCAACCAGTGTGTCAGGTGCACCCGACAATTCTTCACTAAGTCATTTCTCAGCGATGGCGTGGCCGCGCTGGTTCCGTCGAGCGGCGAGGAATCGGCATCGTCACGCCATCGAGCAGGCGTCGCGTCGATGGCGTGGAGGACGACGATGTGATTCAGCACGAACGCGTCGTAAAATTTTGATTTCCACACAGGACTAGACCGAAGAGCACAAACGCGACGTAAGCTACTGCTGATGTTCTTCCAGTGCCGCCGCAGGCCACGTTCACTAATGATTGTCCTAACAATCCACATCCCCCAATGCCGCCACACAAGCCTGATAATAAGTTTCCGAGGCCTAGTGACCGGCATTCGCGCGACGCGCGGCCCCGTCCGTACTTGTTGCCCCTTGTTAAACCGTCGACCAATTGTAGGGTTAACAGAGACTGGAGTAACCCAACGGCGGCCAGCTCACAAGCGTAGGGGAGAGCTGTTGTGAATGATGTCAGACTGTAGGACGGAAACGCGTACCGTAAAGCTCCGGGACCGCCCGTGAAGGCCTCCTCGCCCACAACATCTCGCAATAGAGGCACTCCCGGCATGAACGGTGATAATGAGAGACAAGCTAGCATGGCCAGCAGCGGCGCCGGCGCCCACTCCGCGATGAACGACGGCGTGCCCTCGATGACCGTGAAGGAGAGTAGAGCCAGCAGCGAATGGTTGATCAATGCGGAACCGGTCAGCCACGTGCCGTGCGGGAACTGGAAGTGGTCGACCTGCGCTAGTATCACTTTAACGGCCAGACCGTTCACAAAGCCGAGGACGACCGGGTGCGGCAGCATGCGCACCAAGCGCCCACCTTTCAGGTAGCCGATCGCGAGTTGGAGGAGGCCCGCTAGGACCACCGCCGTGGGAATGGCCTCCGGTTGTTCTTTGCCTAGTGGCGCCACCACTAAAGCACAAGTCGCCGACGCGCCGGAGACCATGCCCGGCCGCCCCCCAAATAAAGCGCAGTTCAGGCCGACGACTAAGGTGCTTCCGAGCCCTACGAGGGGGTGGACGCCGGCGATCAACGCGAATTGCAGCGCTTCGGGCGCGACGGCTACTGCCGTGGCTAAACCAGCTTTGACATTTGCCGCTAAGGAATGGTCGTCCGTGTGCGGGTCCCTACTAAATAATAATCCAGACAACTCCTCGACGCTCGTCCGTGTTAGACGCTCCGCCCTATTGGTCGTGCGTTTTTGCCATTTCCGGTACTGGCGGAAGTACTTTTTGCTGGTTGCCGGGCTCGTCAGTGCTTTCGGGAGGAGGCGCTTGGCGCTTGTCGTGGCGGCGAGGAGGAGTAATGTGCACCGCATTTTGATGACGCGGCGACGGCGTGATGCAGTGTGCTGCTCGATGCTAGATGCAAAAAGGCAAGCTTTGCGCAGGCCAGCGTGCACGCAGGATCGATGCGCAGCACGAGAAGCTGTAATGAGACCGCGAGCCGTGCAAATAGCGAAGTAGCGCCGATGTAAAACTGCCGGCCGTGCGTTCAGTTCTCGATAATGTCTAAAAGTATAGACGTACTAGCCTTGATAGAATACGCGTAGGAATGCCTCAGGGCACCTGGGATGCGCCCGGAAACGAGCCGGCGGGAGCTTTCCCACGGGATTGAAGCCGCACCACGCCCCGCGAGCACGCTTGGGTGCGAGGAACTCCGACGCCTGGCAAAGGGCTGCCCCGCGCCCAAACAAACATCGGGGCAGCCCCCGGCGGCGCCGGGACGCGTCGCAAACCCCAAGAAAAAAAAATGTAGCCTAGGACTGCAAGTAAGTGTAGACGCCGCGGCCGGGGCTGTTTTTGGCAGCGCCGCAAACAGCTGTGGCCGCTTGTGACGCAGGAGCTGCCCCCGGTCCTGGTCGCGCAGGATCCGAGGCGTTCGTGCGGAGCAGCGCAACCGGCAGCGGAGAGCCAGCGGCTAGGAACCGCACGGAGCGTTAGCTCGCCTCCTGTCGAAGGAGCAGCCGCGAGCGCAGCGGGCACTCAGAGACGAAGATGCCTCTCGAAGAGGGCGACCCCCGCCTCGAGTACGTCGTGACCCACGCGACGGTGTCGCTGGGCCTCGAGCGCGCGAAGTTCCTCAAGAGCTTCTTGAATGAAGATAATCTGAATCGACTGGAGGCCTTCTGCGACGAGGACACGGCCATGTGTTTGGTGATGGCGCCGAACTGCAAATTGGAACCGGGCTTTCCGGCCAAGCTCGCGAACAAGGGCAAGAGTCTCGCGTTCCTCAAAGCGGCGCCGGTCGTCCTGACCAAGGAGAAGTTCGACCCGTCGGTCTTGGTGATGACCGAATTGCAGGGTGCCGCTCCCGTGGAGCACTTGGAACTGTTGGCCTCGGAATGTTTCCTACCGGTCCTGAGCAACCCCTTGAATCAGCGGAAGTGGGGCGAGGTCGCCACCAGAGAAATCCTCGACAAGTTCGTCGCGTTCCTGAACAGCACGACCATCATGTGCGGCCACGTGAAGGGCGAGACGCGCCTGCCGATGCCGCCCGACGATTCCCAATCCGTCAACGTGAAGAACCGCGTTGGGTTACTGGAGGGCGCCGTCATCACCTGGACGAAGCAGATCAAGGCCGTCCTCAAGCAGGACCCCGAGCAGGCCCTGAAAGACGGCCAGGATCCCACGCCGGACGTGGAATTGACGTTTTGGCGCCATAAAGCGAATAACTTAAATGCGATCTTCGACCAGTTGCAGTCGCCGCGCATCCGACGCGTTCTCAGAGCTTTAGATTTGGCGAAGTCGACGTACTGCACGACCTTCAGTCGACTGTGCAAAGAAGTGTACACGGCGCGCCTCGAGGCGAACGACAACGTAAAATTTCTCAGAACTTTAGAAGATTGGTTCGACAAGCTTAGTAGTGCGGAGGACTTCCCGGCCTGCGAGGACCTGTTCAAGCCCATGCTCCACGTCGTGTTATTGATCTGGAAGAACTCGCGGCACTACAACACGCCCGCAAGATTAGTGGTACTCATGCGCGAGGTCTGCAACTCGATCATCGAACAGGCCTGCAACTACGTGAGTGGCGAGACGATCTTCCAGAAGATTGACGCGGAAGAGACGCACTTAGCTGTGGTCGAGATCAAAACGTTGTTACGAGTCTGCGGCTCCTTCAAAGCCACGTACAAAGAATATAAGAGAACGGCCGACGCCGAGTGCCCCGCGAACCAGTGGCGCATACAAAATAATGCTCTATTCTCGCGGCTCGACGCGTTCTTGGAGCGGTGCCACGACGTCTTGGATTTTGCACAAACCGTAGTGCAATTTACGAAGCTTGGTAGAATTGAGGTCGGCGGCACGAAAGGTAAAGCCCTCACCGCGAGTGTGGAGGCCATCTTCGCGGACTTCAACGGCGCCGTCGAGAGGTTCCGGGGCGTGGGCTACGAGATTCTCGATATCAACGAGAGCAAGTTCGAGAGCGACTTTAAATCATTTAGAAAGACCATCACGGAGCTGGAGCGGAGATTAGGTAATGTGGTCTGCCAGGGGTTTGATGACTGCTCTACCGTTTATGGTCGCTTCCGCGTGTTTGATACTTTTGATGGCTTGTTAGAGAGGCCTACGATCCAAGATGAATTGGAGAAGCGCTATGTGTTACTAGTGAAGGCCTTCGGCTCTGACTTGAAGGTCGTCCAGGAGCTGTTCTTGCATTATAGGGACGAGCCGCCCGTCGCCGCGAACCTCCCTCCTATTAGTGGCGCCCTGACCTGGTGCCGCGGACTACTCGACCGCGTGCGCGTGCCGATGAACAAGCTCGTGCAGCTCGACAAGTCCGTCCTGGACCGGGAAGAGGCGAAGGAGGTGACCAAGGTCTACTCGACGTTAAAAGCTTCTCTGGAGGAGTACGAGTCCCAGAAGATCGAGGAGTGGGGCCGCGACGTGGAGGCGTCGTCGCACGTCAAACTCTCGCTCCCTCTGTTAACGAGGGACGAGGCAACGCATTATATTAGTGTGAATTTCGATCCGGCGCTCGTTCGACTCCTCCGAGAGACGAAGTACTTCCTGCTAGCGGAGCTGCAGGTGCCCGAATCGGCCCTAGCCATCTATGCCCAGGTCGAAACCTTTAGAGTCTGGACGCAAAAATTAGACATGGTCGTCGCGAAGCACAACGGGTCATTGGCCAAGTTGCTGCCGGTGGAAAAACCGTTGATGCAGCCCTACTTGGATAAATTTGACATCGCCGCGGAAGAAGGCTTAACAACTCTAAACTGGGAGACGCACGGCGACGAGTTAGAGAAAACTAAGAGAGACGAATATATTGCTGAAGCGACGGCTGCTGTAGATATTGTAGATGAATACACGTGCAGCATGAAGGCGAACCTGGACCATGCGAACGAGATCATGGAGCGCTGGACCTCGAAACCTTTATTAGAGCGAGATAAGAAACCGGTCGAGCTCATCGAATTTGATCGAGTGTTCAAAAAAGCGAAATCGGAGAGGTACGCGGACATCAAGGAGGGCGGCAAGGAGGTGGAGCGCATGCTCAAGGACACGAACAAGATGCTACGCGTCAGCAACGCGTCGCTCGACTGGCACGCGTACATCGATTTCATCAACAACATCGTCGTGGACGGTCTTGCCGGTGTTATTACCGTGTCCCTCGAGTTCTTCTTAGATCAAATTGATCCAGAACATATTGCTGAGGCTTCGTTACTGCCCATGCTTGAAATTACACTCGACTTAGTAGAGGAGGGTCCTAGATTCACACCTAGAATAGGCTGCACGGAGAACGGCAAGGGCCTGCGCGACATCTCGAACAACTGGGTTTCGAGTTTCTTCCAGGTCGCTACTTTATTTAAACGGTTAGATTGCGACGGGACGTACATGCGCGAGATGCACACCGACCCCGACGTCTGCTTGTTGATGGCCGTGATTGAAGATACGCAAGATACCAATGAAAGGATGCTCCTGGAGTTGCGCGGACAATTTGATGAGTTAAGCTTCCTGTGGACTACTGATAGGGAAGTATTTTTTAAGGAGTTCACGTCAGACGCTCTTGTAGAAACAGAACATGCTACGTACCTAGATTTAGCTAAATATGACACGGCCATCACCAAGTATCTTGATATAGCTGAACGAGTAGGCAGGGCCAAATCTCCCGCCGACGTCGGATGGTTGAGGTGCAACACCCAACCCATAAAAGATAGCTTGTTAGATCTCAGTCTAGTCTGGAAGGACATGCACACGGATTATCTGAGGGATCATCTCGTATCAACATTGGATAGGTTCGACTCCTTCACGATCCAAGTGGAAGAGGGCTTAGCGATGCCCGTGGATGATGGAGAAAACGTCGGCAACTTGCGGCAGGTCATGAGGGATATCTTGGAGACCACAAAGGCCGAATTGTTTACCATGGACATGTTCCCCCCGCTCAAGGAGTGCCTGGCGTTACTCCGCCACCACCAGGTCGACATGGGCGGCGAACGAATTCCGTCGAAAGGAGAAGTGCGACGACGAGAGGCCAGGGGCAAGCCCGACGACTGGGTGCCCGACGGGCCGCCGGACTTGTCCAAGTCCAAAGTCGTCGCCGATTATTTAGATGAGGCCCCCCAGATCTGGGAAGGCATTGTCAAGTCAAAATACGCCAAAAAAGACGCGATCGCGCCCATCAAGATGCAGGAGGAGATCAAGCTCAAGGAGGAGCTCAACGCTTATTATGAAGAAATGAGAGCTTTTAGGGGAGAGTTCCGCGGGAACGCGCCCTTCGCGCACCAGGGCACCGCCGAGGAGGCCTATGCCGAGATCGACGTGTTCGCGAAGAAATTGGAGGACTTTGCGACGAGAGCGGCGGACTTCAACAAACAAGAAGAATTATTTGAGTTGCCCGTGTCGAAATACCCGGAACTACCGCAGACGCTCATGGAGCTACGATTGCTACGGGCCCTGTGGGACTTCAAGGCCATGGTCATGTTCACGTATGATGGCTGGAAAAGGTGTGATTGGGATGCGGTCGACACGGATAAACTCGAGAGTCAGAATAAAACCATACTAAAAACTCTGCGAGCGAACGGTAATAATGATCAAATAATCAAGCAGTGGCAGGTCTTCCGGGACATCGAGGACGCCATCAAGAACATGCAGATCGTCTTGCCGTTGATTAACGACTTACATAGTGACGCCTTGCAAAATAGGCACTGGAAAGCGCTCGCAAGAGTGTGTAGTGTTGCGAAGGTCGAACCGACGGCCGAAGGCTTCTCACTAGGAGACATGATGGCCCTCAAACTACATACGAGGGTCGAGGAGGTGCAAGAAGTGGTCGAAACGGCGCAAAAAGAAAAGAAAATAGAAAAGAAGCTCGCGGACATCTCCGGCGCGTGGAAGGAGTTCCAGATCGACTACCGGCCCCACAAGGCCACGGAAGTCAGTCTCATCTCGTTATCAGAAGAAGTTCTGGAAGCGTTAGATGCGCACATGCTGGAATTACAAACCATGCTCGGCATGGGGAAATTCGTCGAGTTTTTTAAGGCCGGCGTCGAGGAGTGGCAGGTCAAGCTGTCCAACGTCCAGTCCACCATTGGTGTGTGGGAGAAGGTTTCTCGCTCTTGGGCTGCTCTCGAATCGATCTTCTTGTCGTCAGCGGACATCCGAGCTTCACTGTCGGACGTGACGAAGATTTTTGAGGGCATCGACGCCGAGTTCAAGGCCATGATGCAGGAAAGTTGCACGGAGTTTAATGTTATAAATGCGTGTAACGTCGATGGGAAGGAGCAGGCTCTAACAGAGATGAAGAAAGGTCTGGATAAGTGCCAGCGGGCATTGAACGAGTACTTGGACGTGAAGAAAGCCATCTACCCTAGATTTTATTTCGTCAGTGCCGTGGCGTTGTTAGACATGCTGGCCAACGGCACGAACCCGCGGAAGATCATGCCGTATCTGGGGGACTGCTACGACGCGCTCGCCAACCTCATCTTCATCAAGGACGAAGCGACGGGCGAGGAATCCAATAAAACGGCGGACATCATGGTGGCAAAAGATCGGGAACGCATCCCCATGCACGAGCCGTTTACCATGGAAGGAGAAGTAGAACTCTACTTGAACCGGTTAACGGACGCGATGCAAGTCACGCTGCGCCACCAGATGCTCAAGGGCATCGAAGATGGCGTGAACTGGGAGACCTCCGAGGAATTACCTAGACATAAATGGTGCTTCAAGTACCCCGCGCAAGTCGTGCTCACGGGCTCGTTGATCTACTGGACCGAAGAGACGGAGCAAGCTTTAGAGGAGTTGGAAGGTGGCAAGGAAGACGCCGTGAAGCTGACCTACCAGAACTCTCTTACCAGACTAGGACACTTGATCCAGTTGGTATTAGGAGAACTCACGTCGGGTGACAGATGCAAGATCATCACGTTCATCACGATGGACGTGCACGGCCGCGACGTGCTCAAACTCATGGTCGATAGTAAAATAGAAGGACCGGGGGCCTTCATGTGGCAGCAGCAGCTCAGGTTTTACTGGGAGCACGACGTCATGGACGTAAATATAAGAATTTGTGCGTACGCGGTGTGAATTGAACCTTACGCCATCGACGCGACGCGTCTGGATCAGACGAGGTCGTGAGTGGTCTTTTTTTTTATTTTGAGCCGTTTCGTGATGGTACGATCCGCGCAGGCGACTTCAAGACGAAATACTTCTACGAGTGGACGGGCAACGTCGGGCGGCTGGTCATCACGGCCCTCACGGACCGATGTTACATTACGTTGACGATGGGGCTGCGCTTGTTCCTGGGCGGCGCGCCGGCCGGTCCTGCGGGTACCGGTAAAACGGAAACGACGAAGGACTTAGCCAGAGCGTTAGCCTTGCCGTGCTACGTCTTCAATTGTTCGGATCAGATGAACTACCAGTCCATGGCCGACATCTTCCGGGGTCTCGCACAAACAGGAGCCTGGGGCTGCTTCGACGAGTTCAACCGCATTAGCATCGAGGTGTTATCTGTGGTAGCCACCCAAGTGAAAACAGTACAAGACGCGATCGTCAAGTACGCCGTACCGAGTCGCAGAGAGGAGCAGTACCAGCATTTGAGCGCGGGCACGCCTCCCAACAAAGTGGGGAAATTCGACTTCTTCGGGACGATCATCGACCTCATTCCCACCTGTGGTTTTTGGATTACCATGAATCCCGGCTATGCCGGCCGTACGCCCCTACCAGAAAATCTGAAGGCCTTGTTCCGATCGTGCGCGATGATCCGGCCCGACCTGAAACCCATCTGCGAGAACATGTTGATGTCTGAAGGTTTTCAAACCGCTCAAAAATTAGCTATTAAGTTCGTCACTCTCTATGCTTTGAGCGGTGAACTTTTGAGTAAGCAGGCGCATTATGACTGGGGTCTGAGAGCTGTCAAATCAGTATTGAGAGTCGCGGGCAAGATGAAGCGCGCCGAGCCGGACTTGGAGGAGGCCCAGATCCTGATGCGCGCGCTGCGCGACTTCAACACGCCGAAGATCCCGGCGGTGGATACTCCTATCTTTTTAAGACTGATCTCGGACCTGTTCATGGGTTTAGAGGTACCAGTAAAAGTCGACGAGGGCCTCAAGCAGCGCATCGTGCGCGTCGCGAACGACACGGGCATTCAGTATGATGACATCTTCATTCTGAAGACGTGCCAGTTCCAGGAGCTGCTGGACGTGCGCCACAGCGTCATGTTGTTGGGCCCGGCGGGCTGCGGCAAGACGGAGATCTGGAAGTGCCTCGCGGGCACGCACAACCTGGACAAGCCCAAAAAAACTTGCGTCTACGAGACCGTAAACCCGAAAAGTGTTTCCGGCGACGAGCTTTATGGGTATATGACCCTCTCAAAAGACTGGAAGGACGGCTGTCTGTCGATTATTATGCGGGGCATGGCCAAGAACTTCGCCGAACAAAGCTTTTATGAATATCAAACCTATAAATGGGCCGTCTTAGATGGCGACATCGACGCGGTCTGGATCGAGTCCATGAACACGGTCATGGACGACAACAAGGTGCTGACGCTCGTCTCGAACGAACGCGTGCCCTTGAGCGACGCGATGCGCATGGTCTTCGAAATTAACAGTCTGAAGAACGCGACGCCGGCGACGGTCTCGCGCGCCGGTATTTTGTACATCAACGAGTCCGATATTGGGTGGAGACCTTTCGTGGAAACGTGGCTCGCTGATCGAGAAAAAGCGGAGCTCATGACGCAAATAGAAGCGCAGAACCTCCTCGGCCTCTTCGACAAGTACGTCGATTCGACGGCGGCGATGACAAGAAAAGGCTTCAAGAAGTGCACGCCGATCTACCTCATGAACCAAGTGCAAACTACGGTGTATCTCCTAGAAGCCCAGTTCGACGCGGCGGCAGGAGTCGACATGACTTTAGAACTCATGGAAAAAATTTATGTGTTCTGCCACATCTGGGCCTTCGGCGGGCCCATGATCATCGACAAGCAGACGGACTTCCGGAAGCGGTTCTCGGACGATTTTAAACAAACATTTCCGACCGTGCTCTACCCGCCCGAGGGTGATGTGTTCGACTACTACTTCGATTCGCAAACCGATCAGCACGTTCATTGGAGGGATTCCCTGGAGAAGTACGTGCCCGAGGCCATTGGCTCTGGGCCTGGAGAAACTGCATTCATGGCTCTGAACGTGGAGACCGTCGATAGCAAACGTACGAAGTACTTAATTGATGTTTTGATGAGACGAGGCCGAAATGTGATGTTGGTTGGCACGGCGGGCACGGGCAAGACGGCGACGATCAACAAGTACTTGAATGGCTTGGACAAGGACACCGACGGTTTATTATCATACTCTATAGTGATGTCCTACTTTACGGATAGCGCCAAGTTACAGGTAGATTTAGAGCTACCGATAGACAAGCGAGCGGGCAGGATGTTCGGCCCCCCGACCGGAAAAAAGTTGATCTACTTCATCGATGATTTGAACCTGCCGTACATCGAAACGTACGGCACGCAGAATAGCATCGCGTTATTGACGCAATTGCTGCAACACGGTACCATATTCGATAGAGCCGACCTAGGATTTAGGAAGGAGATCGTGGATGTGCAGATCATCACGGCCATGAATCCCACGTCCGGCAGCTTCGAGATCTGCGAGCGCGGCCAGATCCAATTCGCGACGTTCTCGTGCGCCATGCCCTCGACCACCGACTTACAAACCATCTACGAGCAGATCTTCAACGGCCACGTCGAGCGCTTCGACAAGAAAGCGAAGGAGACGGCGCCGTTTATTGTGTCGGCCTCGATCGGTTTAATTGACAAGGTCGCGGCGAAGTTCTTACCTACGTCTGTCCGCTTCACCTACTTCTGGACCATGCGCGAGATGACGAACCTGTTCCAGAACATGTGTCTGGCCAAAGATAAATACTACGGCACGGGCGATGCGCTCGCGAAGCTGTGGTGCCACGAATGTCGCCGTGTCTTAGCTGACAGGTTAATAACAATAGACGAGACCAAAATCATCGACGACATGATCGGCGAGTGCCACGCGGACCACCTCAAAAAACAAGGCGTAAGTGCCGATGTGTTACTGAATGACGCCGAACATGCGAACATCTACACGACGTTCACGGCAGTCGAGCCGGACGGCGCCTACCGCCCGATTGATGATTTAGCACAATTATCAAAAGTGCTCGAGGCGAAACTCGTGGAATACAATGAAAGTAATGCGATGATGGACCTGGTCCTTTTTGACGACGCGATGTCGCACATCTCAAGGATCGCGCGCATCATCTCGAACCCCGCCGGGAACGCCATGCTCATTGGTGTTGGTGGTAGTGGTAAACAGTCCCTCACGAAACTTGCGGCATTTATTTGTGGGTATGAAACCAAACAGTTAGAGGTAACATCAGCATACAGCGAGAACGACTTCAAGGAGGACATCAAATTGTTCTACACGCTCTGCTGCTCGAAAGATACGCCCATGGTGCTGCTGATGACGGATTCGCAGATCGTCAATGACCGATTCTTGATCTATATTAATGCCTTATTAAGTGCAGGATGGGTCAGCGACCTCCTAGCGAAGGATGAATTGGACGCCATCACGGGCTCGCTGCGCAACGAGATGAAGGCGAACGCGCCGCTGTTAAATCCCGATGATCCTAATGATGCCCAAACATATATGATCCAGAAGTTCCGGATCCGCTTCAAGCTCGTATTAGCTTTCTCGCCGGTGGGCGACACCTTCCGGATTCGTGCTAGAAGGTTCCCCGGTTTGATCAATTGTACCGCTATTGATTATTTCCACCCCTGGCCTCATCAGGCTTTGGTGAGTGTCGCGAACCGCTTTTTAGCTGATGTGGAACTAGAAGATGAATCGTTGAAGGGCAAACTAGCTCTACACATGGCCCTCGAACATCTCAGTGTCGGTGACGCGTCCGCGAAGTACGCGCAGACGCAGCGCCGGTACAACTACGTCACGCCCAAGTCGTATCTCGAATTGATCGGCTTTTATAAATATGTCTTCGGCGAGAAGCGCCAGGACATCCAGCGGCAGATCGATCGGTTGGACGTCGGTCTTTCTACTTTAAAGAAAACGTCAACGGACGTCGCGGAACTCAAGATCGACCTAGAAAGGACCATGGTCATGGTCGAGGAGAAGAAGAGCGCCACGGACGCGCTCATCATCGAGATGGGCATCTCGCGGAACATCGCCGAGAAGGAGGGCGCGGCCGCTAATATAGAAGCGGAGAAAGCAGGTGTTGCGTCTGCGGCAGCTCTGGAAGTCAAGACGTCGGCCGAGGCCGAGCTCGCCGAGGCCGAGCCGGCCATGCAGGCCGCGGCGGACGCCGTGGCTTGTTTGACCAAGAACATGCTCGGTGAGCTCAAGTCTCTACCGAAGCCTCCAGCAGGCGTGGAAAAGGTGACGGCCTGCTGTCTCATCTTGCTCGAGCACGAGTACAAGCAGCACCTGAAGTGGGACCGGGCCAAGAAGATGATGGGCAACGTCGACGCGTTCATGACGACGCTCCAGGAGTACGACGGCAGGACGATGCCCGAGAACGAGATCCCGAAAATTGAAGTCTTCGTGAACGACCCCGAGATGACCGTCGACGCGATGAAGAAGAAAAGTGCCGCTGCTGCTAATTTATGGACGTGGGTCGTGAACATCTACGGGTTCAACCGGATCTACGTGAAAGTAAAACCCCTCATGGACGCGTTAGACGAGGCGAACGCGTCGAAGGCCGCTGCCGATGAATCTCTGGCTGCTGCTCAGGCTACGGTGAAGAGGTGCGAGGACGAGTTGCAAGCCTTGCAGGATAAATTCGAAGCGGCTACTGCTGAGAAACAGGAGGTCGAGGAGATGGCCGAGGCCTGCTTGGAGAAGCTTGGTCTAGCGGAGAGATTAGTGGGCGGTCTCGCGTCGGAGAACGAGCGCTGGGGCCGGGAGATCGAGGAGATGAAGGTCTCGACGAATTGTCTGATCGGCGACTGTATGGTCGCCGCGGGTTTTGTGTCGTATGTCGGTGCGTTCGACCAGAAGAACCGGGAGGCGTTGTGGAAGACGACGTGGCTCGAGGACCTCAAGCAGAACGGCGTGCCGATGAGCGAGACGGTCGACCCGCTGCCGATCCTCGTGACGGACTCGCAGGTCGCGCGCATGGTCGGCGAGGGCCTGCCGGAGGATCGCATTTCTACGGAGAATGGCGCTATTATTACCTGTTGTAAACGATGGCCTCTGATAATCGACCCGCAAGTGCAGGGCATCAAGTGGCTCAAGCAGAAGCAGGAGAAGGACGGCTTTGTGCCTTGCTTATTAACACAGAAAAATTGGATTCGAGCTATGAGGGGCGGTATCAGTGACGGCATGTGCGTCATCATCGAGAACCTCGGCGAGGAGATCGACGCGACGCTGGATCCGGTCTTATCGAGGGCGATCTACAAGAAGGGTTCGTCGCTGTACATCAAGTTCGGCGGCGAGGAGATGAACTACGATCCGGCCTTCTCGCTCTACATGCAGACGCGCTTGGACAACCCCCACTACAAGCCCGAGATTGCCGCGCAGTGTACGCTGATCAACTTCATCGCGACCGAGCGTGGTCTCGAGGACCAGTTGCTGGCCAAGACCGTCGGGGAGGAACGACCTGATCTCGAAGCTGAAACACAACGACTCAATGCGGAAGCCACCCAATACAAGATCCAACTACTGGACTTGGAGGACCAGTTGCTCGAGAGACTGGCCAATGCCCCTGATGATATTCTAAGTGATATTCCGCTCATCGAAGGTTTGGAGGCCACGAAGAAGACGTCCAAGGAGATCCAGGCCGCTCTCGCCGAGGGCGCGAAGGTCACGGCCGGCATCTCCGTCGCGCGCGAGGTCTACCGCAAGCAGGCGTCGGAGGGCGCCATGCTCTACTTCATGCTCACGCGCATGTGCGCCGTGGACCACATGTACCAGTACTCGTTGGATTCCTTCGTTACGTTCTTCCTCAAGTCCATCGCGAAGGCTACCGCGGCCCCGAAGATCGAGGACCGCGTCGCCAATTTAGTCACCAGTCTGAGAATGACGATCTTCACCTGGGTCGCGAGAGGCTTGTTCACGCGCCACAAGCTCATCTTCTTGTCCGTCATCACGTTCGGATTGATGAAGCGAGGCACGCTCGGCGAAGATAATTTGATTGATCCCGTGCTGTTCGACTTCTTGTTGAAGGGGCCCAAGAAGGCCTCGGACGAGAATCCTTTACAATCATGGCTGCCGCGACCGGCCTGGGAGGCCTGCCAAGCTCTAGCTGATCTCGATGATTTTGGCAAGTTGCCTGCGGATCTCGTGGAGGCCGCCCCGCGCTTCCGCGAGTGGTACAACCACGCCACGCCGGAAGCCGAGAAGCTACCGCTCGACTGGTCGCAACTAGATCGGCCAGATAAAGCGTTCAAGAAGATGCTCGTCGTCCGTTCTCTCAGACCGGACCGCATGGTCTCGCACTTGGCCAATTTCCTGCGAACGACCATGCCCGCCGGTGGCGATTATGTGGACTGCGACTCGACGCTGAACTCTGTGCAGATTCTGAGGCAGTCTCTCGCGGATAGCACGCCGCAGACGCCCATTTACTTCATTTTGTCGCCGGGTGCGGACGTCGTGGCCGATCTCGATAAGATCGCCGCGGAACAGGATCCTCCTTTCGTCAATGGCGAGAATTATTTTAATGTCTCCATGGGCCAGGGCCAGGACGTCATCGCCATGTCCTACTTGGAATCAGCGCATCGCAATGGCTCTTGGGTGATCCTGAACAACATCCATTTGATGCCGAAATGGCTCCTAGAACTGGAGAAGAAGTTGGATTCATTTGGCGATCATTCCCATGATAATTTCAGATTGTTCCTATCATCTGATCCGGCCAAGAACATCCCGATCGGTATCCTGAACCGATGCATCAAGCTCACGAACGAGCCCCCGGGCGGCCTGAAAGCCAATTTAGTCAGAGCCTTCTGCTTCTTCAGCAAGGAGTCCTTCGAAGAGCTCGACAGCAAGACGAAATCTATCTTGTTTGGACTCTGCCACTTCCACGCCGTGATGATGGAGCGCAAGTTGTATGGTCCCATGGGCTACAACATGATGTACCCGTTTGCCGTGGGTGACTTAAGAGACTCAGCAGTTATCTTGAGCAACTACATGGAGAACAGCGGAGGAGGCAAGATCCCCTGGATGGACCTGAAGTACTTGTTCGGCGAGATCATGTACGGCGGCCACATCGTGAACGACTTCGATCGCCTGACGTGCAAGGTCTACCTCGACTTCTTCATGAAGGACGAGTTGTTGGACGAGACGGAGATGTACCCCTACTCGGAGGAGGAAAAGGGTGTCTCGTTCATGTGCCCCGCGCCGACTTCCTATGATAATTATTTGAAGCACATCAATGCTACCTTGACCTCTGACACTCCCGTGGCCTTTGGCTTGCACCCCAACGCCGAGATCGACTTCAGAACGACGCAGAGTGAAGGCATGTTCAAGACGTTAGTGGAATTGCAGCCTCGATCCGCGGGCGACGACGAGGGCGGCGGCATGTCGCCCACGGAAGTCGCCGCAGCCAAGCTTGATGACATCATGGAGCGCTTCGGCGAGAAGAAGTTCGACATTGACGACCTCGATGCGTCTCTCGACGACAAGGGCCCCTTCCAGAACTCGTTCCTGCAGGAGATGGAGGTCATGAACCGCCTGTTGGCGGAGATTGTCCGTTCATTGAAAGAATTAACACTAGGCTTCAAGGGCGAGTTGTCGATGAGCGACGCCATGGAGGCCGTGTGCGACGCGTTGTTCATGGACGAGGTGCCGCCGAAGTGGTCCAAGATTTCTTGGGCCTCGATGAAGGCGCTTTCCGGGTGGTTAGCGAACTTTACGGCTCGCTTAGGGCAATTAGAAGAGTGGGCGGGCAACCCCACGGAGATCCCCAAGTGCACGTGGCTGTCCTACTTGATCAACCCGCAGTCGTTCCTCACGTCGGTCAACCAAGTCGCGGCGCAAAAGAACCAGTGGGAGCTCGATAAGTTAGTGACGTTCACGGACGTGACGAAGTGGGAAGATCATAGTAAGGTCGACTCCGTCAGCCGAGACGGCGCCTACGTGTGCGGCTTCAACATGCAGGGCGCGCGCTGGGACACGGGCGCGTCGACGATCGACCGAAGCAAGCCCAAGGAGATGTTCTTCGGCATGCCCGTCCTGTCGATCCGAGGCCTCTCGGCGGAGAAGGCCGACTTCGGCAACATGTACATGTGCCCGGTTTACAAGACCGAATTCCGCGGGCCCACGTTTGTCTTCTGCGCGAACCTGAAGACGAAGAGTGCGGCCGGCCGGTGGACGCTCGCGGGCGTCGCGCTGATCATGGAGCTGACGGCCTAGGTGCCTAAATATATTTGCAGCTCATCTAAGCATCCATAGGGGCCTCAACGTAATTTCAACGTACTACTAGTACTTGCCAGTGACTTGTTAGTTGTGATTCCAGAATCGCCCGATCATACTTTTAATACCGGTGATACTTCATCTTGATCGTGTCGTCGCTGCTAGGCGCAGAAAAAAATTCCCGAGCCCCGTTTTACATATCTTTGCCTACTACTCAGGGCCGGGTGGGACTTGGGGTGGGAGGTATACATACGGTACATACCCCAGGCGCCCCTGAGATCGGCCCATGCGGACAGGTGCGCGGGCCCTCTCCGCGTGCCAAGTTGTCGGAATCCAAATATGTCTTAAGGGACAAAATGCATTTACATGGGTAGGGGGGTAGGTACTTAAGTATACATAGGCAGCCTATGTCCCTAGCTGGAGAGCGCTTTATGACATCAGCTTGACGAATACGCGATCGAGCTTAACGACTCGTGCGCGTACATCGAAGCGCTGCTGTGAACCGTCTACGCCTGCCCATTTCGCTGCCATGGAGGCATGGCTCAAATGCCTTGTGCTCTCTCTAGCTTGGACAGCGTCTGCCTTCGTGGCTCGCGCACCCCGTCCAGCCATGGCCGCGGCATTGCGCCGCAGCTCCAGGCACGACGTCGCGTCCAGGCACGTCGCCTCGATGGCCGCGACGTTGACGGACCCGACGCCGAGCTCGGGAGCCATGCGCCCGGAAGCTACTATTTCGCCCTCCGACCCGACGACCGAACATGCCGCAGCCACTGAGACGACGAGCGGCGCGCCGGACTACTCGAGGTTCGACTGGATGGATCACTGGTATCCCGTCGCGTGGACGCGCGACTTGCCCGTCGACGCCGTGACTAAGGTGACGCTCTTCGACGTGGACTACTGCGTGGTGAATCGCGGCGAACGCGAACCGCTCGCCCTGGAGGACAAGTGCCCGCACCGCCTCGCGGCGCTCTCCGAGGGCAGACTCACGGCTCAGGGCTACGTCCAGTGCGCCTACCACGGCTGGAGCTTCGACGCGAGCGGCGAGTGCAAGTCCGTGCCCCAGCGCGAGGGCGGCGCGTCGACGGCCCTCTGTGCGACGGCGGTCCCGTGCCGCGTGGAACAGGGCCTGCTGTGGCTCTTTCCCGGCGCCGCCGCCGGCCGCGACGCCGACCGCTCCGCGCCGCCGCCGCGCGTCCCGGAGATGGACGACCCGGCGTTCAAGTGGACGACGGCGATCCGGGATCTGCCCGTCGACTATAGTATTCTCGTCGAAAACATCCTGGACCCGGATCATGGCTTATTCGCCCATCAAGCGGCTCCGTTCGACCTCTACACGGCGACGCGCGCCGCGCCGCAGACCGTCGCCGTCGACGAGTCGTCGCCGGGCTTTTTCTCGCTCTCGTCGGCCGTCGCCGCGGTGCCGAAGCTGGTGACGACGATGAAAAAGGAAATAAGACAGCCCGGGACCGTGGCGGGCACGACGCTGTACGGCGCGCAAAACGTCACCGGCGTTTCCACGTTCCGGCCTCCGAGCGCCATCGCCACGGGCCGGCGCGACGCGGCGGGCGAAACAAAGTTCCAGGCCTGTTTCTGGCTCTGCCCGACGGGCGTGGGACGCACGCGGTTCATGAGCGCCGGCGTCGGCCGCCTGCCGGTCGCGGTGCCGCGGTGGCTCCAGCACGTCGGGCTCAACAACTTCCTCGACCAGGACACGCACCTCCTCGCGACGCAGCAGCCATACGTTTTACAGGCCGAGTACGACGCCGCGAAGTCGGGCGCCCCCCTCGTCCGCCGCCAGCTCTACAAGTACTCGTCGCCCACGGAGCGGCTGCTGGTCGAGGTCGGGAAGTTTATGGACGCTGCCGTGCCCAAAACGCCGAACAGATACGCCGAGCCCCTTAAACTTCTCATGCCGTGCCCGCCCCGGGAGACGACGCTCGACCGCTACGCGCAGCACACGCAAGTGTGCCCCGACTCGCGAGGCGCGGTCCGCAACGCCAAGGCCCTGCGTCTCGTGTCCTGGGCAGCGGCCGCGACGGTCGCTGCCGGGCGCGTGGCCCGCCTCGGCTCCGTGGCGCGGGCGGCGGCGAGCCCCGCGGCCCTCGGCCTCGCGGCGCTCGGCTACGCGGCGCACGCGTTCGTCGGCGAATTCGCGTTCAAGTACGGCTCCGCGAAGCGCGACCGCGACCTCCGCGGCATCCCGAAGGTGTATGCCGACGAGCGGCTCGACGACTAGTCTGTTGTATAAGTGACTGTACATTATTACTTCACATGACGCCGCGCCACGCGCCCGCGGCGACGTCACCGCTCTCGGAGATCAGGAGTCCGATCGACATGTTCGTCTCGCTGTTCTGTTTCGCGCAGTGGTAGAGGCGCAGCGCGTCGCCGTCGGCGACGAGGTAGGGCGTCCCCACGACCTGGGCCGTCCAGGCGCCCAGGGGAGCGATACCGGGCGCGACGATGGCTTGTCCGTCGCCGACGCGGGCCCAGGTCCGGCCGCCGTCCGACGACGTCGCCGCGCCGAGGCGGTGCGTGCCCGAGAACGTGCCTCCGCCGTCGACGCCCTCGTAGACCATGAGCGCGTGGTCGCCGCGCTTGATCACCGAACGCGTACCCACGCCCGTCTCGTCAAAGGCTCCGGCCGGGCCGACGTCGAGCGCGAGGCGGCGGTCGGCCCACGAGAGGCCCGCGTCGGTCGACGTCGCCGAGAAGGCTCTCCAGTGCGTGCCGTTGAAGGCGTGGTAGAGCATGACCCACTCCTTATCGTAGCGCAGGATCCGCGGCCACGACGCGAACAAGCCCTCCTCGGCCCGCGCCTCGAGGACCGGGCCCGCGCCGTCGGCGCCGGAGCCGCAGCGCGTCCAGCTTTGCCCGCCGTCTACCGAACGCGCGCGGCCGATCTGCATTGCGAGGCCGCGGTAGGCTTTGCCAGAGGCGCTCGCCTCCCCGCCACCGCCTCCGCCGCCGCCAAAGTAGAACATGAGCAGCGAGCCGTCGTCCTCCCGGATCACGTCCCCGACGCCCGTGTGGAGCCCGTCCCAGGCGTCGACGTTGTCCGCCGGGCCGAAGACACTTTTATCGGCGCGCGGGCCGTCGACCTTGCTCCAGCGCACGCCGTCCGCGGACTCCGCGAGGCCGCTGGTTCCGGTTGGCAGGAACCCGACCGTGCCGTCGGACCAGTTACCGTTATTACCATAGTACCACATCTTCCAGCGGTCCTCACCAGGTCCGGGCTTGAGGACGACGGGATTCGCTATACAGGCCGAGTCCCAGCGCTCCGGCCGGTCCGCCGACGGCGAAAGGACGGGGGCCAGCGACGACGGTTCGTCAGAGTCTGTCGTCGCTGCCACCGGTCCCGCGCGACGGATGCTGCGCTTGCAGACGAAAGCGTCGGTCGTCTGAGCCAGGATGAGCACTATAACTACGCGCGGCATTGCAAAATGGCAGCACTGCAGTGCAGGTTACTGATGACTGTCAGTGTATTATCGACAACACAAAACACCGATGCACGGCAGCTTTGCAGGCTCGCTTGCGCACCTACAGAACGCTGTGCTGGGAGCGTAAGCACGCTGAGAGAGTATGCACAGCTGCTATATCGAGCCAGTGAAAGTCTGCAATTAAGTCTGCCTAGTGTGTGTCATTACGCTAGCCCGAGGTCCGGCCTCAGCGCAGCGCGGGTAATTTGCGCTCTACTGGGGCTCAGGGGCCGTTGGACTCTGTCGCCGCATAACACCCGCGAAAGATCCGCTGGCTCCCGCGCCGCGCCGCCCGTAACGTGCAGCGAGCGGAGAGCACTCTCCCAGGCGACCAACATGGGCGCCCAATTCTCGACGGCCGGCCGGAGAGAAGCCGCGCGCAAGCGGCGCGCCGAGACGCGCGACACCGCCCTCCGGCAAGCAAAACGGCGCATCGCGCGGCCCTGCCGCTTCGGTCTGCCGGAAGACGCGCTGCTGGGCGTCCTGGCCTTTGCTGATTACCCTGGCGTCGCCTACGGCTCGGCTGTCTGCCGCGAGTTCCGCGACGCTCTATCAAAGATTAAGCCCGACCTGCTGCACAGCCTAGCGCTGCACCGCTTCCCGCAGCTGCGATTGGTAAGAGCGCCGCGGTGCATGCGGCCGGACCCGCGCCAGCTCTTCGAGTCGCAGCGACGCCTGGTGGCGCCGCAGCCGCGGCCGGTCCCTACCATCACGCCCCGGCGCGACCTCGATTCGTACATCTTCTCGCTGGAGCTCTCGACGCGCCGCCACGGCACCGACGAGGCCAAGAGCGTGATCCACGTCGGCGAGGGCCGCGTGAGGCGAGAAGAGGGCCGCCCGAGCTTCCAGTTCGACGTCCCCGCGTCGATCTTCACGGCCCTCATGCTGGACGACGTGCCGCTCGACATATATGCCACCGTATTATGCTTTAAAAGGGGCACGTGGCAGCGGTGCGTGCTCACGCAGACCGAGGTCGACGACTGTGATGGAGATACATTTTTCTTTGATTGGACCGAAGTGCCTGGCCCGGGACAAGACAGCGAGCGCGGCCGACTCTTAGCGTGGCTGCGCCAGAACCCGGAGCAGAACGCTGATGGGATGAACGTATCCGCGTGGCCGCTCCTGAAACTGACCTGGGATTACGCGGCCGGCGGCTCCATGAGCCACGTGAACGCGCACCTCATGTGGGAGTCCGTCGGGGACTTGTTCGACATGAGCGAGGCCCAGGCGCGCTGTACGCTCGAGCATTGGTGCGCGTGGACCGGGTAAGGAGCTAAGTGTACATAGAGCATGGCTCAACATCGCCGGCGGCATCAGGCAGATGCATCGGGATATGTAGCACGCCGTCGCCGCGACTCGAGAGGGAGAAAGACTTGAGAAAAGCTATACTTATCGTGCGCATGGGGAGTCCATTTACCGAGAAGGGAACTCACGCCTCACGCGCCCAGGAGCCGCCCCGGGTCGCGCCCCGCCTCCAGAAATAAGGGCGACCGCGGCGGCGACCGCAGCGGCGACGACGGCGCCGCGAAGACGAGGCGGGCGTCGCGGTCGTCGTCGTCCGCGGCGCAGCACCAGCAGCCCGCCTCTTTTTGGCGCGCCTCGGGCACGCGCCGCTGCGAAAAGGGCACGGGCGACGACCAGCAGGGCGACGGCGGACATCGAAAGCCGTCGCTGTCGGAGTCGTCGCGGCCGCCCTCGCCGACGTGTAGTCTAGAGCCGTTCCGCCGCGCGTTCCTCAAAGAGTCAAACAAGTCCTTCAGGCGGTCAAAAGACGAATGTTCCCTTCGCATGTCCGCGGGCTCGTTGGACACGGCTCGTCGGAGGCGCGCGACCTCGTTTTCCAGGCGCGCGCGATCCCGCTCGGCGCGGTCGCGGTCTATGCGCGCCCGCGCCGCCGCCTGCTCGCTCGCCTCTAGGCGCGCGGCGTCGGACGCCGACCGCGCCGCGGCCTTGCGCGCCTCGGCGCGGAACCGGTCGACTGTGGACGCGTCGACGCTGCTGCTCGACGCCTCATCAGCAAAAGTCTCGCAGGCGTCGAGAAAGCCGCGTGCCGGTGCGGCCACGGTCTCGGCGGGCGTAGCTTGTCGTGCGTTCATTTTTAGTTTCCGCGCGCGTCGCTGGTGCTGCTCACGCGTCGACGGCGTCAGTGGCAGCGTCTCTGACGCGCTCGCGCTTGTTTTTGCCGCTGTTGCTGCGGTCTTGCCTTTTGTGTGATTAAAAGCTCTGCAGTTGTCCGAGACTGCAGATTTCTTGCCACTTCGCGTACACAGATACTGCTGTAGTACTTCCGCTGCTCAACGTCGTGTCGGCGTGCTACCGGCAGCCAATTATGGACTTTTTCGATACAATGCGTAGTGCTGATGTCGACTTTTTGGCGGGTCAGCCGAGAAGCGCGAGCCGCCCTCAGCAGCCCTCCCAGGTCCTGTTGCACTGCCCCACGACCGCTCTCGCGAGAAACGTAATCGGCGGCGGCCGAGCCCGCACTCACACAGCGCTCGAGCTCTCCAGACGCGCAAAGACGCTGGTACCACTGCCCAAGAGGCTCCCAAAGCCGCAACAAAGCGAGTAGTAAGAGCCGTCGACCACCGGTAGCCGCGCGCACCCCAAGCGCATTGCCAGGGGCAGCCTTCAGCCCTTGGGGCAGCCCCCACGACAACCACCATGAAGCGCGCCGGCACGCCGCAAGAGCGCGCTCTAGCTCAAATGAAGCTGAAAGCAGCCGCCACCGCTTCAAGATCCGCAGCGCTCTTCCAGAAGTCCGTCGCGAGCGCGAGTGAGAGCCGGCCCACGTCGAAGCGAGGAAAAAAAACAAAGAAGAAGAAGCGCTTGTACAAGCGCCCGAAGGCGTGGGAGGAGTGCTGGGTCGACGTGCGAAAGAAGCAGGACGCCTTCGGCCAGAAGTGGAAGGTCTGGCCGTCGCAAGTGCCGAGACGCGCTGTTACGTTACTGGGGACGTGCCTCTACGTCGAACCCGAGACGGCTAAGGCGTCGAACGGCTGGTGGGCGCCGAAGCGCACCGTCTGCCTCGGAGAAGAGAACGAGAAAATCGATCAGATTCCCCCGGAGTGGCTCACGGCACCTCCAAACAAGTACGACAAACACATCAAGGCCGCGGCCAAGGAGGAGGACTGGCTCCTCGAGGTGTCCGTGGAAAGGAAGATGAAGGCGTTGTGTCGGGCGTCGAACGCGCTGGAGATTTTTAACCAGTATGATGATGACGGGAGCGGCGAGCTCGACGGAGACGAGTTCCGCGCGATGATGGCGCTGACTCGGAGCAGAAAATGGGCTTCAACGTGACGTGGTCGCGGCGATGGCGTGCCTCGACGCCGTCGATGCGGCCGCATGAGAGCGTTTCGTGACGGTGTCGTTCCCACACAGGCTCATATTGGAGAGGACCTCTCCGAGGAGAAGATCGAGAACTTGCTAGCTGCGCTGGATCCTTCCGGCGATGGTGCGGTCGACTTTGACGAGTTCAAGCAGTTCATCAACCGGAGGGACAAGGTCGGCATTTCGCAAAGTAGAGAATTTTGCGGTACCTATGACACTTCTTTCAAGGACCAGCTCCTCAAGCTCTACGACCCGAAAAAAGTAGCGCCGAAGTTCCACCCCTTGTATACGCTGAAAGCGCTGTGTAAGCGGGAAAGTCTGAAATTCGATCCGAGCATCCGAAGGCACTTGAACGTCCTCTGGAAGGAGATCGACGAGGACAAGTCGGGGCGCATCGAGTACGACGAGTACGTGCCCATGCACCGGCGCTGCTGCGAGATCATGGTCTCGCTGACGAAGATCGAGGTCGAGTCGATCAGTGGGAAGAAAGTCAACGTCGGAACGGGTTTGCCGCCCAAACTACTCACGCGCGACGGCCGCATCAACCACGAGGAGCACGAAAAATTAGCGCAGGAGGACTGGGAGATCGACAACGGGGGCATGGGCTTCCTCGACTACGAGCGCTTCGCGTCGTGCTGGTGCGGACGCGGCGTCTTTCACGCCATCGACGCGCGTCGTCTCGGACCGCGTCGATGGCGTCGTCACAACGCAGGTTCCAGATCGCCGACCAGTTCACCGACAAAATAGCACTCGAGGAATACGAGAAGTTCCTGGGGCGGATCGTGGAGCAGGTCGTGCCGGAAGAGCCAGAGGAGGAGCCCGTTCCTAGGAGGAGCTCCATCGATTCGTTGATCTCGCACCTGAGGAACGAGGAGGTCGCAGAGATCGTGACCGACGTCTTCGAGGAGATGTCGTATGAAGTGTGGGTCTCGAATTTGGGCGCGGTGTTGACACAAGTGAAACTGGATGAAAAACCGGTGGAAGAGATCTTCGTGTCTATTACTCCCAGAAAATTACGTACGAGGGTCGAAGTGATAGTGGCCAAGGCTAATACCGAGGGGACTGCGGGTTCCATGGAAGAGAAATTTCTTGATTTGGATTATTATGCGATACAGATCCAGCGAGTCATGCGGGGGAAGAGAGGTAGGCGACGGTGGAAGGATCGGTTGGCGCGGTGGGTGAGGCGTTCCCAAGACTTGCTGACTTCTGCCCTAAGGACACAAAGTACAAGAAGAGGTATCCTGGGCCGACGAGCGGCCGATGAGGAGCGAAACCGGCAGGACGAGTTGTTAAGGAAGGCTCGCGAAGCGCGAGAACTGCGGAAGTTAAGGGAATTATCAGCTTTGAAGATCCAGTGTTATCATAGACGTGCTCGGGCTATTCAATTACTATTAAGGATGCGGCGACTAGCTCAGGCCAAAGCGGGGCCCGTGGTCTGCGACCTGGCGGAGCTCGAAACTTTTTTTGACGAGGAGCCCATTATTCCTGTCCAGTCCGTTATGCCGGTGTTTACCTTCATCCAAGTACCACATGAGATCAAGATACCGGTTGTGGTTAAGGAAGAGCCGGCCTTCGACCACGAGGCGGAACGGTTGCGCATACTAGAAGAGATGCGCCGCGCGGAGGAGGCGCTGGAATTAGATAGGAAAGCGGCCGCTCGTGCGGCCGCCGAGGCGGCGCGGGAGAATGAACGAAGGGCCAAGGAACGGTTGCGTCTGGCATTGGAGGCCTTTACGACTGGTCGTTATGAGAAGATCAGGAAGCGGTTCCTGATCAAGTACGTCATCGAGCCGTACCGCTGGCGCAAGGAGCAAGAGCGCTGGAAGGCTAATAGAGCCAAAAGAGCTAGACCGTCGATCTTCCGAGGGGGCTACTGGTCCGACCTATCTGATGAAGAAGAACCGGAGGCAGAGGAAGTAGTCGAAGCGCGACCAAAAAAGGAGATGCCCTGCGCCAAATGTGGCCAAAGAGTCGTGTGCGTCTGTGAGTCGGAGAGATACCGGGTCAGGAAGGAGCTGCGGAGGAAGAAATTAGGACCCACAAGACAGAAGGCCGCTTTCGCGCGGAAGCACCCGACGCCCGCCGACGTCGACGCGTTGGTGGACCTGCAGCAAGCGGAGGTGGCTCGCTTAGCGAGAGAAGAAGAGCAACGTAGTTCAAACAAGAGGAAAAAAGGAGTGCTGTCCCTACCTCACATCGTGGGCGCCGAAGACCCGCCGGAACTGATGAAGTTCTTCGCGTCTCGCGACGGGCCGCCCTCCGCCGGCGACCAGTGGATGACGTTAGAAAATGTCAAAGAACAACAGACGCGGTCCGACCGGTTCAAGCGGAACCTGGCTACCTCCCGGCGACTGAAGCAGGCGACGGGCGAGATCGAGCTAAGTGTGAGGGACAAGATGATCTACCGGACTCTCACCGCTCCGGTGTTGCCGCCCCGTCCTTGGTCATCTCAGATTGACGACCATGGACGGGCCCCGTCTTACAAGCGGGCTATGACGTCGGGAAGCATTGTGCCGCTCGACGGGTCGGGGCGGTGGTAAGAAGATGTTGTGTTATCTACTAGTAGGGGCGCGCGTCGTCTGGCGGGCGTCGCGTCGACGGCGTTCAAGCGCAAGCGGGTAAAATGGGCGTTTCGGCGTTATGCGACTCGAATACTTAATTTACCGCTAATTTCGGCGCTAAATCCATGCAAATAACGCTAGCGTCGTAAGATACTAGATTGCAGGCTAGTAGGATAGCGACGCGTATGCACAGTGTCAAAGCTAAACGCGCTGCTACCTTGCACATAAGCCTCGGACGGTCGCGACGCGTCGTCCGGCACAGCATTACTCCAAGGAGCAAGCACTCGACCGCAGCACGCCGTCGCAGCGATACAACTCAAGCAGAGCACTCTCTGCAAGCACTGCACGTCAAGCGACTCCGACGCGACGCTAGAGACACAACTAAGAAGCGACGATGCGCTACCGTTCGACCAGAGGCGGCGTCGAGGACTGCGGGTTTGTGGATGCGGTCCTCATGGGCCTCGCGCCGGACCGTGGCCTGCTCGTGCCGAAGACGATCCCCAAAGTCGACGCTGCGACGCTCGAGAAATGGTCAAAACTGCCCTTCGCGTCTTTAGCGACGGAGATCATCTCGCTCTACATCGATGAAAGCGAGATCAGTCGAGCCGAACTCGAGCAGCTCACGAAGACGGCCTACAGCAACTGGAGGAGTGAGCATGTGACGCCCGTCCACCACTTGGACGGCGACTACCATTTGCTGGAGCTGTTCCACGGGCCTACTTATGCGTTCAAGGACGTCGCCTTGCAGTTCCTCGGCGTTTTATTCGAGCTCATCCTGACCAAGAAACCGAAGGGCCAAGAAAGATTAACGATCATCGGAGCTACAAGTGGAGACACCGGCTCGTCCGCCATCGCGGGCGTGCGCGGCAAGGAGGGCGTCGAGTGCTTTATTTTGTACCCCGAGAACCGCACCTCCCCAATCCAAGAAGCGCAGATGTGCGCGTATGATGATGAGAACGTCCACGCTCTCGCATTACGAGGCGCCTGTTTTGATGATTGCCAAAAGATAGTAAAAGGCCTGTTCGCGGACCAGCAATTTCATGCCAGACACTCGTTGGGTGCCGTGAACTCGATCAACTGGGCGCGCATCGTCGCGCAGATCGTCTACTACTTCTACGCCTCGTTCCAGGTCGATGCCGCACCGGTCTTTTCGGTGCCGACGGGCAATTTCGGCGACGTCTTGGCAGGCTGGTACGCGAAGGAGATGGGCTGCGCTTGTAGAGGTCTCGTGGTGGCCACGAACGCCAATGATATCCTAGCAAGGTTCTTCGCGTCGGGCACTTACTCGAGGCCGCCGTCGGCCGTCGAGACGCTAGCACCCAGCATGGACATCTGTGTTAGCTCGAACTTCGAGCGCTTCGTCTTCCACTGCTCCGGGAATGATGCGGCCCAGACCAAGTCGTTGATGGATCAATTCGAGAAGACGGGCGCGTTCACGGCGCCGCCAGCATTAAAGGCGAAGGCGCAAGCCGAGATGAAGGCGGCTTCGGTCCAGAAGGAGGAGATTCTCGCTACGATCAAATCCAGGAAGGAGGCTACGGGCTACGTGTTGGATCCTCATACTGCCTGTGGCGTGCGAGCCGCTGAAGATCTGAAGTCGCAGTTAGGTGCTGGGCCGGTCATCTGCCTCGCTTGCGCGCACCACGGCAAGTTCCCCGCTGCTATTAACGCGGCTCTTGGTGATGATGCGAAGAGTGTGCCTCCTGAGAAAGCGCTCACTGACTTATTAAGTGTGCCGCACCGCAAGGACATCTTGGAAAATTCGGCGAGAGCCGTGATCGACTTCGTCGAGAAGACGATGGCCTCGCGCAAGCCGGCGGCGAAGAAGGCGCGGACGGCGTGAGTGGTCGCGTCGGCCGGCGTGCGGCTGGCGCACGCATCCCCTGGGCCTTCCTTGGGAGTAAGGTTGGATTCCCCATACGTCGTAGTCTCATCCTACTACCCATTACTCCGACTACTGACCAACGCGGTCGCCCCTAGAGCACCAATCCCGAGCGCGGCGCCGGCGAGCGTGTCGCTGAGGAAGTGGCTCTCTGTTAATATACGGCCGGTGGCGGTCAGGGCCGTGATGCTCGCGACCGACGTTATTGTTTGTGGCGTCCACGTCCAGAACTCCTCCTCGTCGTCACCAAGGAGCGCCGGTACTAACACCGCGAGGAAGGCACCCGCGAGGAACGTGGCTGAGGCGGTATGCGACGACGGAAACGAATAGGTCGAGTGGTGGAGCGGGTCCGGTCGGATGCGTTGCGTCGCGTCCTTGAGCACGCCCGAAAAACCCTGGACGAAGGCGCCGAAGCCGACGCCCAGAGGCGCGACTATTCTCAAAGCGTCCGCGCCGCGCCGCGCCACGAGGGCGAGGGACGCGGCGGCGCAGGGCACGCCGAGGCCCGGTGCGATGTCTGACAGCACGCGTCCCAGCGAGTTGTCATTCCCGGCCGCGTGATTCGCCGCCCAGTGTCTCGCTGCATCGTCGATCGACGGTGCCACGACGTGCAGCGTATTTACATCAATCGATACCGCTACGAGTGCTGCGCCGCTCACCGCTACGACGGCGCCGGCGCCTCTTGCGCGCGTCGCCAGCGTTTTCGAAGCATTTGGTGCTTTCAGGGCTGACGCGTGATGCGCGAGTATCAAGCACCAGAAATATTGGCGCACCATTGTTGACCAGGCTCCAGGCTCTCGAGGCTGACAATGTGTAGCTGGCAGTGTGTGGCTCTAGCGCAATGCAGGCAGCTGTCGATCGTAGTTTCGCCTTCGTTCGGTCCTCTTACGCAGATCGTGTGGACGAGCGCTAGTACAACGCCCATGCGGCAGCAGCGGCGACTGACAAGGCTGGCACAACTCGAGCTTTTGCCTTGCTAGTGTCTTACCAGGCCGCTAGCGGGTTGCCGGCAGAACACTACGACGGAGGCATCATCGAAACCCCTATGCACACAAAAATCACATTAACATTGGCGCTGCCGTCACGACGACGAAGCCGCGGCCCCGCCGCGTGCCGCGCCCGTCCGGTTGTCATCCACCGACCCGCCGCTCGTCGACGCGAAGCCTCCAAAACCCATCGCCGCACGCACTTCGTCATCGCCCTCTGCCGCCTCCGCTTCGGCGCGCCGCCGTTTCATTTTCTTCTTCTTCTTCTTGAGGAGTATTTTCTTCGCGAGCTTCTTGGCCTCCTTCTTCAGCTTCTTCTTTTGGGCTTTCTTGCGCGCGCGCGCCGCGGCGGCGTCGTCGCTATCGTCGCTACCGTCGTCGTCGTCGTCATCGTCGGCCGCGGCGGCCGCAGCTGCAGCCTTTCGCGCGGCCCAATCCAACCGTTCGTCCAGCATGTCTGACCGGCGCTCCTCGTCAGCGTCACCGTCGCGCGGCGCGCCGGTGGCACCGTCGCTGCCGCGTGGGCGTTCCGCGAGGCGTCGATTGTGGCCGTCGACGGCGCGCACCGTCGACGCGAGGAACTGCTGGTTCGGCACACCAGTTCTCGCGCGCGGCTGGTGCACCGCTTCGGCATCCGTGCGGTCGCGCCGCGCCTGCCAGCGTGCCTGGACATCTCCTGAGAACGCCCGCATCGAGCATGCGCGCGGGCGCAGCGCTGCGATACGCCTTTGTGGGAGTATCAGGAGGCCACAATTGATGCTCTGTCGTGTCGTAGCGGCGCTACAGCCCCGGTGGCGCTGATGCCGTGAATGCTAGTGCCTTACAGGACGCTAGCTAGCTGTGCGCCGCCACCGCGGTGAAAAATCGGTGTGCAGTAGCTTCTGGGCCCTGCGGATTGCCTAATATTTTATCATTAGAGCCACACACGCCTTACCTATCAGCGCAGCAACGGCCGTGCAACACGTGCTAAGTGCCAGGCCTAACATCACCACTGCTGCCAGCGCCGCGTGGCGGCCGCGAGCAATATAATGCTCCGCCACACGCGGCGAGCCCTAGCGACAAAAGTCATAATACCAAGACACCGCGACGCCATCCACCTCCAGAAAAACAACACGCTCGCCGACGCGTCCTGCGTCGCGTCGAGGGGCGGCACCGTCGTCCACGCGAGCGTGAGCTGGCGCTGGGCTTCTGGGGAGGACGCTTTGTATTATACTGGAGGCGGCGCGCCGCTGCACGTCGATTTTCGCCACCCGTCATCAGCCGCAGGGCTACCACCTACAACAGCAAGTGGAAGAGAAAACGTCCGCGCGTCCGATCAAGAAATATTAGCAGCGCGGAATATTGATCGTGCCCTAAGGCCGCGGTTCCACGGCGACGGCTTCCTCGAAACGGTGCGAGTAGATGTGGAAGTAGCGTCGAGTGATGGTGATGGTGATGTCATTACATTAGGAGCGAACGCCGCGTCCTGCGCTTTGGCTTTGGCAGGAGTGCCCTGGAAGGGCCCCGTGGGCGCCTCACGTCTCTCGAGACGAGGTGCTTCCTTTACAAGAGACCCACCGTTATGGTTCTGCGAGAACAGTGGGTTCGACTTGTTATATGCGACGGACGGCGTTGGCTGTGTGGCGTTGGAGCTGGGCTGCGCGCCGGCGAAAGACGCTCTGCTCAAAGACGCTTTGCTGGAGGCCCATTCTGCGGCGGCGCCGATCGTCGACGCCATCAACGCGCTCGCGCCTTCTTCTGTGGAACGACCGATGCATGAAGAAAGAGCTAGGTTGGACGCGCTCGCATCGCAAGCGGCGCAACGCCACGTGTCTCAACTCATCGACTTCTTCAGTGGACGGAATCTGAGGGACGACGAGGACCCTTCGTCGAAGCGGGACCGAGGCAGGGCGCAGGACCGCGCGTTCTTCGATGTCATCGAGGCCGTCGCCTCAGAATTAGATGGGGACGAGCGGGCCGTAAAAGCCGCGGCGGCGCGCGCCGTCGAATTGTTAGGAAGGGACGCGATGGCGCAAGCGGCACAAAACAACGCGCGGAGCGACCGCCGACGTACCGATGAACTCCGAGTATTACAGTCAAGGTGTGGCGTGCTCCAAGTGCCGCACGGTAGTTCCTCGTTTAGTCGAGGCGAGACGCGCGTCGATTCGACGGTGACGCTCGCCGCGCCGCCGTCGAGAAGGGTTCCCTCATTAGATGCCGATCCGAATGCGTCGTTCCGCGAGCACGCGGCGTGGCGACGGACCGACCCGAGGGTCTCGCGACGACGGCGGCCGCGCGAGTCCAACTACGACCGGGACACTTCGTCGTCATTGAGGAACATCGACCGGCGCTTCACGCTGCACTACGACTTCCCGTCGTCCGCCACGGGCGACACGAAGGATATACTGCGAGCTAATAGGAGAGCGGTGGGCCACGGCGCGCTGGCGGAGCGGGCCCTTGCTGCTGTATTCCCGTCTCGCTCGCGATTCCCCTACGCTGTTACGACACGTACAAATGTCGCGGCCTCCTCCGGTTCGACGTCGATGGCGTCGGTCTGTGCGGCTTCGCTGGCTCTGCACGACTGCGGCGTGCCGCTTCGAGCGCCCGTCGCCGGCGCTTCTGTTGGATTGAGCGGCTCGACATTACTCACGGACCCGACGGGCACGGAGGACCACTTCGGGAGCATGGACTGCAAGGTGGCCGGGACGGAAAGAGGCATCACAGCCGCTCAAGTCGACGTCAAGGGCGACGGCGTTTCGCTCGAAGTGCTCGGCGAGGCCTTTGGGAGAGCAACGACGGCGCGGCGCGAGATCCTGGGCCACATGGACTCATGTGTGTTAAATGGAGACCGCGAGCCGCGGCGGCCACGGTCGAGTGACGCGCCCTTTTTGTTGGTCGACGACGACGACGTGGTGGAGGCGCCCGCTCCGGAGGAAGCGCCTCCGCCGCCGTCGTTCCTCGCGCGGCTCTTCGGCGCCGCGCCGGAGCCGACGCCGGAGCCGGAGCCGGAACCGGAACCGGAGCCGGAGCGGCCGCCACCTACGAAGCGACGGCCGCCGACGGCGGCGAGGCCGCGGCCACGATTGAAAAGACACGCGCCGCGCGTCGCCGTCGTGACCTTCGACGCTTCACGTGTCGGCGATCTCATCGGCCCGCGCGGCGAGCATCTGAGAGAGATCGAGGACGAGACCGGCGCGGACATCGACGCGCGAACGGTAAGTGGAGAGGCGACGATCTTCGCGGACTCCATGCGGCAGTGTTCGGCGGCTCGAAAGCTGGTCTTGGATATTGTGGGCGAGATTAGGGTCGGCGACGAAGTGAGAGGCACGGTGACGGACGTTAGAGACTACGGCTGCGTCGTGCGGTTCTCTCGCTCGAGAGAAGGCCTCGTGCACAAGTCTGAGTACCGCGGCTGGCCTGGTTCACCGGAGGAGTTAACGGTCGGCGCCGACAAGGCGTTCCACGTCATCGGCGTCGACGCGGTGCTGGGCGTCGTGAAGTTGTCGAGGAGGCGGCGGACAGCTAAACCCCGGCCGCCGGCGGCGAGCCACCAGGAGTCATCTTAAGTTCTGTTTTTCGTATGGCTGTCCGTGCTAGGGCCCCTGGGAGACACACTGCGCGATCCGCCATCCGCGGCACCGCGCGCTCGCCGCCGGTCGCCGCGTCGCGGCAAAAACAGTGTGCCCCCTTACGACGCTTCCCTCTACTGGTCACAGGGGTCGCCGTACCGAGCGCTTCCCCATGGGAGGGCTCCGACTGGGCTGCCCACGTTCTCATGGTGAAAACCAAGCCGACTTGAGCCAAGTAAAAGAGAGCTGTCGGAGGGGAGCCGAAGGAAGACTCTTCCACGCGCGCTCGGACAGATCCCACAGGTTCATTTTCTTTTGGCCACGCAGCCAGATCTCGAGGTGAGGACAGGAGGTAGGACAGCCGCGCGCGGCTTCTACTCGCATCGCTGCGGCGCTGGTAACAGCTCGCTGCAGCGCCAACAGCTCTCGGTCCGTTAGCGCACTCCGCAGGGCAACAAAAAGGAAGCCCAGCCAGACAGCCCTCCAAACGCCGTCGCGGCGCGTCGAAAAGCCCGTCGGACACCGCGCGTGGACCGGCCGCGACCGCGAGGCAGCGCTCAAAACAAGAAGCGCGCAAACAAACAACCATGACGCCGTCGCCCCTCTACACGATGGTCCTGCCCGGCTTAGACTTGGCCGCGGTCCTCTTCCTGCGGTACAGCATGCCCACCGAGCGCCTCAAGAGCATTTTTTCCCTGGGCGCCGCGGCGTCGGCAAAAGCTTCATTGTTATGCTTACTGTCATACGCCTTGATCATCCCGAACGTCATCAACGAGCCGATCGACAATTTGATAACAAGGGACGCGTGCGCCGCCACGACCTACGGCGTTGTGGCATTCGTGTCCACAACAACCCTACTGCTGTCGGTAGGATGGCGGGGCTTGCACGTCCTCTGGACGACGCTCACGGTCAACTTCGTTGCTGGTTTATGTTATGTGTTAAGGGCGACGCACGACGTCGCCCCTCGTCGAGACTTTTTTGGCGTGAATACGCCTAACTTACGATACGCGACGTGGTTCCACACGATGCCGCTGATGGCGTTGTTGTGTGCGCACGCCGCGTCTTGTGAGTTATCGGTGGCACTAGATATGGTTATCCTGGCTGGCTCTGTTATCTACGCTGGTTGGTTGGCAGGTGGCTTCACAAGCTTCGTACCTTGTGTGTTGGGGTATACCTTGTCTGCGGTGTTTCTAGGCTTACTAACATCCATGCTCTACGACAAGTTATTACTAGCGGCACCCGCAGAGTCGCAAAATCCATTAGATGCCTTACTGAGGGGCCAGGAGATGTCTGTTAGGGCATTAGCCATGGCCATTGTGGTGAGCTGGTGGGCCTTTCCCATTTTACAGGGTTTGACTGCTGTCGATCTACTAGATGGGGATAATTACGACCTGCTGATCGTAGTGATCGAGACGTGCACCAAAACACTATGTACCTTAGTCATGATGCAGGGTAGGATCGAGACGCTGGAGCAACGGCATGAACGAGCGCAAGGAATAGAAAACTGGCGGCTCGCGGAACAACTGCGCGCGGAGACCATTTTCGTTTCCTATGTATTTCATGAGATGAGGAACCCCTACAACGGCATCGCCGGGCATTTATCGTGCATGGGCGACACGATCCGGGAAGCGCAGCTGTGTTTGACGGAATCTAGGGGCTCTACTTTGCCCGCAGCGGCGAAACGGCGACTGGCTTCTTGTGTAGATCAGTTAGTGGAGGACGTCTCGTCGGCCAACCTCTGCAGCCAGCACATGTCCGACGTGCTGAATAATGTCCTTGACTTGAGAAGGATTGAAGAGGGCGCGATGACGCTGTCGCAAAAACCGTTCGACGGGGCGGCGGTCGTCTTAGACGTGAGGGACATGATCCGGCCGCAGGAAGGCGTTCGCTTGGAAGCTTCTGTCGTGGATGGTGCTACGGGGGCTCGCTTGGACTCGTTACCAATTGTGGGCGACGCCGTGAGACTGAGGCAAATTCTACTGAACTTGCTAGGTAACGCCTGCAAGCACACGATCCAAGGTAGTATTGAGATCATAGCTACGGTGTACTCCAACAGGAGATCACTACCCTCCAACTTAATAGATGAACCCTTGCAAAACGGGTTTGTTGCGGTCACGTTCGAAGTCCGCGACACGGGCTGCGGCATCGACGCCGAACATCAAAGGACGGTGTTTGCCAAATATGTCATTGTGGATGAAGCCGGTTCAGCTCCTGGTAGGCAGCGATCCGGTTCGACCGAACCAAGATTGGCTCAAAGTACAGGATTGGGATTAGCCGTAGCGCAACAACTCGTCGCGTTGATGGGTGGTGAGTTAAGACTGACATCTCCAGTACACGAAGGACGAGGCACGAGGTTCCATTTTACCGTACTCCTCAAAACGGGAGAGCTCCACGGCAACGAAGAGACCGCGGCAGCCGACGCCGCCGCGTCCGACGAACTTGTAAAGAGGTCCTTGCCGCCCGGTTTAAGGTGTTTAGTGGCGGACGACTTGCATTTCAATAGAAAACTTTTACGGAGATACCTAACAACTACGGAACCGTTTAACACTCTAGAATGGAACGTGGAGGAGTGCGACACGGGCGAAGGCGTCATCGAGCGCGTCTGCGACTCGCAGCAGAAGTATGACATCCTTTTTCTAGATGAGCACTATGAAACTGCTGGTGGTAAACTACGAGGTAGTGAGGTGTTAGGCGTCCTGAAAGCTAGGGTCTCGCCGGAGCAGATGCCGGTGCTGATTACGACGTCGGGCAATTGCCTGCCGGAGGACGTCGCGTACTACTCGTCATGTGGTGCTGATGACACGTTCGGCAAACCTTTACCGAACAAGTACGACCTCGGGAGACGGTTACTTACTCTACTGAAGAGAAAGCACGGCGCGGCGTTTATTGATGGAAATGATTCTCCACCTACGCATGATGATAAGAGAGCTAGGCCGCCGCCGCGCCAGAGCGCGAGAAAAAGGTCGGCGCCGGGCCGCTGATGGCATGCACACATCTCCCCTAGTGACGCCGCACTGACGCTGACGCGGAAGCAGCACAACTCCTTCCGGGTGGCTCTAGAGGGCCCTAGATAATAATCAATCTGTATGGCCTCCATTCTTTTTGGTGGCGAGGGCACCTAACCCCAAGGCGCTGACGCCTGCGGGTCGAGAGGCTATATGTGTTTCATTAAGCCATGTCCCTTATATCAGCGCGCTCCGACCGCGTCGCGTCCATACTACATAGTGGTGGTAACATCTCATATCTCTCAGAAGAGAAGTTGTACTTGTCGACGAACCAGGGTCTCGCGTACGTCAGGTACAGCAGGGGCCGGTCTTCGCGCGTCCGGTTCGCTAAACCCCGGTGCTTTAGCCGCCAGTCGGCAACCAAAGCGTCGCCCGGCGCCGCATCCAGCACATACGAATGGGACGAAGCCGTCCAGTCGGCGTGCGTCCCGGGCACGAACTCCGTGCCGCCGTTCGAAACGTCGCACTTGACCAACGGTACGAACACATTTAATGCGTGCGGCGGCAGCACTATATCCTCGTCGATATGATCACCGTCTGAATGCCACTTTTGAGCTACCGAATTGGGCATCGCCATGATGACGCCGGCGTGGCGCAGGCAGGCGTCGGGGCCCAGCGTCTTTCGGATGAGAGGTAGCCACTTCGCCGTCTCCAGTGATGCCCAGGCGCCCTCCTGTTTTATTAAGCCAGGCACCACCATGTCCGCGCGGCCCGTGTCGCGGGTCTTGAAGGTGGAAAAGCCGCCCTTGTTTTCGAGGATGTGCATGAGGTCGTCCCGCTTCGACACCGTGACCATGACGCGATCATAAAACTCGCGCGCCGCGTCCCTCATCATTGAACAGGCGTCCTCTGATAAACTCGCGGGCACGCACGCCATGCCGTCGCGCGCGAGCGACCACAGCTGCTCGCACGGTTTTACAACTTTGCGGCTCGCCCGGAACTCCTTCTCGTCCTCACTCGTCTTCACGAAGTGCAGTCTCGACTCGACGGCCTGGGCCGTGTGGAGGCCCTGGAGCGAGTGGGCCGCGGCCTCGGGCGTTTCGGCCGCGAGCTCCCGGATGCGCTTGAGGCGGTCGCCGAAGATCGACGCGAAGTGGTTCCGCGGGAGCTGCGCGCACAAACTTTCAATCTGCTTGAGGACGTCCGGCTGGAGCGCTTGGGCCAGCGTCGTCGGCGCCGCCTCGTCCACAACGCAGGCCCGGCAGCGGCGCTTGCCGTCACTCCCGCTGACGAGCTCGGCGCAGCGCGCGTGGAAGGCGCGCGGGCAGCGGTCGCAGGGCACGAGGCGCGTGTCGTCGTCGCCCGCTTCGCCACAAATAACGCACTCTGTTGCGTGAGACTGCCAGCAAACTGGGCAATGCCAGTTTTCCTCGGCCGCTTCCTGCGTAATCCCAGCGACGGCCGCTGCGGCCGGCGCGTGGTCCCGCTTCTTCTTCGTAGTCGTACCACCTAGATCTAATTTCGCCCGCCGCGCGCCCGGCAGGTAGGCCTCGCCCAAACAATTGCGCACGCAGGCCTCGTGGAAGCTCCGCGGGCACGTCGCGCAGCACAGCAACTTGCCGCCGTCGCAACAAACAGAACAGTGGTCGTCGTTCGCGTCGACGTCGTCTCGTAGTCTCCGGTGCGGGCGCCGGGCCCGCGCGCGGTAGGCCCACTCCGACTCGTCGGCGGCCGGCGCGAGCGGCTTTTCTACGAACGGCGACGCGCCGAGGCGCTTTTTTTGCGGCGGCTTCGTGTCGGCCCGCGGTTTCTGTACCTTCTGCTTCTTGGGCCGGGGCTCCTCATTCACAGCGAGCGCTCGGACGTCGGCCGCGGGCACTTCGTTGCAGGTCTCCTCGTCAGCCCAGGCGATCTCGTAGGCCCGCCCGCCGTCCAGTATATCGTCGACGGTGCCGGCGTACCAGCGGTGGCCCCATAGAGCGGTTACGTGGGTGCCTCTGCTGAAGATTTCGGCCATTTTCGTCACGTTGGTTCGCTCAGGTTGCTGCTCAGGCGTGTTATTTCTTGATCAATTAAGCTTGCCTTGTCTCAAACGTGTTATTTCTTGATCAAGCTTGCGCTTGCGGCGAGTAATTGATCGATTCTGTCTATGGAGGCTACGCTGCTGCGCTGTGGTTTGAGCAGCTAGCGTCGATAGTAATACGGCAGCACAGCAACGAGGCGATGCGAGGAGCGATTTTTGCCCACTCGCGTTTTCAACTTGCACGGTACAGGCTAGTAAAACTGCCCGGGTCATAAATCGGGGAGTGCTTGCTAGTGTCTTACCGCTAGCTCTCTACGCGGGATTTCCTCGCGCGGGAGCCGCAAATTTGATCAAATCCCGCAAAAAAAAACGGCATCGGCGGGCCAAGGCGCCAGGACAGGAACACAGGTCTGTGAATTTAGGCCAGCGTGCGCCACGCGCGCCTAGGGGCGGGGCGGAGGGGGGAGGGGGGGAGGTTAAGGGGATATAGGGTGGGCGCCGGCCTACTCGTCGCCGCCGGGCCCGCCGACGGCCGTGTCGTCGATCTCCTGGAGCTGCTTGCGCGCCGCCGCCGTGAGCACGCGCGCCTCGTGCGCCTTGGCCTGGTGCTCGATGTGCTCGACGACCTTCTTCGAGTGGTCGACGAAGAGCTCGAGCTGCGCCGCGTTCTCGAGGCCCTCGCAGGGGTTGGCCTGGCCGTCGGCGGCCATCTTGCCGGCGAACTCCGACACCTTCTCGAAGGCCTTGGCCGCGTCGCCGCCGCCCTCGAGGTCCGTGCCGACCTGCTGCTCCGTGGAGTCGAACTCGGCGACCTTCTCGACGAGCTTGTAGTAGGCCACGGCGATGAGCGCGCCGAGGCAGGGGCCGAAGGTCCAGACCCACCAGTCCTTCCAGCGCGACGACTCGGTCCGGCCCTGCGCCGAGGCGACGACCGCCGGGCCGAAGGACCGCGTCGGGTTGATCGAGCAGCCGTCGATGGGGATGAGCACGACGTGGCCGAGGTAGACGGCGAAGCCGATGGCCACGGGCGCGAGCACGATGTTGCCCGCGTTCTTGGGGTTGCACGCCGTCTCGAGCACGACGTACATGAGCACGAAGGTCATGATGATCTCGCCGAAGAAGGCCTCGCCCTGCGAGTAGTTGTCCGAGACGCCGTTCGTGCCGAGGCCGCCCGTCAGGTCGGCCTTCTGGTCCACGATCGTCGAGAGCGCGGCGGAGCCGATCGTCGAGCCCAGGAGCTGCGCGAGGATGTTCGCGACGGCCTGGGGCGCCGCGTCCTTGTACTCCGACGACCCGTTGGGCGCCTTGATCTGCTTGGCGGCGAAGAGGCCGAGCGTCACGGCGCCATTGATGTGGCCGCCCGACCGGCCGCCGATCGTGTACGCTAGTACCGTGATCGTCAGGCCGAACGTGAGCGACACCTGCTGGATCCAGCCCGGCTCGTTGGCGACACCCGTGGCGCAGCCCGTGCCTGCGTTGTGCGCGTGGTGATGTACTGCCTTCCAGAAAGGCGGTTTCCGCGTGCGCCCGCCGCGTTCGGTGAGGGGCGCCAGGCCCGGGCGCCCGGCGCCCGGCGCGGCGCGGCCCGAGCGCGGGGGCCCCGGGCGCGGCCGGGGGGCAGCGTCCCCCCGCCGCGCGCGCGCGCGCGGGCTGCCTCGCGCGGCGATCGAAGCGATTGGCGCGGACGCTGCGGACGCGCAGATGAACACGAAGAGGAACTGGGCGAGCAGCTCCGAGAGCACCGCGTTGAAGTTGATGGGGAGCGGCATGGTCTCCGCGTCCCTCGGCTGGCTGAAAAACCTGGATCCCGGTGACAAAGCCGCGATGGATGCCTAGTAAGTTGCCCGGCTGGCGTCCCGAAAGGCCTCGGCGGGCGGAGCGAGGCGTGTGGTGACGGGTGGTGTGGTTTTTGGGACGCCTGTGGGTCCCGGGGTCCCCATAACAGTCTGAAAATGTATCTTCTGTCATCGCGCCCCTCGCGCGCCGCGGCTCATTTGCTGGTACGGCACCTTCTAGCCGTCTCGAGGCAGCCCCGTTCGTGTTTTTGGTTGTTTCTGGCCGGGACCCAGCCTCGACGCCGCCGCGTCGTCGCACGGTCCCTACATACTGAGCCCACCGAGCTTGGAGCGCAGACGCCGCCGCCGCGGCTCTACGAAAGACGATGCCGCGCCTGCCCGACTGGCTGAGCTTCAAGGACCTGCAGCGCCTGAAATGCGAGTTCATCGGGACCTTCTTCCTCTGCTTCGCGTACGCGTGCAAGACGCACATGGAGTGGTCGATCGCGCCGCTGGCGGTGGGCGCGACGTACGCGGGAGTGGTGTATGCCGGCGGGCCCGTGTCCGGCGCGCACTACAACCCCGCGACGACCGTCGCATTGTTAGTGAGGGGCAACATCATCAGCGCGAAGAACGCCACGTTATACATGCTGACGCAAGCCTTGGCCGCGATCTGCGCCGCCGTCATTGCGGGCGGCGTCTTCGCCTTCAGCAACAACGCCTACCCGACGCCGGCGGATGACATCGACGACTGGAACGCGTTCGCGACGGAGATGCTCTTTACGTTCATGCTCGCCTTCGTGATTTTGCACGTTTCCACCCGAGACGAGGTCGCGGGCAACGGCTATTTTGGGTTGGCTATTGGTCTGGCCTACACCGCCGCACTCATTGCCACGGGGGAGATCTCCGGATGCGCGTTAAATCCGGCGATCGGGTTATTAGCGTTCATCAACGGAGACTGGGACGGCGCGAAGCAGGCCTACATTTATATTTTTGGGCCGCCGATCGGGGCGGCCATCGCCGGCCTCGTCTTCAAGCTGACGACGCTGGTCGACGCGGCGGAGGAGTCGGGCCAGTCCGCTCAAATAGTGTCGCAGGGCACGTACGTGACCTTCATGGTCGAGGCCGTGGGCACCTTCTTCGTTTGCTTGGTCTACGCGTTCACGTCGCCGGGCATCCATATCTCGCCCCTTGCCGTGGGCTGCGCCTACGCGGCGATGACCTACGCCGGCGGCCCGGTGTCGGGCGGGTGCTTCAACCCCGTCGTGGCGCTGGCCGTGGCCTTTCGGAACTTCGGCACGGACCTGGCGCCGATCTTCAAGCCCTCGACGCTGCTATTGTACATCGCGGCGCAAGTCGCGGGCGCCCTGGCCGCGGGCGGCACGGCCGCCGCAATACTCGTCGGCGACCACAAGGTCGGTCATCCCTCGGTCGGCAGCGGCAGCGACATGGGCTCCGCGTTCCTCGGCGAGATGGTCGGGACGTGCCTGGTCGTGCTCGTTGTTTTGGGCACGGCGACCGTGGAAAGTACAAGGGATAACATGTACTTCGCGCTGGCGATCGGTTTCGCGATCCTCGGCGCGGGGGCCGCCGTCGGCGGCGCGTCGGGCGGATGCTTTAACCCCGCCGTCGGCCTGCTCGTCTTTGTGTCGGACTCGAATCTTGCCGACGCGTGGATCTACTGGGTGGCACCACCCATCGGCGCGCTCTTCGGCCTCATGGCTTTCCGGTTTGTCTACTACGACGACGTCGCCGCCGAGGAACTCGGCGGCGTGTCGAAGCCGGACTCGTCTGTGGGCGAGGGGTATGCGGCGTTGGCGTAACATTTGGTGAATAAAAGTTAGTCAGGCAGGGCGCATCGCGATGGATTTTCGTGAAGGGGTATATGTATACCTGACGGTACGTCGGTGCCGAGCGCCGAGACCCTTTCCCCCGGTCGAAACGCAGTCCCCCTCATCTGGTAATGGGTTTTCCATACTTCCACATGTATGCCCCGCATACGAGCAAAGACCCGATACATTTTCTTGACGGGGTATATACTTTGGTATACCAGGCTTAGTACGGGACAACACCGCGTATATATAGAGGGCTTTTGTGTGAATATATATAAGTAAAAATTTCTATTCAATTATTTGCTTATGTGGCTGTGGCTGTAGATGGTTCACTTGGTCTCCCTTGAAGGGGTACTTTATATATATATCTCAAACATCGCATGAAAAACCTGTTTTGGCATTTTTGACTTTGGTGCGGGAGCGCGCGCGCAGAGCATCTCCCAGCGCTCTGGGAGCAGCGCCGGTGAGCTTCAGAGTGTCACCTGCGCGCACTACTGCAGCGCGCAGCGCGCAGCGAGGCGCAGCGCAGCCGCTGCGGCTGTAAGCCAAGTCCGGAGATAAGATCCAAATGAGCTCCTTTCGACGCAGCCTGCAGCTCATCGATGGCGCTGCGACGCGCGGCGACATGAGTCAAAGGCCACGAGCAGAGTCGAGCGCTTCGTCCCGCTCCGCCTCGCCGCGGCCGTCGATCACGCGTCAGCGGGCGGAGTCGAGCGCGTCCTCCCGCTCCGCCTCGCCGCGGCCGTCGATCACGCGGCCGCGGCGGCCGGTCGCGCCGGAATCATGGCGCGCCTTGCGCCGCGGCCTCGCGCGGGCCGGCCGGACGCAGCGCTGGCCGGCGGCGGCCGACGCGGCGCAGCTCGACCGGTGCTGCCGCGCGCAAGCGACAGAACTCGGCGCAGACGCCGAAGCCTTGGCGTCGCTGCCGCGCGCCGCGGCCTTGCGGTGGCCAAGCTTGAAAAAAGACCTCGCCAGCAGAGCTGAGGCGGCGAAGGCTACATTCGCGAGACGGTCAGCCGTGGTCGCGGCGCGCGAAGAGGCGCGAAGAGAGACGCTAAGAAGGCGCCGAAAAAATAAAGCGAAGCCCGCGGCCAAAGACCTAAGCCAGAAGGAAGGATATCTAAGCAAGAAGGCCGAGAAATCGAAGAAGGGCGAGAAGAAAAAGGGCGAGAAGGCCAAGGGCGAGGAGAAGAAGGCCGACGACGAGGTCAATTTCGATGACTTGGGCGGAGTCGTCGAAGAGAGCGTCGACGTGCTCCTGCGCGAGCTGTGCGAGGCGGCGGGTAGGGAGACGTGCCCTTCCTCGGACGTCCTGAGCCGCCTGTGCCTGTACGAGCGCATCGACGACGAGGGCGTCGCGCGCAAGATGTGGGCGCTGAGCGGCGGCGATCCCGAACGGCTGCGGTCGTGCGCGTCGAAGGCCCTCAAGGAAGGCCTGGTTAAGGGATCTGGAGGCATGATCGAGGACCCCCTCGCTATCGAGGGCGCCGGGCTGCGCTACGCGCGCGTGGCTCCCCTTTTGAAAACCTCGGCCGGCGCGCCGGAAGAGCCCGAGGAGCCGCCGAAGATGTTCAAGCTCGACGACGCGGCAATCGAAAAGTGGATACGGGGTCAGAAGATTTCCACCGATCGCATTCCGAAAAAAGCCGCCGAACGCCGGGCGTGGCTGCTCCGAAAGGCGGGAGGCGCGGCGAACGCGGCGCTCCAAGCGAGGCGCATGTTCGCGAAAGCGCGAGCGGTCAAGGCGACGGGGGACGTCCACTTGGGATCGGCCGCCGAACGCCAGTGCCGGCGCCTGGAGCGACGATTGGTCAGAAAGGAGCGAAAAGAACGCATAAAGCGGGCACGCGCCGCGCTCGCGCTCGACGGCGGCCTCGACGCCGACGAGGCCGACGTCGAGATTGTCAATGCGCTCGCGGGGTACGGCGCCGGGGGCCTCCAACGGCCGCTGAAAGAGAAGGATAAAATCCGCATCAAGAGCTGGGGCCACGGCTTGTTGAAAATACTGGAGAGGGAGGCGGACTCGGACGACGACGACGGTGGCGTGGAGAAGACGGAGACCAAGTTCGAGGCGGTCCGCGACGTCGTAGCGGAGGTCGTCGCTCCGCTCGAGCTCGTCGTCTTCGACGGCGCCGAGCCGCGCACCGAGGCCGCCTACGTGGTCAAGGCGGAGCAGGTCGTCCGGTTCGAAGTCCGACCGGCCAACGCCGACGGGGAGTCGCGAGATCCCCGGGAGGTGGGAAAGAAACGAGATGATAGAAAACGGAAGGACGAGAAGAAAAAGGCGGACGAGCGCCAGACGGCCGAGCGTCAGGCGCGCAAGGCGATTCGGGCGAAGCACGCCGTCGGCGCGCGAGTCGTCCTCGACCCCGAAATCGTCCAGAAGTACGGCAGCCGCGACACGTTGACTGAGGACTGCTGGGGCACGATCACGCGCATTGACGGCGAGCGCGCGCGCGTGGCGTGGGACGCCGGCACACCTGAGGCGAGGTCCGGCAAGACGTCGTTCCCCCTCGAAGTCACGGCGCCGCGCATCATCGGCCGCGGTGCGACCGTCCTCCGCGCGGAGATTCGAGACGTCGCCGAGCTCGGCGACGCCAAGAAGGCGATCGAGGCCGGCGTGGATGCGACCCAGGGCGCGCTCATCAGAGCGCTCGACGGGCCGAAGGACGCGTTCGTGAAACGATGGCTCGAAGAACGCGGCCCCTTGGCTACCAAGGACCCGTCGATCGCGGACCCGCAGATCTGGACGCGGGGCGCCTCGGACCGGTCCAAGACCATCGTGTGGGGCACGGTCCTCGACAACAAGGACGGCATCGTCTGGCAAGCTCCGAACACCGAAGAGGCGCAGCAGACGCTCGCGCTCTTGGAACGGCTTGGCGGGAGGCTCCGCTTGAGCGCCGGTTGGGAGGTTCTTGGTGGAGCGAGAGGGACGTACGGCGTCGTGGACCCTCGGGCGCGTCCCAAAAGGGGTATTGTGGGCAGCCTCATGAGCATGTGGCGGTCGGGCGACGACGACGAAGCATCTGCCGTCATCGACGACGACGAAGACGTTGACCCTGCGCTGGCGAGAAAAGCCGAGCACTGGGTCAAGCTGTTTCGAATCGTCCGCGCCGTGCCGCACCTGATGATCGCGTGCGACCGGTGGCGGGCCGGCCGCGCCAAGCGGCGCGCGGCGCGGCGCGAGAAGAAGAAGGCGCTGCCGACGTTGCCTCCGAAGCCGCTTAAGGCGCCGGGCGGGAGAGATTACGTGGCCAAGCGCGAGGTGACGTTCGTCGTGCCCGCGCACAACGTGCTGGAGGCGCGCGCCGTCGAGGGCGCGGCGCACAAGCTTTCGTCGTTCATGGCCGGCGTCAGGGCCGCCGCGCGGGACGGCCGGCCGCTCGGCGCGTGGCTCCCACGAACGCGCGCGCTGCTGCGCGCCGACTGGCTCGAGTTGGCGTGCTCGGGCCTCGACCGCGGCGACGCGGCGTTGCTGGACGCGATCGCCGGCCTACGAGTCGTCGACGATCCCGTGCCGCTGGACGTCGACGGGCTCGTGCGGAACACCGCGGCCGCGGCGCTGGGCAACACCGACGGCGGCATGCGGGCGGTGCGCGACACGCTCCGAAAGGCGCGCGATAAGCTCAAGGACGCTGCCAAGAAGACGGCACAAAACGAGGACGGTAAAGAGGCGGCACAAAATGACGGCGGTAAAGATGCCGCCACGCGCAAAGAGGCGGCCACGCGCAAAGAGGCGGCCACGCGCGTCAAGCCCAAGTCCAAGGATGAACGGGAGCAAGAGGAGGCGAGAGAGCGTCGCGAGGCGGCGCTGGCGCCGAAGCAGCGCCTCCTCTGGCGGTCCGAGGCGGCGCGGAAGGTGCTCGTGCGACTCGTCCGCGAGGCGGGAGAGGACAGCGTCCTGGGCGGATCCGCGAGAGGAGACGACGTGCCGGACCGACTCCGCCACGCCTACGACCTGCTCGTCGTCGCGCCCCCCGCCCTGGCGACCGACTGCGCGGCGCAGCTCAAGGAGGTCCAGGCCAGCCAGTCCCTCGAGGGGGCGACGCTGGTGAAAGTGGAGGACGCGTGCAAGGCAGTGCGCACGGCGGCGCGGGCGCTACCGAGACTCTTCGAGGAACTGGTGCGGGCGGCGCTCGACACGACGGACGCCTCGCGGCGGCGCGAGGTCATCGAGCACCTCGTCCTCGGTGATAACGGCCGGATCGTCCGCAGCATCGTCTCGGCCGGCGCGTCGTCGGACTGGCTCATCTCGGTCCTGCGCAAGGAGGGCGCCTGCGAGGGGTCGCCGTTCCCGTTCCCCTTCGGCGTGCGGCACTACGCCGTGGCGGGCTGCCGCGTCGCCCCCGACTCGCGCAACGTCGAGCTCAAGGAGCTGGAAAGCGTACCCGCGCTCCAGAAGACGGCCGCGTCGGACCGCGCGTGGGAGATGCGCGGCAGCGGGTGGCGCGAGGCCTGCCTGAGTATCCTGGACTCCCTCAAGGCCATGGACGTCGACGCGAAGTTCGCCGAGCCCTCGCCCTTGACGTCGGGGAAGAACCCGATGGACCTGGGCACGCTTCGCGCGCAGTTTAGCAATTACCCCGACGCCGAAGCCTTCGCGAATGACGTGAAGCTCGTGTTCACGAACGCCCTCGCTTATTGCGACCGCGCGCCCAACTCTGATAAAATCAGAGAGACGGCGGCGCTCGCGAGGAAGATGCAGAGCCGCTTCGATAGGGAAAACGCCGCCTTCCTGTCGCGCCGCGTGCCCGACTGCGTCAAAGCCACCCTGGCGCGCGTCGCGACCCGGGCGAGGTTCGCGGCTCTCGACGAGCGCGTGGGGGCCGGCGGCCGCGCGCAGCTCGACCGGCTCGGCCGCACGGGCCTGTCCCTGGCAATCACGCTCGGGCGTGCTGACATTATCCGGGCGTGCTGCTACGATTCGCAGGAGGCGGACACGGCGGACGCGCTCGGCTTGCTGCCGCAGCACTACGCGGCGATGCGCGGCGACGTCTCAACCCTCGACGTCGTGCTGGACGCCGCGACGAAGGGCGTCGATTTCCCGACCGCCGCGGGCCAGACCGCACTCCACCTCGCTGCGGTGTCCGCGCCGCAGGCGTCACGCCTGATGTGCTGCGCGAACCTCCTGCGGCGCGGCGCTTCGCCGTGGCGCCGCGCGGCCTCGGGCCTGAACGCTTTGGACTTACTGGTCTACGCACCCGTGGCTCACTGGACGACCGGGACGCGCGCGGCGGCGGCGGCCAACGCCGCGGAGACGATCGCGCTCGTGCTCGCCGAGGTCCAGCCCAGAACTGCGCCGCCGCCGCTGCCACCGCGGGCGCGGCGCCCGTCGGCCTACGACCCGCCGCCGTCGGAAGACGAATCCCGGCAGGGTACTGACGAGTTCCTGCGGGCGACCGGCGTCGACGGCGAGGCCGCGGAGAAGCTGCGCGCCCTTGGGCCAGAAGAACGGGTGCGGCTGGTTCGCCGCCTCGAGATCAGCGCCGCCGCCGGCGCGGGCGCCACCGATTTGGCGGAAATGATTCTCGTGGCCGGTGAAGAGCGATACGCCGCGACGGCGTCGGAGCTCGAGCACTTTCTGGATCCGGCGCTGCGACCCGTCGCCGACCGCCTCGCCTTGACCTCGGCGGCGGTCTGGCGCCTCGCGACGCTGGAGCCGGCCGAGCAGAAGGACCTCGCGTACCGCTTCGCCGAGCCGGGCATCCTCGACGACAAAAAGGACCTCGATCAATTCGTAGCCCAGGCTTTTGAGACGGAGAAGCCGTATGAAAGTCTTGTCGCTGAATTGATTCTTGCGCTGGAGCCGCATCTCGTCAACGCAATTCACGGCCTCGCCGTCGACCTGTCGCGGAGTTGCGTCAAGGAGCTCCGGGCCCTGGACGCGTCGACGCAGCGCGAAATGGCGGCCGCGCTGCCGACCCTAGACTTCCGCGGCATCCGCGACCCGTCGGCCTACGTCCGCTCGCTCCTCGGGCGCGCGACGGCGGCCGTCGAGGAGACCAAGGACTTCGAGGAGACCAAAGACGAGCCGGTCGCGCCTATGGTGTCGCTGTCGGCCTGGAACGCGGTTGTGGAGGCGGTGACCGCTGTACCGTGCCTCGCGGTTGCCGGCGAGGCGGAGGCGATTCTACAGGGGTCGCTCCCCGTGAAGGCGCCGCTGGCCGTGGACCTAGCGCTGGCGCTCGAGTTCGACGGCACCGACGTCGAGCCGCTCCACGTGGCGCGGGACGCGGACACCGTTCGAGCGTTGGTGGCCAGGGGCTCCGACGTGAATGCGCTGACGATGAGCAAGGAGTGCGCGCTGCACTACGCGGCGCGGTCTAACGACAAGGCCATGGTCCTTGCGCTCCTGGAAGCGGGCGCCCGGCCCGGTCCGCGTTTCGCGAACGTGCATGGCGAGAGCCCGCGCGATGTCGCCCCGCCGGGGTCCGCGGCGCGCGAGGCGATGGACGCCCACATCGCGAAGCTGCGGCAGGAGCGGGCCGAACGCAACAAAAGCATGCGAACCGCGGAGGACTGGTCGCGGGCGCTGGAAGCGCTCGATACGGCGCGGTCCGAGGCCGTGAGAGCGGGCCGCGACGCGAAGAAGGCGGACGACGAGGTGGATGCGATTAAGAGACGCGCTGATACGGTGCTCACTGCAAAGGTCCTCGACAACGGCGCCGTCGAGACCGACGAGCAGCTGGTCGACCGCCTCGGGGCGGAGGCCACGAAGCTGGAGCTGGAGCTGGCCGAGGAGAAGAAGCAGTTGCAAGGATGGTGGCAGGCGGCCGTTGGCGGAACGAAGGTGCAGAAGCAGCGCGAGCGGATAGGGAAACTCGAAGGAGCGCTCAATCGGCTGCGCGGCGAGCTCGCGGCGCTGGAGCGCCAAGGCGAGGCGGCGGCCCAGGCCGCGCGGCTGCGGGCCGATTTGGAACGGCTGCGGGAGTCGAAGTACGCGGTGCTCCGGACCGACGTGGCCTCGGCGAAGATCCGCCAGACGCTCACCTCCACGGTGACGAATGAGGAGGACCTGAAGGGCGGCGTCGTCGCCGCGGCGCCGGACGCGAGCCTCGCGTTCCTGGATCACTCGACGCCCGTAAAGCTGATCGGCCAGGCGTTTGGCTCATTCTTCCAGCTGCCCCCGGCCGAACGCGCGGCGACGCTGAAGGCGCTCAAGGACGTGGCGAGCCTCTTCCGGAAGGCGCCGAACACCAGTGTCTTCCTCGCCAAGGGGCGCGCCGGCGGGACCCGCGCCGTGCACCTGACGCGCGGCATCGTCTGGCAAAGCTCGGACGACGACGTCGTCGACGGGTTGGCGTCGACGGTCATCCGCGTGTTTGCCGTTGACGGCGGCGGCGCCGATCCGGCCCAGTTCAAAAGCATGCTCGCACAGTTATTCGCGCGGGCCGGCCAGTCGCCGCTCCGGGGCCGCGACGTCATGCCCGATCCGGACTCCGAGACCGGTGTCGCGAAGTGGTATAGACTCACGTCGCGCCTCGCGGCGGTAGAGGTGTTCCGTGGCACGGCGGGTCAGCCGTTTGAACTCGACGGGCCCGAGCAGCAAGCGGTCGCGGGCTTCTTCGAGGATCCGCGGCCGCTCGTGTTGAATGGGCGCGGTGGCTCGGGCAAGTCCCTGATCGCCTACCGCGTCATTATCGAAGCCTACGACCGCGCGATGCGCGCGGGCAAGCCGCCGCCGCGCATGGTTGTCGTCACGGGCAGCGCGCGGCTCCGCGACGCCTTCCAGTCCCAGTTCGACGCGTATCTGAAAGTGGCCCACCCGCTCGCGGCCGCGACGCGGACCAAGTCGCTCGACGTGGCCGCGCTGCCGCCGGGCCCGTCGTTCTTCACCACGGCGCAGCTCCTGGCCGCCCTCGACGCGACGCTGGCCGAGCCCTTCCGCCGGACCGTCCTGCTGAAGAAGGCCAAGTCCGCCGTCCCCACGACGCTCGTCGGCAAGCCCTGGGTCGACGCCTACGAGGACAAGGAGAAGCGGAAGGACAACGAATCGGCGACGCTGGACCTCGCGGAGATATATAGCGTCGTGAAGGGCTCGTCGGCCGCGCTGGCGGCGGGCCGGCCTCTGAAGCGCGCTGAGTATGAAGCCTTGCCGCGCCGCGACACGGCCTTCGACGGTCATGGGCGGCGGGCCTTCTACGGCCGCTACGAGCAATACGAGAAGGCCCTCAAGGCCGACGGGCACCACGATTCGCTCGATATAGTGCTACATGTGGCGGCGCGGCTCGCGCGCAAGCCGCTCTACGACGCGCTCATCGTCGACGAGGTCCAGGATTTCCCGCACGCGACGATCGAGCTGCTGCTGCGCCTCGCGTCGGACCCGAACGCGACGCTCTGGGGCGGCGACACGGCGCAGACCATCGCGCGGACGCGGTTCCGCTTCTACAAGCTCGCTGACCTCCTCCGGCGGCACGCGTCCGAGCCGCGCGTCGTCGAGCTCGAGGTGAACTACCGGTCGACGCAGGAGGTGCTCGACGTGTCCAACGTCTTCGTGGCCGCGCTGTGTTCCCAGTTCGAGGGCCACGTCGACAAGCTCCCGCGCGAGGTGGCGCCGTTCCGCGGCAACTTTAAGGTTAGACTGCTGCGCGGGTCGGACTGGGAGGCCATCGGCGACGCGGTCTTCGGCGACGGCACGCGCGAGGAGGTGTCCGAATTTGGTGCGCAGCAGTGCGTCATCGTACCCGATGAAGCGGCGAAGCGGAACCTGCCGCCATCGTTCGCGGGCGCGCTATGCTTCACGCCGCTCGAAGCGAAGGGTCTGGAATTCCATACGGCCTTCATTCTCGACGCCTTCCGCGACACGGACGCGGGCTGGTGGCAGGCCCTCGCGGAGGACGGGCGCTTCCTGGGCCTGGTCGGCGACGCGGGCGCGACCGACGGGAAGCCGGATCCGCAGCTCTCCGCCGACCTCGCGCGCGTCGCCGAGCTCAAGAGCACGTACGTCGGCGTGACACGCGCGTGCGTGCGCCTGTTCTTCATCGACACGAACACGCACGGCCGCCAGCCGTTCTATGAACTCCTTCTCAGGCGGGACTTCGCCAAATGGCACGAAGGCCAGGATTTCGACGAAGGGCTCGGCGTCGCGACGAGCCGCCGCCGCTGGCGCGCGCGCGGCGACGAGCTGCTGGCGCGCATCAAGGAGGGCGACGAGTCCATCGCGGACCAGGCCGCGCTATGCTTCGCGAAGACGGGCGACAAGGCGACTGAGTCGTTCTGCCGCGGCGTCGAGTGGCGGCGCGCCGCGCGCCGCGAGGCCGACGAGGAACGAGTCGTGGACCTGCAATTGGCGGCGGCCTGCGCGTTCGCTAGGGGCGGCGCGCTCGACGCGTGTGCGGATCTTCTAGCGCAACTCGGGAAGGACGATCTCGCCGACGAGTGCCGTGACGCGGACGGCGCGGCGCGCTTGATCGCCGACGCGCGCGCCGCGGAACGGGAGCGCGCCGAAGTCGCGGATCGCGTTGTGGAGGTCTGCAAGGCGGCGACCCTCGCCACGCGCCATGCGGCATCGAACGCCAGGCGGGCCGCGCGCGAGTGTCGCCAGGCGCAAGCCGCGATCGTTGCGCAAGAGCAGCGCGCCGAGGCCCAGGAAGCCGAGCGGCGCGCCCGGGAGCTGGCGGCGCGGCGGAAGCAGCGCGAAAAGGAGGAAGCGGAGCGGCGCGCCGAGGCGGCGAAGCAGCGCGCCGCGGAGGAAGCCGTGGCCGCCGAGAAGCGCCGCGCCGAAGTCGCGCGAATCGAGGCGGCGCGCCGCGAGGCCGAACGCCAGGCCAAGGCCGAACGCCAGGCGCGCGCCGAGGAAAAGGCCCGCGTTGCTAAGGAGCGGCACGAGCGCGAGGCCCAGCAGCGGGCCGAGGCCTACCGGTTGCAGAGAGAGGCCGCCGCCCAGCGACGCGAGGCGGAGCGCCGCACCGCGGACGTCGAGCGCATGGCGCGGGAGCGGCGCGAAGCCGAGCGCGAGGAGCGGAAGCGTGCGACTCGCGAGCGGGAGGAGCGCGAGCGCCTCGCCATCGAGCGCCTCGCCGCCCAGCGCCGCGCCGAGCGGGAGAACGAGGAGGCGTCGTTAGCGCTCGCGCGGCGCCTCATGGCCGAGGACGCCGCCGCGGCCGGGGAGACTTTGCTGCCGCAGCCTGCGGCGGCCGCGCCGCGGTCGCGCGAGGCCATCGTGGCGGTGCTTGCGGACTGGATCGCCACGCAACCCGGGCGAACGGCGCGGTCTTGTGACATACCCAAGTTCTTCAAGGCACACCCGGAGCTTAGAAAGCCGGAGAAGGGTTACCAGTGGCTCACGGCCAAGCTCCTCGCGTCGCAAGGGCTCTCGAGAAGACCCGGCAACGGATACTTCATCATCGAGTGCGCGGCCGGCACCGACTCGTTCTCCGAGCCCGGTGGTGACGACGACCAGACCTGCGCCGTGTGCATGGACCGCGTGCCCGATCACCGCGTCGACTGTCCGGCGGAGCATCAATTCTGCCTCTCGTGCATCCGGGAGTGGTTTGATCGCCTCAACACCTCTTGTCCGACCTGCAAGCGCGACGTCACGGGGGCCTTCCCCTTGGTACAGCGCGCCGCGGCGACGGTTCGGCAGCCGCCGCGCCAGCCGGTCCCGACGCCGCCGCCGACGCGACGGCAAGTGGTTTCGCCGGAAACGACGCCCGCGACGCCTGTGTGGGGCAACCAGCCGCCGCCGCCGCCTCCGCCGCCGCCGCCGCCGCCTGGACCGGGCGATTCGGAGGCGGCCAAGAACCGGGCGATGGCCGAGCTGCTCCGGTCGCTCGACGACTTCGAGCAGAGGTACGCGCAACTCTTCGAGGACAACATGGTCACCATCGACTGCATCGCACATCTCGAGCGCGAGGACTGGCGCGAGCTAGGCGTCCCCATTGGCCACAAGTCGCGGATCATCTCACGCGTGCGCGAGCTGCATCCGGATTTGTGGTAACGCCCCCCCCCCCCCCCAAACAGAGCTTGTGTTGTGTGCAAGACTTGTAATAACGTTCGGCTCTTCTACTATTGATACACTACATTTTTACGACCCCTCCACCACAAACGCCCACGCATTCGCACTCGTCATATGAGTCGCGTCCGCAGGGTCGACGATCACAACTCGCGACCGGAAGGGGTTCTGACACGGCGGCGCCGCGAAGCGTAGTGCGCCGTAGCGCGCCTCCAGCGCGGTCAGGTCCCGACGCGAATCCATTTCGGAATGGCCCGTCACGAGGAGCGGCCGGCCCGACGCTCTGATCGCCTCCAGCGCCGGCACCCAGCCCTCCGCGAGGTTCGGATGGCCGACGCCGGGGTTGAACAGCACGACCGCGTCGGCTTCGTCGAGGTGCGCCTTTGTGAGTTCGCGCCGCTCCGCTTTTACGGCCAGACTCTTCGTGCCCCGCTGAACCGGCGTCGGTCGCGCTGGTTTGACCTCGGGGCCCACGAACGTCAGTGTCCAGTCGTGCACGCTGTCGACAGCCTCGATCAGCTCGGCCCACCAGGCCGTCGACAGCGCCGCCTCGGCCCGCGCGCCGACAATAGCGATCGACGCCTCGGCGCCGAGATTCAACGTCGTGGCGTGCGCCGCCAAACTGAGCGGGTAGGTCAGCGCCTGCGATAACAAAGCGCGCGCCTCGGGCGCTTCTACTTTCGCCCAATTTCGGGAATGGAGGTACTGGTCCAGGCCACTCAGGTCCGGCGCCCGCGTGCCGTGTGGTGGCGGTCGTAGCACGTCCCGCGCGTCGTCGGCGTGCTTTGACGCCCACTCCCGCAAGCGATGGCCGTCGGCGCCCGCGGCGCAGCTGGAGGCTTGCCAGACGTGGGTGCTCGTCGTCCGGCGCAGCAGCGTGGTTGCGTGGCGCATTGTGCGTTGACTTCGCGGCGGATGGCGTGGGGGTTAGCACCCCTGCACGACTGCAACACTGCACCAGAGACCAGCAGAGGAGGCACCCCTGCACTGGCTACAGTGCTAGGCATCCCTACTCGAAAACTGCGGCTAGCTTGCAGCCCTTCGAGCTGAAGCTTCTGGGAACAACTGAGCGCTCAAGACACCGAAGAACGAGCTCTATTCACTTGCATACACAGCTTTTTGCGGCGGCTCCGAGGAGGAGGCAGCTAGCGGCCTGTAAAGACACTAGCATGCAAGGAGCAAACGCGCCCTGCAGCTGTTCGAGTATCGTTCAGTTCGCTAATGGTCCAAAGAGAGCAATGGGACACTTCCTGGGGGCCGAAAAAAATAATGTTTTTAATTCACGATATTGACGACGCCACCATGGCGGGCGCGTCGGTGGAATCCTGTCGATTCGTGGTCCTGAGCTCTCCCCGAGGTCGCCTAGGGTCGGAAATAGACATGGGTAGTCGCCTACGCCGCATGCGCAGCGGCTTCCAACGTAGATACATATCAGTACAAGTCCTCAGCCTCAATATAGGTTACAAGTCCAACAAGTTTTCGATCCAGAGCTCTCTGGAGGGCCCCAAGCGCCGGCACATGCGGTCCAGGGGACCACCCGACCTCAGACCCATCCCAGAGGGCGCCCGGGAGCCGATCTACATCCGAAAAAAGTAAATAATTTGGGCCCGATGGCGCCCCGTACCGTCAAAAACGCCAATTACCCGAGGGCCCCCAAGAATCGTAATAGCGGTCTCGTTGGACCCCATACTACCCCAGCGATAGTCAATTACAAGTATATGACATCTACATTATAAGAAGGGTACTTTTGGCTGCCCACGCTCGGGACGTGAACATCTTGATCTGGACCTCGCGTAAGTCAGTCGGTCATGAAACAAATGATCGCGTTATGGTCCATGGTGAAGGTACACGGGCTGATGGTCGCAGGTGCAAGTCTTGAGCCGAATTAAGCCAGATCCTGCTCTCTCGGGGTGGCCGAGCCGCCGTGGAGATTACGGTCAATAAATCCTATGTAGTATCCGTTCAGGCCGGTTATCTGGCCCGTCCCACACCCGAGGCACCTCAAACGCAAATTTATTGTACAAACCACCGGTCTGGGGCCTTTCCGGTGCTCCGTCAACGTACCGTCGTCCGCGGAGAACGGGCAAGTCGGTCGATTGTGAATAGAACAACGGCGTTATGGTCCATCTGGGGGGTGGCGTCGCTGATACTCGCGGTTTTATCTGGGTGGCCGTTTTAACATAAAACGTGGGGTCGCGAAATCGACGAATCGCGCGGCTCTAACGGAATATCTAAAATAGATGAGTGGGCGCTGATGCGGGCTAAATGGACTCTACCACCAACAAACGGATGGAAACGAACATAAACTCGGGAGTTGTCTAGTAGAATTCTTCTCCCGCCCTCCGAGCGCGGGCCGTCGGCTCCGGTTCCGTCGAACTTGTATGAAAACTGGGCTGGAGTTGATATGATGGACTATTTGGACGATAGATGGCACTGTTAATCGCTGGTGTATTTTGGCGAGCCGCAAGACCTGGTGATCTAGCGTATCGACACACTAGGAATCCGTATATATGCGCCGTGTGTGCGTGTGTACGCGCGCGCGCGCGCGCGCGTTTTACGCGCCCTAGCGATGCGGATGAAGCTGAAAACGGTTTCCGACTGACCCCGAATAGTGAAGTTCAGAGCTTAATTTCCGCTCTGGCGCGCGGCTCGAATAGTTGATCTCAGAATTACACTCGCGGTTGTGCAAGGATCGAAGCCAGCCCGGCTAGAGATCCCTACAAACAGCGCTGGGCGCCGAGAAAAAGACCGAGTGAGTCCCCGGCGCGCCCGCGGCGCGATTCGGTATTAACAGTACACGGGACCTTAAGCGGAGTCGGCGTGCTACGACGCGCGGCGGTGTCAAGGTGGGTCCCAGCGGCGGCGTGTACCGTCTACGACGACGCTCGCGGCTCGGGCGCGTCGTCGCGCTCGCTCACGTCTCGGTTGCTGACAAACTTGATCTGGAACCGAAGTCCCTCCTCCTCCCGCGTCAGCGGACGCTTGTAGTCTTCCAGCCGTTCCTGTAGGGCCGCCTCGCGCTGGTGCCAGGACTCCTCGTAGGGTGTGGTGGCTGTGGAGAAGGAACTGGCAGCTCGCAGCAGGCCAGGGCGGATCGACAGGCGCAGCGCGCGTGAGCCCGAAAGTAAGACGCTCATACTGACTTCGATGAGCGGTGATTCCGACGTAGATTTAGCGTTTCGCGCTCCGTTAAAAAATGTCCTGCTCTGCTGGACGCTCCGACCTTCGCGCCGATGACCGGACAGCGGATCTCACGCACGACTCCTCACGAGCCTCCAGGGAGTGCCTTGGTGCGACCCAGGACAAATAGGAGCGCGAAGCCGGGCCACCAAACCCACAGGCGCGCGCGACGACGGACCAGTAGTTAGTCGAACACCCCCATCAGGTCGTTCAGCCGGTGGAAGTCCTTTTGAGCTTCCCTTTCGTCCGGAAAAGGATATTCGGCACCGATCGCATGCGCGCAAAGGAAACCTGATAGGAGAGACATGTCGTGGCAGTTCCCCGGCGTCGTCCAGTTCGAGCAGTAGTACAAGCCGTCCCGCCCCTGGCACAACCGCAACGATAATTGGGCCATGACGTTCCACCCCGAATACAGGGGATGCGCCCTCGAGTGGTTCCCGCCGCCGCGCACGAGCGCCGAGTCAATTTTTTTCCCCTCGCCCAACGCATGCGAGATGAGCATGACCGGCTTCTCGTCCAACTCGAGTCCAGCAACACCGGGCCCCGGCGTCTGGACCCCGAAGTTGTACTGGTTCTCTATATTAATAGACTTGTCTTGTAACTGAGTGACTTCGACGTAATTGCTACCTCGCCTCAGAAACTCTGCTCTATATTTCTCGTCCACAACCGACGAATCGGAGTGCATGACGGCGTGCATGTGGCCCGTGGCCGGGTGGTGGTCGTCCGCGTAGACGACCGTCGAGAGAATCGCGTTCTCCAAATAAGTGCGGGGCTTCTTGATCATGGTGGCTGCCGCAGCCGAGGGACAGGCGAAGATCACTCTATCAGCAATTATAGCGTCGTCGTGCTCGTCCACTACCTTATGTCTTCCATCTTCAAGTAATTGCACCTGCAACACGCGCGTGTCCACTCGGACGTCCACACCTTCCACTAATTTCGCAAACACGCCTCGGATGCCCGCGCCGGCGTCCTTCCAGGTCACACACGTCGTAAGGACGCAATCCCGCTCCGCCCTATCAGACGCGCCATGCCAGGAATTCTCCGGCGTCGGATTTAATGGAATTTGGGCTTCAATAATAGGTCCAAAGACCGCCGGAAACGGCCGCAACTCGTCCACTAGGAAAGAAGCCGTATAGTAGGGCGTAAAGACGATGTCCCACCACGCGTCCGTCCCGCCAAAGGCCCTAAAAACTGTGTAGAGAGGAACGACGTTCAGGGGGTTCAACAGCCCCAACCCCGTGTGGTTCGTGTACATGCTCCTCGAATCGCCTCGCTTCCACGGCGCCCAGGCCAGGCAGAAAAAATCAGTACATCTTCTTGCGAAGTATTCTGCTCTTTCATAAGCTCGGAAGTCGTCCCGAAACACATCTCGCAGCGTGTTGAATTCATTGTCAGAGTTCGGGTCGGCGCCCCACAGGGTCCCCTCGTAGCCCGGCACCTTGGAATTCAAAAACCACGAGAGGGGCATGGCACAAGTTTCGACGTTCAAGTGTTTGAGGAGCGCCGTGTAGTTCTTGTAGAGCAGCGACGGCCAAGCCGTGACGGACACGCAGGACTTGACGCGGCCCTCCTCGTCGACGTTTGTGGTAGACGTCTTCCGCCAGACCTGCGCGGAGCATCCCAGTCTCTCGAGTCGCGTCGATGGCGTAGAACGGGACGCCGGGATCGCACGTCGTCGACCCAGTCGAACGTGCGAGCGTTGCCCGACGTCGCGGGCCGCGCCTCGTACAACACTACGTCGAAGCCGTCGCGCGCGAGCATCCACGCCGCGCCGCAGCCCGCGATGCCTCCACCGACGACGGCGACGGTGCCCCGCTTCGTCCCTTGCGGTAGGGGCTCCGCGCCTTTTGAATAACCAGGTACGGTTAAAAAGGGTATACGTCGCGCGAGCCACTTCGCGACACTCGACGAGACATAATTCCCGACAAACGAGATGAACTTGCGCACGGCGATAGCCGCTGGTAGCGAGCAAGCGATAGCTAACAGTCTCCTACGACTTGCTCGTAATCGAGCGAGTCTCCTCCTGACATGATTTTCGGGAGTGGATCTTCTCTGGGCCTCGAGCGCATCCTCAGGAGTCAACTTCCCGACGGCCAGCGGCGACAACCAATTGGCCGCCTTATCACTATGACCATGTACCGTGTAATTCTCGAAAAAGTGCTTCAGGTCCATGCCCGACGCCGTCAAGAGTAGTTCCCTTCCACCGGGGTGGGCATCCGCAAAGGAAGTGACGTCATACACAATACCGTCGTACGTGCACAAGAGTTGCCCATCGCCGCCGTCATGGGCCAATGTCGCTCTAGATGCCTCTACTTCGTCTAGAGTCATCAAGTCCAGGTCTTCTTCGTCGACCTCGACGGTCACGCGCCCGCCATCCAACGCGGAGTGCGTCGGGTGCTCCTGCTTCGTTTTCAGTTTTTTGCTTTTCTCGGCCTTCGTGTGCCGGTCCATGTCGTCGAAGGACACGACGGCGTCGCTCCGCGCGAGCTGGTGCGCGCCTAGCGCGCCCGCCACGAAGCCGGCGGCGCCCGCGGCCATGGCCGTGTGTGGCCTTTGTGGCCGCGCCCAGGCGCTGCTCGGGCGCGCTTGCGGGCGCGTTGTGCTGATGCGGCGAAGAGATGCGCGCATCATGTTGCTCGCTTGCTGCGCTTGCTACCAGCACAGCTGCTGTTTTACGCAACCACTGCAGCACGCGTCGATGGCGTTTGCCCTTGCGATTCCTTTAGTAGTAGAGAGATGCCTCCGCTTGTCTCGCTGCACAATTGCAGCGCGTACGACGCGCTAACTCAGCGTCGATTACGATCAGCTCTGCATCAGCCTTGTGCTGAACCGCTAAGCCGCCTGCCCGAGTGAAGGATGCGTCGACGCCAGCGAGGCGTCTGGTCACCGTTGAGGTGTCTCGGGCAAAGCCCGGGCCTGCGTGTCGGGCGGACGCGCGGGTGGACGCGCCGGGGATCTCTAAAGTAAACTTAGTCCTCAAGCCTGCTCCGCGGCAACTTCAGCCACGGCCACCTGCAAGTTCGTCAGCTTCCGCTTGATCTCGTTCAGGCCGCAGAGGACGCAGTCGTCCACGGGCACGCCGCCCAGCGACTCGACCTCAAAGACGAAGTCCGTCGTAGAGGCAGAAGCGTGGAACATGGGCTTGTTCTGCGGTGATAATTGCTTAGTAAGATCTTGAATATCTTTGGTGAAGTCGAGGATCGCCGCCTCGTTCTTCACGACTATAGACGTGCGATCCCGCTCATCTTCATATCCTAAAACACCAGCAGGACAGACGTCGACGATGATGTTCCGCAGGTTGGGAGGCAACGCTCGCACGGCGTTGTCGTCCCAACTAATCGTCGGCTTCGGGCGAAAGACGCATTTCGAAACTGGAGTCCACTTCGCGTGCTCCTTGCCACACCCCAACTTCGCGATGCAGGAGAGCTTGATCTCCTGGCCCTTGGCTAGTTTTACTATCGCTATTCCTGGTTCTGAAGATGTATTTCTCTCCCTTTCCGAGACGAAGTGGACGGGAAACACGTCCGGGTCGTCCGACTCGAGGTTGATGGATGTCACGGTGTAGGGCTGGTTCTTTTCGTGCTCCGGGACGTTCTTGATCACTTCATCGTACTTGACGTGTAATTTAAAGGTACACGCGCACCAGTCGCAGTAGCCATCACAATCGCAATCTCTAGTAAATCTAAAACGTCTTTGAATGTCTCGTTCCGACGACATGGCCGCCGCCTCGTCATTACTGACATCCTCCCTCAGCTTCGTCTTGCCCGGCTTGAAGGCGTACTTGATCGGTATGAGACCCAATCGGTGGGCGATGATCTCGTCGTCGATGCAACTAGTGTTCTCCTCGAACGTGACGAGGTCAATCGCCATAGTCACGACTTCGGCGATGATAACCCTCCGTAAAGCGTTGGCCATGGACGCGTCCGTTTTTTTAACTTCGAAGGACATTTGGTTCTCCTCCAAACTCAAAACCTCGACCTCGGGCCGCCTGGCCCTTTGGTCCGCGGCGACGGAGTAGCAGGACATCGTGCCGGCGTCTGGGATTTATTGCGCGTCCGGCGTTGACTGCGCGTCGCCTCGCGCTGCTGGCGCGCGCGCCGCTGGCAAGCTAGGTGCGCGTCGCCGCGCGCTGCTCGCGCGTGCGGCGCGCAGGCGAGCTTTGAGCTGTTCAGGGCTTAGGGCAGCCAGCGAGCGGCGAGCCGGGAGCGTTGCTTCTGCAGCGGCGCAATGGTGCAGAAATGCAGTAGCACGTGACAAAATTGCTCAGCGTGCCAGCAAAGGAGCGTAGAGGCTCGAGCGACGCTGGGCGCCAAGATTAGCTAGCGTCTGTAAGACACTAGCGACATCTAACGAGTCGTCTGGAAGGAGGGGGCGCTCGCCGCCGGAGGCCTGCCCGGGAGGGCTCCGGTTCCGTGGTACGTCGATCGATGCGACAGGTTTGGAGGTTGGAACAAGGGCAGCCCAAAACGCCGCCGCATAAGCGACACGCAGCCCGGAGATGAGCGACAGCATCTCCTACGCGATCCGCGACGAGGCGAAGGACATGGACGAGAAGGAGAACGAGTGCGTCGCGCGGGAGGCCTACGCTAAGACCGTCGACCAGCAGTACAAGTCGAAAATCCAGCAGTACAAGCGGTCCAAGGACCTAGGACGCCAGCTATTAGCGCGTCTCTCCGACGAGGAGGCGGACTTGCGACGGGCGGCCACGGCTTGGGTGCACAATTTTACGCAAGCGCAGAGGCAAGCTACGTCCGCGCGAGGGCATTGTGAATTGCGGGCGCTGTGGTTCTCTCGTTGTAGGAATGAGGCTCGAGCTCTCGTCGGCGAGACGGTGGAGGGCTTCTCGCGGACGTTCTTCCGCACTACACTAACGTGGTCCCTTGGTAGTGGGTGCACTCTGGATTCGGTCTTGGACCATAAACGAAGCGCCGTGTCGCACCACGAGGCGTATGAGGATGATGTGAGTGATGCGGCGCCGGAGGGCGACGACTGGGCGGCCGTCGCGCTGCCGGGGGCCGGGCGGCACAAGTAGGGGGTAGTTGCGTGTGGATTAAAACGTGAGGGCGCCTCTCGTGGGCCTGGGGTATCCCTGTGGGGAGTCAATTGGGACCCTGGGGGTTGCAACTTGCTCCGCGTGCGTCAAGTTCGCCGTCAACGTGACGGCCAGGGTGCTGGAGCGCCCTTGGCCTGTCTGCGCTGTCCGGGCACGGAGACGGGTCCCGCGCGGTGCCCGGGGCGCAGTTTGGGCACGGCTCCTTTGGTTGCACTTTCCTAGTGCCCCAGGTGTGGCAAAAGCTAGTGCTGATCCGGGGCGACGACGGGATGATTGACAGGACGCTTTTGGCCCCGACCGCCGCTAAAAAAAATAACAAAAACACGCGTGGCAACCAGGTGCTCGCAGTCCCAAGCCATAGCCGAAAGCGCAGCGCCAAACGGACAGCGTAAAGCGTGTTTTGCGACGCCAGCACAGCGAGTGAAGCGCCGATCAAAACATGGCGGAGCCCCCGCGCCCCCCCGCGGACCCCGCGGCGGGGGCCCCAGCGCAGCCGGCGCCCAACCCCCAAATCCTGGCGCCGCCGGGCGGCCCCATCCCCGCCGCGGCGCTGCCGCCGACCGCCGCGCTCCCGGTTGGGCCCATCCCGGCGGCCGTCGCCGCCGCGGGCCTGCCGCCGGCGGCCATGCTCATGGCCGTGCCCGCGCCGACGCCGCAGGAGGCCGGCGCGGCGGCGGCGGCGGCGGCCACTGCCGCCTTTAGACAGCACATGAGCGCAGCCGCTTCTCTCCCGGACGCCAGCCGCGGCTCCGGCGAGAACACCTTCGTGGCCGGCCACGTACGTATCCAGCGTCCTCAAAGCGCGCACGGCACCAATCATTTGGCCCGAATTTGCGGAAGTTTGCGCGCGTTCTGTCCGACGTCGGATTCCGCGGAAATCCGCGCGCGTCACCTCGGACGCGCCGTGGCCGCGGCGACGGCGTCGTCGCGAGCCCCCGTCGTCGTGGAACCGTCGTCCTCGTCGCAAGCGGGCCTACACACCTCACGGGCAGCTTCGCGGCCGCGTCGTCTTTTCTCGCGCGCCCCCGACGCACGCTACACGACCGCTGCTTCACTCACGATACGACCGCAGGCCTGGGACGATCGAAGTAAGTGCCAAAGTGTCGACTGTAGAAGACCATTAAGAGCGGGCGACGCGCGCATCGGAAAAAGGCCACCGTCGGCGCGCCTCGGCCAGGGCAAGACGCGCTGGTACCACCTCGAGTGCGTCTTCGCTTCATTTAGACGGGCCTGTCGGCGCTCCAAAACGATCACGAGGCAAGAAGACGTCCGCAATTTAGAACTGCTCGCGCCGGAAGATCGGGAAAAGGTCAAGCAGATGATCGACGCCTGGAACGCGGAATTGCGCGCCGCGACGGCGGCGGACCAGCCCCAGCCGCCCGTGCAGCCGCCCCAAGCGCCGACGGTCACTGGGAGTTCGGAAGACGACGATAAAGCGGAAAGTGCGTCCGAGTCCGAGGACGACGACGACGACGTGCGGCCCTTGCCTTTTTTGGCTTCCATTGCTCCTGATGGTCGGTCGAAATGTCAGTACGTGCATTGCCCGACGCGCGAGATTCGGGCCGGCGCGGCTCGGTTGGGCGCGCGGCCTCCCTCACCACGCCCAGGAGGCAACGGGCGCGTCCAGTGGTTCCACGTCGACTGCGCCTTTGCGGCGACGGCCTGGGCCGGCACGCGCTGTCGACGGTCGGGCCCCCCTGACGGCTTAGACGCTCTATCTCCGCCGGATCGGGCACGGTTGCTCCGCCTCGTGGCCGACGCGAAGAAACGCAGAAGAAAAGCGGACAACGGCTCCGAACGAAGCGTCAAGCAGAAGACCACCGAAGGAGCGCAGCCGCCGGCGGCGCCGCCGCCCATGTCGCGGGGCCACTGGAGCGAGGCCGAGCACGCGAAGTTCGTGGCGGCCTTGGCGGTCCACGGGCGGGACTGGGTCAAGGTCGCGTACGCGGTCGGCTCTCGGACGTTGGCGCAAGTCCGGTCCCACGCGCAGAAGCACTTCCTCAAGCAGAAGGACCTGGCGAACGCGCCGCGCGGGTCCGGCGACCCGGCGCGCGCGGCGATCATCGCTAGAGCGGTGGCGGCCCGCGCGGCGCCGGCGCCGGCGCCGCCGCCGCAGCAGCAGGACTCGGCGGCGATGCTGAGCGCGCTCGCGGCGGTCTGCTCGCACCTCGCGCCGCCGGCGCCGGTCCCGATCCGGGGGCCGCAGCCGCCGCCCCAGGGGGAGGGCGACGGCGGCTGGGCCGACGACGCGCCCGCGCCGTGACGTCTTCTGCTCGCGGCCGCCCCCCCTCTACTAATCCACCAATTCAACAACCTTATGTTGCTTTGCGTAGAGCTACCTGGCCGACTTGGGGAAAGCGTGACCGAACGCCCGCCCCGCCCATATGTTGGTGCGCCGCCGCGTCGATGGCGTCTGTGGAGCGCCGCGCCGCCGGGGAGCCGGGGACTGTCTCGGCGACGGAGTGCCTGGCGCAGAGTCGTCCGCGGGCTTCGCGTCTTACTAAGAGATTTCATTTCAAAGTCGGGCCCCCCTCTCGACTCGCCGCCCCTTTTAATTGCACTGGGCAGCCCTAACAATGCGCACTTTGGCCTTACTAATCGCAGCTGGTGGAGCATCCAATGCGTGGGCGATGCTGGACGCCCGCTCGGTGCTGCGGGGCAGCAATCGGCGCCTGAGCACCGCCAATTTCGAGGAGATAAAGCTTGCGGCCGCCGATGCTGCGGCGGACGACCAGTTCGGCATCTCCGTGGCCATCGACGGAGACACCGTGGTTATAGGCGCCCCCGGCGCTGGCACCGGTGGCGCGGTCTACGTCCTCCGCACGAGCGACGGCGGCGCCACGTATGATGAAGTGGCCAAGCTGACGGCCGCCGACGCCGCGGCGGACGACTGGTTCGGCTACTCCGTGGCCATCAACGGCGACACCATCGTGGTCGGTGCCCATTGGGATGACGGCTACACGGGCTCGGTCTACGTCTTCCGCACGACCGACAGCGGCGCTACGTACGGACAAGTGGCCAAGCTGACTGCCAGCGACGCTGCAGCAGATGACCAGTTCGGCGGCTCCGTGGCGATCGACGGCAACACCATCGTGGTTGGGGCCTACGGCAAGGTCGACTCCACGGGCGCAGTCTACGTCTTCCGCACGAGCGACGGAGGCGCCACGTACGATGAAGTGGCCAAGCTGACGGCCTCTGACGCCGCGGCGGATGACTACTTCGGCTACTCCATGGTCATGGATGGCGCCACCATCGTGGTTGGGGCCTTCGGCGGGGAAGCCGCCTACGTCTTCCGCACGACCGACGGCGGCGCCACGTACGGCCAGGTGGCCAAGCTGACTTCAAGCGATGCCGGGTGCAGCTGCGTCGATGGCGGTGGCGCCTACTTCGGCTACTCCGTGGCCATCGACGGCGCAAGCGTCGTGGTCGGCGCCCACTACGTATCAGTCAACGGCTCCCCGGGGTCGGGCGCGGCCTACGTCTTCCGCACGAGCGACGGCGGCGCCACGTACGGTCAGGTGGCCGAGCTGACCGCTAGCGACGCTACGACGTTCGACTACCTTGGCACATCTGTGGCGATCGACGGGGACACCATCGTGGTCGGGGCCAAGGGAGGCTGGGCCTCCGGCCCGGGCTCGGTCTACGTCTTCCGCACGACCGATGGCGGCGCCATGTACGGCCAGGTGGCCAAGCTGACGGCCTCGGATGGCGCGGCGGAAGATGCCTTCGGCATTTCCGTGGCCATCGACGGCAGCACCATCATGGTCGGTTCCTGGCAAGACAGTCACGATGGCGGCGCATACTCGGGCTCGGCCTACGTCTTCTCGCCTCCAGCTCCTACGGCGCAGCCAACGCCCCGTCCGACGTTTCAGCCGACGACGCCCCAGCCAACGACGTCGCCCCAGCCAACGATGTCGCCCAAGCCCACTCCCCAGCCCACAACGCCCCAGCCCACGCCCCAGCCCACAACGCCCGCGCCATCGACCGCGGCGCTTGAGTCAGATTCGGCGACGCGTGCGGGCACGCTTGCGACGGTCCTCGGTGTCGTCGCCGCGACCGCGCTTGCTCTGTAGGCACACGCAGCCGAGTCGCGCAATTCATCCACTTCCCTCGTTCCTCTGGTCTCTGGAGTCAGTGCGCTTCCAAGTTCCATGCGTCCGCTGTGCTCTCGACCTCTCCTTCCCCCATCAGTGCCACTGGCAACACATAGCAATAAGATAACTTATATATAGGTCCGGGGTGGGCAAAGTCGTAGTGATAGTATCGTAAGGAAAGTCGATGTTACGGTGCTAGGACTAGTGGGCGGAGCCCCTGGGGGGGAGACACCGCGAGTCTCCGCGGATTGCTAGTGTCTTACAGGCGCTAGCCTCGGGATTAGTGGTCAGATCGGCCTCGGCCAGAGCGCGGGCTTGCGCCTGGCATTAGCTGGTTTAGAACGCGACAGCAAGGTCCTTAGAGCTGCTTGCACTGCGCCTGCGAGCGGTGGCGTGTCGCGTGCGCCACAGGCTGATTGAGTGCCCGGAGAGCTTTGTGGTCAAATCAGCAGCCGCGTCCGTGAGGAGCGCGCCGAACCTCAAAACAGCAAAAATGTGGATCACCATCCCGCACGGCTACCTGCCGGGCGACGACTTCCCCGTCTACGACGCGTCGGACACCTATTTAGGAACGGCGACCGTGCCGGCGGGTTATTATGGCGGCGACCAATTGGAGTTCTTCCGGAGCATGCTCCACAAGAAGCGAAGTACGAAGAAGAGCAACTACGGCGCAAAGCAGCTGCGCGGCGCCGGCGACGCGGCGATGTCGCTCGCGTTTACCCTTGTTTGTATCGTCCTCATCTCGAAGCTCGTCGGCTGGTGGCGCACGCGCAGACGCAAGACGCGGAAGATCGAAACGGCCTATCCGAGCGTCCCGTCCGCGTCAGAGGCGAGAGACGCCAAGCGCCGCATGCGCGAGGAGCAGGACGCCCGGCGCAAGGCCGCCCGGGCGTCGCGCGACGCGGCGGCCCAATTAGCGCGCCGCGAGGCCGACGCGCGGTCCCGGGAGCTCCGCGCGATGCGCAAGGAGGAGACGCAATGCCGCAAGGTCTGGACCGCGGTCATGCGGCGCGACGCGGCGACGCGGTTGGCGAGCGTCGGCCGCGTGCGGTGCGCTCGTAGATTCGTGGCCGTCACGCGCGCCGCGCTCGTCGTGCAGCGCGCGTCGCGCGTCCCCGGCGTCATCGGGCTGCGGCGGGCGGTGCGGAAGGCGCACCAGTGCGCATGTGATGCGCTGGACGCGGCGACGCGGGCCTCGGAGGCGGCGGATGAAGCCGCGGAACGAGCCGACTCGCACATGTGCGCCTGGCCGCTCCAGCGCTGCTTTCGGGCTCACATGTTTCGGCGCGGCTTCTACGTCGCGTACCTCCAGCGCTTCTGCCGCGTTATGTTAGCCAAGAAGCGGCTCGCGGCGAAAAAACGTCGGGCGGCGCAGCGGCGCGGCCGCAACGCCGTCGTGCTCTGGCAGCGGGCCTGGCGCGCGCGGCGGCCCCAGGCGCGGAAACGTGCCGCCGCGGCGCTCGCGGGCGAGCTCCTTTTCGCCGAGGAGAAGCGCCTGCAGCGGAAGAAGCGCCGCGAGGCCGAGCGCAAGGCTAGAGCGAGGGAAAACGAGAAGCGCCGCAAGAGCGACCGCAAGGGCTGGCTCGAGAAGCGCGCCGCGGCCAACAAGGCCGCTGACGCCGCCGCCGACGCGCTCTGGGCGACGCTCGCCGCGCGGGAGGCCTGCGCCGCCATCGTCGTGTCCGGTGCGCGCGGTCCAAGAGCGGAGAAGGTCAACGGCTTGTACCGCGCGGCTCGGAAAGCGACGAGACCTCCACTATTTAGCTCAAAGGGCGCCCACCTCTTCGTGGCGAAGAAAGAAGGCACCTGGGCCTGGATAATCGGGGACTGGTCGGCCTACGAAGCTTCCGAGGCGCGGGGCTGGGCCACGTCGACCACCGTATGTGTCGGGGCTCCGCCCTGCGGCAAGCAAGACTTCCTCGTGGCCGACGGCCGGGGCGGCTTCCAGCTGCAGTGGTTGCGCTGCGAAGTGGTCTCGTCGCGTACGGTTGCGGCGGACGATGCCCTCCTCGTGGCCTCCTACGCCTCGCAACGCGCGGCGAAAGCCGTCGCGGCGGCGGCGCGCCACGCTACCGTCTGTGTCTGTGTGGAAATCAACCAGTGAGTTAGGTTACCCCCACGCCATCGAGGGCGGGGCGTCCGAATTTGATTTCCACACAGGTGTGCGCGACGCAGAACGCCAAGATGCCCCAAGTAAAAACGGCGCGCGTGCGCCAGGCCGCCGCCGCTCGAGCGTTCAAGGCCGCCAAGGAGGCGGACAACGCCATCGCGCAGGCCTGCCAGATGGCCGGCAAGAGCAGAGACGACCTCGCGTCCTTACGTTCCGCCCGCAAGATGGTCGCGAAGGCTCGAGATGATGGTGCCGCGTCGCAAGCCTGGCGCGACATCGCCGACGAGGCCATCGACAAGTTAGACGCGCGCATGCACGAGGCGCGCAAGATCCGCGACGCGGTGAAAGCGCGCGAGACCGAGAACAGCGCGACGAGCGCGGCCAATTGCGCCGTCGATTTGATTGCTGATGATATCGTGGAGGCCCTGGTCCGGGCCGAGGCGGCGCGCGCCGACGCGGCGCTGGCCAAGGACTTGCGAGATCTGTGCCGGGACTGCGGCGTGTCGCAGCTGGCGCGCTACGCGTTGTTCCGCGAGGAGGTCCGCGACGTCGAGACGCTCGAGGTCGTCCTCGAGGACGACGGATGGGCCGATTTACTGTTAGATGCAGCGACACGGGACACGCTCCGAAAAGCCATGGGCTTGCTGGCCGCGAAGGCTGAAGCCGACGACGCGGCCTTCTTCTGGGGCGACGACTAGTGCGCGCCCGCGGCCCGCTACGCCTCAAGCTCCTAGTGTTAAGTGAACTATACCTGTAGAAATTAGTCGACGGGGTCGTCGAAGTGCGCGGCGTCGTCCTCGACGCCGTCCCACTCGAACTCGCCGCTACCCCCTCGCGCCTGCTCGAGGAACGTGGGGTCGCCGCCGATCGCGAGGAGCTCCTCCATCTCGTCGTCGAGGAACTCGTCGTTCTTGCCGCCGCCGCCCTCGAAGAAGAAGGCCTCGCCGCCCAGCTCCTCGACCTCGTCGGCGTCGTAGGTCGTGGCCGCGCGCCGCAGCGCCGGCGACGTCGCGGGCGCCTGCCCGCGGACCGCGCCCAACGCCGCCCGCGCCGATAGAGCGGCGTTGAGGCCAGGCGCCGTGCGCGCGGATGTCCTGGGTTCTGGTGGCGTCCGCAGCGCCTCCGCCGTCGTCATTGGTGCGGGTGGTGCTGTTCGTAGTCGTTCTAGCTCCGCCTCGAGGCCGTCGACGCGGGCCGACTTCAGTTGTTCGACGTCGGCGGCCAGCGTATCAATGCGAGCGCTGAGAGCTTTTATCGCCTCAAGGACATCCTCGTTGGTGGCGGACAGCCGTCGTCGTCGCCGCGTGCAGCCCTTGGTTGCAGGAGAGTGTGGCTGGTGCAGGCGCCGCGGCGCGAAGCAGTGGACTGCTTGCAGCAGGGCTAAGAGCGTTGCCCTGACACGTCTCATCGTGCAATCCGCTTTGTTCAATGGTTATGCCTGCGGTGGCTGGCTTGCAAAACGCCGCTAAGGGCATCGCGCACAGCGGCCTAAAATCGCATCTAATCACGCGAATTGATGAGATCGTGGCCAGCCGGCTGGTCAGCAACTCCTAACACCACCGCACCCACACGCAACGCCTCGCCGTCTGCCGCGCGCGCACGAGGCGACTGGTTATCACCTGCACAACCGGCCTGGCTGGACGCAGCGGTTGAAAAGGCGCTGGCCGCGCGCGCTGAGGCCGTGCGCGACGCTAGTGCTTCGCCGGCGCCGCGCGTCACGCCGGAAAAGACGGACGCGCCGGCGCAGCGGTCCGCTTTCCTGCGACCGCTGCCGACGATGCAGCGCTGGGACGTGGGCATGCGCCAGGCGCTGAGCGTCGACGTGTCCAAGCTCCCGCCGGAGTGCCTGAACGACGTCGTGAAGATCGTGCTGAAACGGCAGCCCGAGAACGGGGCCGAGGTGACGATCGACTTCAACACGATCTCGGAGCCGGTCTGCGACGAGCTGCGGGCCTTCGTCGAGAAGTCGCGGGCCGAGAGCACCGCGAAGGCGACGCTCGAGAGCTGCGCGGACGGCGGGCCGTGCCCCTGGATCAAGAAGGACGCGCCGCCGCCGCCGCCTCCTCCCAGCGACCGGCCGTACCTCCTCTACGCGGCCGTCGCGGTCGCGGCCGTCGCGGCGATCGCCCTCGTGCGCCGCCGCCGTTAACCTTAACTGTGCATAATTTTCGATCCGAGTCCGTCACCGCCCAACGACCGACGACGCGACGAGAAACTACATCTTTACTCCGCGGACGAGAAGTCGTCGCCCAGCACGTTCGTCACCACCGGCCGCAGCGACTCCGCCAGGCGCACGCGCTGGATCGGGTCCTCGGCGTTCTCGAGTTGCGCGAGCAATTCCTGGCGCAGTTTTTCGAGAGGCGCCGAGTCCTTCTGCCACGCTCTCAACTGTTCTAGTTGCGCTCGATTGGCGGCGACCGCCGCGTCGTCGCCGCGCGCCAAATCCTCCTTCAAATCCGCTTCGAGACCGGGCACCTTCTCCTCGACTCTTCGTAAAGCGATGGCCACGAAGTTGCCGTCCTCGGCCAAGACCTCCAAGAGCTCTTGGACCTGCAAGGAACTCCGATCCCTCACATCTTTTTCGAAGTCCGCAGCACTCTTAAAGCCGGCCTCGTCGCTCAGTTGCTTCAGGAATGCATCGTAGGCCTCCTCGGATAGTTGCGTGGAGGCCTTGAACGCTAGAGCCTCATTTGCGAGCTGCCTCAGTGCTACAAGATAATGGTCGCCCTGGAAGCTCTTGAGCTCCTGCGACTGGTGCAATCGCGCATCCAAGTAGCACTTTATGAGTTGCGGCGCCTCGGCGCTGGGATCATTGGCCAACGCTTCGAGCGCGTCGATCGCCGCGCCCTCACTCCCAACACCTCTCATCATCGCGACGGCCTTCTGCATGCCGCTCCGCATGCGCGCGTCGACGTCGTCTTCTTCCGGTTCCTCATCAGGGTCGTCGAAGATGCCGCCTCCTCTCACATCTATGATGCTGTAAGGGTCGCGTCCAAGCAAGGTCTCGAGCGTCGTCGGCTGCGAACGCGGCATGGGCCGCGGGTGACCGTTTCTTATTGCATTTGTTGTTGCGGCGAGGAGCGCGCAGATGAGGAGCTTCATGGCTGCGCGTCGAGGGCGTGTGCGCCGCGTTGGTCAAAGAGAGCTTTTTTGGTCTCCCGAGAGCAAGCGGCAGCTAGGGCGAATGCGGAGCTGAGCACGCCAAATCTGGTATTAGCGCTTTCGGTTGGGTACTCTAACTGCGGCCACGGGGTCGTATGCGAGTCCTGCGGCGCAGTTTTGCCCTCAAGCTCCCAAGCTCCGCTTTCTAGTGTCTTACGACCGCTAGCTCAACCCCGGAGCGAGCTGTCTCGCGACGCGATTATGAAGGGTCCGGCCCACGCACGCATCTCACTAAGAGTGTTCAGGCAGCGGATTGCCGCGAATTAGGAAGCGCTTACGCATGAGCTTTGGCCTCCAAAATTGGACGCGCCGACGCACCGCTATATCACACACGCATTTGCGTCGTTCTGTTTTCACCTAGAGATCGCACCCAGACAAAAAAACTGGTCGTTGCGTCACCCTCTGCACATAAAAAACCAGCTTTAGAACTTACAGCATCATGTTGGCTGCACGCTTCGTACGCCGCCCGGCGCAATTTTTCAAGCGACGCCTTCAAAACTATCGAAACGGTCGCGGCCCGTGGACTAAAGCCCTCATTATGCCGTCCACGCGCGGGGAGAGTCTACGCCGCGTTCCTGGAACGAGCCGGCGGGAAAAACTTATCTCACTCACACACCGCACTCGTCGCAGGCCACGACCCTCGAGGTCACAATCTCCAAGATCTTCCCCGCGGGCGCCGGCTGGCAGGCGGCGTCGCTCTACGCGGACAAGCTCGGCTTCGCGGCGGACAGTGCGTCGTTCGCCCTCACGACGGGCGTGGGAGACGGCATCGCCGTCGCCGCGGGCCACACGGGCTACTACGCCGTCAAGAAGGCCGTCGCGGACCCGACCATCGACATGGGCGAGCAAGCCGGAGTAGGCGTCTGGTTAGGAAGCGCGGCGGTCTGCTCCGGAGCTCTGTGGCAGCCGCTGGTCAACGCCCTGCAGGCGTCCGAGAAGTTGCCCTTCGAGGCCGTCGCTGGCATGACGGCCGTCGGGTGTGGAGGTGCCTTCCTGACGGGCTTGCGCGTGGGCCGCGCCGTCATGCCCTGGGTGCCCGACTGCGACAGCGCGAACTTCGCCACCGATGCGTATTTGTCGATGGCTATTGGAGGGGCGTCGTCCTTTTTCGTCGGCACCGACGTCGCCTACCTCGGCGGCGAGGGCAACTTTCTGCGCCCGATCGTCGGCGTCGAGGACTTCGACTCGGACCTCCTCGGCGTCGCCAAAGCCGGCACGTCCACGGCCCTGGGCTTCGTGGCCTTCCAGAGCGTCCAGAACGTGACGTTCAAGGCCGGCACGGCGTGGCTCGACCCGGCCGAGAGCCCGGAGCCCGTCAAGGAGGCGCTCCCGGCGGACCCGCAGGCGTCCTTCTCGTGAAAATCACACCCCCCGGAATCCTATGGTGAACATATCTCCCGAATCCTATGAACATGCACCCAACCCTATTTTTACGCCACACTCCCTATCCGTGTAAACAGAAATCAAATGACGTCGTCGACGGCGTGGAGGGCTCTCCGCGCGCCGGGTTCCTCCCAATAGTCCTAACACCGCAAGTTCGGCGCAACGGATATACGAGACTCACGACAAAAAGACGCCATCGCCGCGGCAAGCACAATACCTACTTACACGACGCGCAAAACCCGGGCTCCCTCTCCTGGAGCTTCCAGCGTATTGTCTCGCCCGCCCGTAACGGCACTAATCTACCACCGGCGAACGGGTACGCGGCCGGCGGCGTCCACGTTTCCCGTTTTAGCACCACCGTCTCCGTGTTCCGCGCAAACCCATAAAAGTCCGCTCCATTTTGTGAGGAGAAGGCTTCGAGTCGTTCCAAGCAGCCCGCGTCTTCAAAAACCTCGGCATAAAATTCGAGCGATGCATGCGCGGAGAACACACCCGCACACCCGCACGCTGAGTGCTTGTTCCCGACTTCGTGCGGCGCCGAATCCGTGCCCAGGAAGAACTTCTTCTGTCCTGGTGCGGTCACGGCCTTGACCAGAAACGCCCTGTCTTCTTCCGCCTTCAAAATGGGCATGCAGTAGAGGTGCGGCTTGATGCCACCCGCCAACATGTGGTTCCTATTGAATAATAAGTGTTGCGGCGTGACAGAAGCACAAACGTTCGGGGGACCGCTCTGCACGAATGCCGCCGCTTCGGCCGTCGTGCAGTGCTCCAGGACTATGCGGAGACCAGGTCTAGATAAAACGAGGGGCTTGAAGGTCGATTCGAGGAAGGACCGTTCTCGCTCAAAGACGTCGACGGAGCCCGTCGCCTCGCCGTGCACTAAAAGTAGCAATCCACACTCCTCCATGGCATCCAACGTCTTCCATATTTTTTTAATATCGCTGACGCCTCCATGACTATTGGTGGTGGCGCCTTTCGGGTAGAGCTTGCAAGCTACCACCACACCGGACGCCTTCGCGTCCTTGATGTCTTGCGGCGACGTACTATCTGTCAAATACAACGTCATGAGCGGTTCAAAAGAAGAACCCTTGGGCACATGTTTCATTATTCGCTCTTTATAAGCGACGGCTAGCGCCGCCGTCGTGACGGGAGGGACCAAATTGGGCATGCAGATGGCCCTTCCATAGGTCCGCGCCGCGAAGGGCACGGTCGTCGCGAGGGCCGCGCCGTCCCTCAGGTGGTGGTGCCAGTCGTCGGGTCTCGCTAGCGTTAGGGTTTGGAGCTGCTCCGCCATTTTGCAGGGAGAGCGATCGCAGCGGTGGCGCGGGGAGCTCAAGTGATCGCAGCGTTGGCGAGGGGGGCGGCAGTGATCCGCAGCGCAGCCGAGGTGCCACAGCGAGCGTTTCCTGTGCTACAACCCGCAGTTTGCGAGCAAGCAGGTCTTTGTAGCTAGCGTCCAGTAAGACACTAGCATTCAAATCAGACGGCGTAAACGCCACCGCGCGGACCTAGAATAATACGCGCATACGGGAAGCATTCGAAGAGAGCCCGCCAAGAGCGGCTCCGCAACCGCAAACGCGGCAGAGCGGTTTCGGCCAACGTGGACGCGTCCGGATGCGGGTTTCAGAACACCCGTGCTTTAGGCACTGCAACGGCAGGCAGGCGCCGAGCGCGCCAGTCGACGCGAAGTAGTCTCCGATCGATACGTGCACAAGCTAGTGGACACAAGATAAACCTTAGAGGGGACGCGACGTCTATGCACAGGCATCTTTCAGGTACGCGATGAGCTCCTTGCGCTCCTTCGGCTTCTTGATGCCCGCGAAGACCATCTTCGTGCCTTTAATGTACTTCTTGGGGGCCAACAAATAGTCGAACAGCGTGTCTTCCCCCCAGATGATCCCACTGTTCTTGTTCGCGTCCGAGAAGGAGTAGCCCGTGGCCTGGCCGGACTGCCGCCCGAAGATGCCGTGGAGGTTCGGCCCCTGCTTGTGCGCGCCGCCGGACTCGACGGTGTGGCATTGACTACATTTGGTCTTGAAAATTTTCGCTCCCTTCGCGCTCATCGTGGCCTACGGGAAACGGAGGTGACGCGGCGGCGGCGCGGCGACGGCGTCGATGTGTGTTATTGCTCGCGCTCGCAGCGAAGAAAACCAGCCGCAGCTGTATGGGCCTTAGCGATGTGAGGCGGTATTGCTGCGGCGTAGGGTTGCGTTACGCCGCTTATCGCAGCGCAGCGATCAAGTAGGAAACGTACCTTGTCCCGCGTCCAGCGGTGCTGAATAACGGAGCGATTTGACCTCAGTTTACCAAAATCTCGACTAAGACTAGTATGTGTTTCACTACCCTTCGGTCGCTTGAGCGTCACTTTGGAGCCGTGCTACGAGCTTTGGACGCGTCCTGGCGGCCGCGACGCTAGGGACCTCAAGCCTTGGTGCCTCTGCTTGGCTGGCACAATAGAGCGCCTCTCCCGCCGCATATAAGCTCACGACGTGAATATTAGCAAGCGTTGCAGCGACCTACCAACAATCGCGCACTGGTGAGAAAGCGTCGTTGCACAACACTGGTCTTTTGCAGAGCCAGCCTGCTGCACAAGTCAGCAGAGTGCAAACATGCTACGCCGAACGGCAATCCTCCTCCACACGGCGTCGCTCGCACGAGCCCTGACGACGTCGACGCCGCTCTTCGCCGCGAACGCCGCCAAAAAAATCAGACCATCCAGAGACGACGTCGACCGCATCAGTTGGGGCAAGCCGTCCAAGAAGAAGGGCGTCGGCAGCCGGGGCACGCCGCACCGACTGAACGAGGCCGAGCGCGCGGAGTACGACCGCGCGAAGGCCCGCGGGTACGTCGAGGTGGCCGGTAGCGCGTGGCGGAAAGAACGACGCGACGCGCCGTTGTTGAACACGTGGCGCAACTGGTGCGACGCCGTCGCTCTTCCGTCGATCTCCGTGCAGAAAGGTACTGATGTCGATTTGGTCGTCGTCGACCTCTCGCCGTTGCGGCGACCGGACGTCCTGGAGGTCGCGGCTGCGGTGCGGGCGCTGCCTACGCCATGCGCGTCTGTCGACGTCGGCGAGTCGGAGGAAATCGTGGAGGATGAAGCGCGGCCGATCCACCAGCTGCCGCGCTACGAGGTCGCGTGGCAGGCCCCCGACCGCGCGGCGGCGAAGGCCCTGGCCAAGGAACTCGCGGGAGCATTCGGCCACGCGCCGAAGAAGGCGTCGGGCGGGAAGTCCGCGCCGCGCGTCAAGGCTGGCAAGGGCCGCCGGCACGGGGGCTACGGGATTTGATTGTTGTAACTATTGATTGTAGACCTGCGCGTCGATGGCGTCTTGGGAGCTACCCCGCGGGGCCGCGCCTACTGGCTGGCAATCGTTCTCATGTCCCTCGACTTCGAATTCCCGTCCTCGAGCGCTCTCGTAGGACACCGAAAGCTTGGATGACATGCGTCGAGGAGGATCGAGCTAGCGGACTAAGATACTAGGAAAAAGCGGCAAGCGCCAAGCCGGTCTTGTCGACCATCTCAATAAGCGTGCGTGCCAGCCGCGCACCGCTGGACGCGGCGCAACAACCGTTCGCCTCGACGCGGACGTCGCTGCGCGATGGCGTCCTTCGTGGGCAAGCCGCTCCCTGATTTCATGGTCAAGCCGCTGGCCGGCGGTGCCCTCGGTGCGAAGACCTCGCTCAAGGGCCTCGCGGCGGGCCGGCCCCTGGTACGTTCGCGCCGTGTCCGGCCCAAAAGACGCGGCGCGCTTCGTCCGGCGCGCTTCCGCCCCGAGCGTTCTCCGACATCGGACGCGGAAACACACACAGGTCCTCCATTTTTATAATGGTGGCTGAGGCGGCTGCCGCCCCTGCGCGCAGCAGATGGAGCTCTGGCAGCGCGCGCACGGGGCGGCTTGTGTCTTCGCATGTGTGTGTGTCGAAGGCGAGTATGTCGCGAGGGAGTTCGCGCGACTCTACTTACATACGGCGACGAATTGCGTCGTCGAGGGGCCGGACATCCCGCAGATACCGTTGCAGTTGGGTTGTAGTGGCTTTGTGGTCGTCGACGGGGACGGGAACATCGTGACCACCAAAACCAAAAGTCTGTTGGATTACGGGGAAGTGGCATTTCGGGACGTCGACGCCAAATTAGCCGTGCTATTGGGAGGCGACGCGCTGCCGGTCGGTAGTGCCGTCGAACTCACAGGACTGTCGAACGACGCCTTTAATGGTAGAAGAGGCATCGTGACCGAGACGCCTCCGGAGGTCCGCCAGGCGGGCCGCGTCGCGGTCGTCGTCGACGGCCAGGCCATCGCGCTCAAGCGGGAGAATTTGGTCGTGGACGCGCCGACGCGGTCGGCGTCTCCTGATGGTGACCTGAAGAAGATCGGCCATGCTGGTATGGACGCCGAGCACGCGGCGATCGGCCAAGCTCTGGCCGAGTTGCGGGAGACGCGGTCGCGGGACGCGTTGCAGGTTGCGCGGGATGAATTTAGGGAGCACGCCACGCACGAGGAGGAGCTCATGGTCGCGGCGCGGTTCGGTGGGAGTCCTGATGATGATTTGTCCGCGGTGAATTCTCATAGAAGAGACCACGAGCGCATCGTGGCTCTGGCCGACGCCGTGCTGAACCGGGGCGAGGGCATCATCCGCAAGAAGGACATCGACGCCTTCGCGAACGCCATTGCCCGCCACACGGAGAACTTTGATGCACTCTACGTCGACGCCGCGAACGCACTAGACGCGCCCTGCGGCGCCCGAGGCTGCGCGTCGGCGGCGGCGTGACCCTAGGTCCGGAGGTGTGCGATATGTCGGTCGCCGCGCTCACACCATGACGTCCGCGAGTACAATCTTATGCTCGCGGGCCGACCGGAGCGCGTCGGCCGGCGCCTTGTCGCGCGCACCGCCACGGACCACCCACCCTATATATAAGTATCCTTTCTTTGTGACACGTTTAGCTCGCGTCGCGTCGATGGCGTCTCTCGCGCGCCCGCACGCAGCCAAACATCGACTCTCCGGCCGGAGTCGGCCTCTCGCAGTCTGGTGTCGTAGACGTAAAAGGGCAGCGATTCTACTCGGCGAGCAGGACCTGCCCAACTCCCCAGCACTACTGCTGCGCAAAACGCCATGGTCCGCGCATTCCTATGCCCCCTCATCATCATGGGGGCAGCAGCAGACAAGCCGCGCGTCGCCGTCGTCACGTCCGGAAGCTTGCGCACGTTCCTCAATTGCAACGCGTCGTTCTTCCGGCGCGTCGTCCAGCCGAACCCGGGCTTCGTCTTCGACTTCTACTACTTCGCGGTCGCCGACGGCTCCGACGCCGCGGCCGCGCGCGCGCTGCGCCGGCCGGGCCGCCATCCGGGGCTAAGGCGGCTCGAGCTAGAGCCCTACAAGGAGGCGCTGGCCGGGCTTGAGAGCGACCTGCCTCGGCTCAAGGACCTGCCCGCGGGCGACGGCACGGCGCGGGGCAAGGCCACGAACGTCGCTTTGATGTTCCGGTCGATCGCCAAGGCCGATGCATTGCGACGGAACGATGCCAGAGGACATGCCCTAGTCATCCGGACGCGGCCAGACTTACGCTGGTGCTCGGACCTAAATCTCACTGCAGCTTTACAACTGGCCCACGGCAAGACCGTGCTAGTGCCCTTCGCCGAGGACAATCTTGTATTTGACCAAGTCGCTGTCGCGGCGCCGCGCGCCATGGAAGCGTATGCAAACGCCTACGCGACGTTCCGGGATGAAGTGGAAAGGCACCCGGCGCGCTCACTGTATCCGGAACGGGAGATGTGGCGGCACTTCCGGAGCGCCAAGCTCCGGCCGCTGACGATGCGGCGGTTCCGCGGTGTCCTTGTGAGATCGGGTGGCCGCGCCGAGGACTCCTTCTCTAAATTACGACGGGACCACGGCGCGCTCGGCGCCGTGGCGATGCCCGAGCGCGTCCGCGTCTGCGACGAATAGTAAGTGTTACTCGTGACCCAGACTTCGGAGGGTGTGCACCGCGAGCTAGAGCTCGCGGTGTGTCGCGAAAGGGAGTGTGTTCTGTGAGTAGCTCGCGGTGTGAAAGGGGGAGGGGGCAGGGGGAGGCGAATTTGTGCGTAGGATAGGGCGCCCTACTCGATGCCCTCGACCAGGTTGGGCCGGTAGAGGCCTGCGTGGAAATCGACCAGTGAGTCGGGTGCGAAGAACGAGCGAACGCGCCGTAAATTTGATTTCCACACCGGTAGGGGCGGTGCGCCGGCAGGCCGGCCTTGGGGTGGCCGGTGTGCTGCGTCGTCTGCGAGAACTTGATCATGTACTCGGGGTACGCCTGGGCGTCGTGGTACGTGACGAAGATGGAGGGGTCCCTGACGTTGTCGACCGTGCAGTCGTACAGGATGTTGCGCGCCGCGTCGCGGACGTCGGGCGTGAGCGCGTCCTTGACGCCCTTGGACCACTGGCCGACGACGGCGCGCACCAAGAAAATGGTCTGCACGCCCTGGGCGTCGGGCGCGCAATACAATGGAAAGGTCGAGTACGACGCGTCGCGCGCGAAGTACACGCCCTTGCCGTAGAGCGTCGCGTTCTTGCCGCAGAAACTACGATTAAAACCCTGCTGCAGGATCTTGGGAACGACGTCACTCGGGCAGCCGTGAAACAACCAAGCTCGAACATACTTCCGCGCCGCCTTATCAGGATCATCTTCACGAGAACAGGTCGCGGCCTTCTTCACGGCGTAGGACTGCCACAGACTGATGTTCTGGACGCGGTCGACGGAGTGGATGCGGAACTTCGAGCGATCGAGCGTGAGCATGAAGGCGTCCACACACCTCGTGTACTCGTCGCGCGTCGCCGGCGACCTAGGATCTAATCTAAAGTACTCGACGACGGTGGGGTCCTTGACTTCGTCCCAGTACTTTGGCGTGGCTAGAGCGTCGGTGCCGCCGCTTCCGCCCAGTACTTTCTGCAACTCGGCTAACTGGTCCGCGGTCGGCACGTCGGTCTTCTCCATCTGGAACCAGCCCTGGTTGCGGTTCCAGCCGTAGCCCGGGTCCGTGCTCAGCGCGCCGTCGGCCGCGAGGACGACGCTTCCGAAGGCCCAGCCGTCGTCCCGTTGTTTGGCCAGTTGTAAGATAGCACCCACGTCGCAGACCAAACAAGTGCGCTCGTCGGCGTCGATGTCCGCGGGTAATGGGGGAGGCGGAGGAGGTGCGTCCCTGGAACCAAACCACGACGAAGATTTGGGAGGCGGCGGCGCGTCCCGCAGAAGCGCCCGCGAGAAGCCGGTACGCACGTTCGTCTGCTTCATCTCGAGGACGTTCGCGTGGTACGCGGCCGACAGGGGCACGACCGGCGAGCCGCCGACCGAAGCTTTGGCCCTCGCCGCCTCGAGCTGGGCCGAGGTTTGATCATCATAAGGGATCCAGTGGGGCGGCTTGACGACGGCGTGCGCCGTCAGCCGCGCGACGCTCTCCTCCCAGTACCACTTGGCGGGCGCGGCCGGCGGCGCATTTTCCGCGGCGCTACCCCCGGGCGCCGCCGCCTCGACCACAACCCTCATGTTCACGACGCTCTCCTTGAAGGCCTGGAGCTCGTCCTGGGCCTGCTGGATCGTCGCTTTTTGTTTGCGGGATTTCTCGATCTTCTTCCGGCGGTAGAGGTAGAAGCCGACGCCGATGCAGAGGAGGATCGGGAGGAAGAGGCCGAAGATTAAGCCTAAGATAAGGCCCATGTCGACCTTGCCCTTGCCGTCGTCGCTTTCGGGCGTGCGGTCCAGAGGCACCTTCGTCGTGCCGCCCGGGAAGATGATCGACATGCCGGCTTCCGGCACCCACTGGCCGCCCACGATGTTGGCGACGACCTTGTCGGCCAGGGAAGTCGACGTCAGATCCACGGCGAGGCGCCTTTCCTCGTTTTCGATCGCCTTCTCCTCGAGCTGGTAATTTCTGATCGCCATGGAGCCCACGCGCTCCTTGTAGGTGTTCAGAACCACGGTGCCCGAATAGGCCTCGAAACCCGCCCTCCCGACGTCCCCAATCGCCTCGTAGATCTTTTCCGGGTTCTGGCGGTCGGAGCTGCTGCTGAGCGAGTCGAGCGCCTTCGCCAGCGTGATCACGGAGTCGACCACGAACGGGCCGTAGCCGCCGCCCAGCGTGGAGGCGTCCCCGTCGACGTCGCAGTACCTGCCGTCGTTGACATAGTCGTTCTGCGCGCACACGGTCTCGTCCATGCTGCCCTCGCGGGCGGCGATCAAGGCCTGTGCGACGCTACCGGACGTGTCCTGGCGCTCCTTGACGGTCAGCAGCCCCACGGCGCCGTAGGCGGCGTCCGTGCTCGCCTTTCCGTCGTCGTTCAAAAACATTTGGTCCGAGGGCCACCCGGTAAAATAGGCGTGCCCGGCCCCATAGCACTTCTTTGTTTGATAGATCCGCTCGAAGAGCACCTTGGTGTCGGAGGGCTGGATCATGAGGTAGATGATCTTGGCGTCGAGTGCGACCAGTTCGTCGAGAATTGAGTCGGCCACGTCCGTGGATATGAGGGTGTTGCCCCAGTGGGGGTCCGCTTTGTCGAATCGTATGCTCTTCTTGGGACCCCTGTGATCCGACTTGCTTTCCGATGTCGCGCACGACCGCGACACGCACTTGTCGCCCAGGGTGGCGATGCCCGCGGCGCCGAGGTTTTCGCTCACTACCCTCGCGGTGTCCGCGGCCCACTCGTCGGTGGCGTCGTACACGATGGCGAGGCGAGTCCAGCCGTATTTCTGAAATGCGGCCAACACCCCCTGGCTGACCGTGTCCTCGGTGCTCACGAGGCGCGCCAGGTTGGGGTAGATGGACCGGTCGCTGGCGACCGTGGCCGTCGACGACTCGGAGATGACGACCGCGTCATCCCGGAGACCGTAGCTTGCCAGAGTCTGGCGGTTAGAGTTCGATGCGACCGATTTCACGCACGTCGTACCGCCGGGCCCGACGACCGCGACCGGATTGGCCGCGGCGAGGTCGGTCCGCCACGCCTCCCGCGCCGAGGCGCCGAGCCCGCAGTTGTTGCCGTCAAAAGACGCAACCGTCACCTCTAGCTTCGTCGATGTCAGCACGTCGTCGAAGATGCCGTCGTTCTTGTTATTGATCGCCTCGAACGCCGCCCGCCCCGCGTCGCACTCCTCGCGCCCGGCGGCGCCCGTGTCGCAGAGCATGCCGATCTGCACGGTGTCGACGTTGCCGTAGATCATTTTATAAATGAACTCGTCATAGTTGCTCTCACTGCAAGGCTCGTCATCTCTGTCCATCGACGACGGTGCGCCGGTCCCGTCGTTGAAGCCGAGCGCCATCGTCTGGACGGTCGTCGAGGCGTCGGAGCCGACCAGGTAGACCCTTTCTCCCGCCCAGTTGGTGCCCTCCCCGTAGCTGCTCGTGGACAGGCCGGAGATGCCCGTCGCGATGACGAGGTCGACGTCCGCTGTCTCCATGGCGAGCTTCTCCACGGCGTCCGCGGCGTTGATCCCGCCGAGGTCGTCGATGTCGACGGTCGAGATGCCGCTCACCAGGAGAATGACCGGCGTGGTGTCGAAGTCGATGCCGGCGTTCCGCGCCTCGGTGAGCGCGACGGCGACGGCCTGGCGGTACTTGGTCGTGCCGCCATCCGCTACCGCCAGCAGCACGGCGCCGCCGATGTTCGCGAATGTCGAGGTATAGCTCGAGGCGTAGTTCGACAACACCGGCTTGCTGCCAACGTTGGTGATGAAGGTGTCCAGCGACCCCGACGCGAGGTCGTCGGCGTTGAGCGCCCAGCCGTCGTAGCCCATCGAGGCGAAGACTTGCGCGCAAGCTGTGTCAGAGCCGCATTGGTAGGCGACGCCCCCACCGTCGATGCGCAGGCCCGCCGCTTTGGTGAGCGCGGCTGCGCGGTACGCGCCGCCGCGGCAGCTGCTATCCCAGGTGTTGGTCTCCGGGTGGCCAAAGCCCTCCGTGAAGCGTACATTGACGTCCGCGCTGGCTGCCCCGATGAGGAGCGGCAGCAGGAGCAGTGAGGTCCCCATGATGCGTGGATTCTCGGCTGCCCGCGGCGCGGGGCAAGGCGTTCAGAGTGGGGTTATGCCCGAATTGCGCTCAAAGCGGCCCTCCCGGCAGCTTACGTAGAAAGCAGCCCTATCTGCCCCGGCGCTCCCGCGAGACCAGAAAGTTGAGGCGGGAATCGGCGCGCGCGCGGCCGCCGCAAGGATGCCTCCTTTCGCGCACTACTATTCCAAATAAGGATACCAGGCTCCCCGCGTCGGGCAGCCCCGGCCGCCCCGACGACGACGCGGCCGCCCACTCACCAATCCGATCAATCGGCGACACACCAATCCGATGCCACAACTTAGGTCACCAGTCCCCCCCCGGCCCGCCCGTGCCGCTCAGCATGTCCCTTCTGTTGGCATTCAATCTACGAGCATCTTTGTCGCGCTTCGGGCAGTCCAAGATCGTGTGCCCCAGCCCGCCGCAGAAAGCACACCCCTCGCCGCGCTCTTCCGGTTCATCCAAAACCTGTAACACGGGCGGCACGCGCTGTTTGGCCTCAACTAACAAGTGCTTCAGATCTAGGAGAGCGGAGGGCTCCACGGTCTTGTTGATGAACGTCGTGGCCACGCCCGTCTTCCCACACCTACCGGTCCTCCCAATTCTGTGGACGTAATTCTCAATTTCCGACGGCATGTCGAAATTAATCACGTGCTGGATGTCCGGGAAATCTAGGCCTTTGGCGGCGACGTCGGTAGCTACGAGGACATCCTTCGAACCGTCCTTGAACCGTCGTATAGCGTCATTTCTTTCTTCTTGATCTTTCCCACCATGTATTGAGACAGCTTCGACCCCCTTCAGCAGTAAGTACTCATGCACGTCGTCGACGTCGCCTTTTCTTTCACAAAAGACGACGACGGGCGGCGCGGTCTTTTGCAAGCATTCTAGCAAATAAACAATTCTCGCCTCTAGCTTGACGTACTCGACCTCCTGAATCACGTCCAGGTTCGCCGCACCCGCTCTCGACACGTTCACGGTGATCGAGTCAACGAGAGCGCCTCTCGCGAAGTCCTGAAATTTCTTCGGCATCGTCGCGGAAAATAACAGAGTTTGTCTCTGCTTAGAAAAGTGGTTCATGATGCGGTGGACCTCTTCATCAAATCCTAGATCCAACATCCGATCGCCCTCGTCGAGGCACATGTACACACAACTCTGGAGGTTTATCGCTCTACTATCCAGAAAATCTCGAAACCTTCCAGGAGTGGCCACGACGGCATGCACACCTCGTCGTCGCACAACATCCAGCTGCTGCTGCTTCGGCTCCCCACCAATGGCGCACGTGCTTCTGAGAGGCGTTCGATCGAGTCGGTCCATGAAAAATGACACGACCTCATGGGTCTGTCGGGCCAACTCCCGAGACGGACACAACACAACCCCAACGGGCCCTTCTCCCGACCGTAGGGGCCGTTTCCGCTCCCGCTCCAGCGACCTTATTATCAGAGGTATCGAGAATGCAACGGTTTTCCCAGACCCAGTAAACGCGATGCCGATCATGTCCCGGCCCGACAGAGCGACGGGTAACCCTTGCACCTGGATGGGCGTCGGCCTTCGGATGTTCTTCTCGCGGAGCGCACTCAACAAATCGCGAGGTAGGCCCATGCCCTCGAACGACTTGATTGGAGGCGGCACTTGATTCCCATCGCATAAAATGCACCACTTCTTCCGCAAGGCCGCAGCTTGTTCGTCGTCCAGCGGTTTATCGAGAGGCCGCCAGTCCGTCGGTAACGAGCGGCCGAACTGCGTGTCGTCCGCAATTTCTCGGGCGCTCTTCAGCGCGTTCGTGCCCACTCTAGCTGCTTCCCTCAGCATGCGCGCCTCCTCTTCCGCGCGCTTCGTCTTCTCCTTGTCCATGCCTTGTTGCTGTCTTCTTAAATCTTCGGCCTCGTCGACCAACGCGCGCTGCTGCTGCGGTTCCGGCGCCGGTGCTGGTTCTGGTGCCTCTTCTTCTTCCGCAGCGGGCCGCTTCCTTTGTTTACGGAGGCGCTCCTCCTTTAACGCGCGTCGTTCTTTGAGGGAGACAAACTCCTCGCCGTCGCTCTCGTTGGCATCGTCGACGGGCTCGCCATTTATCGTCCAGCAGTTCTGGAAGGCGTCCCAGACCTTTTCTTCCTCGGCGCGCGGGCGCTTCGTGGCCATCGCTGCGATGGCGTCCTGCGCTTGCCTTGTGTACAGTGCTGTTCTAACCAATGCGAAACGAAATAGCTCGGCGGAACCACGCGTACCAGCGGACTGCTGCGATACGTGGCACTGGTGGCCTATATGGCACGTGAGCGCGACGCTGGCGTGCGCTTGCGCGTCGAGCTTGCCTGGCTTACTAGTGTCTTACGGCGCTAGCTCGCGCATACTTTTTTTGGGCGTGATTACTAGGCCCAACCACCATAATTGTGTATCATGCGACCGGCGGACGCCTATCGCGCGCGGCATCGATCGCCTGCAGACGCGTATCGAGCGAAATATCGAGATGCAGGGTCGATCTGTGCTATAGCAGACTTACGCGTGGAGGACGAGGGCGTCGCCTCGGCCTCGCTCGCGGGCTTACCGGATGATTTATGGCGGCGAATCTGTGTTTTCGTGCGACCGGATAGCGCCCACGAGCTCATCGTCGCCGCCGGCAGCAGCGCGTCGCTCCGGCACGCGCTGCAGGCCGAGGTTGAGCAGACTGAGCGGGACCTATTCGGCATGACGCGAGGCGAGGCCGAGCAGATACTTAGAAGCGAAAGGTATCTCCGTGACCGCTCAAGTACTCTCTCGAGTACTATCCCTCTTATTCCCCTTCCATTTGATCCGATAGGCGAAGCCTTTGTTTTCCTCTTTAACCCAGGATTCCGAAATTGCCGAGTCTTGTCCAATTCCGTCGATTATTCCGATGAGGGTGCCACGCTGCGGCTCGCTCGGGCGTTCCTCGCGTACGGCGTCGATCCAGATTACGCGAGGACCGCGCCCATGGACGGAAAGACCGCGCTTATGGTACTTCCAGAACTGGCAAGTCAGGGGTTCGACGACACGGAGGCGCTCGCGCGGCTCCTCATCAAAAGCGGCGCAGACGTGCATGCCACCTGCGATCACGGGTGCACGCCGCTGGTCTACACGTTCGCAAGTCTAAAAAATGTGGCACAACGTAGTCGTTTTGGCGACGTCGTGCCCAGCACTGGCCGAAGGATACCTTACCGGCCGGGGTTTTTAGAATCAGACTTGTATGAAGACCGCAGCGCGTTCATCTGCGCTAGACTCGCACGTCTCATTACACGTAAAAGCATTGGGGCGAGGTGTCGATCTCTACGCCAGGCCCTCGAGTCGGAGCTAGCGACTCCGAGGCACTACCTTCGCTATTATTTGATCTCGCAGAGCGAGCCTAGATTCGGTTACCTTCAAAGGTGGTTCCTCTCTCAGGAACAAAAGATGTGGTCTCCGCATGCTCGAGGCTATTGTTCGTTCTGTTCGGTAACGGGGCGGTATCTCAGTATCGAGCTCGGCCCCGAGGGCAATGCCCTCACGCTCGAACTTCACTGCCGGATGAAGGTACTAACCAGAATTGGTCTGGACCGCAAGGCGGTGGGCGAACCCGAGGGTCACGAGCGCACGTTTGCAAAGCAGGGCGGTGGCTACGGCGGGATCGCGTTAAAGCAAGCGATGGTTATGGTCCAGGACCACATTCGCGAGGGTTTGCGGAAGCTCTAGCGAGTAAATTAATATAAGAACTCCCTACTCACAGCCCCGGGCACGCCAGCAGCTGTTGGCACGCCGCGTCCGCGTCGAAGCCTAGACAGCGCGAGCACCGGTCCAAGTACTTGTCCGGCAAGGTCCTGATGGCCCGCAAGGCCTCGAGACCGCCCAACGCCAAAGCCTGCTGAAGGGGCCCCTCGTCGACCTCGCCTAGTTCCGCAGCGAGGCCCGCGAGAAATAGTGACGTCATCGTAATTCTAGAATCGCAGGCCTTCAGGCAGTGGGGCCGTTCCCGGTCGGCCTTTGCAGATTTGAGACTTTCCACGAACGTAGCAGCACCGACGAATTCCCCGAACAATTGTACTTTGGCCGATAGAGTGAACACTCGATGATAAACTCCGGGACGCATAAAAAAGACGTCCCCAACATCTAGGAAGACCAATCGCGCAGAAGGTAATTGGGCAAAGGTAGACCAAGGAAAGTCTTCGTCGTGCTCTTCCTGGTTGTCCGATAACTCCGGTGTACTATCGCCATCCGCCATGTTCCAAGTCGCTAAGAGTTGACTGCCACCGAGCACCTTGATCCACGTTAAAGTCCCGTAGTTATCTCGATGGTGTTCCGTACAGGCCCCGGCCTGCATCAATGCGAATTTCGGTCGGAAGACTTCCGCGTCGGACCTCTTCAGTTTTGTCAGCCACGACCTACTCTCAAACCAAGGTGGGAGTAGTCCAGTGCTCTCCGGTGAAGTGCCTTGCCTTCGTAGAAAGGCGGGCTTCCACTCGGTCACTTTTTGCGCATTACTACCCTTCTCGACTTCTCGATCCAACCCCTTGACGTCCCTTCTGCTTCGACACTGATCAGCTTTATCCGCAGACCGAATGAACCCATCAAACGAAACTTCAATCGAAGTTTTAGAATGGTTCCAGTCCGTGTCGCCGGCGCCCGTCGGCGCGAAGAGCGTCGACATCTGCGACTTGTCCCGCAGGATCTGCATGGCTGCCGCGCCTCCATCTCTTCGAGCAGCATGTTCGAGCTCCGCACCTAGAGCACCTAGGCCAAAAGAAGGAGCGTCCTCGCCCCTAAATTTGAACACCGTTCTATGGGGCCGGGCTCGTAAAAACGCGTCGAGCGATTTTGCGTCAACTGGTGGCTTCGGGTCATAGCCTAACCATAAGTGGCGGCCTCGCGGCGCCGCTCTTACCGCTTCGAGAAAAGCCTCCTCCTCGCCGTGGACGGCTAATACTCTAGAAGCACAGACGCGTTGCGCGGGATCTAATGATCTAGGTGGCGGCGGCGGCTCGATTGACGCCTTCTTCTTCGGCTTCTTCTTCTTCGGGCCCTCGTCGTCAGTCACACGACGGATTTTCGCACGCGGCGGCGGCTGTTGCACGGGAGCGCCCGTCTCGTACTGCGACGGCGCGCACGGTGCTAGTAGAGCCGGCTTCGGCTTTTGATACGTGGACGGGAAGCAGTGCTGCGGATACACTAAACCACTGTACACCTCCAACCGCCTCATCCAGCCCACTACTTGTTTCCTAGACGAGGCTTTTGGTCGATCGCATAGGGGCACGTTGCCGGCACCTAGGATCGGCGCATGCACCGCGTGGGCCGCACACCCGACTAAGACGCCATCAACATAGTAAGAAGTTTGCGATTGTTCGATCTGGGCCACGATGCGGACGAATCTATCATTATTCGGAGCTATGTCACATTCCGGTTCGCACGGGTGCCACTGCTCCTGATCCCCGTCCCACAGTCCTAAAAGCTGCTGGCCTTCTGTCTGTAAAATACAAATGTGGGCGCTCTCGCCTTTAACACCTTTGCCAAACGTCGCCACGAGCCAGCGCTCGTCTTTTGTGAGCGTTCGCGGCTTGAGTTCTACTGCAATTGTGGCCGTTGCTGCGAGTTCCAGCGGTGGATAGAACACAAGAGCGTCCTTCTCGCCCTCAAATAAACACCCTTCTTCTGCGCTGAGTTCACATCCTCGTAGCGTCGCGCCTCGTTGTTTTCTAGGTCCCGAGATCGCGACCGCGCGGCCTTCTCTACTGGATCTTGCTCTCGAGTCCCAGCCGGGGACATGTTTCGGTAGCTCAACGAGGAAGCTGGGCGTGGTCTCGGCCATGCTCTCGCCCGCGCTCTGCCAAGCGCTTTGAATTTGAACGGCGTCGAGCGCCCGCGCGGCCACGAGCTTCGCTGGCAGCGGGCTGCGAGCAGGCAGTTTGCAAGAGAACGCTTGCTGGCAGCGTTTGTCGCCGCTGGATGAGGCAAAATTGCAAGCCGCGGCCAAAACGAAGCTAGCGGCCGGTAAGACACTAGCAAACGCGGGTTTTTGGTCGTTTCATACGTATCGTACGTGTCATAACCACATGTGTCTCTACCAGGGGACCCGCCACTAGTACTAATATCGTAACAGAAAAGGCCACATACCAGTCCTAGCACCGTAACGGGAAACACCACTATCAGCCGTAGTTCACGAAGTAGACCACAAGACACTTCATTACGACAACTAGAACCACCGCGACCGGCTCTTCCGCGCGTCGGCCTCGCGTTTTCGAGCGTTCTCTCTATACAAACGCGCGGCCTCGGCGAGGCCCTCCGTCGCCCGGTTGACGCCCTCGAGCCTCTCGCCGCGCCGCGCGAAGCCGTCCCGCGCGGCGGCCATGGAGGCGCGCGCCACGTGGGCGGGCGGCGACGCGGGACGGTCCGCCGACGCAGATCGGCCGCCGAGCAGGTGCCGCAGGTGCGAGAGGGGCGTCGCGCGCTCCTCGTGCGAGAGGCGCCGCTTGTGCGGCACGGGCGCGCTCCGCGTGCGAGTCGGCGGCGGCGGCGGCGGCGCCTCGTCGACGGAGAGCGAGATGCGCCGCGCCGCGTTTCGCGCCTCGGCGATAGCAGCGGCCAGTTCGTCGTCCTCGGCGTCCGAGTCGTCCGAGGAGTCGTCGGGTCTCGAGCCGTCGTCGTTCGCGACCGCTAGCGTGCTGTCGGGCCCGGACCGCTTCGCGTCCGAGTCGGCGCCACCGGCTGTACCGCCGGGCGATGGTGACCCGCGGTCGTCGGCTGGCGCCGCCGCCGCCGCCCCCCCTGGGTAATGTGACCCGCCGACGAGGGGCGCCGCGGACGAGGCCCGCTTGGCCGCCTTCGCGGCCTCCAGCGCCGCGAGCTGCGCCTCCCACGCGGCCTCGCCCGCCGCGACGGAGCCGGCGGGCGGCGGTTCCTCGCCTGCTGGCGAACCAACCCGCGCAGCCGCGTCCGGGCCCGCGCCCGTGTCCTGGGACGGCGTCCCGGGCCGTTCGGGCAGCGGTGGCGGCGCCACCGCGGCGGCGGCCGCCGGGTCAGAGCCAGGCTGTGGCGCCTCCGCCGCCGCGGGATGCGGCTGCCGGCCGCTGAACGTGCGCAGCATCGTGGACAGGTGCGTGTGCGGCCCGTCGCGTCGCGTTTTATCCACCAATGCGGCAGCGCGGCCGCTGCAATGCGGTGACCCCGACACCAAGCTTGCAACACAAAAGCAGCCAACTGGCGTGAGAAAGGGCTGCCCCAACGCGACCGAGATGAGCCGCAGCCAGGCCATCGTCGACAGCGCCAGGAAGTGGCGCCAGGACGCTATAGAAGGCCGCTACGACGCCGCGGCGCGGGAGCTTGATCAATGCCAAGTCTTGGTAGCAGCCGCCCAGGACGCCGAGCCTAGAGGATCGGACAAGCGACGAAGGTGGGACGCGGCCGACGCCGAGCTACAATCAGGCGAAGCCGTCCTGAGGGCCTATAGAGCAGCATTATCCGCATTGCCGCGGCGGTGCGGCGGCGCGAAAGCCCCATCACCAACGAAAGGGGACGTCTGGAGCCCATTACCACAAGCGCCACCTCGACGACCCACAAGGGAGGCGCCGGCCTGGGCCCAATCTTCTCAACGTAAGTCGGTGAAGAAACCCGCCGTGCCCCGACAGAAGCGAAGACCACCTTCAACCCCGAAAGACGATGAAACGTATGGAGAACATGCCAGGAGGCGAGGTTTACCGGACATCGAGCTCATCGAAGGCGTGGAACGCGACGTGGTGGACACGGGCGTCACGACGACGTGGGACGACATCGCCGACTTGAGGGACGCGAAACAGTTACTGCAAGAAGCTGTGGTGCTGCCCTTGTGGATGCCCGACGTCTTCCAGGGACTGCGGAGGCCCTGGAAGGGCGTCTTGATGTTCGGGCCGCCCGGGACCGGAAAAACGATGCTCGCGAAAGCTGTTGCGCACGAGTGCCAGACGACCTTCTTCAACGTGTCTGCGGCCACCCTCAGTTCGAAGTGGCGCGGCGAGTCCGAGAAGATGGTCCGGCTTTTATTTGAAATGGCCCGGTTCCGGTCGCCGTCGACGATCTTCTTCGACGAGATCGATTCGTTGGCCGGTCAGCGCGGGGCGTCTTCCGAGCACGAAGCTAGTCGTAGAGTGAAGACGGAGCTCATGGTCCAGATGGACGGCGTTACTGGCTTCGAGGGTACTGTTATCGTGTTGGCCGCGACGAATCGGCCCTGGGAGCTGGATGAGGCTCTACGACGACGATTGGAGAAAAGAGTGTACATACCGCTACCTACTCTGGAGGGTCGGGCGGCGCTCTTCGCTCTCAACCTCAAAACGGTGGAGACGTCAGATGTAGATTTAGATGATCTAGCATCTCGCACGGAAAACTACAGTGGCGCGGACGTCGCGAACGTGTGTCGGGACGCGGCGATGATGTCGGTGCGACGCGTCATGGTCGAGATGCGGAGTCAAGGGTTAAGCGGCCCGGACATGCAGCGCGAACTCGCGAAGCGCCAGAAGGACATGTGCGTCGCTGTCAGTCATGATGATATGGTGGAGGCCATCCGGAAGGTCAAGGGGAGCGTCGGATTGGCGGACCTGAAGCGGTACCGCGAGTGGGAGGCGGAGTTCGGGGCCGCGTGATTGTGTACTTGGCGGTGCTCTAACTTTGTTTTTTGACACTACCGGTACTTAAACTTTGTTTTTTGACACTCCGATCCGTCGACCGCGCAAGGCTAGCGTATAAGACCACTAGCAATCCAGTCAGGCACACGAGTCCAGCTCGGTAGCAGTAAGTGCGTGAGTTGTCTCAATTGCAACTATTCATCACGATGAAGATGCAATCGGTGCTCCTCAGCCTTGCACTCGGCAGTGCTGCTGCCTTCACCCCTTCTGCTGGCTCACTGCGCCAGCAGCAGACCTCCCTGCGCATGTCCATTGCTGTCGGAGAGCAGTTTCCCGCGCCAGCGTTGTCGAAAATCGGTGTGAGTGGTAAGCCGGCCGTGCTCTACTTTTACGGTGCAGCTCAGCGTCGTATACAACATTTTTGGTCGACTGCGCGTAAACGCGGGCCGACGTCGAACTCTCACAGGTGCGGACGAGGCACCGTCCTGCACGAAGCAGGCCGAGGGCTTCGACGCGGCATCGAACGAGTTCGGCGGCGTGACGGTCGTCGGCATCCGCAATGACAAGGGCGTCAAGGACGGCTTCGCGGACAAATACGCTCAGCAGTTCTACGTCGACGTCGACGACGAGATTCGCAATGAGATCGGCATCCCGAAGGATTTGTTCGTGCTGGGCGGCCGCGAAACTTATGTGGTTGACAAGGACGGCACCGTCGTGATCTGTGCCTGAGAACTACTACGGAGACGGCCGTCAGCCTTCACGCCATCGAGCAGACGCGGAGTTACGGGGGCGACATCGAATCGATGGCGTGGGGCGACTGGAATGTTATTTCCACACAGGTGATGATGGTCTTCAACGGCCAGCTGAACCCCGAGAAGCACGTCGAGGCGGCGTCGGCAGCCGTCGCGGACCTCCCGAAGGGCGGCGGCGGCTTCGACCTCGCGAGTTTGCTGCCGTTCTAGACAGTAACAATATTACACCCCATCCAACTCCCGGTCATGGTTCCTTCTCGAAACCGGGTCGCAGAGCACGTCGCGCGCGTGATTCAGGCGCGCCATCGTCGCCTCGTCGCCGCCCTGGTCCGGGTGGTGCTCCAGCGCGAGGCGCCGGTACGCCGTCCGGAGGTCCCGATCCGACGCATTCCTTTCAACGCCGAGGACCTCGTAGAGGCTCTCGACCTGTGGTGGCGCTGGGGGCGGGGTCGGCGGCCGCGCCTCCCGGGGCGGCGTCGGCGGCAGCGGCGGCGGCCGCCGGCGCCGCTCCTCGTCCGCGGCCGCTTGCGCGGCTCGAGCTCGCTCGGCGGCCTCGCGGTCTCTCGCTCTTGAACGTTGCCGCGACACGTGCTCGAACCAGTCGCCTCCGTTATCTTCGGCGTCGCCCCAGCCGCTCCCGAAGGGGTCTTCGGCGTCGCCGTCCTCCGCGCAGGCCCCGAAGAGCTTGTCGCGCCACGCGGCGTCGGCGTCGTTGGCGCGGCTTCGCTGCGCGGCGTCGACGGCGGCCCAGCCCTCGTACTCGTCGTCGTCGTCGTCGGACGAGGCTTCTTCCCGGCGCCTCGCGGCCTTTTTCGCGCGCTTGCGCTGCTTCTTTTCCTTTTTGCGCGCCTTCCGTTCGCGCTTGCGCTTCTTCTTCTCTTTCTTCCGGCGCTTGTCGTCGTCGGACGACGATGACGACGACGCGCTGGCGTCCATCGTTTTTTTCCCGTGTGTTATCTCGTCATCGTTATTTGATCACTGCACAGCTAGACTGCAGTGTCGAGGCTGTACAGCTTGCTGTGATCAGTGATGCTACCAGGGAGCGAGAATTTTGCGACGAGAAGCTGGCACAGCTGACGCCTCTCTCCTCTAGCGCATTATAGGGCTCTCTTTGCACGCTGGTGGCAATATTGCGCCGGCAACAACTCGCTAGCGTCGTAAAGATACTAGGATCAACCAGGACGAAGAGTGGCCGCGGCCGTATCAATCGATTTGGCCGGTTGTGAGGGCCTTGCGCGGCTGCTTGTGATTGCTTAAGCCGCCTCGGCTGCGCCCTGCTCTCGCGCGCTGTCGAACGAGCACTGCTGAGCCACAACAAGACTTGGTCCACTTTTGCTCGGCCGCAGAGGCGCCGCAGCAATGGAAACTGGGCAGGCGCCGGTAAGAATAGCGAGGGCCGTAGAGACTGGCAGCATCGACGAGGTAGAAGCGTGGCTCGACGGCGGCGGTGACCCCAACGCCTCGGGCCGGGCCTCGGGCCGGTATCCACTGCTATTAGGAGCCGCGCGGTATGGCAAGCTAAGCATGGTAGAGCTCTTGCTGTCGCGGGGCGCTGACATCGATGCCACCGATCCCGTCGGGAGGACGGCCGTGTACCAGGTGCTGAACTACTGGGCCCCATCACTCTTCACGTTAAAGCTGCTCCTTTCGCACGGCGCTGACGTGAATTTGGCATTACATGGTCACCAACCCGGCCTTACCGCTCTGATGATTGGTACAGTGGGCGGTCCCGACATGGTGCGGCTGCTTCTGCGCGCTGGCGCTGATAGTGAGCATCGCGCCCGTGACAGTCATACGGCGGAAGAATTCGCTCGAGCCAGAGCTCACGAAGCAAGCTCGATCGTGGAGAGCGCCGATTTCCTAAGGGACGTCCGCCTCGCCGGCAGCTGGACGCGTTATTTCCTCCGGCCTCACAAAAGTCTGCTCGTGTTGCGCGCCCTTTGTCATCGCGGACGCGCGACGTTTAGTGCCCGGACACCGGAGGTGTTCGTGCGCCTCTTCGGCGCGCCGGACGGCCGGCACCGCAAATACACGATGCGCGGCCGCGTTGATCTCCCCGACCCGCTCTTTTGGCGCGTCCTGGAGTTCGCGCTCGGGACCGTGTACGACTATCCCTGGGTTCGGCAGCGAGTCCGAGCGCGCGCGGCCCGCCGCGGCTGAAAGCTAAGTGTGTTCTCTGTTATTTCTTCTTTGGTCTCAAAACGACTAACTAGAACTTCTTAGTGAACGCCCCCGGGTTCCGTTTCCGCGCGGCCGCGTCCCGCGCGGCCGCGGCCCGCCGCAGCGCCCCGAGCGACGCCACGTCCAGGAGCCCGCCCGCGAGGCTTTTTAAACCTCGATCGGTCCCGGCGTGGCGCGCTTTCACACGCTTCGCGAGGCGCAGAACTTCGGCGTTCGACTGGGCAAGGTCCCGGCGCAACGCCTCGAGCTCCGCTCGTAAATCGGTGACGTCTTCGTTGCTTATTACCAAAGCCGTCGGCCGCTTGTGCAGGTAGGGATATGCTGCCAACGTGCAACAAGCGGCGGCGGACGCGATGGCAGCGCCCGCCAGGAACGCCGCCATGCGACTCTTCGGCTGTTTTGCTTTTGCCCGAGCCTCCCGTCGCCGTCGACGGGCGGCGCGCCGTTCCGAAGCTTGAGAATTAGGCGACGCGTCGACGACGCGGCATCGCGACGGCGAGACGCCGGCCTGGCGCGCGACGGAACTCGCCAAGAGGGCTCTATTTGTACCTCTAGGTACCCTCAACACTTTCAATGTAGATCCATCTTGCGCATAGACCGCCACCGTCACCATACTACCCTGGTGGTCGTCGTCGGACATCAAGGAAGAAGCCACCGATGAGGACGCCACAGAAGACACGTCGTCGTCGCGCTCACCAAAAGAAGACTGAGGCGTCCGCGGCGGCGAACCGATGGCCCGTTCGATGCGTCTCCGCAGCGCGTCGTTCCGCGACGATTGGGGCGACCGCGGCGTCTTCAGGGGCGAGTCGACATCTGCAGCTTCATTTTTCAGGGGCGTCGCGACCGGTAAAGGCACGCGACCGGGCGGCGCATCATCCGAATCGCTGCCGTCCAGAAATATTTCTATGTCCGCGTCCCGCACGAAGGACACGCGCTTGGGCGGCGACGGCGGCGGGCTCAGCTGGCCCGGGCGGCTGAACTTGGCGTAGATGTCGCGGGCGTCCATTGGTCTTTGCGGCGGTTCGGCTGCCCGCGGCCGCGCGCTGATAGCTGCTGTCTCTATGGGGTGCTTTGTTTGCGGTGGTAGGGCTGCCCACCGGAGATAGATGAGTTCACGCGTGCGCCGGCGCGCCGACGATGGCGTGGCGAGGGCGTCGTGTGCTGTATGCTCTGTGTTGCGCCTGTGTAGGCTGCCGCTGCGCGCTTGGTTTGGGATGATGGCAACCTTTGAATTTGGCAGGCGGCGGTCTGCCCGTTCGGACTGCGTCTTCCGCCGCGGCTAGCGTGTAGTGCACGCCTCCTACAGGCTCATCCCCTCACTAAATAGATGCTAGCGGGTCGAGACTCTAGCCTGATGCAAGGAGCACTTCTTGCTGCCCAGGCCAGTGCCGACCATCTTATTAACGCGATAACGTACGCAGAACACCGCAGAGCAGCCGCCTACCGCTCTTGAGACAGGTGCCGTCGAACACGCCAGTCGTCGCGACAGCAGCACTGCCAATGGCTGCCACCCAGCCGGGCGCCGGCTGGACCGAAAGCGCTCCCTTGCAGGACGCGGGGAGCCCGCGCACCCACGCGCAAGCGCGAGCGCGGGACGGCACGCTGAATACCTCATCAAACATTGTTCTGTTATACCGCATGCACGAGCTGCGAGGCCTCGCGTTCGTGAACTTCGTCCTAGCATTACTGACGTTGTTATACCTGGCGATGAACTTGGTATTACTCTTCTTGACATTAAAAAGCTATAAAGGCGACGGCGTCATCCTGCACCACGTCGAGTTCTGGTCCACGTTTTTTTACGCGTGCGTCGAGGCCTTTGCATTAATTTATACACCTAGAGCGATCTCGTCGATCTCGGGACGGCCGACGTTGCTGAAGGTCCTACTTTTCTTCGACGTCGTCGCGACGTTCTGCCCCGCGGTCCTCGTCACGCTGAACCTCGAGGAGTTCGAGACCATCGCCCATCAAATCGAATACCTCAACGAGCTCACGATGGCCTTTGTGAATTTAGTACTGTTAGCGTCCTTGCTACGAAAGCCGGACTCGCCGCAGAAGGACGCGTCGACCTATCAAATAACGTTAGCGGCCCTAGCCATCGCGTGCGTCCAGCTCGCGCTCTACGATTTATATGGTATGAAGCGCATGGCCCACGTCTTCGAATTTTCATTTGGCACCGTCAGTGCGTTCGTGACCTTTGCGTTCTGCCTGGACAACCGAGCTCTGGCCGAGGACGAAGTATTATGCATCATGTACGGCGACCATAGGGACTGCCCGAACTGCAACGTGCGCCATAAATCCAAGGCGGCGTTGAAGCACCGGGCGCGGTCGCTGTCGGGCGACGGGCGCTCTTATAATTCCTTCGGCGACGTTGGTGTTGGTGGCGTCGTGTAGGTCTTCTAAGTCGCTGTGTCGTATCTACTGTTACCGCGCGTCGCCGATTCATCGGCATCGTTCATCGGCTGTCTGCGAGAGCACGGACCCCGAGTGCGTCGCCACGGCGTACTGTAGGGATATACAAGTACACAAAAGCCCGAAGAAGCTAGGAAGACGCGCGAAGGAGCCGTACCAAGTCTGGCTAGTGTCTTACTATACGCTAGCGCGCTGTGCTGGCTTGCTTTTTGCTCCAGTTCAGCCATCAACACGGCTATAAGCGCTGCAAACATGCCCCCCGCCGGCCCATCCTTGCAGGCCTTCCGCCTCTCGCTCTACGTCGCGCTCCCCGTCGCCGCCACGGTGCTCTACAGCCAGCCCTCGATTATGAATCAGATTATCTCGTTCTTTAACTACACGGTCTACCCGCCGGCCGGGCCGCCGCCGCCGACGGCCGACGAGATGGAGAAGCTGATGAAGGAGCGCCGCGCGAAGCGATGAGGCGGGTTGTGCTGGTGCTGGCCGCGGCGGCGGCGTTCGATGAATCGCTGTTCGACCCGGACGCCTGCGCACGCGGGCTCGAGCACGCGTGCGCCTACGGCCCGCCGCCGGCGAAGGCGGCCGTCGCGCTGCCGCTGCTGCACGAGCCGCGCGTCAAGCTCTGGTGGCCGGCGCTGGACGACGTCGTCGAGATCGCCCAGGACAGTTCCGAGCCGTACGACGCGCCCACGACGCTGTGGCCGGCCGGCGCCGTACTTGCACATGCCCTCGCGTCGGACTGCGCCTCCTGGCAGGGCAAGGTCATTCTTGAGCTTGGCTGCGGAGTGGGTGCCGCGGCGCTCGCATTGGCGCGCTGCGGCGCCAGCGTCGTCGCCACGGATATATCCGAAGCGGCCCTCGCGCTAGCCGCCGAGAACACGAACGGAACCGTCGCGACGGACGTCTCCGGCGCGACGCCTGCGCTCGCGGCCAAGAACGCGAACGGGACCGTCGTCACGCGATTATTAGACTGGGACGACGACGCCGCGCTGCGGGAGGTGCTTGCTGAGGGCCCCTTCTTCGCCGTCGTCGGCGCGGCGCTGAAGTTTGAGGACTGGCCGGTCGGCCGCCTCGACGCCGTCCTCGGCGTGCTGGACCCGACTGTCGTCGTCCTGGCGCACGCCTGGGCCGATGACGACGTTGAAGACCTGCTGGGAGACCCCTGGAGGCGGGCCGCGTCGTTCGCCGGCGCGGCCGTGGGGCTCGAGGAGTTCTCGGCCGTGACGTGGGTGCGGCGGGCGCCTGACTTGTAGTAGGTAGTGTTAAACTAGCGGTTTACTATTCCCCCGCGCCACCACACAGACACCCACGCCGACCAATACAATCACGAAGAAGCCGGCGCGCCCGACGACGGTCGACGAGACGTGTTGTGGCGCCAACACCTCCTCGCCGCTTTCAGGCACGACGTCGTTTTTCCTCAGGTGCTCGACGACGCACGCGCCGGGGTCCTACGACAACTGGTAGTGTCGGCGGGCGGACGTTCGTGCACACCTTCTCGACGAGCGTCGGATTGCTGCGGCGGCGTGTCGGGTAGTTTGTTGTGGTAATGTCGTTGTACATAGACGCGACGTGAGTCGTGACGCGGCCAAGCGAGCTTTTTTTCGCCTAGTATGTCAATCAACGCTAGCGCTGCTTTTTGGTTGCGACGGAGGATTGCTTGGATCAGGAGACCTCACATAGCCCATCCATCAGCCGAAATGGCGCAGCCCTCCGCCGAGGATGTCGCCAAGTTCCTGGATGTGGCCCCGGACGACCCGATGGTCCTCGAGCACCTGGCGGCTGCAAGCCAAATCGACGACGCCGCGGCCAGGACCGCGCGCCGGCTGGGCGACAGCGGCGCGCCGGGGACGAATAGCTGGGCGCGAGTCCTCAGCCGCAGAGCAAGGCGCGGCGCCAATCGCGCGCCCGCGCCCCCGCCGCCGACGCCCGATTCCCGCGACGACGAGGCCGCGGCGCCGGCGACGGCGCGCGGCCGCCTGCTGCAAAGCGCCGGCGCGACGGCGGTCCGTCGCCGCGCCAAGACCCCCGCGACCCGCCGCCCCCAGCCGGACGCCGGCAAGCTGACGCGCAGCGGTCCCAGGAAGCAGCGCAAAGCGAAAGATGACGACGACGACGACGAGATGTCCTCCGAGCGGCCGCTGAGCGCTGAGTCGGCGGCCACGGCGCCGGTGCAGAGCGACTCCACGGGCGACGCCTTGGATGTGCTCGCGCATGGCGTCGATCGGAGATGCTCGCTGACGCGCAAGGACGCGCCTGACGCGCTGACGGCCTTCGCGACGGAGCCTACTGAAGCGAAGGCCATGGACACGTCGGACGAGTCGCTGGACAACTGGGCGCGGTTGAGAAAGGTCACGTCCGTGGAGAGCCTGTCGAAGATGCCCCCGTCTGCGCGAGTCGCAGACGAGCTGAAGCTGCTGGCGGAGGCCGTTATGCGGGGCTCGTACGTGAACACGTGCGCCTCGCTGGATACGAACCAGCCCACTGCTGCGTTGGCCGTCAAGGTCATCCGGAGCTTGGCCGGGCTGGTGGGCATCGACGATGCGCTGGCGGTCTTCGACGCGAAGGAGGAGGACGTGGTGGAGCGGGCGCGGTCGAGGGAGGCCACGTTGCGGGCGGATGCGACGTACGTGAAAGAGGCCAAGGCGCGTGCGGCTGAGGAGGCGCGCCTGGCGGCGCTCGCTTCTGCGAAGGCGGCGCCGAAGTCTGTAAAGAAGGTCGTGACGGAGCTCGGCCTCTCGTTCAAGATGCGGCCCAAGTGCAGCCAGGCTTGTGTTAACAAGCGCCGCAACGAGACAGGCTTGGTCTGTACCTGCAAAGCGTCAAACTCGTGGTCGTCTTCCGTGAAGTTGGTGGACATTAAGGGCAAAACGCGGGTCACACTGTATTTTGATAGTGGGACGCCATACGTGGTCTACAGCCTCTCCGCTTTAAAATCGCGCTTTCGGCCGGCAGGCGGTGGTAGTGGAGAGGAAGCCGTGGCCCGTCTGCAGGAAGCGGCGCGCGCGGCAAGGGACAAGGCTGGATGGAAAGGTGATGTGAATCTGGCGTCGGAATAGACTCGGGGGTCTTGGGTAAGCTGCTGTGCTGTTATCTCTAGTCATAACTTCAACTTGAAGTTCTAGTCATAACTGTTCAAGTTCAAGTTAATGGATCTAGTCTGAACCTGAGTTGGCGCGGCGATGACCTCGGGCAGCGTCCCGACGTCGCCGACGCGTACCGAGGACGTCCCTGGTGCGCGACGCCAGCCGCCGTTCGGAGGCTTAGAGGAGCGCGGCGGCCGTCGGAAAGACGCGAGCGTCGCTGTCCGCGTCGTATCGACGAGGCCTAAGGGCGTCGTCGAGGCACTGATCGGCACACAGCCAGCACCGGCGTCGCGCACGACGCCACTCCAGAGCGTCGAGGGGTTTTGCTTGGTTCTGAGGTCGACGCGTCCAGATGTTGCACGCGATCGACTGCTGAGACCATTCGATGGCGTCGTGATCCCATTGCACGCAATCGACGCGACGTTTGCTCGATGGCGTGTTGGAGTGCACGTCTCTCGCCTCTAGATGTAGCCAGCACGGTCGCGTCGATGCGCGGCGCTCGACTTGTTTTGGTATCCTGGACGCGTCGACGACGTGAGGCGTCGGCGTCGTCGTCGGGCTCTTTGTGTGCGCGGGCACGGCGTCGGCGTCGAGAGCTACAAGTCCAGAGCGCCAGCAGAGGCCGCGTGCGATGCAGATCGTCGGCGCCGCGTCGTGCTTGAATCGACGCCGTCGCCGGCCGCGTAGACTAGAGATGGACTGCAGGTGTTACCTACCAGTAGCTGTTGCCCTGGACCATGCCGCGTCGTACTCGGCGCTGCTTGATGGGCAGGGCTGCCTATCAATGATGGTACCCGCGATGCGGTGATGGCTCTGCCTATTTATTGGGCGTCTGCCGCTATGCGGCGATACGTTGGCAGCCAATGTCTGGCCTCAGTTGCTGTCGCCAGGCTAAGCGACGCCAAAACAGAGTACAAAATTTAATCCTATTTACTGGCTAGCGGCCTGTAAGACACTAGTCCGAAAATATTTGGACAGCGACAGCTTAGAGGCGTCCGGGAAGCCTCACTCGCCCCCTCTACACGCTTCATTTGGAGAGTCATACCAACGGATTCGATTCAAAGCGGAGGCCAAAACAGCTGCCCCACGCCGCCCGCTCGCCGCCCCACGCGCTGCTCTTGCGTAACGCGATTGACGACGCATCTGCACGCTGCCCCGCGCTTGCGCCGGCGCGCGCTGCCCCCGAGGCGCTGCATCGGCGTCCCTGAAGCCTTCAAAGCTGTGGTTACCTGACAAAGGCGCCGACCGTGCTCGCGCCCGCTATATAGCTTTGTCGTTCGTTTCAACGGCACGGCCCGCCGGACGCGAGTCTCAACGATAGGGAAGCAGCCGGATCCTTTCGTACTTCGTTACGGCTGGTAACTACTGCAAGACGTCCCCTGTCCGCGGAGGAGCGCCGCGTCGTCGCCGTGGGCAGCGCAAGGCTTTGCGAGAGCTTGTCGCGGCCGGTCGCGCCGTCGTGACGCCGTCTTGGCGCTTGGCGTTTTGAACGAGCTTCCCGGCGCAGGCCTATTCATTTCGACGGTCCTCGCGTTCTTCGCGGCCAGTGACGGCATCGTCAACGAAAACCTCGCGCAGAACTTCGCCACTGAGGTACTCTATGGTGCACGAATCAATTTCGGCGCGCTTCTTCAATCGTGACCTGCACGCCATCGACGCGACGCATGCTCGCCAACACGGCGAGCTCCTGCGCCTGCACCGCCTACGAGTTCATGCAGCGCACACTAATGGGGCTGGAGGAGTACATCGTGGGGAAACCTGCGATGGGAACGATGATAGTCCAGCAAGGCCGACGCCGGCCGGCCCGACGACATCCTCACGGCCGGCGAGCGCGCGGGCTCGGACACGACGCCCTCACGACGAGAGAGCGCCGAGAACTGACTTCGCGAAGTGCACCTGACTCACTGGTTGATTTACGCACAGGTCCAGTGCTTCTTCGGCTTCCAGATCGCCATCGAGGTCAGCGATTCAGTGCATAACTTACACTTCACGTTGCGCTATCGCCACGATGACGTCGACGAGCTGTTTTGCGGGAAGCGGGCACCTTCGTGCCGACGACGTTCTACTTCAGATAGCAGTACCTCACCAAATGCAGTAGTTTACTCTTGGAGTACACGCCAACTCCTTGGCCATCCCCGAGGACTGGTTGGCGTGTCTGAGGTGGAGTTCTAGAACTCTGGAAGCCCAAAGTACGGGAGAGATCCTCGAAACCGGCATTCCATATACTGCATCTCGAAGTTTCTCGTCGCACCGGGACGGGCTACCTTCGGCCGGGCAAAACAATAGACTATCGTTCCAAAGAGGACTACCGGTCACGGCGACGCGTCGATGGCGCGGGGTGTCCGAAATTTGATTTCCACACAGGTCTGTAGTCGGCGTCTCCGAAGCCGACGCGACGTCATTTTCACATAGGAATCCTCTGCACTCGTGCGGCGTAGACGCTTCCGTACTACTTCGGTTATGCGAGGGCCATTGTTCGCCGCGACGCCGTCGACGCTTCCGGCGAGAAATTGGAAATCGTGGTTCCAGGTGCGTGATTCATGGGCGGTGCCGATTGTTTCCATTAAATTTGCGGGAAATGGGGAAGTGCAATTCCCACGAGGCCTGCGGCCTAACTTCAGTGGCGCTCCAAAGCCGCGAAAATGAATTGTCGTTCCTCGTACTGGACGACGCCAAATTCCGGGCGCTCGTATGGCATGGAGGTGTACACCGATCAGCGGCGTCGTTCTGTGGACTGCATCTGCTCGATGGCGTGGAGGTTGCCCGTACGTCGTCGTTATTTGGTGCCGCCGGACCTGCAATTTGTGTCCTGTTTCGACGAATTACAAGATCGACGTGCCCGAGATCACGCCCGGGCCACCGACCAGAGGTAGGGCCACCGGTCCGGCTCATTTATGGAGACGTCGCCGGTTTGCGGAACGGCGGCGCGCGCACCCCTTACATCATTGCGGCGATGGCGTGAGGGCGGCGTTGTTCGAGGAGGCCCATGCCTCACCGCCGCAACGCGTCGCGATCTCCTCGACGGCGCGCATCAATCGGCACTTCGCCGCGCCCCGAACCAGGACTAGCCTCTGCTAACAGTTCCTTTTGTGTTACTCGACGACGCCTATCGCAGCGACCCGCCACGCATAGTAGGCGTAACTACCACGCGACACAATGAACTCGAATACAGACCGTGACATACATTTGGTACGACGCCTGGCGGTCTTCGGCGTCCGGCCGTCAATGGCGCCCTGGCCGTCGCAGATGCGTACCGTAGGCGCCCGCCGAAGCGCAACACTAGCCGCCACGCGAAGGCTTAGAGGAGCGCGGCGCCCGCCAAGACAACGCGGGCGTCACGGTCCTAGTCGTGGCGACGAGGCCCGGAGCCGTCGTCGATGTGCCGCGTCGCATGTGGGGCGGCACTGCCTCGACTCCCGTCGACGGAGTCGAAGGCGGCAGATTGTGATCAGCAGGGTCCGGAACGCGTCGTCGCGACCGCGTGCGCGGCGATGGTCGCCGCGACGAACTCGTCCGTGGTCGTGGAAGATTGTTCTACTGTCTCGCCACCCAGGTACTGAACCTTCCGAGCCGTTGACCGTCGCCCGCGCACGCGGCGACGAGGACGCGTCGCGTCTCAAATGCGCAAGAGAATGGGCTAGTCGTCGCTTCGAGATTCAGCGTCGGCCTGGCAGCAGTAGAGCGACGTCGTCGCCTACCCGTAGTGCTCGCTGCGCTCGGTAGGACTACTGAGTTGTTTGCGCGTGCCCGAGCCGTTTCAGGTCGAGGCTTGGTCCCTTCTGCCACCGCACAGACGTCCGACGTGGAGGTGGTAGATTTGCTCTTTGCTCTTTCGGCGGTCATCACGACGTGGCGTTACGGGGTCGTGTCGTCGCGCGCGTCGCGATCGATATATAGGCTGCCCCCTCGCTTGTGGCGGCAGCTTCGGGGAAGCGCCTCCGCGAGTCTCACGGGGCTGCCTCAGGGTGATGTCGAGGGCCCGTCGGAGGCGCTCAAGCGTCGGGAGCAGCCCAACTGGGCGACGTCGACGCAAAAAGCAAAAAGCCGACCCGCATTTTTGCACTAGCCATTGGCACTAGCTCGGCCGCAGCTGCTCTGCAAGGACGCCAACTCCCGCGCCGCTCTCGTCCCTTGGCCAGGCGGCACCCCCCTGAGCCTCGCGGGCAGGGGACCCAATCACCAGACGATGATTTGCTAGTGTCTCACAGGACGCTAGCCTGGCACCCTGTCATGCTGAGCCTTAACAAATCAGCCTCGTCACCGCCGCGCAAAGCAATGCGCTGCCTGTCAATCGTCCTGGTCCTCGTCGCCGCCGCTGCCTTCACTCCGAAGACAACGCGCGGCGGCCTGGGCCTCTCTACTACTACCAAGCCTGCTGCTCTCCTGAGCACTGCCACACTCCAAGAAGAAGCCGTCATCGTCTATCCCCCCGACGACAAGATGCCGCCGAAGCTCACCCTCGCGCTCCCGATCCGCGAGACGCAGACGCAAACGGCGCTCCTCGACGCGGGCGACATTCTCGCATCGCTAGCGCGGCAGCCTGTACCGGTGAGATTAACAACAGACGACGATATCAACACGTTCGAAGCTAGGGCCTTCGCGGCCGCCGACCACGGCGGCGTGCTGACGCTGTTGCGTGAAGGTGCCACGAACTATATCGAGACGTGGGCGCTCACGCATCATCTAGACGTCGTCGGCGACCACTCCACCGGTCGGAAGCGGGCTTCAGTAGTCACTGCGATGGAGCGAAGAGTAGCCGCGGTCAGCGCCAAGTTGTCTCAGGGCGAGCAGTTGACGCACGGCCTCGACAAAGCTGCCGAGGAGTGGCTCGATTTAGTATGCGTCTCGAAGACGTCACTGGAGCTGAGAGCCCCATTCGACGAGCTCGCCAAGTCCTACATGTACTCGGGTGGCGACGGCTGCGGTACGGAGTCCGGTCGCATGTTGATTTCTGGGCCCGCCTCGCTCCTCTACAAGGTCCAGCAGTGGATGTCGCGCCGGGGCCACTTGCCTTTATATATACAACAGGCCGCGGCATGCTTCTTCGCGGAGCACAGTCTTTCTCAAAGACAATTCGTCGGCATGGGCCAGCCGATCTTGTTAGGTTTGGACAGCGATGTCCGGGACGCCCTCTGCGAGGCCAAGGACCAGTGGGCGGGGGTCTTCGCCGAGGGCCTCGCGACGGGCTTCAAGGGCGTCCTCGTGGTGGGCATGCACGGCCCGGACTACCGGGTCTGGGCGAACAAGCACAGCCTGCCGGACGCGCACGTGATCGACTGGAGCGGCCTCGGCGCCGACGACTTCTCTGAGAGGGATGGCGTGGTGCGGTCGCGGGCCTTCCAGGAAATCTTCGACGCGTGCCGCGCGCACGGCGTGCTGGGGAGCGGCGACGAGGAGTTGTTAGTCGGCGCCCTGCACAACTTGAAGCGCGGCGTCACGGACTTGATCGAGGCGCTCGAGATTTCGAACGTCGTACCCCTCGGCGGCGGCGTGTTCAAGGTGCGCGGCAACCCGCGCGCCTGCGAGAAGCTCAAGGCGTGGCCCGCGGATCTGCCGGCCGCTGTGGCGTTGCGGAACGCGCTGGCGCCGTTGATGCGCGTGGATGCGTTTTTAGAAGCGTGCAAGTTCGTGCCCGTAGCGGACAGTGCACAAATCAAATCACGCCGTCGACGCCATCGACGCGACTCACTGGTCGATTTATGCACAGGTACCGGAGGAGGAGTGGGGCGACGTCGTCGACGTCGACTCGTTCGGCAAGCAGGGCTACGTGCCGGGGCGCTTCCTCAACGCGGACAAGACGGCCCGGCTGACGGCGCAGAACGACCCGGACCGCGGCCGCGTCTTCTGCGGCCACTGCAACACGGAGCAAGACTCAAAGAAGGACGGCCAGAGAACTGCCTGCGGCGTCTGCTCCCGGACCACGTTGCTGACGATCCTCAAGGAGCCGTCGGGCAAGTGGGCCTAGAGAGTGGGCCGTCTGAAGCATCGACTCGTCGGACTCAAGGCTGCACAAGCGCCGGCGAGAACCCCTCCTGACTTACTTATCCCTTCCCCTGACTAATATTCGTTCTGGTAATGCTTCACTACAATAGGATTTAGACGGGCGCGCGAACGCGGCACACGGGGGAGGGGACGGGGGAGTGATCTTCTCAGCGCGAAGCAAGTAAGCGCTGAAGGAGCCTAGGAGTTGTTCGCGGCCCAGCCCTTGCAGTACTTGTCCTTGAGCGGCTCCGGCGACGGCCCCACGAAGAGCGCCGCCAACAAACCGGCGACGAAGATCGTGATGATCCAGCCGAAGCACGTCTTCGCGAAGAGCTTGCAGTTGACGCCGCCGGCGCCCTCGAAGAGGCCGACGGCCACGGTCGCGCCGATCTGGCAGTGCGTCGTCGAGAGGGGCCAGCCCTGGGCCGTTCCATAAATAATGACGAAGGCCGCGCCGAGCTCGATGCAGTAGCCGCGCGACGGCGTGATCGACACGAGTTTCATCGTCGAGGCTGTGGAAACGCTCGACGACGTCAGCCACAAGTGGCGACGGTTGCTTGGCCCGCACCATCCGGACTACTCTGCGCTCGAGAACGCCCTCAATCAAACACGCGAAGCCCTCGCCCAGGCCCGCGCCCGCGCGTCCAAGTGCCAGTGCTAGTAACTTAGTAAGTTCGAACACAATATGTTATACGTAGCGTGGGGGAGAGCGGGGGAACTAGACTTTCTTCTTCAGGCCTCGACGTCCGGGTCGAAGCCGTCGAGCACTTCGTCGATGTAGATGCCGTAGATCTCGAGGCCGAGCGCGCGGCGGCCGCCGTCCGTCGGCTCGTCGTTCTTCTTCTCGATGACGCGGCAGACGTTGCAGTGGCCCGACGACGCGTAGCGCCGCGCGATGATGCCCTCGGCCTTGCGCATGGAATCGAGCAGCGACCCGCACAACAAATGCTTGTGCTGCACGCGCTTGCCGACCTCGCACGTCTTCTTGTTCTTGCACTTGGCGCCGTGCGAGCAGTTCGGGTCGACGTACTCGGCGCCCCAGGCCTCCTTGACGTTCTCGGGGTCCGTCCGCACGTAGCGCTGCAGGACGTCGGTAAGCTGCATCTGGCCGACGCCCGTCTTCGGCCGGAAGATGCGCAGGACGAACGACGACTCGCCGGGCACGTACGACTGCGACTGCAGGGCCATCATGACCAGGCGCTTCTTCGTGATGGGCGACGGGTTCTTGCTGATGTAGAACGCCGAGTGGTCCTTCCTACGGATCGCGCCCAGTCTGGTGGACGGCGCCGCGGCCGTCGCGTCCTTCTTCGCCTCGGCGAGCCGCGCGACCGCATCATCAAAGGTGATGCCGCGGTCGACCTCGACGCATAAATGAACCAAAGCCGGCTTGTCGTCCGTCGCCTCGACCACCACGGTCTCGTCCGTGATCTCGACGCGGCGCCCGTCGATCTCCTTGATGGCCTCGTCGAACTTCTTCTCGCGGCGTGCTTTTCGGACCGCGTGGTCCACGAGCTTGGCGAAGACCTCGAACAGGGCGTTCTGTTGGCTCAACCGTAAACCGAGCAGGCGGTTCAGGAAGGTCCCGACCGACGACCGCGCAGTGTTGCCGGTCTTGGCCGCCTTGACGAAGTCGAAGCCGACTCTTTCCAACCACATCTGGCACGCCTCCTCGAAGGTGCACGACCGCGACCGGTCGCGTAAGTACCTGTGTGGAAATCAACCAGTGAGTCGGGTGCGCGTCGCGTCGATGGCGTGGAGGTCATGATTTCCGCACAGGTAAGTACTTCCACTTCTGGGCGTCCTTGCCCGTGTCGGTCGCGTGGCAGTGCTCGGCCCATTTCGGGCACTGGGACACGGGCACGTCGCAGACGTAGCAGTGGCACTTGTCGCAGGCCTCCGAGTGATCCGTCGACGCGAACGGGTGCAGCGGGCACTGGCACCGCGCGTGCGCGAAGGTCTGGAGCGTCGTCGACCCCATCTCGACGTCCTCATCAGCAGACTCCTCCTCCTGGGAGGCGGGCTTCAGTTGGTCTTCGTTCGCCACATCTTCGGCGTCTTCCGAAGTGTCGCAGAAGGAGAACTCGACCTTGGTCGCGTCGACCGCGCCGCCGAAGACCGCCGCTGATTGATTCTGCAGCTCCATGAACCGCTCGCGGTCCGCCGGCTCGAGCGGCGGCAGCGTGAACGGCGCCGACGTGACCCTTTGTATGATGTTTCCTAACGTCGCGAGGGCGTTCTTGCCCCACTTCGTGTCGAAGTTGAACGCCGTCAATCCTAAACCCTTGGCGCCGACGGTGGCTCTTCTATCACCCTGCGTCAGCGCGCCCAGCGACTCCAAGCGCCGGGCCACGGCGGAAGCGAACCGCTTTTCACCGCCTACCGAGGAAATGAGGAACTTGTACTCAGGAGCTGAAGACTGGTTCGACCGATGCGTCCGTCCGAGCTGCTGGATCGCTTTGTCCGCGGACCAGGGCAATTCGAGCGTGATGTGGACCCGCCTCCGCTGATTCGCTACTCTCCTGTCAGCTTGCAACGAAATACCGGCCGACGCCGCTTCCGAAATAATGGCCACGTGCTTCTCACCACCATTGAAAGCTTGTTTTTCGTGCATGTTCTGCATCTCGAGCGACACGCCGTTGGAGTTCCGCGCCTCGTAGACGACCTTGCCGGACGTCGCGTCGCGCACCATGCGGCCCTTCCGCCCCGTCATCTCCGCGACACAGTCCGAGCCTCCTAATTCAGCAATCAACGTATCCAAGGGGTTGCCTGGTAAGCCTAGCTTCGACGCCGCGACGAGGAATCTCCGGCGGAGCTCGCGGACCTCGTCGAAGCCATCATCGTCGTCCTGCATCGCGTCCTCGTCCTCGTCGCCCGAACTATCGATAGATATGTACTTCGTCTTCTTCGCCTTTGATTTCTGAGGCGCCTCGGAATCATTATCACTGTCGCTCTCCACGAAGTCGTCGTCCGAGCTTTCTTCGTCGGACGACGGCGCCGGCCGCTTCCTCGGCACATTATCACTGGAGTCGTCGTCGACGTCAAATACTAAAATGCCGTGCAGCTGCGCCGCCGTGAACTTGGCCTCTTCGCTGCCGAACTGCACCACAAAAAACGGGAAGGCCCTCCTCACGACCACTCCTTCGCGCATCTCTCCGGAGGCAGTTTTGTGCCGCACCAAAGTCTTGCCTAACGTAACACCTAGTTTCGCGGCGGCTTTTTCATCATCATCGCTATCACTATCGCTGTCAGAGAAATCCGTATCAGACTGGGCATAAGTGCCCTTGGCCGGGCCCTTTCTGGTGCGAGTAGACCTCCCATGGGTCCTACCGAGAGGAGCGTCATCACGACTAGCGCAAGCCTTGAGCTCCCGCTGTCGAGCGTCGGCCTCGTCATCACCCGGCGAGGCGAAGACCTTCTTTATCAACCTCTCTAAGGTAGCTCTAGGCGCACTCACGAAGTCGTCGAACACCTCGCCGTGCTCCTCGATGGCGTCCTTCGTGCGCGCTTCGCCCGTCGACTGCAAGCCGATGACGACGCATTTCTTGTCTTTGAGCGATTGACGAGCGACTTGCAAGGCCGCAGGCACCTTGGAGGCCACACACAAATCCTTGAAGAAGCGCTGGTGCGCGCCCCAGAAGTAGCGCCACAACACGCCGTTCGGCGTGCCCCTTCGAACGGGCGCGTCGGGCTTCTTGAACGGGTCGTTCACGACGCCTAGCTCCAAGCCCTCGGCGAGGCACTGCCTCAGCAAGTCCCAGACCTCGACGCTCCGGTCGTAGACGCGCTCCATGTGCCTGCGCGCGTCGACACTCTGATGATCATGAAAACGGCGTCGCGGCGGCGTGGCATTGCCGCGGCTCCCTCACGAGACGCGTAGACTCGGCCGCCCCGGCGCCGTCGACGCGACGCCGTCGCCGCGAAGGCAATAAACAAGGACGCGGCATCAAGACGGCGTCATCACGTCGTTGACCAGCTCGAACGTGCAGCTCTTGAACGATAAAGCCCGAGAAACAAGAGCGCCCCTTTGTTTCAAATGCATGGCCACGAGCTCCATCATGCCCACGCCTCTACTTTCAACAGCTCTCCGAAAGTCGTCGAAGTCGCCGAAGGGCGTATCACTTCCACCCCAGAGGCCCAGCCGGTCCATGTAGCCGAGATGCTTCGGTTCGGACGCGCCCGTTGCGCTACAATACACGACTCGGGCCCTTGGTAGTGCCGTTTGTAGCTTGAGCACGGCCTGGCCGGTCTTGGTGGGCTTGCCGCCGTTGCCCCCGAACAAATTCTTGGCTTTGTGCGACTCGTCGAACAGTAGCCCGCCCTCGAAGCCCGGCGAGGCCCACTCGAGCAGTTGGTCTAATCTAGTTTGGGGCTTCGACGTCTTGCCGCCCTTCTTGCCCAACAAGGAAGCGTAGGTCGCGAAGACGACGCCCTGCTTGGGGAGGTCGCGGGCCTGCGTGTTGGCGCGTGAGTGTGTCGCGTCGATGGCGTCGCGCGCCCGCCGTCGCGGCGACCCCACGCCATGCGTCGACGCATGAGTGTATCGAGTCGTGTGTCTCGGCCGACGGCGTCTCGCGTCCATCAATCAGGGCGCTCGGACGCCATCGCCGCGACCCCACGGCCGCGCCGCCGCCACGGTAACAAAAGGGGACGCCGCATGCTACGGAATACGACGCCTTGCCCAGCAACTGGACCGGAATATTCCCGCTCCCGAGGTCGCGCAAGTCCCGTTCCGCATCGAACTTCAGGTCGTTCGATACTGAAATCCAGAGGTGCTTCCTCACACCCCGAGCCCACTGCTGCGCCACGATACCAGCCAGTTCCCGGCCCTTGCCGATGCCGGCGCCATCGCCGATGAAGAAGCCCCGTCGCGACCCATCTTCCAGGTTCTTGCCGAAGCACATGTTCGCGTAGGCCACGGCCTCCAGCTGTAGGTTCGACAGCTTGCCCTCCTTCACGACGTCTGGTGAGATGTCTGCCAAAGCGTCATCAGGTGGCTTAGGAGCCTTCACGGCAGACAACGACGCGTTCTCCACGACGGGGTCGGGGTGCTTCTTCCCAATCCCCTTCAACCACAACGGCTCGTAGTCCTCGAACTGGACATCATCGGCCGCGTCGTCGTCCTCCTGGTCGAGCTCGGCCTCGAGCTCGCGCCTCTTCTTCGCCTCGGCCTCCTGGCGCTTTTTCTCTTCGGCGCGGCGCTGCTGCGCTTCTTGCTGTTCCTTCTTCCACTTCTGGTACCAGGTCGGGTCTTTGAAATCGACGCGGCCGAAGTCCGCCATCGTCGGTCACGCGGCTCGGCGCTTTTGCGGCGCTTGTGGCGGCGCGACGGTGCGCAGGGGCGGCGCTTCGGTGCGGCGCTACAGCTGGGTAGCTGGCGGCGGCGGCGCGGCGTCTGGTGCGTCGCTTAGCGGTGGCGCGGTCCTGATATGACCCTCCTTGCTTACGGGCCGTATCGGTCCCGCTGGCGCGTGTAATCGCGCGGGGCGCTTGCTCTGGTCAGCGGTGAACTCCTCCGCGCTGCTCAGCAGCGCTGCGGCAAAATTGACGCGCGCGGGACGACAAAGACCACCTACGTTTTGCTTTTGGTTTTGAGCGCGGGTTTTGAAGGGATCGTCCGAATGGCTTGGGAGAGCCCGTTTTACATCCCTTGGCACGAGCTAGTACGCGTAGAAGCGGCCGCGACGTCATCTCGCCAGGACGCGGCGCCGCGAGCGACGGTCCGTCCCCGTTTCGGTTGCTGTGGGGCCCCGCTGCATGGTAAAACGGCCGAGCACTTTCGATTGGCCGCCCGTGGTGTGATGCGCCCGGTACACCCGGTACCTACGGTAGGTACCAGGTATAGGTGTATACCTCTCATGTACCTACGTACTAGGTACCCTATACGTAATTTACGTATTCCTACTACGGACCCGCATCAAAGTGTAGAAACAATAAAGAAAAAAATTCCCCGAGCTATACAATATGAATTAGTAGGTGGTAGGCCGGCGGGGCGACCACGATCACTGCCGACACAGCGCGAACACATGGCGAGAATGATAAACTGCCGTCATCTTACAAACTAAGCACGCCCCGACATAGCCTAAGCCTTGGACCGGCGCGACGCCTTGAGCGAATCGCGGAGGATGTCCGCCTCAGAGGGCGCCGCCGGTTCCTCGGGTGCCGGGGCCGGCTCGGGCGCGGGCGCCGGCGCCGGCGCCGGCGCCGGTGCGGGCGCGGGGGCCGCCTTCGGCTTCGGCGCGGGCTTGGCCTTGGCCTTGGCCGCCTTCGCGGCGTCCGCCGTCGCCTTTTTGTCGGCCGCGGCTTTCTTCGCGGCAGCGGCTTTATCGGCCGCGGCCTGTTTAGCAGCAGCGGCCTTATCAGCCGCGGCCTTCGCCTTCTGAGCGCTTGCCTGCTTCGCGGCCGCGGCCTGGTCGGCCTTGGCCTTGGCCGCGGCGGCGGCCTTGTCGGCGGAGGCCTGTGGGGAAATCAACCAGTGAGTGAGGGTATTCGTGGAACGCGTGAGGCGTCTGAAATTTGATCTCCACACAGGTCACACCTTCTTCGCGGCCGCGGCTTTGTCGGCGGCCGCGCGCTTGGACGCGGCGGCAGCATCCGACTTCTTCTGCGCGCTAGCCTTCGCCGCGGCCTTAGCGTCCGACGCCTTCTTGGCCGAGGCGGCCTTCGCATCAGATGCTTTCTTCGCGGCGGCCGCTTTCGCGTCGGACGCCTTTTTCGAGGCAGCAGCTTTCGCGTCCGCGGATTTCTTGGCCGCGGCTTGCTTGGCGTCGCTGGCCTTCTTGGAAGCGGCCGCTTTCGCGTCGGCAGACTTCTTCTTCGCCGCGGCGGCGGCGTCGGACTTCTTCTGGGCGGCCTGCTTCGAGGCAGCGGCCTTCGACGCAGCAGCGTCCTGGGCCTTCTTCGTGGCGGCGGCTTTCGCGTCGCTCGCCTTCTGCGCGGCAGCTTTCTTAGCGGCCGCAGCAGCATCTGCTTTCTTCTGCGCGCTGGCCTTGGCGCTCGCCGCGGCGTCGGCCTTCTTCTGGGCGGCGGCGTCGGCGGCAGCCTGCTTCGCGGCAGCGGCGTCGGCGGCCTTCTTCTGAGAGGCGGCCGCCGCGTCGGCCTTCTTCTGGGCGGCGGCAGCTTTCGCCGCGGACGCCGCCTCGAGCTTCTGCTGGGCCGCGGCCTTCGCGGCGTCGCGCGCGGCGGCCGCGTCGGCCGCGCGCTGGTCGGCCGCCGCCTTGGCGGCCGCGGCCCGCTCGGCCTTGACGTCCACGACGGGCGCGGGCGCGGGCGCCGGCGCCGGCTCGGGCGCGGCGACCGGCTCCGGCGCCGGCGCGGGCGCCGGGGCGGGCGCGGGCGCCGGGGCGGGCGCCGGCGCGGCCGTCGTCGCCTTCGGCTTGACGGCGCCGGCCTTGGTCGTCGCCTTGACGCGCTTCGAGGCGCCCAGCACTTCGTTGAGGCGCGCGCGCTCGAGCTCCTCGGCGGACGGCGGCGCGGGCGCGGGCGCGGGCGCCGGCGCCGGCGCCGGCTCGGGTGCCGGCGCGGGCGCGGCCTTGGGCGCCTTCGGCGCCTTGACGGCCTTGGGCTTCGGCGGGGCCTTGGGCTTAGGCGCCTTTTTCTCGCGCTTCGGCAGGGACGGCATGGCCATCTTCGGGAGCTCCATCTTCGCGGCCGCGGGCTTCTTGGTCGGCGCCTTCGCGCTCGCCTTCGCGCCCTTCTTCTTGGGCGGCGCGGCGGTCGGCGCCGGCAGGAACGCCTGGGCCACCAAGAGGATGGGCGAGATCACGCCGATCCCAAGAATCGCGGGCAGCACCGCGTAGTTCTCCTCCGAGAGGCCGGGCAGCGGACCCTCCTCGGTGGGCTTGCCCGGCTTCTTCATGTTCTGCGGCGGCGCGCGCACCGTCCGCGGCGGCACCGGCACGAAGCCGCTGGCCAGCGCCAGCGCGGCGAGGACCTGCGTGTGTTACCGTTACCGTCGGCGCGGCGCGTTCGTTCATCCATCACATCGCGCAGCTGCATAGTGTCCAGCGTCTCGCGTCGATGGCGCGGCAGCGATGCGGTCCCGCCGCGGGACGGAGCATTGCGGCGGGCGGATCGGGGCGCGTCTGGGTTTGCAGCCTTGCGGCACCTCGATGGGGCGATTCGCAGCATCACGCCTCCACGACGGCGCGACACGCGGCTGCCCGAGCCATGTTCATGGAAAACCGACGCTGCAATTGCACCTGTAGCCTCCGTCGCAGCATTTTTGATCTTCACGACGCGAGCTTGCGGCGCAGATTGGCGTCAAGCACTAGCAGGATCGACACTTAGATCTTCGGCCTGGGGGCGACGAGGACCCGTCCGGTCGCGCGGAACGGTCGCCGAGGTATGTCCTCGCTCGGGATCGATCCGGAGCCGGAGCAGCACCCACCTAGTACCTCGCGGAGCGCCGGGCTTCGCAGCGCGCGAGAGCGGCGGGCGTCGCAGCCAGTCGCGTCGGCGCGCCCGTGCCTCGAGCACAGCCGGAGCCGCCGTCTCTCGCTGCCTCGCACGGCTCCGGCCTCGTCGGGCAGCTATCAGGGCCTGGCTCAGGTGGAGCAGCCAGAAGCACAGCCACGCCATCAACGCGTCGCAAAGCAGTCTCGCAACGCGCAGCACCAGCGAGAGACACATGGCTGCCCAGACAAACGCCGCCGACGTGAAAGCCCAGCTCGCCGAGACGCTCGGGCGGTGCCGCGCGACGCTGTCCCAGACGGAGAAGACCCTCGAGCGATTAGAAGATGAGGTGCCGCCGGACGGGTGCATCGTGCCGGTCGTGCACACGCCCGACTGCATGTTCGACTCTATAGCCCGTCTGGCGCGCCTCGATGCGAACACGACGTTCCTGGACCTGGGCTGCGGGGATGGGCGGGTCGTCGACGGCGTGACGACGATCGCGGGCTGCCGCGGTATTGGTGTCGATATTAGGATGGAGTGCGTCGAGGCGGCGAGAGAGCGCTTTCCGGAGCGCGCGTTCCACCAGGCGGACTTCTGCGCCATGGTCGAGGGCGCGGGGCCGCCTCCCATTGGTTTGGAGGGCGTCGACGCGTGCTACGCTCATTTATTACCGACGACGTTCGCCGTGCTCGACAAACGGCTGTTAGAGGCGGTGCAGCGGGGCCTGCGCCTCGTGACCTTCTGCTCGCACCCGTCGGGCGCGGCCTGGGACGCCTGCCAGACGGGCTCCGATTGTTTCGGCATGGTGCGGTTGTACGAGGCTAGTGATGATCCTACGCGGGGGCGCCTGCCGGGCGGCGTCGGGGCCGTGCTGAGGCCTCCGGCGGGAGGTGGTGATGGGGTAAGTTGAAAGTTTTGTGACAGGGCATGTTTCCGCTTCGTTCTACGGGTTAGCACGAAAGCCTCGAGACGGGTTTTCACTGGTATGATTTTCCGAGATTATTGCAGCGGTATAGCACGAAAACGCGCGCTCTCGGCGTTTGCGTACCTCCACAGTGCCTTTCGACCGTGTTAGTGTACGCGCTTATAGAAACCGCTCGTCGGTCGCGAGAGGAAAGCCTCAGTCTTGTGCATTATGTATCCTTGCTCGCCGACTACCGCGCCGCGGACCGCAGGCGAGATGCAGAACACCCAGCAGACGTAAATCCAAGCTCCTTGGATAGACACTAACGCGACGACTTTACTGCCAGCCGTTACACAATCAATGTTGGAATCTAAATACCCAATTTGGTTGGTTTCATTATGGGGCTTTGCAATGTAAAACTTCGTAGCTTGTTTGTTGCCTTCGTTGATGATTTTCAGTTTCGCGGCGAGGCACCGTGGGCTACCATCCTGGCCTACCTAGAATCTATAGGCTGTATATACGTTCTGGCACCCGCACGCAGGGCCGTATAAATTGATACCTTCGTCCCCGTCTAAAACGCTTCTCTTGCTCCCAAACCAATCCAAGCCCATGCTGCCGCGATTCGGCCCGCGAAACCGCGGCCGCCGGCCGCCGACACTTCTCCGAGCCCGCGAGCCTCGCCCGGCGCCCGAAACACCGTCGGACGAACGCGGACGCCGTCGAGGATGCGCGCGTAGCCTATCGATGTTCAGGACCCCAGACCCGGCTCGCGCCCCGACCCCCGAAACAAGATAAGCCGGGCGTGCCATTTCCCGCCAGAGGCGGTCCGGCCCAGCCAAGACAAGTGCAGATATCTCCACGTGGGCCCGGGGAGTTCTATTTTGCACGGGCGTGAACCCCTTCCAGTTGAGGCACTGTGGGAAGTGGGAGCAGCGAGTCCTTACCCGCGAGTCCCGGGAGCGACGGGAGCAACAGCCCAAACCGAGAAGAAATCTTAGGGCGGACACCCACGCAGCCATGGCGCGCGGCCTCGGCAAAAAGCGTGCTGCGCCAGGGGCTGCCTCGCGCCTCCTTGTAGGCATGCTGCTCGTCTCGGTGCAGGCGCACGAGCGTCCTGCCGCAGCCATAGCCAACGCGAGAGTCGTCGCGAACGAGCAGCCGTGGTCGCTCGCGTTCGAGGAGGACGGCCGGCGGCGGTTGAGCTCCTCGGAGCTCGAGAAATTGACGGCCAGCGACGGCGCGGCGGCCCACAACTTCGGCCGGTCCGTGGCGATCGAAGGGAACACCGTGGTCATCGGCGCCCCCGGCGCTGGCACCGGCGGCGCGGCCTACGTCCTCCGCACGACCGACGGCGGAAACACGTACGTGGAAGTGGACCTTTTGACGGCCTCCGACGGCGCTGCGGGCGATGACTTCGGCTATGCCGTGGCCGTCAAGGGCGCCACGGTCATGATCGGGGCCCCCGACAGGGGAGCCAATAGCCTGGGCGCCGTCTACGTTTTCCGCACGACGGACAACGCCACGTACACCCAGGTGGACATTTTGGCGGCCGACGACGCCGCGGCGGGCGACGAGCTTCGCTTCGGCTGGGCGGTGGCGATGGACGGCGACGCCCTCGCGATCTCGGCGTACAAGCAGAACGCGGCCTACGTCTTCCGCACGACCGACGGCGGCGCCTCGTACGGCCAGGTAGCCAAGCTGACGGCCTCCGACGCCGGGTCGAACGACAAATTCGCCTACTCCCTGGACATCTCCGGCGGTGTCGTCGCCATCGGAGCGATGGCCAGCCCGGGCGCGGTCTACGTCTTCCGCACGGGCGACGGCCGGCGTAGAAATTGACCTTTTCGTTCCAGGATCCGAGGGGTCGCCCCGAGCCCCGGCCGATTTCCGCGCAGACGACGGCGGCGCGACGTACGGCGAGGTGGACAAGTTGACGGTCGCGGGCAGCGACAGCCTGGGCTACGCCGTGGCGATCGACGGGGACACCATCGTGGCCGGGGACCGCAAAGACTCGGGCTCGGTCTACGTCTTCAGCGCGAGCGACGGCGCCCAGCTGGCGAAGCTCATAGCCGGCGACGCCGCAGAGGACGACAAGTTCGGCCAGAAGGTGGCGATCGACGGCGACACCATCGCCATCGCGGCCGAAAACGAAGGCAATACGGGAGACGGCGAAGACGACGGCCCGGGCGCGGTCTACGTGTTCCGCACGAACGACGGCGGCGCCACGTACGACGAGCTCGAGAAGGTAACCGCCTTGGACGCCGCGGCCAGCGACTGGTTCGGAACCTCCGTGGCGATCGAGGGCGGCACCCTCGTGGCCGGGGCCCGCGGCGACGACGACGCCGGCTCCGAATCGGGCTCAGCCTACGTGTTTGCGCTTCTTGCGGAATTGACGCCGGAGCCCACGCCGAAACCGGGCGAGCCCACACCCCGGCCCGTTCCTGCGCCGACGCCGCGGCCCGTGCCCGCGCCGACGCCCCGGCCGCTTGCAGCCGCGCCGCAGCCCACACCGCGGCCGGCGCCGTCGCCCACGCCGCGTCCGACGCCGATGCCGACGCAGCTGGTCGCCACGGTCGTGAACGACGCGTCGGAGCTGCGCAGCGCCGTGAATGACGCGTCGACGACGAAAGTCGCGCTGGGCGACAACATCGACCTGGGCGACGACCCGGTGGACGTCACGTCGGACCTCGTCGTCGACGGCCAGGGCTTTGATGTCACGGGCAGCTTCGCGGTCCAAGGCGCGGCGCTCTCGTTGCGCAACGTGAAGCTCACGTCGAGCTCAGGGCGCCGCCGCGCGCTGGCGCCGGGGTCCGCTCGCCGCGCGCTGGCGGCGCAGGAAAACGGCGGCTGCCTCGCCGTCGAAAACGGCGCGCTGACGGTGACAGATGTCACATTCGACGGCTGCGAAGCGTCAAATAACGGCGGTGCCATCCACGCCGTCGACGCGGAGGTCACCGTCGTCAGTTCGACCTTTGTCGACTGCTCGCTAGTTTATCCCAATGACGCCGAGAAGGAAGACAAAAAGAGTTGGCTCGGTGGCGGTGCGATCTACGCAGCGGGGGACGCTTCGACGCTCACGGTCCGAGACTCGACTTTTACTCGCTGCACCGCACCCGACGGCGAGGGCAACGGCGGCGCGATCGTGGCCGCCGAAGTACGAGACGTCGAGATCACGGGCTCGCGCGTAGGGGAGTGTAGCTGCGGCGAACACGGCGGCGCCTTTTACCTGGACGGCGAATCAGGCTCCCGGACGCTTTCGATTCGCGACACGGACTTTGACCAGAATGGCGACCAGAACGACCAGAAGATGAGGAATGTGATCACGATCAGAGGTTTCGAACACGTCGAGCTCGTGGGCATTACGGCGAAGGACAATTCAAACGGAGGAGGCAACGAAGCTTCTGCGGTGATCGAGTTTACGGAATTTGACAAAAACTTCTGCGCCTCCCCGGGCGACGGTCAGTGCGAGTGCTGCGATGGCCTCTACCTCTGGTCTGCTTCATGATCCGCACCGAGACCTCGCTCCACGACAAGGACCTGCAGTGGATCGTCGCGGTCGTCCTGCTCGCGGCCGCGGTCCTGCCCATGGTGGCGCTGGGGCTCATCTTCAAGCCGATGCTCGCCAAGCTCCGCAAGAAGCGGGGAAAGAAGCAACGGCGCTGGCGCGAGCAGGAGGCGCGCGGCGACGAGGACTCGGTCGACGCGGTCGAGATCAAGATCGACGGCGCGCCCGAGGGGAAGGCGGCGGGGGAGCCATCGGCGGCGGGCGGCTGGCTCTCGTCGATCGCCGGCGCGAAGCGCCCGGCCGCCCGGGAGGCGCGCGGCGCTCCCGAAGCGAAGACGGGCGAGGCGCCCGCCGGACCAGACGCTGGCGCTCGATCCTCAGATTGAGCATCCCTATGCACATACGGAGCGCGCCGCCCGTGCGCCTCTACCCCTACATGCACGCCGCGCTCCGCAGCGCGCCGCCCGTGCCTCCCTCCCCCTCCCCGCGTCCCGAGATCGACGTGTGATTCCAGACCGCCGGGAAGTTGAATCGTATTTCCTCTCTCGAGCCATCCCTCGACTTATAACCATTATATACTTACTACTAGCACCGTGGCCGTGCCGTACGGGAATGGTCCCCGGCGGCCTAGGCCGTGGCGGGTACGATGGACGTACGGGTCCATGACGGGCCGCGCACCTCGTCATCTTCGAGTGCTTCCGGCGCCTGGCGCTCACGGGCCTGCTCATCTTCATCTACCCCGGGTCGGCGGCGCAGATCACAAGTCCATTCCATGGCAGGGTCGAGGACTGTGGCTGATTTGAGGGTGTTGAGCACGAGTGCGGTGCCGCTTTGCGCTGCGCATAGCAGGGTGAGGCGATTCAGCAGCGACATCGCTGATAGCACCACAAAAACTGACCTTGCTCTCCCTTGTCAGCAGAGCACGAGCTCAAACCAAGCGCAGCCTCGCTAGACACAAAAAACGCGTCGCAACCGACGCTCTGACCCGCAGAGCTAGCAATCGCGGTCCTCACGATGCGCATTCTCACCGCGCTCGCCCTCGCCATTGGCGCCGCCGCCCAGGACGGCGCTCTCATCGAGCTCGATGGTGAAGCACCGGTGTTGCAATCAACCGCGGCGGCGATCCGCGGCGCGGATCAGATGCGGTCGTAGAGGTCATCGCGCCGATCGCCCTGTGGCGAGGACGGCGCCGCCGCGCACACAAAACCGCCGACGCCGTTCCGACGTCAAGTTTCCGCGAACACAAAAAATCAAACCCACGCAGGCTCGGGCACGACGAACCCGTCCAAGTACTTCTGGGAGGTCGGCTCCATCTTCATGGCGCGCGCCAAGCCCGCCGTCCGCATCACGTACCGAGCCGTCGGCTCGTCGACGGGCCAGTGCGAGTCTGAGTGGAAATCAAAGTTCGGGCGCCCCACGCCATCGACGCGATGTTGTACAGGTACGAGTTCATGGGCAACACCGACGACGACCCGCTCGCCGTCAACGCCCACGAGGGCGGCGCCTACAACGACTTCGGCAGCGGCGACATGCCCTTCCCGAAGGACAAGTACGACGCCATGAGAAGTGCGGGCGTCGAAGTGCTCCACGTGCCCTTCGCATTGGGCGCCATGGCCTTCTTCGACAACGTTCCTGCCGACTACCAGCCGGACAACGGCCTCAAGCTCACGGCCTGCGTGCTCGCGGACATCTTCAACGGTGTCATTACGACGTGGGACGACGAAGCTATTCTTGAGATTCAGGACGGCGACTTCGATCCGCCGTCCGGCGAGAAGATTGTGGTCTACCACCGGACCTACGGCTCCTCGACCACAAAGGGCATCACGCAGTATTTGCACGCGGCGTGTCCCGACAAGTGGCCGGCCGACAAGGTCGGGTCGAAGATCGACTGGCCCGCGTCGACGTTCAACGTCGAAGGCAGCGGCCAGATGAGCGCCATGATCGCCGCCACGGAGTGGAGTATCGGCTACATCGACTCGGGTCATGGCATCGAGGACGGGTTGCACGAGATCGCCCTCCAGAACAAGGACGGGAACTACTGGACGACGTCGGCCTCCATCGCGCAGGGCGGCGTGCAGATGGCCGCGGAAGAAGCGCTGAAGACGGGCGTCATGCCCGACGATCCTGCTGCGGACTTCAGCGAAGTTTCTTTACATAATATGCCGGGCGAGACGACCTGGCCCATCGTGGCCATCTCCTACATGTACATCCGCGAGGACCAGACGGGCAACAACAAAAAAGGACCGTTGCTGAAGGCCTGGGTCGAGTTCGTGCTGTCGCCGCGAGGTCAGGAGATGGTGAAGCTGTACAACTTCCAGCCCGTGCCCGCCGACGTCCTGGAGATGGCCCAGAAGGCCATCGGGATGATGAAGACCGACGACGAGCCGGAGTGGACCTTCGTACCGCGGGCCGCGTCCTATTCTTCTACGGACGCCTTCGACCGATTGGCGCAACAGTAGCGCGTCATAATCGAAGGTTACGCGTTCGAATCGCGTATCGGTCACTTGCCCATGAAGTATCGAACGCACCCGACGGTACACCACACAGGAATACGACACGGACAAGGGCGGCGGCCAGCTCGACTACGTCATCTCGGCGAAGCGCCGCCACTACTACGAGTACGCGCTGGGCGTGCAGTCCGATTTGATCGAAGGCGACGGCGACGAGGCCGAGGACGGCGGCGACCACGACGGCCCGGGCGGCGACCACGACCACGGCTGGGGCTCCGTGGTGAGTTGCGTCGTTTATTGATTGCCTTCGGAGGTGACGCGTCGATGGCGCACCGCTGTCGGAGAGAGTCGCCGTCGACGCGTCCCCGCCCCGCGCAGGAGAAGGAGGACTTCGACGCCCTCATGCAGCGCGTCGAGGACCTCGAGACCGAGAACGCCGCCCTCAAGACGCAGCTGGACGCGACGGAGTCGCCCTTGGATGCGGTCGACACGACGTGCGAGGCTGGCTGCGAGCAGGCCATGCGCGACTTGGGATTTTCGGGCGGTTCCAAAAAGGGCGCGAAGAAGTCCGACGTCGAGAAGGCCGGCGCCGTGGCCATCGCCGGGTTGATCGCGGCGCTCGTCGCGTTGGCGGTCGCGGCGACGGCGTGCTGCCGCGTGAACAAGCTCGTGTCGAACCGCTCGTCGATGGAGACGGCCAAGGACTGCGTGCCGACGTCGGGCCGCAAGGAGCCGCTCGCGGTGCAGGGCGACTCGTACACGCTGTCGACGCGCCGCCACTGGGCGTGACGGCGTTCCCGGCCGCGCCCCCCCTGCCCCCGCGGCCGCCACCCTCGACGACATATGAGGCGTTATGACGTTCGACGACGCGCACCGGGTGCACGTCTTCGGGCCGAGGATATCCACCGGATTCGTTCCGGATGCCCTTTGTCGACCCTTCCCCCGCACGTAAGATGGAGAGATCCATTCTTCGCCCCTGAAGACCAACATGATGCACCTGGTCCTGAAATATTTATTTTCAGTACTACAACTCCAATAGACTACGAGAAAGCTTACAAATTTATAGGAGAGGGAGCTCTTCGCAAACGGCTTACTGTAGCGATTATTGACGAATGTGATGAAGTAACTATGGGGAAGTTGAGATGGAAAAAGTCAGAATCGGAATGACTGCCTCGACTTTTTTTTGTCTGTCGCGAGGTTGAGGTTAGGATTCGGTCCCGAGTAAGGGTTAGGATTAGGATGAGACTAGGGTTAGGGTTAGGGTTGGGCGAGAGTCGGGTTAGAGCGGGTCCGAAACGGTCCTAGTGTCGGCGGCAGTTTCGCGGCAAGGTGGGCTCGGATGGTTTTGAAAAGGTGCTCATCGGAACGCGGGGAGCGAGAGAAACGCTTTTACGGGGACGGAAAGGACGAGCGGCGAAGAACAGCGTTCTGACGAGCGGCGTAAAACAGCTTAAATGCTAGTGGCGCAAAACTCACTAGGGCCTGTGTGACCCGTACCGATAACGGTACGGGTCAGATTCTCGCTCGTCCCAAAATGCTGTGTGTCGCTCGCCGATTTACCGATTCTCCGCGCAGGTCTCGTCGGCGCGGCCCTGAGCCTGGCCCCCAAGACCGCGGGCGGCGTCGCGAGCCTCTACGGTTCGACCCCTAACTCGCTCAGCGGCGGCACGTGGAGCGGGAACACGTCTCCGCAATGCATGGGCGCGCGGTTCTCGCCGTGGACCTGCGCGGCCCAGTGCATGGGCCCGTCGTGCTGGCCGGGGTCGAACTGCGCCACGTGCTGCACGTGTCCTGGCCAAGGACCCGCGACGCCGCCCTGGCAACCGGCGGCCCCTCAGACGCCCAAGGTCGCGTGCGGGCCCATCATTGGCCAGCTCAAGGCCGTGCCGAAAAAAGGAGACATCGCTTACATCCAGAACACGCTCATGCCTATCTGCGGCGTACCTAGCTCGGGTTATCCTGCGCCGTCGGCGCCGGTCTACCAATGCCCCGTCTGCATCACGAGGCTGGCCCAAGCGGCGGCGAACAACGACGCTTGCGCCGCCGCGACGGCGCTCGTCTTTGGGATAGCCATGGACACGGACTCTAGTGGGGGGCCAGGGACCGCCGGGGGAGCCCAGGCCAACGGCGCGGGGGCCCAGGCCAAGTCGTTGATCTGCGGGATGACGCGAGGCGACGGCGTGACGAAGGCGTTCGCGCAATGCCCCGGGTGCCCGGGCCAGCCGCTCTACAAGTCGATCCGGTACAAGGACACCGAGGTCCCGTGCGCCGTCTGCGGCAATGCGTTGCCGTTTACCCGCTTCGTCGTCAAGGACAACAAGCTCGTCGACAACGCCTGCAAGCAGTGCTGGAAGTAGGCGCGCGCGACTCCTCCTCTGTGTATATAGATTCATTCGTGACCGAGCAAAAAGGCAAAATTACACGGGAGGAAATCAGCGCTTCGCCGCCTCGCTCCGAATCGCGGCGGCGAACGCGTCGACCATCTCGACCTTGACGGCGAAGACGACGGGGTTCAGCGCGCCGCGCGTGCACACGGCCACCGCCGCCATGCCTCTTTCTGGTGAAGGCGCATCGACGGGCGCCTCCGTCAAAGGACCAGCTAATTCCAAAACTCTCTCTGGTTTCCTATTAGCCGCCGCGTCATCCAGCGACGGCCACACGATCAACAACCCGGTGACCACCGCGCAAAAACCGGACGCCCACTCCTTTTTTTGCGTCTCATCTTCTAAGCCATCAACATCGACCACTCCTCTCAGAGCCCTGCCCAATTGACTCACGGGAAACGCACAGCGGCCCATGCACGTCGCCCGGAACGCAAAGTTCAATGCCACTCTAACACGACCTAATTCCCGCTTGTGCTGCTGGGCTCTTACGAGACGTTTATGGCGAGCCGCAACTTCTCGTTGCGGCGCCGTCGGCAAGGAACTTAAGAAATTTTCGGCCATGACTTGCGTCGCGTCCCGCGCTTTGTGACCCTTCCTGATCACTTTGTTGCCGTACCTCAACCTCTTCATCAAGCCGCCCAGGAACATCTTACTGATGACCGCTGCCACTAACAACCGGTTGGGGATCAAGCAACAGACGACGTAAGCCATAAGTAACCCAAAACAAAAGAATAGCGTTTTGCGGGGATGCTGCCACGTACATAACGCCAGGAACCTTTCCAACAACCCGGCGATCCACAGGATGTCATCTTGCGTGCGCTTCATGGTCCGCGTCACGGACTTGTACTGCCCGACGTACCCTTTCTTGCTACCACCCTCTTGCGTCGCGGGTTCGAGTAGCGTCCTACAGAGAGCCTGCTCCGAGCGCCAGTCGGCCCAGGGCCGGATGGTCTGGGCCCGCGTCGTCTCGACGCGCAGCGAGAGTCTTAGTCTTAAAGCGCCAAAAGTTTCTCCCTTACGAGGAGCTTTGGTGAGCCCCTTCTTCTTCAGGTGATCATGTAAGGCTTTGTCTTTGACCTCATCGCCGGACGGCTCGATGGCGTACCAGCCCTCCACACTCTTGTTCTTCGCTCGAGCGACATCCCTTAAAGGTATACTGACCCTACCTAAGAAATCATCTGAGGACGCCACGTCTCTGTCATAGACGTCCACCAATACAGAACCCTTGCAGCGCCGCCAGGGCACCAGCGTCTCGACGACACCGCCACTGTCGACCTCCTGCAGCAGGGGATAGTTCCAGGCCGCCTCGCTGGGGGCGTGGCCGGGCCGCCACTTCGCGCGAAAATCTATTGCTGGTGCTTTCACATGTCCATAAACAGCTAATGCGGCACCTGATAACTTCGAAGCGTCTCGCGACTTGTTTGCTTCACTCACATCGGCTATGAGCGTGCCTTCACTGTGTAGACCAGGCGCAATGAGCGAGAAGATCTGATCCAAGTGCGAGTCGGCCGATAAAGCTCGCCCGACTTTGGGCCTTTCTAGTTCGTCCTCCTCTTCCATCTTCTGCAGTCGGTCGACACCTCGGCCGAGCCACTCGGGATTGAGCGTTTTGAGCTTGGCCGCTGAAATCCCAACAATGACGTCGGCCAGGCGATGCTTATTCTGAGGTGGTTTATGTACCACAACAACGTACGGATCCGACGAGGGGTTCTCCGAAAAGGCCGCGTCGCCGGCCACGAGATTGCGACCCTGTAGAACCGCGACAGAAACCTCGGCGACCGGCCGCTTGATCGCCGAGACCTTATCTCGCTGGAAGTAGTCCTCCGTGCCCACGTGGCGCGCTTTCGGTAAGCCTGCGAGCATCAACGCCAACAGAGCGAAGGGAGCAATGCTCAAAGCGGCGTGCTCCGGCGGTAGCAACAACCCGGCCATGAGGAACACGTACGCTACTAATGATTTCCCGAGGTGTCTACAAGCGACCAATTCAAAAAAGCCCTTCTGGTAGTCTTTTAGTTGATCACTGGCGGCCGCTAAACGAGTCATACCTCCCGTCAGTAAGTCCGTGCGAAATTCGTCGTGCTCGTCCCGCGCTTCGTACCTCGGTAGGGCGTGCGCCACGGCTAGCAACCCTTCGTCGTACCGCAATTTACAATGCAATAGAGCTCTCACCTTCAAGGGACCGACGTCCTCCTTTTCCGCCTCGTGGTCCGGCTCGGCGACGCGGTCAAACAGCGCGTACCAGCGCCAGCCCGACCGCGGCGCCGTGCCGTCCGGCGCGCGCGCCGGCCACCACGGGTCGAACGCGACGTCACCTTCTAGGGCCGACGCGGCGGCCGCGTCGCGCCGATGCGCCCGTATAGCATGCGTCGCCCTCCTCAACGCTTGGGCCGGCCTTAGGACACACCCGACGTCCGAGGCTGCGGATTCGGCTCGCAACTCGAACAACGTAGAATGTCGGACAGCAAAGGGCTCCTTGTGATGGTCCTCGCCAACCAGCGCGTCGTACAATTTAGAATTCGCCTTCTTCACCTTTTCCGAGTGCTTCGCCCGCAAGGTTTCCGAGGCTCTTTCTAGGGTAGTGTCATCTTCGCCGCCGAACCAGCGCTTGGGTTTGGACTCTTTGGCCGCTCGCGCGGCATCGGCAGCCGCTATGGTCGAGGGTACCACTCGTAACTCGAACTGGTTCGACGTCTGGTAGACCGGCAGGGACGCCCGCAGCTTCAAGGGACAGAAGCCGACGTCGTTAAAAACGCCATCGAGGTTCTCGTAGATCAACTCGGGCCGCTTTTCGATCTCTTGGGGCGGCGACGAGAAGACGTGGTCCCGGAACTGGAACTGTAAACTACAAGCCTCGGGCTGGCTCATGACGTAGGCGCCGTCGCACTCGATCGACAGCGTGCCGACGCGTGTTTGTCTTTTCCCGTGTTCTTCCACTATGGTTCTTAAAGTCTTCACCCACTCATCTCTTTGTTGTTTGGAATCTAACCGAACTTCTAATCGGCGAGAGCCGTGCTTGAGCAAGAATTGAGTGTCTTCCGTATTTTCGAGGGACGTCTCGCCTCGTAAATCAATAGCTTCCGCGGCGGAACCAACAGCATCGTATTGATAGGGGCCCTCGTCGTTCCGCGTCGCTTTGATGGCCGTCAAATGATCACTATAATACTTGAGCTGGTAGCCCTCGATCCTGAAATACCTTTCCTTCCACGCGCCGTACCTCGTTCGTCGCTGGAGGAAGCCGTCCATCGCGGGGGGCATGGTGCCTTTCTGGCGTGTTGTCGCGTCTGTTGTCGCGTCTGTTGTCGTTTCCGCGGCTTGCGCGACGGCGTCGTGCCACGCTCTCGGGGGGAGGGAGCCGTGGCCTGCTGCGTTGCTCGCGCGAGCGTGCCCACGCACTGGTCACAGCTCGGTAGATTCCCTGAGAGAATACAGATCTCTCTTGGCCGTCTATGCAGGCGAACAAGCAGAGACCCAGGCCGCAGATTTTAGGAAAATAAGTGTGTCTTAAAACGCTAGCTAATTATTTTGGCCAGCTCGCAGCGGCTCTACAGCAAAGGCACAGCAGCATATTGTGTGACAGATAGCGGTGCACAAGTGCTGTCGTAATTGCGCGCCTCGCTGTCTCGCTGGCCGCCAGCGATCTAGGCGGCAGCGGCTTGTGCAAAGCCCATCAGGTGGTGCAGCTGTGCGCAGCACACACGCGGCCGACGCGACGGGTGAAAAACACGACGAGCGAAACACGCAACCATGGGCAAGATCGGCGAGTTCCTCAACAACAAGCCCTGGCATCCTTCCTCAAGACAGAACCAGACGCTGCTCTTCGAGGCCGAGGAGCGGCAGCGCGAGGAGCAGCAGCGTTTGGAGGAGCGCCAGGAGGAGCTCAAGCAGGAGCGCGCGCGGGAGGAGTTGGATGCCTTACTGCCGAACCGCGGCGGCGCGAAGCCGGCGGGCATCGATTTTATGTACAAGGCTCCGACCGGCACAAATACGAGTGGCGCGGCGCCGCGCGCGGGTGCCGCCGACGAGGCCGCTTTAGCGTTTGAAGCGCGGCGGCTCGCGGCGGCGCGGCGGAAAAGAGGCGAGCCCGAGCCGCTTGTCGAAAAGGCGCCGGAGCCGGAGCCACCGGAGCCGGAGCCGGAAAGACCGTCGGAGACCTTCGATGCGCACGCGGAAGCGCGACGCGTCGATCCTGCGGAAAGACAAAGGAATTTGACGTCGGCGGCGATCGCGCAGACGGCCCTCGACGCGCGGAACCGCCTCGTGCTCAAGGCCGCGGCGACGGCCGCCGTCGCGTCCGACGGCGTCGTGCGGGCCCACGGCTCGGCGAACGAGGGCTACGCCCTGCTGGATGATGACGAGGAGGAGGAGGACGCGGACGCAGCGCTGCTGGCGTCTTTATCATCTCGCGAGAAGCGGGCGCTGCTGAAGCGCCTCGCGGGCGACGATGATGCGCGGCCTGCGAAGAAACGCAAGAAGAAGCACAAGAAGAAGTCCAAGAAGAAGAAGAAACGCAAACGCTCGTCGTCGTCGTCGTCGTCGAGTAGCTAACATGTCTGTTGTACATCTTACACAACCACACCCCTACTGCGCATCGCCTCCGAGTACCCCAAAAACCGCGCCCGCACGGCGTCTCCATCCAACCCGTACTCGCCGAGCGAGTATACGTGGGACGACGACCGCGACCGCGTCGCCAGATGCGATTCCAGCGCTCTTTCAAATTGGGGAGAGACCGTCAGGTCGCACGCCGCGTAGACGCGTTTGACAGCAGCGACCGGGTCCCTGACCAGGTCCGCGTAGGCCACGTCGCAACACGCAACATCCAGCGCCCGGTCGCAGGCCGCGCCCCAAAAACTAACCTGCTCCCGCCCGATCGCCTCCAAATCTATTGGACCGGTCTCCCCCATGTCCGCGAACGTGCGAAACATGGAGCAGAGCGACGGGATCGATTCGCGCGGGTCGCGGTGCGTCCACACTATCCTAGCGTCGGGGAACTCCTTCAGGAGGTCGGAGACGTAAGGTAAATGAGCGGGGCACTTGAGCGCCCAGCGCTTGTTTTCTCCTTTCTCGGCGGCGAGGAACTCGAGCTGGCGTTTGTAAAGGGCGTAGGCTCTTTGGAGCGAGGGGAAGGTGCCATTGGCAACGCAGTGCCTTACCAAATGGCGGAACGTCGGCGGGAGTAAAGGCACGTCGACGGACAACGCCAACAGACACTCCTCGGCTTCTCGGGCACCTAAATCGTGGATCTGTTCCAAATGGGGCACGAGGCGCTTCATCAGATTCAATTTCGAATCCCAGTACTTGACGCGCTTGTGCAGAGGTCTCTGGGACAGCGGATCCAGCAGCTCGTGCGTCTCCGGGCACCTATTGGCAGGATCCAACGCCAATAAGCGGTGCAGGAACGTCGTGCCCGTGCGCGGCAGGCCCATTACGACGATAGGTGCTCGCGGCACGAATCGCGGGTCCGGCTTTGACTTGGCCCTGTCAATGACTTGCAGCCTCGTCATGAGTCTACGCATCAGATAGTCAAAGGCAATTAATCGCCCGACGGGCGTCGGTTGTGTTTCGTTCAGCCTAGCTACCGCTACTTCGTACAGGCCCGGGAAGGACTCGTCCCGCGCCCAATCTGAGAGTTTCGTGCGTCGTTCGGCCTCGGCCATCAGTCGTGGTAGAGACAGCGGCCAGCGCAGCATCTTGCCCACGCGCGGGACGCTTATGCCGCAGCAGTCCTGCAGTAAGCAGCTCGGCCAGAGCAGCGCGTTTAATGCTCGGAGCGTCCAGGACTGGCGCACCGGTACCTTGTATTTGTGGCGAGGTCTCATCGCGTACGCCGCCGCGGCGGCCGCGGCGACGGCGTAGGGCCACCACATGATTGCTGCGCTGCTCCCGTAAAGTGGCTGAGAGAGGCAGTGGTGGTTTTGCTCTGCTCTGGCCGAAGAGCTGGGTTTTTCGAGACGTTTGCAGCGCTGCGATCACAGCGACGCCAGAGCTACGCGCGTAGGCTGCGTTAGCCGCCGTCGTCGTCGCGCCGCTTCCTAGTGTCTTACAGTACGCTAGCTGCCCTTTTCGAGCCTGGCGTGCTTACGGGCACCAGGCTGCGAATAGATCATATTCCAGTACGCCTTCGCACCGCACGACCGTCCCGCATGCGAATAAGGCACTGCCTGCTCTGCACACTGCTGCGCACCCAAGCACTCACCATGTCCAGCTACCTGACACCGCTCACGAACAGTCAGACGGCACCGCTCATGTTCGAGCCCATCCACGGCGAGGAGGTCTATTGTGCCAAGGACCCCTTCCAACAGATAACTCTTGTCGACGACGCGTCGATCGACTGCCGCGAGCACGCGATGGTGCTCTTCATCAATCGACGGACGAGGTGCATATTGCTGGAGGTGCCGAATGCTGTGGGGTGGAAGCTCCACTTCGGCCTGGCGCTTTCGAAAAACGAGGACGTCGATGCGCGGGTGGCCGAGGCGGTGGCGGCGTCGGGCGTCAAGGTCGAGTCGTGCGTGCGCACAGGAGTTATGTTGTTTACGTTCCGGGACTGCTCCGAGGAACCGATGCGCGTTTTCGTATATGAAGCTTCGGTGGACGGCGGCCAGGCGGTGGGCCTCTTCCACGCGCCGGAAGAAATACCCTACGATCGGATGTGGGCCGACGACCGGGTCTGGCTGCCCCACGTCCTTGAAGAAGGGCCCTACTTCTTCTCGGGCCATTTTGTTTTTAGCGGGCCGCCGCCGGGGAAGTTGGTCGCGCACAACTGCCGCGGCGAGCGGGCCGGGGGGCTAAGCTTCTGGGAATGATGGTATGGCTCTGTATAACAATCCTCGGTCTCGTCGCGTTGACCCCGGGCCGCTGAGCGGATGCTGAGCTCAGCCAGTTTGAGAGGCTCTGCGGTGTTTGCACACGCGTAAGCTCGCCGCAGACGCATAATTGCGGCCAGCTCATCTTCGCTACACGGTCGCTGCGTTGTTGCCGTCGCGCTGTGCAAAAATCAGCTCTCTGAGCGTGCGCACGCAGAGCACAATCAGTCAGCACAATCAGTCAGCACAGCAACTCGTCATCATGCATGCGCGAACGTGGTGTCTCTTACAACTGGCGGCCGTGATTGATGCCGCGGGCAGTGGCCGGCCAAGCCCGCGCCCGCGCCCACGCCCGTCGCCGACGCCGAAGCCCACGATGCCGCAGCCAACTACGCTCGCGCCGACGACCGTCGCCGCCTCGACTTGTCGGAGCACCATCGCCACCGCGCCGACGCCGTCTCTGTTGGTAGCGAACTACTCGTCGATGGAGGACGCCTACGACAACGTGCAGCACGGCCACGCCACCTACGAGTGCGCAGAAATTTTAATAGAGGAGCTGCAGCAGTACGACAAGGCCGAGCCCTACCTGTGGTGCGTCCTAGACCACTGCGCCGGCTGCGACGTCAATGGGATGTGCCCGACGGCGTACCTGAGCCTCGAGACCACCTCCAAGTGCGAGAGCGCGGTCTGGAACTATCTGGGCTTCGTGAACCGCAAGAAGGCCACGCCCGACTACGACCACGCAAAAACGTACTACGACAAGGCCCTGGAGCTGTGGCCCGCGAACTGTGGGGCCCTCTCCTACATGACGGAGCTCCACCTGACCTTAAATAATGCGACGGCGGCGCGCGCCACGCACGCGGACTTTTGCACCGCATGCGACGGCCCTTCGGAAGACGCCGTCGCGGCGCTCGGGCGCTGCCCGACGCCGGCGCCCTCGGACGTCGTGGACGCGGCGCGGCGCCGGGGCCCGACGGTGTTCGACGGGGTCCTCATGGTCCTGTCCATAGCGGTCGTCTTCTATCTCCTCTCCTTCATGGCCTGCGAGCCGCCCGGCTGTGGCCGCGACCCGAAGCCTTTCCGGGGGGACAAGTGGTAGTGAGCCACCAGCTTTTTGTGTAAATATGAATGATGTCAACTTAAAGACGAGAGGTCGATCCGCCCCGTGGCAACGCCGTACGCGAGCGGCACGAGATAGAACGAAAGTATGATCGCGGCCGGGATCGCGTGGCCGATTGTCGTGAGCTCCGTCGCTTCGACCTCCCAGGGGAACTTGAAGGCTCGGCCGTATTCCCCGTCCGTGTAGATCTCCCAGTCCGTCATCTCCGAGCGCTTTTTCGTGCCGTCGGCGCTCATGGGCTCCTTCTGCGCGCGCGGGCGCGTCGCGGCGGCGGCGCGGGCGGTCGGCGGCGGCGCGAACGCGGCGGTGGTGCTGCACACGGCTAAGACGGCTAATACGGCGCGCACCATCTGCGTGCTTGGCCTGCCTGACTTGGATTCGCCGGTTCCGCGGCAAGAGCAAGCTCGATTTTTGCGCAGTCGGCGCAACTCGTCGAGATGGTTGCACGGTTTGAACTGCGTGAGGAATGACTGCCTCAGCGCTTCGCAAAAACGCCTCAAAGCTTGGATGCTGGCAGGGCTAGTGTGTTACAAGACGCTAGCGTGATCATCCTGGATCAATACCGCGCTATTGGTCGCCCGCAAGAGGATTCGCGAAGGCTCGCTACGTGCAGCAGATTTATCGTGTCGTGCGGGTTCGATTAAGTTGTTGTGAAGCGCACGGGCGGAACGGACACGAATCCGCCTCGCGCCGGCGCGCGGCTGCACGTGCGACACGTGTAGTACCTACTAAATCCATCAAAAGCTGCCCGCGCCCGGCGTCGCAGCGTGCGACCGCGCACAACACCGCCTAACCGTAGGAAGGGCTGCCCCGTGATCAGAACGATGGGCTGCTGCTGCCCCGACAACACAGAAAAGAAGGCGCAGTCGCGCGAGGAACGGGCCAAGGAGGCCGCCGCGCGGAAGCGGGAGGCCGCGCGGAAGGCCGCGAAGCGGAGCGCCTTTGCGTTTCGGCACGACTGGCGGCAGTCCCTCAGACAAAGCATGTACGCCTTTGGAGTGATGAGCTTGCTGTGTCTCTGGGGCTACCACGACCGCGATTCGTGGTATTTGCGATTTGTTGCTGCCTTATGTGTCTGGATTGCGTATATTTTGCTCGTATTGGAGGGTCCTTGTTTACTAGGATGGGCCTTTACGAAGATCGGGCAGATCGTGGACCCCAGCGAAGGAGCTAAAATAGGCGCTGTCTTAATATCGCCCTGGATTGGTAGAGACGCGGTCGGCGGGTCTCCGCGACTCCATATCGTGTTCACGTTGCTCGGATGCGCGATGACGGACGTAGAGATCGAGAAAGAAAGCAGTTACGGCTTCGTGGGCTGGGCTGATGCTGTACATATTCGCATGTCCCTGGACTGGAGTGACGTCACTGCTGTCTATGCGATGGTTTGTGATCAGATACGACGGTATCGTGCAAAGCAACCGATGCGCGATGTTATATTGAGGATCGACGAGATCCGCGTGCAGAAGGCGACGGGCGTCATGGAACTCGTAAGGGGCGAACTTAATTATAGGTTATTCAAGCGACGCGTGGCCGAAGATGAGGTAAGGCAGCATTTTGAGCGCGTACCGAATTACTTGAAATGTTCCATAATAGCCTACGAGCACCTGTCCACGCAAAGGGTGCGGCCGACCATCGAATGTGTATTGCGGGAAAGACGGTTCGAGACGACGCGAGGCACGAAACAGGGGCCCGGCGAGGCCTCGGCCTGGGCTGCTGTGTTTGAGGCGCCCGCGCCGGACTGCGCCGCGGTCCTGGAAATCGCGGCGACGCCGAATCAAGGCAAGAATTATCATTTTGGCGACTGGGGCGTCAAGCTCCAGCACTTAAGAAGGATGGCTTCAGTTGTAGAAAAGGGTACTGGTAAGTTCGCAAAATTACCGGAGAAGCTCTGCCGCTTCTATGGGTTGAGGAAGGCTCAGATTGCGTGGGGTGCTGATTACGTGCGATTACGAGGCAGGTGCGAACTGCGCTCGGCGAAGGACCCGGAAGTGGTCCAGGGCTTGGTGCGGTTTGATTTGACGTGGTCCTATGAAGCAAGAGCGCCCGACGCTCTTCAAGAGTTAGCAGTGTTCCAACGAGGCGCGCTAGATCAGTACCTGACCTACTCGCACGAAAAGGCCGTCATGTACCGGGCACAAACAAATGCGGACCCCTACCACGACCCCATGAAGGTCGCGTGTGCGGGGTTTCGGATTGAGGAGTTAAGGATTCAGTTGGACGCGTTCTTTGAGCATGTTGACGAGCACATCGAAGAGTCCAATGTGCATAAAACGGCCGCCAAGGAGAAACTACTCGAACTAGAAATGGAGACGGACGCTAGAATAGCGGCCCAGAAGGAGTTGGAGGACAGCGAGTTCGTCAAGGATTCGTTAACGTTGGACGCCGGTTGCAGAGACACAGAGGGCCGGATCCAGGGCAAGACGGCCTGGGACTTTGTCACGGACGTCGAGAATGATGCAATTGATCAGTTGACGAGAGATTGGGGATTTAGGGGGGGCGTGCTTACCGGTGCGACGCGGTACTACAAGCGGAAGGTCGCGCGGGACTGCTGCTCGGACTTTTGTGCGAAAGAAAGAGCAAGAAGACGTAGGTGCGCATACAAGTGGCGAAGATGTCGGTACGACTGCCTGTTCTTCTGGAAGTGCTACAAGAAGTCGAAATACGTCAGTCAGCGAGATGTTGGTTGTTTGTCCGAAGGGACGCTGCGGGTCGAAGGGTTACTGTTGAAGAGGCGCGCGACGAAGTGCTGCTGCTGCCGGGAATCGCGGTGGCGCCTCGTCCACGCGGCCATAAGGGACGACGTCCTCTACTACGCGCCGCGGTGCGCGGGCTGCGACGTCGGGACCACCAAACGGCTACCGTTGCACTGCGTGTCGGCGAAGTACTTCGCGCAGAAGGGCATTTTGAGGTTGACCGTGAAGAAGGGCGGCGCGGGGCGGCCCCGCGGCATCGCCTTCGACTTCGCCGTGCCCTATACTCAGAGCGGCCTGCGGGGCCTCGCGCCGGCGCCTCCTTATAAACCGGACGCCGGCGAGATCCGGCCCTGGCACGACGCCGTCCGCGACGCGAAGTGCGACGCGCTCTCGCGGGAGGAGGGGTAGCGCTATCACTAACTACACAATTTAAGATTTCTTCACAACACGGCACGCCAGCGCCAGACCGCACAGCCGGGCCGCCGCGACGCGGTGCCGGCTCCCGGCGGCCCAGGCGCCGTTCGCGAGGCGCCGGACGGGCACGTCGCCGAAGCGCTCGCGCCGCGCGGCGGCGTCCAGGCCCGCCATGACCTCGGCGAAGTGCAGGACCTTGGGCCAGACGGGCGCTTCGAGGTCCCGCGTGCTCGCGAGGCGCTCGGGCCGCACCAAGGTCCGCGCCCCGTCGAGGAACGGGTCGGCGGCGACCTCGGGCGCACTCACGCCGGCGCGTGAGAGGAGCGGCGCCGCCCTCTCAAGATCGAGCGCGACGCCGGCTCCGCCGCCGCGGCGCGCGACCACGCGTCGATCGACGCACGCGCACGCGATAACGACCTCGAGCGACTCCGCGGCGACGCGCCAATTGTCCAAAACGTCGACGACCGGCACTGGGGCGCCGCCGCGGTAGGCCCTCGCGTGGCGGAGGACCGCGGTCCAGTCCACGCCGGCCGCGCCCGCCGCGTGGCAGGCGCTGTTCCGCGCGTCGAAGGCGAGCTGGGGCGGCAGCGGGCTACTGTCCTCATCATCCTCGGCGACGCCGGCCGTCCAGCGCAGGTGGCGCAGCGGATGGCACTCGACTAGACCGTCGTCGAGGCGCGCCGGCGTTTGCTCTCGGAGCGCTTTGAGGTAGTCCTGGCACGGCCGTTTGCCCCAGGGCAGCGGGGCCATCGCTGCGGCGGCCTGCAGCGCGAGCAAGCTGTGGGCGTGCCGCATGAGACTGGTGGCTTGCCCGCAGCGGTGCAGTGTGCGCAGGCTCAATGGAGAGGCTCAGGGCCAATCTCAGGAGCACTCTCGCGGGTGAAAGCTGGCACGCATGGGTCTGGTGTTTATGAACGCATGTTAAGCGGGCCAGCGTGCATGTAGCAGGCGATAGACGATGCAGAGCGACGCCGTCTCGTTTTAGCTAGTGTCTTACTGCCGCTAGCCTCTCCGCGGCGCGGGCTTGGACCTCCTAGCCAGGCCCTGGCGTCGGTAGAACACCTGGACGCTGCGTTTCTCACTTAGCTCGAGGACTGCGCTCGCCGGCCTCACGCGTAGGCACAGCAAAGGCCCCAAATACAAAAAGCCCCAAAACATGGCAGCGCTCGCAGCACCGCCGCCGCCGCCCGACGACGGCCAACAGCTCGTCGAGGAGGCCCTCGGCCGCGCCCTCGACGCCGGCAAGACGGGTCCGGAGTTATTGAGCGCCCTCCACGCCGCGGCGCCGCATCTGGAAATGGCTGCGATGCATTCGTTGCTGGAAGATTATAAAGCGAAGGAGGACGCGAAGCTCTTCGACCTCGTCGCCGAGAACTACCGCGACTTCTTCCGCATCGCGACGTCCGTGGAAGGCTCGGCCGAGGACGCCGCGGCGACGCAGGCCGCGTTGCTAGCGCTGGAGGGCGAGGCCTCCAAGGCCGCGGCCACGGCGGGCGTCGAGCAGGCCAAGCTCGAGGAGGAGCTCGCGAAAAGACGCGAGAAGCGCCGCGAGGACCGGGAAAAGGATAAAGTGAAACGCTTCGCGAGTACTTTGAGCGACCTCGAGAAGAGATTGGCGGATACGAACGTCGACGTCGAGCGCGCCACACATGACGCGCTACATCTCCGGGCCGCGCTGGACGGCGCCGTCGACGGACTGCGCGACGGCGACCGCGTGAGCTTCGTCCAGGGCTGCCGGGACCGCGTAGACGCGTGCGCTTTGAATGTCGCCCAGAAAATCGACGACGAGTTCGCCGCGACGTGCTGCCGCCTCGGCAAAGCTCAGAGCGACGAGCGCCTCCGGCGCGTGCTGCGCGCCGCGGCGGCGCTCGGCCGCGGCCCGCAGCTGGAGGCGTTCTTCGGCGAGCGCGTCCTGGACGCGTTCGTGCGCGCGACGTACACGCGCGGCCGCCTGGACGGCGTGGAACGGGGGAGTCGGTCGGGCCTGCCCACCATGTACCGCGCGACGCTGGAGTTCGTCGAGGAGCGCTGCGGCGCCGCGCTCCGAGCGTGCGAGGTCGCCGCGCGCGGCGTCGACGACGACGTCCTGGGGTTAAGGGGTGTCCCCGGCGCCGTCGAGCGCGAGGCGCGGAAACATAAGAGGAAGCCGCCGCCGCCCGGGTCGTTATTAGGCGTCGATTTATTGTGCGAGGGCGTCTGGCGCCGCGTCTGCGCGGCTTTATTAGAGACGCCGGAGCTGTCCGGGTTGTTTGACCTCGGCGACGCCGACGCGGCGCACCGGGCCGTGGCGGCCACGGATTCGTTTCGCGAGGGCCTCGCGGCGATCGCCGGTCGCGGGGATCGGGACGCCGAGAGGCATGCGAGGCGGCGCCTGAGGGGCCACGCGAAGACGGCCGAGCTAGAACAAAGGTGGAACCTGCCGGTCTACGTCGAGCTCGTCCGGGCCGATTTGATCCAGGCAGTCGACGGCGCGTTGGCTAGTGAGGAGGACGCCGCGCCCGCGTTAATCGGCGCCGTCGAGCGCTGCTGGGCCGGAGACCGCTTCCTGCCGGCGGTCGGCGACGCCTTCGGCGCGCTCGCGCTCGAGCTCGCCCAGCGCGGCGCGACGGGCCTGGCGGCGCGCGCCGCGCGAGCGGAGGGCCACGACGCGCACGCGCGCTGTTCTGTGGACTGCGGGACGTTCTCGGCGCGCATCCGCGCGACGCTCGCGAGCGGCTTCGAGGCCCTGCTGGACCTGAGCCTCGAGGACGCGGCGTTACTCGCTGCGGGCTGCGACGAGGCGTTGGGGGCCTGCGACCGGACGGTCGAGGAGTGCCGCCGGGATTCTGCGGACGGTCTCGTGAATGTGATTGATGGCCGACTGGCGGCCTGCAAGGGCGTCGCCGCGCGCTACCACCTGACGGGCCAGAAGCCGCCGTCGGAGCCGTCCTCCTACGTCGCGCACGCCGCGGAGCCCCTCGCGCAATTCTACGAGACGTGGAGCGCGCTGCTGGGCGACGCGCAGCCGGATCGAGCAGAGGTGTCGGAACGGTGCGCCGTTCATCTGGAGACGCGCGCTTTGGCCGTCTTGGACCACGCGGCCCAATTCGAGACCGTCATGGCCAAGCGCGGCAACACGGCGTCGCTGGCCGAGGACTCGCGGAAGATCGCGGCGCAATTGCAGCTAGATGTGCGGGCGTTCTGTGGTTTGGTCGGCGTGGACTACGCGTCGATGGACCGCGTGTCGGGCGCAATCGAAGCGGTGCTTTCGGCACAAGATGGGTAACATATCAAGTAGGACTCGGACGGGATTACCCTCGCCCCCAGCCCTCATCCTCCGAGTCGTCGTCGGTCGGCGCGCTCTTCCGGGCAGTCGTTTCGATGAGGCCCGGGAGCGGCTGGGCGCCAGGCATGGGCTGCTCGGGCGTCCGGTTCCACCCGCGCAGAACTGTAGCGGCCGGCGTCGGCGCCGGACTTTTGCGCTCCCAGCGGTCGGCGCCGCCGAGCGACGCCGGGCTCGCGGGGGAGGCGTCGCGCCGCCGCGGTCCCGGCGGAGACATCGGCGGGCCCGACTCCTTGGGTTTCGTGGCGGCCGGCCGTCCACTACGCGGTATCCCTTAAGGGTCTTCGGCGCTTCAAAGAAGCCAAGGCACTGTTGCGCAAAACAATGCCCGTGGCGCGCCGTAGTCTCGGCGAGGGTCATATCACCACGCTCAGGTTAAGGTGGGTTTACGCGGAGGCGCTCTACAAGGACGACGACGCCACGCTCGACGATCTCCGCGAGGCCGTAACGACGCTCGAGGACTCGGAACGGACCGCGCGGCGCGTGTTTGGCGGCGAACACCCGCTCGCAGCGGGAATTGGGCTATTCCTGAGTGAAGCGCGGGCCGCGCTCCGCGCCCGCGAAGCGCCGGCCGCCGCGTAAGAAGAGGTATATGTCATAAGTTATACGAGACGAGCGAAAGGCCTATGCCCCGAAGACGTCCTCCTCGTCCTCCGAATCATCGAGATACTCGACGCCGTCGTCATCGTCGTCGTCGAAGTCGTCCACGACCAATCCGATCTGCTTCCTCCTATTTATTTCGTCCTGCGGGATGCCGATCAACGACATGGAGTTGCGCTTGTGGACGTAGTGGTTCCGGTAGTGTGGGCTTCGAGTGATCACTTGGATCTTCTCGACGTCGATGAGAATGCAGCCGCAGGACGCCGCTCTACCTTGATGATGATCTTTCGAGGTGGAGAAGACCGTGAAGACCTTGGCGCCTTTTGAGAGCGACACGCCGTGCGCGTGCGCCTCGTGAGCTCGCACAATAAAGGCACAGCCCGTCTCCTCCAGAAACGCCTTGATCGCCGCGTGGCCGAAGCAGACCGTGCCTCCACCTCTAAGACTTTCGCCGAAACCCGTCTCGTTGAGATCTGGTTCCTGCTCTTCGACGGCCGGATCGCTCCACAGACACTCCGAGGCCATCTGTTGTAAATCGGCGTCGATCGAATTGTCGGGCGGGTTGATCGTTATGACATGAGGTACCATGTCTAGCAACTCTAGTCTCGTTTTCTGGTCGGCGTCCGCGCAGAACGGTCTCGGCCCCGGCGGCGGCCGCCGCGGCATCCCGCCGTGGACACAACAGATCTCGTCGTCAATCACCGCACACAACGGCAACCGGTCAAAACACGCATTCACGCCCTCCCAGACGACCGGACCCAACTCATCCCCGAAGCGATGCTTGCACTGCCACAGAAAACTTCTGTCGCCGTAGTGCTCCTCCCAGCCATTTACATCTCTAGTTTCATGGTTGCCTCTCAATAACCAGACCTTCTGCGGTTCGAGACATTTCAACGCTAATAGATAAGCTACCACTTCCAATGACGACAATCCTCTATCTACGTAGTCTCCTAGAAATAACAATTGGCCTGCCGTCAGAGAAACTCCGAGCTTCCAGATGTGGTCCGAGAAGAAGTGGAGGTCCTCCAGGTTGCCGTGCGTGTCGCCGAAGACGTAGGCTGGACTTTCTAATCTCAGAACTCTAGGTTCCCGTTCAAAGCGTCTCCCGGCTTGTCTCGCGAGGTTCAAGATGTCATCAGCAAATTGGCTACTCCCAAGATACTCCGTGTGTTCGCTCCGCAACGGCTCCCGAAATACGGCGACGACGCGAGTAGGCAATTCGAGGGAGAACCCGGCGGGTCGAGGGGTCGACGGCATTTGCTTGAGAACCGTAGCCGTGCCGATGGAAGCCTGTCTCGAGATCTTGTTCCGCGTGATCCGCACGTTCGCCGACCCGTCGCCGCCCTCGTCCTCCTCTACGGTATGCATGATGCTATCTCTGAGTAAATGCCTCCGCCGCTTCTCCGCGGTTCTTTTAGGTCGGCCCGAGCCCAGTGAATTGCTCCGGCGGATGGGTCGCTTCTGGCTGCGTAACCGATCTAATTCCGCTCGTAGCTGCGAGTTCTCCTGTTCTAATTCTTGTACTCGATCTTGACCCGCGTGGCGCGCTCGTCTCGCACTTCTTGTTGTGATCTGCGGGCTCTCCTCCGGGTTGGCCGCGTCGGGTCTCGTCTGGGCCGGGCTCGCGGCCGGCGAGCGGAAGAAGGTGCTCATCGTTTTTGGGTCGCGGCGGCTGGCGTGTGCCAAACTGCCAACTATCGAATTTGGCCGCCGGCTGATGCGGCGCGCGAGGAGCGCTGCTGCTGGAGGCCGTCGGAGTGTTCCAGCCGCTGCGCAGGCGTGCGCAAACCCCCTAGCTCGTGCTGAATTACAAAACCAGTAGTTCGAGCTAGCGTGCTGTAAGCCACTAGCAATCAGCAAGATTTCTCTTGAGAGGGACCAGTGCACCCCGGGGCGTCGTTCGCATGCGTATTTCACGCCCCGCAAGGCTTTGCGCAGCGGAGGGGCTGCAGTCTCCTGCATGCCAAGAGTACAAAACACAGGCCAAAGCACTCGCTGCGCGAAAGGAGCACAGCCAAGGGCTCTCAATTTATTGCCATTCCGACGACTGCTGCGAGCTGCAGCACTTCCGCCTCGCGAAACCCGCAGCACAGATCTGTAGCACTACTGCTGCAGGGCTGCACTGCTCACCACCCCGACGCCACGCCACTAGCCGTCGCCGCGACCCGCGCCACGGCACGCCGTCGCCGCGACACCCGCAAAACAAAAGATGAGCGCCGCCGCGCCGCGGCCGCTCTTCATCGCCGCGACGCGCCAGCACGTCGGCAAGACCACCGTCTCACTGGCTGTACTGAGCGGCCTCCGGAAGCGGTTCGGGGATAGAGTTGGCTTCGTGAAGCCCGTAGGCCAGCAACACGTGCCCGTCGGCGCCAAGGGTATCAGGGTCGACAAAGATGTCCAATTGATGAAGGAGTACTTTGGGCTGAACCACCTGAGATACGAGGACATGTCTCCGGTACTCGTACCTCGAGATTATACGAAGCGTTTCATTGACGGGGAGGTGTCGTCCGACGACCAAACCTCGAAAATTCAAGATGCGGTAAAACGCGTGCAAGAGACGTCGGACGTTTTGATTTACGAAGGCACGGGCCACGTCGGCGTCGGCGCTATTATTGATGCGTCCAATGCCGACGTGGCTCGTAGATTAGACGCGGATGTGGTATTGGTGGCGAACGGCGGCATCGGGAGCGCCTTCGACGAATTGGAGATGAACCGGGCCGTTTTGAAGGATAAGGGTGTTAGGTTGCGAGGCGTGGTTCTGAACAAGGTCGTACCGGACAAGGTCGAGCAGGTCCGAGATTATGTCGGAAGAGCGATACAAGAGCGGTGGGGCGTGCCTTTATTAGGTGTGGTGCCTGACTTACCCTTCCTGGGCAAGGCGACCCTCGGCGATTTAGAAAGGTTGCTCGACGGTGAACTCATCAGCGGACGACGGTACCGCGATTTGCATTTTGGGACCCAGGACTTAGCTTGTGTTACTACTGCGGTGCGACGATTCTTGCGGAAAACGCACTTCCGGCAAGCGGAAAAGAATGAAACGCGACCGTTGTTTGTGACACATTGTACCCGAGATGATGTTCTGTTAGCATTCTTAGCCTACTACAAAAGGTCAACAGTACCATTACCGGACGGCGTCATGGATAGGGATGGGTGGCTCGGCGCCATGGTTTTATGTAAAGGAGAGTGCGACATGGATCCGAAACAATCAGTCGAGGACAACACGCACCTACCTTATCTGGTCGACATCGCGCGGGCCTACGACGCGCCGGTCATGCTCACGAAGTTGGGTACGGTAGAAGCCACAAATGTGATGGCCAACTTCACGGCCAAGATGCACGTCGGCGATAGATCTAGGATACAAGCTGCCATCGACCACTACGAGCCGCACATCGACTTCGAGAAACTGCTCGGTTAGGACTGTTAACAACATACTGTAGTTAGTCAAGCCCCCCAAGGTCACTGGCCGTTTCTGAGCCCGAGTCACTGGCAGGGTACCACGAGCGGAGGCGTACGAATGGCTCGTCGTCGGGGGGCTGGGTGAGCATTGAACTTGAACTGTCGTCGAACGGGTCCTCAGTTCGGGGTTCTCCGGGCCGCCAGTTGGCCAAGAAGGCCTCGCTCACTCCGAGGCGTCGCAGCTGCGGGGCTATGGCGTCATGTATCATCGCGCGCCCAGCCTCGTTCGCGAGTTCCCTCCGACTAGCCCGAGTTCGCGCCGCCAGGGGGCGCAGCTGCACAGCCGCGTTATACGCGGCGAGCGCGGCGGCGGCACCGTCCGCGTGGAGCGCCTCCTGCTTCGCCTGTGTGTTTGTGCGAGTGAGCCAACCCCGAAAGTGGTCGACTCACTCGTATACTCGTGCGTGGCCGTGGTTACAATGCGATAGAGGACTCAGTCGAATGGCACAAAGTACCATTGTCCCTAACTCACTCTCAAGACTCGCCATTCAGGGGATAAAACCCGAAGTCACATAAGACGCGATCATCGCGACTCCTGCCCGGAGGCAGGACGCGAACGCCGCGAATCCACGCACCTGATTGTATGCCTTCCGCCGCGCCGCCGCGTCGCGTTGCCGTCTCCGCTTCTTCTTCTTGGCTCGCGTCTTCGCTCGTTCCGCGTCGCCGCGTGTCCAGGCGCGCCGGTGCGCAGCCTCAGCGTCGGCTTGCCGGACCATGGGAACGCAATACCAACGACCATTTTGCCGCCGACACCACATAATTCGCCGCCGACACCACGAATCCACGCCGGGGAGCTGCGCCGGTGTGAGGCGGTACCGCTTAAGTGCTTTGTACCACGGAATCATCGCGCACGCCGAGCACGGGTCCGCCTGTGCGAATGAATGTCAATAACTATTACTGACGCCGTCTCTGATGACACCGCACGTCACGCCGCGCCGCGTCGTTCGAAAGTGGAACTCCGGCCGGCGCTGGTCGAGGAAGCGATTGCACCGGAAGCAGTGATGCCGGCAAAGAGACTGCTCTAGGAACCGCCACGGCCCAACCAAACAATCGCGGGGGCGCTGCGTGCCGCGGCGCAGGGCTTTATCCAGGGCGAGGAACTCGGAGAACCGTTGGTGGCGAAAGCAATGATAAAAGCTCTCAGCACAACCCCCTATGAATGTCGATGGATGGTATAGATCCATGACATTACGGGATTTCCGCAACCCCATTTTGCGCAGGGCCTCGAGGGCGTTTAGGCCTCTGAGGCAGCTGGGCCGCGGCACCAAGTCCATCCTCGGGCCATTCCATCTTAGTTGTACACCACGCTCTGCTGCGGAAAGAGAGTATTCGTAGAAAGCAGCCAGCCCTCCGAGTCTCAGCGTGCGCACGTGCCGAGCCCGGAGGAGGACGCGCAGCTGGTGCGCGATATGATTTTTCTTTCCGTAGCGCGTTACCCAACTCAGGACGGTGTCTTCGCAGTGCTCGTTAAGCAGGAGCGTAGCCTCCCACCAGCGCTTGACCAGGCGTAATACGCGGGCGCGCGCGAACGCCTCACTGGCGTCGGCCGGGGCGAGCTGTTGAGACGTGCGCTTCGAGATGCGATGTCGCAGCGCGCAGCAGTCCTGGAGGCTGCAAAAGTCGGCGACGCACGACAGGGAGTTGGCATCCAGCCGGGGCAGCCCCACCGGGTGCCGCGCTGGCGCAGCAGTGCCACCACCGCCTCGCCGGCGGCCGCGGCGGCGGGCCATTCCTACGCGGTATGGGCAGCGCTGCGCGGGCAGCGATGCGGGCAGCTATACGCCGCTGGCCGCCGCATGCAACTTTTGCTAGTGTCTTACAGGCGCTAGCAAAATCGGCCACAAAGTCGCCCACTAGTCCTAGCACCGTAAGAATACTCCACCAAGTCCTTACACACACAAACTACGCCACGGCGAACCGTCCGCCGTCGACGCCGACGACCTGCCCCGTGATCCAGGACGCGTCCCCGGACAGGAGGAAGTCCGCGAGCGCCGCGAGGTCGTCGGGCTCGCCGAGCCGCCCGAGCGGGTGCGCCTTCGCGAGCGCCGCCGCGATCGCCTCCTTCTCCATCATCGGCGCGGCCATGGCCGACCGCGACAGCGACGGCGCGACGGCGTTGAAGCGCACGCCGCTCGCGGCGTACTCGGCGGCGAGCGCGCGCGTCAGGCCCTCGACGGCGCCCTTCGCGGCGCTCACGACGGCGTGGTTCGGGAGGCCCTGCTGAACGGCGATCGTCGAGAAGAGGACGCACGCGCCCTTGTTCTTTTTCAGAGGCTTCTCGATGGCTTTCAAGACTTCGACGGCGCTCAACGTGTTCAAGTCGAAGGCCTCGCGAAAGTCGGCCAACGACGCGCGCCGCACCGGCTTCAGCGTGATGCTTCCGGCGCAGTACGCGTACGCCGCGAGGCTCGACATGTCCGCGTCCGCACCCTTGAACGCCGCAGCAATCGACTCTGGCTCGGAACAGTCGGCGACGAGAATCGGCGCGTTGCCGTGCTCCTTGGCGAGCGCGTCCAGCTTGTCGGCCGAGCGCCCAACGAGGAGTGGCACGCCACCACGCTTCACAACGCGTTGCGCGAGGGCCCGTCCGACCGCACCGGTGGCTCCCACGATGGCGTGGGTTGCCGCCGCCATTTTGCTCTAGCTGTTTCGATTAATAGGGATCGATGCGCTGCTATGAGCACGCAAGTTGCAAAATTAGCTGGCAGGCTGCACAAACGCTCTCAGGCTGACCGAGCCCCGTGCGCAGCTCTACGACGGGGTGGTTGCCGTAGGCGTCGTTTCTCGTGCCCAATAGCACCACTCGACACGCTGCACTGGCAAACCGCGCGAGCCCGGCGCTGTGCACCACACCTAAGAGCCTTCAGCCATGCGCAAGCTTGCGGCCTACACCGTGGTAAGGCTCGCCTCGGCCCTCTCCTGGAAGCCGCCGCCGCACCGCGTCCGCGAGCTCTTCCCGGCGACCGCGGACGCGACGGCCCGCAACGCGGACGCGGACGCCGTCTTCGTCGTGACCGGCGCGAGCGGCGGCATCGGCTCGACGATCGTCGAGCAGCTCCACGAGCGCACGGCGGGGACGGTCTACGCGTGCTGCCGCGACCCGAGCCGGGCGCCGGCGCTGGACCGCGTGCGGCCCATAAAATTGGACGTTCGCGACGATGCCAGCATCGAGGCGCTGCCTGCGGCCGTCGGCGACCGCGTAGACGCGCTCTGGAACGTGGGAGGTGTGCTGCACGAGGGCGAACGGGGCCCGGAGCGGTCGCTCGACGCGGTCGACCGCGAGTGGTTGCTCAAAAGCGTCGACGTGAATTGCGCGGGCCCGATCCTTGTCACGAAGGCCCTACGGAAAGCATTGCACGCGGGCCGCCGCGGTGGTGCGAACGCGCGGCCGGCCTCCGTCGTCGCGAACCTTTCCGCGAGAGTAGGTTCGATCTCGGATAATGGTTTGGGCGGCTGGTACTCGTACCGCCTCTCGAAGGCCGCCCTAAACCAAGCGACCGTGACCTGCGCGCGCGAGTTGCGAAGGCAGCGCACAATCTGCGTCGCGCTGCACCCGGGGACGACGGACACGGGGCTGTCCAGACCCTTCCAGGCGCGCGTCGCTCCCGAAAAATTGTTTCCCGTCGAGTTCACGGCGTCGCAGCTCCTCGACATTGTGGATGGCCTAGAAGAGGACGACTCGGGGCGATTCATCGACTGGGCGGGTGTTGATGTGGAGTACTAGCCAGGTGTACTAAGATTAGATGTTGTCGCTAGCCCGAACGGCAATCTCGGAGTCGGCGACCGGCTCCTGCTCCCCGAACAGGAACGAGGAGAGCTTTCGCGTGAAGCCCGGGCGCTCGACAGCCGCCTCGGCCTCGGCCTCAGGCTCGGTCGTCGGCTTTGCGGCCGTCGCGTCGTCACGTGGCGATAGGCGCTGCGCCGCCACGACGGCGGTTGCGGCGGTCCGCAGCCGACGCGAGGCCGGCGGCGCGCGCGCGTCCGCGATCGCTCTTTCCACCTTCCAGGGGAAGTGGTCCGTCATGAGCGTCGCACTTACGACGAGCGAGTCGAAGTGGTCCCGTTCCGTAAGGAACGCGCTCACGTTGTGGCGCTCCTTTTGTTCTCTTACGAAATGCACAATACGACCGGGAACGCACAGTATCTGCGGCGTCCGCAGGTCCTCCCGCGCTTCATCTTTTAGCAGTTGACAGCAGGCCTCCGATAATGCTGAAGCTTCCTCATTATTCTCGTCCAACAGCTTATCACACACGGGGTACCGCGCCGCTAACGAAGCCAAAGCGCGCCACTTCGGCACTTTGCACTTGCACAAACCATCAACGCACGCGTCTCTGAGCCCAAAAAGCTGCGGGACACCAATCCGCGGTACCAAATCATCGGCCAAGACCGACGATAGACAAAACGCGTCCATGGCCCGAGCCGTGGCCGGGTCCACGAGCGTACCAGGCGACTCGTAGGCAACACAAGATACATCTCGTTGGGGCCGCGCCTTCGTGAGGAAGAAGGCCAATAGTTGGGCCACCCCGCCGCCCAACGAGTGGCCGACGCACACAATCGGTTCCGACGTCTTATCTAAATGAGGCAGGACCAATGGCAACGTATTGAACGCGATCGAGGCCATGCCGGCGTGGGCCCGGCCTTCCAATCGGGGCTCACGCTCGAAAGGGCATTCTTCGAAGCGGGGCTCCTGGAAGCTCGATAGGGCGATGTCGGCGCACGTCACGTCGCTCAAGCAATCCTCGAGGGACATGGTGCCCCGGCACGTTATGATAATCACGCCCCTCGCTGCGTCGTGCATGACGGCGACCGGCACCCTGGAATTCGGCGCCGCCTCGTTGTCGAAGAACAGTACTTTGGCATCTCTAGAATCGTAGTCGAGGGCAGCATCATCCAGATTGCCCTTGGAGCAGGGATTCAAACCCCGGCCGCAGGCCACGAGACCTCTACAGGGATTGCGCGCGCACGACATTTCGATGCCGTAGACCGCGAAGGCGTACGTCGCGAAATATTGGAGCGTCTCCAGTCGTTCATCGCTAGGATCGAGCTTGACGGCTTTCGCGTGGACTTGCGACCGGTAGGGCCACTTCTGGGCCCCCTGCTTCTGGCGCGCCCGCACCAGCGCCATACCAGCGACAAGATCGGAAGGCACGGCGTCCAGCGCGCCGCACCAGTCGCTCCACAGCTCCGCGACCTCCCACAACGCGGCGGACGCCTTGAGGCGCTTTCCCCGAGGCGTGCGGTCCGTATGCGTCGCGTGGTCGTCGGCGGGCGCCTTGCCCAGCAGCCCGCAGGCGCACCCCGCTATGACCCGACACGCGCAGTGGCAAAGGCTCGCCAGTCGTGCCCGGTCCTCCAGGGACACGTCGCGGAGCGGCACCTCTAGCGTTTCGCCGCGTCGCAGGGGCTCTCGCAACTTAGCTTTGCCGCCGTGCGCGTCCAATATCATGATTGCAAATATGCCCGTAGCCCCGTAGGCGACCGCGGTTAACGTAGCCGCGACCCTTAGCAGTACGAGATCGCCGCCTTCTCTTCTACAAGTTTCGGACCCGCCCCACCAGGCCGCCCACACACATAACCCGCCGAGCAGCAGCTCCACGGGAAAGCAGGCCAGTCCTATTTCCAGCAGCTTCCGGGCTGTTCTTCTAGCATCCCTCTGAAGCACCAAGCCTCGCGTAGAATCGACGGCGATGATAAAGGCGCCAACCGCACCGATCGCGCCGACGAACGCGACACACCCCAACAACGCAGCGAAGCCGTGCCTCACTTTACACTCGGGGTGGGACCTCGCTTCCACTTGTATGAGGTACACCAGCACCACCACGGCCCCGAACAGCCGCAGCCCCGCGAGCCACAGTGCGGGCAGGTGGAGGTCGTCGGAGGCGATGCGGTAGCGCCGCTTGAAGAGGACTAGTGCGGGCATCTTGGGCAGCCTGTCTCCGTCTCTGAGTTTTAGCGGCGGCGGATGAGCACTAATGGCATTGGGCAGCCCCTGAAGCTCCTCATCGAATTAAGCCATTCAGAAACGTGCGGGTTCGTTTGCGCTTGCGCGAGGGGTCTCGTGTGGGCGTACGCACGTGGTAGAAGGATACGTAAAGACGGGTCCGAGGCAACAAAACAGGTTTTCACCGCTTTGCACAGCCAAGTTTCCAAAGCCCTACGCGCGGCGTCGGCGACCTGGCATCGTCTCGGCCGCGTAGAGCTCGCCTGCGAGTCGGCCAGATACTTGTGATCCGCCGCGAGATCGCTCCACAGCGGTTTTGATCAAACTTGGCCAAAGGCAATTTTTGTCTTACTCGCTAATCAGCCGGCCCCAGCTTAACTGGGTGCGTAGGAAGAGGGGAGAAAGGAAGCATGGCGCGCCGTGTCGCAAACCTACTCGCCCTGGCCGCCGCGGCCGCCGCGGCCGCCGCGAAGTGCGAGGTCCTCCGCTCGTTGGAATTTCAACAGCACACGGCGCCCAAGGGCGTCAGCGAGCTCCTCGGCCCCGTCGTGAGCCTCGTGAGCGAGAAGGCCGCCGAGGTCGGCGACATCAAGATCCGCTGGGACGGCGAGCTCGGCCTGCACCGCGTGGGCACGCACAAGATAACGGCCGAAAACTCCGACGGCGCGTGCTTCGAGACCATTATTGTGGTAAAAGATACGGATGAGTGCACCGCGACCGGCGCATGGGCCCACAAGTGCGACGCCTCCGCGACGTGCAAGAACCTCGTCGGCTCCTACGCGTGCGAGTGTTCCCCGGACTACTTCGCCGCGGAAGGGGCTTTATTTGGATGCGGCGGCTTCGCCTCGACGACGCAGTGCTGCGACGCGGCCGAGGACGAGGCGGCGTGCCTCGCCGCGTTTCGCTGCGAGGCATCAGAGATTGAAAGGTTGCGGGAGCGGGCCACAACCTATGGACTCGTCGCCGCCGTCGCCGTCGCCCTCTGCATCATCACGGTTATCGTGGCGTCGAACGCGCAAACCGCGAGCGCCGCCACGGCGCGCGCAAGCCTGACGCCGCCGCGCCCGGCGCCCAAGGTCGTCTCCTACCAGTTCCTCGCGCCGGACGACTCGGCGAAGGAGCCGTACCAGTCGCCGTTCGATTCGCCGACGATCTGAGGCTGAAGCTCTCGCCAGACGCCTTCGCTGCGTATCTGAGCACGCCTCGAGGCGCACGCCGCCGCCGCGAAGGGACCAGCTTTAACACATCTATTATTATACGACCGCAGCACTTTTCCTGGCCTTGCCGACCGCCGGCGACACCACGGTGGTTGATTCGGGGTCCTCCGTCACGGTGCGCGGCGAGTCGCACTCCTTCGCCGCCAGGACCTTGTCGTCGATCCCATCGCCCGACGCGAAGACGCACCAGAAGGCCGCCGCGCCGAGGTCCAACAGCCCGATCGTGAGGAACATGGACTCCCAGCCTCTTCGACTGCCATCTAACAGACTACCACCAAGTAATGGTGATACCGTCGACGCGAATGTAGCGATCATGTTGCCCACGCCGGTCAGCACGCCGTTGTGCGTCTGCGTCAGATCTAAATAGTTCGACTTGAAGCCGCAGACATGTGCTGATGAGGCTATTTTGGCCACGATCAACCAACACGTAGCTGCAGCTACGGAGTAGGAAACAGCTAACCCGGCCATCGAAGCGGCAAAGGCCACGAACGCCACACCAGAAATAACTTTCCGCACTTTTGTACGCGAAGCAGGATTATTTCGGATCGCTCTATCGGCAAAGGGCGCAAAGCCGAACTTCCCGATGCAATCAAATATTTGCCCGACCAAGATGTGCTGGCCCGCGGCCACCGCGCTCGTGCCCAGTTCTTCCACGTAGAACTGTAGCAAAGAGTTGTACACGAAATACCGCCCAAAGTTGAACGCGGCATGGGCGATGATCACGGCCCAGGCCTGCGAGAACCTGAACAGCGCGTAGGGGAAGGGCGCGTGCCTGCCTTTTTTGTCGTGATGGGGTGCCTTGCCGATGCCATGTTGCCTCAGGTACTCGAGCTCCCTGACACTTATACGAATGCACTCGTCGGGGCCATTTGTGGCGTACACGTACCATACGGCCGTACTCAATAAGCAAGCGTAGGCCCAGAGTCTCATTGTCGTGCGCCAGCCGTAGAGAGTTGCTAATGGAGGTGCTACGGCGAAGGTCAACATAGAACCTAATGAAGATCCCGTATCGGAGATCGAGACCGCCTTGCTTCGTTCGTGCGCCGGGATCCATCGTCCCAGCAATGTGCCCATCGACGGATACGAAGGACCCTCACAAAGCCCCATCACAAATAGACAAGCGGATAAGCCATTGGCGCCAAATAAATCGGCAGACCACGGGATGCAATAAGCCCCCAGACCCAGCGACCCGAGGGCGAGCAAAATAGGGCCCCGCCCCCCGTACCTGTCGGCGGCCCAGCCGCCCAGCACCTGCGTGCACATGTAGCCCGCCGCGAAGGCGGCTAATACGGTCCCCTTCTCCTGATGGTCTAATTCTAGGTCCGCGGCGATGAAGGGCATCAATGCACCTAGTACAACGCGCACGGCCTGGGTAACCCCTCTACCCATGAACATGAGCCAGCACATGAGCCAGCGCTCCTTGACGTCGAGGAGCTTCATTTTTTCCTATGCTGCAGCAACGCGTGCCGAGTGTAGCTAGTACGGCTGGTTTTATTGGCTGCGTTTGAGCCCGACGACGCGCGGCGTCCCGTTCGTGACCACCGGCGGGCTACTGCTCGTCGTGCGTCACGGCGATGGCGTGCCGTAACCGCCGGTCGGCACTTGTCAAATTTATTGCTGACCGCCGATTTGCAGGCGTGTCGGCTCGTCGGGCGTCTACGTTTGGCTACGACGGTGTCGTATCAATTTCCGATGCAGCGTGGTCCGTGTTTGCCACCCGAATCCACTGGTTGAGCTGCCAAAGGGTGACGATGCCTGCAGCCAATTTTTTTGGGCTAGTATGACTATGATTTAGCCCCGGGTTGCACGAATCAAGAGAAACACGGCTGCCGACGATGCTCGAGAGAGCTTGCGGCCGGGGACGACGTTTCACGGAGCTCGGGCCACCAGCCTCACAGTCACAGCTCACAAGCACACTCTGCGGCGTGCCACACTGACCGTCGCAGTGACTCTCAGTCCGCCTCGCAACGCTTAATACACCCATTGCACGCGTCGCACGATCGAAGTTCAGTGCGTCAACGCGTAACCGCAGTTAAAGCCCTGAGAGCACCCTCAGAGAGAGCAGTGCTTAAAAATGCAAGCGCTGCGTCACGCGCGGCGACTCCGGCACGCCGTCAATGCAATACGCCACTCCTCCCAGCAGCGCCAGCCCAAGAAGCCCTTCGTCATCCTAAGCTTAGATGGAGGCGGCTGCCGCGGCTACATGAGCATCCGGTTACTAGAAAGAGTATCCAATGAAGCACCGGGCTTCTTAGATAGAGTGGACCTCTTCGCGGGGACGTCTACCGGTAGTATACTAGCGGCCTTTCTCGCGGGCGGCGCGTCACCAGCAGAAGCAGCTTCATATTATGAGCAATACGTCCCGGCGATCTTCGGGCGGCCCCGCAATCTTGTACGAAGGGCCTGGGACGCCAAGTTCTCCAATAAACCGCTGAAGGACGCCCTGCGTACGTACTTCGGCGACGCGACGGTAGCGCAGCTTCCCAAGCATTTTCTGGCACCCGCGTTGAGGGTGGACGGCGAGGCTTCAAGTACAACGTCGGCCGAGGTCTGGCGCCTCTCGCAATCTAGGGAGGGCGGCTGGCGGCCGGCCGTCTTTTCGAACCTGCCCGCCGTCAGGGGTGCGAGACCGGACGTGGAACTGAAGATCTCTGACGCGCTCTTGCGTTCATCAGCAGCACCGACGATCTTACCCTTATATCAAAACTACGGCGACGGCGGCATCTGGGCGAACAACCCGACGATGCTCGCCGTCGCGAAGGCTAAGCTACATTTAGGCCTCGATCCGAGCGACGTGAGGGTACTGAGCGTCGGCGCGGGCTCCTGGGCGCGGCGCGTCGTGGAGCCGACGGCAAAGGAGAAGGACCTGGATCTGGGCCTGGCGGACTGGGCGCCGCATCTGCTGGAGATGGTCATCGACGCGTCTGGGATGACCACGGACATGGAGGCCTCGTTCTTACTACGGGAGAACTACACGCGCCTCTCGCCCTTGATACCGCAAGGCGTTTCGTTGGCCCTCGACGACCCCTCAACGCTACAGAGGCAGCTCGAGTATGCGCGCAACACGGACATAGATAAAGCGGTTGAATTTGCTCAACGTATTGTAGCTGAGCCTTCATCCATACTCGAATTGCCGGACGAGCCGCTCGGCGACAGCGTGCACGACCTCAAGGAAGTCGACCGCCTGAAGCTGGTCGACCGGGCCTGGGCCGACGCCGCGGCGAAGTGGCAGCAGGAGAACAAGAGCACCGACGACTTCGGGAGTCGGAAGCGCCGGTCGCTCGAGAATTGGAGGAGGACGCGGGAGGGCTAGTCCCCCATACGCCATCGACGCGACGTTTGTTGTTAAGAAGTTTTGATCATGTACTTAGCAGTCGACGACGGAACGTCTACCACTTGGCCTCCGCCTTGGCCTCGCCGCCGTCGTCTTTGCTCTCGCCCGCCTCGCCCGACTCGTCCACCGGGATCTTCTCCACGAAGTCGATGAACTCCCGATAGGAGACAACGCCGTCGCCGTCGGCGTCGAAGAGGTTGACGAGCTGCCGCAATTCCGCCGACGACAGCCTTAGGCCAAGATTGCGCATCGCGGACCGGAACTCGTCCTGGTCCAGCTCGCCGCTGTCGTCGTCATCGAGTTCGCGGAACGCGCCTCGATAGTCCGGTGCGCGACCATCTCGCTCCGCCAGCCGCTCGATCTCGTTCCTGACTTTCGTCGCGATGCGCGCCGTCGCCGGGTCCTGCTTCAAAGCGAACGCGACGAAGTCTTCGTACGGGACCTCGCCGTCCGGTCCGGCCCCGAAGAACTCCATGACCTCGACGAGCTCCTTCCTCGAGAGTTGGACGCCTACCCTGTCTAGAGCATCTCGTATTTCCGTTCGGTCGAGCGTACCACTCCCATCAGCGTCGAGGTCACGGAAGCAGCCCGCTAAATCAAGGTCGCCCTGCTTCGTGCGAGAACAACGTTCTACTTCCTCCGCTAACTTTCGGACAGCATAGGTCGCGACGCGATCGCCTTGGGAATCTTTAGCCTCGTGCGATGCCGGTGCCTTTCCTCGGACAGCGGCAACGAAGTCTCGGTACCGTATACGCGGGCCTTTCGGACCCACAGCATTTTTACCCGTCGACGGGAACCGTTTGGTTATATCTTCGGCTTCTTTCACTGTTAGTGTGAGTCCAAGACCTCGGAGCCCGTCGTGGAACTCGTCGGCATCAACATCGCCCGATAAGTCTTCATCGAGCTCCTCGAACATCTCTTCTATTCTCTTCGCTATCGAACCGCCCTGGCCCTCCGCGATTTCCCGCAGTCGATCCAAGACATCTTGGACGTCGGCGTCCTTGCATTCCGGCGATTCGACGAAACTTTCAAATTCCAGGTACGAGATCTCCCCATCCCCGTCCACATCGCAGTATTTAATAATGTCTCGCACCTCGTCGTCGTCCAAGCGGAAGCCTAAATCTTTCAGACCCTTCCTTAACTCCACAGCTGTCACCTTCTTGTCGCCGTTCTTGTCGAGCTTCTCGAACAAATCCCTCAAACTCTGGTCCTTGGCCTCGCTGCGCAGTAGAGCGCGCAGCTTCCTCACCAGATAGGTGAGGGAGTCGTCCTTCGGCTCCGCGACGGCGTCGTCGTCGTCGTCGCGGGGCATCTTGGTGTCGGGGCAGCGCACCACTAGTTCTGCAGCCTGGGCGGGCAGCCTGGCTGCCTGGGCGTGCAGCGCCTCTCGCAATTTCATGATTATCGTGCGGGTTTTGAGCGAAGCCTCCAAGCGTCCAACGCGCGGCGTGGGGCCTCCGACCGCCGCGAGGAGAGATACAAGCATAATACCAACGCTTCTTATGTACAAGGAGGATGGCGCGTCGTCGTCGTCGTCGTCGTCGTCGTCGTGGACGCTGTGGATCTAGTACTGGGGCGTGCACGTCGGGCCCGAGCCGCCGCCGCCGCCCGACGGAAGTCCCGCGAGTGAGTCCATGAGACAGAAGCACGTCGGGTTGAAGAGGCAGTTCTCGGCCGGCGTGTCGCTCTCCTCCTTGGAGTCGCACGTGCTCCCCGGCTTGCACAGATTGATCTGCGAGCTCTCCGAGCAGTAGGGCTCCCAGTAGAGCGACGATTTGTACTCGTCGTCGAGGCCCTTTTCTATCGTCCACCAGTCGCACCAGAGCTCTTCCGTCGCCGTGCAATAATTGAGAGGATCCCTTTTCGTGATCCCGACCGGGTCGGCCGCGCACGAGGCGAACGGATTTTCTATGCTGAGGGCCGCCGCGAAGTCTGCCGCCGAAGCGTACGGGTAGCACGAGCCACAAGTGTTGTCGGAGCAGCTATAAATCCAGGGGCTTCCGCCATTGTCCTCAAACCGGGCGAACGGACCAGCAAAGTTGGGAACCTGGCTGGTCGGGCAAACGTTCGGGTCCTGGCAGTTTGGGAACGTGGAACACGCGAAGCCATTCACATTTCCGGCGGGCGGGCAGCTGTCTTCGAGGATGCAGTCCTTGCCGCTGTATGAGGCGAAGCCGGCGACCTTGCGGGTGAGGCAGAGCGCGAGAATGAGCTTGTTCATCGTGATTGACCTGCGGGATTGGGCGGTGAGTTCGCGTCGACTCCGCGACGCGCGCGCGAAACGAGTCGGATTACGCGGCGCGTCAGCGGTCGACTTTAGCGTCAGCGCGGCCTTCCGCGCGACTCCGTAGCTCGCGCGCCGTTCCGGACCGCCGCGGCTAGCAAGCACAGATGTCTGACAGCTGTGACTTTGAGACGGCGCGCGCGGTCGAAGCGTAACGATTTGCCATCCGTGAGTATCAGGCACGTTATTTTAGGCGCCGCGTCGCGCGAGGAGCGAGCAGGAAGCGATTACAAAGTCTGGAGAGCTCCAGGCAATGCCAAATTCGCACGAAACAGCGGCATGCGTAGGCGCGACATTGCTCGAGAGGCGTCAATGGAACGCTCGAAAGATGCGCCACACCAGCCTGAAGCAACGAGCAAGACCCGCACGTTTTGTGGAGAGCTCGAGACACTGGAGACGATTTGCATCGCACAGTGCACGTAGGCCTGCCCGCAAACGCAAGAAAACAGACGATGGCACCTCCGAGCAATCGTCGCCGGTGAGGCTGCAAGGGTTAGTCTAGCGTTCGTGACCGCTTACGTACTCTCTCTCTGAGGCTGCCCGCCTTCACGATGCGACGGCGCCATGCCTGGGCAGCCCTGACACTGTGCGCCGCCGCCGAGCTGCGCCTAGAAACCGACATCTCGCTGGAAGTCCTGATGGACGACGAGCCGAAGACGCTGCGCGCGCGCCTCGACGAGGACCCGGAGACCGCGGCGCGGGCGTTCTGCGCGGCGGCGGCCGTCGCCGTCGAGTGCGAGGAACGAGTCAGTCAGGCGCTGCGCGCGGAGCAGAACGCCGTCCGCGTCCGGACCAACCAAGTAGCACCGGAAGAGCCACCGAAACGGCTCCCGCGGCGGCAAGCACCGCCGCGCAAGGAGCCCGACGCCATGGAGACGAGCGCGACGGTGAGCGTGTCGCTCGTCGTCGACGGCCGAGGATATCAAATAGAGGCGGGCATCGACGAGGCGCCCGCCGCCGCGGCGGCACGTTTTTGTAGGGAACGGAACGTCACGCCCCGCGACTGCAACGTCATCAGTCTGGCCCTTGCAGAGAAGCAAACCGAGGCGCGAGCCGGGCGGCGCAGCTCGGACGATAAAGCTGCGGACCTCGCGCGACAAAGGCTGGATCATGACGAGGAGGGCTGGGGCGACCACCTCTTCTCCGGCGCTGTTTCGGACGAGGCGCCGCCTCCCGTCAAACACGATGTGGCGGAGGCGACCTCGGTCGACTACTCCGTGCGCGTGCCGCCCTCGTTGCGCGTATCCTTCCGCGGCCGCGACGGCGAGGTTGTCGTCGAGCGGTACCTCGGCGAGAGCGCCGAGGCCGCGGTCGCGCGCGCGTGCCGCGCCGCCAAGGCCTCACCGGACGAGTGCGCGGACCTACAGAGCGCCTTCGCGTGCAAGGTGGCGCCGTCCGCGGACTGCGAGGCCGACCAGGCGCGCAAGGGCGCGGAGCCGGCGCGCCTCGAGCGCCTCCGCCGGCTCTCGACGCTCGGAGCGCTCGCCGGCGCCGTGGCGATCGCGTACTTCCAGCACCGGGCTGCCCAGGCTGGTGTTTAATTGTTTTCTTGTGGTTTACCATGTGTCATTTACTATCTTTTACTCGTCCTCCGACGATTCCATGTCGCGGGCGTCGAGGAAAGTGTCGAGGGTGGCTTGCGCGTCTCGCAGGTGGGACTTAATCCCCGTTGTGGTCGGGTGCGCATCGCCGAGCACGCGCCGCGCGATCCGTTCCGTATCCTCGAGCGTCTCCACGGCCTCGAAGAGATCGTCGAGCGTGGCGTCGTCGTCACCGTAGAGCGCCCACGCGTAGCACCACTTCATCCTGAGCGTGGTGTCATCACTCTCTCCGAGAACGCGTTGTGTCACGGGTACCGTCTTGCGCAACAGTGCCTTGGCTTCTTCAAAGTGCTCTTCATCGATAAGGGACGACGCGTAGTTGTTGAATACTTTGATGATTCGGAACCCCGGAGAAAGTGCCACGTCGGCTACTTCGTCGACGAGGAGGTCGCCGCGCTCGCCTACAACGAAGCGGTGATCGCCGCGGACCTCGCTGATGTTCGCGTGATGAATCGCGTCGACCCCACCGGCCGGCCCATCCCGAAGGACCAGGACTAGACTTAGGACTAGTGCCTAAGACTTTTTGTTGATCCAGGCTGGGCCCTCATCCGACGCCATCGACGCGACGTAGGTAATTCTTCTATGTCTTACATACTATTATGGGGAGGGAGAGAGAGAGATGCGCATGTCCCGCAGCAGACGGGACACGCCAAGCAAAGAAGCTCACTTCGAGTCCTTGACGTCGAAGAGCGCCGTCGCGAAATCTAAATCAGCTTCAGATATATGAGCCGGCCAGAGCGCGCCGCAGTCGCCCACGGGCTGGCCCGCCAAGCGGTGCACGTGGTCACCATGTCTAATGGGCCGCGCGCGCGCCGCGTCCGCGAAGCTACCCGGTTCATTGGCATCAAACAATGAGAGAGTGTGGTGCAGGCACGACCCGGCGGGCTCGTCCATCAATTGGTCGCAGTAGCTGTCGAAGCGACAGTCGAGCGTCCCGTCCGGCAGCATGAAGTCGATGTGCGGCTTCGTGTCGCCCGGTCTCAAGTGAGAAGCAGGAGTAGACCCCGGAGGCAGGTGCCCGTGGCAGCCCGGGTGGAGCATCTTCGCCTTCGGAGTGGACGACGGAGGCACCAAGGCGTGGGCCTTCTTCTTCGAGGCCACGCGCCGCTTCTTGCAGGGCGCCGCGTGCGTCGAAGGGCGGTGGACGACGGCGTGCTGAGCCGTCTTCCGCTGGCCGCCGCCGCCTCTCGCGGTTCGTCGGGAAACAGCTCGCGCCGACGCGGCGGCCTTCGCGGCGGCTTCCGGCGCCTCGAGCCACTCGATGAGCTCCTTCGTGAGCGACGCGTGTTTTTCCACGTCGATGCGGGCGTGCGGGCCGGCCTTGGAATTGCGCTCCGTGTCCCACTGCGTCGCCGCTCGCAAAAGAGCGAGTCGCTCCTTCTCGGGCACATCCTCGAAATCCGGCCGCCAGTGGGCCAGAGCTACTCGGACCGCGCCATAGCCGGGGCAGCCGAGCCGCGGCCGGATGAGGCGGCCCGTCGTCCGCAAAGCGTCTCGTAAGGACTCGAGGGCCGTCTCCTTGCGCGCCTGGACGGCGGCCTTGAGGCGCGGCATGCCGCTCCCGGAGGGTTGGTTAGCGGCAGCTGGTCCTGCACTTTATTCTCAGCGGCGCGCGCGGCGGCGCACGCCTCTTGAGCGGTTGCGCGGCGGGGTCTGGACTGTAAAGCAGCGCTGCGCGAGCTGATAGTGTGCTTTTGCGCTGCGTAAGCGCTAGACTTCGTCGCGGCGATGAGGACCAGGGCCTGCCTCGAGCTGTATGTAAAATGACGGCGCAGGAGCTAGCCGTCCGCACGACCCTTAGGGAGGCCTACAGCGACGGCTCGTTGTGGTTCAGAGGCAAAACTCGCAGACGAGAGGCTCAGCCAGCTCGATACGCAGCCGAGCTCCTCCGCGCGTAACAGCTGGCATTTGCAGCGTTTCGAGCTGTTTCGCATCTCGACTACTTGGTTCTTCAGCATCGAGCATCGCTACGGCATCGATAAGCACGCAAACTCACAATACAGAGTCAGCATCCTGGTGCAGCATCCAGCGCTGGCGGCGCGTGGCAACCGGCAACGCATCCCATTTCTCTCTCATTGAGTGCTGACAGCGATCGCACGCGATTGCATCCATTTCTCTCGCATTTAGTGCTGGCAGTGATTGCACGCGATTGCTCGGCGCCCTCGACTGGGTCTGCAAGAAACAAAGATGCACCGCTGGTGGCTCCTCGCCGCCCTGCCACTCTTGACACAAGCGTTAGCACCGCCCGTCCTGAAAGCGCGCCTCGAGGCGCAAGAAACGCGAATACGGGAGCTCAAGAAACGGTGCGAGGACGTCTTGCCGAGCGAGGACGAGGCAGCTTTACTGCTGGACGGCTACTACCCCGCCTTGGATCGAGACGCGGCCCTGGACCACTTTTTACTACGTTTCGTGGATGGAGTTAGAGACGGCATCGACCTCGCGGACGCCGAAAGCACACTCCGCGACAGCCTCGCGTGGCGGCGCGGCGTCGGGCGGATTGTATTAGAGAAGGCCCAGGAGGCCGTCGACGAAGCGAGCAACGTCACCAGTGATGCGTCCGCAAGTACGACAGCGAGGCAGAAGGGCCGCTGGAAGAACGCGCCCGTGCAGCGCAACCTGCCGCACAAGTTCGCCGTGGGCGAATTCCTGACCGATGAACAATTAACTTATGTGTTGGACGGGCAGCGCGCTCGACTCGTCTGCTGCATTCAAGGTAGGAGAATCGACGAGGACGGGTTGATGCAGGCTCTAGAAGCCCAAAGTTCGCCCGACGACCATGCCATGAGCTGTGTGGACGTCGAAGAGGCGGTGGACACGCTCGCGATGCGGCGTTTACAACATTCCTTCCTGTATTCGAAAGCGGTCAACGCGAGAGTCTGCGCCTTGCTGTCGCTGAAGACGGGCGTTTTGGTCACGGTCGTCACAGTCAACGATTTGAAGGACGTTTCGTTGAGATCGACGAAGCTGGCCGGGCAGTTCCGCGCGGCGCTCGGTGGCGCGGCGCGGCGGGGCGACCGGTTGTTTCCGACGCTAGCTGGACCTACGGTGATAGCAAACTTGCCGAAGGCCATCCAGTTATTAGTTGGACTGGTCGCGAACCTGTTTCCTGTTTCTGTCCGACGTTTTCTGACCTTCGCGCGCATCGACTCGTTGGATGATGGATTGCGACGGTTGCTCGTCGAGCCGGACGCGTCGGCGGTCTTCTTGGACGACGTCGACGCGACGATCGACAAGATGCTCAGAAGGCTGCCGCCGAACGCTAAGCAGTAAGTTTGTTCGTCTCGTGTCCTTTTTTTCCGCGAGAGCCGTAGCCTCGCGGCCTCGCGTGAGGGAACGAACGGGTTTTTCTCCCAAAATAGCGCGGGCAAATTTACCGCGCTCGGCACGACGCGGCACGAGACGAGGGGCGCAAATATAGCTTTCCAATTGGGTTGCATCAACACTATCAAGAACTGACTCGCGAGCACTGCTTTCAAGAGTAGAGACAAAACACAGGCTATGGGTTGTCGAAGCTCGACTTGTCCGGGTGCTCCAGCCTCACCAGACTACCCAGTTCTTTTTATAGTCTTGAAGCGTTGACAGAACTTGACTTGAGTAATTCTGGTCTGATAGCTTTTGATGTTGATATCGAGGAAATGACGCGGCTCCGAAGGATCAATTTTTCCGGCTGCGCGAGCCTCATCGTGCTCCCTGCAGAAATCGACACGATGGACCGCCTGACGGTAATTGGGGCCGAAGACGTGCCTCGCTTTGATGGCGAGTCGCGGATCTGGGACAAGGTGGCCCGCCGGGCGTGCGACGGATGCGGTCGACAGTTTGCTCTCGACACGCGTAGCCTTAAGGTTTGCGGCCGATGCCGATGCGGTGAGACACGATACTGTAGTGTAGCTTGCCAGCGGGCGCACTGGGAAGACCACAAAGACGATTGCGTATATTATACGAAGATGAGACGGCGAAAGTGCGTCGTCTGCGGTCGCGACGCCAAATATAGCGATCCGCCGTTTCCGGTCTGCGCGTGCGGCGAACGCTGTTACTGCGGCGAGGGCTGCCAGGCCCTGGACTGGGTCGGCGGCACCGCGCGCTCACGACCACACTCGGAGACGTGCGCGTCGGGCTTCCTCCACTTGGCGCCGCCGCCGGCAGTGGACAGTGACGCAACTACAGTGACGCCGCCGCAGACGCCCCGGAGCTACTCGTCACTGCAGTTGCCGCAGACGCGCCGGCAGTGGACAGTTACGTCGCCGCCGCCCGGCTACACATTCTCGCCGTCGTCGACGACCTCCTCGGAGGACGGATCCTAGGCCTTAGAGTTTTTCAACACAAGTAGTCTTACAACCGGAACCGCCCCGCCGGCCTAGCATCTTCGTCATCGCTATCGGAATCAACGACAACGCCGCCGCGCCGCTGCTCCTCGAACAACCGCCGCGCCTTCTCCGCGACTTCGGTCGCGTTGTCGGACACGTTGCGCTCGTGCGGCTCCTTGTAATCTAAGCCGAGCACCTCGAAGACGTCTCTTTCTTCTTCACAGACCACCAACCTTCCGACAGCGACTTTATTATCAATATACTTGCCGTCCTTGTGCGAGACGCCCGACCGCGCGGCTTTTCGTAACCCTTTATCACATAACGAGTAGCCGCACGCCTTCGCGTAGCATCTCATACTTCTATTGAAGTAGTCGTTGCCCGTGAAGTAAATCATCGCGTACGCGTAGTGCTGCGGCGCGTAGACCTTGATATCTAGCCGCCGATGCGTGTCTCTCGGCTTGCAGATGCCCATGTACGAGCTACACCCGGCGCCGGGCACCTCGCCCTGGACCGTCGTCGTCTTCTTCTGGAAGCCGTCGCCACCGAGATGGTCCGTGAGGAAGCCTTGGGCATGCAACCTATCTCGCAACGTAGCAAGGAACTTGTCCCGCGACGCCCGCGACCGCTGCGCGCCGTAGTCGGGGTCTTCACCTTCAGTGGCCTCTTCGTCGCCCAAATTCCTCGTTCTAGCGTAGGAAGACCGAGACAGCGACGACTCCTGCGACTGCTTGTCCAGTGATACGGTTCGTTCCGGATCATCCAACCAGTCCTCGTGCGTCACCAACACATCAACATCGCCGCAGTCGGGCTGGCCCCTCCTAAACGACCCCATGGGACCTGCGCGCGGCGACGGCGTCGCGGCGTCGCGGCGACGCCATCGACGCGAGATCGACGCGCGAGCGACCAAAGCGGGACGCCGCCGGCGCACCCTCGACTTTCAGCTTCGCCACGTCATGTAAAGGTAGCAATTCCGCGAAGACCGCCTTCGCGCAACTGCGCACGCGGTCGCCGATCTCTAAAGCTTCCTCGCGCGACATCCTTAGCTGCAGATCGTCGTGGCACCGCAAGGTTCGGTGCACGCGCGCCTCGACGATCTTGGGATTCTTCTCCGCTTCTTCCTTGAGCTCCTTGACGGACCAGATATTATTCTTGTCGATCAGCGTCTGCGCCTTCCGGTAGCCAATGCCCCAGACCTTGGACAGCTCCATGATCGCGCACCTCCGCGGGTCCGCGCGCCACTCCCTGAGCCGGTCGAGGTCACCACTTTCATGAATTTCCGTGATCTTCTGCACCAGACCCTTGTTGCTGTCTTTCTTCGCGAACTTCGAGCCCAGGATCTTTCTCAGATTATGTTCCTCGACGTCGTCGTCGGTCAAATCCCGTCCTAGTAACTTGAGCTTGTTCACGGCCCGCCGCGTGATGCGCAGCCGGAACTGGCTCGTGCCGTCGTCCGAAGACTCGTAGAACCCGCAGAGCTCCTCTAATTTTTTGACGATTCGGTCGTTCGGCGGCAGCTCGCCTTCTGGTTTGGGCGCCCTTTGGCAGGCCAACCCTTGCTTCATGCGCTCGGGCCACGACCTGTGTGGAAATCAAAATTTTACGGCGCGCTCGTGCTGAATCATCGCGTCGTCCTCCACGCCATCGACGCGACGCCTGCTCGATGGCGTGACGAGCACCCGACGCACTGGTTGATTTCCACACAGGCCACGACGTCCGCGGCTTCTTTGGTTCAGGCGGCGGTGGCGCTTCCACAACTACAGCAGGTAATGGAGCGTAGTCGTCGACGTGGCCTAGTCTCTTAGAACCGAAGGCGTCCGTGAGCCACGCTACAGAGGCGCATTTCCGCGCCCCCTCCAATTCGGGCGCGTCGACGCGAGCTCGCGGCCCGCAAATGACCACGGTAGCGGCACCGAAGGCCTTTCTTCGATCTTCTATTGAAGCGCGTTCTTTCACAATCCCGTCGATGGCCTTCTTGCCGGCGCCCTTGACGAGCCGGCCCGCGTGGACTTTCACTTTGAGGGCGAGCGTTTCGGCCTGCGGCTTGTTCAGGCCGCTGCCGATGGCGAAGGCCAGCGCGTGGCCCGCCAACAAACCTCTTCGCGGCGACTGCGAATCGACGTAGTGTCTCGTCGTGTCACTCACTGGAGCGGAGTGCGACCGCTGCGGTACTAATGGAGGCGTCTCCTCGAGCAGGATGGGTAGCGACCGAGAGTTCTGCTGTATAACGTCGGCCTCCTCGTCGAGGGGCGTCACTTGCGTCGACAATGGAGGGACCGGCGGCGGCGCCGTCTCCTCGGGAGGCGTGTCGTCGACGGCGACGATTTCAAAGGGCTGGGCCGGCGACGGGGCCCGCGCGGGCGCCTCGCGCGCCAGCTCGGGGCGCCGCTCGGGCGGCGTCGGCGACAGCGCGGGCGGCGCCTTGTCGACGGGCGGCGTCTCCTCGGCCTTGCGCTTGGAGGCGCGCGGCGGCGGCGGCGCCATGGCCGCGTCACTGAAGAAGGGCGCCGTCTGCGTCCGCGCCGGCGCCGACCGCGGCGGCACGGCGAGCGGGTCGCGCGCCGCGGCTAATAAAACATCAACGAAGGGCTCCTGCGAGATCGTCCTCGCCCTCTTGGCCGGCGACGGCGCGGGTTCGGGTGGAGGCGGAGGCGCGATGCCGCGCCGGCGGTCCCGTTCTTGTTTTTCCCGTCTTTGTTGGATGCGGACGTTCGTCCGGTAGTGGACGCACGCGCTGCAGAAATTGCAGCGCGTCGCGCAGGGCGCGGCGTTGTCGAAGGTCATGCTTGTGTCCATTGTGGTGAACTGGTGGTGCGCTGCGCCGCGCCTTGTCTTTCTGTGGCGGCGGGGCCTTGTGTCTCTGGCGCCGCGGCGACGGCGCGCTCGCGTGAGGCCTTTGCTGGCCTGTGTCGGCTGTTGCGTGCGTAGCTGCCCGCCGCTGAAATCAAGGCACGCAGCAGTGCGACGCGCGGCTGCGGTACTGCGATAAGCGTATTATCAGACCAGCCAGTGGCCTGTGGGCGCACCTCGCACCGTTCCTGATGCGGTTCGGCAGTAATCTGCTAGCGCATTATAGAGGCTCTAGACCTCGTTTTGCTTGAAGTCTAAGGTGAACCGCAGCTTTGCACGACGACGACGCTGGCTGCGTCGCGCGGTAGGCAAGCGCCCCCTCGACAGCGCTGATCCGAGATCGCAACATTGGCTAGACTCCAGCCGCGCGCCAAAGGCCCCAAGGAGAGCACTGCAGCGGGAATCGCGAACGGCGCAAACGACAGCGCAACCATGCCGCCGAAGCGGCGCAGCTCCCCCACGACCGCGCCGAGCGCCAAGAAGCCGCGCGCGAAAGCTCAAGACACAGAAGAGGCCTACGTCGAGGGCGACGCCTGGCTCTTGCCCGCCTTGCATAAGCACGGCGGCGAGGACTTCGAAGCTGTGGCGAACGATCCAGCCTTCGACGGGCCGCGCCGGGGCCGGACGGCGGGAGAGCTAGAAGTAGCATTAACCCAGTGGATGTCGAGGCCCATGAGCAAACCGTCGCCGCGGAAGGGTTCACCTAGAGCTAGAACCGCAAAAAAAGACGACAATTTTGTCGCGCTCGAAGATAGTAGTGAAGAGGAAGAGCCTGTAGCGAAGAAACCGAAAAGCACACCGGTCTGTAGTGTGTGCAAGAAGCAGGTGCCTACCGAAAAATGTGCTATTTGTAGCAAACGTTTTAGCATGAAGTGCGCCGGTCGGGAGCGGGTGCCGGATGCAGGCGTGTTCGAGTGCGATAGTTGTGAAGCGAAGAATTTGTGCCACGAGACGTGCGGTGGTGGGAAGAGTGGGAACAAGCAAGCCGACTATAGATGTGGGCATTGCGGTCGGAGATATTGTGAACAAGCCTTACGGGAGAACGGCCAACGGGCCCCGCAGGGCGATCTGTGGCGGTGCTTCCGGTGCGAAGCGTCGTACGGTTTGGAGGCCATCGAGTGCCACGACGGGGACTGGTACCTATGCACGTGGAAGGCTTCTGCCGATTGGCACGCGTCCCGACCCGTGTGGAAATCAAATGTCGCGGCGCATCTCCCACGGCCCAATTCTGACCTCCACGCCATCGACGCGACGCCTGCTCGACGGCGTGACGGTGTGTCGATTCCTCACCGCTCGATGGAGCCAGCACGGCCGCGTGCACGCGACTCACTGGTTGACTATCACACAGGTCATGGGTCCAGCGGAAAAGAGTAGAAGGTCTATCGAAGGGCAAACTGCGCAACTACGAGAAGCGCGTCCGCGACTACGGCGTCGGTCTGGAATTAGCCGACGGCGACTCGGACAACGACGAGGACGAGGACCCTAGTTGGAAGCGCGGCGACGCCATCAAACTAAGAAGGCTCGCGGCGGCTACTAGGAACTCGGGCAGCGGGTTTAGCGTCGTGCCGCAGCGCGTTCTAGCCGAGCGGCCTTTTAGCATTGACGGACGAGCGACGAAGACCCGAGATTTACTCGTGAAGTGGAGAGGTAGGCCCTACGACGAGTCGTCCTGGGAGCGCGAGTGCGATCTGGATCGGTGCGGCACGTCGTTCCGGGAAGCTTTTGATGAGAGAGAAAGAAGTGTAGATACGCCTGCTATTAAGGCTAAGAGACAACTCGGCACTACTACTCGCAATAAGGCCCTCAAAAGTACACAACCGGCGTGGTTCGACGGTGGAACACTAAGAGATTATCAATTGCAGGGCCTCGACTGGCTCCGCGCGAAAGCGCAATCCAAGACCAGTTGTATCTTGGCCGACGAGATGGGCCTCGGCAAGACGATCCAGTCCGCCGGATTGCTAGCGTCGTTAATTTACGAGCGTTCGGAGAAGGACTGGCGCCCGGCACTCGTAGTAGCGCCTCTGTCGACGTTACAGAACTGGGAGCGCGAGCTCGAGAAGTGGTGTTCCGATTTGCACTGCGTCGTTTTAACAGGATCCGCGTCGGCGCGAGACGTCTGTAAAGATGCGGAATTCGACAAGACGCGACGCTTCCACGTGTGCATCACGTCGTACGAGACGGCTTCTTCTGAGAAATCAGCCTTAAAAAGTATAGGGGCGTGGTCCTGCCTGATTGTTGATGAGGGCCATCGCCTCAAGTCGGGCAGTGCCGGCCGATTATTTCGGGAGCTACATGACTTAGATAGCGCCTTTCGCGTGTTACTTACTGGTACTCCCTTGCAGAATTCATTAGATGAGCTCTACCACCTACTACTCTTCCTAGACCCGGAGCGCGTGAAAAAAGAATGCTCTGTCGAAGGTACAACAGCCATCGCGGCGCTAGATCAGGTGTTTTCCTCCAACGAAGAGGACGAGGCGACCCAGAAGCGCCTCGCGAATTTGCGGGAGTTGTTGCAGGGTCGCATGCTGCGGCGCCTCAAGGACGACGTCCTCAAGGGAGTGATCAAGGCGAAGAAGGAGCTCGTGGTGCGCGTCGAGCTCACGCCGACGCAGAAGAAGTTATATAGGGCGGTTTTGACGGCGAACTTCCCGGCCTTGAGTGGCGCCGAAGGGTCCAAGTCGAAGGCTCGAGCTCCTGCTTTACAAAATATAGTGATGCAATTACGAAAAGTGTGCAACCACGTCGAGCTCATGCGGGACAAGTTCCCGGAAGATATGATCCAAGGCGACCGCGTCGAAGCGTTATTGCAGGGCTCGGGCAAGCTCGCTTTACTAGATAGGATGCTCCTCAAACTAAAAGAGGCCAAGGCTCGAGTTCTGTTATTTTCGCAGATGACAAGAACGTTAGATGTGCTGGAGGAATTTGCAGCGCTAAAACGGTACGGCACGACGCGCTTAGACGGGTCGACCGCTTCAGATATAAGGCAAAAACGCATCGACGCCTTCAACGCTCCGGACTCCAAGCTATTTCTGTTCTTACTTAGTACGAGGGCGGGCGGGCTCGGGGTCAACCTAGCAACAGCGAACACTGTCGTTATTTATGACGCGGACTGGAACCCTCATAATGATCTACAAGCTTTAGCGAGGGCGCATCGACTCGGCCAACGGGACGCGGTTCGGGTCTACAGATTCGTATCGAGGGCAACAGTCGAGGAGCGCATTGTGGCGGTCGCGAAACGAAAGCTGTGCCTGGAGCACGTCGTCGTGTCGGGTGCCGGTTCCAAAAACCTGTCGAGGGCCGAGTTGGATGACGTGCTCAAGTACGGCGCGTCTGAGTTGTTCTCCGGTGGCGCCGCGGCCGACGTCGACGCGTCGCGAGCCGAGAGATACGGTGATGGGAATACGAACAAACCGGAGATCAAGTGGGACGACGACGCCATCTCTGCTTTATTACATAGGGAGCCAGAAGTAGAGAACGAGGAGACACCGGTCGCCGAGAAAAACAACCTATCAAAACTGATGGACTCCTTCAAAGTCGCCGAAATAAGCTTCGAGGAGACCGACGAAGTACCGGAAGAGGAAGAAGAGCCTTCACCTGAGTTTGAAGGATGGGATAAGCTGTTAAAAACTGGTTACGACGCGACGCAACAAAAAACGCAGGAAAGTTTGGGGAAGGGCAAACGAGAACGGAAGCAGATCAAGCAGGGTCCCGTGCTGGTGTTAGATGAGGAAGATGATGATCTGGACGATGGCGATTTTCATCACGTAGAGTCCTGTGTGGAAATCAACCAGTGTGTCGGGTGCACTTCGCGGCGATGCCGTGCTGGCTCGGTCGAGCGGTGAGGAACCGGCATCGCCACGCCATCGAGCAGGCGTCGCGTCGATGGCGTGGAGGTCGACGCGACGATTCAGGACGAACGCGCCGTAAATTTGATTTCCACACAGGTCGAGTCGGATTCAGATGATTCGGTCGAGATAGATGTAACTAGACCCGTGGCGTCGTCGATCGCCAAGGTCGCCGCGAAGCTGGAGCGGTTTGGCCTGCCCGGTGGGTTGTCCGATGGCGGTGTGTTGGCGCACGAGCGGCTCGAGATGGGCTCGCTTGCTGATTCTCCTGCGGCTACAATGAAACTATGTAGGGAGGCCTTAGATGAGTGTCTACGACAGAAGGCCGAAGGGTATGATGCGTCCCGAGATCCCTTCGACGGCGATAGAGTACTGCGACGCGTCGGGTTCTTCGCACTTGTGGAACGGAAGTTGAGACGAAGAGCCTCGGAGATCCCGCACAGCGGTGTCGAGTTCAGCAGGGACATCACGGAACGATATTTAAACGATACGCACGTCGCCTGGACTCCCGCACATGATGCTAGATTGTTGGCGGCGGTGTGTTGCCACGGGTACGGGCACTTCGCGGACGTCGCCCTCGACGAAGCTTTCGATCTCGTGCCGCCGCCGACCCTACAGAACAGGGCATACGGTTCGGACTCCGAGGAGGATCTGCGGGAGGAGTATACGGTGAAAGATGCCTCGGTCTTTTATAGATCAAGGGTGGATCGCTTGGAACGCGCTCTAGCGGCAGAAGCTTCCGGCGAGAAGCCTTCCGCATCGCAGATGACGCCGACGAAGGCGACGCCGGTTGTGGGCAAATTTATTGAATCGTTAACTTCGGTGCCGTGTCCCTCTTTATCTGAACCTACACATGTCGAGGAAGACAGCGCCGTCGACGAATCGGTCAGGAAGCGCTGGGAGACGATCAGGAATGTGGTAGCGTGTACGTTGAAAGCTAGGAAGGCCTACGACGAGAACATGCAGTCCGCGACGCAGCATTTCGGTTCTGCTTATGCCGGGAAAGTTAAGGAAGCGGCACCTACCTCTGCTGATGATCTACAAAGTTTCCGGGCGAACCACGCCGCGGCTCGACGGTGTCTGGAGCGAGCTGACGATCGGCTGGACGCGGTGCTCGCGGCTGAGGCTGCCTTGGACGCGACGAGGAGGGAAGTCGCGCTGGCCGATGCAGAACCGGACCCCGACGCCCTACAAATGAGGGAAAAGTGGCAGTCCCAGGAGTGGCGCCGCGACGACGCCAAGGCCGAGCAGCGCCTGCGCAAGATCAAGGAGCTCATGAAGACCGATCATGTTAGGCGGTTCGCTCCTCTGCTGACGGGCCAACAAGAGGCGCCGGCTCCGGGCTAGTGTTGTTGAGGTATAGCTTCTTATACATAGTTCTCTCGCGTTCGTAGTCGTCTGTTACGGTGCTTTGCTAGTGTCTACAGGCCGCTGCCCACTCGCGTTTGGAAATCCGGCTAGCGTCCTGACTTACAGGTAAGACACTAGCAACCCAGGCAGCCCGAGTTGCCATTGTGCGGCGCCTGGCGTAAGCGTAGCGTCTGGGAGATTTGCGCCATCGCTGCGATCGCGGCAGCACATTTCATAGCTACGATACGCTTGCTGCAAGCAGTCTGCTCTCACGTGTGCATTGCTGCTCGAATCACGGACAATGGCCGGGCCAGCTATCCCTACGTCTATAGTCAAGGCCTTAGAATCAGGGAAGGTCGAGGACATCGATGCCGCCCGCCAGTGGCTCGTGTCAAAGGATCGTGGGACGAACGACTTGTCATCTGTGTTGTGGGATGCGGCGGTCCACACGGTCCATTGTGACCGACGCGTCGCCGAGGCAAAACTCCGCTTCGTCGAGCTGGCGCTCACTCGCGGCGCGGACCCGAATCGTATGTTCACAATCAGTAATCTACAAACTGCGGGTCAAACTCATGAAATCAATATGGTATGCACGATCTCAGAACTCCCTGCTAACGCTCATTAAACATACTAGGTGCACCCGAGCGGAGCGACTGCAGTCGGCAGCCTCTAAATCAAAATGCCAGCGGTTATCGCTGCGCGTATTCACGTGTACCGACTTCCTCCATACGTGGCCCCACTCGGCGGCGAAGACGAGGTCAAGATATGTGCGCGCGGCGCCGCACGAGGCGATAATGACTACTGGCTTGATTGGCCCTCTGTCGGTGACTTCATCAAGTTCTTTGGCGACGGCGAGCTGTCAGTGACGGCGAAGCAGCATAAGGATCGGCTTCGCAACGCGATTGAGGCTGTTGTGCGCATGCCGGACGTGGCGTCGCACCAGACGTCGTCGACCGGCAAGGGCGGACTACAGCTAGTTTCTCGTGCCTTAGCGATCAAGCTATTTCGAGGGTGGGGCGTCCCTGATGCTGTGTGGCAGCCCTTCATCTCACACTGCGCGACGGATCACGCCATGGACGTTGATGATGGGCCTGCCGCGGACGAGGTTATGGGCAAGCCGCTTTATCATATTAAAACAATAACTCGCCGGCAAAAAAGGCCGAAGCCGGCCACGCCCATCTCTTCGCCGTTGATGCTGAAGTCTCCCGATGCTAAACGGCTGCATCGACGCTCACCTATTAAAGGTAGGAACGTGACCGCCGCTCCAGTCGTGACGGTGGCGAAGGACGCGGGTCTACGGCTGCTGACGGATGCCGGCAAGACTTTGGAAGAGTCCTCAAGTGCTGCACGGAGGCCTGTCTATCTGGACGACGACGTCGTCGACGTCGCGAAGCGGGTCGCGTCGTCGACCAAAGTTGCTCGCCATGCGGCGTCTCGTGCACTTGTAGATGAGCCAGAATTGGGTCGAGGGCTTGTCTCAATGGTCGCACAAGCTGCACGACGCCCTGAGCTGCCGGTGCTGCTTCGGCGGGTCGTGAAGCCCTTCGGACGCTTTGAGCCGCCCCAAAAGCTCGCGCGACCGACGGCGGATCTCTCTCGGTGGACTCGTCGGCGACATGTGTGTGCCAGACGCGAGACTGCGCTTGATGCGGGCGCTGTGTGGTTGGCGCTTCAGGGTTTGAAACCGATTGGAGAGCGCGGCGAGCTTCCCGACCTTCGCGGCGACGCGCAGCCCGCCTTTCGCCGCCACGACGAGGAGCGAGCGGTCGACGCCCTCAAGGACTTCCTCACGGAGAACTGTTTGTGGCCGACGCTGGCCGTCATCTGCGAGCAGACGCATGCTGGGCGACAATTCGTGGCCCACCTCGCTCTGCGGCGGCTCTCTACGAGGAAACAAGGTCTGTGCGAGGCCTTTGACCTGTGGCGGCGCGTCGGAGGCCTTAGCCAAAGGGCCTACGACGATCTGGCCGCGCGCACCGACCGCGCGCTGGCTGATATTGCCGGGGCGTCCGAGGACACGCGCGTCGTCCCGCGGCGCGCCGAGACTCGTGCTGCGGCGACCGTCGAACCTCTGCGCTTTGCGACTGAGATGCAGACGGAGGGCGCCTACGAGGTTTTTGTTGATGCGCGGCGCCACGCGTGCTCGGCGCGCCGCGACGTGCGCGTGCTGCTCGAAAAAGAGGTGAATGGTGCAGCGCGGGCGCCGTTGTACGATCAGCTTTTGCGTGGTATGTACCCGGCGGGTCGCGGTCCCGACGAGGTGGTTCTTCCGCTGTGCTTGTCGTGGGATGCAGCGCAGCTACTTCGCGACTGGCGGCGGGCGCGCGAACACAAGTCCACGGCCTGGCTCCTGCAGTGCTTGCTCAAGGGTGCACTCGCTGTCGCATCCAGTGTCGACCACCGCAGTTTTCGATGACGTTTCATTCACGTAGGACCGCACGCGTCACTGCCTTCTGCTGGGTTTAGCGCTCGACGACGACGGGCGCGACGCTCTGAAAGCGCACGGCGAGGCGTCGAGCCGGGCGCTCGCGTCGATCTGGGACACGGTGCACGACTTGACTGCGAGGGAGCACGGCGGCGGCGGCGGCATCTCCGTCAAGCTCAAGCGCGCCGACGGCGTCTACGCGCCTGAGGCCCGCGCGGCGATCTACGCCTTGGCCCTCGATTTGCGGGCCGTGTGCGAGGGTTTTAACGGGATGGGCTTCGCGAGCCCCGCCGATAACCCGTATACGGCGACGAAGCGCGACGTCGCTCTGCGGCTCGATCGCGGGCGCGGGCTCGTCCGCTACACGCCCGTCGACTTTTCGTACGAGGAGATCAAGAAGGAACACGAGGAGGGCGGCGCCGCGGCGGTCTTGCTGCGTTTTCAAAAGCGAGGTCTACCTCTGGTTCGCTCGGACCCGACGCGCGTCACGCACGGACCTCTCCACGTGGGCGGCACGGGCACGGCGGGCGTTGTGAAGGCCATCGGCCACCTCTGCATCAAGCTCGGCGCGCCAGTCCACGCGGCCTTCGTAAATCACGTCGCGTCGCGCCTCGGCCGGCGCTTCGAGCAGAACGTGCACGAGACCAAGACCACGCACCCCGTCACGAAGACGGGCGACTTCGCGCGGCTCGGGTCGCTCGAGGCGCACGCGTTAATCGGCTTCAAGCCGCCGGGCGTCCAGTCTGGTGGTTTTGTGACGAGGGTCATCGACCTGCTGGTCTTGTCGTGGCAGCGCGCGACGATGGCGCGCACGACGAGGGAGGGCTACCGGGCGTTCAAGCGCGAGATGCAGCTCAACTACTGGTTCGCTGCGTCGTTGCTTGCGGTCTGCTTCGGTAAAAAGGAGTGCCGCGTCACGGCGCGCGTCGCGGCCAACAACGCGGGCGCGCTGCATGGCACTTGCCAGAGACTGTCGCAGCTCCTGCGCGTCGAGATCACGCCGTGCGACCTGTCGGACCTGCCGGTCGAAGATTTCCACCGGCACGTGACGAAATTCTATAACCATGGATGCCGCGGCGGGAGCGTCGACAAGCACTTCCTGGACCGCGAAGTCGCCAAAATAGAGTACCTGCTCCGAGAGATCGACGCGTCCTGGCACTTATATACCGACGAGTCGCGCCGGACCGCGCCGCTTGCGCTCCTGGCCCACGAGAAGAAGAGACGCGACCGCGAGGACGCGGACCTCGCGCGGCTGCGCGCCCGACGCGAGGGGCCCTTCATCACTTGTCCACAGCTCGGGAACCACTGGGCGAGGACGTCGCGGGCGCGCCCCGTCCCAGCGCCAGCGCCAGCGCCGGCGCCTGCGCAGGACGACGCGGACGACGACGCGCCAGCGGAGCAGGACGAGGACGCGGCGGCCAGTGAGGACGACGTCGGCGCAGAGGAGGACGCCGAGGACGATGCGACGGAGAAGTTTCGCCGGACTTTCAAGAAAGTTGAGGTCGCGCTCTTGGCCGCGGACTATCGCCGCGGCGACAGAAGGGTGCGCGCGAGGCCGTTTTTGCTTGAAGATGCGGGCTACGCGGCGCGCCTCGAGGTCCAGAAGGACAGGATCCGCGTCTTTTTTGATAAAGAGGACACGGAGAAGACGGAGCCGGGCGCGCGGACCTTCATCGACGTGAGACCAGGCTCCATCTACGCGTGGTCCTGGAAGTCGGGCGCGCGCACGACCGAGCTCACGCTTTACCTCGTCGAGAAGCCGCGGTTCGGCGCCTTCTACGCTGGTTGTGGCCGCGGCGGCGCTGGCGGCGTTCGACTCGCGCACACCGACGCAGGCGAGCAGGACCAGGGGCCTCTCGCGAACTTTGTCTCGCCGTTCCTTGTCCTGCAGGCGTCTCGCGGCCCGCCCGACAAGCTCCGCAAGGCCTTCGAGGAAGGGATAGTGCTCTGCTCCACGTTCCTGCAAGGGCGCCGCGACAAGTCGATTCCTTCGGATGCAGAGGGCTGGGACGCGTCGCATCGCGCCGAGTTGATGTCCGAGCTCGCCAAGGACATCCCGCTCGCAGATTCTGCGCAGTGGGATAGGCTCCGCGGCGAAGTCGATGCGCTCGTCGCGACGTATCGCGACCACCGCGACTTCGTTTATTCGTCCGGCACGGAGGGCCGACCGCTCAAGCGCGTCTGCGACTGCTGCAAGAGATACGTCTACCTGTCCACGTCCGATCGATACACTCTCTGGAGTGGCGAAGTCCACGAAACCTGCATCCGACCGAAGCCTGGCGAGGCGGAAGCAGCTGTTGCGGGATGAGCTCGCTGCTCGAGGGTCCTAGACTTTCGTTGTTGTTTTTGAGTAAAGTTTGTACCACATAACTAGGGGAGCACTCCTACAATTTCTTACTACTCGCGAAGGCGGTACTTTCGCGGCGCGTCGGGCGGACCCCTATTCTTCGGGAGGCGTGCGACCGTCTTCGTGACCTTGACAAAGTCGCGGAGAAGCCACCGCGCCCCGGTCCTATGTTGGAGGCCCACGCGCGCAGCAGCTTCGATGAAGTCCGCCTCAGAGAACGTCGTCGGGTGCCGCGGCAACGCACCCAGAACCCGTCGTCTGTAGTGCGAGACGAAGCCGGCGTATTTGTGCCGCCGGCGCCAGTCGTCGTACTCGCGTCGGACACGTTTGGGGCCCTCCATAACGTATTCGTCGATACTCCACTGCTTAGCCATCGCTTGCGACAGTCTCGGGACGCGAAGGGTAAGTTCGGCCACGGGCAGCGTGAAGCGACGCCTCTTATTCCCTTGCTTCCGTATCTCGACGACGGCAGCAGCACCGTCAATTTCAAGGACGGTGCCGTACTGCCCATCTTGCAACCTGACTCCGGACGACTCGCGAATGCCGCCGTCGCGAAGCGCTTTGGTGGCGTCGTGGTGCTGCTGGAAGCGTATACCCAGGTTGTTGCACTGGACGCGCGACAGCGGGATGGCTTCTTCGCGATCGAGGACAGTGGCACGGGCCTCCCGAGGCTGCCCCGCGTCGGCGGCGTCGTCGGCGGCCTGCTCTTCGTCGATAGCGGCCTCGACGGCGGCGTCGCAGGCCGCATCAGCCTCCTCCTCAGCAGGGGCTGCCGCGATGCGCGCAGCCTCATCCATTGCCGGGATTTCGTTATGGAGCCCCGCGGGACGGTGCGGGCGGTTAATACGCGCAGCGGCACCGGCCAACGGCAGCGTTAAGGCCGATTTTGGCGGCCCTTTTTAGCCTGGTGCGCCTCACGCACCAGTCTCGGGGCCAACGGAATGCCCCCTCCAGGGCTAGTATGTTACATCAGGGACCCGGCTGGTCCTCCTCGCGCCTGATCGCCCTGCTGATAAGATGGGGCGCCGGGATCGACCACAGAGCATCTAAAATAACCAAAATGCTAGAGGACGGCGGGAAGGAAGTTTACCGGTACTCTCCTCTAGCTTATGCTATTCTCTACGCGACCAGGTTCAGAAGACGACAACATCGGGCGGTCGCCATCGCGCTGTTGCGCGCTGGGGCGAGTCTGGACGCTGTGGCCACAATTTCGGTCTATGACGCGCAATGGAACCAAGGCGCGAGCCGATCTGAGTCGATCGAATGGGTCCTGGGCGAGAAAGAACGACGGGATCCTTCGCTGGTAAACAACGCGCACTACCTCGCGTTCAAGGCGTTTCTGCTTTCCGTGCGCACGGCGGGCGGTCATCGTAGCTTTGTGATCGAACAACGACGAACGTGCGCGTTGGTCCGCCACCTCGCGCTGCGTGATCGTGCGACGACGCACGACGGCGCCTTAAAATTCCTCGCCCGCACGGGCGAACGGGGCCTGTTCCGACGGGTGCTGTCGTACCTATCGCCGCCGCCGCCGCCGCAGCCCACAACATATCTCAATCTTCGCGTGATGTGGAAGGAAAATGGTGAAGAAACCTTCTTCAAGCTTATTAGGTCCACAACACCACTCATGAGGATGTTTAGGGCCTACGCGCCGAAGGCCTCAGGATATCTGGAGGAAGAAGTCCATGTCACCCAATTGGTGTTTTACCTGCCCGGCTCTGAGGAACGGATCGAGGAGGGCTGGCAGACGGGCGACGACCTTGGTCTCGAAGACGGAGATACGATCATGTGCGAGCCCTATGCGGGGTCTCTTGTATGCATCCGAGATCAAATTGTCGTGGTGAAGCAGAAAATCGCGCTCGTGGAGGCCGACCAGCGGTACCTCAGTGCCGAGAACGCGGAGGAAGCCGTCGCGCGCGCGGCCGCCGCGGAGGCAGCGCGTCGCGTCGCCACGAGGGAATGAGCTATGTAAGTATGTGAACAACAACCTTAAGACCCCGCCAGGGGCGACGCCTCCAGCGCCGCGCGCACCTTCTCGTCCCCGAGCGTCTCGGCCGAGAAGAACCACGCCTCGGACTGCTTCCCCAACGTCTTCTCGAGGTACGCCTCGTACTTCACAAAGTCGTCTCCGGTTAATTGGAGGGGCGTCGCGCGCCAGTCGCCCTCGCCCAAGACTGGGGGCTCCAAGTTCGGCGTGACGTGCTCCTGCCGGTGGTGGAACTGCCAGGACTGGAACTGCTGCTGGTGGCACCAGTCGCGGCACTCGTCCCGTCTTATGTCGGTCCGGAACTTCTCCGACTCCCGTAACAAATCCAGAAACGCGAAGCAGTGGGGGTACTCCACAAACCCGACGTACTCCGGTCTGCGGAAGTACTGGAGGTAGTCGAGGAATTTCAAGAATTTCGGGTCTTCAAGATAGTCGTGCTGGGCTAAGAATTGGCAGTATAACGGACTTGCTAAGCACTGCAGGAACTCGAGCTCGGCCCGGAATCGCAACTCGGCTCGCGCTTCGTCGTCGTCTACGTCTTCATCCACCAAAGGCGAGGCGCGGCCCGGGATCGGCAACGCGGGCGCCATGTCCTCATCCGAATCATCGTCATCAGAAGAGAGGCCGGCGAAGGCCTTCATCTTGTTTTATCGCGTCCTCGCGGCGGCGTAACAACGCGGCGGCGTGCAGCCCCCAGCAGGGATCTCAGGGGGTGGTCCACCAGGCGGCGCGGCGCGCGGCAGCCGTTCAGGCTATAGCGTGCTTGCAGCAGAGCTGCAAAACAGTCACTCAAACGCCTCAGCGACAGAGCTACAGGCCTACGCCGCAGCCTGGCTTGCTTGCTAGTGTCTTTACATCCGCTAGCCCGGCAAAACGAGACGCGCTTCAAGCGCTGCGTTCTCGCCACCAAAGCGACCTGATAATTAAGGCACAGTAGTTATCTATCATATCACTTGCAACGGTCGACTGACAGCTGCAGCCGGCCTCGGTTTTGCATCGGTCATGTCGAGCACGATGCTGGAAGACCTCCTCGAGCGCGCCGAGGAGCAGACGCGCGCCGGCGACCGCACAAAGGCGACGGCACTCCTGCGGGCCGCGGTCGACGGCGCGACGGCGGACCTCGAACGCAAGCCGACGGAGCGCACGCGCGCCGTGCGCGCCGTGGCCGCGTACCAGCTCGCGACGCTGCTGCTCCAGGACGCGACGACGGCCAAGGAGGGCGACGAATTAGTATGGCGCCTCGGCTTCCGGCTGCGCCTCGCCGACGAGGCCCTGCGCTACGACGTTACATTAAGTCGGCCGCCGCGGCGCGCCCCGAACGCGCCCCGCGTCGTCGACCAAGCGCTCAGTGAGGCGAATTTGAGGAGCCTCGCGGCGATCTTCGGCCGCGACGCACCGTATTGGCCGACCCATGAAGGCTCGGACGGCTTCTACAGCTACAACGTGCCGCTTGATGATGAGGGTCCCCTCGGCGGGTTTCTAAGGGCGCTGCGGCCGGCCGCTAATGTCGCGGGCGCGACGTCGGGCGAGATCTGGGCGCACGCGCGCGAGGCCGACGGCGCGCACCAGCTGCACTACGACCTCGACGAGGCCGCACTACGTTCTTCAGGCGAGACGCGTTCACCCATAAAATCGTCGGTTTTTTATCTTGAGACCGTCGACAACGAGGGCGCGCCTACAATGATAATGGCGCGGCGCCTCGGCGATCATGAAGAGAACGCGGCAGGCTGGCTCGTCGCGCCGCGACCGAACCGGCTCCTGACGTTCGATGGGAGTTTGTTGCACTGTGTGGTGCCGCCGCTTCCCGCGCCCGCGGACGCCTCTAGAAGGCGCATCACGGTCATGGTCGGCTGGTGGGGGCCAGACGTGACCGTCGGCGACCCCGCGCGCCCGTCGCCGAACCGGCCTTTGGGGGCGCCGGCCTGGCTGCCTTCTGTTTCTTTTGAGGAGGCCTCTACTACGCCCGAGGCGACCGCGCCCCACGCCGTCGCGCGCGCGTGGCGCCGCGTCAAGGGTCGTGAAGCGACCTTCGGCGACCTCGCGTCGCCGGACGTCCTCCACGCGGGCCGCTTCTTCCTCCGCGACGCTCCCTCCGAGATCGACGCGAGTGTTATGGAAGCCGCGCCGAAGCCACCGGCGGCCGTCGAGTTCGTCGACCTCGCGAGCCTTGTTTCTGCGCCGGCGCCGGCGAAGAAGAAGCGGAGGAGCCGGTAAATTCACACAATCTTATCCGGTTCCACGCTTGTGCGCGCGGTCGCGCCCGCCCAGCTTCGGCGCGTCATCGATGACCGCAACGACGCACTCTTCAACCAGCGCCTCTTTCGAATCCATGCCGTCATCAAGCAGCTCGGCGATCCACCGGCCGACGGGCGAGACGACGGCCGCGCCGATGAAATGCGCATATTGCGCATGTAAACACTTCACCTTCCGCGCCGATTTAATTCCTGCGATGCCCACGTCGCGCAAAGCCTTCTGCCATCCTCTTTCTTCGGCTAATTGCCTATCAGTCTCCGTGAGGGCCGCCCACCGCTCCAGACCCGCATTGATATGAGCCGCCTCCGCCGCTCGCAACGCGTTTTCATCTCCATTCAACCGTCGCTCCAGCCGCCCGACCCAGCCCCGCGCCTCGAGCGCCGCGATGCGCGCCGACAGCAATTCGTCGACGAACCAGTACGTCGTCGGCCAGGGCTGCACCGGGCCACTGGCACCTCGCCGGCGCGGCGCCCGCTCCTCGACGGGCTGCCGCTTCAACGGATACAACTCCAGCACGGCCGGCCTTTGTTCTATCGTGTGCACTCGCAGCAGATTCGTCGGCACGAAGCCGAGGCGCGCTCTAATTACAGCCGCGACGTCCTCTGAGAGTTCCGGCGGCGCGACGCCGTCCGGCAGGGCCCAGACCAGCGGCAGGTTCGTGCCGGCCTCGATCCTGAGGGCTTTTTGCTTCCGTTGGCGCTTTGTGCGGCTGCGGCTCTTGGAGGCGTTCGTCTTTGGGGGTTGCTCCCAGGGCTTCTGGACGCCGAACTCGGCCATTGCAGGGTGTTGCGGTGCCGCTATGCGACGAATGCGGGACGGGCGATGCGTTTGCCGTGGGGAGAGCACTGGAGAGCAACTCAGCAAATGAATGCAGCGGCGGCGTGGGCTGGCCGCGTGCGTCGCGACAGCTCTTGTGCGTTGCGAACAGAGTGCAGCTTTAAGGGTATCGTGGCCGCGGGCGAAGCGTGAAGAGACACACTAGGATACAGCCGAGCCGTCGTTGTTGCGGATGGCTGCCCCATTCGACGACGACGCCATGATGACGATAGCAACGCATCGCTTCCGAACGTGAGACCGCATCGACGCACGCATACGATGCTCAACCTCCCGCGGGCCGTCAACCGAGGCGGCGCCAGCAACGCCCGGGCCACCTCCTGCTTCGCGGGCGCCGGCGACGGCCTCGCATCGAAGCTGCAGCGCCTGCACGAAGGCCGGCCCGACTCCTTTCTTTCCCTAGCAGAACTTGCGAGAGAGGACCCCGTGGGCCGGGGACGAGCGATCGACGGCGTCGCGACGGCGTCCGCGTTATTAGGACAGTGCGGCACGTTATTAGGAGACGACGCCCGGGAACGCGCCCGCGCGGCGTTATTCTTCCTTTCCACCCTGTGTTCGCCGCCGGAACCGGGCGCCGCGCAGCGGTTGAGCGAAAGGCAGCACGCCGCGTTACTAGGATACGCGTCAGAAGCGCGCTCCGCCTGCGCGCAACATCATGTCGTGAGACGTTGTGTCGTGGCCTCGCTCGACGAGCTCGCCTGTGGGAGAACGGCGAAGATCCGATCGCGAGAATCAATCACCGTAGAAGCGCTGCATCTATTGGCGCATCTGAGTCGACGGGGCAACGGCGCCCAGGACGCGCGGGACGCCGTCGCGGCGTACGACGTCGAACCTTTTCTGGTTGCGGTGAGGACGCAAGCTTGCGACGGGACCCTGCCGCGGGACTGGAAATCATCATTACTGAGCGGCTGCGACGAAGTAGAACAGTGCTACCACGTCTGTCGACGAGATGCGAATGTTGTGACAGATCAATATGCGCGACAAGCAATGAAGCGCCCGTTCCTCGCGTTAGCTGTTGAGGCGCGCTCGAAACTGCACGCCTTCGCGACGACGAAGGGCCGGGTGGAGCTCGGCGCCGAAAAGGCGGCAGCCGAAGCGTCCAAAGCGCTCCGAGACCTGGTGAAGGAGGTCTGCGAGGATACTAAAGAAGAGATAGCATCAGACGCTGACCAAAAGGCGAAGGCGTCCGAGCTGCGGTCCGCGGGCAAGCGGGGGGCGGCCTTCGACGTCGAACGAGAACGCTCGATGCGGCGGGCGGCGCGCGCGCGGGCCGCCGCGTTTCATGGCGGCGCCGCGGCCGCGACGGCTGCTTTACGAAGGTTCTCGCAACTAAACAAGGGTAAGATGGCCCACGGCGCGTTGGACGAGGCGCGACGCGACGTGCGCGAGGCCGCCTGCGAGGTCTATGCCGTTCTGCAAACCTTGGGCGACTTCGGCGACGGCGAGGACGCGGCGCAGGCCGGGCCCTTACTGCTGACCATGCTCGAGGACGGCGCTTCCAGATCGTTATCTCGTAGGATCAGAATCCAGGGCGTGGCCCGCGTCTGGTTCGCGCTCGAGGCGCTGCTGAGTGGCGACGTGGCGTCGGAACCGCGCCTTAGAATCATAGATGCATTAAGGGGGCGGTCCTCGGCGGTCGCCGACCTGGCGGCCGCGTCGTTGGTCGGCGACGGCGGCCCGCGGGATTTAGCTCTACATGATGAGGCGCGGTCTTCATTAAGGGTCGTCGCGGCGCTTGTGCCGCCCGGCGCCGACCAACTGAAGCCCCCGACGGCTCTAAGGATAGCGATCGCGTGCGAGGCCGTGGCCCAGTCTCAAAGTGAACTTGTTGGGTTGGCCATTCGGGTGTTACTGGTTGCGGCGCAGAGGGTTTCCGGGCAGACGCGCGACCTCCTCGAAAGACGAGCAGATGCTTTAGATGCGGACGCGGAGGAGCCTTATTACAAGGCCTGCGGTTTGTTAAGAATCGCGGACGACGACAAAAAGCTCGCAGAAGCTCTCGTCTTGCTAAGGGACGCGGCCCCAGAAGCGGGACCGAGCCTCGCCGAGGCCGGCGTCTCAAGTTTATTGCTGGACGTCCTCCGCGACGACGATGGCGCCGCGAAGAAGGCGACGACGGCCATCAAAGCTCTCGAGGCCGTCGGCGCCGTAGCTAGCGCTTCGTACGCATGCCGCATCCTTATAGCCGCTAATGGTTCAGTGGACGCCGTCCGCATCGCGTCGAAGTACGAGAACGTGCCCGGCGTCGCCAAAGCTGTGATAGACGGTCTCACGTCATTATTTTCTGATGGTGCCATCGACGGCGAGGCGCTGGACACGGCGGACGACGTGGACGAAGATGGCGATCCGGAGACGCGACTTCGTGTGAGGGAGACGGCCGTCGTCGTGAGTGCGGGCCGGTGCGCGCGCTTCGTCGTGAATTACGCGGCGAAGGCCCGGCAGAACGCGCTGCATTTCTCAGGTGGCGTGTCAGATACGAAAGCTATTGGGGATGAGGCCCAAGCTTCTGGGTTGAGGTGCCTGAACGCATTGTTAGCGACACGGGATAGAAGGAACATGTTCGCGGACCGGGGGCCGCCGGATACTGAAAATAGGAATGCCTTGAGGAGGTACCGGGCGCGGCGAGCTTGTCATTCTGCCGCTCGACGATTACTCGCGAAGGACCTCCGGGGCGCTGCTGGTACAATAGGTGACTTTTTGGAACGGGCCCAGCTCAACTTCAATCAATCTGCAGAAGCGACGGACGCGGCGCTGGAGGCCTTCAAAAGATGTCATCCAAGAGATGTTTGGAAAGGCGAAATCTTCCGGGGCGTCGAAGTGGGCGCCTGGCTCGCGTCGAAGCGCGGTTCTCTTGGAGAGGACTGTCTGATCCAGACCGTGGCGTGCTGCTGGGATACTAGGCATATCCTCCCGCAAGGGTGCCTCGAGGTCTTCATCAGGGTTGCGGCGTCCGGTCGCGAGGGCTTGGAAAGGGCAGCACCTGCCTTGGAAACGCTGTATGGCAAGGAAGCGGATAAGGGCCAGCACGCGGAAGCCCTGGAAGGGTTCAGCTGGACGACCGGAAAAAAAGAGTTGGGTGCGATGGAACGGCAGCAAGCTTTACTCGCGGCGGCGCGGAAGGCTCTGAATGCGCCCGCTCCTGTCAAAGCGGAGAAGTTCAGTCCCGTATTGTCGGACGACCGGGCCTGGCTGCCGTTCCAGAAGCCGCCGCCGCCCTCGGATTTTCGTGGAGAGGACTCCTTCTTTCGACCAGGGACGGGAGGCAGCGCGCGGTCTCGACCAGGGACAGGGGCCAGCGGGCGGTCGTCGCTGATGAGCCGCGGGTCGACGGCCGATGGGATTCGGTTACTCATGGCGCACGCTCCGAAGATTGAGCTCCCACCGCCGCCAAAATCCTCAATGTCGCGACGGCTCCACCCGTTGCCGCGCCGAGCACCTAAAAAGGTCCAGGTGAACGTCCCTTTACCGAATCATGCGCGGGTCGCGGCGGCTCGAAGGCGCGAGCGCCAGAAGCTTACCATGGAGAGAGACGAGCGGTCGCGGGCCGCGGCGAAGCATATAGTAGACAACGCGTCGTCGGAGCTCCCTGCGCTGAAACTGGAGGCGCGCGTGCCCCAAGACCATTTCGCCAATAAGCTGAGGCGGGCGAACGAGAACTTGGGAGCGTTGAACGAGTTGGAATTAAGGCACCTGCGGTCGCGCTGCCGCGTACGCGTAGGGGCTCGCGTGTCGACGGCCGGTCGCCGGATGGGCCGGGACTTGATCGACGACGCGGCGGGGGCCATGAGCATGGACGGCTTCCGGGCGGCCGTCGAGGCGCGGAGGCGGAAGGGTTCGATTCGACGGCGGGCGGCGGGTGGGGGGTACTTTTAAGTTCTGTGTTGTGTATGACCTCAGGGCCAACGGGTCCTCCAGGCTAATTACGCTCGAATACGGGGGGACCGTCAGTGGCACGGGCGCGGAATGGACCGCCATGGGGAGTGTATATATTTATATATTATTATATATAGCAGCCTCCGGGCGGCTTTCGTTCCCCTTGCTCCGCGATATATTTATAGAAAGCACATAGAATATATATATGGGCCCATATATATATCCCATGTACCTTACCTGGTATGTCCTCATGTATCAAAACGGGTTTGCAGGCGCGACGCGCGCGCGGCGCAAAAGGACCGCCCGGCGCCACCAACGGTTCATCAGATAGAGCCTTGTCACGTGCCCAGGCGAGTAAGTGCCACTGAGTGGCAATTTAAGCAATTAAAAAAGCAACTGAGCGGGCACCTTTGCTTAGCCGTCGACAAATAGATGGAAGTACCATCACTACCGATACACAGGGCCGCAACCTCCGGGGACGTCGACGCTTTGCGACGAGCGCTCGAGGATGGCGTCTCGCCAAACGCGGCGGATCCGCCGTACGGCTTCACACCTCTCCACTATTTGTGCGGAGGCGTAGAAGGAGGAGACCGAGTCGCTTGCATCGAGTTGCTCATAGCTAGCGGAGCCAATGTAAACGTGGGAAACAGTGCCAATGTGACGCCTTTGCACTGGGCAATCCTCAGCCACCCAGAGTTCGTACCACTGCTCTTAGACGCGGGCGCTGACCCGAATTACACCACCAATGGCCGTCAATCAGCGTTACATTATGTATTTATGTCAGATTATGATAATTTGAGAGTAAAAGCCATGGTCCAGGAGCTCATCAGAGCGGGCGGAGATGTGAACCTGACTAATCAATATGGTAGGACGCCGCTTGAAGCTGCTATCTTTACCAGAAATGTGGGTATGTATCATAAACTGTACCCGATTTTTTTCCGCGCCGGCGCAGCTCTCCCCACGGGGACGGACATTGCGTACGTACAGAAAATCCGGGCCGCCGGCGGCTTCAAGCGATACGAGCGCAACCACCTCAACGCCATCACCGCTACGTTCGTCCCCAAGTTCCCGCGTCTCCCGCCGGAGATGGTCCGCCGCGTCGTCGAGTACGCGTTCCACGTGGGGGACTACTAAGTACCGTTACTACGACCGAATACCTTAGTCCCGCTTCGCGAGCGCGTCCGCGCGCCGCGCGCCGCGGTCGAGCACGAGCATCGACACGACGAGCGTCGCGAGCGACGCGCCGAGGAGGTAGGGGAATTTTTCGGCGTCCGAGAGGTAGGCCGACGCCCCGAATATAAGTAACGACGCCGCCGACGTGCGCCGCGACTGCTCCGCGAAGAGCGCCATGCACTGGTCGTCGCTCCGCGCGGCCGTCTGCAGAATCTCCCGTTCCAGCAGATCGAAGGCCCACAAGCCAAACCGCGACGCACATAAACCAGCTAAAAATACCTTCTCGTGGCCATGGTACAGAGCGAAGACAGATAAAGCCGCACACAAAACTTGCGCCGCGTTCGAGACGCGCGCGGCTTTTCGCGCGCCCGTCCGCTCCACGACGAATGGTGTGAAAAACGTCGCCAATAAACCAGCGCCCTGGGCGAGCGTCTGAAATAAGCCAATCACGGCCGCGTCCGTGCGCCGCACTCCTCGTAACCAGGCCACCGTGACGCCGTGCGGACTCAGTACCGTGAAATACAATAAACAGTAGCAGTCCAGGCACCCGCGCGCGAAGGGGTCCAGCTTCTTTACCGCATTTAGACCTTCTAATTTGGAAGGTGACTTGGGGATGACCGATCGCGGCGAGGGCGGCGGACTGTCGCTGAGGCACGACCGGAACTTGCCGCTACATATGAAAACGGCAACACCGCCAATCACATGAGAAACAGCTAACGCCGCCGCCGCCCCGAAGTGGTGCGCGTGGCAGTCGTCGTCGTGACAATGCAGGCCTCGGAGCCCGCCGTGTCTTTTGGATAAGTAGCCCACGACCAACGGACACGACAGGGCCACGGCCATGTCTAATCTAACGAGTCGCGCGTTCGTTTCCGCGAGCCGCGTCGCTTGGATGGAAGATGATAGAGACCGCACGGCCACCTTGCCGACGAGCGTTTGTAAGGCTGACGAGCACACCGCGTCGACGCCAAAAAAAACAGCCGCGGCCCAGAAGGCCGGATTCCCGAGATCCCCGAGCGCCGCCCGCGACAACAAGGCCCCCAGCACCACCCCCAAGTTCTCGCAGATCAGCAGCCGCCGCAGTACTTTTGAGTGTCCTTGCGTCTCGCACCACTCCGCGACCTTCGTCGCGAAGAGCATGCCGAAGCCGTAGCGCACGACTTCTATCACAGCAACGGGCGCGACGCTTCCAGGTCGGAGTTCCGCGAGGTAGAGCGGTAGGAAGAGGCCCCACGAGCGGTCGCCGACGCACTGGAAGGCGTGCGCGGCCAGCATCCACCGCGGCGCCCAAAGTTGTTTCCTCGTGAGCTTGCCGTTTTGAATCTGTGCCCGCAGCTGCGTCCGCGTCAAGGCGCCGCCGCGACCCATCGCTGCTGTCGTCTCGTTGGTGGAGTACTTCAGGCTTCAGGCCTGCAGCTCACAAGTTGTACTTGAATCTGATGCTGCGGTGCAACGAGCGCGGTGCCACGAATTCCTGCGGCGCTCTGGCGTCCTCGTTTCAGCGAAGCAAGACCTCTGCCGCAAGTTAAGCAGTCCGTTTGCTTTGAGCACGTGTCGCAGAGAGGCAAGCTGCTCGCAGAGGCAATTGCATCGAGTGCAGCGCAGAGTCTCTCGTTGCACGCACAAACGCGAAGACAGAGCACCGGCATCGCTGGCTGCACGCGCGACCCATTTTAGAAGCGAAACTGTGCACGCACGGCGCGCACGACCAGCACCGATGCGCCGCACAGCCTACGCTTGGCTGGTGCTCGCCGCGGGCGCAGTCCACGCGCACAAGGGCCACCACCACGCCGACGACGACGGACCTTTCCAGCTAAGCCTCGTCGCGAAGAACGCGTACGGCGTGGAAGACTGCGTCGCCGGCTGCGTCGTCGAGCCGTACCGCGAGACGGTACTCGTCGTGACACGCTCCGACGCGGATCATGAGGCGCAGCTCGACGCCGCGGCGAACACCTTACAAATCGCGTCTGAGCTCGCGGCCATCGCGCACTCGCTGGGCCAGGCGCCGCCGGCCGACCGCGCGGCGTGGTTAAAGGAAGAGCGCGCCCGGCTCGAAGCGACGCTCGCAGAAGCCGAGGCGGCGGAGCGCGGCCACGACCACGATACTTACTCCCTCAAACTCCAGCGGGCGCCGGACGCGGACCAGGGGCACGCGCACGACGGGGGCGACGGGCACTCGCACCACTGCCACGGCGGCGACTGCCACGCGCACCACGCGCACGGCGAGTCTGATGCGCACGACCACGGTGGCGCCGCGGACCACGCCCACGGCGACGCCGGACACGCGCACCACGCCCACGGCGAGGCCCACGCTCACGACCACGGCGCGCCCGAGAGTCACGAGCACGACCACGGCGCGCCCGACAGTCACGAGCACGACCACGGCGCGCCCGAGAGTCACGGGCACGACCACAGCGCACCCGAGAGTCACGAGCACGACCATGGCGCGAGTGAGGCCCACGGGCACGACCACGGCGCGCCCGAGGCTCATGCACACGACCACGGCGCGCCCGAGAGTCATGAGCACGACCACGGCGCGCCCGAAGCCCACGGACACGACCACGGGCACGAGGAGCAATGCGAGCAACCGATCGAGCTCGGCGCCGGCCGCCGCGTCGTCGTGGGCAACGCCACGTTAACGGAGCCCGGCGCCTACACGCTCGCCGTCGAAACCAAGGGAGGCAAGGCCATATTTCAGGTCGACGTGCGGCACGCGCGGCGCGCGGCGACGGCGCTCACGCCCGCCGACCGGTCGCGGTTCCTCCAAGCCATTGTGAAGTTGTACGAGACGCCGGCGGCGCGGGGGCGCCAAAAGTACGGTCCCGCCTTCCGGAGCATGGACGAGCTCTGGGCCGCGCACGCGCTCCTCGGCGCCGACGGCGAGGACCACGACCTCCTCGCGGGGAAGGTCGGCGCGGACGCGGCCGCGGACCTCGTCGAGAAGTCTAAACCTCTAAGGGTACCAAGCGAGGTGCGAGACGTCGGCGGCCACCGGCTGGAGGTCAAGGGCGATCAAACGGATTGGGAGACCTTCGGCCAGCGCTTCGTCGGCCAGGCTCTTGGTTTGGAGCGGCGCGCGGCGCTCGGCTTCGACGGCGAGGTCAAGAAGCCGGCCGCGGCGCTCCAGGCGACGGGCCTCTCGCGGACGCATTCTACGTTAGATTCCAACTTCGCGGCCTTTGGCGCTTTGTTGGAGGCCGCCGTGCAGAGCGTCGACCCGTCCGTGGCGGTGCCCTTCTGGGCCGCGGAACAGGCGACGGAGGGCGTGCCCACGAAGACGTGGACCGAGGCCTTCGCCGCCGACGCTTCTAGGAAACTGCTCGGGCAGGCCGACGCGACCGCGCGCGTGCGCGTCGAAGGCCGGTGGGCCTACATGCCCGTCCTGACGAAGGACGCGCCACAGGACGCGTCGAAGCCGGACGGCGCGCGCCGATACGAGGGCTACGCCGTGCCCCTCATGGTCGCCGAGGACGCCGCCGCCGCGGCCTCGCAGTACGAGACGCCCCACGAGCTGCCGCCCGTGGCGACGGACCACCACCACGAGCACGGCCACGGCCACGGCGAGCACCTTTTCCACGCGCACGGCGGCGCGGCGCACATGCACTAGTTGTTTCCTTCGTTCGTGTTTGCGTGATAAAGATAGTTAGAGTATGACATGTTTACCAGGGATCCGCCGCGACGAGTCGTTCGCCCGCCTCGATGTCGCGCGATGCGACGCACCAGATGCAAACGCCCTCGCCCCGATTGCCGGCCTTCTGCGGCGGCGGCGCGCCGAGGACGCTGTTCGCCGCGCCCGGCCCCATCAGCTCGCCCACGAGCGGCACGAGCGCGAGCGGCTCGGACACGACCGTTTGTTCCTCGCCCTCGCCCACGCGCTGGAGCCACGCCGACGGCGCGCCCTCGTCGGTCAGGACGTTGGCACCGGCGTCCTTGACGTAGCCCGGCGGCGGCTTCTGCGCCGCCAAAACCAGTCCAAAACTCCGGCGGGCGACGCGCTCGAGGTCGCCGCGCGACCACGAGGGGGCGGCGCCGTCTGCGTAGAGCTCCGCGCGGCGCCAGTGGTCCGGCGTCCGCTCGAAGACCGTGCGCGCGGCCGGCCGCTCCGGCTTGGGCCCCGACCACGACCGGCGAGCAGCCGCCTCGAGGAGCGGGAGGACGATGGCGCAGCCCTGGTCGACGATCGGAGCCACGTCGGGGTCGATGAAGGCCGCGGCGTCGAGCTGGTCCGAGGCCCACAGCGGCCGCAGGGCGGGGCCCCACTCGCTGGGCTCGACGGTACCCGGGGCCTCCGGGGCGCAGGACGACACCAACCTCCGACGGTAGCCCCGGACCTCCTCCGCGGCGAGGAGCGCGGCCACCGCCACGACGCCGAACCCGGGCCCGGCCTTCTGCGCGATCGGCCGCAGCGAGAGCAGGTCGGGGTCGTTGTACGCGGCGTGGGCCGTCACTACGGACTCGGTGCTCATGGCGAAGAGGATGTCGCCTTTTTTGGCCGGCGCCGCCGCGATGATGCCGTCGACGTCGATGTCAATCTTTTCGCCCAGGCCTTCCACGCGATTGTTCTCCGCGGCCCACTCGCGGAGCGCGGCGCGGCGCAGCGGCAGGTCCGGGACGTCTTCCAGCGCCTTCTCCGGCGCGTCGGCGACGACGGGCAGCGGCGCGAAGGTCGGCAGCGGCGCGACGGGCCGATCTAGCGTTACGCTGGCAGCGTCGAGGCGGTCTACCGGCTTCAACGCCGCCGCGCTCGTCGCGGCGCCCGCAAATGTGATCGCGAGGACGAGCTTAGACATCTTGATTTTGTGAGAGCTGCTTGCGCTTTTGGACTCGCCGCTTTTTCTGGTTTGAAGCCGCCGCTGAAGCACTGGACCTAGACGCGGTCTGACGCCGTTTCCGGCTTGCCAATTGAACGGGCGCAGCTGCTCGATAGCGGTCTGCCAATCTGCGCCTCTGCAGGGGCACGCGTCAACGGAGCTGAGCGGTTCGGACGGCGAGATGCCGGCACGTCCTCTACAATTCCAAGGAGGATGCGGATGCCTCGTGGCGCGCACAGCTGCGGAGCCTCCGCGCGGCCACCGCCGCCGCGACGCGCACCGTCCGGGCCGACCTCGCCGCCGCCGCGAGGCGTGCCCGCGTCGGGAGCGGCTCCTCCGACGGGTCTGGACCTGCAAAATCACCGTCCGCGCGGGGCACGCGCGGCGAAGCCAATCCAGTCACCCCATTTTTTTGCAACAGATCGACCAAAAGCTGCCCCAGGCGTCCACCTCGCGCCCGCATTGCTGCCGAACCCCTGGTCGAGGACGCCTCACGCGGCATTCTTGCGCCACACCCCAAAACGCGGCGCCAAACGACCCGGATTTGGTGCCCTAGCGCCAGCAACAGCCAATGAACAAGTTCGGCGCCCAGGCCCTGGGCCGCTCGTTCCTGAGCCTCATCTTCGCGGGCGACGACGACCGGCGCCTCGGCCGCGCGACAACCATCGACCTCGAGGCGGTCCTCGCCGTCTCGCGCCGGACGTGGCCCCAGCACCTCGCCGCCTACCACTAATTCATGACACGTCGCCGCGGCGATTTTAGTCCGGGCGCCGCGCGCCCCAAGACCCCGCGCGCGCGTCGCAGCTTAAGAGTATTTGTGTGACATCTCGCGGCAAACGTGTTTGTCGGGCTTGCGTCGTCGGCGCGTCCGATGGTGTCGTCGGCGCGTCGTCGGCGCGATCGTGCGACACACACGGCGAGCCGCGCGTGCGGCTCGAGATGCGCGCACGCGGGAGGCGCCGTCGCCAAAACTAGGGTAGACTACGCACGCCTACTCCCCCCGGCGACTACGCGAACCCCTAGCGGTACTCCACGTCGATGTAGGAGTTGCCCTTGCCCGCCGAGTTCTGCATCTCCGCGGAGAGGCCCGAGGCGTCGGCGTCCTCGATCTGGCCCGTGATGCGCCGGTAGCGCAGCTTCGCGGCGCCCGTGAGGAAGCCCTCGCGGCCCGAGACCATCTGGTTGCGCTCGAGGCGCGTCAGGCCGTCGTCGTAGAGGTCGCCGGCGCCGTAGTTGCCGACGCCGAACTTGTCGGGGCGCGCCTTGTTCAGGAACTCCTCGCTCCACTCCCACTTGGCGCAGCGCTCCGCGCGGCGCGCCGCAAGCACGTCCGGCCGGCCGAACGCGAAGAGGAAGCGGCCCGGCCTGCGTCGAATCGAGACGTTACGCGAACACCCTGACGCTCCTGACACTGCGCCGCGGACGTCGGGATGAGCTTCGACAGCGTCTCCTCCTTCTTCGCCTCGCGCTCCGCCGCGCGCTGCGCGACGATGGTGGGGTTGCCGAAGCCCGCGAAGGGCTTGAGCGTGTCGGGCACGACGATGGTCGACGCCGTCTGGCCGCCCTTGGCCACCTGACGGCCGGCCGACGGCTTCGGCGCGGACTTGGCCCCCTTCTTCGCGCCGAAGGAGAAGGCCGCGGCCCCCGCCGCGAGGTACAGAATGACCTTCATCTCTGCGAAAGCCTGCGCCGCGGCGGTGGGTGGCGCGCCTGTCTTGCGCTTTTTTGGGGCCGACGAGGTGGATGCCTTTTCCGGCTGCCCGTGCCGGGCGCGTCGCCGGAGCCGGGAAGGAGCTGAGCGGGGCTGCGGGGGGGGCGGAGGGGCGCGCGGGACGCACCGACGTCGGCTTGAGCTGTATCAGGATGGCCTAGAGAGGCCAATTGACGAAGCCTGGCGCGAGGGACCTCGTGCTCTGGCTCATGTTGCCGTGTGTCAAGGCCCCCGGAGGCGCGGACGCGGCCTAAAGCGCGTCAGGTCCGCGGCGGCCCGCCCCGGGAGCGGCTGGCGAGCGATGGGTGGTCCCTGCCCGAAGCGTCCTTTTGGATCGGAGCGGCGGGCGACGCCCGACGACTCGCAGCCCCCGGGGACGCCCTCGCACGCGTGCGGTCGGTCGTGCGGGGCTTTGGCCTCCAAAAGCCAAGAAGGGAGTGGGGCCCCCGGCAGGCTGCCCGGCGGCACGGGATTGAGCACACTTCGTGCCGTTACGGCTCGCGTCGGTCTGTTCTCCACGTCGCCTTGGCTGGGATGTTTCGCTGCGGCCGCGCCGGCAGCTGTGTGCTGCTCTTCTTGCTTCCTGTGGCAGCACTCCAGTACTCGCATTGGTATGGCGCACTCGCGGGACGTCGAAGGCGAGCAACGGCGGCGCCGTGCTGGTCGAGTCCAGCGCGGCGATGGCCGGTCGCGGCGGCTCCGTCCGGCTGGCGGTCGGCAACGCCATCGACGCGCCGCTTCGGCCTCGCCACCGACCCATCGACAGCAATTCAACCGAAGGGTCCCGGCTTCCTCGACGCTCTGGCCGGCATCGCGCTCGACGGGTCCCCGTGGCAGTACATGCTCTCGCTGCGCGCGAAGGGCTACGACGGCTGCGTCCGCGTGCCGCTGGGCCCGGCCGGCGACTTTTACTTCCTGCTGTCGCCCGAATCGGTCAAGCACGTGTGCGTCGAGGCGGCCGACGAGTGGCCGCGCCGATTCAGCGTGCCCCTATTCGAGACGTTGGCGCTGGACCGCGGCATCGTCTACGAGCAAGGCTCACGGCATAAACGCCAAAAGCGGCTCTGCACTCCGGCGTTCGAGCGGGGCGCGGCGATGGCGTCGTTCCTCCAAGCGATTAGTCTAGAGAGCGACGCCCTGGCCGCGCGTTGGCGGTGTTTGAATAGATTAGACCTCTACGCCGAGACGCGGACTTTAACATTGAGGGTGGTCCTGCGCGTCACGTTCGGCCTCGAGCCAGACGACGCCGACGCGGAGCTGAGCGATGCCATCGCGTCCTATTTGGAGGCCATCGTCGCGACGGCGAACGAGGTGCCGCCCCTGTACCAGCTCTACCCGCCGCTGAGCAAGAATTATGTCCGGGTGACCGAGGAGCTGCTCCCGCGGCTCCGGCGGCTGGTGAAGGAGCTGATTGAAGCGCGACGGCGCGACGCCGCCGCCGACGCGCCGGACCTCCTCTCGCAGTTGCTGCGGGACGGGACGCTGGACGACGACGACATCCTCTACATTCTTTTTGACTTGGTCATCGCCGGGAGCGACACGACGGCGTCGACGCTCGCCGCGTCCTTGTATATTCTCCACGAGCCGCGGCACGCGCGGCTCCTGGAACGCGCCGTCGACGAGGCGCGGCGCGCGGATCTGGAGGGTTTGAGATTGGAGGAGGTCCGCGACGCGCTGCCCTACCACGTCGCCGTCGCGCGCGAGACGCTGCGGCTGTACCCGCCGGTGCCCTTCGTCGGCCGGACGGCGCTCTCGGCTTGCGACGTGCTCGGGACGCCCGCGCCCGAGGGCGCCGTCGCGTGCTTTTCGCCGTACGCCCTCGGCCGCGACCCCGGGCGCTGGGGTGTTGACGCGGACGAGTTCCGGCCCGAGCGCTGGCTCGACTCGGAGCGGGGCGGCGCGGATTCGTCGTTCTCCTTTTTGCCGTTCGGCGCCGGGCCGCGCGGCTGCCTCGGGACGCGCCTCGGCCTGACGGAGGCCGTCGTGGGCGTGGCGAAGATATTGAGGGGCTTCTCGCTGCGCTTCGACCGGTCGGGGCCGCTGCGGTACAAGTACGACCTCACGCTGAATTTGGGGGACTCGACGACTTGTAGTGTGCGCGAGCGGCGGGCTTAAACTTAATTTGTTGTTTGCCGGGATGTTTGCTGGGATTGATGCTTATTCGCGTTCGCTTATTTTATCTGTGCTAGAGTAGAGGTCAATTGTGGATGATATGACCTTCCCGCTGTTTGCGCAAGGGATCGGCGCTTTTCCGGCGAGTCAACGCAATGCAGCGGATGCTGGGCGAGGCCGGGCGCTGGAAGGCGCGGCGGCGGCAGGCTGGGACACCGCCGGACGCGGGCCCCACCGGGTCAAGATTTGGTAAATATTTATTCTGATAATTACTGATAAACCTATTACATCATCGCTTGCGCCGCGTTGGCATAGACACCGCTCGGGCCCGAGCCGCACTGCACGCACATGATGTGCTTGCACGCGTGGTGCGATCCGGGGTTGGTCGGGTCGCCCATCCAATAGAAGTCGGGGCAACTGCAGCACAGGACGCCCGTGCCGCTGTGGACCCACACGACGGATAACGTCTCGCCAAGGGCGTTGACCGGGTTGTCTAAATTGTTGTTGACCGGGAGGTGTGGGTCTAGGTCGCGGACGACGATGCTCTGCAGGAGATTGAAGCCGCCGTCGTGAGTCGCGGGCTGCGCAGGCGCCGTCGGCGCGAACGGAACGGCGAACTCCCCCCCATCGCCGCTGCGGCGACGACGGCGTCGGCGCGGGAGTAGTCCTACCCCACCAGCACGCCGTCGCGGCAAATTGTGGCGGGCGCGCGTCTCCCCCGCCCGCGCGCCGCGCTTCGAGATGCGCTTCGTGGATTCGCTCCCCCACCCGCGCGCCGCGCTTCGAGACGCGCTCCGTCGATTCGTGAAGGATTCATATGTTAGACAGGTCATAAGTGAGGGGGCGCCGCGCGCACCGGGCGCTCAGTACATCTGGTTCGGCAGCTTCTTGCCGCCCTTGGCGCGCCACTCGTCGTAGGCCTCCTTCGTGAACTCGCCGAACTTGACCTTGGCCCACTTGTGGCCCGTGTCGGAGACGCGGCTGTTGCCGGCGGCGTCGCGGAAGAATGTCTGCTTCTTCGCGAGGTCCTCGAGGTACTCCTTGACGCCGACGACCTGGGCCGCGCCCTTGGGGTACTTGAGCTTGTTGGCGGCGGCGTTCTTCTTCTTGTCGGCCTGCATCTTCTTCCACTGGGCGGCCGAGAGGCCGTCGGGGACGTACCTGTGAAGGGTTTCGCGTGACCGGCGGCGCGACGACGTAGCGGCGGCGGCGCGGCGGCGTGGCGCGTGTCGCGGGTTCTAACAGCGCGTTGCGAAACAGTGTAGTGGTGGGCTGGTACGCAGCCGGCCGGGCGCGGATACGCCGCGGGTGTACACTACTTGCATGCATGACTTTTCAGGCGTGCAAGAAGGCGCGAACGGCTACTGCGTGCTGCTGCGCGGCTCGGCCGCGGCCGCCGGCGCGGTTTCGAGGCAGCATGCGCCTTACGTGGTGATTTTTACGCTGGTTTTTGCGCGTTCAAAGCCGTGGCGCTGCGCTGCGCGGGCGCAGGCGCGAACGCAGCAGCGCCGCTGAGAGCGAGGAAAGCAATGACGGCGCGCATCGTTTTGGAGTCTGCGCTGGCACGACTGAGTCCTGACAAAGACAGTGGGGGGCATTTAGACGACGAGGCTCGTGTGAAAGCGTGCATTAGGGTCTTCGCGAGTCAAAATCAGATGTCTCCAAACACCCTACTTTCCTAAGAAACACCCGCCGAGGGACGCCTCAGAGAGCTCACGTCCCAATTTACATCCGCGCGCCCGACGGACGCCCACGTTCCGCCGCCTGGATGCACACCGCGACCACTGGTCCCGCGGTCGCGAGCAGACCTGTACGAAGCCGCACCGCTGCTGTACGGCACTCCCACTTTTGACGTTGTTTTTACTCGTGCTCGCGCCGCAAAGAGAGGAGCCAAACTAAAAGCACAACTAGATCGGATCCGCATAGTTTACCGCAGTGCATAGCAGCGTCCGGCCATGTATCACACGCGACGCTACCCAATCCGTCGCGCGCGCGCGGCGAAAGCGCGCAAAATCCATGCAAAAAGCACGCTGCCAAAGCAAAACTCGCTGCAAACCACACGGATCGCGCGGCCGCGTTCAAAACAGCTCCTCCAGCACCGAGACGCCGGCGCGCGCGCCACTCGCTGCTTCGTGCAAACAATTGCGCGTTGCAACTTGTTTCATGGCGCGCGCGCCTCGCGTCGCCGCGCGCGCGCTGGAAGTGTTGCAATAAACTCAACCCCTGCACGCCCGCCTCGTCGTCGTCGTCGCGCAAACTCAAACATAAACGCTCTCGTTGTCGTCGTCGTCGCGCGAACAGGAAGTGCAAAACCGCGCGCATCCGCCGCAGGTATAACTAAAATGGCGCTCAAGAAGGCCCTCGTCGCGCTCTGCCTCGGCTCCGCCGCCGCGTTCAACCCGCGCGCCAAGGCCCAGGTCAAGGCGGCGAGCAAGCAGCTCGCGGCCGGCGTCCTCGCCGTCGCGGCGGCGCTCCCCGTCGCCCCGGCCCTCGCCGCCGACTCGCTCGTCCTCGGCACGCCCCTCGAGGAGAAGCTCGCGGCCTTCGGCGCGGCGTCCTACCCCGTCGTCAACTCGATCACGGACGCCGGCGCCCTCGCGGACAAGTTCATCGAGTTCATCGACGCCAAGGTCAAGCCCGCGGACGCGTCCGCGGTCGTGAACAAGGCCGTCGACGGCCTCCTCGCCATCCCCGACGGCAAGGTCTCCGAGTACGCCGGCGTGCTCAAGCAGGTCGTCTACAAGGGCGTTTCCCCCTCGTCGTGCGTCAGTTCTTGTGTGGAAATCAAAATTTTACTGTGCGTTCGCCATCGACGCGACGCCTGCTCGATGGCGTGGCGATGCCGGTTCCTCACCGCTCGACGGAGCCAGCACGGCCGCACCATCGCCGCGAAATGACTTAATGCACCCGACACACTGGTTGATTCCACACAGGTCACTCTTGGCGGCTCCGAGGCCTTCGCGCAGAAGCTCCAGAACAGCGCCGCCGTCAAGTCCGTGCCCTCGTCGAAGATCGACGACCTCCAGAAGAAGTTCAAGCCGGCCAACTCCGCCGTGCCCGTCGGCAAGAACGGCATCTGCCTGCCCGGCTCCGTCGAGGCCTCCGAGAAGCTCTGGGTCGCGCAGGCCGAGCTCACGTTCTCCATGCCCAAGGCCGAGGGCGCGGCCCTCGTCTCCGCCGTCAAGACCGCCGGCGCCCAGGCCACGCGGTCCTCCATCGCCACGCTCGTGCCCGCCGCCGAGGCCGTCTTCTCGAAGTCGGGCGAGGCGATCAAGATGGCCGCCGCCGGCAAGGCCGTCGAGCCGCTCGTCATCTCGACGGCCAACGCGGCGACGAAGTAAACCGCGCGCTTCGCGACAAAACACTAAGATTTTATACTTCTCTGTCCTCGCGCGGTTGTCTGCCCGCTATCGCCGCGATGTATCAATGCGACACCATTCATCCCGCAACTGCATCTGTTCGATGGCGTGGAGGTCGACGGAGGTCTTTAGCGCAGGCAGTACGCTTAGGGACAGTACGCCTTCACTCGCGGGACCGACCGCGACGCTTCAACCGGCGCGAATTAGATCACCGCGGCACGGCCACGATCCGTCCCGTTGCGACGCATGCGGCGGAAATCGTGCAAAGAGGCCTGTTTTACTGAGGAACCTTTGGAGCGTGCCGTTGCCGTGGGGAGAGAGCACTCGGCAGCAAATCTATTGATAGCTGGTCTGAGCGCAATTAGCGTGTGATCTGGGCAAGAAATCGGCCCCAGAAGGTACGACCATGAAGCTCGCTGTCGCGACGCTGAGCTGTGCGCTGGCGCTGGCGCCCGCGCCGCAGAGGCCGCCTCAGACCAGGAGAGCGCTGCTCGCAAAGAGCGGCATCGCCGGGCTTTCCCTTGCGGGACCGCTTGTAGCACTGCCGGAAGCCGCCAACGCTGGCCGGTTGCAAGACATGGCGGCGGCGCGGGAAGCCAAGAAGAGTGGCGGCAAAAAGGCCGCCGCGGCGCCCAAGGCGCGTCGTCCGCGTCAAAAAATCAAGAGTTATGAAGACGCCGTCGCCGGCTCGATGGCGTGAAGAACAACGTATACAGAACGTCACAACCAGAATCCACGCAGGCGCCCAAGGGCGACAAGAAGCCGGCGCCGACGCCCGCGGCGCCGACGCCCGAGGAGGCGCCGGGGCCGCGCGACCTCGACGAGGCCATCACGGAGCTCCGCAAAACGGAACCGCCCCGCGAGAACGTGCCCGCGCCCTCGAAGCCCCCCGCGCCGCAACAGACGAAGGAGTTCCCGTTGAAACGGCAGCTCGAGAACCCCCAGGCCGGCTTCATCACGCGCACCCCGAAGGCGCCAAAACCGGACCTGAACGGTGCCTTGACCGAGGCGGGGAGGCAGGTCCAGAAGCGCAACGCCGACACGCCGCGGAAGACGGGCGAGGAGCTGGGCTTCATCCGGCGCGTGAAGAAGTAGGTGGTGTTCGACTTCGTGAGCCTAGGCGTTGTAAGATTACGAAAGGAGATCGCGCTCGTGGGGCCTTTGCGGCGTGTGCTTCGATCTTGGGCAAATTGCTGTGTGATGCAGCGACGAGCCGGGCTGGCTATAGGCTCCGAGCGCGGCTGTCGGCTTTGCATTTTTGCTCATTCTTGCAGCCGAGCACCAATTTAAACTTGACGACCGCGTCACGATGCATACAGGCTATGCATCAATAGCAGTCGATGCATCAAGCAGCGCTGCTAGCGCGGCTACTCAATCGCAAGACGATGCGTGGCGTCCGCAGCACCCGCAGCGATGCACCGCAGCCGCGCAAGGCACGCCGCCGCAACCTGCGAGAAGAAAGGATGCAAACTCGCCGACGTCGGTCATCGACGCGCGGGATGACAAGCAGTTCGCGCCGCTGGGCGCGGCGCAGAACCACGCCGTCGCGCGCGTTGCATTGCTCGGCGTCGCGCTGACGCTCGGCGTCTTGCTCGTGATGCTCCTCGCGCTCGGCGGTACGTACCCGGCGCTCGTGGGCCCCGGCTTGCTCGCGCTCGGTTTTGGATTAAGGCACGGCATGAGCCAGTGTGTGATGAAAGATCGATTGTGCCGATATCGCGTCGATGGCGTGGGGGGTGACGCGATCGAACACACAGGCGTCGACTGCGACCACATCGCCGCCATCGACAACGTGGCCCGCAAGCTCTCCGCGGCGCAGCGGCCGGCGGCTCTGGTGGGCCTCTGGTTCTCGCTGGGCCACTCGACGGTAGTCGTGCTGCTCTGCGCGGCGGTCTCGACGGGCTCGGCCTACGCGAGAGCGCACGTCGCGTCATTAGCGACGGCCGGCGCGAACGTGGGCGACGCCGTGTCGTCGATCACGCTCATCATTATCGGCGCGATCAACCTGGCGGCCGTCGGGCCGCAGTACCGCGCGTGGAGAACAGCAAGGCGCGGTGTCGCGGGCGACCACGGCCACGGCCCGCTGCACGCCCACGCCGCATCGCTCGAAGACGACGGCGAGGAAGTGCGGGTCGAGGCCGCCGGCTGCCTCGTGGGCTGCGCCTGCTGCCGGTACGTGCTGGGCCGCGTCGACAGCGCGTGGAAGATGTACCCCGTCGGGTTCCTCTTCGGGTTGGGCTTCGACACGGCGTCCGAGGTCGGGCTGCTCGCGCTGGCGGCCCTCGGCGGCGCCGGGGCGGCCGACGGCGTCCCCGCGGTCCTCGTGATGTTGCTGCCGGCGCTCTTCGCCGCGGGCATGGCTTTGGTAGACACGTGCGACGGATTGCTCGTGCTCCTCGCGCTCGCCAAGGGCGACGGCGCGGACGCCGGCGCGCTGCTCCTGGGCTGCGGGCTGACGGCCGCGAGCGCGTCCGCCTCGCTCGGCATCGGGCTCGTGACGGCGGGCGGCCTCCTGGCGCGGTGCTTTCCGTCCACATTCGGGCCGCTCGCCGCCGTCGCCGACGCGCTCGACGCGCACACGACGGCCGTCGGGCTGCTGATCGTGGCGCTCTTCGCCGCGGCGCTCGCCGCGGCGCGGTTCGCGCCGGCCTGCCGGCGCCCGTCCTACGCTTCGCTCGTCTAGCCTCCTCTTTCTTCGCCGCTGTGTAAGAATGGTCCTGTGTTTGTTCTGTTCTTTGCTGAGTGCCCTCCCCTTATCTGTACGGCACCGGTGCTATATCCTTGGAAGCTACTAGTATTAGTCACTTGGCGGCGACGGCCGCCGGACGAGCCGCCGCGCGCCCCTCACGACGTTCGCGCCGACGGCGAAGAGCAGGAAGAAGGGGATGCAGGCCCCAAACGCGCAGCGCATCAATAAGCTCCCGCCGTCCATCTCGTTCGACGTCAGCGGGAGCCGCGCGGAGAGCTCCGCGTCGACGTAGAGCACGACCGCGAGCGGCAGGAACGCGATCGCGAGCGGCGCCGTCGCGAGCCGGTGCCAGCGCTCCGTGCGCATGCCGACGCCCGACCGGACGCCGCGCGCGCCGAGCGCCAGCAGGGCGCCGGCCAGCGGCGGCGCCGCGACCCACCTCGCGCCGGCGAGCCACGTCGCGGCGACGCCGCGCCAGCCGCGCGCCGCGGCGAGGCGGGCGCCTATTTTGGCCGCCGTCGCCGTACGCCGCGGCGGCGAGAGCGCGAGCGTGACCAACGCGAGCGCCCAGCAGGCGGCGGTCGCGGCCGCCGCCGTCGCTAGTATGTCCTGGTAGAGCTCGCTCCGCTCCGGGTCGCGGCTGATGTTCCAGCTGCGCTCGAGGTTGTCGATTTGCGTCTCCGAGTACAAGCGCGTCCTTTGTCGCAGTGCTGGTGCCATGAGCGCCCTACTCAGCAGCGTTCGGCGGATTTGCGCCTCCGACATCATCCTCCGGGGCGTCAAGCGTCGTGCAGGTGCGATGAGCGCTCGACTTGTGGTGGCTAGGCAGCAGAGTGGTGCTGCTAGCCGCATGGTATTAGGCTTGAGACGCTCGCAGCGCTTCTGATTTGACCGATGTCGTGGGGGGCCACGCGTGCCGATGCGTTCGCGTGCGAGCAATGTAGTGCTCTGGGCTGCAGCACGGCCCAGGGCTTGCTGGGCTAGTGTCTTACAGGCCGCTAGCGGTTTGATCGCGGCCGAGGAGCGGGTGTATTGGGGTTGTTGAAATGTATAACAAGGTGCGCAATTGTTTTCCAGGAGGGGACGGAGCTGACCGAAGCGCAGCTCGAAGCGCAGACGGGCGCCGCGTCGTGAACTCCAGTGAATTGAATGCGCGACCGTCGAAAGCACAAACACGCGGTCGTGGATGTTGCCAATTGTGGCTCCGAGAGGGCGTCGCCAAGGGCAGCCGTCTTGCAAGCGCCGTCGCCGCCGCGCGCGCGGGACGCTGCGAGACGAAGTTTCGGTGTGCCGGACGCGTCGGGTTGTTTCCTTTGGTCTTATCGGGCGCTTTTTATACGTGAATTGGGAGTCAGGGAGGACCAGACTGCGCGTGTGCCTCGATGATGGAGCTCCCGCCGGCATGACCTGGCTGTCTCCCAAGCAAGTCCTTGCAAGGTGTCTGGCGCCAGATATCGAGGGTCTGACATCGGCACCAGCCTTCCAACAAAGCTACTGGAGTAATCAACATGCTGCGCTTGTCTCTCGTAGCGTCTGCAGGCAGCAGTGTCCCCATCCGTGCTTTTTGCCTGCCGCAACTCGAGCAGACAGCGCCGGTTTTGCGGCTTGAAGATGCGCGCGCGACGCGGCGGCCGGCCAGCACTGCGCTTTCAACTGGAAACGTCGTACGCGTGATAGAAGAATGGCTGAGCCGCGCGCCGCCGCCGCGACGCCGAGCACAGTTGCAAAGAGAGACAACACCCACCGCAGGCCGCGGCCTTCGCGCCGAGATCCACGCTTGACCGCTGCACGCGGCTGCAGAACCAGTGCGGCTCGGAGCGCGAATCAAATTTCCTCGTGACCGCGTCTGCTCGATGGCCGCCGTCGACGCGGCACGATGTCCCCTACGCCATCGATCTCCACGCAGGTTCGGAACCGACGACCCGTCGTCCTACCCCACGTTCCTGCCGCAGGGCGGCATCGGCGGCACGGGCCCGCAGCCTGAGGACGAGCTGTTCGGCGTCATGCCCTGGGAGCGCGAGGCCTTCGCCAAGGTCACGATCTCCCCCAAACAGCTCGACGAGGCCTTCATGGGCGGCTGCCAGTCCATCCTCGACGCGAAGCTCGAGGGCTACAGCGAGGAGCAGGTCAAGAAGATCCTCGACGAGAAGGGCGCGCTCGAGGTATTGAACATGGCCGCCAAGGACCTGGACAAGTACTTCAACCCGCCGCCGCCGAAGGTGAAGAAGGTCGCGAAGAAGGAGGCCGACGGCGACGCGCCGGCGAAGAAGGCGCCCGCGGCCAAGAAGGCGCCGCCGGCCAAGAAGGCCCCTGCGGCCAAAAAGGCTCCGCCCGCAAAGAAGGCGCCGCCCGCAAAGAAAGCTCCTCCCCCGAAGACGGAGGCGTAATTAGGTAGTACAAAACATCTCGGGGCGGCGGCGTAGGGGCGTCGGCCCCGCCTAGCTCTAAGCAAAGAAAAGTCAAACAGGGGATCATCTTTACAGGGCCGGGTCCCAGGCCTCGTCGAGGCCGACGTAGTCGCCCTCGCCGCCGCCGAGGAACGCCGTCGCCATGCCGTAGGACTCGGCCGCGCGGCAGGGCCGGTCCTTCGCCGACAGCACCAGGATGCGCTCGGCGCGCGCGCCGCGCCGCACCAGCTCGTCGACGGCGCACCTCAACAACAACGCGTCGTCGCCGAGGAAGCCGACCTCCTCGGCGTCTCCACCGAGGGCCCGGTACACGGCCGCCGTGTGGGCCACGCCCCGCCTCTCCAGTTGCCGGTGCTCGCCGTCGAACGCTAATAAAGGCACGCCCTGGCGCACCAGAGCACTTAACTCAGTCTCGAGGAACGCATCCACAGCATCCTCGCCGCGCAGCTGCTCGAACTCCGACAACGACACGAAGCCGTCGTTGCCGCCCTGCGTGTCCCAGACCAGGTCCCCGCCCGTCGCGATCAAGCAGGAAGCTTCCACGCCCTGCTCGTCGCGCGCCGCCTCCCGGAACGCGACGGGCCTTGCTCTTAAAACATCTAACAACGCCGCATGGTCGCCGGCGCCCGCTGCGAGGCCGCAGCACCGCCTCCCGACCCTCGCAAAAACTCGGTGCAAATGCTCCCTAAGGGCATCAGACACATAAGAGGCATCATTTCGCATGTAATCGTCGACCACGGCCCGGCCCAGCGCCGCCGCGGCCATGGGCCCGACGACGGCCGGCGCCCGGGCTCTGGCTGCCCTACGTCTTTCTTCTCTCGTGCGAGGCCAGAGTCGTTCCCTCAACGAAACGAACGGCTCGTACGGGTCGCACACACCAATTCTAGTCAAAGTCTGGTGCTCGATGGCCTCGTCGCAGACGCCATCGACCGCTAACGCCACGGGCTTGCCCGACGCCTCGAAGGCGTCGAGCAGCCACATCGCCTTCTCGTTCGACGCGTCGCCGTCGTGCAGCGGTCCTCTAGGGGAGGCATCCACGATGAGCCCGTCGAAGGCGCGGTAGAGGTGGTCCCGCGGCAAGGCGTGGAAGCTCTGGGGCGGCGTCTGCGTGTGCAAAATGGCGCTGGCCAGCGGCAGGAGGGCTGTGAGGCTCTGCCTCGGCATTTTTTGTAGCTTTTTTTGTGCGCTGCGGAGTAAGGGCTCGACTGGCGCTTCGCTCCTCGCTGTTCAGCTTCTGTACTTCTTCCGCTGGCGCGTATGCGCGCCGAGCAGCGGAGCTCGTGCCCGGCAAGGCGGTGAGACACCCAGCTCTGACAAGCCGGGTGGGGACCTCCGAAAAAGGCGGGACGTGTCCTCGGATTGGTACTAGCTTGACCCGCTATAGTTCAGGAAGGGGCCACGAGCTTGCATGCTTCGCAGATGGAGGCTTGTGCTCATATCGTCGTGGTCCTTGCTCAACAAAAAAGCAGGGGGTAGATTTGCAGATGAAGACCGCCCTAGTCCTCGCCCTTGCCGGCAGCGCCACGGCCTTCGCGCCGCGCAGCGTCTCCAGGCCGAGCGTGGCTGTGAATGGGTGCTCGTGCAGCGTCCGACACACTAATTGAGCAGCTTCACCGCCCCGGAGCCCCCCCCCGACGCGCGGCGCGGTGCCGCCGGACCCCGCGCGGCGCGGCGGGATCAATGTATAGCTGTTGAAAAAGCATCTCTGGCTGGCTGTCGCGCGCGGCCGGCGGCCGCGCCGCGCGCAGCTGCACAAGATACTCCCAGAATAAATGAGAGTTTCGACACGCGAAGGCTGGCGCTCGTCGCCGTTGAGCTGGCCGCGAACGCGCGCCCGCTCACGGTATTTAAAAACGCCCAGGTACGTGCCCGACGGCCTCTCGGCCTCGGACTGGGCCGCGCGCCAGCAGAAGGAGAAGGCGGCCAAGGTCCAGAACAAGGCCAAGTACCCGAAGGGCGCGCCCCAGGTGCCGGCCCGGCGTTTTGTTTCGTTCTTCTTTTCGCGTCGAGACGGCGTAGCACGCCACCGGCACGCCGTCGCGGCGATGGCGTCGAGCGAACGCCGTCACGTGGCACGCCGTCGCCGCGATGGCGTCGTCGTGGGAGTAGTTCTACGCCACTGGCACCCTGTCGAGCACCGTCATCACGTGGTCGCGCGCAGGTCCTCGGCGTGAAGGAGTACCTCGAGAAGCTCCAAGCCAAGCAGACCTTCTACAAGAACAACGTCGGCAACGCCAAGGTCGCCAAGTCGGGCCACGTCTACGCCAAGGTCAAGTTCGGCGACTTCACGAAGGAGGCCTACGACGACTGGCGCAAGAAGGGCGGCAAGCCGCCGAACAACAACGAGGAGGGCCGCTCGGCGAACCACTGGTTCTAGGTCTTTCCGGTGGTTGTACGCGGCCGGTGCGCCCGCCGGTGCGCACACGCGTCCTCTGTCTTAAGCTCTACTATATATCTTACACTACGCTTCTGTTGCGAGCGACCGTGCTTGGTGGTTGCTTTACGTCCGACGAGTCGACGGCCATGCGAAGCTCGACGACGAGGTGCAGGTTCGTTCGCGGGCCTCCGAGTCCGGCGTCGCGGCGACGGCGTGAGGGTGCGCCATCGGCGCGGCAGCGATCGCGGCGACGGCGTGCGGGTACGCCATCGACGCGACGCCGGGTATTCTATAGTACGACACAATCCGGTTACGCCAGACGGGGGAGGGAGGGACTAGGGAAGGGGGGAGTTTCCCGCGCCCCGCGCCCGCACGCCTGCGCACGCGGAGCAGCCAGCCTGGCCGATCCGCTTAGTGCGAGTGCCAGACGCCGTCGTGCTCGTGCCAGTTGCCCGCGTGGGCGTGGTCCCCGGCGGCCGCGTGCTTGTGGAGGACGCCGTCGTGCTCGTGCCACTGCTCCTCGTCGAGCTTCGCGGCGCTGTTCACGACGACGGCGTGGCCGTCGACGTGGAACCCAAGCACGGGCGACGCCGCGGCGGCGGGCCGCTCGAGGACGGCGCCGCGCGCCACGTTGGCCTTCTGGGCCGGGGCCTGGCCGACGAAGGCGACGGCCGCCGCGGGGAGCAGGAGCGCGCTGGAGAGCTTCATCGACCTGCGTGCGGGCGAATTTTGAAATGAGCTGGTGGCCGTCTTCGTCACTCGTCGCGGCGACGGCTGGCCTCTCTGCTTTTTGTGTGCTTGCTTTCTCTGCGTTCGTCCAGCGCCGCAGCGGTGCGGGGGCGCGGCGGCCGCTCGCGGGCGGGCCGGACTGCGCTGGCGCGCCGCAGGCGTCGTGTTTTTGGTGTTTCAGCAGCCGTGCGACCGCGTTTGCGCGTCTCGCGAGCACGCGACTGCGTGCTGGTGGGCCGCAGCTGCTCTGGCGCGGTGGGGTGGGGACTCTGAGGCTGACTTTTTGGTCTGCGGTGGACGGCCTGCTTGACGCACAGCTAATATGCCCTCGAGGCGTGTGCTGCCTTTGTAAGGGGCCCATGCGAAACCAACCCAATTGCGGCTCCAGGAGAAGCCTAGAACCAGCCTTCGTTCTGGACGTAACCTGCCCCTGCTTCCTCGATCCGTGCAAGTAGCCCTGTCACTCAAATGGGACCTCTTTGAGGCCTTCGCTCCATCCGGTCTTGGCGGCGGCCCCAGGCCTGGAACAAGGTTGGCTCTCATGGCTTTCAACAGGCGGAGCGGGCGCGGGTCGCACAGGCCGAGCACGGGGCCTAATCGAGGTTGCCATCAAATCGGCTTTGTAGCACGCTCGTCCCCGTCATTCGTGACGTCAGAGCCTTTAGCCGGTGCCCAGCCGCGTCGACAGTCACGCGCGAGCATCGTGCTGCGCTTCAAAAGCGCCCGCTCGCACCGCAAAGCTAGCAAAGGCGCTGAGCCGTCAAACCACGCAAAGGGAGAGCCTGAATCAGTCCACCCGCGAGCCCGTCGCGGCCGTGCGTAGGGCCGCTGAAGGCCTGCGAGAACGCCCGGAAGTCGGCACGCGGCATCGGCATTCAAAGAAAAGAGACCGCGCCCGCGACGCGCGCCGCCCGCAGGCCATGATCCTCGCATTCGCCCTCTGCGCCACGGCCGCGGCCTTCGTCGGGCCGGCCGCCGCGCCGCGCACCACTGAACTGCAGCATCATAAAGTGAGAAGCCAGGTCGCCGACCTCAAGATCTACCGCGAGGAGATCGACTGGGAAACTGGCGAGGTCGTCCAAAGGGAAGTGGTCGAGGAACCAGTGGCGAAGGAGCCGGTGAAGCTCAAGTACACCTACGAGGAGCGACGGGGCGAGGAGGGCCAGAAGCTCGCGCTGCCGCCCGTGTTCGGCGGCGTGGGCGCCGCGATCGCCGTCGCGGCGATCGCGGCGCAGGAGCCCGTCGCCGCGCTGTTCGCGACGCCCGCGGTTCTAGGTGCCGCGGCGTTTGCTGTAAATGAACTCAAGCCCGTGCCCGTGACCTACGTTGGAAACTGTGTGGAAATCAACCAGTGCGTCGGGTGCACCCGACAATTCTTCACTAAGTCATTTCTCGGCGATGACGTGGCCGTCCTGGCTCGGTCAAGCGGTGAGGAACCGGCATCGCCACGCCATCGAGCAGACATCGCGTCGATGGCGTGGAGGACGACGCGATGATTCAGCACGAACGCGCCGTAAAATTTTGATTTCCACACAGGTAGGAAACGAAGATCGCCTCAAGGCCCAGTTCGACAAGCACGCCTCAGAAGCCATGAAACTGCTGTTGGAGGACGTGACCGCCCATAGATATTTCGAGGGCGTCCATTTGGAGCCGGCGTTGAAGGAATTAGGATTAGCCGGCCTCGGCCCAGATCCTCCGACATTAATCGAGGCGGAGCTGTCGGGCGGCGGCGCGGACGACACGGACGAGGTGACGCTGTCCCTCGTCTTCTACTCGCCGGAATGCCCCTACAAGCTCTGGGCCGCGTTAGATCGGAAAGGTACCCTCGACGCCTTCTTCGGCTGCAATGCCGAGGTGGAGAAGATCTCGCAGCCCGAGAAGAAGCTCGCCGTGCGCCTGTCCGTGCTCAAGCCGGTGCAGACGCCGGCGGCGGCCGTGCCCATCGCGTCGGCGCCCGCCGCGGCCATGGAGGCGTCGGCGGCGCCGGTCGAGGGCGCCGTCGCGCGATAGGCGGGGCCCCCTTGAATACAGCATGTGATCTTTCTATTCTCCCTCGCGTCGATGGCGTAGGGGCCGTGCCCGACCCCGACGCCGTCGCCGCGACGCATTCGACGCGGGCGCCGACTATTGAAAAAGGGAAGCCGTATGAATTCTAAAGTTAGGAAGAGAGCAGCTAGACCGCCCGGTACTCCGTCAGGTCCGACAGCCTATTCACCAGAACGAAGGCGCAGTCCCGCGCGCCGACGACGTCGTGGCCGCGCGGGTGCGCGAACACATAGGGTTTCCTCCGCGACTCGGGAAAGCGCGACAGCGCCACGGGCAGCAGCTTGCGGTCCACGGCGTGTTGTACTAGTGTAGAGTAGGGCTTTCCCACGAATTTGGGCGGGACGCGCACTAGAATCACTCGACACGTCTCGTACCTTTGCCCGTCGCCCAGCACCGGGTCGGCCGCATCTATCGGTAACCGATCCACGGCCAGGCACTGGTTCGCAAACGCAAACGCCGCCTCCGACGAGTGCATCGCCACGGCCGCGCATTGCAAGTACGTATCAACGTAGATCTCCCCGGCATCCAGTAACTCTTCACACGGATTGAAGAAGATGACGTGGCCCGGGTCCAGTAGCTGCACGAGTAGTTTTGGTGAATGGCCATATAAAGCGCAGTGGGCCTGGACGTTTCTGGTGACCTGGACGTTGTAGCCGTCGCCACCTAGGTTTTCTTCCGCGACCGTGCCATTCACGTTGGGCATGACAAACGTAGAGGCGGTGTCCACGCGACATCTTTCGAGCGCCGAGGGCCATCCTGAATCTGCTCTACCGGGCGCGGTCCGGGGATCACCCCTAACGATCCACAAGCGCTGCGCGTCTTCGTCGGCAAGGGGCTCGTAGAAGATGCACGACCGCAAAGCGTGTTCGAGTTTGTGTTCGTCGGCCCACTCCGAGGGATCATGCGTCAACAAACAAACTTGCGGGATCCGGCCGTCGGCGTCGGCGTCCGAAGCTAGAGGTTTCAAGAAATAAGGAGCGCCCTGTAATGTCCCGCAGAAGACCACATGGTCCTTGACATCGGCGGGCACTTCGTCCACGACATGTTTAGCTCGCCATTGTTCGAAGTACTCCCTCCGTTCCTTGCCATTCAGCCTCGCTACTTTGTCTCGTAACTCGTCACTCAAGTGCCGCGCTGCTGATGTTGATCTAACGAGTTCGTGCACCGGCAATACCTCGGCGACGCTGTTCTCATTTAACTCTTCCCAAGCGTTCCTAGCGACCCAGCGCTCGAAGGCCGCGACGTCAGACGGCTGCCTAGCTAACACGAGCAACCGGTCGTCCTCCCGCAACACATACTCGCCGGGGAACGTACACACGGACGAATGGGAACACACGGCAACGGGCAGCACGTCGTGCTCCTGCACCGCGAGCTTCACGAACGCCGAGAACGTTAAACCGGCCGCGCCGTGCGGCAAGGCCGACGAAGCGAGCTGCGCGCTTCTACCGACCTTGAGCTCCGCAAACAGGTTCTCGGCGGCCTGCTGGTTGTCCACGAGCGCGTTCTTCGAGGAGAAGGCCTGCGCGCGTACGTTCGGTGTGGTCTCATGAAGACGCCATCACCGCGACCAAAGTTGATTTTCTACGCTGAGTCACGGACCTTGTGGTTCTTGAGCATCTCGTTCTCCGGCTGTAAGAGTTCCGGCGTGTTCCCGATATGCGAATTCTGGGCGTACTCCGCGCCCGGCGCTTCGGCTAACAGCGTAGTGAGTAACAGCGCCAGGCCGGGCACCTCGACGCTCCGCCCGAGCATGGCGTATTTGAACGCGTCGCAGCACACTACTCGAACGTCTTCCCTCGCCAATCGGTGGGCATTTCGCTCTAACAGTAGCTGGGCCACTACCCGGACATCCGGTAACCGTCGGCGAATAGCTAAAACTCGTTGGACCGTCGTGTTGTCCTCGTGCTGCTTGCGCGAGTGCGGCACCGCGTCATCGCCCAAAACCACGAAGCTCCGCGCTTTGTGCCCCTTGGCGTGCTTCACGAGCGACTTTTCGTCGAAGGCCGTGCCCGTGACCCACCGTAATCGCGTCTCGTAGAAGGGGTGCTCCAATAATCTATTTTTGACCTGTATACTGGGATCGTGTGGTTGCAACAAAACTAGCCTCAAGAACGTGTTCTGCTGGCTGATCCGTCTCCTATCATAGACGTGTTCCAACGCCACAGGTAGTTGGCCGGCGAGGCCGTAGCCTTCGGTGCCGGCTAAGCCGCCAAAATTGCCGCACACGACGACGTGGAACCAGTCGGTCGTCGGGGCGACCAATCTAGCGACCCTCGCGTAGACCTTCCTTTCTGTCGTCATTTCATGCAATCTAGCGAGCTTGACCGGTACTAAAACAACGATCATCGGGACACAAACGGCCACGATCAACCTAGATTCGAACCTTGCTGGATATAGATCCCCATATCCAATGGTCGTTAACGTAACAACTGTGAAATAAAAGGATCGGAAGAAGGACATCCGCCCAACCGAAAACTGGTCCGTCCGGATCTTCTCCACGTGGTAGACTAATGCTGTTATTATAAAAACACCACATACCAAGGACATAAATGCCTCGATGAACCGTCGCGTCAAGCCCGGCGTCCAGAAGCCCACGACCCTAATCATTCTCAGACTCCTCAAGCACCGAAACGCTCGGAAGAACAGAACCCTTTCCGAGTATTTCAGTCCCAGATGCTGCACGCCCGGCAACACACTGAGGAGGTCACAGACCGTCTCGTATTTCACGCAATGATACAACCGATCATGGGCTAACCAAACTTCAAAACAGTACACGAGAAAGAACCACAACGACAGGAACATATCTAAGCGGTTCTCCCACAACGATTCCTCATAGCCAAACGCCGTGCTCTCCAGGTACAACCAGATGGCGAGGACCGTGCAGATCGTGTTGAAGGCGCTGTACGCGAAGGGGTTTATTCTCAAGTAGTCCGCGATGCGCGTCCTCCACGAGAGCTTGGAGCTCTCGAACGCTAATTCGGCGGCATAGGCGGACACCAATCTCGGCGTCGCCGCGGGCACGAGGGCGTCGGTGTCGTCGTCGTCGCCAATGGTTAACTTTGGTTTCGACTCGTCGTCGAGCGTCAGCGTCGGCCGCCGCGGCTCGTCGGCGGCGGCGCGCGTCTTCATCTCGGCCTCTGCCATTTCTTAGGATGGCAGCCTATAGGGTGCTGGCGTCGCGTCGTCGCTGACGCGTCGGCGTGCGAGCGCGGGAAGGGAGCTCCGCGCTGTGCAGCGTCCGCTGCCGCGAGTGGGCCGCGCGTGCGTGGGGCAGCCTTGCAAAGCGATCGATGCTTGAGCAGAAATCGGCCAACCCGCACGCTACGTGGCCATTCATGCGTCTGCGGGGACCATTGCGTCTTCGATAACCGGGTGGCGAGTGGTGCTGGAATTTGCTTCCAGCTCTAGAGTGTTACCACTGTCTCAGCCAAAGGAGGCCATGGCAAGAGCAGACAGCACCACACGAGGCCTCACACTTTCGTGCTTATTTACGTACTGTGCGACGTCGTGCGACGTGCTTTTTCCATTCGTATTGATCCTTGGCGGACACTAGACACCTGAAACGATTGCACTGTGCTGCTGAGCTGCAGCGCGATGGAGCGGCATGCGTCAAAGCGCAGTACTGATGGTCAAGGGACGAACGTCCAGCCGCCGCCGCCAAAACGCCAGCGACGCGAGAGCAGCCCCGTGATCTATTGCCACGACGACTGCGCGCGGCACGTGACAACGGGCGACGGCGACGCGGAGCACCAGGAGTCGCCGGCGCGCCTCGCGGCCATCGCGGCAGCGCTCCAGACCTACGCCAGGCGCCGCGACTTCGCGCCCGCGAGCCGCGAAGCTCTGCTGCGCGTTCATTCGGCCCGCTACCTCGACGCGGTCTCGAGCATCGAGACTCGCGGCCGCCTGTCGCCGATGCTGCGGACGCGCGTCCTTGGCGAGAGCGGCGTCGACGCGGCCGCTGGCGCGACGCCGGTCGGCCCGGGCACGTGGACCGCGGCGACGCGCGCGGCCGGCGCGGCGCTCGCAGCAGTCCGCGATGCCACGCCCGGCTCGCGCGCCTTTGTGCTCGTGCGACCGCCGGGGCACCACGCGATGCGCGAGGGCTACGATGTAAGTGCGGGCGGCTGCGGGTTTTGCGTGCTCGGCAACGCTGCGGTCGCCGCGGCGGAGGCTTTAACGTCGGAGAAGACGCGCGTCGCTATCGTGGACTTTGACGTTCATCATGGCAATGGGACGGAGGACTTTGCGATGCGGGCGGGCTCGGAACGGCTCCTGTATGCGTCGGCGCACCTGCGCGAGGTCTACGAGGACAGCTCATTGGATTTCTTCCCGGGGACGGGGGCGGCGGGATACATGGGCCCGGGACGAAATCCATCCGTTTGCAACGTATCGGTGACTCCTGCGTGGATCGAGCCTGGTGCTCGCGAGCGCTTCGTATCCGCAGTCGACAAGATCTCCCGGAAGCTCGCGGCGTTCCGGCCGAGCCTCCTCGTCATCTCCGCCGGCTTCGACGCCCTCGAAGGCGACGCGGGGCAGCTCAACCCGTGGACGCCCGACGATCCAGATCTGCCTCCGCACGTGTCGCCCGAGGTCCTCGACGGCGTCGGTCTGCGGCCCGAAGACTACGGGACCATGACGCGCGCGCTCCTGGGCGCGATTCACGAGGACGCGTCCGTGGTGTCGATTCTCGAGGGCGGCTACGGCGTGCCCGACGGCGCCGGGGGCTTCGAGAGGAGTGGGCTCGTGGCCGCGGCGGTGGCGCACGTGGAGGCGCTCGACTCGCGTTCTCATTCGTCGTCGTAGGTTGTCTGTTGTAATGTAATCACAGTATCACATCTTAGGCACCTCCGGCGCGTTCCCCCCAATCCCCGCGCCGCCGCCCAAGCCCCGAGACCAGAGCACGCGCAGCCGCCGCGCCCCGGCCGTCTCGACGTGGTCAACGCCAAGGGCGCTCTCCAACAACTCCTCGCGCGCCCGCATCGCTTCCAAAGCCTCGGCCGGATAGCCCGCGCGCGACCGCTCGAACGCGCGCCGCTTCTGCCACTCGGCCTTGCACAGCGCCGCCACGTCCCCTTGGAGCGCCGCATGCAACCGTTCCGCATCCCCAAAGGACCGCTGGACCTTCTGCGCCCCTTCATGCAAAGGTTGCCGCGACTGCACGACCGCGACGAGCGCGAGGCCGTTCGCGTACCTAGCAATTTCTTTCGGTGTGAGTCCAGTCACATCCAGGAGCGAGTGGGCCTCCTTGAACTCCGCCAACGACCGTTCGGCGAAGCGTAGCAATAGGGACCGCTCGGACGCCGCGTCGTCCTCGAGGTCGTCGGGCACGGGGCCCCGCACTTGTGAAAGCGAGTTCACGAGCTCATCCTCCGCTTCCAAAAACGAGTCGGCCGCTTCATACAAAGCTGTGAGAGACAGGTGGTGCGTCGCGTCGTCGAAGTACGTCCTGAAGAGTGATGAGGCGGCGTCTAATGCTTCTCCAGCACATCGCAGCTCCTTGGCGCGATGCGCGCCGCGCGGGAAATATCTTGCGAGAGAACGGTCCCGGAGCCGCCGGCCCATCTTTAGCAATACGGAGCCCGCAGCTAGCGATTGGCCCAGCGCCTCGTGGAGCTGCAGGGCGTTTCTGAGCTTGATTAACGCTTCCAAATCAGAAGGCCCGGTCGAATCATCCTTACTTGACAACTTGGGGGCGTCCAGCGGCGCGACATAGCCGACGGGGTCGTCCAACCACGCGAACAGATTGCACGGGATGAGCCGCTGGCCGAGCGGAGGTATTTTCTGTCTCGGATCGGGTTTGGGTTGGGCCGCGTCCCATGTCGTATATCTATCTTCCGCCGTCCGTCGTTGTATGGCCTTTTTGCGTTCATTTGCCGTCTTCCTCAGAAATTGTTTTTCCGCGTCGTACAGATCGGAGATCGCGTCGCCGCCTCTTTTTGACAGAAGAGCGAGCTTCCGGACATCAACTTCATACACTTTTCTACCTCCAGGATTCTTGTCGATCATCTGCACGAGCGCATCCAAGTCCTCCTCATCTAGATCTTCTTCGGTCAAATGCAGAGCCGAGCCGCGCACGGCCTCCCGAAACGCCTCGACCTTGACCTTGCCGTCGCCATCATGGTCGACGGCGGCGAACCTTGAACGAGTGTCGCCATTCTCCAATCGCGCTTCCAGCGCACCAACTACTCTACCAAATCGCTGCGAATCGGAGCCCGGCGGCTTCGGTAGCTGTATCGACTTACCCGGTAATGCTTGGGCGTTGTAGAACGCTCTAGGGCCCCTCTCTAAAAACGCGGCGAGGTCGTCCAAGGCCAGCGTGCCGTAGTCGTCCACATCAGCGAGCTTGAGTAATTCTAGAGCGTCGCCGTCCCTCACTACAGTTCTGGGGACGTCCAGATCCTCCCTTAAAAATTTGAGCATGGACCGCGGCGAGAGGTTCTCGCTCTTCTGGGAGTTGCTGTTCTCGAGCGCGGTCCGCGTGTCGGTCCGGATGGTCGCCAACGACTTTTGGACGCCGTCGCGGAAGCGCTTCAGGGCCTCGGCGTCGAAGTGCGTGTGCGGGCGGCCTGTGTGAGTCCAGCGTCCACGTGACGCCATCGACGCGACCGCGTTGAATAGACGCCGGCGGCGCGCGATACGGCGGCGCGAGCGGCTCCCCGGACGCTGCTGGAAAGAAGGCCGTCGTCTTCTTGATCATCCGCCGCTTCATCTTGCTCTTTCCTGGGGAGACGGGCCGGTTGCCCACAAAGGCAGCTAGCTCCGCGAGAGATAACGTCCCGCTGCCGTCCGCGTCCATCGCGGCCACTAACGCTCGTACGTCCGCCGGCGAGGCCTCGCGCTTCGTAATCTTGAGGCCCGTGCGGAACATCTCCTCGACTTCTTGGACCGACAATTCGCCGGACCGGTCGCGGTCGTATTTCCGAAAAAAACGCTCGTCCGGCCGCGAGCCGCACTTGGCCCGCAGGGCCTTCCGCAATTTGTCCTGGGTCTTCATGTCCAGGGGCTTCTTGACCGTGCGTCTTAAACGCTGCGTGGCGCGCTTGGCGGAGGTGGCGCGGCGCATGGTTGTGTTGTGTTGTGTGGTGCTGCGTTTCTGCTTGTGTCTCGCGCTTGGGTGGGGCGCGGCGGCGGCGTGAGGACTCCTGCGGGGCGTGGGCAGCCCTGCGGCGCGCGGGGCAGCCCTATGCCGGGCCAAAAAAGTCGATGGGCAGCGCCTGCCAAGAGAGGCTTTACTAGGCTTGTCGGGTTGTCTCTCGACGCGAGATGGGGGAGGCCTCTTGGGGGTATTTGGAAGCGTCTGCGGAGGCGCCTCGCGACCGACACTCGTCAGAATGGGACGGGAGGGGTCTGTTGGAAGCGAAGCTCCTTGTTGTCTGGGCATTTACGCTGGTTGTGGGGGACGAGAGAGGTGCGTTCTGCCTCCAAGCGGTCCGCAGGACGGCGAACGGACAGGTGAACGGCGATCTAGCGCGAGACCCCCCCCTCCAAATCTTGATGCCGCCGCCCCCCAGGCAGAACTAACATTATCGCACCTTACGCTCCCCAGGTACGCCCTCACCAGCACCCGCAGCCGGGTAGCCCCTCCAAAAGCTTGCCCGCAGCCGCTGAATGCAAAAAGCGCTCCTGCGGCCGCTTTTTTCGCCCCGAATACCGTGCATCTGTCTTGCGCGCCCCGGGGAGCAACGCGCTGGAGCGCGCGCCCCCCGCCGCTCCCGCCATGCGCGCGCGATCGACTATCTCTGCCCCCCTCCCTGAATTATCTTTGTTTTGCCCGCGCAGACCTAAAAAAAAACATGCGCGTTCTTGCTCTCGTCTCTGTCGCCACCGCCTTCCGCACGCCCGCCGTGCGATTCGCCCGGGCACCCCCGGTGCAGGCCGCCCTTGACGTCGATGGCATCAAGAACGCCATCGCGCCGTCGGAGATCGGCGCCTCCAGCCAGGCCATCTACTCGTGGGGCGGCCTCGCGCTCGGCGCGTATCAGCGTCCGCAAATTCATTCCGTTTTGCCGGCCAGAACACGAAAATGTTCCTAATTTCGGGTCGCTCGCAGGCGCCTGCTCGATCATCAAGCCCGAGCTCGTCGCGGAGAAGGTCCTCGGCGTCGCCTCGAGCGGCTCCAACGCGGTCATGATCCGCGGCGCCGGCCTCGCGGCCGCGCTCCTCGGCGCGCGCCTCGGCCGCGACTCCGACTCCCAGGCCGCCTCGTCGGCCGCGCTCTGGCTCGGCGGCTGGGCCTACATGCTCCGCAACGCGGCGGGCGTCGCGGGCCGCACGCAGACGATCTGCGCGCTCCTCGCGCTCTCGGCCGTGCGCCGCTCGGGAGGCCTCTACAACTTCGTCACGACGCTCGACACCAACGGCCTCAACGCCGTCCTCCCCAAGAACCGCGACCTCACGATGCAGAACGTCGTTGGCGTCCAGATGCTCGGCTGGGGCCTCGGCCTCCTCTTCGCGCCGGAGTGGCTCACCTCGAACATCATGGGGGGCAAGGTCGGCCCCGGTGTGGAAATCAACCAGTGCGTCGGGTGCACCCGATGATTCTTCACTAACTCATTGCTCGGCGATGACGCGGCCGTGCTGGCTCTGTCGAGCGGTCAGGAACTGGCACACCGCCACGCCATCGAGGCATCGCGTCGATGGAGTGGAGGTTGACGCGACGATTCAGCACGAACGCGCCGTAAAATTTGATTTCCACACAGGTCGGCCCCACGATCCTCTTGCAGGGCCTCGCGATCAACAACTTGGTCTTGGGCGGGAAAGTCATGGCTGGCTCGGAGTCCGACGCGCGCAACAACGGCCTCCTCTTCTTCGGCGGCTGGGCCGCCATCTCGGTCGTCGCGCGCAACGCCGGCCTCATGTCGGGCCAGTACGCCGTGCCGTGCCTCGCCTGGAACGCCGCGTGCGCCGCCTACTCGGTGCTCGCCTAATTGGACGCGACGACGCGCGGTCTGAGCCGCACCCAAGCTCGCCGGCACGGATCGCCCCCTTCCCCACACCTGGACTGGTCGACATCATCCTCCCCCCGTATAAAGTATATGGTCCGGTGCAGATTCTCGGTTGCCCCGTCGTCGCGAGCGCTGTTGTGTTCACCGTGACTTCTTACACATCGCGGGACTGGCGCGGCGCGTCCATTACCGTGAGCATATTCGCCGCGAGGGCAACATGGTCCTTGTGCAGGTTCTTGAACTTGCACTCGCCGTCGACGACCTTCTTCAGCCAGAACCGCGCCTGAGCGGAGTTCTTCTGCAGGCCGTAATTGCCAAAGAAAAACGCTTCGCTAAGTGCATACGCGCCAAAGTCTGAGCCGAGCTCCGCCGCCTGGGTCACAATCACGAGCCCGAGCGTAATGTCCTGGGACCCACCGGCGCCCGTCAGGAGACACTCAGCGAAACTTCCTAGACCTTTCGGGTTCCGGGCCGCCGCGCTGCGCTCGTACCACGCGCGGGCTTGCGCCTCGTCTTCCGCGAGGCCCTTTGAACCAGTATCGTACGCCAGGCCGAGCCAATACATAGCGTCGCCGTCGCCGCCTTCTGCCTTCGCGCGCATCTCCTTCACCCACGTCTCCTCCGCCAGCTTCTTCGCCGAGTCCTTCTGCCAGGCCTCGGCGAGCTCGCCCTCGATGGCGCCGGTCTGAATCAGCGACTCGATGGTGTTCCGCACCTGCACGGCGGGCAGCAATTTCGTGCCGATGACGGCGCCCGTGCTCGGGCTGGTCGGAAGCTCCTCTCTCTCTCGTTTCTTCGCGAACCAGTCGCGGATAGCTTTCTCCTCGTAGATCTTGCCGTCTTCAGCCATGACGGGCTGAATCGGCAATTTTAGCGTGATCGGGCATAGCAGCTCGGCCGCTGCGCCATTGATCGACTCGCGCATCTTCTTCTCCCGGTGGCTCGCGTCCTCCGTCGCGTCGGCGTCGGCGTCGCGGGAGCGCTTTTGCGTTGGTTCGGCCATGGCTTCGGCTGCAGGCTGCTGGCCTGATCTGCTGCAGCGTCTCTGCGGCGCAGCGGTGCTCGCCGTGCACGAATTTCAGTTGCAGCGCGAGTAGCTTGGCCCTCAGCGAGGGTGTGGACTAGCTGACGGCGTCGTAACTGCGACAGCGCTGCTGCAGAGCCTTTTGGGCTGTGAGAGCAGGCCAAACTGGGCCTCTCAGGCCTGTGCCTTGCGCCTTTTTGTGTATTGATCCCTCGTCCTGCGACGTCTGCAGCACTCAACAGACACCTCTTCGCGGAGCCGGCCGCCGTCGCCGCGGGCTCGATTGCCAGCTTGGCTCCAGGCAAATAGATAGGCCGCTGCAGGAGCGCGCTGGCTCATAGTCGCATTCATCAGAGAAAAGGCACTACAATTCAAGCGCCGTGCAAACAATGAGGCATATCTGGGCGGCGGCGGCCGTCCTCTCCGCAGTCACTGCCCTTGCTCCACCCAGCACGCCGACGGCGCGACGGCGGATACCTCGTCGCGCGTCCACCGAGACCGCCGCGCCGACCGATACGTCAAACTATGTGATAACCATCACCCCTGAGGCCCAGGATCACATCGCGAAGCTCCGCGCGGCCGAGGGCCCCGGCACGCACCTGCGGATGGGCGTCAAGGCGGGGGGCTGCTCGGGCATGAGCTACGCCATGGATCTCTGCAAGGAGGCAGACATCACGGAGCAGGACCACGTCGAGGAGTGGCCCGAGGGCTTCAAGGTGGTCATCGACCCGAAGTCGATGCTCTACCTCTTCGGGTTGGAATTGGGCTACAGCAATGAGCTCATCGGCGGCGGCTTCCAATTCAAGAACCCGAACGCCGAGACGAGCTGCGGGTGCGGGACGTCGTTCGGCATCTAGTCGTCTTTATAATTGTTTTTACGTTGGTTAGTCATGCGCATGTGTATGGCCTCTCGGGTTCCAGTGCCTTCGCGTAACATATCCCGTCGACGGGATATGTTACGGCGCGCGGACCTCTGAGAGCAGCACAGCCTCGGCCCTGGCAAAGCGCAGGCGCGACAAGCACCACCGACCCAAAGCGCTCGTCTGGCATCCGTGCGTGACCGGCGTTAGCAGTGCACAACGTCTTGAGCACCCGTGACGCCCCTGAATCGCAGCACCAAAGTGCTGCCACAGGCTGCAGAGCCAACCACAGCCGTCGAAGCGCAGCGATAGAAAATGGCAGCATCATCCTCACTAAAAAAGCCCGCCCTCGCAAGCACCACCGACCCAAAGCGCTCGTCTGGCATCCGTGCGTGACCGGCGTTAGCAGTGCACAACGTCTTGAGCACCCGTGACGCCCCTGAATCGCAGCACCAAAGTGCTGCCACAGGCTGCAGAGCCAACCACAGCCGTCGAAGCGCAGCGATAGAAAATGGCAGCATCATCCTCACTAAAAAAGCCCGCCCTCGTCGCCTGCCAGACCCTACGACAAAAATTGCGAAACGTCAGCCTCGCGGACGCGCTCCCGGCACAACTCGTCGCGAAGCGCTCGGTTACAGGCCTGTTCTGCTACAGCGAGGACGATTCGAATACGAAGAAGCGGACCGTCGGCGCGGACCGCTTTAGAGTTGAGTGGGAGACGTTGACGGGCGGCGAGCTCCTCGACAAATGCGCATCCCAGAGCAGCGACTACTACTACTACACTACAACCTTCAAGAATGATGGCGCGGACTGGTGGCGCGGAGCTGTGGGAGACGACGTCGTGGATGCGCTGCCGCGCAAGACCTCACTCTGGGTCGGCGGGAACGGCTCGACGACCCAGGCACACTACGACGTCGCCGACAATATTCTGGGCCAATGCGTGGGCACGAAGCGAATCAGGTGCTGGGCGCCATCATCTCACTGGACCATGAGGCCCTTCCCCGACGCGCACCCGCTCGCCCGGAAAGCGCAGATCGACGTTGAGGAGATGCCGGACCCGGACCTCGACGTCGTCCTCGAACCCGGCGACGCGCTGGCGATCCCGGCCTTCTGGTTCCACCACTGCGAGGCGCGTCGTCCGCGTCGATGGCGTCCCGAGACGGCTGCTCGTCGCCGCGACACGTCGTCGACGTGGCCGTCAGAGAGTCTACGGGTCTCGCGAGAGAGCCGCGGCAGTGCGAAAGATCACAAAACACGCGACGCAGGCCCGCGACCTCTCCGCGTCCATCAACACCTTCTTCCCGGCCGCGCACGCCTGTGTGGAAATCAACCAGTGAGTTAGGTTTCAACGACGTCGCGTCGATGGCCTGGAAACACCACGCCATCGCGCAGACGCAGCTACGGGAGCACGTCGCGCCGAACGCGTGGGACGGCCGAAATTTGAATTCCACACAGGCCCAGGCCAAGCGGGCCGCCGTCGTCTTCCAGACGCCGGACCCGGGCGGGCCCCTCGTCGAGGCGCTCGCGGAGTTCGTGGACGACGCGCCGGCCTTCGCTCGGAAAGTGCACGCGACGCGCTACGCGCCCCTCGAGGAATGGTACGCGGCGCTCCGGGACGACGCGGCACCGCCGCCTGAAACGCAGCGGCCGCGCGCGGCGCCGCAGAAGGACTTCTACCGGAACCAGGCCGCGCGCGCGCTGGATAAGCTGCGCGCCGCGGGCGTCGCGGACGTCGTCCTCGCGCACCTCCTCGAGCTCTGGGGGTTAAGGAGGTGCGGCGACGCGGCGCGGCTGGGGCCGCTGTTGTTGGGTGACGAGTAAGTTGTGTTCATTTGTAATTCCGAAACATTAGACGTGGTAGGAGATGGGGAAGGCAATGGGAGAGAAGTGGACGGACATTGTTCATGATGATGGTGAGCGCCGCGCCGCGGGGTTAGACTACCGAGACGGCAGTCCCGCGGCGTCGCGTTCAGAAGAAGAGGATCGGGAGCTTGTGCTGCGGCGGCGTGGCCCTACCGCGCCTGACCTTCGTCTTCTTCGTCGGCGACAGGTCGCCTTCGTCGATCCCTCCCTCGAAGTTGAAACCCTCGACGCCGTCCGGCGAGATGAAGCTCGGCGAGGCGCGCTTCGTCGGCGTCGACGGCTCGGCGCCGAGGCTGAAGCCGTTGAACGTCGGCTCGCCTTTGAGCTTCTCGACGCCGAAGAAGACGCCGGCCTGGACCGGGCGGAAGGCCTCGAGGTGACTATCGTAGGACTCGGCGGGCGAGGCGACGGGCCGCGTCGGCGCCTCGGGGAGTTCTTGAGCTTCTTCGAGGTCCATGACCGTCGCGGCCGACGCCTCGCGCCGGAGGCCCTGGGGGCTCTCGTCGCCGTCGCCGACCAGGCTCAGGGGGCTCTCGTCGGCGAGCGTGCGGAACGGCTCGCCGGGCGTGACTTGATCAAAGTGCGCCGTCCGGCGGCGCTCGGCGTTGCGGCGGATCGGCGAGCACTCCATGTGGATTATTTGCGGCGCGCCGTCGACGTGGTGGACGTACATATATTAATCAACCTGTCTCGGAGAGCCCTAAAAAAATCGCCGTGAAACGGTCCAGGAACCGGCGATTGCTCTTGGCTTGCAAGGTATAAGTACAGAAATGACCGCTAAACAGCGCAAGTGCAGAAATGTGGCCCACAGACGCAACTCAAAGCCAAGTCCCGAGGTGCCACATAAAAACCAGCCGATAGCGGCCTAAGACACTAGCAAGCGCCCGAACCAGGCGAATAGAAAGAACCCCCTCACTACTCCGACGACAGATGAGCCGGCGCGAAAGAGAGCAGCCGACGCGGACGACGAGGAACGAGGACTCAAGTAGGAAAACTAGACTTACTGCCGCGACGCCACGTAGGCCGGCGGCGCCCCCAGTATCGCGTCGAGCTGCGCTTGGGCCGCGGCCAAATCATCCAAGTCCGCGTCGCCAAGCGCTTCTGACCGCGGCGGCGTCAGCGGCCGCGGCGCACTTTTGCGCGGCGACGGGCCGCCGCCCACGACGACGCGGGGCACGGGGTCCGGCGCGCGCGCCGTCGTGTACTCCGGAGGGTCCGGCGACGCCGCCCGAGCTGGTTGTGAGGCCTCCTCGTCGTCGAGCTGCGACAGGCCTCGGAACTCGTCGGCGAAAGCACCACTGCCTTTCTGCGAGACCTCGGCGATGGCCGCGTGCCAGGCGTCTGTGGCATCAAAGGCGTCCAGTGACTCGTCCTGTCTAGCTTCATACCTGAAAGCTAGCCGTCTTGCCAACACGACGCGACTGCCGTGTTCTAGTCTTGTAGCTTCGCGCTCGTCCATGGCGACTCGGTTGCCGTCGACGTGCGTCTCCGCTCCTGGTAGAGCACATAAAACCACAACTCCTTGAGCTGAGGAACAACAAACGACGGCATGCCGCGGCGCGACGCCTGACCCTCGGACCACGCAATCGGCCTCGGCCGTGCAACCTAATACCGTCGCCCCATCCCGGATCGGCGCCCAGGCCGCTCCCGCAAACGCCGGGTCCGGGTTGAGGTTGGTCAATCGAGGCCACCTCACTTGCTTCGGCTGTTGCGGCGACCGCCGCGGCGAGCTCCGTCTGACGACGACCGCGGGTGATGGAGGTGACGGTAAGACCTCCTCGGGCAGGTCCTCCACCAGATTCACCGTCGCTCGACATTTCACGCGTCTTGCTCTAAAGGCGTATTTCAACGTTGCCACGGTCTCCTCGAAGTGCCTATCGGAAGGGGATACAGTAGCAAGCATGGCCGCGTGGGCGTTGCCCCCCAGCGAGTCCTTGAGGAGCCAGGTTAACGCTGAATTCCGATAAGGCACGAAGGCCTTCTTCTTTCTTGAGTTGGCTGCCAGTGCACTGACCACATCGCATAGCGCCGCTAATGATTTGTTGATGGCCTTGGCCTCTTGGAGACGGGCGCCGTCCGTGCCCGTCACGGCCACGCGCTCCGACCCTGCCAAATCGACCAATCTGATCGTTGATGTACATGATCCAGGTGCATCGAGGCCGGACCACCAGCCCTCTTCAGTAATACCTTCCGAAGAACCGCTTCTCCTTCGTCGTGATACGACCAACGACACGACCGCATGACTACGACTGGACCGGGCATTTCCCCTAGTTGCTGCTGTTGCTCTAGCGTCACTCCCGACGCTTAGTAGCTCAGCTAATTCATTTCTTCCTCGCACCCTCACCACCGTGAGTTCAGGAACGCACGCACCCTTCGTCGGGTGCTCCCTTACTTTTAAGGGTCTTCCGGTCGGTACCAGTAAATCGCGGACGCGTTCATTGTATACCTCCATATATGAAGCTTCCACCGTGGTCTCGTGCGTTGCGGAATGGGCGTCCGCGGCGTCCCACAAACCCTCACAAACCCTAGGAATGATACCTCGCTCATCACCGTCACCACCCGTCATGGAGTAGGTCTTGCCACTACCTGTTTGCCCATAAGCGAAGATGCTCGCGTTGAGGCCTCGCCACGCATGTCTTAACAAAGGCACGCCCAGCGTCTCGTGGACTTCCGCCTGGCTGTCGCCGCCCAGCACCAAGTCAAAGGCGAAGTTTCGCCCCAGGATCGGCGACGAGCCGCGCGCCGCGAGCTCCACTGGGTCTCCTACACTCACCTGGCGGTCTGTCAATACTACCACGGCCTCGGCGCCGGCCCGCTCTTCGCGGGGCATGAGCGGGCGGCAGCGCACGGCTACGGTGACTTTGCTGTCCATCGCTGCGTCGTTTGGGCTGCGCTATTGCGATACACCACCAGCCTTCGTCGTGGGCAAACGACCTCTGGTTGTTGTCGTGGGAGGCGTGCGTCGAGGCGTCCGTGGGGTACTAGATGGCTGTTCGTGTCCGGATCTTGTGTGCTCCGAGCGTTCTGGGTAGCGGTGCGGGTTTTTTCGCCCGATTTTTTTCGTAGGCCTCTCCTTGGCCAATAGAAGCTCCAAAGCGGTGCCCTGACGACTGCTAGAGGCGCTCGCGAAGGGTTGCCCTTGGCATGTACGCACTTCAGCCAAGTCGGCGCACTTGGACGATTTACACAACAAAAAGCTGCACAACAGGCTTCGGGCGGCTGCTCCTGTGCCCCTCCTTGGCCACGCCGCCCTGCTGCTGTCGAAAGAATGGCGTCAAGCTACGAGATTAGTGTAGAGAGCGACGGCCAAAAAAATGAGAGCTACAAACTGCGCGTCTCGCGCGACGGCCGGACCTGGAACGCCGTCAAGGACCAGGCCCAGCTCGACGCTTTTCATGCCCGCGCCACGCGCCTCGGCGCGACGAACGGCGTGGCCTTTTCGACGAAGCCGGTCGAGCTCGAGGCCTACCTCAGCGACGTCGCGCGCCACGCGTCTTCATCCGAGAAGGAGGAGCTCGTCTCAAGCTTCCTCGAGGCCGAGGACGACGAGCGGGGCGCCGAGCGGGCGTTCCTGGAGGAACTGGCCGCTGTTGTAAAATGCCGCGTCTCGCGCATCAGTTCGTCGATCCCGGCACGCCATCGACGCGACGCCATCGCAGGTCCCCGACGCCGCCGCGCGCACCAAATTAGCAGACCGCTTCGCTTCATATGTAGCGACGAGAGACGCCTCGACGGACGCTGACGTTGCTCTCCAACGCGCGCGCGACCAAGCTGCTCGAGAGGCGCGGGACGCCCTCTCGCGAAAAACGGCGGCGATCCTCAAGGCCGTGAGAAGGACCTGTGACGAGCACCGGAGGGACCGCGACCGTATTCTAGCTGAGAGCGCCGCGTCCGTGGCCGCCGCGACGCGGGAAGCGTTGAGCGAGGGCGAGAAGTTCGACGGTTTACGAGCTCTAGCCATGGGCGCCATCCAGTCGGCCCAGGGGCGCGCCGACGCGCAGTGCGCGCGCCTCACGAAGGAGAACGAGGCGTTGCGCGAGGAGCTTCGCGACGTCGTCAAGCGGGGCGTCTCCGACCTCTCAAATTCGTCGACGAAGGACGAGCCCTTCGCCGCGCGCAAGCAGCAGATCGTGACGTCGTCGTCTGGATCTGGTTCGTCAGGAGACTCGTCTGGTGGGTCGCAACGCGGGTCCTCGAATTCGGAAGATGGAGATGAACATCATATTGGCCGGGCCGAGCCGACGGCCCACGCCATTGTGGACTCCATCGTGAAGGCTACCGTTGAGAGCCATGGGAGAGATAGTGTGTTAGCTAAGCGATTGGTCGCGGCCGAGGAGCGGGAACGGAGCCTGCTGCACCACATCCTCGAGTTAAGAGCAGCTCTCATGGAGCAGGGCGGCGCGCCGCCGCCGTTACCTCCCACATTACCGCCGCGCGCGCCGCGTCCGTCAACACGCGAGGTCGACGACGACGTCGAGGACGCGCGCGGCGACGCCTCGTCGTGACACGGTGCTGCTTCCCGCCCTTATCTCCCCTAATCCTAATTGTCCGGGCCGCGTAAGCGAGCGCATATCTATATTTTTCCTTTGCTCGCGGGCCTCGAAGGCCGCCGCCACACGAACCCGGTCGTCGACGGGCAGCTGATGCCCCGCACGTACAAGACAAAGAAGCGCCGCCGCGACGAGCCCGCCGCCGCCACACCGTCGAGGCGCTCCCCCCGCCGCCGCTAGGCCTCAGTAAGAGAATGTACATTACACCACACACCCCAAAACCGAACTCAGACGTACTTCTTCGCCTCATCATACAACACGAGCACGAGCGCCGACGCGATCGCCCGCACGTTGTTCGCCATGCACCCCCGAAAGAAGCCGCCGACGCCCTCCTTTTTGTAGATGTGCCGCACGGCGCTCGCCGCGCCGTCGAACTCTACACTAGAAGCACCGGACTGCATCATGAGGCGCCTTCTAACGGTATCGACCGGATAAGCAAACACGGCCGCGGAGATGTCGACGCACAAGGCCAGTCCAAACTTCAGGAACACTGACGTATCTTTCCCTCCATCGGTAAAGAAGACTTGTTTTCCCGCATCATAAAAACCGAAGTAGCCCGCCCTGTAAACAACAATCCCGACAACGGACACGGGATAGCCCCGGTACAAGCCTCCTATACCTTCCTTCGCCCGGATTTGCTTCACGACGTCCAACAACCCGTTGAACTGTTTTTTTGAACCGACGTCCGCGGCTAAGCGCGTATAGGCGAACTCGAGCGGGTAGACCACTGTTAACGAGGTGGCGCCTGCCGCCCCGCCGGCCGCGAGATATCCAAGGAACCACGGCGCGAAGCCGTTCGCTCGATCAGGCACGAGGAGCTTCTGGTAGCGCTCCTTGCACGCGAAGTTGATGGCTTGCGTCGGGAAATATCGAGCGCAGTTCGTCAGGTTGCCGCGCCAGAGCGCCGTCGTGCCCTGGTCTCGGACGATCGATTGGGCCGTGCGCAGCATGCCGTCGTTGCTTTTCGCCGTTTGCAAGACGATTTTCACGCGTTCCAGGGGCGCGCAGATCGTCTTCGCGAGGCAGCCGCTGCTGCCGCCTAATACGAGGTCTTTCGCGAACTCGGCGGGGCCGACGCCGGACTTGGTGACGGACATTTTTGTTATTTTTGGGCGCGCCGGTGGCGTGCTGCTGCGGCTTGGTGCTGTTGCGCGCGTCGACGGCGTGCTGGCCTGCTGCCTCTCTTGGGCTCTGCTGGCTACTTTGGAGCGGCGTTTCGTGCCGTTCTTTTGATGGCTGCGATACGTGCTTGCAAAAATGGAGCTATTTAGCTGCTGCTGGGCGTGCGCAGCTGACAGCAAACGCGCGCAGAAGGAAAAAAAAATTGCTGCAAAACCCGTTTTGATTTCAGACCGAAGGGCAGGACGATTCAACCCGCAAGACGCATCGAACCCACGCTCGCTACCTTTCTAGACGCCCTCGCAACCCACGAGCTGCGCTTTGGCTCTCAGGGATGGAAGGCAGTGCCGTCCGCAAATCGCATTAACGACCCGTCGCGGCAGCCTTAGAGTACGTGAGAACTCGAAGAATAAATAGTCCTCAAGACTCAGTGCAAGCAGCTGTGCGGAGAGCTGCTAGATTTTGCAAAAGCTGTGGCAGGCCTGCAGCATCCGAAGCTAAAGGAGCGGTCGCGAGCAGCAGCGATGGAAAGCGCGCCGCCCGCACAATCGGTGACCGACGCGCAAGCAGCATCGACGGAAGCCGCGCCGCCGGCCGGCCCGGCGGACGCGAAACCGCCGGCGTCGACGCTCGACGCGCCACAGCCGACAGAAGCAAAGCCACCGAAGCTCGAAATCTCGCCAAGAGCCTGGGCCGAGCGCGAGCGCGACAAAGATAATGATCTCGACGAAGTGCCGAGCGAGGTCACGGCCGAGACGGTACTCGCGTGTCTGCGGCGGTGCGAGGTGCAGGAGAACGAGGACCGAAAAAACGTGCGGACCGACGAGGACGTCGCCGTGCGGTCCATCACGCTGGGGGCGCTCTCGCGCTCGCACGCGCCGGCGCGGCCGTCGGGCTGGACGCGACGGCAGCCGCGGTTGGCGCGATTGTTGGCCGAGTTCGGGGACAAAATTTTACCGGAGGGCTTCCCCTTCGCGTCGATCCAGCTGAACTACGCTTATGCCTCAGCGATGCACACCGACAAATCGAACGACGGCCCTTCTGCGATTATAGCCCTAGGTGAATTTACGGGCGGCGAGCTCTGGACGGCCGATCGCGGTGTCTTGCCTTGTAGGAATGAATTGAGGTTGTTCAACGGGAACCAGCCGCACTGCACGCTGCCGTTCAAGGGCGAACGGTACTCTTTGATTTACTTTTCTTCTTCCGGCCACGACCGGATGGCGCCCAAAGACGTCCAACAGTGCGAAGCGCTCGGGTTCTGTCGCCTGCCGACGGCGCCGCTGTCCCACGTTTATAGACCCGCGGAGTTCGCGACGCCGCACAAGGAGTTCGAGTATACCTTCGGCTACCACGTATGCATTGCGGCGTCCGTCGTATCGCGTCGGCGCGTCGATGGCGTCAGACACACAAAAAACACACAGGTCACGACGGAGGAGCGCTGCGCCTACGCCGTGTCCTCCCTAAACGCGTGGCGCGAGGACTGGGCGCCGCACGAGATGCGCGAGGCTTGTAAAGCTCGAGCGAAGCCGGGCGAGACGCTCGGCCCCGATTCTATTTGTCCGGGCCTGAAACTGGGCTACGCGCGACTACGTTCAGCCGTATTGCGCGGCCGCGACCGGGACGGCTACGGCGAGAGCCAGTCCGCGGAATGCCCCAAAGGGTTGCGAGGCGCCATCGTCGGCGTCGTCATGTCCCACGAGAGGACGCGTGGTCAAGTCATCAAGGACGGCAAGACCTACGAGCATTTGGACATCTTCCAGGTGTTTTACCTAAACGGTCAGTCGGAAGAGTTGGAGCTAGATGAAATTGCGTCATCTCTCGAACCGAGGCAGGACATGAGCGACGCGCCGGACGGGTTGAGTGCTCCTGAATTAGCGAGACGAGCGTTACGAGCGCGAGGCCATGATGTAGGCGGTCCGCGCTACGAGGCGCCTCGATTCATACCGCGAGCGGGCGACGTGGCCGAACGAGTAGCCAGGAACGCTCGACTACATCATTCAGTAAATGTACTAAGGAAGGGCTCGCCGGACGTCGCGCCGGCGTGCTACGAGTATGTCCAGCGAGGCGGTGTGTACGAGGTTGATGACCTAGTGAATGGCGCTCGACTCGTCACGCGAATACCGGAAGGGGCGCAAGGAGAAGATGGCCTCGAGAACCTCGAAGTGTTGGCGGCCGCGGCCGGCGCCGTCTCCAAAGGTCGGTTATCATTAGCGATCCCGCCCGACCTCAGACGACGTATTTTATTTTTGGCTTTGGACGTCAAGCTACGCCTGCTAGGCTTCGACGACTTCGCCTTCTCGCCGTCCTTGAACGACCTGTGCTTGGATCACGAGACGATGAATGATAAATTTGAGGAGTGCGACGCGGCGCCTCCATCTAGAGCCGCGGTCAAGAGAATTGTTCTAGATTTAGTAGCAAGGTCCGTACCATCATTGCCGCCCTTCGAGAAGGGCAACTTCCGCGAGCACTGCCTCGAGGAATTGCGGAGGGAGCTGCCCATCGAGACCTGGGCGTCGCGCGAGGGTGATGTTGTGTGGGTATCTCGCAGAGATTGGGTCGACTCGCGACGGCTAGCCCAGGCCCCGGACGACCCGACGTCTTCCTTGTTAGTGGAGCGCTCTTCTACTGTAAGCATCGGCCAGAAGTGTCGGAGGAGGTGGCTAGAGTACGGTACTATGTACGGTATTGTGGAGGAAGGTTCCGGGCCCTTACCGGGAGGCGGCTTCGCCAAATACAGAGTCAGGTGGGACGGCCGTATTGATGATTGGTACGCGAAGAAGCAGTGCCTCGAGTACGTGATTAGTGATGGGCCGATCTGCCGGGAAGATTTAGTACCGGCGGTCGTCGTGCCCGCGTCGTCGGCGCACTTCGAGGGGGGCGAATTGTTACTCTACGCCATGGCGCGCAAGGGCTGCACGATCTGGCACCGTGCTTTGGCCGCGTCCTTTTTGTTTCTTCGACACGACGTCGTGTTGCTGTCAACGCGTCGCGGCGATGGCGTGCTCTGTGCCCCCGCCACGCGATGCCGTTGCTGACGCCGTCGACGCGTCGCGGCGATGGCGTGTTCTACGCCACTCCACGCCATCGACGCCATCGCCGCGAGAACGCCGTCGACGCAGGCACGGGCAAAGCTAGGTCGTTCGACCTCGCGGGCGCGGCGCTGCGTTTATTAGCGTTGTGCGACGGCAACGGCTACATTCTAGCGAGGGACGCGCGTTTGGTCGACTACGACTCGGAGGACGCGCCGGCCTGCGACGTCAACGACGCGGCCCACGCCAACGCCGCGGCCATACATACAAGGAGGCAGCTCGCGCTGCGGCCCGTTGAAACGGACGTGGAAAGGAAGCCCTCGCGCGCGGACCGCCTCAAGAGACGGGCGGCCCTGCCGCGGCACGACGGGCCGGTGTCGTTCGACGACCGGGGCTCGGACGGCGAGACGAAAAAGCGGAAACGGCCGCGGCCGTCGCCGCAGACGCGCGACGCCGCGTTGCTCATCGAACGGGCGGCGCCGATTTCCGTCCGGCAGGAGAACCCGAAGAAGGGCAAGTCCGCGGAGCGCTACGAGCTGTACAAGGCGGCGACGACGGCGCGCGAGTACGTCGCGCTGGGCGGCACGAAGGCCGATCTGAAATACGACATCCAGCGCGGCTGGGTGACGGTACTGGCGCCGCCGGTTGTCGCCGAGGCGCCGGCGCCCGCGGCCGAGGCCGGCGGCTCGCCGGGCTCGTCCGCGTCCAGCGACTCGGCGCCGCGGTCCACGGACCCCGTCTCTTATTTGCCGAAGGTGCCCGCGTGGCCGTCGCCCGCGAAGGAGCCCTTGCCTCCTGCGCCGGCGTCGTCGGCGGCGCCCACTTGAGGGAGTAATCGAATTTGAATCTCTCGCTTCCCAATCCTTATCCCGCGCACGCTTGCTAGTGTCTTTACCAGCCAGGAAAAAGCTAAAAATAATCCTGGAGCCACGACGACACGTGGCTATTTTAGGCTGCAAGAGACTACGACGCGCGTCAAGCAACCGCTTTATCACTCACGTCGGACAAGAGCGAGGCGTGACGCGTGCAAGCAAGCGCGATAAAAAAAGGATAATGTGGCAAAAACTTATCCTGGGGGCGATGGCGCTCGCCGCGGCGACGGCCGACGGCGCGGCCAAGCCCGCGTTCCTCCAGGCCTGCGAGGCTGATGGAGACGCCGGCTGCGCGGCGAAACTCGCGGCCGCGGCCGCGGGCGACGACGTCGCGACCGTCGAGGCCAGCGCATAAATCAAATGTCGCGGCGCGTCGCCGCCCACGGCTTCATCATGAGCTGCACGCCATCGACGCAACGGACTCACTGGTCGATTTGCGCACAGGTCGAGGCGGCGCTCGCCGCCGGCGCGGACCCCTTCCCCGCGCTGGAGAACGCGACGCTCGCGACGCGGTCCCTCCTCACGGCGGCGGGCTACAACAACGCCTGCGAGGGCGTGTCGCCGAGCGAGCGGTCGCGCCTCGGCGTCCACTGCGTCCCGCGCTGGTACCACGCCTACCTGCCCTGGGTCGAGTACACGGGCCGCAACGCGCTCATCATCGGGCTTGGCATCTTCCCCGTCGTCTTCGTGGTCATGTACGTCGCGGCCAAGTTGTCTGGGGCGCGGGCCGCGCCGGAGCCCGTCGCGGCGATCAAGGCGCCGAAGCCCAAGAAGAACAAGGGGGGCTAGACGCCTCGTCCGTCGTCGCCGCTAGACGCATCGTCCGTCATCGCCGCGGCGTCGCGGCGGTGGCGCGGGGGGCTAGACGCATTGTGTAGAGATACGTGACATGCATTGCCTCTGTTTGGGTCAGTTCCTCCTCTACGTGAGCGTCGTTCGCCGGGATCAATTATTAACAACTACTATATTTTAAATATAGTAGTGGACGAGGAACCGCCACTGCCCCCAATTCGAAGATCCGCCTCGAAATGACTAAAAGTGACCTCCCAAATTCATAATTCATCATAGTCGTCCACTGAGACCATTTCTTTACGAATAGCGCCCGGGGAAGCAGCAAGAAGCTAGCATGTGACATACTAGCAAATCTGAAGACACGCCTCGATAGCGTCAAAAGAATGACCCAAATTCAGAATACATCCCAGTCGATCGCCGCGACCAAATATTTCAGAATAGCTGCCCGGGAACATACCCTCGCGCCTCCCGGAAGGCACCACCCGCGACATTCGCGGATGAGTCTTACGACTTGCCAAAATAGACCAGCGATTGACGCCGCCATCTACCGTCCGGATAGGACATTATATCAACTCCAGCCCAGTTTTCATACAAGTTCGGCGGAACCGGAGCCGACGGCCCGCGCTCGGAGGGCGGGAAAAGAATTCTACTAGACAACTCCCGAGTTTATGTTCGTTTCCTTTCGTTTGTTAGTGGTAGATTCAATCTAGCCCACATCAGCGCACACTGAGCTATTTTAGATATTCCGTTAGAGCCTCGCGATTCGTCAACTTCGCGCCCCCACGTGTATCCAAAATCAGCTTGGTGCCTACACCTGCGGGTATCAGCGACGCCACCATCCAGATGGACCATAACGCCGTTGTTCTATTCACGATCGACCGACTTGCCCGTTCTCCGCGGACGACGGTGCATACGCGGGGCACTGGAAAGGCCCCAGGCCCGTGAGTTATGAAATAAATTTGCGTTTCAGGCGCTTCGGGTGTGGGACGGGCCAGATAACTGGCCTGATTGTGTACTACATTGCTCCGAGACCCAAAGATGCTCGGCGCGGGTAGTCGGTCTCGCGAGCCCATGATCTTGCTAAGATCGGCAAATTACTTGGATCTGCGACCGTCAGCCCGTGTACCATCACCATGGACCATGACGCGATCATTTTTTCTATGATCGACCGACTTGCGCGAGGTCCAGATCAAGATGTTCACGTCCCAAGCGTGGGCAGCCAAAAGTACCCTTCTTATAATGTAGATGTCATATACTTGTAGTTGACTACCGTTGGGGTAGTATGGGGTCCGACGAGACCGCTACGGCGACTACTGGGGGCCCTCGGGTAATTGCGTATTTGACGGGAACGGGGCGCCATCGGGCCCAAATTATTTACTTTTTTCGGATGCTGATCGGCTCTCGGACAATGTTTGGGATAGGTCTGGGGTCGGGTAGTCGCCGACACCGCATGCGCTGGTGCTTGGGGCTCTCCAGAGAGCTCTGGATCAAAAACTTTGGGGGATCATGGTAGATGTCCGCGCACTGCCAAGCACCTTGCCTATATGTATCCACCGATGGAAGCGGCCGCGCATGCGGTGTAGGCGCTTGCGTACGTCTGGTACCGACCCTAAGCGACCTCCGAGAGACCTCCGGACCACGAATCGACAGGATTCCACCGACGCGCCCGCCATGGCGGCGTCGTCAGTATCGCGACATCAAGAAATTATTTTTTTCGGCCCCCAGTAAGTGTCCCACTGCTCTCTTGGGACCAGTAGCGAACCGAACGTCCCTCAAACAACTGTGCGCGCGGCGCGGGGGAAAAAACAAAAGCAACAAAACGGGTTTCCCACGTACACGCCGCCGGCCGCCGCCGCGACCCTCACAGACCCCGCCAACGCAAAATGATCCTCACAACTTGCGCCGCCTGCGCCGCCCCACTGGCCCACAACGCGCCGCGGTGTGTTAGATGTAAATTGAGGTATTGTCGTTCGACGTCTCCCTACGCTTCGCCGTCGGCGCGCGCGTCGAGTGTGCCAGAGGAGGCACATGGGCACCAGGCCGTGTCATCAAGCTCCACTACCACGAGGAAAGCTTCGAGCCTGGGTTCTTTGCTCCGTATCAAATTCGGTTGGACAACGGCACATTGATCTACGCGCCCGACGACGACGACAAGTGGATCCGCGAGGCTTCCTAAGTTTTTACAGTATCAGATCTTACGCACCTCCGGCGCACCCGGCCACAACTTGGATTAGGGCCCTGCGAGACGCGCGAGCCGCGCTCCGCGCCCGCGAAACGCCGCCGCCGTCGAGCAGCGCGCGGGACCCGAGCGCCGCCGACGACGCGACGCCGGCCGCGCCGGCAGCCGCCGCGGACTCGGGCCCGGGCGGCTCTTCGGGCGAGGCGCCGGCCGCCGCGCGCGACGCCGAGGAGCCTTCCTTCTAAGTAATTAGTTGGCACTTCCATTCTTCCGCAGTACCTGCCGGCCGTCCCCCGCGGCCGTCGCCCGGAGCCGTCGGGACATGATCGAGACCGCGCGGGCGGCGGCGCACACTCGAGGACCACCGAGCCCCGACCCCCCGCGCCCATCCGTCTCCCGAGGCGCCACGGACTCCTCCGCGACGACGCGCACGCTGGCGCGCGGCCGCGTCCGAGATCGGCTTTGGGCTGCTGCACTTTGGCAGGAGAGCAAGAGCACTGGCACAACCGCGCGCCGCCGACGCGGTGCGGCAGGAGTGAAGGACAGGTTGCAGCGATGCGAGTTACACCATTCGTCCTGCCGCTGGCGGCGCAAGCGCTCGTCGCGCCGCGCCCGCACATGAAGCGCCTCAGCAGTCAGCGCCCGGCGGCGGTGCGCCGGCCGCGTCGCAACCCGTCGCGGTGCCTTCTCGCTTTGCTGATGACGCCGTCGACGCGAAGCTGCAATGACACAAAACGCCGAAACCCGCCGCGCGCAGGCCCTCGAGGACTACTGCCCGCCGCTGCCCGAGGCTTTCGAGGCCCAGGCCGCGCTGACGGCGGACGGCGCCGCCGAGGCCTACAAGGCGTCCCTCGACGACCCGTCCGGCTTCTGGGCGTCCGAGGCCGACCGCTACCACTGGCAGACGCCGTTTGATAGATCGAATGTGTACAGCGCGAACTTTAAGCGCAGCGCGGGGCCCATCGCGGCGCGCTGGTTCGAGGACGGCGCGACGAACATCGCCTACAACTGTTTGGACCGCCAGGTCGAGGCGGGCCTGGGCGACAAGCTCTGCTTCATCGCCGAGAGAAATGATGAAGGCGAGACGTCGCCCTTACAGCCGGAGACCTACACCTACGCCGAGGCCCTCGAGGAGACGAAGAAGCTCGCGGCGGCGCTGCGGGCCCGGGGCGTCAAGAAGGGCGACCGCGTCGCGCTGTTCATGCCGATGGTCCCCGAACTCGCGATCGCCATGCTCGCGTGCGCGCGCATCGGCGCCGTGCACACGGTGGTCTTCGGCGGCTTCTCGCGGGACTCGCTCGCGTCGCGCATCGCCAGCGCGGGCGCGACGTGCGTCATCGCCGCCGACGGCGTGCGCCGCGGCGGCAAGGTCATCGACCTGTGGGGCATCGCCAAGGACGCGCTCGCTTCTGTGTTTTTGCGGCGTCCTTCTTTTGTTGTTTGTCCTTTTGTTCTTTGCTCGTCCTTGCGTCGCGCGACGCGCCTTGGGGCTCGCGCCGCCTTGGGATCCTCCCCCGCGTTCTCGCGGCACGCGTCTCGCTGTGCGTGGCGAGAGGACCCCGCCGGACGCCATCGACGCGGCATGCCTACGCAGGCGCGGGACCAGGGCACGCCGGTCGCGGGCGGCGCGGTGATCCTGCGGCGCCTCGACGACGCCGCGTACCCGGAACCGCAACTCGCCGCCGACGAGGCGTGGTGGCACAACGTCGTCACGTCCACCGACGGCTCAGACGTCGAGTGGATGGCCGCCGAGGACCCGCTCTTCATCCTCTACACGTCTGGGAGCACGGGCGCGCCCAAAGGTATTGTACATGCCACGGGCGGCTACATGGTCGGCGCGGGCCACTCGTTCCGGACGGTCTTCGACGCGCCGGTCCGCGCGGACGACGTCTGGTTCTGTACGGCCGACTGCGGCTGGATCACGGGCCACACCTACGTCGCCTACGGCCCCCTGCTGAACGGCGCGACGCAGATCGTCTTCGAGGGCGTGCCGTCGTGGCCCGACGCGGGCCGCCTCTGGCGCATCGTCGACCAGCACAAGGTGACGCACCTCTACACGGCGCCGACGGCGATCCGCGCGCTCATGCGCTCCGGCGACGACCCCGTCACGTCCACGTCGCGCGCGTCGCTCAAGCTGCTGGGCTCCGTCGGCGAGCCGATCAATCCGGAGGCCTGGCGGTGGTACCGCGAGGTCGTGGGCGACGACCGCTGCCCCGTCGTGCGTTTCGCGGCGTCCTAACGCCATCGCCGCGGCGCGCCGTCGATCAGCGCGTCCGAAACGCAGGCCGACACGTGGTGGCAGACCGAGACGGGCGTCATCCAGATCGCGCCGACGATGGCGTCCGGCGCGGGCCCGCACAAGCCCGGCGCGGCCATGACGCCCGTCGCCGGCTGCGTGCCCGCGTTGCTCGACGCGGCGACGGGCGCCGAGATCCCGGCGGTCATTGGCGAGGAGGCCAAGGGGCTGCTGGTGCTGAAGCAGCCGTGGCCGTCGATGGCGCGGACGTGCTGGGGCGACCACGAGCGGTTCGAGAACACGTACTTCAGCTACGACGGCTACTACCTGACGGGCGACGGCGCGCGGCGCGACGCGGACGGCCACTACTGGATCACGGGCCGCGTCGACGACGTGGTGGTGGTGTCGGGCCACAACATCGGCACGGCGGAGGTCGAGTCGGCGCTCGTGGCGCACCCCGCGGTGAGCTTTTGCGGCGTCCCCCAGCACGCCATCGACGCGACACGCCATCGACGCGACGCGCCAACAATACAACACAACGCAGGTCGCCGAGGCCGCGCTCGTGGGCGTCCCGCACGACGTCAAGGGCTCGGCGTTGTACGCGTTCGTCACGCTGACGCAGGACGCCGAGGGCCAGGCCGGCGACGAGCTGGCCAAGGAGCTGAAGCTGCGCGCGCGCGCGGACGTCGCGGCCTTCGCGTCGCCGGACACGTTCCACTGGGCGCCGACGGGCCTGCCGAAGACGCGCTCCGGCAAGATCATGCGCCGCATCCTGCGCAAGATCGCGGCGGAAGGTGCGGACGTGTCCGGGCTGGGCGACACGTCGACGCTCGCGGATCCCGGGATCGTGGACGAGCTTATTGCTAGTCATGCGGGGGCGTCGAAGTAGTCGCTGCGCGCGTGGTAACTCGAAGGTTTCTGCAACTTTACTGTGCGCCATCGACGCGACCCCGACACGCGCCCAGATATAACTATATTCTTTTACACTTAGTATCACAACCACAGCGGACATCAGTAGTTTTGACCTAGGGAGCCCCGGCCCCAGACCGGCAGAGGGGGTTCGTACTCCGGGTCGCATTCCTTGCCAAAGTCCTGTTCAAATTTGCCCTCAACCGCCACGGCCCAGCACAGGCCGTCTTGATGCGTCTCCACAGTCCCGTCGGCCTCGTGCGGCGCGCCCAGTAGCTTGTAGGTGTCGATCGTGTTGCCCATGCACCGCTCCGTGAGCCGGTCCATCGCGTCATGCAGGATTTGCCAAGTGTCGATGTCCGCCACGGCGTCGCGATCGTCGTCGAGCCCGTCGAAGTCCCGGATGTCGACGCACTCCAGTGCCTCTCCCAGCGGCCACGGGACGCCCAGGTGCGCGAGTACAGACCGGAGGCCTTCGTGCCACAAGCTCAGGAGGACATGATCGTTATTACCTTCACTCTCCGCTGGGTCGGGCGGGAAGAACATGAGTACCGCATCCCGTAGCGCGACTATCTCGCCCACGACCACCTGCATGTACTCGTCGAAGGACTCCGCCGCTTGCATCCCGCCGGCGCAGTTCATGACGCGCAGCTCGTGTCGCTCGTCGTATTCCTCGCACATCAGCGTACCTTTGACGCGTAGGAGCAGTGGCGCGCGCCCCGCCGCCGGCTGGACAAGCGCCCGGCTTTGCTGGCTGTCGATGATGCCTTGGACTACGGTCCGCATCGATGGCCGTGGCTGTGAATTCGCAGCGCTCATGGTTTTTGGCGTTGCCGGCGGCGGTTTGCGGGCATTAGTTGATGGAGATAGCTCCACTTACCCTGAGTGGCATAAAGGGTCAATTCTCGAATCACGGGTTTTCTTCTATGCCGATCCACATACCGCGGTTTCGCGGAAAGTAGCTTTCGAAGCAGGCGCACACCTCCTTGATTCTCGACCCGTGTAAAACCGGGAGGAATCTTAGGGAGTTTTTCACTAAATTGCGAGCTATACTCTATGTGTATACGCATGAGGTCCGGGGTTCAATTCCCCGCTGATGAGTTCTAAAGACTCAGTGGTCAGCCCGGTTTCCGGCTCAGTGGTCTAGTGGTATTGTGTGCTTCTTTTTTTTGTTTTTTTGGTCCTTTGACCCCCCCCTTTGGCATTTTGGGGGGTCCGAGCCGCCCAAACCTCCCGTCCGCCTCGAACACCGCACAGCCATGCGACGCGCAATCGTATTGCTCCTATCCGGGCACGCACAAGCCCTCTCGACGCCGCCGACGCGCCTACGCCAGCGATCGACCCGCCGGAGCGCCGCAAGCACCGCTGCACCCACTCAGAGCAATGCCTACCGCCTCGCCTCGGCGGCCTCCGTCGCGGCCTGGTCCGCCTGCGCCGTCACGGCGCTGTCGCGGCATCCGACGCTCGCGCTGCCTGCGGCGCACGCGCGCCTGTCCATCCTGCAAGCGTTGACGCCGCTACCGCTGCTGACCGCGTCGTTCGAGGCCGCTCCCGAAGACCGCACGGTGCAGCTCGGCCTCGCCGCGGCGTCGGCCTGGCTCTGTGCTGCCGTCGTCTTCGCGCCGCGTTTCACGGCCACGGCGGCGGCGCGCGCGCCCGGCCTCGCGCACATGGCGCACTCCGCGGCCATCACCTACCCCGCGCCGCTGCGGGCAGTTGCTGCCGCTGTCCACGGCAGCGCGGCACTGCTCTGCGGCGCGGCCTACGTGTCGTCGCCGAACACGAAGCGGAGTTCGCAGTCGACGGTCTGGCGGGCCGTCGCGCTCGCCTTCGCGGGCTGGGCGCTCGTCGCGGCGGTGGCGCCGTTCCCGCTCGCGACGCTGCCGACGATGCTGGGCCGGCGTCTCTCGCGGGCCTTTGGCGCTTTTTCAGTGCTATACGCGGCGGCGGCGCTCTCGCTCGCGACAGCTGATCAAAAAGTGCTCCGCCGCGGTGTCGCGCGCGCGGCCGCGGCGCACTGGGTCGCCGTCGGCGCGAAGGTCGTCGTGGAGCGCAATTGCCTCCGCGAGTTCTACCCCGCGGCGTTCTCGCGGCCCGTCGCGTCAGTCGCAGCGCTGGGGACGTTTGCGGTGGCGCTTTTTGTGGCTGCTGGACGGCGTGAGAATGGGGTGCGTTAATTTCGCTGTTGTATTTCTTTTCTGAACACGCCCCGCTCGACGATCATTTGGCGTTCCACGCTGGCAGCCGGCGCGCCCGACGCCGGCCGGACGCTCCATCGTCACGAAGCATGTGTCGGTTGCGAGAGGGCTGAGGACTAGCTAGCCCGCCGTCCGAAGTCGGCCGAGCGTCGCCCGAGCGCTGAGTTCTAGCTAGCCCCGCTTCCACGCCCACCACGACCACGCCCGTTACGCGTCGTGTGTACGCCGGACGCCCGTTGTGCCCGTTGAGCCGGATTCCGGTCGGAACCCGTAGGATAGAGCGCGGAGAGGCCAAAAAAAGCAAAAAAAACAAAGGGGAACAGCGGGAATCGAACCCACGACCTCGCGCACCCGAAGCGCAGTGATTCCATTGTTACCAAGGATGAATCATGCCACTAGACCATGCTCCCCAGCGCTCGCGACGACGAGCGCTGGGAGAGATGATTCGAAAAAATCAGTGTCATCTGAATACCCAATAGAAAACAGTCGCGCCCGACGCCGGCCGGACGCTCCATCGTCACGAAGCATGTGTCGGTTGCGAGAGGGCTGAGGACTACGACCACGCCCGTTACGCGTCGTGTGTACGCCGGACGCCCGTTGTGCCCGTTGAGCCGGATTCCGGTCGGAACCCGTAGGATAGAGCGCGGAGAGGCCAAAAAAAGCCAAAAAAACAAAGGGGAACAGCGGGAATCGAACCCACGACCTCGCGCACCCGAAGCGCAGTGATTCCATTGTTACCAAGGATGAATCATGCCACTAGACCATGCTCCCCAGCGCTCGCGACGACGAGCGCTGGGAGAGATGATTCGAAAAAATCAGTGTCATCTGAATACCCAATAGAAAACAGTCGCGCCCGACGCCGGCCGGACGCTCCATCGTCACGAAGCATGTGTCGGTTGCGAGAGGGCTGAGGACTAGCTAGCCCGCCGTCCGAAGTCGGCCGAGCGTCGCCCGAGCGCTGAGTTCTAGCTAGCCCCGCTTCCACGCCCACCACGACCACGCCCGTTACGCGTCGTGTGTACGCCGGACGCCCGTTGTGCCCGTTGAGCCGGATTCCGGTCGGAACCCGTAGGATAGAGCGCGGAGAGGCCAAAAAAAGCAAAAAAAACAAAGGGGAACAGCGGGAATCGAACCCACGACCTCGCGCACCCGAAGCGCAGTGATTCCATTGTTACCAAGGATGAATCATGCCACTAGACCATGCTCCCCAGCGCTCGCGACGACGAGCGCTGGGAGAGATGATTCGAAAAAATCAGTGTCATCTGAATACCCAATAGAAAAAACCCGTGATTCTCGATTTGACCCTCTAATTTCCCGATTTGACGTGCAACCCGGGTCAAAATTCTGCTTGCGCGTCAGAAACACCGCCAAAACCAAACAAGGCTGCTCCCCGCCACAGCTCGCCAAGCCGCCTGCAAAACGAGCGCCCTCACTTGGAGCAAATAGCAAAAAACGCATGGCAGCCCAAATGCGGCCAAAGCGCGCGCGCACGCAGCGCTGACACCACCGCGCCGCGTAACACAGTGCGCGGCAAGCCTGCCTACGCGACCGGCGCGTTTCCAACCCTCGCGCCCGCTCTCGTGCGACGCAGACCTCGACGGACGTCGAGACGAGCAAAACGGACCAGCCCACAGCCGTCGCGACGGTGCCGCGGAACGACGGTGCTGAACTCGCTCCGCGAGGCCGCACACGTGAAAAAGCCGCCACGTACGAAGAATAACTGCTCCTCTACGTGCTGGAGTGGTGGCGACGGGTTGGGCTCGCCTGCGATGATCACGAACGAGGCGCGGGCCGCACGGACGTCATCTCCCGCGCGACGGCGCCGTCGTTTCGCGGGCGCCAAGCGCGGCCCTTGGTCGAGGAATTTACCGACGCGCCCGGTGCGATGACGACGCGGCGACGTCGTGGAGTCCGTCGCGTCGATCGCGTGGAGGGCTCCTCGTTCGCTTCAAAATGTCTCGCGTCGATGGTCTGCGGGTCCGGTCGTTCCAGATTGAGATACTGCTGTACCAGTACTAGTATAAACATACTAGATTCATGAGCCTTGCGCGAACATTATTACGCGCTATTGTGTGCTGACACAGCCGTACACTCGGCAATTGCAGCCAGCAGTGCGCCAGGTAGACATCCGTGCACTCGTAAAGCAAAGCCCTAGCGCATCGCCTGCAGCCTCGCCGCGCCTGCATACTCGCACACCTTGCACCAGCGCCAAAAAACTGGGCGCGGCGGCTTCGCAGCAGCGGCGAGCGACAACATGATACTCCTGCAGTTCCTCGTCGAGCTCTCTCAAGGTAAATACGATGCGTCGTCTGTGAAAGACAAGCGACAGCTCGCGCGGGTAGCTTCCGTCGTGAAGGAGTGCTTCTTTGTCGTAGACCAAAGGACCCGTGACAGTGATTATGTCACCTGCGACAAAGCGGTTGTGATTCGCCGCTTTGTCAAGGAATTTTTAGAGGTTGCTTCCAAAATGACGTGCGAGGAACGCGAGCAACTCATCATTGTACAAATGGATCGGAACGTAAAGTTAATGCAATCGTACCAAGATGTCCTAGAGGCTGGTCGGAGCTTCGTGAGACTGCGACAAGAACTTAACGCCGAATCTGAAATGGTGAGAGCTGAAGCGGCGCGGGCCAATGCTGAGTTACAAGAGGCGGAAGCTGAAGGGCAAGCGGCCGTCGAACGCGGCGCCCCGGAATCGCCAGAGTAAAAACTACAGATAAAATTAATGGGGCGCATCAATCTCAGGAACGACGGAATCAAACGCCGAGCCAACGCGAGCCAACACGAGATCCAGCGCGTAGTCCAGCGGCCCCGGCATGCAGAAGTGGAGGCCGTCCGTGCCGCCCGCGGTCGACCCGGGGTGCGCGTCGACGCGCAGGCCGAGCATGGCCGCGACGTCGATGACCCCGTGGCCCGCGGCGAGGAAGGCCGCGGCCGCGGCGCCGTTGGCCACGTCGACGACCTCGTGGCCGTACTCGTCCTCGCCGGCCGGCGGCGAGGCCAGCTCCGCGACCACCGCGAGGGGCGCCGCGGCGCCGCCGCCCTCGGCCCGGGCCCACCTGCGTCGGTGGCGCGTCGCGGCGATGGCGTCTTGGGGTATATCTCTCGTTGTGGACCCGAAGTGACCAAGAAAAGGACACGGGCCACGAACTCCGTCGTGGCCACCGACCCGGCCGCGAGCCGCTCGACGTTCCGCGCGAGCTTGTCGAACGCCTTCTCGTCGACCGCCTTGAACTTCAGCGCGGGCGCGAGGGCCTGCTTCGCCTTGTCGCCGCGTTTCACCTGCGTTTTTTGTAGCGGGTCGCGTCGATGGCGTCTGGGGGGGGTCTTTCTCTCGTCGGGGACCCGAAGTCGGCTCAGCCGTGAGCTCCGGCGCAGGCCACCGCGCGGCGGGGTCCGGCCGACGGGTCGAAGCTCGGCGAAGGACGGCCGCCCGGGCCACAGCAAAGGACGCCGAAAAAACGTACCTCGTAGCGCGCGCGGTGCACCCAGCGGTCCGCGGCCGGCGGCGACGTGCGGTAGAACGACCGGAGCTCGATGCCGAGCTCGTCCCGCGCCTGCGTCGACGGCGTGTTGTGCTCGGCCACCGCGACGGGTCAGGGCTCGGTCGTCGCTCGTGGTGGCCGGCGTTCTTCCCGCGCCCAACCCGGCCTTTGGTTCCGACGACGAAGGGCCCATCCAGGAGTGCCAAACATTTCATCTGGATATAGCGTCGTACTGCGGCCTCGACGACTGCCCCGTAACCGCCCCAAGTCCTCGTTGCGAGCGCGACGCCACAAGGACGAAGACACAAAAAAAGGACGCGGGAAACGCGCCCGGTCCGCCGACGTGCGCAGCGCGCGGGCCATGGCGGCGAGCTCGAAGCGCCACCACGCGACGACGTCGGCGAGCGCGAGCTTGTGCGCCGCCGCGCGCCTGTGTGGAAATCAACGCGTCGAAAGGCCACGAGAAACAACACCACGCCGGCAAGCGGACGTCGGGAAGCGGTCGGGCGCCTCCTCGGCGTAGCAGTTCATGACCTCGAGCGCCTGCGTCGATGGCGTGTTGGGCGGTAGAATGTCTCTCGTGATTGCAAAGTCATGTGGATAGGTCCACGCCAGGCGGGCTCGGCACCGCGCCAGAAGGACGAAGACACAAGAACCAACAGGACGCGGGAAACGCGCGATGCTCTCGAGGTGCGCGAAGCAGTTGTAGACCACGGCCATGCGCGTGCGCTCGGCCTTGTGCCGCTGCTTCCGCTTCTCGCGCTTCTTCTTGTCCTTCTCGATCGCGCCCTTGCCGAAGACCGCCCGCCAGACCGACAACTCGCTCGCCTTGTGCCTGCGGTTGTTTGAGCGTCGCGGCGATGGCGTGGAGGGGGTCCGAGGCTCAGCCGTGGGCTCTCTCGTGGGCTCGACCGTCGTCTCCGCGGCTCGGCCACCGCGACAGAGCACAGATCGAAAAGTTCGAGCGTCGCGGCGACGGCGTGGAGTGAGCTCGACCGTCGGCTCCGCGGGCCCGGCCACCGCGACAGAAGGGAAAGGCTGGACGCGGCAAAAGTGCGTCGCGAAGTCGCGCGTCTGGTTCCGGAAGGCCACGCCGCACTTGGCCACGCTCGGGTCGTGCTCCTGGAAGGCCCAGGGGACGAGGCTCCAAGGCCGCTGCGGCTCGATGAACTGGAACGTGGCCCCGTTCGCGCATTGCTCGTCGGCGTCGGAACGCTGCCGCGCCTCGCGCTCGGCAGCTTCGCGCGCCTCCTTGTGCGGGCCGAGGCGCCGCCGCCGCCGGCCGCCGCGCGTCTGGCGCGCGAACTCGTTCGCCAGGTCGATCTCTTTGGACAGGTGGCCCTCCTCGCTCTTTTTGTAGGCGTAGCCGTCGGGGACCGGCCACGACGACGCGATGCGCCGCGCTCGCCTGCGTTTCGTAGCGGGTCGCGTCGATGGCGTAAATGCGCGTCGATGGCGTCGTGGTCGGCTCCAAGATAACTCTACCGTCAGGCCGCGGGACGCCTCAGATCAAGAAGACGGGGGAAAAAAGGGACGCGGCATACGCACCAAGTCTCGACGAGCTGGTGCGTCAGCGAGTCGCCGATGTTGATGACGCGCACGCCGCGCAGCGCGTCGCACAGCCCGTCGCCCGACTTCAGCTTCATCGGCCTTTTCTTGCCGACGGGTTTCCTGCGTGCGCGTGGATCGCGTCGATGGCGTAGCGGCGCGTCGATGGCGTCTGGGGGGTATATCTCTCGTCGGGGACCCGAAGCGGGCTCAGCCATCAGAGATCATGAAGACGGGAAAGGGGACGCGGCAAGCAAACCAAGCCCAGCGCCAGGACACGTCGTGGCCGGTGTCGCACTTGCGGTTGCGGCCCATCTGGGCCTCGTGGAAGTGGGGCGCGTAGCTCAGGAGCCGCCGGTCGAAGGTCGGCGCCAGCGAGTCGTTGCGCACCCACGCGCCGAGGTAGGGCCGCGCGGCGGCCGCCGGCAGCGCGGCCAGCAGCGCGCCGAGCCGCGCCGTCGATGCGGCGCGGCGCCGCGGCGCTCGCATGGCCGGTTGGCCGGCCATTTTTGGTGGGCGGGCCCAGCGGTCGCGCCGCGGGCCGACGCGCTGCCCACGGGCCGAATCGATGGTCCGGAGGAGTCCTGCGCCCGCGCCGTCCAGTTCTGGCTGCGTGCCGGCGAGATACACAACCGCTTTTGCGGCCTGATGTGCCAAAAGTTTTGATGAATTTTGGCGTCGCGTCGTAGCGACCGAGAGCCCTCTTTATGGAACCTCGACGGCGTATAGACTCCGGAGACGGATGTCGCGGACAAATTTCGCGGGCTCCCGTGGCCCATACGGTCGGTCGGTCGAATCCTTCTACCTTACGGCCTCGGATCACTTCCAGATCATTTGATGACTTGTGTCTGCTGGAGCGGTCGGCGTCGGAACGGCCCCCGTCACCAGTAGGCGAAGCGCGAGCGGGCAAATTGCAGAGGGATGTGTTACAAGGGTTCGTGGAAACTGTTCGAGAAAAGCCGACGCACCCCTCGATCCCAACTCTAGCCATGGTCTGCGCGTCCCGAAGTTCGGCCCTCTCGCTCCGGTCGCCGAAGATGGCCGACGTGTTCGCGCCGACGCCGCCCACGAACCCGACGTCGTTCAAGCACGGTCCGGCGCCGTGATCCCATCCCCGCGCGCGAGCGCGCCCCACCGAGTATAGATGTGGTTCTTGTTATATCGGTTCTTGTGTGGCGCGGCGATGGCGTGCGGAGGGATGCTCGGGGTCCGCCGTCCCGCGCGTTTTTGAGTCCAATCCCATCACATGACCCGAGCTAGTGTGTCTGTTCGCTCCTCCAACTTGCTAGCCAAAGAATCGGATAAAAATACCAGGGTCCCTCAGGAAGCCTGCCCGGACCTGTCGCGCTGCTAGTGTCCTATTGTACGCTAGCTCTTTGCTTTGGCAATCCTCAAGCGTTCAGCGTCATTCCTTGCAAGATATGCTACGCGCCCTGACCTTCATCACGTTGACGCGCCGCTGCGCGGCGTACGCGCAGCCGTTGGCCGCCGGCATCGCTGCAGCGTCGCCGAGCCGCCTCGTATCCGGAGTAGCTGCGATTTGCCTTTCCGGCGCTGCTGCGAAGTCCGCCGAGAAGCAGCCGGGCATACCGCTCGTCGCCGACGGCACCGTCCGTTTATTGAACGCCGCCGATGGCGCCGACGTCGTGCAAGGCATCATGGCGAGTCTCGGGCCCGGAGGAGCAGACGTCGCGGTCCAGCAATTAGATTCGACGGTCCACGCCTCGTTCGGGCCGCGAGGCGGCGGTAGCAAGGCGTCGAAGAAGGGCGTGGCCGACGCGAAGCCCGAGGGCCTCGGCGAAAAGGCTGTCGCGCCCGCCCCGGCGGCCGCCCCGGCGCCCGCCCCGGCGGCCGCCCCGGCGCCCGCCCCGGCGACCGCCCCGGAGGCCCTCAAAATAGAGCCGGCGGCGGTGAAGCAGGAGCCCGCCGCCCCGGAGGCCCCAAAAAAAGAGCCGTCGGCGGCGAAGGACGAGAAGAAGACGTCCTCGTGGAGCGGGCCATGGACCTGCCCCGGCATCCGGCCCGAGTTTGCGGAACCGGCCGGTCCACTCGGCTACAAGGCCGCCGCGTTGGATTCGACCTGCGAGGCCCTCCAGACTTCTGGAGGGATGAACGAGAAGCAAGCGGTAGAGGTGCGTGCGCCTGCGTCCCTGAGCATCACGCGCGTGCGTCAACGCGTCGTCCCCTCGCAGTTCTGCGTGAAGAACGCGTCGAGCGCGTGCGAGACGCCGGAGTGGGCGACGGAATTGCAGCGCTTGCGCAAGGTCGAGTATGATTCGGAGCGGCCACAGCGCGACGGCCACAAGCGCGACGTGGCGAAGACGGACGAGGCGGCGTTCCGCGCCGCGCTCGTGTCCGTCGCGACGGAGTGCTGCGGGCTAGGGGATGGCGCTGTCACGGCAGCGGCGTCTACCAACGGACGGCGCAAACCGACGCGCGAAGGATTGGTTCAGCTCGCGACGGAGGTCTTAAGGGCGAAACTCGCTGGTGGTCTGCTCGCCGGCGTGTTCGCGCCGGCGGCGCGGCGCGAACCGCGGTCATACGCGCATCTGGACGACGCCAAGGCGCGAGCACGTGCTAGTGACGCGGATGGCATGAAAGGCCTGGGCGAGGCCTACGACGCCCTCGCGGCCGCCCTGGCGTCCTTCCTCCCGGCCGACGTGCTGCCCAAGCCGACGAAGAAGGCCGAGGGCTTCAGCAGAGAAACGGGCCCCAAACTGTTCGCGCCCGCGACGCGCGTCCTCAACAAGATCGCGGCGGCGGCGATGGCCGCTGCGGGGCCGGCGCCGGCGCCGGCGCCGGACGCGACGCAGCCCATGGACGTGGACGTGGTGTCGCCCGAAGCGCCGCGCACGGAGTCGGGCGACGCCCCGGCGCCGACGCCGGCGCCGTCGCAGGGCGAGCGGCCCATCGCCTCGCGCGACGCCACGGCCCGGCTCAAGGCGCGGCAAAGGATGATAACGTCGGCGGGTCCGCACGACGGCGACGCCGTGAAGTCGCTCGTGGCCTTGTTGGGGCCGCTCGGCCTGGGCGCGGAGCGGGCTGAAGAGCTCGTGCGCGACATCGACCGCGCCGACGCCAAGGCCCACGAGGAGCAGAAGCAGAAGGACGCGGTCGCCGCGCCCCGAACAGCGCGGCGGTTTGCGGCGGGCGCGCGGCGGCCGCCCATCGCGCGGCGGCCGTCGCCCAGCCACGCTCAGCTGGACGCCTTCTTCGCGTCGGCCAAGCCGGCGCGCCGGTCGAGCCGCGGAGACAAGCGGCCTAGGGTCGTCGACGCGCCGCCGCCGCCGAAGCGGCGCTTCCAGCGAGAGGCTGCAGTCGGCGACCGCGTCGTCTGGATGAAGTACGGGCGCGAGGGCGTCGTCGAGGCCGAGGACACGCCGGGCGTGTTCATCGTCTTCTTCGACAAGGGCTGCTTCAGGGAGACTGTCCGGGCGGACGAGCTGCGCGTCTTGTAGACGGACCAGGAGTCGTCGCGCGGCGTCGCGGCCGTTATTCCTCGCATGGCGCTAATTCACAGAACTACGATACCATAATGCAGCCGCCTCGTGCGCCGGTTAGAAGTCCCGAGTAATGCAGAATTCGAATATATATAGAGCCAAGTCGCCGCGTCCGACCAAAAATACCGCGCGATTGGCGTTGGCCTCGCGGCGTTTGCGAAGCGTCGGGAGCGCCTGCGACAGCCTGCACGCGTCTCCTAACGTTCCGCGCCGCGGGTTTCCTGTATCCATTTGCCTTGCATTGCTTGGTTGGGGCATGCAAAACCAGACGGCTCCCGTCGCCTTCACGACCGCACGCGTGCCGAACGGCCCTCCTCAGAACGTCTACGAGCAAGGCGGTTACCGCTGGACGGAAGGCGGCAACGGTACACGACACTTTTGGAGGAGTGACTGTGACATTGTCCCAGGCCGCAAAGCCGTCCACTTCGTGCCGCAACGAGCCGTATTGCTCGGCGCGTATCCAGGCGTGAAAGCAGACGCCTCGTGCGTCCTCGCCACCTGCGAAGAGCCTCTGGCCCTGGAGGTTTGGGTCGCCGACCGGGCGAAACCGGATTTTGCGACGGCCGAGACCAAGTTTTTCGAGGAGGCGAAGCGGGCGCTAGAACTGCGGTGCCAGGCGCCGGTGTTCCCGCGGCATATTATTGCCGTCGTCGACGGCTGCCTGCCGGACGGTGACGAGATGAGGACCGGGGCTGGTGGCGGCTGTGTAATTTTCGCCCGTGCGCGCGTTCATATTGCGGCGCAGGTTGGGTATCGACTCCGCTCTCGGAGGCGGAGGCCAAATTGCTCCCGCCGCCCGTGTGGGCGGCGTGGGAGATTGTCGCGATGGCCGTCGCTTTCGGGGCACGAACACGCCGCGTCCCAAAATCAATTTCGGTGCGACGTCTTCGTCTCGTGGACCGGTCCGCTCACTGGTCGGTTTATGCGCAGGTCAAGAAGGTCACGATCCAGGCCCACGGCACCTACGCGAAGCTGGGCGGCCGCGCGGACCTGCTCGTCGCGATGGTCCAGGAGCGGTTCCGCAAGGTCGGCGAGGCCATCGAGGTCGAGCTTAAATCCGCGGAAGAGTAAGTATATTATATTGGAATAACTATCCGCCGCGCGGCCTCGGGCCGGGCGCAAGACATGCTCGCGGGGTTGCAAACAATACGTCAAGACTTGCGAAGAGGTCGGCCGCCACCACGCGTCGCCGCTCCCACGAGTATGGTTCCCCCAGGAAGCCGTCCGGACCTGAAGAACGTCTGTTTTCACCGTGAGCTAGCGTCGTAGACACTAGCAAACTGGGGTGCCGCCACACAGAGCTGCTCTCCGAGTCACAGCTCGCACCCCAGGACACCAGAACTCCTCGACTGCGCGCCGTTTACACCCTGACAATGATGCGGCAGCGCCTGCTCGTCGCACTGCTCTTGCGAGCCTGCAGCAGCATGCGCACGCCCCAGGCCGCAGTCACACGCCGCAGCATCGGTGGGCTCGCGGCGGCGGGCGTCGCGCTGCGGCCGTCGTTGCCGGTGCTTGGCCAGCGTTGCATGCGTGCCTTCGAATTGCGCGCAGTTTTTGTCGACGCGCGGCGGGTCGCATCGTCGACGGCGTAGGAGATGCTTCGCGTCGATGGCGTAGAGCGCCACAGATGCCTGGCGTCGACGGCGTAGAGAGCGCCACACCACGGGCATTTTTTGTCTACGCGCGAGCGTCACAGCACAACCGACACAGGCCTTGGCAAAAACGGACGAGGTCTTCGCGCCGGCGCCGGGCTCGCTCGCCGGCCGCACGGTGCTCATCACGGGCGCGAACTCGGGCCTCGGCCTCGAGTCGGCCGCGCGGCTCGCCGCGGCCGGCGCCGACGTCGTCGCGACGGCGCGGACCGACGCCAAGGCCCAGCAGGCCGTGAATGAAATCGAAAAACGCACGGGCCGCAAAGTATCAGGCGTCGCCCTGGACCTGGCTGATTTGAAGAGCGTCAAGTCGCTGCCGAGCCGCCTGCCCAAGTCCGTATCGAAAATAGACGTGCTGATGGAGAACGCGGGCGTCATGGCCATCCCCGAGCGCCTCGCGACGAAGGACGGCTTCGAGCGGCAGATTGGCGTGAACCACCTCGGCCACTACGCGCTCGTCGCGAGTTTGCTGCCGCTGCTCGAGAAGAGTTCCGCTTTTAGGATCGTGGCCGTCTCGTCGGACGCGAACAAGATTGTAGATGGGAAGGCCATCGCCCAGGCGCTGGACGCGAACCTCGAGCCGCCCTACGGCGCGTGGACGAACTACGGCCTGTCCAAGGTTTTTAATGTTCTATTTGTCGAGGAGTTGCGACGGCGGCTCCCGTCAAAAGGCACCGCCGTGGCCGTGCACCCCGGCGTCGTGCAGACGGACCTGTCGCGGTATCTGGTCCAGGGTGTCGACGCGGCCGAGGCCGGCGTGTCGCAGACGGAGGCGTTCGAGACGATGTCGCCGCTACAAAAGAAGCTCATGGAGGGCATGGCCAAGTTCATCTTGCCCGTGTCTTTGGGCGCGAACGGCCAAGTGCGCCTCGCGGCCGAGGCGGACCTCGCAGCCGACCCGGGCGGCCCTTACTTCGACGGTCTGAAGCGGGGGAACCCAAACAAAGCGGCGGGCGACGCGGCGCTCGCGCGGCGGCTCTGGGACGTGTCCGAGCGGCTCACGGGGGCGACGATAAATCTTTGAATAGTATCGACAAAACCACCGCTTAGGCAGAGGGGGGGGAACATGGGATCAGTTGGCGACGAACTTCTTGTAGCCCGCCTGCGCGCAGATGAATCGCGTCGATGGCGTCTTGGGCGGCTCCGAAGTGGGCTCAGCCGCGAGACCGCGGGACGCGTCGGATCACAAAGACTGGAAAAGGGGACGCGGGAAACACACCAGGCCGACGACGGCGGCGCCGGCGAGCTTCTTCGTTGGGACCGAGCCGCCGGCGGCCGTCGCGGCGTCGGGCAGGTGCCGCGTCGACACGGCCTCGAGGAGCCGCTCGGCCGACGGCGCGCCTGCGGCCGCGCGGGTCGGCGTCGACGGCGTCCGGCGGGGTCCTCTCGCCACGCACGGAGTGCCGCGAGAACGCGCGACGCGAGGACGAGCAAAGAGCAAAAGGACACCGCAAGCGAACCGGGCAGCGCGGCGACGACGTCGACGAGGCGCAGCGACCGCAGCGCGGCCAGGCTCCTGCGCGGGAGGGTTGCGTTCGCGTCGCGACGGAGTCGGGACTTCGGACGCGGCTCCGTACAGCGTGGGAAACGAAAACGGGACGGCTCCTCGCAGCGCCGAGTCCGCGGGCAGGAAGCACGCCAGGACCGCGATGATCACGACGCCCAGCGCGAGTTTCAGCGGGCTCGCGCCGCCCGACGCCGCACCGTTGGCGGAGGTGCCCTTCTTGGGCAGCGTCCAGCTGGACACGCCCGTGCGTTCGTTGACGTAGTAGGTGTTGCCCGAGGCCGGGTCGACGTGGGCGTTCCAGCGGTTCCCATCACCGTCCAGCACCATCGTGGCGGCGGCGTCGATTCCTCGGCCGGCACAATTGTACGCGCACAACGTCGTGCGGGGCGCGGGCGCGTGCTACGAGCCTTCGGCGGCGGCACGGGGTCGCGATGGGGCCCGGACTCCTAATTTAGAATGTTGTGACCTGGGTTAGCTCGGAAGCGACGACGGCGACGACGCCGTATACACGCCGCCGCCCCGCTTGTGGCTCTTCAGCCGGTGGCATGCGGCGCCCACGCCCCCGCAGCCCTTCGCGTGGCTCCGCACCTGCGTGGGTACGCGACGACGTGAGATCGCGTCGATGGCGTCTGGGGGGTATCTCTCGCGTCGGAGGCCCGCGGGCGCGGCTCCGAAGTAGGCTCCGAGCCAGTGGGCGCCGGCGCAAGTCCCGAGAACAACAAATCGAAAAGGACAAAAGGACGCGGCAAAACACACCTCGAAGAGGTGGACGTCCTCGGGCGCGAGCGCGGCGCCGAGCAGGGCCATCGACGAGGCCGGCGAGAAGAAGATGGCCGTCGCCGACGCCATCACGTCCAAATCGCGCGCGATCGCATCGACGTGCGCGTTCGACCGCGGCGTCGCCCGCCTGCGTGCACAACGTTGACGGGTTTGATCGCATCGATGGCGTGTGATACGGTAGTATGTCTCTCGTGGTCGCTGAGTCATCAGGCCCCGCATCGATGGCGTGCCGCGTCGATGGCGTCTTCGGGGGCCCGTCTCAAACATCGGCTCCGTGGGCTCGGCACCGCGACAGAAGGACGAAGACACAAAAACCAACAGGACGCAGGAAACACACGGCGGCGGCGGGCGGTCGGCGAGGTACGCGACGTCCGCGACGGGCGCGTCGTCGGCGCCGGGCAGGTCCGCGCGGCCCGCGGTCGAGACGACGACGACGCGCGCCGTCTCGTTCGCGCGGCTCTCCAGGTAGGCCCGGAGACAGGGCCAGTACGCGGCGAGCTCGACGGCCTTGCACTGGGCCTTGAGGGGCAGGCCCCAGGCGGCGCCCTCGCGGGCGCCGCGATCACCCTTGTCCACGGGCATGACGTCGCCGCGGCGGACGTGGAGCGCGACGCGCACGGTGGCGTTGCCCCAGACGTCCAGCGGCCGCGGCCGCGCTGCTTTTACCAAATCGAACTGGGGCCGGAGCACCTTCCGCGCGAGCTGGAAGCTGTGGGCGCCGGCGACGCTGGTGAGAGAAACGTTCTTCGACCACGCCGCCGAGACCTTGACGCAGTAGACGTCGTACGCCGCGCACGCGAAGGACGCGTTGGCCTCGCCTCGTTGCAAGGGCTTGAGCAGCGGCACGGCCGCCAGGAAGGCGTCGCGCCGTTCGATGGAGATCCGGGGGTTGACGACTGTGACAACCGGCGCGGGCGCCGGCGCTGGCTGGAACCGCGAGAAGACGCGCTGGACCCAAGATGTTTCCCGAGGCTCCGTCTCATCGACGCCCAGCAACCGATCCAAGGCCGCGGAGGCCGCGAAGACGCCGACGCCCGCCATCCCGCCCCGGTCATCGCGGCCGCACCCGAACAACGCCATGGCGCCCTCCTCTCCATAAGCATGCCCGAAGTCCCACTCGTGCGACCGGCACGCGATGCGCAGCCCCGTCAGCGCGTGCGCGAGTAGTAATGGAGCCAGCTGGTCCGCGCGCAGCACCTGGGCGCCGAGCCCGTCCTGGTTCCGCTCGTGCCGCCGGTGGGCCTTGGCGACGACGGCGCCGCAGACCTTGTGACTCCGCGCGTCGTAGCGCCGCAGCGCCCGCTTGACGGCGAGGGGCGAGGCGTCGACGGTCACGACGCGCTGGCGCTCCGAGTCGACGGGCAGCGACACGGCGCGCTGCGTGTCGAGGACGCGGGCGGCGACCGCCCCGGCCAGGAGGAGCGCGCGCGTGCGCCGCCTCATGATCCGTGTGGCAGCCGCTGCTGAGGGGCTGCCCGCCGTGTCGCCGCGACGCTGCCCCCTCGGTCGACTGCCATTCGTCAATTCAGCTACCCTAATCCGTCGCTCGGTTCATAAATTCAGGCTTTCAGGCTGCGGGGAGTCCAAGCCTCTGCAGTCCACATGCATGGTGGCCAGAATGCTGCTAGCGGCCTGTAAGACACTAGCGTTCTCCTGGGGTGTGAGGGGCAGCAAGTCTCGTTTTTCGCAACCGCTCGTTAGCGGGCGAGGGGGGGCTATAACAACACACACTAGCAAGCACACTCGCAGCCCGAGTACTGATCTCGGGCAGCGCAGCGAGCTCGGGCAGCCCTCAGCCGGGCAGCGGCCAGGAGCTCATCGCTCTTGGAAGCGGAGGACGAAGACGTCCGCGAGCGTCGATGCGTCGATACAGCAACAACCGATGAGGCGCGTCGCACTCGCAGCACTCGTCCTACGGACCGCCTCCGCCTGGGACCCGCGCGCCGCCAACCGGGCGCTCGCGCTGCTCGAGAAGGACGGGCTGCGCTGCGCCGGCTATTGTAAGGTAGGCCCCACCTGCACGCACAACCTGCACACGAACCGCACGTACCTGCCGCCCGCGTTCGTAGAAGGCGAGTCCGTGGCGCGCGGTCGCGCGCTGGGCGGGGCCCTGGACGATTGGTGGTGCGGGCTCCCGGCGCACGAGGCCTTCCCGACGAGCTTCACGGTGGCCCCGGCGTCTCCCGTTTCCGCCGGTGCCTTCGGGGAGCCGCGGCGACGGTGTCGGGGCGGTCCCAGAGGAAGTGCCGCGGTCCACCGCGACGGCGCGCCTTCGGCTCGATGGCGTGGAGGCGAACGCGCACCGTCACACACGCACGGCGGCCGCTCGATGGCGTGGAGAAGAGGACCCAACGACGCACAGGTCGGCAAGACGCTCGGCGCGCTCGCGGCCGCGCAGGCCTTCGCGCTCGCCGACTCGCGGCGCTTCCGGCGCGCGGCGGTCGCGGCGCCGGCGCGCGTGGACTACGGGGCCGCGGCGGCCGCGTTCGCCCGGGCGCAGCGCGGGACCGGCAAGTTCGCGGCGAACTGTCCCGGGCCGGGGGAACCGGACGCGCGCGCGCTTTGGCGCGGCGCGCCGCCGGCCGCGTGCGCGGAGGCGGCAGCCGTGCCCCGGCCGCTCGCGGCGCGCCTCGACGCGCTGGCGGTCGGGCCCCGGGACGTCTTCCCCCACCACGGCCACCAGCTCCGCTCCGTGGGGAAATCAACCGTGACAGTTCTCCACCCGCGTCGTCGCCGGCGAAGTCGCGCGGTGAGGGGCCCGCATCGCCACGCAGTCGCGCGGACGTCGCGTCGATGGCGCGGAGGTCGACGCGCCGATTCGCCACGAAGGCGCCGGGAAATGTTATATCCCCATAGGCTGCTCTGGTGGCTCCTGTCGTCGTATTGGGCGGTGACGCGCGGCTGGTCGCGCTGCGGCGCCGGGCTCATCGACGCGCGCCTCGGCCGCGTCGTGGCGCGTGGGCCGCCGGCGGCCGCGCCGCCGGCCGGAGACGCGCCGCGCGGCGTCCGGAGCGTCGGCGTCCACGTCCGTCGCGGCGACGCGTGCGAGAGTTGGGCCGTTCGCGCGGGCGGCCAGCACAAGCGTCCCGCGGAGCGGCCCTGCTATCCGTCCCGTTTATACGTCGCGGCCGTCGAGACGCTCGTCGCCGAATACCCGACGATCTCGACGGTCGTCGTCGCCTCGGACGCGCAAGACGCCGTCCAGGACCTAGTGACGGCCCTGACGCCGCGCGGGCTGTGCGGACGCGGCGTCCCGTCGACGTCCCTTTCGACGCCATCGGCGCGTCGCAGGCGGGTGGCGTTCCTCGAGGCGAACCGCACGAAGTACGCCGCGGCGCGCTTCATCGAGGAGCGGCGCTTCCGTCCGGAGGCGGCGCTGGACGTGACCCTGGACATCGCCGCGGACCTGCGCTTGCTGGCGCGGGAGGCCGACGCCTTCGTGGGCACGGCCGTGTCGTGGGTGTCGCGGCTCGCGCTGCTGGCGAGCCTCCGCGCCGCGATCATCGTGTCGAACGCGCCCGACTCACTGGTCGATTTCCACGCAGGCGATCGGCGGCGGCGCCGCGAGCGAGCGGGGCAAGCTGCCGGGCCTGCCGCCGTACGTGCTCCTGGACCGGCCCTACCGCGCGGTCACGTGGGAAACGGAGCGGGGCGGGTGGCACTGCCGGGCGCCGGGCGTCCCCCACTAGTAAAAAAACCGATTTAGAGGAGCAATTAGCCAAAAAAACGGCGCGCGAGTACGCCCGGATCAAGATCGACGGCCTCCGGCTCGTGGGCGGGAACCCGGACTTCACCTAGTAAAACGGGGGTTTTCCGGCGCGACGGCCGCCCCCAAGCCGTCGCAATTGCGATCCGCTGGGGCAGCGTGCGCACGGAGGACGAGCCTCCCGCGGGTTTTACCGAGCTAGCACCTACAGTACTGCGGGTACGCACGGCTTCTACGCACGGCTTGAAAGAGTAGACAGGCAGTTCTGCATGCGCCCCCCGGCTCGACGTCCCTCTCCTCGGCGACGCGGAGGCATCCGGGTCGGAGTCGAGGAGCGCGAGGAGGTCGCCGTAGGTCGGGTACGGCTCGCGCGTGCATCGGCGCACGGCGTCCCTCAGGAGGGACGCGGTTTGTGAGTCCCCCCCGGCCGCGGCGAGGTCGCCGAGCCGGGGCAGCAGCCACGCGCGGCGGCCGAGGTCGTGCACGTGCGATCGGTCGCGATGGTGCGTCGTCATGCGCGCGGGCGCGTGGCGCGCGCGCAGGGCGGCCGCGAGCGGCCCCACGCTCGGGTTCGGCCCGTCCACGAGCCAGAGCGCGGGCGCGCCGCGCGCGTCCGCCCCGCACGTGAACTGCGACGGCTTGAAGTCCCGCAGGAAGAAGCCGCCGCGCCCCTCGACGGACCGGAAGAGCTCAATCCAGGCGCGCGCGACGGCCCGGGGGCGCGACGCGGCCAGCGCCTCGTAGTCGCGGTAGAGGCTGTGATCGTCGTCCCCGATTTGCCGGCCGCACCGCTCGACGACCAGATGCAGCGTCCCCTTCACGAAATAGCCGCCGTGGAGGAGGGGGATGCCGGGCTGGCCCCGCAGGTACTCCAGGTACAGCGCCTCGCGCCGCAGGCCGCTGGCGTACTTTTTTTCCAGGGACTTGGTCGACTTGACGACGACGGCGCGCGCGGTCGCGTTGATCATTATGCTGGTCGCAAAAACGAACTTGACGGTGTTGTTGGCCGTGAAGTGAAAGGGAGCCGGCGCGGCCGCGAGCCCCGACGGGTGCGTGACGCGCCAGTGGTTTGGCGGTGCGCCGGCCCGCCCGTCCGTCGCGTTGCGGATCCAGTCGTCGACGCGCAACGCGCGCGCCAGCGCGTCGTCCGCGTCCCACGGCGGCTCGGCGGCCCCCGCGCGCGCGTTGCCCAGGCCGGCAAGCAGCAGGAGGATCCTCATCAGCTGTCCCGTGTCGTGCAGTGCAGGCAGCTACGGTGCGAAGGGGGCGAGCATTTCGCTCAAAAAACTTTCGACGCGCATTGCCCCGGAATTAAAAAATCACACTGAAAAATCACTTTTTTTGGCGCTAGTGACTAAGGCCGCTAGCTGCGCGCGGACTCGTAGGCGCGGGAGCCCTGGTAGCCGCTCCCCGGGGCAGGTCTTTACTTGGTAAATGGCAAAGTGTCTGAGAGGACCAGTGGCCAGCTCTACGTCGCCCATATATCTGCCCCATCGTTGCGGTTTGCGATGCGGCGCCGCAACTGCGTCTGGGCGGCCGGGCTGCTCTGGCTCTCGACGCCGGCGTGCGCGACGGACGCCGCCGTCGCGCTCCTCGCGGACGGCGCGAACCCCGCCACGACCGACGCCATGCTGCGCAACCTCGCGACGCTCGCGCGGACGTGCGATTGGGCGCGCCGCTACGATGTGATCGTCTTCCACGAGGGCGGCGCCGCAGGCGACGCCCTGCGCCCGCGCCTGGCCGCGCTTCGGCGCCGGACCGGGCTCCGCCTGCGGGCCCGGGACGTCTCCGACGTGTTCGCGGCGCCCGCGCCGGCTTTCGTGGACAGGCCGCGCCGGCGGGGCCAGCGGACCTTCGGCCTTGGCTACCGCCGGATGTGCCGCTTTTGGTTCTCCGGCGTCTTCGAGCTCGAGGACGTGCGGAACCTGACGTACCTGCTGCGCCTGGACACGGACTCGGAGCTCCGGTGCCGCGCGGACTCGCGCGACCCCTTCGAGGTCATGGCCCGGCGGCGCGCCATCTACGGCTACGTGGCCGTCAAGATGGACCACCAGCGGGTCGCGCGAAATTTAACCGCTTTTGGCGCTGCCTATGCGCGGCGCGTGCCACAAATACAGGACGCCTTCTTCCGCTTCCCGCCGAACGCCCACAAAAACTGCCCCGCGCCCATGTTCTACACGAACTTTGAAATTATGGACGTGTCCTGGTTCGTGCAACCGCGCGCCGTGGCGCTCGCGCGGGCCGTCGACGCGTCCGGCTCCCGCGCAGTGAAAATTTTTTTGACGATGCGCCGTCGACGCGATGCCCCCCGCGCAGGACGGGGCAGATCTTCGCGAGCCGCTGGGGCGACGCGCCGCTCCGGTGGATCCAGCTGGCGCTCTTCGCGAGCAGGACGGACCTAGTCTGTTTCGGCGGCGAGTACGACTACGTGCACGGCGGGCGCCAGGACCGCTGCGACCTGTCCTTCAACCTGACGGCCAGAGGCTGCCCGATCCGCGAGAGTCTTCGCGCTGCGCGACTTCGCGGCGCCGCGGCCCGTGTCGCGATCCAGCGCGAGGACCAATGGTGCTACCCCGTGTGTAGCCAGCAGCCTGCAAGACACTAGGGACCCCTAATCCGGGTTGCGGCTTCCAGGGCTCCCGCGTTTAGGAAATCCCGCGCGCTAGAGAGAGTAGGGGGTGGCCTTTTAGAAACCCGCGAGCTCACGAGGCCCGGGGCTCGATCGCCAGTGATTTATCTTTAGCTTTGTCTTAGACTCTACAGCCTTAGTGCTCGTCAGGTTGCTCCAAACAGCGTCACCTCGTCGGCGTTTCAATCAACTGCTGAAGGCTCAGGCTAGTTACAAGACACTAGCAGGCCTCATCCCTACTAGCCACCAAGCCAGTAATTTTTATCCAGAGAGGCACGCAATCGGCTCCAGACCGGCAGCCCGGACCCGCTCGCATGGTCTCCACCACCAGCAGGACGAGACCCTAACCAGCGCGCATGAAAGCAGCACCGCTGCTTTTGTACGCCCTCGCGGCGGGCCGCGAGTGTCCCGGGGAGATCCCGGAGCCCGTATCTCTGACGGACGCGGCCGTCGCGCGCGCCACGGCCGCGGCCGCCTGGTTCCGGGGTGCCCCGCCGCCGAGGCACTGGACGCTCACGGCTTCGCTCGCGCGCGACCTCAACCAAACCTTGGGCGCTGGCGCCTACAAGAGGGTGATCGAAGTCGTGGACCGGCCGGAGCTGCTCGTGAAGACGCGCGCGCACGGGGCGCTCCACAAACAGGCCTTGAACCACCGCGGCGAGCGCGCCGTGCGCGCGGAGGTGCTGTACCTCGAGGTCGCCCGCGGGCGCCGGGGCGTGCCCGCGCTGTACGGCGGCTGGATCGACCAGGAGAGGGTGTACTACGTCGTGCAGCGCGTGGACGCGTCGCTGGTGCGGCGCGGGACCCGCGGCGCTCCGTCGGGCCGTCCGTCGCCGCTTTGGTTGAAGCGGTGCCAAGACGCGCCCGTCGAGGCGGCGCGGGCGCTCCTCGAGTGCTTCCGGTCGTTTACGGATGCAGGCTACCACATGGAGGACCTGCACGGCTCGCAGTTCACGCTAAACGACGCGGGCGAGGTCTTCGCCATCGACGCGCCGGAGTCGCGCCCAGGCGCGCCCGTCGCCGCGACCCTGGACTGGGCGCTCCGGCGGCCCAAAGACGCCGCCCGGAGGACCCACGGCCCCGGGGCGCCGGGGAGGAACTGTTCCCGGGACGACGATTGCGTGCGGACGTCCGACATGGAGCGGTGCGCGCTCCGCGACTGTATTCGCGGCTTCGAAGCGGGCGCGCGAGAGACGCGGGGCTGGTGCCGCCGGGCGACGTGCGTCGGGGTGGACGCGCGCACGCACGTCTTCGACCTGGCGACGCGGACGTGGGCGCTGCCATTAATCCTGCAGGAGGGTCGGTTCCCGTCGTCGGCGGCGAAGCGGCGGCTGGAGGAGCTCATCGCGCGCATGCGGAGCGAAGCGCCCGAGGACCGGCCGAGTCTGGTGGATGCGCTCGCGGCGCTCAACGCGGCGCCTGCTTCTTAACGTTGTTTTAGACACAGTACGCACTATTACTATCCTAAAGCGCTTCATGCAGTGCGGGAGAGAGAGAGAGAGAGCCGCTTATTGAGCTGGCCCCTCTAGCACGGATCCCGAGCGCCGAAAAACCCGGCTGCCGGCGGAAATGCGGCGCCGCGGTCTGCCCGCAATTGCTCGCTGCACTCGCCCACGAGTCGGTGCGGCTGCACGCGAGATCAGTGCTCGGGCAGCGCAGCGAGCTCGGGCTGGCTCGGTTGGGCAGCGCCAAGAGCTCATTGGCAGTCGAGGCGCCATGCGCGCCGCTCTGGTCGCGTCGCTCGGCGCCCTCGCCGCAGCGTGGGAAGGCGGGCCACGCAGCGCGGCCTGCGCCGTCGCCGCGGACGCGTGCCCGGAAACGGCCCACGCGGGCCTCGCGGCGCTGCGCTGCGGCACGAGCTACTACCCGGACGCCTACTCGTTCGCGACGAACGCGACGCAGACGCGGCTCCGGGACGCGGCGGTGCGCGCGCGCGTCTGCGCCCGGCCGCCGACTCGCGCGGCGCCGCGCCCCGACCTGTCGCTCGGCAAGTTCTTCTACTATGGCGTCGCCTGGCGCCGCGTCCCTTTTCAATCAACGCCGTCGATCCTGGCCCGCGCGTGCCGCGTCGCCCGTGATTTGGGAGCCACCGTGTGCAGCGGCAGCCCGATTACTGGTGACGCGCCGGCCTCCTTCTTGACGCGTGTCCGGCGCGACGTCCGTCGCGGGCGGCCGTCCCGCGCCCTCCCGTGGGAGTCGGCCCCGGGATGTTGTACTAGGGCGGACGGCGAGACACGTCCGCGCACAGGCCACCGCCAAGAAGGAGCGCGACGGCATCCGCCGCTGCTGGGCGGCGCCGTCCGGCGTCCGGCGTCCGTGAGCGGCTCCTCCCCTGCACCATCGACGCGACTCCCGCGCAGGCCGTTCCAGCACACGCGCCCCGAGCTCGCGGCCTGGCGCTTCCTGCCTCGCGGGGGATGCGGCGCGACCCAGGACGACTGGTTCGCGCCGCCGGCCTGCGCCGGCGTCGTCGATCCGCCGCGAGGCACGGTAGAGAACGACGTCGACCTGCCGCCCGGCCTCTGGCGGCTCGCCGCGGGCGTGCGGCACCGGCTCGCGGGCGCGGGCCCCTGCGCCGCGACGGCGCGGGACCAGCTCCTCGGTCCCCTGCGGCGCGCCGCCGGGCGAGGCCTCACCGCGGGCGTGCACGTGCGACGCGGCGACGCGTGCGAGCGGTTCGGCGACGAGGGCGACCCGACGCTGCGCGCGTGCTACCCCGCCGGCGCGTACGCCGCGGCTCTCCGACGGATGCGCCGGACGTACGGCGTCCAACGTGTCGCGGTGGCGACGGACTCGCCGACCGTCGTCGGCGTTGTGCCGCGTCCCTTGTTTTTGTTGTTTTCCCTTCCGCGGTCCTCTTCGACCCGTTCTCCGTCGCGGTGACGTTGCGCCGGCTTGTCCCGCGGTCGTCCTCCTCGCTCCCTTCCGGACGCCCCGCGCGAGCCGTCGACGCGCCCCTTTCCGCGCGCAGGCGAGCTCCGCCGGCTGCTGCCCGGGTTCGCCGTCGAGGCCCTCGCCTTCGACAGGCACCGCCTCGGCGGCGCCGAGAACGCGACGCTCGGGCGCCGCGCACCGGCGGCCTTCATCGAGAACCGGGCGGACCTCGACGCGCGCCACGCGCTCGTCACGTTCCTCGCGGACCTCGAGCTCCTCGCGGCCGCCGACGTGTTCGTCGGCACGGCCGGCACGACCATCGGCCGCGTCGGGCTCGGCGTTGCTGCCGCACGTACGGCGGGGCGCCCGAAATTTGGTTTCCACGCAGGCCGGGCTGGTGGCAATGATTGGGAGGCTGGGGCGCGTGCCGCCGTTCGAGTTCGTCGATGGAGCGCCTTCTTCTTCTGCTTCTTCTGTCGTGTAGTTTTGTAGTAGTATTCTCTTTTTTGGCTTTGTTCTGCTTCGAGCTAGGGTCTGCGTGACCGCATGCCCGCCCCGGGCGCCCCCGCCCACGTACGCCGTCGCCCCGAGTGTTGGCCCGGAGGCGACGGCGGCGAGGGGGGAGCAGGTCGGACGCCGGAATCCCAGGCCCGCGATGGGGGCGCATCGGCCCTACCCGGAGGGGACGCGGCCGGGCGCCACGCGCGTTATTATTTGAGTCTCACTGTCTCTCGATCTCCGGAGCTCGAGCTCCCGAATGAAGCTTGTCCGTAACGCGCAATGTCCCTGTTGCGAATCCCGCGAGTCGGAAACGATTCAACATACCCTATTCGAATGCCCGGCTTTTACGAAAGAACGCCGCACGTTCCTTGAACGATTATACGAGTTGCACCCTATCGCGCGTGGTTTGAGCCCCGAAGGTCATTGCGACTTCTTAATGAGTGACGACTTACCTCATGAGACTGAGAATACTGTGTATAGATACCTTATTGCTATTTCGAAGCTCCGGTTGGGCATCCTGACCGAGCACGGAGAAGGCTCTTAGGAGCTTGTTCCTTTTTTTAGGTCTTCCTTAATTAATTAATTCATTAATTTATTTTATTTATGTGTGCCAGTAGTTACACTCTAGATTTGACCGGCGCATTATGTGCACAACGTACAACGCTGTGCAGCAGCCCCTGCGAGCGAACCGGTCGCAAAAAGCTGCCCCCGGCCTCGGCACGTCCGCCCGCACGCCGTCGGCGCGACGCAGCCCAGGAGGTGCCTCAACCATGCGACTTTGCGCTGCAGTGCTCGCCGCCGGGCTCGTCGGCGGCGGCCGCGCGATGGACGACAACACGATCAAAGCCGCCGTGGAATTGTGGGAGTCCGATCCCGCCGCCGCCGAGGCGACGTACGGCCACATTTCTTCGTGGGACACCGCGGACGTGGTCGACATGGAGAAATTGTTTCATTTTTCGACTGACTTCAACGAGGACATCGGCGCGTGGAACACGTCGAGCGTCACGTCGATGAACCGCATGTTCTGGTACGCCATCGACTTCGATCAACCGATCGGTGCTTTCGCCGCGTCCGAGTCCTCTGCGCCGCCGGGAGCCGAACCCGCGCAGGCGCCTGGGACGTCCGCAAGGTCAAGGACTTTGAGTGCATGTTCTGCTACGCGGAGGTGTTCAACCAAGACATCGGTGTTTTGCGGCGTCCTTTTTGTTTTTGGACTTGGTTACGAGCACGCCATCGCTGCAATCGGACTTTCGTCACCTATACGCTATCGACGCAATTCTCCTTCGACGAGGACATTGGCGCGTGACCAGCACGCCATCGCCGCGACAGTCCGAGCTGAGAAAAATACCCACCAGCACGCCATCGCCGCGATCTCGGACCCGCGCAGGTGACTGGCGCGTCGACAACGCCGAGACCATCGACCGCATGTTCTACGGCGCCTCGGCCTTCGACCAGGACCTCGGCTGGTGCACGCTCGCGACCGTGGACCGGGCGTTTCACACCTCCCCGTGCCAGTCGAACGACTGTGTTTTGCCGTGTCCTGCGTTTCCCTTCCTTTGTTTGTTCTCTGTCGCGGTGACTTTGCGCCGGCGCCCGTGGCGCGGAGCCTACGGCCACGCCTCCGACGAGAGAAATACCCCCAAACGCCATCGACGCGGCCTCACGGCGTCGCGTACGCGCGCAGGCGGCGTCCTGCGCGGCGTCCGTGCCGAGGACCCCGGGGCGCTCGGAGCGTGCGAGCCCGAGAAGACGCCGGCGCCGACGCCCGACCCGGAGGGGCGAGTCTGCAACGGCGGCCCCTACGACGGGCGGAGGTGCCAAAATCACGGTTTTTGTCAGCAACCGGACCCAAATCAGCCGGACCTAGATGCGTGCGACGACTGCAAGTGCATTACGAGGAAGGATAGCGACGGGGCGGCGCGGACTTCTGCTGGTGGCTGCTTTTTTGTTTTTGTCTTGGGGGTTTTGTTTGGGGTAAGTTGAGGTTGAGAACCCCCTATACGCCATCGACGCGACGCGACCGAGAATCTGAATCACTGGCACAAAACATCATTACATACTAGACAGCCGGGCCGCGCGCTCATTCGGCGGGCTCGGTGACGGGCCAGCCAACGCTCTCAAAGAACGCCGCGGCCTCGGCGTCGCCTTCCTCCGCCTGCTTCCGGTACTTTCGGAAATGCTCGTCGCTCAGCATCTCCTCGCGAAGGCGTTTCCGGTCCGCCGCGCGCTGGGCTCTCCTCTCCTCGGCCGCCGCCCGAGCCCGTAATATACTCTCCTTTAACTCGCGCTCACTGCGGTCGGCTTCGAGCTCTGCAAAATCGCAATCCCACAACGACTGAAGAGCCTTAACGAATTGTTTCAAGTATTCAGTCATAAACTCGCGGTCTTCGTACGTCGTTTCAAGAACGGCGAATTCCTCGAGTGTTTCCCTCGTGAAATCCCGGAACCAGACGCCGTCGAGCGAGGGGTGCTCCACAAACCTATCATCTAGCCAGCCAGTTGCTGACAGATAAGCGGCCTCCTTGCAGACGGCCGCGAACCGCGCGAGCTGATTCGCGTCTCTCGGCGAATCAACGTATTTGCCGTTGGCGAGGTCGTGTATGAATCCCAACAGAATCATGGCCGGCGCACCGATGCGCACGCCGCGGCGGCTTGCTTGCTTTGACCAACTAGACTAGCTAAAATCGCCGACTGAAGGCGCGCGCAGTAAGTTGGCGCACCAGCGTCGAGCGTCGCAGCACGGAGGTGTCCGTTGATCACGCAACTGCGCTTACCACTACCCTTGCAGCCGGCTTGGCACCTATGACGTCGAGACGCTTTTGCTCCGCTAGTGTCTTACTTCCGCTAGCGCGGTTGCGAGGGCTTGGCGGGAGGGAGGGCGTGATTTCGGGCGCGCACTGGTACTGATAGATCAAATCAATCACTCATAAATATGCCGTCTGCCAGCTGCCGCCGACGCCGGCATTTATAGCGGTCTCTGGGGGCGGCTGTGCCAGCAAGCAGGGCGACCACTGCTGCCTATGCCTGACTGGAAGGATCGCTCGAACCCCCAGTTCGGCCGGCGGCGCGCTGTCGCCAGGCGGCAGGGCGCGGTCCGGGTCCGGCCGGCAAGTGCGTGGCAGCGGGCCCTCGCGGTCGCGCGCGAGCGTCGGCCGCGGCACTTTGACGAGTGGCAAGCATCGGATGCAGTGTGCCACCGCCGCCGCGCCATCGACTTCCGCGCGCTCCCGCGGTCGTGCGATCCGCTTTGGGGCGGCGGCGTGCCGCCGATCCGGGCCTGGCGGAAGCGGCGCCAGATCGAGAACGTCCTGGGGCCACTCGCGGAGCTGACGGCGCTATTGAAGCGACCGGCGCACATCGTCGACTTCTGCGCGTCGAGCGGCCACGTCGCGCTGCCGGCCGCCGCCGTGCTGAAGGGCGTCACCGTCGAGATCAACGATCTGCGCGAGCGGCCGATCGACATCGCGCGCGAACGCATCGCCGCGCTGCCCCCGGCCCTGCGCGCTCGCTGCACGGCCCGCGTCGGTTCCACGGAGAGCCATACTGGGCCCTTCGACATCGGCGTGGCGCTCCACGCCTGCGGCGTGGCGACGGACGTGGTGCTGGAGACCTGCCTGCGCCGCCGCGCGGCCTTCGTGCTCGTCCCGTGCTGCGTCGGCCGGCTCGCGCAGCGGGCGAACAGAGGGCGGAACGCCCGGTCGAGCCTGCCGAAGACGGAGGCCTTCGCCGCTTGTTTCGATTTACCCAAGTCGGCGGTCTGGCGCGGGGCCCTCAGCTCGGACGAGGCCAAGGCGCTCGCGCGCGCGGGCGACTGCACGGCCCGCGACCAGTTGACGGCGGACGACCGGGAGCGGCGCGCCTGCAAGACGGTGATCGACGGCGACCGCCTCGCGCTCGCAGCGGAGCGGGGCTACACGGTCTCGCACTTCGTGATGCGCCCCTTCGGCATCACGCCGAAGAACGACGTCATCGTTGGGTACCCGTCTGAGTGGTGTAGAGCTTAAATGTTGTTTTATCTACGCGCGCGCACTTACGTGCGCGCACCATACGCTATGGGTTCTGTCTGTGCGGCGTTTGTCCTACACGAGGTCGCGCTCGCCGTCGACCTCTTACGACAAGGTATCCTCTGCGACGTGCGCTTGCGCCTGCGGGCGCTCGATCAATTCGGGTTGCGGGGGCACGCGCCTAGGGAGGGGTTTCGGGGGAGCTATCCCCCGCGAGCGTGTTCTACGAGCTTTTGATGTCAAAAAGCTTCCCAATGACTATAGACGAGAACTTAGGCCGGGGGACTCGCTAGGCGCCGAGCGCGACTCGCCCCTCGCAGACGCGCGCGTCGCGGCCGTAGAAGGCCCGCTCGCCTAGCCGTAGGGTGCGGACGTTCCAGGCGAACGTCGAGCCGCCGTCGGGACAGTTCGAGAGGAAGACGTCGGAGGCCACAAGCATCATGAAGTCGACGAGCGCCTTCAGCGTCCCTTCGGCGTGCCCCGAGTAGTGCGTGCGGTTCGCGTGCTGGACGTGGTCCACGCTGCCCGTGTGGATCGGGTGGCCCGGCGTCGTGACGACGGTCGTGTTCGGGGCCGCGCGAGCAATGGCATTCGCCACGGCGTCGACGGCCGACGGAGCGTCGCCCGCCACAAAGTACGTCGCGTCGCCCGCCTTCGCCGCGAGGCCAGCGACGCACCGACCGTAGGCGGCCGCGTCCGTGACGCAGCCGTTCTCTCGCCGGACCTCGCCCGTGTAGTCGAGGCGGCCCAAAAGGCGCTGGCCGCGGCTCAAAAAGCCGGTATGCCCCATGTGTATCGCCATGTCGCGGTCCGTCGTCCGGACGTGGACGCCGACGAGGGGCCGGCCGCGCGCGGCGTCGAGGTACGCGCGGAGCTCGTCGGCGAGCGGCGCCGACCTGTGTTTTTTGGCGGTGAGCCTCGTGCGCGAACTCCGGTGCCTCCACGCCATCGACGAGACCTCGCGACCTCCCCCGCCGCGTCGATGGCGCACGAGCTCTCGCAGACGGCGCCCCATGTCATCGCCGTGACGAATCGGATCGATGGCGTGGAGGCCGCGTAAAATCACGAGGGTACTTCAGAGTACCTCTACCCCACCTTCCATCGCGCCGATCGTCGAGGAAACGCGTCCAAGCCACCGAGACCCCGTCGACGCGACACGCTCAAGACGTGGAGCGGCACGCCATTTCCCCGACTCTCTCAGAGCTGAAGAACGCCGCTGCTGACGGTCGTAGCGCTTCGGCGGTCAGGCACCCGAGGAGGTCGGACCAAGCAGGAGGCGACGCGACGCGCGCTTTTATGTGTGCGTAGACTTTGCGGGCGAGGGTCGAATTCTCTGCGGGCGGCTGCGGCTTCGGTTTCGTCAGCACGAGGGGCACATAGCGAGCGCCACACGCCTGTGGCGCGCACGCCACGGCGGCGCGATAATCCAGCGTCGTCGCGTTTTCACCGCTCGGCGCCGAATCGCTGCGCCAGTCGCCTAATCGAGGCTCAAAGAGCCCAATGGTCTTCGCCCCACCTACAACGATCCGCGCCGTTCGGTTCAGAGCAATCGCGAGCGCACATCCCGCCAGGTACTTGTTCAGTTCGTTGCCGAAACCGCCGCCCTCGAACGGGAACCAGACCTCGCCGTGCGTCCCCGGTCGCCGTCCCCTCAGGTCGTCGAGCACCGCGCGCATCGCTGGCGTGCCGCACGTCGTCGCTTGCCGCGCCGCTACTCCGCGGGCATGCCACAGCGCCGCGAAGGGCGGGCGCAGCCCATCGAGCTCGGACCGCAGCCGCTCGACGACGCGCTCGAGCTGGGCGATGCGGTGACGTGCTATTTCTAGCTTCTGCTCGTAGCTGGGCGGCTCCTGGCACGCGCCGGGCAGCGCCAGCAAGGCAATGAGCCAGTGGCCGCCCATGGCACGAATACAATTTTACTGCTTGGTATTCCGATGTTCCCTACACATAGTAGACCCGGGGCGAGTCCACGGCCATTCCATCCGCTTGCTTGCTTGCGGGTAGTGTCTTTGTGTCTTTGCACTGAAATTACAAATGGCTATAGCCAATTCGGGTTGCGGGGGCGGTGGCGGCGAGCTATCCCCCGCGAGCGTGTACGTAAGCTTGCTGCCGGTCGTAGAAGCGTGCGTCGTCGTCGCCGTGCCCGGGGCGTGTTGGTGAAATTACAGCCGGTCGTAGAAGCGTGCGTCGTCGTCGCCGTGCCCGGGGCGTGTTGGTGAAATTACAGGCCATATAGTCAATTCGGGTTGCATGTTTAGACTTGTGGTAAGATTAATACAATACAAACAAGGCAACGCTGCTCTCACTCACCCATCACCCGTGAGCCGCCCGCACGTTCCGCGGCTTCCGGAACGCCTCCGGGCCCTCGGCGGCGAGGCGGTCCGCCAGCGGCGCCGACGCCGCGCGCGCGGCCCACGCGCGCTCCCACCACCAGCCCTCGGCGACGCGCCAGTGCATGATCATCATGCCCGTCCCGTACTCGCCCGTGTGCTCGTCGACGAGCGTCAGCGCGGCGCCTGGCGCCTCCTCGCCGAAGATCGCCTCAACGGCGTCGAGCAGGGCGGGGAGCTGCGGCGCGTGGTAGCCCCGACTGAGCGTGAGGAAGAGGTCTGCGACGCAACCGCACCGCGCGAGCGCACGGACGGCCCGCTCGACGTGCAGCCCCCAGCGCGCGTTGACGTCGAGCCAGACCGTGCGTACGGGCGGCCGCGGCCGTGCCAGCGCCGCATAGGCTTCGCAAAACTCCTGCGCCGTCGCACGGTATACCGTGCCCGCAGGGCCGTCGCTTTCCCGGCTCACGATCGCGTCAAAGTCCGGCCGGTTCGGCACGTGGATGCGCGCCGCCGCGATGCCGCCGCGCACCAGTATTCCGCATGTGTTCAGGTCGACGCCATCTAGAGCGACGACGTCGCCTCCGTTCCTTACCGCTGCTTCGAGGACCCAAGCGTTGTGCTGCTGCTTGACGGCGTTCGCCGCTCGCTCCACGTGAGGGTACCTTCGCTCGCCGGGCTGGCGGTTGCGCGTGCTGCGGCCCATTTTCGTAGTGATGCCGCTTGATATTCGCTCGCTCGGCTAGCGCGCGTGTCCTGCGGCGTGGGGCAGCGCTGACGCTGCTCTCAGTGGTGTGCAGCGCTTTTGGCGGCGATTTTCGTTCTAGATTCTGACTCGGCGCGTTGTTATGGATCTTTTACGTTCCCCTTCGCGGGTCCTTATCGAGATTGGGGGATTTTGACTCGCACCGGCAGGGTCAAATCCAAGAAAAAGGGTTTTTTGAAAAAGTACTTGAACAGGCGCGAAATTAAATGACCCGGCTAAGGCGCATCGGTGTCTACCACGTCTCCGTTTTCTTCAACGGACCAGCTCAGTTGGTAGAGCATCAGTCTCTAACAGAGGATACGACTGTTAATCTGGGTGATATCTATCTATAGATACCCGTTTCAGTGGAGAAATTTTAATATATTCTCTGACAGTTCAATCCCACTACGGAGAGCGTTCTTTTTGCTTTTTTTTTGACTTTCATGTTTCTAGCGTGCGTGTGAAGGAGTTTGGAGGAATTTAAGGTTTGTGGTACACAACTTACAAAAAAACGCGGTCAGACTGGACTCCTCCACTCGGACGGGTACCCTACAATAACATCGTTCTTCGGCGTGATGCCGAACGGGCGCATCAAAAAGTGCGAGACCGTGTAGCCGCGCTCCGCGGCGAGCGCGAGGCGGTCGCCGTCGATCACCGTCTTGCAGGCGCGACGCTCCCGGTCGTCCGCCGTCAACTTGTCGCGGGCCGTGCAGTCGCCCGCGCGCGCGAGCGCCTTGGCCTCGTCCGAGCTGAGGGCCCCGCGCCAGACCGCCGACTTGGGTAAATCGAAACACGCGGCGAAGGCCTCCGTCTTCGGCAGACTCGACCGGGCGTTCCGCCCTCTGTTCGCCCGCTGCGCGAGCCGGCCGACGCAGCACGGGACGAGCACGAAGGCCGCGCGGCGGCGCAGGCAGGTCTCCAGCACCACGTCCGTCGCCACGCCGCAGGCGTGGAGCGCCACGCCGATGTCGAAGGGCCCAGTATGGGTCTCCGTGGAACCGACGCGGGCCGTGCAACGAGCGCGCAGGGCCGGGGGCAGCGCGGCGATGCGTTCGCGCGCGATGTCGATCGGCCGCTCGCGCAGGTCGTTGATCTCGACGGTGACGCCCTTCAGCACGGCGGCGGCCGGCAGCGCGACGTGGCCGCTCGAGGCACAGAAGTCGACGATGTGCGCCGGTCGCTTCAATAGCGCCGTCAGCTCTGCGAGCGGCCCCAGGACGTTCTCGATCTGGCGCCGCTTCCGCCAGGCCCGGATCGGCGGCACGCCGCCGCCCCAAAGCGGATCGCACGACCGCGGGAGCGCGCGGAAGTCGATGGCGCGGCGGCGGTGGCACACTGCATCCGATGCTTGCCACTCGGCAAAGTGCCGCGGCTGACGCTCGCGCGCGACCGCGAGGGCCCGCTGCCACGCGCTTCCCGGCCGGACCCGGACCGCGCCCTGCCGCCTGGCGACAGCGCGCCGCCGGCCGAACTGGGGGTTCGAGCGATCTTTCCAGTCAGGCATAGGCAGCACTGGTCGCCCTGCTTGCTGGCACAGCCATCAGAGACACCGCTATAAATGCCGGAGTCGGCGGCAGCGGGCACACGGCAAATTTTATGAATTATTGCTTGATCTATCCGTGCCAGTGCGCCCGCATCACGCCCGCATCGCGCCGCAAAGCCCAAGGCTAGCGGCCGTAACACACTAATTTCATGATTCAGCATGCGCGGTGTCTAGCTCTAGAGTAGCGTGTGCCTCTTTTCAGTAGCTACTTGCCCACTTGACAAAACAAATGAGCGACCTTGGGGGCGTCGATGTCGTCGATGTACCTGTAGGAAATATGGTCGGAGACACGCGCGGGCGGTTCAACATTTTCCCAAACTTTTATGGGCCAGTTTGTTCTGTAGCATCAATCTGCACCTCACGAGGGTCTGGCTTCAGCTCGTTGTTTGGGTTTGTGGTGGTTTGGCTGTCCTTCTTTTGCGTTTCCGGCGGTGGCGTCGTCGTCGGTGGCTCTTGTCACATACCAAGGGTACTGTACGTTAGCCAAACTCGTTCAGGATGATAGTCTAGTCCAGTAGTGTCCAAAAAAGCAAAAAAAAAGCCTGCAATCGAGCGCTCTGCCACTGAGCTATTCGTCCATAGATAAGGACGAAACCAGGATCGAACTGATGACCACTCGAAAACCGGCAAAGATGTTTTTTTTTTCTATATTTATTAGCGCTAAGAAAAACCCGTGATCTGTGTTTGACCTTTTTTGTTATGATTTGACCCGTGCAGCGGAGATAAAGCTGCGGCCTTCGCGGCCAAAACTCGCAAAAACGCAAAATAGGAAGCTCAGAGCCGCACCTCGCGAAGCCGGCTGCAAAACGAGCGCCTTCAGGCGGAGAAAAACGCAAAAAACGCATAGTGGCGCACCGGTACCATGCGCGCTGCAAAAAACACGTAACGCCTCACAACGAGCACCACGCCACATGCTCAGACTCCTCCTCATCAGCACCGCCGCGCCCCGAGCCGCACCGCTCGACGCATCACCACGCGCACGACAAACGCGCCGCAACATCCTCGGCTGCGGCAGCGCCATCGGCATCATCGCTGCGGCCGCGAACGCGGTACCACCACCAAAAACCAACGTCACCGAAGCGCTAGCAAAAAACAAGGTCGTTGTCCGCCGTCAGGACCTACTGACCGAGGTCGTAATAGACCCGAAGACGGGCGACGAGCTCCGCGAGATCCAGCTGCCCGCGGGCTACCCCAAGTCACTGAGGCCGCCGCGTCTCGTCGAGCGCCGCGTCTCAGAAGCGGAGCTCGCGCTGGCCGCGGTCGTCGCGGGAGGCACGACGGAGATCGCGCGCGTCGCCGCGCTGCACCCGCTCGCGACGCTCAAGTCGCGGGCACAGGCGCGCCCGGGCACGGGCCCGCTCGCGTTGATCGACGCCGACGGCAACGGCATCATCGAGCCGCGGGAAGTGAAGGACCTCTACGCGGGCCTCGTGCCGTCCGTGTCCGCGGCCGCGCGCGCGCGCTCGGCGTCCTGTTTTTGGGGTCGCGTCGATGGCGTACCGCTTTACCACGTCGATGGCGTACCGCTCCGCGCCGTCGAGGCGACGCCGCGTCGATGGCGTACCGCTCCACGCCGTCGAGGCGACGTCGATGGCGTCGCGCCCCACACCATCAATACAACAGTTCCGTGCCCCGCGCAGCCGCGGCCGCGACGTACTACGCCGCGCGCGAAGTCTCGCGGCGGGTCCTCGCGCCCCTGGCGCCGCCGCCGCTCGCGCTGGCCCTGCTCTCGGCGTCGGCCGCGTCGGCGGCGGCGCTCGTGGTCCGCGCGCCGGCCGACGTGCTCGCGACGCGCGCTCAGGTCCGGCGGCGCGGCGAGGAGGTCGCCACAACGACTGCCGAGGCGGCGGCCGTCGGCTTCCGGCGCTGGCCGACGCTCTTCGCGGCCGAGCTGCCGTACAGCCTGCTGCGGATCCTGGGTCTCGCGGCGCTCGACGCGACCACGCCCACGAAAGGCGGCGTCCTCGACGCGACGGCGCGGACCGTCGCGGTCGCGGTCGTCGCGGCGCTCCTCACGACGCCGCTCGACGTCGCGCGGACGCGCGTCCTGCTCCGGACCGCGCCCGGCGCCGCGGAATCGGGCCCGCCCGCGCTCGCGGCGACGCTGGCGGAGGTCGCGGCGGAGGGCTCGCTCTTCTCGGGCGCCGCGCTGCGCGTCGCGTACACAGGAGTCGTCGTGGCGGCGTCCATCCCGCTCCGGACGCTCTTCTACGTCGGGCTCCGGGACTGGATCATCCTCGACGAGGTGTTCCAGTTCGACGCAATCACGTGAGTTTCCTCTCTGGGTAATTGTGATTTTGTTATGAGATGCGCTAACATTATGGATCATGTTAACAATCAACATAGCTTACACACTCAGTAGTAGCCTGCGTTGAGCCAGAACTCGACGACGCGCGACGGCCTCGAAAAGAAACCATTGTCCGCGTAAGTTTTGGGAGGAATTTGCTAGTTTATTTAGGCGGCCTTGCAGACGCGTCGGCGAGCGTCTTTGCGAGCTCTGCGCGCTCCTGGGCGAGTTTCGCGCGCGCCGTCCGAAACGCGTCCTGGGCAAGCTGCTCAGGCGTTTCGCGGGCGCGGAGCGCGGCTGGTAGAGCGCCCGCGCGTAACACCATAGAGTACGTGGGGCGGCGGTTTTTAGTGATCGGCTCGTGGCCCTGGACGAGGCGCAGAGGGAAGAACCTGAGGAGGAGGAGGAGGTGCCGCGAAACATAGATGCGTAGACGAGTAAATTGTTGGCAGATTAATTTGCACCACGCCATGACCACGGGGTACAATTGCACATCGCGATCTCACAACACCACTACTTACGCTGATCACGCCTCCGCCGCTTCCTCGCCGCCGCTCCCTTCGGATCCACGACCTTCTCCCGCGCCGCATCCGCGACCCGACCGCTCCGCTTCCGCCTTCGCGCCGCCGCCGCCTCGGCCAGCGCCCGGCCGACGACGTCCGCGCCCAGCGCGTCCTCGAGCCGCCCGACGACGTCCGTCGCGAGCGCCGCCACATCGACGTCGTCGTCGTCCAAGGCGCGCCGCAGCGCCGCGCAGACGCGGTCCAGCGCGGCCCGGACGGGCGCGGCCCCGATCGTTGAATGAGCCAGGCACGCCGCCACGAAGGCGAACACGGCCTTGCGCCGCGCCGCGCCGCGCCGGCCCGCCGCGTCGGCGAGGCGCTTCAAGACGTCGGCCGCCAAGCTTGGGAAATGCCCCGCGGCGTACAGCGCGTTCTTCGCCGCTTGCGTTGAGACACTCTCATCAAACACATCGTCCGGCGCGTCGAGCGCGGCGCAGGCCGCGCGGCAGACGTCCCTTGCTTGAACCTCTTCTAACGCACAGCGACCGCTCGCGAAGACGGCCCCCAAGGCCTCGTGCGCCGCGCGGCGCGACAAGGGCCCGCACCTTTGGAGGGAAGCGAGGACCGCGGCCAGCACTTTTCCATCACACACCGTCGCGTCGGCCTCGACGCAACCGCGCGCGGCCTTCAGGAGCTCCGCGCGGCCCGCGTCGTCGTCACTGGAAGCGGCCAGCGCCTTGATGATATCTCCACAAAGTGCCGCGTCGCCCATCCTCGCAAAGGCGGCAGCGCACGCGGCACCACAAACACGTAATCGCCCGACCTTCTCCGCTTCCGCGAAGCGCTCGAGTCTCTCTTCCTTCGCGGCCTCGCGGAGCCACCTGCGTCGAGGGGCGCCGCGTCGACGGCGTCTGGGGGGGCATGTCTCTCGTCGATCGCTTCGTACGCGTCATCCAGCACCAAAACGAAGGATACCAAAAGACTTGCACACCGCCACAAACGACGCGACGCGTCCGCGGCCCGCGGCGCGCCTCTCGTCGGACAGCTTCCTTATCAAAGCCGTGAGCGCCCGGCCCGCGGCCTGCGTTTGAAAAGGTCTCGTCGACGGCGCGCCGCGGCGATGGCGTTTGGCGCTCGACCATGGGCTCTCCACGCGCACCGCCGCGACGGCGCGCCGGTGGGGTAGAGGCACGCCCACCGCGACGCCACCGCCGCGACGCAGTACAAGGCCGCGGCGAAGACGAACAACAAAAACAAGGACGCCGCGGAACGCGCGAGCCTGACCGACCCGACGTCCTCGTTCGCGAGGCGCTGCGCGAGCGCTGAAAAGAACGCGTCCGACCTAGAATCCAGCTCGGGCTGCGGTAGCGCGCGCGCGACGGCCAGGACCAGGTCCAACGCCGCTGTTCTACCTTCTTCGTACGCGTAGTCCAAACCAGCCAGAGCCTTGCCGAGGTAGTGCGTCTTTCTTTTTTTACCTAGAGGATAGGCCACAATGAACCCTACAAATGCCTTGGCGCACTTGGTCCTATCTGATTTGTCGAGACTTGTAATTGCGAGGTCCGCGATCGCGTCCATGGCGTCATACACCTCGCTCACGACGACCTTCTTCGTGACCAGTGCTAAGATTAATTGTAGAGCGGCCGCTCGATGGGACTGGAGCGTGCCCTGGTCCAGGAGGGCGCCGTCCGCCAGAGCGGCCCGGCCGGAGGCCGCGACAGCTTTGAGTTTAGCATCAGACAAAACGACGGCGTCGCGGCCACCCAACAGCGCGGCGAGCATGCGGAAGGCGCCCTCGGCGGCGTCGCCCGTCGGCGCGCCGCCGATAGCCGCGACCCTCCTTAGCGTCTGCAGCGCGACGCGCGCGAGCCGCGGCGCCCAGCGCCGCGCGCTCTCCGGTTCCCGCTTGAGCAGCGCCGCGGCCACGATAACGACGTCCGTCTGCAGCGCGTCGTCGCCCTTAGCCCCGCGGTAGCACCTTGCTAATAACCCCAGCAGGTCCCCGGCGTCGCCGGCGAGCGCGCCGCGCGGCAGGCCCCTCCTTAGTAACGCCACGGCGAAGCGCGCGCGGTCGGCCCGGCGCGTCGTCGATGGAGCGGCGACGTCGCCCCGGCGGCCGCGGCCCGTCAGCCGCGGCGCCGACGCGCCGTCGAGGAGCGTGACGGCCTCGGTCTCGCGCACGCGCTTCCGGCGCCGCGCCGCCGACGCGTCGCTCGACGCGTCGCCGTGGCTCGGCAGCCACTGCGTCGCGCTCCCGGGTCGCGGCTTCCGCCGCGCGGGCAGGTCCGCCTCGTCGCGGACGACGGCGAGCATGGGCTCGTCGCCGTCGTCGTCGTCGCTGTCCGAGGAGTCCTCGTCGTCGTCGACCGCGGCCTCGCTCTGGGACAGCACCTCGACGGCGTGCTTGACCAATTCCCCAGAAGCCTCGGGGTTCGCCGCGAGGCCGGCCGCGAGCCGCAGCGCCGCCGCGCGGCAGCGCTGCGCTTCCCTCGCCCCGCGCGCGTCGGGCTCCGCGAGCCGCTTGTCCAAAGCGTCGAACAACGGCGTCGCGAGCTCGTCCTTCTGGGCGTAGGCTATTAACCGCCCGCAGAGCTCGAGCGACTCGTAGGTCCGACCGACGACGAGTCGCGCCTCCGGCACGCCTGTGCGGAAATCAACCAGTGAGGGACGCAGCTACGGAGACACGTAGCGTCGATGGCGTAGAGGAGCCGTCAGACCGCGGGGCGCCTCGGATCACAAAGACAAGAAAAGGACACAGGCAAGGACCAGCGGCCGAGCCGGCCTTGTGCTCGCCGTCCTCGCGGCCGTCGCGCGCGGCCGCCGCGTCGCCTAGTAAATCCTCGACCAACAGCGACGCGATCACGCCGACCGTTTCCGACGGGAGCGGGTGCTGCGCCTTCTCCAGTAAGGAGTGGACCGCGGCGGAACGGACGGCAAGCATGTAGCCCGTCGGCAGCGCCGCCCGCAGTTCCGTCAAGATGAGCGAGAGGGACGCGCCCTCGGCCGCCATGCGCGCCAAAGCCTTCCGCGACGCGTCCCTCTTCGTCGCGTCGCGGTGCCGCAGCGACGCGCAGACCGCGACCACCAACTGCCGCGCGACCTCCCGCCCGTCCCGCGGTAGTTTCCGCGACAGTCTCAGAATCGAGAGGGCCACGGGCGGCCTTAGTACTTCGTCGCGCGCGCCCGTCTTCGCGCGCCGCTCGGGCCGCATCAGCAGCCGCCGCGCCGTCGGCACGAGGAACGTCGCGACGCCGCGCGAGAGGGGCGTCTCCTTCTCGGCGGGCGCCTCGGCCGCGGCGTCGGCGTCGTCGTCGTCGTCGTCCTCCTCCTCCTCGGCACCGGCGACGACGTCCTCGGAAAACGGAAAGCAGTCCAGCGCGTGGCAGAAGGCCGACACGAACGTCGCCTCGAGGGTCCGCGACGTCCGCAGGCGCTGCTGCTGGTGGCTCGGCTTCTCCTTGCGCGAGGCCGCGCCCGGCGCCGCCGACGCCTTCTTTTCCTTGGAACTGAACCGGTCCACGGCCGCAGCTTGGCGGTCAATAACCGTCGCGAGGCGCTTGAGGAGGGCCGCGTACCGCGACCAGGGCAGCGCGCCGCCCAGCGCGCCGACGCAGCGCGCCGCGTCCGCGTGGACGCCGTCGCGCGACGGGTCCGACAAAGGTTGGAGAGCCAATGGGAGCAGGATCTTCGCGCTCTCCGTGTCCTTGGATACGGTAATCCAGTCGGCGGCCTTCGCAAACGCTCTAGCGCGGCGGTGCGCTTGCAGGTGCGCGACGTTCTCGAACACGTCCACATCCCTATTACTGGCATCCCTCAACTGCTTGAGCGGGACGAAGCGCGGCACATACGTTGATGAGCTCTCGTCGACGAGGACGGCGAGCACCGACACGTGCGCGCGCCGCCGCGAGTCGTCCGCGAGCGCCAGCGCGTCGAGGACGTGCGGGACGAGGTCGTCTCTACAAATATCGCGCACGTGGTCCGCCGCCGCCGCGGCCTTGACGAAGCTGCGCAACGACCGCGCGGCCGCGTCCCGGAGCGTCGCGTCGTCGTCCCGCATGATCGAACAGAGGGCGTGGACCACGGGCGCGGCCGCGGCGCGCGCGTCGTCTCTAGTATCACCGAAGAGCGCCGCCCACGCGTCACTTGTCGTCAGATCGGCGCACGCGCCGGCCGACGCGTCGTAGTCCGGCGCGTCGTCGATGCTATCCTCGTCGCGCTTGAATAAAGCAGAGATTGTGGAAGAGGCCACCGCGATGCAGTCCCTTTGCAAATCCGCGTGGCTCGCCAGCGCGACGTAGGCCGTCGCCACGGCTCGTAACGCCGCGTGCCTATCAGAAGCCCCGAAGAAGCTCGTGGCGTCGCGCTTCCTCCGCGGCGGGCCTAACAACGGCGCGAGGCGCGTCGCCTGCTGGCCCGGCCTGCCGCTCCGCGGTAAAAGCGTCTCGAGGCACGCCAGGATCGATTCCCTAGCGGAATCAATAGTCGTGTCGTGCGCACTTCCAACAGTCTTCAGGCGCGCGCACAGGCACCCGATCAATTCGTCCGCGTCAGACTCGGTCAACCGCCACGCGCCGTCGGCCGCCAATCTCCCAACTCGCGCCAACGCGCTGAGGCAGCGCCTTTGTAATTGCGTGTGCGTTCCTTTACTGAGCTGCCCGCCCAAGGCCTTGATAATTAATGAAGAATGCGTTTCGAGCTTCGCGTCGTCCTCGATAATCAATAAATGGCAGACCTCCTCGAGGGCAAAGGAGCTTCGGGGACAACAGCCCGCCAGCGCGGCGACGCACCGTTCATCCACAATAGAACGCAGCGCGTCGCTTCTACAACAGACCGCCACGACCTTGAGCAGCGCGGGCGTGCCGTCCGCCCCGCCCCTACTTAACGCCGCGAGGTGATCTGATAAAGGCGTCCAGAGGCGCGCGACCAGATCCATCTCCCGTAAAACTTGCGACGCCGCGAACCTTTCTAGCAAATCTCTCAAACACTGCAGGGCCGCGACGCGACGTCTTTTTTGTTTCGCGGGCGAGTCGTCTTGATCATCATCGTCCTCGTCGAGCTCTTCGTCCTCGACGATCGAATCGCCCGCGGCCGCCGCGACGCAGACCGACAGGATGGCGGGCGCCCGCTTCTCAATCTTAAAACCGAGCTTGGCGACCACGGCTCTTAGCAAAGTACACAACCCAAGCACACGCGCCGGCGTATTACTAGAGACGGCCTTTTTGGCAGTCTCGGCGTCCTCCAAGGCATCGACGTCTTCACAAAACGCGCGGAACATGAGTCTGATAAACTCGTCGAGCTCCTCGCTTTCCAGCGCCGCGAGAAAAGCTAAAATCGTGGCCCGTCTTAGTGAAGGCGACGCGCCGCGGCGGCCGCCCGCGGCGCCTGACCGCGCGCGGAACCGCCCATAGAGTACCCTTGTGATTAATGGAATCAGCTCCGCCCGGTGGGCATCGTCGACGGTCCAGAGCTGGTCGTCGTCGCCTTTTCGGGCACCTTCCGGTAACCGCGCGTCGCCCTCCCGCGCGACGCGAAACTTCACGAGCGTCTCTCGCAATTTGGCATCATCTAACAAAGCCTCCAGTCGCAATGCGTAGGGCTTCAGGTGTGGGAGACGATACGTCCCGAGGCATCTTAATGAAAGCAACGCGACGTCGCCCCGCGGCCTCGCTAATAAACCCTCGTAGACGCGCCTTAATTGCTCGCCGCGCGGTAATGATAGAGGCGCCGGCGCGCTCGCAAAGACAGTTAATACAACCTCGAGCCGCCGCTGCGCAATGGATGGTTGTAGCGGTGTCCGCGCGTCGCTCTCGACGACGTGTCTTAACACATCTTTACCGTCGGGGTCGTCTCGCGACGACGGAAAGACGTCCTGCCTTAGTAATTTCTCGAGCAGCGCCACGCAGGTGCGCGCGGCGTATTTGGTGCCATGTTTCAAACCGCCGCACGCGTCGACGGCCTTCCAGCAGACCTCGTGGGCCTTTTCCGTTTCTAGTGGGGCGTCGTCGTCGCCTAGCGGACTCCCGAGACCATTGGTCTCGTCCTTCCTTCTCAAATCTTCCTTCAATATTTCCGAGGCGTCGTCCGCGTCGAAAACGCTCTCGGTTATTTTGTGCGGCGGCGTCGCTCGCGCCTCGCAGCAAGTTTCCAATCGCCGGAGAAGAAAGGGCCACGTTTCTGACGGGTGCGTGGTGGCGAGGGCCTGCAAAGCTTGCGTGCTCGACGCCCAGGCCGGCGCGAACCGTATTGATAAAAGCCCGACGCAGACCGCTGCTAGAGTCGAAGCCGCGTCCGCGTCGAGCCGCGGCGCCGCGGCCGCCGCCGCGCCCAACAACCTTTGTAGAGGGCGCTCCGATGATAGGGCCAGCGGCAGTCTATCCACAGCCTCCGCGAGGCGCAGCGCCCACCGCCGGTGCGAGCTAAATATGGAGAGCGTCGTAGCTGTTAAAGCGTCATCAGTAATCTCTGGAGCCGCCTCCGTCGTGCTCAGGAGCCTCCTGGAAAGCCGGCGCGCGCGCGTGAAGGGCGACGCGAGCATGTCCACAAGCGTCGCGTCGAGCGCGTCGGGCAGCGGGACGGGGCGCCTTTCCACAGCGACGACGGCCGCCTCGAGCACGGCGGCGCTCTCGATGAGTGCGCGCGCCCGCACCGCCTTCATCGACGCCGCGCGCGCGTCTATCACAGATAAAGCTGCCAGGGCCGCGCCGAAGACGACGCCGTCGTTTTCATCTAACAAAGCCTCGACGGGCGCGCGCGGCACACTTTTACAATGCGCACAAACATTCAAAGCAGCGACGCGGATCGCCCGGTCCTCATTCTGCAGAAGCGCGCCGACGAAGGGCAGCTCCGCCGATGAGGAAGAGGCGTCGAGCGCGCGCCGCGCGATCACTAGGGCCGCGGCCGCGTCCTGCGATGATAAGGAAGCGGCCCGCGCGAGGATGGGTTCAAAAGAGAGGGCCGCGACCCGCGACGCGCCTTCCAGCGACCGGCTCGCGCGCACCGGTGCCGCATCAAAAGCGGCGGCGAGCCACGCCCCTACCCTTTCGTTGCAGAGACGCGTCAGCGGGCCGACCGCCGACGCGGACGCGCCGAGGACGCAGGCGTCGAGCAGTTGCATGGATTCTGGCGAGACCGGCTCCGCGTCGAGCAGCGCCCGCAGTTGATTTGACCGAGACAACGCTAATGAATGAGGCAGCGCCGCGTCGTCCGCGGCGCCGTCCCGCAGTCGCGGCGTGAGTAAGCGCCCGCGCCGCCATCTGACGACGCAAGCTAGCGTGGCCAACGCGCGGTCGCGCGGTATTGTTTCAGGGAGATCCACACACAAACTCCACAACGGTTCGATGTCGTCGCCCGGCCGCGTCGCGTCCATGATACGCTGGAGCACCTCCTGTAAAACGTCGGCTGGCGCCTTTGCAACGCAAGGCAATAAAGCGGACCGCGCGCGCGTGTGCAGCCGCCCGCGAATTCCTAAGGAAAGCTCCACCACGAAATGCGCTAAACCCGAAGCGACGTGCTTCGTTTGTCGTTGAGCTACCGATGAACAGACGTTGCCGACGTGCGCCTCCACGGCATTATCGTCGTGCGCCCTCCTTATGAGTCGAGCGAGGGCCCGCGCGCCGAGCAACCGCGCGTCGTCCGTCGGCGCTCCTAATAAGGAAGCGTAGTGCCGTCTACAATGAGACGGCCAGCCGGTCTCCGCGAGGCCTTCCAGTAAATGGGACGCGCAGTACTTGAACACATAATCTAAGGCTCTAGCCGCGGCACTTGCCGTGTCCGCGTCTTTGCTGGAGACGGCCTGTACTAAACCATGTACGAGGACGTCCAACGAATCTTTGGCCAACGCGGGCCCCGCATCTCTAGCTAGCACCGACGCCAGCGAGAAGACGGACGGTAGCGGCGCTTCTGTAAAAGCCTCGCCGAGCAAAGAAGCGATTTTATTGACGTTGACGACGACCTCCGGCAAAGATTGGCACAAGGGCCACAGAGGGGTCTGGTAACGCTCCTTGTACTCTGCACGTTTCTCGAGGCCGCCCAATCGTTCGAGCTCGGCCTTCAGCAGGCAGGCGTCGCGGCTTTTCGATTGATCGCCCAACGCTAATGCATAACCTTCTTCGCCCTCGACGAGCGCCACCGTGTCGTGGCGCGACGTCGTCGCGGCTTCATCTCTCAAAGCTTTGAAGCGCTTGCGCGGCGCCTGGAAGCGGATGCGGCCGCCGACGGCCTCGGCTTTGCTGGGGTCGGCGCTGCGCATTTTGTGCGCTGCAGCAGTGCGGTGAGTGCTTGTTTTTTGTGGTTGCAGTGATTTATTTCTGGTGCCGCGATTGATGCGTGAACAGTTATATTATTTACAGCTGCAGCGCTATTCAACTTGAACAGCGGCTGTGCTGCACGCCGCGCTCTGCGTTTGCCCTCGCCCGAGATTATTAGCTGAGACTCTCTAGAGTTCACAACTTTTTGGATCTCCTCGAGTGATTCGGGTAGCCATGGACGGCTTCCGGACCGGGTCGGAGCTTTAATGCACGGCGCTCAGCCCTGAGCAGGGAGCCGCTCTCACAGCTTGCGCGCTGTGACCAAGGACGCCGGCGCGACGCCGACGAGGCGACGCCCCCCAAAACACATCGGTCGCGCGCGGCAAACGAAGCAGCGTTGGGGCCGAGGGCAGCCCCCAGGTCATCGATGGCGTCGAAACTGGCCGAGGAACCTTTGGGCGCGACGGCCGCGCTATTAAGGCAGCGCTGCGAGGTCGACGCCGACGCGGCGTACGGGTTGTCTGTGTTGACGGCGCGAGGCGGCGACGGTGTACAAAGAGACCGCAAGGAAGCTTTACGACTCCTCATCAAGTCCGCGGAGCTCGGCAAGACCGAGGCCCAGTGCCAGTACGCCCAGTTGTTGGCCGAAGGTGCGGGCGGTGTGAAGCGGGACGAGCGCGAAGCTTGCGAATGGTTAAGAATTGCCGACTGCGCGGAAGCTAGGTATAGACTCGGGCTGTTCACGTTCGAGGGGCGGGGCACGCGCAAGGATGCGGAGAAGGCGCATTCACTCATAGCGGATGCCGCTTCCGAAGGACACATGGCCGCGGCCGACTGGTTACATAGAAAAGACGGTCCATCCCCAAGACGGCCGCCGCCGCCTCCCAGTCCGCCGCCCGTGCCCCGCGTTTCGAAGAAAGATGGCCCGCCCTCGCCCGAGCGCGTGTCGAACGACGGCGACGCGTTGCGAGGTGCTCTGTCCGAGGCGCGCGCGGTGGCCGCTGCTGCTAGAGTAGCAAGGACCGCCGCCGAGGACGACGCGAAGAGACTAAGGAAGGAGCGCGACGACTACCGATCTAAACTAGAACAGGCCCAGCGGCTGCTCGAAGTTGCCAAAAAAGCTCCAAGGGGCGACGCGTTACAGAGGAGACAGCAAGCGAGACATGCCGAACAACTTTCGAAACTCGGCGCGGCCCACGCGGCGGCGAACCAGGCGTTACTAGAAAAACACGAGTCGACGCAGCGCGAGGCCAAAAAACATGCGGAGAACTGTCAGAAATTGGAGGACGAGAAGGCCGCCGCGATTGCCGCCTTTGATCGATTGGCGAAAGCTGCGGATCGGCGGGAGAAGGAGGTCGCGCGACTTGGAAGTTTGGACTACGCGCGCGGGCTCGAGACCGAACTCGAGGAGCTGCATACGAAGCGCGACGCGGATTTGACGAAGCTCCAAACGGCCTGGGACGACGACGCCGCGGAAGCGTTGCGTGATAGGGACGCTTTAGAAGCTTCGTTAATAGCTCAACTGGCGCAGCGTGATTTACAACTGCTAGAATCCCATGCAGTTATCGACGCGTTACGGTCTTCCGTGGAGATGCTCGATGCCGCTCGAGCCGCCGATGCGGCTTCCTCAGCGGTGGCGCACGAGACTATTGTGAGAAGAGCGCAAGTCGACGTCGCGAGGGCGCGCCAGGAGTTCTCCGAGTCCAAGAGCAAAGCCTTGCAGGAGCAGTCCCGGACCCACAATGATCTGGTGAGCGAGTTGGAACAGGCCCACGACAAGGCTAGATTGGCGGACGCGCGGCGACGGTCCGAGATCAGCCGAGAAGCGGAGCGCCGCGGCGCAGATTTGGCAGCGGCGACGGCGTCACTCAATCAAGTGTCGGGCGAGATGTCGCGGCGGGACCAGCACGTCAACGACGCGAGAGACGGTCGTAGAGCGGCGGAAGCTTTATTAAGGACCGAAGTCGGCGTCTGCATCGAGGAAGCGCGCGCGACGGGTCTGAGGATGGAGGCTTTACTCGCTCGTCGACGCGACCGCGAACGACGGCGCGCTAGGGCGGACGCGGACGCGCGGGAACGGCTCGTGAGCGACTACCGGGCCTTGGCCGACGAGCAGGCTGTGGCGGTCGCGGAGCTCGAACGGGACCACCGGGACTCGTCGCAGAAGCTGCGGGATGCGTTAGCTGCGGAAGTTCGACGGCGGGAGGCGGCGGAGGCGCTCGTGGCGGACCACGCCGGCGACGTGGAATTGCGTGACGCGCGCGAGAGCGAGTTGGTCGCGGCGCGGGACGAGATCGACCGGTTGGAGGGCGAGCTCGCTTCGCGGAATGAGGACGATGCGCTCGAGCGGACGCGCGAGCTGCTGCGGAATGCTGGAAAAAACATGAACGCGCTGGAAGAACGGCGGCGGGCCGAGGTCGAGGCGCTGCAGCAGGAGGTCGCGCGGCTCGGGGCGCTGGTCGAGGCGTCGTCGTCCGGGGGTGACGAGGGGTAGTATATTTAAGCATAAAGTCAAGTTCCCACCGCATAGAGGAGGTTTTGCATTTTTATTGTACTATTGTACTTACTGCTTACGAGGTCTAGGCGGCCTCCTCCGCCTCCGCTGCGGCCGCCTGCGCGAACATCGGAAGATTTTCGGACGGATTGGCTTCCGCCAACGCCCAGGCCGCCACGAGCGTCGGGTTGCGACTGGCTTCGTCGTCGGTTAAAAGACCATTCGACCGCGCGGCCCAGACTCCTCGGACGAAGTGCACGTTCAGCGGGTCCGCCGCAGTGAGCTCTCGCACGCGCTCGGTGCACCGCGCGTGACCCGCCTTGCACCCCAACAGAAACATAATAGCAGCATGTGTCGGGAAATCCGCCGCCGCCGCGAGCGCCGCGAACTCGCAGACGGCGTCGTAGGTGTGCGGCGAAGGGATCTTCGTCGCACGTTGCATGTGCTGGAACGTACGGCGCGCATGCTCGTCGTCCGGCGTCGCCGCTAATTTCTTGTGGCACATGCCGAGCAAGAACTCGACCGATCCTTCGATGGTCGGTGTTAACAGGTTTCTCCCGTCCCCCATCGGAATCGCCTCGAGGAGGGCGAGAGCCTCGGCCGGCGTCCCCTGCGTTTCCTCGTTGATGATCATCTCCGCCAGGAAAACGGAGGCCGTCCGATCAAAATCTTAAAAATCTTTAAAAAATCTTACGCAAAATTTAAAACATTTTTGCCGCCCCCCGACCGAGGAGAAAAAAATGTGCAGCGAAGCGGAACATTTTTGACGACGAGGTCGACACCATATAGCACGGTGGGAACGAGCGTAGCGAGTGTATTTTTTGCTTTCACTGAGTTTTCTGATAAAATTCGAACGGAGTGAGGATTTTTGAAGAAAATGAAGATGAAAAAAAAAATCCCACCGTGCTATATGGTGTGTGCTTGCCTTCAAGCTTAGGCAGCTAGTGTCTGTAACTAGCAAGAAGGCACCGCGCCCACAACGTCAGCTGCGCGCGGCGCCCGGGGATTAGCTAGTAGACACACTATTCTTACTTACACACACTAAGCGGCTGCCTCAGGCTCCGGCGGCAGGTCGTCGAATTCGTATCGGAATGGGTTCAGCCTGCCGCATCCCGACACGGCAAACGCAACATTATCTTCAGCATCCCACTCGTCCTCAGGATCTTCCACGGGGTCGAGATCTTCCTCCTTGGAGATGAGGCCGGTAACATCCACGTCGGCGAATCCGCGCGCGATCAGAGTCCGCACTTGACCGTCGACGCCGCCATCGAGCTGTCGCATCGCGAACTGCACGATCGTCCTCGCTACGACGTGGCTCTCGCAAAACTTGAAGCAGTCCTCGTAGCTGTGCCGAGTGCAGGTCGTAAGGTCGTGCTTCGGCAACGTTTCGTCTTCAGCCTCCCCTGCTTGTTCGCCCTCGAGAGCCTCGCGAGCCATATTGGAGACCTCCGCTAACTTTGCCTGGTCCCGCGCGGTCCAATGCTTTTCGTTGCGAAGCCGCTGCAGCTTCCAACGCACGTTGTTTCGAATCTCCCCCAGTCTCTCGTACCGTCGAAAGCACGTATAGGCCGCGTAGGCTTTGGGGTAAATGATGCGCGGGTCCACGTAGGCGTCGAGTTCCTGAGAACGCCACGCCCAGGCGCCCGCGGGTTCGCTCGGACAGACGTGCGTCCGCTCGAGGAGGGCAATTCGCTCGCGCCAGAGCGCGTCCGTCGTCGCGGCCCGCCGACTTTCCTTAGAGCAGAGGCCAAAGGCGAGGAGGTCCGCGAGCGCCGCGTCGTTCTTCCACTCGCGCCGGCCGTGGCGATCCAGGGCCGCGTGCCCCAGCGCGTCGCGGACCCATGGGTCGAGGGCAAAGTTCTCGAGGATGCGGCCCACGACGTCGGCCGGCAGGGCGCGGAACGGATCGCGATCGACCGGCAGCGTCCGCCGCAGCGGCGCCTCGACCGGCGCGTCGGGCCAGCCCGGCCGCTCGTACTGCGTACTGGGGCGGCCGCCCGGCATCCGGTGCTGGTAGAACCACCGACCCGTCCGATGGAGCTCGATGGACCAGCCGGCGTCCCGGAGCTCGCGCGGCAGGTCGGGCGGCCGCGGCGTCTGCGGTTCCGTTGCTACCTTGGATATTTTCCAGAAGTCGACGATCCTGTATTCACCGTCGTCGAGTTTCAGGATCCCATCTGTATGTATGCGCCCATTTCCATCGGGGTGCGTGTCTTCGATCGACAATAGCTCAGCTTCGTACGAGGAACTCCCATCAACGACGCGAACTCTGTCACCAGGCTTGGGTTCGACGCGCTGCGTGGTGGGCTCGGGACCGACGCGCGGCAGAGGCCGGGGCGGACCCCTTGACGCCAGCATCAAAGGAGAAACGCAGTCCACTAAAAACGACTTCATGTCATGAAGAAACCCGGGGCGCGTTTGCCACCGCTGATGCCCAGCGAGGTCGAGCGCGTCGACGGTGCGGTCCCTGTGCAGGTGTTCGGGGGCGACGTCCTCGTGTCGGCGGTGCGTGTCTAGTCGATCCATGAGAGCTTACGAGCGCTGCGCTGCACGCACTGTTGCACTGCTTACGAGCGTGCGCTCACGCACTGTTGCACTGCTCTGAGAGTGGGCGTTTCGTCTGAAGCGTCGCGTCCAATAAGAGAGGAGCGCGATCGACCACAACGCGCAGCCGACTACTGGATACTTATGAGATGATCCTTGCGGCCAATCGCGCGCCGCAATTGTGTTTGCCGACGCCTTCGAAATTCACCATCCCCCCATGTCGCTAGTGCCTTACAGGCCGCTAGCGCGAACGAGAACTACTGAGTCGCGGACCTAAGTAATCGTGACTCGGACATTAGGGGTGTTACGTGCAGTTGCGGGTGGGTCCCTGATTATCCTGATTATTTGCTCATGTCATCAAGGGCATTCGAGGGACTGGGACGCCCTTAATTCATGCACCAACGCTGCCCCAACACACAATAGTATCAAATATTTGTCGTGCAGCCGCCATTGCAGCAACCGCTGCCCGCAACAGTGCGGCCAGTAGCGCATTGCAGCACAATGGCAGCTGTGCAGTGAAACAAGCATGCGGCGCCTGCTGCTGCCCATGGTCGCGGCGCTAGCAAAAGCAGGCAGCCGCGGCGCGAACGGCGTCGCGCTCTGCGGCCCGGACCACATTGCAATAGCGGACTCGGCGGCCGACAGCGTCGTGATCCTCGACCCGCGCCGCGCGGAAGTCGTAGACATCGTCCCGCTGCCCTACGGCATCTTCGCGCACGGCGTCGCGTGTCTACGACAACCGACAGATCATGAACCGGGTGTGATAATCGTCACGGCGCAGCACGGCGGCCACGTCTTCGCGTCGGCTTATGATGAGAATCGACAACACCGCCTATCAACGTACGCGGCGTGGTTCGCGTCCTTCCGGCCGAACACGACTCTTGTAGAGGGCACGTACGCCGTCGACGCGGAGCCGTGGCGGAACATGACGCACGGCCCCAAAGGATTGGCATTGCACGACGGCGTTATTTATCTACCTTTCCAGTCGCGCCACACCATAATAAGTGTGGACGCCGCGGACATTGTGGAAATCGTCTCCGCGAAGTTCCGCGAGCGGAGGCACCTCGCGCTCGCGGAGAATGCATTGGTGTGGGTCAACGCCACCTCCGCTAGGATTTTCGGCCACCCGCGGAAGCCCTACGCGCTGGCCTTCGGGCCATGGATGGGGGTCGAGGCGCTCTACGTCTTGGGGGGCGACGGCGTGGTCGTCCTCAACATCACTCTCAACATCACCCTCGTACCACACGCGCCGGTCCTGGCGACCTACGTCACGGAGAACATGCGCTACGCGCGGGCGCTGGCGGTGCTCGGGGAGAAGGTCTACCTCCTCGTGACGAAGGGGCACTCCAGCTGGGTCGAAGCGCACGCCTTTTCCGCGCCCCCGTACACCGTTGGCGTCGTGGGCCGCGGACACGGCGCCGGCGACGGCTGCGGGACCGTCCCGTCCTTCTCGCGGCCCCACTCTATCATCGCCGCCGCGGCCCCACCTCCTTCCGGAAGACGGCGCCTGGCGCAACACGCGCACTCGAAGGACGCCCTTTGGGTCGCCGACATGGATAATAGGGCCGCGCGGTCCATCTCCATCGACGGCAACCGTGGCTGCACTTCGACAATTCCGTACCGGAGTTTATTGCGGCGCTTCCACGAGCGGCCCGCGGCGGCGACGCCGAACTGCTCGCAACAGCTCGTACCGACGGCCGCGGCTGCGAAAGCCGCCTGCGGCGACCGGCGGCTCTGCTCGGCCGCGGAGCTGCGTCCCACGGACGGTATCGCCTGGGCGGCCGGCGACTGCGCGTCGTGCTTCTCGCACATCGAGACCTGCGACGCGACGAAGGAACGCTGGGGCGCCGACTACTTTCCCCTGCTGACGTCGTCGCGGAAATCGACGTGGCTCGAGTGCCGGAGCGCGAGGGACGGCCCGCGCCCACAGGCCCGCGCGTGCTGCTGCGGCCCCGAGTGATTAGTTATGCGCCTGGCGCTTTTCGTTTCCGAATCCCCTTCGGCGTCCGAATCCCTATCGGCTATTGTAAGTAACATGATACGTTTAACCTACGGCAGCCGGAGCCGCCCGCGCCGCGGCCCCCAGGCCCGCCGGTCGTTCGGCGCGTCCAGCCAGATGAACGGCGGCAGCGACCCGGCGCGCGCGGCCAGGTTCAGGATGGCGAGCCGCGACAGCGTCGCCTCCCACGTGCCCACGAACGCGTCGCACGACGCGAGGTGCTCGAGGTCCGCGAGGAGCGACGCGGCCGCCAGCGCGGCGTCGGGCGCGTCGGGCCGTGTTTCAATAAACTTTGCTTGGGCCGCCGCGAAGGTAAGGCCGAGCGTGGCGTTCTCCGGGCCGCCGACCGCGCGCCGGTCGAAGCGCAGCGCCTCCACGGCGACGCCGCCGCCCATCGTCGCCGTGAACTCCCGAATCGCGGCCGGCGAGTCCGAGGCGACGCGGACCGTCCCGAGGCCGTAGCGACGCGCGAGCCGCCGGGCCGCCGCGACGTACGCGCGCGTCGGGAAGCACCTTCTCTTGTCCTCGACGGGCGCGCCGCCGAAGACCTGGCACGCGTCGCCCCGCCGGATGTGGACCGCGACGCACGCCGGCGACGCCGCCGGCCCCGCGACCCGCGCGCGCGTCGCCAGGAGCGCGTTCCGTTGCCGTTCCGCGCAGGGCCCGAGTAACCTCAGGCGCGTGCGGACCGCCGCGGCCGTCCACCACAACAGCGGCGGCTGCCAGTTTTGCGGTAGCGACGCCTCGCTCGCGCAGGACGCCGCGCGGAACCAGCCCTCCGCCCCGCAGGTCTCGGGCAGAAACCGCCAGCCCGCGTAGTCGAAGCGCCGCGCCGCGGCGTACTTGGGGTGCGTCGCCGCGTTGAAGAAGAACTTTCCGAGCGTGACGGCCATCTCCCGCGCGGCGGGCGGCGCGGCGTCCGGCGCCGCGCCTTCGCGAGGACACATGAGGCCTTCAAATACTTCGGCGGGCGGATTTGCGGGGGTCGCCGCCGCCGCCGGCGGCAGGTGCTCGGGCGCGCACACGAGCGTCGCCCACTGCCCGTCTTCTACGTTGCCGGCGGCGGCGAGGTTCCGCAAGACATGCGCGCGGCAGCTCGCCACGTCGGTGACCGGCCGCGCGGCGGCGAGGGTCGCTACCATGAGAGCGTTGGCGGGCACCCCCATCGATGCGGCGACGCCGGCGGGGGCAGGCGGGGCTGCCCAATGCCTGCTGCAGCAGCTGGCACCTGCACTGCAGTTACGCCACCATCGATGCGCGCACTTCGCGGAGAGTGGTTCGACGTGTGTAAACCGTTTACGCAACGGGCGCAATAGGCTGTTTGGGCCGCATAAGCTGCACTCGCACACTTGCTAGTGTCTTACAGCCGCTAGCTGCATTTTCAAGCCCGCCCGAACGGCAGCCTTTAAACTACCGCAAAGGCAACTCCGGGACTGCACCACGGAGTTATCCGTGCAAGCGAGGCGATGCGCCCATGAAACACAAAGCATGGCTGGCCCTGGGGGCAGCCACCGTAGCAGCCCATCAAGACTGCGACCCCCACGTCCCATCACAACCACAAGACGCGCGCCGCATTGAAAGATACATAACACAAGTCTACCCCGTCAACCATCAAAAGCATGCCACCAACACACATCAATTGAAACAAACCTTCGAGGCCCTGCACTACTTCTACGCACCTACAAGAGACATACTGGAGCCGGCGCGACACCTAAACACGGACGCGGCCCCGCGCCTGCCCTACCTCCCGAGTGGCGCGTATTATTCAGCGCCGCACAACCACTCGCGCTTTACGGGTTGGATCGCTTCCGCGTCCGCGGAGCGCTGGTGGCGCGTCTCCGAAGAAAACCACCCTCCCAAGTTCAAGCGGCCTCCATTAAACACGGTGCGCCACCGAAACGCCTTGAGGAGCGCAGCTGGACGGGCGTCGACGATCGGTTCAAGATTTGGCCCGGCGCCGTCGTGGACCTCACCATTGGCTTTAGTGAAGTACCCCTTCCCGCTCGATGGCAGTGATTGGACGCGGCGTGACCTACTGAAAGCGTCGCATGATACGACGCTGGATTTGAAAAGTAGCTACGTGGAAGTCGAGCAGTTCGGCGGCCCGCGGTGGGCCGCGCCGGGCGCGCACGTGGCCTGCCCGCCGGTCTGCGGCACCTGGGCGAATGTCTGGCGGGGCACGGGCGTCTTTTTGAGGTTGAACCGGCCGCTCGTCGCGGTCAATCGCCTTGCTGCGGTCGTCGACCTCGTCACGCAAGTGTCGTCGAAGGCGGGCGGGAAAGTTGTGTTGGAGAGTTTCATGCGCCAGTCGCCTCTCTTGGAAGCGAAAGTTAGGTTACTACAAAGAGCGCCGCGGTATGATGGTGGAAGAAGGCGGCGGCACGGCGCCTCAATAGGAGACGCCGTCGCTGCCGCGGCGGCGGACGGCGGCGGCGGTCTAGGATGTGTGTGTTTGCGGGAGCCGCCGATCTGCTCGAAGAATTGTTTTAATGCGACCGAATACGCCTACGACTACGTGCGTGTGGACGGCGCCCTGCGGCGGCTGGGCGTGGCTGGTTTTCTTGAAAGGGTGAGAGAAGGCCGCGCAGAAGACTGGTGCGCAAACGTCTGCGGGACGGGGGCCTACTACCATCAGCAGAAGGCGCCGTGGGCGGCGCTCGACGCGATGCTCGTTTCATTATCTTGTCTCGTGGGCTACGACGCTGTTGTGTTAACTAGGTCGCCGAACGACAACGGCTTGGTGCATCAAGAATTAGTGGACTTTGACGTGCCGGTGGCATTGGGCGGCTGGGGTTCGCCGCCTGATGGACAACTCAATGATTGGGATAAATGTAAGGCGCCCTTCTCGAATCTCCCGGCCGACGCCGACGCGCTGTTACTAGAGCACTGGCACGCTACGAACAAGTGGGCGCTCGGCGACGTCGCTCGAAAACAATTCGCGCCGTGCAGCATTGGAGACCCCGGCGGCGACGCGTGGACGTCGCGGCTGGGAAGAGATAGATGTAGAGGGGGCAAGGGCCGGACGCGCCGCCGCGGGGCGGACGTCGACCGCGCCTGCTTTCTGACGTGCCGGGGGCACGTGTCCGAGGCACACGCGAACGTGTCGCTGACCCAGGTCCTGCGGGACGACGTTGTGCTGTGTGAGGATTAACTACATCCCAAATTTAAGCGCCTGGTAGGAACTAGGCAGGTCGGCCTCGTCTTCGGGCCGCGGGTTCGTCGACTCCCAGCCCAGCGCCTTGCGCAGCGCCTCGAGGCGGCCGCGGTTCGAGCCGTTGTCGCCGAGCGGCACCGAGTAGATGTTCTGGGGAGGGAAGAAGAAGACCGACTCCCGCGACGCGCTCCGGTGGAAGACCAGGCCCTTTTCTGCGGAAATCAACACCTCCACATCATCCACATCGGTGGCCTTGTAGTTGCTGATCTGCGACGGCGCGGTAGCCCGCAGGTATCGCCGCGCCGGGTCAGTCTCGGCTATTTTTAAATCGGGCGACGCCTGCGCCGCCTTGACCAATTCCTCGAAGGCCCTGTCGGCGTCGCGCGTCGCGGGCGAGAAGAGCCACGGCGCGTCGAACTGCGCCGGCGACTTTATGGCCGACGAGCTCACGCAGTTCTCGGACGGCAGGCAGCCCGCGAGGCGGCCGTCTTTTTGAATCCCATACCGCTCGCAGGTGCGCTCCGCGTAGAGCGCGCCCGGCTTCGTCCGGCACGATCCCTCCGCAGCGAACGCTCGCAAAGGGAGCAGCGCCACGACGGCCGCGGCCGCGGTTGCGCCCAGCAGGCTTCTCCTGCAGTCTAGGCGATGCCTTTGCGAGAGAGATGTTCCATCGCTACTGCATTGTCGTTGCGCGAGAGTAATTCCAGCTCTACGACTTGCAACGATTGTTGCAGGCTGGCGTGTCACTGGCTGCACAAGGCCCAGTGCCACAGCCGCGCGGCACGCAAGCCAAACGACGACAGCACTTGAGCGCATGATCAATGCCAGCTAGGAGACAATTTGTGCACGTTCACGAATCGATTTTTGAGCTGCCAAGCTCCAAGTCCTCGGCGCCGAGCTAGCGGCCTGTAAGACACTAGTAATGCCTCAAAATTTTCCTCATCGGTGTCTTTATCGGTGACTTTTAGGACGATACGCCTCTTCGTGAGCCGCAGCGCTGTTGCCCCATGCGCGGCAGCCAGCAGCAGGCCCTAGAGGCAGCCCCATGAGCATGCATCTATCATGCAGCTAAGACTTGCCGTGCTGCTCGGCCTCGCCGCGGCGCGCACCGCAGCCCCGGCAGCTCTCACGGCGCGCGACCGGCAGGTCCTCGAAAAAGCTAAGCTAATAGACCGGTGGTTCGAGGAGCGCCGCCAGCACCCGCGGCGCGAGATCGTCGGCCGCGTAAGAAGTGCCGCCAGGCGCGAAAAGGACCCCTGGGTCCCGCCGACATGGACCGTGTCCAAAGAGGAAGACGTGCCCGGGCCCTGGCAGGAAGTCTCTGGCACGAACCATGCGAAACAAGTCTTCCGGGCTTCATTACACAACAAAAGTGTCATCGTCAAGAAGAAGCACCACGACCCTCGTGGTCGAGACGACGCCGGCGCGACGATCTACACAGAATTATTATATCTCGAAGCCTTACGGGGCGAGCCGGGCATCCCCGAGTTACTGGGAGCGTGGTTCGAGCACGCGCACGCGACTTATGTAGTGCAGGACTGCGGTGCAATGATCGGCGCCGGCGCCGGCTCCGCCGCCGACCCGACGATTCTATCAGAAGCGTTCCGAAAGCGCGCCTCAGAGCACCCGTTGCACCTCGCGCGGTCGCTGTTAGCGTGTTTCCAGAGTTGGGCGTCGGCCGGCTTCCTGCAGGACGACTTTTATGCGCCCCAGTTCACTCTGTCTGATGAAGGCGCCATTTTTCTGGTAGACGGCCCCGACGACTTCCTATTATCATCACCGCTGGGAAACAGTGTAGTGCACGCGTGGGGCACGCGCAACGAGTCGGAGCCGTGCCACCTGAATCGCATGGCGTTGCGGGACGTGCATGGCGGTAAATGCGCGCCCCAGGCCTGTGAAAGTGATCACGACTGCCCGTGGACGCGCGAGAGCCACAGCTGCCGGGGCGCGGGGAGCTGCGAGCCCCGGTCGCGCGGCGCGCCCGAGGCCCGCGGGAAATGTATGAAGGGTACATGTATGCGCCTGTCGGAGAAGACACACGTCTACGACGTCGCCAACCGACCCTGGCTGCTGCCGTTCATCGCCGACCAGGCTAAAAGTGGAGACCGTCGTTTCTTGAGAAGCATAATTCGACAAGCGTCCAATGGCTATCCTAAAATGAGGCCGTCGTTCGCCGAACTGGTCGACGCAATCGACGAGTTCCTACGACGGCCCACGAATGTGGAAGAGAGCCCAAAGGAGCGGCTCTACGCGTCGCCGCTGATTCAATCCAACGAGCGACGCAAGGCGGCGTTCTGGGACTACGCTTCTGTGGTTGTTCTAGGCGAAGGAATGCGGGTCACAAATCTGTGCGACGACCGGGGCCTGGCCTGCTATGAAAGTGAGGAGCTGCCCGCGCCCGCGGACCTCACCCTGTTACGACACAAGGACCGGCACCGGCGGGACCACGACCCTTCGGAAGCGGACAAGAAGGACCCCGGGGCCCTCGATGTCGTCTATGGCCGCTTTCGATTTGACGAGGGTCTGCTCGCGCGGGCGGTCCCGGCACCAAGTTTTACAATTTTGTTGGTTGCGGACGCCTGGTCCGTCGTCCAAAGGACTTTTGATGGGAGCCTCGCACCAGATAAATTTCTGGAGAGACGCTTCCCCCGGGGCGTCCAGGCCTTCGTGTTGAGCCTGGCCGGCCGGCCCCAGAACGGAACCCTGACGCAGAGCGACTGCGACCGGGCGGTCCGGCACCTCGACTCTTTTTCGCTCGTCGCCGACGATACGGAAACGGTGACGACCGTGCTCTACGGTCTCTACGACGTCGAAGCGCCCGCCGCGCCGCCTCCATCGAAGATGTCTCTACGGGCGTCGGCGGCCGCGAAGGCGCGGGTCCTCGACGCGAGCCGGTGCCACGCCCGCGTCGCCGCCGCGGCGCGGGCCCTTCCGACGTTCTTTTCTCCTTCCTGATTTCGAACCGCATGTCGCAGACGCGCGCGACCCCGATCCGTCGCTTTTGGGACCCGTCGGCTCGACGCTCCGTCGCCGGCGTGTGATTTGTTTAACTGTGAGTAAAGCTCTTACAAGCTCGAAGAAGGGAAGGGGGTGGGTTCACATGGGCGCGTGCAGAGAGATGCGGCTGCCCAGGTCCGAGTCCGAGTCGCAGTCCATGTCACCGTTCTCCGGCGCCTTGGACTCGTTGGCGGCCGCCGCCGCGCCGGCCCCGGCGACGCCGGCCGCGGGCCAGAGCTCGTCGACCTCGACCGAGGACCGGTGCTTCGCCGGCTTCGCCTTATCAGGCGTGAAGTCGTACGCCGGCGGTTCTTCCTCGTCGTCGAGCTTCTCGAGCGCGCGCGACACGGCCGCGGCGGGCTTCTCGTCGTCCGAGTCCGAGTCCGGCGGCGGCGGCCGCTTGCCCGCTTCGAGCTTGTAGGACGACGCGCGCGGCTTCTGTTTCTTCGCACCGCCAAGCGCGGCGCCGGACGCCGCCGCGAAGAGGCACACGCAGCACCCGACGCCGCCGACGATGATGACGATGATGGCCCAGATGGGGAAGGCGTGCCCCGACTTCTTCTTCTTCTTCTTCGAGCCGCCGGGCGACGACGTCGGCGCGTCCGAGGGCCGGGGCGTGGGCGCGGCGCCGCCGTCCGGGTCGGTAGATGTCGGCGCCGCTGATCGGCGCGCCGCCCTTGCCGCAGGCCTCGCACGCGCAGTTGTCCAGCTTCTTGTCGGTGCCGCACTCTGCGCGGACGCGACCGGATCGATGGCGTGGCCCCCGACGAAAGTAAAGACGCCGCGTCCGCACCGCCGTCGCCCTCGCAGAAGTCGCCCGCCGCCAAGCCAGGAGTGTCGCACGGAATGATGTCCAGCTCCGCAGGGCAGTCCGGCGAGCCCGTCGGGAGCGCCTCGAGGGTGGGGCAGTCGCCCGTCGGCCGCGGCGTCGTCGGCTTTTTGGTGGGGCGCGGCGTCGGCGTATCACCAGAAACGACGATGCGGTAGATGTCGGCCCCCGTGATCGGCGCGCCGTCCTTGCCGCAGCCGGCGCAGGCGCAGTTGTCTATTTTTTTCGACGTCCCGCACTCTCCGTCGCCCTCGCAGAACCCGGTCAGGCCGGGCGTGTCGCAGGGCTCGATGTCGAGCTCCGGCGGACAGTCCGGCGAGTCCTTCTCGAGGGGCACGAGCTCGGGGCAGATCGACGTCGGCTTCGCCGTCGGCGCGACGGGCCGCGCCTCGACGACGCGGTAGATGTCGGCCTTGAGCTTCGTCTCCGGATACTCGCAATTGTCCAGGTTCTTGTCCGTGCCGCACTCGCCGGCGTTCGACCGGCAGAGGTTGCCGACTACGAGGTCTGGAGCGTCACAACTAAAGCGGGCCACGTCACCTGAATCCGGCGGCGGGCACTCGGACGCCGGGATCGGCTCGAGCTTCGCGGGGCAGCAGTCGTCCGCCGGGCACGGCGTGGCCTCGAGCCGGCGCCTCGGGAGGCCGCCGCGGATCCGCGGGCGCAGGGCGGCCGTGCGCGAAAGCCCGGCGGCCGCGAGAATAAGCGCGGCTCTGAAACCCATTTAAAAGCTTCTGGCTTATTTTGCCCTCGCCTTCGCTGTTCACGGTCGCGAGCGCCGTCGCGTCAATTGCCTTTTCGATACGCTTCTCCCGCGAGTCGCGCCGCGTAAACCGTTAACGTAACCGTGTACGAGCTTGATTTAACTTTTTTTGCTTGTTGCTAGTGTCTTACAGGCCGCTAGCTCACGACATCGTCGGCAAAAAAGTGCCGTGGGACGCAGCGCAGCAGCGAGCTCGTGATATCGATTGCCAAAAAACACCTTTCAAGGTGGTGGATTCGATTCCAGTGCACGTCGGTCCGCCACAGCCCACGCCCACCGACGCGCCGGGTCCGCCACAGCTCACGCCGCCGACGCGCGCAACAATATGGCCGACGCCCCCCCACCACCAAAAACAAATGACGGCAAGCTCCAGCAGCTCCTGGGCCTGGCCAAGGAGCGCCTCCAAGCGCAGCAAGCAGCACTCACGAGCCGCGACGCCACAATAAAACAACTCAGAGAAGATTTAGAGAGAGAGCGGAAGCGCGAAAAGACGTTCGGCGTGACGAGTAGCGAAGGCGAGCCGGCGCGCGCGTTATGTGTGGTCAATAGTCGAGATATAAGCGACAGGGAGGGCCGCTGGGCGCTCTTCGAGTTCGAGTCCGACGACGGTGTACTGCCCCCGGAATGGCGCCACTTCCCCAGCAAAGCCTCCTTAGATGACTTCGTACGAAGGGACCCGGGGCGCGAACCTCTTACATTACCTGAGCCGGCGCTAGATCCGCACACGGCGTCGAAACTGCGTAGAACTGCTGAAGACGACGTGCAAAAGGCGCGAGCGGAATTACGAGAAGCGAAGTCCAGGTTTGCGGTCGACAAGGCGAGGCTGGATGGGTTATTGAGAGATGCGACACGGAGCCGAGTGCGAGACGACGACGCCGAGCTCAAGAAGAGGCGCGACGCGCTGCTCGCCGCGACGGCGCCAAGTGATCAGAAGTCCTCCGAGGAACTGCTGTTGAGAAAACGGGTCGAGGAGCTCACGCAGGAGAACGCGCGGCTCAAGCAGCCGTCTCCCACGACAACCAACAGTGATGGTGATCTCGCGCTCAAGTATGACGCCCTCCGAAGGGAGTACAAATTATACAGAGCGAACGCGCTGAAGGCCTTGCAGGAACAGAAAGCTTTAGCTGCGGACGCCGCCAAGGGCCTCCAACTCGCCGATTTAGGGAGGAGAAAACCCGCGGGAAACGTGAGAGAAAATGATCAGATGGCGTATCTGAAGAATTTGATGGCCCAGTACCTGGTCTGTGCCGAGGAGGCGCCGAAGCAGCACATGGAGCGGGCGGTCATGACCGTGCTGGGCTTCACGGATTCGGAGCGGGAGCGCGTCGCGACGAAGCGCCAGGAGAACGAGTACGAGCAGTCGTCTGCTTTAGCCGCGTGGTTCTCGCAGACGCCCGCGCCATCAGCTTAGTTAATTACAACAATGTGTTACATGACCACAACGCCGTCGCCCCGTCGACGCGTCGCGTCGCCTCGATGGCGTTGAGGCTCGCGACGTCAAGAGTTTTTCTGCCCCACCGGCACGCTGTCGACGCGACACACGTGCACACGCAGGACGCCACCGCTACGTAACCGTCATCGCCGCGGCAGGCCCAGCGGCTTCGGCGGAACCGGAGAGGACTGCTCCTTCCCCCAAGGCCAGTCCGTGCCGACCTCGTACTCATCAACTGGACCCGCCTCGTCCGCGCCCGCCGCGAGCGCCCGGAGCTCGCGCAGCGACGCCCTCCCACCAGAGATGAGCTGGGCCACGGCGAAGCCGTCCCTCTCCGAGCGGTGGCGCCGGTAGCCGTCTCTGACTTGGCGGAGCACGTCGGCGCCGGCCGCCGGTCTCGCTTTTGCGTAGCGCCGCGCCAGGCGCAGCATCTCGCGATACTGCGCTTTTACTTGCGACATGCGGATGAAGTCCTTGAACCCGAGCCCTTCGGTCGTCATCATGCGTTTGACGACAGGCTTGAAGCCCAGTTCGCTCGCCATCCGTCTGACGACGGGCGCTCTGGTGTGCCTGAGAGCAGCATGCATTGTGTGCGTGTCCTGAGCGACGGCGTGAAGGCAGCGCTCGTTCGCGCTGTCGCAGACTCGCTGTCGTCTTGCTTATTTGCTTGAACCCATGTATACGCGCGCGCGCGGTCCAAATGCCCGCCAGCAGCGCTGCAGCCCGCAGCTGAGCAGAGTGGCAAAATCAGGCAGCGCGTCACGGAGCAGCTGCAGAGCGAGTAGGCGTGGTCCAATTCGTCCCTATTGCACCTGCCGCCGCCAATCAGACGCCAGAGATCGTGTGCGGCAGCACTGCGCAGTGCTGTGCCACAGTGCCGCCTGGGACAGCGTACATGCCGCTGAGGAGCCTGCTTGTCTGCAGCCTCGTGCTGGGAGCACGGGCGTTGCGGCCGGCGGCGCTCGCGCGACCGGTGTCGCTGACGGCGTCGGTCGCATCGGCGGCGACGCTCTGGTCCGAGGCATCCGTCGCGGCGACGGGCTGCGGCCCCGCGCTCCTCCCGGATGCCGTCGAGCGGGGCTCGTACGTCGCAGTCCTGGCCTACGCCGGCGCGAGCGGCTTCTGTAGGATCGCCTTCGGGGCGTCGGCGCACGCGTGGCTCGTCGGCGAGCCGCCGCCAGGCGTCGCGCGCTGGGCCGAGCGGCTCTCGCTCGCGTGCGTCGCCGGGGCGTTCCTCGCGCTCGCGTGCCAGGTCGCGAACGGCCAGCAGATGGACGCGCTGTCGGGCATCGACGAGCTCTACTGCGCCGCGCTTCGGTGACGCAGCTCCTGTCGTTGTTTGTTTGTTGTAAGATACAAGATACACAACTAACTACAGCCCTTCCAGCGTGTCCCCGCTCGGCGGCGGCGGCGCGAACGCCGCGAGGAACCCCTTCTTTTTGGGAGGCGGCGGCGGCGCGGGCGGCGCGGCGCATTCCGCGAACGCGGCGTCCAGCAGGCCCCGCTCGGCGTCCGCGTGGACGCTTCTAGCCTTGGAATTTTCCTCGGCCTGGGTCCGCGCCTCGTCCTGCAGGGCCCGCAGGCGCGCCTCGGCCTCGTCCAGGGCGGCCTTCTTGGCCACGTAGTCGTCGAACTGTGTTGAAAACCGCTCGCCGAAGGCCTGTAATGCTTCCTTGCGCTCTCTCAACCCCGCGGCGCTCGCTTCCAGCGCCTCCAATCTACCTTCGTCGAGCACGGCCGGCGCGCAGGCCAGCGTGTACTCGAGCGACGACAACAGGTTGTCGCTGTAGAAGGCCACCAGGACGTCTCCGGTCGCGTCGAAGGGCGGCGCCATCGCGGCCCGCTCCTCCATCGTGTCGAGCGCGGCGCAGACGGGGGGCAGATTCTCTTGCGCCGCCGGGAACGGCGCGCCCACTAATAGCGTCGGCACGGGCACGACGAAGAGGCGGCAGCGCGGCGGCCTCTTTTTGTCTTCCGGTTGTAGGGATTCGGCCTGCCTTCTTATATTCCCTTTGCCATCGAAAACTAGAATCCTGAATTTGTCATTCCTCCGCTTCGAGGATGCTGCTAATAACAAACCCCGCTCCTGCATGCTGTTTGATATCGTCACGCGGAAGAACGCGGCGCTGCCGATCTTTACCGTGCCCCGCTGCGCCGCCCCCGGGATCAAGAGAGGCACGCTCGCGATGTCACTGGAGAGCTCGCACGCCGTCGACAGCACGTCGGCCGCGACAGTAGTGGGCACCGGTATGCCGATCTTCGACACTTGCGCGAGCAAAAAACGCGTCGCCCACGACTGCGACTTGACGTCGACGCTCTCGAACGCGTGCGTGTTTGAAGCCTCGTCCGTGGTAGAACCGTGCAGGTCGTACTGGCGTCTTCTATTCGGATCACTCAGAACGGCGTAGGCGTCGCTGACGGCGCGGAACTTCTCCGCGGCTTCCTCTTGGCCCTCGCCGCGGTTGCGGTCCGGGTGATATTTCAGGGCGAGCTTGCGGTATCGCTTGGTAATCACCGGTGCGTCGTCGCCTTTGGCGCAGCCGAGAACAGCGTACAAATCCTGCGCTGCGGCGGCAGGCGCTGCAGCCGGCGCTGCAGCTGCGTCGGCAGCGGTCGGCGCGGCGGCAGCGCTCTCGGACATTTCAAGGACGTCAAGACGATGCCACTTATCGACTCCTGCTGATGATACACGTCTGTGCTCGTTTTTTATGTGGAGGACACATCGGTGAGCTAGCGCTGTAAGACACTAGCGCGTATTTTCAGATATGCGTCCCGACCCCAAGCACGTCGTCCGAGCGTTCCCCGGTCCTGCTAACGACGAGTCCAATCAAGCGCTCTCCATGTGTGGATTGTAATGAGCGCCAGCTTGCGCGGCCATACGACTGGAGTACCAAGCTTGTCGTGGGGCTGCACCCGCGTGCGGTGTCCCACTTACACATCCAAGCCGCCCAGCACGAAACGAGGCCGCCCCGGGCAGCCTCCAGGCACTAGGACAAGCAAGTCAGACAAGCCAGCCAGGGCCCCGGGCGCCCACGACAAGCACTTAAACGCCCACGACGAGCACTGGACAAGTCAGCCCACGCGAGCCGCAGCGATGATCGGCGCCATCGTGGGCGCGCGCCGCGCGGCGCATCGGGCGTCGTACGACAATGGCGCCCGCCGCCGCCGCCGCGAGATGGAGCGGCGCGCCTTGTCTAGGCATCAGTGGGCCTTCACGCTCGAACCGGCAAACCGCGGCCACGTCCAGGCGCGGCGGCCCTGGACGCGGGAGGATGATCAGGCCCTGTCGGACGCCGTGGCCGCGGAGGAGCTTGCTGTCCAGTCGTCGCTCGGCGACGACGTCATTGGTGAAGTGCACATCGACTGGGCCCGCGTCGCGCACGCGGTGGAGCAGGCGACGGGCCACCGGCGCACGGGGGCCGAATTGCACGCGAGGCACGCGCGGCTGCCGCCGGCGCCGCCGCAGTACGTTGAACAGATCCCGCCCGGCGCGGCGGACGACTTCCACCACGCGCAGCTGCCGCGGGCCGAATCGCGCCATTCCGTCCCGACGGCGGCCTGCGAGCCCGTCCAAAAGAAGAAGCGGGGCGTCCTCGCGTCCATGAAGGCGGCGCACCGGTTCCTGTTTAGGAGGAGGGAGAAGACGAAGCCGCGCGTCGTGGCCGTGCGGTGTCCTAACTAATTGTTGTATTCGCGGCGGCGGCGTGGGGGTAGCGGTCTCGACGCCGTCGACGCGAAGACTAGTAACTACGGACGACGACCCTTACACTAGAGCCTCCGCCCGCGATCAGGACGCGACGTAGTCCTTGAACTTCGACCAGCACTCCGTCCCCTCCTCACCTAATTCGGTCAAAGCCGCCGGGGCCCCGCCCTCCAAGAAGGCCAAGGAACAGGCCTCCTTCTCGACGAGCGCCTTCAGGACATCCCCCAGCCACTGCGGCGCCTTCGGGGCATCGATCGTGATGTCGGGCAGGATCGCAAGTGCTTCTAAGAATGCAGTCGAGAAGTGCGCCGGCGTCAGGACGTCCTTCTCCGATAGAGCCAGTAACAATTGGGGCACGCGCTCCCGGTCCTTTTGCTTGCCGTCGAGCACGACGTCCAACGCCGCCGACGCCAACAATGATAATCTAGACGGCTCCCCAAGTCCAGCCAATTCCTCGCGAGCGCAGGCCACGACCTCATCAACCACTTCGATGGAGAAATACTCGGCCACGGCCGCCTTGCACTTGCCCCGGTACTTATCCTCGTCGAACGGTATAGACGTAACTTCCTCGAGATCAGTAAGAGAATCTTTGGAACGACTTTTCTTCTTCTTCTTCTTGTCCTTGTCCTTCTTCTTCTTGTCTCCACCCAATAGGGCACCGAAGCCGCCCATGTTCACGTCAGTAGGTACGTTTGCGGGGGACTGGGACCGCTCCTTTCGCGACGACGATCGTCGCACGGAAGCCGTAGTCGTGGGCACGGTCTCCCAGCCGTCATCACTGATAATCGTGAGGTTGTTCGCGGAGCGGTCGCGCTTGACGCGCGTGGGCTTGCGGCCGGCTTTTTTGTCCTCCTCGGCCTGTGTCGAACGACGGTGTACATTCACGCGCCCGTAGACTCTCGCGCGGTCGCGTCGACGGCGGCGTGGCGGCGCGCCGGCGGCGTTGCAGCGACGCGGTGTCGTGTCGACGGCGTCGAGGCGGCGTGGGCTCGTGAAGACGCCATCGCGGCGGCGCAGTCTCGTGAAGGACGCCGTACACGGACCTGGATGTCGTCGTGGATCTCCTGGATGGTCTTGGCCTCCTCGACTTTGCGGCGCGGCACCCACGTGTTTTCTCTCAATTCGCGAAGATCTTTCAGCGCGAAGCGCAACCGCGCATCTAGCGATTTATTATTCTCGAGCTTCTTGAGCTGCTTGAAGTAGGCCTTCATGAATTTTGCGGATTCTTTCTTGTCCAAGGCTGCCGCATCTAATTTTTTCCCGATCGAAGTAAGTAATTTAGCCAGACACTCGAGCTTCTCGCTATCCGGCTCCGACGGGTCGCCGAAGAGCTCCTGGACGCAGTGGTGCATGATGTTCTCCTTCAGTAAACCTTGCTTGTAGAGTGCGCCAATGAAAAACATGTGGCCGATGTATTGTTTGCGGATCTTCGCAAGCTTCCTCTCTCTAGATTCCTCATCTAGCGATTCCAACTCGGCGATGGTCTGACTATGGTCGCGTTCAAATTCCGCCTGGCACCGCTCCAGCAGCAGCCGCCGAAACTTTTTCGTGGACCCTTCGTCTTCGCCCAATGCCTCATTGGGGGTGTTCGCGAGTTTGACACATAATGATGCATATACTGATACGAAGTGGGACTCCGTTTGGGCCTTCGTCACGATGAGGTCCACGGCGCCGGCGACGCGCTCCAGGGTCGAGAACTCGAGCGCGCAGAATTCCGTCGACAGGCGGTCGAATTTCTCGAGCGTCAGCTTGTTCAGTATCGAATTGGCCTTCTTGGATAAAGCGGCGTCGCCGTCGTCGTCGCCCTTCTTCGCCCAGTCGGGCTTGACGTACTCCTTGGGAGGTCGCTTCTTCGGTCGGATCGGGGATCGGTCGCGGAGCTGGCCCGTCGACGAGTGGGACCGGCCCATGGCTGTTCTATCGCGTAGTGATGAGTCACTTCTATGCGAGGGGAAGCCCGGCTTGCTGGTGTCGCGTCGCGCTTGCGCGAAGTCTCGGCTCCCAAAGCCAGCTCCAGAAGAACCGCCACCGGCGCCGGATCTCTCGTATCGGTAGCCTCCAAAGACGCCGAGCTTTCTCTTGACCTCTTCCGAGCAGGAGCCGCAGTCGCTCTCGAGTTTGAGTAGATCATCAATGCTATGCTTCGGGACGCCCGTATGGGCCGATCGTATCCGTCGCGGCGGCGACGCGGGGATGGCCGGCGGCTCCCTTTTGGTCGCGATCGGCGAGCAGGGCTTGAATTCTTTGGCCGTCGCCGTGAGTTTGGGCGACGAGGGCACGCTCGTCGGCGGGCTCTTCGCGGGCGAGCTCGGCGCGGCGGGCGGCGCGGGCGGCAGCGCGAAGCTCGGCACGAAGGCCGGGGCCGCGGCGTTGGGCACGAAGGCGCTGGCGGAGGCCTGCGTGGTTTTGAGTTTGGCGCGCGCGCGTTGCTTAGCCCCGTTTCTTCGCCCAGCGTGCCGAGTCGCGCGGGCGTTTCGAGTGTGTCACACTCAAGATCGTGCGAGCGCGCGCGTTTTGCGCAGCGGGGGCAGCGATGCGACGGCCGCGCGCGCGTCGCCGGCCCGTGGCCGCCAGCGCTTGCGATTGACACTAATTTGAATAAGGCGATGGGCGCTGGCAGCGCGCGTTCAAAGCTTTTGTGGACGGTGCAGACATCTTCTCTGTTACAGGAGCTATAGGCGGAGCGGGGCACATCTTCTCGCTTGCATTATTTCGGCCTCCGCTGGCGATTTGGCTCCGCTTCCTCTGCTTTGGCTGTACAGCAAGGCCTCCGCACTAGCCTTCAGGAGAGTGCTCAGAAGCGCGCGCGAAGATGCTGGACGGGGAGGAGAGGCGTCCGCGTTCCGGTCGGATGGCTTTTTGTACACACGGGTTTTACAATTAATTTTGCCTGAAACTGGGCCAGCTACGTAGCCGCAAAAGCTCGTCCCTGCAGGGCGAGGGCGCGCTCTAGGACCACACGGATCGACACGAATCGCCGCGCCGCGAGCGAGGCGCAGGAACGCGCGAGCGCGGAGCAATTTTGATATGCTTCTACACATAACCGCCCTCGTCGCGGCGGCGGCGACGTCGCCTCCGTTCAAGACGGCCGTAGGACTGCGCCCGGCCGCCCGCGGGCTCCAGGACTTCGCGGAATGCCCCGTCCTCACAAAGATTAAAAAAGACGACTGCACCGACGTCAAAGACTTTGATGCTCTGCCGGTCTGCTCGGACGCCTGCCTCTGCAAGGGAATGCACTGTAGAGCTGAGACCCAGCTGTACTGCGGAAGCGAGGACAAGGGGAGCGGCCACCACAACTGCGCGGCCGCTGCGTCTTCGTTTACTCCGCGAAACCGCCCGGCTCGACCCCGCGCCGAGTTCGCGTCGACGGCGTCCGCGAGAGGCCCGCTCCGACGCCGTCGCCGCGACGCGTCGAGCTTACCGCGATGGCGTCGACCGCCACGCCATCGCGCCGCGTCCGAGCGCGCGAGACGAGACCGACGCCACGCGCAGGCGACGCCAAGTCCATCTACCTCGTCGAGTCCGCTCTGGAATTACCGCGCCTCCAGTGCCCGCCCTGCCCGGCGCGCAACGACAAGTGCCCGGCCCTCGCGCCGCTGAAGACGTGCCTCCCGGGCAACCCCGCCGCGACGGACTGCGTGGGCCACGAGTGCGAGTTCGGCTGGTCGCGCGCTGCGTAGAAATCAATCCCAACTGACGTGATCTTGGCTCAGTGATTGCGTCTGCTCGATGGCGTCGGACTCACTGGTTTATTTCCGCACAGCAAGCCCATGAATTGTGCTGGTGGCGGCGTGTATCGCGTCACCTCCACCTACTACTATGATCGTGATGGATGCCCGAACGTCTGCGTGGCACCGACGGCAAAACCGACGAAGAAGCCGACGACGCCCTACCCGACGCGTTCTGATTATGGCACGTGCCCTCGCTTTGTTGTGGTGCCCATGGCACACCTCGCAGAGCGTAGCTGGTCCCTTCGGACCCTTGCACCGCCTTGGCGTCTCCTGGACGCCGCACCAGCCACAAGACCAGTCGTCCGAGCGCGGGCCGGTCTCGCCTCTTCTCCAACGCGTGTGGCACGTGCCGCAGAGCGTCTTCGGGCCGCCCGGGCCTCGGCAGTGCTTGCCGTCGGTCCGTGGACACCAGTTGCATCTCCAGGGGGGCGTCTTCTTCTTCGCCTTCCCTTTCTTCTTGCCGCCGCGCGCGGACATTGTGATCTACACTGATTTTTGACCAGGCTCTATTCTCGGCTCAGAACCGAATTCCTGTGGTTCTACGCGACAGCTGGACCAGGCGACAGTGAAGACTTCCGAAACGCGGCCAATAGATCCGCAACTCGAGCGTGCGGCTTCTGCCTCGCATTATTTCGGCTTGCAAAACCCGATTTTTTGGGGATGGGAGGATCCTCGAGGACATAAACGAAAAATAAGACACAATTTACGCCGTCGAGGCGACGCCTAGACGAAGTTCTTCTTCAGCCCCTTCTTCGGCGACACGACGGGCGCCCGCCCCGCCGCGACGGCGAGCGTCGAGAGGCGCTGCCTCAAGCTTTCCCGCTCGGCACAAATGGAGGGATGGGGCGGCTCCGGCGCGTAGCCCGCCTCCTTGCAGACGCGGACCGCGTCCTCGTCGCCGAGCCACGCCGCGCGGTGCAGCCACTTCTCCGCTTCCGCCGCGTCGCCGTCGGCTTGGGAAATGGCGTCCGCCAAAGCCAAACACCCTCTCGCATGATCTAACTCCGCGGCACTTCGATAAAACGCCGTGCCCACCTCCGGGTCCGCATCGAGATGCGGCGCCCGGCCTCCGTAGTACAGCACGCCGAGGGAAAAGGCCGCCTCCGAACTACCACGCACGCACGCGTCGTGCAGATAATCCAAACCCCGCGCGAAGGACGACGGCTCGCCCAGGACTTCCGGTGGGGCGTTCTCGAAGTGCTGCTCGCTCAGCCGTAGTGACGCCTGGGCGTGGCCCCGCTGCTCGGCCAGAATCCACCATCTTAACCCATCGCTCACAAACCCGTGGTCGATGCAGGCACTGCCGTAGATGTACTGGGCCTGCGCGGGCGGTCGCGTCGATGGCGTGCTGCCGGCGTAGACGCCATCGCCGCGACGCGTCGATTGGAGGACGCCGCCGCAAACCTCCGCAAACCCCTCGTCCACCAATAACAACAAATGGCGCGCCTGCTCCTCCTCCGACAGCACGGCCTCCATGGCCGCGAGCGCGAAGTGCGCCCGCGCGTCTCCTTTTTTTGCGCGTCTTCTACATACCACCGCGTGGGCCTCGGTCGACGAGTCGCGAGAGGGCCCCTCGACGCCCTTGCCGCACAACGGGCACTTCCGCTTGGATAACCGGTGCAGATCGAGTAAATCGGCACACCTCTCGCAGATCTGGCCGCCGCAGCACGCGTAGTACGGGTCCGCGACCGTCATCGTCTTTTCATTGTCGCATAGAGGACACGTCCCGAAGTCCTTCTTTATTTCCTCATCCGCACCATCTAATGCCGGACGCTCACGGTGCTTCGCCTGGTGCGGCAGCACTTCGTACGTTCTATTGTTTATTTTTAATTCGTAGGCGCTGCCCGTCCAGCCCACGACGTAGCCGTGCGCGCCTTTCGATAAGCCCTCCATCGGTTCTCTTAACTCCAGCGCGTCCCACAAAGACACATCGGTGTGCGTCTTCTCGGCGAATTCGGCCATTGGTGCGCTGCCCTTTTGTTATGGTAGCTCTATGTGGTGCTGGCCACTCTCGTACGTACGAGTGGACGGGCGCGTCGCAGGGGCTCCGGCGCGCGTCGAAGGCGTGCGTGCGGTCGACACGCTGCCTGGCAGCTGTACGAGCTTGTATGGGCTGCCGGTTTTGTCTTTTGTGTGGCCTCCCTAGTGTGTTACAGTCCGCTAGCCTACGCCGGGATTATGCAAGCGAGACTGCAGTGCCTTCGCGGGCCACGGGTCTCGTGTGTTAGAGAGGCACTCCCGACAAGGCGTAAAGATATATCGCGAACGCACATCAAGAAGCGCTCGGTGTGAAAATAACTTAGATCTCACAATCCTGTTTAGCCTATCGGCCTCGTCCGAGACCAAGGCCAAGGCGCGCAGCTGGCTCTCGTCGATCACGAAGTCGGGCGAGGACCGCGCCACCGAGGCCGTCGCGCCGCCCGCCGAGGCCCGCACCGTGGCGACGCCCGAGTCCAAGCCGCCGCCGATGTCGCGCGCCAAGTCCGTCCGCAAGGCGGCCGCGAAGCTGACGGGCATGTCTGGAGCGTGACTCGCGGCGTGAAGAATTATTCGGCGTACTAAGCGCGCGTCATTTCCTCGATGCGCACACAGGTTCTCCGGCAAGAAGAAGGCTGACGCGGTGCCGAAGGCCGACAAGGCGGCCGCCGCCGACGCCAAGGGCCGCGCGCCCACGACGGAGGCCGCGGCCGCGCCGGCGCCGGCGTCGACGAAGGAGGCCGTCATCGAGAAGGTCGAGGTCGCCACGGACAAAGCCGAAGCAGCGGCGGCCACGAAGGTCGACGAGGCCGCCGCCTCCGCGAAGACGGAGGCCAAGGAGCAGGTCGACGCCGTCTCCGAGAAGTTGGGAGTGGACGCGCCGCCCGTGTCGCTGGACGTCGTCGACGAGGCCGCCGAACTGACCAAGGGCAAGGTCGCCGAGGGCGGCGTCGCGACGACGGACGCGGTCAAGGCGGCCGTCGGCCCGGCGCAGTAGAGAGGTCGATGGCCCCGACCGTCGCGCGCAGGTCGAGGAGGGCGAGACGGTCGGGGCCACGCCGGACGGGGTCGAGGGCTTCGACTTCGAGGAAGGGATCGACGAAGGCGACCTGTCGCCGACGACGAAGACGAAGATCAAGCGCGGCAGGGCCACGCCGCCGCGGCACAAGCTCCCGATCCTCTTCTTCTGAACGCGACGCCTAACAACGAATTCACTCGATTATACCGTCCGGGCGCGCGGCCCGCGGGCGAGCTCACACTAAAGTCCCGCCCTTCTACAAGTATACAGTAGTAGACTACGGGTCCGTAGCGCGTGCTACGCGTCGCGGAGGCGTCACTCGGGCGGCGCCTCTCCTCTGCTCGACGATGGGGCGGCCATAGAGGCACTCCAAAAAGCGGCATCGATCGTCGGCGAAAGGCGCGCGTCGCATAAATCGAAGCACTGCGACCTAGAAAAAAGAGCGCTGCTTTTGCGCCGTGCGGTGCAACCGCAGCAGAGCAGCAGAAGACCAGGGAGAGCACCCCTGCGAAACCGCGCCGCTCGCGACGCGCGCGTACTTTGAAAGCGCAGCGCGACCCGGAAACCGCGCCGCAGCCGCAGCGCACGTGGTTACCTTGATAGCGCTGCACACGCACCCACAACGAAAAACACGAGCGACGAGCCACCATGACGCGCGGCGCCGCCGAAAGCAGGAGAGACGCGCACGCGAAACTGCAGCTCGCGAACCAGCAAGCGGCCGGCCGAAGATTCAAGTACCTCATGCAGCAGTCGGGCCTGGGAGACTTTTTTCGCGACGGCTTCTTCGAACGACCAGTGGAAGAACCTTCGTTGCGCGTCGAACCCCTGAACGTCGGCGACAAGCGACGAAAGAATTCGGTGGACGAGAAGATCACCGACGAACCGGATACTGTAGAGTTTTTGACCAAACAGCCGTCGGTCATTCAAGGCACGATGCGGCCCTATCAGTTGGCGGGTCTGAACTGGATGATCCGGCTGCGCCATAACGGCTTGAACGGCATCCTGGCCGACGAGATGGGTCTGGGCAAGACGCTACAGTCGATATCGATGCTCGGTTATCTGGAGGAGTATTCATCTGTGAAGGGTCCGCACCTAGTCCTGGTGCCGAAGACCACATTATCGGGCTGGCAGAACGAGTTCGCGAGGTGGCTGCCATCTCTCAAAGTTTTGAAGCTGCATGCTACTACCAAGGATGAGCGTACAGCATTGGTGCAGGAGCACTTCTCCGGCAAGCGGACCTGGGACGTGTGTCTCACGACTTATGAAGTGGCGACGATCGAGGTCCGTGTTGCTGCGTCGAAAACACGCCGTCGCGGCGGTGGCGTCGACGCGTCTCGCGAGAGCACCTACGCGTCTCGCGTCGATGGCGTCGTCACGCGACCGCGCCGCCGCGACGCAGGTCAACGCCCTCAAGAAGGTGCCCTGGCGCTTCCTCATCATCGATGAAGCGCACCGCATCAAGAACGAGCGGGCGCAGCTCTCGAAGACTGTCAGACTACTCAAGACGGAGAATAGACTACTCGTGACGGGCACGCCGCTCCAGAACAACCTCCACGAGCTCTGGGCGTTGTTGAATTTCCTACTGCCCGATGTGTTTGCCTCGGCAGAGAGATTTGACGAGCTGTTTAACTTGCAGTCGTCGGATCGGGACAAGACCCAGATGTTGGTGGAGCAGTTGCATCGATTGCTAAGGCCGTTCATGATTAGGAGACTCAAGGCAGATGTGGAGAAAGATTTGCCTCGAAAGACGGAAACTATATTGTTTACTGCATTGGCACCTATTCAACGGGACGTCTACAAGCAGTGCTTATTGAGGGAGATCTCGACGGTGCAAGGGTCGGCTGCGCAGAAAGCGCGCGGGCCGTTGCTGAATCTGGTCATGCAGCTCCGGAAATGCTGCAACCACCCCTACCTCTTTCCCCACGTGGAGGATCGGACGCTACCGGCTCTGGGGGAACACTTGGTTGATGCTTGTGGGAAGTTGAAAGTCCTGGATAAACTACTCGCTCGGTTGAAAGAGAGAAATCATAGGGTCCTTGTTTTTTCGCAGATGACGCGCATGTTAGATGTCTTGGAGGACTTCCTGGTGATGCGGTATGGATGCGGCGTCTTCATTTCGCGTCGATGGCGTCGTCGTGAGACCACGCGTCCCGCGCAGGGGCCACCGCTACGTCCGCGTCGACGGGTCCACGCCCCACGAACTGCGGGAGGAGCGCATCGAGCAGTACAACGCGCCTTCTTCGCCTCTATATTGCTTCCTCCTCAGTACGCGGGCGGGCGGTCTCGGTATTAACTTACAAACAGCAGATACGGTAGTATTGTACGACTCGGACTGGAACCCCCAGGCCGACCTGCAGGCCATGGACCGGTGCCACCGCATCGGCCAGACGAAGCCCGTTCATGTGTATCGACTCGTTACTGAACAAACGGTAGAGGAGAAAATTATCGAGCGGGCCCACCAAAAATTGAAGTTGGACGCGGTCGTCGTGCAATCAGGTCGATTGCAAGACGCTTCCAAAAAACTCCAGACGGCGGAATTACTGAAAGCTGTCCGCTTCGGCGCGGACAAGGTCTTCCGCGCGAACGACGAGCTGCGCGATGAGGACATCGACGCGATCATCGAACGAGGTAGGAAACGTACCGACGATATAAATAAACGGTTGGAGGAGGCGTCGAAGGGCGACCTGCTGGATTTCAAGCTGGACGGGGGCGTGAGTACGGTGTGGGAAGGTACTGATTATGCGTCGAAAAGAGTGACGCCCTTCCTCCTAGATACGGGCAAACGGGAGCGAAAGCAGACGTACAAAGCGGATATATATGCGGCCGAGAACGAGGTCGGGGAGTTACTAGGCGAGCCTGCTAGGAAACGTTCTTCCAAAGCCGTAGAACCAGAATATGACGACTCTGATATGCCCGAGGTGCTGCGGATGCCTTCCTTAGCTGACTTTCAATTATTTCCGGGTCAAGAACGCTTGAAACAGCTGCGCGACGTCGAGAGACGTCGGTTCTTAGCGTTAACAGACACGCCCGAGAAGAAGCGGGCCCTGTTAAGAGACGACGACGCGCTAGCTACGTTGGTCCTGTTGGACGCGGACGACGCCGAAGAGAAGGAACACTTATTGTCTCAAGGTTTTCCGGACTGGCACCGGGGCCACTTCCAGCAGTTCGTGAGAGCTTTGTCGAGGCATGGGCGCGATGACCTGGAGCGCGTTTCCGAAGACGTGTTTGGGAAGAGCCACGGAGAGGTCACGAGGTACAACGAGCGGTTCTGGAGCGAGGGTCAGAACCATTTCCCGCCCGACGAATGGGCGAGGCTCGTCAAGTCTGTAGAGAAGGGCGAGAAGAAGCGCCAGGAGATGACCGGGCTGCTCGAGGCGGCCCGGAAATTTGTCGGGCTGTTCTCGGAGACTCCGGAGAAGCTCGAGTTGCGCTTCAATCCCCCTGGGACCGCTGGCTTCCCGCCGACGACGGTCACGCGCCATGATGAAGAGAGGATACTACTGGAGCTGGTCTGCGAGCACGGCTACGGCGAGTGGCGGAAGATCCGGAGCGATTTCCGGTCGAGACCCGAATTCCAGTTCGACTGGTTCCTCAAATCATTAGATCCCGAGCAGATCGGGAGAAGGTGCGAGGTGTTAATTAGGTCTGCTGAGAGAGAAATGGCCGAGCTGCAGCGGAGACATGATGCCTATATAGATGCGGCGAAGGCTCTCGCTGCTGCACGAAAAGGTGCTCCTCGCGATCCTTCGACGGGGAAACCGTTAACCCAACCGCAACGCGTGGTCCAGATGTTCGAGCAGATGGTCGAGGATAAAAACAAGCAGGACACGATCCGCGAGAAGGCTAAGCAAGAGAAGAAGCAGAAGAAGCGGGCCTCTCCCGTGCAGCAGGCGGCGCCGAAGAAGGCCAAGGTCGTGCACGTGCCGCCGCCTCCTCCTCCACCGGCGCCGGCGCCGCCACCACCAGTGCCCGTGGGCCCGCCGCCGAAGCCTCCGCGGACCGCGCTTCGGTGCTACATGCGCAATCATGTAAGGGAATTGCGGCGGGCGCAGCCGGGCGCTTCCGAGGCGCAACTGAAAAGTATTCTGACGGGCATGTGGGCCGAGGCTTCTGACTCGGAGAGGAAGGAGATGGAGAGGCGGTCGGAGCTCGACAAGGTGCGGTACGAGCGCGAGGCGGCCGAGTACCGGTCGAAGGGGGGCGTGCTGCCGGGGGTGTAAGGTTTGGAGTTTTACGCTCGTCCTACCCCCCATCAATGCTGCATCCAACTACACAGCACTTGTATCCGTGGTACTGCCCGCCACCCAGCAGAAGCGGGTGTTCAGATTGCAAAGACGGAAGAAACAACAATCATTTGCTTCCAGTCATATTCCTCCCTCTCGCGTATGAGCTGGACCACACGCGACTTGCTGACAGGCGTCAGGGGCAGCGTGATGTTCTCCTCGATCAACAATTCGACACGGCATACGGCCATGTCTACCGCGCGGCGGCCATCTAAAAAGCCGCGGCAGAGGGCTTCTTCGAGGTCTGGAATCAGTAAGTCGACCATATCCCTCGGCATATGTACCTCCCAGACGTCCATTGTCACGTCGATTCGATCCGAGCGCCAGTACTTCGTCAGGATCGCGCGAAGGCCGTCCAGGCCGCCGATGACTTCAACGACGGTCGCGATGCTAATCGTACATCCGTCTGCGGGCCATCTGGAGTTCCGGGGACTCGGGGGCGGCGTCGCCGCGGCGCCGTCGTCGTCGGCGGCGAGGCTCATCTTCCGGAGGCCGCGGATGGTTTCCACGACGCTCATGATGGGCGGTTCGGTTTGCTGGCACAGGACCGACCCGTCGTTATGATGGGCCCTTAAAATTGTTTTCTTTGTCCAGACCAAAGTTTGAGTCACCTGCCAAGTCCCGGTCACCGTGACTTACGCCCTTATGGGTCAGTCGGGGTCGATACCGTAAGCAACTGCTCGCGCCTTCAACCGGGGAGCTCAAGCGAGCCCCCTTTTCAGGTGACCCGGAAATAGTAACCTAGCTCATAGACATGCTAGAAAACTAAATTAAGCCGCACCACAACCTCCAGCCGTAATAAAACAGGCTCTTATAGCCCAGCATCGATCCAACGTGTGGAACTAGCACCCGCAATCGCCACGGCAGCGCACTAAGCGCTGTGCCGCCTTTACGGCCCTCGGAGGCGCGCCTGGCCCACGAGAGAACGGAGCTGCAATTGGCCCGCTGAGGCGCCGCCGGCGCGCTCAATCGGGCCGCCGCGCCGCCGTCGGCGCGCTCATAGATGGTCCTCTCCACGCCGGTCATCTCCTACCGCAACTCGCCCCCTCTCAGCTACGGCGCGACGCCCCGTCGAATCATGGACCCACCAGCCGAACCAAAAGCCGCGGTCGTCGCCGCCGCCTTGCTAGGCTACGCCATCCTTTCGATAGCGATGACCTTGGCGTTTAAGGCCGCTCTCCAGGCCTTTCCGTACCCCGCGTCACTCGTGGCAGCGACCTTCGTCGTGGAAGCTGCTCTCGTGAAATCCGCGGAATGCGGCGCAAGAGCCGCAGCTTGCGTCTTCCCCAAGGAGGAAACAACAGAGACGAAGCGCTGTTGCGTCTTCCCCGACGAGACCGATAGATTACTCATGTATGTGGCGTGCTGCGTCGGCGCGGAAGTAGCCTTGTCCAATGCCGGATTACTACTCCTCTCGGTAGCCACACATACGATGATCAAGGCCTGCACGCCCGTGTTTGTCTTGGGCGCCGGTCTGGCACTGAAGCTCGAGCCGTGCCGCTGGTCCTCCATACTTATTGTTTTAGTTATCTGCGCGGGTACTATTCTCTGTTCACCAGGCGTCGCGGATCACCATCATCACGGGAAGGACTCGTTACTAGGCGTCTTGCTGACGGTATCGGGTGGCGCCGTCGGTGGCCTGCGGTGGGGCCTGACACAAAAGGCCTGCCAGAAAGGTGTGCGGGTGAAGCCCACCGAGTTGGTAAGGAGGACGCTGCCGACGTCGGCCGCGTTCTTGGTCTTAGTCGCTGGTTTACTTGATGCGCGGCGGTTGATACGGACACCAGGTAGCGGTGACCTCGCACAAAAAGCATTGGGTGCCGCCTTGGCGTTGGCGCTCGGCGGCTTGGGTTTGTTGACGGTCGAAGTCACATTGGTAGCTTTGACGTCGTCGCTCACGCTGGCCGTGGCCGCGGTCGCGAAGGAATTGGTACTAATTGGGGTCTCGATCGGTCTCCTGAAGAACGACGTCGCTCCCTCAGGGTACGGGGGCTTCGCGCTGACGGCGAGCGGGGTCTTGGCCTACAACGTCGAGCGCTATAAAAGAAGGCGGCCGGCGCCGCCGCCGCAACAAATCTACGAGCAGGTCGACCTGCGGCCGCCCTCGCTCGTGTCCGTGCCTCCAATGGATGACGCAGAGCTGGCGTGACAATTCGTTTCGAGTACTAGTGTAACCTTATCTTCCGTTTACCTTTAGCACGCCGCCGCCGCTGTCTATTGTTACGGTGCTAGGACAAGTGCCTGGGGGATAGACCTGGGGGGGGGGGAGACACCGCGCGTCGCTGATGATTCATCGGCGGCGGGCGCGTGCCGCGTTTTGAGGCGTCCGCGGCTTTGCTTGCTAGTGTCTTACAGAACGGCCCTTCCTTTCTCTGCGTCGGAGTGCCTGGCGCGGAGTCGTCCGCGGGGCCTCGAGGAATTTTTTTTTTTAACTCTGCCCAGAGCTGTGCCAGACTGGCCCCGCCGGGGCAGCCCAACGATGCTCGCTGTGGCCTTATTCATCGCGGCTGGACCGCCCAACGCGTGGGCGCTGCTGGTCCCAGCCCGCAGGGTGACGAGGGGCAGCAATCGGATCCTGAGCGAGGCCACCCTTGCGCAGCTCAAGCTTGTCGCCTCCGACGCCGCGGAGGGCGCCCGCTTCGGCTACTCCGTGGCCATCGACGGGGACACGCTCGTGGTTGGTGCCTACGCCATGGATAGTGACACTGGCTCGGTCTACGTCTTCCGCACGAGCGACGGCGGCGCCACTTACGGCCAGGTGGCCAAACTGACGGCCTCCGACGCGGCGGGCGACAAGTTCGGCTACTCCGTGGCGGTCGTCGACGGCGCCACCATCGTGGTCGGGGCCCCTAACGGCGAAGCCGCTTACGTCTTCCGCACGACAGACGGCGGCGCCACGTACGACGAGATTGCCAAGCTAACGCCCTCCGACGGCGCGGCGGGCTTCTTCGGCGGCTCCGTGGCGCTCGCCGGCGGTACCGTCGTGGTGGGGGCCTATGCAGACGACGACGGCAGCTTTTTATCGGCTAAGACTAAATCGGGCTCGGCCTACGTGTTCCGCACGAGCGACGGCGGCGCCACGTACGGCGAGGTAGCCAAGCTCACTGCAAGCGACGCCGCGAAGGACGACTACTTCGGCTACTCTGTGGCCATCGACGGCGCCACCATCGTGGTCGGTGCCTACTACTACGGCTCTAACAACTGGAAGGGCTCAACCTACGTCTTCCAGACGAGCGACGGCGGCGCCACGTACGGTCAGGTGGCCAAGCTAACTGCCAGTGACGCAGTGGCGGGCGACTACTTCGGCTGGTCCGTGGCGGTCGACGGCGCCACCATCGTGGTCGGGGCCCCTAACGGCGAAGCCGCCTACGTCTTCCGCACGACCGACGGCGGCGCCACGTACGACCAGCTGGCCAAATTGACGGCCTCCGACGCCGCGGAGGGCGACCGCTTCGGCTGCTCTGTGGCCATCGACGGCAACACCGTCGTGGTCGGTTCCCCTCATGACGACGACGCCGGCGCCTGGTCGGGCTCGGCCTACGTGTTCCGCACGACCAACGACGGCGCCACGTACGGGCAGATGGCCAAATTGACGGCCTCCGACGGCAATATCGGCGACTACTTCGGCTGGTCCGTGGCGATCAGCAACGGCACCGTCGTGGCCGGAGCTTATGACTACTACGGCTCGGGCTCGGCCTACGTCTCCTCACCTCAGCCAACGCCCACGGCCCAGCCAACGGTGTCGCCCCAGCCAACGTCCAACGCGCTCGGGTCGGACGCGGCGACGCGGACGGGTCCGCTCCTCGCCCTGCTCGTCGCCGCGGTCCTCGCTCTCTAGCCGCGCCCGTCCACGCGCCGCGCGCAATTCCCCTCGGGCCTCTCGTACCCCGAGTCGCCCTCCCCCATTGTTTTCCCGTCGTGTACATTCCCTAGTGTCTTAACATGCCGCTAGCAACTTTTTTTGCGGACTGGCAGCATTTGGTCATGAGCAAGCCATGATCGAAGCAACTGCCGCAGCATCGTACCATTGACCGACGCACGCGTGTGCAGGGAAGGGCTGCCCGAGACGATGCGCACCCTAGGCTGGCTGCCACTGCTGCTCGCCTCCGCGCACGCCCAGCCGTCGCGCGCCGCGCCGCCGATGCGCTGGCTGCCACTGCTGCTGCTCTCAAGCGCAGATGCGCAGCCGTCGCGCGCCGCAAACATAGCGGCGGATTTACTGAGGCGCTCGCCCCTCGCAAGAGCGTTCGCCGCCGAGGCGCCAAGGCGCCAAGCCGCGCTGCAGAACTACGTCCGACAGCTCGCGAACTGCGGCCAGAGCGACACGAGCCTGTTCGTCGTCTACCACGGCGTGACCCACTTAAATGGATCGGTGTTTGAAGACCAGCGAGCACGCGGTGTAAGGGTCGCGGGTGATGTGGTGCGAGACGCCTGCGACTTTGACCTGGGCGCGTTCACGGAAATACTGGAACCGGACTCGTTCTACCAGACGTTGATGAGCGAGCATGCTGCTTTGATATTACTAGGATTGGCAGCGAAACCAATAGCCGCGGCTACTGGTTCATCTAGATTAGGCACGTGCTCGTGGAAAGCCCGGTTGAAGGGCCGGCCCGTACCCTGCGACTCGTTACAAAACCTCCCATCGTCCACGCCACGCTCTCTAATATACTGGGGCCCGGGCGGCCTCGGCCCGCCCGCCACACCTTTAGCTGAGACGCAGCGCTGGGTCGCTCGGAAACAGGTGAATGGGGAAGATTTAATGCAGAGGACCCTGAGACGATTTTTCAGGGAGGTCTTTGGGTATGACGCGGATCCCGCTTTGTTAGCTGACGCGCCACCGGGGACCCCGCCGCTGCCGTGGTCGAACTACTTTGTGGCCTCACCAGACCTCTGGGAAGAAATCGCGCGGTTTGATCTCGTGGCGTCGGTCTGGCTGGACGCGACCTACCCTCCCACAACAAAAGGCGAGGAGGGCTGCCCCGCGACCTACGACGCGTTGCGACGGAAAGGTGTATTAGCGAGGGCGCGCGTCGAGCCGGAGTGTCGGTATTGTCGGGTGCCGCACTGGACGAACTGGAACCGGTGCCGCGTCGGCTGCCACCGGTGCTGGTCTTATGTGTTGGAACAGCTGAACGTCATCTACTTTCGCGCGCTGACGGACTTGGCGTACGTCCACGACGACGCGGCTTGTGCTGCGCCGAGGCGCTGGGCGGCTCCGTCGTCAGCGTTGGGGGACTTCTCTCCGTCGTTCGTCCGCGAGGTCTACGAGGGGCTCGTCGGGGGCGGCGCGTAATTCACGAACTCCACTTTCTAGTGTCTTTACAGGCCGCTAGCCGGCTTCCAATACTCAGCGCTCCACGCGGAGGGTCCCTACACCCTCAGAGCGCTTAGAGACTCGCGTTGCGCTTTTTTCACTGCGCCCTGTGCCTGGCTTGCCGCCGCCGAGCTCTTTAGCGCCGCCGTCACCGCTCCCGACCGACCTCAGAGACACTCTGCGCGTTCTCCTCGTTCTCCTGCGCCGCCATGGCCGCGGCGGAGAGCTCTGAAAGCTCTGAAGACGAAACACTGCCCGTCGCGCAGCTGCGCATCGTGCGCCCCGCCGGCCGCGGCGCGACCGACCTGACGCTCCCGTTAAATGCAAGGGTCGCCCTCGTCAAAGTAAAACTAGAAGACGAACTGGGCGTGCCCGAGGCCGACCAGCGCCTCATCTACGGCGGCAAGGTTTTAACAGACGCGCAGACGCTCGAAGACATCGTAGGAGCGAAAGAGGGCCGCCAGACGTTCCACCTCGTCGTCCCGCCGCCGCCGCCGGCCCCGGCGCCGCCGCCCGTGGACTTGGATACATCGCCGGAGGCCCAAGCGCCGGCCCCGGCGACGCCGCCGCGGCCAACAGCCGTCGCTCCGCAAGCGACGCCGCCGCGACAACCACAGACAACTCCAATCACCGTCTCACCAGCAGCTAGGGCCTACGCCGAGGCCCTGCGCAACTCGGGCTTCGGAGCGTCACCACGGGACGCGACGCGGCAATTTGTCGAAGACGCGAGACGCGCGCTCGCGGCTTCGCAACCGCCCGCCCAGCAACAGCCAGAACCGCAGCCGCACCTCTGGGACCATATCCGAGATAACGAGTTCTTGGATTGGACGCTGATGCTCAAATTGCTAGCGGGAGTCGCGTTGTTAGGTCAAGATGCCAGTCGAGGTAGAGTTGCAGGTCTAATAGGCGCGGCGACCGCTGCTTATGCTGTCCAAACGGGCCTAGCCTACGCATTGTGGGAGCTTTTTTCTTCCTCAAGACCTCAAAGAAGGCGCTCTTCGCAAGGTTATAGGGTGCGGTCCGCGGGCGAGATTATTCGGGCTTCGTTTGATGGTACGATCCACGGGCCTAGGGATGGTGGTAGATTGGCGGACTTCGGGCTGTTGGTGGCGTCCTTGGTATTGTCACTGGCGCCGCCGTGGCGGCCGCGCGACCGCGCCGACGTTTTATTATTACGCGTGCGCGACTCGCTATCGAACCAGATCGTCTGGTTCAAGGTCAAGACCACCACAAAATTCGGCAAAGTGTATCGGGCCTTCGCCGCGCGGCAGGCCGGCGACGGGCCGCAAAGGGCGTGGATCTTTAGCGTGCCGGGCTCCACTGATCCTATCTCGGAGGACGCGACGCCCCTTGAATTAGGATTGACGCCAGAGTCGATCCTTGAGGCGCGCCCGGCGCCCGCCGACGCGGCCGCGGCGCCCGCCGAGCCCGCGGCCGCTGCGGCGCCACCCGCCGAGCCGGTAGCCGCCACGTGAGCTGCCGCGGAGTAGTAGCCGCTTAAGCATACGTGACAAGACTCTGAGAGCCAACCATATTAGGCGATCGTGGCGGCTAGGCGGCCTAGCTCTAAGCAAAGCATATTAAAACTGTTACCCGAACTCCCTACTCTCAAATTTCGATTCATCAAAAAACGCCGCCGCGATCTTCTGGCCCGCAAAAAACCTTCCTTCCAAATCTACGAGAGCCTTCGCCGCCGCCCGCCGCTCCGTAAACCGGATATACACGGCCGCCTCGCCTTCTAATGCATCAACCGCATGGGAAGAATCCACGGTACCGTACTTGCCACATTCCGAAGCGATCTCTTCCCGCAGCTGCTCGAAGTCCTCGTCGGCGTCCCCCAAGTTCCGCAGCTGCAGCACGCGCGTCGGCTTTGACTTTTTCTTGGTCGCCGTCGCGGCCGGCGCCGGGGGAGGCTTCTCCGCCGCCGCCGCCTCCGTCGCCGCCGCCTTCATCCACGCCGGCAGGTTCGAGACGCCACCTCGACCGCGCCCCATGCCGCGCCCCGCGGACGCCAGCGCCGCGGCGTCGCCCTCCATAGCTTTTTTGGCGAGGTCCCGTCGTTCCTCCGCCAGCCGTTCCTGCTCCCTCTCCAATCTTTCTAAATGTTGTTGCCGTTGTCTTTCTCTCCTTTCTACCGTACGCATCAGTTCCTTGCGTTTCTGGATCTCCACGTAGTCGTTGGGGGCCGCCGGGTCATAAGGGTCGTCGACGCGCTCCTCCACATGTGATGGTGTTTGGGCATTCACAGCAAAACCAACGGGGTCGCTCTCATTGTGCTCGGTCAGCTTCTTTGTCAGAGCTTCATCTCTCGCTTGCTTCGTTTCCGTAGTTGAGGTCCACTGGCCGCTCGGTGCGGCGGTCTTTGTAGTCGGTGCGACGACTTTTCTTGTTAATGAAGCGGGCACCATCGGGGCTGCTTTTTTTGCAGCGGGCTGGCCTCGACCTCTCCCGTCGAGATTGCCGCCTCTACCTCTACCGCGGCCATCGAGATTGCCGCCCCGGCCGCGTCCATCTAAATTGCCGCCCCTGCCGCGTCCCTTGGCCTGCGGCACGCGGCCGCCCCTCGCGCCGCCGCGGCCGCCCTTGACGGGCTCCGGCAGGCCGCCGAAGAGGTCCATTGCTGCTCGCCTGCCCTGAGGGGTGGGTCTGTGTCTTTGCAGATGAGCCGCGCTCTGCAGCTGTGGCCGTCAGCGATTGGTACAGCACTCGTCTGCGTGTTGCGCAAGCCTTGAGGCTACTATGCGGCCCTTTTGCTCGCGGCGGCGGAGGCTGCTAGCGTCCTGTAACACACTAGCAAGCATGCAACAAACTCACTGTGAGGCATTTTAGCACTGGTACAGCTCAATTGCCATATCAAATATATGCGTTATAGTTCGTTTATTGATGCGAGCACGGCTGAGTAGTCGCAGCCAAGCCGTATTGCTGTGGACAGTCTCGCCTCCTTTTTGGAGCCAGCCTTGTCAAGGCTGCGCACTCGCATTGGTGGCCTTTGGTTCGTAAAAGTACTGTACCGTAGTAGTAGTACAAATTCTGCCTCTCCTGAGATCGATGACAGAGCATTCACGCGCAGCTGAAAACGCGGCCGCGCGTGCCGACGAAAGAGAAGCCCTGAGTGCGATATTCGACGGTATCAGCCTGACTGACGAAATAGTAGAGGCATCGCTCGACCTCGACGCCGGCGACGACGACGCGACGTTGTTCGAGCCCGGCGATAAGGCGGTTCTGCGGTTTGCACTATCACCCGCATACCCCTTGGACGCACCGGCGACGGCGTCCGTGGCGTGGGCGACGGCCTACCGCGTGCCCAGCAGTATCAAGGACCACGTCGAAGCTGCCGTGGCAGCGGCGCTCGCCTCCTCAAGTGGAGACGCTGCGATTTTCTCGGCCGTCGCCGCGGCCAACGATGCGTTAAATGAAGAGGCCGAGCGCCACGCGGCGGCCTACGCGTCGTGGCGCTCCGCGGCGCCGCCCGTGACCTCGCGCGAGACAATAGTATGGGAGGGCACGGAGCTCACAAGAAGGCTCATCTACAGCCACCACATCATCGCGCCGTCGAAGCGCGCGGGCCTGCGCGAGTGCGCGCAGATTTTAGGAGTGACGACCCTCGTCAAAATCGGCTGGCCCGGGGCGATTTGTTTGGAAGGCCCCAAAGACCGCGTCGACGCCTTCGTGAACCACATCACGAGGTGGCGGTGGAAGCAATTGGCGGTGCGCGGCGAGCAGGACGCTGAAGAACGCGCATTGCCGCGAATCTTCCTCGAGACCTCGGACATGTCGACCTTCGCCGGCCACCTGAGAGCTGCCGGTTTACAAGAGCTGTTTCTAAGACTGTTTAAGTAGCACTCCCCCCTAGAACTACTCGAACTCGAAGTCGTCGTCCGCCTCGGCGCCGATCTCCAAAAACGCCCTATCCTCGGCGTCGAAGATCGCCTCCGCGTCGGGCACCCTAGACCAGTCCGCCTTGTCCGTGCCGTAGACGGCCTTCGCGACCTTCCGTAATGCCTGGGCCCGGGCCTTGTCCCTTGCGCTTTCGAGAGACAGCCGCGCGACTAACGAAGGCGCCTTCTCCCGAGCCTTATCTAATCTAGCTTTGTTCTTCCGCAGCTGCCGCCGGAAGTCGCGCCTTGCTGAACGGGCCGCCTCGGCCGGGTCCATGGCCTCCCGCCCTTGCGTGATTTTCAGGTCCTTGGCCAGTCGCTTCGCCGCTAGTCGCAGCTTCTCGTCTCTTGCAAATTGTTCGTCGCGTTCCTTCTTCTCCCGATCCCTCTGGGCTTGCTGCTTTTCCCGGATAGCTTGCGCTTTCAAGTAAGAAGAGTAGGTCTGCCTCGTCGTCTCCAACCGATTCGCCGTAGCCCGAGCTAATCTCCGGACCCGCTTCTCTCTCAATAAATTTTCTTGGGCCTCCATGTCTTCGGCCGCGGCTCGTTCGCGTCGAGCCTTCTCTTCTGCATGTTTCCGCCTTCGCTCCTCGTGGGCTTCTCTACGTTTAGCGAGGGGATCGACGGGAATCGTGCCGCTCCTGCCGACCTTCTTGCATCTTTCCAGCGTCTTGCGCCAGCGCGCGTGTTCTCTGTCTAGACGAGCGGTGATCTCCTCCGGAGTCTCCGAAACCTTCTTCTTCTCCTCTGCTTTCCAAGCAACTTTGGTCTCCAGCCGAGCAGGAGCGGTCTCGTTCAATGCTGGTTTCGTAGTAGTATCCGTAGCCTTGGCCGCCGTCCTTTCGGCGTCCCGCTGAATACGAGCAATCCGATCCAAGTCCGCCTCGGCCTCCTGCTTGCGGAAACTATGCGTTGACTTCGGCAGGGGCTTGGCCTTGAACTGCGCGCACTCGTTGAGCGACTCGAGCTCCGCCTGGCGCCGCGCGTAGGCCTCGTCCCGCCTCTTATTCTGCTCCTGCTGGTGGCGGTCGACGCCCTCGAAGCCTCGCGGTTTCAAGCCTTGAGCTGTCGATAACAAGATCTCCCGGGCGCGCTCGTCTCGTCTCCGGAGCTCGTCCTCCTTTTCCCTTTTTTTACGTTCTTCGCGCTCCTTCTTCTTCAGTCGCAACTGCACATCATTCTCGAGGTTGTAGAAGGGCTTGGGCTGCGTCGTGGTGCCGGACCAGGACCGCCTCATCCTCGAATCGCGCTTGGGACTTCGGGAGCGAGGCCGCGCGGATTGCGGTCTTCGGTTCGAATCGCGCATGGCGCGTTTCCGCGCAATGGACTGGGCCGTCGCCGGTCTTCCTCGCGACTTCCTCTGTCCTAGGGCTCTGTTATACCTCTTGCGGACGTCTCTCAACTCCGCGACCGTCCTTAGGAGCTCCTGCTTGTCTCTCGTGCCGTCCAACGACTGGACCTTCTCCTCCAAGGCGGCGACCTCCTCGAACAGGGCCTCGGTCTCGAGCTCGCCGTCGGACTCAGACTCATACGCATCCTTGTCGCGGCGGCTGTAGCTCCTTCGGACCAGTTCATCGGCCATCGTTTTGTGTAGCGTGTGTGGGGCTGCCCTCGGGGCTTACGCTGCGCGCCGCGGTCGTCCCGAGGCCGTTCTCCTGTGCGTCCGGGACCGCTCAACTCCCGCAGCTCCTCCGCGGGCAGCGGCACACGCGTGCTCGAGCTAATAACGAGCTGTGTGTCGGGCAGCAAACTGGCAGCCAACCGTTGGGCGGGGCCCGGGGGAATACGGAGCGGGCCGCGACGCCGTCGCCGCGACGCCTCGGCGCGGCCGTCGACGCCTAACCGGGGGTGGTCGGGCGGTCCTGCGACTCACGTGTCCACGCGCGCGAGTCAGCCACACGCGACGACTCCGTGCGATGACTAGACGCGATTAGACGACGACGACGACGACGTCGCGATGACGTCACGAGCACTGACAACGAGCGAACCCCACGGAACAGGCAGCACTATTTCACAGAAAATCCTTAGAGCTCGCCGCACTGCGAGATCAGCACGGGCAGCTTCGGCTTATTATCCGAACCGGCCTGGACGGCCTCGATCTTGTGCACGACCATCATGGAGACGGCGTCGAGCACTTTCCCGAAGACGACGTGCTTCCCGTCGAGCCACTCGCACTTGCCACAGGTAATAAAAAACTGACTGCCGTTCGTGTCCGGTCCACTATTCGCCATGGACAGCAACCCCGGCCCGGAGTGCCTCAGGTTGAAATTCTCATCTGCGAATGACTCGCCATATATGGAAATACAGCCCGTCCCGTCCCCTTTGAGAATATCCCCCCCTTGGATCATGAACTCCTTGATGACGCGGTGGAAGGGCGTCTTCAAGTACCCGGCCGGCTGCGAACCTCGCGTGAACTCGCCGGTGCACATCCTCCGGAAATTCTCCGCGGTTTTTGGCGTCTCGTCAGAAAAGAGCTCCATCTTGATGCGGCCACTGGGAACTCCACCTATAGTAATGTCGAAGAACACCACCGGATTCCCTCGCGCGATGGCGTCCAACACTATCGGGTCGGCCATGGTGACGCTCATGGTTGCTAGTCAAAGTGCGTCGGCGGCTGTTTTACAGTTACGGCGCAGCGACGGCGTGCGGCGATCTGTATCGCGCGGCGCCGTCGCTTACGGCGCTACGGCGCTGCGACGTGTGCGGCGATGTATCACGTCGCGCGGCGTACGCAGCGACGCGGGCAGTGGGCACAGCTTGGCAGCGACTTCGATTCACGCCACGCAATTGCTGGTGCTTGCTCACAGCTGCAGCGAGACACGGGAAAACGAATCCTATCGAGCGCAGGACCGCCGAGCGGTCAGCTAGCCAGCAATCCTGGCCTTGGCGCGGGCTAGGCTATAGACATACTAGCGAATCCCCGGAGACTTTCTTGGGGCCACACAGCTCACAATTGGGGTGCTTGCTGACTGGCGGAACGGTCGCATTTGTCACTGGGCTATAGCATCTTGCGGCAGCAGAACAGAAATCCGATCTCGCGCCGTCCGCCAGCGTAAAAACCACATTGGGCCGCCGCGGGAGTTTCGGCCCGCAAAAGACGCCGTCGAAGCGGCAAAAGAAAGATGTTCGCCGCCCTGAAGGAAGCAGCCAGCCAATTAGCCGAGAAGACGGAGGAGGGCGTCGGCTTGCTAGCTACGCATCTCTCGGAGGAAGGGCGACACAAATTACGTTTAGAGAGGGAAGCCGCCGAAATTGAGAGGAGGAACGAGGAGAGCTGTCGAGTCGGATTCGCTGGTAAAAGAGCGGTCTGGTTCCGCGACTGGAAGCGCGACCTCGGCTTTTACGTCGAGAATCATCACTCTTTGATAGCAGCTTTTCGCGGCCACGCGCTACACCCGTTCAGCCGCGCTCATCGGGCGGCGCACGTCTTCTGCGTGCTGGGCCTCAACGTCTTCCTCGCGGCGTGCGTCGCACAGCGCTACCCGCTGCTGAAAGATCCAAATCATTATTTGGCTGTCGCATTGGCCGCGTTCCTGAACATTATTTATGATCAAATTTTGAAGATCCTGGCGTCGGCGCCCTGCGCGGAGAAGGGCGGCTGCTGCGACTGCTTCTGTTGTCGAGATCTATGTCGTGGTTTAGGCTCGATCTCGCTGTATCTAGCTTTAGCGGCGTCGTTGTGCGTCGGCGCTCTGGGCTGCGTCCTGGCCTACCAATTACCACCTTCCACGAAATTCTTCACGATCTTTTGGGTCGTGAAGGCTTTGGCCTGGTCCTTCGAGCTCCTCACGCTGCTATTTTCGTTCTACCGGAAGCGGGAGCAACAACGGCCGTTCTGGGAAGGGAGCTTGGAGGGCGACGCCTACCCCTACCAAGGGTTCCCGCACGTCGACTATTTGGAGGATCGGCGCGACGACGCCGACGCGGCGGCGGCGGCGCGGCGGGGCAAAGAGAGGGAGCGCCGCGAGAACGAGAAGCGGCGCAAGGAGCAGAAGCGGGGCGTTTATAGGGACGAGGTCAAGCCCGGCGACGTCGAGAGTGGCGGGGGCAACCCGTTCCTGGCGGCGCACGAGTCGGCGGCAGTGCGGCACGACCCGCTCGACGAGTTGGGGTCGCGGCGGCGCGTCGGGGGGGGCTTCCCCTGATTTTTGTGTTGTGTAATCAGTCATCTTGATATCCGGAGCGACCAGGCTTGGCCGGCTTCGTGAGACAGGACTCGTGGGTACTTTGGCGATTCGTCGGCGGCGGGCGCGTGCGTCTTTCTTAACAGCGTACATCCTTCTAAGCAAGCAGAATCGCCTCGGCAAAGCCCCCGAGCAATGCGTCTACGGTGCTAGGCGGCAAGCGCCTAAAAGGCTAGTGTGTCTATCGACGCTAAGGTGGCTCGAGCCAAAAAAAGTGAAGCCGACGTGTGCTGGCTTAGTCGGCCGCGTTTCATAGATTCGGGGCTGCGGGCATCACCTCTACTGCTGTCACCACTGAGTCTGCATCGCTAGCTGCATGCACGCTCTCTAAACTCAAAATAATACACAGCACCACAGCTGCAAGCCGCGGCAACCCAAATACAGCATCCGTCGCGTCCGGCGGTTATAAATACAGCAGCCACCACAGCTGCAAGCGCCGCGGCCACCGCGCGCGCCAAACACAACAACGCGTCGCGTCAGGCGGTTCATGAGCCGAGTCAGGCAGCGGAGTCCCCGCAACAGCGTCGACGGCGACGACGACATGAGCACGGGGAGCGCGAGCCCGGCGCCGCTGCTGCCCTCGTCGACAAAAGACGTCACACCGAGCAAGGAGGGCTTCTCTCTACTCAAAGGCGCCTTACTCGCGGGCGTCGTCGTGCAGAACGCCGCCTTAAATGTGACGGCGAGGTGGTCGAGGGTGGAAGCTTTGCATCGGGAAGCGCGCGGCGAGTGCCACGCGTCGCCCGGCGCCGTCGTATTAGTTATTGAGCTCATGAAGATTGTATTAGCTCTTGTACTCCTAGCAGTAGAAATCAAAGGCAACCCAGTTATCTCTGTCATGAAAACAACAGTAACGCACCCTCTGGACTGCCTCAAAGTGATCGTGCCGGCCGTGTTGTACGTCATCCAGAACCAGTTACTGTTAGTAGCAGCAGCAAATTTGGAAGCACCTGTACTCGGCTTATTTGGCCAATTAAAAATACTGACGACAGCACTGTTCTCCGTAGCTCTACTGGGCAGAACGTTGGGGAAGAGAAGGTGGGTCGCCCTCGTCGTATTAACCGCAGGAATAGCCACGGTCCAAACGTCGCAGATGCACTCGGACGGTTCCGGCGACGCGGGTGAGAAAAATGTACCGTTAGGGCTGATGATGATCTCCGTCGTCGCGTCGTTGTCAGGCTTCGCGGGCGTGTATTTTGAGAAGGTGCTGAAGGGGTCACCAATATCTCTGTGGACGCGCAACGTCCACCTCGCGCTGTTCTCCGTGGCGACGGTCGGATTGCAAGTCGTTTCCGGTGATTTCGAGGAGGCCTGCCCCCATTCACTGATAGAGTACTTAGTACAAGGTCTAGGACCCGTGGCCTGGGCCTACGTCGTCATCCAAGCGGCGGGCGGCTTGTTAATTGCGGCGGTCATCAAGTACGCGGACAACATTCTGAAGGCGTTCGCTACTTCAGTTGCTATTTTAGTCATTGCCCTGGTGTCGTCGATGTTCTTCGGCTTCGCGCTGTCGTCGCTGTTCTTCCTTGGGGCATCTGGAGTCATCTACTCCATCTTCCTGTACGGGGATTTGCTCAAGGACTTGGGGCCCTGCGGGAAATGTCCTTCGTGGTTAGGAGGCCTGGAGCGGCCGAGTACTCCGCGGGGGGTTTAAAGTGTGCGTGACATATACCAGGTTAAAGTTAGTTAGACTTGCGTCGATGGCGTATGAGCTCTACGCCATCGCCGCGACGCGCCACGCAGTCGACCCGCGCAGGCCGCCACCACAAGACGGCGCCGGCGCGGCAATGTCACGGGCCCGCGCTCGTCCAGGCCCCGCCCGCGACACTATGGACCCACCGCAGCCGCGCGTCTATTAGTGAAACGGCATCCTCACCAACAACAGCGACCGCGGTTTCCCGTGATGGATTTTCATTGAGGGCGGCGTCGAGCTGATCAGCTAAAGGCGGCGCCATTAAGACGACGGCGTCCGCACCTATACAGTGCTTTTTGTCCGCGAACCGTCGAGACGTGTACCATCTACATAAACACAGCGGCTTCCGATCGAGCTTCCGTCTAGAGACCGCACAACGACCCCTCCAAATATCATTCACGATGAACTCTATATCGGAAGGTTGCAGATCCAACCAATCACAGGCATCGGGCCTCGCTGAATCACCGAGTTCCCGCCGCGCCTCCCTTTTGCGAAATGCCATGAGCATCTTCTCTCGTAACTTCTTCGAAGTGGGCTCGCAGACTTTGGGGCAGACGGGCTGCCCCGCCAATGAACAAAGAGCTGTGGCAGCTAACGCATGACCAGCCATGGCCGGTGCCGCCCCCAGCACCGGCAACACCCTCACCCGGAAGTGGTCGACATCGACGGCGCCGAAGTTCTTAGCACCTTCCTTGACCTGCTCGTCGGTCAACGGTAGCAAGGTACAGCGGGGCGGCTCGTGACTGTAGACGCACGTCACGTCTAGAGCTGGAGACGACTCCGCCCGTTTCGACGGATCCAACGCTAATTCAGCGCCGCCGTAGTCCACGCCCTTGCCCCTTAAAACCCACCGCAGCTTCGTCGCGAGGGGGTCGTGGATCGCGTCCCTCAAAGGCGCGACGCACCAGCGCGTCGGGTCGGCCTTGGCGCCGGCCCCCATGGCCGCCAGCGCCTTTATTTGCTTTTCGCCGCACGCCTTTAACAGAGATGCTTTGGTCTCGACGTCGTCGATGCAGTCGATAACGAGGTCTAATTTGTCACCGGCCAAGTCTCGTAGCAAGTGATGAGCATTTTTGGCGGTCACCATCTCCGCTATAGGATCGACTTCGACGAAGGGCGTGCAACTTTCGGCGAAGCGCTTCAGACATTGTACTTTCGACTCGCCCACATCCCCTAAAGTGGCTACTGCATGTCGGTTCAAAGAAGACGCCGACACCTGATCAAAGTCCACGATCCTCACCGCCTTGACGCCGGCCCTCATTAACATAACAATGCAGTGGCTTCCGACGCCGCCGGCGCCGAAGACCGCCACCCTCGCGTTTCTTACTTTTGCGTGCCCGTCGCGGCCGAAAAACGCTTCGTGTCTGCTCAGCATCTCGTCCACCACGGCCGGCGGTAGGTCTCGCTTCACTGCTATTTGATCCTTCAGGCGCGTTTCATCTGCTGTTAGGAGGCGTAATATTCTCAAGAGAATTGGTGACCGAGAGGCGTGCTGGTCGAAGCGCGCTCTGTATAATCTTTCTCTGAGCTTCGCTATTACGAATGGTCTTAATAATGCTGCTAGTGCGGCGCCGCCCGCGGCGCCAGCGGCGACGAGTAATGCGTCGCGGTTGCTGCGCATCGCTGCCACTTTGGTGCAGTTGCCGGTGTGCTCCTCACAGCTGCCGCACGCGTGCGCGATCGATCCGTAGTATTGATGTCAGTGTCTGCAGCTGCTCTGGGGCGCTGCACGCTGCTTGCGGTCGTGTCTCCGTTTTTGCAGCTAGCGTCCTGTAAGGCACTAGCAAGCACAACTCGACGACGCGCCAGCAGTTTGTTGCGAATTGTTACGCCTCTGCTCAGGTTAGGGGCGCACGAAGAATCTCTGCGACCGGTGCAAGCGGCCGACGCGAGACGCAGCCGCGGCTTGCACGTCCACGCCACCCTTTGCAACTCCTGCTGCAGCACACCACCAAAGCAAGCAAGCGCGAAGCCGAACAGCGCACCACAGAGCGCTTTGGCACCTCCAGCAAGCCGCCACCCACGCGCACGTAGACGAACCGCGTAACCATGCGCACGCTCATCCTCACCCTCGTCGGCCTCTCGACGCTCGGCGAGCTCGCCGCCCTCGCGGCGCCGCCTTCATTAAGGAGGCACCACAAGCACCTCGCGCCAATGCAACACCCGTCCCTGAGAGTTAGGGGAGGCCACGCGCCACCGCTCGAGGCCGGCGTCGATACCGAATTAGCGAGCAAGGTCCTGAAGACAGCCATGCAGAAGGCCTTCAAGGGCGGCGTGACCGGTTCGATTGCGGGCGTCGCGCAAGTCTTTTCGTTCATGTGGCTGCGGACGGCCATGAATTATCAATATAGACACGGCGGCACGTTACCAGACACGTTAAAAAAACTCTACAAGGATGGGGGTATACGACGGTTCTACCGCGGGCTGCCCTTCGCGATCTTCCAGGGCCCGATGTCTCGCTTCGGGTCAGCGGCCTCAAATACATTAGTACTGGGCCTGCGCGATGCTGATGTGTGGGGTTTACACGCGTATCCTCTATGGATCGTCACGATCCTCGGCAGCTACCTGACGGCCTTATATAGGGTAGCATTGATGCCTATTGACACTCTGAAAACCGTGAGTCAAGTGGAAGGTAGAAAAGGTTTCGACGCCGTCTTCCGGCACTCGATTCGCAAAGGCAACGTGCGGAACCTGTATACGGGCTCGTACGCCATGTTCCTGGCGACGCTGATCGGGCACTATCCCTGGTTCGCGACGTACAACGTCCTCCAGCGGATCGTGCCCAGACAAGAAGTCCGGGCGATGCAAATGTTAAGGAGTGCCGTCATCGGCTTCACGTCGAGCATCGTGAGCGACGTCACGTCGAACCCCATCCGCGTCGTGAAGACGACGAAGCAGTCCTCGGCCGCCAAAACGGCGCTGAAATTAGAGGCGCCGCGGCGGCGGCGCGACGGCGCGAACGAGGACTCCTACGTGAATATTGTGATGCGCATCGCGAGGGAGGACGGCGTCCAGGCGTTCTTCACGCGGGGCCTGTCGACGCGGATCCTGGCGAACGGGCTGCAGTCGATCGTGTTCTCGGTCGTCTGGCGGCTGCTGTTTGATACGTAGGTATAGTTATAAGTTCGTTTCGCTAATTACTTTACAACACTTAGAGGAACGACACGACGACGCGGAAGAGCTCCTCAGAGTCGGGCATGAAGTTGCGCCGGACGAGGCGCCGCGCCGGCCCGTGCGCCCCGTTCTTGGGCGCCTTGCGGAGAATGAGCTGGCGCATGAGGACGTAGGGCATGCGGCGGACCCCGTTATCAAACCGTCGGAGCCGCTTTCGCTCGCGGTCGCTCAAATTGAAGTAGAGATGGCTGGTCCAGCTCGCATCAAGAATAGCCGGAGGGGGATCCAGCGTCGCTGAAAACGCCGTGAGCGTTTTGTCTTCGTGACAGCCGCGGATGAGTGCCGCCACTGCAATCGCGACTATAAGCGTCCCCCTATTCTCTTGATCCTCCCCACCGATGCTTCTCAGGATAGCTACAGCATATTGATCAGTTGCGAGGGGCCTCATATGTCCTATCAGCTCCTCCAATCGGAGACCTCGGCTCCGCTCAGAAAGCCCACGGAGAGCTTCGTAGAAGTGGTGTAACACATACGTGGAGAAGCGGCAGAAGAAGGGAGGGGGCACGCTATCTATGGTCCAGGATTCTTGCATTTGCGTATGTGTCTCACGCAGCACACCGCTTACGGGCTGGTAAGGGTTTTGGCCGCCGGCCGCCGGGAACGGGCTGAAAACAAGATCCCTCGATCCAGGAAGTGGGAACAGCTCCGGATGTCCGAAAGCAACGATGTACGACGTGCCCTCCGTATGCGTCACGCGGCGCGGCGGCGCATCGTCGTCGGACGCCATGTCAAAGAGTGAATCGCAGGGCAGGAGCTTTTTTGTGCAGCAGAGCTTGCGTGAAGCGATGATAGTCACGTGGGCTTGTAGAGGCTGGAATTGGCTTCAAAACCGCTGGACGCTTGTGCCTCTGTGTCGACAGCAGCGCGGAGCGCAGAGCAGCCGCACAAGCCCTTGACCTCAGGCTAGTGTCTCACTATCACTAGCCAATTTCAGTTTGTGCCTGTGCTTTTCGTTTACGTTACGTTATTGCGTTATTTCGAAAAAGTCGCCGAGTCGAGGCACGCGTTCCGCAGCGGCGTCGCGGTCCGGGGCGACAAACGACGCAGCGAGCAGCGTCCGTCGGGTCCCCGACGTGTTGGCGCCGCCGCAGTGCCACGCGCAAGCGTCCATGAGCACCGCGTCGCCCGCACGCTGCGCGTACCAGACGGATCTCCGCTCCGCGGCCAGCGACGCCGTCGGCGCGAGCCAGACCCCGCCTGGAAAGCAACGGGGCAAGTGCGTGTTCGGCCAAAAAAACGTCGGGCCCATGCGCTCGTCCAGGAGGTCGTGGAGCGCGACGAACATGGTGACGAGTCGCGGTGCATCGGCGCTCCAATTGCTGTCGCTGTGCACGTCTTGCGCGGCCGCGCCCGGCTCGCTCACAATTAGCTGAACCTCGCGCAGCTCCGCATCCCGGCCGAGCGCTTCCACCAGGATGGCGCCGGCCTCGCCGGCCAAGGCCGCGCGGAGCGCCGCGGCGAAGCACGGCTCTGCGGACGCCGGCCAAACGGGCACAAAGTGCCGCAACGAGGCTCCCCGCATGCGCTCGGCCATCGTTTGAGGCAGCGCGAGCATGCGCTCCAGGCCGTCGAGGCCAGCCGCGAGACACGCCGCGCAGGCCTCGCCGGCCGCCTCGGGGTAGACGGCACGCGTGACGGCGACGCCGTCCCTGCTTAGCGCATCCTCCGTCCGTTGGCAAAGCTGGCTCATTTGAGCAAGGTCGTCACCGCGGACAGCACCCAGGCCGTCAACAGGTACACGTACCAGGGCCGGCTCCGCGCCCATGCTTCCAGGTGTTCACGCGTCCAGAAGGCCTCGTCCTGCAGAAGTTCCTGCATACTGGGCTGCGTGATCGTGTAGCACCGCTGGGCCTTGTCCGCCGATGCGACTGGCTGCACGACATAGTCTGTCGTGAGGAGTTCTCCTTTCTTAGAAACGCAGACCTCCGACGCCCACGCCTGCGCCGCTAGCAAATAGAGGGCTATCCGCATTGCACAGGATGGAGATTCGGCAGACACGAAGGTGTGGTGGGGTAGCTTCTTCTCCCAATCTATGCGATTCCAGAATGCGCTCAGCTCGGAGTTCGCGTGCGACAAACTCGAGCAGCACGCTGGCAAGAGGCACTAGCTTTTTTGGAATCGTCCAGGTACCTTTGCCACCACTCCCCCCGGAACGAATTGCGAGCCCTCCGTCCCCAGACTCCGACAGCGCCGCGCCGCAGCGCTTTCGAGATCGAAGCCTGCAGGGGCTGCCCACGCGCGCACCGTCGTCCTTCAGGAGCGACCGGTGGCCGATCAGCACGCGCACGACGTTCAGCAACGAGCGCGCAGACGCACTCGACGAGTATCGACGCGTACAGAGGCTGCCCACCAAAAAAAATGGCTGATGCGGCCTGGGCAGAGCTCCAGGCCGGCGAGAGTGGCGCGCGGGACAAAGCCTGGGACCGCATCCTCAAGAAGAACGCCGTCGCGAAAAAGGCCAAGAAGAAGCGCCCTCCCAAAAGGTGGGAGCCGCCCGCACCTGTCGTCGCAGAGAAGAAGCAGGAGGAAACGAAGCCGCCGGCGCCGCCCGAGACCGCCGTGGCGTTGCTGCGACGGTTGGCACGGGCCGTGCAGCAGACGGCTGCCGAGGACAGCAAAGTCAGGTCAGAGGGCCTCGACACCCTATCAAAAGCCTTAACTCAAAACCTGCCGGACGCGACGGTCGCGGAGCTATTACACTCGCTCTGCCAGCCCCTGTTGAGGCGCTTCGAGGACCCTGTCGAGAAATTACGGGAGAAGGCTATTAGGCTCATGGCGGAGCTCTGTAAACGTGTCAAGGACTTGCAGCCGCATCTGCCGTACCTGTTCCCTGTGCTGCATCATAGAGGTTCGCCGGCCTCTGGATTGGACGTCGAGAATTCCGTCTTTGTGTTTGACTTACAAGGCTACGACGAGTTCAAGCGGGGTAAGGCCACGGCGCGGCCGGACCTACAGGAAGCGTTCGCAAGGACAAGATTAGTCAACAGTGGCGAACCTGCGGAAGAATTACGATTACAATTATGTGAATTACTTATTGTCGTGACGACGAACCGGCCGGCGAACATCATCGGAGCGTATTTGCATGAGGCCATGTTACTTTTTGCCGGCTTTGCCCGAGATACGTTTGGACTCGTAGCGAAACGAGCTGCCGAAGGTATCTCAGCGGTTTGTAGTGTGGACGACTTGCAGGAGGCACTGATACCCTACGCCTGTGCTTTAGCTAGGTGCTGTTTGCCTAATCTAAGGCATCGCCACGCGAAAGTGCGAAAGGCTACTGTGGATGCCATCAGACGATCAGTAGCGGTTAGGAACGTAGGGAAATGGCGAGGCGCGGGCTCCGACGCCATCAAGGACTTGGTAGGTTTCAGGGAGGACAACGTGATTCCGACCCATGCGTTTTACGGCCCTGAAACCAGATACAACTACGTCGCCGAGCTCACAAGAGACGCGAACGCCTCCGTAAGACTAGCAACCATGCAGATGTTCGCCGAGTGGTTCGTCGGTATTGCCGATAGGAGGGACCACCAGCCTCGTTTACTTGCGTATGTGCTCAATTTCCGCATCGACCAAGATGAACAATGTAGGGACTGCGCCGCGGAAGCTTTAAGGGCCGCTGGGAGGGAGATGATGGGTGAAAGACAAGAAGATAAGTTGCTCGAGAAGATCCAATATGGTGTGGATGGGGACCCCCGATGTAACCATTCACCAGAAGGCTTACCCTGGCCGCATACGGAGAGGCCACCTCTCGAAGCTAGAGTCATCGTGCGCGCCTTCGCGCAACGATGCATCCAGCCGGTCATGGACGAATTATCATCCTGGACGGAGTACGCCCGCGTGTCGTCGGCGACGCTCCTCCAGACGCTGTTCGTGTACCACGAGGATCATGTGACCGAGAGGCTGTCGAAGATCGTGATTGCTCTTTGTAAGGCCCTGAAACGAGGAAGAAATGAAAAATACGGTGGGGAGCATCGTCAATCCGTTCTCGAGTGTGCTCGGGTGCTGGGGAGATACGTGGTTCCTGATTCATTTGTCCCTTTTCTAGCACCTCGAGTGTCAGGTGACTTGGAAGTCCTCCCGGGCGGCATCGATGCGGACCAACGGGCAGACGTGACCGATTTACTAGGAGCGATGATTCGGGGCGCCAAGGCCTCGAGTATATTACCGCACTTTGCACCTTTATCCGAAGTGCTCACGGATCCAAACTTGGTGGGGACGACGTCGCCCCACCTACGCGACTCTGCGTTATCTGCTTGTGCTTCACTAGCTCATGTGGTGGCGTCGTCGAAGGACGCGCTGGCCGCGGCGTTCGTCGCTACCGGCCGATTGGAGTCCCTCGAGGCGGCGTTGTTAAGTCTTTTGAGGGCTATCCTCGCGTGGCGCGGCGGCGGCGCGTCCACGACACTGGCAGATAATGCGTTACTAGACGTATCAAAAGCGGGCGGCGACGAAGACGCGTCGCAAGCCATCACCCGGCGGCTCGACGTGCTCTTCGATGCAAATGATGAAGCCTTTGAAGATGCGGCGACGTGGCAATCTACTGCTTTGAGGGAGGCCTGCGCCGTCTCGCAATCGCCCCATCTGTTGGTAATAGGCGCGCAAGTCTGCCAGAAATCCATACAACGCTTCCTGACGAGCGAGGACGAGGACCCCGCGAAGGACGACGCGTCAAACGTCGTGGCGAGCCTGGCCCATTCATTGATCCCGTGCGCCTCGGAAGCGAGTCGGGAAGCTTCCATCGCGGCCGTCGCCGACATTGTGCTCGCACCGGACGCCATGTTCTCCACGGATCCGTCCAGGGACGCGCGCTGCGACCTCGCTACTTCATTGGTCGAGCACTTGGATAAAGCGACCTTGGAACCGCTCGCGAAGGGTTTGGTGGGGGCCCTCGTCGAGCCGTGTCTACGAGGCGCGCCCCAGGACGGCCGCGACAAGGCCCGCTTCCTGGGTGGGGCCAAGGCCGCATCCCATATCCTCCAAACCTGCGCGTCGGGCGGCTCGAGTCGCAGGCCGACGAAATTGCAGGATAGGGGAGATGACGTCCACGAATCTGTACATTCCGCGGCGCGCCTCGCGCTGAACGCCTTCGATCGATTATTTTTGCGCGACGACGAGGCCCTGCGCAAGCAAGGGGCGGATCTGCTGAATAGCGTGCTGCCTTCTTTGAGAATGGCGCCCGACGCCGTCGACGATTCATCGGAGCGGCTGTCGCTGCTGGATTTTGTGGCGAAGGCCGCCTCACATTTACCGACGGACTACGCCGCGTCGGAGACGTACGTCGACGACGCCCAGGCGCGCCTCGACGGCGCGCTGCGGTCCGCGGCGGCGCTGGACCCGGCCGCGTTCCTGGAGGCGATCCACACGCGGCCGCGGACGAACGTGACGTGCTCGCTCGAGGACCACGCGGAGATGATCCAGGGGTTTAACAAGTAGACATTATTTATCTGATCGGATCGCTTTGTTCAACACGTCGTTCTGCCTCAGCGCGTTGCCGTCGCGCAGCGCGTCGAACTGGACGCGCCGCTCCCAGTCGACGTTGATTTCTGATGCATCTTCCACGGGGGCGTTCCGCGGCGCGGGGTCGTTCTTGGGAAGGTCGCGCTCGAACTCGTCGAGGAACTCGCGTCGTCGCGCTTCCGGCAGCCCGTCGAGCGTCGAGGCGTCCGCACCGACCGCTTCTGCCCAGCGCTGCGCGCGCCGCGCGAGCTCGTCGTCGGCCGGCTTGCGCGCGCTAACGCTTTCCTTCCGTCGCCACTCGCGCCACTCGTCTGCAGTTTTCGGGCGTCTCGCGTGCAACGCGGTTCTTGTTGGTCGCAGTGCTGGTCGTAGTGCAGCGCAATGCAACCAGGACACCAACAACACAATCCAGGCTACCGGTGCGGCATCGCGTCGCCCGGATCGCATCTCTCGCCACATGAAGGAGGCCTTGATGACGAAGGCCTGGGCCCGCGGACTTGGCTTTTGAAGCCTGCACTGACGAGATGGGCGCCCGCCTTGCCTCTGCTTGCTTGCTAGTGTCTTAGGCCGCTAGCTCACGCGCGGGGATCACTCCTTGTAAACGACTCTTGGATCTTAAACAACGACACTAGGACGCCACGACGACCGGCACCGCCCCCACCAACCGCGCGAAGAGCGGCGACGCCGAAGCTAGCGCCTCCTGCGCGCCGACGAGAATTAACATGCGCCGCGCCCGCGACAGCGCCACGTTCAGCCGCCGCGGGTCCGCCAGCAATCCCGACGACGCGTCCGCGCGCGCGAACGAGACGAGCACGCAGGCCGCGTCCTTGCCCTGGAAGCGGTCGACCGTCGAGAGCTCGACGTCTGATGGGAGGAGGCGCTTCAGTTCGCGGAGCTGAGCTCTAAAAGGCGTCAGGACGGCCACTTCTCGTAGATCGAGGCCGCGGGCGTGGAGGGCGTCGACCAATGTTGCGACGACGGTTGCTTCATTTGTATTCCGCGCGGACTGCGTCGACGATGGAGGCACATCAACGAACGACACGGGCTCCTTGAGCACGTCTGCGACCCATCCGCCTTCACTACTTTCATTAAGAGCTAACCGCGCCTTGGAGACTTCGTCGGACCCACAAACGAGTTGCTGGGCCGTGGCCCACGACTTCCGTCGATCCCCATCATGTAGCACAACGTTGCACAAATCCATCACCGGCGCGTTCATCCGATATTGCGTTCGGAGCGTCGCGACCGCCGCCGGATGCTTTGATGCCAAGCGCTGGAAGAGCGACTCGGACGCGCCGTTTTCCCGGCCAAAGGCCGATCGGACCACAGGAGCCAGCTGGTGGGGGTCTCCCACCAACACGAAGCGCGCCGCCCTTAAGCAAGCGGCAACGGCGTGGAGCTGGTGCACCTGCGCCGCCTCGTCGACCAGTACGACGTCGAACGGGGCTGCAGCCAGTAACACGCCGTCCCTCGCGCAGCACAAACACGTGGCACCCACGACTCGCGCCGCACCGAGTTGCGCTCTTATTTGTGATACGGTGTCTCCATGTACGACCCGATCTCGCAATGATGATGCCACTCGACGAGAGGACGACGACGACGCGACCCTCACGACACATCGTCTAGATACACCTGACTCAAGTACCTTCTCCAGCAAATGGTCCACGGCCGCGTGCGCATGCGACGCAACTAAGACACGACTGCCGCCCGCGATCAACGCTCGCACGAGAAACGCCGCGGTTTGAGTTTTTCCCGCGCCCGGCATCCCTCGCACGAGGCAGTAGTCCTTCGCGCTCAGCGCCCGGTGGACTGATGTGCGCTGCTCCTCGTTTAGTTGTCCAAAGTCCCTCGCTAATAATGATGCTGCTGTGCCAGGTCCGCCCCACCTAGGTGGGGCCCAGTCCTGACCATCAAAAACGCGCGCGAGCCACTTCTGGCCGAGTTGCTGATCAAAGACCGGCTCCCGGAAGGCAATGATTAAGTCGCGGACGTCGTTTTCCGACGTCAGGAGCTCCGTCAGAGCGGCTTTTTGGGATCTAGAAGAAGTAGCGCCGCCGTCGCCGTCCACACGTAAAGTACTCGGCAATGGCTTCGCCGAGGACCCTCTCAGAATAATGGAGAGCTTGTCTGCTTGGACAGAAACGACGCCGCCCCGCGCGAGGATCGTGGGCAAGTCGCCCTCCGCGCTGAGCAGCACGCAGTCGCCGACGGAAAACGGCGAGGCACCTGAACAATCCACCACGACACCATCATCACTCAATGTTTCGCCGACTTTCTGTAGCACAGCGCAGGCGTCGCCCCGGCGTTCCTCCGGGCGCTTCGTGACGACGGCTCGAGCACCGTCCGGCGGCGCCGACGCCGCCTCGACGTCGATCAAAGCGGACCACCTCCGGTAGTAGTCTTTTGCGGCGTCGTCGAGCTTCTCTACAAAAGCCCAGGCATCTACAGCCTTCGACGCGCGTTCGTCCCTTGATACACCAAGAAACGTGTCAGCAGACCCGCCCTCGACGCAAAAGTGCCGCAGCGCACAGGCCTCGCTCTGGTAGCAGCGCGCGCAGGCGCCCCGACCATCCCCTAATACTGATGGGGCTGTCTCATTCAAATCGTCGGCGTCGCTCACACTGTGTCTTTCGACCGCGGCGGCAACCACGTTCCGCGCGGCCAACAAGGTCGTGAGTTCTCTCCGAGAGCATCGGACCGACGTCACGAGAGGTTTCGGGTCCTTGGCGCCGTACCTTACTAATAGTCCAGCTTTGCCGTGGGACCCGCGCGCCCAATTGGAATCCAGGCCTCGTAGCATCGCAACATATATAGCCGCCTGGGCCTCGTGGTCGACGTGGCCTTTTCCTGTCTTCAGTTCTAGCGGTGTTTTGCCGGTAACAGCATCCTCGACGACCGCGTCGGCGACGCCATATAAACCTAATGCCGAAGACCACAAAGGCTGCTCCGTGGCTGCATTATTAATCCTCTGGACGAGCTGTTCATCCCGCAACACACCCTGGACGAAGGCCGCGCACTCCTTTCGGGCGTCCCTATCATCGACGCCCGCCGCGAAGAAGTCCGAAGCCTTCGTCGACAGCGCGTCTCGGACGATGCCACCCGCGTCCCTTTCACCGCGCGCTACTCTTTCAAAGCAGGCGTGCTTCGCGGCGCCTAGGGCGGCAGGCTTGGAAGAGCCTCCCGATGAACCTCCCGTGGACGTGAGCCACGCTCTTCTCTCGCAGGCCGTCGCCGCGACGACCGCCGTCGGAGAGACAAAGATTTCGGGACACGCCACCCAGAAATAAGGAGACGCCTGGTCGATGGTGATTTCGTCCGGCAATGTCTGAGGCGTAACACAAGGCTCGCCGACGGCCGCCCAAGGGACCAGATGGCCGCGCGCGCCCGCCCGCAACTCCGCGCGCGCCCAGTCGCCCGTCAATCGCAGGCGCTTCGTGGCGCCGTCGACGGTGACGAGGGCGTCGCCGCGGCCTTGTACACTAACGATCCGGCACCGCTTCGTTTGTACCGCGGCGCGGGCCTCGGCGACGGCCCCATCCAAATCGAAGCCGAGGAGCGCCGCGTCGAGCGAGGTCCGTGGTCCGGTCGCCGGGCGTGGCGGTTGCGGTTGCGGTCGCGGCGGCGCGGCGGTCGGCCTCGGAGGCAGCGGGCCGCGCAGCGGGCCTCGCGGCACCGGTGGGCCGCGCGTTGCAGGAGGGCCGCGCGGCGCCGGCGCCGCGGCGGGGAGGTCGAAGGCGAGGAACGCGGCGTCGAGCGAGTCCCGCGCGGGTGCAGGTGGCCGCGGCGGCGCGGTTACTGCCGCCGGCCGGGGCGGGCCTCGCGCCACTGGCTGGCTTCGCGGCACAGGTGGTCGTGGCGGCCTCGCTGCTGGCGGCACTGGCGGGCCTCGCACCGCCGGCGGTCCCCGCGGCCCTTGTGACCGCGGCGCCGGTGGCCGCGCCGGCACAGCGCGCGGCGCCGCCTCGCCCTGCGCGCCCGGGTGGAAGCCGCCCGCGTAGGCCGCCTCGAGCGAGCGCGGCCGCGGCCGCGGCGGCAGCGGGCGCGGCGGCGCCGGCGGTCGCCTCGCGACGGGCGCCAGCAGACGTCTCGCGACGGGCGCCGGCGGTCGCGGCACCGGCACCGGCACCGGAGGTCGCCTCGCGGCGGGCGCCGGCGGCCGCGGCCGCGGCGGCGGGGGCTTCGATGGAGGCGCCGCCGCAGCCAAATCGAACTCGAGGAAGGCCGCGTCGAGCGCGGCGTCCGACGCGCGCGATACTTTCGAGGGAGGCGGCCGGCGCGCCGGGCTTTGAGAAGATACGGCCGGCGCGCCGCGCTTCAGCGGCACCGTGTTCTCGGCGAGGGGCGGCCGCGACGCGCCGCGCCGCCGCGGGCCGTCTTCCCAGGAAGGCGGCGGCGGCTCGTCGGGCGGCGCCGTCTCGGCCTCGGACCCGAGCATGTTCGCGAGGCCGCAGCTCCTTCTATCATGGTGGGGCTCGTCGCCGCTCAGCGCGTGGACGAATCCCGCTAAATCAGAGGCGGGGTTCGACGCGTATTCGTCGTCCTCGAGGGGCGTCGCGTCCCATTGTATTAACTCGTCGTCGAGCGGCGTCGGCGGTGGCGGCGCGGCGCGGGCGCGGGGCGTCTTCGCCGGCGCGCGCGGGTCCATGGCGGCGGCGGCGCACTGCCGCAGCGGCGCGGTCGCGGCGGCGCGGTCGCGGCGCTGCGTTTAGGGCTGCTGGTGCGCCTGCTGGTTTTTTAGCACTCCGGCCGCGCGACGCGGCGGTACAGGAATGCGCGTCGCGGCACAGCAGCCGCAGAGCAGCCGTGAAGACTGTTTGTGCCTGCTGCGAACAACTAGCGCTTGCGCATGCGGCGGTGCGCGGCGGCAGAGATCAAACTTGCAAACTGGTCCTCGGCGCCTCCCTGGTGCTACCGCCCGCGTGAGCGAGCAATATACAGCCAAGCACTCTTGTGAGTCGCAGCGCTCATAAGAACAGACGATTCCAAGCGCTGCGCCCACGCATGCGCGCCGCGTAAGCAGTATGCACGCCGCCCTAGCAAGAAGAGGCATCCGCGTCGACCAGGGCTGGGTCGACGCGGCGGCGCGCGCCGGCGCCACGACCGAAGAACAGGTCTTCGTCCAGTTCCTGGCGCACGATCTGAGAAAGGCGGCGACGGCGGCGACGCTGCCGCGGCCGCTCGGCGACACGCTGGGAGGCGCCTGGGTCCTGCAGGTCGAGGCCGTGGCCGACGTCGGCGAGCCAGCGCCGCGCCACGCGAAGACGGTCAAGGCGCTGCTCACGGACGGGGTGGTCGACGTCGGCGCGGTCTGCCAGGGCTGGGTCGACCGCCTCGAGCTGGGGGCAAAGATATTTGTCAAGGACGCGCCGGTGCAGCGCGGCGTCGTGCTGCTGCGGCCGGACAACTGCCGCGTGCTCGACTGCCTGGGCCACGTCAAGGCGGAGGCCCTCGCGGCGCGGGCCGCGGCCGCGGCGGCCCCGCCGGCGGCCGCGCCGGCCGCGCCCGCGGCGCCGCGCGGGCCGCCCGCGCCGCGCGTTGCGCCGGCGCCTCGCCCACCGGCGCCGCGCCCACCGGTGCCGGCGCGCCCGAGCCCGCGGCCGCCGGTGCCCGCGCCGCGCGCGGCCCCGGTGCCACCGCGGCCGCAACCACCAAGGCCGCAACCACCAAGGCCGCAACCGCCGCGGCCGCAGCCCCCAAAAGCCGCGCGCCCGAAGCCGGCGATCCGGCCGCCCTCCCCCAAACGCCAGCGGAGCTTCGGCGAGCTCCTGACGCTCGCCCAGATCCCCACGCTGACGCCGCCCTGGACGGCGCGCGTCCAGTGCTACGTCGAGACGATGCGCAAGTGGGGCTTCTCCGCGGCCGAGGGCCGCTTCGTGCTGCGCGTGCGGCTCCGCGACCCGTCGGGAAGGGTGGATGCGGACTTCGCCGAGGCCGAGCTCGCGCGGCTGCTCGGCGGGCCATCGCGCGAGTTGAGGGAGGTGGACGCGGGCGAGAAGGCCGCGCGCGAGGCGGCGCTCCAGACGGCCATCGCGGGCTACGAGGGCGTCCTGACGCTGCGCGCCGGCGCCGCGCGGCCCGAGATCGCGAAGCGCGAGGCCCTCGAGGACCTCGACCCCGCGGCGCTCGCGGCGCTCCAGCGCGCCGTGTCGCAGATGTCCCAGCGCTAGCTGGTGTTGTGTTTTCCTACACTATGTTTCCTTTTCTTTCTGCCGAGAGAGAGAGAGCCACTTATTGAACCCACCCCCAGGTAGTACGGACCCCGAACGCTTCGCCACCGTGTATCTGCTAGCGGTAACACACTAGCAACATAGCAAAAATCCAGGCACAAGCCAAGCCGCGTCTCGGGCCGCTGCGTAAGCGATCGCGTCCAACACCTCTGATTCAACCGTCGCATTATCTGTTTCGGTCCGCCGCGTGCCTGACAGTTGCGTGGCTGGACAGCGAGCTACGAGCCAGCCTCGTAGCGCCGGCGCTGCGCTGTGTACGCCTCTGGTCGCGCGAGAGCCTGCAGCCGACAGGAAGCGGTACATAGAGCGCTGCATACGCCTACCGACGCGCGAGAGCCGACAGGAAGCGGTCACGTAGAACAAAAATGAGCCGCCTCTTCGGTAGTAGCGAGCCGAAGCCGCGCTCCTACGCCGACCGGGCGCGCGACGGCCTCGCGTCTCTGGGCCAGAAGGCGTCCGACGCGCAGTTCGAGGCGGAAGGCCTCCTCGGCCTGCGGCCGAAGACGGCGGAGGAGCAGCTCTACGAGGCCTGCTGCCCCTCGCTCAGTTACCAGACGCGGTTGATCGGGTTTTGTCTGTGCATGGTGGCGTCCTTTGTCTTGGCGCTTTTTGCGTCCTTCATGATGCGCCGGCTAATTTGGAGGGGCGACGCGGCGCCCTTCGCCATCGCGTACACGCTGGATAACGTCGTGGCCATTTTGGGCTCCATGTTCATGGCCGGGCCGACGGCGCAGCTGAAGACGATGTGCGCGCCGAAGCGACGGGTCTCGACGACTATTTATGTCCTCGCGTTGGCGCTGACGCTCTTCTTCGCGTTCGCGACGCAAGTGCCGGACGGCGCGCGCTTCGGCTGCATCCTCGCGTCGCTGTTTATCCAGTGGCTCGCGTTGATGTGGTATACGCTGTCCTACGTGCCGTTCGCGCACGACTACATCTGCTCGTGCCTGCCGCTGTGCTGCGCGGACTGCTGCGGCGTATCGTCGTCGGCGTCGAAGGGGGGCTACGAGGGCATTGTGTGACGTAATGTGAAATTGTGTGATTTAAAATACTTAGCCTATTGGCTCGTGGTTCTTTTTTCGCTGGAACGGCACATTGTGCTTGTCGTGGTCGATGGCCTTCGCGACGTCTTTGTCCTGGAAGTAGTTGCGGTGGAGCCCGCAGTAGATGTAGTGGTTTCTCTCGTCGAACTGCCAGGGCTCGCAGCGGCCCTTGCGCGCGGGGCCCGCCTCGGTGTAGGTCGTCGTCTGCGCATTGTGGCTCAAGATTTCGGGGTTGAGCTTAATCTTCGGTTTCTTCGGGTCGCCGGTTTTGACGACGAAGGTCCGCAGATCGTTGAGCACGTCCTGCGAGCCCTTCTTGTTCGCGGCCTTGCCCGTGTCGTTCTTTTTCACATACTTTTGTTCCCAGTCACTGACCGAGCCCGGCCGACCCAGAAAGGTCATGCGCAGGTCCTTCTTCTCCGTCCAGTTCGACCGGATCTTCTTCATTACCCTATGGTACTGAGTCCAATTATAGAATGGTATGATCAGCGACGCCCATTGAAAGATGATGACGAGGTGCGCCCAGGTCATCTGGCTCCGCTTTGGTCCCCTACCGTTCGGATCAAGGGGCTCGTGCCAAAAGTAGGCCGTGAGCGATAATAAAAACGAGCCGAATATCCAGATGATATAGTAATAGACTGTAAGCGATTCGGCCTCCTCGAGGAGATACGGCACGACAAAAGTGACGGCGAGACCGAGGGCGACGTTGTTGGCCAGATAATCAGCAAAATCCGTACCTTCCTGCTTAAAGCAGCGCAGAATATTGTACGTATTCGCGGCAAAAGCAAAGACAATGGGCATGAGGATCGCGACGAACTTGCCCGTTGCCATTTTGTAAAGATAAAACGTCACGCGTAATTTGGGCACGTAGAGCGACTTCTTCCCCTTGCCGCCGTCGTACTCGTATTCGATGGTAGGCATAATCGTGACAAAATTCCAGCTACTACTCTCGTCCATCTTGTAGTCTTCCAACCAGTCCCGTACCGAACAGAGCATCCGCAGATCCGACGCGTGGGCGACGAAGCTCGGACGCAGCTCAAACAACTCGTTCTCATCGTTTTTCCCGAGGAAAGATGTCAATTCAATCAAGACCGTGGCACTCACAATCTTGAACGGTGGCTCGCCGAAAGCCGTGTTCAGCTTGAGGGGCAGGGTCGTGACAAAGTTCGCAGCGGCGGTCGCGAAGTAGCCCTTCTGGTTGGTCCTCACGTCGGCCTGGGCCCCCTCGCTCATGTCACGCGCTACCTGCCGCATATCGAAGCAGTCCTCGGACTGAGCCTCGCCCTCGTTAATGCGCATGTCGAAGTACGGCAACGTCTCCTTTCCCGACGTGCGCGCGAACGAGGCCAAATCGTAGAGGAGCGGCCGCTGGATGAACGCGCCGACCAAGTTCAGGTTCCCGTCCGTGTCTTCGATGATCTTCTTGACAAGTAAAGTGGCGAAGACGGGCACGATGACCTCCGGGGCCTTCGACGCCTTCGGCTTGCTGGACCTGTGCACCATGGCGGCCTTGAGGGCCTTGTCGTCGTTGTCTCCCTGAATTTGGTCGACGCCGAACGTCTTGCACAGCTGCTCCGTCAGCTTGGCCGCGCCCTTATTGCGGTCCAGACCCTGGCTCCTTATCAGGGGGAGCTCCTTCACCCGGTCCCATGGCTCGTGCGCGTGCGCGTCCCGGAAGGCGACCAGCGAGTTCAGGATGGAGATGCGGTGCCCGACCTGCGACAGAGCGCACTCGCCGCCGCCTGCGACGACACCCGCCGTTTCGCCTATCTGCTTCATGTCTTCGATGGTAAGATGCAACAATGCCCGTCCGTCGATGCCCTCATTCCTCGCCGCTACCTTAATCTCTTGCGCTTGCGTACCAGCCTCCTCGTTATCGGTCGCATCGTCGACGCTCGTCAGGTGCTTGTACGCGATGCAGGCGAAGAGCTCACCCACGTTCTCCTCGGTCCACGAGAGCAGTCCGTCCTTGTACGGCAGCTCCTCGGCGAGGCGCGGCAGCGTGCCGGCGTGGTCGCGCCCGTCCCAGGCCCCCGCGCTCGACGGTCCTGTTTCTGGAGCGTCCGGCACAACCTCGCCCGCGGCCACGTTCTGCTGCCGCGCCAGCATCTGCACCATATCCGCACGCAGCCTCTCCTGGCCATGGAGTTGCGCGGCCTGCTGCTCCACGAGCATCTGAATCGCCGAGGTCAGCCCCGCTATCTGCCGCTCGAGGGCCCCCGTCGAGACCGACGTCTCCTCGGGTGCAGCTCGTGCCGGCGCCCGATGCCGCGGCTCCCGGCGGGCGTCTCTCGTCGGCGACCGGTGCCGCGTGGCCCGCGCGCGCGGCGGTGTGTTGCCGTCCGAGGAGTCGGAATCGTGCGGCAGCCTGTCGAGCAGGTCCCGCGTCCACGCGTCGTGCGTCCTCCGGAGGTCCTCCACCGGGCTCTCGGCGGGCCGCACGGCGCGGGCGCGGTGGCTGCGGCTCATCATCCGCCGCGCTCTTGGCGGCTACTGATACTGCGTAGGACGACGCAAGGCTTACCCTGCCCTGTTTGCCCAACTATTTTGCAGCTGTTCAGTCAATTGCACGGCTAGTTTGGAGTGCCCGGGCAGCCTTTATACTGCCCTGGCACCTTTAAAAGAAAGGGCTGCAGTCTCCAGGCGTTGCTCCGCTAATCTGCTCTCCGGCGCTGCACCGCGGGACAGCGCGGGCCTGGCGCCATGGCGACCACAAGCCACGGTATACCGGTAAGGCGAAGTCTCCTGCGCGCGCGATACCTGGCGCGACGTATAGAAGGAGGGCTAGAGGGGCAAGGAACGAGCTCGGAGGGGGATTGCGCGCGGCAACGGCGCCGCATACGAGCTTGTAGAAGAGAGAGAGAAAAATCAAGGAAAGAACATGAGAGCCGGGAGGTGTGACGCGGCGGCGGTGGTACATGCCACGTGTAATATATCACTATAGTATTATTCCTCCGGAGGTGGATCGTCGTGCCGCAGCCGCCGCTTGTAGGGCTCGTTGTGCTCGTCGTGGTCGATGGCCTTCGCGACGGCGGGATCTTGGTAGTAGTTGCGGTGGAGCCCGCAGTAGATGTAGTGGTTTTTCGCGTCGAACTGCCAGGGCTCGAAGCGGCCCTTGCGCGCGTGGCCCGCCTCATTGTACGTCGTCTCCATGGCCTCCTCGCCTAAGATGTCCGGGTTGAGCACGATCTTCTGTTTCTTCCCTTCGCCTGTTCTGACGACGAAGGTCCGCAGGTCTCCGTTGAGCGCGTCCTTCGACCCCTTCGTGTTCGCGGTCTTGCCCGTGTCCCCTTTCCCCTGTTGTTTCCGCATCCGCTCGCTCATCTCGCCCGGCCGACCGAGAAAGGTCATGCGCAGGTCCTTCTTCTTCTTCCAGTTCGACCGGATCTTGCGTAATCTCGCCTGCCACTGAAGCCCATTATAGAGCGGTATGATGAGTGACGCCCATTGGAAGACGATGACGAGGTGCGCAAGAGTCACGTTTGCGCCGTTGCCGAGCCGGAACAGGGGCTCCTGCCATCGCACCAGGTACGCCGGGAGCGAGAGCACGAGCGACGCGAAGATCCACACGACATACACGTAGTTCCACTTCCACTCCGCGTCGAACGCGTCGCTTTTGGCTATACTCGGGATGATGAAGACGATCGTGAGACCGATGCCTACATTGTTTGCCAGGTAGTCCTTGAACTCGCGCTCCTCGTCCTTGAACGAGTTGATGATGTTGTACGTATTAGCCACGTACGCGAAGATGATGGGCATGACCGTCTCAATGACGGGCTGGATGGCCTCCTCGTAGAGGTAGTAGGTCAGCCGGAGCTTGGGCACGTAGAGCGCCTTTTCCCCCTTGCCGCCGTCGTACTCGTATTCGATGGTGGGCATCGGCGTGACGAGCTCCCAGCGCTTCATCTCGTCCATCTTGTAGTCTTCCTTCCAGTCCCGTACCGAACAGAGGTTCCGCAAGTCCGCCGCGTGAGACACAAAGCTCGGCCGCATCTCGAACTTCTCGTTCAGAGCGTTCGTGCCGATGAAACTCGTCAATTCGATCATGACCGTCGCGGACATAATATTGAACGGCGGCTCGTTGTAGACGCTGTCGAGCTTGAGGGGCATCTTGGCCACGAAGGTCGTGGAGGCCGTCGTGAAGTAGCCCTTCTCGTCGCCCTCCCTCAGGTCCTTGTTCTTGGGCCCCGGGCCCAGGTCACGCGCTACTTTCCGCACCTCGAAGCAGTCTTCAGGCTTGGACTCGCCCTCGTTGACGCGCATGTCGAAATATGGTTTTGATTCGTTGCCCGACTCACGGTCAAAGGCCTTGAGGTCGTACAGCAGGGGCCGCTGGATGAACGTGCCGACCAAGGCCAGATTCCCGTCGGTATCTTCCGTAAGCTTTTTCATGAGCAGCGTGGCGAAGACGGGCACGACGACCTCCGGCCGCTTCTTCGCCTTCGGCTTGCTGGACTTGTGCACCATGGCGGCCCGGAGCGCTTCTTCCGAGTTGTCTCCTTGAATTATGTCGACGCCGAACGTCTTGCAAAGCTTCTCCGTCAGATTCTCCTCGCCCTCGTGGCGGTTCTTCCCCGCTCGCAGTAGCAGCGGGAGCTCCTTCACCCGGTCCCATGGCTCGGCTTTGTACGCCTCCACGAACGCGTGGATGGAGTTCAGGATGGCGATGCGGTGCCCGACGAACTTCAGGGCGCACTCGCCGCCGCCCTCGACGTGGCCCGCCTTCTCGCCGATCTTCTCCATGTCCTCGATCGTCAGGTGCGGCAGAGCCCGCCCGTCGACGCCGTGGGCCATGGCCGCCTGCTTGATCTCGTTCGCGTTCTCTTCCGCCTCGTCGTTGTCGACCTCGTCCTTCACGCTCTTGAGGTGCTTGAACGCGATGCAGGCGAAGAGCTCGCCCACGTTCTCCTCGCTCCACGAGAGCAGCCCGTCCTTGTACGGCAGCTCCTCGGCGAGGCGCGGCAGCGTGCCGGAGTGGTCCACCGCGCTCGACGGTCCGGCCACCGGCGCGTCCGGCACGGCCTCGCCCGTCGCCATGCTCGACACGACGGCCTCGATGCGCTGGACGTGCTGCCGGCTCTGCTTGTCGCGCTCGACGAGCTCCTGCGCCAGCTTGCGCTGGCGGTCGAGCAGCTTCTCCATGGACGCGTGGAGCTGCTCCTGCCGGTGCAGCTGCGTGGCCAGCTTTTCCTGCACTTGGAGCATGACGTCGTCGTCGTCGCGCCGCGGCGGCGGTCTTTTCGCGGGAGACGCCGACGCCGACCGCGACCGCCTCTCCTCATAATCGTAGCGGTCGTCGTCCGCGTGGCGGTCCTTGACGACGTCCGTCCAGGCGTCGTGCGACTGGCGCAGGCCCGCCACGAGGTCCTCGTGGTCCTCGGGCCGCACGCGGTCGCGCCGGTACTTCTTGCGGCGGTGGCGGTCCTTGCGGCTCGACGTGTGGCGGGCCACGAGGAGGTCGTGGTCCTCGTAGTCGCCCATGGCTCTACCCCGGGGCTGCCCTGCAACGAGTGATGTGTGCTCCGTCTGCGCGTCCGCCGGTGGCCCTGCGCTGCAGTCTACTGTTGTGCCGCCTCTAGTAGGTTCTGCCGGCGCACCAGCAGGTCGCTCCCGGCACGGTCAGAGTCCTCGTCGGTCTCTCACATAGGTACTACTCGTGGTCGTAGGTACACTCCATTGCGATTCGCGAACCCGAAGACACGAGTGCCGCCCGCACCGACGGCGGTCAGCGCCACGGCCCAGTAACTACACGTCTGCTTACCCGGGCGCCGCCCCGAGCCCGAGCGCGCGCAGCGTCGCGAGCAGCGCGTCGCCGTCGTCGTTCAGCCAAAAAATCTCGACCGCCGCGGCCACGCGCCCATCATCATCGAAGATGTGGTTCTTGAGCGCGCCGCAGCCCGTCGCTGACAGCTCGCCGCCCGCGAGCAGCTGCCGCGCGGCGCCGAGCGCGATGTGGTAGCGCCGCCGCGTCGTGAGCAGCGGCTTGCTGGCGGTTTCCGAGTCGGTGCCGCGCCGTGGTCTGCGCATCGCTGCGGCGCTGCGACGGCTGCCTAACGATGCGTTCCGTCGAGTGCTGCTGATGCCGTCGATGCGGGCTGGGCTGCCGAAGGAATGGCTGGGCTGCCGAAGGAATGGACCGGGCTGCGTTGTATGCCGTCCTTTGGGGTTGTTTGGCGTATTGGATGAGTTGCGGTGTCGGGATGGCCGCGTCGCGCGTGCGCACTGCGCCTCAGACTGTTTGCCCCAGCCAAGCCCCAGCCAAGCCCCAGCCAAGCCGAACAAAATGAAATACCGGAAAGCTCCAGCGCTGCAGGGCGAGAAGAAAGTTCATTCCCCGCATTCCTGGCCCCGGAGACGTACTTCTGTGAGCATAGCGAGCCACTAGGATTACAAGATAAGCCATTGCCGTCGTCAAGCTCGATCATCCGGTCAAATCGTCGGCATACGGCGCCTGTTCGAACCAACACAGCAAATCGACGGAGCGAGAGGCTACCTTCATACGATCGAGCACACGTTGCTCGAAGCGCAGCACCGTGGCTTGCTCACTTGGGCCGTAAGAGTGCTGCAGGCGGCCGCCTCCAAAACAGCAATTCGTGAGCGAAACGCGCCTAGTCTGCGGTGCTGTCGCTACCCCAGCGAAGGCGCGTGCTCGGTACTTCGGCTCGCCGGCGCTGGGTGCTGGAGGGGCGGCCCACGGACGCCGTAGCGGAGCGCCGTGGAGGCCGAACACCTCTGCCGGCGCCCGGCTGGAGCGCCTGCGGCCGGCCCGCGCGTCGACGTTACGCGACGGTCGAGAGCACGGGGCGGGCGAAGCACGTATCGATGATAAAGGAAGCGCCGCGCGCGACCCCGCTTGTCACACGCAGGTCCCGAGAGAAAGATGAAGCTCGTCGTCGCGCTCTGCCTCGCGGCGCCGGCGGCCGGCTTCGGCTTCGGCAAGAAGGGCGCCAAGGCCGCGCCCAAGGCCCAGAAGCGGTCGAGCAGCGGCGCGCAGTACCCGTCGGTCGCGCTGCCGTGGACGACGACGCCGCTCGACGGCTCGCTCGTCGGCGACGTCGGCTTCGACCCGCTCGGCTTCTCGAAGTACGCGCCGGGCGCGTGGTGGGTCGGCGACGAGGGCGATGGCTCGCTCAAGATCTTCCGCGAGGCCGAGCTCATGCACGGCCGCATCGCGCAGCTCGCGTGCCTCGGCTGGGTCTTCCCCGAGATCGCGCACTGGCCGGGCAAGGACAACGCCTTCGGCAAGATGAACCCCTTCGACGCGCTCGACGCCATCCCCAAGGCGGGCTGGTACCAGATCCTCGGCTTCATGGTCGCCTGCGAGGTCTGGCGCATCAACAAGCTCAAGGACCCGTCGTACATGCCGGGCGACTCCGGGCTCGGCCAGGGCCCGGGCCGGTGGAACCCCTTCGGCTTCAACTACACGCCGGAGGAGTACCGCGAGAAGCAGCTCCAGGAGATCAAGCACTGCCGCCTCGCGATGCTCGGCATCGTCGGCCTCGCGGCCAAATCCTCGGGCGCGGGCGATGTAGGCGTCCTGCAGCAGGTCGGCGAGTCGTTCTCGTCGCCGGAGTACACGTCGCTCGCCGGCTTCTACTTCCCGGAGGGCATCTAAACGGAGACGGCGCGTCTGATTTGAATTGTGCCCCTCCCCCCTCTTCTCGTATGGCGTCTTGTCGCGGTGACGCACCCCGCCGGTGTGCGACGCGGCCGTCTGCACGGTTTGGGTAAGAGCCGTGGACTTTACTTGCTCGTAGGGGGGCAGTTGGGGGCGTAGGGCCCGCGCGCGCGGAGCCGTAAGAAGAACGTAAACAGCTGCCTGTTATGAACAACTTTCGGCAATGAGCCAGTTTGTGGGGGTACCGTCCCCTAGGCGCGGCTTCCAGGGTTCCTGCGCGTTTGGGCTAGCGGCCTGAAGACACTAGCAAGCATGTTAAGCCTGGTGCAGTGCAGCGCCCATAGGTCCATCACATAGCGCTACCAAGGCAAGCAGGGCGGACTGCGTGTTGCCCCTTCATTGGTGCAACTGCTTCTGGAGCGCTTTGGGGCCAAGACGCTCCTTGAGCCGATTTCCGCGACGCTCCCTTGACGCTCTCCCTAGCGTTGAGGGCAACCCTCGCAGCGCCAGAGGCTATTAACGGTTGCATCCGGCCGTTGAATGCTGGCGACGTGCCTCGCCCTCGCCTTCTCGAGCCGAACCGCAGCGCTCCGCCAACCAATGGTGCGTGCACGGGCAAGCCTCCAGAAGGCCCGCGCGGCGCGCCGGTCGCCGCGGCTGCGCGGCGCGCCCGCGACTCCGCAAAAGCGCCCCCTCGCAACGAGCGCGACGCTACCGCCGTCGACGCCACCGCGGCGCCCGCGGCCGGCGCGCCTGCTTACGACCGCCGCGAAGGCGGCGAAGCGCCCGACCGCGCTCAGGACGTTCGCGCTCCCGCGCCGCGACGTCCACGACGCGACGGCCGCCGCCGTCAAGCGTATTGAAGTACCAACCATCGGCGTGGACGAGGTCGGTAGAGGGTGTTTGGCAGGACCAGTAGTCGCCTGCGCGTGCTACCTCCCAAATGACGTCGATATAGATGGGATAGCCGACTCGAAGACGATCACGACGGAGAAAGCGCGGGAAGCTATCTACGAGCAATTAAGAGAGGCGCCGGGCGTGCGCTACGCGCTGGCGAGGGCCGACGCGCCGCTGATCGACGACGTGAACATCCTGCAGGCGAATCTCGCGTGCATGCGCGCCGCCGCCGAGGCGCTCTTTCATAGGCTTTCGTCGTCGGACGATGGTCGGGATGACGTGATGATCGACGTGACCGCTATCGGTGACGTGAACAACGAAGCGGAGGAGGAGGACCGGCTCGTGGCCGTCGTCGATGGCGTCGACGACCCCTGGCGCCGCGGCGGCCGCCCGCGGGGCCTGGGCGTGCGCACGGTCAAGGGCGGCGACGGCAGCGTGGCCTGCGTCTCCGCGGCGTCGATCATCGCGAAAGTCCACCGCGACCGGCTCATGCATGCTTTGCATGAAAAGCACCCCCAATACGGCTGGGCGGCGAACAAGGGCTACGGGTCCAAGGCGCACCGCGCGGCCATTACGAAGCACGGCTGGGTTGTTGGTTTGCACCGCGAGTCGTTCGACCCCGTCAAGTCGATGATTAATGAATAAGTTTAGTCTTCCGGTGGTGGCGGCGGTGGTGCGCGCGGCCGCACAAATGGTGGTTCGCCGGCGCAGTCGTGCTCCAGGCCGCCGCGCGCGCCGCGTCCATCGAACAGTTGACCACGTCGCAGCCCGACCGCGCGAGGGCCGCGTGGACGCCGGGGGAAGTAACAAGATCGAGGGGCCGCGCGTCGACGCCTTGATGTATATTCAGGTGCGGCAGGCGGCAGTCATTTTGTTGGACGACCGCCGCGTCGTCGGCGCGGCACGGGCGTCGTCGATGTGACGGGCCGCATTGTAACGAAGGCAGGAACTTGGCTATCGTATCCGACTCCGACCTTAATTTGAGAAACACGATCTCCGTCAAAACGTCCGCGGGCCACGTGCCGCCGTGCATCTGGCTGAATTGTACGCTGTCGTATGTCGAAAGGTCGACGCCGTCGAGCAACCGCGCCGCCTCCCCAAACTCGCCGTCGGCGATCGCTCGGTGGACCAATGGCATTTGTTCGTCGCGGAAGTCCAGCCGCAGCGAGCGCCCGACGTTGATCCACACTCCTGACCCCGACGCCGCGAAGAAGAAGGGCTCGGCCGTCTTATTTACGCCGTAGCTGCAGTGTGTCACTTCAGCCCACGCGCCGTCCTGAAAGACCTCGGCGAAGCCCGGCGGCCGGTGGACCCACAGGGCGCGCCTCTGCAGGAAGTGGCGCTCGTAGAAGAGCGTCGGTGGCTGGCGCCGCGTCCAGACGCGGCCGCACTTGACCCTTAGTGAATCGCGGAGTTGTGAAGGCATGAGGTCGGGCCAGACAATCCGCAATGACGAGGCGTCGACCGCGTTTTTTGAACCGTAGAGTTTCAACGAGTAGTCCTCGTCCGCCGCGATTTGTGAGAGGGGCGCCGCGCCGGGGTCGTCCGGTAGACTTGTTACGCAGGCAAATAGGGGCCGTCCACCTCGTGACGGGGGCCGTGCGCGTGGTGCACCAGAAGGGTCTCGAGGGCCCGACGGGGCTCTGCCGCGCGGTCAACAGCATAGAAAGCGCGCGGGCCGTGACGGGCGCGGACAAGTGCGGCCTCCACGGGTTGCGCATTCGCGTGGAGGCCATCGAGGCCGGGTCGCCGTGGCTCGCGCCGACGCGCGGCTTCGTGCTCGCGGCGACGCGCGACCCCGTCCAGGCGTTGCTCGGCGAGGAGTCGGAGCTCGGCGCGCTGCTGCACGACGTCTGCGCGACGGGCTACCCCTGTCGCGTCGTCGTCGCCGACCGAAGCGAGCTCGAGATCGTCGAGGAAAGGCGGCCCTGTGCCCACATCGAGCCCTGGGTCCTGCCGAGCGAGTGGATCCCGCGGACGCCGCCGCATCCCGCGGCCCGAAACGGATCGCACGAGAACCACCAGCGCGTCCGGTTCCACAAGGTCGCGGCGCTCGCATCGAATTCTGAACTATATGAAGGCGGCACCATATATATAGACAACGACATCAGCCTCAAACGGTCGCACACGAAAGAATTGTTCGATGTCTTCGACGCCTTCGGGAACAGATCGATCGGCTTCAACAAGGACTGGACGAACCGCGCGAACCCCGTCCACCAGATCGAGGGCATCCCCAAGGGTTTTCCCGAGCGCAACGGCGGCGTCTGTTTCATGCGCGGCGCGGGCGCATCAACGATCACGCGCGACTGGTTGAATGAGCTCGCATCGAATCCGGGCCCGGGCGGCACGGACCAGATGCCGCTGCGGAGGGTTCTGTGGAGGCACCGCGAGCATTTGTTTGACCTGCCGTCGCGCGTGCAGTGCCGATGCCGGAAGGAGTCGATCTGCGAGAACGGCGCGCTGCTCTGGCATTTGCATCGGATCTACCGGCTCGACGTCCTGCGGCGGGTCGGGAACGCGTCGGAGATGTGCGGCTTCGTGCCGTGACGGGCGCGCGCGGAGTTTAACGAACGTTTGTAGTACTGCGGTGTTTGAATCTACCTCTCTGTAGTCGTCTCTAGGGCTCGCGATGAAGAGCCCCTCGGGAATGCTTGGCTTCTCGAAGGGTTAGCGGCTGTAAGATACTAGCAAATCCATCGGAAGAGCGGCTGGGAAACACGGCCTACCGCGGCTCACAGTGCGCTGGCAGAGCCGTAGAAATAGGCGGCAGTGCTAAGACATCGCGCCGATCCGTCCGACGAGCAATAATGGCTGCCGCCGATGCTCCTGAGCAGGGCCGGGCCCCGGAGAGCGCCGCCGCAGCAGCGGCCGCAGCGCCGGCACCGAGCGCTGATGCCGAGCAAAGCCGCGCCGCAGCGCCGGCCGCAGCAAAAACCGAGGACGCCAAAGGAGTGATACTCTTCAGCAACTCAAGGAGCGGCGGCGGCAAGGGCAAACAAGTGCTCGACGCCTTAAGCGACATCATCGGCAAGGACCGCGTCTTCGATCTTGGTGAGAACCCCCACCCGGAACAGATCCTCGCCCAGCCCCACATCGTAGAAGAAGCGAGGAATGGCCTGCGAGTCATCGTTTGTGGGGGAGACGGCACGATGACCTGGCTCATGGCCGCTATTGATGTGGTGAAAAATGAGGTCGAAGGCGCGAAGCACTGCCACTACTTGATCGCGCCGATGCCGCTGGGTACCGGTAATGATCTCGCGCGGTCGCTGAACTGGGGCGGTCATTTTTCTCGCAAATGTACTTCTGAAAAGTGGGTCGCTCAGGTGAAAAACGCGGAGCCGAAGCTTTTAGACAGGTGGGCCTGTTCGGTCATGCCCAACGCCGAGGGCCAGCGAAATAAAACGGTCCTACATGTCCCGGAGGTCTTCTCGGTCCACGAGTACTCGGCGCACGTCGACGAGGCCGAGACACATACGGTGGTGCGGAAGGGCCGGCACCACTCGGCGCGGATGACCGCGCGCGTGCAGGACCAGCTAAAGGACCACGCGTCCCAGGCGTCTACTCTAGCCTCCGTCGATGAAGTGGAAGACAGTTTCGACGCCACAGTGAAAGAAACAAATTTGCCAATAAGTGAGAGAAGGCCCTCCATTTCGCAACACGTCAAGCCGAGCGAGACCGTCTTGAAATTAGGCGGCACGTGGCGGTCCTACGACGGCACGTTCTCGAACTATTTCAGCATCGGGCTAGATGCCGCTGGTGCGTTCGCGTTCCATGCTGAAAGAAGGAAGAACCCGGCTAGATTCAGTTCGAGGGCCAAGAACCAGCTGTTATACGCGTGGCTGGGGATGAAAGCGACCGGAGGGTGCTGCGGCTGCCAGGGGCCTCCACCTAAACTGATTGATGTGACAACGGTCCTCTGCAAGGTCGAGGACACGTGGGAGGAGGTAACGCTCCCGAAGAGTTGTAGGGGGCTGATTGTCTTGAATCTGCAGTCGTACGCGGGCGGCCGCAATTTATGGGGCAGAGATAAGGAAACGACAAGCGACGACGGCGTCCTGGAGATCGTCACGGTCGACGACGTCTTCAGCCTCGGCTGGAAGCTCGTGACGACCAAGGGTTTAGGTGGAAGCTGCCGGCGACTCATAAGGTGCAAGGAGCTGCGCGTCCGCGCGACCGAAAAGCTCCACATGCAAATTGATGGAGAGCCCTGGGCCCAGCCGCCGGCGACGGTGCACATCAAGGCGATCGGCCGGTCGCAGGTCCTCGCGAAGCGTTAGTGTGTTAAGTGATACTTGAAGTTTACTCGGCGACGGGCTCCGCGATGTCGTCCAGCCCCGCCACGCCACCCTCCCCGAAGCTGCTACTTGCCCGAGCCTTCGACGCCGCCAATGCCAAACCGGTGAAGACCGCGGCGCCGCCCATCGCCGCGACGGCGGCCTTCGCGCCCTTGGGCACGCCGCCGCCGGCGATCTGCTTCTGTTGGTCCTGCTCCGCCGCTTGCAGGGCCAGTTGCGCCTCGTGCGCCGCCCTTAACTTTTTGAACTTTTTCTTCATGAGCTCTCGCCGCGCGAGCGCCGGCGCGTAGAACGCCGGAAGTAATGACAGGTCGATGGGCCGGTGGATCGGGATCAGCGACCGCCACGCGGCAAAATACGGCTGCATCACGAGCTCGACGGGCGTCAGGACCATGCGGATGGGTTCGAGGGCCAGGAGGTTGCCGATGACGGGCAGTTGCGCGAGGAACGGGGCGAAGATCGCCACGTCGAGGGCCCACGAGAAGTACTTCAGCCCCTGGAGCGCGGTGTCCAGCAGCTCGTCGCCGCTCGGGCGCGCCGCGAGTTGGGCTTGCGGCGGCGTGATGGACGCGAGGACGAGCTGCCGCCGCGACGCGCGCGCGTGCAGCTTGCGGCCGGGGACCAGGGGCGGCGGGCCGATGCGCGCGCGCGCTGGCGCGGCGCTCGCGACGAACAGTGCTGCCTGGAGGAGGCTGCTACGGCGCGGCGGCATCGTGTGGCTCCGCGCTGCAGAGTGGGTTCCTGGCAGCGCTCGGCGGCGCTGGTTGTTTGCACTGCTTGTGAGTGAAGCAGCGCTGTGGTAAGTGCTAGGCTGGTTTACGCCTTTCTTTGGGAGCGAAACACTCCTGTTGCGGCAAGACGGTGCAGTTGTATCGCGCAGTGGACAATCTGCTGCTATGGCAGCCACTTCAAGCCAAGACTGGCAACTTCAGCCGTAGAGCAATAATATTAGCGAGTAGACACACTAGCATTTCAAAGCTCGATCCAGGGCAGCCCAAACGCCATCGACGACTCGCATCGCTGCCCAAACAATGCCCTACCAGGAGCCCCGCCTCAAGCCGCCGCCGCGCGCGCGCAACCAGGCGCCGGTGCGGCGCCGACCACCAGCTCCAGCCCCAGCACCCGACAGCCCGAGCAGCAGCGACGACGAAGAGATCGAAGCGACGCCCTTCTTCAAGCCCAAACCGCGCCCTTCGACAAAAAAGGCCGAGGCCCCGGCACGGAGTGCGGAGGAACGCGCCGCGCGCAATGACGCCCTCAACACGCCGGCCGAGGAGGCCGCGGCCCGCGCGTTCCTCGCGGAAAATGCCCCGTGGCTCGTGCCCGGGAAAGTGGTCAAGCCGCCGCACCTCGACGAAAACGCGCCTCCCACTCCACCCTTCACCGTGCCCAAGCCGAGGCTCCTCGTGCCCCCCGAGGACGCGGACGCGGGCTTCGAGAGCCCGGAGGCCTTCTACGGCACGGCGAAGGTCCTGCCGCCCGAGGCGCCTTCACCTGAAGACGTCGCCGCTTCCATCAATGCGCGCGCGGCAACGCCGGGCTCGGGCTGGTGGTGGGAGGCTTCTGACGCTACTCTGACATGTCCGGGCGCGGGCAAGCGGGTCCTCGCTTTGCATGACCGTGATTCCGACGTTAGGGCCTGCTCCGTGCTATGTGGGAACATGGGGTTAGGCCCACACGACGTCGTGTGCCTCCGCGGCCCGCTATCAACGAACGGCAAGCATCGGTGGTGGAACGCGCAAGACCACCAGCAGATCGAACATGCATTAAGGGGCGTGCTGGAGTTCGTCAAAAAGCGCGGGCCCTTCCAGATTCTGTTGGGCGTGGGCCAGGCGGCGCAGATTGTGGTCGGCCTGTCGGCGCGGGGCGTCTGCCGGACGCTCGGTATTGATAACCTCACGAACCCGACGTGGAAGGGCGTCGTGCCCGTGCACGCCGTCGACGAGGACCTCGAGGCCATGAACGCCGTCGTCAAAAAGTTGCGGGGCCAGAAGCACGCGTTGTCGATTTTCTGGCGGTCGGGGTGGGTCGACACGGTGCCCGCCTTATCAGTCATCGGCATGGGCGATTCGGATAGGCGGGACGCGGCGCTGCGCGTGTCGCGCCTCTTCAAGCACAACACGAACGCGGTGCACCGCGGTTCTTCCACTGTCCCGGCGGCCGCGCGCGACGACGAGCAGTTCTCCGACCTGGTCGACGGGTTCATGGTGCAGCCGTTTCTTTGTTGAGTAATATTGTTCTTTTTATTGGTCGTTCGATGCGAGGCTGAGGCTGAGGCTAGTTACGTCGCAGGGTTCCCCGTACCCCTCCCGCTCCCCCTGGGCCCACCCGTCCGGCTGGACTAGGACGCAAGGGCTGAGTCACAGGGACTCGCACGCCCCCCCTTCTTTTGGGACGACCCCCGTCAGGATGTGGAACTGGCCGCTGGCTCCTCTTTGATGCGGTGCTAGTGTCTTACAGGACGCTAGCTTGGCTCTGGCTTGCACAGCTTTTTTTGTGCAACCCGCCGGGGTATTGACTGGCCTTGATACACTCTTGGAATTCGATTCTGGGTCTATTGTGTCGTAATCAGTCGTAGTGATCACTGCTGGCCACGCAAGGCCCAGCATTGCTCTGAGAGCTTGACACAGCAATTTGGCTGCAAGCGCGCAAACGCATCGACGGGGACGCAAACGCATCGATGAGTGACTTCACATCAGCTTGGGCTGCGTGCAAAGACGATGCAGCGCGAATAGAGCTCTTCAACCGCTGGCTGAAGAGTAGACGGCCGCTGCCGAGCGAGGACGCGCGGCATGCCGCCTTTCGACTGCGGGCGTCATTGGTAGGGTTGGATGAGGAAGCGCGTATAGCAAGGGGCGAGCAGCCACCCGTGCCGCCCTGCCGAACGCCGCCGCGCACGCCGCCGCGAAGCCCGCCCGCCTCGCCGAAGACGCCCAAACGACGAGAATTGAAACACCAGCGCTCGGCCTGCGCCGAGGCCTATTCGGTGCACGACGACTGGGACGACATCTGGATTTTTGGGTACGGGTCGATACTGTGGCGCCAGGGGTTTGCGTTCGAGCGCAGCATTGTGGGGTACGTCAAGGGCCACGTCCGCCGCTTCCACCTGGCCGACGCACAACATAGAGGCACCAGCAAAGATCCGGGCCGCGCCGTCATGCTCGAGCAGGGACGAGACAACGACCGGTGCTGGGGCTGCGCGTTCTTGCTGCCGACGCGCGACGCCGCGCGCATCCTCGAGACCATGGACGTGCGCGAGTCGGCCTACGAGAAGAGGTGCCTCGATTTGTACGGGCGGTCGTCCGACGACGTGCCCATCGTCAGAGACGTCGTGGCCTACGTCTGCCCGCGCTGTCCACAACGTAGTAAAGCGGCCGGCCACACGGGCGAATCACCAATCACAACGATAGCGTCTATTATAGCGTCGGCGCGGGGCCCGAGCGGCCGCAACGTCGACTACCTGTACCGCTTGGACGGCTGGCTCCTCCAGCACGGTATCCGCGACGACCACGTGCGCTCGATCGCGAAGCTCGTACACGAGCGCGAGGAGGCCGAGGAGGAGTCGCGCGTCTGCGAGGACGAGCCTTGCGCGGCGGCTCAGGGCCGCGTCGTTGTTGATGATGGCGCCGCCGAGGTCGTGTCGAACTGTGGACGGAGTTTATTAGCCGTGGGCGTCGTGCGCGTCGTGGGGGACTTTGGGGCGGGCGCGCACGTCGCGGTCGTGTCCGTCGCGGGCGCGGCCATCGCGGCGGGGCGGACGGCCTACGCCGCCGATGACTTAAGAGCGCTCGCGGGGAAGCGGTCGCGGTGCTGCGCGGAGCTCCGGCCGCGGCACTCGGGCGAGCCGGGTGTCGTGATTCGGAAGGCGGATATGGTCTTGAGCTAAGACAGTCATGCTTTTTACACACCCCCCACCACGCCATCGCCGCGACACGCGCGAGTGAAACCTGCGCCGGGCGCCCGCTCAGCGGCGTCGGAGACCGTCCCGCGAGCGCGAAGCGCGGAGGGAGCGTCCGTCCGGGGCGCCACGAAAAGCGCCCACCTTTTCTCGTCGAATGGTCAGCACGAGGCGGCGTCGACCCCCCCTCCGTAGAGGGAGCGCCGCCTTCGAATTCGGCCTTTTGATGCTCGTCACGCGGACAACAACTGAGACAGATTAGGACGCCGCATCGTGCGCTCAGTAGCCCAGCGAGTAGCCGTCCGTCGTCTGGCGCAGGATGCGCTTCTCCTCCTGGTTCCAGTCGCACTCGTTCCGCTGCTTCCGGGAGCGCTTCTCCTTCTGGTCGAAGGACTCGTGCTTGCCGTCCTTGCGCTTCGGGGCGCGGCTGCCCTTCGGCAGCTGCGGCGTGTCTTCTGCCGGCGGCTCCTCTTCCCGTCGCGTCGCGGCCTCCGCCTCCGCTTTGATGCGTGCGCGCTCGCGCGCCTGCGCCTCTTCGCGCTCCTTTGCTTCGGCCGCGTCTCGCTTTTCCTTTTCGGCCCGCTCGCGCCGCGCCGTCGAGGCCTCGAGGGATTCGCTCTCCGGCGGCTTGACCACGACGCTCTCTTTTCGCAGTGGCTGGGCTGGCGCACAGAGTGGTATCTCTCCAAAGGAGCTGTCCGAGTCCGAGTCGTCGGCCATTGTTGGCTCGGTAAATCGACTGTTGCTGTGCTTGGCTCTGAAATCTGCAGCGTGCTGCTTGGCCTTGCTTTGGGTTGCTAGTGTGTATAAGCTAGCTACATGCGTCGAGGACTAGTCCTAGCACCGTAACATCGATGTGATGCGATCGAGGACATCAATAAAACCAATATATACACAACCCCCGGAGCCGGTCCTCGATGCTGGCGAGCCGGTCCTCGACGCGGCGCAGCGAATCCACGGTCTAGCGCCGCGGCGACGCGAGGGCGCGGGCGGCCGATGGGCCGCCGCCCGCCGCGGCGATCGGCATCGCCGGTGTCGTGGCCGCCGCAGGGGCACCGGCCTCGGCATTATCCATCAGCTCCTGGAATCTCTCGTCGTGCCGCCTCGCCTCCGCCCGGCGCTGCGCGGCGCGTTTCTCAATGGCCGCCTTCACCTCCTCGGGGTCCGTCAACAGCGTCCACACGGCCGTCCCGTCGCTAGGGTCGCCTATTCGTCGCAGGCCCGCGTACTCCCGGTCCGGATCGTATTTTGCATAAAACGCCTCCAGCTCCCGCAGGGCCGCCCCTCGAACCGTCTCCGTCTCTTCGCCGCCGTCCTGCACCTTCTCGTGGACCGCCCCAAAAGCCTCGACCGAGCTCTCCTGCTTCAGCACTTCGACCGAGTTTTGCGCGCCCTCGCGCCACGCCTCGGGAACCTTTGGGCACGGGTAGCCAAAGAGTCGGACGACGCCCGCGACGCCGTTGACCAGTGACGCCGCGTGCAGGCCGACCTGCATGGCCGGTAAGAGCTTCGAAACGACCTCGGCCGGCTTGGTGATGCGAATAGGGTAGATGGATTCGCCCTCCGGCACTACGGGTTTCCCTGTCAGCTCGTCTATCAAGTATAACCACATCTCCTCGCCGACCACGAGTTCCTCGCAGGCACCAGCGACGGCCTCGGCGATGGCCGATGGGCTGCACTTCGCAACGCCGCGCCCGAATCGCGCACAAAGATTCAGCCAGGTCTTGCTCTCTTCGTATCGGTCCTTCGCCTCGTCGACGGCTTCGCCCTCCACCACAAACCCAGTGCCGTCATCGTTCAACGTCAACTCGACGCTGGCTTCCCCCGCCGGGAGTCGCTCCTTCAGAACAACAAACGCCGTCGGCGTCGAGACCTCTGTGGCTTCATATATAGCCCGCATGAGCGTGCTGCGCGTCTGGCGGAGCTCGTCGCGGTGCTTCTCGCTCAGACTAAGAATGGCATCTAACTTCTTGCTATCCTTCTCTTGTTGCTCGATGATCTTATCCAGTTTTTCTTGTGTCGCCACGTCGCCAGGCTTGGGCGGCTTGAAGAATGGGTGTGCCGCGAGTGTGTCGGCGATGCTAAATTCGGCCCGCTCATCAGGATCGCGGACGAGCAGCTTCGACGCGAGATCCCGCGCTGCGGCGTCCTTGATAACGGCCAAATTCTTTTTTGCAGCGTGGTCGTTCCAAGAGGCCAATATGGCCATGCTTTTGGCGTTAACACAGTCGTCGTCGCGATTCGAGGGCACGAGCGGTTCACCCGCGACCAGCTGGAACAAGAGTGCGCCGAGCGACCAGTAGTCGACAGCTACGGATGCTTCCACGAGCTCGTACGGCAGGCCGTCGATTTTGGGGGCGCCATCATCGGTGAGAGAGAACGTCTTGACGACGTACGATGCACCATGCTTGGTCTTTGGCGCTACCTTCTCCCGGAGCTCCGTGTCAACGCCTTCAAAGTACGCTTCAAATTTGGTCACTTGATCAGCGTTGAGCTTGGCGAAGCACTCCGGGGGTAGAATCGCGGACGAGAACTTGGCGCAGACGTAGTCTCCATCATGACGGCTAACCTTTGCGGCCGCGTCTAGATCAATCAAGCGCAGGCGATTATCGAGGGACAGTCGCACGACGTTGAGCATCTTGATGTCGCCGTGGACGAGCCTCTTCTCGTGTAGATGCTGGACGCACTCCATGACCTGCTGCATCAGCATGCGCACCTTGTTCAGATCCGGCCGCTCCGACTGGTAGATCTGGAACAGGTTTCGATTGGCGGCGTCCATGACTATGGCTCGAGACCCGACGCCTTCGCCGAAGAGATTCGTCTCGCCGAGCGCTTTTGCAAATTCGTCGTCCGTGGGCGCCGGGATCGTCTGCACGACGTAGCGCGCGTCGAGCTGTTGATCGTCGCGGCCCCGCTTCTCGTTCCGCCACTGCTCTTCGACCTGGAAGATCTTGAGGACCACCTTGCGTTCCTTGCCGAAGAGCCGCTGGCATTTCGCGACAAACGCTTTTCTCGTGTAGCTTTGCCCGTCTTCTAGCTTTAAGATCTCGACGTTCGTGCCCAGCTTTGTTGCGAGGGCTCCGAGCTCATTCGAGTCAAGTGTCCCGCTACCGTCCTTGTCGAATTCGTCAAATAGCTTCCCGTAATCGTCGGCCGCCTCGTGGTCGACGGCTCGCACGACGAGCGACGTCGCGGACCGGTGCTCCGGCGGGCCTTTGTCGACGTCGTAGCGGCCGAGGAAGAAAAGGGCTTTTTGCATAGCGCTGCGGCATTCTAAGCAGGCGAGATCGATGGCGCGCTGGCCCTTGTCGTTCGTGAGGTCGGCGAGCGCCGGGTCCTTTCTTACTGCTTCTTCGAGGCGGTCGGCGAAGGGCGCGCAGTGGACGATCTCGAGGAAGTCCGCTTTTGCGTCGTCGTCAGCGTCGGCCGCACGGAGGCCCTCGTCGAGGAAGCTAGTCGTGTTCGCGAGGAGACGTTTGATTCGCTCAGCACCATCTCCGTGCGTGTGTGGGGTTGGGAACGTCAGCTTGGAGCAGCCGCTCAAGTTGAGCTTTGTCAGCGCGTCGAGACCGGCCATCGACTCCGGTAGGGCGGAGAGGCTCGAACATTTGTTCAAGTCGAGCCTCCTCAGCGCTTTGAGCTCGCCGATCGCGGCCGGCAACGCGGCGAGGCTCTCGCACCCTGTCAAGTCGAGCCTCCTCAGCGCTTTGAGCTCGCCGATCGCGGCCGGCAACGCGGCGAGGCTCTCGCACCCTGTCAAGTTGAGTTCCGTCAGCGCTTTGAGCTCGCCGATCGCGTCCGGCAGTTCGGCGAGGCTCGAGCAGTGTTGTAAGTTCAGAAACGCCAGCATGCCGAGCCCGCCGATCGCGGCCGGCAATTTGGCGAGGCTCCTGCAGTAGGACAAGTCGAGCTTCGGCACCCGGCCGTCCGTCACCGTAACGCGTGTCCACTCGCGCGGGTCCTCGCCGTCCCCAAAGTACCTCTTGAGCGCACCGCTCGCGTCGTCGTCGCGCAGTTTTCGCAGAGTGGCGAAGTCGGCCCTGGCTGATTCGGTGATGTCCGCAAACGCCGAATCCTTGCTCGCGAGCGCGTCGATGCGCTCGGCGGTTCCTCCAGAGACCACGTGATTTAAGATACTCTTCTTCACGTCTGCCACAGACACTTTGCCGTCTTCCAGCAGTTTGAGGCAACAGAAGCCGACGGTTTTGTGCACGTTGCCATGCATCTCTTTCGGAGGATACGTGAGGCTCGAGCAACCGTTCAAATTGAGCATCGTCAGCGCGCCGAGCTTACCAATGGAGTCCGGTAGGGCGACAAGGCTCGAGCAGCCGCTCAAGTTGAGCCCCGTCAGCGCACCGAGCTCGCCGATCGCGTCCGGTAGCGCGGCGAGGTTCGAGCACCCTCTCAAGTCGAGCTTCGTCAGGGCACCGAGTTCGCCGATCGCGTCCGGTAGCGCAACGAGGCTCGAGCAGCCCTGCAAGTCGAGCTCTGTCAGCGCGTCGAGGCCGCCGATCGACTCCGGTAGCGCGACGAGGCTCGAGCATGTGAACAGTTCGAGCGACTTCAGCGCCTTGAGCTCGCCGATCGCGTCCGGCAGCGCGGCGAGGCTCGTGCATTTGTACAAGTGGAGCTTCGTCAGCGCGCCGAGCTCGCCGATCGTGTCCGGTAGCACGGCGAGGCTCGAGCACTTTCCTAATTTGAGGGTCGCCAGCGCTTTGAGCTCGCCGATCGTGGCCGGCAGCGCGGTGAGTTTCGTGCACTCGTACAAGACGAGCATCGTCACCCGACCGTCCGCCACCGTGACGCTCCTGCCCTCTCTCCACATACGCGGGTCCTCATCCTCCCCGACGCTCTCCTTAATCGCACCGCTTGTGTCGTCGTCGTCGCGCAGTTTTCGCAGAGCGGCGAAGTCCTCGGCCAGAGGGCCTGTGACAAGTTGCGCCGGAAGCTCCAACGTCAGCCCTTTAAGCCCGTCGATCGCGGTCGGCAGCTTTTCGAGGCTCGAGCAGCCGTACAAAACTAGCGTCGTCAGCGCGCCGAGCTCGCCAATCACGGCCGGCAGCGTGGTGAGGCTTGAGCAGTTGTACAAGACGAGCTCCGTCAGTGCACCAAGCTCACCGATCGCATCGGGCAGTACGGCGAGGCTCGTGCACTCGAGCAACCTGAGCTCGGTCAGCGCGCCGAGCTCGCCGATCGCGGCCGGTAGCGCGGCGAGGCTCGAGCAGTTGACCAAGTTGAGATACGTCAGCGCGCCGAGCTCGCCGATCGCGTCGGGCAGCACGGCGAGGCTCGAGAAGGACAGCTGGAGCCCCCTCACCCGGTCGCCCGCCACTTGGACGCATGGCTGCTGGTCGCCTTCAAAATCGCACTTCCAGTTTCTCGGGTCGTCGTCGGTCCACGCCTCCTTGAGCACGTCGCACTCGCTCTCGTCGCGCAGCTTCCGCAGAGCGGCGAAGTCTTCGTCAAGAGAGCCCGGGATCAACTGAGTTGGAAGCATGACCGTCAGCCTTTCACGCCCCACAATCGCGGCCGGCAGTTCGGCGAGGCTCGAGCACCCTCTCAAGTCGAGTCTCGTCAGCGCTTTGAGCTCGCCGATTGCGGCCGGCAGCGCGGTGAGGCTCGAGCATCCGATCAAGCTGAGTTCCGTCACCCCGTCTACGGAGACCGTGACAGCATTACCGCGTTTCCACCCGCGCGGGTCCTCGTCATCCCCAAAAAATTTCCTGAGCGCACCGCTCGCGTCGTCGTCGCGCAGCTTCCGCAGAGCGGCGAAGTCGGCCCTGACTGATTTAGTCATCTCAGCAAACGCCGAATCCTTGCTTGCAAGCGAGTCGATGCGCCCGAGATCTCCTCTAGTGATAACGTGATTCACTATACTCTTCTTCACGTCTGCCACAGACACTTTGCCGTCTTCCAGAATTTTGAGGCAACAGAAGCCGACGGTTTTGTGCACGTTGCCATGCATCTCTTTCGGAGGGTACGTGAGGCTCGAGCAGTCTCTCAGCTCGAGCATCGTCAACGCGGCGAGCTTACCAATCGCGTCCGGCAGCGCGACGAGGCTCGAGCACCCGATCAAGTTGAGTATCGTCAGCGCTTTGAGCTCGCCGATCGCGGCCGGTAGTTCGGCGAGGTTCGAGCACCCGCACAAGGTGAGTTCTGTCAGCGCGCCGAGCTTGCCGATCGCGGCCGGCAGCGCAGAGATTTTCGTGCACTTGTACAAGACGAGCTTCGTCACGCGGCCGTCCTCCACCGTGACAATTTCATCTCCATCGCCATCTTCCCACTCGCGCGGGTCATCGCCATCCCCAAAGAACTCCTTGAGCGCACCACTCACGTCGTCGTCGCGCAGCTTCCGCAGAGTGACGAAGTCCTCGCGCAGGGATGCTGGTAGATCCAGGATCATTAAGTGAAATGGCAGCGTCACATTCAGTCCTTCACGCGCGGCAACCGCGTCTGGTAGCTTCTCGAGGCTCGAGCACCCGTTCAAGTTGAGCTGTGTCAGCGCCTTTAGCTCGCCGATCGCGTCCGGTAGCGCGGCGAGGCTCGAGCATTCGAACAACCCGAGCTCCGTCAGCGCGCCGAGCTCGCCGATCGCGTCCGGTAGCGAGACGAGGCTCGAGCACGAGAGCGCGAGCACAGATACCCTATCATTCTCCACTCCGATACATTGTCCCTGTTCGCCTCCAAAGTCGCACATCCACGTGCGCGGGTCCTCGCCGGTCCACACCGCCTTGAGTTCATCGCACTCGCTCTCGTCGCGCAGTTTTCGCAGAACGGCAAAGTCTTCGAGCAGGGGGCTGTCGGTCATCAGTTGAATCGGAAGCTGCACCGTCAGCCCTTCACGGCCATCGATCGCGTCTGGTAGCTTTTCGAGGTTCGAGCATCCTACCAGATTCAGCGTCGTCAGCTCGCCAAGCTCACCAATCGTGTCCGGTAGCGCGGCGAGTTCCCCACATTCCTGCACATTGAGCTCCGTCAGTTTTCTAAGGTCTCCAACTGCATCCGGCAGCTCGACAACGCTCCCGCATCCCCACAAGGTAAGATCTTTTAGCGAGCCGAGGCCACTTATCGTGGCCGGCAGTGCTTTGAGACCCGAGCAAAACCAGAGGTTGAGCACCTGCAACGCACCGAGATCACTGATCGAGTTCGGCAACGCGGTGAGGTCCGCGCTTTTCACGGTGAGCACAGTCACGCGGCCGTCGGCCACTGTGACACATGGCTGCTGTTTGCCTTCATATTCGAATCTCCACTCGCGCGGGTCCTCGCTGGACCACGCCTGCTTGAGCTCGTCGCACTCGCTCTCGTCGCGCAGCTTCCGCAGCGCAGCAAAGTCCTCCTCCAAGCAGCCCTGCATTATTGTCCAGACGCCTGCCCCACCGCGCAAGCGATGCGAGGCAGCCCGACGCTTCACTACGCGCGCGCGCGAGGCAGCCCTTCGCTTCGCATCGATGTGTGCTGCATGCTTCACTGCTCGGCGGCGCTGGACAGGGCCGAGTCGAGGCGCTCTCCGTGACGGGCTATGAAATGCAGCTCGAATGGAAGGCTCCTCCGAAGCACCAATACAGACATGGCTCTCCCATGCACCGTTTGAATTTTTTTCAAACGCGCGACCGTGACGCCGAACCAATAGAACAGCACCCCGGGGCCGAGAGAGACTACCAACACACTAGGACTTGTACGGCGAGTGCCCCCGGCCCTCCAAGAAGCCCACGTTCTCCGCCTCGCGCGTGATCTTGTCCTCGAGCCACTGCGCGTAGGCCTCGATGTCGGGATCGATGGCCGGCGACAGGGCCAATTTCTCGCGGCCCGGCGACGACAGCTGCGAGAACTTGCCCGGCGTCGTCCGCCCCGGCGTGCTCAGCTGGCTAAACTTGCCCGGCGTGCCGAGGGACGAGAACTTGCCCGGCGTGCCGAGCTGGCTGAAGGTCTTCGCCGGCGAGCCGACCGTCGAGGGCCGGTCGTCCTCGGCTTCGGAGAGGTGCGCGAGGGCCCAGTTCGCGTAGGACTGCACGGAGACGTCCTCGGGGAATTGTTGAGCGGCCGCCTCGACGCATTGCAGGGCTTCCTCATAACACTTCTTGGCCACGTCACTATGGCGGAAGAAGCACCAACCCAGGACCAAGCATCCCCGCGATTGGACCTCCTTCTCGACCTCGAAGGTCCGCATCGCTTTCAACATCAAAGTAGCACACTCTTGCGCTACTTTTTTCCTCTTGAAGCCTCGGGCTTTCGTCGCGATGGCACCCAATTGCAGCGCACCCAATTTCTGCGCCTCGGCTACCGTAGGCGCCGCCTTCATCTTCTGGAGTACGTAGGGCGCGCCCCGTCGAGCCGCCTCCTCGAAGGCCTCGGTCAAACCAACTAATTTATTTGCGACGGGCAAAATCTTCTCCGAACTCTCGGACCAGGCGCCCCATCCGCTGTTGTTCCTCGCTCGCACGCGAAAGTAGACGGCCATGCCCGGCACGAGGTGAGGCGCCTGGAATTCATTTCTAGCAATATACGTGAACGCACCGCACTTCGCCCATTTCCCACTGTCGAATTTCGCCGTGCCCATGGACTGCACGTCATATTGGACTGCGGGTGTTCCTGAAAAAGGTGGATCCTGCCATTGTAATAAAGCTGACCTTGCTCGTGTCTTCACGGCGACGGGCGGCTCGGGCGCGGGAGGTAGGGCCGGAGCCATAGCCAAAGTAGTGTACTGCTTCGCGCACTTCGAGGATGATTCGCATTGGGGCGTCTGACTTACAAGAGCATCTGGGAGCTTTTGTTTCCGCTCGACCCTAAATTGAGCTAATTCCTTGATGGCCTGCTGTCTAGCTTTCCGGATCTCCTTGGCCTGCTGCTGCCGTTCCTTGGCCTCTTCGGCCTTCTTTCGTTGCGTGGCCTTGTTGTCTTTGGGCGGGTCTTTTATGGACTGGAGAGTCGAGGTACTCAACTCTTCGTAGTTTGTCGTATCTTCGGGTTCCTCCGCCGTGAGTGGTCGGTCGTCTAACGACGCTCGTTGCGAGACTTCGAGTAGTCGCTTCTCCTCGTCGTCGTCGGCCTGGTCCTTCGTCTGCTGCTCGAGCGCCTGGACCTGGCGCCGCTTCTCGATGTCTGCAGCTACTATCTCCGTGACCTTGTTGTAGACAGACTCAACAGAAACTCTGGACTCGTCCGTTTCCGCAGCTTCGGTGAGAGCCTTCACCACGGCCCCTCCAAATAAGGAGTGTTCCTCGACATACAAGGCTCGCTCGTACGACGCCGCGGCCTTGGCCAAGCCCTCCCGCTTGATGCGCAGCTTCTCCTCTTTACGGGCGCGCTTCCTCGCCTTCTTCGCTTGCGACCAGCAGCACCAGCACGGTAATAGAGACAACGTAGCTGACACCCATTCGCAACAGCACCACCTTCTTGCATACAGCTGCTCCACTTCATCGGTGACTATTATATTTCTAGGATCGTCCTGGTTGACCTGCATCTTCGGGCAGCATCTTAGTTTATCACAGATCCTCGCGTATAGAGATAGCCTTGGTTCTTCATACGAAACAATTGATACCTCTTCCTTGACAGGTTCCTCCAGAATGGGTGAGGGCGGCGCCTCGGCCTCGTCCAGGACTTCGACCACGCGTATCGCATCCCTCGGAATGTTCCGTTCTGTTTCCCCGTCTTCATACGTAACGTCGTACGTATAGTCGGCGTGGACACTTGTAATCACACCCTTGTAGTACTGGTCCGAACCGTGGTACCTCGCCTCAACCCTCTGATCTATGCAGAGCTCATCGTCCGACGGCGCCGGCGCCGGCGCCGGCGCCTCGGCGGGCGCCGGCGCCGCGGCCGGCACCGGGGCTTCTACCCGCTGCCTCGTCGTCAATGCGGCGACTTGCGTTTTCTTTATGAATTTTGAGGTCAGGGTCGTGACCTTCATGGACCTTTGTAATTTCTCGAGGAGTTCTGCCCTTCTTAACTCTTCCGCTTCTGCCGCCAAATCCTCCTTGCTCCGCGGTCGTAGTAAATATCTCGGTATTGACTGTTGGAGGTCGTCATCAGCAAAGGTGACGTCGTAGGTCCCGTCTTCATTTGCTGATGAAACAACACCTTTGTGGTACGTGCCATCTTCGCTACGATCCACGAGCACCGGCTGATCAAGCACAGCCTTCGGCGGCTGCTCGCCAAATTCCGGCGGCCGGCCTTCGCCTCCTAATTTGCATGAACCGAGCACGCGACACTCGGCCTTGTACGCTACATCAGAGTAGAAGGTTGACGGCGGATAGACCACCACCGGTCTCTTCGCGGCTTCTTTGGACGGCGGCCGTTCGACATGGCAACAGTCTAGTATCACAGTCTTCTCGCGACACTTGATATCCCTGATTAATTTACAGAACTGGCTCACTTTCATACCGGTCCGTTGCAACGACGAGTTGCTCACGGCAGACGTGTCGGAGAAACAGAAGTAGGGCCCGCCGGATCGGTGCGTGGCGACGTGTGTCGCCACATACACTAATAATGAACCGGTGGGCTTGAATTCTCTGCCAGCCCCAGTTCTTAGTTTTTCTGATTGATTCGCTTTTTTTACAATGTCTCGCAACGCGTCAATTTGTGTGAGAAAGACATTCTTCGACACGTTCTTGAGGAACAGGCAGTCCTCCTCTGCGTATTTACACACGTAGGGGTTCACGAGATGTTTTCGGATCGCGTCGTGGTCGTTCTCCACCACGGCTGGTAGAGCAGGTAACCGCTCCTCATCGTTGAATGAGGTAGTAGTCAACACTAAAGCGAACTGTTTTCTATCAGCAGGTACACTCTCATAACCTTCCGGCGCGACATATACAATAGGATCGGGCAGGTCCTCGTCCCGCAGGAGTCGTGGCTTCGTCCTCTGTACCAAACCAGTCACTTTGTTCCGGTAGACCATCCTATCATGTTCTTGGTCGTACTCCTTCGCGAAGGTCGTCTTGATCATGTTCCGGACCTGCCTCCGAGCTTTGAGCGCTCGCGCTTGCTTTTGTACGCGTACCGCACAGTCCGTCTGCAATTCCTCGAGCAGCTCCTCCTCGGACGCCTCGAGCTCGCCACTGTCGTCGTTCATGGCGGCCTTGAGCCTCTCTAATTCGTCCTCGTCGTCGTCTTCGATCTTTTTCTTCTTCTTTTTTTTCTTCTTTTTTGCGGGCGCCGGGCCGGGCGCGTCCGCGGGCGCCATTGCGGCTTCTTCCTTCGCGCGCTTCTTGGCCTCCTTGCGCTCGCGTTTTTCCCGCTTCTTGCGCTCCTTCTCCGTCTCGCCGGCGGGCTCGACTGCCGACTCGAAGGGTGGCATAGCTGTTGTTTATGTGGGGCGCATGGCTCGACGGTGGGCGGGGCAGCCCGTAGCCGCGTGCTTAGGGTGCGGGGGTCGCGTCGGCAGCGTCGGGCCCACGGCTTTGGTTGATCCTGGCTCCTCGAGCCCCGCAGCGCCGTTTGCGCTGCGATTCTTGCTAGTATGTGACTACGCTAGTAGACGCTCAAGGCGCTTGGCAGCGGTGTCTAGCACGCTAGCTGCCGATAAGATACGAGATAGCAGCCTCGGTTAACTCGCTGTCGCGTGGTTTGACCAATGCGCATCGCTACGGGCCGTAGTGACCTGTGCTAGGATGCCATCCCACACACTGCACGCAGCATGGATGCTCGCAGCCGCCACGGCCCTCTCGGCGCGCGGCAAGCTGCTAGACGCCAGCCGCACGCAGCGACTGCGCAAGACTACGGATCGCAGTGGTGTTCTCGGGATGGCCGCGGCGGCGTTAGCCCTCGCGACGGCCGAGGACGACGGCGAGGGCGACGCGCGTGCGCAAATCGCGGAGCTCGCGGCAGCAGCAGCACAAAACGTCGCGGTCGACGCGAAGCTCGTGGGCCGACGTATAGCTGACGCGGCGTTCTATTTCCACCGCGCCGGCGTTTCTGATGAGGAGCTATTTCAAAACCTCGCGCGCCGATTTGTGGAGGAGACCTGGAGCGCGGGCGGCCTCTACGTGTCGGGCGACGATATTTATCCGGACGACTCGCGGGACGCGTGCCTCGACCACGGCGCGGATGACGGGTGCGGACCAGCACGAATCGTCCTCAACGCCTACGAGCGCCTTGTTGCTGCTGGTTGCGTGTGTGAAGAAACGACTGCCGCCGCTGCCACGGCCGCCGGGCGCCTGCTGCCCGAAGACGCCCCGCCGCGCCTCGTTTCATATATAGAGCGGCTCGGCCGCGACGACGCGCGACCGCAGCTCTGGCTCTGGCGTGCGGGCTCCGCGTCGACCATCAAGCTCCACGCCGTCGACGCGAACGGTTCCCTGCACGCAGGCCACGAGAACCGCGGGCGCCAGCGGCGGCGCGACTTCCGGGAGGGCACCGCGCCCGCGATGCCCCCCGCGCCGCCATTGCTGAGCGACCTCTTCGCCGATGACACGAGGCCGCTCCGGCTCGACCTCGGCTGCGGCTTGGGTGCTGCGGCGCGGGGCTGGGCCTCTGATAGAACGCGAAACGTCCTCGGCGTCGACGCGTCGCGGTCCATCGTAAAAGCGTGCGCGGCGCGGGCAAAGCGCGACAGTTGCGGAGACAACCTCGCCTACGTCGCGACCGACGCCCGGTCCATCCTGGCCGCGGCGGCGAAGTACCCGGGCCCGCTCGAGGCCATATCAGTGCAGCATCCCACTCCTCCCAATACAAGGGGCGCCCTCGACTGGATCCTCGCACCCGACGTCGCGGATGCTGCTCGTAGCGCTCTGGCGCCCGGCGGCGTCCTGGCGGTCGAGACGCGGTCCGAGCGCGCCGCGGAGGCCGCGCGCGAGGGTTTGACGAAGGCCGGGTTTTCTCTGGTCTCGGACGCGTGGCCGCTGCCCGACGGAGCGCGGTCGGAGACGGGCGGCGCGTGTGTCGCTCTTGGTTGGGAGGTGGAGCGGCTCGTGTTTCGCGTCCCGTTGGACGATGGTGCGCCCGTGCCGGATGCGGTGACGCGGCGCCAAAGCTGTTCAACAGCCATTGCGGCACTCGCTTGGGTGCCACACTGCGCCTTCGCGTTCGACGTCTCGGTCGGAGCAGCGACCGGCGACGTGCTCTACCCGGCGTCGCTCGTCGGTGAATGGCGCTGTGAGCGTGTGCTTACAGCTGTTGAAGGGGACCAAACTGCTGCCGAGGGCGCCTGGCGCGCCCTGGGCGGCGGCACGACCCCATTTGTCGCTGGACGAGCGGAGACGTACGAGACGCGATTCGTGGCGCCGGCAGCGGCCGCGACGTACAGGTTCGAGGGCCGTGACGTCGCAGGTGTCGTGCTGGACCGCGCCTTTGAGCTCGGAAAACGGCGCGGCGCCGGCGGCAGAGGAGCCGTCAGTTGGGATCCTCGCGCGCCGAGCATTCTTCGCGACGGCGACGCGACCCTAACCGTCGTCTCGAGGACCAGCGAGATATCAGAAGCGGGCTTCGGCTTCGACGAGTTAGTCCGCGTCGATGCTGCGGCCGGTGGGCTGATAGGTGGTGCTGCACGCGTGAGCAGACTCGTTCGCTGCAAGCGGCGCTTCCGCCGGGCATTTGCGAAGGACGGTCGTCGAGTCGTTGAGGGCCTTGAGATTGTGAAGACGTACCGAGTTCTAGACGGTGTTGCTGAAGCCGATCTGCCGACGTCCTCGGCGAAGTCCACGTTGCGCTTCGAACGGCCCCTTCCTGTGTGATAACTTCTTTAATTGCTAGTGTTAATACGCTAGCTCAATGCAGGATTACAAAAGCGCGCGCGTGCCGCTCACAACGCCTCATCACTCGGCTGGACGGGCTGGTAGTAATAGTGATTGCTGCGCCTAGACGCCAGTCGCCGCAGAAGAAAAGAAGCGCTACGACCACCGCAGCTTGGGCAAAAGCTAGGCATCAGCAGCCATCTAAAACGCTAGCCGCACGCATCGCACCACAGCGAGAGCCATGGCCAGCCAAGTCTCAAAAACGCGGCCAGAAAACGTGGGCATCGTCGCCATGGAGTGGTACAGCCCGCAGACCTACGTCGCGCAGACGTCATTGGAGAAGCAGGACGGCTGCGACGGGAAATACACGGTCGGTCTCGGCCAGCAGCAGATGGCCTTCGCCGATTCAAGGGAGGACGTCGGGAGTTTGCTATTGACGGCCTGTGCGCGGTTGCTCGAGAATTATAAGATAGATCCCAAGTCTGTGGGAAGACTAGAGGTCGGCACGGAAACGTTAATAGACAAGTCCAAGTCCGTCAAGACGTCTTTGTTACGGTTGTTTGAAGGCAACCCGAACATGGAAGGAGTGACGTCCGTCAATGCTTGTTATGGTGGCACGGCAGCTTTGTTCAACAGTGTAGCGTGGGTCGAGTCGTCGGCCTGGGACGGGAGGTATGCCATTGTCGTTTGTGGGGATATCGCCGTGTATGAAAAGGGACCGGCGCGGCCGTCGGGCGGTTGTGGAGCAGTAGCTCTATTAATTGGGCCGGACGCGTCCTTAGTGCTCGAGCCACAACGAACAACACATGCCTTAGATTGCTGGGACTTCTACAAACCGAAGGGTGGAGAATACCCGTTAGTTGATGGCGCTTTATCGCAAGCTTGTTATTTACGATGCGTCGACGCGTGCTATTCGAACCCAGGCTCGTATGGTAATCTCGCTTCAGTAGACTACTGCGTCTTCCACGCGCCCTACAACAAGCTGGTGAGGAAGGCCCACGCGCGGCTAGCGCTGAGAGATTCGAATGATCGGCCGAGGAACTGGTGCGTTGCTGGCGACGTCGCGTACGAGCAGTCGCTCGTGGACAAAGGTTTGGACGCGTCGCTGCGGAAGGCGTCGGCAGATGATTATGACAAACGTGTCGCTCCCTCCACGGAAGCACCGAGACATATCGGCAACTGCTACACGGCTTCGGTATTTTTTGGCTTGGTGTCGCTCGTCGCTTCCTCAGATCTCGAGGGGAAGCGTATCCTGATGTTCTCCTACGGTTCTGGTGCCGTCGCGTCGATGTACGTGCTCAAGGGGCGTTCTGGCAAAATAGCGCTTTCATCAATACGGTCCACGGTCGATCTGTCAGCGAGGCTGTCGAAGCGCGTCGAGCGGTCCGCGGCGGACTTCGCGGGGGCCTGCGACGCGCGCGAGGCGGCGTACGGGGCGGCGCCGCTCGAGCCTAGCGGAGGTGTCCCGCTCGCGGCGGGCGTGTTCTTTTTGCGGTGTATTGATGGGCGGCACCGGCGCGAGTACGGGCGGACTGCTTAGGGTATTAAGTCATCACATTATTACACCTCCTAGGCTGCCGGCGGCGCGCGGCGCATGCGTCGCAGGTCGCCGGTTGTGGCGTCGTAGAGGGCGGCCCTGCCCTTGTAGTCTCCTACCGCAACAGTCTTTCCGTCGGGGCTGAACCTAACGGCCCCAAGCCCATGAATACCGTAGTTGCGCGAGATAACGAAGCGCAGGTCGCCAGTCTCAGCATCGTAAAAAAACACGCGCCCTGCACCCGTCAACCCATGTTTCCGAAAAGCAATCATCAACCCATCCGGCGAAAAGCATAACCCGTTCCCAGCGGGGCTAATCTCACGGATTAATCGGCCGTTTGATGCGTCATAAAGCACGAGCTTACCGTCAGGACCACCCACCGCAATTATCTCGCGAGACGAGTAGGCAATGGTCCAGATGCCATAACCACCATGCGCAATTTCGGAGCGTACTTGGCCAGAGGCGACGTCGTAGCACTTGACCCTCGTACCGACGCCCACCGCAAGCACAGACCCCGTCGGTGAGAACGCGATGCCCTCTATTCTTCTAGGTCCGCCGGGATGGGTCGTGAGTAGGACACGAGCTGGCACAGCAAAGGGGTCGCGCGTGGGGTCGGGTCCTCCAATATCGATGACCGCGACTATAAGCGTGCGGCAATACGCAATAGTAGATCCCGCTGGCGAAAATGTGACACATCTAAGTTCCTCTGATCCGCGCCAGAGCTCGCGCGAATTGCCAGTTGCCGTATTGTAAGCAATGAGATCTCTACTGCCGCCCGCCACAAGCACTGTGCTGTCGGTCGGCGAAAAATCCAAGCATGAGGTCCCAAGGGGCCGCGGGAACGTGCGTCGCAGGTCGCCGGTCACGGCATCGAGAACCATGAGATTGAGTGCAAAGTCGTCGGCGCCGATGGCGAGAAGTTTGCCGTCGCAGGAAAATGCCACGGCTTGGACTCCATTTTGCCCAGCCCTTCCAACGCCTTCGCCGCCAGGAAAACTTGAGCGAGAAACGACCCATGCTCGCCTCAAGTTCGTCCAGCTCTTGCTGATCCTCGCGCAGCGCGCGTCGTCGTTTTCATCGACAAACTTCAGAATGTGGTACAACGCGTCTTCAGGCAGGGACGACAGCATCGTGTGTGTGCTGGGTCAATAGAGGTGTATTTTGGCGCGGGCCGGGCGGTGTCTCTGAGAGCTTTTAGACGTGCGTAGGATCTGTTCTGGTCGAGAATAGATCCCTGCGACGTGCGCAGAGAGCAGGTTGGCCCAAATCGCGCGGATGCGCTGCTTTAGCTTGCTAGTGCCTTACATGCCGCTAGCTCCTTTGGAGGGTCGAGTCTGCGGCTTTTCGGCTATTCGCAGCCTTTTTGGTACTACACATTTGTAGCGGCATCGCTACAGCTCGTATCGAGACAACTGCGTGCAAACAGCTGCATCCTGCACGCTGCCACCCCTGCCACAATGAAATCAATGATATTACTGCTGCCGGCGACGATAGCAGCCCTCTCCGCCCCGCTCTCGCGCCGCAACGCCATCACCGGCAGCCTCGCGGCGGCAGCAGTGCCCGGCGCCAGCAATGCCGCCCCATCGGCAGCCGTTATAGGGTACGACGACGTCGTTCTGGACCTGCCGTGCGGCGCGCGCGTGCCGGCGTGCGTCTGGCTGCCCTCAGACGGCGCCGACGCGCCACCAGCGAGCTACAAGTACCGCATCTCGGCGGGCCGCCTCGTGAAGACGATCCTCGGACTGCCGACGCCCGACGCCATCGCCCGGACCTTTGCGCTGGACGCCCCGGGTGTAAGGGAGGCGCCCGGCGCGACGGTGAAGGATGGCACGCCTGTCGTCGTCGTCGCACACGGCTTCCTGGGGACGCGTTTTGACCTCTCAAAATTCGGCGAAGCGCTTGCAAGAGAGGGCGCCGTGGCCATCGCGCCGGATTTTGACGAGACACTAGCGGGAAGCTATACGCCCGACAAAGACGGCGGCTCGAGCCGTGATAAAATCGTGGTCGCGGCTCTGGAGCACGCGAAGCGGCGGGGCGCGACGGGCGCCATCGGCGCGCTCGGCCATTCTGCAGGTGCTGCGACGGCGCTGAAGGTGCCTCAAGCGAAAGGCGCCGTGGCCATCGCGGGCTTCGGCCGGGACGCCGTCCCGGATGTCCCTTTCCTAGCTATCGCGAGCGAAGGCGATGGGGCGGTCCCATTAAAATTTGTCCGCGAGCGGTTTCCCGGCGACGTGAAGAGTATTGCTGTTGGTGTAACACCAACGACGTGGCCGCAGCGCGGCGTGATCGCCTTCGCCGGCGCGGACGCGCCGTGCCACGTGTCCTTCTTGGCACCGGACGTCAACGTCGAGATGCAGAACTTCCTCGGGCCTTTATTACCTGTCGCCAGGTTCCTCAAAATTCCCGTGCTGGATTTTGACAAATACGGCCTCCTGTTCGACGCCGAGCGGACGGCCGAGAGATGCGTGCCCGCCGCGACGTCTTTTTTGAGACAGTACGTCATTAAAACATAACATACAAGTTAGGTGCTAGCCTCGTCGAGCCACGCGTCCAGGTACAGGCACGACTCGGCGTTGCACGTGCCACCGTTCTCCGCGCGGCACCGCGGCCACGGACACGTCCCGGACGGCACCTCGGCGACCCAGTCCGTATTCACGCAGGGCTTGGCCACCTTGAACCGCGCGTCATCCGACGCGTGCAACCGCTCGAGCTGCGAGTCGGCCAGCAACGCTTCGACGACGGTCTGTACGTCCGAGATACTTAACGGGACGGTAGAAACCTTGGTCCCTAGCACCGCCTGGTGGATATCTTCGAGCGTACAGTTCCCCAATGCTTTCACACAAGAAACCACAACTGTCTTTATCGCAGATACAAATTCATGATCAAATTCGTGATCCGTGTACCAGGGCCCGCCACTCACTTCTCGCGTCGGTGCGAGGTCGTAGGCCATGTAGAGTTTTTTGGTCTTTTGTTGCACGGAGCGGACCGTCTTCACTAATTTCCTACTTTCCAGTACTTTCAGAGCTTTATTTAAAGTTTGCTGCTGCATGGAGGTCGCGGATTTAATATCTCGTAACCACACACCGGACGTGTCGGCTCTCTCAACAACTTGTAGAACTAACCTCTGTTCGTTCGTCAGCTCACCTAGTCTCGCAGCTCTATCCTCCGGAATCCACTGGTACGCAAGCGTCGTCCTACCCTCGCCCTGCAGCAACTCCATGCGGTCCGTGTTAATCAGCTCGTTGATAATCGCCGGCAGGTCGTCGAACTCGTCGCCGAACGCGTCTTTTAGTTGTTCATTGGTGACGCCGCCTCCCCCAGAAGCGTGGTCGTCCTTGAGCATCTGCTCCAGTCTAGCCTTGACGTCGGCCATGGTTGTTTACGCTTGCGTTGACTTGCTTCGGCAGCGCCGCTTCGACGGCGTACCGCTTTGCACTTCGCTGCAAGCACCTCGCTCTCCCGACCGTCTGGGCGTTTCGCGACGCGGCGACCTGACGCCGACCGAACGGCTGAGCGCGTCTGAGCCAGAAACGCTTCCTGCGCACGCCACAGGCCGCTCTTCGCCGCAATGGGCTCTCCACTGCGTTCACAGCCGCGCTAGCTAGCGGCCAGTAACACACTAGCAAGCAAAACAGCGCTTTTATGCGCTGCGCGCTAATTGGTGTTATCCGACGCCCGTCGACGCGCCCTAGGAGCTCTTCGCATCGCCTGGGACCCGATCGGCCGCGACCGAGGCTGCCCCGCGGGCGCGCATTCATCTACCTACCTACCGGTTGTACAGCACCCAGGGGGTGGCTAGGCGGCCGAGCTCGAAGCCATGGACGCCGCAGCAAAAAAAAAGAAGGGCCAGAACGAGCTGGGCGTGATCACGAAGCGCCCGGGCAACGCGACGCACTTTCCCGCGCCGGGGTGTACGTGCCGCGTCCACTACGAGGCCCGGTTGGAGAACGGCGACGTCTTCGATTCGTCCAGAGACCGGAAGCGCGCCCTCATCTTCAAGTTGGGGGCCGGACAGCTCATCCCGGGCCTCGAAGACGGTATTCCGAAGATGTCAGTAGGGCAGATTTGCGTCTTCACGGTGCCGCCATCGTTGGGCTACGGCCAGGAGGGGTTCATGCCCGTGGTCCCGCCGGCGGCGACGCTGACGTACGAGGTGGAGCTTTTGGATTTTAGCGCGGAGGACGACGCGGGGCACGTCTAGTCCTCCCTTAAGGTGTGTGTGTTGTCAATCAGTCGTGTTATTAGGACTCGCCGGCGCGGCGAAGCTTCGGGCGAAAGTAGCGCGCGGTCGCGCGTATGCTCAGGCCTAGTAGGCATACCTAGCAAGAGCACAACGCAACCGGGGCAGCTCTGCGACGGGCACGCTTACGCCCAGAGCGAAGGGGCAGCCTATCCACGCACGCTTACGCCGTCGCAGCGAGCCTAACGCACGCTTACGCCGTCGCAGCGACCATGTCCCGGCCCCCGTCCCAAGAAGCTAGCCTCGCAAGCGCGCCGCCGAGCGAGCCGAGCGAACCTGAGGAGGAGAGCGGCGAAGGGCTCTTCACCTTCGTCGACGGAAGTAGATATGAAGGCCAGTACGCCACGGAGGATGGAGTCAGGAGGCGGAACGGCTACGGTACGCTCACGCAAGGGCCCGAGACGAGCGAAGGCGAGTGGGTGAGCGACAAGCTCCACGGCGTCGGGCGGTGCGCCTTCGCGAGCGGCGCGACCTACGAGGGCGGCTTCGAGGAGGGTGTTTTCTCGGGCGAAGGTACTTATAAATGGGCGGACGGCGCCTCTTACGTTGGCGGGTGGAAAGCCGGAAGGATGCACGGCGAGGGCTGCTACACGGACACGGACAAGGTCGAGTGGAAGGGCGCGTTCCACAACGGGTCCTTCTTCAACGGCAAGGCGTACGCGACGCTGCGATGAGCGGTGCCTCGGCGGCTCGCTCGAGGGCCCCAGGGGAGTAATACGTATGATGACGAGAGGAGCCAAAAGACACGTATGAGGAGCCTTAGTGCTCTCGAGGGATGGGGGAATCTACTTGAGGGAGGGCACAGGAATCGCGTCGGGCGGCGGCAGCGTCGCACCGGCGTCCTCGTCCGTCTCGACGTCCTGCGCGTCGGCGACCGCCGCGATGAATTTTTTGGGGTGCAAATCCATGTTCTCGGCGATCACCTCGACGACCTCCTTGAAGGCCCGCTTCCGCTTGAGCCACAGGCCGCGGTGCTCGTTGTGCTTCTTGACGGCGCGCACCATGTCGCGCGGTTTGACGGGCGGCGCCTGGCTCGCGCGCTTGAGGCGCGCCTCCAAGTCCGACGCCTCCTTCTCGGCCGCGGCGACGGCCGCATCCAACGCATCGTTGGCGGGCTCCGCTAGCAAACGCTCCGCGCGGCGCTCGAGCTTGGACGCGTCCTCGTCGGCCTCCTTGGCGTCGCACTTCGCATCCCTCACGTCGCAGCTCATGTCGCGGATGTCGGCCATGGACGTCGCTTTTATTTTGGCCTGGTCGGGCCAGTAGGCCTTTTGTTGGGCGACGACGGCCTTCGACTGCAGGACGCCCTGCCGTTCTAAAGCATCTAACATAGATTGCACAACACCTTTGTCGTAGCGCGGCGCGAGCTTCTGTACGACGTCGTTCACGCCGAAGGGCCTATTGGCTTCCAGCAACAAATGCTCGATCTCGCCGCGCGCGTCGCCCTTCTGGGGCAGCTTCTTTTTGACCTCGGGTTCCTCCTTCTTGACGTTCGCGTCGGTCAGCGAGGGCTTCTTCTTGGGAGGCGGCTTTGATACTTGCTCCGTGCCGTCGTCGTCGTCAGACTCCTCCTCGTCGCTCGACGACTCGGCGGACTTGCGCTTCTTCGGGGCGCTCTGCTTGGACGCCGCCGACGCGGCGCTCTTGGCGCTCTTGGCCGACGCGGCCGAGCCGCGCTTGGCGGCGGGCTTCTTCGGCGCCTCGGCCACGGCGGCGGGCTTGGGCGCCGTTTTCTTGCGCGGTCCGGTCATCTCTTCGACGGCGTCCAGCTTGTTGTCCTCCTCGTCGCTGTCGGAGCCGTCGTCCTCTTCTTCCTCGTCGTCGTCGTCGTCCTCCTCCTCGGGCTCGGAGACGGCGGCGTCCTCCTCCTCGTCCTCGGGCGCGTCGTCCCAGTCGTCCTCCTCGGTATCGGACATGGCTGCGGTAGATGCGAGAGGCGTTTGGCTGCTTGTGGGCCGTGCGCGCTCGGCAAACAGTGGTGCGCGCTGCGAGAACGATTCTCGACGGCGCCGGGAACTGCGACGCGCGGTGAGCGCGGTGATGAAGCAGCGGCTGGCTGCGCTGTGCGATACGCGAGAGAGCTGGTCGATGCAGCGGTTGTGCGCGGAGAGCAGAGGCAAAACGCAGCGGCGCGGCAAAATTAAAGCGGATGATCCTTAGCTCCAGTAAGACACTAGGCCTCAGTTCCGAAGCTCCATCACTCCATGCAGCTCTAGCGCGACGCCAAGGGACTCCCTGGGGCTGTGCTGAAGGCTTCTAGTGCACCTCCGTTGATGAGTGAGTTGGTTTGCAACAACTCAGTGCTCTCGCAGTCATTACCCGTCAGCGGTGCAAGTAGAACGAGCAGGACACAGCAAGAGTGCGCGCTTCACTGCTCTCAACCGCTCGTGCAACAACTCCGCGCGATCTCCACGTACAGTCGCCGAGAGCACCCACAGAGGGTGCTGACTGCATCGAATGCGTCGAGCGACGAGTCTACTGGCACTCGCACGCACCGCACATTCGCTGGCCGCGCCGAACTCGCTCCTCCGAGGAAGAAAAATGTCCGCCATGGCGAGCAAGGCGACGGTCGTCTGGCTCCGCGACGAGCTGCGCGTGCACGACAACGCTCTATTGGCCGAGGCCGCGAGGCGCGGCGCGCCGGTGCTGCCGGTCTTCTGCCTCGACCCGCGGGTCTTCGACGCCTCGGCAAAGAGCGACCTCGGCTCGTCGCAAAAGACGGGCGCGCGGCGGGCCAAGTTCGTGTTGGAGAGCCTCGAGGACCTGCGCGGCTCGCTAAAAGACCTCGGCTCCGGCCTCGTCGTCCGCCGGGGCAGCCCGCGCCAGGTCCTCGCCGATATTTGTGAGGAGCTCGGCGATGATGTCGCGATCATTTCCTCGGAGGCCGCCTGCTCGGAAGAACAGAAAGACGAAGCCGCCGTGTCAGAAATCGCGCCGCTCACGAAAGTCTGGGACGGCACGCTCTACCACCGCGACGATTTAGCGTATATCCCCTTCAAGGACCAGTTCACGGCCTGGCGCACGTCCGTCGAGAAGGGTGACACGCCGGTCCGAGCGGACTGCTTCGCGCGGCCGCGGGACCTGCCGGCGCCTCCTGCATGCTCCGGTCTCGACGACGCGATCCCTTCTCTAAATGATCTGGGCTACGGCGACGCGTCCGTCGATAAGCGGGGCGACTTCTTCGACCCACGGGGCGGCGAGGCCGCCGCGCTGGAACGGCTCCAGCGCTACGTCTGGGACGAGGACCGCCTCCGGACCTACTTCGACACGCGCAACGGTGCCGGCCCGCGTCCTTTCGACGAGCGGAGCTCGCGTCGATGGCGTCGCTCCCGTACGCCATCGACGCCATCGACGCAACGACGCATCGACGCAATGGCGCAGACGCCACGATGGCGTCACGTGGACACTGAACACACACAGGCATGGTCGGCCAGGGCTACTCCACGAAGTTCGCACCCTGGCTCGCGCGGGGCTGCCTGTCGCCGCGCCGCGTCGCTCATGAATGTGCGAAATATGAACAGAAAAGAGTGGCCAACAAGAGCACGTACTGGGTCAAGTTCGAATTGACGTGGCGCGACTACTTCGTGTACTACGCGCACAAATATGGAGAGAAGCTCTTCTTCCCGTACGGCGTCAAGGGTTCCTCGCAAAAATGGCGCGTCGATAGTAATGCTTTGAGAGCATGGAAGGAGGGGCGGACGGGCGCGCCTTTGGTGGATGCGAACATGAGGGAGTTGCGGGCGACGGGCTTCATGTCGAACCGCGGCCGCCAGAACGTCGCGTCCTACCTCGTCCACGACCTCGGCCTCGACTGGCGGTTGGGCGCGGAGCACTTCGAGGAGCTCCTCGTCGACTACACGCCGGAGTCGAACTGGGGCAACTGGCACGCCGCGGCGGGCCTCAGCGGCGGCCGGATCAACCGTTTCAACATCCTCAAGCAGTCCAAGGACTACGACGCCGACGGTCAATACGTCAAGCTCTGGTGCCCCGAACTCGCGAAGGTGCCAGCGCCGTCGTGCCACACGCCCTGGCTTCTGTCGACCGCCGACAAGGACCGTTACGGCGCCGCGGACTACCCGCCGCCTCTGAAGACGCTCGGCTTCAAGGGCGGCAAGCCGCCGCCGAAGAAGGCCAAGGGCGGCGACCGCGACAAGATCAAAGCGAAGCGGCGCCAGAAGTCCCGCGTCCAGGCGGCCTACCTCTAGTGTCTAACTGTCTTACATGGTAGGGGAACAAAATCAGAGCCGGAAGGCGCGCGGCGCCGGGCCCCGCGACGTCGGCGACGCGTAGGGCACGCCCGCCCGCGCTTGGACAGGTGGTGGCGGCGGGGGCGGCGGCGGCGGGGGCGGCGGCGGGTCGGACGTCCTTGATGTGAGCAACTTCATCAGAGTAGGCAGCGAGGCGAGGTCGACCCACTCGTCTTTCCTATTGGTGTAGATATAGGACAGCTCGTCTATTTCAGAACGCGTCCAGACGGCCTTCAGTCCCTCGAAGTCGACGGGGCCCTTCTGCGCGCCGTTCATGTCCTGGTAGTAGTACTCCATGTCCAAAAAGGCGCGCGCGTCGAAGCCCAACCTCAATTCCGTCGACGCGGGCCTTTCTTCCTCGGATTTTCTTTCAGATTGACCGGAGAGGCGGACGTTGTCCAAGGCCTCCTCGAGCTCGTCCTTGTAGTTCGCGGCCGGTTTTGGGGGCGGCGTCGTGGACGCCGTGTGCGTCTCCGGGGTCACGCCCGCCGCCGACGAGGCCACACTCAGGCCCGCCGCCGCCGAGCCCCCGCTCAGGTAGAAGTCCCGCGACACGCCGCCCGCGGAAGGTTCCTCGGACAAGGAGCCCCGTCTCAGGCGAGCCAGACACCACCTTAAGGCTCTCAACCAGTCCTCGAACTCCCTAGGTGAGGGCGCCCGGACCACGAACGGCGCCGTCCGGACCTTGCCCGCGTCGTCGGTCGTGTGGTGGACCTCGAAGTAGTTGAGCGTCTCGGTGGGGTCCGTCGGGGCGTGTCTGCCTCGCAATCTTACCTCTTCCGGTACTACTATCGACGAGTGAGGGAGTAGTCTAACAACACCGGCTAGATTTTCATACCCGGCATCCTTGTAGTAGCTCCAGTGGCCCTTGTCCAGATCCAGGTAAAAGAAGCGGTCGGACCAGTTCCGTCGCCCAAAGAAAGAAGATTTCGGCGTCTTGTCGCCGCTGTTGCGGTCGGTTTTTATTTTTGCTGATCGCGAACCGCCCTTCTTGAGCAGCGCCCCTTTGTACCTCAAATGGCCCTCGCTGTCGCGATGATCGCACGAATAGCAGTCGGGCGGCGGGTACTCCCAGCCCTCGTAGACGGCGGCCATTTGTTGCTGTTGTTGTTTCTGTGTCCTTGCGTCTTCGCGCGCGCGCGTCGACGGCGTACGCGCGGTGCAATTTGGCCGCGTTCGGGTGCTATGCGCCTTCGGCGCTCTTGCGTCTACGGCGAAGCGTACGCATACAAGGCCTCGCGACGCGTTGGTGATTGGGCTCAGCAAGCCACGTAGGTGCTGCGACGAGCGGTGGGTGCTCAGAGGCAGCGCTTAGCCAATTACCAGCAAAACTCGAGGATTTTTTTTTGCTTGCTAGTGTGTTACAGGCCGCTAGCAGCTTTATCGTGGCGAGCCCTTCAAACGCGGCGTACACGTTACGTCCGCACTCCAAAAATGCTCACGACAAAGCATTTATGCCGCCGGTTCGGTCCAGACCGAGTAAAGGCGGCGCGACCGCTCACCAGCGCGCTGCAGCGTGTCAGGCCACACCACAATGTCATGCGTGTCGCCGCGAGGGCGCTGCGCACGGATGCGGCGCGGGGACGCACGCATGCGCCGGCGCAGCGCTTCACAATGCAGCATAGCGCGAGGCGCCGCTTCGCCGACGCGACCGTGCCCCTCGCCTTCGTCGACAGCCGCGACGGCCAGACCATAGAAGTCGAAGCGGAGGTCGGCAAGACGGTCCTGGAGGCGGCGCTCGACCACGACGTCGACATCGAGGCGGCCTGCGGCGGCGAGCTGGCGTGCTCCACGTGCCACGTCATCCTCGAGCAGGAGCTCTACGACGCCCTGGAGCCCCCCGACGAGGAGGAGGAGGACATGCTCGATCTCGCCTGGGGGCTGGAAGACACCAGTCGTTTATGCTGCCAGATCAAGGTGTCGCCCGAATTGAGAGATGCGAAGTTCGTGATCCCCGAGGACCCGGACATCTAGTGGTCCTGGCGCTTTCTTGTAGTTTGTTATAATGTTGTCTTTTAGTATACAACCATGCGCTAGCTCCGACAAACCCCGAATCCCCGAGGCCCGGCCGTGCGGGTTCCGTCGCTCTCAGGCCCACTTGGGCAGCCACAAAGAGCACAATGGGAGCGCAATTGTCCTCGTCTGCTTCGGTGGATGAGGTGTCACGCCTCGCGACTGCCGTCACCGAGCAAAAAGCCGAGCTGCTGGCGGTCAAGGAGGAGCTCGATGCCGTGCGGACAGAGCTTGCCACCCTGCGGCGCGAGGGCGTGGATGCGGATCCAGATTTTGATACGCATCCGGTATCCCCAACGTCCGGTATCAGCCCCCGCGTCATGGGCATTCTCCGGCGGCTCTCCGTGCGGCAGCGGGAGAAGAAGAACTCGGTCCCGGCGCCGGCGCAGGCCGAGGCGGTCGAACCGATCACGTACGACGAGGCCTTCGCGGCGATCGGCGGCGCGGCCGAACTCCAGCGGTACGCGACGGTCAGCAAGCAGCTCGCGGCGTCGGTAGCGGACGCGGAACTCGACGAGGAGCTCCGGCGCCTGCTCCCGCGAGACTACGGGCGGCGCATGGGCTTCTCGACGCGGCTCGTCAACCAACACTTCGTGAAAACGCTCGAAGAGCTCTACGAGCGGGCGAACGTCGTTCATGCCCGGTTCGACGACGTCGTGCGGGCGCTCGCGGAAGCGACGGGCGGTGCCGCGGTCGTGCCGCCGGTGAAGGGCGAGGTACGCGCGCGCATGAAGGCCTTATTTAAGTACGCGGACGCCGGCGCGTCCGGAGACCGCGACGTGGCCTGGTACCGGCTGACCGATTTAGTGAGAGCGACGATCGAGTACGAGGACCTGGGGGCTTTATATGGCGGCCTGGAACACATCGTCGCACGCTTCGGGACGGACATCAAGGAGCTCAATGACCGCTACCAGCGCCCCCTGGCGGGCGGGTACCGGGACGTCCAGCTCGTGGTGTGCTTCGAGCGGCACATGTGCGAGCTCCAGCTCAGCACGCGCGCGATGAACCGTGCGAAGATGACTACGGGCCACCGCGACTTCGAGGTCGTCCGCGAGCTGCGCGCGGCCGTGGCCAAGGGCGACCTCGAGCGCGTCGTGAGCGCGCTGGAGTTCGGCCGGGAGCACCTCGGGCGCGCGAGCGCGGGCGACGACGGCGCTGCGGCGTTGCAACGGCTGCTGCGGGGTGACGACGCCACGACGCTCCTGCACCAGGCCGCGCGGGCCGGGTACGCCGACATCCTCCACGCGTTCCTGCTCCACGGCGCCGACGCGAACGCGCGCGACCCGGCCTGCAAAAACGAGACGGTCCTGCATGCCGCGGTCTTCGCGGGCCACGAGCGGTGTGTCTGGGTGCTGGTGGACAAGGCGGCCGACTACCTCGACCTCGATGCGCAGAACGACGAAGGGCAGACGGCCCTCGTGGCTGGCTACCTCATGCTCTGGACGCGACCGCCGGAGTCGGCCGCGCGGGCTCTCTCGACGCTGGCGCAGGTGTGCGGGGTGGAGCGAATCCGCGCGGCGCGGGCCGTTGTCGACGAACACCTCAAAAAGTTGCTGAAGCCGAGCCGCCCGCTCGTGGACTACGCTGCGACCGGTAACGTAGGAAAGCTCGTCCGGGAGCTCCGCGGCTACGCCGACCCGAACAGCCGCGACAAGGGCGGCCAGTCCGCGCTCGAGGCGGCGGCCACGCATTGTGAGCAGGAGGCGCTCGAGCGGCTGCTCGACTACAAGCCCGACGTGCCGCGCGAGCTGCTCACAAAACTAGATCAAACGGCAATGCAGAAGCACCCCAAGATCCTCGCTTCGCTCACGGACGCGGGCCTCAGCACCATCAAGAGCGTCGAGGCGGCGCGCGCGTCGCGGCCGCCGAGCCTGGTGCCGACCGTGCCGCTGGAGGATGGTGTCCCATACATCTTGAACCCACACGTGTGCCGGCTGCGGGGTGTGCCGACGACGCTCCGCGGCATTATCACGAGCAACCAGCGGAACACCGGCGCCGGCGTGTCGATTGAGGTCGCTGTGAGCGACGACTGCGTCGGTGTGCTCATTTTCCACGCGAACAGGCGGAAATACCACGAGACGACGTCGGCGCTCGAGACCGAGCTCGCCGACCTCGGGTTCGTACGGACTACGTTTCATTGGCTGACGTCGGACGCGTTCGAGGCCGACGAGGCGGGCGCTGACATCTGGAAACTGCCCGTCGCTGGTCGCCGTGTGGTCAAATTCGGTGTAGCGGGTCTTGCGGAGTTCAATGTGCTCCTTTACAGCGAGGCAGTGCTGACGTCGTGCGTCGCCGAAGTGACGAAGGGCAATAAGGACTGGGCCGTCGGTCCACTCCCAATGGTCGAGCTCACTGAGGGCGTGCAACACTTCCGCGACCGCGAATACTGCTTCGCGGACGTGCCCCGGGAGCTGACGGGGAGCGCCCTGACGCAGAACCCCTGCCACTGCTTCGACGGCCTCGAAATCAAGATCAGCGCCTGCGACGAGGACATAGGCGTGCTGATCGCCGAAGCCTGGGTGAATCCCCCAGAGGTCAGCCACTGGGCGGAGGTCTACGGGAAGAACGCGGCGGCGCTCGTCGCGCTGCTGTTCCGGCTCGGCTTCACGGGGCCGACGCTCTTCGAGCGCATGACGTCGCCGACCCTCGACGTGCCCGGCATGAACCTCTACCGCCTCGCCGTCGTGGGAAAGGTGTCCGTCACGATTCGCACGGAGGGGGACTTGGAGCTCCAGATTGTGTCCCTGCCGCGAGTTAGAAGTTAAATGCCTGATATATACCTAGGCTGGGCCCTGGCGCGCCTGGGCCGCACGCCGGTAAAATTCGCGGCGCCGATGTCGTGCCTTGAAAAATTGTGCAGAGCACAGCACATCAGCAAGCATGGGCAAAGGTGGTTACGGTACGCCGCGCGGCAACGCCAGCGACGTCTCGTGGCCCGCGGGGCAGCCGCGAAGTATCGAAAAGAAAACAGAACCGACAGAACTGCTGACAGAACCACAGACAGGGACATCCAGTGGGTGCGAAGACCATGTATTGTGCCAAAAGTGCGCCGAAATGCGGCCAGCAACAGCGCAGCCAACGTGGCCAGCAACAGCGCAGCCGACGTGGTGGCAACGACTGACAAATCTAACCCTGCGGACGGTGTGGCGGATAAAAGGCCGCCGCGTCTCGCGGGAGCGGAGCCAACGAAGCCGGAAAGCATGGGCCATCGGCGGCGAGTGGCGCAGCGACGAGCCCGTGGAAGACTTCGAGAAGAACACGGATCCGACGAAGACGCACATCGTACGAACGAATCAGGGTAAATGGGAGACGTCGGCGCACTGCTTCCAGTGCGCGCTGAACACGGTCCACGAATGTCATGATTTTGGCGAAGATATCCATACCTTTCCGGGCATCGAACGGAAGTGGCTCAGTGCCTCCGTGAGCGAGAAGGTCCACTACCCGCGCGTGCGGTATTTGGTCTCGTATCCACCGCGGACGCCGCAACTGCCGTACCACGACCACCCGGGCGGCGAGGAGTACTTGGTATTCTCCGGGAGTTTTTGTGATACGAACTTTCCCGATGTCAAGTCGCCGGCGTTCGTGCGCTACCCGATCGGCACGCACCATGCCGCCATGACGGAGCCCTCTTCGGAAAGGACGGACATCCTCTGCTGGTGGGGCCTCATGCAAGCCACCTCCTCGACCGAGAGCGGGCGGAGTATTCAATTAGACCCTCAAACGCTGACGCCGTCGGGCATCGCGCCGGAGGCCGTCTCCAACAGATTGGTCTGGTCTCTGTCAAAAGATGGCATCGAGACGCGCATCGAGCGCTGGGAATCTGATTCTGAAATCAAGTGGCTGCGGCCGCACAAGGAAATCTTCGTGCTGAAGGGCCGCGTCGTAATTGATGGGGACGAGCTCGGCGAGGGCGACTGGTGCTCATTGCCCGTCGCTACGGAAGCGTCTTCATTCAGCGTGCTCGCGCCGGCGACGGTCCTCGTCAAGGAGCTCTGGCCCATGGACGGCTGGCGCACGCCGCGGTTCCGCGACGTCGGCCACTGGGCGTCCTGGAAGGGGGGCCGCGTCGGGGGCCAGGGGCTCGTGGAGCATCGGCCCGCGGTCCGGAGGGCGCTCACGACGTGCAACTGATCTCCCCTCGACGCCGCCGGCGCGACTTGCACGCGTCGATGGCGTATAGGACCGACCCCAATGTACTACCCCTGTCTAAGAACCAAGCCTGTGCACAACACTACAATTTCTTACCGAAGTCCAGGCTGAACTTGATCGGCGCGGCGCCCGGAAGTTTCTTCGTCTGGAAGCCGCTGAAGCCGGGCAGCGGGGCGGTGGCGTATCCCGTCGACGCGGGCGCCGGCGCTGGCGCCGGCGCCGGCGCCGCGGCGGCCGCAGCTCTAATCTGCTTTTGTAGTTCCCGCTCCCGCCTGGCCTCCTCCCTCGACCGCTTCTCGGCCGTCGCGTCGGCATTCCTCGCTTTCTCGGCCTCGCGCATCTCCGCGAAGCGCTTGCGGTGGTGGTGGTCGTAGGACGACAGGTGCGCCGAGAACTCCGATACTGTGGTATATTGTTTATCACAACACGCACAGTAAAAATTGCGATGCTGCTCGGCCAGTACTTCGTCTCTACGTTTCTGCTCCTCGCCGACCTCTTTCCGCTTTTTACGAGCGGCCTCGTCGTCACTCTCGTCGCGCTTCCGCGTCGTCGCCTTGCTGAGCATTTCCGCTTCTTGCTTGCTACGACCTAGACCCTCCCTTCTAGCTTCCTCCCTGATGCGCTCCGATAAAGGTAAAGCGTCGCCCTTCGACTGCTTGCCGAGTCCTTCACCTTCCGTCCAGCCCATGCTCTTCAGCATCTTGAAGCCCTCGTTGCTCGCGTCGATGTGGTCGGGGTCGAGCTGGGCCGGGGCCGGCGCGTCCGTGGGCGGCTTCTCGGCCGCATTCGTTGGTTTGCGGTCGAAGCGGGACATCGTTTTTCTATATATGCGCAGCGTCGGGGGCGTTGCAGCGGCGGCTGTCAGCAGCGGCGGCTGTCACTCTACGTTTCTGGCGGCGTCGGGCGTAGGTGCAGCGGCGAGATGTCGAAGCGCTGCGTTGGGGGCGTCGCTGCGGTGAGCTGTTTAGGTCCTGGCCAGCTCGTGCGCCGGTTATATTGCCAAAAAATGCCGGCCTTGCTGCTTGCTAGTGTCTTACATGCCGCTAGCTATCGAGCGCGGCCGTAAGCCCAGTGGCGCATTTGTGCGGCGTGCTAGAGCGGCTTGGGCACACCTGCGTTGCCTCAGACGCACCGGAGCCAGCGGTGCGATCAGTGAGCAGAAGGGGAGGCTGCTAGCCTCACAGCACTCCACCCAGCCAACTCGCAGCGCTGGGGAAAGCGCGCGTAGGCGTGCCGTGCGGAGCCAAGCGCGCGTAGCTGTGCCGTGCGGAGCGACGCGTGTTGGATAATGGAGTCCCGCCCGCCGCCCGACACGACGAACGAATTCGTCCTCGAGGGCACCAACGCCGACGAGACGAAAGAAGAGGAGCGGCCCGAGGACGCGATTCCCGACCTCCCCGAGAACCAGGCCACGCGCGACTTCCTGAAGAATGCGCCCTCGAAGGGTTTGTGGCTGCCCATGGGCCTCGAGGTGAAGACGATGCAGTGCTGGAGATGTAAAGCCTACGGCCACCGGACGGGCGATCGAGAATGTCCCCTGGCCACGACGGGCAACGTGGATTTGGAGGCGTCGCGCATCGCGCGCGAGGACCCCATGGCGATGGCGCTTGCGAAGCGGCCACGCGAGGAAGCGTCGTCGCTCCGGGCGCTCGTCGAGGACGTAAGGCGCGACGAGCGCAAGCGGAAGAAGCGGCGGAAGAAGGAGAAGAAGAAGCGGAAACGTAAGAAGAAGGAGAAGGCTCGCAAGAAGAAGCGGCGGAGGCGGTCGTCCAGCTCGTCGTCGTCGTCGTCGAGTTCTTCCTCTTCGTCGTCGTCGTCGTCGGGGTAGCCTGTAACTGTATTTATTTTTGTTGATTGACATAACCCCGTAGGCATGGGTCCCTCAGCGCAGAGCCATCTAAAAACGCGCTAGCGGCCTGTAAGACACTAGGAACCTAGGCAAGGCTCCGCACTGGACACTAGAGCTAGGAACCTATAGGCAAGGCTCCGCACTGGACCGCAGGCCGCTCGCGGCACGGTGGGGCGATTGTCTATGCGCGGGCATGCCTTGCACAAATTGTAACAGCTACTACGACGCGAGTAAAATTATATATACTTGGTCTCACAATACGGTACAGCTCAGTGGTGATACACCCATACACTGGCCGAGCCCTGGTGCTGTCCCAGCTTCAGCCAGCCCTTTTAACCCCGGCGAACCTGGTGTCTGGTGCGAGACGTGTAATTGCGTTGTGCGGGTGCTAATTTGTGAGTGTTTGCGAAAGGAGCTGCTCGACGGCCACCCCCTCGACGCGAGTTGGCAAGAAATCGTGGGTAACAGGGGAGTGTGCTCGCGCGGCGGGCACGATATATGCCTACCGACTAAACAAGAGACCACCGCATTGAACGTAAAAAAGTTGAAAGCGCTTCAGAAGTGGCGCCGCGACCTTAAGAACGAGCTGGTGCCGGAACTGCTGCGCGCACACGACGCTAACCGGGCTGAAATCGCGAAAAAGATCTTGCTCTACGTCGGCTTCGACCACCCGTGGAAGATCTACTAATATGCGTCGCTTGCTCATCCTCCACGCCATCGCCGCGACCGCATTACTCGCCCCGAAGCGCCGCCGCCGCGCCCCGACGAAGGACAACGGCTGGCGCGAGCTCTCGCCGCCGGCGACGCCCCTGGCGCCGCGCACGGACTACGACTGGACGAGCGGCGCGCCGACCGACGCAGCATGCTGGCCCTCCGTCTCCGTCGTGACGATCACGCGCGACCGCGCCGACTTCCTCGCCGAGGCACTCGTCTCCATGGCGCGCCAGGACTACCCGCGCGAGCGCGTCGAGATCATCGTGGCCGACGACGGCGCCGGTGAACCGGTCCATAACGTGCGCTACCTCGCGCACGCGGCGCGCCAGCGCCTCGGCGCCAAGCGCAACGCCTGTCTCGCGCGTGCCACGGGCGAGCTCGTAGCTACGTGGGACGACGACGACTACTTTGCTCCAAACCGGCTGCGCGCGCAAGCGGCGGAACTCATGCGCGGCGGCGACGTGTGCTTCCTCGGCGCGGACGCGGCCTACCGCTTCGACGTGTCGGATGGTGAATTCCGCGAGAACCGTGGGGGGTCCTTCGTGCAGCCCTGCACGATGATGTTCAAACGCGAGCTCTGGGGGCCCAAGGCGCGCTACGACGACGGCGCGGACCTGGGGGAGGACCTGGCCTTCCTCGACGCGCTGCTCGAGGGCGGAGCTTCGGTAGCCACGGCGGAGGTGCCCTTCGTGCGCGTGCGACACGACAGAAACGTGGCGCAGGACGCCGCCGGCGACGGAGACGAGGGAGTCGTCGCGGCCCGCGCCGCCGCTGTCGCGTGCGGCCTGCCGGCGCGGACGGTGGACTTCCTCGCGGGACTGTCCGCCACGTGACTGCGTGCTCGGTTGCGTAAGTGTGTTGAAGAATAAGGCCACTGGGACTTATAAGGCCCCAGGGAAAGCAAGACTACTAGTAGAACTATTTACACGAGGACATGTACAAAACTGGGCGGAGGCGGGGGGTCGTCGCGGGGAAGCCAAAAGAAGGCCGTCGCGGGGTCGGTGGATCGGCGATGGTATGTGCAGGACGCAGCGCTCAAAGGCCGTAGTTGAAGTTCGGCACGTCGTTGTCCGCCGCATCGAGCTGCGCCTGGTGCGTCGACACGACCTCGAGGTACTGCTTGTTCGTGATGTTGAACGCCGTGCCGCGGATGCGCCCCTCGCGGTGCAATGCGATTTCATCGTCCGCGAAACGGATGTCTAACGTGCGTTGATGGGTGTACAAGCCTGCATCCTGTATAGGTAAAACCCAGGCCGTCGCATCTGACTCATTATGGTGCGAGTGCCACCAGCCCGGCGGCGTGACGAAGACCGAGCCGTCGGCCCAGTCCACTCGAATGGGATCGACGACATTACCATTGGCATCTAATTCCCTACCCATCAACGTATAAACTTTCCCGTGCGGCCAGGGCGCCGCGACGGCCATATCTAAAGCTACCGAATTGTGTCTATGAGGCTTCTGGACCGTGTGCGGGCCTATGCTATTCAAGAGAGACCACATCACATGTGTCAAGGTCTTGGTGGTCTTTTCGGTGGACGCGTTGCCTAATAAAACACCTAACCGATTCGCGTGCTCCATGCCCGGTCCATGGCGGATCTCCTCGACCGTCTCCAGCAATTTACTACGGGTGAACAATGCGGGAGGGAACTTCACTTCGTCCGGCTTGACCCCGAGGTAATCCAATAAAGGCTGGTCGTGGATCCAGTACAACGCAGCGCCGTTGTGTGCTTCGGCGGCCGAACACGTGTGGTGGAGCTGGCCCTCCGTTTTTGGCACTACAAAGAGGTCGCCCGTGGCCCACTTGACGACGCCGTGTTCTGAAGAGGTGCTTCCGGACCCTCGAATCACATAATACGCCTGGGACGTGGCCTTGGCTTGGGTCGTGATGGACTCTCCTGTTATGATACGGATGTAGGACGCCATGAGGTTCGGCGAGGTACAAGGGCCCTGGCCACCCAGTAACTCCGACAAATCAAAGGGAATAACTCGTGTAGCACCGGACTCGTGCAGCGACGCCGGGTGCACAACCACAGGAACCTTCGGGAGCTCCGGATTGGCCGCCGAGCCGTATTCATAGATGCGCGCGGCGCCCTCCCACGAATCAGGTTCCTCCTCTTGCACCTTGTCGAAGCGCGTCCTACTCTCGTCCATGGACACTTGCGCGCAGGAATGGCTCGAGTCGTCCATCGCTGAGCTGTGCGACACGCATCTCGGGCGTCGCTCGGAAAGCTGATCTAACCTAATCTTCGCCGCGAGGGCGTCGTGCCTTGCCCGGATCATGTCCGGCGACTCCGGGAGCGCATCTCTTAGAGCGTCCTGCACTTGGAGTAACGTCGTGCTGGGCCTTTGGGGCAGCGGTTGCATAATATCATCATCCGAGCCGTCGCCTCTCAATGAACCCGGCGGGCTGACGCCGAACTCGCTTTGTAAGGACGCGAGGCGCTGCTCGTCGGTCGGGTGGTGCCGCTCGGGGTTCGAGCGGCCGGTCGGGGAGATGGACATCGTCGCAGCTCCTCTTGCTCTCTCAAGGATCTCAAGGGTAAGCTCGTGCTCACCACGCGCAAGCCGCGCGAACAGACGCTTTGGATGAAGGTTCTCCGCCTAAACAAAGGCGCTTTTCCCAAACTCCGCAGCCGTCAGCACCGCTTGTGTCGCGTCTTACGCGGTCGTCGAAGAACTTGTCCTTGTCTCTAGTCTGTTTTCCAGTCTAGCAGCGATACCTGTCTCCAGGACGTTGTCGCTGCGCCCGGGACTACCCTGCACCGCTCCGAGGGATCAACAATTTCGAACGTCACGGCAACACAAAATTGGGCGGTGGGCGCAACATCTCGAAACGGGCAGCCTTAAACGGGCTGCCGATTCAAAAATGGGCCTGTGACCGCAGGACGCTCGAAAATGATGTTCACGCCCCACCAGGCCGACGCCGTGCGGCGCGCCCTGCGCAAGGGGCTGGACCAGGAAGGCCCGCCAAGCCAGGGCCTCGACGGGCGCCTCGGCGCCGCGCTCGCGGATAAAGGGAGAGTGCGCTTCACGGCCGACCAGAAGGACGACGTCAAGATCGCCCTCCGCACGCTCGACGAAGAGAAAGAACTCCGCGCGGGCCTCGGCGCGGCGCTCGCCGGGCCCGAGGGCCGCCCCACGACCGACGTCGACGGGCCCGCCCTCACCGAGCCCGTGACCGAGCCGAAGTCGCCGAAGGTCGGTGCGACGATGGACGGCTCGGCCCACAGCTTCCAGGGCTACGGGCGCAAGGTGTCGGAGGACGGCGGCGACCCGACGTTCTGCTGGTCGTTGTAGTACGTTTCCCCATCGTGCCCGCCCGCGCCGCTCCTGCGCCGCCGGCGGCCACGCCTGTAAATATTCTGTGCAACACTCACTGCTAGAACTCACTGCGCGTGAAGGTTAACGAATCACATAGCTTAGAGCGAGGGCTCTGGGGCACCCTCAACGCCATCGAGCAGTCACGTCCCCTTCTTGTGCAGCAGGGGCGCCCCCGGCGAGTCGAGGCTCGAGCCGCGCCCGCGCGCGAGGGAGGGCTTGCCGAGGTGCTCGCCGACGTGCGACGCCTCCCAGTCGAGGTGGACAAAGGCGCGCGCGACGGCCGGGTCCGCTTCCAATCGATCTTGTAACGCTTGTCCGATGTCGTGGGCGTCGCGGTGCAGCATCTCCGGCGGGAGGATCAAGTCGATCTCGACGGTGTACGTCTCGGCGCCCGCGGAGTAAACGCGTAGCGTGTCGAGGCCCACGAGCGCGGGCGAGGCCTTGAGGGCCAGATACGTGAGTCGGGCGTGGAAAGCTGGGTCAGGAGCAACTCCAACCAATATGGTCCCCTGCTCCTTAGCGGTACAAGCCCACATGTAGACGAGGAAGACACTGATGAGCATGGCTCCAATGGGGTCGGCCATCCAGCACGCGCCCGGGCCGAGCGCCGCCGCTAATAGAGCCGCCAGGCCCCAGGTGTTCGAGATGACGTCGTTGCGGTGGTCGTCGGCCAGGGCTTGGACGGGGCCGGTGTCCGCGCCGCCCTTCGCCGCGACGCGCTGGCACCAGATGTGCAGGCACAGCTTCGTCGCGATGACGGTGACAATGATGGCGATGACCAGCGCCCCGGCTTCGGGCCGCGGCGGCGAAGTCTTCGTCAGGCCGCCGATCAGTGCTTCGGCGGACTCGTAGAAGATCTGGAGCGAGAGCGCCGCCATGAGGACGGCAAAAACTAACACGGATACGGGTTCTAGTCTAGAGAGCCCGGTCGGAAACTTGTCGCGCACCTTTGGACGGTCCTGTCTAGCCGCTGCTCTAGCTTGGCAGAACAACACACCACCTGACACGAGGTCCATCGTCGAGTCGACCGCCGACGCGAGGACGACGTAGCTTCTTGAATAGATGAACGCGACGTATTTAATCAGACACAGGAAGACGTTGATCATGAACGAAGCACGTGTGGCGAAGCGCGCGCGCGCGCTTTGTTCTCCGTCCGGCGCGGCGTCCCAGGGGTTCGAGGGCGCATACTCGATGTCGAGAAGGTCGTCGATGAGTTCGTTCTGCGCCTCTTGGTACTCCCTGACACTTCGTGGTAGTTTGCGCAACGCCGCCTCGTCGACCTTGCCCTCGCGCAAGGCGTTGACGAGCAGCGGGTTCGTCGTGGCGAGCGGCGGGTGCTCCGGCGGCCGTTCGATGGCTGGGGCTTCTATATCGTCGATGGCTGGCGACATTTCGGCTGCAGAGCTAGGAGAGCTCTTTGCTGGCTATGGCGTACTAAGGGGCGCCAGCGATGCCGAGCTTCGGCCGCGCGCTCAGTTTTTATAGTAATATCGAGCTTGCGTAAGTGTGGACCGGAACTGATTCGCGCACGTTGAGCACAGGCTTTGCACAGAGGCTGCCTGGCAAAACTTGGACTCTGGAATCTGAGCCATATCGCTAACACCCGCGAGGCCTCGAACCCACCCATCGACCCGTATTACAGTCAACGGACACATACGGGGACAATAGGCGGCTATTGGACGCTAAGAACACCCTCGAGTTAAATCGCGACTCGGACCGGACTAACATATCTGTCTAACATATCCGTCGACAGCATATGTTATACATACGGCACGTGGATAAATTATGAATCACATAAATCACAATCACAATCACAATCACAATCAACAATCACAATCACACAATCACACAATCACACAATCACACACGCACAACACTTACTCCTTCGAAAACACCCCGTCCTCCCCATACTTCCAGCCGTTCTGCCGGCTCGAGTTGTAGCCCTCGAAGGCGAAGAGCAGCCCGCCCAGTAGCAACGACAGCACAGACCCGATGGTTCCCGCCGACGCCGCGACGCCTAGGACCGAGGCGGGCTCCCTTTCTACTTCTTCAAACGCTATGTTCTCGTCGAGCGTCTTGAGGAGCCGTCGCGCGTGTTCCAGGGTCACGGCTCGCGTCGAGTCCACCCCGGCAGATATTTCACGCTCGATCGCGAGGCGCTCGCGCTGGAGGCGCGACCGGTGGATAGGTGTGATGTCGTTCGTCGTCTTCGCAGCGACGAAGATAATCACGACAGACAGACCCGTCAGCACCGCGAAGAGCGCCGCGAGGTGCGCGGCGAGCAGTCTGTGAGACAACGGATACCACAGCAAGACGTTGAGTACCACTAGAGCGGCTATCGCGCCGGCAAAATATATCCAGAGGTACGCCTGACATCTCAACTGGATCTTCCGCGCGATTCGTCTCAGTACCGGGCGCATCATCGCGTGGGCGAAGACGTTCTTAGGATCGTGAGGATCCAGAAATATGCGTGTGCCGGCGGCGGGCGCGACCTTTCCCTCAGTATTCTCCGTCGGGCGCACGAGGTCGCCCGCGGACAGCCCCGGCGCATCAAACACGTCGCCGAGGCACCCAAGGACCATGCCCCGTCGGTGCCAGTCGTTTGCGGCAGCCATGGGAAAGATGAGCGTCGGCGTCGCCGTCTTCGGCCCGAAAGCGAGGAGAACCGTGTACATGACGAGAACGAAGCGAACTAGCCCCGGAGGGCCGTACGGGGCGCCACCGAGGGCTGTTCGCTCGATGGCCGGCAAAAAAAGTATCATCAACACCTCGGCGACGACAAAGAGGACCGCCTTTGGTGCCAGGCCCACCGACCAGTGCCGCGCCAAGAGGCACCATAGCACGGCCGCGGCGGACGTGCGGCCATCGGGCGCCGCGAAGGCGTCGCCGCCCGTGGCTTTGACTAGGTCTCGCACCGCCGCCGCGCCGTCCTCGTCGATGGCCACGTCGACTGCCCTCAAATCAATGTCAGCCGTCGCCATCGCGTCGACGACGAGCGCCTCGAGGAGACCCGCGTAGTCCTTTGGCGACAGCCCGCCGCCGAGCAGCAGCTGCCTATCCGTCTTGTCCCATGACCAGGCCGGCGGCCTCTGGCGCATCGACTCCAGGTCTTCCTCTTCAAAATACGCGTACTTCGTCGCGACGACGCCGTTGCGGATGAGCTGGAACACGTCGAGGACGAGCAACTCCACGGGGTCGACGTGCGCGCGAACGACGCGACTCGTGAAGTACGCGTAGTTGACCGCGTAGACGAGGGGCGCCCAAGTGATATGGCCGAAGACCCCAGCGAAAATCGAGTTGCCCCAGCCGATGTGCGCGGGCGACGGCCGCAGCGCGCGATAACCCGTCACGTGCCATCCCTTCGCAAGCGAGCCTTCTAGAAGGGATGCGGCCGCAAGATCGAGGACCGGCGGCAGGGTCTCGTACGCGTAAGCCTTGCAGAACTCTCGGAGGCTGAACGTCGGCTCTCGCACAGTCGCACGCCCGGTGTAGCGCCGGCAGTGCGCCGCTTTATAATCGCTGTCCAGCAGTGCCAATTGGTTGCTGCCTTCCCAGCTCACCAGGCGCTTCGAGGTCTCGCGCCGCTGCAGTTGTGCTGCCGGTGCCAAGCTGTCATCTGAGTGGCGCTTGTCGAAGGCAGTCTTGCCGCCGGGCTGCCCGACGAAGCGCTGGGCCATCGTACGCGGTTGTTTTGCTGCCTAATGGAGCACCTGACGCGCCAGCGTCGCGGTGGTGTGTGCGCTTATGGCGCGACAGCACCACGGCCGCCTGCCGCTGTGCAGGGCGCTCTGCCGCCGCGTCGACGCGTCGGGGTAGCCGCCTACGCTCTACGCCATCGACAATCAAACACACTTATCCGGTGACGGGGTAGTCCCTCAGAACAAAGAAGTCCGCGATCTTTTTCGCGTCCGCGCGGCGCCGCGACCCGGGCACGAGCACGCGCGTCAGGAGCGGCTCTTCTAGTGAATGGGAATCCAAGGCCCGCTTCAACAACGCAAACGTCGGGTACTTCGCCAGAATATGCGCGACGTACTCGTTTTTGACGCCCGGTACATGTAGTAAAAAAGCCCCGAACCGCGCTTTTAGGTCCCACTGCTTCTCGTCGATACCCAGCGATTGTATGATATCTCTATAAGCCATCGCGTTCTTCAATACATCGTCTACTGTTTTACGACGTAAATCGTCGCGCAAGTACGCATCCAGCCCTTGGAGGTAGCGTACCGTATGTTCAAAGGACGGGGATCTATGGACCGTAAATCCAAGCTGGATCTCCAAGCGCGCCATCTCGTCATGTAAATCCTGCTTATCTAAACTACAAATATCCAACGCATCGATGTCACCCTCAATCACATACGAAGCGGGCACGCCACAACGAGATAACGCCAGCGTCTGCTTTCGATGATGAGACTTGCCCTTCACGGTCGTATGGAAATCCGAAGCACATTTGCGCTCGATACAGGACCCTACAACAATGCCTCGGTCCCGCCAGAACGTGTCGTACTGCTGTTCGTTTTTTGGCGTCGCGATAAATAGGTAATCCCCGACTTGCAACGGCGCCTTCTTCACACTCATTGCCTGGGCACCTTGATGCAATAATCCAACGATGGCGTCGGCCTCGTGGTTGTCGTTCTTTCGTTTTTCTCTACTATCAACATATAACGTAATGTCGTAGACGTCTAGGAACGGCCTGGCCCCGTCGACGTCGTTCCTCAAGCGTTCGAGGCAGCTCCGTCGTCTCTTCTGAGGCGCTTCTTCATCGCTATCGTCGTCTCTTTGTGGAGCTGCATGCTCGAGCTCCTTGCGATAACGAGCATCGACGTCGCGCGCCAGCTCGACACCACTAACTAAACCGCTTCCGGCCTCACTCGTTAAGCGGTAGCGTCGCACATCATGCGGCACGGGTTCCACGATATCATTTTTTAGTAAAGTATCTAGCGATTTAATACCACCATACCACTGCTGGCCATTTGCGGTCATCGCGACCCTCGTATGCTGCTGGGCCTCCTGGGCTAGCGTAGCCTTGTCCAAAGGCGACCGGCGGTGCAGCGCCACCAGCAACGCACACACACCGGACAGACTCCCGGTGTCCTTGTCTAAGAACCTTGGACCGTATTTCGACCGCCGGACGCGCGGGACGACCTCCCTTTGTTCTTCCTCTTCTTGAGGTGGTAAGTAGTGGTCCGCGCCATCATCTCCACCATGAGCCGACCTTTGATACCCCTCGCCCTCCTTCCTCCGGATCCAACTCGCAACGTCAGAGTCGCACTTGCGCCGCTCACTAAAGTCCTTAAAATCTTCATCGTAGCCAGCAGTACCTTCCAGGCCCCACTGGCGCCGCGCCATGCACTTGCCCGTTGTCGGAACTTCGACGGTCTCGACGCGCCACCAGCGGGGCTTCTGGCCCTCTTGGCGAGGCGGCGCCGCCCAGCGGCCCCGCTGAATTGGAGTGATGTTGGCGTCGAGGTGCTCGCGCCAGCGCACGGCCGACGCGCACTTCCGCGCGTGCATCGGCCCGACGCCCTTGACTCGTAGGGCGGCGTCGTAGGAATCGACCTCCTCGCCGTGGTAATATAACCCCTTGAGGACCTTGAGGTACGTGCCCGGTTCTTGCCTCGTCTCTTCATTGGTCGCGCAGATGAACTCGTAGTACTTGCGGTAGCGGTCCCTTAAATCGTTGTTCGCGGCGTTGTGGCAGGGCGTATTACATTCGCGGGCCTTGCGCGTCCAGAGCACGCCCTGGCGGCCGCCGCGGCCGCCCCCTTTGCCGCGGCCGTAGCCGCGGCCCCGGCCGTAGTTGCCGCCGCGGCCGCCGCCTCTTCCCGCGCCTCGGTTGATGGTTCTCGCCATGGCTACGTTCGATGCTGCGGCTCTGACGGGACGGCAGCGCTGGGCTCACGCTAGCGTCCGGCGGGAGTCGTGTCTCAGAGTGAGTGCTTGCGCGCGCATTTTTGGAGCTAGCGGCCGGTAAGACACTAGCAATCAAACCTGCGACGTAACTAGCCTCAGCCTCAGCCTCAGCCTCAAAGATCGAATAATTAGTGGCGGCTGTCGAAGTAGCTCTGCTCGGGAGGGGATTTGAAGACTCGGGAGAGCGGCGATGGGGGGAGGACGACTCGAGGTAAGAGACGGAATTGCGCGCAACGCCCTGGGGGCGTGAACGGGATATCCGCGGGCGCGGCTAGAGAGCGAGGACCGTGGCGACGAGGAGGGCGAGGAAGGTCCCGCCCGCCCGCGTCGCCGCATCTGATCCAAGGGCCGCTGTCGAAGGCTCGGGCGTGGGCTGGGGTGTTGTGGGCTGGGGCGTTGTGGGCTTGGGCGATATCGTTGGCTGGGGCGTCGGCTGAAACGTCCAGGTTGGACGGGGCGTCGGCTGCGCAGTAGGGGCGGGCGGCGGGAAGACGTAGGCCGAGCCCGAGCCGGAGTAGGCCCCGACCACGATGGTGCTGCCGGCGATCGCCACAGATCCGCCGAAGTCGCCCGCAGCGGCATCGGATGCCGTCAGCTTGGCCACCTGGTCGTACGTGGCGCCGCCGTCGGTCGTGAGGAAGACGTAGGCCGAGCCCGAGTAGGAGCCGGCGTCGTCGTCGCCGAAGGAACCGACCACGACCGTGCCGCCGTCAATCGCCACGGAGTAGCCGAAATAATTGCTCGCCGCGGCGTCGTCGGCCGTCAGCTTGGCCACCTGGTCGTACGTGGCGCCGCCGTCGGTCGTGCGGAAGACGTAGGCCGCGCCCGTCCAGTTGTCCTTGACGTAGGCCCCGACCACGATGGTGTTGCCGTCGATCGCCATAGAGTAGCCGAAATAATCGTACGCGGCGTCGGCGGCAGTCAGCTTGGCCACCTGGCCGTACGTGGCGCCGCCGTCGGTCGTGCGGAAGACGTAGGCCGCGCCCGTGGCGAAGTTCTCGCCGTAGGCTCCGACCACGATAGTTTCACCGTCTATGGCCACGGAGGAGCCGAACACGTCACCCGCCGCGGCGTCGGAGGCGGTCAGCTTGGCAACCTGGCCGTACGTGGCGCCGCCGTCGGTCGTGCGGAAAACGTAGGCTGCTTCCTTGTTCTCGGTCCCAACCACGATGGTATCGCCGGCGATGGCCACGGAGATGCCGAAATCGTCGCCCGATGCCGCGTCGGCAGCCGTCAGCTTGGCCACCTCGGCGTACGTTGCGCCACCATCGGTCGTGCGGAAGACGTAGACCGCGCCCGTGTAGCTGTCCTTGGCGCTGGTCCCAACCACGACGGTGCCGCCAGCGATCGCCACGGAGCTGCCAAACTCGTCGTATAATGCGGCGTCGGAGGCCGTCAGCTTGGCCACCTGACCGTACGTGGCGCCGCCGTCGGTCGTGCGGAGGATGTAGACCGCGCCGCCGGTGCCAGCGCCGGGGGCGCCGATAACCACGGTGTCACCGTCGATCGCCACGGAGGTGCCGAACTCGTCGCCCGCCGCAGCATCGGCGGCCACAAGCTTTAGCTCCTCGAAATTGGCGGTGCTCAGGCGCCGAAAGCTGCCCCTCGTCACCGCGCGGGCGTCGAGCAGCGCCCTAGCAGCGTTGGGCGCTCCAGCTGCGATGAATAAGGCCAAAGCGAGCATCGTTGGGCTGCCCCGGTTGTCTTGAAGGCATTCTTGATGTCAGATTGCAAATCGGACAAATCGGAAAGGAGGGCGCTAAAAAATTAATTCCGTAAGAGGCTTCGTACGACTCCGCGCCGAACATTTCCTCGTAGATGAAGCCGGAACGGTCGCCCGCCGCGGGGGCGAAAAACCTCCTCTCCATAGCGCGCAGCACACACGGAGAGCCGGAGAGCCGGCCTGCCAAACGCCGCGGGCAGCCTGCTCGCGACACGCACGCCCCACAGACGAGGCCGCCATGGGCAAGGGCGCCATGGGCAAGGGCGCCATGGGCCGCCCCTCCCTCCACGCCCAGCACGAGCAGCTCCTGCCCACGAAACAACTACGGGCCGTAGTACTAAAAATGCACGAGGCCTTTCCCAGGCTCTGCGCCGCGTGGAACGAGGAGAACGCCATGCGCAAGAACTGGGCTCTACTCTTCAGTCGATTGGACACGGACGGTTCCGGCCGCCTCGACTACTGGGAGTTCCGCAGGGCATTAATTGATGTCCTCGAGATCAGCATCACGGAGAAGGAGGCGAAGGGCCTCTGGGCCTACGTGGACCACGACAAGAGCGGCTTGGTGTCCATCAAGGAGTTCCAGCACGCCTGCTATTTGTTGATACTGGACGACTGGCCGCGCCTCGACAGGAGGACACTAACGAGGCTGTGTGGCATTATTAATGACGCGGCGGTGCACGAGTACAGCAAGGAGGGCGACGGCACGTCGTCGGGCAACTGGTTCAAGATCTTCGGCCATTTTGATACTGATGAAAGCGGGAGACTTGGATGGGAAGAACTGGAGCAGGTTTCGAGGAGGAGGGACCCCGGCCTGAACCTGAGCGAGGAGAAAATTACATTAAATGAGTTGCGAGGTCTCTGGCGAGCGATAGACATCGACTGCAGCGGCGACGTCACGGTCGACGAGTTCATGCACTTCATGAAGAAGAACGCGACGCAGCAGCTCCACGCCCAGTGGCGCAAGGAACCTGTTGCAAAGAAGGAAGAGGAGGAGTCGAGGCAAGATAAAATAAAGAGGCTGGCAGAAGCTTTAAATAGGAACAGGAAACCCCGGAAGCCGCGCAAGAAGCCCGATTATCTGGTGAACTCGAAATTCGCCAAACAGTTGCAAGTAGCGCAGTGGCGGAAGCGAGACACGGAGCGGAAGATCCGCGCGACGCTGGAGGCTCGATCGGCCGAAGCCGAGAGGGACTTTGTGACGCGCTTCGTCCAGCCGCCGTCCTTGAAAGAGGAGGCTCGGAGAGCCGTGATCTTGGATGAGCTCTCGAAACCGCTAGCGGTCGATGTGGATCACTTCCAGGAGTACGAACGAAGTTCTTCGATCATCGACGAAGTGGAATTGAGTGAAGCCTCAAGACATGCCACGGCCATCAAGATGCTCGAGGCGAAAGTAAAAAGGCGGGAGCAATCACTGTTATATAAACGTAGATTGGATCACGTCGCCGACTGGCTCAAGAAACCGGATCATGAACGAGGACCCTTGACACAGCCACCTGTCTCACCAACGGAGACGCTGGACCTCATGAAGGCGTCGGTCAATGATCTACGGGAGAAGATGTCGACGTATAGTGCGGGGCGCTTCGGGAGAGGTGCTAGAACGGCCGACTGGACGCGCAAGGACTTCGGCGTGGGCGTCGCCTACCGGTCGCCTGAAAGGCGCTCGACGAAGCGGCTGTCGCCCTACGCGTGAGTAAGCTATGACTCTTGCGTGCGGGAAATAAATTGCCACTGGCGGAAGATGTCTCTAGCCGGGCGCGTCGCGGCGATGGCGTGTGGGGGTACGCTAGCTACCTGGGAGCCGAGGGCTCCTCGCGAATAAGTGCCAGGAGTAGAGCCAGGGGCGACCTCTGAGTCTGCGCGGCCGCCGCGGGTGCCGGTCTGCGCCGGCGCCCGGCCCTGTCTTGCTCCCTAGCGATGCGAGGGAGGCCTGGAGGGGTGGTAGGGCGGACGCGGGAGGCGTCCGCGACTCGCGGGTATTTTCCCCGTTCGTGATCAGCGTGAGCCAAATCGGCGCTACGCGGCCCCGCTGGACGCAGCGCTGCCGTGTGACAGCCAGCTCCGAAGCCGCCAGAACTGTGTAGTCTCACACGGCGCGTCAAACGACCGCGTGTGGCGCGTGCACAGCACCGTTCGCATAGCCGACGTTTTAGCGCTAAAAGCGACGTCCGCCGACGCGCCGCGGCGATTGAAGCAGCCGACGCGCGCCTAACGCAGCCGACGCGCACCGCGCACCACCGCGGACCCGCCACACGGAGAAACAGACAGATGGCCGAAACGACCGTCAAAGTAGTAGTAAGATGCCGCCCCCTCCTCCCGCACGAGACGGACAAGGACGTCAAGAACGTCTCGACCATCGACGAGGACGGCGGCCGCATCACAATCAGTGGCCGCACGCACGACTACGGCAATGAAAGTGTAGTAGGAGGAGGCGACCGCCACGCGACGATGTACGACAGAACCGCAAAACCGTTGATCGCCCAGCTCTTTGATGGGTACAACGCGACCGTGCTTGCCTATGGGCAGACGGGCAGTGGCAAGACGCATACGATGGGCACGGCCTTCGACGAGGCCGAGGTCGACGGCGTCGTGCCTAGAGCTGTCGCCGAGATTATTGACAGAAGACAGAAGTTGATCAGTGAAGGCCGCGGCTGTTTAGTGGTGTGCTCGATGTGCGAGGTCTACCAGGAGGAGGTCCGCGACCTGTTGATGGAATGCGACGAGGAGGAGGGCCCAAAAGCTCTAGCCGTGCGCGAGGCGCCGAACGGTGGGGGTGTGACGATTGCCGGACTCAGTGAGCGAGAAGTTTCTTCGATTGAGGCTGTGGTAGCATTGACGAGGGAGGGTACTCGTAGACGGATGACCGCCGCCACGAACATGAACGAGCACTCGTCGCGATCGCACATGATCCTGTCGTTCCGCGTGGAGGTCGCCGGTGGCGAGGGGCGAAGCAAGACGTCTTCTAAGTTACATCTGGTCGACCTGGCCGGCAGCGAGCGCGTCAAGCGAACCCAAGCGGAGGGGACGCGCCTGCAGGAGGGCATCGAGATCAACAAATCATTGTTCATGCTCGGGAACGTCATTCAGCGACTTGTAGAACTCCAGTCGTCGGAGAAGCGGAAGGGTGGTCACGTACCTTATAGGGATTCAACATTAACGAGACTACTCTCGGATAGTCTGGGCGGCACGGCGCACACGTGCATGGTCGCCTGCGTGAGTCCGGGCGACGTCGATATCAACGAGACTTTGAACACGCTGCGCTGGGCCGACAAGGCGTCGGTCGTGAAGAACGTGGCCGTGCGTCGCGCGGCGTCTTCCGGGGCCTTGAACGTGACGCGGTCGCGGCGATGGCGTCGACGCGGCCGCGAGAGAGTCTACGCGTCGCGCGAGAGAGCCGCGGCCGTGTCGCGACGGCGTCGTTCCCGCGCAGGGCATCCACGTCGTCGTGGACCCCAAGGCCGAAAGGCTGCAGATCGCGGAGCGGGCCGAGTTGGAGTCGTTAAGGGAGATGGTCCGCCTCCTCAAGTCCGAAGGAGGTGCTTCACACACCCCAGACGAGATCCGCGTCCTGCAGAAGGCCCTGACGAAGGCCGAGAAGAATCATCGGAAGGACACAGCATTGTTAAGGAAGACCATCGACACGTTGCAGGCGAAGAACGACGCTTTGACCAAGCGATGTGATGTTTTACGCTTAGCCTTACCACCAGCAGCGGCGGAGGCCGCCGAAAGTCAATTGCCGGTCGATGATGATGTACATATCGCGTCGGAGCTTCCGGACGATGACGAGGCGTCTTCCAGTGACGAAGAGGAGGACGACGACGACGAGACGGAACAAGAAAGAAAATTGGCGGCACTGTTACTGGAAGAAAAGTGCATGGACTCGCTGAAGCAGCACTACGAGCGGGCCATCGAGAAGCTCGAGACGGAGGTCTGCGCTCTTGAGAGAGAAAGAGCTGAGTTACAAAGGAAGGCGTCGGCGTCGGATAGTGAAGCCACTACGCGCATCTTGCGGGAGAAGACTCGGAAGCTCGAACTGGCCATGGAGCGCGTGAAGAGGGAACAGAAGCGGGCCCAGAGCGAGGTGGATCGGTGCGGCGGGCTGAAGGATCGCGCCGAGCACGACGCGCGGCGGTTGCGGGCGGAGGTCGAGGAATCGCGACGGAAGCGCGGGGAATTACAAAGAAGGTTACAACAGAGAGACGCGGACCACGCGAGAGCCGCGCGCGAGTGGAAGCGCGAGGCGAAGCGACTGAGGAGGGACAACGAGCGGGTGAGAGGCGAGAAGACAAAATTAGTGCAGCGCTTCGCGCGGCAAGAACAGACCCAAGCTAGAGTGTTAGCTGAAACGAGAGGCGCTTTACGGAAGGCGAGGGCTGGTCTCGTAGGCGCCTCGCAGAAGGAGAAGCGCCACCGGTCTCCCATAAGACATAGAGGGAGGACCGTCCAGCGCGTCGTCGAGGACAACGCCGACGGCATGCCCGACTGGCTCGAGGCCGAGGTCGAGAGAAGAGCGGCGCGCGTCTTGAACGGCGAGGCTAAAGCGTCGTCGGATCCGCTGCTCTCGTTAACCGCTTCGTCGGACGAGTGCCGGACGTTGTTGAGACTGTTAGCTGATGAGGCAGCTCGAGCAAGAGCTGCCGAAAGAGACGCTCGGTCGACAGTCTCCGAGCTGGACGCGAAGAACCGGGCCCAGCACAAGTCGTGGCTCGCCGAGGAACGGTCCAAGTTCAAAGCTCGACAATCGGAGGAGACGTCGCGACGGTCGGAGACCCTGTCGGCGCTGATGGCCGGCGTGTCGTCCCTAGCTGGTCTATCCTGTTCGCAGACGCCGGCGGCGCCTGTTCCACGCATAGTAGATCACGACGACGACGACGTCCAGACGAAGGCCGTCGTCGACGGTGACGACGCGTCGTCGCTGGCTTTAAGGGAGTACGCTCGACGTCGAGCGAGACACAGAGCGTCATTATCCGGACTGCAGGAGGACAACAACGAGGAGGAGGACGAGCAGATGGGCCAGTTGATGCGGGCTGTTTCTGCGCTGCAGAAGCACGGCTTGGACACGGCTGATAGCAACTTACTGCGGGATCGAGTAGAAAGGACCTACGCCAAGCCCTGGCAGGTGAACGCGCGCATCGACGACACGGTGAGCGTGCCGCCGCCGCCTCCGCCCCAGACCGAGGAGGAGACGACGCGACTCAAGGCCACCAAGAACTACGAGAAGCCCTGGCGCCACATGGCGAAGCCTCCCCAACCTCCGGCCGAGTTCGAGGTTACTGGTACTGGGCTTGGGCCGCCGGTCGCCGTGATTCAAGCGAGCGCGCCTGGCGGGCCGCCGTCGCCCGACGTCGTCCGGTCGACCTCTGAGAACGACGTGCCCAAGTCGCCCTGCAGAAGCTCGCTGGCGAAGGCGTTAGATGTGGCGCTCATGCCGCGGAAGGCGCTCGGCGACCTGTCGGCGCAGGGCCTCTAGAACCCTTTCATAAGATCAGAAACTTACGGGCCGCGCGGCGTCGTCCAAATACTCACGGACGTTGTTCCAGTCGCTCCCGTAGTCCTCCCCCACCAAGCATTCCACGTCGGCACACCTCCCTCGCACGAATCGTCGAGGCAGCCGCCGCGCCAGAAACGCGATGAACCTAGCCCCACCCGGACACCGCACCACCAACGGCACCACCACCGGTATACGTAAAGCCCAAGAGAACCACCACAGCAGCACGTCCGCATTTGCTGAGATGGAGAACGACTGCGACTCCAACAATATAGGATCGACACAGGGCACCAACCGGCGAAAGTGCGGCCCCAGCACTTTCAGGTGCGGCCGCAACAACGGCAGATGCGGCCCCAGCGCATCTAATCTAGAAACGAAGAACGGCAGGTAAGGCAGGAAATCATCGGCCCACCTGTACTCATCATCAGCATATAAGAGTAACTCGTCGATATGCCGCATCAACGAGCTGACGTAGGGCGCCAGATCATCGATGTTCTCCAACACCCAAGGCACGTGCGGCTCGATGTCGTCGAAGCGGTCGAGAATTCCGTCAAGTTCCGGTTCGATCGCTGCTAAGTGGCCGCCATCCAAAATCTTGTTGATGATGCCCGGGACGAACCGTTCGAGCTTATCGAGCCTCGCTAGGATGCCCGGGGCGTGGACCACCAACAATGGAGCGTATTTTCTGAGAGTCGCGAGTCTCGCCGTTCGCTGTTGCGGCGGCAGCGTGACTAGTTCGGCAGTAATCCCCAGCGCGGCCTGCGTCTTGTTCGACATCCACCTCACTCGGTCGTCGCCTTTTCTTTCATGAAACTTGTACCTTCTTAAAAAGACGTTACTTGATTCTTTCAGAGCTGACACGAAGTTGCCGCCGTGGATCCTCGGTTTCGGCGGCGGCCGTCTCACCTCCTCCTGGATGATCTCGCCCCTCAACCGCTTTTCGAGCTGGGCTAGTTCCGCTCTTTGAGCTAAGATGTTGCGCTGGAGGATGTCGCGCCGCAGGATGTCGCTATTCTTCCTCCGGAAGAAGCGGCCGACGATGGCTTTTGTCGGTGTGACGTATATGAGGAGGAGGAGGTGGAGCCGCATGGTTCCGCTCGGCGCACCGCCGCGCCGGCCGCGGCGGCTGGCGTTTTGTGCTCAACGCCTAGGTAAGGGCTAGCCTCCCTGGCCAGCCAGCACTGGCGGCTACACGCACGCAGCGATCAGGAATGAATCAAAAAGTTAGCGATCGTCCTGGGTCCAGGCCGCGCGAGCGCTTGAGCACAGCAGCCAAAAACTCGTGCTGCTAGTGTCTATACACCGCTAGCAAACAGTCTTGCGCGGAGGCTGCCCTCTGCCGTATGCATGGCTGCCGGTAGACGCAGCACATAGAAAATGCCTCATACAGAGCGTGCGGCCGCGAAATCGCACGCGTAAGACGATCGGGCAGCCCACACGCCACCGATGCGATTCGTGCTGCTCGTCGCACTGGCCGCCGCACGAGACAGCGACTTCGACCGCGCCCTCGAGCTCGTCACGGAGGCGCAGAACGACTGCCATAAGCCCGTCGATTTGCTCCGGACGAGTCCTCGGGACGGCGGCTTCGCGAGCGGGATTCACACTGTTGTTGCTGCTTTATCGAGGTCCCTGCTGACCGGGCGGGTCCTGACGCTCGAGGCGAAGGGCCACTGCCACCAGGCGCGCGGCCGCAAGTCCTACGCCGCGACGCCGTTCCACGACGTGGCTTGCGCCTACGCGACGCTCTTCCAGGAGCTCTCGCCCTGCATGGCGCACTGGCGCGACCGCGGCATCCCAGCGACGCGCTTCAAGCTCTCCTCTCCGACAGTGTTTGTGGAGCACAACTCGACCTTCGCCATAAGCGCCGTGAACGAGAATCTGCAAGATAAACCGCCGTTCTTCTGGGCGTCAGTCCTGGCGACCTACGCGACGCGGCCCCTGCCTTGTTTGTCGAAGCGCGTCGACTTCCTCGAGCGGGCCCTGTTTGGGGACGTTCCCCCTGATCAGGTCGTGGCCATTCACGCGCGCGTCGACCGCGCGAAAGCAAAGGAGGCCCGGACGCACGCGACGCGAGGTTATGTGTCGAGGGCGATTGCCGTCATCAACGCCTACGGCTACGACGGTTTGCTAGTTTGTTCGGACCGCCAAGACGCCTCAGAAATGATCGTCAAGGACGTCCAGCGCTGGCGGCCGTCCCTCAAGGTGGAAGTGGCCTTCACGCCGCATGGCCATTATCAGCGCGGCGTCTCTGGTACTTGTTCGAAGTCGCACGCCCTCGACGTCGCGGCCGGTGTGGAAATCAACCAGTGAGCCGGGTGTCGCGAAATTTGATGTCTACGCAGGTCGCGGCCGAGATTTTGCTGATGGCGCGGTGCGGCTACGTCATCGGCACGCTGTCGTCGAACATTGGGCGGCTCGTCCACGAGCTCCAAGGGAATCGACATCGGTTCCACGACCTCGACGGCCTGCCGGCATGGTTTCTCGCCGGCGACGGACTCGTCGAGAACAACGTCCGCGGCTTCTGGCAACATTTTTCGAACCACCAGAACGCCCACTGCGTCCTCAAAAATGAGAGGCACCACCGGCCCCACTGTATAGCGGCGAGCGACGAAAAGCCAGCAGGCCTCTTCGTCGGCGGCACTTGCGTCGAGGGCTGCGGCCGGCTCGACGTCGTCGCGAAGGCTACGACCACCCCACGGTCCCGAGATAAAAAAGCGCCGACCGCCTGGCGGAGTTCCGTCCCGAGGCTCGGAGGCGAGAAGACTACTAAGGTGTAGATTACTTGAACCCCCGCGGCGTGCCCATCCCTAAATTCCGCTCGAGGCACGTCCCCCCGAAGACGTGGAGCTCCTCGGGCCACGCCGCCGTCACGAGCATGAGGAAGATTATAATAGGAAACACGATGCCAAACACGACCTCGCCGCTCGGCTTGTGCTTGCAGCACGCGTAGTTGTACCGCCCGCGGCACTCGTCGGGCACTTGCGAGAAGATACATTTCTTGACTTCCGAGCCCACAGAACTAGTACCATATTTCAAGTGGTGCGGCGGCGGCCCATCATAACAATCCCGGCCCTCCGAATCGCACCATCTCGCATCGCAGATCCAGCGCTGCGCACGCTCTTTTTGGAGCTTTTCTTGGCACTGCTGGTTGTACGCTATTTCATTAATCCAGTCGGGGTGGTGGTCCCGCCAGTCGTCGCCTTCTAAAAGGGCGGCCTCGTCGTCCTGGTCCGGGATCGCAAGATTGTAGTTCTCGTCGGCTCTTGTAAGGGCCGCGAGGAGGACGAGGTACGGTCGTCGGAGGATCATGGTTCTGCCGGCGCGCCGCGTCGCGGGGCGTCGAGCTAGGACCTCCGGGCCAGGTGTGGCGTCGACAGGCGTCAACCTCGAACCTCCGGGCGCGGCGTCGACCGCGCGCTGAGTTCAAAGGTGGGCTACTGGCTTTCCCGCTGGGGAGCCTGGGCTGCCCGGACGCGACGACCGCGCACGCAGCGAGAGCTGCTCTTGAACGCGCGCGAACGGCTGCGACTCGTCGGTCGCTTCGTGGGGACGTAGCGCGCTCACCGCCACCCGCCAAGTCCTGCTGCGGTTTTTGCCCGGGAATTTGCACAGTGGCGCACGACTCGTAAAGCAGAGGCGTCTCTACTGATCCTTCGCGAAGAGTAGTCCGAGAAAACGACGAGCGCCGCGCTAGAGCTTTTTGCTAGCCTCTCGCAGAGCGGCAGCGCTTAACGCGGAGGAGCCCAGCTCGCGGCAGCGCCCGCCCGTGCGCCTTACAGGGTCACCGCGGAGGAGCCCATTCAACAACAAGCCCGGAGGAGGCTGCCCCGCGAGGCAGGGCAGCAGCCGGAGCAAGTTGTAGCCCCCCCCTCAGGCTCCCAGCAAAGCGGCAGCAGCATGCCCACCCCCGCGGAGCGAGCGGCAGCCTATGCAGCCGAGCAGGCTCAAGAAGAGGAGGAAGCAAAGAAGGCCGCCGCGTCGCCGCCGAAGCCGGGCCGCCATGCGCAGGCCGTACTTAGTAGACCAAGACACACGGAAGGAGACCTCAAGAGGCTGGCCCACCGCTTCTCGGCGGCCGGGAGATCCGGCGAGGCGTCGGCGTATTGGAGGTATGGCATCGAACTGGTCGAGCGGGGCCAAAGCAAGATCGACCGCGACTCGCCGCTCGTCACAGCATTGATAGATGAAGTCGACAAGAAGATGGACAAGCGGATGTCTCGAGCTCGAAGGATGGAGCTCCAGCGGCAGCGCAAGAAGGAGAAAGAAGCGCGTAGAAAGAAGGCTCTGGACGAAGGGGATAGTCTAGCATCGAATTCGACGCTCACGCACCACGGCAAGCACCACGGCGACGGCTTGGCCGATGACGAAAGTTCTATCTCTACTTGGTATGGGAAAACTCTCAACGTCGCTGGGAGAGACGTGCCCGTCACCGACGTCCACGCGGGCCAGCACCACCACCACCGTACTACTTCTTTTTACGCCCAAGCTAGACTCGGATATGCGAAGTGCGGCTTGTGCCAACTCCACTTCGAACAGTCGTCGGTCACAGGCCTAACGACCAATAAGTACATCGAAGAATTTCGAGAGAAGGGAGGCCTCAAAAAAAAAGAGTCTCGAAGACTCCAGACTCCCTCATACTTGTATGATGAAGTGAAACTATGCGTCTTCTGCACGCAATTGCTGAGCAAGGACGGCCCGACCGGAGCGCAAAAGAATCTATATAAAGATAAGCTCGGCGTCGATTTGATGGGTAAATCTATGAAGGAGGACCTGAAGCTGCAGCATGCTCTTGATACGGACGAGTCGCCGAATGTGTTGTTGGGCGCCGATTGTGTGCAATCATCCGTATGTGACGGGCTGGACGGTGACCGCGCCGTCGACGGGGACAAAAATACGTTTTCTCGCACTCAGAGGGAAAAGGAGGCCTGGTGGGAGGCTCAGTTGGATCCCCAGTCGAACCCTATCAGAGAAGTTATCGTGACGCTGGTGACACCAAACAGAGCTCCTGTGCATGTGTTTGCGTTGCTGACGTCCGTCGGTCAAGGTAGGTTGTCGGATGCGCGGAAGAGGTGTGTGGAAGAGTTCGTCGGTCAAGGGAAGAGGATTGTTTGGACTCCCTCCAAACCTCTGAGGGCGGCGGCCGTGCGCATCCAGGTCGAAGGTACTCATAGTCTACAAATCGCGGCCGTCGAGGTTTTTAGGGCTGAGGGTAAGCAACACAAGGACGACGAGTTACATCATTTCTACGACCTGATGCACACCATAAATGAACAACAGACCACACGTACGTTAGACCAGATTGGTTTACAAGAGCAGAGCTTCTTTTCCACTGATACCGTAACGTCTCGCCGAAAAAAAGTTGTGGCTACGCCCCAATGCGGCGACAAGTCGGCCTTTTTTCACGAAGGGACTCGGTCGATTAGCACGCATCGGGCCCAACCGACACCCGTTGAGCTGTCTAGAGTGGCTACGACGTCTCGACTGTCTCCAGCACTCGCGGCGAGAATAAAGCGCCATAAACAACCTTCAGGCTTCGATTCCCACGAGGTCGATAGGATGTACTGGACGACTCTGCTAAGGTACGACCACGAGGCCCAGATCAAGGACCGGCGTAGATCGGTAGAAAGTACCTTCACGTCCGACCAGCTCACGACAGCCCGAGATTTGTTTGCGTCGTGTTCCCCCCATGCTGACGAAAGAGCATTAGCATCTCGAGACGCGACCCCCAAACCGCCCGACGACGCCTCTCTACCTTCTTTTGACGACTACTCGGCAGCACCGCCACCAGGCAGTCATAGAATCGAAGCGCTGACCATCGACATCTCCCACATCTACACGGGCCTAAGGAAGTGCGCCTCTTCCCTATATTCGACGGCGCAGAAGGAAGAAGATGGGAATGCCACGCCGTCGACCAAGAAACGTCGGGAAAAGTTAAAGGCGGGTTTGTTTGAACTGTTGGATGCGAACACGTGTTTCTCCATCGCGTCGGAGCTGTACAAGCTCGCTCGCCTCGACGAGAAGTTCCCCGAGGAGTCCGTGCAAGATGGTGAACTTGATGACGCACATAGGGGGCCGCTCCAACTTGATATAAGGTGGCCCGCCTTTCTGGCTTTATTAGCTTTGATTCGAGATCGTTCGGATGGCAAGATCGACGGGGGCTATCCGCGGGATGTCTTGGATGCGCTGGACGTGCATACCGACCACAGACTCGTCGATCCGGCCGCGACGCAGCGACGGGAAGATAGAGACAGATCGAAGCATGTCCATGTGGATCTGGGCAAGCAGCAGGAGCGCGAACGGAAACAGAAGGGTACTCCATCTAGGCGTTTGCAGTCTAGAGCGGGGCCTCGACGGCGATTGCCTCCTTCGACCGTAGAGGAGGAACTGCTCGATGCGAAGCAGACCATGAACAAGGGCCGAAGTAAATATGTGGCCTCCCAAGCGCGCTTCGAGAAGCTCGCGGCGCGCTTGGCGCCGGAGGTGGCTAAAAAGAAGCCCAAGTCGCACCTCGAGGTGTTAGAGGCGAGGAAACATCGGGGCGAGAAGAAGCCCGTCACCGTGGCCCCCGAGTACGACTATCGGTTGAAACAGGAAACACGTAGAGCTCATCAAAAACAACTGATTCAGGACGAGATCGACGAGCACCGCCGGCCTCGCAGAAGAGAAAAGCGGTTGTATAACGCGTGTGGTCTCTGTCTGCAGCTCTTCCCGTCGGATTCTTATACGATCTCGGCGCCGCACAACGTGATCATCGCGCAACTCAAGAACTTTGGGCTGTCTGAAGACGAGCTCAAAGAGCGCGGGTCGGAGTCGTTAGCCTTGTGGGCCAACAGATTACCGATCTGCGTCTTCTGCTCCCAGTTCCTGGATCCCGACGAGGACTCGGGCATCGCGCTGCGCGTGCGCAAGGACCGGGATACGACGAAATATCAGCCCTTCTTCGACGCGGCCTACCCCGACACGTACACCGAGACGATGCGGCGGCGCGAGGCCCGGGCGGCCGCGCGGCGACTGAAGGACGACGAGTCGACGGTGACGCACCAGACACTACAAAGTCTGCCGCCGGCGCCGGCGCCCGCGGGGTAAGGAGTCTTGTTAGTAACTTACGCGGCGCGCGCGGCCAGCGCCTCGCGCGCCTCTTTCAGCGCACCCTGGACAGAGGGTGTCTCGGGATGCGCCGGTCCGAATATGCGCGTCCAAAAGCGTGCGACGGACTCGAGCGTCTCCACGGCCTCGCGGTAATCGTCGAGCGTGGCGCTGGCATCCATGTAGAGCGTATTCGCGTAAATCCATACTCTCCGTAAGAAAGACGGTGCTACGCTCGACGATCTCCGCGAGAGCGTGGAGACGCTCGGGTCAGTCGCACCGTTGTGGACTCGCGTGTTCGGGCCATCTCATCCTGATACGCCCAGTGTTCAGAGGGCGCTGGAAGACGCGCGCAAGGCGCTGGCCGCGCGCGCCGCGGCTTCGTCGTCGGGCGCCGCGTGATAAGGTTGAAACATCCTCTGCTTTTCTGAGCACCCCTGCTGCATGGCGCGAACGGGCAGCGAGCGGTTCGGATAATCGCGAAAACCCGCGCATTGTGGCCAAAACTTGGCGCTGGCTGGTGACGACCACGCGTCGTGCAGTTATAGCACGGCAGCGCGTCTTTTCGAGCTCTCATTCATCTCTTGAGCGCGAAACAACGCACCAATTCGAGCGCTGGCAGCCATGCCTGCACATCAGCACCTGTGCCTCATAGCAGCAGTGGCAGCAATAACACCTGCGCGACCAAAAGTCGCCATAGTGGGCGCAGGAGTCAGCGGCCTCAACTGCGCCCGAAAACTGCAGCCTAACTGCGACGTCACGGTCTTCGAGGCGTCCGACGGCGTCGGCGGGCGCGTACGATCCGACCGCGAGCGCGGCTACGTCTTTGATAGAGGTTTTGCGGTGTTCCTCGAGGCTTATGAAGAATCACGAGAAGCTTTGGACTACGACGCGCTGCGGTTGCGGCCCTTCCAGCCCGGTGCGCTCGTCTGTCGAGACAGCGAGCGGCAATTTGTCGGCGATCCGTTAAGGCGGCCGCAGGACCTCCTCCCGTCGCTGCGCGCGCCCGTGGGCTCGCTCGCCGACAAGCTCCGCGCCGGCGCCCTGCGCACGGGCTGCCTCGCGCTCGACGCCGCGGGGATTAGGAATGGTGCGTGGACGCAAAGCTCCACCAATGCGCGGGACTTCCTCTCGGATAAGGTAGGCGTCGGTCCGCGCCTCTTGGACGCCTTCTTCGAGCCGTTCTTCCGCGGCGTGTTTCTGTCGAGGCTCGAAGACCAGGATCCGCGAGTGTGGTTGTTGGCCTTCCGGGCGCTCTCCGCGGCGCCGACGTCGCTGCCACAAGACGGCATCGGCGCCGTGGCGGAGCAGCTCGCCGCCAGCGTGGACGTGCGATTGAATGCGAAGGTCGACGCCGTCCGTGAGGGTTCTATCGACGTCAACGGCGAGACGCTCCAATTCGACCGCGTCGTCGTCGCGGTCGACGGGCCCGCTCTGCCAAAGCTCCTTCCGGACCTAAAACCGGTCCAAGTGCGCGCGTCCACGTGCGTCTACTTCTCGCTCGATGCAAGGGACCTGCCTACACAACTGCCGATCATTCTCTTGATACCAGACGACGGTCCCCTGAACAACGTCTGCTTCCCGTCGAACGTGCAATCGTCCTACGCGCCAGAAGGCCGGGCGCTCTGCTCCGCGACGATTATAGACTCACTCACAGATGTACCTGACGACGTGGAAGCCGCGGCGAGAAGCCACCTCGCGACATTGTTTCCGGACGCGAACGTCGGAAGCTGGACCTTCGAGCGTGTCTACCGCGTACCCTTCGCCCAGCCCCGACAGCAGCTGGACAAGCCTGATCTAGAGGGCTCGCCTGCGTACTCGGACTCGATATACGTCTGCGGCGACCACCTCACGGACCCGTCGCTGAACGGCGCGCTCGCGTCGGGCCGCCGCGCGGCGGCCGCGTGCCTGAAGTCGTTAAGTGTTCGAGGTGGCGCGACGCCGCCGCTGCGCGACTACGCGACACGGTTTGAGGCGCCTTCTTCCGTGTCCTACGCGCCGATCGGCGTCGTGCGGTCGCCCTACGTCGAACGCCACGGGACGCCGCGGCAGGCCACCGTTGGCAATGACGAATTGGGCGTGATCGCGCTGAATCCCGAGTTCCGCGGGTCGCTCAAGTCGCTGGACGGCTTCGACTACGTCTGGGTCCTCGCGCACATGCACCTGCAAACTGGAAAATTGCGGCGGTTCCAGATCAAGCCGCCGCGCGGCGACGAGCGCCACGGCGTCTTTGCCACACGCGCGCCGCACCGCCCGTCGCCGATCTCGCTGTCGGCGCTACGATTGATAGACGTAGACGAGGAAAAATTGGAGCTCACCGTCCAGGGCCTGGATCTGTTGGATGGGACGCCGGTTTTGGATATCAAGCCGTACGTACCCTACTGCGACGCGTTCCCCGACGCTCGCGCGGGATGGGTCGACGAGCTGGACGAAGAGGATAGTAGAGACGATAATGTGTAAGTTGGTGTGGTAAGAGGTCTAGTTCCCGAGAAAATCCGCTCAGGCTCAGGCTAGTTACGTCGCGGGGTCCCCCGTACCCCTCCCGCTCCCCCCGGGCCCGCTTGCTAGTGTCTTACATGCCGCTAGCGCGGCTTCGCCTGAGTTTTTGGGCGCTGCCGACCCCATTAATGCATATCTGAACTTTTAGCGATGCTCTACATACTGCTCATGATGCTCTCGATCAGCAGAACTGCAACACTCGGTGCGAGGAGGCTGCTGCGAGCCAAGACAGGTGCACTGCGAGCAGCAGCACTTCACGCGGCCCCAGACGACGCGTCCAGCATCTACGCCATCCCGGAACGCGACGTCGACGAGGCGGCCGTCCATCAACTCGTAGAAAGGCACGTCGCGCAGCACGCGACGTACCTTAACAAAAGACCAATCGCGGCGCACACACGAGCAGCGTTCCAAACGGCAGCAGAGTTCGCCAGAAGCCGAGCCGCGCCTCTCATCATCGACGCGGGCTGCGGCACGGGCCGCAGCACGCTGAAGCTCTCCGCGCGCCACCCGGACAGAACCGTGATCGGGGTCGACCGCTCGGAGGCGCGCCTTTCAAAATCAAACGACGCGCCGGACAACGCATTGCTGCTCCGGGCGGAACTGGGCGACTTCTGGCGCCTCCTGAACGATTCAAACGATCTGAGGGTGGAGGAGACGTATCTGTTGTACCCCAACCCGTACCCGAAAGATAAACACTTGAAAATGCGCTTCCAGGGCCACGCGAGCCTGCCTTCTCTGTTACAAGCCTGCGGTCACAAATTGACGGTGCGCGCGTCGTGGCGGACGTACCTCGAGGAGTTCCGCCTCGCTTGTCGCAGGGCGGGTGAGCTGGGTATCAGGCCAGACCTCGTATCGAAAGGACCCTACGAACTGTCTGATTTGCATGATCCGCTGACGCTTTTTGAGAGGAAGTATGCAAAGGCGGGCGTCCCGGTTTATGAGCTCGTGCTCGACAGCGACCGGTGAGTTGCTCCCCGCCATCGACGCTATCTCATGTGATGTGACTGCGACTTCTGCGAGTACCGCGTTCCAAACAACGGGACCAGGATGCAGCGATTAATAACAATATACTTGTGGTTAGAACGGCAGCGGCTTTGCTCCTAGTCTTGTACCTGGTGACTGCTGGAGCACGGGCGCCGGTCGCAACGGCCGCGCGCTGCCGAGGCCGCCGAAGGCGCTGACCGCCCTCACGGCCTGTAACGACGCAGCCCCTCGACGCACGGGCGTCAGGCCCGTCCTCGATAAGGTCGCCATCCGGAAGTTGCGCATCGCGTCCCGCAGATCATGTAATGATTCGCTCACTTCCCTAATTTTGCAGCGCTGCTTTCGTTTTTCGGAGAGGCACTTGGCCGCGACTTCTGACAGACCAGAAGCCACTCTCGGCGGACAGTCGGACAATGTCGGATCCAACAGAGTTTTCTCGTCGTAGTCGGCGTCAAAGGCGAATTGTGCGAGTGCTGGAGGCTCCCTTCCAGGAGTAAACGGCAGCTGGCCCGACAGCAGTTCCAGCAGCACCACCCCACAAGCGTAGACGTCGGAGGCAGCCACCACGTTCCCCTTCTTCGCATAGGCGGGATCTACATAACCTCGAGAGTGGTCCACGGCTGTCTGTGGGATGACCGGCTTGCCCTCATTTCTGACCAATAGTCGTCCGAGGCCCCCATCGCCCAGCTTCGCGACGTAGGGCGGTTCACTGCTCGCTAGTAGGATATTCGTCGTCTTCACGCCGCCGTGCACGACGTCGTTCTCCCTCAAATGTTTCAGGCCGCTCGCGACGTCGTCCGCGATATCCAACCGGTCGGACCAGGTTAACGCGCGCGGCGTCCGCAATTTGGCAAACACCGACCCGCCCTTGCAGAACTCATACACTAAACACCGCTCCGTCGCGTCGCACGTGTAGCCCAACAGCGGCACCAGGTTCCTATGTCCAAGGCGCGCCAACACGTTCACCTCGACGACGAAATCATAACCCTCGGAGAAGAAGTTTCTCAGCCGCTTCACCGCCACATCCCCATTACGATTGCCCCTATAAACACTTCCGACGCCGCCTTCGCCGAGACAAGTCCCGAAGTTATTTGTGCATTTTCCGATGTCTTCCATCGATATGCGGTCGACGTGCGAGTCCACTACTTCCAATGTAGTGACCGGAGTATCTTCCGCGGCCTCCTTGGCCTCGACGACCTGTAAGGCTTCCTTGGCGTCGGCGTCGCTCATGTTTTGTGGTTCGAAGAACTGGGCGGGCTCGTCTTTCGCGGACGCCGTGAAGTCGAGGAGGTCCGCTGTTGCCGTTGTTGTGAGGGGCGATTGAGCTAAACTGCGGACGGCGGCGGCGTTCTGCCGCTCGAAGACGGCTGGAGCTGTCGTCGCTTGCCCCGCGCCAGGCGACGCGTTCACGGGCGCGGCGGCCTTGGCGTCGGCCCGCGCCGCGTCTCGCGCGCCGAGGCGCTGCAGCGCCGCGGTCTTGGCCTCCGCCCCGCTCGCGTCGACCGCCCGGAAGTCACTGGGGGCGGGCTTGGCGTCCGCGGCGCTGCCGCCGTCGCTCAGCAAGCACCTTGATGGATCCAGCACGTCCTTCGACTCGTCGAGGCGGTGCGGCCGGCCCCTCGTCAGCGATTGGCCGCTTTCCAAAGCCAGGCCCGCCCGCAGCGGGTTGACTTGCGTCTCGAGCGGCCTATTTAATTCATTCACGTAGGCGTCCGCCGAGGGCTTCGGCGACGGCGCCGTCGTGAGCAGGGGCGCGTCCTCGCCGACGTCCCGGGAGTGTTGATTGACTAATTGCGTCCCGGAGTCGTTGGCCACGCGCTGCGTGAGCGCGCCGCTCTCGATCAAATGGGCCACGGCCTTCTCCACGTCGAAGTTGTGCACGACCAACGCCCCCTCGATGGCTTCGTCGTCAATGACCACGTCGCCCAAGGTGTTTCGGACAGCAGCCATCGCACTCAATTGGCGGGCTGCCATGTCATTCACTTCTTGCCGCTCGCTCACCGAGATGTCGCGCCGCGGTGGGAGTCTGACATCAAACACCGAACCGGCTCTAGCGCCGGCCGGAATCACGGCGCGCATGACTCTCCCATCAGGCGTCTGAAACGCGGCTTCACTACCAGGACCGAGGCCGGGCGGGACCCTCACCCGCAGATGGCCCGGCGGGACGGGCTGCGTGCCGGGTCCCGCGTAGCGCTGCCTTCTAGGTCGGAACTCGACCTCGTCGTCGCCCGCCGCGCCGGCCGTCGAGCCTCCAGCCCCCATGGTCTGCCGCTGGACTGGTTGCTGGCCCCGACCCTCCGGTGAGGTCCCGGGCACTGGAGTGGTTCCTGCTCGTCGGGCAGCCGCACGAGTGGTCAGTGGTCCTCGACGACGCCCCTGAGTCCTTTTTCAGACGGGGCCGCGCGCGCACACGCCCACGTGCGGACGATGGCAGTCGGCACACCAGTCCCAGCTAGAGTTTGGTCGAGCGGAGCCCGGCGTCGCTCAGCGCTGCAGTTCTCGTGGGAAGGCTCGCGGGGTCGCTCTCGGCGGCCCATCCCTTGAGAAAAACCCGTGATTCGTGTGAAAAACAGCGCTTGGCGCGCCCCTTGTCAGGCTCCCACGCCTCGCTCCGTCCGCACCACGCCGTCGACGCGTCGAGCAGAACCTACCGCGTCCCAGCGCGGCCGCAGAAAGCTGCCCGCACCGCCCTACCGTACCTACACACCAGCCACCAGCCACCATGGGCAATACGATGAACGTGGCGGTGATCAGCCAGGTCTACCAGTCGAACCGGCAGGAGTTGCTCGCCTTGAAGAAGAAGGCTGAAAAAGATGGAAAAAAAACTATACATAGGGAGGGCTGGGAGGCGGCCGAGGTCGCTTGTAGCGTCGATGAAAGTGATAGGGATATTCACGAGCGGTTATTCACGTTGTATGATAAGCGAGGGAACGACGAGGTGCCCTCGAAGCCATTTTTGAGTGGACTAGCGACGATCACGAACAACACGCTGGAAGAAAGGATACACATCGCCCTGGAAATTTGGGATGAAAAAGGCAGTGGTTATTTGAGTCAAGAAGACGTCCAGAGCTGCTTCGTGAGCATGGCCAAGACCTGCGAGTACTTTGGGGACGACCGCATGGACTTCGAACAATTGGAGGAGCTCGTGCAGTCGATGTTCGACACGTTCGACGCGGACCTCGTGGATTTGAAGATGAAGTACCGGGACCGCATCGCGGACTTCGCGGTCCACCCGATCATGGAGATTTATTTAGGAAGGCAGACGATGGACGGGTAAGGGGAGGTTTTGTAGTTTTTTAATCGCGGGTTTCGCGCACCCATTTTTGCTCAAAATTGAGCCGCACCTTGAGTAAGCCGCATCATACGTGTGAAAAGTTGAGCTACAATCGTTACTTAAGCCAGCTTCGCGAGTGCCACGCGAAATTACATCGCTGCGCATCGCTACGAGGCTGCAAAGCTGAGCAGCCGTGCTTGCACAAGCACTGCCTCTGCACTCTGACGACGAGCCGTGACGACGCGCCTGCACTGTGACGACGAGGTACCATGAAGGTCTGCAGCAGCCTGTTGACAGGCACGGCCGCACTCACGAAGCTCAAAGACTTCGCACCGATAGTAGTCGAGGGAGGCACCGGCCGACGGGACCAGCGCGACCCGGCCGAGGTGGCACGACGCGTCGCCGCGGCGCTGCGGCCGCGGATAACCGAGCGGCAAGCCATTCTCGTGACGCAAGGCGACCCACTGGAGCCCACCGGAATCTCGGCGATCACGCGCGCCGTGGCCGAAGAGCTCGCGATACCCCGAGCGCTCGTGACGCTGCCCGCGGCGATCGACCCTGAGCACGCGCCGAACGCGCCGCGGGACGGCGTGATCCTGGAGGTCGGCTACGACGCGCTGGCGGCGACCCTGGATCTCGCGGCGCTCGAGTCCGCCGTCGACGACGCGCTCGCGGCGAAGAACCGCGCGCGGGAACGGCCCCTCGCGCCGTACTACAAAGACTACGCGCTGCTCCAGGAGGTGACGAAGGGCGCCATACGTACCATGTGCGGGTCGCTGACGCTCGCGCATACCGATTCCGAGATCCCCGTCGACTCGGTGACGTCGTTCTACGAAGTCGGCCTCGAGCTTGAGCTCTATGCGAAGGAGGACCTCGTCCCGTACGTGTAATGTGGTAGTGTTAGTCGGGGCGAGGGGGTTCAAAAAAGGTCGCTACTGCGCCGACGACTCCATGCGCCGCGACTCGGACGCGAGCTCGATGTGGCGCCCCGGCTGCCAGTTGTTCTTGGCCTTCGTGCGCTCCCACAAGACACACACTCTCAAGTCCCGCGCGTGCATCTCGCGGTCGCAGGGGCCGACCACCACTCCCACATCGCCGACCTCCGTTTCTTCATAGGCGACCTTCGCGACGATGCGGTCGCCCTTCTTGATGCGGTGGCCCGGGACGAGGGGAGCGTGGTCTAAACTATTGACGTCGGCGTCTACGGTTCCTCTCGGTCCAAAATCTACTCGTAGCGCAGCACAGCCCCGAGGTCTTGCGAGTCCAATGACCACACCAGTCTCACCCACAGGGACACCGGGCAAGGGCTGCGTCGCTACCACTTTATCTTCTTTCGCGTAGTCTCCCACGAGACTTTCAAAGGCCAATTGCGCGCGCGTGTAGTTGTAGCGCCCCTTCGTCCCGAAGTCCACCAGAACTCTAGAGCGGAAGGAGTCCAAGCCTAGCGACGAACAGGGCCCCGCCACGACGCCTCTATCACCAACCCCGACGTGCTCAAAAGGAGCACAAGCCCGGACACAGTCACCCTTCGTCAGGAACTTGCCCACGAGCGGCGCATGATCGAGGTCCTCCCGTTCCACAATAACTGTTTTACCATCAACGTCGACCTGCACCTTCGTGGCGCTCCCTTCGCAGCCACCTGCTATAACACCTCGCTTGCCCGTCGCCGCCACAATCACCTGATCCCCCACAACAATGTCATCAACGATCGGTAATCTATGGCACTGCTGGCCCATCATGTAGTTGTACTCTCCTCTATCTCCCTCAAAATTCACTCGCGCGCGGCCCGCCTCCGACCCTCGCCCCGCGACTAAACCGACAACCCTCCCGACGTCGCCCGCCCGGACATTTTTATGGGCCACATCGGCAACAACTCGATCCCCGATTTTCACGTCGTAGCACCCGCTCAGCACCTTGGCGCCCTCGGCCGGCGGCGCGGCGTGCGCCTTGGGCTCATCTTCCACTATTTCCTCTTCTGGTTTCTTCTTCGGTATGATACTGTCGAGCGTGCGGTCGGCCAGTCGATACGCGATGGCCATGGCGATGCCCGCGCCCGCCGCCGTCAAAATGATCTGGGGCTTGGACATCTTGCTGAGTTTGGCTGTGAGGGCGTCCATGGTGCGCGGCGTCCTGCTATGCGGGGACCGGGTAAAGCTTTATGGATTTGTTGCCGTCCCGTGCCGCTGCGCGCTGCTTAGGTTGCGGCGTCGATAAGTATGGGTCTAGCACTGTCCCGTAATGGCTGCCAGAGTGCGCCACCAGTAGCAAAAAGGGCTCGGATTTTGATAAAAAACGAAACCGGGCATATAATCAGCTAGCTGCCGGTAAGACACTAGGAAATCTCCCAAGATTGCTTCCAACTCCCAACTGCGGCGTTCCGGAGGATTTGGGCGCGGCACAGCGCGCTTGCACCAGCGGCGAGGTCCGGCCGCGCGGACCCCCACGGGAACGGCTGCAACAGGTCGCTTGGGCAGCCTGTACATACATACATAAAGCACAAGGCGGCTCCGCACGTGCTCGATGCTCGCAACGCGCATGCTCCACCTGCGCCACGCGGCGCGCCGCCTGGGAGCGGCGCGCTGGTTCGCGGCGGGCCGCCAGACGCTGGTGATGCCCGCATTATCTCCGACGATGGAGGCCGGCACGATCGCGGCCTGGCACAAGGCCGAGGGCGACTACGTGGAAGAGGGCGACACGCTCGCCGACGTCGACACGGACAAGGCGAGCATCTCGTGGGAGCACATGGGCGAGGAGGGCTACGTCTCGAAGATCCTCGTGCCGGCGGGCGGCGAGGCGCCGGTCGGGAAGCCCGTCGCGGTCTTGGTCGCGGAGGCGCCCGTCCACCTTCTTCGTCAAGGCCACCGGTCCGGTCCGCCGGTTCCGGCGTCGTCGCCAGGAGCCAAGACGTCAGGAGCGAAGACGTCGCCGGCGCTCGGTTGGTTCGACTCGATCACGGTCCGCGACGGCCAGCGCGCCATCGTCTGGAAGCCGGACGGCCGCGCCGAGGTCGTCGTCGGTCCGGCCAAGAAGCGGCTCCTGGGCGACCAGATTGAGTTCATGAGGGAGTACATCGCCGACGCGATTCGCTACCTCGTGATCGTCGACAAGGAGGGCAACACGGAACACATCCCCGGGCCGGCGAACGTCTGGTTCGACCCGACGAAGCATCGGAGCATCGCCGTCAAGCGCTGCATTATGTTGGACGCGAACGAGCACATCGTGTCGTATCTGCGGACGGAGAGTAATATAAAGAGGCGCGTCGTCACGGGCCCGACGGTGCACATCCCCGCGTCGAACGAGTGGGTCCACGAGTTCAAGTGGAGCGCCACGTCGGCGCTCCACGGCGAGCGCGGCCGGTTCAACGTCCTCAAGACACTCCCGGACCAGGTGGAGGTGACCATACCTCGACTGCGATCCTTCGACAACGCGGAGGTCTCCATGGACGTCATGGTCTTCATGCAGTTGGTTGACGTCGAGAAATTACTGAATAGCACGCACGATCCTGTGACCGATCTGAAGGTGTCCATCACGGCGGATCTCACGGAGTTCGTCTCGAAGTGCACGCTCGACCAGCTCAAGGAGCGGACCCACGAGTTGAATGATCTGAAGATGTTCAAGCAGTCGACGCAACGCGCCGACCAGATCGGCTACAAAGTATCAAAAGTCACGTACCGGGGCTACGGCTTCAGCCGCGACATCGACGCGATGCTCAAGCAGAACCTCGTCGACGAGACGAAGCTGAAGATTGAAAAGGAGACAGCCGTCAAAGAGCAGGACATCGAGGACATGAAATCACTAAGGAGGGTCGACCGACACCTCAAGGAGAAGGAGGCCGAGGTGACGACCAATAAATTGGACCTCGACATCGAGCGCACGCGCTCCGACGAGCGCCGCGCCTCGGCCAAGGCGACGACGGACGACGAGATGTTTTACCTCGAGAAGCTGAAGGCCATGGGCGTGGACCTCACGCAGTACCTCGTGGCGCAAAAACAAAAACCGGCGGACACGGAGGTGCGCATCACGTCCGACGAGAAGGCCCCGGTCCTGCACATGCACGTCGACGACCGGTCGAAGAAGTAGCTCTCATCATCCTCCCGTTTTCATCCTCTTCTCTATCGAATAGTACAATTCTCTCTTAATTATGGGCGCGACCCTGGGGGCCGCGCCACTTCACTTTTGCTTCGACTCGTCCTCAGCCTCGGGCTCGGCGGCCTCGTCCGAGTGCAGGAACCAGCAGCCCGCGCCCCGTTTGCAGCCCCGGGCCGAAAAGAAGAAGCGGCAGCGCGTCTGGTCGCGCGGCGCTTGGGGCGGCACGCTCGCCGTCGACGCTTCCGTGGTGGGCGCGGCCGTCTCCGCCTCGTCGTCGTCGGCGACGGGCGAGTCGCGCGGCGACCCGCGGCGCCGCGGCCGTCTAGTTCGTCGAGGCGACGGTGGTGAGGGAGGCCCCGACGAGCCCGCGTCGCTGGGAATCGGCGCGAGCGGGATGGGCGCCGCGTAGTAGTGGCCCGGGTAGTGCCGCGCGTACTGCGGCACCATGTACGCTTGACTCGGGTCGACGTACTGCCCGCCCTGGTTCGGATCGTAGAAGACGCCGCGCGGCGGCGGCGCGCCGCGCGGCGGCATGCTGTCGTAGTGCTGCCGGCCTTCCGCCGCGGGACAGACGTCGACGTCCACCAGACCCGTGTAGGGCGACGCCCGGTACCTCACGACGGCGCCGAAGGCCGACGGTGCCGCGGCGTCGAGTTCGGGCGGCGCTGCTCTTCTGAGAGCCGCCGCCGCTTCCAGTATGCGATCTAAGGGCACGTCCGCCACCGCGCCGTGCCACGCGTCGGCGACGGGCGAGCCGTCCTCAAACAAAGGCCTCAACACTAATGGGAGTAAGTGTGCTGCCCTTCTTCCAGGTAATAAACAAGCTAGCGATTCAGCAGGGGGCGGCGGGGGTACATATTCATCAGTAGTAGTATCTCGATCGACCCCTCGCATGGAAGAACAATAACCAATCAGAGCTTCTGGGGGTGGAGCTGCTGGTCGAGCATACCTCCTCGAAAAGTCCCGACAGTGCCCTCGCGCGTACGTCGTAACACACCACTCGAGGGTCTGTAACCACTCGCCTTCCGCCCAGGCGACGACCTCATCATCACTACCTACTAAAGTCTCCGCATCGCTCTCCTCGTCCTTCGGTGGTACGGAAGAAAAGGTTCTTTGAGCCCAGACGCCGCTCGCTTGGGGAGGCCGCGCGCTGCCCGCTCTCGGCCACTCCTCGGCCAGGTGTCGGATTTCATGGGCGTGGACGCACTGGGGGTTTGTACACCTTTGCCCTTGGGGGCACTGTTGTACGCACCACCTCGGATCTCGTTTCAGTCGCGTCGTCCGCGCCCGGCCCCACCCGATGTGATTCCTCGCGCGACACCGCACCTCCAGCGGCCCGCCGCCCGCCGGCGCCCGGATCTCCACCCTCGGATCGACGTGCCTCAGCTCCACGCGATTCAGCCTCGAACCATCAGCCCCGATGGCCACGCGCCAAGGCGCCGTACTGACTGGCGGCGGCGTTCTTCTACGAGGTATTGAATCATCGGAATCGCGCGGCTGGACGGGCACGGGCCGCCACTCCACTCTGTATAACAAAGTAGCTGCACCAGAAGTAACGGCCCCGAAGTCGCGCGGCGCCAAGACCCGCACGCCAACCCTATCTGCTTTCCGCAGCAAAGCTAGTTCTAACGCCCGAGGCGCCGCCGGCCGCCCGTCTTTCGTGCGAGTATGACTCCGAGCGTCCTCCGCGACGCGTCGCCTCTTCTCGTCGATCGTCGCGGCGTCGTGCCTGTGTGGAAATCAACGTTCAGGCGCCCTTCAATTTCTGGTGTGTCGTGGTCGGAGTGATGTGTTTCTTTCTCAATACGGTCGAGGGTATCCCTCGGAGATCGTGTCCAAGTTTGGGCCGAAACCAGGGCCGCGGTGCCGAGATCGCGCGACGCGGGTACATGCCGGTCCTCCAGTAGACTGCCGAGGACTTCTAGATCCACTTTTCCAGACGTTTCGTCGTACAACGCTCGGTCCTGGGCCTTGTAGGCGTCCCACAACGCATGCGATGCTACACTGAGTGGAGGTAAGTAGTCGTTGCCGCCGGCCGCGACGGCGAGCGTCGCAAAATCCAAAGCGACCTGCCTTCGTTCAAGCGTCGGGTCCTCCTCGTCGTTCTTCCTCGCGACGCGCGCACATAGCGCATCGGCCAAAGCGCCTACATCCAAAACGCGCCCGGCGTCCGACAGCACTAAGATCGACCGGACGTGCGGGCCGAAGACGGGCCCCGGGCCCGGCTGGGCTCGACACAGCGCCATGACGACGAGATCCACGTCGCCTCCATACAAAACAACGTCGCGCGGCCGCGGGTCGCCGCTCCTCGCGGCTTCTCTCGCACAGGCATCTAGGTACTCGACGCACTTGACCTCGCCGTCGCCCGGCACGCTCGCGTCGGACACGACGACCTCGTCGAAGCCCTGGCGCGCGGCCGCGTTCCGTCTTGTTCTCTTCTCGGCCCACTGCCCGAGCGCCTCCGCGAGCCGCTCGCTAAAATCCGTGCCCGGCGAGATCTCGAGGACGTCGAAGGGCGGGATGCGGTTCGGCGACGGCCGTCTTGCACCCCGTTCCGTGACGAGCCCGTCGGCGCGGACCCCATCCTTGGCCTTCAACCGTCTCTGCCGTACCGTAACGACCTTCGCTCGCGGCAGCGGCCCGTCGAGGAAGAAGCCCACGGACGTGCGCGCCCGACAGACCGAGTGCGTCGTCGCCGTCTTCGAGGACGTAAAGATGCTTTCCACCCTACCGACGACCCGCTTCACAGCTTCTCGCCCGCTCTTGCAGCGCCGCGCCGCGCTCTGGACGACGCTGGTCATGTCCACGACCACGTGGTCCGCCGCCAAGGCCCTCCCGCGCGCGTCCGAGGCCGCGCTGCCGAATTGTTCCACCAGCCAGGCGTGGAACTTCGAGACGCCCATCGTTTATTTATGTACAGTGATGCGCGGTGCGCTGCGAGTTCCTACGCTCGACGCCGCCGCGTCTTTGCGCCCTAATGTGCGGATCTCCTCAGCAGCTCATGTCTCTGGGACCCCAAAAACGCGCGTACGCGCAGCGCAGACGCCTTCTACGCGTTCGCTGAGGAAAATAAGCAATTGTTCACAGCTTTTGCTCGCCCGCGCTCGTTGACACCAGCTAGCGCCTGAGAATAAATGAAGTCTTTCAGAGTTGGATTCGCACAAGTTGAAACTAATTCGTTTAATTCAGAGCAGCCGTGTACTGCTCCGCTGCGAATCGTCCGGACCCCTGCTGCTCCCCTCGCTTTAGCTGAGCGCGCGGAGGCTCGAGGCGCCGCCGCAGTGCAGCTTTTTGGGACACCAAAGCACGCGAAATCAATGGCCTCGGATGCGGCGTGCGCTGTAGTTCTTGTATACGAGTCAGTAATTACCCACTGCAGCTGACTGATCACACCAAAACCATGCGTCTGCCCTCCACACCACTGCCAGCAGTGCGGCACAGTGCGCTAGGCGACCGCGAACGCGACATCAGCATTCCAAAGGATGTCGTAGCAATAGCATGCACAGCCCTGCTCCTCGCAATAGTAGAATCCTTCTGCGAATGCTTCGCCCAAACGCACGCGAGCCAGGCCACGCGGTTTTTAAGACGAGCGACGCGGACGTGTGCAGCAGCGTGGTACCTGACAACATCATTACCTTGCAAGCTGCTCGCGAAGGCGGCGTGTGCGCTGCGAGCCGCATCCGCCTGTCTACGGATAACCGCCCCGGCGACTCATAGAGAAATGGCGGGCACCAATAAAATCATACCCATCCTCGCGAGCTACCTAGTGAAGCGCCGCCGCTGCCGGTCCATGACCGACGACGCGGCACGTCATGAAGCCTGGGACGCGCAGCACGCCTGGGGCGCGGAGCGCGCGCGCCGCATGATTAGGGACCTAGGAGGCTTCTACACCAAGGTCGGCCAGGTCGCCGCGGCGGGGTCGCAGATGATGCCGCCGGCGTGGTGCGCGGCGCTGGCGGAGACCATGGACGCGGCGCCGCCCGTTCATCCTAGAGTTGTGAGGAGGATCGTCGAGCGCGATCTTGGCGTGAGGATCGCGGACGCCTTCGATGAATGGGACGACGAACCGGTGGCGACGGCGTCGGTCGCGCAAGTTCATAGGGCTTCAGTGGATGGGACTCCGGTGGCGGTCAAGGTCGGGCTCGGCCGACGACGGCAATTTAGTAAAGACGTCGACGCGATGTACCGCCAGGCTGTATTACTGAAAGCCCTCAAGATGGACGCCGGGCTAGATTTGCCGTCGGTCGTCGCCGCCTACCGCGAGCTCGTGAAGGATGAGTTCGATTTTAGGATAGAGCTCTCGAAGCTGGACAGGTTCTCGCAACTCATTCAAAAAGATTTCCGCAATTTTATCACGACGCCGGCGCCGGTCCGCCATTTGTGTAGTGAGAGGGTCCTCACGTGCGAATGGCTCGCGGGCCCGCAGTTATTAGATGTGTTTCGCGAGTCGACGGCCGCGCTGCCGCGCCCCCAAGCGAAAAGATTCGGCTCCTGGCGCCGCCTCTACGCTACTTTACATAAGTGCTGGGGCGCGCAGATTTTTCGCCAAGGCGAGTTCCACACGGACCCGCACCCGGGCAACGTCGTACTTTTGGAGGACGGCCGCGTCGGCCTGCTCGACTGGGGCCAGACGAAGGTCCTCCCCCCAGACAAGGTCGATTCTTGTGCGGAGTGCGTCGTCTGCATGGCGCGCGGCGACGCCGAGGGGCTCGCGCGGACCATCGAGGCCTCGGGCATCGCCGAGCTCGAGAATCCTTCCGTGGCGCTCTGGGCGTTGATCTCGTACACGTATTTTGATACGCGGTGGACGCCGCTCGCCGGCGTCAACTTATATGATGTGGACCGCTCGTTACTCGCGAGGGACGGCTTCCGGCGGAACAGCCCGGTCGAAGCCTGCGTAGAAATGAACGTCGCGTCGATGGCGTGGGGCGCTGAAGTTTGATGTCCACGCAGGAGGCCTTTCCCCTCATCCGCATCGCATTTCTATTTAGAGGCGCGCAGGCGCGGTGCGGCGTCTTCGACTTATCCTTGGTCGACGCCTGGCTGCCCGACGCGTTGCGGCGCCTCGGGCGGCCGGTGCGGTTCTCTCACTTAGTATCGCGGTGCCGCGCGGCGACGCGGTGGTACGTGCACGCGCTCGCTAAAAAACTCCCGCCGCGGCTCGTCCGGGTCTTCGGGGGCCGGACGGCGTCGAAGCTGTGGCTCGCGCAGCGGGCTTGATATTATTGTTGTCTAAGTTACTGGTCTGTGAATTCAGAAGTACTCGAAGCCGCCCCCCTTGGAAGGCGCGCGCGGCGACAGGCCCGGGACGCTCGCCACGAGCTGGGCCTTCGCCGCTCCACTGAGACTCGAGGCGAACTTGTTCGCGACGTCGGCGCGCGCCAACGACGGCGCCGCGTTGACCGCAGCAGCGGCCGCTTCAGCCGTCAGGTCGACGTTCTTGGCCAAGGCGTCGGCGACCTCGACGGCGTCCGTCGCCAGCGCCAGCGAGTCGAAGACGAGCGCCAGGTCCCCCGGCAGCGGCTGCGGCTGATCCGTGTGGCGCATGCAGTGCGAAATCACGGCCGGGGCCTTGTGCCCCGGGGGCGCGGCCCGCAGCGCGGCGACGAGCCCGGCGGCGTCCCACCCGCTCTTGCCTTGCCACACGGCCACGGGCGCCATCTCGATGACGTTGGCGCCCTCCGGGGCGGCCTCCACCACCGTCGCCTCGGCGGCCACGTACTGCGGCGGCGGCGGCGGGGCGGGCTGCGGCATCCTCACGATGGGCGGCGGCGGCGGCTGCGGCTGGTACTGCTGGGGCTGGACCACGACGGCATGCGACACGGGCTGGTAGCGCTGCGGCGCGTACTGCTGCGGCGTCGGCTGCACGTAGTGGACGGTCGGCTGTGCCACGGGCTGCTGCTGCTGCACGTACTGGACGCTGCGGACCGTCGGCTTCGGGGCCTGCTCGTCTTGTCTTTTCTGGCAGAAGCATAGGCAGCAGCAGGCCGTGATCGAGGTGACGATGGTGACCGGCCCGGCGATGTAGAAGATGAGGATCATCCCCACGGGAAAATATACTGCTGCAAAAACGACAAAGAGGATGATCCAGACGACGCAGAGGATGGGCAGGCAGATCGAGAAGAAGATGTGGTTTTGTCTTACAAAACAACAGTCGCAGCATTCATCGCATCCACCCGGGCAGCAGCCGCACTCCATGTCCGGCTTGGCGGAGGGGTTCATCTTGCGCTGCTCCTAGCTTGCTTTTTGGGACTGTGTTATGCCGAAGCTCGGGCTGCCTCGGAGCGGCTGCGCGGCGAGCGGAGCGGCCGTAGGAGGCGATGGCGGGGCCTGGCGCCGACGACTGTGCGCGCGCGCGGCGGAAGCGATCAGCGCGCTCTGTCCAGGTCTGCTTTGCTCCGAACCCGACACTTAAGCCCGAAAACGCAGGACTCTTCCCGGTGCCCGGCGGGAGCGGTGGCGTCGCCCGAAGGACGTCTCCAAGGTCGCACACGGCCTGCCAGTTGGTGGCAGGCATTGCATGCAACGGTTGGCACTGCGAGTGTCAAGGGGCAGCCCAACAACAGTTGGGCGGTGAACACGCTCGACGCCGCCGCCGCGCCACCAACAACAAAAATGCCGTCGCTCGGCGACGTCCTCAAGCAGGCGAATGCCCCGACACCGGCCCCACCGGTGCCAAGGGCGGGCCTGCGCAAGGCCTTCCCCAAGGAAACGCGGGGCATCAAGAAGTCAGCGGCCTTGCAGCGCCACGAGCCCTTCGCGCAGCACCCCGAGTGGGCGCCCAGGGACTATAAGTCACAGTCGCAAGCGGCGTTCGACGCTCCTGTTGTCTCGAGGAACGCGGAGAAGCCGACGCTGAGCACGGAGATGCTGCAGCGGTCGTCTATTGCACCGCATGTGACCGAGAAAGCGCTGACGTCGACGACTGATAGGAATTACGCGGAGACGTTGCGAGCGCACGGCGCGCGGCCGAAGCATAGACAACCTTCCGGGCGCGCGGGCCCGACGTGCGTGACGCCCCAGATGCGCCTCACGTCCAAGGACCTCCAGTTCCACACGCGCATTTTTAGATCCGACAGCGAAGAAGATCGCTTCGTGACGCAAATGCGCGACGCGCACAAGAATCACGGCACGGGCCACCGGCCACCGGCTTCTAGAACGAGGCAGGACCTCTTCCGGTCGCACAACGTCGCCGACGCCATCGCCTTGGGCGAGGACAACCGCTTCGTGACGGAGACGCGGCGGCACTTTGTCGAGAAGGACCCGCGGGAGATCGATTCGATGGTCCACGCTGGCGACGCGCGGCGGTTTTCCGCCTTCGATCGGGTCAAAGCGTCTAGAGAATCGTGGGATTAACTACATTAGTACTCCTCGGAGTCGTCGACGGCCGGCGCCAGTAATGCCAAAGCCACACAGAGCACGAGCGGCGCCGATAGGACGGCGAGCCAGGCCTGGCCCTTCGACCAGTCCTCTGTGTGGAGAGCTCCTAACAACGTGAGGACGCAGCAGTGCGCGTAGGTCACTAAGGCCACCGGTAGGTAGAAGCACAGCGCCCAGTGCGTCAGCGACCGCGGCTTTTCTAGAACTAGTGGTGGTTGCTGGATGGCGATGGTACTGTCGTCGTCGTCCTCGTCGTCGTCGAAGACGACCGCCGGTTGTGCTGCAACAGGTGTTGGTGTCGCCGGCCGCGAGTGGCCCGAATCATCTAAAGCCCGCTCGTCGGCCTTGAGGAAGGTCTCGACGAAGGGCGCGTAGTTCGGGCCCAGCGACAACAGCAGGGCGAAGTACGCTTCGAAGCCTGATCTCCTTCGTTCCTTCGTGAACTCCGCGTTCGTGTTTAATATGCTCTTGTGCGGGAAGTCGAATTGTTCCAGTTTCGGGTGCGGGGCGGCCCTACAGAGCGTGCCGTGGAACCTTAGTACGTCTCTGTAGCGGCGCTCTACCTTTCTAGTTCGGCCGTCGTCCGTCGTCACTTCTATTCGGTACAGGGTGTGCTTGCCCGTCTCCTGGTAGATTGGGACTCGTATTCTCGCGACGCGGGGCATTTTTTCCTTTTTTAGTTTGTGAGCGTATCCCCGCCTTGCAATGGACTGGTTTTGGCTGAGAGGTGAATTGGGGCTGCGAGCTCTCCTGTGGCGTACAGCGCTCGTCCGGCGCGTTCAGGTGGCACCGTAGGAGTGTCGAAGCAGCGCTGACAGTGAAACGCGACCTGGTTTGCCGCGATACAGCCCGCAAAAAGGTTAGCCCAGGCCGCGAAGCTAGCGTCCTGTGACACACTAGCGCAAGCAACTTTCGTGGCTTTGCGGCGGCTTTGCATCGCCTACGAATCGTTCTGAGGTCCAAAGTCACCAGAGGAAGCCCAGACAACCGCCTGGACCAGCTGGTAGCACTTTCACGCCAGTCGACGCGCACCGCTGAGATCAGCACAGGAGACAACAACAATGAGCTCCCTCCTGGCACGCATGCGGTCGAAGCCGAAACAAAATGAAGACAACGGCCAGGTGGAGGCGGCCGTGGCCAAATTGAAAGACGCGCGCCGTTTTGATGATAGCAAGCAGTACTCGACAGCAGTGATGCTCTACGAGGAGGGCTTGAGATTACTAATAGAGCGCCATCAATCTGAGAGTGACGAGCCGAAGCGGGCCGTCATCCTGAAGACCGTCGAAGAGTACATGGCGCGCGCGGAGCGGTGCAAGCAGCTCGCGCAGGCGAAGCGCCCCGACCACGACAATTATGGGGCCAGGCCGCGGCCGCCGAAGGTGCCTCCACGAAAACCGGTCCGCCGCACGTCCCCGCAAGCGCCGCGACGCCGCACCTCGCCGCCGCCGCCAGCCGCGCCAGAGAACATCGTGCGCGACCCCTTCGAAGCGCGCGTGCTCCAGGAGATGCTCGACGGTTCTTCAGCTGTTAGGTGGGCGGACGTGGCCGGGTTGGAAGCTGCCAAACGCACTCTGAAAGAAGCTGTTGTGTTGCCGAACTTGAGACCGGACCTCTACCGAGGGCTCCGGGCGCCACCACGGGGTGTGCTCCTCTTCGGGCCGCCGGGCACGGGCAAGACTTTCTTGGCCAAGGCCGTCGCTACGGAGTCCAACGCTAAGAGCTTCTTCGCCGCATCTGCGGCGTCGCTGACGTCCAAGTACGTGGGTGAAAGCGAAAAAATGGTCCGCGCGCTGTTCCGGATCGCTCGGGAGCGCCAGCCCTCGGTCATCTTCCTCGACGAGGTCGACTCATTACTGTCGGCGCGCGGCGACGGCGACCAGGAGAGTTCCAGGAGGATGAAGACGGAGTTCCTTGTGCAGCTCGACGGCGCCGGCACTTCCAGGGAAGATCGGATTTTGTTTATGGCCGCGACGAACCGTCCCTGGGACCTCGATGATGCCTTGTTACGACGCGTACCTAGACGGGTCCTCATACCACTGCCTGATTCTACTGCGAGAAGGGTCATCTTGGATGGTCTCCTTGATCGGGGCGACGTCGCCCAAAAAATATCCGCGGCCGACCGGGCCGCGATCGTCAATGCCACTGAAAATTACTCAGCGTCCGACCTACGATTGCTCGCGGAGGACGCCGTCCAGGAGCCTTTGCGGGAACTCGGCGAGCGCATCGCATCTATCAATATCAAGGATGTGCGCCCATGCAAAAAAACGGACTTCGCCAAGGCTTTGAGAGTCATCAAGCCGAGCGCGGACGCATCTCTGCTCGAACGCTACGACGAGTGGGCGCAGAAATTCGGCACGCGCGGTAACTAACGAAGAATCTTAGTAGTCCCTAGGCGCCCTCAGCGCCCGGGGTCTCGGGCATGATCGGGTCCTCGTCGACCGCGTCGGGCACGGCCGTGAGCTTGCCGTAGATGTGGAGGAGCACCACAAAGCCGACGAACATGACGGACATCACCAGAACCTGCGCGTGCGTCGCGTGAGGTGCATTCGGCGACGGTCGCGGCGATGGCGTGCCGGTGGGATCTCCACCACCTCCACGCCATCGATGCGTCCCTCCGATGCGAATGATAAGGCCACGGTTGCAATAAACTGCAATAAAAATAAAAGCGACGCGGCCGCGTACGGTCGTCGGCCCGATCTTGAGGCCCGGCGTCTCCTCGGCGTAGAAGCGCAGGATGCCGGGCTGCTGCTGCGGCCGCCGGCCGCCGCTGGCGGTCCGCGCCGGGCGCTTGCGCTGCTGGAGGGCGCCGCCGCCAGGCCCTCGCGCCGGCGCCGGGCGCTGCGTCGGGTTGGGCTTATCGCCGGCCATCCTGCAATGCGAGCGCTACTTGCACAGGTCAGCTATTCGTGCAGCAAAAAGCAAGGCTGAGTCGCAGAGGCAGGCATGCAATCGCAGCTAGTGTCCCTCTGCACGATAGCCGTCCCGGGCCGAGGCGTCTCCAGGGAGCCCTCTTGCTTGCTGCAGACGGCGTAGATTGAGCAAAAGACCCGCATCGCTGAGGCTCTCAGGCAGACTTGTTGCTGCCGGCGAGACGACACTTGGAGCCGCTGCGGGCTGCACACGCAGTGCCAGCTCTCGAGGACAGGCGTGGCAACGCGTCCCAGCAGTAGAACAGGCGAGCCGTCGCCACCAGCCGCGCGCGCCGCCGCTTTGGAGTGAAACACACTGCTACCGCAGCTACAATGAGGCGGGTAGCGGCGCTAGCCGCATTAATAACCACGGCCACCGCGGCGACCCCGAAGTTCGAGGACAAGTGGGAGAAGTTCTGCGGCGTGCCCGACTGCTACACCGAGCTCGGTCTCTTCCCGAACGCGACGAAGGCGCAGATCCGACGAGCTTACCGAAGCCTCAGTCTCGAGTTCCACCCGGACAAGAACCCCGGTGATCAGAGGGCATTAAGGAAGTTCAACCGCGTCGCGCGGGCCAACGAGGTGCTCACGGACGACGAGCAGCGCAAAAAATTGGACTACTACACGGAAAACCCGTCCGAGTACTGGTCGCTGTATGGTACCTTCGTCGACTTCTCCTACGCTCCTAAAACCAGTCTGAAGGGTGTCCTTTTCATCCTACTAGTGTTCGCGGCATTGGTCCAGCCGGCGCTCCAATATAGCAAGTACCAGGAGTACACCAAAGCTTTAGTGAAAGCAGCATTAGCGAGAGCGCCCGAAGGTGCCGTGTTCCGGAAGGAGGCCGACGAGATTGTGGCCGAGGAGAGCAAAAAGCGAAAGAAGGGCAAAAAAACAAAAATGACGTCCCAAGAGGAAAAGGCGTTTCTCAAGGAAACGTTACAGAAATTAGTCGCCAAATCAGAGCTACCTGATGAGTACGCCTTTCCCTCGTTGAGAGACAATTTATTCGTCAAGGTCGCTCTGTATCCTCTCAGCATGTTCAAGTCCGGGGCTAGATCTTCGGAGCTGAAGAAGAAGATCGCCTCTGGTCAAGTGCTGGACGCCGACGAGGCCCAGGAGGTCATCGAGGGCTACTTAGGAGGTGCGGATGCCTGGGACGCGCTGTCCGGGAGCGAGCAGCACAAGTTGCTCTCCACAAAATGCTACCTCAAGGAGAACTTCGACAAGTGGCAGTCGACGCGACAGGAAGCCGCGTCTCCCCTAAAAGCGTCCACCAAACGCGAGATCCGCCAGCGCAAGAAGGGCGCGCCGGCGTTCGTCATGGACGAGTAGACGACGAGTAGGACTACTGCGAGAAGCGCAGTGGCATACAAGTAAAAAACAGGAAAACTTAGTTATATTTTTTGTCGCGTCGACGGCGTCGACGACAGTCACAGATCGTCCTCGCCACCCACACCGTCGGCGAAGCCCTCGGCGCCGGCGACCGGCAGCTCGCCCGTGTAGTCATCTGGGGATGGACCCATCGGTAGGGGAGGAGCCCTTGCATCCTCCTCCTGCAGATCCGCCCTCATGACCGCTTCCCGGAACTCGAGGGACGCGGGTGTAATATCACCGTCGTCAATCTTGCGGTACGTGACGAACTGGTTGTTCGCCGGCAAATATGACACGTCAATTCTCTCCAGGCCCGCCTTTGATGCCGCTTGATCACACTCTTCAATCGAAGAGACGCCGCCGTAGCCCTGTGAGCGTAATGATTGATCAAAGCGCTGGTTGTTCGGCCCCACGAACTCACCATCAAACGTCCAGGTGTCGTACAATCCAAGGAGACCTCCGGGCCTCAAATTCCGGCCGCAGCCCGCGAAGAACGAAGGAATGGCAGTCTTCGCCATGATATGTACCACATTTATTGAGTAGATACCGTCATATGGTGGATCGCCCTCGACCTGCGGCCATTCATCTTCCGCCACGTCGACGATGCGCGCGGGACAGATTCTCGTAGCGCGCAGCCCCGCCTCCCTCGCGCGCAGATCCGTGGACGTAATGGCTGCCCTGCTACAGTCCGTGGGCTGGAAGAACGGTTCCTCCCATCTCTTTGCGAATTCTACGACGTGCTCGCCGGGGCCGCAGCCTAGTTCTAACAGGAACTCGCATCTATCAAAGCCCTGCGCGGCCATGGCGTCGGCTATTGGTTCTATATTTCTTGAAAATGCTGGGGACGACTGCATGCTGAGGGCGGCGGCCGACGTTGCGAGGAGTGCGACGCGAGCCAGCTTGTGATGACTCGTCGCGGCAGCGTGCTTAGCGCTGCGGCGAGGCACAGTGCCAGAGCAGCACTTGAGAGCAGCAAGTGTGTACAGTCCGTACACAGGTGCAGGTGTTCACAGCGCTTCTGTAGTGAGCGTAGAGATTCCGCGGCAAGCCCTGCGATAACCGGTTCGCGTTTATGGCGCAATCGGCGCGAGTCAAATCAGGAATTAACTAGCGTATTGACACACTATTTTCCCATCATTTTTCCGGCGTTGTCCACGTGCACGCAGCGTGAGCTCAGAGTCTCGGCCCCACGCCGTCCGCACGGTGTCGTTGGAGCTGCCCTGCCGCCGCGGTAGGCAGTAGAGGCTGCCCCCGCACAGCAGTCCACACAACCACAGCACATCACAACGCCTGGCAACAAGCAGCACGCCATCGCCGCATCGGTGAGCCAAGACCATGCCCGCCCCAGCGCAAGTCGGCGTCCGCGTCGTAAGGGTACGAAGAAAGCAAGCAGAACTCTCGAAGAACGCGAGACTAAGAAAGCGCCTCCAAAAGTTGCGCGAGTCGTCGCGGAAGCTTTTAGGTATACACAAGGTCGCGCCGGAGCCGACCTTCGACGATAAGCTCGACGCGCTCTTCGCGAGGTATGACACGGACCACAACAACTTAATCGACGCGGACGAGCTCGTCAAATTACTGGAGCACTTCATCCCGCCGCACGTGCGGAGGGGGAAGCGGCCGGGCTGGCCGTCCTTGGCCGACGCGCATTTCATCCTGGGCGAGGTCGATATCGACGGCGACGAGCAGACGATCTCGCGCGACGAGCTGCGGGCGGCGGTCAACCTGTGGCGGCGGTTGATCGCGGAGACGACGCCGTCGCAGTCCGATCAATTGAAAATGCATGGGAGGATGGGGTTCTGCTGTGAGGTTATGTGATCGTTCGTCGACTCGTGTGTAAAGTACTTAGTTCGTAGCGTCAGGCGTCACGGCCGGCGGGTGCTCCATCTCCGGGTCCGTCCCGACGACGAGCTCGGGGTCGCTCGCGACCCGCGCCGGTTGTCTAGGTAGCGGTCCGCCCATGACGAGCTGGGCCGGCGGCCGCGGCGCGGGCGTCGCCGGCGCGGCGGCGTCGCGCACCGGTACGTCGACCTCGGAGTTCGTCGCCGCGGCCAGCGCGCGCAGCTCGGCCGCCCGCGCGGCTTGGGCCGCCCGCCGCGAGCGCGGCGAGGCCAGCGGTGCCGCGGCCGGCGCTGATGACGACGACGAGCCGGAGTCGCTCGAGTCCGTGCTCGCGGACGAGTCCGCGTCCGTGTCCGAAATTCCCGCCGCCGCGCTTCGATCAGCCGCCGACGGGATCGGCACCAAGGACGGCGCCGACGACGACGAGCCGCCCGAGTCGTCTGATTCGTACGAGTCCGAGGGCAGGCCGAGCTCGCTCAACGGCGGCGGCGCGCCGCCGCCGCCGCGTAAGTGCTCTTCTTCGGCGCGGCTCCATTCCTGAGACTCCTCAATGGTGTACATGCCCACTGACGACCCTGAGCTTGAGGCTTCCTCTTCTTGATCGACGATCGCGGGTGTCGCCGCCACGGCCGGCGCGGGCGCGGCGGCGCCACCCCCGGCCGCCTCGACGCCACCGGCCGCTTCGACGCGACGCCGGGCCGCTTCGAGGCGACGCCGGGCCTCTTCGAGGCCGCGCCCGGTCGCTTCGGCGACACGCTCGGCCGCTTCGAGGCGACCCCGGGCCGCTTCGACGGCGCGCGATGGCGCGCGGCTGTTCGCCAGGAGCGGCGTCGTGAAGTCCGGCGCGGCCGGCGCCGGCGCCGGAGCGGGCGGATCCGCGACCGTCACGCGATATCTATCAGCCAAAGATCGCACGCAATGGGCCGGCACGAGTTCCGTCGTGATGCGCGCGTTCGTCAGCGGCGACGTCGTCTTGCTCGCGAACCACTTCTCGATGGCCGCGCGTTCGTAGGTGTGGCCGTCGGTCGCGACCACTGGATCTTCGAACAAATCTAAAGTGAGCGGGCATAATAGATCCTTGGGCGGATCGCCGGCATCCAGGATCAAATCGGCGCCGAACGCCTCGTTCACGGCCGCGCGGATGTCGGCGACGGGCCCGCTTGATAACGAGAACGACAAGTAGCCGAACCGTTGGAAGTCGTCGTCCGTGAGCCGCCGCGCCGCGGTCGCGTCGAGGATGCCCTCAACCACAAATTTGTCCGCAACGGTGCCGAGCTTGCGCCGTTCCAGTGCTAGACGGAGGCGCGGCTCGAGCTCGGCGCGGCCGACCAGAGCCGCACGGGCGGCGTCGCGCTCCGCGTGTGCCGCCGCGACGTCTTCGCACAGCTTCTCGCGCTCGGCGGCTCGGCGTATATCAGCCTCGGCCAACCTTGCCGCCCAGCGCTCGGCGCCGTCGGTGCCGTCGTCGGCCCGCGCGACCTCGGCCGCGGCCCGCGCGACGGCGTCGTCTCGCGCGAGCTCGGCCGCGCGGAGCCGCGCCTCGGCAGACGCCACGTCCTTGACGGCCGCGGCCGCCCGCGCGTCTGCTGACTCGCGGGCCTTCCTAGCATCATCTGCCGCGGCCTTGTGTTTTGCGACGGTGTCCTCCGCCTCCCGGACGTCTCTCTGTGCTTTGCGGCGGGCGTTGCGTATTCTAGCCCAGCCCCAGATCACGACGCCCGCGCCGCCGCAAGCACTGCCGAGCACGAACGGTAGGAATCCGGGCCGCATCGCGGCGTAAGCCATGGAGACGCCGGATGCTATCAGACATAGCAGTTCCCAAAAGAAACGCGCGAGCTTCGCCCAAAAGAGCGGTTCGCCTAGTTCGATTATCGCGCGCCCGCGAAGAGGAGCGCCTCGCGCGCGGTCGCGTCGCCCTCCGCGTGATCTTCGCGTACGTCGGGCCGGCCCGCCGCGACGTGCGCGTGGCCGGCGACGGCCGCTACGGCTTCGTCGACTTCCTCGTCCCTCGCCGCGGCGTTCATTAATCTATGCCAGCCAAAAATGCCAGTAACTAGTTTTGATGTCGCGCGGGCCGGGCCGCGTGTTTTGTCGTTGATTTAGAGACACACGAGGGGTGTCGCTCCGCGCGCAAGTGGCGTGATAACGACGCCTAAAAAAACTTAACCCGGGCCTCGCAGGCTAGCGGCTGTAAGACACTAGCAGGCCCGGCTTTTGGCAGCTTAAACTCGCGCTCAGGGCAAGCATTCATTGAAAAGATTGGCCGTGAGGAGCTCTCGGCACCTACTGTGAGCAGCTCTCGGCTGTGGGCAGCTCTCGGCACCTCTTCGAAGTGCTGCAGAGCAGCAATGGCCCTGGTTGGCCCCGGCGCCCTGCAGGAGTACAGCGCACCAAGTCGAGGCAGACGAGCCAGAGGCAGCGTCTACGTCGACGACCCGGCCGTGGGCTTCTTCGTCGCCGGCTCGTCGATCGATGATTTGAACGGCATTTACGTCCGGACAAATAGATTCGTTCTCCCGCGGCACCACGTCGCGATGGCCTACGCGCACCAGGAGGGCGGCTGGACGTTGGCGCTCTGCGCGACGGGGGGCGACGACGATGACTCCAGTGATTATGAGGACGATACGTACGAGTGGCGCTTCATCGATGCGCAGCGTGTGGACCGGTTCACGCACGAGGGCGACACGTTGATTCCAGGCGCCGGGGTGCGCTGGTCTCATGCTACGAGTGGTGCTGTCGGCGACGGGCACATCCCGGACGCCACGAGCCTCGTCGCTGGCAAGTCCGAGGAGGAGCTCGAGGACGAGTTGCCGTGGCAATTGATAGCTCTCCTCGACGCCGCGATTACGCGTGACTTGTTACGTTCCCACGCCTGGCGCGAGCATAAAGTCGAGCGCGCGCGCACGGGCCAGGACCTGCCCAGGCTGGCCGCCGCGTCACTCGAAGCGATAGCTGCCGCGGACGAAGAGGAAGCGGGCTGGCTCTACCGCGCGGGACCCGAGGGCGCGGAGCTCTTCGCGGCGCCGGACGGCCGCCGGTGCGGGTCGCTCGCCCCGAATCGCTACGCGAGAATCGTCGAGAAGGAGGGCGAGTGGCTCCGGCGCGCGGACGGCAAGTGGCTACGGGCCGCAGATGCGTCGGAGGCGGCCCCGCACGCCGCGGCGCCGTCGATGCCCGACGAAGTCGAAGCCGACACTGTCTTCGATCGGCCGTTCGAGGCCCGCATCGAGGGCGAGGGCGCCGCTGAAATCGTCGGCGAAGAGGACGACGACGCCGAGGAACCGTCGAGGGCGGAGCCGCCGCCGATCGTGCCCGCGCAACGAGCAAGGGATCTGGCCGTCGGCGACTCCTGTGAACTACTGACTGGATTCGAGCTCGCGGGCCGCACCGGAGTTTGTGGTAAGCCGCGGAGCGCCGGCCGCTATACCGTGGCGGTTGATGACCGCACCGTATCCGTGGCGTTTTGGCAGGTTCACGGCGGCGACGGCGGCGCCGACCACAAGTTGCTGGGTTTGGACCCGAGAGACGTGATGCCGTCCAAAGGCGCCGTGATCGACGCCGCCTACCGGGCGGCAGCGCGGGACGCGGCGTATGCATCGCGGCTCGTGCGCGGCGCAGCGGCCGTCGACGAGGAGTTGATTCGCGGCGCACGTGATAATCTCCTAGAGGACTACGGTGCGGCGACCAGCTACGAAGCTTCGTCGTCGTGCGACGCCTGGGCGGGCCGGTCGCCGCTGGAGCTCGTGCGCGGCGGCGTATGTGGTGTAAGAGCGGCCGACGCGGCAGAAGCGGCGTTTTCTTCGTCGATCGAGGCGGCGGCGCGGGGCGCCCTGGCGCTCAAGCAGGTCATATCCCGTGTCCGTGGTGCCGCGAGTCGCGTCGATGGCGTATTGATGGTTTGCGACGGATAATGATAACACATAAACGCACAGGTCGTCGCCGACGAGCTGCAGCGCGCGAGAGGCCTCGCCTCCCTAGAGGAGGGCGACGCCGTGCTACTGAGGTGCGCCCTGGCGGCGGCCTACGACGCGTGTCGCCGACGCGAGGCGGCGCTCGCGGAGGCCCTGAGGGCGGTCGAAGCAGAGTCCACCAACGCCGCGGCCCTGACGACTTTGGGCTTACTCGAGCTACCGCGGCAGCGCACGAGCGCGCTCGTGACGCTGAAAAGTGCCACGCTCTGCGCCGCGTCAACAAAGGCGCCGGCGGGCGCCTGGGGCGCCGCGCGGGCGGCGTCGGTTCTGCGAGCCTGCACGCGCGCCGCGTCGCTCAAGAACAAAGCCGACGACGCCTATCTGCGGGGAGATCTCGATTCGTCGATCGAATTTTACGGCGACGCGATCGCGACGGCTCCATCCGAGGACTCGGCTTTTGTGGCGGTATGTTACTCCAACCGCGCGGCCTGCCGCCGGAGGAAGCGCGACCTCGTGCCCGCGTTGGAGGACTGCGATCGAGCCTTGGAGCTGTATCCCGGCTACGCCCGCGCGTTGTTTCGTCGCGCCTGCGTCCTACTGGAGCTGGATAGACCTGCCGTCGATGCGTTCGTGGCCGTCGTGCGTTTCGACCGAAACTGGCCGGACCTCGTCGACTGGCTCGCGCGGGCCGAAGCGAGGGAGCGCCGCCGGGCGAACGGCGAGCCGACAATGCCGCCGCCGCCGCCGTCGTCTGCACCTGCGGCGACCGTCGATGACATTCTTGACGAGACCAAGCACGTTGATTTGTACACGGTCCTCGGTGTCAGCGCGGACGCGACCGAGGCGCAATTGAAACGGGCGTATCGGCTTCGTTCTTTGAAATACCACCCAGACAAAAAGACGGGCAGCACGCTCGCTTTTCAAAGGGTCCGCGAGGCCTTCGACACGCTCTCGGACCCGGCGAAGCGCCGCGCGTACGATCTGGGCGACGACATCAAGAAGCCCCAGAAGGACTCGGACTCGTCGGAGTACTCCGACGACGAGCACGCGAAGCCCTCGCTCCGCGAGGAGGTCGAGCGCAAGTACTGGCCTGAGAGGTACAAGTTCCTGCCCTTCGGCGACCCCTTCGTGCAGAAGCGGAAGCTTCGCGCGCGGCGTGCACGCGCCAAGACTCGCTCGTTTTTCTAGACTCGGTCGCTCGCTTCGTGTTTTTATCGATAAGTTTTTACACATACAACACTCTCACCGCGCCGCCCGGGTCGACGTCGTCTCGCTATCCTAGCTCGTAGCTTTCGTTTCTCCAAGTGTCCCGCCACGTCATCACCACCGTCCGCTCGGCTTTCGCGTCCGTGAGCAGGTGGACGATTTCAACGTCGTCGTAGACCTCCTGCAAGGACCGGGCGACCGCGGCCATACTTGGCATACGACCTCCAAAGCGTAAGCGGGCCAGGCAGCGGATCCCGTCGGCCTGGCGCGCTTCGCAAAATGATTCGAGCGCCTCAAGAGCCTCCTCGCGCGGGCCCGCCGCGACGACGAGGTCCGGTGAAGGCCCGCCCGCGACGGCGACGAGCACGCCGGCCGCGGCGAGGGCCTCGGAGACAGCCCCTCCATTATCACCCACGGCGATGGCGCATTGTGGATCGCCAACCAGTCGCGCGACCGCCTCGCGGGCCCACGGGTGGAACGCCGGCGTCTTGGTGCCCATGCGCTCGACGCGCCAGGCGATGGGGTCCCACTCGGCTCGGCTGAGCGTCGAAAAGAGCCACTGGTCGTCATCGAGCCTCAGAATTGACGCCGTCGTCGCGAATTGCGTCGGCGACAGAGCTATGCCTCTGTCAGTAGCGGCGGCGATGACCCCGCTCTCGTCCTGCCGCGGCAAACAAAAGACGCGCGTCGACGATTCTGTAGAGAGCGCGGCCACGACCTCCGCCGCTGATGACGCGCGCCGGTCGAAGGGTATTATCATATCGGCGCGGTGGCATAAGACCTCGTCCGCCGAGAGCGCGGCGACGAGGCGTCTGGAATCACCACCGACGAGTACGACGGGGAAGGACCGCTCCGCAGCGAACGCGCCCGGCACAGTGGCATCCAGAGGCTCCGGGAGATGCGCCACCCATGCCGTCGTCGCGACCGAGGCGTGGCGCTCCAAGACGTATTCCGCAACACGTTGCGCACAGTCCGCACCTAGAATCTTGTCCGTGTGGAGCGCGCAGCCCGTGAGAGGGGCGTCGTCGACGACGAAGGCCGGGGGCGGCCGCGGTGGCGTCGGCGCCTCGACCGCTATGAGTACAAACCGGTCAGGCGTCACTTCGAACGGCGCGTACCTCACCACCTGAACCGCAAATCCCGCGTCCACGAGCGCGCGGCGCCGACCTTCTTCGATCGCTCTTCTAGCCACGACGCCGACGCGGCGGCTTTCTCGCGCGTCGAGCGTGCCGCGATCGCCGGACCGGAGAAAAAGCCGGTCCTCGGGCCGCGGCGCGCGCGTCGCGCGGACGACGTCGCGCAGGACCCCGAAGGCCTCCACGCCAATGCCGTGGCCTTCCAGCCACGCCCGCCCGGCGTAGGTCTCCCAGGCGATCTGCGGGTGACAGCACGGCGCCAGCACGAGGGACGCCCTCCGGGGCCCGAGCTTGACAGCCGCGCGGACTGCCGCGTCCGACGCGCTGCCACACAAGTGCTTGGCCACGAGCAGGATCTTCTCGCCGCCCGTCGCGCCGACGACGGCTTCGATGTCGCACTTCTCGACGTCGGCCACGATGTGCGCGTCGTTGTAGGTCGTCGTCGGCGCTCGCCGCCGGTCCAGGGCGACGGCCTTCGTGTCGGAGAGCGCCGCCAGGACGCCGCCCAGCAGGCCCTTGCCCGCGCCGAGTTCGACCACGCGGTGACCCTCGAGCAGGCCGCGCCGTTCCACGAGCGACGCCAGGGACTCGATCTGCAGCTGATGCGTCGCCCTATTCGTCGTCTGGAACGTGCGTCGGTGCTTCGCGGTCGCAGCGGTGAATGCTCGTGCTGCGGCAGCATGCGGGGCCACCTCGATGGAGACCGGGGCGAGTTCCAGCGCATCGATGGCGTCGACGACGGCCGGCGGCACGCCGCAGCCCTTGCGCGACGGGCCGCGCCGCGGCCTCGCACTCTTGTCCTTTTTTGCCGCTTTTGCAGCGGCCTTGCGCTCCTTGCGAGCGGCTAGGATGGCTGCTCTGTCCGTTCCTTCACTGTCATTATTCATCTCTGAGGCTGTTTTTGCAGCGCTATCCATCTCTGAGGCTGTGTTTTGCAGCGCTGCAGCAGCCTGCACTGTGAGAGCAAAGCTGCTGCGTGGCTCGAGCGGTGCTTTTACGCTACTCAAGCGCAGCGTACCACTGAGTAGAAATGATGAGCGGTCGGCGTTGACCTCTGCACAGCTGTACGGCGCTCCTACGGCGCTGGGTCTTTTTGTGCAGCTAGCGGTCTGAACACACTAGGAATCCAAGCCTAGCAAGCAGCGGCGTGACATGTTGGGCAAGTAGGCGATTCATCCTCGGCTTCCTCGCAATTCAACGGGTCGACGGGCCTTCATTGGCGATGTTGACTCACCCCAGCAATTCAAGCTGCTTCCGATGACTACACCCCGGGTCCTTCGTCGGCGCAATGTTGCAACCGCGGGAGTGTTTTTCGTGACTAACCCGCGGGTGCGGCGGCGGGCCGGCGGCGGGCCGCGGGCAACTCGTCGGCGGCGGCACTCGGGCACGACTCCACGGAGCGGCGGCGCGGCGGGATCCGGAATACCTTGACTAGCTCTGGGTCGGGTCTCAAGCAAAGCGCCTTCGCGTCCGCGTTCAGCAGACCAAGGTTGTGCGGCGGCGGTTCCCCTTTTTTTTCCCGCACATCGCTGCACGACCTCTGCGACGAGTCCCCTGGGGCGGGGAGGGGTCCCGCAAGAAAGTATATATACTAGTTACTCGGTTTTGGGAACGCTAGCCTAGCTCAGGGGGGATGGACGACTAGAACCAGGCCTCTAAAGGTCCGAATCCAGCGTCACGTCTTCACCGTCGGGTCTGGGAGCAGGATCCGCCTGGGGGGGTCCCGCAAGACCGCGCGCAAAAACCCGTCGGTTAAGCAGAGGCTAGGCTAGGCAAGCACAACAAACTTTAGCTCAGGACAGTGGCCGCCACAGACTGAATTGGGGGCCGCTGGTTTGTCGGAGGACCGCTGCCTACACACGTGCACCGCGCGAGCAGCGCTTTGGCCCATTGCGGACTGTGCAGACAGCTATGGGCACCCTTGACGCCGCCGAGACGCCGCCGGAGATGCGCTGGTGGGCCCGCATCGAAGACGAGTGTCCGATCACGCTGGAGCCGATCAACACGATGACCACGGCCCCGTTCTTTTTAGACGGCAGCTATTTTGATGCGGACAGCCTGCACGGCTACCTGATCGATACCGGGAGGCTGGAGAACCCCTGCACGCGCGCTCCATTGTCGCGGGCCGTGTGCCGCGCGCTGGACGAACACGTGGGCGACGGCTCGCGACGCGTCGAGGCGCTGCACGCGCAGGAGTCGGCCGGCGCGGATCGCGAGGCGGCCGTCGTCACGAATGCGCTCCTCGACTACTACAGCCGGAATCGCTCAAGTGGAGGCATGCGAGTCGTCGACGACGACGAGGCGCCGTTCGTCCACGCCGAGGCTGACGCGGCGGAGGAGGCATTCCCGTCGCTCGTGGACCGGCCGCCACCGCCGCCAAGGACCGTGCAAAATGAGGGCTTCGCGGATTTGGCGCGGCAGCGCGGCGAGGAAGACGCCGTCGCCGCGGCCCGGCGCTCCGCTGCCGCTGCCGTCGCGGCGGACCGGCGGCGCGCGGCGCGCGAGGCCGAGAAAGGCGCCCGGCGGATCGCCGCCGAGGCCGCTCGCCGGGAAGCCGTCGCCGCGCGGACGGAGGCCGAGGCGCAACGAAGACGAGACGACGAACGCAAGCGGCGCGACGCGCTTGCAGAAGCTAGAGCTTGGGCCGCCGCGAAGAAGCGATCCGACGCCGCCGCAGACGCCGCGCGCGACGCCGCCCGCGCCGAGGCGCGACGTGAAGCATCAGCCGCCGCCGACGCCGTCGATGCGGCCGCCGCGCGGCTGGCGGCGCTCGGCGCGGACCGCGACGCAGCTGATGCCGCCATACAGGCCGCTCTGGCCGCAGAGCGCCGCCGCGAGAAGAAGGCCCGCGAGCGGCAGCGGGCCAAAGAGAAAAAGAAGCGTCAGGCGGCCGAGAAGGCCCTGGCTGCGAAGGCCCAAAAAAAAGCAGAAGCTGCCGAGCGCCACGCCGAGGCCGTCCGCGCGGCCGCCGTGAGGTGTCCCGAGTGCGACACGGGCCTCCCGGGCAAAATGACGGACTACTTCGAGATGTGCGGGATCTACTACTGCTCGACGGCGTGTGTGAAGGCGGCTCGGTTAGCCAATGTTTAAGTTTACTAAGTTTACTACATGTGTCACAAGTTCTCTGGCCACGCCGTCGCGACCTCGTCCCCCCCTGGCGCGCTACTCGCCCCATCGTTCGCGCGCCGTCGTTTTTCGCCGCGTTTCGGCCTCTCCGCTAATAATTGAACAACATCGTCGACGAGCCGGTTGTGGTCGTGGATCCGCGAGGCCGACAGGTTCGCGGGCGGGAGCTGCGCTTCCTCGGCGGCCTGGGCCTCCATGGCCGGCGTCTCGCGCACGCTAAATAAGTTGGGGATCTCGCCCGCGGCGGGCCCCGGGTCCTCCCCGGGCACGAATGCGAAATACTGCAGCACGCGGCTCGTCGCGATGTCGTTCCGTAGTTCATCGAACTGGCTCTGCAAGGTCGCGAACTGCGCCAGGACCTCGCCGCGGTCGAGCGTCGTCTGGGCCTGCACGACGAGGCCCTGGATCGACGTGAGGATGACGCGGGCCTTGGCTCGCAGGCGCGCTATTGGTGCGTCGGCCATCCCTTTTTTTTTCGTGCAGTGCGAGCTGTCCTTTTTTCTTCCTGCAGTGTGAGGTGTCCGGTCGGCTCTACCCTGGCAATCGCTTACGGCTCGCGCTGCGCACCGCGCTAAACTACAGCAGATGAGTGTATGAGCTTGCAGCGACTGTTGCCGTGCCGCAGCGATGGCGTGCCGGTGCACAGCAGCGAGGGCACCACTAAGACGATATGTAGGCGTAAGTACGTGTAACTACGAGCGTGCCTCGCTGCTTGCCAAATTAAAATACCGCCTAGCGTCCGGTAAGACACTAGCCTGACGCGAAATACGCCTGTAATCGTCTACCACGCTTTCCGAGGCGCTAGCAAGCGTGCGTGCCCATCCGCGCGGGCCTTTCTCGTCCAGCCCAAAACGCCAGGCTCGGCGTTCAAGGGGCCGGAACGACGACTACACACCCACCGCAGAACTGGTGCAGCGGCCGTTTCGGAGGGCTTCTTAACAGATCCAAGGGGCCTGCGAGCAAAGATGCCGTCCCCAGGGCGCATATCCCTCTTGGCACTGCTCTTCCAGACCAGCTGCGCGCTCGCGCCGCAACGCCCGTCGACGCGCCTCCACGCCGCGCCCCTCGCCGACCAACTGGAGGCGAAGGCCGAATCCCTAAAATGCCCGTTCTTCCGCCGCCGCTTCCTCGACGCCGCCGACGCCGCGCGCCAGTCGACGGCATGGCTCGCGGCGCGGCACAAGTCCATCCTCGGTTTCATGTACACTTCTACTGTGGAAGCGCCCACTCACGTTTGGACGAGGGAAGAGACGCTCTCGGCAATAAAACAGGATTTTATGAACCGCTATTACGTGACCGGCCGACTCAGCTTGGACCACTACCACCCGCGCTGCTTTTTTGATAGTCCGGACCCGGACATGCCCGTGCGGTCGCCGGAAGTGTTTGCTTCCGCGCTGAAGGGCTTGTTTGATCGGCGGAGCTCGTCGCTCGAGTTGCTCGAGGAGCCGCGCCTGGTCGGGGATGATATTGTGGCGGAGTGGCGGCTTGCTGGGCGATTAGGGCTGCCGTGGAAGCCATCCATAAAGCCGTTCGTCGGCCGGACGACGTTTACGCTCGATGAAAATGGATTAGTGACGCGGCACGTGGAGGAGTGGTCGCTGCCGGCCTGGGATGCTTTTCTTGCCGCTCTTGTGCCGTCGTTGCACCTGGGGGCGGCGCCGGCGCCGTCGATTTCTGAACTGCTCGCATCGCGCGACACGGAGGCGTCTTCATTGAGGGAGCGGTGGCCCGCGCTTGTGCCTGCGCGATAGCGTATTGTGACTAACTATCGTCGTTTGACTCCCAATCTACCGGGGCGCCATCGCCGCGACCGTTGCATTGATGGCGTACTTGGGCGGCGGACCCGGTGTTGCGCGCCTACTAGTAAAAAAAAAAATTGGAATCCTGTCAATTCGTGGTCCGGGGGTCTCCCTGGAGTCGCCTGGGATCGATACTAGACGTGGGCAAGCGCCTACGCCGCAAGCGCGAGGGCTTCCATCGGTAGAGACATATCAGTACAGGTGCTCAGCCAGGCATCTGGCTTGGGCAGTAATCCCCCAAGTTTTGCTTTCAGAGCCCTCTGGGACCCACAAGCGCCTGCGCATGCGGTGTAGGCGACTACCCACCACCAGATCTACCCCAAAGGGGGTTCAGAAGCCGTTCTACATCCGAAAAAAGTAAATAATTTGGGCCCGATGGCGCCCCGTTCCCGTAAAAAACGTTAATTTTTTAGGGGCCCCAGTAGTCGCCGTAGCGGTCTCGTTGGACCCCATACTACCCCACCGATAGTCAATTACAAGTATATGACATCTACACTATAAGAAGGGTACTTTTGGCCGACCACGCTCGGGACGTGAACATCTTGATCTGGACCTCGCACAAGTCGGTCGGTCATGAAACAAATGATCGCATTATGGTCCATGGTGATGGTAGACGGGCTGATGGTCGCAGGTCCAGGTCTAGAGCTCCTTTACACCAGATCGTGGGCTCGCGAGACCGACGACCCGCGCCGAGCATCTTTGGGTCTCGGAGCAATGTAGTACACAATCAGGCCAGTTATCTGGCCCGTCCCATAACTAAAGCGCCTGAAACGTAAATTTACTTTACAAACCACTGGTCTGGGGCCTTTCCGGTGCTCCGTCAACGTACCGTCGCCCGCGGAGAACGGGCAAGTCGGTCGATCGTGAATAGAACAACGGCGTTATGGTCCATTGGGGTAGTGTGATCGCTGATACTCGCGGGTCCAGGCTACGAGCCCGCCTTGTTAAAAACGGAGGGTCACGGATTCGTCGTTTCGCGCGGCTCTAACGGAACATCTAAAATAGCTCAGTGGTCGCTGATGCGGGTTAGATGGACTCTACCACCAACAAACGGAAGGAAACGAACATAAACGCGAGAGTTGTCTAGTAGAATTCTGTTCCCGCCCTCCGAGCGCGGGCCGTCGGCTCCGGTTCCGTCGAACTTGTATGAAAACTGGGCTGGAGTTGATATAATGTCTTATTTGGATGGGAAATGGCGCTGTCAATCGCTGGTGTATTTTGGCGAGCCGTAAGGGTCATCCGTGAATGTCGCGGGCGGTGCCTTCCGGGAGGCGCGAGGGTATGTTCCCGGGCAGCTATTCTGAAATCTTTGGTCGCGGCGATCGACTGGGGTGTATTCTGAATTTGGGTCATTCTTTTGACGCTATCGAGGCGTATTTTTGAATTTGCTAGTAAGTCGATTACGCTAGCCCCGAATTTCAGGCTTCGCTCGACGCCGTCGACGCGGCGATGGCGTCGAGGCGTGTATTCAACCAGCAGAGCTTACCGAAGGGATCCTAGCTCACCGATCACGGACAGGGATGGGGAGGGGGAGGCTACCACCCCGATGTTCAGAGGCCGAGCGCCTAGAGTCCGAGTGCTTCGACGAGCCGCGCTTTGAGTTCGGCCTTCTTGCCCTTGTCATCAAGCTTGCGCTTTTTCAGCTCTTTCTTCAACTTGTCGGCTGTGAGCTTGTTCACCGCGGTCATATCCATCGCGTCGTCGCCGCCCGCCGCCTCCGCCGCGGGCTCCTCCTCGGAGATGGCCTCGGACTTGCGCTTCTTCGAGCCGCCCGACGATTTCTTGCCCTTCTTGGCGGCGGGCTTCTTCGGCTCGGGCTTGTCGAGGTCCGGGATCGTCGCGCCGGCGGCCTTGGCGTCCTTTTCTAACGCCGACGCCTTGCGCTTGAGCTCCGCTAGCGTCCCTGCTTCCGAATCCGCCCGCTTGCGCGCGGCCGCGGCCTCCCGCGACGCGGCCTCGGCGGCGACCTGTGCTTCGGCCTCCGCGGCGGCCGCCGCCTCCGCTTTCTTCGACGCCTCGGCGACCGCCGCCTCTTGATCCTTGGCTTGTTTTATGGCGACGGCGGCCACGAGGCCCTTGGCCTGGGCCTTGGCCTTGGCTTCTTCCGCGGCGCGCGCCTCTGCCGCAGCTTTAGCTTCCGCCTCAGCTTTCGCAATGGCGGCGGCGCGCTTCCTAGCTTCTTCCTCCGCTTTTTTGCGCGCCTGCGGGGCAATGGACCGGTGACATGGGCGCGACCGTCACATCGGACTCGGTTCCACATACCTTCTCCTCCTCAGCTTTGCGCTTCTCGGCGGCAGCCTTCTCCTTGGCGGCGGCCTCGGCGTGAGCTTTCGCGAGGGCGGCGGCCTCTTCCTGAAGCTTCTTCTTGGCCGCGGCCTCCCTGTGTGTGAATCACATCTGAGCTCGAGTAGGACAACGATCGAAAATTCGGGACACCGCTCCGAACGCCTCGGCGAGCGCTGCGGCGCGCTTCTTGCGAGCATCCTCCTCAGCCTTAGCAATCTGTGTAGAAATCAACCTCAGTGTGAGTCTCGTCCATCGAGCATGCGCGTTTACGGTGACAACGTCGCGTCGATGGCGTGGGCCGCGTGAAGTTTGATTCGACACGGCGCGACACCGCTTCCGCCTCTTTGCGGGCCTTGGCTTCAGCAGCGGCGCGGGCCTTCGCGGCGGCGGCCTTCTGGGCTTCGGCCCGGGCTCTAGCCTCGGCGGCCGGGTCGATCTGGGGCGACGGCGGCGGCTTGGCGGCGGGCGGCGCGGCCGGCTTGGGCGCGGGCGGCTGGGGAGGCCGCGGCGCCGCGATGGGCGGGACGATCGGCGGCGCGGCGGCCGGGCGCATCACGGCCGGCGGCGCTCCTCCCATCTTGGCCACCTTGGGCGACGGCGGCATCATCGGGGGCGCCTGACCACCTCGCGGCGGGCTTCGCGGGCGTTGCGGCGGCTGGTTGTTCATCTTTTTCGATGTGACTTCTTCGGTCGCGCGCTTATCGGGGACTTTGGGGGTTACGCTCTGTGTGCCTGTTTCCCGCTTTTTACACACCCGTGAAGAGCGTTCGCGCGGAGTCTGCTGCGACCCTTAGCTGAGAGGCCAGAGAACTTGTGTGGACTATGTAACGTCGGTGGTGGCCGAGCTACAGCGTAAACAGCGTCGATGCTCAAAATGTGCGCGCTCAGGACGTGAGTGGCAACTTTTTTGCGCGTAGAGGACTCTGAGGTGTATCTCGAGACGTGAACCGCCGCTATGGACCGCTCAAGACGTACATTGCTTCGTGCGGGTTCCGAACTAGCGCCTGAGACACACTAGCAAGCTCTCGATTAATTTAGGATCGATGCAGTGCATGCCTCTGTGCGTGCGTTACATACCCGAAAAGCTCGTTAAACCGCGCGCGGCAGTGCCGCACAGCGCTTCTGGCAAACAGCCCACACAGAAAGCCACACGGAGCGAGCTTAGCTGAGTATGGCAGAGCCCGAGGTGCTGGACCTCACATTCGACAGCGCCAGCGACGACGAGGACCGCGCACCACCAGTCCGTGCACCCGGCTACAAAAACCACAATGCTCCGGGCCTGCGCGAGGCACCGGAGGCGCCACGCCGCCGCTCCGTGCCCACGAAGCGCTACTCCGAGGAATTCGCACCTCCTCGCGTGAGCGAAGCGGTGGAGGATGAAGAGCCACCGCCGAAGCCAAAGCGCCGCCGCACGAAAGCACCCGCCGCCGCGCCGCCAGCAGAGCCTCACGTGGTCATCGACGTCGACGCAGACGACGACGACGCGCCGCGCAACGTGCCGCCAACGAGTGCGGCGCGCCCGGTTAACGCCGGCGTCGACGTCCACGAAGTCGACCCGCGCTGGGCGACGCACAACCTCCCGGGCCGCGGCTGCGGCGGGCGGACGTTTCACCATCCAACATTAGGAGCCGTCGGCCGAGGGAGAGGCGGCTGCTCTGTCAAGTGCGAGATCGTGTTGGATCGCCTGGCCAACGTGTGCGGCGGGCTGCGCCGCGCCTACGAGTTCGGCTACCAGTGGCACCGCAAGCCGTCGGGCGAGTACCACCAGAACACTTTCAGCCTGCCGGGTGAGAAGAAGAAGCTCAACGCGGGCGCTATGATTAGATATATCAAGGAAATTGAACATCAGCGCCGCGAGGAGCTCGGCGTGTGCTTCGAGGCCTGGCTCGCGGCGGGCGGCTATTTCCCGCCGTTCAGGAGTATTCGCGCGGCGCCTCCTCGCGCGGCGCCGCCCGCAGCGCCGGGAGGAGGGCATAACTGGGGCGGCGGGCGCGTCCTCGGCGGGCGCTGAGGTGTCTGTCTGTATAAGAATTGTCTACAAAAACAAGAACATTAGCTCGCTGGTCGAACGCGCGCCTCGATGCGTCGCGCGATGGGCCCGAAGTCGTTCGCCCGCGCCAGCTGAAGAGCGGTCGTCACGACGTCGGGACTCGCTGCGGCTACGAGTGCAGTGGCCACCTCCTCGTGGCCGTTGCTCAGCGCAGCGTGCAGAGCGGTCCGGCCGTCGAACGGTCGGAGCTCGGCGCCAGCCCTCAAAAGCACGTCGACGACGTCGGGCGCGCCTCCTTGCCCGGCGACAGCGTATAAGACTTCGGACGCCTGGCCGACCGTGACGTAGCACGTTCGCCACCCAAGTTGTAGCGCGGGCTAGATCTCCCCCGCCACGAGGCGCTTTTTGTGTTTGTCAGTTATTGAACTTACACATCTAAGACCACGTCGGCGCTTACGAAGCGTCGTACGTGTGATCGCCAGTCGTAGCCGCGACGGCCCGCGCCCGCGCGGCAGGGTCGGGCGAGATCAAGTCGCCCAAGCCGCGACCCCGCTGCCGGCGGGCAAACGTAGCCGCAATGGCCCGCTTCTGCTCCTCGGGGTCCGCCGGGAGCTCGACGCGCGAGCGCGCCACGAAGGCCGAGGGGTCGTCCCATGTCGTCCGCCCCTTCGCCGCGTTGTACCAGTAGGGCCGGCCGCTCGCCTTATCGACGTGGCGCGTCCACACGGGCGCGCCGGCGTTGGGCGTCGCGTGGGCGACCTGGCACCAGTCCCGGTGCTGCTTCGCGTCCGCCGCGGCCCTCGCCTCCAAGTCCTTCGCGCGCGTGGCGCGGTCGTCCGCCTGCTCCTGCTCGATCTGGCCCAGGCCAATGAGCCTGCTACCGCCGTGCTTATTGGGGGCGACTTTGGTGATGGTGGCGTCCTTCCAGTCGTCATCCGTCGGCCACCGCGCCCCGATGATGTCGTGCTTCTCCGTGCCGTCCGCGACGGCCTTTATCAATTTACGGATGGCGTCCACGCCCGCATCGACCTTCCCCGCGAAATCAAGGGATTCCAACTTCGAAGCCTGCCGCACTCCGCCCAAACACAAAAGCACTTGAGCGTCGAGGCCCTCATCCGCGCACCACACCACGACCGGCTTTGAAATGCCAGCGCCTTCTTTCTTCTCCAACTTTTCCGCACCACTTGCAATGAGCTTGCGCAACTCCTCGAGCTTCCTCGCGTTGCCCCACTTGTTCGCAGGTTTCTTATTGAGGTCTTTGTACAGTCCGAGCTCCTTCAAAACGAAGTTTACTTTGTTCGTGGCCGCCGCCAGGCCCTCCTCAAATTCCTTCAACGCCGCCGCCGCCTCGTCGTCGACCGGCACGAGCGGCGGCGCGGGGCACTTGCACTTGCCCTGGTGCGCCCTGAGCCCCGCAGCGTTCTTGAAGGGGCCCTTGCCACACCCTTGGTTCGGGCACATGATCGGCGCCTCCTCCTCGCTCTCCTCCTCTTCGTCGTCGCTCATGCTCGCGTCCGAGCCGCCCGCGTCCTTGCTGATCGAGAGGCGTTTTCCGAGCTGGTCGGTGAGCACCTCGGGCGCGGGCGCGGGCGGATCTAGGGGCACGTTGTCGAAGGGCCCGCCGCCGCCGACTTCTTCGCGCATGTTCGGCGGGACCTCGGCGGTCTCGCCATCTTCTACGGCCTCCATGGGCGCGTCTTCTTCGACCTCTTCACCATCCCTCGCGTTTTGGCGCTTCCGGCGCAAGCCCGGCGTCTTCTTCTGCTGATCATTAGCGACGTGCGCGATCGAGACGACGCCGGGCGCTTGCGAGCCCGTCGGCGTCGTGGGGGCGTCCTCGTCGCTGCTGTCGGCCTTGAATACGGTCCCGTCGCGCCGGCCTTTTCGCACACGGCGCCCGGTCGGCGCGGCGCGCCTTCTCGGGGCCGGCGCCGTCGCCGCGGCGTCGTCGTCGCCGCTGGCGCCCACGGGGTAATTGATGGCCTTCTGCAGCTGGCGCGTAGTCCTGCCGCGGCCCATCGTGCGACGCTGGAGCGTTGTGCTAGAGGCTCTGCTGGAGCGATGCGAGTGTGATATCGATCGCTGCTACCGGTAGAGACTGTCTTTACTGTCTTTTCACGCAAAAAAAAGGCTCTCTAGTGTGTTACGGACGCTAGCCCGCGACAATTTGCCCGTCGCCGGCAAAAGCCTCCATCTGCAACGGCTTTCGGCACACAGCACGTAAGCACCAGCATCGCATCAGTGCAGCCCAGGCCACAGCAGCGAAGATCCCGCATAAATCATGGGCAAAGGGGCCAAGCCAAAATTGAGCCTCCAATTCCTGGACACCTACGGCGGCGCGCACGCGTTCGTGCAGGAAGGAGTGGAGATTTCGCCGAGCTGCTACCTGGCCTGCACCGAGGGGGGGAGCTACGGTATTGAAGAGTGGCTCAGCTACCAAGACGCGGTGCACGGCAGCCGCGAGAAGACACTAAAGTGGTGCCGCGCGGTCGGCGTGAAGCTGTCTCCGTTGTTGATCAGCCAGGGCGCATGGAAGCTGCACAACACCCTTATTCCCATCGCGCGGGACCGCGGCTTCTCGCTGGGCTCGAAACAAGGCCCGGAGCGCCTCCGGCTCTGGGGCTTCATCTATGAACTATTACTCGGCTTGGCCGACGATGATGCGGCTGCATCAGTCATGGAGTTACCCCGATCTGTGAGGGACGACGCGAGAAAAATCACGGGCTGCTTCTTCGACATTTTGACGGACCTGGAATGTATTCTCCCCACTACGGCCGACACGCCCGGACTCTACTTCGCTGGGCCGATCCATGAGAAGGTCTCGAAGCACGTCGACAAGAAGGTCTCGGTTCACCCAGTCGCGGTTACGATGTTTTGTATCACCATGGCCCTCGATGACGCGGCGTCGCGCGCCGCCGCGGTCAAACGCTCCCTAGATCTCGGATTGGGTCCATTAGGGTCTGCGAGCTGTTTCTATGGTCGCTGGATTCAGCTGATAGTGCTCTCCTCGAACAGCGTGGCCCAACTTGTTGAGAATCCGACCGCGTACAGCCAGCTCGAGAGGAAGTACGAGTCGTCAATGAAGCAGGATCTGTTGGAGTTGCGGACTGCGTCGCCCGTGCTCATGGCCCACTTCGCGGCGGGCGGGTGGCAGCTCGTCTTTGATATGATTGACAACACCACGGAGATGAAACCCTCCCCGCTCTTGTATGTTGGTGAGCGGTCCCTAGGGAAAGTCAAAGGCGTGTGGAAGACGGTGTCGACGCTCACAAGGTCTAAGGGCAGCGTGTTAGGGATATCGGAGCCGCAGTTCGAGTTCCTCATCAAGACGCCCGAGTGGCGCGTCTTCCTGTTGATGTACATGATGTACAACAACGCAGGCGTCTGGTCCAACGCGTTCCTGGACGCGCCGCTGCCGCGGCCGTCGGGCTACGACGGGCAGCATGACCGGGAGGTCAAGTCCTGCCTCGACACGTTTGCGGTGGGGCCGCACGCGCTGGAGGACGCCAAACCGGAGCCGACGCCGAAACCGGAGCCGACGCCGAAACCGGACCCGGAGCCGAAACCGGACCCGGAGCCGACGCCGAAGCCGCCCAAACCGCCGACGCCCAAGCCCAAGCCCAAGCCCAAGCCCAAGCCGCCGCGGCCGCCCTGGCAGACGCTCTACGACGGCATGGCGGGCGGGGCGTCGCTCGTCCGACCCTACAAAGGGGGCGGCCGGCCCGCGGGCCTCCCGTCGTACATTGAGTGGTACGTGAGCGGTGAGTTCGAGGTGCTGCGCCTCTACCCCTACTGTAGCGTGGAGGGTTTCCCCCAGGTGTTCGGGCCGCGCCTGAGCGGCGCGCAGCTCGTCGGGCGCGCCCCTCTCCCGAACGGCCGGCGCTTCGTCGACGTCCGAGCGCTCCCCCAAGCCGAGCCCGCCTACAACGACGCCTACTATGCGGGCGTCGAGGCGGAGCGGGACCGCAATGGTCGGGTTTATTAAGTAATTGATTTGTACTGTATACTACTTCTTCGGCGGCCGCGCCCCAAAAATCGTCGAGCCGCCCTCGACGGTGTCGGTACTTCCAGTACAACAAGAACGCCGTCGACCGACGACCAGAAAAACACAAGAATTCAACAAGAGAGCGGCTCATTACGCGAGTCGAGTGTAAGAGCGCGCCAAACGACGAGGGAAGGACGGCACCTGAGCGCTCCGTAAAGCGCGACAGCACCGAGAGGGGGGAGGACGAGACCTGAGCGCAATAAAGCGCGGCAGTCCCGCCGGGGGAGGGGGAGGTCGTGGTGGAAGGTCTACTCACGCGGAGTAGCTGCCGCGGAGCGTCGGCGCGCCCGCGAGCCGCCGGTCCGGGTTTTCGGTGGGCTGGTACGTCGGCGCGTAGTTGCCGCTGCTCTTCGGCGCGGCCACGGGCCGCGGCGTCGGCGCGTAGTTCGACCGGCAGACGTAAGCCCAGACCCAGCGCTGCGGGCCGTCGACGAGAGAGAAAAATAAGGCCTCGACGCCATCGACGCGACGCGTAAAGAACGATAGACTAGTTACGATAGCACATCAAAAAGGGATAGGGGGCGGAACTTGAGCCAATCACAGGCGACGGTTCCGCCGGGAAGGGATGGGAAGGGGGCAGGACGTGAGCCAGTACAGGCGACGGTCCCGCCGGGGAAAAGGGGACGATAAGAGAGCAATCGCTTGCTCAGGCTAGGAAGACGCCGAGGCCGCACACCTTGAATTCCGGATGTGTTGTATCTAAACCAGTGTCGAGGACGAAGATGTTAACACCTTTTCCACTGAGCTTCGTCGAGTCGTCGCCGTCGAGGCGGCCGTTGATCCTATCTAAATTCCAGGGCTTGCCCTGGCTGTGGCTCTTGTCGTACCAGTCCGTCTTCCCTAAGTTCCAGGGCTCGCCGAGCGAGTGCGAGCGGTCGAACCAGTAGTTGCCGGCGCGGCCGCCGACGAGGGCCTCGACGTCCGTCGCGTTGGCGTCGGCCAGCTGTCTCCGCGTCGGCGTGTCCGGGAGCGAAACCGTTGCGGCTTCGTCCACGGCGCGGACGCGGTCGTCGCGCTTGAGCGCCGTGGCCTCGGCCGGCGTTAGGTCGAGGATCAGAGCTGGAACCGACGGCAGGTGCGTGATGGCGTGGAGTGCATTGGGATAGTCTCTCGCGAGCGAATCGTGGTGCTTTTCACTGGAGAGATGGACAATGTGCTCAGTTTTTGCTTGTAGATCGTGCGCGGCGGCGAGTTGGGCGCCGCAGGCGAGGATAAGCAAGACGTTACGCATTTCTGATGTGGTTTTACGACGTATATATGCAATGAGGTGGTCGCAGGAGGTCCAAAAAAAGTTGTGAGATGCCCACACCAAAAAACAGGTCGCCCCGCAACTTCCGGCCGAAGCAACGGCTCGAAAGACGTGGTGACACTCCGAAGAGCAGTGCCTACTCACTTGTACAGGTCGGAGGAAGAAATCTCCGCCGGCCGCGGCCGCGCGCAACGCACCCCAAGACGCCATCGACGCGAACATAGAATAAATAATTATACCCGCGCGACCCCCACCAGATGCGGCGCCAGCAAAAAGTGCGGCGGCCACGGCGGCCCCCGTTGGGTATTGGAGAGCACGAACGACCGCGCATCAACATTTCCCGTGCCAAAGACCCGTTCTATCGTAGGCCGCGGGTCCCGCCGCAAGTGGCAGCCGTTCGCCAAAGCGTTCTGGAGCGGGTCCATGACCGTCTGCGCCGCGTTCAGCAACCGCCAGTCCTCCGGCGCGCGCGTGTGCTCCGTAAATAAATACCGGCCCCCGGGCTTCAGGACCCGCTTCACCTCCTCGCAGGCCTTCCTTACACTGGTGACGGAGCAGAGGACCATCGTGCCCACGACCACGTCGACCGAGTTATCTTCAAAAGGCATCGCCTCGGCGACGCCCTGGACGACGTCGAGCGTCGTGTCTTCCCACTGGGCTTGCGTCGCCGCCAAGTCAAAAAAGGCCGCGTTCGGCTCGACGGCGCGCACGCGCTTCGCTTTGGAGCCATAATACTGGAGGTTCGGCGCGCTGCCTATCCCAATCTCGACGACGTCGTCGTTTTTTTGGACGTGGGCGAAGAGGTCGGTCTTGAACGCCCTTACTTCTTCCCAACCTTCATAGTCGCGCATCCCACCGCTCATGACCTGTGTGAACGTCGCGTCGATGGCGTGGAGGCCATGATTCGAGACGCGCCGCGACAATTTGATTCCACACAGCTCATGACGCGCGCGAACCGCTCGTCCCTCGCCTTTGCGGCGTCGTTGAGCTTGATTTGCGCGGCGTCGACGAACGTTTCGTCATCGCTCGTCGCGAGATACAGGCCACAGCCGCACGCGCACGCGCCGGCGGCGTAGAGCGCCGTGCGCCGCGTCGTCTCCAGCGGCTGCGTCGCGTCCGGGGCGGCTTGAGGCATCCGCTGCGGCGGCTTCGGGCCTCCATCGAGAGCCATTTGCGGCGTCACGAAGCCACGTCCGTTTCCAGCCGTGCGCGTCGGCCAGCGCCGGGGGGTGGTGCGCAGAGTGGCTGTGCGCAATGCCAGCGCCGTCCCGAGCCAAACTGCTACGCAAAACTTCGAGCAGCTGATCATACTTGACCCTGGCAGCTGTTACCCACGAGTTTTATCCACTGATAATGGCTCGACACCGTATGATTATCTCTTCATGATCTTCATGAGCTCAGATGGTGCGGGTGCGGGTCATAGCGCACACGTATCACGCGTATCATGTTGCTGCAACACCGGAGGAGCTCTATCTTGAAGCATGGACGGCGGGTTCGGTATTTGGCTGCACGAGAAACCGGTACCGGCCCGGCGCGGGCCAGGTGCTCCCACTAGATGCTCCAACTGCCACCCAGGCAGCTCCCTATCCCACCAGCACGCCGTCGCCGCGACGACGACAGGAGACTAGAGATCTCACAAAAACGATTAACACACCCCGGAAGAAAAGGACGAGGGCCTAGAGCCCGTCCAAATACGACGTAGGCGCCGGCTTCTTCGCCGAGCGCTCCTTGGTTTCCATTTCGGCCCACTCCGTCTCGGAAGTCGCCGCGGGGACGTAGGCCTCGACGTCGATGACCGGGGCGGCGGTCGGTGAGGCCTTTGGTGGCGCCGCGACCGGCTCCTCCTTTGGAAGCTCCATCGGCCGGCCCCACTTCTTCTTTGGTGCAGGTTGCGCCGACCGGAGCTGGTCGGGCGGTGGCCGCAGCTGCGGCGGGCCCTTGGGCAGGACGCTCTGGAGCCACGCGGAAAAGCCAGCGACGCCGTCCGCAATTTTGCCCGGCACCGCGGCCACGGCCTCGGCCGTCGCCACCGCACTGTCGACGGCGTTTCCAATTTTCTCTGGTACGGCCGCCACGGCCTCGGCCGTCGACTTTACGGTCTCCGGGATGGAAGCCACGGCGTCCGCCGTCGACTTGACCGTCGACGAGACGCTGTCCGCCGTGTTCTTCACGTTCTCCGGGATGGACGCGACCGCGTCGACGGTGCCCGTGACCGCGGACCCGACGCTGTCCGCGGTACTCTTGACGTTGTCGGGGAGGGCCGCAATCGACTCGGCCGTGGCCTCGACGGCGGCGGTCGTCGCGTCGAGCGCCTCCTTGGCTTGGTCGGGCGCCTTGGCGACGGCCGCGGCGGCGCCCTGTAGCGCTTTCAGGAACGACGCGGCCGTCTCCGCGGCGGCCTCCGGTGCCGCTTGGAGCGCGTCGGTCGCGGCGTCGAGGGACGCGAACGCGGCGTCGACGCGCGCCTTGGAGGCCTCGTTCGCTGCCTTGAAATCAAATGGCGCCTGTTTGGCGCTCGGCTTCTTCGCTTGCACCGCGCTCGCGAGGCCGCCGAAATCGAAGGGCGCCTTCTTCTTGGCGACCGGCGCGGCCGGCGGCGCGGCGACCTTCAGCGCGGCTGGTGCCTTGTTGAACGCGCTCGCGAGGTCGAACGGCGCCTTCTTGACTGGTACCTTCGCAGCTGCGGCATCGGCGGGCGGCTTCGGCGCCCGGGCCTCCTTCGCGCGGTCCATCGCGTCCTTCGCCACGTCGCCCGCGTCCTCCAACAAATCTCCGGCCCTGAACGCGAGCTCCTTCGCGCCGTCGAGCGCCTTGAAGAAAAAGTTGTCCGTGTCGACCTTCACGTAGCGAATCGTTTTGGCTGGTTGCCGCCGCTGCGGGGCTATCAGGGCGTGCGTCGTCGCGCACGCCAGCAATATGATCCGCATGATGGCAGTGGTTTTTGGCTTGTTCTCTGTCTGGGCGCTTCGGTGATGTCTCGCACTTTGGCAGCCGCGATGGCTTGTGCGGAGCAGCTCTCTCCTTGACTGCGTCAGTCCCTGGTCGATTCGCGGGCGAGCAGTGGGGCTATGAAAATCGATGCCAGCCAGTTTGCCAATGCCTTCGAATTCTAGCACACGTCGTTTCGCGACGGGAAGCGTCGGCGAAGGACCAGTGCCACCAGAGCGACCAGACGGATAAGGGCGGCGGCCGCGCAAGACCCAAGACATCGAGGTCGCCGCCGAGGTCGCGCCAGGCACGCGCGCGCGCGTTAACGCAGTGCATCGCAGCCTCGCAGATCCACATCGATCGCATTCGTGCGCTGGCGAAAGATGAGAAGGAATGCGTGCATTTTGGCGCTGCTGTGGGTCACGGCTGCAGCCGAAGATTGCGGCGTGCCCGTGGACCGCATCAACGACGACTACTGCGACTCGCCCGATGGCTGCGACGAGCCAAACACCAGTGCCTGCTCAACGGTCGCAGCCGCGAGGCGCTTTGAATGCCCGGACGAGGGCTCCGGCACCACACTGATTCCGGCGAGCCGAATAGGAGACGGCGTCTGCGACTGCTGCGACGGCTCGGACGAGGTGAGTGGGTGTGAAGATGATTGTGAGGCGCGCCGGTCACAAGCGCGCGAGAAAGAGGAGGCCGAGAGAGCAGCCGAGGCCGCGGGCGTCGCCGCGCGGAAGGACATGGCCTGCGCCGCGAAGCGCGGCCGGGAGGTGGCGCGGCGCCAGCTCGCCGCGTCCGAGCGCGACCTCGATGGGATGCAGGCGAAGATCGACGCCGCGCGGGAGAAGCGCGACGCGGCACGCGCCGAGGCGGACGAATTAAGGGACGCGGCGGCGGCGAAGGAGATGTACAGGGCGCTCCACTTAGACGCGCTGACGGCAGACCAACTTCGGGGGCTGGTTGTGGACCTCGCGCGCGAGGCAAATCAGGGCGACGCGCTCGTGCGGCTCGCGCGCGTCGCGAACGGCCTGCCGGAGGCGGAGGAGCCCGAGCCTGAGCCCGAGGCTGAACAGGAGCCGGAACCCGAGCCCGAGGCCGAGCCCGAGGCCGAGCCTGAGCCGGAGCCGGAGGCCGCGGCGCCGGCGGAGGAGCAGGAGGACGCCGCGTCGACGGAAGAAGCGGAGGAGCCCTTCGCCCGGACGCTCGAGGACGCCGACGGCGAGTACGTGCAGACGCTGGAGTTGGAGGACGAGGACGGAGACGACCTGCCGGGCGAGAGCGACCTCGACGCCGCCGAGGCGGCGGCCGACGCCGAAGACGACGCCGCTGCTGCCGACGACGACGACGCCTTCGCGGAGTTCGACGCCGCCGAGGAGGAGGCCGAGGCTGGCGCCGACGCGGATGCCGCCGCCGACGAGGCCTACGGGGGCTTCGACGAGGGCTTCGATGAGGACTTCGACGACCACGCCTACGACGACTACGACGACTTCCCGGGCGACGCCGACTACGACGACGACGAAGAGCGAGAGGGCACCTTCGCGGATCTGGAAGATGAGGACTTCGCCGACGACGAGTACGGCGATATACCGGACGACGTCTTCCCGGACGAGTATCCCCCTACCCCAAGTTATGATGATGACTATTCGTATGACGAGGGCGATACGCGCCTGGCTCTGGAGACGTACCGTGATAGTGAAGAAAGTTACCTGTCGTCCTCGAAACGTAAAAAGCTGGAGGCGCTGGAGGATACGCTAAATGAGTTGGAGCGCGCGCGCGACGACAATGAGGATAAGCTGAGGGAGAGTAAAGCTGCGTTGGGCGACGCCGACTATGGTGACGACGGCGCAAGGTGGGCGTTACGAGATAAATGCGTCTCCCGAACGCTGCAGGGCTACCTGTACGAGGTCTGCTTCTACAAGAACGCCCGGCAAGGGAGTACGAGACTCGGCGACTACCGGTCGACCGACGGGAGCGTTCTAACGTACGACGGCGGCGAGTACTGCTGGAACGGACCCGCGCGGTCTTTGATAGTAAACCTCGAGTGCGGCGCCGCGAATGAGCTCGTGAGCGTCGACGAGCCGCGGACCTGCGTCTATCAAGCTATTGTGCGAACCCCAGCGGTTTGCGGCTCGACACAAGAGGTCGGCGACGAGTGCGCGCCGCCCCCCGAGAGCAGTGGAGGGTTCCTGCGGTTTCTGGGATTAGGTTAAGTATATGATGTATTATCCCGGAGGACTTCTTTCGTGGCGCGTCGATGGCGTTATGGGGGAGCGCGTCGACGGCGTTACGGGCGACTCAAGTCGACTCGGACGCGTCGTGGACGCCATCGACGCGGCCACACCGTCTATACGCCATCGACGCGGCACCAAGGAGCCAGAGAAACCAGTGATAAAATTAGACCAGCTCGGAAATGTCCCCCTGCGCCGCCTTCATGAGCTTCATCGTGTCCGCCGCAATCGTCGGATCGTCGGCCGCGCAGGCCTGGATCTTCATGACGACGCTCATCAATTCATCAGCCTTGAAGCCGTGCTCAGTCAAGGCGGGCGCCATGAGCTGCTGGACCTTCGGGAGGAGCTGGAGCATCTTCTGCATTTGTTTGGACGACGCGTCACCTGGCGAATTCTCGATGTCCTGGATCGTCTTCGTCAGCGAGTCCTTGTTGGCCTTGAATTGGGCGAACGCGGCGTCCAAAATGGCGCGCGCCGTCTTGGGGTCCATCTTTGCTGGGGACGGTGCGGGTGGCGGCGTCACTGTCGAGTCTACTGGTTTCGCATTGAACTGCGCGGCCTTGGCCTTGCGCCGCGCGCCGCGCGTGCGCTTCCAGAGGGCCTGGTCCTTCGTCTTCTGGGACTGCTGGGCCGTCCACGTGTCCAGGGCGGCTCTATCTGAAAACCGCGCCGTGAGTTTCGCGTCACCTGCATCATATGCATTAACTTTCTTCTCGGTCCACTGGTCGCAGGCCGCCTGGTCCTTCTCAGTCCACAGGGTCAAGTCCTCAGGAGACCACTGGGGAAAGTCCTCGACCGGCTTGGACGTCCCCTTGATCTTGACCAGCTCCATGATGAAGATCAAGGTACTTTTCGCGGGGATCTTGGGCGGCTTGCCGTGTTCACCATAGGCTAAGTGATAAGGAATGTACATCTCCCACTTGTCGCCCTCGACCATGAGCTGCATGGCCTCGGTCCAGCCTTTGATCACTTGGTTCGGGGCGAACGTCGAAGGCTTGCCCCGGTCGAAGGAGCTGTCGAACTGCGTCCCATCAATCAACGTTCCCAGGTAGTGGCAGTCGCAGGGCGTGTCGACCAAGGGGCGCTTCAGGCCCGAGCCTTCGACCAAAACCTTGTACTGGAGCCCGCTCGGCAGCGTGATGACGCCCTCCTTGGACTTGTTGTCCTGGAGGAACTGCTCTCCCTTCGAGAGGGCCATGGTCTCTGGTGGTGGCTGCAGCGGCGGTCGCTGTGGACTGCTGGCGACGTGTGCAGTTTCAGATTGCAAGAATTAGACCGCTGCGACCGTCTAAAAAGCCGGGAGAGCCCGCGAAATCGACGACGCTAGCGGCATGTAAGACACTAGGAAGCACCGCAAAATCGCTGTTGCGGCCGCAGCGATTCAACAGGCGCCATCTGACGCGCGCGTGCAGCGGCAAACGACCCATTTGAAACGTTGGTTGCAAAAAATTTAGGTTCAGCCAGCGCAAAACGCGGAAACTGAGCAGTGCTCTCCCAGGGCCCGCGGCAGTGTAAGCAAACGTTCAAGCACAGCCACGAAAGATGGCAGAGCTCGCAGCAACAGCCGTCGAAGACGTCGACGGCGCAACATTGGAGGGAGGCGGCCAACTTTTAAGAGTCGCCGTGGCGCTCGGCGTCGGCCTGGGCAAGGACGTGCGAGTCAAGAACATAAGGGCGGCGCGGAGCAAGCCTGGATTAAGACCGCAGCACGTCGCGTCCCTAAGGGTGGCGGCGGCCGTCGGTGGTGTTTCCGTGGCGGGCGGCGTCGGCGCCGTCGAGATCACGGTATGTGGATCGAAAGCAACGGACATAAACCAGGACGTTTTTGAAGCGGACGCGGGGACCGCAGGAAGTACGACATTGATGCTCCAGGCGTCGCTGCCGGTGTGTTTGCTGCGACGGCCTACATTGACGACGAGGCTGAGGCTGAAGGGTGGAACGAACGTGCCCTTCTCGCCCGGTCTAGATCATGCGCGTCTCGTATTGGCGCCGAACCTGAAACTCATGGGTGTCAATTTGGACGTGACCTGCGTGAAAAGGGGCTTCATGCCCGAGGGCGGTGGGACTCTTGAAGCTACGATCTCATCTGATGGTATTAAACCAATCGTGCTGGACGCGACAGAGGCGTCGCCGGAGCGCATCGACGGCGTCGTGTTCGGGCGCGGCGATGAAAATGGAGGCAATCGCCTCCGCGCGGCGCTCTCGTCATCACTCAGCCGAGCGTTTCCCGGCTGCCTCGTGATTGTTCGAGTGGAGTGGGCCCCATCCGTGAAGAAGAGTAGAGGCACGCTCGGCGCGCAGCTCGCGTTGACGACGTCGAGCGGCGCGACGATCGGCGCGGACTTTCTCGACGGTTCGAAGCGGCCTCATATTGAAGCTCTTTGCACGAAACTCGTCGCGGCGCTCAAAGAGCGACACACAAGAGCCGGCGGCGGCGTCGACGACCAGACGGCGGACCAGCTCGCGCTGTGCATGGCGTTTGCATCTGGGCCCTCGCGCCTACGCCTGCCAAAGCCTTCATGTAGACATTTGGAGACGGTGATGCACTTCGCCTCGCGGTTCACGGGGGCTACATACAAACTCGAGGGCGAGGGCGAGAGCGTCGTGCTGACCTGTACGCCTAAGACCTAGTATTATCTATCTCGGCGGCGAGCCGGTGGCACGTTGTTCTATAAGGGAGGAGGGCCTTCGTGCGGCAGCCCTGCCCGGCGGCGTCGCAGCCACCGACGCGGTGGCACTCGACGCAGGGCCCCGGGCGCACGAGCGTGTAGGCCACGTCGAGCAGCGCGTTCTCCGTTTCTGCGCCGTCCGGGAACAGGTACTTCTGGGGAGGAAAGGCGAACCGTCGCACGGCGGCGTCGCACGCGTCCCACAGCCCCGGGAGGTGCTCGAAGTACGAGCCGCACGCCTCCCGTCGGCAAACATAGATGTGGTCGTTCAGGCGCTGGAACCTGTGCGGAAATCAAATTTCGGACGGCCCACGCCTGCTCGCCGCATAACCTCACTAATCATTTCCACACAGGTTGGAACCGCCCCGTCCGCGTCATCACGCCGTGCGCCACGGCCCGCGCCGCCACCGCCGCGATGTCGGGGAACGGGGCGAAGTAAATCAAATCCGGACGTACTTTGACGACGACGTCGTAACGCGTCCCGCGCCGCCGCTCGTACTTTTCTACGAGCCGGTAGCCCGCGCGGAAGTGCATCACCATGGCCACAAACCGGCGAGCGCTGTCGTGATCCATACGCGTCTTCCCGAAGCACGGCCGCGGCGCATCTTTTGGGAGGATCTCGACGCCCCGCGCGCCGTAGAGACTCTTGAGCTGCTTCGCCGTGCGGTGCGTCGGTTTGCGGAGCGTGCCATCACCCACGAGCGTCAGAAATAAATCATGCGGAGGCAGTCCGCTCCGCATGAGCCGGAACTGGCGGACGATGACCGGGTGCTCTACGACTCCGCGGGGCTGGCCGACGGAGAGGAGGGCGACACTCGCGTTGGCGGCGACCGGCGGCTCGGCGGCGACCGGCGGCTCGGCGGCGTCGAGCGCTGTCGACGCGTTGAACGTCGGCGCGTCCGCGAGGTCCTCGAGGCGTCTGTGGTGGCGGCAGGTTTTGGCCGTCCTCTTGGCTCGCGCCGCGACGAGTGCGAGCAGGAGCAGTTTCATGCTTAGAGGCCGAGCGCCCACTGCGCCGCCGGCCAGAGGACAAACACGATCATAATGGCCCCAAAAAATAGCGCGGGGACGTCTATGTTAAGCTGTGGCGCCCTAGGAATTGGTCGCTCCCTTTTAGGCCTGAGGGAATCGCCTTTGCTATTATGTGTAAATCTTGAGGGACCTCTAACGCTCCTGGGCATCGCGAACTACTCTCTCTCTACGCGAACCGAGTAGCGGCCGGGCCACAGCGAGCAGAGGGAGAGCTGTCGAAAAAAACATGAAGGCAGCAAAACGGGTTTTTCCACGCGTAAAGCACACTTCGACGAGTCTCAGCCCCGCAACAGGAATCAGCAATAGACGAATTAGGCAGGGTCGAGGGGGATGTCCACCGCTCACTCGAGGTCGACGTGCGGCGTCGCCGGCGAGCCCGGCGTGCGGTGGACCGGAGGCGGCGGCGTCGGCGGCGCCGGCGGCCCGCGCGGCGACGGCGCCGGCGGCGCCCGGTGCATGGCCTCCGTGAAGCCCGACTCGCTCGCCGAGTCCCCTCGGTCCGGCGTGACATTCAGACGAGACACGCGCAATTCATCTTCCAAGTCCGCGATCTTCAGGAGGTGCGCCGCGTGCTCGCGCTTCGCATCCGTCAAGGCCTGGGAGATGTGGTGTTCATTTCGGACGGGATTCTCCACGTCCTTGCGGGACGCCTCTCTCACAATCCCACCAAGCTTCTGGGCCTTGGTCCCCTTGACAGCATGTCTTATAGCGGCCCAGCCCTGCTTCGCTACTGACTCGTCCGCGTCGCGGTCGATGAAGGGCTCCTGAGTTGTATCTTCTGATTGTGGCGCGTCATCAACAAAAGTGAGTCGCCCGTGCTGCCACTCCAAATGGCGGTGCTTCACCTTCAGCTGTCGGTACTTTTTCTTGACGTGGTGGTGGCGGCAATGATAAATCACGTAGAGCTTGCAGAACACACCAGTGGATATACCTAGTATAACTATCGCCCACCAGTACCTCTTGGCCAACCTTTCAACCTTCTCCGCATCGGTCACTCGATCCTTCTTCTTCGTCACAATCACCGCATCCATCTCCTGCAATGGGTATAGATCAAGGAATTCGATGAACGCGTCGTGAACCTCCTCAGACACATCCGTACTATTGGCAAAGTCGCGCGCGACCTGGTCCTCATCTTTCGATCTCAAATCTTCATTGATGACGTTGACGGCGTCGGCGCACGACGCACTGAGTACGGTGAACGTCAACACTTCACCGGAACACGATATCGCGGTCACTCCCTTCTCGACGTCGCAGTCACTCGCCAACCGCCCCTCGATGAAGTGCGCCCAGGCGACGTGGAGTCGGTCGTAGTTATCATAAAAGTAGGTGCACATGTCCGACTGCTCCAACGTCCCAGTAGTTAATTTACGAGCTGTAGAAGTACCATGTATGGTAGAAACGTCCACCCCGCCCGAAAAGGCCGTCACGACGACGTACATGTCGCCGGCCTGGCAGTTGTTCAGTCCCGGATCCGTACCACATTCCCCATCACCTTCACAGGCATCGCCCTCGACCAACCCTGGTGTGGCACAATTATCGATGTCGAGCTGGGCCATCGTCCAGCCCTGGCACTCCTTGGGCTCCATCTGTCTTAAAACAGGACAGGCATCATCAATACGTTTGAGCGTGGGCGCCGTCGACGGGACGTAGGGCGCCGCGTCGCGGACAATATACATATCGGCGTCGTCGCAGTTATCTAATCCAGGATCCGTGCCGCACTCGCCGTCGCCCTCGCATAGGTCGCCCGGTTGGAGGCCGGGTGTCTGGCAGTTGTGTATATCTAGTTCCAACATGGTGAGGGGGCAAAAGTTCGGTTCCAAGGCACTCAGCACGGGGCAGTCCTTTTCTACATCCTCAACCAAAGCGAAGGGTGCGGGAGTAGCTGGTGTCGGAAACGGTGCGGGTGCGACTGAGGGTCTAGGAGTATCGGCCGTCGGGTGTTGCGTGTACGACGGTCTGTAGGTAGGCGCGTACGTCGGGACGTAACCCGCACCGACCTCGAGCACCTTCTCATGGACCGCTTGCGCAATCACACCTAGCCCGTGGTCCAGGGGATGGACCCGATCCGCCCAGTGGCCCGTGTTCCAGAACGTGACCCAGTCGTCGACACTCGAAGCCCCATACGCATCCACAAAAGCAGCTTGCGCGTCGACCAAGCCTAAGCCCTTATCGGAAGCTATTTGCCGAATCATCTCCGGCATGACGTTGTTGATGGGACACACGTCGATCTCCGCCCACATGTCCACGTAGTTTCCTAGGAGGACATCATTCCCCAGGTACGGTACGGGAATACCGATGATAACCGTAGCCCCCAACGCCTCAAAGACCTCAATAAACTTCTTGTACTCGTCGACCCAGTCGTCCTTGACCGTATCCCAATTCACGGCCTTGGCATCATTAGTACCGAAGATGGACACGACAATAGCGACGTCGGCGTCCTCGACGATCTCGCGCGCATCATCATATTCCTCCTCGTCCTCGTAGGGCTCGTCGGCCTTCGAATGCATGGTCCGGCCGCCCACACCCTTAGCGTATACCGAGTAACCACTTCCCAGTAGTCTCGAGAGCTGGGCCGGGTAGTCATGACCACTGGCCGCTCGTTTCCCGACCGTGTTCGAGTCGCCGACGCAGACGACCGCTATTTCCGCTTGGACGGCGCAGGCGACGAGGGCGGCCAGGAGGGTGTACATGGTGCTTGCGCGTGCAGATCCTCGACGGCGCGCTTGGGCCTTGCTTCGCGCTCCCGCGGCGGGGCTTGCACGAGCGCTTTTGTGGAGGGGCTGCTCGCGACGGCGCGTCCGGGGAGGGACGGCGCTGCCGTCCTGCGCGCGTCGGCGGCGCGCGGACCGATGGGGCAGGCACGGCAACGACACAAACCTTCAGCACTACCGGTCGGTTCGGGTTTGCGAACGAACCGGGGCATCGCAGAGCGTAAGGCTCGGCCGGCGACGCGTCGGGACCGCGTCCGGCAGGAACCGGGGCTCAACGACCGCCAGGCAAGAGCAAAGCATCTGGGGCTGCTCTCCCACCTTGTTCCAAGTCGCGGTGGCCCCCGGGGGTCACGCCGCGCGCGCGAGCGCCCGTCGCTGCCCCCCGCTCGACGCCCGCGCCGCCGCTCCCGGCGGCGTCCTCTGCTCGACGACTCAAAGCTGCCCCATGGCGGCCGCCGCGCTCCTCGGCCACTGGGTCGCGACCCACCTCTACCTCCTCACGAGCTGGGCCGGCCTCGCGGCCGTCACCATCATCATAGCGCGGTGGCAGTGGGAGCGCGTAGAAACGATGATGAAAGCGAGGATCATCCGAGAGATGGAGCGCAAGGCAGGCGTGCCCATCAGCATCGAAGCGTTAACAGTAAGACCGATCAGGGGCGAGCTCGGATTGACGAATTTGATCGTGAAAGGGAGCGAAGGGACCTGGCAACACGCGTACTTCATGAAGGTTCATAAGCTGACCTGCAAGGCCCACGGCGGCTTGCTCGGGTGTGCGTCGCTCGCGGGCATGGTCTCCTTCGATCTAGGGACACATCTCCCATTCATTGTAGGATTCAAGGGCAAGATGGTCGACGCCATGACGTGCGCGGGGATGGAGGTCTATGTAGAAACGTCGCATACCGGTAGTTCGAATGCGGATTTCTTGCGGGAGATCGACCGGGCCGATCGGCGGAAGACGCGAGCGCGAGGCCGGAAGGCCCACGAGGCCGAACTAAGGTGGAAGCTCTGCTGGGTGTCTGATCAGAAAGAAAAAGCACATCTCGCGACGACGCTGGCGGCCTTGCTGGAAGAGGACGAGGAGGAACGACTCGCGGAAGAGGCCCTGTGGGACCATCGACATCATGGGGATGCGGAGCACGCCGCATTTTTTGATGCCGTGCACTCGCATCTGAACGATGCCAAAAGTCATAGAGAGAACTTTTTAATGCATCACGATCGATTGCGGATGAAGCACCACAAGTTGCTCCAGAGTCGGTCCGAAAAGAAAGCGATGGCCAAGTCCTTCAAGGCTCTCAGAGCTACTGATGCGAACCACGAGCTCATGCACGTCGGGCGATGTACGATCCAGAACTGTACGTTTGCCTTGGGGAAGCACACTTTTCATCTAGAAAGACATGCTGTTGTAGAGGCCTTTTCCGGGACGCTATTGGAGTTCCAGCGGGCCGTTTCTAGAAAAGTCGTTTCTGCCGCTCTATCGGACTCGTGGGCGCGCGAGAAGGAGGTGCTGTCGCACTGGTCCTTCTTCGGCAAGCGGTCGTCTCCCTCAAAATCGCCGTCCTCGGTCGCCGAGCCGGTCGCCGCGGACGATCGCCTGCCCGAGAGACCATGAAATTCGCACGCTGATCCTCGCTCGACCCGCGCCCGGAAACCGGCGCGACCGCTTCCCCACTGCTAAACTAACCTTGTTCATACTAACTCACTCAATCGTGACGCTACCGGCGTCCACTCGCGTCCTAGGAGTGGTAGCCCTCTTCACTTACTGGTCAGTAACTACTGGTCAGCAACTGGTTACTAACTGGTTAGTAATAGGGGTAAGGTAAGGTATTTAAAACGGCACGGGGGATCAAAGCTGCGACTACAGCGACGCGGGGTATTCCACCGGACATAGGAACCGTTATTACATTTATGATCGACCGACTTGAGCATTCTCCAAATAATCCCGCAAGCTGCGCGACCCGTCGTCATAGGGGTAAGGTCTTTAAAACGGGCTGGGATTAAAACCTAAAATATATCAGCGACCCCACTATTACACAGGACATAGGAACCGGTATTAGATTCATGATCGACCGACTTGACCATTCTCCAAAAAATCCCGCAAGTTGCACGTACCGTCGTCATCGTCAGTCAGTGACTGACCGACTTTTTTTTACCATGCTCCAGAATTGCCCGGCACGCCGCGCGCGCCGGAGAAAGACTACGCCAGCACGCCCGTCGCCGCGACGAATCAACTAATAACTTGTTACTACGAATTCCCCCCTCAGAAGGACTGCGTCCGCTGCAGAGGAGGTTTCTTTGAAGCCGCCTCCTTCGTCCCAAGAGCCTCGGTTATGGAATCGATCTTCGTGGACCACTCCTCTCTCATTGATGCCACATCCGCTTTTGTCTCCTGGATCGCATCATAGAGCGGTTTCAATTCATGGTCGACGTCCGCCCTACCGCCCTCGCCGTCGGTGATCATCTGTTCTAATTTGAACGACGTACCCTCGGGCAGCCAAGCTTCCGACTTCACAGCAGCACACGCCGCGACGTGGGCGTCGACACCGGTCACGGGCGCCACGTCCGCCGCCGCCCTCTTGACGTGATCAAGATAAAGTAAATAACTCCACTTGTTGTGCTCGCTACCTTCATGCTCCTCCTTGTCGATGTCGTACTCCTCCAAGGTACCTCGATCGGCGCCGCAAACAAAACACTCGGCGTTCATCATTTCTTTCCTCTCGTTTAATGTTTCCCTCAGTGATGAAAACGTATCGAGGATGATACCCGTAAACACGTTGATCAGTAATAACGTAACCACTATAAAAAACACCAATTGTATGAAGATCCGCGCCAGGTTATTCTTCCGCTTCATCGCGTCCGACGGGTCGAGGTCATCCCCATATTCCATCGCTAGCGTCGCCGTGAATAATTGCCCGTCGATCAAGCCAATGTACACATCTCTCAGGAAACAAGTCCAAGGAGTACGACACACAAAGTTATGATGATATTCATCATCATAAACATCATCGACGTGCGCCGGAGCAGGTAACGGACCGACGCCTCCTGAATTTTCTCCACTCCAGTCGTGCGTGTCGCTCATCGTTCCTGTTGAATCTTGTTGGGCGACGAAGAACGTCATCACCGACAATATCCCAATACTGACGAGCGTGAAGTAGAACGCCAGTACCAGCTGCGCCTTCGGGATCCAGACGGACATGAGCACATTTTGCAGATCATCAGAAATGAGTAAAATATCTAACAGTAGCAAGATCCAGACGTACTGCCACTTGAAGCCCATCAGCGCGACAGCCACACATACGAGATTACCACATACACCTAAATCCTGCGTAATAGCATCGTAAGCGGCAATCGCGATCAAATCAAAAGTAGTATAGGGATCATCTCTAGCTTTCCGGAAAGCTCCCGGTAGGCACAAGCCAACTAAAACTAAAGTGCCCCATACCATGGTCAGGCTCCAGCCGAACTTCAGACCATACACCACAATCCCGAGACCATACGCGAGACACGGCTCCCACCACGACATGCGCTCATATACATTATTGTCATCACTCGACGAAGTTTTGAACATATTTTTATCTTCCCCCAGCATGTCGTTGACCCACTTGGCCGAGCTATTCGCGGTGGAGTCGTCATCGTCAGCGAGGACATTTTTGGCGGTGTCTTGTATGGTCTTAGTAACATCAGTCGTGAAGCCGATCGCCGACTTGAGCTGGGTCTTGGCGAGGGTCGCGCTACCTAACAACAGAGCGGAGAACTGGTCCTCTACTCGCTCATCAAACCCATGAGCGTTGGCGCGCTCCTCCAAGGTCCTTGCGACGTGCGTGTCGACCGTCGTCTTAAATTTGCAGATGAACGTGTACGCGCACATGGCGCCGTAGCCCAGCAGCGTGGGGATGGCTAAACAAAGAGCCGCCGTGCTATTGCCTCTTTCCTCAGAATTGGCCCAGGTGATGGCACCGTCGCCCGTGGACGAGAGCATCATGTGGAGATTTAAGATCAACGCCAGGAAGTACAAGCGATATTTCAGGGGAATGTACCTCTTGTTCACGATCTGGAAGACCTTCGACAACTCCTCGATCCGGTACAGGTACCGCGCCTCCCTTATGATCCCCTCGCCGTCCTCGAAGAGCTGCCGCATCCGCGTCTCCGCGCTCGTCAAGTCCACGTTCTGCTCGAAGCGCTGCCTAGCTACGGTTGTTAATGAACCGCTCCACTCCGGCAGCTCGAAGAAGACTCGTTCTACTCGTCCCCGCCACCGCACGTCGACCTCCCCCAACAGATTCGAGAAAGGCCCATCAGAAACCCCAAAGTGCCACAATTTAACCCGTAAAGCATGAGCCCTTACGACAAGGTCGGCGACGGCCTCTAATTTTTCATTGTGGAGCCGTTCCAAAGCTTCCGGTGATGATAAATCACCACTTTCAATGAAGTAGTCGAAGGGCGGCTGGGCCCGAGGTGTGCGCACCTTCCGATGGACCGGTGCGCATTCATTCAATATGCGACTCAGCAGGCCCTTCGGGAGCCGCGTTCGTAATGATTGGACTTGCGGGCTTCGTAAAGATAAGCCCTCGACCATGCTATCCAAGGTCGCGATGGCCGCCCGCCTCCCCAAATACGCGGCGATCTCCGTTAAATGATCCTCGCCGATCACATCATTTATAGGTAGGGCTAAGAAGGCCGCCAGCAAGTCAGGAACACCAGAAGCCGCGACGAACGCTTGATTCGCGGCGTTGGCGCCGTCCATCGACGCCGCGACGCACTCCATGACGCCGACCACGAGAAACTTTTCTACCGAGGACTGCTGCGACGAAAATAAACGCGGGTCGTCGGACGTGCTATCGGCCAAGGCTTGGAGTAAATGCTCGAGCTCCTGCAAAATGTTGACCGCGGCCAGCATCGACGCCTGCCGCGTGCACAGCTCCTGCATCGGGCCGTGCTGGCCGACTAATAGGGAAGTGATGAACTTGACCGTCCAGGCACAGCCCCTTAATAATTCCTCGTCCAACGCCGTGTGCTGGCCCGCCCGGCGTCGCCGATGGTGCCTCTCTAAGTGATTGCACGTCGCTCGGAATTCATCTGCTGCTACGCGTAGGACTTCTCCATCCTTGAGCCGTTCCGTGAACCACGCTTGTGCCGTTCTATTCGCGTCCACGACGATACCCGTCGCTAACCTAAGGGCCGCGGTCCGCAGCCCCGAGGGCTTCGCGAGTAATACGCTCATGAGCACCTGCGCGCCGGACTGCCCAGGGCTATCGTCGAGCAGGGCCGCCTGCGCATCCCTAAAAGCCGTGCGCTTCTCCCGCAGATGCGTCGCGCGCGTCATCGCGCTGCTATGATCCTGGATCACGTCGACGACGCCGAACGCCGCCTGGAGGAACAAATAGAAATTGTAGAGCACCTCGCGCACGGCCTCCGACCGTAGTAATCGCGTCAAGCGGACGGCCTTCAACGCTTTTAAAAATTTAAAAAACCGGAAGACCTTCACGAGCCGGAGCCAGGCCCCGCGGAACCCACTTCCACTGTTTTCCTTTGTACTTATCAACGACAATAAGTCGACGAGCTCCAACACAATACACAACAGGTCGATGTACCGGATAGGATCTTTAAAACACTCGTCGAGACCTCTTGTTAATGATTTGGCGATGGCCGTGTGGGCGGCAACTCTGAATAATAATTCTAGAGAAAAAATAATGGACACGGACACCCCGACGGCCAATTGCGCAACATAACTTCTCTGATACGCTTTGCCTCCCACATAAACAGCTAAGAAGGAGGCAATAACAATTAAAATCAGGCAGACCTCGACCGGGGCGCTATTAACGATCCTCAGAGCCGACGACGCGTTCCGCGCCGCACTTAACCGCGCGAACTCCTTGTGGGCCTTCCTCCGTTGTAGATCGGCCGCGGCCTTTTGGAGCGCCGCGTCGCGCGCCGCCCAGGTATACGCTCTCAATTCACACAAGTGCGCAAAGAGCATGTCGAAGATTAAAGCGCGAGCTCCAGACTTCTCGCCGGTGCCCCGTTTTTGATACTGTCGAGCTGCAAACGCAAACAGTCGCGTCTGCAACCGGTTCCAGTGGTCCGGGTCGTCATCGATCAAATATTCGGGGAAGTGGACCAGGGCGACGTCTCGCAAGTCGTGGAAACTTCTCGGGTCGCCCGGGCGCCTGTATTTCTGATCAGAAACCTCCCAGTCCTCTTCCGTAAGTCTTTGTAGGAATTCGGCTTCATCCCTAATATCTCCGACGTGGCGGTAGGCCCGCACCAGAGATCTTTCCTCAGCGATGACGGCCGCCGCCACGGAATCGTGATTGCCCACAATTCGAGCGTAGTCGACGCATCGCAGACGCTTCTCCTCAGAAATCTCCGTCACTTGGGGAGGGATGTTCCGGTACCGATCCATGGACGCCGCGAACCGCTCGTTCTGCACGGAGCCGAAGCCACAAGGGCCGTCCCTCACGGACACATCATCATCCGACCCGTTCGCGTGCATACTGATATGTTGGGCGATCTTCGACACTTCCTGCAAAGCGGGCATATCTAAATCAATCTCCTCCGCGTCGATGAGGCGTCGTAGCAAGTCCGAGAAGCAAAAAGCAGTGTCGGAGCCGGCCGCCGCGGCCACGTCGGAGACGCGGTAGCCTCTATATTCTCTTGCCGTGAGTAGTCTTCTTAGGAACGCGTTCACGGCGCCCTGGGCCGCCTTTCGCACGCTGGGTAGGGAGTTCCTTACTAAATGTATGGGTCGACCTAAGCGTAAAGCTTGCGCCGGTAGCCGGTCGTCGTCGATCGAATCATCTATTTCATTGACCGTGCACGCTTGCCCTTCACTATGTGTGAGTGAGGAGAACCAGGCGTCGCCTCGGTTTCGACTGTCGGCCGTCCGCACGTAAGCTAACCGTCTATCTGCCGGTAGCGCTAACGCACACAACCTCAAAGCAGTACCCCAGAACACGTCATCATACAGATCCAACCGGTGCGCGTGCATGGACCCATCATCAAAATGCCCTTCCCTGGCCACGTCGACATAGGATCTGATCGTCGAAGCATTCCCATAACACAAGCCCCAGAGCAGTTGCTTGAAGGGTACCAACGATACAACATCGACGGCCACGGGCATATTATGCGACCGACAGCCCAATCCCAACAACGCTATCAACGACGAGTGGACCAATTGGTCTTTCAAAACCGCTCGACGCTTCGCAGGAGTATCTACGACGACCGCGTCGACGATCGACGACGAACCACGTAACCTAGCGAGCAACGACGTATCCAGCAGCTTCTGATTGCGACGACAGACATCCTCCCTCCTAGGCCCGGGACAGACCAGCACCTGCAACGCCTGCACGCACGCGACCTCCGCCGACCCACCGCCGTCCTCTAGTAGTCTCTCAACAACTCCAACTAAAGGCTCGAAGAACAATGAAGCTTTTTCTTCACACAACAACGAGTTACCGCCGAAGGTCCCGCAGACGCATTGGGCTAAGCGAAACGCGTCGTCGTGATCATCGTGTACTACTGACTGACCAGCCGCCATCGCCTTAATAGCCACGGCTTTCTTCGCCGCCCGGCGCCACTGGACCTTCCAGGGCAGGTCGTCACTCTTCTCTTTAGGCGCTCGCAGATCATCGTTCGAGGCGCGCCGCGGCGTCTTTTTTAGCTCTAGTCTCGACTCGTCTTTGACCAACTGGAGCATCGAGGCTGCCAATCTATCTACTACCGCTCGTTGCGCGGCCGGATGTTGGGCTAGTAAACGACTGGCAACAATGCCGGCAGCCTCGTGGAAAGCTCTCAGACTCCCGTCATCACTCAAGTCAGGTGGTTTTTCTACTTCTAATGCTTCCATTATTGATGGAGCTAATCCACATTTAAGTAAGATGTGCTGGTGGGTCTTGAGCTTGTCATTTGTCAAAGAGGGATCTAGGAGTCTGCCCAACGTTCGTAGGATGTCTTCCGCCCGCTGTCTAAACATTAAAGCTCGTTGATCCGACAACAAGACCCACTGCTCGGAACGTTGCGCCAGGTCCGAGAGCTCGGCGGTCATGCCTGATAAATGAGGTATGGTATCTATCGGGTCGATCTGCTCCGTCGACGACAGCGTTTGATAAATGGTCCGCGCCGCGTCGCTGTCGACAACCACACAATCCTCCATGATTCTCAACAACTGTGACGTAGGGCATCTAAGCGCTTTCGTCACTGCGAGTACTTCTCTTAACAAATCGTCACTTCCCGAACCCGCAAGTCGTAACAACAACTCGTCTAACTCGCTATCGGACTTGCCGCACATCGCTGCTAAATCTACCGCTTCGGCCAACGCCCTCGACTTCCGCAACCGCAATTCTAGTTGTATCGCTTCATTTGACAGCCCCTCGTCGCTCCGTTCGTTGCGCGCCGGCGGATCTAACAGAGCCAAAAACCGTTCCGCCTGCGAGGACCGTCGATCTTCGGCCTCGTCCACGGGAATTATTTTCCGAGATCTAAACAAGGAGCCCCTGCGTTTTTTGGGAGTTTTTGGCCGTTTTCTCTTTACCTCTATTTGAGGCTCGTCTCTGATCGCCAGGAATTCGGTGAGAGCAGCTTGTATGAGGCATTGCCCGAGCATGCCCAATATGCGACCAACGATCCTCAGGATAATTGTTTTGGATTGCTGGGCCTCACTCGCTTGGTGGTCGTCACTCGCCAAAACACTGAACAACGGACCTAGTAATTTGCGTAAGTGATCAGAAGTAGCGTAGAAGCCGAAGTCCACCAAGTCGTCCACCACTTCCAGGACCTGCAGCGTCAGGGCATTTCTTGCTGGATTGTTGAACGTACACGTATCTCGATCAGCTAGATAGGATCGGACGAATTCCTTCAACAGATAGAACTTCGTCGAGGGGTTATTTGTATTCGTCGCAAACCTAGGTAAATGTTCCAGCGGTGTTTGCGGTGCGACGAGCGTCTCGACGGCCCAAGCCCGTTTCGGTAGGACCGGATAGCCGCATCGAGGCCGATGCGGTGATCTGTCTACATGTAAGCTTCTCAACAAGAAAGCGAAAGCAGCTCGTAGCAAATCGGGATACGTGTCATCCGCGAGCACCCACAGACAGCACCCGTACGAAAAAGTCCCCTCGAAGACATCGATGGCATTATAAGATCGGTCCTGGCAGCATAGCGCCACCAACTTGATCTGTTCGACGTAGTACGCCGCGAGTTGTCTCCTCCGATTGATGCGGTCGGTCGCGGCCGGTTCATTTTTGGCACCCCGCAGCGCGTGCTGGTAGATCTTGTCGTCGAGCTCCCTCGTTAGCTCTCGCAGTTCGACCCAGCCGTTGCTATCGGTCCTCAATCCTAAAGTTTGCGCGTCGTAGAACAATGCGTCATCAGGATAACTAGCAGACCCTAACCACCGCACGCAGACCGGCGGGCAGCCCCTTTCGAGCTCCTCATAGCCTAGAAAGCCATCCGGAGGATCGTCGACCTTCGCGCAGGGCCACTCGCAGGCTCGGAACGCCGTATCACCTCGCACGACACTAGTCTCGAGGAACGTCCTCCGGAACAACTCTGAGACGTCTTTCGTGAATAAAGTGGACACGACCATCTCCTGCACGCCCGGTATGGCTTTCCCGTGGCACGATAGGGTAGCTGCTAGGATTTGGGCCAAGTCCGGTCGCGGGCCGTGATCACCTACAAACCCGGCCAGCTGGTGCAGCATCCTCTTGTCCACCAACTGGTGCGTCAGATCCAAATTGTTCGCTATAAGTGTCGTCAGCAGCTCCGGCGCGCCGAGCGGTTCACTGACTTCTGCGATGACCTGGTCGATGAACGCGCCCGCCTCCGGTTTGTTTTCCTCTTTTACCAGTCTACCTTTCGCGAAGTAGGTCTCGTTGCGCCGGTTGTCTCTCACACTTGTGACTAAGACGGCATACGCGAGTTGGTGGAACTCCTCCAAAGGTCCGAAGCGCGGGTCGTGCTGCTCGCCCGGCGCCGGCGGGTACTTGATTCCGGAAGTTTTGACGCAAGCGATCGCTCTCGCCAAAGCATCGATCAGCTTCACCTCCCGCGTCATGGACTGCGCGGCGGCGTCCACCGGTCCCGTGTGCTCGAAGGATAGCTCTACGTCGTCGTCGACGCCGTCCCCATCGTCGTCTTTGTGCTGCTCCTCCGTCTGCGCGTTCGCAAAGGCCTCCAAATCATTATCGTTTGAGGTTCTCAAGCAAGATAGGGCCCCTCGCAGCGCGTTCTCCGCTCGGAGGATCTTCGCCCGCGCCGCGCAATCATCCACGTTCTCCTCGTCGCGACCGACTCGCCGCACGAACTCCGTGTGTTCTTCCACCGCGGTCCTGGCAGCTTTTAACGCCTGCAGCGTCAACGCCTCGGGGCCGATTTCAATATGTACTTCGACAGTCGCGCCTAACGAGGCCCCTAACGATACCGTCGAGTTGTCCTCGAAGACAATGCGTCGAGATCGGTCCTTTTTTGGTTCCGAGGCTTTGAGGTACAACGTCGTGCGGTCGCCATCTCTACTCTTCGGTCTCACGTCATGAGTAATGAGGCAGGCAAAACCACTGGAAGCTTCATGGTCGCGCACGGGCTTCAACCGGAATAGCGATCTCACGAGAGCGCCTTTCTTGGCGTCCTGTTTTAGGTCCACTAGTTCTGGTGCCGCCGGGCCCTTCGTACCGCGTTCGCCGTAGGCCACAGCCAGATGCCGGTCGCTACAAGCGTGCCTGAGTCGCACCTTCCGCTCAAAAGAGAACGCTCCGCCCGTCAACGGATCTTCGAACTCCAGGATCCACAGCCCTTTGCCCGGGGATTCTTTTCTCCGCGAGATGTGCCGTAAGTACGGTTCTCGTTTCGGGCCGGTCTTCAAGCGAGCATTCGTCGAGGCCACTAACAACGTATCGTCTTCTCGATGGAACAATCGGACGAACTGCAGGGCATCGACCGTACCTGTCGCGGCTTGGCCCGGGGCGCGCTCCGCGAACCTCGTTACGGTCAAGTTGTGCGTACTACCAAGAGCCAATGCGGCCTCGTTATCGGACGTCGGTTGCAGCCTCGCGGGATGGTTCGGCGACAGCGTCAGAGCCTGGGCCTCCAGTCGCACGCCGTCGCCGTCGAAGACCGGCGTCCCGAGACCTCGAGCCCGATAGCCCGGCGCGATGCGAAAGCGGCAGTATTTTGACCTCTCTAAATCAGTGGCTAGAGATAACCTCAAACAACCGCCACCACCTTCTGCGGGCTCGCCATCACCCCGTAACCATCGCCCGGTAACCACGTGCCTAATATGAAACTCCTCGCCGTACTGCGCCGTATCCTTCAAAGCACCGCTCTCGACGTCCTTCACGACGGCGTCGGACTCCTGTTTCTCTTGGACAGCAGCTGCTTTGAGGGCCTTGCGAAGCTCGAAGGCATCACCTAATCTCACAAGTCGTTCCCGCCGCCGATAGTCGGAATCGGGGAAGAGCTGCCACAGACAGCCAAGCTTGTAGGTCGGGACGCCGCCGCCCTCGCCGCGCTTGAACGACACGCGCGCGCCGAGCGCGTCGGAAGCCAGGTAGCCGTCCGTGCCATCCCCGAGAAAGACGACATCCCCGACACGCAGCTCTTGGGGTGGGGCGTCCACAATCACTTGGGCGTCCTTCTTCCTCCGACGCTTGGGGCTGAGGGACTTGAGGGTTGCGATGGTGTCCATGGCTGGGAGATGCGCCATGCTTACGTGCGCGTCGGCAGCCCTATGTACAATTATGTACAATGCCCTGCGCCTCGAACGGGCAGGCCCCTCGGCCTCGGAGCGAGCGCTGCCGCACGGCGCTGTTGCAACGCGTGATGCGAACCACCCGATTCTGTCAGGTGCCCGTCGAGGGGTCCGAGGGTTATTTGGGGGGCTAGGGAGGGCTGTAGTGGCTCTGGGGACTGATGCGTTGCGGTGCGGCAAAACCACAGGCAAAACGGGTTTTCTCTGCTTCCGACGCGTAGTTGCATCGTCTTCGGGCGAGTACCCTGTCCAGAGTATTGTTGTATTGCTACCATTACACGTTCGATGACGGTGGCGGCGGCGGCGGCGTCTCGCGGGCGCGGAGCACGGCTCGTGCGTCGCAGTACCTGGTATGGCATCTAACGCACCGCGGCGCGGTGTGGGCCAGTGGGGCGGCGCAGGCGGCGCATGTTGTGAGGATCATCTTGCGTTGGTTTGGGCGTTTTAGTGATTCTCGCGCGCGGGGATCAAATCGGGTTCCTGCACATTTTTATCGCTTTGTAAATTTACTTCGCGGGAATATAGGTCGGTCGCGACGGAGCATCGCTATCATCCTCGCCGTCGTCGGCGCGTTCGGTCTAGTCGTACTGCTCATAGGGTGCGCGGCCTACGCGGGATGCATATGCGTCCACAATCAGGCACACTCCGTCGATAACAGGCCGCCGATGCTCCGGACCGAGGCGAATCCGAACGACGTGGCCGTGGGCGCGCTGATGACCGTGCAGGTCCCGGAGGGCCTCGGGCCGGGGAGTGTTTTTCCAGTGGACGTGCCCGGTCGCGGCGCGTGCCGCGTGACGGTGCCGCCAGGTGTCTTTGCGGGGCAGACCTTTACATTGCTACACCCGGACTACGTGGGGACGAGTAACTGAATTGGATTTTACGCAAGGCCCCTAGAACGCCGCCTGGAAGCCCCGCGACCGCGTCTGCTCCTCGCGCTGCAGATTCGAGATCACGTTCCGCTGCGCGTGCGCCGCCTGGCGGTGGTGGTGCCCCAGCGCGTTCACGACCCTCCGTTTGAGGTCCGCGAAGTTCGGAGCTAACGCGACGAGCTCCGGGTTCTGGTCCGCGAAGTGCTTCTGCGCCGACGCCGGCGCCTGCAGCAAGCGCCCGATGTCCTCGTGGACGTCTCTCAGAGCGGATATGACGGCCTCGTCTTCCACGTCGTCCTCGTCCTGCACGTTGAGGTTTTCTGAGGACCCGTGCTGGTCCGAAAACGTGTAGGCCCGGCCCCAGTGCAGGTGGTGCGTCGCGCCCCGGAGCCGCGCGCGAGCATGGACGATAAAGGCTCTTTGAATTCGTAAGTAGCACCCATACCGCCGCATGCCCACATCAAATTCATCAAACATGCCCGTCTCGTGCACCTCCCGGAAGGCGTCGGCCGTTAAGACGTAGACTTGTAAAGCAGATAATGCTCGAGCGGTGTAGTGCCGTCTTCGCGTCTCCTTGTCGCCGCAAACTAAGGTGCAAATATCGTCCCCAATGACGTCATTGACCTCCCGAAAACCCAAAGTAAGTAATGATACGGAGTGCCGCCCGAAGACGGCCGCTTTCCCGGACTGCACGACGTACATATCTGAAACCACGCTCAAGTTGTTCCGGATCAGCGTGTCGCGCTTCATGAAGAGTTTGGTGGTCAAGCGACACGTCAGCGCGACCACAAACCGGTTCTCTTCATATAAAGCGCGACTACATCTATCTTGCGTCGCTCTCGAACCGTAGGACTCGGGCTGGACCCACGATATAGGTACGGTTAACCTCGTACCTCGTTTCGAAGCACCCAAGGGCGACACGGCCTCCGACTGTGGAGGAGCACCACCCTCCAGGTCGTCCTCATCATCAATTCCTTCGAGCTTGTCGTCATAGATGACATCCAACAGTAACCCTTTGCGATGCACATATACGAGTGTAGCCCAGCGCTTCGTGATGCTTTCGCCGTCCTTCCGAGGTGCGGTCGGGTCCGCCGGCGTGTTCACGATGAAGCGCATGCCCGTTTTGAGTTGGTAGGCCCTTTTTAGGGTATCTACATAGAAGGGTAATTGGACCACTATATTCGCGAGATTGTGTTGTGCTACTACTGATAATAAACCAGGAGACAACCTTTCTAGCAATGTTCGATGGTAGTCCTCCCTAAACACGACCTCGGACATGGACATGAACTCCCGCAGCTTATACCGCAGCGCCGGCGGCGGCCGCACTTCTTCAATATAGTTGTTCAACGAGTCGAAGGCCAGCACAAAGTCGTTGCGCACGGGATCCATGTTCGTCACGGCGTTGCACAGGTCTCCCACCAAGAAACTAAGCACGATACACCCCGACATCGTCATCGCGACGTTGAGCCATAGCTCGGCCACACATTCGCCCCACAATTCCCCCTGCATGCAGCCCAGCGTCCACGCAAAGGCCATGGAGTACTGCGCAGCTACCCCTTGCTTCCAGTAGAAGCCCAATACGGTCGGCGGGCAGTAAAAAACGTCCTCCCCGCCGCCGCGCGAGTGCGGCTTGTCACTCCTAAAGCCCGGGTACCTCATGGCGACGTTCCGCAGCACCTGTTTCTGGGTCGCGTCTTTATGCATCCCTTTCAGCAACTTGTCGCCGTCCTTGTCCACACAATTATCCATGAGCAGCACGCCGTCGATGTACCGCAGTAAGCAGGCCCCAAAGTGGATCTGGAAGAGCACGATGACGACGTACTTGAGCACCGTCATCAATTCCGCGCGGATCGTACAGTGCTTCGAGAGTCGAGACATGATCCGAGGCTGCTTCAGTATTCTCAACAACTTAAGTAAGCGAAATAACTTCGCGAGCTTGAAAATCTTCAATTCTCCCGTCGGAAAGTAGGCGAAAGGGATCACAGAAACGACGTCGGGCACCATCCACGTCCGCAGGTAATAAAGAAAGATCTTCTTGTGCTCGACGACCCACTCGCCCGTGTCCTCGTCGAAATAGGCCGTGTTCAACGCGAGTAAGATATCCATCAGAAAGCAGAAATCGACGAATAAGTTGACCACGAAGAGCCCCGTCTGCGGCCGTTCGAGGCGAGGTCTCCTCCCGCCCGTAAACCCCGTCGCCTCCGGTAGAAACGTGATCTCGAAGGGCGCCAGGATCATGACCACGAAGATCAGGCCTAGTATAAGAATATCCCAAGAAGGGCGGGCCATCGGGTTCCAGACTCGACCTGCATTCTTCTCGCGCGGCGGGAAGGGCACCTGGTCCTCCTTTAAGGCGCGCGCGCGTCGTCTTGGGGGTGGTTTTCTGTGGAATTTCGTCGCCGACGCCTCGTCTTCCAGCGACTCGCTCATGATCTTCCTAGAAACCTGTCTCACCAAGCTCATCGTCCTCCGGGCACCCTCCTCCAAAGCATGGGCGGCATCATGAGCAGCGTGATCCACAAAATGCACGGCGCTTTCGGCGCCGTGCACCAACTCGTGGCCCGCCGAGGACAGGGCGTGCGTGAGGCCGTGGTGCCGCGGCGACGGCGCCGGTGCCGGTGCGGGTCGCCTCTCCATCGAGGCTCGCCCGATGCCATCATCCTCGAGGGCGTGATCGGATACCGCCGGGGGCTGGGGCGGGCGGCCCTCGAGCGCTGGTTGTCGCGGTGGCGCCGGCTGCGGCGGGCGGCCGAGGCTCGCGGGCGCGTCGTCGTCGCCGCTGTCGCCGAAGTCCGGCGTGGCGCTGCGCGTCGACGACATCGCTTCCTTGTGGTTCGGCCGTGTTTAACGAGCGAGAGGCGAGCTCGGTCTGCCGTGTTGCCACCGTCAGACTGGGCTGGCTTTTCTGCGATGGGGCTCCTTCGGCCGGGCAGCCTCGACGGTGCTACGTGCGTCGCTGTCGGCCCGCAGGAGCACAGCGCGCACGCGACCGGAGTGCGTCTGCAATTGACGCGCGGCGCTTTGCTCAGCGAAATGGTGCTCTAGTGTCTTACAGACGCTAGCTGTTAACGAGGCGACGACGGGCGACGCAAGGACAGTAGATACACACAAGAAAATTACTCAGGGCCGGAGCCCTTGATAAACGGCGCCGAGGCACTCGAAGTCGGCGGGCTCCGGGACCTCCCTCAACCTGAAGACGCCGCCATTGCAGGCCACGGCCTCGAAGTAGTGGCAGGCCCGCCCCGCATCCTCGTCGTAGGGCGGCACGATGACGTCCAATACGACCGCGCCGCCGTCGCCCGCCCGGAACTCGTGCACATTATTGACAGAGGGAAATAACGCTGCCGGCCCGTCGTCACTCGAGAGCACGCTTTCTGAGCGTCTTGCCTTCCCGTCGGCACCCACGTCAAACGACGTCACGCGCATCGAACCACTGATTACGCTCGAGAGCACCGTCATATTCGGGTGGTCGTGGAGCGGGATCTTCGCATGCGGCGCGAGGACGAACGCAGCAATAGCGTAGTCGGCGTGTTCCACGATACCTAGGTAGGTGCATGCGCCTGGCCTTTGTACGTCGTCTATACTGAGTGCCGCCGCGTCGACGGCGCTCATCGCAGTTAGGAGTGCGTCGATTTGAGGTCCTGGTTTTATGAGTTCTGAGGCGTGGTGTTCCACGGCGTCGCGCACCGCGTTGTGGAGCGCTTTAACGGCGTTCGGTTGGCGCATGACAGTCTGCTTTGCCCTGGCGCCGAGGGCTTGGAGTGCATTCGTGAGAGCGGCCATTCGTCAGGGATTGCGCTGCTCGGGAACGTGATCCGCGTCCTGGCCCCGTAGCCGTCGCTTGTTTGCGCCAGCGTTCGCGTGCGCAGTACACTCTGTGTGCTGTGCAGCTCTGCAAAAACTGAGGCGGCTCTGCAAGGCACAAAGCCCTCACGCGCGGTACTATCTGTGCTCAAACTCGGGCCACAATTCACACAATTCGCGAGGTGCGGAAACGCACAATTGGATCACACTGCGGAGTAGCACCGGAGAGCAGTGAAGCTTGCACAGCTCCTCCTTGCACAGGCAATTACGCCCTCGTCGACGGCAAATCAAACGGCATCGATGGCAGACCCAGCAGCACCCAACGACAGCGATGCCGCGGAGGAGGACGACGAGTGCGAGGGCGTGGCCTACATGTTCGACGCGGCCGCGGCCACCGAGCGCCGGAGCCTCGCGCTGGCCCACGGCGCCGTCTACTATTATTGTCTGGCCGACGACGACGCGGCAACGACGCACCACATCAGCGGCCACAGCGCCTGGCCGGCGGCATTGACCCTGGCGCGGCGCGTGGCCGAGTGCTGGACACCGGTGAATAGCGTGCTCGAGCTGGGCTGCGGCTGCGGCATCGTCGGACTGACGTGCGCGTCGCTGGGCTGCCCGCGCGTCGCGTTCTCGGATCGGGACGGGGGCGCGCTCGACCTGGCGCGGCGCGGCGTGGCGGCGAACGGCTTCGGGGGGTGCACGTTCGACCGGCGCGCCTGGGGTCTCCCGTCAGAAGAGCGGTTTGAGCTCGTCGTCGGCAGCGACCTGATCTACGACCCGGGCGTCGTGGCGCCTTTAATAACCACGGCGGCGACGAGCCTCGCGCCGGGCGGGCGCTTCGTCCTCGCGCAGAGCTTCGCGCTCGGCGACGCGTCGTCCAAAGCGCTCGACGAGGCCTGCGGCGCGCACAAGCTCGCGCTCGAGGTCGTGGAGGAGGCGGGCGAGGCGCGCGTGTGGGAGATGACGGCTCGGTAGTGTGATAACTTTTTGTGGTGTGTTCAACAACAGTTACGTCAAGCGCCCGGCTCGTAGACGCCGTTGGGGTCAAAGCCTATAACCACGACAAAGCACCGGTCGCCCGCGGCCTCGGACACGTAGGGACAGTCGGCGGGCGGCGTCAGCTCGAAGGGGGTGGCGCGCTCGAGCCAGTAGCCGTCCGGGAGCGCCGCTCTCAGCCGCTCCGCGTCGCAGCAGTAGCCGACGACGCGCCGGGGAGGCGCGGCCCACGCGATGTGCGGTACGAGGGCCTCGAGGAAGCTGCGCCACCGGCTGCCGCGGGACGGCGTCGCGACGATGGGAAAGTCGTCAAAAAATACGGCCGAGAACTCATGGATTGGAAAGTTGTCATTGGCGTCGGCGAGGTAGGCCTGCCACGTCGCCGCAACGACCTCGACGCCGTCCGCGCCGTCCGGAATACGTGCGCGGACTCCAGGATCGCACTCGACGACGACGTGGCGCCGCGGCCTGCGGCGCTGGATCGCCGCGCAGGAGAAGCCGAGGCCGTAGCCGATCTCAAGCACAGTATCCGCCGGCGTGACCTCGAGCGCGTCGACGAGCGCCTCCATGTAGGGCCGCTCCCAGGCCATCATGACCACCGACGAGGCACCCTCGGCCGGCGCACCGCACAGCTCGAGCTGCTCGTCGCCCCTCGCGTCGCGCGTGACTCGTATGCGCCGCGTGCCGTCCTCGGCCGGCGCCTTCCGCTTGCGCGCTGCTGCGTCGCGCAGCGCTGCGAGGCGTGCGGCGCGCGGCAGCTCGACGGCATCGCTGCCCTCCGCCTTGTCGGCGGCCGCCGCCTCGACGGCGCGGCGCGTGGCCGACGTCTCGCGCGCCAAAGTCTCACGGCGGGCTCTTACGGTCTCGAGCGTCTTCGCGAGCGCGCCGCGGCGGGATTCTTTCGACGTCTCGTCGCGTCCGGCGGGTGTGTCCTCGGCATCACTGCTGGCATCGAGTGCGGCGTCCAGCGAAAGCATCTATTGCTGGGCTATCTGGTCCAGGCGTGCGATGCGCCGCCTTTCACAATCGATGCTGGTCTGACGACGAGCAGCGCTCACTTTTTTGCTTTGCTTGCTAGTGTCTTACCTGTACAGGCCGCTAGCGCGCGGGATTTCCAGTGTTTCCTAGTATGTTACATGACGCTAGCTCGTTTTTTGCGGCTTTTGTCCTCCTCGAGCGTTAAACTAGGCCGTGGTACGCATTGAGAGGTGCAAGACACTGCCAGCAAACCATCGCTGACGAATCGCTGACGACCAACAGCGGGAGCGAGAAGTTTGGCTGGTGGGCTGCTGCAGCCTCGATTTGGAGCAGCACCTGTAAATCGCTGCAAAAACAAGATGACGGATGCCGAAGCCGCAAAAGCGGGCCTCGAGAAGGTGACGGACTTCGTGGAAGACAAAGGCGTCGACGGCGCGCGCGCGAGCGAGGCGCTGTCCGCGCTCGCGACCGCGGACGACGCCGCCGCGCAAGCGAACCTCGAGCGGGAGCGCGCGCTCGCCGCCGTGAAGGTCGACAAGGCCGACGTCGACCTGGTGGTGCAGGAGCTCGAGGTCGACCGGGCCGTCGCGGACCGCGAGCTGCGCGTGCAGGGCGGCGACGTCGTCAAGGCGTTGCGGGCACTCGTAAATGCATAGTCTTACTCAGTAGTAGGGCGACGCCCGGAAGTGCTGGACCGATATGCCCCGCACCAATGCCGCGGCCGGGCCGTACTCGTCGGCCTCCATGCGGCCCCCGTCCTCCGAGACCTCGCACGCGCGAATTAATTCAAGCCGCGCCGCCCAGGCCGCGCGCCGCTTCCTCAAACAATCCCACGAGCCGACCTTGTGCGCGAAGTGCTGGAACTCGGGATTTTCAAACCTCACGAGCGGCGTGCACTCCACATTCTTGAGATCCGCATCAATACACCAGATGATCGCATTGACGGCGGCTTCGTCGCACTCGTCGGGCCAGTCGGCCTCGACGCGACCTCTATCTCCATCGTTGTTCCTGCAGAAGTAGAAGGACGCCGACCGCGGCAGCTTTTGAGGTGCGTAGTGGTAGGAGCCATAATCATTATCGCCCAGCCCATAATTCCACTCGTAAACCCTATCACCGCTCCGTACGTGCGTGTGAACCCTTAAAGTCAAGTCCTGCCAGTTCGGGAGCCCGTGCGCGCCCTCCGTCCCCCAGGCCCGGACGTGCTCCGCGGTCCAGGTCGGGCGCCGGGTCGCACTCGACCGGCCGCCGTCGACCAGCTCGCGCACCTCCTCCTCAGAAAGGTCGGCGCCGCTTTTGATCGTGCGCTCCTCCGACACCCAGGGGTCCAAGACAAAAAAACGCAGCATGTCGGCCCCGACGCCGACGGGTCCTATCAAACGGTCGTCGTCGTCCCACTCTGTTGAAGGCGCTTCATCACGCGAAACGACGAGGTCCGGGTCCCCCGCCACCAGCGCCGCGCCCAGCGCCCGGAGTCTTTCTGAAAGCTCATTCACGTCACATCGTATCCGAACCCCCTCGAGGACGCGCAGGCAGGCTACCCGCGGAAAGAGGCCCCGCGGCCGTTTCTGGGATGGTTTCGGCCGGTGGCTCCGGTCCGTGAGGACGCGTTCTTCCGGCATGACCTCGACGACGGGCAGGTCGATGCCTGCTAGCATCCGCGTCGCCTCGTCGACGGCCGCCGTCCCGAGTTCCTTGCAGACCGGGGCCAGCCGCCCCAGGAGCTCCGGGTCGCACAACTCCTGGTGGATCGTGCGCACGAGTGCCTTCACGGCCGGCCGCTGCCAGCGCTCCGAGGCCTGGGGGACCATGTGACTAAAGCTGCCGCAGACCATGGCGGCGACGTCCTCGGCCGTCGTCGCGAAGCAGGCGAGGACGCGGTCCATGCTGCTGGGACGTTCGCGGCGATGGCGCGCCGTGGGGCAGCGGATCCCAGGCGCCGGCGCAGGGAGAAGCCGAGCTATGCCGCACCCGCGCGAAACCGGGAGCGCTGGCAGGAGGGACGGACCACTCTCGGACTGAATTCAGCGCTTCCGGGACGCCTATGGCTGAAAATCAAAATCCGTTGCGATGGGGCCGCAGCGCAAAGCACAGCGCTTCGCGCACGTCGCTGCGCGCGAGCAAAGACCTCGGGGCTGCCTTTACCACTGACACGCGAGCCGCCGCGACGCCATCGCATAGGCGACACGGTTCCCACTGCTCAACCCCACATTTTGACATGAGTGCTACCCTGGCCGACTTCTGCCTGCGGCCGGACGAGACGAATCATCGTAGCACTGCTGGGACGGTTCCCCACTGCTCAACCCCACATTTTGACATGAGTGCTACCCTGGCCGACTTCTGCCTGCGGCCGGACGAGACGAATCATCCGTCGCCTGCGAAGCAATACCGGCAGTCGCGGCGGCGCGAGGCGCGGCGAGAACCCAAGCAGCGCCGCGAGCCGATGTACGCCGACGTCGTGGACGTCCTGGCGACGGACGCGGCGGGCCGCAAGTACGGACGACGTCGCTGCGACGACGGCGCGATGTACCTCGGAGATTTCGCCGACGACTGTTTGACGCGCGAGGGCTGGGGCATGCTCGTGTCGCTGAATGGAGATACCTACCACGGCGAATTCCGCGACGGCAAGCCGAACGGCTACGGCGAGATGCGCTACGCGTCGGGCGCGAGCCACCGAGGACTCTGGGAGAGGGGCGAGAGGAACGGAAGTGGTGTGTTTGTCGACGTCGACGGTGCAGTGATCGAAACCCTTTGGAAGGGAGACATGCCCTCGACGGCGGAATAAGTATATTTATCCTGAGATCATCTTCGCGGACGTGGCATGAATATCATTCACGAAGAAGTCGACCAGCCCCTGGTCCTCCTTGCCCCCGAGGCCCTCGCCCAAATTCGCGAGGAGCTTGTCCGGCCCGAACGCCTCGAGCATCGCCACGACCTCGGCGTGGATGGCTTCTTGAGACGAGTCCGGCAGCAGGAGTTTCGGGTCGAAGTTGCCCTGGAGCACTTGGGAAGCACCTAACGCATCGCGGCTCTTTGAGCGGTGGGCTTCCCCATCTAGCGTGATGACGTCGTAGCCCGCCTTCTGGAGTCGCAGGTTGACCGACAGAGGGTCCTCGACACCTCTAGCGAAGACCAGCAGAGGCACGTCCGGATGTCTAGCTTTCAGCTTCGACGCCAGGGCTTCCAGATGCGGTAAAGCGAGTTCCTCGAACATTTTGGCCCCCAACGTCATGCCCATCGCTTCAAAAACTTGCAACGCGTGGGCTCCCGCGTCCGCCTGGGCCGACAGATATTCTACGACTAGGTCCGTGTAGGCCTCCAGCAAATTTTGTGTGCTCTGGGCGTTCTCCTTGCTGAATTGAGCGCCAGGCGCCTGGTTCTTGGAAGAACCACCTACAGAGTAGAAGAACAGCGTGTAGGGCGCCGCGGAGAAGCCGAGTAGCGTTCTATCTAAGTTCTCGGCCAATTGCGCAGACCTAATCTCCTCGACGCCGCGCGTCACATGCTTCAGTCGCTTTGCTACAAGTGAAGCAGGATCCGCCCTCGCCTTCGCCGCGGCCTCGTCCGCCATGGCAGCGGAAGTCAGCGGCTCCGGCACCACAATACCAACACCGCCCGGCATCTCGACGCGAATGTCGAGCGCTTGCGGAACCACTAAAATATCACTGAACAAGATGGCAGCATCGACCGCATACCGCCTAAGAGGCTGCATCGTCACCTCGGCGACGTCCTTCGGGTCGTCTAACAGCTGGAGGAAGTGCTTGCCCGTCTTGGCCTTGTAGTCGCGGTACTCTTGCATATGCCGGCCCGCCTGGCGGAAGAGCCAGACCGGGGCCCGCTCTACTTGCTCGCCTCGTGCTAGTCTTAATACCAAATCGTTCGCCGGTGCTTGTAACGCTGCGGCCGTCGCCGCGCACAGCAATGCTTGGCGCATCTTGCTGCTTGAAGCTTTGTTAAGCGATAATTGCTGCAATGACGCGGTGCGTTATCGTTTCACGGCTGTTACCGCTCGCAACGATGTGCTGCACCGGGTCAGCTTGCAGCGGTAATGTCGATCCTACGACGCAGCAAGTGTAACTAGCTAGCGTGCTAAGATACTAGCAAGCAGAATCTGATGAATTGTACGCACGTTAAACTACCGTTGCTAAACATCGCCGGGAAGTGTGCTGAGCCGGTTCTAATAAGACGGAAGTATGCTGTTATGAAAGACGCGGCCCGTCGTCGAGCCGGCGAGGCGCGGAGTCTTCCAACCCGGGGTAACGCCATCGCCGCGCAAAAGACTACTCTACTTGCATATTAAAACGAGTCCAGACTCCGCCCCTCCTGCACCACCAACCGCCCGAGGTCCTTCGAGAGCCGCTCGAGGTACTCAGCGGGGAGGTCGTCCTCATCACCACTGTCGTCGCCTTCCTCGCGCACGGGCGCAAGGCGCACGGACGACGCGCCGTCGACGGGCTGGCCCGGCGCGCGCCAGTCGACGCGGCCGCTCGGCGACCGCGCGAAGACCTCGTCGCGGTCGTCGTTGTCGTCGTCGTCGTCGGTGGGGTCGGCAGACACGCGGATGCCCAGGGCCGGGAGGTCGACGGTGCGCGGTGGCGGCGGCGGCGGCGGCGGTGGAGGCTCCACGGGCATCTCCCGCGTATCGTCGTCGTCCCAGGTTTTTGCGGAAGAGAATGAGGAGAGCTGCTCCGGCGATAGGTTACCAGTGAGGTCGTCTTTGTGCAGCGCGTGCGTGGCCCGTAATTTGTCGACCTCCCGCCGCACGGTCTCCCTCAATAACAAGAGGCCCTCCGGATCCACCTCGAATTTCGATGCTAACATTTCAGGATCAAACGCCGCGTCGGCGCAGATGCCCGGTACCAATTCGGAGACCAGGTCGTTGTACCGCTGCGCCCGCAGCCCGTTCGCCGCGAGCCGCGCGAGGAAAGCTGACAAATTCTCGTCGGCCACATCAAGGACCGCGTCGGCCACCACATCGACCAAGCGCGCGACGGGGTCCGGCCGCTGCTCCTTAGCTACCTCGCCCTTGGTGTCGCGCCGCATGGGGCAGTCGTCGACCGAATGGCCCAGACCCCCACAGAACGGGCAGGGCTCGCCATCACTAACATCGCTCTCGTCGCTCTGCTCCCAGCCGGCCATGAACGCCGCGTCCTCCTCAGTCCACTCCGTGTCGACCGCCGCGTCCTCGCCGGGTGCTTCCGGCGGCGCGGCGGTCGCGGCACTGGCGGCGCGCGCGCGCGGCGCGTCGGGCAGGGACTCCGGCGGCGGCGGGTCGTCTTTGGTGAAGGTGAGTTTCGTCATCGCTTGGTGTTTTGCTTGGTGTGCGCGGAGCGCTTTCGCGGAGCACCGAGAGCGCTCGCGTGCGGGAGTCGAGGCGAGCCTTTTTTCTTGCGCGCTCCGATGCGCGCAGTGAGATGCTGCGCTCTGCCGCGCTCGCGCGCTGTCTATGCACGCGTTTGCTGCGAGAAAAAGGCCTCTCGCGTCTTCCGGCTGAAAACAGCGCTTGCGACGACTCACCGCGGACCGCTTTATGGCTGGGTGGCTTGCGCCGTCAAACAAGTGTCCCGCCGCTCACAGCGCAGTCAAATGCAAGTGGCCGGCTCGCTCAAAAACGCTCTGCGGCGCTTGCAACGAGCTAGCGGCTGTAAGACACTAGCAAGCCATCAGAGCGACTTCTATCCCCTCAAGTTGTGTCTAACCCAACTGAAAGAGGTCGACGCGAGGACTCATACACACAGGAGGCCACGAAACCCGTGCTCGTCGTTGCTAAACTTGCGTGCGCTGTGGTTCTCGCGAGACCCGACGCTGCCCGAAGGTCGCGAGCGCCCGTCGTACTCTCGGCGCCCTCCGTCGCGCTCCGCCACTCGAAAGCCGCCGCATTACGAAGGCAAAAAGGCTGCCCGATGAAGCAATCTACCGCCATGCTCCTCGGCATGCTCACGTCGAAGATGAAGCAGATCGAGGACATGTCGACGAGCGCGCGGGCCATCGCCCTCACGGCGTCGACCGCTGGGACAGGAATTTTAATGTTCACGAAGGCCCGGAGCGACGTCGCGTCGGGCGTCACGGGGCGATTGCACGAGCAGGCCGCCGCCGCCGCCGAGTATTTGGTGTGGAGCGACCGCAGCGCGTGCGTCCGCGCGGGGATTGATCAGGGTTTTATTGATGAGGCGTGCTGGCTCGATTTGGTCGGCGAGGCCCAGATGATCACCTACCAGAAGGTATTGCGGGGGAGGCGGTACTGGTCGCCGGCGAACATGTTCCGGTGGATCCCGTCGTATTCTATCGTCGAGATCCACGTGCGCGAGGAGCTCACGAAGGTCTTGAAAGCGAACAAGCTGCGCGTCGCCTGGGACGCGCGGGAGGCCTCCTGTGCGCGCGTCGAGCGGAAGCTCGAGAAGGCGCGGCGCGCCCGCGACGCCGTGTCAATCGCGTTCTTCGAGAAGAAGCGGGGCGAGCAGCGGTGTGAGGCGGCGGCGGAGTTGTGACCCGCACGCGTCGCCGCGGCGTTCCTGGGCAATACGAAAGGTGTAATATTTCAAAGCGAGTTTACAAGCGGAAGGGGATTCAGTCAGTGGCCAGTCGATTTATGGCCTGCTGAGGCTGAGGCTAGTTACGTCGCAGGGTTCCCCGTACCCCTCCCGCCTAGGGTGCAATTTACGTGGAAAAAACGCGTAAGTTACACGTAAAGCACCGCTACAGGAGATCCCACGTAAAAAACGGCGTAAAAAAGGAGGTATCCAAAAGTCCTTCCAGGGCTCTTCCCGAAGCCGGCGCTAGCGGCCCTTTAAGACTCTAGCTCGCGATCAGCACCTCGCAGAGTGTGGCTGCCCCAAACGTTGTCAGAGCCGAGCCAATTGCTAGTTGCATGCTGTTGCGAGCAAGGTGTGCACTCTAGGTGTAAGCTTATGCGCCGTGCTCGTGCTGCTATTGAGCTGCGTGGCTACCAAGGCCTTGTTTAGGCGCTCTGCCTGCGTGTGTGCGGGTTTTATAAATAAATGCACGCGTAAATTACGCGTAAATTACGGCGTAAATGACGCCGGACCGTTTCTCACGTAAAGAACGCCGTGCGTAAATTGCACCCTAGCCTCCCGCTCCCCCCGGGCCCACCCGTCCGGCTGGACTAGGACGCAAGCCTGCTTGCTAGTGTCTTACAGGCCGCTAGGTCATTCTTCGTTCTTCATGGATTCGGGCTGCTTAAGTTCTAGCACCGTAACAATGAGCGTCCACGGGATTCCAGGCCAGCCGGCGGATTTTCTTTTTGCGTCTACTACTGGCTACTTAGCCGTTACCGTCACCACCACCGCCCCGCCGCCCCCGCAGCCACCGGCTCACAAGCGCCACGGCAGGGCCGCCAGCAAAATAGACGGGCAAAATCCAGGACTCCACGCCCAACACGTCCGGGCGGCCGTAGGCGTAGAGGTGGCCGAAGGGCTCGGCGAAGAGGCCGCCGCCGCCGAGCAACGCTACCTCAATCGCCGGTCCACCGACGGCCGTCGCCGCGCCGGCGACGAACGAGGCCAGCGTCGGGTCATTTGTTTTCCAGAGCAAAAGCGCGAGGGGCCACAGCACGAGTGCCTCCGTCGGTGGCGCGAGGCCCGTCGCGAGGAGCGCCGAGAACGCGTACAGCGCCACGAAGGCCGCAACGGCGCCCGCGACGCGCCGTCCGCTCGGCGCCGCGAGATTTTCCGGCGGCGGCCTTTGTGAACTCACGACCGCGTCGATGCCGCCTATTATCAACGCCGCGAGCGCGAACAGGGGCGGCACCCAATACGCCGTCTGGAAGAGGTGGCCGCCGCCCCACCAGTCCGGCGCCGGCCCGAGCGCTATTTGATATTTCGTGTAGCCCAGCACGCCCGCCGCCGAGTGGAAGTTGTCGCAGACGGGACCTAGTGCCGCGCCGGCGAGCGCGAGGCTGGCGAGCCATTGCGCCGTCGGCGCCTCCTCTGTTTCTGCTGGTGGGCTCGCGCGTAGCGACGTCACGCGGTGCGGCCGCGGCGTTTGCAGCGACGTCGTGCATTGCGGCCGCGGCGCTTGCAGTGCATGTGACGCGTGCAGCGCGCATACGACCAGGAGGATCGGGCGCATCACTGCGCTGAAATCAATCGCATGCGCAGTGGCTGCACCTGGCAGCCTCAGCAATACTACCTGTTCGCGCAAGGTAAGCGAGAATTCGTGGCGGCACTGTGCAAAGCACTTGCAGAGAATGTCTGCAGGCTCCGTGACCCTCCGCAAAGCCTCTGTAGCCGCCAAAAAGCGGCAAGCTCTCAAGCACAAACCCACAAACAGCAGTCGTTCAGAGTGTGTTTTGGAGAGTTGTAATCCTCTCACAAGGTAAAGGAAGCGTCCGGGGTACGCGTGAAAGGCCTCCGAGCGCTAGCGGCCAGTAAAGACACTAGCAGCTCGACGAGACCATCTCGATCGCGCGCGGCTCTCGCGCGCTACCGAGCCACCGCTGCAAAATCAACAGCGACGCGACGCGCCAGCTTCGCAGCGATCGCCAGAGCCGCAGCGCTGCACAGACAAGGTGCCAGCGAGGGTACCAATACACACAAGGCGCAGCAGGCCACTCCCGCGATGATCATCGTCAACGCGGAAGCGGTCGAGGCGACCGCCGCCACGCTCTCCGCCGCGGAAGCGTTGGAAATCCTCGCGCCGGGCGCAAACGCCATCACAAACGAGGAGGCCGCGTCGCTGCGCCAGATCGTCGCCGCGGTCGCGACGCGCGACCCCGCGACGGCGCAAAGGCTAGCGGCCAAGAAGCCGCCGCCGCCGCCGCCGCCGCCTCCCCAGAACGGGAGCGCGGCTTCTGACCTAAAAGCGTTCCTCGAGACCGCCGATTTAGGAAGGTACGCCGACGCTTTAGTGGCCGCGGGCTGCGCTTCGGTTGCTCGATTGAAGGCCATGCCCCAAGAAGAATTAAAGAACCTCAAAGACCCGCGGACCGGCGGGCGCGTCTTGGCCGTCGGCGCTCTTGCTAGATTGCGGAGGCAGCTCAACGCAAGTCCGACGCCGCCGCCCGCGCCCGCGGCGCCATCAGGAACAACCCCAGAACCGGCTCTCACGAGGCACCTCGCCGACCTCGGCCTGGACCGCTTCGCGCCCGCTTTGGCGCGCGCCGGCATTTCCACCGTGGAAAACCTACTAGACGTCGACCCGAAGGACCTGAGGAACTTGGTGGATCCCGAGACGGGCCAAAAAGTGTTGGCTGTGGGGCCCTACTCGAAATTGCGGGCGTCGCTCGAGAAGCTGCGGGAAAGCGCGCCGCCGCCTCCTCCTCCACAGCCTGTTCCTGTCGTGACGCGGCGCGCGCCCCGCGTCCTTTCTCTCAACCACGCGCTTCCCAAGCGTTTCTCCGCGACGACGCGAGAGAGCAGTTGCGTCGATGGCGTGGAGGCCGACCGCATAACGCCTTCACGAGCGTTTCTCCGCTGACGAGTGAGAGACGCGTCGATGGCGTGGAGGACGACGCGCGCGGCGAGAGCAGACGCGTCGACGGCGAAGAGGCCGGCCGCGAGAGACGCGCGTCGAAAACGCACAGGCAAGAGGCCCCCGACGCCTTCGCCGCCTTCCTCGCCGAGGCCGGTTTAGGACGGGTCGAGGAGCCGCTGAAGCGCTGCGGCATCTCGACGTTACAACAGTTGCGCGACACGCCGGCCGCGGCTTTGAAAGCGGCCGTCGATCCCCAGACGGGGTCGCGCGTGCTGGCGGTGGGTCCCTTGTCGAAGCTGCGGGCCGCGCTGCGGGAGCAGGATTCCGTAAGTGAAGTGCCGGCGGGCGTGGTCTTCGCGGCGTCGGATGGCGACGCCTGCGCCGAATGTTTGGATCGAAGGCTCTTCGCGTTTCCCGCGTCTCATGCTTCGGTCGTCAAGGCCATTCTGAATGCGCCGGACCGCGGCGCGTCCATCCGCGTCTTCCTCTGGGACGCTTCGAGAAAGCGCCTCCACGGCATCTTCCGGCCCGACGCCGCCGAGGGCGACTCTGCCGATTCTCCAGTGGTGCCGTCCGCCTTCACGAGCGCACCCTGGACGGGCGTCGCGCCGCCGCCCGGAAAAGCCACGGCCCAGACGAAGTTCCCGTGCCAGCTGAGGGTGGCCCCGGTCCGGGCCTTCGAGCCTCTACCTGCCACGTTGGCCGGCTCCGTGCTCCAGTTCGAGCGGCCGGGCTGCGCCGGCGCGCCGGCCTACGACCTCACCGCCGAGCAGGTCGCGACGGTGTCGCGGCTCTTCATGACGCGCGGCGCCTAGGCGCTTTCTCTCTCGTGTAACGAGTGTGGTTGATTTATCCCCGCGTCGATGGCGTTGGCGCCAACGGCGTCGCCGTGATTAGTCGAGGATATTTTTAGGCAAAACTTAGGCGCGGCGCCGGACGGTCGCGGCTTCGCGCTGCCGATTAAATCTTCGTGAACCGCAGGCGGCGGTTCGAGGAGGAAAAGCCCGAGGACCCCCTCGACGCCGTCGAGCGGCGCGCGCGCCTCATGTGCGGCAAGCCCGAGGTCGAGGACGCGGCGACGCCCGAGGAGATCGACGAGGAATTTGACCCGCTGTTAGCGCGCGCCAAGGCGCTATCGCTGCACGCGTCGCGCGTCGCGGCCGAGCTTGAGTCCCAGCCTGTGTGGATATCAACCAGTGAGTTAGGTTACCTCCACGCCATCGAGCCGACGCGGCCACGGGGACAACGTCGCGTCGATGGCGTGGGGCGCCCGAAATTTGATCCCACTCAGGTCCCAAATCGCCGCCGTCGGGCGGTCGGCGGCGCCCGTCGAAACAGCACCGGCGCCTGCCGTCGTCGTCTCCAAGGAGGAAGAGGACCTCGTCGCGCGGGCCCGGGCGCTTCTGTCCGACGCCGAACCCGCGCCGGCGCGCGAGGCGCCTCCCGTCGACGACGGCCTCGACGTCGACATGGACCTCATCCGTCGCGCGCGGGCGCTGCGAGGCGCGAGCCAGCTCGCGCGAACGGAGTCGAAATAAGCTTCAATTCATGACTCGGTGTCGCGTCGATGGCGTGTATAGCTGTCGGGTGTAAAGATCCCATCCTACGCGAAGCCGAGGGAGTGGGTCCACACGCGAGCTAGTCGCTGATGCCTCTGCTGGAGTCGCGTAACGTATCCCGTCGACAGCGTATGGGGACTCTACACTGAAACCATCATGATTGCTCACACACGGACGGCGGAAGTACGTAACACAAATAATTCTTAGGTTCCCCAAGCCGGAACTAAACACCAGCAGCAAACCGGTCTTTCTTCGCCTTCCGCGCCGCCTCCTTTTCGATGTCCAGCTTCGAGGGCGACGGCGCGTCCAAATCGCCCGTGTGCGCGGCCGCGTGCCTTCTCACGCACTGCTGCGTCAGGTGATAAGTCTCCTCCTCGGCCCTAAACCTAGCACCACATTGTAAAGGACACTCGACGTACCGCTTCGGGCAGCGGTGCGTCATGTGCCTCGCGAGTCGCTTCACGTTCATCAGCAGGCCACAGCCCTGGGGGCACTTCAACTCCCTCTTTCGACACTCCGTCGTCGCATGGACCTTCATCTGGTTGAGGGGCAGCTCCTTGTAGCAGTTTTGGTTGGGACACCTCACCAGGCGGATCGGACACTTGTCAGATTTGTGCTTGTCCAACTCGTTCGCATAAACTTCGGTACCACATAAGGGACACGAGACTTTCCGTCTCGGACAAGTAGATGATAAATGAGCGTCCCACAACGCTAATTTGACGGGCTGTTGACAATCGTCGCAGTACCTTTCAACGAGCCCGCACCTACTACCAGGCGGCCCGGGCCCGTCCAGATGCATGCGCATGTCGCATTTTCGGATCTTGAGGCCGCATCCCCGCTCACACGGCACCCAGCGGTGCGTGCACTCTCTCTTCAAATGTTCTTGGAGCTCGGGCGGCCGCAATGACACACCGCACTTGTTCGGACACGGCGCCACGCGGATGACGGGACAGTCGTGGGCCTCCGGCGAGATCTTGTCCATGAAATAAAAGGCGCCACACAACTCGCAGGGTTCCGGATCTAAGGGCGTCGGTGGTCTTATCTTTTCTACTTTCGGTCTCATGGGACATCTATAGTCCTTGTGGGTCTTGTAGGAATTTTCAAACACCTCGACGCCGCACCAGTCGCAGACGACCACGCGGTTCTTGCACTCTACCAAATGTTCGGACAAGTCGCCTTCCCTGAAAGTAATACCACATCCCAGAGGACAGTCCATGATGCGCCTAATTTTACAGTACAACTCGAGATGCGCCTCCAGCTCCTCGGCCCACAACTCGGAATCACCACAAAACTTGCAGGTGACGGGCCGCTTCGGGCACTGGGCGTGGTGCTCTTCGTACGCTTGCGGATCGTCCGACTCTTGGGGCACGAACGCGCCGCACCCGTACGCACAGCACACTTGGAGTAACGCGGCGTCGCGCTTCTGCACACTCCCAACGAACGCCTGGCGCATCGTCCTCTGGAGAGCCGCTTGCGCCTCGATGTGGCCCCGCTTGACACAGATGTCCAAGGGCGTCCGACCATCGTCACCTTTCATGTTGGGGTCTGCACCCCGCAATAATAGTAACTCCACGCATTTCGGCTTGTCCCTTTCAGCAGCGAACCTTAATGGAGTCCAGCCCTTCCTCCCTTCCGATTTGCGATTAACATCAGCACCCCTCTCAAGTAAAGCCTCGACGACATCCGCGCGACCCTTGCAAATAGCCATCGTAAGGGCCGTGTTGCCCCATCGGTTCTCCATGTCCACGAGCGGCCTTCTTTTCGGTCGATCCAACAGAAACGCCACCGCTAAAATAACTTCATTGGCATCATTAAGGCACTTTTTGCGCGTCTCCATCGATGTATCCTCACGCGCAGCAGCAATCAACGGCGTCAAGCCCGTCGACGGGTCCTCGTGGTCCACCGGAACAACTCCTTCATCAAATATCTGGCCGATGCGCATGAAGTCGTCTTTTCGCAAGGCCTCCTCCAGGGCGTCGACGGCGGCCCTGTGGGCTTCCCGTTCCTTTCTGGTACGTACCTTGTCGCTTCTCGATTGGATACCGGCTCGGACCGCCTGCAGGTGGCCCTGCCAGGCCTCCTCGGCCGCAATTAGTGTCAACGACCTTGGAGTTTCCTCGTCGTATACCCAGCCGACGCCGTGGCGCCAGTCCATCATTCGTAGGTCGGACGCACCGAACTTGGCGCACTCGTCCACATTATACTTTGGTTTGGGTTCGTCGGGTTGCCTTCGTCGATACGGGAAGTGGGCCTCGGGGTATAGTACCGTTTCATACAAAGAACTTCCACCTCTGAGCAATTTACGTCTTTTGAACGCCTCGAAGCATTCGTGGTTGCCGTTGTAGGCCGCTTCACATAACGGCACGCGGTGGGCGCCCCGCTTGTCTTTGTACACCTGTAGCACCCTAGCTAACTCAAAGCAGTGCTCCGTTTCTCTTCGTGTGCGCATGGCTCGCTCCGTAGCTGATCGAGCATACGCCGACGCTTCGATGCGCTTCCGCTGTTCCTTGCGCCATAAGTGGTGTCTGAAGACGAGCTGGACGACACGACTGGCTTCCGCCAGCACGACGTCAGGCACGCCCGGGCAGGCCCCGTGATCTAACAACTCCTCCACTATTTGTTCTATACCTAAACAGCACGCCCAAGTCAACAGCGAGTGGCCCTGCGGCGTGTACTGCTGCAGCACGCGAGCCGCTCGTACTTTACCTTCCCACGCGCGCACTCTTCTTTTACGGAAAGAAACCTCCTTGATCCACTGGTCTCTTTCATCTCGAACCATCTTCACTCTACTATGCGCCACATACGCGTAGCGCTTGGCAGCTAGTAATGCCGGTGCGCGATCGTCGTCAAAACGACTGCGCAACTGCCTCTCCGTATTCTCCAGGCGTTTCTGCGCATGCGCACTCTCGCAAGACGCGATGTGCGCATTGGCAAATAAAGCCAGTACACCGACGACATGATAGCCCTCCACTTCGGCATTCGAGATCGCGTCGACCGCCGTCCCGGTATCTCCATCCAGCGTGAAGAAGGGCGGCCGGTCGGCGACCTCGTTGGCGTACTTCGCGGCGGCTTTCACGGCTCGCGCGGCCGCTCGATCCTCCGGCGTCGTCCGATCCTCCGGCTTCAGATGCGACTCGTCCGGCTCGTCGTCGTCCTCCTCTTCGACAACCGTTGAAGGTTTCTCAAACTGCCCTTTCTTTTCACGATCTCTTTTGAAACAAGCTTCGTCGCCGTACCGCTCCCTTAGCAAGTCCACTAATTCATCGTCAATCGGCGCACTCCCTTCAGCGAAGAACCGTAATCTTTTCTCGATCGACGGCTTCATCTTCAGCAGCTTCTTGCAGGCCCGCCAGGTCTGGGCTCGTAACTTCACTCTAGCCTTCTTCTCGCGCTCCGTAGGTACGTTCGTCTTCTCGTTGACTTTGAGCGCTTCGGCTCTATTCTTAGCTGTTTCCAGCCCCTCCAGCGCGTCGTTCATCTTCGCCATGGCCTCGTCGACGGCGGCTTTCTTCTCCGCGAGCATGGTCTTGACCTCTTCGGCCGTGTCCGTGGCTTTAGGTTGGTCCGGCAGCGACTGCGCCCTCTCTAACTTCTTCTTGCATTTATCGACGATGACTTGCGCATCTCCCACCGGATCCTCGGGCTTCCTCACCATGCTACCTTCCGGTATTTCCACTCCTAGCAACATACAGCATAAAACAAAGACCCTATAGACCCTATCAGCAACGGCACTACTCTTCAACTCCATCACTTCGGACAGATCGGCACTTTCGATCGTTTTCAGCTGCAACGCGCATCTCCGGTGTTTTTCCGCACTCATGGCATTTAGTCTTTTACGAGCGTCTAGCGTTTGATCTGCCAGGCCCTCGACCAATGAAGCTAGCCGAGAGCAAGACGCCAAGTTGTGCAAGCCTTCCCTTTCCTTCTGCTGAAATTCAATAAGCTCCTTCTCCGAGGCTTTCAAGGAAGTTTGCGCGACTTCCAACAATCTATCTTCTTCAAGTAACTCATTCGACAGCTGTAAAATGCATCCGGTCGTATGCACTTCTCCTTCTTTAACCACTTCGTGGACCGCCGCCAAATCCCCGCGAGTAACATGCGTAAACAACACGGCCATGGACTCCTGGACGTCGGCGTCCCTCCGCATCTGCCTTTGCACGGCTACATGGCCAGACAGCGCCGCCCACTGCAGCGCGCTTTTACCTAATCTATTTCGGTGTTTGATGTTCGCACCTCGATCCACCAAAAATCTACAAACGTCCTGGTGGCCGTTCTTGGCCGCTTCTATTAAGGCTGTTCTTCCCCTTCCTGTTTCTCGGTTCACGTTCACGCCACATCGCCACAAAATCTCAATGTGTTCTAGATTCGCATCTTCACAGGCCTTGGTCAAGGCATTGTGGCCGTCCGATGCTTCTAACTCTAACTCTTGCTGGTTTCTGCTACACGCGTCGATCAAGTGGTACAACAGACCCGTGTCGTTCGCGCGCACGGCAAAGAGTAAAGCCGACGCGTTGTGGACGTCGCATCTCACCAGCCGTTTGTCCTGAGAGACCCACGATCGCAATTCCCGCACACAGCCCTCGGCGCCCGCGCCACAGAGCACCGGTCGGCACGGACAGACGTGCGCATGTTCCTCCCACATGCTCGCCGGAAACGTCGCCAGACAGCCGCCCCCGACGCCCGGCGCGCACTCGACGATGCGCCGAGGACACTCCGTCGTGATGTGTTGGAATTCCAACGCGAACGGGATGTCCGACGCGCCGCACCCTAACCGACAATCCACGAGCACACCTCGTCTTAGGTGCCTCTTGGGGCACTTCTCCTTCATATGTACTTCGACCTCACTTACAAGCATTTTGAGACCGCAGCCGCCGGGGCAGTACTGCTGCTTGGCCACACAGGTCACGCTATGGTCGATCTGATTCTTGCGAAGGACCCACTCGCCGCAGGCGCACTTGTAGCCCGGCGGTGGGGGTTTGTACGTCTTGACCGGGCATTTGAGTAGGTGCTCGTCCATCTCTTCGGCCCACAACGAGCTATCGCCGCAGTACTCGCACGTCACGGGCCGTTTCGGGCACTCGTTATCTCGATGATGTTGATAGGCATCGATGCCCAACTCGTTCAACGGAAACGACGCGTTGCAGCCGTACTTGCACCGCTTTGCCGTCGAACCATAAGCCACACCTGTCTCAGGGTCCACATCTATCGGATTAATGATCTTGCCCTCCATGTCCGGCGGCTTGCCGAAGGCGTCTTCCAGAGATGTTATTCGTGGTCGTGCTTTACCCTCCGGCACTTCCATATCACTATCATCTGACACAAAGGAGCGCGAGGACTGTGATAGTGGCGAGCCGATCGGTTCGTCCGAATCACTATCGTCCGGAACTCGACCGGCGAAGGGTTTACTACAACAACCTTCTGAAAGGTGTTCAGCCATGTCCTTGCCCTTGATGAAGCCGCACTTGTATCCATGGGAATCGATGATCTGTAGCCCCTCGATCTCACAGAGCCGCATATGTTGAGGTGGTCTTGTAGAACAAAAAACTAAGTATTGATCGGAAGATACATCATACTTCCTGAGTTGACCCGTCTCCCACTTCCGGTTCCAGCCCTCTGGTATCAAGTCTGCTGCGACAGCATCGAGGTACTCCCTACGACTGACAGTCCCGTTCCCGTCCTCATCGGCCTTCTCCACGATATCCCGGACATAGTCGATGGTCTGCGGCATGCCCAGCTTCACGAGGGCGTTATAGATCTCAGCTGCAGTTAACTCACCGTCGCCATCGGCGTCCATCATACGAAACGCCGTCTCGGCGGCCTTGTACTGCTCGTGGGAATGGCAAGGGGGTTGTTCATTCGTTCGGAATCGAATACGTCGTCCCAGCATGTCGTACCTACACCTCCGTTTCCGCTCCGGACAACTCCCGGATTCGCCGTCGATGTGGATGCGCACTTCCCTCCGATAACCCGTCCAGGCACACCCGTTCGGACACGCCGACGGATACAGGGGGCAATCTTTGATACAATGCGCCTCCATATCTTCTTCCGCGACGCCCTCGACGCCGCACAAATTCGGGCACTGCACGTGCCTCTTCGGGCAGTGGAAGCGCTCGTGCAACCTCCTACGACTCTCGGGTCCTATGCGCTCACCACACCACATGCATGGTCTAGTGCAAACATTGTTCTCGTGGTGTTCGCGTTCCTCGTAAGGCACCTTCAGCCCACAACCTAGTCGACACCCGACCGGTCTCCTTAAACATTCTTCCTTCATATGCTGCTTAAGATCTTTCGCTCGGATTTCGCGACCACACCCCGGTATGGGGCAAGGCACTCCTCGCCACCTGCACTTCGTGACCTCATGCCTTGGCAACTGTGTCACGGGCAACTGCGCACCACACCCGAGTCGACAAGCCGCTAACCGCATTCTACACAAGAAATTATGATGAGCAGACATCTGCGGGAGTAGCACTTGGACACCACAGAGCTTACAGGCTTTTTTCCGCGCGGGACATTCGGTCTCGTTATGCTGTTGGAGATACCTCAAAGGTAAGGTCCCGCCGCAATTATCGCAGCCCGTCGGCCTCAAGTCGCATTCATTCAACATATGGTAGGTCAAACGACATTGTTGCATGAGGCCGGCGCCGCATTCGCGCGGGCACTGGACGGGCGCTTGGCCCAGGTCCAACGCCACGAGTTCTTGTTTACGTTGTAAGACTCTTGCTTCGGCCATCTCCAAGACCTTCACGCAGTCGTCGCAGTCCGGTGCCGTCTTGGCTAACTCGAGGGCGGTTAGATCCGTACCAGGATCGACATATGATACATTTTCTTCGAAGTCGCGCATCCAGTGCCTTTCGACCACATAAGCTTCTTTTTCCGGTAAATCGCGGCCCGGTTTGAGTAACTCATGTCTCTTCATTTGCGCGTCGAACAGTAATCGGTCCAGGAGGATCTGGCAGCACCGCGCGTGGCCGTGCTGCGCCGCATGGGCGAGCGGTACGCGTTCCTCCAATTTAGATTTGCGTTTCGGGTCGGCGCCGTGCGTTAATAAGAGTTCCACGACTTTGTCGGCGCCGCACACACACGCCCAACTTAATGCCGTGTGGCCTCGCTGGTTCTCGAAGTCGACGACCGCGCCTAATGTTAACAGTTTGTCGGCGAGTTCGACCTGGTTCTCGGCGCAGGCCACGAAGAGCGCCGTGCCTGCGTTGTCGTTTTGTGAGATATTTGTGCGGGCGGGGCGATCTCTCGTCGACGGCGTCTCGGCAGCGCCACCTCGACGCCATCGACGCGTGGCGCCATCAGATCACAGATTTTCAACGCTGAATCACTACCAGCCAGCGTCTCGACGTCCACGTAGTACGCCTCGGGGTCCGGATCAAATTCTTCTTGAGAGTTGTCCGTGATCATCGTCTCGTCGCTATGTCTATTCATGTAGCCCTGGAGTAAATTGCAGGCTCTGACATACTCCTGGCGATCGAAATCTGCTCCGTCCACACAATTTGATATAGTAACTATATCTCTTTCATTGATCGCGTGCTCGACGACGGCCCGGATGCGCCCATTCGTCCGCACGATCCTCTTCAAATCAAAAATGCGCTCCTGAGCCTCGCGGTCCTCCGCGCGCACGCGCACTTCTCGAGACATGGCTTCCTGAATCAGAGAAGCACATCCATCAAACTTCTTCTGCCGGGCCCACTCCAGGGCGTTCCTCCCGCTTCGATCCGTGGCGAACAGTGTTAATAGAGTTTCTGGTTGCGTGAGCAGATACTCGACCTCCGACTGTCTCCCAACAGCGGCCGCCTTCATCAGGTCCGTGAAGACCGGTTTATGAGAATCGACTCGACGCATGGCCTTGCGTCGTCTCCTGACGGGGTTCGCTTCGGTGAGCTCTGACGGCTCATCTAGATGATGCGCCAGTCCGTAGCGCACGCCGCCCGGGCCCCTGATGCCATCTTGTTTCTTCTTGCGCTTCTGCTGGGGTCGCGGGACGGGGCGCGCGAGCGGGTTCGCGGCGACGGCGGGCGGCAGGCTTACTCGGCCCGGTGCCATGTGTGCTGTGGGCAGCCCCACCTTGTGGTTCCTTCAGCCTTCACGTCTCGTGGACCGGGGCGTCTCGCAGCGATGCCGCTCAGGCCGCAGCCCTTTCTATGGAAGGCGCGAGCATGGGTGCCGGGGGCAGCAATGCGGCTGTAGCGCACGGCGGCGCTGGAGCTTGGCTCAGTTTTTTTTTAGCGTAGCGGGCCGCACTCTTCTTCGCAACGGTCGTCGCCCGGTGTGTCGTACTAGTCGAGAGAGGGCTCTGACCGGTTGCGAGCTAGCGGTTGTGAGACACTAGCAAGCCAGACCAAGCAAGCCAGCTCGGCGCTCTCGCGGCATTGATGCCAATTGGTCGCGTGTGCGAGCGCAGGGAGCACGAAATTTGAATACAGATTGCTGCTGGGGCGAGAGACCGCACCAAATTCGCTGTGGCACAAGCTGAGACCAGCTGCCTGAGACACAGCTTACTGCGCGCCACTAGACGCCGTCGCTGCGCAACAGTCGTTACTGTACGCCACCAGTACGCCGTCGCTGCGCAGCCATGCAGACGCTCACGCTGCGCCGACTCGGCGGCGACCCGCCCTGGTACGAGGTGCCGGCGGCCGCGGCGCGAGCGGTGGCCGACGACGTCTTCCAGAGCGACCGTCTCCTCAGGGACGACGGCACGCTGCGCCTGAGCCCGGCGAATCTCTTCACGGCGGCCGAGAAGGTCATCGCACGCGGCGCCACCGTCGTGATCGCGGGCGGCGACGAGGCCGAACGGAGATGCACGCCCGGCGACGCGTCGGCGCTCGCGGACGAGTTCCGCGCCGCTGGGAGAACCGCCGCGGCGGACGCGTGGGAGGCGAAGCACGGCGACGGCGCGTTTGCAGCGATATGGGTCGCAAAACCGCAGTCCGCAACTCCCAGAACCGGCTTGGCCGTCTGCCGCGTCCGCGCGCGGAGCTTGCGGGTCTGCGAGTTCGAGGACGACGTCTCCCTCGCTAGATTGGAAGCCGCATTAGCGGGAGAGGGCTGCCGCGAGGTGCTCGTCGTGTCGACCGACGACGGCGCCGCCGCGGCGGACGTTGCCAAAAGATGCGGGGCGTCAATAACAAAGGTCCCGCCGGCGTCGTACGGCGGACCGCCACAAGAGATCCAGCGCTCGCTCGCCGAGCGCTGCGGCGGCGACGCGGCGGAAGAGGCGGCACGTTCAGTGCCTCCGGTCGCGTTGAAGGCCTGCGCGGCGGTCCTCGAGCGCCTCGCGGCGACGGACCCAGCGACGGGCCCACGCGTCCTGGACTTCGACCTGTCCCTCGACGACCCCACGACCTGCCTGCGGTTGGATGCGGCTACGTTACGAGCGCTGGCCCTGGTCGACGACGACTCGGTCCTCGCGTTGCTGCGCGGGCACGCCGCGACGGCCGCCGGCCGGAAGCGGCTCGAGGCCTGGTTACGACGGCCCCTCGCGGACGTGCCTACGTTAAAAGCCCGCCAGGCCGCCGTGGCTGCTCTTGTGGACGACGAGACGGCGCGGCAAGGCACGCGCCGGGCGCTCAAACACCGCAGCTGCGCCGACGCCGACCGCCTCGCCGCCGCGTTCGCGCGCGAGTCCATCCCGCTGCGCGACCTCGTCGCGACGCACGCGCTGCGCGAGCGGCTCGTGAGTTGTGCCGCGGCTCTACAAGGGGACGGGCTGCGGGACGTGAAGCAGGCCGTGGGCCGCGCCGCGAAGAGCCTGGAGAAGCTCGCGCTACTGGTCGAGGAGGTCGTCGACGTCGAGGCGCTGCCGCGCGTGTCCTGCGTCCCTAGTTCGGGTCCGCGACGAGATAAGACGCCATCGACCACGCAGGCGGCTCAAGGTGCGCACGACCCTCTGCGGCGCGCTCGCGCAAGCCTCGTCCCGCCGCGACGCCGCCGAGGACGCGTTGCACGAGGCCGTCGCCGCCGCCGAAGCGACCCTGTTCCCCTCGCAAAAGAAGCCCGCGAAGCGCGCCAAGACGACGCCGAAGCTGAAGCTCGAGGCCGACGACCAGCGGGGTCATGTTTTAAGAGTGACGAAGGCCGGCGCCGCGGCGGTGCGGAAGGCCTCGCACGTCACTTTGCTAGCGACGCGGCGCGGCGGCGAGGTGCTGTTCACGACGAAGGACGTCGCGAAGCGCGCCTCGGACCTGCTCCAGGCGTCGAATGCTTGTAGTGCGGCATCTGTCGAGATCCTGCGCGAGTGCTCGAAGGTCGCGGGGACCTTCCGGGCGCCTCTACGGAACGCGGCGCGGTTGGTCGGCGACGTCGACGCGTTGTTGGCACTGGCCGAGTGCGCGTCGCAGCGGGCCTGGACGCGGCCGACGGTCGACGGCAAGGCATTGACAATAGAGGGCCTGCGGCACCCGCTCGTGGACGAAGCGGTCTCGGACTACATCCCTTCGGACGTAAAGCTCGGCGGCGACGGCGCCAAGAACCGGTGCTGGCTCGTGACCGGTGCGAGGCAGCGTCCTTTCCGCTCCGAGGCTCGCCGCGTCGACTGTGGCGCCGCCGTGACGCCATCGACGCGACGCAGGTCCGAACATGGGCGGCAAGTCGACCTTCGCGCGCGCCGCGGCCCTGGCGTGCGTCCTCGCGCACGTCGGGTCGTACGTGCCGGCCGATGCGGCGGAGGTGCCTTTATTAGATCGGGTCTTCGCCAGGGTGGGCTCGGCCGACGACCCGCGCGCGGGCCAGTCGACGTTCGTCCGCGAGATGCGCGAGACGGCCGCTATTTTGAAGAACGCGACGCCACGGAGCTTCGTGGTCGTCGACGAGATCGGGCGCGGGACGTCGACGACGGACGGAACGGCGCTGGCGGCCGCCGTCTGCGAGACGCTGTGCCGGGGGCCGCTGTCCATCTTCACTACACACTTCTACGCGCTCTGTGACTTGGAGGCGACGACGGACGGTTGTGTTAAAAACTACCACGTCGACGCTCTTGTTGATTCGGAGGAGCTGACGTTGTTGTACAAAGTGGAAGCGGGACCAGCCACCAAGAGCTACGGCATCCACTGCGCGCGGCTCGCGGGGTTTCCCGCGGAGGTTGTTGAGGACGCGGCGGGGCGGTTGGCGGCGCTCGAGAAGGAGGGGGCGTAACTGTTGTGCTACTGACTATTTTTTTTTTTTTTTAGTGTTGGGGAAGGGATGGGGGAAGGGAGATCTCGTCGTGAGGTTGGTGCGCTATCAGTCGCGCGTGAAGGTCGTGTACCACTGCTTGTCCTTCTGGCCGTCTTCGCACTGGCCTATGTCGATGTTGCTGCGAAGATAGCACTCGACCGTGCCGTTGCCGTCTCCGGTCCAGGCGACAGTGACGCCACCGCAATCACTCTTGTCGGACTCGAGGCACTTGTCCATGCACGCCGCGATGGACAGGGTACCAACTGATTTCGAGCTGCCCGACGCGCCGGCCCCCTCGTAACAGTTCTTAAACCCTTGCGACGTCCACTTGCCCGGCCACAGGTTCCCCAAGAGCACGTAACCTTGGCCCGGCACTTCGACGTCGTAGGTGTCTCCCAGGGTGGACAGCTGCTTCCCGGTCATGAGGTCCGTCGGCGACTGACCGATCGCGGCCGCCGGCATGGTGACAGAAATCGTCTGTTTCTTCGGGCCTAGGTTGTAGACGGCTATGCCCCCTTCACCCGTGCCGATCGCGTCGTATCTAAGAATCGCGTACCCGTCGTTTTTCTTGTCCACGTCGAGCGGCGTCCGCAAAGCGAGCGACTTGAAGGCGGAGGAGCTCTCCAGGGCCCAGAAGAGGGACTGCATCGCGGGTTCACCTCCCTCGAACGGGAAACCGTAATTCCACCACTCAACGTCCGCAACGTAGCCGCCCCCGACCGTCACCGCCATCGCCAGCTCGAGGTACTTCGACGACTCCTCAGGCATGCCCTCGCCAAACCTGTCCACCGAAGGGCCCGCCCGCCCGAGCGCCACCGGACAGAACTGAGGCTGAGTAAAGTAGCATTGGGCAATATACGAATCGACGCCTCCCGCTTGACTGAACACCCCATCTAGTAACGACCCCCCCACACCTCGGACGGCGTCGGCGATCTGCGCCCCCCACGTCATGTCAGAGTCGTCCGCGATGCTACCGTCAAGACCATACGCGACAGTGCGTTCGGGCACCGCGTAAGGGGACTCCGCGAAGGCGGCGACCCTGCCCTAGGTAGGCGACATGAAGTTCCCGCCCTGGGTCAACTTCTATTATGGATATTTTACCGAAGATAAAGAGCTTTACCTGGAAATGGCGCGGTTCGGGCCGAACGGTTTTATCGAATATGCTTACGGGGACGGCACAGGCGAAAACGGCCAGCTGTTCTCCCCCGTGACCGATGACTTTACCGGGCATACGTGGTAGACACTCCAACAGCAGCAGAGGAGTTGAGACGTCTCCCCCGGCTCATGATGAAAACTGGTTGAGCGCTGCCAAAGAAGCACCCCCCCCCCTCCCCTCCCCGATCCCCTCCCCCTACTAAGTATCATTATACGCTAAAGACCCGGCACCTCGCGCTAGTACGTACCGCCTACTCATACACGACAGATATATACTTCGAGGGAGGGCACGCGCCACGACCTACTCCTGGCTCTGCAACGCCGTGATCACGACCGTGTTCACGATGTCCTCGACCGTGCAGCCCCGCGAGAGGTCGTTCACCGGCTTGGCGAGGCCCTGCATGATGGGCCCCACCGCGATGGTCTTCGACGCCTGCTGGACGGCCTTGTAGCCGTTGTTGCCTGTGCGGGGAGACGCCATCGACGCGACGGCTCCTCGACGGCGCGGCGTCGCGGAGCAACGAATTTCCACACCGCTCACGAACCCGAGTTCAAATCCGGAAACACGCACACCGTCGCGTGGCCCGCGACCTCCGAGTCGGACCCCTTGTACTTGATGGCCGCGACGTCGGCGTCGACGGCCGCGTCGAACTGGATCGGCCCCTCGATGGGGTACTCGCTGCACAGGCTCTTGGCTTTCGAAGTGGCCTCGCGGATCGTGTCGATGAGCGCGCCCTGGTTCGAGTCGCCCGACGCGTACGAGAGCATGGCGACGCGCGGCTCGACGCCGAACTGCTTGGCCGTGTGCGCCGACGCGACGGCGATCTGCGCCAGTTCGTCGGCCGAGGGCGCGACGTTGATCGCGCAGTCGCCAAACACCTTGACGCCGTCGTTCAGCAGCATGAAGAACACGGACGACACGATATCAAAGCCCGGCGCCGTCTTCAGCAGTTGCAGCGCCGGCCGCATCGTCGCCGCCGTACTATGACAAGCACCGGACACCATGCCGTCGGCCAGCCCCAATTTCATCATCATCGCGCCGAACGTGTTCGGGTCGTCGCGCACGAGCTCCTTGGACTTCTCCAAATCAACACCTTTGTGCTTCCGCAGCTCGTAGAAGCCCTCTGCCAATTGATCGAAGAGCTCCGCATCGCAAGCCTCGGGGTCGATGATTTTGACATGTGTTTTTGCTTCCTCGGAGATGACGACGCCGGCCTCGTCGGCGACCGCTAAAATCTCGTCCCTGTTGCCTAGTATTATGAGCTCCACGAGGTTCCTCTCCAGCAATTCGCCCGCCGCGACGACCACTCGCCGGTCGTTACCTTCCGGTAGTACCTGTGTGAGTTAGGTTATGGAAGCACGTCGCATCGATGGCGTGGGGCGCCTGAAATGTGATGTCCACACAGGGCCGCACGATGCGTTTGGGATCCCGCCGCGCCTTCGTGAACAGGTGGTGCTGGAACAGCTTCGGCGTGATGACCTCGTACTGGTCCGGAGGCGCGCCGAGGGCGTTCCTAAATCGGGGTTCGAGGTAGCGGTCGAACAGCGTCCGCGCGGCGTCGAGCTTGGAGTGGGACGTCGGCAGCATGCGCGGCGTCGTCGTCGAGACCTGTGTGGAAATCAACCAGTGCAGGCGTCGCGTCGATGGCGTGGATGCCATGGTTTCCACACAGGTCGACACGGCGTGGGCGATCTGGTAGGTCGAGCCCGCGCGAGCCTTGAGGATGGGGGGTAAAGGGAGCTGCTTCCTGGCATCTAAATCAGCCAACACGGCGTGCGTCTCTTCCCCCACGGCGGGGCCCGTCAACAATAAACCGGCGATCGTCTTCAGCCGCGCCGCCAGCGCCACCGCCAGGATCACGTCCGCTCTTCTAGCGTCGACGACCACTAACTGGTGGTTCGAGTCGGCATTGTCCAGGTGCGTGAGCAAATTGGCCACATCCAAAGTAGCGATCGTCATCGAGTCCACCCGCTGGTTCTTGAACACCGACTCGCAGCCGTATATCAAATCCGCACCGACGGTATCTGCGATCTCCGCGACCGTGACCTTCTCGAAGGAGTCGTCGTGGGGTAACAACGCGGCCGTTTCAATACCGAGACCTTTGAGCTGGTCCCGCACCTTTTCATGAGTTTGATCCGGAGGTAAGTTCGCGACGACGACTCCGGCCAACCGCACGGCGTGCTCCCGGAGGTCCGACGCGACCTGCGCGAGCTCCGCGAGCTCGTTGTCTCCGAGCTCATCGTTCAGATGCTCTGGTAAAAATTCGCCGGTGCCGTCGGCGTAGAGGCCGTGGACCCAGCACACCGGGGCCTGCATCGCCGCCGCGATGCCCGACGACAGTTGTAATCTACCGGCAGAGCCGCCGATCGCCGGCCGCGACACGAGCACGAAGTCCCGACTCTCACGATACGCGAGATACTTCGTCAAAATCTTCTCAATAAGTGTTTCTTCATCATTGGCGGCGAGCAGCTTGTTCGCCTCGGCCTCGGTCACGCCGTACCTGCGTGCAAATTAACCAGTGAGCCAGTCAAGTCCAGCAGTGAGAGAGTCGCACCGCCACGCCATCGAGCAGGCGTCGCGTCGACGGCGTGGAGCAGAAAGGACGCCGCGGCGCACATCGCCTCGACCGGCACGTCATCTAAATCAAACACTTCCCGAAACAGCGCCAGCTTCCGATCCACAAACCCGTGGTGCACCGGCCGGAAGAAGCCTACTTTCTCATGGGCCGTCATCGCGGCGAACATCAGGCCCAGCTCCGCGGGCGCGGTCGCGCCGCCGCCGTCGACAAATAACACGCTGCCGATGGGCGGCGCCGCGTCTTTTGACGGCTCGACGATCGGTTCTTCCACGACTCTCGGTTTTTCAACTTGAATCAGGTCCGCGACGGAGGCTGTTTGTGAAGCAATTTCCAGCTCCTCGTCCGTCGGTACGACGTAGACCTTCGTCGACGCGAATTGTGTAGAGACGTCTACTACTGATTCACCATCAACGGCGAATTGATTTTTCGTGTCGTCTATTTCACATCCTAATAAACCTTCCAGATCCGCGCAGATGCGCCTCCTAGCATCAGCGTCGCCCTCGCCGATGCCTCCGCAGAACACAATCGCGTCGACGCGGCCCTTGAGCTTGACGGCGTAGGCTCCTATATATTTCCGGCACCGCTCGACGAAGACGCTTCGCGCGAGCGCCGCGTCACTATCACCTTGTTCTGCTAATTTAGTGATGGCCCGCATATCTGAGGCTAAACCACCACTCAGCCCCTTGAGGCCGGACTCCTTGTTGAGTAATGCGTCGAGATCGGACGTCGAGTAGCCTCGTTCCGATAGATAAGATAGGACGCCCGCGTCGACGTCGCCGCACCGCGTGCCCATGACCAGGCCCTCCAGCGGCGTCAGCCCCATCGTCGTGTCGATGCTGCGCCCGTGCTCGACGGCGCACATCGACGCTCCTGACCCAAGATGGCAGACGATGGCGTTCACGGCCGACACGGGCTTGCCTAGCGCGGCCGCGAGCTGCTTCGTGACGTAGGCGTAGGACGTGCCGTGGAAGCCGTAGCGCCTTATGCCATGGTCGTCATACAAAGACTTGGGCAGGGCGTAGCGGTACGATTCCGGTTGCATTGAAGAGGTGTGGAAGGCCGTGTCGGGCACCTGTGTGGAAATCAACCAGTGATAATTCTTCACTAACTCTTTTGCTGGCTCCGTCGAGCGGTGAGGAACCGACATCGCCACGCCATCGAGCAGGCGTCGCGTCGATGGCGTGGAGGTCGACGCGCCGATTCAGCACGAACGCGACGTAAAAATGTTGATTTCCACACAGGTCGTCACGACGACGTGCGGGACGTCGCCCCACGTGTCTCTGGCAAATCGAATGCCGAGCGCGTTCGCCGGGTTGTGGAGCGGGGCTAACGCAGCACAGGCGTCGACCTCGTCCACGATGGCGTCGTCGACGAGGGCCGGGCCTGCGTGGGGTCGCGTCGATGGCGTGCTTCCGTGTAGATCCGATAGGACACCGCGCCGCACCTAGGATCGCCGCGCCCCCATGAACAACGCGGTGGCCGACAGCGGCGATCGCGCCCGGTAATTGGGGAGCCAGCGCGTCCCGGATGCTCGCGAGGGCTTCACCATGGCCCTTGATGTGTAAATCAGCCACATCTCGCTTCACCTCGCCGTCGACCACGAGTTTCAGCCGCGAGTGGTCGCTGCCGACCTCTTCCACGATGCCGCTGCAGCGCTCGACGGGAGTGCCGCCGGCCACGTCGAACACCCCGAATTTTATAGACGAGCTGCCAGCGTTGAGCGTCAAGACGAACTTGTTGTTCGCCGCCGTCGAGAAGCTGCGCGATACCAGGCGCGTTGCCGCGCCGGCCAGCGGCCGCGCGCCGCGGACGAGGAGCATTCGTGCGCCTCCCTGAGACTACAGGCAGTGCCGGCCTTCTGCAGCTAAAATCAGTCCAGAGCCTGAGCGATGGCCAATCGCTTCGCGAGCGTGCGCAACTCTGCTGGCTTGACGATATACGATATCTTGCCCAAGGAATGGGTCAGCGGAGCGTCGCAATGCAGCGGTTTAAGATCAATGGCTGCGAGCCCAGGAGCTAGCGGCCTGTAAGACACTAGCAAGCACGTGCGGTGACTTTCTGCTCTCTGAGGATTGATATGGCAAGTTCCGGACTAGCTTAGGCCCGCTATCATCGCAAACGGGGCCCGAGCTGGGTAAAATACCCGCGCGCGCGCGCGAGCGCGTGATGAATCCACTCACCAGCACGCAGGATAGATAGAACACGCTTACGCGAGAGGGAACTCATCAGGCCTCGGCCGGCGCGAGCGCCCGAGCCGCCACGAACGCGCCCACGAGCGCCGACAGCTGGAGCTTCTCCGACGTCGCGGCCGCGCAGCGGTATTCTAGGTCGGCCAGCTTCGCGAGTAGGTGGGCCTTCATGCGCCTTGGCAACTGCGTATCTAGGACCCGCTCATTTAATAAAGTCAAGACGTCAGGTAGAGCATAGCCCTTCAGCGTGCACATGTCGTGTAAGGTTTTGCGAGCATCATTAAATGAATCATTCAACAGCGACTGGAAGACCGCGTCGATGTGCTTGGGGACGGGATTTCCCGTAACTAGGAACAAACTCTCGAAGGTGATCTCCTGGGGATAGGCCACGGCCGCACTTTGTAGGACGTTGAGCACGCGGCGCATGTCGCCCCGGCCCATTTTGAGCAAAGCTTCGATGGCGTCGCGGTTGATGTTCACTTTTTCCTCTTGGATGATGTGCTCCACGCGACCGCGTACTTGTTCCGGATCTAGGGGCGAGAATCGGAACTTCGTGCACCGCGACTGCAGCGCGGGAATGATCTTGTTCGCGTAGTTGCAGATGAGGCAAAACCGGCAGTTCGCCGTGTATTTCTCGATGATCCTTCTTAATGCAAATTGGGCGTCGTTCGTCATCATGTCCGCCTCATCTAATACAATGAGCTTGATACCGCTCGAGAATAACCGGCGAGTACCAGCGAACTCTTTTATCTCGTTGCGGACGACGTCGATCCCGCGGTCGTCGGACGCATTCAGCTCGAGCGTCATGTTCTTGTAGCCCTGGCCGTACATGTCCTTGGCCGCGGCTAATATCGTAGAGGTTTTACCAGTACCGGGCGGGCCGTACAATAGCGTGTGCGGTAGCTTGTCGTTCTTGATTAATCGGCGAAGCACTCCCACGATCTCCTTGTGGGCTACCAATTCATCTAACGAGGCTGGTCTATATTTTTCCACCCAGGGTCTTGCCGCGAGCGTTCTCGCCTGCTTCTGCTTTTTGGTCAGAGGCGCGGCCGGCGGCGCCTCTGGTACCGGGGCTCCGGCTACTACCGTAGGAGGTTGCGGGGGCGCGTCGACGTCCATGGCGTCGGCCATAGTGCGTGGTAAGTTTCAAATCTAGCCGGAGAGCGGCGGGCGCTTTCTCGGCGGCACGGCGCGGCGGCGGCGTAGCGGCGCAGCGGTTTGTTGGTCGCGCTGCTGCGGGAGTCTCTCGCGAGCGCTATGTGCTGGCGTGCGCGCGATGGCCAAAGGCGGCTGAGAGGAAGCCGAGCCCGCGCAGTCAAGCTAGTATGTTACCACGCTGGCGCTAAGTAGGAATTTTTGGGACTTGTCTCGACGTGGGCAGTACGTAGAAGCAACGCGGCGACTTATCTCGCCGTGCGCCCGTTAGCCGCGAGAGACATGGAATGTCAAGTGTTATGGACGGGGAGTGGTAATGGACAACGGCTCCAGCGGACGTCTTGTCAATCACGAGGACGGCTCGGCCGTCGGCTCGCTCGTCGGCTCGGCCGTCGCGGTGGACGGCTGCGCCGTGGGCTCGCTTGTGGGCTCGCCGGTCGCGGTGGACGGCTGCGCCGTGGGCTCGCTTGTAGGTTGACCAGTGGAAGGCGCGGCCGTCGGCTCCGAAGTAGGCTCGGCCGTAGGTCCGCCCGTAGTCGGCGCGGGGCTCGGATGCGTCGGCGCTTGGCTCACGCTCAGAATGCGGTGGAATTACGGGGAGGCGCTCTACCAAGCTGAGGGCGCCACGCTCGACGATCTCCGCGAGGCCGTGACGACGCTCGAGGAGGTGGAACGGACCGCGCGACGCGTTCTCGGCGGCGCGCACCCGAACACGGCGGGGATTGAGGGGGATCTGCGACACGCGCGAGCCGCGCTCCGCGCCGCGAATTTACTGGACGGGCTAGTATATCCCGTTGATCCGAGTTGGCAGAGACATTGGAGAGTTCAGGAATCGACGTCCGACAGGTGACTCTGCCCACTAGTCCTAGTACCGCATAAACATAGAGCAAAAAACAATCTTAACCCGCGGGGGCAGCGGGCGCGAAAAGCGCGAGCCGCGCTCCGCGCCCGCGAGACGCCGTCGACGGTGGTAGCCTCGTAAGTAGCGATATAGACGGACGACGCCTACGCCCACGACGAAGGGGAAAGACGCCAACAGCCGCGACAAAAGACAAAAAATGCGATACAAGTATTAGTACGAGGTTGTCCACAGGGCAGGTCTCTCATCAGAGTGGCGGCAGCGGCGCCGGCAGGGCCCGGCCGTCGCGCGGCGGCGAGTTCGCGGGCGTCTGCGCGGGTCTATCAGGGGCGTAGCGCGGGCAGTGCGCGAGGAGCACGGACCGCGCGACTTCCGTCCAGCGCTGCGCCGGCGACCGCCGCTGCGGCGACGTTGTTGGAGGCGGCGGTGGCGGTTCCTCGGCGACGCGCGGCCGCTTCACCGGAGGACCGCCGCCGTCGCTATCCGACGACGGCTCGCTCACCACCGGATTGCGCGAGGGCAGCAGCGCCAGAATGTCCTCCGGCGCTTCGCTACACGCGTCTCGATCCGCATCGAAGGCCCACTCGAGGAAGCCTCTCCTAGATTGGAGAAATTGCGCCCAGGCCCGCCACGAGCATTGCGGCGCGTAGCAGAGAGGCGTGTGGCCCCGATTATCCGCACAGAGCAGCTGGCAGGGGTCCCGCGCGAGCAATGCGTCGACGGCGGACCAGTCCAACTGCTCGTTCCAGCACGCGTCATGTAGGGGCGCCCGTCCCAAATCATCTCGGGCGTTCGCGAGGTCCGGTCTTACCGTAAGTAAGTGGCGCGCCGCGCGCCAGTTCGGGAACCGCAGCGCTTTGTGGAGCAGCGTCACGCCGAACTTGTTCCGCGCGCCGAGGTGTCGGCCGTCCAAGTCCCGCGCCGGGTTCCGCGTCGTCTGCGTCGCCGTGAGCAGCTCCGTCGTGTAGGCCGCGACGTCCTCGGGGCCCGGCTTGACGAACCTACCACATCGATGCTTCGCCGCCGCCGCGCGGGCGGCCCGCTCGCCGCCGACCAGCTCGCACAGAGTTTGTAAAGGCGAGCCGACGCCCGCGAGGCCGCCGGGGCTCGGCGAGGCGTTGCCGCGCTGGCCACCGAAGCGCGTCGACGGGCGGCGCGTCGTGGCGCCGCCGCGGGTGCGCATTTGGCAATGAGCTGGTTTGGTCTTGTAAATGCTTACGCGCGTCGCTTTTTTACGCGGTTTCGTGTGTCGTGCAGCGTATTAGTGCGGTGGGTACCGCTGCTGCGCCATGTTTGCAAGCGATAGCGCAACACTGCCAGCGTGCAAGCGGCAATTGTGTCGTGCTGGCAAGAGCACCAACACCTCACTTTTACGGAATACCATCTGCTCGAACAAACGCCTCCAAAGAAAGCTCCCATGCCTCTCGGCGGGCCCGCCCCGAGCTCTAGACCCGGCAAGCATGCTTTCAAAAAAGTTGGGTGCCAAAAAATCGCCAGAGGGCTGACGAGCGTAAACACATGCATACCCGACGCCCCCAGCAATCCCAAGCAGCCCCTGCGACCCGTCGCTGGGCCCGGCGCGGGCCACCACCGGCTCTGCCCACACAAGGACAGGAAGAGCAAAGCTCGGGACGCCGTGTGACATTGCCCGCAGCTCGACGACGCCGACGCTGCCCCCGAGGCCCGGCCAACTGCGCCCGCACGGCGCCGCTTGCATCTTTGCTTTTATCTCAAGGAAATGCCTCTCTGCCCGATAGAGACAAGGGCTGGCTCGTCGTCCTGCGGCGGCGAGATGGCGACCGTCCGCAAGAACTCGCTCCGGGACGGCGGGTGTTCCGCGAGCGAGTCGGCGGCGCGCGCTAGCTGTATTTGACGTGGTGCGACGACCGCGACACCGCCGCCTAGTTCTCGACGTATGAGATGCCCGCGCCGTGGAAGAGCGAGAGCTCGGCCTGAGCCAAGCGCTCCGCCGTCGTCGAGAACACGGCGACGACGCGGTACCAGTGAAGGTAGTGCATACAGAGGTCGACCTGTGCGATTCAAGAGCGGTGGGCGGCGCGTTGGCCTTCTCGTCGTTCTCTCGTCGTCGGAAGGCTAGTAGTGCGGTCGCCCGTCTAGATAACTAAAATTACTACACCTTATTCATAGAGCGACGAGCCTTTCCGCAAGCGCGTCCTCGTCGCGCGCCGGCGCCTCGCCGGGCCACGCGAAGAGGTCGAAGGACGTATCGGGCGCGCAGGTCAGCGAGGGCAGCGCGGCGGGGCTCTTCCGTGGCTTCGACCGCGGCGGCGGCACGGCCTGCTCGACCCGCGCCGTCCGGACGACGCGCGGCGCTGGTTCGGGCGTCTTCCGCCGCGGCGCCGTCGACGCCGCTTTGTAGGGGTCGCCCGGCCTCGGGACCACGGCGCCGTCGTCCAGGATGCCGCCGCGCGGCGCGCGCCGCGCGTCGGGCGTTTTTCGGCGCGGAGCTGTTTTCTTGCGACCGGCCGTCGCCTGGCGGTTCGACGCAACGGCCGCGGTCGACGCCGACGCGACGAACGCCGCCGACGCGGCCTTTATCTGTTTCCGGCGCGCCGAAGATGATGCGGGCCGCGGCGGCGACCGGGCCACAGGCGCCGGCTCCTCGGCCTCCTCGCGGTGCGTGTTCCACCAGACGTCGCCGAGCTCGGCCGTCTCCGGGGGGGCGAGCGCCTTGCGCGCCTTGACCGGCGAGCCGTCCTCCTCGGCCAGCTGCTTCAGTTCGTTCAGGTTCACGAGCGTCGAGGCCGGCGCCGCGATGCGCTTCGGCTGCGGCCGGCGCGCCGGCTGCTTGTACTTGATGCCCGTCATGGCGCTCAGTTCCCTGATCTCCTCCTCGTCGGCCGTGGCGTAGTCGTCGGCGGTCCGGAGCTTGGCTCCCAGGCGCCTCTGCATCATGGCTGCCATGGTCTAGTTTTGCGCCTCGTCGCCAGTTTGGGCTGCTGGGAAATTAGTCGGTAGCTGCCGACGCAAACCGACCGAAAGCGGCCGCAACTTCCGGTTGACATACTAGCCCTCGGTTCTTGAAAACCCACTAGCTTGAAGAACATTTTGGTGTTAATCCATGAAATTAGGCGGCGTTTCATTTGCTTTCGACCTCTCCGTGGGGCTGCGTCGTCAGGGACTCGTTCCTGACCCTTGCGAGACCCGAGGACCGCCGCCCAGGGGGGCATAGCTCACTTCACCAATCAAACACCGACGCTCGCAATTAAGCTAGAAGGAAAGAATTGGTACTAGCCTGCGGAGCGAGCTCAGTGACTTGCTTAAAACGTGCCTCTTGCACTCGCAGGTGCCCCTGAGGCTGCCCAGTGGGCTGCAGCCCACAGCCAGGTGCCTGCTGTAGCTGCCAAGCAGCAACAGCTGCAGCTGGAGGCAACGCGTCGCCTCTAGACTCCAACTCCCTTTTCCTGCACGAGATTGAGCCCGGCCCCTTGCCCGTGACATGAACGTGAAATGCAGGTGCGGGTGTACTCCGGTGGTCATTGGAACTCGCATGGCAAATTCGATTTTAGGCTAGGCAAGGTGCAGCTCGCATGTGCGCGTCATGCGCGCGGGCGGGCCGCTCTCGCTGCCATCGACGCGCAGCCGACGGCCGCCGTGGTGGCTTTAACTCGACGGCGCTTCAGTTGACGCTCCGCCCAGCGGCTGCGTGGACGCCGAGCTAGCGTGGCAGCGAGCTGCACGCTCGCTCGCTTGCAAATCCCCACGTTCCACTCCCAGGGTGCCGGACAAACCGCTAATAGAGGCGCTAAGTTGTTTACGTGGAATTGGAGTTCCCTCGCTACCGCCGCCGTACCGCCGAAACTGCGCTGCCTCGGCCGGGCCGACGTGACGTTGTGTGTGCTTCTGGACCTGCAAGAATAGTTTGGCGGCTGTTCTTCGCCCTTTTCCGTCGCTTGAGTATGGGCGAACATAGTCTTCAGGATAATTAGACTGCCCGCCACCGAGCACCACCTCGAATGGACCATTTTGAGATGAACGTCGTGTCCACACCCGTCCATACCTTGTATCGCTGGTCATCGGGTGCGTAAGACCTGCTCTACAGAGTCACACTGCCAACGGGTACGACGCGCGGCGGCGTCGGCGGGCCCTCGCTCAGCCCCGGGCCGATGCTCAATTTTAATATTTGATAGATCCGTGAGTAAGTAGAAGTAATAGTAAGCTCGCGTCAGCACCGCCCGCTACTATCATGATAATTATACACAGCTGGGTGAGTGAATGAGTAATAAATAGGGATGGCTTCCGGGGTCCGTGGACGAGAGAAAGTTTCTAAAGGGAACCTCTAGACCCATCAACTCTAACATATTTATGTGTGTACGCCTATTTGGGATTGGAAGAGTCCATCTAACACAGTCAGACGATTACTGTGAGGGAGTAGGTGTCCCGTCGACGGCACCGATGTCGGTGACTTCGGAGCCCCGAATTTATGCGAAGACGGGCCCAACGCCTGCACCTGCGAATATCCGCGACGCTGCTATCACAGAAGACCTTAAAGCAATAGCCACTTCATCAATTAGCCGACTAGTTCCTTGGCACAGGCACGGTGGACCCTGACCCCTCAATATTTCTCATGAGATCGAAGATCCAATATGGAGCAGCAGTAGCATCCGTAAGTAGAACAACTTCAACGTTCAATCCCCACGGTTGTGCTGAACCCGCGACTTAGCTAGTCGGCGCGTCCAGCAAACAGCAAGGGCAGCCCCAAACCCCAAGCAACGCAGCCGCACGGCTGCGTTTTGTGCCATGCAGCAGAGGCAGCAGCTCGTCTGAGGCGCAATGCGCGCGTCAAGCGCCTGCGCCGTGCGCCTGGGCGCCATGCTAGGAATTGGCCTGCTGCTGCTGCTGTCGGCGACACGCCGCTCGGCGGCGCAGCTCACTAATGCATTGCTGCTGACGCCAAACGCAAAACATGGCTCTCTTAGGAGCCTCGCAGCGCCACAGCGCTGCGCGCCGCCCTCCCTGGCTGGGATCCCACATGAAAGGCTAGATGTCTCGCTTTGGCCGTGGGCGCTACGCGGCACGTCGCGGCGTCGTATTTAATCATCGCTGCTCTAAAAATATCCCTCGCAGGTCGGCGGCCGCAGCGTGTGGCCGTGCTGCAGGCCCAAGCGCGGCTTCGTGCGGTGCAAAGGCGGCGGCCGCCGCGGCGCTCGCCGCGGCCTTGGCGCCCACGACCGACAAAAGGGCTCCGTGGCCACGGCATGCACAAGCCTAGTCGGCATCGTGCTTACGTGCGCCGCCGGCGCAGCCAGCGCGGTCGGCGCGCTCGCCGCGGCCCCTTTTCGGGGTCGCGCACCCGCCGGCGCCGCTTCAGCGCCCGACGCCATCGTCCCCGCGCTCGCGGCCGACGCAGCGCTGCCCGTGCGCGCCGACGACGTCTCGACGCCCAGCGCGGACGATGGCGCCGGCCGGGCAAATACAAGCGTCGAGTGCGCGTTGGCAAGCCGTGGCTCGGCGCACTGCGCGCCGGCGGCGACGCCGCGGGACGACGACGACGCGGAGCCTCGGACGGGCGAACCGCGTCGACGGCGTGTTGCGGCCCTGCCGCGTGTTGCGGCCCTGCCGGCCGCGCATCTAGCGCAACTTTTGGCGTTCGTGGTGTTTTGTTTTTGTGTAAAGAGTGCAGACCGGCGCACGAATCAACAGTTCTGCGGCGCCACTCGCGCACTGATTGATTTCCACACAGGTGCGAGCGCCGCCGACTTCGGCGGTTTCCCCGAGACGGACCCGCGACCGCCAGTGCAGAAAGTTGCTTTCAGAAATCGATCGTCTACATGTTCGCCGTCGCTCGAAGTGGTTTCGACGGCTTCGTGTCCCAGAAAGGAGCGACATGACCGCATTCTCGCTTTATCCGAACCTCACTCACTGTTTGATTTCCACACAGGAGCCAGATGTTGTTGGATGCCCTGGGCGCACCAGCCGTCGCGACGGCGGTCGGCGTCGGCGGCCTCGCGGCAGGAGCGGTCGTCGTGGGACGTCGCCGCCGCCGAGTACATGGGACGACGCCACCCCGTCCACCACGGCGTCGAGTCGGGGAGAGGGACGACGGAGACCTTGCGTTGGATGCTGCGCACGGGCCGCCTCCGCCTGGTGCTGCGCTCGTCGCCGTGCTTGGCCCTGGCTGGGGGCCCGGCACGGCGCGTCATGGCGACGCCGGCGACCCCTACGACCACGACTCCGACGGCCTCCAGAGCCGCGACGAGGCCGATCCCGCCGGTGCCGACTACGTGATGAACGAAAGAGCCTCGGGCTCGGACCTCAGCGCGGGCGTCTCGGACGCCGAGGGCTTCGATCTCGACGAGGAGCCGCCTCCCGCCTACGACGTCATGGGCTTCGATCTCGACGAGGAGCCGCCTCCCGCCTACGACATGGACGACGAGCAGCAGCTCGGCGCGCCGAGGCGCGCGCGGAGAGATGCCGACGCGCCGCCGCCCTTCCACGGGGCGCCTGCTGGCCCCATGCCCGACGCGCTAGCGCTCCTGCCCGGCGACGGGCAGCTCGCCGTCGCGCCTGCGGACGAGTTCCTCGAGGCGAACGCCGAGCTCATGGACGGGGTTCTTCGAGTACCTGGTCCGATGCAACGAGACGTGCATGCTCTGACCGACTTCGGGTCGAGGGCCGCTAGAAACGCGTCCAACGCGTCGAGCACCCCTCCCGAAGGCATGCACGGCCACGAACTTCGACGTGACGCAACTCGGGCGACGGAGACGTGGTTCTTAGTTGATATCGTTGTTAACGCCGGCATCGACGGCGCCTTCTGGCAGTATTTTAAGGCTAAGAGGGAGGACATCACGAGGACCACGCAAGGTCTGCTCGCCGGGGCCGCTCTGCGTGCCGATTGGATGCGCGGGGCGGCAGTGATCCCCGCTATTCATCACAACAGGCTTAGGGCTGAGGCCGGCGACAGGGTTTGGGACCTAGCCGACGCCGTCGTGCGGCTGGTACCGAACGCGCGCATGGCCGACAGGGTCATCTTTCGACCCCTTCTCGAGGAGCCCCGTGAGAAGGCGCCGAGCGACGACATCCCTGCCAGGCGTCGTTGGCACGAGGGCAAGCTCGCCGTCGACGAAGAGGAGCTCATTGAGATCAGTCGGACCACCGACACGCTCGTCATCGTCGACGACGACTACTGGTGTGGTTATACTCTCGAAGCCATCGTCGACCCGCTCGAACAAAAAGTCCGCGATCTTGGGCTGACCCTCAACATCAAATGCCTTACATTTGCGAGGTGTACGTCGGCGACGCGCGCGACGCCGACGATCTTCGATCTGACACGGGACGTGCAGCGCACGATCACGGACGTGGCGACCGAACAGCTCGAGAGCGACGACGATGGCCGCGTCGACGAGGCGGGCGCGCACTGTGGCATCTATTACAAGATCGCTGCGCCCTGGTTCCGCAACTTCTACGTCGGCAGCCACCTCGTCGACAAGGACGTCTGGAGGCGCCACGGCCAGGAGCTCCGCGACGCCATCACTAGTGGTAATGCTGCCGCTGTGAAAGAAGCGGCGAAGAAATTCCTTGCGACACGCGGCCGTAAGCATCATGATGAAGTGAAATACGGCGGGAAGACGGCTCGCTGGCGCGTGTGGTTTAGGGAGTGCCAGGCGAAGTGCCGGGACCTCCTCCATGCCGCCTTCCACATCTGCGACGTCATCGAGCCCCAGGCCGTCGTGCTGAGCCTGCCCAGGGAGACTCGGCAGCACTTCTACCGCAAGGTCCTTCTGCCTCTCGAGCAGGGCGGCCTCGACGACGTCTTCGCGCGTTTCCCGTTGCGCATCTTCAACGTCAACCGCATCGCGGAGGGCGGCGGAGGCCGCGTCGCCGACCCACGGCAGGGCAACATCCTCGTGCCGGCGGGCTGGACGATGGATTCGCAGGAGCGACGCGCGGCGACGCGGGCCGCGCGAGGGCTACCGGTTATATCGGTGCGCACGGAGGAGGAGCGCGAGCGGCGCGCGCGCGAGCAGCGCGAGCAGAGCGAGCGGCGGCGCCAGCAGCGGCGCGAGCGCGAGCAGCGGCGCGAGCCGCACCCCTGTTCCTCACGGTCCGCGCGAGCCGCACCCCTGTTCCTCACGGTCCTCCACACCATGGTGACGGAGTACCCGGAGCTGCACTCCAACGTGATCTGGTGGAACGCCGCGAGGCGGGCGCTCTTCATTCGACGAGATCGAATCGAGACCGTCCTGCGGCTCTACCCCATCTCGGACTCGTGGGCCACGTTCTATCGCCAGCTCAACTTCTACGGCTTCTACCGAAATGTCGAGCTTACCACCTGGAGCAACTCTCAGCCATGGGGCGGCGGCGTGGTCGTCTTCAAAAATTCCAATGAAACCGTCTCCGACGCCGCCGACTTTTTGCGGCTGATGTATAGTCGCACCAGATCGACGCCCGCGCCGACGCCCGCCGCGCCGACGCCCGCCGCGCCGACGCCGGCCGCGCCGACGCCCGGCGCGCCGAGGTTCCCCACGGCCCTACACGCCATGGTAACGCAGCACTCGGGCGTCCTCTCCTGGGACGCCGCAAGGAAAAGGATCGTCGTCCACCAACGGGATCGAATTGAGGAGGTCCTGCGGCGCAACCTCAGCACGGACAAGTACTCCTCGTTCCAGCGCCAGCTCAACAACTACGGCTTTATCAAGGATCGCGGCGTGCACGTCTACCACCATTTCAACCCGGCCGTCGCCGACGTGGACGATCTCTTGCGGTTGACGCCGGGACGCGCTCCTGCGTCGACGCCGGCCGGCCCGACGCCCGACACGCTGGCGCTCCTGCCCGGCGACGGGCAGCCCGTCGCCGCGCCGAGGCGCGGCGCGCCTCGGCGCGCGCGGAGAGGTGCCGACGCGCCGCCGCCCTTCCTCGGGACGCCTGCCGGCCCGACGCCCGCCGTGCCGACGCCCGCCGCGACGCCTGCCGCCGCCGAGCCGCCTGCCGCGCCGACGCCTGAGGCCATCGCCCGTGACCAGGGCGTGGCCGCTGCCCAGGCCACCTTAGACACATGGCGTGCCCGCGCTGTCGCCCTGTCTCGCGCTGGCGCTGACGGTCCCGCGCGCGTGCGGGTCGAGGCCAGAGATAATGCTCGCGCTGCGTATGCGGGACCGACACCCGGGGCCGCAGACGCCTTCGTCGAGGGCGCCGTCTCTACTGTTCACGCGGCGGCGTCTCAAGCCGTCGCCGAGGACCTTGCGTCGTGGGTTTCCCAGGCCGTCAACAATGACCGAAACTTTTTTGTAAATGGTGTGCGTCGCGAGGGGCTTGATCACGCGTTAGCGCTTGTCGAGCCACGCGGCCGGGAGCTGCTCGTTGACGACCAAATCATGGAGGGGCCTTACTTCCAGAGCGCTCTGGCGTCGTACGTCGCGCATGTGGGGACTATCGCCTCGGCCGCCTCGGCAGACCTAGAACGTCGAGCGGCAACCGGTCCGACTGCTGATTTGGTCGCGCACCTCCGCCGACTTCGTTTGGAGGAGCGTGGCATGTTTGATGCCGTGTTCGCTGCTGCGACGACCTAGGTGCGCGCCCGCCGCGTTGGCCATGTTTTCCACCGCGCCGACGCCCTGCTCCACAAAACTCGACGCTGCTTCTATCTGTAACGGGGACGATCCGACGCCACAGAGACTGACTCCCGAACCGCCACCCACGCTGACGCCCTGCTCACGCCCGACTCTTTTCACAAAACACGATTTTGCCCGCTATACTATTTCCAGGGATCCTGTCAATTCCTATTTGCCTGTCGTTGTCGCTCGGCCCGCAGCCAAGGCAATATTTCCTTGCCTATGTGCGAATATGCGCCGAGCCCCTTTTCCGAATTCTGGACGCGACTGACGGTACGACTGGACCTCTGCGCCCGGCTTTTTTCTATGCCGACGGCGCTTGCTCTTCCCTGTATGCTTATGCCCTCACTCGGATTGTCGGCTATCCGCGACATGAGGTCAGGAATGAAGATAGACTGCCCCGTGCCGCCTTTACTTTATTGGCGGTAGCACCCGCGCGGCGGGGCACGTAAGCCGGACGACGTCTCTATTGCACTGCGAATCGAAATCGAGGAAGCGCCGCAATAAGTATGTCGTTTGATGTTGTAAACTGATATGATAGAGCGGGTCGCCTAGAGAGCTCCGAACTTGAACATAACTAGAGTGGACCACATTACCCATTCATCGCCAAAAAATCCCCCAACCCAGCAAGGGGATCGACGCCCTTCCCCGGCGCGACGGCCCGCCGCTGCATGGAGGCCCGCCTCGCGGCAACCCCGCCGTCGTTTTTCCGCGTCTCCGTATATTCCAGGAACGGGCACGCGCTGTCCGCGAATTCATTTGTTGGTATTCTAGGCGCGCATCGCCGCAACCGCCGCACCCAGGCCTGGTGCTCCACATCCCTCAAAGGTGTTCCGAGATCACCGACCCGCAAGTCATGACGCTTCCCACCTCCAAGGACCAAGGAAAACGTATCCCCTATACTTTCCGCCGTCTCCGGCGAGTGCACTTCCACGGCCTCGAGATGACGTAAAGGCAAGTCCAACCGCAAATGTTCGTCCCCGCGATGGTCCCGCAGCGTCAGCCTGTTAAACGCCAGGCACGCCCAGACCGGTTTCCAGAAACTGACCACAAAACCTCGTTGCACCTTCACCTCCAAGTGCCCGCAGATCGATCTAGCTCGAGGCGCCGCCCAGATCCTATAATACACGGCGCCCGTCGCCTCGACGTGGACGTCGTCGAACGCCACGTGGTTCACCTTCTCATTGACTACTTTCGAGACCGGAACGAGGTTCGGACCTAGCCTTGCCCGAGCATCCATGACGAGCAACGCGCCGTCGGCCTGGAGGCGCGTCTTTGTTTTAGAAGGCCGTCGGCCCGCCTTGGCCTTCAGCTTGGCCCGCCGCTCGGCCTCGTAGGTCATTTGAGCTAGAAAGTCGGCGTGCCGCAGCGCGTTCAGTTGCACGGTGACTTGCCCGAGGAAGTCGTCGCGATCGTCGGCGGACTGAGGCGACGTCGGATCGTCCACGTCAGCTACCGTGAACGTGACCGTGGAGTCGGGGTCCACCCCATGGACGTCAAATTGGGCGTTCCACGTCGGGTCCAGCGTCTTCTGGATCACCTTCGTCTTGGCCCGGAATAGGGGGTATCTTGACGGATAGGCGGCGAACTTGCCCCAGTCCCGCGCGCGCACGATGGACGGCATCCAGAACGGCATCGTGTTCCGCCGCATTTTGAGGAGGCAGGCCTTGTCCATGACGCTACTCAGATTGGCCGCGCGCGACGCTATGGCTTCTCTATTCTTCTCCTCCGAGCTCTCCTTGAGCTTGTCTAGCGCATCGAGATACTTTCGTTTTTCCACACCGTCGTCGCGGACGTGCTGCTCGTCCAGAGCTTGGTGCCGCTTCAGTAAGATGTCGTACTGGCGCTCTATTCTTTCCTTGGCTTCTTCGGGAGCGCCGGCATTACTAGGACCGAAGCCTCCCCTGTTACCTAACTGTGCAGAAACGTAACATCTCGGATCCGCGGCCCCGCCGATGAACGTGTGGTGGTCGGCCTGGTTCAGGCGTCGAGCATCAGCGACGCGCAGCCCGCGCGCCTTCACGACCTCCACTCGGATGCATCTAGTAGCTTCGCGCGCGTGTTGCAAGGTCATCGACCGAGCCCGAGCATCAATCGCCCTAAAACGCTTCTGCAATCTCACAGCAGCCTCCTCCTCGGACAGGGGATCTTTATCAAAAATAGAACCGACGGCCATGGCGTAGGCCGCCCCAGTTAAACCAGCCTTGAGGGCCCTCATCTTCCGCACCTTGCGCAGTATGAGTCGCTCGATGATCGACCTCGACTGGTCGAACAACTGGGCCTGCACCCGCAGATACCGCTTCCGCATCCTTGCTTTCGCGGCCCAGGTCCGCGCGGCTCTTGCCAGCATGCGATGGGCGCGCTGCTCCATCCAGCGCTTCCACTCGTGTTGGGCCCGCGCCATCTTCTTTCTCAAACAACGATACACGAAGCTCCGCACGCAATTGTTGATGACCTCTGCCGCTAATTGGGTCGCGACGGCGCCGAAGGGGCCCCGCTGCGAGGGCGTCGTCGGTAACGATGTGCGACGCGACGGCCGCCGCCGCGGCGTCGTAGGGTTCGACGGAGCCTTCACTTCCGTGACCTTTTGCACGGGCTTCACTGGAGACGCCTGGGGCGAGCCCTCGTCCCCGGACGAACAGGGCGAGCCCGCGCGCGTCATCCGGTGCAGCCGCTCCTCATGTAACTCATCCTCGTCCTTCTGAGAAACGGGACTCTTCGCCACGGCGAAGGCCGACGCCGCCTGCGACGCTAAATCTCTATGGATCATGCTGGCAAATTCGGCTGCATTCATCGTAGCTCGCGCGCGATGACTCCGAGCCTGGACGTCCTTGAACACCTGGTGCTCCCTCACCCTGTGGTTCTCCGTGAACTTCGACAATACTTGCTGTTGAGCTTGTCTTTCATGCGCATCATTTAATTGATTTTTTAGTTTTGTGAGATTCGACTCCCTCCTGACGAGTTTAGGCTTGTCCGCGGGTTTGTTGGACACGGTATGTCTCAATGTTTTCACTTTCTTCTTGGTAACGTGCCTACGTTCGAGCTCCGCCCTTACTAATTTTTGTAATCTTTTCAGCCCAAAGGCTATCGACTCGTCGTCCGGATACAGCTCAATACGACGGGCGGCCCACGCACAGGCCCGCTCGAGCTTCTCCAACCTATCCTGGGCGTGGCCTGACCCTTGCGAGGCCTTTGCTGCTAGATCTCCACCTAATGCTACTAATGATTCATTGGCACCCGGTGCTAGAGGAACAGCAGCTAATAAACCGGACAGCAACACGCGTGGCGAGCGCCGGCAGCCGATCGTGGCCAACTCTCGCAAAGTAGCTTGGAGCGCGACACCGTCCCGCGCTAGACCTTGGATCGCGGAAGCCTCTGCTTTGGTCAGGTGGACGTGAAATCGTTTCTCAACGAAAGAAGCCAGATCTTGTATGTCACACCCGTCCAGCCGGTCGATGGCGTGGCGCTCGTGGCGTAATGCGATGGCTTGGAGCTTGGCGATGCCGGCATCGTGTGCCTCGAGGGGTTTTTGCGGTAGGTCTCGCATCCTGACAGGTGAAGGTAAAGGTGCCGGCGGGAGTTCCGTGCGTCTCCGAGGGCCTCCGAGATCAATAATGTGCGCCCCGGCCACCAGGTTGTTCAAGCGGGCATGGGCGCTGCGCTTCGGCAACGCTGACTTCGGTCTCTTGACAGCCTTGATGGACCAGCCGGCTATATCTCTCGCATATGCAGATGGACGAGCATCCCTCGAACCCCAGCCCCGCGCACTTTTAGGACGGGTCTTCTTCATTTTTGTCAGTAGCTTCGCGGCGACGCCAAAACTTATGGTAGGTTCAGTCTTCTTCTTGGAGGGCGAGTCGAGCAACCGCATGAACGCCGTGGTGCACTGGCCGACGACGGGCGGCCGCACGCGGTTCGGCGCAGACTTCGGTCGCGCCGCTTTATGCACCTTCGCCTCGAGGGCCGCGTCTTTAAGATCGGCGCGTATGCGATTCGCCGTTTGGACACCGTTGTGCGCTTCTCCTAACGACGTTATCAAGTTGACCGCAAAGACCGCGTCCACAACTCTAGATTCAGGTTGGTGCTCGAGCAGCCAATCACTCGTCTTGTTCGGATCAGAGTACTCAGGTACCTTATCCAGCAAAGCCCCGACCTGCGCCGCCGTCAGGGAACAGTTCACCTTCCGTTGCAAGAATTGTGGTATATCGTCATCGCTCAGGAACGTCCGTCCTATCACCGGTTTGTGTTCAAGAACACTAGCTGCGGTCGCGACCTTCCTGACAAACCTTCTAGTGTCGAAATCTGACGGTCTTTTACCGACCGACGTGAGGCTCTTCTCTATTTTCCGAGCCTTCCTTCTAGCCTTTTCTATCGGATCTAGTTGACTTTTGGCCCAGGCGTCGGCGCCCGACTTCGAGAGGTCGGGACCGGGAATAAAGATGCCCAGCATCCTTGATTCTTGCCCAAAGGCCGGCGCCACCGTCGTGCGCAGCTCCTGGCCGAGGCGCGTCGTCGGCTTCGTCTCGGGCCGCATCGTAGCTATTCGGCGGCGCGGTGGCGCGCTCAACTGTGGTTCTACGCAGTCGCGGCCGTCGCGTCGCGTCCGCGGGCACTGCAGCCTGGCGCTAACCCTCAGAGTTGGCCAGTAGTGCGCTATTCACTGGGTGCTGCGCGTGCCGCGTGTCGTCCGTGGTGTGCGGACGCGCGTGGTCCGCGTCGGGCAGCCCGCGGACGCGTGCCGGCCGCGCTCGGCGCCTGGTCTGGGCCACAGCGCTGCAATCGTGTGGGGGCTGAGTGCGCGGCGGCCGCGCCCACGCGTCGCGCGCGTCGCCGCATCGCGTTCGGGCCCGGAAGGCGCTGCGGGGCAAGTCCGTCCGTGTCTTTCGGGTTTTGACGCATTTTGATCACTGAGGCATTTTTTTTGGTCGGCTGCCTGCACGCATCCTGCTCGTGGCAGGATGGTGGCGTTCGCCTGTCGGCCGTGAATTCTTGTTGCTTCGCAGTTGCTCGGGCTGCCCTGCAGCCATCAGCTAGGGCTGCCTCACGCCGCCGATGCGCTGCCTCCTAGTCCTGCTGCTGCACGGCTGCGTCGCAGACCCGCAGGAGGTGCGCGCCTGGCTCCGGGGCCGCGCGAACGCGTCCGCGACCGAGGAATGCACGCTCGAGGAGGCCTGTACACTAACTGCAAAACTGAGACGGCTCCACGGCCCGCGCGTCGTGCTGCCGCCTGATCTCGAGAAGGCCTGGCCGGCCCTGTTCGGCGAAGAATTCAAAGACCGACAGAACCACGTCCCCATCATCGTACTCCTACACTGCTTCTCCTCCGAGAGACGGGAGCAGCAGTTGCAGAAGTACCTCACTCCTCACTATCTGGGGAAGCATCGCCACGTCTTCGCTTCCGATAGGACGGATGTATCCAGGGGAATACTAGGCTTCCCCGACGACCCGGGCCGAGGCGGTGTGGATTTCAAAACGAATGGAGCCAAGTATATCTCGGCGTCCCGTCGTGTGGAGGCGCCTTCACGCCATCGACGCGACTCGTGTCCATCTCACAATGAAGTGGGTGGTCTCTTTTTCGATTCTGAGGCCATTCGGACCGCGTCGCGAGACCGCGACGCTCCGCGCAGGTACCTCGGCGCGCACCGGCCGTTGATCGCGATGTTGTTCGCGAACGACACGTGGGGTTCGAAGTTCGATTGGCTGCTCCAGGGGGATGACGATACTACATTCTCGTTAGGTCAAGTGTCGGAACGGTTGTCGAATCCTCATTTGCCTTTGCTCGTTGGTCAGAGAGGCCCTCGACGCGGCGCGGCCATGCCGGGCTGCTATCCTTCTGAGGAGCGTTCTTCCCCGAAAATAGATTGCTGCTCTACCTTGGACACGGCGTGCCCCGTGGAACTGGGACGACCTCTACACTACGAAGCGCGTTCAGGAAAACTGGTGCAGGACGGCGTCTGTGCCGGTGGTCACTTGCACCACGAGTGCTGCGCGATTCGACCCTCACCTACACGCCTGAGAGTGGACGCGGGCTACCCGTACACTCTAGATCCAACGGGGAACGCCACGACATCAGTAGCAAGGAGCTGGGTCTATGGCGGCGCCGGCTACGCCGTGTCGAGAGGTCTCATGAATAGTGTTCAGAGACCGAAGTGGAAACGGTGCGTCGACCAGGCGATCTGCGGGAACGCGGACCAAAGGGTGACGCGCTGCGTGCTGAACCTGGGCTGGGCCTTCACGGACCCGTCGCGGGACACGGAGCCGCCCTGGAAGGGCGGGCTGGGGCACCATCTCGGCATGAGCAACAACCGGAACCGCGGGTCGCGGCTCTTGAGGAGGTGGCGGCGGTCCCGGCGGCGGCTCGCTCGGTATTGGTGGTCATAATTAAGTCTATTCTCTGGTGTCGGCGAGGTTTTGGGGAGAATGACCTAGTGGTGTAAGACACTAGCAAGCCAAAAATCGTCGACATCCCAAGCCGAGCAGCTCGTTCACGGGCAATCCGTCGTGCCTCGCACGCACACATTTGCTGCATTTGGACCACGTGTCCTCGTACGCAGATCGCTGTGCTCTGTACAGCTCGCAACAAGGCGCCTCTCTGCAGGAGCTCTTTGAAGGCGCCGCGGATTTTTGCCCCACCTCTCGCGATGGCATCGCTCGTAGACGCACCATCCATGACAGTCGATCCCGCGGAGCCCGCGCGTGTCAGCACGACACCGCCGAGCAAGTCGCAGAAGAAGCGCGAGCAGCGGCGCCGCGCGGCCGAGCGCAAACGGGCAGCAGACGCCGCCGCGGCGCCGGAGCCAGCACCGCCGGGGACGGCGCCGGGGACAGCGCCCGGGACAGCGCCGGACGCCGCCGCTACCGCGAACGCGGCGCCCGCACAAACGCCGCAGCTATCACCTGAACAGATCGCGGCCATGGTCGCCGCCGCCAAAAAGAACATGGCCGAGGTCGACCCGAACGCATCACCAGAAGACAAGGTCAAGGCCGCGATGCAGGCCCTGCAGCTCGTGACGGGTGTCTTGCAATCGAGAGGTGGCGACGACGAGGTCATGCGCCAGCTGCAAGCGGCGAAGGCGCGCGCCGCGACCGAGCGCAAGCTCAAGGGGAAGTTGAAAGGGATGAAGGAGAGCCGCTAGTAATGTTATAAAAGCCTAAGATTCAGAGGTAGTTCTCCTCCTTGTAGTTCGGGTTCTCGGCCTTCTTGATGCTCCGGATCATGTCCATGTACGCGATCTCCGTGTCCGTCTTCCAGCCGCCCGTTTGGGTCGCCTTGGCCTTGACTCTTCTACAGAGGGTGATGAAATCTGTGAGTCGCAAACCAGGCGGTAACCCTTGATTCCCGAGGATCAAGTACTCTAAACGCTTGAGCGCCGTGATCCGGTCGGCGTCCGTCTTGGCGTCCTGGAACTTCGCGAATTCGGGGTCCCAGATCTTCCGAATCTCCTTCGTCTTCTCGCGGTACGCCGCTCTTAGTTTTTCGGCCTCTTTGAATTCTGCGGTCGGTTCCGATAGATAAGCCTGGGCCGGCTCATCCATATAACCGTAGTTCTTCTTCTTCGAGTCCATGAGCGACCCGGTCCGCGCGAGGGCCGGCGTTGCCACGGTGATCGACGCGGCGCCGAGGCCTCGGAGCAGGGCTCGACGGTCGGCGTGCGCGCGTAGCGCCGTCGCGCATCGCTGCGGCGTCGTGACTGGCGCCTGGAGGGCTGCTGCGAGCGATAGGGACGCCACCGCGCAGAGCGTCCTCGGTGCCACTCTCATTGTTGAGGTCCTGCCTACAGCCCAGGCGGGCTAGGTGTAGCAAATTCTGCGCTCTCACAGCCTCGAGGGTTAATTTTAGGGTTCTAACGTGTGAACTGCGGAAACAGGGATGCTCTATGAGCGCTGTGCAGCTGCTCAAGGTTGCCAGAGCACGCACCTAGCGTATAGCGACACACTAGGCTGTATATACTTCGAGTCATCCACTGTCCTTTTACTTCGCGCGGCGGCGGTGCTCCTCGAGCAATGCGGCGATCAGCTTCTTCGCCATGTGATTCGTCACGAGAGACGTGTTCTCGAGCCGCTCGTTCGTCGCGGGCGATGTCCCTCGGCCCGTCGCGAGCCACTGTTCGATCGCCACACGCTCATAGGTATGGCCGTCGCCGACGCACATGACCGGGTCCTTCATAATTTCACACGTGATGCTGCAACAGAGATCTTCCGGCAGCTCCCTAATTCGTAGGCGCGCGATCTCCGCGCGATGTTCCCGCAACTCTTCCTCGAGAACGGACTGGTGCCGCGCGACGTTATCCAGGACCTCGTCCGTCTCGAGCTTCTTCGACTTCGCGGCGGCGTGCGCGGCTCCTAGGATGGTCAAACACGTCATATATCAGCCGCCACGAGGAGAGGTGATGACCTCTTGCTGCCGTTTGGCATCTCATGCTTACAAGTAACGTCGACGCTCGCTCCTAAAGCTAGTAAGGCCTTTGTCGTGCGGACATGGCCGCGGTCCAAAGCGACACAGAGTGCTGTATGATGAGAACTTCCAATTGTCGCGCCCGCGTCGATGTCGGCGCCTCCGTCCCGAATCAACTGCCGAACGATCTCCACGCGGCCGTAAAAGGCCGCGACGTGAAGAACCGTCATCCGGCCCTGGGGCGCGAGGTCTGAAAGACGTGCATTCGCGTCCGCGCCCAGCCGCAAGAGCTCTGGGACCACTTCGACGAACCCTTGCTGGGCGGCCAGGTGAAGCGGTCGGTAGCCCTCCTTATCAATGAGGTATTCCACGCCTTCCTTATTCTGGGACGCCTGAGCGATTTTATTCAGGGCGAAGGCGTCGTTGCTTGGAATCCATGAGAATTTCGCAGCGAGCGGGTCGTCTTCGCTGGACCGCGTGTTTTTTACGCTGCGCCCCCTCCACTGGGCCGCGCAGGTCGCGCAAATCGCCACCGCGAGTGCCGCGCCGCGCATGGTGTTATGTCCACTTTACTCTCAATGATCCGCGCAGAGATTTCAAAAGAGGCTTGACAGTTCACGCGCGTATCTGAAGCAAACAAACGACAACATACGGTGTCCTAATGAGACCGCGCGTACGACGTAGCGAGGCGCAGACCCGATTATTTGACGGGTTTTTTCGCTCATCGGAATCGACCCCAGGCCATAGATCTCACTTGAATTATAACACTAGCCGCCCCCGCCGCCGCGGCACAGCTATGCGAGGTACAGCAGCGGCCCAACGAATACGAGGACCATCAAGACCAGCCCGAGCACGACGACCGCCGCGGCTGCCGCCCAGCTCCCGATCTTCTCCGATAACGCTTCATAGACGTCTAAAGCTGCCAACCCAGCAGCAGAACACCAGCCCTTCGCGCGGCCTATCGGGCCGAAGGGCGATTTCAGTAAAGAGAGCCGCGGCGACTGCGTGTAGCCTCTCCTGAGCCATTCATCTAATTCAGCAAAACCGCGACTACCCTCGTACAGCAACACCTGCTGCTTGCTCCGCACGTAAAATAAGGAGGGAAAGCCTCGCACTCCAAACCGCTGCGTCAGCACGCGATGGGCCGTGCCGTCGACCTTCGCGATCGAGTAGGCGTCTCCAGCACTCGCGGCGAGCTGGTGGAGCGTCGGCTCCAGTCGTCGGCAGTGGCCGCACCACGGTGCATAAAAGACGAGGAGCAAAGGGTCGCCCTTGCTCGTTTCCGCCTCGAAGGTGCGCGTCGTGACCTCGGTGATGCCCGCGGCGTCGGCGCAGGTTGCTGCGAGGGCCAGCGCCGCGGCGGCGTGGAGGCGCATGGTTACCCCTTCAGCGCAGCGCTCTCTGTGGGCCGTGTACCTGGCTGTGAGAGCACGGGGTTGTGGCTGTCCCGATCGGCTAGTTATGTAGCAGCAGTGTGGTGTGTCCGCGCAAAATAGGTTTTTATGGCTCGGACAGCTTCAGCGCTTGCTAAGTGCAGCGCTACAAGCTGTTCCTGTGGCAAAAGTGCCACTTGGCTAGTGTCTTACATGCCGCTAGCCTACTTTTTGGCAGCGTCGCGTACGCGCGTATTGTCGACGAGAGGCTTGGCGGCGACAAGCTTGTTGCACACTGAGCGCGCGAGAACGTCGCGAGCTCTCGGCAGTTGCGCTGTGTGGCTCAATAATTTGGAAAATTGAAAGCACTGGATGGCGCTTATCCGTTCAAGAGGCGGCGTCGTGCTCAACAAGTACCTCGTCGCGCGAGTCTTCGCCTTCGACGACCACGCGAGCGAGGCGCGGGCCGCGTGCGTCGCCAAGGGCTGGGAGGACGTGCGGCGCGGCCCGCCGCTGTTAATCGTGACCCTGGCACGCGCCGCCTGGTTGCCAAGCGCACGCTAGTGGAAACGCCGGCTCCCTTCCTACGAAAGGCACACTCGACGAGATTCCGCAAAGAGCGATCTACGAGCGGGTAGCACTTTGCTACACCACGAATGAGGGGCAGCTTGTCCAGCGCGACCTGGACCTCTTCGACCTCGGCGTCGCAATCCGCAAGACTGAGTTCTCCCCCGACGGGTCTCTCCTTGCCTTGGTCGGCCACAACTACAAGATCGCGCTCTACGACGCCGCCACGGGCAATCAGCGTTTGGTACCCAGACGCGCCCCATCTACCCCATCGTAGGATGTAGGAACTTAGGCCATCAGCGCGTCCTCGAACTCGGCGGACTTCTCCGCCGCTCTTTCCAGAACGCGTTTCGGCAGCCGCGCGAGCCGCGCGACGTTGATGCCGAAGCTCTTGGGCGAGCAGCCCTCGGCGAGCTTGTAGAGGAAGACGACGTTTTCTCCCCCATCTCTAACCAGACAATCCATGTGGCCCAGCTGCACGCTGTCGTGCGAGGACCAGGACCGCACGAGGTCGTGGTAATGCGTCGCAAATAAAGCTCGGCACTTCGCCTGCTTCACGAGGTGGTCCACTACTGAGTGAGCGATGGCCGCCCCGTCGAACGTCGCCGTGCCTCTTCCTAATTCATCCAAGATGACCAAGGATTTCTCCGTCGCGTTTTTCAGGATCGAGGCCGTTTCTAGTAATTCGACCATGAACGTACTCTGGCCCTCCAGGATTTTATCGGACGCGCCTAAGCGCGTAAAGACCCGATCCACGGGATGCAAGGTACAAGACTTCGCTTTCACAAAGCAGCCGACCTGCGCTAATATCGCCGCGACGCACGCCTGCCTTAACAGCGTCGACTTGCCGCCCATGTTCGGCCCGCTCAGCAGTAGTAAGTGAGGCTTTGTACCTCCAATTGTCAAATCATTGGGGACCACATCACCCGCCAAGCAAGGGTGCGACCCCTCCTCAATTTTCAGGGTACTGCCATCACCCTCGAGCAACTCCGCCCGACAGTACCCCGGCTCCCTGGAGGCTTTCGCCAACGATAGCAACGCGTCCAGCGTCGCCACGCACTTCACGGCACAGGCCCAGCGATCCCGCGACTCGTCGAACTGCTTGAAGAGGCCTGCGCGGACCGACGCCGTCAGACTCTCTGATGATCATGAAGACGGCGTCGCGGCGACGCGGTCTCATGACGACGCCATCATTTCTACGCTGATACAAACGGCGCATCTGGTCCGCCTTCAAATCTTTCTCGGAACTTTCCGCATCTTCTAACGCTTGTATGAGTGACTTGAGGGCAGGCACCGCAAAGGATCTAGCTTTCTTCGTCTTGGACCGCTGCTGCCAGCCCGCCGGGAGTCTCTCCAATTTCCCGCCGCGCCCGAAGAGGACGTCCGCCGCCTCGACGCAGTACCTGTCTTTGGCGGAATGCTTCCATTTCAGACTGCAGCCATGTTCACGCTGTGCTTCTTTGAGCCAGTCATCTAAATCTTTCTCACGAGCTTTGACGAGGTCTTCGGCGGCGTCGGCGGCCGGGTCGGCACCTCTAGAAGACTTGAGAGTACCCTCCTTCGCCGCGTGGTCGAGGTTGAACTGGCGGAAGAGTCTCAGTTTATCCTCTAGTGACGGGAAGCAGCCGCCACCACTCTTTTGTGGAGATCCCGGCGCGAGGCGCTTCAGTAGCTGAGAAGAAGGCTCCTTCGTTGTCAAGGAAGACATGATGGTAGCACATCGCTCTAATCCAGCGATGGCACTACACAGCTGCTTGACGCGCCGCGCGTCGAACTTGAGCTTGTCGAAGAGGATCGCGCGCGCGTCCGGATGCTGCTGGCCATCAGAGGACGGCGCACGTCTATCAGCCCCTAAAGTGTGCAATTGCTGGAGGGCTCGTTCCAGATCGCCGATGCCCTTCTGCTTCAGCGCCTTCGCCAACCCTTCATAGAGATCAGGCGACTCCACGAGCTCCTGGACCGCGTCGGCCCTCGCATCAATATCTCTCTTATCTAACAGGGGACGAGAGAGCCAGTCCCTGAGCAAGCGACCGCCAAAGGCCGTGCGACAGTGGTGCGTCAGGTGCCACAGACTCCCACTCCAGCCGTCCGGCGCGCTCGACCTCAGCACCTCGAGGTTTTTAAGTGTGGTAGCATCCAAGGCCATGCGCGGCGCCTTCCTCCTCAGTGCTGCGCGCCAGTCGTCGTCGTCATCTGTACTGGAGATGGCGAGGGCTGCTTCGAGTAGCTGGGCCTCATCGTGCGGCACGAATGCAGTAGTTGATTCAGGCGCTTCCCCGAGATCAGGAGGCACGTACGCGTCGACGCGGCGCATGCTGAGTAACTCCACGTCCACCAAGGCCCGTCGCAGCCACCAGGCCACGGCGCCCAATGACGACAAAGCGGAGTCCGCTCGGCCACGAACTGCTGTGCGCAGTACAGGAGGCCACCTCGCACTGACATCGTTGTCATTGCCCTGCTTCGAGGCTTTCGGGAAGGCGCCGCAGATTGAGAGATACTCGATGCAGGAATCCGCATCTAAGAACTCTGATTGAGGTGTGAGCAGTTCGACGGATGCGCCCGTCGCGCGCTCACAAATCTCAGCTAAATCGCGAGACCCTCTGGGTACCAGCACCTCGGCGGGCGGTAAAGCTGCTAGTAATGTCCGCAATCTAGTGCGCTGCACGTCGTCCTCGAATTGAGCCAGCGTGAAGGTTCCAGTCGGACTATCGCACACACACACTCCAACGGTAGAACCCTTCTCACACACCGCAGCTAAGTGGGTAGGACCGCTCACGGGCTCGAAGCCGCCGCCCTCCTTCTCCAGCCGCATGTCCAGGACCGTGTACAATCGAGTGCCGGGCGTCGTCAGCGAACAGACTTCCCGGCGCATGCCCTTTTCTATTTTGGACAGGCCTCTTCTTCCCGCAATACGTTTTTTAACTTGATCGGGGGTCTCCGTCTGCTCGACGCGGCAGACTTTGAAGCCCTTGGAGACCAAGGCTTCGACCTGTGTTGACCGACACCGTCTCGCGTCGACGGCGTCGAGGCGACGTGGTCTTAAATCACACCGGGTCACGCACGTATTTCCCATAGGCCAACTCCGGAAACCCGGCGTGCGCCTGGTCGCCCTTCATGTAGACCAATCCCGCCTCGGCCACTCCCACATCAGCATCGGTATGGTAGAGCTCGTAGAATTTCCCTATTTTATAAAAGAGCACGCAGTCCGCGTGCGTCTCCTTGACCTGCCACCAGGTCTGCTGCGTGCCCGTCAATTTTGCGATGGGTTCCTTGTGCCAGTCCACCTTTAGCGTGCGGGCATTAAACGAAGGGTCGTCGGGCGTCCGGCCGTCCGCGTCTCGCCGCGCAGTCGTCAGAAAGGCATATTTCGGATCGACGTCGTGCGTGTGGCAGCCCGCCGGCAAGACGGACTTCTTCTCGCTGTCATGAGAGTCTACTTTCTGATCAGTTAACTCCACGAGATCGTACGACTCGCGCTTGTCGGCGGAGACCGGTGCCGATCGCTTGCGATATCTATCGTGGAAGCCCCGGGCGTCGAAGGGCGTCGGCGTGCCCGGCCGCGTTTCTTTTTTGTCCGAGGACACGGGGACGGAGGACGGCGATGATTTGGCCGCAGGCATCTCCTCGTCACTATCATCGGCGATGACGCGCCGTTTCTTCGGCTTCGGTTTGTCCTCATCGTCGCTCTCGTCGAAGACCTCGTCCTCTTCTTCCTCCTCCTCGGAAATAGAAGCATCATCATCAACGACGAAGTCGTCGTCATCATCACTGGACGCCTTCCGGCGCTTGCGCTCTCTATCAGCGCGTTGTTCGGCCGTCAGGCCCGCCGACGGCGCCGGGCGCTTCGTCTCTCGCTTCACTTCCTTCGGTGAATGTGTCCCTTCGAGGAACTCGAATTTTTCTTTCGACAAATCGACGGCCTCCTCGTCGCCGTCGTCGTACTGGATCGCGTGGCGCTCGCCGTCGTAGGAGGCGACGCCCCCCGAATACCAGGCCTCGTCGGCGGGCCACCAGACCTTGAGGCGTCGTCCCACAACTTCCGCGCCGGGGCCCTTTTGTTTTGCGGGTTCTTCGGGCGCTTTCGTGGAGGGCTTCTTGAAGAAGCTCGCGAGCGTCGTCTGCTTCATCGATCCTGTCGAGGACTTGCGGCCGCTCATGGTCTATGGAGGGCGCGGCGGCGGCGTTTGTGCGCTCAGAGAGCTTGGCGCCGCGGCAGCTTTTCTCGGCCGGCGCGGGGCGTCGGGTCGCGGCGGCTGGCTGCAGCGCAGCGCCGACTGGCTGGTGTCTTCTGAGCAGCGCGCGGCGATCGATATCGCCGGATGCGGGGAGCTAGCGTCAAAAAATACGGCTCGATCTCACAGCTTTGAATTAGTGCGGGTTTGGGAGCTTGGTGCTGACGTCGTTAAGCCGCCCCCCAGAGCTCGTGCGTCGTCCTCTGAGGCCTCTGCTTTCGGTCCCCGCGCAGCGTGCCGTCGTGTTCGGGCTGGATGCTGGGACTTTGTCCAGCACACAGTCTTTGTTGGTGCCGCAAACGCAACGCAAACGCACGCGCAAGCGCTTGTGGTCCTAGGAACGAGGAGCATGAACATGCTATTCTGACGTGCTGACCGCTGTGCACAGCAATGAGGGCAGCCGTCGCACTGATATTGATAGGGGCAGCCGACGCAGGATGCTACGACTACATGGCCTGCGGGCAGTGCCCCGAAGGCTGCGTCTGGTGTCCCTATGACTTAATCTGCGCGCCGGAGAACAACGTCCCGACGGGGTCGTCTTTATACCTAAGCGGCTACACCGCGATCACCTGTGATGCGGACGACTACGTCGACGAGTGCCCGGAACGCGACGACCCGTTGCCAGACCCGTACTACGAGGCCGCGGCCTGGTACCTGGAGGCCATACGGGCCCCGGAGGCCTGGGCCGCGGGCTACACTGGTAGTGGTGTCCAGATCTTGGTGAATGACAACGGTGTGGACAACAATCATCCCGACTTGTCGAAGCTAGATACATCAGCCTCTTGTAGTTCATACGCACCTCACGGTAATGACGCCCACGGCACGGCCTGCGCTTCTCTCGCATTAGCCTCCTCCAATTCAGAAGCGGGCGTCGGCGTCGCCTACAACAGTGGACTAGCGTCGTGCACGATGATGGGCGACGACGCCGTCACCGGTTTAAGTTTCTTAACGTACAAGTACGACAAGAACGACATTTCGTCGAATTCCTGGGGCATTGATCAATGTGACTACATCGACAGTAGTACGAGCTGCCCATTTGACTGTCCGAACGTCGGGAGTAACTGGTGCCCCTGTGCGGCCTGTGATGGCGACGACTGGTCGTCTAGGGATCTCTCCCAAGGTTGCGAGAATACCGTCGTGGACTACTGCTACTATTTTTTCGAAGACGACGTTGACGCGTGTCTGGAGCTCGACCACTACTTCGTGCAGTGCGGCTTCGGCCAACTGTCGTCAACAGCGCACGACGTCCTAGAAGACGGCGTCAAGAACGGGAGAGGCGGCAAGGGCATGGTCCTCGTGTTCGCGGCGGGCAACGAATTTCGCAAGGGTGATGACGTGAACTATGAGGGCTACCTCAACTCGAGGTTCACGATCTCTGTTGGTAGTGTGGGTCAAGACCTGAAACATGCTAGGTACTCGTCGAGCGGTGCTCCCGTGTTTATTTCGGCCCCAGGAGGCGATTGGGAGAACTATCACCTCATTTTTGCCGCGAAGCCGCTGTCGATGAACGCCCCGGACGACTGCGGCGATTCGGGCGCGGGGACGTCGTATGCCGCTCCCCTTGTAAGTGGAGTTGTGGCGCTGATGCTCGAGGCGAACTCAGACTTAGGCTGGAGGGACGTGCAAGGGGTGTTGGCTGCGACGGCGTCGAGACCGCATGAGGACAGCGAAGATGAGTGGGAGACGAACCAGGCCGGTGTGAAACATAGCTACAAGTACGGTTTCGGTGTAGTTGATGCGTATGAGGCTGTCATGACCGCAAAGTCGTGGTCAAATTGGGGCAGCGAGATCACCCTTGTAACGTCCACTTCCACTAATAGTGTGATAGAAGACTGTTGCGGGAACTGGGTCGAGTCCACCTCTGTCGAGTTTGGTTCTCATGACTTTGTGATAGAGAGCGTTAGTGTATATGTGACGATCGAACACCCGCGGCGCGGCGATCTGAGAATTGAATTGGAAAGAGATGGTGTCGTATCACTACTGACGGACGACAAACTGGAAAGAGGCACGCGCTACACTCATCATAAATACACAACATTGAGGCATTGGGGCGAGCGCGCCGATCAAGGAGCGTTCACGCTGCGGGTCGCCGACATGCGGGAAGGTTCGGGAGACGACGACGACCTCGGCCAGGATACGTCCTTCTACTACTACGATGATGATGGAGACGACGACGGGATATTAGTGAGCTGGACGCTGCAGCTGTACGGCCACGATGCCGACCTGTCGACGCCGTGGACGCCGCAGCCCACACCACAAGCGGTCGGCTGCGATCGCGTCGAAGTCGACGGTTTTGAGTATCAGCCCGCCGACGGCATTTATGGGAGAGCGGGGGAGTGCGAGGGCGTGGCCATGTACGAGGATAATGGGATATATTTATGGTGGATGGACTCTTACTGGTACATCGGGAACGACCCCTGCCAGGACGACTACGCCGCGGCCTACGTCTATGATGATAACGCGGACCTTGTGAACCTGATGGGGACGTGGACCGAGTACCAGGGCTCGCCGGGCTGGCGCGCGAACGCCGACGTCGTGGCCACGTGCCGCGTCGACACGCCGGCCCCGACGCCGGCCACGCCGGAACCGACGCCCGAACCCTCGCCGGAACCTACTTATTCTCCGACGACGCCCCAGCCGTCGCCCGCGCCGTCGACGCCGGCGCCGTCGCCGTCGCCGACGCACCGGCCCACCTACTCTCCAACGACCCCTGAGCCCTCCGTGTCGCCGTCCCCGGAGCCTACGCCTCGGCCAACACCAACACCGACGCCGGAGCCCTCTGTCACTCCGACGCCCCGGCCGACGCCCGCGCCGTCCGTATCTCCGACGCCCTCACCCACGGTCTCGCACCAGCCCACGCCGCAGCCGACGCCCAGACCTACTCCGAGACCCACCCCAATGCCGACGCCGCGCCCTACACCTACGCCGACCACGCCTCAACCGAGCCCGCGGCCGACGCTGAGGCCGACACCTCGACCCACGCCGACGCCGACGCCGCTGCCGACCACATGGCAGCCCACAGCCGAGCCGTCGCTGAGGCCGACACCTCGCCCGAGCTACCGGCCCACGCGCTCGCCGACGCCGCAGCCATCCCCCTCGCCGACGGTACCGCCCGGCGACCCCACCGCCAGCCCGGTCTTCGCGCCGACGCCGCAGCCGTCCCGGACGCCGACGCTGCGCCCCTCGCCGCGCCCGACGCCCGCGCCGACACCCTTGCGGCCTACCCTGCGACCGTCGCCGCGGCCGACGGCCGCCGCGCCGACGTTCGCGCCGTCGCCGATCCCCTACGTCGTGACGGGCGGCCTCTCGTTCTCCGGCGTGAGCCTGGCAGAAGCTCTGGAAGCCGAGGCAGTGTTTGTGGTCGCGGTCGCGATCCTGTGTGGCGTCGATGAAAATGCGGTGACCGTGACGATATCGGCGGCGGCGAGAAGGCTTCTGGAAGAGGCGTTGCTTCCCGGGCGGAGCCCCGGGGCGCCCATGCGCCGCAAGAGCGACTACGTACCCACGGCGAAGCCGACGACGTCGTCGCCGACGCTGCAGCCGACGAACTACGCGCCCACGGCAGCGCCGACGTCAGTGCCAGAAGGCGGCGTCGTGGTCGCCTACGAGGTCGCGGTGCCGTCTCTGTCAGAGGCGGAGGCCGTCTCCTCGACCATTTCATCCACAACGGTGGCGGACGTCGACGCAGCAGTGGCGACGGCGGTCACGGCAAATAATGAGACGCTCGCAGTCGTCGCCACGGCCGTCGGCGCCGTGGACTTCGCCGCGACGCGCACCAGGGCGCCGACCGCAGTACCGCTCCCGGGCGACGATGCCTCCTCCAGTGCATCGAGCGGCGGCGTCGACGCGGCCACGCTGGGCGGTGCGGCGGCCGCCGGCGCCGTACTCTTGTTGGCGGTCGTGGCCTACGTCGTCTACCGCCGCCGTACCGTCGTTGCGAAGGAGGAGGAGGAGAGGTCTCCGCGGAATTCGCCCCGCATCGACGTGGAGGAGGGCGTGGACCTCAAGGCGGTCAAGGCCGCCGCGCGGGCGCAGCTGGCCCAGACGTTGGCCGACGAGCCGCCGCCGCCGCCGCCTTCTCGTTTGTGATATTGCTTATCGTGTTATCGAGGTAAGAGTCTGTACCTTATTTACTCGTTGCTTCGCGGGCGCGGAGCGCGGCTCGCGCATCTCGCAATTGGCGCTCAATGTCCACCGTGAGCGGATGTGCGCCGCCGAAAACGCGCCGTGCGATTCGTTCCGTCTCCTCGAGCGTCGTCACTGCCTCGCGGAGATCTCCGAGCGTGGCGCCGTCGGCGTGGTAGAGCGCCGCTGCAGAATACCACCTCATCCTGAGCGTGATCTCGTCATTCTCTCCGAGAACCCGCCGCGCCACGGGCAGCATTTTGCGCAACGGCGGCTTGGCTTCTTCGAAGCGTTGTAGATTAAGAAAAGCTAACCCGTAGTTGTTGGCTGCGTTGAGGGTCAAGCTATCTTCCTCACCAAGGAGCTTCAAACGTTTGAAGTATATGTCTCGCCGCATGTGCAAGGCCTCTTCAAGCCTCCCAACCAACGAATACGTACATGCAATATTGTTCTGCGCGACGAGCAATGTGATTTCGTCAGCGCCAAGGCGTCGTAGCATAGACAACTCGGCCTCTCTCACGGTCAACGCGTCCTCGTGGTGCCCTGCTTCGCCTAAACCGGTCCCAAGCAGTGTCATCGCCACTTGCCTAGCCACATCCACCTCCGGCCGACCCACGTACGTCTTCCAGCACGCCCATCCGAGCGCACACCGCACGACGCCGTGGTATTCTTGCTCGCACAGGCTGCACTTGTACCACCGGTTCCACCTCTCACTCTGCACCTTGTCGCTCAAATTATTCTCCTCGGCCTCATCCATCAAAATCTTCGCCTGCTCCGCCAAACACGACACGTGCGCAAAGCCCGCCGTCCCGCGGCACGCACACATGCGCACGAGGCCCTCCTTCGTTTTCCAATGTAGGGCCTGCGTGCAGATGTAGCACGTCTGCCCCTTCGTGTCGTCGGCGCACGCCTCGGCGGCCTTGGACCCAGCCGCTACACTCGACGATCTCCGCGAGGCCGTAACGACGCTCGAGGACGTGGAACGGACCGCGCGGCGCGTGTTTGGCGGCGCGCACCCGTTCACAGCATGGGTTGAGAGCAATCTGCGATACGCGCGAGCCGCGCTCCGCGCCCGCGAAACGCCGCCGACGCCATCCAAAAATGAATAATGGTGGCAAAGCGACGAGTAAGACCCAAACCCACAAGTTACCCAGACCTAGAGCTTGAAGATCGTGTCCGCGCCCGGCTTCCGCCGCTCCGGTAGTCGATCTAGTTCGGCCGCGGCATACAACTTCACCAAATTCTGCCGCCGCTCGGTGTAGCACGAGGGAAAGAAGTCCGGGAAGAAGCGCTGGATCGCCCCGAAGACGAAGACGTGGCCCACTGGTGACAGAGGTATCAGCAGGATGATAATGAAGGGCACGGTCGTGAGCAGGTCCTTCACCGTCCTCCGGAGTACGCGCACGTCGCGAGGCACCAGCGTCTCGCCAGCAAACGCACGACCAACAAGCGACGCCGAGAAGCCCACATCGTTGAAGAGCAGCCGTGAACCGTCGACATAAAAGGTCCATCCCCTACTGATTTGCGTCCGCATGGAAGACAGGAAGTTCGCGATGGCGTCGTAGAAGGCTCCTACGCCTGAGAGCATGTTCGAGCTGAAGCGCTTGCCCGAACCGGCCTTCGCCGCCCTAGAGCGCAATAACAACCCTAGTGACGTCTCCTGGGGCCGCTCCTTCGAACCGCCCGCCAATTTACCGAGTTGCGCCTCGTCGAACACCAATAATAAAGCAGAGTCCTCGAACTCGCCGCTCGCCTTGAGCGCGTCGTAAAAGGCCCTCACATTATCGAACCGGTCGATTCCTAACCTATTACTGAAATCTCGGATCTCCTTGCCGAGCATGTCCAATTCCGCTCGCAAGATAGCCGCACCGACACTGCGAGCGTCCCGGGCCAACGCTACCAACTGAGCGTCCAATAGAGCGAACTCGGCCACGACTCGTCTGTCCTGGATCTCCACCGGTGACGTCGACGCATCTAAGGAAGCTTCTAGCGCGGCACAGCACCGTTCTAAAGCCAACTCCAATCTCGCAGACACGTAGTTGCCCTCGGCCTCGCCCAACAGAGCCGTCGCTCTCCGGAACGCAGCGCGAGCCTTCGCGCCACTTATTTCGTCGACGTCGTCCAAAGCCTGCCTCGCCGCCAACAGAGCCTCGGCCGCCGACACGGCCTGCGACGCCTTGGCCTTCAAACCGGCCTCCCTTCTCTGCTGCGAGAAGCTCCCGGACTCGGCGAAGGGCACTTCTACTTCAGGTTCATCGGTCGCCGGCGGTTCCTCGGAGACGCCGTTGATGCGTCTCCATAAGTCTACGGAGAAGGCCGTGGCCGCCTTGGCGCCTTGCAAGGCGCCCTCCCAATCGACACTTCCGTCTTGCCTCACATAAAGTACAGCGGTCCTGTTCGTCTGCAGTTTGTTCTTGGGCGGTCCTTTGAGAGCGTACCAGCCCAGTTCCGCGACGGCGTCCCTTCGGCGCCGCAACTCGGCCAACAACTCCCGCCAGAACTGCTTGTCCTCTTCCTCTTCGACGACCTCCTCGACGTGGTCGGACGAGCGGCGGGCCGCCGCCGCGGCCTCGGCGTCCGCGAGAGCTGCTGCGGTGTCTCTTGCTCTTGAACGCAATGCTGCTCGGTCTCGCGCGGCTATTTTACTCTTCCCAGCACCGGACTCGAGCTCGACCAGTCTGCTATCAAGTTGTTCCCGCAGTCGCGCAAAATCAACAAAGGACTCCTCCTCGTCCTGCTGGGACTCCTCGAGCTCCAAGCGTAGAGCGAATTCCGCTGCTACTAAATCGTCCATGGCCTGCCGCACCCATACTGAATCGCGGAGCCGTAATGTCCGAGAGACGTCGCGTTTGGGGGGCGCGAAGGTGTCCGTCTCCGGGGGCACGCCGGCCGCCGAGTCGAGGCTGTTCTCGGCCGCGTCGGGCACGGCTGCGCTTGTCGCTTGCGTGTCCTCGATGAGCGCGGCGGCGGTTTTCGTGGGCCGCGCCGGTCTCTTACAATTCTGTACCGGCAGCTGGAACGCGGCGACGCCTACGGCCGCTCCTACGACGACGAGGCGCCGCAACATAGTGCTGACACTTATATTGAGGCGCTCTCCGTGGCTGGCGGAGCGTTTCCGGCGCCTTTGTCTGGAAGCGCTCGCTCCGTCGATAGGGCACGTATCCACAGGCGTGTGGCTGTGCCTCTTACGAAACGGCTATGAGCCAGCGTCGCGACCAAAGCCGGCTGCTTGCATCATTGCTCTAGTGCCTAAATACCGCTAGCAAAAGTCGTCCGCGAGGAGTCCGTAGACGCTGAGCACCCGCCGCCGACGACTCTCGAAGCGATGGCGGGCGCCGGCGCAGATTCGTCTCCAGGAGTCGAGCAAACAAAAGAGGCAGCCCCGCCGCGCGGCGCGTGCTCGTACCGCTGCCGGCCGGCCGGCGAACGCACTCGTCGCGGTCGTCAGAAGCGGTCGCAGCTGCTGGCAGAAGCGCGACACCAGTAGCTGCAGGTTTGCCCACTCTGTGAGGCACACACACAAGCATGGAGCTCACGCTGGAACGCAGCGACCTCTGCCAGGTCGGCACCATCTCACACCTCAATACGCTGGCCCTGACCGAGGACAAGAAGTCGGGGCGACTGCGAATTGTCGTCGGCGACGACAACGGCGACGTCCAGGCCTTTGAGGTGAAACGAGGCGACGCCAAGTCGATCTTCAAGACGAGCGCGGGCAAGGGCGGCGTGCAGGCCGTGTGTACGGGCGGCGGGAAGGTCAAGGATCGGGTCTTTTGTGCCGTCGGGCAGGTCGTCGTCGGTCTAGGGAGGAAGGGCAAGCAATTTTTTTCACTGCAATCTTCGTTAGTAGAACCGATCCGCTTCCTGTCCGTAGATGAAGCTTTATTGTTTACGGGCGGCGAATATGCTCACTCAAGATACAGAGACGGTGCCGACGACGGCTTCTACACGTGTCCGGATCGAATCACGGCCATGCACGTCCAGCGGTTTGCGGATGAGCATCACGTGTTTCTGGGGTGTAAAGACAGACGAATTAGAATGGTACAAAAGGATGAACTCATAGGGGAGATCTCTACCGAGCGGCCCGCATCAGCTTTAACAGTACGGGAAGTAACATCACGGGCCTACGAACTCATAGTAGGGGACGAGGGCGGTTCTATAAGTTGCTACCTCTGCAAAGAGTCGACGCTCAACACGAAGGAGGCCTGGTCAATCGGTGGTGACGCGAAGGTGACTTGTCTAGCATGCTTTGACTTAACTAGAGACGGTCAGTTGGACGTCGTCGTCGGCCGGGCCGACGGGTTGGTGGAGGTCATATCCTTTGGGGATGGCGTACCTACGGTAGCCTGGTCGCAGTCGCTCAACGAGGCCATTCATTCGCTGAGATGTGGCCGCGTCTCTTCATCTTCGAATGACGATATTGTAGTGTGCACCTTTGCTGGTAGAATAACATCGTTCTCGAACGAGCCCATGAAGGTGGATGTGGATGCCGAAGCTTCTCGAGCGAAAGAGAAAATTGAGTTATTGAAAAAAGACGTTCAAGAATTGAGAGAAAAGGTCCACCGGGCCCGAGAGAAGGCACAGACATCTCCTTCGAAAGCCTCGTCCAGCAATCGGGGTTTCGTGCCCCGAGGCGAATGTTCGTTGGATGCCGAGCGAGCGTGTTATCAAATCTCGCTCGAGTTACCAGTACCTATTGACTTAGTACACTTACGATCAAGCTCATCTTTGGACCTGTTGGAGGACGGCGCCGACGCGACGGCTGTCGTCTCGACCTGTGAGCCTGATCCAAGGCATGATCTGCCAGGAAAACCACCTACAAAATTACTCGCCGCGTTCCGCTGCCAAGACGACCAGCACGCTCTCAGGTTTTGTGTTAGGACTGTGGAGGGCGAGCCGGGGGACTTGAGGTGCGTTGTTGTTGCTAGAGGACAGCCGAAGATCGGTCGAGTCGTCGACTTTCGGGTACCTGCTTTGTCCTTACACCGACGCGTCCATGAATTGACAGCTGATCAACTCGCAAGACCGAAGAACATCTTGACGCTGGAAGGCACGTTTACGTCGCAAAACGCGCACGACTGGCTGCGGTCTTGTTTGCCGGAGTGCCCCCCTCGAACGCAGCCGCGGTCGTCGTCTCCGAGACCGACGCTACAAAAGGAGGAGACAAGTGCCAAGGCTGACGAGCAAAAAGAGGATATACCAAAGGACTCGCTACGATATCCGAGAGATGACGACGATGAGTTTGCAGAAATACTGAAGGAGGCGCAGGCCTGTTTCCCGGACGCCGTCCGCGAGGAGGCCAAAGAGCCAGAGGCCAAGGAGGAAGCACCACCGGAACCGGCAAAGCCACCACCCATCCTCGACCTCCAGCACCGCCTCTGCTTCGAGAACGTCTACACCGGAGGCTGTGTGGAGTGCGACTACCAAGAGAACAAAGCTAGAATATGTTCCGATAGCATAAGCGCCCTAGCTATCCTCAAGGAGCACATCTCGAAGGAAGCGGTCCGACTCAGGCAGGAGGTCTCCGACCATTTAGTGTTGGATGAGCAGTCCATACCATCATTCTTGAGACTGATTGACCCCAAGCTCAAGTACCAGCGAAAGCTCGCGGAACGAGTGGAGTTGATCGATGCGATCCACGAGATCGCGACGGCGGAAGAAGATACGAGGTGGCTCGAGGAGGAATATAGGTACATCCACGAGCACGCCGACGAGCTGCGGAAGGAGCACGCGAAGGCGCCCCAGGCCCTCCAGTACTTGACAGGGGTCGTCGCCGACTTCTTCGTGGACGCCATGAAGGCTCGAGGTATTGACGGGCGGCCCCAGCTCGAGAAACTTGATCAACTGTTGCTGGCGGCGTCGTACGACTTGGACAAGCTGTTGGCGTTCTTCAATCCTTCAATGCATAAGGTGCCGTCGCGCGACGGGTTGAACTCGCTGGGGATCTGATAAGTATAGTCTGTGCTAGTCTTTGCTCTTCGCGTGGGTGGCGTGACTGCCTCCTCGTCTTTAAGAGTCGATGTTACGGTGCTAGGACCTCATCTTTGCGTTTTAGCTAGCGGTGTAGACACTAGCAAGCAAATCAGGCTCGAGCGCCTGGGTCTGTGCTCTAAACCCCACGCGGGGTGAACCAGTTCAAGCCACAGCAGTGGAGCAACCCTGGGAACATATCCTGGCACGCGCAGCAGTCAGCGGGCCCTAGGAGGACCTAGCGCCCTCTCACAAGGCCCATAAGAAGCAGGCTCTGCGGAGCGGGTACGCGCAGCCATGGTCTTCGCCAGTCGCGAGGAGGAGATCGACTACCTCCGCGATGAGTTAGAAAAAGCTGGCTACGACGAGACCTCCAAAAAGCAGTGGGACGAGGCGACCCTCGGCAGAGTCCGGAAGCTCCGGCAGCTCGAGGAAGAAGCGCCGCGCCGCCGCCGCGCCGACGTCTACGACGAGTCCGGCTCCGACGAGGAGGAGTCCGACGAGGAAGCCGAAGAGGTCGACGAGCAGGGCATCTGCTGGTCGGGCGCGCGCGGCCCGGACATGGAAGAGGAAGAGGCCGAGGCGCCGGCGCGGCGGCGCTGCGCCCACGTCAAGGAGGACGGCCGCCAGTGCCCAAACTTTGTCCTCGGTAGTAATGAGAAGTGCGAGTCGGTGCATAAATCAAATTGTCGCGTCGCATCTCCGCCACTGAGCACCCCACTCACTGATTGCCTTGCCCACAGGTGCGACTTCGACCCGACGCGGTTCTGCGGCCCGGCCTGCGCGGCGGCGGCCGCCGCGCGCGCCGAGGCCCTCGCGGCCAAGATGGAGGCCGAGGCTTTGGAGCGCAAGCGCGCGCGGAGCGAGTCCGACGTCGGGGCCCGGAAGCCCGCCACCCGGCGGGCGGCGCCGGGCCTGAGCGACATGATGGCGGCCTGCGCGCGCGCGCCCGAGCCCGAGCCCGAGCCCGAGGCGCCGCCGTCGCCCGTCGCGAGGAAGAAGAAGAAAAAGAAGAAGCCCAAGAAGGCCAAGGAGGCCGTCCCCGACGAGATCATGACCATCGTCGTCCGCGACCGCCGCAAAGATTCGAGTGAAGAGGACACGACGGTCAAGCTCCGGACGTCGACGAAGCTCGCGCGGGTCTTCGGCGCCTACGCCGACGGGTTAGGTGCGTCTGTTGATACTCTAAGGTTCCTGTACAAGGGCGGCGACGTCTATGGAGACGAGACGGCCGGCGCCATCGGCCTCGCGGAGGGCGCTTGTTTGGAATGTGTCGACGGCGATCCTCCTGCGAAGCAGAAGAAGCGCGTCACCGGCACGGTGGTCCGCTGGGACGGGTCCCGAGGCGGCATCGAGCCGGCGGAGCAAGGGTCCGGCGGCCGCATCGCCGTGCGCGTATCCGGTGTTCGGCGCGGCACATCTCTCCGAGTCGGAGATAAAGTCGAGTACGCGATCGGGCGCAAGGGCGACGCGCGCTTCGCGGTCGACGTCATGGTCTACGCGCCGGCCGCCGAGGCCGACGAGGACAGCAAAGACGGAGCCGTCGTCACGCTCGCGAACCTGAACTACGACACGAAGCGCTACGACTTGAAGGAACACATCGGTTCTATCGTCGGCAAGTCCTTCGGCCGCGTCGAGCTCACGGCGAAGGGCCGCGCGGCCGTCGGCTTCCGGACGCTGGCGCAGGCCGAGGCCGCGGCGGCAGCGCTCGACGGCACGGAGCTCGCCGGGCGGTCGCTGTCGGCGCGCGTGCGCAAGGAAAGTCAAGGGCGGCGCCGCGCGCCGTCGCTCGACGTCGCCGAGGCGGCGGCGCCGGCCTCGCCGCGAGCGTCGCCCCGGGCGTCGCCAAGAGCTCCGGCCGCCTCCGCGGGCCGCGGGCGCGGGGCGGGCCGCGGCCGCGGCCGGGGCCGCGGCCGCGACGCCCCGATCGCGCCGCCGCTGCGCCGCGCCCAAGTCATCCCCGAGCACCTCCTCTCCGGCCCGCCGCCCCGGCGCCGCGTGGTGCCGCCGCCGCCAAGCTCGGAACCGCGCCGCCGCGGCAACGCCCCCGCGCGGGCGCCGCCGGCGCGGGCCGCGCCGACGGGCTCGATCTCGACGGGCCTGTTGGGCGCGCCGCGCCTGCCGCGGCCGCCCGCCGCCGTGCTTCCGCACCGCGCGCCTCCCTCGGCTGACGCCGAAGAGATGGCGCTGAACCGGGCCATCGCGGCTTCCTGCCGCGAGAACTACGCTTCTTACGCGGGCGACAGCGACGCGAGCCTCCAGGCGGTCCTCGAGGCCTCGCGCCGAAGCGCGCCGCGCCAGATTCGCCACGTATCCCACGACGACGACGCGCAGCTGGCGGCCGCTTTACAAGCTTCGTTGCGCGAGACGACCCCGGCGCGCCCGGCGATGACCGAGGACGAGCAGCTCGCCGCTGCCTTACAGGAGTCGCTCCAAGTCGTCACGCCGCCGTCGTCCTACGCTCCCTCATCATCGCTGGGCGGCGGCGCGACGCTCGAAAGCACCCTGGCCGCCTTCGACCTCCAGCGCCTCGTGCCCGTGCTTGCTCAAGAAGATATCCGCGACGTCGAGACCCTCGCGCTGCTCGAGGCCGAGGACCTGCGCGCCATGGGCATCCCGGTGGGCACGCGCTCCAAGCTCGCGCGCGTCATCCAGACGCTTCAAGTCTAGCGGCGGGGCCGATCCCTCGCCGCCGACCCCGCTCGTGTGCCGGTAGCGGTGTAGTATCCCTTGTAACCCTATAACACTTACGAAATAAGAAAAATGCCTCAGCGCGGCGACGGCGCGCGCCCTAAAGGGTCGGGCCGCCGCTCCGACTCCCGCGAGTCGAGCCGCTCGACGGCGACGCGACGGTCCCGCCCGCGCTCCGACGGCTCGACGGGGCCGTCGCGCCGCCGCCGCCGGCCCCGCCGCTTCATGCTACAACTAGGAGACACGCAGAGCACCGGCTTCGGATACGTCTTCGCCTGCTTGGGCACGAAGCCGTCGCCCGACTTGTCGACGAATTCGACGGGTAGCGTTCGTGTCACATACCTCAGATCGGGCCCGTACTTGCACGACAGCGGCGTGTCGAACGCGCCCGGTGTTGCTCGATAATCGGACAACTGCGTCGCCATCGGCTTCGCGCCTTCCACTGCCGGATGTCTTCCAAATTCGAGAATCACACTATTACCTTCGGCCAGATACGACTTGAGCATGATGCCGTGCTCCTTCGAGATGAGACAAGCAGGCACGGGTGACGCGGTCTCGCACCCACCCATCGCGAAGAGCTCGGGACCGGATCTATTGTTGGAAATAATCGCCGCACAGGCGCCCTGCTCTGCCAAAAATGATATTTTTTCCGAGAACGTCGAGGCCGGGTCTCTGTCTGATAAAGCGATCCAAGGACCTTCTATCCGTAGGCCGTCGCCCGCAACGGCGTCGTTCGGGACGTGAACCACTTTACACCTTAATGGTGTTGAGGGCAGTTCACAAGAAAAGGCCGCCGCGACGGACTGCAACCGTTTACGGCAGTGCTTCGGGGAGACGATGCGCAGCGTAGACGTCTCCTCCGGTAATAAATTAACTAAATCAAAATGTAAATGAGGACCACCAGTATAACCGGTATTGCCGCTCCAGGCGATTTGTTGCCCTCTTCCGACTCGTTCGCCGACTTTATATAAAGATCCCTTCTCCTTGAGGTGATAATATCGCGCATAACTCCCGTCTGAATGCCGCACGGCCACAAAGTTCGCTCTGGGCGCCAAATGCGCCTTCGCGCCGCCTCCTCTAAAATGGTCGACGACCGCCGCGATCGTACCTCCTCTGGCAGCTAGCACGGGCGTGCCCACGGCCAGCTTAAAGTCGAAGCTATAGCATAACGTACCCCTATGGGTACTTCTCCCATTGACGCCCTGGATGCACTTGCCGTGGCCCTTGACGAGCCGCCAGGCCGCGAGGTAGCCGGGGTACGGCAACGCTAGTCGCTTGAGCTTGTCGCTCGTCAGGAGTTCCGCTAATGATGCGGCGCCGCGCGGCGTTTCCTCGGTTTTCGATTCCGGGCGGGGCGGCCGGCCAGCTTCGTCGGCGTCGCGAGGCATCTTGTTTCGATGCTTCACGCCGACAGCGCTGCGTTATGAAGCCAAACGAAGGATCGTGGCAGCTCTCCTGGTCCTCTAGCTGCCCGCGGCACGTGGAGGCCGATAGCCGGAGGACGTTGTGATTACGCCAACCTTGCAATTAGGCGAGCACTGAGCTGTCTTCAGGCGATGCTATCGATGCCAGTAGACAAATCGCAGCAAGAATCGCCGTGTAACTTTGCCCACGGCGCTCGCTGGAGGCCGATAAAGCTGACTGCAGCGCCGCCAGAAACCCGTAACGATTTTTGACATCCGAGTTAGCCGCGGTAAGCGTAACAGGGGAGCCAGAGCGTGTCTGTGCGCGACTGCGGAGGGCTGGACAGGTCCGAGAACTGACCAAAATGTGAGTGAGAAGCAAGCTTGACACCATTTGGCCTGCCCGCTTAAGCTCCGTGTTCTCCCACTATCGGCAGCGCGAGGGGCCTTTGAGGCAGTACTCCTAATATAGCCGCACCGCTGAGCGAAAGAGACGAGGCCCGCAGCACGGCTGTGTGTCAAAGAGCTCTCTCAAAGATAGGGCCAGAGCATTTGGCTCGCGTTCAAAACTGGGCCGCCGTCCGACGCCGACGAGCCTCGATGATCACCTAGCACCTACAGAAATGCCCGCCTGGACATAGTACATAGACATAATGCCAAATCAGCTCACGCGCGCGCGGCGCCGCAGCCAGAGCCTCGCCGAGCCGCCTACCAGCCCATTCATGAAGCGGGAGCACCGCGGCGCCCAGTCGCGCGACCCCGACGCCTGGCGCACGCGTCTTTGTGGAGAGTTCGAGCAGTACGGGAATTGTTCGCGCGGCGACGCTTGCACATATGCGCACGGCGAAAACGAATTAAGACATAGGGGCAGCGAGCTCTGGCCCATGGCCGCGCCGCAAGTCTCGCCTGATAGTTTGGCCTGGCCGCCGCCTCCGGAGCAGCCGAGGACGCCGGAGCGGACCGTGAGCCCCTCGTGGGAGCACGTCCCTTTGACGCACCGGGCGACGAGCGCGCCCATGCCCATGCCGCGCATCAATTCGGGGGAGTTATGTGTCGCCCTCGAGCGAGTGGCGCACATCGCGGTGGAGGACAACGAGCTCGGGGCTTTATCACCTCTGGCGCCGGCCTTCGCGCCGTCGTCGGCGTCGTCGTCACCGGTCTCGCCGCGCTTCGCGTCGCCGCAGCACACGCCGGAGCGGCCTTTACGCGTGACGCCGCACGGCACGCCGACGGGCCGCGAGCCGCCCGTGCTCTCGCCGCTCCAAGCGCCGGCCGACTCGTTTGACAACCAGCGGCCGGATGGGAGGTTAGGAGGCACGGTGGTCCACTTATCGCGGCGGCCGGGCGCGCAGGGCTGGTACGGCTTCGTGCGGCCGGACCAGCCTTTGTTGAGAGACCGGGGCCACCAGCGCGGCGACCTGTTCCTGCACCCGTCGGACGCGGAGCTCGGCTGGCGGCCGGCCGTGGGCGACCGCGTGTCCTTCCTGCTCGGCGTGCACAACGGCCGGTTGAAAGCGGTCAAGGTCTGCAAGGACGGGTCCTCGTCCGATTCCGAGAGCGAGGACGGGTCCTGGCCGGCGCCGTACGCGGACTACGTCAACGAGCGGCACCGGGCCTTCTCCATGTGATCGCGCTCCACCCAAGTCTATGGGCGCGGCCCCGCCCCCCCCTTATCCCTGTCACGTTAGTAAGAGCAAGCAGTCGAGCCTACCTACCCTTCCTGTGTGCACAACTCGCCCCGTCCGATACGCATCGACTCGGATGGCTTCATAGATGCACGTTAGTAGAAGCCTACTGCCGAGGCGGTTGCTGCAGCTCGGGTCGGGGCGTACTGAACGACGCGAGGAGGTCGTCTGAGAACTTGGCGGCGCCGTTGGAGAGGTACGCGTCCTTGAACCAGTCGTTGTCAAGCGGCCGGAAGGAGCCGATGTACTGTCTGCCGGGGTCCACCGTTATCCACTCGACGCGGCGCCCCAGGGAGCTCACGTAGGTGTAGCTTGCTGTGAGGTCGGGTTCATCGGAGGTCCGACGTCCCAGTCCCGGCAGGCCAATGATTAGCGGATTCGGAGGCGTGTCGACGAGCAGGTTGAAGTCCAACGCAATTCTGTGAGGAGTAGCATCGCCGCGCGTCGACGCGACCACGATGGGCGCGCGCCGACAGCGCGTGGCGTCGAAAGGTGGGGTATAAGCGTCGTTGTGCCAGAAAGAATTGCGCGAGATCGCGCGGAGGACTTCCCTGGTGGTTCTTCCGTCCACGACGATGTCCTCGTAGTCAGAAGCCTCAAAGGGAGCAGGGGCGTCCGGCTCCGGGCGTAGTTTGTCTAAGAGGTTCAGGGCTTGTAGCAAGCGGCAGAGACTCGAGGGGACGCGCCAGCCGGTCATCGTGCGACTCTGCGCGTCGGGGGCCACGCACACTATAGCATTACCGTCCGGCTTGTCAGGATCCATGCCGCGCGCAGCCGCGGCGCCGAACCAGTTCATGACGCGTTCGCCCATGCCCGCTTTGCCTCCCTTATGTTCGCACAGCGCCTGACCGTCGCGCGGCATCTCCCATCGGCCACCACTGTTCATTTCTCGCCCGGCCTTGATGTGGTTGACGCGCTCCTGGCGGTGCTTGATGACGCAGAGGAGCCGCGCGAGGCCATTCACTTCGTGCCAGGGCCGCAGCGTGGCGGACGCGTCGAGGCGCTGCGGCTCGAGGCCGGGGACCGCGATTGCGAACCCGCGCTCCGCGTATTTCAGGAGTCGCGTCTCGTAAGTCACGCTTTGACGCGACGGATCGACGACGTTGATTCGGCCGTTCACGGCGCGGCGCGCCCGCGGAAGGCACCAGAGCCGCAACCCGTCGTAGCCGAAGCAGGACGCGTCCAGATCAAAGCCCATCAATACCTCCGCGATGCTCTTGTAGAGGCGAAACACCACCTGTATCCGCCGCGGGCACCAGTGGCTCTCGCAGTGCCTCCGTCTGGAGCGGGGGTCTCCATGAATGTGATCGGGGTTTGTCCGCGACACTTTCATCGAGCCGACGTGAAATGTGACGGCGTGGCGGCCGCGCCACGCCGTGACGTAGCCGTCGTCCGGACACTTACGCACCAGGTGCTCGTGGACGCGGCGGATGATCGCGAGCGCCTGCGACTCGTCTTCCACGCCGTGGATGAACAAATCAACGTCAGAAGTCGACACAGGCATGTCCCGGACGACGTCGACGACGTCCTTGTGGGGAGCGTCGCCGCCCTGCTCATCTTCGGGCACGGTTTCGTCGTTGTCCCATTGCGTCTGTAGGGCCTCGAAGAAGCGCGGGTCGTCGGTGACAAAGTCGAGGTCCGCTCGGTCGTCGAGACCAAAGGGGGCCAGATGCAAATAGCAAAGCCGCTCGTAGTCCGCATCAGTCAGCGCGGCGGTGCGCCACGTCTCAGGCCGGCGCGGCAGCGGCAGCGCCGGTATTAACGCAGAGGATCCGGCGGCGACGAGGTTCTCCCAGTCAAACCCGTCGAGCAGCCCCCCCGCAAAGCTTTGGAATTGCCGGCGAAAGACGTCGACGCTCGGGACGACCGACGGCGCGCCGGCCACCGGTGGGCGGTGCGTGTGGAAGCGCGCGAGCGTCGGCACGTCACGTAGTTCGTCCAGCTCGACGCCGCCGCCGACGAAGGTCGTGAGTGAGGAGAAGACGTCTATGAGGTGCGTGTGCGGGTGCGAGATCCGAGGGTCGTCGCGCGCGCTCACGAAAAGCGCCCGGAGCTCGTTCTCCTCGTCGCGCATGCGCTCGTTCGTGGGACCGGCGGCTGCAACCATATTCTGCGCGGGTCCCACGACGCGCATGAGCGCCTCGATCTGGTAGAAATCCGCCTCGCGCTCGAGCGCCTCCCGCTCCTCGTCGCTGCCCCACCGCGGCATCGCGCCGTCGCGGAGGAAGGCGAGGACTTGGGGGAAATGCTGCGCATCGCGGTCCACGAAGACGGCGCCCGAGTCGTCGAGCACCGGCGGGAAGCGGCCGCTGAGCAGGACTGAGAAGAAGCCAGAGGCGGGGACCAGCGTCGACTTCGACGTCGTGAAGTGGGTGCCGCCGATGGACAGCTTCACGACCGACGCCTCGCGGTGATGCGCCACGGCGCTCGCGCTGCGGCCGTGCGCCTCGCGCTCCCGTTCCAGCGTGGCCTGCGTCTCCCGGAGCTCGCGCTCCTTAGCCCGTAAGCGGCGCATGATCTCGGCCGCGGCGTGCTGCGCCGGGTCCGTGTTTGGCTGCTGCTGGTCCATTGTTGTTGCTGGGGCAGCGTTTTTTATTGATTCGGCAGCCGGGAGATGGAGAGGGAGAGATTGCTCCCGCGCCGAGCCCCCGTACGCTTTTTGCCGGGCCGTTTTCGAGCCAACTAGCCTTGAGGCCACTCAGACGCTTGGCCACTTGACCAGCTCGTTTTGCTCTGCGCTCAGCGGTAGAGTGTGTGCTTGTGAGAGCTGCACTCTGGCAGCTACCCTGGCAACGCTCGTGCAGCGCCCTCGCGTTGTGCCGCACACCACACGTATCGTGCCGTATACAAAACACTAATTGCACTATCGCTGGCCCTCTGGTGGGGGAGCCTGCAAAAATGCCGAGCTAGCGTCCTGTAAGACACTAGCAAACGCCGGCAGCACCGGCAGCAGCTGCGCTCAGCAGCTGAGCGCCGCAGAGCTGGACGCGAACGCACGTATCGATCGCACCCTGCAAGCATTTGTGCCTCGTGCATATATCGAAAGCTGCTGAAGCCGTTGGGCAATTTCTACTGCCAGCAATGAAGCCAGCACTGCTGCTTGGTCTGTCTGCATCAGCAGCAGCGCTGAATGTGAACCGTCGCGGCGCAATCGCCGGCGCGAGCGCGTCGCTGGCGCAAGTCGCGCTGCCGAACCCGGCGGTAGCTGCAACGGAGGCGAAGCTCGCGCTCCCAAAGATGGGCATCGGGGCCTGGGCGTGGGGTGACAGCTTGTTTTGGGGCTACGACCCGAAGGAGGATGCAGAACTCGAGAAGGTCTTCTCGTTCGTAGCGGCGCGCAGGGATGGATTCGTCGACACGGCCGAGCTCTACGGCATTGGGAGATCTGAGTCGCTCGTGGGACAATTCGAGAAGCGCCACGGCAAGGTGACTGTTGCGTCTAAATTCGCAGCGCTCCCGTGGCGCACGAGCCGCGACGACGTCGTCAAGGCCTGCGAGGCGTCCCTCAAGAGGCTCGGTCGGGACTCGATGGAGCTCTATCAGATACATTTTCCCAATGCGTGGGCGAACGAGGCCTACTGGGACGGGCTCGGCGACTGCTACGAGAAGGGTTTGGTCAAGGCGGTCGGCGTCAGCAACTACGGCTCGGACGCGGTAAAAGCTGTCTCCAAGACGCTCTCCGCGCGCGGCATCCCGTTGCTCTCAAATCAGATCCAATACTCTCTGGCGTACCCCTTCGCGAACTCGAATGGTCTGAAGCAGACGTGCGACGACCTCGGCGTGAAAATATTAGCGTACTCGCCGCTGGGATTGGGGCTGCTGTCGGGCAAATATTCATTAGCCAATCCGCCCAAGGGCCCGCGCAAAAAGCTCGCGGAGAGCTTCTTCTCGCAGCCCGCATCGGCGGAGCTGCTCGCCGCCATCGCTGCCGTGCAGAAGAAGCACGACGCCTCGCCGACGCAAGTCGCCATCAACTGGTGCCGTGCGAAAGGCGCCGTTCCCATTCCGGGGTGCCGGACGCTCTCGCAGGTGACGCAAAACTACGCCTCGCTCGGCTGGTCCTGCGACGCGTCCGACATGGCCGCCCTCGACGCCGCCGCCGCCAAGCTCGCGCCCCTCGTCGAGAAGGCGGGCTTCCCCGAGAAGGACATCAACACGGGTCTGAAGATGTTCGATAGCTGATTAAATTGTGTTCCCAAATACCACAGCACTAGCGGCTTGTAAGACACTAGCATCCAGCCCTGGGGCTGCTCTCGCGCACAAGTGTGCAATAGCGGTCGCTTACGGCTGAACGTTATTGATCGCACGAGTGCTAAATGCCACCCCTCTCACCACTGCTGCTCTGCATTGCAGCCTCCCACGCCCTCCGCGGCCCAGCCGCGCACCGCTCACGCCTGACACCGCGGCGCGCCACGGCTCTAGATAAACTAGACAAAGCCGTCGGCAACACATTAAACAAAACGCGCAGCTGGGGTCCGGCCCGGCAAGCTGGAGTTGTGCTCGCGACGTACGCCGCGCACGCTGGAGCCTTGGGACGCAGCTCAATCCTACTCCCCTACCAGCTCGTCCCGAACGAGTTTGGCCTGTGGCAGTCGGTGGGCTTCGACTCGCTGCTCGGCGGAGCCTTCCTTGGCCTCCACGTGTTAAGGCGGAGAAAGGGCACTTCTCGGAAGCGCGAGCTCCCACCAGCACCCGAAATCGGCAAGCGCGCTCTCCTAACGACGATCGGCGCGCTCGCCGTCGCCTACCGCTGGAGCGGCTACGTGGCGGCGCTCGTGGACGGATTTGTGTACCGCGCAACCCCAAGCGCGACGCCGGCCATGGGCCGCGCGCTGCAGGTCCTCGGCGGCCACCTGGCGTGGCTCGTCGTGGGCGTGTCCGTGCTCGCGGTCGTCCCAGCTCTTGAGATGAGAGACGGGCGCATCCGGTGGAACCGAGAAAAAGCCACGGCCTGGTACCGCTTCAAGTGGAAGACGGACTGGCTCTGGTGGGTCGCCGGCGGCTACTGCGCGTCCGCATTGATTTTCAACGTCGCCGACGGCGTGAACCACTTCCTCGTGCCGCCCACTTTATTTGATGACGACACTCTAGTCACGAAAATGGTGAACCCCGAGGACGGCCGCGGCGTCGCGTCGATTCTGGTCGGCGGCGTCGCGCCCTGCGTCACGGCGCCGTGCGTGGGCCGCGCGGAACTATCAAAGTTCACGGCACGCCATCGACGCGACGCCGGCTCGATGGTGTCTTTGCACACAGGTGGTGGGAGGAGGTCCTCTACCGCGGCTTCCTGCTGCGGGCGCTCGAGCGGCTTTGTGGACGGGCTGACGTCGCGACGGTGGTGTCCTCATTATTATTTGCGGCGCACCACCTGTCGCTCACGGCGGCGCTGCCGCTCGCGGCTTTGGGTGCGACGTGGTCCTACCTGTACCTGGCGTCGGGCAACTTGCTCGTGCCGGTGGCGATCCACGCGCTATGGAACGCGCGGGTGTTTGCGGGTACTGTGCTAGGGTTGTAAGTAGTAGTGGTAGTGTAGACTTCTGAGTACTTATCCTTCTTCCCTCGCGGGCTGGGGAGGCGGCGGCGGCAGCGGCAGCCCGTCGACATCCGGCGGAGCAACAAAGTCCGGCGGCGGCATTTGGGGAGGCGACATCTCCCGGAGCGGGGGCGCATTATCCGCGGCCGAGGGCCAGCTGTCGTCGTCGCTGCTCGGTTGCCACGTTTCGGCGGCGGCGGCCGCCGCCGCCAGCGGGGCCGGCGCCGCCGGCGCCGCCCAGGACGGCTCCGGCGCCTCGGCCCAGGACGGCTCGGCCGCCGGTTTCCTTTTGGAAAACGGGTTGAAACTGCGCTTGGGCGGCGGCGCATCTGGTGAGCCGTACAGGGCTTTGGTGGCGGAGTCCTCGACGTGAACCTTGTCCTCCTCGACGGCGACGTCGCCGAGGCCCCCGGGCGCCGGACTCGCCCAGTCCGGCTCCTTGGACGCCAGCTCGCGCTCGACGTCGTCCCACCTTTCCAATCTCCGCGCGTCCTTGGCCTTCTCGCGGTCGTGGTACCACTTCGCGCCGCCGCAGACCACGAGGCCGACCGCCGCGAAGACCACGCCGAGGATGATTTGTAAAGAGCCGCCGGCCGTGTCGGCGCCGCCTCCAGAATTCCCGGGGCTCCCGGCGCCGAAGATGAGCGCCGACGGTGCTGGAGAGCTGGCGACGGGCGCGGGCGTCTGCGAGGACGCGACGGGCGCCTTCGTCAGCACGGGCGCAGGCGTCGGGACCACTTCAGAAATGGCCTCGAGCGCGGCCAGCGACGCGGATACTTGGACCGCGTTCGACGCATCCACAGACTCCAAGGAAGAGTATGAAGCGACGGCATCTACTAGAGCCGTCGCAAAATCTCCATTTGAGACCGCATCGGACAACTCCTGGCCCACGGCGTCCACGTCGGCGCCTCCGTCAACGACGAGGACGGCCTCCGCCGTCCTCGTTTCCACCGCGAGCCGCCGCCGCTCCGTGGTGGAGAAGGTCACGGAGTTGCACGCCACGACCGAAGGCGACGCCTGGACCAGCGCGTCGCCGACGGCGAGGCCCAGGTCGTCCGAGTAGTCGGCCTCGTCGAACTCGAGCACAACAGCAGCGCTCACGAGCTGCCTTGAGAGGCTCGGGGCGTGCGTTGGTGTGAAGGAGGGCGCCGCCGTCGGCTTGGCCGAGGGGGCCGCCGTCGTCGGCTTCGCGGAGGGCGCCGCGGTCGGGCGCGCCGTCGGATTCGCAGTGGATGGACTAGGCGACGGTCCCGGCGTCGGCGCGGCGACGGGCGCCGGTTCCGACGACGGCGCCGCCGTTCCTAGGTCGAGCGTGCCGGCGCAGTTCGTGCCGGAGCCGGTCCCGGCCGGCGCCGGCGCCGCGGCACTGAGTGTCGCCGTCGCCGCGCAGGCCGGCGCGTCCTCCCCGGAATCGGCCCAGCAATTGTCGTCGATCGTCGTTAAATCAACGTCGACATTGTACAACGTGCCGTCGCTCCCGGCGACGTAGACGCCGTTGTCGAACGCGAACGCCGCGTCGAACGCAACGCCGGGCACCGCGTCGTCAACGGCGAGCGCCGCGTGGCCCGTGAAGTCGGCCCTGACGACGATTAGGGATGCGGCGCCGTCGGCGACGCCAATTAAGTAATCGTCGACGGGCGCCACGTCGCGGACGAGAGCATTGCCAAATTCGAAGCCTGTTGATTCAAAGACGGCGGCGTCCGTGTGGACGTTGTGGACCGCGTACAACATCCCGGCGTCGCCGTAGAAGTAGGTCGTGCCCAAAACACAGGCCGCGGGCGGCGCGTCGACCTCGAGCCGCCCGGTCGTGAAGCACCGCGCCGTCGCTTGGGACGCGTCCGCCGTCGCGGCGACGCGGCAGAGCATGTCGCCCGCCGCCAGCAGGGGGTAGGCGCCGTCCCGCGCCTCGTAGAGCGCCAGGCCGCCCGGGTTCGCGTTCTCGAAGTAGGACACGTCCGCCGCGGTAACTCCATTCGCCACGACCGCGCCTCCATCCAAACGGAGCGGGCCGCTATGCAAAGCGCAGTCTAATGATGCTACGGGCTGGTCCCAGCAGGCGGAGCACGTGTAGTTCGTTGGTTGGGGCGTCGGCCGCGCCGTAGTCGGCGACGTGGTAGGCTCGTAGGTCTCCACATGATGGCCGAGGGGGCAGTTCATGCCGTCGTTTGACGAGGACTCCTCGGAGTCGTGCCATCTTGTGAGATTTGCCGTAGAAGCACACACTTCATGGGTATCAGTCTCGAAGCCCGTGTTCCAGCACGCCTCCGGCACGGCGAGGGGCCAGTGCAATTCGAAGATGCCCCAGCCTTCATTGGACGCGAAGAACGTCTCCAACGAATTCCAGGTCGGCGAGTGGTAGGCGAAGGCCGCGCCGAACGGTGAGTTGTCTCCGGGGTCCTCCTCCCAATCCACGACGCCCGGTAAAACAGCGTAGGCCTCCGGTTCTCCCGACGTACTTAATCGTATCACAAGGACCTCAAACCTTTGAGCCAAGCCGACGAGGTACGAAGCTTGATCATGATCATCGACGACCCAGTCTACTGATTGCTCGTCGATGGCCACGAAGTCGAGCACGGACTTCGTGAATAGCCCCGTGGGGATCTCAAACAATGCATCGTCGTGCTTGTGGAAGACCGGCGCCTCTCCCACAATATCTTCGACCCAGTAGATTCTCCTACTCCCTCCATTGCCCGGCTCCTTGGCGTAGTAGAAGACGTCGCCGAGGACCGCACCTAAATTTGGTTTTGAGACCTCGAGGGCCTCGGCTAAACACTCCGTGCCGCTCTCGTCGAAGAGGCACACGCGACCACCGATCGAGGCCAGCGCCGTGTAGCCCCCGTTCCCATCCGAATGCATCGCCACGGCGTTGACATGCGTGTCGATATCCAAGTAGTCCATCTCGTACAACAAATTGTACTCGCCGCTCGACGCGTCCAGCTCCACGACCCGGTACGGCTCGTCGTCGTCCTCGCGCAGCACTTGCACCGGGTTGCCGTGGTGATCACAATCGAAGACGCCGGCCTCGTACTGCGGCTCGTCGTCGGTCTCCTCCTGCGGCTGCGGCGTCGGCGCGTACACGAGTTCGACGGGCTGCGGCGACGGCTGCGCCTCCGGCGGCGCCCCCGCGCCGAGGGGGCAGTTCATGCCGTCGTTCGACTTCGACTTTTCGGACGGCATGCGCCAGAGCAACTGGGCCCCTTCGTCGCACACGCTGTGGTCCTCCTCGCCCGAATTCCAGCACTCGTCCGGGACCTCGAGCGGGTACACGAGCTCGAAGATGCCCCAGCCCTCGTTCGACGCGAAGTACGTCTGGACCATGGACCAGTCCGGCGCCCGGAAGTTGAACGCCGCGCCGAAGGCCGACGTTTCGCCCTCGTCCTCCCACTCCTCCTTCTCGTCCTCGTACGCGTCGCAGTCGACGGGCTGGCCAAGGTTATCCGTGTCGACGCACCCGACTTCAGATTCGAGCACGGCGTAGCTCTCCGGCGTGCCGTCGTCCTCCAGTCGGATGACCACGACCTCGAAGCCCTGGCCCAGTCCCACGAGGTACGACCGCTCCTCCTCGCCGTCGTCGATGAACTCCATCTCATTCTCGGTGATGCCGACGAAATCCAGCACCGACTTCTCGTACAGATTCTCGTCCACGACAAATTCAGCATCGTCCTTGCTGTGGAAGACCGGTTCACTGGACCCGATACCCTCGACCCAGTAGACCGAGCGCTCGCCCTCGCCCAGGTCCTTGGCGTAGTAGAAGTTATCATTGAGAATGCAGCCCGCGTTCGCCTTCGTTTCTTCCAGGTCTTCTTCAAGACACACCTTGTCCTCAGAGTCAAAGAAGCACAACTTGCTGTCCTCATCGTCGTCAGCTCGCACCGACCCGGCGACGTAGTACTTGTCCCCATCCAACCATAGATCCACGGCATTTACATGGCCGTCGTCCGTGATAAGGTGCTCCAAATCATAAACCTCCTCATACTCACCAGATGCCGGATCGAGTTGCATGACCGAATAGTAGTCCTCGTCGTCGGTTTTCATGACCTGGACCGGGTGGAAATTTACCGTACAATCGAAGGGCTCTAACGCCAACCCGGCCTCGGGCGTGGGGGCGTAGCTCGGTTGCGTTTGTTCGAAGGTTAATGAACCGCAAACCAACCCTGATGTGCCTCCTGCGTCGGCCGGGCCCACGTATGTAATTTGAGGCATGTAGTCCTCGTCCTCGGGCTCTTGCTTGTCCTCGTTGTAGTAACACACGACGTCTTCGCCGTCCCAGCACCACTCGGCGACGACGATCGGGAGGTCTATCTTGTATAGACCACTCTCGGAAGTGAAGTAGACGGCGTCTCCATCAAAAACCATGGCCGTGACCGGACCCTCGCCGTCGTACGAAGCGTGGAGCACGGCGTAATTTTCTTCCGGCTCGCCGTCGTCGAGCTTGATGACCACGACCTTCCCGTCGTCGCTCACACCCACCAGGTACTCGCCGTCGTCGCCGCTCCCGATGGCATCACCATCCATGTCCTCGATGTCCTCGTCGACGTCCTCGGCCTCCCGCAAAAGCACGAAGCTCCTTAATGTGCCATTGAAATGGGCCATGGGAAAGTCGTATGAATCTGAAAAGTCCGGCCCGTCGTCGACGTCTTCTACGAACGCAAGTTTTCCTTCACTAGTACCGAGGTCCTTGCCGTAGTAGTAGGTCCAATCAACGATCGTCGCGGCGTCGGGCTCGAACTCTAAAGTGCCGTCGAGACATCGCTTTGCCTCTTCGTCAAATTCGCAGAGCTTGTCGCCGAACGCGCCGTAGAGCCGCGTCTCGTCCTCGTCCTCGCTTTCCGTGTGGAGCGCGACGCCCTTCACGTCGTCGTCGCCCGGGAGCTCCCACACGGCCTCGAAGCTCCCGTCCGCCATCCGCAGCGTGAGGTCCCGGTCCTCGATGCGCAGCAACGCGCCGTCGTACGCCGTGCAGTTGAACCTCGCGACGTCCGCGGGCGCCGTCTCGGCCACGGTCGGGGCGTAGGTCGATATGACGGTAGGCTGCGGGGTCGGCGGTACCTCGGTGGGCTCCCGGGTCGGCTTGTAGGTTTCTGCCGCTACAGGCATGGAGGTCGGCACTAGCGTTGTCGGCTTGTAGGACGGTTCGGCCGTCGAGGGCGCCGCCGTGGTCGGCACCGCCGTGGGATCTTCCTGGTATGGACAGTTCATGCCGTCGTTGCTTTCGGCCTTCTCCGAGAGGCCGACCCAGACGAGGTTCGCCGTCGTGCCGGGACATACTGCGTGCTGTGTCACATCAGTACCAGTATTCCAGCAGTCGTTCCCTATGACTAAGGGCAGCTCCAACCTAAATAAACCGGCGCCTTCGTTGTCTGCGAATTTCAAGTCGTTCGTTTCGCCATCCAGGCTCTGATACGCGAATGCCGCGCCGAATTCGCCTTTGGATACCTCTGTCCCGTTGCCCCAGTCGACGGTCGTGCCGTCGAGCACGGCGTAGCTCTCCGGCGCGCCGTCTGTCCCGATGCGCGCCACGAAGACCTCGAACTTGCCACCGATGCCGATGAGGTACGATCTGCCTGCCACCCCATCATCTATCAACATGTCCTCGCCGTCCGGCTCCGTGAGGGGCGCGAAGTCCAGGATTTTGCCCTCAAACAATGAGTCGTCCCCGCGGACGAGGAAGTTCGTATCTGTGTGAAATGTCGCGTTCACTTGACCCAAGCCAGAGACATAGTATATCGATTCTGTTCCGCTCTTGCCGACGTTCTTCCCGTAATAGTAAGTGTCGTCGATCACGGCGCCGGCATTGGCTTTTTTCTCTAGCTTTCCGTTTGAGAAGCAGTCTTCGCCGTTCACGTTTATGCGGCACAGGAGGCTGGGGGCGTCATCGACGTTCAGCTCTGTTACGCTCGCGAACGCAAAGTGCTCGTCGGTAGAACTCGTCCACTGGGAGACGGCGTTGATGTGTTTGCCGTCGGTCCATTCCATATTCTCGCCGCCGTACAAAGCTTCGTACGCGCCCGTCGCGCTGTCGAGGGCGCCGATCGAGTATTTGGTGCTGCCTGATTCTTGATGAACTTGCAGCGGGGTATTCTCGATGCACAACATCGGTCCCGCCTTGTCGATGGCCCAGGCGGCACCGTGCGATCGTACTGTCGGATTCGCGGACGGTAGCGGCGTCGGGCCGGGCGTTGGCAGCTGTGTTGACGCCGTCGCGTTCGTCGGTTTTGGAGCCGGCACCTCCGTCGGAGCTGCCGTGCTCGGCATTGGCGTCGGCGCGGACGTCGGCGCGGCAGTCGTCGTCGGCGCAGGCGTCCCCTCTGGCGTCGGCTTTGATGTTGGCACGGAGGTCGGCGCTGCAGTCGTCGTCGGCCCGGGCGTCGGCAGCGGCGACGGCACGGCCGACGGCGTCGGCGTCGGCACGCTCGTGGTCGGCACGCTCGTGGGCACGGCCGTCGGCAGCCGCGATGGTGCGGCCGAGGGCTCTGGCGTCGGCGTTTGCGTGGGCAGCGGCGATGGTACGGCCGTCGTCGGCGACGGCGACGGTACGGCCGTCGGTACTTGTGTCGGTGCTGGCGTCGGCACCGCCGATGGGCCAGCAGTAGTATTTTGCCCCACCGCGGCCGCCAGCAGCGCTGCCGTTGTAACAATTTTGAGCTGCCTGTAGTTGGCCATCGTCGGGAGAGTCTTACGGTCCCATGTCGCCGACCATGGGCAGCGGTTTTTGGTGGTTATGCGCCCAACAATGTCTGCTGCGAAAAATCTCCTGGCTGTCGGGTTTTCGAACTTCCGCTCGCCTAGACACCCGCTTTCCGAGCCCAGCGACGCGCGGAGAGGCGTCGCGCACGCAGTCGAGGGGATTACGCGGACAGCTGTAAAAACCCGCGAGATAGGAGTTCAGGCAAAAATCGGGGCTGGGTGCGAGCCTCGAGCATAGGTAAGCGCTGGAACGCGTCTAACAGCCTCACTGCAAGCACTCTTCAACGCCGCGCTGCAGCAGACGCAATGGCCGGGCGCGCCTGCGCGCGCCTGCGCCTGCCGCCGGCCCTGGCCACAGCCATTGACAGTGGGCGTAGCGATCTCAGCGTGACCTTCGACAACGAAGGCATGACAATCAAGTTGGGAGACGCCGCGTATGCCTTTCGAGCGGCGCCGGACAATGCCGCGATTTCCGAACTTTACGAGTACACGGACGAAACCGACGCCGACGGCTTCACGGAGGACCGCGAGCTCGCGGCCACCGGTAGTTTACGATATCTCGCCGCCGTGGCGCCCACAGCCAAAGACCGCGCGACCACCAAAGCGCGGACCGTCGACGCGGCCACGAAGGCGAAGAGCCGGCAGACGACGGTAATCGATCGGGCGCCGCCCGCGAAGCGGCGCGCGGTTGCGAAGAAGAAGACGAAGAAGGCGCCTGTGTCGAGACCTGTCCTCTGCGCGGAGGCGGACGTCGAGGACGCTGATACGGAGGCGGCGCGGTTGTTTGGTGAAGGAGCGCTCGTCTTCTACACGCCGCAAATTGTCGAGGTGTTTGATGATGTCAAGGAGGTCGGAGTCTTATATCAGAAAGACGCCGTCGACGTCTACGTGATTTTCGCGTCCGAGGCGGCGGCGCGGGCGGCCGACGCTAATGAAGGCTTTCGGACTCGTCCATGTGCCGTCGAGGACCTGAGAACACGCGGCGCGCCGGTCTTCCGCGCTTCATATGATGCGGCGCGCGTCACGCGGAACGACGAGGGCGAGCGGCGCCACGTGCCGTCGCGCGCCGAGGCTTGCAAAGCCGCGGGCTTCGACGCTGGCAACGTCAAGCTCGAGACGCTCGCGGCCCAAGTCTTGGAGCACGTGCGGCCCGCGGCGCGCCGTTATTTAGGAGAGTATGATGATGATGATGAGGAAGCGGCGCACGACGCCTTGGAGCGGGCCGCGCACGACCTCGAGGTCCTGGCTTCATCCGACCCGCTCGCGGCGGGCATCCAGCGCTACCGCGACCTCCAGCTCGCCGCTTCAACATCATCGGCGGACGCCGACAGCGACCGGCTCCTCGCGCAGAATCGGAGGGTCGAGCCGGCCTGGGATAGCGTGCGGTGCGCGCTGGGTGTGGTCCGGCGCTGTTTGAGGAAGGCGCTCGTTGCACTCAGGGAGGCGCAGCGGTCGAAATTGCCCGCTTCATTGGATGGGCCGCCCGTCGACTGCCGGTTATTGAGAGGGGCGCTCTTCTTCCCGCCGTCCATCGAGCGGCTGGCCTGATGTGCTATGTGATAATTGTTTTATGTACTACCACAAGTGGGGAAACCTTCTAGAGGTCAGGGCCCAGGACGGAGATGTCCTCCAGGATCGGCGCCTTGTTCCGCGGCGGCGCCAGGGGGTCGTAGATGGCGTGGGCCTCGTCGCTGAAGATCAAAGCAGCAGCCACGTTCGCCGCGCGGTCGCCCTGGACGGCGGCGAGCTCGCGGCCCTTTTCCAGGATATTCGACGCGTCGACGCCGAGCGACCGCGCCTCGTCCAATAGCCCCGCGAGCAATTCGACGTCGCAGCTCTCGACGTGGCAGTCCGCGGCCTTGTTGATTTCCTCGAGCACCTGCGTTCGCGAGCCGTCAGTGACGCCGTCGACGCGTCGATTCGGGACGCCGCGTTGCTACGGCGTTGCGCTCCTCCGTCGCCCGGGCCCGGTCGCGGCGCGCGATCGCCGCCAGGACCTCCGGCGCGTCGGCCGGCAGGCCCGCCGCGTCGGCCAAGGGCAGCGCGGCCTCGATCTGGTCCAAGGTCTGCGCCGCGTCGAGCGCGTCGGCGGCCTGGGCGGCCATGGACCGCTCGCGCGCCGCGCGCTTCTGGTAGTTGGCCCGCAATTCGTCTTTCAGCGCTTCCGCTGCGGCCAGCTCGAAGGCGTCGTAGCTCACGGGCTTCATGGGCTGGAGGGCCATCGCTGAGGGCGCGAGGAACAAGAACGCGCGGAGCATCATGACTCTGTCTTCTGATTCCTTGCGTTTCGAGGTTTATACGGCGATTTGCGTCGCTTTTTCGGCTGCGTCGTGAAGGTAGGACCCCTAGGCAGCACTTATGCTTCTGAAGAACAATTTGGGCAATGTACGAGGCGTTCAGGCCAACTCCTGCTGAGCTTCTCAGTTTATCTACGCTAGTGGGCTTATCTACGCTAGGACCTAGAATGGTCCCGCACCCCTCAGCAGGAATCAGGAGCAGTGGCGCGGGCCCGCCGTCGACGGTGAACATAAGGGGGCATTACTACGTGGGTGGGCGCGGGATATGGATAGGGCGGGGCCGTGGCGGCGCCGCCGGTGGTGGTGAAGCGAGGCTCAGGCGTCGTCGCCGAAGAACGTGGCCCCGAAGCCGCCCGTCGGCGTATCGAGGGCCCAGAGCGGCTCCGAGGGCGGCGCGGGCCCGGCGTCCAGGGCGCGCTGCCAGCCGTCGGAGCCGTCCGAGAGGCCGCGACGTAACAACGGGTCCCGCAGTTCGTCCGAGTCGAGCGACCCCGACGCCGCGCGGACGCAGGCCAGCGCCGCGCCAAAACCATGGGGCGAGGGCGGCGGCGCGCGCGGGTTGGTCCGCGACCCGAAGGACGACGCCGGCGACGGCGTCGCGATCGGCGGCGCGGGCGGCGGTTGATTCTGGAGCTTCTCCGTGGCCTTGCGTAGCGTCACGTCCGGCGACGGGAAGCCGACCGAGCCAGTACCGGCGGGACTCGCCGGCGCGCTCAATGAAAATAGCGCCTCGGCCGTAGTAGCTTCGTCTCTACCAAATAAAGCGGAAACGTCGCAGCGCGACCGTTTCGGCGACGGCGTCTTGTCTCCATCCGAATAGTCGTCGTCCGATGACGGTGGTTTACGGACGACCTTCTTTTTCTTGGGCCGCGGCTTCTGCGGTTGCGGCGGCGCTCGCAGCACCTTCGTGACCCTTTGTGGAGCGTCCCGCAGGAAGTCGGGGTGCTCGAAGCGCAGCTCGCCATCACTTACTTTCTTGAAGCCGTAGAGGTTGAGCTGGCGCTGGAACGACGCGAAGCGGCTGTGGCGGAAGTAGCGCGGGAGCGTCTCGCGGACGAAGACGTCCTTGTCCGGCACCTCAAAGCTCAATCCATCGGAACACCAGTTGATGTGGCGGCCCTCCTCCCTTTCGAGCATCATGAAGAGGAGGTGCGGGAAGGCCTGGGGCGCGCCGCGCTTGCCCGTGCGCGGCAGCGTCTTGAGGACGGCGGGGTCGTGTGCCAATGGAGGCGGCCGCGGCGGCGGCGGCGGCGGGCGATTCAGCCTGCGGTGGTGTGGCGCGTCGATGGCGCGCGGCGCGTCGCGTCGACGGCGCGGCGCGGTGGCGTCGCGTCGATGGTGGTGGCGCGTCGACGGCGCGCGGGAGGAAGGACGCCGGACGCACGATGAGTTGGGCCCGGCGTTGGCCGCGGCGCGGCGGAGGTGCGCGCGGTGGGCCATGGTGACGCGCTGCGCGGTCGCGTCGCGTCGCGTGCGACCGGAATTTGACCTGGGGTCGGCTTTCGGTGGCCGCGGTGGCCGATGCGGGCGCTGTCGCTGCGCGTGCCCGGCCGATGCGGGTGCTGGGGTGTCGATGCGGCTGCGCTTTGGCTCCGTAGCACCAGCGGCGGCTGCTACGGCCTCACATTCGCATAGGGCCTGCCAAAGTGACCCGGCGTCCGAGCTCGGCGGCGCCCCCCATCGCGGCAATCGACTGGTCTTTACGGCTGCCGGAAAGGCTGCCGAGGACTCGTCGATGCTTTCTTGCTTGCTTGCTAGTGTCTTACTGGCCGCTAGCTCTGTGCCGAATCGAACGCGACTCTCCGCTCGCCACGCGAGCCGCATTTTGCTGTAGGCGTCCTTACGGCTGCGCCAGAACTGTCACCTGTTCGTTTGCGCCGCAAAACCGTCGAGTTATCGAGCCAGGCAGCTCTGACTCTGAGCGTTGGACGCGCGCGCTGGTTAAACGCAGCGCCGGGCAAGTAACGCCGCCGCAGCAGCCAACCAACAAACCCATTGGCGGTGCACGCTCGTTAACCGCCGCTAGCAGCCATGGTCCAGTCCGCCGCCGAAGTCGCGGCCATGCTCGGGCTAGCCGAGGACGACCCCGTCGTCGTCGAGGCCCTGGAGGCGCAAGCGATCGCGGACAAGGAAGAGCGCGCCAAACTACGCGTCGCGCGCACGCTCGGCGACCACCTCGAGTCGGGAGCGAAAGACCCGTTCGCAAATCTCGAGGCCGGCTACGCGCCCCGCGGCGACGCCGCGCGGCGCCTCGGGCGGACGACGCCGGAGCCGAAGCCGGAGCACCTCGGAAAGGCGCCGAAGAAGCCCGCGCCGCAGCCGAAGAAGCCCGCGGCGAAGAAGAAGAAGAAGAAGCGCGACGACGACGTGGGCCCGCCGCCCGCCGCGCGGCCGAAGAAGAAGAAGAAGAAGCCCAGCGCGGCGCCGCCGCCGTCCGAGGACGAGTCCGAGGACGACGCGGCCGCGGCGCCGCCGGCGCGGAAGAGCGCGGCGTCGGCGATGAGCTCGGCGTCGGCCGCGCTGCCGCCGACGGGCGGCGACTCGTCGAGCGACGACGAACCCGAGGCGCCGCCGCCGCCGCCGAAGCCCGCGCCCAAGGCCAAGCGGCGGCCGAAGAAGCCGCGCCAGAGCGAGGCCGAGGAGTGCGCCGACGACGGCTGGAAGAACTTCGCCCACGAGCTCCTGCCCAAGATGAGCCTCACCGCGCTGAAAAAGATGCTCGCGACGCTCAAGCCGCTCGCCAAGGACGCCTATAAAGCCGCGATGGCCGCGCGCGAAGGCAAGGACGCGGCGGCCGCGCAGAAGGTCGTGCGCGCGCTCTTCGAGCACATCCCCCGCGACGCCATCCTCGACGCGTACGCCGGCGCGACGAGGAAATTCCAGTTGCCTAACTAGTACTTCTTATAACTGCACGAACGCCACCACGTTAAAGTTCGGGTTGTCCGCGTCCAGGGCGACGAACTCGTCGCGGATGACCCTAGCTGCATCGTTGACGAAATTTTCGGGCGTCGTCGGGCCGTGGTCCACGGGGAACGCCTCGTCGTCGACGCCGATATTTCGGCCATCCAATTCAAATAATCTACCACCGCGCTCACAGAAACAAACGAAATGACGATCTCCCGCGTCGTCCGTCCCGGCGCCTTCCGTCTGTCCCGACCGCGCCGTGTCGTCCGCCGCCTGATGCAAGTCAGTGGCAGCTAGTAACCGGTTGCCCCGTTCTTTAGGAGTATGGTCCTTGGAGGCTTCGGTGATGTACTTGCCGAGGGGCGTCTCCCAGGGCACGTGGAAGGCCTGGCCGGCCACGGCGTTGCCGACGGCGTGGATGCATGCCACCGTGCCGCACGCATTGCCGGTCCCTTCCACTTGTTCGAGGAAGAAGACGCCACCTTCCGCCTCGTTACGAATACGTGCTTCGTCATTGTCGGGATCCGCTTTATCAGCTTCCACTCGATCCCGTCGAGCTGCTCGCAGAGCCGGTCTCCGCTCCTTCGCGATCTTCGCACACGGAAACAACAGACACAAAGCCATGCACGGCCGCGGGACCATGGCCAGCAGCTCGGGGTCCAATCCGAAGACATCGCAAAAGCCCCACTCACCCGGCACGCCCAACTTCCACAAGAAGGGGTTCAGGACTTCGGGGTTCGACTCTAAGGGGAGCCAGCCGATCGGTTTGGTGGCCTCATTCGTGCTGTCGGCCATAATTCGTGGTCGCCGCAGCGATGCGCGATCTGTTATGATGCGTGAGGCCCTAGGATCTGCTAAACGCGCTGCTGCAGAGAGTCGCGCCTCGCGCGCTGCGAGCTAGCGGCATGTAAAGGCACTAGAAAAGCGACCAGGTGATTTAGGCTGCGAAGCGGGAGCTCTTGTTACCTCCAATTGTTTATCCTTACCATTCATTTCCATCGCTGCGACAGCGTGCATCGCTGCGACAGCCGTGCGTGCGCTGTTGCACCTGCGAGCGCACCAGCACAGCCACATCTCGAGGAGCTCGAGCTGAGGGCATATAGACATAGCCGTATAAACGATGTCGACGCGCACCTTGACATTCAAATGGCGCACGACCACGGAGCGACTCGACGTGCCCGTGGGTGAATCACCCGTCACCACCGCGGCGAGACACTTCGGCCTCGTGCCGGCGCGCACGACGCTCGTCTTTCGCGGCAAGCGCTACCGTCTCGACGACGCCGTCGTCGACGCGGCGGACGACCTGTTTGGGGTTGTTGGAGACATCATGGTGCTGGGCACGCCGGCGCACCAGCAACTCGACGCGCCCTCTCGCGCGGCGGCGGTCGCGCGGCGCGTGCCGGTCCTCGGGCCGCTCCTCGCGTGTGTCTGCGATGCGATTGTTGTTCTTTGCGTCCGCGCGCGGGACGACTGGGCGCCCGCCCTGGTGCGGGGCCTCGTGGCCGTGACGCGCGGCGTTGGCTTATTTTTTACGTCTCTCGTGCCGCGGGCGCCGAGCCGGGCGCGGCGGCGGGACCCGTAATTTTTAAATTGTTATTACTCTACGGTTGCGCGGCGACAGGTTTCGCGGGCTGCGTGTCGACCCCTTCCTGCGGCAACGCCTCGCCCGGCGGCGGCGGTCGCACCTGCTTCGGGATGCGTGCCGCCCAGGCCGCGGCCTCCTCGGGGGTAGCTACAGGCTTCGCTGGCGGTGCCGGTCTCGCGGCCGGCGCGGCGAATTTTGTAGATGCCTCCGGGGCCTTCGCGACGGCCATCAATCCACACACAGACGACGGCATCAGATGTGTTACAATAGACTAGATATCGTAAAAAGCTACACCAGTGTCCGACTTTGCCGGCGTGGATCCAACCCACACCTCGTTCTTCTGAGTAATATTTAGTGCTTATTGTTATGTGTCTTTGTTGCAGGATCGACACACACGAACTATCTAATTGATAAGAAGCGTTAAATCTTCGCAATGCGGGCCACGCTTTTAATGATGCTTGCACCAGTTTTTGACGATCATTTCCCGTATTTACCTTTGCTCGCACTATACTTGGTGTCACGATAGCATACAAAACTGTGTCGCGAAATAGGACGGCCGCTTTGCGGTCGGCGTCGGCGCGCGCCTGGGCCTCGGCCGCGACACTCTCTATCTCTGCCTTCGCGCGAGCGAGGTCGGCCTCCTGCTTCTTCCGCTTGGTGGCGACGCGCTTCTCCTCCGCGGCGCGTTCGGCCCGCGCCCTCTCCGCGGCGAGGCGCTCGGCCGCCGCCGCTTCCTGAGCCTCCCGCTTGGCTGCGATGCGCTTCTCCGCGTCGGCGATGCGTTTGGCCCGTTCAGCTTCGTAGCGCTCTGCCTCGGCCTCGGCCTTCGCCGCCGCCGCCGCCTTGAGTTCGGCCTGCGCCGCGCGCACGGCCCGCTCGGCCTCGAGGTCGGCAAGCTCGGCCGCCTTCGCCTCCAGGGCGTCCGGTTCCGCGCCCGGCCGCGCCAACACCCGCAGCGCGTCGGCAACGAGCTGGTAGTCGCGGCCGAGTTCTTCGACAGGAGCCTCCAAGAAGGCGCCCGCGTGCTCGAGGACCGGCTGCGCCAGATGGGAACGTGCGTAGGCGACGTCGCGCGCCGCCGCGGTCTCGACCTGCTCCACGAAGGCCTCGGCGCGCTCGACGACCGGCTGCGCGAGATGCGCCGCGAATTCGACGTCCTTGTCGAGCCCGATCTTGTGCGCCGCCGCCGCCAGCGAGTGCTCGAAGGACGCGACCATGAGCATAATGACGAAGATGATGAGGAGCATAATGCCTTTGACGCACGAGTTCGTCGTCCTCGGGCCCGGCACGCGGCCGCTCGCGGCGCGAGACAGGGCCTTGCCGCCTCGGGGCGTCCAGGGCATGGTTAGTTTTCTTTCTCTCTCTCGTGTAACCGCGCCAGGCGCCGCCGCCGCACTAATTAATTATTGGAAAATTTCAGGCAGGGCAGAGGGCTTGACCACGACTTCACACGTGTACGCGAGCCGTCGAAATGAAGCGCAACTGTTGACAGCGACGATTTTGACTCTCGCCTTGCCCTGGATACGAGATAGTACGCGAGCCACGCCCCAGGCTGATGCCCTCAAAAAATTATCTAGCGTTCTGTAAGACACTAGCCAGCAAAAATCGCCTCGAAAAAGTTGGCTCCAAAAAGCAGCATCGCTGCAGGTAGACTGCGCGAGGCAAGGCCAGCACTGCTGCTGCATCGCTGTTGCTTGGCCTGCGAGCGCAAGCAATCGTAGGCACGGCACACCAAGCGGCACCAGAGGCAGCATAAGCGATGGCGGGCTTCGAGGGCGCCCTGCCCCTCGACGCCTTCGACGTCTGCGCCGCGAATCCCGCTAGAGAACATGTGGCGGAGCCGGACGCCGCGCTCAAATTGGTGGAGGAATTGAGCAACGGCCAAGCGTTACGTAAAATAAAACTGAGCAACAAGTCCTACGGCGCGAAAGCCGCGAAGGCCATCGCCGAGAAGCTCGCGTCGTTGAGAGGCGTCAAGGACGTCGACGTGAGCGACGTTATTGCTGGAAGGCCCGAGGCCGAAGCGCTCGAAGTGTTAGAGACGCTCGCAACAGCACTAGCAAAAGCCTCGGGCTACGGCGACGCCAAACGATCAAGAATCACTTCATTAGATGTGTCGGACAACGCCTTAGGGCAAAAAGGTCTCGATGCTTTGCTACCGTTGTTCATGGGAGCCGCCCCTCTAGTCCACCTCAAGACGTGCAACAACGGCATGAGCAGTGCAGCAGCCCACCAGCTCAAAGATGTGTTGACGAGCAAGGGCGTCACGTCCTTGGAGTCGTTCCACTATTTTAACAATATGAGCGGTGACGAGGGCGCCAAAGCGATAGCCGAGATCGTCCAGAAGTCGCCGGATCTGACGGACCTGCGGTTCTCCGGAACACGGGCTGGGAGAGCCGGTTCCTTAGTGTTCGCGGAAGCGTTACGGGCAAGGCAATTGCTCGTGACCGTCGACCTCGCGGATAACACGTTTGGGACGGACGGGGGCCAGTTACTCGGCGAGTGGCTGTCCGCGGCGAACGGCGCTTCACCTCTCGAAGTGCTCAATGTCAGAGACTGCTCATTGGGGGACGACGGCTTCGGCGAGTTGTGTAGTGGACTGGAAAAGTGCGACAACCTGCGCGCTCTGGATTTCTCGGGCAACGAACTCACGGCGGACGCGTTCACCTCCACAAAATGGCTCGCTTCCTGTGCTTCGACGCTAGAAGTGCTCCAAGTGGAAGAAAACGAGTTCTCGTCGCGCGGCGCGGGCCGGTTGGCCAAGGGTTTTTCCGCATCACAGTTCCCCGCTTTATCAACCTTCGTCTGCCGCGCGTCGGAGATCGGCTCGCGCGGCGCGCTGGCGCTGGCGCGGGCCGTCGTGAAAGCGGCGCCATCCCTCAAGGCGTTGGAATTAGACGGCAACGGTTTGTCGGACGAGGCGCTGGCCGAGCTCGCGACGGTCGTTCCTGCCGATGTATTAGGAGAGCTCGAGGACAACGACGAGGACCTGTGCGACGAGGACGAGCTCGACGACGCGGACGACGTGGACGACTTGGCGGCGGCGGTGGCGGGCGTCGCCGTGGCGTAGTAGTGGTGGTGGGGACGTTTAAGTTATTTTACTGAGTCGCGTCGATGGCGTCTGAGGCGGTCCGGCGCGGGATGCTCAGGCTCAGGCTAGTTACGTCGCGGGGTCCCCCGTACCCCTCCCGCTCCCCCCGGGCCCACCCGTTTTGGTACGCCCCAAATTTCCTTTTTTGCTTTGCTTAGAGCTAGGCCGCCTAGCCACGGAGCTGCGTGACCGGGCGCGTTCGCACAAACACAACGTCTCAGGCGGCGACGAACGGGTCGTCGCGCGTGCCCCGGCCCGCCCACGCCGCCGCCTCGAGGTGGCGCTCGTTGTACGTGCGCGGCGTGGCGACCTGTCGAACGCTGCGGCGCGGCTCGCCCTCGCGCTTGACCTTGACGCGTTTCGTGGGAGGTGGTGTCGCGGGCCCCCGACGCGCCGGCGTCCGCCGCGCCGGCTTTTTGGCGCGCCGCGCGTCGGCCGCCGCGGCGCTCGCGACGGCGCGCTCCGCGTCCTCGGCCGAGCGGAAATCCGCCTCGGCGCCGTCGGCGCGCAGTTTCTCGACGATGTTTGCGATTTTGCGCTCGTCCTCGGGATGGCTGCCAGCGGCGCCCATGCTGCTCGGCGCTATTGCAGCTGGAGTCCAGTGATCGATGGCACGACGAAACGCGCTGTAGCGGCAGCTCTACAGCCGGCAGCACTGCACTGCAGAGTAAGGATAATACCTAGCGTACAAGGTCTCTAGCAAATTCAAAGATACGCCCCGATAGCGTCAAAAGAATGACCGAAATTCAGAATACATCCTAGTCGTTCGCCGAGACCAAATATTCCAGAGTAGCGGCTCGGGAACATACCCTCGCGCCTCCCGGAAGGCACCGTCTGCGACATTCGCGGATGAGTCTTCCGGCTCGCCAAAATACACCAGCGATTGATGGTGCCTTCTACCGTCCGGTTGGTACATTATATCAACTCCAGCCCAGTTTTCATACAAGTTCGACGGAACCGGAGCCGACGGCCCGCGCTCGGAGGGCGGGAGAAGAATTCTACTAGACAACTCTCGCGTTTATGTTCGTTTCCTTCCGTTTGTTGGGGTTAGGTTCCATTTAGGCCGGATCAGCGGCTACTGAGATATTTTAGATGCTCCGTTAGAGCCGCGCGAATCGGCATTTCCGCGCCCCCGCGTTTACATAAAAAATGCCTTAACTCCTGAAGCCGCGAGTATCAGCGACGACACTACCCAGGTGGACCATAACGCCGTTGTTCTATTCACGATCGACCGACTTGCCCGTTCTCCGCGGACGACGGTACGTACGCGGGGCACTGAATTGGCCCCAGACCCGTGGTTCATACAATAAATTTGCGTTTCAGGCGCTTTAGTAGTTGGATGGGCCAGATAACTGGCTTGATTGTGTACTACATTGCTCCGAGACCCAAAGATGCTCGGCGCGGGTCGTCGGTCTCGCGAGCCCACGATCTGGCTACATTTGGCTCCAGACCCGGACCTGCGACCATCAGCGCGTGTACCATCACCATGGACCATAATGCGATCATTTGTTCCATGATCGACCGACTTGTGCGAGGTCCAGATCAAGATGTTCACGTCCCGAGCGTGGGCAGCCCAAAGTACCCTTCTCGGCGTGTAGAGGTCATATACTCGTAGTTGACTATCGGTGGGGTAGCATGGGGTCCAACGAGACCGCTATTACGATTCCTGGGGGCTCTCGGGTAATTGACGTTTTTGCCGGGGACGGGGCGCCATCGGGTCCAAATTACGCGCTTTTTTCGGGGCAGATCGGCTCCTGGAGGTCTCTCGGGGTAGGTCTGGTTGTGGGTAAGCGCCTGTACCGCATACGCCATCGATGCGGCAGTCTAGTGCTCCCCGAGAGCCCTGGAAGCAAACCTTGGCCTTTTATTGCTAAAACTCCTTTGTCTGCTGAGAGAAATCGACCAAAAATGATTGCAGCGGCGGCGCATGCGGCGTAGGCGCGTGCACGTGTATAGTACCGACCCTAGGCGGCCCCAGGGAGACCTCTTGGGCAGGGATTGACAGGATTAAGCCGGCGCGGCCGCCCTGTGGCCTCGTCCGCCTCCGCGCCGCGAAACTATTTTTGGCCCCCAGTACGTGTCCCATTGATCTCTTTGGCCCATTAGCGAACCGAAGGATACTCAAACGACTGCATGCTCCGTTCCGAGTTTGCTTGCTAGTGTCTTTACATGCCGCTAGGTTAGTTTTGGAGCACTTTATTTTGCGCTGAACCACGGCTGGGATCGATTATAGCTGCCATACATAAAGCGACACACCTACAAAATGGACATGCAGCCCTTGGCAGGCGCCCTGCCGCGGGACCAGGACGACGGCGCGCTCCTGAGACCCAACTACGAGGACGTCGTCGACCGCGCGGCGGAGTTTCGATTGACGTGCGCCCGCGTGCCGCCGGAGCTAGCTGACGCGGCGGACACTGCGCGCGCGCTCATCGCGAACGCGGAAACAAATACGATGGACGGCGAGGACGCTTTTGTAGATGCGGAGATCGCGCGGCTGCGACAGGCCGCGGCGGCGGAGCGCGAGGCCGCGGCGGCGCGGGCCGACGCGCGCGAGCGCGCCGAGGAGGAACGAATGGAACGGGAGCGGCGCGCGGCTGCGGAACGCCAGGCGGCCGCGGAGCGTCAGGCCGCGGAGCGCCAGGCCGCCGCGGAGCGTGAGGCCGTGGAGCGCCAGCGCCAAGCCGAGGCAGCCGCGCGCAAGGCCGAGGCGGACCGGCTGCGGGCGATCGCCGACGCGGCGGACGCGCGCGAGCGGGCCGAACGGTTACGAAGGGACGCGAGTTTTGCAAGACGGCTCAAGGAGGAGCAGCTCGCGGCCGACGCCGAGCGGGAGCGCCTCGACAGGGAAAGGAGAGAGCGGCTCGCGCGGGACGCGTCCTTCGCGCGGCGGTTGAGGGCGCAGGACCAGCCGCCGCCGGCCCCCGCGGGCCTGACGCCGAAGGTCCGCACGCTCGCGACGCGCATGGGCAAGTCCGAGGAGTCCTGCCGCTTCTGGTTGGAGGCGGCGGGCGGCGACGTGGAGGTCGCGGCGGCGATGATGCAGTCCCAATAACACACACTGTAATTACATACGGGGGCCCGCTTTCCGCCGGTCCCGGAAGAAGTCCTTCAACAATTGGGCGGACTCGTCCGCGCGCACGCCGCCGCGAATATTCAATGAATGGAACGGGTGCGTTTCGGACGGCAGGTCGAGCCAGGACCCGGCCGCGCCCATCCTATGGTCCGGCGCGCCGTACACAACAGAAGGAATGCGGAACGCGTAGGCCGCGCCCAGGCACACGACGCAGGGCTCGAGCGTGCAGTAGAGCGTGGCGTCCTGGAGGCGCCAATTTTCTACAAATTGGGCCGCAGCTCTCATAGCCCTTAGCTCGGCGTGGGCCGTGGCGTCGTGGCTCGCCTCGACGGCGTTGCCCGCGCGGGCGATGATGGTGCCGGTTGTGTCGTCTACAACTACAGCTCCCACTGGCACCTCGCCCCTTGACGCGGCGGCGCGGGCTTCGTCCAAGGCTATCGCCATGGCGGCAGCGTCTCGCGCCGGTCCGAACGGCAGTGTTGTCGCTTCATCCAAGGCGAGAGAACTGGCCGCCAGCGGTGGCAGGCGGTGCGGCGTTGACTGCAGCGCATGAGTTACGGCAAGCGCTGCGAGCGCTGCGCGACGGCGGCGCATGCGTGTGCAGCCTGCAGCGGTGCTTGATTGCCTCTATCTCTGCCGGTTTTTGCCTGCGGCTGCGTGCACCGCTGTTCCAGAAGCGTATGGCCGGCTCTGCTCCACAAATGCCGTGTTGCAAGAGCCTCAAAACTGCACTTTGCCTCTCAAAAGCTAGTGCCTCTACCTCTGGCTTCACCGCACGAAAGCGTCTCGCTGCGATCTGAGGGCACAATAGACGTCTATCGAGCACAGAGGACGCTTGCTATGCCGGTTAAACTTGCTAGCTCCTTGAAACCTGTTTTAACTTTGGCATCTCACCTGCCGGCCTTAAAACGCTGCGTGCTGCGCGTATAACCGTGCCCAGGCCAAGGTGACCGGCGGAGCGAAGACCCACAGCCCCACTCGTGCGCACCAAGCTTTGCCTCGACGCGCGCCGCCGCGCACGATTCAAACAAAGGGACAACTGCAGCCTGTGCTCGGTTGCACGCGCAAACGCGACCGCGACAGCACATCATGACGAGAACGCCGATGCGGGACGTCGAGAACGTCCGCCCGACCTGGGTCCCCGCCGGCCGCAACAAGAAGGCCTGGGAGCCGATCGCCGTGTACGAGCAGGATTATCCGCGCAAGGCGCCAAGACCGGTCGCGAGTGGCATCAGCTTCAGGGAGGGCGACCTAGGCGATGCGAAGGTCGTGGACCTCATCAAGGTCTGCGACTTTTACGAGGCGAAGGCGTCGGGGAAGTATACGACGCCAGTGGCTTGTGGGCGCTACGTCCACGACCTCGCGAGGGAAGTGCGAGCGGTCGCTTGTTCCTTGAACGAAGGCAAGTCGCAACACGCTGGAAGATTACTCGAGTTAGAAAAGATCTGCAAGGAGTGGGACCAGTATTTTGGACCCTCGTCGGACGCCGCGGGCCGGTTGAGCGAGGACGGCCAACAGGGCTTCTTAGGACTCACACCGCTCACGCCCGCGGCTTTACATGAGGAGCGCATCTGGATGAAGCAGCAGCTCGAGCAGGCCCAGAAGGCGATTCGGGACGCGGAGCGCGGCGGCGACACCCGAGCCCAGAAGGCGGAGAAGGCCCTCGCGGACTTCCAGCGCTTGTCTCGAGATGCCGCTTCCAGAGCGAGAGCTCAACATGATCTGGAGCTGCAGGCGCAAGCGCGCGAATTGGATGCGGCCTACGCTTCTCGCTCGGCTCAGGCCGCGTCTGACACCGTTCACGTCGATCCTGAGTCAGGAGCCGCCTTCACGTTAGGATCAAGACAGCGCAAGGCGGCGCGCGTCTCCTCGGGTGGTGGCGGCGGTGTGCCGCGCGTCTCTTCGAGTGGTCCCGCGCGTGTCTCGAGCGGCGGTGGTGCGCGCCCGTCGACAAGCAACGTGCAGCGGTCGACGCCAAGCTTCGCGCCGGCGTCGCCGCGCCCCAAGACTCCGGTCGAAAGGGTCCAGGAGCAGGCCAGACAGCAGCAGTTGCAAGCGAATCGGAACATTCGGGAGACGAAGCAAGAGGTCATGCGCGCGAAGGACGACACCGCGCGCGTCACAGCGGAGTTGAATGATGTCAAGAGGCAGCTCGAGGCCTGTCAAGCTCGCGCGAGAGCCATGTCCGGCGCCGTCGAGGATGCGGATTCTTACAGTGACATGAAGGTGCGGGACGCGCTGAAGGCTTACCAGGCCGCGCAACGGGCGAAAATGAAGGACGCGGACTGCCAGACGGGGCCTTGTGGGTCGCTGCGGTTTGCTCACGCTCCTAGAGGTCCTCGAGCTATTACGTCACGGCAGGTTTTGGTCAAGGAGTGCCCCTGTGAAGTTAGTGAAGAGAGAGTCGTAAGGCAGATCTCTGCGGAGACGGGCGTGGCCTTGTTACAAAGTGAAAGAAGACCAGACCTGGATGGGTTTAACACGTACGCGCTCGAGGTTTTATGTGCCACGCCCGAGGACGCTTGTAAATTAGTAATGAAGGACGGCACGGTCGTGGCGTGCAATCCAAACCCCCAGGTCATCCCGGAACCGCGCGCGAAGGCGCCTTTGGCATTAGAACCGACGCCGATCGAGGTCGTCAACCTCGATTTGAGTCCGTACGCGATCCCGGAGGTGGCGCGGAGCCGGTCTAGATCTCCAATCAGAGAGGACCCCTTCGCGGACTTCGAGGACGTCCTTGGGAGGCTATCGAAAGTGCGGCCGGCGTCCGTCATGCGGCGGCCGTTCCGCTCCTGAGTACTCCCCCTACCCCTCCCGAGTAACCTGGAGCCTGGAGCCAGTCAATACTCGGTTTTCGCGAGCGAGCGCGGCGGCGACAGCGTGCGCCACCACTACGCCGCCGTTTGACAAACTAGAGTAACCTACTTAGTCCTCTCGCTCCAGCGTGAGCACGACGTGGCACTCGATCGCCCGGCATTCGCCGACGGAGTCGACTTTCTCGTGCGTTCGAGCCTTCACGTTGACCATACTAACATCAGTGTGCAGCAACTCCGCCACGTTCCCGACCATCTTCTCCTTCACTAAACCGCCGCCCACCGCATCCACGTTCACTCTTGGTTTTTGGCAGATTAGCGTGACGTCGCAGTTGCCCAGCCGATACCCTCTATCGGTCATGCGCTTGTAGGCCTCCTCCATGAAGATCGACGAATCGGCGCCCTTCAATCGGGGATCGTTGTCGGGAAAGAGGCAGCCGATGTCGGGCATCGTCAGTGCTCCGAGGATGGCATCGACGACAGAATGGTAGATGACGTCTCCATCCGAATGTGCCACGCAGCCTAATTCGAAATCTGGGGCGTGTCCTTCGCTCCCATCAAAGCGCACGCCCGCGATGACGATGGGCTGGCCGGCCTCTTCTCGCGTGTCGAGGCGGTGGATGTCATACCCATGACCTATTCTCAGTAAAGGTTCTTTCGCGTGCAGTGCTGTTGTTCTTTTTGTTGATCTGGGTTGGAGGTAGGCGCTCGCGCAGGTTATCACGACGAGGGCCGCGCAGCGTTGCCTTGATCTCCTCATTGTGTTGCAGCGGCGTGCGCGCGGCAGTTATAAGTTGCACGGTGTCCTTGCGTAGTAGTAGGCGTCACGGAGCGCTAGCAAAATCCGGCGCTGGGTTGCCCTGCGCGTCGCGTGCGTAACAGCAACAAGTAGCCCACAGCCTCTGCAGGCTTGCAAGGGCTGGCCGCCAAAACCACAGCACCTAGCCACGCAAAAACTGTATCCGAGCTTTGCTTTGTCGCGACGCTGCAGTGATTCGACGTGCGACAGCGTCGGACGGCGAGCGAGGCGCGGCAGACGCTCTCCAACACTTGCTCTCTCTGCATCGCCACGCCTCGAGGTGTCGCGTAGCATACAAATGATAAAGCTGGAGACCCGCGACTGGGTAGCGCTCGCGTCGGCCGCCGTCGGCCTCGCGACGTTCCTCGTCTTCCGCGCAAAGCCCGAGCCGAAGCCGAAGGACGCGCCCTGGGCCCGCTCCAAGAAGAAGGGCGAGAACGGGTATTATTATGGTCATCAAAACTTGACGGGCGGCTATACGGACGGGCTGCAGGCTTCGGATTATGCCATGAACGGCCCTCGCAAACTCGACTCCGCGACGAAGAAGCCCGTCGCCGTGGATTCGCAGACAGCAGTTAATAAACCGCGCGCGCCCATCGCTTCGGCTCCCGTGATCCACAGCGAGACGATAAAGCGCGTGACGCGCTATGCCTGGTCCGACACGCCATCAACAGTCAAGGTCTCGATCGAGGACGCGTGGGACTATAGTGCTATTTCGGAGGCCGACGTGTCCGTTGCGAGGCCGGCGGACACGGCGCTCACCATATCCGTGAGGTACGATGGGTGTGTCCACCGCCTCGCGCTCACGAATTTGCGGTCCCCGCTGGACGACGCCAAGGTGAAAATACGGAAGAAGCGCCTCGTCGTGACGATGACGAAGCGGGAGACGCTGCTCGCTTCGGATAAGGCGTGGCCGGACCTGTTCTGCTCGGCGGCGAGCTTTCCCGCGTCGGACGTGTCCGCGCCGCTGGCGGACTAAGTATGTTTTGTATTCTTAATAGAAGTAGTCGCTTGGGACAGGAGGCCTCGATCGATCGCGACGCCTCGCGCGCAGCCCCGCACCGTGCAAAGACTTTGGTAGGCCACTTGCTTTTTTGCGTGCCGCACACGACTACTGTCCAGTTCCTATCGACGCAGCAAGTGCAGTCACCATGCAAGTGCCGCGCGGCGTCCGCACAATCCAAAAGCACGCGCGTCGGCGCGTCTGCGGCACCGCACAAAGCGCTTGGGCCCCAGACAGCAGCTCAATTCGCGCGACGACCGCAGCCCTTCGACGCCGTCACCGCACGGCGCGCACGGACGTCCCCGCCCCACGCCGCCGCCGCGCCTTTCCCCCCAAAAAACGCGCGCCGCGCACCCCGCGCCATCGACGCGCCCGCGCCCGCAGATCTTCGTCAAGACGCTGACGGGCAAGACCATCACGTTGGACGTCGAGCCGTCGGACACCATCGACAACGTCAAACAAAAAATCCAGGACAAGGAGGGCATCCCGCCGGACCAGCAGCGGTTGATCTTCGCCGGCAAGCAATTGGAGGATGGACGCACGCTCAGCGACTACAACATCCAGAAGGAGTCCACCCTCCACTTAGTACTGAGACTGAGAGGCGGCGTCCGCGTCCATTTATCGTGGATGACCGCGGGAAACTGGGCTTCAGATCATATCATGGAGGGTTGTACCGAAGGCATCATCCCGGGCACGGGCTACCTCAAGTTTCAAGTGGATGTCGACCTCAAGAACACGACGCATGCTGAGCTCAAACAGATCGCCCTCGACTCGGGAAGTCTCCCGCCCTTACACGAGCCCGTGGGCTTTCACTTTCACGGCAAAAAACTTGTCGAGGAGGGGACGCTGAAGACGTACGGCGTCAAAAGGGGCGACACGATCTTCGTGGACGTGCGCCGCGAGGCCTTCGACCTGGAGAAGACGGGCCCGCCCGCCTTCGCGGGCTCGGACGACGAGGATGCTGATGATGGCGCGCGCGAGTAGGCGTCTTTCCTCGCGTAATCTGTGTCATTCTCTTCCTCACGGGTCCAACCGTGTTGAACTTGAGCTAGCGGCCGTAAGACACTAGCAATCAGCTGATTTGCTTGCGCAGCGGGGCAAGCAGTCGATTAGCGGTGCAACGCGACGTCGTGGACGCCTCCTGGGTACCTCTTTTGGCAGCGCATCACCCGTGCGGACCACAGCCGCGACCTAGATCGCTCATTTGCTGCTGCCACAAATCAGCAAAAGCACTGCTGCACGCCTCCGACGCGAACGCATTCGCACGTGTGGCGGGATGGTGCGCATCGCCCTCTGCTGGGCCCGCGCGACGAATCGAAGGGAGGACGCCGAGCGCGAGGGCTGCGCGGCGGGCCTCGTGCCCGGCACCGAGGACGTGACCTTCGAGGTGGACGTGGACCTCGCGACCTGTGGCTTCGCGGCGCTCGCGGCGGCGGCCGGCGCGCAGCTGCCGCCGCGGCACCGCGCCGTCGCGTTCCACTTCCAGGGGAAGGCGATCGGGCCCGGCTCAGCGCCGTTGGCGGCCTACGGCGTGCGCCGGGGCGACACATTGCGGGCCGACGTGCGGCGGGAGCCGTTCGAGCTCGCGAGGACGGGGCCGCCTCTACAAGACGGGGCGGAAGTCGTCGGCGACGATGGGGCGCGGGAGTAATAGTTGTGGTTGTGAAATTATTGGCGAGCGACGATGAGTCTATCTTGAGCGGTCGTCGCGACGGACGGCGCGCCAGCGCAGGCGGACGAAGTCGAGGCGGTTCTCCCCGCCGAGGCGGTGGGCACACGCGGTGCGGTAGTCGTCGAGGAACGCGGCGCGGTCTGCGACGGGAACCGATTCCAAGAACACTTTCCCGAACGTTCTATACCATTCCACAGCAGTGCATTGCACCGGGCGAGGGGACGAAGTCACGACGACGTCCCGGAATCCTGCACCGTGCAGCAAGCATCGTAGCTCGCCCGCCGCCGGGAAGGTCCACGGGTTTAAACGCTCCACCGCGACGTCGCCGAGGACATCCGAAACAGCCAGCAACGCTCCCGCGCAAGAATCGGCGCCGCCGCATTCGCCGGCCTGTGCGCAAAACGCCATCGAATAGACGTCGCCTCGATGGCGTGGAGGCGCCGTGAAATTTGATTTGCGCACCGTCTCCCGTGGTCCTCCGGCCGGCCCACGTACATCTTCCAGCACGCCCACCCGAGTGCGTTCATTACGACGCCGTGGTACCGTTGCTCACACAGACCACAAATGGCCCACCGATTCCACCTCTGATTAAACGCCTTGACACCCAAATTGTTCTCCTCGGCCTCCGCGACCAAAATCTTCGCCTGCTCCGCCAAGCACGACACGTGGACGAAACCAGCCGTCCCGCGGCACGAACATCCGCGCACGAGGCCCTCCTTCGTCTTCCAATGCAATGCCTGGGTGCAGATGAAGCACGTCTGGCCCTTCACGTCCTCGGCGCACTTCTCGACCGCGATGGATCTCGCCGTCGGCCGTCGCGGCGATGGCCTGCGCCTCCTTCGCGTCGCTGTCGGACGACGTCGTGAGCGCGTGCTCGGACTCGCGGGCGGCGCGCAGGTCGTCGACGGCCGCGCCGGCCTCGGCCTTGGCGGCCTTGAGGCGGTCGGACCGCGCGGCGCGCGCCTCGGCGACGACGGTCGAGGCCTTCTTTTCCGCGTCCATGAGCTCGGAGACGCCGGCGGAGGAGCTCATGGTTGAATCTGTGACTAAGCTACGCGGCGCCGGGTCGTCGGCGGCGGCGGGCAAGTTTGTGGTCTCTCAGTGACCTTGGCAAATATCGAGCGGGGCGGTCGCGGAATAAGACGGTTACGCGCGGCGGCGGCTTCGCGACGGCGGCGCGAGTCTCTGAAACGCGGGTCGGGCGTGAGTCGCGCAACTGACGGCGCTATAATAAATGGATGAGTGCCGAGCTAGCGGCATGTAAGACACTAGCAAGCGCCAGGCTTGCGGGCATTGCAACTCAGCCCGCTGCGCAAGTAGAGAGCAACAACACGGCCGTGGCAGCCGCACAGCACCACAGGAGCAGCGCAGAGCAGCGCTTGCATCTGTGTGTCCAGCGCGCCGCCAGTGCAAGCCCCTCGCCGCCGTGAGAGCGAGGCTGCAAAAGCAGCGCCGCGGTACGCCATCGCCGCCGCGAGCACCGCAGAACACGCAGAGGAGCGACCGCGACACCATTAGTGTCGTCGCCCTCTGCACACAACAATGGCCGATGCCGAGCGGCTCGCGAAGCTCCGAGAGGACCTCGAGAAGGCCTGCAAGGCCCAGAAGTTCTCGAAAATCCTCAAGAAGGCCAACGAAGTGCTGAACATCGACGGCGAGGACGCCGACGCGAAGCGGTGCAAGGCCGTGGCTCTTGCGAAACTAGATCGGTGCAAGGAGGGCCTCGAGTGCTGTGGGGATGACGAAGCTTTACAGGACGTGAAGGCCTACTGCCAGTATCGGCTAGGCGATTTGGAGGGCGCTTTACAGGCTTCGGTCGATAATGAGGCCGTGGCACACGTGCGCGCCCAAACTCTGTACAAACAAGGCAACTACGCGGAGGCCGCTGATATATATGCCTCATTATTATTTGATGAGAGGGAAGACCAGCCGAAACGGTCGGCCGCGGACCGACGAGAGCTCGAAGCGAACTATTACGCCGCGTGTGCCTTAGCGGGCAAGGGCCGCGAAGCTATTTCAAGGCTCAAGCCGCCGGACGACCCGGAGCAGCACCACGAGTTGGCCTACAACCGGGGCTGCTGCGAGGCCCAGTGTGGGGCGACGGAAGCTACAGCAACTCTAGAAAAGGCCTTGTCGGGTGCCGAGCGCGCGGTCGAGGAAGACGGTGCCTCGCTCCAAGAGAAAACTGATGAAACAGCTCAATACGCCGCGCAATTAGCTTACGCTCTCGAGCGGAGCGGTGACTCTGGACAAGCCGTGGAACGGGCCAAAACACTGTTAAAACAAAAGCCGTCCGACGCGGCGGTACGCTTCGCCGCGACCTGTACGCTCGTAGCGGCTCGACGGGACGAGACCGATCTATTTGATTCGCACAAACGCCTGAAACCTTATGCTGCTTCAAATTTCAGTGATCTAAGTGACAAACATGCGGCTCTAGGAAGACTGCTGTGGGCCCGCACTCTATTTGCCATGGGCAAAACCCAGGACGCCCTAGCAGCGCTGGAGACGCCCTTCACCAGTCCAGAAGACCAGTGCGACGCCGAACTGCTCATCGCGGTCCACGCGCAGCCCGAGAAGCAGCAGAAGAAGAAGAAGGCGAAGGGTCATGGTCTGCGTGGAAAGCGACCACTGAGGACCTCGTGAGCCTTCACGCCATCGAGCAGACGAACGCACCATGAAATTTTGATTTCCACACAGGTGAGGACGACACGTCTCCCGAAGCCCTGGCCAAGAAACGCATCGCCGACGCCGAGGCCCTCATCCCGGCCATCGAGCAGGCCTTGGAGTCGGTGAAGACGAAGAATGTTGATGATTATAAGTTAAGGTTCATCCTCGCGCAAGCGCACCACGACTGCGGCCGCGACGCGGAAGCGGCCCAAGCTTTATCTGAATCTTCATTAGCCGACAGGCCCGGCGTCGTCGCGACGCGAGCCGAACTCCTGAACAAAGCCGGTAAAAAGAATGAAGCCGTGGCGTTACTGAGAACCGTACGGGTGCAGCCCGACGATAATGCCCTGAGGGTCGCTGCCCAAAGGTTGAAATTTGATGATATCGAGGGCTGCAAGGAAGCGATAGCCATCTACCCCGGCAATGAACCGGAAGACATCGCCAAGAAAGCGGTCCTGGCAGCTTTTTACGACGCCGACGAAGCCGAAGAATTGGTCAATCAGCTGCCCCAGGACCTAGTCCCGCAGGTGGATGAGGACATGACCCAGGAAGACGTCGACAAGTTACTCGAAGCGGGCGTCCCGAAGGCCTGGCGCACGTCGCGACGAGAGAACTTGAATCTTGTTGTGCAAGCGAAGACGCCCGAAGAACTGGCAGAGGCCAAGGCCAAGAAACGGGCGGCTGTTTTGAAGCGGCGGAAGAAGCGCCGCGAGGCCTACCTGGCGAAACTGCAATCGGAGGGCAAGTACGACCCGAAGAACCCGAAGCCGCCCGATCCGGAGCGCTGGATCGCGAAAAAACAACGGTCCTACAACAAGCGCGGCCGCAAAAACAAGGGCAAGTTCACGGGGGCCCAGGGCGGCGACATCAGCAGCAAGGACGCCCAGAAGCTCGACGCGAAGTCTAGGGCCGACGAGCGCAAGGCCAAGGACGAGAAGGCCAAGGCCGAGCGCGACGCGGCCATCGCGGCCGGGCTGTCCGGGAAGAAGAAGCGGACGGGGAACCGCAAGCGGCGGGGGAACTAGGGCGTTATAAGAACGTCTTACGCGCCTCGCGAGCGGGAGCCATAAGGGGCCCTAGGACAGTGTTGGCTGTGGGGGGACCGCTGGCGAGGCGTGTTTCCTGGTCTGCGGAGCCCTTCACGACTAGCCTGAGGGGCATCCAAATCCAATCCAATCAAGAAAGCTACCAGCTATCAGTCGTCCAGTGCTAAGCCGGTAACAACAACCAACGTCGCCAGGGACCAACTCCACGGGCGTGCCGTAGCAGTCGAAGATGGTTTGGAATCCACGGACCTGCGTTTCGTAGTTCCTTCGTTCGTGCGGGCGGGCGCAATGGACGCGGGTCGCGCACGTTGATCTCCGCTTTGCCCGGGTCGCTCACCGTGACCTCGGTCGTAGCCGAATAGACCTGCGCGCGAGGGAGGCGTCGTCGAGACCGTCGGAGGCGGAGGGACGCAGGGGGCGCGCTCCGATTTGGACGGGGCTGCCGTCGCTTTCGGTGCCGGTGTTCGTGATCTTAGTTCCGGCAGCTGATGACTCGTCCTGCGATGCGGCGCGGTGATTGAAGGCCCTCGGAGAGCAAAAAGCGACGGACGCGGGAGGCGCGCGGTGATCTTCCAAAGCTGGCCTTCGTTGACGACCTCCGTGTTCGTGCCTTCGACCTGCGCGCGCCGCGTCTCAGCGTTTCGCGGGGCGCGGGGGCAAAGGACGGACGCGGGAGGTGTGCAATAATGCCGCTTAGGCGGGAGTCGCTCGGGACCGTGATCTTCGCGCAGTCGACCCCGATGGGGACTCTGATGTTCCACCCGGGGAACGCGCCGTCGAACACGTAACAAGTATCAGATTCAATCGTGGGGAAGGGCGTCGCGCTGATGGTGTTTCCGCCCGTTTCCGAGGCCGGCGCGCGCGCCGCCGCCGCGCGTCGCCCGCGGTCGCGGCGCGCGGCGCGGATCGGGGTGCTAGGAGCTCCTTGGCGCCCCGCTCCGCCGCGGCGCGGGACCGCGCGGCTCTGACGCTTCAAATGTTGTGTTAGCCCTCGCTGAGCGCTCGACGCGTGCCGCGCGCGCGATTTTAGAGAGATGGCGGCCTCTAAACCTCCGAGAGAAGTGCTGGGGCGCGGCGCCAAATGGGACGCTGGCTCACGTTTTGCACCTTGGTTTGAAAGTTTGGCAAAGCGTGTAAATTTGATGCTGAAGCAAGCTGAGTAACACGCCGAGTGAGCCCCTCTACAACCATTCTACGGCCAGTCTTCGGAGACTTGACTGGACGCTTGGGACGTCCTTTTCGGCGCCAGCGCGGGTTCGGGTTATGGGCTCCCCGGGACGCCCTTAGAGTTAGTGCCAGGGTTCCCCGTCCTCGGTGCGAGTCCGGCGCGTGCCGAGGCGCCCGCGGCCCGTGGCAACGGCGTTTCTGTTCAACGTCTGGGAGCTTTTTTTGTGCGGACCGGCCCCGCGAGATGGCCCCGCGCGTCGAGACCGGCCGTGCTGGCGGTTGTCGGGGCGCTCGCCGGGGAAGGGTAGGGCGCTTCCGGCACGCCTAGGCGTCGCGCTTCAGGACCCCGATCACCGGCGGCAAACCCGAACACCGAGCCTGAGCAAAGATTGGCTCTGCGCGCAAATTGCTCTGCTCTTCGTGTGCATCTGTTGGGGCAGCACAAAAACCATGGGCTGCTCCTTCTCGACCGGAGCCCAAAAGATCGAGGCCGTCCTGCAGCGCTTCGACGGCGTGGCGCCCCGACAGGCAACGGACGGAAGCGTGGCCAAGGTCGTCGGCCGCTGCGCGCCCGCCGGGGCCACGCTCGTTTCGCCTATATCTGGGAGGCCGTGCGTCTACTACAAGGTCGTCATCAAGTGGTACTTCCTCGGGGACAGTGAAGAGGCAGCCGGGTGGCGCATCAGTGAAGATCTCTGCGAGACCCAGGCCGTCGACTTCTTCCTCACGGACGATACCGGCGCGCAGATCCGCGTGAACGCCGCCGACGCGCGGTGGCCCGAGTTTTGGAGCGGGGAACGCAGCTACGGGTACAAACTGGACAAGGACGCGACGGCGCGGGACGAGTCAATATCAACGCAGGAGGTCACGCGCACGAACGGGTCGAGCGCCGACCACGCCATCTCACGGCCGGTCGTCAAGAGGGTCTCGCCGCTGCTCGAGGCCTTCCTCCAGCGCCACGGCGAGTCGTGCCACGTGCAAATCCGAAACAAGAGGCACACGAGCAACTTGCTGGCCGAGGAGGCGACCCTGGAGGCGGGCGATGTCGTTGAGGCGCTCGGCGTCGTCCGGAATGGCGCGCTCACGCCCACGTCAAATGACGCGATCGCCAAGGACCGGATGCGGGCCGAGGCCTGGCCGAAGCCCGCCCGGGCCGCCTGGAAGGCCCTCTTCGCCAAGACGCCCGCCATCTTGTTGAAGGACGCGGGGACGCAGCGGGCCCGGCTCGAGGTGCCCGAGGGCGCCGCGCCCGGCGGGCGGCTCGACGCCGCATTTCCGGACGGCCGGAAGCTCGTCGCCGTCGTGCCCGACTGGGCGCGGGCCGGCGACTTCGTCTACGCGACCGCCGCGGTCTAAATTTGATAATCTTAGGTGGGGCCCCCACTAGTTCTTCTTCACCTCCGCCGCCTCGAAGCGCCAATCTCCGTCGACGCCCATGGCCCAGTTGAACTTGTCCTTGAGCGTCTTCGGGAACAGCCGCGAGATCTCCAAATCACACCGCTTGCACCAGGCGACCGTGATCCTGGGGTCCATGTAGTTGGCTTTCGACGTACCCAACGAAACTTCTTTGTTTTCCTCCTTGTTCCTGAGCTCAACCTCCATCTTCTTGACCTTCTCCGTCCACATCTCGATGCGCTTGTCGATCGCGTCCTCGTCCGGCGTATTCTTGAACTTGTGCGCTTCCGCCTGCTTGGCCTTGTTCGCCTGGCGCCGCTTGTCCATGGCGCTCTCGTAGGCCTTCGTCGCGGCCACTTTCTCGTCGGCCGTTTTCGCGTCGTTTTTCATTTGTTTAGCTTTATCAACGAGCTCCGCGGCTTTTTTGGAGGGATCCTCGCCGGAGTGGAGGGGGATTTTTTTTGACGACAAACCCTTCCAGCTCTGGAGTTCCCTTCTTTGAGTTTTCAATTGCTCCAGGCGATCGGCCTTCTCCTCCAAGCCGGTAGCGGCCGCGGCCGACACGGTCCGTTGATGGTTACAGAGAATGGCCACGGTCCTATTGGCCTCGTTGTAGGCCACGATCTTGTCCTGGGGCGTCGGTAATTTCTTCACGTCCTCCGCTTTTGGTAACTGGTTTTGTAAAGTCTCGCTAGCGTTGTACGTACGGAACACTTTAGCAGTTAACCCGGGCATGATCGACGACAGGTGCTTGTTCAGCTCCGTCGGCGTGATCAGATCGAAGACCTGCTCGTTCTTGCTCTTGCCCTTGCAGAACTGCGTTAAATTAGCGTGGACGCGCGGGCCGTTGCTGTCGACGTTCTGGAAGTCGATGGACTGCTTGAAGCGGATCGAGTCTTTGCCTAAGAATTCTAGATCGACGTCCTTGCCACCGCTGTGGAAGGTAAAATGCTCGACGCGCAGCGAGCAGCAACCCACGGTATCCGCCTCGTCCTCGTTCTTCTCGCCACCGACGCGCAACGCCAGGACGTCGATGAGCCACATCGTCGTCGCCTGCTGCTTGAGCTGCCTATCCGAACTGTCGAGGTGCCGCTGGTAGTCCCTTCGGACCTTATCAATACACCCTTTCAACTGCATCGCCTTGTGGAACTTGTTGAAGTCGCTCTTGCCCTTCAGGGACGAGTTCGCCGCGAGCATCACGTATTTATTCTGGCTCATGACGTTCTCGTGCCTGCGCGCGGTCGCGTTATGTGCGGCGTCGCGGCGATGGCGTCGCGGCGATGGCGTCGCGGCGATGGCGTCGCGTCGATGGCGTCGCGTCGCGTCGACGCCATCGCTGCGGCGCCACTCGAATGCATATATACGTCACGGACGCCGCCTCCGCGCCAAGTAGCTAACCAAGTCACGGAGTCGTCGTGCTGCACGTCCGACCAAGATCTACCTGGTTCATGACATCTAGGAGGTGCCCTATCCCGCCCCACATTGATCGCGACGCGATCCGGCTCCGTCCTTTGCTTCACGACCCCCGTTCTTGGATGTTTACCTCTACCGCGAAACAACGAGGGCGGCTCCATGCGAAAATTCCCGACCTTCTCGACGTGGCCGTCGAGCAACGCAAAGCCGGACTTGAGTAATTGTTTATCCTTCATTTCCTTCGTCGCTTTTTTCTCCGCGTCCGACGCGGAACGGCGGATCGCCTTCTGCCTATCCAAATGTTCACTGATTCGTGTGAAGTCGCAGCCTTTAAAGCTCTTGATGGTGTGCGAACTGCCCAGCGCCTTCGAGAAGTCGTCCCAGAAGTTCTTCTGGAATATTTCTCGCTGACCACCTTTGACCGAGAGTTGGGGCCCGTCCTCGGGCATGGACGCGTAGAACGTCGCGAGCTCTTCCTGTCTAGGAGTTAATTTCACAGGTTGACCCTCATACACTAAGGGCACGTTGTGCGGGACGTATTGCGGCTCGAACGTGACACCGGCATGTTCCAGCGTCGTCCACGACTTGCCCTCGGGCGGGTCGGGCGCGTTCCACCACTCGAAGGCGCCCAACGCTTTTTCGAGGCGCTGGACCTTCGTGAGCTGCTTGGGCTTTCGCGCCGTCGAGCCGGTCGAGGATTTCCTTCGCTTCGGAGCCGGCTCCTTCTTCGCGGGGGCCTTGCGCTTCGCGGGCTTGCGGGCCGCGCGCTTCTTCTGGATGGGCTCGTCGTCGCTGTCCGAGGAGTCGTCGTCGTCGGAAGACTCCTTGTACTTCGGTTTCGGCTTGGCGCGCTTCTTCGGCGGGGGCTTGACGGGCTCGTCGTCGCTGTCGTCGGACGAGGACGGCGACGGCGGCGGCTTCTTCTTGGGCTTGGGCTTCGCGGCGGGCTTCGCGGCGGGCTTGGCCGGCGCCTGGAGCTGGGACAGCGGGACGTCGTCGTCGCTGGACGAGTCGGACATGGTAGCGGCGGCTCGCGGCGCAGGCGGGACGTCCGGCGGCGCAGTCTTCGCACAGGCGCGCGGCGTTGGCGTCTTGTGGGCGCGAGGCACTCCAAGTCGATTGTAGGGCTGCGGGGGTGTCCGGCGGCCCGCTTTTTCACACAGGCCGCGGAGCTCAGGGGTCGCTGCGACTCTTACGTGCGTTCTCGGGTCCCAGCGATGCGCAGTTGTGTTGCAATCACAGCGGCGAGCCCACAAGTCGGATGTCGCTAGTACCTTTACAGACCGCTAGCTCCAAGCCGGGCAAGCTGCAAAAACGCTGGTATAGAGGCCCAAGCGCTTGTCAGAGCTGATCTCGCACACATTCCAGCCTCCGCGCGGCTCCCGCACCCGCAGCGCGACCGCTACGAGCAGCCATGGAGGAGGACCTGCAAAAGCTCCTCCAGGGCCTGCAGGCTTTAACGGGCGGCGACGGCCCCACGTTAGACGCCTTCGTGTCCAGAGACGCCGCCGAGCTGCTCCGAGAAAGGGGCACCGCACCGATCTCCGAGGACGACCGCGTGCGCTACGAGGTGCACCCGCTCGACGACGCTCCGATCGATCAACTACTAAACACCGTTTCCAAACAAATGAATGAGTGGTCCGGAGCTCACGCCTGGCGCGACGCCGGCGCCCCCTGCGCCTCACTTCAGAAGTGCAAGGCGCACGTCGCGGCGTCGATCACGATCAGCGATTTGGACGACGAGTGGCTCCTCGTGTCGCTCCTCGCAGATCTTACAAGAATGGAGCGCGTCGCCTGCCGCGTGACCGATAGTGATGGGGAGTTCCTGCTCGTCGACGCGGCCGATCACCTGCCCGATTGGCTCGAACCGGAGAGTGCCGTGGGGCGGACCTGGCTCGTTGCTGGTAGTATTGCTGTGGTATTGGATGAACCGGGCGGGCCGTTACCCCTTCAGAAAGGTCTGGGGCTCTGTTGTTCTTCGAGGGACAACGCGGCCTCGAGGGAAGCAACATCAGCTTTAAGGCGACGCGAGCGGTCGTTAAAGGAAGGCGCTCAAACGTGTGTGCTGGGGCGGCGCCAGAACGTCGTGGTGTCTATGCCTTCACATGCGTGGCGCGTTTTTCGAAGGGCTCCTCGATTGCTCGGGCCCGCCGCGGCCAAGGCGCCGCGGCGAGCTCCTTCGTCCAAGTCCACGACGGAGGGTATTGTAAGACTCTCAAAGGCATCCTACGCGCGGCTGAGTGCGTCGACGGACGACATCGGCGCGGCGCTCGCGGCGGGACTTGATATAATAAGGAAGGCGCCCTCGGCTCGTGAACGGGAATTATTGAAGAGCGACACGCTGCAACCGGCGGAGACTGACGTGGACGACGCGTCGTGGTTGCAAGTAGACCAGGAGACGCTGGAGCGGAAGTGTTCTGCGGTCGCGACTCCAAATGATGTGGTAAGTGGTGTGCACGATTTCCTCGAGGAAGATAATGAGGAGGAGACGATGCAACCGGTGGCCGTCGATGGTGAAGCGGTCGCGGCGTTGCTACGGGGCGAGGCCGCGCCGGCGCGTCCGCCGGACGCCGAAGTCATGGACGTCCTCCGGGGGCTCCGCGACGCGGCCGGAGCGCATGCTACCGCCGTCGCCGTGGACGGGCCGGACTCGGACGACGAAGTGGAAGAGGATGATGTGTATGCGGCCCAGCTCGAGGCCGAGCTCGCCACCACCGAAATGGCGCAGTCCTTCGACCGGCCTACCGATGATGATGATGCGCCCGTCGACGTCGACTTCAACCTCGTGAAGAATTTGTTGGAGAGCGTCGAGGCGCAGGACGGGGCGGGGCCCGGCGCGGCGGCGTTATTGCTCAACGAGCTCGGGCTCGAGCTGCCGGCGGATGATGACTAGTTTGTTGTAATGTTTCTTACGTGTCGAAGCTGGCGAGCTTCTCGCGCGCCGCAGTCAGCTCGCGCGGAAGATACGTCCAATTCGGATGATCAGGTCCGAAAGGCCGAGGAGAACAACTTGGACGGCAAGGCCAAGAATGAGAGGTTCAAGCGATGGTATGCGTGCAGTCTGTGCGAGCAAGAGTACCACGGCGTCGTCCGATGCGCGCTCGGGTGGGCGTGTTGGAAGACGTACGTGGGTCGGCCAGAGACGGACTGGGCTCGGCGTGACGCGATCACACAGCTGGGGACCGGTCTATCCGCCGCAAAACACCACAAGACCGCGTTGTCCGTGCGAGAGGCCGAGCTGTCCATGGAGCGCCGCCTGGGTGGATCGGAACACGCCATGCTCACCGCTCAAACCAATCTTGCGATCACATATGGAGAGCTTGGTAACATGGAGAAGGCCCTAAGCATGGAACGAGACATATACTCCGGACGTCTGAAGCTCCATGGCGAAGAACATGAGAACACCGCAATAGCAGCCAGCAACTATGCGATATCCCTTAACGAATTACGGCGCTTCAAGGAAGCCAAGGCGTTTCTGCGCAAAACGATGCCCGTGGCGCGGCGTGCTATCGGCGAGAGTCATGAACTCACGCTAAAGTTGCGGCGGAATTACGCGCAGTCGCTCTGGAGGGACGACGGCGCCACGCTCGATGATCTCCGCGAGGCCGTGACGATGCTCGAGGATACGGCACGGACGGCGCGGCGCGTGCTAGGCGGCGCACACCCCATCACAACGGGGATTGAGCACGAAATGCGAGACGCGCGAGCAGTGCTCCGCGCCCGCGAACCGCCGGACGCATAAGTACATATTCTCAGACAAACATGCGATTTACTCCTGGGACACGCTCTCCGACCCATACGTGTACGACGACTCGATGGACGACCGCTGCAGCGGGTTCGACGACTCGTCCGTCTCCAGCGAGAACGTGACCGACGGCTGCGGCTGCACTTCTTCTGCGGGCGCCTCGATGAGTCCGGCCGTCCCCGGGCGGCTCTCCAGCGACGCGCGCTCCGCCAGTCGATCCGCCAGCGACGCGCGCGACTCCCGCGTCTGCTCCTGAAAGTTCTCGGAACCGATGTCGCCGACCGCGATGACACCCTTGGACGTGAAGCGCACTCCACAAGTAGGACAGTGCGTCGCCTGCTGGTCCATGCACTTGTGGCGGCAGGCCCGGCACCAGACGCCCTGGAAGCGCTTGGCTTCCCGGATAAGTTTTCGTTTCGCCTCGAGGCCCTTCTCCTGCTCGGCCTCCGCTACGACCTTCAGCTCGTTTAGACGATGCAGAGTGTGGGCCGCGTACACCAGCTCGGCGTCGGCCGCGAAGTCCTCCTCTGACCAGAGCTCCTTGGCCCGCAGAACCTCCGACGACAAGTCCCTGACAAAAGTCTTGGCGTTCTTGAGCACGCGTTTGAGCGTCTCTTGCCGGGCCTTCTTGCCGCGCGCGCCTTCCGCGGCCGTATCCCACGCTTCCACGAGACCTGCACCAAGGTAAACGGCGGGCCGCAGCGCGTTGAGGCATTCGAGCTTCCAGCGGCGCACATTCGGCACGTCCGTATCCTTGGCGAACCGGGGATCGTAGTAAACTCTTTCCCCTGTCTCTCCGTGCTCGAAACCTGCGTTGGGGACCCCGCGTCGACTCGCCGCCACCGGCGACGCCAGCGACGCGCCAGAAAGGACGCCGCGTTCGCACAGAAGTTCTTGTCCGCGTCGCGACTCTCCATCCAGAACGCCGCCTCCTGTCCCAGGAAGCGAATCTCCCCCGTGAGGGAGTTGGTCCACCTTTCGCGTTTCCCGACCTTCGCCACCTCCATCTTCGCCCGCGCGCGCTCCAGCGCCGCCTCGTCGTCGTCGTCGTCATACTCGTCATCACTTTCTTTCTCAGGTAATACAGTCCACGCGCGCGTCTCCTCCTCCAGTCTCCGCGCCCTAACCTTAATATCCGCCTTCTCGGCCCGCTTATTTTGTCTCTCGGCCAAAGCAGGCCGGACAGCCACATTGAAATCAGACCACGAACCGGAAGCGTCGTACAGCTGCAACCGGTCCGCCGCCTCATCCACGTCGATCCACTCGTGGTCCCCATCTATATATTCTACTCGGTACTTCCTTCTACGCCTATGGAAGCGAGCCAACACCCCTTCGAACCACTGCTCCTCGAGCGGCCAGAACACGCGCACGCTACAACCGATCAGCTCCGCGTCGACCGGATCCGTGCGCGGATCCACCGTGACGATCTCGCCCGTCTCGTTGTGCACCCACACGAGCCCACCGTCGAGATTCCGCCGTTCCACCCACTCGGCACCCAGCTCGCCACCCGCGTCGCCATCCGAATCGCTACAAGAATCCTTGGCCAACTCAGCCTGCCACGCCTCGAACTTCTTCTGTCGGTTCAGAGCTCGCTGCGCCTGCTCGAAGTCGCGACGCGCATAGACATGTCGCGCAATATGATTCATGCGCAGATTCCGCCAGTCCATCACCCTAGAACCTCTATAACACTTCTGGATGACCGTCACTTGCGCGTTGAGCATCGCCATGAACTTCCTCCTACGTCGAGCCCGTTGCCTCCCGAACAATCCGCGCGTGCACCGCTCCATGACGAGCGACGCTCCTTCTTGCAGTCGTCGTTTGCGCTCCATGATGGCCTGTAAACGAGCCATCAACGACTGGCCGCCCGCCCATTTCATGAATTTGGTGACGACGCGCGCGGCATGATCATGCAAGGCCGCCAACCGCTCCCGTCGTAGTCGGAGTCGTATGACTTCATGTCTAGCGTGCAAAGCTCGTAGTATGGACTGAATAATCGCCGCGGCGACGCGCTCGTCCCTCTCATTCCTCAGCTTTATTTGAGACATAACTAAGGCCTTTCTGCGAGCGCGTACACCCCTACCAGCAGCTTGTATTTTGGTAGAAGCAACATCTCGTCGGTACTTCTTGAGTTGCGCTCTTAGTCTTCTAATAGCAGGCAGACACCCGGCGGGATCCACCAATCTTATCTTATAGCCCCGGTAGCACGCCTGGAAGCCGATCACCTGGTTCGTGTGCAACTTAAGTAAGCGCTGATACTCCTTCGCGTTCCATATATCCCTCCGTCCACAGTAGCCCCGCCAGAACCGCTGGAGTTCCCGCGTGTAGAATTCTCTTCGTTTAAGTCGTTCCTTGTTGGCCTGGCGTCTCCTCCTAAGCCACGCCATGCACTTCCTTGCGATTTTGCGCGACGCGCCGTGCAGCCTCAACTCCACGCGCGCGTCCGAGGCCTTACAACGTCTCCGATAGGCTCGGAAGTAGGCCACGATCTCCCGACAAGACCTTTCCTCGAGGAGTTGCTGGGCCTCGGTCAGCTCCACAGAAGTAGCATCTTCCCGAGGACAGAACCCAAAGAACGCCCGCGCTTCCACGACGGTGCCGGCGCCTTTCAGTAAAGACTTGCCCTTGATCAAGGCCTTCAAACCAGACGACGTGACCTCCTCACACCCAGTGACGTTCAAATAACGCATCCCCAGCGCTCCGGAGCACAGTTCCCCGAAGACCGACTCACTCAAGTGTTGCGCGCCGGCCACGTCGAGGCAGGTCAACCCGGGGCAGCCCTGCGCTAGGGCTCTTATCGAAGTGTTTTTCAGCAAACCAGCTCGCGGCGCGAGTACCGTTGTCATACGGTGGCACCGGAACCCCAACGACCGGAAGGCCTTGTCGCCCACGAGTTGGCAGTCGGACACGTCGAGAATCTTCAAGGAAGCACAGCCCTTTGAGAGTGAGATAACACCCGCGTCCGTCACTCGTTCACATTTCGCGACGGATAGCATTTGCAGCCTTTTACAGCCCTGGGCCAAGTTCGCCAGAGCGTCGTCCTTGACCAGGGGGCACCGCGAGATGTCTAACGAGAGTAGCTTGTGGCACTTCGCCGCTCCCACACCTACTATCCCACCAAGCCAACCACACGCGTCACTATTTAATTGCGTACAACCCGACACATCTAACTGCGTGAGGCACTCGTGGATACACTGCGAGATCTTCATGCAGGACTGGTTCGTGACGTTCTCGCAGTCCCTCATCTTCAAGGTTCGTAACGCGAAGAGCCGAGCACAGAACGCCTGGACGTCATTGTCCGTCAGGGACGTCTGCGAGAGATCTGCGGCGGTCAGCGAGTCGCCCAGGGCTAATGACAAAGCTCGTAGCGGTTCCAGCCGCAAACCTTTCCATCCAGCTAGCGTGACGGACTTGCCGCGCGTGGCCGGCTTCGGGTACGTCCACGCGCACCCGTCTTTGATATTATCGGACGTGCCCTCGAGAAATTGTTGGCACCAGTCCGCGACGGCGCCGCCCGGCGGGTAGGCTTCTTCTCCAGTCTCCAACGCTCGGCGCTGGTCGGCGCGCGCGGCATCTTCCGCCAGAGCGCAGGCTCCCTCCCACAACGCCGCGTCACTTAATCCATCGAGCTCCTTCCTTAGGTCTACTTCTTCCGCAGCTGGCGGGAACGCGGCCAGGAGTTTTCTCGTGGATGGTTTGAGGGCGCGCTTCGGCGGTAATGGATTCCGCGCTTCCTCGGCCATGCGCATGCCTAGTCTATAGCCGTGGTCCCAGGCCGTGCCCCGCGCGACGGCGAGGGCGTCGCGGTGGCCCTGCGCCATGGTCCTTGTCTTGGCTCTGGCAACCCCCTCACTGCAGGCAGCCCCAACCTTGGGGGAACGGCTGCCCACCGCTCGGAGCGGGTCGTTCAACGGCTCGCAAGCCTATTCTATCCGCATTCGGCCCATGGTGGGGCCGGGCAATGGCAGCAATGGCGGCGGCGTTGCCAAGCTGGGACCCGCACGGACCCGTGGCCACAGCCTTCTATCTCTCATGGGCCGATAGTACCTCTCTCATGTAGCCCCCACAGCCCTGGGTCGGAGCGCTTGAGCCGGCGACGATGGCACACAGCATCTTGGGTCGGTTGGCAATTTGCAGCGCAAAATACGCACAACCAGGATGGACGCTGACGCGGTTGACGGCAAACGGATGGCCCTGGCGCTCGGGGCGCTCCAGGGGCGCGTCCAGCGGCTCCAGAAGGCGCGCAGAGACGCAGTTGCTGAGCGAACAGCACTTGAGGCCAGAGCCGATCACCTAGACGCGGCCGTCGACGCGGCGCGTGCCGCGGCAGAGGACCGCAAGCGCCGCGCCGCGGTCCGCGCCGCGAAAGAGCGCCGCGCCCGCGCCGTCGCCGCGACCGCCGCGGTCGAACGCGAGATCGCGGTGCTCGACGCGCGAGTTAATGCGCAGAACGAGTTGGCTCCCCGGCAAAAACCACGACCACCACCGACGGAGACGCCGGCAGCTGCGCCGCCGCCGCCAGACACAGAGGACTACCGCGCGTGCCTCGCAAAAGCTCTCGCGAACGCGACGGACGCGAACGAAACACTAGCTCTAGCGCGCGTCTACGCACGAACTGTAACAACCTAGGTAGTTAGAAGTCCTCGTCCTCCGAGACGGGCTCGTCGGCCAGCAGTAGTAATGTCGCCGCCGTCGGCGGGTGGTCGACGAAGGAGAGGTCCTCGAAGTTCACCGGGGCTTCCGGTAAAGCAAGCACGGGCTCCAGGAGCCGCTCGCCCACGTTCGTGGAGGCGGCGACGGGCCCCTTCAACCTAAATTCGCAGGTGCAGCCCTCCTCGTCCAACGCAATCTTCACGACGACCAGACCGTAGCCGCCGTCGTAGAAGTCGAGGAGCTCGCCCCTCCCCAGCTCCTTCGGCAGCGACTGCCGTCTCCGTTGCTGTTGTTGTATAGGTCGGCGCCGTCGACGAGACACGCGCGCCGGGCCGCCCCCCAGGAAGTTCACAGCTAAACGACGGTCGTGCACCCGTCTCATGGGCGCGCCCGCGGGGCACCAGTCCGGCTGTCTCTCTGGAGATACGACTGGCGGCGGCGGTGGTGTTATCTCAGGTTTCAACGCCCAGCACCAGTCGCATAGAGCTAGCGTCGCGTCGCAGAAGTCCTCGTGGCTTTCAAATGTAAGCACGCCGCCGGCCACCACTGAATCCTCGTCTTTACAACGGAAGCGCGCGACGCAGGCCCTCAATAACAAAGCGGCGCGCGGCGCGGGCGCATACGAGAGGCGCTTCTCGCGATTCCTAAGACCGCAGACGGCCCGCACCGCTGCTTCGGTCGCGTCGGCGGTCGCGGCCACGTTCTTCAACAAGACCTCGACGTCTTGCCGCAATTGTAGAGGGTCGCCGCCGTCGTTAAACCCGGTGAAGGCTAGTGTTCGCCTACCATCGACAAATGATCTCGTACAAGCGTGCAGCGCGAAGGGTTCCATGTTTTTACCCGCGCACAGAGCTGCCACTCTCGATAGTACGATCCACCGCGTGGCTTCATCCCTCAACTCGTCGTGGACGTCCCTTCTTAGTAAAGCGGCGACGCCGCGCCGCAAACAGGGTTTCGAGTCGATCACGTCGCTCCAGTAGTCGTCTTCATCGTCATTGACGGTCTCGAGCCGCTTCGACTCTTCCGCTTTCTCCCTCTCAACCTTCCGGAGGTCCTCGCCATCGAACATGCGACGCTCGATGCCCTCATCTAAATGGGCGGCGATCCGCGACGCGACCTTGGCGCGACATTCGTGATGCGCCATCGCGTCGAATAGCGCGGCCTCTTCCGCATGGTCGCAGAGCATCGCAAAGCAATTCAAGGAGCCATCCCTCAAAGCTGTGGGGGTCGGCAGCGCGCCCGCCCGTAATAGCTGCTGGACGACGTCGTCGTGACCCTTGAGTGATGCGGCCTCCAGAGCGGTGGAAGACGCGTGGCCGCGTTGGACGAACGCCGCGACGGCTCGATTACGCCCCCGTCTCGCAGCCACCACTAATGGCGAAGAACCGCTCCAGTCCTCGGCATCGGGACTCGCGCCCGCGTCGAGCAATGCCGCGCAAACCGCGGCATGGCCGCGCGCCGCGGCCTCCCAGAGCGCCGTCCTTCCTCGCGTCCGCGCGCCGTCCACATTTGGATGGGCGTGCTCCAGACAGTGCCGGACGGCGTCGAGGTCGCCCCTACATGAAACAGCATGTAAGTACTTCTCGGCCATTTGGCTTGGGCTGCCTCCCGGCGTCCGGTGGGCTACGGGTGGCGACAGTGCGCTGCGGCGGCGTGCGTGTGTTGCTGCGCGCGCCTTCGATGATCCCTGTGGGGGGGCGGCGGTGCCTTTGGGCAGCCTTTGCTCGTTAGCAATCGGTCCCAAACCCGAACAGAATCCCGAGCCTCCTGTAACCCGTTGCAGGGGTGCTCACGCAGACCTCTCAAGTGATCTACGGGACATGTCGCAAAAACCCGTTTTGCGCTCGGCGCGACACTGGCACACACAAGCAGAGCCGCTCCACAAAACCAAGCAAACGTCTTTGGTGTTGCGTGAGCACTCGCACCGCTCCAAGCCATACCGGACTGCTGCCATCCGGGCCAAATCGCTGCGCTGTTCCATCGCTGCGCCACAAAAGGAGCGTGGCGAGTGCGGACCCGAATCGCTGCGACGCCGACGACGCGGCACCAGAACACAGCGATGGCTCCTTTGCAGCGACGCCACCTCGCGCGGCTCGCGCTGCTCGCCGCCGCAACAAATGCCCAGTTCCCCGGCATGCCCGGCGGCCCGCCGGCCGACGCGCGGCCCATCTTCAAGACGGGCAAGTATCTGGGCTGCACGGTTTGTAAATTGGCGGTCGAGGAGATCTGGAAGGAAGCCCTGCGTTTACGGGAAGAAGCGCCCTACAAGAAGCCGAGCGAGGACATGTACCAGGACAGCATCCAGCAGATCTGCGACCCCATCAAGGACTTGGGGGAGTGGGTGGCCATGTACGACATCACGCAGAGCGAACGGGGGGCGCCCCTCAAAATGGAGAAGCAGGAGTACATGTGTGAATGTAGGAGGGAGTGCCGGACCATACAAAAAGCTTGTGAAAATATAATAAATGAGCATATGGAGGACATGGCCGAGTCCCTGTACAAGCGCGACGCGTCGACCCTGGAGAAATTCAGTAACAGAGTCTGCACCTGTGTGGAAATCAACCAGTGTGTCGGGTGCACCCGACAATTCTTCACTAAGTCATTTCTTGGCGATGACGCGGCCGACCTGGCTCGGTCGAGCGGCGAGGAACCGGCATCGCCACGCCATCGAGCAGGCGTCGCGTCGATGGCGTGGAGGACGACGCGACGATTCAGCACGAACGCGCCGTAAAATCTTGGTTTCCACACAGGTCTGCACGAAGTGGGCCGAGGCCTGCCCCTCGAAAACGCCGAAAACGTACCTCCACCCGAACGAGCACTTCATGCCCCTCGACGAGGAGATGTGGCGCATGCGGCGCATGCAGGACGTGATCAACGACCAGGCCAAGAAGCACAAGAAGCAGCCCGTCCAGTTCGTCGACCCGATGCAGAGCGCCTACTTCGGGGACGACGAGGACTTCGAGCCGGACGAGCTGTAATTTTAAATGTACTAATATTTCTTGCCAAATTTTGGAGTTGTCTCTCCCGCGAGCCAGAAAAAACAGCGAATTATTTCGTTGCGGCCGGGCGCAGGCGTCCGCTGAGCCTTCGCGGACCCGTGTTCGTGCTAGACCCGGGCACGACGCCTCAGGATTATGTACTTCATATGATATCAGCGCCTCCTCCGAGATCCCGCTGCCGCAAGCACGCTGCCGCAAACTGGGATACTTGAACGGGGCGCTACCAAAAGGCAGCCCCTACAGCACCTCAGCGAGAAAAAAGGCCCTTCGCGCAGTCGCGCATCAGAAAGCTCCCCATTGGTCGCAGCAGTACGCAAAAAAACATGCGAAGGCAGCCCCCCCTCCGGCGGCTCCTGGCACTGGTCGGCACCGCGCGTGGCTTCCTCGCGACCGACAGCACGATTCGGAAATTGCAGGCTTCTGGTGACGGCTGCGCCTGCGTCGACTTCGCGATGCCGGCGATGACCTGCGACGACTACATCGCGAGCCCCGACGGGGGCGAGGGTTGGTCGGAGCTCGACGGCGTCAGTGCGTGCGGCTGGATCGAGGCGAATTGGCCCCACGGCGGCGGGCCCGCGGACGGCTACGCCGGCTGCGACGGGTGCTGCTGCGGGGCGCGGAGCGACGCCCGCGGCTACCGCACGGCCGCGGAGGACGCCGCATCCGGCTGCGACAGCTGGGACGCGCTCGTCGCGACGGCGGACTGCGTGATTCGCCCGGACGTCACCATCTCCGTGGTCGAGGGCAGCACTTACACGATAGCCAGCGGCGCGAGCGCCTCCATCCGCGGCGCCGGTGAGGCATACTCGACCATCGCCGGGTCGAACAACGGGTATTGGCCGATCTTCGTCCTGGACGAGCGCGCGGGTTCGCTCGAGCTCGCGGACCTGACGATCAGAAGCGGCCACAACAGCGCCGACGCCGGCGCGATCCGCATGGAACCCGGCTCGACGCTGACGGTGAGCCGCGTGGTCTTCCGCGGGCACATGGGCATGATGGGCGCTATCATGGCCACCGGCCCGTACGACGGCATGCCCGCCGCCAGCCTCGCGTTCTACTCGACCAAATTTTACGAAAACTCGGCGAATCACGTCTGGGTCGGGAGCGGGACGACGGCGGCGTTCTACGACTGCGCGTTCGGCGCCCTGACGGACTTCTACGACGCCGCTATGATGATGTGGATTTACCAATATGGCGCCCTCGTTCTGGACGAGAACGCCCGCGCCGACCTCTACAGCTGCGACTTCGAGTCCACCTGGACCCTCTGGATGAACCCGTCGTCGCTCGCGCGCGTGTACTGCACGTATCCCGCGGGCCTCCACGCGACCTACGACTCCGATACGAACGGCGACGTGTGGGCGGGGACTTTGGTGGACTACAGCGGCCAGGAATGCCCACCCACGCCAAGCCCGGTTCCGCAGCCGACGCCTCAGCCCTCATGGCAGCCGACGCCGCGCCCGATCCCGAGCCCGACACCTGCCCCGACTGCGACGCCCGGTAACCCCACGGCCAAGCCCGTCTCCGCGCCGACGCCGCGCCCCACACTCGCGACTCCGCGCCCCACACTCGCTGGCGCGCTCGCGGGCGGCGCCGAAAGCTCCACCGACGCGACGGGCGGCTCCGGTGGCGGCGGCGGCGGTGGCGACGACGTGATGGCCGCCGGCGGAGGTGCTGCCGCGGGCGCCGCGCTACTGCTAGCCGCCGCCGCCTTCTTCTTCTACCGTCGCAGCAAAGGGTCGAATACGAAACAGAGGGCCCGCGGCGGCGGCGACCTCGAGGAAGGCGACGACCGCTCCGCGATAGCGTTCGCCCGCCACGAGGAGACGTCGAGCGTCGTGCAGAACGGCATGACGCTCGCGAGCGCTTTGCTCTCCGTCGGCAGCAGCCTCCCGCTCGTCGGGCGGCTCTGCGAAGCGGCTCAGTCCTGCCTTGGCTCGGCCGAGGAGTTCGGTGAGAAAGCGGATGATATTTTGGTTGCGGCGAAGCGCGTCTGTGACGTGCTCAACGTTGTCCAGATGATGGCCCGGAACGCGGATAAGCTCGCGGAGGGCCGCGAGCTGGTGGAGCAGGCGATGCGGGAGCTCGTGGACCTGCTCGTCGAGTTCGACGGCGCCGTGCGCAAGTTCGGGAAGAAGGGCTGGCTGCAGCGCGCGTTCAAGATGCAGAGTCATGTCAAGTCGCTGGGCCGCCTCGACAAGCGCATCGTCGCGCAGCTGCAGACCTTTCGGGACATCTACCGGCTGTCGGTCGACCATCTCATGATGGAGCGGACGTACCGCATCGAAGCGTCGGTGGGGCAGCTCGTGTCGGAGCGCGTCCGCGCGACGGGCGAGTCCGAGGCGCAGGCCGCCGCGGCGCTCTCGGAGGACGCCGTCGCGGTCGCGCGCGTCGCCGTGGACGGCCGCGTCGCCGCGTCGGAACTGTCCAGCGAGCTCCAGGAGTTCAGGTTGGAAGTGAAGGAGGGCCTCGGGAACCTGGACACGAAGATGCAGCAAATGCTGGCCGGGCGGGACGGCGACAAGGCGGAGCTCGCCGGCATCGCGAAGGCCGTCAACGCGGCCGCGGCGCGCGACGCCGAACTCATGAAGGCCGTCGAGGCGGGCGCGGCGCGCGACGCGCAAATCCTGGAGGCAGTCGAGGCCGGCGCGCAACGCGACGCGGGCCTGCGGCAGCAGATCCGCGGGCTCGGCGACTCGCTGCGGCGCAAGACGAAGAAGGAGTCCGTGCGCCAGCTCAAGGAATCCCAGCTCGCCCAGTTCGAGGTCGTGCCCGACTACGTCGAGGACAAGCCGTTCGCGCGCGGCGGCGAGGGCGAGGTCTTCATGGGCGAGTATCAAGGCGACAGTGTCGTGCTCAAGAAGATGTCACTCGTGGGCATGACGGCGACGAAGCGCCAGAAAATGCTCAATTCTTTCAAGAGCGAGCTCGCGATCATGGTGCGGCTGCGGTCGCCGCGCGTCGCCCACTTCTACGGCGTGGTCACGACGGATACGACGTTCCTCGGCCTCGTGATGGAGTACTGCGCCGGGGGCTCGCTACGCGACGCCCTCAACACCGACGACGAGATCACGTCGGACCGGCGCCGCATCTGGGTGTCGGACGTCGCCCTGGGCATGGCGCACTTGTACTCGCAGGGCGTCGAGCATCGCGACTTAAAGGCGCTGAACGTATTGCTCACGCACGATCTCCGCTGTAAGGTGACGGACTTTGGCTTGTCGAAGTGCGAGGATCTGAAGACGACGGCCACCGCGACGATGGGCGGCGCGGGCCTGGCGGGCACGCCGGCCTTCATGGCGCCGGAGCTCTTGGAAGACAACACGTTTACGGAAAAGAGCGACGTGTACTCGTACGCCATCGTGCTGTGGGAAATCTGGGACCGCGGTGTGCCGTGGGGCGGGCTGAAGCCGGTGCAGATCACGCGAAAGGTCGTCGACAAGCGCGAGCGGCCGCCAGTGCCGACCGGGATGCCGGCCGAGCTCCGGAAGCTGATGGTCCGCGCCTGGGCGCACCAGCCGGCGGACCGGCCCGATTTCGAGGAAATTGCCGCCGCGGTGCGCGTGTCGACGCCGCGGGGCGCCGGTCCTAATGCTCCGTCGTGGGGGGGCAGCACCGGCGGCACCACCGCGCAAGGCTCGACCAAGTCGATGGGCAGCGGCTGGTGGTCACGGTCCTAGAACGCGCACCCGCGCAAGGCCGCCGTCTTGAATTCCCCTCTCCCCGTTTCCCCAACTCGTCGCGGCCGTCATATCTATGATACGTCGCGTCGCGAGTTGCCCCCCCCCGCCCCCCCCGTAAAAAACAAAAAGCAATATGCTACCTCGGGATGCGTCCGGGCCGGTCCGGACGAGCTGCAAGGGTGGTTTTGTATGTGGTGTTACGGTGTGCACCTATGCCTAAAGCAGCGCGACTACCGCGATGACGGCCGCGGCGACCGCGCCGACGACGACCAGAAACGTGCATGCCGTGCAGGTGCAGGTTGGTCGTGTTCGGCTTCCGCGGCTGATTCCACTCGCCAGTGTTGTCGCGGTCCTCCAAGTTGTTGACGAGCGTGAGCTCGACTCTGTCGCCCGCCTGCAGGACGAGGCGCGGGCCGCCGAGCGCGCCTGTGTGCAAGATCCGTCGCGTCGATGGCGAAATGCGCCGTCAAATTTTGTATGCGCTCGAGCGTACCATTGTAGGCGCGCGTCTTGAAAGTTGTGTTGGGGGTTTTGAGAGTGATCACGTCGACGGTCAGCGTCGTCGCGAGGAAGCCGTCCGCCGACTCGACCTTGTGGTCCGCGAGCGATTTCAGCGGACAGCCCACGCACGAGGCGTCCCAGGTCGGGATCTCTGCCTTTGCTCCGAGCGCGCAGATCAATACGACGGCCAGCGACTGCATTCTTGCTGCGATCTTAGCGGTTTTTCTCGGTTTCAGGCGCTTTACGCGCGATTTGCGAGCGTGGCGTTTTCCGAGGGCTTGAACGTGAATCACGACGGCCCTTGGCGTATCGAGGAATCGGATCTGGCTCCCAGGAAACTCCAGGATCACAGGAAATCTGAGTTATGCTAGCGGCATGTAAGGCACTAGCAACGACGAGCTGCTTGGCTTTGCCGCGGATATATTTGCGAGTAGCGAGCCCTCTGGACGTCCTGCAATTTACTGCACGACTAATAGCTCTAAACGTCTCAGCAGACGTCGAGCTGCAGCGCTAAACGCCGCCAGCCGCCCGCTAGACTCGCTGGCCAGAGAAGCTCTCAGAGCAGCCAAACGCCATCGGCGCGCATAACCATGGCCGCCCAAGCCGCCGCGGCGGGCGCCGCCTTCGAGCAGGACATCCACCACGACCCGAAACAGAAGCCCCAGAACGTCTGCGTGTTGGGGGGCGGCAACTTCGGGACCGCGATGGCCTTTCTAGCTGCTAGCAAGTCGCACTCCGTGCGATGGTATTGTCGGGACCCAAAGCAGGCCGCTACTATTACTTCCACGCGGCGCAATCCTAGATACTTGTCGGACATCGAGCTGCCCGAAGGCCTGCAAGCCACCGCAAACGTTTCAGAAGCCCTCCAAGGCGCCACCCTCGTAATCTCCGCCCTCCCGGCCCAGGCGACGCCCCACTTCATCGAGAAATATCGAGGAGACATCCCCGCCGACGCCATTTTTTGCTGCACCTCCAAGGGTTTGTATCTCGAGGAAGGCTGCTTTTTGTCGGAGGCGATGCTGCGGGCGTTTCAAAGACCACAAACGCTGGCTTTTTTGTCAGGACCGTCCTTCGCGCGCCAGATCTGCGAACGGCACCCGACGGCGTTAGTGTGTGCTTCGGCGAAGTTGGCCGACGCGGTCCAGGTGCAGTTCGCCCTGTCGTCAAAACGGTTCCGCGTCTACGCGTCCCAGGATACCGTGGGAGTGGAATTGGGCGGCGCCCTGAAGAATCCATTGGCGATCGGCGCGGGCATGATCGAGGGCGCGGGATTTGGCATAAATACCCTGGCGGCCTTCGTCACGCGCGCGACGCGGGAGCTCACCGTGTTATGTGTGGCCATGGGCGGGCGGCCCGAGACGATCTCGGGCTTGGCGGGTGTCGGTGATTTGATGCTGACGGCCTTCGGGGACCTGTCTCGTAATAGGAACTGCGGGCTGCGCCTGGCCAAGGGCGAATCCCTCGACACCATATTACAATCGTGCACGGTGGAAGGCGTCCCAACGGCATCAGTCGCAAAAGCCTTCGCGACGAAGTGCAATCTGGACCTGCCCCTGTTCACGGCCGTCGCGATGATCCTGGACGGGCGCCTGAACGTCGAGGACGCGCTCGACCACCTCATGTCGCGGCCGCTCGGGACGGAGGTGCCGCTGCTCTAGGGTATTGCGCGCCTATAATTATGTCGTGATTCGTCGTCGAGGCGCGCGTCGATGGCGTGCAAACGGGTCGAGAGATCCGACAAAACCCGTGCTGCGTGCTGATCGATGCGGTGGCGTGCCACACAGTCGTCTCTGGTGCACCAGGCATCATCCAAATTTGTCTACAGTCAGGAGACAGCCGGCCGGCAATGGCTGCAATTCATGCGGCCGCCATATTGCTCATAAGCCAAGCTGTGGCCCTGCACACTCAGCACTCCGCAGCCCTCTCAGCTCCAAGACGACACGTGACGCGTCGAGCGTTCGCTGCAAGTTGCGTCCTCGCTGCCGCGCCGCGACCCGCGACCGCTGCGGGCAACGCGCGCGACCGCTTCGTGGAACTCGTGCAAGCGCGCGCGCCGACGAAGGAGATCGACGACGCCGTCGACGCGCTGCCCGCTCAGCCAGCGATCGGCAGCTCCTTCGCACGGCTGGCGAAGGGCCGCTGGCGCGTCGTCCACGCGCCACACATCAAAAATATCCTCGGCCGATTGCTCGGCTCCCGTTTTGACGTGGTCTACGACATCGGGGTGGACGGCGACGGCGGTCCGATGGAATCGAACGTCAAATACGCCGGCTTTTGGGGCGAGGGCTACCTGTCGACGCGCGGAACGTGGCGCCGCGACGGCGACCGCTGCGTGTTGGACTGGAGAGACGGCTGGTGGGACCCGGGGGCAACGCAGCCGTCATCAGACCCGGCCGACTCGTACGCCGCCGAGACGATCCGACCGATGGCGCGGGCGGGCTTCATACCGCTCTTCGCGACGTTCCCCGTCGACTACCTCGACGAGGACCTCTGTGTGTTTGTCTTTCCGTTGTTTGGAACGCGCATCGTAGCTGTCCGCGAGGGCAGTGCGATAGCTCGCGATTTGAGTGAGATAGTAGTAACCGATTAATTTAACAAAACACTAGGCGTCCTCGGCCGACAGCCACAGCACGTCACTGAAGGGCAGCACCCTTGAACCCGGCCGCACCTGCTTCACGCGCGCGGCCGCGGCCACGTCGACGACCGCATCCCCATTAATGACAGGAATGCCGCCGTCGCCGGCCGCCGCCGCGAAGCGGATCTGGAGCGTCAGTGGCACGGGCGCGTCCGCTCGCAAAGTTTCGAGCTGGGGCCCGGCCGTGTCGACCGCCGACGGATTTAGTATCACGGTGCGCACCTTGTCCAGATCCAAACCCGCGGCGTAGGCGTACCTATTGGGAACACCCCCCCCGAATTTCACGTGGTCCGCGCCTATTACGGAAACTAACAACCCCGAAGGATTCTTCCGCGTCCACACCGCTCCCGTATTCGCCATGCTGTTGTCCCAGAGCATGCGCCCAGAATAAAAGTTCTTGAAGGGCATGTCCTCTTTTAATTGTTGTCCACTTATCGTCTGTCGCAAGATGCCCATTTCTTTGTGTGACCGGTATGACGGTGCGACCACATACGCGATGTACTCCCGGAAAGCAGTCGTGTTCGTAAAGTCCGCGAAGACCCGACGGTCGGGTATGTACTTCGCCAGCGTCGCGTTCGGCAGGCCCGCGAGCCCGCCCATCTCGACGACCCCCAAGTCCTCGCTATCCGCATTTAATGCCAGTAACTCGAAATTGTTCAGTCTAGCTGCTTCAAACACAGGCACGTAGTTCGCAAAGGGCCAGGTCCACCTCGTGCTCCACTCGGTTTGTTGTTCTAGTTGTTCGAGACCAATAGCACCTCGAAGGTAGTCGTCGAGCACGGGCTGGAAGCGTCTTTGGATAGCCTCCAGTCCCACGGCCATGGGCCTTCTCGGTTCTGATCGTCTCAAAGCTCGCAAAATGTCCGCTTGCAGGAGGTGGTCCCTTAACGAGTTGTGATGCTCTCCGAGGTAAAGAGCTTTGGCCGCCTTGAGGCCTCCAATACATTTGTCGGGTTTGATGGGCGTGAGCTTCGGTTTCAAGGCTAATGACGAGTCTGGAATTACTTCGAAGCAGCTCGTCTTTTGTAGAGCGTTGTCGGCTGCCAGTGCGGGCGTCGCGAGAGCGGCGGCCGCCGGCACGCCCTTCAGCAGGGTGCGGCGGGCGACGGGCTCCAGCGCCGTCGCGGCGGCGAGCACGGCGACGAGGCGATTCATCATTGAGTGATAGGGCGTGGTGCCACAGCCTTATTAGAGAGCAGCCCGGAGCAGTGCTTGAAACGTGCTGCAAGCTGTACAAACTTCAGCAGATGCGAGAAGCGATTACTCAGAAGCCGTGCGATAATTCGAAACGAGGTGACAGCGACGAATGCGGCCGCTGAACGCTGGCACGCGCTGCTGACTCCGCGCTGCCGTCCCGGGTTTTTCCGACAAAAAATTACAACAACTACAAACGCCGTCGCCGCCGCCGCCGCAACCGCCGACACAACTTCCGAAAGACCGCGCGCGCGAAGCGGTCGCGCCCGCGCCGCAGCCGCGCGACGACGGCGCCGCGCTCGTCGGGCGCAAACACCTCAAGCAGGGGCTCGCAGGCGCCGTCGGCCTCGCGCGTCCAGAGCGCGTAGAGCGCCGCGCAGGCCGCCGGCGGCGCGGTTTCGAGGCGCCGGCGCCACCGCGTCGGGTACGTAGAGGCCGCCCTCAATAAATCCGCGAGTCTTAACTCGCCGGCCGCCGCGTCGACGGCCGCTCGCTGCCGGCGAATTAATGCCCTCCTCGCGAAGAACGCGAGTTGCGGACTGCGTTTCCGGAACGCCAGCGCCGCGAGCGCCTCCGGAGCCCGGCACATCAGTGAAGGCGGCCTGTGTGGAAATCAACCAGTGCCGTGCTGGCTCCGTCGAGCGGTGAGGAATCGGCATCGCCACGTCATCGAGCAGGCGTCGCATCGATGGCGTGGAGGTCGACGCGAAGATTCAGCGTGAACGCGCCGTAAAATTTGATTTCCACACAGAAGGCTGCCACCAGCAGTTGACCGCAACCGTTCCTGCAGGAGAAGCGACGGCGTGATACCACCCTGCTGGTATTAATAAAGCTTCACCGACACCAATTGTAACCGTGCAAGCAGAGGGGTGCCGCGCCGCTTCTTCAGATGAACATTGGCAGTGGTGCGGCGACGCCGACCACGCCGGCAGCGCGCCCAAGTCAGCGCCAGATGACGGCGGGAGCAGCAGCACGGTCTTGCGCCCACGCAACACCGTCAGGACGTTGTGCGACTCGTCGCAGTGCGGGGCGGAAGAGGTTGCTCCAGGCGAGAGCCACAGATTTAACGTGCAGGACCCGGCGAGCCAGGGCGGCATAGGGCTGCCCTTTGATGATAGGACGAGGTCCGCCAGCGCATGGCGCGTCTCACTACCTTCCGAGGTTATGGCGTACAACGGTGCTTGGGCCAAATAATATTCAGCGCCGTCCGTCGCCTCCCGCAGCCAATGCTGCGCGTCGCCGTGCGCTTCGAGCAGGCTCAGCACCGACGTCAATTTGATAGACACGTCCCTTCTTCGTACCTCGTCGCCGTGGTAGTCGCCTCCCGATTCGTTGACCTGAGCCTCGACGCGGAGGATTTTGAGGGTCTCGTTTGTGCTGCAGCGCTGTTGCAATGCTTGAGGAGTGCAGTCGGCGAAGGCGGCGAGCCAGGGCGGGTTCCGGAACTTCGTCGGCTGGGGCCAGCGGCGCTGCTTTAGGTGCTGCGTGAGGGTCTGGAGGTGCGCAGCTGTCACCTCGCGGATCGGGGGCGGCATTTTGTTGCTTGTTTATTTATGCGAACTTTGATCATGATGCATTTTTACGGCTTGCACGCTGCGGGCGCGGCCAAAAAGCAGTGAAGCTAGCGTATTGTAAGACACTAGCAAAAGCAGCTCGCGTCCCAAGCGTCCTTTTGCGGTGAATTAGACCCCTTCCAGCGGCCCACCGCACCCCAGACTCGTTACTTGGCCGGCGCTGACCACTCCAAAGACAGCGTAAGCGCCGCGGCGAGCCCCGGACGGCAGCGCGCACAAAAAGGGCCGAAAGGCAATAAGCCGCAAAAACAGGCCGCGCGCCGCCGCGCGCCAGCGCAGAACAAAAAAAAAAGCGATGTCCGTCGTCGCCCTCGCCGCGCTGCGCCGCGCCGCGGCCCCGGCGCGCGCCGCCGCGCCGCGCTTGACGCTTGCGCCGCGACGAACGATGGGCGCGGGTGGAGGCCGCCCCTGGGCCGACAAACAAAGCCCCTATTACGGCCACTTCAAGCCGCAGCCCGTCCACGAGGTCTTGGGCACGATCTACGCCACGACCATGTGGGTGTGGATGATGTACCGCGCCGAGAAGGACTGGCAGTGGGTGCTCGGCTTCAAGCACCCCTGGGACTGCCACTAGCCTGTGTCAACTAACTTTATACATAATTTACTATCGTTCCCGGTGAGCTCGAGAACCCGCACGAGAATGTCGACGAGGCCTCGACGCACTGCAAACGCGGCCTGCTCTCAACCTGGGCGGCAGCAGCGGTGCATCCAGCACTCCTTGCAGCTTCTCAAAGCTGCACATCAGTCGCGATCGAAGCTGCACATCAATCGCTGGGGGTAAATAGGCCTTGCATCGCTGGGACACTGCATCCTGCATCATGAGGCTCGCATCGCTCGCGGCGCTAGCCGGCGGCGCCGCGGCGCTCATCGCGCCGCCGGTTTCGGTAAGACGCCCCACGAGCGTCCTGCGAGCAGACTGGCAGCGCTACGAGGACGCCGCGTCCGGCGACCCGTACTGGCACGACGCCGAGACCGGCGCGACGACGTGGGACGACCCCACTACTCCCGTCGTCGACCCCTACGCGGACTGGCAGGCCGCCGTCGACCCTACCAGTGGTGGCACGTACTACTACACGGCCGACGGCCGCACGTCGTGGGACTGGCCGCCGGTCGAGGCGCCGGCAGCGGCTCCGGCGGCGGCGGCGGCGCCGGCCGCATCTGATGCGGCGGCAGCCTTAGAAAAGGCCGCCCAGGCCAAGGCCGACAAAGCGCGGCACGACCCCGGCGACCCCTGCCGCTACATGAGCCGCCCGATCCGGGAGGAGGAATCTGTACAGCAGGAGGAGAAGACGCGCCTCGCGCAAGCGGTCGAGGAAGCTAGAAACATCGCCTCGAGCAGTCCACCGTCAGGCGTGCCGAAGGACGCCGTCGAGACGGTGGTGGACGCGCTGCCGACGTCGGGGCCGCACGCCATCGTTGCTGAGATCGGCGAGGGTTATGCGTACGACGATCTGGGCGCGGCGATCACGCAGCGGTCCGTCCAGACGCAGCTCCAGTACTCCGCGGCGTTGAGGAACGAGCCCCAAGTGTCGTGGCTGTCGAAGTTCCTCGGGCACGACCACTTGGGACCCAAATTAAGAGACACCGGGAGTGCGGGCCCGCCGTCCTCGTATACGCCGGCTTTGTGCCAATTGCGAGGCAACTGGGTCGAGTACCTCGAAACGCTAGGCAACACGCCCGATGATGTGGTGGAGGTCGAGCTCGCCCAGCCGCCGCAGCGCTTCAGCGAAAGGCAGAAGAAGAACCCGTTCCTGATGGCGCAGGCCTTGAAGTCCATGTTTTATGAAGAACCAATAGATACGAGATGGATTCTACATCGGTTGTTGCGGACGGCGGACGCTCTCATAGACAACTGGTCGTTCCATTACGGCATACTGGAAGAGACGGACCGGGAGCGGTGTTATAGGGATGCGATGCCGGTGAAAGCGCTGCCGTCGACGGAGATGAACGCCGCCGAGGAATTGAGGATCGGTGGCGAGACGGTCTACAAGACGGAAAGCGAGGAGATGCCGCTGGCGTCGTTCGACCGAAGGTTGTGTGATAGACTGGCTACGTTGAGAGCTTTGGAGTTGCTCGATAAGGAGTTGGATGGACTAGCAGCATCATCAGATGTCGTGCAAGCCGTTACCGATTGTCCTTATCTACGCTTGAACTTCGAGTACGAGGTGCGCGACGACTGCCAGGACGAACGCATTCTCGCGAAGCGAGCGGCGCGGCAAGCTAGGTTAGAAGCGTCTTTCGTCGAAGGAGACGAGGAGGAGAAAGCACGATCAGCCATCCAGGGCGGGAAGCTTTTCCTGGCCAAGTTTCGCGAGACGTGGGCGCCTCGATTAAACATGGGAAGTCGTTTGACGGACCTCGAGAAGTATGCCCGGAGGCGACCGGGCCTCAAAGCGCCGAGGAAACCAGGCACAGGCGCCGACGCCGACGAGGTCATGGAGGAGCTCTGGTACTTCCGGGACGCGTACGCGTTCGGCGTCGAGGGCGGCGAACTCGTGCTGCCGGGGCGCATGGGCAATCGGGTGCGCGAGCTGCGGGCGGACGTGGCTGTACAATGTAGAGCGGAGCTCGCGAACGAGGTCGAGCCGGTGATGAAAAGGTTGGCCAAAGAGCTGCCCGAGGTCGACGAAGCCCTGGGCGCGCGGACGACGTCGCTGACGTCGGCCTTTAGGATCGCGGACTCGTCGGTGACGCGCCAGGAGTCGGTCGATCGAAGCTCTGTTTAAATATTCTTCCGTAGCTTGTTCTTCGCGCGCCGCGTGCCGTCCGATCGAGCGCGACGCGCTTTTTCTGGCCTCGACCCCGTAGATTAGACTTCCGGAGGGCCCCGTCAATGTGCGGCGCGCGTCGAAAGCGTCTCGTCGTTGACCCCGCACCAGCAGCTCACACAACCGGCGTCGGGCAGCCTTCGCAGCACCGTTGCGCAGCCCCTCGCGGCGACGACGCGTGGCACCGATGGCGCAGCAGGTGTCCACGGCGGACTGCGCGCCGCCGCCGGGCGTATCCATAGAAGCTGAGCTCGGGACAGGCACTTTTGGCACCGTCTACCGAGCTGTTCTCGAGGACGGGCGCGCCGTCGCGGCGAAGCGCTTTGTGAGAGGAGCCGCCGATTTATGTGGAGCCGAAAAGAGCGGCAAGCGCGAGGCCAGGATGCTGAGACAACTACAATCGCACCGGCTGATCTGCGGCCTCGTCTCACAAGCGACGACGGAAAACGCGCTGTGGCTCACGACGGAGCTGGGCGGCCCGTCGCTCGCGTCCTTGACATGGTTGAAGGTAGAGGGCGAGTACACGCGCGTCTGCGGCCAGAGCTCGCGGACCTACAGGGTCGACCGGGGCCACTTCTGGCACGACTTGTTCGAAGACGAAAAAGATGTTACGCAGCCCGTGGCGCACAAGAAGCTTCGCGTGTTGTTGGCGCGATTATTGGAGGCGGTGGAGCACCTCGCGGCGTCGGGCATCGTGCACGCCGATATCAAGCCTGATAACATCCTCATGGACGGGGCGGTACCGCGCCTCTGCGATTTCGGAAGTGCCTACGAGTTTGCCGTGGGCGACCCGGGCGGCTCGGCGACGCCCGAGTACCGCGCGCCGGAGTGCGTTACACATCCACAAACTCTGAGGACGGCGCCACCGGCGTCCGTCGACGTCTACGCGGTGGGGGCAGTTTTTCTGGAACTCGCGTGCGGCTTTCCCGTCTGGTTTCCCTTCAACTCGCGCGTCTGCGACCCGCCGGGCCGGCCCCAGTTCCGCTGCAAGCCGGGACGCTGGCTACGCGGGGCGCTGGCCGTGCCGAACCGCGAGGGCAAGAAGGTCGCGAAGCGCCAGGGGGAAGTGGTCCGGGACCTGTGCTCGGTGCTGCGGCGCATGCCCGGCAAGGGCCTGTCGCGGGATACTGACGCGGTCGATCTGCTCGAGCGGTTGTTAGACGTCGATCCGGCTTCTCGCGCGTCGCCGGCCGCGGCGCGCGCGCTCCCGTTCCTCGCTGGTCACTAGTTCGTTCGTTTTTCGCTCGATGTATTAAGTCAAACAACACATTAGTCCTCCTCGCGCGCGTCCCGGAGTAGCTCAGCGAGAAAATCGTCGACATACTCCTGGGCCCGGGAGCCTTTGATATGTATCTGATGTCGGATCTCGTCCACGGCCCTCTTCCTCTTTTCGCGTTCCTTCTCTTTTCGACGGAATGTCCATCCACGGTCCCCGAACATGTCGACGGGGCCCCATCTTCCTAACGCAGCACTCGACTCTTCCCAATCGTACAAGCAGTAGATCCAGGAGGGAATTTGTCGGTATAGAAGCCAGTCCATACCGTCGATGCTCTTGACTCCCGTCAAGAATTCTTCGCGGAGGGCGCTAAGTTGCTGCCGCGCTGCTGCGTCGCAGAGCGAGCGCCCGTCCTTCTTCTTCCCGAACACGCGCGCGCACGCTGCAAGCCGGGCCAGACTTATCGCATCCAAGTACTGGAAAGCATCGGCGCCCAAGATATCCGTAAGTGGCGAGAGTCTATCGTTCGGAATCCGCTTGAGGCACCAGAGCGACAGCGCGACGCGGCGCCAGAGCCCGACGGGCCGCACAGCGTGCAACAGCGTGCGCGACTCGAAGAGGACGAGGCGACCCGCGCGAGGCTGGATGTCGTCGACGCGCAGGGCGGTGGCGCCATCGAGATCCGAGGGCTCCGCGCCGACGTACGAACGGAGCTCGCCGCCGCTAGCGCCCGGTGGCGCGCCGTTCAGATAGAGGAGCAACGTCACTTCGCGGTAGTTCTCGCCAGCAGCACCAGGTGTGGACGCGTTGTCACGGTGCGCGACGTACCCTGGTTTTAAATTGCGCTTGCACCCGTCGTACAACGCTAGCTGGGCTACCTCCGGGACTAACAAATCCGCATCGCCGATGTCGGCGGCGGCGCGCGCGAGGAGGCGGCGCGCGGGCCCCAGCGCCTGTCGCAGCGGCGAGCCCTCGTCCTCACCAAATAGAGGGACAAAGGCCACGTCGTCGCCGCGATGCAATTGTTGCTCGGCAATTCTACGGTCCCCCGCGCCGTCGAAGAAGGCCAGTGCGGCCGCGCAGGCCTCGGCGCACGCCGCTTGATCCAGCGCGCCGTCGATGACGACGGGGGCGCCATCGCGCGGCCGCCGCGCCGCCGTCCGCGGACAGGGCAGCCTACGTGCCGCCTCGGCGCACGGGACGCACTCTGCGAGCTGCTTGCCCAGTCTTGCGGCGCGCGCGTTGTCCGACTCTTCCTCGGCTCCTTCAGCCGTCGCGCTCGTCGCGCTAGCGTCGGCCGCGCTCGACGATGCGTCCACGCCCACAATTCTGGCCGTGCTCGCGGCGCATTCCAGCACGCTGTAGCGCGTAGTCCGCGTGAGGCGGAGCGGTGCTGACGCCGGCATTGCGCACGCGCGTCGCTTCGCCCGCCATGCGCCGTCGTAGCAGCCCTCCCGTTGACGAGCGAGCTCGATCATCAGAAACTGCGCCCGCGGCACGACGAAGAGGTTCTCGCGCTGGTCGTCGTAGCTCAGCGCCGCGTCGGGCCGTAACAGCGTCATAAAGTTGTGATCTTTAACGCGACCATCCATGCACGTGAGCAGATCGCGCCAGATCCGCGTTTTCAGCTGCTCGGCGCGCAGCACCGCGACGTCCTCCGAGATCGACGCGCGGAAGCAGGCGTAGAGCCGCCGGTCGTTGCCGTGCAGCTCGATCGATTCCGCGGGCACGGCGTCGTCGTTGACGAGGCGCTGCAGCTTCGCCCAGTGGATCTGCGCGTACTCCGCGGCTGCCGCGCAGCCCTTCCTTTCCAGTTCTGGATCGTTTGTTATGGCGTCAGACATGGCGTTTGCTGGCGTTCCAGCCACGCGCGACGATGAACAGCGCCGCAGGCTTTCAGAGAGCAGTGAGAGCAATGTGGTCAAAGGCCTCAAAGTGCCGCAGCGATGGCGCGAGATGCTGCAGCAGGCGCAGCGCTTCAGGAATCGATGCCCCAACGCGCTGCGAGGTGCAGAATATTGGCGTGATCTTGCGTGAAGCTGAGCACTGTGTGTGCTCGTTTGCTAGTGTCTTTACAGCCGCTAGAAAACCATCGCCGCGCGCCACAATACTCAACAGAACAGTTACTCACTTCGCCCAAGTAGACTTGACGCCCGCAGCCTTCTCCGCGGCCGTGCGCGGCACGACGTACAGCGCCGTCGCGTCCGCGATGACGCCGCCCGTCTTCCCGTCCTTCATGACGCCCTTGAGGAAGCGCTTGCGGCCCTCGACCCGATCCAACGAACACGAGATGACGACCGTCTGGCCCACGAAGAGCGGGCGCCGGTAGTTCACGGACAGGTTCGCCGTCATGCCGAACTGTTTCACGGTGTCGTGCTGGGACGGGTCGCCGCCCTTCGTGATGGACAGGGCGTTGGCCCAGCCGAGCGTGTTGTCGAACAGTAGAGAGGTGACGCCGCCGTGGACGACGCCCGGATGGCCCACGCAGTCGTCGCCGAACGTCGCCACGCAGGCGACCTCGGAGCCGTCGGGCTTCGACCAGAGGCGGTGGTGCTTGAGGGCATTCGTCTGCGCGCCTAACCTGCGTGGAAATCAAATCTCGGGCGCCCCACGCCATCGACGCGACGTTGTCCCCGTGAACTTAACTCACTGGTTGATTTCCACACTGCACCAAACGCGTCGTAGATGGCATTGCTTTTCGCGGCGCCGCTCGCGACGAGTCCCTCGTCGACGCGCTTCCACTGGGCGAAGCGCTGCTCCGCGTTGGACGAGCCGGGGTCGTCGCGCGCCGCCCACTCCGCGACGGACGGCGGCGGCCGCTCGCCGGCGACCGCGAGCGCGCCGGCCGCGCCCGCTGCAGCGCTGGCCACGCCCAGCACCCAGCCTCGCGACTGTGGCGCAGTTGTCGTGCTGATGGCACGGCTTGCGGCCCGGAGCCGCGGGGCCGCGCGGCGGAGTACAGTGTGCATTGTGGTGTGGCCTCCTCCAGAGGTTTCGGCCGCGTGCGTGGTTTGCGGCGCGTGCTGGGCGCTGTGGTGGCAGCGCGAGGCGTCGTTTGCAATGCGCGACCCGCTCTCGAGTGACCTAGCGCTGTGAAAGCGACAGGGCCACGACTGCTCTCCTAACCACAGGGAGAGGAGGGCAAGAGGACATCCGAGCAGCGATCGCAGTTGACCGGCAGCGCCCGGCGTTCATCGAAAGTGATCTCTGGAGAAGCGGAAACAGAGAGCTTTCAACGCGCCGAGCTCTGGCGGCCGCGCCACAGCCAAATGCATCAGTGATGGCCCAGACGGACTGGCACGCCTTCCGCCGGCGCTGGCGGCGCGACGGCGCCAGGGCGCTGGGCGCCGTGCCGCCTCCGCTCGCCGCGCCGCTCCGGTGCGTGGCGCTCGCGGCGCCATTCTGCGACTTCGCGGACGCCGTCGCCGTCGCGCGCTGCTCGCGGGCGGCACGCGGTGCGGCCCGCCAAGTCGTGGCCGCGATCCGCCGCGACGCCAGCCGCGGCGGCGCTCGGCCGGTGCCGGTCGTCGGGCGGCCGCCGCTGCCCGCGCCTCCCTTCCCGGAGGGCTTCCGGTACGCGCGCAAGCTCGTCCTGCCGCGTTATAATAATTTTGCGGGCGCCGAGCACGACGTCCACGCCGAGGTGCGCGTCGCGTGGCTCGCCGCGAAGAAGTGCTGGGGCCTCGTCGCCGGCGAGCACATCCCGAAAGGCCGGCGCGTCGTCGACTACACGGGCGCCGTCGTCTCGCGAACGGCCGCGCGGGAGCGGGAGCGGGCCGAGTTCGAGGCGGGCCGGCCGACCTATATTTTATCCGTCGTCGAGCACTCGCGCGACGAGAGCGTGGCGGCCTGGCGGACGACGGTCGACGCGACGGACCGCGGCGGCGTCGCGCGCTTCGTGAACCACTCGTGCGCGCCGAATTGTGAAGTGGTGCCGACGCGGTCGACGCGGGGCCAGTTCCTGCCGACGCTCGCGCTCGTCACGTTGAAGGACGTGGCGGTGGGCGTCGAACTCGCGTTCGACTACGCGGGCGGCGCGCCGGACGACGCGGTCGAGGACTCGCGGACGGAGTGCTTCTGCGGGGCTAGCGCGTGTCGGGGGTGGTTGTTGCGGCACGTGGAGTGAATTGTTCTGTTGTTAATCTTTTTGTTGATTAGTAATCCCCGACGTGCGCCCAGTGCATCACAATGCGGGGATGAACGGCGGCCGGGAGCTGCGGGAATTTGTGGACGAGCATAACGACGAGGCGCTTGAGATGCGCCTTTTCGTACGCTTTGATACCGCCGGCGTCGCGGACTTTTCTGAAGTAAGAATACCCCTCTAGGAATTCCCGGTCACAAGAAGCGCCGGCCCTCAGGAAGATGGGGAAAAGCCATCTACGGTGGTAATAGAGCGCATCGTCGAAGGGCGTGGGCCCAGGCAGCCCATGATTTTGGTTAATTCTTTTTGCGTGCACGTCCGCACCACCCGCAATCAGCAATCTAACACATTCTGCCTGGTCGCGTTCTAGAACATTCGGCCGCGTGAATAGAACCGCGTGAAGCACTGAGTTACCGTGTTTCTGTGCGAAGCCGACGTCCGCGCCGTGCGCCAAAAGCAATCGCACGATGTCAGGAAAGCCATGCAAGGCCGCTTCGATCAGGGGCGTGTCTGGATCGCTACCCCACGGTCGCAAGTTCGGATCGGCGCCGGCGTCCAGAAGCGCAGCGACGCACGCGGCCCTTTGTTGTGTCCGGTGAAAGTCGTCGTATCGATTTGCTCCGGCACGTACCGGGTCCCCTGCCGGCTTGCAGTACAGCTGGGACTCCTCGCCGGGGCCGTCGAGCGGTGGCTCCGAGACGGATTCCACACTGAGACGCGTCGAGCACAGCGAATAGAGCGCAGTCTTCGATCCGATGCGAGTGTTCGCGTCCACCCCGCCGGCCAGGAGCTCGCGTAGCCGCGCCACGTCGAGCGATTGTACCGCTTTGGCCAATGGTGAGTTCTTAGAGTCGAGCAGGGCTCGTCCAGGATGATGGCGAGAGAGATCGGCCATCGCTTTTGTGTGGTACCTTGGACGCGGTCTTTTCGGGTCAGGCCTCGACGCCCGAGTTGGAGCGCGCGCTGCGCGACCTCGACGCGCGGCTTACTCGCGATTTTGTCGCCGCTGACGCGTAGTAGGTCGCGTTATGTTGTGCGAGGTCGAAGCTAGCGTCCAGTAAGACACTAGCACAGCGGTGCGCAAGCCAGCGCCCCAGCAGGCATTCCAGCCACTATCCTTTACACGGCATAGCTGCGCATAATTACTACACGTTGCGAGTGGTCGCGAATCCGCGCTCTTCGAGAGACATGCGCCCCGCGCTGCTAATTTTGGCAGCAGCACATCTGCAGCACTGCAATGCACTCGCGGTGCCGTCACCGACACCTGCTCTGCCAGAGCTGCGCATGACTGTGAAGGACTGCGGCAGCAAAGGGTTGGGCGCGTTCGCCGCCGAGGACCGTTCTCAAGGCGCGTGGGTCTGCGATTATGAAGGCGAGGTGATCGACTTCGCGCAGCGAGCCGTGCGCTACGTCTCTGAAGAGCCAGAATACTTGTTCCATCTCGGCGGCGGCGCCGTGGCCGGCAGCCACGTGTACATCGACGCCGTCGACTCGGACCACGCGAGCCGCGCGATCAACCACGCGCAGGACGCCTGCCTCGAGCCGCGCGTGAGTCTGGCGGAGCGGCGCGTGGCGTTTTATGCTCTGAAGGATATTAAAGCGGGGGATGAGCTATCGTTCGACTACGGCGAACAGTATTGGCTGGAACGAGGCCTGGCGCCGGAGGACGACTCCCGCGACTACTCGCCCGAGCGCGTCGCGCGGGAACGGGCAAAGCTCGCCGACGCGCAGGCGGCGAGCAGCTCGCTCCAGAACCCGCTTTCGCGTCGACGGCGTCGGGGCCGCGCGCCCAGCACCGCCGAGGAACTCGCGCGCGTTCTCGGGGAGCGGCCGGAGCGACCCGACCCTTGACCGGCCGGCCGCACCGATGGTAGTAGAAGGTAATGTGTGTTGTAGCGAGTGAAGTGAATGTCAAAAAAAGGCTCGTGCGCCTCTTTTGCGAGTTGAAAAAATCGGGTTTTCCAAGCCGAGTCAAGCCGACGCGCAAGCCCCAATAACTCACCGCAAAACGCAAAATGATCCTCACAAATTGCGCCGCCTGTGCCGCCCCACTGGCCCACGACGCGCCGCGATGCGTTAGATGCCAGACGAGATACTGCAACAAAACTTGCCAGCATGACCACTGGCGCCGCGGTCACAAGCAGATGTGCAAGAAAATACACCGCGGGGGCAACGCGGAACAGTATAATGCAGACAAAAAATACAAGGAGGCGGTCGCGGTCGCGGTCGAGGCGTGCGCCGACGACACGAAGGGCCAGACGTGCTACATCTGCACGCAGGCCCTCCACTGGAAAACGAAGGAGGGCCTCGTGCGCATGTGTGCGTGCCGCGGGACGGCGGGCTTCGCGCACGTGTCGTGCTTGGCGGAGCAGGCGAAGATTTTGATGGACGAGGTCAAGGAGAACAATTTGGGCCCCGAGGCGTTGCAGGCGAGGTGGGTGCGATGGCACACGTGTAGCCTCTGCGAGCAACAATACCACGGTGTCGTAAAGTGCGCGCTCGGGTGGGCGTGTTGGAGGTGGATTTACGCGATGGCGCTCTACATGGACACCGGCGCCACGCCTGGCGATCTCCGCGAGGCCGTGACGACGCTCGAGGATCTGGTACCGATCGCACGGCGCGTGTTTGGCGGCGCGCACCCGTTAACGGTGAGTATTGCGGGTTGCTTGCGAAACCGAGAATCAGTCCGCGGCCGCATAAAGCCCTTGCCGTCGCCGAGGTAGCTGCTCTAGGTCGTAATTACCATAATAAGACTTATCATCGCGGCACAGCAAGCTCCGCACCGTCCACCCAGCAGCTATGGAGCCCGTAGGGCAAGCCCGCGCCGGGCAGCTCGACGACGCACGCGGGACCGCTCGCGAGGTCCTCGCCGTCGAGCACGTAGACGTGCGTCTTTTGTCGCGCGGGCGCCGTCGACGTGCCGAAGACCAGGACCCAGACGCCGTCGCCGAGGCGGCCGTCGCTCTTGGGCACGACCGTCGGCTCCGACACGAGCCAAAAGTTTTCAGGGAGCGTCCAGGCGTCGGCGAAAGCGTCGTCGCCGTCGCCGCGGAGGTCGAACTTGACCACGCGATCAATTAAAATACCTTCGCTAGGCGGGCCGTATATATTGGGACCGCCGATCGTCCGCGGTGAGATCGCAAAGCAACAAGGCGCGTCCGCGCCGACGCAGCGCGGGTCCACGGCCGGGAACTCGCACGCGGTCTCGGAAATATATTTTTCGCCGAGGCACCGCTCGCCCCGTATCCGCCACTCGTAGAGGAACGCGGGCGTGTAGGACGCGATGAACGACGACGGCGTCGCGGGAAGACTCCGCAACGCCCGAACAACGAGCGTATCGCCCTCGAAGTGCGCGTTCGCCGCGTGGAGGACGACGCCCGGTTCCACGGCGGCCCACGTCGTGGCGCCCGTCTCGCGGTGGACGACGCCGATGCGCGCGCCGTGCGTCGGCTCGTACTCGACCGGAAATTTGTCGCTCAGCATCCGCGCGGGCCGCACGGTCAGCGGGAAATCGAACACGACGACGTCGTCCCCAGCTAGCGCGCAGTCGTGGAGCATGACGGGGCAGCGGAGGTCCACGCCTGCGTGTTTTGACCCTCTACGCCATCGACGCGTTCCTGTTGAATGGACGCCGCTCGACGCGCCGTGGGTCTTCCTGACGCGGCCCGACGCGAGGTCTATCACGTCGATCCGACAGAACGGCTGATCCGAGGACGAGTACGTCGCGCCGACGGCTTCGTGCGGCCGCGATGCGCTCGCGTGGAGATGCGCCGTCAACGCGCCGCCGCTCAGGGGATGCGACCAGAAGTCGAGGCCGCCGTCCAAGTTGCTTCCCGGCTTGACGGTCTCGATCGTGGCGTCGCTGTAGACCTTGAATTCGCAGGGGCGGCACTGCTCCATTAATCCGAGCACGCGGCCCCGCTTCAGCGCGAGCAGCGCGGTGTTCGCCGTGTCCTTTTGCGGCTGCTTCGCGCGGAACAGGTTCTTCGCCAAGTTTCCCAGTAGTTTGTAACCGAACGGCGCCACGAGCGAGCCGTCGAAGAGCTCCTTTCCGACAGCCTCTTCCTTCGCAAAGGCCTCGGTCCGGAGCCAGCGCCGCGAATACCGTGGCTGTTCGCTGAAGACGCAAGCGTGGACCATGCCGTCGCCGTCCAGCCACCCTCCCTTGGAGCCCCAGCGTCGCGCATTCGGCCCGTTTCTCAAGAGAGCGCCGTTCTTGAGGTCGTGCGGGATGGCGCCCGCGACTATCTTCGCGTTTACGGGACCGATCTCGTCGGGGATGGCTTCGAAGAGGGCATTCATCTCCTTGTTGAGGTGAGGTGTGTGGGCGTTGCGGAGGTCGCGTTCTATGGCTTGCAGGTGTTGTGGTAGGGGTGGGCTGCCTTGCAGAGCAGCAGCGGTGCTGGCGAGGCAGAGTAGTCGTCGCATCGCTGTGGTAGTTCGAGTAGTAGTGCGTCGTGGGGTCTTCTAGTGGTGGTGTTGTGTGGTAGAGGCGCTAGTGAGCAAAGACGGCCTCGCCGCGTCGCCGCGTCGTCGTGGCTGCAAAGAGGTGCAGAGCTCGGTGGGTTCTATCAAGTGCAGGAACGCAGCGGCGACAGCGCAGTCGTTGCGAGGGGGGGGAAATTGTCCGAAATAGCTCGGAGACGAGCCGTGTGTCGCTGGTATGCGGTTGCGGCCTGGCAGCCGGCGGGCGCAAACCCGCCTCCACGAAGGTGGGTTCTTAAGGCAAAATCGAAGATTTCTCCCCCGGCTGCACCGATGAGTGCGCCGACGTAGAGTTAGCGACCGAGCCCGTGAGTATATCGATTCATCCTGGCCGCAAGGCTGGTGAGCTCGCAATCATCCTTAAAGTTGATGGGCCACTTTTGATGTAACACATCAGGCATTACTAATCTTCATCCGAAGAGTGAATGAAGATGCCGTACACGCGGGCGAAGGTCAACTCCTACTTTCTTGAAACGACACTACGTGTCACCTCTTCTTTTTGCAATTTTTTTGCATGCCCATCGCGCGCGAGCCAAAAAAGTGGTCTGGAGGTCCGCGCGCCCGCACTACGCGAACGCGACAACGACGAACCTCGCGACGGCGCCGCCGCGACGCAGCACCGGACCCGCGTAACCAAGCAACCCTCCTGTGAATTTGTTTTGGCTTGGACGCGCTCGCTTTACCGTAAAAGGTGATGCTAGGCAAGTAGAGACACTAGACTGACAACAGAGCGCAGTGCCAGCCTCTTTTACACGAAATAACTCGCTACTGATACGCAAGGCTTTGATTCCAGGCCCCAGCCTCACCACTGATCGCCCAAGCAACGTTTCCCCAGCAATCATGGACCCCACCGCCCTCCAGCACCTCCAAGCCCTAGCCCAGCAACACGCCCTCGACCTAACCAACGCAAAAATAAGACGCACGAGCAGCCGCTTCTGCCTAGGAGTAGAACACGGCGACTACAACGGCACGAACCTCTTCGGCGTCGGCACGGACCGCTACATCTGGGTCGCGTACAAGGCGAACGGCACGAATACGATACGCCTCGCCTCGGGCAACTTCCCGGACGACGGCTTGATAACCTTCGCGAGCGGCGCCCAACCCACACCGCCCCTCACGGAGCAGCAGTCCAAGTCCTGGGCGCGCTTCCCGCACGGCGTCGACTTCGTGCTGCGGAAGGAGGGCCTGCTCCAGCAATCAGTGGGCTTCGACGCCGTCGTCTGGGGCAACATCCCGGGCGGCGGCATGAGCCGGTTTTTAAGCCGCGTCGATGGCGTCGGGGCCGGACGCGATCAACAACGCGCCGCGCCGCAGGTCCGCGTCGCTCTGCCTCAACCTGATCGCGACGTGGCTCGACGTGAACCAGGCGACGCTCCCGCCGCCGGCGCCGGGAAGCCTGGCGCGCGAGGTCGAGCTCGCCGTGCAGGTGGAGAACGCCTACGTCGGCAGCCCGTGCGGCAACCTCGACCAGATCATGATTTGGCACGCACGGGAAAACGCCGGCACGCTCTACGAGCCCGAGGCCAAAAAGATCAGTTACATCCCGCTCGGCGCGGGCGCGCCGGACTTTGCCTTCGTGGCACTCGACACGGGCACGGACCGGCCCGGCCTCGAGAAGTCGACCTACAAAATCAGAAGAGAGGAGTGCGACGCCTTCGCCGAGGAGCTCTTCGCGAAGAGTTTCATTAATAGACCGGTGCTCGCGGACGTCAAGGACTTCGGTAAAATCCGCGACGCCTACCATTCGACGGCGTGGGCGCCGCACCTGGAGCGCCTCGCGTACCTCGTGAGCGCCCAGCACAACTTCGGCGGGATGATCGACGCGTGGCGCAGCGGCGACGTTGCGAAGGTGGGCGAGATGTTCAGAGCCGACGGCTGGGGGCTGCGCGACCTCTACTGCATCAGCGGGCCGGAGCTCGAGACCATGTGCGACATCGCGCGCACCGTCGACGGTGTTTATGGAGAGCGCATGCTGGGGGGCGGCGACAAGGGCGCGGCCGGCGCCATCGTGAGAGCGGACGCCGTCGCGGCGCTCAAGGCGGCCGTCGCGCGCGCCTACCCCCTGGCGCACCCGCTCTACAAGTGCGCCGTGCACGAGGTCCGCGTCACGACCGGCGTCGCGACGTTCGAGGGGGCGCTCTAATGTGTGTTGACAGACAACGAACTGATTACTACAAAAAACAGGGCTGGCTCTTCTGCTCGACAGCGTCTAGGCCGGCGGGTCCAGCGGGGCGGGGACTCTTGCGCCGTCGCTTGCAGGACTCGTCAGTCCCGACCAGATTGCCGCGTTGGAGCAGAACACTAGACAAACTGCGGCTTCTCCTCGTCCAGCGGTATCGAGAAGAACGCGCCGTCCGCGGCGCTATCGCCGGGCCGGAACGTCGCCGTCAGCTCGAGCGAGCGGCGGCGCTCGCTCGACCGCGTCCGCTCTTCCGCGCGGCGCCGCTTCCGGTCTCGAAAAAGCAGCCAGCCAATGATAGAAAACACCAAAATGGGCGGACCGACCACGAGGATCCACCAATTCGCGTCGCGGCGGAACCCGTCGCCGGCGCCGCCCTGCACGGCGTAGGTCGTCGCCTCGCCGCTCGAGAAGCCGACCGCGACCTCGGAGGCGGCGCCGCGAAAGCGCAGCGACACGACGTCCTCATCGCCCTCATCTAAAAATCGCTTCTCGAAGGCTAGCAGCCGCGACGGCTCGGAACCGTAGACCTGCACGACTGCTGATCCGCCGGGACCGGAGACGTGGCGCAGCACCGCGGTGACGGCCCCGGCGGTAACCTCGAGCACCTCGAGCTCGAAGGCAGCGTAGCCTAGCCCATGGCCGAACGGAAAGTGCACGTCGGCCCGATCAATACCGCGGTAGCCGCCGCGCACGCCCTCGGTGTACGGGCAGGCGTCGTCCTCGCAGGGCTGTACCGTCGCGGCCTCGCTTCGAGGTAGCGTCACGGGCAGCCGTCCGCCTGAGTGGACGTCGACCGATGAATATATATCGCGTCGATGGCGTGGAGGAAGGCCCCTCGGGGACGCGGCGCCACGGACCGGGCTCCTTGCGCCCGAGCAGCACGTCCGCAAGCGCCAGACCCGTCGCCTCGCCGCACAGAAAACAGACCAATGCGGCCGCCGCGGCGTCGGCCTGCGGCAGGACGATGGCGCCGGGCGCTAGTGCCACGAGCACGACCGGCGCATCAACGCCCGCGACGAGCGCGGTCAAAAAGTCGTGGTTGTCGAGGCGTAGGGTCGCACGGTCGGCGGCCTCGGTCGTCGCCGCGCCGCCGCACGCAACGACGACGTCGGCGCCCGCTGCCGCCGCGAGCGCTGCGTCGAGGTCGTCGCCCGCGACCCCAACAATATCTGCATCCCAGAGCGCGTCGAGGACGCTCGGGATGCGGGCCGCGACGACGCGCCCGGAGCCTCCGACGACGTAATAGTCACCGAGGTCCCACCTTTTCATGAGCGTCTCGGCGTCGTGGACCGCGGCACACGCATCGCCGACGACGGCGATCTTACTGCCCGTTTTTAAAGGCAGCACTTCATTATTCTTGAGCATCACCACGGAGTCCGCGGCTAAATCACGCGCGAGCGCCCGATGTTCCGACGACGTCGCGTTCGTCGCGTACAGCTCCTCCTGGCAGGAGCCCGGCGCACACCCATGATCGTCCAGGAACCCGGGCACGGACGCCGCGGCGCGCACGATCCTAGCGACGTGCGCATCTAAAGACGCTTCATCTAGAACGTCAAGCCGTTCAGCAGAGTACCAGCCTCGAGGATCCCCAGAATCGTCGACGGCCGAACCCGGCATCGCCACGTCCAAGCCAGCATGGTATTGATGCGCCGCGGCCCAGTCGGAAACGACAAAACCTTTGAAGGCCATCCGTTCACGCAAATCGCTCACAAGTAACTCGTCCGAGGCGCACGCGTGGTGGCCGTTCAGTTTATTGTAGGCGCACATGACCGCGAGGCACCCAGCCGCGATGGCGCCTTTATACGGTGTGTAGTAGAGCTCCTTCGCCTCCGCATCGACGAGCGCATCATACGTGTTCCGGCGCGTCTCTTGTTGATTGAAGCCGTAATGTTTGGCCACCGTCATGATACCATGAGCGTGGAAGGTTTCTACATATTTTGAAGCTAACACAGCACCCAAGACAGGGTCTTCGCCCGACAGGTACTCGGCGTTGCGGCCGCCTCTTGCTACTCTATGAACGTTCAGGCCGGGGCCGAGGATCACGTTCGCGCCCTTGGCTCTGAATTCAGCGGCTGCGGCATTGGCGAAGGCTGTAACGCTTGAATGGTCCCACGTGCTCGCCAGCGCGAGCGCGCAGGGCCAGCTCGTGACCGTGCCGACGACGCGCGGATCGTGCGTGCGGAAGCCCTGGCCCGCGTCGTGCATCTTGAACGCGGGGAGGCCCTTCGCGGGCGCTCCTAACAAATTGCCGACGTAGTAGCCGTCCCGGATGTCCCACTGGTCCCAGCCGATGCCGTTCATGAGCTCGAGCTTCTCTTGTCGCGTGAGCGATGCGACGATCGCGATTACTTTTTGTTCTACGTCATCGCCGGCGCGCGCCGCCGCGGCCAGAAGCAGCACCACCGCTGTTGGTCGCATTTTGCGAGCTTGTCGCCGATACGGGTGGAACCTGTTGCGCTGGCGGCAAGAGTGATGACTAATGTTGGTTCGAAACAGTTCAGATCCCCGTGAGGTGCCGCGTACGCTATTATTTTTGGCAGCCTAATCCCGCGTGCGCTAGCGGCATGTAAGACACTAGCAAGCAAAAAGCAGCCTTGCGCAAAGAGCTGCAAACGCACTTATTTGTGCATTCCGCACGAAAGAACGTGCGAAAACCCCGTGCTGGTTTGTTGCTAGCACCGGCCGGAGCTCAAAAGCAGCTGCACACACTTGCTCAAAAAGGCTGCCCATTCGGGCCACCGGCATCCATGCTGGCCGCGTGGTGACCGCTGTCCATCAATGCGGCGAGTGAGAGGCTGCCCAACATGAGGCTCCTCCTATGGTTAGCCGCTGCGACGGCGACGGACGACCGCCGCCAGCTGTCAGCAAGAGACCGGCAGACGACGAAAGGACTCCTACCCAACGATGTGGAGAGAACGCCGCAGCGCTGGGTCTTCGTACATATCCCAAAGGCCGCCGGCGCGTCGTTCATGGTCGACGCGAGGCACTTCCTGACAAGACGCGACTCGATCACGGGCTCCGAGGAGAAGGGCGCCTTCTCGCGGACGACGCTAAGGAAGCTCGAGAATGGTGGTAGGAGGGCCGTCTTGCTGCGACGGCCGCTGCAGCTCGTCTATTCGCAGTTCCTCTACTGTAAAAACGTTCTGAAAGGAAAAGTGAAGGACTTTCCCGGCCACGGCCAATCAGAAGCATGGGCTGGCGTGAAGGAGTGGAGCAAGGGTGCGACGAAGGTGACCGCGGAACGAGGGCCCTTCTGGAAGTGCTACGATCCTCGCAATATACAATTCCGCTTCGTCGTCGGCGAGGGCAGCGCTTTGACAAACAAGGGCGTGTCTTCCAAAATATCCGTGGCCGACGCGTCCAGAAAGCTCGACGGTGAGTTTGGGTTCGTGGGCTTCGTCGAGTTATATAGAGAGAGCTTATGTTTGCTCGGCTGGCGCGCCACAAAGCAAGTGCCGTCCTACTGCCGCTGCGGCGCCGAGGGGCCGCTCTTCGGCGCGAAATTTCCGCCCACTTCTACCACGCACCGCGAGGCCTACGATTCATCACTGGATAAAGTGCCTTCATCTGTCCAAGGTTCGCTGAAGAAGCTCGTGGACAGGGATGAGCTGCTCTACCTCCACGGTTTATTTGTCTTCGAGCGAGCCGTAAAAGAGACGGGGGCGCAGCTCGTCTGCCCCGGGAAGATGGAGAGGCTCTGGACTACGGCCTTGCGCGACGCGTGCCGGCCATCTACATCACAGTATATCCGGGAGCACTACAACAAGTCCTGCCCCGTCGTACGCAAGTCCCTCTCCCAAAAAGCGCTCGACGTTGTTAGTGGGGTCGTGGAGCACGCCCTCGAGGTGCGAACTAGGAACGACCGCGCGATGAGGCACCTGAAGCACGTAGCGAAGGCGCATAGTTAATAGAGGTTAAAGAGCCTAAACGACAGCGCGGCGCCGACGCCGGCCCCAATCAGCGTGTTGAGGAAGTTGATGACCTCGTTCGTCAGCCACGGCACGCGGCCCTGCGCGCCCGCCCCCAACCAGCTCTCGCACGTCGTCGCCACAAAGGCCGCTATGATGACCGGTGCCATCGCTTGACGAGGCGTCAGCCCCACGGCGACGGCGTAGGCAGCGGCGACGACGGAGCCCGCGAAGCCAGCTAAAGTACCTTCTAGTGACACTGCTCCCTCCGTTCCCGGCGGGACGCGTTTCAGAGTGGTGGACAAATAGCACGTCTTGCCGTAGGCCTTGCCGACTTCCGACGCTAGAGTATCGGACAACTTCGTCGCTAGCGATGATACGTAGGCCACGGCGAGGAGCGGTCTGAGTGAAGGCTTGCGAAAGCCGTACAACGCACACATAGCGGCGGTCGCGGCCGACCCCCAGACGTTCTCCGGACCTCTAGCGCCGCCTCGACCTTCCGCGATGCCCTGCGCTTCCTTTTGCTTTTGTTTTATTTTCGTGGCTGCGCTGCCAACCACCAAGTATAATACACATAAAGAGTAGCCGCGCCACCCCACGAAGCTCGACCAGAGGATCACGCCGAGGGCCCAGGCGTGGACTAAACCTGTCGGCGTGAGTTGCTTCTGGCCCGCCAACGTGCCAATTGTTGCTAGGCCCGTGTTGAGCGTGAGGGCGGTCTGGAGCTCCGGGGTCATTTGTGCCGGCTGGATTTGATACGGGCGTCTTAGTAATTGTCGTGGCGGTGGCACGAGGGCGCTGGCAGTGCCGAGCAGGGCGAGGAGGCGTCGCATTGTTGGCTTGAGTGCTGGCTGGTGAGATGCTGAGGAGAGCTCGGCGGTGCGCGGTCCACGAGGCAGTCCAATGAATGAATGCTTAGTTTTGAGGGTGTTTCAGCGCCCACGTAGCAAGGTCAGAGCGTTTTGCTCATGTTGCTCTTCGATTGCTAGTGCCTTACACGACGCTAGCTCGACGATTTGACCGCGAAGGCTTTTGTGCGCGAATTTACTGCGCAAGACCTCCGTGGTGGACGTCGAGGAGTCATTATCGCTGCGACTGGCCAGTGAGACCCCGCGCGCACAGCCGCGGCAGCTCCGGTGCCTCAAAAGCTTCAAAAGCTACGGAGAGCCAGCGAGCCCGCGCGCCGATATAGACGATGAACGCCCAAACAAGGGCCGCCCAGGGCAGCCACAACACCGCTAGACTGTTCCCGAACCCGAAAATATCACTAAACGCCAGAGAGATAAGACGCTTAAGAGGCCTCGTGCCGCCGCCGCCCCCACCAATACCAAAAGACTGGGCGCCCATCGACGCCCAAAACGACCGTGTCGCTGCCGCCAAGAAGACGAAGAAGCCCTACCGCTACAAGCGGCCCAAGAACCTCGACGAGAAAGGGAAATATGTACTGTCTGAAACAATCAATTGTGGTGCCGTCAGACCTATCTCCAGTGTGCGTTTCACACCATCGGGACGGCACCTAGCTTTAGGTAGTGCGGACGCCATCGGCCGTTTTTGTCAAAGAAAAAACGGCAAGTGGGAAGTAGTGTTACTTTTCGACGAGCACGAGGAGGGCATAAATGATATACAATTCAGTGCGATCTCGGCGTCCCGTCGTGTAGAGTCACGCCATCAACTTGTGTCCATCGCACGATGACGTGGGTGGTTTCTTTTTCGACTTCGAGGCCATTCGGACCGCGTCGCGAGACCGCGATGCTCCGCGCAGGCAAGGACGAGCACTTTGCTATCACCTGTTCGGACGATAAGACGGTGCGGCTGTGGGACGTGCGGACGGGGAAACAACATCGCAAGTTCGTCGGCCACCAAGATTACGTGTTCGCTTGTTCGGTACATCCTACGTCTACCTTGTTTTGCTCTGGATCCTTTGATGAGACCATAAAGCTGTGGGATCCTCGCTGTCCGGAGGCTGTGAGGGAGATCAAGGCCCACGCGGAGCCGATTACCGGGGTCCAGTTCAGCCCGGGCGATGGGTCGGTCATAGCGTCTGGCTCGTACGATGGTCTTACGCGATTATGGGACACGGCTTCCGGCTCATGCTTAGTTACGATCTACGCCGAGCAGGCGGGCTTACCCGCCAAACAGGCACCTGTCTCCGGTCTACGATACACCCCAAATGGCTCTTATTTATTAGTGTCGACACATGATACTTTTATGAGATTGTGGAGAGTAGATACGCAACCGGTGCGCGCCAGCAGATTCTTCGAAGGCTGTCGTTCATTGAGGTACAACTGCAACAACGGTTTTCATGCGCCAAAAAATAGAGAAGGGCCAGTAGTGGTCGCTGGCCAGGAGGACGGGTGTTTGATGATCTTCGACATGAACACGGGCAAGCTGGCCCACGAGGTGCAAGCGCATCGGTCTCCCGTCCTAGGCATGGACAACCACCCGAGAAACTCCATGTTCGTTTCTTGTTCCATGGACAAGGACAATCTGGCGCGCGTCTGGCGCTACGAGTCCCACTTTTCGGGGCGGGAGGGGGATCCTGATATCAGACCGCCGGCGCCTTTAGTTCAAGCGCCGGACGACTTCGTCGTCCCGCCCGTGCGCCAGAGCTACGCGGCGCCCGGCGCCATGGACGTCGGGTAACTACGACTCGTCACTCGAATCTAGTTACTCGAGCTACTTGTCGCCGCCGAACATCTTGCCGAAGGCCTCGAACGGGTTCGGCGCCTCGGGCTCGGGCGCCGGCTCCGGTTCTGGAGTTTTGGGCTTGTCGAAGAAGGCGGCGAAGGGGTTCGGCAGCTCGGGCGCCGCCGGCGCGGGCGCGGGCGCCGGCGCCGGAGCTGATGCTTCCTTCTTCTCGAAGGGGTTCTGGAACCCGGCGAACGGGTTCGGCGCCGCGGGCGCGCTCTCCTGAGCCTTCTTCTTGATCGGGATGCCGTCCGACGTCGTTTCTTGCACGTAGCCCCGATCGATATAAGGCATTTTGGCATCAGCTCTTTCGGCAAACAGGCCAGCGGAGCCCATCCTCGATGAATCCGCGTCCCGCTTCAGGCCAGATGACGCCGTCTTGATCGCACCGGAGTCCCTAGCCGACTTCCACTGATCAAGATTGTCGGCCTCGCGCGACTGCTGGATCGCCTTGAGCCTATCTTCTTCTTCCCCGACTTTGGCGCGGCGCTGGCGGATTTCTTCCTCTTGCGCCTCGGTGATGAACCCGCCCGACGCGCGGCGGTTCGCAAGAATAGCTTGCTGCTCGCGCATCATCTCGTCCTTCCAGGCGTCGTCCTTGTCCGCGCCTCCATCTAACTTGTCCATGAGGTCGTCGAGGAAGCCGTATCTGGCTACGGTTCGTCGCCGCGGCGGCGTCGGCAAGAGGGCGGCCGCATGGCTCAGCAAGGCGAGCGCAAGAATCACTTGTTTCATGGTGCGGAGCGCACGTGAGCTTCTCTCAATTCGCGAGCGGTCGCACGACTGCGTTCTGTCGTGGCCTGAGGAGTGTGCTAGCTTGATTGCGCTCAGCGGTCGAGAACGGTGGTGTTCCGGGGCAATCGAGCTGGAGCTTGATGCTAGGACGCGGGTTTTTCTCAATTTTTTAAGGCGTCGCAAGGCGTCTTTGACTCGCCGCAAACGCCGGTCGACGCGTCCCGCAGGGGATCGCCGCAGAAACCCGAACCAGGCTCTCCTGTCGAGCAATTTTTGGTGCTGTCAGTGTCGCTGGCGTCCACCCAGAACGGCGCAATAATGCCGCGGGCTGCCTGAGCCGCGACAGCGATCACCAAGCCGGCTGCCCTGATCAATAACGCCATCGCTGCGGCGCTGCACAAAAAAATGCGGATGCTGCTGCTGCTCACCGCCTGCAGCGCCGCCAACACGGGCGGCGGCAGCAGCAACCCCGACCCGCTCAAGAACAAGGACGGTTCCGTATACAAGGAGGAGTTCGGGAGAGTCCATGCCCAGGGCGTAAATATGATCCAACGAGCAAGCCAACTGCACGACGCGTCGTATCACAGACAAGGCAAGACGAAGGCGACGGCTTCCTGCCAACGAGTCGCTCTCAGCGAGGATGGCGAGAAGTTGCGAGCACAGAACCGTAGTATATTATTATTGGTGCAGACGATGACAGCATCAAAAAGTAACTTATGCGAAGGCAGTCGCGCGGACTGGCGCGACGGCATGGCGCAATGTTTGCACCAGTTGACCGGTCTTAGGGTGATAGTGCACAACGACGACGGCACGTGCGCCGACTGTAGTTCTCTACAACGCACTTCCTGTATTACGAGTGGTGACCCGCCGCCCGGTTTAGTTGTGGTATTGGGTGGCGGCGAGGACAAGCGCCTCCGATTCTTGTGTGCGAACCACTACTGCGGCAACACGGGCGACCCGTTTTGGGTTGATGCTGGGAGAAATGCGCCGCACGATTACTTGGGAGCCTGCGACGCGTACGCGTTTGATCGGCAAGGCAAGAGGATTCTTGGTGCTGAACAAGTCTCATTAAAAGCGGATCCCCCGACGAAGATCGCCTGGCTGCCGCTCGTGAACCCGCACGCGGAGATCCGAGGTTTGTACGAGCGGAATCTGTTGTATGCCTCGGAGAAGGATCCTGATGGAGCGGGCGTGCCTCGCGTCACGAGACCGCAAAATATTGCGCGCTTGCCGGACGTGGTCTTCCAGCGACGAGTGATCGAACCGGCCTTCCGGTTGATAGGCGGCCACGCGCCGATTGAAATTATCAGAGATGACGCCCTCCCGAAACCCATCCTGTTACCACCGAAGGAACGCGTCATCTATGATGACGTAGCGGTCAAGGCCTCGGAGAAACGAGAGAGGACCTTGATCTATGTTGGTTCTTATAGACCAAACAAAGGGCAACTCGACTTCCTGCGCATCGTCTCCAAGGAGACGCTGGGGCCCTACAATCTGGAGTTCTTCGGCGTGCGCCAGGCGGACGTCGGTGGAGATGATTATGCTGCTATTCAGAAAGAGGTTCAGGAAAGATGGCAGGGCAAGGTGACACTGCACTCTACGAGATTGTCGCACGAGCAGATGGTCTCGGTCATGTCTCGCGCTTCTGGATTAATACATTTCAGCAACGGTGATAGAAATCCAAGAGTGTTGTACGAGGCGTTGATGTTCGGATTACCGGTGATGGTTTCGATCCAGTCGATGCCTTATATAGGGTTGCAGTGCCAGCCCTTCGTGACGCTTACCGTAACGTGCGGCGTCCGTTGCTTCGCATCGCACGCCATCGCCGTCTCGCGTCGATGGCGTACGGGCCGCCCCAGACACACGCCATCGCCGCGACCGCGCGCGCCGGGGCCGAGGTCCACGCCATCACCCTATCAACACGCGCAGGACACGAACGGCACGTCCGCCGAGGTCACGGCACATTTACGACGCTTCGTGAAATATTTAACGGATAGCGAGAAGGCCAAGGCCGCCCAACGCAAGATGGCAAGCAACGCGACCATCGAACGGCCCTGGCTCCTCAAAAAACTGCACAACGCGCAGAGCGCGATCCGGACGTTCGTCGAAGAGGAGCTTACCGAGCATCTTGTCTACGCGAACTTCTGCGAGAGGTTCGGGATCTGCGGTTCTTTGCAGCTCGTGAGGGACCCGCGGACGCCCTGGGCGAAGGGCGGGAAGTGTCGACGATCATTGAAAAGATTTGAAAATTGGCGTTTCAAGCCCTGGGGCGCCCACGTCGAGATCAAGCGGGCCTTGAATATTGTGGTCGCTCCCAAGTGTGTCCTGATGTGGGGTCGCAATTGTAGGGATGCGTGTCGGGACCGGAACAAGCGCGAATACAGAAAAGTCTCGCCTCGACAGTGGTGGCAGCCCGGCTCCCAGGATTCCGAGCACGACTCCCAAGATAGTATTAGGATGCGCTGGAAGAAGAACCGCAAGTCTCGGTTAGGTCTGGGTTTGGAGGCCGAGGCCGGCGCGGCGTACGCGCCGCGCTTCGACGAGTCGGGCGAGCCCATCAAGAGTGCGGGAGAGGCGTCCGAGGCTTTGCTTGCCATCGGGTTGCGCTCTTCGACTGGAGCAGAGTATAGATCCAGGCGGGACGCGTCTGGAAAATTATTACCGGGCGAGGACTACATTGCTCGGCGCAAGGCGGCGCAGGCCTTGGCGCCCTAATTCATCGACTTTGTTGTTATTATTTTTGAGATGCATGCACAGGGGGTATCTAGTCGGGGGGGGGGGGAGGGGTCGTCACTACTACCCTTCAAATTCGCGGTCCTCGCCCATGGCGTCCTCGTCCACGTCCGCCGGCCAGATGCTCGCGCTCTGTTCCCAGAGCTCGAGCACCGCGCGGACAGACGGCTGCACTCGGACACTCGCCCAGAGAGTGTAGAGATTTCCACCGCCTTTGTGGAGGGGACCGAACTCCCCTTCCGGGTCATCGAGGTCGAGGTACCCGATCTGGACGCCGCGGACGACCCTCCCGTCCTCGTCGTCCATGTAAGCGTTGATGCCCAGGGCAGCCGGCGTCGCCACGCCGCGCAGGTCCGCGACGGTCCTCACGCCCAACGCGGCGATGTCGTCGACGCGGTCGCCGAGCGAATAGCTCTCGAGCATCGTGCGGAAAGTCGTGCGCTCCTCCGCGAGCGCCGCGTCGCCCTGGACCCAGCGCAGCGGCGGCGCCGAGGCGAACTTGTCTCCAGCGACGACGCGGACTGTATCCGGGAGCGCGACCCGCGGATTCGCCGTCGAGTGCGCCGCGTACCACAGGTCGACCTTCCCCACGACGAGGCGGAAGTACTGCCTCGGCGCGCCGTCCGGCACCGGGAGGCTCTCGTGCGGCGTACGGTCCGTCAGCCAGGCCAGCTCGTTCGCCTCGAGCGTATGCGACTCCACGCGCCCGTCGAGCAGCGGCCGGAGGCGCTCGAGATTGCCGTGCGGTCCGATCACGCCGTCGCCGGCCGCGTCGCAGACGCGCGTGTTCCAGATCCGCGTCGTGCCGCCCACGGTACTGGCCATGAAGATACCGCCCGTGGGTTGCGCGCAATCCTTGAAACAGACCGTCCCGTAGCCCCAGCCGAACGCTTCCGGCGGCTCCATGTGTGACCCGGTCGCGCCGGCGCGTTCGCAGTGCAGGCCCGGTCGGCGCTGCGACGCGCCCGGCGCCGGCGCCCGCTCGTCGACGGTCAGGTACGCGACGCAGGGGTCTCGTCGGGCGTAGTCGGTCGAGTGGCTCTGGCAGCGCTCGATCAGGCGGGCGTAGTCGCGGAACTCGGCCGGCAACGTGTCGAGATCGTCGAACCGGAACGGAAGCATGTTGCAGTAGCGCCCGCGGTTCTCCGGAAATGTGACCAGTCTGTCCGAACGCGTGCGGATGAACTCGCCGTCCTCCGTTTCGCGCCCGAAGAGGCTGAGCGAGAGCCACCCCGGCCAGCGCGGGTAGCCGAAGCCGGTTCGCGGCGCATTTTCGACATCGTCAGGATCGGCCGGCCTTATGTTAGTGCACCGCTCGAACTCGCGCGCCCAGGCCCGCGGGTGGCGCGCGGCCGTGTCCTCGAGGCACGCGGCCCAGTACTCTTCGAGCACGAGCCCGAAGAGGGACTTGAGGATGTCCTCCTTCCCCCGCAGGAGCCGCAGCGGCGACGACGCGCAGATCGTGCCGCGGAGGACCATCCGTAGTGCCGGGTCGCAACTGTCCGTCGCTTCGGACGCAACGCTCGTCGATGTTGTTGTTCTCGTGCCGGCGCGTGTGCGCACCATGACGATTGCGTTTTGTTGTAGCCTTGTGGCCTCCTTCTCTCTTCTCTGCGGCGCCGACACTTTGGCGGCTGAAACTTGCTGGGGTGGATTGCGCAGCGAAACCAAAGTAACGAGACACACAGTTAGAGCCGATAGAGGCTCGTGCGGCCCTTTTTTCCCCCTTCTCCCTCTTGGCGCTAGCGTGCATTGACACACTAGCACTCACTCGACGATCAAGTGCAAGCGTCATAACACAGCCCACAGTGTGCAAATTGCAGCAGCAACTACGCCATCGATGCGTGCCACCGTCGCACTATTGCTGCTCGCGAGCGCGCGCGCAGTGGACTACCTGCAGGGCAACCCCAGGGCTGCAGCCAGGGCAAAAGCCGTAGCGCTCGTGGACGCGATCGGCAGTGCCAGTGCGTTACCGGACCCGGACGTGTTACATACAACGGCACTGGACTGGTCCGCCATAGACGAGGGCCTCCTGCCGGCGACGCGGGAGCGGGACGACGAGCAGCGGCGTTCAAGGGCATCAATAGAAGCCTTGGCGACGGTCGCGCGCGCGCTGGACGGCGCGCGCATCGTCGACCCGTGCGCCGGTCGCGGCGACGTGGCGCTGCCTCTAGCATACTTTTTGAGGAAGGACGTGTTGCTCTGCGACGTCTCGGCAAGGGCACTCGACGTGGCAGCAGAGCGCGCGGACGAGGCCTCGCTCCAGATCAAGACGAAGACCGTGGACTGCGCGGAATTGGGACCACATCTCAACAAAAATGACTGCGTCGTCGCGTTACGGGCTTGTGGCGCCGTGGCCGACATGGCCATCGAAGCCGCGGTGGACAGTGGCGCGGCCTTCGTCGTGTCGCCCTGCTGCCTCTGGAAGGCCGTGGCGAAGACCACGAGTAAGGGCGGTCGCATGCCTACGACGGCGCCGCCTTCGCTCAATTACCCACGCTCGGCGTGGCTCGCAGGTTTTGACGTCTCTCCCGAAGATTATGTCACACTAGTCGACGCCGACGAGCCGCCTGCAGCTAGAGCTTCGGCGATGTTGGGGGACGGCGCGCGGACGCGGCTCTTCCGGCAGGCGCGGCGGATCCTCGAAGAAGATAGGTTGCGCTACGCGAGCGAACGGGGCTATGACGTGCGGCTGTTGAGGTTTGAAGGTGGGGATAATCCCCACGTCGGCATCCTCGCCGGGGTGAGGGGAGACGGCGCGGCGCTCGCGGCGCTTGACTCGTATCCGTTCGACGACGATGAGCCGCTGTTTCCCTCCTGAGTAAATCTGTGTGTGGTGTGGTCGCGGCGATGGCGTGCACATGTCTCCTCATATAACGCGACGGGTTTTACAACGCAAAATTGTGCTGGTGCGGCATTGCTCGCGTCGGGGATACTTTCCTTTGTATCAGGACACGGCTACTGTCCCCATACGGCGGCACCTGCCGAAGCCGGCCGCCGGAAAAGCGTTTGAGAGGGCAATCAATTGGCTTCACAAAACATACGTCCGCGGCGACTTCGCGATCTGTCGCTCGTGCGCGCTGCGGGGAGCCGGGGTGCTCGTCGATCCGGGCGCGAAACGCATCTGGTTCTCCCGGATGATTCAATTCGTCGGGTCGCGGGCAGTGCCCTTGCCGGCGTCGCAACCGATTCTCGCCCAACTGCTGCGGACGCTCAAGTCCCACCCCGGCGTCGTCGTGCGGTTTGAGGGACATGTGAACTCAACCTGCGGCCTGGAATGCCGCGGCGCGACGGGGAAGCCCTGCAAGGCGGCGCGAAAGGTCGGAAGCGACATGTGCGCGCGCTGCCCCGGCGGCGCCTACGGTTTAAGCAAAGCCAGGGCGGAAGCGATCAAGTCCTTCGTTGCCAAGTGCGGCGTGGACACAGATCGTGTGTACGCCGTGGGCTTCGCGGGCACGCGGCGCTTGAGCGACGACATCACCGAGGAAAAAGGAGCCGTGAACAGACGCGTCGAGGTCCACATGATGCCCTACATACCAGGCCGGTTGTAAGTACTTACGCATAGGAAACCTAGCCCAACACCAACAGCTCGTGGCGTTTGAGTAGAGCCGTCAGCTCGCCGCGCGGCGTCGCCCGGCCCGCCCCCAGCTCCGAGGGCCGTTTTCCGCTCGCATCCATGACCTTGGCTTTCCCACCGGACGCCAACAATAATTTGGCCAAAGCCACGGTCGCGGGCCGCTCCTTCATGACCGCGATGTGGTGGAGCGGCGTCTGGCCGTTGGCGTCGGCGTGGTTCGGGTCGATGCGCTTGGCGAGAGGGACTTTCGGGTCCTCCAGCAACCGCTTCGCAACCAATAATTTCTCCTCGACGTTTTCGTTCTCCTTGCCCTCCTCGCTCCGCAGCGCCTTGCCCAGGCCCGCCACGGCCATGTGCAGGGCATTTTGTTTTTTGTGGTTGGCTTTGGTGGGGTCTGCATTATGTTCTAGCAGCAATTTGACACACTCCGCCTGGTTGTTCGCGCACGCTACCAATAAAGGAGTATCCCCGTAGGCGTTTTCGCCGTTGGCATCTATACCTAACTTGAGTAACACTTCTAGTTGTGCTGAATTGCCCACTTCGGCCGCGCAATGTAAAGGTGTGGCTTTTAGCACAGTAGAAGGGAGGTCGAACAGGGGCTTCAAATCATCACCTGGTTCCGTGGCTGCGAAGGCAATCAACGCTTCTAACGCACTAGCGTCCTTCGGCAGGGTGCACGCGGCGTGCACCGGCGTCGTCCCGCCCTTGACGTCGTCGAAGTAGTTCGCTCGTCCATTTTGCGCGAGGAACTCTCCTACTTTGACGGCATCCCCAGCTTCACAGGCCTGGAACAAACCGAGCGTCGCCGGCGTCGCCTCCTGGTTGTGCGCCAGGCGGTAGGCCGGGATCTCCTCCTCGCGCCCTACCCACATGGCCATGGTGGCCTAGGGGTTTATAGCCGATGCGGCTTCTCGGTGGTCGCGTACGAGGCTGCCCGAACGCCCGTCGAGCTGGGAATTGGGCCTAGGAAGGCGCCGATGCGCAAACCGCCTGGAACGCGCCGGTCGGGTTTTTCAGTCGCCACGCTTCGACGCGTGCGATGGAGAAGCGTGGGACCGTCGTCCCGAGCCTTCCGACGGTTCGTAAGACACAAATCGTCGGCGGCGCTGGGGTGCAGCGCCTTGTCGATTGGCAGCGTGCATACGCGGGCAGCCGGACGACGCGAGCGCGTCCACGCGGGCAGCACCAACCCACCTCGCGCGCGACGCCTGACCTCTGCGAGCGTTTGCAGCAATGCCCACGGCCACCGAGCGGCTCCTGGGCCGCACCTACCGCCCGCCCGGCTACGATCCAGGGGATAGGCCGGGCTACTCGCCGGCGCGGAGCACGCGCAAGCGCGCAGTCGCGGCCGACGACGTCGACGTTAGAATAGAGGAGGCGCCGAAGCCGCCGCCGCCCGCGGGAGCTCGATCGTGGGACGCGGCCAAGGTCGCATCGGTGGTGGACGCGTGCTGCGAGCAGTGTAGCATCGCCGCGTGCTCCGAGCTGTTTCTGAAGCACGGCGTGGATGGCGAGGTGCTCGAAAGCTTATTAAACGCACCCGCGGCGGAACTCAAGTTGCTGGGCGAGGGCCCCGGCGCCGCGTGCCAAGCCGCTTCAATAATCGCCGGCTACGGCGCGCGGTGCAAGCTCCACGCGCGGCTCAAAAAATGTGTCGAGGACCACAGGAAATCACTCAAGGCGGTCGAGGACGCGCGGGCGGCTTTACAATTGGATGCGGACGGGCGGGAGCAGCTGACACGGCTAGCCGGAAGTGAACCGGCCTACGAGCTTTTGGACCCGTCGCTGCGCGTCTCAAAGCCCATCAAGTCCGACAAGACGCGGCAGGTCGTCGTACCTGTGTATCTTACATTAATGATCAAAAAATTAGTGGCGTCGCGATCCGAGGCGGACGAGGACGGCATCTCGCTCGTGGGTACGCTCATACAACGGCCGCTGCTCTACGACCTTGCATCATTGCCGCGCTGCTCCGGTAAAACGGCGACGCCCTACTTTGCGACGCGAGTAAACGAGGGCGAGACGTCGGTGGAAGGGTGTTTTGACGAGAGGAAAGTCGCATCTACTTCACAATCTATGCATGGTGGTGTCTGGCGCGCGACGTCCACGACCTTCGCGGCCAATGTACCCATGAAATTATATAGCGTTTTCAGCGCCCACCCCTTCCACATCATGGCGGCCGAGGTCATGATCGAATTGACCTCCTTCACTTCTGAGACAGGCCACGAACTGAGACCGTCCATTCTGTGTCATGTCAAGGATTTCAGGAACCTAGTACGAGTCAGGGACTACGACTCCCCGTCAAAGATGGACGAGATGAAGAAGTGGGAGATCATGAACTCGTCACCTACCGTAGAATACGAGGCCGACGGCGACGGGATTGAGGGAAAGAAGCCCTTTTATACTCCTAAGTTGAGAGTGACGTTCTACCTGTATCGCGATGCGCGCCAACCGTTCCTGGAGACGATCGCGCCGATCATCTTCGCTTTATTTGCGAACGCGCTGAACGTCGTCTTTTCCAAGCAATTCGAGGAGTTCCTGGCGAACGTCGTGGCCATCGGGTTTACGCTCGTGCTGATGGTGCCTCGGTTATCTCAAAATGAATCATTTTTAGCTACGTTCCAGGTGAATCACATCTACGTGGCGCTGATATTTTTATCTTTAGTGGTAAGTGCGGCTAGCATACCTCTATCCCGAAAGTTCGATCTCGATGTGATCTACATCAAGGGCGCCGCGATTGGTCTATCAGTTCTATCATTGTTCATCCCGTTCATGAATTTATGTATCTACCGACGGTTGCGGCGCGTCTTATCCGCCTCGCCGCATACGCGCGTAGCCAATCCTACGACGTTTAATGGGAAAGAACATCAAGTGGACGAGCCCGGCCTGCCATCTCGCAAGGCTAAGGTCAAACCGAGCGACGTGGGCAACAAGAAGGGGAGCGACGTGCCTTACGGCGATCTACGCCAGTTCTTCTCGCAACCTGGTAAAGTGGAGAAGGGGCAGAAGCCCCCGCTCCGATACGACGCAAGATGCATCCATGAAAGTATCAGAGACTACCTGAACGTCTACGAGGCGAAGCGAGCGAAGCCCTGGACCCAGAAGGGCAAGCGCTTCATCTGCGGCTTCACGAAGGAGTTCATGATGAACACCGCTGAAAAAGGTACAAGATGGCTGACGTGTGGGGGGAGGAGAGCTAGAGACAAGGCCATCCGGGACGCGTAAGTTTCTGTTGCTTTGCTTGGAGCTAGGCCTAGCCGCCACGACCGCCGCGGGTCCGTTACGGTGCTAGGATTCATCGGCGGCGGGCGCGGGCCGCGTCCTTGATAACAGTACATACCCTTCTAAGCAGAACCGCCTCGCCCCCCCCATTCAATCTCTCTACAGATTAGCTGTACCTAGGTAGAGAGATACTAGAGCTCAAATCAAAGCTGAACAGGCAAAGGCAAACCAGAAGCAGCTCACCTGCGTCGTGGATAGAGACGCTCGGCAGTGGGGCTGCCCCTCTCCAACAGCATCGCAGAGACCACGCACCAAAGTCCTGAGAGCCCACACCGAACAGTGGGTATAGGCTGCCCTTAACGCCATGGTGGACGTCGCGGAGAGCCAGGAAGACCCCTGGGCCGCGGCCTCGGCGCCCGCCGATCCCTTCGTGGCCGCCGCCCCGGGCAGCCCACAAATGGCAGCGCCGCCGGCGGACCCCATCGTAAGCCCCGCCAGACCGACGGACCCGGACCCCTGGGCCACACCCTCGGCGGCCTCCGATCCCTGGATCGAGACACCCACTTCACCACCAGCCGATCCCTTCGGGGCGGCCACGTCGCCGGCGCTGCCGGCCCGGACCGAGGGCAGCCCGTCCGTCGCCGTGCCGCCCGCGAGCCCGCCGGAGGACCCCTGGTCGCAGCCCGCGGCGCCCGGCGTCACGGCCGCGGCCGAGGCGCCCGACGCGCCCGCAAGCTCGGCAAGCGGCGCGCGCAAGCTGCGCAAGAAGCTCGCCGCGCTGACAGGGCTCCACCACGCCGGCGCAAAGGTCAAGGAGAAGCTCGCCAAGAAAAAGAGCGCTGAGCCGCCGCCGGCCGAGCCCGCGTGGTCCGCGGGCGACGAAGCGCCTACTGATGACGCTGGGGCCGGCGTCGCCATCCCCGCCGCCCACGAGACGTCCCCGGCCGCGGCCCGGCCGGCGAGCTTGAGGTTGCGGAAGGCCGCTGCAAAACTGACGGGGGTCCACGGGGCCTTCTCCCCGCGGGCGCAGCCGGACGAGACGGACGAGCAGCGCGCCGCGTCGCGAGCCTTCGACGCCATGGATGTTGATGGGGACGGCGAGCTGAGCGCCGAGGAGATCCACGCGGCGCTCCTGAAGAACGACGCCGACGCGAGCTTGGAACGTGTGAAAGAGTTGGTGGCGAAGGCCGACACGGACGGCAACGGGACCGTGAGCCGAGAGGAGTACCTCGAGGCGCTCAAGACGGATCTCATACCCGAAGGCTGGCGCGGGACGCTGACGGGCGCTGCACAACGCGCGCGGGAGATCGCATCGAACGCGGCGGCGGCGCTGGGCCCCGCGGCGACGAAAGTGCGCAAGGCCGCGGCGAAGGCCACGGGCCAGCACGGCGCCTTCTCGAAGAAGAACGCCGTGCCCCCCGTCGACGTCGAGGACGCGCCCAGTGCCGCCCCGGCGCCCTCGCTCGAGTCGATGCAACAAAACCGGTTCCGCGCGGCCGCTTCGAGGACGATGATGGCCCTGACCGCGTTCTCGAAGAAGGAGACCGTCGACGCGACCGATGAACCATCGAGCCCGCGGCCCCACCTCGACCACGAGGCCTCCGGCGACTTGCGGCGGAAGCAGCTCAAGAAGCGCCAGGGGTCGTTGGCCGGCCGTCTAGGTGCCGAGGAGGCGAAAAGCGACCCGGCACCGAGGAAGAAGAAGGGGTTTGCGAATCTCTTCGGCAAGGCGCAACACGCGTTCCACCATTCAGAAGATACGCCGCCGCAGCCCTGGACGGCGCATGGTGCCGAGGCCGTGCGAACGGCTCTCGACGCGTTCGAGGCCGACGAGCGTGCGATGTGTACCGCAAATCTCTGGATCGAGCGCGGCGATGCAAAGAGGTGCGCTTCTGTGAAAGCGGCATTAGGTGGGGACCCGACACAAGCGGCGCTCGGCCAGGCGACTCCAGAAAAAGCTTCGAAGGCGATCGTGAGCGCGATCGAGGGCGGCGAGCCCCATGCCGCGGTGGACGCGGTCCGAGCTCTACTCATGATGCATGTGCCGCTTTGCAAGACCGTACATCACGAGACGCGCGACGCCTTCGTCCGGGCGGCGACGGAGCCCCGGACCGCCGCGGCGCAGCGCGAGGCGCTGCAGAAGTTGGTGGACGATTTGCCGCCGATCCACAAGCAGTTGTTGGGGAGGTTGGCGGCGCACTTGGCGCGCATCGTCAGACGGCAAAGATTAAATGGGTCGTCGTGGCGCGGCCTCGCCGCTGCTTTATGTCCCGTGCTGCTTCCCTCGTCTGGAGCCGTGTCGACGACGGCCAAGATCCAGGCCAGTATCGCCTGCGAGCGCTTACTTAGAGTAGTAAACGCCGGCGCGGGAGGACCCAAGTCGCCGCGCGCGCCCGAGAGCCCGGCGTGGTCGCCGAGGCAACCGGCGCCATCACCAAAACCACATACCGCGTTCGACGCCTTCGCGCACATGCCGGCCAACCCCTTCTCGCCGAAGCTGGCTTCGAAAAAGAAGTCGCCGAAACTCGCCATGCGCCCGCCCGACCACCACCCGCCGGGCTGGGCGCCGCCCGCTGCTGATCCCTGGCCCGCGTCGCCGCCGCCGATGCTGTCGCGGGCGCCGGACAGCGCGGCGCCCCCGCCGCCGATGCCGTCGCACACGCCCGTCAAGGATGATAACGGTGGAGACCCCTGGCCCGCCGGCTCCGCCGACCCGTGGCCGCCGCATGCGTCGGACGCGCCGCCCCCGATGCCGCCGCACGTGCCGGACGCGCCCCCGCCGCCGATGCCATCACACACCCCCGAAAAACCACCAGAAGCGTCGGACCGGCCGCCGGACTGGAAGCCGCCGCCGCCGCCGAAAGTAGAGGGACCGATCGAGGCCCGCGCCGTCCGCGCGACGTACGTCGACGAAATAGACAGCGACGACTCCGACGATGATGAAAGAGAGTGGTCCCTGCGGCATGCGCTCGAGGAATTTGGAGTGACCAAGGTGCGGGTCAAGGGCAAGCAGGGCGTCGCGTTGTTTGGTTCGGAGAAGGACGCGAGCGACGCTTTGCACGCGCATAGGGTGGGCGCCTGGCGCCTCTCGAGTCCGTCGATAGACGCGTCCGGCGAGCAGATCCTGTACACCGGAGCCGGCTCGCCGCAGGTCGAGGACGACCTGGAAAGGCTCCTCGCTACCACCTAATATTCACAGTATATTTACGATTCGGCTGCGACTACGAGTCGGACACTGGCAAGTCGAGGACGACCTTGACTCGGAACGGCTACTAGCGAGTTAATCATATTCACAGTATATTTACGGGTTCGTTTGGGTCATCCTTTTGGAGATCACTGCCACCCAGGCCTCGGCGTCCGCCGGCTCGTCCGCTCTAAACGGATAGTCCGTCGTCCCGCACGTCATCGTGAACGACGTGCCCGCGGCGTCGCCCGGCGTCATCGCGACTTTTGTAATTTTCGACACCTTGATCGCGTTCTTGAGCTTGCTCCTATCTTCAGCTTTGTAGGACGCTAAGACGTCTTCTCTGAGTTCGAACCAGCGCTTGACCCACTTCCCTGAAGAATCGACGCGCCAGAGCGTGCCTTCTTTCGTCGAGACGGAGACGTTGTCGTCGGCGCCGAAGAGGAATTCTCGGCTGCCGAGCGCCGAGACGACGCGGCGCACGAATTCCATGGTATGGTGTGATGCGGTGTGCCTTGGGCAGAGGTTTTCGAGGGACGAGATGTTACCCACGGAGGGAGTGGGCTGGAAGGAAGCGATAGCAGTCGTATCAGGTCGTCCGCGGAGGCAGCGACGGCGTTTGGGCCCTTGGAATGCCGAGGGCTTGGTTTTGCTAGTGTCTTACTACCGCTAGCAAATTCTGCTGCAGCGCGGTTTTTTTGCAAGTTCACGCCAACAAGTGACTTCGAGACGGCCGCACACGCCTGAAAATATCGAAGAACTATCGCACGAATGCACTGCTGGTTGGACAGGGTCCAGGACTCGGCGCTGGCGCCCCCTGGGTAATAAGTGCAGTCGCAGCGCAAAGGCCTACAGCGGCAGCACGCGTCGAGGGGCTGTGGCCAGGGCTGTAGGATGACCGCGCAAGCCGCGCCGCCGGCGCCGGAAGACGAAATACCGGAGGAGCGCCAGTTCCTCGGCGTGCCGGTGCGAAATGCGCATCGCAAGAGCCGGGCCAACCTCACGGCTGAATTATTAGCCGTCGCCCGCTCGTTGATTAGAAGGAGACCGCCCTGTCCCATTGAAGACGCGTCGGCCCTGCCGCCGCGACCGCCGTCACTCAAAGCATTAATCACGCCGCCGCCGTCGCCGCCTCCAAAAGTCGACGCGGACGCGTGCACGCGGTCCCGCATCGAGGCGGCAGCACGTAGATTAGCGCTTGAAGCGAGATGCTTCTCCAGTGATGACGTTTCCGCACAAATTGCCACGTACCTCTGCGAGAACGGCTTCCACGGCGATAGAGCGTGGGCGACGTGCGTGGGCGACGTGTGGTACACACGAAACTTCCTGTACGATGTCGTGGCGCGCTTGGCGCCCTCGATAAACTCGCCGCGCTACGCCCATGCCTTTGCTAGGATGCCTCTACCGACGTCGGACGCGTGGAGCTACTTCGAGGTCGAGTTGACATACGACGGCGACTTCGTCGAGTGCTTCGTGGGCGCCCAGAGCGCCAAGGAGACGCGGCGCGGCGTCGTCGGCGGGAAATCTCGCGGTTCTTTTGCTCTCGCGACGCTCGGAGGGTTGTATAGCGAGGGCGCTTTTCGGAGAGGCGGCCTCGAGGGCCGGGCCTGCGACCGGGTTGGCGTGCTGTCGCGTGTTGTCGGCGAGCACCGTCACGTGATTTTTGTAGCAAGGCGGCGCGGCGGTTTCACGCGGCGCGCCGTCGGCGCGTGCCAAGTGTCACGTAGTCAGGACGTCTTCCCCACCGTTACGCTACGATCGCGCGGCGTTTCTGTGAAAGCGCTCCTCGACGCGGCGGTCTTACCTCGAAGGCGCGACCTTCCTGAGGAAGGAGCGGTCTACGCCATAAGTGGAGAGCGGCTCGCCGACTAACTGTTGTTGTTCGTGACCCGGTGTCTTAAAAAACGGGAGGGCTCTAGGGGGGAAGGGGAATTGTGCGGCTTCTCTGCATACTGGTGTTCACCGCCGCCGCGCCAGGCGCCGTCGCTGCCGCGGCCGATAGTACTCTAGTTGTAGAGCTGGGCCACGACGTCGGGGTACATCTCCAGCACGACCTTGCGCCGCAGCTTCATCGTCGGGGTTAACTCCCCACCTTCCTGCGTGAAGTCTCTGGGTAATATCGCCCACTTCTGGACGTTCTGCGCCCGACTAATGGCGTTCTTGTTCGCCCTCGTCAAGCCTTCATCTAAATGTTTTTTGTACTCCGGTGAGGTCTTCGCGTCCTGCACTGTAGAACACCCAAATAACTCCGAATCAGAAACTAAACCTGGTAAAGGTGTCCCGTCCTCCTCGTTCATCTTCGTCTTGAGACATAAAAATACTGTCAAGTACTTTTTGCGGTCGCCGATGACCATCGCGTTGCTCACACAAGGCAGTTGTTTCTTGATCTCATCCTCCAACAAAACAGGAGCCACATTTTCTCCAGCGGCGGTGATGAGGATCTCCTTCTTCCGACCCGTAATCTTAAGGTAACCCTCTTCATTGGTGCCGATGTCCCCGGAGTGGAGCCACCCCTCTTCATCAATGGTCTCCTTCGTGGCCTTCTCGTTGTACATGTAGCCCATCATGACGTGGCGCCCCCGAAAGATGACCTCGCCGTCTTCTTCGGCAATCGCGGTCTCCGTCCCGGGTAACTGGCGGCCGCACTTGCCGATGCGGAAGGCATCCGCCACGCTACAGTTCGAGGGCCCCGTGACCTCGGACATGCCAAACAACTCCAAGACATTAATATCGAGGCTCCCAAAGTACTCCAGGACATCACGGCTAATGGGCGCGGCCCCCGTACAAAACGTGTGGCACCGCTCGAAGCCCAGCACGGCCTTGATGCCGCCACTCACTTTCCTGCCCAATGCCGGCGAGAGGCAGCCGCCCGGCGGGGCTTCTCCTCTTTCGGCCGCCAAATACTTTTGCAGGTTGTAGGCCTTGCCCGCCGCGCCGATGTTCTTCTTGAGGCCGCCGAGCAACCCGGAGTACAGGTCCTTGGCCTTGGCCAGGATCGCCTCGCGGAACTTCTCCCAGACCCTAGGCACGCCGAAGAAGACGGTCGGCTGGCACTCCTGTAGAGTGCCTTTCAGAGAGCCCTTGAGGGCGTCGGGTCTCGCAAAATGAACAGTGACTTCATTCACCATGGGACTGATGATGTCCATGAGTTGGGCCGCGATGTGCGACAGCGGGAGGTAGGACACGACGTGCTCTTCTCGACCTAACCCAAAAACGTCCTCGAAGGCGACCTTGGCCGTCCAGGTACAAGAATCGTGCGAGATCATGACCGCCTTCGGGTTACCAGTAGTACCACTCGTATAAATGAGCGAGCAGCACTGGCCGGGGACCACCGCGCCGCGCTTCACTTCGACCGCCTCTTGTGATGTTTTAGCACCGAGCTCCATGAAGCCACTCCACGTGTACGCGGGGATGCCGTGCACTTTGTCCGGCGTCGGCTCGTTGGGCGAGTAGACCACAAAGGCCTTGACGGATTTCAGGAGCGATTTGTCGACTTTCCGGAACTTTGCCAGTTGCTTCTCGTCCTCGGCGATGACGATCTTGGCCTTCGCATGATCAACAACATAAGCGACGCCTTCCGGCCCGTTCGTCGCATAAATGCCCGTGCCCATGCATCCTATAGTGGCAGCTCCCGCCCACGAAAACACCCACTCCGGCGAGTTGAACCCAATGATGGCCACGGCCTCGCGCTCCTTGACACCGAGCGCGATCAACGACTGCGCCACCCTCACCGCTTCGCCCTCGTACTGGCTCCAGGTCCACTCCCGCCACACGCCTTCTCTTTTCACTCGTAAAGCTACTTTGTTAGGCACCGCAGCGCTCGTCCTCCGCAGCGCGTCGCCCACCGTCACGGGCGCGCGCGCCGCCGCGCCGTCGCCCATCCTAATATCGACGTCGCACTGGGGGTCCGTCGTCGTGTAAGTTCCATTGGAGATGACCTCGCCTACGACTATCTCCTCTGCCATGGTTTCGCTGCTCTGCGGTTTCCGGTGGGTGGCTGGGCCGGGTCTGGACGATGCCAGACGCTTAACCGCTGCTACACGAACGTGCGCGCTGTGGATCCTGCCGCTCTCGCGCCGAAATCCTGGGGGCTGCACTAGATAGAGATAGAGGCACTAGGGAGATTAATTAGATTTAGGGCTGCCGGGGCACGCGTGGGCCTGCCAAAGATACATCGGGGCGGTCGGCTAGGGTCAAATCGGGTACTTGCTCGGCAATCTCCCCCAAGCACATGCCGCGTTGAACGCGTTCCCCGCCGGGCGCAGCAGCTTCATACGCTGCCCCACCGCCGCAGCGGGACCGCCACACCGTGCTCGGACACCAATCGATCGGGTCCGGCAGCGCCGCCGCGGATCGGTGTGAGGAGGAGTGTCTGTATACCGCAGAGGGCGTGCAAAGGCGTACGCGTACCAGGCTCAAGCGGCACTCGTGTCGAGGACCGCAGCGATGGACGAGTCCAAGGACGACGGTGTAGAGGACATTGATGCCAAGGCGTCTGAAAACGACGAGGCGCCGATCGACGACTTCGGGCGCCGGGCGCGGGCCAACGTTTCCGTGAGAAGACCCATGGAAGAGGAGGCCAAAATCCCCGTGCCGAACCGCTTCCACAAGACGGTCGTGCACTACCCGGGGTGTGTCATGTTCGTGACCGGTCTGATCGCCGTCGTCCTCGCGGGCCTCGCGTTCGGCGCCGGCGAGTCGGAGCTCGGCGGCTCCTTCACGGACATCAGCAACATAAAAGTAAGGCGCCTCTACGGCTTCTTCGCCTTCCGCGAGGACTACTGGAAGGCGACGGGCCGCGAGGACTACTGGCGGCGGCGGCTGTCCTCAGATAGTGTCTTGAGCAAGAACCACGGCGTGTCCAAGGCGACGCTGGCGCGGATCCCCGTCAAGACCACAAGGTCCACGAAAAGGCAGCAGAGGCGCCGCCTCGACGCCCACGAAGATACTACAGACCACGGCGCACCTAGACGAGAGGAGGACTGCCGGTTCTCCGTTGTTGTGAGAGCTAGGAAGTCGGGCGATATACTAGGGAAGGGTTTGTCTACGTTACGGAGGATCCACCGGCGCCTCACGCACACCGAGGGTTATGATGATTACTGTTTGAGTGAGGACGGTGGCGCGACGTGCGTGCCACCGACGTCAGTCTTCGAGGGCCTCGCGAATGCACCACCTCCTCTAGCAACGTGCGCGAACAACACCTGTGGCGCGTATTTAGATGCATCATTACCAACGTGCGACGACCACTTCGGCAGTGTAGATCAGTTCGCGACAGATGCCTTCGGGCCTCTTTGTGAATCTACTGATGTCTACCGCACGTCCGTCAATATAGGAAAAGGCCGCAAGAAAAGTTTCCAGTACGACGTCGCGGGTTCTGCGTCGGACGAATGCATGACCGTCGTCGCGGCGCAACGCGCGTTCACGGTGGGCGGCGGCTGGGACTGTACCTCCAACAAAGCGACCTACGCCAAGATCACGTATGCGACGGGCATGCCGTTATCTAGGTGCGAGGGCGACTGCTGGGACGATGCTGAGGAGGAGGAAGTGGAGGAGTGGGCTATTGGTACTATGATGCCCAGGTTACATAAACTACGCACCAAGTTACACGACGGCGAAAGCTTCAAGGAGGCGGATTATGACTTAGTGTTCGACGGAGCTTGCTATTTCATCGATTACTACCTCGCGAACGACCAGCAGAAACTGCTGATTGCCGTGATCATCGTACTTATCGTCTTGATCCTGCAGACCAAGTCCGTGTGGATCGCGTGTTGCGGGTTATTTGAAATCGTCATCAGCTTCCCGATTGGGTTATTTGTGTGGGTGGTGATCATGCAGCAGGACTACGTGACGTACCTCATGTACAACGGGGTGTTTATCATTCTAGGCATTGGGTGCGATGATATATTTGTGCTGATGGACGCGTGGAAGCAGAGCGCGATGCATCCGGCCCGCGAGGTGAGAGAATCGCTGCTGTTGAGGTTCACGTGGGCCTACAACCGGGCCGCGTCGGCGATGCTCGCGACGTCGGTGACGACCTGTGCGGCGTTCGTGGCGTGTGCCGTCTCGCCGATCTGGGATATCCAGTGCTTCGGGGTCGTCAGCGCTGTGATGGTCTTCGCTGATTACCTCCTAGTGATCACGTTCCTACCGGCGGCCTGCATCGTGCGAGAGAGGTACTTCCCGCAACAGTGCAAGGACTGCGGCACCAAGGCGTGTTTGAAATCATCACCGGTCGGTGCAGCGCCGTCCTCCGACGACAAGGTCGACGAGGTGCGACCGCCGGACGCGAAGAAACCGAGGCTCGTCGAACGGTTCTACGGCGGCCCCTTCGCCGACTTCATCATTAAGGGCAAAATACCCCTTACAATCCTATTCTGTGGCATCCTCGTCAGTTCCATGATTGTGTGGAACCTGCTGCTCGTGCGAGCCACGTCCGCCACGGACTGGTTTGTATCAGACCACCCCTTCACCTTACACGACAAGGCCACGAAGTACAAGTTCCTGGAGGAGCGCACGGACGAGAAGGAGTCATCGTGGCTCGTCGCCGGCATCAGCGAGGACGACCCCTGGGCCCTGACGGGCGGCGCGCACCCGGCGTGCGTCGAGGGCGAGACGCTGGACGGCAAGAGTTGCATGGGCTCGGCGAAGTACAAGGGCTTTGACCTTGCGAAGCACCAGCAGGCGTGGATCGACGCCTCCACCGCTTATGAGGACGAACTCCGGGCTCAGGGCGCCTCGCCACACTATGAATCAGGACACTACAATTTCATGATCGACTTCAAGAACTATGTACTTCATCAAAATCTGACCTTTCCCTACTCGCCAGACGACAACGACGCCTTCGTGGCGAAGCTGATCGAGTTCCGGGACTCGTGGGAGCCGCCCTACGGCTGGTTGCACCTCGGAGGTCAAAGTGAATACCCGGGAGACCAGACGGGCTTCCACGTGGAAGGTAACACCATAAAAGCGGTGTTTGCGGGCTTCAACACGACGCGAGACGTGGACCGGGACTCGTTCGACGAGTTGTACGACGTGCACGAGGGCGCGCGCGCGGCCCTGAAGAAGGCCAAACAGTTCTTGGGAGGACACATCTACCAGGTGACGTACTACGACGACTGGATGGTGGCCTCAAAAGCATTTTATGATAGTAGTAGAATAAACATCGTCACGGCGTTCGCCTTTGCGCTCATCATCATGCTCTGTGCGACCGCGAACTGGATCGTTACTCTCATAGCGTTTGGGTCATTAGTGACCACCGTATCAACGACATTGGCGCTGATGGTCTTCTACGGCTGGGAACTGAACGTGATTGAGTCAATTGATGTTTCCATCGCCGGGGGCATGGCCGTCGACTATGTTTTACACATGTCGCACGCCTACAATCATCAGGATCCCACCTTGACATCTTCTGAAAGAGTGAGACTTGCGATGGGCGAGATGGGTATATCTGTCTTATCAGGGTGCATTACGACGTTCGGCGCGTGCTGCGCCCTATTTAGTTGCGACTTGCTCTGGTTCAAGATGTTCGGCTACTTCATCTGTACCTTGATCATGTCCTCATTTGTTGTCAGCAACTTCGGGATGATGGCTTTGTTGGCGCTGTGCGGTCCCACGAATGGCAAGGGCGACGTGGCCTTTCTGAAGGACCCGCGGGGGTACATCCAGAAGCTGCGGGGCGGGGCTCCGGCGGAGGCGGTCGAGGCGAAGGAGGCGCCGTAGTGCACACTAGTACATACTAATTATTTGGGGTTGTATCTTTCTGATAGTACTACTAGTACTAGTACTAGTACTACTAGTAGTAGTAGTCGTATAGTAGTACTAGTAGTCGTACTAGTAGTAGATGATCATTTAAGACAGTGGATGTTTACTCGAACGGGTTGGGCAGCTTCGGCAGCTCGAACGCCGGCAGCTCGAAGCCCTTCTCCTCCGCCGGGGCTGGCGGCGCCGTCTTCGGCGCCTCGCCAGTCAACTCGGCGAGGATCTCGTCCGTCGAGAAATCGTCCCCGTCCTGGCTCGCGATCGTGTTGGTCACGAACGCGACGAGCACGAAGAACGTGCCCGCGGTGACGCCGGGCACGATGAGCTGCCACCAGTGCTCCGCTTCTTGAATGACGGTGATGCAGCCCTTGCCGACGATGGCTTCTTGGATCAAGACCCAAAAGAACGCTAACATAGCAATTCTTCCGTTCCACACCTCGGCGTTCAGCGAGAAGCCCCACGGTTCTCTTCCGACGTTCATGTTCCAGCGGAACTTGCGCATGCCCCGTTCATCGAAGTCGTTGTAGGCTTGGAGCGCCGTCGTGGGCCTCTGCGCAGTGGTCATCGCGCGTCTCGGCGCGACGGGCGCCTGCAATGCGCCGGCGCCGGCGATCAAGAGGAGCGCTGCTCGAGTGCTACGGGCCATGGTCGCGTGAAACAGCAGCCCTGGGAGTCAGAGAGCGTGTTTTTGTTGACGTGCGTGCCGCGAAAACGAATCGTTGCAGCAGCGCTCGTCGAATAGAGCAATGCGTTGATAGACAGCGGTCTAGCGACGAATAAGTTGGCTAGTCTCGCGTACACGGAGCGTCGAGGCGATGACGCCGGGCGTGGTTTTGTTGAGACTGGGGTCGGAGAGTCGGAGGCGTTGCGACCCTCCCGGGAGTTTGACGATGACTGGCGACACTCCAAAGACGAGTGGGAGCGGCGTTCGGCTCCTCGCGTTTCGTGCGGGGCACGCTGCGCTGGGGAGCACTACATCGGGGAAGCCGCACGCGCGCGGAACGGCACACCCAAAGCACTGCCCCGCGAGCATGAGTTATTCATCGGAACGAGCGCCCTAGGGCAGTCCCCCCAGCGGGCTCATCGTAGGGACCGGGGGCAGCCCCCCAGGCCCACAGGCCACAGATGGAGGGCCTCGTCAAGGCCGTCGGCAAGGCGACGGCGCCCTGGTGGTCCTCCACCTCCTACGAGGACGAGTTGGATGCCACGGACGCGGCCTGGGTGCGCAATGGTAAGTCCGATTCCCTCGACTCGAGCGAAGCGTGCTCACCTAGAAGGAGGTCCTTTGGGGACAGTCCTAGGCCGATACCACCTTTGGATGAAGATCCCCGTGGAAGAAAGCCGTCCTACGAGGAGGAGGTCAAGGACGCCTCTCCCGTTAAAAAGCCCGAGTCCTGGACGTGTCCCCAGTGCACCTTCCTGAACGTCGAGAACCACGGGAAGTGCGGCGTCTGCGGTTCGGCGCGACCGCGGCCGCCGCCACCGCCGGAGATGCCTTCTAGTTTTCGGAAAGCTAAACTAGGGCGAGGGTCTGGTATCTCGCTGTCGCCGGACGCCAAACGACTCGCCGCTCTGCTGAACGTCGACGCCGACACGGTCGTCGTCGTGAAGCCGGGCTACGAGCCGCCTCCACCAAAGGAGGGTTTGGATGATGCCGAGGACGACGCGACCACGGCAACGGCCCGTGCGGAATCAAAGTTCATGCGCCCCACGCCATCGACGCGATGGTGTCTCCATCGCGGCATCTGCTCGATGGCGTGGCGGTTCTACGCCATCGACGCGACGTTTCCCGTCACCGCATCTGCTCGATGGCGTGGAGGTCACGAGACTCACCGGTTGATGTCCACGCAGGTCACGGACCCGCGGCCCAAGTCCTCACCGAGTGTGGACGGCGCGAACGAGCAGGAGGCCTACGGCGTGGCCGTGTCGTTGTTAGTCGCTGGTCTGCGACCCGACGACTTGGAACAGCGGCTCCAATCCGAGGGCTGGTCGCCAGAGATCTCGGCGAAGGTCTCGCGGGATCTGGGCAAGTTGGGAGCCGGCCTTTCGAGGCACAACAAGCCGGAAACACCCGCGTCGAAGCCGTCGCCCGACGCGTTGAACGCCATGCTCGCCAAGCGCCAGCCGCAGCTCAAGAAGCCCGAACAACCGGATCCGCTGGCGGCCTATCTCAAGATGAAGAAGTTCGGCGTCGCCGCCGAAGGAGTGTTAGCAAGGATGCAGATGGACGGCTGCAGCGAGCAGCTGAAGGCGAGGTTCCGGAAGCTCCACAAGCTGGAGCCGACCGAGTCCGTATCCCAGGAGAGGACGGTCACGTCGCCGACGAGCCCCGCCGAGCCGCAACGCGCGACGATCGCTTTGCACTGGGAGAAGATGGACTCCCACGCCAAAAAGAGTGTGTGGAACGGCGGCGATACTTTTGCGGAATTAGATGGTGAATTAGATGCGGAGGATTTAACTGATTTGAAGGACATCTTCAGTGCGAAGGCGTCGACGGCGCCGGTGCGACGGAAAAGCCCGCAGCACCTGGCGATACGGGCGTCGCCGCTCGATGCGAAACGGGCCCAGAATGCGACCATAGCGTTAGCTATCGCTTCTCGCAAGTTCCGAGGCGATTTTGACAGGGTCTGGCGCGCCGTTGCGGAGTGCGCCGCCGCGTTGCCGATCGATGCACTTGAGAGGTTACAGGAAGTCCTCCCCACAAAAAAGGAGACGGAATCGGTCATCCAGTGGTTCCACGCGGAGCGGGCGGCGCGGCCCAATGTAGCTGCATATAACTTAGGCTCGCCGGCCGAGCGCTTCATTCTGGCGACTTCTCGCGTCCCTCGGCACCAGGAGTATCTGCAAGCGGCGAAATTAAGAGCAAGTTTCCAGGAGCGCTACGACAAGATCGACGAGGGGTCGCGCGTGGCCATCGACGCCGCGCAATCGTTAGTACAAAGTCGAGGCTTGACTTTAGTATTGCAACGCATTTTGGCCGTCGGGAACGCCATGAACGCCGGCACGTCCATCGGCGACGCGCGCGGAATTAGATTGGGCTCGCTGCTCGCGATCGTGAAGACCAAAGGACGAGATAGACAAACCTCGGTGCTGGACTACGTCGTCCAGGGCCTGCTGAAGCGGGGCCACGCCCGCGTGTTGACGGAAGTCGTCGTGTCCCTGAAGACGAAGGTCGCCAACGCGTCACGAGTGCCCATCGAGGACTTCCGCAATGAAGCTAGAAGACTCAAGGCCGGTCTGGCCACGGTCCAGAAGCTGAGAGCTGAAGCGGACTCGGACCTCAGGAAGGAGGAGAACGATTCGTTATCGAGGGAACGGTCGCTCATGGGCGCGCGCGACCCTTGTAGGCGTAGAAGGAAGTGGGCCTCCTCCGGGAGTCAGATGTCAATAGCACGAGCCTCGGCGCACGCGTCGGCCGGGCGGCGAGTGGCACGATTAGGCTCCTTCTGTGATCAATCAAGGCGGTCCTTGGATGCGCTGGATCGACGACGCTTGGCACCCATGGCGCTGAAACTGCGCGCCGTCTGCGAGTACTTTGGCGAGCCGGTAGCTGATGATGCGGCCGCGCCCGCGAAGGCGTCCTACGTGTTTACGACGGTGGGTGCGTTCTTGCGGGCCCTCGATGGGGCCGTGGCCCAGGCTTCTAGGGTTGCGCGGCGGGAGGCGTCCTTGCAGAAATCTTTAGCGGTCACGCGGCGCGCGTCGTCGGGGGATGTGGAGGTTGAACGAGGAGAGAGGGACAATCGTCCGAGAAGACGGGCACATAGCGCTGTTCTTACTTAATATTGGTTATGGTCTTTTCTTGTCCGGCGTCGGGGCGCGCGCGGCCGGCGTTTCGTCAGAGAGAGCGTCCCGCATCGTGCGATCGTGTCCGATTACGTCCTGGCCTACTCGGGGCCGAGGAATTGGGCCTCGTATAGTCGGCGAAAACCCGTCTCAAAAAGACGAGCTTTTGGCCCAGCCTCAATAAACCCACAGCAAACGCACGTCGCGCGTCAATCGAGACGTCAAAACATCGCTGATTAATCATGAGAACGCATGCTGTCGCCGGGCGAGCGGACACGACTCGTATAACGCAAACCCACGGCGAGAGACTGCACTCAGAGATCATTTTCACCGCGCTCTGATCCCTCTGCTGCACCCACACCAATGATGAAACCAGCGTTCAAAGTTCTGCTCCCGGTCCTGGCCCTTGGCGCGCTCGGTTTCGCGGCTCCGGCCGGCGCGACGGAGAAAAAGCCGCTGCAGGTTTTCATCCTCGCCGGGCAGTCGAACATGGAGGGACACGGCTTCGTCGCCGCGGAACCACAGCGCAACGGTGGTCGCGGCTCGCTCGAGTTTCTCCTGCGGGATCCCGCGACCGCGCCCCGCTTCGCGAAGTACGCCACGGCCGCCGGCCAGTGGCGCAAGCGCGACGACGTGTGGATTAGATATCTTCACCGCCGCGGACCGCTCACCGTCGGCTATGGCGCGGTCGAGGGACCAACCCGCCCCGCGAAGATCGGGCCCGAGCTCGGTTTCGGCTGGGTGGTGGGGAACTGGCTCGAAGCGCCGGTGCTGCTCATCAAATGCGCCTGGGGCGGGAAGAGCCTCGCGGTCGACTTCCGTCCGCCGAGCGCGGGCCGACCGCCGTACTCGCTCGGCGCGAAGTTTGACGCCGCCGTCGCCCAGCCGCGCGGGAACGGACGACGCGTTCAAGGCGCGCGTCGAATTCGAAGCCATTGGAGACCTCGACGCCGTCGCCGCGTTCGTCCGCGACTGGCAGGCCGCCGAATTTCCTCACGCGGACGTCTTGGAGTTCGAGTTCTTTACGGACGGCCGGACGGTGACGCTCCTCGAGTGCTACGAGTCGGAAGCCGCGCACCAGAGACACTTCGCGCGCTGGGCGGCGGCGTTCGCGGGCCGGATGTCGCAGGTACTCGTCCTCAAGGACATTCACATCTACGGCCGCGGCTTGTCGGCCGTGCCCGACGAGTGGGAGCCGCTCATGTCGACGCTGGAGAACCCGTTGGAGCGCAACCACAAGGGGCCGGTGGGTAAGATCTAGAAGTTGCATTGACACTACTGACTTAGCCGGCTTCGCGGTCGAGGAATGCGTTGGTCACCGCGACGAAGCCGGGCCACGTCTGGAATTCTCCGGGGTCCGGATACGCGCCCCAAGTTGCTCGTAGCGCGCCGTTCTCCGGCTCGTGGTACCAGGCGGCTATCCGGTTGTACATCTCCTCGGCTTTCGGCGCGGCAGGCTCAGGCTCAGGCTCGGCGCGCGAGAACCACCTTCGCGGCGGCGGCGGCGGCAGTTGCTCGGTAGATGCTTCCTCGCCTTCCGGGGCGACGGGAATGGTTGCCTCTTCTTCTTTTGGGGTCGTGGCTTCTTCCGGTGCTGACAGTTTGAGCGGCTCTGGATTGGCGCGAGTCAGCTCGTGGGCCTTATCCATCATGGAGGCCTTGCGGCGACGGTAGAACCAAAATGCGGCGACGGCTAGCAGGAGCGCGACGGCTGCGGCCGCGCCGGCGATCACCGCAACCGAACTCTCTTCCTTTTCCTTGTCCTTTTGCTGCCGGGACTTCGGCGGCTCCGATGAGAGAACATAGACCGAGCCCTTTCTCGATGGCCACCCGTCGCCGCCGTCGTGTTCGTCGGCTTTTGCCCCGACCACGACGGTCCCGTCGTCGATCGCCACGGAGGAGCCGAAGAAGCTCGCCTCGCGATCGGATGCGGTCAGCTTGTCCACCTGGGGGTACGTGTAGCCGTAATCGGTCGTGCGGAAGACGTAGGCGGCTTCGTATTCGCCGGTTCCGACCACGACGGTGTCGCCGTCAATCGCCACGCTGTTGCCGAAGAAGGCGCTCCTCCTGGCGTCGCTGGGCGTCAGCATGGCCACCTGGGAGTACGCGGGGAGGTCGTCGGTCGCGTGGAAGACGTAAGCTGCGCCTTTATAGTCGTTGGCGTCGAAGGCTCCGACCACGACGGTGCCATCGTCGATCGCCACGGAAATGCCGAAGGTGTCTTCGACTGCGGCGTCGGCGGCCGTCAGCTTGTCCACCTGGCCGTAGGAACCGCCGTCGCTCGTTTGGAAGACGTAGGCCGAGCCTTGACCAATTTGATAACCGCCATTACCACCGTCGATGTTATCATAGGGGGCCCCGACCACGATGGTGTTGCCGTACTTGCACAGCGCCGCGGCGGGACAGAGGACCGTGGTGCAAGTCGCCACGGAGTAGCCGAACTTGTCGTTCGACGCGGCGTCGGCGGCCGTCAGCTTGGCGACCTGGTCGTACGTGGCGCCGCCGTCGGTGGTGAGGAAGACGTAGACTGCACCGTGGTCGCAATCGTCGCCACTCCACTCCCAGTTGCCGCTCCAGTTGTCGTACGCATAAGTGCAATCGTCGCCGCTATCTTTCCCGGAGGCCCCGACCACGACGGTGGTCCCGTCGATCGCCACGGAAATGCCAAACTGGTCGCCCGCCGCGGCGTCGGAGGCCGTCAGCTTTATCTCTGTGTGCGTGTCCCAGCCATCGCTCGTGCGGAAGACGTAGGCCGCACCCGTGCCATCGTTCTTGGCGTGGGCTCCGACCACGATGGTGTCGCCGGAGATCGCCACGGAGGTGCCGAAGAGGTCGTTCGATGCGGCGTCGGAGGCCGTCAGCTTGGCCATCTCGACCCAAGTGGCGCCGCCGTCGCTCGTGCGGTAGACGTAGGTCGAACCTGCAATGGAACTGCAATATGACCAAATGCAACCAGACGCTCCAATTACGATGGTGTCGCCGTCGATCGCCACGGAGTAGCCGAAGCGGTCGTACGAGGCGGCGTCGCTGGCCGCGAGCCTCACGACCCATGCGTAGTCGGCTGTTGTCAGCCGCCGCTCCCGCGCGACCACCAGCGCACGCGACGTTGCCACGGGCGGCCTCCGTCGACTGCCATTGTCCAGCGCGCTGCCAGCCACGGCTTCTAATAAGCTCACAACGCACAGAAGCGCTGCGGGCCCCATCATTGTTGCGTGCTACTCGCTCTGGGCAGCGTCTCGAGGCTTTGCATTCATGCTAGTGTCTTACATGCCGCTAGCTTCTGCGCGAGGCTGAAAAACCCATCTCCTGCAACGCTACGCGGGAGGCGCACGAGTTTGAATACGTTCTGACTCATATTTCATAGTGAAGAAGTTGCGTTGCAAAACGAGCGACATGCGAGGCCTGCACACCACGCTGTTGGCTGCTGCAGCTGCAGCGGTGCGGCAAGCCGCAGCGATGCGACCCGCAGCGATGCATCCAACGGCCGCGATGCGACCGCCGGCACCAATGCAGCCGATTGCGCTGGCGACGCGCCGCTGCATCCTCGCCGCACCCTTGGTAACGCTGCCGCGGCGCGCGAACGCGCTCTACGACACCAAAACGGTGGACGCCGCCAAGGCCACCTACGACGTCGCCGACGCCACGAAGTGCAAAGCATACCTGCCGCTCCTCGACGCGAGCGGGAAGACGCTTGACGAGCTTGCGGCGAACTGGGACCGCATCGCGACCGATGGCGACAGCGTGCGCCGATACCTCGGGACCGTGGGCGTGACCTCGCCGCTCTTCAAAATTCGAGGAGGCCTCAGGGGCGTCCTCAAGGCGAATGATTTACCAGACGCCTTCGACGCCGTCGCCTTCGCGGAGGCGTCGGAGCAGTTCCTCGCCGAGCTACAGGATGCGGAAGGGGACGCGTATGGTTTGCCGCGGCGTCGAACGTGCCTGCTATACGCCATCGCCGCGATGTCCCTCGCCTTACCGGTCATATGCCACGCAGGGGCCCAGTTCGCCGACTACAGTACATCTGTGGGTTCTGGTGGCCAGTCGCCCTCGGCAACCATGCTCGGCAAGGCCCGGAAGGACGTCGAGCGAGCGCAGAGGTCCTACGCCGAGCTCCTGAAATTGCTAGCACCACTAAGGTAGCACATCTATTTAGGCCCTATGACCGGCACGACCTTCCGGCCGTCGTCATCCACTTCATAACGCCCGAGCCCGATCGTCACCACTTGCCCGATGTCGGCTCGACAAAAAGGACACATGCCCGACGTCACACAAATATCGATCGAACAGTTGTAGCAGAGGCCGCCGTGGCCGCACCCAATAATCACCGCATTTTTTGCTTTTTCAAAACAAATAGTACAAGCCTCGGTGGGATCCAGCAGGTTGTCGCAGTCCGAGTCGTCGGTGACGACCTCCTTCACCGTAATTCCCTTCTCGACGTCGTCGTCTTTGTCCGCGTCGTCGCGCGGACACAGGATGGAGTTGATCGTCCGCGTCACCAACCCGGGCTCGAAGCGCGGCACGCCCTCCGTCTCGAACTGGTTGTCGTTCCGGAAGACCAGTGTGGCCGGCTTCGTCATCGCGCGCATCCGATTGTGACAATCGACGCGTTTTCTCCCCACATCTAACGGTTCGTCCTCGTCGAAGTTGTCCCTTAATTCCAATGCCAGCATTGTGAGTCGCGTGAAGCCGATGCCTACTAACACTACGACGACGAGGGAGACGATCATGGTGCTTGGTGTGTGGGGCTGCCTTCAGGAGCTTGTGCGCGGCGGTGGCGTATTGGGGCTGCCTTCGCGGGCTGGGGTAGCAGCGTTTGGGGCCAAAGTTGCGTCTGGGGTGCCGCTTGTGTGGCGATCCGGAGCTCTGCGGGCGCATGAAGTAATGAATTCTTTCTAGTGTGTTACATGCCGCTAGCTGGCGCACAAAATCGTCTAGGGCATAGCTTAATCAGGCGCACTATCGCACACCAGCGCCTTAGGAGTGCATTTCTACCGCACTCCTACTGCAAACGAGCTCCAGCACCAATGGCACCGCTCGACGCTCTCCCAGCCGACGTGCTGACCAAGTGCTTGGACTTTGTGCCTTTTGACGAGGTACACACCACCGCAAAACAAGCCTCGCGCGGTCTGCGGTCGGCGGCGCGGCGCGCGCTGACCAAGGGCCGATGGCGGCCGCTCAAGTTATTTTGCGCGCGCGGGCGGGACGAGCTCTTCGCGGCTTTTGAGCTAACCGGGGATAACACTTTGAACAATGAAAAACGGTGGGCGAAACCTGTCATTTCTGACGCGACGCGAGCCCTACTTCGCGAGGCGTGGGCGTTAGCACCCGGCGAGTGCCTCATCGAAGTAGCCAGCTGGTGGCCTCCAGAGACATTCGGCCCGCACATCAACTCACTAGAGGGCGCTATACGGTTCCTGGACGTCGTCGTGCCGTCTATTGATGGGCTCGGGCAAATCATGAAAGCACTGGCATGCGATAGGGTACGCCGGCTACAACCGAGCTATACGACGGCCGACCTGGGAATGGGACCTGAAGGATGGACGGGTGGTCTCATCAACATGTGGTTGTCAAAAATTCATATTCTCAACCATGACACTGACACACCTAGATTAACGCTGCTCCAAGAATCCCAGGCCGATCTGGGGCTTTTTACATGGGATGATCCGAGAGCCGCTGCTAGGTTCCTCCTCGACAGATCCCATTGTTTTGTTTACGATGAATATATGCGCCGCACGTTCCAAGAGTGGCGAAACCGCCGCGAGGGCGAGCTCCTCGCGGAGGTCGCAGATGCAATATTCCCGGCGAACGCTTGGAACGCGAACCCTGACAGAGAAGATGAGTAAGAAAATGTACAAAAGCTACCGCGTTCGTCGACGCTGAAAAACCCGCTCGTTAGGCAAAAACTCGACGCGCGTCGTGTGGCCGCGCATCGCTACCGTGTGCACCCGCAGCTTGCGTGAGCGACACTACGGATCGGAACGCCAGCGCTGCGAGACCGGCATTGATCAATAACACGCCTGGCACTCCCATTTTTGAAACTCACAATGAACTGCCTCCTCCTTGTCTCAGCCGCAGTAGCCTTCGCACCGACGCGCCACCTGCAGCGGTTGCCCTCCGCAGCACCCATCACGCAGCCGCGCGTCGCGCTAGCGCCCACAGCGCTGCGGTACGCGGACGCGGGCAGCGAGCCGCAGGAGGCGCCGCGCACCGCGCCGCTCCAACAGCTCCGCCAAAAGCTCCAGACCTACATCAACAAAGCAAGGATATTCATCAAATCAGAGGACGGGCGGAAAATCACCGGTGTTGCCGCCTTCATCTTCATAGCCTTGCTCCTACGGGCCCTCGGCGGCATGGTCGCCGCGCCGCCGGCGCCAAAACGAGCCATGCCCGCCCTCAACTTCGTCTGGAACCACGGTGAGGGCGCGACGCTCGCCTGGCGCCAGGGCGAGCCCTTGAAATTCATCTGGCGCCACGGCGAGTACGTCTGGCACGTGATCCGGCCGGCGGGGCGGCGGCCCTACCTGTACCTCGCCGGCGCGCCGTGAGGAATCCCCCTGTATGTATATCCCGACTAAATAGAAGCTCGTTACGAGGGGGAGAGGGATAGACGAGCACTAGTCCTCGAGGAACGCCGCCGCGTTCTCGAAGAGCTTCCGCCACGGCGATCTCTGAGCAAACTTCGGTTGGTCCGGCGGCAGGTAGGGCCACTGCCAGGGCAGCACGCATCTTTCTGGATGAGGCATCATGGCGAGGTGGCGGCCGCACGGCGAGCATAAAGCGGCCGCGCCTAACGCCGCGCCGTTCGGGCAAAACGGGTATGCGTCCGTGGCCTTGCCGCTATCGTCGGCGTAGCGGATCGGCGCCAGATTCTTCGACTCAACTAGTTGCCGATGAGAATCGTCGGGAAAGTAGGCGCGGCCCTCGCCGTGCGCGATCCACACTCCTAAGGAAGAACCGGCCATGCCCTTCAACAATACGGAAGGACTGTCGAGAATAGTGACCGAGGACCACCGGCTCTCGAACTTCCGCGACGCATTGTGCACGAAGCGAGGCAGGTGTTCCGGCACATCCGCTTTCACGCCAGGGACCCACCCGAGCAGAGCGAGTAACTGGCAGCCGTTGCACACGCCCAGCGAAAACGTATCACTGCGAGCCTTGAAGCGCTCGAACAACGGTCGCAAGGTCGCATGGTACTTGATCGACCCGGCCCATCCTTTTGCTGAATCGAGCGTATCCGCGAAGGAGAACCCACCGACGAAGGCCACGCCCCGGAACCGGTCGAGATCCAACGACCCACTAGCTAAGTCAGCAACCGCAACATCCCAGGGCTCGCAGCCCGCGAGATGAAACGCCGAGCACATCTCGCGGTCGCCGTTGCTCCCCTCGCACCGGATGACCGCGACGCGCTTCCTACTGGACAAAGGTCGTTCCACCCACGCATCGAAGGCGAATCGGTAGACCGGTGGCTTGCGTACTGATAATGAAGCCTCTTCCGCGGCTACACACTTTGCATCTCTCCCTTGGAGTCGTTCCATGGCAAAACTAGTGCTCTCCCACTCTTTCCACAGCTCGCGCAGCGGGGCTTTTAGTACCTCAGATCCATTTACGGCAATGGAGCAGTCCTCTCCGATGGAACCGCACTGGACCGCTTTTAATCCAGAAAACGCTTGTAACACGGCATTCTCTTTACCCTTTGCACACTGCACGACTAGACCAGGCGCCTCATTGAATAAAACGGAGGCCCAATCGCTACCAGTGAAACTGCATGAGATGCCACACCCACCAGCAAAAGCCATTTCCAGTAATGTAGTGACTAGACCACCGTCCGAGCGGTCGTGGCCCGCGACAATCAATTCATCTCTGATTAATGTTTGTACAATATCAAAAGCTTTTGTAGTACTCTCAACATCAGAATCAGGCGCTTCGCTGCCTAGCTGACCCAGCGCTTGGGCCAAAGCCGAGCCGCCCAAGGCACTACTTCCAAGATCGACGAAGACCAGACCGCCGCCACCTCGCTTCAAATCCGGCGTGATCGTGGCCGTAATATCCGTACAGGTCGCGTACGCCGTTAGTGTTAATGCTCCCGGTGATCGACACACACCACCTTTCCCATCAGCGGCGGCCATGCTCAGCGAGTCCTTGCCGCCGTCGACCGCCGTGCCCGTGATTATCAGAGCGTCACACAACGCTTCGCAGGCCTCGTACATGCGCGCACCTTCCCCGTCCAGCTTCGCGGCCCACATCCAGTTCGCCGACAACCGGACGTCGTTCCGATGCTGTACGGACGCCCAACACAAGTTAGTCAGCATCTCGCAGACGCAGCGCTTGGCCATCCTTGACGGTGACAAGGCAGATAACTGCGGCGCCTCCCCAACAGCAATGGCGACGCCTTCCGTCGATAAATGTGATCTAGCCAACACGGCGCAGTTCGACAGCGGTAGTTGATACGGACCGACGCACTGCTGTTGGGCCACCAATCCAGTCACTGACCGATCGACCTTGTGCACCAAGAACCGCTTGGAGCACACGGAGGGCAATCCTAACACCTTACGAGTAGCCTCCCGACACGTCAACGACGCAGGTATTTTGAGGGGAGTAAACGCCGGCGCAGGCGTAACAGAAGAAAAGACCTTCTTGGGCATATCAGCTAAAACGAGAGACAGAGGCAACTCACTGACGACTTGCGGATCGGCAAAGCGGTCATCTATTACTTTAACGATGCCGTCACCTGAGACCTCACCCACAAAATCCACATGACACCGCTCCCTAGAAGCCATCCTCTCCAACAGCTCCCTATCACCTTTATCCACCAAAATGGCGTTCGACTCCTGGTACTCGGCGCCCCACAGCTCCGTAGCCGTGAGCGTGGGATCCCCAAGCGTGAACTTCGAGAGGTGATACGTCGCGCCCTCGGTTTCGACCTGTGTGGACATCAAAGTTCAAGCGCCCTTCAATTCGGGATATCTCGGGGTGTGCGTGAGGTGTGGCTCGCTCCAGTCGGTCGAGTGTATCAGAGGAACGTCGTGTCCGAGTTTGAGCCGAAAACATGGCCGCGGTGCCGAGATCGCGAGACGCGAATAATTCTCAGGATTTCCACACAGGTCTCGACGATCTCCTTCAAAACGTTGCCGTTGCCGCCGCAGCCCTGGTCGTGGATGCTGATGATGGGGTTCGCGTTACCTCTCTCGACGCAAGCCCGCACGACGCGATTCATCCTGTTCAACATCTGCGCGTCGCCGCGCTGCACCGCATCAAAGTCCAACGCCGAGTTGCCGTCGGACGCAACTCTGGAGGAGGCGGCGCCGCCGCCCATGCCGATGCGGTAGGCCGGACCGCCGACCTTGGCCACGAGCATGCCTTTCTCGGCCTTGTTCTTGAGGCAGTGTCTGGAATCTAACCATCCAGCTCCAGCCGAGAACATGACGGGCTTGAGCCACTCCACTCGCTTACCCGTGCCGTCATCTGGTAATCCTAGGGACCGACAGTAGCCCAACACTAAAGGCTCGCCGAACTTGTTGCCGTAGTCGGAGGCGCCGTCGGACGCGTCTTTCAGAATTGTACTAGGTGTCGCGAGGTGGCCCGGATACGGTAGGGAAGCGGTGCATTCTTCTCCCGCTATGGCATGGTCGGGCAAGTGTAAATTGCCGACGCAGTAACCGGCGACCCCAGCACACGCGTGCGCGCCGCGACCGGTGGCCTGGACGTCCCGTAACCGCCCGCCGGCTCCCGTTTCGGCCCCAGGGAACGGCGCGACAGCACACGGGAAGTTGTGCGTCTCTGCGGTCAGCAAAGCGTGTAAGGTCCTAGTTCGCTCGACGAGCGGAGCCGCACCATAGCCCACATGCGTCGCATCGTCGTCCGCCTTCGCCGCGTCCTCGGGCACGAGCACACGGCAAGTCCCACCTTTGATGACCGAGGAATTGTCCGAGAACGCGACCACCGACGAGTCCTCCCTTCCTAGTGACTGAGCCTTCTCGCGAGCTTTCGACAACGTAGCCTTCACCAGCCGGAACAAGGACTGGTCCTTCTCGACGCCGTCGACGACCTGCCGCCCCGAGAAGAACCAGTGCCTACTGTGTTCAGAATTCGACTGACTCATGTCGTAGAGCTCGACGTCCGTCGGATCTCGGCCTAATTTTTCTGAGAACAATTGGGCGTAGTAGGCCACGTCGAAGGCGTCGAAGCCCAAACCTCGTTCACTATTAACCTTCTTCAGCGCCTCGACGCCGCCTGCAATTAACGAGACTGTGCCAATCTTCGAAGGCGGTTCCGTCTTCAGGTCGAAGAACGGCGCCGTGCCGTCGTAGACGCACTCCGTCATGCGGTCATGTAACGCTTCGGAGGCTTTCTTGGCGTCGACGGCAGGAGTAATGAAGTACCTTCTAGATCTCTCGACGCGCTGCAGACCCTTCGCGCCGCAGGCTTCCGCTACAAGTACAGCAGTAGAAGACCAGGCCGACGCAAAGGCCGGCCGCGGGCCCACCTCCACGGTACACGAAGGAGAGGAGGCCCTTAAGTCCTCTGGGGCGAACGTCTCGGCCAAGAGCCATCGTAATGCTGAAGCGGCTTCATTAGCATCGTCGCCCAGCGCCGTGGACGTAATATTGAAGCAGTGCTCGATCTCCACGGAACAGGGCGTGCCCGTCGCCCGCTCCACAGCCTTCGCCGCGGCTTCGCACGCGGCGGCGGACGCGACGCCGCGCCGAAACACGCGCGCGGGCGTGCCTGTTGCCAGCGCTTTGGTGAGCGCTGCGTGCACGTCGTCGGCCATGTCGGGATCGCTGGCGACCGTGCGCGGGCTCTGGCGCATATGTGCTGCGCGCTCTTTGCTGGCTGGCGCGCTCTTTGCTTTATAGCCGCTACCCAGTCGTTTCGGTTCGAACCGCTTTGTGCTGGTCGCTGCGACGGTAGTACTGAGCCTTCCGGACCGGCCTGCTACCTCCGTAGTGCACTTGTCAGCCCGCAACTTTCAAAACTCAAGCCCAACCTCGCTCTCCGGCCTAGTGTGTTGATGCACGCTAGCCCGCTTTTGCTATGCCGCCGCAGCAAGCGTAGATGTGGACGCCGAGGAGGCCCCTCGGCGCCCATAGCGTCCCTCGGACGCGCTCCCACCCGCGAAAACGAACACGCGAGCCACGCGCGGCCGCCGCGACGACCACGAGTCCTAGCACCGAACTACGACCAACTCACACAACAAACATTACTGGGCCGCCTTCTTCTTCCGCATCTCGGCCAATTGTTTTTCACGCTTCGCCCGAGCTCGTTCTTGCTCCTCCATCACCCTATATTTTTTGGGCAGAGGATACACTTCATAATATTTCGCCCGGTTCTTGGGCATCAGGTAGTACTTGATGGAACCCATATGTCTTCTGACCTGGTCCTCCCTATATTTATAAGCTTCCGCCTTTTCGCGGGCCTCCCTATTGGCCTCCCGTTTCCTCTCGTCTTCCTTCTGCATGGACAGCTCGAGCTTCTTCGACTCCCAGAACTGCTCGCCGCCCATGGCCTGCATCATCGCGTTCTGCAGCCTGTGCGTAGACTCTCGGATGATCATGACGAGGGCGTCGGTGTCGACACTGAGCCGCGGACCGGAAGGCGGGAAACAGCACCGATGGATATAAGTGGTGCATGCCCTTGAACTCCTCGAAGTCAAATTTCCCGTCCTTTCTATATTTCAAATTATCTAAGGCGAACTCAACATTGGTAGACATCTCGTTGCCGTGCATCGCGTCGACGAAGAGCCGCATCTCCTCCTGCGTAATAAAACCTTTTTTATCTCGATCAAAGACGAAAAAGCAGAACTTGAGGACCTCCGGGATCTCGAAGAAGCAGTAGGTGGTGACGGCCGCCACGAACTCCCCGAAATCTATTGATTCTGAGTCCGCGGCTTCTATCAGATCAAACAGCCCATCGCAAAAAATGGTTCTGGGTACGAATACTATTTTGTCGTAGAAGTCACTAATAGCGATGATGCTCCGGCGCTCCTTGTCGTGCTTCTTGAACATGTGCCACAGTACTCTTATATCTTTTTCCTGCGCGCGGCGTGGGATCACGACGACGGTCTCTCTGACGCGCCGCGAAACGGCTCAAACTCGAAAACGAGACCACCCCTCGCCCGCTCTCGCGGAGACGACGCGTTTCAATGAAGTGAGACCGCCTCTACACACCGGGAACGCACTTTCAGGTTAAACGTCTGCATCGCCTTGGCGATGCGGTCGTCGGCCGTCGGCGCGACGCCGTAGCCGCAGATGCACTCGAGGAGGCCCATCGCGGTTCACGTGCCCGTGGGTCGCTTGTCGACGGGAGGCGACGGGTGCGCGTCGCAAGGGCACGCCTGGGGCAGCCCCAAGGCTGGGGGCTGCCCGTGGAGGCCCAGCCGGTCGGTCTTTCGACGCGACCGCGTTGGCCACGACGCGTGCTGATACTCAGCACCTCTTCAACGATGCTACGCGACCGCTGCGGCGCGGGCGCACGAGATGGATGCCAACCGCGCTGGGGTCTGTGATATGGGAGCTCAGGCAAGAGGCCTCCTCCCAGCCGGGGCAGGGCGTCGCGGGCCGCGGGGAGGGCTCCGCGCCGCGAAACGAAGGAACAAACGAGAGAGAAAACCCGACAAGCGGTTTCGGAGGCAAACAACGCCATAGACCTCTACGCGCGCGCGACGCCCGCGCCGCCCGAGAAACGCAGCCCGGGACAGCCTCGCGGCCTCCACTACCACCACCTAGAAGCACTCAAGCGCCCGCGCCGGCGCAGCACCACCGAGCCAGGAACCGAGGGCAGCCCATCTCTAAGCCACCATGACGACCTGCGGCGCCGCCATCAAGAACTTCGAGGCCAAGACCGGCGAGGTGGCCGCGGAGGCCAAGATCGTCAAGCTCTACTGCCAGGTGCCGCCCATCGCGAAGATGGACGGGTCTCTGAACAACTTGGCGGCGTGCGAACATTTACAATTGAGCACGAACGCCATCGACAAGTTCGGCGTGGCCCTGTCGCTGCCGAACCTCAAGATTTTGAGCGTGGGCCGGAACGTGATCAAGAAATTTGATAAACTCGACGACCTGGGGGACAATTTGGAGGAGCTCTGGTGCTCGTACAACCAGATCCAGTCCTTGGACGGCCTGTCGAACTTGACGAATTTGCAAGTGCTGTACATGTCGAACAATCAGCTCAAAAATTTTGACGAGTTGAGCAAGTTATCCGCGAACCCCGGCCTGAGAGATATTTTACTGGTGGGCAACCCCATGTACGAAGGGTTGGAACCTACCGAGGCGAAGATTGAAGTGCTGCGGAGACTGCCCAATATCGCGAAGATTGATGGTGCGATGGTTTTGCAGAGCGAGAGAGATGCCGCGGCGGCGCCGCCGGAGGAGTAAGGTGCTGGATCTTAAGTAGGTCGTGGGGGCGCGGCGACGCGTCGGTCGTACCCCGTCGGCGGGTCGCGGCGATGGCGTGGGGGCGGGGGGAGGCGTACGGAAGGGCAGTCGCGGCGCGGACGCAGCCGCCTCGTCGAGGTTCCCCGGAGCGAGGCCGCCCGGGCACGCCGCCGCCGCGAGGCGAGCTCTCATGTACCAGTTCTGTGGTAAGGCCTCGTCGCTTACCAGCTCGTAAACCCACTAGGCCTCCCGGGAGCGCCTGCGCTGTGCGTTTTGGGGACGGCCGCCGACCGCCGCGCGCGCACCGACGAGCCAAAGGGCAGCATCATGGGGGCAGGCGCCTCGGCCATCCCCGTCGACGAGCTCACAAACCCCGCTGAAAGAGCTCTGTACGCGAAGCTCAAGGCCCAGTACGACGCCGAGGTTGAGTCATGCGACACCGATACAGAGAAAGCCATGTTAATGAAAAAACTAAGACAGCAGTACGATCAAGAAGTCTTGAGTACGACCATGGAGGACCACGCCGCTATACAATGCGGCGACGTCGTGCAGGCGCCCGTCGAGGGGATGTTTTACGAGGGCGTGGTCATTGCGATCAACGGCATGATGTGCACGGTCGACTTTGGCGAGGATGACGTCCAATCTGTACTCTTGGATGTGTGTCGGCGAGTTCTAGCGTGGCACACGATCGAGGTCGGCGATGAGGTCAAAGTGAGGGATGTCGACAGCGCGTTGGAGTTCGTGGGCCACGTCACGCAAGTGACGACGGGTCCCGTGGGTCCCGTCTACGAAGTCAAGTACGATGAGACTGATGAGGTCGAAAAACACATCGCGCCGGACCGACTAAGGAAGGTCAAATCCGCTCGTTCTTCGGCCATCAAGCGGTGGCACAAGGCCTACACGGTCATCGTGGCCGCCCACGCCTTCGAACAGGCGGGCAAGGGCGAATTGGATCTGTCGAGTGAGAGTAAAGAGGAGAGCAAGATCGACCGCACGGTGTCGGGTCGAAATGTTGGAGATGGTGCGGTCGGCGTCCTGCCGAACGCGGACGGTCTCGATCCGGACTATGAAGGGGCCAAATATGCGAGAGGGGCTCAGGCAGCGAGAGAGCACCACGAGTCCAAGGACGGCCACGTCGAGTTGCTGGCGATGGACGACGTGGTGTACGCGGACGAGGGCTCGGCGCTGGACCCCGACTACGAAGGGGCGAAGTATGCGCGCGGGGCGGCCGCGGCGGGTGCCATGCCCGAGGAGTAAGTGGGCACGTGTAGTTTTTCGCTGGGGCGCGTCGACCTCCGGCGCCGCCGCCACGGCGTCGGGGCTCGAGCGCTGCTCCCCAGGAGGTCCATGTCGGCGGCAAAAGCCGTGACATAGCTCAGAGTCGAGCGGCTTCCAGGGCTCCCGCGTTTACGCGCTAGCGGCCAGTAAGACACTAGCCAAAAAAAGCAGAGCAAATTGCATGCGTTTAGGCTGCCCGCGCGGTGAGATTGAGGCGCGCGGAGGTACGAGCGAGCTAACCCGCAACCGAGGCGCACTTCTGCGACCGTACCGCATGGCAGCACGGCACATGGGCAGCGTTCGGCCGAGGTAGTATGAACAGTCTCCTGCGGCTCGCCGCTCTCGTCTAAGACGTAGGCCACGGAAGCCAGGCAAGCAGAGCTAGCACTGAGCGAGCTAACACACAATGCCACGACATATGAACAGGCGCAAGCGCCGCGGCGTGAGCACGCGCTGCGTGTCGGCGCTCGCGCTGGCCCTCGTGCTGGCCTGGGTTTTTATGATCACCCACTTGCTCAGCCAGGAGCCGACGCCGGCGCCGACGCCGGAGAAGCCGCACACGCACACGGGCAGGAAGAACCACACCAAGAAACATCATAGAAGACACAAGAAGAAGAAGCGGACGCCCGCGCCCACCGCCTCACCAACAAATGAACTCAAGGCCGCACATTGCTGGCCCTTCAATCGCCAGGGACGATACGTCAAAAATACAATACAAAAACCTGTCAACAAGTGGCGGAGATTCAGAGTAGGACCGCGCAAGGACCTGGAGAACTTTGTGGCTCCAATGCTAAAAAAGTTGGGACTGCTCCAGACGAAGTACATGGACTGGAACGTCTATGTGGGCCTGCAGTTCAAGCCCGACTACGAAAAGAACTATTTAGTGGCTCCCGAAGGTGCCTTGATAACATCAATACCGGGCCTCAAAGAAGTTTTTGGGGATAAGGAGGCCTTCGCGAGATTATGGTCCAACTGTGCTCAACAGGTAGCTTCCCTACCTATAACTGATGGCGAGAAACAAAAAATTTGCAGTTTCACGAGGCCCGCTATCAATGCGGTGCACAAGATGACCGATGTAGGACCGCAACTAGCGGTGGAAGGCGGCGCCCAGGCGTTTTTTGATATCGTGGACACGCCGTCGGCGTGGATCGTGAAACCTCAGAGAAGGTATTTATCTCTAGGCATGCACCTCGCTGTCCTACGGGAGAGTGATGCTGCATCACTAGATACCCTAGCTTCGTGGCTGTCCAAGGAGGTGCCCGTCGAAGAAAAGCTACCACATTACCGCACGAAGCAACCGGGCGAGTTCACGCTCCAGCAATACGTAGCAAGGCCCGCTCGCTTGGATAAGCGGAAGTTCGATTTGCGAGTTTGGGTCCTCATCACGTCGCTGGAACCTTTAACAGTCTTCATGCTCGACGTGGCCTTCCCCAAAATAAGCGTAGTGGACTATACGGCGTGGGACTTTCCCGCCAATGCCTCAACAGTAAACGAGAAGTGCATGCACGTCCAATTAATGGCGGCAGAAGTTTGTGTGAAGAAGATCAACGCTCGACATATGTACCCCTACCAGTACCCGGGCGTGACGCGGCCCGACGTCCACGGCAAGGTTGGGGGCAGGAGCTTCTTCGAGAATTTGAGGCTTGACGACAATGATCTGTTAGGAGGCGAGGAAGCTTGGCGCGAGTGGCAGGAACGCTTGTGGCCTGAGTTAGAAGCGTTGATCATGCGGCCTCTACTACTCGCAAAGCCCGCTCTACATAAGCACGAAGCTCGTATTTATGGCGAGTTCGACGGGGACCTCTCGAGGAAGTACCACCGGGTGGCTCTCGTCTCGCCGGACGTCATCTACGACGCCGACGCAAAAACGTGGACGCTCGAGGAGATCAACACGAATGGGCTGTTCCAATTGGGTGTCGACGACGGCGGTTCCTCGTTTCACGTCGACGAGGGCTACACGGAGGCCTGGCTCCAGATGAGTGGGGTGGACGAGTTTCCCAACTCTCACAAGTACCAAAAGATCCTGGAGGAGCGGTTAAATGACTTCTGTGAGAGCGAAGGATGTACTGAGTGGGAGAAATCCGTGTTAATGCGATCGGCGCATGCGACCGCTCATGTGAATAGCGGATGGTACCGGGTCTGGCCGCCCTACGATTGTGGTCAGGAGTGCGGGCCTAGATCAACCTTAGAGAAGGACGCGGGGCTGCGGGCGTTACACGAGAGGACCGCGTCGCCACTCGCAAAGAAGCACTGGACGTTCCTGCGGAAACTAGATAGGACGGCCGGGCTGCTGGGGGGCGACGGGGAGTACCCTAACTATGTTGTTTAAACTACGTCTGAACCGTCCCCAGCGTCGATGTCTAAAACGCGCAGCAGCGTCACGTGTCTCCTATGCCCGTTGCGCCGCCGCGAATTCTGGCGCCGTCGCTTCTTAAAGACGACGACCTTGGCGTCGCGCGTCTGCTCCTCGACGGCGCAGGTCACCGTCGCGCGCGGCACCGTCGGCCGCCCGACGACCGTCGCCGCCTCGCTGCCGACGAGCAGGACCTCGTCTATGACCAAGTCCGCGCCGACCTGGACGTCGAGCTTCTCCGCGACGATAACGTCGTCTTTCGTAATTTTGTACTGCGTGCCGCCCAGGCGGACAATTGCGAAGCGGTCGCCGCCCGACGCGGGCGCGGGCGTTTCGGGGTCGCGGTGCAGGACCTTTGTCGCAGCCGTGGAGGAGGCGCGCCATGCGGTAATGTGTGCGGCGGCGCAGCGCGGCGCTGTTGCGCGTGCGGCCGTGCGACTCAGGGCTGCAATCATGCTGATTCGCGGCTCTCGGGCGAAATTGTCCAGCGAGAGTTGTGCAGCCCAAGCGGTTGGCCGACTTTTGACGAATGATGTCGCAGCGGTGGCGCGAGTGAGCTGTTTGAGAGCTTACGCCGCAAGCAGCCCAGCCGAGCTAGCGTTCAGTAAGACACTAGCACGCCCCTACTGTGCCGATCGGGCTCACGGCTTGTATGGCCTGATGCCCGCATGAATGGCGCTGTGCGCTCAGCATAGGCTATCTAAGTCTCTGACAAACGACTGCCTTGAGCTCTGAAGGCTCTCGTCGGGTGAATGAGAAAATGTGGTGCCTGCTCTTGGCAGCCTTCACCAGCAGTGCGAGCGCGTTGAGCGCGTTGAAGGGAAGGCCAGCGGTCGTCCAGTTTCACGACGCTCTTCTGAACGGCTTAGACGCGACAGATGCGCTGGCCCGACTTGAATCGATGGAAACCGGCGCCGGCGCGACTCCCGACGTCGTGACCTACTCGCTCGTCGCCGCGACTCTCTTGGACGCGGGCCTCGGCGAGGACGCGGACGGCGTGCTCGAGCGAGGGGCCACGTTCTCCAAGAAACGCGCAGCCTACCGCAAGCCGACGAAGCGGGCCGTGGTTTCGAAGGCCGCAGCCGGTCTCACGCGTCTCCACGAGGACGACCATTTGGTCGCCGTCTCCAAGCCGAATGGAGTTTTATCGATGACCGAAGGCACGACCAAGGGCGTCGCGACGCTGCCAGACGCCGTCGAGCACGCCTACGGCGTCGAGCTGTCCGACCTGGGCGGTCCGCTTGCGCGGGGCGTGGTGCATCGGTTGGACCGGGACGTGTCCGGATGCATGGTTCTCGCGAAGACGCGCCGCGCGCACGCTTTACTGGTGAGGGCGTTCGCCGCGCGACGCGTAGAAAAGACCTACCTGGCCGTGGGCGTCGTACAGGACGGCGCGAGCCTGACCGGCCCGACTATTATTGACGAGCCGATCCAGGCCAAGCCCGCCGAGACCGAGGTCGAGCCCCTCGCGCAAACGGCGGACTTCGCCCTGCTCCGCTGCAAGGCCAGGACGGGCCGGAAGCACCAGGTGCGCAAGCACTGCGCCGCGCTCGGCTTTCCGTTGGTGGGAGAGGTATCCCCACCAAAGAAGCGGGTCATCGAGAGCCCCTCGCACAAGGGCATAATGCTCCACGCTCAGACCCTACGCGTCCCGGGCGTGGTGGACGTCTCCTGCCCGCCGCCGGACTGGTGGGGCGCGGTGCCCCTGGGCCTAGTGCTGGACGATGTGCTGTAAGTTTGTTAAACACAGTTACTACACTAGAACCGGTCCCCCGGCAGGACCTGGGCGACCTCCTTGCCCTTCGGCACCCGCGCGACGCATAGGCGCGTATACCGAATATCGTCGCCCGGCGTTCTCAACCTGTGCTCGCAGGTTCCGCACGACCCGGACGTACAGGCGTACTTTACCGGGTACCTTGCTTTCAGGGCGAGCTCCTGGAGCGGCTCGCCCGGTAACGCGCCTGATTGCGCCCCATTGGGCCAAATGATGCGCACAGTGCCGATCCTCCGACCCAGCGTCAATTCGACGCGGTCCCCCGCCGAAGCGCCGATCCGGCCCGCGACGGCGTCGAAGCCCTCATCGCCGCATTGCTGGGCGTCGATCATGAGCACGCGGTCGCCGACCAAGACATCCTCGCCGGCGGCGTTTCCGCGCGGGTCAATGTCCAGCACCTCGACGCCGCTGCCGCCCTCGCGCTCCTCGAGAATCACTCCGAGCGGCCGCCGCACCTTCGCGATCGTCACCATGAGACCCTCTTCGTCTTCGCTGGGCGCCGAGGCCGACGCGGCCGACGCGGACCGACCGCGCCCGCCCCTTGTCGAGGCATGCGGCCAAACGAACGCCCGCGCGCCAGTAGAAAGCAAGCAGAGTGCCAGCAGCCGGAGGAGAGCTCTCATTTGTGCGCAGGCGTCGCGAGCGCACCTCTGCGCCCGCGCTCTGGTGGCAGTGATCTATATCAACGCGTCGGCGAGCGTTGCGCGTGTATGCTCGCACGCTCAGCAGCACCGTGAAACAAGATGGCGCTCTCCGGCAGCACCAGCTGCCAAACGCGCACCGAGGCACTTCCTAGCGCATCCAATTCGTGCAAGGGCAGCATAGCTCGAAATAAAGACAACAGCAGAGCTCGAAAAGACGCGTGACGCCGTCGCCGCGCCTCAAAGCTCCTGCACATCAGCACCATGAGCCTGCGCGGCACATGTGCTGTGGCGGCCTACTCGCTCGCCGGCGGCGCGTTCCGCTACACGGCCGAAGAGCCTTTGTCGCAGTTCTGGTGGTCGCTCACGTGTATGAGGATAGGATGTTGCCTCGCGCTCGAGCGCGTCCTCGCGGCGTTCCCTCTGACACGTTTGGTGATAACCGCTTTTGGATTACTCGAGGCCTACACGCATAATGTCAGAGGAAGGATACCGACGGACCGAATCTCAAGTGGTGTGGCTCTCGTCACGGGCAGCACCGCGGGAATTGGGTTCCAGACGTGCGTGCTACTCTGCGAGCGGGGCGTCGACGTTTTGGTGCCCGCGCGTAGTGTGGAGCAGGCTCTGAAGACGGCGCAGCTCATAAATGAGGCCAGCAAGGGGCCTGGTATAGCAAGGCCCTGTTCCGTCCCGCTCGACCTCGCGTCAAGAGAATCGGTGAAAAAGTTCGCCGAGTCCCTCACGGACATCAACTTGCTCGTGCTGAACGCGGGCGTCATGATGCCCGCCTACCACCTTACTAAAGACGGCGCGGAGCAAACGGTCGCGGCGAACCATTTAGGACATTTCCAGCTGGCTACTAGTCTGGCGCCTCGGCTGAAGGGCGACGCGAGAGTTGTGGTAGTGTCTTCTGCATTACATCGGAAGGCGGCTCGCATGCGGGACATTCCACAGAAATTGCTGGATTTTCGAGGGGCTGCACAAACACACAAGCTCTTCGACGCCTACGCCGTCTCAAAACTGCAGAACGTGTTGTTTGCTCATGCTTTTGCGTCGAGAAACCCGCAAATTGCGTGCGTGGCGTGTCACCCCGGCTTCGTGTTCACGTCCGTGACGCGGCATTTACCTTTGTATGTGCGTCTGGCGCATGTATTGGCCGTGCCGTTCTGGGTCCTCTTCCAGAAGACGCCGCGCCAGGGCGCGCACTGCTCGTTACATTGCTGCCTGTCGCCGTCGTTCTCCGCGGCTTCTTTGAGAGGCGAATCGCGCTTCGTCGCCGACTGCCGTGTGGAAAGAGAGGGCCTCCCGCCGCATCCCCGCGAAGTAGCCGAAATGTTGTGGCGGCGGTCGGAGGCGTTCGTGACTAATGTACCGCATGCGGTACATTAGTGAAACTTCAACTTGAGTTCAAGATCCCCGCTTTTGCATTTTAAGTTGAATTTTTGGATTTGAGGTGTGTTTTTTTAAACCGAGTTTAAACCCGGGGTAGGGGGTGGATTTTTGAGGGCCTTCGCGTCCCATCGCGAAGCTCGGCGCCGCGGCAGCGTCCTAGTTTGAGTTCTGGCCGAGTCTGAGTTTCTCCCAGTCTGTGTTCTCCCCGGGTCAGTGAAACCTCAGACTAACGGGATCGTCCCTAAACTTACTAGCTCTAGCTTTCATATCTCTTACTTCACTTGCATACTCTCAGCGCGGTGTACATACGGTCCATCTTTTTTCTCAGTGCTGCCCGCTGTCAAGAGGTAGGCTTCACTACAAGCCACAGGCAGCGCATCCCAAAAAAGAGCCGGCGCAAAATGCTAAAACGTGCGCTGAAACTTGCGCTGGTGCTCACATCATGCGATTTGAAGCGGCTAACGTACGCCAACGAGTACTCCATCGCTATTTCACACAAGGTGGGCAGCGAGTGGGATAGTTGAAGTCCGGAGCCCAGCTTCCAGCGCCCGCCGCCCGCGCAGGTTGTGGGCGTGCCGGTTCAGCTAAAAGCGGCCGAAGTTAAGGTCAGTGACAGCGACGCCTGCTACGCGCCGCGCAGCGCGGAAAAAGCTTTCTGAAGGGGGTTTCACGTCACCCGTCGATCGTCTGAGAGAAGTGGGTCTGAAAGGGCGCATCGCGCGCCCGCGCCACGGTCCTACCTCTTCCTTATTCAGGGCGTGGACGTGGCGCGGGGTGTGGACATGCGTAGGACCGAGGACATGGGAATAAAAATGAAGGACAACAACGGGGTGTGGGTTCCCTTGGGCGGAGGTGTTGAAATATGCCTTGACAGTAATGGCAACATCGACTCCATCAAGGGCACGACAAGGTACGTGGCGGTGCGCGGCACGTAAATTTATTTTAGGCGGATCTCTGGCCCCGGGCGCCCGCAGGTTCACTGAGTGGTCAGCCACGAGCTGGAGTGCTTGGGACGACGGCTGCACCGACGTGAACTACCACATGTGGCACTGTCAAGATAACGAGGTTTGGATTGGGGTGGATTGTAGCTCCAGTTGTAACGATTGTACGGATTATAAGGCCCGCGATTTAGATTACAGCAGGCATTACATTTTGGCGAGCGATGGGGGGTACGGCTGCAGCTACGGATCTTGTTACATATGCAGTGGCAACAACCTGCAGCATGGTGTCTACGAGGATGGTGAGTGGAAGGAACGGTACGAGGCCCCGGCGCACCTTCAGTGCAGACCAAATTGCGAGGACCCTGCTGGGTACTTCCCGGCGTGGCGTCAGACGAGCCAATACATCGATGTATATGATCGCGACGACGACGCCTACGCCTGGGCCGACAAGTACCTCTTGGAGGAGAATTGGGACGACGACGAGGACGACGATGACGTGCAGTTATATGGGCACATCAAGCCAAACACTCCCAGCGCAATCGTCACATCACACACGTGGACGGTTTTCCCCTTGCATTCGGGAATTGGAAAAACCGGTATAATTCCAATGGGTGGTTTTGGTGCGAAAGCTCTCACTGGCTGCTACATATTTACTGCCACGGGAAAGAACAGTGCGAACGCGGATATTTTGTCCAAGATCGTGTGGAAAGTCGACCCCGTGTGCACAGGGCTCTCATGCCCGAAAATCACCGGCGAATTTGTCGGCCTCGACCACGAGATTTGTATTGATAAGAGCGGTCGTATCGAAAAAGTTACGGGCCCGACCTCCGCGCTGCTCAGCGACGGGGCCGCCCCCAAGGCCACCGCGGCCGCCACCCTCCTCGCTATTGCCGCCACCGCCGTCGTGTTCTAGGCTCGTGCGCCCGCGCTGGGCAGCACCGCGGCCCTCCGACGGCGCGGCGGACACGCCCGGCGCCGCCTCGCCCCTCATACCTCGCCCCCAAGTTCGCGAGCCCCTGCATGCATCCCCCCTTTACGCGCAATCTCTTAATTACATTTCCCAGATACCACTAGAAGTAAGGGTTAGGGTTAGGGTTGGGCGAGATTCGGGTTAGAGCGGGTCCGAAACGGTCCTAGTGTCGGCGGCAGTTTCGCGGCAATGCGACTATTCGTGCGTTGTGTGATATTGGACGCATCATAGTCTCCTCCGTTTTTCGCTTAGCGTATATGGACACACTAGCCAGACTTTTTGGGCTTGGAATTAGCCGAGGCCTCGCGTAAGCGGTGCGACGACTTGGCCTATAATATGTGCCTCTGCTTCTTTGACGATGGTCCCAGCCCGGCGTCGAAGGCGCCACGGCGCCGCCTGATCGTGTAGAGACAAAAATGTGAAAAACAGCTGGAGCCGCCGATCGACCGCCGCGGCGGCGGAGCCGACTCGGCGGCGCCGCCTGGCGGCGGCGACTCGGACCGCCTGGCCGGGCGCGCCGGAATTATCGACAAAACCGCCCGCGCGACGATGACGCGAGACCCGACCCGCGAGAGAACTGTGAAACCGCGCCGCGCCGCCGCCGCGCGACCATGTCCACGACGCGACGCGAGACGCGACCCCCGAGAGAAGCGTCAAACCGCCGCGCCGACGCGCGACACAAAACGCAGGCCCCGTCGAGGGCGACCGCACGGCGGGCCGCGCGAACATGTTCAAGGTCGGCATGAAGGACGCGCCCTGCAAGGACCCGCTCCACTGCCTGCTGGGGTGCCCGCTCGGCTGCATCTGCGTCGGCAACTGCTACATGCGCCACAAGGTGTTAGAAGGCAACATGGACGCGTACCTCTGCTGCCAGGGGTATTATGATAAGGCCTGCTGGAAGGCGGGCTCCGTCGGCGACCAGGGCAACCCCTGCTGCCTCGCCTGCGAGGGCTGCTGCTGCGCGTATGGGTCGCGGCGTCCCGTTCCACGAGTCGCGGCGACGGCGTGGAGGCGTCGCGGCGACGGCGTCGAGGCGCCGCGTTGATGGCGTCGAGATGTCGCGTCCATGGCGTGAAGGCGTCGCGTCGATGGCGTCGAGGCGTCGCGGCGACGGCGTCGAGGCGTCTCATCAATATCGATGAACGCAGGTCCTGCGCGCTCTCGGCGACGCGCATGTACGTCATGGACAAGTTCAACCTCGCGTCGGACCCCTGCGACCGCCGCATCATCCGCTTCAACAACTTCATGCAGCTGCTCGCGTGCGTCCGCAACTGTGCGGAAATCAAATTGGCGCGCGTTCGTCCTGAATCGCCGCGTCGATCTCCACTCCACGCCATCGACGCGACGCCTGCTCGACGGCGTGGCGGTGTCGGTTCCTCACCGCTCGACGGAACCAGCGCGGCCGCGTCATCGCCGAGAAATGGTGTACCCGACACACTGGTTGATTTCCACACAGGTCTGCAACATCCTCGCCTGCTTCATCCCGGAACTAAGAGATGCGGCCCAGTGCATCCAGTGCATCGCGGACCTGGTGTTCTACACGACGGCGGGCTGCATGTTCGCGCAGATCAACTACGAGTGGAACGAGCGCAAGAAGGAGGGCACGCTCGGAGGTGGTGGTTCGGTCACGGCCCAGCCCGTCCAGGCCACCTACGCGCCGCCGGTGGCGCAGGGCACGGTCGTCGCGTCCGGCGGCAAGAACGACCCGCCGCCGGCCTACGGCGGGCCCGTGGCCGCGGAGATGGCGCGGGCCTAGAGAGACGCCGTCGATGACTCGATGCGTACCGCGGCGGCGTCCGTACTCGGACTTCGACCGATTGGCGCAACGGTAGCGCGTCAGATTCCAGTCCTGGAGGTTACGTGTTCGAATCACGTATCGGTCATTTTCCGGTACCACGCCGTCGACGGTACACCCACACAGGTACCGGACGCTCCGCGAGTGGGGCGCGCGCCAGGACCCGGCGATATGTCCGTCCCGCCTAAGTACTAGATAAACGGGGGGGGAGTTACACACGGCGGGGGGAAATGCTCAGACGGCCTCGAACTCCTCGGGGGCCTTGCGGCAGAAGCGGCAACACACCAAGTTGATGACGAAGTCGGCCACGGACTCCTGCCAGTCGTCGCCGTCGTAGACCGCGGCGACGCCCGAGGACCAGTCCGTGTCGGCGTCTCTCGCCAATAACGGGGCGCTCCGGCGGCGGGGCTCTTCATTACTTTTGGGTGAGGCCGTGCGCAGGGGCGAGAGGGGCGCGCCCACATGCTTCTTCTTCCGCAGGTGTTTAGCTCGCGTCAGCAACTTGTCGATCGTCGACCGGCGGCGCATGGGCCGCGCCCTTGACAAATCCTCCTGGTCGATGCCGAACGCCGGATTCGCGTGCATGACCAGCAAATCCTCCTCATCGTCGTAGTAGGGGCAGCAGCAGTTCTCGAGGCAGTTCAGGATTGGTTTGAGGAACAGGTAGGCCAACAACGGCAACGCCAGCACCAACAGCGAGAACGAAATTGGCGAACCGGTGCAGATCGTCTTTTGCGTCACGGTCTCCTCCGTGATCTCCATGGGTTGGACGTGCTCCTCGGTGAGCGTGACGAGTTCTTCCGATGTTCTAGTTTCAATGGACTCGACCTCGACCTCCCTTGTAATCTCCTCCTGCGTCGTCTCGATCACAGTGGACACACTAATCTCCTGGCGCGTCTCCTGGCGGACCTCCGGCTCGACCACACTAATCGTTTCCTGCCGCGTGACGGTCTCGGTCACCTCCTCCTCATGGAGGCGCTGCCGCGGCACGACAATTGGTAAAGTCGTTTCTACGGAAATCGTCTCCTCTACAACAGAAGTGCGCAGCTCCACGTTCAAAGCGACGTCCCCGGCGATCGTCGAGGCCGCGTCTGTTAAAGAAGCGAAGTCCGCCTCCTCGACGATGTAGGGGCAGCTCGCCACCTCGTAGCCGTCGCACGACGCGAGCGCGGCCATCCGCTCGACGTATGGTTCTAAATCGTTGTTCTCGCTCACGAGGACGCTGAGGACTTTAATGCCGTTGGCCTTCAGAGTAGCGGCAATGGCGTCGACGGTGCACTCCGCTATGGAATGGCTTTGGCAGAAGGCGTAGGCCCCCGGCGCGATCCACCGCACGCTCGCGTGCCAGCCGCAGTCGTCCTTATAAATCTCGGTGCCCGCGTCGTAGTAGTCTCCAGTCATATTCGCCGTGTAGGTCATCGTCGGTTGACGTACGTCATCGACACATTGCGCGTATCTATCTTCGTCGATCTGGCCGTCCGTCACGACGACGCAGAGCCGGAAGGCGTCGTTCTGTGGTATCAGCGCGTCGTGGCACCTGAGTAAAGCTTGGGCGTAGTACGTGCCCGTGGTGAGGCCCCAGACTTGCGAGGCGTCGTGGCGCAGGTCGTAGGCGTGGTCCTCATCTTGGACGGCCGGCCTGCGTTGAACGACAAATTGACGCCATCGACGCGACCCCGGCAAGTTCAAATTCATTCCTGCTCCGAGTCGCTGACGGGTCGCCCACGCAGAAGTAGTTTGAGTAGGTCTCGGCCTGCTCCGAATAGGGCGGCGGGACGGCCGCGCAGTAGGGCAGCCGGGCGACGTCCTCCATTTCATCAATTTCCGTCGCGTTGGCAATTGATGTCAAATCCCGCCGCGACACGCCGTCGACCGCCCAGACGGCGACGCCCGCGTGCAAGTCGCCCGTCAGCGAGTCGCGGAGGCCCTTTAGTAATTCGCGGCTGGCGCGGTTCTCCGCGACAAAGTCCGCGTCCGAGACGGACCTGCGTTGAACAATGTGGTCTCATTCACATTCGAGTTGAGTTCCTGCTCCGAGTCACTGACCGCGACGCGTCGAGCGCGAGGACCACGTCGAGGGGCTGGTGCGTGCTCACGTTGTACGTCGTGGTCACGTTCACGGTCGTGTTGACGTACTCGGTCACGTTCACGGTCGTGTTGTACGTAATATTGTAGGTCTGATTGTAAACGACGTCATAGCTAACATTTCGCGACACGTCGTACGACATGTTGTACGTGGCGTTGTAGCGTACCGTGTTATTAACAAGGAAGCTAACGTTCTGCGTCGTCGTGATGTTTTCCAACTCAATGACCGTCTCGTAGACCGTAACCTGCGACGGGGCGCGTCGGGGCACGCCATCGCCGCGGCCGCCGCGCGGGTACTGTTGAGATTTCTGCGCCGGAGCCGCACGTTCTCTAAAACGGTGCGATTCGCGTAGCTCGTGACGTTGATGACGGACGACGTGTTGTGCGTGTCGTACTGCGTCTTCTTGTCGCATGGTTCCAGGTAGAGCAAAACGCTCAGCGCGGCGGAGGCCAGCGCCAGGCCCAAAAGCGACAGCAGGACCCAGTTGCGCTTCAGCCACAGCGAGCAGGTGCCCTTGCGGCGCCCGGTTGGCAGCGACATCGTGCGTTTTGGGCGATTTTGGGCTGTCTGCGGCCGGGAGTAGGCACAGCCTCTGTGTGTGTGCGCGCTTATGGACCTGCCGCGGCGCTAAAGGCTGCCTCGCCGGCGTGTACCGGTCGCTGCGGCTCCGTGCGCACCCCTCCGTTGCCCGTCGCGTCGGGCGGGCGGAACACGGGCGGCTGTCGCAGTGAAAACAAGGCACAGTGAATGAGCTCACGGAAATGCCACTAGCCCGCGCGCCGAGAGCTCTGGGCACGACTATGCCGCCGCCGCGTACGACCCCTGGGGCGCAGAGAGGCCTGCCCGCCGTACAACCCCGCACGCTCGAGTCGTCTCGAGGTGCTCTCCCATCCCAGGTCTTTTGTTCCGCGCGCAAACTGCTGACCGACGCAGCCCCGGCGCCCGTAATGGCGGCGAACGAGGAACTCACCCGCCTGCGCGCGGAAGTCGAAGAGCTGCGGGACAAGGTCGATGATCTGGAGGGCGTGATCCGTGGTCTGCAGCGCCGCCGCCGCTCGCCGTCCCCGTCGTCCTCCTCCGACGACTCGTCCTCTTCCTCCTCCGACGACGACGGCGCGTCGCGCAAGCGCCGCCGCGGCCGCGAGAAGACCAAGTCCCGTCGCAAGTCGCGCCGCCGCCGCAGCCGCAGCCGCTCCATGTCCCCGGCCTCGCTGGCCGAAGCCAGAGCCAGGGCTACCTGCAACAAAGAAGAAGACGCCTACCTCGACGACCTCCGCACCTATCACGCGAGGTACATGGCCGCTGTGGCCCAGGCGCGCCGGCGCAAGCTCGCGAGGGATTTCGACCGCGAGCAAGATCGCGCCCTCGCGCGCATTGAGTTCGGCGACTACCGCGATTACCCGTGCCGCTGCGGGCGCGGCCCGAAGCGCGCGCGTGTGGCGGAGATCGAGGACGCCGCCGCGTCGGATTGAATCGACGCCCCTCGCTCGCCCTCGCACCTGCCCGCCGCATGAAGTGTAAAGAACGAATACTGTGTTTGGGATCTCGATAGTTACACAGGGAGGGGGGCGGGGAGAGGCGTCCAACTAGAAGATGTCCTCCTTGCTCTCCTCCTCGAACGGGTTCTTTCCCTCGGCGGGCTCCGCGCTCGATCGGCAGAACCGGCAGAACACCAACCCGATGAAGAAGTCGGCCACGGACTCCTGCCAGTCGTCTCCATCATACACGGCGGCGACGCCCGACGCCCACTCCGTCTCGGCGTCGCGCGCGAGCGCGGCCACGGCGGACCGGCGGCGCGTCGGTTGCTCGGTGGTCACGGGCGCCGCCGTCCGGAGCGGCGCCGGCGCCGCCGCGGGATCGGCGTCTCCGACGTTCTTCTTCTTCCGCAGGTGGCGCGCCCGCATCAACATCTTGTCGATGGTCGACCGGCGCCGCGGCGCCCGCGCGGCCGCGCGCGCTTGCGAGGCCTCCAGATCCAGACCGAACGCGGGGTTCGCGTGCATGACCAGCGGCTCCGCGTCCTCCGAAGAGCGCGGGCAGCAGCAGTTCTCGAGGCAATTCAACAACGGCTTGAGGAAGAGGTACACCAGGAACGGCAGACACAAGACCAGCAGCGTGAAGGAGATGGGGCTTCCGGTGCAGATCGTTTTCTGGGTGACATTGGATTCCGTCACCTCGGTCGGCTCCGTGCTTTTTTCGATTTTCGTAACTAGCTCCTCGGACGTGCGCGTCTCGATGGACTCGACCTCGACCTCGCGCGTCACTTCCTCCTGCGACGTCTGGACCTCGGTCACTTCCTCGGTCACTTCGGTCGTCTCCTCCACTGTGGTCGTGACCGTCTCCACGAGCACGGCGACGTCCTCGGCGATGTTCGACGCCGCCAGCGCCAGCGACGCGAAGTCCGCCTGGGCCTGGAGGTACGGGCAATCCGGATCTAGCATCGTCGAGTCGCACGACGATAGTTCACTCATGCGCGGCTCGTACGAGGACTGGTCTTCGGTCTCGCTCACGAGAACATTCAGAACCTTGATGCCGTTCGCTTTGAGGGCTTGTGTTATCGAATCGACGGTGCACTCCGTCATCGAACGGCTCTGGCAGAATTCAAACGCCGCGGGCGAGATCCAGCGGTTGTCTGCTAACCCATCGGTACAGACCGGATCTCCGTCGACTCGGTAGAGCTCCGCACCGGCGTCGTAGAAGTCGCCGCTCATAGCTGACGTGTAGGTCATCGTGGAGCGGCGAATTCCAGCATCGCACTGCGCGTACCGATCTTCCGAGATCTGGCCGTCAGTCACGACGACACACAACTTGAACGCGTCTTCATCAGAGGTAAGCTCCTCGAAGCATTTCAGCAGCGCTTGCGCGTAGTACGTGTGCACGCCGATGAGGCCCATCGTCGAATCGTGGCGCAGGTCGTAGGCGTGGTCCGCGTCCTGGACGCCCGGCGGGTCGCCCTGGCAGAAGGCCTGCGAGTACTGCTCGGCTTTTGGGGAGTACGGTCCCGGCACGGCGCCGCAATACGGTAAGCGAGCAAAGTCGGCCATGGCGTCCACCGTGGCTTCACCTACTTCTGTAAGAGTCTGCCGCACGGCGCCGTCGTTCGCCCAGACGGCCACGCCCGCGCGTAAGTCACCCGTCAAAGAGTCGCGGAGCCCCCTCAGTAGTTCGCGACCGGCCTGGTTCTCGGCCGCCCAGCTAGTATCCGAGACACTATGAGACGCGTCCAGGGCGATGACCACGTCCACGGGCTGCTGGGTCGTAATGTTGTGCGTCGTCGTTACTTCGGTCGTAACATTATATGAAATTTCCCTTGTTACGTTTTCGCTCGTGGTGATATTTTCGAGTTGGAAGACCGTTTCCGTGACGGTGACATTCTCGAGCACGGTGCGGTTCTCGTAGGTCGTCAAGTTGACGACGGTAGTTATATTCGTCGTCTCGTAGCTGGTCTTCTCGTCGCACGGCACGATAAATAGTCTGATGCTGAGGCCGGCGGAGGCGAGGGCCAGGGCGAAGAGCGCGAGGAGGACCCAGTTGCGCTTCAGCCACAGCGAGGAGGTGCCCTTGCGCCGCGCGGCGCCTTGCGCGCTCGGAGACCGCAGTTCAGCAGGGCGCATGGTGGCGCTGTGAGCTGCCGGCTCCGGTTATCCACGAAACTCGGCGCGCAAGCAGAAGGAGGCTGTGGCGGCCGCGTGAGCTCGTTTCCTGCCGCCTCGCGTCGTCCTGGAGTGTGTGCGCGCTTTGCCTTCGCAAGGGCCTAGATCAACGGGAAGAGTTTTTTTTTAACGCCGCGCAAGGCTGGAAGCAGGCCCCTGTAGATCCGTGGACGCGTACGCTTACCCCTCGCAGACGTGGCGGTCTCGCGAGCTGCCCCCCTACTCCGAGGCTACGCCGCGGAGGAAACGCAGCTGTTCGCACGCATGCGAAGCCGCCCGGGCCGCAGCTGTTCGCACGCATGCGAAGAAGCGTGCCCCCGACGCCGCCGCCGCGACACCTAACTAACTGGAACTTACTCCTTGATCTCCCCGTCGTCGTCCTCGTCCATCGCGTCCTCCTCTTCGGCCTCGGCGACGACCTCCACCTTCGGCTCGCGCGCCTCCTCGATCTGCTTCTCGAGCTCCTCCTCCAGCTCGCTTCGTTCGAGGTCGTCCAGCAGCTGCAGGACGCCCGCGACGCGCGCCGACTTCTCGTTATACATCGCATCCAACTTGGCCTTCTTCGCTTCGAGAGCGGCACAGTCGGCCTCCAACCGATCAATCGCCGCCCTACTTTCTTTTTTGGAAGGTAGTTGATTGATCAACTTCGCGAGGGCCTCGTATTCTTCCTTCCGAGCCCGCACGGCCCGCTCCTCCTTCAGCCGCTCCCGCAGCTTCTGGATGCGCTCTTCCGCCGCGGCGATCTCCTTTGTTGTTTCTGCCTCCATGCGTTCGCAATCGGCAATTTCTCTTTCACAAGCCCGGGCCTGCAGTTTTTGCTTCTTGATCTCCACACTGAAGAGTCGTAATTCCCTGAGAGCTTTACTACGCAATCTTTCGACCTCCTGCTCATCTGGAGCATCATCGGCATTTTTATTTCGCAGACAAGCGGCATTCGCGAACTTCTGGAACTCGAGCAGAGCCTGCTTACACGATCTTCCGAGAAAGACCGTGTCCTTCGTCAGTAACCGGCTCTTCTCGACGTAAAAAGGGTCCTTCGGATCGAGGCCGGGGATCTCGCGGTCGGCCGGCGTGTCCTCCGTCGCCTGGGGGGCTTGCGGCAGGTCTATTAAAGGTTCTTCCGTTTTCGGTTCGGCTTCGGCTTTTCTTTTCTTGGGCGGCATGGTTGCTTTGGTGCCGCGTCGCGGGCTGCTGAGGCGAGGCTGGACTACAGGCCAGCGGGGCGCGGGCGTGCCAAGAAAAGCGATCCGCGGCGGCGACGCGCTGCGCTGGCAGTGATATGATGCTGTGAGACCGCTCTGCGGCTACAGCGGGCGCGTCTAAGCAACAAAAGCGCCGGCGCCGGCTAGCTAGCGGTAGTAAGACACTAGCAATTCCAGAGTGCAGTCAAAAACAGGCCCTACCACTGCTAAAACCCACAAGAGAAGGGCTACTGAGCTAGCTTTTTGCATCGCACTGCGCGCCCTGGTGCAGACCACGTACTTTGCCGCACCATAAACTGCGTAAACACTGAGGCTGCAGTCTCTGCAGCACTTGCAGGATTGCTCTGCCGCGAAGATGATGCAACGTCGCACTGCAGTACTCTGCACAGCCTGGTACGCCGTCGGCGCGTCAGCGCTCAGTAGTTCCCCGTGGTTCGACCTCGCCCCGCCGTCCGCGCCCGAGCGCGTCTCGACGCTCGCCGAAGCGCGGCCGCCGCACCGAAAAATAGCGACGATCAAACAAAAGGGAGACGACGGCTTCGCGGTGAGCGTCGACGGGAGGGCCGAGCTGCGCTTCCAGCGCGTCGAGGCGACCTGGGCGGCGTCGCTCGGCGCGGCGCTCTGGCCCTCGTCCCTGGCCCTCGCCGGCCTCGTCGATAAATTTGTAGAAGGAAGGAGCGTGCTCGAGCTCGGGTCCGGCCTGGGCCTCGGCGGCGCCGCGGCGGCGCAGGCGGGCGCCAAACGCGTCGTGTGCACGGACATGGACGACGAGCTCGTGGAGATGCTCTCGAGCACGGGTGATGCGTATCAGCTCGACTGGTGCGATGAAGACACCTTTTTGGGAGAGAAATTCGACTGCGTGATCGGCGCCGACGTGGCCTACGAGGCGTCCGTCGTGCCGGATCTGGTGAGGGCGACCCTCGCGCACGTGGCCGATGACGGCGTCGCGCTCATCGTGGGCGAGCGCAAGCGGCCGGCGATGCGGGCGCTGCTCGAGGCGTTGCCCGCGGATTTGACTCGTGCGCTGGACTACGACATGGAGCGCGTCGTACTCGCGGAGCCGCCGCCGCCGCCGGAGAATTTCGGCATCGCCGTCCTCGCGTACGCGCCGTCGCGGGCGGCGCTCGACGGGTTGCTTGGTCGGTTGGAGGCGGAGGCTTCTTCCTCGTAATGTTCCTGTTTCGTTTCTTGTTTCGCGTCGACGTCGTGCTGCCTCTATAGAAAGTACAGCGACCGCGAACGGGGAGAGTAGTAGTCAGACTTAGCATGCATATGCCCCCCTTTTCGCGATTAGCGGGTACTCTGGTTCCCAGCGGGCCGCCGCCAATCCCCCAGCCGCCAGTACTCCATAACGAGCCAGAACGCGGGGTCGGGCAGGGACGGGGCGTAGGCCGCCGGCCGGGCCCGACGGCTTCATCGCCCCCCACCATTACTTGCAAGCGGCGGAGTCGTCGGAACCGGTCGATGGCGTGAGGTACTACGACCGTGAAGTCTTCATGGCAGGAAAGTGGTGCCCGCCCCTTGCTCAGAATCAGCAGCACGCCGAGCCGCGGCCCGGCGAGCGCGTCGTCTTGTGGTGCCTCTACGACCCCAACGGTATCAAGGGCGCCGCGAAGCCCTGGCACGTGCGGTGGAAGGAGGGCGGCGAGAAGATGGAAACTCGCAAGGGCCCCGACGACGTCCGCGTCAAGGCCGGAGCTCCGTCGCGCCACGAGCTCCACGGCGTTACTCCGAAGTGATGCCCTGGGCGCGGCGCCGGCGCCTCGTAGAGCACGGGTCGCTTCGATGGCGCCGAGGGGGGGACGAGCCCGTCCCGTAGGCGAGAGTACTACTAATATTTAAAATGGCACACGAAACGCCGGCGGGCTTCATGCCGTTTTTGCTCCGGGTGTGGCACCACCCTCTCCACCACTTCACACGGGATTGGCCCTCGCGTGCGCCTCGATCGTCGCCCTAGATGACTTGCCCCACTCCACCACTTCCGCCACGAGCTCCACGAGGCGCTGCGACTTCTCGAGGGCCAGAGGTCCATCTTCAGGCTTCCTATCCACCTCGGCCGCCGTCGTGCGCGCCCAGGACTCCGTCGCCGCCGCGTGGGCCCGTAGCCGCTCCATGCCCAGGTTCCCGGCGACGCCCTTGATGGAGTGCGCGTGCGTCTTGATCGCCGTGAGCCTGTGTGGAAATCAACCAGTGAGTCTCGGCACCGCGGCCATGTTTTCAGCTCAAACTCGGACACGATCTCCGAGAGATACACGCGACCGTATCCAGAGAGCAGCACCTCACGCAAACCACGACACACCAAAAATTGAAGGCGCTCAAAGTCTGATTTCCTCACAGCTCTCAACCACGCGTCGTCCATGGACGTGGCTCTGGACACGGCCTTGGCCGCGTGGCCCGTCATCTCCTGGCCGCCCTCGCCGACCAATTCGACGGCGAAGTCGACGTCCTGGTCGCAGATCTCGAGGAGGTTGCCCACGTTACACACCGGGGCCTCGGCCTCCTTCTCTGGTGAGGGCGCCGGCGCGGGTGCGGGTGCCGCCATCTCCTTGGGTTTCTTCGCCTCCTTGTCCTCGTCGCCTTCCTCGGAGCCGCGCTTCATCTGGTTCTTGCGTACGCCGGACGGTCGCGCGCGGCGGGAACAGGAGGCTGGATCTCTGTCTGCCCAAGCTCTTGGCCCTGCCGCAGCGCTGGTGCCTGCGACAGCGGCTCGGAGAGATGCTCGGAACGCGTCGTTCCAACGCGTTACAGCGGTGCGTCCCGGCGCGCGGACGGCGTCCTCTCCTCGATATGGTCGATTTGCCCTGATGAAGGAATCGGATCTAGGAGGCGAGCGCACGCTTCGACCCGTCGCGGACGCGTCGGCGACGCCTTCGGTCGGCGGCAGACGCGTGCAAAAATTTCGCGCTAGCGTTGACATACTAGAATGAGTCAACTTGGCTGACGGTCGTGTGCAGCTCGATAAACACCCATAGAACGAGCGAATTTGTCACGTAATCGTGCAAGAGCATCCACGCATCCCTCTTCGGAACGAGCGTGGCTCCAGATCTGACCTTCGGGCCGTCGTCAGCGACAGACACAGCACCACCACACCGACGATGCGCGCTGCCGCTGTCATCGCACTCGCACTGAGCGCCAACGCGCTCGTCGCGCCGGTGAGGCACACACCACGACGACTAGCCAGCACGGCCGCCGACGCCGAGCCCGCCGCGCCCGCCGCGCCGCCCGCGCCCGCGTCGACCGCCCCCGGCAAGGCTGTAATAGACGACATCACGCTCGCCAAGCAGTCGACGGCCCTCGACAAGCTCGCGGCCAGCTGGGACCGGCGCAAGGAGTTCCGGTCCTGGGAGGCCAGTCGGATGACGGGATTCTCGGAGGAGGCGGAGATCATCAACGGGCGCACGGCCATGTTCTTCCTCGTCGTCGGGTTGTTGACGGAGTTCTGGACGGGCCAGTCCATCCCCGACCAGATCTTCACGATGCTGCGCGTCGGGTCGTTCATCGGGCCGGACGGGTTCTAGGGGCGCTGTGTAATGTTCGAGGGCGGATCCTTAGTCTCGACTTGTCGCGGCGACGGCGTGCCGGTGGGGACGCCATCGACGCGCGGGATCTCTGTAAATAAGCAGCTGCTTAAGGGGGGGAAGAAGGGGATCACGCGCCGCGGGCCGCGGCGGGCAGGCACACCTCGCGCAGGCGGCTCTGGAACGTGAAGACGACGACGCCCTCGAAGCCGTGCTGCTGGAGCATGGACTCGCACTTCTCCACGGGCATGTTGAGCACGTGGCGCGGGCAGAGCGTGTTGTCGAGCACGAACTGCTGGAACTTGGCCTTGTCCTCGGCCTTGCTTCCGGGGTAGAAGGCGGCGAAGCACGCCGCGAGGCCCTGCGGCGTGTCCGCCGGGATGACCGCCGCGACCGGCACGGAGGACGACGAGAGGGGCCGCGCCGACGACGGCTTGCGGACCGAGGGCTTCGACGACGGCTTCTTGGCCGCTTTGTCGGCCGGCGCGGCGGCCGCCGCCTTCGCGGGGCTCTTCTTCGGCGCCGCCGGGTCCTTGGGCTTGGGCTCGGCCGGGTTCGGGTCCGGCGGCGCGCTGTTCAGCAGCTCGTCCTGGCCCGGCGCGAACATGGGCCGCCGGAGCGTCTTCCGCTCGTACGCGCCGCCCTCGTCGTTCTCGTCTCCATCGAGCTCGACGGCGAACCAGCCGCGCTGCTTGCGGTAGAGCACCGTCGCGACCCTACCGCCCGCCGTCCGCGCGCGCACGGCGCCCGGCGGCACGGGCCCGGGCCCGGCCTGCGACTTGGGCTTCTTCTTCCGCGGGCCCTCGCCCTTGGGCTTGGGCACGATCGGCGCCTGCGGCGCGCTGTCGAGCAGGTGGTCCTGGCCCGGCGCGAAGCCGTGCGGCCGGCGCAGCGTCTTGCGCTCGTGCGCCTTGCCCTCCTCGTTCGCGTTGCCGTCGAGGTCGCAGACGAACCAGCCGCGCTGCTTCTTTTCGATGACCGTGGCGGTCCTGCCCCCGGCCGTCCGCACGAGGATCGGCGCGCCGCTGTTCCGCGGCGGCGGCGGCGGCGCCGCCGGCCGCGGCGCCGGGGGTTGCGTCCCCTCGGACGTGGGCCACGCGGGCGTGTCCGGCAAGAAGGCCGTCGGCAGCTCTTTGCGCTTCTTGCCCTTTTCCTTTTTGGGCGGCATGTTAGAGGCGGCGGCTGGTGGCTAGGCGGCCTAGCTCAAAGCAAGTAGGGGTACCTTGGGGTACTTTTCCAGTACTCCTGCTAAATAGCTTGTTTAACGAGCGCGAAGCAGCGTTTTCGCAAAAAAAAGCTGCTCAGGCCCTGCGCTGAGGTTACGGGAAGTATATATATAAACCTCCCTGTACCGCGAGTCGCAGCGGGGTAGGAAATGGTATGAACGTCAAGCGCGCTCAGTTTTTAGAGGTAGTGCACCCGCACGATGCAATTCGTCCTAACCGATATCTGAACCGCAGGGATACCGCATACTAGTCCTAGTGCGCAATGGCAACTTCCTAGAGAACCGCAACGAGACTCTAGGTGCAAGGAACAGTTGAGCTTATCCCCCCGGGGCCCCGCCACCGGGCGGCGGTCCGAGGTGCGGCCCGAGGTAGGCCTCCCGGAGGCGCCGCTGGAGCGTGAAGACGACTAAAAGGGGAAATTCGTTCTCGCGGAGCGTCGTTTGACACTGTTCTTCGGTCATTTGCAAAAGATCCGCCGGCCGCAGCTGGAACTCGTCCACGATGCGCTCGAATTTGTCGCCGTCGGCCGCGCGCCCCGGGAACGACCGGCGGAAGAACTGCGCGAGCTCCGCCGGCGTGTTGCCCCCGACCAGGCGCAGACCCGGCGCGGCGGCGGCCGGCGGCGGCGGCGGGACCCATGCCGGCGGGGCCCCGTTCAGGGCGGCGAGGGCGGCTTCAGCCGCGTCGGGTGCCGGCGCCGGCGCGACGACCAGCGGCACGGGTCCGGGCCCGAACGCTCCCGGCGGCGGCTGGTAGAAACACCCCCCTGGCCAGAACGCGTTGGGCGGTATCGGCGGAGCGGGCGGCGGCGGTGACGGCGGCGGCGGCGGCGGCGTGGCAGCGGGCGGCGACGGCGCCGGCGGCGACGGCGCCGGCGGCGCCGGCGGTGGGGCGGCAGCAGCTGGCGCTGGCGCTGGCACAGGCGCGCCCGGCGCGGGCGTCGTTGCGGCCCGGAGGTCCTTTCTGCGGATACTGGTGGCTTCGTTGTCGCCGTCCAGCTTGACTCTCCACCAGGCTGTGTTCTTTTCGACGATCGCACCAGAGCGCCCGCCGTGGCTGTCGGCGGACTCTAGGACGGTCACGCGGTCGCCCTCTTCAAAGTCCTTGGGCCGCCTCTTCCGCGGCGCCGGCGCCGGCGCTGCACCAGGGGCGGCCGTCGGCCGCCGGCGCTTCTTCTTGGTGGGGACGACGTCGTTGCCCGCCGCGTCCAGAAGGGTCACGAAATTCGTGCGGATGGACCGCTCCTCGCCCGGGGCGCCGTCCTCGCCCTCGTTCTCGTCGAGCTTTACGACGAGCCAGCCGCGCTGCTTCTTCTGGACGAGCGTCGCGATGCGGCCCGAGGCGTTGATGCGCAGCTTCTGCTCTTGTTCGGCGCCGGGTGGCGGCGTGTCATCAGGGATGCGCTGGCACTCGAGCATGCTGTTATAATGCTCCTCGACGGCCTCCTTGGCCCGGCCCGTCCCCAATTCTTCGGCGATCGTCGGCCAGCTCCAGTCCCCCTCGCCGTGCTCGTCGACGAGCTCTTGCAAGTGCTGTTCCTCCTCGGGCGTCCAGGGGGCGTCCTCGTCGGACGGCGGCGGCGGCGCCGCCTCCGTCGCGGTGGCGGTCTTGGGAGGCCGTCCGCCCTTCTTCGACGGGCGCCCGCGCTTCTTCGGCGGCGGCGCCCCGGTCCGCAGGCCGTTCGCAAGCCCGCGTTTCCCGTCGCGGTCCCGAGGCGCGGCGGCGGGCGCCTCGGGCACCAAAGGGCGCACGTAGTCCTCGAGCACGAGCTGGTCCTCGGACCCGTCGTCCCATTTTATTAAATACGAGTGCGGCCGCTTCTGGGTCTTTGGCGGGAGCACGTCGACGACGGTCGCGGCGTAGTACTCCCGCGACCACGTGCCGCCGCGGAGCTCCGGGTCCTTGTACCGCGCCTCGACGCGGTCCAGCAGCTTAAATCTCGCCACTGGTCGCCCCTGCTCCTCGGCCTGGAGGCGCCGCGCCAGGGCCTCGTCGGACTCGGCCTCCTCCTCCGAGGCCTCCTCCGAGGACCGGGGCTCCTGAGGGCTGCCCCGGATGTACGCCATGGCTGCCCTGCCCCACGTCGCCATGGCTGCCCCACTGCGTCGAAGCCAATTAGCTCTGCCAGTGCAGGCTGATCATCTCCAGCCGCCCCGCACGCAGGTCCGACGCCGCCGCCGCGCCGATGGATAGATAGAGAAAACACACGAGTTACCGGACGACTACCCCTCAGCGCAGCCGCTCCGGCGCGAAGTGCGACGCGGCGGCGAGCCCGGCGCCGATCGCGGACGCGAGCGCGGCCCCCCTCACGCCCGCGCCGGCCTTGAAGAGGCCGCCCGTCAGCGCGCCGGCGGCGACGGGGTTCACCTGTGCGTACAACGTGATGCAAGCAAAGCACCCTCTCGTCACAAACAAACAACAACAACGCGTCGGATTTAAAAAGCTCGATTTGGATGGGTCTCCTCACTTTGAATAGGAGTTGGATTCGCCGTCGTTCGTCGTCACACGCTACGCATTGACAGAAGAGACACTGCATAGCATACCCATGCCTGGTCGCCGCAAATTTTGTCCAATTCCACCGACTCCGCCAGCGACTCAAAAGAAGTGAACATGAGCGCCACGGCCCCCGCCGCGTTGCCCGCCGTGGCCCCGTGCTTGCCGAAGCCGTTCATCAGCGCGTTCGTTCGCACGCGCAGCGGCGCGTTCGCCGGTGCGAGTCGCAGCCCCTGGACCGTACCATACACGCCGCCCCCGAGCATGAAACCGAGGTACGACGCCCCGCAATTGAAGAACAGCCGCTCCATGTAGCCCCTCCCTCGAATGTCGTACTCCAAATAATCGAGCTCGTTGCGCGTCTGGACGCCGAACATCGAGCCGAGCTGGCCGATGTCGACGTCCTCCGGTCGGGCCGTCGTGTCCGCCATGGTTGTCGTTCTGTGTCGCGCGGCGCGGTGCGCTGTGCTGTCTGCAGGTGGTGAGTTTGTTGGTCGCTACGCGCTGTAACGATGAATGCCGCGTGCAGCCGGAGTTATTTGTGCCAGGGAGCACTGTCGCGCACCACTGCGCTTCCTCGTGCCGGCGTCGCGTTGTCTGCGCGCTTCGCCGTCGAGTTGTGAGACCTCCAGCCCTCTGAGGCCCAGCGACGCTTCCAAGAACGACCCATCCTGCCGCGCGAGACATCCTGCGGGACAGAAAAGGACAGCTCCGCCCTCGACGAAAACCCCGCACGCTGTCCGCGATGCTCACCAAAACTGAGACCTAATTCACGGTGCACAGCAGCGTAGACATAGTGATTTGACGGCGCAGACTCGCTCGGACCTCCACGACTGCTCGCGCACTCGCGGTTGCAACAACTCCGCGCACGCGCGCCGTGCAAAAGCCTACAGTGGCTGCACTCGGCGAGGGCCTCTTTTTGGCGTCGTCGCGGCACGCGAGGGCGTCAGAAGCACGAGACAGCACGCGCCGACGCCGCCGACGCGAGAGGCTGCACGAAAGACCCGCGAAAACGCGCAAAAAGCTCACATCGATCACGCGCAGGTCTCCACCGCAACCATTCAGCCCTTAAGACGATAGCCGTCGTTCCCAAAGCTTCGTGTGTAGGATCAACAGCTATCTCAAAACAACATGGGCCCCCCTCCGTCGAATGAACCCCCGAAATATGTCATCATGCGTGCCGTCGGCGGTGAAGTCGGCTCGGCCTCGTCGCTCGCGCCGAAGATCGGCCCCCTCGGCCTCTCCCCCAAAAAGGTCGGCGAGGACATCCAGAAGGCGACGATGGACTGGAAGGGCATGAACGTGACCGTGAAGCTGACGATCATCAACCGCCAGGCGACGGTCGAGATGATCCCCTCGGCCTCGGCCTTGATCATCAAGGCGCTCAACGAGCCCGTCCGCGACCGCAAGAAGGAGAAGAACATCAAGCACGACGGCAACATCACGCTGGACCAGGTGATTGAGATCGCGCGGACGATGCGGCCCCGCTCGATGGCCCGCAAGCTCGAGGGCACGGTCTTCGAGATGCTGGGGACGGCCTTCTCGGTCGGCTGCACGGTCAACGGCGAGGCGCCCATGGACATCATGCAGCAGATCAAGGACGGCGAATTGGAGGTGCCCGACGAGTAGGCTTCTGCTAAGAGACTGTTGTCTTACTTATGATGCGTCGCGGCGATGGCGTAGGCGCGCACCCCGATGGCGTCCGCCTGCTAGTGTCTTACAGGCCGCTAGCTTTTATGCCACCGCGTTTTTGGCCCAAAACTCGCGTACTTGCGGTCATCTTGCCACAGGACTCGCGAGAGACACTACGCACAGCGCCTGCGACGAATGGTGGCGTTTCGGCAGTGTATCCTCATCTCTGTGCTGCAAAAAACAAGTGGGTTCTCCCAGCCAGCCAGCATGAGGACGCGTTCTGCGGCGACATCGCTGCGCAGCGGTGCGACAGGAGAGCTGAAGGACTACAGCGGTGCCGCGGGAGGTCTTTTTGGCACCTACCGCATCCCCGCCTCGCTGTTCGCTGGTGCAAGCGCGGGTGCTGCGTTCGCCATGCCTATACTCGCTGGAGAGGCCGCGACGCTCGGGTATGTGGTCAGCGCCAACAACAACAACCTCCACGCCATCGATGCGACGGCTCCGTTCCCACAGGTACGTGAAGCGCATTTACGCAGCGCTCATGATCAGCTCGCTGGTCTGCCAGTTACAAGTTATCGTCGTAAGCACGGTAGCTCTCGAGCGCCTGTCCCGCCCCTATGAACAAGAGACGAGCGTGGAGAATTTCATGAGGCGTTATTTCGATCTCGAATGGATCGCGGTGCGACTCAACTTTTTCGTCGGAGTACTGTCGTTCGTCACTGCGATCGGTCTGCGGGCGTGGCAGACGATCGGTACGTAGTCAGTGTCCTTCGATCGTCGATGGCGTAGAGGAGGGGTCGAAGGCGCCGTCGCGGACGCCATCGACGCCGTCGTCATGATCGCGCGAGAGTCGACGCGTCTCCCCGCGCAGCATGCCCCGTGGTCGCCAAAATCACGCTCTACACCGTGATCAGTGGATCCCTCACGGCGCTGGCGTTCGTCCGCTCGAACGAGGACTGCGGAGGTGACCTCAACGACGCGTTCTTCAAGCTTCCGTTCGTGTCCCGTGTCCTTGCTGAGACTGGGTCGCGTCGATGGCTGCGTCCGACACAACGCAGGTACCTCTACGCGCGAGCGATGATGAAGCGGGCGCGGCAGAATAGCATGTTCGCCGTGGCTGGACTGTCGGTAGCCTTCACGTGGGGCTACCTCGCCTGGTCCGTGCCGCACATCGTCGGATATATGAGTTCACACTAAACATTAGTATAAGAAAGTAGCATGCGCGCGCGTTTCGACGTCCCGACGCCCGCGGGCGGCGGCCGCGACGGCTTCGGTTGTTGAGGCGCCGGCGCAGGGATCGGCGCGCGCCCGAGGTAGTCGTCGAGGTGCCGCCGCGCCCGCTCCTCCGCTCGTGCCCCTGCCTCGGCGCTCGCAACGTCCGCGTAGCCTTCGTCGTCGTCGGCCGGCTTTGCGAGGGCCTTCCACCGTTCCAATAACCGCTCCGCCGCCGGGCACGCGCCATCTACTCTACGTACGTAGGTCGCGAGGCGCCGCCCGGCCTTGGACTCGCGCAGCGCGTCTAGCGAAGCGGGTATGCGCGCGAGGCGCTTTATAGCCGTAGCTGCGTCCGCATCGCTGATTTCCGGATCGCGCAGCGGCTCGGACTCCTTCATGAGTTGCGCGGCGACGCTCTCTTGTTTACGACTCGGAAAGGCCGCGACCGCGTCCTTGACCCTTGTTCCAGAAGATGTGGCGGGAAACGCGACGGGCGCCCGCTTCACGACGGGTAATGCTTTCTTCTTCGGTAGCGAAGGCTTCCTCTCCACCAAAGGCGCCTCGCGCCGCAGCGTCTTCGCCGGGGGCTGCTCTACTTTAGTTCGTTTGGCCAGGAACGCGGAAACTCGAGGGTCCGACACGGTAGCAGGGGCCTTGCGGACCTGCTTTTGTAGTTTCCCGAGTGCGTCGAAGGCGTCTTCTGTCTTCACAACGGGTGCGGCAGACGCTCTAGAAGAGGAACTCAGCCCGAAGGCCGACGACGCCTTCTCCGAGGCCTTTGGCGCTGGCTTACGACCGTGGTGCTCGTCGATGAACGACCGCAGATGCGCCGCCACGTCCCGAAACGGCGCGGGCTGTCTTATTTCATGCCTCAGCCACGCCGGTAGATTCTTCCGGCGCCCCGCATCGGCAAATCTAGAGTCAGCCAACAGCACGGCGCCCCAATCTTTAGCATGGCGCAAACACCTACCAACCGCCTGGTTCACGGCGCGGCACGCCTGCTGCTCGTACCAGGCGTCGCCCGATAACAGTAGTTTCTTGTCGCCCGTGCGCCTTTTGTCATCTAAAAAACGCCTCTTCGCCTTCACGCGCGGGTCGTCGGGCGGCGCGTAGGGCACGCCCGTGACGATCACCACGCGACACTGGTCGTCGCTAAAGTCCATGCCTTCTGAAGCTTTCCCTCGACACACGGCCAACAGCACGGCACACGTCGTAGAGGCCGCTCGTTGAAATTGCACGGCGACCGTCCGCATGTCCTTGGCTTTTCTAGGTTCGACAACAACAGCTCGACCCCGTTCCAGCCGCGACCACAGGGACGAGCCCCGCCAGTGCTCGACCGCGTCATTCAACGCGGGGTACGAGGGAAAGAACACAAGTAACCCACCTCGATCTAACTGTTCCGCCGCTTGACAAATGGTCAAGCCGAGCTCCTGCTTGTAGCCTATTGTTCTTCTCTCACTATAAGTAGATTTGAGAGCTACGTTGCTGGGCCCGGAACCAACAACAGCACACAATAAATCCTTCTCCGCGTCGACGACGTGGGGGTTCTGCAAGCCGACGTATGTTTGTAATCCTAGTTCTCCCGCAAACGAAGGGAGGGGTGAGAGCGTGCCCGACGCACATAGTACGGAAGATACGCCTAGACTGCGCAGATCTTGCAACGCTAAAGCGGGCGAGAAGCACCAGTAGTCCAGCTTCACTTCTTCTTGGTCCGTCGCTATTCTGATGCGGTAGTGGTCATCTGCCAATGCTTTGCATTGAGCGTCTCCGCGGAACGCCAGCACGCAAGCCCTCTCCAAGAGTTCCAACTTGGGCGCCGCGTTACCTGTACCACGAGCGTCCGCCTGGACAACATCACCAGCTCTTTTACAGGCGTCGGCGAACCACGCGCCTGCGGCCGCACAGGTCAGACCCGCCGGCGTCAAGATTTTTTCGTGTAGAGCACCGCCCTTCTCCTCTAAGTGTTTCGTATTCATTAAAGCATCTTCTAATCCCAGAATAATACGTTTCAACGACAGCAGCTCGTCCTCGCCTATCTGAAGACCTTCGCCGCCGTCAACGTTCGAAGCGAGCTCCTGCCGCGGGGCGGCAGAGACGGCGCGGTCCAGCTCCTGCAACGCGCCAGCTAAATCGACACTGGTGATAGAAAAGGACGCCGCGTCCTCGGCCACAGAAGCCACATTATGGGCCTCGTCCAGAACAACAATGGACCCGCGCCAATTAACACCTGACGTGTTGCGATGGCGCTCGTCGAGCACGTAGTTGTAGGGCGCGAAGATCAAGTCCGCCTCCTTCAGCGAGTGCCTAGCACCGTAGTAGGCACAAGTCCCTCGTCTTGAGGCGTCCGAGACTAATTCTTCGATGTCTAAGGCTTGCCCGTTCTGATCAGCGTTCCTTGAGGCCTTTTGCTGCCGGTCTAGCTCGTTCCTTAAATGACAAGCTCTCCGAGCACATAAAGCAGAGCACGCTCGGTTCTGCGCCGTGCCTCTCAGCTTCGACACGCGGGGGTGGCCACATAAATGCTCCCTACTACCGACGACGGCCACCTTCGGCTGGTAGACCGTACTTCGTAAAGCTTTCACGGCCTGGGATAGCTGCGCATGGGTTCTTGACGCATATACTACGGTAGGCTTCTCCAGTTCTGAGGATCGCGGTAAGGAGTAGGCCAACGTCGCGGTCAACAGACAAAGCGTTTTGCCCGTGCCCGTCGGCGATTCCAGGAGAGCCGTCTGCTTCGTGGCGACGGCTTCTAGCGTCTTGGACATGAAGTCGAGCTGGCACTCGTAGGGCTCGAAGGGGAACTGGATTCTCGTGTTCTCGCACGTGCCGGTCCATTTCGCGATTTTATTGGGGTTCTCGATCTGCCTTGGAGGCGGCGGGGCGGGCGGCGGCGACGCCTGGCGCTTGGCGGCCGGTTTCTTCGCTGCTGGCTTCCTCGGCGGCGCCGCTGGCATGCGGAGTTCGGTCGCGCCGCTAGAGATGTTCGTGATGCGTAGAGCGGGCGCCTTCTTGGCTGCTGGTTTGCGGGAGGGCCATTGCGGCGGCGCGCCGCCTCCGTTGTTGCCGCCGTACATGCTTGCGCAACTCTACTCAAATATGCGCACCGCAGCTTTGTACGTCCGCAGCGATGGATTTCCGTCAAAGGTGTCGCGTCTACCGACTCTGGTGCGTCATATCTATCGATATGCTGGCCTAGCGCAAACAGCTAGCAGCAATTATGGCAAAAACGGGCTGGCGCGGCGCTGCTTTTCAAGCTTGCTAGCGGCCTGTAAGACACTAGAAAATTCGCAAAACGCGCTGGATCCGAGAAATCAGAGAACAACTTAGGTAGGGATAGATGACTAGTCCCGGTCCGAGTCCAGGACCTTCATGGCCGCAACGGGGGCGCCCACGAGGAGCGCGGCGACCGCGCCGTTCTTGACGGCGAGCGATTTCGAGAACGGCAGCGTGGCCACGAAGGGCACGAGCGCGACGCCGGTCACCAGTGCCTCGGGCCGCGCCACGTACGTGTCGTGGACCGCCGTGTAGAAAGGGGCCAGCGGGGCCGTTCGGGCCTTGACAAGGGTTCCGAACTCGTTTGTTTCGCGCGCGGCGCTGGTCGCGGCGCCGTCCGCGGCTCGGACGGCCGCGTTCCAGGACTCGCGCGCGGCTCTGATGCCGTCGCGGAGCGGCGTGCCCTGCTTGTCCACGTCCCGCTTCGCGAGGACCGTCGTGCGCGCGGCGGTGACGACGGTGTCGCCGGCTTTTTCTGCTACGCTTGATACGGTGGTTGTCACGGGCGCGAGGGTGTCCATGATGGCCTTCCAGGAGGCTTCTAATGGGCCCACCATGTTTCTATGGTCCAGGCAGGGAGCACTGCTATACGCGGCCGGGAGGGCGAAACGCGCGCGCGCTGTCGTTGGAGCTGTCGAGAGCTGTCCTGGGCGACGCGCGCAGCACTCAGATCTACGTGAGGGTGTCTAGCGGCTGTGAACAGCGGTGGCTCTTTTGGCTCTGGCTGGCCAAAGCTTGCTGCTAAATCGAGGGCTCTGCCGAGCCTCACAGCCATTGCTGCAAGCTCTGCGTGTCACCAGCAATCCGTGAGCTGCCCCACAGCCTGCTGCCGTGCAAACGTTGCATCTCTGAGGACGCGGTGCAGCACAAAGCTGCACAAGGCTCTCTCAGCAGCCCTAGACGCCAGCCGCTGCGGCGCATCGCGCGCAAGCCCCCTTCGGAGCGAGTGCTGCAGTAGACTCGCCGCCTCGGCAAATCGACGATGATGGCCGCACGCTTAGCACTCCTCGTCGCCGTGGCCGCGAGCACCGCAAGCGCCCTGAAACCCCTCGCCTCGCCGGTGGTCATTGGAGGCACGACCGGCGCCGTCACCGCCGCGTTGTACGGCAAACTCCAGAGGATGGAGTCCGTCTTCGACTCCGGGTTAGGCCGACCGGCCCTCGTCGGCTCGGAAAAGTTGGTAAGACAAACGGACAAGATCCTGTGGCGGGCCTACTCGATGGCGAGCGTGACGCCGGGCGACGTCGTGCCAAAGGTCGACTTTATCAAGTTCCGAGGGCTCCTCGGGTCGGCTGCTCCTCTCTACTTCGTGGACAGCACCGGGTTTCAGGCTGCCGCTTCCCAGGAGAAGGGCCTCTTCGACGGCCTGCCGAACCCCTTCGGCGGCAAGCCTTCCTCAGGCAAGCCGAAGCCGAAGAAGCCGGCGCCGGGCGGCGGCCTCAAGCTTCCCTCGCTGCCCAATCCCTTCGGCGGCGGCGACGGCGGGAACCCGCTCGAGGCCTTGCTGCCGCCGAACCGCAACGAGAACTTCATGGGTTCTGAGCCCGTGACGAAGAGCGCGCCGGTGCCGCCGCCACCTTCAACAAAGCCGGGCGCGCCCGACGCTCAATTACTACAAGCCTTGACTACCGCTCCGGACGGCGCGTGCTACGTCCTCACATCATCCGAGGGCGTCGCCGCCTGCGAGGAGGCTCTCGCGAAGTACCCGGCCCTGAAAGCGACGATCATAGCGCCGGCGAACGGTGTACAATTGTCATCAGATGGCGACTGGGTGTCGGCTAGACCGCAGGACTTGGAAGGTGAGCTCGTCGCACCTGTTGCTTTAGGTGATAGTGGAGAAGGGTCGCTGGACGTGCAGGACCTGGCCGAGGTCGCCATCCAAGCTAGTCTGAGGCTGTCTCGGGATGTGGAGCGGAGGACGATTCGCGTCGTGTCGTCGGGCGGTGCCGCGGCGACGCGCCAGAACGAGAATTATTTCACGAACTTGGGCGGCGAGAAGGCCGCTCAGAGGGAGGGCGACGTGACGTCGGTGGACTGGACGGCGACGTTTTCGGTCCTGGCGGAGGACGTGGAAGTGTTAAAATCGCCGGAGGAAAGCGACTGGGCGGCGGGGACGTATAGGTAGGGTAAGCGTCGGTGGCGTATGGGGGACTGTGCGATGTTGTTACGGGGCTAGGATTCGTGGGCGGAGCCCCTGCTTGGCTTCCGCAAGCGCGCGACCCCTCGTCTCGGGATTCGTGCCCGTGATCACCTCGACGGGGCCAACGTTGATTCGTAAGTCAACAGCACACGTTACGTCGCGAGGACTCCCCGGTCGTTGACGGGTTTCGGCTACATTAGCTGTAGCTTGTAGAATTGCCTTAGCGCTCGACCGTGTTGCGCGTCGCGAAGGAGGGCGCGTAGCGCGGGAGCGAGCCGAAGGGCTGCCTCGTACCGTCTTACCAAACCATACAAAAGCCGCGGGCAGCGGAAAACCGGCAGCTCAACGCCATCGACCAGCACCATGGGCAAAGGCAGGGGCAAGCGTAGTGTATTAGCCCAGAAGGCCCAGACCATCGAGGAAATCTGGGAAAGTGTATCACGCACTAAATCTGCTGATCTGAACCCCCCACCGTCGAAAATCGTCCTCACGCCGCGGTCCGCCGAGGCGTGCCTGCGACACGGCCTCAACCCTGAAATATTAAGGATACGACCCCTGGACTCCTTTGATGTGAAGGGCGTCGACCCCACGGTCCAGAGGCTGAGGCATGAGACGTACACGCAACGGAGGTTCGAGATGATGCGGCTCGTGCGAGCCGAGCGGAAACGCCTCGTGGCCCAGGAAGCGCGAGACGCGGACCTAGCCGCGTCGGGAGCGGGCGGCGGCGCCACCATCACGCCGCAGCAACTCATCGCGGCCCAGGCCAAACAAAACGCGACGTTCATCGAAGAGGAGGAAAAACGGATGCGGAAGATGCAGGCGCGCCAAGACAAGGAGCTCGAGCAGATGATGGCCTTTGAAATAAAGATGGGCGAGCTCCAGCGCGAACGGGATGCGGCCGCCGAATTGCAAGCGCGGAAAGATGAGGCGAAACGGCGCGCGAAGGAGCGCGCCGCGCGCAAACGCGCCGAGGACAAACGACTAAGGGAAGCCAAACGCTTGGCCACGGAAGAAGCGGAAGAGGCGCAGCGCATCGCGGTGACGCGAGCCATGTTCGAGAAGGAGAGAGAACTCCGAGCGCAGCGCACGCGCCAGGAAAAAGTGCTCCGGCGGAAAGCAAGGGCCAAAGAAGAGGAGCGTTTGAGAAAGCAGGAGGAACATCGGTTGCAGACCCAACGAATCATGCAAGAACAGCAGAACGCCATCAAGCGGCGCATGAAGGAGATGGAGCTTGCGGAGCAAGAAAGGAGCGCTCTAGTGGAAAAAAAGCAGGCCGAGGACCGCCACCGCAAGCAGATGCGGCGCGCCCAGATGGAGGCGAGAATACAAAGAAACATGGCGCAGGCCGCGAAGATGGAGGAGAAGCGCAAGGAGCACTTCTGGCAGAAGAAGGCGCACCATGAAGCCTTGAGGCAAGAACAACTCGAACTCATGGAGCGGGAACGACTACTCAAGGTCCACCAGAACACGCTCCAGGAGCAGCGGTTAGCTATGATCTTGAATGCCACGCGTAGACAGGAAGAGGAAAGAAAAGAGGACCTCCTCGCGAAGTTCGAGCTCGAAGAGGAAAACGTCCAGCGCGTGCGAGCGGCGCGGTCCGGGTCCAATGTGGTGGCCCATGAAAAACAAAGACTGCGACTCCAGATGAAGCTCGAGAATGTGGAGAGGATCAAGCGCATCGCGGAGTACCGGAGGCTGGAAACTTTGCGGAAGATCCACGAAGGGGATCGACGGATCCAGGAGATGATCGAGCGAAGAGAACGCACGGTCCAGACGCGAAAGGCGAATGCGATCATGGTGAAACGGAAGAAGGACAAGCTCATGGAGGTCATGGAGCGCGCGCGCTCCGACGCGAACAACGCCGAGCGGATCCTGGCGACGATCGGCATCGGGCCCAAGGCGAAGAAGAAGAATAAGCCGAAGCAGTTGCCGCCGATGGAGCACGACACGGCGCGGGCACTGGGGCCGCCGCCCGAGGGCGAGCTGTCGCACGTGCGCAAAAACGAGGTCACGGAGCAACTGCCCTACGTCTCTCCGTATGAGACCGAAGGCGGATCGCAGACCGTGACGTTCTAAGAGGTTGGGTTTAGTTTCTGTTGTGGGGGGGGCGACGACGGCGTCGATTCCGTGGCGTCCGACGTCCGTCCGTCCGTCAATTGGAAACCAGTCTGACTTCACGTCCGGATGCGTGTGTGGTCTTTGCGGGGTACTGCTAGGCCCAGAGGTCCCAGCGCGCACGCGCGCGCGGCGCTAGCGTTCAAAACGGGTGCCGAGCTAGCGTCATCGACACACTAGTTCTCCAAAGCAGGCTTCGTCGCGCCTCCTCGCAAAGCACTCGATTTGTGGCCTACCTGGCACCGCTTCGAGCCGCCGCAGCGCCCACTCCACCCAAACTAACAGTGGTAGCAGCGCCGAGGAAATCCGGCTAGCGCAGAGCCTTTTGACTCACAGAGAGGCCCACAGCACCATTTGGCCCACAGCAGCTGAGAGGCCGCTCCAAGGCCCACAGAACCATTTGGCCGTTTAAGAGGCAAAGAACGATGAACCCCGACGACCCCGAGGAAGTGCGACGGCGCAGATCGGCGCGGCTGAACGCGTCGCCGCCGTCCACCGACGGCCAAGCCCCGCCACCGGTCGCGTCGCCGCCGCCGAGCGCCCGCGCGTCGCCTCCGTCATCCGCGCGGCCGGCCTCGAGCTCGGGGCAGAAGCGCCCGGCCCAGACTTCGCCCGTCGCGTCGCCGACACCGACGAAGAAGACGATCCCCGTCGATCGCGCGCTGCGACGCGTGTTGCGGTGCAATATCGTTGAAGGGCCGCCCAAGAGTGGCGGAGAGATCTTCGAGGTCACGAAAGCGGAGGTGAATGGCGCCTTGGACGAGAAGAGTTGCGGCGCCGTCGTAGCCTTACGACTCCAACGAGCGAAAAGTGGGGAAGATGCTTTACAATTACTACACGAGATCTTCGTGAGATGCCGGGACGAGGCGCGGACGGCGCGGAGCCGTTCTGATGAGACGTGCGAGAAAGCGGTTCAAATCTGCGGGAACACCGCTGCAAGTTTAGCGTCTGTGTGCTTAGTGCGGCCCGGCGCCCTCGGCAAGGCCTCGGAGAAGGCACGAGATACATTAGCGTCAGCACTCCTCGGCAAGGTGCCACAACTACGGCCCGAGTTCCTGCAGGGCGCGCTGGCCAAGGTGTCTCCGGAGCTCCTCAAGGACGTCGCCAAACCGTTAGTTGACCAGTGCTGCGAGGAACTGAAGCCAGCGACCGCGACGGAGATTGATGTTGATAGAGTTTGTGGTGCTCTCAATACGTGGCTCAGATGTGCGGGAAAGAAGGTCGCGGGTGCCGCATTAGTCGAGCACGAGGCCTTCCAGGTACCCCCATTGGAAAGGCCAAGCGGTGGCGACCCCCAGCCCCCGGACGAACAAGACAACAACTTCGCGGCGTTGTTAGGGCAAGCCGGCATGGCGCAGGACCAGGCGGCCCAGTGGGGGGCCATGTTACGAGGTGTTCAGCGAAGCGTTAATAGAGGATTGCCTTTGGAAAGAACTTGTTTGCTCGGGTTGCTGTTGCGGGTGTCCGGTGGCGCTTCGTACCGGAACGACGTCGACATGCAAACCCAAGCTCGCGGGTTGCGAGAACTCATGCAACGGGTACGGAGGCCCCAGGACGTGCCGTCGGCCACTCGCGAACTCACACAACGCGTGTCTGTGTGCCGAGAAGCCATTTCTTCACTAATAGAAGGATTGGTGAGAAACGGTCCTCAATCGAGGGAAACCACGTTGCAGTGGCTCACGGCTTTGTTAAATCGCTCGAAACCGGGCCGGCACGCCCACGCGACGCCGGCGACGCGATTGGGAGCCTGCGCGGCCTGGTTGAGACTCTGCAGACCTTTTCTAGGCGACGAGAAAAAGGAAGCCAACGCCCAAGCGTCCCTGGACTACCTCAAGTCCGATCTGGGCAAGGCCGCGTACCCGGACGATCTGACGTGCGTCAACGTGGCACCTATGCCTTCAACAGCACCGATGGACGTCGACAGCGACCAGGAGATGTACGACGACGACGGCGACGCCGAGCTCAAGGCCGCCCTCGAGCTCTCCACGACGCCGACGCAGGATTTTCATTTTGTGACGCGGTGCTTCTTTCTAGCTTCTAGAGCGGTGACGCTGGGCGTCGCGGCGGAACTCCATCAAACGTACGGCATGGACCAGCGGCCGCATCGGGTCGCCGCGGCCGTCGGGGGGTGGGACCACGACATGACGCGAGCTTCTCTGGCGGAGGTCGTCGCGAGAGAAGCGGCGCTCGCTTCCGATAGTGTTGTAGATGATCTGCAGGCGTTCTCCGCGTGTCAATGTCGGTGGTTGCTGCGGTTGTCCGATGATGATTTGCGGAGGTGCCCGGAGTTTCTCCTGGAGGACGCTTGTACCATACCTTGTGAGCTGAACTCCATGAAGCCCGACACCTTGAGAAGATCGAAGCCGTCGCCGGATTTGCTGAAGTTGTGTGCGCGGTGTCTCGGGGCTACTGATACACTGGTCAAAAGCCCACATGCGCGAGAAAAACTCGGCAAGGCTTTATATGATCTATTCTTACCTGTAAGTGCAAAAGGCAAGACGTACACGGAGCTGGCGCTGTATAGACAGCCCTTGCAAGAAAACCCGGGCAACGTCGAGTTGTTGGCCAACGCGTCTCCGGAAATAGCCGCGAAGTTGTGTCCGGCCATCCTCTGGTTGTTCGGCGACGCGGAGCACATTGGCGACATCTATCAGATCGCGGACCAGAGATTGAGGATTGCGGCGCTGATCAAACACCTCTGGGACGCGCCGGTGCACCGAGCGGCCTTTAGGACCATCGTGGCCGACGTGCGAGCCTTTGTCACGTTCGCGAACGGGCTGTTGAACGAGACGAACAAGCTCGTGGCCGGAGCCATCGAGCGGCTGCCGGAGATCCGGAACCATCAAGTGAGGACTGGACTATTAGATGCGTCTTCCGACGAATTCCGAAGATTAAGAGCGGAGTACGAGTCGGCCAACGACACGCGGCGGGAGGAATTGGACTCGAGACACAGTGAACATGAGCAGCACCTCAAGCAAGACTTGGAATTGTGTACGGAGATCCTTTCGTTGGTCGAGATGCTTACCGGTGATACCGCAGTAGCGAAGGCCTTCATGGGCGAAGAATTACGTAGTCGCTTGGCGGGCATGTTGCTTAGTGTCGTTCGGCAGTTCACCGGGAAACGCTCGTTGGACATCAAAATCTCGAATCCAGATGCGTACGGCTTCGATCCGAAGGACATCCTGAGCCGAGTCGGTCGCATCGCGTGCTGTTTTGCTGCGGAACCGGAGTTCCCCGGGGCGTTGGCCGAGTCGGGGTATTATGATGTCGAGTTATTACCTAGGTGCGCCCAGACCCTGCGTCGATTAGGTGCTCTCAGTTCTTCGCAGCTCGACGCCCTGGATTCCCTGGCCAAGGCCGCCGGTGTCGCTCGGGAGGCGCTATCATTAGATGACGGCCTCGAGAACGAAGCCCCCGAGGAGTTCGTGGACCCTCTGACGGCGGAACTCATGAAATCACCGGTCAAGCTACCTTCTGGCAATGTGGTGGACGATAGTACGATCCGTCAACATTTACTAAATGAGCTGTCGGACCCGTTCTCGCGGCAGCCATTGGAGCCGGCCGACCTCGAGCCGCTGCCGGACCTCAAGAAGCGCATCGAGGAGTGGCTCGCCGTGAAGAGAGCTGAAAGGAGGGCGGCGCGCGGCGGCTAGGTTCTCTCCCCGGTTCTTAAGCATCGTATGATACGTTGAGTACGCCGGGTAAAATCTGAGCCACTTACGCCACCGCATCTACTTCTTCTTCCTTTGCGGCCGTTTCTTGGCGCCGACGTTTACCTGGATCTTCTTGGCGGTTGGCTTCTTGGCGGAAGCCTTGCGTGCGGGCGCTTTACGGGTAGGCGCCGTCTTCTTCGCGGGCGCCTTGCGCTTGGCGACGGCCTTCTTCTTGACCGGAGCTTTGGCTTTGGATCCTTTCGCGGCGGGCTTGACCTTCTTGAAGCTGATCTGCATCTTAGTGCCCTTGGGCCTGCGCGGATACGGCGTCGATACCCACCACGCCATCGACGCGATGTCCTGCGTTCAAATCGAAGGCAGCGAGCGACGCGGCCGCTCACAGCACGAAGTCTTTGATAGAAACAGGTCTATCACCTTTGTTCGGCTCGATAGTAAAGCTCTTCGGCTGCACCGGGGCCTTGGCCTTGCCAGCAGGCTTGAACGCCGGCTTCTTAACCTTCGCGCCGCGGCCCTTGAGCGTGACCTTGGCACCCTTCTTCTTCGTCGCCTTGCTTGCGCGCTTCTGGATCTCGTTCTGCGAGAGCTTGGGGCCGCCGATGCCTCTGCGAGCGTTCATCTTCTGCTGGCGGTTCATCTTGCTGGCCGCCGCGGCGACTGCTTTTCTCGTCGGCTTACCCTTCTTGGATGCCGTCTTCGCGGCGCCGCGGGCCGTCGCCTTCTTGGCGGGCTTCTTCGCCTGCGGACGGTGACGGGTGAGTGGGGTCGTATCGATAGTGTAGGACTCGCCTTCTTCTTGGCCTCCTTCTGGCGCATCGCCACCAGCTCGTCGAGCGACATGTCGACCTTCTTCTCTACGTCCGTCATCGTGGAGCAATTGGGCCGAATCCGCCGCGCAGTTTTCACGCTAAGCTCCGCAGCAGCGAGCTATCGATGCCGCGCTGTCGCGACGTCACTTGTGGAGGCTGCTAACGACGCGCAACGACGTCGTGCAAAGCTCAATGGTGCGAGGGTAGGCTGTAAACCGCTGCCCGCCGTCCTTGTTTTTTTCTGCTCGATGCTAGTGTGTTTAAGGCCGCTAGGGATCGGGCACAAGATATATTAAGACAACAGCGCGTCAAGGGTCCCGGAACCCCCATATCAGCGCCTTCAAGGCGTGGTTCGGGACGACCATCTTGTGCGGCAGCGCCTCGTTCGTGAGCGGCGACGTATCATGTGAAGCGAGCCACGCCGTGATGTTCGCGCGTTCATAACTATGACCGTCTGCAGCAAAGCACGGGTCGACCATAAGCTCGCAGCTGATCGAGCAGAAGTATTCCTCGGGCGGCGGTGCGCCGACGGCAGCGCGGATCGTCGCGGCGGCGCGCGGCGGCAGACCCAGGCGCACCATCGCCTCGATCGACACGTGCTTGAGCTGCTCCGGGCTCTGGCAGCTTTCCGTGAGGAGCCAGGGCGCGTGGTCCTCGGACAGGCCGAGCTCCCGCACGAACGAACGCATCGCCGCCTCGGCCTCGGTCGCGGCCGGCGCCGCTTTGGCGCGCAGGCCCGGCGGCGCTCGTGGCGCAGGCGCCGGTGTCGGGACGGGCGGCTTCACGGTCACCGCTGGAGCCTCGGCCTTCGCCTTCCGCGGCGGCTCGGCGCGCGGCGCGGGAGCCGGCGCCGGCGTTGGCTCAAGGCGCGGCGACGGCGCGGGAGCCGGCGCGGGCGTCGGCGCGGCCCGCGGCGACGGCGCAGGAGCGGGTGCCGGCGTCGGCTCGGCCCGCGGCGGTGGCACAGGAGCAGGCGCGGGAGCCGGCGCCGGCGCGGCCCGGGTCGCACCGCGCGTCCGGCCGGGTGGTCCTTTCTTTTTCTTGCCCTTCTTCTGAGGCGCAGGCTTCTTCTTTTTGGCATTGTTTTCCTCCTCGGCCAGGAGCGAGGCAGCCGCCCGCGCGGCCGCTGCTTCCTGGCGCGCGAGGTCGTCCTCGGCCGCTCGCCTCGCGTCGGCGCCGCGGCTCGTCCCCGCCCTCGCGGCTGGGCGCTCGGCGGCCTGCTGGTCCCGCTCGCGGCGCAGCCGCCGGCCGAGCGCCGAGTTCGTCGCGCTCTCGATGGCGTTGAGCGTGAGGCGCGCGTGCTGCTGCCGCACCCAGATCGTCGCGGTGTCGTGGATGTGCCGCAGCGCCTCGACGACGCCCGCTTCCGCCATTATCAAACACGCGGCCGTGTAGTCGTATTCCACGGTTTTTGGTATCGCGAGGTGGTGTGCCGTGCGCATCGCCTCCTGGAGGCCGCTGCGTCCGCACGCGTGGCCAGTCAAATAAAGTTGGAGGACGGGCGCGAGGCCGTGTTCCAACAACGCCTCCGGCGCGAAGCCCGCGGCCGCCCGACTATCAACAGAGTCCTCGTCCCAATTCTTTTCCTCCGACGTCATTAACCTGATATTGTACATGACGAGCATGGGCCAGCCGTTCACGAAGGCCACGTAGGAGAGCATGGGCGGGATCCAGTACCATCGCAATTCAAGGCACCCGACGTATACTACGAAAAACTGGTAGAGCACGACGACACCGCGCCAGCCCAGCCACGAGCCGCAGCCGAGGCGCGCGCCGCGGACGAGCCACTTCGCGCCGGCCTGCGGGCCCAGCTTCCTTATTGCGTGGGTGATGCACACCTGCGCCAGGAGCTGGAAGGGGAGCGCGGCCCAGAACCAAGCCGCCGCGGCGTAATCGTAGGCCCACGCGCACCACCGGTAGACGGCCGTCTCCCGCCACCACGACCCCCACGTTTCGCCTTCGCGCGACCCCATAAAAGCGCCTGGAGGGGGGTGCCTGGGGAGGGTGGCTGGAGGCGGGCCGACACCAAACTCCATGCCTACGCAGGTAGGGCGCCTGGGCGCCATCTCGTTGCTGCTGTGCCTGGCTGCAATGCAGTAGGAATCCGCGCTCGCTGCGCGTGACAGTGCGCGCTACGTGTGCAGCTCGACTGCTGCGCGAGTAAACGCTCCTCGATATAAACGCTGCGCTCGATATCAGGCTCCCCTGACGGTGATTTGGCAGCACTATGGCCAGATGACAAAGGTTGGGTCTAGTATGCATACGACGCTAGCATGGCATCGTAACAATGAAGGGCCCGGAAGCATCGATAGTAGAGGGAACGGTATACCGGAGAAGGGTCGGGCGTTTCTCTCGCTGTTAGTTACCAGCGGTAGACGCGCAAAGCCACCCTAGAAGAGATCCCGGTAAATATCAATTAGTCCCCGCACGCTATCAAAGCGGGGAGAGAGAGGGAAGGGAGCACCGGCTACTTCTTCGCCTTGAGCGCGAGGTCGATCGTCGCCTGGAGGCCCTCGATGCGTTTCTGATGCTCCTTGTCGTTCTTGTTCGTAGGGACGCGCGCGATCGTCACCCAGGCCGGCGTGAAGATGCCCAGCTCGCCCGCCGTGGCCGCCGAGAAGCCGCAGTGTTCCAACATGAGCGCGGTTCTTAGAGTGCCGGGCTCCGCGACACCGATCGTCTCCAGGATTTTCACCGTGCCCATCGTGAGCTTGCGGCCCCAGTGGGACGACGTTAATCTTGAAGGCAAATCAACACCGGTCGTCAAGGCTTTCCACCAGCCGAGGTGGCCCCTTTCTATGGCGTCGGTGCCCATGTCGTACGACTGTAGTACTTCCAGACCGGCCCGTTTGTACTCCTCGTGGCGCGCGTCGGGCTTGTTCAAATTCCTGAGACCGCCTCCGTACTCCATGCCTCTTTTCAAATCCATGTGGCGAGGATTGTCGTAGTCGAATGCCGGCTTCAGCATCCACTGCCAGCCGGCGACGATGCCGCCGGGCTTGACGATTTTCGCCGCTTGCGCCAGAGGAATAGCTCGGTCCTCGGAATGCGAGAGACTCTCCATAAAGTAAGCCGCATCATAGGAAGAAGGCTTCATGGACGAAGGGAGGTCGTTGTAGTCCCCGACCAGGTACTCGGTCCGGTCCTGGATGTATTCCGGCAGCGTAGACGTGATCTGGTTCGCGCGGTTCACCTGGTGCTGGCAGATCGTGACGCCCGTCATGTTGGCGCCCGTAAATTCGACCACTCTTCTCATGGGACCGCCGATGCCCATGCCTAAGTCTGCTACTTTCATGTCCCGTTGAATGCCCGCCGTGAGCACGAAATTCTGCTCCCAATACGCCATCGACCGCTTGAAGGACCAGTCGGGCCGCAGCGGAGCCATGTGGAAGGCGTCGCCCCAGCCGTACTCGAAGAAGTCCGTGATTAAGGTGAAATATCTCTCAGCAGCAGCCGCGTTGTTGTGCTCGTCGTGCGCGGGCTGTTGCGCCGTGTCCCAGTCCGTCGCGCCGCTGTAGTAGTTGTCGTAGCGCGCCAAGATCTCTTCGCTGCTCATGGCCTCCTCCTTGGCGCCGAACTTGCCTGCGTTTGTCGCGGCGGCGTCGGCGTGCGCGCGTTTTGGGTGTTTTGCTTTTATATGGGGGGGCGGCGTTTTGCGGTTTTCGCGGCAAGGCGGCGCGCTCTCTCTTTGGTGTGTTTTGCAGGAGCCAGGTGTCATGACGCGTTCCGGAGCAACGCTGCGGCGGCGTCTTGGCAGCTTTACGGCGCCCCGGAGCGGCCGAGAGGCGCGGCCGCGAGGCGTCAGCGAACTGGGCTGTGGGTTGGGAGGACTCACCTGGGAAGGCCACATTCGTCAGGTACCATGCCGCGCCCACGGCGAGCCCGACCGTCACCAATGCCGAGCCTTTCGCCATGGCCGGAGCCCTGTGGCGCTGCCACAAGCCGATTCGACGGTAGGAGAAATTAAGTGTGTCTTTACACTAGTTGTTCAAAAAGTCACGAGCTTGTAGGCCGTCGCCATGGCTAGTTACGCCGCGTCCGACTCCGTAGAAGACCCTGCGTGGCTCTCGCCGTCCCTGGCGGAGAAATAATCCCATAGCGGCACCGCGACTTGGCGTCGCGGCTCGAAGTCCTTGCCAGTGTGGGTTCGACAAAGTGTGTTCGAAGGATGACGCCCCCGTAGGTTAGGTTCTAGACGCCATACGTATTACGCAGCGAAGCAAGTCACCGCCCCGACCGCAGCGGCGGCGCCCGCTTCGCGACGGGCTCGGGACTCATCCAGTCCGTCTCCACGTCCGGCTCGGGAGACGCAGGAGCCCGATTCTGATGATGAGAAAACGGCCGCGCGTTCTCCTTCCTGTGAACGCCTTCATCTAACACCGCGTCCAGCGTCCCCTCATCAACAGTCATCCCGAGCGCGCCGTCCAGCACCCGGTCCAGCTTCCTCTCAAGGTCATTCACAGGCTTCGCATGGACGCGTGACGAACGAGACACGGCCCGCGCCGCCTGCGCCACGCTCTTGAACGACGGCGGCCGGTGCCAGTACTCGTCCAAGGTCTTCAGAAAATCTTTATCTGAAGGGACCGCCGCCGAGCAGTTCTCGTAGAGCTCGAAGAACTCCGACCGGCTTACCGTCCCGTCGCCCTCATCGTCCAACACTGCGAAGAAGGCGTTCATCACATCCCTAGGCGGCCACTCGGCATTTCCCTCTTTGACGCGCTGGTCGCCGTGGGGGTTGAACCGTTTTTTCAATTTTGATACGGGAATGTCTTCGTCCTCGTCAATGACACCGCACTCTCTCCTCAATTGCGCCCACTTCTTCTCGACTCGAGCTTTCCGCAGGGACGACATCTCCTTGTCTCGTAGTCCAACCATCAGCTCTTTGGCCGATAGCGTCCCGCCCCCGTCGGCGTCGAACATGGCCACCACGGCCAGGCACTCCTCGAGCTCGACCTCGACTCCGAATTCGCGCAGGCCCCACCGGAGCTCGTCCGCGTCGAGCGACACCTCGTACTTGTTCTCGACGGGATCCCAGGCCCCGTCGTCGTCGATCGTCGACAGTTGCTTCACGAAGTAGTGCAACGCGTAAGGGTTGTTCTGCCTCGCCACGAGGGCCTCGCGGATTTTCGTGAGCGTGGCCGTCGCGTCCTCCGAGGGTCCCTTTTCGCCCTCGAAGCCCGGCGCTTCCAGTAACTTCCCGGGGATGATGACCGTGGGGTCTAAGAATTCACGTACAGTCACCTTATCGTGCCGCCGCGCCTCGCTCCACCGACTAATGGGTCGTCGTATCACCGTCGCGGCGTGCTGCTCTCGTAATAACTGGATGAAGTCCCTCCGGAATCTCACGGCTAGAAAGCCTCGCGCTCCGAGCCCCTCGCTCTTGACGGACGTGATCACCTTGCCCCCCTCGTGGCGCACGACGACGGTACGCGAATCCTCGTCGGGGAGCGTCGTCCCGGGGGGCGCCTCGACCTCGGGGCTCGTATACACAAATTCCCCGACCCGCTCCAGCGTCAGCGCCACGGCCTTCGCGGGCCCCCGGCACGCGAGGATGAACTCGGCCATGATCGATTTGACCACATATAGTACCACTTCCCGGTCCAAGTCCTTGACATGATCTCGCGCTTTGACCACAAATTGTTTTTTGGGCGGATTCAATGTACCTGACATCGTATCTGAGCCAAAGGTGGACGAGGTCCGTTCAAATCCCCCCATCCCATGTCTTGACAACTGTAGCGTGTCCGTCGTCACGCCCGCGCTGAGTCTCTTCTTGCGACGTTCCTCCCGTCTTCTATTGAGTGATTGGGCTACACTTTCGAGAGGCAAGGTCGCTAGCACGGGCGCGCCGTCGCCAGGTAGGAAATCGTGCGCCGCGCGCCACAGCGCGTGATGACCCGAACCAAACGTCTTCAGGATCACGTTCTGGTCCTTCTCGAGCTTGTACATGGGCTGCCCCTCGATGTCGAACGTCAGATCCAACACGCCGTCAAACCTAACACCCTTGCCCTGCAGCATCGTCGACGCGATGCTCGTACCCAGCGCGTTCCAGATGCGAAACATGTCCTTTCTACAAACCACCTCGTGGAGCTTCCTCCGGTAGACTCGTCCCAGCAATCGGTTCGAGGGCACAACATTTTTATCTTGGATGGTCGGGAGGTGGCAGTGGCCCTTGAGGTCCACGACGGCGGCCTTGACGACGTCGTCTTGTTCTTTTTGTAATTGGGCCTGGCGCTTCTGCTTCGCGCGGAGCATGGAGGCCATGGTGGTGGTCACCCCTTTGACGACGCGTCGGGAGCGTGCGCTGCGCTGCGCGCTTGGGCGGTGGCGGGCTGTTTGCCGTCGGCTGCTCGATGAGGCGTCGACGGCGGGCGCGGCGGCTGCCCCCGGCCGCTCGGCGGCTTCGCAGACGACGAGGCGTCGACCGCGTGCGCCCGTTGCCGCTTGTCACGGCGTACGGCGGCGCTGCCGGCTTTTGGACAAACGGGTCGTCGCGGGTTTCTCGGCGTCGCGCGACGCGTCGCCGCGGTGACGTGGGGGGCGTGCGGAGCGCCCGGGACGGGTGGGCTCGCGGCGCGTCGCATTTCTTTCCGTTGATGCATAGCAAGCTTCGGCGCTCCGCGACGAGGCGCTAGCTCCTATCTCCGCCCGCGTCGGACGGAGCCGCGCAATTGCTCGCACAAGCCGCAGTGATCACCGCTGCCCGCGAGCGCGCGGAGTTGTTGGGGCAGCCGATTACTTGCAAACCAGGCAGCCCCACCAGGCAAGGATAGCCTTGCAAACTTGACTGTCTCTACCAAGCAAGGATAGCGTCCGGCCGTTCGTACTCCTCGGTAGCGTCGCAAGCCGACGATCATAGCAATGGGCGCGGCCGCCTCGCTGCAAGAGGCCGCGGAGACGGACCTGCCCGAGCTCGTGCCGAGGAGCCAGGCGGAAACGCTGCTCGGCACGACGCTCGAGAACCACAACGAGTGGAGGCTCCACGCGGACGCCGAAGACCGCGTGCCGCGCGCGACGCTGCGAAGCGCCTGCGCCGTGACGGCCGCGCGCGTCGAGGCCGCCGAGACGTTCTACCAATCGCTCAAGGAGTTCTACGACTTCCGCAAGGACGCCGCAGCGCTATGGGAGCGCCAGCCCTCAAGAGACGCGCTCGAGACGCTGGAGCCCGTCAATAAGGCCGGGGACAGGGAGTACGACGAAACAGCTTTTCAACAAAGCGTCGACGGGCACCCCTGCCAGACCATCAAGGCGTTGTACGAGGCCGCGGCGTTGTGTAAACCGGCCTTCGAGCACCTCATGTTCAAAATTCAAAGGGAGGCGTCGAAGCATGATGAGGGCGAGCCCGAGCTTAAGTTGGCGCCGCTGAAGGGCGTCGCGCGGGCCCAGGAGAAGGCTAGGTTTGATTACGGGGATCGACCGCACCCGATCTCGTGGGTCTGCGACATTGTGCGCGGGTGTCTCATTGTGGAGACACCGCAAGCCGCGCGCGTGGCGTTCGATGCTTTATCGAATCATGACGGCGTCGACATCGTCAAGTCGAGCAATAGGTTCAAATACCCGACGCCGGCGGGCTTCCGCGACGTCAACGTGAAGATGCGACTGGATCCGCAGAAGGTCGCGGGGAGCGCCCTTGGCTCGGCTTTGGACAAGAAGGCCTGTCCCCACGTCGTCGAGGCCCAGATCCATCTGAGGCCTCTGAAGAAGTTCGCGGTGGAGCGGGACTCGCACCGCTTCTACGAGCACTTCCGGTCGTTCTTCCGGGGCGACTGGGAGCAGATCGAGGCCCAGGCCCAAGCGCTGGAGCGGTTGTTTCAAAGAGGGAGCGGCTCGTCTTTGTTAAGTGCCGTCGACGAGTTGGTCGCCGACGACCAAGCGTCGGCTTCGCTCACGTCCTCCGTTGCCGAGTTAGTCGGACAACTAGGCCTCCACGACAAGGAGGCGGTGCTCTGCGAACGGCTGGCGGAACTGGAGCACAAGGAGCGGAGGCTGACGCACGTCGGCGTCGCGCACTTACGGAGGGGCAACGCCCTTTTAGCCCAGGGCGCGTGCAAGGACGCGGCCGACGCCTTTCGCATCGCCGGGAGGAAACTCAACAACAAGCCGATGCTCCTCATCGACGCGAAGCTGGGGCAGGGCCGGAGCCTCGTCGGCCTCGGGGACCTCGCGGGGGGCGAGAAGGTGTACACGAAGACGCTGAACCTCCTCGGGATGATGGCGAAGAACAGGATCTGCTCCGAGGAGGCCGTCGGGCCCGTACATGTGGCGAAGGCACACCTGCTCGCGGCGCGCGGCGAGTACGACGACGCCTTCGCGGAGCTGGCAAAGGCCGAGAAGTTACTATTAGCCTTCGACGGCAAGGGCGACGAGTCGCCCAACTTGGCGTCCGTGCGGGCTGCTAGAGCCGACGTTTTATTGAGACGCGCCCAGGCCCTGGAGCGCCTCGGGGACCAGACCTGGTCGAAGCTCGTGAATGACGCGTACCACGAAGCGAACGCCGCGGCGGAGGTGCTCCACAAGGTCTGCGGCGAGCGCGCCAAGGAGACGGCCACGGCCTTCTCCGTCAAAGCGAAGGTCCTCGTGCGGCAAGGTAAGTACCTCGGGCGAGGTAAGTACCTCGAGGCCGAGGAGCCGGCGGCCAAGGCCTGCGCGTGCATCGCGGATACAAGAGCCGCGGCGGCGGCGCGCGCGACGTACGCCGCTGCTCTAGAGGGATTAGGGCGGACGGGCGACGCGAGTGCCGAGCGGCGGAAGGCCACGGACGCGCTGCGGGCCGGCCAGGGCGGCGCCGACATGGTGGACCTCTTACTGGCGGAAGCCGAAGCGCTGAAGAAGCAGGGCCACGGCGAGCGCGCGGCGGAGGCCGCGGCCGAAGCTGTCCGTGCCGCGCTCGACCCGCGGGACGTCGTACGAGCCAGGCAAGAGTCGGCGGACATCTTGTCGTCCCTCAACAAGCACGACGCGGCTGCCGCCGAGCTCGATGCTGCCTTGGACGCGGCGACGAAGTTGCTCGGGAAAGTCCCGACGCCTGCAGAAGATTTAACGCCGCGAAGCGAATTCGACACGCGCTTCGAAGTGACAAAAAAGATGCTCGCCCACCCGCGCGCCATCACGGAGGAAATGGCTTTGCTGTACAGGACGCGCGGCATCACGGCCGAGGACCGGGGCCGCGCCGACAACGCCGTCAAGTTCTACGGCTGGGCCCTGGAGTTGTTTCGGGCGCACGACGGCGACGATAAACCCTTCGTCGCGGAGCTCGCGGGGCGCCACGCCAAGCTCTTGGAGAAGTTCTCGGCGCGGAAGGCGCGGCCGCCCCGGCCCCGCAGCGGCGTCAAGGACCGGCCGCGGAGCGGCACGCAGCGGCCGAAGAGCGGCACGCGCCGGCCGCACAGCGCCGCGAAATACCGGCCGAAGAGCGCCACGAAGCAGCCGCCCGACGGCACCCTCGACGACCTCGCGCGGGAATTGTGCGCCCTGCGCCAGCCGTCGCGGTAGGACCATGTTTTAAGTGAATCTAGGTTAAGGAAAACATATCCCGCCGTCGACGGGATATGTATTCGCCACTCTTCGTCGCCTACACGGGCGCCTGATCAAAGATCCCCGCCGCCGCCGCGACCTTCTCGCGCTCGCCGACCTTGGCCGCGAGCTCGAGGACCATCGGGCAGCCGGCGAAGGGACCCTCCTCGCCGCACGACTCGCGGAAGGCCGTGAAGCCCTTGCAATTGAGCACCTGTGCGTAGAGAACGTCGCGTCGACGGCGCGGGTCTGACGGAGTCGCGGAGTCTGACGGAGTCGCGGAACGCCATCGCCGCGACCGCACGCATTGAGACGCTGAACCGCACCGTCGTGACGCACGTGTAGATGAAGAGGTCCGCGTACGTGCACTCGTCGCCGGCGCAGAACGCCGTGCCGGCGGCGGCCAGCTTCTTCTGGAGGCGGCCCATGCGCTGCTTGTGCAGCGTCGACAGCTCCGACACGAAGTCGGCGTGCTTCTCGTGCTCGGGGTTCGCCCGGGGGTCCGTGTTTCGACCTTGTCGCCAGTGCGGCTCGGCGTGGTTCATGATGACGTCGTGCATAGGGGACAGGAAGAATGAGTAGTAGTCGTTGCAGAAGTTCCAGGCGTCTTTCGCGAGGAACTTCGACTTTGTATCCTTGGGCGTCAGGGGGCCGTCGGGCGTCTTCTCGAGGATGTAGTCGACGATTGCCGCCGAGTCGCCGAGCGAAAAGCCTTCTGTCGTCTCCAGCACGGGCAGCGTGCCGTGCGGCGCCTGCTCGGCCCAGTTGTACTCACCGCCGAAGCCAGCGGGCAGCACTGTCTCATAGTCAATGCCGTGCTCGGCAGCGAGGAGGCGGATCTGCTCGCCCCGGCCCACCACGGGCAGGTAGATAAACTTGGGCTTGGGCGCGTCGCCCTCGACGCTGGCACCGGCACCCATGGTAGCTAGTTATTTGTCGCGAGTGCGCTTGTGCGTAGGCTGTCAGGCAGCGCGTGTGGGCTCGTGGGCAGCAATTAGCGCCGCGAGTTTCTTCTTTTGCCTTTGCTCCAGCTGGGGATATCAGCGGCCGCGCGATACGCGTCCAGGCAATGTTGCCAGGCATGCCCACTGGTCCGTGACCCGTCTAGGGCCTCGAAATTTTTAGCAACAATTAATAATTAGCGTTTTTGCCTGTTGGCATTTGCCCCACCCGCCGCGCAGCGCGCAGCGTCGAACTGCGCGCCTAGGGGTCAGCCAGCAGTGCAGCGCGCCCAGGGGTCCGCCGCGCGTCGGTTTATTCAGCTCCGCGGCCGCTTCCTGCGCTGCAAAACCGCTGCTAATGGAGACCTCCCTCCCCGCCGTGAACGGCAGCACGAACACCGTCGTCGTCGTACGAGTGCGCCCCTTCGGCCGCAAGGAAACGCCGACGACGCCGTGCGCCGAGGCTCTCGACGACGGCCGCTCTTTGATCGCGCGGCGCGACGAGCGCCGGGGCGGCCAGTACCTCCAGTCGCAGCAGGCCACGGAGACAACATACAAATTTGATGCGACCTACGGCCCGGCCACGAGCCAGCAGAGCGTCTACGAACAGACGACCAAAGCCCACGTCGCGACGCTCGCCAAGGGCCAGATCCCGGCTCTGACGGTCGTGGCCTACGGCGCGACGGGCGCGGGCAAGACCCACACGATGATGGGCGATAGTGGACGGGCGGGCGTCATCCCGCGGGCGGTGGGCGACTTATTTGAGCAACTACCCAGTTCCACAGTCGCGAAAGTGTCGTATCTTGAAGTGTACAACGAGCGCGTCTTCGATTTGCTCGGTCCCGATCGCTCGAAGCCGCTCAAGGTCTGCGAGGACGAGCGGCTCGGCGTCGTCAAGGCGCTGGAATTGACCGAGGCGCCCTGTAGCAAAGCGGAAGAAGTCCTCTCCCTCTTGAGTCAGGGCAACGCCAAGCGGACGACGGAGGCGACGGGCGCCAACGATTCGTCGTCAAGGAGCCACGCCGTGCTCCAGGTCAAGCTCGGGGAGCGGACGCTGACGCTCGTCGATTTAGCCGGTTCGGAGCGCGCGTCGGCGACGGGCAATAGAGGTTTACGCTTGGCCGAGGGCGCGCACATCAACCGCTCGTTATTGGCCCTGGCGAACTGCATTAATGCATTATCCTGCCCGCTGGCCCCGCGGCCGAAGTTCCGCGACTCGAAGCTGACGTTGATTCTGAAATCGGCGCTCGAGAGTGCGACGGTGCGCTTGGTGGTTGTGGCCTGCGTGTCGCCGTCCATGCTGTCGGTGGACGACACGATGAACACCCTGAAGTATGCCCAAAGGGCCAAGACCATGCCCAAGAAGTCGGAAGCCAAGCGACGGGCGTCGCTCGGCGCGCGCGACCTGGAACCCAGACGGCCGGCGCGGCGGCCGTCGGCCGTGGGCCACGCTCCCAAAAGGCGGCGCGCGTCCGTCGCGGCGATGGGCGCGCCGCCCTTCCGGCGCGCGTCGTCCGACTTGCGGCGCGAGTCGCTGTCGGCCGTCGCGGCGGCGCGCAAGCACGCCGCCGAGGTGTCCGAGAAGTGCCACGCGGGGCTCCAGGCGACCGCGCCGGCGCCGGCGCCCTGCGTACCGGAGGCGCCCGCGCCGCCGCGCGAGAAGCCGATCCGGAAGCGGCGCGGCTCCATCGGCGCGCCGGGCGTCGCGGCGCGCGTCAAGAAGCGCCGCGCCTCGGCGGCGGCGGCCGCGCCGGCGCCGGCGAAGCCGGCGGCCTGGCGCGCGCAGTCGCACGAGCTCCGCGAGGCCATGCAGGCGCGGCGCGCCGCCGCAAAAGCGGCGCCGCCCGCGGGGCCGCCGCCCGACGCCTTCCGGCCCCAAAGTCAGTTGGCGCGGACCGGGGCGCTGCCGACGGCGCCGAGTGGTCCGCCGCCCGACGCCTTCCGCCCGGCGAGCCAGCTCGCCCGGACCGGCGCCCTGCCGGCCGTCGTCGAGCCGGCGCCCGCGCCGGAGGCCGCGCCGCCGGCCGCCGCTGCCGCCGCGACGGCGGCGCTGCGCGCGGCGGCGAGCGACCTCCGCGCGAAGGAGCAGGAGCACGCGGGCGCGGCGCTCCGCGCGGCCGCGGCCGAGGCCGCCGCCGCCCCGTCGCCGGTCATCCGCGAGGCGCCGCCGTCGGAGGACTTCGAGCGCCTCGACGCCTTCCGCCGGACGAGGATGGCCGCCGACGAGGAGGCGGGCGACGCAGTCCGCGCCTTCGCGCCGGTCCGCGAACTCGCCCGGACCGGAGCCGTGCCCCAGCCGCTGCGCCCGCGCCCGGGCTTCGCGGTCCCGCCGGCGCCGGTCGCCGAGAGCGCCGAGCTGCCGCCGCCGCCCGCGGCGGAGGACGCGTCGTCGCCGCCGCCGGTCGTGCCCCCGCGCTTCGTGCCGTCGCCGGACCTGAGCGCGACGACGTCGGGCGCGCGCCACGCGGCGCGCGCCAAGCGCGCCGCGGGCTCCCTCCAGGAGCGCCTCGAGGCGGCCGAGGCGCGCGCCGCCGCCTGGAAGGACGCGGCCACGGACGCCGAGACCGTCGCGTCGACGCTCGCGGCCGCGCTGCGCGAGGAGTGGAAGGACCGGGCGCCGGCCAAGTGGGCCGCGCTGCGCGACGACTTCGCCACGTTCCGGGCTAGGTATGCCCGACACGTCGCGGCCGCGGACGCGTGCCTGCCGCCGCAGCCGCTCGGCGAGGCGTCGAACCTGGGTCGGTCCTAGGTCCTTTCCCCCCGGTTATATGAAGTATATACAGATCGTAGAATGGGGCGCTTCTCCCCGAAACAAATTCTGTACGGTGTTCGGAGGTTCGGACTACGTACCCCGACTCCCCGATCGAGCCTAGGCCGGCCTAGCTCTACTCAGGCTACTGCTGAGGTGCGGGTTCAGCGAAAAAACCTGCGCACGTAACGAGCTGCTGTGCTTTATGCTATGGACTAGGCCTAGATGCCAACCCACTGGATGAACATGAATGGCCTTTGGGCTGCCCAACCCGGGCAGGGTTCATGCGGGCACGCACGCTGGGACTAGACAGTCGGCAGGTCATGGGCTGTAGTGCTAGCAAAAAACTCATTGCCACGCTGCACACCGAGTTTTTTGCTGAAACGGTCGCGTGCTACACGACACAGGCCGGCGCCCCGCGCGTCGTGAGCGGCTCGCACGACTACACCTTGAAGATCTGGGACCCCGAAACACAAAAGCTCCTCGCCACGCTGAAAGGGCACACCGATTTGCTCGCGGGCGTGAACGCGGTCGCGAGCTACACGACACAGGCCGGCGCCGTGCGCGTCGTGAGCGGTTCGGACGACAAGACCATAAAGATCTGGGACCCGGACGCGCAGCGGCTCCTCGCCACGCTGAAAGGGCACAAATTTAGCGTGGAAGCGGTCGCGTGCTACACGACACAGGCCGGCGCCGTGCGCGTCGTGAGCGGATCACGGGATCACACCATAAAGATCTGGGACCCGGACGCGCAGCGGCTCCTCGCCACGCTGAAAGGGCACACTTACGACGTGAACGCGGTCGCGAGCTACACGACACAGGCCGGCGCCGCGCGCGTCGTGAGCGGCTCGCGCGACGGCATCATAAGGGTCTGGGACCCTGACACGCAGCGGCTCCTCGCCACGCTGGAAGGGCACACCAGCAACGTGAACGCGGTCGCGAGCTACACGACACAAGCCGGCGCCGTGCGCGTCGTGAGCGGCTCGTGGGACAAGACCGTAAAGATCTGGGACCCCGAAACACAAAAGCTCCTCGCCACGCTGAAAGGGCACACTGAATACGTGAACGCGGTCGCGTGCTACACGACACAGGCCAGCGCCGCGCGTGTCGTGAGCGGTTCGGTCGACAACACCGTAAGGATCTGGGACCCGGAGACGCAGCGGCTCCTCGCCACGCTGCAAGGGCACACTGAGCGGGTGACCGCGGTCGCGTGCTACACGACACAGGCCGGCGAAGTGCGCGTCGTGAGCGGCTCGTGGGACGGCACCGTAAAGGTGTGGCGCACATCGGACAAAGCGCGCACAGCGTCGCAGACGGCGGGAGGCACGAAGGTCGCGCCCGCGACGTCCACGAAGGCCGCGGTCGCCGCCGGCGCCACCGTCGGCGCCGCGCTCACGGCGTCGCAGACCGACGTCCTCGGGCCGCTCTCCGGGGTTCTGACGGCGCTCCCCGCGACCGCGCCGCCGCCGCTCAATATGTGTCTGATGCCGTTTGCGCACGCCTTAGCCGAACTCGGTCTCGCGGTGCGCCAGGTGCGCTTCAACAAGGAGGCCGCGGTCATGCTGCAGCGCCGCGGACTTGAAATCGCCCAAAAGCTCCAGGACGTCGTCAAAGCGACGCAGGGCCTGCCGAGCGGGCGCGTCGAGGCCGTCGCTCGGACGGTGACGGCCATCGGCCAGGCGCTCGACGAGGCTGCGAAGTTCCTGCAGCAGTTCTCGAAGAAGGGAGCGTTCGCGAAGCTCTGCTCCGGCACGCTCGACGCGCGGCGGTTCGGGCTCCTCGACAAGCGGCTCTGCGAGCTCAGCACGGAGCTCGGCTCGGCGTTGGACCTCCAGCAGCTCGCCCTCCAGGCGCAGCGCTTCGAGAAGATCGAGGGCTTGATCCAACTCCTCGGCCAGCAGACCGTCGACGCGAACAACCAGGCGGCGGCGCAGCGGGCGGCGATCCTGTGCGGCATCGAGAAGGGCAGCGCCGTCGAGAGCGAGGAGCTCTCGGCGCTCGGCCTGAAGCTGGACCAGATCGCCGCGGACGTGAGCACGGTCATCGACCAGAACACGAAGCAGCAGGAGTCGCTCGACGAAGTGAAAGAGATGGTGGCGGCGAAGAACTCGAAGCTGCGGGGTCGGGCGCTGGCGCGGCAGGAGAAGGAGCGTACGCTGGTAGAGTTCGAGATCGAGCTGGACTCGGTCGAAGAGCAGCCATTCGCGAAGGGCTCGCAGGGCGAAGTTCACCGCGGCAAGTACCAGGGAGACACGGTCGTGCTGAAGAAAACAAGCCTTGTGGGCATGCTTGCGGTGGACCGCGCCAAGCACCTGAAGGCGTTTGCCACGGAGCTTACCATCATGACCCAGCTTCGCAGTCCGCGCATCGTGTCGGTCATCGGCGCCATCACAGTGGACTCGTCGTACCTGGGCCTCGTCCTCGAGTACTGCGAGGGCGGAACGCTGCGGGAGGCGCTCGCCGCTGATGACTACGCGACTGCCGTCGACGAAGCGCAGCGGCGGAGCTGGCTCCTGGACGTGGCGCTGGGCATGAGCTACTTGTATTCGAAGGGCGTGGAGCACCGCGACCTCAAGTCGCTCAACGTGCTGCTCGACGGCGCGCGGCGGTGCAAGGTGTCGGACTTCGGGCTCTCGAAGAGCGAGTCGCTGAACACGGCGGCGACGCAGTCGACGATGGGCGACGCGAAGGGTACGCCTGCGTACATGGCGCCCGAGCTCCTCCAATCGAATACTTTTACCGAGAAGACGGACGTGTACGCGTACGGCATGGTCGTCTTCGAGGTGCTCGCCGGAGATATCCCCTGGCGTGGTCTCAACCAGATGCAGATCATGATGCAGGCGGGTCTGCAGAAACAACGGCCGCCCGTGCCCGAGGGAGCGCCCGCGGACCTCGTCGCGTTGATGCGGAGGTGCTGGGACCACGAGCCGGACGCGCGGCCGGACTTCGCCGCGATCAAGGCGGAGCTCCGCGGCGGGCCCGATACTCCTGCGCGGTGAGCGCCTCGTTTTCGTCTCGGTGGCGGGACCCCTCTCTTCGGAAGTTTCTTTCTTATCTTAATATACTAGTACTTCTATTTTAGCCTAGACATCTCTTGGTACGGTGCTAGGAGTAGTGGCCCTCCGATCTTGTTACGGTCGAACTAGTGGGCGGAGCCCCTGCCTAGGGCTGGGGGGGGGACACTAGAGGGAGACACGCACGTCGCCGATTCATCGGCGGCGGGCGCGAGCCGCTTCTTTCATAACAGCGTACCTCCTTCTAAGCAGAACCGCCTCGGCAAACCCCCCGGAACAATGTGCAACGTCGCCCGTTCAATCAACTTGTCCCGCGACTTCCCGCAGGCGACCTTGGACCGCGGCGACGCGTTTGGCACCGTACATTCCAACAAAGCCAGTAGACACTCGGCCCGACCCTTGACAATCGCCACGCCCCACTCCCGGTAGATCTGAGCCGCATCGGCCCGACATCGCTAGCGGCCTGTAAGACACTAGGATGCCTAGACAAGCAGCACAGGGCGAACGCTTTAGTCGCTGCCGCTGCTGCCGTGCACAAAGGCTGTTGCTAAGAACAAACGTCTGCAACGCGAATCAAACGTCTGAGGCAGTTACGAGAGCGACAGAGCTATAGCAACTCAAGTGGAGCCTACTCGCGGTTTCACTGCAGACGCGCCCGACAAGGAAGAAACTGCTAAAAAAAGATGGCGCAGGGCCGCGGCCGGGGCCAGACGCTCCCGGCTTGGATGACGCAGGGCGGCAACGACGCCGCCCTCGACTCCATGCTCGCGAGCGCGTCGCAGGCGGCCGCGCAGCGCGAGAGGCCGGGCGGCGACGAGCCGGCGCCGAAGAGGCGCTCGCGCTTCGACGACGGCCCGCCGCAGCAGCCGCCGCCGCCGCAAGGAGGCGGCTGGGGCGCGCCCCCGCCCGCAAACGGCGGCTGGGGCGCACCGCCGCCGGCACAGGGTGGCTGGGGCGCACCACCGCCGGCACAGGGTGGCTGGGGCGCACCGCCGCCGGCACAGGGCGGGTGGGGCCAGCCGCCGCCGCAAGCGGGCGGCGGCTGGGGCGCGGCCGCTCCCCAGGAGGACCCGCGCATCGCCGCCGCGAAGCGCGCCGCCGCCGCCTTCTCGAGCGGCGCGGCGGCGGCGCCGCCGCCGCCGCCGGCCGGCGGCGGGCGCGGGCGCGGCCTGACGACGCCCGCCTGGATGAGCCAGGCGCCCGCGGCCGCCGCGGCCCCGAAGAAGCCGACGTCGCCGCGCGCGAACGACCCCCGCGCGCGGAACAAGGCGCCGGCCATGCCGACGGCGCCGCCGATGCCCAGGGCAAGCGGAGGCGCCGGTGCCGTCGGCCACGCCTGGGACGGCGTCGGCGCGCCGCCGCCCGTGCCCCTGCCGCCCGCGCCGCCCGCGCCGGCGTTCACCGGGTCGGACGCGGCGCGGAAAGCGCTGGAGCGCATGGGCGCGGCGCCGCCGGCGCCGCCGCCCGCGCCGGCCCCCGCGCCGCCTCCACCAAACCCGGAAGACGCCGAGAAGGCGGCCCGGGCGCGCATCAAGGAGCTGCAGAACGCCGGCACCGACGACTACCAGAAGAAGGACTTCCAGGCCGCGCTCGCGTCGTACAAGGGCGCGCTGCAGCTCCTCGACGACCTCAAAAGAGACGTCCCGGCGATGTCGTCGCGCGTGAACGCGGAGCGCGACGAGCGGCGCATGAAGGTCCTCTCGTGCGTCGCGAAGGCCCACGAAAAGCTCGGCAACGCGCAGGAGGCCAAGGACGCGTCGCGCGCGTGCGACAAGATCCAGAAGCGCCTCGCCGAGTACAAGCGGCGAGCGCGAAAGTAGTAACTATTCTTATTCACAGCGGCGCGACCTTCGCCGTTTTCCGTTTCCGGCGCTTCCGACGCTTCGGCTTGCAAGGCCGCCCCGCCTCCTTCCACTCCTTCCGCGTCTTCGCGCGGAGCTGCTTCAATTTTTCCGCATGCTGTTCGGCCTGGTCCGCCAGGCGCGAGAGGAACGGCTTCGACGGGCGCGAGGACGTTCGCCGGCGCGGCGGCGGCGGCGGCGGGCGCGCGGGCGCACCTCGCGTCGACGGGCGCCAGATAAGCTTCGATTCCTTCGGCGCGGCGGGCGGTTGCGCCGCGCGCTTTTGCGCCGCCGAGGCCGCGCGCCGGCGCGCGGCGACGGACGCGGCGCGCCGGCGCCTCACGACGCTGTCCTCGCGCGCCACCGGGCGCCGCGGCGGCTCCGAGGCGCTCCGACGCGGCCGCGCGGGCCGTCGCCGCCGCGCCGCTTTGTAGGCGTCGAGCGTCGGCTGCGCGAGCCGGCCGCTCGTCAGCGCCGCGTCGGCTTCGGGATCGAGGGTCCAGGCGTTTGTCGAATTGGGCACCGGCTCGAGCGAGCAGTCGCGCGGCATGGGGTCCGTCGCTCCAAGCAGCACGACGCCGCCCGGCGCAAGGCGCGACGAGATGCGATCCGCCGCGCGGAGGGCGCCGGGCGCGTCGCAGTAGAGGAACGCTGCATAGCGGCACAGCACCAAGTCAAAGATATCAGGTTCGTCGTCGGGCGCGTCGCAGGCCGCGTCCTCGATCCTGAACGCGAAGGACGACCTGCGTGGAAATCACATCTGAGACGCCGTCGATGGCGTCAAGGCCGAAGGATTAATTTCCACACGGAAGGCGACGCCAGCGTTGAATCGCGCAAGCAATAGGCGCGCGTCGTCGCCGACGCGGTGGCCCGGAAGCCCTTCTTCAGTATATCGAGGGGCACCGTCCGAATTGCCGCCTGCGTCCACCGCCGCTCGCGCACGTCAGCTGCCTTGTCTAGCAAGTCTTGCCGGACGTCCGACCCCACGCACTCGAGCCGCGGCGCCTTCGCCCCCAGGACCGGCACGATGCGGTGCCTGTACAATAACGCGAGACTGTACAACTCCTCGCCGGAAGAGCACCCGCACGACCAGACGCGTAAGGGTCGCCGTTGCGCCGCTGCTCGGCAAGCGGCCCGGAACAGCCCGATCTGCGCGAGCCAGCGCCAGGCCTCGGGGTCCCGGAAGAACGACGTGTGGGACCGAAACGGCTGGTCGAGGACCTTCTCGCCGTAGGGGTCGTGCGACCGAAAGCATCCCGGCATGGCGACCGGGTCGCAGCGCCCCTCGAGCCAGTCGTCCAAGCTTCTCCAATGGAGTGCGGTGATCTCGTACCACGGGCTCGCGTACTTGAACGAGTCTTGGATGGATACGCAGCCCCAATGATCTCTAGATGCTAATGTGGACTCGGGACCGCTCCCGAGATCTTCTCCGAGGTACATCTCCACATGTACAATATCCCCTTTCTGGCGCCGCTCTCGTCCACGTGTGTAGCGGCCCTGGACGAACAGTAAATCACCGGGCTTGACGTCTTTGAACGACAGCTTCGTCGGTAAGGTTGCATAGAGGTAGCACTGGTTCCACGGCCCCACATCGAAGCCGAAGTCCTCTCTCATATCTCGCAAGACTTGCCGGAAGAGCCCGCAGCAGTCGAGATACAAGGGCTGGCCGTACAATTCGTCGCCTTCCTTGTGATATCTCTCCGCGTAGGGCGTGCCGATGTACGACTTGACTTGCTCGATGAACTTGGCGCGGAGCCGCTCCTTGTCCGAGGTCGGGTCCTTTGCGCGGCGCGCGGCGGCGCGGTGGCGGAGGTCCTTCGTGCCCGGGCGGCTGGCGGTGGCAGAGCCTGGACGACTTACGGCCGAGCCCGGACGGCTGGACGGCCCGGCGAGCGGCGGCGCCGGGACCACCTGCCGGCCGCCCTTGCCCATGGCCTGTCACTCCTGTCACGGGGCAGCCCCTTATGGCTTTTACGCAGCACCGCGGCTCTTGCGGCGGCAGCACGAGTGCGTTGCAAGGGGCAGCCCCAAGGCTTGCGCAGCGCCGCGGGCAGCTAGGTGCGCACTGTTTGCGTCATCATGTGTACGTGCAGCGTGCTCGATGCCTCTCACGGGTTGCGAAATGCGCGGCGCACAAGCACAGCTCGCAGAGCGCTGCAAGCGCTGCAGAGCTTTTTTCTTGGCGGACCTCTCCAAAGACAGGTACTGTTGCTTGCAACCCACACCCTCGGAGGCGTGGGAGGTATCCTGACAGAGCTAGCGGCCAGTAAGACACTAGCAAGCTCGGAGGCAAAGCCCAGGTTGCTCGACTGCCTATAGATAAAGGGCGTCGGCAGGTCTGGATCGCACGAGTGCAGCGCGAGTGCAGCGCGAGCGTGAGAGCTCTTACAACACTGCACACTGCATAAGAGCATAATGGCATCCTGGTTTACCCGCAGCCGCCAGCCACAAGCTCAGCTCGGCCCGCCATGGGCTGTGCCCGAAGCACAATTGTTCGACGACGACGAGGATCCGGCGGCGAGATTATTGAGACGACGCGTCCGCTGGGAGGTCATTGATGAGTCGCGAAACGCCAAAATTACGGGCACTGAGGCGTTCCTCTCACTAGCCGTGCTGCGGCTCTCGAGCGACAGCGGCATTGGTGCGCGCATACCGCTCACCGCGATCCATCGCGAGGAGTACATGCAGCCCATCTTCGGCGCGAATTACCTCACCGGGCTGGCGATGCAGGACGGCGCCACGGTGCGGTGGACGCTCGAATTTTTGAGTGCCGGCGCGGCGCAGTTTGCGAGCGTGTTCTTCCGCGCCGTCCGCGCAGCGCGTTCCGGCGGCACCACGAACACCGCGGCGATCCAGGCCTCCGCCCGCGTGGCGAGCGCGGCCGAGGCCGAGACCTGCGTCTGGGCCGAGGCCGTCCCCGTCGACGGCGCGCCGAGCGCGGACCTGCCGACGGCCACTGCCTTGTGACGTGTGCCAATGGCCCGGCGGCGCGTCGCGTCGACGGCGTCAGCACGACGCCGTCGACGCGGCATCCCGACCACGGTTCGATGTCAGATGTAATGTGTCCTGTACCCGCTAGGAGGGGGGCGCGACCTACCCTACTTCGGCGCGCAGTAGTTCGAGGGGAAGGACCCCTGCTTGCCGTTGAGCTCGCCCGAGACCCAGCCGCCCGAGTCGCCCGCGGCCGCGAAGGCCGCCGCGTCCGTGAGGATGACGTCGCCGGCCTTGAAGCCCAGGTCCCCGGGCTGGTCCGCCGCGAAGTCGAAGGTCCCGACGACCTCCATCATGCCCGGCGGCAGGACCTTTTCCTCTGTCGCCGGCGGCGGCAGCGGCGCGGGCGGCAATTGGTCGGGCGGTTTTGAGGTTTCCGCGACCATGAAGTCCCGCACCCGTTCCGTCTCGCCCGCGCTGAGAGGAGCCTTGCCCGCAAGACTCTCCTCCGGCGTCTTGGGGGGCCCCGTCGGCTGCCGCATCTGGAACGCGGCCGCCGCGCCTCGGTCCGTCGTCATGCCCGCGTTCGGCACGGCCAGGCCCCGCGCCATGAGGTCCTTGAGCTTGTCGGCGGCGCGCTGATCTACCGGCGTCGCGTCGGGGTCCAATGCAAGACCCTTCACGACCTTCTCGGCAAAAGCAACGTAAAAATCCCTTTGTAGAGGTACAAGAGCATCCCCCACCGCCTGGCACTGGCCCCGCGCGAACTTGGAGTAGGCTCGCAATCTATCTCTGACTTCTTTCGTGGCTTGTTTCGCTTCTTCGGCTGTTTCGAAGGCCTTGGTCCTATTTCTAGTGAGTCGGTCGGCTAGCTCTTGTTTTTGCTTCACTGTGGTCTTCTCCAGCGAGTCCTTTTCGACTTTTTCCCTTTCCAAGTTTTCGAGCTTGGCCTGGTAGTGGTCCCGCTCCATTTTTTTGGCCTTGCGATCTTGGAGCATCTGCGTCGTGTCCCGGTACTCCTCCAGACCTTGTTTCAAGGGTTCTATCACGGAAGATTGAAACGGTCCTAGGAACTGCTCCGCTAGAGCCGCCGACACCTCCTCGAGAGTAGCATGAAAAGTGAGCACCGCGGCGGTCCTTTCCGAGGGATCGGAATCCGAAGCAAACGCCGGCAACTCCCCGGCAACCGCCACCATGCCTCTAAACCCGGACTCGTACCACTTGGCCACGTCCTCCGTCGTCTTCAGGAGGTTTTGGAGCTGTTCCGTGGACTGGTTGAACCGTAGCGTCATCTCGTCGACCTCGCGCTCTTCCGCGTCGACCGGCTTGTCTTCCCCACTCTGTTTACCGGTCGTGAACGCGGTGCGCGCGTGGGCCTTGTAGTGAGCCAATTTCAAGTGCCGCTTCGGCGGCGTCGTCCGCTCGGTCAACCCCATGCCCTTCTTCAGGCGATCGGCTATCGACATCACATTCACGTCCCCGTAGACGTTGGACGCATCTAATTCGGTTTTACCTTTCGTGAGCTTGACCATGGACGCATCCATGGACAACGCCGTCAGTACGAGCTCGCAGAAGCGATGCAGCATGCCTTTGAGATGACCCACCCTTTTGCAGCAGATGTCCAAGCGAGCCGCATCGTGCGCGGCAAAGGCATCTTCCAAAGCCTTCTTGGCGTCTGCTGCCGCTCGTTCGGCCTCCGCAGACTTACCAGCATTCCGCGCGAGTTTCTCGGGGTCGTTTTTCGTTTTCCCAGCATTCATACTCACGATCTTCTCGCGGTAGTGCCTCGCCTCCATGGCCGTGCGATGCTGATCTTCCAATTTCTTCGCCGTGTCCTTGAAGGCTTGCGTCTCCTGCTCCAACGGTGCGAGGAGGGCGTTCTGGAGACCCTCGCCGAAGGCACCATGAAAGGCCTCCTGCATCGCACCTCCCACGACTTTCGCCTTGTCTGCTATTTCTAGGAGCATCAAGAACGTCTGCTCGTCGGCCTTCGGGTCGTCGCCGGGCTCCGGCGGCAGGCCTAGCGTCGCGCGTGCCGAGGCCGGGTCGAGCTGATGATCTGACAATTGTTCGACGCATTGCGCCGCGTTGCCGATTTGGAGAAAAACTTCTCCTAATTGCGCGCGCGCATCCAACGTCAAGGCTTGCAGCGTCTTCACTTTTTCTTCATACGCTTTGTGTTCACTCAGTCGCTTCTCTAAAGCTTCGTCCACGATCTCCTCGGTGGACCCGCCACTCAACGTCTTGTGCTTGACGGCGTGGCTGAGCTTGAGGCTGGCGCGCTTGAAGGCGTTCATCGTCACGTCTCAGCGCCCGCGCGGCCTTAGAAAGCGCTGGGTGGTCTCACGGCTTCCAAAGTGTGAGCCCGCGAGCGGCAGCTACCAAGGTACAGTCGAAGACCTTGCGGTCTTCACCACGATTCCCGCAGCCCTGGACCTACGTCCGAGGGCGTAGTCGCCGCGAAACTGCTGCTCGAGGCAAAATCCGGGCAAGACTAACTTTTTTTGTTAGCGGCATGTAAGACACTAGGAATAATGGATAGCTCTAGGTTCCTGGACGCGGCCGGCGCCCGAGGCCGGTGATTCGGCGACGCGCGTCTTCCCCTGGGGCTCCGCACGCTAGTCTTAGCACGGTAATGGAAAAGGAGACTATCTCGTGCCGACGTACGGTAACGGAACAGGAGTGCCGGCTTCAGTAGTACAGCAACGACGAACCACGGGTGGAAGGAATAGACTCAATTCCTACTCCCCAGCGGCGCGCGCGTAGGGAGCACGACCTTCACCGCGGGCCGCGCGCACGGCGAAAGGAGCGGCGGCGGCGGCGGAGCCAATTTCCGCGCAGGTGCGACCACGACTGCCGGGGCAGGTAGCAAAGGAGGCCGCGGCGGAGGTGGCCGTGGCGGCGGCGCGACGGGCGGCGGGGGCACGGGCGCCGGCGTCGACGGCGGCGCGAGATGCGCGCTCGGGCGGCGCGGCGGCGGTCCCGGTGGCGGTCCTCGCGGCGGAGGCCCCGGTGGCGGGCCCGGCGGTGGCCCCGCCGCGCGGACGATCGTCGGCGGCGCCCGAGGAGGCGGCAACGGCGCCGACGGCGGCCGCGGCGGCGGAGGAGGCAGTCCCGTCGGCGGCCGCGGCGGCGGCGGCGGGAGTGCTCCGGCCGGCGGCCGGCCCGGCGGCGGCGGCGGTATCGGCCGCGGCGGCGGTACCGTCGCGGGCATTGGCACGGCGGTGGGCATCGGCGGTGGGCGCGGCGGGGGAGGCATCGCCCGCTGTTGTGCGGCCGCCGCGGCCGCCTGCGCAACCCCTAGCACGCCCGGCGGCGGCGGCGCCGGCACCGACGGCGTCGGCGGCGGCGCCGCGGCGCGGACGATCGTCGGCGGCGCCCGGGGCGCCGCCGGGAACGCGGCGCCGAGCAAGTTGCGGCGCGCGGCCATGTCGATGGCCGGCCGCGACGCGCGCCGCGCCGGCGGCGCGTCGTCGAGCGAGGCCCGGGGCGCCGGCGGCGCGAGCGCGGCCTCGGCGAGCGGCGACGGCGCCGAGGCCTGGGACAGGTCGTCGTCGAGCCCCGGCGTCGCCGCCGACAGGTCGACGGACGACGCCGGCGTCCGCGGGGCCGGCCTCCGGCCAAGCACGAGCGCCGACCGCGCCTCGCGCGCGCACCGCGCCGCCGCGACGTCCGCTTTTGCGACCTCCTCCTTCAGCGCGTCGATGCGGCCCTTCGTCGCCTCCAAGTCGCTCCTATTCTTCGTGCGCAGGAGGTCCATGCGCTCGTCGAACGCATTGCTTTTCGCGGCGCTCACGTTGGCAGCCCGCGTGTACCCGGCCGCGGCCCGGCGCAGCCGCGCCACGAGCGCCTCGAAGGCGCCCTCCTCGAATTGTGGCGGCGGCGGCGAGCGCGCGGCTCCTCGTTTCCGGGGCGTAACACGCGGCGACACCATCGGCGCGCGCTTGAGCGCCCGTCTCAACTCAAGTAAGAACCGCGCGGCATTATCTCTGCGCCGCGCGGCGTCGCGGCCCCGCAACAACTCGTCGAGCGGCGGCGGCCTTACCCCCAACCGCTTGAGTGCGCGCGCCTCGAGCAGCGACCAGTTCCTCTCCGCTTCGGCGCGGCCTGATTCAAAAGCGTGCGCGTCTCTTAGTAGGTCCGGCCGCGCCGCGTGGATGAGCATGGCGACGCCGTGGCCGTCGGCGATGGCGTCGGCGACGCGCGCGCGCGCCCCGGGCGCGACGAGGCGCTTCGCGGCCCAGCGCTCCGCCGCTATGAGAGCCATGTCGTCGTCGCTGTCGTCGCTGTCGCTACTGCTGCTCGTTGTGTACGCCATCCCTTGGGGCTGCCCCTGTGGTCAATATCACCAATGCGGCCAGTTCTACCGTGAGCGCAGCTGCTTAAGAGATTTCGTGTCGGATGCTACAACACGCGTTTGGCGGTTGTTCCATACAAGCTCGTATGGCCCGTGAACAGGCGCGCGGTAGCGCGACCCGGTCCAGCCCCGCACGAAAAGCACGCGTCCAGGTAATCTCAACGTATGCGTCGGAGTAGCCTCTCTGAGACTGCGAAGAAGGATGCCTCGCGCGACGCCTGCCTTCGAGGCGCGCCTGAAACCGCCGCCGGGCCCAGCGCCCAGCTTTTCGCCTGGGGCTGCCTCGCCGCCGTCGCTTCCGCAGCGCCGCCGTTACGGATAGCACGCTATCCACCTGTTGCCCATAGCGACGCCGCCGCAGCGCTGCCCCGCTACTCTTCCATAGACGATATAGACGCAAGCCGCCATGTCGGGCGCGCGCGCCGTCATCAAGTCGAGCACGATGGTGCAGGACGAGCTCGAGGAGGCCATTAAGGTGTCAACCATGGCGCTCCACAGCACGAACTCCGAGCAGGAGGCCGCGGCGCAGATCAAGCAGACGTTCGAACAACGCACGAATCGGACGTGGCACTGCCTGGTGGGGCGGAACTTCGCGTGTTATGTGACCTACGAATCGAAGAGTTTTGCGTATTTCTACATCGGGCAGCAGGGCGTCTGCCTCTTCTGCACGGACTAGGTTGTGTGATGGCGGCGTCTCGACGGCACAGCGCCTCTTCGCGGAGGCGCGGCATGGCGGCGTGTTTTCCCGCGCCGCGTGGACGCCGGCGGAGCTCGTAACTAGCAGTGAATTTTCGGAACCCCCCACGCTGTCGATGCGTAGTAGAGATGCGCAGATAATAGATCCGTGAAATCTTCCGTGAACTTAGTCTTAGAACCCCTACTAGGCTAGCTCTGCGCCGCGAGCCCGTCGAACAGGCTCGTCTGCGCCGCGGCGAACACCACGGCCGGCGCGGGCGTCGAGTCGATCGCCGTGACCTTGCCCCGCCTCTTAAAGATCTCGATGATGGGCATCGTCGTCTCGTGGTACGTCTTCAGCCGCTTCTTGATGGCCTCCTCGTTGTCGTCGGCGCGCGCCGTCCCGCCCGCCGCGACGGTCTCCCGCGACCGCTGCATGATCCGTTGCGCCATGACCTCCTCGCTCGTTTCTAGATATAATAATGACACGACGTCGGTGCACGTCGTCATGTTGTCCTCCCAGCCCTTCAGGTTGTCCGCCGACCGCGGGAAGCCGTCGACGAGGAAGTCCGTCGTTGCAGAGGCCTCCATGGCCTTCCTGATCAAAGCTAATGTAATCTCCACCGGAACAATTTTCCCTTCCCTGATGTATTCGTTGATCAATTCACCATGCTTGGAGCTAGGGTCCTTCCGTTCCGCCCGCAATAGATCGCCCGCGGACAAGTGGACCCAGCCATAAGTCTCCACAATTTTGCTGCACAGGGTCCCTTTGCCGCTGCCCGGGCCGCCCAGTACAAACACGACCCTAAACTTCTTGGGCTTGGCCTGGAAGCAGCTCATGACGCGTTCTATGATTGCGGCCATTATCGCTGCGTTGCCTTGTACCGCTGCGGCGTTGGCGTGGCTCTTTTTCGCGTGCCCACGGCGCTTTTGCAGTTTCGGCTGCGGCGTTGGCTTTTTGCGCAGCGCTGCTTGCCGTGCGCGTGTAGGTACAATCCTGCTGCAAGTACAGACCAGTCTTGCGTACTGACGTTGCTTAGCACCGCAGCAATAGCACAGTATCCCCCCAAAAAAAGTAAAAAATAATCCACGTACCCTCCAGCGTAATGGACACTAGAATTTCTTTGCCAGCGCGCTGTATCGGCCGCATAGCTCTCGCTGGGCGACGTGAAGCCGGTTTGGTACAGCCCTGATACCCCTCTAACCGCAGCGACGTGCGCCGTTGCTCACAAACCCGCAGAAACACTCACCCTCGGCTCGAGCTGTACTAGCAGCATCCAGCGCAGCAGCGCATCGGTGCCAGCAATGGTGCAAACGCGGTCGAAGAGAGCCGCGGCAAAGCGCGTTTCGGCAGCCTACTGCTGGTGCGCCTACATCACAGCACTCGCAGCGATCACAGTTGTCGCATTGGTGCTCGAGCCGCCGCCATCGCTGCAAGGACGACCGCTACTGTTAGGCCTCGTTTACGACGTCGCCGCGACGCTTGTCGTCTACGCGTTCTCGCTCTTCGCGGACAACAGCAGCGTCTACGACCCGTACTGGTGCGTGCTACCGTTGTGGCTGCTGGCTTATTGGCGGCACGAGGCGTCGAGCGACTCTGCGCGCGCCCTGATAGTCATGAACCTGGTGTGGGCATGGGCGATCCGTTTCTTCATTGGATACCCGTGGGAGGGATGGACGACGGGGCTATCGCACGAAGATTGGCGTTATATCGATCTGAGAAAAAAGCTCGGCAAGGGCTACTGGCCGTTCTCTCTATCGAGCCTCCATTTGACGCCGACTCTGCTGGTTTTTGGCGCGCTGGCGCCGGCTGGTGCAATCATTCTGCAGGGCGAGGCGCCGCCGCTGAACGTCGGAGACCTCGTCGCATGCGTCGTGACGCTGGCGTTCCTCGTCCTAGAAGCTGTATCTGACGCGACGCTGCGGCGGCACCGCGCCTCGGGTGCGAAGACCACATGTGTCCGGGGCCCGTGGGCCTGGTCGCGCCACCCGAACTACCTCGGCGAGTGCGGCTTCTGGACGGGCATCTATCTGTTCGCGCGGGCCGCCGGAATTGGCGACCTCTCGTACGCCGTCGGGCCGATCACGCTCTGGCTGTTTTTTCGGTTCGCCTCGGCGCCGTTGATGGAGGAGCGATCCCGTGCCCGGCGAAAGGACTACGACGCCGTGTCGCCGTCCGCAATACTTGTGCCGCTACCGCTCCTCTCGCGGAAGGCGAAGCGAATGTGAGAATGTGATCTATCTAAGAATGTGGGACGGGTGTGCGGTCAAGCAGGCCCCACGGCGGCTTGGTGGCTAGGCGGCATAGCTCTAAGCAAAGCAATGTGAGTAACAAACACATAGTGGTTAGGGCCGCGTCGCCGTCGCCGCGCCCCCTCCGAAGCGCGCCATGCGCTTGCGCCGCAGCTCGTCCGCGTCACCGCGCTGCGAGCCGCGGACCGGTCCCGCGGGCCCCTGCGCCGCCCGCCGCACGGCGGACGCGTCGACGCCCTTGAACGCGTTCGGATCTTTCCTTTCCGTTTCCTTGGACACGACGCCCTTGATGCCTCTTCTGTTATCAAAGCCGAAGACGTTGCCTCTACCCCCAGTCTCGTTGCGTTGCTTCGCGCGCGTCTCGGTGCCCGCCGCTTCGCGCTTTTCCTGTTTGCGGATGTCCGCGAAGCTCTGGCCGCCCTTCGAGATCTTGCCGCCGCCCTTGACGCCTTTGGCGTCGGCCCAGCCGACCCAGGCGTCCTCGTGTTGGGGGCACTTCCAGTAGCGGCGCCCGTCGTTTTTCGCGGACCGGGCCGTCCGGAGCTCGCACGGCGCGCCGCAGGTCTTGCACTTTGGGGGCGTCGGGTCTGCCTCGGGCGCGGCGGCGGGCGCCGGCGCCGGCGCCGGCGCGGCCGGCGCGGGTGCGGCGACTGGCGCGGCTGCCTCTTCCTCTTCCTCGTCGGAGGATGTGTCGAGGATGTCCTTCTTGCGCCGCTTGGGCGCTGGCGCTGGCGCGCGCGGCGCTGGAGCTGGCGCTGGAGCCACCCGCTTCCTCCGCGCCTCATCGTCGCTATCTACGGTGAGATCGATGCAATCGGCCATCGTTCGCAGCACTGGGCGATGAATGCCGTTACCTGGCGGCGTCGTACGCCCCAAATAAGCGCTGCGTCGGTCGCCGCGTCGGTCCCGGTGATTGCTAGTATGTCAGTACGCTAGGTCAACCCGTTGAGCGGCTCATACTCGGCCAAAATCGCCGTAGAGCTGCTCAGGAGAATTGTACTACCAGCTGGCGACAACCGCGCCAGCATTCGCTGCAGAAGAACGACGGATAAGGCATGGCTGCAGCAATGAAAACCACACAAAGCATGAAAGGCATGCGTTACGCCGTCGCAGCGATGGCGCTGCACGCCTGCGGCGCCTTCCAGCAGCCCCGGACAACGCGCGGCGCCGTCGCGCTGCGCGCCAAGCCGAAGGTGGTCGTGTTTGATCTTGATGGCTGTCTATGGGATCCCGAGATGTACATGCTGTCGTGGCGCGGCGGCGCGCCGTTTACGCCGGACGGTGACGCGATGCTCGCGCAGTCCGGCGAACGTGTCGTGCTCCTTGGCGCGGCGAGAGACATCCTGCGGCAGCTGCGGACGACGGACGACTGGAGCGCCACGAAGGTCGCCATCAGCAGCCGCACGGACGAGCCCGCGTGGGCCGCCGAATTGCTCGACAAATTTAGAGTAGACGACATGGTGCTCGGCTCGTGCTTCGACGCCAGGGAAATCACGAAAGAATCAAAAAGTTCCCACTTCCGGCGCCTCAAGGAGAAATACGCGTGCGACTACGAAGACATGATGTTTTTTGACAATGAGTACGGGAACTGCCGCGAGATCTCCCAATTAGGCGTCACGGTCGCGTTCTCACCAGAGGGGGTCACCGGCGACGTCTGGGCGGAGGCGCTCGCGGCCTTCCCCTCCGAAAGTATCGTGAACGACTACTACTGAGCGGCGGCGTGGCGACGACGTCGGCGCGCCCATTCGAGGGCACCCGGGCCGCGCGACCGCTGAAAGTCTAGCACTAATGTACTGTGTGTTTCTTATTTCCGCTGGACGTCGCGCGCGGGCAGCGATCGGGCGATCATGCGCCGCAGCTGCGCGTTGACGACGTAGCCCTCGTACTCCTCCTTCTTCTTCCGCTTCTTCTGGGCCAGCACGGTCCACTCGCCTTCTTCTGCGGACCACTCGAGATTTTCGGTGGAGATTATGTATGCGCCATCATCGTCACGAAACTCGCGGCCACCGTACTTCGCGAGGAGCTGCTTCTCGGCCGCGGCGGACCGTTTGTGGGTCGCGCGGCGCTCCCAGCGCTCCTCGAAGGCGCGGAACGGAGGTTTTTTCTTGGCCGGCGCGGCGGCCGGTGGCGGCGGCGCCTCGACCTTGGCCTTTTTTCGCGGCGTCGCCTCCTTGGCGGGCCGCCGCGGCGACTGGCGCGGCGGCGCGTCGAGTGCGGGGCTTCGCGGACTCTGCGGCGGGCCCCGCCGACTCCGAGGCGCGCGCGGCGTCGCACGTCTGTCAGCATTTGGTAGGCCAAACATCTCGCGCACGTGCTTCGGGACCTGTGCGGAATTCAAATTTCGGGCGCCCCACGCCATCGACGCGACGTTGGTTGATTTCCACACCGTTCCGGACCTGGTGCAGCCCCTCAAATAAGCTCCGATCGTCAAAAGCCCCGAGATTATAATGCGACCGCGCCGTCCTCAGCAAGACCACAAAGCACCGCCGCTGCAACCTCCGCTTGTCCTCGCGGCCCGGCACGACCAAGAACCGCGAGTTCTCCGCCGCCGATTCGTCGACAATCAGCGCCGTGAGCTCGAGGACGTCGCAGAGCGTCGAAATCTCGAACTCGTTCGCCCAGACGCACCGCGTCGCGCCGGACTCCGCACCACTGACACACAGTTTGGCTCGTAACGCAGCAGCATCTGGTAAGCGGCGCATGAAGGCGTAGTCGTCAAGGCCCGCTTGATGGGCGACCGCGAACTGCGCAAACACGCCGTCGTCGACCCTCCGACTGACGCACCTTCTGAGTCGCTTGACCTCGTTCTCCTTGTCATTTAACATGATTTCGTTGGCTTCATCTGATGCGCTCAGGCCCGCGGACGCGTACGCGCGCGCGATGCACTTGTAGAAGCAGTCGCCGTCCTGGGGCAGCGGGACGACGGCGCAGTCCTCGATCAAGGGGGCTTTGCGCTTGCGGGCGCCGCCCATCTTCGTCGTTTCGCTGTGTTTCGCCGCTAGGCGCGCGTTTTGCCTTTTGGCTGTTGGCTGTTTTTTATTGCCTCGCTGTCACGGAGTAAATTGCCAACTGCTTGGACAGTCGTCTCAACTATTTCCTAAGCACTGCGCGACGCGGGAGCGCGAGTTATGGCCAAAAACTGTTGCCCTTTTTTTCGCAGCTCCTTGCTCCCGATTGGCTCGTCGCGAATACGCAAAACGGCTGGCGCGTTGACAAATATGTATGATACTACTTTTACCGCAATGTCGCGTAATTCTGCTCGGCGCGCTGTCCACGACCGGGTCGGTGCTGCGTGATGAGCAGCGCCTCGTCGTCGCGTCGAGCCGCGATCCGCGCGCCACAACTCCACAGGGACTCGTAGCAAGACTCCATGACCACAACAAAGACACTTACTAAATCGAGCTAGGAAGCAAGACCGTGTGCGCGCGCGACGTCGACCAAGCACGAAAGGCGCGCCCGCAGCGCCGCCACGGACGCCTCCTCCGCTTCCTCGTCCTCTTCAACGACGTCGACGAAGTCGTCGCAGCGCGGGGGCTCCGCGACGACGACGTCCTCCGCGTCGTCGTCGCTGTCGTCCGAATCGTCGCCGCCATCGTCATCAAGCGCGTCCGCGAGGGACCGCCTGGGTGCCGGCGCGCCCAGGGGCCGCGGCGGGCGCGCGGCAGGCTCCGCGGCGTCCTCGTCGCCGACGCCGACGCGGCACGCGACCTCGCGCGGGCCGCCGCCGCCGGGCCGCCGGTCGACTACGCGGAGCCGCACGACGCCCGCGAGGCCCGGCGCCAGCGCGCGCGGCAGGACGCGCCGGTCGAGCGCGCGGAGGAGCGCCGTCGCTTCTGCCGTGCCGTACGGCCACACCTCGCCGAAGGCCGGCGGTGGTTTCTGCGGTTTTGCGGCGCCGCGGGCGCGTTTCACCTCGACGGGCGGTGCTGGCTGTAGCAGCGCGGCGACGCGGTAGCCGTCCGTCCGGAGCTCGACGGCGAGCGCCGGCGTCGTCGCGGCGTCCTCGTCGTCGTCGTCGAGCGTGTCTTCTCCCGCATTTCTTTTGTCTCGCTGCGGTGGCGCGGCGCGCTGCTTTTTGTTGCGTTGTTCCAGCGCTGACATGAGTTGAGAGCACGCTATGTGTACTCAAGTGTGGGCCAGCTCTACGATGCGACACGCTGCGTGATGATGCGTGGGTCCGAGATATGTCGATTGCCGACACTCAATGTGTCCTGGCGTGACTCATGCGCTCGCGCAGCGCGGCAGCAAGGCACGATGCGCTATAGTGCGGGTGCTCCATAGCGGCTTGCAAATTGCGACGTAGCTGCAGCCGCTTTGCCGCACTTGTCATCAGGCGACGCATTCATTAAAAGCACTCAAGCGCTCTGCTCCGGCGCATCGCTAAGGCACGGCACGTCGCACTGTGGCCCAGCACTCAGAGGACCCAGCACTCGCTTGACGTCTGTCGACGCGAACGGATGGCCAGCTCCCTGGCGAAGCACCGCTACTTTACCTTCGTGGCTACGTCGAGCCAAATGGACGACGCCGAGGGCATCGCGCGCGTCCTCCGGCAGCGCGCGCTCGCCGCGCTCGGCGAGGTCGGCCTCGGGCGGCTGGACCCGCGCGTCAACTTCCACGACCGCGGCTCGCGCGTCGTCGTCGTGCGCGTGGCACGATCACATGCGAAATATTTCAAGGCCCTCGCGGGCGCGTCGTGCCGCGTCGTCGCGTGCTCGGGGAGCCTCCGCACCTGTAAGCCGCGCGTCCGGCGGTTGTTGCGCGAGCGGGGCGCTTCGGTGGCGGCGTTCGAGGCGCTCGAGAAGTTGCGGTGAGTCTGTCCGTGAACGCGGGCGTGTTTTATGTTTTAGGCTAAGTAGCTGTGTGTTTGTTTACCCTAGTTGTCTTGGGACGTCTCTTTGGGCTCATATACCGGTTTGCGAGGAATTTCAGGGAGGTCGGCGCGACGAGCAAATTTGCGCAGCCGCACCTGTGGCATATTCACGCACGCCACACGGGCCGCACAGCCCACCCGAAGACACAACACTGCGTCTTCCGCAATCCGAGAGTAGGCACTCTCGATAGAGCGGCCACCCCGCACCGCTGCGGCCTTGTTAGACGAGATTTGACCACCGTTGCTGGAAGCTGCTCTGACTGGTTTTACGGTGTTCGCCCGCTAACCTATTCGCTCGCCCGGCGCCTTACCGGCCCGCCAACCGCCGGCGCCCGCCGCACACGGCCGCGGGACGCCCTGTTTGTTTGACGAGCCGATACGGCAGTTGAGCGCACCTCGGAGATTCGGTGGGCGCCATGGCGGCGCACGACCTCGCCACCGCTTTATCAGCGACGACGCTGGACGAGGACGCCAATCCTCTGAGAGCTTTGCCCGAAGGCGTCCTCGGCCTGAGCCTCGAAAAGCTCCACGCCCGCGACATCGCAGCATTACGAGAATCGGCCAAGGACGTCATCACCGCGAATGACGTCCCGTTGCTATGTAGACAAATCGGCGGTTCAAGATATGACGGCGTCGTGCGAGCCCTAGCGCGATCGAAGATGACGTCTCCGTCCAAGAACCGGAGAACAACAACGGAGACGAGGAACGATGCCGGCGAGGCCCTCGCTTCGTTGAGGGTCGCGGAGCTCGAGAAAATAGCCGACGGCTGTGCGACGGCGACGGAGCCACGAGATGATGACGTTGTGAGGGGTTATTGGCTCTCGAAGAACTGGGCGCAACACTTGAGGAGGTACTACGAGCAGTCGCGGGCGAAGCTGCTGTCTCCTTCCCAGAAAGGCACGCCCCAGCGACGAAGATCGAGGAGCAACTCGGGCGAGGCCCTCCCGCCGTGGCCCGATGCGAACGCGGAGATTTTGTGCGAGCACGGCTTCCTGTGTCCGCGCGCGTGTGCTCGTCCTGGTAGCAAGCGGGTGTTGGTCTCTAGAGAGACGTGGCGCGCCATCCAGGGGCGGTTTCCGCTCTCGACGAAATTCAAGGCGTCGACGGCGGCCGAGTGTCTCGAGTGTCTGCAGTGCGTGCAGGATAGGAAGGAGGCCAGAGCTCTTGTTAAGCAGCAACAGGACGACGAGAGGCTCGAGCGTTTAAGGGAGGTCGACGAGTGCGCGGCGCACTGGTGGGCGAAGCCCAAGAAACCGCTCCAGGCGGCCTTGCAGCGCCGGAGCTCGCCTTCGTCACTGCTAAGGGGTCTACTGCCCAAGGAGCGCGCTCGGAAAGGCTTCCCGGGTGCATCAGCACGCTTGAGCCCCGGCGCGTACCGCCTCGTGCCTCGAGCATGGTTAAAAAAGTGGCGCCGGTCCTTAGCCGTGAGCGGCGCGGAACGACCGGGCCCGCCGACGACGTCGGACTGCCTCTGCCACGCGCACGGCTTACCAGTAATCCCGGCGCACGTCACGGCGTGGTTAAGGGGAGAATCAGCAGATTTACTCCCCCACCACTCCCAGGCCACGGACTTCGACTGCGAGATCGTTACCTTAGACGAGTGGCGGGCCATCAACGCGCTCTTCCCGGTCGACTACGCGATCGCCTTCGACGTCGATGGAAACGGCGACGTGCGCTGGGCGACGGAGCCCTGCGCCCAGTGCGACGACGGGCGCCGCGGCGAGGCCTTCGACGTGACGTTCCGCGCGCGCGACTACAAGCGCATGGGCCGCTGCCGGCCCGACCGCGGCGCGTGAACTCCTCCCCTCCTTGTGCATACCTCGGCCGTCTAATTTAACTGAACTGACTTTTTCTTCTTCGCGTGCGGGTCGGCTCGGCTCCGCAGATCGAGATCTCGATCTCAAATCGGGCAGCGCAAAGCGTTGCGCAGGTAGCTCGTCCGGGTGCGTTCGCCTGCGCAGTGCTCGTCGGGCAGCACCAGGATGGAGGCCAGAGAGCCACGAGCCGAGTGTGATGAGCTCCTTGCCGTGGTCCAGCGGGCCGTCGGGGACGACGCGGCGCCGCGGTGCACAGCAGCCCTCATGGCCCAGGGCGTGAGCGCTGTCGTGGATTGGTTTGTCCTCGAGACCGCCGACGAGGACCTCTGCCGCGATCTGCTCTCGGACGTCGCCGCGGCGGAGAAGCTGACGCGGGTCCAGGTCGCGAAGCTGCGCCTCGCGTTGCGGGGTCAGAGTGCGCGGTTTTACCCGGCTCGCCTAAGCGACGAGGAAGGCGAGCGGCGGCCGCTGTGGAGCTCGTTCCGTCGATATACGCTGCCGAACCCGCTCGAGGTCGCCTTCGTCTTCACGAATCGGCCGGGCTGGTACCGCGCCGTCTTCGACGCGCTGGACGGCCACCGGCTGCGCGAGGCGTACATGGAACAGTCCCAGATATTCATGCTCGTGTCCGCACTCCTGCTGGGCGGTTTGCTCACCTTGATCGCCTTCGACCTGGGCCGCGACCAGGCGCGGGGACCGCCGCTGCACATCATTTGCCTCTCGCTCAACCTGAACGCCTTCTTCACCGCGTTTTGCGCCGTGCTGTTCCAGCTCTACGCGCTCCACGTTTATCTTCCGGTGCACGTCGACAACCTGCGCGACGCCCTCCGGAGTACACAGATGCTTCCCGTGCGGAGCAGTGCGCAGATCAAATTTCGCTGCCCGTGGCTGAATCATGACCTGCACGCCATCGACGCGACGCGCACGCGACTCACTGGTCGACTCGCACACAGATGACCGGGGGCCTCTACTTCGCGATGAGCGCATGGGGAATGTTCCTCGGGCTTTTGTTCGAGGCGATGAGGCCTATGCAGGGCCTGGACGTCTGGCTGTTCCGGGAGCGGGACTTGGGCTGGGGCTGGCGCATGGTGCCGGTCATCTCGCTGGCATCCGGCTTCGCGTTCGTGACGATTCCCTTCTTCATCCAAATCTCGGGGGCGGCGCGAATCATCGCTCACTCCGGGGCGCTCGCGGAGCGGCCGGTGCTGCCGCCGGAGGCGATTTCCTGGTCGTCGACGGCCGCCAATCGCTCGCTCGCCGCGGTCGCCCTCTCGCAGCCCAACTGCGACCTCAAAGAGCTTTATAGGCGCCACCAGCGAGTATCTTCCGCCGTCGATGCGCAAATGGCGAACACTGCCACGCGCGGCGCTCGACTCATGCGCAGGGCCAAACAGCGCCCCTAGGTAAACAGAGCTATCATATATACAGTTAGCCCGTGGCACCCGCGACGGCGTAGGTTCGCGCGTCCGTCCCATTAAGTCTCGCGTTGTCCGCGATCGCTTGTTGGCGCTCCTTCGCGGTGCCGAATTTCCGCGCAAAGCGTCGCATGTTCGTCTTGATTCCTGCGGCACCGTCGAACCCCGGCCTGCGCGCCCCGGTGCGCTTCGCGGCCGCCGGCACGGGCACGGGCTTCGGCTCGCGCGGCGTCGCGGGCTCCTCGTCTCCCTCGAACGACTGCCGCCGCTCCACCGTCTTCATGAACGCTCGCGCGCGCCGCCTTCGTTCCAGACTCGGCCGCCGTTTCACAACCGGCTCGGGCTCGGGCTCGGGCTCGGGCGGCTTGAGCAGGGCAAGCGATGCCTTGGTGCGAACGAGCGATGCGAGATCGAAACTACTGTTCTCGGCGGCTCCGCGCCGCACGGCCTGGCTGATGTCGGTTAGGACTGAGGTGGGCGAGTTCAGGGCGTCCTGTATCGCCTTGCGGCGCAACTCCGGCGAGCGGAAGACGGCGCTCAGCGCCTCGCCGCCGCCTATGGCCAAATCGGAGAGACTCGTCTTGCGCGCGTCCGATTTGCGCTGGGCCGTGCTCACAGCCTGGAACGCTTCCATACCATTATCGAACGTGCTAGTCGTGTGGCTCCGCGGCGGGCGTGGTGCAGCCTTCACCAAGCCGTCTGCCGTGAACTCATCTTGGCCGACGTTCCCCAAATGACCCGACGCCTTGGCGTCCCGCCGCCGCTGGCGGTCGCGGTGGATGGCTCCGAAGTCGACGTACCGTGGCCCGCGGGCCATGTCGATCCTGCCGTCGCGCGACGTGCGCGAGCGCTGTCTGTGCCCTGGCCAGCTCTGGCGCATCCTTTCAATTGCCAGGGCTCAGGTGCCAGGGTGTCTTGGCAGCCCCTGCCTACTTTGCAGGGCACCGGTCGTGGGGAGGCGCTGCCTCGGCACTATTTTTTCTAGCGCTGTCCCATCGCCAGAGGCGTGATTGTGTTCACGAATTGCCTGATTTGCCCTTTGGCATTTTTATTGGGAGAGCATGTTCGGGTTTTGGGCTCACGCATCCCGCAAACTTCGGCAGGGACCTTCGACGCAAGTTTCGAGCCAGGTCAGGGATCAGTCCTTATCATCGCTCGGCGGTTTTGCTCGAGCAAGTCGAGCGGTCGATGCGATTACTCCGAGCGCGTTTGTGCACCTCCGAGCAGCGTGGCGTGAATTCATAGTCATTTAGACCGCACTTAGACCGCCCTCGTCGGCTAAGACGCCAGAGACCGCTCTGTGCGGAGATCTCGATTCTCGAGGTGACTACCAGTTACAAAGCAAATCTCTGTCGCCGCGGCGCCGCCGGGCCCAAGAATCCAAAAGATGCCGGCCTCCTCACCACTGAGACCCGCCGCGGCGCGCGGGCCCGAGCCGCCCGAGTCGCCGCGGCGACCCGACCGTCCCGACGCCACTCGCGCGGCGCCGTCGTCAGGCACGCTCCGGAGCGGCGGCGTGAATTCCCCGGAGGCGCCCCGGGCCGGCGCGAGCTCGATCGCGCAGCGGACCGAGCCCCCGTCGACGCTGAAATGCGGGTGCTATCCCAACGGCATCGGAAACTTCCCCTGCGAGAACAAGGTCTACCTCAGCGGCGTCGACTTCCAGGCCTTCCGACAGGACGACGGGCCCTGCTTCTTACAAGTAACGACGGGTGCCGGCGACTGGGTCTACCTGGCCCAGGCGCTCGACGCCGTCGAGCGCGGTGTCCTGTCGCTCGGCTACGCCCAGCGCGAGGAGACGGGCATGAACGAGGGGGACGAGGTGACGGTTCGACCGTGGTTTCCGTCGCCTGCATCGGCCCTCACGACGCTCAGTCTATGCGTCGCGCCATGCGGCTGGGAGGAAGGGCCCTTATTAGGCCGCGCGCACATCGACGCGGCCGACCTGGAACGCTTCGTGAAGGAGAAGTTTGCTGGGCAGGTCTTCAAGGAGGGCCAGACGTTCGTCGTGATGCGAGACCCTGCGTCAGATTCGCCGTCGACGCGATGTAACTGGTTGATTTCCTCTGCAGGTACGACCCCTATGGCGTTGGAGACTCGTGCATTCTCCCGTGCGCCGATACGCGCATCGCGCTCGACATCACGGTCCAGCACTCGTGCACCGGTGTCGACGGCAAGCCCACTCAGTGCGTCGAGTTCGCAGGGCAGCGACCATGGCCCAAATACGGCCAGCTCGTCGAAGGCACCGCGGTCGATGTGTACCAACGCCGCGGCACGGAGAGATCGTTGAATCTCCGCCGCAACAATTACCGAGAATTTCTCGGCCGCAAAGCACCCCTGATCGTGCAAGACGTCATCGATGTCGTCCTGGCCGTTTATGTGGTCACCTCGGTGATCGTGATTATGATGCTGTGGTTCTTCGTCAGCACGGTCTCGGGGCCGTTGGGACCTTCGTGGGACTTAATTTGTACTCAAATTGCTGCGCTCGGACCTTCGCCGGACTTACTTGATGCGCTCGCCGCCCGAATCGAATCGCCCGAGGCCTTGATATCGTGGACGGAGTTGGGACGAGCGATGGCGTTTGTCGTAGTAACAGTCGTACGGCTGGCATGGCGGGCCGCGTTAAAGTTCGCTCTGTGCAACGTGCTCGCGTATTGCGGGTATCGCGTGCTCGGGTACGTGCTGCCGTTCCTCCGCTTCTTCTCGCAAATCCCGTGGTGAGACTAAGGACACTTATTATCACACAGTCGCCCGCCGCTCCGCGATCGGCTCGCGACAGACGGGGCACACGTCGACGCGCTGCGAGCACGCCTCGCAGAGGACGAGGTGCCCGCACGGCTTGAGCTTGACGCCCGTCGGCGCGTCCAAACAAACGACGCACTCGGCGGCCTCGCCCGTGGGCGGCTTCTTGCGGCCCATCATCCGCTTGAACGCCGACCGAATCTTGGACGGTCGTCGCACGCGGCGGCTCTCCTCCTCGCGGCGCCGCTGTTGCAGGCGCGCGCGCTCGGACTCCGCCGCGAGGGTCTGGACGCGCCGCCCGCGCTCGTCGCGCATCCAGGGCGCGCGCGCGCGGCCGTCCCAGTCCTCTTCGTTCGTGTGCACCACGGTGGTAAACGTCCCCGGCGGGCGCCACCGGTTCCGCTCGAAGCGTCGGTGAGCTTCCCGCGAGGCGCGCTCTTCGCGCGCCGTCCGCCAGGGCGTGGCCTGGCGCTGGATAATGACTACGGGGCCGCGTGGAGCCGGCGCGTGGGCGCGGCCCCGCGGCGCCACGACCGGCGACAGGGGCGGCGCCATCAGGGCCGGGCCGTGTGCTGCCAAGTACTGGCGCGTGAGCATGTCTCGCACCAAGGCATATGTCGCCGGGTCCATGGTGTCGAGGTGGTTGCGGTCGATCGTGGGCGGCATGATCCACCGCCGCGCTCCTGGCCGCCCCGCGCCGACGCGCGCGCCCGGCCGGCCGACCCCGAGGCCGACTTGGGTGCCGGGCTGGAAGCCCGCGAACATCTCGGCGCCGTTGCCGCTCCGGCGACGGCGGCGTGTTTGGGAGGAATTTGCGTTGCCCATCGTGTTGACGCGAAAGTTTGTTTCTTTGCCTGTTGTGCTCAGGGTCCAGTCCGGCCGCTTATTCTTCCCTTTTTCGGCTACCGGCTCGTTTTATGCCCCCGTGCGGCAGCTTTTGGGCCGATGAAGCCTGGCTACAGTGGTATGCTCTCCCACTCTCGCAGAGGGTTTGACGGCCCCGGAGCACTTGGGCCGACAAATTCGCTGCCAGCGTGAACGTTTGGCAGCTTGTGGCTTACGTTCGTCACCAAGCGCGTGCAGGCCGAACGCTGTGTCCGGCATTCTCATCGTTTGCTAGTGTCTTTCACCGCTAGCCCGCGATCTTCTCGGCGTAGCGTTTTGTAGCTTTAGGGCTGCAATATCCTCGGCAGACATAGCCAGGCATCGCTATTTGTGCCTGCGGACCTGCGAATCTCAACCCGACGCCGATTCGTGACGCAGTGCTCTGCCAGCACACCTAATCCAAACACTCAAGCAAACGCGTAATCATCGCACGGCTCGAGATATGCTGCGCCAAACGACTCTCTGGCTGCTGTACGCCGTCGCGCAAGCCATGGTCGCAACTGAACCCCGCAGTGTACTGAACGAAATGCAAGCCGCCGGCGCCGCCGTCGACGCGACCGGCTTCCGCGCGCCGCGCGCCGCGTGCATGGAAGCGACGGAGTGGGAGGCGCCGCCCGAGGGCGTCGCACGGGCAGCGTGGGAGGAATGCGACTCCCGAGAGCGGCTGGCAGTAAAGCTCGCGCGTGCGTGGGCTGACGGCGGCTGCGAAACGCCCGAGGCGTCGCCGGACCCGCTCCGACCGGTCTATTGGGACATCGACGAGCTCCGGTCGCTCGCGACGCCTGCGGCCACGGCGCGGGCGCGGCGCGACCGGCGGCGGCGGGACAAACTCCGGGCCATGGTCGACGCAGATTCTGCGACGAAAATCGACGCGGCGGTGGATCTGGTCGACGCCCGGGCGGCGCGCGGCAACTTTGGCGCGAGGGGCGCAGCGCGCGTAAGGAACGTCGCGGGTACTTTGGTCGCTGGTGCACTGGTCGCAACGTCGACGCTGCCGCCGGAGATTTCTGAGGAGATCGGACGGTCCTATCCGTTCCGTCTGACCTTCGTCGTCGCGGCCCTCGCGGCCCTGGCGTGCCGCGCGCCCGACGCGGTCCTCGTGCCGGGCGCCCACCTCTGCGCCGCGGACGGCCGAAATGGCCTCGAGCCGCGCTACGACGCCTGGCGCGACGAGATCTCGTACGAGGGTTCCGTCGACGACGAGCCGGTGCGTCTCGCACCACCGGTGGCGTCCTCAAGCCTGGACCTCCTCTTCGACCGAGCCGTTGTGGGGGGTCGGAGCGAGCGCTCCTTGGTCGTCGACGGCGCGGTGGCGCTGGTGGGCGAGGACCTGCGCCTGCGGGCGCCACCCTTCGACCCGCGCGATCATGACGACCCGCGGGACGCTGCCAAGCACTGGAAGCCCTTCGCTGCCGCGCCTCGCGACTACCTGCCGTTCCAGGCGGCGGCGCGGCGGGACCTCGCGAAGCTCCGGGCGGCGAAGGACGTCGCGCCCGCGGACGACGTGTCGCGCCGGCGCCGAGACCTCGCTCGGGCATTTCGGTGCGAGCAGGAGCGGCTGCTGGCTCGGTTTGTGGGTTTGTAAATAGGTTCTTTTGTGTGAGTTTGCGCTAGTGTCTTACAGGACGCTAGCAAGAGCTGCGGCTTGCCAAAAAAGGGTGCAGCGGTGCCGGAGCTCTCGTGTTCTCTATCATGCAGCCAGCCGCTGACGGCTCATTCGACCTCGACGAGGTAGGAGCGCCCGAGCAGCCCTGGGAGCTTGTGGACGCTCCTGAGAACCCAAGCCCGAGCGCTCCGAGCACGCCGACAGCGCAACACAGACGCGTCGACGAGGTCACAGCTAGTGCAGCGCAACAGAGACGTGTCGACGAGGTCACAGCGGGTGCGAGCAGCCTCGGTCGCGAACTCGCGCGCGACGCCGGCATCCGGCGCCGCGTCGGCCTCCCGTCTGTACAGAGCGAGGCGGTCCAGCTCCGAGCGGAGGCGTCGCGCCTGCGGGCAGAGGTCGATGATCTCCGTGCGTCCCGCTTTGAGGATGGCGCGCTCCTCGACGAGGACTCGCGGCGGCCACCGCCCCCGCCTCCTGCCGCGGAGGCTTCACTCGAGCCGGGCGAGATGTTAGCGCTGGCTATCGGTGGCGCGGCCCTCGTCGGCATCGGGGCTTTTCTCGCCGTGCGCCACATCGGCGTCGCCGCCGCGCTCGCCGCCGGCACGGCGCTGGTAGCTGTAGGCGAGGCCGAGCGGCAGCGCCAAGAGCGAGAGCAACGAGAGCCGACGACGCCTACGACGCCACGCCGCCGCCGCGCCGCCGGTGGCATCTAGCGGCAAGCCTCATTGTAAGACTAGTGACTGTATTTCTCGATTCGCGGTGCCGACGGGCCAAAAGTGGTCGGCCGCGTCGGTGGAATCCTGTCGATTCGTGGCCCGGAGGTCTCCCTGGGGTCGCTTTTGGGTCGGTAGTTTACACGTGCAATCGCCTACGCCGCCTACGCCGCCGCTGCCAGAGTAAGATACATCTCCCATGGTCCTTTGCGCTATACCTCTATTGGACATGATTTGCCAAAGATTTCGATCCAGAGCTCTCTGGGGAGCCCCAAGGACGGGCGCATGCGGCGTAGGCGACTACCCGATCCCAGACCTATCCCAGAGGGAGTCCGGGCGCCGATCTGCATCCGAAAAAAGTAAACAATTTGGACCCGATGGCGCCCCGTCCCCGTAAAAAACGTCAATTACCCGAGGGCCCCCAGTAGTCGCCGTAGCGGTCTCGTTGGACCCCATACTACCCCACCGATAGTCAATTACAAGTATATGACATCTACACCACGAGAAGGGTACTTTTGGCTGCCCACGCTCGGGACGTGAACATCTTGATCTGGACCCCGCGCAAGTCGGTCGATCATGAAACAAATGATCGCGTCATGGTCCATGGGGAAGGTACACGGGCTGATGGTCGCAGGTCTGTGTACTTTGCCCGAATTAGCCAGATAGTAGGCTCGCGGCCGAGCCGAGCCGCGCGGAGCATCGTGGGGTCTCAAGCAATGTAGTAGCCGTCCAGCCCGGTTATCTGGCCCGTCCCACTACTAAAGCGCCTGAAACGCAAATTTATTGTACAAACCACCGGTCTGGGGCCAATTCAGTGCCCCGCGTACGCACCGTCGTCCGCGGAGAACGGGCAAGTCGGTCGATTGTGAATAGAACAACGGCGTTATGGTCCATCTGGATGGTGGCGTCGCTGATAGTCGCATATCTAGCTCTTCGGCTCATCTTCACCTAAACGTGGGGTCGCGAAGACGACGAATCGCGCGGCCCTAACGGAGCACCTAAAATAGATGAGTACGTGTTCAGGCGATTTAGATGGACTCTACCACTAACAAACGGAAGGAAACGAACATAAACTCGGGAGTTGTCTAGTAGAATTCTTTTCCCGCCCTCCGAGCGCAGGCCGTCGGCTCCGGTTCCGTCGATTATGTATGAAAACTGGGCTGGAGTTGATATAATGTACTATATGGACGGTAGATGGCGGCGTCAATCGCTGGTGTATTTTGGCAGCCCGCAAGACTCATCCGCGAATGTCGCGAGCGGTGCCTTCCGGGAGGCGCGAGGGTATGTTCCCGGGCCGCTACTCTGAAATATTTGGTCGCGGCGATCGACTGGGATGTATTCTGAATTTGGGCCATCCTTTTGACGCTATCGAGGCGTATCTTTGAAATTTGCTAGTGTGTCGATTACGCTAGGTATTATTCTTGCCAGGCGTGCGTGGTGTTTCGCACATGCGTCGTATTCTAGCCGTTTCAAGTCTTGTCCGCTTCGCTTCTTCACTGACAATGCCCTCTAGCGTCGTGTACCCCGGATTCGAGTCCGCTCTCACGACTGAAGCAAAGGCAAAGACTTTTGCAGTCACAGGTGTCAACCAGTGTGTATAGAGGCTTAGACTTGATCAATACGCCACGCCGCGCAGGCTGCACGAGCGGCACCGGCCTCGTCGCGGCCAAATGCTTCGCGAAGAAGGGCGCGTCTCACGTCTTTCTGCTCAACCGGCCGTCGCCGCGGGCCGAATCGGCCCTCACCGATGTCAAAGCGGTGGCTGCCGAGGGCTGTATCGTCACGCACGTCGACTACGACGCCATGAGTTTCGCGTCAGTGAGGGCGGCCGCCAAGACGGTCCTCGCGGCGACGCCTGAACTCGATGTGCTCGCAAACAACGCGGGCGTCATGGCGCTCCAAGATAAAGCCACGACGGACGGCTACGACCTGCAGATGCAGACGAACCACCTGTCGCACTTCCTCCTCGCGAAGGAGCTCTACCCGGCGGTGAAGGCGGCGGCGGCCGCTCGCGGCGAGGCGCGCATCGTGCACCACTCCTCGATCTCGCGCAACTGGCCGGCGGACCTCCCCTTAACTGCCGACATCGCGGCCCAGTATCTGGGCAAGAACGGCGGAAACCTGGGAGGCGACGACCCGGCCATGGGCGGCCCGCGCTGGGTGCGCTACCACTACTCGAAGCTTGCGAACGTGTGCTTCTCGCTGGCGCTCGCCGACAAACTGCCCGCCGGCATCAAGGCGCTCTGCGCGGCCCCGGGCGTCGCGGCGACGAACCTCCAGGTGACGTCAGAGGCCTCGGGCCAGACCGGCGCCATGAACTTCCAGAAGGACGCCCAGACCCCCGAGGACGGCGCCGTCCCGCTCCTCACGTGCTGCCTCGCGGCCGACGTCCAGTCGGGAGAATTTTACGAGCCCGAGCACACGACCCGCGGGCCCGCGAAGCTCACGCAGCTCGAGCCCATCTCCCTCGAGGCCGACCGCGATGCCCTCTGGTCCGCCTCGGAGGCCGCCATCGGCGAGAAGTGGGGGCTCTAGATGCGCCGCGACCGTCCGAATCTCCGGTTCTCGGTCAAGATTCCCTCCCCCCTCCCACCCCGTAACGAGATACTTCTTACAACGGGGGGCGGGGGGACAACAGGGATCATATCAGACGCCGACCATCTGGAGCGCGTTCTTGTGGTGGCGGCGGTGCTTGCGATAAGCGGGGTCGGACCACGAGCGGACCTCGGCCGGGTCCCACGGCGACGACGACGCGGCGCCGCCCATGCCGCCCTGGAGTAGCTGCGCGAGCTCGGGGCTGGATTGGAAGAGCGAGTCCGGCCACGGCGACGAGCCGAGGCCCTGGCCCGGAGACGCCCCGGGGGACCGGCGGGCGCCGCCCGAGCCGTGCCCCACCCTCGTGGCCTTGACGTGCGTGCCGTCGGGCAGCGTCGACGACGGGTAGCCGCGGGCGAGGTAGTCCGTCGTGGCGCGCGCTTCCTGGTCCGCGAGATGAGCGGCGGCCACGAGGCGCGCGTGCTCGCCGCGGATGCCGCCGGCCTCCGCGGGCGGCATCGCCTTGAGGATCGCGGCGATCCGAGCCTGGCGCTCGTCGGCCGCGCGATTAGACGCTTGGCTCGCGGCCTTGTGGCCCGCGAGGCGGTCGAGAGCTAGGGCGCACGCCGTGCCCGCCAGGAGCGTGTCGGCGCCGGCCTTGCGGTAGCGGCGCTGCATGCACGCGATCGGCACGGGGCCCTGGGCGCAGCCGATCGCGGCGGCGACGGGGCGGCACGCCTTCAGCGCGGCGGCGCGGCCGGCGACGAGCGCCTCGCAGCGCGGGTCGAGGCTGTTCGTGCCGAGCTTCGCGCGGAGGCAGGCCTGCTTCGCGGCCTGCGTGGACGTCGACGGGTGAGTTGTCAACAGGTCGCGAGTTTCGGACTCGGTCAACGCGCCGCGTTCTTCTCGGTGGTGCAGTAGGTCGCGATGGACTTGGCGCAGGGGCGGCGCTTCTGACGGCCCCGCAGGCTCCGCGCGCCGGGATGCTGGCCTACAGCCTGGGTCACCTGGACCTGGTCTTGTGGGCCGTCGGGACGCGACGGAGCGCTCGATCCCGACGAAGCGGCGATCGATGCCAGTAATACGACGACGAATTTCATTGTTTGGTGGTCTGTGGGCTTGGCAGCGCCCCGATCGGTGCGCTGGTGTAAAATCGAGTGACTTGCTAGTGTCTTACACCGCTAGCGCAAAACCAGGCCTGCGGCCGTGTCAAGCCAGCTCGAGAGGAGTCCTACAACCCGCGCGGGACGGTTTACGGGCCACTCACGGACCCAATCTCTCATCTGACAGCAGAGGCCATCGACTGCTACCGCAAGCCTGTTTTCGACGCGCATTTGACGTAGAGCTGGTTTTGGGCTCTCAGCAGCCACTAGTGATTCACAATGCTACGTCGCAGCGCTGCACTCGCGCGCAGCGCGCGGCCCCCCGCCAGGCTCTCCCAGCAGCAAGCTTCATCAACCCCGGCTGCCGCTGCCGCGGCGCGCCCCTTCAGCACCCAGACCAGCAAGAACCACGAGACTTGGAGGGGAGACAACGACGACGACGCCCTGCCCAAGGTCAAAAGGCGAGACGGTAGTGTAGAAGTGATAGGGAACGTCCGGGGCTTCGTCGACTACGAGCGCAACCCCGAGCCCTACCGCGCGCCCATGGAGCGCGTCACGGACTGGGAGGAGATCAACTCCGAGGGCCACGACCCCGTCGAGCGCATCGTCCAGGCGGCTAGGTGCATGGACTGCGGGACGCCGTTCTGCCAGACGCACACCGGGTGTCCCGTGAACAATCTCATTCCCGAATTCAACGCTTTGGTGTATCAGGACCAGTGGCGCAACGCTCTCGATAGATTACATCAAACGAATAACTTCCCGGAGTTTACGGGCCGCGTCTGCCCGGCGCCGTGCGAGGGCGCGTGTGTTGCGGGTCTCATTGATTCTCCAGTCACGATCAAGAACATGGAGTACGCGATCGTCGAGCGCGGCTTCGCCGAGGGCTGGATCCAGGCGAGGATTCCCGAGACGAGGACCGGATTATCCGTAGCGGTCATCGGCTCCGGCCCCGCCGGCCTCGCCTGCGCCGACGTCCTGAACCAGCAGGGCCACAAAGTAACCGTCTATGAAAGAGAGGATAGACCAGGAGGCTTGCTGATGTACGGGATCCCGAACATGAAGCTCGACAAGGGCAAGGTCGAGCGCCGCGTCAACTTACTGGAAGAAGAAGGTATCGAATTCGTTTGTAATGCGGAGATCGGCGTCAACGTCAACGTCGAGACGATTCGCAATGCCAACGACGCTCTCGTGTTGTGCACGGGTGCTACCATACCCAGAGATTTACCGGTACCAGGCCGCGACGCCAAGGGCATCCACTTCGCCATGGAGTTCCTCACGAAGAACCAGAAGCGCCTGATGATGACGCGCGACGGCACGCTCGAGTCGGAGTGGGGTGAACATATCACTGCTGAGGGCAAGGACGTCATCGTCATCGGCGGCGGCGACACGGGCACGGACTGTATTGGTACCAGTATGCGCCACCGCTGCAAGTCCATCGTCAATTTCGAGTTGATGGGGCGCCCGCCGGACGCGCGGGCCGATTCCAATCCGTGGCCCGAGTGGCCCAAGGTCTACGGCGTGGACTACGGGCACGGCGAGGTCCAGGCGGTCTTCGGGCAGGACCCGCGCGAGTATGGGGTGATCACGACGGAGTTTTTAGTTGATGACGATAACAACGTCAAAGGTCTACGGACGTCGGACGCGAAGCTCGGCCCGTCAGGCGTCGAGATCGTTCCTGATAGCGAGCGGGAGTGGCCCTGCGATCTGGTGTTGTTGGCCATGGGCTTCGTGTCGCCCGAGCACGACATTAGTTCCCAACTCTCGCTGGCCCTGGATCCGCGCGAGAACATCCGGGCGACGTACGGCGAGTACGCGACGTCCATGGACGGCGTCTTCGCGGCGGGCGACTGCCGGCGGGGCCAGTCTTTAGTGGTGTGGGCGATCAACGAGGGCCGCGGCGCGGCGCTGAAGTGCGACGCGTACCTCCAGAACCTCCAGAAGGCGACGGCGAAATGATGAGTATATACTATCGGACATAACAACATCGTATGATAGACTTCACATAGTTATCACATCGCCGTAAACGTCCGCGCCGCGGAAGTCACGCGGTCCTGCTCGTCCTTCCACTTGACAGCCGCCGCGGAGACGATGAAGATGTAGGCCGTGTCGCCTACTTTCGTCGCCGTGGCGACGGCCCGCCGGTCGATGAGGCGCGAGTTGGGTGAGACGGCCGTGAACTTGAACGCGACTTCCTTGTAGCCGGGCAGGACGCCGTCGCGGACGGACAGCACCTTGAACTCGTCAATAGGCGTGCCCGCGCGCTGGATCTTTCCGTCGGGCGAGAAGATGCAGTTGTAGAACGCCTTGCTGTCGAGGTCGCCGGCGGGCGCGGCGACCACCGTCGCGACCGTCCCGGTGTTCCCGTCAATCACATCGACGCTGTTTTTGAAGGCCGTCCACGTCGAGGGATAATCGAAGGCGATCGCTACAGTAGACTTGCTGCCGCGCGGGCCGAGGATCGTATCCCTGCGTGAACGCGACCGTCGAAGTGTGTCTCACCAGCACGATCCTCGACGCGGCGATTGATGAAGGCCCCGCGACGGACGCCGCGGCCGCACTCGTACCGCGACGTCCGTCCGGTCACCTTTATAGTCGGCGCGAAGCCCGACCGCTCGACGGCGATCGCTGCCGATGCGTCGACGGCGAATGCTGGTGATGCCGGTGCCGCGACGACGGCGAGCGCAGCTGCTGCACCACTGCTCAGAGCCTGACGCCTCTGCAGCTCTCTCGGCGCCAGGGCGGCAGCGCTGGTCAGCGCGACGGCACACGCATATACGCGACGAATGCGTGCCATAAGACGTTGCGATTCAACTGCGGCGAGTTGCACAGGCTCAGGCTGCAGGCTGACTCTGCCTGCAGGCTGCAGAGGCAGCAAAACAAGGACGGAGGCCAAATCGAGCGCATTGATGGTAGAGCGGAGTTTCTACAGCATTCGCATTGTTTTCACAACGACGAATCATTGCAAGCGATCTCCGCACACTTCGGGGGAGGCAACACTGGGAGCACAGCACTGCTGAGAGGCATTGAAGAGCTGTCGTGCGGCGGCGCGTGCGAGCCAAAACGGCCGTGACGCAGCCGTGAGGTCATTGGACCATGGCGTCGCGCCGGCTGCTCGTCGCATCGCTCGCGACGCTGCGAGCCGCCCGCGGCTTCCTTCCGCACGCGTCGCGCCGGCGCCACGTCGCGCTCCGCGCCGAGGACTACATCGAGTCGACGACCAACGCCCTCGTCAAGCGGTTCAAAAGGTGCCACCGCAAGAAGCATCGTGATGCCGAAAATGTCGTCCTCGTCGAGGGCCGCGCGTTCGTCGCCGAAGTGTTGGCGCGCGGCGACGACGTCGAGGCGGTGCTGGTGGCCGACGACGTGAGCCTCGACGCCGCGCTCCTCGCGCGCGCGAAACGGTTCGCGCGGGCGCCGGACTTTGTGCTCAAGGCGGCGTCGACGACGGAGTCGCCGCAGGGCTGCGTCGCGCTCGTCGCCAGGCCGTCGCTCGCGTTTCCCGCCGCGCCGGACTTCCTCCTGGCGTTGGACGGCGTCCAGGACCCGGGAAACGTCGGCGCTCTGATCCGGACGGCCGCGGCGGCCGGCGTCGACGGCGTCGTCCTCGTCGGCGCCTGCGCCGACGCCTTCAACCCCAAGACGATCCGCGGCTCAGCCGGAGCGGCGCTGCGCGTGCCGCTCGCGGCGGAGGACTCCTGGGCCGCCGCGGCGCCGCGGCTCGCGGAACTTAATGTCGTCGTCGCGGACGCGGGCGCCGGCGCCGTCGACCACCTGGCCGTGGAGTCGTGGGCGGCGACGTGCCTCGTCGTCGGCGCGGAAGCCGGCCTCACGGACGACCTGCTCGGCGCGCTCGGCGCCCTGCGGGCGACGCGCGTGCGCATCGACGTCGACTCGAGCGTAGAGAGCTTGAATGCCGCCGTCGCGGGGTCGTATTTGCTGCTTGATGCGCGGCGGCGACGGCGGGACTAATCTTGTGTCTAGAGTTTCGCGAGGTCATGGTCCGCACAATTGTTGGTGGTGGTGGGGCACTCCCATATATACGAACGAATCTCAGATTTACGCGAGGGTAGTGTCACGATGGATCTGAGGGGGAAGGGGGAAAGGCAGCCTTCGTGCTGCTGACGGCGCGGCCCTAGTTCGTGACCCAGATGACGACGTATCGCCCGAAGGATTGACGATCAAAGCGACGCGCCGTGTTCTTGTAAGGCGACCGGCGTGTCTCCGCCCTTCGTGGCGGTCGCGACGCGTCGGTGCGGCCTTGGGTCTTGTCGCCGCCGGCGAGAGTGCGTCCACGCTGTCACCGCGGGATTCCCTTCCTGGAATTTGCAAACGCCGAATAGTGACGACTTCAGCTCGATCTTCTTGGTGATGTTGCGGTACACGTCGCACAGCTGGGCCTTCTTGTTGCCCGGCTCCGTGAGCTCGACGCTAGCCACGCAATCTGTAAATGCCTTGTTGACGCGATCCAGAGCGTGTGCGTCGTAGTCGGCGAGTTGGGAACGGCGATCCACGTCTTCCTCGGCTTTCATGTTAGCATCGCGTTCTCCTCCGGCCTTATTTTCAACATCCTTGGGCAAATCTTCCGTGGCCCGGCACGAGTGCGGTGCCGCTGTTCAGAGTTCTCTGGCAAAAATCGCTCGGAGAATTGCAGCTGCAATCATTCGTCGACGGCTCATACGACTGCGCGAAATGCACAGTCCCAGGCGCCTTACCACTACCTTGACCCTTGGGTGTGAGCCAAACGCCAGGAAAGCGCTGCTCGTTACACTCCTCCTGGCCCGTCACGTGTATGAGTGGTTTCCAGTTATCATAGGACTCGTCCGGATGGATCTCGATAGTAAATGAGATCGAGTATTCTTTCAAGGCCGGGAACGGACCAAGCTTATAAGAGCCGTCGCCGATTTTAGCTTTTTTTCTCGATGTTTCGGGTCTTCGGATCGGGCGCCGCGGAGGATCCCTGGACAGGCGCAGGGACGCGGAAGATCGATACAAGCTCCCCCGCACGACCCAAGTACGGCGCGCGGGCGCGGCCGCCCAAAGAAACGAGCTCGAAAGGCCAGAGACGCCGCCGAGAATTCATTCAACATCAAGATATTACAGGCACTATGTACAAAGCCGGAGTACCACGGCGCCTCAGGCGAAGCGCGCCTGCGTCCGGTAGAGCTCGCGCACGACGTCCGGCGAGGAGCGGTCGTAGGGCATCGAGTGGTGGAGCGTCTGCGTATTGTCCCAGACGACGACGTCGCCCGCGTCCCAGGCGTGGAAGTACGTGAACGACGGCGACGTCGCGTGCGTGAGGACCATGCCGAGCAGGTCCCGGCCCGCCTCTTGCGTTTCCAATCCCTCGACGACCATGTGCGGGCTGCCGACGTAGAGGACCGGCCCCCCATCCAGCGCGTGGGGCTGGATGAACTTGTGGGTGGCGTTCGGGAATTTTGCGAGGTCCTCCTCGTCGCCGGCGGCGAAATCAGCAATATCCCGCACCGACGCGACGATGCTCGCGCTCTCCGCGCCTGTGTTCGACCAGTGAGTCGGTTGGACGCGTCGCGTCGATGGCGTGCAGAGAGGAAAAGCGCCGCGAAATTCGATTGGCACGCTGCTCCGCGCGTTCGCGCAGCGGCCCCGACAGCGTCGCCAGCGCCGCGCGGAGGTCTGCGAAGCCCGTCTCGCCGCCCGCCGGCGGCACGCTCTGGCAGTGCAACACCGAGAGCACGTTATGTAACGGCGGCCGCCAGAACTGGCCGTCCTGGTGCCAGTAGGCCCCGAACTTCGAACCGGGCCCCTTCCAGGTCCCGTTGGCGAAGTAGTTCGTAACTCTTTGAATCGCCGGGTGCAGCGGCTCCGGGTCCTTGCCCTCGAAGGAGTGCGGCAGGACGACGACCTCGCCGAGCGCCGCCGTGAACGCGACTTGTTGGGATCGCGTGAGGTTCTGGCCCTTGAGCACGACGACGCCGTGGGCGCGCACCGCATCCAAGATCTGGGCCGCTTGCTCGCTCGTGAGTGCTGTGGCGTCGATGTCGTCGACGACGGCGCCGAGCCGCTCGGCGCCTCCACACAGCGCGCAGGCGCCCCAGCCGCGGCGGTGGAGCGTTAATGGCGTCGCGGTCGGGCTCGCGCCGAACCAGGGCGCGCCCATGGTCGAGCACGTCTCCGGCGCCGCTGCGCATATGAAGCAGGTGGCGTATCTGAGCATCGTTTGCGGCGAAAGCGTCGACAGACCTGTTTGCACCGCTGCTCCTTGGACCAATGCGGACGTGTGTGGTCAACAACTCGTGCGATGCGCTCTGCAATGCGCTGCAAAGCTGCCCAGAGGCGACGTCTCCGGAGTCCGGCTTCAAACTGCACCACTCTGTTCCGTCGTTCCGCATTTGTCTATCGACGGATGCATCTCTCCTTGCCCATTAAGGCCACTTTGCTTTCGAGCCGGGTTTTGAGCTGATTGCATTTGAGGCAGTGGCGGCGGCAGTCGTGCTCTCTGTGAGACCTGAGCGTCCGCTACAATCTCTTGAGATAGCTCCAAGTTGGTCACGACGTTTTGAGCTGGTCGGCGCTTCGACGTGACAGCTGTGAGAGCTGTGAGAGCGAGGAGCTGACTGCACAGCCACCCTGGAGATGCGCCACCGCCGCCGGCACCACCTCACAATGCTGCTCGTCGCGCGCGCCGCGCGGGCGCTCCGGCCCGCGCCGCGGCGGAGTCCAGTGCGGATGCTCGCGAGCCGCATGCCGACATTGGAACTGCGCGACGCGAGCACCAAGAACATCGTACCCGTCGAAAACGAGAAACCGTTGAAGTGGTACGCCTGCGGCCCCACGGTCTACGACGCGACGCATTTAGGACATGCAAGGACGTATGTTACATTAGACCTGGTGCGACGGGCGGCAGAAACAATTGGAGGCGCGACGATCGACTTCGCCATGGGCGTTACCGATATAGACGACAAGATTATTAAAAGAGCGGCGGAGCTAGGAATGGAGCCCCTCGAGCTCGCTCGAGTAGAGGAGGCGAATTTTTTCGAAGACTTGGAGCGACTCGGGTGTCGGGAGCCGACTTTAGTATTGAGGGTGTCGGAGCACATCGAGGACATCGTCCAGTTCACCCAAGAGGTCGTAGAGCAGGGCTATGGGTATACGACGACGGACGGGAGCGTGTGGTTCGATGTCGCGAAACTTGGAGGTGCTTATGGTGCCTTCGCGGAAGGGAGGGGCACTTCGACGGCGGCGGCGCAAGCCGCGGCGTTGATCGAGGAGGACCCGGCGTCGGCGTCGGACAACAAACGAGATCAACGAGATTTTGCGTTGTGGAAGGCTGTGTGGAAATCAAAATTTTACGGCGCGTTCGACCTCCACGCCATCAACGCGACGCCTGCTCGATGGCGTGGCGATGCCGGTTCCTCGGCGCTCGACTCAGCCAGCACGGACACGTCATCGCCGAGAAATGACTTAGTGAAGAATTGTCGTGCACCCGACGCACTGGTTGATTTCCACACAGGTGGAAGGCGGCGAAAGAAGGGGAAATCTCGTGGCCCTCTCCTTGGGGTGCTGGTAGACCTGGATGGCACATTGAATGTAGTGCGATGACGCGGGCTGCATTTGGTCAACATTTAGATCTGCACGCGGGAGGAGTAGATCTCGCCTTTCCCCACCACGAGAACGAAATCGCGCAGTGGCGCGGCTGCAATGCTGACTTGACGGGGACGTGGTGCTCTTGTTGGTTGCACACCGGGCATTTACATATAGAAGGGAGGAAGATGAGCAAGTCGCTCAAGAACTTCGTGACGGTCCGCGAACTGCTAGATGGTGAGGACGCGGTGGACCCCGAGGCCTTCCGCATCTTCTGCGGCCTCCATAGATACGCGTCGACGGTGTCCTATTCTAGAGTTAAGCTCGCGGAGGCCGACGCCGCGCGCCGCGACTTCGACGCCTCCTTGAGAGCGGCGCGAACTGCGCTCAGCGGCGATTTGAGTAGAGCACCGCGGCGCTGGACCGACAGGGAGCGCGCGTTGCATGAGGCGCACCGCAGCGCGCAAAAGACCTTCGCGGCGACGTTACTGGACGACGCGAACCTCCCGGAGGCGCTCCAGGCGCTGCTGGACCTCGCGACGCGCCTGCGGCAGCACTGCCTCGAGGCCGCGACGGAGCGACGGGACGTCGTGCCGGAGCCAGTCAACGCGGCGGCGGCGTTCCTGGCGGGGTCACTCCGCGACCTCGGCCTGGTCGAGACGGCGGGGGCGTGGGACGGCGTTTCCAGTTCCAGTAAAGAGGATTCCGACGACGGGGCGCTCGAGGCGCTCGTCGCCTTCCGGGGCACCCTGCGCAAGGCAGCTCTGGAGGCGAGGGACGACGACAGCAAACTGAAGCTGCGCGGCGCGGTGCTCGCCGAGAGCGATAAAATGAGAGACGCTGAGTTTTTAGTGAAGCGGGGCCTCGCTTTGGTGGATACGCCGGACGGCGAGACCCTCGTGCAGCCGCGCGTCGCCGAGGCCGCGAAGCCGAAGGCGCCCAAAGCTGAAGCGCCGGCGGCCTTCGACTACAGCCACACGCCGCCGGAGGAGTTGTATACGGTCGGCGAGTTCGCGGGCCGCTACGGTACCTTCGACGAGAGCGGCCTGCCGCTGACCGACGCCTCGGGTGAACCCGTGTCGAAGAGCCAGCGCAAGAAGCTCAAGAAGCGCCTCGACGTGCACGCGAAGAAATGGGCCGGGGCCGCGAGCGCCGCATAGGAGTAAACACAAAACTTATTCTGGGAGGCGTAGCCGCGCCCGAAGATAGCGGTCGACGTCGGCGAGCGTCGCCGCCTTCCGGAAGGTGTTGCGCTGGAGGGTCTCCTTGCTCGACGACCCGCCGCGCTCTAACATGCGTTTGACATGGCAACGGAGCACCTCAATATTAGCCCACCACACGGAGTATCGCTCGACACCCTCTGTCGTCGCGCGCGTCACGGCGCCGTCCTTACCACTCACCTGTGGGGACAACGCTCGATGGCGTGAGGCTCGCGACGGCCGCTCGCTGATTGATTTCCACACAGCCGCTCACGGAGCCGTCCTCGCGTGGGACGTCCGACTCACACTCCTGCAACAGGTTGAGGTAATCCCTAATGAGCGCAGGTGGTGACCGCTTCTCCGGCGCAAAAAGCGACGGGTCGCGCAGCAGCTCTTCGGCGACCATCACACCATCGGCGCCCGTCGCCTTTAGATTCAAAGCAACGTCCTCTCGCGAGCGCACGTTTCCGTTCGATAGAATCGGCACGCCGAGGCCTGCGTCCACCAGCGCTCGCACGACGGTCAGATCTGCAGCGCCGGCGCGCCGTAGCTCGGGGCTGCCGCGAACACGGGCGTGTAGTGCGATCAGGTCCGCGCCCGCGGCGACGAGGCGACGCGCAAATTCCACGGTCCGCTCTGTGGAAGGCCTCGTGCCTCTCTCACAGTACTGCACACGCAACTTCGCCGTGATTGCGAAGCCCCGCGGACACGCCGCCCGCGCGGCAGCAATGATTGCACAGCACAGGTCCCAGTCCTCCTGCATCCAGGAACCGTAGAACCCCTCGCGCGCGCGCCGCTGCGGACAGCCGATGTTAAGATCACAGCCGCTCGCGCCCATGGCGTGCGCCGCGACGGCCGCTCGCGCGAAGGCGTCGGGTTCGTTGGCGGCAAACTGGACGATGAGCGGGTGGTCGCGGACGCGGTCGCCGAGGGCTTCGAGTCGGTACGCCGCCGACGCGGCGAACTCGTCGGCCATCAGCATCTCCGAGTAGCAGAGCGTAGTGCCGTGCCGGCGGCACAAGAGCCGGAAGGGTCGATCGCTCTGGCCGACCATCGGGGCCATGCAGTAGATCGGTCGTCGCAGCGTCAGCGTTGGCGTGATTTGCACGTCGTCGCCGTCGTCGCCATCGCTGGCGTTGGAAAATTGCACGGCCTCGCCATCGCTGCCGTGGGCAGTGACTATGGCACTCATGGAGAGGCTGCTGCAGCAGTGCAGCTCAGCGTCGAGCGCCGCTCGCGGGCAGATTTCAGCTTCGTCCGCTCACAGCGAATCGCATAGATGCCAGAGACGACGCACAGCGTCTCACGACGCCCTTGAAGCTCTCCGCGCATGCGCAATAGCTAGCGGCATGTAAGGCACTAGCATTCTCAGCTCTGCTCTGTGCTTGCGACTGTATGGCATCTATACTTCCGCCCCAGGGCCGTATGTATGCATTTTGATAGCAGCGCACGCATTAACCTGCATGGCGACGCCTGAGGACGCTTCAGGTTACGCACCCCTGCCATCCGGAGCTGAGAGCAGTGATGCGCCAGGTGCAGGCTCGAACGATGCGCCAGACGAGTCAGAGGAGAGCAAACAGCAGCGGCGCTACTACTGGACCATGGCGTTGCTGAATCTGCTGGAAACCGGCGCCGCTGCGGGCGTCTCAAAATTCACGCCGCTCTTCTTGGCGGCTCGCGGCTTGGACGTCGCGCAGGTCGGCGTCGTGTTGGCAGTAGCGCAGGTCTGCCGATTCCTCGGCGGGCTCGTCTTCGGCCGCGTCGCGGACAAGACGGGCCGCTTCCGTGGCGTCTTGCTCGGGACAAATTTTGTAAGCGTCGCGTTGGCGCTCTCGACGACAAGTCTTCTCTCGCCTTGGCACGGCATGCACGGTTGGAAGCGTGTCGTCGTGCTCGCGCTCCTGACGGATGCTTATGCGTTTTTTACGTCGCCCTCGGGCACGCTCATAGATGCGATCGCCGTGGTCGCGCAGACACGCGGCGGCGCGAGCTACGGCTCCTTGCGCCTCTGGGCCGCGATCGGCTGGGGCCTGGCCGCCGTCGGCATGGGTGCAGGCGTCGACCGCTACGGGTTCTCTGCGGTGTTCATCGCCTACGGTATTGGTACAGGCCTCTCATCAGCCCTAGTCGTCGCCTGCTTCGAGAATCCGAAGCCCAGACGTCCTGACGCCGCCGCGGCGCCCGCGTCCCTCGCGAGCGTCTTCCTCGTCGCTCCGGTACCCCTCTACTTCCTCAACTTCTTCGTTCACGGCTGTCTCGCGGCTTTTGTGGAGTCTTATCTGCTGCTTTTTGTGGCGACGGAGTGGCCCCTCACGCCGAACTGGTTTCTAGGATTGCTCATTTTGATCGCGGCCGTGTTCGAGATCCCTGTCTTTCTGTACGCAACTCGCGTCATCGACCGGATCGGCGTCAGACCTTGTCTGGTTGGTGCGCAATTGCTCTTTGCGTTGCGCTGCACCGCTTATGCAACACTCGCACGTTACGCGAAATCTACGCATGGCTACTTGTGGTTCGTGTTACTGGAGCCATCTCACGCGCTTACTTTCGCGATGATGTGGAGCGCGGCCGTGGAGTACGCGAGGCGGGCCGCGCCGCCGGAGCGGCAAGGGACAGCGCAGGCACTCGTGCGGGGCGCCTACTACTATCTTGGAGTTGGAACGGGCTCCGTTATCGGCGGCCGAATCATCCGAGCGCGCGGCTACGAATTCTTGTACGAGCTCGGCGCGGCCGCGATGATCGCGTGGGCGGCCGTCTGGGCGGTCCTCCTCGCTTTTGCATCGCGGCGGCGGCGGCCCGCGGACTCTCTGCGGGACGGGCTTCTCGAGGACGCAGGTTTGAGCTAAGTTGTATTGTGTGTCTATCCTACGACCTACGCAACCGGAGGAGCAATGCCCCTGGCAAGTACTCCCCGAGAGGGTTTCTGGGCCGCGGGCGGGGCGCGACGCGGATGTGTAGCCTCAGATCTCGCGCCATATAGATATGTCGCTATAATCGACAGCCACAGGAAGTACAGAAGGACAGACTTAGTCAATGTCGTCGTCCAGATTCAAATCGTCGAGGCGCCGCACGGGCGACTCGGGCACGGGAGACGGCGCCGGCGCCGGCGCGCGCGCGAACCAGCCCCGCTTCTTCTTCGGTTTAGGGTTAGAAGGCTCGTCCAACTTCCCTTCGAAGTCCGGCTTGTAGCCAGGACTATGCCTAACTTCAACCATGTCCTCCGCTTCAAAGTGCGTCCAGTCGCCCTTTTGATACAGAAACGGGTAGCGCGCGTAGAAGGCGTCGTACTCCTCCTGGCGGTATCCATTAAAAATGAAGGGGTCGTTCTCGCCGTAGCGGTCGACGCCGTCGAAATCTGTGGTGCCCGGTGGTATGAGCCCTTTGGCCTTCGCCTCGTCGCGCATCTTCTCCTCCCTGCAAAACTGGAGCCAGCGCGGGTGGTCCTCGCGGCCGTACAGGGACCAGTCGTAGAGGGGGTCGTAGTTCTTCCCGCCAGGCTTCGTGTCCGCCTTCTCGGCAGCAGCGTCCTCCCGCGATTGCGTTCGAGGCGTGGAGACGCACATTAAGCGATCGTAGTGGTCTAGTAAATCCCGCAACCGCCGCGCGCAGCTCGGGCCATCATAAGGCTTGCCGGGCGAGTACCACTGCTTCGCGCCGACCTTGTAAATCGTGTGGCCTCCCACGACCTTCGTCTCGCACTCCGGGCCTTCTTCGGGGAAGCGCGGGTCGGGATCTGGCATGATTAAACCTTCTTTGTTCTTCCGGAGCTCCTTCTTCGGGCCGAGGGGTTTTACTTCATAAGCGGTCGGATCTTCTCTAGAATAGTAAGCATAGTCCGGCGGCTGGCCCAGGTCAATGACGTCGGGGTCGTCGGGCGCCGGGCCGTCATCAGATTTGGGACCGACGCCGTCCTCCGCAATATGGACGTCGAACGTGCACTTCGGGTCGAGGCCGAGCTCGGCCCGCGGGTCGAAGCGCAGGTCCAGGTCGTCGTCCTTCTTTTTGGGCATCGTCGGCGGCGGCACGCTGCCCTGAGGCTCTCTCGTCGACGGCACAGTGTGAGTGTGCAAAGGGCTGTGGGCTCAAGATTTTGGTCGACGCGTCGCAGGGCTGCCGAAATGACGTATGCGGCACGACAGCAGCCGTGGGCAGCGTCCGCTCCGCGGAGAAGGCGCCGCCGCAAACCAAGCACCTGGAGCGCTCGACCAAGACAAACACCTGTGAGCCACCCGTCCGCGCCACGCGTCCGAGCCCGTATCCCGCACGGCGTGGCCTTCGAGATCGGAAACTTGAAGCGTCTTACAGCTAGCGTTTACAAGCTCTAGCTCTCTTTTTTTTCGCGTCGATTCGAGAGCCAGTGCGAACGGCCGCAAGGACCTTCGGGCCCCGAGCGCTGGAGGATATTCCGGCAAAGCGCACGTAGCGCTGCCGGGGGGCTGCCCCCTCACCCCTCGCCACCCTCAACCCGGTAGCCGAACACGGCACAATGGTGGACTACAGCCGGTTTGCGCACATCGACGATTCGTCGTCCGACGACGACGACGTCGCGATGGAGCACGTGAAGCACGTGGCGCGCGAGGTGCTGGGGCGGCCCGGCGGGCCCCAGCAGAATATTGATGAAATGCTCGAGTCGTTCCGTCAGGGCGAAGCGCGAAGGCGGCCCGAAGACCACCCCCTATTGCCGCCGCCGCGCTTCGACGTCGGTTCAAGGGTCATGTGCTGCGTCGAGGAGGACGAGGAGATCTGGCTCACGGGTACTGTGATCAGACACTGGGCGCAGCAGGAGGGGATGGTCTGCCCCTACGTCGTCCAAGTGGATGAGGATAGAGGGGAAATTTGGGTCCACGAGGACTCGGAGAGTGCGATCCGAGCCTTGGAAAAATGTGAAATTGTCAAAAGGCGGCCGCCGGCTTCACTGGGAAAGGCGCTGCTCGAGGGTGTTGGGGACGGCGTCGCGCGCGATCTGATCACGGCGTGCGCTGCTGGCGATTTGAAGGAGGTCAAACGCATCGTATTGTTAGATGTGCCCGCATCCGTCGACATTAAAGATGAATACCCGCTGCTGGACGAGGCCTGCCCGGTGTCCAAGTGCGTTTCACTCAAAAATGATCAGTTGGATGTGTGGGGCACGGCTTTTTTAGCATCTTTAAAAAGTGAAAAGATCGAACGAAGCGCTTTGTCCGGCGCCTTCGCCGGCGGCGCGAAACGGACGCAAGGCAAGCTGCCCGTCGTCCACGAGCTCATCAAGGCGGCGGCGGCGAAAGGTTATACAACGCTCGGCGCGACGAAGGGGCGCGACGGCAGAAGGGCGTTATTATGGGCGGCCGACGCGGCGAACGACGAGGAGGCGGCGGCGCTCGTCGCCGCGGTGCGGGCCGCGGGGGCGCGGGACCTCGACGCGGACGTGGCACTAGCTAGAGCGGCAACGAGAGGCCGGGGGGCCCTCGTCGCGGCGCTATTGGCGGACTGGTCCCCGCATCGGAGCGTCGCGCCGGCGCTGCACCGCGCGGCCGACGCCGGGCACGCGGAAATTGTGAAAGCGCTGCTGGCGCGGGCGCGCGACGTTGATGCGGAGACGGCGCGCGGGTCCACGGCGCTGGCGCTGGCCCTCGACAAGGGGCGCCTGGGTTGCGTGCGCGCCCTGCTCGAGGCGGGCGCGGACCCATTGCGGGACAAGACGAGGCTATCTTTGAGGGTTGCGGGCGTCGACGTCGCCACGGCGAAAGCCTACGTCGGCGCGCTGACGACGCTGGCGATCACGCGGCCGGAAGACGTCGCCGCCGAGCTCGCGGCCTGCGTCGCCGCGGCGCCGTCGTCTGCGGTCGCCCGGGCGTTGCGGGAGGGCGAGCGCGCGCTCGCGCCCGTGCTCGCCGAGCCCGCCGACGACGGCCTCGCGGGACTTAGTGTAAAGGCGCTCAAAGCCTTGGCGGCTGAGCGCGGCGTCGACATCAGCCGGTGCTGCGAGAAGTCCGAGATCGTCGCGCTGCTCCGCGCCGCGCCGGCCCCGCCGCCGCCGCCGCCCGCACCCACTCCCGAACCTGCAGCGCCGCCGGCCAACGCCACCTCGAAAAAGAACGCGAAGAAGCGGAGAAAAAAGCGCGCCTCGGCCGCGCGCCAGGCGGCCGCGGCGGCCGCCGCGGCGCTCGAGAACGCCGACGCGTCGCTCGCGCACTTCGACGAGCTGGCGGCTGCCATCGACGACGAGGGCGAGGCCGAGCCCCTCGACGAGATCGAGCTGGCGGCGGTGGCGGCTGCCGAAGAAGGGATCGGCGCGAAGACGTTGAGAAGGGGCCTCGCGGCCGTGCAGGCGGCGGAGGAGGCCGGCGTCGACGCCGTGGCGCGCGCGCGCGAACTCGAGGCGGTCCTCTCCGAGTTCGCGCAGCCGGACGTCGAGACCGTCTCGCTCGACGCGAACGACGACGACGCGACGACCGACGACAACGACGCCGACGGCGCGGACCCGGCCGTCAGGGCGCTCCTGACGCGCCTCGACCTCGTGCGCTTCCTGGACACGTTTCGCGAGAACGAGGTCGACGCGGCCTCGCTGCCCAAGCTCACGAGCGCGGACCTCGCGGAGATGCGCATCCCGATCGGGCCGCGGCGGCTCATCCTCGACGCGCTCGCCGAGACCGACGCCTCGCGGCGGCCGCGGCGGAAGAGCGCCGGGCGGCGGGGGCGCGTAATCGTGTCATGATTTACATGTACATGGATTTATCGACAGAGGGTTTAGTATGGACAGTTGGGTATGGAACTTGAACGATCGCGAATTGGGGCTCTATGGACAGCCTTCTTTTTTTGGGGGTGAAACTCGAGCGATCAGAGTCAGGACGCCAGGAAGAGGAGCGTCGCGGCGCCGAGGTAGTGAATTGTCGTCTTGCGCGCGCCGTCGCTGCCGAGGGTGCCCGCCGCCGGCGCGGGCGTCAGCGAGTACGAGGTGCTGGACGACGGCGCCGGCGACGGCGCCGGCTCGCACTCACACCAACCGACGTACTCTCCATTAGCGTCCACGGCATCGCACCAGAAATCCCCGTTCCACACAGATCCGTCCAGGGTTCGCGGACCGCAGCCGTACAAAGTCTGCCAAGTCTGTAAATCATCATCATAGTGAAAGACCTCTTGGTGGATAGCTTCAGTATACTTCCAGCTTGTTGCGCATGTATAATCTCCAGTAATGGGACCGTATGAGCTACCATAGTGGTGATGCAGGATGATGCACGCTTCGTCCGTGGGCGTCGTGTCGATCGTGTCGATCTCCAAAAAATCTATCGTACCTTTACTTTCTTCGTCCGTGTCCTCGTCGGAGCAATAGCACCTGTGCACAAATCAACAAGTCAGTCGGGTGCACGTTTGATTGATGCTCTGAATAGCGCCAGCCTGTATGATTGCCATAGTCGTCGACGGCCTCGCACCAGGGATGCGCATCGCCATCGCACTTCTGGCAGCCAAAGTTCGCGCGGCCGAAGCAGGCCGTGGCGCCAGGCACCCAGGGTTCACGGTCTCGTTCGTAGAGCCACGCCGCCGCGCAGCTGCCGGATCCATCGGGCGTTCGTTGCGCTCCGTCCGGAGCCGCGATGCAGGTGCTCGTCGTGTTGCCGCCAACGTTGAACGGCGGGGTCACGAAGCCGGTCGGCGCGGACGTCGTCGGCGCCCGCGTGCAGCCGTCCTCCACGATGCCGCATGCCGTCGACTCGCACAGGGTGCCATCGAATGCGCCGTTGAGAATGCCACCCGGTGGCGACTGGCCATCGTCGGGAATAACGCACCAGCCGAGGTCCTGGTCGAAGGCCGAAGCGCCGTAGAACATCGAGCGCATATCGATGATATTGTCAAAACTCCAGTCGCCAAGAGGTTGGTTAAACGATGAGGCGCCCCGGAACATCCCTGCCATGCTCGTGGCTTCGGTGGTATCCCACGCGCCGATGTTCTCGTTGAAGGACGCTGCCCCCGAGTTGTAGTAGTCACAATAGTCCCCGGCGCAAAACAACTCCGACATGTCCGTCACCCCCGATGTGTCCCATGTAGAAATATGACCGTACGTCGCCTCGGCCGCCGCCGCATCCGAGGTCCACGCAGCCACTGCCGTCCTAATGCTATCGTCGTCCATGGCGTAGCTATCTGTGAGCTCCCGTGCGACGGCGTGCCTCGTGACCTTGTGTTTGTGTGCGGCCTGGGTGGCCACAACCTGGGCAGCCACAACCTGGGCAAGGGCCGCGATAAGTTGGAGCTTGTGCATCTGTTGCTACACAACTGGCCGGCGCACGCTGCCCGTGCTCACGCTGCCCGTGCTACCGGTAAGCACCGTATGCGCACGCGCCCCGCGAACCATACGAGGAGAGCCTTGAGTAAAGTTGAGTTGAGTATGGGCGCGGTACGGGTTTGCAGAACGAGCGTACATATTGATGTACATGTATACATTACACTTCCTGCGCGCCTCGAGCCCTCGGGACCGGAGGCGGGGCTTTGGACATCGTTTGGACAGTTAGCGGCCGCACTGGTCGAGCCATTTCTCGCAGGGGTCGGCCCGCTCGGACGCCGTGGTCGTCGGCTTGTTCTTGCTCTTTAGCAGGTCCCAGACCGTGTCGACCTCGGGCCGCGTGATCGTCCGCTCCGTGCGTATCGTGCGGGCGATGCCGCTGTCGAGGAGTTGCCTGTGTGGAACCCAAGTTTCCGGCGCCAACGTCATCGACGTGATCTTGATTTCCACACAGAGAATCGCGTGTTGCAGCACATCCACTTGGTGAGGGCCGGGCGCACGTGCGCCTTGAGGAACCGCATCGCGTACAAGTTGGTGACGGCCACGACCACGAAGAAGGCGCGGCGGTCGAGGTCGGCCACCGCACCGATCAATCCTAACAGGAAGAAGGCCTTTTTCGTATCCGTTTTTGGCATCGACGTCGTCGACGCGAGTGTTGGATATAGCAGCGTCTCGTCGTCGCCGTTGTGTGAAGGAAAACCAGCGCCGCCGCCGCCGCCGCCGCCGCCGAAGTCTTCCGTCAGCAGTAGGTCGTATTCCTCATCGATAGGAGGCATGACTGCGCCCGTTTCGCCCGCCGCCGCGGCGCCACCGCGTCGGATAAGCCGAGCAGCGTCTCGTAGGCGGGCGCAGCGGCGCCGCGATGCAGTACGGCACGCCAGCACGCTTAGAAGGATCGCGCGCGTCACAGAGGCTCGGGAGAACATTTTTGAACTGGATGACTGTACTCTTGTTTTACGTGGTCTCCAGCGTATTTTTTCAGCGCTCGACCGACGCTGGCTATATAGACTTCTGTCGCCAAAGTTTTAAGTTCAGCCGAGGCCAGCACGCCACGAACGAGGCCGTCGAACAACACCTCGACGCCGGCCTCTGCTGCTGTTTTTTAACGACCCCCTCCTCCGCCGCGCGGATCAAAAACTTCGCAAAAGTGAAGAGTGGGAATGTTCAGTACAGCCCCCGAGGGCTGGGGACATCCGGGCAGTGCCGTGCCGGGGCACTCGAGACACCGCGACGAAGGTCACCGAGGATCATAACTATGTGCATGTATATACAATATCCCCCAAGCGAGTTCACTCGTCGACGCTACACCAGTCCCGCACCGCATACCCGTGCGCGTCCTCGATGACGCCGGCGAAGCGGTCCGCGAGGACCGCGTGGGCCGCGGCGGCGGACGGGTTCCCCGCGCGGACCGGCGCGCAGTACGTCTCGCGGTGGATTTTGTTGGGGTCGCGCCGCACGTCGGCCGTCGCCGCGGCGGCCGCCGCGAGGTCCGCCTCGACGCCCAGGAACGTCCAGAGGTCGAGGAGCGACTCCGCGGGCGCCTGTGCGGGAATCAAACATCACGGCGCCTTCGTCTCTCCACGCCATCGACGCGACGTCTGCTCGACTCACTAGGTGATTTGCGCACTGGCGCGACGGCGCAGAAGTCCTCGAACTTGACCTTGCGCACGTGCGCGAGCCGCGGCACGTTCGACCGCATGTACGCCTCGACGGCGACCCAGTGCGCCACGAGCTCGGGGACCGTGCCGTCCTTCATGTAGGCGAGGTGCGAGACCGCGTTCGCGATGGGGTGCCGCGTCACGAAGATGAACCGCGCCCGCGACGATAACGGCGCGGGCGGCGGCGCGACGTCGCAAAACTCCGCGTCGGCGGCGCACGTCTTCTCCGGCGCCCGGACGTGGTCCGGCCAGTCGACCAATGCTTGCAGGTACCGCGCGAGCACGGCGTTCGGCGGGCTCTTCTCCAACAGAACCTTGGCCTGATCTAAACCCGAGTGCCGGTCCCACAGAAACCCGAAGCGGTTCAGCACGCGCGCCTGCGCGTGGCCGCTCACCGTAAAGTGGCCCTCGGTCCAGTAGACGTCCTCGACAGCACCCAACGCGTAGCGGCCCAGGCCCGTGTTCTTGGTCGACGAACTCCCGAGGAAGTCCTGGACCTCGCCGACGCCAAAACGCGGGTAGACGTCCTGCGCGAAGATGCCCTCGCTAAAGTCGAGGCCGCAGTCCCGCTGCTCGCCGAAGGACGCAACCTCCGCATGCCGCGCGACGCTCCGCCAGAGCTGCGTCGTGCCGGCGCGGTGGTGGCCGCCAATAAACGCGACGCTCCGCGTCTCGAGGAGCGCGCGCCAGGCGTGCGGCGTCAGGTCGAGCTGCTTGCTCTCCGCCGCCCAGAAGAACAAGGGCCCGTATCTATGATAGCACCAGGCCTGGACGCCGGCCGCGATCGTCACGAGCACGCCGAGGAGCGCTACGATGGATCCCCAGCCCTGCTTCTTCTCGGGCTGCGGCTTCCGCGGCGGCGGTTTTCGTTTCTTGTAGTAAAACTGCGCGAGCTCGGCGACCTTCCGCATCGCCCAGAAGGCGAGGCCGAAGATGAGCGCCGGTTTCACGCGTCGCACGGTGACCGATTTGGCCGCCGCGTGCCAGTCGTCGCGCGTCCAGCTCTCGAGGAGGTGCTGCGCGGCCTCGCCGATCGACGGCGCCATGGCTGTCCCAGCCCTTTTGATGGTGCCTGCCACCAGAGTCCCAGCCCTTTTTGCAGAGTGTTGGACTGCAGCAGGATGAGCGCTAGAGCAGTGCGCGCGGTCAAACGACTAATTACAGAGATTCTTGCGATGCGTATGCCTTGGGCCGCGACGAGCACCGCGGCTGAATGCCGCCGCAAGAAGTGCTCCAGAGTGCGCGGGTTTCGGACGCCTCGCTTCGAGGAGTACGTCGGGGGCAGCCTCGGCCGCGCCCCCAAAAACCCAAACTTGAACTTCAAAGCGCTCTCCCGCCAAAACCTGGCCCGGTGAAGTTGAGGCAGCAAAAACACTTTACTATTCGGTGACGCTCTCCCATCTAACGCGCGCAAAAACCGCAAAACGCAGCCAGCAAAAATGACGGACTCCATGGCGAGCCTCCAAGCGACCATCGCCGGCCTCCAGGAGCAGATCGACGCCATGAACGGGCAGCTTACCGAGGTACGTCCCTGCTTCACCGGCAGCTGCCCCTTTCGCCAGCGCGCGGTGCGGGCGCGGCGGGCTGCCCCCACCCCCGCGGCGGCCCCGCCCCCGCGGCGCCGCCGCCGGCGCGGCGGCGCGGCCCTCTCCCGCCCTCGCCGGCCGCCGCGTTCCCGCCCCCGCCGGCCGCCGCGTCCGCGCGTGACCACAAATCCGCGCGCGCGCTCAAAACGAAAACGACCCCCGCCTCACGACACGCCCCCCGCCGCAGCACCGCAAGCTCATCGACACGGGCGACATCGACGCCTTCTGGCTCATCTTCGGCGGCGTCCTCGTCTTCTGGATGCAGGCGGGCTTCGCCATGCTCGAGGTCGGCTCGGTCAACAAGAAGAACACGAAGAACATCCTGGTGAAGAACATCTTCGACGCGTGCATCGCGGCGATCATGTGGTACGCCGTCGGCTCGTCGCTCGCCGGCGGCAACGGCGACGACTTCACGACGACGGGCGAGAACGGCTTCGCGGGGTCCGGCGGCTTCTTCCGCACGGTCTCCACGGCGAACAAGTCGGCCTACGCCAAGGCCGGCTGGTTCTTCGGCTGGACCTTCGCCGGCGCCGGCTGCACGATCGTCTCCGGCGCCATCGCCGAGCGGGCCACGTTCCTCGCCTACGCGCTCTACTCGGTCATCCTCACGGGCTTCGTCTACCCGCCCGTCGTCCACATGATGTGGGGCGCGGGCAAGTTCTCGGCCTGGCGCTCGGGCCCGCGCCTTTTTGGGGATTGCGGCGTCATCGACTTCGCCGGCTCCGGCACGGTGCACATGACGGGCGGCGTCGCCGCGATCATCGCGGCGGGCTGCATCGGCGTGCGCAAGGGCTTCCCCGACGCGCTGCCCGAGGGCCAGCCCGTCTACCAGGCCCTCGGCATCCTCATCCTCTGGATGGGGTGGTACGGATTCAACTGCGTCTCGACGCTCTACATCGACGGCTACGCCCAGTCGGCCGCGCACGTCGCCATGACGACGACGCTCGGCGCGGCGGCGGGCTGCCTCGGCACGGCGGCCATCGGCTTCGTCGAGAAGCAGTACATCGACCCGGGCTACGTCTACAACGGCGTCCTCGCCGGTTTAGTGTCCATCACGTCGCCGTGCGCCGTCGTGTCGCCCTTCGGCGCGATCGTCGTCGGCCTCATCGGCTCCCTCGTCTACGTCGGCGCGTCCAAGGGCGTCAAGGCGGCCGGCATCGACGACGCCGTCGACGCCTTCGCCGTCCACGGCGCCTGCGGCGCCTGGGGCGTCATCGCGTGCGGCCTCTTCGCGACGCCGTTCTACTACAGCGTCTCCTACTACGGCGACCGCAAGGACGACTGCGCCGGCCTCTTCTACGGCGGCAAGGCCTCGGGCTCCTTCGCGGCGGCCTTCGCCTGCGTCTTCGTCATCCTCGCGTGGGTCGGCTCGACGATGGGCGCGCTCTTCGGCACGCTCAAGGCCACGGGATTGTTGCGCGTCTCCCAGGAGATCGAGGACGCCGGCTTGGATGATTCTAAGCACGGCGGCGCCATGTCCGAGGTCGTCGCGGCCTCGGTCGACGGCGTAAAAGCCACGGAGGCCTAGACGTCGACGGCCCGGTCCGTCCTGCTGCTGTTCTCTCGTTCTGTACATACTCTCATCGAACCCCACTCTGTTTATATTGCCGGCGCGCGCGGACGCCAAGACCGGTCCGCGCCGCGCCCCCTTGCCGCGAGCACCTTGCACATACCAGCAACAGCCCTTGTCCCAGCTCGCGCTTGACCCAACACCCATTGCCTTGTCCCGGCCCCGGCGATCGAAAACTGCCGGTGGCTCCCGGTGCGCCCGCCCGCGGCGCGCCCCGTCCCACCCAAATTCCACCATCGCACAGCAAGCCTGTTGCACGCCAGTGTATATAGTAATCTGTATTAAAAAGACCTGATAGGCGAGGCCTCTGCGGCCGGACGACGCCGCTGCGACGACTTTTAGGACTCCGCACGCTAGCGTTACACTAGCTCTAGCCTGAGTCTCGCGCTGGGCAGCCCTGCGCATGCGCCGAACTCGTCCAAAATACCCACAGCTGGGCCCTCAGCGCAGCTCCTTGCAGAAGCATCAGCAAGCCTGTGCAGCAGAGAGGCGCCGCGCATGCCTTGCGAGAGGTATGGTGTCCAGAGAGCAATGGCTACGTACGCGTGAAAAATCTGCCACTCATGCAAGGGAGTCAAAAGCAGGCTGAAATCACTGCAGGCTTGGCGCCGCGAACTCAAGGAACTGGTGCCGGAGTTGCTGCGCGCGCACGGCTATTGCCGCCCTGAGATCGTGAAGAGGGTCCTGCTGTACTAATATGCGTCGCTGCCTCATCCTCCTCCACGCGGTCGCAGTTGCCGCCAAAAGCTGCGACGAGTCGCGGCTTGTCAGCAGACCCGACTACGCCGAAAGGCTGCTGCGCGCCGCGATCCAATGCAACGCAACCTCGCGCATCGAGCCCAGTGCGGCCGTGGCGAACCTTGCCGTCGCCGGCACGGGCTCGCAGACGCTCGCGGACGCGCTGCAGGCCTGGCGCGGCGTGGTTGGAAACAGACGCGCTCGGCCCGCCGGGGTCCCGCGACTCCCTCGCCGCCGGCTGCTTCTCGGCGAGGCGGTACGGCGCGGCGGTGCGCGTATCACCGCCAGGGCGACGGCGCACCGCTTGATATCCCACCACGACCACCGCATCACGGTGGATCACCTCCTCAGGACGACGAAGCGCTGGTCGACGGCCTTGGACACGTTCGGAGAACCGCAGGAGAAAATCGACGTCTTCCTGCTCACGCTCCGGGCTGTGTGGAAATCAAACTTTTACGGCGCGTTCGTGCTGAATCGCCGCGTCGACCTCCACGCCATCGACGCGACGCCTGCTCGATGGTGTGGCGATGCCGGTTCCTCACCGCTCGACGGAGCCAGCACGGCCGCGTCATCGCCGAGAAATGACTTAGTGAAGAAATGTCGGGTGCACCCGACGCACTGGTTGATTTCCACACAGGCTCCGGGACCCCGTGCGCCGCTTCCAGAGCGGCTGGCGCTACCGGCCCGACTTTCGCTACGACACGCTCGAGAACCTCCTGCGCGAGTGGAGAAAGCGCCTCGGTGACGGCCCACGCCCCGCGTTTCCGGACGGGCTCGCGAGCTCATTCCGAAGGCTCAACACTGCCGTGAACCAATACTTCGCTACGCCGCAGCTCTCGTACCTCGTAGGGTCCGCGTGCGCCTGCAGGCGGGGCGAGGTTCGGCTCCGGGTCCTCTGCACGGAGTCGTTGCGTCACGATCTCCCCGCGCTCGCCGCGGAGCTCGGGGCGCGAGCATCGCATCGCCACTCGAACCTACGCACTACGCGCCGTCCACGCCGCAATGCCACGGCCACCGTCTCCGCCAAGACCGCCGCCTGGCTTCGGGACATGTACCGCGAGGACGTGGCACTGCACAAATACTACTGTTTATAGAGAATGTCTTGTATATAAAGCACTGTCATCGTATAAGAGAGCGAAATACTCCGGAATTATACCATTAGTACTTAAAGAGAGGTGCCCCGCCGGCACACAACACGCGCTATGGAGCGGCCCCAAGGGGACAGACCGCCACAAAGCTCTAAGATCCGAAGACCATGGACCGCGTCTCCGTGTCAATATCGAGGGCGTCCGCGTCCAGGTCCATGACGCGCAGGACGTCCTGGGGCGCCTCGGCGTCGCGGAGCTGCGCGTCGTAGAAGCTCGCCAACTCCGCGGCGCACCTGCCGATGCCCGCGTCGTCTCCATTAAACAGCGAGATGCGCCCTTCAGCAGGCGTGATGACGGTCGCGGCCGGCACGAGCGGCGTCGCGAGCACGGACTGCAGCTTGTCGACGAGGGCCACGTAGGCGAGCGTCGCGCGCGCGTAGGTCACCGCGCGCGCGGCCGTGGCGGCCTCGACGTCGGCGGGCGCCGGCGCCGGCGCCGCCGCGTTCGACGACGGGCGCTGCGGGCTGTTCGGCGGCGAGGGCTGGCCCTGCGAGCCCGCGCGGCCGCGCCGGCTCCGCGCGGCAGCCGAGGCTGCGGCCCGGCTCTTCGCGCGGTCCACGGACCGCTTGAGCGCGCGGGCGCAGGCCCGCCGCTTGCGCTGCACGGACCAGCGGTCGTTCGACGCCGAGAAGAGTGATAGCAGGGCGGCGTGCGGCGCGGCCTCGGCCGCCCGCTTGCGCTGGTCCGCCGAGCCCTGGGCGCGATCTAGAGAAGCGGCGACGACGGCGTCGAGGTGGCGCCGCTCGCGCTGCGCGAGGGCCGCGTCGGCCGCGCCGCCGGCGTCTCTATCTTGAAGCTGGTGGCCCGCCATTTGCAATAGGTAGAGACAGAGTTCGAGGTTCGACCGTCTCGAACCGCCGCCGCTCTCCTGGTGGAGCGGCTCGTTGTGCGCCAAGCGTAGGAGTAGTAAACGCGCGTCGTGCGCGGCTAACTGAAAACGCGACGACCGCAGGGCCCGAGATGACGGCGACGCGTAGGACGACGTCGAGGCCGCCGCGGCGAGCTGCGACGCCGGCGCCGCGGCGACGCCGAGCTGCGCGACGCGCCCGAAGTGGCGCTCGACCGCGGCGTGGTAGGCCGCGCGCGCCGACGCCCAGTCGTCCGTCGCCTGGGGCGGCCGCACGGGCAGGATGGAGTTGCATAGGACCCTCGAGTTCCGCAGGGCCGCGCCGTCCCACTCGGCCCGAGGAGACCTCAACGACCGTTCCGCGCGCGTCGCGTCGCGATGGCAGTTCGCATGGATGCAATGCATCGCACCCACGGAAGAACATACCGCGGGCGGCGGCCGCGGCCGCGAGGCCGCTTGCGCCGCGGCCGCCGCGCCCTCGACCAACTGAAAGCCGTCCGCGCCCCCGACGTCCGCCGCCGCGAGCTTCGAGAAGATGTAGGCCCCCAAAGCGTCGCGCGGCCGCGACGCGAAGCCCTCGCGACACACGACGCACCTCGCCGACCCCGCGTCGTCGGGCTCGGCGTCTTGCACGTTCTCCGTCACCGACGGGGCCCTCGCGCGTTTCTGGGGTTTTTCACCTTGTTGGGGAGGCGCCTCTAACCCGTATCTCTTCAGGATGCGGTCGCGCTTCTTCGACGCGTGGTCGAGACGAGCATTTCTAGAAGCCTCCCGCATGCTTCGAGCCTTCGAGCCGCTGGGCCACGCGACGCACGCGTCGACGAGCTCCTCGGCCGCCAAACATACCAATGACGGAGCGAGCAATAATTCCAGGGCATGCGCACTTTCGACGGCTTTGTCTTTTATTGCCGTCTTCGCGCACCTCTCTGATGAAGCGCAGCAGCCTTTCAGGGCCTTCAGGAGAGCTACAATAATGCGCTCGTCCTTCACGGCGCACTCGGTCCACTCCGTAGACTCGGTTCCCGTGGAGGCCCAGGCGAATTTCGGTGACGTCGTAGGGAGCCGCTTCACGAGCGCTTGCGAGCACTTCTTCGCGAAGCCCGCCCGTTCCAGGGCGTCGCCGAGCGCTCTCGCACCAACGCCACTCCCCAAGCCTTCCACAACCTCTCGCAAACAAGCAGCAGCCACCGAGTCGGGATCATTGGTCGATTCTTGCGCCCACTTATCAACACCACTGTCAAATAACTGGACCACCGTCGACGCCAACGCGTCTGCGGCGTCTTTACGACCGTAGGCTAGTGCTGGTAACAACCTACAAACAGCTTTCCTCAGAGCGGGTGTGCGCGCGAGAGCAGAAGCGACGGATGCGTCTTTCAGACCTTCGACTAGTGTCTCCAAATGACCGGCTTCATTGGAGTCCTCTTCGGTCTCCGACTGCGAGTCCTCCGCCGCGGCGGCGGGCGCCAGCGTTTCGAGTAGACTCAAGATGCGAGGCACCAGCGTGTTCTGCGAGGTCTTTTTGTTTCGGAGCTCCGCAACTAACCTAGCGAGCAATGCCCCAGAAGCGCCCCTTTTCGCGAGGTCCGAGGCATACCCACTGTCGGCACACAACGCTAGTAACTGCAACGCCCGGCCAGCGAGTTCCGGGGCATCTCTAGAAGAACAACACCGCACCAATTCCTCCAGCCCGCCCGAAGACGCGATGACGACGGCAGCTTGCGACTGGTCCTGCCTCCGGCGCCCGTCGTCCTGCGCCTCTACCTGTTCATATCTCTCCTCCGTGGCCTCGCCATCCACACCAGTGAGCCGGTAAGTGACGACCATCGGCGGCGTAACTCTACGCCTCCTTTTAGGTTCATCCTCATCTTCATCCTCCTCGTCCTCGTCCTCGTCACCGACCTCCGAATAGACCTCGTCCTCCTCTTCCATGTCGTGATCTTCGTCTTCTTCCTCCCCGGGGGCCATCAATGACGCCCCAGCATCACCTAGAGCGGCAGCTAGAGCGCCCATGCGTCTCCTACGAGCTCTATTACGAGCGTCCTTCGATCCTGGCTGCCACACATTCGCATAGACCTGCCTGACACTGAGATCGAGTGAAATAATTTTGTCGCACACGAGCAACTCGAGCATTTCCGCCGCGTCGACCATGTCGAGATCTCGCGCTATTTTTCGCCGCACGTCTCGCATCAACGGCTCGGCGTCCTCACCGGAGTTTTCCGTGGGCACGTCATCCAAATCTACGGTCGATCGAGGCAGATTGCCCCGAAAGAACTCTTCTTGGGTTGGGGCCCGTCTCAACTGCAGTTGGACCCTCTGTCTTTGCCGTTTCGGCGTCGCCGCCGACGCCATGTCCTTTAGTAGATTATCAATGGCCTTCGCGTCGAGCGGCGGGGGCGGATCTTCTGTTAAAATACCTAATCGACGATCTCTCCTCCTCCGCAGCACGCGACAGGAAGCCGCGAGAAAGGCCAATCGATCGCCCCGGCGCTTGTCTATTGTACCTCTACAGTCGCAATCCAACGGCACGCGAGCCGCCGACGCTAAACTATCGGCGGCCTGGTCCGTCGCGCGACAGCCCAGCAACGCCAACGCTCGAAGAGCGAGGCAGGCCTCGAGAGGCACGTCTAGTGCGTCTCTTGAGGCCCTACCAGCAGCGCCCTCGGCGTCGTCTTCATCATTGTGTTCAGCTAGCTCGGACGCGAGGACGCACAGCGCTTCCAACGCCGGCGACTCTCTACCAACCGCTCTGGCAGCGGCGCCGTCGGCGCCACCTCTGGAATCTCTCAGAAGACGGGCATCCCTCGCGAGTAGGAGAGAAGCCTCCCGTCGAGCGAGTCTCGCACAGCACCGCCCAAAACCTCGCTTCTGGATGTACGCGCGCCGCTTCACGCTCGTGATGAGCTCCTTCGCGACGACGACCAGCTGGCTCACGTCTCCATTGTTGGAAGCGCAGGCTGTCGCGAAGCCTTCCAGAGCGAACTCGACGCATGCTGTTTGTCCGGGCGTCTCCATCTCATTGCCGCAGGCCGCGAGCAATAGCAGTGACGCCTGCCGCCGGCACGCTTCGTTACTTCCAGTGAAAGCTCGGAGCCACCAGTGCTTCGCTGGGGGCCCCTTCCACCGGTCGAAGGCGCTCCTCAGATCAGTCGGCCGCGAGAACCTTGATAGAGAGCGCCACGGACCCGACTCGCGCGGGAGGCGGCCCGATTCCTTCTGGAGCCACGCTATCACGTTCTCATTATCTGGGGACGAGGCCACCTTGCAGAGCACGCCGAGGCACGGTCGCAAGATCGAAGCGGCGATCTGCGGATCATCCGACAGAGCTGCTTTTGGAACGACGTCTAAACAAAAGGCTAGACAAGCCGCGGACAGCACCGTGCCCGGCGCCGCGACGTGGTCCCTTAGTGAATTCAAGGCCCTTCCGAGCGGCGCCGCGTCCCGAGAGCGTCCACCTAACTGACACGGGTCCGTTAACGCGTCGTCCGCCGCGGAACGCAGGGCCTCGAATAAATAAGATCGCGCGTGCTCGGAATGGGACGCTAGGGACCGTAACGCCTGGGCCGCCGCTCGCGACGCCTCCCGGTGGTCACTCGACGCCACGGCTAGTAATTCCTGCGCGACGCGCTTCCGATCTAGAGCTTTTCTACCTCTTTCCGACGACGCTAAAGCCCCAGCTAAGGCTGCCAACCGCCCGGCCGTCGCCGCCGTCTTGAGCGACGCCTCATCATCCTCGTCCTCGGACGATACGTCTTCGTGCGTATGCGTGCGCCGTCGGTACGCCCGAACTCGCGCCACGGTCTGCGCAGCTTGTTTCGAGGCCGATTTGAGTTCCGCCGCTAACGGCAGACATTCGCCCTCGTACAGATCCAGCAGAGACCGGGCCGCGTGGCCGAGCTTCACCGTACTGTCCTCTTCCTCTTCGCTATCTGAAGCAGATCTTTTCCTCAAATCTTCCGCATGTACAGACTTCACTAATTCACGTAGAGAATCGGAAGAGGGCTTGGGAGGCGATTTGGGCACACCAGTTCTATCACGCTTCTTCCGCTGCGTACCGCCTCTTACAATTTGATCCGCGGCGGCCGCGGCGGCGTAGACCCTATCCAAGCTTTGAGAAGCGACCTCCTCCCTCTTCTGGCGTTTTTGAGCCTTGAGGACCTTCGCGTCGGGCACGGGCGGCTTCTCCTCGTCCTCCTGCTCCTCCGGAACAGGCTCTTCTTCCCTAGATTCATCTTCGTCAAAACGCTCTCTACCAAAGTCCACGTCCTCACGCAGCTCGAACGCTAACGGATCATCATCGTCGAGCGCCGCATCGAGATCATCGTCCTCGTCGTCATCCGACGAGCCGGGCGGGTCGCTATCATCACCGTGGGGTTCGGGCGGCGGCGGGGCGCTCGCAGCTAAAGCTCGTTGCAGCATCTCCTCCTCGTCCTCGTCCTCCTCGATCATGGGGTCGTCGTCGTCCTCCTCATGGGCTTCTCCCGGCACGGGATCTCGTCTCAGTCTTATGGACCGGGCCGCCGTTTCGCCGCGGAAGAAGAGAGCCGCGGCGTTGGCCCGCGGCGGCGCCGCTCTCGGATACCTTCCTAGGAGTCCCGCTGCCGCTTGGGCTAGTGCTCTACGTGCTGGCCTTCGTAGTAAAGCGGTAGGCGGTGCCCTAACAGCTCGTCGCGCGGCCGAGAGAGCCGCGGCGTACGAACTTCCACCAAGGGTCGGCGGCGGCCCGAGCCGTCGTCGTCGCATGCGGCGCCGAGGCACGCCCTCCAACGCGGCCGCCAACCGACGCGCGTCCTCGGGGCCGCTGTCCCGCGCCGACGCCAGGATGGACGCGAGAGAGGAGGAAGCCCGGGCCGGCCCGAGATCCAGGGGCGGCATGACGGCCACGGGCTCCTCCTCCTCGTCGACGCCGAATAATCTAGCTACATTTTGTGAAGACGGCGCCACTGCACTCAACAATGATCCTAGGTCCGCCGCCAACTGAGCAGCGGCTCTCGGTGTCCCAAGGACTCTGGCATCAGCATGCGCCATCAGCGCGAAGGACGCCACGTCCACGGCGCACCACGTGTCATCTAAAGCTGTTTTCGAGGAACGAGGCCACGCCGAAAACACCGCGTGCTCGTCGTCGCGCGACAGAGCTAACGCTCGTGCTCGCCTCGCACATTCGGGCAGGAGGCGTCGCAACTCTCTCCTCGCGTCCGCACAGGCGTCCGCGCGGTCTCGCAAGCGAGCTACTGCTCTCTGTAAATCTTCTTCAGAACGAATAGACAAGGCGTCCGGCGCCGGGTCGCTTCGCAGTCGATACGAAAAGTCGCCAAAAGCACAATACCCACACTCCACACATAAAAACGCGTCCAACCGTTCGTAGTTGATGTGGCGGCACTGCCGGCATTGGAAGGCCACTTCGCCGCAGTGCTGGCAGACGCCGTGCGCGTCGGTCACGGCCCGACCGCATCGAGGGCAATGTAAGCAAGGCTGCGTTTTTGATCCTGTACGTCTTTGCTGGGGCGGGCCCGTGGTCCTTTGAGGGTAGAAGTCGTCGTACTCGATGAGTAAGTTGGCAGCTACTAGTGGTGCGGGTAGAGGTATCCTCGCGCTGGTTTGGCCCCTTTCTAACCTTACCGTAGCAGCAAGCGCCCATTTCCTTCTATGAGTAGGCCAAGACAAATCAGATAAGGAGTCAACTTCCCGCGCCGCATAATGCAACTTCAACCGTCGCACATACCTCCCGCGAGGCTCGCGAATGCGCAACTCCAAATGAGTAATTCTACGAACGGTCCTCAGCTGAGATAGAGCCGTGTTCTCCGTGTACCTCGCTGCTTTCCGTAAATCCTCCAGCGACTGGAGGGGCTTCCTCTTCTCCCGCGGCCTCGCCTTTCCCGGAACTTTCTTCTTCTCACTATCACTGTCGGGGTCCTCCGGATCAGACAACAAAGATTGCGACCTATCGCGCACCGTGACGCAGTCCTTGACGTCCTTCGCCGTGAAGACGTCGCCCTCCGACAGATATCGTACCCTATCGGCGTCGTCCGTCGTCGACCCTTCGAAATCATCCACAACCGGTCCCGCCTCGTTCCGGACCGTAGCGTCGGCCTCGGAAGCCGCCTTCAGCAGTTCCGTGTCTTCCTCGTCGTCCTCGGCGTCATCAAAACACCTCGGGGCATTTCTGCAAAGACCGTCCGTCGCCTGGTAGACGGCGCGGACATCATCATCTGATTGTGATCGTGTCTCTCTCAAGCCTGCTTGTAATGTAGAGCATAACTCATCCAGTGTAGCTTCGGGCAGGATGTCGCGGTCGTCGATGGCTTCGACGAGGGCGCCTCGGAGAGCCGCGAGTAGTTCGCCGCCACCGGACCTTCTCAATTCTCGCGGCGCCCGCGATGCCAATGCTGCTAACACCGTGGTCTTCGCCGGTCGATCCAAAGCGCGCCAGACGTGTCTCAAGGTCTGGGCACCTAGCGCTCTACACCCTCGACTATCGCCATCCACAGCTATTGTGGAAGCAAACGCGAGTAGCTTCTCCGACGCTTCTTCACCAAGGTCAATCACGAGACCCTGGGCCGCTCGAGAAGCGGATCCGACTGATTGTGCCGGCGCACCCAGCCCGAGAAACCGCGCGAACCTCCGCCGCGGCCGCGACTGCGTCCGTTGATCAGATGCGTTTTCGGCCGACGCGCGTTGATCTTCTAGTCTCAAATCGTCGTCTCGCAAGTTGTCCACGGGTCTACAGCACCTTTCAAGGAGTTCTAGCACCGCGTTCCTCGCCGTCGAGGCGGGTAGCACTTCGCACAACTCTAGGAGGGTAGTAGAGCCGCAGTGGCCCCTCTCAAATGAAACCTCGTCGCCGTCCGAGGCGTCGGCCAGCGACGCGTCGTCTTCCTTGTCTTCTTGATCGATCATGACCACGTCGTCGTCGTCTTGTGTAGAACCGATGGCCGGTCTTGCACAAAATGTGCGCCAGTGGTGGGCTCGTGAACGAACTACTCGTAGTAATCGCGTCAGAGAGTGCTCCAACCGCGCCGCAGACACGTATTCGAGCTCGCCCTCTCGTCTGATCGTTGACAAAGCGGTTCGTAGTCGCGTGAAATGACGCGCAAATAAATGAGAGTCCCTACAAGCCCGGTACTCTCTAGGACTCCCACCACACAACCTCCGTAAAGCTCGCCGCGCCGCCCGCCGCGCGCCCTTCGGTAAATTGCGGTCGCCGACGGCGTCGCAGAGAGCGGCAAAAAAGGCCGGCGGGAAGCGTCTTTCTGAGGAAGTTAAGGCCCCTCCACAAGACGCGCAGCACCGTAAGGAAGCCGCTAAGAAGGCAGAAGCTAGCTCCGCTCGATGATTCCTCCTTAATTTCGCGGACCGCGGGCGGTCAATTTCTGGAGCCGCAACGAGCGGCACCCACCAGGGACAAGGATCCACACTTTGTACTGTCTGATCATCTTCCACCACCTCTTCAGCTACGTCGTCGTCCAGCAACCCGCACGGCACGACGGGCCGCTCCTCCGAAGCATCGTCGTCACTGTCAACAGATTCGGCGTCCGAGTGGTCGTTCAGCAGGGGCGGCTTGTTCTCCTCGTCGTCGGGCTGCTGCGGCGAGGAGGACGCCTCGGATTCTGCTCGTAGCGTCGCTAGGGCTCGTCTCGATTTGGCGACGAGCGCGTCTCGGAGCGAGACGCCGTTCTCCTGGCTGTCTAGTTGTTTTGCAACAGCTTGTCGTGCAGAACGAGACGCGGCGCGACACGCCGTCTCCGACGAGCCGCGGTGTAAGCTGAGAGGTGCACAAGATAACTCAACGTCGTCCGCGCATCTACGAGTACAAGCATCGACGGGTGTGACCGTTTCCACCACTCGGTCCTCGTCGTCGCCGTCCTGGCTCTCCATCGTGTCTCGCCTTGTGAGCGGTTGGCCCTGTTGGCGTTGGACGGAGGGGATGCCTCGGCATAGTCGCTCTACCGTCCTCAAGAGCAAGACAACGACGTCCTCCCTAGTTTCATCGCGAGAAAACCACGACTCCTCCTCATCGCAGCACCACTCGACGCCGTCCCGCTGCAACGATCGGGAGTGCCGCCCTCGTCTCTCAGCGTGGCACTTGAGCACATCATGGCACAAAGCATATCTGAGCGTATCACTCGCCCAGTCACATAGGACGTAGGACACGGCAGAAGCTAATTGAGGGTCGGCGTAGCACTTCGACGCTATTGACAGAACACATCCCAGGCCCCGCGCGACGTTGCCCGGGCTTCCGACGGAGTCCATGGTCCCTTCCGCGAGGCTCGCTACGACGACATGCTGCTTGAGTCTATCTAAGACTAACGGTAAAACACAAGAGGCGAAGAACGAGGCCTTCGTTTGTTGATCATCATCTTTGGACTCTTGGATCGTGTCCTCCGTCTTCGATTCGCTACTGATATTTTCATCTCGCAGTGCTGATGCCGCAGATGACGGATCAGCAATCAGAGCTTTCGAGATTTCATCCGCTAGAGCCTCCATGCTGCTGTCGGCCGTGTCGCCGTTCTCCAGCGTCGACACGAGTTTGAGGTAGCCCTCCCTTGCTGTTTCTGTTGGAGTTGCCGAGTTACTTCCGCGAGACCACAACTCGGAACAAGCTAATGACACAATAGTTCGGGACGTCGTAGCTTGCACTTCCGTACCTCTTCTCGCAACAGCAGCGATCTTCGGGAAGCCGTAGTCCTCGTCCGAAGGACAGAGCCGTTTCCGGAAGGACGACGGCTCCCGCTCATGCAAGGCCAGTGCTAATCTAGCGACGGCATCGGCCCGCGAGTCGTCTTGACTCCCGTCCGTGGCCTTCACTAACCTATCTAGTCGAGCCTGGTCGATGTAAGCCGAGGACCGCGTCGCGTCGAACTGAGCCGACACGCGTACGAGCGTCGAGGCGGCGCGGCACCAGCTGCGATCCGATTTTGTCGTGAGGCAGGTCCGTTCGACGACCAATAAAGCCGCTTTACATAACTCTGTCGGATCATCTGACATGTCTACGGTTGCATATGTGTCGTCGAACGGTGCCTCGAGAGGTGGAAACCGCTCCAGGGAAGACGAGGGATAGGACACCAAAGCCGCGATGCGCGACGCCGCGGCCAGACACCGTTTCAGTGGTAGACCGCGACAGACGTCGATCACCGTTTGTACCTTCTTCTTCTTTGGCCTTTTACGTAGAGCCTCGTCAGCAACGTAAACTTCGACCGCATCTAGGATGGGCGGGTTTCCTGCCCGTCGAGCGCCCAACATCGACACGGGTACACCTCCCAACCTCCTACAAGCTCGTCGGTCGGCCGCATCCAAAAACACGTCGCGCCAGGCCCGTTGGTTCGTTCTTACTGGTACGACTTTCCCACAGACCACTAGTTCTTCCGGAGCGTGGTTCGACGCGGCGGAACCGACCAACAACCTTACCGCTCGTAGTGAACCCCGCTCTTGGAGGTACGAGGGATCGACGGATACGAGTAACGAGCCGCCGTCTGCCTTACCGACTAAATACTCGTCCGTCGACGCTCGTAAGCGTCTTCGTAAGTCTGTCGATGGTTTCGACGACGCCAAGTCACCCGCGAAAACAACGCGGGGCTGAGGGACCACACAGAGAGATTCGAACTGGACACAAGCCGGGCCCCTTCTCACTAATTCTTCGTCCTCGTCCTCGTCGTCGTCGTCCTCCTCCATGGAGACGTCGGCGGGCTCGCAGTCCGGTCGGTCGAATAACTGTAACGTGCCGTCATCAAACAAGATCATGAGCTGCCTGCCTGACAACTTGGTTGCTCTAGGTGGCATGTAAGCACACACGCCCAGCACGCGGCGATGCTGCGGTGTCGTACTACCACCCGTGGCCGCGGCGAGTCGCTGAGCCGCGGTGGAAGCGGGCGGCGCCGGCCCGGGCTCCGTGCAGTCGCATTCCCGCGCGACGGACATCCTCGTAGACTCCTCGGACAACCCAGAACAAGCGACATAGACGACTCGCTCCGTACCTCTACCCGACGTCCTAGGTGTCGTACTAACACCTCTAGCAACACACACAACATCAACCGCATCCGCATCGTCGTCGCATTCGCCGCCCGGCCACTCGAGCCACGCGTCGAACGGCTGTTGCGCCGTCTTCTGCTGCGTTTGTGAGGCGTTTAACGCGGCCAACAGCAACTCATCGGCTGCGGCACTACCGGTGGGTGGTCTGGAGACTTGGGGTCTTCGTGGTGGCGGCGGCACGGTACACGGTAAAATGTGACCTCCACCCCTCACATCGCGCACGCCGTCCCCGAGCGGTATCACACAAGCGGCGCACCCATCTCGAGCTATGACCAGAGCATGGGCCCTCGACGAATAGAGCAACCCATGGGCCGCGCCGGCCCCCGCAAACAGTCGAGGCGGCAACGACAGCGCGTCGTGGAGATCTAGGTAAACTTCCTTCGCCGTTTGTACTGTAGACTTCCTACCAAATAATTCATTATCGTCCGGCTCCACGTCCGCCGCGAAGACCCGTCCCGTGTCCAGGACGGCATAGAGCGCTCTCGCTCCGCCCCATTCCGGTCGCGGCGGCGCCAAACACGCATCTCTCAGATGATGCTGATCATAGGCTAGCACGTAGGCATGTGTGGGTGTCGCCGTATCTCTCGAAAGATCATAAATATGCACGCCTAGAGTGGTGCAAACAGCTAGTCCGCACTTGGACGCAGGGACCCACAGACACTTGACCACATGCGCGGCGTCCGAAGCTAGAGCGTCTAAGGCTAACTCTACTTTGACATTGATCGGTTCGTCGTTCTTTTTTTGGTCGCCGCCGTCCAGCGCGACGACGCAGCAGTCCCGCAACCCCCAGCACGCGACGTGTCGGTCGCAGCATGGATTGAAGGCAAGACCAACGAGGTCGAAGGGCGTATTTGCACGTGTTAACGCCACACAGGCTGTGCGTTGCGGCCTTCTCGCTCGTAGAGCATTTTCTAGGACATATATAGTGACGGTTCTGCGACACCCGATGGCGACCCTTCCTCGTCTGTCAGCCGAAACTAACCTAGGAGCCAATCTATGTCGTTGTAGTAAAGCCTTCGTCTGGCGCGCCACGGGTCCCGTCGTCTGCTCGCCGGGAACCTTGACCTCAAGGCCATGAATACACGAAGCTCGTCGGACTTTTGGTGCCGATCGCGTCGGTGCGGCACTCTCAGAGCTACCTTTCGACGTCCGGCCTCGACCAGGCGACGGCTGCGCCTCGATGACGCGTCGAGGTTTTTGCACAATCGACGAGGCTCTTGACCTGATTGGCCTTTCGGCTAGGGACGACGCCGCCGCTCGGGCGAGCTCCGTAGCGACGGCACACGCCGCCTCGGCGAGTGATGCCGGTAGGGACGCCTGCCTCGTCGTCGCCGCGAGGTTCTCGACCCTTCGCAACAATCGAGCTCGGTCCTGCTTGGGCGGCCTTCGTTCGATCGTCGGCGCTCGAGGGCGGAAGCGTCGCTCCGACGCGTCTAGGCACCGGCAAGGGGGAGCTGCGGCCAACAAAGCTGCCGCAGACGCGCCCCTTCGACCGCCCGGTATTTCACCTCCCAAAAAGCTTTCTCGCTCTCGTTGCGCGGCCCGGTCGGCCGCCGTCGTCGAACCTCGAGCCCCGCAGTCGCAGAAGAAAGAACTTTTACGAGCATAGGAGATGTCATGCCCCGCGTGGCACGTACGAATACAAGCCGCACACGCGCCCTTATCGCCGACCAAACCGCACGTCGCGCAGTTGTACCAGTGCTGTTCCACGAACGCGCCACTCGTCGACGCGAACGTGCACTTCGTCGGGACCTCTCGTTGCGGCTCCTCCTCCTCTTCTTGGACAGGTAGGGTCTGTTCTTCTTGCCTTAACCCGAGGGCGCGCCGGAAGCCGGCACAGAGAGCTGCAGCTAGTTCCAACGCTCTGGCACTCCCAAGCGTTTTACCGGACTGCACCAAGCGTTGCGCGACATCAGCGGCTGCACTACCACCGTTCGTGACCGCACACAAAACCAGTAACGACTCGCAGGGTCTCGACGCGCGCGCCGGCAGCTCGAGTAACTCGCAGACCTCACCGTCGTCGACGATCGCGCGTAGAATTGCTGTTCTACAAGCAGAAGCCCAGACTTCATTCCCTTTCTTGGCCGTCTTTTGGGGGGCCCAGCCCGCATCCTCGTCGCCCCTACCTGCCACAAATGATGCGGCACCGGTGGCCGCCGGGTACCTACCATCCACACCCTTTGCGTCGCCGCACGCCGCACTTGCGCAGAGCTCGCAGATCGACGCCGTTTCGTGCTTCGCTGCGACGAGCGAGGCTCGGAGGGCGCCCGGTGGGGCTCCACTTATAGCTTTCGCTGTTGGTAATCGGACACTGCCAGACGTCGCGTCCGGGAACTGGGAAGCCGTCACAACAATCCGCGCGGCAATGGCGAGGTGGCCCCCTTGCGATGATAAGTCGTCCTTCAGCGCCCAACTTAACAACTTTTCGGCGCCGACGCTTTCGTCCGACGTGTTCTCCACGTAACTTACGACGTGTTGCCGGTGCTCCGCTCGCGGCGACGAGGTCCACCTCTCAAGATCATCTAGTGCTGCACTACGTGCCGAGGCCCACACTGCCTCATTTTTAGCTTGATTGTCAAATAAAATGCAAGTGGCACCCAACCGTCTCTTGCAATCGACGGCTCGCGCGTCCGACGGCCGTCTCGCGAGTTGCTGCTGCGCGTTCGCACAAAGCCCCCTCATAAACGCATAAGCGGCATCCGTCTTCAAGGCCCCCAGAGCCGCGGCGGCGTTGATCCAGCAACTCGTGTCCTGGGCCATGCCACTCCTCAGGTGCTGTCTGCGAGCGGAGACGGCGACCGCTCTCGCGGCGGCAGCTACTGCGGAGACAACTCTAGCTGTCTGCGGCTTTTGGCTGAGAGCGTGGGCTACTACACGACTATTAACAGAGGTAGAACAGCGCTTCCTCACAGCAGTTTGCCGCGTCCCCTTCAACTCGGAACCTAGGGCCTTCACATCCACCGATCGGCGAGCTAACCTATCTACAAGCGGCTTGACCGTAGACGTGTCCTCCGACGAACCGTTCTCGCCGAACAAAGCCCTACCAAGCCTCGCGAGCTTGGAGAACGGAGGCTCGAAGATTTGCGCATGGGGCGTCGAACCCGTCGACTCGCCGCCGGCCGCTCGTAACAGACAGCGAGCTAAGCGAGCATCTCCAGCGGGGTCGTCGTCGGCCTTCTTACGCCGTCTTTTGGAAGGCTCCTCACCCTCTAGTGATTTGAGGACTTCGGCATCGTGCGCATCTACCACCGTACTCAAAGCTTCGACGAGCTCCTCGACGAAGGCCGCCGTCCTCGCGCGACGAGCCGCTTCGTCCGACGTCTCGTCGTCGCCCTCGCTGTCGGAGCCGTCGTCGACGTCGCTGTCGCCGTCTTCCAGTCTATATCGTCCCCCGCGACTGGGGACGACGGCGGCTCGCAAGGCGAAGGCCAGGGCCTCCACCGCGGCCGACGAGGCCCACGACGGCGCCTCGTTCAATGAGGATCGTAATTTCGTCCGCGCTGCTGTCAGAACTTGATCACCGGGCTGTAAACGCGACTCCGAGGCGTCGAGCAGCTTCGCTAAGCGTGCCGCCGCGAGCGCGCCGTCCAAGCCGTCCTTCGCGGAACATTCCGGCAGTGACGCGAGGAACCGCCACGCCGCGTCGACGGCAAATTGGGCCGCGTCCTCCCGTGCCGACTTGAGGATGGCGACGGCCGCTGCTCGTAGTTCGGTGATGCGCTTGCCCTCGACCAATGGCGCAGGTTGCTGGGTCACCTTCTTCGCCGCGGGGGCCCGCCGCCGCCGCATGCGCTTCGGCGGCTCCGTGGTTGTGAAGCCTCTCAATGCCGCATAGAGTTGGTTTTCATCCGCATCGTCGTCTTCCGACCTCAGTCGGTCCGCGAGTAGTGACGACGATGTCGGTGAGGCTTCGAGGGACGCGCGCGCGACGTGGAGCAACCGAGCCGCGGTCTGGAGGTCGTCGTCGTCATTCAACTTCGTGATGTGCTCCCACAGCTTCTCTCCTACTGCTGTTGAGAAGGCATCCCGTCGCGGTGACGACAGAGCATCGACTAAAAAACGAGCCCCGTGCGGGGCGTACCCGAGAGGACACACCTCAACATCATCCCCGAATAATAAAGACGCCACCTTCGTCAGGTGTTGGGAACAGCCTTCTCCTCTATCTAGTACCAGATCATATACTACCGAGAAAGCTTTCCTAGGCATTCCCATATCAATGGCGTCGTCCTGGGACATGTGTTCCACAAAAGCGTTCCGCGCCTGGTCTAGAGATTCGCCTGTTAGTGAGTCGGCGACGGCTCGCGAGGCACTTCGAGCCGCGAGCCAGGCCCGGTCGCCCCGCGCGCGTCTTCTCGCTATCGTACTATCCTTAGGTAAGTCTGTTGATGAATCCCAAGCCGTAGCGTAGAGCACAGCCAACGCATGATCAGTTGTTAAAACATCTCGGAACGCCGACGGGCCGTCCTCCTCAACCGCGCGTCTTCTTTTTTTCGTTTCCTGTTTTTCTGAGGGAGGTCCTAACAGTGAAGCTAACGCTTTCAGGCCTAGGGTCGCCAAATCGTCATCTGTGGAGCGGGCCGCACCGGCCAGAGCGCAAGCACAACAACCATCGATCGTCGACAGAGCATCTTGCGCTAAGGGTCCTGTACAATTATGTTGCGAAGCCTCGGCGACAGCAGTCAGAGCGAAGGCGGCTACCGCACAAGGTAATCGCTCTTCTCCCGTAGTGGTGCCTTCCACAATAGCTGAACTGAGAGGCCCGCAGGCCCGGAACACGGCCGCCGCGCCGATCGCGTCGACCAGATGCGGCTGCGGATTGTCCGGTTTTGCTGTTTGCGCTATCATGGAGACGTCGGCGAAGCACCTAACAGCTTCGCTGCATTCCTCCTCATTCGTGAACTTTGCGGCGTGCCGCCTCCGTGGCTCGCGCCAGCCTCCACTTTGTACTTGTGACGCTTCCACCGGTGACAGAGCGGCCACGGCACCCAAGCGCGCGGCCACATCAAAACAAGCCTGCTCGACATTATTGCGTTGGGCCTGACTCACTAACTCATCAGCGCGCTCGTCCTCCACGAGTCTCGCGACTCGAGCTAGTCTAGAGGCCCAGGCCATCGCCGCATTCCTATCCCCGTCCTCGTCCTGGTCTTTCATTTCGTCGTCTGGTTTGTGGCCGCCCGCTATTCTGAGACCAGTGTCCGCGCACCTTAGTAACTTCTGAGGAGCTTCTATGCGACTGAGATTGGCTGCGGCTAGTTGGATGATCACGGGCGACGGTCTTCGTTCTTCTTTGGACTGAGATGGAGCTACGCGCCTTAATTTGTCGGCGCAGCGCGCGGCGGCGGCGTGCAAAGTCGTGGCCAGGACGTCCTCGAAGGGCGGGATTCGACTACTGGAAGCGTCCTCCGCTAAATCCACCGAAGCACAACTGGAGCCGCCGCAGAGCTCCTCCAGGACGTCCAACGCCACGTTAGCCCGTCTTTGCGAAGCCTGGTCCCTACAAACGACGCCAGTCGTCTCTTGCTGGCACAGCTCAACACATAATTCTAAAGCTGCGCCGGCGCAGAGCTGGGCGTTCTTGTCGAGGGGCTGGGGCTGGTCCTCCTCCTCGATGGCCTTCTGGGCTCTCGTTCTCGAGGCCGGGGCCGCGTCGTCGTCCTCGGACCTTTGGCTTGATAAGGCGAGTAGCGCGTCTCTAGCTGCTAATAGGGCCCTCGCACTCAAAGATCGTTCCTCGGTCGTCGCCGTCCGTTGCGTCAGCGCGTAGAGTAGCTTTGCTAGTGCTTCTAACTCTAAACCAGGCGAAGCATCGGCGCCACCGGCAGCTAGTCTCCGTGTGAGATCCACGAACCTCGTCGCCGCACCGAGCGGGTCCTGGGCCTTCGTGCGCGCCGAGGGCTCTCTTGCGCGTCGGCGTCGCGCTCGGGCGTCGCCCTTGTCGTCCTCGTCGGCCTTGCGCTTCGGTGGGGCGCGGCGGCGGCCCGTCGCTGACGGTGGGCTTCCTCGCGGCGCGGGCGCCGGGGCCATGTCCTCGTCGTCGCGTTCGCTTTTGGCCATCGTGCTCGGCTAAAGCGTCTGTATTTTTTGGTAGCGGTGTGCGGCTCGACACCGGTCGGCGGCGCTTCTTTGCGGTGTTCGGTGCTGCAGAAAAGCGGGCGCGCAGGCGGTCCCTCGCCGCGCGCCGTATTCTGTGCACTGCGAACGTGTCCCGCAAAGGAGCAGTCTCAGCGCTTCCCGAGACCGCGCCGGCGCGCCGGTTTTCACTGTGGCTCAAGACCAGGCCTACAGCGCGCAAAAATCACCCCTGCCTGGCACGAGCGGGGCGTCTAGCGCAATTTAGCCCAAGTGCTTCACGCACTCTGCATGCACCCTAGAGTGTTTAAATGATTTAGGGAATACGCGATTAGTGAGGCCCGATTGAGCGGGTCCACGGCGTCCCCGTCACCCAGCAGTCGAGAAAAATTGCTGGGCGATCGACGGACCCGTACGAACAGGCGCAGCGCTCTCGCTTCTTGAGAACGCGCCGTCGTCGGCCCTCGAAACGCGAGAGCCATCTGCACGCCGTCGACGCGCACGCCGTCGACGCGCAACGCCGTCGCCGCGACAAGATAGGGAACCCGCCACTTACGCACGGGAGGGAAGAGCAAAAATCGAGGCCTAAGTCGGCCGCGGCGACCGCGACCTCCTCCCGGAAATGCGCTCGCCGTCGTTCAAACCGAAGCGACTCCGCATCTCGTCGGAGCAGGCCTGGCACTCCGTGATGAAGTGGTAGTCGTCCATTAATGGATTGGCGAAGGTGCATCTTCGACACTGCCACGTGTCCGCCTTTTTGGCGTAGACGTACAACGGCACGGGTGCGTCCGTCCAGGTCACGGCGCGTTCCGACGAGTAGAACTGTTCCAGTTTGAACGCGTTGCACTCATCTAACAAAGGGATCCGGTCCATCGCGATGAGGCGACTGCCGACGCGGCACCGTTTCGCGACGTTCGCGAGCTGCTCGTCGAGTGCCGTGCCGGCGACGCGTTCGGGAGCCATCGTGCCCGACGCGTTGTTCACGAAGAGGACATCACATGAAGCTAGGAAGGCAGAGGTTGAATCTGAAAACGCGTCGCCGAGACAAAGAGCGCACTTGGCTTCTAGAATAGAACGCTCGTCATCGGAAAGTAGCTCCCTCAGTGCGGCATGAACTCGGAGCGCCGCTTCGTGTCTCGTCTGGACGACCTCGACGCCCGTCGCTCGCGCGCACGCTGTCGTAAGAGCCGTCTGTAGCACCGCGGTGCCAATACCGCTCCCCACATCGGCGAAGGTCTCGCCGGGCTGGAAGCGCGCGTGGCGTAGTATTGAGACCTGTGTGGAAATCAACCAGTGAGTCGAGCGGTGAGGAACCGGCATCGCCACGCCGTCGAGCAGGCGCCGCGTCGATGGCGTGGAGGTCATGATTTCCACACAGATTGAGACCACCAGCGCCGGCAACACCGCTCCATAGTGCGCGTCTCTTTGGCCGGAAGCACACACTTGGACCGCGGGCTGCAAGTTGCCCCGCACGCCGGGCGACGTCTCGAGGTTGTAGCGGCCGCCTAGCTTGTCGAGGGCCTTGCTGAGCTTCTCGCGGAAGGCTCGGGGTGCGAGCGCCGCGCCCTCCGCAACTTCATTATCGGCGGGCGCTGGCGGCAGCGGCTCCGCCTCTTCCACCGGTGCTGGTGGAGGCGCCTCTCGTTTGACGCGCTTCTTCGGCCGCGCCTTGGGCTTCGGCGCCGAGCTCTTCGCCTTGGGCTTCGGCGGCGGCGCCCCTGCACCCCGGGGCTCCCCGTTCACGACCACGGTTCCTCGCGGCGCGGCGGCGCCGGCGCGCGCGACGGCGGCGTCGCGCGCGCCCGGCACGGGCGGCGTGACGACGGGCGAGGGCGCTGGGGGAGCGGCACCTTCCAACAAGCCGTGCACCGGTAAAGTAGAAGCCTGCCTCGGGGGCGACGCCGGGGGTTTCGGTTTCCTGGCGGCCATCCGCCCGCAGCTCAGCGTGTGCTTCGCCGCGCCCTGCTCGCTCGCGAACCACCTGCCACAGAGCCGCGCGCAGGGCGTCGCGCCGCAGGCCTCGCAACTCAGGAACGGGATCACTTCCGGGCTTGGTATGGTCAATTCCAGGGTGCAGATCTGGCAGGCGACGGTCTGGGGGAAGGGCTTCGAGCGCCAGGCCTCGGCCATGTTTCGGTCGCCGCTTTTTGTGTTTTTTATAGGGCTCGGCGAGGCGGTCCGCGCGGTGTGCGGGCGCAAGCTGTTTGAGAGTACAGGGGGCCTTCTGTGTTGGGTCCCGGACTGTGGCAAGCGCGCGCGACCGTCTCGGGGCGCGCTTGCGCCGCCGCGGCCTTAGATTAATGTGTTCGCTTGCCAGGCGCCAAGCCTCTTTTTTGGGCGCGCCGGGGCTTCCGAGGACCCGAAGACGAGCCGAATTTGCGCTCGCTACTGCGGCAAAGAGATACGCCTAGGCGATGGCTTGGTTGGCTCGCGCGAGGGCTTCGCACAAGTCGATAAAGCCGCTGCTTGTCTCCCTGTTTTGCGGAGAGCGCAGTGTTTTCGACGGGCCAGCGAGCCGTCGCAGGCCTCGGAGCGGAGCCCTCCGAGACGCCTCGGACCGCTGCACGGACGTTTCAAATTCAAAACCCGATTTGCGGCGCCTGAGACTCGGCAAAGCGGGTCGAATAGCGGTCGACGCGCGGACGCAAATTACGTTACGTTTGCCGTTGGCAGTCCTAGATACAGCCAAGAAGCCACTGCAGCGAGCGCGCACAACGCCAAGGTCGAGCGGCCAAGTTCAGAGCTGCGCAGGGGAGTCTCAGACCCCCAAGACGCCGCCGCAGCGATGGCCGAGCTCTGGTCCCTGCGCATCACCGTCAAGGGCGCGACGAAGACCTTTTCACATGTGAACCCGGACGACGCCGTCTCCAGTTTAGCCGAACGCGCCGCGGCGGACTTCCGCTGCAAAGGAGGCCTAGACTTAGCCGGCGGCTTTCCGCCCAAAGCGCTCGACGCAGCCTCAATACTAAAGGACGTGACGACGAACAACGCCGCGCTGCGCGGCATCGAGAAGAAGCGCGCGGCACCGGCCAAGAAACCATCAACGCGCAAAAAAGCCAAGGGCCCTCCCGTCGACGATAGAAGAGCAGCGGCTTTAAGGGCGGCCGAAGCGCGGGCCGCCGGCATTGCGCCCGCAGAGATCATTAACCCCGCGCCCGCACCATCCAGACCGCAGCCCCTCGCGACGGCCCCCAAACAACCAAGACGAAGAAGGCTCAACATGGCGTCGTCGGAAGGAGGCGTCGGCATCGACCTCGCGAGCGCCGCGGCCGGCGAAAGCGGCACGAGAGGCAAGTTCTTCCGCAAGGCCCTGAAGGGTGCGGTCGAAGGCCGCTACGAGGACACGAAGGCCGAGGATCGCGTCGCGGCGTGCCAGAGCGGTAAATTCGAGATATCGGTCGCAGAGACCACTTTGAGTGGCAACGCGTCGAAGCTCAAGGTCACCTTCGCCAAGGGCCATGGTAGTCGTGGTAATCATGAAGATGTCGTGGACGCGTTGTCGCGAGAGGAGACCGTTGCTGCCGTCCGGCAAGCGGTCAGTGACGGCGACGCGGACATGCTGCGACCGGAGAACTGTGCGCGCGCGTCCCAGCGCGTCTTCTGGTCTCTGGTACGGCACTCGAACGGGAAGTTCATTCCCGCGGCGCTTGAGGAATTAGTTCCGGAGGTCGGGTGGGCGGCGCTCTTCGCGCAACGGCGGCGGCGCGGCTGTACGAGGGCGCCGCCACCTGTAGAAGCGCCCGTACAAGCGCCGTTACCGCCGCCGCCGCCACCGGAAGACCGGCGGCGCGCGGCGTTGGCGGCGGCCGAAGCGCGCGCGACCGTGGAGGAGGACTCGTCTGATGATGACGATGATCCGGTCGTCCGGAAGCTCGTCGAGATCTGCGGCGTGAACGGCTACAATGCCCTGAAGAAGGGGAACGTCCAGACGCCTCGCGATTTGGCCGCGTGGCGCGGCGCGGGCGACATATTGAGGGACACGCTCCTCGAGGAGGGCGTGGCGGCGGACGCGTGCCCCGGCGCCGCGGCTTTAGGCGCCTGGGCGGACGCCGCCAGTCGTGCGTTGACGGAGGACCCGGCGCTCGGCGCGCACGTGAGCGGGTTTCGCGGCGCGTAAGTGTTGTGTTTCAAAACTTTGTTCTTACCCGGTGCACGGGCACTCGTGGCAGTGCCCCGCGAGCCAGTGCGCGCGCTGGCACTCCTCGCTGCAATAGCGCGGCCGGTCGACGCGTGGGATGCCCGGCCGCTTGGCTGAGGCTGAGGCTAGTTACGTCGCAGGGTCCCCCGTACCCCTCCCGCTCCCCCCGGGCCCACCCGTCCGGCCGGACTAGGACGCAAGGCATGCTAGTGTCTTTATGCGACGCTAGTGTCCGCTAGCCTTTGCCACGTTTTCCACGCCGCCAAGGGCTCCGCCGAGACAAAGGATCAGAGAGTACACCACCGCGCCGACTCGCATCGCTCTGTCAAACGAGCAACGCTCGTCGCCTGGCAAATCAATTGTCGGCGAGTCCCTAACTCCTCTGTCGAGTCACGAATGCGTAGACACGCGTTACTGTTCGCCGCGACGCACCTAACTACACTACAGTTAGGTGCGTCGCTGGCACTCACCCGCATGCCGCCGAAAATGAACCTGGCACTGGTGCCGGCGCCGGCGCCCGGCTCGCCGGCGGCGGCACCGCCCGCCCCAAGTCCGAGTTGAAATTGAAGTTGACCTTGAACTCCGCGCAGATCCGCGAGGCGTTCGAGTCCGTCGGCCACCGCGCGCAATACGGCACGTTCTTGAGAAAAGTCAAGGAGACCTTCATCAAGGAGGACCTCTTCCAGGAGATGCTCGAGGACGCCTACGGCTGGGGCCTCGACTCGGACACGCTCAAGGAGCTGCTCGAGGCGAAGTGGTTCCAGCTCGACCACGTCTGGGCGCCCCTCATGGACGACCCCAATAATTTCTGCGCGCGGGCCGGCGTCAAGGGGCCTTCAATTTTCCGGGACCCGCGCTCTCCCCTCCACGCCATCGACGCGACGTTTCCCCGCGGATTCGTACCGACGCACCAGTCCCCCGCCCCCCGCAGCTCATGATCAAGTGCCTCAACAACCAGTTCGACCGCAACACCGAGGAGCAGTTCAAGAAGGAGCACACGGGCGCCGGGTGGCAGGGCGCCATCGAGCTCACCGAGAATGCGCTCGCAATGCAGCTGCGCTACGGCCGCCTCTAGGATGCTAACTTACTTTACTCGTCTCCGAAGTACCTAGGGGCTCTCGAGGAAGGGAATTGCTGGTCGCGCTCGGGATGGAGAACTCGAGCTTGGCGTCTCCGCGCCATCACAGGTCGCCATATGCGTAGTGCAAAAGAAGAGAGTCGACGATGGTGGACGGCGCGCGCGGTGTGCCCGACTTAGTGCTGAGCAGTCGCGTTCCAGAAGTCCTCCCGTCGCATTCACGATTTGCGGCCAAGGAACGAACCTCGGGCAGTGCGCCGAGCCGTGGTCCGGGTTGCCGCGCACGCGTACGGCGACGCCGCCGTGCGGCGGCCGCGGGCCCTTCGTGCGTCTGGCCGCCGTCCGCGTTTGTTCAGTCGCTGCCTAATTGCTTCTGAACATCACGCTTGCGGCGCGCGTGCGCCGTCGGCCTTGCCGCCGAAATCGCCGCTGGGTCGTCGTACGCACGGCTGTGGCAGGGGTGCAGTAGGAGAGCCTAGCGTCAGTGCTGGTTTTTGCAACAGGAGACATCGCATGAATGCGATTAGTGGTGTAGGCGCTTGCGTCCTATCGGTGCGCTGCCAGTTGCGTCGCGAGCACCTACTCAATCGATCGCTGCGGCTGAGCAGAGCTTGCAAAAGCGCACTGCAATGAGCCAAGAACCCGACACGATCATCAAAGCGGAACGGACGCCATTTCAAGCCGAACAGATGCTTCTAGTCTGCCGAGGAGCGCTTGGTCGCCCCCGGCCTCCTTGCTGCTGAAATTTGACGTGCAAACGCGCGGACGGACGCGGACGACAAAGCCAAACGAGCACCAAGCAAACGAACACCCGCCCTTTGTGAGAGCTCCTGGTACTTCTCGTATTGTGCGTTGTTCGCGCGCTCGACGAACTACCTTACGTGCGGGTCCCTCAACGAGCCAGGATCTGAGCCAGGGCCTGGAGGCGCTGGGCACACTCTAAACACTGCGGACAGCGATCGACGCGGCCCGCGCATTCGTTTTTAATGCCGAGCAAGAGCGCTACGCAATTCATAGCGGGAAAAACGCCTCCTTCAAGGTAGGGAGAGATCGATACGAGAGCCAGGGGCAGCCCTTTTTTGGCGTCCGTGATGCTTCGAGATCAAGCATCTCTCGTCGAACGGTATTGAATGCACGCAGCTAGCGTTTCGCGCCTGGTATCGCGCCGGCGGCGTCGGTCTACTGCTTCCTCGGCCGCCGCGATCGCGGCAGGCACGCCCAAGACAAGCGCCGTGCCGCAGTGCTGGCGCGAGGTTCGTGCACGGTTAGATTCACGACCGGTGCCACGAATCCGCATACTAAGCGTTGCCGCGACGACGGCTACGGGGGCAGCCCCCGGAGCTCCATCGTCCGCTTCCTGCAGAACTTCTCGTGACCGACGCCGCGCACCGCCTCGCTATGATAGCCGCGGCACGAGCACCAGCCCGCGGCGCCACGAACGCCTGGGGCATGGCCTACCTCTTTGTAAAAAGTTCGAGCAGCGCCTCTCTCCTTGATCGGTCACAACAGCGACCCGCCCACGGCACCAGGAGTTCGTCACGCCGTCGCCGCGATATTTTTGCAAGTGCTGGCAATGACGACCGCAGCAACGATGGTCAACGACTCGACCATGGACATCTAGAGCCCGCGATGGCCGCCGACGCGCTGGTGTTCCCTTCACTCAACACGGTCGATGGCCGAACTCAGCGCCGTACGTGAAACCGATAAGCATTTTGAGGCAAACGGTCATGGGCATCCACGACCGACGCGCGATCAGACGGACGCGCCAGCACCATCGCCGACGCCTGCGAGGGCGACCGGCTCGGCGAGCCACGAAGAACGCTCCGCCTCGGGGAGTCGCTCGTCACCTGACGCGGCTTCCCGCGTCCTAAATTTGTTTTGTGTACTTGTTAGCGGCCGGCGGCGTCGTCGCGGGTCACTGCCTGGGGCCCGGCCGGGGGTTTAAAGCCACCCATTTCTCCGGAGGGAGCGCGTAGATGCCAGATAGGGGTCCTTCGGCCTCCACGCGTTGCTCGCATCGCGGCCGATTTTGAGCAGTGCCGCGGCGGCGTGGTATTGTGGCCGGGAGTGCCCTACCACAGCGCCATTTGCACAGCGGCGCAAAGCAGCAGACCTTCGATACCCCTGGACCACTCCGTGCAAGCGCGCGGCCCATAAACGACGCTGCTGAGCTGCACAGACACTCAGACACTATGGAAGCCACCCCAGCCGCGCCGACGGTGGGCGTGCAAATACGGACCGCGGGCGGCCGCATCGCGACGGTCACCATTTCCGACAAGGGCTGGTACAGCGCCACGTTGGACGACAAGGTGCATCTCGCTCCGGACGAGGGCGGCGCCGGCGAGTCAATTACAAAGCGAAGGAGTTTCTTCGCGGCGGACCAGGGCGAACTGCTGCAAACTGTGCCTAAAGTAGATCGCTCAAAAAAGAAATCGGACACGCCGATGCGCCTCCGCGGCAAAGATGGTGAAATCGTGGGCCGCACGACGATGCGAGCGTGGTCAAAAGCGAGTGGTCTAAAAGTGCCCAAGGGCTACGAGGGTCATCATGTAATAGAAGTAAAGGTGCCGAAGGGCTGGACGACGGCGAAGTGGTCCAAGTCCACCGGAGCTAGACAAATTCATTACGCGACGGTGGACGGGCACAAAGTCGAGCTGGCCGAAGCCGCGGCTACATCACGCGGCGACGACGGCCGACACGTGCTACCTATCGATCGGCTGAAGTTCAATGCCAAGGAAGACGTGAGAGACCGATCTTTCGATAAGACCATAGGGACCGACGCGCGAGACGACGGCCCCTGGAAGAAGGGAGCGACAGCAACAACTGGAGTCAGCCTCCGACGGTGGCTCGAGGCCGACACGTTGGACGAGCCGGGGATGAAATTGTTTGCTTCCGAAAATTGTGCGGGGCCGGCGCGTGCCAATGAACAGGATCGATTGGCCCCGGGCTGCTGTTTGGCTCGTTGTACAGTCGCAAACTTTGGAGGAGATTTACGCATTACCTTCGGCGGCACCACTCAGGCCGAGGCCAATAGAGCCGCCGGCGTCATGGCCATCGCGTGCGCACTGGACCACCTCAAGGGCAAGCTAGACGACTCGCCCATCTTCTGCCGGTTGTCAGATGAGCTGAAGGAAGCGGCGCGCAAGGCGCGGGCGGGTGAGCCCTGGATGGACCAGAACCTCGACCGGTATTTGGTCCGAGTCCTATCAGAAAGGGAGCAGGCCGCCCTCGATCAATACCAGGAGAAGTGCAGGAGGCTCGGCCGCACGCCGCGCATCGGCAAAACCCCCGTGGCTCCGTCGGAGAAGTCGTGGGACGACGCGAACAAGCGGGAAGGACGCGGCCGCCATTCGCTGGTGCGACTCAGTGTGGAGCTTGAACATTAGCATCGACGCCGTCGACGCGACGCCGCTTCGGCGACTTCGGAGAGAGTCTCGCTCCGATTATGCGAGCGCCGCGACGGTTCGTTGAACGCAGGTCATGCGCGAATTGAGGGCCGCGGATGGGGCAGCTACGGTTAAGTTGTATAGAGGTGGAGTTCGGGGCCTCGTCGTCGCGCCTCCTGGACAGCGGATGGACCAGTGGCACTTCTGCATTTGCAACGACGTCGAGCTCCACCGCAAGGACCCGGATTTGGTCACGGACGTCGACAAGTACTGGAGCGCCGCGCTGGAGCTGTCGAAGAGCGGCTCTAGAGACGCGTTGGCCTGCTTCAACGAGGTCGCCTTCGAGGCGGGCCTCGATATTAGATTGTTGGAGGCGGCCGACGTCCGGCCCGAGTCTGGGACGACGTTTACGCCGGATCAGATTGCTTTGATCAGGAAGTATTACGGCTTCCACTCCTTCGGCAAGGCGAGAAAGACGACGCGCAAGTGCCTCCTTTATTGTACTCATACCGCTGCTATAGCCGGCGGACGCGAGCCGCACTGCTACACCGCCTTCGCCAGTGATGATTACGCGGCGGCGTGCCTCCATCTGCGTTATATGGTTTCGGATTATACGTGGGGCCTCGGGGTGCAGCTGCGGCGCGCGCGGCTCCGCGCGACTCGTACGTCTGGAAGTGCTCCTACTATTGTGATAGATGCGGAAGCGCGCGCGGTCGGGGTGACGACGGACATGATTGAGGCCGGGGTGCGGGCGGGTCGCGTTCTTGGGGAGCGCCGCGCGCGCGACGTGCTCGAGGACCTCGCGGAGCTGGACCCCGAGGACTGGGCGGACTACTACCGCCGCCTCGAGGAGACGCTCGAGGAGCACAAGAGAAAGCACGCGCGCGCCGCGCCCATGGACGTGGAGGAGCCCGCGGCGGCGCCCGCGGCCACAGAGGCGCCGCGCCCGCCGCTGCCCCCCGGCGCGCGCGTCAACGCCAAGGGCGAGACCATCGTCCGCCTCCGGCGCCCGCCGCCGCCGCCGACCTTCCCGCCGCCGCCGCAGAGCGAGCCCGCGGCGGCGCCCGCGCCGCCGCGGCGGGCGAAGCGGCGCACGCCTCCAGCAGATGCGCCGGCCAAGAAGAGGGCGCCGCGGGCCCGGTGAGACGCTGCGACGTCGTGAGAGAAAGCACATGGCTTTTATCTTAACAGTTGTTTTGTCAATCACTTAGTACATGAGCTCTTTGGCAGTCATCCTCACGGGCGAGCGGGCGGCGACGGGATCGTCTGTCGTGTCGAGTCCATTGTGTAGCGTGGCGTGTGTCGCTTGTCAAATTACGTGGGGTTTGCAAGTTGGGCAAAATTGTGCTAGTGTCTTTATGAGCGCTAGCTCCTCAGCAGGTTGCAGCGGCGAACGGCTAGTTACGAGCTTGTAGCGCACTACAGAAGTGTCTGAGGGCTGCGGCAGACAGCATCCGTCGATAGCACCAGCCGTGGGACAAATTCGGGCGACTCGCTTCCATCTGAGTTAGACAGCTGCAGTTGCAGGCAACCGAGCGAAATTGCCTCCTGCTCACCTAGCGACGTATACAAGCTGTTCGGGAACCTCATTCATCATAAAAACAAGCGCTGGGAGCAAAGACGGCACCATGCACGCCGCCGAGGCGGCCAACTACGCGCTGATAGCAACCATAGTGCTCCTAGCAGCCCACGTCGTCCAGCTCCTCATACAAAAAAGGAGAAAACGCGCACCGAAAGTAGCCAAACCAACAAGCCAGTTCCTGCAGGACGCCGCGCCGGTTCTCATCGTCTTCGCGTCCGTGACGGGTACGTCGCGCAAGCTCGCAGGACGCTTGAGAGAAGCCCTCGCCAAGGCCGGAAGAGCATCGATCGTCGTCGACGCCGCGAAGCCCCAGCTCGATCCCTGGGACGAGCTCTTGAACGGCGACAGCCGGGACTGCGCCGTGTTAGTTTCTACAGTCCACGGCGGCCTCGCGCCGGAGCCCTCTCGTCGGTTGTTGGTGGAAGAATTAGATGATATTGCGGCGGATCATCGGGTGGGCCAAGGAGCTTTGCGAGGCCGACGTTTTGCGGTACTAGGTTGTGGCTCGACGGCCTACGACCCGGCTAGATTTTGTACCGCGGCTCGTGTCACGGAGAAGACTCTACGTAAATTAGGAGCGGCGCGCGTCGCTTCCCAACGCCTAGATGATACGGAGGAGACCGAGGAGACCTACGCGTTATGGGAGAATAGAGTAGTGGCCGCGTTCTCGCGGCCCCAGGTGCGGGGCGAGCAGAAGCCGCGCAAGGTCAAACTCGAGAAGACTCATAGAGTGTCTGATAGTAGTGATGAGGAAGCTCCTCAGAAAAAGAAGTCTGTGACAGATGTGGAAGACATGGGCGCTGCGTTAGGCGAGAAGGAGGAAGAAAAAAAGGCCAAGGGCCCGAAGGACATGGTCACGCAGTCCCAGGCCAAAGCTCTCAAGAAAGAAGGATATAAGTTAATAGGGGGGCATTCGGCCGTGAAATTGTGTCGCTGGACGAAGCATCAATTAAGGGGAAGAGGCGGCTGCTACAAACATACCTTCTACGGGATTACCTCGTATCAATGCATGGAGGCCACACCGTCCTTAGCCTGCGCGAACAAGTGCGTTTTTTGTTGGCGGCACCACAAGAATCCCGTCGCGACGGAGTGGAAGTGGAAGAGTGCGTGACTCGGTGTTTTCAGTGAACTTGAACGTGACGTGGTCGCGGCGATGGCGTCTTCATGAGACCGCATCGCCTCGACGCCGTCGACGTGGCGTGTAGCGACGGTGTCGTGCCACACAGGTGATGACCCGGCGATGATCGTCGCCGAGGCCGTGCGCTTGCACGTCGCGATGATCAACGAGTGCAGGGGCGTGCCCGGCGTGCTAGAAGAAAGATGGCGCGAGGCCCACACGGTGCGGCATTGTGCGTTGTCGCTCGTCGGCGAGCCGATCATGTACCCTCGCATCAACGAGCTCATCGGCGAGCTCCACGCGCGGAAGATTTCGAGTTTTCTGGTCACGAACGCCCAATTTCCTGAGGCCATTCGAACACTACGACCGGTGACGCAGCTGTATGTGAGTGTCGATGCGCCCAATAAAGATGATCTGGAGGAGGTCGATCGACCGCTGTTCCGGGACGCCTGGGAAAGATTAAGGGAGTCCTTGGTGATACTCAGGGAGAAGAAGCAGCGGACGGTAGCTCGCTTAACATTGGTGAAGGGCCACAACGAGGGCGACATTGCGGGCTACGCTGAATTGATCGCGTTGGGCGAACCGACACTGGTAGAGGTGAAGGGCGTCACGTTCTGCGGGAAATCTGACGCCTCCGACCTCACGATGGCGAACTGCCCGTGGCACCACGAGGTCGAGGCCCGTGTGGAAATCAAATTTCGGGCGCCCACGCTCCTTGTGACTGCGCCTGCTCGATGGCGCGGCGATTCCACGCCATCGACGCGATAACCTAACTCACTGGTTGATTTCCACACAGGTCGAGGCGTTCTGTAAGGAACTGGCCGCTCGCATCGCGAAGGATCACCCCTCATGTCCGACGTATGAGGTCGCCTGCGCGCACAAACATTCTGTGAGTGTGCTCCTCGCGCGCTGCGACCAGCTCAAGGCTCCCGACGGGACATGGGACACGTGGATCGACTACGACCGCTTCCACGCGCTCGCGGCGTCCGGCGAGCCGTTCACGGTGGAGGACTACAAGGCGCCCTGCCCGCCCTGGGCGCTGCTCGGCGCGGCGGAAGACGGCTTCGACCCGTCGGACACGCGGATGTACAAGAAGAAGGCGAACGGGAAGAGTCGATGATGCGTAAGCTTTTTTATGGAGACGATGGGGGATAGGGATGGGAGATGATGATGCGCTCAGAGAACAGAGAAGTGCTCAGAGCGCCGCCGCCGCCGCCGCGAGCGCGACGAGGAACCCGACGGAGCGGCCCGCGGCGCCGTCGGACCCGGGCGTAGTAGTCGGCGCCGCCGTGGCGTCGCTGTTCTTCGCGAAGACTGCGTCGAAGACCTCGGCGTTTTGGCCGTCGTCCGCCGTGCCTACGTAGTGCCACTTGACCGTCCCTTCGTCCGTAAAGCGCGAGAGAGTAAATTGCGCGTCGACGACCGCCGACGTGTTGAGGCAGACTTCCCCGCACACGTCGCAGTCTGCGTCAATCGCCGACGTGTTGACGCAGACGTGGCCGATCTGCAGAATCGACGCCGTTGCCAACACGATCGCGGTCGACCGATTCATACCTCCATCTGCAGTCAAGTCAAAGTCCAATTCATACCAGGGAATCAAGCCGAGGAGCGGTGTCCCGGGTATCCCGTCACCGATATTGCCGGCGTGGCCCCAGAACGTACAGCCGTCGCGGCCGAGGATCTCCATGGTCATGGACACGTCCGTAAGAGGTGGACCTGGCACGCGGAAGATGTCGAAGCCCGACGCGGTGTACGTACCCACGAGATTATTGACCCACTCGCAGTCTGGTGGTGCCACGGTCGGCCCTTCGCCTTTGCCGAGGTACGAGTCGAAGAGGACCCCGTAGCCTTCTTTGCCCTGGCCGATGAAGTGCAGCTGCATCGTGTCGCAGTCGAGCGCGCAATCGAAATTGACCTCCATGCGCCCGTCGACGTACATACCACCCATCTCTACGAGCGTCGCGGCGCTCGTGTAGTACGGACCGTCCCTGCTCGTGTTGGCGTGGACGACGCCCGCCACGACCTCCGTCCCGTTGGCGACGCCGTTGTCCCAGGTGTTTGTCCCACTCACGAGGCAATCGCTCGCCATCGTCAGCGTGAGCGTGTTGTAGAGCGGCCCGACCTTCTCGCGCGTCCCGTCCTCGTAGAGCCGATAGTAGTACGTGGCGTTGCTCTTCCAGGTGCCGCTGATGTCGAGGCAGTCCTTCTCCGCGACCGCAGGCGCGGCGTCGGGCGCGAAGTCGGCGTCGAACACGGTCACCCACCGGTCGTCCGCCGCGGCGCCTTGGCCCGTGTAGCGCCAGCGCATGAGGCCGTTGGTCTCGAGCGTGGCGTCGATGCGGGCCGTCGAGCCGCCCGCGGGGGGCTCGCCCAGCTCCAGCATCGTGATCTCAGTTTCCGAATCGATAATGCCGGCGACGGTCTCCTTGCCCCCAATTTGGCCGTTCGTCCAGCTATTGATACCTTCGAAGGCGCAGCCGCTTTGCGACGTAATGGTGAGCGTGGCCGAGAGGTTAGCGAGCGTCGTGGTTTCGCCGTCCTTGCCGATGCGCTCGGCTTCGTACGGCGCCGAGACCCAGTACTTCGCGAGGGTGTCGCATTCCGCGGCACGCGCGCCCGCGGCGAGGAGACTGATGATGATGATGAACATGGTACTATGATGGACCATTGATGGTAGCGAGAAAAACCGCTTTACCCGGGCTTTATGTCGTCGTTTCCGGTACGAACTTCACCGTTACCGGTCCAGTACTTACTGAGAGTCCTTGAAAGTGAGCTCTTATATACCGGTCTTAGTGTAGATGGGTTTTACCCGCTGCGCCGACTGAATTATACTCCAGGACTAGCGGCATGTAATAAGACACTAGCCAGCAAACACCGGCGGTGCACTGGGCCCAATTGCAGCGCGCAGGACTCGCTGGAACCATTCACGCAGTCAATAATAGCATACGAGTGCGCCGCGCCAACTCCAGCCACTGGAGCGCCCGCGTCGGCGCAGAGGGCTGAAGAGCACATAAGAGTCAAGCACTCATAACGCCGTGTACGAGCGTCGCGTAACCAGATTGAGTCGAGATGGCCAAAAGGAAACACAAGAAGATCACGCCCGCTGAAGAAGCGCCGGCTGAACAACCGGGAACCACCGCCCGCCGCGGCGCGCGCAGACGGCGGTCCGGACCAGAACCGGCGCCAGAGCCTACGCCAGCCGAGGCGCCGCCGCCGGAACCAGCGCCGGGCACCCACCGCAGCGCGACGCGCCGCCGCGCGCCGACGACACCGGCCGCCACGCCGACCGGGCCCTTCCAGTCGCCCGTCGAAGCGGCAGGCGACATGCAGCGCCTCGCGAAGGCGCGCGCCGGCCTCATGTCGCCCGAGGAGCGCCAGGAGTTGTACGGGCTGGTGGCTGCGACGATGGAAGCTTTGACAAGGGACGAGGCGACGAAGCAGAAAAAGGCCGACGACCGCGCCTCTGAACACGCGGCCAAAAAAAGAAGAGCTGCGAAGGCCAGCATCCCTGATGCTGGAGCTCGTGTCGAGGGCGGAGGCATCCTTGGCCGTCTGCCGTACGTCGTGGCCTCGAGAGCCTTCGCGTTCCTGCGTGCCGAGGAATTTAGAAGGCTGGCGTCGATCAAGTGCTTCCAGCGCGACGGCGGTGCCAAAGTCCTCAGAGCGGGCGTGAAGGCCGCCTGCGCCGAGATCGCCCCCTACGCGTCGCCGCCGCAGCTCACATTGGCACTTCGGGGCTACGAGCCCTTGGCCGTCCTGGAAGACATTGCGGCGAGATCGTCGGAATTTCTGGCGAATCCCGATCCCGAAGCTTTGCTGAGGGTGCGGCTCATCGCGCCGCTCCATGGAGCCGATATTTTTAGCACCTCATTTACGATGTCCTTCGCCGACTACTGCTTGCTGAGGGACTGCCCAGTGACGAACCCGCGGCCGCGCTGCGAACGCGACGTGACGGTTGCTGGCTCAGTTCTCGAGATCCTACGGCGCGAACCGGACGTGTTTGTGAGGACTGCTCCGGACTGGTTGGGGGAGTGGCTGCGCAAGTTCCTGCGCGACGACGACGTGTATAGAGCTACGACGGACGATCCTTCCAGCAGTCGCTTTCTCATGCTCGACGCGGCCGGATTTGCACCCGCTTTGAGAGGCGCCGTGACGCGCGCGAGTAGAGCGAGGACGGCACGTAAGCTTGCGGACGCTCTCAGGGATGTTCTTAGAGATCCCGACGCAGCCACCGCTCTCGTCGATGACCCCGCGCGGGCGGCTCGCTGGCGCGCCGCGGTCAGAGCGTGTCTGCGGAAGCTCCTGACGCACGTGAAGAGGCGCGATCAATTCGACGACGGCACCTGCACTTCTTTGTGGAGATGCGTCGACGCGACCGTAATTCGGTCCTCGGGGAGCTACTTATTGTCCTCGGACGAGGTCTGGGACGAAATTACGAGAGCTGACCCGGACGCCACCGTCGTGACCTGGGCCATTGGCAAGATTTCCGGCGCGGCGAACGACGACCCGACGTTCGAGAACTATTCTGTCGTGAGCGCGCTGCAGTCGTTAGCTAGATACAGTAAACCTGTGGCGCGGAAGCTGGTCGCCCTCGGCGCATTGGGAGCTTGTGCGCGCGTCCGCGACGGCACGGTCCGCTCGTCGAAATTATTTGGTTCTACAGTTGACCAGCTCTACGCCAAGCTCGAGGCCTCGACGCGGCCGCCGCCGGAGCGGGCTCCGAGGAAGAAGTGGCCGACATTTGCCGACTGCCTGCGCGACGCCGAGGACAAGATCCACGCCCAGGCCGAAGCGAAATTAGGATTAGTCAGAAAGGCTGAGCAGGATTTGGAGCGGGAGCAGGCGGAGTACTCCTCGTCGACGGATCCGGCGCCAGGGATGTACCTCCGGCAGATCCCGACGGGCACGGAGGAGATCGACGTCGAGGCGGAGGTCTTGGATGGCCTCGAGGTCGTGGAGGTCGACTGAGACCTTGCGCGGACGGCGCGCAGCAGTAATAACAGTTTTCGACACCACACTACTTACACAATTAGCATATAATCTACGAATTTGCAGCGGCAACAAGATTCGTCGCCGACCGCGACCGCGACGCGCGCACCATCTCCGCGAAGGCCCCGTTCTGCGCCATTAATTCGGCCGGCGCGCCGTCTTCCACGAGGTGGCCGCGGTCCAACACCAAAATCTGGTCGGAGTCGACGATTGTCTTGATGCGATGCGCGATGACGATCAAGGTAGCTCTTTTGAACTGGGGCGCCGTCCTTAAGACGTTCTGGATGACCGCGTCCGTTTCTTGATCGACCGACGCCGTCGCCTCGTCCACGCAAATGATGCGCCGTGACACGAGTAGGGCGCGACACACGCATAACAACTGCCGCTGGCCCGCCGAGAGGTTGTCGCCGTTCTCCGAGATTGACGCGTCGAGCTCCGTAGCTAGACCCAGCATTTTGAGCGTCGCCCGTAACGCTTCGTCCGAATGTTCGGCCCACGGGTCGAGGTTGAAGCGTAGCGTTCCCCGAAACAAGTGCGGCTCCTGCGGCACGAGGACCAACGCGCGCCTCAGAGCCGCCAACGGCAACTTTGATACATCCACACCGTCGATCAACACTCGACCTTCATCAACACAGTTCAATCGAGCAAGAGCCAATACCAACGACGACTTGCCCGAGCCCGTCCGTCCGACGACGCCGACGTTCGAGCCCGACTGTAGGGAAGCCGACACGTTACATAACACCCGGGGCAGGTCGTCCCGGTAGCGGCAGCCCAAGCCATCCAACACAATCGTACCGGACGACGGCGCCCACGCGCCGCTCTCATGAGATTCGCCCTGCATGTCTCCGTACTCGACCAGTCTTTCCACGGACCTGTGTGGAAATCAACCAGTGAGTTAGGTTACGGGGACAACGTCGCGTCGATGGCGTAGCAGAGTCTGCTCACCATTGAGCAGACGCAGTCACAAGGACATTGTCGCGTCGATCGCGTGAGGCGCCTGAGATTTGATTTCCACACAGCAACAGACGCCATGAAGGACTCAGCTAAAGCGTGCTGCCGGACCGTCCACTGGAACGTGCCCGCTAATTGCACCGCATACAATAGAGCTAACGCGAGGATTTGTGGTTGATGATGATTCCTCAGCAGTATGGTCGCAACTAACAAGCATGCCAGAAAGGTAACACAAATAGCGTCGAGGTAGAACCCTAGATATCTTTGAGATAATAACCACCAGAACCAGGACCTCGCATTTTTATCTAATGCACCTAGTAAAGCCCCTTCCGCCTTCGCTTCGCCGCGGAACGCTCTTGTGGCTGTCAACCCATGTAAGGTATCGGAAAAGATCCCAACTGCGGGCGACTTCGTGATGGCCTCCAGCCTTTTCAGTTCCGTCATTGAGGCTCCCACAAATCGTTTATGTCTCAGGAAAACATACAACAGAAGCGGGAGGACGAGGCACCTGTGCGGAAATCAACCAGTGAGTTAGGTTACCGACGCGATCACAGGGACAGCGTCGCGGTGGGGCGCCTGACATTTGATTTCCACGCAGGTAGTCACATCCACGGCAACGCGACGCAAGCTGTTACTACCACAGATAACATCATAATGCCTAACTGGGTCATGTCAAACAAAGCCTGCGCCAATAACTCGTCCACGTTGCCCACGTCCTGGGACAGTCGATTCAACACCTGGCCGCGCGGCGTCGCGTGGTGCCACCACAATGGCGCTCGTAGGACCCTACTTACAGCGTCGTTGTGCAGGACATTTGCGGCCTTGATGGTCCAACAAAAAAAGGACGAGGCTCGTGTGACCGCTACGACCAAGAGGCAGGCCGCTATCACCGCATAAGCTTTGAGGTACTTCGTCTTTCTCTGTTGGCGCGGCTTCTTCGACGCCCAGTTCAGCAAAAAGAAGTCGCCGTAGACCAGTAAGCCCTGGCCTACGACGAACAATAGCACAAGGATGATGAGGGTGTACGGTCCCGCTCTCCGAGCGTAGCCCGCCCACGTTTTCATCGAAACGTCCCCGACCTCCCGCGTCTCCTCCTTCTGTGTCGGTGCGTCCTCCTTACTCTTCGTGGTGGTAACGATGACGTCCTTCGCGTCTACGACCTCATCTATTTCGTCCTCGTCGTCGACGCGCACCAACGCCAGGGCCTGCTCTGGTAAATCGTGCCACTTCGAGAAGCCTAGCGCAGTGCCAGTAGCATCTAAGACCAACACAGCATCGGCCCGCTGTAACACTTGTCTTGAATGCGTAGCTAAGACGACGCCACACTTCTTCAGAGCACCGAAAACACACGCGTCCAATAAGTGTTTCCCTACACTTGGGTCGACGGCCGCGAGGGGATCGTCGAGTAAAGCTAATGGTGCTGCTAACGATACTTCTGAAGCGTAGACGCATCGAGCTAAGCCAACCCGAGCCTTCTGGCCTCCTGACAGATTGACGCCGCGCTCGCCTAGCAGCGTTTGTTCGCCGTGTTCTAAACTATCGATGTCAACCCTCAAAGCACAAGCCTCGACGGCGCGGTCGAACGCTTGCCTATCTATCTTCTGCGCTCCAAGCGTCACGTTCTCCAATAGCGTTCCGGAGAAGATCCAGGCCGACCTGTGAGTGAGTTAACGACGCCGCGTCGATGGCGTGGGGCGCCGGAAATTTGATTTCCACACAGTTCATGACTGCGGCGCGTAGACGACGCCGCGGCTCGACTCCAGTTTGCCAGCAGTGACGTCGAGCTCGCCCAGCGACGCTTGCAACAACGACGACTTGCCGCACCCGACCGGGCCCGCCACGACGATAACTTGGCCGGGCTTGACGGCGCAGCACGCGTCGAGAACCGCCGGATGCGACGCGCGCGGCCACGCGACCGTGGCACCGTCTGCCCGCAGTAGATGCTCGTCGACCGGCACCGGCACGCGCGCGCACTCGTCGAGTTCCAAAAAGCGCTGCATCCTCCGAACAGCCACCAAGCATTCCGGACCGGCCATCGCAAAGTAAGCACACCCGAAGGACACGATCTGCCGTAACGCATTTAACAAAGCTACCAATGAGGTGACGTCTCCTACACTTAGTTTGTGACCTCGCTGCGTGCGGAAGTACACGGCATAAGTAGCGAAGACAGACATGGCCGTCGTCGAGAAGTAGAGAGCGGCCGTCAAGGAGCGGCACCACTGCGCCCTCAACACGGTCGACGCTTCTTTCGATCGTGCGGCGGCGACGGCTTCCAAACAAGGCTCCTCCCAGGCGAAGGCTTTGACGGACAGAATGCCATTTAGTAATTCCGAGATAAGTCTAACACGGCCGTCGGTGGCCTTGGCCGTCTTGGCTCGCAGTTTCTTGAACACGAAACCCAGTCGAGCCTGGATGGCCACACTTACAAGTAGTACTGATAAGCCAGCGGCACTTGCAGCGTATCCGACAATGTTCGAGATGAGGAAGTAGGCCACGACGATTAATATCCCAGAAACCCAAGGAGCGTGTAAAAAGGGCAACAGGTTATCGAAGCGCTGGCAGTCGTTCGTCACTAAGGAGACGATGAAGCCCGTGCTGACGCGCGAGACTTCCGCGGCCCTTGTTCTTAATAACTTCTTCTGGAGGGCCACCGTCATGCCCAACCTCAAGTTCCAGCCGATGCGCATGACCATGAAGAACGCCGCGTGGTGGGCAAATAAGTTGGTCAGGCCCGCTATCACTACTAGTGCTGCCCGCCAGAAGCCGCCGCCCGCGTTGCCCGTGGATCTGGCGAGCCAGTTGACGAAAGGGCGCAATAACGCCGCCTGCGCCACCAAAGCGCCAAAGTCGAGCAGGAACAACATGCCGCTCAGGATCAGATCTTTACGCATGCATCTGGCGAGGGCCCAGGGCAGCGACGGCTTTGGTTTTGTGCGCTCGGCCTCCCACGCGTCCACGATTCGCCGCGTGACGTCGGGCAGCTCGTCTCTGGTTGCGATTGTTGGTAGGTCGTCGATCTGCAGCGGTCGCTGCACGCCTATCCTAAACAGCGGCAGCGCGTAGCGGTACGTCAACCGCGACCAGAGGCTCGCGGCGTCGTAGGGCGCTGCTTCCGCTGCTTCCGCTGCATCGGCGGCTTTGTGCGCGTCACCAGCCGGCTCCTCCGGGTGTTTGCACATCTCTGCGTGTGTCACCAAGTTGATGCACAGCAGTGCTATGACGCTGTGCTCTCTGTGCAATCGCGCTGTCAGCTGAACGCGCAGCGACAATTTGCGCCGCTTGCGCTTCTTTTTATTACTCGTAACTTGGATCTATCAGCCTCTATCTCCCTGCACCACTGCGCGCTGTAATCAGGCCAGTCAGGCTTGTAAAACTTGCCTGGCATAGAGCTGTGACATACTAGCACTCCAACAATAGGTCTCCCAGGTATCCATACCGCCGCGTTTACGACGTCGACGCGCTCGGCTGAGCGTATCCGAGTCTAGTAGTTTACATTCGTATTAGACATGAGAGTCAGCGTGAGAGAAAGATAGGGGTAGGATGTCCGGTCGGCTCGAGAGCGGTACGGGACAGAGATGAGTCCTCAGGAGACGACGCAGCACGCCTTCTTCGCCCTCGTCGAAAAAGCTGTGTCCGCCTCGACGAGGCCGGCCGACGCGAGCTCGTCGAGCAGGTCTAGAATCGCCAAGAACGACGGCCGCGCCGCCGGCTCGTGCGCCCAGCAATTGCGGATCAGATCCACTACTTTTTGATCCCAGCTACGAGGTAAATTCGGCCGCTCGCCCCGAATGCCGTGCCGAGCCGCACTTTCCCCACTTTCACCGCGCCACGGCGGCTCGGACGCATATAAATTGTAGAGGATCATCGCGAAGGAGTAGACGTCGACGGGCCGGCCGTACGGCTTCGACGCGGCGACTTCCGGCGCCATGAAGCGGAACGAACCCGTCGTTCCCGTTAGATCTTCCGGCGAGTCGGGGCCGGGGCTCTTCGATTCCGTAGAAGCGACTCGTATCGTCGCCAGGCCAAAGTCCGTGATCTTGATGGAGTCGTTGGAGTCCAGCAGTAGATTGCCGGGTTTTAGATCGCGGTGGAGCACCGGCGGCCGCCGCGAGTGGAGGTAGGCCATGCCGCGACATAGTTCCGTCGCCCATCGCAGCGCTTTCGGCTTTTGTAAGTAGCGGCCGTCTCCTAATACCCTAAGACGATCTAGGACCGAGCCCCGCATGAGCTCGGACACTAATATCTCCTTTCCCGGGGCGTCGGAGTAGGCTAACAGAGTGGCGATGTTCGGGTGCCTTAACCGAAACAGCACGGTGGCCTCGTTGTGGAAATCCTTGAGGGCTAGCGCCTCGTCCTCGGAGTTGCCCGCCGTCGCCCTCAAACATTTCGCGGCTACAGGAGTGCCCCGCCACGTCGCCCGATACACGACGCCGAAGGACCCTCCACCTAACCTCTCAAGCAATTCCACATCCTGCGGGTCGGTGATGAACTCACAACCTCCGTCTCGCGGCGTCTGGTCGCCGCGGCCCGACGCCTGCGAGCCGTCCATGCGCCGCGGCGGCGCGCCCGCTGTTATGAGTGCTTTTTCACACGCTCCATCATGACTACACCCGTCGAGGGGCGCGTGGCCCCACCTATCTCTGACTCCCGGGTCCGCGCCCCTGCTCAGGAGTAGGGTGACGACTTCCAGGTGCTCCTCGCCGGCGGCCAGGTGGAGCGGCCGTCTTCCGTCATAATCCTGCGCGTTCGCATGGATGGCCCCATCATCAAGTAAATCCTCGACCTGTGTAGAAATCACGTCAAACTCCACGCCATCGACGCGACGTCTGCTCGATTGGTTGATTTCCACACGGTCTTCCAACGGCGCGGACGTCCCCCGCCGCGGCCGCCGCGATGATCTGCGCGCCGTAGTCTACTCCAGCACCCAGCCGCGCACCGCGCTTCCGCAATTCGGAAGCGACGGCGTGGTGCCGGTGCCGCAGGGCATCATCTAAAGGTGAGCCGCCCCACCGATCCGACCTATTTGGTCTAGCACCACGGTTGAGCAGGTCTTCGAGGATGCCGAGGCGCCCTTCGCTCGCCGCCAGATGCAACACCGTTCTTCGATCGTAGTCGCGATAGTTCACCAAGCGTGCATCATCGGTACACAGTTTTCTAGCTTGCTCGCGCTCGCCTCTAGCAACGTGCCTCAATAACATGCAGCCCGCGACGTAGCGCTCCACGTCGTCCAACTCGCTCTGCTTCGTCTTGTACCCCTTCCCGCTGTCGAAGCGATGATCTAAACCGCTGTCGTCCATCGACGACGACCGCTCGCCTTTTCTCGGCGGGGAGATGCGGCCCGTCATGGTCCTGCGCTGACGCTGCGCTGCGGTGTGATCTGTGGGCTTGTCCGCGCTGCGGTGTGATTTGCGAGCTTGCCCGCGCTGCGGTGTGATCTGCTAGCTTGCCCGCGCTGCGGCGAGATCTGTGGGCTTGCGCTACGCCTATCCTGCGAATAGTGCCTTGTTCTCACAGCTGCCGCTCGACACCAGTGCAAGCACAGCAAATGAGGTTGCAGCAATGTAATCTGCTAACCTCCGAGCACTGCAGCTCCAATCGACGCTCGGATTGGTTGATTTATGTGAGAGATCAACGCGATTTGCCAGTCGCGTTTTTGTGTGTTGAGCTCGACTGGGGTCGGGTTTGCTTCGGCAGCACCAGGCAACGGGGAGACGCAGTTCCATGCATGTAAGTGAGGACGGGGATGATTGGGACCCGTCTTCGTCGCACCTGTCCGCATGTGACCAGATTCAGGGTGTGACAAGGGCCGGTGCTCTCTTGTTCTCCGCCCCACACCGCTTACAATAAGATGATGTCGACGCTGCCCGCCATCGCCGAGGACGCGCCCAGCAACGACCAGCGGTCCGCGCCCGCACCGACACTGAAACACACGGTCTCCAAGGGTTCGATACAGGAGATGTCGCAGCACGTCGACCCCCGGCGCCGCTCCCGCTCATTATCCGACGAGGCCATCCAGAAGACCTACGAGGAGCGCTACGCGACCAAGGAGAAGGGCGACTGAGGCCATGGAGCGCCGGGTCCTGCGCGCGGCGAGCGTCGGCGCCGCCATGGCCGCGGACATTTTGGTCAACTACCCGCTCTGGATCGTCGCGAAGCGCGTCGGGGCCGGTCTCTCGGCGCTGCCGCCGCTCCACAGGTTGTACGCCGGCGGCGGCGCGCTCTGGGTGTCGATCGCGCCGACGACCATCATCGAGGACGGCGTGTCCACTGTCCTAAAGCCGCGGTGTGGGGACCTCGCGGCCTCTGCCGCGTCCGGCGCGATCGCGGGCGTCTGTGTCACGTCGCAAGTCGAGCGGTGCATCACGGCGTCGCACGCCCGAAATCTATCGGTGCGAGAGACCGCCGTGGCCATCTACCGGCGCGGCGGCGTCGCTGGTCTTGCGTGGCCACCCGGCATGCTTGCGACGGCGTGCCGCGAAGTTCCTTTCGCCGCAGCTCTCTTCGCGGTGCGCCCGCGCCTGCGGACCATCGCGGAGGAGCGCTACCCCACGACGCAACGGTTCCTGCGCGAGCTGTCCTGCGGCGTGGCCGCCGCCTCTGTGGCCGGTCCCGCGAGCCATGCGCCCTCCGTCGTGGCCGCGTATCAACAGGCCACTGGCGTGACTCCCCGCCAGGCGATCGCCCAGATCTATGCAGCTGGCGGACTCAGGGAGTTCTTCCGGGGCCTGCCCGCGCGGACGGTCTCATTAGCTGGCACGTTCACGGTCGTGCCCCTGGCGCTGGACTGGTTCGCCGTCCAGTAGCCGCTGCTTGTCTTTTGCTGTGTAGATACTACTACTCCTGTGCTTAAATACAGTCTTGATCTTAGTAGGAGGAGCCTTCAGAGCGCCTCCTCGGCGTCGTCCTCCACGATGACGCTGTCGACGTACTCGTACCGCCGCGCCAACTCGCGGTCGAGCTGCCGCCGAGTCTTGGCGCCGCCGCTGGCCGCCCTTCTCTCGTAGCGGTAGTCAAGCTCGTCGCCGCGGCGCGAGCGCTTGCTTACTTTCGTGCGGGGGCGGCGCGTCTTCGAGCGGCGTGTGGGCGAGGACGTCGACAACTCGACGTCCTCGGCTAGCTCTGCGAGGTCCTCGTCGAGCTCCACGGCACGCGGATTCCGCGGCTCGCGAGCTTGCTTGGCGCGGCGCGGGGAGTCCGCCGGGGCCACGACGACCTGGCCGGACTTGCTGTCGTAATAGACGCGGCGGTTCTCGGGCAGGGCTTCGGCCAGCGATGCTCTTATATCTCTGCTGGTGTTCGCGTCGTAGGGCGTGACGACGACGCGGTCTCTCACCAAAGCGACGCTGCCGACGGCGTTGAGCGGGAGGCGGCCGCCGTACAGCGAGACGGAGATGTCGCGCGGGACACTTGAGAAGAGCCGGCTTGCGCGGCAGCGTACGGCGAGTGCGGAGATCATCTTGCGGGCGCGTATTGCGCGCGGATACGAAGAGCTTACAAGTAGACTGCCTCTAAAACGCCCCTAGCGGCGTGAACAGCTCGGCGCTGGCTGCCGTTGGGGTAGAGAAGTAATTTTGCGTGCGCCGCAGCGCCACTGCTTCCGTATTTCGTCGCGCGTACGTTTATCAAGAGCTCTGAGGGCACGCGCAAAACGGCTTCGCAGCGTGTCATCGTGACCTTCGTGGACCCTTAGAAGGCCTTATTCGACGCTTCTTTACCTCCTCTCTGGGCCACAAGGCTGTGGGGGCGCCTTTGGGTTGCAAGGCTAGTATGTCGGTGCGCTAGCTTCCATCTGCTCTCTTTGGTTGCCACTCTTGCCATAGGTGCACCATTCATGGCCTGGATGTGGCGAATTACGCTCCATTTTCAAGCAGCAATGGCTGCGCGACACATCGTCTTTGTGCGCCACGGCCTGTCCAAAATGAACGTCGCGCTCGGAAGACAGCCCTGGGGCAGTCCCAACTTCGTCGACCCGGATATTCGAGACGCGCCATTGGAACCCTCGGGCCTCGCGGGCGCGCGCGCGCTGCGCGAACCGCTCGCGCGAGACGCGGCGGACGTCGAGCTCGTCGTGTCGTCGCCGCTGACGCGAGCGCTCGCGACGGCGGACGCGGCGTTCGACGACGCCCTGAGTCGCGGCGTGCCCGCGTTGGCGCTGCCGCTCGCAGCAGAACGCTGCTACATGAGTTCGGATGTCGGGACGCCCGTATCAGTGCTACGGGACGGCGTCGGCAAGCGCTTCGCGTTCCGCGACGACGAATTTCCGGAGGACAACTGGTGGTACGGCGCGCTCGCAAATAGTGACGCCTACGCGCCGCCGCCCGCCGACGACTGGCGCCCGCCGGGCACGTACTGCTCGGCGGGCGAGCCGCTCGACGCCTTCCGCGCGCGCATGGCGGCGCTCACGGCCTGGCTGGAGGCGCGGGACGAGGCCGTGATCGGGGTGACGTGCCACTGGGGTGTACTCTCGGCGCTCACGGGCTCGAGCTTCGAGAACAACGAGGTGCGGCGGATACCTTTGTCGGAGCTCCGCGTGCGGACGGACGTCGAGTACTGAAGTCGCGGCGGCGGCGTGCTCAGTACGCCCTCGCCGCGGCGCACCATCATTATGCGGACGGAATTCGCAGCGACGGCGTATGATCATCATGTGGGTGTGTAACATAATAGTAACTTTAGAGCGCGCTTGCGCAGCGCAACGTGTCCGTCAACATGATGGGGGAAAGGACGGGACACTAGCTCTTGCGGAAGAGCATGCCGTGCGAGACGACGAACTGGAACTTGCGCGCGTGGTCCCGGATGACGACCGCCTCCGGCGCCGCCGCTTCCAGGACGAAGCCGTTTTCGCGCATCCGCTCCTCGAGCTGCTGAGGCGACAGCCACTTGTCTGGTGGAGTGTACTCGCTCATCCAGGAAAACGGTGACGCGAAGAAGACGCGTCCGCCCGCGTTTACCAAAGAAGGCAATCGGTCAATGAACGCCAGCGGCTCCTGTAACCGACATAATAAATTGGCGGCGAGGACGGCGTCGAAGGTGCCCAGAGATGCAGGTAAGGCACACGCGTCGCCCTTGAGAAACGTGAGCTTCGCCGCTTCGGCTGGTGTGAATGCATGAGCGAGGCACTGCGCACCCGGGAGCGACGCCTCACCTGATCTAGCGTAGTTGAGGTCGTTCGTTTTGAGGGCATTGGCCGCGTCGACGAACCCCTGGGCGTAATCGATACCCACGACTTCATCAAATGAAGACGCGAGGGCTTTGCAGGACCCGCCGACGGCGCAGCCCACATCTAAAGCTCTTCGACCACTACCTAGCTTCGCGGCGCACCGCTGGGGAAAGTCCAAGGCGTCCTCCAATGATAAACTGTGAAGAGACGAAGCAGGCCCGTCTAAGGCACCCCTCCCACCATAATGCAAGTCGAGATAAGCGGCCAATTGGGCAGCACTCTCGTACTTGTGCGACCCTTCCTCGGACTGCTTTTTGTAGGTAGGCGGGACCCACCCCGCGGCCCACGGCTTCGCGGCGTCGTGCGAGGTTAATTCGGGGTGCTCCTCTCCACTAACAACGCGAAACGACAGCAGGTTGTGGAAGTGGGGCCTAAAATGGAAGCGAGAGAACACGGACGCCTCGTTGCCCGTCGAGGCGAAGCTCCCACCCAGTATCAAGGCGTGCTGCCCGTCGAAGCAGGGCGTGGAGAAGTCCTCGTACAAGGGGTGCGTCTCGTAGCCCGGTAAAGCCGCGAACCAGTCCTCGCAGTACTCCCAGCTGTTGCCTCTTAACCCACCGAAGGGCGCTTGGCCGTCATATACACTTGATGGAGAGCCCCAGGCTAAATTGGCGTTCAAAGGAGTCGGAGCGAGTTCTTTGGCGCCCATCGTCGCGACGTCGTCCACAGCTTCGTTTTCTCGCGCTTTGGCTAGCGTGCAGCCGTTATTGGCTTCCAACATCAGGTGGTACTCGCACTCCGTCGGGAGGCGTAAGCTTTGGCCCTTTTCCGAAGACAGCCACTTCGCATAGGCGTGGGCTTCGTGCTTGTTCACCTCGGCCGGGAGGTCCAGAGGTAACGGCACCTCGTCGAACGGCAGCCGCAGCGCGTACTCGTGCACGCCTTGGGGACCGGTCCTTTCCCAGAAGTGGGGCCACTTCGTGTTGCGGAACGACCGCCAGGCCCAGCCGTCCTCGCTCCAGTGTTCCGGCGAAGCGTAGCCGCCGGCCTTCACAAAGTCGAGGTACTGCCCGTTCGTCACCTGCGTCCGCGACGCCTTGAACGGTCGCGCCTCGATCACCCGAGACCCGTACTCGTTGTCCCAGGAGTAGGTAGAGTGCGTCCTCGGTTTCCCCAGCTCGATCGAGCCACCATTCACTGAGACGAGCTCCACAGGAGCCACAGACGTCTCTGCAGTAACGGAAGGGTGGTCCGGCGGCCAATACGACGGCCTCGACACGTCGTCAATAGGCAGCTCCCGCATCAGCGTCGTCGACGTCTCCAAATGGATGCGCTCGTGTTCACAAATCATGCCCAGGCTCCACACCACAAACTTCGAGTCCGTCGCTTCCTTACTAGAGATGGGTTCATCGAGCGCGGGGTGGTTCCGGATCACGTCCAAGACCAAGTCGCGAGCTTTGGAACGGTATTCTCTCACTTCTTGCAATTCGGGCCATCTCGTCGACGGCGTGTCGAGATCGTCCCAGGACATCTCGTCGACGCCCGTCTCGAACAAGACGTCGAAGTCATCACACAGACCTTTTGTGAGAGCGCCGGCCACCCTTAACTTATTGACCGCCAGTGCGGCGGGGTGTCCGTAGTAAAAGACGAGCGGGTGCCTTAGGCCATGTGCTGGTGGTCTGTAATACGCTTCTGGCCCTCGCAGCGAGGAGAAGAGGACCTCCGTCAACGCCCAGCCGTTCTCGAAGTAGTCCTCGAGGGTGTCGCGGAGTTTGGGGCCTCGTTCTCGTAGGTCCGGGGCTTTGAGCGACGCGAGGCAGTTCCTTTCGGCGTCGAAGCCTGGTGTATTTTGAGGCTCCAAACCGGTCCAGAACTTGGGCGTGTGCAGGTAGTCGGCGCCCGTCAGCGGCGGGCTGTAGGCGAGGCTGAGGCGGCGTCTTGCCGCGCCTAGTCTCAGTTCCACGCGCAGGAGCCTTGATGCTCGGAGCATGGCTACGACGTAAAGCCGCGCTGCTGGCGTCTAATTTTACGCTTCGGCGTCGCTTTCTGCCACCTCACAACTGCAACAGGGTGTTGAACCGTGTCGAATTTGAGCCGTGCGCGGCGAGTTGTTGCAAGCCGTCAAGGCAGCGTGCAGTAGCGATGTCAGAGAGCTGTTCGATAACGATAACAGCGCTCTTGCACCCGGTTGCGCCGGCGATTCTCGACGGCGAGAGCCGCTGAGTCTTGGGCAGCACACGCGAAGCGTGGCGCCCCGGCGACACGGGTCCAACGACTCAAACGAAGGAGGATGAATCCTCGCACGAATCAGAGGGGGCGAAACTGCCCTTGGTTTACACGCCATGCGGCGCGCGGCGGCGACAACGCGTCTCCCCCCCACTAGTCCTAGCAACAGAGAAGGCACTTCATCCTTAGATCAGGAACCGCTGGTCCACCAGCGTCCGCTCCGACAGGTTCGACTCGCCCAGGATCTCCCTCACAATCCTCACCAAATGGTGCATGAGGAACGTGCAGAGTATCGACAACCAGGTATTGCGGAACCAGATGTCCGCGACCGCGAACGTCAGGATCTCGTGCATCAGCAGCTCGTAGTCGTGGCCCAGGAACGTGACGCACGTCCACCCATCATCCCCCCCAAACCACGGTTTATCTGGTTGGAAGATGACCTTGCCCTTCGTTCCCTGTGTGCGCTCATTGAGCGGAGGAGGATGAAATACGAGCCGCTCCCAGATCGACGGGATCCGCAAATCCCAGTCTAGGTCAAAGGTCTCGGCGTAGCCGTGGCCGAGGAACGTCCTCAAGAATGCTCCTACTTGCTCGGTCGTAGCCGTTCGCTTCGCCCGCTGCACGCGCACCTGCTGCGGCTGTTCTTCCGGATTTAACCAGCTACTCCCTTTCTGACCAAATAAAGCTTGCAAGAAGCGAGGCGCCTCGATACCTTTCTTCGATTGGGGCGCCCCGTCAATGGGTTCCTCGGACACAGGCTCATCTTTTTTGACAGGTAGGGGCTTGCCCGTATTGACCGAGTGCCACGCGTTCCGGAACGCCGGTGTGAGCCACATTTGAAATGTTTGTAAGTCCGGATGGTCGATCTCGAGACCCCGCCCGATCGACTCGGACATGGACTCATTAATTAAGTGCTGCGTCAGCTGGTTCATCGTATCATCTGAGTGCGAAAAGGGCGCGTCGCCATGGAGGTACCAGCCATGATATTCTGCATCTAGTACGAATACTGATACCTTGGCCACCGTTGTTAGGTCTAAAAATTGTTGGGCCTTCGGCTCACTGATATAACGCTCCCAGAAGAAGTAGTTCCACGCATACTGCCCGCCAGCTAACATAAAAAACCACCAAGTCGTATTCGCGAATCTGAGAGCGATGTTGTGGTGGCCGTCGGCGAGGTAGAACCCCGGCCAGCTACAGGCCACGTTCTCCAGCTTGTAGCCTACTAACACGAACGCCATGCATAAAAGTACAAAATTGATATTCGTTTTTCGGGCCGTTTGCAATTCGTTCCATTCGTTCGCGACAAAAAGTGTCCGCCACACCGACACGGGTGCGCGATGCCTCGTACTAGAGGCTCGGGCGCGCTCCCAGTCCACGAAGAAGATGTCTACGCTACATTGATCCAGTACTAACTTCGCAACGACACCGGTCTGAAAAGCCCACATCGTGATGATGACCGTTCTCACGGGATAGTAGTTGAAGCCCATGCCGTCCTCCCTGTTTTCCCTCGGTAAGAGCATGAATATGTCTTCTTGCAGTTTAAAAAAGATCAGGATATACGACGTGACCGCGAACACGAGGGGGAAAAATAAATGGACGCATAAGCGTGCGTAGAGTAACCAGACCTTCAGGTAATATAGACAGACATTCTCATCCTGCGGCACGCCCTGGATCTCGTAGTACGCGTTGCCGCTCCACACTCTATAAGCGTAGACCATTAACAGGACGCTGATGACGAAGAACGTGATCGACAGGGCCATCTCGTTGTCGAACAATTCGGTGTTCGGGGCGCTGTACTCTATTTTTACATCAATATGGGCCTCCCGTAGTTTGCTATGGTGTGGTGTTATGGCGTCTACTCTACGTGTTCTGTACCTCAACTCGAGAATGGGCGTGTTTATGTGTGCGAGTTTTTTGTCCGACGACTCGACATGTAAAATGATGTCGTCCAGGTACTGGATATGATTTGTGGGCTCTGTCCCTTCTCCTAAAAACGTGTTGAAGAAGCTGAATCGCCTCACGAAGATGTCATCTCTACCTTGCGCCGTCTTGCCGTTCTTGTTTGGGTAGTGGTTTCCATTAATGAGGTCCTTGTGCAAGATGGGAATGGGGTACAAACAATCCTCATTCCCACAGCCCGCGTCGGGATCGACCAGATAAAGATCGTAAAATAATTGTTCTCTCCCTAATAAAGTCCTCAAATCACAGTGGAAGTGCGTCCACGTGCTTCGCCCGAACCGCGTCCACTGCGTGTCCGAATTCGGACCACCACCAAATACCGTGCGAGGTGCTCTCGTCTCGCAGTAAAATAGGTCGGAGGAGAATGGTCTAGTACCAAGAAAGGTGCCGTTCAAGGTATACGTCGCCGCTCGCAGCTCCAATCTGTGCATTCTATTTCGGGTAGAAGCGGAAAAAGCAAAACCTTCTTTCAAACCCCGATCTCCGCGCACGTCCTCGCCGGACCCCTCGTAGAAGAGCCAGGGCACGTGGACCCGCGAGCCCAGCTCATGGAGCGGGTCTCGTAATTCTCTAAGGCCCGTCTCGTCGTCCCAGAAGGCCTTGCATGCTGGATGTTCCAATCTGTAGGAGGCCACGACACACAGATTGGCTAGACTTTGACAGGCCTTGTCTGCATCACTCGTGCCGTCATGATATAAACACCTCACCGATGCATTCAAGTACAAGTGCCGCATGACGCCGACGTCGCTCAGGTCCACAATACCATCCGAGGAGTCCTTTGATTTCTCCCTAGGGTGCGGGTCGCCGGTCTGCAAGTTGAGCACCTTGACGGACGTCGCTTCAGTTATAGTGCCGAAGGCCTCCTCGGCCTCGGTCACATGCGCAGTCTTCACGCAGGACTGGGGCCCCATCGCCGCGTCGCCCACGAGCGTGTAGCCCTCGGCACACGCCGTGCAGTCCGCGTTCATTTTCGCGTCGGGACACCGTCGACACGCATACGGGTCTCCCTCAAAGAAGGCGCCGCCCTTCGTCTCATCGATCCAGACTGCGAACGTGCCGGGGGCGCACGCGACGCACGTTTTGGCAAACGTACCATTTGTACCTTCCATCTCGACGAGGATCTCGTTCGCTTGGCAGGTGCACTCATTTGTGTCTGTCGAGTACCCCTGCGTCGCGTTGCAGGCCGCGCACGCGGAGCGGTCTCTGGTCGATGCCGCGGGGCACGCCGTGCACACGAGACCAGCACAATCACCAGTCACCTCGTCGTAGCCGCCGCGACCCGCACACGGCGCGTAGCTTGATATCGTGCCGGCCGCGCACTGGCACGCGCGCGCGTTGCCGAGCCCATCGAAGTCGATGCCGACGGCGAGGTCCGGCGTCGTCGGCGCGCAGAGCTGGCAGCTCAAGGTTAGCGACGAGTAGTACTCGTTCGTTTGGCAGAGACCGGCGACGGGGCTCGCGAAGACGGGCGCGTCGTCGGCGGCCGCCGCGGCGGCCAGGGCGCCGAGGGTGAGCAGCCGCGGCATCGTTCTTACGGCTGCCGATGGGGCGCGGGCGCGTCGCTCGTGCTTTATGGGCTGCCTCGGGCGGCGTGGTTCGTAGCGCCGTCGCGCGCCGGGGCGCCAATTTCAGGCCAGCCGGTGCCTGCCATGTTTAAAGGCTAGTATGCTTTTCGTGCGGGGTGGGGGCGTGCCGCCATGGGTCCTCGGAGCTCGTGGCATCCAAGCCCACTGCCGGAGGGGTCCGACTACGGCTAGCGTCCTGTAAGACACTAGGAGAGGCGGCGCCAGGGCAGCACGACTCGCTGCCCAGCGCGAGCAGCACGCAACGATGATGGGGGCCGCAGCGCTTCTGTGCGTGGTGAGCTTGTTAGAAGCCGCGGCTGGCAGCTACGTCATGGACGACAGTAGCATCAGAACGGCAGTCGCTGCGTGGGTCTCAGACAGCGCTGCTGCCGAGGCGGCGTACGGCCATATTTCTACTTGGGAGACTGGCGGGGTGACGGGCATGATGTATTTGTTTTGCGGGACCTCAGCCGACTACTCTGGTTACTGCAACTCGGCCGCGGCGTCCTTTAACGAGGACATTGGCGCGTGGGACACCTCCGGCGTCACGAACATGCGCGGGATGTTCTACAAAGCCTCGGCCTTCAACCAGGACCTCGGTGGTTGGGCGGTCCACAGTGTCACGGATATGGATGTGATGTTCTACTACGCCTCGGCCTTTAACCAGGACATCGGCGCATGGGACACCTCCGGCGTCACGACGATGCCTGCGATGTTCGCTTTTGCCTCGTCCTTCGCCCAGGACCTCGGCTGGTGCGTGGACGACGACGTGGACCTTACAAGCGCATTCCACCACACCCCGTGCGCGTCGACGTCGTGCGGCGTCAAGCAAGTGGCAGGCGGCTGCGCGCCGACGTCAGCGCCGACGCCCGTACCGACGCCCGCACCGACGACGCCCGCACCGACGACGTCCGCGCCGACCGCGCCGACGCCCCCGCCGACAGTCACGCCCCGCAAAAATTCGAGCTCCCGCGGCGGTCCCATTCTGTTCAAAGGCGACGGTGCCCTTTTAGGGCTACTGTTTGCCGTCGGCGCGTGTTACTTCTGCTGCCGTCGGGATAAGGCCGACGAGCCGAGTAGCGCCAATCCAGAGCCGACCGAACTACCGCCACCTGATGAGGAGTCTCTGGAGACGCGCGCCGCCGCCAAAGCCAAGGCCGCGGAGACCGCCGAGCGCCCGGGCTACACGAGGAAGCTGTCCTCGTTCCTGTTCGGGGAGCAGGAAGAAGAGCCCACCGCCCTCACCGTCGCGGAAGCCGAGGAGGCACCTTCGGCCGAGCAGCCGCCTCCGCCGACGCCTGCCGAGCCTGCCGCGCCGAAAGCCGAGGAGACGTACAACCAGATCGCCGCCTGGTACAACGAGCCGGAGAACGCCGCGCTACGCGCAAGATGGGGCGCGTTCCCGAACCCCGAAGACTTCCAGACATGGCCCGGCTTCGTCGCGGTGACGAACGCATTCCTCGACCGCGAGGCCGGCTAGTAGTCTTAATACACCCGACCTATCCGGTCGCTCTAGGCCCCGTTCCCGAAGTCTAGGGCGAAGGCCGGGAGCGCCTTCTTCTTCGTACTAGAAGTACTCGTAGGCGCCTCAACGGCCGGCGCCTCAACGGCCGCATCGTCGTCGTCGTCCGTAGCATTCGTGTGCCGCCCCCAGTCGCGCCCGATCTCCTTGAAGGCCTTGCGGCAGAAGCAGGAATTCAGGCGCCGCCCGTGGCCCACCTGGCCGTCCGCAATCATCACCGAGTGTTTTTTGGGACGAAAGGTCTTGGTCTCAGCTTGCTCGAAAGTTTGGTAGGACGACATGCTTTTCGTTGGTGCGCGCGATACGTCAAAGGGTTCGCTGAGCAGCGTAAAGATCGACTGGACCGATTAATCTCAGGAAAAAGTGAGTGCGGGTTTTTATCGCTCAGCCAGACCCGTCCTTCGCCTACGGGTAATAACGCGCCAACACAAGAGTTCATAAAACACAGACTTCATCTTACGGGTTCCCCCCGCGCCCGCGCCTCTGAATCGCTCCGAATCTGATTCCAGAGCGCCTCGCGCCGCGCGAGCAACTCGGGCGTTTCTTCCACCTCTGCCTCTTCCGCGGGAGCCGGCGCCGGAGGACGCTTCTCGGCCAAAATACGATCCAAAGTCGCTGCATCCACTTTGTCGATCAAGGTTCTCAACTGTTTCTCAGGATCAATAGGCCTAGGCCTCCGCCGCCGCGGCGCTGGCCTTCTCCGAGGTTTCCGTTTTTCGGCCGCCTTGACGACCCCATAAGGCGTCCTGATTACCGAAGACGCCGTCTTCACGGTCGACACGGACGGCATGGGAGCGGGCGCCTCGTTCCTGAACGCGGAGTTCCGCAACAACTCAACAGATAACGTTTCTAGGGTGCCGGGCGGCTCCTGGATGTCTCCTGTTCTCGCCTCGTACACGGCGCGGGGCTCGTCCCGAAACAATTGCCTCGTTTGCGTATACTGCTGATAGCCCGCGAAGTAGTTCGTGGCTCGATCTAGAACACGCTTGTGCAATTTTCCGCTTCGATTATGGCCGCCCACAAACTCCTGGGGTTGTAAATGTAACGGCACGAGCTCGTGCCTGGCATCGGAGATGCGAGGCCGTCGCTTCTCAGCAACTGGAGCGGGCGCCGGCGTCGTCTGAGAAAAGATCCACTCGGCACTCGGTGCCACCTCGTAATCTTGAGCGTCGCCGCCCTGCGCCTTCACTCGAAATGCTTCGGCCGCCGGCTCTCGATGATGGGGAATGGGCGTCTTTCTGCCTTCCGACCAGCCCTTTAACAACCTGCCAGCACCGGCGGCATCAAAAGGTCCGCGCTGGAACCGCGGGTCGTAGGGCAAGGCCACCGGTCGCACGCGCACATCTGGAACCTTGTGCGGGCCCGTGCCCCGGGACGGTGGCGGGCCGTTCCGATACTCGGAATTGGCCGAGGCCGGCGGTAACCCTTTCGGGCGGCCCACGGCCGAACCAGGAGCCAGGAACCGTAACAGCACCTCGACCCGTCGCACCAAATCAGGCGACGCCCCGAAGGCCGCTAAGTCGGCGGAAGCCAAGTCCCGCGCGACGTTAATGCCCGCTCGCTCCAGTTCAGTCCCCAGGACGCCCGTCAGCTCCGCTGCTTTCCTATGCCTTTCTGACACTAATTGACGTTCCTCGTCGGGTGTTTCGGCACCGAACAGTTGATCCGCAAACACATCTAATGGTGAACCGCCCGAGAGAAAAGCAGCTCGTCGCAACAGTAGCTTCGCGGGAGCCTCAACACCCCCGGCCCTCCTCAGATCATTCATGGCTCCATCTTCCAAACTAGTCTCCAAGTCAATCGCACCAGTAGCGCGATGCATCTGCTTCTGGACTTCCCGTCCTCGAGGTGAGGGATTCGGTGCCACATCATCAGGGTGTAGCGGCGGCCGCACCTTCACCTCGACTAATTCCTTCTCTTTGCGCAATGCTCTGTCAAGAGCCGTCGCTTCTCGCCCCTCCATGGCCGCTTCTAATTCTGCCCTATCATCGGCATCCAGCTGTTCAGACGGGGCCTCCTCGAAGTCACTATCCTCAGTGGGTTCAAAGTTACCCTTCTCGATCGCTTGCCACTTCTCCGCCGTGGCGTTCTGGGCGATGCCTTGACTAGCTAGTGATGTCGTAGCGACCTGATGCAAGTCTATAAGTAATTGACAACAGGCGTCCGCCAGGTGTTTGGCAGGTAGCACCGTGGCGAGCTCCTGCTTCGATACGACGTCTCTGTCTGGACTTCTACCCGGTTCTTCGTTGCGCTTCACCCAGGGCTCCAGGTTCAGGATCGTTTCGCGGCACCGTCTAGGTGGGCATAGAGATCGTACCGTGTCGAAACCAGAAGCTCTCAGCGCAGCGATCCACCGCGGCACGCGTTTGTGGGCGTCCATCTCGTGCTTCGACTTGATGAGGGAGGGAGGCAAGGACCTGTACACTTCAAAGGCCTCTTGTGGAGTAGTGCCCTCGGGAAACTCCTCGGGCACGTGGGCCCGTAAAGCTGCCGCTCGTAGTAACGGTTCCAGCGCGTCGTCCAAACCACGAGGCACATCGAGCAAGGCCTCCAAGCCCGCCGGCGTCGAGTGGTCCCTGTGTAATCTCTTGCGGCGGTCTCCGTCCTCACCAGCCGCTGCGCGAGCAGCAGCATTCACCAACCCCATGATGCTCCTCGACCGATAGGCCGGCGCCCAGGAGGCGTGTGGTTTGCTTCCTGTCATAGTTTTGATCGGTGAAGCGCCCGTCGGCTCCGCGAAGCGGCCCTCGTACGGGTTGCCCGTCGGGAAGCGCCGCGAGCCGCCGGGGGAGCGGATTGGTGACCCTCGTGTCGGTGACCTCGATGGAGAGCGCTGGGGCGGCCCAGGCGACCGCTTAGTAGGCGACGCCTGCGGTGCCGGCGACGCCTTCGCCGGCGTACCCGTCACTGGTGACGCCAGCGCGCCCGGCAGGCCGTACGTGTCGGCAATCTCCTTCCGGTGCCTCTGGCCGGCCTCGACGGGCGACACGGCGGCGCGAGCGGCCGCCTCCTGCTCCGGCGTGACTTCCGAGCCCAGGCCATCCAACAGCAACCGTAACCTAGGTCCTGGTATGAGTGAAGTACCACCATCATCCCTATGTGATTCATCAACATACTTGCTCTTAGTAGCCTCCATGAAACTGCGCCAGGCCTTGACGTGGTCCTGGTCCCGCTGTTGCAGGACTTTCTCGACGAAGGTCGCCGCGTCGACGTCTTCTCGTCTTCTGGCTTCGTCCGCGTCGCGCTCGTAGCGCCGGTAGTCGGCATCTACCGCTTCCACAAAGGCCCACAGATTGCCGTCCTTGAGGTAGCGGTGGGCTAGTCTGAGTAATCGTTGATTCACCTCGCTCTCGACGTTCCTTCTCGACTTAAGTCTCTTGGCTAAATGTGCTCTACTATGAGCATTGATACAAGTGGCGGCCCAGGCTCGTTTTCCATCCTCAGCCATCTTCTTGAGGTACCTCGTGCGCGCCCCGTGCCTCGCTCGCGTGCGCCAGCCCCGTATTCTAGTTTGCGCTAGTAACACCGCTCGCGCCAACGCTCGTCTCTCGAGATCCGCGATTATATTTAACGCTATTTGTACAGCAAACAGTCGACGAGCTTGGGATTGAATCCGGACCGCACAATCGTAGCGCCGCCACCACAAGACGTTTCGTGCTACTTTCTTCGCTACTCGGATCCGGCCCCAGCCCTGCAGTTGCACACAAGCACTGTACGCACCCATGTAGGCCTGATGGAGCGTGAAGTTCCGCAACTTGTCCTTGGCACCGTCCTTGCTGCGATCACCTCTTGCTAATTTACCTCGCCACATTTTTTGAGCGTGCACGGCCGCTCTACTCAACACGAACTGCGTCAAACACGCCACCTCGGCCCGCAACGCCGTCCTTAGAACCGCGGCTTCCTTCAATTGGGCCCGCAACGCCGGCTCGAGGACCTCGAGCCTGACCCGCGTGTCGTTCCCGTGCACCGCTGCGCTATTCATGAACTCTTCATCATGTAAGTGCTCCCGCAGCATCCCGTCCGTCGCATCCTTCACGAGCGTGGCTCCTCTTCTCTCTCGGGCCAGGATCGTCCTCGCGCGTCGCTCCCGTCTCTTGAGAACTTTATTTTCTTCCTGAACTTCCTCCTCTTCGAGCTCCGCGCCGCGCTCCTTCTTCCTCGCCGTGAGTAAGGCCTTCGATCTTCTGGATTCGAATTTTAACGTGCGTTCGTGTCTCAATTCCCACAAAAAATCATCAGCGAAAGGACAGCGTTCGAGCCACGGCACGAAGCGCTGCAACGAGGACCACAACGTCGCCTTGGCTGGAGCGAAGGCCGACAGAGGCACCGTCGAGCGACTCTTGCCCCACTTCTTCGAGAGCGACTGGCATAGCGCTACGAGCTCGTCCTTGCCTCTATATAGATCGGGTAGGGACTCGGCTACTTCTAAGGCGACTTTCGCCGGCACGCCCTGGTCCTTGTAGGCTATTGTGCTGATGCGGACGGAAGATCGCGCCGACGGTCGGCCGGGCTTGGGGGGTAGAGGTACGACAGAGGGCGCCGGGGCCGGCGCTCTACTCCCGAACCACGAGGACTTCTTCTCTTGAACGACCTCACTTGAAAACATCTCGGGCTCGTCCCTTCGACGCCGCCTTTCAGCCCTACTGCCAGTTTTTGAGGTTGGTCTCACTTGATCTGTGGTGATCGTGTACCGTCTCGCCGGCTGGCTGTGGATCGACTCCGCCGCGAAGCGCACGGCCGGTCGACGACCCACTGGGCTCTCCGGGACCACCGTAACGTCCACGAGCGTCGGTCTTACACCGACGGGGGCCTCGACCGCCTCGCCGGCGTGCGCCGCTTCCAATCGGTTGAGGGCGTCCCAGAAGACTAACAAATCACGAGCGGCCTGTCTGTCGTCGTCTGATGGTCTACCTTCTCCAGCAACGTTCTGACCACCTTCACTATCAGAGCTATCGCTGCTTTCAGAAGAATCTTCCGTCGAATAGTCGCCGACGAACTCGTCGTCATTAAGACGCTCGCGCCAAGATCGCGCGTCCCGGATGTGTTGCCGCAGCTGATTCCTCGACTCGAGTAGAGCTGGCGCTTGTTCGCCGGAAGTAGCAAGCACCCCGGCGTAACTCACTGGATCACTCAACTGCTGGAGCAGCTCGCGCATCGCCACCCGTCCAGAGACCTTCCTTTCCACAAGGGAGGAAGGCAGCGCGGCATTGCCTTGGGCATCTCTACCTTTCCAACCTCCGAGCTCGTCGACGAGCTCCAGACGTTTCTGCGCGAGCGACGCCCTTTTATCTAGTAACAGCAACAACTCCTTCTTCAGCACCCTCAGCAAATCCGCACATTGATCTAATTGGTCGAAGAGCTCATTTCTTCTCCTTCTGACCCCTCGGTCAATTTTCCGCAGCCCTCGGTATTCATCTTGCAACCGCTTCAAAGGTTGACCGTGCAAATCCAGTTTCTTCCGAGGTGAATCACAAACAGGAATGGTATAAAAGCGCGGCGCGATGCACTGCGAATAGGCCTGGTCGTCCTCGCGCAGGAATAACCTCTTGGCCGCGTGAGAACGGACACGTATAGCATCAATACGCACCACGATCTCATCTTTCACGACGGCTTCGGCATTACCAGTAGCGACCCTCCCGTCCCGCTTCGGCTTCACTAAGGTTAATTGCGTCTGCCTTCGCTTCGCGACCCGTTTGGGCAGCGCCTGCTGGCGCTTCTCGACGCGCTCCCGTCGGATGCGACTCTCTAAGGTTTCTTGGCCGTCGGCGGTCCGGCCGCCCGTGATGGCCGCCACGCTCAGGCGGCGGCCCTTGGACGCGTTGCTGGCCATGCGCTGGTGCATCGCGTCTGTGGGCGGCAGCGCTGGGCAGCCCCGACGGGCGCTGCGCTGGGGTTGTTGGGGAGCGCTTGCGACCGGTGCGGGCGCCTAGGTGCGCCCCATGGCTCGGCTAAGGTCCAGGCCTCTCCTTTGCAGCGCTGCCTTTGCGCGGGTTGGCACCTGGAGCCTACGCGTCCGTAAGAGTCCTCCCTAGGGCGTTTCGAACTTCCTGCAGCGATGGGTTTGTGGACGTGTCCTCCCCGGTTTTCTAGTGTCTTACAGCCGCTATGCCCACCGAGTCCAAAGCACTTTGGCCTTTGAGAGGTCATCTGAGGGCAATTAGACTCCTGATTAGCAGCAGTTGTGCACAACAATGCTCGGCGCGCTACCAGATGATATCAATTTGCACGTCGTAGACTTCTGCGCGCCGGACTGCGTCGGACCACTTGCGGTTTCATCGCGCGCGCAGCGCGACCTGCTGAAAAAAGACGACCTTGCTTGGTGCGGACGTCTTGTTGCGCGCTGGCCACGCGAGGGCGCGGCGCTGTGCTCGGTTCGGCCGCGCGCTACTGCGCGGCAACTCTACCGCGCGTTCGACACGAGAAAGGACGCGCGGACGAATATCCTCCGGCGCCCGGAGCGCTGCGTCGGCAACGAAGCATCGAAAAAGATCCTATACAGAAGGGACTGCGAGAATGCCGACCCCGACAGACTCGTTTTCATCGTCTGCGTCGGGCCTTTTGCCGGCGAAGCGGAGTGGGATCCGAATTCAGATCTCGCGGCGGGAGTTCGCTGGGAGCCGGACGCGAGCGAGACACGTTTCGACGACGTCAAGCTTCCTGAGGGCACCGAATGGCACAGGATGGGTTCCGAGGAGTGCGAGGAGGCCGTGGGCGTTCACGTCGCCCAGACTCTCCACGTCATCGACATGCGGACCCTGAGGTGCGTGACGCTCTTTTCGGACATGCTGACCTGGTCGGTCGAAGTAATGGATGGGTACGCCCGCTATGCTCTGCCCGAGGACGATGGCAACTTGCAGGCGTATTCCTCTGACACGGCCTTCTTTAGACATAATTTATTGACGGAATTCCCTGAAGATTATGGTTACGGCCGGCTGGAAAACTTATATGATGCCGGGCGCCTGGGCTCTGTGGGAGCCTATGCGATCGAGCACACCATGGCCGACCCCACACTCCAGCTTTTTCACGACGATTCTGGCGTACTGCGCCTGAAACATGTTCACGTGAACTTCGCTCACGGCAGCGCTTTCGTCACGATGAGGTCGCATATCGAAGTGAGTGAGTTTTTTATCGATATGATCGAGCAGACTCACGACGCTGCTTGGTTGAGAGCGCCCCACCCAGCCGATGCTACTGCTTGGTTTGACAATGGCAATGGGCTCGCCGACAACCGGCGTCGGGGCGTGCGCGAGATGGGACCAACCCCTTTGGCTCTCGCCGATGCCGGGGCGTGGTAGAAGCAACAGCCTTTAAATTATCACATTCACTGACCTTCCGCGCCATCGCCTCGCCGCTGCAGACACCGTTAACACCACAATTATTAACTACCTACTCACGAAGCGTCGAGCGCGTTGTAGTGCGCGAACGCGAGGAGGAACTCCGCCCCCGCCGCGCCGTCGCCCAGCGCCGCCACGCGCCGCAGATCCGCCGCCGCCGCATCAGAACAAAGGTCGCGCGCCAGGAGGTAGTCGCGGCCCTGGCGCCAGGCCTCCGCCGCCGCGTGCGCTTGTGCCGAAAACTCCGCGACCCGCTCCGGCAGCGCCTCGCGTTGTAACCACGCGTCGAAGCGTTGTAAGAACTCCGTGTTCTGCGCGCCGTAGCGCCCCGCCGCGAAGGCGCTGCGCACGGCTCCTAAGGAAGCGTAGCCGTTGGTCGACCGCCCGAGCGCCATCCCACCCACGTCGTCGAACGACGGCGTCGACTCGTCGCTCCTCTGCCTAGATTTCTTCTTCTTCTTCGGCTTCTCGTCGGCTAGTAGATCGGCGAGGGGGTCGCTCCGCTTCTTTTTTGCCGGCGGCTTCGCGGCCTTGGCGCGCAGCGCGTTGATGTCGTCGTCGTCGCTGCTGCTGTCGGAGGCGGGCGCCGGCGCGGGCGCGGGCCGCGGCGACGGCGCCCGCTCGGCGGCCGGCGGCGCGGCCCGCGGCGACGAGCGCGCCTTCTCAACGCACTGCGCGCAGCGCCAGTCGTCCGCCGGCACCTCTCCTAAATTCGCACATCCCAAATGCGCCTCGGCCTCGCACTCTTCGCACACGAGCACGTCGGCGAGCGCGTCGCCGTCCGCGTCGACGGTCGCCCGCTCGCAGTAGTCGCAGACGTCCCGCCGGTTGGGCTCCTTGTCCCGCAGCCGGGCCTCGCGGTCGTAGGCGCGCGCCGCCGCGAGCGCGGTCGGGAACATGCCGAGGTGGTGCGGCCCCTTGTCGTATATTTTCGCTTGGAACGATCCCGGCCTAGTCTCCGTCACGCCCTTGTACTCCGGGGCGGCCGCCGGCGGCGCGGCGTCGTCGTCGTCGGACTCGGCGGCGATGGTGCGCCGTCGCTTCGCCTTCGACGGCGGCGCCGCGGGCGCTTCGGGCGCCGACGGCGCCGGCGCCGGCGCGGGCGCGGGCGCGGACCAGACGCGGACGTCGGCCGTCGCCATGCGCTGCGTCTGGCGGTGGCCGCCCGTCTTCCAGTACACCTGCCAGGGCAGCGCCGCATCGACGTGCGGCTCCCACGCGCAGCCGAGCACAACGGACTCGCCTGAGGCAGGCGCGCGGGCCCACGGCTGCGCCCAGGCCGACCCCTTTTCGTTCCAGACCTCGAGGTTGTACACCAGGACGGCATCGGCGGGTAATTTAAAGCGCTGGATCCCGGGCGGCGCGGCCGTCGCCGGCGCGGCGGCGAAAGGGTGCGGTGCGGGCGGCGGCGGCGCGGGCGCAGGTGCCGGCGCGGGCGGCGCAGGTGCCGGCGCGGGCGGCGCCACGGGCGCGGCGGGCGCCGGCGCGGGCGCCTTCGCCTTGGGCGATGGTGCCGGCGCCGGCGCAGGCGCAGGCGCGGGTGGTGGTGCCGGCTTCTTCCGCGGCACGCACACGAGGGCCGGCTCTTCCTCCTCCTCCTCGGTGGTCGACGCGGCGGCGGCGGGCGCGGCGGCCGGCGGCACCGCGACCGTGCCGGCCGGCGCCGGCTGCTCGAAGGTCAACGTCATCGGCCGCGGCGTCTCCCTGACCCGCTCGCAGAAGGCGACCCAGGCCTGCCTGCCCATTAACGGTCGTATCGGCGTGCCGTTGACCGCGACCAGCGTCGCGCCTGCCGTGACGCGGCCGTGCGCCGCGCTCTGCGGCTCGACGCGGTCGACCTGCACCGACCCCTGGACCTGCTGCAGGTTGAGCTGCACGCGGAGGCGCTGCTCGGTGAACGTGACGTCGACGCGTACCGTAGCCATTGTTTCTTCGGCGGGACTCGCGTCGGCAGCGTCTGTCGGGCCTGTCTACGCGCGCGAGGGAGCACTGCGTGCACGCAAGCCACCAGTATGCCGACGCGAGCAGCACAGAGATTGGGCTCTCCCGACCAACTACGTGCTGGCGCAGCGCGCTCGTGCCCACGCGTTGCCACGCGCACGGGGTGATGCCGCAAACCGAAAACCGGCGCGCGGAGGCAGTACTTGCGCCCTTGCGGCACTTGTTTCGCAATTGGTTGCGGCGCCGGCTTGCTAGTGTCTTACATGCCGCTAGCTAAAGCGTCGAGCGCCCAAAAGCAAGCCGAAGCCTGCCTCCCGGGGCGCGACGCGACCGCAGCGCTCGCCAGGGACAACTTCGGAAGGGCCCGGGGGCTGCCCGACATGCGGCGGTCCCTGCTGTGCGCCCTATGGGCAGCCATCATAGCACTCACCAGGGCTTCCGTGGTCGACATCCTCAGCCGCGACCAACCGAAAGGCGAGTTATTGGTAGCGTTCCCCATCGCCACTGATGATGGGAGACAACTGGGTGATTTAGAATTTTATGAGAAGGACGCGGCCGTCGACGCCGTCGCCGCGTATTGTGCGAAAAACGAGTTACCGAGTTGGTTCCGGAAGATGCTCGCCGCGAAGGTCTGTGAACGCACGTTGGAGGCCGACAAAGACTTACTGGAGAAGTTACCGGTCTGTTGGAGGACACGAGCTCTCTACTATGAAGAGTCGATTCAAGCCCCGGATCAAGATCGAAGCTACCCCGGCAAGCTCGAGGTCTGGGAGGACGAGGACCCCACGAAGGCCGTCGAGTACTTCTTGTTGCAAGCGGAGAAGGAAATTCTCAAGAATCGCACGAAATGGGACGCGGAGCACGAGCGCTGGGAGAAGAATAGGACGCGGAATGTGGAGCTTGTGGTGGAGACGGAGCACGTCGCTCGTAGACGTTCAGAAAGAGATAAAGCTTTGAAACAGATCTCGGAGCTCGACTGGTTGCTGGATAACCATACCTTATCCGAACCGATGCGGGTGCCCAATGGCTGGTTCCGCAAAGCTTTAGTAGATCATGTCTGTTCTCTACCAGGATTGTCGTGTGAAGGTCGGCGGAAGCCTCTCCCAGAATTACCGATCACGGTGGACGGCAGTGACAAACCGAGGGGCGTGGTGCGGATGTTCGAGGGCGCCGAGCGGTGTCGAAATCACTCATACGTGACTCGCCATGCGGCGACGGCGTGGGGGGCGGGCGCCGTCGACGCGCCGTCCGCGCTCATACGCCATCGACGAGTGACGCGTCGCGGCGATGGCGTGGGGGTCGGGCGTACGCCATCGACGCGACGCGAGTGACGCGTCACCATCTCCGAAACCGCGCAGGCGACGAGGGCGTCGACGCGGCCTATTTTTTTGGGAAGCAGCACGGGCTGTCCTCCAAAGAGTTTCGCGAGAGTTTACTAGCTTATCTATGTACGCAGGAAGGTGTCTCGTGTACGAGAACGAAAGCTAGGGTGTTTTCTCGGTCTCCAGCGGACATCCTGGGCGTGCCGGAGATGGCCTACTGGCCGAATTTCGAAGTCTGGGAGGGCGAGGAGGCGACGGACAATGCCTTTGACTATGCTCGTAGATATGATCTTGATATCGAGCAGCGGTACGCGTTGCTGCATGCCGCCTGTAACGATGGCTTCGTCGAGTGTGAAAGAGGAGACCCCATCTCGTTCTTCTTCCCGGTGCACGAAGATGGCAAGGAGAAAGGGAGAGTCGAGATGTCGCCCTATCAGTTGCCAGGCGACGCGGTCTACGACTACTGCAAGCGCGAAAAGTACCTCCAGCCCAAATACACGAAGATGCACGTGCGCGCGAACCTGCACGAGACGTTCTGTGCTGCGCTGGAGCAGGATCGAGGCCTGACGGAGGCGCAGAGGATAAGTTGTGAGAGCGGGCCTCGCACGGCACGCGAGCCGCGCTTCGTGCAGGAGTTTACGGTGTCCGAACTCAAGTACAAGATGCCCTTTTATGATTCGGAGTTCCCGCCGTGTGACGGCCGACCGGGCCCGGATGGCTTGGACCCTAGTGATCCGCTGACGGCAGAAAATTGGACCGTTGGGTGCGTGCCGCGGGAGCTCCGGGCGGGCGAGGCGTTCTGCGGGCGGGTGCACCCCTACCCGCCCGGGTGCGGGCCGCACATGGCCGAATTTATTGCTACTTCATTAGCGAGGGCCGAACGGCGCTTGCCTGTGTGGAAATCAAATCTCGCGCGATCACGCCGTGCTTCTGTAGCTGCGTCTGCGCGATGGCGTGGCGATCCCACGCCATCGACGCGATGTTGTCTCCATGATGGCGTTAACCTAACTCACTGGTTGGTTTCCACACAGCCGCCGGTTCCAGATGACGTCGCCCTTCGGCTACGACTACTACCTGTCGCTGGCGACGCTGCGGGACGCGGACAACGACACGTTGGTCGATGCCTACCTGGCTGGCATGGCGCCGGTGGCGGGCATGCTGGCGGAGACGCTGAGGAATTTAACGGAGCTGAATGAGACGCTACGAGCTTCGCGAGAAACGCACTTGCACGCGCGACGAGCTCTCGCGCACGCCCGAGGGGCTCGGCGCGTCGCGACGGAGGCGTTGTACGACGCCGAGTACCGACTGAAAAGTTTGAGGGATGCTGTTTCTTCGGCTTTTGTAGAAGCCGGCTCCTTCGTCTCGCAGAAGCGGCTGTCGCCGGCGGACGCGGTCCGCGACGCCGCGATCTTATTCCCCCCCATCCCGTTTACACTGCGCGGTTCTAGGAAGGCTCTTGAGGAAGCAATCGATGATACGAATCGAGCCGACGAGTTACTCCATGCGGGCGATTTGCTCTTGGACGACGCGCAGATCTTACATGGACATGCAAGACCACAAGCGGACCACCTCGAGACCATGTCCCGCGTCTTCCGCGAGGGCTACGAAACGTTAACCGACAAAAAACGGCGCGAGACGCACGACAAGCCCTGCAAGAAGATTTTTGGAGCGTGCTGCGCCAAGGACACGGATAATGGGGGGAAGGACATCAAGTGCGGCGGGGACTTCGAGAACGCGGAGTGAGTAATGTTGTTGGTTGTGTTTTATCCAGCGGCGCGCGCGTCGCCTAGGAGTCGTCGCCCGTGGTCGTCTTCCACTCCTTGAGGCGGACCGCGAGCTGCTCGCGGTTGAGGCAGTGGAGCGGCATCCCGGGGCCGACGCCGTCACCCTGGTAGTTGCCGCGGTAGGCGTAGCACTCGCAGTGGATGGAGAAGCGCGACTTGGCGTAGCCGAGCAGGGCCTTCTTGCCCTGCGAGGGGCGTGACCGTCAGCTCCTGCTCAGTGCTGAGCCTCGCGGCTCGCGCGTCCGGCGTCCGCGGGCGACCGTTACGTCCGGCGCTGGCGCCGGTCCGGCGCTGTCCGGGCGCGACGTCCGCTCTGTCTGCCCACGGGCAGGTGGCTCTCGAGGCGCGCGGCACGCCGCGCCCGCGTCTTGTTTAAATCGCGCGGCAAACTGACAGACTTTTCATTCATGGCCAACGCGCGGTCGATCGTAGCTTGTTTGAGCGGCGCGGCGTTCTCCTTCGTCGCCATGAAGCCATGGTCGTTGTGTTCCGCCATGGTCCGTCCCTCTCGACGCGATTTACGAGTAGTTTGCGGTTGTCCTAGTGTGTCACATCTAGGGGTGCTCTCAGGCAGGCCCAGCCTGTCCGCGGCACACAGGTCGTGCTGAGACTCCGCGCGTGTCATTCGGCACAGCTGCGACCTCCAACGCTCACCGCCGAGCGTTTCCAGGCACCGTCGGGCGGCCACGCGCCCTACAGAAGCCCAGGTCACCAGGCTCAGAGCTCCTGCCTCCTCGTCGGCTTGCGACGCAATCGCTCCGAGCAAAGCCTCTCAGCCAGCGCCATGTCCAACAGCGCCCTCAAGCAGCTCCACCTCGAGGCCAAAAGCCGGAAGGGCCAGGGCGCCGGCGTGCCGTTGGCGCTGCCCAAGCCGCAGCCGCAGGGCGGGCCGCGCCGCCACCGCTCCTTCACCCGCAAGACCCCGGCCCAGAAGGTCTGACGCGGCGTCTTCGACGTCGTGGTACGCGGGACGCCGTCGATGCGACGCAGGCCTACGCCGAGAAAATCAACGAGGTCGCGCGGTCGGCCGAAGATTTGCTCAAGCCCCTCGGCGGGGCCAAGGCGGACGAGATCTGTGTCGAGCTCCTGAACGTGTGCCGGCACATCCGCCAATCGCCGGACAACCCGAAGTACAGCGTCATCAAGAAAGCAACGCTCCTCAAGAAGCTCGCCGGCGCGCGCAAGCCCGAGAAAGTCCTCCAGGCCGCCGGCTTCGTGACGCGCCGCGGCGACGACGACGGCCGCCAGATCGACTGGCTCGTCCTCGACGTCGTCAACGAGACCATGACCGCGCCGTCGAACCTGCAGAAGCTCGAGCGCCTCAAGACGTACCTCGACGCGGAGCGCCGCAAGCTCTCCGACGCCGGCGTCTCCGAGGCGTCGAAGCGCAAGCGCGAGAAGGACCGGCAGCTGCTCAAGTTCCACGACCAGCACCCGATGTCGGGCAAGAAGAAGAAGCCGCGGCGCTGAGTAGTGGTCTCTCCCCCTGTGCCATGACTATCACGAATAGTAACCGAGTCTCTTGATGGTGGTGTTTAGGCCCTAGACCTAGAACTTCGACTGGAGCTTCTCGGCGAGCGCCGCGTCCGAGAGGTCCGTCGCATCGAGTGTGTCGACGTCTCGAGTGTGCATGGGTGCTGTCCTTCGTGCACGCACAAGCCCTCTCGACGCCGCCGACGCGCCTCACGGCGGTGGAGGCGGCGGCGGCGGCGGCGGCGCGCTGGCGCGCGGCACCTGTCCGCACCGCTCGTCGCGCAGGTGCCGGAACAGGGCGTTCCTGCCCCGGAATGTTGCTCCACAGTTGCGGCAGGTATGCGTCTTGGGCGGCGGCGGCGGCGCCGTCGGGACGGCCGCCGTCGGGGCGCCGTACTTCTCTTTGGCCGCGCGGAGCGAACTCCTCAGGTCGTCCGGCGAGCGGGCGAGCGCGAGGACCTCGATCCTAGCCGTGGTGTGTTCGTGGCGACCGTCTTGTGTCTTGTGGATGCTCGAGATGGTCGCGCGATAGAGGCCCGGCGCCTCGGGCCGGCACAACGCGCAGCGACAGCAGGGGACTAAGAATCCGAAGTAGCACGAAAGGACTAATGGGTCCGGGTCGAACCTCGGGTCGCGGCCCTCGACGCAGCAGAGCGCGTAATGCGGGCTCGTGCACAGGCACGGGGCGTCGAAGGTCCGGATCCGAACGTCCTCGATCCTGAAGCCGTCCCACGTGATGGCGTTGACCTCCCCAGTAAATTCCCGGCGGCCGACCACGCCCTTGTCCGTGAACACCAGGGCCCTATCGGCCCAGTCGGGAAATGCCATGTCTTCGTGCGGTGTGCTCTTGCGGCAGCAGCAGCAGCACCAACACTCACACCAGAGTGGAGCAAGGCAATAAATAACAGCCACATAGGTATATACCATAACAGATACAAAGGTACACAACGGCGGGACGCAGCAAACCTCCACCGGATTACTAGCTCCGTCGACCAGTGCGAGGTTCCCGGGCTCGCCCCAGTGCGTGCGCGCCTTGGCCGCGTTGGCGGCGTCGAAGAGCCCGCGGTCCATGGCGAGGACGTCCACGACCGCGTCCGTGGACATCAGGCGACCCTCGATGCCCTCCCTGCCCACGTACTTGACGCCGCTCAGGTCGTTTCTCTGGAAGATGAGCGTCTTGGCCTTCGTCGCGTCCAACAGGCCCTTCTGGCCCTTCGTGAAGATGCCCCCCTTGACGTCATGAATGTTATAGGGCGTGGCGCCCACGCCGTCCACCGCCACGAGCTTAGCGCCCGCATGGACCCTGCCGAATAACGGTGACCCCGTGGCGACCCGGGTGACGACGAGTGGCCGCTCACACTCGAAGGTGAGCCCGAGTTTGCCCGGCGTCACCGACACGGTCTGCTCGGAGATGCAGAAGACCTCGCCGGCAGTTGTTGCTCGCACCGCTTCCTGCTCTGCCGGCTGCTCTACGACGACGCCCTCCACGACCACCTCTCCTGGGCTCATGATCTCTGTCGCGTCGGCTGCACCAGCGGGCGCGTCCTCGGCCTCGCACTGGGCCTCCTCGGCGTGGCGCTCGGCCAGTTGTTAGTTGTCTTGGCAGTGGGACCAAGGATTGCTGCTGCCCTGCCCCAGAGTCTGCAGAAGCCGCAATGGGCAGCCGCTACTGAGCGCAGCGAACAACTTCGCGACCGACTGTACTGCACTGAGTCTGCAGTGATGTCCAGTACGGGGCTAGTTCAAGACTCTCACTCCCCGGAGACACCGTTCGATACGCCGTCGACGCGACACCGAGTCTCTTGATGGTGGTGTTTAGGCACTAGACCTAGAACTTCGACTGGAGCTTCTCGGCGAGCGCCGCGTCCGAGAGGTCGGACGACTCCGCGCCCTTCTTCGTGTACGTCTTCTTGCCCGGCTTCGTGGGGTTCACGGAGAAGTCGCCCGTCTTCTGGACGGGTTTCGAAGGGGCCGATTTGGCGACGGGCGCCGCCTTCTTCTCGAGCTTGATCGACTGGGGCTTGGCCGCGCCGGGCGCCTCGCGCGCGAGCTGGTTCATCTGCTTGGCGCCCGCCTTGTTGGCGAGCTTCGACGTGCCGTCGTCGACGGCCGCCGCGGGCGCGGCCGCCGCTCTAGCTTTCGGCTTGGCCGACTCGTCCTTCAGCTTGAAGCCGATGTTGCCGCCGGTCTTGGCCGACGTCCGGTCCAGGGGCGCGGCCTTGACGGCGGGCTCGACGGCGAGGGCGCTCTTCTTCGCCGGCGCGGGCGCCGGCGCGGCTTTCGAGGCCTTGGCCTTCGGCGCGGGCTTCGCGGCGGCGGGCCTCGGCGCCGGCGCCTTGGCCTTCGGCGCGGCTTTCGCCTTGGGTTTGGCGGCGGTGGGCTTCTTCGCGGCCGGCTTCGGCGCTGCTTTTTTTACCGCTTTCTTCGGCGCCTGCGCGTGTGCATATTAACGAGGACGCGCCGACGGAAATGACACGGCGAGCGACGGCCTTCTTGGGCGCCGCTTTGGGCTTGGGCGCGGCCTTGCGTTTCGGGGCGGCCTTGCGCTTCGCGGGGGCCTTGCGCTTCGGCGCCGCCTTGACCGCCTTCTTCTTGCTGCTCGTCGCAGAGATTGTCGTCGTCGGCGCCATCGACGTCGCGGCGAACCTGCGTTGGCGCACTCGCGTCGGAAGCGAACACCGTCTCCGGTCATTTTCAGTCGAAACTGGTTCAACACTGCAGCGCACGCGACCTCGGGCGCACCGATCGTGATGGTGGCAAGCGACAGTGCGGCCGCGAGCTGTGCGGCGGGAGCCAGGGCAGCTAAGGGCTTGGCAGCATCATCTCTCGGCACAGCTTGCAGAGCCGGCGCTGCCACGCGAGCAGGCTGCGGTGCGATGAAGGCTGAGCTGCTGCCGAAGCATAAAGCGGCCACTGCTGCACGATACATCGTGTACGAAAGTGAGCAATTTGTGGATTTGCTTGACGAGGATGGCTCGACGCTCATTGAGGCAAAGCAGCTCGAAATCAAGGCTACGAGACCGCGGGCAGGTATATGACGGATAAACGACGTCTCGGGCAGCTTCGAGCTAGCGGCTGCAAGACACACTAGCCAAGCAAGAGCTCGAGTCGAAGTGCCTCGCGGCGCCCGTAACTGCAGCAATCGAAGGGTTTCGGCAGCCGTAAGCATCGCTGCGACAGGCGCAAGCACCGCTGCGACCGAACAACTGCATTGAACAAAGATGCATCGCCTAATGCTAGCACTGCTGCCATGCGCCATCGCCGCGGCAGCAAAGAGCGACCTCGCCTGCGCCCTCGACGCGACCATGGTCAACGCGACGACCTTTCCTTTAATAAGAGAAGACCTCGCCGCGTCGCTGCTCGCGGGTTTGTGTGGAGCGAACCGCGGTTTATTTGTCACGAGCCCGGGCGACGGTCATGTGTATGGCTGCGCCGCGTTCCCGCTGCAGTGGGCGCCCAATCATAAAGTAAAACACTGCGCCTCCACCGGTTTGTGCCAGTGCGACACGTGGGACGCGAACGCTGTCGTGCGGCAATTTGATGGTGGTAATTTGACGGCAGAAGAAGCTGTACATGTCTACGATCAGTACGTCGAGGCGGTCTACGCGTCGACGCCCGGTTCGAGCAAGGATCCTAGGGCGTGTGGCGCCGGCGGCTTCGCTGCATTAACGGGTTCCGAGTGTATCTCTACTACCGATTCATACAAGGCGGTAACATTACATGGTATCGCCGGCTTGGATGGCGCCGGTCATGCTGTGACAAAAACGCCGCATTCGTCGGACGACTACGCAGCGATGAAAGCACTGGGTTTGAATAGCGTCCGCGTCCCTGTCAAAGCCGAGGACGTTTCTTCGCTCGACAAAATTGACATGCGGGTCATCTTAGCGGTCTACGGCGACGCGGACGTCGATGTGAGTGATGCGGCGCTCGTCGAGTGCGACGCGGCCGCGACGAAGGTGCGCGCGGCGGCTAAAGCGGCCGGCGTGCCCGTGCTACTGAGAGTCGATTCCGAGGAGGCGCTGCGCTCTTATGATGAATCGGACGGCGTCGCCTACGAGATCTCGCGTTTGTTTTCTGTGTCCTTTTCTGCCTTCGTCGGCGACGGCGTGGGGGTGGCCTAGAGATCACCCCTGCCGTCCGCTCGAGCTCGCGAGTACGCCGCCGCCGCGCCGTCGCGCCGAGCCGCCCCCCGCCGCAGACGCGGCCACCGTCGTCGACGTCGCGTCGTCGTCGCCCGTCGAGGACCGCACGAAGCTCTTCTTCCACGAGGCCACGGCTTGTATGAGACCGGCGTCCCGTTTTGCACTTCGAAAAAACGGTCCGAAGACGATCCGCTGTGGGTTCACCGATTCGACAGAACGTGCGGCACAGAACACACGATTCACTTGATAGTACCTTTCCGAGGACCTCTCGTTTTCTTTTGACGAGTGTTGGGTGCCGGACCGCCCTCACGCATCATCACACGCAGGCGGCGACGCGGCGCTCGCCGGCTTCGTGGCCTGTCGCAAGCGCGCGCCCTTCTTCGTGCGGAGCTGGTCGCTCGCCACGGACGACTGCGACGCGACCGACGGCGGCGCCTACGGCGAGTGCGCCCATTTGGACGACAGGATGGGGAGCCCCTGGTGGGCGCGCCATACTCAATCGTTCGCGGCGCGGCAGCGGGACGCCTACGAGCGAAGCGGGTCGCTGGGGTGGTCCTTTGGGGCGTGGAAATTCGACGAAGCGACAGAAAGCGCCATGCACCCGGCCGTCCTCGCGCAGCGGTCGCTGCGGGCGGCGTCGCAGGCGGGCTGGCTGCCCGATCTTTCTGCGAAGCCGGCGCTGCCCCCTTGCTTGAAAGCGCCGGCCGCGGACTTCGCGCTCGGCGACGCGACGGCGCCGCCGTCGGCCGCGCCGCCGCCGCCGCCGCCTCCCGTTGTTCCTCAGGACTGGCCCGTCGAGGCCGCGGCGCCTTCTGGTAGAGTGGCCGCGGCTTTAGGGGGCTTCGGCTGCGGCGCGTTGCTCGCGACGATGGTGGTGATGGCGTCGCGGAAGCGGGGGGCGGTGTCCGGATACGAGGCCGTCTAGATTGTCCATATTTAAGTTCGTTCGTTTTATGCACCTTTCGCTATCTTTATCGGCGGCGGGCGCGTGCGGCGTCTTGGGTTGTCTATGAAGTTCGGGCGCTACACGGCACATCGCCGCATCCAGCACGCTTGCGGGGCTCGCCAGCAGGCCTCTTCGCCCACCTGCCCCACCCCTTTGTATGTGGCTTCGTTGCTTCGCTTCCGGACGCGCGCGCGGTTTCTTCCAAACCGGACTCGGGCTGCAGCGCAGATCACGGGGCAGCCCCGTCGATCTGGGGACTGTCGAATGGGGAAATGCCGTCCTTGTTCACGAACCTAGTGGCATTTCCGTGAGGATTTTGGTGGAGGGCTCCCTTGGGCTTCATCGTCGGACGGCACGGGAGGGGCGTACAAGGCGCCCCTGCGGACGAGTCGACGCGTAAGGGAGCGAGCCGCACGCGCAAAAGACAGAAACCACGCTCAAGCTCGATGCCACGCAAGTCGACCGTCAGGACCTGCTAATCTCTGTTTTGACAGCCAGAACCAAACCAGGTGCCCGCAACGCACCGCACCAGCTACGTCTACCATCTCAGCGGCCTATCGCAGCTCCTCGTGCAATTTCCTCGCGCGTCCGCAGCGATAAGGCGCGCAATCCAACTTGCTTCGAAAGCAGACACAGCACCACTAGACGCCATGGCGCAGCACTGGCTCCTCGCGACGCTCGTCGCGACGGCGCTCGCCCTCGTCCCGCCCGCCCCCACGGCGCCGGGCCTCACGAAACTCTCCGCGTACGTCCCGAGCGGCACGTCCCGGCGTACAAATCAAATTTCGCGGCGTTTCAAACTCCGCCCCCGGCCGCGTCGTGGCCTCCACGCCGTCGACGCGGCGCCTGCGCGACGGCGGGGCGGGGCGAGGCTCTGCTTGCGCAACAAAACTCACCGGTCGACGACGCGCAGGCATGTCCGCCGCCGAGTGGAAGAAGATCCAGGATAAAGAAAAGAAGCAGCGCACGGGCAAGAACTTCGGCGCGGGCGGCGCGCGCGGCTTCAAGAGCCGCTCCTTCAACTCGTTCGTCGACGCGATGGAGCGCGGCGAGGCGACGCATTTGTTCGCCGTGAACCCCGACGAGGTGCGCAAGGGCAACATCGCGCTGAAGGACGTGCCCTACATGCAGCGCGGCGGGTCCTGGGACAACTCGGACCTCAAGGGCAAGAAGGGCTGGATGAAGACGGGCTTCGGCATGACGGCCTACAACGACGGCAAAGCGGAGCAGAAGCGCGAGCTCGCGTCGGACAAGAAGTACAACAACATCAAGCCCGACATCGGCTTCTTCGGGGAGGCCCTGAACTGGGGCGGCGGCGCCAAGGGCGACGACCTCGCCGCGCGCGCGAAGCGCAACGGCCTCACGAACGACCAGCAGATGTGGCGCGACTCCGGCGCTTTGTCGCAGCAGGAGATCAAGCGCATGAACTCGGGCCGCCGCATGATGGGCGCCGCGCCCAAAATCACGCCCGGCGGGCAGAAGGCGCCGGAGAAGAAGTTCTTCGGCCTCTTCTAGAGGGCGCCTGCCGCTTCCTCGCCTTTTGGCGGGGAGGGCGCCCGCCGTATGTAAACCAAGTATATTTTATAGGCCTCGCCGGCGGCGTCCTTTCCCTACGGGAGAGCACCTTGGCCCGTCCGGGCTCAAAAAGCTAGTACGCTTTTTCGTGCGGGTTGGGAGCCATGGTCCTCGGAGCTTGTTAGGAGCTTGTGGCATCCAGGCTCACTCCTCCCGGAGTGGTCCGACTGCAGCTAGCGGCCTGTACACTAGCAAGCCGCCATGGATGAGCCCATCAGCGTGCCAGACTCGATAAATTCGCTGCCCCAGCGCGAGCAACACGTAACGATGATGGGGTCCGCAGCGCTTCTGTGCGTGGCGGGCTTATCAGAAGCCGTGGCTGGCAGCTACGTCATGACCGACAGCACCATCAGGACGGCCGTCGCGGAGTGGCTCTCGAACAGCGCCGCCGCCGAGGCGACGTACGGCCACATCTCGACGTGGGAGACCGGGGGGGTGACGGACATGAGTTGCCTCTTCGTTGCAGCATCAACTTATTATTGCGATTACGTAAACACGGCCGCGGCGTCCTTTAACGAGGACATCGGCGCATGGGACACCTCCGGCGTCACAAGCATGGGAATGATGTTCCGAGGCGCATCGGCCTTCAACCAGGACATCAGTGGTTGGGCGGTCCACAGCGTCAAGGACATGACCTTCATGTTCATCTACGCCTCGGCCTTCGACCAGGACCTCGGTGGTTGGGCGGTCCACAGCGTCACGGATATGAGCGGTATGTTCTACGAAGCCTTGGTCTTCGACCGAGACATCGGTAACTGGGCGGTCGACAACGTCAAGACCATGGACTCTATGTTCCGGTACGCCTCGGCCTTCAACCAGGACATCAGTGGTTGGGCAGTTCAAAGCGTCACAAGCATGTCATCTATGTTCCAACACGCCTCGGCCTTCGACCAGGACCTCGGCTGGTGCGTGGACGACGGCGTTAATTTTGACTCCTGGCCCTGGAATGGTCAATACACGATTCAAGACGCGTTCTCCGGCACCATGTGCGCGTCGACCTTGTGCGGCGTGGGCGTTAAGGACGTGAGCTGCGGGCCGACGCCGGCACCGACGACGACGCCCGCGCCGACCGCAACGCTAGCGCCCACGGTTACGCCCCTGGTCGCGGACGACACCACCATCCGCACTGCCGTCGCCGCGTGGCTCGCAGACGCGACGGCCGCCAAGGCGACGTACGGTCATATTTCTAGGTGGGAGACTGGCGGGGTGACGGACATGTCGTGGTTGTTTTGCGGGTCTCAATACCATAGTTCCTCGGGCTGCAACACTGCCTCGGCGTCCTTTAACGAGGACATCGGCGCGTGGGATACTTCTGGCGTCACGACGATGTACAACATGTTTTCCTCCGCCTCCGCCTTTGACCAGGACATCAGCGGTTGGGCAGTTGGCAGCGTCATGAGCATGGATGCGACGTTCGACGCGGCCTCGTCGTTTAACCAAGACATCAGCGCGTGGGACACTTCCGGCGTCACGAGCATGAAAGGGATGTTCTACCTCGCCTCGGCATTCGACCAGGACCTCGGCTGGTGCTTTGACGACGGCGTGAAAATGAGCAGTGCGTTCTACGGCACCCCATGCGAGTCGACGTCGTGCGGCGTCCAGCAGAATGCTGCAGGCACCTGCGCGCCGACGCCCGCGCCGACGAAGCCCGCGCCGACGCCAGCGCCGACGACGCCAGAGCCGACGACGCCAGCGCCGTCGCCAGCGCCGACGACGCCTGCGCCAACGACGCCTGCACCGACGCGCGCGCCGACGACGCCCGCGCCAACGCCCGCGCCGACGACGCCCGCGCCGACGACGCCCGCGCCAACGCCCGCGCCGACGACGACGCCTGTGCCGACGCCGGGCGCCCTGGGCAGCGACGGCGCCACGACCCGCTCCGTCGCGTTCTGCCTCGTCACCATATTCCTCGGCGCCGCGCTCTCCTGGTAAGTAAGTCGAGTTTATATTTACTCGCCCCCCCCGGGCCGGGCCGCGACGGGCGCCTATGCGCTCGCCGACTCCCCGCCCGACTCGTCCGACTCCTCCTCGCTCGACTCGTCGTTGCCGGCGAGGGCAGCGGGGTCGAATTTGGGGTACGGGAAGGGCTCGAAGGGCAGGACGCTCTGGCGCCGGCGCGACGAGCCCACGCTGTCCGCCGTGCCCGCGTTCAGCGTCAGCAGCAGCTCCGCGAGCTGCTCGACAACGCGGCCGCGGCCGGAGCCGTCCTCGGCCTCGGCGGCCACGTCGTCCGCGCCGCCGCCGCGCTGCGCGATGACGGCGTCGAGGGCCGCGGCGTAGTCCTTCATCAGCTTCGGCTCGGCCCCGGCGGCGAGGGCGGCCCGTGCGGCCTCCCTGGCCTTTTTGTACTGCTTGCAGCGCATCGACGCGAGGAGCTGGCGCAGGGCAGCGTCCTGCCGCTCCGCCGCCGTCGGGGCCGCCTTGTCCGCCGCCATGGGCCTCGTAAAAAGGCGGCGCACGCCGACGAGACGGAAGGCGCAGCAGAGTCTGTCAGAGAGCGTCGTCGAGTGCCTGGTCCGGGGAGGCGTCGCCTGCGGAGGGCTCCCGGGCCGAGTGCTGCTTGGGTCTTGCGTACTTGTAGACGCAACATTTTGGGGCAAACATTAGCTGGGATCGCTAAAATGCCAGTTCCGCTGGCCGGGCCCGGGGAGCTGCGCCTAAACCAGCGGCCCTCGCTGCGCGCCAGGACATCCATCAGCGCACCAGAGGACGGCAGAATGAAGCTCATCGTGCTCGCGCTAGCCGCCGGCACGGCCGTCGCCGAGTGCCCGAACGTGAGCAGCAGCGTTGCAACAAAGGCCGGCCAGAGAAAGGCTGCCGCCCGGGAGCGCCCCGCAAGAGGCAGCCCCCGCCGTCCCAACGCGGGCTCGGGCACCCCCGCTCCCACGGAAACACACAAACGCGCCGCGAGGGGACCCCCGTCCGCGCGGACCGCCCGCGCCGCGCGCCCGGACGTACCAACCCACAAAAAACAACCCCGCTCGCGCCGCGCCGGCGGCGACGGACGCATAAAACCCATAAACCGCACGAGAGACACCGCACCGCGACGCGAGGAACGCATGAAACAAGAGAGACCGCTCCAAGGCCGGACGAACTAACCCATAAAAAAACGCGCAGGCGTGCTCGGGCCACGGCTCCTGCGGCGCCTTCGACGAGTGCGCCTGCTTCCCGAACTGGCAGGAGGCCGACTGCTCCGGGCGCACCTGCCCCTTCGCCGCGGCTCATGTGGATACGCCCAAGGGCGACCTCGACGGCTCCGCCGACGCGCTCTCGGGGCCCGCCGCGGGCGTGAACACCGTCAACAACGTCGTCGTCGGCTCGATGGTCTACCCGCACGGCACGACGGAGCAGTACCCCTACATGGCCGACTCGGCGGGCACGCAGCTCACGAACACGGGCCACGCCTACGCCGAGTGCGGCAACAAGGGCATCTGCGACCGCGGCAGCGGCGAGTGCGAGTGCTTCCCGGGCTACGCGGGCGCGGGCTGCCAGAAAGCCACCTGCGCCGACCCGACGTGCTCGGGCCACGGCATCTGCATGAACGCCCAGAACCTGGCCGCCCAGGACCACGACAACGTTTATAATCTGTGGGACGCCGAGGTCGGCTTCTCGTGCCTCTGCGAGCCGGGCTATTCCGGCCCGACGTGCGCCTCCAAGATGTGCAAGTACGGCATCGATCCTTTGTATTACGACGACGACGTCATGGCCGTCCGCGCGCCGACGGCGCGCGTGTCGTTCTCCGTGGGCAACCTGACGGGCACGAAGGCCGTCGGCGACGCGGCAGCCTTCGGCGCGGCCCGCAAGAGCTTCCTCGAGGGCACGTACGCCATCAAGTTCTACGATGCTTTTGGAGAGGACTACGAGACCGCGCCGTTGAGCGTGGGCGCCAAGTGCCCCGAGGTCGTCGCGGCCCTGGAAGGCATGGCCAACGACGTCGTGCCGAAGCACGGCGTGGCCTGCACCATGCGCGGCTACACGAAGAGCGACAAGCCGGTGAACGGCAAGGGGCCGGGCCTCCAGACCGTGGCCTACGATTTAGTTTTTGAGGAGAACCCGGGGGACCTGAAGCCCATCGAGGTCAACGCCTACCTCGACGGCGAGCGCCCCACGGTCTACCTCGCGGACGGCAATTCCACCGACCAGGAGTTCAACGTCGACATCGACGTCTTCCCGAACTGGAAGGGCATCTCCGGCGAATTCGTCGACTACTTCCCGAGCATCTGCCACGGCGTCCAGTTCATGGTCGCGAAGACGCCGCAGAATGAAAGGACGCTCGGCGCGGCCTTCACCGATTCCAACAGCGGTTTGTCCGCGGACGAGGAGAAGCTTTTGAAGGCCTGCCTGGGCGACGCCGACGGCAACGCCGACAACAACCTCGAGGTTTATAATTGGGACTACGGCACGCCCAATTCCACCAACACGCCCCACATCGTGAAATTAGCGCCGACGGACGACTCGAAGAGCGGCATGTACGACGCGGGCACCTTCAACCTCGTCTGGTACGGCCGGGCCAACGACAACGCCGACGCCTCGACGAACAAGTTCTACTTTAGCGGCCTGCCCACGTCGGACACGAATAAGAAGTTCGCCGTCTTCCCGACGTCCGGCGTCGCCACGGTCCTCGCAACCAATAAAACGGCCGTCACGGCCCGCTTCGACCGAGGCGCGACGAAGGTCTACACGAGCTACGACACGTCCTGCCCCGAGTTGGGGATTGGCCACATCAACCACGAGACGATCATGAACGCCTGCCTCAACAAGGGCGACAAGGTCTTCCTCTTCAACAACCGCTTCGACACGGCCGACGCCGGCTACGGCGACGGCGACGGCCTGACGGACGCCGAGGTCGACCAGTCGGCGACGGCGGGCAACATGTACGAGGTCGTCAAGGTCGGCGTCGACGCGCCGTCGGCCACCACCGCCACGACCGAGGACCGCTTCTACTTCGTCGTCGACAAGGCCATCAACTGGGACGGCTCCGCGACCGCGGCGCGCTCGACGTCCTCGTCGTCCCTGACGGACAACGGCCTCAACGCCGTCGAGGCGGCGTGGCTCTCCAAGCTCGGCGACAGCGCGACCGTTTCTCAACTCATCGGCCTGCAGACCATCGTCAAGTTCGACACGTCGACGGCGGAGTCGTACGAGTACGTCGCGCAGTGCTCGGGCCGCGGCCTCTGCAACGAGGGCAACTGCGAGTGCTTCGCGGGCTACACGGGCGACAACTGCAACCTCCAGTCCGCGCTCGCGTCCTAGGGCGCGCGGACCCCTCCCCCCGCGCCCCGCCGCTTAAGTCCGGGTGCCTCTATATCCTGCAGTTCCCTTCGCGTCCGGGTTGCCATCGTCGATGTCGTCTCGAGCCGGGCGCGACGTGCCGGGCGATTCTGGAGCATGGTAAAAAAAAGTCGGATATTTTTAAAATGGTCAAGTCGGTCGATCATGAATCCAATACCGGTCCCTATGTCCTGTGTAATAGTGGTGTCGCTGATATATTTTTGGTTTTAATCCCGGCCCGTTTAAAATACCTTACCCCCATGACGACGGTACCGCACGGCTTGCGGGATTTTTTGGAGAGTGGTCAAGTCGGTCGATCATAAATCTAATAGCGGTTCCTATGTCCGGTGGAATACCCCCGGTCGCTCTGATAGTCGCAGCTTTAATCCCCCCTGCCGTTTTACCTTACCCTATGAAGTACATAAGTATAGTACCTCTTGCGGCCCGAGCCGGCCGCTCCCGCACATTATTTCATAAATTCGAGCGCCGAAGCGGTGCGCCGCGGCTGCGCGAGCAGGGCCGAGCACCCGCGCCGAGCACCCGCGCCGAGCACCGGCGCAACCAGCCTGCGGCGGCAGCCCGGAAGCGCCCGCGGGGCAGCCCGACATGGCCGCCGCGACAACGAAGGAGCCGCACCTCTTCAAGTACATCATCATCGGCGATACGGAAGTAGGCAAGTCGAGCCTCATGCTCATGTTTACCGAAAGACATTTTGGGGAGGCCCACGACATGACGATCGGTCCCGCGCCGGCGCCGTATCTCGCCGTCCCGTCGTGTGGAGGTGCCTTCACGCCATCGACGCGCGTCGTCTTCTGGAGAATAAATGGTTGCTTTCCGCGCAGGCGTCGAGTTCGACAGCCGCGCCGTCAAATTAGCGGGAGGCGAGGCCGCGAACCTGGAAATCTGGGACACGGCGGGCCAGGAGTCTTATTTATCTATTACACGAAGTTATTATAGAGGAACGGACTGCTGCTTGCTCGTCTACGACGTGACCCGGAGGGAGTCCTTCGACCATTTGGGGCGGTGGCTGCAGGAAGCGCGGCAGAACGCGGCGAACCCCGATTTGGTATTAATGCTCGTCGGGAACAAGGCCGACCTCGAGTCCAAGCGCCAGATCTCGCGCGCGGAGGGCAAGGCCTTCGCGGACTTGCACGGCATGCTCTTCGTCGAGCTGAGCGCCAAGAACGAGAAGCTCGTCGAGAGCGTCTTCGTCGAGTCGGCCCAGCGCGTGCTGAACGTGCGGCGGGACAACCCTCGGCAGCGGGGCCCGAACATTGCTCTGGCCCAGCCGTCCCGGCGAACGACGGACTACGACTACTGCGGCTGCGGATGATGAACAACGCGTAAGTTATGTTCCTAGCGAACCTCCTAGCGAGTGGCCGCTCAGGACTTAGCAGTGTTCAGCTCGTCCAAGACGACGACGTGTCTGGCATCGATCACGCCGACGACGGCGTCCAGATCGACCCTCATCGAATCGAAACGCGCGTACTGCGATGAACAACGCGTAAGTTATGCTCCTAGCGAATGCCCGCTCAACCCGTCGAAGGACGCCGAGTCCGTCTCCATGACGTCCAGGTCCGCGACATCCACTACCACGACCGCGTCCAGGTCGACGCGCGTCGCGTCGAAGCACGCGTACTCCGGGCGCCGCGTTTCATGGGGACGCAGCGCCCCCCGCCGCTCCCGGTCCACCAACGCCACCAATCGATCCCTAGCCGCCTTCCGCCACGCCGCGCGGCCGTCCGCGTGGCCTTTCACGTCGCGCCATCGTATAGATTTCACGGCGCCGTAGACTGCACGCAATTCCACAACGTCCAGCTGCGTGCAGTCGTACTTGCGCGTGAGGTCGGCCTCGTGCATACCGCTTAAATCTTTCGCGGAAGCGTGAACCAGCCACAAGGCCGGCGTGTGGAAGACGCGCCGCGCGAGTTTTCTCGAAGCGTCGAGGTTGTCGGGCAGGGCCGAGGCGTAGAGCCGTCGCAACACCTTGATCGAACTGTTGGAAACGTCCCGCGGCACCAACCTTCTAGTCCGCGCGAGCGCCAGCGCGTTCGCCGGGGCCTCCCGCAAATCCCACAACTCGTTGCGCTCTTCTTCTCTTACTTGCTTCGAGGCGTGGGAGTCCAATTCCAAGTCGAGCGCTTCGAGTTTTGATGCTACAGTAGTATCACCGGCCAATAAGCGCTGCGTGCAGGCGCGCATGTCCGCCTCGACCTCGTGCAGGGTCCGCGCTTCGCCCTCGATGGCGGCCTCTTCCGCTTCGACGGCCTTCGCGGCGTCCTGCAGCGCGCGTTTCAGGTTCGCCAGGGATTCTTCGAGGTGAGCGTACTTGTTCAGTGGATTCTCGGAGTAGTCCTCATTCGTCGCCAGGGCTAGTCTAGCTGCGCACTCGGCCGCTAAAGAATCCACGGCCAAAGCTCGTTGCGCCGCCAAGGCTCTCCGGACGGTGCGGGACTCCTCCGGTGGCGTTGTGGGGGCGTCGCGGATGCGCGCTGGCCGCTGGCGCAGCTGCTTCCGTAGATCCTCGAGGCTGTTGTTGCGCTTCTCCCAGGTCATGGCGCCGTCGCGCGGCGTCACGGCCGGAGGCTTTTGGGCCTCGGCCCGGCGCTTCCTCTGGGCCAGGACGACGGGGCTCACCATGGCCGCATCATCATGAGCTGCCGGGCGCGTGGCGTCGTCGGCTGCCCCCATCGTCGACCTGTCCTTGGTGCTGGCAAGTGCTCTGCTCGCGGTCCCTTGTTCGCGCGGCAGCCGCGTCCACGGTGGGATGTGGTCCCCGCGGCTCGCCGCGACGGCGTTCGGCGCGCGGGTCTATCGTCTCCTCATAGGCGCTTTATGGAGCGCCCTCTCTGCGTTTGAGAGAGCCGCTGCTGGGGCCCGAGCGCCCCACCGCGTCGGAGGGACCTCGAGGTATCCTCGGTCGCGGCCCGAGTACTAGAGGCGGCGGGGCTCTCGCGGCTACTAGGGTTTGGACGGACGGCGCTAGCTGCACTCTGTGCCGCTAAAAAGCCTCCGTCCCGGGAGCCAGTAGCACCCGGGCAGCCTCGACGCACGGGAGAAGCATTCGTCACGCCCGTGACCCGGCGGCCATCGCAAAAGCCGCGCAAACGCACCGCCCCGGGCGCCGATTTGGGCAGCCTCCTCTCGGCCACCACAAGCTAGCAAGCACCGACGCGGCCCGCCGCCGACGAGCGTTCGGCAAGTACCGGTCGGAGCCATGCGCGGCGCCGACGTCGCCCGCGGCATGCGGCCGAACACGTCCTATCCCCTACGAACGCGCAAGCCGCCGCGCGCGCCGGCCTTCGACCAGTTCTCGGAAGAATTCTACGACCGCGCCGGCGCCAAGAGCCTACTCACAACGGCGAACTGGCACGCCGAAGCGCTCGAGCAGCGCGACCTGCTGCGAGGCAAGACGTGGCATCCGAGTTATGGCGTCGATTTTCAAAGGACGCAGAAATTGTTTAGACAAGCCAACTACGCCGCCGACGCGTTGCGGAGGTGGCGGCCGCAGCGCGACGACCCGCACAAGCGAACTCGAAGAAGGCGTCGACCGTCGACGACCGGTACGCGAGCGGTGGCCTTTGAACCTAGCTCGTCCAAGGGCTGGGCCCACGCCGCCACCGGCGCGGAGTCCGCCCAGGAGGCGTCCCAGAGATTCAATTTGCGAGACGTCGAGGCTCTCGCGAAGATCGACTCGCCGCCAATGCCTTTGGCGTTGGCCGGTGCCGCGTTACTCTTACTAGCTGTGCGAGAAGTCCCGTTTGAAGAGTTAACGTGGCCCCACTTCGTGAAGTTCGTGGACCGCTACGGCGCCGAATCACTCGTCGCGGCGGTCCGATCCGTCGACGCGCGGGAAGTTCCGGACTTCAAGAGGCGAGCCCTACAACACTTTTTGGGCGACGACGAGCCCGACTTTTCGCTCGTCAACAAAGAGTGCGAGCGGGCCTGGTTCCGGGCCGACGCCTGGATTCGAAGCGTGTTGTACGCCGCGGACGCGGCGGCGGCGGCGCGCGTCGGCGCGGACGAAACTGCCCGAAAAGCCTCGAGACAAGCTTCACGTCAAAGTGAGAGAGCGAAGGAGCGGCCGCCGGACCGTGTCGCGACGCCGGCCGGCTGGCCCGCGTCCATCAAAGACAGTGTGAAAGCACCAAAGACGGGACGCCCGGACATCGTCCTATCATCGATCATGCGCCCGAACTTCGGGCCCGACCCCAACCGTAAGGAGAGCGCTCCCGTTGGAGAGGAGGTCGTCCTGTCGACGACCACAAACTATCCGACCACATATACGCACGCCAAAGATTTGAACAGAATAGCTTCCTCCAATTGGCTGGTCACGGCCCTCAAATGTAACAGTAGGAAGAAGAGCGGCTATGTGGTTAGGGCGTATCATCCGGGTGCGCGCGTTTCGGTCGAATTGCATGTTTCTCAAGAAGAGGCCGCTAGGCGGGCGCGGTTCGCGCGGAAATCGCTCAAGCGGTGGGCGTCCCGCAATCTAGTGAGGGAGGTGGAGATGATGCGCATCAACAACAAGCTGAAACTGCGCCTGCCGAACGCCGAATTTCGGCCGCCCGCGGCGGCCGAGGCGCGGCCGTTCTTTTTGGTGCGCATGTCGAGCCGGTACTAGGGAATCGGTGGCGGCGTAATCAGGCATATATTTTAGTTCATGCTTAAAGACGCGAGGGGGGAATTCAAGAGCCTTCCGCCAAAGCCGCCGGCACGTTGATGTGGTAGTACTCCTCGACGAGGCGCTCGCAGATGTCGATCCGAATGACCTCCCAGAGGAACTTGTACCGTCCCCTCTCCGCGTCGTCCGTCGTGGCGAGCCCGGGCCGGAGGACCGGTTCGCCCGGCGGATGGAGGACGCCCGGCGGGCCATCCCCGCCCGCTGTAAACGGCCGGTCCGGGCCGGTTCGTCGCAGAAGCGGCTCGACCACCAAATCCGCCATCAGCGGGTTCACCCAGTGCAGGCGAAAGAGAGCCTCCACGAGGTCGAGGCCCGGCCCCGCACCGTTAACGATACGGGGCATCCCCGCCGGCGGCAGCGGCTTCGACACCACGTGGCAGCTGCCAGCAATTCGGTTGAGGTCGAGGCTTATCAACGGCATGATCGTGTGGGCGTTTCCCGCGCCGGCGTCGACGACGATTGCCATGCGGGGGCGACTGGGTTGGTTTGGATCGGAGTTAATCGCAAAAAATGCGTCCCAGTGCCGGCGAATGCATTCATCGGAGCACACGTAGACGTCTAGGGGCTCGGCCGCGTCGTAGTCATACTCCGCGAAGTTTGGGCACGCGTCGAAGTCGCCGCGGTAGTAAGGCTTTCCACTAAACGCTGCGACCCATTTGCCGAGGTCCTCGTCCCGCGCGACGATGAGCACGCGATGTTTGTGGCCGTTCGTGGGCAGATATTCGGCATACGTGACGTAGCTCGCGACACTCGACTCGCCAGCGTCGACGACATGCGCTCCTCGTGTGCGGCCTAAGCGCCGCAGGTGATCGGCAACCGGGTCACCCTGCGACGCGGCCGTCACGGCCGCTGCGTTCTGAGCAATCGTCTCCTCCATGCTATCGTTAAAGTCATCCATTCTAACATGGGCCTCAGCGACCGCGTCCGGTCCCGGCTCGTCCCAGAAGGCGTTCTCTATAAGCTCCCGCCGCTGCACCGCCAAGGTGCTCCAGCGCACACTCACGCACGCCGCGACGCGACTTTGGATGAGGCAGAAGTCGAAGCACTCGATGACGCGCCCGGCGATGTCGTTGCCCAAGAGCTGGCCGACGCGCTCGGCGGCTGACATAGTGTTGACGCGCGGCGGTTTGGCGGTAGACATTGCGATGAGGGGGGAGCAGAGTGGATTGAGCTTGGCGCAGTGATAACGCTGCTCTTGTAACAGATGCAGCACAGGCGCAGCGCGAGCACTGAAAACGCGAACGTATTGTAAAGAGCGGCGATGAGCAGCAAGCACAGCGGAGGCGGGAGCCAGCCAAATCGAGCTTGTTTTGCTTGCTAGTGCCTTACAGCCGCTAGCTCGCGCGGGTTCCACCGGTCGCGCGACCAGGGACCCATCCGCGACCATTCCACGAGGCCTCCGCAGTGCTAGCGGCGGGTCGGCCCCAGCGCCCACTCAAAGCAAAGAGCCCAGCGCGGCTGCCATCGAGCGCGGCCGGGGCGCTCGTCGGCCAGGCACGGCCGCAGCGCGTCGCAGCCGTGCGCTCCTAGGCGACGCCGACGGCTTGCTCGGACTCGTGGCAGCACCGAGCTGCGGGGCAGCCCTACCTCTGGGCAGCCCCACCTCTCCCCATCGATAGCAAGGCAGATCACTAGAGGCCGCGCGCCACGCAACAGCCACCATGGGCGTCGCCTCGTCCACGCTCATCATGCGCCAGGTCGAGGAGGGCTCGAAGACGGAGCGTTTGAAGGAACTCGCGGAGCGGTTCGCGTTTTTCCAGAGGTGGTCTCTCGTGGACGTGCGCCGCGCGCTAGATGAATACGGCCACTGCGCGCACGCGTTTGAGAGCAGACCGGGCGAGGCCGCCGTGCCGCACCCTAAGCGCGAGGCCGCGGAAGTCCTCGGTGACCAGACGTCTTGGGAGGACTACTACCGCGTGACGTATGAAATAGAAGAGGAAAGACATTTAGATGAAGCGGCCAAGAAGCGACGGACCTGGCACCCCGCCTCGAGGGACTACGTGATGGCTATCGATGAAGACGCGCCTCGGAAGCTTAGTAGACATCGGATGTTCCTCGAACGCATAGAAAGAGGCGACCCCGAGACCTTTGAATACACGGGCCACACGGACGACGAGGACGACGAGGACCTTGAGTCGGAGGATCTAGGACCACTCGCGTTGGCGCCGGCCCCGGCGCCCGCGCCCTCGCCAGAACCCACGGGAAGAGCCTCGCCCTCTCCAAGTGTGACCTCGACGGCCCATTCTACAGCCGCCTCGATCAGCGACGACGACTTCACGGCGGCGTCGGGACCGCAGTCTCCATTAACACAAGATTCTGGTTCCGTCGCGAGCGGCACGTTCCGGTGTGGAAATCAACCAGCGAGTCAGGTTACAATTTGATGTCCACGCAGGTATCTTTGATGAGGCCGCCCCAGCACCGGCCCCCGAGACGGACCACCCCCTACCCGTCGAGGGGAGGCCGCCCAGAGATCCCCGGCGACCGCCCGCGGAATGGGATCCCTCATTACGGTCCCCCATCTTCTTCGGCTACTTAGATACGTCCGTCCAAGACATCCAAGACAAAGAAGACCAAGCTAGAGCAGCGAGAGAACAAGTGGAAGATGAGGTGGCCGAGCGCAAGCGCGAGGAGCGCTGGGCGGCCATCGATAAATTTCGGGAAGATTCCAAGTCCAAGAAGTTTTTCCGAGATAAGAAACTCGCTGATCTCGAGAACAAGCACGACCGCGAGCGGCGGAAGCGGGATAATGAATACAGAGGCAGGCGGAAGGTCTGCGCCACGGAGGCGGAGCGGCTGCAGCTCGATGCGCGGTACGAGGCTGATGAAGAAGCGGCTACCGCCACTTGTGAGCTGGAGGCGGACACGCTCCACAAAGCCAACTCCGTGCGCGATTCGTACGAAGCGCAGGAGCTCGAGCGCATGCAGAACGAGGCGGACCAGATCGACGGCGCGGAGAAATTTACCGCTCCAGGTGGGAGACGCCTCGAGAAGCAGGCTCGCGTGGCTCAGCGCAGAAACTTGCCGGGGTCGCGTCGATGGCGTCTTCGTGAGACCACACCGCCTCGACGCCGTGACGCGGCCGTCAGAGTGTCTAGGCGTGCGTCGATGGCGTCAACGCGATGCCGCGTCGCCTCGACGCCGTCGAGGTGGTCGTGAGAGAGTCCACACGTCCCGCGAGGGAGCCGCGGTCGTGTCGCGACGGCGTCGTCCCCACGCAGGCAAGGACCTCAAAGAGAGGCAGCAGGATCTGGATAGAGCCTGCACGGAGCTCGAGGAGGCCCAGGAACAGCTGGAGCTGCAGCTCGAGGAGGGCAACGAGGCGCCGCCGCTCCCGGGCGGCGGGTCGCAGTACGGCGAACAGAGCAAGGAAGAGCGCGCCGAGACGGCAGCCGAGTTCGTCCAAGCCATGAAGACGCGGATCCACGAGTGCGAAGGTGCATTACGACAAGCTCTTGAGGGGCTCGATGACGCCGAGAAGCTACTGGAACGAGCAGTACATAGACGTCGGAGGGAGGACAACATCCTGACACTCTTCGCTTCATTGGGTGCGGCGGACAATAACAGGGCCTGGGATCCTAGGAGCCAGGACGACCCGCCCTACAAGGAGTGCGCGACTGTCGATGTTGCTGTAGGGTTGTTGATGCTCTGTAGTGATCGATTGATTACGAGGTTACAGATCTTTTTGAGGCTCTTCGACTGGGACGGTGATGGGTTCTTAGGGCCTGAGGAACTGTTATCAGCGCTCAAGTGCGCTTCTCGGTTATTAGGTGGGTTAGGGTTCCTCCGACGGCCCGCGGGCGACTCAGAATTGTTTAGTGTAACACAGCGCGCCCTAGCCGAACAGAGAATCAAGTCGGAACGGAACGGCGGCATTGGCCGGATGACTTTAGCGGAAGCCACTGATTGGATGGCCCATGCAGTTGCAACAAGTACCGTCCTGTCGAAGTTGTTCGGCGTGCAGTTCGCCTTTGGGGAGTTGAGTGCCTATCAGCGGCAGAAGATGCCTACTGTCAGACTCTTCGAGCTTGGGTTATTAAGGCCGGCCGATGTGAAATACACGGTCGCGTTCGAGTCCAGCAAAGTCAGAGAAGAGCTCGGGTCCGAGTTCAAGCTCCAGCTGCACGAAAGAGCTACTGCTCGCGGCTTAGATGACCCCTGCAAGGCGGACTACTCCCGCTTCCTCAAAACCGTAAAAAAGAAACAGCGATCCGCAGTCATACCCCTCGAGCACGGCCAGTGACTCGGCGCCGAAAATGAACTTGAACTTGATCTGGTGGAGACGCTGGCGTCCACGCGATGCCTCGACGCCGTCGACGTGGCCGCCAGAGGGCCGCCGCGGTGTCGCGACGGAGTCCGTGCCACGCAGGTCACCTCACGAACATGACGGTACATGAATCCAAAATTGCCGAGCGCGCCGCGACGAAGCTCCAGAACATCTGGCGAGGCAAGAAGAACCGCGAAAAATCGGAGCACGTGGCTCGGGTCCAGGCGTTCCAACAGGCGCGGCGCGTCGCGACGCAGACGGCCAAGGAACGCGTCGAGAAGGACTTCCGCAATAAAGAATTGTTGACGGGCGTCAAGCGCCACACGTGGGACGCGAAGGTCCGGATTTTTCAGACTCGTAAAAAAGCCGAGGGGATGAGCATGGACCGGGACGCCGCGGTCCGCCTGATGATGGAGGAGGCCTGCGACGCCGTCGCGAAGCAGGTCGGCGACCGCTTCGACGAGATGGAGCAAGAAAGAGGATTAGCACCTACTGGTGTGAATCTGAACGGCCCCGCGGCGCCACCCCCGAAGGACGTGAGATCGTTACACTAGTCCATGACGGCCTTCGCGTCGATCCTGACGAACCCCTTCTCCACCCAAGAGGTCGAGGACGAGCCCATCGAGACGCCGCGACGGGACGAGAAATCGCTGGTCGTAGACATCGATCTAGATGTGTATGGCCAGGATCCTGATGCGTATCGCCAAGCGTATAATGCCCGATCAAGAAGTAGGATAGAAAAGATGCTCGTCGGCTGCTTCCCGCCGGAACTTCATGGAGACGGGGCCGGCGAGTCGGACAAGGAAAGAGCAGTGAGGAGGCAGTACGCCTCACCCATCCCGGATCCGGACGACTTCATGCGTCGTTTACGATCCGTGAATCCCGTCTTTTCCGTGCTCAAGACCGAAGAAATGCTCCTCGAGCTGCCCTCGAAGCGACTCTTGTTGGGGTACATCGAAACTTCTCTGAAGGGAGAAGGCGCTTGTTTAGGAACAAGTTCTGCGGAATCCCACGTCTTCGGCGGCCACTTCGGGGCGCCGCGCCACCGCTACTCGCGACGGAAGCAAGCTACGCTCATTCGATTGTCTCCGGCGTTCCCGGGGCTACAAATACCGGACGTCGAGACCGTTCTGGCGACGAGACCGATCCCTCCATTCTTGACGACGGAGCTGAAAGAACACTTTAGATTGTTGAAAGATGATCTTGTCGTGGCCGAAGCTTTGCGAAAGGTACTAGCCTCCGACTTCGAATTCGGGCTGCTAACCGCCGTCGTCACGGAGCAGCACGCGCGCCATGATGCGTGGCTGCAGCGCCGAGTCGTCGAGCGGGCCGAGAAAGGCGCGGAGAACGCTCGGACCGTCGTCGATCGGAAGGTGCGCGCGGCGATGGCCTCGGCGAAGCGAGGCACGACGCCCTTGCAACTCATCGACCCGACCGTCGACGATTTACTAAATAGATGCGACCTAGCGCTCAAGAAGTGCGACGAGCAGGAACAACTCGCGCGAGAGGCCCTCGAGAAGGAACAGAAGAAGATTAGATTAACAAAACTCACGCGGAACTACTGGCTGAAAAGGAGAAGAGACGTGAAACGGTGCCACAACTTGATCAAAGGAAGGAAACCTGGGGTTGAAGTACTTCCAGAGGACAGAGAGCAGTGGACCGAGAGGTACTTTACTGCTTTAATACACGCAGACGACGTCTCGGCACCTTCTAGACTCAAGTCGAATCGGAAGCCCCTCAACCAGTTGGATGAGCTGCGACTGACGGAATTGATATCCGTATGTGAGGGTTTTTTAGATGCGTGCGTGCGAGGGGCCACCACAGTGTTACATGAGTGGCACCTACCCATCTCCGAGAAGACAATTCCAGTAGTGAGTGAAAAAGACGCCGATTGTAGGGCGGAAGTGGGCGGCCGGGGCCCACGAGTTTATAAATATGAGGCCTGGGGGGTGCGGTACGAAGTAGCGACCGACGAACATGGGATATTTAATGGTTCGGACGAGTACGCGGCCAAGGCCGCCGGCCATGAGAGGAACGGTTGCAGAGCGTATCTGCGAGAAGCTCTAGAAACAGATAAGCTCCGAGTTCCACTCAGTGCGACCGTGGACTACCACGGCTTCCGCGTCATCTGCACCGCTGTTTTGCCCACTAATTTAATCAAGTACGGGGATAGTGGCGAGGTAAGAAGGGAGCGACGAGAACTAGTGCACGGGACCGACGACCGCGGTGAGGTAGTCCACAACGACTCTAGGGAGTGCAACAACTTGTTGGCGGGAATAGCTCGCAAACTCAATCTCGCGGCACACAACGTCAAGGGTAGTAAAGACCTGAATCCCAAGACGATTCATGCTTCAGTTGACCTTAGAGCCTATAAACTCGATGAAGATAGGTTCGGCCTTGTTAACTTGTGGAACTGCCTTCCCAGCGAGAATCCCGTTGGCAGTGAACACCTACCAGTGGCTCCCAGGGGCCATTCGATCTTCTGGAGGATGCTACGACCGGAGTACGTCAAAAGGTATCAACAGCCGTTATCTCCGGACGGGGATTGTGCTATTAGTTCAGCGACGGAGGACGGCGACCTCCACGTTTCTAGGGTTATTGATGCCACAAAACACCTTGTTGAAAATGAACTCACGTTGTTAGCCGAGGATCTAGCTAGTCGCGGACCGCTAGGTCCACGCTCCCGAGATGTACCGGCCTTCGACCCCATCGCCGATCCGTTTGCATTGGAGATACCTGTCTCCACCAGAAAGATGGGTTCTGGATATAATGATTCTGATCAGAGGCTAGGTCCCTCGCGACTCTGGGGCCTGGACGTGACGGCGGAGCTCCATCGAGTTGGTACTAACCTGCGACACATGGGTTTACTGAGGAGAAAGTTCTGGCGTAGATTAACAGGAACGGCGCGCTGCGACTTCGGGAGTTCTGTCTTGCGGACGTCGTCGGACTTCCGGCTCGAGCTCGAGCGAGGTTCTCGCATACTCGTAGCTGGTAGAGTTTTTCGAGTTAGTAGTACAGAGGAGTTCAGCGAAGACAGGTGCCCCCTCGAGGAGCCCTTCGAAGGGTTAAGTACGAATAGCGAAGTGGTCTTCGCGGGCGAGGTGCGCGACGCGCGTAATAGCAAGGAGATGCGCATCGCGTTGTTGTGCGAGATGGTCTGCAGAGCAGCTAAACTACTACTGCGGTTCTACATGCGTCGAAGTGCGCGCTTGCACGGTTGCGTCGTGCCGTCGATTGCGTCACCTTTTGCTATAGATCTGCTCAATGCTTTGACGGGCGGGCATCCGACGGCAGATGTCATCTGGCAAGAGGAAATCGTGCCTCGAGTGAACCAGTCGTATGGTGACAGAGCCATCGATAGTGTCGAGGCGTGTACGGTCCGGACGACGTTGTTACCGACATTACCCTACCTCATCAGAAGGGTCAGTGCCTTGTGTGGCTTACCTATAAACTCAAAAGCATTGGAAGCGTTTGACGCACAACCGGATGGTTTTGTATTTGTCTCGGCCGACTTGAACAAGTCGGACACATCTGTCAGTAGTTTAGGCGCTTGTTCTGGTTCGAGGCCGGCCTGCCAGCCAGTTATTAAGCATGGCATCTGTCATTTGGACGTGGCCCGAGGCTTACTGTTGGCACACAAGGCTCGACAATGCACAGGAGACTACAACAAATTGATCAAGCGACATAAGCCGCCTCTCTACTTACCTCTGGACGAGCGGCCGGGAGCCCACTTAGCTAGGAACCGAGGTGATGTGGGCGGTTCGTTGGACGGCTATTTTGCCAAAGGAGTGTATTGCGGTGTCCCGTTCCTCGAAGCCGCTGATGCACAAGCAGATGTGATAAGACGCCCGGTCGAGGGCCCGAAGTGCTGTCGCTTCGAACCCAGCGAATGTGGGCACATAGTGTCTTCATACTGCTCTAGAATCTCGCCGCAAAAACCGTCACAAAGCTTCTGCCTCGAACTATGGGCGTTGTTAGCTGAGGACGAGGGTTCCTACAGGATAGCATGTATGACGGGCCGCGGCGCCCTAGCCGTCATGAACACGCACGAGTGGTGCTTCACGCTCTTTTGCGGCAGTGCCGAGGTCGTGTTGAAGGGCCCGAAAAGTCGTGTGAACGAGTGGCAACATGTGGTAGGCACGTATGACGGCACGATGATGCGGTTGTTTGTCAATGGGCGACCAACGGCACGCATGGAAGTGGCCCCCGAGGTCCTCGCGCAGAACGAGGACGCGAATCAAGGCCGTAAAGAAGAGTTAGAGCAAATTCAAAAAGATGAAGATGCTGCGCGCGCCTTGTGCAAGAAGCAGACGGACAAGCAGGCCAAGGTGTACATGCAGACGAGCGAGGGTCCGTGACTCCGCGTCAATTTCTCAACTTGAACGTCGCGTCGATGGCGTCTGATACGTATCCCACGCAGGCATGCAGCGCATCAAGCAGGCCGCGATCAAATTAGTGGAGCAGTCGGAGTTTAAATATAAAATGACGGCCAACGCCAAGGAGCAGGGCCTGCAGCGACTCGGCAAGCAGGAGGCGTTGTTGAAGGCTCGCGCCGCTTATAGACAAGAATTGTACATGGTGCTGACTCAGAGCATGAAATGAGCTTCAACCTGACGTGGTCGCGGCGATGGCGTCTTCATGAGACCGCACCGCCTCGACGCCGTCGATGCGGCCGCATGAGAGTCTACGCGTCTCGTGAGAGTAGTTTCGTGACGGCGTCGTTCCCACACAGGAAAATGTCCAAAAATGTGCGGCGGAATTTCAGAGACTGCGCGACGACGTCGAGGACCGGCGGCGGAAGGAGCTGGACGCGGCGCTTGAGAGAAGTAGAAGACCTGCGGTGATCGGCGCGTCGATGGCGTCGGGCCGGGCGAGGCAAGGTCGGCACTTCTGGCACGGATGTCTGGCCCACGTCGCGGTCTACGACAAGTTACTAAGTGCGGACGACATCGCGGTCCATGTTAGAATGGGCAGACAAGGTGGTGCGGAGCGGGGCGTCTCGCATTCTAGGGATGCGGCGCGGTTGTTCGCGCTGGCCGCCGAGCACTTCGAAAAAGCGGCGCAGCACGAGCCCGACGACTTTCGCGTGCGGGAGCAGCACGCTTTGTGTCTGTGCGACCATCTGGCGTGCATTGATGCGTCCGATCATCGGTCGCTGCCGCCCGGTGCTGGTACAAGTGCAGTGCCGATCGCCGGTCCTGCTCATAGAAGAGCTGCCGCTTTACTAGATCAGGCGATCCGGAAGTTGGAAGGCTTGAATGCCGCCGAGACGCTGGGAGCCGTGATTCGAAGACTACCGGAGGGGCCGGCGCACGCCTTTAGGTGCGTCGACGCGCTAGATGCTCTATTACGAGTGAGGCCGGACTACTTCGCCACTCATGATCTCGGACATCAATCGCAGATGGCTTTACCTCTCAAGGATTTAGCACTAGTCCCGAAAAGATTTGGACTAGGCAGTGCGAACGCGCACCCGAGACTAGCGAGAGCGGCGGCCAGGTGCTATCGACTCGTACTAGCGGACTTGAATCTCGCCGAGATCTACGGCGGCGTGGACCTGTCCTGGGCCCGCGCATTACGCAACGACGAAGCGCTGTGCAAATTAGTACGCGATGCAGAAGAAGACGAGGACAACCGGTTGATCACGCTGGGCAAGCACGACGGAGGGACGTGTCGCGTGGGCGACGACGATGTTCGACTCGTCCTAAATGCGAGGAGACTGGCCATATCGTTAGATCTCACAGCTTGTGGGGAGGTTACTGATTTGTGTTGCATGTTTGCAGCAAGGCATAATACATCTTTGCAATCCATAACGCTGGATGGGTGCGTGCAGTTGACGGACGAAGCATTCATCCACTTGGGACGAGGCGCCAAGCACGCGACGCTCGTGGCGGCGCAAGGCTGTGGCAAACTTACCAATGCAGGCTTTGGGCCTTTGGCAAGAGGCTGCAAACATCTCAAAGCGCTGAACTTATCGTATTGCGGCGGCGTCAACAACGAGACACTCATCGTAGTAGCAAAAGCGCTGAAACAGCTCGAACTCTTCCACTGCGCGTTCTGTACTGATGTGACGGACGCGGGGGTGTACGCCTTGGCCACGACCTGCGCCCAGTCGAAACTTAGGAGTTTAGACGTGTCCTTCTGTGCTTCTTTGAGTGATGACGGCGTGTCTGCGGTGGCGGAGAGGTGTGCGGCTCTCGAGTATTTGAACTTGAGCGGCTTGCACCGCGTGACCGACGCGGCGGCGTTGCGCGTGACCCATAACCTGTGGCGCCTACGGACGTTGTGTCTCGAGGATCTGCATCTCATCACTGATTCAATTTTCTTCTTCGATAGTAAGAAGGATGGCCGGGCGGCGGCGCGGCAGCAGATGTGTGTACGCGGCGTCCGTCGGTTGTTCCTTCTGAATCGTCGCGTCGACCCCCACGCCGTCGCCGCGACGCCTGCTCGATGGCGTGGCGTCGTTTGTTCCTTCTCGGTCGTGCGTCTTGCGTAGATGTGCCGCTCGCGCGCTTCGAGCGTACCTCCACCCCGCCCGCACGCCATCGCCGCTCATCGTAAACACGCAGGCTCGGCGAGCTGCGCGAGATCAGGCTGGGGGAGTGCGCGCGATTGACCGATCGGGCCTTCGCCGGCCTTTCCGCGAGAGCACAACATTTGGAAAAGCTCCACTGTAGGGGTGTGGCCCAACTCACGGACGCCGGTTTAAGTTATCTACGCCTGGAACCGGAGTTCAAGCAGCAAAGAGGCCAATTCTTACAAGTCCTCGACATTTCGCGCTGCTCGACGATTGGAGATAGAGCATTTGCGGAACTGTGCAAGGCCTGCCCGTCACTCGAAGAGGTCGACGTGTCGTTCTGTCTGCGATTAACGGATCGAGCCATCAAAGCGCTGTGCGACAACTGTCCGGCCGTGAAACACCTAAGCGTGGGCAACTGCCGGCGACTGACGGACGCGTCGGCGTGTCTCATGGCGGATGCTCTTTGGTTAGAAGCGTTAGATTTCTCGAAGAGCGTGCGGTTGTCCGATGCGGCTCTTGAGGTTCTTGTTGTGGAATTGGCCGGGCTCACTAGATTAGATGTGTCGGGCTGTTCCGGACTCACCGATGCGGTCCTGAAAGTGATCCAGTTCCACGGGCCCCATTTGAAGCGCTTGGTCTGCGTGGACTGTGCGGGCTTTACGTCTGACCCCTTGTCTGAACTAAGGGCAGCGCGCCCATCACTAGAAGTCTGGACGACCGAAGAGCACGTCGAGGACGCGGACAAGCCCCAGTGGGTCGCGGCGGACGCCGACCCGGACCACGGCGTGCCGCGCACGGTTCCGCCGCCGCCGCCGCCTCGGGATTCGGAGACCGGAAGTGGTGTCACGGACGCGCAGGAGTCGGGTGTTATTACGAGGCAGTCGTCGGGGGCTTCTTAATTTGGGTTCTTTGTTAATTTGCCCTTTTCCACTAACATATCCCGTCGACTGCCGTATAACATATCCCGTCGGCGGGATATGTTACCACTCGTGTTGTCTCGCGCCGCGCGGCCCGCGCCTCCGGTGAAAAACGCGAACGGCCGTCGGATGTTGATCTGGGGGTTCCGGAGGTCTCTGGGACGCCCTGTATGGCTTGTCGCGGGATCTCCCTGGCCTCGGCGCCTGGAGCTCTCGGGCATTTTGACGGCACCTAGACAGAGAAGAAGCCGTCTAACCGAGGCCCCGAGGCGACCGTGTAACGCGTGAGCGCGCGTAGAGACGCTTCGTAACGTAGTCCACCCACTCGCCAAGCCACGAAACGATCTAGGCGCCAAAAGCCTTGAAACAAGAGCAAAGTGCACCTACCCCCAATAGGAGGCCCGTTGCGCGCGCGCGGCCGTTTCAGCGGGCTCAGCTCGGCCCGCTCGACCCCCGGCGTCGACCTTACACGTCGTGAGTAGACCTAACGCAACGCCTGGCTGACTGCCCGCTGACGCCGAGAAACAGCGGAAACGCTCTAGCTGCGTCTGCGCGATGGCGTGAAGAGTCTACGCCATCGACGCGACGTTGTCCCCGTGACCTACCTCACTGGTTGATTTCCACACAGGTGGTCATTACCGGCCACGTCGAAGGCTTCGCCGACAAGGCCGCGGTCTGCGAGTACCTGAGATCCGAGCGCGGCGTCGCCTCCACGAGCGACACCATGACGTCCAGAACGACGCTAGTCATCCACGGCGAGCTGCCCGCGAAGCACCAGCCGAGCGCGAAGCTCGTCGCGGCGCGGCGCCGATGCGTCAAGGTGCTCCAGGCGTCGGAGCTCGGCGTGCTCGTGCCGAAGAAGAGCAGCAAGCGCAAGGCGCCATCGACGTCGCAGAGCGCCGCGCGGCGCTCGAAGACCATCGCCCAGCTCGACGGCAAAGCCACGCAGAAGAAGGTCCGCCGCACGGCGGAGTCGGCGCTCGGCGCGCCCGAAGGCGCGCTCGACGAGAAGAAGGCGGCCGTCAAGGAGGTCTGCGAGGACGAGATGTCGAAGCAGGCGTCCGAGGCCGCGCCCAAGAAGCGCAAGGCCACCGGCATGAGTGCCGTGGACGCCCTCCGCGCCGAGCTCAAAGCCCTCAAAGCCGAGAACAAGAAGCTCAAGCGCGAGACGTTGGTCTGAGCTCGTCATCTTCCGTTTCCCGCCCCCCTCCCCACTCCCCTCCCGTCGGGCGCCGAGCGCACGCGGTGACGTACCGTGAGCGTCGCCCCCCCAGCGTGCACAAGGAGCTCCACCCGGCATTGCGGCGCTGCCTGCGATCGACCGCGCAAGGCAGGGGCCTGTTCAATGGGCAAGATAGCATAGTGCCGACGGGGTGTGCTATCCGCCGGGCGTCAGACATCCCTCCCCTCCCCCTACCTCTCCCCCCTCGTAAGTTCCTTCCTGATACAAATGCACCATCGCCGCGACTCGTGCGCGTCGCGCCAAGATTCGAGGCGGCAGGTCAAAGTCGATCGCGCACGTGCTCGCGTGCCTCGCGGGCATCGGCGACGCCTAGGGAATCGGTCGTTTTACCAATTAGCAGCGGGTATTTTACTAGTGCCTTACAGACCGCTAGCGCGATTATTTTTTCTAGTAGGTATTTGAACCAAGAAACCTCCCAGGGCTTCCAGGGACGCCCCGCTTCACCTAGAGAGGTCTAAGGGGCCGCTTCGAGGCCGAGATACTAGCGTCGCATGCAAAAACACAGACCTGGCTCTCGCGCTGAAAGTGACCATTCGCGGCAGGGAGCGAGGACTGGGCCGTGCTCGTCGCTGGTGTGGTGAGCTCTGCTGCTCTTCTGTGCCCCTGCGCGAAGAGCGCCACGAAAAAGCGCTCCGGCTGCTCAGATAGCCTTCGAACGCGGAGAGCACCGCTGGGGAACAGCACGCAGCCGCTAGGCCCCCAGACCAGCCGCGGGCCCGCCGAGCGACACGCCAGTCAGTCTAGACAGCGTCGCTCACAGAAAATCGGCCCCCGAGGTCCCCGAGCTTAGAGGAAGCGCAGCCGCACGGCTTCCGGAGGCCGCCGTTCGCGCTCACAAAATCATGGGCCCACGTGCGTCCACAAAGCGCTCGAGGACACCGTCGGAAGACGAGGGCCAGTCCACCGAGGAGGACTCCCCTTCCAGGATCCCGACCGAGGGCCGCGTCTCCCCGTCGCATGACGACGTAAAAACGTACAATGATGATGAAAGACCGACGGCCGTCGCGAAAGAAAGCGACGCCGCCCGCGCAACAAGAAGAGAATACAGACGATTGATCGCGGAGCAGGACGGGTTTGAAGATGTGCCGTCCTGCGGCCGGAGCGACGCCAAGTTCCACCAAGGCTCCGTGATGGTCGCGGTCGAAGGGAGGGATGCCTGGCTCAAATTACTACCAGAAATGATGGCCATCTGCAACGAGGCCGCGCGGCGCCAACACCTGAAGACCAACCCGGAGGCCGTGTGCTTCGACGAGCCTCTCAGTGCCGATTATTGCTATGAACGAGTTGCATTGGCACCAGATCCTCTGAAGGGCTTCATCGTGCGCGAAAAGAAGGGTGCGAAAAGACTACAAGGCTTTGTCCTGTTCCACGAGTTCTGTGGCTTGGCGAAAAGTCTCGTGTTCGATTCGCGGGATCCCGCGGCCTTGTTCGGATCGTATGGTAGTGATGGGAGCGTGCAGCGCGTCTTCCACCGGGGCAACGACATCCGGACACCTTTAGATCTGGTGAAGGCCACAGATTTAGTCGCGGAGGCGTCCAACGAGGACGAAGTGGACCGCCAAAAGGACGACGACGGCGACCTGGCGGACACGCTCACGAAGTCGCCGCGCGAGACGCGGGACGCGCCGCGCAAGGACATGTTCGGCGGCGTCATCGTCGTCTGGCCCAAGCTGGTGGAGGTCTCGTTATGTGGCGCTCTCGGGTGTGGTGGTCGGTTGGTACGCGCCGCTCTGGATCAAGCGAAGCGCGACGGCATGGAGTGCGTGGTCCTACAGGCCGAACGGCGAGCGATTGGCTTCTACGAGAAGCTCGGGCTGAAGAGGGTTGGAGCGGTAGCGAGGTTCCGGGACCGGGCCGACGCGCCGCGCTTGGCCTACCGGCATTGGTGCACGCGGACCGTCGACGAACCGAGCTACATGATGGCCAAACAACTAAGTAGAGGAGGCAAGAAACGAGGGAAGGTGTCCATTGAATTAGATGAGGAGGTCTGTCGCGCGCGGGCTTTGGAGCTCGCTCACATCGCGTACTTGGCCAATGCCCACGCTCCGGGTGCTGCGGCGGCGTTTCGCGAGTGTCTTCTGTTAGCTGTCGGTTATGCTGGTAGTGCCGGATGTGACGACCGAGGCCTGGCTCTAGCGTTGGCCGATTCGTTGCAAACCTTCAGAGGTTCGAGTGACCAAAAGCCAGATGCGCGCGAAGCTAGAAAGCGGCTGCGGACGGCGTTTCTCGAGCGGGTCAACGATTCGGACGACGACTGTAACCCTGGAAAGAAGAAGAAGGGGCGGCGGTCGCCGCGGTTCGGATCTGAAGAAGCTCTGGATTTGGCGGAGGCCTTAGATGGTTATGCTATCGCCGAGGTCGGTTCGCGCATTTATCATGTGCGGGTGCGCTGCGACGCGATCGTGCAGAAGGTCAAATGTGCGGACGCGAACGGGCTCCTGAAAGTGAAGGTCTCTCGGGCGAAGATGATCGGTAGCAGACTGATGACGGTTCAAGAAAGGAGAGTGCTTGCGCGCATCCCCGATCCGGTGATCCGCAAGCGCGTCTGCCGCGAGGAGTAGGCCGGGGCTAAGAAGGAAGCTAGACTTTTTTGTCTCTCGGTCGCCTCGCGTCGTCCTCGCGTCGACGGCGTAGTGCCGCGGATGGGTCCGGAGGTGTCGCGTGCGGAGCTGGTGATGTATTTTTACGGTGCTAGGACTATGCGGAGCTGGGGCTAGTGTGTGTATCGACACGCTAGATAACTGAGCTGAACTCCTCATCTTCGGGACGAGCGGCGGCGCGCGGTTCCCCGCGATTTCCTCATCAGTTCCATATATGCCGCACGCAACCCCCGACCCTCTCCAGGTCACTCGTGGCTGATCGTTGAGTGTGCTCGCGTCGGCCATCCAGAGTGTGCGGTCGAAGAGTCGTCGTCGAGGCCTCGTCGAGTGATTCGGCGGCTCGGTCGCTTCGGCGTCGCCACCTGGTGGCGTCATCCACGGCGGCGAGCTCACCTCGGCGTTCGCGTCCAGCTCCAGTTTCGCAATCATATCAGATACGTAACATGTGATTTCTGCGCCGCTGACGCCATTCTGCGTGGCGTCGTGGGCGAGTTTGGTGATGCGTTCGACCGTGGCTTCGGAAAGGCCCTGGTTGGCGATCGCGCCGTCGAGGGTAGCGTCCATCCTTGGCGTCGTGCGGTCGCGTGGCGCCTGCAGTTCACGTCTAGAGTTTTGAGCTGATAACTACTTGAGCTGGCACAGAGATGCTTGCGCAAGGCACGCGTTTATAGTTGCGGCCACACACCGTTCGTCTGTGGAGGGTTTGGGTTCTTCTAGCCTCGCGTGAGTCTCGTGAAATCCCTAAGCCTAAGCCTCTCCTCTCCTCACTCACTCTAGTCCTAGTCCCTCGTAACTTCGATATGACCTTGTATGCACCTGTGGAAGGGAGGCGAGGTCCGCACAGAGAAAAATAAATACCGTCGGGAGACCGGTGTGAAATTTCGTGCGGGTTGACAGACGAAGCCGTTGTTTGTCAGTACATCGCGCGCGGCCGCGACAGCACTGCGCCAAACGCACAATTTTGGGCAGGTATAGCCCCCCTGTATCCCTTGCATCTGGCCCTGTGCCCGCCGAGCCTCACTAGCTGCCAGACCGCTGGAGCTGTGCGAGGAGGCCAATGCTGCAGGCGCGCGCCGCGGGAGGGCGGCACGCCGTGACGCTGGATGTGGCGCTCGAGAAGCGCGCAAACGCGCGGCGCTCCCTCGATAAAATGCTAGCGAGTGGGCGGCACGACGCAACGGTCCTCGCGAAGCTCGGAGTCTTGATAGGCTGGACGCCGGCGACGGTAGTATTGGCGCTGCCGGCGGCGCCGCACGCGCCGGCGGCGCTTCCGCTGCAGGCGCCCCGGTGCGCCGCCATGGAGTTGGCGCCTGCCAACGACGCGCCGCCGCGAGCGACATCTGCGCCGCCCGTCGACGCGCCCGAGCCGCTCCCGCCTTCGGGGCCGCGCGGCCCCCCGGTCCCGCGCGCGGCGCCCGTGCCCCAGTCCCGAGTCGCTGCGCAGCCGACCGCCCCGCCGACGAGGAAGCCCCTCGCGCCGCTCTTCGAGTCCAAGAAGCGCCCGGCGTCGCTGCCGAAGAAAGCGAAGCCAGCGCCACCACCAAAGCGGAAGAAGGCGGACCGGAAGAAGGCGGACCTCACGCCGGGCCAGATGACTCTGGACGACGCGTACAAGCGCGGGAAGAAGCGGAAGGAGACGGCCCAGGCGTCCGACGGGCCGCCGCCGCCGCCGCCGCCGCCGTCCTCCGATCCTGATGCCATGAACGACGATTGAGCCCAGCGGGCTGCTGCTCGGCCAGTCGTCGGCCGCGGCGCGTCCCACAAAAAGAGGGGGGCGCTTCTACGTAACAAGCTACATGTGTATGCCTAGTAGAACCCCCGAGCGCGCGTCGCCGCCCGCTTCCACACAGACGCACTCAATTATGTGGGTAAGAAGTCACACTGGCATCGTATTTAGGAACCCTACTGGGAATTCGGACCGCCGCGGCTCCGCCAATTTGGTGGGCTCTGCAAAACGTGCCCTTTGCGTCTACGCCGTCGTAGAAGGGCCGTGCGGAACGTTGCACTCGTCGCGGCGGCGTCCTAGAACTCGCCGCGGCGCGCGACGCGCCCAGGACTTCTTCCGACCGCGACAGGGCTCGCGTAGGAGACACGTCCAGTCGATTCACGTCGAGGCTGCACGCGACGGTCGTACATCGAGAGTTATTGATGAGGCGTCGCGGCGGCGATGGCGTGGAGGAGAGCTGCTTTGCCTCGACAAAAGCCTGGTACGGTGCAACTCCCACGTGCACCCGACGCGCGTGCCACCTTATTTGTTCGGAAATGACGGCGGAGACGGCGGCGCGAAAGCCCCGCCTCGAGGCGAAGCGCTCGAGTTCGTCGAGGGCGTCGTGTGCTCGCTCACTGGTAGCATCGATGATGATCTAGGACCAAATTGGCCTCGCAGGACGTCATGTTCACCGGAGAGTTCGAATCCATCGCAGAGATGAACGGCCGCCTCGTCAACTGTTTCGTACTATAGCAGAGAATCACACTCATGAGCGGCCACCGGCACCTGGCGCGCGTTCGCGCGCAGACGATCCAAGAGTTATTACTTGAGTCGTGTCCTTCGTTCCGTCGGCGTTGTCCCGGTGCTGCGGCGCCCGCTGCGACGATATGTCTCCCGCTCCGCTGGCCACAAACAGCAGCTGGAGGCCAGCACACGCAAATCGGCTCTGGCCCGCCGGGGGCACCTTTAGCGCTCGAGGCAGCAAAGTGCGGCGGTCGTCGGATCACGACCGTGTTAATTGCAGACTTGGCACCCGCACAGTGGACGCGTTTCAGCTTTTACAGGTCGCTCTCTCGCTTGCTAGTGTCTTACTGACCGCTAGCCAATATTGAGGACGACAATTCCACAAGTACGGTAGACGGTCGTCGCAACGAAACGCGCATGTTGGGCGATAGAAGGATTAAGCACCGAACATGAAAAGGCCCCTTTCCGGCTCGGGCTCGCGTTGCGACATAAACTACCGATGTCGTCACCCCGACGGGGTTGTTGGCGCGACGACGTCAACAACCCCCTCGACGCCGTCGACGCCGTCGACATGATCGGTTCTAACGATGCGGACGCCGTCGGTGGCTCTATCAACCCCTCCAGCACGGCGACGTCGCTGACGCGGCACGACGGTAGTCTCTGTCCGCGGCACGTGGCTTCGGGCTCTTCGTCGCGTTCTAATCGTAGTCGGCTGATTCGTACCGTTACAGCTTCGCTTTGGAGTGGCCTGGCATCATCTCGACGCCCTTCCCTCTCCACTTTTCCACAGAGAGCTAGTGCATGTAAAGACACTAGCGGCCTCGCCGCCGCCCATGGTCAGCGGAGTGTTTTTGGCTATCAAGCGCATAAATACACAGCCTAACTCATCGTAGCGCTCGAAGGCGCAGCGTTCTCAACCGCGCACACGAAATCAGCCGCATCAACCGGCCAAAATGCTGCTCACAGCGGTAGCACTCGCCTCGGCCGCCGCGCTTGCGAGCGCCGCGTCGACATCCCCCGTCTTCGCCATCTGCGACCTCCCGGGGCCCAACATAGGCACCGTCACACAACAGAACATTGAGTGGAAGCTCGAAAGATACGAGCACAACCCCGCGACGTACCAAGAGCTCTGGCCCGACGTCGAGACTTTGTTATCGCTGCTCTGCACGGACCCGGAGCTCTCGTACGCGAAGAACCGCTATGTCGCGAGCGATCACAACGTGGGCGAAGTAGGCGCCGGTTCCCGCTCGGCCGCGGTGCTCTCGGCGAACGCCATGCACCACATCGTGCGCGGCGCGTGCTCCGACCGCTTTAGATCTGCTAATGCGAGGCGAGCGTGTGACCTCGCCGTCAAGATTATGGGCTCCGTCACGGCGAAGGCTGGTCAAGTGGTCTCTTACCCCATGCGCCTCGAGCGGCTTTTGACGGCGTGCACCACGTACCTCATCATTAGCGACGACTCGCTGAAGCGGAATTTGATTGTCCAGGCCCTGGGCCTGTTCGCGTTGTGCGGGTACGCGGCCTTTAACGCGATGGTGCGCCGTGCTAGGACGAACAAAACATCCAGAGAGGATCTTATGAACCACCTCGAGGGAACAGCGCGCCAGAAGCGCCGGCCGGTTCAACAGCTGTTCTCCAAGGCCTGCCCGGGCAACCTCCTGCAGGGTCAAACCAAGGGGTGCGTCCTGGCCATCGGCACGTACGGGGCGTCACGGAAAGGGGATAAGATGGTGCCGTGCTTGTCGGGGACGGTGTTCGAGGCTAGCCGGTCGGATCTATGCACGAAGGCTTATCGGCGCTTCGTGGACATTCCGGCGCAGTCGTGGTATTTGATGATCTTCATTTTACACTGCGACCTTCGGTGTAGAATCAATATTTCATCGTCCCCGAGTCTTGACGCCTCACTAGTTGATTCCCACACAGTCGGGCTCTGGCTGCCGTTTAATGCTGTTATGCTGGCGTGGCGCCGCTGGCGCTGGGGCAACCAGATCCAGTACAAACTCGCGAGTCACCTCTTCGGCGAGACCGCTGGCGCTTGCAAAAGTAGTGCCACGTGGTACGGGTGCAACTTCCTGTACGTGCGGCTGCAGTCCGTCGACTACGAAGCTCTCAGGGGCCACTTAAAGGGGCCGCATTATTGCCTCGACTTGGAGGACCCGGCGGTGCTCGAGTTGATCAGCCAGGCCTGCGAGCGCGGCGAGGCGGCCGGGTACGAGGAGTTCCTTGCGACGCTCTTCGACGGGCCCTCGCACTACCACTGCGAGAAGACCTGGCAGTAGGCTCCCTCTCCTGTGGTCGTATAGCACTTGTGTTATATTGAAGTTTGGGGCGAAGAGTGGCGGAGCGTCGAGGAGTTCCGCGCGGCCTGCTACGAGGACTTCCTACTTTTCCTTAATAGGTACTGACTAAGCCTACTACTCTTTCCGAATCCCTCAAAACTCAGGCTCAGGCTCAGGCTAGTTACGTCGCAAGGGTCCCCCGTACCCCTCAAAACTATTTCTAGTGTCTTACAGCCGCTAGCTCATCGGTTTTGCCGACGCCGGAGCCAATTGCTGTCGCATCGGTGGCTCACGGATCACCAGCGACTGTGAGCGACTGCTCCGACAACCCAAGACGCCAGCCGACAACCCAAGACGCCAGCCGACGCCTAACAGCAATGGCCAGCACCGCAGAGGCCGATGCCAAAGCCTGCACCGCCGAGGAGCAAGAGCGCAAAAAAATGAAGCCGAGCTACTCCATCGACGACGCCACTCAATTACTAAGGAAGCACTTCAACGTGCCCGCCACGGCCGTGAAAGAGCTCGATTCCTACGACGACCAGAATTTCCGAGTCACGAGTCCGTACGGCACGTATGTCCTCAAGGCGCACAACGGTGTCGAAAGTCGCAATACGCAGTTGTTAGATGCCCAATCTCAACTATTGAAACACCTGGAAGATCATAACATAAGGGCACCGGTCGAGGCCCAATCTAGGGTAACGTTAAAACGGACGACGCTACGTTTACTAAGGTGGGTCGACGGCGACGTGTTATCTTCGTCGACGATGACGCCTTCACTACTGGAGAGGGCGGGCTCCTTCCTGGGAGATATTCGTAAAGCACTGGACACGTTCGACCACCAAGCCTTGCACCGATTGCATCTGTGGGATCTGAGGCGGTTCCCGGCCGTCGCGACCTTCTCTAGTAAATTGAGGAGCATGGACTGCGATGTTAAGAGAGTCAAACTCGTCGAGACGTGCATCGAGAACTACGCTTCCCAGAACTTTGATAGTTTACCGATGGCGACGCTACATGGGGATTTCAACGACGCGAACATACTATTACACGGAGATAAATGGGGCATCTTGGACGTGGGCGACTGTGTTTATAGTTGGAGGGTCAACGACGTCGCGATTGGAGCGGCTTACGTGATGGTTAACCTCTGTACTTCTGAAAATAAAAGGAGCGGCTTCACTGATAAGGGGGACCACGTGGCCGTGCAGGGCGCCCAGAAATTTGTCGAGGGGTTCCTGCAGAGGTCGACCTTATCCAAGGACGAGTGTCGGGCGCTGCCGCATCTCATCGCGGCGCGCCTCGCGACGTCGTTCACGCGAGTCTCGCGGCGTCCTTTCCGTCGACTTGAACGTGGCGTGGTCGCGTCGATGGCGTGGTGGTGGTGCGCCGTTCTCCGAGACGCCGTCGACGCGCGCCGCTCGCAGGCTCGGCTGGTACTCCTACCGCGAATCTTTAGCTGCCCAGCCGGACATGCCTCAACAACGGCGGGACTACCTGCTCCACCACGCGCTGCCCGCGGCGACGGCCCTCGACGTGTGTCTCCAGGCGACGTCATTGGTAGCCGACTGGCCGACGACGAAACCCGTGAGAGACCCTAGGCGCTAGCTAAGGAGCATATGTTAGCGATTTGACGGCCTCGTAGCCCGGCCCCGGCTGCCAGTCGCTCCGGAGCTTGCCTATCGGCTGCTCGTCCAAGAAAACGCCTCCATTTTTTGCGGACTGCAAGGCGTCGGCCAAATACGATACCGCATCAGAAACCTCGCCGACCTTCTTCTGCACCACTCTCCGGTCGTCCCTCTTCGCCGCGTCGTACAAGTCCCTCAGAACTTGCTTCAGCTCCTTCGCGCCCTCGGCGGCCTCCTTCGTCGGCGCGATCCTAGCTAATTCCTTCTCAAACGAAACCATCTCGGCGTAGGCCGCGTTTAGTTGGTTCTTGTCGTAGGTCCTCCGCAGCGTCTTGGAGAACTCGGCGTAGCGTTTTGCTCTATCTCTAGCGTCGTCGATGGCCGAAGTCTTGGCGGGCGGGGGCGGCGGCGGCGCCTCGACAGCGGGCGCGTCGGCAACAGCGGCGACGGGCTCGTCGTCGGCGTTCGCGACAAGCGGGGCCGCAATAGCGACGCCGCAGCCCTTGAGGACGCTGCGGCGTTGCGTCGCGAGCTGCATCGCATGCGTGGCGTGGAGCAGCGCGAGGACTGTAGTGGGTCTCATGATGTCAGCTTCCAAAACGCTGCGTTTCAGCCGTGCAACTGCGATGAGATTCGCTGTGCTGGCCCTGTGGGATCTGTGCGCAGTCGGGTTGCAACAAGAAGGCCGTTGCAAGCTCAGGGAGGGAGCTTTGAGGCTGTGATGCGATGTAACTCGAAACCGCGATAGCGTAATAGCACACTAGCAATCACAACAACCCTCGAGTAGCTGCAGCCGCGACGTACCGTGCTCTAAGCTGATATTGAGCCTTGTCGCAAACACCTCAGACATCCTGTCGAGGCGGCAGCTACTGAAATACGCTGGTCAAAACGCTGTCGTAGCAAAAAACACAGAGGAGAGCTGCAGCCTGCAATGGCATCGCTCGACGAAGCACAAACGTCAAAGCGCCCGAAGCTCGACGAGTCCGTGCGCGTCCAACTGAAATCGGTAGAAGGCGCCGAGCTCGGCCCCGCGTTGGAAGTGCCCCTCGCGTCCGGCCCGGCCGAGCTCGGGAGCATCGTCTCAAAACTGAAGAGCGACACGAATAGCACACCCTACGCCTTCTATGCCGGCGAGGTCAGTGTTCCTGGAACGTTACAAGAGTTCCAGGAGCAGTATTCGTTTAGCACGGAGCAGACGCTCACGTTGACTTATGAGCCTTTGGCTGTCTTCAGAGTGAGACGCGTGTCTCGATGCGCCGAGACGCTGCCAGGGCATAGCGATGCCGTACTCCACGTCCAGTTCTCGCCGGACGGTAAAAAAGTGGCGTCTGGCGGCGGTGATGCCACAGTACGGTTGTGGGATGCTTTAGCTAACATACCCCAGAAGACCTACAGTGGACACAAGCACCACGTTCTGTGTCTGAGCTGGTCGCCCGATGCAAGGATGGTCGCGTCCGGAGATCGAGCCGGCGAGGTAAGAGTGTGGCGTTCAGACGGCGAGTGCCGCGTTCTCAAGAGGCACTCAAAGTGGATCACGGCACTCGCGTGGCTCCCCTGCCACCTGGCGGACGCATCCCAGTCCACCTGCGAGTTGCTGGCCTCGGCGTCCAAGGACTGCACTTGCAAAATCTGGAACGCGCGCACCAGTGCATAAATCAAATTGTCGCGACGCGCCTCCACGCCATCGACGCGACGTCGGCTCGATGGCGTGCCGCACCCGACTCACTGATTGATTTGCGCACAGGTGCGGACGGCCCAGATGGTCACGTCGCTAAGCGGCCACAGCGACGGCGTGGAATGTCTGGCCTGGTCGGGTGACGGCGCCTTGTACTCCGGTTCTAGAGATCGAACAGTAAAAGTCTGGCGGTCCGCCGATGGCAAGTGGCGCGACGGGAAACTGGCCAATACTCTCCAGGGCCACGGCCACCGCGTGAACGCGCTAGCATTGGCCTCGGCTTTTGTGTGTCGCACGGGGCCCTTCGAAGCCCAGAAGCCCTTTAAAGGTACAACGTTCAACGACGTCGTTTCTACATCCAAACAACGCTACGATGCCTTCGTGAATGCGAACGGCGGTCATGCGACGTGCGAGAGGTTAGTGAGCGGCTCGGACGACGCTACATTACTCTTCTGGACCTCGCTGAAGGCCGGGGCCGCAAAGACGAAGCCCAAGGCGCGCCTGACGGGCCACCAGCAGCCCGTCAACTCCATTCTTTTCAGTCCGGACGCGCGGAAGTTCGCGTCGGCCTCCTTCGACAAGAAGATCAAGTTGTGGCACGGGCGGACCGGGGCCTTCCTCGCGACGTTGGCGGGCCACGTCGGCGCCGTCTACGCTTTGGCCTGGGCGCCCGACTCTCGTCTAGTTGTTTCGGCGTCCAAAGACTCCACTTTAAAAGTCTGGAGCGCGGCGGACGACGGCGTGCCCGGGTCCGAAGCGAAGAACGTCACGACGAAGACGCGCAAGTTCGCCGCGGCCCTCGGCACGCTCCCGGGGCATTTGGACGAGGTCTTCTGCGTCGACGCGTCGCCGTGCGGCGCGGCGGTGGCCTCGGGGTCGAAGGACCGGACGATTAAGATGTGGCATCCGTAGTTCTTATGACTCTAATCAAGGATGGTTCCCCGGGGGCTCAAACATCAGGTAAAATTCCCGGAGGTCCTCGAGCGTCTCGTTGCCCCTCACTCTCGCCTCTGAAAGGATTCCTCTGTCGTGTGCCGTCCCGAGTGCCACGAAGAAGGGTGCAGTCATGTTCGCGCGGAGTTCTCGCACGCGAGCAATCGCTCGCTCGTCCCTCGACCTGCATCCGAGCATGTAAAGTAGATACGCGTTGGTTAGGTTGACCGAGGCACCAAAGCCCTCCTCGGAGAGAACTCCAACATCGTAGGCTGCCCGGGTGTGACCCTTCGCCATCGCGGCACAGATGTGTCGAACCGTCGCCTTCGCATGCTCGTCGCGGTGGCTCTCCGCGAGCCGCTTGTGCACCATGCCCACCGCGTACAACCACGTGCCGTCGCGATCATTCTCGGGCACCGCATCGAGGAAGGCCAGGGCCTCAGATAGCGACGACGCCGGTCCGCGTCTGATGACTAAGGTCTCAGAGGAGAGTACTTAAGCGGTTCTCAGAGTCGGAGTTCGAGAGTCAGCAGCGCGCGGTGCGATTGAATAGCCACTGAGTGCTTCTTGTTTGCGCACGTGCGAGCGACAGACCGCGCTGTAAAACCTGTTTTGATTGGGCCTCAATTTGCCTCGCACACGCGCGACGGCGATTTAAAGCGCCGTGGCCCAAGCATTCGTCGCGCGAGGACCAGAGGACAATTGCTCTAGCCGCTGAGCACTGTCGCGGACGCGAAGAGCGAGTCCGAGTGACCCAAATCCAAGCATGGCGGCCGGCGCCACAAGCGACCCGCTCGCGCTCTCCGCCCTGAAGATCAAGGATCTAAAGACCGTCATCGAGGCCGGCGCATTGGAGCACAAGGACTGCCTCGATCGCGCGGACCTGGAACGGCGCGCCTCGGAGGCCGTCGCGCAGACGTGCGCCTTCGTCGCGACCCTCGACCTGCGCCGGCTGGAAGTAGCGGCGAAAGTCTGGGACGCGCGCCGCAAGCAGGACAGCGACTACTACGAGTCCGACTGCTCCGACGAGTCCGGCCCGCCCGGTCTCGACACCGGTCTCGACGACGATGACGACGGCCCGCCAGGCCTCGAGGAGAACGGCGCCTCGGCCGGCGGCTCGGCCGGCGGCTCCGACTCCGAGGACTCGGACTACGACTCGGACGACTCGGAGGATTCTGGCCCTCCAGGCCTCGAGGACGAGGAAGAGCGGGAACGGGCGGAACGGGCGGCGCGGAAGAAGGCCGCCGCCGCCCCGGCGCCCGCGCCCGCGCCACCGCTCTCCAAGTCCCAGGCCAAGGCCGCCAAGGCGAAGCGCCAGAAGGTTCGCGCCCGGCGTCCTGTCTCCAACTCGCGACTCGCGACATCGCGGCGATGGCGTGGGTGTACGCCTCCCTTCCCACGCAGATGCGCAAGCAGGCGGCGTTTGCTGATACATTGAAGAAGGGATCGAAGGTCTTCGTGACCAAGAAAGGTACTGAAACCATCGCCACAGTCGTCAAGATCCACCGCGACGATCCCGAAGAGTTGTATGTCACGGTCCGCGACGCGAGCGGCCAGGAGCGCCAGACGTTATTGTCGTACTGCCGCGAGGCGAAGGGTGCCAAGGCCGCCAAGGCCGAGCGCGCGGCGCGCGTGAAGGCGGCCGCGGACGCGGCCGAGCAGAAACTGCGGGCCGAGGAGGAGCAGGAGCGCGAGCTCGAGAAGCTGGCGAACGCTCTCGGCTCGAAGCCGCTCGTCAAGGACAAGCCGAAGCCGAAGAAGAAGAAGCCGCCGCCGCCGCCGCGGGCCAAGGAAAACAACGGCGCGAAGGACGGCAAAACAGGTTTCCGAGACGAAAAAGGGCAAGGGCGGCGCGACGGGCGCCAAGGACGCCGCGGCCGCCTCGAAGACGAAGAAGGGCAAGACGGGCGCCAAGTAGAGTAAAACTAATTAATCACGAGGCATCGGCCGCGGCGCCCGGCGCACGAACGACTGCTCGGACCAGCGCCGCGCCACGGGCGGCGCGTCCTCCTCTTCACCTAACCGCCGCGGCGGCGGGCGGGCGCGCACGGCGCCGACGCAGGGCCGCACGGCATTTCCCGAACAATCTACGGCCTCGCCGTCGGCCGCGACGTCCGCCGAGACACCTTCCGTGAAGGCCGCCCGCGGCGCCCACTTGAGGGAACACCGGTAGCAGTCCTCGAGCAGCGGCAACAAACAACCCCAGTCCCCGCGTTCACATCCCGCTTCCGTGGCCGGCGCCGGGTGGCGCCAGCCCAGGGGCACGTCCCAGTCGCGCAGCACGTCGAGGGCCTTCCGCAGGTTCGCCCGCCTTAGTGAAGGCGTCTTCGGGGGCAGCGGCGCGAGCTTGACGCCCGTGAGGCGCTCCGCCAATGCACAAAGGACCATACCGTCGGAGAGGTCCCGCTTCAGCACGTCGACCTGGAGAGCGGGCGCGCGCTCGCAGACCCCGAGCTCCGCGAGCCAGCGGTCGAGCGCCCGCCTTAACTGCGATCGGTCCTCGGCCGCGTAGGCGAGGCGCCACGGCCGCGGGAATTTAGATGGAGTCGCGTCGGCGGCGTCGAGATCGTCGGCGGCAGGAAACGGCGGCGGCGCCGCGTCGGCGGCGTCGCGCGGCGGCGCGGGCTCGTCGGGCTCCGCCGGCGCCGGCACCGTCTCGTGGAGCCCCGCCGCGACGGTCCGCACCCGGGCGCCCGTCGCCGTCAGCTCCTTTGAGGACCGAACGTCGGCGGCCCGCGAGGCCTGCAGCAGGTCGTGCGCGAGGGGCTCCGCGTCCTCATTGGATGAGTCCCGGTCGAGCTCGCGGAACGTGCGCGCGTCGATCTTGTCGACGCTGATAGAGATCTCGTCCTTGCTTTCCTCCTCGATGGCGGCCGGGCACAAGCGCTGGAGCTTCTCGATGAGCACCCCTATCTCTTCCGGCGTCATGCGGTAGATGGCGAGGCTGAGCCGCGTCTTCTCCGCTACATCGGGAAGGCGGTCGACCTCCGCGTCCACACCACGAGGCCCCGGCGCCTCGAGTTTCGAAAGCGCCGCTAATAAAGGCCACGCGCAGTCTGAGGACCCGACGAAGGGCGCCGCGCGGCCCAGATAACTCCGCGGCACGGGAAGATGCCTCAAGCAGCGCAGGGCGCACCGCACTCGCGCGCGCGCACTTTTTCGCGACGCCGGCCTCCTTCCTGAAACGGCGCGATCTAGGATGGCGCGGTCGCGCGGTGGAATCATCGATACGTCAACGAGCTTCAGCACGACGTCGGCGAAGAGCGCGCCGTTCGTCAGCGGGTTTGCCAGCGACGGACTCTGTACGGCGCACCGGAAGCCGAGGGACGCGAGCCATGCTCTTGAAGCGAGCTCGTCTTTTCGAGACGGCGGGGGCAGGTAGTAGGCGCCGTCGTCGTCTGATACAGATTCGCAGTCGGACACGGGAGGCGGCATTTTGGGAGGGGGCCGTTTGACTCGAGACCGCGTCGGTGCGGTCTGCGGCCTTTTCCGTTTGGAGGCGGGGTCGACCCACCGTCTCACGCGCCGCGCAGCCTCCTGGCGCGCTTTCTCGTGCCGCGCCTTCGCCAGGACGTCGTCGGGCGGCGCCGGGAGCGGCGCTTCTCCCGCTCGTCGGAGGAGCGGCGACGCTTTGGGAGGCGTGGGCCGCTGCGGGACCGGGCGGCGCTGGGTCGCGGGCGCCGGTTGGGACCGCGCGCGCCGCTTCTCGAGGTCGCGCCGCCGCAGGAAGGCCTTGAGCTCGGCGACGTTCCCCGTCATTGCCAGCGCTTTCTCGTCGCGCGGTGGTGCCGCCGGGGGCGGCGTCGCGGCGCGGCGCCGCTCGGACGTCGAGCTCGCCGCCGACCTCGGACGGGGGCGCTCGCGCGTCGCGGCCGCGCGGACGGGCACGAACCGGGAGGTCGAGCGCAGCTCGCCGCGCTGAGGCGTGCGACTGCGAGATAATGGAGGCCGCGGGCGCGGGGGCGGAGGCACTGATGGTGGTGTGGCGCGGGGCGGGCGCGGCCGCGGCGGCGGCGGCGGCTCGTCCCGGGCCGGCGACGGCCGTTTTGGTGGAGGCGAGGACGGCGGCGGCGAGGCGCGCGGCGCCTCGACATCGGAATCCGAGGAGTCGTCCGGTACGCTCTTTGTGGAGAGCGCGTCGAGCGCGACGCGGACGACCCTCCGCAGCGCCTCGGCGTCGCCGGCGGCCACGGCCGACGCCGGCACGGCGCAGCGCAGCCGCATCTTCTGATCTAAGACGCGCGACGACCGTAAAGCGGCGAGCGCTCTTCTAACATTCGAGACGGCGGCGCCCGACGAGAAGCGCTGGCGGTCCGTGCCCGCCAGCTCCCAGCGGTCTTTCGAGACGAGTTTCACCTCGGCTTTCGCGGCGCCGCCCTTGCGCAGCACGCGAGCGGCGAGCTCCACGACGACCAGGCTGCGGTGGCGCCGCGCGGCCGCGTCGCATAGAGCTCGCGGGTCGGGCGGCCGCAGCGCCTCGGCGACGTCGGCCGCCACATCATTCCCACAAAGGTCGCGGCACGCGTCGCACAACGCCTTGTCGCGCGCATGCGGCGCGGTCGTGACTGGACGGGGCACGGGTCCCGAGGGCGTCTGCCGTTTCCTCCGGAGCGCGTCCAGCGCGTCGAGCTGCGCCCGGACCTCGCATCTCTCCAAACGTCCGGCGTCGACCCCACTCAGCGCTTCCAGCGACGCGTGCGCGTCCGCCTCGGCGCACCCGAGGACGTGCTGCGCCGCCTCTATTACAGCTTTACCATCCTCCAGGTCCTCGTAGGTCGAGACGAGGGCGCAGCTTAATGATGGTAGGCCATTCACAAAATCCACGAGGGCCGCGTCCATCGCTGCGTGTGCGCACTTGCCCTGTCCAAACGCTGCTTTTGCCAAGTTCTGTACCGCTCCCAATCGAAGGGCTGCCCGCAGAGCTTATTAACCGAGTGTCGGCACCTAAAGAGGACCACGTGCGCAAGCCGTGGCCTCCGCTTTAGCTCGTATTCGCGTGCAGTGCCAGTTTGTCTTGTTGTTGCCTGCAAACCCGACAGAAAACAGACACGACGCATCTCCAGCCGCGCACGTCTCCGCCCACGAAGTCAGCAGCCGGACGGACTCATAGACAGCCTTTGGTAGCGTGCGGGGCGAGCCAAGGGAGAGCTAGCGCAAAGCCTTTGAAGGCCTGCAGGGAGCCGTCGCGGGCGGGAGCACCGGCCCGGCATGGCCCCGGACTTGCCATCGGGCTGACCCAGCCCCAAACAACAGCGAAGGGCAGCCGCCGCCAGACCAAGGAAGCTGTGAGGGGCAGCCTGGGCGCCGCCGCCGCGCGCCGCGAGGATGGACTGGGACTCCTGGGCCGCGGATATAGCAAGAGAGGACTCCGTGGTCTCGCGGGGTTCCCTCCGCAGTCGCTCGAGGTCGCCGTCGCCATTACGGGACGCGTCGTCGCCGGTTGGGAGACTAAGGAGGGTGAAGCTGCCGCCGTCTCGCGAAAGACCTCTCAGCCCGACGAGGGAAGAACTAGTCCTACTCTCAACGCCACATCGACAGCAGCATCGGCGGCGACGGAGGACGCCGCCCGCCGGGAGGCTCGAACCTTTGTACGTAGCAGATCCGAACGAGCCCCCGGAGCTAGCGGCCATTCGGAGGGATCGAGCCGTGAAGGGCGCCCCTGGTCTGTACGGCGCTCCAGCAGACCAAGAAATAGTGCAGCCGCCGCGAATCCCGTCGCCGACGCACGACGTCGAGAATCAGGCATCGACGGACAGTTTGTACCGCGGCCGGAAGAAGAAGAAGCGGCGGGGAGATAGATCAAGGAGTCCGTCCCGCGATAGACTCGCTCAATTCTCAAAGCCGAAGCAGACCGTCGACGCTGCTTTGGCGCTGAAGGACGCCTGGGCCGCTGGCGCATCACGAGGGGCTTATTTCGACCAGTTGACGTCGATAGAACATGTGAGGGACTCGCTACCTATTAGCTTTCTGATCGAGACGGGCCAGCACAAGGAAGTACTCAGACGACGTTTGTCCTATGCTCTATCAATATATAGAAGAGAAAGGCTATATAATTACCGGCTCATCTGGGACCGCTGGTGTCATGGCGTCAAGTTCTTGCGGAGCCAGGAGTTCGTGGCCAAAGTGATCGTGAAGGCGCGGCATGATGCGATCAATCGGTGGTATCGGGTGCTGGAGATGTCGTGCGACTTAGCTTGCCAAAGACGTATTAGAATTTGGCATAGACACATGATTTTGTTGAGAAGGGCCGAGCGACGGAGGCTACGGAACGCGGCTGCTAGAGTATTGCAGAAGTTTGTTCGTCAGACGCTAGCGCGGTGGGCCGGTCGGAGATTGCTCTTCAAGCTTAAAAGACGGCGAGAGCACGCCGATGCTTGTGCCTTGCTGACTATTGCTACATTTCAAAGACAGCAGTTCCGAGCGGCGCGACTTGTCCGGTCAAGGACTCTAGCTGATCGCTCATATACGAACGCGTGTGTGATACAGCATCGCGTGCGGCTACGATTAGCTCGCATCGAACTAGCGCGAAGAATCAGACAAAAACAACTAGATCGCGAGGCCGCCGCCGGCCTCACATTGGGCAAGTTCATGCACTTCCTCAAGGCGGACAAATCGCGAAGCAATAGGATGTCGGCCAACCTAGTAAGGTGGCGCGAGAAAAAACTCATGTCCAAGAAAGGTGCGTTGACCCACGAGGAAATCGCCGAGCGCCAGTCGAAGATTGATGAATTACATGCCCAAATTGCGGAGCGGCGCAGGAGAGCTCTGGAGCTGCGCGAGGCCAAATCAAGGGAGCTCGACCGGATGCGCCTCGTGCGGAAAGACGCGGCTAGAGCAGCAGCGGCCGGTGACGGGTTCGACGAAGCAGCATTAGCTGGAGGGGATCTAGCCGCGGCCGCCGAGCAGGCCGAGCTCGAGGAATTGAGAAGGTTAGAAGCTATGTTAGCTCACGAGGAAGAGATGAGGCGTTTAAGAGCGGAGTACTCGCCCCCGCCGCCGCCTCCATTAACAAAGCCGGTGTTTGTGGACCATTCCGACACGTCCATCACTATCAAGGTAGACGGTGGTCAAGATGTCAAGCTAGAGTACAACAAGGTCGGAAGTATAACACATACAATTGACGCGACTATTCTACCCTTCTTCGGCGGAACAACTACCATTGTGGGATTGGAGCCGGCTTCCCAATACATATTTCGGTTAACGAGGAATGAGGAGCGCGGCCCCGTCCTCACGGCGGCGACGCACCAGGCTCCGGAAATTTGCGCCGTCATGCTCCAGAAGCGCGTGCGGACCTGGAACATGCGCCAGATTCTCGTGCTCAAAAGGAAAGCTAGAGAAGCTTACCTAGCTCTATTCTACGACAAGTGCGAGCTACTTGCTGAAATGATCGCGGCTGCGGTTCTTATCAAGACGTACCGTAAAGTGCTCCTGTATCGAGACTGGAAATGGGCCGAGTCGGCCTCGGCGGACGCCGTCGCTCTCCTAGCGAAGAACTACCTGTTTATGCTGCTGAGCGACGAGCACAAGGCCAAGTCGGTAACGAGGGATGCTGCAGCGAGGTACGAGCAGCGCATCTGGCGCGACCGCATGCGTCGTAGATTAGATTGGCACAATAGAACAGCATTGAAGATTCAAGTGGCACTGTACATGTGGCTTTCGCGTTTACGAGTCCAGTACGTTAGAGACGAGCACGACGCGTTTGTCCGACGGACTTCGGCGGCCGATGTCATCACGCACTTCTGGCATCGGACGCTGCAACGACGCGTGTTAGCTCTAAGGTTCGACGCGAACGATCTTGAGCATCGTAGTAAAGCGCAGACTGTGGCTACGAGTGCCGCCGTGTGTCTACTGAGGAGGGCGCTCGAGAGACGTAGATCACAGAGGTATATTCAAAGAAGAATAGACGGTTCGAGAGCTTTGCGGGAGGTTGAGAAACGAAGACAACGTCGTAATGATGCCGTGGCATTGATCTCCAAGAACTATCGGAGGCACTGGGACCGGAAACACACGTATTTGCGACTCGTAGCCTACATTCAACGGAGGAATGTGAAGAAACGCCATGCGAAGCGCGATCGCATGTCGCGGCTCGTCGCGAAGCACTGGTTCGCGATGAAGTGGCGGTACAACCAGCCCCTGAGAATAATTGCGAGGCGACGCGTGGAGAACAACGAACGAATGTGTGCGGAGGTCGTCGAGCAGGTGCGTCGCGACGACGCGGCTCTCGTGTTCCGACGAGCGATCCGACGCTGGCTCGACTGGAAATATCTGTGTAGACGCTTCGACGCGCAGCGCGAGAGACTTGACTTGGAGGAGACGTTACGAGAACGCTTAGAGAGTGCGGAGTGCATCCAGCGGAACTGGTTGGCTTATCTGGAGAGATGCGCCGAGCGGGCTCGAGTCCTAGCTCTCAGGGACCGGGACGCGCGACGCGAAGAACTAGAACTGCAGGAAGACGCGGCCTTTCAAATACAACGATGTGTGCAATGTTATCTATTTAACAGATTGCTCGAGCTACGGTTCCAGGCCGCCGCCCAGAGGTTAGACGCCGAGAGAGAACAAAGACGCAGAGTCGAGGCGGCTAGACACGAGCGGCGAGACGCGGAGAAGGCCCAGGAGCTCGCCGAACAAGCGTTAAAACAGGTCGAGCTGAGTAGCTGGAAGATGGGCGCCGACGAGGAGGGCACGAACTACTACTACAACTGGGTCACGGGCGAGTCGAGCTACGAGAAGCCGGAGGGCTGGTACCCGCCGGCCGAGGAGGTTTGGTTGCGGCGTCCCGTACTCGCCTCCATCTCACTTCCATGAGAGTGGTCTCGTTTTCGAGTTCGAGGCCGTTCGGACCGCGTCGAGCGACCGCGATGCCCGAAGCGGCTCAAATTCGGACCAGAGACCACCCATCGCCTTCTCTGATGGACACGACGCGCGTCGACCGTCGAACGACCGCGATGCGCCGCGCAGGTCTGGATCAAGCAGACCGACGCGAAAGGGAACGTCTACTACTTCAACCAAGATACCCTAGAAAGCGCCTGGTTCCCGCCCTGCATGGTTTGTATGAGATTGGAGGCGAAGAAGGTCTGTTTCTCGTGTCCCGATGCTGGAGTAGATGGGTTGTTTTACTGCAACGAGTGCTTCGAGAAGGTCAGTGACTCAGCGTGGTTTCCTTCCATTTCTCAACTTGAACTCGCGTCGATGGCGTCCTCGCGACGCCACGATGGCGTCGTCATGATCACACGAGAGCCTGCGCGTCGCGTGAGCGAGCTCTGACGGTATCGATCCACGCAGGCCCACGACGAAGACGCTGTTAATGAACATAATTGGCGGGGCGCGGACCAAGATAAAGAGGAGCTGAAATCAGGCGAGAAGCATTGTCTCGTGTGCGGCAAGGCCAAGGCGTCAGTGGTGTGCAAGGTCTGCCGGGACGAATATTGCGACAAGTGCTTCGCCGAGACGCATAGCCACGGCCAGCTCAAGGAACACCCGACGATACCCTACCTCGAAGCAAAACAGGGCTGGCAGAAGATGGTCGGCCGCGTGGCCGGCGAGCAGACGTACTACTACAACGTGAGTACGGGCGAGACGCGCTACGACAAGCCCGAGGAGTTTATGTTGGAGGACGAATTAAGGGAGCACCACAACTTCCTGAAGTTCCAGCTGGCGGCCGAGACGCATGCGAAGAAAGTGGGGGAGCTCCAGGTGCGCTCGCGGCGTCCGAATGCACTCGAAATCACATCTGGTGGACCCGACGCGCGTCGACCGAACCGCGACGCGCCGCGCAGGTCGAGGTCGAGCGGCTCCAGTACGAAAAGGACACCACTATGTACAACCTGTCCAAAGCCAAGACCAAGGACCAGGAGGAGCTTGAAGAATTAAGACGGTTGCTCATGGAGGACCAGTCGAAGCTGGGCTTCATGGGGAAATACGGGAAGCTGCTCGCGAACCCCTACGGCTACTGGAGGGAGCAGCGCGATCGTAGGTTGCAGAAGCGCAAGATGTACCGGAAGATGCTTTTACTTAATAAACGTGAAAGAGAAGCGGCGTTCCACGACAAGGATACGGTCTTCGCGCCGTCCGAGGAGAAGGTCGAGAGGAATAGCAAAGGTCTGGCGGTCGTGGACAACCTCGAGTATAAGAAGTAGCATTGTGAATCCTTTTGTCATTCCTTTCCCCCTCCACGCCATCGAGCAGACGCCGCGTCGATGGCGTGGCGGCTGACGGTGGTCGACAACTATTATTACTCCCCCGAGAAGTCCAGCCCGCAGAACATCGCGCCGACGTTGTAGCCCGACCCCGCGTCGTTTTCCCGATTCCGCCGCGCGCGGTGCCGGTCGTCGAGGACGGCTACCGCAATCTGGGCCCACTCCCGTAGCATACTTGCGGACTGCTCCGCGGACTGGTAGGTGGAAGACTGCGCCAAAATATCCACTAAAACCGCAGGTGCGATGCGGCCACGCCCCTCCGTGTCAATGGCCGCGACGACGTCGGGCTCGGCGCCCGCGTCTAGGAGCTCGGCGACGTCGAGGGCGCCTTCATCTGAATTTTTATCGTCCAATGAAAGCCCGGCGAGTAGACCGGATAAAGCGGCCCGAAAGTGGTCCGCGGCGCCCGAGCCGCCCTTGGCGAGGCGCGCCTCGGCCTGGTCCCTTGCGGACTTCGCGCGCGCGAGGTCCTCGCGGAGGGTGTCCAGCTCCGCGGGGGCCGCACGCGCGAGCTCGGCCTCGGCACGCTCGGCCTTGCGCACCGCCGCCTGGACGGCCGCCTCCGCCATGCCCGCGGCCGTCTCCGCGGTCTTCGCGCGCCGTATTACTTCATTCGTTTTCGCCTCCGCTGCTTTTTCGCGGTCGACCGCGGTCGCCAGGGCCTTCTCGGCGCGCGCGGCGCGCCGGGACGCCTCGGTCTGTTTTGTCTCGGCGGCGTCTGCCCGGCGGCGCTCCTCGTCCCGTTTTGCCTCGGCGGCGACGGCGCGGCGCTGTTCCTCGTCCCGCGTCGCCTCGGCGGCGGCAGCGCGTCGCCTTTCCTCGGAAATTCTGGATTCGGCCTGCGCGAGGAGCGCCGCCGCGTCGCCGGCCGCCGCGACGGCGTCGCCGGCGGTCTGGGCGCGCTGGACGGCGGCGGTCATGGCTTCCTCCGCCTTCGAAGCGCGTTTTTCGGCGTTGTCGGCGCGGCGCGTCGCCGCCGTGACGGCGTCGGCCGAGGACGAGATCGCGGCCTCGGCCGCGGCGGCGCGCCGCTGTGCCGCGTCGCGCGCGATCTCGGCGCTCTCGACTCGGTTGGTCGCGTCCGTCACGGCCTCGACCTCGCGCCGCTGAGCCGCCTCGACCAAGGCCTCGGCGGCCTCGGCGCGTTTTGTTGCCGCCGCTATTGATTCGCTGGCCGCAGACGCGCGCTTCTCGGCGTTGTCGGCCCGCGCGAGGACGGCCTTGACATTCTCCCGCGCTTCTATGAGCTGGTCGCGGAGCCCAGCATCGTCCGTCGGCGTTTCACGGACGCGTTCGTTCGCCGCAGCCAAGGCCTGCTCGAGGTCCGCGACGCGACCATTGTCGGCCTTCGCGAGGGCCTCCTGCAAACGCTCCATCTTCGCCGCGGTGGCCTCCGCGTCGGCCGTCGCGTCCCTCAACGCAGCGCGCACCCTCCCTAATTCGTCCTCGGCGGCTTCCAGGCGCCCCCGCAACCCATCAGCGATCCGACGCCCCTCCGCGGCGGCCGCCTCGGCCCGTCGCCCGTCCGTCGTCGCGCGCTCGGCCCGCGTCCGTGCCGCGTACCGCGCGACGTCAGCTTTTTCTTCGGCCTCGGCCCGCGCTAAATCGGCGGCGTCGCGCGCCGCCGCGGCCGCTCGCAACCGGAACACCCGTCCACACAACGCCACGGCCTCGGGCAGCAGTTTCGCCGAGTCGTCGGCGTTCTTGCGACCTAACAGCGACACGATCGTCCTCACAAACGCCTCGCGGTCCACCTGGGCGTCCGAGGGGCTGCCGACCATCGTGGCGGTCTTAAAACCGACGCGCTGCAGCTCCGCGACCTCGAGGCTGCCCGTGCGCGTTTCATCTAATGTATCGAAAACGGCGCCGAGCACGGCTCTCGCCAGGTCCAGGGGGACGCCGCCGATCTTCTGCTGCTTCTTCTTGGCCGAGGGGCTGAGGAGCGGCATATTGGTGCTCTGGTGTCCTTGTTGTGAGGGTGTTATGTATGGGTCCGCCGCTGGGGCTGCTGCTTGCCTTCCGCCTGCGCTACCCCTGACGGTCCCCCACAGCAGTCGTGCGGCGGGCAGCCCGGACGGCGGGTGGCAGCACAGCATCCAAAATCTCATACTGCCCAAGCCCACACGAGCCCGTCCAAAGAAATGCTCCAGAAGCCGCTCTCGAGCCATCCGTAGGGCTGATATTGCTTCGGACGCGTCGAGCTTTTTACCTCTAGTGTGTAGCGCACGCTAGCTTGGTTTTCAGGCGTGTCGATTTGCCGCGTTAACAAGCCCGCTAACGCGCATTCGGCGGCGTGCACTCATCTAAAAGTTCATTTGTCGCTGCGCCAAGCGGTCGCCGCTGAGCCAGGACCATCGCACGCCCCCAAACAAGTTGTGCTGAGTTCACCCCCACCAGCACAAATGCCCCCGAGCAAGTACGACAAGGCCAAGCAGGAGAAGAACGAGGCGTTTAAAGATCTACTAAAAGCGCTAGAAGCGCAGGACGGCGAGCTCACGGACCGCATCGAACGCATGGAGGAAAAAGTTCTGAACCTCGAGGCGCGGAACCAGAAGGACAGCCAGCCTGTTGTTAGCGTGTTTGCTGATTTGGCCCGGCAGGCCGCCTGGTCCACGTAAACATGGAGCGGCCTTCCTTTGATGTTGGTGCGGTGGTGTCGGTCGTGGCGTATGCGTTCGTGAGCGCTCTATCGGCTGCTTTATCATTTGATGACGAGACGCTCCCGGTCGTGTTTGGGGCCGTGTCTCCTATTATAGCGTCGCCGGCCGTCGCTGTGGTCTGCGCGCCATTTGTGCCGCGTTTATATAGGAAGCTCGGCCGAACGCGGACGCTGGCTTTGTGTGCTTTGTTGGTTGGTCTGTCCGTCGTGCCGGACGCCGTCGCCATTCCATGGCCAGACGTGGCCACGGCGGCCTCGGCACTCAACGCGCTCGCCGGCGTCGTACTATTAGCGCTGCCGTCGTCACTAGCTAGAGACGTCCTGCCCGACGCGTGGCGCCTCTACACGCCCCACCTCGATTTGTGGCGCACGGCGCTCGTCGCCCTCTTGTTAGCAATGAGGTCGCTCGGCACTGTTATCGAAGCCGCCGTTGCTGTGGCATGGTACGTGACCGTAGCGCTATCAACCGTAGCAATGCTCATCCTTGCCCTGCCGTCGCTGCGCAAGCCGCCGCCGCCGCCGCCACTCGCCGACGACGAGGCCTTCGCCGAACCTTTGGTGGTGCCGCCGCCGTCGCCCTCCTTAAATGCGCCGCGGGGCTTCCTGCCGCTCGCCGTGCAGCGCACGTACCTGCTGCTGAGTCTGGGTTTTGCCCTCGTGAGCGGCGGCGCTTCCGGTCGTGGTGGCGCTTTAGGAAGAGCGCCCACCACGGCGTGCGCCGCCGCGCTGCAGCTCCTTGCTGGCGGCGTCGCGTTTTTAGATCGGGAGCGCCTGGCCATCGGCGCTTGCGCTGTTCTAGCCGCAATAGGTGCTTTACTCGCCGCGCTGCCTCTGTCGTTCTCCGCGTGGGCGGCCTTCGCGTGTAGCATCACAGCAACAGCACCGGTAGGGGCCGTCTACGAGCTCGCTTCTAGAAGATTACCGAGTGATTCCATCGTGACGGCCGGCGCTGGTTTAGTTTGGTGTGCGAACCTCGTGGCGCTCGGCTTTGCTCTCCTCAAAGACGTGACCCCCACCGCGTGGCCGCGCCTCGCGTGCGTCGCGGCCGGTACACTATGCCTGGCCGGCGAGGTCGTCGCCGTCCAGGACTGGCCCCTGTTCGATCTGCGGCCGCGCCACGCGTCAGACGAGTACCGCATCGCCGACGCGGCCGTGCCGTCGTTCGCGTCATCTCTGGCGCCGCCGCCGCCGCCTCCTCCTCGGCGGGTGAAGTGCCGGCCTTGTCCTGCAGGGTCCGTATGAATAAATTTAAGTTTATAACACTTAACCCAGGCGTCCGACCCAGGCGTCCGAACCTAGCGGAATCGGACTCTAGAGATATGATGTGGACTGGCTGAATCGTCGGCGGCAACGGCTCAAGGTCGTCGGTGCATAACGGCAGGCCTTGCGGTTGCCGAGACTTTATTTTTTGCAACTACGCTGCTGTGAGCACATTGATCCGCAGCGATGGCGCCAGCATCCGCCGGCAGCGCCCGTAGCGACGCCCTGGCGCTAGGCCTCTCCCTGGGCGCCGCGGCGACAAGCGCCTACGTGCTGTGGAAGACGACGCAGGAGCCGAAGCAAGCGCCGAAGGACAAGCAATTAGAAAAAAAACTCAAGCAGCAGGCGCGCTCGCGCAAGATCGAATCCCTGATCATGGAGCGCGGCCAGGCCGGCACGAAGGACTACCGCGTCCACGTCCTCGCCAAGGGCGAGGAGGACATGACGGTTGCGGAGTTAAGTCTGTGGCACGACGTGCCCCTCGTGGCCGAGGGCGGCCTGTTTAACTCGGTGCGGAAATCAACCAGTGCGTCAGGCCGGCCTGGAGGTATTATTTACTATTCTGGCCGCCTCGACGCAGCGCGAGAGTTCTTGGCGTCCTCGCACGAGGCGTCTCACCCGAACGTTTGATGATTTCCGCACAGGTTTAACTTTATATGCGAAATTCCCAAGTGTACTAGAAAAAAGTTCGAAGTGGCGACGACGGAAGGCGCGACGCCGATTAAGCAAGACGAGAAGAAGGGCGTCTTGCGCGAATTTAAAAAAGGAGACATCTTCTTCAACTACGGCTGCTTCCCGCGGACGTGGGAGGACCCGCGCCACGTCTCGCCAGACACGGGCTACCCGGGCGACAACGACCCGTTGGATGTTTGTGCGTGTCTGCGTCCGGCTCATGGAAGCGCCATCGCGTCGACGGCGTCGCCGCCGCGAGAGAGAACGGCGGAATCGTCGCGTCGATGGCGCACACCTCGCAGGCGAGATCGGCCTGCGCCAGGTCCAGACGGGCGAGATCCGGCCGGTCAAAGTATTGGGTGTCTTGGCAATGATTGATGATGATGAGACGGATTGGAAGGTCGTGGCCATTGACGCGGAAGACCGCTGGGCGCCGGAACTCAACGATATTAACGACGTCGAGCGCCTCATCCCGGGCACCGTCTCGCTCATAAGGGAGTGGTTCCGCACCTACAAGATCCCCGACGGCAAGCCGCCGAACAAATTCGCCTTAGACGAGAAGTGCATGGGCGCCAAGTACGCCCACAAGGTCATCCACGAGACGCACACGTTCTGGTGCGACCTCGTCCAGAAGCAGCTGGGCGACGACTTCGGCTTCCAGCTGCCGAAGCTCGAGACGCTGCGCGGCGTGGCGAACGACTCGAAGATGGTGCGCAAGATCTCGAACCCGGACCTGACAAAGTTAGGGTGAATTCGTACGCCCTGTGCTTATCTCTATCTGCTTGTGTAATATCTATGAAATCGAGTCTCGCGTCGACAGCGAGTAGAGGCTTGTCGCATCGACAGCGTTGAAGCGGGTATTTCCGATTGAGTGGAGAAAAAAGCGCACTGCTTGAGGAATTAGCAGAAAACACCAAGAGTGAACAGCGGCGCCCTTTTTCATTTACACACCTTACGCGCGTCGCCCACAGTGAATTTCCGCGCTCACCGCTGCGTAATCGTCGAGAAATCGCAGGCTCTCACATCTCACAGCCTTGAACAACATGAAGCCCTCCACGCTCGATCCTGAAGAAGCCCAGCCGCTCCTCGCGGACCCGCCGAAGACGCGCCGCGCGACTCCCAAGGTCCTGGCGGCCGCCGCGGTGGCTCTCTGCCTCCTCGGCGCGTACAGCGGGTCCATGGCAGAAGAAGCAAGCTCCGATCCAGAGAAGCGACAGCACCGTCTAGACTCCTCCTCCCCGCTCTGCGACAGCACCGTCGAGACGAGCGTCGTGAACTACACGATCCCCGGCCTCGTGAACGTCTTCAACGCCGAGTGGGACTCTCTCGCTCAATCCACCGGCCTCGATCCCTACATGAACGTGATCAACACGGACATCAACATCCCTAAGGACTACTTTTGCGACGAGTCCTGCGCTGTGGATGGCGGAGGCAGCTGCACGAAGTCCTTCGTCAAATTAGACCTCACCGAGATGACGGGCCTCGGCGACTTCGTGCTCGAGACCATCGACCAAGCGTCGATGACCGTCAACACGGACGACACGTCGTGCGGGGAGCCCGACGGCGCGACGTGCGCGTTCTCGGCCTCGTTTCCTATAACGAGCAAGCTCTCGTCGGGCTCGACGCTCAAGCTCACGTTCTCGAATCTCGACTTTCAGTGCAAGTGTAAGGGCCCCTTCGGCGGCGCGTACCAGCAGACGCCAGTCAACCTCGGCACGGAGACGTGCAAGTCCACGGATGCGAAGGCCACGGGCACGCTGTCGGTGTGCTTCGCGGGCTGCTCGCCGGGCGGCGCGATCACGTCCGCGGCCATCACCGAGTTCAAGATCAGCGACTCGACCACGGTCACGTGCGATTCGAACGAAGGGTTCTGGGCCGAGGTGCAGTCCTGGCTGATCCCGCAGTTCGCGGGAGACATCTACGGCGCGGTGAATGCGCCGATCGAGGACGCCATCAACAGCGAGTTCTCCACGCTCGTCGACGACTACAACCTGGACACGTGCGGCAGCTCGTGATTCCGCGGTGTGGTTCCGCGGTGGTTCCAAGTTGTACATACAAGTCCCTCCCCATTCCTCCCCCGTTCTTCATTCTTCTTCTTCCCGACTAATCTTCTGTACATATCACGCGGTGCTCCTCCCCTCCCTTATTTGCGGCGCCAGCGTCGAGACACTACATGTAGGCCACCAAGCTCTCGATGGGTGAGGCTGGTGCTCTGCGAACGCCGACGCACCAAATATATAATCTCCGTCGCCGCCGCGGTTGCGCAGCCGACCTAGCAGGCCTGAGCTTGCGCTGGGCCAACTTTTAGCTTCGCGCGGCGACTGCAGCGGCTCGCGAACGTGAAAAGACGCACTGCGTCAACAACAATAATTGCTCGCGAGACGCGCCTACATTTAAGCTATGTCGCGCTTCTGGGTCGGCGACAAGCCGGGCGCGGAGACGCTCGCAGCGCTGGTCCCGGAAACCGTCCAGCGCAAGCTTGAAACGCGCCGCCGCTCGCGCTCGCCCCGCAAAGAGCCGCCGAAGAAGCCCACCGGCCCGCCGGGCGGCACCTCGAAGCTCGAGACGCTCCCGACGGAGCTGCGCACGCAGCTCTTCGCCTACGATGGCTACAACCTCATCCGTGAGCTCATCAGCCTCTTGACTGCGTCGCGGACGTGCCGGGACACCGTCGGCGCCGGCCCGCGCACCATGATCACGAGCGTCCTCCCGGCGCTCCGCGCGTGGCGCAACCGCGTCTTCCCCCACCGGGCGCCGCCGCGGCACCGCGTCAACTCCTGGAACCGCTCGCCGATGAAGCGTCGCGCGCGGAACCGGCCGATCATGAACTTCTGATAGTTGCGTGAAAAACCGGGGCTGTTGAAATTCCGAAGGAGAAGTGTATATCCCCGAAGATACCCTGTACTAAGACTGATAGATTACTTCGCCTGCTTGAGGCCGCGCATCGCGTAGACCGTCGCCGCCTTCATGAGGATGATGAACGCGGCGAAGAGGACGTAGGTGACCGGCGGCGCGATGCTTCCGTAGCTGATGTCGTTGCGGAAGCCCACGCCGTTCGTGATGCTCTCCGTGTTGTCGTTGCCCTCGTCGATGAAGCCCCGGATGACTAGATTGGCCATCGCGTAGTACGTTGGCGAGACCTGTGCGTTCATCGACCGGTGAGCTGAGCGCTGGTGACGATTGATGCGCCGCGCACCACCCAAATCCCCCACCGAATCCAGACAGGGAACGCGCTAGGCGTCGGGGCAACACCATTGAACATAGATATGAAGCCGAAGAAGAACAAAGCCACGTTCTGGGCCTCAGCAGACGACTTCTGCGTGACTGCAAAGAATTGGAACAAACTATCGGTCGCGAGGTAGAGCAAGAACGCGTTCAAGTAAACCTCGGGGAACAGGTACCAGCGGTAGTATACCGGGTCGGGACCCGTGATGAGGTACTGTATGAGCGTGCCGGCGAGGATCGAGAGCGCCGCGACGGGGATAGACGAGACCGTCGACGCCAGTAAATACGCGAGGCCCGAGTACAAGCCCTCGGCCTGCTCGGAGACACAAACAACTTTTTCTGCGAAGAACGTGGGGATGTTGGCCAGCGAGATGTAGATGACGTTCCTGCGCGGTAATCAAAATATTGCGTCGCGATGGCGTGGAGGTCTACACTGCCGCGCGCATGGTTATGTTCATCATCACGGTCAACTGATTTTGATAAACATTAAAGTCCTTTTCTGACTTGACGCGCTTCTGGAGCGCGCCTTGGACCACCAACGACGCGATCAGGCCCTGCAGCACCTGGCCTATAAATATGCCGATTCCGAGCTCCGTAGTCCGGGCCGCGCGCCGCACGGCTAAAATGAGCCGGGTTTTACAGCTTTTTGGCAGCGCCGCTTGCCGTTCTAACGAACGGCCAGTCGCCACACGTGTGAACGCGACACACGGTCTCGGCGCGACGACCCCTGGGACGCCGCGCGGTCGCCTAGACCACCACAGTCCCCCCAGTATTTGATTTTTGATTTTGATTTGCTCAGCCTGTGTCGTCGCGCGTGCCGCGCACAGATCATGCGGGCCGCGCGCAAGTTCGAGAGACTCGGCCGTGGCCGCCTCGGAGCCACGAGCCTCATCGAGTGGATACGTGAGCTCTTTCGGTACTACTACGCGCTCGGCGCCCGCGGGAACTTGTTGCGCGCGCCGCCGGCGCCGGCGCGAGAGGAGCCTCCTGCGGCCGCGGCGGCCGGCGACGAGGGCGACGAAACTGTCGCCGACTCGTCCGTCGAGGCGGACGCCGCGTACATCGCAGGGAGTCCATCGCGGGAGGGCAGTCGGCCAGTCACGCCTCCTCCTCTCTCGCCCATCGCCGAGGAACCGCCGGCCATTCCGACCGCGACGCCTGCGACGGACGCGCTGGCCGCCGAGTCCATCTCCCTCGCGGTGTGGGCCCTGGACGCGTCCAAGGCCGTCGAAAAGGAGCCCGACCCGATCCCGGAACCGCGCCGGCACGGTCATCGATGGCTCCTCCGGACACTCGTGTTTGTCGGAGCAGCCTGCGCCACCTTCCTTGGGCTGGCCCCGCGGCCCGCGTTCGCGAGTGTCGTCGCGCCGATCGCGTGTCTAGCCGGTCTGGAGGTATGCGGCGTCTGCGGGCCGACGTGCGACGCGGTTTGTACACACTAAATTACTTTTGAATCACACCAACAATCAATTAATCAACACCTCCAGCTGCACCGTGCTGTAGTCGTCCTTGTCGAACGCCGTCCGGTAGACGTCGTCGACGAAGTACTCCTCGCAGACCGGCCGCGCGCCGCAGCGCAGCAGATACGCGCGGAGCGCCGACGCCGTCGCGTCGGGCAGCACGCGCAGGCCGAGTCGTTTGGCTTGCGTCTCGAGCATAAGTCTCGGGGGCAATTCGGCCGCGTCGACGAGTTTGGCCGACAGCTGGAGCTGCGGCGCCGGGTTCGTCACGTCCTTGTTCTCATCACCCCACGCCTTGCGCGACGCCAGATCCGCGAGGTCCTCGGCGTCCGGCGGTGAGACCTCTATCTGGCCGCAGAGGTTCGCCGCCTTCGATATTTTGAGAATATCAACACATCCTGCAATCGCGGACTCGAGGTCTTTCTGTGACGCGTGCGCCGGCCGTGCTGGCCGCGCTGATGAGTAAGGGCCGCCATCGAGGAGCGCAGTCCCCAGCGCGGCTTCGAATCGAGCCGCAGCGGCATCGTCCTTGAGGAACGAATTGAACGCCCGAAACGCCGCGTACGTCTCCAGGCCGAACGCGGACTTGCCCTCGTAGAGCGACGCGTACGTGTCGCGCCCGGCCGCGATCGCATCCTCGACGGCCCGCTGCGACACGCGTGCTGCCGCACAACAGGCGTCGATGCCGCATTTGCGCGTCGCCTCCGCGAAGGCGGCGTCGACCGGCTTCGGCGGCGGCCGCGGCGCCGGCGGCTCCTGTTTCGGCCGCAGCTTGTACGATAGCGCGTCCCACCGCGCGTCCAAGGCATCGTCTATCTGCGCGCTGCGCACGACGGCTCTACGAACAGCCACACCAAGCTTCGACGTCTGCACGGTCCGCGCCACCGGCCCGCGCACGGCGTTTGCTGGGTCCTCCAGCATCGTGGCGGTATCTGTCGCAAGCATGTCCTCGACGCGCCCGGCGCTCGCGCGCAGCGGCGTCAGCGGCACCGCGCATGTTGTCAGCGCCAGCAAAGATCGGCGGGACAGCTTGACCGGTAGTGCGAGAGTCGACTGCGCTGCATGCGGTGCCTTCGTCGTCACCGCTGCGACTCGCTGCGCAAGCACTGCGCTGGCAGCAATGACAAAGTGCAGCACAGCCATCGCGACCGCTGGCACCGGTGCGAATGCGCGCGGCGTTAGCGTTCTGCGGTCACGTTGCACGCGCCGGGCCACCGCAATCCGTTCTGACGGCGCGTGAAAGGCCGCACAAATCAGCCAAAAGCCCAGCTCTGCAGCCAAGGCTGAGGGCTCATCGCTGCGCCGCAAACGCCGTAGAACTGCTGCATTTCGACGCGTGCGCTGCAATAGAGGTAATCACGCAGCTGCGTTCGCAGCCGGGGATCCAACCGCGCGTGCGGCGCGGTCTCACACGAAACAGTTTTGCCAGCTCGCCGCCTGAGCTTCCGCGCGCGCCTCGCGGCACATCGCTCGCCGCGCTGCTAGCACCATGAGCTCGAGCGACTCCGATGACGAGTTACCGATTGCTAAGATGATAGCCAAGCAAAACGGCTCCGCAAAGGCTGAGCCCGCCGTCGACGAGGCGCCAGCCAAGGCCAAGCCGGCGCGCGCGCCGACGACGACGGAGGCCATCTTCGACGAACCAGACAGCGACGATGATCTACCTATTGGGCAGATGACGAAGCAAAACGGCGCCGCGAAAGCCGAGCCTGCCGAGGGCCCGCCGGCGAAGCCGAAGCCGAAGACGACAACGGAGGCCATCTTCGACGAGCCCGACAGCGACGACGAGCCGCCCGCGCGGCGGCCCGCCAAGAAGGCCCGGGCCAAAGCCTCGAAACCGGAGGACGCGACGGCCGGCGACGAGGAGCTGGCGCGGCGCCTCGCCATGGGCCTGCCGCCGCGCCGCGCGAGCCGCGGCGGCCGCGCGCCGCCGGCGCCCTCGCCGCCGCGGCGCAAGGCCCGCTCGCCGCCGTCGAGCGACGACGAGGAGGAGGACGCCAGCGACGCCGCGAGCGACGCCGCCGAGGAGGCCTCCACAAACGACAAAGACGAGGCGCCCGCTCCCAAAAAGCCGAAGCCCAAGGCCCAGAAGGGCCCCCCGCGCGGCGCCGAGTGCGTCGGGGAACGCATCCGCGTCTGGTGGCCTCAAGATCGGTGCTGGTATTATGGGGAAGTGTTGTCGTTTGACGGCGAGAAGCACACGCTGCTGTACGACGACGACGAAGAAGAAGTGGTAGACTTGGGCGACGAGCGCTACGAGCTCGGTCCCCCGGAAGAGGAGACCAGTAGTTCTTCGGAAGACGACGAGAGCGAAGATCTGAGCGATGACGAGTACACGGACAAAATCAAGCAGGAAATATCCATAAAGTACGGCAAGGGCGCGGCGTGGTCGGAGCTGTTCTTCGATCCTTCCTACGAACGGGTCGAGGGCCAATTGGAAGAAGGCAGGTACGCGAACGCGGCGCCTAGATTGGTTCCTCAGAAAGAGAATGGGAGTCAGCCAGCGCCCGAAGAAAGCGATTCGGATGATGAGGACCAGTCGGCGCTGGCTCGAGCTGCGGCCTACAAGGCGGCCTGGCGCGACACGGGCCGAGCGAAGCGGAAGGTGAAGAAGAAGACGGAGGGGCCCTTTCGCCTGCCCTTGCCCAAGTTCGGCTGCAAGCGGCATACGTCGCGAAAGAAAGCTAGGGAGGCCTACGACGCGCAACCCTTCGCGTTCTTCCCGGGAGATACTGGTACCATGTACCAGGACTTTACGTTACCTCTATCCTTGGTTGTGGAGGCGGCCATCGAGCGCGAGGGCGAAAAAGGTAGGAGAGAAGGTAAAAGAAGCTTGGAGGTGGCGCTGAATGAGTTCGAGCTCATCCACCGATCGGAGCGGCCCGAGGAGCTCGCGGAGGCGGCGAAGCAGCGCTTCAAATTATGTAGGGACGAGTTCGGGAGCTGCGGGTGTTCTCAGAAGGTCGAGGCGCTGGCCGCGGAGCGGCGGTATTGGTGCGGCGTCCTCGACAGTGCCGCGATGACGCCGTCGACGCGCCGCCCCCCGCAGGCGCAAGGACCAACGCACCAAGGACAGCGACGACTCCGAAAGTGATGAAGAAGAATCAAAACAGATTGGCTGCTTGACAACAGGCACCTGTCCCGCAAGAGCTTCATTCATCGAATGCACGCCGAGAACTTGTAGTCTAGGAGCCAAGTGCGGCAACCGGCGCCTCCAACGGTGGAAGGGCGGCGGCATCGACGTGAGAGATTGTGGCGACGCGCGGGGCTTCGGGCTCTTCGCGTGCAGAAATTTCAAGGCCGGCGCGCTTATTGGAGAGTACGTGGGCGAGGTCATGCGCGCGCGGAACTACGCGCAACTGCGGCGGGAACGGAAGGAGAAGCACTGGTACTTCATGGCGCTGGACAAGGAGGAGGTCGTCGACGCGAGTCGTCGAGGCGGCCTGACTCGCTTCTTAAACCACTCGTGCGAGCCGAACGCGGAATGCCAGTCCTGGACCGTTTTTGGCTGTGTGGGAATCAACCAGTGTGTCGGGTGCACCCGATAATTCTTCACGAAGTCATTTCTCGGCGATGACGCGGCCGTGCTGGCTCGGTCGAGCGGTGAAGAACCGGCACAGCCACGCCATCGAGCAGTGTCGCGTCGATGGCGTGGCGGTCGACGCGGCGATTCAGGACAAACGCGCCGTAAATTTGATTTCCACACAGGTGGATGGGGAGAAGCGCATCGCCATCGTCGCGCAACGACCCATCGCCGCGGACGAGGAGGTCACGTTCGACTACAGCTGGAAGGGCGACCAGGACAAGTACGAGAAAAGAGCCTCGTCGAAGACGTCCACCAAATGTTTTTGTGGCGCGAAGAAGTGCCGCGGCTTCCTGGGCGATCGTGCTGAAGATTTTCTTGCTTCATTAGAGGAGGAGGAGACCGATAATGGTAGGAGGTTTTTTAGGCGGAAGCTGCGGCCGGACCAATGCGTAGATCCGTCGTCAGGTAAACTAATCAGAAGTGCCTTCGGGGAGGCCGAGGCCGAAGCTGTTGAGAGAACGGTGAACGGCTGGTCCAAGAAATGTACCAAGGAACCGTCCCAGGATCTGCAACGGGCCTTCTCATCAAAATTGTTCCTGCGCAAGTCCATGTACGGTAGTGGAGATCCTAAACAACATCAACAGCGGTTATTGCGGCCGCTGGAGTATTGCGAAGTCAAGGGAGACGGCTGGATCCTGCCGGCGCTGCACAAGCACGGCGGCGAGGACTTCGAGGCCGTTGTTTCTGATCCGAGCTTCGACGGACCAAGAGGCGGTAGGACCGCTTCCGAATTGGAAAGGGCGCTGGAGGCGTGGATGCGGCCGGCCTCAAAGAAACCGGTGGTCACGGACGACCGGTCGAAGCGGCTCGAGCGCTTCGAGGCCTTCCTCGCGCTGCCTCCTGATCAAAGAGCGAAGATCGAGCCCGCTTCCACAGAACCGGCGTGGGCGCGGAAGCTGCTCGCGGCGGCGCGGGCGAACCCGCCGTCGCCCAAGTCGTCGACGCCGCCGTCGCCGCTGCCTTCGTCTCCTACTAGGAAAAAGCGGTCGCTGTCGAACGGTGACGCGTCGCCCTCGCCGCGGAAGCGCGCTGCTGTTGCGAAGGTCCCCTTCCCGGCGCCGCCGCCGCCGGCCTTGACCTGAGCTGCTCTTGGGGTCTTGGGGTTTATTATTTAACGACGTTGTGGTATTTTTTTGCCCCAGGTGTTTAGGCTGAGGCTAGTTTAGGCTGAGGCTAGTTACGTCGCAGGGTTCCCCGTACCCCTCCCGCTCCCCCCGGGCCCACCCGTCCGGCTGGACTAGGACGCAAGGGCTGAGTCACATGGACTTTTTGCTAGTGTCTTACGTGCCGCTAGCAACCACGGCCGGGCCGCACTCCAGCGCGATCGGCTCACACGGCCCAGTGGGGGCTGGCGCTTGCTCCCACAGTGGCCGCAGCGCGACTCCTTCGCCTAGAACTGCACGAGTTTGCCTCTCCAGCTGTTGCTATCTAGATTGGTGTCATGGTGAAGGCTTTAAGAGGGGCAGCGCTGGCGCGACATATTAAAAAAGAGCGATTAAAAGTGGCTGTGTTCGAAGGAGACTTCGACGAGGTGCGGCGGTTGCTACGAGGGCGCCAGAACCAACAGGGGATCACCGACGGCGTATTTCCCTTCCGTACGGATCCCTCTTCTGATAGTGATAGTGATAGTGACATGCCTGAGGAGACTCATTCGATGCTGACTCTCGCGCAGAACAATGTGGAAATTATGAGGTTGTTGCTGGAGCATGGTGCCGACCCGACGCTCGAAGGCGACGGAGACACTCCTCTGCAACTCGCGTGCGGCTCAGGCGTCTGCGCCGTGGTGCGCCTGCTGCTAGATCACGGTGTCGACCCCGATGAGAAAATGCGAGTAGACGAGTGGGAGACGCCGATGTGTGCCGCAGCGTCCTATAACCACGTCGAGGTGATTCGCATTTTGCTCGATCACGGCGCATCGACCGGCCTCGTCAGAACTGCGAGACCTAGATGGCGTTACGGTGGGACTCCACTCGGGACGGCGTGCGCGCACGGACATGTCGACGCCGCGCGCCTGCTGCTGGACCGAGGTGCTGACATCGAGCTCAAGGACCATGGCCGATCGACACCGCTGGTCTCTGCATTAGACAATGCAATGCCTGCTGTCGTTCGATTATTACTCGCGCGGGGCGCCGACGTGGAACGACGCGTAGAGGTGCATGACAAAGATAATGTGCTAGCACGACGATACCAGCTTATGGCGCCGGTGACGATGGCACGCACTCGCTACAGCATGGTCCTCGAAGAACGCACACGCGACGTGCACGCGGCGCATATCAACGCCGCCTTCGACCTGCTCTTCCTCGCGCGCTGCGTCGTCGCGGGGCAGCGCGAGGAGCACGCGGGCTCGGCGCGACGCCGCGTGCTATTCGATAGAAATCTGGTCAAGGTCATCGCGACGTTCCTGGTGGTGAAGACGCCGATTCCAGAGTCGCACTCGGATTCTGACTCCGAGTCTGACTCGTCGGACGAGTCCGACTCGTCGTCGTCGTCGTCGTCGTCGGTGTCCTCGCACGACGATTAGTGTTGGATGTGTCGTTGACTAATAATTAAATGTTAGTTTGGCTATCTGTTGCGGTGCTAGTGCTAGTGGGCGGCCTCTGGTACGAGCTCGTAAATTTGCTAGTGTCCCTGGCCGCTAGCCCCGAATACGATCTGACTGAGACCATCAGTCTGACTCTCACCACATGAATGCGATATCGTAGCCTCAACGCGCTGCTGTGGTGCATGGCTGCGCTCACGGCAGCAATGCACCCAACGCGAATGCAACCAATGCAGCCAACGCAACCAATCTCGAGTCGAGAGCTGCGCAAAGCAGTCTCGCAGGCGCGTCGCTGCGACGACGAGTCGTGCATCGCTCTCGTGCGCGCGTGCCCGGCCGCATCGATCGACGGGGGCAATGCGAACGGCAAGACGGCGCTCATGCTCGCGGCGCAGTTCCGACCGACGGCCGCGGTCGTCGAGGAGCTTTTACGACGCGGTGCAAACGTCGACACGACGACGCGCCGCGGCCACACCGCGTTGATCTTCGCCGCGGGCCGCGGCCGCGACGCCACGATCGTGACGCTGCTGCACGCCGGCGCGTCGGCGTGCGTTCGTACAGTGACGGGCGACACGGCGCTGGACATGGCGCGCGGGCGCGCGTCGCCCGAGGTCGTGGCGCTGCTCGAGCACGCCGAGGCGACGGGTGGCCCGTGGCGCTCCTTCGTCGACGACCCGGACGCGCTCGCCGCCCAGGCAGAACATGCCAAGACCTGCGCCGTCTGCCGCGCGAAGCTCGGGGAGGCATTTCCGGACGACGCCTCGAACGAGGCGGACCGGCGCGAGGCGGCGCTCGCGGCCGAGACCGCGGCGACGAGCGAGCGCTGCCGCGCGGCGGAGGACGCGGCGTCGCTGTCGCGGGCGCTCGTTCTGTCGGCGTGCGCGGCCGCGGCCGCGTCGCGGCCGACGCCGGTGCGCGACGCGTCCAAGCGCGTGCTCGGCCCCGCGCTGGTCGACGCCGCGGCGCGCGACGCGCCAACGCTGCTCCGCGCCTGCGCCGACGGCGCGCTGGGCCGCGCGCTCCCGACGCGGGACCGGCGGCCGATACGATTGGTGTTGGAGGCGCTGCTCGGCGGTGGCGCGGTATTCGAGCCGGCGGCCCTCGTCGACTTCGCTCGGGCGGATCCCCAGTCCTACGCGACGGCGCTGGAGCTCTACGCCCGCGGCGGTGCTTCTGAGCCCACATGCGCGACGGAGCTTTGGAAGATCGCACTCGAGGCGCTCGGCCGACGCCTCCACGCGGGCGAGGCCCTCGGTGTCTATGGCGTATTAGCGGCGTCGAGGCGCCGGCGGAAGAGCGAGGGCGGCGCGACGGTCGACTCGCTGGTCCACGCGCGCGCGTGGGGCGTCGCCTGCCTGCCCGGAGGCGACGGGCTCGACGCTATCGATGCGCTCGCGGTCACCCTGGGCGTCGGCGCCAAGTACAGCGCCGCCATAGGGGCGCCCGAGCCGCCGCCCGTCGCGAAGAGCGCGCCGGTCGTCGCTTACGCGTCGCTGCCGCCGCTCGAACCGGTCCCTACCAGTTCCGTGGTCTGGGTCGGCGACGCAGCTTCGTTGGACGCCGCGGGCGCGGCGGTCGCCGCGGCGAGCCGCGTGGCCGTCGACACGGAATGGGGCCAATCCGGCGACGATGACCCCGCGGCGCCGCCGGCGCTGATTCAGGCCGCGGTCGGCGAGCGCGTCTACCTCGTCGACGCGCTGACGCTCCGCCGGACCGATGCCCTCGGACGCTTCGTCGAGGGGCTTCTCTACGGCGAGGGTCCCCTCCTTGGCTTCGCGTTCGAGCACGACCGCGTCCGCCTCGAGGCGCTGCTGCCCGCCGCCGCCGGCCGCCCGCGGCGGCTCGTCGTGGACCTGCAGCGGGCGGGCCACGTAGGGCTCCGGGACGCCTGCGCGACGTGGCTCGGCCAGCGCCTCGACAAGTCCGAGCAGTGCTCGGACTGGGAGCGGCGGCCGCTGTCGCACGCGCAGGTCGCGTACGCGGCGCTGGACGCTTCCGTCTTGTTCGCGTTGCATGATGCTATGTGTGCTTAATATTTATTGTCTTTGCAGACCCTGCTATTATCCCGCGCGCCGCGCGCCGTGCAGCGGGATGGGAGTCCCCGGGCGCCCCCCGACCCTCCCGCCCTCCCCTCTTCCCGTATAACTACCAACAAAACAGACTCATGTGCCCAGCGTTGCGTCGTCCAACGCGTGGTTCACAACCGCGAAGGGCTGACGGAGGGGAAAAGTAGTGTGTTCATTGAAGCAACCCGCACGAATTTTGGGGATTGCTCCAAGGGTGCGCCGAGTGGTCTTACAGCGCTCCTCTGCGGCGGGAAACGTCTCCACGGGCGCGATTCATAGGGCTGTAATCAGCCTCGATCGCCGGCTGGACTGGAGACGGCACGGCTAATTTGCTTGAGCGACGGCACACTACAGCGTTGAAATAGGACTGACGGACGGCTGAGACGTCACGAGCAGCAGAGAGGCTGTGAACTTGCGACGCCGCGGCCGCTCGCTAGAGCTCGCCTGCGTGCAAGCAGCACCTAAGCGAGGCAAGCGAAGCAAGCGGTGCGCCGCGACGCATAGCGAAAAAGTTCGCCCTCTGCAGCACCGGTGCGCCGGCGAGCACGCCGCCGCCGCGGGAGCTCGCAGCTGTGCGAAGCGCCGCCGGCGAGCGCCGCCGCAGCCAGAGCGAGCGGTGCTGCCGCACGCCGTCGCCGCGGCTCGCGAAGAGACACGAAAGCGCCGAGGCCGACGCGCCGACGCGAGGCACGAGAGCACGCCGCCGCGAGGGCGAGCACTCACCAATCCCGCAACGCAGGTCGCGACCATGCCGTCCAAGAAGAGCTCCAAGAAGGAGCCCGAGAAGAAGAAGCCGGCCCCGGCGCCCGAGAAGCGCCAGGACCCCCTCTTCCAGGCGACGCCGCGGAACTTCCGCGTCGGCGGCGACATCCGGCCGACGCGCGACCTGTCGAGGTTCGTCAAGTGGCCCAGATATGTCCGCCTCCAGCGCCAGCGCAAGATCCTGAAGGAGCGCCTCAAGATCCCGCCCGCGTTGCAGCAGTTCAAGACGACGCTCGACAAGAACCAGGCCACGGAACTCTTAAAATTGTGCATGAAGTACCAGCCCGAGGACAAGGCCGCGAAGGCCGACCGTTTGAAGGCGATCGCCGAGGGCGGCAAGAAGGACGACAAGGCGCCGCACGTCATCAAGTTCGGGTTGAAGCATGTTACCTATTTAATTGAGTCGAAGAAAGCGAAGCTCGTGTGCATCGCGTCGGATGTGGACCCCGTCGAGCTCGTGGTCTGGTTACCCGCTTTGTGCAAGAAGATGGACGTGCCCTACTGCATCGTCAAGGACAAGTCTCGATTGGGGACCGTGACGCGCCAAAAAACGTGCGCCGCCGTCGCGTTCACGTCCGTCCGCAAGGAGGACCAACACAGCCTAGACCAGCTCAAGAGCACCTTCAAGGCCATGTACAACGACGTGACGCGCCACCCCTGGGGCGGCGGCATCATGGGTTTGAAGACGCAGCGGAAGTTGGAGAAGCGCGAGAAGGCGTTGGCCGAGGAGCTCGCGAAGCGGTCCCAGGTCTAGAGGGGTGGCGTAAATTGGTGGGTTCGTTTAATTGTTTCGCGGCGGTGGCGTGGTGGTGGGATACTCCCTTACGCACTCGGGCTAGCCAGTCGTTCGCGGGCGCGGAGCACGGCTCGCGCGCCTTGCAAATCGCCCTCAATATCCACTGTGAGCGGATGCGCGCCGCCGAGCACGCGCCGCGCGATCCGTTCTATCTCCTCGAGCGTCGTCACTGCCTCGCGGAGATCGTCGAGCGTGGCGCCGTTGTCCGTGTAGAGCGTCTCCCCGTAACACCCCCTCATCCTGAGCGTGATGTCATGACCGTCTCCGAGGACGCGCCGCGCCACGGGCATCGTTTTGCGCAGCACCGACTTGACTTCTTCGAAGCGCGATAGGTCCTTGAGGGACGCCGCGTAGTTGCTGGCTGCTAAGGGCCGCTGCATTAGCAAAATTTACCTGGGAAACCCGTCCCGATAGTACAGGCTCACCCTTTCAGATAAGCCACCCATACGCCATCGACGCGACAAGTCCCCCACAGAGGGAGAGCAAGGCTCCTAAATGAATTAATACTTATTATCACTCCACCGCCAGCTGTTTATCCGCGTAGTCGGGATTGAACTTCTTGTACCGGTCGAAGAGCTCCACGAGCTTTTGGACGTACAACGCGTGGTACTTTTCGACATCGGCATCGGTGGGGTTCTCAATATGAGGTAACCCTAAAGGCCGGCCGCGCGCGTAGGTCAGCTTCACTTTTTTTGGCAATGGTAAAAACCACCGCCCCCAGAACAGCGTGAAGGACACGCCCGTCTTCCGCGAGATTTTGGCGAGGATGGGCCATTTTAAAGCCTCTAGTGAAGTGGTGTTGCCAAATAAGTACACGGGTACGAGGTCGGCTCCAGTGCGTAACGCGAGCTTGACGAAGCCCTTGCGCTGCTTGAGGAAGACCGTCTCTTTTTTAGGAGACGCGTAGAAGAGCTCGACCATGCCGCCGACGTAGAGGACCACGGAGCCCTTCCTCCGCTGGAGTCGCGACTTCAAGTACGAGCCGGAGGCGTCGATGCAGCCGAAGACCCCCACCACGTCCTTCAGGATGGGCATCGTCCGGATCACGTTGGCGACGGCCGTCGGGAGGTCGAGGATGCCGTCCCCGAAGCCATCTTTAGCTTGGAGCGTCGACGTGACCGCACACACGCTTACAAAGGGAAACACGCCGTGCGGGTGCATGCACCCAATCACGCGCTTGCCCTCCTCGTGGAGCTTCAGGACTTCTTGGTCCGTGATCTCGTGATATTCTTCGTATTCAAAATAGTACGGCACGCAGGCCATGAATTTCGTCTGGAGGAGCCAGCGGCCGAACTTGGGCAGGATCTTGGCCGGGATGAGGGCCGAGGCTATCAGAGGTAGGGTGAGGAGCCACACGTCTCTGGACAGCGGCCTTTTCGCTCGGACGAGCGTGACGCCCGTGATAAGTAAGTAGACGGGCGCGATCACATAAGTAGCGCTGAAGATGGATGCGGCGACAAACCCTAGTCGCCGCTGCGTCGGCGTGCCGTCTATATAAGATCTTGTTGGTTGCGTGAGGGCGGGGACCATGGTTACCGAGTGCTACCGGCTGAGACGGCTGTGAGTTGGCTTTTGCAAGGCTGCGTGCTGGTCTTGCTGGTCGTTAGACGACCACTGCGAACCGTGCGCTCGCGAATGAAGGCGTCGCGTGCGTCGTGCGTTTGTGCAGCGATGATGCACCAGGCCTTGCTGGCCACGCTGTAGAGCTCAGCTGGCACACCGAGCGATTTGTCGCTGTGGCCAAATCTGTTGACGAGAATTGCGCCTCGATGCGCTCGTTCGCGCCGCCGTGCGTATACGTCGCGTCCGAGAGTTAGCTAGTTCATAGACGTGCTAGATTTCCACAAAATACTCGTCTGGCGCGGTGGCGTGTGCACTAGCTGGTAGCATAGGCCACGTGTGAGCTTGCGCAGGGTCAGCGCCGACCCGCTTGCTAGCGGTGGTGAGGCTACGCCCATCGCTGTGGCAGCGCCAAGCTTGCTAAAGGCTGGGCGCCTCGCTGACGGATTTTAGCCGCGCGCGAGCGCCGCGGACGGCCGGAGAGGCCCGGAGGCGTCGCCGCCGACGCCTTGCCGCAGCCTGAAGCGCAATCGATAGATCAAGCTTCGTAACGCCGAAGCGATCGGAAAGCGACCGACAAGATGCTCTCCGTAAGGGAAGCCACCGTTTTTGACTTATTGAATATGCAACAAACAAATTTGTGGTGCTTACCGGAGAACTACAACCTCAAGTACTACTTCTATCATGTACTAAGTTGGCCCCAACTCCTCCAAGTGGCGGAGGACCATAAGGGCAAGGTCGTAGGATACGTTTTGGCCAAGATGGAGGAGGAAGACACGCCCCCCCACGGCCACATTACGTCTCTGTCCGTACTACGCACCCACCGGAAGTGCGGCCTGGCGACGAAGCTCATGACCGCCAGCCACAACCGGATGACGGAATCGTTCGACGCGCACCACGTGGCCTTGCATGTGCGGAAGTCGAACCGAGCGGCGTTCCATTTATATTCCCAGACGCTGGATTATGAGATTAGGGATGTGGAGAGAGGCTACTACGCGGACGGCGAGGACGCCTACGACATGCGCAAGGTCTTTGTATCTACCAAGGCTTCGGAGAAGCCGACGCCGCCGGCGTCGCCAGTACCTGAGGTGCCGCCCTCTGCTCCGGGTCAGGTGGGGGCCGTGGAGCCGCCGCCGCCGCCATGAACGCGTCTAGGTTCCTAACGTCCATTAGTCCCGTGGAGTTCCCGTTGCCGGTGACTTCTATACCACGCCAACGCCGTCGCAGCGACGCGTCTCGTAGGCTAGTGTCTTACAGACCGCTAGCAACTCGATGCAGCACACAAAACACACGCCAAGAGGCTACCAGTGAGATCCAGTGTGCTCAAGGGATCGTTGTGATCGATATCGCAGCGCACGCAAACTGGTGAGCATCGCTGAGCGTCGCTGAGCACGCTGCAGCGAGCGTGAGAGCAAGCACTCCTACGCCGTCGCCGCATCCATCGCGCGAGCCGCCGCGAGAGACGCGGCGCGCCCGAACTCCGCAACGTATCCTCGCACCGAAACGAAGACCAATGTCGGGCCTCGAGGACAAGCTCGCGGCGGCGTCGCTCGAGCCAGCCGAGCAGCCCAAAAAGAAACCATCCCTCTTCGGCAAGAAGAAGAAGAAGTCCTTCGCGACGAAGCTGACCCAGGAGCGCCCGCCCGAGAAGCAAGCCACAAAACCGAAAGCCGTACAACAACCGACGACCTTCAAGGCCGCCGACTACGCTTCAAGCGCAAGGCGCGGCGCCGACGTCTCGGCGCAGAACAACTGTTCCTTGGAGGCTTTGGGTGTGGCTCTGTACGCCGCGCGCGCCTTCCGGGAGGCGTTCGAGCGAGCGACGGGCTCGAGCCCCGTCGCCGATGCTCTACGAGAAGTACTGAAAGGAGTATCAAAGAACGAAATACCATCATCCCAAAACGAGGCCCTGCGCCAGGCGTTGTCGACGCGGGGCGGCGCCATCTCCGCGGCCTTCGCATACGCGGACGCCGCTGAAGTGCTCGAGCTGTTGTTAGATGCGCTGGAGTCTGATCTGGAAAAATGGAGCCGTCCTTGCACGTCTGTGGGGTATCAGCTCGTGCGGCAGCCTTGTCTCTTGTGCGGCGATTCTTCTAGAGCGGGCGCGATGAATGAGAAGCGAGACGTGCGGGCCTTTCCCGTGATCGCCGCTTCGATCCTACATTTGCTGGAGTCGGCGTCGACCCCACAGACGTTTGCGGATTTGTTCCGGGAGGCGCGGGCGAGTGAACCCGTCTCTTGTACCGCTCTGTGCACAAATCAAATTTCATGGCGCTTATCATGACCTCCACGCTATCGACGCGACGCCTGCTCGACGGCGTGGCGGCTGTCGGTTCCTCACTGTTCCATGGAGCCAGCACGGCCGCGTCATCGCACCCGACGCACTGGTTGATTTGCGCACAGGTACCGCTTGCGGGGAGAGGGCGTGCGCCGTCGGCGGCGAGATGGAGACCGTGGCACCGGTGTTAGTCGTGAACCTGACCTGGATGGAGACGCCCTCGTCGTCATCGATCGCGCAACTCGTCAGAGGCGCCCTGCTCCCCTTCGACGCCGCGGTGGCCTTCGGCGGCGGCTCGGAAGGCATGTATCAATGCGTCGCCGTCGTCTGCTTCAAGGGCGACCACTACACGGCCTACGCGCGGCCGCCTCCGTCCAGTGTGGACCTGCGCTACCCGCCGCGCTGGACGCTCCGCGACCGTTTTGTCGACCGCGGGAGCGGCGACGTCGAGTGGTTGCTCGGGGAGCTGGCCACGGCGAAGCCGAAGCTTCCGGCACTGCTGGTGTATGTGCGGGTGTAAGTGATCTATGTGTCGCGGGTTTTGTGCTGGGAAAATTAAGTACCCGTCTGGGCAAAATAGCCACGTCGAGACACCAGCGCCACAAGAGATCGTCGCGACCCTCAGACTTCACTTTCCGCAGCGCACTTGACCGCTGTGACGAAACGCAGGCGCGTGAAGCTCGATTTTCACTAGATACATCAGCACAAGATGTCTCAGCAGTCGAAATACGGCGCCGTGGAGGCCGAGGCGCCCGCCGCCGCGGTCACGCATGGCCGCGCCCGCGGCATCGTGCTCGCGTTGGCCCTTTGCGCCGGCGGCGCGCTCTTCGCCGTCGCCGGGCCGGGCCCGTCGCCGCCTGTGTGGAAATCAACCAGTGTGTCGGGTGCACCCGACAATTCTTCACTAAGTCATTTCTCGGCGATGACGCGGCCGACCTGGCTCGGTCGAGCGGCGAAGAACCGGCATCGCCACGCCATCGAGCAGGCGTCGCGTCGATGGCGAACGCGCCGTAAAATTTTGATTTCCACACAGGTCGCCGCGGCTCCGCGGGACGCAGCTCGACTCCTACTGGACCATCATAGGCGGCACCCCTACTCAAGTTGAGCCCGATGCCGAGGGCCTCGAGGTGGTGATCGCGACCATGGAGAACGGCGAGCGCGTCCCGGTCGACACCCCGCCGATCGTCGGCGGCCCCGGCGACGACGACCACGACTGCTGCGGCGGCGGCTCGGCGTGCGGCTGGGGCTGGTGCGAGGCGCAAGGCAAGTGCACGCAGGTGTGGGAGTGCGAGCCGGACCCCACGATCGAGGTCGGCAACGCGACGACGCTCCCGGCGCCGGCCACGACGCCCGGCGTCGTCAACTACTTCCCCGACGCTCAAGTCGCGGCTCAAGCCAACACGGACTGCACCGGCGGCGAGGGCGTCGGCATCGGCTGCGCCTCGGGCACGACGCTCTCGACGGAAAACGAGTACTCGGGCGAGGGCGAGTCCACCGGAGAGGCCGTCAAGCACTCGACGACGGCCACGACCGTCGAGGCCGCGAACGCGGCCGACAAAGAAGAGCCCTCCTCCCAGTTCCAGATTAACACGTCCGCCGGCCCGGCGTCGCAGTCGACCACGAACAAAGGCGGCGAGACCGTCCACCAGGGCCCGGGCAGCGCCACCGTTCGCGACGGCGCGGGCAACGCCAAGTACATCCCGGGCCGCAAGTAGGTGATGCGCCGCCGCGGCGAGAGCTAGCTACGCTGGGTAATTGGCTCTCCATCTACATATACTTAGGAAATCGCTTCGATGGCGTCGACAACCCGTAAAACCCGAACCCTGCGAGAGCGCGATCGAGCTCGAGCGCTCTGCCGGCCGCGCGCGGCAGATATCTGCAGGGCAGCTGCAGGACAGCCGCAGCGATAGTGAGGAAAAGCGTGCGTGCAGCCCTTTGGCAGCTAACCACCGCAAGCAGCAATCCTTGTTGTCCCACTGCCAAAGACAAGGCTTGGGCCATGGGGTTGTTCGTGGCGACCAAGTCGCCCAAGGGCCAGAAGAAGAAGCGTCATAAGTACAGCCACGGCGGCGAGAGCATGAAGGCCATGCTCCGGGACGAGCTCCGCGAGGACGCCGGCGCCGCCGCCGCGACGGGCCCGACGGCGGCCGAGGAGGCCCAGTGCAAGGCCGAGGACGCCGCGCCCGCTGGTGCAGCCGACGCGACAGAGATGTACAAACGCATCGCTGACTGGTACAGCAGCCCGGAAGGCGACGCGCTGCGGGCAGCCTGGGGTCAGTATCCGTCGTCGCCAGAGACGCTCGAGAGCTGGCCGGGCTTCGTCGCGGTGACCAACGCGTACCTCGACCACGCGGGCCCGCCGACCGCCCCCGCGGCGAACCAGTTCGAAGGAGCCGTCGCGGAGGAAGAGCCGGGCTCACCAGTGCTTGAAGATGATGCGGAGGCATGGAAGGCGCATTGCCGCAATGTCGTCGCGATGGTCGAGGGAACTGTTGTTGGCGAGACGGCACCGGGAGATCCGGTGATGGCGGGAGAGGTGGTGCGAGTGGAGGCGGAGGCCGGGTCGGAGCCCGTTGTCGCGAGCGAGGTGGTGCCCGAGGTCATGGAGCGCAAGGCGCCCGCGAAAGGCCCGACGCGCGGCTCCGTCGAGGCGACCGGCCCAGTGCTGACAAACGAGACGCTGCGAGACTGGGTGAAGCGCTGGTGCAAAGGCAAGAAAAAAGGCCTGCCCCACATCTCAAAGTGGAATACGAGCCAAGTCACTGATACGAGCGAGCTCTTCAAGGACCAAGTAAACTTTAACGATGACATCGGCGCGTGGGATACCTCTAGCGTCACGACGATGCGCGGGATGTTCGCCTTCAGCGGGCATGATGCTGCTCCTATGCAATTTAACCAGAATATAGGCAGCTGGCGAGTCGACAAGGTCACGGATATGAGCAGCATGTTCCGCGGCACCTCGGCGTTCAACCAACCGATCGGCGGATGGCAGGTCGATAAAGTCACGAATATGCACAAAATGTTTGACCGGGCCGAGTCGTTCGACCAGCCGATCGGTGGCTGGCGGGTCGACCAGGTCATGGATATGAGCATAATGTTCTGGGGAGCCAAGTCGTTCAACCAGCCGCTGAACGACTGGCGGGTCGATAAGGTCACAAATATGAGCAGGATGTTCGAACGGGCCGAGTCGTTCGACCAACCGCTCGGCGACTGGCGGGTCGACAACGTCACGAATATGCGCCGGATGTTCTTCAAAGCCTCGTCGTTCAACCAGCCGCTGAACGACTGGCGGGTCGACAACGTCACGGATATGGGCGCGATGTTCTGCGGCGCCTCGTCGTTCAACCAGCCGCTGAACGACTGGCGGGTCGACAACGTCAGGAATATGAGCTGCATGTTCGAGGGCGCCTCGTCGTTCAACCAACCGCTGAACGACTGGCGGGTCGACAACGTCACGAATATGAGAAGCATGTTCGAACACGCCTCGCGGTTCAACCAACCGCTGAACGACTGGCGGGTCGACAACGTCACGAATATGAGCAGCATGTTCCTCAGCGCCTACTCGTTCAACCACCCGCTCGGCGACTGGAGACTTCGGTCAGACTGCAAGACTTGGATGATGTTAGACTGTATAGACTTCCGGAATAGCTCCCCAGTGAAGGAGTCGTGCTGCGCCATCTCGTAACGTTTCTAGATTTACTATAGTATCCCAGGTGTGCTCTGAAACCGCGACCTGGAAGTCCTGGTTAATACACAAATACCAAACTTAAAAGATCACTCCTCCTTCCCCCGCGACGAAGAAGAAGAAGAAGAAGGAGAAGCATGGGACGCCACCGCGACCGCCACCACCCCCAACAACACACACAGCCCCGCGGCCGCCGCCGCCCGCTCGCGCCGCTTCGCCGCGTTATAAGCGTCGAGGCGCAGGTACTCGTTTCGCTTTCCATGAGGCAGTTCGAACGACGACGGGAATGGATAAAATGACAGGAAGAAGGCCTCGAACAGGTCCGCGAGCGCCGGCGTCATAATTCTCACGTTGTCATTGACGCACACGAACTTCGTGCGCCGCGCCCTTATCGAGTCGAGCTGGCGTTTTGTAGAGTCGTAGTCGTCGCCCAGCATCTCGAACGCGACCTCGTCGAGCGTCTCTTCGACCTTGTAGGCGCCCCGTCTCTTAAAACGCGTGCGTGCCTGTTCTCTGAGACCATTTACGGCTTCATCACACTGAGAGAGGGACCCGCGCGTGACGATCCTCGTGTAGCGCTCGTATTTTGATGACCGAGCGTCGCTTCCATAAAATAAACGCGGGACGGCTCGTCTTCTAGAAGCGCAGGCGTAGATGCGCTCAATATCCTCATCCGTGGGCTCCTTCCCCAGAACGCCCGCCGCGAGACTGATGACCTCGTTGCCCCTTAATTCCCCATCCCCATCGCTATCGAGGTCGCGCCACACCTCTCTCATGGAAACATCATATGCATCGTGCGACTCCATGACGTAGTGCATGTAGCTAAAGGCGTACTGCGCGTCCTCGCCGGACCGGAAGCGCCTTCGGGCCGTCGCGGCCCACGGCTCGGGGAAGCGCTTCTGGAGCGCGGCCATCTTTCGTTTATCGATGAGATGGGGCATATGGGCCGGCACGCGTCTCTGCTTGGTACCGAACTCGTTGTCATAGAGCCGGTTCGCTCTCACGAGGGACTCGCCGTACGAGTCGAGGAGGAGGCGCCGCCCCTGCCTGTGCTCATCGTCGCTGTATTGGGCGTCGTAGGCAGCGCAGGCGTATTCCTCTCCATTATGTAGGACCCGCAGCACAGCGGCGACGTGCGAGCCGTTCTCTACATAAAGATGAGCCTTGTCGTTCGGACTCAGCTCGCCCCAGAGCGCCTCGCCGGGCAGCGGCAGCATGAGATTTGAATCATGAAGTAGCGCCTCTAGCTCTACAGTGAGTTTGGTAGAGACGGTACCGTTCCGGCCCGCGACGCTCGCGGCGACTTCCACAACGTCTTCAGTGGCGTTCAGACGTATGGCTCGCGTAGGAAACGTGGGAACGAGTTGTATAGGTGCGCCGTAGTTCGTCGCGAGGCACGACGTCACCGTCTCTACGGGTAGGACGGGCGGCGCGGCCTCAACCACCTGAAACGCGTAGGTCCTATTTCTCTCCTCAGTAGCGTTCGCGTGCGCACAGGTCGCCTCGACGACGGCGCGCCAGGTCGTCGCATTTGTGGCGTTCTTGTCGACCAAGACCAGTAACAACTGCGGCGCCTCCAAGATCAGCGACTCGACGACGAACTCCGGCGCGTGAATGAAATGCGCCCTGAGAAACGTGCAGTTCTCGCCGAAATCGCTCTTCAAATCCGCGTACCCACCGGTACTCCCGCGCGGTATGTCAATAGTCCCGTTCGTTTGCGACGGGAGCGCCCCCAAAAACGAACCGCAGTCGCCCGCGTCGTAACCACAGTCCACAACATTGCATCTTTCATCACAAGTCCCGTCCCCGAGCCAGGCCGCGGGGCAGCCCCGCCGGCACTTCCTCCCAGAACCGTGGCCGTGGTGGTGGTCGAAGGACCCGTACTTGTTGTCCGCTGTCACGGCCTCCGTCGCGCCGGCGCAGTCGCCCCGGTCGAACTCGCACGCTGAGACATTACAAGACGCATCACAAGTACCATCACCTAACCAGGTGTCCATGCACTCGTTCGAACATTTCGGCACGTCCCACGCGAGGTATATTCGAGGTGCCCCCGCCGGCGTCAGGAAGTCGTCGGGCCACGTCTCCGCGCCGAGTAACACGTCGTCGTTGAAGTAGATGAACCTATCTGACAACCCGCGAATCTTGTGGAGCATCGTCTCGATGGCCGGCGAGGAGAACACGGGCAGGTACTGGCGGAAGCGCCGCCCGAAGATTTCTCTGTGGGAGACCACGGTTATTCTATCAGAGTCCATATTCAGCCAATATGGTATTTGGTCGTCCGTGACCAGATAAATATGGCGCACCCAGGGCGCGTACTTTTCGAGCGATCGCAGCGAGTACCGCAGCTCGCCCGTGTCCCTATATCTGGACTCGGACGCGGCCTCGTCCGGGGTTGGCGCGGGTGTGGAATCGTCCGTCGCGTTCTCTTCCGGGACGGGTTCCGCCCACGAGTCGGGGTAGTCGTCCCAGTGGCCCTTGTACTCGTCGTGGTGGTATTTCTGGTAGTCGTCGTAGGGCGTGTAGTCGTCATTCCAGAGCAGGCGCCGTCGCTGATGTTTTTTTGGAGTGTACCTAGCTTTAGCGGCGAGCCAGACGGGATCGCTCCCGTTCACCCACGTGTACACGACGTCGATGGGGCCGTAGCGCCGCGCTCGCGCGCCCGCATCCCTACGGCCGATGTTGTTTGTCGTTTCGTCGTCGCGGCGGCAGTCGCCCTCGACGAAGCTCGCGAGGGCGCAGGGGCCGAGGACTCGCAGGAGCAGCAGGTGGCTCGCGACGACCGCGCAGGCCGCGCCGACGGCGTATTTGAGCGCCTGCCGCATTGGTGCAGCACTTGTTCGCCTCGGCTCTCGGAGGTCAGAGCTCGATGGCACGGCCGCTGCCGCGTTTTTCGTCGCGCGGGCCAAGATCTGTCTATAAATGGGTGCCACTCGTGGCAGTTGAGCCTTCCGCTCGGGCTAGGACGTGCGTTACAGGCCGATGTACGTCTGCCTTGAGTGTTTGCTAGTGTCTTACTGCCGCTAGCCCACCCGGAACTTCAAGGGCTTCAACGGGCGCCACTGCTGCACGTGACACGCAGCTGACGCACCGCGGCATTTATTTTCATCCTACGAACGCGTCGCGGCCGCTTCGCTCCACTTTGAGACAGCGCACGCAGCACTACAACCAACTTCAGCCAGCCCAGCGAGATTGCGCTACCGACGCCGGGCCGCGCGGAGACCTGCACCTCGCGCGTGCCACAAGCCACTACTCACGCATTCGCTGCACTGCTCGCAGCGCGCGCCCGCAACAAACTCGACGCCATGCGCCGCCGCACCGCAGCACAGCTGCTCGTCTGCGTGCTCGCCAAGGCGCTGACGCCGCCGAGCCTCGTGCGACGGCGGCGCGCTCCTATCGTATACTCCGATGAGCCGCCGCTCCCGCCGGAATCAACGGGAGACGCGCTGCCCGAACCCACTGCTGAAGAATTTGATGATTTGTCTGACCTGTTAGATGATGAGGACGACGACCTGCTAGCTTTAGATGATGAGGCAACGCCCCCACCGCCGGCCGACGACGACGACGACGACGATGGGTTGGCGGAGTTGCTGCGGATGGGAGATGCTGGCGACTCGGCCGCGTCGCTCGAGGAGGAGTGGCAGCGGCGGCGCGCGGAGATGGAGGACAAGGCCGAGAAGAACGCGGCGAGGGCCGAGAAACGTAGACTACAAGCCGAGGCCGAGGAGGCGTTCGCGCGCGAGCGAGGTCTGGGGCTGTTGCACACGGATCCGGTGTGTCGAGGGGTGGTCGTGTGCGTCACGAGAGGAACGTCGGAGGACAACGCGACGGTCGTCGAGCTGACGGATGCTCTGAGAGGTGCTCATGGTATGAGAGTGGAAGTAGCACATAACGTCGACCCCGAGCCGGAAGAGGACCTGCCGTTGTTCGAGGTCTGGCTCGAGGGCTACCGCTACCAGCTGTTGCACGCGCGGAACTGGCGGGGCGACGGGGACCTGACACCCGACAAGATTCAGGCGCTGGTTTCAACGGTGGGCGAGGAGATCTCGGACGAGGCCGAGCTCGTGCTCGGGACGTATCCGGACGTCGAGGACTAAGTAGTAGCTTATTATTGACACGTATTCTTAGGCGGCCGGCGTGAAGGGGTAGAATCCCGCGTGCAGGTAGAACTCGACGACCTTGCGGACGAGCTCCGGCGGCAGCAGGTGCGCGAGCTTCGGCGACAGCGTCTTGGCGAGGGCGGCGAGGTGGGCGCGTTCGTAGGCCTTGAAGCCGCCGGCGCTGAGAATTCGGCTCATGTATGGGTCTTCGGAGAGTACGTCGAGACAGTGCGACGCGAGCTCGAGCGGGGTGTTTCGCCGGACATGCGCGACGAGTATGGTTCTACTCCTCTTTTTATCGCGGCTAATGAGGATGCAGACTGCGTATCAATGCTGTTGCGGGCGGGGGCCGATCCGAATGCCGTGACGGATCACATGGGATTTACGGCGCTACACTCGGCAGCGTATAACGGGTCCGAAAACATCATTCGCATGCTGCTTGAGGCGGGCGCCGCCGTCGATGTTAAAACGAACACGAATTGGACGGCAATTGACTACATCTACTCTACGAGGAAAGCTCATGTTTACCCGCTACTTCTACGCGCCGGCTCCGAGCTTCCAACGGAGGTATCTTGGCAGCCATTCTCGGAAGAGCCATACCTGAGCCGAGTTATCAGCGCCGGCGGCTTCAAGGCCTACGAACGCGCCCACCTCGCCGCCCTCGCCAAGACGCTTTCGCCGAAGCTCGCGCACCTCCTGCCGCCGGAGCTCGTCCGCAAAGTCGTCCGTCTCCGAGTCACGCCATCGACGCGACGTCCGCTCGACGCGTGCGATCACGCAGGTCGAGTTCTACCTGCACGCGGGGTTCTACCCCTTCACGCCGGCGAAAGCCCCCGCGACCGCGACCGCCTAAGACTATCGATACTATGTGGTTAAGGGGGAGGGAGGGGATAGGGATAGGTCTAGGCCTTCTGCTCGGCCGTGCTGATCGTCGCGTAGCCGCCCGACGACTTGGGCGGCGCCGGCGCGGCCTCCTCGCCGGCCAGCTCCTGCTTGATCTTCGGGATCATCAGCAGGCACGAGATGACCGTCGAGCAGAGCATGAAGTACCAGAGCGCGCTCCAGCCCAACGCGTCCGTGATGACCGGGACGGCCATCTGGCCCATGGCCGCGACAAACGACCCCGAGCCGTTAATCAAACCGACGACGGTACCCAGGGCCGACTTCGACCCTCTGATGGACGGGTGCTCCGCGAGATCAGCGGCCACAGCTGACGTCACGATGTTGTTCGGCCCGCCAATGAGGATACCCATGCAGGCCAGCATGACCATCAACGTGAAGGTGTTCAGCGTGTCCGCGAACAGCGCCATGATCATCAATAACGGGCATAGTATTAATAAAAATACGACGATGACGCAGCCTCTTCTACCACCCATGGCATCAGAAACCACACCAACAATGATCCCGCCCGGCATCATCCCGAAGTCGTACAACGTACTAATCATGTTCGCCGTGTCCGGCTCGAAGTGCGTCTGCAGGAAGAGGGGCAGCCAGAAGAACAACACGTAGTTGATCGTCTTCATGAACCCGAAGGCGACGCAGTAGCCCGCCACCGACGGGATCTGCAGGGCCTCCTTGATCGTGATGCCGCGCTTGGCGGGCTCCTCGGGCACTGTATTGAGAGTAGTACCAGTGAGGGCGGCTTTTTCCGCGGCCTCTTTCCGCGCATGCGCCTCCGGAGTAGCGGGCAAGGCGAAATGGCACACCAAGCCCCAGCCCGCGTTGATGAAGACGGGCCACATGAGGCCCCACCACCACTTGGCATGCGAAATGTTGCACAACACGATAATCACTGGGGCGATGATGTTCCCGAGGTACTGGTGCGTCGTCCAGGTCCCGTAGATCAGACCGCGGTTCCTCCGGGCCTCCGGCGTGACCATCCAGTTGCCCATGATAGCCGTGCCGACGGGGCCTCCGATCGCCTGGAAGAAGCCGAACACGAGGTAGACGCCCAGGAAGTACGTGTTCGCGATGAACGGTCCCGCTTCCCCCAGGTGGTTCCACATCCCAAAAATGAGCATGAAGATGCACGCGGCGGAGCCGTAGAGTCCGACGCCTAGCACCATGCTCGGATCATACATGTCGCCGAGCTGGCCGGCGAGCGGCGCGCCAAACGCATACGTGAACATGAAGCCCGCGTCCATGCGCCCCAGGACCATTTTTGAGAGCCCTAACTTGATCATGACGTTCTTCACATTAGTATAACACTTCCGCGTGATGTGATTCGCGGCGTACTGGATCCAGGTCACGAAGTAGACCCAGGCCTGCATGCGCATCGTGATTGGTGGCGCGTCCGCCATCTTGGCTGTGGGGTTCGTGCGGCCTCCCCTGCTGCTTAAAGTCCACTACGAGCGGCGACCTGCGACGCCTGCTACCTAAAGTCTACTTCGGCGTCTTTCCGCGACCTGCGGCGGGGAGGTCCTGTGTAAGTTTATGCGAAGAATTTGCGTCGGCGGAGTCGTGCCAGCCACTGCGACTGCTGTGAGCATCCTCGTCCTCTTCCTCAGGCGGTTGCAATGCCCGAGGAAGGGAAGAAGACCGTCGCCGCAATTTCGGGAGCGCGCGTTAGCGCTTAGTTTGATGCAGCGCAAGCTGGCCGGTTTGGGAGCAATGTGAATTTCGGCTCTGCGCTGCGACTGATGCTCCCTGGCAATATGTGGTTGCCCCGCAAAACGGGTGGAGGTGATGCGGGGCAAAATCGGTGTGCTAACGCATAAGGCCACTAGGCTCGGTCTTGAAGGTATTTTGGCGTATCTCTCGTCAGAGCTGGTCCTTTGGACGTATCCGTGGAGACCGAGTACGTGGAGCCGCCAGCACGCCCGCCGGCGGCCCCACGCCATCGACGCGACCAGGTGTGACCAGGTACAGATCAGTCAGACTTAGCGACACTATGAGCAACGACGGGGGCGCATACTTCAGATCATCTCGCCCTCCGCCCGGACCGGGTTCGGAGTCCCTTGGTAGTCCGGCGGCGGCCCCGGCGGCGGCACCTCGACGGCCTTGACCGTGGCCTCTGGCACCGGCTCGCTGCCGTCGACTCGCGCGCCACGCGCCTCTGGATAGAATCAATACTTGTCGCGGACGATGCCGTCGTAGAGGAATACGTGGAGGTCCATCGTGCCGTCCGGGCCTGCGCGCGGCGGCGGCGTCGTGGAGCTTGACTCGCGCACGCGCAGCGGCGGCGTGTCGGCGAGTCTAGCGCTGCCTGCCTCTTTCCGTGCGGGCCGGGCGTCGCGTTCGTCGCGTTCCGCGCATTTTACTAGCGGCGGCTGGTGTCGTGGGTCCAGCCAACTTGGGCGCGTGTTACAGCGTCACGTTGCGCCGGATTGAAGCTCGCGCGCGTCGTATAAGCATCTTGGCGCGAGTGTCTTGATTCATTTCGCCGCAACGCGCATTTATGAGCGGCGGAATTGACCATCGTCGCGACGGAGGCGGCGATGAGAAGCGGTAGACGAGCCATGAGTGAATATGGGTTGGCGCGCGCGTGTGTTCTGCCCGATTTGACTCCAATTTCCATGGCCTTATCTTGCGGGTATTATCGATTTGAACGGTCTCGCGCCTGAAGCGACTACGAGACTATTATTAAAAGCCAGCTTACTCACCTCAAGAAGCAAGCGCGCCCGCCTACGCGTCGTCCTCCGCGTCTGCCTCCCCATCACCCTTCCCAAGCATCTTCGCCACGACCGGCGTCAGCGCCACGGTGGGAGGGAACCTGATGGGCGACGCGGCCTTGTGCGCCGCGTAGGCGATCGCGAAGGTCCCGCCCGTCTGCGCATTTTGGGAGGGCTCGATGCCGATCTTCCCGAGCAAGCCAGCGACGTCGACGCCGTTGGAGACCAACGTGTAGCAGATCGCGAAGGAGACGATGGCGAAGGACGTCGAGGTTAGTAAGTAGGCCCCTCCGTACTGTTTTAGTAAATCTCCTGCGGTCGTCGCCTTCTCCTTGGCGTCGCCGTCGCCCGTGAAGATGGAGAAGAGGCCGCCCTCCACACCAGATTTTTCGACGGTCTCCTGGAGCTCCTCGTCGACTTGGGCAAGCAAGGGCGCGCCGCGGCTCGTCGACGGCGCGGCGGCTTTCGGCGACAGCGTGTGCCTCCTCGGCAGCACGAGGCCGGCGACAGTGTGTGCCAGAACGGCGGCGATGACCAATCGGGTCGGTCTCCGTCGCATTCTTAGGTCAGAGTGTCACAGCGCGCAGCTCAAGTGTCCCCCAGCGGGCGCGAAGCGCTGGTAGCGGTCCAGTGGTAGACAGGCGGCGTAACGAGGGTCGAGAAATGTGACCAAGCGCCCCTACCGGGCACGCAGCGGCCACAGCAGAGCCCTCAAGTGTCGAGACTAATGAGGCTAGCGGGGCTGTAAAGACACTAGCATGCAAAACCGGAGCAACGCGCCATGCAGTCGTTTGAGTATCATTCGGTTCAATACTGGTCCAAAGAGATCAATGGGACACTTACTGGGGGCCAAAATCTTTTTTTAAATGCGCGAAATTGACGACGCCACCATGGCGGGCGCGTCGGTGGAATCCTGTCGATTCGTGGTCCTGAGGACTCCCCGAGGTCGCTTAGGCCCTGTTATCGACATGTGCAATCGCCTACGCCGCATGCGCGGGCGCTTCCATCGGTAGATACATCTGCCAAGATGCATCTCAAGCCAGATGTCTATAGCACAAAATGCCAAAGTTTTGGATCCAGAGCTCTCTGGGAGCTCCAAGGACGGGCGCATGCGGCGTAGGCGACTACCCGACCCCAGACCTATCCCAGAGGGAGTCCGCGAACCGATCTGCATCCACAAAAAGTAAATAATTTGCGCCCGATGGCGCCCCGTTCCCGGCAAAAACGTCAATTACCCGAGGCCCCCCAGTAGTCGCCGTAGCGGTCTCTTTGGACCCCATACTAACCCACCGATAGTCAATTACAAGTATAGGACATCTACATTATAAGAAGGGTACTTTTGGCTGCCCACGCTCGGGACGTGAACATCTTGATCTGGACCGCGCGTAAGTCCGTCGGTCATGGAACAAACGATCGCATCATGGTCCATGGTGAAGGTACACGGGCTGATGGGCGTAGGTCCGGGTTTAAAGCCCATCTAATTGAGATCGTGGGGTCGCGAGACCGACGACCCGCGCCGAGCATCTTGGGGTCTCGGAGCAATGTAGTGAGCAGTCAGGCCGGTTATCTGGCCCTTCCCGGAACCGAACCGCCTGAAACGCAAATTTATTTCACAACCTACCGGTCTGGGGCCTTTCTGGTGCTCCGTCTACGCACCGTCGTCCGCGGAGAACGAGCAAGTCGGTCGATTGTGAATAGAACAACGGCGTTATGGTCCATCTGGATGGTGTCGTCGCTGATACTCGCGGATCTAGTAGTTGCGCCAATCTTCAGGTAAAAACAGGGGCGCGGAGTTGCCGAATCCAGAGGCTTTAACGGAGTACATGATCATGCTCAGTGGATGTTCTGGCCGGCTGCATGGACTCTACCACTAACAAACGGAAGGAAACGAACATAAACACGAGAGTCGTCTAGTAGAATTCTTCTCCCGCCCTCCGAGCGCGGGCCGTCGGCTCCGGTTCCGTCGAGTGTCTATGAAAACTGGGCTGGAGTTGATATAATGTAGCAATTGGACGGTAAAAGGCGCTGTCAATCGCGGGTCTACTTTGGAAACTCATAAGACTCATCCGCGAATGTCACGGGCGGTGCCTTCCGGGAGGCGCGAGGGCAGGTTCCCGGACCGCTACTCTCAAATATTTGGTCTTGGCGAACGACTCGGATGTATTCTGAATTTGAGTCATTCTTTTGACGCTACAGAGGCGTATCTTTCAATTTGCTAGTATGTCGATTACGCTAGCTTCTAGTGCCCGTCGGATCCGGAGAGATCTCCCGGCTTCTCTCACAGGTCTGGTCGAACCCAAGAGGATTTTCGTACCCGTGATTTGGGGCGTCGAACCCGGCGTGTTTGTGAGGGACGCCATCGAGGCGCCAAAGCGATAGACAAGACAAGGTTACACACAACAAACTAGACAATCAAGGCGCCGGCGCCACGTTCGTATCGACAGCACGCCTAGTAAGAGACGGCGACCCGAGTTGTGAAGCGAGCGGGTTCGGCACCGGCAGCTCGCGGCAGCTCAATTCAAATTCCGCCTGTTCCTTGGAGCGCCCCTTCCGCATCCACCACAGCAGCGCGATCAGGCCCACCGTCGCTAGTATTGAAAGCGCGAAGGCCACGTTTATTGCCACGGACGCATCAGCAACTTTGCTGAGGACGCCGTCCGCCGCGAGGAAAACGGTCGTCGCAAATGAAAACACGAGAGCAGCCGACCGTAACAACGGTTGCGGCGTACTGATGACCTTGGGCGATTCGAAGCAGAGCACTAGACATAGCGCGACGACGGGTAGCAGCAACCCGTTGACGACCTGCGCCACCAGCACCACGGGCACGGTAGGAGCGCCCGACGCGCCAACCAAAAAAGCAATGAAGTTCACTCCTAGAATAACAAAACGAGCATTTTTGCCATGAGGCGGCTTCCAGGTGGCATCGTCCTTGTCACTCAATAAGCTGCCCAAACATAAGGCCGCGCCCAATGCCACAGTTAATGTAGACGAGAAGGCCGCCGCGTACAGCCCTAAACCAAAAGCGAAGACCGCGACTTTGCCCTCGGCCTCCCGTAAAGCGTCGACCAACGTCTCCACCGAATAGCTGCCGTCGACGTCTCCCCTTCGAGCGACGCCGGCGCCCGTCGCCGCAATTAATATACTAAGTATGGCGGCGATCCACGTACTCAAAGTGACGCCCCTTCGCATCGACGACACCGCTGTTGATGCGGCGCGCTCGCCTGAAGTTTTAGGTGGCTTGGCCGAGCACGACGCCAGAAAGGCGTTGAAGGGCACTGCTGTTGTGGCTACTAACGAGACAGCTACCACTGCGGAGCCCGACGGCGGCACGGACGGTAATAAACCTAAAAAAAGTTTGGAGCCGTTCACGCCGAGCTCGCCCACGGCGACGCCAAAGACCACAATCATCAAAATGGAGACGACGCCCAAAGCTGCACTTACTCTGTCCACATCACCGAGGAATAACGTCGCGAGGATCGCCATCATCAACAATAAATGAATAACAACCCTAATACCCGGGTTGTTTCGAGGTACGCCGAGCGCATACAACGCTTCGGCCGCCCCCACAAAATTGTTCGCTTGGTAGGCCGTGTTGCCGATCAAGATGCCAACGGCGACGCTCGTGCAGATTTGTTTTTGCATAAATTTGCGCATTGCTCCTCCCAAAGTCGTGCGGCCGCGGATGGATAACCGAGCCGAACCCTCTTGTAAGGCATAAGCGACGAACGACGCCAAGACGAGCGCCCACAGTAACCTATAAGCGTACTGGTAGCCCGCCTTGCTGCACACGATGACCGTCCCGGGGCCGATCGTCGACGCCGCGAGGACGGACCACCGTAGCAATTCAAAGCCCTCGGCCAGGACGTTCTCGAGCGGGGACCGCGACTGGTGCCACTGCTCCTCGGCGTCGTAGCGCCAGGCGCGCAGCATTTTTTTTTCTGCCGCGCTTGCTCGCGCCGCTTGCTCGACGGCGTCTAGCGTACGCGTACAATCACTGCACAAGCAGTGCTACCTAGCGATAGCAGATGCGCCGCAAGCAGTGCCAGCCTAGCTGCCTGGGCTGTGCAGAGCTTGCAGAGTTTGTTGAGAAAGCGATGCGGAATGGAGGCCCAGCGAATGAAGGTCTCCGAAACCGCAGCACGTCGCCAAAACCGTCCGTATAGACTCTACGCTCGAGCTACAAAATTAAAATAATCCCGCGTGGGCTAGCGGTCTGTAAGACACTAGCAAACAAGCACAAGTCGCTAGCCGCCGCGAGACGGCATTCACGCAGTTGGACCTCTCTTGGGAGGCTCTGCTTCAGCCTATTCAATTCCAAGCAATAAATTTGCAGTGATGGCAAGCAAGACCCCAATAATTCGGCTGCACGGCAGCCTCGTTCACGCACGGATGCGAATTTCACCAGAAAACGCCGTCGGCGCGACACATGCGCATGCGTAAAATGTTCCTGCAGCTCCTGGGGCTGCTCTGGGCAGCCACTGCACAGGACACGGCAGACATTGGCATCTGCTACACGCGCAACAACGCCCGAGACGCGAACCGCCGCACCGTGAAAGATAATTTGAGGAAAGTACTGGTCGCGGCGCAAAGCGTGCGGCGCCACGATTCTAGTTTACCTCTATGCCTCTTTACCGACTTAGATAAAGACACTGTAGAATCGTATGCCGGCCCCTTGTTTCGGCACATCCTGCCCGACGGCTTCTCCACTTTCATGCCTCGCTCCGAGGCGGAGAAAGCGCTGGTTAGCGGCGACTCGCTAAGTCGCGCGAAGCTGCGGAGTCGCTTGGGCCGCATCTTGAACCTGGCGCGGGCGCCCTACGCTCTTACGTTGTTCTTGGATGACGATACGTTCGCATGCCTGCCGACGAACGGCGCGACGGGCGTCAGGGGCGCCCTGCGAGCGCTTCAATCGAGGGCCGGGATGAAGGCGTACCGCCACTACGATATCAGGGCCCACACCTTCGCGAAGCACCGGCGGGAGAAGATCGCGTTGCGGGACGCCCACGAGTGCGCCTGGGCCCTCGCGAAGGACGGCAGCCGCCTCGGCGCCGGGTTGGAGGCGCACTGCTACGACGCGTTGATGCAAGGCGCGGACTCAGCGTCTGTTTCCGCCCTTTTCCGAACAGTGAAGTTGCGTCGACAGCGTCGTCGCGGTGCCACACCGCGGCTCGTGAGCGAACGGAGATGGTTCCGTGCCACGCAGGCGCGTCCTTCTGCGGCGGCGTGCAAGGTGGCGCTTTGGCCGTGACGCCGGGGCCCCGCCTCTCGAAATTCTCGGAGGACTGGGCCCGGGCCTACGTCGACTACTACTCCAGCTCCAAGGGCGACGAAACGTCCAGTAGTTGGGGCGGCGACCAGGCGCCGCTCGCAGCTTTGATGGACGCGCACTGCAACGCCCATCCGGAGCTGGCCCTGCCGAGCGGCCCCCAGAATAATACGTCAGCCGAGAAGTGGACGGTCGGCGCGTTACCTTATGCTCTGAACGTCCGAGACGCGTCGGAGCGGCCTTCCGATGCTACCCTGAAATGTACCGTGCCGCTCATGGGCCCCATGCTTGTATTGCATCAAAAGCGCTACCTGAAAGAATATTTAGGGACGCGCGATCGCTTGGATAGCGTCTGCGCCACCACCAATAAAGGATACGCGTGGCTCTCGGCGAACGTCACTTCAGCAATAGAAGGCAAGCGCTGCAAGTGGATGGGCCGGCCCGAGGTCAACGCTACTGATAGTACGATGAGGCCTCGAAGGGGCCCGCGGCGGCAGGCCGTGCGCACGAGTGATCGGGAGGTGGCGCTGGCGCGCATTGCCGCGGCGGAGGACCTGCGGGAGCGGCAAATCCAAGAAGCGCACGAGCGGCGGCGGCGGCGGAAGCGCGGTGGCCCTCCTGTGCCGAGAGCGCCCGCTCCACGAGCGACGTCGCTGTCGATGCGGAACCGGCAGAAGCGGAAGGAACGGTTAAATATGCGCCGCGGCGCGGAGTCGGTGGCGTACGAGGCGGTGGCTTTGGCTTGATAATCTTTTGTTGGTGATTAGTATTTTTCCTCTGTTACACGCGCGGGCCGCGTCTGAGGCTCCGATTGCGATTTTTTTTTTTTTGGATTCGTCCCTGAGAGGCTTCAGACGCTTCTCTACGTGTCCGAACGGGGAGCGCGAGGCCAACAGATTGCCCCTATGTTTTTATCTTAGCAAAATGATCGGCTCACATTGCAATTTACGCGCTAAACGCGCGCTGGATCCACCCGCTGGGCTGCTCTTGACGCCCAAAAACAGTCAATTGTATAGTCGGACGCTTCAAAGCTTCGAATACCGCGTCCGCAGCGCCGGAAGACGCATTTCAGAGGCTCTGCTCTCAGCCTTGTGATTTGCACAGATCTAGGCGCCGCCTAGCTACCGCTCCGACGCCGGCCCTCGCCTGCCTATTTTGAACGATGTCCAGCGCACGACTCAGCCTGACGCTGCTAATCGTCGCCGCCGACGCGCTCGCAGCCTCGCCCGCGCGTCTCGTGAACCCGCTGCAGCCCGGCCCGTTCCCGGCGTCGTCGGATGTCGAGATTGTCGAGACGTTCGTCGCGATGCCGGGCGCGGGCAAGCTGCCGGCCGAGTGGGAGCAGCTCTGGCGCCGCGGCGCCGCCGCCCACGACGAATTCATGCGCGAGTTTGACGCCGCGGGCGGCGCGGTCACCGACGCGGCGTGGTCCGCGCTCGAGAGCGCGGCGGAGAGCTTGGAGGAGTTGGGCCAGTACAAGCTGGATCCCGTCCGCGCGTCGATGCTCTTTGGCAAACTCGTGGAGGTCTACGCGTCTCTTTCGCGAGACGACGGGAAGTGCCTGCGAGCGGCGCACTGGTGCGTGCAGCAGGCCTGCACCCAGGCGTGTGTTGACGCCTACGCCGTCGACGAGGCCTCGCCGCGGGACGCATTTAATGCCGCAATTTCGTCGGCCGTGACGTATTACAGGAGGGGCGGCGACCTGGCGCGGGCCGAGGCGGCGCGAGCGCTGGCCAATAAACACCCGGCGGCGGCGACGAAATACGAGCGCGTGCGTTTCTAGCGTACGTCGAGCTGCCTTCTCCGCGCGGCACGCCATCGAGGCGACGCGTCATTCTCTCGCGCAGGTCGACCAAACGCCCAAGGTCTACTTTCCGGGGCTGACGGCCCAGCGCTTCTGGCCTAGCAGGGATTTTGAGGTCGTGAGAAAGCTTGAGGCCGCTTTCGCCGACGAATCGACTCGGGCGGCCATGCTCGACGATGTCGACAGCCTGATCCGGCACAACGCGCTGAAGCGCCTCGTTTCGCCGTCGGCGCCGTTCCGCCCGCCGTCCAAAGCCGCCGACGCAGCTGGCGAAGGCGCGTGGTCGGAATTGCCGCTCTACGACGGCATAGAATGGGACGCCGAGGCCTGCGCCCTCGCGCCGACGCTCAGCCGGCTCTTACAGACGGACGAGGGGCGCGCTCTCCCGGAGCTCGGCGCCGCGCCGCTCGACTCTACGCGGCCGAACCTCTGCGGGACGCCGGTCGTGGCCACGGTACTGCGTCTAGCGCCTGGTGCGAACATATTGCCGCACTGCGGAGTTACGAATCGGCGCCTCATAATGCAATTCGCACTGCGCGGCTCGGACGGCGTCACGTTCACGGTTGGCGATGAGCCGCGTTCGTACGGCGGCGACGGGCACGCGATCGTCTTCGACGACTCCTTCGAGCACCACGTGCGGCACGACGGCGCCGAGGACCGGTACGTGTTGTTCGCGATTTTGAAGCATCCGGATGTGGAGGAGGGGTTGTATGGGTAACCAACGGTTATTCGTGTTAAGGGGAGCGGTGGGGTGCGCCGCGGGCGGTGGGATTACATGGGGCGGGAGGGAGGGGCGGGAAGGGGGAGGGTCACGTTTATTTGCAGACACACTGTCCGACAGCGTTGGCGCCGAACTTGAGCGCCCGTCCGGCATTGGCGTCCTCCTCGCTCAGGCGGCGCGTCTTCCGCGTTCGTCGCGGAAATGAGCACTCCTCGTCATCGGCGCAGTCGGCATTGCTGACGCAGGCCATAAGGGAGGAAACGCAGGTCGACGCGAAGTCATATGAGTACTGCAGGCGTCGGACGTCCTGGAACATCTGCTGCATGCGCCCCTCGGCAGCACCATCCGCCTTATCGGCGGGTGCGGCAAACTCGGCAAACGGCACCGGCGCACCGGCGTCGTTGCTCGCGGCGCGCGCGACGGCGCAGAGGGCCGCGACGACCAATTTCCGGACCATCGTTTAGGAACGGAGTCTGCGAGGGGGGGCGGGGGGTGAAAATTCAGCTTCGTCTCAATTGGGAGGAGATTTTAGGGGTTGGGGGTGCGTGGTCCGCAGCCGATAACGATGCCAAGCTCCGTAAGCTGGCGTTGGTACCACGTCGTGTGTGTTTCGACAGTCAGCTGCAAGAGCGAAGCGGCGCGGCACGTCGACGCCAGCGAATGGACCGGGCCCCGCGGGCCGTCCGCGCGCCAGCGACCGCACTGGATTGTCCACCGGCCGCGCCAAGGCGGGGCGGCTTTCGCCGAGACTCCGCGGGGAGCCGCGCGGTGGCGTCGAGCGCGGTGCTGGTGCAATCTCCGCTGGCGGCCGCCAGGCCGTGTGTGAGGCCGTGCGCGCTCGTTTTCGCTGCCGTCGGAGGTCCATCCCCATCGTAGAAGCAGCAGCTTACCTTGCGGATGCGCGTGTGGGCAGCAATCCCGCTCAAAAGTGGGGCCGAGGGGCTGAATTTTTGGGGCTGCGCCAAAGTTGGCGTGGCTAGTATGTTGGCGGGCTGGGCCCGGCCGCCGGACGCTTTCTCGGATCTCTGGCGGCCGTCCGGACTGCCCGGCCGCCGCCTGGACCGCGTGCATCGCTGTAGGGACCGAGGATTTTCCACCCCGGGCCCTCGGTGTCTATAGGACGTGTCTTTACGTCTCGCCCGGCCCACTGGACATATCCGACGTGCCTGGAGCGCGTGCGCGCCGGTAGGACGGCGCACAAATCGAGGCAAAAAGGAGCACCATAAAAGGCTGCCCAAAGCGAATGCGAAAACGACCATGATCGTCCGCGGATGCATCTAACCGCTCGTCCGCCGTGCTAGCAGCCGTGCGCGCAGCGATGCGTCCTCGTGCGGCGTGGCAGCACGTCGCCAAGGTAGCATTGCTGCTCCTGCAGCCACCAGTACGCGCCGTCGTGCCAACTATTGCCGGCACGGACACCAATTGCACATTTTCACTGCGCCACGGCCTGAAAAAAGATGGTACCGGCACGCCGATGCTGCGGCTGGTGTACTCCGAAGGCGTGCTCGAAGCTCAGCCGACGTCGGACTCGGAACTCTTCACGCAGCGGCCGCGCCTGTGCTGGCTCGATAGAGATCAGACCTCGACGAAGCCCATGCTGCTCATGGTCGCGAACTCGCTGCCCTACCTGTGGCACGAATGGCCCTACTTCGTGAACAAGGTCGCGTTTGCGCGTAAGTCGAACTGGAACGCCGTGCTGTGGCTAGGCGAGCTACCGAAGGACATTGCCACGACGGTGGGTCCCTGGTGCTGCGCGAGCGCCGTCGGCGCGAAGCTCAAGCTGTTGGCCAAGAATTTCGGGCGCAAGAAGGTCAATTGTAGTGCCTCGTTTGCGGCGGAGCAATTAGCGACACGGCAGGCCGCGAGCAGACGACTCACGTACAAAGGAGTCGGCCGATCGAGCTACGCCGGCTCTGAGCACGAGGTCAACAGCAACCACCACGCGAAGATGGCGGCCGCGTCGCTGTTGCTGCGCAATTCGCGCGTTCGCGACGTATTCTACATGGATCTAGATTCGTACGTGCGGCCCGAGGACGTCAAAAAGGCAGCGAGTAGCGCCAGCGGAATGACTCAGGGCTCCTACGACGTGGTCCTGAACGAGGCCCACAGCGCACGGCACCCGACGCGGCCTCATCCCTTCTGGCTGGCCGGCGGTATGCGCTGGTACCTAAGAGCAACACCGTTCAGCATCAAATTCGTTGATGGGTGGCTCCGGCATCGCTGCGGTTTTAAGGACCAGTACGCGCTCTGGCACACGCTGCTGACGCTCGCCGACGTCGCGTATGATGGCGAGATCGGACGCCTCCCCTACAACCAGGCCAAGTACGCGGCCCTCAAGCCGACTGAGATACCCCGCAAATGGATGAGCCGCGACCTGCTCGTTGGCGAGGCCGCGGTGCGCGCCAAGGGGGCATGGCCCGTGCACTTGGAACCCGAGAGCTTCGGGAATAGGCACGGCAATTTGTTGGGCGAGTTCGAGCACGTGTCGACCTCGTGTACCTCGAAGCTCGCGACGGCGCGCGGGCCGCTCGAGGTCGTCGACCTGACCTGTAAGGTCGACATGGGGAAGGACCTGCTGAACGTGCTCGGGCTCGACGCCGTCGACGCGGCGGCGTGGCTCTAGATGTGTCTTTGTTAAGTGCTATTGTTAGAACATCTTACAAGACAAGAACACCGCGTGCTATTCTCGACGCGTCAATTGGCTCGTCCGAACCTGGGGGCCTCGTGATGCACATCCGCGCCAGAGGCCCTGGAGGACGAGGGCCGACTCCTCTCGGCGCCACGCTAGTCGTAAGCGAGCGCCGCGCCAGCGCGCCTGGATAATCGCTACTCGTCCGTCGTCTCTAGGCGCGGACGGCTTCAACGGCGACGCCGCAGCGATGAGCGCCTCGTCCACCGCCGAGCGTCGACGGTTCACGCGCGGGCGCGCCGCCGCGGCTGCAGCGTCGATGGCACGTAAGGCCCGTATGGCATGGTTACGTAGAAGCGTCGCCAAACGAGCGCCATCCCGCGTCCCCACGACGATTCGTATCATGCCCTCGGTGCGATTCGTGACAGCGGATGCGTCGGCCGCGGCAGCCTCGACGAAGAAGTCGCTCGCGTCGTGGCCCCATCGCGTGATACGCGCGAGCGGTATGAGTGCTTCAGCCGGACCACGCAACGAGAAGCCCGCCCGCGACACGCTGACGCATGACTGCTCGACGGCACTGAGCGTCTTCGCGGCCGCCCAGGCCTTCCTGTGCCTATCGGCATGGTGGTGCTCTGGCGGCTTTTTCAGCCAGCGCACGGCTGCCCTTGCGCAGGCGACGACCAATTCCTGCTGTTCCATGAATCATTTAGAGGTTTTGTGGCGACATGGGCAGCGTTTGCTAGCTAGGACCAGGTCCTGGTGTCCAGAGGGCTAGTATCTTACTTCGCTAGCTGCGCCGGCGCTGCCGATCGGCTGGGGCAGCCTCGCAAGGTAATGATTGGAATCCACAGCGCCAGAGCGGCGTCCTAGCAGCCCCGAGCGCGCTCCAACGGCTGCGCGCAAGGGCAGCCTCATTTTTGATCTGTTTCGGCGCTGCGACGCTGCACATGCAGCCTTGCTGCTAGGCGTGCCGTCGCGCGGCGCCGCAGCCCGCACGCGTGCGCTTTAACCTCTCGCGCCACCGCTGCGCCACAGCTCTAGGCGCGCGCGCCGGTCGGGGCCAACGCATGAGGCTGCGCGCCGCCTTTTTCTTGGCGACGGCGGCCGCCGCGGACACGCTCGCCATCGTGACGGAGTTCCGCTCCGGCTCGACGCTGCTGGGCGGGCTCGTCGCCAACGCCTCGACGTTCTACTTCTTCGAACCCTGCCGCCTGCTCGGCGGCGATCACAATCGCAAGGTCGCGAGCGGATCCTGCGACGCCCTGGTACCGCGGCTCCTGGCCTGCGACGCCGCACTAGGCGACAAGGTTTGGCGCGAAGTCGCGACCAAGGATCGCGGCTTCCTGGGACACCGCGTGGGGGCGACGAAGCCGGCGGCGGTCGTCACCGCGTGCGCGGCCCGGGAACGCGTCGCCAAGGTGACGAGAATGGACGCTGGCCTCCCGAAGGCGTTTTTGGACGCCGTGGACCGCACGCTCCGCCTCGTGCGAGATCCGAGGGCCGTGGTCAACTCGCGGGTGCGGGGCCACATGTGTTCAAACAAAAAAATCAGTGCCTGCGCCCGCACTGTGTGCAAGCGCATGGCGGCCAAGGACGCCGACGAGGAGCGGCTAGGGTTGCTTTCTCGTGGCGACTATCGTGTCGTCTACTACGAGAGGCTCGTCACGGCTGCCGCCGTGGAGCTCGACGGCATCTCGCGCTGGCGCGGCCGCGGGAAGCTGGGCGTGCCGGAGCGCCACCACGCGCTCCGGCAAGTCAACGACAAGTCAGACGCGGAGTGCAAGCCGGGCAGATCGTGCAGGCGCGACGGCGCGGCGGTCGCGGCGCGGTGGAGAGAGGAGCTGTCTCCAGCGGACGTCGCGACAATCGAGGCCGACGAGCGGTGCGCGCGGACGATGCGGAGGCATAACTATACTGTGTTGTATCTGGCTTCTTGAATAGTGAACGATCTGCCCGCGCAATTGTTACGGTGCTAGGACTAGTGGGCGGAGTAGACGATCTGCCGGAGCTAGCGCATCGACACACTAGAACTGGGAGCAAAGGGTCATCCGCTCCCTCATAGCCGCGCGCAGCCCACCGGTCTTAAAATAGCGGGAGTGGTGCCGCCGAGACCCATCGAACGGCACGGGAGCGCTTCGGCTCGTAGCCGCGGTTGCGCCGTCGCCCCGGAGCTTCCTCCAAGGACAGTGGACTCGACCAAAGCTCGTCGTCGTCCGGCTCTACCAAAGCCAGGATCAGCAGCGCATAGGACACCCATAAACCTACCAAAGCGAGACGGACGATGGCCACAGAGTTCGCACCGACCGAAATTTTCCACGCGGCGGCCAGCGGCGACGCGCGGCAGGTCCAAGAGTGGCTCGCAGGAGGAGGGGACGCCAACGCGCCCTTTCATGTGGATCATGACTTTCAATACGCACCAAGAATTCTCGAGTATGGGCTGCGCCTCCTGGGGGTCGCAGCGGGGCACGGACAATGCGAGGTCATCAAACTACTTCTGGCGGCTGGTGCGGACGTAAATCATTCTCTCCGCTCACAGCCCGGTAGAGATCCTCACCATGCTCTGCTGATAGCTCTAACGTACCGGCAGGTCGAAGCCGTACGGATTCTTGTAGATAACGGCGCGGATGTCAATTACGACTCCAACAATCCGGAGCGCCGCGAGCCTCCACCTGAATGCACCCAGCCGACTTGTAGCGTCGCTATGTCAGCTGTATGTGGGCACCCCGGCATTTTGATGATGCTACTCAGGGCAGGCCTCAACACGGCAGCGCGCAGTTGCCATACTGTATGGGGCTTGAACGATACCCCCGAGGAATTCGCCCGACGTGGCTTGGAGATGACACGGAACGAGGAAAGATTAACGAATCAGCACCGTAGATACGAGAAGTCGTTGGAGATTCTGGAACGCCTACGCCTCGCGGAGGATCACATCTTGAGCGTGTCTAAAGAGTTCCCCCCGTTCAAAACCCTGCTATGGAACGTCGCGTTTAGGACCGGTGGAAGGATCGGACCGCGAACGACCGACGCGATCTCGCGGCTATTCGGACACAACAGGACCGGTGCGCTGGCCGACGTTCCCGACGGCGTCTTCTGGCTCATCGTGCAGTTCTTCGTCGCTGGGGAAATGAGACCGCACGTGAATCCCCCTGTGTTGTCGTGAACGAAGTCCCCCGCCCTTGCACCAGAAGTAACACAAATACACGTTAGGCCTCTAGCCCCACCCGTCGAGACTCTCGCTCTCCTCCGTTTCCACGTCGGAGTAGGGCGCCGGCTCCGGCGCGTTCGCCGTCCGAGCGGCCAGTATGAGTTGGCGCTCGTACTCAGCGCGCCGTTCCGCGCGCTTGGTCTCTCGCAGTTCCTTTTGCTTCTTTACATGGAGACCATCCAGTGCGCGCTCGAAGACCCTCGTCGGCAGCGGCCCACCAGCGGTGGGAGGCAACTCACAGGTCTCCTTGATGTCCTCGAGGAACTTGACAGCTCCACCTTCGTGGTCGCCCTGGAGTTGGATTTGACGTCGCGCTAGCGCTATGAGGCGTTTAAATTTCTTGCGGACTCTAGGCGCTCTCGGATCCAGCCAGATAATCTTATCATGGCAGATATCGACCATCATCTGCGCCTGGGCGCGCTGCGACGTAGCGATTGCGTGGTCCGACGCCGCCTTCGCGAGGTCACAGTCATCCCGGATATTTCGCCGCGACTCCCTAGCTCTCCACATTGGAGAATTCATTGCTCTATTCGCCAGCATCATCCGCTGTTGCGGGTTCTGCTTCTCCCGAGGCGTCGCCGCAGCGATGGCTAGCGCCTTCGTGTGGTCGTCGCGCCTCTTCCCAACCTTCCGCTCTTGCCACAACGCGTTCTCCTGTTGCTTAATACAGTCGCTCAATTTTGCTTCCGCTCGCTCGAATCTGACATTAAATTTGTCATCTTTGTTGGGTATCGGCGGGAGCGGCGCGGCGATGGCGTTGAATAGCCATCGCGCCATTTGCATCATGATGTTGATGTTGAGCAGCGGGCGCAAGTTAGGGTCGGCCCGGAAGATGTTGGACGTCCACACTCTTCGGGCGAAGGCCTCGCACCGTTTGATCCCCTCGGTCGCGTCGGTTTTTCGCATCTTAATGATAGCTGCGAAGACGTCGACTTGGTCCCGGCTGCCCTTAGCTACCAAACCGCCGCCGATGAGCCGCTTGGTGCTTCGCATCTTTTGCCAGCGTTTTTTGGTCGACTCCTTGTTTGCGGTCGCGGAATGGATGGCTGGTAATTTCTCCGTCGGTGCCCGCAAGGGCCGCGTCCACGCCGTCGAGAACACCCCCTCCTCTGCTACCACGCGACAGACAGCCCCGAGCCCAATGATTCGCGACGACGTCGCCAGGCCCCTCAAACCAACAATAGCAGCTTCGTCAGGGCCCCTGATCGTGTAGATCCGCGGCGCGAGGCTCGACACCTCGCCGTAGAGCTTGCTCCAGCGGGTCTTGGTCTTGCTCACGCCGCACCACCGCTTCCGCTCGAACATTTCGGCGCCGGCCATGCCGTCCTTGCGGTCTTTTCGCACATTTCCCAAGGTCGAGGCTTCGAATCGGATCGCTTCCACCACCGACTGCGAGCAGTGTATCTCTATACCAGTAAGATGCTCGAACTCGCCGAGGGCAAAAGTCTCCTTCACGAACTTGCCGCCGTTGCTACCACCCCGGAACGGCCTGTCGATCTTATCACCATCTCCTTCGAGCTCGGTGCCGACGCCCAGGACGCCCCAGTTTCGCCTGGCGATGACTCTAACCGCGCATACCCTCACGCCCGGCGGGCAGACGACGTCCTTGAACTCTGCCGCTTCGGTGTCGGCGTCCGGCGGACTCTGGATGGCCACGTCGACCTGTGTGGACATCGACCGGTGAGGTAGGGCATCGCGTCGATGGCGTGGGGCGCCCTAAATTCGATTTCCACACGGCTATCGACATCCTTATATCTCAAATCGCCCTTCAGCTCGAAGGCCTTGAGCAACATAGCCTGCTCCGAGTACAGGCGCGCCATCGCCGCGCCGCCGACGGAATCCATGAACTTCTTGAACGTGGGCCCGTTCCGCGCCCCATCCGCGACCGCCTTTCTATGGACCGCGTTCGACTTCCGCAGGTTGTTCAGCAAGTCGGTCTTGCGCCGAGGTGCCACGAAGTAGAGCGAACAGACGCCCAGGTCGGCGTCAATCCTCCTAACCCACGGCGTCCTCCCAGCGATGACGCCGAAGCCCGCCTCGCTCTTCAGCACGCTAAACATCTTCTGCAGGAGCTTGAGGCGCACGCGCTTCGTCCCAAGGACAGTCATGTACCTCCACCGGATCTGGTCGAAGGCGTACGTAGACCAGCGGCAAAATACGGCTTTCAGATCGGCCCACTTGTCCTGGTGGATCGAGCGGCACCGGCGCGCGCCGCGTTCCTTCAGCAAGCGCGTCGACGCGAAGGCCCGATGTTTTCTTTTCAGGAGCATCTTTTTGACCGAAGAAGTGCGGTAGAGCTTATGGTTCTTCACGAGCCGAATCCAGTCGAGGAAGCAGTGGTACTTGGTCCTCAACCTCCAATACTTCGGCATGGATCTATCAACCTTCCGCCACCCAGCACACAACCGCAGCAAGTTCCGCATCTTCTGCCGGTTCATGAGCGCGATCGCGCGCTTCTCGGCCCACGGTAACCTTATAAGTCGCAACGACTGCCTTAATAGCTGCTTGTCATAATGAGCTTGCGCCTCGCGCTGCACTCGCTGCAACGTCTCGACGCACTTCTTCTCGGCGTAGACCGCGAAGTCGTCCGTCCACTCGAGGGCGCGCTGATGCGCCTCCGCGAACGCCTCATCTTTATCCTCGAGGAAGGCCTTCATCTCCATCTCTTCTCGCGCCTTTCGGCGGGCTTCGCGCTCATCTTCCTCCTTCTCCTGGGCCTGTTGAATTCTGACTTCTTTGACGATCGTCTGCGCGCGATGCAAGTAGCCCTGGATCTTCTTCAGCTGCGCGGATTGCTTGCGACGGTCCTCGGCGTACGGATCTGGCTTCTCCGGGGACTTCTGGTCGAGATCAACCTTCTCCTCCTCTATCACTTTGTGCCCGGCCGTCACGCGGGACCGGAACACGTCACCCGCCGCGAACGCGCGCCGCTTTTTCTGTTTAGGAGGCTCCTTCGCGGCCTTCTCGGCCGCGGCGGCGTCTTTAGCGGCCTGTTCCTCGGCTTTGAGGCGGTCTCTGGACGCCCGCTTCTTCGCGTTCTCCTTGGCGCGCTTGAGGCGCTCCTTTTCTTCCTTGGCGAGCTTCTTCTTCAGCTGCTTTTCTTTCGCGACGTAGGCGCGCCAGGTCTGCCACATGCGCTGTCTACAGCGGAAGGCGTAGCAGAGGTCGGCGCGGTTCTCCTTGCCTGCGTGAACCGAAGCGTCGATGGCGTGGAGGCGGCGCGACGTCGCGGCGACGGCGTCGAGGCGGTGTCGACCCCACCAGCACGCCATCACGTCGATGGCGTAAAACGGGACGCGGGAGCACGGACGCTTCTCCGTCGCGAAACTTCGCAGCAACTCGAGAGCCGCGGGCCCCGCGCGCCAGTACCGCAGGTACGCGGCACTCACCTCGCGCGGGAACACCTTGCTCTCGAAATACGCCAGTAGAGGCGCACACAGTAATTGCTGGTCTTCATTTAGTGTAGTTTCCGTGCACCGTTTCGTCTCGAACGCGTCCATGGCGGCTTCGACCGCCAAACGCGCTTGAGATGCGTCCTCGTCCTTCTCGCGCTTCCGCTTCTCGTTGCGCACCTCCTGGTTCGTCCGAGAACGGACACTCGCGTTGAAGGCCTTGGCTCTTTTCCTACCAGCTAATACAAGTTTCTTGTGCTCCTTCATGCGCAGCTTCTTTTGATGCTGATACGCCTCTCTCCTCTCTAACTCAGCATCGGAGGGGGCGACGTAGAAGCATGCTGCATGAGCAGGTGTCGGGATCGGCGGCGGATTCACACGCAAGCGATCGAACTCCGCCAGCTCCTGCGTGAGTTCGTGCTTCTTCACGCCCGACGAGCGCGACACCTCCCGCGCCAGGACCCGTCTTGACTCATCATCTTTCCTTATACGTCTAAACCAACTCGTCGCGCGCAGCTTGCAGTGCTTCGCTAGAAACTGGTAGTACTTCCACACTATTAGAGCGCGCAGCTTCCGGCCCCGGATGCATCGTTTGCGGAGAGCCTCACCACCCTTAGGCCGCTGGTACCACCTTCTACGCAAGAGCCGTCGTTGCCTCGCAAAGGACAACCAACAAGAAAAGCACTTGGCCCCTTCCTGCTCGGTCAGGTAGTACTCCCGATAGTGCCTATCGGCCTTCGCCCGGTCTCGCACGCGCTTCTGGACCCACTTCTTCCTGTGTGGAACGGACACCGTCGCGAAACTGTCTCCGTTCACTCACGAGACGCGTAGACTCTCTGACGGCCGCATCGACGGCGTCGAGGCGGCGCGGTCTCATGGAGACGCCGTCGACGCAAACTTGAAGTTCGGAAACGTTCGGAAACAGACGCTGAGTCAGCACCACGCGTTGTGGTGCCGCTTCTTCGTGAGCTTGAGCCATATAATCTTCAGGAACTTGGCCTTCTCGCGCGCGTTGTAACATCTCCGAGCCTCGATGCGCCACGTCCGCAGCGGCCAGAAGGTCAGTCGGAACAGGTTCTTGCGTTTCGCCACGCCCCGCGCCCACCACGCCCACGCGATGAGCTTCCGATAGACGAAGGTCCGCAAGAACCGTTGCCGCCGCGTACAGGGCCACCACGCGCCGTAGACCATCCTCAGGATCTCCAAATCCCGTCGCCGGAACAATTCGCGCACGCGCGCCCACTTCGCGCCTTCGCCATTACGCGCCCGCCAGACGGCCTGGACCCGTTCCGCCGTATAGACCCTGAAAGTCTCCACGATTTCCGAGGCAGAATAACCACCGTACCCCATGCCTTCCAGGCAGCAGTTCCAGAGGCACTGTTTTAAACCAGGTGAGCGTAGTCGCACATGCGCGACGCCCGACGCCGCGTACAACGCGGCAGCGGCGAGACCCTTCTTTTTATCTCCAGTGACCTCAAATTCGGCCCCGCATTCTATAACATAAATCATCGCCGGTTGGCGTTCTTTCGTCGTGTACGGGGGCCGGCCTCGTTTCAACCTGCGTGTATTGATAGGTGAGTGTGCTGTCCCAAACGCCGTCGACGCTCTAGGTGTCGGCTCGGTGGCTCTCTCGGCGCCGCCGCGACGCCCTCGCCGCGATCGGCCGCAGGCGGCGCGTCGATGGCGTCGTCGAGCAGCCGTCCCGGTGTCGACGAAGGCGCCGCGATGAGTGACGCGCCGCGCAAGGACCGAGGCGGCCAGTCGTCCCAGGCCTCCTGGAGGTCGGACAGGGCGCCTTTCCTTAGCTCCAGCTGTTTGGCTCTACGTCTTTTCTTCCTTTCTGCAAGACGGCGTTCATTCTCGATGCGTTCCTTGTCCTGGTCCTTGTAGTACTTCTGGATGCGAGCGAGTTCAGGAGGAGTCGGCGCCATCGCCTCGAGAAAGTCCTGGTAGGGAACAAATGCGTCCGCTTTTGACGGAGGAGCCTCGGGGTCATACGGAGGGTCAATGCAATCTTTCGAACGCAGCGTCCAGAAGCCGTCGTCCTCGCCGTCGCCGTCGGCGTCCCTCGTACATACTCCGTCCAAGTACTCTGGGAACCGTGTCTCGATCAATCGGATGCAATCGATATCAGTGAATTGTAAATAGCGGAAGATCTCGGCGACCTTCCGCGCTCGCAGCGAACCGGGCGGAGACCTCCCGTCGAACATGCCCTTGATCTGCACCATGGCTTCGGGAGGACATACCGGCCACGCTACTTCCGTAAATGGTACTCGGAAGCACCTTACTACAGTGCGCCAGTGCCACAGGAGCTGCCGTTGCACCTGGTCGTTGATGCCCGCACCCAAGTTGAGCAATGCTCCTAAACCTTGCGATTTAGGTAGTTCTATTTGTATCGGCTCGTGCGGCGGCGGCACTAGAGGCTTCGACAGCGGCTTCTCCTTCTTGCGGCGGCGCCGCTTCTTAGGTGAGCCGCGCTTGGCTACCTCTTTCGATAACGCGTCGCTCTTGACTGGTGAGGACGGCCTCGAACGTGGACTGTCTAACGACGAACGCCCGGAATCCGAGACCGAGTCGAAGCCGTCGGACGAGTCCAGAGAACGGACCGACGGCGTCGCGGGCGGGCTCGGGAGGCCCGCGGCCTTGGCCGCTGCGCGACGCATCTCCCGGAATTCAGCATCAGCTTTGGCCTTCTCTTCTTTCAGTTTCTCGAGTCGCAATGCCTCGTCTCGTTTTCTCGTCTCAATGTCTTCCTGCAGTTTCAACTCAGCAAGATGCATCTCGGCGCACCGCGGCGTGTCCGGTAGGGGCCAGTTGCCCATTACTTTCAATTTCTCGGCGAGCTTGATAGGAGGTGCTTTCACTCCGGTAGGCACGGGCCCCGGCGCGTATCTAGCACCGTGGAAGGGCGTGTGCTGGCCCATCAACGGCACGGGGTGCGTCTCGGACAAGGCGCGCCGTCGTACTTCTCGGGTCGCGTATTTCTGGGACCGACTAAAACTCTTCTGCTCATACCACTTGACAGGTTTGTGACTTGTCGAAAAGTCGTCGTGGCGCCGCGTCGGGCGCAGATGTCGAGCTCGGCTTCTCAACGGTACGCTCGCGTCGGGATGTTGTGGAGGTAGTAACTCCTTGGCGAGCCTCGAGATCTTCTGGTTCCGTCGGATAAACGCCTTCGCGTGCGGTCGCAGGCCGGACGCCTCGTGCTTATGAGCCTTGATCGGTAGAGCGTAGCCGTCCTTGCTCATGTAGGTTGTCGGTTCTCGCCGTGGTTCTTCCGGCTCGTCGGCCATGGTCCTGGGCAGCCCTTGCTCCCAGGAGCTAGCTGCAGGAGCTGGCTCTTCGCGCCGCCGTCCGCGGGTCGTTCAAGCAGCCCTGCGCGGCGAAGCGGTCCAAGCTGTCCGCACGGCGCCGAGGCAGCCCTTCTCGCGCCTGGCAAGTGTTTTGCGGAGCCCTCACGCGGCGGCGCTGATTGCTGCAGCCCGCACCTTGGAGCTTCCAATCCACTGCATGTGTCGGGCTACTGGTGAAGGAGAAGTACAGGACCCGGTGGGGCTCTCGCTTAGCGCACGGATTAGCGTATAAACATACTAGTTTACGGCTGCGTGGTGTGGCCGCAAAACGCGTCGCAGCGGTGGCATCCAGCGTCGCAGCGGTGCGCAGAAGACACACAGCACTACAGGAAGACCAGAGGACGCGCTCTTGCAAGCACTGTGTGCACAAAGGTGTCCGAGAGCAAAATCCACCAGGGAGAGCAACCATGGCTACGGGATTCATCGGCATCGGCATCATGGGTGAGGGCATGGCCGGCTGTCTACTGAAAGCTGGCAAAGCGCTCGTCGTCTGGAACCGCGACGCGAGCAAGGCGCAGAAGCTCGCGGCCGCGCACCCCGGCCTCGTCACCGTCGTTTCATCAGCGGGTGAAGTAATCGACGCGTGCGCCGTCACCTACTCCATGCTTTCGACGCTGGAGGCGTCCGAGGCCGTCTTTCCCTCCATATTGGCCAGCATAAAACAAGGCAAGAGCCTCGTCGACTGCGCGACGCTGACCCCGGAACGGATGCAGACCATGGCTTCAGCCGTAGAAATCGCTCAAGGAAGGTTCCTGGAAGCGCCCGTGAGCGGCTCGAAGGCGCCCGCGGCGCAAGGAGCATTAATCTTCCTCTGTGGTGGTGATAAATCGCTGTACGAGGAATGCAAGCCCGACCTCGCGATCATGGGCAAGGCCGACTTCTACTACGGTAGTACAGGAGCCGGCTCGAAGATGAAGCTCGTGGTCAATATGGTGATGGGAAACATGATGTGCGCGCTCGGCGAGGGCCTCGCGTTGTGCCAGGCCTCCGAGTTGCCGGCAGATAATGAAGGAGGGCTGCTCAAGGTGCTGGACCTGGGCATCATGTCCAACGGCCTTTTCAAGCTCAAGGGCCCCAAAATGCTCAAAGGCGACCACGCGCCGAACTTCCCCCTCAAGCACGCGCAGAAGGACATGCGCTTCGCGCTGCAGTTAGGTGATCAAGTGAGTACGCCATTACCGCTCGCGGCCGCGGCGAACGCTGCGTACATCGCCCAACGAGCGGACCACGGCGACGAGGACTTCTCAGCCGTCTTCGAGGGCCAGAAAAAGTAGTAACAGTGTTAATTAAATTCTTCCTGGTGATTGCCTCGGCGCCATCGCGGCGATGGCGTGCGGAGCTTGGCGTCGGCGCGTCGTCGTGAGTGCTTCTACGCCACCAGTGCGCCATCGCCGCGACTCACGGTACACGCACAGGCGCGCGGCCGAGACGGCCACGGAGGACCGGAAAGGCCGGCTCTAAAGTCCGAGGTCCTCCAGCAGTCTCGCTTTCAAATCCGCCTTGAGGCCCGTCCGCTTCAGCCCTCTAGCTTTTAAAGCTTCTTTCAACATGGCCACAGTCATGGCGTCGATGCCCTCGCGCATCGTGTCGGGGTCGTCGAGGATGTCCTCCATGCCCTGGGAACCGAGGTCAAACATTGATGCTTTCTGTAACGCGTCTTGGGGCACGTCGTCGAGGGACCAGTTTCTGACAGACGCGTGGAGGCGCGGTAATCGAGCCGTAAAATCCTGATCATCTGCTGATACGCGTTCTGCCGCTAAAGCGAGGTGCGCTCTCGCTCGCTCTGCATCATTAAGGGCGTCATGATATAAGCCCGCGTAGAAGTGGCCCAGCAGCCGCCGTCGCAGCGCGTCGACGGAGTCGGTGCGGTCGCAGAGCTCCCTTAAAGTTTTTGCTGCATTCACGTCGCCTCCATATAACGCCGCGCAGGCCCGCAGGACGGGCCGCGTCTCGCGCAATTCCGACGCCGCCGCGAAATCGTCGCCTTTGGCGCCGCGCAGCGCGCAGGCTTGCGCGAAGAGTCGCTCCTCCGAGGCGGGTTCGAAAAAGCGCTCCTCATATCTCAAAGCGTTCTCCACAAAGTCGACGCGCGCGTCGTCGAACCGATCCAAGTAGTACAGGCAAATGCCGCGGTGCCACTCATACCTCGAATTCTTCGAGAGCTGCTGGGCCCGGTCGAACTGCTCGAGGGCGCCCTCGAGATCGCCCTGCCTCAGGAAGGCGGCGCCGCTCCGCGAGGCCCCCTGGATCTGCCGCTCCACGTCGTCCAGCGACGACCAGTAGTCCGCTTCCAGTTCTTCCAGACTTTGTATTTGCGCGAGGGCGTCGGTCTCCTCGGCGGCGAGCAGCGGTGTGCGGCGCGCGCTGGGTGGTGCTGGTGTCCAGGCGAACGTCGCGCGCGCGGCGAGCGCTGCGGCGACGACGAGGTGCATCGGTGCACGTGTGGTGCGCTGTTGCTGTGCTTGTTGCACGGCTGCACAGTTTTAGCGTATTGTGGCCTTGGCTTCAGTGGTTGATGCGCGACGCCTGACTGCGTCTCGCAATACGTGTGTGAACTGATCAATCACTTTGTCGAGGTGCTTTTTAGCCAGCTAGCGGCAGTAAGACACTAGCAAACCCAAAACACCCATCTACGCGCGACCCTCTCGAAGCTTTACGGACCAAAATGATCCTCACAACTTGCGCCGCCTGCGCCGCCCCACTGGCCCTCAACGCGCCGCGATGCGTGCGGTGCCAGGTGAGATACTGTAACAAGACTTGCCAGATGGACCACTGGCGCCGCGGCCACAAGCAGATGTGTAAGAAAATACACCGCGGCGGTAACGCGGAGCAATATCACGCCGACAAAAAATACAAAGAGGCCGTCGCGGACGCGGTCGAGGCGTGCGCCGAGGACACGAAAGGCCAGACGTGCTACATTTGCACTGAGGTCGTCCATCGGCGCACGGGAGAAGGCCTCGTACGCATGTGCGCGTGCAACGGGACGGCGGGTTACGCGCACGTGTCGTGTCTGGCGGAGCAGGCCAAGATTTTGGTCGCGGAGGCCCAGGGCCAGGTTAGGCCCTGATGAATACGTCGTGTGTGCTGATATTCTAGCGAAGACGCTCAATATGCTTGAGGATTACGCCGAATCCATAGCGCTCCTTCGCGACGTCATTCCTTCGAGCATTGCCGCATTTGGGCTCGACGAAAGGCGCACGCTAAGACTCCGATATTGGCTTGCTGACGCCCTCCTACACGCGGGGACTGACAAAGCAATGATCCGCGAGGCGATCGAGGTGTTCGAGGACACAAGCTTGAGGTGGCCCCGGGTCTTCAAAGGTTCTCTCGAAGGTTGCGTCGAGACCGCGCGGGCGAAGCTGACGCTCGTCGACACTCCCCTGCCCTTCGACGTCGGCGCTCGCGTAGAGTGCCGCTACGCGGAATCGGACAGTGATGTTTCTATCGGCGACTTGTTTGACTCCAGCGATTCCGGATCGGAGTCTGGGTCCGAATCGTCCGATGACGACGACGACGACGATGACGGATGCTGGGCCCCAGGTACCGTCGTCGCCCATCACTACCGGGAAGCTAGCTTCGACGTTGGTTACTACGCTCCCTATCAAGTTAGGCTCGACAGTGGCGGGCTGATCTACGTGGTGGACCCCCCCGCGCAAATTCGGCCCATCATCCATGATTTAGAACTATAAATTTTACTAATAGCAATATCACACTAAGACCTACACAACTACCGCAAAAACCGCGGCCCCTTCTCGCCCGCCTCGCGCATCTTCCGCACGTACACCGGCAGCTTGAGCTTCTCTATCACGAGGTCCTGGAGCTCCTCGTACGACGGCCGCGCGTCTAACGGGTCGTCGTGCAACGGTAAAATAGTACCTTCGCTGATCATGTTTTGCCCTTCGAACTCGGCGTCGTCGACGTAGTAGGCCCTCCAGCCCTTGCCGTACTCGTGCACGAGCCTCACATCTTCGGACCGGCACGACGACTCCTGCGCGCAGTAGGTCACGGGGAACTTGTCGCGTAAAGTACCACCTCGGAAGAAGTCCTTGGCGACCGCGCCCTGGAACAAGCCGAGGCTCTGGGGTCCTATTATTTTAGGATTGACCAGTACGAGCAGCCGGTCGCCGACGGCTCCGTCGAGTTGGCGCAGCTCGTCGAACGTCTCCGCGCCCGGTTGTAAAATCATCATGGCGTCGTCGGCCGGAGTCTCGCCCTGGCAGTAGAGCTGGACGCAGCCGTCGTCCTTGGACAGGACTACTTCTTGTACTTCTGAACCGCCCTTGACGGCCTTTCGCAGACACTCACGCGCTAAAGGTAGGGCGTACTCGGCGATTTGCGGCAGGCCTCCCGGCCACGGGTCCAGGTCTTCGGGGCTCGTCTCCGGCGGCAGCGGGATGTGCAGCTCGACCGTCTGCCGCGCGACGCCAGCCTCGAGCGCAGTGCGCACGGATCGTGCAGCGGCGATTACCATGTCATCGCTATCCGTCGGCACGCGTGGCTCCAATTGTGCGCGCATCACTGTCGCCCTAGCTCGCTGCGCCGGGCTCACAAAGGAGCTGGTTGGACATAGCATCGTCATGCATAGCTGCACAATCATTTGTGCTCGCAACCGCATCGTTGCGGTTTTTGAGGATAAATTATAGGCTGTGCGCGTCGTTGCGGCTCTCTGTACGTGCCACGCACGTCGGAATCCGTGAAAAACCCGGCACGCTCTCTAAGGCTTTGAGAGCGAGCCATCGATATCAGCCGCACGTCTGGCTTTTCGGCTGTTCCAGCACTTGCAACGCTGCGCATAGCTGCCACGACAGCCGTTCACGCCCAAAAAACGCCGCCGCGGACGACACCATGGCTGCAAAGCCGCCCCCAGCACCGCCCGGCGAGAAGAAGAAGAAGCCGCCCCGCCCCGGCCCACCGCCTCCACCCCCACCAGTAGCCACGGCAGCTCTAGTGGCAAGAGTCGCGGCGGCCAAGGTCTTTGGATTGTGGCCGTCGTCGGCGCTCGCCGGTTTGCAGCCGGTCTGGACGACGGAAGCTGGCAGAGGGAAGCTGACGCTGGACCTGTCCGCATCGAAACGAGATTTGCCCAAAGAACCCGAACAGCACGCGCAGTTATTGGATCTAGTGCAAGCGGAGATCGACGCACTTGTGTCAAGTAACGCGCCCATCACCGTCGCGGAAGCCACAAGAGCGGACACGGAAAAGGCGTTTGGGGACCCCATCACGCCGTTGTACGACGGCGGCAAGCCGCCCAAAAATTCAAAACCGGACGACGTCGTGCGGGTCGCGTCTTTGGCGGGCTTCGCCGTCGACGCGACGGCACTCCCCGTCGCTTCAAGTGCTTCCGGTCCCATCCAACTCATCGGCCGAACGTCGGACAACCCGAAGAAGAAGCCCGAGACCATGGTCCTGCTCGCGGGGAAGAAAAAACAACTGTCGCTCAAGTTCTCTACTCAGTCAACGGAGGCGTCCGCGGCCGTGCCTTCTGGAAACATGACACAAGCCGCCTCGGCGTCGCAACAGGCCCACCGCGCGCTGTCGTTGACGCCGCTCGTCGCGGCCCAGCCCAAAGTTGTACCAAGGTCCTCCGAGGCCGAGACCGAGGACGAGGGCGAGATGGTCGTCGATCCTTGGGCGGTAGAGGGCAAGATCGACTATTCTAAATTAGTGGAGAAGTTCGGAAGTCAATTACTCACACCATCTTTACTAGAGAGACTCGGCGCACTAGCAGCGAAGAACGGCATGAGATTACATCGGTTCTTTAGAAGAGGCATCTTCTTCTCGCACCGCGACCTGGCCAAGATCCTGGATGCGGCGGAGAATAGGAAGGGCTTGTACCTCTATACGGGACGGGGGCCCTCATCCGCGGCGATGCACCTCGGGCACCTCGTCCCGTTCCTCATGACGCAGTGGCTCCAGGCGGCGTTGGGAGTGCCTTTGGTCGTCCAGATGACCGACGACGAGAAGTTTCTGTGGAAGGGCGAGTACGACGAGAAGAAGGGTGCCTACGACTTGGATAGGTTCCGCTTACTCACGCGGGAAAACGCCAAGGACATCATCGCGTGCGGCTTCGACCTGGACAAGACGTTTATCTTCAGCGATTGCGACTACATGGGCCACATGTACCCGAACGTGTGCCGCATCTGGAAGTCGATCACGTATAGTACGGCGCGGGCGGCCTTCGGCTTTGAAGGAAGTAGTAACGTGGGCCAGAGCGCGTTCCCGGCGATCCAGGCGGCGCCGTCGTTTCCCTCGTCGTTCCGAATCCCTCTGTCAAAGTGCGGGCCTCGACCGGATGATGCCTGTTGTTTGATTCCCTGCGCCATCGACCAGGACCCCTATTTTAGAGTTACGCGCGACGTGGCGCACAAGATCGCGCCGAAAAGTCATCCGCTGCGCGGCAAGCCGGCCCTGGTTCATTCCAAGTTCTTTCCTCCGCTCCAGGCTGTGTGGAAATCAACCAGTGAGTTCGGCTATCCTGAGAAGTATTGCAGAGCCTCCGTGAACCTCCACGCCATCGAGCTGCCGCAGTTACGGGGACGACGTCGCGTCGATGGCGCGGGGCGTCCGAAATTCGATTTCCACACAGGCTCCAGGGCGCGCTGGGCAAGATGTCGGCCTCGAACACGGACTCGGCCGTCTTCCTCACGGACTCGGACGACGAAATTAGAAGGAAGATCATGACGCACGCCTTCAGCGGCGGCCGCGAGACGGCGAAGCTGCAGCGCGAGCTCGGGGCGGATTTGGAGATCGACGTCGCGTACCAGTGGCTGCGGTTCTTCCTGGAAGACGACGAGGAACTAGACGCGATCGGCAAGAGCTACGGCAGCGGCCAGGGGCCGTACTGGAACACGGCGGCCGTAAAGGAGCGCCTCGTCGTCGAGCTGCAGAAGCTCGTGCGCGCGCACAAGGCCCGGCGGGACGTCCTGACGGATTCCGACGTGGACGCCTGGATGGCCGTGCGGGCGCTCGGGGCGCCTTATTAGTAAGTACGGCGGCAAATTAGCTCGCGAAAAAAAACGGGAGGGAGCGTCGACAAGCTCGTAGTAATATGAGTTAGATTAGACGTGCCAGTGGAGAGCGATCAATGCGGAAAGCTACTTCGCGGCGAGCTGGTCGTACTGCTGATCATACTCTATCACGCATACCGTGCGGTCGACGACGTCGTCCTCGCCCTCGGCCATGCCGCCTGCCGCCTTTGCGGCCGTGTAGGCGTCGCTCGCCGGCATGTCTAGGCCGGCCTGGGCGGACTCGAGCCCGAACAGCGCGGCGAAGGCGACGGTGTACGAAGTGGCTCCCGCGCCGACGTGCTGGTGGACGACCGGGCCCATCGTCGCCGACGAGAAAAGCGGGATCGACTGACCCGCGTAGGCCATGAACTGATCTTGAATTTTTACGGCGTGGACGTGGTTGATCCAGAAGCCCTGGCCGGGCTTGAGCTCGGGCAGCGAGTCAGCCTCGATGACACAGACGCGGCGGTCCACGACGTCCGTCTCGGGATCGCCCAGCAGCGCCCGGGCCTCGGCGTAGTCCGACTCGTCGTCCCAGCAGTCGATCGCAGCCTGAACCGACGGGAATTCGATCACCGCGCAGTATGCGACCGGGTCTCCTTTCAGCGTCGCCTTCACGGGCGCGAAGATGCGCGTTTTGCCGCCGTATTTCGTCTTGGAGTTGGCCAGCGACAGGTGCGCGAAGAACTTTTGCTCATCTTTTATGGCCAAAATATGAATAATCCAGTAGCCCTTCTTGCCAGCCGGCTCGGCGGGCGCCGCCGCGGTCGCATCGCTGCCTTCTACGGTCGTCGTGACTTTGGCGCCCTCGTCCGTGAGCTCCTTGGTGGACTCTGCCATTATGGGGCAGCGTTTTTTCGGCCCTGCGTCGGTGTTCGCGAGCGTAGGGCTGCCGGTCCGACGTGTTCGGTTGTCCGTGCGGTGTGTTTTAGCTTGCTGTGAGTGCTGAGAGCCTGCTGAGAGCCCGCAGCGCCGGATTCAGAAGCTTGCATACCCGCACGGCCCCGCCCGGGGCGCGGGAAGACGGGAAGAGGTCAATCACGTAAACTTAGCAGACACCCCCAACCGCCTTTCTTTTCGTTTCACCGGTACGCAGCCCGGCAGCGGCGGCGCGCGCGGGAAGAAGCGCGACCGCGACGGGTCGAGCACGCCGGCGACGTGCGTCGACGGCTCCACTTCCACCAGGGCCTTGGGCGGTTCCGGGTCCGGGGCCGGAGCGGGCGGCTGCTTTTCGCGCGCCGCGCGCAGCGCCGCCATGATCTCCCGGAGGTGCGCGCGCCGCATGACCAATCCCTTGATGTGATCGGAGAGCGCCTGGTCGTCGACGCGCCCCCGCTTCCACTCGGACAGGAAGAGGTCGCGGTCGCGGTGCGGCACGAGGGCCTCCTCAAACAACAACTCGAGGCGCGGCTGCATATCTACAGGGTCGTAGCGTTTTTGAGGATGGGGATGCGGCTCGAAGCGAACTTCTTCATCAGAGAGGACTTTGCCTGAATCCCCGCCGTCGTCGCTCACGTCATCTTCATCATCATCATCACCGTTTGTAGTGAGGCAGCGCACCTCGCGGTAGAGCCCCGAAAAGTATTGAGCTTGCGCCGCCCAGCGCGGCTGCGGGTCGTATCTCCGCTGGGGCCGCGCGAGGTCGCCGCGGGCGCCGGCGCGCCGCAGTGCTGCCCTTGTCTCGTAGAAGGCCGCCAGGGCCTCGGCTTGTGCCGTGAGGCGCGTGGCCGCGAGGCTGGCCATGTCCATGCTGTCGCGGGGCAGCCTCTAGCTGATGATGTATATATATATGCGTCGCGTCGATGGCGTGTAGCCTATGCGCGGCGTCGATGGCGTGTAGCTGGCCGCCTGCGCCGCGTCCTGTGCTCGGTGAGAGGGCAGCAAGCAGAGCGCTGAGACGCGCTGCAGCGACGGCCGCACTGGCATTTTGTCGAAGACTGGGGGCTCAGAGGACGGCTGTAGACTTCCTCACACGTTCAAGGAGTGGTTCGTTCGTGAGAAAACCCGTGAGTGCTAGTAGGTAAAATGGCCTTAAGCCAAATCGCCGCCGACCTAATTAAGGGCTTTTGCGAGGTAAGGACCAGGTCGCTGGGCGCGATAGCGCAGAGACAAGCTCAACAACCACAGCAATCACTCCGCGAACGCACGCGCACTCGTTTGGCCCAGCCAGGCCCCAGCCTAGACCCAAGGCTCCAGCGCGCGCAGCGGCCGCCGCGGAGCAAACAACAAAAGATGTCGAGCTCCGACAGCGACGACGACGTGCCGCTCGCGCAGATGCAGGCGCAGAGTTCCTCCAGGGAGGCGCGCGACGGCGACGGCGACGCGGCGATGGCGGACGCGCCGCCGCCAAAGCCGCCGCCGCCGCCGCCGACGGGCGGCGGCTCCAGCAGCGACTCGTCCGACGACGACGTGCCGCTGTCCAAGCTCCAACCACAAAAAAAAGCCGCGCCGCCGAAGAAGGCGCCGGCGAAAAAACGACCGCCGCCGCCGCCGTCGAGCAGCAGCAGCGACGACGACGACGACGACGACGACGACGACGAGGACTCGTCGGACAGCGACGAGCCCATCGCTAAAAGAAAACCAGCTCCTAGGCGGCGCTCGGCGCCCAAGAAACGCGTCGTCGAGAGTTCGTCCGGCGACGACTCCGGCGAGGAGGAGTTCGACTTCGACCGCGACGACTCGGACGACTCGGACGACGTGCCCCTCGCGACGCTGGCCCGGAAGAAGTCCGCCGGTTCAGCAAAGAAGTCTCCTGCGCGCAAGCCTGCTTCTCGCAAGGCGCCGACCGCTACCGCGCGGTCCAAGAAGCAAAAGGGCGGGGAAGCGGAGCAGGCGTTCTATGGCACGTTACGCGGCAAGCTCCTCCAGGAATTTTTAAGAAGGTGGTGGTACGCCTACGACTGGCCCGCTCCCCAAGCTATTGACAAGGAACCCGAGGCAGGATTTGAGAGTCTAGTAGCTTTCCCGGGCGTCCACATCTGCACGCTCGAAGGCGACGAGCGCTTCGGCAAGGTCCAAGATCACCGGGACCATGCTACTTCTCCTTGTTTTCTCAATTTCTACAAGAAGCCTTCGGCCGAACTGAAAGCGCTGTGTCTCAAGGCCTTCGAGGTCCAGATGGCGCAGCTGCTGAAGGCGGAGCCGGACAACGAGCGCTACATCAACAAACTCAAAAGGGAGCAGCGCGATATCGAGAGGGTCGACGCGGACAAGGCCGACCGGGAAGCTGTGGCTGCTGTTCGTGAGTATGAGCGGGCGCGGAAGTAGGCGGTATCCTCTCCCCTTTTCCGGCCTGGGGGGACTAACAAGTAATGAATTACTAGTATACGCCATCGACGCGAGTCGCAACTTGAAGGCAACACGTCGCGTCGATGGCGTAATTTCGCCGTAAAGCCTAAAGGAGGGGACGCCAAGTCAAATCGGAGTCATCAAGGGCACCTTTAAGACAGTCGATAGACAGTCCTAGTGCCTTTGATACGCTGGGTGGGTTGGGTCGCGCAGGGATCGTACCGAGCGCATTGATTGCGATTGCGCAACAAATATTGGACAGCGAAGCAATGTCGATACCAGTCACGCGGTGGGTGGACCCTCCGATGCCGTCGGAGGCGATTTACGCGTTCCTTGGCATTGCGACGCTGCCGCGGCTGCTACCCGGCAACCCGCTGCGCCATCTCCCGCGAGAGATGGTGCTACGCGTGGCGCAGTTTGCGTACAGTCCCGCGTACCGCGCTAGCTGGTCGCACCCATGGATCGACACCGACGCCGACGGGCGAGAGGCGGTCGAGGTCGATGTCATGCCTTTACTCGACGCACCTTTTGGTCAATATTTAGGACTCACCGTTTCTCGCCCGATTCGCCGGGGCGTGACCTATGTCGAGGTGACATTAAACTGCGCATGGTACGGTACGGGCGTGCAGCTCGCGGGATTAGGCCAAGAGTTTCGTCTTGCGCTCACTTGTGATGACAGCACTATCCCAGAAACCAATACCGCTCATTTGCTACCGTATGATGACATGACTCAGCGTCTGGCAGTGAGAAATTTCGACAACTGCTGGACCTGGATAACCGAACCAGTTATTTTCGGCCTGCTCATTGATATGACTCGTGGGTGCTGCACGTTTTACCTTAACGGACGCGTCGGTCCCTGCGTGCGATTTCCCTCTTCTGGCGCACAGCACTGGCGGCAACATGGGGTCCAAATTCAGGTCGACGAGTTTCCAGAGGAGACATCACAGGGTCCGCCGCAATGTCTCGTCTCCTGCGCGTCGCCCCGCCTGTCCCCGCCTACACCCTCATCTGTCCCCATGACACCCCAAGAACTCCGGGACAAGGGGGATTTGTATGTCGAAATGTAAGAAGATGATGTGTCCGAGTCAACACATTTAGTAGGATCAGCAAATCCAACAAATAGACAACTTTAACCTAAATAAGCGACCCGTCCCCCTCCTCGAAGGACGGCGCCGCGCGCGGCGGGCAGGGCGGCGGCGCCACCGGCGGCGCGAACAGCGGCCCATCCAGGCCAAGGAGGTCCACGCTACCAGTGTCCGGCGTGTTCGCGTAGCTCCGCGCCGGCCGCACGCGCTTCTCGATCGAGGACAAGACCCCGCTCCCGAAGTTCTTCGCCCGCTCCAACCTCGACCCGGATTCGTCCTCCGACGACTCGTCGGACTCGCCGTCGCCTTCGAGCGCCGAGCCGAACAAGAGTCGCGGGTTCCGCATTGAGGGTGCCCCACCAGCGGCGTCGTCAAAAACGACGTCCACGGCCACGACGCCGCAGTTCGCCAGCTTTTTTACGGAGAACGGTTTCGTGGTCACGTCCGCGGCGTCCCTATATCTCTTAAACAGCCCTCGGATGAAGTGCGAGTGCGACACGACGAGCGGTGCCTGACAATGACCCTCGAGCGTCTCGTACTGGACCTCCCTCAAAAACTCGGCGGCTCGCCGGTCTACTGCTCTTTTGCCTTCGCGCCGTTCGGACGGCAGCCACCACTCGCCCGCGGCGTCGCGGGCGTCACAAGCCAGGCCACTACATATAGTAGAGGCCGCCTCTTGGGACTCGACGGCCTCGGCGAGCTTCTTCTCGCACCGCTGGAGGATGCTGTACGACCCAGTCTCCAATCCAACGCTGTCAAAGCCGCCGACGTTTTTGACTTCGCGGCAGGACGCGTGCAGCGCCAAACTTCTCAGGGGAGGGAAGCCGTGGAATCCAACAAGGGCCGTCTGCAGGGCCCTGGTCAAGGGCGAGGCCCACACTACATCGACCCTTTCTAATCGTTCGGCATCACCCTTGTCGCCGAGGTAGCCCGAATCATCCAGCTCAAGAAACGGCAGGGGTCGTTCCCCAAAGTCCCGCCCCAAGGCTCGCCGCCACTTATCGTTCAGTGCCCTCGCCTGTGCGACGCCCTGCGGCGTCAGGGGGTGGTCCCTCTTCGAAACCATGGCCGAGTAGTTCGCGTCGGACTTGGCCTCGTTCCAGCCTGCGTGGAATCGACCTTCGTGAACCTCCACGCCATCGAGCAGGTGCAGTTACGGGGCCGACGTCGCGTCGATGGCGTAGAACCTCCACGCCATCGAGCAGCATCCGAACTTTGATGTCCACACGGATACGAACGGCTCTCGCCGTGCCGCACGAGGATGAGCGACACGGTCCGCGGCGGCCCTTTTGAAACGGGCACGCGCCTCACATAGATCTCGCACGCGTCATTTGAGCGGTGCTTCTCGGCCGCTAATTCAACAGCGAAGGGCGTAGTAGAGGAGGAGAGGAAGCCGACGGGCACGCGCGCCTCGCCCAGGTATTTCGTCCTTGTGGCCGCCGCGTCGTGGACCCTTAATACGACGACGTCGTCTCGCGTACAGCGCTCGGCAACTCTCAAAAATGAGAAGAACTGCGGTTCCAGAGTGTTCAGGCGGTGGGACGTCTCGAGCGGTTCCGTAGACCCGGGCGCGTTTGGTGGCGCGCGCGTCTCGTCGAGGTGCTCCTTGGCCCGCGCTCGTAAAGCGGACGTCGTCGACGACGCCTTCTTTTGCAGCGCGGCGGCGGCGGCGCGCGTGCGCGACCAGCGGCCCTTCTTTTGCTCTTCCGGTGCTGGTTGTGCCCCGGTCGCGAGCGCGTCCTTGACGCGGGCGGCGTCCGCCTCGGACAGCGACTTCTGGGCCATGAGCTTGGCCAGGTCCTTCGGGCTCACTTCCGGCGACCGCGGCGGCAGCGGCGGCGGCGCGTCGGCCGGCTCGAGGTGCACGCGGACGAAGGGGCAGCGCGTGCGGTCGTGTTCCCGCTTGGGTAGGTTTGTTAGTTTGATGATTTCAAGCACGAGCGGTGCGGCATCACTGCCGGCACCTCCCTGGAAGGTTGCCATACTTTTTTCGGGGCGTAGGGATGCAGTGGCTGCTCGAGTCCCTCTCGATTGCAAATGGCTGCAGTGGCTCGCACGGATGCAATCAAGGAGAAGTGCCGGAACCGAGCAGTCACTGTCGATGGCAGAGACGTCTGCACGCCTGTGCAGCGCGCCTAAAGCTCTGTACGCAGCGTTGACCCAAAAGTCTCGGCAGAGCTCTAGTGTGTTGATACACTAGTTCAGCCACTAATCGCATTCCTGCTCGGCCGCGCCTCACCGCGCACGACCAGGAAAAGTTCATCAGTCCTTTACTCGAGGACTCAGTCTGGAACACCGATCGCGCCACGAGTAACCGAGCTTAATAGTTAGCAGGGCTAGAGCAGGGCAATATTCCGGCAAAAAGTTACGCCCGACTTTTACGCCCCAGCCACTGGTCGCGACGCCCGTTCTCGAACGCGAGCATGGTTATAAAATACCGCCGCCCGACGAGCGCCTCGCGCGTGGGCCAAGACATGCGAAATACGTGGTCGCACGTCGTCGGCAACCTCAGCCCAATTGCCGCCTTTGCCCGCCGGACCCTGTGTCAGGCTACCTCCACGCCATCGAGCAGACGCAGCTACGGAGATGACATCGCGTCGATGGCGTGGGGCGCCCGAGATTTGACTTCCACACAGGCCGGACCTGCCGCCGCGCGACGGGCCGACGGCGACGACGACGGAGAACGGCGAGAAGGCGCCGCCGCCGCTGCCGCCGCGCGGAGCTGTCGCAAAGTCTCCGTCGCACGCCTCGCCGTACGCGGGGCTCGGGAAGTGAGCCGTCTGACTGGAGTAAGAGAAGTGATTGAAACGCCATGGACGCGCCGCGCCGCGATCCCGAAGTAGCCCCCCCCCATTCCTCGCAGTGTTGATCGGGCGTCACGTCGGGGTCCCTTCCGAGCTCAGGACGCGCCACCGAGCCCTCGGGGCGCCAGTGGACCTGTGGAGGCGGACCTTGCACCTCGAAGTTAAACCTCCCGCAGGGCTGGCCGCAAGACTGCAGCGGCTCCTTAAGAAGTGCGAAGAGTCCTTCCCCGGGCCGCTGGACGAAATCTGCTCTCCCAGTCGCCGTGCCTCCATGCCTCGCGACGCACAGCCTCAGCTTGTAAAACAGGGGTTACATTAAGGTTAGCGTGCTGCGTCCAGACGATTGATAAGCGTACTGAAGCCCGACCAGCACTCCCACCACGTCGGAGCGAAGCTGCAAGCTCTGCGCATGCAACAATCGGAAGTCGGGATATCTCTGACCAGGGCGTCCATTCGGCCGCAAAGCGGAGCAACCGCTGCATCTCAGCAGCTGTCGTAACGCCATCGCTGCAAGAGACGCCGCCGCCGCGGCCCCGGCACGCATAACCGCAAGACGCGCGCTTATCCGCCGCCGCACGACATCGCAGCCATTTGCTGCATCGAACCGCCGCCGCCCGCAGGTCAATAAGAAACCATGCGCGCCGCGTTAGCCAAGACGCTCAAGGCGACGGCGCAGCCGGCGCTCCGCGCGAACGCGCGCGCCGTCTCGGGCCTCCTCGAGGGCTACGGCGACCACGTCTTCAAGGGCGCGACCGCCGAGCCCTACCTCGCGAAGCAGGGCTTGAGCGCCGCCACCCTCAGCAACGCCGAGTGGACCAAGGACGCGGCCATGGCCGACAAGGTCGCGGCGGCCGTCCTCGAGTGGGCGACGGAGAACGACGCGACCACCTTCACGCACGCGTTCCAGCCCCAGGGCGCCAGCGGCGTGCGCCACGGCCTCGTGGGCATGGTCCAGAACGCCTTCTTCAAGTTCGACAACGACGGCGTTCCCGTCTGGGACCTCAAGGGCAAGGACCTCATCCAGGGCGAGACGGACGGGTCTTCGTACCCGTCGGGCGGCCTCCGCGGCACGCACTGCGCGAGCGGCTACGTCCAGGTCGACTCGTCGTCGCCGATCTACCTGCGGGGCGACACGATCTTCATCCCGTCGTGCCTCGTCTCCTTCTTCGGCGACGCGCTCGACGAGAAGACGCCGCTCCTCCGCTCGGTCGACGCCCTCAACCGCGAGGGCGTGCGCCTCCTCAAGCTTTTGGGGTATGAGGCGACGGGCCTCGGGTCGAACATCGGCCTCGAGCAGGAGATCTTCCTCATCCCGCGCGACAAGTACACGGAGCGCCAGGACCTCATGCTCGCGGGCCGCACGATCATGGGCGCCGACGCGCCGCGCGGCCAGGAGATGTGCGACCACTACATGGCCGCCCCCAGCCACGCCACCGCGGCGCTCGCGTGCATGCAGGAGATCCAGGCCCAGTGCTTCCGCCTCGGCATCCCGCTCCGCACGCGCCACCGCGAGGTCGCGCCGAACCAGTACGAGTTCGCGCCCTTGTTCGGCACGGCCACGACGCAGATCGACCAGAACTTGGTAGTGATTCAGCGTCTTCATTGAAGTTGAACTTGACGTGGTCGCGGCGCCGCGACGCCGTCGACGTGGCCGTGAGAGAGTCCACGCGTCTCGCGAATGAGCAGAGACAGTTTCGTGATTGTATGATTCCACACAGGTCGTGATGCAGATCATCGAGGAGACCGCGGCCCAGTATGGATTGGCCGCCCTCCTCCAGGAGAAGCCCTTCAACAACATCAACGGGTCCGGCAAGCACAACAACTGGTCCATCGGCACGCACGACGGCGTCAACCTCCTCAACATCGGCCAGATCACCAAGGCTGCGGGCGACGACGCCTTCCCGACGATCATGGCCGCCATCGTCTCGGCCATCGACAAGCACGGCGACTTGATGCGCATGGCGATCTCGAGCCCGGGCAACGACTTCCGCCTCGGCGCCTGCGAGGCGCCGCCGGCCATCGTGTCCACCTACCTGGGCGACGACATGACCGAGTACCTCACGGCCTACGCTAAGGGCGGCGGCAAGTACGAGCCCAAGACCAAGGACCTCTCCATGGGCGTCGAGGGCATGCGCCACATGGAGATCCCCGCGCAAGACCGCAACCGCACGTCGCCCTTCCCCTACGGCGGCCACCGCTTCGAGTTCCGCGCCGTCGGCTCGGCCCAGAACGTGTCCCTCGTGAACACGGTGCTCAACACGATCACGGCCAACGCCTTCAAGGAGGTCGCGGACCGCATCGAGGGCGGCGAGACGGCCCAGGCCGTCGCCGCGGACCTCATCAACACGCACGTGCCCAAGGTGACGCGACGGCGTCTGCTCGACGAACTTCTCGGTCAGCGGCCATGGTCGCTTGCGTCCGGAGAGCAGGGAGAGTGTGGTTTTGGATGGCGCGGAGCACGCGACTCACTGGTTGGTTCCCACAGGTCGTCTTCAACGGCGACAACTACGACGAGGCCAACCAGGAGATGCTGACGAAGCGTGGTGTCTGGCGCATCGACTCGGGCGTCGACGCCATCTGCCGCTACAGCGACCCGAAGAACACGGCGCTCTTCGAGGCCATGGGCGTGCTCAAGCCCAACGAGTGCGCGGCGCGCCAGGCGTGTTTACTGCGTCCTGTTGGTTTCTGTGACTTCCGCGGCGATGGCGTGCTGTTCGTTCGAGGCTTGGCGTGGACCAAGCCACATGACTCAGCAACAACGAGAGACATACTATCGCATAACACGCCATCGACGCGACCAAACCCGCCAACGGTGGATGTGCACGCAGGAAATCCTCCTCGACCACTACGTTGGCACCGTCGACATCGAGGCCAAGTGCATGGTGGACATGATCAACAAGCACGTCCTGCCCTCGGCCAAGGCGGCCGAGCTGCCCCAGGTCGCGGCCCTCGAGGCCGCGCTCGACACGCTCGGCAAGGCCATCGAGGAAATTCATGCGTCGTCGGGCAAGCCGCAGGCGGACCTCGCGCGCACGCTGCGCCTCGAAACCATGATCGATATCAGGGAGGTGTGCGACGCCGCCGAGGGCCTGTGCCCGGCGGACCTCTGGACGCTCCCCACGTACACGGACCTGCTCTTCCTCGACCAGACCACGAACGTCGACAAGAACTACTTCCCTTAGGGCGGCGCTCGCGCGCTGCTCCCGCACACCGCGGTCGCAAAATTCCCTCCCCCACTATCCCCTCCCGGACCGCGTCGAGCGCGCCCAAACGGGGTCGTGTACATAGACGCGAAAGACTACTCTATCTATCTCTACAGGAACGACACCATGTGCTTGAAGAGGTCCTCCTCGCCGGAGAACGGTCGCGCGAGCTTGACGATGACGTTTCGGGCCGCGGCGTCGCGGGCGTCGGCGGCTCGACCAAAACTTGCGAACATCTTGTCCATAAGAGCTCGGGATTCCTGAGTACCAGGCTCGAGGCGGACGCCGCCCGCGAGCGGATCGGGCGGCGGCGGCGGGGGCGGGCGGAGCGCCGCGGCGGCCCGCTCGGCCTCGATCCATTCGTCCGTCTCGGCCGCTAAAGCCGTGACGACAGCGGCCTCCGCGATGGGGTCGCGGGGACTCGGCGACTCCTTAGCATTGGCCAGCGCCAATAACCGCGCCGCGACGCTCCGGAGCTCGTCAACGGGCAGCTTGTCCGCCAGGCGCATGATCTTGTCGGCGACACCATACTCCGGGTGCCGTTGGTAGACGTCCTTATAATAGCGGCGCCGGCAGAGCAGGAGAGGTAGACGCGCCTCCCGGCGGCGGCGGCGTGCTAAGGCTCGCGCGACGCGCGCCCAGATCTTCTGCCAGTACTTCATTTCCTCTTCGGCGGCGTCCTCCGGAAAATCGTAGAGATACGCCCGTTTGACTTCCTCGAGCGTCGGCGCGGGACAGTGAACGTCAAACGCCCGCTCGAACGTGTCCAAGTAGCTCTCGTCGGACTGCGGTCCGCCGAGGCTCCCGATCATCGTGAACATCATGAGGCCGGCCATTTGCGCCGGGCTCAGGACTTCATTTTCCGGGTTCGGCATCGCCGCGCCCGCCGCCATTATGCAGACAGGGGAGGACATGAGGCGTATGGCGTATGAGGCGATCTGCTGAGAGTGGTAATCTAATATTATCTATCTACTACGGCACTGAGAGGGGCCAGGGCCTGTATTAGATATCCGGGCGTGACCGCTTTGTTTTTTGATATATAAACTGAGCCAGTCCGAGGGGATACCGTCCCGGGGCGCGGCGTCTGGGCCCGCGCGATGGCGGTATCCGCGGCTAGCGGCCTGTAAGACACTAGCAAGCATATCGATATATATATCGAAATTACTATTTCCCCTAAGAAACGCATAGAAGGACGTATAAAAAATTATTTTCCCCTTCCCCACTTGACCACAAAATGATTCCTAGGGAGATTGTAGGACAGATATTATATATAGAGGTATATATATATCTATAGGGGCCCAGTACTAAAAAAAAATCCGAGTTCACGATTCTATATCTACGAATTTACGACGGCGCTATCCCGCGCGCGCCTATGAATATGAATTGCTAGGGCCAGGTCACGTCGAAGCCGAAGGCATTCGTGTCGACCACGGGCCCGCACTCGTCGTGGTAATTGTCTTCGCACCCGCCGCAGACCCAGACGTTGGCGTCCGTCAGCGTCGGCGAGCAGTAGACGTCGAGCGTGCTCAACGTGGTCGTATGGTCCACGATGCGCTGCGCCGTGGTAAAATCACAGTCCCTGACGATTATGTGGCCCTTCTGGAGGCGCATCAGACCCTCGTCGTTGCTGTTGTCGACGTTGTCGACGAACGACGACGCGTTGAAGAACCACGACTCGAGCCACGACGCGATCGCGGCGCCGCCCCCGTCCGCTATATTCTCTTGGAAGCTGCAGCCGCCGACGTAGGCCCCTTGCGTCGGGCTGCCGGTCGAGCCCGTGGCGAAGATCGCGCCGCCCCGGCCGGCCCCGTCCGTGTCATCGTTGCTGGGATCCGTGCGCACCGCGTGGTTGTTCAGAAAGGTCGAGTCGGTCAGGTCCAGGCGCGCGCCGTTCCCTTTGTAAAGCGCGCCGCCGCGCCCACCGTAGCTCTGGACGGGCTCGTCCTTGGCGCGGTTTCCTTCGAACGTGCACCCCGCGATTGTCGCCATGTCTTGCTTGAAGGCCACGGCCCCGCCCGCGACGGCCACGTTCGACGTGAACGTCGAGGTCTCGATCAAAAAATCCTTCTCGGCGCCGTCCTGCGCGTCCTGGCTGAGGGCACCGCCGGTGTCGTCCGCCTCGTTGTCCCGAAACGTCGAGTCCCGGACGCTGCCGCTGGTGCGGTAGAAGTGAATCCCTGCGCCGTCCCCGCCGGCGGTGTTCCTCTTCACTAGCACTCTCTCGAAGTTCGCCGTGCCGGCCGTGTGCTCGCCTATGTTAACAGCGCCGCCGTTGCCGACCGCGCTATTATTGAGGAAGTCCACGTCCGAAAACGTGGTTGTGACGGCGGAGCCCGCGTACGCGCCGCCGCCGTTCGACGAGGCCGCGTTGCGTCGCAGTACCGTATTCAAGATGCGCACGTCACTGGAAGCCTGATTCGCGTGGGGCTGCGTGTACAGGCCGCCGCCCTTGGCGCCGGCCGCGTTGTCCTCGAAAACGCAATCATCGACTTTGACCGTGGAAATCTGCAGCACGTAGAGGCCACCGCCGTCAAGGTTGGCGGCCGTGTTCGCGCGGAACGTGGAGTCGAGCACGTCCAGCCGGGAGTCGGCGTCGTTCACGGAATGCGTCACGCAGGCGCCGCCCCCGAGGCCGTCCGCCGCCGCGTTTTCGTCGAAGAGGCAGTCCGTAAATGTGGTCGTCGCCGCGGAGCCCACGAACGCGCCGCCGCCGTTCCCCTCCGCCTCGTTGTTTCTTATCGATGTACGGAGGACGCGCACGTCGCTATTCGTGTGCTGATGGTAGGGCAGCACGTAGAAGCCACCACCCTTCTCCTCCTTGGCCTTGTTCGACTCGAACAAACAATTGATGATGGCGACGTTGGACACCTGTAGCGCGTAGAGGCCGCCGCCGGACTCCGTGGCCTCGTTCGCGCGGAAGATGGTATCACGCACGTCCAGCCGCGACGCCGCCGCGAGGTTTTCGGCGTCGTCTTCCGTGGGCCGTTGCACGTAGGCGCCGCCCCCGTGGTTGTTGTACGCCTCGTTTTCCTCGAAGAGGCAGTTGGAGATGTTCACGTTCCCGATGCGCAACGCATACAACGCGCCCCCCGCCCCGCCCTTCGCCTCGTTGCCTCTAAACGTGCAGTCCCGCACCTGCAAGCTGCTGCGGTCCATGTCCTTGGGCTCGTCGCTCACCTCAAACGCCACCGCGCCGCCGCGGCCGTCCTTGGCCTCGTTGTCCGTGAACGAACAATTCGTCAGCGAAATGTTCAGCGTATCCCAGGTATAGATGGTACCCTGCTTGTACTGTTCATTACTATCAAAGATCGAATCGCGCACTTCAAGGGTCCCGTCGGTGACCCTCATCGCGGGCCCCTTGCCGGAATTTTTCATGGTACCCCCGTCGGGTTCCAAGGCCACTTCCGCGACATTATTGCGGAAGATCGAGGAAGCTACGAGCAAGGGCCCGCCGCCCACGTGGTAGACCGCGGACATGGGTACCGTATTATCCTCAAAAATGCAATCAATAATATCCATGGAGGCGCCGCTCTGGACGTAGATGATCCGTCGGATATCATTAGTACCGTGGTCGTGGTGCCAGCCGGCGAAGCGGAGGCGCTCGAAGGTCATCGTCATGCCAGGATTCTCCCAGCCATTAATCTTGAAGGCGCCGTAGCTCTCCTCATCAAAGTCCGACGAGGGCGCGATCGTCGGCCGTTGTGACCCTCCGTAGATGCGTCCGCTGGTCATAATCTCCAGATCCTTTTCCATCTTGAAATTTCCGTCAGAAGGCGTGAGCCGTAGGTCACAAACGCCCGAACAGTGCAGCGTGCAGTGGCTCAAACCCGCCTCGAGCTCATCATAAACAGCGATGGACGGGTCCGCGCAGTCCTCGGGCATGAGCGAGTTGTTCGTCGGCATTGGTGTTAAAGTCGGTACTGGAGTAAGTGTGGGCGCGAAGCTCTCCCGCTTAAACACGTCCTCGGCTTTCAACAAATCCCAGGCGCCGCCCTCTTCAATAAAATTCTTCGCGTTCGGGAGGACGTGTGATAATTCAGCCGCATCATTGACATCCACGCCCAGCCAGTCAATCACCGAGTGCCAGATCGACTCCCACGGCATCGTCGGCACTAGTCGACCTCGACCCACGTCTAAGGTCGCGAAGTCCGTCGGGTAGGTCCCATGCACTTTACCGCCATCGACGTCGCCCCCAAGCACGAACATGTTGCCGCCCCAGGCGTGGTCCGTGCCCTTGCCGTTGGAAGTCAAAGTTCTCCCAAAGTCCGACAACGCGACAATTGTCGTGTCCTTCCAAGCATCTTGAGCTTTCAACTCGGCCACCAACGCCTCCAAGCTCTGGTCGACGTCCTGGATTTTACCAGAGACGTCCTCGTCGAGCGTGTTATGCGTGTCCCACGCGCCGCGCTGCGTGTAGAAGGCGTCCCGCTCCGAGCCCAGAACTTCGCGGCCCATCTTCAAGAGGCGCGCTACCGTCGTGAACTGCCCGTACAGCCCGCCGCAGCCGCCGCACTCCAAACCATCGGGCTCGCCGTCGCCGTCCCTGTCGGGGTTGAACGCGCCGGCGCCGTTCGTCGCCGTCGCCGTCGTTAATAACGTGTCCCCGAACGTCTCGAAGAGCGCCTCGTTGTTGTGCAGCGCGAGGTTAAAGAGTTCCGCGTAGGTCTCGGCGTAGATACTTTCGGACTCGACCTTTGTTAAATCTTTCACGGCGTCGCCGAGCGTATCTCTATCATTATATAGCACGAAGCCGTCGGTCGCGTCCACCACATACTCCGGTAATGGTGAATCCTCGAAGATTTTTTGTGTCCCGGATGCTGAATAAGCCCGCGCGGCGAAGGGCACCGGCTTACAACTGCCGGTGGTGCAAGATCCACCTTCAACACATGTGTCGCCCCAGACGTCATCCTTCGTATTGTCGTCACAGAATTGGCAGCACCGATACCTATCTTGTAGGGAAGTAAAGGCCCTTCCTAAAATACCAGAAGCCCCGTCGTTGTTCGGGTCCTGGGACTGGGCAGCTCTTTGGGCATAATTGTGTGCAAATATAGAAGTAGGCAACTCCACCTCCTTGTCCAGGAACGTCTGCTGCGTCGTCGGTTCCACGAGATTGCCGACATTCGCGAAAAAGGACAATTGTTTTTCTTCGTACATCTGCTTGAGGAAGGGCATCTTGTGGTGCAATCCATAACGCGCACAAGCTTGGCCTTCGACGTCGATCGGCAGTAACTCGTCGAGGGACTTGTTCAGGGCCGCGATGCCTCGGTAATTACTGTAGTGTTTGTAGCCGCCCCCACCGCTGCACTCGTCCTCATAGGGCACCAAGAAGTTCCAACTATCGGCGCCACCTTGTAAAAACACGACGATGACCGCCCGATATTGTCGACAACCATCACCGGCGCATTCCCCCGGATTTTTAATGGGTCTTAACAGTTCACAGCCCTCGCGACAGTGGGCGTTTGTGGCGTGAAACTCCGGGGCGTTCGTGAAGAGCTTCAGGACGTTCTTCAGCCCGTCGTCGGTGCCGTCGTAGGCGCCTTCGATGATCGCCTTTGAGTGGGAAGACAGCCGGCCGCTCGTTAGTAGTAGATCGAGGTCTTCCACAATACCTGAAGCAGTCGTTGCGGTAGGCGTGTAGGCCAGCCACCCGTCGCTGGGCGTGTCCTTATACTTATCGTTGTTGCACGTCCGGCCCAGCGCACTCAAACTTAATCCATAGCTCTTGAGCTCGTCGGCGCCGAACCCAAAATTGCAGTTCCCGAGGCCGTAATCCACAAGTTCCGCCAAACCATTGGCCAGGCCCAGAATGAATGGAGCTGTTAACAACTCCGCTTCCGGCGACACCAAACCCGCACTCCTAACCGCCCCGGCCGGCTGGTGTTCCGGTTGAAAGTAGCCGAAAACACTAGGCGCCGAGTGGGGCTCCTCGCCGATCTTCGGGGCTAAATCATGTAATTCTAACTGTCGGCCGTCCCGCGGTTGATACTCTAGAGCTCGCAGGAAGTGGCAGATCATTAATAGAGGCTCCCTCAGTTGCCCGTGCGTCCAGTCCGCGTCTAGGGTCGTAGATCTCGCTTCCGGATGTAACAACGCCGTCGCAGTAGCAGCCCCAATGTCGCCGTACTTGTGCGAGCACCCGTCATTCCCCTGGACGCATCCGTCATATTTGCCTTCCTTGAACGCCGTTGTCACCGCTCCTAGATAAGTAGGTGACGGATTGGACGTCGTCAGGCGCTGCAGGAGCCGTCGACAGAAGAACGCCGCGGCGTTGGCGTGCGTGAACAGGTGGTCGATGAGCGCTTCCGTCTCGTAGGCCGCGTCCCGCGCCGTCGGCTCATTTAACTTGAGGTGCGAGGGGGGATTGCGCATCTCGTAACTTCCAAGTTTGATCGCGTGCTTCGCGTTGCGCAGGTGGATGACATGGCCCGTTTCGTCGGTGACGCCAAAAATCGTGTCCGTGTCGTACGGGTCATCTTCATATACTAACACGCCGTCGCCCGGGTCGGCGTCGCTCGGTGTGACCGCCGCCTTGTGGTAGCATTGGTCCAGGACGTCCTGGCGCGTGGGTTTTGACGAGAAGACCGCCGTCTCCTCCACGGACGTGACGTTGCAGACGCAGGTCTGGCCATGCTCAACACAAGCTGTTTCAGCAGCACAAGATCCATCAGAAACTTGAGGATAGTGGTCGTCCACGCACGTGGCGGGCGTGCAATCGTTGTTAGAGGAGCACGGCGTCGTCAGGTCGTCGGAGCAGACCGGTATATAGGGGGCGAAGAAGCCTCGGTACGTATTGCCCGAGTCTAATCGTAATTCCCACTCGTCGGCCGGCTGCAGCGTCCCCGGATTTTCGTCCGCATCATAATCGTTCTCCACGCTATGAATGACATTAATGAGACCTTCGGAATCAATTTGCACTTGAAAAGCGCAGTCGCCCAACCTCCAAGCCAGTTCCTCGCTAAAGTCGGCGCCCGAACAGGCTCCGGCGCAATCGTCGTCGTCAGAGCACGGCGTCGTCAAGTCATCGAAACAGACCGACCCCGGATAAAAGTCCGTGTCCTGCCGCGTCGTCCACGCAGCACACAAGGTCATCCCTAAACTTTCGCACCGCTGCTGCGCGTTGATTTTCGTCGTGCGCTCGCCGGGGTAGGCCCAGACGCGCGTCACGGGCTTGCCGTCGTCGCTCTCGTCGTCGCAGCACGCGATGATGCCGTTCGCAGTTAATGGATCGCCGCACTGCGAGTCCTTGTCCCTCTTGCCGGACTTCGTGGCTCGTAGAATCGTCGGGTCGGCCGCAACCGCCAAATCAGCACAGGCGTTCGGCACCCACTTGTAATAAAATGTTTGTTGGGTGTCCGCGACCTCGACAATTCTCAAAGTGTGCACTTCCAGATTTTCTACACTGATATCTTCGTCGAGCGTGACCGTCGACGGGAACGTGCACAATCCATTACCATCGACGGCGCACAACACATCATACAAGGCACCCGTCGCCGCGAACTGCGCCGCGTCCGGCCAAGTAGGCCGATCCTTCTCATTAAAAGATTTGGACTTGCCCTGAAAGACGTACTTGCCCTGATTCTTCAGCAGAAAGGCCTGCGCGGGCACGTCCCGACACAGCACCTCCCTATCGGCGAGGTACCCTCGCCTAAGCCTTTCTGACAAAGAGAGCGCTTTCCCCAGCTTCGCCTTCGGGAAGACGTCCCTATCATCAGCATCGATGACCATCGGGTCCACGTAATTATACCCCGAGTACTTGCCCCGCTCCAGATTCTCGCGGTTCGGCCGCACTTTAAACCCCGTCCAGGCCCGCGCGAAGGACACGATGTCCTCGTTCGTGTATGTTTCCGTTTGCAGCGGCGTGCCGTCGCCGTCCAATTCGTATAGTCCAATCGAAAACAACTGCATGATCTCCCGGGCGTAGTTCTCGTCGGGGTACTTCTCGCCGTCGAACTTGGAGTTGGTCTTTCCCGCACCGTCCGCAAAGGTTAAATACTGCGCCATGTGCGCGTGGTAGGAGATCTCCCGGAGCACATCTCTCAAATTGCCGAACGCGTGCCTGACAAAAATGTCGTAAAAGGCCGTCCACGGTTCCGTATACATGTAATTCGTGATGCCCTGGTCGCTGACAATAAAAACCGTCGCGAGGGCCCAGGCGACGCGCTGCCGTAGTTGGTCCGGGGCATTCAACATCAACGTGTACCAGACGTTCGTCCGGCCCCGATTCTTCCCTACTTGATGTTCCATATGTGTGGGAGCATCCAGCGAGTTTCTCCCATCACCAGAGTCCTCCTTGTCGTATTCTTGTACCCTTTTAGGGTAGTAGTGGCCCAGCGACGGGTCACTCGCGACCTCGCCGGGGCTGCCGCACGACTCGAAGCCGTCGGCCGCCGACGAGGCGACATACACGTTGTCGCAGTCGCACGACCCGTCGTCGCCGCAGTCGTCGTCGTCGTCGCAGCTGTCCCCGGCGTCGTCCCCGCCGACGCAGACGCAGACCTTTGCAGAGGTCACGTCGCACGACCCGCCGTCGCAGTCGTCATCATCAAGGCAGTAGTCCCCGTCCTCGCAGGCTTCGTCGCTATCGCAGCCCTCACATTGTCCCACGTCGAGCGCGTCCGCCAGCGCCTCGCTCAGTAGCCCGAGCGGCAGGGAGTTGAACGGCACGATTTCATCGGAAGTGCCCACGTACGTCAACTTATTGCGGTTCGCCTCCCAGTACATCTGGTCGTTCCCGGTCGTGCCGTAGTCGAAGACCCAGTCGCCGGTCGCGTGCTGCGAGATGTAGGACTCATCTACCCAGGTGATCGCGACCTTCTGGCCGACGTCGCAGTGGCTGCCCACCTGACACCCATAATATTTTGTCGTCGCCGACGCTTCAGTCACGTCCAGGGTCTTCGCCTCCGTATCCGCGAGCTCCGTGGCGCTGTCGAAGTCGCACGAGTCGTAGGCGGCCTCGTCATCAAACTCGTAGACGTTGTGCCCCCCTGTCCACGTGAACGTCGCCGTGGTTCCTGTTGAGAGGGTCAATGCGTTGGCGCTCCCGTCGGCCATTGTGTAGTGCTCTTCCCAGTCGACGGCCGCCGCCATCCCCATGTCGTCCCAGACCCACTGGGAGAACTCGTAGATGTTGTGCTCGTTCGGGTGGCCGTGGCGGAAGCAGTCCGAGCCGATCTTGTATTTGCCCGCCGTCACCGCGGCGCAGGTATTACCTCCACCGCACGCGCAACACTGTAGGCTCGCCGTCCAGTCCGAGGAGTCCCAGTAACCACACTCGTTTGGGTAATCGGTATAATACGAGCACTCATTAGCTATAGCATCACTCCCCTCCCCATCTACGCACTCAGAATCCGTGCGAAGTTTAACGTCCTGCACGAGTTTGTCGGTGTTGATCGCCGCCTCGAGCGTCGCGTCGGCGTCGGGAGTGTCACCATCACAAGAATCCTGGACCCAGCGCGACTTCTCGTTGACGGCGCACGGGTCCTCGGCGACGGGCAGGTTCTCAACAAGATAAACGTAGTTCGTCGGATACATGGCCTCCCTTAAATCCGCGCCCAGCTTGACCTCCTTCGAAGAATAAGTCGCGATGCCGCAGCCGGGCGCGCGCACGCACGAATCTTCATTTAAAAACGTGCGCGGCACGGCGGGGCATTTTGTACTAGAAGTGCCCGTCGTCGCGGGTTGTTCGAGCGAGTTCTCCTGGGAAACTAATCGACGGTCGTAGGCGTAGTACTCTCCATTCACATCGAGGTAGATCTGGGTCAGGCCGAAGTCGTCATACGACGGCGACGAGCAGTCCTCCATCGCACCGAGGATGCCCGCATCCGCGACGTTCTCTATTGATGTCAAACTAGTGACGCTCCCGATCACGTCAGGAGCGTGATCGATCGGGGGGTTGAGCATCGAGTGCGTGCTTTCCCCGTAGTTCGTCGTGATGGACGGGCCCTCGTTCTTGCCGTTACTCGCTTTGTAGATCGGCGACTCGCAGGCGTTGCCTAACGTGACCTCGCCTCCCAAGGTCTCGGCCACCGTACAAATTTTGATGGGAAGTACGGAATGATGGATGACGTTCGTGGCGTTGGTTGTGCGCGCGACGCCGTCGACGGTCAAAGTGTTTCCAGCATAGTCCAAGGTCTTGCCGATGTCTTCCGTCGTGAAGGCGAACTTGCGCCACCTGCTCCCAGCGTCGCAGGGGCCCGCGGCGCCGCCGCTCGTCAGGCCCCAGGTCGAGCTCTCGACGAGCGCGTCGGCGTACGTCAGCCGCGGGTGCGATCTTCTTCTATAGTGGGCCCGATGCAATGATGGAGAGAGGGCCATCTGCGCCGCGATCCACCCCGCGAAGTCGTTGCCTTCCAGCGCCGCGATCTCGTCGTATCGCGGCCCGAACGTCGCCTGCGTCAGGAACCGCGCGGCCTTCTTCTTGTTCGACACGGCCGCGACCGCGATGGAGTCGTAGTAGTGGACGCCGTCCTGGCCCGTCATCCCACTCGTCACCCAGCACTTCGCCGCGTTATCGACGACCTGCGCGTTCTGGCACGCGGCCATCGTGCTGACGCCCGAGAGGCAGCACGTGACCTCGCAGGGCCCCGCGGCCGTCGCCTCCCAGGCCCGTCCGTCGTAGGACCGCGCGCAGGGCTTGTCGAAGCCGTCGGCGGCCTTGGTCATGATGAGCTTGAGCTCCCCGGGGTCGGAGACCGCCACCTCGACGCCGCCGAGGATGACGCCGTCGGGGATCGTGACGTAGTCCGGGGCCTCGGGCGTCGGGCTCGGCGTGGGCCTCGGCGTCGGCTTCGGTGACGGGTCCGGCGAGGGCCCGGGCGTGGGCGCCGGCGTGGGCTCGGGCGTCGACGGCCGCGGCGTGGGCGCGGGCGCCGGCACGGCGGTCGGTTTCGGGACGGGCGCGGCCGTCGGGTGGCCGGGCTCGACCGACGGCGCGGGCGTCGAGGGCTGCGGCGTCGGCTGGGGCGTCGGCGTCGCCGACGGCCGCGGCGTCGGCTGCGGCGTGGGCCTCGCCGTGGGTTCTGGTAGAGGCACCGAGGTGGGCACCGGTGATATCGAGGGCGCCCACGTCTCCTCGAGAGTAGGCCTCGGCGTCGTGGGGGCGTCGGTCGGTTGGAGCGTCGGCGACAGCGTGCGCCGGCACACGGTGCCGTTGTAGAGCGTCGAGCCGCCCGACTGGAACGGGATGCCCTCGTGCACGGGCTCGCCGGCGCAGCACAGATCAAAAATCCGGCCGACCACGCGGCAGGGCTCGGGCTCGTAGGTCACCTTATTTCCAGGGTCACGATCGGGCCAGGACGTGGGCGCGAGCGTGCCGCCGTCGTCGCGGCCGTCGTCGTCGCCGCCGCCCGCCCTCGCGCCCATCGTCCCGAGCACCACGCCGACGATGAGGCCCGCGATCGCCGCGGCGCCGACAGCGGCAAAAAGATTGCGGCGCGTGCGCGGCCGCCGCAGGCTCCAGGTCGCCTCGACGGGCTCGGCGTGCTGGATCTCGATCAATTTGTCGTCCTCGGCCGGCGGCGCGCTCGCGGCCGCCTTCTCCATGGCTTTGGCTTCCTACCTGTGGCGCTTGGTGCTGCCCCAAAAGGCTGCCGGTCTGCCGCCCGTGTGTCACACACGAGACGTTGCAGACCGCAAGCCGGGCAGCTCGCTGCCCGGGCGTCCAAAGCGCGCAATCTGAATCAGGCAGCGCCTTCCATCTCGCGGCAAATGCTGCCTAAAGATGCTAAAGAGAGGCGGGGACTTATCCTTCGAAGGCAAGGCCCGGGAGTCCTCTGGGCCTGTGCGAAGGCGCCTTGGGCACACTTCGAATAATTGCAATTGCAAAACGGGTCTTTTTCTGCGTATTTGCGGCTTTAACCTTGCTTTGCCGGCGGGGCAGCCCGCGCGTGGCGTGCACAATGCCGCAACGGCGCCTCGACGCCATGGCGCCGCGTGTGAGGGCGCTACTCGCCTCGGCGACGTGCTGGATGTGCTGCTGGCCCATGGGCTCCAGCAGCCTCGGCGGCGTTCTCGGAGCCGCGGGCTGGGGCCACGATAGGCAACGAGGCCACGAACGAGCCACGATGTCGTGGGCTTGTTTCGGGCGCGGACGATGGAGGCAACTCGTCGACGCGCGGGCTGCGCCCGCGGGTCGATAACATCACCTCCGCGGCTTGACCATGATGGTCAGGCCGCGGTCGTGTTTGTTTTGTGATGTTGCCCCTGTAAAACGACCGCTCGCGAGCCTGGCTCGTGGTCGTCCCCAACCCCCTAAAAAGTCCTAGTGTGTGACACCACTAGCTCAGCTGAACCATCTTTGGTGGAACGCTGCGTGCGAGCTCATATCTGCCTTTATCGCTGCCGGTGAAGCAGCGTAACGGTTGCACGCGTCCCCGGTATCGCCGCTCTCAAGTCGCAACGATCTATAAGGGCCTTTGCTGGCTGATAGCTGCAAAACAGGTCCCAGAGCACCAGTGCTCAAACTCGCGCAGCGGTCGACGACGAGCGTCCACACGCTGCCACGCGTTGCAAGCTCGGATCACTGGTGCCGCTGCGTGCCGACGCTGCGTTACTTTACGCCGAATTGAGTCCGAGGCGCCTCGAGGCCGCCACGGCCCACGAAAACACCTTCAGCGGCCACGCACGCACGCGTTCGTCGACCCCGGCAGCATGCCGCCCAAGAAGCGCAACGGCAATCAACGGCCGTTGGGCCTGCTGCTTGCGGCGAGTAGAACAAAAGTCGAACGAAGCATCGAGCAGCAGCGCGAGGCGATTGAGGCGGAGTTCGGCGGGCCGACGGAGCTGCTGCCCCGCGGTCACGCGGACTTCTTCACGCGCATGGACGCGTCGAACGTCGACGACGTGCCGCTCACGGGCCTCTCACAAGAAGACCTGGCCGTCATTTGTAAGGGCGACGGCGGCCGCGGCACGAACCGCACGGCCGTGCAAATGTACCTCCGGGACCGGCTCGCGCGCGCCGCACAGCCGGACGAGACCGACGCCAAGGAAGCGAAGCGCGCCAAGTTACGGGAGGACGGCGAGCTCGACCTCGAGTTCCCGGACGACGACGACGCGGCGCGGGAGGCCAAGTGGCGCGAGGCGCTCGTGGACCCGGCGTCGTTCGAATTGAATATGGGCAGGGACGACTTCCTCGAGCGCACCGGCGGCGGAGGCCGGGCGTTCTGGGACCAGCTCCGCCGGGAGCGGCAAGATGCTATGGTCGCGGACGCCAAGGCGCGCGACGAAGTGCGGTCCTCGCAGCGCGACAGTACTCGCACAGTGTCCGCGAAGCGCCTTCGACTCGATGCGACCGCCGAAGTACCTCTACGCCATCGACACGACGTGCTCGACTGCGTGGCCCTCGTCCACTGGTCGACGTCCCCGCAGGCACGCCGACGGACTTCTATCATCCAGATGACTACAAGAACGAGCACGACGGCCAGGTGCCCTTTGGCAACCCCAGCGGCGTGAGGGGCGATTACTGGGGCTGGGGCGACGCTAGGTGCGAGGCCATCTTCGAGGTCTTGTTGGAGAAGATGTCGAAGGAGGAGTGGGCCCTGTTCGGGACGGAGTTCATCGAGATCGCCTGGACGGACGGCATGTCGCGGGAGATGAAGCTACGGGGCCTCATGGACACGCTGAGTCGGTGTCTGACGGTCGCCGCGGAGACGACGCGCCAGCACGTGATGATGGCGTGCTTCCCGAGTCCGAGACCTTCAGCCTGGAACGGTAGTGTCGCGTCGACCTTCACGCCATCGACGCGACGCGTTCACGCCGACTGTTTGGTCGCGCAGGCCAAGGAGAAGCTCGAGGCCGAGCTGCGCAAGGAGCGCGCGGCGCAGCTCGCCGCCGAGGCGAAGGCGCCGTCCCCGCGGCGCGCGCCGCTCGGCGACGTGAACGCCGTCGCCGCGTCGGCAGCGGCGATCTGCGGCGACGCGCGCGGCGCGCTGCCCGTCGGCGGCGGCGCGGCGCCGGCCGCCGCTTTAGTTGAGGACGCGACGATGCGCGCCGCGCCGCTCGCGGCGCGGCGCGTCGTCGCGGCTTCGGCGTTTGGCGGTGCTGCGGGCGGCGACGTGCCGCCCGAGAAGCCCCGCGCCGATCTACTCGATGGTGCCCGCGCGCTCGACGCTTTAGATGATCCGACGGCGGGCGCCTCTGACGACACGTTGCGCTCGCTGCCGTCGCGCGCGCTCCGCGCGCTTGCTGCTTCGGACGCCTCGGCGTCTTCTCAGCGCGACGCGCCCCTCTCTTCTTTAGATGGTGCCGGTCTGACGCGCGGTGCGGCTGAATCGGCGGCCTTCGGCGGCTCGGACGCGCCCATGCCTCCACTGCGGCGCGCCGGCGACGATGATGATGATGACGACGACGACCCCCTCACGGCGGCGGTGCGCAAAGCCGAGGCGGAGCCCGAGACTCCAGAGGCTCGGGAGGCCCTGAACGATCTACCTCCGGGGAAGACGCCTTCGAGCTGCCTCGGCGCCCTGTTACTACGCTTCAATTTATTTGCGGTCATCAAGGGGACGTGCACGGTCGGCGGGGGCTCTATGATTGACGATTTGGAGAAGCTGGACGAGAAGAACCGGTCGAAGAGTAGCAATGGCATTAGATTTTACATCTACAAGATCCTCATGTTCGCGATGCAGATGGCTCTCATCTACGGGAAGGTCTGCTTCGAGAAGGGTATCAGCATCTTCCGGTGCGTCTTCGGCCGCTACGCCCTCGCAAGGATCTTATGGGTCGGCAGAAAGACGATGCTGGACGCGATGAAGATGAAATTGCCGCTGCTCTGGGTTCCTTTGGAGATACGAGTCGAGGACCTGCGCAAGCTGCCGTCGTGGGTCCGCGCCGTGTTTCCGCGCGGCTTGTACTTCGAGTCGACTGCTGTGATCTTGAACCTCCTCAAGCGGTCGAACGGCTTGTTCTTCGACTGCAAGTGCTTGCTCTGGTCCAGCGTCGCCTGCGTCGCCGCCTCGGGCTCGGCGCTCGCGCTCACCACGGCCGGCGTCGCACCCGGCACCCTCGTCGTCGCGCCGCGCCGCGCGAAGCGCTCGCGGGCGCTCGTGCCGTCTTCGGCGGCGGGCGGCTCTTCTGATGCGGTGTCGTCGCTCTTTTCGGCGGGCGTCGACTACAAGCAGATCGACTTCTCCTCGCCCCCGACGTGCGCGCGGCGCGGCTCGGCGCTCCTGTCTTCGCAGCTCGGGTTCCCGCCGCTCGCGGTGTCGGTGCCTTACTTCTGGATCCGCTTCCACAAGCCGAACTCTTCGAAGCTCACGGAGTGGTTCCTCGTCGACGACTTCGCGACGGTCATGCCTAAGCTCAACGTGTCCAGATGGGACGCCATGCCCGCCTGGGTCTTCGAGTCCAAGACGCTGCGCGCGCTCGCGGCCGGCGCGGCCCTGATCTTCCGCGGGATGGACATCCGCGACGTCACGAAGTCGCCTTCTTCGCTCCTGGAGGTCTTTGACCCGACCGTCCACTGCAAGGGCAACTGGACCTACACGATCTGGGCGGGCGTCGACTTCGTCATCTTGCTGCCGGACGGCCGCGTGCTCGACAAGCGGCTCTTCCTCCTCGAGCTCCTCAAGGCGCACGCGGAGGACGCGGCCTGAGCTCCTCCTTCCCCTGAACGTGAAGCATAAGGCTCCGTTTTCTCTTGTACTTCTACTACTAGTTATACAACATCGGTCGCGGCGTAGGTCGTCCGCGGCTCGCTGCGGATCCGCGCGGCGACGAACTGCGAGCTTCCCGCAGCCACTGAGCAGGCCACGACAACTGTCGCCACGGCCCGCGGCGTTAGACTCCGGTTGAGCAGGAAGCCCAGGGTCGACGCGAGGCCGGACTGCACCGTCACGTTGGCGAACGCCGCTGTCGCGGCGTCGTGAAAGTCGTCGGCCACGCTGCTCTTGAAATTGCCTTCCCAGGTCGCCCTGCCCGCGCCGAAGACGACGGCCAACCCCACACTCGCCAGCCAACATCCTAGCGTCTCCTTACTAAAGATGAGCGTCGCCACGCCGAAGAGCCCAAAGCAGGCCCCTCCGAGCGCGACCACGGGTCGCTGCGTCCCGAGCGCGCGGCCGAGGCGGCCGAGTGGCAACGCTAGCAGCGCCGCGGACGCAACAACGACCGCGGAGACAGCTCCTACCGCCCGCTCGCCTGTGCATAAATCAAAATTTCACGGCGCCTTCTTTCGCGTCGACTCCATGCTATCGACGCGGCGCCTGCTCGATGGCGTGGCGATACCGTTCCTCACCGCTCGACGGAGCCAGCACGGCCGCATCGTGCACCCGACTCACTGATTGATTAGTGCACAGCCACTCACCCATGCCCGCAGCGACCACGGCGCTCAGAAACGAACCATTTAAGTACGCAGCGGCGAGGCCGAAGCAGAGGTTCGTCGGCACCAATAAACGGCACAGCGCCGACCGGCGGAACAGCCGTAGAGCCGCCGTCGCCGACTCGGCGAAGGGCGGTGGCGGTGTTGTGTCGCCGCTGACATCGTCTACGAAACGAGCCACGGTCAGGGCCGCGCCGACGGCGATGCACGAGTACGCCACGAACAGGGGCCCGCCCGGCTCAAAAGCACTAGCAAGAAGCTTCATCCCCACCTCTCCGACGAGGTAGGCCGCCGAGAAGTGCGCGCCCAGCAGCGCCGTCGCGGCCTTTTGCGAGATACTCGCGGCGTCGGCGTATGCTTCAGCTGATCGTGCGAAGAAGACGCCCTGCGCTGGCCTGCGCAGAAATCAAAATTTCACGGCACCTTCATCGACGCGATACTGGCTCGATGGCGTGGCGGTGTAGGTCTCGCACCGCTCCACTCGGCCAGCACGGCAGTGCACCCGAGTCACTGGTTGATTTCCGCACAGGCGCCAGGCCAGAGGCAGCCGGCCGCGACCCCGCCGACCGCTGCCCCGACGATAACGACGTTGTCTATCGGCGTAAAGAAGGCCACGGCATACGAGGCGACGTACACACAATAGAGGCCCAGGCTGAGGACCAGTGTTCGTTTCGCGCCGAGCCGCGCGACGAGGCCATTGCTCAGGAACGCGGCGCTGAGTGTGTAGCATGCGTAGAGTACGAACAATGTCGTGTTTCCCAGGGATGGGCCGAGCTCGGAAGCGGCGAGCGCCACAAGCGCGGTCACACAGCCGTGATTCAGGCTAAAAGCAGCCGCCAGCACGTGGAAGTTGCGCAGGACTCGTTGTGCGCTCTTGGCGGTAATTTCGGTCGCCGAGTCGTCCGCGGCGGCGCCGTCGTGCAATGGGTTAATCAGTGCCCGGTCCATGGGTGGGCTGGATGCCATGGTGTTTATGGTGTTTGTTGTGTGCTCGACGGCCTTGCGCGTGCGCGGGCCGCAGTGGTCGCAGCGATGAAAAAACACTCAGGCACGATGCTGGCTGTGTGAACACGCCGATTTCGGCAAAGGCAGACCCTGGCAGAGGGCTTGCCGCTTGCTAGTGTCTTACAGGCGCTAGCTGCGCCTGCCTGGTTTTGTATAAGTTCTGTAAAACGAAAGCTTAGATGTTCGCCCCCGCCGCCCTAGCAGCATTCAGCAGAGACTGCTTGCCGCCGGGCGCGGGCAAATTCGTCGCCCGCGTATCTTCGAAGACCATGGGTAGTAATTCATGGTCGACGGGCTCGAAGGGCTCCAAGTCGTCATAGAAGTCGCGCCACCCGATCTCGTCCTCCCTCACGAAGACCCTATCCGGCCGGTCCACACGTATATTCTCCGCGTCCAAGTCCGGGAGAGGTATCGCGTCCGTCGTCACGAACGAAAACGCCACCTGTGTGGAAATCAACCAGTGTGTCGGGTGCACACGCTGCCGTGCTGGCTCCGTCGAGCGGTGAGGAACCGGCGCCGCCACGCCATCGAGCAGGCATCGCGTCGATGGCGAACGCGCCGTAATATTTTGATTTCCACACAGAAAGCCACGGCCTTGCGCGCGCCCCGCGACGGATCCTGCGGCGGCGCCGTGTGGAACGTCCAGCCGTCGTGGGCCGTGCAGTCGCCCACATCCAATGACGCGACTCTCGTAATGGCGTATCTAGCTGCTATGAGCGGTCCTAATTTTTCCGGGTTGCCGTACCAGTACTCAAACCCAATGTCTCGTTGGGAACCGACGGCGAAGTGCAGGAAGGAATCCCCTTCGCCTAATGGGCGCTCGTAGGGGCACCAGAAGGTCACATAACCTCTACCTCGCGTATCCAAAGGTACCAACTGCAAGTCGCGGTGCCATCCTGTCGCATTATTTAAGCCAGCGCCATGGGCCGGATCCTTCACGAACATGGCCGTCTGGTACAACCGAACCTTGGCGGCTTGTAACAGACTGGCAGCGGCCAAGCCTAGTGCTTTCGTCGTCGCGACAGACTCAACAACACTTTCGACGCGATGCACGTTCAAGCCCTGAAAATAAGGCAAGGACACGTTCGAATAGTGCCGTCCTATGCGCACGGAACACCGTAGCCGATCCAGGTACTCCTCGACGCCCCTTCGACCCTGATCGAGCAGCTCCATAACCACGGGACCGCACTCCTCGTTGTGTTCGTGGACGTCGACGTCGAACCGATCTAACATGAACGAGGGAGCATACCTCGCGTACTGCCGCAATGTCGCTTCGTAGCCGCGGTCCAACGCCGCAGCGACGCCCGGATCGCGTAATTCAGGAATGCACTTGACACACCGGATCCAGCCCTGGGACGCAAACGTCACCATCTGGTTCAATGATAATTGCGCCCGGTCGCGCTTCGCGATGCGCGGCGCCGTCGTCTTGGGCTTGACCGTCTTGCGCGGCTCCTGCGGGCCGTCGTTCTCCCAGAAGGCGTCCTCCTCCACATCAAAGTACTCTGCTGATACGGCCGCGGCGGCGAGGAGGAGTGTGATGCGCCGCATTGCTATATATGCGCTGCGGGGCAGCCTCGCAGGCTGATGCCAAGTGGGGGAATTTCGGACTTGTACCCGTGGGGGGTCGATTGGGCAGCCATCGCGCGTGCATTAAGAGGGGTTCTATGATGATGACCCGCTGTTAGACTTTTCTTCGCCGTGCGCATGCTAGCGGCAGTAAGACACTAGCAACAGCTCGGCGTTGGAGCTGAGACCATATTGGACACCTCTTCCGACAAGGCTGCGTTTTACGCCGTCCAAATTCCTGCCCACGTCCGCCGGTGGCTGCCCTTGGGCAAACGCTGACCCGGAGAAGGAGTAGGAGCCTCCAGCCTCGGTGAGGGCGCCGTGACGCCGTCGACGCGAGCGCATGGCGTACCGGACGCCTTCAAGCGTGCGGACCCACGTCTCCGTCCCGACGAGCGACGACCCGCGCGTCAAGGACGTGAGGGAGCTTAGAGTGGATGCGCAGCGGCTCCTCGACTCGCGCGAGCGCGACGAGCCCGAAGGCCTCGCGTCGCCTTCTAGAGGAGACGAGGAAGCTAGAAGCCCCGTCGAGGCCTTTTTTGACGACGAGGCGCCCGCGCCGGATTATGATGGTACTCTTGCATGTGCGGGCGCGCCGGCGCCGGCGCCCGCCGAGGACCCGTCTCTGCTCAGGTGCGCCTGGCGCGAGCTCGGGAGCACGCGAGGTTTGCATTTCTGGCCCCGCGACTCCTCACCAAAAGCAGTGGCACTGCTGCTCCCGAGCTCGGACGGCGGCCTCGGACCGGGAGTAGCAAGGTACCCCCAAGCTTTAGAGAAATGCCACACTCAAAGAGGCAGAGGGGCCCTCTTTTTACGATTAGCACATGAACTTGCGACGGGCCGTTGTCATACGTGGTCGTACGAAGACACCGGGAGTCAATTGAAGTGGCAGACGAACCACCACGGTAAATTTGTCGAGGAGTTTGTGTCTGGTGATGTTTCATCCTTGATCCTGGACTGGTCGGCCGTGCGGAAGAAAAAGATGAAATTGGCAAGGCAAGGTAGTCTGGAGACGGCGGTCGACGACGCGTTCATCGCGTGTGCTTGGTTGATGGAGCAGTACCCGCGCGCGTACGTGCTGATCGTCGGCCATGGGTTTGGCGGGGCTGTGGGCTGGGCGTGCTTGGATAGGTTGCAACGCAAGGGGCTCGGACATAGAATCGGCGGCACGGCGACGATCGCGGGCCATGCCTTCGGCGGCGACGCGTACGACTTGCGGAACCTGTCGACGCCGCCGTGCATCGATCGATCAAGTTGCCCGTGCCTGTTCTTACACGGTTCGAGGGACGGCAACGTCGCGCTGCAAATCTCGGAGTTCCTGCACGCGAAAGCTCTGGCCCGAAAAAAAAGCAGAGGCAGTTCATTAACGATAGTGTCCGGCGCGGACCACGGCTTCGCGTCGCGCCGGGACGTCGCGTTCACGGCGCTGCGGGACTGGGCGCTCGGCACATTACCAAAAGGGCAAATACCAATCGCCAAACGAAAGAAGAAGAAGAGGAAGCCCAAGATCATCGTCGTCGACGACGACGACAACTCCGTCGAGGATGTCTTAGACGCGACGCCCTTTTCGCGTTTGGTCGGCAAGCGCGACCCGCACCGGTCGAAGAACCGCATCAAGCTGCGGAAGGTGAAGCCTCTCGAAAAACCGACGCATCCCTTGTGCGGGATGTGTGGGTTCTGGGAGCTGGATAAGTAGTGTTAACTTAGCCTCAACACCCACGTATGCACGCGCGCCCGCTTCGGGTCCGTAGCCATGATGACGCCTCGCATCGACTCGGAGGCGCCGCGCTGGACGACGTCGACCTCCGTCGCTGTCAGGCCGCGTTCGCGCGCGCGGTCGAAGAACGCCATGACCTTGTCGTCCGGCGCGTTCCCATGCAAACAGAACGCGACGACGGCGACGGCCTTGGGGTTGGCCTCGAAGACGCCCCGGAGCGTGTCCAGTAGCTTCTCATGCGCGGACGGCGCGTAGATGATGTCGGCCATTAATACGACGTCGAACGGACCCTCCCGCGCGGCGTCGCCCCAGTCGAGCCGCCGGACGCGGAGCCGCCCGTCGAAGGTCGGCCCCATCCTGCGCGCCGTCGCCGCGAGCGCGACGATGCCGCCGGCGACGGGCGCGTCCGTCGCGACGACGTCGGCGCCGCCGTGCGCCGCCGCGAGCGACGGCAGGCCGCAGCCCGCGCCCATCTCGAGCACGCGCGTGCCCATGCCTACGGCCTCGAACGGCGCCTCGTGCGCGAGGATCCGCCGCGCCAGCTCCTCGCCCGCGGCCCAGACGACGTCGCCGTGGCCAATCGCGCCGATCGAGCTATGGTACTTTAAATACGGCGCCGGCGGCCACTGCACCGCGGAGGCCACGAAGAAGAGGTCGAGCCATTCCATCCAGCCGTCACCGCCCTCGCACCCGCCGTCGCTCGCGTCCTCCTCATCAAAGAGCGCCGCGGCGCCGTCGGCGCCGTCGTAGCGCTCCACGCGCTCCTTCGCTTTGCGGGCTTCATTTGTGAGCCATTTAGCGTCGTCGGCGCCGACGATGGCCTCCAGACCGTCTGGGCACACCGCCGCTTGCAGCGCACTCATTCTTTTGATCAATGCTCCCGCAGATGATTTTCGTTCGCACAGATGGGGCACGCTGCGATGGTGTTTGATCAAATATATATATATTTGCTCTCACAGTGGCCCCTGCAAACGAGCCCTGCACCTATCGCAGCGATGGCTCAGCCGCGATCAGCAGGTCGTGGGCACGGTAATGATAGATGATGCGCTAATTTGCAGCGCCTCATGCAGTGGTACACGCTCGCGACGACGCTTTGAGCTAGCGAACAAAGACACTAGCAATTGTTACACATCGCGTGGCAAAGAGCGCATACCTCCGTGTCTACTAATGCTTAATCCCACGCCTCGGCTGTGCGCTTTCCGAACCGGCGCCCCAGCGACCGCCACTTCGCGGGGAGATCATCCCGGTGGCTCCGGGCCTTGGGGAAATTCTTCAGCCGCGCGCCGATGGCATTGAGGATCTTGGCCACGCGCAGCGAAGGGACGAAGCCGCCCACCGTTTTGGTGATTGCGAACATTGCGCCGAGCATACCCGTTTTGCCCTGGGTGCGGTCCACGACGTACCCGCCCGTGTACCGCGACACGCGCCCGTCCGCGTCGAACGTGACCGAGATGCACTGCGGCCCGACGTCCAGCTTGTTGTTGGTCGGCTTGTACGAAAAACCGGTGCCCGAGGCCTGGGGCTCCGTGTTCGTGCCCTCGAGGCGCAAAATGCTCCAGTATCTATTCTCCTCGACCGGGTCCCGCGTGAACTCGGCGAGGTGCATTTTGAGGTCCGGGAAGCCCTCGTACACTTTAAACATGTCGACGGTGCGGAGGAAGTCCTGCTTGTTGAGCGGTCCCACGATCGGACCGAACCACACAAAATCGTCGGCCATGAGCGACGCCTTGGCCGGCGCGTGGAAACCGTCGTTCAGCACCCACTCCCTGGCGCGCGCCGCGTAATCCGCCTTCGGGCCGTCGTCCTGGGCCTTGCGCCGGGCCGCGTCCCACGTCGTCGACGCCTCCTGGCGCGCCTCGGCCTTCGGGTTCGAGAACGGGTCCGTGCGTGGAACGAGCACGGGCGCGGCGGCGACGGCCTCTTTGATAGTGGCGGCCTTCGGCGTCGGAAGCGACTCGAGGTAGGTCGCAGGGTCTTTGGCCGCCGGCTTAGCCACGGTTGCCGCGTCCTGCACGGTCAGCGACGCGAGGTAGTCGAACGCCGTGGCGCCCGTCGTGAGGAGCAATATGCACGCTGCGGGTTGGCCGAGCATGGCTGCTCGTCGTTTTTTCGCTTTGCAAGTGTGCCAAATCGGTTTCGCGAGAGTAAGCCGGTGACGCTTACGTGTTCTGTGTATGCGTTCGGCTAGTGCGTTGCACTTGGCCGGCGTTTGCAGCACGCTCAAACTTGCCAACGCAGACAATGCCTATTTTTCCCACTCTGAGAGAGCAGCCTCAACAAGGGTCCTCAGACGGCTCTCTATTGCCCCTCAAGAGAACTGAAACAAGAGCCGTCGAAACTAGTATGTCAAGCTAGCGCTCAACACGCACTTCAAAACAGCGCAGAGCACTTGCATTGCTGTCCAGCGCAGCCGACAGCCGAGAATTAGGACCGCTGTAATAGCACTCATCGTGCTGCGACGAATCGCTGCTCGAAATCGCTGTCAGACCGAGCACAGAGACAGCATCATGTGCCGGCCAGCCTCCCTAGCTGAGCAAAAGCAGGAACAGACAGCGGGCTTGAGCGTGCAATGGCAGGACCTGACCGTCGGCGTCGGCCCCAAGCGCGTGCCCGTCCTCCGCAACTTGACGGGAGGCGCGAGCGCCGGCGCGCTGACGGCGGTGCTGGGCCCGTCCGGCTCTGGTAAAAGCACGCTGCTCGGCACCGTGTCGGCGCGCTTCCCGTCGCAATTACGTGTCCTAAGAGGCTCCGTGCGCTACGACGGCGAGGCCTGGGACCGCTCGCGGCATAAGCGGCGCGTGGCCTTTGTGGAACAGGAGGATGCTCTACTAAAAGACCTGACCGTGCGCCAAACTTTGACATTTGCCGCAGCATTAAGAGGCGAGCCCGACCCGGCCGCACGAGCATCACTAATGCTCCACGAACTAAATCTAGACAAGTGCGCCGACCAAGCGATCGGAGGCGCGAACATAAGAAGGGAGATCTCGGGCGGCCAGCGGCGGCGCGTCTCCATCGGCCACGAGCTTTTGTTGGATCCTGGTTTAGTTTTGCTGGACGAGCCCACTTCCGGATTGGATAGCCACGCGGCCGCGAAGATCTTTCGCATCCTCAAAGACCTGTCGACGCGCGGCGTCGCCGTGCTCGCGACGCTCCACCAACCTACCGACGCCATGTTTCTGGGGTTTGATTCGCTACTATTGCTGCGGGACGGCGAGGCCTCGTACGCCGGCGACCCGCAAAACGCGGTCGCGGCGATCGCCCCGAAACCGCCGCCGAAGGGCATGCCCATTGCCGATTATTTGATGGAAGTCATTTGTGGCGACGACGCGAAACAGGCGACCGCGCGCGAGGCGGCGGCTACTACTGGCACCATCAGTATATCAGAGGAGGCCGGGCCAGCTTTGCCCTGGCTGTCGCAATTCATCATACTACTAAAGCGCTGCTTCCTCGCGCACCGGCTGGATCTCGTGGACCCCATGCTCCTGGCGAACATGTTCAGCGTCATGTTATTATCTGCAACTTTATGGTCGGGCCAAGGGTCGAAGCGGCCGCGGACCGAAACGTCAGTACGGGACATCTCGGGGTTGTTGTTTTTGAGTCCTGTTTATTGGGCCTTCCAGCTCATGATCTTGGCGTTGTATACGTTTCCGGCGGATCGCGTCGTCGTCACCAAAGAGCGCGCGGCTGGATTATACTCCATCAGCGCCTACTTCTTAGCAAGGACGTCCGTGGACACGCTCACTATTGTGTTAATGTCGCCTTTATTATCGTTGATCTACTACTTTGCTGCTGGTTTAAGGCCATCAGAGGTCGGCTGGCATCTGCTCACGCTCTTCCTAAACTCGTTATGTGCCCACTCCGCGGGATTATGTATTGGCGCGTGGATCATGAATCTGAAGCGCGCTACTACATTACAAACGGTTTTTATGCTGGCGACGATGATGTGCGGCGGGTTCTACGTGCGCGGCGTGCCGGTCTGGTTGAAATGGTTTGGAGATTTGAGTTTCACGCGCTACGCGTACGGCGCGCTCCTCAAGATCGAATACAAGGGCGCGCACTACGACTGCGCCGCGGGGAGGTGTACGGTGCTGCGCGAGAGCGCGTTAATTGACGCGCGGATCCGCCGTTCGAGCGTGGGGGCCGATCTTGCTGTATTAGCTGGTTTTGCCGTCGCGTTCCGGCTCCTGGCGTTCTTCGGGCTCAAGCGGAATACCCACTAGCTCACACTCACTCACTCACTTCGTCCGCCTAACATAATCGTTTTGTTTTAGAGTTTTTGTTGTACTAGTACATAAATGGACGCGCCGGCCAGATGCGCCGGCCCGCCGCCGGGAGCAGGGCCGTTCGGCGGCGCCGCACTGTTCTGCGACAGCTCTAACCCCTCTAGACGAAACTGGCATCAGCTCGCCCACGCGGGCGCCGGGCCGCCGGCCGCCTCGGGCAGCGGCTCGCGCCGCCTCGGGCAGCGGTTGCGAAGGTCTGCGCAGCGCAATCGGCCTGAAAGCGCTGACAAGCGGTCGAGCGGCCACTGGGGACTTTGTCGAAGCACAGCACCCACGCTATCTGCGAAAGGCAGCCTCAGAAACGAACCTCAGCAGGCCGGGGCAGCAAAGCACCAGATAGGATGCCAGCCAAACGCCGCGGCGAGGCCGACGCGCGCGCCCTCCTCCGGAAGTTCGGTAGAGCTCTCGACAGCGACGACAGCCCGACGCGCGTGCGGCGGCCCGGCGGCTCGGGCCTCGCGGCCGTGCGGTCCGCGGTGTCGACGACCACGAGCGCGACGGCACCCACAAGCTGGGTCGCCGCCTGGGGCCTCGTGCCGCACCTTCCCGCTTTGAAAAAGAGCGGCCCGCGCCGGAGCGCCCGCGCGACGCCGGCGGCGGTGTCCTTCAGAGGATCAATAGCGAGCGTCGCCTGCGGCCCGGCGGGCGTCGTCGTCATCAGCGAGGAGAATCATGCCGTCGCGGCGCCGGCGGAGGGTGGGAGAAGGAAGGTCGGCTGCCGAGCACAAAGCGCGGCCGTCGGCGAGACCGTGGCGCTGATCTTGAACGACCAGAGTCTCTACGCCGTCGACCCTAGTAGGGACGCCCCGCGCAACGGCTCCTGGGAGCGGCCCCGGCGCCTGGACCCTTTTGCGGGTGCGCCTCCATTTGCGCAAGCGCGAACCATCACGGGCGTCGCCTGCGGTTCAAATCATTGTTTAGCAAGGTCCTCCTGCGGCGCGGTTTTTGCGTGGGGCGCCGGCGACGCGGGCCAACTCGGCGACGACGACGGCCACGACATCACGCGGGCCCACCCGACGGCTATCGTCTTCCCGGCGGACTACGAGCCATGTGAAAGGGGCGCTTTGTCGGCGGGAGCGCACCACTCGGCGCTCGTAGACGGTGCCGGAGCTCTATGGACCTGGGGCTGGACGGAGCACGGGCGGCTCGGGAGAGACTCCGTCGAGGAGGACGAGGACGATGGTAGGGTTGCGGGCACGCCGGGAATCGCCTCATTGCCCGGTGGCGGGGAATGTATTGACGTCTCGTGCGGCGCGGCCCACACAATTGTCGTGGACAACAACGGCTTCGTGAGCGGCTGCGGCTGGAACGAGTGGGGCCAGGCGACGGGTCGCATGAATTGTAGTAGTGTGTGGCACCTGACTCCCGTTCGGTTCAAGGTCCCGTTCAGCGCAATAAAAGTCGCCTGCGGCCTCGGGCATTCCATAGCCGTCGACTCTAATGGAAACGCGAAGAGCTGGGGCTTCGGCGAGGACGGCCAGCTCGGCTTTGGAAGGGAGGCCGAAAAGTCGTCTCCGGTAGATGTTGACTTGTCGAAGGCGGGGTTGCGGAACGGGCCCGCTTGTGTTGCATCTATTGCTTGCGGCGGCTCGGCGTCGGTTGCCGTCGTGGCCGAGGCGGTGGGGAGCGACTTGGAAATGTTGCGACGAAGGCGCCTTGCCATACGGCGCGTCTCATTATATCTGCAAGCGTTGTACCGGGGTAAACGTGCAAGGCGCTTCTACCGCGAGATGCTCGAGGAGGAGTTGCAAGATCGACTCCGAAGGTTGCGGAGGATGACAGATTTAGGTATTGATAGTAGGGACCCTACTCCCATAAAGCAGGCGCTGGAGTCTTTTGAGGATGATGTCGGGGAAGATTCACAGAGAGCGCGCGAGGCGTTGAGGCGATTGGCGTGTCGATCCCAACTCGAAGAGGCCCTCTCAAATGGCGACGACGACGCGGCAGTGGCTCTCGTTGATTTGGCCCCGGACCACGACGGCGATATTGACGCTTTACGGAGCGGGGGCCGGCGGCCGCCGCGAGCGTTGGCCGGCGTGCTGTGCGAGGACGCGGCGGAGCTGTGCGGGATGCAACAGTCTGTGGAGTCGTGGCGCGACGACTTGGTGGGCTACCGCGAGGCGAAATTGCGGCTTGCTGAACGTTCTCAGCGAGAGTTGACCGCGGCGGTGAAACTACAATTGTGGTGGCGCGGGTCGCTGGCGACGCGCCTCGCGCTGGCGGAGCTTTTCCGTCTCCGGCAGCGCCGGACCAACGCCGAGCGGGTCGAGGCCGAGCGGCGGGCAAAACGTGATGCGGAGGACCAGTACAACGCCGCGACGGCTTGTCAATCAATCTTCCGCGGGCGCGCGGCGCGGTCGGCCCGGGACGCGGAGGTGGCTCGTAGATTGGGCATCCGCGCGGACGCGGCTTCCACGTTATGTAATTTCGCGCGCAACTGGCGCGCGCGGCGGTATTTGAAGAGACTACGGGCGCGCGCGCGGCGCTTAGCTAGAGAGGCCGCCAAGAGGCGGGAACGCGAGCTCGCCGAGCGCCTCGCGGCGAAACAAAAACAGCCCAGGAAGCGCACGGTGCCCAAGAAGCGCGACCCGATGCACGCGGACGCCGTGGCTGCTGCTAGAGCCGCGAGAGAGGCGGGACAGTACCTGAAGAAGCTCGAGGCGCAGGATCGCAAGGCGGCCGAGGAGGCCGCGCAAAACGCGCGCCAGGCCCTCGACGCCGCCCGAATGAAACGGGATAGAGATAGACGGTCTCGTTTAGCAGCAAAGCGCCGGGCCGAGGCCGAGGCGCGTGCGCTTGCTGAACAACAAGCGAAGGCCGAGGCCGACGCGGCCGCCGCCGCGGCCGAGGAGGCCGCCGCCGCGACGCCGCCGACGCCGCCCGCGCCGCGCCGGGAGCCCGAGTCGTTCCCGGGCTACGTCCAGCGCCGGCGCAGGGAAAAGTTCGAGGAGCCGACCGTGACGGCGCCGCTTCCCAAAAAACGTCCCACGAAGTTCAAGAGCGTGGATGAGTGGGCGAGTAAGTGTGGATAAATCACAAACATATTACTCCCTCCTCCACAGAACCTCCTCGTCGACCAGCCCATCCCGTTCGCTGAGCCAGACGCCGGCGACGCGGTCCACGCGGTCCCCTGGGCCGAAGTCGACGATTGTATAGTGATACTCGATACCCGTCGTCGATTGTCGGTGTCGCGGCACCTCGGCGGCGTTCACATATACAGTGCCCTCGCGCTCGCACACCATACGGCGCCGGCCCCCGTGCCGGAGAGGTGCGTGCATGTGTCCAAAAGCACACAGGGGTATGCCAACAGACCGTGCTGACGCAAGGCTATCCCGCAAATCATCATCACCGAAATCAGAGTACGGCTGCACCCAGTCCTTGCCACATATAGACGCAGCCTCTTCACCCAGGCCCGCGGGACCCTGGTGCGCTACTACTATTGCCGGTCCGACGGCGCCGAGCAGCGCGTCCGTGATGACACCCGTCGATTCCTCGGGCGTTGAGACACCGTAGAGCTCCTTGAGCAGCGCCCAGGACTTCTTCGTAGTGGCTGCGAGCCCTCCGCCCCACGACAGCGGCCGAGCGCCAACTACCGAAAATACGCCAGTAGCCGACGGGACCTCTACACGCCGGTAAGCTACGTCCAGGTCTGGAGAGACGGCGTCTCGGATGGCGCGCAGCGTCTCGGAGACGGTGCCTGTTCGTGACGAGCGCCAGGCGTCGTGGTTGCCAAGGATTAGATGCGCGGCGCCCGAGAGGTGTTTCGTGGCCGCCGCGACTCGTTTTATTATTGTGGATTCTTCGTTTGCGAAGTCGCCGACCGCTAGGAAGAGGTCGGGCTTTGCGACGCGTTCTAAGACGGCGCACTCGCCGTCCAGAAAGTCTCCGTGCGCGTCTCCCATCACTGCGACTCGGAAGTGCGGTTTCATTGCCATGGCACGGAATGACAGCATGGCAGCCATGGCGGCAGCAGCTATGCGGCGCATACGCGACGCAGAGGCTGTGAGACTGCAGCAGCTGTTGGAGCCAGGCAGCGCTCCAAAAAAAAAGCACCACGCAGCGCACGCGTCGAGAACGTTTCCACGCGCGATTTTCGGCCCCAGCACGCAGCGATAAAGCCGTCAAAGCTGTCCCAAAAGCCAGCGCTAGCTAGCGACACTAAGACACTAGCCAGCCAGCCAGGCGCAAAGCTACCCAAGCACTTGCTAGGCTTTAAACAAACCAGCAATACATCGTCACAGCGCCCTCGCAGCCCCTATCGCTCCGAGCAGCAATTTCAGCCATCTCTGTTCACTACAAGGCCATTTAGAGCCCTCAGAGCGCCACACAGCAACTTCACCCGCAGCCCTCGCACAGCGCCGAGTAGTCGATGCGTCTCCTCGTCGCTCTCCTCCTAGCCCAAGCCAGCGCCTTCATCTGCCAGCATCACCGCACGCTGCACACGTCTCTCCGCTCCGACCCCCGTGATGAGGCCATCGAGGTAGAAGCATACGTGGAAGATCTCATAGACGAGGTGGTCAAGGACGTTAAAAAAGCCAAGCAGGACGAAGAAATCAACCAAAAGAGCGTCGACGCGATGATCGACAGCGCCATCGGCTCGGACGACGACCCCTTCAAGGACATCCCGAAAGCTACCGGTCTCCTCGACAATTTGTAAATATGCGCCAACGCCCATTCCGGGGGTTCGCGGATCTGCGGCCCCAGGTGGCCGAGCCGACGCTGGCCGAGTTCGAGCGGTTTCACGCCATGCTGCCTGCACCGGGCGTGGCGCGGCGCTGCGTCGCCGCCTTCAAGGACACGATCGTGTTCGCGCCGTCGAGCTACACCGACGAAGACTTCCCCGCGCGAGTCGGCGACTCGCCCTACGAGGTCAAGCGGCTGACGACGTTTGGTTACTGGCTCCTCGTGCTCGTGAGTCTGACGGGCCTGTCGACGCTCCTCGGTTTCACGGACACCCTCGACGCGCGAGAAGTCGACGTCATAAACGCGCGAGAAGTCGACGATGTTTTACCGCCGCATTCGCTGCATCCCTCCGAGGCGGTGATGCAATATGTGCGGCGTAAATCAGGTGAGGCGGTCCGCCCGTGCCGCCGCTTTGAATATAACTTCCGCCTCGCCGGCCTATCTGTGGTGATGTTGCATTTCCGCGGACAGACGACGGGCTTCCTGCACTTGGTCGAGATCTACGACTCGCGGCTGCCGCGGCCCATCCGTCGGCTCTTCAAAGACGTGACGGTCTGGGCGTCGCGGCGCCTCTACCCGCGTCGACGGAATGCGCGCGGCGAGTAAGAACGATAGAAAGTTAAGAATTGCATACACGATCGACAGGTTAGTACTTTGTATATCACGCGCCAGCAGCCCGCCGCACGCCGAACTGCAGCACGACGCTATCCGACGACAGCCGCACGGCCGCCCGCAACTGCTCGCCCGCCTTAACCACTAGAGGTGTTGGTGGTCGAGTAGATATACCGCCCGGGTTCCGCACGGCATCCAAAGCCTCGGCGTCCAAATCCTCCAGCAATTGAATTCCTTGGCCCCACTGCATATCTCGAGCGAAATTAGATCGCGTCGCCCGCGGGTCTGTGGACATCATGAGCGTGTCGGCACCCTCCCATGATGGCGTCCCGGGGCCGCCCTGACTAGCCTCCCAGAAGAGCACGACGCAGTGGGCCGTACCGGCCTCGGAACACGTGACCAGGTGCTCCATCTCGGCCTTCCAGTCGCCCGGCGCGTCCCGCGCGAAATCACAAGACAAAACCTCGATCGTCGGCGCGAGGAACCGCGAAGGCACATCCCCAAAACGGAACCCGTACTGCTTCGCGAAGACCAAGGACGCCGTGTCCTGGAGGACGTTCACGTGGCCGAGGTCCAGCCCTTCAAAATCGTTCGCCCGCGACAGCTCCGCGATGGCCGGGCACTCGACCAGAGCTGCCAGTTGTCTTCCTCGCGGCGGCACGATGCGGCATTGGGGCCGCACGAGCCGTTCCCGCGCGTCTTTCAAGTATTCCAGAGCGGATTCGCCCAGCAGCAGCGTGCCGAACAGCTCCGAGACGAGGACGTCCGGCAGGTCGGACGTGAACGGTTTCGAATCAGAAGACGTCTGCGCCGAGATGGACACCTCGCGGCGCGTGCTGACGCCCAGGGCCTTGCGGATGTCGTCGGCGTCGAGTTCCGTCGACAAGGCCTCGAGGATCGTGATCGTGCCGTCTAGATTGTTAGCATTGATGTTCCTACGCGCGAGCGCGGCCATGTGCGGCGACGCCTCGATGGCGACGACTCTTTTGGCGCCCAACCGAGCCGCGAGCATGGCCAGTAACCCGCTACCCGTGCCGATCTCCAGCACTATAGATTGACCGGGCACGATCGCCCTCCTTAAACACTCGCGATAGAACTCGTTCCTCGGCCGATCGTTGATCATCGCATAATGAAAGTCGTTGACAGCTTCCACCAATTCCCCCGGCTGGTTCCCGAGCCGGTGCGGCACGACGAAGTGGCTCTCGAACTCATCTCCAAAGTTATTTTGTTCTTTGTTCGGACAACCGGGAGGCACATAACATCTACCCTTGATCATGCCGTCGTCGTCGTCCTCGGTGTCCTCGGTGTCGCCCTCGCTCTCCGGCTGCTCTTCTAACTTGATTTTGACGTCGCCAAAGGTCGCCATGGCTGCTGTGGCGACGCGTCGACGGCGTCTGGCGCGTACAGCTCGTGTGAATGGCCAGTGAGCTACTGCAACGCTGTGTATCGTTGCGCGTGGTGCGTCAAATCGGTTCAGACTTGGTGATACACTCCTCCGCTATCGTAAGACGTTATATCGCCAGCGGAATGCAGCGTTTGCTGTGTACTCGCGTATTACGAGGCGCTTAAAGCAGATTTCATCGCTGCGTGCGGGGTTGCACACACGACACTCGACGGCAACGCGCTTGTGCGTCGCCACAAAGAGCCCATAGCTCGGCCCAGCTCAAGCATAGCTACCTAAGCAACTACTCCAGCGGCCCGTAGCACAAAATTGCACTGAAAGCCATGCGTCGCGTGGTATTAGCCCTCATTGCCCTCGTGGGGTATGCGGAGGCCTTCGTCGCGCCGCAGCCGACGTCGGCGCCGCTCACCGTCGTCGCGGGCCGCAACGACAAGCGCACGAAGAAGGGCAAGGTCTACGCCGGCAGCAACGGCAAGAGCCGGCCGCGCAAGCCCGGCGGCGAGAAGGGCCCCGTCGACCCGTACCGCGGCCGCGTCCCCTTCCACCTTCATTTGCCTTACTTCGACCGATTGGCGCAACGGTAGCGCGTCAGATTCCAGTCCTGAAGGTTACGTGTTCGAATCACGTATCGGTCACTAAATGTGAGATGGTTGGGGAAGGCTTGACGGTACTTACACAGGTACCTGACGCTCCGCGAGTGGGGCGCGCGCCAGGACCCGGCCATGTCCGTCGAGGAGGTCGTGGCCGCCAAGATGGCGGACAAGCGGAAGGTCGAGATCACCCTCGAGGACATCATGGACGCGGTGACGCCGTTCTAGGAAGTCCCTCTGTGCTTAATACTACCTTCTACTTAGCTTCTCCCGCTCCTTCGACTGGAACTTCTTGGTCGTGGCCTTCGACGACCACGACCCCACGGCCTCCGTGGACACGTTCGGCCGGCGCATCTGCGGCGGCGCCATGAGGCCGCCGCTCGCGCCGCCCCGCTTCCGCTTCGCCGGCCGATTGTCGGCGGGCGGTCGCGCGGGGCCGAGGCGCGGCCTGATGTCCTCGGTCGGCGGTCGCGCTGGGCCGTTCAGCAGGGCGGCGGCCGATGGCAGAGCCGCCTCGGTCGGCGGTCGTGCGGGCCCGTTCAGCAGCGCTGCGGCTGATGGCAGCGCTGGCGCGGGTGCAGGCGCAGGCGCGGGCGGCATCGCTTCGTCGCCACTGCCGTCGTCGTCGTCCGAGGAGCTACCATAGTCGGCGAGTGCATTCATCGCACCGACGCCGTCAATGTCTCGCACCGACACAGGTAATGCTTCGCCCGCCGCCTTGCGCCGCAGTCCTACTGTAGCAGCCTGCAGGCTGGGGTTCACAAATTCCTGTGGTGCGACGCGACGCGCCCAAGCACTGGTTTGAACGTTAAGTGTGGTACCTGGAGGAGCAATGCGTTGCTCCAACAGCACGCGGTACGCCGTCTACGCGATTTTTACGTCGCGCGTCTATGATGGCTTAGCGTGCTGTAAGACACTAGACGGGACCGAAAGGCGACGGATCATTGAGCTCCCGGATACCCGCTTCGCCGCCCACACGCGTCCTTAAGACCACGGAGAATACTCCGACGACGCTAAAAAACAAAGCGGCGGGCCCAGCGCGGCGGCAGCGCCAATCAAGCTTGTCGGCGCGGCGCGGCCGGAGATCGCTGCCCTTGCGGCCAGAAACGACCAATTCTGGCCGCCCGCCGACGCATCGGTGCGGACGACCACAGCGCAGCCATGAGGACTCCGTAAAGAGGCAGCCCAGCCCATGGCGCTCTACCGCACGCCCGCGGAGGTCACGGAGCGCTACACGGAGCCCTGGCCCGCCGACTTGATTCCGGACAAGGTGCGGGACCTCTCGAGACCGGCGAACTTCGGGAACCGGGGCTATCCCCGCGCGCCGTACTTCGACGGCGACGGCAAAGAAGATAGAGTACTACTAGCGTGGGGCGACGGCAGTTGCGGGAGGACGGGCACGGGCGACCTGGAGACGTACACGACGCCTCATGAAGTGGCGTATACTCGCAGAATACAACCTTTCGTCGACTGCGCGGCTTCGAGGAGGCACTCTTTATTTTGTACGGGCGAAGGCGTGATCCTGGCTTGTGGGGACGGGGACGATGGCCAATTAGGGTCGAAACGACTCCCACCTCGACCAGAGGGTCCCGAGGCGAAACGGGAGCGGCGACGACGGATCCGACGGAAGCTCTACGGCTCCGACTCGTCTTCCGATGATCCGGATGCGCCACCACCGTTATTTACGTTCTCCAAAACACCGGAGGAGGCCAAGGAGGAGGCCCTGAAGAAGGCCAGAAAAGAGCAGAAACGCGCGAAGCGACTGAAGAGCGCCGCGAACCTCATGACCCTCAAGGCCAAGCCCATGGGCATGACGACGAAAAAAGACAAACCAAAGTCGCTGGGGGACTGGTTCACGACGGGCAATCGGCATCTACTACGATACCCGCGGCAGACCTTTCCTTCTGGTGCATTATCCGCAGCATTTAAGGACATCCACACGACGCAGGTCGCGTGCTGTGCTACTGCTTCGTTTGCCCGGGAGACGAACGCCGACGAGGCCCTCGCGACGAAGGTGGCTTTGTCGAGGATGACGGAACTGGTAAAACGGCGGGAGGCATCTTACGGTTATGATGACTCTACAGCTAGACTCCGGGCTTGTCTAGTGGAGGAGGCGTCCTCCCTAGAACGCCAGGCCCACGGCCGCGTTTTAGCTTGGGGGACTGGTGTATACGGCGAGCTCGGCCTCGGATCTACAAGACAACGAGCGATCCCCACGCAAATGAAGGCACTGAATCGTCGAGTGCACGCCATCGCCTGCGGCCGGGCCCACGTCCTGGCGTTGTGTGCGAAGCCCGCTGCTTTATTTGTATGGGGGCGAGGTCGAGATGGAAGATTAGGCCACGGCGACTACGAGGATCGGGACGAGCCGGAGCGGCTAGTGTTCTTCGACGAACGGAAACTCGCGCCTCGCATCGTCGCGGCGGGCGATGCGCATTCCCTGGTCGTCGTCGATGCGGCACAAGGCGCCACGGCGCCGGGAGGCGTCTACGCGTGGGGCCGCGGCGCGCACGGCCGACTAGGATTGGGGCGCACCTTGAACAAGAAGACGCCGCAGAATGTACAAAAGTGGCCCTCGTGCTTCCAGGGGATGCACGTGATCGGCGCGGCGTTAGGTGGCGCCCATTCCCTCGTGCTGGCCGAGAAGGCGATACCGGCGTCCGGCGCGAATCCGTGGGGTAGGCAACGACATGTTTATGCGTGGGGCTACGGTGGGAACGGGCAGATTGGTGATGAATGCATGACAGATCGGGCACTTCCAACAAGAGTCAAGCTCCCGAGAAATGAGGTGGTGCAACAGGTGGCCTGCGGCAAGGCGCACTCGTTGGCCGTTACCGCTCATGGCGACCTGTACGCCTGGGGCAAGGGCTGGCGCGGCGAGCTCGGATTAGGTGATGATAGGAACAGATGTGGTCCCGAGAAGGTTTCTGGAAAGCACCAGTTTTTGAAAGTGGCCGCCGGCGACCGACACACGCTCGCCATAGCCTTGAAGCACAAGTCCATCGGGAGGAAGTTGCGGGAGTCGAGGCCCCTGGAAGCGCCGAACGCCCACGTCGGACTCCAAAGGAGCGCGTGCTGCGCTCTGACGAAGCTCAACTACGTCTGCGTGCGTTCGTCGCCGACGTCGCCCTTGCATCCTCATCAATCGTCCCCGAAAGCCTTTGAAAGTACACCGATAAAGTACTGCAAGACCTGCGACTGTCTCGCGCTGTGCCCCTGGTGCGCGCGCATGTGCCACGCGGGCCACGAGATCGTCGAGGTCGACGAGGAATTAGCTCTGAAGCTGCCGGCGCGGTCGACGGGCGGGCCTCGCATAGGTGCTTCCGGGAATGTGGACGCGGAACCGCCTCTCAGTAGTTTGTACCCGCAGCTCTGCGAGTGCGGGTTTCGAGGGACGTGCAAGCGACTACAAGTATCAACAGAGGAAGCATACGATGAAGACAAGGCTATCATCCTGCAGAGATTTGGCCGGTGGATCGCGCATCAGCGGAAGCGCGCGGCGTTCCGAGCCTCCGTAGCTTTTTCTAGGAGATATGCGGCGACGACCCACGTGTATTCGAAGATACGCCAAGCGGTCTGGCGCCGCGCGGACACGTGGCGCGAGGACAAGGTGACGCGCATGGAGCGGCCGAGGATGGCTGAAGCTGATGTGGAGGGCCATGCGGTCAGAAAGTACCTGAAGTGCCAGATCATCCTGCAGGCCTGCGAGAACCAGGTCGTGGCTCTTAGAGCTATCTCAGCAGCTACAGGTGTGGGTGATCCATTACTACCGGAGTCGGACGTGCGGTTACGAAGTCGACGGGCCCTTCGCCAGTGGCACCGGCGGCACTACCGGGACGAGCGTGCGACGTTGGCGGAGACGGCTTTGTTAACGAGAGAACTGCCTGCTGGCGGCGATTTTCGGGTCGAGCTCGGGCTCGTGCCCGACCCGGACGTGAACCTATTTGTCTTGTCGGCGCGGCAACGCGCGTTACGGGAGGTCGATAGGGAGGCGTCCCAATTCTTACGACGCAGAGCATCGATCAGCGGGCCGGAGGCACTTTATAGTAGAGTGCGGTTTACGCGGAGGGACCAACTCCGGGTCTTGGATTCGCGAATGAGTCGTGATGATTTGTACCAGAAGCATTGTTTTGAGGACAAGTCTTTTGTGTATGTCGAGCCCGAGGAAGAGGAAGTCGTGTCTGCGGTGAACCGGAAACAGCAGCTCCAGCAAGAAGCGGCGGAAGCGGAAAGAGCCGAGAGGCGTGCAAGGAGGCGTAAGTTGGTGGAGGACGAGGAGGAGGAGACACCTCTGAACCTGCAAGATCTGCTACCTCTCTTCGTGCACGAGAAGCCTGTTCGATCGTCCACAGAAGCCGCGCAGGACGAATACGACGGCATGCAAACGCGCGAGTCGCGGGAAGGCGTCGTCGAGTCGTTGGAGGATGCGCGGAAGTGGCTCCTGAGCGACGATTTGCTCGAGTGCGAAGAATTACGAAGGTACAAGCAGGCCCCTACGACACTACAGGCTGCGTTAGCTACGTCGACCGCGTGTCCGCACCTCTTCCACGCTCCCGAAATGCCAAAACCACCACTACATATCAGGGACCTCATCACGAGGGACAAGGACGTTCTGGATCGGCGCGCGTACCTCAAGGAACAGAAGCTGTTGGACTTCGCGAAATTGATGGCGCCGCCCAAGCCCGAACTGTTACCAGGTGAACTCACACCGCCGCCGACGCCTCGATTGGAGCCGCCCCTATACCGCATCAAACGGAGCTTGTCGCTGGCCGCGCCGGAACGAGCCGCGTCCACGGTCGAAATGTGGCGCCGCCACGCGGCTTATCTAGCGAGTATGGCCGCCTCCCCGAGAAAGTACCGCAAAATGAGAGATACAGTACATTACGCGAACTTGGAGGCGCCGCCGACCTGGTTCGTTTTGACGAGGCCGCCGGAGTTCGACGCGACGATCCGACGGTACGAGATCGAACGGGACGCGCTGGACCCCGACGTCCAGAACTTTGTGGAGCCGGACCGGTTGTCCGACGACCAGTGGATTGGTGAGAAGGAGCTCATCGAGAGGATCGCGGAGGAGGCGAACCGTAAGAACTGGATCGAGTCCGAGAGTGAAGAGGAGGCCGAGTCCGAATATGAGTCGACCGACGACGAGGCAAGGGAGGCTTCCAAGGAGACCGCGGAAGAAAGGATGGAGCGCAAGGAAGCGGCTAAAGAGGCGCGCAAGGAGGAGAAGAAGAGGTTGCGTGAGGAACGGCGCCTGGCGAAGGCCCGGGCGAAAGACGAAGAAAGGAAGCGGCTGCGGGCGGAGCGCGAGGCGAAAGCCGCTTCTTCTAAGAAGAAAACTCCTGTGAAGAAGAAGGTCACGCTGGACGCGGAGGCCATGCGGTCGCCGCCCGACGGCCCCGCCTCGCCGCTCACGCCGTCGCCGAAGCGGCGGTCGCCAACGAAGCGCCCGGGAACGAGCGGCTCGCGGCCCGGCACGGCGGGGAGTCGTCCGAAGACGCCGCTCCAAACTCCTAGGTGGGAGGAGCACGAAGACGATCAAGGGCGCACTTATTATTTCTGCGCCGAGACCGGCGAGACGTCCTGGTCCAAGCCGGACAACTGGAAGCTGCAGGAGCAGGAGGACGTCCTCGGGACGCCGGAATTATAATATTTTGTATGATGACTCTTAGGCCGCGCCCTCGCCGTCGTCCAGGTTGTGGCCTCCACGTGTTCATCTCTCGTAGATTTTTATGATGATTCTTAGGCCGCGCCCTCGCCATCATCTATGTCCTCGTCGGCCTCGACTCCGGACTCGTCTCTCGCAAATTTGCGTGGGCGGTTCGGCAGCGTCTCGAGCCACGCGTCGGCCACGTCGACGAACGCGCGCAGCTCCTTGGCGAGGTCTCCGTAGAGCACGAGGAACGTCGTCCAGCGCAGATGGAACCGTCTTGGTGTGCCGTCCTCAAGGACGACGCGCCTTGGTAGCGACGCGCTCCCCGCGACGGTCTCCTGGACTTCTAGCCGGTCGAGGAGCGTCGTAGTGGTCCCGTACACGAGCGCGCCGAGCCCGTCCGGCACGGCATCGAAGGGCGGTCGTAGGCACGCGGCGATGCTCCCAAGCACCCTTCGAGTGTCCTCGCGGAGATGCAACAGAGCCGACGCGCCGCCGCTCGCGTCGACGCATTAATGGGGACACGTGTCCGACATCGACGATCAAGGCGAAGCGCCTCCAGTTCGAGGCGCGCAACGTCAATGAGGACGGTTCCGTTTCTCAACCGGCCGGAGGGCTCAACGTGTCGCAGCCGCCCGGCCGGCCGCCCAAGGGCAAGCGCTGGGACACCGCGACGGGCGCGTGGGTCCAAACCCAGGGCCCAAAACCAAGGGCGGCGCCGGGCGGCGTCCGCGAAGGCGCCGTCGTCGACGCCGCCGCGGAGGCGTTCGGAGAAGATTTCGCGCGGGGCCGCTCCAAGGTAAAGTTCCGCGGGACCGTGGTGGAGCGCGGCACGACGGACGGCCACGACAGCGGCCGCCCGGCGCTGTCCGAGGAAGAGGTGGGCGGGCCCGTCTGGCGCGTGCGCTACGATGATGATGGGTTAGTCTGGGCCACGCCCGAGCGCTTCCTCACCGTCGTTGAAAAGAGCCCGCTCCGGTCGAATTCGTGGACGACGTCCGAGGAAAACAAGCTGCGGGGGCTCGTCAAGGAGCTCGGCAACCGGTGAGCGGCCGGCGTCCGATGTCTACGCCATCGCCGCGACTCTCTCCCTCTCTCCTCCGACGCGACGTGTTACGACGCAGGTGGACCGAGATCGCCGACCGCCTGGGCACGGGGCGCACCGCAGGCGCCGTCGACCAGCACTGGAAGCTCATGGAGGGCCAGGGCGGCGAGAGCGTGACCGTGCCCCGGCGGTTATGTGACCGCTGGACCGCCGCCGAGGAGCGGCGCCTCAGGGAGATGGTCGCCGCGGCGGGCCACCCGGAGAAAAGGTTGGGTGCTTCCGGCTGGGCCGACATCACGGCGCGCCTCGGGACGCGGCGGTCGCCGTCGGCCGTCGAGCGACACTGGCAGAATATGACCGAGATCCCGGGCCAGGACCGCCGGCGCCGGGGCGGCGACGACGACGAGTGGGTCGAGGACGCGGCCAAGCCCAAGAAGCGCCGCGGCGGCGACGCGCGGCAGCGCCAGGAGGAGGCCGACGCCGCGCTCGCGCGGCGCCTCCAGGCCGAGGAGGAGGACGAGGAGGAGGGGCCCGCGCCAGTCCAGCGCGTGTGGCGACGCTGGACGCCCGCCGAGGAGCGGCACCTGCGCGACCTCGTCGGCCAGCTCGGGGATGATTTCGAAGGTATTTCGGAGAGCCTCGGCACGGAACGGAGCGCGTGGGCCGTCGAGCAGCACTGGAACCTTATGAATCGCGACGACTGGGCGCCGCCGCCGCCGCCGCCGCCGATGCCGCCGCGCCAGGTGACGGCGCCGCCGGCCCACCGTTTGCTCACGTTGACGCAGGCCGCCGACGTCGTGTCGCCGTCGCCGATGGCGCCCGATTCGAGCGACAAGCCGCCGCGACGCCTCGCCCTCCCCACCCAGCTACCTCCGCGCTGGGCCGCCATCATCGCCTCACATGGCGAGGACGCGGACACGTCGTGGGTCGACGCGATGCGCGAGGAGCTGTCCTGTCCCATCTGCTTGGACGCCGTCGAGCGGGCGGTCCAGGTGCCCTGCGGCCACGTCTTCTGCTCCGATTGTTTAGCTATAAACCAGTCGCTCGGCGAGTCGCGGCACGACTGTCCCTCGTGTCGGACGCCGTTCCGGAGCCGCGGCGTGACGGTCGCGGACGTCGCGCGGGACACGATGAGGATGCTCCAGCGGCTCGTGCCCGGCGCTGCCGCGGCGCCGGCGCCGGCGCCGACGTCGCCGACGTCGCCGACGAGCTACTCGGACGACGCCGAGGACTTCGAGGACGACGACATCGACGACGACGGCGACGTCCCCGACGACGGCGACGAAATCCCCGACGACGGCGACGAGGACGTCATGGAAGACGACGACGGCACCGCGTAAGAGTAGATTCAATCAACATGTTATTTAAGGGACAGGTATGTATGTTCAGGCGTCAGGGCAAGCGTCGTCTTCGAAGGCAGAAGCGGAGCCGGCAGGTCCGGAATGGTCATCGGCCGCCTGGATGTCATTCCCACGCTTGTGCGGCGCGTTCCTGATCAGCTCCGCGACGACCGCCTTTTTGTCGTCGGCCTTGAAGATGGCGCCGCCCGCGACAAGCACGTTCGCGCCCGCCCGGAGTAACTCGGGGGCGATCTTCTCGTTAACTCCGCCGTCGACCGAGATGTGCAGGTCCGGGCGTAGCGCGCGCAAAGCCTTGACTTTTTCGACGGCCTGTTCGGTGTACTTCGGGCCGCCGTGGCCCGGCGACACCAGCATGACCACTGCTATGTCTACCATATCCAGGAGAGGCGCGACGGACGCGACCGCGGTCCCGGGGTTGAGCACGATGCCGGGCGCCACGCCGGCGTCGCGGATGCGCTGAGCTACTGCGGCCGGTTGTTTCGTGGCTTCAGGGTGAAATGAGATCGCATCCGCTCCGGCGGCCGCGAATTCCGCGACGCGGTTTTCCGGGTCGATACACCCGAGCTTGACGTCGATGACCGTGTCGGGGCACGCCTTGCGCGCGGCGGCGACGACCGGCGCGCCGAAGCTGACCTTGGGAACAAACACACCGTCCTGGACCGAGCAGTGGAGCCACTCGCAGCCCGCGGCCGTGCACGCCTCGAGCTCGGCGCCGAGCGCGAGAAAATTCGCCTTCGCGACGCTCGGCGCGACGATGGGCCGGACTCTTCCGAGCGTCACGCGCTGCTTGGTGATTGTGGTGGACATGGCTGCTGCGGCTGCGCTGATGAGTAGAAGAGTCGTGAGACCGCCCGCGGCGCCCGCGAAGATGGGCTTGGACATGACTGTGTCTGGTCGGAGCCCTTAGCCGTCGGAGTTTAAAATTTCGGCTGCGTGGCCGCCGACTGCGTGTATCAGGACGGCTTCCGACCAGATTGGAGGTCGCAGCCGTTTCGGAAGGCCGTCTTTTACGCCGCAGAGCTTGCTGTGTTGGCCATCTCGAGGGGCCTGGGGCCTGCCTCCATACGGCTCTTTCGTGACGTGGACGGCTCATCTAAGTCGTGCAGGAGAGGTACGGAGCGGCGGAGTGCGTTTTTGGCACTTTGAGGTGAGTCGCGGCCCGCGCGCCAACCTACGAATCAAACTGACAACAAATTACACACGCGCTACCGCCGCAGCTCCGCCCCCTTCCTTTCCACATACTCGTCGACGTACTTCCGCACCTTCGACCGGACCTTGTCCGTGAACGCAAAGTCCGAAGACCGAGAAGCGTGCTTCGCGACGAGCGCCTTGGCGAGCTTCGGTCCTAACCGGGCCATGGCGTCTGATGAAATACGGCCGCGCTCGAAGTGCAATCCTAAAAAGGACGCCACCGCCCGTTTCATCTCGCGCGCGAAGGAGGCTTCCGTGGGCGGCGGCGGCGCGCGCGGCTGTTGAGGCGGCTGTGGCGCCGGCGGCGACGGCGTCGCCGCAGGTGGCGCCGCGACGGTCAGCGCGGCCCAGGCGTCCGGCGGCTTTACCGTTGCTGATGCTGATGATTGGACAGGTAAAGGCCTTTTCGCCGCCTCGGCGACGCGCTGCTCGACGCGCACCGGCGGGGGCGCCTCCGGTTTCGGCCGCTTCTTCACGACAGGCGGCGGAGGCGCCTGGACGACGGGCTTGCGCTTCGCGGCCCTCCTTGCGGCCTCAGCGACCGCGTCGGCCGGCGCCACTTGGCCACTCAGCAAAGCGTCGCGCGCACTACGTTTCTTCGCGAGGCACTCCGCCAATCGCTCGACGCAGGCCCCTCTCAATGAAGCGGGGCAGGCCGTCCAGACGCGCGATTCTAAAGCGGCGGCGACCTTCGTCGCCGACGCGTGCTGCGAGCCGCCCAACGCCGCTAATAATAAATAGCGCCGGTGCGTCCGCTGGGACTCGTCTTCTCGGTTATCTCTAGTAACAACGCCGTCCTTGGACACCTTGACGACGGGCGGTTTGGGGGGCGGCGGCGGCCGCGTGTGCCTGATGATAACGGGCGGCGGCTTCTTCTTCGGCGGTGGGGGTTTTACTTGGTAGTCCCAGGCCGACGGGAAGGCGCCCTTGCGTGGCGGCGGCGCGCTCCGCTTCCTCGGCGGTTCGCGGCCTCCTTTCGACCTGCGTGGAAGGCAACCAGTGAGTCCTCCGTCAGCCTTCACGCCATCGATCGGTTGTTTCCACGCCGAGCCCCACGACGGTCGGACCGGAAGCGCCTCGGCCTCGCTCTCGTCCGAAGACTCCTCCTCGTCCGATTCCTCGGCATCGAGGTCGTCGAGCGTTAACGATGTACTACCTTTGGGCGCCTTGTAGGTCCCGGGCGAGAAGGGCAAGTGATCGGGCCAGGGGCCTTGCGCCGCGGCGACGACTTTCGCTCCGAGTTGCCGCGCCAACCGATGCGTCGCCGGCAGGACCACGTCCAATAAAACATCGTCCTCCGCCTCGACCAGTCGCGTACAAGCTAGCACGCCGACTTGAATCGGAGCCAGCCCGCACGCCGCCCGCGCGCGCCCATCGGCGTCGACGGCCACGACATCCACAGAAGCGTCGCCGAAACCCCTCGCTATTATGCGAGGAGGCCCCGAATACTGGATTTGGTGGTCCTTTCTAGCGCGTATAATGAGGTAGTCAGAACACCCCGGTCGCTTGTATGTCGCGTCCGCGCCGATGGAACGAGAACCTTGAGCTGGGCACCACCGGTCGGAATCTAAAACCGAACCGGCCGTGTGCGCAAAGTCGAACGAAGCTACCACCGCAACATCGTCCTCGACCTGCACGACGGGCCTGCCCTCGACGAGTCTCTTCAGGCGGGCCTCGACGCTGCCCAATCTATCAAAGAGCGCTCGGGCGTGCTCGTTGAAGGACGCCCGGTCCTCGGACGACGGCAGCTGCCTCGCCGCCGCGGCAACCGCCGCGACGGCCCGCGCATCGCCTCGGACCACCCTTCGCGCTTGCTGGAGTGAAGATCGCAGCTCGTCCGCCGCCTTCCGCACGTTTATCACCGCGATGACGGAAGACGCTTCTAGATTGCCGTTTCTATGGAGTATAGTCTTCGCGAGCGCGTCCGCATTCAACCAGCACTTGCCGAACGACCTTACGACCTCCGAAGGTAGCAGACCCGGAGAGCGCTCGGATATGGCGCACACGGCCGCGAGCCGCTGCCTGATGACTAGCGCATCCGCTAGAGGGCGGTCTTCCTTGGACTCACAAGAAGCTTTCGCGAGAGCCACTCTTCGAGCCGCGTCGCCTCGACCGCACCCGCAGTCGCCCGGAGACTCCCCTTTGCAGCACCGCGCGTGCCGCCAGCAGTGGCACCGGTCGCACTGCCACATCTCCTCCTCCCTCGAATTGGCGTTGCAGGCCTTCAAACCGCAGCGGCACCAGACGACCCAGAGCGGTAACGTTGCACGACTAGCCCAGGCCGTCGGCGGGTCCACGACGGGCTTCCTACGTCTTCTCTTGATCGCCGTAGGCTTCACTACGGGTTCCTCCTCCTCATCCTCCTCTACTGTTGTGGTGGTTGTTGTGCTGGTCGTCGCGCACTCGCGCCGCGGCCGGCGTTCATGCAACATTTCCGCGTGCGCCCGCCTCGCTTCCTCACCAGTTAAAACAGTCCTCCGGACGTTCGCGCCGGGTCTTTGATTCGTCTCCGAGACCTCCTGGTCATCGTCAATGAGTAAACCGGCGCCGATCTCAAAACCGTCCAGCTCGTGTTCATCGTGTTCGCGTGCGGCCATGCGCGCCGCCCCCAACTCGAACGGGTCCTCTTCCGTCACGTCAAAGGCGTCGAGCGGCGCGTCGTCATCGTCGATGGCGTCGTCATCATCTAACACGGCCGCAAAAACGTCCTCGGCCTCCGCGGCCTGGGCTTCGATGGCCGCGGCGTCGTCGTACGAGGTGGGGGCCGCCGCGAGGACGTCCTCGGAGACGCTGCCGCGCGGCGACGCCGCGGCGGGCGCCATCGGCTCCTCTGTCGGCTCCGGCGCGGGCCGCGCGGCGGGCGCGGGATGCGGCGCCTCTGCGGCCAGCGGGGCCGTTGGCGGCGCCGACGGGCGCGCGGGCGGCGGTGCCGAGGGAGGCGCGCGCCGCCGGCGCGGCAGCGCGGCCCCGAAGGCGACGAGGCGGCTTGAACTAAGCGTCACCTCCTGGCCCCGCCACGCGCCGGCGTCGCGGTAGCGCAGCGTGTAGGCGTCGCCATGGACGGCCACGACCTCGAGCGCGTGCTGCGGCGCGTCGGCGTCGGCGACGAGCTCGCCGACGGCGAAGAGCGACGCCGTTGCCTTTTTGGCAGCGGCCGGCGGCGCTTCGGACGCCGTCGAGGGCGGCGGAGGCGCGGCCACCGCGGCGTCGCGCGCCCTGGCCGGCGGCTCGCCGGGCGCTTCCGCCGCCGGCGGCGCCTCCGCGAAGCGCCACGGCTCCGGCGCGCCGTCCGGCTGGGGCGGCGGCGTCGCCCCCTCGAACGCCTCGTCCATCAACGCCTGCGACACCGTCTCGCCGTCGGCGTAGGCGACCTTGAAGCGCCCGTTACGCTGCGAGGCGACCCTTCCTAGATACCAGGCCGCGTCGCCCGCCCAGTAGACCTCGACCCACCGTCCTATTCTCGCGTCGCGCGGCCGCCGGCGCCGCCGCCGTCGGCCCGTCAGCGTCGGCACTTGAGGAACTTGCACCTCGAATTGTTCCACGGGCGGCTCGGGGATGTCCTCGGTGCCGCCGCAGTCGTCGCAGCGCCACCTCGTTAAGTCGACGTTTAGGGATCTACCAGAACACCCGATATGTATACTTTTGGAACCGCATAACTCGCAGGACACGAGCTGCCACATGGCCTGGTCGGAGACGGAGCGGCGCGTCGGCCGCGACGCCGTCGTGTCGTAGGCCGGCCCGTGCGGGCTCCGGCAGTGCGTCGCGCAGCAGAAGCGGTCGTTCGTTGCCGCGGTGCCGGTCTCCACGTAGTCCGGGACGCCCTCGTACATGTTCACGCCCCGTTCCGCCGCATGTTTTCGGAACGCGTCTCGGTCGCGGCAGGCCGGGCAGGCGAACAAGCTTCCTGACGCGGCCGCGGCCGCTTCGAGGCACGCGTGGCACACGTGGATCTTGCAGCAGGGGCTCGCCTGGTCCGTTTGCGAGGCGCAGACGATGCAGGCGCCGCCCGGCATCTTTCCTGTTTTTTTCTTCTTCGTGTGGCGGCGTACAGGCGTCCAGGAGTGCTAGGCTGGGTTTGTAGCCTGCACAGCTTGCGGCAGGCTAAAAATTGTGGAGAGGTTAGCGAGGAGTACTGGCTAGCTGTGAAAGCAGCCCGCTCGCCCAAAAATCGACCGCTTGCGCCAAACGAGCGCTCGCAAGCTGGGCTTTTTTGCTTGCTAGTGTGTTACAATACGCTAGCCCACTGTGGCTGCCAAAACGTAAAAGTCTCCTCGCAGCGGCGTGCTGTGGAGCTAGGGCTCGTTGTAAGCGCCTCCTGTGGCCCTCGACGCACGCTGACCAGCTTGGTTTGACGCGTTGCGGCCTCTGGTAGGCAGCAAAGCAAAGCAGATCAAACACAGCTCTCAGGGCCCACATGTCCGGGCGGCACGCGATGATCGCCAGCGCCGACCCGGAAAGCCCGCAACCGGACGTCTTAAACGCGACCGTGCCGCCGGGATCAATAGCGTGGACTCCCATCCAACCGATCACGTGCTGCATTCCCGCGATTGGCCACATGGGCATCACGGATAGCAAAGGTTATTTGCACGACTGGCACGGCTGCCCCATCTCGGCGAATCACCCGAAACAAATGCTGTTCGGCGAGCCGGCGCGCTACGTGCGGCTTATAAAGTTCGGGGACGATGCTGACAGAAAACGCTGGGACGATGCGATCGACCAAGCCGACAACGAATACGCGCGGCATGTTCATGTGATGGGCTGCGGCCACGACTGCCATTCTCATGTGGCGCGCGTGCTCAATTTGCTGAGATATGGGGGCTGCGCGGTGCACAACAAGGTCGAGCTCGCCGCCGTCGTCTTCTTCTGCGGGCGGCATACGTCCCTGTCGGGCGCGCTGAAGACGTGGGTGCCTTTTTTGATTTTCCTGGGGTTGGTGCTCGTCTACAAGACACAAGCGTAATTCTTTACTTGTATCATCACATCGAAAAATTGCTTGTCGGCACGTTTGTCGGCGTCACTGTGACGGTACTCAGGCTAGTACTAGTAGTAGACGGTCGGCTCGGCGTAGACGGTTGGCGCGGCGAACTCTCCGCCGGACTCCACGCCATCGACGCAACACCGAATAAACACGAGACTATGATTTCTTATTCTTCACGTCCGTCAGGAACTTGTCCAAGCCAAACGGATCGGAAGGCGCGTCGGCCTCGAACTGCACCGGGCCGTCCCGAGGTCTAGCACCTCCTTCGGTGCCCGCAAAACCTCTCTCAGGCGCGGCGAATTTGGAGGAAGACGTCAGCGCCGCGTACTGGTCGTCCGCTGATGGGCCATCATCTTGCTTCCGTGGCCTATAAATAGCAGCAGCATCTTCCCGATCCAGCAACGGCTTCGAATAGACGTTGTAATCATCATCCGCCCCGAAGCCCTGGTCCATGCCGCTCGACTGGTTGAAGAGCCGCTTGTCGAACTGCGCTTCACCCGTTAACTTGGCAGACCCCTTCAGCAGCCCGAGGGCGACCTTCTCGGAGACGTCTCTATCGCGCTCCCTTTCTAACCGAGACCGCTTCATGTCGCCCTTCGCATTATCTAGCCGCATCTGCCGTTCCCGCTCCCGCTTTCTCTCTATCCTGACTTGTTCTCTTTCCCTTCGACCAGCGTCCTCCTCCTCTAACAATTCTGAGTCACCGTCGAAGAAGGCGGCCGCGCCGTCGTTCCTAGGTGCGCCTCGACTCGCTTGCAGATTGTTGCGCTCCTCGCGCGCTTGCGCGGCCAGGTCCCGCAGCCGCGCCTCCTGCGCCTCCTTATCCCTCAAAGCATTCGCCTGGCGCACCTCCGCTCGTGCCCTAACTTCATCTCGAGCGGAACGTTCCGCAATGTACAAGGCCTCCGCTAACGTCGCGAAATTGTTATTGACCGTTTGTTCCTGCAGGCCGCGCCCGTCCGCCGCCAATCTTTTATCGAGCGGTATGGTGTAGCCGCGCGCGTTCTTCCAGTTCGAGACGCAGGGCGGGATCTTCCAGGACTGCTGGTCGTGGACCGTAACTTTTCTGGGTGGCGAGTGCAATACGGGCGCCGGCGGACTAGGCGGCCCTCGGGGAACCTTCGTGTGCTTGTGCTTGGGCGGCTCCATGGGGTCGACCTGCTGGTCGACCAGCTTCACGATGCGCTGAGCAGCAGTAGCGGTATACCCCGGAGCGTTCGGGTTCGGCGTGTACCGCACGAACGTGGCCTTCTGCTGGTTCGGGTCGCACTGCTCCGGGATGTGGGTCGGCTTGGAGCTGTTCACTTTGCCGTCCAAAATGACGGATAAGGCCTGTTGTGTTCTTTGGGCCGTTTCCTGGACCTCTTCCTCCGTCGGTAGTTCCAAACCTTCATCATCACCAACAGCTCTACCTTTCGTGTCCTTCAGCGACGTCTGCACGATCCTATTCTTGTTGGCGCCTTGTTTGACGATGGCGTCGTATCTCACACTACCATCTTCCCCTACTTCGAGAGCTACCACACCACCTTTCTGCTGCGCGGCCTTGTCTTCCTTCGTGCCCATGCCCAAGGGATATTGGGCCACGTGGATCTCGGGGAACGCTCCCCCATCCCCAAAGTCGGCGATCGACCGGGGCACGAAGCCTCTCCTCCGACCGTAGGGCGGCGCCCTACTCTTCGGTGTCGGCGCTTTCCGTAGAGACTTGTCGGGGTCCTGCCAGACGACGTATTCGCGCTGCGGCGCCGGGAGGCTGCGGACGAGGTCGGCCATAATGTTGCCTCTTTGTTGGCTGTGGCCGTCGGCAGCGCTGCTCACTGGCGAGTGCGATTGATGCGCTGTCTTTGGAGTACTGCGGGCCCTGCGCGGCGTCGTTTTCGTGTGCCGCGCGTCGCGTCGCCTGCCGTAGCCTCGACCTCCAGACTTTGATGCCCTGCCGCCGGCCCCACGATCCCTCCAGCTCGTCCAGAGAGCCTCCGGCGTGCACTACGCGGTCCCAGGCCCCCAAAAAAAAATATTCTCGCTCGACATTTGGTTTCAGCGGCGCCTGAAAACGCCCTTGCTACGGCCGTAGAGAAAGACTTCTGACAGCCTCCTACCACCACTCCTTCTGACGTCCCCAAGAACCAGGCTGACAGAGCCTCAGAGCCCGGCCACCAGGAGGTGTGCCGCGGCAGCGCCCATTTGCGGCCCGGGAAGCGGGGACCGGCCCAAATACCCCGCGGCAGGCGGCCCGGGGACGGCGTGAGGACACGGGTGAAATCCTGTGCCTCGAGAACGAGGCGATGGCGGCGCACGCGCAAGCGGCGCAAAAGCCGACGCTCTTCATCGTCCGCCACGGCGAGCGCGTCGACGAGACGAGCCACAAGGCGGCCTGGAAGGCCCAGACGCCGGCGAACCGAAGGTTCGACCCGCCGCTGACCGAGCAGGGCGCGACGCAAGCCAGAACGGCCGCCGAGTTCCTGCGCAGCCAGTGCTTCGACCGCATCTATGCGAGCCCCTGCGCGCGGACCCTGGCGACGGCGAAGGAGCTCTCCGAAGCGCTCGGTGATTTACCGGTCACCGTGGTCCCCGCGCTGGCGGCTTGTGCCGCGGCCGTGAAGAAGCGAGGTCTGGAGAACCTGCCCTTCCTCGCGCCGACGGAGATGGCGCGCATGTGCCCCAGGATCGATTCCTTCGGCGAGTCGGCGCCGAAGTCCTTTGAAGCGGCGTGCGCCTGGGTGTCGCAGCAGACGCCACAAGCGTTAGTTGTCTCCCACCGCGAGGGCATCCGCGACCTGGCCCACGAGAAGCTCAAGCTGCCCTACTGCGCCGTCGGCGTCTTCGAGAAAGGCGGAGAGGACTGGGTCCTCAAGGCACTGCACCGCAACACGGGCGAGCTGCTCGTGAGCCGCGGCTGACCCCCCTATTATCCTACGGCCGGCCCGCCCCCCAAGAAAACTTATAAAATCTATTGTATTAACCTGCTAGGTCGCGTCGTTGGCGTATCTCCATTTCTATGAATTTACGCCGCGGGACGGCCAACTGGGGTAACGGTGCGACCACCGTAGCCGTAAGTGAAGGGGACTTGTGGGAGGGGGACTTGTGGGAGGCGCGGAGGCGCCTGCTAATTCTGGGCCGTCAGCCAGGGTTGGCCAAACACAGAGCCGTCCTCGGCGCGCGGCGGGCCGCCGCCGGCAAGTCCGCCAAGTGCGCCGAGTCCGCTCGCGCCGCCGTCGTCGTTCTTGCCGCCGCACTTGCAGACGCACGGTGTTAAGTTGCCCCAGCAGAAGCAGAGGCAGCACGTGATCTCGACCGAACGGTCGATCGGGTTGATGTGCACGAGGCCGTTGTCGATCTCGAAGAACATGTAGTCGAGGAGCACCGAGCCCGCGATCATATTGGCCTTGTCCACCTCGGACGCGCCGGGCGCGAACTCGATGCCGTAGTTGTCCGAGTCCGTGCAGATCGCCTTGAAGACCTCGCCGGGCGACTTGGGCGTGAGGTGCGTGACCTGGCCGGCCTCGCGGCCGTCGCTCGTGTAGCGGAAGTGGCTCTCGCAGCAGAGCTCGGAGCAGCCGCCGAAGAGCGTGGGCCCCGTGATCTGCGCGTAGGGCGTCTCGCCCTGCGCCGGGAAGATATCCAAAGTCGGCGTGCAGCCGTCCATGGGCGGCGTGCAGCACTGCATCGGCTGGCGGATGACCGCGAGGGGCTTGGCGTTCTGGAGCTCGACGCCCGGCTCGCCCGTGACCATGCCGTCGTGCAGCGTGACCTCCTCGACGCACATGTCGTGGCACGTGTAGCAGCCGCCGCCCGTGCAGGGCTTGGGCGAGTTGACGCAGCACATGACGTCGAAGCAGCCGTCGCACTTGCAGCCCGGCCGCTCCATCGTCAGCAGGACGTTGTTCTGGTCGTAGGCCGGCGCGAAGTAGACGAACGCCGAGTGCCGCGGCGCGCAGCAGAGGCGCGTCCACGGCTTGCTTTCTTCGGTCGCGACCATGACCGTCGGGCCCTCCTTGTCGCCGATCCGGATGTCGTACTTGTTCTTCTGCTCGAACATGCCGCACGAGAGGGCCTCGAACATCATCATGCGCTGGTTGATGTGGATGCGGTCCGCGCCGCCCAGGAGCTGGGCCATGCCGACCAGCCCCGACTGCTGCACGACCTTGGTCGTCGGCAGCATGACCTGCCACTCGGCGCCCGCGGCGTAGCCCGCCGGGATGACGACGTTCTGGCCCTGGACCGCGACGACCGTGCCCGTGACGGCGCCCGGCGGCACGACCACCGCGACCGGCGCGAGCGGGATCGGGTCCACGATCACGGGCGTCACGGCCGTCGGCTCGACGCGCTCGACCATCTCCTGCTCCTTCGGGGCGCTCATGGTGCCTGCGCGGCGGCTCTGCTTTCGAGTGGGCGCACTGTTGGCGCTGGAAAGGCTGCCCTTGGCTGCCCCTGCTCAAAGATGGGACGCGGGTGCAAACCGTATCAAGCGCTGAGGTCCTTTGGCTCGCCGCGACGGCTCCGGATGTCCCTCGCGTGGCGATCACGATCGCGATGGCTTCTTTGTAAGAAAGCTAGATCGGGCGGGCTTGGCGCGTGCTTCGCCGAGTTCTCCAGAAAGGCCAGGGTGGCTTGGTCGGGGCGCGACATATCCGCGAGTTGTGGAACCGGTTCCCCTGAGTCTAGTGTCCATCACCTAGGCCTTTGCTTCAGATAAAAACTCGCGGAGCGCGCGAGGCTGCTTACGCGCGCCGTTTAATAGGGTATCTCATTTGTGCGCCATACCGACAGCGAGCAGCGCGCTGCGTGAGCTCTAGGACCAACGTCGCGTGCCAGCAGCTCTAGGAGCCACAACAGCTCGGGCGAGCACGCCGCCGCCGCCGCAGCGACGCGAGCGAGCAGGACAGCCGAGCGAACGCGTCAACAAACGTCGCGAAGCGCAGCGCCGCGGCGCGACAATGGGCGACGCCAAGGAGACCGGCGGCCGCTGGTGGGAGGGCGAGGGCGCCGCGGGCTTTAACTTCACGGAGGACAATGAAGGCGACAACACGGACGATTATACGTCTGAAGGTTGTGATTTTGTGAATCGATCTGTTTTGAGGAAGTTCGGGCGGGGCATCGAGTCCTACGGGACCGTTGTAAGTTGGCTACCAGCTCACCTGAACGAGGGCGAGCCCTACTACCGGGTGAGGCACGACGACGGCGACGAGGAGGATTTGGACGAGGCGGAGCTCGCGGAAGCTTTGAAAGCGGCCGAAGAGCAGCCTAGACCTGTTACTGCTGTTGTCAAAACTGTCAGTAACGAGAAGGCCCTGGAGGCGCTGGACGACCACGGCAAGCCGCCCGAAGCACCTGGGACATATGACGCACCGCCAGACGCACAAACCAAAAGATTAGCGAGCGCCTGGAAGGGCTTGTCGTTCATCGCCGATTTGTTGGATAACGACCTGTGCGCGAAGAATTTCGGGGCCGACGCTCTCACCTTCCTCTCGTCGGTGGCGGCCACGGCGCCCGATCCATTGAGGGCGTTAGCCACATACCATGTGGAAAGACTGGCCATAAAGTGGCGCGACGGCTTTGCGTTCGATTCAGATCAAGCGGAGCCGCCCGAGTGCGCCGACGCGCTGTGTGGCATCGCCGCTTTGGAGCGGTGCGGCGTGGGCCATGCCAATCTCAAACTCGAATGTCGGGACTACGTCGCCAAAACTTCCAAAGCTAGAGGTGCCGATGTGTTCGCTTCGAGTTTCCTAGGTGCCAACTTATCAAGACCGGCCCAGGGCACGAAGGACGTCACGGACGCGCAACGGCGCATGACGCGCATCAAGGCAGCGACGCAGGCGTTGTATCACGCTTCTTATGCTGACAGAGCAGGAGTACATATCTCGCACGACGAAAGTTCAGTGCTGAAGTGGATTGACGGCCTGAAGCCCTACATGCCCTTCGCGCAGCTGGGATGGGACGGGTATGTCGATCAAGCGACGCTCGCGTGTGCGATTGTCGATATTGCCTCGAATTACGGCGAGCTACGATTAAGACCGTCGGCCTTCCCCGACGAGTACGCGTTATTAGCTGATGTCGCGTGTATGACTAGAGCTATCCGGAAAGAAGATGTCCACCTCGCGGGTGCGGTCGTTCGTGCTCTGAGAAGTTTTGGTCTGGAAGACGACGACGGTAGGGTCAAACGGGGCTGCGAGTATATCATGCAGGCGCAAACTACGGAAGGCGATGATTCAGGAGGCTGGCCGACGCGCGACAAAGATACCAGTTCATACGCCTACTACCACGCGGCCGCGTGTGCGGTTGGAGCTTTATATGCGCCGCTGTTCCGGGGCTTCGGGCCGGCCTGCGGTGCTCCTGCTTCTGATGGGTTTTCTGCGTGCGGGGCCCAATTGAGGAGTGAGAAGGCCATGGGTTTTCTGGCCGAACAGTACGCCGCCGGCGCGGCGGCCGGCGACGAGGCGTGGGTCTCCGCATTGAAGCCGGGCGAGCGCGCGTGCCGGCGGCTGGCGGGGTTATTGAAGTGGCACGCGGCCATGCAGAAGCGGTCCATTGATGATTATGATGAGGGCGCGCCGGTTCGAAGGCGGACGCGGCTCCGGTAACTTTGAAGTTCTAGTATCCGAGTACTACGTCCCGCCGCCAGCCGTAGTGAGTAACTTAGAAGTTTAGAACAAAGTACTATCCGCCGCCACTGCGCTTCGCCTCGAGCTCTGCGATTCGCGCGAGCGCCGCGGGCGGGGGCGTCCCGCGGTTCCGGAACTTGTCCTCGAGCGCGCCGAACGCGGCGTCGGGGTGTCGGGGGAGAGAAGTCGACGGATCTCGTTGTCGAATAAGACATCACCGGGCAAGACTCGAGCATAATCTAGTATGCTTCATCTAGAGCAAATTCCATAATCAAGCGCAGCGCCGAGCGTGTCGAGCAGGTCCCTGTGCCGCGCACGCGACGACCTGAGACCGCGGGCAGCCCATTCGTCCCTCGGAGAGCGGAGGGGGCAGCGCTGCAGGCCTCGGGAGGCGAGCAGTGGTGAACCATGGCGCCCAAGAAGAAAAAAACTGAGCCGGAGCCGGAGAAGGTAAAGCTGAGCCGCGGCGACGTCGACGAGCTCATCGATGATGGTACTGCGCTCGTCGAGGAACGCGACTGGGCTCCAGCGCTGGCAAAACTCGAGGCGGCCGCGGAGGCGCTGGAGACGTATGAGGAGCACATGGTCATGTCAAGACTCTGTGCCAAGATCGGACAGTGCCAGCTCGAGCTGCGCGACGTCCCTGGTGCGTTAGGAACCTTCGAGAAGCAATTGTCGAGTGCTGTGTGGAAATCAACCGGCACGTCGGGTGCACGGCGATGACGTGGCCGCGCTGGCTCCGTCGAGCGGTTAGGAACCGACATCGCACGCCATCGAGCAGGCGTCGCGTCGATGGCGTCGAGGTCGACGCGGCGATTCAGGACGAACGCGCCGTAAATTTGATTTCCACACAGGTCGAGTGCGACCGAGGAAAAGGACAAAGGCATACGCAAGGAGGGCCAGGCCTCGTCATATGCCAATCTGGCCCACGTGTATGCGATGCTAGGGAAAGATAATGAAGCGCTGGAGGCGTTGGAGAAGTCCGACGGCCTGCTGAAAGACGCGCCCACGCAACAAGCGAGGAACGCGTCGTTGGCGGGCGTTATCCACTTTCGGAAGGGCGATGTGCAGAAGGCGTTAGTCTGTCATCAAAAAGATTTAGAATTATCAGATGCGTTGGTGCGCAAGGAGGACGCACATCCACTTATAATCTTACGAGCGAAGCACAACTGCGCCGTCTGTCTGTGCAGGCTGGGCAAGTTCCGGCCCGCGCGGCAAGAATTTGATGGCTGCGCCAAATTGTTGGACGAGAGTACGGTCGTACCGGAGGACGCGGACGGGCTGTTTCGAGGCGCTTCTCCTGCAACGGTGCAAGCCAGAGCATTGTACCACGCGGCCCGGGCGACGCAGGCGCCTTCCCTGGATGTCGGCGCGCGGTCGCGGCTCGAGCGCGCCGCGTCCCTCTTGCCGCCGCCGGACGAGCCGTGGCCCGGGCGTGCCGAGCTGTGTGGAAATCAACCAGTGCGTCGGGTGCACCCGATATATTCTTCACTAAGTCATTTCTCGGCGATGACGTGGCCGCGCTGGCTCCGTCGAGCGGTGGGGAACCGACATCGCCACGCCATCGAGCAGGTGCCGCGTCGACGGCGTGGAGGTCGACGCGACGATAGCGAAGGTGCCGTAAATTTGATTTCAACACAGGCGCCGAGGACGCGCTGCTAGGTGCTTTTGTGCAGCTGGCGCTGAGCCAGCGGCGGCTTGATGACTCGGAGCTCGAATTGGTTGAAAGGTCGATAGACGCGGCGCGGCGCTACGCCGTCGCAGCACAAGCCAAGGAGCCCACGACGACGGCCGCGGTCCTCACCCACGCTTTATCCACGGCACAAGCGAAAGCAAAAGCCATCGGCGGCGACGCGACCGGCGCGTCCGACGCCTACCAGGCGGCCCTCGACGCGGTGAAGGAGCTCGAGAAGCCGCTCCCCGACGAGTATGGTGTTTCAGTGTTAGGTGACCGGTCGCGTGCGGATTTCCTGCGCACGGAACGAAGGTCCAGTAGGGTGGGGCTCGGGGCGTGTCGGCGGAAGGGCACCGGGATGGGACTCTACGGCAGCGCCGGCGCGACGACGGAACAGGAGCTGCAAAGTGCGCTGGAGGTCTGCGAACTGGCCATTTCCAAGGATACAGAGCCCCAAGCCGACGCGGAGGCGCTCGCCGCGCTCGGGCACGTCGGGGCGGTTCTCGGCCTGCAGGGCAAGAAGGCGGACCGGGACGTGGAGTTCGAGGAACGGTTGAACCGAACAGAAACCTTGGAGGACGCAAGGCAACGCATGTATTCGCTCCGGTTGCTCGGTGACGCGGCGGATCATGATGGAGACGCCGTCCTGGCGCTCAAACGCGCGCGGGAGGCCTGCGCCTTAGATTCCGGCAATGCGGACGCCGCCAAAAGATTGGTCGCGGCCTACGTCGCCGTCGGCAATAAACTCGCGAACGACGCCGAGACGCAGACCAAGGAGGTTTTGAGCTTCACACAGATCTGGAATCTAGAGCCGCACATGCGGGCGATGCTGGAGGAGGACAAGCACTGGGTCGCGGCGAACGCGCGGTACCTGGCGAAGGTGGCGCTCGAGGGGTACCGGGGGGCGCTCGAGGCGGCGTAAGCTTCTGGTTTGTAGTAAATGTCGTCGTTTGCGTTCCGCGGTACCGCGTCCAGCGCTTTGCTAGTGTCTTACAGGCCGCTAGCTTCACGCGATAATTCGCTCGGAGGAGATTGGGAACGGCCTTGGATCGGGCGAGCGCCAACCGTAGAAGCCGGCTCTGGATCTCTCTATACTGTGGAGACGCTTTCCCGTCGAGATCCGGCGCGAGCGCGCCGGTTAGCCTGCCGATCCGCAATGGACTGGCTATGCATTTGCCACGGCGACGGTCGTCGGCGCGATCGAGGGCGTCTGCCGGGACATGCTCAAGAGCGCCGACGTCGTGCCCAACTTGCTGCTCCTCTTCCCGCCGGCGCCGGCCGCGACCATTCCCGCCGCGAAGAGAGAGTAAGAATAGAGAACCCGATTTTAAAATCAATTGCTCTCTTTCGGCAGCCGGCGCGCGGCTGGATAGGGCTGCCCAGTGCGGTGCCGGCAGCAGCAACCATGGCTCGTCGGTCGGCCTGGAGCCCGAGGAGTCCTCCCAGGAGGCGTCGGGCGGACGACGACGACGACGAGATGTCGACGGAGGTGCTCCAGATCACCATGGCCTGGGAGCGAAAGCGCAAGCAGGCGGAAGCCGACCTACGGGACCAGCTCAACGAGGCCGAGGACACCATTACTGAAATGGGCGACAAGGTTGCCAAACTAGAGAGGGACCTCGCGGCGGCGAAGCACGATGCTGAGATCGCAAGCGATATGGTGAAATCAGTGACCGCGGAGAAGGCGGAGCTGGCTCGTGATTTGAAGGACGAGCAGGTCCGCGTGCTGGGGGCATTGTTTCTGATCGCGGACCTCGCGCAGGAGCCGCCGAAGGAGGACGAGGACGACGCGGACACGCCGGTCGCGGCCTCTGAGCCGGCAGACTTACCGCCGCCGCCGCCGGCCGACGAGAACACGCCGCCGCCGGAGCTCACGCGCGTCTGCGCCGAGTGCGAGAAGCCGTGCCCCAAGGCGAGCTACAGCAACAAGCAGTGGCAGGCGAAGGCGGCGACGCGGCGGTGCCGCGCCTGCGTCGAGGGGGACGCCGCGGCGGCGGCGTCGCCGCCGCCGTCGCCCACGAAATCGGAAACGCCGGAGGAGGAGGAAGAAGAAGACCCCGAGACCGCGGCCCCGCCCGAGGACGCGGCCGTCGCGGCAAGAAAAGCCGAGATACTACGGAGGCGCCGGACGCACGCCGCCGCCCTGCGCGTGGCGTCGGCGCTAAAGTTCTCGCCACCGTCACAACTCGTCGACGCGAGTGCCCTGGGCCGGGCGCCGGACCGCGCCTTTACGGAAGCGCGCGAATCGTTAAGGGACGCCGGCGAGAGCGTTTTGAGCCTGGGCGTCGCGAGAGCCGCCGTCGGCCGCCACGCGCGCGTCGCCCAACAACTTTTAGATTTGGGCGCGAACGCGGAGCGCGCCTGCTGCGACGTCGAGGCGATGCCCGAGTGGCCCGTCGTCGCGGCGCCGGCGACGGACGTGCCGGCTTTACATGCCGCCATCGTGGCCGGCCACGACGCCGTCGCGAAGTTGTTGGTGACGCGCGGCGCCAACGCCAACGCCACGTCAACACGATTGGGCGGCGCCACGCCCCTCCATGCCGCAGCGAGGCATAATAGGTCCGAGCTCGCGCGCTTCTTAGTGTCGAAGTGCAACGCGCGCCTCGACGCCGTGGACGATGAAGGGCAGACGGCGGCCGACTGTGCGTCCAAGATGCGCTGGACGCGGACGGAAAAAGTTTTGAGAGATCCGGGGTTGTTGTTCTGGGCGCGGGCGGCGCGCGCGAATCGCTTGTGCAAAGAGGGCGAGCACGCGTTGGCCCTGGATTCGTACGACCAAGCTTTAGCTGAGCTCGCGAAGCTCCCGAAGAATGACGCGAGGTACCCCAAGAGTCAAAGTGTGGCAACTTTACAACATAACCGAGCTAGAAGCTTGATGGCCCTCGGCCAGTTCCTGGCCGCGAGGAATGGGCTATTGGAAGCTTGTTTAGCAGCTGGTGGGGACGCCAAGTACCCCGTCGCGGCCGATCGCCGGGCGGAATGCGACGCGAAGCTCCTGGAACATGCGAAAGCAGCAGAAGCCTGGGAGAGTCTCGCGGACGATGCCGATGATGTTCAGAAGGCGCGAACGTGGCGATCGAAAGCCCAAGCGGAACGAGCCAAGGCCAGTCGGCGGCCCCACGAACTCCTCGGATTGGAGTCGCCTCGCTGTTCGCCCGCGGAGCTCAAAAAGGCCTACCGGAAAAAAAGTTTACAGTGGCACCCCGACCGCCAGGCCTCCGGCACGCCGGAACATAAATATAGGGCCCACCTCATGTTCCAGCGCATCTCGGCGGCGCACGACGAGCTGCAGGAGTCTTCGTCGCGACCGCGCTACGCGACGTACTGGTCCGAGGAAAGCGAAGGGTCGGACCAGGAGAGCGAGGAGGAGGACCTCTACGAGTCGACGCCCGCGTGGCACCGCTATTTCGACCGGGCCAAGGCGCGGTCCTGATTCCGATCGATCGCTGTCGAGTCGTACGTTCACACTAATTACACCGTTAATAGGAGATTCTAGCTCGACACCGCACGCCCCGCACGACGGGCTCCCCGTCCACGAGTGATGAAGACGCCTCTTCTAAAACCGGATCACAAGCGACGAAGGCGGCGTCCGCCGCGCGCGCCGCGGCGCAGGCCACCTCCACCCCTCCCGCGCCCAACGCACACAGTTGTGATGCATCTTCGTTGCGCTTCGCGTCGGCGTCGAACGCCGCTTCGAGCTTACACGTATCCAACAAAGCTTCGGCCCGCTGCAGGTGGGCCACGCGCTCGCAGAGTTTCACCTTCGCGGCCTGCCTCGTCAAGACGCGCTCTTCTATCGAATCGGAAGTCGCCAGTCTATAAACACGAGTCTCCCGCCGCTGGCCCCAGCGCCAGACGCGCGCGACCGCTTGCGAATCGTCCGAGGGGTTCCACGACGGCTCGAAGAGAACGATCCGCGACGCTCCAGTGAGTGTGAGCCCGACGCCACCCGCTCGCAACGCCAGACAGAGTAGAAAGAAGTCCTCGGTGCCATTTAACTTAGATTGGGCGTCGTGCCGCGCTTCGAGGGACGTCGCGCCGTCGATCGTCCGACAGGGCCAGTTCTTTGACGAGGCTAACCGTTCCGCCGCTCGTAAGGGCCCGCTGAACTGTGAGACCAAAACGACGCGCTCGTTCCTCGCGCGACAAGCTTCGAGCAACGACGTCGCGAAGGCCCACTTGGCCACGCTTGTGAGGTCGTCACAAGTGTCGTCAAGAGCGTTCACAGAGGACAACAGATGCCTCGACCGGTTGACCCGCGCGAGGGCGTTGCCGCCCTGTGCCGCGTGGACCCGTCTTTGTGTAGCTGAAGGGCGGCAGTAGACCACACATTCTCGTAACGGCGGCAGATTCAGGGGACTCTCGTGTACAGACCTCCGCAGCGTTTTTGTGCGAAGGGCCTCCCTCAGTATCGACTCAGAAGCCTTTTCAGGTACTGCGTTCGCCAGCTCCAGGAGACTCCGGAGATCATCTACACTGTTTTGCACCGGCGTTGCGGTCACTAACAATCTACGAGGCGCCCGATCCCTCGCAACGCACTCGTTCACTTGGACGCAGTCGCCGCCCTTCAAGCGATGCGCTTCGTCCAGGATGAGCAACCCCACGTCTCGGATCGCCTGGATGCGCTCGGCGTGGGCCCGATAAGCCTCGTACGATAGAATAAGCAAAGGCTTCTCCTCCAAAGCGCATTTGGCGAAGCGCCCGATGGCGTCGTCGTCTATGGAATCATTATATGATTCCTGACCCGTCCACTTCTTGCGGGACCGCGCGTCGACGCGCTCTTGCAATCTTTTTTGTCTGGCGTGAGCTCGAGCTTCCTGTACATCAACAGAAGAAAACACGGCGAGATGTCTAGGTCCTCCCGCTTGAGCCCGCGCGGCGGCCTCCGGCGTCGGCCTTAACCATTTTGACGCTTCGCTCGCCCAGGTGCGCTGCACACCGGCCGGGCAGCACACGACGCTCCGAAAAGATTTAGTAGTGGGCCGCGCACTCGACCCTTCGATACCCATCAGCACGGCCAGTGAAGCTAAACACGTCGCCGTCTTCCCGAGGCCCATCTCATCCGCCAGCAGGCACCCCTGGCGCTGCCAGAGCCTCGCACAGAGCCACTGGACGCCTTCCAGTTGGTGCGGTCGCAGTACATTCGTAAGGCGTTCCGTGAGCTGGACGCCATGTAATCCCCTTGCGGTTTCCTGGGCCGTCTGCTTCTCGTCCTTGGACCCGTAGAAGCCTTGCGCTTTCGGGAGGTTCGGAAGTTCTTTTTGTGCCGGTGGCGGCCGCCACTCCGTTGGTTCAGCAACGACCGGCGCGGCCGTCGCGTGGCGCTGCACTATCCTAGCGGCGTTCTCTCTTGTGAGGCCGTGGGCCTTCATATCGAGGAGCGAGGGGTGCGCGGGCTCCCGCTTTTTGGGCGGGCGCGGCCGCCGCTCGGTCCGTGGCTTCTTCTTCGGCGGAGGCGCGGGCTGCTTGGCGCGGATCTTCGCGCTGTTCGCCAGCAGGAGCTGGGCGCGCGCCGACGCCGGCGGCGGCTGGGGTTTTGGTCGTTGAGGTGGTGGCGGCGGCTTGCTCGCGGCTGGCTGCGAGAACGTGAAAGGTTTGCGCTGGGCCATTTTTGCTATGCGTCGCTGTTGCGAGCTATGCGATCACCTCGCGCGGCTATGCGTTGCTGTTGTGAGCTATGCGATCACCTCGCGCGCGGCGCATTCAAATTAGCAGCTTGTTGGGTGCGCTCAAAACGCAGGCGCTCTCGGCCCTCTGCTGGACTGAGGTTGGCTGGAGCGCAGCGCAGCTGTCCGAGGACGAGGAATTTGGCGTGGTGACTGCGAAGACACGCACAACAAGGCGCTGCCGCGGCTGCGCGCCCGGCAGAAATTTCTAGTGTCTTACACCGCTAGCCCACGCGGATTCCGCGCGGAGCCAGGGCGCGGGGTGTGAAAACCGTTTTGTTTGACGCCACGGGTCGCAGGAGCTAGTGGCAGCCAGGCTTAATCCTACGAGCGGTTAGGGCCAGGCAACGCCAAAGGCCGCGTCGGGACAAGCACCTCAAGCAAGGCAAGAACGCCATCGCCGCGACGATATAAAAACGACATAGTTAACGATAAGTCGCCCAAAGCGGCACTGCGCGGTCGGGCCCGCGTCCCGAGTTGAGACGCGGGCCGTCATGTAGCGCATATTCACACTTCAAGCGAGGGCGTCGGCGATGGCTCGAGCCAGAGACTGGGACCCGTTCGCGCGCGACGCGCCGTGCGGCCCCCGCAGGACGTTCCCGTGCGAGCCGTCCCACCACTTGACCACTGAACGATCAGCGCACCGCACGACGCAGCGGTTGGGCACGAAGGCGACGCGGCACTTTGCGATCTGCGCGGCCTCGACCCAGAAGTGGGCGAGGTGGGGCCACTTGCGTTGAGCGTTGACGCGGCATCGCTTCGGGTTGTCGTCGACGCAAATTGCGGCGAAGGTGACGCAATTTGCTGGTAGTGCTACGTCGCCCTGTCTATACTTGGCCGCGAAGTCATTCAATAAATTCATGGAGCGGCCGCCGCGCACCGGGCATCAGGGGTCCACGGCCACAGGAGGCTCCATGACCCGCGGCAGGTCGTCCGTCAGGTAGAACTCTACTACTAGTACTGCTGTCGCGAAGCGGTCGAAGAGGTTCGAGGCGACGCCTGTGTGAGGTGATCGTCACGCCATGTCGACGCTTTCGACGTCGTATCCTCTCCGCGCCGTCGACGCGTCGAGCGAAGACGCGGTCGCGGCGATGGCGTGCGGGTGGGGGACACGTACGCGCCACCTCCACGCCGTCGAATGACGGACGCCGCGCGCGCACCGGACGCGACCTCGAGGCACCGCAAGGCGGGAAAGATCTTGAGCGCCTGCTGCGCCGTCTTGTCCGCGGGAGAACGGGCGCCCTGCATCTTGAGCCAGCCGAACCGTTTTGACTGAATGGGTTTGGGCCGCGCGGTCAGGCGGCGCCGCGTGGCTTTCGATTGGTGCTGCTCCAGGAGGTAGGTGGCCGACGCCGCGCGGCGCCGCTCCAAGAGCGCGGCGAGCTGGACGGCCTCTTCTCTCAACGCGCCGCGCAGCGGGCGGCGCCGCGGCGGCGGGACGGGCGGCGCCGCGTACGTCTGGCAGAGGGGCGGCGACGGCGGTTGGAGTTTTGCACAAGTGTCCAGGACCGGCGGTTCTGCGACGGGCGGCGGCGGCGGTAGGGCGGGCGGCTTGTTCTCCTTGCCGCGCTTGCGCCTCACGTACTTGCGCCACGCTTTTAAAGTCAAGGGCAGCCAGCCGCCGCCGGCCGCCGCGAGGGCGTCGGCGACGCGCTTGAGCTTCAGGGCTTTGTGCATAGGTTTAGGGGGCGGGCATGCCTGGCCCTGTCAGCTGGCCATCTTCCCCAAACCGCGTGCGGGCAGCCCCCCGGCGCCGCGGCGGTCCGGATGCACGACGCGCGCGCCTCACGCACTTGTGGGCGTGATTGTTTGCCACAATTTGGCACACAAAACTCGCAACGGATGGTGCGGGGTCCCGACCCGGGCGCGGTGTCTCCCCCCCAGCCCAGGGGCTCCGCCCACTAGGCTTGGCACCGGAACCACCAACCCCGTCGACCCAGAGATCGCGCGGTCTACGACGCAAAGTATACTCTTCGTACCGGCGTCGACGACGCGCGACGGTTTAAATAAACACGTCTTACTCTCTACTCCTTCTGCCCGAAGGTCTCGCGCGACAGCTCCTTCGCCTGGCCGCCCGTCGTCTCGTACTTGATGACCGTGTAGTAGCTCTTGGCCTCGCTCGCGAGGGCCGCGGCCTTGGCGTCCTTGACGCAGGCGCGCACGACGCGCGTCGCCGCCTGGCCCGCCTTGAGCATGGTTTCGTGGCGCTGTTGTCGATCGACTGCCTGCGGGCGGCGGGGCGGTGAGCGGAGACGGCGGTTTTCTCGGGAGGAGACGTCTCGTGTATTTGCGACAGCGTATATAATGCTGTACCGAACCGTGCGAATGTGCGGCGCGCTGCGCTGCCGCTTTTGGAGCAGCGCGTGCGCTACCTCTTTAGCCTTGATTGTGGCGTCCACTGGGTCCGGCGAGCCGCTTTCTTCTGCTCTAGCGTGGCGATTAGGCCCGGTTGTAAGATTGGACAGCACTCACCAGTCAAGTATGCCCGTATACCCGCGAAAACTGGGCCAAAAGCGGAGCGAGCTGGGAGCGGCTTGACCCCGCACGTTAGTCGATTGTCTGCAGTGCTCGTCTTCTTCGGAGATGCGTATCTACCCGTCCTCGTGGTTGTGTGGCGGCGACGACTCGTCCCTGACTCGGCGCTTCGGCAGTCGTTCCCATTTTGCCTGATTTGGGCCGACTCGAGAGCATTTTAGCACGCTCGAGCTACGCGCAATCAGCGGAGCAACCAGTACTCCTGCAGCGCGTCACGGTCGCGCACGCCACGTCCCGCGCGGAACCAATCGCATCCTCACGCGCGCCGCAGCAAACGAGGCCAAATACCTCAGCCACGTGCATAAACAGCTTTGATGCGCCGCCTCACGCTAATCGCCGCGCTAGCGGCGACGACAGCGGTCGCGTTAGAGGACTGGATCAGGGTCTGGCCGAAGTCGGGCCGCCAGAGCCGCCGCCTCACTTCTGATTTGGACTGCGCGCCCTTCGACGCGAGCCACCTCGTCGCGCGGCCGCGCCGGAAGCGCGCCGACTGCCAGTTTTATGATCAACCGGACAAGAACGACGACGGCTTACTCTGCATCGGCGACCGCTTCAAGATCGCGAACGAGGTGAGCTTCTGCGCGGAGCCCTACTCGCCGGGGTCCTGGTACCTGGCGGCGAAGAAGGGCATCGACCTGGGCCAGGGCCGTAGATTAGGTGCGGACCCGGCGACGTTCGACTACCACCCGACCAATGGCTACTAGCCGCGTGCCCTTTGGGTCCGCGTCCTCGTCGGAAGTCGCATCCCCGAAGTTAGCCAGTCATCTCCTTTCCCTTTCCTTCCCCCGACGCCTAACTAATTGTGGAATCAATAAGACTCGCCGCGTCGACGGCGTGGAATCAAAGACTCGCCGCTTCGACGGCGTATCGGTGGGTAGTAACTCTTACTGCACGCGGGCGCCGCACTGCGTACAGAACGGGCCCTGGACCGGGGCGCCGCACGCAGTGCAGAACAAGTTGCGCCCGGTCGGCGCCTCAGCAGCCGGCGCCCGCCAGGACGCCAGCCTCGACAGCATGGAGGGGCGCTCCTGAGCCGGCTCTGGCGGCGGCGGCGGCATGGTCGGCGGCGCCGAAGCGACTGGGACGGCGGCGGCGTAGAGTTGATCCTTGCGCGGGACCGGGCCCGGTGCCATCTCTTCCACCTCTATCATCGGGGGCTCCGCGGGCTCCGCGCCGCCCTTGGCGCGCATGAACCAGTACGCCCCGAAGGCGATCGCGGCGAGCGCGGCGACACCCACGACGACGCCCGCGATGAGTCCCGCCGACGCATCGGCGCCAACCCCCGAGGACGTCGGCGTCGGCGTCGGCCACCGCGGCGCCGGCGTCGGCGCGGCGTTGATGATTTCGGTCGGGCAGGTCAGCTGGCAGTCCTTCAGCAGGTTCTGCTGCTCCGCTTGGTCCTCGTACTTGCACTCGATGTATCTGCGGTACTCGGCGACGCAGATGTCCCGGTTGTAGGGGAGGTTGACACACTCGCTCGCGAAGCCGTTCGAGGCCCCGATCTCCTCGCAGGACTTGCCCTGGATGCTATCCGCCTGGGCATTCGCCGCCTTGGAATCCGCGAGGATGTCGCCGCAGTTCGCCAGGAATGAGACGCCGCCGAAGACGAGCTGGCCCAGCATGCCGAATATTTCAGAGCCGATCTGCCCGAGGACCTGCTGGCACCCGCACGAACCTAAAAAGGTACAGAGTAAGCTGCACAGTTTTCCGAATTTGGTCCGTCCGGGTAGCCACGCGCCCAGCAACCCGCCGAGCGTGTCCCCCATCTCCGAGGCCTCGGTCGTGCCGCATTCGTCCTGCATGCACTCCCACCACGCGTCCAGCTTTTCTTCGCACGGGTCGTCTTCGCCCCATTCCGGCCACTCCAGCACCACGTAGGGCTCGCCCTCAGTCCCGCACTCGTCCCAGCAGCCGACCGTCCCAAAAAAGGGGCAGCACGGCGATTGGACGGCGCACCAGCTCGCGTAGTGGTCGTCGGTCGTGCAGCCGTCATACGTTTTCCAGTTCCAGGTGTAACTGCTCTTGCACGTGCAGCCGCCCTTCGTCGACTCGCCCGGCGTCGGCGTCGTCGCGCAATTGTCCCAGTAGTAGCCCCACAAACTATATGTGCCGCACGCATTTATTGTTTTGCACCACTCCCGGTGGTGATTGGCCGTCGTGCATGCCTCCTGGCACGTGCAGCCCCCTTCTGTCGTCTGCGCGGCGGTGCGGGCCGCCCCCGCGAGCAGCAGGAGGGGCAGGAGCATGTTGCAGGCCGAGGCGGCACAGCGTGCTGACTCCTGCCCCGTCCACGGGGATGTCAAGCGGGCTGCCCGGCCAAGCGGGCTCCCCGTGGCAGGCGAATTGATCTCATGATGACATGCATGATCTCACGAAGTACGTCGGGTTTTGTCTCGCAGATGCGCGCGCAACAAGCGACTCTTCCAATCGGATCTTGACACACTACTCCCCTTTACTCGTCGCCACTCGTGAACTTCGCCCGCTTTCTAGCTTGGTCGCGGCCGTGCGCCCTATGCGCGGCCTTGTTCTTCAGTTTTGAGGATGCGCGCCTGGAAGCGTCGATCTTCGCGAGCTCCTTGGCCCGCTCGCCCTTCTTCTTCTCCTTCGCCGCACCCTTGATTCTTTTTTTCTCGGCGCGCACGGTCTCGAGCTGATGCACTAATTTCCGCGTCCTTCTGGTTTCAGTCGACTCTCGAGGCGCCAAACCGGTCGACGCGTCCTCGCGCTGCTTCAGGTAGCCGTCGCGCTTCCCACGAGGCGCGTCTTCCTTCGGTCGCGACGCGAACGGTAACTGGTCCACGAGTTTCTTCGGCAGCTTTTGGGGCGCGAACTTCCGGGGAGCGCGCGCGATGGGACCCTTATATAAAGAATCTTTTGATACTGGAATGGGTGTTTCTGTTGCTCTTCTGACATCGGCCACGGATCTTGCTAACAGAGTATCTCCCGACACTGCTTCCAGTAAGTTAGCAACAGGTAAACAGAGAGGCGGCGGCTCCACGGGCACCCACAACCGACAGACGACCACATCTGACAATAATAACTTGTCCTCGAACGTGGCTCGAAAAGCCCCGGCCTTGCCCGACGGAGCACCAGCACGCCTCGCGGCTTGAGAAGCGTCCTCGCGGATGGCCTTCTTGATCGACCCGCGAATCCCGGAAACAGTTTTTATCTGGGCGCCCTCGAACTTGGCGGCCTCCAGGGCCGAGGTGAACATCCCATCTATGAAGGCTGTATTCTTCTCGACTCGGTACGGGGCTCCACACAACTTGAGCTTCTTCACGACCGGACTGAGAGTCTCCTGCTTGACCACCACACCAACTAAACAAACTCTGAAAGTGGCGCAATCACTCTTGAGGGAATGAAACCCAAGTAATGGCGTGTTCGGCGCGACGCCATAACCTCGGAAATGGGCGCCGCAGTGCATGTGCTCCGGCGTGTACTTGAGGAAGCGTTGTCGCGTTTGCCTTTCATCTTCCAGCGAGTAGAGCGGCGCCGACTGGAAGCGCCGCCAGCCGCAGCTGAACACGACGGGATCCCGCGCTTTCAGTATACGACCGTGCCAGCGGTGGCGCCGGACTCTCGCCGTGAGTAGACTGGGCGGCGTGCACTCGTGTGGTAATAACCCACCGAGGATGATGGGCCTTGCCGGATCGCGCTCGTCGAAGAAACTCCGAGGGACGTCCTCGAGTCGCACTCTCACGTACAACCCCGCTCGATGGCCCTCCAACGCTACTCTCTCCTCATCGTCCGCAAACACGCTATCGGTCTTCGCGGCCCGATCCCGCAAGGCCTGCCGCGCGTCGGCCGCGAAGTCGTCGTCGTCTTCTTCCTCCTCGGCCTTCTGCGCCATGGCCCGGGCCTTCGCGGCGGCGATCGCCTCCCTACCTTCTAAGGGTGCTTCTTCATTATCAGCAGGAGCGGCCTCGTCTTCACCATCAGAAGAGTCGTCGTCGGACTCGTCTAGATTTTCAAAGTCGCCGTAGGCCTCGTCGTCGTCCACCGTCGCGAAGCAGTGTTGCGCGCCCTCCAGTACGTCGTCGTCATCGAACGCGACGGCCACATCGTCGTCGTCCGAGGCGTCCAAACCCTCCGCCGCCACCTTCCGCTCCTTGTAGGCCGGGCCGTCCCCTCGCCTCCGAAACAAGTCGCCCTCGTCGTCCTCATCATCATCATCCTCCTCCTCCTCTTCATACCCATAAACGCGCGCCCCGAGGTCTCCCGCCTCCCGTGCCGCCTTGCGCTTCTCCAGCGACAGTCTCGACTCCTCGAAGAAGGACGCCCGGGCCGCGTCCTCCTCCTCGCTAGACGACGACTCGTCGCTATCCGAATCCGAGGAGTCTTCGGCCGAGTCCTCTTCCACAGTACTCCCGCGCACCGCTCGTGAACCGCCGAACAGTCGTAATTCCGACTTCTCCAGCTTCGCATCTACCGAACCGGGCTGCTGCAGCCGTCGCACCAGGTCCGCGGCGCCGCCCGTCACGGCCCTGCGGCCTTCACCGTCCAAGTCCTCTTCTTTGGAATAGGCGACGGTCTTCAGGTCGATGTAGACCGCGTCGTCGTCATAGGCCACGCCGCCGACGTCGGACAACGGCGCGTAGATGACACTGTCACTTTTTTCGAGAGTCGAGGTTTTTGATATTAACGGTAGGGGGTCATCGAGTACTTCTATGGACTCCGGCGAGAAGTCGCCCAGACCCGGCACATGGACGCTACCGCCGGGTTTGAGTCTAGCCCCCCGCACATAGCCGTAGCAGTCCGCTCGTCTCGAGCAATCAGCATCAGCTCTGATACGACTACCAGGTGTCGCGTCATCGACGCGATCGACAACCACATAGCCGTGGGCATTCCTCCAAGCTAAAGGGCGGTACTTGACGCGATTCACATACAGAGCGAGTTGCCTCATCTCGTTCCTAGGGTACTTGCCGCTCTGCAGGATGCCGCCGATGTAAAAAACTTTGGCCCCATCATACACATCCTGCCAGAAGCGGTGCTTGAGAGCTTTTTTTACTTGTTGCAGGGCCTTATTCGTTTTCATTTTGTCCAAGTGCGTCAGAACACCGACGACCTTCGGGAACCCGTGCGCTTGCAGACAGGCCAACGCTTCGAACGTCACCATCTCGAAGCCGAACGACGCGTCCACTGTGAGTAAAACTAGATCGGCTACTTTGCACAAGTCAATCAGAGCGCACGCGTCGTCCGGACACTCAATTAACGTCAACCGCTTATCTTTCCCGGAGATGATCGTGATCGGTCCGGCACACGTCTTTAACGAGTGGCGCGTGTGTAGTTTTACTAAAGACTTGATGAGTGTGGTTTTTCCCGATCCTCGCGGTCCACAAACGACTATCACTGTAGGTGCGACGCCACTATCTCTCCGTATGGTCGCCGCTACTTCTTTCCGGTGGGACCGATCCGCGTTTCTCTGTAAAGAGCGCTTCGACCGTCCCAGATTCGCGACGCCAAAGGCTCGCGTCTTGTGCTTCCCGCTTTGCTGGCCGCCAGCGCGGAAGCGGTCCGCGGCCTTTTTTGTTGATTGTGCTAATCCATCTTTCCGCGGCTTGTGGCGGGCGTTGGACTGGTCGGCCATGCTTGCTCGGCGTGTTGGTTGTTAAGGCAGTGTCACAGCCTGTCGACGGCGGCACGCGCGGAGTGGCCCACAGTAGCCCTACGCGGCCTACGCCGTCGGTCGCCGAGAATACACGCGGCGTTCGCGGCGACGGGCGCGCTGATGATGGAATCAAGCAGTCAGCGCAGCGATGCGCTCTCGCTGCAGTGCAGTGCCACCCAGCGATGAAACTATTCCAGCGCGCAGCGATGCACCAGCAGCTGTTTGTGCCAGCGTGTGCTGACGTGCAGTGATGCTGGCGCGCTGACAGACGTCTGTTAGCCTGCAGTGTCGCCACACTCGCACCTCCGCCAATCGAGTAGCTAGCGTTCAGTAAAGGCACTAGCAAGCATTTTTCACCTTTTTTTGCGGCAGCCAAAACTGGTCGTAAATCCAGCCTTGCGCTGTCGGCAAAAGTTTAAGTGCTTGCCAGCGGTCGCCAGGAGCTACTCGCAAATTTTCAGCAGCGCTGCGCATAGTAACAGCCCTCAAACCAAAGTTTCCAGCATCTCGGCAGCGGAACACAGCGGCAGCGGAACACATGGCCGACCGCGCCGCAATCTACGTCCAGGACGACCGCTTGGTCTGGGCGCCGGCGACCGTCCTGCAACAGAGCGCGGGCAAGCTCGTGGTCAAGGCGCGGCGCCCCGCCAACGACGCGTCACTAGAGAGCTGCCCCTACGTAGAATTACAAACAGAGGGCGACGCCTCGACGCTGCCGCAGCAGAACACGCCAGCAATCGTCGAAGACCTCGTCTCTCTAGACCGGCTCCACGAGGCCAGCGTGCTGTGGTGTTTGCGCGAACGGTTCTTCCGAGGCAAGCCCTACACGCGCACGGGAGACGACATTGTGGTGGCCGTGAATCCATTTAAGTGGCTGCCTCAGTTGTATGATGCTCAAACGCGAGAACGCTACGGAGAGAAGCAAGAGGAAGCACACGCGTATGCGATCAGCAACCGCGCGTTTCGAGGCGTGCTCGATGGCAGGGACCAGTCCATTCTCGTGTCTGGCGAGTCGGGCGCCGGAAAGACCGAGACGGTGAAGATTTTACTGCGGCACCTCTGTGGTGATAGTAGTGATGTGGCCTCTCGCGTGTTAGATGCTGCTCCACTCTTGGAATCCTTCGGCAACGCCAAGACGATCCGGAACGACAATTCGTCGAGGTTCGGCAAGTTCACGCGGTTGCGCTATGATGGACACGGCCGTCTGCGCGGGTCGGACTGCGAGACGTATTTACTGGAGAAAAGTAGGGTCGTAGCCCAAGCGCCTGGGGAACGAACGTACCACTGCGCCTACGGCATTCCTGATTTAGATGTAGCAGCTTTACATTACGTCACGGCGTCGCAACGCGGTACGATAGAAGGTCTTACAGATGAGGATAGACATAGCCAGGCCTGGGCTTCACTGGCGAAGTGCGGCGTGTCTGCCAAGGATCGCGATTCACTAATAGACATGCTCAAGGCGGTGTTTCTACTCGGCGATAGCACCGATGAGGCAGCTTCATTGCTCGGCGTACCCGCAGATTCACTAAAAACAGCGCTCAAAGAACGAACAGTAACTGTAAGAAGAGAAACGACCATCGTCCAGCGCACGCCAGCCGAAAGAACGGCCGCGAGGGACGCCCTCGCCAAAGAGCTCTACGCTCGATGCTTCGATTGGGTCGTCGCGCTCACGAACGAAGCCACCTCTGTCGATGCGTGGGAGGCGTCGTGTGGTCTGCTGGACATCTTCGGCTTCGAGTCCTTCCCGATCAACAGGTTCGAGCAGCTGTGCATCAACTACGCAAATGAAAGACTACAGGAGAAGTTCTGTCAGTGGCTCAGCGTGGGAAATGAGCTTCACAAGTTGACGCGGTCGCCGCGACGGCGTCGACGCGATGCCGTGTCGCCTCGACGTCGTCGACGCGGCCGCGCGAGAGTCCACGCGTCTCGCGAGAGAGCCGCGGCAGTGTCGCGACGGCGTCGTTCCACACAGGTCGGGACCTGTTCCGGAGCGTCCAGGCGGAGTACGAGGACGAGGGGATTCCCTTCGAACCCATCGCCTTCCCGGACGCCGCCGCTGCGTTGAAACTGTTGGAGGGGCCGATGGGTATTGTAGACGTGCTCGACGAAGAGTGCGCCCGACCGGGCGGCTCGGAGCTGGCTCTCGTGTCGAAGCTGAAGACCTTGCACGACGACAATCAACGTTTTTATGTGCCGGACAAGTTCTCTGCGAACAAGTTCGGGGTAAGACACTACGCGGAACCAGTATCATACACCGTCGACGGGTGGTGCGAACGAAACCGCGACGCGCTACATGCTGATTTGGTAGAACTCATGAAGAAGAGCTCCGTCTCGTCACTCTTCGAAACGGACGACAAGCGCCAAAAAACGGTCGCCTCCAAGTTCCGACGAAGGCTGAAGACGCTCCTCGAGGACGTGTCGCGGACGGAGACGAGGTACGTGCGGTGCGTGAAGCCCAATAGCGAGGCGTCATCTTCTTTGTTTGATGCTCCATCGGTTTGTGCCCAGCTGAGATGCGCGGGCGTCGTCGCTGCGGTGGAAATGACGCGGGCCGGCTACCCCAACCGGTCGGGTCACGCGGCGTTCCTCGCAAGGTACGGCCGGTTGACGTCCGAGTCTGATGTAGAGAGCGTCGCACGTTCATTACTTGGTGAAAGGAGGCACGCCGTCGGCAAGACTCGCGTGTATTTGGGACCTGGCGTCTTGGAGTTCCTCGAGCGGCTGTTATCCACGGCGCATGCGAGGAGTGCCACTTCAGTAAATACGTGTGCGCGGAGGTATCTCCAGTTGAGACGGTTCTCTGTCCTCAGACAAACGGCTATCCTTGTACAGAGGCGGCGGCGCGGTTTCGTGAGGAGGCGCGCGTTCGTGAGCCTCGTCGCAGCTTCTATCACGCTGCAAGCGGTAGCGCGATCAAGACGGGCTCGAAAGGCCACGAAACATAAAAGACGCCGCGTGAGTGCGACTCGTCTCGCGGCGTGGGCGAAGACGCGCAGCGAGCTGCACAAGTTCACACGAGTCCGCGACGCCTCGGTGCGCATCCAGACTTTAGTTCGAAGGGTCCTCGCTGTGTTGTTCGTGGAGAAGTTACGACGCAACGCCATTGAGCGCCAGAAGATGGAGAACCAACTTGACGAGTTAAGAAGACGCCTCGATGAAGAGAAAGAGCAAAGAGAACGGGTCGAGAGGAGGCTGTCCTCTGATACGTTGACGGACGAGTCCACGCGCATGCTCGATTACCTGAGGACGGAAGTGGTAGCTCTCACGCGGACCTGCGACGCTCTGAGAAGAGAAAATGATATATTGCGGACGCACCACGAGCGGGGCCAGCAGGCCCGCGCATCGGCGCAACAAAGTGTCGCGGCGGTGGCGGCCCACGTGCGGTTCCTGGGCGACAAGAACGCGTCCATAAAAAATGAGAACCGGCAGTTGTTGAAAGCTACAGCGGTCCTCAAGGAAGAACTGGCCATGAGGCAGGCCATCTACCTCAACCAAGTGGCCCAGAACGCTAAATTAAGGAGGGTCATGGAGAGCATGGTCGACACGGCGGACGTGCGCGGGTGCGACCGGTCGCTCCTCGAGGAGTTAAGGGTTATGGCCGACTTGCCGTTGCACGAGGATTCCATTGACGAGGAGCCCGTCGTTGCGGGTGTCGACCAACGGCCAGGTTTTTTTGGAAGGCTCTTCGGTGGCTCTCAAAAACGGTCGTGGATCGGGAACGCGCCGTCTCCCGGTGACAAGGCGCGGGGCCCGACGCACGCGCGGTCCCAGCGGCTGAGCCGCGTCGACGCGTCGACGACCTTCGAGTAACTGTTGTTGTAGTAGTCTAAATACCCCTAATTAGGGGTATTTAGCGAGGCGCCAGCGAGCCGTTAGGGTTCATAACCTGCATTTAACCCGCACCTTTCAAACACTAACCCACACGTCTCAACCCTAACCCGCATTCCCGTTACACCCGGGGGTACGGTTGCTTAAAGCACGTGCGCTATAGCGCGTGCTATAAAAAGCGAATCAAATTGGGATGCTAATTAGTAAGAAAAAACCCTCTAGGAGAGGAGGCGAGAGAGGAGAGGCGGAGAGGGCTCCTCTCCGAATTTTTTTTCTTCGATTTGAAATGTTTTGAATTTTTGACGGAAAAATGCCTCTCTCTCCTCGCCTCTCTCCTCGCCCGACCCCCCCTTTCTTAGTATAACATAAAAGTATAAAACATATGAAAGATAATATATGTAATGCAGCCCCCCCCCCGGTGTTCAAACCAGACTTCTAATGCGCTTATACATCTGAATGCATCGTGAGTTGCATCTTCCATTATTTCGTCGCTGTCGACGACGTAATCCTCGTTTGAGATTTTGCCTGGGTTCATGGTCCAAGTTTTTCTGTTGTATATGGACAATATTTTTTTTGTCCTGCGTGAGGAAAATGAACGCGTGAGTTTTGCGGCAATTTTTTTACGGCGGCGACTCGCGCGCGGCGACTCGCGCGATTGGCGGCGCGGAATCGACGCGCGAGCTCCGTGCGAACCCCTTGGCGAACACCACGCCCCAGCGTGTTGTGCGCGCGCATTTCTTGTGCGCGCAGCAGCGCTTCGCGCACGCAGGAGCCCCCGTGCACCCCGCGCGCGCTGTGCGTGGCCGCGGCGGTGATTTAGACGCTGCGGCGGCGCCCTGCGCACAAGAACACTTCGTGTTCGATTTTGGTGATTAAATCACTTTTAGATTAGCATTAGCATCCCAACCTAATTCGCTGTTATAGCACGTGCACTATCACACGTGCTTTAAGCAACCGTACCCCCAGGTGGTACGGGAACGCGGGTTAGGGTTGATACGTGCGGGTTAGTGTTTGAAAGGTGCGGGTTAAATACGGGTTAGAACCCTAACGGCTCGCTGGCGCCTCGCTCTAAATACCCCTGATTAGGGGTATTTAGTAGTGGTCTGGTCAGAGAAACTAGGACAGTCATTACAGTCAAGGGGAAAGAAGAACGCTCGCCTGGGCCACAACACAACAGGCCCAAAGGGATGGCGGGGGATCCTCAGCCGCCGGGGCGCGCGGGCGGGCAGCGGCACGCGCGCGGAGACAGCTTCGGCGGGGACATGGCGAACGGGCCCTCGTCGTCGTCGGCGGGTCTGAAGGGGCGCAGGGAGGCGCAGACGGGGCAGTCGTCATCGTCGCCGTCGAGCAGCTCGTGCGCTGCGGCCAGTGGGCTCGCGCCCATCGTCCGCCACTCCCCGTCTAGGGTGAGTATCCTCATCATCTCGGCCGGGCCGGCGTCGCACAGCGGCGGCGTCGGCGCGCGGCGCGGCTTGCGCGAAGTCGCCCGGCGTTGCGGCGAGGGCACCTCTATTGGTTCCGTCTGCGCCCTCAGCGTTGCTTGCGGCTCGTGCATTAGGTTTTGCTGCATCACGTGCGGCTCGTGCAGATTGTGAGCCTGGTGGTTTTTGACGCCCGGGCACGTTTTCGATGGCGTTTGCATGCGCGCTGGGATGTCAAGCATCATTCGTGAGCATACGTACGCGTCAGTGGTGGCAATATTGCATTGGTGTGCAAAACTGCGGCGAAGTGGCTGATTGCGAAAAGCAACATTATCTAGCGGTAGTTAGACACTAGCTAAAAAAAGTTTGGTCAGACGCCGTCGCCCCGAGTGTTAGCACGGAGAAGAAGGAGAGAAACAAGGATTTGAACACGAAAATATTTACACGCCACGAACACTTCTTGCTTGGGCGACTGCAAATCGCGCGCGCGGCGGCCGGGGGCCGCGGCGGGCGCGCAGGCAGCGTGGCGCGGCGGCCCCACGGAGGGGGACGACCGCGCCGGGGAGAGAACACCATGAAACGCGAAGAGCAATCAAGGGGTCAAGCAAAGGGTTTTTCACAGGCAGGGGGGTGCTTTTCGATTCGACTTTCTATGTGCAAGGAACGAATTTGGCGCGCCGTCTGGCGCTCGAATATTTTTCTACATCAGCTTGCAGGACGCGTTGGACCTATCTAATTCATTCGACCGGTCCAGCTGATCACCTTCTCGACGTCCGCGCGCCGGCGGGTCAATAATCAGCCCGCGGCCCGACGCGTCGAGCGTCGACCGATCCACCGCCCTAGTACTACCAGAAGCGTCCATGGACGGCGTTTTCCGCCGGTGGAAGAGCCGTGTGAGGGAGGAGGGCGACGACCGCCCCGATCGAGCCGAGCCCGCCGACCGGTTCGACCTATTAGAACGGTCCATGAGCGACGACGGCGAGAGGCGGCCGTCGGAGCCACTCTGGGACAGATCCAAGCCGACTTCGGGTGCGGGCGCGATCGCGGCCATGTTTATGGCCGAGACGTTCCTCCGCATCGTCTGCTGCCGGAAGGCCTGGCGCAGGTTGCCGAAGCTTCCTAGGCTACGCGAGCGCCGTTTCAACCGTTTCGCGCCGTGGCGCTTCAGCAGTTGCACTACACTAGAGTGGCCGCCGTCCTCCGCGTCTCGTAAAGGCGTGCCGCGCCACCTATCACAGGCATTCACGTCAGCACCGCGCGCAATCAAGTATTCCACGACCCGGACGTGGCCCTCCGCCGCGCCCAAGTGTAACGGTGTCCTATCATCATAATCTGAACGTGTCACTTCGGCGCCCGCCGCAACTAATCGTCTCAAGGACTCGACGTCGCCACGCCTAGCAGCGTCGCATAACCGCGACGTGACGTCGGCTTCCGTGACCGAAGCGCGCTGCTCCGTGACCGAGTCGCGCGCGCCGTGGCGTTTTAGGAGCTCCACAACGTTTTGATGGTCACTAGCCTCGGCGTCCCTGAGAGGTGTGCCCCGCCACCGGTCCTGCGCGTTCACGTCCGCGCCGTGCGCTATGAGAAAGTCCACCACATCCAGATGACCTTCCGCGGCCCCTAAATGCAACGCCGTCCTTCGATCATAGTCTCCGTGATTCACATCCGCACCATCCGCCATCAACTCCCGCAACTCCCCACAGGCTCCTCGTCTAGCAGCATCACATAATTTGGACGATAATTCGGCGTGGGCCCGCGGCGACTCGTCTCGACAAAAGGCGTTGAAATTTGCGAACTGCGCGAGCTCCCGCTGCGACGCGTGGCGCGGCGAGCCGCCTCTACCAATGGCTTCGCTCGCGGGGTCGGGGACGTAGGGCGGCTCGATGGTCTTGTTTTCGAGTGCCGTGCGGTCTATTGATCGCAGGAAGTGCGTATCAAACACGCCCGGCGCTTTTAACCTTTTGGAGACGTCCTTTTGTAAGAGCCCCAGCACGAACATGGACGCGTTGCCACTCAAAGTAGAGACGTCGAAGGATCTTTTACCTTGCTCGATGAGCTGCATCAATTCAGGCAAGTCTCGGGCCACGAACGGCGGCCGTCCCGTCAGCATCTCCACCGTAAGGCACCCAAGAGTCCACCAGTCGACGGAAAACGCGTAGGGTCGCCGCTGGACGACTTCCGGCGCTAAGTAGAGGGGAGTGCCGCAAAAGGTTGCGGTCGTCGTATCCACCAGTGTTTTCGCGAGGCCAAAATCTGCCAGGACGACGTAGCCATCTAATCCGAGTAGGACGTTCTCCGGCTTGAGGTCGCGGTACACCACATTATTTAGGTGGAGATAAGCAAAAGCTGCGGCGAGCTGCGCCGCGTAGAATCTCACCAAGTCTTCTTTCACTTTTCCTCGTTGTGTTATTAATTGATACAGCGTGCCACCCCCGACATAATTCGTCACGAGGTACAGCCGATCGGCGTCCTGGAACGCGTACTGTAAGGTAAGTACGAAGGGATGCCTCAGTCGCTGCAGGATGCTATTCTCGTCGAGGACATGTTGGATCGCCGCAGACCCGGACGCTAATAATTTCTCCTTGCGCACCGCCTTGACCGCGTGGAGGGCCCCGTCGTCTTTCTTTCGGGCAAGCACGACTTTCCCGAAAGACCCCTCGCCGATCTTACACACGATCGCAAAATTATCGAGGTTCAAGGCTTCCCTGTCACCTAGCGATAACGACGACAGCCCCTGCAGCGGCTGCTGCCGGTTGTGCCTCTCGAGTAATGCTGGGCTTAGATCTACTGGCGAACAAACGCATTTGGCACCGGCACAGACCTCGCACTCCCGGACGGGTGGCGGCGTCGCGGCGCTTCTCCTATCAGGCGTTTGGAAGAAGGAAGAAGACGAGTCCTGGCGTCTTACTGCAGTCGTGCACTCGGTGAGGCCCGAGTGGTCGAGCGCGTCACCTCCGGACAACGGCGGCCGGGCGCCCGGGTACAGCGATGGTCCGCGGGGCGTCGCCGTCAGGTCGCTCGTCGGCGTCTGGCTCGCGCGCCGCGGCGGGCCGCCGCACATGGTCCTCGCGCCCACGTGACTCGCGCCCACGTGACCCTCAGGAGGAGATGATGTCACGTGCGGTGCTCCACGCTGCACGGGGCAGCCGCCCAGCAGTCCCGGGCCGAGGCGCCACTGCCCCCAAGTGCGTACGTCCCACCAGCTGTCTCTCGCCGCGGGCGGCGGCAACGCGCATCTAGCGACGCACCACCAAAACCTAAACGCGGCTTCAAACTCAACGCTTCCGTGGCCGGACCCGCATCCATCGGTCCGCGGCCGGCCGGACGGCTCGCGTGGGCGTGGCGCAGCACTGGTGCTCGAGCTAGCGCATGTAAGACACTAGCAAGCAGGCAGCCTCTCGCGATCGTTCGAGCTCCAAGGTATTAGACCGCAGAGGCAGCCCCATTACTGCTGCGTTCCAGAAGTTTGTAGCTAAACGCGTGCCAAACGAATTGCACTGGTTTTGCAGTGGGGACAGAGACGCCTTACTGCTTACTGCCGGGAGCACCAGGAGGATGTCCAGCAGTCCAGCAAAAACCGAGTCGCTGCCGCGCATCGCCTTCGACGCGCCGGCATGTGTGGACGGCATGCATGAGCGGCGCGCGCGCCTGCCGAAGCGCGCCTACCTCCTACCGCGCCTGCTCTCCCGGGACCAGGCGACGCTCGTGCGACGGTTAGCAGAAAGCGACCCGACCGCGCAGTTCGCGCGCGACCCGGACACCGTCGACCGCCTGCCGACGTTCGAGTGTGCCGTGTTCGACGGCGGCCAGCCCGTCGCGACGTCCGTCTGCCGCGTGCTCGAGCCGGTCGTGACGGAAAGACTGCTGCCGTACCTGCGGAAGCGCTTCGACTGCTCCAGTCTGGAGCTCTCGCAAGCACTGATACGGCGTTATCTGCCGACGGAACGACGGGAGCACCCCGCGCACTTCGACGCGCACGCCACTGCCACCGTCGTCGTCTCGCTCTGCGCCCCGGACGACTACGTCGGCGGCTATTACGCGCAACCCACCTCCGACGCGGCCTCGGCGCGCTACGCGTCACTGGACGTGGGAGACGCGTTCTGCCACGGCCACGACCTGCGCCACGGCGTCCGCGTGTTCAGCGGGGCGCGCTACTCTCTGGTATTGTGGTTCACGCCGCGTGCGCACCGTTTTCGACGTAGACGAACGTCGACGATCCCGCCGTGGCACAAGGAGGCGGCGGACCGCGGCGAGGCCGACGCGCTCTACAACGTGGCCAGCCGGGACGCCAGCGAGGCGGCACGCACGGCGGAGGCGGCCCGCGCGGAACGAGGCCGCGGTGGCTTCGCGGCGGCCGAGGCCCTCGAGCTGAAGGCCGCGGAGCTCGCGCAACGCGCCGCCGACGGCCACGAGCGCGCAGCCACGGCTGGCTCGGCCGACGCTATGCTAAACGTGGGCGTGTTAAGGTACAACTCCGGCGACCTCGCGGGTGCCGCGGCGTGCTGGCGCGAGGCGGCTCAAAGAGGCAAGGGCAACGCCTGCCGCTACTACGCGCGGTGTCTGATGAGAGGCGAGGGCGTCCGCGAGGATCGGGCCGCCGCGACGCGCTGGCTCAAGAAAGGTGCTTCCGCGGGCGACGCGTCGAGTGCGTACTCTCTGTACCTCGCCGGCGAATCAGACAGATACCTCGCCATGGCCGCGGCGTCGGGCCACGCGGCCGCGTGCGTGGACCTGGCGAAGACGGCGTCGTCCTCGCGCGAGGCGCTGAAGCTTCTGCGGCGCGCCGTGGCGAACGGTGGCGCGGCGGTGGCGTACTGCGCCCTCGGGCGCTTGTTCCTGGGCGCGCCGGGGCTCGTGCCGGACCCCTCGGCCGCGGCCGGCTTCTTCGCGCGAAGCGGAAACGCCGAGGCGCAAGCCTGCCTGGCGGCGCTCTACGGGCCCGTCCCGCGTATTTTGAGGGACCCGACGGCCCCGCCGTCGCGCGAAGGGAGGATGTTGTTGCTCTGGTAATTTTTGTCACAATTACAAAACTACGACCCCCTCTCCCACGCGGCGAACGCCTCCTCGATATGGTCCTTCGCGGCGCAGTTCTGGAGCCAGAGGTCCCGGAAGTCACCGGTCAGCTGATAGGGCGCGGGGCCGTATTCGACGCACGCCGTGCGCGCGCCCGCGTCCCAGCATTTCCGCCAGAACGCGACGTGCCAGTCGGCGGCGGCGTCGTCGAACGGCGCCGCGAGCTGCGGCCGCTCCTCGTTGCCGACGCGGGCATGGACGTGGTCGACGCGTCCCGCGACGGCGTCCATGTCGAGGAAGCGCTCGTGGACGACGTGCCAGTGCGACGGGTCCGCCGTGAGGCGCAGGCCGGGCACGGCGTCCAGGATCCGCTCGCACTGGAACGCGTGGCCCAGCGGGCGCCCCCGATGCGTCTCAAAGGAGGCGTTTGCCGGGACTATAGATTGCGCGTCCTCGAAGAATCGCGTCGAGACGTCCTCGGGCCACGAGTCACAGCCGGCATGGACGTTTATATGCATTGGTTCCAGCGCGGCGCAGGCGTCGACCTGCCTCCGCAATTGGTCGAGGTGCTCCGCCGGGTCCGCCGCCGCCCACGTGCCTTCGTAGTCGGTCCAGTGGCTGTAGAGGCCCACGATCAACTCTAAACCTCGGTCCCGCGCCTGCTGCGCCGTCGCCGCGCGCGCGTCGGCGTCATCCCCTAAGTCGCTGAGCGACGCCTCCAGCCCCGCGAAGCCTTTGAACTGCAGGCCGTCCATGAGCCGCCGCAGGCTTCCCCAGTGCGTCGCGTTGCCCCAGGCGGAGGCGAAGACTCGTAAAGCCATCGATGCTTGGCTTGTGTGAGCTACAGCCCGCAAGATATGTGTTGTGGCTTTGCTTTTGACCAGGTGCAGCGCAGCAATGATGCTAGACCACGGGACTACCGGCGTTTTGGCAGCGAAGAGCTAGCGTAATGTAACACACTAGCAAGCAAAATAGTCACGGCTTTGACCTGGACGCTAAACGCTGTGTTAGAAGCACCGCGCGGACTCCCAGGTAAGAGCAAGACCTCCCTTTTTACGCCGCCGCAGCCGCGCTGCAGCTCTACGGTCTTCACTCGCCACTTCAAGCTCTCACAGCATGTTCTTCCGGAGCGCCCTCATCTTCGTCCTCGGGGCAAGCGCGGCGACCGCCGTCTCCCTGGAGGCCAAAAAGGCCCCGCGCACCCCCGTGGAGGCCAAAGAGGCCCCGCGCACCATCATGGAGCAAGACGTGACCGTCTTCGAGGCGCCGCGCTGGGCCCGCGGCGAACGCGTGAAGGGCGACGAGCCTGTTACTCTCACCTTCTTCCTCAAGCACTGTCCCTACCAGTTCGCCAAGTTCCACGCCGACCTGACGGACCGCAGCGACCCGGCCTCGCCCAACTACGGGAAGTGGTTAGATGTGGAGGGCGTGAAGGCGCGCCTCAAGCCCTCGGCGGATGCCCTCGAGGCCGTCAAAAACTTCGTCGAGAGCATGGGCGGCGTACCGGCAGTCGACAAGTTCGAGTCCGTCGTCTCGACGACCGTCCCGGCCAAGAGTGTGGAGGAGCACCTCGCTACCGTATTACACCACCACGGCCACACGGAGCGCAACGCGCAAGTCATTCGTGCGGTCAAGGCGTACTCGCTACCCACGGAAGTCGCGAAGCACGTGTCGGTGGTCGGCGACTTAGTAAGATTCCCGCGCCTGAAGCCCGCTGCTTTAGTACAGGAGGCCCATCCTACGGAGGCGGTCGACGACGACTCGGCCTGGACGAAGTGCGGTTCATCGTACTCCGGTTTCGTGAACCCCCACGTGCTGGCCGAGCGCTACGGCTTCGAGTTCCCGAAACTCTCGCACGCCAAGGGCAACTCGCTGGGTCTGGCCGAGTTCCAAAGGCAGTACTACGACGACCCTGATCTCGAAGCCTTCACGAAGGCGTGCAAGCTCCAGACGAACGTCACTGTCAGCAAAGTAGAAGGGGGCAACGACCCCAAGGCCTGCTCTGGCGGCTTCCAGGGCTGTGTGGAATCTCTGTTAGATATCGAGTACGCCGGCGCGGTCGCGGGCGCCATACCTCTAAAAGTGTACTACGCCACGGACTACTCTTTGCTGAGCTGGGCGAACCAGTTACTTTCGAAAGATGGCGTGCCGCCGGTCCACTCCGTCTCCTACGGCAACGACGAGGCGCAGCAGACGGGTCGAGCGTACATGGACTCCGTCAATACTGCTTTTGCCAAGCTGTCGGCGACAGGAGTCACCATCTTGTTTGCTGCAGGAGATCAAGGCGTCTGGGGCCGCGAAGGTGTTGGTACCAAATACCACCCGGATTTCCCGGCCGGAAGCCCTTATGTTACCGCTGTGGGAGGTACCGATTTCAAGGAGAAGGGCACGATCGGCGAGGAGACGACGTGGCCCGACGGCGGCAGCGGCTTCTCGAACGACTTTACGCGTCCGAAGTGGCAGGATTCGTACGTCGAGAAGTACCTCGCGGAGGCGAAGGGCTCTCTCCCGAAGTTCCCCCACGTCTACAACGCGTCGTCGCGCGCCTATCCTGATTTATCAGCTTTAGCTGGAGTGGTGAACGCCTACCTGGTCGCGTTGGAGGGCGGCAAGCGCTTCGCGTCCGTCGGAGGGACGAGTGCGGCGTCGCCCGTCGTCGCCGGTATTATTGCACAGATCAACGACCGCCGCTTATCAGCGGGCAAGTCTCCATTAGGATGGCTGAACCCCGCGCTCTACAAGTGCGGCGAGGGCGTCTTCAACGACGTGACCACTGGAAAAACGTCGGGCGGCATCGTGGGCGGCTTCCCCGCCGCCAAAGGCTGGGACGCGGCGACGGGCTTCGGCACGGTCCAGTACAAGCCGCTCGCCAAGTGTCTGGTGGCGAACTAGGTGTGTTCCTCTCGACCCGTGTTGGGTCTTTCCCCTCTCTCTTAAGCTTTCGTGTCTAAGGTTCAGGACAACGAGATCGTTATATGCAGCAGAGGGGAAGGGGTAAGTAGCAGTGGCAGATGTCGACGACGCGCTGCCCGTCTTTTTGCGTGGCCGGCCCGACACATCTCAAGGACATGGACATTCTTGGCCAGTATATTCGACACATTCTAAAGTGTCGGGATCGAAAAACGGTTTTTCCTCCGGGCATCCCCCATACCACGTTGTAACCTCTCCACCAACACATTCGAAGTAGTAATGACAGGGGCCGAAAAGACCGTCAACCCCAAACTGAGGCCATGTACCGTCAGGGGCGGGACAAAACGTGCCGTCGTAGTAACCATCACATCCCGAGTAGCCGCCGAAGCCGCTGACGGACGGGACGGCCGCGGCGAACGCGAGGGCGACGAGGAAACGATTCATGCTGGGGACCTGAGGAACAGAACCAGGTTGGAGACACGCCGCCGAACTCTGGAGATGGCTCAAAATGCCCCGTACCGTTAGCTTCCACGAGCCGCTCGCGTGCGAGCCGGCGGCCGTCTTCCGGACGCAGCGCGAGATGAAGCTCGGTTTCATCACTTTACATGATGTGAGCCCGATCCAGCTCCACGCCGTGGTCTTCGGGCTCTTCGCGTCGGTCGTCGCGCCGTTCGGCGGCTTCCTGGCCTCGGCGATCAAGCGCGCGTACGAGGTGAAGGACTTCGACTCTTTGATCCCGGGCCACGGCGGCGTCACGGATCGCGTGGACTGCGAGTTCATCATGGCGCTCTTCGTCTACGTCTACCACAAGACGTTCATCGCCGAGCCCGAGGGCTGGCGCGCGCTCGCGGCGGCGGCCGCGCGGCTCCCCGAGGGCGACAGGAGGTTATTGGCGGGGGCGATATGCTAACTAGGTCCGGTTCCTATTTTATCCTGCCGCGTCGAGACCGCGCCTCCCGAGGCATTCATAACGGGTTTTTTAGCCTCCGAGAACATATTAAATGGAACGCGCCGGATTTGACTCCTAAACCGAAGTTAGTATACGGTAACGTTAACGACGAAGAAACTTTGCAGAATCTTCCCGACGACATCGACTGTTGTTATCTAGATGGTCAACGTGGAATAGCGAAGATATCCAAAGAGTACCCCCACATGTTTGTCTACGTTGCAAAATTAAAAGCATTTTCTTGGACATTTTGTTGTACGCGAGGTTGTTCGGACATTCATGAGACATGTGATGAGTTTTCTGAGAAAATGAAAGAGTCTTATAAGTCAATTAATCAAAATGATTTTGCGTTAATTCCATACGATTCTTCGTATGATGGTCGAGCACCTCGTCTTGGTATATGTCGCCAAGTTCCACACTCCGAGGAACAAGTCCCCATACCGTACTAGTAGATGACTTGGCGTCGGACAACATTTTACAAGGATGTATGTGGGCTTGGAAAATCCCACAAGCCCGCGACTACACCATCTCCGTCTTTGTCGCGGAGGAGGAGACCTTGTCGAGCTCGAGCTCACCGGCGCTGGCCTCGACCTCCTCGGAGGGACAGCACTCCCGGAGCTTGTTGCTGCGGTAGAGCCAGAAGATCAGGCCGGCGACGCCGACGACGGCGAGGATGACGAAGATCGCCACGGCCGCGGCCTCGCCCTCGTCCAGTCCGTCGTCGCCGTCGCGGCCGCCGCAGTTCGCTGTGCAGGGGACGGGCGGCGAGGTGACCGCGTGCGACCCGTCCATTGTGACTTCGTCGATATAAAATTGGGACGCGGCCACGTTCAGAACTCCCGAAGAGAGGACACAGCCGTCGCAGAATTGCGGGTCCGTTCCGTAGATATCGAGCGCTTTCTGGAACGCTGTCGGCGTTGGGGCGACCAGGGCGTCGAGCAGCGCCTGGGCGATGGCCTCCGGCGTCTCCAAAACGGTCGCGCCGGCAGGCCAGTAGTGAATGGCCACGTCGAAGTGGATGACCGAACCTCGGGCTACGGTCCCCGAATGTATGGCGTCTACACCATCATTCCCTTCGTCCAGACCGTAGAAATTCACGGCCACGACGTTGTCGATCTGGACCGTCGCCGCGCGCAGGACGTCCGCGACGACGACGCCAAATTGCGCCACTGAGACCGCGTCTGCGTTGAAGTAGGACGCGGTAAATCTGTCCATGACGACCGCGCTCGAGACCACGGCGCCCACGTCGGCGAAGCCGGCGCGGCGGTACGTCTCGGTCTGTAGGACGTGACTCGCCGCCTCCGCGTCGACCTTGTCGTAGGGCCAGCAGTCGCCCAGCGACAGCATCAGCTTCGAGTCCGAGTTGGATGGTTCCACCACGGCGGACAGGAGGTCGTCCCGAACGTACTCCGCGTTGATGCCCTTGTCGGCAACGCGAAATGTCACTTTTGTGTTCGTGGAGCCGTCCGCCACGTAGGATGTCGCGGTGACACCGGAGACGAACGCAGAACTGTATTCCTCTCGGAGCACGGCCACGATGGCGGCCCGTAAGCACTGCACGGCGTCGTTGTCTGGGCCATTCAGATCCATGGTTGCGGTGCCATCGAAAACCACCGCAGACAGGACGATTTCCAATGGGACACCTTGTGTCGCGGCGGCGGCGGCGAAGCAGCAGCTAAGGAGCGTGGCGACGCAGCGAGCCATCGCACGAGCGTTGCGGCTGCCCCGTGGTGAGTAGGACAGCAGGAAGCGACGGGGGGCTGCCTATAATACGAGCTGTAGTAGCTGTTACTCGGGTTTTGGCCTATAATACGAGCATCTCGATGCTCGAGCAAGGTCGTAATACCCTATTTTTCAAAATGCAATTGAAATATATTTGTTTTGCTCAGTGCAGTATACTCAAGCGCGCATTTACTGGTGGCCTCCGACTTCATGCACGTGCAGGATAGACGCCCGTCTCTTAGAGTCAATAGATATGTATAATATAATAGATATAAATATATTTATATCTAATGCCCCTCCAGCTAGTGCCTCTGAGGGAAAAGTTACAAATAGGAGGTACAAATAGCAGGTCTCCAGCCGTCCTCGCGATTCCATCAACTTCAGCTCTGCACGTGGGGGGCCAAATTCGGAGCCGATATGCGCGATCCGGCTGTTTCTAGCCAAAACAGCTGCCCAATTTACCAAAAGAGCTGCCCCAACAAGAGAAATATGGCCAGCAAAGCTGCCCTCGTCGTCCTCGCGCTCGCGGCCGGCACGGCAGCGGCGGCCGACCCGATTAACACGGACAAGTACACAGCGATTGCCGAGGCCGGCGCGTGCCGTGGCAACGGCGGGAGTAGCGATAAGGTCAACAGCAAGTACAAGCTGGGCCTTACGCAAGCGGAGTGCGAGACCGAGTGCGACAGCATCAGCACGTGCCTCGGCTACGCGTACCAGACCGGCGCCAGCGACGTGGCGTCGGCGTACTGCCTCATCCACGGACCGGGTCTCGCCGGGACGTGTTCGGACGCCGCGCTGGACACGCAAGAGAAGTGCGAGGCGAAGGGCACGTGCTCGATAGCCAGTGTTGCATGCGCGGACAGCGGGACGTACTGCCTGGGCGTCGAGGAGGCCTGCACGAACCTGGGCGGCACTTGGACGAAATCCGCTACCACCGTGTGGACCGCTACCTCCGACAACGGCTGGGAGGGCGACTCACACCCGACGACGCACATCGCCGCGGGGAATGGCAACGCGGACTATACGTGCTTCGATATTGATCCTGACGACCACGATGCGACTTGCGTCAACGGCGACTCGCACGCATCTCCTGCTGGCAATCATGCTGGTTACAAAGAGTGCGCCGCCAACTGGACCGACACGAGCGTGAGCGGCTGCGTGAACATCGAGGGCTGCCCGGCGACGCCGTGCAATAGCGACGACTCGGAAGCGTGGTGCTGCAACGCCCACGTCGACGACTGCTCGGAGTGGCACTACTGCGGCTGCGAGCGCGACTTCGAAGCCGGCGGCAAGGAGGAGTCCGCCTGCGACACAGCCGCAGGGTGCGTCTACACGGCGGCGCCGAAAATGGAGACTCCTGCGACACCGCACCCGGGCGACGCGCTCCACTGCGACAACGTTTACCAAGAGGGCCAGTCGGGCGCGTGCCGCGGCCAGGATTCGTCGGGCGGCCAGGTAAGCACTAACCAGAAGTACTCGAAGAGCTGCAACGAGGATGGCACCAAGAAAGAGTGCGGCGGCACGGACCAGCCCGCCTGCGAGATGACGCAGGCGGAGTGCGAGGCCGGCTGCGCTGCCGAGAACGCGATCGCCCCCGGGCGCTGCCAGGCGTACCACCACAAGCCCGGCGGGTGGTGCACGATGTTCGGTCCGACCATCCACGAGGGCATCGGATGGGAAGCGAACCCGACGTGCGTGGAGCCGGCGTCTGCCGGTCCCGGCACCTGCGAGTCGGCGTTCACTGCCGCGAGCGGGACCGCCGAGGCAGACTGCAACACCGCGGGCGGCTGCGTCTACTCAAAGGGCGCTGCCGCCGCGGATTCGTGCTGGTCGTACTGGTCGTCTGGTTACACGGAGGTCACCGGCACAAACACGAACATCGAGTACATGTGCTTCATGCTCATTGATACCACAGTGAACAACGTCTGTGGAAACCTCGCTAGCGACGGCGCCGCGGCGCAGACGCTCGCCTTCGGCGCCGCGCTCGCCGCGGGGCTCCTCGCCTAGCTGCCCCACCACTGACACAAGTCGCCCGTCGCCAAATCGCCCCCGGCTTCCGGAGCCCCCCCTTGTACCTCTGGACAGCTGGGACCCCCTTTTAGGAGCCACGGGCCTGAGTCGGCGTCGGGAATGAATCGGCGACCGTATCAACACGCTGAAGACTTGATACGCAAGTATACCATATTTCCGATCGTCCGACGGCTTCGAATGAATGAGTGGTGCGGTGCTACCAAGCTAGCGTCTGTAAGACACTAGCACGATAATTAAGCTATAGCAAAAAAGGGGTGATCTTGGCTTACCGCAAGAATACATTTTTTTGCTTTATAACTTGGCTGCGCGAGCGCACTCTCGCCAGTGGGACATCCATTTCTCGCTGGAAGCACCACAAGCATCCTGCACTCTGAGAGCACTCTGGATCTCGCAGCCGCAGCGCGGTACGCCTCCGCCGCGTGAGCGTCGCAAAGGGCTGCTCCCCAAGAGCAACGCAAACAACGAGACGTTCTAGCAAAACGCCACAATGCTGCGCCGCCTCGCACTCATCGCTGCGATGTGCTGCATGCGGACTGCGCAATCCGACGCCATCGACGACCGCTTGCACGCCATGTCCATCAAGCAGCTCCGGTGGCTTTTGAGAGATCTTGGGGCGCTCGACGAGCTGCCGAAGGGCGTCGCATTGGAAAAGAGCGACGTGATCGCACTTGCCGCCCCTATTTTACGAGCAGAAGAACAGAAAAAACGGGACGCGCTGAACTCGCAGCGGATTTGGCTGGCTTTGAAAGTCGCCGGTATGCTCCTCGTCGCTCTCATCTTCGGCGAGCCTATTTTAGCAGCAACACAGTCCGCAAGGCACGCCTTCGTCGACGGCGTCGAGGAGAAAAAACACTTGGCAAGGTACGCCGTCGAGTGCGGGTCCCTCTTCTCAGCGATCCTGGTGCTGATCACCGGCGTCATCGACTTGCTCCTGTGCTGGGTGCGCCTCTCGGTGATCATTTCGTGGGTGGCACCTAGAAATTCAAGCATCCGAAACTTCACCATACCAATCCCGTCGCTCGGCGTGGACCCGGCGATGGCGATGGGCGCGACGAGCGGCTACTCGATCAACGTGGCGCCGATGCTCCTGCAGTTCGTGCTGGGGCGGGTCAAGAGCATTTGTGGACACAAGATCGCACGGCTCATGGCCGCGCGGCACCGCGCGATACGGCGTAAGAAGGATTAATGAGTTAGCCCCCTACTCGAATGCTTCGCCAATAAAGCGGCGAGCGTCCGGTCCACCAATGCCGCCGTCGCGTGGACGCCTCCCACGATAGCCGCCAAGCCGGTCAGCAGCGCGCGCCAGCCCTGCCGCCGTTCTTCGAACTCCGCGACGAGCGGAGACACCTCGTAGAAGAAGAAGACGCCCGGCAGGCCCCGTCCACTTCCGGGCGTGACGTGGCGCACGTGCTCCGTGACCGAGTACTGCCATACTTCCCTCGTAGAACCATCTAGATAGGAGTAGACGGTCGGCACGACCTTTACATAATATTGATGCATGCCTGTGTAGAAATCAAAATTTTACGGCGCGTTCACCTCCACGCCATCGACGCGACGCCTGCTCGATGGCGTGACGATGCACCCGACACACGGGTTGATTTCCACACAGGCGCATGCCGTAGCCGTCCGTTATGTAACGCTTCTGGCCGTCCAACTGCGACGTGAGATTAGCTAACAAGGGAGGCGGCCCCCTTCTTCGCTTCTTCCTCCTGTACGTACGGGAGTCCTCCCTACCCACGGAGTCGGGCTCGTCGTGGTGCTCGGGACCGAAGGCTATTTTATTCACCGTGTGGCTCACGTTGAACTGCTCGAAAGTCAACAACACAACATCTAAACCTTGAAACGCGTTTGCCTGCTTGAGGTGCCTCCCCGGCGCCACATGAAAGTTCCCGGCGACCGCGGGCAAATCCAAAGTCCCGGCAATCCGACACCCCTCAGAAACACCTTTGGCGCCCTTGTCCAACGCATCATACGCGTTTTTACCCGTGCACTGAACCGCAGTCTCGGGCTTGAACGTCCAGCCCCGCCTCCTGTAGGCGTTCTGGACCTCCTCGCACGTGTTGCAGCAGGGCTGCTCGTCGTCCTCCGCACCGTAACAGTCGCCGCAGTCTTCGGACTTCACTTCTTCATCCGCCGAGATGTGATCTTCGTGCGTGGCCGTGTTGCCGACTTGCTGTTTTATGGATGCCGCACGCCTAGCGGGTAGGGGCCGTCCTCGTTGATCTAGCCTCGTCTTCGTGATGTGCTGCACGGCTTCCAGGGACCTACCGCCGTCGTCGTTCGCGTCCACAGCTAAAAGCTCGCAGGACGCGTGCGGGAATTCTAAATCAAGTGAGACTCGCAAGCCGTTGCCGTGAGACGAGTTCACATACAATCGGTCTCGCGTCTCCACTCCCAAAGTATGGGAGAACTCCGTGCGCACGAGCCAAATCGCGACCAGACATGCTACTACCGTGGCCGCGCCGCCTTGTGACGTCCGTACCCTAAACTCGTCCCTCGTCTTGGGGTACATGTCGAGCTCTCGTAGTTTTTCGAGCGCGGCCATGGCTGCGGCGGCTGCTATGCTGTCGGTCCTAGGCCAAGGGCTTGCCAGCCGCACCGGAGCGAGAGGTAGCGGCAGTTCTGCGGCGCAAGAAATAGCAGCTTTAGCTTGTGCTGACGACGAAACTGGCGCCGCGTTGCAAGCCAAGGAAATGTCGGCCCGGCGCCGGCGCAGCTAGCGGCCTGTAAGACACTAGAAATTCTCAGCTCGACCAAAATCGCTGCGCAGCGCTCGTCCTGGGCCTGCGTGTACACCCGGGGACGCATTCGGCTATCATTTGTCACTCTGAACACTGTCAGGGCGACAGCGCGACACTCTGCGAGTCGTTTGCACGCCAGCGTGTCAGGTGTCTCACAAAACGCCACCAGCGCGTCGCTCGGCGCTGGTGCGCGAATCGAAACCATGGCCGCCCGCAGCCTCTTCAGAACGATGCTGCGCGAGGCCGCCCAGGTGGACCAGTACAACTTTAGGAACTACGCGATCCGCCGCGTGCGCGAGGACTTCCGCCGCAACGCTGCTTTATCCGGTTCCGAAGCCGCCACCGCTTTGCAAGAGGGCAAGGACGCGCTCGAGGTCCTGCGGCGGCAGCGCATCGTCGGGCAGCTGTACCCCGCGGCGCAGTCCGTCATGGACGCCGAGGCCTCGCGGGCCTTCGAGGACGCCGCCGAGTCTGTGATCGACCCGGTCGGCGGCGCGGGGCGATGATCACTTGTAAACAAACATTAGTCTAGATATTCAGCCGGTGCGCGAACCGCGTCCCACCGTCGAGGTCGGCGACGCCGATCACGGCGTCCCAGGTCCGGTCGCTACGGAGCGCGTCGTTTTGTGCGAGCGGCGCGACGAGTGCGGCGACGCCTCTCTCGCGCAGCACCGCGACGAGCGCGTCCAGCACAGCGTGCTTCCGCTCGCCGGCGACGTCCAGCGCCTCGAGCAAGGCAATGCGCTCGCGGCCGTCGTCCACGTGCGCGGTCGGGGCCGCTGGTGGCGGCGCCCCGCGCCACTGCTCAAGTAGGTTCCGCGCCCGGGTGGTCTGGGAGTGGTCTCTGCCGAGAAGTTTCTCGAGGCCGGTCGCCGCCGACGCACAGAGTTGTATGGCCTCGTCGTCGGCGCCCGCGGGGTCGGCTCGAAGCAAGCGAGCGAGATCGAGGGTCGACCGGAGCGTGTGGATGTGCTGCTCGCCGCAGACACGTCGGCGGGCGTCCAGCGACGCTAGCGCCAGGGTTCGCGCTTCGGCAAATTCCCCACGGGCCGCGCGTGTCTCAGATAAGTTGTGAGACGCCGCCAGCGTCAGCTCGTCGGCGTCGCCCAGCGAAGCTAGCGCCGCGGACCGCGTCTCCGTCAGCAGGGCGACGGCAGCGTCGGTGTTCCCGAGTCGGTTATAGCACCGCCCTAAGTTACATGCCGTCCGTAGGCTATCGGGATGCGCCGCGCCCAATTGCTCGCGGCGTGTCGAGTGGACGTCCTCGTAGAGGGCCGCCGCCTCGGCAACGAGGCCGCGCTCGTCCAATATCAATGCGAGGTTGTGTGTCGCTCTCAGTTCTTGGTCCGACCCCGACAACGCCTCCTGCGCCCACCGCGCTCCTCGCTCGGCTGCGTCAAGGTGTCCCATCGCCAGCTCGACGAGGGCCAAATTTAGCGTCGCAGTCACGTAGTAGATATCGCCCCGCAGCTTGGCGTCGTCGCCGCCGTGGGATCGCCGTATCTCATCGAGGGCGGCCTCGAATGCTTTCTTCGCGCCCTTGTAGTCGCAGCGGCTCCAGAGATCTGTGGCCTGCGTAATCTCGGCGTGGCGGCGCCGCGCGAGATCCGTAGGCGTCTCCGGCGTCGTGCGCTGCGCCGCTTGGGATCGACGGTGCGCAACCAGCCGCCGCGACAGCACAAGCCCGCCTTCATTGCGGAATGGGCCTCTGCATGTTGGACACCGCGGATCTGGCGGCAGTCCCGCTGTCTCGTACCATCGCACGAGACATTCCTCGTGGACGCGGCCGATCGAGCCGCGGCAGCGGCACGTGTCGCGCAGCAGCCGCGCGCCGGTCTCGTCGTCGGCGTCGGCGGGCCGCACCGTGCCCGGTCCGTGGCAAATCCTGCACACGTCGGCAGCGTCATCGCGCTGGTGTTTCAGCGCAACATACTCCGACACGATCACTCTGCCCGCGTCGCATTCGTAGGTGAGTTGCGTGAGTCGCGTGGCGGTGCGTAGTCCCGCTAGCTCCAGCAGCGCATCGCTTGGAGATGGGGCTGCGGCAGCCTCGACCTCTTCCACGAGCTCGAGCCCCTTCACCATTGATGCTGCATTATGCGCGCCACACGGGCGCGGCTGATGCGTGCTATCGAGCCGTATTGGGCAGCGTGATTGACCAGAGAGCAAGAATGCCTTGCACCAGACGACCATCCGCACGAATCCTAGTGTGTCTGTTATACGCTAGCCAGCCTCTTGCCCCTCCTTTGCTAGGCGCGCGACTGCGTCTGTAGATAATTTTATTGGACATGGCGTTGGCCGATCAACTCTCGAACGCACTGTCGGCGACGCAGCTGGACGGCAACCCCGGAGAACTCATCGGTGGCCTCCCACCTCCAGTGCTCGCGCTGTGCTGTCAATTCGCCGGCGACAGCGGTTCGCTGGTCAAGCGAATGGCGTGCTGCCACCGCGCGGCCGCCGAGGCGCGGTCGGAGGTCTGGGCGGCGTTGTTCACCGTCGGCACGCGCGTCGTGCTCCACGGTCTGAAAGCGGACTTGCTGAACCTGCGCCACGGCACCGTTGTGAAGAGCAAAACCGCCGAAGACCGCGTCGGCGTGCGTTTGGACGGCGAACTGAAGCCCAAGAGCGTGCGACGAGTCAACGTGCGCCTGGAGCGCGGCCCGTATGAGACGAGCGAGCCGGACGAAGTGCACGAGGGCTTCTGGTGCGATTCGTGCTCCACCATGAGCGCTCGCGAGCACCTGATGCAACATCATATGGTCTCAATGCAAACTGGAGGAAAAGGATTCACGGGTACCTTGCTCGTCGGCCTGCGCTATCAGTGCACCCGTTGTCCCGAAAACCCTGGATACGACCTCTGCGAGAAGTGCTTTCGCGCGGGCGTGAAACACTCGTGCCGCCAGCACTGTCTCTCGCTGAACCCGCTTCGGGATAACCCGGCTCTGGCGCGGTATCCCGAAGACGACCCGTCCGTGTTCGACCCCGCCCGGTTCAAACTAGTTCGGGATTCCACCGCGACGGACTTTGCTCGGTGGATGGAGACTGGTACCTCAGGAATGCATGAAGGAATTAAGGTGCCGGCCTCGGCGGAGGAGTTCTGCTGGCGGACCGAGAAGTGGGAATTGAATGGGCCGCGGACGCAGGCCGTCGTAATTGCATCTTTAAGGCGCGATGGCCGCACGCCGGCAGCCTGGCGAAGCTGAGTGAGCGTCGCTTCCGGGAGGCGCCTATAGTTCCCATTGAAGATCTCCGGGCATTGCCGCGGGACGAGCGCGGCGAAGTTACATTTGAAGATCATGAGCGAATGATCGAAAATATACGACGCCGCAACGAGGCCGAGGGCCGGGACCCCCGGGGTTGGTGAACTTGGTAAGTATGACATTGTATTAAAATCAGGAGACAAACACCCCCGGCACCGTCGCCCCCAGCCGGTACGGCGCCAACCCGAAGTCCCGCAGCTCCTCTCCGCGGTGCAGCATGCGCAGGACCTCGTCGCGGAACGCCGCCCGCTTCGGGTCCGCGGCGACGTCGGCCATGTAGGATGCGACGTTCTCCCGCGTCTCGTCCATCGTCGCGACGGCCTCGTCGAGCGGGCTCGAAGAATTCCTCGTGATCGACAGCGCTCTCGATGCGTCGCGCTCCTCGGTCCGGCGCCGGTGTTCGGCCGTGGCTTCGGCCATGGACTCCCCTAGCATTGCGAAGCCGTCGCCTAACAAAGCGCTCCGCGCGTAGAACTCGTCCGATTCCACATACCTCTGCGCCGCGTCGGCTCGTAGGCGGCCCGCCAGGCGCCTCTGCTTAGTGGCCGGGTCGTCCTCGCGGATGGGCCCGCCCGGCAGCGACGCCTCGAAGGCCGCGAGCGCCTCGCTGTTCACGCGGTCGTGCGTCGTCCGCAGCAGCGCCAGCGAGGCTTTGATCTTGACGCGGTCGAGCGCCGCCGGCGTCGCGTGGAAACGTGACCGCGCCGCCCGCGGTGCGGCGCGCCGTGGCCGCCGCTCCCCGCGCAGCTGGGCCGCGACGCGGCGTGCGTAGCGGCAGACGGGTTCCGGCACCTGCCGCTCGCGCACGCGCGCCGCCAAGCTGCGGGTCGTCCGCGCGTCGAGGGCAACACGTCGCTCAGGCGGCGGCGCGGGAGGCATACGCCCCGTGCCGATTCGTTGCCCGACGCCAATCGCAAGCTGCCGGACGAAGTCCGGCGCGTCCGGGAGCTCGAAGTCGTCATTCTCGTAGGACGCCTCGACGCGCGCGAGCGCCCGCTGCGTCGCCGCCGCCGAGGCCGCCGCTGCCGCCGCGTCGTCGCGCGTCGCCGCCGGCGCGCGGGGACCGACGCGCTGCGCGCCGAGCACGACCTCGTCGATGGGCCGCGCGGCGTCGTCGTCGGCGGCGAAGTCCTCCGAGTACTCCGAATCGGCTCGCCGCGGGCTCGACGCCGACGACGCGGCCGAGGCCGAGACCTCTTCGTCCTCGTCGCCGCTCGTCGTCGTCGCGTAGGCTCCGGAGGCTTCGTCGTCGCTCGTCGTCGCGTAGGAGCTCCCCGACGACGACGACGACGATGCGCCGCCGTGGAGGACGACGCGCACGAAGGCGGCGTCGACGCGCGGCTCGCGGTCGCCGTCGTCGTAGGCGACCGCGTAGGTGCCGTCGGCGTTGGCCGCCTCTATAGTTCCCGGAAACCACTCGTCCGTGTCGCCGTAGATCGCCTCGACGAGCGTGCCGACGGCGAGGCCCGTCGTGCCCGGGCTCCGCGGCTCCTCGTCCCCTTCTTGGGAGATGCGTGGGGAGGCGGTATCCGGCGCGAAGTCGTCCTCGTAGGATGAGTCGTCGCGCGGCGGCGTCGCCGGGGGCGTCTTGTCACGCGACGACGACGACGACGCCGCGTCCTCGCCGATGGACCAGCGGCGCGCCTGCGCCGCGGCCGCCTCCGAGGCTTCCGAGGCTTCTGAAGGTGACGATGGCGGCTGGGGCGCCGGCGCCGCGTCCTCGGCGGCGCCCGACCAGTCGCCGAGGTCCGCGACCGTGAGCAGCGCCGGCGTTTGAAAGCCGCCGGCGGCGGGCGCGAAGTCGTCGGAGTAGTCGCTCGCGCGCGGGCTCTGCGCCGGCGTCTCCTCGCGGCCGTCGTCGGACGGGGGCGCGTCGTCGGCGCGGTCCGGCTCCGGCAGGAAGTCCGCCGAGTAGGAGGCCGACGCCCCGGTGCCGTCGTCGGAGAGCGAGGCCGCGTCGTCGGCGCGCGGGCTCTGAGACGCCGGCGGCGCCGCCTCGTCCGCGGCGCCCGACCAGTTGCCGAGGTGCGCGACGGTGAGCAGCGCGTCGCCCGCGTCGTCCGCTGGGGAGCGCGCCTGGAGCGGCGCCTGCTCGCGGCGCAGCCGGTCGAGGATGTCCTCCTCCCCCGCCTCCTCCGCTGGCTCTTCGTCTACAGGCGCATCGACCGCGTCGTCGGCCGCGTCGTCCGCGCCGCGCCGCGCCTGGATCGCCGCCGCCCCGCGCCGCAGGCGATCGAGGATGTCCTCCTCCTCCTCCTCTTCTACCGGCGGCGGCTCGTCGTCGCCGGGCGCCGCGACGCTCTCGACTTCATCCACGTCGTCGAGCGCGGCGTCGGCGGAGACCGCCGCCGTCGAAAAGGACAGCGCGGCGGTCGTCGAGGCCCCGTCGGAGCGCGGCGAGCGCGCGCGGGGCGAGGCGCCGCCGCTTGCGGGCAGCGGGGCCCATTCCGTCGAGTAGCTGGTACTGTCCGCTGCTCTCGTATCATCGGGCTGCCCGCTCCCGAACGAGTAGAGCGACTCGTCATCTACCTCCGACATGAGCCTGCGACACACAAAGGGCACGGCGGCCGAGGACGGTGCCCCAACTGGGGGAGCTCAAACCTGAAGGGCTAGTGTCTTACAGCTAGCTTGGCACCTTGTTTGGAGGGAGTTCCCGGGGCGGTTCGGCTTAGAAGGAGGTATGCTATTAATTATGAAAAACGCGGCACGCGCCCGCCGCCGATGAATCGGCGACGCGCGGTGCGCTACGAGCTTGTATGTGCGATGCAACGCCGTAGAGACCGGGACGGCTCGACGCCAGTGCTCCCACCGTTAACATATCCCGTCGTCGGGATGTGTTATACGGCACTCACGCCAGGAGGTCAAATACGCCGCACGGATCTCAAAACAGACACTCGTGACCGGCACTACAAGCTCGTAAACCAATTTAAGCCTATTATTTACACCAGCATACGCGCGCTGACGGGATATGGTCCCGTAAAAAAGACTAGGCGGCCGGAGCACTAGGCGGCGCCGAAGTGCCGCAGGATCCGCTCCAAACAAGCCGCGTCCGCGCCGCGCACCGCGTGCTCGACGTAGCCAATGCCCGAATCCACGGCCTTCTGGACGTTGTTCGGGTCGTCGTCGGCCAAGGAAGCGTCTTCCACCGACACTCCAAACCTCTCACACAAAGCTGCAATTTGCGCGTTCTTGTCCCCCAGAATATCCGAACCCTCCGCGCACCGCGGCGGCTCGTCCTCCATGGGATTCGGAAAGTCGTAGCGCGGGTCGACATGATCTGCTGGTGTGGAAATAGTAATGTCGTGCCTTTCACCGAGGGCAAACTCCAAAGCTTTATTCACGACGTCCCGCCGCCCGAACGTCGCGATGGCGACCTCCAAATCATTGGATCGGGCTTTCTGTACAAAGGCCTTGAAGGCCGGCAAATCTACGAAGGTGTCCGCGTCGATCAATACTTCCGGGAGAGGCGCCTTGCGGAAGCGGCCCCACACATGGAATTTGGTTAAGGTGCAGTCGAAGTCGAAGATGGCTAAGCCTCGAGGCATCGCTGCGCGCCGAGCTACGGCTTTCGCCAGCTCGCTCGCCGCCAACGACCAATTTCGCAGCTAGGAGATACCTCTCCCAGTCGGATAGCTCGCCGCCAGCGGCACGCAGCAGTTTTTTGGTTACGGAGCAAGGAAACTCACTGATATCAAAGCCTTGCAGGTACGTAACCCTGCATGTGCGTGCTCTCGCCTTACAAAAAGGCCGACACAAAAGCCGGAGATGGTTTTGCTAGCGTCGTAAAGGCACTAGCAAAACAAAGAGGGGTACGGGAGCCCTAGTCCTAGCACCGTAACAATAGATGGGTACGGGGGACCCCGCGACGAATTAGCCTGAGCCTGACAAGCCTGAGCCTGAGCCTGACAAAGTAAAAGTACGTCGCGGCCGGGCGTTGCGCCATCGACGCGCACGCAGTCAGAAAGAAAGTACACGAAACCCCCCCACTTACGCAGCGAAAGGAACAAAACTACCGCCTCCTCGTCCTACTATCCTTCAGCGACGTCGCGGCCATGCCCCGCAGGATCTTCCGCAGCTCCACGACGCTCTCCAAACAGAACTCGGCATGAGTAGCACCGGGACCGATGTGCACGTTATACAGGTCCGGCGCCCTATCATCTTCATGATCTATGGCCTCGCATCTGCGAGAGTGCCAGCTCTTCAATAATTGATACATGTCCTCGTCGCTTCGGTCGTCGCCGACACAGAGCACAAAGTCAAAGTCCTCGGTCAAGGCCACTTGGGGCGAGTCCTCGGATCGCGAAGGCGGCGGCGGGTCGTAGCCGTTCCGCGGACCCTGCCGCAGAACCTCCTCCAAGACTAAAGATTTATTGACTCCCACATGCCTCACCTCGACCAACCGATTCCCCTGGATGATCTCCAAAGGTAACGTACTCATCACATCTTCCATGTGGATCTGCATGTCCTTGGCCTGCCACGCGCCGAAATGCGGGTCCGCGTCTCGATAATGCCACGCTAAAGATGATTCTTTGCTTTCGATATAAGTACCAGGAGTCCGCTCCGCAAAGTACTGCATGATGGGCCTTACCACATCTTTCCAGGACGTGTCCAGATCTCGTCCCAATGACGTCCATTCTTCGCTCCCGGGCGCCCTGTGACAGAATCCAAACTCCGCCGCCAGACCGACTTTCAATCGGCCGAGCCACTTCTCCATGAAGCGTCTCTCTCTCCCAGAAACGACGTAGACCGTGTTCCTCGGATCTCTTGATAAAGTTGCGAGCAACTGCGTGACGACGGGCGCTGGTGTCGCGAGTCTCGGTAGTGATTGCATCTGGGTCAGCGTGCCGTCGTAGTCCGTGACAACTAGTCGCCGAGAGGCCCTTTGATAAGCTTGTAAAACGCGACCGGCGGGCAGCTTCGGCAGCTTCGGCAATAAAGGAGGGTGCTCGCAGACGTCCCGAAACTCGTCGACGAAACTCCGCGCCCAGTACGACGCCGTGTTCGTCGAGACGTAGCGGTGGAGCTTCGCCCACCGCAGCTCCCGCTCCACTCTCGTGAGTGTGAGGGCGTCGTGGATCGCCCTCGCAAGCTCGTCAGTATTCCAGGGATTGACCCGGATGGCGCCCGACAGCGACTGGGCGCTCCCGGCGAACTCCGATAATACTAACGCGCCGGGCCCCTCCTTGACGAAGGGCTGGAGGACGTCGTCGTCGTCTTTGCTCGACGAAGCTCGAGATCTCGGTCTAGTTTCCTCTATACCAGTATCATCCTGATCCAACGATTCTTGAGCGGCGACATATTCATGAGATACGAGATTCATGCCGTCTCGCACGGACGTCACGAGACACGCGTCCGCGAGATGATAGATAGCTATCAGCTCGTCTTGCGGGATCGATTGATTGATATAATGTATGGGTGAGTACTCCAACGTACCATACACACCGTTGATCCTTCCAACAAGCTCGTTCACGTGCTTGGCCAACGCCTGATACTCGGCGACGTCGGTGCCTGCGCGGAGATCAAAGTGTCACGGCGCCTTCACGCCATCGACGCGACTCGTGTCCATCAGACGAGGTCGCGATTTCCACACCGGCCAAGGACGCGTCGGCACGCCGACTTGGATCAACGTAACTTTGCCGACCCACGACGGGTTCCTCGCCAAAAACAACTCAAAGGCCAGCAATTTGTGGGGCATGCCCTTGATGTAGTCCAAGCGATCGACGCCGATGAGGACTTTCCGCCCTTTAAACGTGGCCCCGAGCTCCGCCGTTCTCCTGCGCACCGCTCGGCTCTTCAGAGTGTTCCTAATAAGGGTGGGATCGATGCCAATCGGAAAGACGCCGATGCTACAGAACCGCCCCCCGAACTCGATGCCCTTCGGGGTCGTTGTACTGACATCTAACACACGAGAACAAGCCGATAAAAAGTGCCTCGCATAGTCATACGTATGAAAACCAACGAGATCCGCGTGCAACAAGCCTTCCAAGAGCTCTCGTCGGTACGGTAGGATCCTGTAGATCTCCGAGGACGGAAAGGGCGTGTGCAGGAACCAAGCGACAGAGACTCTCGCATCTCGCCGCCGCAACTCCAAGGGCAAGCGCATCAAGTGGTAGTCGTGGACCCAGACGTAGTCCGGCACCTTTGACGTTGCTGTTGAATCGTTCTCGGTTGGCGGGCCGGCGGACCAGACCTCTAGGACCGCATCGGCGAAGCGCGCGTTCGCCTCCTTATAGGCTTCCCACAACCGCGCGTCGAACTTCTTCTCGGCGCCGGCCTGGTAGGCCGGTAGGGGTACGTAGTGAAACAGGGGCCATAGCACGTCATTACAAAAGCCGTTGTAGTACCTATCTACTAATTGAGCATCGAGAAAGACGGGGTAGCAGCCGTGTTCCCTCATGAGCCGCTCCGCGACGCGAGGCCGCTCGGCGGGCGGGACATCAGCCCCGAGCCACCCGACCCACACAAACTCGACGTCCGTCGCGATGCCTCGCAGCGCCGTCGCTAAGCCACCGGGAGCCGTGTCGAAGGTCCATCTTGCGGTGCGCGCGTCTCGTCTCGCTCTAATAGGTAGTCTATTGGCCACGACGAGGACCCTTCTCGGTGTCCGCGTTTTTGTGGTCGGCACGACGAGCTCCTCGTCGTCGTCGTGGCCCTCTTGGGCCTTGAGTTCGCGCAAATGTCTTTGGAGTTCTTGGATTTCCGCAATAATTTGCTGCTCCTCTATGCTAAGTTGTTGCTCCTTGCTCGGGGGCGCGGGCGGCTGCGGCGGGGCGTCGGCCATGGTCGCGCTGCCAGTGATTTAGCTTCGCTGGTCGCTGAGATGAGCTCTATATGCGGACCGCGTCGGCCGGCGTTGGCGCTCGGCGTTGGCGCTCTGCGCTGCGCGAGAGAGAGCTGGCTATTCGGATGCCTCGGTCTGCGGCAGCGAGAGCGTGCGCTCACGCCTTGGCGATAGATTTGGCGACCCGTAGAGCTGCCGTGTCACTTCCAACGCCTGCACAGAGCTCTGCGTTTAGCTGGGGCGTAAAGAGCTTGGCTTTCTAGTGTCTTACATGCCGCTAGCGTGCTCCAATCTAGCGAGGGGCGCGATTGGGTGGCCTAGCGCAAGAAATAGCGGTTGCTGCGCGCCACGTGTGCTGCTTGGATCTTAGAGACAGCAGTGAACAACCGCCGCGAGCAGTGAAGGAGCAGCAAGCTCGATCAGCAAGTAGTGACCTACTTGCAGCTTTGCAGCAGCCCGGAGCCGCGACGCGGCGCGAAGCGAGCGCGACGCGAGCGCGAGCGCACGAACCATGAATCCCAACGCCGCCTCCTTCAGCTTCAGCGCCGGCGCGTCCGAGTGGACGCCCGGCGGCGCCGCGCCGCCGCCGCCGCCGCCCGCCGCCGAGACCAAACCGGTGCCGGAGGAGAAGGACAAGCTCTGGAAAACCATACTAAAACTGGCCAACAACGACCGGACCGAGGCCAAGCGCCTGCTGCAGAACCCTCATGATTTGATAGCGAACGAAGCCATATGGGACCACATGGACTTAGTGGACCTCGAGAAGCTCGAGAAGGCCCAGCAAGCGTCACCGGCGCCGCCGCCGCCGGCCGAGGAGGAGAAGGTTGTTGAGGAGGTCGTCGAAGTGCAGGAGGAGGACCCGCGCGAGCATCTGAACGTCGTATTTATCGGCCACGTCGACGCCGGCAAAAGTACCTTATCCGGTAATATCTTATACCTAACGGGCTACGTCGACAAGCGCACGATCGAGAAGTACGAGCGGGAGGCCAAACAACGGAACCGCGAGTCGTGGTTTCTAGCCTTTATTATGGACACCAATGAAGAGGAACGCGCCAAGGGCAAGACGGTAGAAGTCGGCCGCGCGCCCTTCGAGACGGAGGCGAAGCGCTACACGATCCTGGATGCTCCTGGACATAAAAATTACGTCCCTCATATGATTTCAGGCGCGGCGCAAGCTGATGTGGGCATCCTCGTCATTTCCGCCAGACGAGGCGAGTTCGAGACGGGCTTCGAGCGGGGCGGCCAGACGCGAGAACACGCCATGCTCTGCAAAACTTTAGGAGTTCGGTTCTTGATCGTCGTCATCAACAAGATGGACGACCCTACAGTATGTTACCAGTGTCTTTGTATATGGTATACATATATACAAATATATCTATACATTGGTATCGCGTCGATGGCGTGGAGGTGGGAGCGGTACGCCTTCGACGCGACGGCGTGCGCACGGCGCGGAGAGAGTGACGGGAGATTCATCTCACGCCCGCCGACGCGACATGTGCCACGCGCAGGTCAAGTGGCAGCGCGAGCGCTTCGACGAGTGCGTCTCGAAGCTCAAGCCTTTCTTAAAAACGTGCGGTTATATCATCAAGAAGGAGGTCCGATTCATACCCATTTCTGGACTTACCGGAGCCAACGTCCTCAAGGAGGTCGACAGCAAAGCATGCAAGTGGTGGGACGCCTGTTCGAAGGAGGGTCATCCCATTTCCTCCGAGAAGACGTTGTTGGAGATGTTAGATAAGCTACAAATCGAAGGGAGAGATGCGAATGCGCCTCTCAGGATACCGTTGCTCGACAGGTATCACGACCGGGGCTGCATGACGATGGGTAAGGTCGAAGCTGGTAGAGTGAGGAAAGGTGATAAAGTCATCATCATGCCTACCAAGACGGAAACGACCGTGGAAGGTATATTTGTGAACGACACCGTTCCCATTGTTAGCGCAAAACCAGGGGAAAATGTCCACATCAAGTTAGGTAATAATGTCAACATCGACGACATCTGCAAGGGCTTCGTTTTGTGCAAGCAGCCTCCTTGCAGAGCGGTGTTATCTTTCACGGCGCAGTTAGCTTTGGTGGATCTGCTCGAGCATAAACCGATCGTTACTGCCGGGTATGAATGTATGTTACATGCTCACACGGTCGAATCAGAAGTCGTCGTAGATAAGATCATCGAACAGATCAATATTAAACTGAAGCCGGGCCAGCCGAAGCCTCGCGTGTTGCCTTATGCCAAACAGGGCGCGGTTATATTATGCACGATGACGGTGCCGCAGACCATATGTCTGGAGCCGTTTGAGGATTTACAGCAGTTGGGTCGCTTCACGTTGAGGGACGAGGGCAAGTCGATTGCCATCGGGAAGGTCGTGGCCTTGGAGTAGTGCTGGGAGCTTTGATGAAGGCCGGTGCTCTTTGCTCGCCGCGGCGGCGGCGAATAGGGTGGGTAAGATACGTAGATTACGCGTTCCCTAGGAGATGGTGTGCGGGATCTCGTAGCGCCAGTACTGCTCCTCCTCGGGGTCGGGCTCGACGCCCTTCCCAGCCTGCGCCTCGTGCTGCCGGAGCTTCCGCTTGTAGTACTTCCGGTTGATGGACCCTACGATGTCGTGGAGGTAGTCGGACCCGCCCAGCGCGGCGACGAGGCGCGGGAGCGACTCGAGCGCGGCCGGCGTCGCGATCTTCGAGAGCTTGCTCAGGATCCGCTTCAGAACGCCGCGCGGGGACTCGCCGGCGCTTTGCATCATGCTGCGCGCGTACTTCGGGGGCTTGTGGTCCGAGTCGCCGACGCGGGGGAACGTGTTGACCGCGCCGGCCCCGCAGACGCGGCGGACGCGAAAATCCCCCGACCGCGCGTTGTCGGGCCAGAGAGCGTGCGCCGGCCGCCCAGGCCATCGCTGAGGGACAACACGACCGCGGTCTCCTTGCTGTTCGTCTGGCTATAGTCGAAGTACGGGTCGCGGTCCCCGTCCGCGGGCACGTTAATGGCGCCGTGGCAATAGACGGTGGCCTCGAGGCGCGCGAGCACGGCGGCCCGGCGCGGGTCCGCCGGCTCCGTGATGAATCCCGTCTCGCGGACGCGCTGGATCCGGGCGTCGTACTCCTCTTTCTCCTCGGGTTTGGTATATCTACAGTCCTTCTTCTCTTGGAGCCGCGCGACGTGTTCCTGGACCCACTGCTCGGCGCGGGTGCCGCGGCCGTCCTCTTCGAACGCAATCCACTCGCGGACGGCGCCCAGGTGCTCCGCGAGCGTGAGTTCAAATTCTTCCTCTTGCTCGGCCCAGCCGCGGCCCTGGGTGATTACCAGCGATCGGTTCGCGCGCAGCAGCACCCGCGTCGCCCCGCCGGTCATCAGCCGCGCGTGGTGCGCCGGGCCGCTAGATATACAGGCGTCCGCGAAATCCTCCGCGTCCGTAAGTTCGACGACCGCCTCGGCGCACGTATCGAGGACCCAGGCGAGCGACGCCGCCGAGGTCTGCTCGACTTGTGTTTCCTCCTCGACCGTCTCCTCGTCGCTTTTGTCCACCATGTCTGAGCTTATAGGGATGAGACTCGAGGTATCTAGCTGACTCCGAAACATCGCCGTCGTGACGGCTTCCAAGGCTAAGCTCGCGAGACTCGAGTTTGCCTGGCTAGCGGCATGTAAGACACTAGCAAAACGCCACCCGCAGAGCTCTTCCCGGCAGCGCCGCGGCGTCGACGACGGCGTGCTCGCTAGACACTAAATATACTTATGTTCCTAATCAGAGCGGCTCCACGGGATAAATGTTCTCGAGCCGCGAGTAGACGTCCCACGTGCGCCAGTCGACGCCCTCCCGGTCGCACCAGTGCTCCATCCAGTGCCACGCTTCCGGGGAAGGCAGCGTCCGCGGCCGCGGCCCCTCCGCCTGGCGGACGACGTTGCCCCTTCGTAAATGCCAGACCTCCAGCAACAGCACGTGTTTTAAATTAGAACCGTCCGGATCCGCGATCGTAAACGACCAGAACGAACTCGTCCGCTGCCGCGCTCTTAGTACATATTTGACCTGCGAACTCCTCCGGTCCTCCAGACAGTTGTCCAGCTTGTTGCCCTCCATGATCAGCCTCTTGAGCGAGAGGATCTCCTCGACACGAATCGTTTTTGGTTTGCCTCCTCTAGCAGTACCTACCCCAAGTTCATACGGGCCGTGGCCCTCGTACCAGCCCCCATCTTCATCGTAGGGCACGGTCACATTACGAGGTGGTATGACAACACCTTCCAGGATCATGGGCCTTAATCCTTCAGGATTCGGCAGGAAGGCCTCGTCGTCGTCGAAAACGGTCGTGGATTCAGCAAAGGCGTCCATTTGTTGTTGCACGGTCTTGGGCGTCCTTCCGGCACAAGTGAAGGATTCATCTGACCGATAGCGCTCGCAGAAGTAGTCCAGGGCGATCTGTACTTGTGACGGCTCGTCGAGCGTCTCGGCGTGCGTCGCGAGCCACGTTAACGCATCTTTGTCGAGGAAGGTCTCTACGTCTGGCTCATTTAGCCGTTGGCCGAAGACCGAGTCGGCGATGGCGTCTCCAGCCCAATCGGGCGCGCCCGCGGCGGAAGCTTGGGCTCGCCTTAATGCTGCTAAAGGTGATCCTTTTTCATCACAGAATAAAGCAGACGCCTTCTTCGTTAAAGAGGGAACGAAGGTCTGAACCGCCTTGCGCACGGAGGTCTCGCCGCCGCCCGTTTGGGCATAGGCCCGCACGAACCTTAGGGCAATCCTATTGGTCCGCTGCGGGTCCTGCGACGCGTCTAACAACAAAGCATTTCGCAACGGCGCAATGGCGTCGTAGGTCTCCAATAAATGGGTTCCTAGCGACGCGACGGCTTCATCAGCATCGTCCGTAGTGATCTCCAGCGCCTCGGGCTCGCGCACCCATTTACTTGAGTCCAGCCCGCCGCCGGTCCAGGTAGCTAACCGAGCGAGGCCGTAGGCCGCTTTCGGGGAGGGCTGCGTGATGCCCGCCTCGAAAAGTTTTTTGACCAGTGCTCGGAGGCGCACGTCGGCCGCCGCGACTTCCACTTCCGCTTGCGCGTTCGTGGCGACGCCGCCAAAGTCTTCAAAGCCCACAATGATGCAGGCCGCCAACTTCCGTCGGCATTCTCCGAACAACGGCGCGGTCTCGTAGGGTTCTAGCTCCTGGAGCTCGTCGGGCCGCTGCGCGAAGGGATTCGTGAAAGCTCTTAAGGTGGTTTTCGTGCGTATTTGTGGTGTGGACGGCCTCAACGCTTGCGCTGCGCCGGCGAGGAGCAGGGCGAGCTTCGTGGCTCGCGCCGCGAATGACCTCATGCTCTCCCAAGCACGTGGTGTTTGAAACCGGTCCGTCCGACGGCTCTGCAAGCGGGCTGAACGCTGACGACCGACCAGGATACGCGATGCCGAAACCGAGCGGGAGCCAGGCTAGCCTAGCTGGCTGGCTGCGCGAAATGGCGTGGCTCGAGGGGTAGTGTCGATAGACATACTAGGACGAACTACGAGCTCTGGCTTTTGTGCTGAGCTCTGGCCAACAGAGCGAGAGTGTCGCTGAAAAGGTGCACTCTGGTCCAATCTGCACTCGAAAGAACGTAAAAGAGCAGTAGTGCTACGCTGTGGCAACGATTTTAACCACACAGACGATGCTAAGACTGCTTGTGTCAGCAGCGCTCGGGAGCAGCACAGCCACCGCGTTACGATGCACGCGACGCCAGTGCTGCAATCTAGGGGCTGCAGCAGTCGCACTAGCACCCGGTGCAGCGCTGGCGAATGATGCCTTGTTGGAAGACGCATTCTCCGCGAGAACCAAAGTGCTGCGTCCTCTGCCGCCGAGCACCTGCGATGCCAAAACGCCAGACTGGCTCGTCGGCGACTGGACAGTGGCAGCGTCACGCTTCGAAGGCGTGAGCTTCCCGCAGTCGGGCTCGTACTACCCGCGGGGCGGCTTTACGCAGACCATCGCGGGTGCGAGGCGTGGCACGATCCTAGCGATACCGAACGCCGGCGCCGCGCCGAAAGGATATGCACGGTCCTACGCCTCGACGCTCGGGACGTCTTCGGATGTCACGAACGCGGCGTCGACGCTCAAGGCCTTCTGGTCCGACGCGACCGACATCCGCCTGGAGCAGCAGAACGACAGGCGCACGATCGTGAATTACAGAGCACCGACGGTCAAGCGCGGCGTCCTCCCGCAGCGGATCGTGGCCGACCGCCTGGCCTGTGCATCTGAATCTCCGTCGCCGTCGTCGCTGATCGTGGCGGAGCGCTGGGCGCAGGCTTCAGTAGTCGACGACGCCGACGCGGCTTTGACGAGCCTTTCAGGAACGTACACCGCGTGGCACCGCTACGATCGCGTCGATCAAGGCGTGCGGGAAACGCTGAGGGTCGCAGCGTTTGACGATAGTCCTGCCGCCGACGACATCCGCCCGGCGGCGGTCTACGATTACAGCTTTTTCCTGCGACGGCGTGCTGGGAGGTAATATTCACAAACTAGCTTGTTACATACTTCTTCTTGTCGAGGTCCCACACCCGGGACCTCTGTTTCTTCTTCTTCCTCTCGACGCGCTTCTCACTCTTCTTTCGCTTCTTGGACGGCGGCTCGGCCGGCGCCGGGGCGCTCTTGTGCTTGATCAGCTTCCACCGCTGCTCGGCGGCCGACGCCGTTCGTCGCGTGCCGATCGCCGCCGCAATCACGTCCCAGAGGCCGCCGCGATCGCTGGACGGGGTCTCGACATGCTCCGCGTGGAGGCGCCGCAGCGCCGCGTCCTCGTCCGGCGTCCACAGGTCGCCCGGCTCGGCCGTCGGCGCGGCGGCCGTCGGTGCAGCCGGTGGCGCGGCCGGCGGCACGGCAGGTGGCACAGCGGCCGGCGGCGCGGCCGGGGCCGGTGCGGGAGGCGCTGCCGACGCGGCGACGTCGCTGGCCGGCCGCCAGACGCCGCCGCTCCAATGCCCGTCGGTCTTCTTCGGGAACGCGGCGCCACAGCCAGGGCACGTCGCCCGCCGGTTGTGCACCTTCAAGGAGCATGCCGGACACGTCTTCATCGACGGCGCGCGCTTGGGCTTGGGCTTGGGCGCGGCGCTCGCGGGCGGCGAGGCCTCCTCCTCTTCGTCGTCGTCGTCGCCGCCGCCGCCGATTTCGTTGACACGCGCCTGGACCTCGGCCGAGCGGCGCGCGGCCTCGCGGGCCCAAAAGTCCGTCGGTGTGGGCTTCGGGGCCGGCGGCCGGTAGAGCGGGCACGTCCGCCGGTGCGGGCCCGTCGCGGCGCAGTCGCAGCCCTGGCGGCGCTGCTTCTTCTTCTTCGGGGGCGCGGGGGCGGGTGCCGCCGGTGCCTCGTACCGCGGACCATTGCCCGGAACCTTTCGGGGCGCCGGCGCGGCGGCCAGCGCGGCAGCCGGCTCGGCCCGGCCCCAGAGCAGCTGCGTGTCGGCGACGCGCAGGAACCGCGCAATCACATCGCCATCGTCCTCTTGCGCAAGCGCCGCCTCAAGCGCGGCGCGGCTGCCGGCCCGCAGCACCGGCGCCCGCGCGGAGCGGTCGAGGCCGGTCGTGGGCCGCGCCTCGGGCGCCGCGCGCGCAGCGCGGAGGTCCGCCGCTGTTGATCGCGCGAACGCCTCCGCTTCGTCAGTCGCCGCGAGCGCCGCCACGACCATCTTCGCGGCCCGCGCCGCGTCCGAGACTTCCCGCGGGAACCTCTTCTTCTTCCGCTTCGGCGGCGCGAACCACGCATCAATACGCGCCGACGCGACGCGCTCCGGAAAGACCGCGCGCCGCGCCGCCTCGACGCCGTCGGTGTCGATGTCAGCCGATACGGCCTCGGCGAGCGCCACCCACGCGTCGCTCGTGTTCTTCCGGAGGCACGCCGCCGCCGCCGCGCGCAGGAAGAGCGTCGCGTCGCCGACGACCCGCGCCGCGTCCTCGGCCACGCCGGCGGCCGCGAGGCGCTGCGGGGCCGTCGCGTCGGACGCGAGCCACGCGGCCAGCGCGGCGCCGTCGCCCTCGTTCTCCGCCAGATCCGCGACTAGTATCGTGCCGCCCGCAAGGTCGTCACGCGGCGCGAACGCCGTGCCGTCGAGGAGGACGGCGTCGGCGCAGGCGGCGACGGCGGTGGCGATGGACGCGGCCCGCGCCGCGGCCCGCGCGACGGCCTCCGCCGGCTTGCCCCGGAGCTCGACGCGCGCCGCGGCGCGCCGCGCGCGGTCCAGGGCGTCCCGGGCCGTGGCGTTCGCGCGGATTTGTTGAGCGTGCTTCCGCAGCGTTATGATCAAAGCGTCGAGCTGTGCCGGGTGCCGCGCGTCCGCGGCGACCGTCGGCGCCGCCGCGTTTACAAGAAGCAGCGCCGCGCGCGCCGAGAGGAGGCACGCCCGCGCGCCCCGGTCTTCCGCGCGCACGCGCTCGGAGCTCAAGGCCTCCGCCGCCCTTACCAAGGCCGTCGGGTCGTTTGGACATAGATCGTAGAGCAGCGCCGCGCAGCGCGTTCTTTCTAAAGGCGGCGCGCCGTCCCACCGCGCCACGGCCGCGAAGGCATCGCGCGTCGCCGCCAGCAGCTGGGGGTCCGTCGCCGCGAAGACGCCGACGTCGCCGACGAGCGCCGGGTCCCGCGCCGCCCTTAATGACGCCGCGTAGCAGCGCAGCGCGGCGCTCGTGTGGTTCTGCCTCCCAAATCTTTTCGCGGCGGCGGCACATACCCGAGGTTGAGCTTTCGCGTTCGGTGGCTTGGGCAGATCATGGGCCTTCCAGGTGCGCTTGCCGCCGACGAAGCGCCACCCGAAGGCCTGGTCGGCGCAGGCCTCTGATTTTTGAACCGCGCTTTGTGAAAAGGTGCCCTCGGGGACGAGCGCGCGCTGGTCCGTGCGCGCGCGCGACCGCTGCTTCTCCGGGACCGGCTCCGGCGCCGGCGCCGGCGCCTCCTCTACAATTTCCTCGTCGTCCTGGGTCGCGATGAGGTCGAGGAGGGACTGCGACATTATTGCGTTTTTGTTCTGCGTAGTAGCGTGAGCGTTTGTGATTGCTGCCGCGCGCTGGGCTCACTACAGTGGGGCTTGAGCGCTGGGCACTGAGTGGTCCGGGCAAGGCCGTGAGTCGGCAGCGATGCGCGCACAGCGCGAGCGCTCTGGAGATTAATTAGTAAGCGCTATAGCATACTGCAAGGGCTAAAAAGGCCGGCGCTGCCGCTCCGCGTTTTGAGGTAGCTAGCGCCTCAGTAAGACACTAGCAAGTTTTTTCGCCTTCGCGAAACAAACCAATGATTTCCTCGAGCACGGCCATGAACCACCTCCGACTCCTCGGTATGGGTCGGAGCGCAGTCGTAATTTTGCTTTCGTGCGACATCGAGCCTCGACCGTCGAACGCGCCGCCGTCGCCATCGGTTGCAGCCGCGACGCAGCGCTTCACGCCATCGCGACGTGACTGCACGCTCATCGCTCGGGCTGCCCCGCGACGCCGTCGCAGCAACCCCCAGCTAGGCTCAGGCTATTTGGTCTGGGCTGGGCTGCACAACAATTCTCCGCCCGCGCTCCAACAGCCGGGACACGAGCCCAAAGACGGCGTCGCCCAACCGCCGCATGGCCCTGGTCAAGGGCGACGAGGCGGCCTACTCGCGCTGCCCACGGCATGAAGCGCCGCCAAACACTTTTGCGCCGTCGCCGTCGCACGCGGCGCGGCAGCTTCCGGTCGACGCGCCGCGACGGCAAGTCATCTTTGCGGTCGCCTTCTATTGTTTATGCTCGTCTTCGCTGTTGTTTCTCAATAAGTTGGCGGTGAACGGCTCGGGCGCGACGCCGTTGCGACCGGGAGCTGTCGTGGTCGTGCAGATCGCCTTCGCCACGGCAGCCTGCAAGGCTCTTGCTGTGCTAGATTTGGCCGACATCGGCGCGCTCACACGACCGAAGGTCGAGGGCTTCGGGCTGTACGCCGTCGCGTTTGTGGGCAGCATCTACGCGTCGGTCATGGCATTACGAAAATCCAACGTCGAGACCTTTATTGTCTTCCGGGCGTCGACGCCGTTAGCGGTGGCGGCCTTGGACTACGTGTTCCTCGGGCGGAGCGCGCCGTCGTCGCAAGCCTTGGCGTCGTTGATAGCCACCGCCGTCGCGGCGTCGGCGTACGTCGCGACCGACGCCCAGTTCTACGTCGAGGGCTTCGCGGGCTACTCGTGGTGCTTTTTGTACTTTGCGCTCATATGTTTTGAAATGACCTTCGGCAAGCATTTAACGTCAGCATTGCGGTTGGGCGTCTGGGAGTCGGTCTGGCTCACGAACCTCCTGGCGCTTCCCCTACTCGCCGCGTTGGCTTATGTACGAGGGGATTTGGAAGGATTCGGCGAGAAACTGATATCAATGTCGATGGGGGATGGTATTGTGCTGTTCGTGTCGTCGGTCGTGGCCACATTAATCGGCTACGCCGGGTGGCTGTGCCGGGGCCTCGTGTCGGCGACGTCATATACATTAATAGGAGTCGCGAACAAGCTGGGCACGGTATTATTAGCGATCGCGTTTCTGGACAAGCACGCGTCGCCCCTGGGCGTCCTGGCCCTGGTCTGCTGCATCGCGGCGTCGTCGCAGTACAAGCAGAGCCCGCTGCGCGCCGACGTCGCGAAGGCGCAGGGCGCGGGCGACGTGGAGGTGGCGAGCGCGTAAGAATAACGTACTACTTATAGTTGCAAAGCGAGGGTCCGGGCGTGATGTGTTGGGACGTTGCAAGCAGCATCCGTTATCAGGGAGGTCTCCTGGGGCAAAAAAAGCGCAGTCCAGCCCTGTTCCTGAGCACGCTCCTCACGAAAACGTAACGATCCGCGCGTCGACATCTCCTTTCCCTCTCCCCGTCTCAAAATTCTCGCGAGAGCGCGCGGAGCCTGAGCACGAGAGCTGAGAGCTTTAGCCTGGCTCTCACACACCTTCAGGAGCCGGAGACGAGCCAAGACCCGAGAGATCACACCACTGGTAGAGTCGCGGCACTACGCGCTTGAGCGGTCGCTCGATCGACGGACACGAAAAAGGATGAACAAAATTCGCGACCGCCGACCGACGCCGCGACGCGGGTGACGCGCCCGGGTGACGCGCAGGCCTGCATACCATGGCCTCGTACAGCACCATCCCGAAAGAGACCGAGCCGCTCGTCGCCAAGAAGCAGAGCAACAAGATGTGGATCGGCGCCGTCGCGGCCATATGCCTCTTCTCCGCCGTCCTCGGTATGGCGCGCGGAAGGTATCCGCGTGAACGCGGTCGCGTGGTCGCGCGACGGTCAAAAGCTTGTGGTGGGTGGGGTTCCAAACGATGGAGGCAACAGCTTGCGCTTCTACGACGCGGAAAGTGGACAACTGCTGCATGATATAATTTTCGCTGACGGTTCCGCGGTCAACACGATCGCTTTTAGCCCGGACGGCAAGCACCTCGCCGTGGGCGGGGAATCACCGGAAATTGTCGTGATTGATGCGCAAAGGTATTTTATCGTGGACAAGGAGGCTCAGGATTTGTCGACGTTTTCTTTGGATTTCGATGCTGACTCGACCCTTGCTGCTGGTACGGTCGACAGCGTCCTGGTGTACGGCCACTCAGACAATGAGTACGAGAAATACTTCGAGCAAGAAATCGCCGACCCAGATTATACCGTCAGGGTTAACAAGATCGTCTGGTCGCCCACGGAAGCGGGCCTCCTCTTCGCGGGCAGCTCTGACGGCCACGTCCGGGCGTTTCGCGTCCCGAGCCCTCCGACAATGGCGCCGACTCTGACGCCGGAAACTCCGTCCCCCACGCACCACGAGTCCGACGCCGCAACTCCGTTCGCCGCGAGCGCCGCGGTCGGCCTCCTGGCGCTGGTGGCCTTCTAGACACTGAACGTACGCCGGTGCAAGCAAGCTTCCTCTCTCCCGTCTCCGCATCCCGTTCCCCGCTCACTCTCTCTCTTCCCTCGTACATAAACGTTACTTACTAGTCCCACTCATCCTACTTGAGCTCGCGGTTTAAACGCGCAAACGGCGCGTGGGGCAGCCGCAGCGATGGCGCAGAGGCGCGTAAGAGGTTGCCTGGGTACCGCATAGGTCGCCCGCATGGACTTGGCCACGCCGCCGCAGTCGCCGCAGCCTAAAAATGTGCGACTCTCTGCGATTGCCAAAAAGGCGCTCAAGCGAGTGCGGAGCCCGAAGAAGACCTTTGAATCGCCCCTCGAGAAGCGTAGGCCCGGGTCGCACAGCGACCTGGACTTGGAACACCGCCAGGCGGCCGTGGCCGAGTACCGCGCGGCGCTCGGGCCCGGCGGGACGTTACCACCAGGTGCTAAGGCCCGTCTTCTCGAGAAATTCAAGCCGTACAACATCAGCTATCAGTCCATCACACGGTGGAACAGGACGCAGCGCAAAGCCGAGGCCGAGGGAGCTGACCCGGTCAAATCTCGGCGTTCTCTGGCATCGAAGCGAATAGGTCGAGCCGCGACCAACACCAAATTGACCGTGCCTATTGCGGAGACGATTTTGGAGATTAATTGGAAGTACTGGGGCAAGCTCTCTACTAAAAAGCTGTTGGGCAAGGTGGTGAAGGAGCTGCCCGATCTCGATGGCACTTCTGAAGAATCTATGCGTCGCTGGTGCAAAGCTCTCGGTGCCAAAAAGCATAGGCAGTATATTAAACCACTTCTGCGTCTGAGACACAAAGTTCAGCGTCTCAAGTGGGCATTAGATGAAATTGATGGCAATGGTATGTTGTCCGACCATAAGGACACCGTCCATGTTGATGAAAAGTGGTTCTTTCAAATGGATGACGGTGCCGTGTGTCGAGTCTTCCCAGACGCCCATGGGAACTACACTTTGCCGCCCCCTCGGAGGCTTTATCACAAGTCTCGAACACCAAAATTAATGTTTCTCGTGGCGGTCGCACGGCCCCGTCCTGAGTACAATTTCGATGGGAAAATAGGTATTTGGCACTTTGCCATAGTTCGCAAAGCTAAAAGGTCACATAAGGCGACTGGGACGGTCAAGGGAGTCACCGACATTATGGAGACGTATACCGTCGATGCCAAAGTGTACCGCAAAGTAATTACAGGTAAGGAAGGTGTCATGGAGGCAATCCGAGAGAAGATGTGGTGGTATAAGAAGGGGTCTGGAAAGCCGGAGGCCGGTCAAGAAATTTGGTTACAGCACGATGGGGCACGACCACACACAGCAAAGGCAAATGAAGAGGTGTTCGAACAAAAGGGTCAGGAGGAAGACTTCTTAATCACTGTATGTGAACAGCCGGCACAGTCTCCCGACACCAATATGGATGATATCGCCTTCTTCAACTCGCTACAGTCGGATACGAGCTGTGTTTCTACGTCGAACCTTTTTGAACTGCGAGACGCAGTCAATAAATGCTACGAGGAGTACCCCGCCGAGCGCCTCGAAGCCTGCTGGCGCGTCCTGAACGTTAATCTGCGAGGAATATTGGAAACCGAGGGCGACAACGACTACGCGAAACACGTCGGCAACCGGAAACGCGCCACTAAGGGCCTCGAAGAGATCCGGAAGGTCCCCTCGGACACCATCAAGAAGGCCAAGCGTGCCTTCAGAAAATTGCTCGCCCAATGGAAGAAAGAAAACCCCGACAAAGACATCGATGATGCCTCAGAGTCGGAGAGCAGTGAGTCCGAGGACGATTAGGGCGCCGTTTGTGCTAGTCTAAGGTCTTTATGTGTACCGAGCGGGCGAGGGGGCTGGGGACACTCCCTGGTATTAAGGGAAACCCGCACCACCCCCGTCACGCGCGGCTGGCCCTCCGAGAGTACAGCCCCTCTACCTCGCGGGTTTTAGCTCTCCGTAGTATCTCAGCTTCAACTCCCCCCCACGTCAACCTCAAGTTGAAGTAAGGGTAGTCATAGGTAGCCACGGACCCACCTCAGACCTCCTCAAACTCACTCCTACTTCTGCTGGGTTCTTCCGGACGCTTTCAGACGTCTATCTGGGAGCTCAAGTAGGTCGAGTGGGAGGAAGTACAGACAGCTATTCCCGCGTCGCCGGGTACCGCGGCCGCAGCAGCAGATAGGCAATCAGCCCCACGAAGGGCACGTATCCGATTCTCCGCAGGGGACGGGCCCTATCCGAGTCCAGCTCGACACCCCGTCGCTTCAAGTCATCGGGAATCAGCCACGACTGGAACGCGGCGTAGAGCCCGAGGTCGACGAGGAACGACGAGCCCAGGCGATCGCCGGCCAGGAGCTGCTGCAGCGAGCCGAGGCGCTCGTCCAGGCCTCCGAACTCCGGTCGCGCGGCGAAGAACCAATAGACCGCTACCGCGCCGACGCCGCCGAGCAAAATGGGCAGGGCCCGCGACTCCGTCGCGCGCTCGACCGGCGAGAGCTCGTCCAACGCGACGACGGCGCCGTCCTCCTCGCTGGGCCGCGTCGCGAGGTAAGGTAAAAAGAAGGCGTTCGTGAGGAACTGCATGCCGGCGAGCGTCGGCAGCATCGAGCCCTGCGGCCGGCCGCGGCGCCCGTCGGCCGCAAAGCCCGCGAAGAGTGCCGACCAGGCTAGCACGAGGTTGAATATGGCCTCGAGGCCTGTGTGGAAATCAAATTTCGGGCGTCCGACGCCATCGACGCGACGTGCTTTCCGTAGATAACCTAACTCACTGGTTGGTTTCCACACAGCTCGAGGCCGGGATGCACGACCGGGAACGCGCCGCCGAAGACCGACGGCCCGACGAACCAGAAGTTGAGCGAGAGGTCGCGGACCTCGACCCACGTCGCTCCATCAAGCGCTAGGGCGCTAGGCCCCGGGAGCAGCTGGCCCTCGGCGAGGAAGAGCTGCCAGCAGTAGATCAGCGCGCAAAGGAGCGGCGCGGCGCGGACCGGCTCGTCGATGATCTTCGAGGCCAGCGAGAGCAATGCCAGGCCAGACCCGCCGGGCTTGAGCGGCGCCGGCTCGGGCACATCAAATCCGGAGCACAGGAGGCCGTTCCCGTCCGCTTTGTAGATCGACGCGCCTCGCGTGAAGGGCAACGGCTCGCCGTCGTTCTCGACGTGCCACCTTACACCGACCGTGTCGCCGCCGTCCGCGATGTCGTCCACAACAAACGCAAAGGTGTCAGGTAGCGCGTCCGCGACTCTATCCAAGTGCTCCCGCAGCTTCGTTCCCCTCGAAGGCTCCGGAGTACTGCGTGTCCTCATAAACACAGTCGTCGCTGAAGCAGGCGCACGCGGCCTCCATGTCGCGCTTGTTCCAGGCCGCGAAGAACTCGACGGCGCGGCGCGCCGCGGCTCCGACGGGCACTTGGTCGCTGTTAAAGTCGTACGTCTTCGCATAGGGGGTTCGCGGCGTCTTGGAGATGCGTGTAAGCGTCCGCGACGGCGGTGTGACCAGTGCTGCCGCTGTGGCACAGATGATGATGCATGTGTTGGTGTGCCGCATTGTGCTTACGACGCAGCTTTCGATAAGCAATCGCTGCGTCGATCTATGCGATTGCGACTGCAGCTCCTAACGCCGAAATTTGAAAAAGCTAGTTGCTCTTCACGCGACTGATGTGGAGCTGGCAAAACTGCTCTCTCTGACAGCCCGAGACTAAACCACCTGCCTGCTGCTCCGCTGCGCCTACCGGTGCTGCCTGAGACACCCCAGCAGACGTCAAACCTCGCACACAAACGCCCTCTCTGCTTGAAGAAGCTCCGTCCGCGGCGCACAGCAAGCAAGCAAGTAGCAAGCAATTTTGCAAGCAAGAGATAAGCAAGCAAGCAAGCAAGCAAGCAAGCAAGAGCAGCTACTCCACTTTGCAGCCATGAGGACCGCAGCGCTCCTGCTCGTCGCGCCTGCCGTCCACGCCTTCGTCGCGCCGTCCACCACCGCTCCAATTGCTCGCCTCGCACCGCTCCAAGTCGCACCGATCACGGTCGCAGCTCTGGACGACGCCGTAACGGCAAAAGTAATCTCCGCCGAGCTACAAGAGATGCTGGATAGGGAGTGGATCGAGCAGGACTGCCACGTCGTCATCGGCCAGAATGCCGCGGACGCGTACCTCGGCGCGCGAGCCAAGGGCCTGGACGACGTCGGCTCCATCCTGCAGCACGTCGGCGAACAGATGACGACGGACTTCCCCGTCGACGCCTACGTGGGCCCCTGGGACTGCGCGAACTTCGTCTCTGACACGCTCGTCGCGCTCGCGTCGGGAGAAAGGTGCGAGTGCTCAAGCGCGCCAACCGCGGCCGAACTGGAAGCGCGGGCGGCCGAGTTCGGAGGGTCGTCGTAGGCATTTGCATATAACACTGTTTGTATTCATCACAACCTTACGCACAAGTCTCATCGAGCAGCCGCCGCCGCAAAAACGCCAGCACGTCCGCGATCTCCGGAGCCGTCATCTCGTGGGCCCCGGAGAAGTGGCGGAAGGACGCGTCGACGCCGGCCGCGCTCAGGGCCTCGTAGGTCGCCGAGCCCCAGGCTGGCAGAATGAAGTCGTCGCCTGAGCCGTGGGCGACGTAGGTCTCGGGCCAGCGGTCGCCCGTGCCCTTGAGTAGCGCGTGGGCCCGCGAGTCCTTTGCAGAGTAGCACGACAGGCCGACGACGGCGCCGAGCGGCTCCCGGCCGGCGACCGCGTGGTAGCGAGCCGCGGTCTGATATGCTAAATTTCCACCCATGGAAAAGCCGCCGACCGCGATTTTTGAGGGGGGAACGCCACGTTTGACAGCGGCATCAATGAGCGCGAGAATGCGAGACGCACTCCGCTCAACGCTGTCGGTCTGCTCGGGATGATGCGGCTCGAACCCGCCGACGCGGTCGTACCATACACTAGCGACTTGGCCGCCCGCGAGCGCATACGGAATGGGTTCGGCCGTCGGAAACTCCCAATCAATGGCTGCCAGCGCGTCCGGTGGAGCCAGGGACCGCAGCCAGCCCTCGACACCGCGACCCGTGTCGCCGGAGCCGTGTAAAAAAATGACGGTCGGCCGCACCGCTGCAGTGGTGGCGATGTTTGCAGCCATCACTAGGCTGCGGCGCATCGGCTGGCGTTTGGGGATTCGATTATCGGTAATGAGAGGGTCATTAATCAGGAAGCAACTAGCTCGATGCGTTACCGCAGCGGCACACAGTTTTGCTTGGTCGAATTTTTGTATAATTTGACCTAGCGTAACAGTAACACACTTAAATTAATCTCTCGAGCCCTTTTTAGCCGCCTGCCGGATATATCGCCTGTTGGTGCTTGCCGAGTGCCCACGGTGGTTCCTCCAGCACTCAGCAGTGATCCGATAGCGACGCCAGAGCCGCGACGCTAGCTCGTCGCCCTATAAATCGGCAGCGAGGCATCCTTTCCAAGATCAGGATGCCCACCACAGCCGCTAGAGTGAATCCCAAGGCCGGCGGCGCCAGACCGCAGGCCGGAGGCGCCGCGAGGCCGCAGGCCGCGAGACGGCCCGCGCCCAAGGCCCGGGTCCGGCGCGGCAGCGAGAGCGAGAACGCGGCGCCCAACGGCCAGTACACTGAGGGCGTGTACGCCAACCGCGCGGCCAAGGCGCCCGCCGCGCGGAAGCCGCCCGTCGCCAAGCCGCCCGGCTTCAAAAAGATAGCGAGCCCGGCGCCCGCCCCTGCACCTACGAGGCCGAAGAAGAGAGTGGCGCAGGCCCCGGCGCCCGCTCAAAGACCGAAGCCCGTGCAAGCCCCGGCGCCAGCTCAAAGACCGAAGCCCAAGCCCATCGCGCGGCCCGTCAAGGAGGCGCCGGCGCCCGCGCCGCGCGCGTCGCCCATCACGACGCGGAGCGCTACCACAAATTCGCCGATCACGACGAAACCGACCAGAGAAGTGAGGCTCGGACGGGCCATCGTCGTCGAACCGCAAAACGGCCCGGCCGTCTGCTCCATCTTGCTGCTCCACGGCTTCGCCTGCGACGCGAAGCAGTGCGCCTCGAGCTGGAAGCCCCGTCTTAAATCTATGGGCGATTTAGGACAGCGCTGCCGCTTGGTCTTCCTGAACGCACCCAAACGAGAAATAAGCTGCTACCCGGGAGAAACGCCGGTAGAATCCGCCTGGCACGACTATTTTACCGATCACGGCGGCGCCGGCGGGCGGCCGGAGATCGAGGAGGACATCGACCAGAACCACCTGGCGGAAGCTAGAAAACTCATACATGCCGAGATCGACAAGGAGGCGGAGAAGTTCGGCGGGGACTACCGCCGCGTCGCGCTTTTCGGCGAGTCGCAGGGCGGCTGTACCGCTTTGGATGCGGCTACTACTCATCCGAAGACCATCGGCGGCGTCTTCTGTTCCTTCGGCCAGCTCTACTCCTGCACGCCGATCTCCGCGAGATCCGCTCGGGACCTCAAAATCGTCTTCTGGCACGGTTCTAGGGATAAGACCATCGCCGCGTCGCTGTGTCTGCGGTCTGCCGCTCGTTTGTTGGACCGAGGCGCCAAGAAGCTGACGCTCCACATCGAGGACGGCCTGGAGCACTGCCAGGGGTCGGATAGTGAAGCCCAATGCTTACGCAAATCTCTGGAAAATTGGGGCTTCCTCTCGGGCCAACCGGAGACGGCCCCGGAGCCCAAGTCGTCGCCAGTCAGGCGGGAACCTCCCCCAACGCCGCCCTCGATCATCAAGCCGCCGGGCCTGACGCCGCCGCCGCGGCCTCCTAGAAGCGAACGCGCGACGCCGGACCCCACACCTCCTGGATTTTCCCGGCAACAACTCTCGCGGGAGGATGTCGAAGAGGACGTCCGCGCGCTGATCTCCTCAAGTGACCGGGACGAGGTCGCCATGAACACAATCTCCGGACTTTATAGGAGGAAGTACGGCCGCATGCTCGACTACAAGTCCCTGGGCTTCGCGAAGATGACGGCGTTCGTCGCCGAGATCCCCGGCCTGGAACTGGTGAACGGCGCCGCCGGCGGCTCCGTGCGCCTGGCCCGGGCGGCGCCGCATCGCATGATCTACGACGACGAGACCGACTCCGAGCTCGAGGGCTACGCCTGATCCGACTAATCCCCCTTCCCCCCGACCACGCAATAAGGGTGCACAATCTTAGCACATTCATAGGAGCGGATCATCGCCGCCGCGTCGACGGCGTGAAGGGTTCAGAGGAGCGGCCGCAGCTGGTCCCCCAGCGCCGCGTCTAGTTTCTCGCGTGTCGCCCACTCGAAGAACGAGCACTTGCGCTGACCGCACGCGTGGAACCACCTCCCAGCGTTCGGGCCCGTTTTTTTGCAGATGCGCAGGATCGACGTTTTCTTGCAGCCGCACTTCGGGAACGACTCGTCGGCCCATTTGAATTCGGCCTTGCAATCGCGCCGGCCGCACGACCAGAAGAGGCGGCCCTCGTTCTCATTTGTCTTCTTGACCCGCTTCACTTTTTCCAGAGGCTTCTTGCAAGAGTGGCCGCGCATGCGCACCGGCGCCGGCTCCGTGCGCGGGCGCTTCGGTGGCGGCTGCGCCAATACGTCGAATGCGTTACGTTTCTGCGGCCGCGGCGACGTCGTCTGAGCACAGCACGCCGCGCAGTGGAACGTCACCCGCCCCGCCGTCGCTGCGCCTTTGGACACAGACACGGTGCCGCCGCAGTCGCCGCACGCAGCTTTATCATAAACGAGGAATGGCGGCCGCCGGCCCTGAAGCCAGGCGCGCGCGTAACTTCGCAGCTCGCGGACGACGGCTTTTACTTCGTCTTCGGAGAGGTCGCCGACCTTTCGATCCGGCGCGACGCGTGCCCTATGGAGGGCTTCGTTTTTGATAATGTTGCCCGTGCCAGGCGATACGCCCTGGTTCATGACGGCGACGGCGACGGTGCTCGTTTCGCGCGCCAGCCGCGCCGCCGCCGCAGCCGGATCGAAAGCTTCTGAACAAACGTCCAAGCTCGTGCGCGTGAAGACCTTCTCGCGCACCTTTTCCACGTCTCTCGCCGCATGCACGCCGCCGTATTCGCCGACGTTGAAGACGTCTAGAGTCCGTCCTCCGTCGAAGGCGCAGCGCAGGGCGCGCGCACCGTAGCCGGGCGTCTTCGCATCGACCTTGAGGGAGCCGCTCATGCCAAAGTGGACGCGCACCGCGTGTTCCTGCTTCGGCGGCGGCGTGGGGGCGTCGTCACTCCCGCACAAGTCAATGACGGAGTCGTCGTCGCTGCCGCCGCACAGATCGACGACGTCGTCCGAATCGTCGCCGGTCGCGGCCGCGGCTTCAGACGCGAAGATGAGCCACACCTCCTTCCCCAGGCAGAGCACTTCTGCCAGTCGCGCACCGACGGGCACGCTGTCGATCCCTTCGATGGATGCGAGACGGCAGCCCACGAGCTTTCGCGCATTGCGAGCATTTTTGGTGGCTCCTGGGCCCTCTACCATCGTTTCTTCGCGGTGGGCGCGGCGAGTGCACACCGGACGCACGCAGTGTGAGTGCTGGTAAACTCGCGATCGAGAAACGGGCCAAACACAGCCAAAACGCCAAAAACTGGCGGGCCTCCTAGTGTGTTTACATGCCCCGCTAGCCCGGTTGTCCTTCGATCACAACTCGCTGTCAACGGGCGTAGCGATGCGATTTTGGGCATAGAACGAACGCTCCGCCATTGCCGCAGCCAGTCGCAAGTGTTCATGCACGAGTAAGCATCGCATGCAGTGAAAAAATGGCATTAGCCCTAGCAGCCGCCATCCGCCGCGGCGAGCGCACCTGCTTAGCGGTCGCAGAGGAGGCCGTGCGCCGCGCGAGAACCTCGAAGCTCAACGCCTTCGCTAGAGTAGATGCAACTGCAACGAATAGAAAACTACCCGACGGACCGCTGCGCGGCGTGCCGGTCGCCGTCAAGGACTCCATATGCATCAAAGATGAAACGCCAACGGCCGGCAGCCGTGCCGTCGGAAGTTGGAAAGCGCGCGAGGACGCTTTTGCAGTGGCGCGTTTACGGGAAGCCGGCGCCAACGTCATCGGCAGTACAAATTGTGACGAATTCGGCATGGGCTCGACGGGCGAGACCTGTCAACGCGGTTTCACAAGGCACCCCCTCGATTTGAGAAGGGCGCCGGGCGGGTCGTCGTCCGGCTCGGCCGCGGCCGTCGCCTCGAGTATCGTGCCGCTCGCGCTCGGGAGCGACACGGGCGGCTCCATCCGGTTGCCGGCCGCCTGGTGCGGCGTCGTCGGCGTCAAGCCGACCTACGGCCGCGTGTCTCGACGGGGTTTGTTGGCCTACTGCTCTTCCACGGACTGCGTCGGCGTCTTTGCGCGATCTGTCGAGGACGCCGCGTTTGCTCTCGGGCTTATTGCGGGCCATGATGACGGCGACGCGACGTCTAGTCAAGAGTGTGTCCCAGACTACCTTTCAATGCTCTCTATCCCAACAAACGACCGCGTCGCTTCTATCAATGTAGAGGTCGACGATGACATAGAAAGCGTCGTGGCGGGCGCGTCCAACGCTCTGAAGGCCGACCAATGCGATGCGCTCTCTCCCCAATTCCTGCGGGACTGCGCCGCGGCCTACCACGTTTTGGCAGCGGCCGAGGCGCACTCGAATCTGGCGAGGTACCACGTCAACCATGAGAACCCGCCCTTCGGTGCTGAAGTAACAAGGCGCGTGGCCCTCGGTAAGAGGCTGCTCGGCGAGCGCCACGCCGAGGGGTTGTATGAGAGGGCCGTCGACGTGAGGGCGCAGGCGAGGGCGCGCCTCGACGACGTGTTGTCCTCTGTGGATGTGTTAATGCTCCCGGTCGCGCCGACGGCGGCGCCGAAGCTCAACGCTCCGTCGGTCATCACGAAGGAGGCCCGGGGCTCGCTCGCGCGCGACCTGCGCGACGACCTCCCGCGGGACTACGCCAACGACTTCCTGACGGCCTTCGCGTCGCTCGCCGGCCTGCCCGCGCTCTCGGTGCCGTTCGGCCGCACGTCGGGCGGCCTGCCCGTCGGCGTCCAGGTTGTTGGAAAGGCCTTCGACGAAGCCGCTGTGCTGCGCACGGCGCGGCGCCTGGAATTGATTCGCGACGACGCGCTGTCGTCGCCGGCGCGGCGCGTGTTGCTCTCCGAGGACGACTAAATTTAGTGTGTTGTTACTGAGGCCGCTCGAACTGCGTCGCACCCGTCTTCACGTTCCCGTAAAAGACGCGTCCCGACGCCTCGTCCGTGACCTCCACCCAGTCTTCGGGAAGTCCTGCAGCAGCGGCCTCCCTCGCTGCCGCCTCGGCCGCGGCGCGGAGCTCTCTTTCGCTCTTTTCCTTCTTCTTCGGCGCTTTTTCTTTCTTCTTACCACCGCCAAAGGGCCCGGGCAGGCGCTCGCGCGCGGCGACGCCGGCCTCGCCCGACTTGGACCCGCTCAGCCACTCGGGCGTCTCGCGCAGCTTGATGCTGGCCCGCTTCTCCGCCGCCTTCTCTCGCGCTACTCGCAACGCATCCATGTCGACCGGCACCTCGGCGGTGACTTGGCGCGGCGCGTCGCCCTCGTGGGCCTTGCGTTCCTCGATCTCCTGGAGCTTGCACACGTTCACCAGCTTGTCGTCGCGCTTCTCGAAGCATTTCAAGATGCCCTGCTTCGCGGCTCGTTCGACCTGCTCCGCCGTCGCCGCGGTGGCGGCGGTCGGCAAGACTACTGCCGTCGGCACGATTAGCGCTGCGGCCGCTGCAAAGGACTGCCGCCGCGAGCACTTTGGTGCTTTGCCGGTGCTTGGCCGCATTGCCTCGACGCCGCATGCGGCAAGCACCAGGAGCTTGGACAGGTGCAGCATGGTTTACGCCGCGAGAGGCTGCAAATCGCGCAGTTACGCTCAGATCTCATCGCAGATCGCAGAGTTAGCTAGCGTGTAACACACTTGCAATAGCAGCCAAAAGCCGAATGCCGCCGCGCGCGGGTGGTAAAACACGCCACGCATCGTAGTCGTGTGCTGTCGATACCGCTTCTTGCGACGGAGCCATCTATCCCATCGCTTACAGCTTCAGGAGCGCGCACACACGCACCACCTTTTGAGTGCTGTGGCGTGAGCGCGGACGCTGCGAAGAGAACGCGCACGCATCGTAGGACGCAGCACCATGCCCGCACCAACAAGCAAACCAGCCATCGTGCTCGAGTGGGGCGCCGTCTACGTCCGCTGCGGCATCGCCGGCGAACCATGTCCAAGGGTACGACTGCCGTCCCCGTTGGGCGCGCTGGCGCAAGGCGGCGAGCGATTGAATGAGATTGCCTGGCGCGGCGCGTTGGATGAGTTTGTGGCGCGATTATTTGCGGAAGAACTACTGACGATGCCGCAAAAACGTATTGTTCTCAACGTCGAGGACGCCGCACTACCGCGAGCGTTGCGACGGGCGCTGGCCGACGCCCTGTACGACGCCGGCGCCGAGAAGCTCGCCTTCGCTCCTTCTATAGCGTGCGCCGCGGTCGGCGGCGACGCCCCTACGTCAATAGTCGTCGACGTCGGCAGCAGCAGCACGCGGTGCGCGGCGGTGGTCGACGGCTTTTTGTTAGATGCGACGCTCTCCTACGCGGACGGCTTTGGTGTTGACGCCGTGGCGGCGAAGCTTCCGTATGAGACGCTCGAGCGCGCGCGGGCCGCCGTCGCGTCGCTCTGCTTCGTGCGGTGTCGCGGGAAAGAAGCGGCTTCTGGCCCCGACGTCGCGTTCGAGGGCGCTTCGGTCGCTTTTCGGGTGCGGGGCGACAGTTCGGAGGTGTTGTTCGACGACCGGGAGGGCCTCGCGGCGCTCGTGCACGGCGTGCTGCGCGCGGCGCCCATCGACGCGCGCGCGGCGCTGTCGAAGCGCGTCCTCGTCGTCGGCGGCGGGTCGTTGATACCGGGCCTGGAGACGCGATTATTGGATGAGCTCCGGGCGTTAGGTGTAGATGCTGGCGTCTTGACGGCGCCGTGCGCGTCGTGTGATGCGGCCTGGGTCGGGGCATCGTTGCTTGCTGCCTCTACCACGTTGACTGGTGCCGCGCGGGGCGATTCTTTACCTGATCTCTTCGAGATGCGTCAAGGCCTGCCCGCGGTCGTCGCGCCCCAATGTGTAAGTGACAAGTAGTGTTAAACGACGGCCGAGCGCGCGATCTTCCCCGCCGCCTCCGGGTTCTTCCGCGCCCAGCCCACGGCCGCCGACCCGACCGAAGCGGCTAATTCCGGGTTCTGCGCCGCGGCGGCCCCGGCGCCCTCCAGCCAGCTCGAATCGCCGCCCGACGACGCCCCGGGCGGCGCCACTACAGAACCGGCAACCCCGTACACGGACGACGGGCCCCGCTGCTCCACATCGTTCTCGAGCATCTCCCGCTCGTAGTCGGGGTGCTTGTAAATCACATAAGCGTTGTAGGCCGCCGCAACTAGTAACCCGACGCCGGAGATGAGGCCAATTAATCCAATACTGAAACATAAAAACGAGACCAGTATGAAGAACGTGACCCGCCCCTTGACGTTGTATAAAAACCCGAAGTTCTCGCCAATAATCCGCGACACTTGCGCTAGGTGCGTCTCGAAGCAGCATATGAGCAGCGCGAAGAACCAGATGTAGAGACATAGTACACCTTTGGTGAAGGCTGGTAAACTCAGCAGTTTGATGATGGCCGCGGCGGCCATGAGGATGGACACGCCCATGTTTAGTAATCTCATAGAAATGATGAGGCCGGACCGCGTCTGGGGCAGTTTCTGTTCCAGTCGTTGCGCGGCGCCGCGGACGCCGCCTCCACTATTGTCGGGTTGCGCATTGGGCGGCGGCGCGGACCAGGCCTCTTCGTTTTTATTGTCCTCCGGTGGTGACCAGCTCGTGGGTGGGGCGCCGTCGGCGGGCGCCGTCGCCCAGGACGGCAGCTCCTCCTGCGTCCGGCTCTGGTCGGCCGCTTGCAGGGAGGGGTCGCTGAAGGGGTTGTCGTCGCTCATCGTTCACGAGCTGTGGCTATTCGCTCCTTGCGGCGTAGTTATTGGTCTATTTTTGTGACCTGCAGCCTCAGGGGCAAAGGACAGCACGGCGACGCTTCAAATTGCGCCCACGCCAGCCCACGCTCGAGAGGGCCCGAGTGGCTTGCTTCGATGTGCGACGCACGCCCCGTAGACGGCTATAGAGCCGTGTGGAGCGGATAATAATTTGCGGCTTGCTAGTGTCTTACGGTCGCTAGCATGCATCGCGCCGCGAATTCTACGTTAATTTCGTTTAAGGACATGTAGAGGGAGCGACTAGTCGTGCTAGGTGTCGCGCGGCCGGCCCAAGTTCGAGGCTGCTGGCGCCTCAGCGTGCTTGCCTCGTGCACCGTGTGTTTGCCGCTGCAGAGCAAGATGAATGCCTCGAGGCACTCACATTAATGGTGTCGTGCACTGCCTAACGCCTTGCAACAATGCCAAGTCGAATGGCGCTGAGGACAGGGCTGTGGCTCAGTGCCTGCACAGCAGCGGCTCTGGAGCTCCCGCGGCGGCCCTTATTACTAGGTCCGGCCGCCGCCACAGCAGCAAGCAAGGTCAACGCAAATGAACTCCCCTCACCGCTCGTCAGAATCCTGACGAACCCGAGTTTTGTTGATAGTCGAGATTATCGCTACGTCACAACACCTTCAGGTTTAAGAATAGTCGTCGCGGGAGACCCAGAAGCAAGAGACGCGACGTTAGCGCTGACGGTGGGCGCCGGCCAGCTGCGAGAGCCCTTTGAAGGTTTATCCCACTTGACCGAGCACCTGACGATGGCTGCCAGCAACCTCGAACAAAAGGCGATCGATTATGACGGAGTGGCGAACGCGTACACCGCTTTTGATAGGACGGTGTATGTGGCGAACTGCGCGCCGCGGTACGTCGGTGCGTTGTTACGAAGTGTGTCGTCGGCCGTCTCGCCCACAGCCGCGGAGAAGTTCGACGCCTCGACGACGCGACGAGAAGCAAGGCGCGTCGACGCCGAGGCCCAATCCCTACCTTCGGGAGCGGCGCTCGATCTTGAATTGTTACGTGATAGATCTGTTGGTCCGTTATCAAAATTCGGGCCCGGGACGCGCTATACATTACTACCTCCGAAATATGACAAGGACGGCAATGGCGCTGATAGAGCCGCATCTTTTGCTCGCAAGTTATTTCGGGAGCGCTACGGGTTGAGAGATGCTACTTTGGCGGTGGTCGCGCCGGTGGATGCGGATCGCCTCGCCTCCGCCGTGGTCAACGCGTTTCCTCAAGCGCCTCAACGGGTCTTCCCCGTGCCGCAACCCTATACGACGGACCCGCTGCCGGACCAGGGTGCTCCTGATCTCATCGTCTCGAAGCAGCAACCAGGACGTGCTGATGTCGTCACGCTGCATTGGTCCATACCTTACGACAAAGTAGGGGGGTTCGCTGCTTACAAAGCTCGACGGCCGGACGTCGTTGCCGCGCACTCGTTGGCCCACGGCGGGCCGGGCGGGCTGGCGTCTCGCTTAAAAAGAGCCGGCGTCGCGTTACAGCCGCGGCCCGGCGCGCCCGCCGTGTACGCGGGCGCGAAACCAGTCGTCGGCGACGCGGACACGGGTTTTGCCTTGTTCGAGATTAGGGTACCTCTAGCTAGAACAGACGGCTGGCGCGACGCCGTCGCGGCCGTGCTGGCCGCGTGTGCCGCACTAGCTTCGAGCGCTCCATCGGCAATCCAAAGTGTTGCTCGAGACTGCGCGGCGCTAGCTGATAGGAATTGCCGGGACGCGCCGAGGCCCCCAACAGCAGTGGAAATAGCGGAGAACATGCGTTCCGAAAGAGATCCGAGGGGACTCGCGGCGGCGGGCCGGCGCTTCCGCGCGCCGCCGCGCGACGTCGCCGTGTCCACGCTCGCGCTGGCTGCTCTATTGACGCCGCAACGATGTAGAGCCACTGCCTTCCTGCAGAGGCCCGAATCGCAGCTGATCCAGCTCGACGCCGCGACTTTGAGTAGGAGGATCCCCTACGCGCGCGTCGATTTGGAGGACGCGTTGTGGCAACGGCCGGCCAAGAAGTGGTGGCGGCCGCCGCAGCCCTGCGTCTACTGCGATTTGTTGAGAAGAGGCACGACGAAGGCTGAAAGTCCTGGACAGGTCGAGAGCGTGCCGCGGCCCCGCGGCGCGCGGGGGCCGGCGCGCGAGTGGCGCGCCGACGGGCCCGCGCGGGCCGTGCTTTACCTGCCGTGCTGGCGCGTCTCCTCAGGAAACGCCTTCATGCGGGCCTCGGCGCGGCTGTGGCAGCTCCTGGTGGCCGACGCCGTCGCGGAGCCGCTCTTCGGGGCGTCGCTCGCCGGCTGCAAGTACTCCATGGGCTTCTACAAAGATTCTGGGGTGAGCGACGAGAGCGTGCCGCCGGCGGGTGTAAGGGTCGCGCTCGCGGCGCCGGCGCCCGAATTACTACCGCGCCTCGCCGCGGACTACGCGTCGAAGGTCAACGCGTTGGCCGACCCGACGCGGAGCTCGAGCGCGGGCCGCTTTGCGCGCGCGAAGCAGTTGGCGCTGCGCGAGCGGAACCTCGACGAGCCGACGCGGCGCGCACTCGCGGCCGCGACGGAGGCGGACGCGCGCCGCGAGGCTCAAAAGCTGTTCGCGTCGGCCGCGCGCGCGGCGCCGAAGCACGCCGAGAGCCTCGTCACGGGCCTGGACGAGACGGCGTCGCGGCGGCTGGTCTCGGGTTTATTCGAGGCGCTGCCCGAGCTGGACAAGGCGGAGCTGCCTTCATTAGAAGTGCCGGACGGCCGGCGGCCCGCGGGCCCGCTGACCGCGCGGGCGGCGTGGGACCACCCCGTGGCCCAGGACGCGTGCCTGGCGAGCGGCGTGCCGGCGATGGCGGGGGTCTGTGGGCGGGTATGATTTGTTGTTTGTGGCTATTCTTTAGGCACTCACTGTCTCGCGGGCGTCGAAGGCTGTTCGCGACTTTCGCAGGGATTGCTCAATCGCCGCTGCGATCGGATGAGCGCCACCGAGCACGCGCCGCGCGCTCTGAGCCGTGTCCTCGAGCGTATTCACGGCCTCGTGGAGATCGTCGAGCGTGGCGTCGGGGTCCTTGTAGAGAGATATCGCGTAAAGCGACCGTATCTTGAGCGTGAGTTCATGACTCTCTCCGAGAACGCGCTGCGCCATGGGAATGGTTTTGCGCAGCAGTGCCTTGGTTTCTTCGAAGCGCTGTAGACCATGAAGAGCGTTCGCGTAGTTGTATGCTTCTCTAAGGGCGTGTTTATGTTCTTCGCCGTAGAGCTTCAAATGTCCAGAGTAAACCTTTTGCCGTAGGCACGGGGCCTCCTTACGCCCAAGGTCCTCATACGTGGTCGCAAGATTGCTCTGCGCGATGAGAATTAGCTCCTCTGATGCGCCAAGGCGCCGCAGCATAGCCAACTCAGCCTCTTGCACGGACAACGCGTCCTCGTGGTGTTTTGCTATGTATAAACCGGCCCCAAGCGTCCCCATCGCCATGATCCGATCCGTGTCCATCTCCGGCCGGCCCACGTACGTCTTCCAGCACGCCCACCCGAGCGCGCACAATACGACGCCGTGGTACTGCTGCTCACACAAGCTACACGTATGCCACCGCTTCCACCGTTCATTCGCCTGGTCGAACAAATTATTCTCCAAAGCCCCCGCGACCAAGATCTTCGCCTGCTCCGCCAGACACGACAAGTGCACAAAGCCCGCCGTCCCGCGGCACGAGCATCCGCGTACGAGGCCCTCCTTTGTTTTCCAGTGGAGGGCCTGCGTGCAGATGTAGCACGTCTGTCCCTTAGTGTCGTCGGCGCATGCCTCCGCCGCGACCGCTACGGCCTCCGTATACTTCGTATTGGCATTATACTGCTCGGCGCCGCCACCTTTCCTTATCTTCCTGCAGAGCTTGTCGTGGCCGCCCTCTTCCCAGTGTGTCTTCTGGCACTCCGGGCCGCAGTAGCGCGTTTTGCAGCGGCTACACTGCTTGGCACTCGTAGGTGGGAGAGGGGCAGCGCATACTGGGCAATTTGTGAGTATCATTTCCTCGTTTTTTGGGCAGCACGTCAAGTGTGCGACCTTCTGCGACTACGAGGGAGATTGAAAGCCCCTGACACGTTGCGTGCGTGGGCGTAGCTTGCAAAAAGGCTGCGCCTCTCGCATGTTTCGGGTTCCCATTTGAACGAAAATTTTGACGGTACTCGTGGCCGCCCCCCAGCGACCCGTGCTGAGGCCTGGAGCGGCGCAGGACACTTGGTCCCGGCGCGGACCCCGAATTCAAGCAGCCCCAGGGCTGCGCGGGCCCACGGCTTTGCCTCGTCGCTGAGGGTCTGTTACATAGCCGCCAGAGCAGTTACGGGTGAACCACTGGGCTTCCAAAGTCCCAAACGGATCCCACAAGACCGCTGAGGTCTTGAAAGCGACGCCGCAAGCGAGCGCCGCCTAAACAGCATCCTTGCTGAGGAGCCGCCGAAACTCTCGGCGCCCACATAAGCCGCGCGCGCCAGCCCGCGCGCCCCACAAAACCCACCGCGGACACCATGGACCCGTACGGAGGCTACGGCTTCCCCCCCCAGCAGCCGCCGCTCCAGGCGCCGGCCGCGCCCGTCGCGCCGCCCGTCGCCGCGGTGGCGCCGCCGGCGCCGCTCTTCCAGGCGCCGCCGCCGGCCGTCGCCGCGCCCTTCGTCGCCCCGCCCGTGCCCGCCGCGGCCGTCGCGCCGCCGGTCGCGCCGGCGCCGCTCACGCCCGCGGACCAGGGCGACGAGTGGAAGACGGAGGGCCACCCGCTGATTGGTAGGGAGATCATCCGTTTGGTAGAGGGCGGCCCGGCCTACAGCGAGGGCAAGGTCACGGGCTGGCTGTCCGCGGCGGAGTCGGACTTTCTGGACGACAAGGGCCAGCCCGCGGCGCTCTTCCACGTCCAGTACACGGCCGGCGCCCTAGTCGGCGACCAGGAGGATCTGGAGTTGCACGAGGTCGAGGCCAGTATCAAGGTCCCCGACGACGACGTCGAGGACGCGGCTGCCGCCGTCATGGCGACGCTCCCGCAGCCGACGGCCGCAGCCCGGGAGCCGCCGGCGCCGCCGCCGCCGCCGGACAACCACCCCGGCCGCCTGATTGATCCGCGCGAGTGCCCGGACACCGTAGAAGTGAAATTCATCGCCACCAACCCGAAGCGGCCGGGCACGGCCTGCAATTTACGCTACGAGGCCTACAAGGACGCGACGACGGTCAAGGAGTTCCTCGAGAAGGGCGGCTGGCGCGCCGACTTGGTGCATGACGTGAACAAGAACTATTGTGCGCTCGGGGGTGCGGTGCCGACGGGCACGCCGCCGCCTCCTACCAAACCCCGCAAGTACCGCCCGCCGTCGAACACGAAGAAGGACTCGGACGACGACGAGGACTGGGAGAAGAAGCCCGAAGATGATGATAGCGAGGACGACGACTTCGTGCCCTCCCTGCAAGAGAAGCGCGCGGCGGCCGCCGAGCTCGCCGACGGCCCGGCCTTCAAGCGCCGCAGCCAGGGCCCGCCGGCGGCCATGCCCGAGCCCGATTTGGCTCCTGTCCTCCAGACGCTCGGGGCCGGCATGCCGCCGGCGCCCGCGCCGGCGCCGCCGGCCGTCACGGCGCCGGAAGGTGCCGCGCCGCTCGGCGCGGCCGTGCCCGTTATGACAGCGCCGGCGCCGCCGGTGCCGGCGGCCGTGCCCGTCGTCCAGCAGCAGATGCCGCCCGTGCCGGCGCAGCCGGCGGTGCCGCCGGCGGCGCCCTACGTCCCGCCGCCGGCCGCGGCGCCCTTCGGCGGCAACCAGTTCGGTGGCGGCTACCAGTTCCCCTAGGCGCCCGCGACGGGCCGGTCCCCCCCCCCTGACGGACGGCTTCTGATGAGTGGACGGGCAGAAGATTCTTCACCAATAAAACAACTTATACAACATTGGCTCCAGATGCCCTGGCACTTGGACGCGCGCCGTGGTCTACGGCGCGCGCAACCGGCGTTCCTCCACGAAACAGCCAGTAATCACTCTGCGGCGGCGCACATGAACCAGAGCGCCTCGTACAAAAAACACGGCCTCCGCGGTGGCCGACGCGCCGCATCACTCCGGTTGCACGCACGTGAACCAGAGCGCCAGCGCCGTCCGCGCGCCCCGCTCGACCCTGGCGACGCGGTGGCCGTTCTCCGGCCCGCTCGAGAACGCGACGAGGCGCCCGCGCCGCGGCAGGATCGTCTCGCCGTCCTCGAAGATCAGGGCGCCGCCCTCGAAGTCGACGCCGCCGTCCTCGAAATACACCAAAGCCGAGTAGTCGTAGGCTTGTTTGTTGTCTTGGTCGACGTGGGCCTCCCAGTAGGGTTTTTGGGAGGGCGCCTGCAGGGCGCCGTCGGGTTCCGCGGCGATGCGCGTCAGGAGGCCCCCCGCGAGGGTCAGCGACGCGTTGAATGTGGTTCCCGTAATCGTCAGGGCGCGGCGTGCCAGGCTCATGACTGCAGGCAGCTGAACATCCTCCAGCGCGCGCGCCGTCTTGCCCCGCTGGTGGAAGAGGCCCGGGGCCGCTTCTTCCGCATTATTGGAGATGAGCGCGACCTCGAAGGGACTCGCGACGTGCCTCGAGGACGCCCTTCCGCAAACGCCGCAGCGGTGCGTGTCGGGGCACGGTAAGGGCGCCACCACCGTCGGCCGCCGTTCCCGCTGCACCCACTCGAACTGCGCCTGCGCCTCGCCGTCGTCGTCGAGTTCCATGGAGACGCGCCGCGTGATCCTCGACAAGCCGTCGGCGACGAACGCGTCGACGTAGCCGTCGAGTTCGCTGGCGTCGATGCCCTTTATGCTTTCGAATTCCTCCCTTGCTTCTTGGCGCAGGTCCTCGACGAGTTGTTGGAGGCTGTCGTCTCCTGCGCTTGCTGTGAGCAGTATTGCTAGGAGTGCAAGCTTGTGCATTGCTGCCAGCACTGTTCAGTGGTCGTGGTGGTGCATTAATTCTTGAGAGTTGTTGGCTTTTTGGTCCAATTTAGCTCACTATGGCAACCTTGGCATAATGTGCTAGCGTTATCGATACTAGCGCTGGCGGGCGCGCCTTTGCTCGAAAATTGTGCCGCGCGACACACGCAGCGCCATCGGTACACACGGGCGTGACTTCACGGCTCGGATAGCTGCAGCAACCGCGCCAGCAGCCGACCGGTGCAGCGCGCTGGCCAGGAATTTGCTGAGGACCAAACTGCTGGATATACGGGCGCCGCGCAGTACGCGAGCGCCGCAGAGCTTTCTAAGCTAAGGCACACACGCAGCGCCGACGCCAGTCGACGCCAGCCCCCCTCCGAGCAAATCCAGCCAAGCTAAGGCCCAGGCCGACGCCGGCCGACGCCAGGAGCAAGGATGTCCTCCTTCATCCGAGCCTCGAAGTACCGCCACGTCTATGTGGAACCCCCCAAGGTCGACCAAACTTATAAGGGCTTCCGCCTCGCGACCGTGACGGGCGAGCAACAATACATCAAAGCGAATACGACCTTCTTCGCCGTCGCGCTGCAGGGCGGCGGCGGCCCCTTCGCCGTCGTGAAACATAAAGATGTCGGCGAGTACAAGGCCGGCACGCCGCTCGTCGCGGGCCACAAGTCGGCCGTGCTCGACTTGGATTTCAATCCGTTTCACGAGCACGTCATCGCGTCGGCTTCTGAGGACTCGACGATAAAAATCTGGGGCATCCCGGCCGATGGATTAACTGAAACATTGACGGAACCCTTGGTCGACCTCCACGGCCACGGCCGGAAGGTGACTTTGTTGCGATTCCACCCCACAGCCAATAACGTCCTGGCTTCCGTGAGCGCGGACATGGCTGTGAAAGTGTGGGATATTGAGAAAGGTAGCGAGTCCGCGAGCTGCGACGAGCACAAGCAGCTCATCCAGGACATCGTCTGGGACCACGAGGGCAAGGTCTGGGCGACGTCCTCGAAGGACAAGAAATTGCGGTTAGGCGACCCGCGCTCGAAATCCATAGTCGGCGAGATCGACCAGGCCCACGCGGGCGCCAAGTCGACGAAACTTTCATTCTTGGGCGGCTTCGACCGGCTCTGCTCCGTCGGCTTCACCAAACAAAGCCAGCGCCAGATCAAGTTCTGGGACGTGAAGAAGTTGGGCGGCGAGCCCGTGCACCAGATCCAGTTGGACCAGGCCTCTGGTGTGATTATTCCCTACTACGACGTGGATACACGCGTTTTATACTTAGCGGGCAAGGGCGACGGCAACATCCGCTACTACGAGAACATCGCAGAGAAGCCCTGGGCCTTCGCGCTGTCCGAGTACCGGTCCACCCAGGCCGCCAAGGGCACGTGCTTCGTGCCCAAGCGCGGGTTAGATGTGATGAGGTGCGAGACGGCACGCTGTTTGAAATTGGTCTCCCAAGCGGGCAAGGGCTCCGTCGAGCCCCTCAGCTTCATCGTGCCGCGCAATTCCGACGCCTTCCAGGACGACATCTTCCCCGACGCCTTCTGCGGGGCGCCGTCGATGACTGCGGACGAGTGGTGGGCCGGCGCGAACGCTCCCCCCAGAACCGCGCCGCTCGACCCGGCCAAGGCGGGCGCCGGCGTCTCTACTGTAACCAAGACGTTCACGAAAGTCAAAACGGCGGCGCAGCTGCAGAAGGAGTTGGACGAGGCGCTCGCGAAGATCGCGCGGCTCGAGAAGAAGTTGGCCGATGCGGGGCTGTCGGCCGAGTAGCTGGCGGAAGGAGAGTATAAGTAGTGCGGATATAATAAATAAATAAATAAATAATTAATCACTGGCAAGGAAGGAATATCCTAAACAAAAGGACATACACCAAGCCTCTAGAGGCCTTCTCCCTGCGCGGCTAGGATACCCAGCCGGCGCCTAAAAAGAGACGTCAAAAAACGGTAGAGCAAATTCTCAATTTCCTGAGGCGGATCATCTCCCATCAACAAAGCCAGGCAATCCGCGTTCGTCATGTTGCGCGTCTCGGGTAAGATCGTTTCTAATTTCTGGAGAAAAACTCCTCTGATGTCGTCCAGTTTCGGACACTCAAAAATAGTATGTGTAATCGTCTCGGAGCCGTGGATATATAACAAAACACTACGTTACGACGACGCCTCGGCCCGCTTCTTGAACCGATACCGCTCCCGGTCCGTCGTGTGGGGAAGGCCGGGGCACGGCACGCCGTCGCCGTCTCGATCTAATCGCTTCCGGACGCCCTCGGGCGCGCGCTCGAAGATCGCGAGCGCGTCTTCATAAAACTCGAACTCGGCGCAGGACTTGTATTTGGCCGGCGCGTCGCCGTAGTCCTTCGTGGGCGTCGGTTGAAAATCTATGTCGTCAAAAGTCGCGACCGGTACCACCGGTGAGGCGTCGCCGCAGGGCCGCCAGAGGCCCCGCTGGTCGCGCTTCGCGGCCTCTTGAGCATCCGCGAGCACTGAACCCAGGTAATCTTCCCCATCAGAGGCGCGCCGCCGTCTAGGCGTCGCGTAGGCGTAGCCTTCCCGCACGATGGTCTCGCTCACGGACTTGCCGCCGACCACAATGTTCGCGTCGCCGCTGCTTAGCTCCACTTCGACTTTAGCGCCGCGCGAAAGCAGGCCGCGAGTCTTCGCGCCCGGTTCGCGATTGTAGCAGACGGGCACGTCCCGCGTCGGCGTCCGCACGCCGGCCAAGCGTACAACTCCGGCGCGCTCGAGCTTGACGCGATCGGAATCCATGACTCGCACGACTACATCCGTGGTAGCACGCGCAGGTTGCGGCGGCAGCGTTGTAGTCGCGGCGCCCAGCAATGCCGCCAGTGGCCGCAGCAGCGCCGGTCTCCGTGTGATTGCGTGCCGCATCGATGGCGCCAAGCGTGCCGCGCGTTCGCCGGTATGTATCTGATCGTCAATCAAGCAGGCAATACGTTCGCGGTGCAGCGAAGGCTGCGCACAGAGCACTCATTACATGCTCTCGCAGAGGCTGCGGCAGAGCACCTCGCTAGGCTTCATTAGAGGCCGCTACCGCATTGCGTGCGCATAGGACTCGCGAGTGAGTTCAGACCGAACCTATCTACCACCCGCGGACCGCAGCGCTGCTCGCCCGCGCACGCCGCCGCCGAACTGGGCGCGAAACTCAGCACAGCAGTAAAAGGTCGACAGCGCCCGCGGGCCGCGCGCACACATTAGCCATGGCCGAGGTCGACGACGCGACGGTCGCCGCGCGCACGAAGGAGATACTCGAGACCGACGAGGCCATTAAGACGCAGTACGGCGACGGCTCGCTCACCGTGAAGACGCTGCGGAAGGCCGTCGCCGCGGCGTTAGGTGCCGAGGAGTCGGCCATCAAAAAAGTAGTGAAAAGTACATTACTCGCCTACATGGACGAGCAGGAGCCCCAGGAGGAAGAAGACGAGCCCGCCGCCGAAGAGGAAGAGGCTCCTGAAGCACCGAAGAAGGAGAAGAAGAAGAAGGCCAAGCGCACGGACCGATTAACAGATAAAGCGGCATTAGACGCCAAGCTCAAGGAGGACAACTGGCAGATTACCGAAAAGCCTAGACCCACCAAGGAGGGCGGCGCCAAGCCCTCGCGACATGTGGACAAGTACTACAAGAAGCCCGGCGAGTCGAAGCAGTACCGATCGTTGCTGGAAATCGCGCGCGCCCACTACCCGGAATTTTTGACCGGCGAGCCGCCGGCCAAGAAGGAAAAACCGCAAAAGGAAAAAAAAGAAAGGGCGCCCCGCTCATCATCATCGGCAAAGCCCGAGAAGAAGCTTGAATTAGGCAAGATCACGAAGGCCGGCAAAGGCGCGGCCTCGAAGGCGCCGCCCAAGCGCAAGGAACGGCCGCCCACGCCGCCTCCGGCCAAGAAGCCGAAGCCGCCGCCCCCAGAACAGGTCGTCAATTCGGCCTGGGCCTCGGTCCCCGAGCGCGTGATCGCGGCGGATAAGGTCCTGCCGAAATTAGTAAATGAGAAGAACTGGGACGAGATCAAGAAGATGCTGAAGATGCTCGGGCGCATGGACGTCGACGTGACGGCGCTGACGTCGTGCGGCATCGGGCGGACGGTCAACAAACTGAAGAAGGCGGAGTCTGATGACGTGCAGACTTTAGCTAAAGCGTTGGTGAAGAAGTGGAAGGACCTCGTGGCGGCGCAGGAGCCGTTTTTTACCGGTGTCCTGGTCGTCGACGGCGTGTACTGAGCCCGCTCCCCACCGCAGGGCCGACGCGCCGGCGGCTGAAGCGCCCGCGCCGGCCGCGGAGGCCGCGCCGGCGGCGGAAGCGGCGGCGGCCGCTGTTACGGCCGAGGTGACCGAAGCCGCCGCCGCAGATGTCGCGTCGGAGACCGCCGCCTCCGAGGCGGCTGCAGCGGTGGTCGCCGAGGCTTCCGCTGAGGTCGCCGCCGAGGTCGCGGCGGCCGAGGCGCCCGCGACCGCGCCGGCGGACAACGGCGCGAGCGCGGCGCCGATGGATGTGGACGCGGGCGCGGCGCCGCCGGCGCCCGCACCAGCGGACGCGGCCGCCCCATGATAGTAAGGCGCCTCCTACGTCCGTCTGCTTGTCGTTACTCTGACCCGGACCGGTCCCACCGGGGCGCCCGTCCGCGGTCTCACAGGTGTACTATCCCCCTTGTTTCGATTTTGATGGGGCGGCAGCTGCGTGTTGGCGGGCAGATTTTCTCTCGCGTCCCGTCTCCTCTCGGCGGGACCTCGCCACAGCGGAGGAAGAGACGCGCGGCGACAACGGACAACGGACGGAGAAACTCCGGATATCTATACTTATTACACGTGTCACCGCCGTCAGTAGGCGTCCGACTCCTCGCCCTCGTCGGGCGGCGGCGGAGGAGCGCGTTGAGCTGCGGCTTGCGCCCGCTCGCGCGCCCCGTCCTCGCGCGGCAGCTGCGGCTTCTCGATGCCCCAGAGCTCGCCGATGGCCTTGCAGTCCGCCATCGATAATACCACCACGTTCTGGGTCTTGGGGACCGCGCCGTCCGGGGCTTCGGCTAAACGACACACGGGTAAACCCGTCGAGTCATCGACCCCGACGGTCGCGCGCGCGTCCTTGACGAGGAACGACAGGTCGAAGAAATTCTCGGCCGTCTCGCAGAACGAGTCCGGGTTCACGAGCAGCGACATCAGGTCCAACCCCGCGGTCTCAGCATCCTCGTCGGCCGGCTTGGGCTCTACAGAAGCCGCGCGCATCTTCGCCGCCATGACGTCGTTCAACCGCTGCAGGCGCAGGTTCGTGGCCTCGTCGCGCTGTGTGTAGATATATGAACCGTCGCTATGACTCGGTGCCTCCCATTGGGAAGGGGAGGTGACCTTAAGGGCGACGCGGGCGGTGGAAGAACTCCGGATGCCCATCTCTACTATCCCCGAGTTGTCTGGACCCTCGTTACGTGGTAAAACATGACGAGGGCAATTTGCCCGGGGGGGTTGATTGCAGACACCGTATCACAAACCTCGTCGCCGTCGCCGCTGCCGCCCTCGCGCTGCTCGAATTTTGTTTCTCCCACACCATCATCCTTGAGGTCGGCCTTCTTCTTCCTTTCGACCTTCTTCCGCTCCTTGACAGGTCTCTCGAGCGGCCCGCAGAAGAAGTTGAGCTCCGGGGGTGCTCTGAATAACCCAGCGCCGTCTCTCCCTAGCGCAGCCCAGTCCATCTCGCCCCGAGAATTGGAATACGATTCCTTCAAAGCGTCGCAGATGTCCTTCGCGCCGTACTGCTTCACACTTTTCGCGAGAGCGCCCGCGCGCGCGACCGCGCACTCGGCCAGCCCGACCATGATGTCTCCATCGTTGACCATCTCCCGATTATATCTAACCTTTTTGAAGAGGCCGTTGTTCGCGGCCCGCTGGTTCTTGAACTCGTCCGAGTCGAGCGCACACATCGCCGCCCGGCGCTCGCCGATTCGGTCCTGCAGGTTGCGCTGCTCCTGCCTCAGAATCCGGCGTTCCTCCTCCGTCTGGCCGTCCATGACGGGCGTCCTATCTTTAGCTTCGCGGCGCTTGCGCTTCTTTTGCTGGGGCTTTTGAGGGGGCGGCGCCTCATCGTCGTCGTCCTCCATCGCGTTTTCTTGGAGGGGGGCCTTCCTCGGCATCGATGCGCGGCTTGTGAGGGCGCGCGCGGTCCTTAAGGTTGCGCGCGGCGCGCAGTGGGTCCTTAAGGTTGCGCGCGGCGCGCAGTGGTCACACTGCTTTTAAGGAGGGACTGGTCCGGCTGCGCTCCTGGGCACGCGGCGTGCGCTCGCAGCGGTTCGCGGTGATGCGTTAGCGTCCTGATGAACAGGTTTGCGTGTCAGATCGACAGCTAAGCGGCCAGCAGCGGCAGGCGGGTCCCGGCGCTCAAAAAGCCACAGGCATCAACTCCCGCACGTTTTTGGGAAGCACCCGTGCCTATTGACGTCGAGTCTACTGGTAGACGGACGCCTTGTGATGACTTGCACGGCTGCTGGGAGGCTTTCCAGCATGCGGCATCACAACGAGGTCCTGCTCAGCGCCGTTATCGAGCCGCCGCGTAGCTCGCAGCCGTCCGTTTCGTGGACTGCTGAGCAGCGCACACGCATTTCTGGTTCACGCCGTCGACCTGCGTGAAGCGTTAGCCGCCGGAAGGCAACGCACGTCGAAAAAAAAGCCGTTCCTGTGGCACTGCACTCAATCCCAGCGCAGCCAGGCGGCGCGTAAGAGCGCCCGAGGAACCATTTCCAAGCGGACACAGGAAGAAATGGCGAGCTACGCCGAGGACACGCCCGTCCAGGCCGACCGCGCGAAACGGACGCTCGCGTTCGCCTCCGCCACCTCGAGCGAGGCGCCGACGCCGGCCGGCCCGCCCCTGTCTCCGTACCGGGACCCGAGCGCGAACTGCGACCCGAGCGAGGCGCCGACGCCGGTGCGCGAGCGGCGCCGCGAGAGCCCGCCGCCCGACGAGCCCGAGAACGCCGAGGAGGAATCCCTCAGACTGGCCCTCGAGCTCCAGGAGCGCGAGGAGCGGTACGCGCGGGAGCAGGAGGAGGGAGCAGCTAGACATGCGGAGCTTTCCCAGAGGCGGCGCGAGGAGGCTTCGTCCGACGGTGAGGACGACGAGGGTGACAGATCTGCGTGGAAACCATGCCTTCGTCGGCTCGATGGCGTATCAACCGAACTCACCGGTCGATGTCAACACAGGCGACGAAGGCGACGAAGAGGAGGAGGAGGACGACTACGACGAGAGCTTAGCGCTGGCCTGGCGCCTCCAGCAGGAGGACGACGATAGGGCCCTGCTCATGGCGATGAACGGCGGGATCGAACCTCCGGAAGGAGCTACTGAAAGATCGCTGTCGCCGTCGCAGATGACCTATGATCAACTTTTACAGCTAGGGGAGAACGTCGGGAAAGTATCCAAAGGCACGGACCAGAAGCAGCTCGACGACCTGCCGACCTGCACGTACGGTGAAGCCAAGAGCAAGGGTGAAACGTTTGCTATTCTCGGCGAGCAGTGCGCGGTCTGCCGCTGCGAGTATGATGATGATGATATTGTCCGGATCTTACCGTGCCGCCACGCGGAGCACGCGGAGTGCCTGGACCAGTGGCTCTTACGCAATAGGTCTTGTCCTTTGTGTCAGCGCGACGTCGGCACCAGAGCTGGCGCGTCTCCCGCGAAAGCGCCGGCGCCGTCTCAGCAGGAGACGCACTTCACGGCTGCGGACACGGACGACATCGACGACCTCCTCGGCATCTAGGCCCTTTATCTCTCTCACACATAACTCACGTTCACAAGACCAGTATTACAAACGTCGCGGCGATGGCGTCATCGCCGCGAGAGTCACAGCAACGCCTCGACCTCCGGAGTCCGCGCGGCGCGCGGCGCCTCGCCGTACCGCAGTCGGACGTGATCCGGCAGCGCGGCGAAGCTCTCGTAGACGTCCGTCGTGACGACCTTCGTGGGCCAATGCGTCGTCGTCTGCCCTTCCTCGAACGCCTCGCGCCGCGCGCGCTGCACAGATTCGTCTCCTGACGGAGGTGCCATACATACATATGCACAGAGGCGCACGAGCGCGTGCGGGTCCGCGGCCGGCTCGCTCGGCGGGTGCGACGCGTGGGCCACTCGCGAGTCCCAAATAATAAGTTCGCCGGGCTCGAGGCGGCAGCAGATCGGGTCGGCGTACGCGGCGTCGTCGGCGCCGAGCTCGAAGTAGTCATCACCGTTATTCGCTTTCAGCGCATCTCCGTACTGATCGGCGAGGCGCGGGAAGACGGTGCGATGAGAACGATCGACGAGCACGAGGCCGCCCGTACTCTCGGAGACCGGCGCCGTCAGGTGTACGAGGCCCTGGAGCATCTCGCGCTGATTGCCTCTCAGCGCATCCTGGTCCACGTGCAGCCAGCCCGAGCGCGTGACCTGCCCGGGCCGCCAGGCGCAACAGCCGTCGAAGCTCGTCGCCAGGGGAGCGTCCGCGTCCAAACCCCACGCCTGGCGGTAGGCCTTGGCGACCTTCGTCCGCGTGCGGACGTACCACATAAAAGGAGACTGACCGACGCCGAACCATGGAAGGATACCAGCATCCCCTGCGCACGGCGGCCAGCGGTCGTCGCCCCAAGTATTTACGTCGTTGCGGTCGACACCGCTACCCAACGCTTCCACATAGTCGAAGAAGAGCTCGTTCGCGCGCGCGACCTCTCCTTGATCGAGCACGCCTCGGAAGACCACAAAGCCGCGCTCGTCGAGGTGTGCGCGCGCCGCGGCGCCGTCGGCGACGTCGAACTTGTCGACGTCGACGAAGCGCGGCGGTTTCGGGGATGCAGCAGACGCTATCTCGGTGCCGAAAGAGCGGCGCGGCTCCATGCTCGACGCGAGAGCTATGCTTGTCAGCACGAGTCGCATCCAGTTTTCTGAGCGCTATCAGCACAGCAGCACGAGTCGTACGAGTGCTATGAGCTGTGCACTGCTGGGAGGCACTTGTCACTGGAGGCTGTGCAGCAATGAAACGCTGCCGAACGATTGCGAGAGTTGAACGATGCGTCCGTCGCTACTGTTTGCTGGCACAGCGCGCTGATTTTGGCACGTATCGCACGCTTTTTTGCCGAGCAGCCGAGCTAGCGTTGATTGACACACTAGAAACAAAAAAACACCGTCAGCTCTCGAGGCTACTTCTCTGCATTGGCCTACCTAGAGCCGTCAAAAACACGTCACAAAGTTCGCGGCTATCACCCACCTACCGCTGATCACCTTGGCAGGATGCGTACGCCGATCCCCGTCCTGATCACAGCCTTTTTTTGGGCACTGGGTTTCAGTCCTCTCATTGGGGTCGGTCATGCGGTAAACCTCGGCTGCGTGGTGCTGCTGGCGACCGCCGCCGGCAGCACGCCCCTCGCCCCGCGCCGCAAGACCCGCAAAGCGCCCCGGGCCCCCAAGCCTAAGCCGCCAAGTGGCGGCGGCAAGAACGCCTCGCACACGGCACCGGAAGAAGGCTTCGTCGCGAACACGACCGCGACCACAAAACGCTTCACCGGTCCTAAAACGGCGGCAAGACTAGCTCTAGCGCTGCTCCAGGGCTGCGTGTTAGCACCGCGGTCCTGCGCGTACACGTTTCGAAGTATAACCCAATCGATCAAGAAGAAGTTGGGTAGAGAAGGCGTTATTTTGAACGAGGAGGGCGTCGACGATTTCATCACGGTCTACGGCGGCGGAAGTGGACCGGACGCCACGACCTGGGACGACGTGGTAGGTGCGCCCGCGGCGGTGTCGGAGTTGAGAAGAATACTACGCGTGGCCGGCGCGGCCGACGCCTCACAAAAAGCCCGGAGGGCCGGCGCGACGCCGCCGCGCAACGTCTTACTAGCTGGTCCGCCGGGGACGGGAAAAACATTGATAGCCCGAGCGGCGGCCGCGCAGCTCGACGCGCCTTTGTTGGTAGCCTCGGCAGCTGAAATCGTCAAGGGCAAGTACGCGGGCGTCGGCGTCGAACGAGTGCGCACGCTGTTCGCGGCTGCGAGACGCGTGGCCGCGCGAAGTACGGGCAGACTCGCCGTGGTTTTTATTGATGAGCTCGACTCGTGTGGAAGAGTCCGAGGCGGCGACGCGTCGGCAGTAGGTGCGGACCACGACAACACGCTGAACCAATTACTGGTCGAGATGGACGGCTTTGGGGTGAGAGATGCCTCCAATCCCGATGTTGTCGTCCTAGCCGCGACGAATAGGCGGGACATGCTCGATCCCGCTCTTACCAGAAGAGGCCGTTTTGATAGGGTGGTCGAGATGGCGGCGCCGGATAGAGATGGAAGAGAAGCTTTATTCGAGCACTACGTCGGCAGGCAGCGGTCGGCGTTCCTGGCGCGCGAGATTACGTTCAAGGTCGATAATACCGAAGTTGCCTGCCAGGCCCTCGACAATACGACGTTGCGAGTCTTCAAGCCCGTCAAGGCGGCCGGGTTGAGAGCAAAAGCGACGTTGTTTGCCAATAATACCGCTAGGTTAGATGCGCGCGACCTGGAAGCTATTATTGCAAGGGCCCAGGGTAGGAGGGCGCAGCGCAAGAGCGGTTCAGAAGATGTTTCATTTTCTGTATCTTACGAGGGCGGTTCGAAGGTCGAGAATGATACTGACCTCGCCTCGACTCTGGCTGATTTATCTCCCGGGTTGGTGGGTGCGGATGTTGCTGCGGTCGTCAACGATGCAGCCCTGGCCGCGTTGGACAAGGACCAAGACTACGCGACGAGGGACGACTATTTGAGAGCCCTTGAAGATGCTATACTGGGCATCCCCACGCACCCGGACGGCGCGTCCCCGAAACCGGACCATCGGATCGCCGTCCACGAGGCCGGGCATGCGGTCTCGAGCTTCTTTCTGGAAAATGTGGACGAGGCGACGCGCGCGTCGGTAAGGCCCCGGAGCGGCGGCTCGCTAGGAGTCACGATGTTCGGCGCCGGCGACGCGACGAATCTGAGACGGGCCGAATTACGTGATAGAGTTGTGATGATGCTCGCGGGCAAGGCCGCCGAGGCCCACTTGCTAGGAGACGCGTCGACGGGCGCGGCCGACGACGTCCGGAGAGCTGCTGTCTTAGCGGAGGCCATCGTCAAGACGTATGGGTTGTCGCAGGACGGCGCCGTCTTCACGTCTTGGATTGATGAATATGGCAAGAGGCATGAAATTGGTGGCGAGGATGGCGACGCAGCTGTGCGCGCGGAGCTTGTCGAGGCGGAAGCACGCGCCTTGCAACTCGTGAAGGACCACGAGAGCATTATTCGTGCTTTGGCCGACGCGCTGGTCGAGCACGAGACGCTCGACGCGGCGGCGCTCAAGGCCGTCATTAAACCGGCGGCCGAGACGGCTGTACCGGTATGAACAATCCCCCCTGTCCACTGTCCCCCCCTGTCCACTACGTTAAGAATCCTACTGTAGTTAGCGCCTCCTCGGCAGTGCATACTTGGCCTTCTCCGCGTCCGTCAGGCATCGCCAGAGCTCGGCGAGGCGCTTGCCGACCTGGCCATACGTGAGCGACGGGTCGTCGCGCTCGACGTAGGGACGCATCTCCTTCGAGAAGAGCATGAAGCCGTGGAGTCGCTCCGAGGGTTGAATTGGAGGCCGAGGCATCGGCGTCCGGACGCCGAACTTCCAGAGCCGCCGCGCGCAGTCCGCGATGACGACGGCGTTGAATATCATCATACCAAGCAAACCCGCGACGCCCCCAGTATACATCCGTTCGTGGCCCGCGCGTTTGATCGCGTCCAGCAGGCGCGCGCCGATGACGACGTAGCGGATGCCGCGCGACCAGAGCACCGAGACGAAGGTCCAGAGAGTTGCCCGCCGCAGCGTTGCCCGACCGCGCCCTCGCCGTGATTCCCATTCGCCGCGATCGCGGCCCATCGGCGTCGATTCTACTCTACCTCACGACCCACTGCTCGGAATGCCACCTCTCTACTTTACGTTCGTGTTGGCCCAACGCGCTCCGGCGCTCGCCGTTGTTAGGAGAAGCCGACGTGCTCCTCTACGCCGGCTCCAACCAGCTCGCCGCCGACGTTGCGTCGTGGGCGCACGCCCTCGCGGCGCTCCCTGTGCGTAATGCGACGCTCGCCTGGACGCGATGGAATCCCGGACTCCAAGAAGGAGCTCTCTCCGCGATGATGATCGCCGCCCGGCGCGGCTGGTTCGATCGCTATGCTTGGATCGTGCGCACGAACCCTGACGTGCGCTTCGAAGACACAAAGTTTCTCGCAGCACGGATGATAGAGCCAAAGGTCGCAGTGCTCGAGCGCTGCTGCCCGCGCAACACGTCGCATCCCGCAATCTGCACGGACTTCTTCGCCGCCCGGCCGACGGCGATGAATCACTCCTTATGGGCGCACGGGCCGCGGCTCCTCGGCCGCCGCGTGCACAACGAGTGGGCGGCGGCATTGGTGTTCCGGCAGGCCGTCGACGACGGAACGGCGACGGTCTGGGAGATCGAGGACGCCTATCGGACGAGCGGCTGCCGCGTCGGCGGGCACGGCATCTACCACGACCACGCGTTTTGCGCCCGGCTCCCCGCGGCGGAAGCGCCGGCGCCGGCGGCTCCGTCCTATCCCTACCTCGCGTCCTATGCCGTGTTTCTGCTGTCGTTCGCCAGTGTGCGCTTGCTTTCGAGTTGTACGAGGCGGCGGGAGACGAATCACGAGCAATAATAATAAGGTGTCAACATTATCACAACCTATGACGCTCCCCAGGGAAGTATCAGGCGGCCGCGCGGGCGCCGGCGCGCCCTGGCGAGCGCGTACCGATATCCGCGTGGCCGTCGGTGCCCGCGCGCGCACCGCCGCTTCGTGGGCCGACTCGTCCCAAACGAGGAAGCCCTCGGGCCGCGTCCTCGCGCCGCCGAAGTGTCTGCGGCCAAGGCGCCGGGAATCTGTTTGTGTCAGCGCGGGCGGCGGCGGCGGGGGCGGCGCTGGCGGCTCCGGCTCTGCTGGGGTTGCCACTGGAGGCGGCGGCAGCTCGCGCTGGTAGCGCTCCGCCGGCTCACGCATTGACTTGCGCGCCGTGGTTTGGCCGGCGGCGTGCTGGGTCGGTGCGGCGCTCGCCTCCAGCGCCTCGCGCAGGCTCCTCGTCCCGCTCGGCGGCGGCGGCACACTTTCGGGACCGCGGCGCCGTGCCCCGAGGCCCAACCAATCTGCCGCCTCGTCCGGATGGACTCCGTCCTGGGTGACGATCGATGCTACACTTGTCGTCCTCGCCGAGTTTCCCGCAACCAACCGCCGCGAGGGCCTTTTGCCTCTGTAGTGGCGCTCTGGCTGTGGTTTGAAGCAGTCGTCGCTCCAGGCGGGTCGCGCTGTCGTCGACATGGTATGCTATGTTTTGAGTAGTGTTATAGATGCCGCGCCGACTAGCGTGGGGCAGCCTATTTGTGCTGCTACGACTGATGCTCTCCTGATGCTGTGCAGATGAGCTCTGGCAGGCAAATGGGCAGCTTTGTTTTTTAAGTTTGACCCAGCAAGCTAGGGTGGAGACACACTAGGTTTGGGAACACAAGACGACATGCAGCCGTTTGAGTATCGTTCCGTTCGCTAATGGTCCAAAGAGATCAATGGGACACTTACTAGGGGGCGAAAAAAATTAATTTTTTAATTCGCGAAATTGACGACGCCGCCATGGCGGGCGCATCGGTGGAATCCTGTCGATTTGGGGCCCGGAGGTGTCCCCGAGGCCACCTAGGGTCGGTATAAGACGTGGGCAATCGCCTACGCCGCATGCGCGGGCGCTTCCATCGGTAGAGACATATGAGGCAATTCTCTCAGCCACGCATCTGTCTCCAGCCCAAGTCCCCAAGGTTTTCGATCCAGAGCTCCCCGAAGAGCTCCAAGAATCGGCGCATGCGGCGTAGGCGACTATCCGACCTCGGACCTATCCCAGAGGGAGTCCGGGAGCCGATCTGCCCCCGAAAAAAGTGTGCAATTTGGACCCGATGGCGCCCCGTTCCCGTCAAAAACGTCAATTACCCGAGGGGCCCCAGTAGTCGCCGTAGCGGTCTCGTCGGACCCCATACTACCCCAGCGATAGTCAATTACAAGTATACGACATCTACACCGCGAGAAGGGTACTTTGGGCTGCCCACGCTCGGGACGTGAACATCTTTATCTGGAGCTCGCGTAAGTCGGTCGGTCATAGAACAAACGGTCGCATTATGGTCCATGGTGATGGTACACGGGCTGATGGTCGCAGGTCCAGGTTTAAAGCCCATCTAATCGAGATAGTGGGGTCTCGAGACCGACAAGGCGCGGGAGCATTTGGCAATAGGAAATCAAATGTAGTAGACGCTCAGGCCGGTTATCTGGCCCGTCCCACTACTAAAGCGCCTGAAATGCAAATTTATTTTATAAACCACCGGTCTGGGGCCAATTCAGTGCCCCGCGTACGCACCGTCGCCCGCGGAGAACGGGCAAGTCGGTCGATTGTGAATAGAACAACGGCGTTATGGTTCATTTGGATGGTGGCGTCGCTGATACTCGCAGGTCTAGGTTCTGAGCCACTTATCACGTAAACGCAGGGTCGCGGATTCGTCGTTTCGAGCGGCTTCAACGGAGCACTTAATGTGCCTCGTCGGCGTCGTGGCGGTCAGGATGGAATCTACCCCCAACAAACGGAAGGAAACGAACATAAACGCGAGAGTTGTCTAGTAGAATTCTTCTCCCGCCCTCCGAGCGCGGGCCGTCGGCTCCGGTTCCGTCGATTGTGTATGAAAACTGGGCTGGAGTTGATATAATGTCCCATTTGGACGGTAGATGGCGGCGTTAATCGCTGGCGCACTTTGGCGAGCCGTAAGACTGATCCGCGAATGTCGCGGGCGGTGCCTTCCGGGAGGCGCGAGGGTATGTTCCCGGGCCGCTACTCTGACATATTTGGTCTCGGCGAACGACTAGGATGTGTTCTGAATTTTGGTCATTCTTTTGACGCTATCGAAGCGTATCTTTGAATTTGCTAGTAAGTCGGTTACGCTAGGTATCCGGGGTGCTTTTGCTAAGGACTAGGGAGCTTATCATTGCTAAGGACTAGTAAATATATAAATTGCGGCGCCCGGCGTCTACAGAGGCGTCGGCGTCGCCGATGATCATTATCCGTATATAAGATTAATACATCCACTTATTAACAACCCCGTGTCCTTACCTACAGATATGAATATTTAATATTTTAATGTAGTCCAATGTAGTCCAGACGCGCCATCGCTGCGAAAGGACCCAGATTTCTGAAACAGAGCCTCGGGACAAAAAAGGGACTTCTCAGGGGGCCGCGAGGGTATGTTCCTTGGATGCTACCCGTGAATATTTGGACTCGGCGATCGGCTATGGCGCCTCCGCGGCAGGCGCGGGCGCCTGTTGCTTGAGCATCTCCGGCAGGAGTGCCAGGGACGAGGCGAGCGCGTCACTTTGGCGGACCGTGAGCGCGGGCGGCGGCGGAGACGGCGACGCAGCGGCGAGATCGTCGAGCGTCCGCGCAGGCGAATCCGGCGTCGGGGCCTCTGAGGCCTCCGACGGCGTCGTCGCGTCCGGGGCCTCGGGGCCTCCGGTCACAACAAAGCTACAGGTCTCCTCAAGTTATCACACTACGAACTCGAGGACGAAGAGCTAGACGACGACGACGAAGAGCTGGAGGAGCTCGACGACGACGACGACGAGGATGATGAGGACGACGAGGACGAGGACGACGAGGACGAGGACGAGGAGGAAGACGACGCAGACCGCGCCCGCCGCCGCTTCGGCGCCCGACCATCGTCGCCGCCGTCGCGCTTCCGCTCGCGCCGCTTCAAAGCCTTCTCCTTCTCTTTAAGTTCGCGCTCTCGTCTATCAAGATCCTTCTGCTTCCGCGCCCGCGCGCGCTCCGCCTCCTCGAGCGCCCGCGCCTCGCGCTCCGCCTGGCGTTGCGCCTTGAGCTGGTCCTGCAGTTCCCGGTCGAAGGCCGCCCCGGGGACGTGCCGATCGTCCCGGATCCCGAACGCGTCGCGGAGCTTTTGATCATCTCTCGCCTTCGCCTCGGCGTTCTGGTGCGAGTCTGTGCCGACCTTCTTTGGTGTGGGCATCTTCGCGAGTAATTCCTGGCGTAATTCGTCGCATTTTTTGTCGATCTCGGCCTCGGGAACGTCTTCTTCCTCGAGCTCGTCCCGCAACGCGTAGACCTGGGCCTCGACCTCGCGTTTGCGGTTGTGCTCGTTGATCTCCTTGTTCCCCTCGACCGCCGTCCGCGCCTTCCACTCGCCGTCTCTGGCTCCTATTCCTCCGGTCCGGTTGATCTCCTCGGCTCTTCTCACGTTGACCGGTTTCACGAAGGCGCGGTTGGACTGGACGTAGCCGTTCGTGCCCGAGCCGCGCGCGGTCCTGAGACCGATGCCGTTGTACATTTTTGCGTCGCGGCGGCGGCGTCGCGGCTGCGGCGTGCGTGTAGCTAATGCTGGGATGGGGCCGCGGCTGCTGGGCTCGCTGGGCGTGTGATGCTCGCGTGAGAAGCTTGCCGCAGCGCTGTGGCAAGAGCGTGATGATCACACAATACGCCGGAGAGGCCAACGGGGAGCTGTAGGGCTGCTTGTCGCTCGAGGGAGCTGGGCTTAATCTAAGTGCGTTTAAACGCTAGCTGGCAAAAAATAATTACGCAAGGGAGAGCAGGCTCACCGCGCCGCACCCCGCGCACGCCCCACGGGCATCACGCCCGGCGGACGGTCCGAGGGCACGCAGGAAGCGCTGCCCCGCCGGCCATAACAACAATGGCGGCCCCCAACAGCCGGCAGATGAACGCCCTGCCCAAGGACGGCAAGCACCGCCACCTGCGGCCCCAGATCACGGGCTACACGTCCAAACTCAGGAAAAAGGAGTTAGGGGATACGCTCAGCGGTACGGAAACGATTCTAGACCGGTTGCGGGGCTACAACACGCCGCCGGCCGCAAGACCGCTATCCAAGGCCCAGCAGTACCGCAAGGAGCACGAAGATTTACACGTCTCCCTCGAGGCGATGGAGCTGGCGCGGTGGCGGGCGAAGTACGCCAAAAATACGACATTAACGAGGTACGGGCGGGAACGGGCGGAGCTCCACGTGCCTCATAGAAGGCCCTGCTACGAGCCGACGCCCATCTACGACGGCCTGGCGCGGGACGCCCGGATTTTAGCAAGGGAAAAAGAGAGGAAGCCGCCGGAGTGGCTCGCGATGGTGCGCGCCGAGGGCCGGAAACAAAAGAGGCCGCTCTCGGCCCGTTTAGGTTTTAGGCGGAAGGAGGCGAAGGCCGAGGTGATTGAGAGAGACAGCTTCGGCAAGCGGCTCCCTTCCAATAGACCGGTCTCCGCGCCGGCGGGACGGAAGCCCGGTTCATTAGCTTACCGCATCTTCGGCGCGGGCAAGGCGAAGCCTGCGAAAGAGCCGGTGGACGCCCTCCAGCAAGCCTACGAGAAGCGCGGCGAGGAGTACGACAAGTTCCAGGACGCCCGGGTCGAGGGCGGGGTCAAGCGCAAGGAGCAGGTCGCCAAGTCTATCTTCATGGGTGGGTGGGCCACCTAGTCTTGGCGATGGTCGACGTGCTGTCACGCCGCCTCGACGCCGTCGCGGCGATGGCGTGCCGGCGAGAGCTACACCACCGCCACGCCATCGGCGCGAGGCGTCGCGTAATGTCCCTGTTGTGAATAACACTAACTAAGCCTTAAATGGTGACCGCGCGTGCCGCGCCGCCGCGTGCTCGATCTCTAAAATACGTCGCCCGCGACTCCGCGCTATTTCTTCAACAGAGCGATGCTTTGATAACGCGTCGAAGGCCGCCGCGCAGTAGCTATAAGGCGTCCTCCTACCCCTTGCTTTGATCGTGAACGACGAAAACCCGAGCTGCGTCAGGATACGCCTACCAAGAGGCCCGCCGACGATCCCAGAACCGGGCGGCTTCGCGTAGATGTCCACAATGCAGTTGTTGTGCTTGCCCCGCACGTCGTGCAACAGCGACGTGTCCCTAAACCTTTCGACGAAGCGCAGGTCCCGTTTCGCGGCTTTTGATGCACGAGCCACGGCGTCCCTCGGTGAATGACCTTTCCCATAGGCGAAGCCGCCGGCGCCCATCAAATTACCGACCACAACTAACGCTCGGTACCTCATAATCGTCCCTCCCCTTACGACTTTTTGGACCCGATTGATCTTGACGATGGTCTCGGCCCACTTTCCTAACGGTTCTGACGGGTCCACGACCTTCTTCTTCTTCGGTTGTGGGGGTTCCTCGTCTACCTCATCTTCACCCATAATAAGACCGGGAAACCGCGCCTCTCGGACGATGTCGTGCTGGTCGTTCTGCAGCATCTCCGCTCGTATTTGATCCAATGTGGGTAGTCGGCGCTCATCTAATACTCGTGTAAGTACCTTCAGGGGGTCCTCCTCCAATTCCTCTCGTGTGGGTTCGGGCTCGGGCTCGAACGGTGTCGTGCCCCACGCGACTTCTACTTTCCGATTTCCTATTTCGACGCCGTCGTGGCGCAGTCGTCGGAAGGCCTTCGTGGCTTCGTCGACGTCGTCGAAGGTTAATGAGGCAGCACCGTTGAAGCGGCCGCTGGAACGCTGGCGCAGCTCGATGTTTGTTGGTGAGATGTCTTGCTCACTAAAGGCGTTTCTTAGCAACGCCTCCGTGTTGAGGTCGAAGGGCAGGGCCTTGACCTTGACGACGCGCGACGCGCGGCGCCTTTGCACCAGCGTGGTGCGCGCGGCGAGGCGCGATGCTGTGCGTAGCATCGATGCGTTCCACGGCGATGCGCGCGCTGGTTTGTTATTGATCTATGGTGATGCCTGCAGCGCCGCGCATGCGTAACTAGGCGCGTTTACGCCGCCGCGGCTGAGGTCCAGCTTACTTGCCAGGGCATGCCTAGTGTGTCACAGGCCGCTAGCCCACGCGGGATCCAGCGTTCCCTAGCCGTCCGGCTGGACCGGGCGTCGATCCCTGGACAGCTATACCAACCCCGCACACTAGGACACTAGGATTACTTCGGCATTCAGCGCCACAGAGAGCGGGGCCGCGAGCCGCGAGGGAAGCGCAAAGAGGCAGCCCGTGGCGCCGTATAGAAGCCAGCGTGCGCATAACAGGCGGTGCGCATCGAAGGGCTGCGCCGCGAAGGGCAGAGCCGCGCTATATAGCAAACATATAGGCAGCCCCTCCTCAGCCGCGCCGGAGCGTGCCGCGGCGGTGCACCAAACACAGCAAGCGCAGCGCTGCACCCCAACCAAACACCGCAGCGATGGCGGAGACCGACGCGCCACCGCCCGAAGCGTCGCCGCGCGCCGCATGGACGGCCGACAGCGGCAAGCCCAAGCTCGACAGCGTCGAGGGCGCGCAGACGACGATCGAAGTTTCATTGAAGGGCGTCAAGAAGCCTCTGGGCATCATACCCATTGGTGGAGATGCGTCATTAACACATCTACGAGAAGCCATCAAAGCCAATATCGAGCAGCAGTACTTACCACCTAGATTTGCGTTCGTCGGCCAAGCCGGCCAGGTGCGGGGCACGCGGGAGCCCTACTTTCCCGTCGCGTCGTTCAACGGCAAGATCCAGATCATGCCCAAGGCCGTCAGGCGTGTCCAGAAGAAAGATGAGTCGTGGCTCGATGAAACACTAAGTAAGTCGGTACTGATGACCGACAGCCAGTACGGCGAGACGTTGGACTATGGATCCATCCAACTAAAATCGGCCTGGGACGACTTTCCGACGCGCAAGAAGTTGTACAAGCCCTCGCAGAAGATCTACGGGAGACCGCCCACAAAAAGAAAAAAGAAAAAATACGACCCCTTAACGCCAGATCCCGCAACGATACCGGACGAGTACAGGGTCCCGACTAAAGCCGAGAAGGAGAAGATTTTGGCGAGCGTAGATTGGGACGAACTGATGGCGGATTTCCTGATTGAGTTAAATAAATACACGCAGCCCGCGGCGACGGTGCTCCAGAAATATGCGAGAAGGATGTGCTCCGTGCAGATCCGGAATCGGAAGATCCGAGAAGCTGAAGAGAGGAGGATTCAGGAGGAAAAGGACCGGGAACGGCGCGCGAAGTTGGAACGCGTGCGACTGCAGATCCAAGCGGAGGAGCGGTGGCGCCAGAAGGAGGCGGAAGAGGTTCCGAAGGGCGATATTATTGTGCGAGCTGATGGGAGAGTGTCGATGGTCAAGAAGATGCGCGCGGAGCACCAGGCGCGGCTCGAGGCCGACCGCAAAGCCGCGCAGGACGCCGCTGACGCTGCGCAGGACTGGTTGGATAAATTAGTGATGAGTGACATCACGTCCTTCATGGGTCGGGACGAGGCCTTAGCTAAAAGGGCGAAAGCGAAAAAAGCCGCCGCCGAGCTCCGAATCAAACAAAGGGAGCGGAAGCGCGACCGGGCGCGGGCCGAGCGGGCCGTCGCGGACGCCGTCGCGAGGCTGACAAAGATCTGGCTGGTCGAGTTCTACCACCAAGAAGAACTGAGGATCGATCGCGAGAAGGCGGAAGCGGCCATTCAAGCTGTTAAAGATTATGAAGCTAGATTGCTGAGGGAGGACAAGGAGATGGCCGAGCAGGCCATACGGTTGGCCAAGGCCGAGGAGGAGAAGCGCGAGGTCGCCAAGCAGCTGGCTATCGAGGCCGAGGCCGAGAAGGTAAGGTTAGCAGAACAAGCTAAGATAGACGAGGCGGCAGCCAAGGAGAAGATGCTCAAGGAGAAGGAGGCCAAGAGACTAGCTGCGGAACAACGTGCGAAGGAGGAGGCGGAACGCTTGGCGGCCGAGGAAGCTGCTAAACCTCCACCGCCTGCGAGAGAATATCCCATCGAGAAGGAAGGCGAGCTTTCAGGAAGAGTATGTACCATCAAGTGCACTCATTCACCTGAAGCTATCACGTGTGACGTCACGCCTTCGGACACCGGCAAAGCGTCCCAGCTCGTACTGAAGCAAGAGGATCTGGACTGGGAGAACAAAGCGTTAGTAGGTAAGGACTGGAGCGAACATGCCTATGACGTCGGCGAGGCTATCGTCGAGTCTCTCGCGTTACAAGGCAAGGGTAGGTTCACGAAGCTCAAGTGCCAGCTGGTGAAAGTTGTGCACGTCAAGCGGGAATTTGCGCCGGACCCGGCCGAGGAGGAGGCGAAGCGCCTACGAGAGGAGCTCGCGGCCGACAAGGCGCGCCGGGCCAAGGAGAAGGTTGACGCTACTGAGGCGCTCGCTGCGGCTTTAGAAGGCGACTCTCTGGAAGTGTTGGAGGCGGCTCTGGAACGCGCGGCGAAGGCGGGCGTCGACGACTTGGCAGCCGCCGAGGCGAAGCGCGACGCGTTAGCCGAGGCGGCCGAGGCTTTGAGACTGGAGCAGGAGGCCGCGGCCGAGGCCGAACGGTTAAGATTAGCGGCGCTCTTCCCGCCGCCGGCGGCCGCGCCGGCGCCGGCGCCGGCGGCGAGCGAGGCGCCGGCCGTCTCTCCGGGATCGCCCGCGGCGTCGCCAATTAAGGAGGCGCCGGCCGCGGCGCCCCCGACGTTCGACGACGCCGCGGCGGCGCCGGCGACCGCGCCCGCCGCCGAAGACGCGGGGACCGCCCTGGCCGAGCCCGCGGCGCCGCCGGCGAGCGACGAGGCCGCCGCGGCGCCGCCCGCGAGCGACTACAAGTTGCCCCACGAACGGGCGGAGATAGCGGCGGCCGCGGAAGAGGCCGCCGCGGCGCCGGCCGCGGCCGAGGAGGCCGCTGCGGCGCCACCGGCGGAGCCAGCGGCAGAGCCTGCTGCCGCAGAGCCCACGGCCGAGCCCGCGGCCGAGCCCGCGGCCGAGCCTACCGCAGAGCCCGCGGCCGAGCCGACCGCCGAGCCCGCGGCCGAGCCGGCCGCCGAGCCCGCGGCCGAGCCGGCCGCCGAGCCCACGGCCGAGCCCGCGGCCGAGCCCGCAGCGGAGCCTACGGCCGAGCCGGCGGCCGAGCCGGCGGCCGAGCCTACGGCCGAGCCGGCCGCAGAGCCCGCGGCCGAGCCCGCGGCCGAGCCCGCGGCCGAGCCGGCGGCCGAGCCCGCGGCCGAGCCGGCGGCCGAGCCGGCGGCCGAGCCGGCGGCCGAGCCTACGGCCGAGCCGGCCGCAGAGCCCGCGGCCGAGCCCGCGGCCGAGCCCGCGGCCGAGCCGGCGGCCGAGCCCGCGGCCGAGCCGGCGGCCGAGCCCGCGGCCGAGCCGGCGGCCGAGCCCGCGGCCGAGCCGGCGGCCGAGCCTACGGCCGAGCCGGCCGCAGAGCCCGCGACCGAGCCTGCGTCCGAGCCGGCCGCAGAGCCCGCGGCCGAGCCCGCGGCCGAGCCCACCGCCGAGCCCGCGGCCGAGCCAACTGCGGAACCCACTGCGGAGCCCGCGGCCGAGCCCGCGGCCAAGCCCGCGACCGAGCCGACCGCAGAGCCCGCGGCCGAGCCGACCGCGGAAGCTACGCCTGCGGCCGAGGAGGCCGCCGCGGCGCCGCCAGCGGAAGCAGCCGAGCCTACTCCCGAGGATGCAGCCGCGGCGGCGGCGGAGCCAGCGGCAGAGCCTGCTGCGGAAGCTGCGCCTGCCGCGGAAGAAGCCGCCGCGGCGCCGCCTGCGACCGAAGAAGCCGCCGCGGCGCCGCCGGCGGAGCAAGCTGCGGAGCCTGGGCCGGAAGCCGCGGCCGACGCCGGGACCGCCCTGGCCGAGCCAGCGGCGCCGCCGGCCGGCGAGGAGCCGGGCGCTCCGGCGGCGGAGCCCCCCGCGCCCGCCGCCGACGGCGAGCCCGCGGCCGCGGATGCGGAAAAACCCGCAGAGCCCCCGGCTGCCGCGGAGGAGGCCGCGCCCGCGCCGGCAGCGGAGCCACCGGCACCAGCCGCTGTCGAACCGCCGGCCCCTGCCGCGGACGCAGCGGAGCCGCCCGCGGCCGCCGCCGAACCGCCGGCGCCGGTCGCGGACGAGGCCGCGCCTGCGCCGGCGGCGGAGCCCGCCGTCGCGACGGAACCCCCAGCGCCCGCAGCGGAGGCAGCTGAGCCGCCCGCCCCCGCGGCTGCCGCGGAACCGCCGGCGCCGGCGGCAGACGCCGAGCCCGCACCAGAGGCCGCGCCTGCGCCAGCTGCAGAAGTAGCCGCGCCTACGCCGGCCACAGAGCCACCGGCGCCCGCAGCTGATGCAGCAGAGCCGCCGGCGCCTGCCGCGGAGGAGACCGCGCCGGCACCAGCAGCAGAGCCACCAGCGCCGGCGGCAGCTGCTGAACCGCCTGCGCCCGCAGCAGAGGAGGCCGCGCCCGCGCCGGCAGCGGAACCGCCGGCACCATCAGCCGACGCCGAGCCGCCGGCGCCCGCAGCAGAGGAGGCCGCGCCCGCGCCAGCGACAGAAGCAGCGGAGCCACCGGCGCCTGCCGTCGCCGCGGAGCCGCCCGCGCCCGCCGCGGAAGAGGCGGCGCCCGCACCGGCGGCCGAGCAGCCCGCAGCCGAGGAGCCACCCGCGCCGGCGCCGGCGGCGGATGCCGAGGAGGCCGCGCCGGCGCCCGCGGCAGACGCGGCCGAGCCGCCGGCCCCGGCAGCCGATGCGGAACCGCCGGCGCCAGCAGCTGCTGCGGAGCCACCGGCGCCAGCGGCAGACGCCGAGTCGCCTGCGCCTGCCGCTGACGCGCCTGCAGCGGAGGAGGCCGCGCCGGCGCCAGCCGCCGAGCCCACGGCAGAGGAGGCGGCGCCCGCGCCAGCAGCCGAGCCGCCCGCGGACGAGGCGGCGCCTGCGCCAGCCGAGCCGCCTGCAGAGGAGGCCGCGCCGGCGCCAGCAGCCGAGCCGACCGACGAGGCGGCACCGGCGCCAGCAGCCGAGCCGACCGACGAGGCGGCACCGGCACCTGCAGCCGAGCCGACCGACGAGGCCGCGCCGGCGCCAGCCGCTGAGCCCACCGCAGAGGAGGCGGCGCCGGCGCCAGCAGCCGAGCCGACGGCAGAGGAGGCCGCGCCCGCGCCTGCAGCCGAGCCGCCCGCTGACGAGGCGGCGCCTGCGCCAGCCGAGCCGCCCGCAGAGGAGGCGGCGCCGGCGCCAGCAGCCGAGCCGACCGACGAGGCCGCGCCGGCGCCGGCAGCTGAGCCGACCGACGAGGCCGCGCCGGCGCCAGCCGCTGAGCCTGCCGCGGAGGAGGCCGCGCCCGCGCCTGCAGCCGAGCCGCCCGCTGACGAGGCGGCGCCTGCGCCAGCCGAGCCGCCCGCAGAGGAGGCGGCGCCGGCGCCAGCAGCAGAGCCTGCCGCGGACGAGGCGGCGCCCGCGCCTGCAGCCGAGCCGCCCGCTGACGAGGCCGCGCCGGCGCCGGCAGCCGAGCCGCCTGCGGAGGACGCCGTGGCGCCAGCAGCGGAGCCCACCGCGGAGGAGGCTGCGCCCGCGCCGGCAGTCGAGCCGACCGACGAGGCCGCGCCGGCGCCAGCAGCGGAACCGACCGCCGATGCAGAAACGACCACGCCCGCGCCCGCCGCGGAAGACGCCGCGCCGGCTCCGGCGGCCGAGGCCACTGCCGTGGACCCACCGGCGGCCGCCGCGGAGCCGCTTGCGCCTGAAACAGACGCTCAAGCCCCGGCCCCCGCGGCGGAGGCCGTGGACGCGGCCGCGCCTACGGCCGAGGCGGCGCCCGCCGCAGAAGAGGCCGAGCAACCCGCAGCCGCCGCGGAGCCGCCGGTGCCGGCAATAGACGCACAAGCCCCAGCGCCCTCAGCAGAGGCGGATACGCCCTCGCCTACGTCCGTGGCGGCACCGACGGTCCCGGCCGCCGAAGAGGCGGAGCTGGCGCCGGCGGCCGAGACAGCCGACGCCGCGCCGCCGACGCCGGCACCAGACACTCAAGCCCCAGCCCCGGCGGCAGAAGCGGACGCAGCCGAGACCGCCGGTGACGAGCAACCCACAGCCGCAACGCCGCCGGCACCAGCCGCCGAGGAGACCGCGGAACCTACGGCCGAGCCTGCCGCGGAGCCTACGGCCGAGCCCACTGCGGAGCCCACTGCGGACGAGGGCGCGCCGGCGCCAGCCGCTGAGCCCACCGCGGAGGAGGCCGCGCCCGCGCCAGCAGCAGAGCCGACCGCGGACGAGGCGGCGCCGGCGCCCGCATCTGAGCCGCCGGCGCCCGCAGCCGATGCAGCGGAGCCTACGGCCGAACCTACGGCGGAGCCGACCGCGGAGCCCACTGCGGAGCCGACGGTGGAACCGACGGCGGAGCCCACAACCGAGCCCACGGCCGAGCCGACGGCCGAGCCCACTGCAGAGCCCACAACCGAGCCCGTGGCCGAGCCGACGACCGCGGAGGAACCGGACGTCCTCGCCGCCGGCGAAACAACCGTCGAAGCCGACATGGCCGAGGACGGCGGGACGGCGCTCGGCGACGCGCTGCCTTCACCAAACGACGACGACCGCGCGGCCACGAAGCTGCAAGCTAGAGTAAGGGGCCGCAATGCGCGAACGACAAAGCGCGTCGCCATCGCGGGCGAGCCCGCGCGCGGGCGACGCGTGCGGACGCTGGGCAAGCGCTTCGACGAGAAATTACTGCTCTGCGCTGTGGTAGCAAGAGCGGACGGGTCCGTCGATGTCGAGGCGACGTCCTTGGGGTCCGCGCGCAAATCAATAGCGACGGTGCGCTCCGAGGACATCGCCGAACTGGCGATGCAGGGCGCCGACGAAGACCTGTCACATGAAGATGCTGATATGCTATCAAAACGCGTCTGCGAGCTCGTGGACCCCGCGACGTTCAGCCCGGCGCCGGCGCCGAAACGATTAGAGAGACGGCCGACGCCCGCGCCCCGTTCCTTCGCCTACGGCGAGGACGCCGACCTCGGAATCTATGAGGACGACGGGGCGTCGCCACCGCCGCCTTTCACGCCCTCGGATCAATTCCTCGAGAGCGGCATGCCGTTCAGTCCCGAAGAGCTCGAGGAGCTCCGAGCGCTATTACGTAGCGGAGCTGGCAGATTAGGATCGGCCCTAGAGCCGTTATCACCAAGATCTCAAGCCGAGGCGGAACAACTGGAACTGATCCTCGAGAAGTGTAGTATAAGGCAGCCGCGGTTGTGTGCGGAACGACTGGTGCGGGAGGACCTCGGATGGGAGTTTCTGGTGCAGGTCGTCGCGTCGGAGCAAGAACCGACCGTGTTCCAATTACTCGAAGGTTTAGTACCTCGAGGCGCCGCCGCGAAAATACACGCGGCGGCCATCGAGGAGTTGGAGTTCGAGCGCTCTTTAGCAGCTCAAGGCCACCACGTCGAAGCTCGTAGACAAAGTAGGGCCGCCATGGAGGCCTGGGAGGAGACGCAGCGGTTCCACGAAGAGGAGCCGGAGCGACCACCTTCCCGCACTTCGGTACGGTTCGCGACCGGTGACGAGCCCGTGTTTCCCGACGGTAGAGAAGTAGATAGGGATGAAGATGAGATCAAGCAAGATGTTGATCAACAAAGAGAGACGCGAAGTAGAGAAGGGCCTCGCGCGAGGTTCGCGGACCCCACGCCCGTCAAAGGACAACCTATGTCGTCGCACTATGTGGATGAGGAGGAGACGTCTGATGAAGAATCGATAAATGACGTCGACGCGTGCGCTACGACCCTACAAGCTCGGTACCGGGGCCACGCCGAACGGTCGCAGCGTCTCACGGAGCAGAAGATGGCCACGACACTCCAAGCGGCCGAGCGCGGTCGACAAGGTAGGATCATGGTCGGCAAGTCGGCCCGGAAAAGACGTGAACGTCCTTCCCTGGAGATCGAACAGCCATCGGTGCAGAGTGAGACCGACGACGAGGCCGTCTTCGACGTCGTCGAGCGACGCGTCGATGCGCTGTTCGAGGAGTCGCTGCCGGCGCCGGACGTGCCCGCAACTCCACCTCGGTCGCCTCTACGCGAAAAGGCCGCAGCTCTCTCGCCGGAGATCGAGAAGGTCGTCGTTGAGGCGGAGGCCATGGAGCGCGAGGCTCAAGTGAAAGAGGAGCTCGCGGAGAAGCTCAAGTTGGAAGTGGAAGAATTAGCTACTCGTGCAAAGGAGGCCGAGGAGAAGCGGGCGTTGTCCTCAGCGCGGCGCCACCAAGCCGAGGCCGAGCTCGAGAAGTTGAAACCTGAGACCGAGGAGCTCGAGCGGCAGCTCGCGGCGCGGCGGGAACGGCGGCGGAGTTTGCAGGCGGCGTCGCCGCCGACGTCGCCCTCGTAGTGGGGATTTTTAAGAATGATTTAAGATAGGACTCGTCTCGCGTCCGCCGTCTCAGCGCGGACGTCGCCGTCACGACGCTGTGTTTTCGTTGGTGTTTGTTTTGCGTGAATAATGTACGGGGGGCGTCGTAGAGCGTGCTTCTCGCCGGGATGGGTGGTTGAAGTTCACAACCCGCAAGACTATTTGCTAAATTTAGCTAAAAACTGACGGTAGACGGAGTAGAAGGCGCCACTGCTGTTCGCCGCAATGCATTGGCCGCGTCTCATTGCTGTCATTGGTGCGGCCAATGGCCTCCGACCGAGTTTCGACCCGATCGGCTTGGCTGCGCGCGATGCCGGGCGCCTTAGCCAACTTGACCCTGTCAGACAGCCGTCCAGGGAGACCGCGGCGATCGTGAGCGCTGCCGCTCTGGCCACATCAATGCTGCCGGAAGCGGCGGTCGCCAAGGGAGGTGAATATGGGTTAGCCGAGGGCCGCATCATTTCTTTAGCTCATCCGGTAGCGATGGGCGGCTGCTTCCTGGCGACGCTGTACGCGGGCTACACGGGCCTCCAGTGGCGCATGTTAAGGGAATTGGGCGTTGAATTGAAGGAGGCGCGCGCCGCGGCCTCGGCCGCACAAAAAGCCGTGCAGGAGCACGCCGGCGCCGGCGCCTCCGACGAGGAGGCCCTGGCGCCGCCGCCGCCATCATTGGTGCAAGCGGCGTCCGACGCCGACGCGACCGTCGCCGCCCTGACGGAGAAGCGGTCCGCCATCCAAGCGGGCAACTTCAGAGATAGGCACTACCAGCTCGGGACGATTCTGCTCGCCGTGGGCATCCCCATGGCCCTCGAGGGCCCGGTGAACACGTACATGCGCGCGGGCAAGCTCTTCCCGGGGCCCCACGTCTACGCGGGCGTCGGCGTCGCGTCGCTCTGGGCCATCGCCGCGGCGCTCGTCCCGGAGATGCAGAAGGGCAAGGAGTGGGCGCGCACGGCGCACATCGGCGTCAACGCCGTGACTTTTGGTCTGTTCGCCTACTACCAGATCCCGACGGGCCTCGAGATCGCGGCCAAGGTGATCGAGAAGACGAAGTTCCCCTAATTAGTATTGTTTCGGTCTTAGCCTCGGTCCTATTTCGCGGCCCAGCCCGAAGTCGGCCCCGGCAGCGTGTTCAGGAAGTAGAGCGCCGCGCCCATGGCGGCCACGGCCGCGCCCTGCACGACGAGCTTGCCGTCGACGCCGCCTCCGTCGGCGGCCGCGGCCGGCGCGGGCGGGTCCGCGGCGGCCGGCGCCTCGTCGGCGTCGGCTTCGTCGGCCTCCGACGAGAGCAGGACGTGCGTGCCGCGGTGCTGTAATAAGCTCGACGGGTGGTAGACGAGCGCGGTGGTGGCTCCGAGGCACAGGAGCAGGAGGTTGAGGACTCGCATGGTGTTCTTGTGTTGTGCGGTGCGCTGCTGCGCTGAGTTTGTGCTATGTACAATGCGCTCACGCTGCCGCGAACACTTGCTGCTAAGATGGCGCCAACTTGGTTGCACAGTGTGCCGGCTATAACGCGTCGTTTCTTTCGCGTTGGCGGCGTGGGCTAGGTAAGGGCGTTACGTTGCTGCGCCCAGCGGCCTCTGGTTGTGAACTGCGGCTTGTTCGGCCGCGCACTGATGCTCAAGTGATATTTGATCTGCCCAAGAGCATCTCTACGCACTTAGGGCAAGCACGATTCCTTTGAAGCGTAGAGACGTCGCAGTAGGCGCTGCCGGCGCGCTTGGTGCGTGATTTGGACGTTTCCGCGGACCCCACTAGAGAAAATCAGAGTTGGCATCAAGTGCCACTCTGGCATTGCTGAGCCCCTGCGCGAGCGCCACAGCGAGCCACAGCGAGAATCGTGCCCGCTGCGTTAAGTCCCAGCAACCCCGCAGCCGTGACCCAAGTTTCACCGCTTTCGGAGAGCCCAAAGATGTACAAAACAGCATTGCTCGCCCTCGCCCTCAGCGCCCCCGCGCTGGCCATCAAGAAGCCCGCCCACGGCGCCGCGGCGCTCAGAGTACGCGGCGGGACCTTCGGCTTCGACGCCCATCAAACTGGAGAGCAGTGTGGCATCGAAGAGCCCGAAAAAGAAGTCGTGAAGACGATCAAGAGCGCCGTGACCTATCCGTTGAAGGTCCTCGGCATCAGAGGAGGCGCGCTCCTCGACGTCTCGGCACGCGAGACGGCCGAGGCGTGTGAGATTGAAGACCCTGAGCCCTTAGTCGTACGCACCATCAAGGCCGCGTTCGACTACACGGCGGAGAAGGTCCTCGAGAGCGGCGTCGTGCCGGACGAGCTCGTGGCCGATTAGGGCCGAGCCGGAAAAAGAAAATCCAAGCTCGTCCGTCAAAGTCCCGCCCTGTGTAATCCATGTTCTCTCAAAAACTTCGCCGCGTCGACGGCCCGGGCGTATTGGTGGGGTCAAGTGCGCCCCGGTGGGGTCGAAGCGCGTACCACCAGCACGCCGTCGCCGCGAAAGTAATAGTACATTCATATGTTACATGCGCGCGCGACGGAGCCGCCCGCGCAGCGTCTCCTCCAACCGGGCCCGGTCGACGTCTCGCGGGGCCTGCGGCCCGCCCGGTAACGTGTCGACGGACATGACGGCCTGCCGGCACGTCTCGGCCACGGCGAACGGGGCCGAGGCGACCGGCATCGTCACCGAGACCTGCCGCTTCGGCGGCGGGCTCGCGCCGAAGATTTTCGTGCGCCACGCCTCGCGCGACTCGCCCGTCTCGCGCGATAGCACGTCGAGGGACCGGCAGATCTCGCGCGCGACGGCCATGTCGTCGAGGTGCGGCGGCTCGCGGCCCGTTTTCTTTGGTGGTGCCGTGCGCGGCCTCCCGGATTTCTTCAGGTAGGCCTTCTTGTTCAGGTAGCCCTCGACCTGTTTCTGCCGCGACTGCGGCGTATCGTAAGTGGGGGTGGCCGCGCGCCGCTTCGCGCGCTTGCGCCACTGCGCCTCTTCCTCTTTACTAGGTGAGACGACCTCCGCCGTCTCGTCCACGAGTTTCTCCACCGCCTCCAAGCGCTTCGCGATCTCCGGCAATCGCGGGTCCGCACTCATTGTAGCATCCTCGAGGCGCTTCGCGCGGCGCGCCTCCGTGTCTTCCCGCGCCCTTAATATCCGCTCGCGCCGGTCGAGCGCCTCGGTCCGCGCGTCCAGCCGCCGCTCGCGCTCGGCAACGGCAGCTTCGCGGCGCTTGACGGCCGCGAGCGCCCGGATGATCAGCGCCTCGCGCTTGTCGAGCGCGCTCCTGCGCTTCGCGTCGAGGCTCAGCCGCTGCTCCAGCGCGGCGTCGATCGCGTGACCCTCGTAGATGCGCGGCCGCGGCTGCGGCGCGGGCGTGGGCGCCCTCACCGGCGGCGCGGGCGCCTCGGCGAGGACGTGGGCCATGGTGTGGGTGGTTGCCGTACTTGGGGCTGTTCTTCTGGTCCGCCGGGCTGCCCGATCACTAAGCCAGCGCGTCGACGGCGTCGGTGCGATGCGTGTGTGCTGCTTGTGACGGTGCCTTGCGCTTTTGTCGCGACAGCAACCACTGATGCGCTGTGCATGGCGCTGGGCGGCTTCGCAGACGCGCGCACTGAGTGCGCGCGAGCGACAGGGACACGAGAGGCCTATAGAGGGCTCCGTAGGCCTTCCGTGGCTTCGGCTACCTCCACTCGCGCGTGCGGGTTGTTCCTTTTTTTCCACACAGCCACGGCACAATTGGATTCAGGGCAGCCAAGGGCAGCCAAAGGCCTCGCGCACGCGTAGCGACCGGTGCGGAGGCAGCCCTCGCGCGACCGCACACCAAAAGAACCGCTGCAAGCCACGCCTGTGGTAGCACCAGCCGACAGGCTGCACAGCTGTCGCCGCACAAAAGCTCCGAGCTCGCCTCTCGCTCGTTAAACACGGCCGAATTTCAGAAATGGCCGCCGAGGAGAAGTCTACCGAGCCGGAGCCGAGCCTCGTCGATTCATTGACGGACCTGCCGCAGCAGGCGTGGAGGTCCGTCGTAGATACGCTAGACGAGCGCACGGGCCTACCGAAATACCCCATCCTGCGCTACGTCTCGGACGGCGCCGACGCGCCGCCGCCGCCCAACTACATCCGCGAGCAACCCATGGGCTTCGCGCCCGTCCGCGAAAATGATGATGAATCATTGCCGAAGTCCTACGAGGACGCGGTCGCGATGACGGAGTTCGTCTGCGAATTTGTCGATTTACTGACGAAGCGCGGCCTGCGCGTGCGGCATTCTGGTGCCTCTTGTATTCTGAGGTTGTCGCGTTCTTGTCGGGACGTGTCCTTCGCGGGTCAGTCGTTCGCGCTCGCGGACGCGACGGTGAAGAACGGCTTTGCTGAGAATGAATTCGTTTTTGAGGTCGGGGATCAGGCATACGCCTTCGAGACTTATGATGGAGCGACGCGCGAGCTCGTCGTCGACGGCCTTCGCTTATTGGTAGAGAGGGCCGTGAGCGACTTCTTCACGTCGGACGAGTTCCGCGTGCGGCGGGCGCGGCGGCGGGCGGCTGCTAGTAGTAATACAACAACACGTTAGTTTTTTTTTCATTTTGCTCGGCGGCGTGGGTATTCATACATGCTCGGTGGCGCGGGTAGCACCGTTCGCTGCGGGGCTCCAGGCGCCATGTAGGCCCCACGGGATAAATGGCGCGTCGTCGGGCAGGGCGAGCTCGCAGACCGGTCCCGCGGCGAGGTCACCGCAGTCGAGCACTATAATCGTAGACCGCTGCGTCGCGGCATCGTAGACCGGCGCTATAAGATAGGCATCAGTCTCGTCCTCCCCTGTTGCCGCGAGCACCGCGTCGTCCGTGAACCGCCGCTCGCCGCAGAACCACGAATCGACGACGGCATCCTCAGATACGTCGACGCGGACGAACGCCTGGGGCGGTTGCGGTGCAGCATAAGTGAGGTCATTGATGTCACCACGCGCGACGGCGGCGCCGGCGGAGGCGTAGACGAATTTGTTCTCGAGGCCACCGGCGGCCGGGTGCACCTTACAGTGGTCCAAATGCGCACCGCTACACAGCACGCGCGCCCTCGCGCCGCCGCCGTGGCCGCTAAACGACACGAGCTGCGTCACCGCAGCTCCCGAAAAATCGCCGCCGAGGAGCGGTGCCCAGTCGCCGAGGATGTCCCGTCGTTCGGACGCCATCGCGTTGACGCAGTCTGGAGGCCAGCACGCCGCGATCATGGACGGGCAGCCCGATGTCTCGTCGTCCCAGGCGTTGGCGACGTGAATAGGATGGTACCTGCGTGGACATGTCTGACGCCATCGACGCGTTGATTCCGACGCTGCGTCGTGCGCGTCGGGGCACACGTACCGCTCCGCCGTTCCGCCGTTTCTGCGGTCGAGGGCATGGAGCGTCGTGCCCTCTCCCGCGCGTATTCGCTTGTCGTCGAAGAACACGCCCTGTGCCGGGCCGCGGAAGCCCAGGACGTAGCCCAGCACCTCGACGCTTGCCTGCGTGTGAATATGAGCCGCGGCGATGGCGTGAATGTCGACGCTGACCTCGCGCCGGTGCGGCTAAGAAACAAGCACGGGTGGGCGTCGCTCCTATATCATGGGGCGCGAACGACACGCCCTCGAGGACGCCATCGACGCCGCCCTCGGCGTGGCCGCTGACGTCCGAGAGCTCGTGGAGCTTCACGAAGAGGTCGTCGCCCAACGCGGGCCGTCGCCACGACCACGCCACGGTCTGCTTCGTCGTCGCGCACGCGGCGTAGTGCGCGCTCACGGCGTCTCCCGTGAAGGGCAGCGGCAGGTCTAGCGGGAGCGCGCCGGGTGGTCCCGGGACGACTCTCTCGTCCAGCGAGTCGACGCCTACTGTGTGAAGTGTCTCCATGTCGAGGGCGTGCGGCGCGCCCGCTTCCCACAGCGCCAGGACGCGGTCGCGGCCCGGGATTGCCAACACGTTCGTGTTTGCTGGATTCTTGAGTTTCAGGTCGAAGGCGTTCGCCAGCGGGCCGCCCGGCCTTTGCGTTCCGAACGTGGTCCTCCATGTGATCTTCTCCTGCTCCTCGACGTAGCCGGCCGTCTCCACGAAGCGTGCGCAGTATGTAGCGCCGCCGTCGGCGAAATCCAGCGCGAAGACGTAGCCGTCGCCGTCGAGCCAGTGTGCGTAATCCTCGCTGCCGACGCCAAATCTTCCCGGACCGACCTTGTAGGCCGTGCCGCGCAGCGCTGCGGGAATGGCACCGTGCACGACGTCGAGCGGCGTGCGTCGCGGGCACTCGCTGGCCGTGCGGAACATGGTGCGCCAGTCGGTTTTGCTCCACAGCGCGGCGGCGGCGTGCAGCAGCAGCAGCAGTGAGGATGCCTTTGGCATCTTGCTGGCAGCGCTTTCCGAGAGTTGCCTGGCAGCAGCAGTGGCCTCAGACCGGTCGACACGTATTCGACGAGGCCTCAAATATGATCTGTCGTGGCTGATCGCCGCGTTCTATTGCAATTGCTGCCACAATGCAAAACCTGTTTTGAGCCTTGCTTCCCGAAGGCCGCGATTCTCTGAGAATACGTATATAAGCCGTCGCAACGTCTCATTCAAACTAATGCAACAAACATTGAGGCCGACTCAGGCTTTCTCCACGTCCCACCCGCGGGCGCGGCCGAGCGGGACTTGCGCTGCTAAAAGCGGTCCGCGACTTCGTTAGACGTACACAAACGTCTCTAAAGATTTCAACTTTGGTCCAAATCACCTGCGGAACGAGCGGCGGATTTGTACCCGCACGCCGAACACTCTCTCAGGCAGTGATCTCACACAAACAGGTACGTAGACGCGCGCGCGAGGTCCCAAACCCATTCCACCACCGCATCACTTCAAACTATCGCTCGCGCGGCCGTGTGCGAAGTCGCGCAGCGCGCGCTGCTCCACCGGTTACAAATTGCCCTCGAGAGCCCAGGAACACTATTTGTGCGCGCGCGGGCGTCAAAGGAGCTCCGGGCCCGACGGGATCGCGGCGCGCAAGGCTGCTCACAGCAATCCCAAAAAAAACAACGAGTTTCTTTTTGCAGCCTGTACAAATGCGCGCCGCTCGCGAGCCGGATACAAAAATCGCCCAAAAACGAGAGGCGAGCCAAAAAACGAGAGGCGAGCCCGGACGCGCCTCCCCCAAAAAGGAGCGAGACGCAACCACCACGCGCGCAGGCATCCTTTCGGCCAAGTAGAATACTAAACGAAAGCGTAAAAAAAAGAAGAACAACAAGCAACCATGAACCCCAGCAACATCCAGATGAAAGACACGCACGACGGCGTAGTCGTCAGAGCAGACGGCCGCACGCTCCTGGCCAAGCTCGTCTTCGCGGGCTCGGCTCGTTTGGCCGAGTGCGACCTCGGCATCGACGAGCTACGGGCGGCGTTCAAGCGCGCGCACGGCGAGGAGGCCTCGAAGGTTCAGATCAGTGTCCGGAAATCACCCGCGGTAAGGCTGCTCACAGCAATCTCAAAATCCAAAAAATTGAAAGATTTTTATGAATTGCAGCCTGTCCAACCGCTTGGAGACTTCTAATCTGGGGGTTACTGACCGGTCGCGTCGCACACAGGGCACGCTCACCTACCAGCTCAACGAGCAGGACTCAGATCACCTCCAGCTCCTCGACGACGCCGACCTCGCGTTGGCCAAGAAGCACGGCTCCGAGCCGCTCAAGATCACGTCGACGGAAGTCGACACGCGCAATGTCTTCGACCACGCGGCGGCGGAGCTCGCCAAGCATGGGTTGGATGCGCCTTCAACCGAGCTCAAGAAGCTGTTGGACGTGCTCCAGTTCAAGCCGCGGCGCCTGGTCAAGTGCGGCCTTGCGCCTCCGAAAGCTTTGAAGTGCACTGCCAAAGGAGACGAGGCCGAGGAGCCCGAGGACGTGTTAGTGGTCGAGGCTTTATCTATCGAAGACAAGGAGGCCGACGCGACGTTGGACGACGCCGCTTTAGCTGCCAAACTCCAAGCCGAGGAGTACGGTACTCATGATGTCGTGCTCGAGGCGGTGACGGGGAAGGGCGTGAAGCTCGACTCCAACACTTTGCATGCTTTACTACGCATGCTCCACTGCCGCCCGGCTAGATTTGTGAAACTGGGCCTCGTCGAGGACGTCAAGGCCGCGCGCCAGGCCTACAAGTTGGGCGGGCGCGCGTGCGCCAAGGAGTGGTTCCGCAACAAGGGCGGCCACGGCAAGGGAGGCAAGGGCTGGGGCCGCGGGCTCCACGGGCGCGGCCGCTGCCACGGTCGCGGCGCCGGCTGGGCCTTCGAGGTGTCGATGGAGGAGGAGCACCGCTGGGGCCGCCGCGGCGGCCACGGCAAGGGCTGCCACGGGCGCCGCTCGCGCTCGCGCGAGGGCCGCGGCTGCCACGGCAAGGGCCGCGGCCACGGTCACCCGTGGGGCAAGGGCGAGGGCGAGGGCAAGGGCTGCCACGGTCACCCGTGGGGCCCGCCCCCGCCGCCGCCGGCGTCGCCGCCGCCCCACGACCCGCGGGGCTGCGGCCGCTGGTAGAGCGGTGCGCTCTCCCGGAGGCGCGCGGTGACACGCGTCGGCCTCGTCATTCTCCGTCCTTCAGAACCCTCTAAGTCCCCCGCCGCTCCGGCGGCTCCCCTGCGCTCGCGGTTGTATCGGCACCTACACGAGAAACGTGCTTAACGCGCTGTTAGAACGCTCGTCGCCGCCGTGGGGCGGTCGAGAAGAATGAAAAAATAATCCCCCAATCACTCTGGTTGTGCCTGTCACAAGTCAGACAAAAGCAGAGTGGGGTGGCGGCTGCTGACGGGCAGCCGGCGAAGCCTTAATGCTACCACAACCAGCTAACCTCAGGCTGAGCCAATGAAATTCAGTACCTCTGATTCGTAGCCGCGTCTGCTCGATGGCGTGGAGGGCCTGCGCCGGCATCGCGACGATGATCGCGTCCGGTGCCAGTCTCCCCAGGGGCTCCTCCCACTAGTCCTCCGAGTCACACCCGGACCGTTACAGACGAGGATGCTGAGATACCCACTTAGTTCCCCCCTCCAGAGGCCCGGAGCGGCTTCTTGAGCCGCAGCGTGTCTCCACTAAAACCGCCGCCCGCACCGGCCGGGTACGACGCCATCAGGCAGAGAGCCGCCGCCATCAAGCAAGCCGCCTCGGTCGCCGCGACGATGACCTGGTGCTCGAGGAAAGTCCTACGCTTCCGCCTTATCGTCCCGGCCTCGTTCCAGAGCATGTCACTCCGCTTGAGGTGCTCCTCCCGCTCTAACTCCCCATCTAAATAATCAACGTCGTAGGAATCGCCTCTGTCCCTATAGATCGTCGCCGGCCGCCCGCGCGCCTCGACCTCGTCGCCCTCCTCCGGTTTGTAGAAGAGCCTTACCGAATTGTCCCAGGGGCAACTCCCGTGCTCGATCCAGACGCCGTTCGAAGCCGCTTCCCTTTCGCAGCGCTCCCAGTTTCTGGAAACGGACTTGTACTGGTGGCGGATCTTCGTCGACCGTTCCGACGCCGCGGCAATTAAGACCAAGGAAGTGATCAATGCTAGTACAACAGCCTGCCATAGATATTTGCGGTCGTAATACCAGTGCTGCGGGTTCCTTTTTTGCGCCGCTTCGCCCGCAACCCGCAGCACGCGAATACGCCTCGCAGAATCCGTGGCGACGATGACGTAGGGCACGACGACAAAACCGCAAACTACCAACACCCAGAACAAGCTTCGGGCGGCGTAGGACTCCTCCAATATCGCGGGATCGTTCTGGTGCCGGTCCTTCGACCCGTGGACGATGCACTGGTTGTCCCACAGACACAGCCAGAAGAAGCCCACGTAACACGTCATGAACGCGAGCATCGCAAAAACCGACGCGCCGTCGGCCCAGCGTAGGATCGTGGCCCTCCTGACCAACTTCGTGCCGTCGCCGTCCTTCCCTAACTCACCGAGCAAACCAGTAGTGTCCATCGAAGGCTTCTTGTCGTCGTCTTCACCATCTCCGTCTTCATTTTTAGCTTGGGCCTCCCGGAGCTTCCTCCTTTCTAAAACGCGCTTCCGCGCCTTCTCCCGCGCCGTCAGCCCGGTCTCCTCGTCCTTTGGGGACGTCGGCACCAAAGCATCATCATCTTCCGCGCGCTTCATGCGATCTCTCCGCTCCAGCGCGCGCGCGCGGCCGTCGCCCCTTGGATTTACAGGGTCGACGGGCTGCTCGCCCGTGTTCTCCACGTCCGCGTCGGAGTCATTCGCTTCCTCCCGGGCCTTCCGCCGCGCCAGCACGCGCCTGCGGGCCATTTCCCGCGCGGACAGGCCTTCGTTAATGTCGCGCGACGCTTCATCAACACGTTTCCGCGCGTCGGCGCCCGCGCGCTGCGTCAGGGCCTCGTCATCTAATCGCCGCCGCGGCGCTCTCTCTTCTTCGTCCGAACTCTCGGCCGCGCGCCGCCGCGCCTCCAACCGCGCTCGTCGATCGCCGTTGTCGCGCCGCGCCGGCGCGTCCTCGTCCGAGCTCTTGCGTCTGGTGGGCGCGCGGCGCGCCGGCGCGTCGTCGGAATCGCTGCTGCTGGAGTCGCGCGGCATCTTGGCGCGGCGAGTTGGGGGGCAGCTGTTGGTGCTAGCCGGTGCGGCGCGGTCGATGCGTTCCGCACGCTCGCGCTCGTCGACGGCGTCCAAGAGGGCCCGCAAGCTGCTCCTGGGGCAGCCCGGCGCTCGGCTGGGTGCGCTTGGCACGCTTTGTCTTTGCCGCGGTTAAGCAGCCCGCCCTTTGTTTTTTAGCGCGATTTGGCACTTCGTTTTCCAAGTAGCAGCGGTACGACGGGCCGGCGGATACGTGCTCCTGGCGTCGGAGCCGTTTTTCGGAAAAAAAACATGGAGCTTGGCCGAGAAGCGGTTGCTCGACGAGGCTGCCCATAGGCTGCCCAACGAGAAGCGGCGCCACGCAGCGCACGCGCAGCGAGCAGCGGACCGGTGCAGAACGCTCGCACGATGGACGAGCCCGCCGAGCTGTCCAACATCAGGGTTGTAGTAAGGGTGCGCCCGGCACAAGATAAAACAAAGACGGAGGCTGTCACATGCGGGGACCAGCTCGAGGTGGATTGTGGTGATGGGAAGCGCTTCACGGGTGCGTTTGCTGATATATTGGGGCCCGCAGCGACGCAGAATGACGTCTACCGCAAGGTCGAGGACGTCGTATTACAAACAACCGAAGGTATTAACGCGTGCGTCATGGCTTATGGGCAGACCGGGGCCGGCAAAACACATACGATGCTCGGCGATAACGACGGTATCATTCCGAAGGCTTTGAACGCTCTATTTGACAAGCTCGGGAGCGACGAGCCGCCCACACCTGTTGCCCAAACTCCAGCACCTAGAGCGGCCAAAGTCTCCGTCAGTTTGTTGCAAATCCTGGGCGAGAAGCTCGAGGACCTCCTATCGCCTTCATCAGAAATACCGCTGAGGGTGCGGCTGGCCTCCCGTGTTACCGATGAGCTCTACGTGTCTGGGTTGTCCTCCATCGTGGTGGACGACGCCGAGGCAGCTTTAAAAGTTGTGAATCGGGGCTTGAAAGGGAGACGAGAGCGCTCGACCAAAAGAAACGACGCTTCTAGTAGATCGCACGCCGTGTTGAGGGTCGACATCGAGAAAACGGATGATGTAGAGGTCGTCAAGTCTCGATTATATTTGGTTGATTTAGCTGGAAGCGAACGGGCCTCGGCCCTCGAGGACGACGCGGAGGGCAGCCCGTCCAAAATGTACAACCCCTCGGAGACGCAGCGCTTCAAAGAACACGTGGACATCAACCGTTCGTTAAGCGCTCTGGGGAACGTGGTGTCGGCCCTCAGCGACGGGCCGACGAAACGGCCGCACGTCCCTTATAGAGACAGCACGCTGACGCGGTTGTTGCAGGATTCATTGGGGGGGAATACGCGGACGGCAATTGTGGCGTGCTGTGTGGAAATCAACCAGTGCGTCGGGTGCTTCTCAGCGATGGCGTGGCCGCGCTGGCTCTGTCGAGCGGCGAGGAATCGGCATCGCCAAGCCATCGAGCAGGCGTCGCGTCGATGGCGTGGAGGTCGACGCGGCGATTCAGGATGAACGCGCCGTAAAATTTTGATTTCCACACAGGTGGCGTGCTGCGCCCCCGAATCGATCTACGCGGACGAGTCCGTGTCTACTTTGAAATTTGCGGACCGCGCGCAGCGCGTCCTCGCGCGCGTCTACGCGAATCGCGACGTCGTGCCGTCGGCGTCCGACGCGACGCTCGCGACGGCCCTCAAAAAGGCCAAGGACGAGATCCGGCGCCTCAAGGAGGCTTTGAGGAGCGCATCGCCGGTCAAGCCGCCGTCCTTCGTGAAGCAGATGCAGCTCGTCGACGTGACGAAGAGCCTCCAGGCCGAGGTCGCGGCGCTTCGCGCGGAAAATGAACAGTTGAGGAAGCTCTTGGATCCTCAGATGGCGGCCAGCGTCAAGGCGGTCCCCTCAGCAGATATGGTCTCGCGGACGTCGCCGCGGAAGAAGAAGAAGCAGCGGGGGCGGCCGCCGCGGCCGTCGTCGCAGCCCGACGACGTTAGTATAACACAGTTCCAGCAGCGGCTCGAGAAGCTGGATACCGTCGTGGGCCCGCGGCCGACGTCGGCCGCGCGGGCCTCCTCCGATAGCTTAGCAGCGGAGGCTGCCAAGCTTGAAGAGAAGGCAGCTTCTAAGATGCTGGCGGAACGCCAAGCCCAGGTCGAGGAGGAGCTGTCGCAGGACGAGGCCGAGTTCGAGCGGATCCGGCGGGAGCGCGAGGAATTGGAGAGGCAGCTGGCCGAGATGGAGGCGGTCGACGAGCCGCCGCCTCCACAAAAAACGCCGCCCCGGCCCCAGCGGCGCCGCCGGCGGCGGAAACCAGCCCCGGCACCAATCGTCCAGTCGCCGCCGCCGGAGGAACCTACGGCGATATTGTATGGTGACATGAGAGACGTCGGCGGTCGCGTCGAAGTGTTTAGCTTCCGGTTCAACCGGGCTTATGCTGGGGACGTCGTCTCGTACGATCCGAAACGTGGATTACATTGTGTCGCCTACGACGACGGCGAGAAGAAGTGGCACGACCTCTTCGACAAGTCGATCAAGTGCCTGAAGGCTGGGAACGGCAGGGAGACACCGCCGGAAGCCCCTCCCTCCACGACGCCCTTATCGCTCTCGCACGCGCTGGCGCGGCGCGGCGGGCCGCGCCGCAGACCTCGCCGCAAGAAGAAGCTGACCAACAACCCGGTGGCCGCGACGGGCTACGTGACGACGTCGCCGTGCAAGGGCTCGGAGATGCTGCCCCAGCTTGGCGAGATGTACGGGCCGGGGCGGGGGGATGCGGTCGGGGCGTTCTAAGTTTGTGTTTTGTTACATTCTTACTAACATATCCGGTGGCGGCGGTGGCGGCGGTGGGGCGCGTGCTACAGGGGGTCGCGACGGCGGCGGGGCTCAAACAATAGGCCGCTCCCAGTCGTACACCGCATCCTCCAACCGGCAAGCCCCCTTCAGCTGGCTCCGCGACTTGCGCGCGACAATCGCAGGCGTCGATTTTCCGAAGGGCGCATCCGGCACCAGGGCGAACGCCTCGGGCGGCGCCGCCGTCGTCAACACAGCTAACGCTGCCCGGAGCGCTAAGTCGCTGTCGCGAGGATCATCGGATTTCGACCGGAATGTGATGCCCCAGGTGCCTTTCGCGGGCAGCTCGCGCCGCCACGGATTGTCGGCTACAACCTTTTCTGCGGCGGGCGTCGCCCAGTTATCAATGGAAGGCACGTCGAGCAGCCGCAGATCTAGCAATTGCGAGTAGGTCTCGCTCGCTTCGATATGCGTCAAAGAGCGTGCTATCTGCCGATCTTCTGGTAGCGCCAGGTTCAGCACGTAGCACCCGTCCGGCCGAAGCGGGGACCAGACATTCGCCCAGCCCGCCTGGTTCACGACGCGCGCCCGCTCGGGTGGTGTCAAAATTTCGAACAGCGCTGCTAAGTCAATCGGCCCTCTGAGCTTCGCCAGCAGCGCACAGGTAAGGCGAGCCCTCCGGCCCGAGCACGCGTCCTCCTCCGTGGCCCAGGCGTCGTCGTCGTCATTTGGAACTTGCGCGGGCAGCCCGTCGTCGGCCAAGGGGCACCATCGTAATAACGCTCGGGCCTGGTTCACCGTCACGGACGGAGCCGCGCCGACTAGATCCAGCGCGTCCTCGAGGGCCACGTCGGGTGCTACTCGTCGCTGGGAAGCATCGGAGCTGCGGCGCCGCGCTCTGCCGAGAGACTCGCACGACCCGGCCACCGTGAGCGTCTCGGGCTGTCGCCGTCGCCGAACGTCGGGAAGACCTGCTTTGACGAGCGACCGGAGCCGGAAGAGCTCGACGAACGCCGCCGCGGCGCAACGATTGCCGCCGAATAAACGTTTAGTCGGCTTGTCCGCCGGTCGGGGCCCTTCCACGAGCGTCGCCCAGGCGCGCCGCTGCTCGTCGGATCGGCACCAACCGAACGCCTCGCAGGCGTCCACAAAGACAGTCGAATCCAGCGCGGGCGTCGTCTCCGGTTGGGGCGGGGCGGGCGACGCGACGTCGACGACCACGTGGCCGTCCGTTCGCGAACCGAGCGAGGGCGCTCCCTCGGATGCGAACAGCGCCGCGAGCTGCGCGTCGCGCTTCGGCTCCCCGCCGATTGTGATGCCGAGGGGCTGGTAGGAGCCGTCGACGCGGCAGTTGCGGAACGCATCGACCGCGAACAGCTCGCGCAGCGCCGTGCGGTCGCCGGGCCGCGACAAATCGAGGGCGTAGCGGCCGTCGCGGGGCCCGAGGAAGGCGCGGTGGCCGGGCCCGAGCTTGGCCCGCAAGGCGCGGTACCGCTCCACGATCGAGAGACGCTCCTCCGCGTCGGCTTTGTACGAAAACAGCCGCCCCAACAAAGCGTCGCGGACGCAGCGCGCGTCCCTCGGGTCCACGGTCAGCGGCACCACGAGGGCCACGGCCGAAATGTCCGTGCAGTCGTCGCGCTGCGCGAGCGACAGAGCCAGCGCCAGGGCGTCGTCGACGTCCAGCTTGACGCGCGCCTTACAAGCGAGGTGTGCCGCCGCGACGCAATCGTCCAGGTCCTGAGCAAGCTTGAGGACGTTCGCACTCCGAGAACCGCGCACTGTGCGCTCCAGGAAACACCGCAGCTGCAGGACGCCCGTCACCGGCACGTCGAAGGCGTCATCCTCCTTGCGCAGAGGTCGCGGAGGCGCGGCGCCCGCCGCGCGCTGCCGCAAAAGCTGGGGCGTGTCTTCGAGCGCGTAGCGATACGCCGCGAACGCGTCGACCGTCCCCCTTTCGTCAAAGTCCAGGAATCGGAGCGCGCGCTCCGCGTCCTTTGACGTGGCATTACTGTCCACGGACTTGAGGAGCTTCTCCATCTTCGTGAGGTCGAGCGTCTCTCGGGCGACGGCCTTGCCGCGCCGCGCTAATTTCGGCTCGAGCTCCGCCCGGACCTTCTTCACGGTTCGCGCGTCGAGCACGTCTTTGGTATTCTCTTGCGGGCGCCGCAGGCGGAACGCGTCGAAGGTTTTCGGAGCGATCATCGCTGGCCGCCGCGCCCGGGCGTCCGTCCGCGGCGCCTCGACGGGCCTCCTCACTGGCGCGGCGACGCGGGCCACGGCGCCCGCGACGGCGAAGTCGTCCCGCGCGCACAGCCGCAGCGTCTCGGACGCCAGCGCCGCGTCGAGCGGGTCCTCGACATGGAACTCGTACCGCAAAGGCGGCCGCGACTTGCGCGACACGGTGATCTGGTGGAGCCAGTCTACGACCACCTCCTCCGACGCCGCGACGAAGTCGCAGTCCCGCATCACCACTGAACAATTTCGTTCTTCGTCTAGCGCGAGCGACGTGAGGATAACACCGGCAGCACCTACGGCATTCCCCGAGACGTCCAGGCGGTGAACATACCTTGAACGTCGCGCGCCGACGGCCACGACCACAGCGCCCGTCGCATTTAGTCCAGTTCGCGCGAGGGACAGCTCCTCGAGCAGCGCCGCCTGCGTGTTTCTCGCGTTTATATGGCGGTCCACCTCGACGCCATCGCGGCAACAACGTCGTCGAGGAGACCACGTCGTCGCGACGCGCGCACGTTGAATGAAAGGACGCCGGCCCGAACCGTGCGGATCGCTGCGCCAAGAGCGATGCCACCCTGGTTACCAACGTCCGGGTTGTCATTCAGGGAGAGGTGGCGCAGCCGCGACACGCTCAGGCCGTGCGCGATGCCCCGCACGTTCTCGGGCCGCAGCCGGTTGCCGGACGCGTCGAGCGAGGTCAGCGACAGCGGCCCGTCCCGCCGCTCGCCCTCGACGAGGTCCTTTTCTTTGTCGGCGTCGTCCAGCGTAGACGCGTCGCCGACGAGCGCCCCGAGCGGCCCGAAGAAGGGGGCCCGGTACCAGGCCGCGTCGTCCTGACCTTGCGGGTCGCCGTCGCCGAGGGCGTTGTTGCTCAAATCCAGCACCTCGAGGGGCGGCGCGTCCCGCGACCGCAGCGCGCGGCACAGTTCTACCATTGAACCGTCGCGCAGCTGGCACCGCGCGAGGCGCAGGACCCGCAGTCCGTCAAAGCCACCCGTCAATGCCGAGGCCAAGGCGTCCATAGCGAAGGGGCTGACGCCCGACGCGTCGAAGGTCTCGAGCTTTGAGAAAGAGGCGGCGCCGCGCAGGACAGCATTCAAACCCTTCCCGAGGGCGTTGCGCGACACATCCAATGAAGTCAGCTCAACGTCGGCGCGTGTCAGCGCCCTACCTAAGGCAGTGGCCTCGTCGTCCATCAAATGCTGGGCAGCCACGGACACTTTAGATGAGGAAGACGCGTCGAGGGCCCGCAACATGCGCCGCTCGGACGGTTTCAGGTCCTCTTCATCAATACCGTAGGCTTTGTAAAACCTTCCATCAACATCCACAGCAACCTGCTCTGGTTTTGGAGGAGAAGAAACCCGGCGCGGCGGCGGCGACGGCACCTCTTCACCTAAAGGAGCCTTGAAGCCCGATTTAGGCGCCACATAACCAGCAGCAACATCGTTCGTAGGCATCGCGTAGTCACCTGAACCCGAAGCGCAGCCCGCGTCCGTGAGCCACCTATCCCAGAACCCGCCGTCGCCGTCGCCGAAGCGGGCGCGGGGCCCCATTTTTCGTGTCGAGGACAGCGTCGGGTCCCTTTTCACTTGTTCTCGACGTGGTCTCGGTGACCGGTCGTTCTCGCGCTTCAAGTCGTCCACGAGCGTGATGTTCTGTGCCTTTAGTCTTTCCTCGACCTTTTCCAGCGCTTCGCCCACGCGCTCGAAGGGCTTGTTGAGGAACTGCTGGATGCGCTCGACGTTGAAATCCGCGAGCAGATCCAGGTCCTCGGAGTCGGCCGTCGTCCTTCTTGACACCTCGAGGCCGCGGCCGAGGTGCTGGCGCTCCGTCATTTTGTTTTGGCTGTCCTGTCAGGTATCTTTTGGGCCGCCCCTGGCTGCCGTACCGGCTGCCCCTCTCTGGCTGTCTGGCCCAGTGTGATGGGGGCTGGCCCTGCTGTTTTGTGGGACCACGCCGCTCCGGACGCCTTGGTGCGAGAGAGTACGACCTCTGGCAGGTCGGTGGCGCCCAGCGGCCGCTGATGGCCCAGCTCTCCGCGGCCGCGCCGAGACGAGCGCTGTTGCTAGTGTCTTACAGGACGCTAGCACTCGGCTTTACGCTTGCGGCACACACGACTCTTGTGGGCCATCGGACGGCAGAACAGTGCTCGGATAGCATAACTGTGACCAAAATATTGTGCCTCACGATCGCTGCGCGGCGGTGCGTCGATTCCGCACAAAAAGCAGTGGTGGCCTTGCAAGTGCGAAGCTCCTAGCGGTTGTAGAAGCGCCGCACGCCATCGGCGCGACCCCGAGAGGTCATCTACACTACCGTAACAACGCCGGCGCCGCGCCCAGCACGCAACCATGGCGAACCAGGTCAATGAGCGGTTCGCCGAGGACTACCCCGAGTCCTACAGAGCGGCAGACGGGCTGCGCGGCGTCACGCCCGAGGAAATGCAGCAAACGAAACTCGTGGGCCAGATGGAGAACTTAGTTGCGGACCTGGATAGAAGAGCGTCGCTCCGGGCGCCCACTGATCAGTTATCGTACCTCACGTCCGCACAACTGGACGAGGAGTACGCCTGGATCGTGAAGAGGCTGTTTGCAGACCGCGACCCTGGCCGGAGACTCTACGAGGAAAAGTCGCGGGACTTTGACCAATATTATCGGGATTCGGCCGACGAGGTCTCCATGCAATTTTTGAATGCGTACAAGGAGCGGTTCGGGCGCGAGCCGCCCCAGACGCTCGTGGAGTACGCGTTTCCGCTCAGGGACGCGTCCTCTTCGCGTAAGGACGAGGTCCGCGCGGCGCTCGACGCGGCGTATGACAGGTTGCGCGCCGCGGCATTGAAGCGCGAGGCGCCGTCGGAGGGGGTGTTCCTTGTTTGTCCTCGGGGGCTGCGGAAGGCGTGAGGTTTTTTGTCTGGTCGCGCGCGTCTCTCGTTTGTTGGGTAAATTTTGTAGCTTAAGCGTACGTAGGGTGGGGGGACGAGGCCTCCCGTCTTGCACGCCTCGTCGAGACGTGGCTGTCCAACTCTTCGCGACTGGGCGCCACGGCGCTCTGGCGTCTACATTGACCCTCTCCGGGAGCGCGACGAGCCGCTGGGCTTCGCGGCGTCGGGCCGCTGCTGTAGTCGTCGAATAGCCTCAGGAACGGCTGGACGCGCTGCGGCTCCCTTAGGCTTCCTGGTGCTGCAGGAAACAAAAGTCAGCCCTCAGTTTCAGTGTTCGTCCGCCTGAAAAGCGCCTGAACAAGGCGCGCGCGCGTGGCCGAAGCACTGCGAAGCACTGCGAGGACCCGTCTGCAAACGGCCGCAGCAGTAAAATCGGCAGAAACCCGCCGCGCCGGCCCGGAGGACGGGATCCCGCGCGCGGCGATTCATTAAAACCGAGCTCGCCTCTCGCTCGCTAAACCCGGCCGCCGAGACCGCGGAGACGGGCAGCAAGCACCACGGCGGACGGCGTCGTGACGCCGAAGCCCCAGGCCGCGGCCATGGGCGGCGGCGGCGACGCGACGGGGGTGCCCTCCACCGCATTGGTCGTGCCGCGCGACGACACGGCGTATGTGGAATGGCTCGCGTCGGAGCTCTGCAGCGCGACGCAAAACACGACGGCGCCCTGGAGCGTCTGCGAGATCTGGCGCGCGCAAGGGCGCCAGGCGCGCATCCCCGCCGGCTGGGGGCCGCCGCCCTCGAACCCGGAACCGACACCGGTGACCGATGACGACGTCGAGCAGATCTCGCTCGTGTTCGGCGCCGGCGCGCAGCGCGGCTGCTACTCGCCGATGCGCGCGCCGAGAGGCCATACTTGTATGAGGTGTCTCGAGGACCCGACCGCCAAGATGTTAAGGGTGGCCTCGCACGTCACTTTCAGTCCTGGTATTGGTTTAGTTGGTCGAGTGTGGTTGTTAGGCGTCGCCGAAGTTGTGGACGTCCCGGCGGTCGGCGCGTCGTCGACGTACGCGAGGCAGGAGGCGGCGCTCAATGCTGGAGTGCGCACGGCCATCGCTCTACCCGTGGTGCCGCCCGCGAAGACGCCGGGCGGGCCTAGAGCTCCCTCGGCCGTCATCGTCATCTACTTTGGGGAACGGCTCGTGAGGGCTCCCGCAGCAAACGGCGCCGCGGCGACGCTCGCGCAGACGGTCTTGTGCTCTTTATTAGATAGAGCGCGCCTCGCGACGCAGAACGAGGACATCCCGCCTCCACCTTTGGTCCCCGCGTCGGACGCCACGCCGGCGGGCTGGAAGCCGCCGCCGCTTCCTCCCACCGATACCACGCCGCCCGACTCGCGGCCGTCCTCTTTCGAGAGCGGTCCGTCGAGCTTTTCCGACAAGGTCCTCGCGAGAAAACTCGCTCGTTCCTTGGCGGGTCAAGGAGCCTCCGGTGTGCACCCGTGTGGAAATCAACAAGTGAGTTAGGTTCTCGAGCCGATGGCCGTCACGGGATCACGTCGCGTCGACGGCGTGGGGCGCCCGAAATTTGATTTCCACACAGGTGTCCACCAGTGCCCTATCTGCTTTGGGGCGGTGGAGACGGCGGCGCGCGTGGCGGGGTGTGCCCACGTCGCCTGCGCGGACTGCCTCTCGCGCTGGCGCGTCACGAAAGACGTGTGCCCCGTCTGCGAGGGCCCCGTGTATGGCGTTGTGCTCGATGCACAGTTGGACGCGGAAAACGCGCAGCGGCGCGGCCTCCAGAGCTTCTGACGACGCTCTGCCACTTGTTTCATTGTTATCCCGTCGACGGGCCAGTCGCTTTTGGCCTTCCCCCCACAAACTGCTTGCTGTACATAGCTAATATTGTTACTAATCTCTCAGTGACGGGTTTTTCCAGTCGATTTTGGCATGCGCGAACCTGACGCGCGTTGGGCGTGTAGAGCCCGTCACTCTACGCCGTAGCTTATCGTATCGAGCGCGCCTCGATACGCGTGAATCCTGGCGCCCCGAGCACCGATAAATCATGTATGCAAAGGCCACACTTGTGATCCTCCTTACTGCTTCAGCTTCACTCGAGGACGCGCGACGCTGGTATGACCGCGGCCGCGAGGCCATGGCGAAGTGTCATCCACAACGCGGCGCGGGCGACGCGCGGGAAAACTGCGCGCCGCTCCTCGTCGACGACGTGCTGACGCCCGATGAGGCCGACGCGCTCGTCGCCGCGGCGGACGCGTCCGGCGGGTATCGACGCCCGAACCCCGCGCATCGCACGGAAGAATTGCCGGCGTTCCTGACAGAGAAGACGGAGCTCGTCGCGAAAGCGCAGCGAGCGGTCATCGCGGCGCTCCAGGAGCACTGCGGCGCGGGCGAGCTCATCGAGGTCGCGACGCTCGTGAAAAAATATGACGCGTCGGCGCCGGGCTCGGCGTTCGGCGCCGGGCTGCCGCAGCATAAAGACCACGGCCGCTTCTCCGCGACGGTGCTCATCGGCGACGGTTTCTTCGGCGGCGGCGGCACGCGCTTCGAGGACTTCGACAATGTGACGCTGTTTCCCGCGAAGGGCGCTGCCGTCATCCATGGCGCGATGGTGCGACACGGCTCCGACCCGGCCCAAAAAGGAGTACGAGTCATACTCGCGCTGTTCTTCGACGAGGACCACTGCAACGTGGCTGCGGAGTTCCAGCTCTCGCTGCTCGTCGGCGTCGTCTCGGTTCTCGCCGCGTTCGCCCTCGGCTACTTCCTGCTCTTTATGGATTTCGAGGAGACCACCGCGAGGCGAGAGGCGCCCGTCGAGGCGGCCAGCGCGCGCGACACGATGTCGTACTACGGCCGGCGCCTCGTCGAGTTCGGCCTCCTGGGCGAGCACTTCGACGAGCGCACCGAGACGTGGACGATCGACACGGACGGCGACCTCATCCGCAAGCTGCGCATCTTGTGGGGCGCGACGGCGCCGTCGGACGCGCCGTGTCCTTTCGACGCCGCCACGGTCGTCGTCTACGCCTACATCGCCGTCATGACGAACGAGGCCGCCAGGGCCAAGCTGCTCGCAGAGTACTGCGGCGACGGTCGTCCCGGTATCGTGATCGGCGGCCTTTTGGACGTGTTCTTAAATCCGGGGGGCGGCCGCGTCGCGGCCGTGAGCGACGTCCTCACGACCATGGCCACGGCCGTCGCTGCGAAGAAGTCTCCCACATGCCCTATAGCCTAACAACTCGAGAGAAACATTTTACCACTAAGAGAATCGAGCTAGCCCTTGATCGGGTCCAGCAGCGCGCCCGCCGCGAGCGCGCCCAGCACGAGCGCCGCAAACCCGCCCACAACCAATTTGGTCTGGAGCTGCTGGCCCGAGTTCTCGACGGAGACGCCGACCTGACAGACAATCGCGCGGCTATTGTCGGACTGCTCCGCGACGATACGGTAGAGCCACTCGCCCTCGGACACCGTCGCGTCGATGTACGAGTAGGCGCCGCCCAGCGTGCCCTTGGATTTGAGGGGCGACCACGACTGGTAGGAGGCGACTTCATCCCAGTCGCTGTAGCCCACAGCTTTTCTCTCCACCAGGAAGCCCCGGTTGGCCTCCTCGTCGTCCGTCGACCACGTCAGCTCGACCTCGTCCTCCGACAAGACCTTGGCCTTCAGTCCCAACCCCGTGAGTTCCGAGGAGGCAGCGTCCAAGATGTTGATCGTACCCTGCTTCTCCTCGAGCGCGATGCGCTCCCGCCGTTTCTCGTAGCCGCGCATCGCGCGCGCCGCGGCGACGGCGTCCTCGTCGACCTGCCTGACCATCCAGGGCGCCTGCGTGTGAATGAACCGGTGAGTCGGGTGCGCGAGGCCGCGCTGGCCGCATGGAGGGGCGCAAGTCCCAGACCGCCCCGCCGTTGCGCCGGCGGCGCGTCGACGGCGTGGAGGGCCTGATGCAGCGTTGGCGGAGCACTTTATACAATTTGATTGATGCGCTGCACCGCACGTAGGCGACGCCCTCCTCGTTGTAGAGGTTCGAGCGCTTCTTCTTCGCGATTTTCTGCGCGTTCGCAATGATCTCGGCCTCCTCGTCGTCCGTGAGCTGCTCGCTCATCTTCAGCGGCGTCGCGCGGCTGCTGATGCGAGTGGCCGGCTGCCATGCCGCCACGGCGGTGGCCGCGAGGGCGAGTGCGACGACTTTTCGCTGCATATCGTTCCTGGGGTGCACCGTGCAGCGTTTATGAAGGGCAGAGAGCTCCGAATGCGCTTTGCAGAGTGCCGTGTGGTACAGCTTTACCTCTCTGAGGTCACCCCATCAAAATCTCTCATCTCCGTCCGCACCGATCTCTCGCCTCGTCCCGGTTCATTCGTGATGAGAGCACGCCTCCGCAGCGCCGGAAGGCGAGGAGGAGCGCGCTCGTTTCGTGCGGGTACCGGAGACAAGCAGACTTGCAAATTGCACCTGCATTAGCCGTAGCGTGCACCCGCAGACCCAAGTTTTGCATTTGATCGAACCTATATATCGCCAAGTTCCAGCCTACAAATTTACAAGAGCACTGCGCAGCTACACACCATGGTCGCCACCCGAGCCGCAAGGGCCACGGCCGCAGGTGCAGCGTCGCCGCGCAAGCCGCGAGCCAAGTCCCCGGCGCGAAAGCCGGCGGCGCGCAAGAAGTCGCCGGCGCCCCGCAAAGCAACATCATCCAGCGGCTTCGACGTCCGCGCGGCCCTCACGAAGGCCTTGGGTGGGGGCCTGCCCGGCGCCGTCGCCATGGTGCTGCAGGTCGTGCTCTTGATGTGGTTACGCACTACCGTGAACTACCAGATGCGCCACGGCGGGTCGTTATTAGAAGTCATCGAAACGTTGTATGCCGAGGGCGGCATTCGAAGATTTTACGCCGGGGCACAGTATGCCTTATTACAAGGACCGCTCTCGCGATTCGGGGACACGGCGGCGAACGCTGGGGTGCTGTACGTGCTCGACGGGTCTACGCTGCCCATCCTGGCCCAGACCGCGTGCGCCTCGGCCGCGGCCGCGCTGTGGCGTTTAGTAATATCACCGCTCGATACCGCAAAGACCATGCTCCAGGTCCACGGCACGTCGGGCTTAAATACATTGATGGAGCGCGTCGCGAGCGAAGGCCCTGGTGTCTTGTGGGCCGGTGCTCTCGGCTCGATAGTGGCGACGTTCCTGGGCCACTACCCTTGGTTCGCCACGAATAATTATCTGGAGGCCCGCGTCCCGCCGCCGCCCAAAAAATCGCGCACCAAAAAACTATTACGAAGAGCGGCCATCGGCTTCGCCTCTTCGGTAGTGGCCGACTGCGTCTCGAACTCGACGCGCGTCGTCAAGACGGCGGTCCAGACGTCGTTGGTTCCTATTACGTATGTCGAGGCCGCGCTCGCGGTTGTTGATAGGGATGGCATTGCCGGCTTACTCTGGAGAGGCCTCGCGGCGAAGATCCTCTGCAACGGTCTGTCCTCGATCTTCTTCTCGGTCGCCTGGAAGGGGCTCATGGACGCGAACGCCGAGAACAAGGCGAAGGCGAAGAAGTAAGTCTAGTTTCCTTTCTACGCGCGTCGATGGCGCACTCTGGCGAGTGATCGGATCAGTGGTTGTGATCGTATCGGGCCGGCTCAGGCTCAGGCTAGTTACGTCGTGGGGTCCCCCGTACCCCTCCCGCTCCCCCCGGCCCACCCGTCCGGCTGGACTATGCCCCGTACCGTTAACGGTACGGGGCACACAGGCCCTAGTGAGTTTTGCGCCACTAGCATTTAAGCTGTTTTACGCCGCTCGTCAGAACGCTGTTCTTCGCCGCTCGCCCTTTCCGTCCCCGTAAAAACGTTTCTCTCGCTCCCCGCGTTCCGATGAGCACCTTTTCAAAACCATGCGAGCCCACCTTGCCGCGAAACTGCCGCCGACACTAGGACCGTTTCGGACCCGCTCTAACCCGACTTTCGCCCAACCCTACATCGCAGCGGCCTTTAAAGGGGGTAAATTGCTTTCAGTCTGTTGCAATTCACTTTCGGGTAACAAAAAATGTACCAAGGAATACGTAAGACACAAATGTCACACCTGCCATGCAGAAATGGCGGTAGTCTCGACTACCTCAAATCCAAAAATTCAACTTAGAACGCGAGGCGGGATGAGAGTTTATCATGATTACGCTTGAATGTAGTGAGAAAAGGATAGGAGAAAGGGAGGGGGAAACCTACTCCACGCGCGCCTCTCCGCTTGACCGTGGCTTGCATCAGCGGGATCGATACCTAGCACTTGTGCATGCAGCAGAGGGTAGGGCAGTTGTCGACCACCTTGATTGCTCCCTTTTTAGACTTTGACCATTTCTGTGTGTGATGACCCCTTTCCCTTTTGAAGGTGTTCGTGTTTGCGATACGGAGATACTTGAACCAGTAGGGCCAAATACCCCAAAACATAAAGACGCCGGACTCGGTGTACGCGTCCTCCCCTTGAGAAATGATCTTCGCAGCTGACCAAAGCGGAACCAGACCCCACGAGCAGTAACATCCGTCGAACTCGTCGGCCATAATTTTGGAATAAGGTGCGGACCACACGCGCCCACCTCCGTCCATGACGACAATGTTGCCAGATGCGTCCACCATCTGGCCGGCGGCATTGCACTGCATCATACCGGGCTGCATCATACCGGGCTGCATCATACCGGGCTGCATCATGCCGGGCTGCATCATACCGGGCTGCATCATACCGGGCTGCATCATGCCGGGCTGCATCGTCGCCGGCTGTGCGACAATCGCCGGCTCCGGTGCAACCTGGGTAGTCTTGGGCTTCTCGAGGATCTCCTTCTTCTGAGCATCGAACTCCTCCTGCGTCAGCACGCCTTGATCGAGCAGCTCCTTGAGCTCCTTGAGCTGCTCAATCGTTCCTGACATTTTCTCTGGTACACCAAGGGGAGGGTCAGTTCTGCCTCGACGTCAGGACGCGCGTCGCGGTTCTTCTTTTCTGCGCGTGATATACGCCAGCTAGCGTCGCGTTGCGTGGTCGTGGTCCGAGGATACTGCCTCGGCCGCCGGATCGTCGCGGTACCGCGTGGCGCGCGGTCTAGAGCGCGGAAAGGTAGTGGGGGAGATGCGGCGAAGGCGCGGCGTATAAGCTGCCCCCCGCCGGGCCGGAGCGCGGCTGGAGGTCGTCTGGAGGTACGGTAGCAGCAGCGCGTGGGGCGCGCGTGCCAATTTTGACGCGAAGCAGCGTATTTCGCCAGTCGATGTGGGGCGCTGCACTACTCGCACCAAGACTTGCCTCACTAGTCGAGTCTGGCAGGACTTTTGCTCCGCCGCCGACGACCAGTCCGTGGGGGCTTTGGAGGCATCCTACGGGGACCGCGCGAAACCGGATAAAACCCGAACCCGACCGCATGCCACCCGATGCACCCAAAAGGTGGACTGTCCCGGATATGCCCACCAGCAGCAGATGAGTGATTCGTAAGAATTTGTTAAGACTGAGGGTTCCTTACACGACGACTCAGCACTTCTAGAGCGAGAACGACTGCTTCAGCGACAATTTGGGCGCGGCCGTCACGTCGTTGAGGTCCACAGTGACCTCCGGCAGCAGCTCGCCGCCGGCCACGGCGACCTCCGCCCCGAGCGTCAGCGTCTTGTCCTGGAGCGTCGCCCTGGCCGAGGCGCCGTTCGGCAGGCCCGTCTTGACATATTCAAACTTTGTAGCCTTCGCGCCCTCGTCCAGTAAGGGCGTGATGTCCAGACTTCCGTCGGAAAAGCCGAAGTGGAACCGCACCTCCGGTCTTTTCCCGGGCGCCGCCGTGGCGTAGATCACCGCTCTATCTGAATCGGCTTGTAGTCTCGCGTCAATATCAAACGATAAACCTTCGGGCGCGCCAATTCTAGGATTCCAGGACGGCCGCACCTCGACCCCAGCCTTGGACAGTGCTCGGATCGTAACCTCCTTGGGCATGGCCTCCGTACTATCGAAGGTGACCGTGCCGTACTCGTGCGCTAGCGTCGCTTCTCCTGTGAGCTCTCGCGCTCCTAGTGGATCACCAATCGTCAGTACACCAGAAACGTCCACGGGACCGACGGAACCAGCATCAATATCGACAGTAAGCTCCTTCGGGGCCATCTCGTTCTCGGACATCTCGTACTCGCCGTTCAATCTTACCGATATAGGCAGGTCGTCCAAAGGTAAATCTACCGACACGGTCCCCGTCGGGTTGATGCCCATCGGTAGACTCGTGTCGCCGCCGGTCGAGTAGCCGATCCTGCGCGGTGGCGGCGTCGGTGATCGTTGAGTGCATGCACTCGGCGTACGCGCGGCAAAGATTGGACGCTGGGCGGGACTTGGTCTTCGGGCTGATGCCTGCCCTGGCGCCGACCAAAAGGATGGCGACCAGCTTCATGGTGACTGAGGGCGTGCTTCCCTGCAGCGAGGCGTTTTGGGAGGCACTTCAGGCTTCGTACGGTCCTCAGAGCCCGAGTTGCATAGCTTGCTAGTGCCTCTGTGACGCTAGCGCGCGGCCAGAAAAAAGCTGCATTTATTGATGAAACCCGCGGCAGATCCTGGCATTTCATTCCTTTTTGATAGAGCGAACGGCTCATTGCAAAAAGAGCAGCGCTGCGGCAAGCAGTGATCGAGGTTTCAGGGCTGCCGCCACTTGCACTGATTGATTAATGCCGCGTTCGCACGTATTGCTGCTGTTAAGCGCCTGCGCCTGGTCACTGCACCCATACCGAGTCGTTTTTCGAGATGTGCACGCAGCATTTCGCAGCGAAGATATTCACAGCGCGGCGCACGACCTGGGCGGTCGCGTAGAACACGTCTCGACGACGAGCGCGCGCCTGCACCTGCCCGACGATGCTGCCGCCGCGACGCTGGCAGAGAGATCTGTGCTCGTGCGCTACGTTTTAGAGGAGTGGGGCGCCGGCGCGACGCTGCGAGAAGCTGCTAGTCAAGCCCGCATACCGAGCGACGGCTCGCTCGCGAACGGCGCGTCGTGGCGCGTGCGCGTGCAAGCAGCCGGAAGGCGCACGGGCCTCGTGAACGCCCACGACCCGGTCCTCTTCAAAGAGCTCGGCGGCGTCCTGGACGAACTCCCGGGCCCGGTGCGGCTCAAGGACGCGGAGGAAGACGTGGCCGTGCTGTTGCGAGGCGAGACCGTCGTCGTAGGACGTGTCGTCGCCCGCGGCTGTGCGGCGCAGCTGCTGAGCCAGTCTTGGTCCTGCGTCGAGTTCCAGTGCTTTCGTCACCGGTCGATCGCCGCGCAGGTACCGTGTTGCGGACAGAGCGTACAGAGGCTCGACGACGATGGACGCGACGCTCGCTTTCGTGACGGCGTCGTTCGCGCGCGTGCGGCCCGGCGATCTTGTTTTGGATCCCTTCTGTGGCACGGGCGGCAACCTCTTGGCTGCTTGTCACATGTCCCGGCGGCCCGGCATCGGCGCCGACGCCGACGCGCGGACGCTGCTGCGCGGCACAGCGAATTGTGAAAACGGCTCCTTGAAACTCGACGCGCGGCTGCGCAAGGCGCAGAACATGGCCAACGTCGGGGGCCGACGAGAAAAGAAACGGGGCGAGCCGTCCCTCGCGAGCGACGCGTCGATCCGGCGGAATTTCCTGGACCGCGGCCTGGACCCGCCGCGGCTCGTCGTCTCCGACGTGGCGGCTCTGGACGGCCGCCTCGATGATGAGGAGTACTACTTCGACGGCGGTTTTGTGCCCGTGGACGCCGTCGATGCGATCGTCTGCGACCCGCCGTACGGCGTCCGGGAGCGGGTGGACGTCGGCGTCGAGGGCGCGGCGCCGTGGCGGCCGGCGCTGTTTGAGTTGGCGGCAAAGCGGCTCCGCGCCGGCCGTCGGCTCGCGTTCTGGGTGCCGTCGAGCCAGGCGGCCGCGCCGGAGCTCTCGAGCGAAATCGGGCACGAGCTGCCTCCATCACTCTCGGTCGTCGCGGCGGCCACGCAGGCCCTCGGCGGCACGCGCGCGCGGACGCTGCTGGCCGTCGAGAAGTCTTAATTATACAGTGTTGTGCTTAGTCATCGAGCCTCGCCGGACTTGTCGGGCGGCGCCGCCAGCGCGAAGGCGAGGAATATGGCAACGGTCGATCCGGCCGCGAATTCCGTGAAGCGTCCGACCATCACAAAAATGATATAAATCGAGTAGCCGCGGTCCGGGTCGATCATTCCCGCGGTGGACCGCAGAAACCATGCCGTGAGGCATGCTGGGAGCAGACACCACGACACGGCCGTCCACTTCCAGTTTTTGATCGAGTAGGTCGTCCCCTGCTGGAGCAAGCCCGCGGCGACGGCGGAAGCGACGAGTGCGACGTGCGGCCAACCGCATAGTAACGTGGCGCTCGCTCCCGCGAGGGCGATTCGCGCGCAGTCGCGCAGCATTTTGTTGTAGCCGGCCGGCGTCTCGCCCGTGTCCGGATTTACGACCTTCTTGCGCTGTACGACCTCTTTGTCGCTGCTTCGGCGGCGTTCCCTGATCCAGTTCAAACCCATGCTGCCGATCTGTAATCTTGCTGCCGATCTGTAATCGCTGCCGATCGGACGACCGAGCAACGCTGGCGCAGATACCGTACGCAAACTGGCTGCCCGCTCCTCCACAACTTCGCGCAAGGCGAGCGCGCACTGCTCAGCTCCGCCTGGATGGAGAGCTTTCCTAGCGCGAAACGCTAGCGTCCGTCGCAGGAAGGGTTGCTATTGCAAATTTTCATTACTGCTACTAGGAGGACTCGCAGGAGACGACTCGTTGAACTCGAACGGCGCGCGACTCGTACTGAAGTCCGCGATGCCCGCACTCCGCGCGCCGTACTTGATGCGCCCGCTCTTCAGGCCCTCGGCGATGACGTCCTTCGGCAAGGCTTCGAAAGTTCCGTCCGCGTGCCTTACCAACGATTTGTTGTCGACGGCGAAGAAGTCGTTGAAATTGTTCACCGAGTATCTTTCAAGTGATTCTTTCCGGCGCTGCTCGCGCTTCTCGGCGCTCCGCGCCTGCAGCTCGGCGATGAGCGGCGACTCCCCCGCGGCGAGCTCCGCACAGCCGTCGCCGACGCCGGAGGCACAGATCGGGTTCGTCACCAAGGCTTGGGCGGCTGGCGCGGCGACGACCCATGCGGCCGCGGCTCCGCACGCGGCCGCGTCGCCCCAGGCACGACGAGACAGTGCTGCTGGAGGCAGCTCTGGGGCAAGCTTGCTACTACGGACGTTGAGAGCCGAAGCGCTGCATACGACGAGGCTTACGATAGTCCTTTGGAGCATTGTTTACAAATCTTGCAACCCCAGCTTTTGAGAGCGGGCGTAGCAAGAGCTCAGAGCAAAAAGAGCGCAAAATCTGCGGGCTAGCGTTCAGAGACACACTAGGATGGACGCTGCCCATGCGAAAGCTGCCCAAAACAGCGCCGCCAGGGCAGCATCTCTCGAAAACAGCACCCATGTGGCCCCGGGCAGCCTTTCTGCTAGCCACCGTGCTAGCCGAGCAGCGCTACGACAACCCAGAAAGAAAACCTTGTCTTGCGGAAATCACGCACGACGGCGTCGCGCATCCGATCAGCGTGGACCCCGATGCAAATGATGATCTAGCGCGGGACGCCATCGCCGAGTGGGCTTCAGTCACGTTTCCCGGTGCCGACGTCCAGCACATAGCCGAGGCCGGCGTCGCCGCGACGCGATCCTGTAGAACTTATAGTCATCCGGCGAACTGGGATTTGATGGTCGACGCGCGGTCCTTCGCGGCGTCGCGGTGCCCCTACGAGATCCCCGTGGGCAAGGAGGGGAATCCCCCCTGGAAGGTGCAATTTGGGGTCGAGGCGTCCGACGCACGGCGGGACGCCTTGGCCGACGCCTTCGCCGCGGTTTTACCGCATGCGTTGTTCGTGTCGCAATGCGGCGAGACGGCTCTCGAAGCGGGGCAGAAGTGCCTCGCTGGACTGCTGAGGGACGACCTATTGATGCGACAGAAGTCGTGCGACAACAACCGGTGGCACTTCGTGCACGTCGCCAAGAGCGCGGGCACGACGATGGCCCACGCGCTGGCCCACTCCAACGCGCCGGAGGTGTTTCCTCCCCGCTTGCAGGTGATGTCGGTGACGATGTACTCGCTCCCTCGATTCGTCAGGGTCGTCTTTGTGGCCCGAGATCCATTACAAAGGCTGACCTCGGCGGCGCGGTACTGGCGCGACGGCGACGGGTATAGAGCATCGAGAATAACAACAAATACGGGACTGTGCTACGATAATCTAAGAGCACATGCGTCCGTCGACGAAGCTTTTGTCAAGGCACCATTCGCTCTTTCGACGACGTGCCTGAACTTCACGCGAGAAGACACGGTGGAAACGAATCCTTTCTTACCCATCCAGCGCTGGATCAACCGCACGAAGTTCCTGGCCCAGCCCAAGCGCATTGTCGGATTGTGCTACGATCGGCTGCAGAGCGACTGGGAGGCCTTCGCTATTAAAAACCTGAGGGCGGCCTCAGTAGCCCCTCTGAAAAACCTGAACCCATCGCCGAGGCACCCCTCGCCCGAGGACCTCGCGGGAGCGTCAAAGCTCGTCGCGTTCCACCTGTCCGAGTTTCCTGCTTCCGAATACGCGTTGGCGTACCCGGGCGACCGCGCGATCTTCGAGCGGGTGTGCGACTCGCTCGAGCTGCTGTGAGTGCCGCCTTGTCGCGGCGATGGCGTGGCCGTGTGTGCAACTCGCTCGAGCTGCTGTGAGAAGAGTGCTGTCGCCTCTGCGGACGGCGCCGAGCGAGAAGTTTAATGTATGTGTGTACTTACTACAAGTGCTTTGCTTAGAGCTAGGCCGCCTAGCCACCCGGCCGACGCCAACAATAAAGGAGAAAGGAGAGGTGCCGAATGGGCCGTGGTCACCGGGGCGCGTAGTACTGTTGTTGGGGCGGCGGCTGCCAGCTCGTCTGCCCCGTCGCCGCGTTGTAGTAGTAGGTCCGCCCCGTCGAGTCCTGGAGGGGCGCCCACGGTGACGGTTGGTCCACAAAACCGGGCGGCTTCGTCCACGAAGTCTGCCCCGTCGACGAGTAGTAGTACGTGCGGCCCTGGGCGTCCTGCGCACATTGCCACTGGATCTGCGGCGTCGCCGAGTGCCCGCTCGTGTTCACGGGGCGCTCGCGCGGGTAGAGGGGCGAGTCCGTCATGTCTCCGTACAGATTGCCGCGGACGGGCGCGGTCCTTCCGTGTAAAGAAGCGTCCTCCTCCTTCTTGAGGTTCGCGCCGACGACGGAGTGGGGGTTGAGTTGTTGCTGCCGGTCGTGGAACGTTTTTGTAGTGAGGTCGCCTACTACCGTTTCTGTGGACTTGCCCTTCATGCGCCGCGAGGCTGCATAAATCTCGGGGGCTAAGTGGCGGTTGGAGACGGAATTGGACATGTTTTTGTTGTTGTGGGCTCTCACAGTGTTATGGCACAGTGCTCTGCGGCCAAAACGTTTCGGCGCGTCGCGCTTCGGCAGCTCCTTTCGCTCGGCTGCTGGCTTCAGATGGCGATCGGTGTGGCTGATTGACGATTCAGCGGCTGCGAATAGCTCGTTTTTTTCGGCAAGCCTGCGGAGACTGGCTTAGCGTCCTGTAAGACACTAGCAGGAAGCTCCGGGACCCATCTTCGGTGAATCGGTCAAGCGGACGCCTCTCGACCGCTTCCGATCCTCCACCGGAGCGCTGGTGGACCGAGCTAGGCGCAAAAAAAACAGAGAGCTCGAGCCAAGTCGCCGCCGCCGTCCTGCACGCCAGCTTATAATAGGTTGCGCAGCTGTCGTTGCGCAACTCTCCTCTAGCGAACGACTGCGCAGCTGCGCGCGCTTGTTACCACAGAGGCCGCGGATCAGCCGTGACCCACAGCCCCAGCCTCAGGAGAAAGTGCCGCGTGTCCCGCCGCGCGCGCCGCAAAGCAAAAAACCGCGCGCTCACCGCCGCTCACAAGCAGCAGCAATAATACGCCGCTGCCGCGGAAGCGATCAACACCGCGCGACCGAACAAGACGCGAGATAACAATGATCCCCCAGACCGCCATGGACTTGGAGGGCGCCGCCGGCTTTAGAAGAACCAAGGACGAGCACTCGAAAGAGCCCGCGTTGGTCGTCCAGCGGAACACGTGCTGTAAATATCTGTCATGCATCTTCTTAGTGTTACTCGCCGCCGGTCTATTCGTGTGGCAGAGCGACGCAGCTCTCAGACGCATAGCCCCCATGCTCGCGGCGAAACGAGCGCGCGCGCGAGCCGCGCAACACACGGCCCATAGTAGATTCACGTCCATCGGCCAGGAGCTCGAGCAGCACCTCGAGCAGGAGATGAAGGAGACGGAGATCGCCCTTCGGTTGCGTTCGCGACTCAGAGAATTGGAGAAGTTACATAGAAAAAATGTCACGAGAGCTCTAGATGCCGCGGCCATCGGCGACGCGGCGGTCACGTTCCAAGCTAGAGATGCCGTGAAGCCCTACTTGGAGGACGCCGTGGATGCGTTGTTCGAGGAACTCAGAACTGTTATTGATGCGAGAATCCTCCAACCGATGATGTCTTCAGGTGCCCAGGCGAAGCAGAGGCACGACGCGCTCCACCAGGAGGTCCTCGAGGAGTTACGAAAGGACAAGGTCGAGCGAGATGCTTTTCTCAAGGCGAAGCACCAGCAACCGGGCGATATTGATGGAGACGGCTTCCAGGAGCACACTGATGATTATACGCCGAATTGGTCCGACGACCACTACGACGAAGAGGCGGCGCGGAAGCGCGACGAGCAGTGGCGGAATGAGGTCGTCGAGCACTTCGCCGAGAGTTTTGCGCACCATTTCAATGATACGGCGGCGAAAGAAGATGGCCTGCAACCGCGGGCGACGCTGACGGAGGCGGACCCGCTGTTCGAGGAGTTAACAAAATTGGGCGACGCGCTCGGCTATCCTGGTGCTTGGGATGCTGTCAGTAGTAATGAAACGGCTCCCCGGTTAAGCTGGCGGGAAGCGGAGAAGAAGCTGAAGAGCCTAGAACCGCAGCTCAAGAAGCACCGCTGCCATCAGTTCGAGCCGTCCGAGGAGCCCGAGGACGACGAGTACGACTACATGCAGATTCATAACGTGGAACATTATATCTCGGAGATGAAGTGGCACGCGAAGTTGAACTCGCATCGCGACGAGATCGTCGGGAAGCTGGCCGAGCACGCCTCCTCTAAAATCTCGACGATGGAGCTCGTCGAGCACCTCGAGACGCTCGAGGGCGAGCGCGTCTTCCCGTCGTTCTGGCTCTTCCACGCGCCGGGGAGCTACGACGACTACCGGTACGGCGACTGGTAGTTTCTCTCTAACTGTGTTTCCCTCTTTTTTCGACGTCGTATCCTCTCCGCGCCGTCGACGCGGTCGCGGCGATGGCGTGCGGGTGGGGTATGCGTAATACTAGTCCTGCTTTAGTCGCTTCCGCCTCCTACCGCTCAGCTCCACGGCGTAGGTCAAGCAAGGTCCAAACAAGACCCAGAGGAGCATGACGCCCGCGAACAGCTTGAGCACGAGCGGGTCGACGCCCTCCTCCGGCGCGTCTCCCACGATTTCTTTCCAGTAGGTGGCGTTGAGGAGGCGCTCGTGGACGAGTCCCATCGCGGGCGTGTGGCGCGCGGCGCGGCGATGGCGTGCAGCTACGCGCGCAGCCGTTCCGACGCGTATGCGGCTGCGAATTATGACGCGTCGCGGCAGCGGTCCGCGCAGCGCTGAGCTGAGCAGGTGCAGCTCTCACAGGCAGCTCCAGCAGCACAGCAGCGAGGCTATCGATGCCGCACGTTTGCAGCGCACTAATGCTGTGCACTGCCGAGGTCCTGATGCGCAACGCGTGAGCACTGCTGCGCAGCAACTCGCATCAGCTGGCTGGGCGCTTCCTAGTGCCTTGCAGCCGCTAGCAACCACATTCCACAGGTCGCGGCGCGACCCCTCAGGCCCCAGAGGAGGCGCCTACGACGCCTGCGCACATCGGGTGCAATTAAAATTAATTGCAAAAGCCTGCAAAACGGAGCCCAGCCAGCGCCGGCCAAAGGGCTGCCCCGCGCCGTGCAGGCCCATAGAGCGAGGCACGGCTCGACGCGACGACCGCGAGGCCACCTCCAACAAAAGCAGCAGTCGCCTCGGCGCCGCCGCGCACCTCTTGCGACGACGCACCAGGGCAGCCCCCTCGAACGATGTCGAGCCTGGACAACGGCCTGCCGCGCTTCGACCGCTTGGACCTGTCGCCGACCAAATGGGAGCCCGACGCAGCCGTAGCTCGACACCCAACACCGACCAAGCCCGTGATCAGCAAACCGTCTCGCAAGATCCCGCTCCGCGTCCCGTCGAAGAATTTAAGAGATGTGGACTTGGACGGCATCATAGCCCCACACAACGTCGGCGAGGCGCCGACGCCGCGCGTGGTAATCGACGAGAAGAAGACGTTCACGAAGCCCTACCAAGGTTTTGAGTCTGCTGTGGACGAGGTACTAGTTATAGCAAATGATTCTACTGAGGAAGCGGAGCTGTGGCTAAGCAGAGACGACAACGACCAAGCACTGAAAGTGTTATACTTACAACCGCGTTCCCGCAAGCGCGTCAAGCTGCGCTCTGGGCAGATGGACGACGAGTCAGATGCACCGGGGGATTTTACCGTTGCTTTAACGACGGCTTCTTCGGTGTACGGGGACTCGGACTCGGACTCGGAGTACGATAGGCCGCCGTCGCCACCCCCGAAGAAGGAGGAGCCGCGCGCGCGCTTCTCTACCTCAAGTCCGATGGGCCTCGAGCTCGAGGGCAAGAAGGACGGTTCTATCGTAGTACATAAAGTACATACAAAGTCACAAGCAGCTTCATATGAATGGATGCGCGCGGGGTTGAGATTGATAGGCTTCGAGGATTTGGATGAGTTCCAGGACGCCTACTTTGAAGCTAGGGACAACGGCGAGGACGTCGAGCTGCTGTTCGAAGAGGAACCTGAGAACCCTACCGCAACGTTCCTCACGGGCACAAATGACGTCGTCGCGGCGCGCGTGCCGCCCGCGAGGCCGGTCCGGGCGCCGGACAACTTGGGAAAGGCGTTACAAGCGCCGCCGGACGAAGTATCACGGGCGTGCGCGGTTTGTATCCGCAACGCGACCGGACGGCGTTTGAACTTGTATGCGGGAACGAGCGGCGGCACTTTGAAAAGACGCGCGTCCATAGAAGCCCACGACGCGACGCTCCAACACGCGACAACGGCGGAGCTGTGGCTCGCTGCTTTTGAAGGATCAGACGGCAATGATCCCGCTCTGACGCTGCGCGTGGGCCCGCGGGCCGTGTTCAACGTGGTGAGGAGCTACTCGCTCGTGTGGCGGGCGTCCGCTTCTTCATTATCTTTTGTGCCCCGCGCGACGGCCATACAAGTACCGGCGCGCAAGTTCCGGCGGGACTACGCGTCCGAGCGTGCCCAAATGCACCTGCGGGCCATGGACGAAGTTCGGGCTGCCCGCGCGAGTGGCGAGGGCCACGCGAACTGCGTCGTGACCGTGCTCGAGTAGCTTTCTTATCTAAACGCCGGCGGCGCGGCAGTAACATATGAGTGTACTAGGTACCGCCGCCGCGGCGACGGCGTGTTTGGGCACGCTTCTACCCACCAACACGCCATCGACGCGAAGTTTGAAATCTAACTATCTTAGGGACTACATGCTCACGACGACCGTCGCCGGCCGGATGAGCCGGTCTCCCACCTTGACGCCGTACTGGAACACCTTGATGACGGTGTCCGGCTCGGCATTTTCATCGAAGTCCGTCATGGCCGCCTCGTGGATCGTGGGGTCGAACGGGACACCTACTTCGTCGATCTTCTCCGCGCCGAGTTCCTTGAAGGCCTCGTCAAAAGCAGCAGCCACGGGACCCGTGTACCGCTCCACGACCTTCTGGACGCCCTCGCTCGCATCAGCTCTAGTTTTTTGCGCCACAATGGCCCGGTCGAAGTTGTCGATCGGGCCTAGGAGCTGATCCAGCACACCCGCTCTTTCCACAGCTTCTGCTCTAGTACGAGCTTCCTGCGTCCGCTTCTTCACGGCGGCGAACTCATTCCTCATATTCTCGATCTGCGAGCCCCACTCGTCCCAGTTCTCCTGTTTCTTGGCCTCGGCGGCCGCGATGTCCTTATCAAGTTGTACGAGCTCGTTCTGGAGGACCCCGACCTTCTTCTGGAGGAAGACGGGCGAGTTCGTGATGTCGTCGCCGCCTTCCCCTTCTTCCGCTTGTTGTTTCTTTTGCCAGGGCCACCTCATCTGGCGGTCCACCAGGCGTTGTTTCGTGCGCGGCGCCGGCGCGAAGGCCGATGTCATGGCGAGCGCGAGGAGGAGGTGTGGCCTCGGCATCTTTGCTACGGCTGCGCGCGGCTATTGATGCGGCGGCGGCGGCTGGTTGACTGCGTCGCGCTCGCTGCTCTGAGTTGACACAGCGGCGGCGAGGGAGTGCTGAGTGCCTAGGCTGTAGCGACGAGCGGCGGCGTTGCAGCCCGCTGCAGGTGCTTCAAGAAGGAGAGCGGATACGCGATAACGGGCCCTGGCGACGCACAGCGACGGTGTTTGGGCGCTTGCTCTTTGGTGCCTCTCCGGTCTAGTGTGTCTATAGCACGATATTTCGCTAGCTCCTGCTTACGCGAGCAACACGGGATCGGGAGATAAAGCGCCTACGGAGATGATCAGAATTGCTTAGAAGTGATCATGGGAAGAAGATCAACCCGCATGCGGCTGCTCTGGCTCCTGGCCGCGGCCCCGGCCAGCGCCTGGCTGAGCCCTCCTTCGCGGCGCCCCCACGCGAGGTTCCAGGCCGTCGTACCGAAGGTCGACCTCGAGAACGTGGAGGAGGCCTTCGCCTATGCTGCGGAAATCCGGGAGCACGCCCCGTCGTTGTTCGAACGACTCGAGACCGCGCGGCCCGAAGACGCGCTCGAGATGTTGACCTATGCGGAGCAGCTGCAGAAAGCTACCACTTATCTGCGGCCGTCGGCGCGGCAAGCAGTAAGGTACGCTCTCGAGGTCGCCTTCTTGGCGCATCGCGGCCAGACGCGGCGCTCCGGGCAGCCGTTCGTCACTCACCCTGTTGCAGTAGCATCCATCCTCGCAGAAACGAGGATGGACCGCGACGCTGTTGTTAGTGGATTATTGCACGACACGGTCGAAGACACGGACATGACCTTTCAAGAAGTGGAGGCGATGTTCGGGCGCGACGTGCGAGGCATCGTCGAGGGCGAGACGAAGGTCTCGAAGCTCCCGAAGATGGCCCGGGAGTTAAATACGCCGGACTGGGACGCCGAACGGGAGCAGGTCGAGAACATGCGGAGCATGTGCGTGGCAGCGTGTGGAAATCAAACCAGTGCGTCGGGTGCACGCCGTCGAGCAAGCGTCGCGTCGATGGCGTAACGCGCCGTAAAAGCTTGATATCCGCGCAGGTTCGTGGCCATGGCCGGCGACTGGAGGGTTGTGGTCGTCAAGCTTGCTGATAGGTTGCACAACATGCGCACCCTGGAGTTCATGCCGCCGAAGAAGCGGACGAGGATCGCGCGCGAGACGCTCGAGATCTTCGCGCCGTTAGCGCATCGGTTAGGTATCTGGACGTACAAGACCGAATTGGAAGACGCAGCCTTCCGGCATTTATACCCTGGCGAGTACCTGGCGCTGGATACGGCTATCAAAGGTCGTAGGAAGAGGTGCGAAGCCGCTCTCGAGTCTTGTCGGCAGCAACTCGAGGAGATGCTGTACGGGGACGAGCTTGTGAGGGGTCGAGCTCGAAGAATTAGGGTCGAAGGGAGAACAAAATCAGCGTATAGTACGTGGAAGAAGATGAGAAGGCAGCAGTGCGGCTTGGAGCGCGTCGACGACCTCGTGGCGTTGCGCGTCATTCTGGAGGCCGATGACACCACAGAGTCGGTAGAAGACGACACGGCTTTATGTTATCACGTCCTAGGGAAGGTGCATGGCCGGTGGACGCCCCTACCTCGCACGCTCAAAGATTATATTAGTTCGCCAAAACCCAATGGTTATAGATCCTTACATACCACAGTGTTAGTTGGTTCCCAGCCTCTAGAAGTACAAATAAGGACCGACGACATGCACCGCGTCGCGGAGCTCGGCGCCGCAGCACATTGGTCTTATAAGGACGAGACCGCGTCCCTACCCTGGCTGCAGATTATTGGGGAATGGGAGGCCCAAGTCGATTCGGCTTCGGTATTTATGGAGCTTGTACGTAACGAGCTATTGGGCAGTAGGGTCTTTGTCTTCGCGCCCCAAGGGAGGATTCTCAATCTCGCGAAGGGCGCAACATTAAATGATGCGGTGGCACATGTCATCCAGGGCGGCGACTGGGGCATCGACGTGCAGGGCGGCGCCTTGGTCAATGAGGTCTCCGAGGCGTCGTCCTACGTCCTGCGGAACGGCGATATTATTTCTTTTGCCGCCCAGGAAGAACTGCCCTTACAGGAGCGGGAGCCCTGGCAGCTTTGTAGCGTCTGTCGGCCGTTGCCGGGTGATGCCGTGCATGGGGTGGCGGCCCAGCACTCGACGCGAGGTACCGTACATAGGGCCAACTGCGACTGCGAAGTTTTGAGGAGGGAACTAGAGCGACCTGGGGCGCGCTTCGTCGACGGCGCGGCCCTAGCGATGAATGATGATGATTACGACGCCGTGAGGCAGGCCTTAGGTCCTTCCTCGAAAGTCAAGGACGCTTTTACCGGTGAAGTCCTTGGCTATGATTCTTCACTAGTCGTGTTCGGGCGCGACCGCACGCGGATGCTCTTAGATGTCTCGCAAGCGGTCTCCATGGTCAACATCGTCGACGTGATGTCGGAGACGCGCGCTCCCGGTGGGCAAGCTGCTTTTCAATATACCGTTCATGTCGACGACCGGGACCACCTGGATCGATTATTTGAGGCTATCAGAGAAGTACCGGACGTCGTCAGAGTCGTGCGGGGGTCCATGAGACTACTGAAGAGAAAAGGCACGCACGCTTTCTGGGCCATGGCGCTGCCGGACTCGGAGGACGACTCGCCTCCTTCCGCGCCGCCCGCGTCGGCGCCGTATCTATAATACTTGTTGTACATATAATTCTGGTTTGCGGGGCGCGCGGCGATGGCTTCGATGGAAAACAGAAAATCTTACGCGTCAGAGTCCGAGTCCCACTCGTCCTCCGACTCCGGCTCGGTGTCCGACTCTCGGCCGTTGAACTCCTCCTCCAAGATCTCGTGCTGCCGTCCGACGAGAGCCGGAGGCAGGTTCCTCAAATCGAAGGAACCACAGTCCTCGAACATTTCATACGCCTGCGCTGGCGCGACGTTCCAGCCGCGGAGGTCTCGAGAGAAAGAACTCGCGCCTGAGAACATGGCAGACGTAATCTCGGCCGACGACAGATCCCAGGCGCCGATGTCACCATTGAAGACAACAGCACCATTGAACATTCCCCACGTATCTGTCACCGAAGAAACGTCCCACGCGCCAATACCTGCACCTGTATAGCGCTCAGCATCCCAAAACATCGATCTCATATTCGTAACCGATGAGACGTCCCAGGCACCGATATTCTGATTGAATCGAGTGCAGCATTCGAACATGCCCTCCATGGTGGTCACTGAAGAGGTATTCCACGCGCTGATATCCTGATTAAAGTTAGTACGTTGGCGGTGACGGGACTAGAAGCGACGAGAGCCCTCGCCCAGATGTGGAAGGGGCTGGACGAGGCGGCCCAGAAGACCTGGAACGATAAGGCGTGTCAAGACGAGGCGGACTCGGCGCCGCCGCCGGCCAAGAGCCAGAAAGGCGCCGCCGACGCCTCGCCCTCGCCGACGGCGGCGCCGGAGGCATCGCCAGCGACGCCGAAGTGGTCCCAGGCTGAGGTCAACGCGATGACCGTCCCGAGGCTCAAGGCCGCGCTCACGGAGCTCGGATGCGAGACCTCCGGGCTCAAGGCCGTCCTGAAGGCGCGCCTCGTCGAGAAGCTCGGGCTCTAAATAGGCGTCGCGCGCGGGAGTATAAAGATGATACCAACTATATATATGTCACGCCGAGAGAGACGTCGGAAACCCGCGTTGTCGGAGCGCGACTCCCCCAGGAAATCCGCAGCTAGCGGCTTGTAAGACACTAGCATCCTGAGCGGTTTGTGAGCTTAGAATCCGCAGCGCGACGCCCATCGGGCAGCCTCGGTCACATCGATTTCAAGCAATCGATTCAAGCAATAGTTTCGAAGCGCCGCCGGTCGGAGCGGACGCCGTCGGGCAGCCGCATCGGTTCGAGCAGCAGCCATGGCGGCGCCGGACGGCCGCGCCTTCCGCTTGTTGGTCTGCGCGCCCATGCCTCTGGGGACGAGCTGGACGCGAGCCGAGTACCGCCGCTACCTCATGGGTTTGGGTATACGACCAGTGCCGTCGGTGGGTGACATCGGCACGCTCCTGGAGTCGTACGCCGCCAAAAGGTGCGGCGTCCACCGCGGCGTCGAACGAGGCGGCGCGGTGACATATGGGACTAATGCACATAGAGCCAGGGAGGTCCTGGCCTCGGGCCGACCTTTAAGGCCGCCGCCGAAGCGCCGCGCGCCGCGACGGCGGCCGCCGTCGATGCATTCTTCCTTGAGATTAGCCTCTCCGAAAGCCATCGAGGCGACGTGGGATGATGATGAGGATGCCCTGCTGACGGGCACGGCCTCCCATCTTAAAGAGGCGTACAAGGCGGGCTACGCCGCTGTTGGCGACGCTCCCTCGTCCCCGTCGAGACCGCCGTGGTCGCCGCGGGGCAAGGCCCCAAACTCACCGAAGCGCCTCCAGCAGGTCGCATTGGATGCGCCGCGGCGGTCTCCACTGAAGTTAGAGGCCGCCTCGTCGAAGGTCTTGGACGAGACGCGCGAGGAGGCGAAGCAGGCGCGCATCGAGGCCGCGCGGCTCCAGGTCGAGGCGGCTCGTTTACAAGCGGAGCTCACGCAGCGCGATTCTGAGAAGATACGCCTCGAGGATGCATTGAAGAAGCACGACAAGAAGGCCGCGCAGCGCGAGGCGGAATTGCAGCGGCTACTGTCATCATCAAAAGACGACGAACGGTTATTCATGGATCAAAGTTCCAAACAATATCAGATGCTCGAGGAGGAGCTGACGCAGACGAGGAAAGCACACGACGACGTCCTCAGAGAGAAGGAGGCGTATGCGGCTCAAAGCGCGTCGCACCAGGCGAGGCTCGCCGAGGCCGAGGCACAGCTTGTGGACACGTCATTGAGACACGCGGAGCTCGCCCATTCCATCGACGAGCTGCGGCTGCAGGGCCGGAAGCAGATTTCGGAGCGAGAACGGGAGTTGTCGACGCAACTGCAAGAGGTGCGGTCCGAACTAGACAAGGAGCGGGCGAAGCCGCCGCAGTCGCCGGATTCGCGCGCCGCGCGCGATTTGCAAAAGAAGGTCCAGAAGCTGGAGCGACGGCTGCAGAAGGAGCGCGCCGTCGCGGAGCACGCGGCGGCCGTCCTCGAACATGCTGAAAAAGAGCCGCCCCACGACGACCGGTTACAGGCGCTCGAGGCGTCCATCGCCAATACATTGGAGGCCCTCGACGGCCACGAGGATGTTGATGATGACGAGTTATTGGAGGCGGAGCAGCACCTCGCGGAGCTGGAAGGGCTCCACGAGGAGCTGGTCGAGCGGTCGGCAAAGTCGCCGGTGAAAGACAGCTCGTCCTCCGACGAGGCCGAGCCGCCTCCACAAAGACGGGCGACGCCCCTCGACGCCGCGCGGGCGTCGCCCAGAAGGCCTGCGCCGTCGGACGATGATGACGAAGAGGGCTGGCCCGCGCCGCCGACGGCGTCGGACGACGGCGGCCGCGGGCCCGCGTACTCCTTCGACGTCGACGAACCACCACCGCCACCACAAGCGACGAAGGACGCGCCCCCCGCGCCGCCGAGCGACTCGGACGACAGCAGCGAGGGCTGGCCGGAGCCCGCGGCGACGCCCGCAATGCCATCGAAAGCGCCACCGCGGCGCCTCGACACGATCCGCTCCGACGACGGCAGCGACGACGACAGCGGCGACGCCTGGCCCGACGCCAAACCCGTTTCAGGTGGCTACGGCCAGGACGACACGGCCGAGGGCGTCGTGGGTATCACGGCGCCGACCGGTGGTAATGATGACGACGACTCGGACAGCGGCGACGACTGGGGCGCGCCCTCGCGCGAGGCGTCGTCGTCGACGGCGCCCGTCGCGCAGACGTCGGGCGAGATCCACACCATTGACGACTGGGACGACGAGGCGCCCGCGCCCGCGCCCGCGCCGCCGAAGCTGTCGCCGCTCGACGCCGCCGTCGCGGCACGGCGGGCGGCCATCGAGACCGACTCGGACAGCAGCGCGGGGTGGCCGTCGCCGACGGCCGGCGCGGCGCGGGCTTCCGCTGACGACATGTCCCAGGGTTCCGATGACTCCGACATCGAGTCGGCTGTGGAACAGCGGAAGGATTCTTGGCCTTCCGACGACGAGTCGGAGGATAGCGCGTGGGGGCGGAAGTAATATTTAGTCGTATCCGCCATGTAGTAGTTGTAGCAATCTTGCGGCTCTCTGGACGGCGGTTTAACAACTAATGTACCGCATGCGGTACATTAGTGAAACTTCAACTTGAGTTCAAGATCCCCGCTTTTAGAGCCGGCGCCGATTCGTCAGGGTACATGAGCCCTGCCAAATAATCCATCCGACGTGCCAAACACGCGCGCGTCAGGAGCCAAAGCCAAGTGGGCAACTCGCTGAGCTTCTGGGAAACTGTGGTAATGTCAGCTTCAACTCGTCGCACCTTAGCCATGGCAGCCCGACCTGCACTGCTTGCGTGGCCGCAGTTTTACGCCCAAAGTCGAGCTCATGATGTGATCATGGGGGTTCGGGTTTTATCCGCGTTTCTCGTGGGTCCCCGTAGGATGCCTCCAAAGCCCCCACGGACTGGTCGTCGGCGGCGGAGCAAAAGTCCTGCCAGACTCAACGATGACCAAGTGATGGCAAATGGAGGTGCCCACCGCCCACAACAAGTGAGCTGCTGCACCCCCACCGGAGCAGAGCAGTAGACGCGGAGCAGCTTTTCGCAAGCGTCGCCAGCAGCGGGCTGCCCAAGGACCGCCGGCATGGGGCGGCCCCTGCACCTGCGGGGCTGCCTCCTACTGGCGGCGGCGTCTTACGGCGCCGCGCCGGACGCCCGCGCGCGCGCGCGGCTGCGCGGACCCGCTGCGAACGCGAGCAGCGCGCTCGTTCTGAAGGACCGCCGGCTTCCGGCGCCGACCTCGCGTGCGCTGGTTGCGCGGAGGCGGCTGAGTGGCGACTACGCGCAGCTCGCGAAGCTCGTGGCCAGCGACGCCGCGGGGGGCAACCATTTTGGCATCTCCGTGGCGATCGACGGCGATACCGTCGTGGTCGGGGCCTACCAAACTCACACCGCCGTCGACAGCCCAGGTGTTGTCTACGTATTCCGCACGACCGACGGCGGCGCCACGTACGGCCAGGTGGCCAAGCTGACGGCCTCTGACGCCGCGGTACACGACCAGTTCGGCAGATCCGTGGCGATCGACGGCGCCACCGTCGTAGTTGGAGCCTGTTTGGACGACGACGGCGGCTTCAACTCAGGCTCTGTCTACGTCTTCCGCACGACCGATGGCGGCGCCACGTACGACCAGGTGGCCAAGCTAACGGCCGCCGACGCCACGGCGACCGACTTCTTCGGCATCTCCGTGGCCATCGCCGGGGACACCGTCGTGGTCGGTGCCTCCAAAGACTACGGCGGCAGCCTTAACGAGGGCTCGGCCTACGTCTTCCGAACGACCGACGGCGGCGCCACGTATGCCCAGGTAGCGAAGCTGACAGCCAGCGACGCCGCGGCGGACGACGAGTTCGGCAGCTCCGTGGCCATCGACGGCGGCACCATCGTGGTCGGTTCCCCTTATGACGACGACAGCGCCAGCACCTCGGGCTCAGTCTACGTCTTCCGCACGACCGACGGCGGCGTCACGTACCCACAGGTCGCCAAGCTGACGGCCTCCGACGCCTCTTATGACGCCGAGTTCGGCTGGTCCGTGGCGATCGACAGCGGCACCATCGTGGTCGGGGCCTACATGAAGCACACCGCCACACTCAGTTACGTGGGCGCAGCCTACGTCTTCCGCACGAGCGATGGCGGCGCCACGTACGACCAGGTGGCAAAGCTGACGGCCAGCGACGCTGCAGGAGATGACCAGTTCGGCCGCTCCGTGGCGATCGCTGGCGGCACCATCGTGGTTGGTGCAACCCAAAATTTTTTTAGTGGCTCGGGCGCAGTCTACGTCTTCAGCACGAGCGATGGCGGCGCCACGTACGTTCAGATGGCCAAGCTGACGCCCTCCGACGCCGCGGTGGGCGCGCCGGGCGACTACCTCGGCTACTCCCTGGCCATCGACGGCAGCACCGTCGTGGTCGGAGCCACCCACGACGACGACGGCGGCTCCGACTCGGGCTCGGCCTACGTCTTCGCGCTCCCCGCGCCGACCGACTACGCGGAGACGGCAAAGTTGACGGCCGCCGACGCCGCTGCGGGCGACAACTTCGGCAGATCCGTGGCCATCGACGGTGGCACCGTCGTGGTCGGAACCGAGGGCACTGGCGCGGCCTACGTGCTCCGCACGACCGACGGCGGCGCCACGTACAGCCAGGTGGCCAAGCTGACGGCCGACGACGCCGCGTCGGGCGACTACTTCGGCTTCTCCGTGGCGATCGACGGCAACACCATCGTGGTCGGTGCAATGCATTATTACCCTGGCGGAGCAGTCTACGTCTTCCGCACGACCGATGGCGGCGCCTCGTACGTCAAGGTGGCCAGTTCGTGGTGGACGCCGATATTGTTTGCGTCCCGTGCGGCGAAGGAACGTACAGTCCCCTGGGAATTTACTGCCTCACCTGCCTGGCCGGCTCCTACACGGCGGACCAAATTAATTGCAACCCCTGCGACGCCGGCACGTTCAGCGCGACGGACGGCGCAACGAGTTGTACGGCGTGTCCGCCCGGATGGCATCAATCCGCGTCCGGTCAGCTGGAGTGCGAGCGTTGCGAGCCCGGCCGGGTCGCTTCGGTCTCTGGGCAAGCTTCGTGCGACCGGTGCGACGCGGGCACGTACAGCGCGGCCGCAGGCGCGTCGACCTGCGTCGACTGCGCGCCCGGGCGGATTCAGTCCGAGTCGGGTCGGAGCGAATGCGAACAGTGCGCGGCGGGGAGATTTGCCTCGAGTGCCACCGCATGCAGCAGCTGCCGGCAATTCGGCGCGGGGCGCACGAGCCCCCCCGGCGCGGCGGTTTGCGACATCTGCGAGGCCGACTACTATTACGACGGCCAGAGTTGCCTCGACTGTCCCTGGTCGGCGACGTGCGCGCGCAACTCGACGCTCGGGAGCCAGTGGATCGTGGACGAGGGCTTCTATCGCTTCTCGATGGACACGCCGGAAATCTACCGCTGCAAGCGCAACGACGGCTGCGTCGGCGGCGCCGGCAGCGGCGACGACCTGTGCGCGAACCACCACCACGGGCCGCTCTGTCATTTGTGCGACCGGGGCTACTACATGGAGCCCGTGCTGCGGACCTGCCAAAGGTGCGACCAGCGGCCGAGCACGTTCCTCATGGTCGCCTTCTTCTTCTTCGTCCTCATCGTATTGTTCGTGTTTGCGGTATTGATCTGGTCATGTGTGTGGGGCTCTGGTTACACTAAGGAGTTGCTGCAGGCACTGAAGAGTAGTCGTCTGCGTCGATGGGTGCAGACTCATTTCGGGGACTTCTTCAGGAGTGACTGCGCCAGGGCTATTTGGTACTCCTGGACGGTACTGGTCAGGTTTTCGAGCGTCGAGGACGTGAAGTATCCCGGCCCCTTTGCGTGGGTGATGCGCATCTACGGTCTCGTGACGCTGGACTTGGTGGCCTGGCTGCCGACGCCCTGCATCAGGTGGTCGTACTACGACACTCTACTCGCGGCGACCTTGCTCCCTGTTGCGTACGTCGTGGTGGCCTGGCTCTACAACCTTGGGAGAAGACACCTTAGGAAGGGGCGCCACGCGGAGATGCAGGAGCGGCCCGGCGAGGCGCCTGCGCCGGCGCCGGCGGTGCCGGAAGCGTCGGCACCGCCGTCGGAGACGCCGCATCCCGAAGCCGCATCCGAAGCAAAAGACAAACCCGTCGTTAACGACTTCTTCCGCCTCCTGGACTGGTGCTTTAGCGGCCACGGGGTCGTCACGGTCTTGGTCATGGTCCACGCGCCCATTTGTTCGGTCCTCTTCGAGTTTTTTCACTTCGACGGCAGGGCCCACGACGGTTTTTCGACGTCTGCGCACGAAACGGAGTTGTACCTCGCCCGCGACTACAGGATCAGGGAGTCCGACGAGAAGTACCAGAAGTATCGCGCGTACGCCATCTTGTGCTGCTTGATTTACGTGGTAGTGATTCCGCTATTCTTCCTCGTCGCGCTGCTTGCTAAGAAAAGCTTCGACGGCCACTTCGACACGCCACGCTGCATCAGCTTCCTCCTTAGGCAGGTCGACGGACTCGTAAAGCGGCTCCGTAGGAAGGCCGACGCATCCGACGCCGACTGTCGGGTACGTGGAGACAGTCAAGCTGGAGGCGAGCAGCGCGGCGGCGGGCCAGCAGCAGCCGAAGCAGAAGACGCCGCAGACGACGCCCCCGTCTGCACCAACACCACGGCCCTCTCCGGTGACGACGACTCAACCGACGACTCAGGCAACTCCAAACCCGACAATGTTACCCCTGCAAGGTGTCCAAAACCGCTGCTCGCGCTTTGGGAGACCCTCGTGGGAGATATTTGGGAGACCCTCGTAGGCCCGTACAAGGAGGTTGCGTGGTTCACGGAGCCGCTCTCGATGGTCGTGAGGACGTCGCTGAGTGGATTTCTGCTGATCTGCCTGCCTCAGGCTAAAAGAATGCGCATCGTGTTGTCCTTCGGGATAGCTCTTATCTATGCTCTGCTCGTCTCCGACTGCAAGCCGTTCAAATCATCGGCGGTAAACATGGTAGCCTCAACCTTCTGGTTCTTCGTGACGTCGACGTTCTTCTACGCGCTCTGCGTGACGCAGGGCGTGCTAAAACTCCCACAGCTTCGAGCGATCAGCACCGTCCTCGTAATCGGCCAACTTATCGTATTCCTACTTGCCATGTGGCGCCACTCCGACGAGGCTCCGATCCGCGTCCTCTGCTGGAAGATCAAGCGCGGAAACAAAGAGGACCGGATCGACAAGACCGAGTTCGAGACGCTCTACGCCGCCGGCGGAAAGGAGTTGCTCGAGGCCGCCGTCTTCGACGCGATAGACGGCTACTTCAAGCAGGAGTTTAAAGCGTCGGACGGCTCCGATGATCCGTGGGAGCGGTTCCGCTCGCAGTTCTGCGCGCTCGAGACATTCTGGAACGAACCGGTATCGGAACCGCACAAGCGGCGAGAAGCGGAAATTTGGCTGGCGCGCGACCATGTCGCCCAGATCGAAGCGGGCCTGAAGAAACAGGCGGAAAATGCTAAAGGAACGGACCTAGAAAAGAAGGAGCAGGAGAAGCTTGATAGATTCATCAGCAAAAAGGAACAAGACATAGAAAACGACTGGAGCCAACCAACGAAAACCGCACACCAAAAGAAAATAGACATTTTGCAGGAAATCGCGACATCCGAGGGCGGAACGAAGCGAGAAATTAGAGCGACGCGCTGGGCCTGGCTGCGGTCGCAAGCGAAGGCGGAAGCCGACAAACTAGAGAAGACAATCCGCGAAACCCCCACCGTAAAGGAGATCGACCAAAAAATAAAGGATATCGGATACCCGAATGACCTTGTTTTGGACGAGGGTGCACGCGTCTCCGTGAAAGCACGTGATAAAAGGGAGGGCTGCGAGGGGAGGATCGTCTCTGTAAATGCCGACGGCACGTTCGACGTCAAGCCCGCGGTCGGGGACGTGTGGCGGAACGTGAGCAAGGAGGAACTGGACGGGCAGCAGCCGTCCCAGAAGCTACTATTCCGAAGCAATCCCCGCGAGGTCACGGATGCGACCCTTGGGGCTGGCGGTGATAACCAGCTGGTAGTAAAACGCGAGGACGACAAGATAACCGAAGCGGCGCTGCGAGGCGAAGGCGGCCAGATCACCGAGGCGGCGTTGCTCGTGGTGAAACGAGCACTCACGGAGGACGGCGAGATCCCGGAGGCGGACGGCAAGAACAAGGAATTGCACAAGCTGCTCGCCAGAGGCAAGCTCATGATGGACAAAGAGGTCCTGCCGCCGATGCTCCGGGTCTTTGCGTACATGTGCCTCCCTGCGCTCAAAAAGGCGCTCTACGCGGTTGCTGAAGAGGTAGGTGATGTGAAGGTGGTGTGCGACGAGGGCAAATCCGTCAAGAAGAGCAAGCGCATGGTCGAGAAGATGGTGAACGAGATCGCTGCGGACGAAGAAGCCGAAGGTGAGGGCGCCAACGACGACGTTCGCCGGTGGCAGCCCATCAGCGCGTCGGTGCGCGACGCGCTTCGCGCCACGCTCGTGTGCCCCAACCAGGATGCGATGTACATGGTCTACGAAGAGCTCAAAAACCCCAATGGGAAATTCACGCTTAGGAAGGTCAAGAACAAGCTCGAGAAAGGAAAGGTACCGTTCAACCTCCACGCTGTCTACGAGTTCCAACCTTCACCAGCATCCGTCAGCATTCTCGTGGAGGTCCAGATCAAGATAAAAGAGATCGAGGATAAGTGCGGCGCGCAGCACAAGTTCTACGAGATCTCCCGTGTGACGGGCAGCGTGGAACTCTTCAAGCCTGAGGTCGACACGCACGACGAACAGACTCCGGAGGAGCTGACGAAGAGACTCCGGGCGCACGACAAAGGAAGATTCATGCTTCAGAGGTCATATGTCGTAACTTCACGACACTTGGTGGAACGAGAATCCAAAGCGCGGAAATCGGGCGGTTGGCGTCTCATGAGATTTATCTCCAAACGGCGGGGAAGGAGAGAAACAGTTCACCCCGATCAGCCGCCAAAAGCGCCTCCTGTCCGGCGCGCAGTGCAGGACGAGGAAGAGGACGATTCTGATTCATATCCCATTTCATATCCCTAGATAGGCCGGACACGAGCCCTAGCGGGCCTTTTCACTAGACAGACTTTGTTTAAATTCTTTGTTGGGTATTCGTTTTTGGTGAGTCGACCATGCCGTCGTCTGCCACGAGCGGTTCAAGATTGATGCCCAGATCCGCCGCGGCGGGAGATGGCGGCGTCAGGCCAGTTCCCGGGCTTCAGCGGCCGTCGTCGCCTCGGCTCCGGCGGCGTCCGAGATCCCCGACGAGGCGCAGCCGTGGAACTTCGACAGCTGGTTCGACGACGCCACGGCGCGCCGCGCGAGCCAGGATTTATTTGAGCAGTTGAAAACGATCGACGAGACGGCGAAGCCCGAGGCGTTCCAGCTCAAGAAATACGGCGACTGCATCGGCTGGGACTACGCCAAGCTCGTGAAGCGCCTCGGCGGCTACCACCTCTTCATGAAGGCGAAGCGCCCCACGTTGACGATTACGGGACCGGAGGCGACGAGTTTAATCGCCCAGATGTGGAACAAGCTGCCCCCCCACGCCCAGAAGCCCTGGAACGACAAGGCGTGCCAAGACGAGACGGACTCGGCGGCGCCGCCGGCCAAGAGCCAGAAGGCCGACGCCGACGCCTCGCCCTCGCCGCCGTCGCCAGCGACGCCGAAGTGGTCGCAGGCCGAGGTCGACGCGATGACCGTCCCGAAGCTCAAGGGCCCCAGGGTGGGACGTAAACACTTACCAAACGTTTACTTCTCCCTCCGAGAGGCCTCCAAACACTTACCATCACGTCCCAAACACTTACAACTAATCTACCGCTAGCGGTACATTAGTAACAAACCCACCATCCGGGCGTGGCTCCAGTCGACCTAGGACGTGTAAGACACTAGCCAGCCGCGTTTTTCGCGCTTGCTTCACAGGCCTACCTCCTCTCCTAGCTCCTCATATTTCAAACATGGGTCTACTGAAACACGTCGGTCCTCTGTGCATAAATCAACGAGTGTAGTCGGGTGCGCGAGGAAGGTCGGTCACGAGGAAGCCCCGCGCGCCGCCCCGCGCCGAGCCCGCATTCAACGCGTTGCCCAGGGCTAGCACGCGCTCCAGGAGCCGCGCGAGGCGCTCGCTCCGGCCGATCTGCTCGCACGCGCGCGCGAGGACCCGGAAGTCGTCGTTGAGGTTCCGCGTAGACTGCTCGACGCGCTGCGCGAAGGATAGGCCCTCGAGGCGCCGCGCCGCGTCGGGCACGCGCGCCGCGAGCGCACGGTGAAACTGCGACGCGCGCGAGAGCCGCGGTGCGTCGCCCGGCGCCACGGCGAGCGCCGCGGCGGCCTCGGCGTCGCTCGGCGCCGCGCGCAGCACGAGCTCGAGCCGCGCCGGCGCCAGCGCGTCCGCGTCGCAGGCGAGCACGGCCTCGACGATCGCGGCGTCGCCAAGCCGCACGCGCGCGAGCGCGATCGCCGCGCGCTGCTCCGCCTTGGCGTCGAGCAGCCGGAGCGGCGCGGCCGGCGCCCCGCCGCCACCCTCGGCGCGCGCGCGCGCGCCGCCCGCCGGCGCGCGCGCGAACGCCGCGGCCAGCGCCCTCGCGTCGACGCGCACCGACGCCGCGTCGAGGTTGCGCCAGACCGTCTCCGTCGCGCGCTCGGGGGGCACGACGGTCCAGAAGAGGGCGCGGAGCGCCGGCCCCGCCGCGGGCGCGGGCGTGGGCGCGGGCGCGGGCGCGGGCGCGGGTTCGGGCGCGCCGCTGAGCCGAGCCGGATCGACGCCCTCGAGCCGCATGCGGTGCTCGACCGCCGGTCGCGGGACGCCAGCGCGCAGCATGCGCTCGAAACGCGCCACGTCGCCGGTGGGAGGCGGCGCGGCGGGCGGCGGCGCGGTGGGCGGCGGCGCGGTGGGCGGCGGCGCGGCGGCGGGCGGCGCCGCGCCCGCGGCGCGCGCGCGCGCGCGGTCGAGCGCGGCCGTCGCGTCGGCGAGCGAGCGCGCCCGCTCGTCGAGCGCGCGGCGCCAGTCGACGACGCGCCGGATGTCGTCGAGGCCCGCGTCGAAGTCGTCCCGCGCGCCCAGCGCACGTCGATGCACATCTCGTACGATCGCCGCGAGCGTGTCGCGACCGCGCGCGTCGTCCAGGGGCAGGCACGCGAGGTAGCGGGCAAGCGCGCGCGCCTCTTTGCCGGCGCCGCGTCGCGTCGCGCGCGCGGTCCAGGCCTTGAGGAGCGCCGCCTCGTCGTCGAGGCGCAGCGCCTCGCCCTCGGCGCCCGCGGCCGCGGCGACCCGCTGGGCGTCGTCGGCGGCCACGGCCTCGTAGACCCGGAGCTGCGCCTCGAGCTCCTCCGCCGCGGCCGCGTCGGCGTCGGCGCCGCCGCCGCCCACGGCCGCGGCGACGCCCGCCAGGGCGCGGCCCAGGCCGGCGCTGTGCAGCTGCGCCCGCAGCTCCGCGCGGTCCGCGAGGTCGGGCGCGGCGTTCACGAGCGTGTTGACGAAGAGCAGCACGTCGCGGCGGAGCGCCGTCGCCGCCGTCGCGTCGCCGACGGCCTGGACGAGGCCCTCGAAGGCCGCGCCCTCGCCCGTCGCCGCGCGGAAATAGTGGAGCGCCGCGACGACGGCCGCGTGGCCTGCGGGCGAGTGCGCCGCGACGACGGCGAGGAGCTCGAGCACCGCGGCGCGCGTGGCGGCGCGCGGCGCGTCCAGCGCCCGCGAGAGCCGCGCGGCGAGCGCCGGGTCGCGCGCGAAGCGCTCGAGGCCGTCGCCGCGCTCGACCAGCGCGCGCACGCACGCGACCGCCGACGCCAGGGACGCCGCCGCCTCCGGCACCCTGCGCGCCGCCGCCGCCGCGCAGTCCTCGACACGGCGGAGCAGCGCCGCGGCGCCGCCGCCCGCGAACGCGACTGCGACGTCGGCCTCGCTCGCGTCGTGCCGGAGGTACTCCAGCAGGCGCCGGCAACATAGCCGGATGTCTCAGCGAACTCGGGCGACACAAAGAAGCTCTAGACATGGGACGCAAGATCTATGACGGGAAACGTGCTTTATCCAAGTGGCTGCCGCCTGAGTCAATTTTCATCACTGCTTTTGGCCTCGCAAACCAGATGTGCGGGCTCGGGCTTTTCGACGAATGTAAAGAGTTTGCGCGGGAAAGAATTCCCGAAGCAGAGCGTGCCCTTGGGTCTGAGCATGGTCTGACTTTGTGCTTTCGCGGAAGTCACGCGGTTGCGCTACTCAACAGCAGCGACGCTACTCTCGACGACATGCGGCTTGCCGTCAAAACGATGGAGGACTGCGCACAAACGTTGCGCCGCGTCTTGGGCAAAAACAATCCGCAGACATTGGAGAGCGAGAACATGCTTGCGAAAGCACGAATGAAACTCGCCGCCGAGGAGGCGCGCACAGGGCTCGCCGCGCTATAGGGCTAAGCTTGCAAGAAGTAAATTTACACCGTCGGGGGCATAGAATCACCGTGCCCCTCGCTCATCTCCTGGCCCATGGCCGCCGCCATCGTCACGTTCATCGCGTGCTCGAAGCGCTTCTCGGGCTCGACATCCGTAGCTATGTCCGAAGAGACCTCCGATGAAGCCGCGTGCAGGGCGTCCGCGAACAACTTTAAAGCAGCCGCGCGCCGCCGTCTCGCATCCATATCAACACTTTCATCCGCCAAAACCCGATGCACGACCTTCCGCAGCGTCTCGTACACGTCCACCAATGAAACCCGAAGCATGGCGTCCAAAAACACGGGCATCTTCGCCTTCATCTCCTCCTCCGGTGATTTCGGTGTATTCGCGATGCGCTTCGGGTGGTCCGCGGGCAAGGGCACTTTCACGAGGACCAGCGCGTCCACAATATGCGCCTTCTCCAAGCACATCGAAACATCTACATCATTCTCGCGCGCGAGCTTTTTGAGTTGAGAGATGGACAGCTCCAGCAAGTCCTCGCGAGATGCCGGCTCCGGCTCCGACTGCTGAGACCGTTTCTGGGCCTTCTCGGACGCGTCCGCCAGCTGCTTTGCTGCATATAAACCACTCGCACCGGCGCGCGCCGCCGACGCGTAGGCCATGTTCTTGAAGGCGTCGAGTTTGGCCGCTGGGAGTATGGACCCCAATCCTAAAGGCGTATCGACAGAACCGAGCCACTCGTCCGCTCCACACGAGTAGCCGCGCGCTAAGGCCAGCACCAAAGCGCCCCGCGTCAAGCCCTCATGATCGGCAACGGCCAAATCGTGGGCCTCGTTCACGCACCAAGCAGAAAATGAAGCTTCGTCCCCATCCACGAAAGACTGTATCGAAGCGGCGAGCGTCGTCGCGAGGGCCACTTCCCGGCCTCGCTGCTTCACGTCCCCATGGGACCTCACTTCTTTGAGCCCTAAACCAATAGCTTTCGACATTTCGTCGTCGACCTGCTGCGACTGGCGGTTCTGGCGCATCGCTCTAGCTGCCGCATCAGCAGCCCCTCCTCGTTTCGTGAGTGTCGCCGAGATCTGCGCCAATGCTAACTCCCCGACGAAGGGCTCGAAGCGCTGCGAGCCGAACAGCGCCCCGAAGAAGACGGCGGGGTCGTATTCGAAGCCGACGTCTTGCGTCGCGTCGGCGCCGTCGCGGTCGTACGCGGCCCGGAGCTGTACATCAGACAGCACTCGATAGGCATGACTCAATTTCTGAAACGCAGCGGCCGCGTCGGGGTCGTCCCCACATTTATCCGGGTGGCAGTTCCGCGCCTGCCGATAGTACGCTTTTTTTATCTGCGCCTCGTTGGCATTCGGCTCGATCTGCAGCAAGTCGTAGTATTCTAATGAAGCGACCTTGCGCGACGGTCGCCTTGCTGGTGTCGAGCTCGTAGACGTAGTGGACGAGCCACTCATCAGCAGCGCCGCGGGCACGTCCACACCTTCGGCCTCGGCCTCGGCGCGGACCCTCGCGGCCTCCTCGGCCAGAACGTAGCGCTCCTTGTCCTTCCACTCTCGCTCCTCGGCGTCCCAGACCTGGTCGCCCGTCACGCAGTGGTATACTGCTGAAGGCGTGTTCCAGGCGCCTCGCACGACTTGCACGAAGCCGACGACGGCGCCCGCGAGCGGTAACAACACGGCACCGGCGATGCCCGCGCCGACGGCCCCGGCCATCGTTCCTAGTCTCTGTAGTTGCGTCTGTTGTGGTTGCGGCTGCTGCTCCTCTTCGGGGGGTTGGTTGTACGCCGCGGCGGCCGGCGCCGCGATCAACGTAGCCACTCCTAACGCAAAGCCCTTGGCCACGCTCTTGAAGGCCGACGCGGCGCCGGCGCAGACGTCGCGCGGCCGCCGCGTCGAGAAGATCTGGCCGACGACCGCGTTCAAGAGCTCGGCCGACTGCGCCTCGGGAGAGTTCGGGTCGAGGGCCGGCGGTGTTGTTGTTTCGGCGCCGCGCGCCTCGTCCGTGGGGGGCGGCGCGGCGGCCATCGGCCTGCGGCGTCTTGGTTCGGACGCAATCGCTGCGCGTCCCGCTGGGTCGGACGACGTGTCGGCTTCGGCCCTGGTACGAGCGTCGACGCGCTTTGGCAAGAAGGGCTGGTGCTCTATCTTTTCGGGTGCCTCGGTAGCGCTTCGCCCTGCGCGTCTGAGGCTCGTTAGAGGCCCGGCAGCGCGTTTTTGGGGCTGGCGCAAAAAATCGGAGCTAGCGTCCCTGTAAGACACTAGCAAATCACTTGCTAGAGTCTTACTATACGTTAGCTAACTGCGCAAAATTCTCGAGCTCAGCTCCCGCTGTCGTGCGTGTTCTCGTCTCACGGCTCTAAAAAATGGCAGCAGATGCATCCGAAGCGCCGCCCACCGCTTGTTTCAATCCGTGGGGCGCCGCGCTCCCGGGATCCGTGCAATTTATAGTGTTTGACTTCGTCGTCCCCGGGCGGCGCACGTACGATGGGAGGGGCCGGCGCGTCCTCCGCGACACGATGAATGATACTTCGGAGACGCTGTGCGACGACCGCGTCGAGTCGAGCCCGCTCTGGGACCTCAAGCTGCACGCTACCGGAAGGGCCTGGCGCGCCGCGCGCGCGACGGGCAAGGCCTTCTACGAGGACTTTGCTTCTGTTGCGGTGGCGCGCGCTGCGGCGAATTTACAGATGGGCGACTACGTCGCGGCGATTAGTGGATTGGCGTCGCTCGCGGGCGCGCTGCCGCCGCGCGGGCTCGGGTCGCCTCCGTCGCGTGAGACCGGGACCGGCCCCTCGGATCAACTCCCGCCGCCGTTCTACCTCGCGCTCGCTTCTGATGAAACGTGCTCGGAGCTGCTCGCGACGGCGGCGGGGGCACGCCTCGCCGTGCGCGGCCGCGACCCGAGGGTGCGCTTGCCCGCGGCCCGGGCGCTCGACGAGGCCCGCGCCGCTTTACAAAAGGCGGCGTCCGGCTCCGCTTATCGATATTTCGGCCTCGCGCTGGCGACGTTCGGACGCCACACCGAGGCCGCGGCGGCTCTGGAAAAAGCGCTCGCCGATCCGATGATTGCGGCGAGCTCTAGCGCGGAGGCGCTCGCCGCCGACGCGGCGGCGCAGCGCGCCCTGGCGGCGGCGGCCGGCACGCGGCAGGTCACGCTCGTGCCCTCGGGCCCCTGGGTTGAAAGTGTTTTTGGCGCGTCGCGCGTCGTCTCTATTAATGGCGACGCGCCGCTCGGGGACTTGTTGGGTGGCGTCGACGAGGCGGCGCGCCTGCGGCTCATCGACTCGGAAGGGCGGGCGCTGAACCGCGAGTGGACGCCAACAGCGGCCGGCGTCGAAGACGGCGTAACGTTACTCGTCGCGGAAAACGACCGACGCAACCTCCGCCAGCGGCGACCGGACACGTACCAGACGCCAGCCGAAGCCGCGCAGCGCCGCGGATCCGTCCTCGACGCGATCAGGAGGCGGGTGACGCCGACGGCACCCCTCGACCCGGCCTACGTCATCGACGCGAGGGACGAGGCAACTTTGTACCAGAACGCCCGCGCCGGCCGCGCAGCGGCGCGAGCTATCCGCGGCAACCGGGCCGCTTGGGACACATACACCCGGCGGCGCGCGGCGCCCGCCGACGGCCCGGGAGGTATCCCGGTGACGGACGCAGTGCCCGGCAACCAGGCCGCGGACGACGCTTCGTGAGCTAAGACCAACGACTTAATCAGCTAACCCCACCTCCTTCGCGCTCAGGAACCCGGATCGAAAACCGTGCTGCACGGATCGGGGCGGCGGCGGCGCCATGGTGCGCATCAGTTTCGTCCGTTCCTTCAAACGATTCGCCCTTTCTTCCTCCAAGTCAAACGCTTCATTGTAGTGTGGCGGGTTCATATGCACGGAGCCAAGAGCTCTCGCTTTCAATTTCGACACGGAGACCCACTGGTGTAATCGGCCTTCCGCGTCTCTGGACGGTAAGCGCCCAGTGGCTCTAGCAGCCACGAACTGATCTTCCAAGCCAGAGGCGCCCTCTTCATCAATATCGACGATGACGCGTCGAGCTGCCGCGACGTACTGCCGCATGATCGCCAGCGTGCTCGCCGACACATCGGGTAGCGATGATTGTTGCGATAGCTTCAGTGGTAAATCAACGTCGCACTCGATCGAACCGTCGGTAACTCCAATGCGCACGGAGACGACGTCGCAGGGCACCTTGACCTCCGAGAAGCCGAAATTGAACGGGATTTGCTTTGCCGAGCCATAGAGCTGTCTCAATGCAGAAGTAGCCGCGGCCGCGGCCGGCGAGGCCGGGGCCTGACCGTCGACCACAGTAATCAACGCGGAGCCGTCGCAGATCTGGAGCGAGGACATGGCCAGTCGCTCCGAACCAGGAGAACGTAAGGGAGCGGACGCCGTCGACGTTTTTACAGAAACGACGCGAGGGAGCACCTCGCCGAAGACCCTTGCCAGGTTTTGAGCGACGCGGTCGACATGCGCAGCCTCACAGAACAGGCCCAGGGATAATGCGCCCACCGCGCGTCCATCCTTGCGTTTGTCCACACTCGCAAGTAGAGCACACAGGGCGTACTCCGCGCCTATGGCGTCGCCATCCAACGCCATTGATAACCTCTCCAGCAACGCAATCCGGATAGAGTCCGCCGTCGCCTTATCGAGAGCGCCGGGCGGCACGGGATGAGACGGGTCCAATCTACGCCACGACAGCGCGTGTAATCTAGCGACTTTGGAAGTAGGGGGGTCCCAGGCCTGTTCATCTTCCAACCGCTGCCGGTCGAAGGCGTCGTCCTCTTCCGTAACTTCGAGGCCCGTCGTCGTCAAACCTCCGCCGACGACGCCGACGATTTCTACGAGTTCGTTGAGCCGGGGCCCGTCGTCGCCGTAGACTCGTACCAAAACGCCGGGCGGCGTGGAGACGGCTTTGGCTGCCGATGTCGAAGAGTAGGCGAAGGCGTTGCCTCCACAAGGTTGTTTCTGAGCGGGCTGCTCGTCGCTTTCTTCTCTCTGCCGCTTCGTCGCTTGCGACGTTGATGGAGGAGGCGGCGGCACTTCACTTCGTGGCGAGGCCCAGTCCGTGAGCCCCGGCGGCGCCACGCAGAAGAAGGGTTTTCTATCGGCTAGGGTCGCGTCGGACGGGTCCGCGCCCGCAGGCAATTCATCCCGAAAAGCCACACAAACGTCCGTGCCGTTTACACTTACCGAGGGCGCGTAGAACTCGGGGTTGCCCATGTCCTGGACCATGCCCACATATCTAACAAGGGAGCCGGGCGGCGTGCGCCCGGTGGCGTAGTTTTCTTGCGTCAAGAGAGGCAGGTTTGTCACGCCGTCTCTCTCAAGTTTCGAAGCGACGCGCTGCGCGAGCGTCTTCGCGTCCCTGTCCTCGGCGTAGAGGGCGTCGGCGATTTGCAGGACGTTCGCCATGATCGATGCGTTGCTGGACAGCCGCGCGCGCGGCGGCCAGCAGTGTGCTGCTTTGCGTGCTGGAGGTTATATGCACCGCGCGCGAAATCAGGGCAGCGCAGGAGTGCGAGCGAGTCTTTGACAGGCTCTGTGAGTCACTACCGCTGGATAGCATGCAAATATCCCCCGACAATCAAGAGAGGCCCAAACCACTATCTAATGCATCAGACACACTAGCACCGCGCCTTTTACTGCGCGAATCGGCACAGAGGTGTCGCAGGGGCCACAACGGAGCGCCACAGACGGCTCTGCGGCCATCGCGTGACCGAAATCCCGCGGGGATCTCGCGCCTCGCCGCTCAGAAGAATCGCATTAACGTGCCGCGCGGCGCCCGAAAAGCTGCCCCCACCAACGCGCGCGTCTCTCCTGACCTGTATCTCGCCCCTCGCCAATTGATTTTGCTGCGCGTGCCGGGCCCTTGGCAAAATTAACGGAACAGCTGGCCCCACCCCCACGCCGTCGCCGCGCAGGCAATAAAACCATGTACAAAGTCCTCCTCGTCCTCGCCTCGGCCGCCGCGCTCAAGCGCCCGTCGCATGCCGCGCTCAAGGTGCGCGGCGGCGAGCTCGGGCTCAACGCCGACACGGCGATCAGCGTGGGCACGGGCCTCACGGCCCTCAGCGGGCTCTACGGTTTCATGGACCCGGCGGGCAATCTCGAGAAATACGGCCTTACGAAGGCCGACGCCTCGGGCGTCAACATGGCGCGCTGGTCCTCGGCCTGGCAGTGCGTGCTCGCCGCCATCTTCGCCGCGGATCCCGAGAAGGCCGTGGGCCTCTCGGGCTACGTCGCCGCCGCCAACATCGTCGCGCTGGAGCCGGTGCGCGAGGTCATGGGCTGCCCGAAGGCGTCGCAGTACGCCTGGATCGCGATCTGCACTGCGCTCGGCTACAAGACGCTCTCGGGCGACGTGTCCCCGTGGGCCCTTATTGCTGTCTACGGCATGAACGGCCTCCAGCAGCACTTCATGCAGGACAAGACCCTCGAGATGTACGGCTGCAAGAAGCAGTCGGCGCTCGGCAAGTCGATGATGGGCGTCGCGGGCAACTCCATGCTCATGAGCGCCGTCTACCTCGGCGCGCTCACGCAGGGCAAGTCGCAGGCCGAGGCCTTCGCCTACGCATGGATCCTCGGCGGCGGCCTGGCGCTCAAGTGGGCGTTCACGGAGGCCGACGGCCTCAACTGCCCGAAGTCGGGCGTCCTCGGCTGGGCTGTCGTCTCCGCCGCCGTCGCGTACTCCTGCCTCAAGGAGTGAGCCGTTCTCCCACTGGCAAGTCTAGATGGCAAGTCCCGACGCGACTTGGCACTTTCCCCCGCCCACAAGTCTATCTCGCCCACAAGTCCATCCGCTTGTGAATCTAACTACGTATTTTTTGGATGCGTAGACACATGGTCTCGCGCTCGTAAACCCCGCCCGATCTCGCGGTCTCCGCCGGGCAGAATCTCACAGACTCGGCGCGCGTGCCCCGCGTCGTCTCCGAAAAGCTGCCCCTGCGCTCGCATGCGTCACTTCTGACCTGTCTCCCTGGTCGATTGATTTTGCTCTGGGTGCTCTGGCAGCTGGCGGCTAAACAGCTGCCCCCTGAGCGCTGATGGCAGCTGGCGGCTAAACAGATGCCTCCACGCCATCGCCGCGATGTGATCCGCAATCCGCGCCATGACCGTGACGCGATGTGACCCGCAGGTCAATAATCATGTACAAGGTCCTCCTCGTCCTCGCCTCGGCGGCTGCGCTCAAGCGCCCGCAGCGCGCGCTATCGGTGCGCGGCGGCGAGCTCGGTCTCAACGCTGACACGGCGATCCAGGTCGGCACGGGCCTCATGGGCGTCGCGGGCGCCTACACCGTCATCGACCCCGCCGGCAACCTCGACAAGTACGGCGTCTCCAAGCCCGACGCCTCGGCCGTGAACATGATGGCCTGGGCCGGCGGCTGGCAGGTCGCGCTCGCGGCGATCTACGCCGCCGACGCGGAGAAGGCCGTGGGCCTCTCGGGCTACATCGCCGCGTGGACCCTCCTCGCGCAGTCGCGCGTGAGCGACGTCATGGGCGGCCCGAAGGCGTCGACGTACGTGTGGACAGCTATCTGTGCGGCGCTCGGCTACAAGACACTGCGGGACGACCTCTCGCCCTGGCCCCTCGTCGCCGTGTGGACCTTGAACGGCATTCAGCAGCACTTCATGCGGGACCAGTGCCTCGAGATGTACGGCTGCAACAAGCAGTCGGCGCTCGGCAAGGCGATGATGGGCGTTTCCGGCCAGTCGATGCTCATGGGCGCCGCCTACCTCATCGCCCTCACAAAGGGCAAGTCGCAGGCCGAGGCCTTTGGGATCTCGTGGGCCGTCGGCGCCGCCCTGGCTGCGAAGTTTTGCATCACCGAGGCCGACGACCTCAAGGTCCCGAAGGCGGGCCCGGGCGTGTGGGCGGTGATCTCCGCCGGCATCGCGTACGCCTGCCTCAAGTGAGCTCCTTTCCCGAGTCGCCGCCGCGGCGGCACTTCCCCCGCCCACAAGTCAACTACTTGTTAGTTAAGTTACTTCTACTAGTACGGGTCTAGTTGAGCGCCTTGTAGGCGAGGCCCGCCGAGATAGCGGCCCAGGCGAGCGCACCGGTCTTCGGGGCGTTGAGGTCGTCCGCGTCCGTGAGGGCGTATTTCGCGGCGGCGGCGCCGTTGACGGCCATGGCGTAGGCGAACGCCTCCGACTGGCTCTTGTCCATGAGAAGCGCCCCGAGGTAGGTGCCGGTGCAGAGCATCTGGCCGCCCATGAGACTGAACATCGCCTTGACAATCTTGTTGGCGCCCTTAATTCCATACATGTCGCAGATGGAATCAGGCGCGAGGAAGGCCTGCGCACCGTTTGCGAGGAAGATGGCCGTGGCGACCCATTTGTTGAGGGACCCGTCGAGGGTCTTGTACCCGACCGCGCCCAGAATAGCCATCCAGATGACGCTCGGAGCCTTCGGGGCCCCGAAAACCTCAGACATAGGTTCTGTGATGACCATCACCGCGAGCATATGGTACATCATTTGCGCGTGCACGGACTCCGGGTCGAGGTTGAGCGCGGCCGCGAACATGATCTGCATCCAGGCCGTGCAGCGCCCCGCCGCCTGGCCCTTGGCCTCGGCCTTAATACCGTACTTGTCGAGATTCCCCTTCGGGTCGAACGCGCCATAGAGACCCGAGGCGAGCACGACGCCCTTGCCGACCGTGATGGGGTCGATCTCGCCGCCACGCACGGCCAGCGCGCGCTGCGGGCGCTTGAGCGCCTGGGCCGAAGCGAGAACAAGAAGGAGTTTGTACATGATTATTGACCTGCGGGTCACGTCGCGTCGCGGCGATGGCGTGCAGGCTCTCGCCTCGCCTCCGCGACCACATTCTTTGCATCCAGACAGTGGGGCAGCCGGAACGATGCGCAGCACGCACGGCCGACGCGCGCGCGCGCGGGCGTCCGGCATTTTTGCAGAGCCTCGATGGTGCCGCGCGCATCAGCACGCGGCGTTGGCGGACGCGGGGCGCGTGCAGCGCGGCGGCGATCTTGGTTCTGTTTTTGGGAGTTAGCTTGTGAGAGAGGCGCTAGAAACCTCCCCTCCCGCGAAGTCTATCTACTTGTGTGAATCTAGTCACTTTCTAGTACGAGTCTAGTTGAGCGCCTTGTAGGCGAGGCCCGCCGACAGGGCGGCCCACGCGAGCGGGCCGCTCTTCGGGGCCTTGAGGTCATCAGCGTCCTGCAGAGCGAACTTGACCGCGGCCAAACCATTGACGGCCATGGCGTAGGCGAACGCCTCCGACTGGCTCTTGTCCATGACGAGCGCCGCGAGGTACGTCCCCACGCAAAGCATCTGTCCGCCCATCATGCTCGTCATCGCCTTGCACAACCGGTTCGTGCCCTTCATCTCGTAGAGGTCGATCGCACTCTGGGGAGCGAGGAAGAACTGCGCGCCGTTCGCGAGCCAGATGGCCGTCGGGACCCATTTGTTGAGAGACCCGTCGAGGGTCTTGTAGCCAACAGCCGCACAGATCGCCATCCAGACGGCGTCGGGCGCCTTCGGGCACTGGAACTTCTCGAAGGACGGCTGCGCGACGAGGAGGAACGCGATCGAGTGGTAAGCCATTTGGCCGTGGACGCCTATGCGATAGAATGGTGATATGGCATACGACATGACGCCATCGCCGCGACGCCGTCGACGCAATCGCGGCGACGGCGTGCAGCGCGTGACGCCATCGCCGCGACGGCGCCGAGACGACGCAGGAAGAAGGCACCCAGAGCGACGCCGAACCACGCTGTCCATGTCGAGGTTGAGCGCGGCCGCGAAGAGGATCTGCGACCAGCCCATCAAACGCATCATGGCGTTGCCCTTGTCCTCCGCCTTGATCCCGTACAGACCGGCGTTTGCCGCGGGATCGAACGCGCCGTAGATGCCCGACGCCGCGACGATGCCCTTGCCAATCGTGATGGGGTCGACCTCACCACCGCGCACGGCCAGCGCGCGCTGCGGGCGCTTGAGCGCCTGGGCCGAAGCGAGGACGAGCAGGAGCTTGTACATTGTGTGAGTGCCTGCGGATGCAACAAGTCAACGGGGCAGCCTCAAGGAGGCGCGCAGCAGCTGCTGCGATGCGCCAGCGGCGCGTATCTGCGGACGCGGGCGTGTGCGCGCGGCGGCGATCTTGGTTGTTCTGTTGCGAGGCCTCGCGCTGGAAAAGCGCGAGTGGGCATCTTAATAGGCCTGCCAACCCGTCCGCGAACCGTACCGAGATGTGCTGCAGTCCACAGGACGCGTAAAATCGCGCATCCGTAGCCTACTAGGGCACGGGCTCTCATTTTATTAACAGACAGTCTCGCAGATCCGAGTCCAGCACCGCGTCCACACCGCATCACGCGCTGCCAGAAGGTACGGCGCGGCATCGTTGATAGTGCTGCTAGCCGTGCGTCACCCGCGCGCGTCGGCCGTGCGTGCGGCACCGATTTTCGGCTGCCCGGCTGCCCCACTGTGGACAGAAAGTCTGCGCATGCCCTCGGCCGTATATGGATCGACCTCCGCACGCTCGCATCGGGCGCCAAAGCTCAGCCGGCAACGCCCCGCGCAGGTATACACACAATGTACAAGCTCCTGCTCGTCTTCGCCTCGGCCGCGGCGCTCAAGCGCCCGCAGCGTGCGCTTGCCGTCCGCGGCGGCGAGATGGACCCCATCCAGATCGGCAAGGGCATCATCGCGGCGTCGGGCGTCTATGGCGCGTTCGACCCGAAGGCCAACCTAGAGAAATATGGCTGCAAGAATATTGGCGATTCGGGCAAAACACTCATGCGCGCCGGTGCCCTCGGGCAGCTCGTCTTCGCGGCCGCGCTGAACATGGACACTGATAATGTCCACGGCCAGCGCGATCCAGTGCATAAATCAAATTGTCGCGGCGTCACCCGACACACTGGTTGATTTGCGCGCAGGATGGCGTACCACTCGCTCGCCTTCGTCCTTCTCTCGCAGCCGACGTGGGAGTTCCACAAGGCCCCCAAGATGCCCGACGCCATCTGGATGGCCATCATGGGTGCGGTCGGCTACAAGACGCTCGACGGCTCGCTCTCGAAGTGGGTCATCACGGCGATCTGCCTCATCAACGGCGCGCAGTTCTTCCTCGCGCCCGACAGCGCCGTGGACATGTACGAGATGAAGGGCGTCTCGAAGCTCGGCAAGGCGATGATCGGGATGCTTGGTGCTCAGTTCCTGAGCGTGGGCACGTACCTCGCGGCGCTGCTCAAGGACAAGTCCCAGAGCGAAGCGTTCGCTTACGCGATGGCCATGTACGCAGCGACCGGGGCCAAATTCGCCCTCATGGAGGCCGATGACCTCAACGTCCCCAAGGCCGGTCCGCTCGTCTGGGCCGCGATCTCGGCGGGCCTCGCCTACAAGGCGCTCAACTAGATGTGACACCTCAGAGTAATCGACACACAAAGTTACAGCCTAGTAGAAATACTCATCGCGTCGTCGACCTCCTTCCACCGCGTCTCCCAGCCGACGGCCTCGTAGGGCGCCGATTTTAGGACTGTGGCGTAGGCCGGCGCTGCGACCTTGTCGAGGTAGCCCGGCGCGCCCGGGAAGACGACGTTGTCGGCGACGACCACCGTGCCCTTCGCCACGAGGCCCGCCGCCTCCATGCGCTCCAGATCCGGCGCGTAGCACTCCTTGCAGTGGTCGAGGAAGACGAGGTCCGCCCGTCCGAGAGTCTTGGCCACGCCCGGGATCTCGTCCGCCGCCAGCCCGACGAAGAACCGCACGCGGTCCGACAACCCGGCGCGCGCCACGACGCCCTCGGCCGTCCGCGCGAATTCCGGATTCCCCTCGACGCAAGCTAACATACCGTCTCCCGGTAATTTCGCCGCCATGCGCACCGCCGAATACCCGAGAAAACTCCCCACTTCCACGATGCGCCGCGGCCTGGCCGTCGCGACGGCACTGTCCAGGATCTTGCCCTTCGTCGCGCCGATCGAGTACATCGGGTACTTCTTACCGAAGTACTCGAAGGCTTGCAAGACGGCGCTGGCGTCGCCGGGCGCGGCGCACTTTTCGATGTAAGCTAGTACGTCGCCCGCGGACCGGTAGGGGTGCGCCGCGTAGAATGCGTCGGCATCGAGCTTCGTCGACGCGGCGAACGCTGCGTCGTAGGGCGACTGTGCTCTTGCCCATTGCGGTGCAGTGAGGATGCCGCCGAGGACGGCGCGGCGCGGGGCGCGTGGATGCGGTGCAGGGCTTTCTCGCAAGCTGTTTGCATGAATTATAAGCAGACACACCCTCATTATCATCGCTGCGGCACGGGGTAGCGATTTTGTGTGCGAGAGCATCAGCGCTCTGCTTGGCTTCAGCAGGCTCTGGCGCCGCGCTGCGCTAATCAGCGGTCAAGCCACGCAATCAGCGCTGCGAGAAGCTCAAATCGGACAGCCCAGGGCGCTCAGATTCGCGCCGGAGCGCCAGCCTCTCTCCTCTCTCTGCGCTGTGGGCTCAGAGCGTCCTACGCCGCCCAGCGCTTCAGACCATGGCGGAAGCTGTCGCCGCGTCGGCCGCTGGTGAGGGAACGTGCGCTATCTGCCTCGAGGAGACGCCGCTCGCCGCGCTGCCGTGCTGCGACAACGCGACCACGACCGAGTCGACGACGCGGTTTTGCCTCGAATGTCTAAGGATGAACTGCGAGCACGGCGGCGGCGTCGCGCGCTGCCCGCGGTGTCGGGCGTGGATCTCGGTGGAAGACGAGGAGGTCGTGGCCCACGACGGGACCGGCCGGTGCAGCATTTGCATGCAGGAGCCGAGGGTACTGGTCGCCCGCGGCCGTGCGCCCGACGGAGGCTCAGTCGCGATCTGCGACGCGTGCTGGCTCGGCAACCAGATCGCGCTGCGGTACGAGTGCCAGGGCTGCGGCGGCGTCCAGCGCATCCCGCACCCGATGTGGCGCTACCAGACGGATGGCCCGGAGGCGTTCGGGCACACGCCGTGGGCGTGCCACGTACGGTGTGGCACCTACACGCGCTGGCGTGTCATACCCGAGGACGTCGCGCGCGTGCCGCACGGCGACGCGCCGGAGTCTTGGGGCGTCGACATCGTCCGGCAGATCCGCGCGCGGCAGGGGCGGGAGCGTCGACGCGCCGCGCTCCGGGAGGCCGGCGAGCGGCAGAGGCGGGAGCGGCAGGCGAGGGTCGCGCGGGCGGCGCGCGCTGTCGAGCCAGCGGCGGCCGTCGAGCCGGCCGTCGAGCTACATGATGCGATGGCGGCCGAGGAGGAGGCGGGGCGTTGTCGAGTAATGTGAGTGTCTTACAGGCCGCTAGGCATCGATTTTTAGACTGAGCTTTTTGGAGCCGGATCACGCGGCTCGAGGAGAATTCAATCACGCGGAAGAGCGGGCCAAGTTATCGCGTTTACTGTAAGGAGAGCGCCCGCCAACAAGCGATACAGATTTAGAAGACATCTGAATTGAAATGGCCAAAGCCGGTCGCCGCGCACGGGCGCGGGCGTTAGCAATGGCGCGCGCTGCGGCTCAGAGGCGGCAACAACAGCAGGCCGCGGCGGAGGCCGCGCACGGCACGTCTACGATCGAGAAATTGCCCGCGGACATCCTCGGCGTGCTGTTTGGTTGTCTCGGCTTTCATGCTTCACTGGCCGCGTCACACGCGAGCAAGACTTTGCACAAGGTGCCCGACGCCGCGACGCGGGCGCGGCACCGCCTCACGCTAGGCGCGATGCCGCACCGGTGGGGCGGAGAACGGAACCTGCGAGACCGCGACTGTGCGACGGAGTATCTATGCCTGGCCCCGATCGAGACCTCGGACCCCCCGGGCCGCCCTCGGCGCCTATATGGTAACTGGCGAGATGAACGACAAGATCCCCCGGCGCCTCAGATCGGCCCGCGAACGCTGGTCTGCGATAGCTACCATGAGGAGAGCCTCGAGGACTTCTTTGATCCGAAGTACTCGCGCGTCGTGCTCCGAACGTTTACAGACCAAGGCGGCGTTTACCCCTTCATCGTCGAGATCGATAAGCGCGCCGGAGAGGTCCTCGTATACGAGTATCCGGCCGTTGACGAGGATGGGGAAAAACTCGAGTTCGGCGATTTGCAGGACTTTGGTGGTATCTTTCGGAGCGTCAATCTTGACGAAATGGTGCCGCTCGAGCGTTACGAGTGTGTTGGCGTCTTCGTGGGCGCTACCTGTCTAGACGATGACGATCGTGCTACCTTGTACAAGCCGTGGCGGTCGCCTCACTTTGGCGGTTCGATTCTGCTGCAGATGCCGGTGACCGACCACGATGGGCAACGGTACGGCTACGTGTTTATCGGTGACTGCTGTCGCTACTTTGAAACGCCCGAGCCTATCACGCGGTACTTTGCTAATGTGTCGGGCATGAGCCACCAAAGCGAAATTGCTTTGACGGCGACCTATGCTCTCTTCCCGACCAAGTGGCGTTGGCATGACGGGAAACGTTCTATGCCATACGCCAGCCGGGCGGTCTTCGTAGATTTTTATCGCAATCACTATGAGCGCTTGGAGAGCGAGTACGGCGAAAACGTATGGGAGCTCTGCCAGGCCTGTTGCCACGAAACTATTCCTAAGCCGCATCCCTATTTGTCAGTCACGATACACCGCTGGAGTTTCCATTATTACGATTGGAAACGAATCTTCGAATGGCAGCGCAAGTTATCGGGAGATGAATATGATTTTCAGCAGAAGAGATGGATTCCGGGCCCTCGGCCCCACACCGTCAATGATGTGATAGAGTTTCTACAGGAGGATTGGGCTGAGCGTTGCGACTATGTAGGCTACGGACGGGGTCCGGAAGGGGGACACTAAGATATAGAGAATAACACAGTTACACATACATCAAGAATCCTCCTCGCGCGAACACAACTCCCCCACGCGCACCCCGCGCACCACCGCCGCCGGCGCGTCCGCGCGCGGCCGCGGCACGAAGGGCGGTTCCGAATCGCACGACAGCGTGACCGCCCGCCTCCGGCCGGGGTCCGCTATTAACAACTCGTTCGGCAGCGGCGCGAGCGCCCGCTGCGCGGCGCGCACGGCCTCGAGCGCCTCGAGCGCGTCCTTCCCGGGCGCGACGCGCCGGCCCGCGTCCCAGGCGAGGCGCCCCGTCTTTAATTCAAGCAGGACGCAGCCGAGGGACCACAGGTCCGCCGCGTGGCCGTCGTAGTCTATCTCAATGCCGAGCGCGACGTCGCAGACCTCCGGCGCCGCGAAGGCCACGGTGCCGCACGCCGTGCGGCACCGGCCGCCTTCACAAAACTTGGAAAGGCCGAAGTCGACTAATCTCAAATTCCCGCGCGCGTCGATACACAAGTTCTCGGGCTTGACGTCGCGGTGGGCCCACCCTAAGGAGCCGATGGCCTTTAGGGCTGCCCACGCATCATACGCGTAGAAGGATACCTCGGCCTCCGTTAAAACGCCGCCGCGGCGCTTCCGCCTCCGATCCAAGTCGCCTCCAGGATAATACTCCGTGACGAGCGCCACGGTATCTGGAGATGACGCGAGCGCCACGAAGCCGCGCTGGATTTGTGCGTCGCGGAGCGCCTTTACTTCATTTTCTAGGGACGCGATCTTTAATGAATCCATGCGTCGGCGGTCCCAGACCTTCGCGAGGGCGTAGCGCTCCTTATGGAGGACGCAGGCTACACAACTGCCCGGGGACCGCTTGAGAATATCGACGCAGCGCGCGTCCAGCCAGCCCTCGTCGTCGTCGACGGCGGCGGTTCTCGCGGCTCTGACGGTGCCCCGGCGGCACCAGTCGAAGCCGAAGGGCATCACTCGACGCGTGCCCGACGCGCGGCCGCGGCTTGGGGCTGGGGGGGGCTGCCCACAAAATGCCAGCCGTCAGACCTGGCGCAAGCCGCTGCAGCCGGCCGAGGCGTTACTACTGAGACTCCTGCAGAGCGATGCGAGGCCGTCAAAGCGCGGAGACCACCGATACGGCGCCCGGGCAGGGATGGCAGGGTGCGGGGTGTAGAGCCAGAGCTCGATCTGGGAGCCCGGGCGCCCACCTGTGCGCGCGGCCGGAGACACAGCAGCCTCGCGGACGTCCTCTCACTCCCAACGCTAAGGCCAGACCGCCGGGCAGCCCCGCGCCGCCGCCGCGGGACTCCTACCCTCCAATCTCACCCGGGCCGATCCGGTCGCCGCGCGGCCGAACAACACCCTGAGATGGCCGGGATATTAACAAGATGCGCCACCTGCCTCGTGGACATCCCCCACACCGCTCCCAGGTGCGGCCGCTGCCACACGCGCTACTGCGGCGAGGCGTGCCAGCGGGAGCACTGGAAGCAGCAACCGACGCACCCCTGGTCGACGGGGCCCCACGAGAAGTTCTGCAAGACCATCAAGAAGGCGGGCGGCGCCGAGCAGCACTACGCGAACCAGAAATATGCGCAAGCCGTCAAGACCGCAGAAGATTGTTGCAATACTAATGTAAAGGACAACGGCCCGAAAGCCGCGAAGAACAAGAATCTGAAGTACGTCGTCGGCGAGACGCCCGTGGACGACACGTCGGCGGCCATCCGGACGCAACTCAAAATCGACGGCCACACGGGTCTCACGTGCCACGTCTGCCGGAAAGGAGGCAAGTTGGTGCGCATGTGCGCGTGCTCGGGCAAGAACGGCTTCGCTCATATTGCATGTTTGGAGAAGAAGGCCGCGAAGAGTGTGGAAGATGCGGTCAATAAAAGGGGCCCGCGCGTGCCGCATTCCGAGCAGTCCTGGGCGCGCTGGAACGCGTGTCCGCTCTGTGGCGCCGAATATGTTGGTCAGTTGTCCAACGCGTTGGGCTGGGCCTGCTGGCGGACGTACTGCCGGCGGACGGACGAAGCGGACTGGCAGCTGCGCTTCAACGCGACGGGCTTTCTGGCTCGCGGCTTGTACGGCGCGGAGCGGTACGAGGAGGCGAATCGGGTGTTTCGAGCGAGGCTGGGGATGTATAGAAGACGCGTCTTAGGCAACGTCAGTCAGCGGGGCTACGAATTGGAGACGTGCCAGCAGCAACTCCAAATTTTGAATAATATCGCGTACTGCTCTGAGTGGAAATCGAATTTCGGGCGCCCCACGCCAGCGACGCGACGTTGTTCCTCTGCCTGCGTCTGCTCGATGGCGTGGAGGTTCAATGTCATCGACGCGACGTTGTTCCCGCGACCGCGGCGGCTCGATGGCGTGGAGGCTCACGAAGGTCCACGCAAACCTAGCTCATTGGTTGATGTCCACGCAGGTGCTGCTGCAACCAGTTGAAGCTCTCGGACCAGCAGTGCTGCGAGGACGTGCTCGAGCTCTCGAAGTCGATGATCAAGATGTCGCAGTTCACGATGTCCGTCCTCTTCCTGAAGGAGGTTTTAAGGTTGGCCGAGCGGACGGACATCGGCTGCGCGACGACCTTGCAGCTCAACTGGATCTACGCGGTGGCCATCTTCAACGACGCGCGGACGCCCGAGGAGATGGAACACGCCATCCCGTATTTCAAGAAGGCCGCGGAGCGCGCGCGCCGCACGCAGGGCGAGGACCACGCGCTGACGCTCAAGTTCGAGCAGACGCTCGCCGACGCGCGGGGCGTCATCGACGGCAAGGGGATCGCTCGGCTCTCGAACATAAATCCCTAGTTACAACATTTCATTTAGAAATTCCTCGGACGCGTCGCCCACGTTCCCCATGTGGCCGAGGACGCGGCGGAGGTCCTCGGGGAGCGGGCACGCGCAGTCGATCGCTGGCGTCCGTGCCGTCGCGGGCAGCGAGATGCGGCACAGGTGCAGGCAGAGGCGCGCGCCGGGGAGGTCCCGTTCCTTCCTCCACTCGCGGTTCGTCCGCGAGTTCCCGTGCGAGCTATCGCCGAGGATCGGGTGCGAGAGGCCGTTCAAATGGCGGCGGATCTGGTGCCAGCGGCCCGTCGCGGGGCGCGCCGCTACGAGCGACGCGCGCGCCGCGTCTTCACTGCCAGTGGACGCCACAAATTTAAAAGTAGTCGTCGCGTTGTTCTCCCGTCCTCTGTCGTCCTTGATGGGCCGGTCGACGACGAACCAGCCCTCCCGCTTGAGGTCGCCCGATGGTACGTCCGCGCCCGCTTTTTCCAGGAGGTCCTCCCGCAGGAAGCCCTCGCCCCTCACGAGCGCCACATACGTCTTCTGGCCCGCCGCCAGGGCTTCTCCCAACGCGGTCGTCACCTCCGCCGCATCGTCCAGATCCGCGTAGGCGCAAATAACACACCCGCTCGCGCCCCGATCCAGGCGGTGCACCAAATTCACGCGCCGGCCGAGCGCGTCGCGGGCCCGTTGCAGGAGAGGCACGACGTAGTCCTTGCCGATGTACTCGGAGGCGTGGGACGGGACGCCGCCCGGCTTCGCGACGATGGCGAACGTGTCTCCTTCGTAGAGTATTTCCAGCGGCGGCGGCGGCTCGAGGACGACGGGTGTCGTCGGCGTCGTTGGCGGGGTGAGCGCGTGGACGCAGGCTGCCATGAGTAGGCGCATCAATGTGCAGCGTGCAGCGGTGGCGCCAACGCGTCTGACAGCTCTGGCGCCGCTGCACCGAGCCGGCAGTGATCACGGCAAGCTCTGGTGCGAGTCTTGCCACGAATGACAGCGTAGCGGCCGCGTTGAAGCCGGTTTGCGTCGATTAGGCAGCCGCGCGCTAGCGGGCTGTAAGACACTAGCAATCGAGCAAGCTAGCCAAAAACGCCTTTTTCAGCGCAGCGGAGGACTGCCGCGGGCCAAAGAACGCGTTCAGAGCTCGCTCCCAGCAGCCGCCGAGCAGCGCACCCGCTTGCGCCGTCGCCGCGCCGCCGCGCCACCGGTGTTTGGCACTTGAGGCTCAGCAGCCGCATCGGACGCGCGCGCCGACGTAGGGACGCGCCGCGCCGACGGACAGGATGGCGGCATGGCCAGGAAAAGTAGGCCAGGGCATGGACGCCTCCTTCCGCGCCGCCGCGGCCCAGTACCGGCAAGCGGCCCCGAAGCTGACGCACGCGCAGCGCGTCTGCCGCCTCTACCGCAACGCCCTGAAGACCCAGAACAGCTGGGCCGTCGACCGGCAGGTCTTTATTGCGGAGGCGGACAAGATGCGGGCGGAGTTCGACAAGCATGCCCAACTGGCGGCGACGTCGGTCGAGGCTCGAAATTTACTTGAAAGGGGTGAAGAAAAACTCTTCCAGGAGTCGCACCCCGACCGCTACATTGTGGCATACCTGCCGGGCGGTTCCTTATACATGCGCAACGCGCCCTTGCCTTTGCACGTCTGCCGCGACGGCCACGTCCCGGAGGGCGAGAGCGAGACGTTCCGCAACCCCGACCTGACGCGGGTCGTCGACGGCGAGAAGTCGGCGGGCGGCCAGGTCCTCGTGGACCAGCACTCGAAGCAGATGTACTAATAACTTACAAATCTTGACCCCCGGAGAACATGGCCTTCAGGTCGCCGACGCGCGCGAACCGAGCAAACCCCAGCAGCTGCGCCGCCCTGTCGATGATTGGCGGCACGGCGTCATAGGACACCCAGAAGTAGTACAACATCCCAAAACCCAACAACAGGAGAAATTTCCCCATGTCGGCCTGCATCTCGAGGCGCTTGCGCTTGTCCTCGTCGATCTCTTTTTGTGCTGCCTCCTTTTCTTTGTCTGAAAAGTCGCAGACCTTTTGCATCTGGTCCGCGCCGAGCGCGGAGATGACGTCCTGGTGCACCATCTTACTATGTGGTTCCGTTGCCAGCGACGCGCGCGTGATCAATGCAGTTGCACAGGTGTAGTGCGGTGAACCAGCGATGCGCGCGTAATCAATGCAGTTGCACACAGGTGTATCTTGACGCGCGATTCGCAGCGATGCGTGCGTAATCAACGAGTGTGCAGCGGGCGATGCTGGCACTTGCTGTGTGCTCCACCAATTGGCGAGAGAACTCGGCGCGGCGACGGTGCGGCGGTGCAGCACAAATTGGCGCGTCGACTGCGTTCTAAGGTGTCCTGTTTGCAGCAGGCGCAGAGCAGATGCAGACGCGAAGCTGTGATTAGCTAGCGGTGTGAGATACTAGCCACAACAACTTGATGGCTCGCACGCGTCCTGGGGCAGCCCCGTCGAGGGCTTGAGCGGTAGTACGGCAAGGGTGCGCTGCGCTCGTGGCTCTAGAGCTTGTCATCGCGACCCTAGAAGCACCCAAACTGCGAATCGAAGCCAATTGACAAGCGCATCACGGAGCATATCGAGGATGCACGACGAAGGCGCTTCCCATCGGCAATCCGCGCGGCACCTCAATCGGCAGCCCCATCGGCGCCCCATCGAACTACTCGGGGTAGCAGTCACCAAAAAAAAACAGACGCGGCGCAAGGTCTTGGCTCTCTTATGTGCGCTCGCGGCCGCCGCCGGTCTCGCGCGGCTGCTCTGGGCGCAGTCACCAAAGGTCGTCATGAAACAACGGCCGCGCGCGCCCCTCGCCGCCGTACGGCCGCGCGCGCTGCCCCTCGCGGCCGTCTACACAGTCTACACCTACGTCGCGGGCTGCGGCGACGACATGCGCGGCGCCTGCCAGACCTCCATCGAGGCGCTCCTCGACCAGGAGTTGCCGGGCGTGCCGCGGCGCAGCTTCGCGTACCTCGCCGCCGGCGTCGCGTACCGCGCCGCTCTGGAGGCGATCGCCAGCGGGCGGGACGAGGGCTACGTCCTGGTGCTCGTTCCCGATGAAGACGAAGACGACGTGCTGGCCGAAGTGTACCCGCTGCTCCACGCCGCGTTCGGCGAGCACCTGCGCGGCTTCGACCACATATCGGCGGGCTGCCTTCCCCAGAACTGCGGTCCGCGCACCCTCGCGGTGCCGCCGCCGCTCGCGCGGGGCTGGCCCCCGGCACCGGCCGAGGAGTGGTGCTTCGAGGTGTACTACGGCCCGTCCCCGCGCGGGCCCCTCGTCGCCTACACGGACATGTCCACCGGGCTCTTCACGCGGGAGGGGGCCCAGCGCTACCTCGACGCGTTCCGGCCGGGCGACATTGTCCTGCAGAACGCCCCGGCCCAATGCGTCGCCTGCTCGCTCCACGAAGAGGAGTGGAGGTGTAAGCTGCGCGCCCCTGAGCGCGAGGACGACGTCCTGGCCAGCGAGCGCCAGCTCCGGCGGCTCCGGTTCCCGCCAGTGCCGCGCGTGACGTTGTATCAGGTGTTTCGCCGGCCCGTGCCGGCGGACATTGTGGCGCAGAACTTGGCGAACATCCCGATCCCGGTCCGCTACTCGTTTATTTACGACGGCGAGGATCTCCGCAGATACTTTGTGGAACACTCAGATCCACGACTATTACCACTGTTCGATTCGCTCAAGTTCGTGGCGTGGAAGGTGGACTTGTGGCGGTACTGCCGCCTCTACGAAGAGGGCGGTCTTTATTTAGACGCTGATGCGCTGCTCCTCCGGCCGCTATCGACGGAGGCCTTCGAGCACGACTGCATCTTTGTGTACGACCCGGTGGGCCGGAATGTGTGGAACGGGCTGCTCTACGCGAGGGTTCGACGCAGCGTCCTCGAACTAATGTCGCGGTGACGGCGTTATCATCGACGTTTCACGCAGGCGCCCGGCAACCCGATGCTCAAGGCGGTCATCGAGTTCATGATCGAAGCTGGCCCCTCGCGGTGGGGCGGCGTCCGCGGCATGCCCCATCATTTCCACTACAACATTGATTATCTGTGGGCCGAAGTCAAGCGGTATTTTGGCGTTCCCGCGGAGCTCATAGAATGGCGCAGCGTCGAGGGCGCATGGGTCCCCGCGGTCTCACTACGAGCGCCGAACACGCGGACGGGAGATACTCTCTCGTGCTACATGATCAGCGGCCGGTATGAAAAGTACGCGACGGTTAACGGGGTGAAGCTGATCGAATACAAGAACCGGCGCTACCCCTACTACGACCCGGTCCAAGGCCTCGAAGCAGCGGCGGCCGCGCGGACGAACCACGTTCTAGCCCCCCGGACGCCCGTGCACCCGAAAGACTGGGGCTTCCCCGGGGATAGAACTTGAACTCTTAGTCTAGATACATCGCCGCGAGTTGGGGGTCGCGCGCGATCTCGTCGCGGCGCATCCGCAATTCCGCCTCGAGGCGAGCGATGTCCCCGTCGTCGTCGCCTTCCTCCACCTCGAAGGCGCGAAGCTCCTTCACGATCCGCTCCTCCTCCACCCGCTTCATCCACGCCGCTTCGTCGGCCTGGTCATCTACGTAGTAGTCGTCGTCTTCGTCGTCGAAGTAGTCGTCGCTGCCGTGGCGCGCGGCCTCCTCGTCCGCCCACCACCACGCATCGTCATTATTCTGCGCCCTGGCCTCCGTGATGGCCTCCAGCCAGTCCAACTCGTGCTGAGTGGGCGGCGACGGGCGAGAACTCGGACCACGCGACGCGGTCGGCGACACGACGGAAGCGTTCTGGCGTCGAAATGGCGAAAACGGCGCCGCTGGTGCTCGCTCATCGTAGGCCACGAGGGGCGCGGTCGCCGCCGGGAGGCTGTAGTTGCGGAGGAACTCGTCGCGCGTCGCTACGACCAAATCTATATCAAATTGTGTGGCCCGGTGCGTGACGTAGAAGGCCAGGACTAGGGAAGGAAGGTGGCGGAGCCAGCACGCCGACGAAAGGACGAGCTCGTTGTACTTCGTGCGACCCGTATGTTGATTCCACGGCCAGGCCCACCGTTGCCGTTGCTGTTCCTCGATCATGAACCGTAGACCCTCGCGCGGCTTGTAGGGCCCCCAGCCCGCCCAGACGTACTCCGTCGCCGCGTAGACGTCGTGGGACGGATGCACCGTGCCGACACAACCAGGTACGCAGCCGCTCGACCGGTTGCATCCCCTTAAATCCGTCCAGCCGTCCCAGGCCCAGGAGCAGAGGACGCATTTCCGCGTGACATCGGGGCGCACGACCACGCCGACCGTCCCGCCCCACCCCTCGAGGTCGAACGTGGCCGGCACATTCAGGCTCGCGAGCGAGCAGGAGAGTCGGCCCGCGCACGCCGGCGTCAGCCGCTCTTCGAACGCGCACTCGCGGACCTGTGTGACATTAACCAGTGAGCAGACGCCGCGTCGATGGCGTGAAAGTCGATTTCCGCGCGGCCGCGGGCCCGTTCGCGGCCTAGCTTAGGCCATCGTATAAAAGCCTTGAAGCAGAGACCTCCGCGATACCGGCGGTTGAGCCGCGTCACGAGGCCGCGCTCTTCCGCGCCTACGCGAGGGTCGGCCGCAGCTATTGCCACAAAGCAGCAGCAGTAGAAGTAGTACCCGGGTGCCATCGCAAGGGGGTTGCGCCGCGCGCAACAGCCCCGTCGTGGTACTCACGCCGTTCGCTGGCTGCCCATCGGCGTTGCGTACGGCGAGGCAGCCCAGCTTTTTTTGAGAGTGCTCTCCGCAGAGCAACTCGATCCTAACGGCTCCCGCGGGGAATTCGCGCCCCGTCCCACGCCACCGAGCAGGCGCAGTTGCATTCGCAACACCGCGTTAGTGGCGCGAGGCGAACCTGCGGATTGGTACGTGACGCGGGACTGCGGATGAAGAAGATATGCACCCAAACTTAAAAAGCAAGATACATCTCAAAACCGGAAGTCGGGCTTGGACGGCGCCTCGACCTTCTTTGTGGAACGCCCCGTCAGCGCCAACCCGCGTGCGATCCGCGTGACGTATGCCGGGCACTTCGTCAGCTTCGGCTGGAAGGTGAGCTCGGCGTCCTCGTCGTCTCCTCGGTTATCGCGCTTCGCCTGCAGGGCGGCTTCTCTTCTATCAGCGTCCTCCTTGAGGCGTTCTAAGTAGGTCGTCGGGTCGCTCGTGATTTTAAGCTTTGATTCTACTGTCGTCGACGTGGCAAATTTCGGCTGGAAGTTGTGCTTGGCCCGTTCTTCTCTTTCTCTCCTGAGCATCAACAATCTACGAGTGGTCTCCTTCCGGAGAGCGTCTCCCGCAGAAAGTTCGGCGCAGGACCGCCGAGGCCGTTCGACGGCCTTGGCCCTCTTGGAAATTTCGGGCGTGAACGTGCATTCTAGATTTTCTTCATCACCGCCTCTAGCGCCTCTCTCTGCAGCTTCCAACTCTCGTCGCTCCCGTCGACGCGCGGCAACCGCGAGTCGTTCCATGAAGCCATCGCCACCCGACGACTTGCGACCCTTCACCGAGGGCTGGAACGACGGCTTCAGTTCGTCGGCGACCCTACTAACCTTCTTTTCCCGTTTCGCGTCGCATGCTTTCTGGCGAGCCAGGAACGCTTCCACTTGTTTGGGCGTCGCGGCCTTGGTCTGGGGCACGATCTGTTCCGAGGGCTCGGCCTCAATTTGTGGAGCATCCCGAGCCGGCAGGTTCACGGCCAGGCGCTCGAAGACGTCGCAGGACAGGTAAGTGGACGCATTTTGCATCCCGTCGCTAGGACCGCGCACGTTCGGCTGGAAGGTACAATGCGGCGGCAGCTCTTCGTCGTGCCTCGCCTTGCGGGCCGAGCGGTAGCGCGGCGCGACGTCCGCGTTCGTGGCCTGCGCGGGATCGATGCGCTCGCGTCGATGGCGTGTCGCGGCTCATACGCCATCGACGCGACCACGTCAGTTATTCGATGGACGCCGAGGCCGCGCCATCGACGGCTGGAACGGGTGGCGCTGGTCGAAGTCCTCGTCGCGCTTCCTCAGTATCATTTCTCGCTTCGTGTCTCGTTCGAGCTGCCTTTGTTTCTCCTCGTCGTACAGCCTAGCTGGAGTCGCGGCTCCGGACCTTGTGACCGCCGCGGACCTTCTACTGTTCGCGGAAATCCTAGGTTGAAAGGTGCATTCATCTAACTCCCTTTCCGCGTTCCTTTCACTCTTCCGGCGCACATGCTCGTCCCGCTCCGACGCCCAGCGCTGCGTTCTCGTGAGAAAGTCTCTGTCGTCCCGCCGCCGCGAATACCGATCGGCGTCCGGATACAGCTTCCTAGGCAGCTTCTTCACGCGCGGCCGGAAGGTGCAGTCGTCATCTCTAGTAGCCCGAGGCCGTAATTGGCGAGTACTTTCCATGTAGGGCTGCCGCGTATTTGGCTTCACCTTCGGCCGCGGCGGCGGCGGCTTTTTCGGCGAGGGCTGGCGGACGCGTCGTGCGGAAGATAGGGCCGGCGACGTCACTTCCTCCTCCACAGAAATAGATTCGGGTTTTTGGGACGACGTGTCCCGCCGCAGCTCCGCCCACATCTCAGCTTCTCTGAGCTCTCCAGATAAACTTTCATCGCGAGAGTCGGGCTGGGGCGGCGGTGGCGGCTCCACGGGCTCCTGGGCCTCCTTCATTTGCGCTAAAGAGGCCATGAGCTCGCGCTTCGTGAGTTTTCCCGCGCGCATGGCACCCACCAACCGCTGGACGTCACCCGCGCCAGCTCTAGGCGACCGCGGCGTCCGCTTGAGTTCGCTCAGGCTCGCGAAGAGCTCCGCTTTCGAAATCTCGCCGGACTGCATCGCGCTCACGAGGCTCGAGACCTGCTGGCCGCGGCCCCCCGTTTCGGGCGGCGGCGGCGGCGCGTCGGCGGCGTCTTCGTCGGCCATTTTATTGTCGTGCGTCGGCGCGTTTTTCGGCGGCTGGCGTGACGATTTAGCTGCTGTTTATCAAAATGCGGCAGGGCGGTTTTGGTCCCAACCGCGTCCTAAGGAGCCCGCTTGGCCGCGCAGCTGCTATCTAGCGCTTTCAAACGGATCTATGGCTGCCGCAACACACTCGCCCGAGCGTAGCTTAGGCCAGGGACGCAGCAAACTGCGGCGCGTCCTCAATAATTGCTGACCTGCTACCTGTAAGAAACTAGCCTTCGACAGGTATCGGGTCTCCGCCCACTAGTCCTAGCACCGCAACAATACAACACAGGTATCGGGTCCGTGGTGCCAACGGAGCAGCTCCAATTAGCGACTCTCTCTCTCTCTCGTATCGGCCTCGAGGCCGCCAGGACGCGGTGATCGGAGCTCTAGGTGCTACAAGCTCGTACAGTGCGCGGGTCGACGGGATATGATATACGGCGCGGCGCCCCTCCACTACGGCGGCCACGACGCCGCACGCCGTCGACGCGACGGCTCGCTCGTACCGCACCCGAAAGAGAGACTAAACGATACTTTTTTAGAACACGCGCCTACTACCGCGAGTTCGTCCGCAGCGGGCTGAACTCGCCGCTCGGCTTGCAGCGCTTCAGGCCCATCAGAGGGTCCTCACCGGCGACTGGCGTCGTCGACAGCGACGCGGGCTCCGACAAAGACCCAGGGTCCTCCTCGTCCGCGTTATGACCATTGTTCTCCGGTGTTTGTATATTCTGGACGGGCGACGGCGTCGGCCGGCCCGGAAACCTCCTTTTCAGTTCTTCGCTGAAATGACCGTGTTTGACGCCTGGCGGTCGTGCTTGTTCAAATAGAGCTAAGGCGTCATCGATGTCCATGCCGTCGTGCGTCGCTAAGTAAGAACAAAGTGCAAATCCGGTCCTATTAAACCCATAGCTGCAGTGGATCGCTACTACTGCCTTCGAATCTTTCCGCCATAGTGACCGAGCCTCGTCGGCGATCCGCTCGACCAACCAGGGCTCCACGACCTTCTTGGCCTCCGTGGCGAGGTGGACATACCGCACGCCCGGACACAAGCTCAATTCCGACTCGTAGAGGCAATCATGACACGTTAAATCGATAACCAGACCCACACGCCTCCCTTGAGCAGCCTGGTCCCGGACAAAGCCCTGCAGGTCGTGGGGATATTTAATGCGCTTGCCCGATTTTTTTAGAGAGGCCATCTGGGCCCGTGTCAGCGGCGTCTTCATTGGGACGAACCCCCGGCCGCCGCGCACCGGCACCAAGCCCCCAACGGCCTCGTAGTCGCCCCACTTCTCGATCTTTCTCAGGACGGAAGGTAACGGGGCTGGTGAAGCTCTCCCGTTGGACGTCGACGGCGAGCAGAGGCCGTTCTGGGGTGGCGACGGGGCTCTTTGCGGCGTCGCGGTGCCAAAACACCAGCAGGACTCGCGTTCGCGGCAGGCCATCGCTGCTTTGATGTCCTGCGGTCTCTATACGAACTCTCGCTGCGCCGGCGTCACGTGACGGCGGTTTCACTCCCGGAGAGCTGTTGGCTCTCCCTCTCCTTGCTCCCTACGCGAAACCCCGCCAAACTTTGGACAAGGCAAGCCACAGCCTTCTGGCCGCGGCTCAGTGCCGTTTGCACCTCGTTGAGCCTACAGCGGCGGCATGGTGGACACCCGCAAGGCGGCGTGCGAGGGCTTATGCAAGAGAGACACTAGCCTTCGTGCTCGGTTCGGCGCGACGTATCGGGGGCTCTTCAGACTCGTGGGGACCTTATACGAGACCTCAGGCAGCCCTGCCTGCTCTTTGTCACCTCAACAGCCAAACGTGGGCGTCGTCGCGGGCCGCGCCCCTAGTCCGAGCACCAAACTCGGCGCCGTGTACTCGGCTCGACGCCATCGCCGCGACCCGGGAGTTTTAGTGACGAGTCGCGTCGATCTCGCGTGAGCCGCGACACGCCATCGCCGCGAGGCTCGCACGAGCACACACCTACCCCACCGCCACGCCGTCGCCGCGACGCAGTACTCGCCGCGCGCAGAGCCTAGGACCACAAAAACGCCCGCACAAGAAGAACAGAGAACTACTACCTTACGCCCGGCGACCCCATTTTGGTGGAGGTGGCCTTCCCCAGGGCCTCGTTCAGTTTCGAGGTGGACTTCTGGTGGAGTTTCGTCTGGTCGTTCACTCCTGACAGAATAGTGACGATGTTCGTCTCGAGGACCATCCCGGCCATCACGATCTCGTCCAAGATGTAGTGGACCTTGTCGCTGTGGAAGATCAAGTCCAATTCACACACGTTCTCGAAGCACTTGTCCAGGGCCTCGACGAAGACCTGGATGAGGTCCAAAATACCCAGGTCGGATTCAAGCTTGTCGACCGCGAAGACGAAGTATAAAGTAGCGTAGTGCCGATAGATCAGCTTCGTGGCGTCGCCCCACTGCATGATACTACCTTCCAGGTAGTTGCAGAAGGAGTCCGGTCGTTCACTCACTTGTTTGTAGACCTGCTGGACGACGCTTTGCTGCGCCTCTTCGGGACTGTAACCTTCTCTATGTACTTGCTGGAAGAACTTGCAGATGCGGGCCTGGCCGGAGTTGTTGACGATGATGATGCCCTTGATCATCTTTGGATGAGCGGCGGCGTGCGGCACTGTGCTTTTGGGTATGGGGGTCTGTGCGGTTACGGCTGCCCCGGCCGACGCTGCGGTGTTGTGGATGGGTTCTCGGCTGCCGTCGTGGTGTGCCGCGCGTCGCTGCGATGCGCGTCGGCGTACGCGTCGTACGCGTCGTCGAGCCGGCACGTTTGCTAGAGTCTTACATGCCGCTAGCAGCTGGTTGTCACCCGGGAGGTATATTCCGCCACAACGGTCGCTATCTGTGCTCTTGAACACGATAGGATACAGCCGAATACGGTGGGTTGCCGTGGGCAGCCTCAGGCGCAGGGCTGCCTGCATATATATGATGAAGAGCTGAGAGCAGGGCAGCCCAAAACCTAGCGCAGCACGCCAGCACCAGCATAAGGAGAGGGCAGCCATGCGGCTGATAATCCTGCTGCTGCTGGTGCCTCACATCCGGGCGGACGGCGACGCCCCGAACCGCACCGCTATCGTCTTCGTCGCCGTGCCGAGTCAGGACATTCCGGCGGACGCCGCGCTCCGCCAGGCGGTGCGCCAGACCTGGGCGCCGGCGCTCGAGAGGGGCGGCGGCGCGCTCCGCTTCTTCGTGGAGCGGCCACTCCGGATACGAGAGGAGCTCGTGGTGGTCCTCGACGACGCGGCGCTCCGGGCCGCGCTGGGGCACGCGCGCTTCGTCCGCACCGCGAGCGTCGCCCGCGAGGCGCTCCTCGATAAGCCCCCCGACCGCAAGTACGGCTGCGGCTCGACGCGGTGGACGGACTTCGTCGTGGGCATGGCCGGCTGGGCGCGGCGCCATTTTCGCTTCGACTGGTGGCTGCGCCTCGACGCGGACGTCGTGCTCTGCGTCGAACACACGCTCGCCGCCCTGCGCCGGCCGCCCTTCGCCCCCCTGGGCGCCCGCGTCGTGTACGCGGGCCACGCGGCGCACGCGTACCACCGGCGGCTCTGCGCGGTCGACGAGTTCTTCCTCCTGCTCTCGGCCGGCGCGGCGCGCGAACTCGTGGGCGCGTGGGCCGGGCGCGCGCGGTGGAGCGGCCCCGCGCTCGGCAGCACGCTCGCCGTGAACCTGCCGTCGATCCTGCGCGGCGCGCCGCTCCGGTCCGTCGAGGCGTACGATTCGGCCCACCTGCTCGTCTTCGACGTCCGCGCGCCGGGCGCAGACGTCGGGGCGGGCGCGTGCACGCGCGTCCTCGCCCTGCACAAGTACAAGAGCCCCGAAGAGCTCATCCAAGCCCACGGCCGCGCGGCCCGGATGCCGGAGAACTGGGCCTGGCAGCCGACGCCGGCCGCGTGGCGACCGGTCTTGAAAAACGGTTCCGGCTCGGTCTGGTCGGGGTGCGATGCGCCGGTCCCCTATTGCGACCGGCGGCACGCCGCCCCGTGGCGTGGTAATTAAAGTTGTGTGTCGTTAATTCTACCTGTTCACAAATACGATCCGCCCGTCGGGCTTGAGCCGGTAGCTCACGACGAGGTCGGCGAGGCGCCCTAGCGTCCGCGGGTCCGTGTCGACGTAGTGGCGCCCGTCCCCTTTAGCGGTGCAGGCGCAGAGGCCGTCGTTCTGCGGGTCTAAGACGGTGTGGCCCATCAAGCGCGCAGTAGCTCGCTCGTGGCCTCGCAAAGTTTGAACACCTACCGACGTCATCTGCATGTCGTACATAGGATCATTTTGTTTGGTGGCCCAGGTTCGCGCGGCGGCGGCGTAGGGTCCCGCGAAGTTCTGCGAGCACACGTCGTTCGTGAGGACGTAGACGATTTTTGCTGTGGGGTACCTCTCGGAAACGACCTTCGCGCACGTCTCCAGGCCCTCCTTGTACTCCTGAGAAGTGGTCAAGGTCCCGATCTGGATGGGCCCGCGCGGGCCCGGCACGGTGATCGGTCGCGCCGGTAAGAGGTGGAGGCGATGGAGACCCCCATAGTTCCAAAATACCACATCGAAATCGCGCCTCCGGGAGAACTTCTCCCGCCGTGCTTCCGACGCGCACCAGGTGTGAACAAAGTTGTTGTGGGGGTGGTAGCAGATGCCCTTTCCCTTGGCTTCCGCTTCCGCTCTCCCTAGACCTTCGCCGCAGTTCCTTTGGAGACCCGCCCGTTCCAGCCGCTTCGCGCGGTACAAATTCACGCTATCGCCGAGCACGAGCATCGACGTGTTGCGGAACAGCGCCGCCAGGCGACTCGCGTCCTGCCTGCCCTGGCCTCGTTTTTCCAGCTCGGCCAGGCAGGCGCGCCGGTCGTAGCAAGGACCGCCGTCGCGGGGGAACGGATCCGCCTTGTCACACGCCGCGCTTTTGTTGTACACCGGCACACGTACCGGTCTGAAGGGTCGTGCCTTCCAGACCTTTTCCTTGGCGCAAGCTGCCGCCAGCAGGCAGGCCGTGAGCGTGCCACGCCTCATTGTGTCGCGTGCGCACTGCTGCCCTGTGGTGGGAGCAGCCTGTGCCTGGCTAACGCATGCCTTCCCGGACCGCACCGATGGTCCGACGCCGGCGCAGTGGTGCGAGAGCTACCTGTAGGCTGCCCGCGCGCGCTTTGATGCGTGCTATCCCCCCCCGGCGTGCCACTCACGCAGCTAGCGGCTGTAAGACACTAGCATCACTCACAGGAGAAGAGGTTGGCTGCCCGCACGGGCCATCCGCTGTGCAGGCTGGATGGAAGGCCAGGCTGAGTAGACGCCCATGCGATGATCACATCAATGCTGCGCGTCGCCGCGGGCATATTAGCTGCATGGCGTAAATAGGGCTGCCACCATGATGAGCCGCGGCCTCGTTGCCGCCGCGTCCGCAGCGGCAGTCGTTAATGGGGGGCTGCTCTCAAGGCGTCACGACAATTTCAGAGCCAATTTCAGAGCACACTCCGCGCGGCTGCGGCAGCAGGCCATTAATGCAAAGCGCACGCGGCCGCAGCAGCCGCCGCAGGCGAAAGGTCGAACACGAGATGCCCAGGGCGTCGCCGCGATCGTCACGGGCGCGGCGCGGGCGTTCGCGCGGAGCGCCGAGATTCGCGACGCGCTCAAGAGCTTCATCGTAGCCAATGGCGCGACGCCGTTCTTCGCCGTGCACCTGGAAGACAGTTGCAGCGGCGCTAAGTTCTACCCGGGCCATCAAAGGCGCGCACCCGGGGCCGAGCAGCGGCTACACTCCGGAAATCCCTACGCGAACGTGTCGTGCGTACAGTGGCTCGCCGGCCAATCTGCCGGCCACAACGCGACGGATCTTGACGTCGAGGCGTACCTGGCCGAAACCTATCCGGGAGCGGGCCTCATACACGTCTCCAGGGAGTCGACGTGCGCGGAGTTCGATTACAAATGGGCCTGCTGCGCGACGCCGGGCCGCGGGCTCCGCCTTGAACCGCGAGGCATGCCCGCGCTCCAGTACTACTGGATGCACCACTGCTTTGCTGCCGTCGTCGTGCGGGAACGTGAGAGGGGAAAGGAATTCGCCTGGATCGCCCGGACGCGGCCGGATCTATACCTCGTCGCACCAATACAGATCGGCGCGCCGCCGCGCGGCGCGGAGCCTCCGCGGGAGTACAGGTCAGGCGGCTGGGTCAACGTTACGCGCGGTGCCGGGGACTGCGCGACGCTCGCACGCAAGTCCGGTCAGCCAGCCGAAGGCGACTACGAGGAGGGATGGGACGCGTTCTTCTTCGTCCCCCGGAGCCGGGCGGACCAGTTCTTCGCGGTCGCCGCCTTCGAGCGGGAGTGCCGGCGGCTTGGCAGAAGCCCGCCGCGAAGGATGCCGCGCCCGCCAAGACGTCCGCGTCGCCCTCCGCGGAGCCCAAGGCGCCCGCCATCGCGTCGTCTTGGGAATACGAAGAAGGAGAGGGCGTCCATCCTCGGCGCCGAGCGCCGCGCCCCCGAGTACGGCTGGCGGCGCGGGCTCGGCTGCTTTAGGCTACGTGCGTTCCCGATCGTCCAGCTCTACGTCACGCCGGAGGGACCCTCGTTCAACTGCGCGCGGGCGCCCAGCGGTATGCGACGGGACTGCGACGCGAGGCGCGCGCCCTTCAACATGGCACTCGATCTCGCGCCCACGACTCGCGCAGGTGGTGTAGTAGTAACGACACTCTAAGTTACGGTAGCGTTGCGCGCCGCGCGGAGGATGACGACCCCCGGGTTGACGGCGACCAACTGCGCGGCGATCTCGTCGTCGTAAACACCGGTCCGGAGAACGACGACGGGCCTATCAATATTTTTGATGGCCGCCGGCGCCCTCACGAAGAGGTCGTGGCCGTACAGCCTCTTTCCTATTTTATCTTGGTTGTTGTCGAGGACGGCCGCGAACCTTTCGGAGGGCAGGCCCGCCGCGAGGAGGTACTGCGTCGCGACGTGCGCGGCGAAAATAAAGTTCCTTGACTTATCTTCCGCGAGGCGGCCCTTAAACGTCGCCGCGTCCTCGAAGATGCGCTGGTGCCAGCGCTGGAAGGCGCGCTTGTTTTCATGAAAGTAATTGGGAGGCGGGCCATTTGGCTTCCGCTCCACCGCTTTAGTAACGTAAAATATGGAGTGCGTGCCGCCGAAGTACTGCTTTGTCACAATCTCGAAGCCCTTGGATTCTAACAACCACTGGATGTGCTCCTCCCTTAATAAAATGGTGTGTTCGAAATGCAGCGACGGCTGGCCGTCGTTCACCAACGCAAATAAATTGGGCACGGAGAAGATGTGGAGTTGACCCTCGGATAGTAAACCGCGGACAATCTCGAAAAATCGAGCCGGGTCGTACATGTGCTCCAGCGTATGCGAGTGCACGACGCAGTCGATTTCATGAGGTAACTTCCCCAGGTCCTCGACGTAGGACTTGACAATGTCCAGATCTGGTATAGCAAAAGTGCTGACGGGATTCGGGTCGACCATCGTCCAGTGCTTGACCTGCGCGCACATCAAGCAGTGAGTCCTGTTTCGGCCGTGCTGAGTCGATCGGTGAAAGACCACACCGCCACGCCATCGAGGCGGCGTCGCGTCGATGGCGTGAAGGCCACACCGCCACACCGCCACGCCATCGAGCCGACGTCGCGTCGATGGCGTGGAGGTCTTGATTCAGCAGTGGCGGACGCACGGCGACAATTTGATTTGGGCACTGCGCTTCACGGCCTCGGAAAATAACAGTTTCGCCGCCAAATAGCCGTGGCCGCCGCCGATCTCCAAAATATGTCCGGAAGGAGCGTGCGTCGCGACCAGATGCGCGAACTGATTATGGTGACGCGACCAGACGCTCCCGACGACGGCGTTGTGCTGGTGCCGGTAGATGTAGTGTAATGGTACCAATGGATTGAGCAGCACGACGCCCGTCTCGGGAACGATGAACCAGCGCATCGCCGCCAGGACGTCGTCGTCCGCCTTTTCGTGGGCCTCGGCCACTCCCATGAAGGTCGGGAAGCCGTCTATGGCTAACGCCTTCCGCCAGTTGTTACTGGTGGTGTTCGTGAGCGGGTCGCGCGTCCGAAAGACCATCTTCTTCGGCGGCACGAGGAGCTGGGCCGTCGTCACGCCGACGAATGCGCAGCATGTGCTCCGCATTATGGCACGCGCGCCTTCTTCTCCTCGCAGGCTGTTCCTGAGATGAGGCTGTGCTGCTGCCCTGGGAGCAGCCTTCTTTAATGCATGGTTCCGCCCCTTTCCGGACCGCACCGATGGTCCGCCGCCGGCGTAGTCGTGCGAAATGTGAGTTGCAGGCTGCCCGGGCTCGCGGCTGCAGCGTTTCACGCTGCCTGCGAAAAAATTGCCGACCTAGCGGACTGTAACACACTAGCGAATTCAACTCTCTTCCAACTGGAGCTGGCTTTGCGAGCTCCCCACGCGACCTCTGTTGCCAGCTGGTGCACAGGACGCGTCCCGGAAAGCGCCATGGCTCGCGTGCGCGCCGTCGTGCTTTGCGCGCTCGCAGCCGCACCGGCGCATGGCATCTGGCCATTTGGGAGGAGGACCACAGCCCTCGCAAAGAAGGTGCGCTCGCTCGAGCGCGACACTCTGGAATTTGAGAGCAACGAGCGGATCCTGCTGGAGCAGCTGCGCCAGATGCGCCTGACGACGGGCGAGCTGCGGACCACGCTGCGCGACTCCATCGCCGAGTCGGAGCGCGTCGCGGCCGAGAACGCCGCCGCCGTGGCGAAGCTCGAGGGCGACGTCGCGACGCTGAAAACGAAGCTCGCGGCGGCGGAGCAGCGCGCCGCCGCCGCCGAGGCGTCCGCGGCGAAGGCGGTTGATATGGAGTCGTCGCTCGCGGCGGCGCGCGCCGAGGCCGCGCGCCTCAAGAAGGAGCTGGCCAAGACGAAGGCCGAGCTGAAGACCGCCAGAGCGCCGCGGCCCGCGGCCCGCACGAAGGCCAAGGTCTCGGACGGCCCGTCGGCCGCGAAGAAGACGGCGTCGTCCGCGGCCGCGGCGCCGGCGCGGCGGCCGACGCCGCAGCGGTAAAGATGCTGACCTGTGTTTTTGTGCCTCCCTTTTCCTCTCCCCCGGGCCGGACCTCGTCGATGGCGTTGGGGCTGGCAGCCACGCCGTCGAGCGGACATTCCAGTGACTCCACGCCGCCGCAGCGCCCTTTGAGAGGGTAGCTAGGAAGCGGCGTGCGGGCAGCGGTGTGCACAAAAATATACAAGAAAACCTACCTTACGGGGCTCCCCACGTCCGGGAAGAACATCTCGTCGGGCCCCCGAGCAGCTGCTCGTTGCACGATCGTCCCCTTTTTCAGGCGCGGCGGCCGCCGCTCCACCGGTTCACTCTTAGAACCACCTTTCATCTGCGTGATCGCAGCATCAGCATCGGTAGGCGTATCGAAGGGCCGGTCGCAGGCCACGCAGGCCGGGCCGAGCTTCGTCTTGCCGAAGAGCGTCATGTTCGGCCGGACTGGATCGTGCTTCGACAGGCCGACCCTCAAACAGAGCTTCAGCCTCTCATTGAAGCGTCGCCGCGTCGCTTCGGCCATGTGGTCGTTCGTCGGATGGAGCTTGGCCGCGGCCTCGTCCAGCCGCTCGCAGAACGAACGTAATAGTCTAGCTCTATTCTTCTCTAGTTGTTGGTCCCATAAATCAGAAGTTTCGGGAGGTTCGACATGACCAATCAATCCGCGCAGACACTCCAAGTCCGCCCGCGTCGCTAGCGCTTCCGAGCAGTGTTGTATTGTAGCTGCGAGCCATTTTTGTTCGTTGACAGGAAGGGACATCTCCCGCTCGGAGATGACGGCGCTCTCGGCTTCCACACAATGTTTGGCTAGCTCTGACACGTGCTCATCCAGGATCGCATCGAGGCGGTCGCCGGCCATGTCCTTCAGCACCGCACTCCCGGCCATGTGCTTAATTTGTTTGACGGCGACCGCTTGCGCTACGAGAGAACGATGTAGCCTAGCCATGGCGTCGTCGTAGTCGCGCTCGTGCTCCGACCATCGCTCCTCGATGGAAACACCTAGCTTATCGGCTTTCCCGACACAAATCCGGACCTCGTTTGTGGCTGCATTGACAGCATCTAGACAACTCTCTCTAGCCTCAGCGACGCTCCGCAGCGCCTTCGCGGACACCTGTTGCACGTTTTCTTCACAAATTTCTGATCTCTTTTCAGCATTCTCCGCGATGCGGATCGACCTATGAGTCGTGTCCTGGACCTGATTCACACGATCCGTCAAGGCCATGCCCTGCGCCAGGAGGTCGTCGCCCATCTTGCCCACCCGCGAGTTGACGAGCGTCGCGAGGTTCTGCAGCTTGTCGTCTAGCAACGCGTCCTTTGCCAATCGGTCGTCACAACTCTCCGCGATCGAGGCCGTAAGTTTGATAGTGGTATCCGTTACGGTCTCAAAGTCGTACTCGCACTTCTTCACGCGATCCCTCAATTCTCGCATGTTCACGAGCTCGTCGAGCGACCCGCGCAGCTTCCTTTCTATGGACTCCCTTTTGACTTCGCCCTTGACCAATCGCTCCGTGAGGTCATTTATGGAACTCTCACTACTCTTGAGCTTCTCGGCCAAAGCTTCTTGGTCCAATTCCCGCGCGCGCCGCATCGATTTTATTGATTTTTGTTGGTTGTCCTCGGTCTCAGACAATCGACTCACCAACGCCCGTTTCAGCAGCTCGACGTCTCTGAGAGAAGCGTAGTCCATGGCCAGGTCTTCCAGAGAATCTGTACTTCCTGTCCAGATGTCCGTCCCATCAATACCCGTGCGTCGTCTCCTACGACGGTGCGGCGGGAAGGCGTCGTCGAGGCGAGCCTCTAATACAGACACCCTCGCCAACACGTCCTTCGACGCGACCAACGACGAGCTCTGAAGCTCGAAGGACCCGCGCAACGCCTTCCGGGCCTTCTCGTCGATGCGCCTCTGCTCCATGGCCAGTTTCGAAGACGCCGACGCGAGGTCCGAGTGTCTTACATCATAGTCGGCCAATTTGGACTCCAATTCCACACATCTCGCTTCCAGCGTGTCGACGGCCTGCATGCTCTTCTCGGAGATCTTCGTCAGCCCAGTGATGTCCTGCTGGAAGTTTTCTGTACTCAATTCGCACTGCTGCCTCGCTATTAATGTAGCGTCCTCTAGCAATTCATCAAGCTTCTCGGTCAACGTATTTTTGACCTTCCTTACCTCAGCAGACTGAGCGCACTTCTCGACGTCTCTTTTGAGCTTGAGGAACTCCATCTTGATGAGCTCGTCCTGCTGCTCGTCGCGCGTCTCCTGGAGCTGTTTCGCCTTTTCGTCTTCGGCCGCGTTGTTGTCCAAACGCTTCGCGAGGTACCTCAATTCAGACTCGATGGCCTCCAACGCAACCGGATCGCCGGGCAGCCCTCCAAGGTAAGGTAACTGGCGGCCGTCGCCATCGCTACCGCCTCTGTCGGCGTACGATGGATTGGCCGTCGACGGCCGCAGCTGGCGCTTGAGCTGCTTGTTCTCCTCTTCCAGATGTGCGACGCGCTTCGCCAGGTCGTCTACCGTGCGGAGGACGTGGCTGATGTCCGACATACTGCCTGGCGCAGCGCCCACAACCTTGGTGCGGCGCTGCCCGGGAAACTGAGGCTGCCCGCGGCCGGAGGCGCCAACCTTGATGCACTGGGAGTGGTTTTCGCGTCGCCGGCGTGCGGAGGCCGCGCGCACGACGTCGCTGTGTCTGCCGCGCTGCAGAGAGAGCTCGCTCCAGGTTTTTGCATGGGAGGCCTCCGATACTTGAGTGGAGGGTCACGAGCGGTGCCCTGGTGCGGTTAGATGTGCCGGGTGCTCCCTGGCGCGACGATTTAATTACCCCCTACTCCAGGGCAAAGGAGCCGGCCGTCGATGTTGGCGGCACGGTGAGCTCGACAACATCGACGTGATTCGCGGTCCCAATCCGGCTGGGCCCCACGAAACGGCTCGGACGGACTCGATAGCAACGTGCCCCACGGAGGGAGGCTGCCCCGCCTCATTGTGGAGCCGAAACAAGCGCCAGCGCGTAGGATTCGGCAGCAGCTCGCCTACAGCACGAGGCTCTCAGAAGAACCCCGACGCCCCGCGGCCCGCCAGCGCACCGCAACACCACAGACCAGCCATGGCCGAGCCCGTGCCGGCCCCCGACGTCGGCGACCTGCCGGATCTGCCCGACGCGCCCGGTGTTTTGGGACCGCCCGTCGTCGACGTCCCCGGAAGCGCAGTACAAATCGCAGTACAAACGCCGGCACCCGCTCAACCGGAAGCGCCCCATCCAGATATGATGCAGCTGCCACCAGGTTTTCCGATGATGATGCCCCAGCCGGCCGCCGACGGCTCTACGCCGGGCTACCCGCCGCTCATGGTCATGCCGCCCTACGGCTACTACTACATGCCCCAGCTCGCGCCGCAGCAGCCCGGGCAGGTGCAGCCCCAGTTCGTGCCACCTGCTGCGGGCGCTGCGGCGCCACCAGGATTACCTCAACCGCGGGTGCCGCCCCACGCCTTCTTCGGGTACATGCCTCAACCTGAGGTGGCGCCGCCGCCCGCGCCGCCGAAGAAGAAGGCCGCACCTCGGAAGCGCCAAAAAACCTCGAGGATCAACCGGTCATTGATCGGCTTCGAGCATGACCCCCGAGACGTCGCCTTTGAGTCCTTGCGGTTTTCCGACTCGTTGCGGTCGCAGTACAACAATGCGTTGAGACATTTCGTTGGATACGTCAAAGAACGGAAGATGGACCCGGCCGAGGCGGTGGTCTTCGTGAGTCCGGACGGCGTGGCCAAGGACGACATGTTGCGGGACTTCGCGCGGTACTTGCACGATAGCGATGGCGTGACCGACTCGGTCTTCAGAAACTGCCTGAAGTGGATGCAGAAGAATCTGGAAGCCCAAATGACGGCGCTCGATCTGCCGCCCCCAAAAGCGTATGTCTCGCGCTTACCGGGCATGCGCGAGCTGAACCACCTCCAACGACCGAAGCAGATGGCCCAGCGGGCCATCGCCGACGCCAAGGACGCGGAGCTCATCCGCAAACTGAACGCGAAGGGGCGGGGCGTCGCGCCGGGCCCATGAGTAAATAAATGCTTGTAGTATATATGTTTAACTGGAGCGAACGCTCTTTCTCCCAAAGTCAGTTCATATTTATTCTCTAGCGCGCATGCGCTAGCAAGGACGCGGCCGTCGCCGCGCCAGTGGTGCGCATGCGCCCGCCCGCACGCCTCCGCCGCCAAACAGCCGGCGCGCGGACGCGCCGAGTCGCCGCGTGCCATCAAATGCCGAGCGCCGCGGCCAGCGCGTCGGCCTCGCGCTGCTCGAGCCCGACCTCCAACAGGTCCTCCATGCGCAGCATGTCGAAGTCCGCTTTTGACACAATGTCCTGCTCGGCGAACTTCTGGCGGTACTGGCCGCAACCCGTAGTTGAGAGTAAAGCGCCGACGGGGTCCCTCAAAGCCGCGTGGCGGTCCTGGAGCTGGCCCATCTCGCGGTTGTGCGACGTCCGTAAATTCGCGAGCTCGCGGTCGTGCTTCTCACGTAAAGATTCCAACTCGGCGGCGAGCTGGTCCTCGTCCACATCCTGAACAGAAGGCGCGCGCGGCGAGCCCTGGCGCCGCCGGTCGCCGATGGACAGGCGTTGGGCCTGGCGCAGCTGGTCGGCCTCGTACTCGCGCGCCGACGCCTGCATGGCGGCCTGGAGCTGCGCGCGCTCCTGCTGCGCCGGCGCGAGCAGCTGGCCCGTGGCCTTATCCCTCAAAATCTTGCCGACGGAGGGAGGCGGCGGCGCGCGGCGCAGGTGCGCCGGCCCTGCGGACGCCTTGGGCGCGCCGAGTTTCGGCGCGCCCTTGGGCAGGACGACGACGTGGCCGCACTTGACGGCGTACTTCGGGTCGCCCGACGTCCGGTTCGACTTGCGGGCGCCCGCGTTCGGCACCAATTCGTAGTCGACGCGGTCGCCTTCCGCCAACTTGCCCGGCGCGCTCTCGACGTCCACGAACGCCACGAAGACGTCGTCGCCGCCCGCGTCCGGCCGCACGAAGCCGTACGACGGCGCCTCGCGCGGTCTGACCGCCGTGACCGTGCCGCGCAGCTTGGGCTTCTTCACCGGTTGTACAGGCGGCTTCGGGGGCGCCGCCTTCGGAGAAGTAGCCGTGCCCCAGGGCCCCGGCTTCGACAAAGCGGGGAAGTCGGCCGGCGCGGGCGCCGCGGCGTCGTCCTCGATCGGCTTGGCGTAGTGGGCGATGGGGCCCCTGGCGTTCGTCTCCTGGACGTAGCTCACGCGCTGGCCGACTTCTAGTAGAAGGCCATCATCACCTCGAGACATGAAGAAGATGTCCTCGGAGCCGTCGTCGGGAGCGATGAAGCCGCTGACGTACTTGTCGCCCTTGTTCTTCCACTTGTGCACGCCCTCCTTCTTGGTCTTGACCGTGCCGGTCGCCCGCGGGCCGTTGGGGCCCGGGTTCTCGGGCCGCGGGCTCGGCGCCTTGGGCGGCGGCCTGGGCGGCGCGGGCTTGGCCGCGGGCGCGGGCTTGGCCAGGCCCGGCGGCGCGGCGCGCGGCGGCGGCCGCGCGGCGCGCGGCGCGGCGGCCGCGCGCGGCGCCGGGCGCTGCAGGCCCGCCGGGCTCTGCAGGCCCGGCGGCTTGAGCGCGACGGGCGCCGGACGCGCGACGCGGGCCGCCGGCATCTTGCCCCGCGGCGGCGGAATCCTTTCTTCGCTTTGCTGCTGGCGACGCGGCTCGTGCGCGCGCGTCAGCAAAAGCGGTCGCGCTCTAGAAGCGGCGACTTAGCGGCGACTTGCGCGTTCTTTTGCAAGCCTTGAACGGGCTGTGGGACTCCGCTTGGCCAGCCGCAAGCGAGCGCAGCTGTTTGGCCTGCCGAGTTTGGGAGAGCGATTACTCGTTTGCTCCTGCGGTACCGCTCAAGCTGTTCCGCGCACGTTTTGGTGCCCGACTGAACTTGCCTGCTGCGTACCGTAATCCCGTGAGCGTGCCACCTAGCGTGATTTTGGCAGGGTCGCTTTGATCGAGCCCCAAAACACACCAAATCGGCGCGGGACGCAGACGGGACGCAGACAAGCGCCGGAGCTGTCGCAGGAGAACTCTAGAGTGGCCAGAAGACGGAAAACTCGAAGAAAGGGTGCATTAGCCTTTTCGTTCGGGTTTTCTGCGCTTTGGGACAAGCGGCTGTCACAGCCAGTGGCAACCAAGAAACCATTCCTAGGATGCGACGCCGTCGAGCTGCGCGAGCTAACTTCGCACGCACACCATCACGCGAGCGACGCAGCGCCGCGAAAAAACGACAAACTCCTAAGGCCACTCTTACACACGACGGCGACGTGCAAGACTCACTTCATCGCCGCGAGCGACTTTTCGAGCGACGCCATCGCCGCGTCGAACTCGCGGCACTTCTCCAAAGCGGCGACCACACAATCCTGGTCGAGGCCCGGGAGCGCCGCCGCCGGCGCATCTAATGAATCGTTGATCTCCTCGACGACGGCCCAGGCGGCCTTGGCTTCCGAGGACGTCGGCCCGAATTCCGAGGACGCCTTCTCCGCGGCGGCGACGGCGGCCGCCGCGCCGGGCGTTTCCGCAGGGGATGAGGAAGACGACGACGGCAGCGGCGTCTGGGCGAACTTTGACACTTGCACCTTGATGGAGTCGCTCTTCGCTTTTGAGGAGGCGAGGATCGCCTCCAACTCCGCCATACTGTTCGCGTACTCGCGGCACTCCTTCGACGGGTTGAGCGCGTCGCACTCGTCCGCTAAACTTGGTTTCGTGGCCGCGGAGTTGTCCGCGCCCTCGATCTCCTCGACGGCGGCCCAGGCGGCCCGGGCCTCGGGGGACCCGACGGAGAAGGACTTGGCCTCGGCGACCTGTGTGTTGCGTGTGATTTTGTGTCGTGCGGCCGTCGACGACGTCTGCGTCCATGCTTCTGGGCGAAGGCTTCATTATACGCGCTGCTGCGGACGGCGTCCTCATAGGCACCATGTAACCTCACTGGCGTCGGCGCGCGCGGCGCCGGCGCGAACGCGCGCGCGGTCGCACCGATGACTAAGAACCTCGCGAGCTGCATCGTTCAGTAATACGATGCAACTGAGGAGCGCTACACCGAGATATCTGAACTGCTGCCGAATTATCGGTGGAAGCTACCTAGCGACACCGCCACTAGCTATTTTGGCGCACACTGTGGGGTTCTTGCCGAGGCGGTTTTGCTTAGAAGGCGGTATGCTGTTATTAAAGAAGCGGCACGCGCCCCCCGCCGATGAATCGGCGACGCGCGGGGCTCCGCCCACTAGTCCTAGCGCCGTAACAACGAAATAAAACACAACCCTTATTTACCCTTTCTTATCTTCCAACGCGAGCCGCTCGTCCAGCAACTGCTTCGCCAGCGCCCGCCGCACCGCGAAATCATTTTCGTTCGACGCGATCTGGTCCAGCTCGTAGGACGACCTAGCATGCAAATCCACCAAATGCCTCATTCTATCCTCCTTCGCACGCCGTTCCAGAGCGTCCTGGGCCCGTCGCCGCCGATCGGGATATTGCGAGCTGTCCTTGAGCTCCTCTAACAGTGAAGAAGAGGACCTCTCGAGGTAGGACGCCGCGTCGTCACTGTCATCGCAGAGACCGGCGGCGCAGGCGTCCAACTCGAGCTCTTCAAATGCTTGTTCCCGCAAAGCTCTTCGTCGTTCCACATTGCGGATCGAAAACTCTTCGATAGACTCCTCGGACATCTCCGGGAAAGTATCAATAGCGAAGGATCGCGACTTGTCGTCGGTTCGCACCATGTCAATCACTTCAAACCTTTCGGTGGCGTTGCGCGACAGGAAGTGCGGCGACGCCAACTCCAGCGTCAAAAAAGTGTTCTCGTGAAACACGCCCCGCTGCGTTTGCGCGCTTACGATCTGCGCGAGCGTGAGCGTTTCGTAGACGCCTGAATCGGAGAGCTTCGACAGCTCCTCGACGACGAACTCCGCCGCCTCCACCACAGCTGGGGCGTGGACCGATGCTTGTATTTTCGGCGCGGCGTCGTCTCCATGGGTGAGCGTGAGGCAGCCGAGGAGCAGCCCATAATGCCGCATGCTTTCCGGTGCGACGCGTTGGGGCAGCTTCGACGACGCGTAACGCTGCGCGCGCAGGCGGTCGCTTGGGACGATGCGTGCGAATGGCAGCGCTCGCACGCCGCGACGCCGCGGAGCTCGTCGAGAGATGGCCAGTGCCGCCGCCGTGCGACGGGTCCTCGCGCGCCGGGAGTGCTCCGCCCGACCGCTCCGAAGGCGGGAGAGGGATCAAGCAAGGCGCGCGGGCCCGGCCCGTGCGGTGCGGGGTCCGTGCAGCGGCATCACACAACAGCCTTTGCGCCAAGTTGTAGCGCCGCCTGGAGCGCCGCGGGCAGCCATGGGCCGGCGCCATTTCATAGATGCGCCCCGGGCGCGGCGCGCGCGCCGCGGTTCCGAGCATGCGGCACGTTATCAAGTGAACTAGGCACCTGGTCCCCAGCGCCGGCAGCCCCCGCGCGCGCAGCCGTAGCGCGATGCGGCGCTTCTTCCGCCGCTCGCCGCCGCAGCAGCGCGTCACGCCCGAGAAGGCGCCCGGCTCGCCGAAAGCCAGTCGACTCAATAAGAGCGAGGACTTCGAGAGTCATTCGATAAAACAGCTCAAGAAGCTCTGCACGGAACGTGGTATTGACCATAGCAAGTTCGTGGAGAAGGGGAATTTTGTGGAGGCGCTGCGGGACGACGACAACAACCGGCAGCACGCCGGGGGCCTCGCGAAGGCTATCAGAAGGGGCACGGACGTCCGTGATGAAGACGTGCCTCTCCCACGAACCTATTCGGACTTCGCCAAGAGCCGCGCGACGGGCGTGCCGCTCCAGAGCCCGCCGCGCAAGGTACCTGCAGCGCGAGACGTGGGTTCGAAGCTCGAGGACGGCAAGGTCTTCATGGCCGTGGGCTTCGACCGCCAGACGGGCGCCATCGATGTGGCTCCTCTCAGAGTTTGTAGGATTGACGCGAACGGTGATCCGGGAGAGGACGATCTCGCCCGTCAACTAAACGAAGCGCTTACGAGGGGCCGCGGCTCCTTCGAGGAGCAGCGCCGGAAAGATGCGGAGCAGAAGCGCTTGGATCGGATGTACGGCAACGGCTCGCCCGGTCAAGCGGCGCCTCTGCAGACCCAGAGCGCGGACCGCGGTCTTGGCCGCAAGCGCCTCGAGAAGAACCGGCGCCAGACCACCGGCAGTAGTCGCCCGGGCACCGCGGCTCTAGATAGCGGACGGCCCATCCGCAAGATCAACTTGGACGGCAAGAACCTGCCCCGGCAGGACTCGTTTTCTCTGGAGAGAAAAAATTCTTTTTCCCGCAAGTTATCGAGGCAGGATTCCACCTCATCGATAGACTTCAGCGCCGTCTCGCCGAAGATGTCACGATTGGACTCGTCCTCATCGTTAGACACGACGCCCATGTTCGCCAACAGACCGCCGGACGGTTTTTGGCCGGCCGGCGACGACGACTTCCTGTCGGCCGAGATCGAGGAAGAAAGAGCACGCAAGGCGAAGAAGAAGTTCTACGCCAAAGGTGATGCCCAAGCGGGCGAGAGGGGTCGCTACGAGAAGCGCGACCGCGTCGAGGCGGAAAGACGGGAGCGCGAGGAGCGGGCGGAAGCTAGGGCGAGAGCGGCGAAGCGCCGGGAGGCGGAACGGGCCCAGGACCGAGCCCGGGCGGCCATGGCGGAACGACGGCCGCCTCCACCGGAGTTAGGAGAACCGCCGTCAGAAATTCCGCTGCAGTACCGCACCCCTGAAAAGTCGCGACCGCTACCGGCGAACCCGCACCCGTCGCAAGAAAGGAAGGGTCTCGTCAGTACGCCACCGCTCAAGACGGCCGGCGTTTGTTTGCCCGAGGATCGACGGTTCGATCTGGACGGTCTCGCGAAGAAGGCCGGTCCGATTGCCTATCATGATGTGAAATGGCTGGAGACGGATCTCGGGTGGCGCAGTCTCGGTACTCAAAGAGGCGCCCCCGCGGAGCGGCGGCGGAAGCTTTGTGAACGAGAAATGTCTAGGTGGGAGCCGGTCGCGTTCGAATCGAAGTTTGGGGCGCGAGTACAAGCGGGCCCCGACGCCAAGCGCATCGCGGACAAGGTCGCGGCCATCTTCGCGTTTTTGGAGGGGCTGCTGGCCGAGGTGCCCGTCCGGCCGCTCGGCCGGCCGCCGTCGCCGCGCTACGAGGAGCCCTTCCTGAAGCGGGCGCAGGGCGTCGACGTGCGGCGATAGTAGTCCGCGCGGCTTTTTATAATTCGTTTAGTTGTATCACTCTTCACTCGCGGATTCGGAGCCTCAACCCGGCCTACTTCTAGGCAGTAAGCGTACACGAGAATTAACGGTGTCGGTCGAGACTCGAGCGAGGTCCTAGACCGTCCTAGTACCGCTCCCGCGGCGTGCCGTCGCCGTCCCCGTCCACGTTCGCCGCGAACCACTTGCCCTTGTCCGCGTCGTAGCGCTTGTCGTAGGTGACCGTCTCGCCGTCGTTCAGGCTCTTGAAGCCGCTCTTGTTGATGGCGCTGAAGTGCACGAACATGTCCTCGCTACCGTCGTCGGGCTCGATGAACCCATAACCCTTGTCCGAGAAGAACTTGACCGAGCCCCGGCAGCCGTCGGCCTCGCCCTCCATGTTCACGACGACGCGCGCGCGCGGGGTTACCGCCTTAAAACCGGGTGCGAACGCCGCGGCGGCGCCGAGGCAGGTTGCGGCCAGAAGTGATCGCATCGTGGGGCCTGTGTGGACGCACGCCATCGATGCGACGTCGACGCAGCCACTTGCTCTGCAAAACGGCGTGGCGTCGCTCCGCAACCTCAATGGCTCTCGAGGGCAACCTCGCTGTTTTACTAACACAGGTCCCGTACGCAGCGAGTTCTGGCTGTGGCGAATCTGTGGTACAGGTAGGTCCTGTCGCGCTGTTCTCTTTTGCAACGAACGACTGTGCACTGCTGCAACTTGCTTGCTTGCCACTGTTGCTGCTTGCTAGTGTCGTTGCTGCTAGTGTCTTACAGGCCGCTAGCCCACCTAAGCGCGGGAGCCCTGGAAGCCGCGCCCCGGGGACGGGATCTCCTCAAACTGGCTCATTGCCGAACTGACTCATCGCCGGGCACGCGGACTAAAACCTCAATATAGAAGTTGACCGCGGCCGACACCCACGCAGGGCTTGAGCGGCGACGGGTGCACGCTTCCGATGGACAGGCCGGCGCCGCGGTAGACCGTGGTGTTGTAAATGGTCACGTTCTGCGTGCAGCCAGGCACGGCCCCTGTTTTGTCGGAGAGCAGATCGGCGGCCTTGACGGCGACGACGTCGTCGTAGTTCGACACGACGATGTCTCGGATCGTGACGTCCCGGCCGGCCACATCAATACCATCGGTGTTGAAAGGGAACATCGGTACGGACTTCTGCAGCGCTGCCTGCGCCGCCCAGTCCGCCAGGATCGTGACGCGCTCGACGAGGACCCGCTTGCAATAGCTCCCGAGATAGAGATTGAATCTTGGCGAGTCGAGCATCGTGATGTCGCGCACGACAATGTCCGTGGAGCCGTCGATCTGGAGGAGCATGGGGCGTTTTGAAGCGAGCTTGTTGCGCGCAAACGCGACCCACCAGTTGTGGCCGCGGCCGTCCAAGGCGCCGCCGCCCGAAACTGTCACGTGCGACGACAGGTGGATCGTGATTAGGCTCTCGAAGTTGCCCAGGTAGAAGGGCCACACCTTGGCGTGCTCGCCCTGCGGCGGTTCATAGGCGGCGAGGCAGCCTTCGAGGCGCAGCTCGACGTGCTCGAGGCCGTAGAGCGGCGCGTAGGGCACCATCACGAATCGTTGGCTCGGCACGACGACGACGTCGCCCTTGCGCGCGGCGCGCAGCGCGTCGTACAGAGCCTTCCCGTTCTCAAACGCGGCGGTCGCGTTGTTGGCGCCACCGGGCACCGCACCGAAATCAGTAATGGAGAGCTCGCGGGCGGCCGCCGGCGCCCACAGGAGGGCGAAGAGCATGCGCATAGCAGAAGGGTCAGCTGCGCAGAATCAGAATGTAATCGCTGCGCACACGATGGGGGCGCTGCAGCCCCTCGCAACGCGGTGGGAGGGTCGCCTCGGCGGCTCCGCCGCTTTGCAGCCCTTACCGATTTGCGCCGACGGCGTGTGTTCGGCCCGAGTCACAGCTCTGTGAGAGCAACGGAGCTCCGGGGACAGCGAGAGGTAGGAGTCCTCTGGGGTTCCTGTATCGGCTCCGGGGACAGGCACAATGGAAGTGTCGGGTTGCGATTAAGCTAGCGGCCTGTAAGACACTAGGCAAGGCAAGCAAGCCCAACTCAGCCCACAGCGCTGCGTTTGGCCGCACGGCTGCATCCGAGCCGCTTAAAGCTCATTTCAACCGCATCCGAGCCGCTTAAAGCTCATTTCAACCATCGCTGCTGCCGCGCATACCAGCAAGAGCCAGCAAAAACGCCGCCGCAGCGCGTACAAGCATCTGCTCTCCTCACGACCGCCGTCGCCGCCGCACGTTGACCGGCAGAGCTAGACGTCGTCGCCGCGCCGGCAGAACTCAGAAGCGCAGCCAAAACATGACTGACTACGCCAAGTGGGACAAATTTGCGGAAGACATCAGCGACGACGACGCCCCGAAGACACAATTAAAACTCCCGAAGGCCCGAGCGCACAGCGCAAGAGCGTTCCCCGGCCGCCTCATCGCCTGCGTCGAGAACGTCGAGAACGCCTACCCGCATTATTATGATTGGACGATGATCAACGACGGCGACGACGGCGACTTTGTGGTGCTAGCACATGATCCGACGCAGCAGCAGTCGATCGTCTCCCAAAATTACAAGGAAGGCGGCACGGCGCGGTTTTTACTGATACACCACTTCGCGGGCTACTACGCCGACCCCGACGTCATGCCCATCGTGCCGATCCAGCAGTGGCTCCGGCGGTTCGACCGGGATGAACCTTTGCAAAAGGAGCACTTGTTAGTTGTGGGGTTATCAAGGCCGTTCCGCGGCGACGACGGGTCGCCGTTCGAGCTTTGCGGCTGGTGCTTCGCGTCGGCGACGGAGAAGCATCCCGTGTTGCTAGATGCTGCGGGACGACCGGGCACGCCGTCGCACGCGCTGACGTCTGCCGTGATTTCACATTTACAGAAGTGGAACCCGTCGGCGCTCCAGAAGCTGCCGGATTCCGCGTCAAAGGACGGGTCTCATATAAGGTGCTCGCCCGGCGACGTGCTCGTGCTGCCCTACCGGGCCTTTGGGTTCTTCCCGTCCGAGGACAAACGGTTGCCGGGCGAGCCGTCGCGCCAGCGCCTCGTGCAGAAGGCGGCGCGGCCGAGCTCCTAAGTTGTTGTGTGAGTCACACATAGAGTCTTACTCGAGCGCCGCGGCCTTAGAGAGGTAGACGCCCGCGCTCGCGCTCCCGCCCTTGAGCGCGATCGCCGCGGCCTTCTCGTAGAGCGTGGTCGCCTTCGCCGCGTTCGATGAAGCGTAGGCCGCGGCGACGGCTGCGAAGAGCTCGTGCAGCGGCATCGGCAGGGCGCTGTCGTCGTCCTCCTTCGCGGGCTCCGCCGTCGCCGCCGTGGCGTCGTCCTCCGAGACATCCGAGGCGCGCCGCACGTTGGCCGTCGAGACACCAGACTCGCTCTCCCCGTCGTCATACGCGATCTCGTAACTCCCGGAGTCGAACGACGCGATTCTGCCGGGATACCAATGCCCCTCGCCCCCATAATTTGCCTCTACCACATCACCGACGGCGAAGGTCTCGGCGGCCGCGGCGCCGCCACCCTCGCGGTCCTCCCAGACCTCGCAGACGAAGCGCTCCGCCACCGCGATATCCGCGCCGACGAGACCGATGGCTCGTGCACTCGCGTCGTCGAGGGCCGCGAGGGCGAACGACGCCTTGGCCGCATTGTGTCCACCGGCAGCAGCGCTCAGAAGTAGACTCCCCGCGCGCGCCTCGTCGCGCAGCTCCTTGGCCGCATCGACGGGCAGCGGGAGGATGGGATGATCCAACCCCCGGTGAAATCGCGCCAGCGCGTAGGCCGCCGAGGGCGAATGCCTCGCCGCGATGGCGCAGTGGAACAGGGCACTATACACGTCGGGGTTCGCCGTCCACCGAGCCTCGCATTCCAGGCGTGCCAGCGCGGCGTGGACCTCGGCGACGGCCGTCTCGAGCTTGTATGACGTCCGCGGCGTCGCCGAAGACGCGCTCTCGTCGATGGCGTCTAGTAACGCTCTGGCGGCGCAGGCGGTGGCGCCGCCCGCGGTCGACACGTCCTCGAGCTCTGCATTGATCTCGTCGCACTTGCAGAGCGTCCGCAAGGACTTCTGCGCCTCCAATCGGACGCGCCGCGCCCCCATGATCGAGAGGCGCCGGGCTTCGTCGTGGCGCGACTGCGTGGACTTGTCGGGGATGCCGCTAAAGCGCACCGACGACCGCTTCTGGGGCTCCTCCTCGTCCTCCTGCGTCGCCGCGCGGCGCCTTTCTGCTGGCGACAGCTCGAACTGCGGGATGCCCAATGGTTCGAACAAGCCCTTGGTCGCCTCGGCATCGACCGTGGCAAAAAAAAGAGCCATCCCCCGCCGGCCCAAATCACCTTCGCCCCTCGACTCGTCGACGGAATGCAGCTGCGGGTCCGTGTACAGGTCGTCGACGCCCTGGACGTCGCAGACCAGCACGTCCCCTTCGGAGGCGTAGAACGAGTAGGCGCTGAACGCCTGTGCGCAGTTCAGGTGTCGCGTCGAGAAGCGCCAGAAGATTTGATTTGTGCACTGCTGAACGCTTGCGGCGTCGACCGGTGCTCGTCGTGGTCGACGAAGCCGCTGTTGTTGTTGTGCTTGACGAAGCCCCGGCCAAACCGATCGGCCCCATCAATAAAGCGTTCAGCGCACAGCGCCGGCGTCGTCGGGTCGTCCACTAACTCCAAAACGCACGCGGCGATGACGTGAATGGGCTTCGGCGGCTCGAGCTCATTAAACCTGTGTTTTTTCACACGCTCTGGCTTGAACGGCGTCGACGCGAGAGCACGTCACGCTGAAGTTCAGTTCCGCGCCGCATCCCTTACTTGTCCGCATACAACGACGCCTCGGCCTGCAGCCGGACGTCGTCGAAGGCCCGCGCCGCGTCGCCCTCGGTCTTGTAGCTTTTTACGACGAAGTTTTGCGCCTTTTTCCAGTCGAGGGCGTGGAAGCGCTGGACGTAGCCAAAGCTCAGCTTCTTCGCACGGTAGCACTGGCGCATGGCGCCCTCGTCGAAGGGCTCGGCCGCGATCTTGATCAACGACTCGTCGACGCGCCACTCCTGCGTTTCCGGGTCGTAGCGGTGCCTCCGGATGCGCTGCGCCGGCCGCCTCTCGAGCTGGTGCTTGGCCCAGCAATCCGGCATCTTCAGCAGCTCGCGCGCGCAGGCCCAGATGTGCTTCCGGAGTTTGGCGCGCGCGGCGCGGCATTGCATGGGCGTGCACGGCGGCGGCTCCGGCGCGTTGCAGCAGTCCTCCTCGACGCTCGTGGTCTCGCGGCGCAGCACGGGGGGTGGGGGTGCGTCTGCCATGATGTGTGCGGCTCTGGCGGCTGGGAGAGCAAAGCAGTGTTGAGTGTATTATTTGCAAAAGCGATTGCACAGAAGTGTTCGGGCAGCGAAGGTGGCTTATAAGTAAGAGGTTGTTGGCTTTTAACGCGCAGAGCGTGAGCAAAACCACGCGTGCGACTGTCTGAGAGCTAGCGGCCGGTAAGACACTAGAAAGGACAAAACTACTCGTCGTGCGTGATGCGTCTAGCGGTCCACTGCCTCAACCAGGGACAGCGTTAGTTAGGCATCAGCTGCCTTTCAGTCGCAGCATCCGGCTCTGCGCCTTGGCTTCGCGACTGGACGTAACGCGTGCGTTAGAAGCGGCAGAGAGCAATGGCACCCAATAGGGGTTTTTGGGGCCGCGGCACGACTCAAGACGACTCCATCTACGACCAACTAATATCAGAGGAGCGCCGCTCCGCCGCGCGCGCGGCCGGCCGCCGCGTCGGCGATCTGCTGGAAGCCCAGGCCCTCGAGGCGGCGCTCGCGGCGTCGCGGCCCCAGCAAGACGAGGCGCGCCCCGAGACGCCGAGGACGCTCCAGGAGAGCGAGTCCGGCGATAGTAGTGATGAGGAAGCCTTGATACCGCTCTTCGAGGACGCCCAGACAACATTAGCTTGTGACGACGTCGACGACGACGCCTCTTTGTTGTTACAAATGCCCGCGGAGCTCGCCGTGCGCGTGCTGGGCTACTGCTCGATAGAAGGAGCGTTCTGCGGGGCGGCCGCGTGCAAGACGTGGTACCGGCGGTCGACGTCCGAGATCCTCTGCGAGGTCTTGTGCCGGCGCCACTGGCGCACCTGCCGCCCCCAGCGCTGGGGCGGCTTCCGCCAGATGCTAGCGCGCCGCGACCGCGTCCGTTTATCTGGTTTCTACGCCCTGCGGCAGTCTCGCTCGAAGCCGGTCCGGCGCGATATGTGGACGCCGAAGGAATTAGATCAAGTCTACTGGGTCGAGGCGGCGTGGTGGCGCTGCCTGCGGTTCTTCGCCGACGGGAGTCTGAGATATTGCTTGTTTGCCGAACCGGAGGGCGGTCTACAGGCCGTCGCGCGCCTCGCGGCCAAAAGACTCGCGCCTGAGATCACTCCGAGGCACCGCCGGGACGAGGAGAAGACGCACCGCGGCGCCTACGAGCTCAAACGGGGTTTGGTGGAGGCGACGGTGGAAGTGCCGCACGGCCGCGTCGGCTTCTGCCTGACGCTGACGCACGGCGCGCGGGGCCGCGGCGTCGGCCTGGATTTGGACCGGCACTCGCAGGTCGAGAAGGGCGGGGTTAGTTTCGACCACCGCGTGCCCGAGGACCAGCGCGCGTTTACTTTTGTCGCGGTGCCGGCGTGGGCCTAGGCGGTCCTTTTGTTTTTTTTGTCGTCCCCGCACATCTGGACATAATCATTGTTTCGCTGTCTCTGTTAAAACTAGTTAGGCTCGTGGATTCCCCCTCGACGCCGTCGCCGCGGTCACTTCTGCGGCAAAGGATCAATCCCCTTGTCCTTCTCCGCGTCGATCTGCTCGAGGAAGTTGATGACGTCCGCCTTTTTGGCGCGCCGCGCTACTTCCAAAGGCGTCCGCCCCGACCCGTCGACCGCGCGCGCGTCGACCTCGACCTCGACCACCAAATACGTCACGACGTCCAAATGACCCCGATAACACGCCATGTGGAAGGGCGAGATGCCGTTCTTCCCTAGCCGCGCGTCGGCGCCGTTCCGCACCAAGAATTTGACGACGTCGAGATTCCCTTCTTGACAGGCAAAAAAGAAGGGCGTGCTCCCCTTCTTGTTCACGGGCGCGATGTTCACGCCGTGCTGCAATAAAATCTCCGCGATATCGAGCCGCCGGTGCTGCGCCGCGATCGCAAAGGGCGTGTTCCCGTTCGCGTTCGGCGTCTCGAGGTTGACCATTTGCGAGCAGAGAAACCGCACGATTTCCACGTTGCCCCGATAGCACGCGATGAAGGCCGGCGTCGCCCCGTCGTGGATCGGCGTCTCCATGTCCGCGCCCAGGCCCGCGAGGTACCGCACGACATCGACGTGCGAGTTCTGGACCGCCGCGGCAAACGCCGTGCCGCCGTGGATCACCCTGTTCAGTTCTAAATCAGGATTTCCCTGCACAATCCTCTGGACTTCGTCCAAATTCCCATCAAAACAAGCCGTGTAGAACCTCAAAGCTTTCTCGTCGCCCTCGCCGCCGTCGGCCATCGCGGCCATGGCGTCCTCCGTGCCGCCGCGCGCGGGCCCGCTAGCGGTTGATTTCCTTTTTGACGATGTCGAGCTGGAGTTTCCCCGCCCGACGGACGAAGGCCTCCAATGATGCTCCTCGAGCAGCGCCACGACGGCCGCGTGTCCGTTTTCCTGCGCGATGTCGAGCGGCGAGAGTGGTAGCCTACGGATGAGCCGCGCCTCGACGTTCTTCTCCTTGTCCCCGTCGTCGTAAGTGATGTCGTACTTGCCCTCGCCGCAGTCCCGGCTGATTTTTCCGGGATAATATTTCCGGCCTCGATACTTTGCCTCGACCGTGTCGCCTTCGCAGAGGGCGCTACTATTGAACGCGGCGCCGCGCTCCAACAAGAGCCGCGCCGTGTCGACGTGGCCCTTCTGGCAGGCGATGAATAGCGGCGTCGCACCGTTCTTCTCTGCGTCTACCTCTGCGCCGCCGTCCAGGAGTTGAGTGATCGCCTCGACGTCGCCGGTCCTCGCCGCGGCGTGAAGTGGGAATTTCGCATCGATGTGCTCCTCGAGCAGCGCGACAACCGCGTCATGGTCCTCACGCTTCGCAATGTCCAGCGGCGTCCTGCCTCGCTTATCCGCTCGGTCGACCCCCGCACCTTTATCTAACAACAGCCGCACCGTGTCGACGTGGCCCTTCGAGCAGGCGATGAACAGCGGCGTCTGACCGCGCTCCGTCGCCCGGTCGACCTCCGCGTCTTTCTCCAGCAGCAGACGCACAGCTTCGACGTGGCCGTTCTGGCAGGCGATGAACACTGGAGTCGCGTCGTCATTCTTTGCGTCTACCACTGCGCCGCAGTCCAGGAGTTGAGTGATCGCCTCGACGTCGCCGGTCCTCGCCGCGGCGTGAAGTGGGAATTTCGCATCGATGTGCTCCTCGAGCAGCGCGACAACCGCGTCATGGTCCTCACGCTTCGCAATGTCCAGCGGCGTCCTGCCTCGCTTATCCGCTCGGTCGACCCCCGCACCTTTATCTAACAACAGCCGCACCGTGTCGACGTGGCCCTTCGAGCAGGCGATGAACAGCGGCGTCTGACCGCGCTCCGTCGCCCGGTCGACCTCCGCGTCTTTCTCCAGCAGCAGACGCACAGCTTCGACGTGGCCGTTCTGGCAGGCGATGAACACTGGAGTCGCGTCGTCCTTCTTTGCGTCTACCTCTGCGCCGCCGTCCAGGAGTTGAGTCATCGCCTCGACGTCGCCGGTCCTTGCCGCAGCGTGAAGTGGGAACTTCGAATCCAAGTGTTCCTCGAGCAGCGCGACAACCGCATCATGGTCCTCACGCTTCGCAATGTCCAGCGGCGTCCTGCCTCGCTTATCCGCTCGGTCGACCCCCGCACCTTTATCTACCAAAAACCTCGCCGCGTCCACGTGGCCGTTCTTGCAGGAGACATACAGCGGCGTCCAACCGTCCTCTTCCGCCCGGTCGACCTCCGCGCCTTTATCTAACAACAGCCGCGCCGCGTCGACGTGGCCCTCCTCGCAGGCGATGAACAGCGGCGTCCAGCCGTCATTTTCCGCCCGATCGACCTCCGCGCCTTTGTCCAGCAACAGCCGCGCCGTTTCGACGTGGCCCTTCCAGCAGGCTGCGTACAGTGCCGTCTTGCCGTATTTGTCTGCCTGATCTACCTCCGCGCCTTTCCCCAGCAACAGCCGCGCCGCGTCGACGCGGCCGCCCTTGCACGCTACGAATAGGGGCGTCGAGCCGTCCTTCTTTGCGTCGACCGTGGCGCCGCCGTCCAGGAGTTGAGTCATCGCGTCGACGTCGCCGGTCCTCGCCGCGGCGTGAAGTGGGAATTTCGAATCCAAGTGTTCCTCGAGCAGCGCGACAACCGCGTCATGGTCCTTACGCCTCGCAATGTCCAGCGGCGTCATGCCTCGCTTATCCGCCCGGTCGACCTCTGCGCCGTTGTCCAGCAGCAGCCGCGCCGCGTCGACGTGGCCCTCCTCGCAGGCGATGAACAGCGGCGTCTGACCGCGCTCCGTTGCCCGGTTGACCTCCGCGCCGTTGTCCAGCAACAGCCGCGCCGCGTCGACGTGGCCCTCCTCGCAGGCGATGAACAGCGGCGTCTGACCGCGCTCCGTCGCCCGGTTGACCTCCGCGCCGTTGTCCAGCAACAGCCGCGCCGCGTCGACGTGTCCCTTCTGGCAGGCGATCCACAGCGGCGTCCGACCGTCCTCTGTCGCCCGATCGGCATCCGCGCCTTTTTCCAACAACAGTCGTGCCGCGTCGACGTGGCCCTTCTCACACGCAGCGTACAGCGGTGAGAGTGTTTGCTTGCGGATGAGCCGCGCGTCGACACCCTCCTCCTTGTCTCCGTCGTCGTAAGCGATGTCATACTTTCCCTCGCCGCAATCCCGGCTGATTTTTCCCGGATAATATTTCTGGCCTTGATACCTGGCCTCGACCGTGTCGCCCTCGCAGAAGGCACTGCCGTCGTCCTTGAACGCGGCGCCGCGCTCCAACAGGAGTTGCGCCGCGTCGACGTGGCCCTTCAAGCACGCTGCGTATAGCGGCGTCGCGCCGTCCTTCTGCGCCCGATCGACCTCCGCGCCTTTGTCTAGCAACAGCCGCGCCACGTCGACGCTATCGTTTTTGCACGCGTCATACAGAACCGTACGACCGTCTTCGTTCGCCCAATTCGGATCGGCGCCGCGCTCGAGACATAACCGCATCGCACCAAGATTCCGGTTCCGGCAAGCAAATAGAAGCGGCGGCATTCCGCCAACACACGTGTTGATTGCGTCGGTATCAACACCTCGCTCCACCAATAGCGTCGCCACGTCGAGGTGCCCAAGGGCACAAGCAATCCCAAACGGCGACCAATCACCCTCACGCCTCTTATCGACCGCGGCGCCCGCATCGAGCAGCACGCACGCTGCGTCGACGTGTCCTTTCAGACTCGCGACGAACAGTGGCGCATAACCGTCATTATCTTCCTGGTCGACGCCAGCGCCCTGCTGAAGAAGATCGTTTATTGCGGCGACGTCACCCTTGTAGCATGCTAGCGTCAGGGGCGTTGTGCCGCTCTCGACGCGCAATTCCCCCCACCGCTTCCCGAAAGCCACGAAGAGCCCTCGCTTGTCGTCCCTGAGGGTCAAAGCAAAAACACCATCTTCAAAAGGAACCACCCGCAGCGCCGCACCGCCCTTGCTCGCGTCCCACACCCGCAAGGTCTTGCGGCCCCCGCTCCCGAGCCGCATCTCGCCCGTCGCCGGGTCCGCGAAGGCTGTCAGCGCGAAAACGGCGCTTGTGTGTCCCTCGAGCACGAACAGCGCCGCGCCCGCGGCCAAGTCCCAGACGCGCACGGAACCGCCTTGTGACCCGCTCGCGAGGCGAAGTCCGCCCGTCGCCGGGTCTGTGAAAACAGTCAAAGAATTCACCCGAGACGTATGCCCCTCGAGCACGAGCAATGCCTCGCCGCCCGCAATTGGGTTGTAGATGCGCACCTTCTTGTCGTCACAACCACAAGCGATTCGCAATTCACCAGTCGCCGGGTCCGCGAAGACCGCCAGCGCCTTCACCTCCGAGCCAACATCGATCACGACCAGCGCTTCACCACCAGCGACCGGGTTGAAGACGCGCACTTTCCCAATGACATGATGATCGTAAGAGCCACAAGCGAGCCGCGGCGCGCCAGTCGCCGGGTCTGTGAAGACTTCCAGCGCGCTAGCTTCCATATCGATCACGACCAGCGCCTCGCCGCCCGCGACCGGGTCAAAGACCTTTCCAGAGTCAGTCACGAGCCGCGGCGCGCCCGTCGCCGGGTCCACAAAGAACGCCAGCGCCATCACGGTCTCGCCGACGTCAATCACGAGCACCGAATCACCAGTATCAGCGTCCCACACGCGAATCATCTTATCACGCGACCCGGTCGCGACCCGCAGCGCGCCCGTCGCCGGATCCACAAAGGTCACTAGGGCATTCACTCTATTAGAGTGCCCCTCGGGCTCCGCCTCGATCGCCGCGCCGCCCGCCGCCGGGTTCCAGACTCGGACGTCATTTGATGCGCTCACGAGCCGCGGCTCGCCCGTCGCTGGGTCCACGAAGGCTATCAAAGCCCACACTGTTTCCTCGTGTCCCTCGAGCACGACCAGCGCCTCGCCGCCCGCGACCGGGTCGAAGATGCGCACCTTGTTGTCCTCCGACCCGCTCGCGAGCCGCAGCGCACCCGTCGCCAGGTCTTTAAATGCGACCAGTGCATTCACGCAAGATCCCACGTCGATCACGAGCAGCGCGTCACCGCCAGAAACCGCGTCAAAGACGCGCACGTCGCCGCCAACTACATCACCCCACCTATCTCGTTTCACGGTGCCGCACGCGAGCCCCGGCGCGCTCGTCGCTGGCTCCTTGAAGACCGCCAGCGCATTCACAGTCTCGCCAATATCTAGCACGAGCAGCGCGTCGCCGCCCGCGATCGGATCGAAGACAAGCACCTTCTTTCCCGGCGCGCACGCAAGCCGAGGCTCGCCCGTCGCCGGGTCCACAAAGAACGCCAGCACATTCACATCGTCGCCGACGTTGATCACGAGCAGCGCCTCGCCGCCCGCGATCGGGTCGTAGACGCGCACCTTTCCGTCCCTTGATCCACTCGCGAGCCGCGGCGCACCCGTCGCTGGATCCGCGAAGACCGCCAGCGAATACACGCTCGAGCCCACCTCGAGCACGAGCAACGCCTCGCCACCGGCGACCGGGTCGAAGATGCGCACCTTCCCATCATAACAGCCACAAGCCAAACACGGCTCGCCCGTCGCCGGATCTGTGAAGACCGCCAGCGCGTACACATCCGAGCCTACATCAATCACGACCAGCGCCGCGCCGCCCGCGACCGGATCGTAGATGCGCACTTCGCGACTATACACGCCACCTACTCCACAAGCAACCCGCGGCTCGCCCGTCGCCGGATCCACGAACGTCGCCAAGCACTCAGCCTGAGTCTCAATCAGACATCGCTCCGCCCCACCCGCCGCCGTCAGACCCATCGGCCGCACGGCCGAGAGCGGCAGCTTGCTCGCAGCACTCTTGGCATCGTCGGCTAGGCGGCGCGCGGCAGGAGACGATTCCGCATTGGCGCGCGGCACAAGCCGCTGCCACAACTGCTCTAAGAGAGGCAATCCCCGTGACAGCAGGTTCCGCGACAACACCAAGGAGTCGGAAAGAAGCAGTGTGTCCTGACCCTGAAGTACGTTCAGGTCCGCCACGAAGGAAACAATATCGCCAGCGCTCCGTTTTCGCACGTACGAGAGACTGCAGGCGACCGCGACGGCCTCGCCCTCGTTTCTCGACCGCTTCAAGTGGAACAAACACCAACGCAACGCATATGCATCCGACGCCACGCCGCCCTCGCCCTCCACAAATGATGCGAGCACCACATCCGCGGCGGCGTCGCTCGAGTACGACTCCGTATCCAGAACCCCAGCACGAATCGCCCGAGCACACGCCCGCGCCAGCCGCCGGTGCGCCGCGTCCCGCGCGACGAAGAACGCGTCCTCAGAAGAGCGCTTGTCGAACGGCGCCTCGCCCATCAGCCAGTCAGTCACGGTCTTGTGTAATACGCCAATGACGTCGCCCTCGCGCAGCGGGAACAGCAGGGACACGCCGTCACAGACCTTCCTGCACCGCGCTCGATCCCAGCCCAGCGCACCACTCGCCGCGTCGACGGTCAACGGCTCTCCAGCAGCGCAGATTAATTCGACGAGCGGCAGCGCATCACCCCACGCGCCATCGTCGACAAACACGCGCCGAAAGTTCTCCGCGTAGATCTCGTCGAGGCCCGCCGGCAGCGCGCCGACCCTCGCAAAGTCGATCTTGCCGCTCGTGGCCTCGAGCTGGTCTGCGATGAGCCGCGCGTAGAGCATCAGTCCCCCGGCCTTCCGTTCGAGCGAAGTGACAGCCGCGTCGAGCGCCGACGAGTTGAGACGCTCGGCAATAAAGGCTTCGAGCGCACCCGCGCCAACGCTCGTGCCCTCGCACATCTTCGGCAACGCCAGTCTAATGACTTCGTATTGCTCGTGGGCGATGTGCTTGGCATTCGCGACGCTCTTTAAATTCAGCTGAACCTCGGCGAGATGTTTTCGGCCGTCGTCGAGGCGTGTGCTGACGTTCAAATTCATATCGCGGTAGCCGAGCGGCGTCGGACTGGCAAACTTGTTTTTTAATTGAGCGATCTCCAGGCCGAGGCCGCCACCGTCCAATTCGGTCAGCACCTTCAGTAGGTCAGTAGCGCTTCCGGAAAGGACCGTCGCGCGCGAGAGGTCCCGAAACTTCTCGGGATGTGGCACCCCATTCTTGTCGGTGTACTTGTCCGCGAGCTTGCGCTCCGCGGATCCACGCCCTTTGACGCCTGGGTCCGCCACGTCGCCCGGCAGCGTCTTCAGCGCATCGACCAAAATCGTCTGCGCCAGCGATGCGTCGGCGTAGAGCTTGTCGAAGTCGGTCTCGTCTTGCATCAAGTCGAGACGTCGCTCCTTATACTTTTCGAGCTCGTGGATCCCAGCAACGCCGCGGACCGCCTCGTCGTACGCGCCCTTTGACCGGCGCAGCGGATCCTCGAGGTCGGCGAACGTGTCGAGATTCTTCAAGCCCGGGAACTTCGCCTCGACCTCGTGCCGCAGCGACTCCATCGTCACCTCGAGCTCGACGTGTTCCTTCGCGAGTACCGTCAGGTACGCCCTCACGTCCTGCCGGTTCCTCGCCTCGTCGACGCGCAGCTCCGACGGCGTGTACCCCGAGAGGGCACCCTTAATCTGCGCTTCGTCGCGGCTCGTCACGACAAGTTTGATCCACGGCGGCAGCGTCTTGAGCTCGGTCGCGAGCAGCGATAACACTGGTTGCAGCGCGTCCCGCGGCAGTTCGTCGAGCGCGTCTATGACTAATACGAGGGCGTCGTCCGCGCCGCGCGGCGCCTCGACGCTTCGCAACGGCTTTGCTAGTAAAGCCTCGAAGAGCTCGTCGACCTTGTCAGTCTCGACGCCCGCGCTCTCCTTCAGCGCGTCTTCGAAGGCCTCGACCGTGGCGCAAAGCATGCCCGCCAGAGACCGCAGCAGCACCGCTGGAGCTGATCGCGCCGGCTCGGTGTGCTTGCAGAAATGCCACGCGGCCGCGTTTTGTTTGTCGAGCAGTCGCGCGAGCAATTCAGCCGCTGCCACGCTCTTGCCCGTGCCGCCGCCACCCACGAGCCAAAAGAGCTTGGCGCTATCAGCGTCGGTCCGCCAGCGGAGCACCGCCTCGAAGACCCACTCGCGCGTGCCGGGCAGGTGCTGCCCGCGCTTTTCATTAACGATGGCCGAGAAATCCAGCGCCTCCGCAACGCTGGAGCGGTCGGCGCCGTGGAGCTTTTCGTAGAGCGCCTCGGAGATTGCGGCCTTGGCCTCGGACTCCTTCCAGCATTGTATTGCCTCGTCCTTGGAGATCTTGGCTTCCGCGAACTTCTCCTCCCACGCGGGCTGCCACTTGGCGCCCGCCAGCTCCTTCGCCTCGGCAAGCGAGACCTCTGCCGGGAGAGATGATACGCCGCCGCCCATTTTGGTGCTGCCTGTAGGGCTGCCTCGATTCAGCTGGCGGCTGCCTATCCTTCACTAGCGTGCTGGCTTGAGCCGGGACCCGCACTGCAGCTTCACTACTGGGCGGCAGCTCGATCGAGGCGCTGCCGGATGGAGACCCGCACGCGTACGAAACGTTGCACGTTGTCCCGGGAGCGTTTGCCGAGGCGCTTCTGCCTACAAGGAAGTATGCTGTTGTGAAAGGCGCGGTCCGTGTTCGCCGCCGAATCGGCGACGCGCGGTACCCAAGTGTTCTAAGTATAAACACAACAACGTTAAGGTGGCGGCGGCACGCCGTACTGCGCCAGCGCCGCGTCCAGGGCGCGGTCCTCGAAGGACCGCAGGTGCGCCGCGAGGTGGGGAAACCCGGCGTCAGCCGCGGCGTCGGCGGCCGAGCGGCCCGTCTGGTCGCGGAGCAGCAGATTGGCCGGGGGCACGATGCTCTCCAGGAGGAAGTCGACCATGGCGACCTCGCCCTTCGCAGCGGCCTTGTTGAGTGGCGTGTGGCCGACGGCGTTCGGTTCCGCGAAGCTCGCGCGCGGCACGCCCAGCTCCAGCAACTTCTGCGCCGTGCGCACGTCGCCGCCGGCCGCGCACCAGTGCGCGACACTACAACCCGTCTTCGCGTTTTTGTAGAGCGGGTCCGCGCCCGCGTCCAGCAGCCACGCCGCGGCGTTCGTCGACCCGTAGTAGCCCGCCCACATGAGGGGCGTCACGCCGCTGGCCGTCTCCGCGTCAATAAGCGCCCCGCGCTCGTGGAGGAGCCGGCAGCAGGCGACGTGGCCGTGGCGCGCCGCGAAATGTAAGGGAGTTCGTCCTCTCGCGCCCTTCTTGCCGCCGTCGCTCGCGTGGTCCGCGCGGCAGCCCGTTCTCGTTAATAGCCAGGCCAGCGTCTCGAGCCGGCCCGAGCCCGCCGCGCGGTGCGTGAGACTACACCCGTTGCGGTCCCGCACGCGCTCGAGTAAATAGCCGACGTCCTGGAGCTCCGCGAGCCGACGCGTGTTGCCGTCCTGGGCCGCGCGCAGCGACGAGGCCGGGTCGCCGATGTCCTCGACGATGCGGCTCGCCGCGGGCAGCGGCGGCGTCGGTCGCTCGCGCGGCGGCGTCAGGGGCGCCACCGGCGGCACGCGGATGCGCAGGCGCGGTGGTCGCATAGGGCGCCGCTCGACCGTCGAGGCTGCTGCAGAGCTAGCAGCGATGAAGGCCCAGTAGGCGGCGGTCCTCGCGCCGCGCGCCATCACTGCTGATGCTGTTGAGGTGCCAGCGATTATTCTCGCGCCGCGCGCCACACTGCTGAGGCTGTTGAGGTGCCAGCGATTATTGGCCAGCAGGCGGTCGTCCGCGGTTTTTGCGAAGCGGTGGCTTAGCACGTGGCTACGGCACTAATAATGCAGCGTCCGTTCTCCTTCCAGTGCGGCTTAATCGCGTCCTCGCCCAAGCCTAATAGCGCTGACCAACACGACTCTGGAGGGCAACTCAAGCGTCCGCGATCCGCCCGAAGCCTCCGCGCGAACAGGGCTCTGCTCCAAGAGTACTCCCAGAAGCGGCAGGCCGCCGAAATCCCAGCGTACCGCAGTACGGCGCGCGGCGGCCGCCGCGGCACTCAAGCGATCTACTCAAGCGCCCACGCCATCGACGCAGACCCGATTCAATACCCGAACGCGGGAACTTACGCCCTCAATCCTCGCGCACGAACGCCACGACGCAGTACAAGGACGCCACCGCGAACTGGTCATCACTCAAAACGTCATCATTCGCATGCTTCGGCCGCACGCCGACGCTCGTCGCCAGGTCGAGGAAGGCCGGGCCCCGCCGCCTTCTCTCCCCATCCAAGAAGCAGTCGAAGCGCGCCTCGAGCGTGCATTTTAGACCCTTCGCGGCCGCGCGCGCGATGAGCGACGGTCGGTGCACCACGAACTCCGCGCAGTCCTGCACGGCGTCGCCCAGCGTGAACTTGTACTCGACGCCCCAGGCGCGGTGGCCCGCGCTGCTTTCATCGGGTAATTGCAACAATTGCGTCCTTGCTTCATCCGAGCACTCGACCTTACACAAGTCGCCGATCCTCCCTCCATTCACCAACAGCTGTCTTAGTTGGAGCCAGTCGATGATGGTGGCCACCACCACCCCACCGCTCTTGACGTTCGTCGCGACGCAATCGAGCAGCGCATCTATTCTTTCAGGACTCCCGCAAGCGTAGTGTAAAGCAAAGTGGCACGACGCCACGTCCGCCCAGGGCTTCCACTCCCCCACCTCGCCCTTGATCTTCGCGGCCAGCGTCGCGTCCCCCAAATCGCCGACGACAAATTTACCCTGGGGTGGCCCGTCCTTCTCCCACCGTTCGCGCGCTTCATCGAGTGCCACCGTCGAGATGTCGCACGCTACGAGCTTGGTGACGTCCACTGCTTTCCTCCATTTCCCCAGGTCGCCTCCTCTCCCACAGCCGAGCTCCAACACTGCGCAGGGCTTTCGGTCTCGTCTCTCGGGTCGTCGCGACTTCCCAGGCTTCCTCAAATCTCGCAGTAGGGACGCCGTATCACAACTCTCCGATGCGGCAGCGTCCCGCCGCACACAACACGCGTCCAACACGAGGGCCTTGACGAAGTTGTTCAGCCTTCGCAGCCGATACATCTGGTCTTGCAGTTGTTTGCCGGCGTTGCGATCCCTTTGCCGCTGGTCGTAGTGTTCTGCCGCTGCAATTGCGTTGTCATCCTGCGACCATGCTTGTGCCAAAGCGTCAGCTAAGTCTTGTACGGTCGTTCGGTCCGCGATACTTTCCAACACGGCCCAGGCCGTCCTCAATGAATTAGGCTTCTTCTTGTCTGTCCTTATCCTTTGGATACGCCACAGCCCGTCGATGTACTCGCACTCGACAATATGACCTCGCACGCCCTTCGGCGGCGGCTTCACGCTCTTCAGAAGCTTCATAGCTTTGGCGTCGATCGCGACGGACGTGACCGTGACGTCGTGCGGGCCGTTCTGGACGGACGCCTCAATGTCGCCGATCCTCGGCGCCGACCTCAACCTCACATCTAGCGTCACGCGCGGCTTGTACTTGAAACACACCGCGTCGTAGTACCCATGGTTGTCGCGATACGACGCCAAGACGACGCCGTCGCACTCCGTGCTTCTAGAACCATCGGTGAAGACGCCCGTGTCCAGCGTCTTCCTCAGAATATCGAAATCGGCACCATAATAGGTCTTGGCTATTACATGTAACCCGTCTAAGTCCGAGAGCAACTCAAATGCGCGTGAGGACGCCTTCAACCTCGCAGGAGCGTTTGGATGAGCCCCGACGTCCTCGCCGAGACACCTTACGGCATCAAACGCCACGAAGAACTCCCTCCCGTTAGATTCAGAGACGACCTCCCCGTCCAGAATAGTATCACTGGATAAACCTTGGACGGGACCGAAGCTCCTCGCGACGCTCAGATCTCTGGAAAGTAACCGACAACCGTCCGCGTCGGCCCAGAGCCAGTGCCGTTCCCCGTCCGTCTTTTCGGTCGCGAACCAGCGCTGCGTCCGGAGCATGGCCAAGTCTCGTCGTTTCAGAGGTCGCGCCCGCGGCCCCGGCGAGTCGCGTCGCTCAAGATACTTCCGGGGCGGCCAGTCGGGGCACGACGTCTTATGTTGGCGCGACGAGCAGTAGAGGTCGGCGAAGCGCTTGGCTAGCGACGCGTCGAAGCCTCCCCGTGCTTGCTGTTGACTCGCGAGGCGCTCCTGCGTTGAAATAGAGGGCGTCGCGGCGGTGTGGTCTCGTGAAGACGCCATCGATGCGACCGACGCCGCCACAGCTCTCTCGCGAGACGCGTTGTCGACGGCGTCGCGGCGGTGTGGTCTCACGAAGACGCCATCGACGCGACCGCGTCACGTTCAAGTTCATGTTCTGCTCCGATCACTGACCAGCGACGATTTCTGAGGCGGGCGCGGCGGCGCCGCCTCCTGCGCCTTGACGGGCGGCGGCGGCGCCTCGGCGCGCGCGCTCGGGGGCGGCGCCGGCGCGCTCGCCAAGGCTTCTAACGAAGGATGCAAGGGCCCGTCCGGGCAGCCCCGCGCCACATAGTCCTGCACCGCTCTTACATCATCATCAGTAGGCGCCGGGTGCTCTTTAGGAACAATACCGTTCCCGGCGAGCTTCTCGCCCGTCTCCTGGCAGTCGCCCGTAGCGTACTGCGACAACGTTCTACACAGGTCACCATCTAGTGATAACGCCGCATCGGACTCCTCGGAGGCCGTCCACGTCGGCACCAAGACACAGCTCCCGAGGGGATTCCGCTCGAACTTTTCCAGATGGTTGTCGACCAATACTGTTGTGGAAGCATCGTACCGCGTCAGCTTCGGGGCAGACGGCTTCTCAACTTTCCGGCGCCAGTCGCCACTCACGCCCAGATCCTCATCCCGAGGCGCGTCGAACGTCGACGCCCACAACTGGTCAATTTCCTTGAGGAACAGGGGCTTCTGCGGACTCACGGTCGACGTCCGCGGCCACAGCGACGTCGACTTGCGCTGGTCCCAGCACAGCACCAAATCCCTCCCTTCAAATAGTGAAAGGTCCATGTTGTCGCGCTTGGCACAAGACCACACGCCAATCTCGAACCGCTCGTAGCACCACCGCACGAATTGGGCCGCATGTGGTCGGTTGATCGACTTCTTCTGCTTCGCGTCGCGCGTCGCGTAGGTGCCTCGATCACATAGGACGCCATTTAAGTCAAGTACCAAGAGGGGCTTCTTCGGTGATGACGCAGTGCCCGTAGCGGTAGTGCCGATGCGAGGCGGACACAATCTACCTTCAAGTCGGTTCTGCCGGTCGCTTCGGCACTTGACCCTTAAAATATCGTTCACCCGCAGGGCCTCGACGGCGGGCTGGTTCCGTGCTCGCAACAGACAGCGCTGGCCGTCGTATCTGCCGCGCGACGCCTTGAGCGTCGCGAAGACGCCTTGGGCCGGCGCGTCCAACGCGAGCTCCGTGACCGTCGCTAGATACACGGTGCCGTCGCCGCCGTCGTCGCGCTTTTCCGGTTTAACGTTCGAGTAGCCGCGGCCGCGGCCGTCGCGGCGGCCGCCGCGGCCCCGTCCCTTGCCTTGGGAATTGTCGCTGTTGCTGCGGCGCATCGTCGCGGGCCGCGGCGAGTCGCAGGTTTGGCCAGGCAGCCTGGGGGCTAGCCGCACAGCTCTGCGGTGCAGCTAAAATCTCTGTGACGTCTTGAGAGCTATATAAGGCGCACGCAGACGAGCTGTCCTGGTCCCTGTATGAATTCCTGGGCTGCTTTGTGAAATGCCGGCTGGCTTGCTAGTGTCTTACACCGCTAGCTGCGCGCAATTTGTGAAACGTTATTTGACCACTTTTGGCTCTCAAAAAAACGCGGCGTGGTTTGCCGCGAGAGCCAGAGTCGTCTCTCGACCCCTTGTCACCACACAAGAGCCGCGCGCGCGCCGTGAAACCGCCAACCAAAAAGTTCGAGTCACCCCAGCAGACGCCAAACGCAAAAGCCACCATGGAGGAAGGCCGCGCGCACGAGGAAGTGGCGCCCGCGCCGGCCTCGCACGGACGGCGCCTCGCGCGGCCTGTGTTCCTCGCGGCCGTCGCGCTCGCGCTCCTCTCGTTCGCGGCGATCGTGAGCGGCGCAGAGATCTCGAGCGCCCTCGAGCAGACGCGGGACATGATCGGCGCGAAGGCGCGCGTGCCGACGCCCGCCCGCCGCCGGCTCCGCGGCGCAGCTCCGGAAGTCTGGTTCGCCTCTCTCCGCGCCGGCGCGCGCTCGGAGCGCCGCGCGCGCGAGGACCGCGAGTTCGCCGCTCTACGTTCCATCAGCGACGTAGCTCATGAGGCGACGCGCGTCGGCTCCCGTGTGAAAGAACCCGATAAGCTGACGTCGCGTTGATGGCGTGGGGGGCGACACGACGAGAAAGGCGTCATGAAATCTTTTTCTCGCGCAGGCGGGCGCGGAGCCGATCGCGAACCACGACCGCCGCACGCTCATCAAGGGCGACCACATCATCGGTGTCAAGACGCGCTTTCCCGTGGCCTGGGCGGCGCCTAAGCGCTCGTGGCTCACCGAACCCATGAAGCCCGCGGCCTCGAGCTAAACGGCGCGGACTGACCACCAAAACCACCCCCACAACCCCTCGTATAACAGTGAGTGTGTATGCCACGTTTGTTTTCAGGCCGGACGCCTGAATCCCAAGGTGCGTCACCCCGGATCACGCCGTCGACGCGCGCGTCAAAAAGATCATAAGTGAACACTTAGACACGCCAAAGCTCAAGCCTCCTTCGCCCTTAACGAAGACGCCTCCGAGATCGCCGCGCCGAGCGACCAGTCGATGCCGTGCTCGCCGACCTGCTGCATGACCTTGACGGTGGACGCCGGCGCGACGCCGACGCCCTTCTCGAGGAATAAGTCGAGGTACGTCGCCGAGAAGCAGAGCTTGTTCGTCTCCTCTTTTCCCGAACCGTCTCTAGGTATATCGGAAGACTGCAAAGCGCTCCAGGACATGGAGCAGGCCTCCGTGGCTGCGGTCCCAAAATCTCTAGGTGACGCGTCGGGCCGCGGCACGCCCAGCATCTGGCCCGTATAGTAAAAGTTCTCGAAAGCCAATAGTCTACCCGAGGCCAGGTCGGACGGCTGGTAGACGTTGGGGTCGAAGGAACAGCTCTGGTAGGCGCAAGAGCCTCTCAAAGAGAACAAGGCAGATTCAATAACTTTCCTACATGAAGCGGCGTCGCCTTTGCCGGTCACTGGTAATGAGGCGTGGCCATCATACACGTCGTTCCGCGGCTCCGGGCGCTTGAAGCCGTCGTTCAGGCACGGATCCTCGACACTCTTTCTATTGGAAGCGAGTTCCGCAGAGAGCTTCTCCCGCGCTTGCTCCAGGCCATAGCCCAGGTAGCTATGCGTATACAACTTGTACGTCTTCGTGCCCATCACAAACGAGAACCCGTAGCCCTCCGGCACCTGCTTCGAGGCGATCTGCGTGACTTGCGCCGACGCGCCGCCCATCTCGACGACGCCGACGAAGTCCGACGGTTCCGCGTCTCCATGGAGATTACCTAACAGGTAGTTGACGGACATCCAGCCGTAGCCGCCCTCGTCCGTGCCGGCGATGACTCTGGCTCCTTTCTTCCTATCATCAAACTTGAGCGGTGAGGCAGCCAACGCGTCTCTGACACTTTCGAGGATCTGCTCGCGGGGACCTTCCGCGACCATCCTCAGGCCCGCCGTCGCCTTGAGCAAAATAGGCGAGGAACTCCACTGGTCCTCGGGGATCTCGTTCAGCACGAAGTCGAGCATGGGCTTCAAGGAGGCGCCCGCATCCGACGGATGCGACTCGAACGTCGAGAGCCCCGGCTTCACTTTGAGGTTAGGATGCCTCGGGTCCACGTCGACGCCGTGCGGCGCCGGTCGCCACCTAAAGACGTGGGCTCTACATCCCGAACTTCCCGCGTCGACGATGGTCAGGTAGCGCCAGCCCGCTTTACCGTAGTCCGGGGTCCGTTCGTCGACGATGTCCGTCGGCGACCCGCTCATCAGGTAGAAGAACAAGGCTAAACCGACCGCCAGGCCCACGCAGAGCGTCAGCCGCGACCGCTTCCGCGTCTGCGGCCGGGCCGCCATCGAACTCCTCCGTCGATAGGCCGTGATGTCGCCGACGCGGCCGCGGCGGGCGGCCGTTTTGTCAATCAACGCGACGCCGAGGCTGGTCGCCGTTTTGCTGTCGCGGCGTCCGAGGGGATGCCGACAGCCTGTGTGTTGGTATGCAATCGCGCGCGGCTTGTTTTACAACCGCGTTGCAACAGCGATGCGATGGAGGATTTTTGGCACTGCTCCCGGCTTTTTTTTGCAGCGATAAGGCCGCTACGATGAGCGGTCACAGCCCAAAACGGACCTGAAAATATTTAGTCGAGGCCGATGCCGAAAGTCGCAGCCGTCCCTTGCGTCGTCTTAGCCGTCTTCGTGGCAGCCTCCAGCGACCGTCTCAAGTCGGAGACGTATGATTTGGCTTCTGGCTAAACGGGACGGGTATTTTCAGAGAGGCGCGGCTTGTTTTGAGATAATAACTCCGGGAGGAAAGCCTCTCTGACCAGCAGGACAAAGAGGCTCATTCGTACGCCATCGCTGCGCGCCTGCGCCGAGCACGATGGCCGAACTCGCCGCCACGACCGAGCTCACCGCCCTCACAGATGAAGCCTCCCTCACCGCTCTAGGCAGCGGCAAGGTAGCCGTCCTCTTCGGCGCGGACTGGGACCCGCCCTCGCAGCAGCTCACCCAACTCCTCACGGAAGCAGCATCTAAAAAGACCTACGGCACCGTCACCCTCGCGACGGCCGACGCCGACACGTGCGAAGCTTTAGCGGACGCGTTCGACGTCGAGGCTTTACCTACCCTACTGCTGCGAGAGAATAATACTACGGTCGCGACGCACGAGGCGCCTTCAGCTGCTCTAGTGAACGAGACCCTGCAAGAATTCGCGAAGCGAGAAAGCGTCCCGACGACGCCGTCGGACGCCGAAGCCGTCGCAAAAACAAGATTAGAATTGCGACTCAAGCAGTTGATAAGTGGCGCGCCGGGCATGCTCTTCATGAAGGGGAGTCCCGATACGCCGCGATGCGGCTTCTCGCGGCAGATCGTGGAGTTGCTGCGGGAGGCGTCCGTACCTTTTTCACATTTCGACATATTGACGGACGAAGAAGTGCGCCAAGGCCTGAAGAAGTTCAGCGACTGGCCGACGTACCCCCAGTTCTACGCGAACGGGGAACTCGTCGGTGGCCTGGACATTTTGAAGGAAATGGTCGCGGAAGGCGATCTGAAGGGACAGCTCGACCTGAAGCCCATCGATGATAACATCATCGACGGCCAGGACGAGGAAACAGCATTGAACGAAAGGCTGAAGGCCCTCACGAGTCAATCGAAGTGCATGCTGTTCATGAAGGGCTCGCCCGACAACGAGCGCTGCGGCTTTTCCCGCACGATCGTGGCATTGCTGCGGGAGCATAGTGTAGAATTCGACTCCTTCGACATTTTGACGGACAACGACGTGCGCCAGGGGCTCAAAAAGTTCAGCGACTGGCCGACGTATCCGCAGCTGTACGTCGACGGCGAGTTGGTGGGGGGCCTGGACATCGTCCAGGAGATGGCCGCCGACGGCGGGCTGAAGGGCCAGTTGGGGCTGTAAGTTTCTTGTTTGCATTTATGTCGCCGCGGCGGCGTGCTGGGAGAGTTTTTACTCTTATCTTAATTTTACACGGTCTTGGTTCGGGGACATGGGAGGGAAAAGAGTCACGTACACAACTACTTGCGGAGCAGCTTCGCGATGGCGGTGTTGTGACACACCTCGGCGATCCGCAGGGCGGTCATGCCGTTGGAGCCCCGGACGCTCGCGTCCGCGCCGGCCGCCAGGAGTAGCTTCGCGCACGCGCGCTGGTCGTGCTCCGCGCAGAGGTGCAACGCCGTCCAGCCGCCGTCGCGCGTTGCATCTTTGTCAATGCCGGCCGCCAGTAGTACTTCGACGACCTTTGCTTGGTTGGCCAGGTGATCGTAAAGGCAGGATTTGTGCAGTAAGGTCTCCTGCTCGCCGTTGCGGGCGTTGATGACGTCCACGCCCTCCCGCTGGAGCGCGGCGACGTCGCCGATGCGCACGGCCTCGAAGAGGTCGATGTCCTTCGGGTCCGCAGCAGCGTTCCGTTTTTTGGCCTCGGCATGGAGCTCCTTCGTCAGCGGCGCGAGGATCCGCACGACGGCGGTGCGCTTGTGGCTGATGGCGCTTTCGAGGGGCGTCAGGGGCGGCGCGTTCCAGGCCGTGAGGTGGACGTCGGCGCCGGCGTCGACGAGCCGGCGGACGCAGGCCGCGTGGCCCCGGAACGCCGCGTAGTGGAGGGCTGTCGCGCCGGTCGCGGCCTGCTTGTTGACCTCCGCGCCAGCCACAAGCAAAGCGTCGACTATCTCCGTGAGGCCGTCGTGCGCGGCGCTCGCGAGCGGGTAGTTGCCGTCGGGGCCCTTAACGTTGACGTCTCGTCCACTCTCAATGCACGCCTTGACGGCCCGGAGGTCCTTGCGCCGGATCGCCTCGTGGAGGCTCGCGGCGCCCGTGGCGCGGGCCGTGCAGGCCGTCCACGCGACGCCCTCCCGGACGTCGCCGTCGTCGAAGAGGACGGTCACGACGCCGGCGCCCGTCACGCGGCTGACCTTGCCCGGGTAGAGCTGGCCATTGGTCCAGGGCGCCATCACTTTGACGCCGACGCTCGGCGTCTTTGCGAGCTTCTCCTTGTCGGCGCGGCTAGCACTGCGCACCGGCGCAAAGAACATCCTGTCGTCGGCGCCGCCGACTTGCTGGAAGAAGGCGACCATGGTTGTCGGTGTCTGTCTATCAGTGGTACTGTGAGTGTGGAGTGATGCAGCTCGTGCTACACGGGCAGCTCTTGCGGTGGTTTGGTTGCTTGTACAGCTTGCTGGGCAGCTCTCAGTTGGAAACTTTCTGGACCCGCGCGGAGCATTCTGGTTTCCATGCGCGGGAACTAGCCGTCTTTTGCCGTTGTAGTATGTCTGCCACGTCCTGGTAGGGAATGGTGCATGCTCGTAGGCCATGGGGCTAGTGTGTCTCAAAACGCTAGGTATGGCTGCCACCTCGGCTTGCGAGTCGCAAAAAGCTCGCCCATTAGTGGCCTTAGATAGCATTTGTCGCACCCGAACCTGCCGCGACACAGATGCACGCGATGCTTCGCCTCGTGCGGCGGCTGCCACGCTGCAGCACCACGCTGGCGAGGCGCGCCGCCGCCGCGTCGCGCAGCAGCAGCAGCATTGGTGGCGGCAGCGACGACGACGTCAAGGTCGACCGCTCCGGCCTAGGAACAGCTGGCTACGCCCCGCCGAAGCCGCCCGCGACGCCGCTCGGCCGCGAGCTCGAGTCTCAAATAAGAGCCCGAGGCCCCGTGAGCGTCCACGAGTACGTGAAGCAGTGCCTGCTGCACCCGACGCACGGCTATTATGCGAGGAAGGGCGCCGTGCACAACTTCGGGGCCGGCGGCGATTTCGTGACGGCGCCGGAGCTGTCGCAGCTGTTCGGGGAACTTATTGGCGTCTGGTTCGTGTCCGAGTGGCAGCGGCTGGGCAAGCCGGCGCAGATTCGAATCGTGGAGGTGGGGCCCGGGCGCGGCACGTTGTGTGCTGATATACTGAGAGCGACGGCGACGTGGCCGCCTTTTAGGGATGCGCTGACGGACGTGCACCTGGTCGAGCCCTCGTTGACGTTGCGAGTCGAGCAGCGGCGCACGCTGCAAGCGAGGCCGTCCCATACCTCTTCCACAAAACCGGAGGAGACGAAGAGCGTCGAGTGGGTCGTCGAGGGCCACGAAGGAAGGGACGCGCGCGTGGCCTGGCACTCGTCGCTGGAAGACGTGCCGCACGGAATCCCGACGCTCTTCATCGGCCAGGAGGTGCTGGATGCCTTCCCGCCCTACCAGTTCGTCCGCACGGCCGAGGGCTGGCGCGAGAAGCTCGTGGATCTAGATGACCAGGGAGGCTTCCGTTTTGTGTTGGCGCCGCAGCCGACGCCCGCGTCGCGGGCGCTCGCGCCGCATATCATCACGGAGGACGGCGAGGACACGGTGGAAGTGGCGCCTGGCGCGCTCGCGCTGTGCCGCGCGATAAGTGAGCGCATCGCGGCGGACCGCGGCGCGGCGTTATTTGTCGACTACGGCTTCGATGGAGCTTCACCGGGCGACACGCTGCGCGGCTTCCGGCGCCACGAGCAGGTGCACCCGCTGGCCGAGCCGGGGCTGGTCGACCTGACCGTCGACGCGGACTTTGGCGCCTGCGCGCGGCACGGCGCGTCCGTTGATGGCGCGCGCGTCTTCGGATCCACGACGCAGGGCGAGTGGTTGCAGAGGATGGGCATCGTCGCGCGGCTCGAGGCGCTACTGGCGCTCGAGGACATCACGGAGCGGCAGGTCGACCAGCTGATCACGGCCTGCGAGCGGCTCGTGGATCCGGCGCAGATGGGCGAGCGGTACCGCGTCCTGGCGGTTGTTGATGAGGGTGAGGGCGTTCCCGCGGGGTTCGCGGCGGAGGACCGCGTTGCGGCGCCTCCGGACGGTGTTTAACTAACGAGTTGTTGTGTTTTTTTTGTGCAAAGAGAGAGAGAGAGCCACTTATTGAACCCTCCCCAGTGCAACCGCTAGCGGCCAGTAAGACACTAGAAAGCAAGCAGCAGCGGCAAAGCCTGCAATCTCAGCACCTAGGCTGTGCAAGTGCTTGCGAAAGTCGCAGCGCTCGTAATTAATACCAACGATATCAATCCATCCATTAATTCGACCGCTACGGGAGCAAAACCATCCCAGTGCAAAATGGCCGCACTGACCGCGCCACGCAGCTACGCGCCCGCAAAGATACAAATCGAGCTCCCAAATCAGCCCTGCGCCCTCGCCTGGGTCGACGACGCGCTCGTCGCCGCGACGTACGACTACGTCGAGGCCGAGGGAACGCGCGTCGGCGGGCTCTGCCTCATGCGTAACACTGAGATCGCGGCGACGCTCGAGCTGCGCGGCGGCTACGCGCTGGCGCCGCGCGGCTCGCAGTTGGCGGTGGCGACGGCGGACGGCCGCGTCGCGCTCGTCGACGTTGCCGAGACGCTGACCGTATCAACCGTATCGGAGGCCAAGGGCCACCTCTTCACGGACGTCGTCTGGGACGGGCCCGACGCGCTGGTCGTCGCCGAGGGCGACTCGGGCCGGGTCTCGCGCTGGCGCGCCGACGACGGGCTCGCGGAGAGCCAATCGTGGGACGCGCACGCCTACGCGCCGGGCTGCCCCGCCGAGGTCTGGTGCGTCGGGCGCGATCCGAGCACGGGGCTCTACGTGTCCGGCGCCGACGACGGCCTGCTCAAGGCCTGGGACGCGCGGTCGCCAAAACCGGCGCTCGCCCTGCGCCACGGCGCCGGCGTCACGGCCGTGTTGTGCGACGACGGATCCGTCTCGACGGGCTCGTACGACGAGTCCGTGCGGCTCTGGGACCTGCGCGCGCCGGCGGCGCCGACGGCGTCCGTTGCGGTGGGCGGCGGCGCCTACGCGCTCGCGCGCGACGGCGGCGGCTACCTCGCGGCGTGCATGGGCGCCGGCGCGTGCGTGCTTCGGGCAACGCCCTTAGCGGTGGCCGGCGTCTACGACCACCACGGCTCCGTCGTCTACGGCGCGGTGCGCCACGGGGCGTCCCGGCGGATCGCGTCGTGTTCTTTCTATGATCGGGGGGTGCATGTGTGGTGTGATGAGTAATATTTTTGTAAAACTCGAAACTCACAATCACAATATTATCTTAGTCAAGAGCGAACCTCGTGGGGATCCTGACGGTCGGCGCGTAGCGCATCTTCGCGACCGCATCAGACGGTGCATCTCTTAACGCGCGCGCGACGGGCTGCTCCGGCCGCCCAGGCCTCAAGAGAAGTTGTCGCATTAATAGTGGGAGACGTCGTCGACGCGTCGCGGCCGCGCTATGATAATGGTAGCTCATCATCGCAACGGATGGTCACGTCCGCCGTGCGACTGGCGCCGCGCTAGTTGTAGACGAAGCTGCACTTGCGGTTCAACTTCTTGCACACCCCGCACTTAACGCTGGAGCCCCGCGGAAACGTCGTCAGGCACTCCTTGGACTCGCGGTCGCTCCGCGAGCACTCGATGCAGCACTTGTGCGCGCGCTGCCGCTGCCGGGCACGGGCTGCAGCGAGGGCCGTGGCGAAGGCCGACGCTTTGCTATCTTCCCAGTTCCGGGTAAATTCGACCAGTTTGGGAGTTTCCCCCAGAATCTGCAACCACTTGAAATAGTAATCCACCGCCACCGTAGCGTCAGTCCAAGTTCGCAACGCCCGGGAGAGCCCGCGCAGAACGAGAGCGCGGTAGGGCTGCCCTCGCTGCCCAGTGATGGGGGTACCAATGCGCTTCGCCCAGTCGGTAATGATAAAGCATACCAGTCGGACCGATGGCTTGCGCTCGCAGACCTTCAAAATTCGTTCCAAACCGTCGAGAGACGGCTCGACGAGTGCGAGGAACTGGGCGGCCACGGGGGCAAGCCTCAGAGTCTCGATCGGGTCCACGTCCCAGGCCGCCCGGCAGAGCGCGAGGGAGGGGGGCATCGCATGGCGCTTGAAATGCTCGGCGACCAATCTGACCGGCTTCCACCGCCCGCGCGTCATCGCAGAGTGCGCCGCGGACCGGTAGAGCTTCGAGACCTGCTTCGCCTGGTGAACCTTGTCCAGTGGAAGGAAATGCAGGACTTTTTGTACGAGCCCTGGCGGCACCGATGCCAGAGCCGGGCAGAAGGGGTTAAGCGGTTTCTTCTTTTGTAGCTCGGCCCAGGGCTCCTTCGAGTAGCAGGAGAGCAGCGCCGCCTCCTTGAGCAGCGCCGCCTCCTTGAGCCGCGCCAGCGCACCGTGTTTCGACAAGGCATGGACGCAGTCGCTCTTGTTCGCCGTCTCGCGGTCGAAGGCAGCGCGCGCCGCGGCGCTCTCGCGCTCGGCCTCGTCCAAGATATCTAAAGTTAATCCAGCAGACGTGCGCATTCTAGACATCTGTGGTGCTTGCATGGGCGGGATCCGCGGCTTCCTCCTTTTCTGAGAGTCACCCAATAAAGGCGCGACGTCCTTCTCGTACTTTCTTTGTAGTGTATCGATGATGGCGTTGGGGTTGCGCATCTGGTAGTCCGCTTCGGCCACGCGCCAGCGGAGCTGGTCTAACGCGCTGACGGCCTCCTGGATCCAGTCCGCCACAGACGTGGGGAGCCCATCTTCACCTACTTGGGGTAGCTGTGGACGGGTCCGAGGTGGCATCGGGGAGCCTTCTTGAATGCAAGTCTTCGCGCACCGTAGATACGACAAAAGCGCAGCCCTTCCAAGCGCCTGGGTGCCGCGATATCGCGTAAAGTTCCGGGCACACAGAATACCCGTCCCATGGTCGCGCGCGATCGACAGTTATAAAGACTCCTGCTCCGGCCAGAGATGTAGTGCGACGAAGTAGCGTCATACCGGCGTCTTTTTTTTCAACTAGCGGCTCGTCGTCTACGGCGCGGTGCGCCACGAGGCGTCGGGCGGATCGCGTCGTGCTCGTTTTACGATCGGGTGGTGCATGTTTCGGGTGATGAGTATTTGTATGTACATTTTTAGTGATTTCAAAAAGGAAGGGGAACCGCAAACGAGGAGAGCGAGGTTGACTGCGCGTCATACCTTCAAGCTCGTTCGGAATAGAAGGAATGCGGTGCGAACGGAGTCGGATTCTGTTGCGTTGGTGCTTCTTGCGGCGGTATAGGACATACGCGCATAAAAAAATGAGGACGAGCGTGACGCCGCGCTCGCGCTCGAAATCTAAAACAGGCCTCCGGCCCGCGAGGTTTGGCTCATCATAAGCTAAAGGTCCCTCAAGACGCGTCTCCGGTCCGGAGAAACCGCTTGTAGTTCGTCACGAACATGTCCCAGACGCGCGCACTCGCCGCGTCGTCGATGTGCCGGCGGATGGCGTCGAGATCGCCGCCGCTCGCCTCGTAATCGCGGAGCTCGTGGACGAGGTCGCGTTCGTGGCCCTCCGCCAGCTCTCGGTAGTGTCTGCGCGTCATGAGCAAGTCGCTGTGCGTCACTCCGTCCACACCTTTCGCCGCGTAGACGTTCGTCCACTGCACGTCGGCGATGAGTGCCGCGTGCTCCTGGTTCTTCTGCGACTGGGGCGCCGGCGGTGGCGGTGGCGGTGGCGTCGTCGCTGGCGCCGAAGCCGACGGCCGCGACCGCGTCCACGTCGACCTCCGATGAACATTGTCATCACTAAGCCGATCAACGCGCTCGCCTTCAGGTATGTGAGCTTGGGGATCACCCCAACGCTGCCGAGCGTCTATCTCTTGAGCTATATGCGCATGCTGGATGGGGCCGGCGGCCCCCGGTCGAGCCGGCGCCGCGGGAGGCGGCTCGTCGCTGCCGCTCGTCGCCAGATCTACAATATCACCGTGAACGTTCCCGAAGCCCACTGAAATCTCAAAGGCGGCCGACACGGGCTTGTGGTCCGAGGAGGTCACCGCCGGCACGCTCTCGTGCGCCACACAAGTCACATCTGTATTCGAGCCGGGCCGGAAGAGGACCCGATCGGTATAACCCAGCACTGGTATCTTGTACTCAATCTTTTTAAATAGAGTTGGCCCAAAACGGTGTAACTTAACTTGTTCAATATATCGGACTGGTGACGTCGGAAGAAAATTCAGCGCCGGCGTCCAGAAGGCGGCTAAACCGCACGCGTCGATGTTCACTTGCGGTTGCCGCGTGAGCCCGTCGAGCGCCGCGAGCCGCGGGATGCTCCGTTCGTTCGCCAAGCGCACGACGGTGGCCCATGCGTCCGCGTCTTTCAGGGCGTCGTCGTAGGTCCTGTTGATGCGGTAGTTCAGGTCGCCGAACATGAAGACGACCGAATCGCCGGATAAAAATGATTGGAACGCGTCCAGGATCTTTCTCAAGGCATCGTTCAGCCTCTCGAGCATCCCCGTCACAAGATGGCAGCCGATGAACGCGAGGCGGTAGCTCTTGTCCGCGACCGCGCAGGTCAACGCCGCGCAGCAGGCGCCTTTGATGAGCCCTTCGTCGATGACGGGGCCGTGCGTCGCATCAGAAACCTCGACGTCTCTCCTTCGGAACACAAGCAAAAACATGCTTTCCGGACTTCTCATGCCCCCGCCCAGGTACTTGATGCAGGCGTTCGGGACGCGCTCGTGCTGGCTCAGGTGCGCCTCGATCATTGCGACGAGTATTGGAGCGCAGCGCCCCACATCTTGCAGCGTCACTGCGACGACGTCCGCCAGCACGTCCCGCGTGCCTCGCCGCGCGACGCGGCCGTGCCGCAGGAACGCGCGCAGCTCCACCGTCCTGGGGAGCGCGTCGCTGCAGTTGAGGGTCACGGCCAGCACGCGCAGCGGCCGGTCCCTGGACGAGGACGCCTCGCTGCTCCGATCACTAAGCTGCACGCGCTCGCCTTCAGGTATGTGAGCTTGGGGATCGCCCCAACGCTGCCGAGCGTCTATCTCTTGAGCTATACGCGCATGCTGGTTGGGGCCGGCGGCCTCCGGTCGAGCCGGCGCCGCGGGAGGCGGCTCGTCGCTGCCGCTCGTCGCCAGATCTACAATATCACCGTGAACGTTCCCGAAGCCCGCTGAAATTTCAAAGGCGGCCAACACGGGCTTGTGGTCCGAGGAGGTCACCGCCGGCGCGTTCTCGTGCGCCACGCAAGTCACATCTGTATTCGAGCCGGGCCGGAAGAGGACCCGATCGGTATAACTCGGCACGCGCCCTCGATCATATCGGAGACCGGCGACGCCTTTGATGCATTTGAACGTCGGAAGGAAATTAAGCTCCGGCGTCCAGAAGGCGGCTAAACCGCACGCGTCGATGTTCACTTGCGGTTGCCGCGTGAGCTCGTCGAGCGCCGCGAGCCGCGGGACGCTCCGTTCGGTCGTCAAGCGCACGACGGTGGCCCACGCGTCCGCGTCTTTCAGGGCGTCGTCGTAGGTCGTGTGGATGCGGTAGTCCAGATCGCCGAACGTGAAGACGACCGCCTCGCTTGATAATAATGATTGGAACGCGTCCAGGATCTTTCTCAAGGCATCGTTCAGCCTCTCGAGCATCACCGTCACAAGATGGCAGCCGATGAACGCGAGGCGGTAGCTCCTGTCCGCGATCGCGCACGTCAGCGCCGCGCAGCAGGCGCCTTTGACGAGGCCTCCGGTGATGACGCGGCCGTGCGTCGCGTCGGAAACCGCGACGTCTCTCCTCCGGAACACGAGCAAGAACATGCGGGCCTGGAGGTGCGCGATGCAGGCGTTCGGGACGCGCTCGTGCTGGCTGAGGTGCGCCTCGATCAGTCGGTCGACTCTTGCGAATAAACTGCTGATCTTCACTTCCTGGAGCGTCACGGCGACGACGTCCGCCAGCACGTCCCGCGTGCCTCCTCGCCGCGCGACGCGGCCGTGCCGCAGGAACGCGCGCAGCTCCACGGCCTTGAGCGGCGCGTCGCCGCAGTTGAGGGTCACGGCCAGCACGCGCAGCGGCCGGTCCCGGGACGAGGACGCCTCGCTGCTCCGATCACTAAGCTGCACGCGCTCGCCTTCAGGTATGTGAGCTTGGGGATCGCCCCAACGCTGCCGAGCGTCTATATATTCTTGAGCCACACGCTCATGCTGGTCGGACTCGGCGGCCTCCGGCCGCGGCGGCCGCGCCGCGGTCTCCGTCGCCCGTTCCCAAGCCTCGGCCGCCGCACCCGGCGCGTCGGGCGCCGTCGACGCCAGGTAGCTCGCCGGGATCGCCCCGCTGCCGCCGCGACGCGGGCTGCGGACCTCGACCCAGCCGTCCTGGTCCGGCCCGCCGAGGACCTCGACCACCTCCTCGGCGTCGGCATCGATCTGCCACGGCTCGTTCGCCTTCCAGGCGTGGGCGACCGTCGCGAGGACCCGGCCCGTCGCGAGCACGGGCTCGGAGGGTTGGCGCGCCGGTTGCGGCGGCTGCGGCGGCGGTGGCTGCGAGAGCGACGGCCGCAGCGGAGGCGGAGGCTGCACCGGACCCGGCACGTCGAAGCTTAGGAGGTCCCCAACGGGCGTCGGCGTGATCGCCGCGATCCAGCGCGCCGCGTCCGCCTCGGACTCGGCCGCGAAGTCCAGACTGCGCCCCCCCACGCGGTCCACGAGGCGGAAGTAGACCGCGGCGGCGCCGGCCTGCGGCGCTCGTCCCACACGCCGCACTTCGTCTTCGGTCAGTCGATCGCACAGCGTCGTTTCGGCGCGGATGTGAATCGTCGCCACTTCCCTGGCCTTGTTCGCGTCGTAGACGCGAAGCCGCCCTCCATTCACCTCGCACCAGCGCCTTTTCCAAGTGCTGCCGTAGAGCCGTCCCGGGCGCCGCTCCCAGAGCCAGCCCTCTTGCATCTTGGGCTGCCGCAAACTTCTGCGGGGAGCTTCGAACGGCGGCGGGGCGCCCGCTTCAGCGCTGTTCGTCCCTCAGGTCCATCAATGACGAATATATGATCTTCGTATTCAGCTCCGCCGCCACCGCTCTCCGCCCCAGGGTGGATCCCGGAAATTTCCTGCGCGCGGGTTATTGAAAGATAAGTAACGGAAGTGTCCAGTCGGCTGAATTCACAATACAAGTATTACCCATCCTCAACCCGCCCCCGCTCCACCGCGACCCCGAGCCGCCGCTCCGCCGCCAACAGCCGCCGGCGCGCCGCGGGCGCCGCGAGGTCCTGCTCTCTCGCTTTCGCGGCGTGAGTCCGCGCCGCGCCACTCAACGTCGACGCCCATTGCCGCCGCGTGTCCTTGTTCCGCGCCGCAAGGACGCGCGTCCGCTGGTGCGCGTGCGCCACGCGGAAGGCGAAGCGGTCACCGTCGTCGGCGGCTTCGACCTCGCAGCCGACCAATAAAGCGACGTCGTCCGGAGGCGCGCCGGGGCTCTTCCCAATCTCGAGCCGGGGCCCGTGCGGCCCGCTGACCACCGCGCACCAGCGCCGCTCCCAGCCACGCTCCAAGGCCACATCCAACCAACCGCCGGGCTCGTCGGGCGCCGCGTCGTCCGCCACCGCCGCGACCATGGGCCGCAAAAAGTCGCCGACGAGGGCCGTGAAGGACTGTGAGGGTTGCGGCGCGTGCGGGGCGGCGCGCGCGGCGCGCACGGCCTCCGTCGCGTGTTGGATCTCGGCCCGGCGCGCTTCGGCCATGACCGCGAGCGCGGCGGGGCCGTCGGCGGGCGGCGGCGCGGTCGACGCGGTGTTCCCGGGCGGCGGCGCGGCCAGGGCCTCGTGCAGCGTTTTCGGCGCGTTGATTGGCCGTGGTACTGGCGCGGTGCGTCGCGTTGGGCGGCGCCGCTTCCGCGCGGCGGCGGCGAACGCGGCGCGGGCGCTCTTCGCGCGGCGCTTCTCCAGCACGCGGACGCGCTGCGCCGCACTTGCCAAGTTATTCGCGACGACGTCGAGGTCCACGCTATTCGCGTCGGCGGCGGCCACGGCCGTGCGCTCCAGGATGGAGGCTGTGGTGGCTGCCATTTGTTTTGTTCTGGGGCAGCCGTCGACCACTCGTCGCCAGGCGCGTCGGCGGGCGTCTGGCGGTCTCGGCGCTGCCCGAGACGATATTCTAGGCTGATCTTTACGCGCGGCGAGCGGCGGTGCCGCACACTAGGTTTGGACACTAGGTTTGGCAGCGCCGACAGCCGCGTCGGCAGCGGCGCGCACAGCGTCGTTCGGGCAGCCCGGCCGGGCGGAAGAGACGCAGCCGTGGTCAATTCACCTACGCCCGCAGCCGGAGGACGCTCGCACGCCGTCCGGACCGAGACCCTGGGGCAGAGTGACCGAGGGCAGTGACCACGCGAGGTAACGATGGGCAAGTCCGCCTGGTACCAAGTAGACACCTCAAGAGTATATGCGGCGTCGCCGGCCCCTCCAAAAGAACCGGTCCCCGACGGCGACGAATGGTTAGATGATTACAAGCCGAAGGACTGGCAGCAGCAAAATGACGAGCTCGACGAACAGATGCGGACCATTGACGTGGGGGATGGGCTGGCGCAGTGGGATTTGGACGACGAGGCGCTGAACGCGGTCGAGTCTTTAGGCAAGGGGCCGGCTTCTTTTGTAATCCCGCGGAACGTCGACTTAAATCCTCATCATCTGGAGTATCGCGTGGCTACTCATAGATACCGGGAGGCGCGCGCGCGCGGGTGGTTAACTAAAACAATTCCGGAAGTTGTGGATGAAGAAGATCAGCGCGAGCTCGACGAAGCCAAACAGCGGCGCACGGAGTTCAAGAACAAGGTCAGAGCGACGATCGCCGTGCAGGACGCCATGACCGGAGACCGGGAGCACGGCGTGTTGTTGAAGGATCGCGAGAACGCTCTGAGGGTGGCCTCAATCATCGAGATGCTGAGAGCGGACGACGAAGGCCTCGAGGAGGTCCAGAACTTGCCCCAATTGCAGAACGACAAGAAGTTCGAGACGCGATTGGTAGATGAGAGAGGTCGAAGGCGCTACGCGCCGCGCTTCAGCAAGTACCCTCCACCAGCGCTGGGTCCCTCAAACATGTGGTGGCCCTGGGGCTGCCCCCACACGCAGGACGCCGGGGCATTGATGAACCGGGCCCAGCTCCTCAAGGAGCACTACCGGTCCCAGCCCGATCCTAGGGGGGAGGCGCTCGAAGTAGGTGTTGCGTTTGCTGAGGCGGCGGCGGCTGCTCATCGGGAGGCGAATCGACGGTTGGTTGGGAACGTCGAGGGTGAGTGCCCCGAGGATGAATTAGTCGCTCATTTGGAGAAGGAGGCGCGAGACTTCCTGCGGATGGCCTGCGGCAAGTCCGACGTCAAGCAGGTTCTCCGACGAGCGTGCTCCATCAGCGCGTGCCGGGAGATCGTTCGTAAAAGAACGTTCACGCGGCCCGAGAAGATCCGGGACCAAGTCTTGGTCGCGCGGAAGCTGCACGCGCGCGAGTGCGCGGCTGAACGAAGAAGGCAACGGAAACGACGGCAGTGCGCCCACCTCGCGTTGCTACGGGATTCGTTACGCCAGAAGGGCCGGCCCGGCCGGACGACGTCCTCGGCGACGGGCCCCGACGTCAAGAGCGGCGTCAAGCACTACACGGAGCTCATGACCCTGTTTGCGTTAAATGATGACGACGACCGCACGGTATCGGAGGACGAGGACGACTACGAGGCCATGATCACGGAGTTCGCCGGCGATCCGGCGCGCGGCGTCACGCCGGCGCTGTCCGAAGAAGACGAAGAACGGTTGGCCCACGAGGCGAAATTTGTCAGCAAGGAAGTCATCGACGCGCGCGTCAAGGCCGGGCTCTTGTTCGACCGGAGCCACGCGAAGAACCAATCTACCGTGGCGATCGATGGATTGACCATTTCTTGTCGAAGGGAGCGCGCGTCGGCGCCGCCATCTGTCAAGAGCGAAGGGGCCGTCGCGGCGACGCTCGCGACGTCGTCTTCGTTAGTAACCACGCCGTCCCAGAAGCGCCGCGTCGTCGAGGTGAGTTCAATAAGGAGCACGCAAACGCCCCAGAAGCCGCCGCCGCTGACTGCCACGCAAAAGGTCCTCGCGACGATCGAGGAGCTCCCCGCGATCCCGACGGTGGAAGAACTAAGACAGGACCGGGACACGTTGTTGGCGCTCTTCCACGCGTTGTTTTTTGTCAGAGGCGTGCGCCATCTGGATTCTGATCTGACGGACCCGGACTGGTACCCCGGCAGCGCCGCGCACCTGAACGGCGCGTCGCTGGGCGGCTTCGCGGACTGCCACCGGGAGGTCATGGAGGAATATGTGCCTATCCGAGCGCGGGAGCACGCGGCGAGCCCGTCGGACGACGACGATTATGCGGAGCTGCTGGCGTCGCTGGGGACGCTGCGGGCCAAGGCCAAGGACGCGACGGGCGCCGCGGAAATGTTCTTGAGAGCTGCTACCGAACGAGATAGAAGACGGGACGCGCGGAGCGCGCGCGCGTCCGAACTCAAGGAGGCGGAGCGAGTCTACGAGGAGGCACTCAATAAAAGGGATGCGATCCGCGCGGAGGCGGACGCGAAAACCGTGTCGTTCGATGGCCCGGCGCGGACGCCGCGGACGCGGGCTGACGACCAGAAGCGCGCCGAGGCCCTGCGGAAGAGCATCGAGGAGGCCGACGCCGCCGTCGAGGCGGCGCACGAGCGGTGCATGCGGGCGGCGGCCGCGGTCCAAAGTGACGCGCGGGCTCGCGACATCGTGCCTCCCAAAACACCCATCACGAAGCGGCGGCCCTCCGCCACGGGCTCGCGGCGGGCGTCGTCCGCGTCTACTACCCGGCGGCCCTCCACCGAGACGATGACGCCCGGGAAGCAGACGCCGGGCGGCGAGCGGCGGTCCGCCAGGACGTCGCTCGCGTCGGAGAAGACGCCGGGCGGCGATCGGCGGGCGTCCATCGGGTCGGCCCGGGGCGCCCGGGCGTCGGCGGAGCGCCGCACGTCCTTCGGCTCGGCCCGGACGACGTACCGCCGCAATTCTGCGAGAAGGCGGCCGCGGAGCAAGGCCGAGTTCGCGCCGCCCTCGGGAAGCTACCAACTCCCCGGCGCGGGCATCCGGAGCAAATACCACCGCCTCGACCGCGATTTGCGGGCGAATGCCCCGAAGGCGCAGCACGTCGACACGTATACGACTCAAATTCCCATCGACCCGCACGACCACGAGTCCGCGCCCTGGCAGGAGATGCCCCTGCGGCCTCAGGACATGACAGCAGACCTCGCAAACGAGACCATCCTCTTTAGGATCTCGGAGCCGTGGCCGCAGAATGAGAATTTGAACGACCTTACTGCCATGCGCGGCCGGCCGGCTTTGGAGCCCGCGACGTACTTGCGGGGCGGCACGTTACTCGACGACCCGACGCCGTATGCGTACTCCGCCATTAGGAGCGCACAACCTCTGGGAATGCGCTCGCAGCACGAGGCGCCGCACCTCGCGGCGACGGCGCCAAGACCAAGCGCTCCCCGAATAAAACCGAGGCAGCTCAAGTCGGGCCGGGCCACTTCGGAACTCATGGAGCCCGAATTTACATACCGCCCGACCCAGAGCATACTGACGAAGATCGACGTCAGAAAGAAATACGAATTCCCATCTCAATACGACCCGATACTGGGCCTCGGCGCGCCCGAGACGTTCGACCACCCGAACATCTCGTACCACGATACTCGTTGCAGATCGAAGCTCGAGGAGCTGGAGATCGCGGACCCGTCGCGCCGGGCGGCGCTCGCGCTGCACGGGCGGGACGTGGAGGAATATGATCAAGATCTGGTACCCGAGGCGGATCGGGAGGCGCGGGAGCTCGATAGGACCAATACAAGGTGGGCCCCGTCGTACGGTAAAGACTAGTTGTTTTTCTTAGAAGTGCTCTCGACTCGTATTGACGATGCGCGGCGCAGCGCTCACATAGGCTGGAGGAGGCGATTTCGCTCTCTTCCACAACCCGTCCTCCTCCTCCATGTCAATTCCGCCCGGCGACGCGGGCGGCGACCGCGCCACGGTGATCGATTTGCGGAACGGCCCTCGTCGGTCCCGAATGGGGCGCATTCGCCCATTTGTGCCCACGCCTCGTCCTGCCGCCGCCCGCGCCGCGGCAATGCGCGCCGACATCGTTGATCGAAAGTCTACATGATCATCATCCGGGGAGTCTGGAGGCGGCGCTGGCACTGGTCTATGGGCCACGGGCGCCGCCATCCTTTCGTCCTCCGACTCGTCGTCGCTCACGTCCAGTTTCTCCATCAAAACCGCCGGCGACGCGCAACCGACCGCGCCCAGCGCGTCGGGCCCCGGCGACAGGAGGTGCTCGGCGTCGGAGTCGTCGTCTGAACTTCCACCGGACTGCACGTCGAGCTCGGGTGGTGCCTTCATCGGCGTTTGGGCGGGTGTCGTCGCCGGCGTCGACGCGAGTGAAGACAAAGGCTGGCCCGATGCCTTGGCCGCGAAGACCGCCGACGCGGTGACAGCCCCCTCACTCCGCGCTTCCCGCAACTCCTCGTCAATCACCACGAGCTCTTCCTCAAGCTCCTCTATATGTTGCTCTTTCGTGGTAAGCGTCTTCCGCAGGCGAGCTTGCTCGTCCCGGGCCATCACCAAATCTTGCTTGGCGCGCTCCGCTTCGGTCCGCGACGCGTCCAGCGCCTCTTGCGTCTTCGCGAGCTCCGCCTGAGCTTCCTTCAGGGCCTTCCGCCGGCTCTGCGCCTTGTCCAGCAGCTTCTGGTTCTCGGCTTCCAGTAACTCGACCATGTCTTCGAGCTCGGAGACGTATTCCACGCCGGGCGGCGAGTTTGGTGGTTTGTTGTTCGGGGACGCTTGCTCGAGCTGGTCCTCCATATCCAAAATCTGGGCGCGCTGCTCTTCGAGCAATTTCGTGTGCCTCTCGGCCTCGGCTTCCCGATCGCGCGCATAGGTCACGAGCGCCGCGAGCGCTTCCCGCGGCTCGCCCTCGGGCGCGACGGCGCCGAACAGGATGCTGCTGAACTGGTCGATCTTCGCCGTCGTCTCGAGGTTGCGCGCGGCCGCCTCGATCTGGGCGTCGCTCATCGTCGGTGTCTATTTGGCAGCAAGTAGTGGTGTTTGCGCTATGGGCTGCCCCGTAACCGCGGGGCTGCCGCACACGGTTCCTACCGCTTCCTGCGTGCCGGCTGCGGTTGTTTCGCTGCGTGGGCGCCGGCCACAGCTCGCGTATACGTGCCTCGGCTGCGCAGCGCTTCCAGCGCTTGGTTTGACTGCCAGCCTGCACCCGAGCGCTTTCCCCGTCCGTTGCGCGCAGCGCGTCGCCCGCGCGACGGGGCTCTGCCCACTAGTCCTAGCACCGTAACAGAGACAACTCCGCCGTGGTGAACGCCCGATCAAGCTAGCGGTCTTGCCCACGCGCGCGACGAGCCAAGCTGTGAATGGAGAGATTCTTAGGCGTCTTCAGAGTCTTGGAGTCGGGACCGCGCTACGGCCCGCCGCCACCCCGTGTTGGGGGGGAGGGCATAGATCCGGCGTAGGCCTCGAGCTCGGAGGCCGCCTCGTCGCAGTCAACCACGGGAGCGCCGGGCGTCACGGTTCGCGCGGCCGCCTCGGGTTTGTCGGCGGCCCCCGAAGCTTCCCTGAGCTTAGCGTTCTCGTCTTTGAGACACGCGAGCTCGGCGTCGAGCTCCGCCTTCTCGCGCGCCCGACGGCCAGAAAGGGCCGAGTACAGTCGTCGCTACTACGGGGCGTCCGCGATGTTCCCGCAGGCTGCTCTCGCGCGGGCGTCGCGATTCTCCCCGCAGCTTGACCAGGCGCCGAGGCAGGATCAGGCCAAGTCCAGGTTAGTAAGAAACGGCGCCGCACGACGCGAGCCAGGGCAACGACGCTATATTGATCGACACTTCCACCTCACGCAAACGCGCAGACGCTCTCGGCACGCGAACGAGCGCCAGATCTATAGCTGGAAAACCCGTTTTGATTCCCGGGAGCGGTCCTGTGCCGAAGCCACGGAGTACGCCATCGTCGCAACAAAGAGCTTCAATACGATTCTTACACAGACGATATCAGATCGGCAGGTCCGCCTTCTCCTTGCGCCCGAGGCGCCGCGGGTCGAGGGACCGGCCCCGTGTCACGACGGCCCGGCGGAGACACAGCGTGAGAGACACCAATGAAATCCCACCAAACCACCAGCCGAAGCCCATCAGCAGTAAAGAGCCGCCGACGACGACCTCGACCTCGTCGTCGTCCTCCTCCGCTTTTTTGGGGCGCGGCGCGGCGTCGTCGTCGTCGTCGCGCCGGCGGCCGCGCCGCCGCGCCGGGACGACGCGGTCCCGCCGCGCCGACTTCTTGAGCGTCCGCCCTTCGGGCCGCTTCAGCGCCGCCTTCGCTTCTTCCGCATCATCACCATCATCATCATCATCAAGGTCCTCGCCCGTGTGCTCCTTGGGGATGTCCTTGGGCGCGACTTGCGAGAGGGACGGCCCCTGCCGTTTCACGGGTTCTTCACCAGCGGCCAAGGCCGCTTCATGCGCCTTCTTGAGCAGCTCCGGGTCGATGCGCGACTCGTGCCGCATGCGTTTGTGGTTGTTGGGTGCGGGGGCCGGATGTGCTGCGGCTAGATTTCTTTTGACCTTGTCCGGCAGGCCCTTCTTTGACGAAGTAGCTAACCGGTCGGCCATGCCCTGGACGACCACGGAATCGTGCGTCAGAAACGCGCCGGCCCAGCGCTCGCCGGGCGTGCCGTCATCCATCAAAGGCTTCGAGTCCCAGCCCGGCGGCACCGCCAGCCACACGTCCTTCTGCTGGTAGGGCCAGTAGGTCGCCATGTCCTTGGGCTTGTAGTGGACAAACACCGACGCGTACCAGTCGCCTTTTAGGGCCGTACTCCGACCATGAGGACACTTCGCCGACTCGTACAACAGCATCTGGCCCGGCTTCAGGTCCACCGAGTGCCTTAAGCCATCATGGCCCTCGATCTCGATCGGCCACGGCTCCGCGTCGTCGTCGTACTTGTGGTCCACGTGCACGATCGCCGAGATGACGTGCGTGTCCACTCTGTCCGTGTGGAAGCCGAGCGACGCCCCGCGACCATAAGCGCGCATACCGTACGCGGTTACCGGCTGCAGACCCGTTTCGATGTCGGGCACCCATTTCTCCAGGATGGGCTGCAATTCACTCAACAGATTCCTTCCTTCCCCGTGGCCGACCATGCGAGGCCTCTCACTACCATAGATACCCTGGACCTCACTTTCAGTCCGCGCTTTAGGTAATTGCTCGTGCAGCCGATCCCGCATCCTCTGCCACAGATCGTGGGGAATATCGACCACATCGAAGCCGTTTTGGGTATAATTAGGTACTGTTCGTACTTGTGTGTATTGCACGAAGTTGTCGAGGCGCTCCTGATAATGATCGAGCGCCTGGATCTCGACCCAGCGCTGTTCTTGTCTCTTTTTATAGCCTTCCGGTTCATTCGGAAAAGTCCACGTATAACCGGCCTTCTGGCGCAGTTTTAACCGCTCCTTCTCGGGCACGCTGCCCCACCCACCCGTAAAGCCGACCGCGTCGGCTCGCAGGTCGACGTGCTCGCCCAATTGATACGGTAAAGGGAGGACGCCGGCCGCTGCTGTGGATGCGGCGAGCGCCCAGCAGAATAGCGCGCTGGGTCTCATCGTCACGAAGGGGCGGCAGTCCAGCTGTGGCCGTGAACGCAACCGCGTCGCGTCGATGGCGTCTGGGGCGCCGGGCGCTCCGGGCCAGGCCACGCTCTCTGCGTATCAGCTGGGCTCTCCCGGCCTGTCACCAGGAACGGCAGCTGGAGTAGGCGCTGCGGCTGCGACAGATATGCTGGCAGCGCTGTCGACCCCTCCAGTGGTTCGCTGCGTATCCGCAGAGGCCTCACGATTTTTTTGGCATGGCTTGCTAGTGTGTTAGGGCCGCTAGCTCGGCTTGGCTCCGGGCTTTGCGGGCCCAAACAGCTGCTAATGGGCGACGATTCAAGCGCAATTGCACTTCACCGAATTATTCCTATATCAGGCCGGCAGCCTGAAGCACCGGCACCCGCGCCAACGAACGATTTGGAGCGTACAGCCACACCTCCTAGAGCTCGTACAGCTCGCAGAGCAGTGCAGATGACGACGAGTAACGTCGACGTCATCCGCCTCTGGCAGCTCCCCGACGACTTCTTCGCGCTGGAACTCGACGCGCAGTGGCGGGCCATCAAAGCTGTCACGAGCCCGGCGCAGCGCTTGAATGCGCCGCGGCGGCCCTGCCCGCTGTCGCTGCGCGACGAGTTGCTTGCTTTAGCTTTTTTTGCGACCACTCTCGTGCTGCCGTTTGCATTAGGCGCAGCAGCAGTCTGGGCGGCCGTCGCCGGCGGGACGACGCAGCGCCTCGGCGTCGTCGCCGTCGCATTGATTCTGGCGTTCCATCCGCTGCCGGAAGCGGGCTCCCTCGCGGCGCGCTGTAGCCCGCTGGCGCGGGCGCTGGGCCGCTATTTCTCGCTCGAACTGTTTGTGGACCGCGACGATCCCCTCGCCGCCGCGGGCTTTACGCCGGCCGTCGACGAGCCCGAGCGCCTCGCGGAGTTCCTGCCGACGGTCTACCTCGCGTGCCCGCACGGCGTGTTTCCGTACGGTGCGATTGTGTGGTGCTGTTATTGTCGGTGGGGCTGTGGCATCTGGCAGTAGCGCGCGGCGTCCTTTGGTTGCTGGGGCCGCGTCGATGGCGTCTTGTCTACAGGACACGCCATCGACGCGATACACGCACAGGTACACCGGCGCCGCCGACGTCGTGAAGCGCGTCCCGGGTCTGAGGTATATGCACTCCCTCATCTGGGTCGTCAGCGCCGGCAAGCGGTCCATCGTCAGAGCGCTGCGCGAGCGGTGTGCCCCTTCTTCTCAAGGGGGCGCGCGGCGCGGCGGCGTCCTGGGCATTCCGCCCGACGGCATCCTTGGGGCGTTCCGGAGCCGGCCGGGCGTCGACGAATTGGTCATCGGCCAGCGGCGCGGCCTCATGCGGTTGTGTCTCGCGGAGGGCGCGCAGGTCCACGCCGCGTTCTTCTTCGGCACCAGCGACCTGCTGACGGTCGTCCAGGACCCGTGGGGCCTCATGGAGACGCTGTCGCGGAAGATGCGTGCGGGCGTCATGGGCTTCTACGGACGCTGGTTCCTGCCTATTCCTCGCCGCGTCGCGCTCTCGGTCTGCGTCGCGCCCGTCCGAACGACGAAGACCGCGTCGCCGTCGGCCGCCGACGTCGAGCGCCTCCACGAACAAGTCTACGGCCGCCTGAAGGCCGTCTACGACGCGCAGAAGGCGTTTGCAGGCTATGGGGATCGCGAATTAATTGTGAGTTAGTGTACACTTACTCACCAGCCGTTCGCCCGGTGGTGGGACAGCATCCGGCTGAACGCGGACCGCGCCTCGTGCTCGGTGTACTCCTGGAGCGGCGAGGGGTGGAACTGGCCCCGCAGGTCGACGCGCAGGGGCCCCGAGCGCCCGCCCGGTCCCGTCCTGTGTGATATCGAGTGGTGAGTGAAACGGTGGCACCGACGCCATCGATGTGACGCCTCGGCGTCGTTTCGGGACACCGCACGCTACGCCGTGCGGATGATCTCGGACGTCGTGTCCAGAAAGTTCATGAACACCTGTGTGGAAATCGAATTTACGGCGCGTTCGACCTGAATCGCCGCGTCGACCTCCACGCCATCGACGCGACATTGGTTGATTTCCACACAGATGAACACCGTATTGAGCACCGATTCGACGCAGATGTCCGGCTGCCAGGAGCCCGGCGTCCCTTCTGTGGTTAACGCCTCGATGCAGATCGCGCCGCCGGCCGTCACGTGGCCCGTGTACCAGCAGAAGCGCGGCGAGACGCATCTCAGAAAGAAGGGCCGCGTCGGGTAGTCGGACGGGAACGTGATCTCCATCTTGATGCAGGACTGGCCCCGCAATTTCCGCAAATCCGAATTTAAATTCCGCCCCGCCGAACAGTCATTATCAAAACCATTTACGGAAAAGCGCCACTTGTCCGCTCTATCTTGAACCATCTCGATATCAAAGACGCGCGGCGAGCCCTTCCACTTCCGTAGAGCGCTCATTTCAGCGAACATCCGCGCCGTGCCGCGCTTCCCTTGCCACGGGGGCGCCTTGGCCTTCTTCGCGGCCGGCTCGTCGTCGGAGTCCGCCGTCAGGTCCTGGGCGAAGGGGTCGCGCCCGCGCTTCGGCGCCGGGCGGCCCTCGCCGTTTAACTCAGCCTGGAGCTGCCGCGCGAGGGCCGCGTCGGACGCGATCGTGTCTCCAATAACAACGTCGTCGTCGGAATCGGACACGTCGCCGCCGCGGCGCTTTTTTATGAGCTTCCTTGCTTTATTGAGGTCGCCGCCGGCGTCCCGTAGTGCCTGGCTCGCGTCGTCCTTCGAGAGGCCGGGGAACTCGGCGACCAGGACGTTGCGCGGTCTGGGCGGTTTTACCTCAGCCATGGTCGCGCGGCGTGGGCGCTCGAGTCACTTGGTGGCCTCAGGGGCTAATCTGTACAGAGCACCGTTACGTACACCGGTCACTGCGCTGTGCAGCCGGCGCGCTGCCGGCAGTCCGCTGGCCTTCTCTGTTTTTAAAATAAGCCGCAGGGGACCGCAGCAGCCGCAAAATCCCGGAGACCGAGCTAGCTAGCGTCCTGTAAGACACTAGCAAAAAAACGCGGGTGGCTTCCCCCTCTAGGCGCCTCGCCAACTAGTCCTCGCACCGCAACAGAAAACCTATGGCCCAAAGGTTTACGCCCCCGAGCTATCACACATCGATGATCACATCGTTCTTGCCTCCACTAGAGCCGCGCACGGACCCGGCGACGCTGCTCCCGTCGACGTCGAGGGAATTTATAGAAACGTTGCCCGCGCCGTCGATCGAGGCCGTCGCGCGCACGACGCCACTGCCGCGCGACCCCTGTGCTTGTGTTACGAGCTGCACCTGCTTGACGACGTTCCCATTTATAGAAGAGGACGAGTACATCTGCTGCATGGGCATCGCGCACTGCACGTCGTCGCCCAGTCGATCTCGGAGCCGGTTTTCGATGGCCCGTAGCACGGAGTCCATATCACCTTGAGTCTCCGCGAACATTTTACCGGCCGCGCCCACGACGCCCTTGGCTAAAGACCCCATGAGGCCTCCTACCAACCCACCGCCCTTGAACACTTCATCAATAGCGTTGTCCATCTGCTGCTTCTGCTTCTCGAGGGCCTTCTCTTCCTCCGTCTTGCCGAAGCCGAAGGTCTTCGCGAGGCCGTCCAGAAAACCGCCGCCCTCGGGCTCCTTTTGTCGCGCGAGCTTGCTTTTCAATTCAGCATTCTCGCGGCGCAAGCGCGCGACGTCGTCTTCCTCGGAGCCGCCCTGCTGGGACGCGAAGAACCTATCAGTAGTACCTCGGCAGACCGTCGCGCGCGGCACGAATGCAATGGTGGAAGCGGCGAGGAGCGCCGGACCGACGACGTGGCGCTGGCGCGCCATTCTCGCGAAGGCCATCGCCATTGGTGCGAGCAGGCGCCTCTTGCTCTCTTAGATGTCGGAGAACGCTCTGCGGTTTAGGACCACGTGGAGTCCAGGCGGCGCGTCTTGAGCAGCTGTTCACCGGCAGGCTTACGATGAACCGCAGAACGCGTGCGGACACCTACTGTTAGCTACAGGTGGAGCAAAAAGCTTGAGCGTGGAGATAGCACGAACTAGCGTCCAGTAAAGCACTAGGAAACAGGCAAACGCGAGGCTGCCCCACGCCGCGCACGCACGACCATGCGTGACCCGCGCACTGATAAGAGACGATAGCGATGCGCTACACCCATTTGTGCTGGCTCCTAGGGCTCAGAACGGCAGCCCAGCTGCGGCTCCAGATCGACGGCCCGGCGGCCTACGACCACAGCCAATTCATCATTAGTGGAGACAGCATCCGCATCACGGTGCAGCACACGAATGCGACGGACGTCTGCATCTTCATCGACGCCACGCGCCACTGTTCTACTGATAGAGTGATCGACGTCTCCGGTCTGGCGCCAGGGACCCGCGTCATTGCGGCGTCTGCTGGCAATGAAAGGGCGGAGGTGGTCTTCGACATTATTCCTGCGGAAGAATTACCTACGAGACCGCTCCCATTGAACCACGTAGCCGAACCCTTGGATTTGCCCCTTGTCCCGTTGAAACGAAGGCTCAGGTACTGCGCGCTTACCAATTCATTGGAGCGCCACTCGCAAAATTTAATCTTTTTAAGGACGGCAGCTCTGTTGGATCGACGGCGCTGGCTGGCATCACTGTTCGTGCCCGCTAATACTGTCGGAACTCTACACGAGGACTTTAGAAGGGCGTTCATTCCCGTGCACTACGTCGACCTTAGTAACATCGATTATCAGGAACTGAGGAAGCAAGTTTCAGACAAGCTCGACCCTCGCATGGCTTCCCTACTAAAAAAATGCGACGTCCACGTCTATGCGAACACGTATGACGACCCCGACGCCGCCGCCCTCGCGGAGCTCGCGGCGAGATACGCTTCACCAGGCTCAAAACGGGTCATGGAGCTGCCCAACTTATATCCACCTTCGACAGATGTTGTGGACGCGTTTGTAGCCCCAAGTCACTTCGCGGCATCTCAGACAGAAACAGATCTCCCGATCGCGACGATCTACCCCGCATCCATCGGAACGCCCTTGCCGCAATCTTTGAGACGGAAGGGCGTTTTTGTGGTCGCGCACGCCGGGCGCCTCGCACCGGAACGGTCGCCGGGTCTCTTCATTCGAATCGCGGCGCTGGTTTGCAGGCGGCGTCCTCGCATCGTCGCGGCGATGGCGTACACGCACACCACACGCAGGTCCGTAATGATCCACGTTTTGCACCGAGGCCCCCCTTCCCCGGTATGCCAAGAGACGACCGACCTTTTATTCGTTTCGTGATGTACGGCGACGGGCCGTTACGATCGTCATTGGAGCGGCTCGCCTCCTCCCTAAACGCGGGCGTCGAGTTCCGGGGCCACTCTGATAATCTAAGGGAGCAGCTAGCAAGCGTGGACGTCTTACTCCAGCCGCGTGCTGTTGGAGAGACGTTTGGGATCGCCAACGCGGAGGCTTCCAACGCGGGATGTGTGGTGCTGGCCTACATGCGGTCCGGCGCGAACGAGTCCTGCGGCGTTCATTCGCACCTCCTCGACACGCTCGACCCGCAAGCTTATGCGGATGTGGTGATGTATTTGGTGCTGACTGATCAAAGGGCCGTTCCCACCTTCGACGGGCGGTTTGCTGATACTAAATTCGCGGCGCGGTACGACCGCTTCCTCTCGTCCTTAGTGACGGATGTTGATGATGCGGAGGACGTCGTATCCACAGAGATGGCCGTGTTCTTCTCGCCTTCATCAAAGTACGCGTCTTCACTCATATCAGGAGCGCTTGGCAAGGCGTTCTCGGTCCAAATTGTATCCAGTGAGACACCGGACATCAGCGTGGCGTCGTGCCTCGATGGCGGCTGCGCGGACGGCTGGAGCGACGGCTGCCAACGGGAAGCTTTTAGTGTGGCCGCGAAGGCGCCCTTGTCCCTTTTGATTTGCGGCGAGGCCTGGGATTTGAGTCAAGCATCGTCGACTTTCGACGTCGTCCTAGCAACGGCGTTCTCATCCGACTACGTGTACCTCCCGGTCGCCGCGACGGCCTTCGGCGAACTTGTTGGTTACAAACCGGAGGACCTTTTGCTGACAAAACCGAAAGTTCCGAGGCGCGGCGTCGCCTACTTGTATTATCGATGTCGACCGCGTCGCGAACGCTTCGTGGAATTACTTAAAAGAGAAGGTCTTACGGTACATGCTCTCGGAAGATGCTCCTCGCATAGTGGAGACGACTTCGTCTCCAAGAGATTTAGTGAAAGGTGGCACGACGACGCTATCGAACAGTACGCGTCCTACAAGTTCGTCGTGGCCTTCGAGAACGATGATAAAGCGGGCTACGTCACGGAGAAATTAGAATTGGCCTTTTTGGCCGGTTCGGTTCCAATCTACTGGGGCCCCGCCACAGATCACATCTTCTCCAACGAGTCTTACGTCCGATGTCATGAACTAGAAGCGTGCGCTCGCGAAGTGAAGCGCCTAGACGACGACGACGGAGCCTACGCCCGACTGGTGAATGCCCCGAAAGTGAACAACCTCTCAGTCCTCCAAGCATCTTCATTGAAAGATGACCTCATAGACAAACTACAGCCTAAATTTGTATTACGCTACCCTCGTCGTGCGTCGCGTTGTGGGGCCGCGCCATCGTGAGCACGCGTCGGTGCACGGAATTCCCCGCTAATTTAGCAAGGGTAGCCACGTCGTCCGGATAGTGGTCGTTGACACCAACTAGATAATCACCGGTCCTCAACAGGCCGTTCTGCGACGCGTTCGAGATCGAGTAAGGACACGCGTCCTCATGAACCTCGACGACCTTCAGACAACACTTGGGCACGCACTCCTTCGCGCCGTGGAGCCGTATCCTCCGAAAATGGATGCCACTCAAGTCCTTGATCTCCGACACGGATATCCCGAGGGGAATCTTGGGCTTCCGCTTTTGTGATCTTTCTAACACTACTACATCAAAAAAGGGCGTCGGCGCGCCCCTGGCCTCGTCCTCGTCGCTCTCCTCCGATGGGGCCTCCTCCTTGGCCTCGTCGTCCTCCTTCGCTTCGGTGGCCTCGTCCTCGCTATCATCTTCACCTAAAGCCAATCGTCGTTCCTTCTCGGCCGCCTGCGCGGAGCGTTTCCGTCAACGCGGTCCGAATGGCCACCCACGTCATCGTGAGATGGACACAAGTTGAGGGCGTGACTCTACACGACGGGACGCCGCGCACGCGCCTCCTCCTTGGCCTTCTCCTCGGCGATGCGTTTCTGCGCTTCTTTTTCCAAGTCCCTTTTCTCCTTCTCGAGGGCCTTCTTCTGCGCCGTGTTGAAGCTCCGCGGCGACCTGTGTTGTATATAAGTGTCTCGGGACGCCGTCGACGCGTCCCGGGCCGTGACGAGTCGCGTCGATGGCGTAAGGGGACGCCGCGTTCCGACTTCCGCCACATCGTGCCCTCTTTTTGATCCTTCTTCTTCCAGAGCGCATCCAACACGGCCTGCTCCCGCTTCTTCCGCAACGCTTCATCTACTTCTACTCGAGGTTTATCCTCATCTTCGGAAGCTGTCGTCGTGGTCTCGATAGAGGTAGAGGTGTCTTTGCGAGCTCTTGGACTGAATGAGGAGAATGAAAACGACCGCCAGGCCGCAAAGCCACTGGGCGTGTCGCCCTCGTCGTCCGTCTCGGCGCTTCGCCCATCTAGAGCGTGGAGCAATTTCCGGCCCGCCGACTTCTGTTCCCTCGACCCCTTCTCGCACAATTTACAAAGTTCCCGCCAGCAGTCATCTTCCAACTCAAAGGTCCCGTCGAAGGTGTTCCGCCAGCCGCCGACGCCGATGTCGCCGTACACGTCCTGGAGCTTGTTCCGGAAGTACGGTAACAGGTCGTCGAACGGCGCCGGTACAGGATCGTCGTCCTCGATGCGTAGATGTTTCCGATGGCGCCCGTACAACGGCACTATCTCCGACTCGGGGTCGTCCTCATCTATACATCCACAAGCTTGGAGCGTGAACACCTCCTTCCGGTAGACCGTCACGATCTCGACGGACGGGTCGTGCTGCTGTCTTCTTTTAAGTTCCTTCTCCTTGAACTCGCCGTAGTCGATCTCGACCGTGCGACTGTGCCACGTCGCCTTGCACTCCTTCCCGTCCTCGTCGGTCGAGAGGTAGACGTACTTCAAATCATCTTGAGGTTTGCGACCTTCGGGGATCGGCGCCGGGAGATAACAATGCTTCGGCGCCTTCGTCGGCGCTTGCTGGGCTAAGCGTTCGGCCTCGTATTTCCTATGGAGGCGCACGCGCTTCTCGTCGTCGTCGATCGCCTTGTCCCATTCGGGATCAATTAGTGTGACTTGTTCCCACCGATCAAAGATCGACGTCCCCACCTGGCAGTAGACGCCGTCGTCGTTGAAGAAGAAGGCCTCCTCGCTTTCTACTTCTCTTTTTAATTTTTCAAAGTTCGAGAAGAAGCGCTTGCAAATAAATTTCCCGTCGTTGACCATCTCGGAGTTGCCCTTGCCTGCGCGCGGAGACGCTCATTACGCCGTCGACGCGACTCGTGTCCACCAGACGAGGTCGTGGCCGGTCTCTTTTTCGATATTGAGTGAATTCGGACGCGAGTCGCATGACTTCGGACGCCGCGCCGCGCGCATCGAGGCCGGCACCTCGAACAAAAAGTCCAGCGAATCTTCCACAACCTCCTCGCCCAGGCCCAACGGTAGTACCTTAATCCGCCGCAGCATCAACGTCAACACAAGATCTTCTTTGGGCTGATGTAACAGATCTCGGAGAAACGGCGACTTGTAGCCCTTCGCGATGGTATGAATATCCTTCAGGCGCCGCTTCTTCGTCTTGCGGTTCGGCTGCTTCATGAGCAGCCAATCTCTATCCTTCGAGACCGTGATGTTACAGGGTACCAGAGTTTTTTTACTATGCGACCATCGCGATAACGTATACCCGGGACCCAGTAGGGTCGCCCGGAAGTCCTCGTAGGACTTCCAATCTTTTTCATCTTCAAATGAGGCTTGTTTGGCGTCGCGCATGGCTCTTCTGCCCTTCCCGCCCCGCCACGCGCGTTTTATTTTTGTCGCTTCTCTACTACAAATAGCGATGTTGCCTACGCTCTGTTGCCGTCGAGCCGCTTCTCTACGTTGGTTGAAGATCCTACAGGCCCTACAAATCTTGAGGGCAGCCAAGTATTCTCTCTCCGGCACGAGCTGCGGTTTCAGGGACGTTTCGAGGTCGTAATTCTTCCAGTGCCTTAAGGCCGACTCCTGCTTCTGGCGTTCTAATTCATCGTCGTCGACGACCGTGTTCTCGTCGAGGATGGCGTCTCTGATGAGTTGGTCCTTCGGGGACTCCGGTTGCACTGGAGTACTCCCGAACAAGTAGGAACTCAGAGAATCTACCACGGTACCCTCTTCTTCCACATCTTCTGTACGTAGCTCGGACCAGTCATCTTTATTATTGTTCGCCGCATCTCTAGCTACGGAGTGCGCGTAGGCGGAGATCAGTTCTTGTTGTCTCCTTTGCTCGTCGGCCTCTCTCTCTTGTATTTCTTGCTGCTTGGCTAAGGCTCGCGCCTTATCATCCAACTCCCAGTGGGGCTCCTCCTTGGTCTCCTCGTCGGCGCCGTCCATGGGTCCGACGCGTCGTGGGGACGCTGCCCTCTCTGGCCAAGTCTAAGCTCTTGCTGGGCTTGGGCAGCCCTGCCCTGCGTGCGCGCGTGAGTGGTGTCGTCGCTGCCGCTCCTGCGCAGTGATCACTCCGGCGGGCGGCCGGAGATCACCCGGTTTTGGAGCTGTGTCCGCAGCCGAAGCTTGGCCTTTCGCAGGCGTTTTGGACGCGCCGCAGGAGTCCTCGGGAGCCTTGCGCGTGCGGCGTCGGCGCCGAGGACTCGCTCGATCGGTGAGGCGTGCTTGCTAGTGTGTCTACCATGCCGCTAGCTTACAACCGCTTTAAGCTTTGCAAACGTGGATAAAAACCGCGCCATTTATGCGCTACACGACGCGATTCGCGTGATTTTCGACTTGTCAAAGCGCAGCTGCCAGCACCACCAGTCACGCGGCGCGGCGCCTTTTCGAGGCACCTCCTGCAGAGCGTACCTGCCTGTACGCGCGTCACGAGCCCCGCAGCAACGGCATGCGAGTCCTCCTCACAATAGCAGCGCTGGCCGCCGCGCAGGACGCAGAGCCTAGTGGCGACTACAAGGAACTGCTAGATCGAGTCGCTTTATTAGAGGAGCGGTTGCGACTCACGAACATACCCGAGGTCACGGACGACGAGAACGACGAACGATCTTTATTAGAACAGTTCACGGACGCGGCGGGCGATTTCATCGTGAATAGATTGCTACCTAGGAGCGATGCCCAGTGTCGCTGGAATTATGCCAAGTCCGTGTGTGTGCCGCGCTGCGAGTGCTCGTTCCAGCACCGCGCGGGGGATCTGACGCCGTCGCGGGCGTGTCGACTGCGGCCGCCCGACTCGTTTCTCCAGGAAGAAGTGTGCGACCCGGACGTGAGCGGTGAACGCGGAACTTTCGAGAAAGTAGCTGGTCTCATCGCCGTGCGAAGTGAAAGAGCCTTTGATCAACTCCTGGGCTTTTTGAGAGATGCGGCGCCGGACACGTCGGTCGAGTGCGACTGGCGCTGGGCCACGAAAAAGTGCGAGCCGGTCGAGAGGTGTCATCTGAGGTACCGCTTCGGCGACTTCCATCTTGGGCGGAGTTGTCGATTGAGGCCGCCCCTGGACGATGGCTTCGGCGAGCTCGACGAGGACTTCGGCAGGTTGGACGGGTTCGATACTGAGGCGCCGGAGGCGGAGGCGGACGAGCCGGCGGACGCGGACTTTGGAAAGCTGGACGCGGACGAGCCGGACGCGGCCGCCGCGCCGGCGGACGCGCCTGGCGACGTGGAGGCTGGCGGCGGCGGCGAGGAGGAGGAGGCTGTCGAGGAGGAGGCAGCGGCGGAGGAGCCTGCACCAGACGAGGAGCCTGCCGCGGAGGAACCCCACTTACGAGGTGCCGCGCCGTACGGCCTCGGCGACGACGACCGCGACGCGACGTGGTGATAATGGTTTACTGTGAATCTTCTGATAGCTAGTCCGGTTCGACAATTTCAAGGATGTCTCAATCGCCTCTGTGAGCGGGTGCGCGCTGCCGAGTACGCGCCGCCGCGCGGTCCGCTCCACCTCCTCATGCGTCGTCACGGCCTCGCGGAGATCGTCGATCGTAAATGCTAGTGTGTCAATGGACAGGTATTAGCGGACGGTCCCGCGGATGCTCCAAGGAGATTGCATTTCGCAGCGAGGTGTCCCTCGCCGAGGCCTCCGAATTGCGACGCGAGCCGTGCGAGGCCGGTGGGATGCGTGCGGTAATTTCGGGTTTAGCCTGTTTGCGTTTGTAAGTATAAAAAGCCGCACAACTCCGCGATAAAGTCGTATTTGAGCACGCCTGCTCGTCAGCAGTACCCCATCTATCCGCGTTCGGCCTCCTGGCCTCAATTCCGCTCGACAAGCCATGAAAGTGACCGTACCCCTGGCCCTCGTTGGGGACAAAACAAAGCTACGCTTCGCTCCTGCTTCGAACCCGTCGCTCGAGCACGCCGGCTCAGACCCCGCCGCGCCCGAAATGGCTCGCCGGGGCACGGAGCCGTGGAATTTTGCTGAGTTCCTAACGAGACCCGGCGTCGACGACCTGCTCAACGGCGCGACGGAGGCCGAAAGAGCGTCCATTTTGGAAGATCTGCGAAAGATCGAAAATGAGTTCGGCGGCTCTACGTACGTCGAGTCCGGCGAGAAGCAAAAGTGGCTCGCCGCGACACTGGTGGTGCACGGCATCCCGCTCGCGTTACTTAGCTTCCCCGATTTGAACCTTCTGAACCCGAGACTGCGCGCGGTGCTGGCTAAACATTATGTCCCGAAGAAGCAGTTCAAGGGCCCGAAGATCCCCCAGAAGCACGCGTGCATCGAGTTCCACATGAAGACGATATTCGAGCACGTGGGCCTCGATGCCGACGAGTTCGGCGGGTACCTGCTCCTCTTCGACGCCGAGCTCCTGCAGTGCTCGGCGACAGACCCCTCGACCGGCCGCCAGACGGGCGCGCGCAAGGTCAAGCAGACCAACGACGCGGTCCTCGCGGACGCCGGCCTCGACGCGGCGTGGGTGCGCGCGGCCTACCTCGAGATGATCGAGACGATCATGGAGGAGGGCCAGTACACCGGCCAGACGGTCTGGGCGGCCGGCGGCGCCGCTGCGAAGTGGGTCAAGGAGAACCTGGAGAACCCGCTCGGCGACATCCTGATGCACGCCCAGGCCGCGATGGACATGCAGGCCAATCTCGCCAGGAGCATCCTCGACGACGAGACCGACGAGGAGACGTCGTGGAGCATCCCGGGTCCGAAGCTCCGGGCCTCGTCGGACCGAGGCGCGTCCCAGCTCATGTTCGCCGTCGCCGGCGACGACCGAAAGATCCGAGAGGTCAGCACGCAGCTTCGAAAGCAACATGTTCCGTCGCGCCTTCGCGAGCGCCGCGCGACCCCTCAAGCCCGCGCCCCACGCAGGTTACCATCTACAACGACATCTACTTAGGCGACGCGGCCGCCGTCGACGCGATCTGCCAGATGCGCAAGGACAAGTTCGCGCGGAAGACGCACGCCCAGAAGGCCGAGTTCTTCGCGCGGATGAACCACGTCATCTATTTCCTCGACCTCTTCGACGCGCTCGACGCGCTCGGCGACCGCGCTCCCGCCGACGTGCTCGCGGCTGCCAAGCGCATCGCCGCCGCCAAGGGCTGGCTCCGGCCCGCTTTAGCTGCTGCCGACGGCGGCGTCGTCGCCGCCGTCGCCCCGCACGCCGCGGTCGCCATGCCGCGGCTCCGCGCCGTCGACGCGTCGCGCGGCAGCGCGTCCGATTCCGCCGCGCGCGCGGCCGTCGCGCCGGAGTCCGACGTCGTGATGGTCGACGCCTCCACGACACGCACGGCCGCGCCGCCGTCGCTGGTCGCCGACGACAACAGCTGCGATGACCCGTTCGACCGCGTGTTGTTCGATCCAGCAGACCTTGATGATTCGTCCGACGCCCGCGGCTCGACGAACGAGTCGGACAGGGCTTTAGTAGAAGCCTGGCTCGACAAGCGCAATCCGGAGACATTCGACGCCGCGCTCAAGGCCGCGCAGAAGGCGCGGTACGCGCCCTTGATAGAACGGTTCCTGCTGCAGTGCCAGCTCAAGATGCTCGATAGACCCGCCGCCGCCGCCGTCGCCCAGAAGGCCGGTTATCAACTAGCGCTCGAGGAAGTCCGCGCCGGCGCGCCACGCCCGCTTCCTTTGTCCGTCGACGCTTCGAGAGACACACCAGTCGTCGCGCGCACCAGGGCCCTCGTCCGCGTCACCGTCACGCGCCGCGCAGGTCGATGACGAGGCCAAGCTCCGGGCGATCCGGGGAGACGTGCTGCAGCGCATGTACGACGCCGGGCTCGAGGCGCGGTATGCGCCCTTGACACAAAAGATCCCGCTAGGGGTCCAGCTCGGATGGCTCGGTGCAGCCCTCGTCGCCGCCTCCCTCTCCAAGGAAGGCCGCCTTGTAACGGAAGCCGACGTCCGCGGCGGCGCCGCACGTCCGTTTCTTCCCTTCGCGAGGGAAGACCGCAGTCGCCGCGCGCACGCGAGGCCGTCGTCCACAACACCGCGTCGCGCAGGTCCGCAATCCGGACGCGCTCCGGCGTTTCTCGGCAGAAGCGCTGCAGCGCGCGTACGACGCCGGGCTCCCGTCGCGGTCGATGTACGGCAGGGTCCAGGAAAAACGACGGGTGAAGCAGTTCAACGTCGCCGCGTGCGAGGCCGTGGTCCACGAGAGCGGCGCGACGAACTTCGACGTCAGCGTGCCCGTGCCGTACTCTATATTTTCGCGTCTCCCGCACGGCGCCCGAATTCTCGCCTGCGATCATCCAGGACGCCCCGATCGCGTACCCTCTCTCGTTGTGGACCGCCGACACGCGCGAAACGTCACGCGCCCGCCAATCGAAGGAAAACAGAAATGACGCCGCGTCTGCGCAGGTGAACGATGAGGCGTCCTATGCTAACGTCCGGTCCGACGTCATGCAGGCCGCGTACGAGGCCGGCCTCGCGGGCGCGAAGGTCTTGCGCCTCAAGCGTGTGCGGGGCGCGCTCCAACAACATAATCCCGACCTGGATCTCAGCGAGTTTACGCCCGAGGTACTCTTCAAGAACATGTCGCCGGCCGACATCGAGGCCCTCGACGAGGATGCTTTCATGGCGAAAATTAACAAGTGGAAGAGCGACAACGGTTTGGAGGCAGATGCGGTCGAGGCCCAAAGGAAAAGGAATGCCCAGAATGTAGAGAAAAACCAAGCGGACCGGGAAGCCTTCGGAGGCACGGTTAAGTTCACGTTGGCCACGGGCTGCACCACCAAACTCTCAAAGCCGAAATGTGCGGCCGACATCAAACAGCACTTGTCCGGCATCGAATATATAGGGAATAAGTGCACAGGGAAACGCGTCGGGCAGCCGTGCAAAATCTGCATCAAATTTGTTGGTGATCTCCAAGAAGGAACGGCCTGCAAGCCCTGCGACCAGTTCTGGTATCCGAGGAACAGCGCCATCCTTAAAGCCGCGAAGGAAGTGCAAGACAAGCACGGCATCGACTTCGGCGTTACGATTGTCTACAAACCATGTCCTAAAAAGCGCACGGCCGCTCCAAAGCCGCAGGGCGCCAAAAAAGCCAAAAAAGCCAAGAAGGCCGCGCCCGCCAAGTAATCGCGGCGCGCCCTCCAGCGCGACGACCTCGTCGCGCGTCGCGCGGCTCGAGCTGGGCGCCGGCGCCGTCTCTTCGTGGAGGCGTGCGCTCCGATAGTGGCGCGCGCCGCGCGCCGCGGACGCATGGAGTCTTAGTCGCGACGCCGGCCGTAAACCGCCTCTGGTACCGGCCGGTTTTGGCGCTGAGCGCGTAGCGATTCCGTCTTAGGTTAAGTGGCCGTTCACTTTTTTTTGCTCCGACAGCTGTCAAAAAACGAACGGGGCGCCCTCCATGCGTTTTTTTTGCGTTTTTTTGTCCATAACGCTTCAAGTTGCAGGGGCTCCCAGCGGGACTCGAACCCGCAATCTTCGCCCTTAGGAGGGCGACGCCTTGTCCATTAGGCCACGAGAGCTTTCGTGTGATACGCCGCCCGAAGGTCGTGCTTCGAGGGCGCGCGTTGAGGGGACGTCCGCTAGTGCCTGTGAGGTAGCGACATGTTTGCCGAGCCGTTGTTCCCGGCGGCGCGGCGCAAATGTGAGGCGCGGTAATGCGGCGCCGCGGCGACGCGTTTCCAGCAGGGAGGGAGCATGTGTGTTTAAAGCGGTGCGTGTGCGCGCGCTTGCGCCACGCGGCTGAGCGTTTGTGCACCGACACAAATGATGAATACTGCGCTGGTCAATGAACCACGCGGTCAGCGTGCAGTTAGCTAAGCGCCGTGGGTAATCATCTTCCTAGTGTCTTACGGCCGCTAGCTGCAAATTTTGCCCGTCGGCGTCACGAGCACAAGGCAGCTCACGAATGCATCTCGCGGCTGTCTTTACACGCCGCTAGCTAGCTGCGCATAAATTTGGCCGTCACGGGCAAAGGGCAGCCCCACCAATGCATGCGGGCGTTTGCAAGATGCCTGCGACTACCGCAGCGGCTGGATCAATTCGCAAAGCGTGACGAGCATCCGTAAGGGCATAGGAGCTGCATGAAGCTCCACCGCGCCGCCGCCGCGGCAGCAGCCACCTTCGCCCTCTTCACGGCGCTCCTCGAGCGATCGAACCTCGCGCCCGAGCTGCCGGTGCACGAACCGCCACCACCAGCCACTCTAGAGCTCGCGAGAGCACTCGCGCCGTGCACGGAGCCGCAGCGCTGCGCGAGCGTCGATCGAAGATCTTTAAAACTTAAGAAAGCGCTACAACACATACAAACCGCGGCAAAAAAGCTCCGCTGGCGCGACGCGCCACTACCCAGCGTACAGCCAACATTCCTCAACACGACACGAGGAGCAGCACGCTGTTCTTCGCTAGATGCGCCCTTCGAGACCCAGCTCGAAGAGGTCGTAAGGGAGATTTTGCGACGCACTCACACCAACGAAGTTGTGTTCACAATTGTCGACCAGGCCTATGGGGATTTGCTCGAGGCGAATTTTGAGATGGCTCGCAAAGCCGGTTTCTCTGATGGACTCTTCTACGTGTCGCTAGATAGACACACCGCAGAAGATGCTTGTTCCCAAAAAAAGCGCGTCGCGTTCCTCGCGAAGCCTCGGACGGCGTCCACGAAGGACGTCGTATACTTGGGAAAGTACTACGCCGCCATGTTGTTATGTAAAGCTCGAATCCGCTTCTTCTTCTGGGAGATGGACCTGTGGCTGCCGCCGCGACCGTCCGGACCGTCGGTGGTCGATGTGTTCCGAGCCGCCGCAGCAACCGATACGGCTGGTTTGAATCCAGGAAGTGCGTGGGCGTTGCACGAGGACAATCCCTACACGATAAATATTGGTTTATATTATATCGCATCTGATACTGATGGTAGATCATATGATCTCTTCGACACTCTGTTAGACTACCTGAGGAGGCACCCCCATGCCTTCGACCAGGGCTTGGTGAACTGCGTCCTCAAGAAGGTCATCAGCCATCCGCGCATCAACTACATCAAAGACCGCGACAATTGCAAAGTAGATGGATTTGACACGGACGAGCGGGGCCATCTCGTCGACGGAGCTTTGCAGTCATTAATACTAAAGACGCGACCGGGCAAGATGATGGGCACGGGCAACTACAACTTCACGCTGGTCGACGGCGTCGTGGCCGCGTCCTACGCCTTGCCCTTTCTGTTCCGGGACACGCTGGCCGTGCACGTGCTGTCCTCGGTGCCTCTGTCGTCGTCCTTCGGCAAGAAGGTTGTGGCGAAGGAACTCATGTTGTGGGAGGACGGCGACGACTACTTCCACGTGCGTAGGGGCAGGTTCCTCGCGCTCGACGGCGTCCTCGCTTCATCGAGCGGCGCCGACGACTTTGTTTACCTTAAAAATAGACTGACCGAGCTCTGCGCCCTGGCACGCCAAACGAACCGCATTCTCATATTACCGGCGACGTGGCACCTGTCTCGGAGATTACAAGCGTGGGAGCTCGTGGAACTGGCGTCCCTCGAACGGCTAGGTGTTGGGTGGAGGGAGGCGACGTACTTGGCGAACCCGCGCCTCAAAGTTGATGAGGACGCGACGTTCGTATCATTAAAATTGACTGAACAAGGTGCTTCAGTTGTTGATGTGAACGGCGACGGCGCGCACTACGACGCGGCCTTTACTGGTGAAGATACGCGGTCCGCGCATCTGCGCTTCCTCGTCCACGTTTCTTTGCATGATAGACGTTGCAGGGACGCTGCCGTATTATTTGTGGATGTCGATCCACAAAGAGGCCTCGCCGTCGCGCCAGCGAGGACGCCCTTCGAGACGCGAGCTATAACCGATGGCAAGAGGGAGCCCTGGCTCGCTTCGGTATACAACCATCTGACCTTCTGCGACTACAAGCACCGCGAGAAAAGGAGGGTGGCTTTGGTAGGAGCGGCCTTCGAGTGCGGCGGCCAGAACGCCGGTGCTGACTCAGCGTCCGTTTCCGAACGTTTCCGAACTTCAATATCATGAAGATGGCGTCTTCACGAGACCGCGTCGCCGCGACGCCGTCGACGTGGTAGTTTCGCGACGGCGTCGTTCTCGCGCAGGGAAGCGGAAGCTGGCCGACGACATGCGCAAGAAGATGCTCCGGCGGGCCGGGAAGCTGCCCAAAGTCGTGGAAGCGGTGCGCGAGGGCCGCGGGTCGCTCAGCGTCGAAGGACGGCGGCGCGCGGCCGCACAATTCGCAGAGTCGTTGAAGGACGACGTATCAAACACAAAACCTCCACCAATCAAGGAGGTAGCCTTCGGCCCCTACCCCGACGCCTTCGCCCATGCCTTCGGCTTCTGGGAGCCGGGCCATGTGAAGACTGCTAACAGCCCAGGAGGCTAGTAATTATTTACCCTCCATGACCTTGCGTACCGCATCTTTCCTAGTGAGACCCTCTCTATCTATTTCCTTCTGCTTTTCTTCCGGTAAGTGCCGCCGCGCGAACTCCGCCAGGCACCGCCCCGTGAGCAACCCGCCACCCTCCAATTCACTCATCCGCTTCGCATTTCGAGCGTCGTACTCGGCGACGACCTCCTCCAGCGTTCTACTAGGATCGACGATAAAGCCCTGCTGCCGCTCGTCGATCCTCAATTCACCGGTCGCGGGGTCGTACACGCACTCCGGGAAGAACGGCATATGTGCTAATTCATCTACAATATTTTCATCTTGGCCCTCGAGCAAGTCAATAGCTTGTTGTGGTAATGCCGAACCCTCCAACCAGTCGTTGACTGCGGCATCAAGCTTCTCGGACGCATCATCTGATTCGTCGACCACTGAGGCCACTTCGACGCTCGAGGGGGGCAGCCGCCCGTGGCACTCGACGCCCTTGGCCATGAGCGGCTTCCTCTCGAAGCGCTGCTGCAAGACATGCGCCTTGAAGTCGTCTGCACTTAAAATAGTAGCAGTACACTTTACAGGTATAGAACACAACCGCTGCAGCGTCTTCTCGTTGATGGTCCGCGTGTATCGCTCCGGATCCGTTCTCACTACATCTTCTTGGCCCTGGATCACGAAGGACGCCCGGCACTCGCCCGGTCTCTTGGCCACGACTTCAAACGCTAAACGTAAGGCCACGCCCGGTGCTAGCCTCCCGCGCGGCGTCACGCAGGACACCTGGTCGTCTCCTGATAGGGTAGATTGCGAGATGCTGTCTTCTAGACCGCGCTTGTAGTTCCATCGCAGTCCCGACGCCGACCGGTTGGTCAGTGTCCGAGAACAGGTATACCTAAAACCCTGCTTGAGGACGCCAAAGTTGACCAACGCGTCGGACAATTCTAACGATAAAGAAAAGTGCTTCGTCGCCTCCTGTTGACTTAGAGTAGCGCGGTCCTTCGGTCGCCGCAGCGTCCGGCCGCCTGTCGACCCCGCCGTCGAGGGCCTCCTCAGAGAAGTTTGGGACTTGGTCTTGAGCGAGGGCTTCCTTCGTGTGCCACCAGCGGTCACAGGGCGCTCGTACACTTTACCGGGGCTGCCCCGCATGACGAGCTCCCTTGCCCTCAAAGGCATGATGCCGCCGGGGGCGCCGGGCGCGTCGCCGTCGTACTCGCGGCGCGGCGGGCGGCCGGCCATGGTTCTGCTGCGGTTGCCTTCGTGTGCAGGCAGCCCTTCCCCACAGAAGCGCTGCTACAGCTCGTTTGCGCGCGTTGGCCGCGTTGCACGGCTTGCTAGTGTCTTACAAGACGCTAGCTGCAAATTTACGCAATCAGGCTTCACGGAGTACACAACGGCGCCCGAGGCCTGGGGAATACTCTATCAACAACATAAATTACGCCGCCGCCGCCTCCCGGCGCACGACGGCGCGCTCGCCCGGCGCCGCGTCCAGCACCGCGCCGGGCACGTGTTCCGCCGCCGCCCGCAGCACGCCGCCCGCGCTCAGCGACGCGTCCTTGTGCAACGCGTCGATCGTCCGCTTGAACGCGCCGGCACCCGCGTCGCCGTGGAATAAGGTCAAAGCGGGCTTGAGGACCGCGCGGCGCGGCGAGTAGCCGTCGTGGGCGAGCTCCACCTCCGCGCGGTCGCAGTAGTGAGCATAAGCGTCGAGGAGCGCTCGCCGCGATTTAACAGGATTCGCCGCCCCGAAGACCTCCTCGTCGACCACGGCGTAGTGCCAGGGCCGGCGGCACGCGTCGCGGCCGACCATGGCTCCCTGCAAACCAGTAGACCTCGCCAGGACGTCGTCTACTGAGTTAACCTCACCGTTCGTGACGATCTCCAACGCAGGAAACTCGCTTTGTAACCTCTGCACAATACCAGGCATTATTTGGGGCACCTTGCGGTTCGCGTCGGGAGACAATCCTGATAGGACCGCGACGCGCGCGTGCACAATAAATCGAGAAACGCCCTCCCTTGATACGGTCTCCACAAATCGGGCGAGCGAAGTATATAGCTCGTCTTCGTCGTCGCTCAGATCCCTCACACTATCAACAACACCAATGCGGCACTTCACGGACACAGGCGCATGTCGATGCATCGCTTTCACACAGCTCGCTACTTGATCGGGATCGCGCATGAGCGCGGCCCCAAAACACCCGGCACCCGCCACCCTCTCACTGGGACAGCCGCAGTTCAAATTAACGCCCGCATACGAATGATGCGCCATTGCTAATTCAGTGGCCGCGCCGAGCACCTTTGGCGACGAGCCGCCGAGCTGTAGGATCGTCTTATCTTCGTGATCGTCGTGCGCGAGCCAGCGGTCGCCGCTCCCGTGGCGCGGCGCACCAGTGTCGTCCACTAGAGTGTTGGCAGTCACCATTTCCGTGTAGAGCACGCTCTCTCTGGAGAGTAACCGGAAGAGGTGCCGGAAGTGGCGGTCGGTATAGTCCATCATGGGCGCGACGCTGAAGCGTTCGAGCGGCAGCTTGGCCAGGGCGGCGGCGCCGCGCAGCGCTGCCGCCATGATGATGAGTGCGGTGCGCATGCGCTTTGCCCTTGCACTGTTGTTGCTCGGCTCCAAGGTGTATCTGCGATAATTCTACACCCTTGACAAAGCCAGGCGCGGTCGTATTCGCCACTTTTTGCAATTGAAGGTCGCAATTACTAGCGTGCTGTAAGACACTAGCGTGAATTAATTGGCTGGTGCAGCACCGCACTGGTGCTGGATCTGCCTAAAACCACGTGCAAGCAGTCGCAAAGGGTCAGATACTAAGAGCTGGACTGCTTTTGCCACTGCTTGCGCCGTCAAAGTCATTCTTGTTGGAGTGCAGCACTGTGCAGTGTGCCTTAAGAGCCGTAACGCGGCGCATTGATCGCGCGACCGTCATTAGCACTCTTGCACGCAACCGTCACCAGCACTCCTGCACGCTTGTACGCCATCGCCGCGAACCAAACAACTAGCAGCGCCGCAGCATAAATGCGGCGCCACGCGCTCGCCGCGCTGCTCGCGACGGCGACGGCCCTCTACAAAGTAGATATACATATTGCGGGACGAGCGCCATCCCCAAAAAGCTGGGAGGCCGCCGCCGTCGACGAGTACGCGAAGCGATTGCGCGGGACCATCGACCTGAAGACGACGTGGCACAAGAGCGGCGACCAGCTCGAAAAGTCCATCGCGAAGATGGAGGCCGTCCTCTGCCTCTCTCCAGAGGGAAAACGGGTCGACAGCGAGGGGTTCTCAAAACTTTTGTATGATTCGTTGGACAAAGGCGGGTCGCGGCTGTGTCTGTGCATCGGCCCGGCCGAGGGCTTCACGGATGAATTAAGGGGGCGGGCGTCGCTGCTGAGCCTGTCAGATTTAACCTTGCCGCACCAGCTCGCGCGCGTCGTGTTGGCGGAGCAAATTTACAGGGCGGCGGAAATTAGGAGAGGGAGCGGGTACCACAAGTAATCTGTTGTTATGTGTCTTCTTTGATCTACGGCGTGCAGCTTCAGGGCGCGGACCCGTTCCGCGAGTCGAGGCCGTCGAACGCGCCAGACGACGCCGGCCGCGCACGTGCCGCTGGCTTTACGAGAGTGCTTCGACCACGTCCACTGGCGAATAACGCGGTCGGGTAGCGTCTCCGATTACGCGACGGTCGTCGCCGTCGAGATCATGTCGTCGCGATGGTGGCCGAGCCGACTTCCGTGTCCGCGGCGGGTCGGGGCGGCGGTCGTCGCACGACTCGCCGAAACCGAGGGGCGTTTCTAATCCCGAATAGGCGTATTCAAGTTACAAGTTAGTCACACAAGGCATCCTACAAAGGCAGCGCCTCCGCCACGAGCAGCGCCGCGTTCTTCCCCGAGATGATCTGCGTCTCCATGCAACTGACCGGGGACTCCATGTTCGCGTAGAAGAGTCGGTTGCGGAGGACGAACGGCGGCCATCCGGTTGATGGCTCCAGTTTCGTGTAGGCCCCCGACGCGTCCCAGTCCGCCCGCGCGACTGATGACGACCGGCGCTCGAAGACGTAGGCGTCGAGCTCGTTGTCGCTCAGCCGGTGGCGGCTCATGATTTTATAGATCGGATCACCGCCGGCGCTCTCCCCATGAACCCCAATACAGCTGAAGCTCACATTGGTAGTTTCGACAGTTAGCACAGTGTCGAGCTCGTCCGCGCGGTCGCCGAAGGCCTCGCGGCTCAGGCGCCCTGCAGCGAGCGCCACATACGTAGGTTGGTAGGGGCGCGGGCTAGTTTTGACGTCGACGGGCAGTGAGATATTGGTAAATTCCAGGGGTGTAGCCAGAACGACCGCGTCGACGCTGGTTTCGCGGCCCGCGGCGTCGAGAATCGCATAATTGAGCTGGCTGGGGTGGAGCCGCACGGCTTCGACGCGGGTGTTCAGTCGAACTTCGGCGCCCTGCAAAAGCCGTTGTGGAATCTGGGCCGTTCCCTCCTGAAGCTCGAAGACGTCGCCGGCCAGGCCGGCGCCCGCGAGGGATACGAGATCAGCTAGAGCGTTGAGTGACCCGTCCTGGTTGTAGTTGTCTCGCGAGGCCCCATCGATGAACTCGTAGATGAATTCCGACGGCAAGCCGATGCGTCGAAAGTAGTCGTAGGCGCTGACTTGCGTCAGATTGTACAGATCCAAGGCTTCTGACAGCGCGGCCGGCGTCTCGAAGGCGACGCCGCGGCGCTGCAGCTCGTAGATTCGACTTAGTCTGGAAGCCATCTGCCTCACGATAGGTATTATTTTCAACCAGTCGGCGCCGTAGCGCTCCGTGAGGTGCGCAGCCAGAGGCAGCGTACCCTCGCTGCTCTGGAAGCGGAAGCTGGACCCGTCGTAGATCGCGAGCGTCGACGGGCCTCCGTCGTTCGCGCGCTTCATGCCAGCCGTGAAGTTGAGCAAATAGTGGTTCAGCGTCGAGATGGCCGTCGCGCCGAGGTCGACCCGACGGCCGGCCAGATCGACGGTCCTCGCGCGGCCGCCTATTACCGCATCGCGCTCGAAGACGATCACTCGCAGGTCCGGCCGCGATTCGCGCAGGAAATGCGCCGTCGCCGCGCCCGCAACACCCGAGCCAACAATGCCCACCACTCGCTCTTCGCGCACAGTGATCGGAGCTGCGGCTTTCAACGTCAGCAGCGTTAAGAGTACCAGCATTTTTACGAGCTGCCGTTCTCCTTTCGAGGCATAACAAGCGTGAAAGCCTGCGCAAAAGCGCGGCAGCGCCAGCTAGCGGTCTGTAACACACTAGGAGCGCGCACCTCGGCTGTACAGCTCGCATGGATGCGAACTAGCAATCAGGAGTGGCCTCTGGACTGTGGCTTGATAGCCGACAGCGACTTGAGCTCAAGATCCCGCCTGCGCGCACGTTTGGCAGCCTTTGAGCCAGTGCTTGCAAACCTAGTTTTTGATCGATTACTCAGCGATGAATTGGTGTTTGCCATTGATATTGCTCCCAGTAGTTTTGTTACAGCACACGCGGGCCGCAGCAGACAACCATTCTACGTTGGAGGCTCTCGCGCGACGCGTCGACAACACGTACACCTCGCAGCTCACCGTCGAAGCTGAGGCCGCTGCTCACGCGCCGAACGATCGCGCGAGGCCTGTGCGCAATGGCCACTTCGTCGCGCCGCTGCGCCTGAGGCCACTCTCTCAGCCGCAACTCCTCGCTGTGTCGAACTCGACGCTCGAATTGCTGAGTCTAGATCCGCAAGAGGCGTCGCGAGCCGCCTTTGCGGCTATCTTCTCAGGCGGTGATGCTGGCATCGAAGCGCTCCGGCCGCTGCATTCCAATCCATGGTCCACGCCGTACGGTCTCAGCATATACGGTAGCGAACAAATTTCTGATGGCGGTGTGGGGGACGGCTACGGCGACGGCCGAGCTGCGTCCATATGTACGGTCGATGGTTGGGAGTTGCAATTGAAAGGCAGCGGCCCGACGCCATTTGCTCGGCGCGGCGACGGCAACGCCGTGATCCGGTCGTCGACGCGCGAGTTCCTCGCTTCGGAAGCGATGGCGGCGCTAGGAGTACCGACAACGCGGGCGCTGTCGTTGATCGCGTCTCGTGATGAAAAGGACATGGCAGCACGCCCCTGGTATTCGACTCAGACGACTGTCGACCCGTTTTATCGGCCGGTCCCGCCGCACGGTGGAGACATTATGCATCAAGAATTTCGCGCGATCACGACGCGCGTGGCGAGAACGTTCGTAAGAGTCGGCAGTCTCGAGCTATACGCGCGGCGCTGGAGGCGGACCGGCGACCCGCTCGCGAAACAACAGCTCGAGGAGCTCTTCTGGTACGTGCGAGAAAAAGAGAGCTACGGCACTGGACGCCCACTGCTCGCCGACGCCGTGCTCGACCTGATCGTCGCCGCGCGGCGCCGGTTCATCTCACTGGCACTCTCATGGCAGCGCGTTGGATACGTCCAGTCAAATTTCAACAGCGATAACTGCCTCGTCGGAGGCTCTACATTAGACTACGGGCCCTTTGGCTTCATGGAGCGCTATGATCCGAAGTGGGCGATGTGGGTCGGGTCCGGCGAGCACTTTTCTTTTGGCAACCAAGTCGAGGCCGCTCGGCGAAACTGGGAGACGTTGGTGAGAAGCCTGGAACCACTCCTCGACGACGCGGCCGCCGCGACCGCCGCGCGCCAAGCCTTCGCCGACGAAGCGGAACGGGCCGAGATGGCGATGTGGGCGGCCAAGCTAGGCCTCGTCCATGATCAAGCCTCGGCTACGAAGCTATGGGCCGACTCCGCCGCTCTCCTCGACGCGGACGTCGACTATACGTTATTCTGGCGCCGTCTGGCGGCCACCGCTCGGACGGACGCCGACGCGTTGGAGGCGCTCGCACCGGCGTTCTATGTCCCGCCGTCGCCGGCAAAGGCGAAAAAGTGGCGCGATTGGCTCGCGCGCTGGCGCCGCGCGGAACCCGACGTGAAGGGAATGAATCAAGTGAACCCGTTGTTCGTGCCGCGCGAGTGGATGCTCGTGGAGGCCTACGAAGCCGCCGAGCGCGGCGACAACTCGGTCATCGAGACGCTGCAGCGGCTGTTTAGTAGGCCGTACAGCGACGACCACGACCCTGCGCTTGTGGCCAAATACGCCCGCCGCGCGCCCGACGGCGCTCACACGCAGGGCGGCGTCGGCTACATGTCGTGATCGTCGTGAAGCGTCGAGCGAGGAAGCACGACCGCGCACTGACATGACGTGGGTGGAGGACGGAACTATTCCAACCCCATCCGCCGAGACACGCGGCCCCACGCTTCCTATTGTATGTGAAAAGTAAGACTACTACAAAACTTTAGCACAAAACGCCCGCGCCTTCGCGGCAACAGGATCCGCGCACCCCGGCAGCTCCAGCAAATCATTCTCGCGCAGCTGCCGACACAATCGCATGGACGCCTCCCGGTGCAGCGTTTGATCATGAACATTCTTCTCCAGAACCTTCGCGGCCAGCGCCGCGTCGCCCGTCAGCGCCGCGGTAAACTCGGAATATTTGGGCGTATGCTGCGCGCGCACCCTTAGCAAATCCGCGGGGTCGACGGGCACGCCCGCCAGGACCGCTATTAATGCCGCCGAGTGCTCGAATAGCTCAAACACCCCCACGACCGCAAAGTGGGCGTCGATGCGAGATAAAGCGCGCCGCACGTCCAGGGCCTCCACTCTTGTTGGGGAGTAGGGGAACCGATCACTCCCAAGCATCCGCGTCTGGACGTTCTGGTAGTGCTCCATCCCCAAAAATTGACCGAAGGAGACCCAGGGCAGCGAGTCCGACGCGTTCGGCGGCCGCACGTACCAGTCATCATGCAATCGCTTTCTCTCGGCCCACTGCACGCTCCCGTCGATATGAAAGCAGTCCCAGTTCGGGTTGTGGCAGCGGTAGTGCCACGCAGAGACGACCCTTCCGAGTGGCTCGCGGACCATGGTCACGGCCTTGAGGTGGCGGTTCAGGCTTCGAGCCCCGAAGAATAACGATAATTGCGGCTGGTGCGAGTGGCAATTTAAGACATCAGGACACAGGCGCATCTTCTGCCTATTTCTTTGACAGAAGCCGGGGTTGCTGCAGCAGGGGTTCGTCGGGTTCCCGTTGGCGACACACGCTAAACGTCTTAACGTCGCCGTCAGCGCCGAGCCGCCGCACTTGGGCACGTGCACAAAAATGAGGCGCTTCTTCATCTGGTCGGTACCCCAGAGGCGCGCGCCATTACCCGGGTCGCGGCGGAAACATTCTGCTACGAGTCTTGCACGCTCCTCCGCCTTCGACGCTTCGCTCGCCAGCTCATCTTTGTCGAGCTTGTCCGTGTGGTACCAGCTAAGGCTCGCGATCTCCGTCCACTGGCTCACGAGGCCGTCGCCTATGACAGGAGCGGACCGGCGGAGGTCGTGCAGCGAGGTTGTAGGTGGTGCGGGCGGGCTCGTGCGTCCCTTGAACCAGTACGGCACGCCGACGGCGAGCAGGCAGAACGCGACGAGGAGTCCTATCCTCCGCGGCGACGGGCCGCGCGGCTCGGCTCGTTTCTTCGCGCGACGCATCATGCGTCGTGCAGCATGCAGGCTTGTGCAGCCCCTGTGGCGCCAAATGCCGCAATGTCTCGCAGCGCAGCGGTCGCAGTCCTTTGAGATTGAGACTGTATCGAGCTCAATTGAGTGGCAGCGTCGCAATTAAGGCGTCTAACGAGCCCGCGCCGCGGCCGAGTAGCTAGCGACTTGTAACACACTAGGCTCCAGCAAGCAAGCAAGCAAAAGCTTGTTTTTGACGCCGTACAAGCAAGCCAGAGCGGCATCGCTCGTTTTAAGACTCCCGAGACGTCTGCGCACCCGTGCCCTCGCCAACAACGCGACCGCGCCCTGCGTTTTCACAAGTCATGCCGCCACAAATGACAGCCCTGCTGCTGCTCTGCACGACAACAGCCTACCAGCCCCCACACAAATCGCACGCCAGAACCGTCGCATTACGCGCCCAGCGCACCTACACGCTGACCGACGGTAAAGACAAAACGGACCTGCTCGAGGTCACGACCAAGGCCGAGGGCCGGACCTTTGTGCTGGATGGCTCGAAAATGCTGACGCTCTACGAGTGCAGCTTTTTCGAGGGCAAACTTGGGTATCAAGTCTGGCCGGCAGCTTTGGCCGGCGCCGCCTGGGCTTGTCAAAACAAGGCCTTATTCGAGGGCAAGCGCGTGCTGGAGTTGGGGAGCGGCGTGGGGCTGTTCGGCTGCGCGGTCGCGGCCGTCACGGACGCCGCTCATGTCACGTTGACGGACCTCGACGCTGTTAATGATAGGGACTTCGACGCGCCGTCCGGATTACTAGACGCGCAGCGGCGGACGTGCATCGCGAACGGCTTCGATCAGGTCGACTCGAAACGGGTCGACTGGGCGGACTCCGAGAGTTGGCTCGAACCGGTCGACGTCGTGGTTTGCGCGGACTGCGTCTACGCGCCGGAAGCTATAGAACCGTTGGCGAACTGTATCGCTCATCATTTAGCAGAGGACGGCGTCCTGTACGCGTTTTCGGCCGAGCGGGACTGGTCCGACGCGAAGTATGCGCGCGCGGCGCCCAGCGACCTGGAAGACGCCTTGCGGGCCGTAGGGCTGCGCGTGGCGACGGCGCGGTCGTCGATCACGACGGCGAGCGGTGTGTACGACGTCGTGTTGCATACTGCATCTCGTGTGATTGATGACACGACGACGGGCGTGGACCGCCGAAGCGTCCTCGGCGCGACGGCGCTCGCTTTCGCGCCGCGCGCGCACGCTGCTGACGATCCACGCACCGACATCAAGGCGCGCGCGGATTATGTTGAAAAAGAGGCGCAAGATCAGGGCTTCCGGACGTCGCGTATAAACGTGCTCAAGGTCGAGCCGGGGCCCGCGGCCGCGACCGGTTGCATGCGTTCCAGAGACGCGGACGTGGTCGAAATTGACTACGTCGGCAGCGTCGTCGACGGCGGCGTGTTCGATCGACGGAGCCGCTTCGCGGCGATGCTTGGGAGCGGGGAGGTGCTGAAAGGTCTCGAGCTGGGGCTGTATGACATGTGCATCGGCGAGCGACGCGTGCTGCGCGTGCCGCCTGCGCTTGGTTTCGGCGATAGAGGCTCGCGCGCGTTCGGGGTGCCGGGCGGCGCGACGCTCGAATACGACGTCACGCTGCGCGGCATCAACCTCCAGTACAATCCCTCGGTCCGGAGGGAGGACCTCGACTTCGAGCAGCGTTTCTGAGTAATTGTGTTTGGTATGTCTTACAAACTAACTACGATGGCGGCGTCGCGTCGATGCCCTATGTACTCTCTTGCTAAGATTAGCACTCCCCGACGGCGTCTCGCTGGCGCGGAGCGCGGCTCGCGCGTCTCGCAGGTCATCCGCAAAGGCACTGATGCGCAAAACGATGCCCGTGGCGCGACGCGTTCTCGGAGAGAATCATGGTCTCATGCTCGTGTTGAGCTGGGCTTACGCGGTGGCGCTCTACAGGGACGACGCCGCCACGCTCGACGATCTCAATGAGGCCGTGACGACGCTCGAGGAGTCGGAACGAACCGCGCGGCGCGTGCTTGGCGGCGCGCACCCGGACACAATTGGGCTTGAGAAAAACCTGCGAGATGCGCGAGCCGCGCTCCGCGCCCGCGAGACGCCGCCGGGGAGTGCCTAAATCCTAGTACACACGCCATCGACGCGACAAGTAAGCTAGAGCCTTACCCCAGGTCCAGCCCCCCGGAATGCCACCGCGGGTCCCCGTACACCTCATGCGCTTCTACAGGAGTGATCGTCTTGCCGCACAGGATCTTCTCGGAAGCTCTCCTCATAATGTCCCGATGAATTCGAGTCTGGAAGTCGATCGGCTCGCCCTGTGCATCTTTCGGGAAGTCCTCGGGCCCTCCATAATTACGTAGAGTGCGATCGAAGCGTTCTTCCTCCTTAAATTCACCAGTGGCAAATATGGAAAAGGGCGCCGGCGTCATCTTCACGCGGCGACCCGACGGGAGCTTCGCGTTCCGTACTAGTTTGAGAGCGTACTTCTTCGGCGGGTCCTTCAATATATCACTGGTTCTATCACAAGCATCCGGTCTATCTTTCTGGAGGAAGCCTCCTACTTTAAAGACCGGGTCGTCGACGATAACTCTGGAAGCCCACTCCTCGTGTAATTTATCTTTCCTCGCTTTATCATTTGCGGCTTTATCTGGCTCCAAGTGCACACTCTTGTAATACGTTCGAGAATCGTAAGCCGGCGGCACGTCCGTGCCTCGTCGATAAATAGACACGTCGGGAGGCACGTGCCCGTCGACCATCCTACCTCTGGGCAACCGGTTCCAGTTGCCCAGTTCGTGGGAGTTGTACTCCCTCTCATATTTCGGGTATTGATACCCGCCAAATTCGCGAGCGAACGCAGGAATCGAATCGAAGTTCTTCCCGCCCGTCCACTTGTCCGGGTGGTCCTCGCGACCTTCCGGATCGGGGAACAATTCGCCCTCGACCCACTCCTCCCTGAGTTCTTCCGCTCGCGACGCAGACACGTTCTTCGGGTGGCGGTTCCAGGTCCCCGGTTCTCTGGGAGCGGGATAGACGAAGCCTCGGGACGTCATCCACTTTTGTTTCGAAGCTAGCTTCTGGTCCCTTTCCAATTTACCTTCATCCACCATGGGTACTACTAACGATAAAAAGTTGTCATTGGTCGAGCGCACGAAGGTGCAGTTCTTGACCTTGCTGAGCTCCTCCCGTTGTGCCGCTTTGGCGAGCTCCGTGTACTGCAGTTTCTGGCCCGAATAGACATAAGTCGCGGGAATAGGGTCCTCGGCGATTCTCTTCAATCTCGCAGCTTTTTGCACTTCATAGACCTGAGCAGCTTCCGCATTCTCGAGTCGACGCGTCTCCAACCAGTCCGTCTCCTTCCGGTTCCTCGTACTTTCGAGGAAGTGCAAAGGAGTTGTGCTATCGGTCGGCGCCTTCCGTCGCTCATGTGTTATCTTCTTAGCAGTATGATGCGATTGTTCCTCCAACGATAAGGTGTCATCCACCGTCAGCGCCTTACGATCGACGCCGTCCATGTCCTCCAGGGAAATGGCTTTGCCGAACTTGCTCTCGACTTGACTTAATTGCTCTGGTAGGGGCAAGCCACCATTTGAATCTAAAGCCAACTGCCTCAAAGAAGGACTTCTACGTAACTGGACCAATCTATCCAAGGCCGTAAAGGCCCCGGTAGCAACTTTCACTGGGTTATAGATGTCTGGCGACTCCGCCAGTAGCGGTAACGGTTCTCGCAGCCGAATCTTCTTCAGGTCGACGTTGAACTGCGTGTAGACTCGTTGCGTGAACCTTACGGTCGGGTCCGCTAGTAATCTGTAACTATCGTCATTGATGGCGTCTCTAGGTACTGCATCAGCTATCTCTGCTATGGAATCGGCCAGACCTTCCAGCACGATGGTTCGGCAGGCCGGGTCGATGACGTGCCAACCACTGACGATATCGAGCTCGCCAGACTCCGCTGCTTCGACTTCTTCCGGTGACAACTGGTGACTGACGAGACTGCCGGGCATCGTACTACTTAAGGTACGATGATTGATGGCATCCATCGCTTCTAACAGTTTGCCAAGTAACTCGCCGTCCTTGTAGGGGAACATGATAGCTAAGCGTCCAAATGGAGCTTCTGAGGAGGCCCCTCGGAAGATCTTACCCTTGCTGTTTTGTGTAGCGAAGGGCTGGTCCCCTAAAGTGCCCTCCCAGAAGCACCCATCCACAAAGCAGCCCTCCTGTAAGGAGCGAAGAGGCCGTTGGAGACCGACGGACACACCGACGACGGAATTCGCATCGGAGTACATCCCCGTCTTGACACATAAGCGTTGGGCCTCGTTTAACCTCCAATCGTCGACGCCGCCCTTCGGCGTTATTCTCCGCTTTCTGCCGGTCACGTCTGCCGAACTCTCGACGAGGGGTCGTACGGCGTCGGGCTTCGTCTTATTGTTCCGAGCGAAGGCTCTAGCTAACGCCGCGGAGTTCTCGAGTAACGCATCCACCCGGATATCGGCCTGGCCGTGCGCGTGGTCGTCGCCGCACTTGCACCATGATGCTGTGAGTGCTAGTCTGAATAATTGATCGACTTCCTCCAGCGTGACGTCGCCGTCACTCTTTTCTAGTGTTGGTGGTTTGCACGCGACCCAACTTATCGATCTAACAGCCCTCTCCACGACTTCGAAATGACGACGAGGCGCACCTACTAACGCAGACCAATCATCTAGTCTCAAGTCCGGCTCCGCCGCGAGCAGCGCGAGCCGCTGGTCCTCCTCGGTCACATCATCTTCGTCGGGCGGCGGCGGTTTCAAAACTCGGTCGTGGACCTCGACCCCTAATGGTGAAGAGGCCATGAGCTCCTCGAGCGTCTCCCGATCGATCTGACCGGTCAGCCACGCTGTCGTGTGGTTCCAGGTGATGGACGACGTCGCGCCCCGCGCGTCGGACGCGGACGCCCGTCCTAACGCGCGAATAGCTCTCTCTGAACGGGAGAGGTCTTCTCCTGCCATTGGTGGACAGGGTAGTGGAGGCTTGACCACACAAAAGGCGCCCTTGCACTCGTCTCGGAGTAGCTGGTGGGGGTCCGGTTGCACGTACTTCTGTAGGGGTTTAGCGTCACTTCTCACACCAGGTAATCGTAATGCCCTATCTACCGTCAAAGATAGGGGGTTGTGCTTCTTCCGCGCTTCGTCGTTGAGGAAGGGAGCGTTCTCCAGCGAAACGGTGATTCTAACGTAGCGCAACAGATGCGTCGCCGGTCCGGCCGGTTTCGAGGACGGCGCCTGCTCGTCTTCGTCGTCACTCGAGTCGACGTACTCGAAGGCTTCACCGTTCGAGGTGGACCGAACAGCAATGAGAGGAGTATCCGCGACGAAGAAATGGGACAGGTCCACATGTAACACTTGCGCGTACGGCGCGTCTTCCGTCCCGAGGATGAAGCACACTACCGGATTTTCGTTTAACGCGTCGAGGGCGTCGTCCGAGGTCGCTATCGAATGTGTTTTTTCACAAACCAAGCATGGCTGATCGGGTGGCGGGTCGAGCGGTCCACTTGGTAGTACAGCGGGGGGCGCGTCCTCCTCCTCTTCATCATCGGCCGTCGCGGGCCGGCTGCCTTCATTTGTAGCGGGGCGGCTGCTCGCGCGACTGGCAGCCTGGGACCCGGGGTCGCCACCCTGGCCGGCCGCCGTCCAGTCGCTTGAAACCACGGCCTCGCCCTGCCAGTCGTATCTCAATGAGATCGGCGGGGGCGGCGGGGCGTCCTCGGCTACGGTAGGTTGGACGATCTCGCAGGTGACCCTGAAGGACATGGCTGCGCTGCCCGACGGCCTGCCGCGGGCGCGAGGGACGGCTGTGGGGCTGCCGCTCGCCTTGCCTTGCAACCTTTGGCTAGTTGTGGCCAGCTCCCGCGTCGCGAGGAGGCGCGTTGCGATACTCTAGGTTGTCCCTCTAGGTTTTGTACTTCGTTACCACGCTTGGGGCTGTGGCCGCTCCGGAGACGCCTGGCGTGAGGAGTGAGGGCTGTTCTTGGACACATAGCACAAAACCCGTAGGCATGTGATTTTGTGCAGCTGTGCTGCACTGCAGCCTGGCCTGTAAAGAGCGAAACAAGAGCAGTTGGCTACGGCATCGCATTGATTCGCATCAATTGAAGCGAAGCACTTGCCAAGAAATGAGCTGCCCATGGCGGCATGAAGGGGCTGCCCACTGATGAGCATGCAGCTCCCATGCAGCTAAGACTTGCCGCCGCCGCGGTGCTCGTCGTCGCCGCGGCACAGGACACCACAGAAAAACAAATTTATGTGTGGCACGCGCCGCACCACGACTATTTGTACGCACCCCTGCGGGCGACGGTATTGAACGGCCTCCGTGGCATCGGCGCGACGAGAATAAACATCAAATTTGATGGAGACTTTGACTGGGACGCCATCCCGCCAGGTTCTATATTGATATGGCTCGGCTGGGGCCGCAAGGGGAGGTATGGAAGGAACCGGCGGGTGCCCTGGAAGGGACTCGGTGCTAGAGGTATATACCGAATATACTACCAGAGCGAACCGGTCACTTCCCTGGTATATACCAAGGACGAGGTGGACGAGGTCTGGGACTTCTCGTGGCACAACATCGATCACTGCAGAGGCAGTGATGCGCCTATTTTAAGGTACGTCCCGATCGCATTTTTAAGGGAAGCACCTCTGATAAAACGGTTCGGAGATGTCCCGAAACTGGTGTTCTTCGGTAATGCGAAGTGGCGGCCGTGTTGGTCTGAAATCCAAAATCTGATGGGTGCTGATGTGATGAGCCGGTACAATGTCTGGAACGATCGAGATTATGAAGACTTTTTGGGAAATGATTACATTGGCATCTTCCTGAACCTCCACAAGGACTGCGGCAATGTATCCGTGCCTAATCCTGTTACTTGGCGCAATCCCAAGCTCCTTTCTTCGGGCGGGCTCGTCATTTCTGAGAGGTGCTACGGGAAGGATGAAATTGAGTTTAAGGGTTTGATCGACTTTGTGGAGCGGGCCGACATTCCTATCATGTTTGAACAATACGTGCGCATGGCTCCTTCCGAGCGGTTACGACTCGGTTTGAGCAGACGCGAGGCCTTCGCCAAGAGGTTCGATGCTGTCGGGATTTTTGAGAGGGCTGGGATTGGGAGCTTGCTGCGTGAGCGGGGTGTGACATAATTTAACTTGTAGTTGTGCCCAGCTCCCGCGTCGCGGGGAGGCGCGTTGCGATAATTGGTGCGGGGTTTCGTGAAACAATCGAGGCCGTTGCCGCTCAGAAGAATCTTGTCTTGGGGACTGGGTGCTTCCCGGGACGTCTCGGAACCCGCGGATCTCGCGCCAGAGCCGAGCTCGGCCTTGGCATCGGTCTTCGAGTTGTAGCTCGTAGCTCGAAGAACCGCATAAATAGCCAAGGCTTAAGTTGTGCGAAGGCACGCGCATATAGTGCTCACTCACTCCGAGAGATAACAGAGCAAACTGACACGTCTGCGGCGTCTTTGGAGCTGTCAAAAAATACAAGCGCTGCGCAAATCAGCTGTGCTCGGCGCACCCCGCGAAGCAATTTTATTTACAGCAAGCATGGCATCCGCCAAGACCGCCGCCGCCCTGCAGCGCATGCGCCTCGACCCGGACATTGTCGCGGAGCGCCGCGTCGCGGCCACGCCCGTCGCAGCGGCGCCGCCGATGCAACGCGTGCCGCTGAACGTCGTCCGTCAAGCGCACGCGGCCAACGCGGCGACGCGCCGCCTCGTCGAGATTGTCGGGCTCGCCAAGCTCGAGGCCTTCACGACGCGCTTCTACGAGAAGGCCTTCGAGGATCCCAAGCTCGACGCGTTTATCCGAGATCATGGGGAACCGCACGCGAAACGCTTCGCCGCTTGGATCTTCGAGAAGCTCGGCGGCGGCAACGTGTGGACGGCCGAGCGTCGGACGAGAAAGATGTGCCCGTTCTCGGCCCACGGCCAGGATTTCATGTCCGCGCACGACCGCTCCTCGGCTCACTTCGCCGCCTGGCACAGTCCGAAGCGTGATCCCCAGGTATGGGGTGAGCATTTTAAGTGAATGCGGCGTCCAAATCAACTATTGTTCGATCGCTCAAATATTGGGCCTCCGCGCAGGCTGGACGACTGCAGAGTGTGGATGCGCCTGCATTTCTGGGCGGCGCGCGAGACTGGCTTATTTGCGGAGCATCCGGCCTTCATGGACTACTACGTGCGGTTCATCGGGCACTTCGTGAGCGTCTACGAGCGGCTTGCGCCGCCCTTCGCGCGCGAGTCCGCTAGATGGTCCGAGAGCCCCGCGAACGTCGAGGCGTACCTCGCGACCAAGCAGATGCCCGACGTCGTCGGCGTGTCGCCGCGCGAGGCGCTCCAACAACTACCGGCCGCAGAGCGCGCCTACACCGGGTCCAGCGCGAGCCGCCCGCTCTGGCCCTACGCGTGAGCCCCCGTCGTGTCTGTGTAAGAAGACTGTCTAACACAAAAGGGAGCTTATATCCGTCACGAATTGGAGTATGAACGAAAATGATCAGAGCGTGCCCACGACGGCGTCCACGACGTCGCCGACGGCCTCGCTCACAGTGTGCTGCGGCCCCGCGAGGAGCACGACCGCCGCCGTGCCCAGCATCGCGACGCGGCCCTGGAAGAGCTCCGCCCTAAGAGATAAACCGCGCGCCTTCTGCTGCGAGGCGTCGAGGTCCCGCATTTCGACACCGACGGGGTTGAAGGACCGGTGCAGCTCCCTCACGAGATACGCGAGGCTCATCGCCGCGAGCGGGCCCTCTATTAACACATTCGGCGCGCCCTCCGCGAACTGATTTAAAGCTTGCGGGCAGCCGCAGCGCGCAAACAGCACGAGCGGACCGAGGCGCGCGTCCCACGCCACGCTCGAGATGAACGCGGCGCCCAATAACGCCGCGCGGCCGTGCTCGCGCTCCGCCGCCTTGTAGAAGGCGCGCTTCAGCTCCTGGCGCTTGCGGTACTTGATGGGCACCGTTTTCGTGACGAAGAGGTCGCGCCAGCCGACGGGCTCCTCGACGTTCGGGTCCATCGCGAAGAGGTCGCCGAGCTGCGGCCGCTCCACCGGCTCCGGAATGACGGCCTGGCGCGTCGTCGCTGTTGCTAGCTCGTTTCGCTGGCGCCATTTGGCCTCGGCAAAATTCGCGTAGTACTTCCTCTTGTAGGCGTTCGCGTCGAAGACAGGAACTTCTTTTTTTGCTTTAAGCGCGGCGCGGCGTGTTGGTGACAGGGCGGTGGCGGCCGCTAGGACGGCGAGGAGCGCTTGGTGGCGCGTCGGCGTCATTGTTGCTTAGTTTAGTGTGGATCTAGAGCGGTTCGTCGCTGGCGTGGCCACCTTCGTGACCAGTGTGGATCTAGAGCCGTTCTTCCAGCGACGAACAGCGTTGTGGCCACCTTCGAAGCAGGTGGTATGGGTTACGTCGTGTCCGAGGCGCACGCCTGCTGATGCAAAGTTCGTTGACGCCGTGTTGGCAGCTCTGTGAGATTCTCCAACCAGTCCGGAACTTTTTTCTGTTGTGGTTGGCGCGTGAGCGGGGACGAAGCCTGGGATGCCAGCTCCGCGGATTATCTAGCGTCCTTACACTAGGAAAATGCAAGCTCGCTTTAGCCACGCTGTGTAAGTCACACGATTGCAGTAAGGATCATCGCACGACTGGAAACAACAGCTCAATAATGGCTACGACCGCCAGCGAAGCCAATTGCAGCGATGCTGAGCCGCCACCTGACACTGCTGCAGCAGCAAGGCCGCCACCAGAGACTGACACTGCTGCAGCAGCAAGCAGTGATGCGAAAGGCGGCCTCCGCGCGCTCCTCCGCATCGCCATCCCGACGGCCCTCGCGAACCTCGCCGAGTACCTGCCGGTCTCCGTGGCGTTGTACTTCATCGGCCGCCGCGGCGACGCCGACGACCTGGACGCGGTAGGCCTCGGCCGGTCCTATTTCAACATCAGCTGCTTCTCCACGAGCTATGGTCTGATATCAGCATTAAGGACGCTCTGCCCCCAGGCCGCCGGCGCGAGGAAAGGGAAAGAACTGCACGGCCTCTACGCGCAGCGGGCATTGGCCATCGTCGCCCTCGCCGCCATTATAGGTATCATCGGCATCTACTTCGCCGATGCAGTTTTAATACATGTCCTCGGCCAACCAAAACAGCTAGCGAAGCGCGCGCAACGCTACGGCCTCGCTTTATTACCTGCCCTCTTCGGCATCCCGTGCATGACCATCGTGCAGCGCGTCATGACCGCGGAGGGCCACGTTTTCGCGAATCTGGCGATCTGCGCTACGGTCTTCGCGACCGCCCCCGCGTGGCAGAATTTCCTCGTCTACCGCCACGGTCTGGGCTTCGTGGGCGCGGCGTGGGCCTCCTCCATCACGAACAATCAATACCTCCTTCTACAAATACCGTACTGCCTCTATGTCGGATTGGGCCACGTCTTCCGGCCGCGGTCGATCGGCGAGGTTTTTGATCGTAGAGGTGTCCGCGAGTTCCTCGGGCTGTCGCTGCCGGGGTTGGTCGCGAGTCTTCTGGAGTGGTGGTCCATGGAATTTGTGATTGCGCTGGCCGGGACGCGGCGGTCGCCGGCCGTGCTTGCTGCTGTTACTTGTGCGCTCAATATTCAGACGGTGCTGGAGATGTGTTGGTTGGGTGCGATGGTCGCAACATCAGTCGCCGTGGGCGCCCAGGTCGGCGCGGGCGATCCCAAGGGCGCCAAGCGCGCCGCTCGACTCGGCGTTTTGGCCGCGTTCTGCGCCGCCGCGATCACTGCCGCCGGCTTGATCGTGGCGCGACCTTTGATCGCGCGCCTCTACTCGCACGATTCGGACGTCGTGGACTTGACGAGTCGATGCGTGCCGGCCCTCGCATTGCTTGTCTTCTTCGACGCGCAGAACGTCTGTATACAGGGCACGCTGTCGGGCGCCGGCGCGCCCCAGCGGATAGCTATGTCGAACCTCATCGGGTGGTACGGCGTCGCAGCCCCGGTGGCGCTTGGCTTGCTCTTTGGTTTAGATTTAGATCAAAGTGCGGCTCCGGTCCTGTTGTGCTGTTGTGCGCTCGGCCTCGCGACGTCGTTCGTCCTCCAGTTGCTCGCCTTGCGGTCTTTAGATTGGGAGAAGCAAGTTCAGGAAGCCTCAGGCCGCCTCGCCGAAGGCACGGGCGCGCTCGCGGAGCCCCTCCTCACTAGTGATGTTTAATTAATGTTATCGCGGCTGGTTGTTCCCGTTGATGCCGAGGAGCTGGATCGTGTAGTCCAGCGGCGCGTAGGGCGGGACGCCTCTTTTGGGCGCCCCTTTCTCCCCGAACCCTAGCACGGGCGGTACCGCCAAACGCCGCACCTCGCCGACGCAGCAGCCGGCCATGGCCGCGTCCCAGGCCGGCGGGAACTGGCCCACCGGCTGTTTCCCGAGCACGAAGTACAACGACGCGTCACCCCCCCTCCCAGGCACGGCGCGTCCATCGGCAAACGTGATCGCGCTGCCATCAAAAAGCTTGTTGTCCTGCCTGAGTCTACCTTCGTAGCGCACCTCCAGCAGGTCGCCCCGTTCGGCCCCGATCGAACACTGGGGTGGTGACTGTAACCTTTCGACTTCCAACACTTGGGCCTCGGTGTACGGCCCGGTTGGTGGTAGTACGGTCGTTCTCGCCATGCGAGCGCCAGAACCCGGTTCTAAAGCGTTGGTAAAGCGTTCCGCGTCTCGAAAAACGACGGACAGCGGCCGCGGGGCCTCCGCAATTTTCGACGCGACCTCCTGCGCGCCCAGGCTCTCCACATTTGCGCCATTCACGGAGACGACGGTCCAGTCGTCGCTCACACCGAGCTTGGCCGCTTCGGAGCCCGGCGCGACCGCAGTCACGACGCAGCGCAGCGACGGCATCGAGCCCAGCGTCGTCTTCTGGTACGCGAGACCGTCGAGCTGCATGCCGAGTGATGCTTCTTTAAATGTGACGCTGACCTCGTCGGAGACGACGGCGCCCGCATGTGCCGGCGCTGCTGCCGCGGCGGCGCCGACGGCCAAGCTCTGCAGCATCCGGCGCCGCTGCAGCGGCAGCTCCAGCGTGCAGACGGTTGCGCATTGCAATGCAGCGATCACGACACGCATCATAACTAAGTTGCGAGCTCGTATAGGTGCCGAGAGCTCCTCGGCTCTCACGCAGAGCTAGCGGTAAGACACTAGCAAGCAAGCTTCGTTTTCCAAGAGATACCTCTCCTCAATCAGCAACACGCATGGAGCCCTCCGCGAGCTCCAAGATTGCAACCGCCGGGATCGCGAAGCGGCGGGAGAGCGCTAGACAGCGGCAATTGTGGGCTGCCTCCCGCGTGGTGGGAGAGCGATGGCGCACTGTCGACGCACAAAAGGCATCACGCGTCTGACCGACGATGCCGCCGGACCAGCTCACGCAGCCCCGCTCGCATAGAAGCTAACAGTATGCCTGAGGGCAGCCCCGGCCAGGGGCGCCCGTCGCCCCTGCGGTCCGCCGGCCTCCGGAGCCTGGACGCGGCGGGCCGGATAGCATCGAGCCTGCCGCGGCCGGCGCCGGCCGCGCGCGTGCATCCGGCGCCGGCCGCGCGCGTGCATCCGGCGCCGGCGCCGCCGGCGCCCGGCGAGGCGTCGCCGCCAAGTTCCGGCGGGTCGTCGCCCACGCGCTTCGGGAGCTTGAGACCAGCGGGCCTCGCGGCCCGGTTCGCGCGGCGCCGCGCGCCGGGCGCCGCGCCCGGGCCAGCGCCGCCGAGCTCACCGTCGCCCGTGGGCCAGTCGTCGTCACCGACGCTCGACGCGGTCCCGTCGCCGCCGAGCTCCGGCGCGCCGTCGCCGGTGGGCCGGTCGCCGTCGCCGACGCGCTTCGGGAGACTTCGCGGCGCTATCGCGTGGCGCTTCCCGGGCGCCCCTGGGCCCGCGCCGCCCGTCGCCGAGGCGCCTGTACCCGGCATGTACGACGTCGAAGCGTGCGGCCCGGCGCCTGCACCAGGACCGGCGCCCGCGCCCGCGCCCGGCACGGACATCGTATTATGGGACGAGTACAGCAACGCGTCGACGGCGCCTGCGCCCGCGCCGTCGATCGAAGATGATGAAGAAACGTACGAATCACAAGCCTCTCGGAGATCCTTGGCCGAGTCCGTCCAGGAGGCCCTAGAAAGAGCGAAGGACAGCAAGGAGAAAGCAGCTTTGTGCATCGCGGGTCTGTGGCTCTATGCGTGCGTTTCCGAGAAACTCGTCGAAGACGACGAGCCGCTGATATTGCCAAGTGACTCCGAATCGTCCGACGAGGAGATTGTGGAGGAGGGCGAGGCGACGTGTTGCTTTGGCATGCTCGCGGTCGTGCCGGAGGATGAGCGGGACTGGAGATTGCTCGGTGGGCTGGTCGAGGTCCCGGAAGACCTCCGAGAATTTGACAGAGATGGCAGAATACTAGCCATCCAGGAGTCGAATGTCGTTCTTGTTGTTATTTTAGCCCTGACCTTTGCCGATTTAGCGGTAACAGCTTTAGCTACTTATCCCCAAGGCGCGCCCATATTGGCCGGAAACTGCCCCATGATCGAGCGCGAAGGAGACGGTCCTGTCGATGCCGGAGGTAATGCCCTAAAAGGCTGGGACTACAACGGGGATGGCGCGTGTTGCGACGAGTTCGACGGTTTTCTCGAGCCCGGGACCTGTGGGACCGGCAAGGGCCACGGTAAAGTGTTGGATACGCCTATTCGTGACCCGTCACCAGAGGAAATTTTTGAGAAAGGATATGTGGGGAAGTTTTGTTACCAGTGCTTCAATATGACTAGTGATTGGAAGACGGCCTACAAGAACGAAGGTGCGGCTGAGGAACCGGTCGTGCGGAGGCTCTCGGACGAAGACGCCATCGCCGCGACCACCTCACGTTCCTTGCAAGACGTCTGTTACGACGACTTAACAACTCTGGATAGTTTCAGAGGAGACTGCGCGTGGTACGTGAAGAATCCGACGAGGTGCGGCGAGTTCGACGACGACGATTTTTCGGCGAATGTCCAGTGCTGCGCCTGCGGCGGGGGGTCCTCCACAAGTCCGCCGACGCCCGTGCCTACATTAATCTCCATATGGAAGGGCTACGACAAGTACGGCGACCCGCCCTACTTGTTTTGTACCGGTGGCCCACCTTTCTACGGTACAAGTGGTAACTACTACAACCTCGCTTCAGACTTACCAATCACGAAGATGCTCGACGCGTCGCCTCGCAATAGTGGAGCGCCCCAGGCGACCGATCAATGGGCCATGACGCCGGGCTGTTCGGTGCAGGTCTTCGGGAACGTGGTCCTAGCGATCTTCTGCGTCGAGATCTTTCTGCGGTTGAGGCAGTTCTCGATCTGTCGGAGCTACTTCCAGTTCTTCACGGACCCGTTCTGCATTTTGGACTTTTCTCTGGTGGCCATTGATCTCATAGTGTTACTCATAACTCTAGCATTGGCGGGAGTCGAGGAAAAGTACCCCTGGATGAAGCCCATCAGTGATTTCGCGAAGTCGGGGAGGATCATGCGCGCGATGCGCATCTTCCGGATGATGCGGGCCGTTCGTGCGGCGCGGGCCGTCGCTAAATTAAGCGCAAATATGGACATTTTCGACGCGGCCGCCGCGGGCAACCTCGCGATGATCGCGAAAAAAGTGTCTTCGGCGAAGAAGGACGACGACGAGGAGGAGCTCGACCCCGGTGCGGTGCCGCGTCTTCTTTTGCCTTCGATGTGTCGACGCCATCGACGCGACGCCGTACGCCCTGACTCTCGCATCGATGGCGTGTCGCGGCTATGGCGTGGTGGGATAGACTACGCCAGATCTGGCTCTACACCACCTTACGCCATCGATGCAACGACGTAGCACCTGTACGCCATCCGACGCGAACGCCGGGCCCCGCCACGCCATCGCCGCGACGCGCGAGGGCGTACGTGTGGCGCCCGACGCCATCGACGCGACGCCCCCGCGCAGACGACCCCGATTATGATGAAGAAGAGGCGACGAAGAAGCGCGAGGCCAAGGACCTCGCGCTCAAGAAGGAGCGAGACGCGTTGTGGAAGCGGAACGATCTAGGTGAAACCGCATTACACGTCGCGGCGTTGCGGGGCCACGAGCGAGTGTGTAAATGGTTGCTCGAAAGACCGTCCTGCGATAGTGTGGACCCGCAAGACTGGACGACGGGCGCGACGCCGCTCTGGAACGCCTGCCAGGCCGGCAAGCTCAAGGCTGCTAAAGTGTTGTTAGCTAAGGGTGCTGATCCCGAAGCCGCACCGGTTTTTGGGGAATATAGAAACGTCACGGCAAAGACAATGGCTTTGAATAAGCACTGGGACGATCTCATAAATGAGACTGCTAAATTAAGGGCTGAGGAGGAGGCTCGTTTACAAGCCAAGAAGGAGAAGCGCATTCGGCGACGGAATAGGTACAACCTAGCTGTGGCCGATCGCGACCGGCGCATCCGAGAGAAGGAGGCGGCGCGGCTGCTGATGATCGAAGAAAGGCAGTACCGGGCGAAGGATCGCGTCAAGAAGCGCTTCGAGAGCTTCATCCGGGAAGGTTTACGGGGCGCGTGGCTGACGTGGCTCGAGAACTACTTCGACAAGGAGGAGCTGAAGAGTCGAGGCACGTTCAAGGGGAACAATCTGGCCAAGAGAGCCAAGGCCGCGCGGCTGGATTGGATTCGACTGCAGTCCGATCCTCGAGAGGTGGCGCGTCGCAAGGCCGTGGCGCGGGAGGAGCGGCGGCAGCGGCGGCGGATTCGGCGGCAGAACGCCGATAGTAGACGAGCGAATAATTTATTGAGGACGGCGTGGCGCGGCGACATCGACCAGAGGCCGCCACTCACGGCGGACGAGAAGGATTTGAGGAAGGACCGCATGGACTCGTGCCCGCGGAACGGCTTTCCCTCTCCGACGGTTTCTCGCCGCGTCTATGTGGATGCGACGTCGCCCGACCGTTCCGACCGCCTCGACGCGCTGACGGCGGAGGGCTTCGCGCTGCTGGCCCAGGCGCAGGGCGAGAGGGATCGGCTTGAAAAGGAGCGGCAGCGCGCGGAACGGGCCGAGGCCGAGGCCGAGGAGTTAGCCTTGATGAACGAGTTCGAGGAAAAAGAAAAGCTGGAGTCCGACCCGCCGGAGGAGTGGAATATTGATAGGCTCAAGGAGTTCCTCAAAGAGAAGGGTGATCGGTCGATGGCCGGGGCGGACAAACTGGGCTACCCCGAGAAGATTCGTGAGGCTCTGGTGAAGCGCGTGCGCATGCACCTGTCCAAGCCGAAGCGGAGCCGCGGGCTCCAACGGAGTGGCCGCGAGGAGCGCATGGAGCGCATGCGCCGCAAAAAGTTGACCGATCTGGAACGGGAGGCGGAAGACGAGGCCAAGGAAAAGGCCAAAGACTTGGCGTGGAAGAACATGGAGGATTTTGATGAGGTCGCTTGGTTGGAACAGTACCTCGCCGGCGTCAAGGCCAAGAAGGACGAGGCCCTCGCCCACGAGAAGAAGCTTGGAGAACTGAGGAAGAAGGCCTATGGCGACGCGCCGCCATTATACTAGAGAGTAAATGTATTGTGAACGATATTACCGGAAATGCCTAGGAGAGCTCGTCGATGAGCCCCGCGATGAGGTCCTCCTCGGTGATCTCATCGTCGTCTCTCTCCAAGAGCGCGCGCGCCGGCCCCTCGGCGGCCGCCGCCTCGACCATGTCGACGTCGCACAGGCTGTCGTCGCAGGCGAAGCCCTGCATGTTGCGCGCCGCGCCGTACGCGACATCGCCCACAATTTGGGGCTTGCCGCCCTCCAAGGCGAGATCCGGCGGGCCCCGCTGGCACCACCCGACGAAGGACTCGAGCTTCTTGCGCTCGCCCTCGGCGACGACAACAACCGTCTTCGCTTCCTTTCCTGGCACAATCGATCCAGCCAAGCCACGAAATTGTGTCATCTCCCGCCGGCACTGGTTCGCGAAGAACGCGGTGGCCACGGTCTCTCCTTTGAGGGTGAACTCGGCGCTCTCCACGGCCATGCGCATGACGCGGTGCCGCTGCTGCATAACCCTGTGTTGGGGAATGAGGGCCGCGGCCAGCGTGCACAGCAAAGAACACCTCATGAGAGCCATCCTGTGAGTAACAGGCGACGTCGTACTGGCAGGATTGACACCTATGCTGCGAGGCGCGGAGACACGCAGGCGAATCCGGGCTCCAGCCGGAGCTAGCGGCATGTAAGACACTAGCAAAATGGCAGGGCGCTCTCGGAGCCTCAGAGCGCAGTGCAGGCAGCCCAAGCGCTCGACAGGAGAAGCAGGCAGCCCCACTCATCGCAACGAACAGCTGCAGCTGCAGTGCAGGCTGCCCAAGCGCCTCACAGGAAGGCTGCCCTACCTACCTGGGTACGCATCGTAACAGGATGCGGACCAAAGCGACGCCGTCGGAGTCGTCGACGACGCCATGGGAGCGACCAAAGCACTGGGATCTCAGGATCATCCGTCATCTCGGCCCAGCCGAGCGCGAGAATGTCATGGACTACTGCGCGCTCCGCTCGCCGCGACCTAGCGTGTTCGAGCCCTGCGGGAGCGTGTTGGCGGCGGAGCGAAGCGTCCAGCGGCTCCCCGAATCGAAGAAGGAGTCGGCCTCAGGAGACAGTTGGAAGATTTCGTCGGTCGTAGGCGGGACCCGAAAGCACGAATGGGTCGAGGGAGACAAAGTCCGGATCGCAATAGGCGGGGGCGCACACACCACCGGCGTCGTCACACTCCCGGCGAACCATCCAGATCATGGCTGGTGGAGGGTGCGGTGCGACGGCGAGAGTAAGACCCGAAACGTGCGCAGAGGAGATCTCTTCCCACTTCCGCGACCGCTGCGGCATCTCTGGGACGCGGCGGTGACGTACAACGATCGATGGTTCGAGTCGCGCGCGGAGCTGTACGCGCTGCTCATGGGCCGCCAGCGCCGCCTCGGGAAAGGCAGCGTGATTAACTGTGTGGAAATCAACCAGTGCGTCGGGTGCACCCGACAATTCTTCACTAAGTCATTTCTCGGCAATGAGGCGGCCGTCATGGCTCGGTCGAGCGGCGAGGAACCGGCATCGCCACGCCATCGAGCAGGCGTCGTGTCGATACTGTGGAGGACGACGCGATGATTCAGCACGAACGCGCCGTAAAATTTGATTTCCACACAGGTGATTAAGTGGATCGCCGGCAACCATATTGTATTGCGGCGCATTGCTGCGTACGCGTTGGCCCCGGTCTCCTACCTCGACCTGCAGGACTTCTATTTCTGTATTGATTTCTGGAACGAAGCACCGGTCCGTCTGCGCCCGGACGCCCGGCGCGGCGTCGTCGCGCTCGCGTATGTCGATCGAACACCACCCGAAAAAGACGAGGGGGGATACGCGTTGACACGAACATACGTGGCCGGTGTCAGCGCCGTCGGCGTCTCGCGGCTCCGTGTCCTACGCATTGAGTGGCAGGGTGACAATGGGGAAAAGTCTCCCCTATATTCGAAAGCGGTCGTTCTCGAACTGCTGGGGCTCGTGAGCGAGCACTGCCGGGATCTGCGGGCGCTGCGGGTCGACGGATCCAGTATCGGGGACGGTAGCGCGGAGGAACGAGAACCCTTCGCTCGTGTACTCGAGCGCTGCGCGGAACTGCGCATATTTTGGGCGTTCGGCTGCGCTGACTTCATGCCTATGCCAACGCCGGGGCGCACGTACGCGCTCACACACATCCACACCGGCTTGATCTTTGACAGCGACTGTACTGCCGCCACATTTTCGGCGTGGATAGACGCCGCTCCAAATCTCCGACACTATAGCTGCACGCACACTACCCCTCAGGCGGAGGAGGGTATATGCCATCTCGAGGCGGCCGCGGCCGCGACGCACCTCGAGACGCTCGAGCTGACTGAATGGGGGGACCAGGCGGATGAACCGACGGAAACTTGGGACCTCAAACGCATCATGTCAGCGCTGCCTCGGAACCTGCGGATCGCGCCGTATGGTACTTATCCGGAAAACGCCCTGTATGCGCATGCCATCGGCGACGACCTCAGAGAGTGCGCGCGGCTGGCGGGGCGCGAAGATCTAGAGGTCCTGAAGCACAATTACAACTCACGTGCAAACGACGAGGGTTTGATGGAGCGCCCGATGCTCTGGGACTGGCACGAAGCAATCAAACCTCTTTGCTACGCGTAAATACGTTGTCTGTGTTTCGTTTCGTAATCCCAGACGACTTAGACGACTTCCCAGACAAGTTCCCAGACGTCCAGACGCCGCCGCCGCCGACGCGCCAAAAAGAAAAGGATACCAATAATAAGCAGCATTATTCTTCTAAATGTCAGGGGGGAGGCCAGAGGACTAGGACGCGTTCTCGCCGTCCTCCTTGCGGCGCATGTAGCCCGCGCGGCCGCGGGCGCGCGAGTCGTCGCACTTCGAGGCCTTGAGCTTGCCCGCGAAGGCGTGGATCTCGTGGAAGCGCTTGCAGCCCTTGCACCACTTGAAGTAGGCGCCCGTGGGGTTGTGCTTCCAGGTCACCGTGTCGCAGACCTTGCAGACGTCCTTGTTCTGCGTCGGGATGACGACGCGGTCGTCGTCGGCCGGCGGGTCCTTGCCTTTCGTGGGAGGCCGGCCGCGCTTCCCGCACATCACACAGCTGTGCGGCGCGCCGCGGCCCTTCGTGCGGTTGAAGTTGATCACCTGTGCGGAAATCAAATTTACGGCGCGTTCGTCGCGTCGACCTCCACGCCATCGACGCGACGCCAGCGCGGCCACGTCATCGCCGAGTGCACCCGACACACGGGTTGATTTCCACACCGTTGCTCACGGAGTCGTAGGACGGCGCTTCTTGGGTAGGAAAGCTATCTAAAGGCGGCAAGTCCTTCAGGTCGATCGTCGTCGAGCAGCCTCTATGCTTCCCAGGAGACGTGACCGGCGGCGCCGGTGGCGGTCGAGGAGCAGGCGCAGGCCTAGGCGCCGCGGCCCGCGCTCGGTCGGCGATGGACCCCTGCCTTCTCAAGCGCTGCACCTCGGCGCGCGGCCGGATCGGCGAGCCCACGTTCGGCGTCGGCGTCGTGCCCAGGCTATTCTCCATCTCGAACTCGAACCCAGGCATATCATCAGCCTGGTCTATTAGAGCCGCGAACGGCGCGAACTCGGCCGGCGGCGACGGGCGGTGCGCCCGTGCGCCCGGCGCGGAGAGGCGCCTCGGTACGCCTCCACCGCCGAACGGCGGCGAGTGTCGCCCCTGGAAGCTGTTGCGCGCGCCCAAAAAGGACGACGCGCCGTCGTAGGAGCCCATGAGGTTGCCGCCCGACGATCGCATCTCCGCCGCGGCGATGGCCGCGGCTTGCGCGACGCTTTCGTCGTGGAACGAGTAGCCGGAGACGGGCTGGCGCATATTATCCAAGAGTGAGGCCCCTCGAGGCGAGGCGAGCGTCTGGTTCCGCCCGCCGAAGGACGTCGAGGCGACGTCGTCCAATGACATCATATGTTGGAGCTCATGTTCTAACGAACGAGCCGCGGGCGGCGACCGCGCCGTCGGGAAGGGCGCTTCTCTATTAGCTACTCGGTCGAGCGCCGTCTCGAGGTCGGACTTTTGTGCTAACAAAGCGTCCTTGAGATCTCCTTTTTCCTTGCTATCGATATCTCCGCGCTGCTCCATGGCTGTGAGTGTCTTTAAACGCTCGGCAGTCGCGCCGCGCTCCTTCGACAGCCTTGCTGCTAGGTAGCCGACGGAGCCGTCGGGGTTCAGGACGCTGTCCGGGGACTCCTCGTCGAACGACTGGACTAAGGGATTGTTCTCGGCGTTGCCGAAGATGGAGCCGGGGCTCTGGCCGGGGCGGATGTCCATGGAGGCCGCGCCGCTTCGTGGGCGTCTCCGCGGCGCGCGTTACCGGGCGCCGCGGGTGTTGCTTTTCGGCTGTGGGCCTGCTGGCGCGACCCACGTCTCCGCGCCGCGCGTTGCTGGGTCGCGCGCGGGTGTCGTTCGGCTGTGGCCGGCTGCTGAAGAACTTTGCAGTCTGTGGTTTCGCCTCGGTTCAGCCTTGTTTCTCGCGCACAGCGCGAACCGACAGCGAATGGTGTTCGGCCAAGGGCACCGGCGCTGCTCTGTGTTTTATAGCGCCGCGCCGAAGGGCAATAAGCGCTCTCGGTCTGCGGAGCCGCAATTGACCTCAGTTATGACGCCAAGAGCCGTCCTTCTCCTTTCTACTGCGCCTGCACGACTGGCCCGGTCGTTTCAAGACGAATGGAGCCCGAGGTTCGTGAAAAACCCGTCCTGCTGCAGCCTCAGCAGCTGCTCTGGGCTGGAGCGCCGTGCGTGGGCGGGCAAGCGCTACAGGCATCACCGGCGATCTGTAACAGCGCCAATTGAGCCGCGGCGTGAACGCTGTCATCGCTCGCTGCGTTGCTCGCGCGCTGGAGTACTGAGAGCATTAACAGAGAGCATTGCTTTGAGACGGCGCAGCGGTGCGAGCGCTTGCGAAACGCCTCGGAAAAACTTTAAAAACAGGAGCACGCGATGGTCAAAGGCAACTGGGAGCGCCGAGTAGAACGAGCAGCAAAACAAAAAGCGGCGAAACGGGACGCCGCGGCAGCAAAAGCCAAGGGCCAGCTCGTCGACCCCCTGGACATCCTGAACGCCATCTTCCTCAAGGACCCCGACGCGAGCGTCTGGGTCGCAGGGCAAGGCAATAAGCTCTGCGCGGCGTACTTTCGAAATGGCGACTGCCCGAACCGCCGCTGCAAGTGGAGCCACGCCGAGACCCTCGCGCCCTGGAGCCCGTCCGCCACCGACGCGACGACGGAGCCGCCGCTCGAGCAAGTGCCGACGGTCGCCGCGCGGCTCGACGGCGTCGTGCCGAAGGCGGAATACAACAGCGACTCGGTTCTCGCACCGGTCCCGGAGGGCGTCGTCGCGCGCGTGCTCGACTGGTGCTCGGCCTATCGGGCGGGCGCCGCGGCGGCGACGTGCAGGGCGCTGCGGCGCGCAGTATCCTTGTCCGTTGGTGTCCGCGCCCAGAAGGACGCCGCGCGGCCCCGCTTGCTCGCGGCGCGGCGGCGGCGCGTCCTACGAATGGCGAGAAGCGTCCGGTTCGCCGGCGCGACCGTAGACGGCCGCCGCGCGCTCGCCTACGATGCGGAGCAGCCCGACGTCTTCCGCGCGTTCTCCCGGCCGGCTCGGAGCCTACCGCGGCCCGCCCGCAAGAAGGCGCCGGCGGCGCGGCCGTTCAACAGTTTACTAGGGGAGGCCGCGGCGGCGCGCGCGGTCGCGGCGGTCATCGGCGCGCTGCCCGACGCCGGCGCGGCGGCGGTCGCGGCGACGTCGAAGCGCCTCCGGGCTCTGACAAAGGCCGACGACGACTACCGGCGGCGGCGGCGGCGGGGCCTCGACGCGCGGACCTGTGTCCTTCGTGAACCTACACGCCATCGAGCAGACGTTGGGTGCCTGACATTTGAGTTCCACGCAGGCGCGGACCGCGCAGCGAAAGAAGAAGGGGAAGCGCCGCCAGGGCAAGGACACGCGGAAGAAGGACGAGTTCGCGCGCGGCCAATGACGGCTCCCGCGCGGCGCCGCCGACGCGACTAGTGTGTAAGAGAGGTAACGTATTAATACAGCGGGGAACGACTCCGAATCTACTCCCCGTAGCGCTCGTTGACCCAGTCGAAGGCCGGCTGCGTCATGAGGACCTGGTCCGCCCAGAGCATGTCCGAGACCGTGATCTCGTCCTGGAGGCGGAGCTCGCAGTTCGGCAGGTTCGCGGCGCTCTTCTCGAAGGTCGCGTCCTCCGTGTCGTAGACGAGCACCGTTTTGGCGTCCGCATCTAAGCCCAGACCGCTGAGCATGGACACGACGTTCTTCGTTTTGGGCTCCGAGAACTTCCCCGCGATCGAGTCGACGACGGTCACTCTAGAAGCTTTGTTCTGGATCGCGATGCCGATGGCGAGCTCCGCCTCCTTGCGGTTCATCTTCTTGTTCGCCCAGTCCTTGGGCTTCGGGCCGAAGGAGACGCCGCCGCCGACTTTTAAGGGAGACCGGATCGAGCCCTGGCGGGCCCGGCCCGTGCCCTTTTGCTTGAAGGGCTTGCGGCCGCCGCCGCGTACTTCGCTTCTCGTTTTGGTGGACGCCGTGCCGGCTCGCGCGTTGCGCCGCTCCAGCACGTACTTGCGGTGGACGACGTACATGTCCTTCTCGCCCTTGGTCACCTTCAGGTTCAACGTAGCTGTCCCCGCGTCGCCTCCATCGAAGGTCTTGACGGGTACGTCGGCCGTCGCGCTTGCAGCTAGCGCTGTTGCCCTCGCAGGCCTCGCCGGGGGCGCCATCAACGCGGCGGCGCCCGTGCAAAGCAGCGCAACGGCCGCTCGCCTCATCATCTTGTCTACCGACACGCCTTGCGTGCCAGCGGCTGTAGCGGTGCTTTAGGCCTCGCCCTTGCTGCTCTGCGTCGATTGAAGGTGTACGTCCGCGCTTGTTTCGATGTCCGAAGGCGTCCTAGAGCTCTCCTCGAGCCTTGTCCTGTCCGTAGCAGCGCGGAAACACCTCGCTTTCCGTTTGGTGCGGGTTTTTCGGCTGATGGCTCCAAAACAAGACTAACCCCGCAAAAGCACTCCACACGGCTCGCGAGCAACCTCAACGAGACCGCCTCGCACCCTGGAAAAGAAGAACGCGTCCCACCCGAACCAAAGCCGCGCCGCGCGAGGAAAGATAAAACAAGAATCAAGATTACAAAGCCGCCGCCACGACGACAGCAGGAACCGCCGCCGCCCGCGCGAGACTATGCGCCGAGCCGAGCGCGCAGGTCAGTAAACCAATAGCACCAAGCTGGTGCGCCGCGGCGAGCTCGATCGGGACCACATACAGCAAGGTAGCGACACCCAACGAAGCCTGGCCGACCACAGCCAAAGCCCCCGCCGCGACGAAGCGCCGCGTGACAATTGGTAGAGCATGCCAAGCCCCGGACCGAGCCAGAGCGAAGAGGCCCGTGCCGCTCAGCGCGGTACCATAAGCCAACATCCTATGGTCGAACTGGACGCAAGCCGTGTTCTCGAACATGTTGCGCCACAGCGGTTGCAATTCCAACAAGTCGGGCGGCACGAAGGTCGCCTCTCCACCGACGTCCCGATCGTCGACCATGTACGGCCACACATTAAACGCCATGCCCGCGTCGTTGCCGGCGACGAAGGCTCCGGAGATTGCTGTGACCAAGGTCAAACAGGCGGCGCCTCGCGCGATTGGTGTGAGTTTGGCCGCATGTTTTACACCTTCTGAAACCGCTCTTTGACCTCCCAGCTGCTCCAAACCGCACCAGACCAATCCCGAATAAGTAATGAAGGCCATGGTCAGGTGCGTCGCCAGTCTGTACGGCGACACCCTGACGTCTTGTTTTTGGCGCTCTGGGAGGAGATCTTTGTTAAGTCCCGACCTCACCATCCACCAGCCGATTAAACCTTGGGCGCCGCCCAATCCTAATAACGCCATCGCGCGAGGTTTCAGCCACGGCGTCAACCGACCTCTTGACCAAAAGTAGGCCAAGGGCAAGCCAAAAGCCAGTCCCACAACCCTCCCGAGCATGCGATGACCGTACTCCCACGCATAAATGTACTTGAATTCCTCAAGAGTCATTGATTGTCTTTGTTGCCACTCCGGGTAGAGCTTGTAGCGGGCAAATTCCCTCTCCCAGTCAGCCCTGTTCATAGGTGGCAAACCTCCTTGCAGCTTCCAGTCCGTCATGCTCAGGCCGGATCTGGTTAGTCTCGTTAATCCACCAACGGACACCATGCCCGCCACGAGCCCGCCGCAGCCGAACAACCAGTACGCGACGGCCCTGTCGCCGGCGACGGCCGCGGGTGGCGCGGCCGCTTTGGGGAGCGCGAGCGAGAGGCTTCTTCGCGCCGGTGGTGCTCTCGTGAAGCTTGTTGAGGGTGGTCGGTAGGCGCGGACGAGCGGCGCTCGCCGCGGCGTCAGCGTCCTGGGAGCGCCGCTGAGCAAGCCTCTTCTAAGCGCAGTACGCATCATTTTGGACCGGGCCAGTTGCGCTGCGACTCTTGGAAGGTCCAAATGAGCACTACAGCGCGTCAGATTGTGCGTAGGCGTGGTGTACGCGGAACACGGCAGTCGAGCTTGTAGCTTCCTAGTGTGTTACAGACCGCTAGCTCGAGATTGACCAAAGCGCGTCTTTGCCTGTACGCCATCGCCGAGCACTGCAAACTCGCGCAGAGCATCACTCTCAAGCGCTCTTCCCTCGCTCACAGCGCTGCGCCCAGTAGGTGACGCTGAAGCCCTTTGTTGCGGCACCTCGCCAGCACTTGCGTACCGCGACCGCGTCCGCTCACGCAAGCATTGGTGGCGAAGAACTCCGTGGCGAAAACGGACAACGCATCGGACCTCTAATCCGCAACTATGGCTGACAACTGGGAGGACGACGCCGCGACCGCGCCGGCCGGCCGCAACGAGACTTTGAGAAACCAATTGAAGCGCATCGACCTGAGCGAAAAGACGCTCAAGATGTTCGAGGCCGACGAGGTCGACCTCCAGCTGTTGCTCGACCTCGACGCCGAGTCCCTGGCCGAGGTCGAGTTCCAAGCGGGCGAGCGGGAGCGCCTCGTCGAGTGGCTCAAGGCCGTCCGGGCGCTCAAGGGGCGCTGCGCGGAGCTCGATAAAGCAATTCCTTAAGTGCACACTAGTCGTCGCCGGCGTAGGCGAAGCCGCGGAACGCGTCCTGGACGACTCGCCTGGAGGACGAGTCGTCCTCGTCCGACTCGCCGTCGTCATTTAATGGAGGCAGCTTTCCCGAAGAGACGCACTTGACGCCGGCGGGCGTCTCCACCAGATAAGGTTTCAGGACAGGCGCGTGCGGCGGCGCCACCTCCTTGCGCTCCATTTTTGACCAATCGACGTCAGCGAAGAAGGCATGAGACCGCAAGGCGTCGCTCCCGAACCTCTCTCCGGAAGACTTCTTCAGCAAGCCCTGGACCGCATCGTTGCATTCGACGCCGCACTTCATTATAAGGGAAGGCGGCTCCTCTCTGAGAATAGCGCAGAACATGTCCCGCGGTCGGTCCCGCGAGAAGGGCGGCTTGCCGCTCAAGAGCTCGTGGAACACGCACCCAAGAGCCCACCAGTCGACGCCATCATCATACGGTTCGCCTCTGAGTAACTCCGGAGCCATGTAGTCGATCGTCCCGCAGAAGGACCGTCGCCGCGGCGTCGCCGGCGTCTTGGCACCTTTCTTCTTGTGGGGCGTCTTCATCGTCTCGGAACAGGCCGCGGCGATGCCGAAATCACATAACGCCACATGTCCTTGTCTATCGACGAGCACGTTCGCCGGCTTGAGGTCGCGGTGGACGACGCCCTGCGCGTGGAGGTAGGCCAGCGCCAGCGCCAATTCGACGACGTAGAAGCGCGCTCCTTCCTTGCTTACGTCGTGGTCCCTCCGGAACTCCGTCAAACAACCACCGCAGTAGAAATCTGAGAGAAGATACAGCCTCGTCTCCGTCTGGAAGGACAGCCGCAGCCGCGCGACGAAGGGGTGCCGGACCACCCTCAAAACGTCTCGCTCCAACCTCGCCTGGGACCGCTGGCCGCCCTTCAGGAGCTTGTGCTTGTCGAGGACCTTCATCGCGTAGTTCCGCCCTTGGTCCGGGGCGAGCTTCTTTTCGACGAGGTAGACGACGCCGAAGCCGCCTCGACCTAGCACGCGCCTCCGCTCGAAATCCGTAGGAGCAAAAGGCTGCTCGCTGAGGCGGCCCTTCTTTTTCGGAGCGGGCTTGCGCTTCTGTGTAGGTTCCCAGGCCCGCGGCTTACTTGATGACGTTCCGACGCGCTTCGCGACGCCTCTCCTAATTCTCGCTAATAGACCCTTCTTCTTCTTCTTTGGTTCTTCGGGCTTCTTGACGTCCTCGGAGCCGCGCTCGGAACTTCCCTCCTTGATCGTGCCGAGGGGCGTGGGCTCGAAGCGGACGCCGCGCGGCGTCCGCGGCGGCGTTCTGGGCGGCTTCCTTTGTGGAAGCGGCGGCGGCGACGTGTTCGCCGGCGCGAGGGCCCGCAGCTTCTGCAGCGCCGCGTCGCGCTCGGCGCGGGCGGCGTCGTAGTCCTGGTCGACGGCGCGTTGCCGCTCGGGCGTGTCTATCGCGGCGGCGTAGCTCGTCATTTTTGTTTGCTGATGCTTTCGAGCGCTGCGGGCGTCGCGTCGCGTAGTCGATGAGATGCGTGCGGAGAAGACGTTACTGCACCGAGCTTCGCACGTGGCGTTTCGTAGCGGCTCGTCGCCTGCCAGTCGTCGACGGCGTTGGCTGGCGGCGCGCAGCGCTCGCTGTGATGTACTAGCGCTTCGTCTGGCGTCGCGCGCGGCGCTTTTGCGCGGCGGCACTTAGTTTGCTAGCGTAATGTAAGACACTAGCGGCTTTTGGCTTGTTTTTTAATGCTCACGCGTGCAGTCCTGAATAAATAGGCGTCGTGAGCACAAGATTATAAGCCGACGACTGTCAACAAATGCTCGCAAGCCAGAATCGGGGCCGCAGTGAGGCGTAACTGCTCGGTCACTGACTCACTGTCGAGTCAATTTGAGCCTGATGTTTGCCCTCATCCTCGCCGGCCTCGCGGTCGCGCACGTCTCGGGACGCGCCGTCGTCGAGGTCGACGCGAAAGGCGGCTACGGCAATCAATTGTTTGAGTTCGCGTCGTGCCGCGCGCTTGCATTGAGAGCCGGCGCGGCCTTTCGCGCCGACACGCAAGGCAAATACGCCGGCGTCTGCCTGACGCACGACCATATTGACGGATGCGGGCTCCCAAAGCCCGCCACCTACCGGACGGTGCCTCTGAAGGGCTCGCGGAGCTGGTGGGACGGCCGTCGACATGAGAGCGAGGTCCAGACCGTTCGTCGAAGTGTGAACACCAACAGCCTATTCCAATGCTCGGGGTATCGGCAGAGCGCGTCGTACTTCGCGAACGTGCCGTCCGTCTCCTCAAAAATCAGGGGCGAGCTCGGGCGCTTCACCGAGACTATTATGGAGAAGGCGTCGGCGCTCTGGGAGACCTCCATCCAACCCATCGGCAAGGAGCTCGCCGGAGGCGATATAAAATACGTGGCCCTCTACCACCGCCGCGGCGACGCCTACAGCAGTACCGAGAGGAAGAACCCCTACCGCTTCTGCCTACCCGGCGAAGATTTCTACAAGAACGCCGTCATGGCGTTCCGCGAGCGCTACGGCGGGAGCGGCATCCTCTACGTGACCTCGAGCTTCCACCGCGAGAATGAAAATGATATGCTGGCCCGGGCGGTCGCCCTAGAGCCGACGTGCCTGGCGAGGCCCTGGGCCGCGGCGTGGGAGCTGTACGTCGCACACGCTTCGACGCGGGGCTACGCGGCGCACCTCGTGCCGCGGCCGTGCGCCGAGAAGCTCTCGGGGTCGTGCCTGCCGGCCGCGTGCGCGGAATAAGTTTTGAGACTACAACTGCTCCATCCCCACGCCATCGACGCGACGTTGTCCCTGTGACTGTGACTGCTCGATGGCGTGGTGCCTGACGAGACTAAAAATCAGTTATGCGTTCGTCAGGTCCACCGCCGCCTCATTCATATCGACGTATCCCCAGCGCGCCAGCACGCCGAGGTCCCATGCCGACGAGTCGCGCCAGCGCTTCGAGACGCGCGCGACGGCCTGGATCGTGTTGTGCACTGGCACGCCCCGCAATTCTAATCGTCGATAGCACACGGGGCAGCAGAGTAACGACGCGCTCGCGAGGTCGCCCGCCGTCTCGATCGGGTTCAAGGCGCACCTCGTGTGCGCGCAGAGCGGCAATCCCACGGCCCGCAGTGCCGCGTGCAGGATGATAGCACACGCCCCTCGCGCCGCCAGCTCGAAGCCCGGCCCAAGGTCCAGAAAAGACAGCACGCGCGTGCGCGGCGTCAGCGACGTGACGATGCGCCCGCGGTTCCCCTCATCTACAATACGCCCCCCCGTAACCACGACCCTCACGGAGTCGCCGGGCGGCTCCTCGACCCGAAAGCTCGCGACGTTCTGCGCCTCGCCCACCGCGAGGCCCGGGATGTGCCGCCGCGCCAGCGTGATCGACGACCCCGGTCCGAAGTACGCACTCAAAAACTGGGCCCCGATCGTCGCGCAGCCCCACAAGATCTGGTCGACGTTGCCCCAGAGCTGCGGGTCCTCGCTCGCGTTGCCGTGCGCGTAGGCCACCGTGACGCTTGTTTGGGAGAGCGGCGGCTGGCGCTCCCGTTCCAACCGGTCCGCGACGGCCGCGGCGCCGGCCGAAAATGCGCTGGTCAGGCCCTCCGTTTCTAACCTCCTGAGCGCTGCGGCAGGTAACACGGGCAGCGGCAGCGGGCCCTCCTCCTGCTGCTCATCCTCGTGGTTTTCATTGAAGAAGGCGCACCGCTCCTGGTCGCGCGACCGCGGCGGCAGGCGCGCGCTTCGCCTTAATCTATCCGTCGCGCGGGCCGCCTCGGGCAGCCAGACGGCGTGGCGCAGCCAGGCCAGGGGCCGGCCGCCGCGCATGCCCGTCTTCGCCCACGGCGCGAGCGCGAACCAGCCATCTAATGCCGTCGTGCGGCCGCGCGCCGTCGTGACGGCGCCCTCGTCGTCGAGGACCGCCCTTCGCCAGTTATCGAGGACGAGGAGGTAGCGCGCGTAGTAGCGCGCATATATACATCGTTCGGCCCGCGTCGACGGCCGCAGCCACTGGCTCGGCGCCCGCAAGGCCGGCGGCGGCAGGATCGGGTCCCAGCGCGGATCATCTAAAGCGTTCTCGCGCCAGGGCGTCGAGACGAGGAGCGTGTGCAGCAGACTACTGAGAGGCGCGAACTCGAAGAGCTTTTTCAAGCAGTCGTCGGGTAGCCGTGCGGAGTGGTGGCTCCTTCGTTTTGGTTTCGGCTGCTGCGGCGGCGGCGTCCGGTCCAGCTCCATTGTAGTGCTCTTGTCCTCCCAGTGTGCAGGCAAGCAACGGTGGGGCGTCGCGACGCAGGTGCGTTTGCAAGTGGCCGGGGGGCGTGTGCAACGAGCGTGGCCAGCCCTGGGTACGCGAGCAATCCCTACAAAAGCTGGTGGCGGAGCTCGAGTTAGCTAGCGGTATGTAACACACTAGCATTATCATGCAATCGAGTGCAAGTGAATACCGCGGCGCAAGCGGACTTAGCAATGATGAAAACCCTCCACCAGTAAGCCTACGGCCAGTTTCTTTGAGAGCTGCTGCGTGTGGCGCTGAAACAAGCGAGGGACACAAGCTGCAAGGCTGCCAGCTGACAATGCGCATGCCCCCAGTCGTGGCCAGTCGCCTGCGCGCAACCGACGTGCGCCACTTCGCGGGCGACAGCACGTTTCACCAAGTGGCGCGGGCCGTCTGCACCGCGGACGCAGCGATCGCGCGAAAAGAGCTGCCCGAATGCTGGGCCATGGCCGAACGGATCCACGACGAGTTCTGGCGATCAGAGCCGCCGCGGCGCGTCGTTGACGTGGCCGCGGGCCATGGTCTCCTGGGGTGGTTTCTTCTGGCGCTCTGCTACCAAGCTCGCGCGCCTCTTCCGGTCGTCTACGCCGTCGACGAGCGCATGCCGTCGTCGGCGGGGAAGATCCGAGACTCCTTTGGCGAGGCCTTCCCGCGGCTACGGGCGCAGCACCGCTACATCGTCGGCGACGCGCGCGATGTCGAAGCCACGAGTGATACGCTCGTGGCGGGCCTGCACGCCTGCGGCGGCCTGTCTGATATTGTGATTGACGTCGCCCTCGAGGGATCGTCGGCGCTCGCGCTCGTGCCTTGTTGCCACTCTACGAAAATCTCGCACGACGCTGCAGCGGCGGCGAAAGTGGGCCTCGACGAGGCGATCGATGCGGCGCGCGCGCGGCGTCTCGCGGCGGCGGGGTGGGCCGTCGAGCGCGATGTGTTGTGCTCGCGGGAGATCACGCCCAAGAACGGCCTCATCCTCGGGAGGCCTCCCTCCGTGTCCGTCGGGGAGGCGAGGCCGCTCTACCCGCGGTCGCTGCCGCCGTTGTCGTTTGGGTGGCGGGGAGTTGTGCGAGGTAGTTGATAATGTTTTATTTCATAAAGATGTTCCTGAGGCATACCGCAGCGGATTCGTCGCTTCCTAGTGTCTTAGATGCCGCTAGCTCGAGCCTCTCTGAAAAAACGCGACAGCTCTCGCTGAGGGAGTAGCTCCGCGATACGCGTTCGATAGTTGGTTGCTGCGGCTTGGCTGTACGCCATCGCTGCGGGTCGGCTGCACGCAACCGTGCGAAGCCGGAGCAAGTAAGGCAAAGAGAGGCTTGCACTCCGAGGCTGCACGCGCAACATGGATGCCATCTGCGGCGCCACAGAAACAAAACCGGACTGCGCCTACATCGGCCAGCGCTACGCCGGCGCCGAGAAGTACCTGGGCGGCGCGAGAGGCCCAGATGGAACTATATACGCTGTGCCGGGCCACGCGCTTCGAGTCATGGAGATCAATACGAGAGGAGAGACGCGGTTGGTCGGGCCCGAGCTGCCCGGCAAGTTTAAATGGTTAAGAGGCATTTTAGGGAGGGACGGCGCGTGTTATGCTATTCCTTGCCACGCGGAGCAGGTGCTGCGGATCCGACCCCCTCTGCCAAACGAAACGGAGCCGCGCGTGGACCTGGTCGGGCCCAAATTGCCAGGGCTCTGGAAGTGGCACGGCGCCGTGGAAGATCCAAAAACGGGTTTAATTTACGCGATCCCGCAGACGGCGATGAAGGTTTTGCGATTAGCACCGGCGGGATGTCTACGAAACAACGCGGAACCACAAGTAGATCTCATTGGACCGGACCTCCCAGGACGGTGGAAGTTTTATGGAGGGTTATACTCACATACAGCCAAAGCAATTTATGGCATCCCGGCCTGCGCCCCTGGTGTATTAAGGATAGGCCTGCCCGACGAAAAAATAGAGGTCATCGGCGACCTCCCGGAGGGCGGCTGGAAGTGGCACGGCGGCTGTACCACACAAGACGGCCAGGTCTGGGGCATTCCCTCGAATTCGCTTAGTGTCCTGCGCATCTCTCCCCACCCGGACGGTGATGTCGTTTCTACGATTCCCGGACCGGATAACAAGCCATTAGTAGGAGGGCAACACAGGGACGACGACAAATATAAATACTTGGGAGGGGTGGTCTCCCCTATCGACGGCTGCATGTACTGCATTCCGAGTGATGCGGATAGAATACTGAGGGTCGACCCGTCCACGGCTTCCTGTTCCTACGTCGGCCGCGACCTGTCGGATATAGCCAAGGGGCAATCTAGGGGTCAGAACAAGTGGCAGAACGGTTTCGCTGGTCAGGACGGCTGCATCTACGCGATTCCCCTGAAATGTGAGCGCGTGCTGCGGATTGACCCTTCCAAAGAAGACTGCGCGTCATTGATTGGAGGGCCCTTCGAGGGTTTGAATCTCTGGGAGGGCGGCGTCGAGGGGAACGACGGCGCGCTCTACTGCATGCCGCTCAAGTGCGATAGGGTGATGCGCATCGCGCCGGCGGGCTGCGAGCCCCTTCCTTCCAATAGGTGTACGGTATCCTAGTTAATTTGTTTCGTCGCACGTCCATGGAGCGGCGCACTTAGCGACGCGTCGCCGCGACGAAGTCCGCGACGGCGTCCACGGGGGCACCCGGGTACGCCATCGCCGCGACGACGAGTGCGACTAGACCTCGGGAAAAGCTTATGCCTTCGCCCCCTTGGCCTCCGCATTAGCCCCTCTCCGCGCGGCCAGCATGACCTCCTCGATGTTGTCGTGGATCGCGTCGACGTGCGCGTGGAGCGCTTCGAGCCAGTCGCAGTGCGGCGCGTTTTGTTGCGTCAAATCCTCCCTCCTACCTTTGAGCTCCTCCTGGGCGGAAGGTGAGGACACCTTGCAGAGGAAGTCCATGGGATATTTATAACTCTCCGGATCAGCTATCCTACTGTCAAAGTCGAACCTATCCACATCCATGCCCTTGTCGAGTTCGTCCCGTAAATCTTTCCGCTGCGGCGTCATCTCGCCTAGTCTAACTTTCAGTAACGAGTACTGTTCGCGAACAACATCCCCAGAACAGCCATCAGTCAACTCCGCTTTCCTCGTGTCTCGCAAACGTCGCCTTTTATTCCCGCGCTCCTCCAGCTGCCGGTACATCCTCCTTTCCCTGCGCGGAGCATCGCGGTCGCTCGACTCGGTCCGAATGGCCTCAAACTCGAAAAAGAAACCACCCACGACCTCGTCTGATGGACACGAGTCGCGTCGATGGCGTGAAGGCACCGCAGCGCTGCGGGACGCCGAGATCGCACCTAGCCTTCATGATCATCATCATCCGGAACGTCTCGTACTCCGCCAAATTCATCACGGACTCCAGCAAGTACTCGAGCCCGATCGGCTGACTGAAGAGCATCAAGCCATTGCCTGTAGGTTTCTTCTTCTTTGGTACTGCTTTGGACTCCTTCGCTTCCGATTCATCGACTTCTACTGTTTTGGCCGAGGCGGTACTATCATCATCACCTTTGGCGTCGTCCTCGGTCCCCTTGGCGCCGGCCGCCGCCTTGTCGCGCTGCTCCAACCCGAGCCGCATCTGCGCAAAGAGCGCGTTCATCTCCTTCATCATCTGGTCCCGGAGCTTCTTGTCGTGGTCTACCGCTTTTTGCACGTCCGTGAGAACACCTTGCGCGTCCGCATAACCGGCAGTCCGCGCGAACCCGTCCAACCGCTCGTTGATCTGTTCCAGGTATTGGGTAAAAACCGCATGCTGCTCCAAGGTTTCTCCTTCCCCGGCCGTGATCTTTTTGAGGTCCTCCTCCTTGTAGTCCCAGAGCACGCAGTGTGTCTCAAAAAATCCACTCATTTCTTCGTGGACGACTTTCATGGCAAAATTCAGCAGGTCGATGACGACCTTCGACGGGGGTTCTTCTTCTTTGGCGTCCTTGGCCTCTTCCTCTGATCCTTTGGCCTCCATTGCTGAAGCTCCCGCGTCTGCGCGATGGCGTCTGGGTGTTGTATAGGTGTACGGGGTGGCTGCCGTGCTGGGGCTGCCTCCTTAGTGGAGACGTTGGCCGAGCGATGTCGTGACGTCGAGGCGCTATGCTCTTCGAGGTATAGGCACCTGTGTTCGCGTCCCAGGCTGCCGGCAGGCCAGGAGCTCCTTCGAAATCAGGCAGAGGTTCGGGTTCGTGCGGCGTGCTTTGTCGCGGAGCGATCTCGGGCGTGGTCCGGGTGCCCGCATGACGTGCCTGGAGGACTCGTGCAACAGAATAGCTAGCGGTCTAAGATACTAGCAAGCACCCCTGGGATACCCCTGGGCCATTGTGAGTGCGCTGGCAGGGTCTCGTGCAGCCTTGCCCGAGGCAATCACTGCATTTTCGACATGCCTCTCAAGCGCATTGATGCGCGGCTGGCGTGCAAAGACTTTGCAAGACTCGTGAGCTGCGCTGTCATACTCTGCACCAGCACAGCCTTGCAGCCATCAGTCACACGCGTGGAGGTGAATCTGCGTCCGTCGACGCCGTCGCAGCAGCAGCCGCTGTGGGACTCGCCGCTGAGTCTGAATGATGCAGTCACACAGCAAATACCGATGCTGTCCTCCGCTCCGATCGAGACCGAGGCAGGCGAAAGATTCAGAGTGGACGTGTATCCGCGAGGAAACTCGGGAAAACGGGCTGCCGCGGTGTATCTCCGCTACCTGAGTCGCGGGAACGGCGACGACGTCGACGCCACGTTCTCGCTGGCGCTGCGCGTGAACGGAACCACCGTGCCGACCTTATCTGGATGCGGCGGCGCGGAGAAGGGCGGCGCGCCCGTGTGGCGCGGCGCCATGACCTTCTGCGGTGCTGCTGAAGCTGTGGAAAGCTGCGGCCGCGCGGCGGACTGGGGCGCGCACGCCTGGCCGGGGTGCAAAACCGGCGACGAGCCGTCGGCCGTCGTCGAGATCGCGACGTGGAGCCGGCGCTCGGGCGAGACTTCGAGCAGTTTCCGCGGCGCGCTCGGCGCAGCGGCGCGCGCGGCGGCGCCGCGTACCCGCGAACGCTTCAAGGGCGGAGAGGTGCTCGTTCCAGTAGCTAGGAGCGATGCTGGCGCCGCCGCGCTCGAAAAAATGGGGCTCGCGACGGGCGGCGAGTACCGCGTCATGCGTCTGCTACGCGATGACGAGGACGTCTTCTATGCCGACGCGACCGACCACAACCTCACGGCGAAGCTACGACCGGCGATGGGGGCCATGGATCCCATGTGGCCGGTCACGGTCCCGCTCGCGCTCGACGGCGTCGAGTGGCTGACGCGCTTCGACGCGCGTTCGTTTCCGGCCCGAGTCACGCGGGAGCTGTCCCTGTCCGCGGCCTCTGGCGGCGACGCGGCGCGGGGTGGCGCAATATTAATTGCGTGGCTTCTGTCGGCGGTGGCGCCGATACCCCTCGTGCTGCTCGCGCGGACGTTCGCGTCGCTCTACGTGATACCGTCGGAGAGTATGGTCCCAACGTTACAGAAGGGCGACGTCTTGCTCGTAGCGAAGTCAGGGCTACGCCGCGGCGCGCCGCCGGCCGTCGGTGACCTGATCGTGTTCAATCAACCTCCAGCGCTTCGGGCTTTAGTCGGAAAAGAGGTCAAAGCGGGCGACCAGTTCGTCAAACGCGTCGCTGGCGTCGGCGGCGACGCGCCGTCGTTCGACGCACGGCGGGTGCCGGCTGTATGTAACTCGCCGTCGGACTCACTCGCGCGCGCCATCACGGAAGGTGCCAGGGACCGCGGCGACCGCCCCGTCGCGCCCGGCGCCGTATTTGTACGAGGCGATTGTGACGGGAAATCCGTCGACTCGCGGGTTTTTGGAGACGTCGACGCGAGGTTTGTCGTCGGGAAGCCGTTGTACCGCGTGTGGCCGCTTGGAAGGACGGGGCCCGTGAATTGAGTAATGTTCAAGTGTGCTTACGCCTATCAGAGGAGCCCCGCGACGACCTTCTCGACGGCCGAGATCTCGAGCACGGTCATGGCCTGGTACTTCGCGTCGAACTCCGCGAAGGGCAGCAAGTTGTCGGCGTGCGACGGGATGAAGGGGTGCGCCTCGAAGTTCTTCTCGCGCAGGAACCGCTCCAATCTAGAAGCTAATTGAGCTTTGCTACCGACGTTGGCCAGGCCCGCCGCCGCACACAGCTTCTTGAGATTGCCGACATTGGCGCCGGCGGCCACGCGCCGCGTCAGCCGCAACACGTTAAGTATCTCGTTGTCCGTAAACGGCTCCGGCTCGTCGTCCGGCGGCGGCGGCGGCTTTTTTGTAATCTTGGGCTTCTTGTCTACTGGTACCTGATACATGGGCGGCGGTGGCATGGCCTTCCGCTTCTTCTGCGCGGCGTCGACCCTAGCTGCCGCTCGCTTGGCCGCCCTTTCATCACCACACACCCTTGCTTTCAGTTCTCCCAAGCTCAAAGTCTCTTGGCCCCGCGATTGGTCGTCATAGACGACGTGGTAGGCGGCTCGCGCCTCGTCCGCGTTTTCTTGAGCAGTTCCAGCATCAAATAAAGCTACTCTAGCGAAGGCCATCACGCTCGGCCGCCCATCCAGGAACTTCTCCCCGATCAACTGGTCACAAGACTTGGCACAAAAAGCAACTTGGTTATCGTAGAGATCCCGCTGCTTCTTTGCGCTTTCATGAAAAGGTTGTTTGTCCTGATCCGACAGGGCCTTCCATTCCGCACCGGTGACCTTGGCAAAGTCCGTGACCTTCTCGTCGGGTTTTTGCGCTTGGTGCTTGGCCCGGAAGTAGAGCATGTAGGCCGATAACCTGCGCGGAGCATCAAAATCGGAAACAAAACCACCCACGGGATCGTGTGTTAGATACGAGTCGTATCAGTGAAGTGAAGGCACCGCAGCACCTCAAAACGCGGAGATCGGACGGTTTCGTGGGCGTGACGTCGTGCATCCGTCCCCCTTGCGCCTCGAACAACCGGACGGCCTCATCATAATCTTCCTTCGCGCCCTTGGCGAGCTCGTCCCACCTTCTACGCGCGTTGGCGTCCATGGCCTTCCAGCGCTGGCCTGCGCGAATCGCGGTCTCGACGCGGTCCGAACCGGCTCAAAATCTCTCAAAAAACCACCCACTTCCATCATTCCTGGAGACGAGTCGTATTGAAGAAGTGAAGGCACCTCCACACGACGGGACGCCGCGATCGTGCCTAACTGCCTCGACAGCATGTTGTTGTCGACCTTTTCTCGGTCCGGCGCGGCATCGAGCGCCGCCTTGCGCTCCGCGTCGAAGAAGAAGTGGTAGGCCGTCTTCGGTCTTTTGGGTTTTTTCGGTCCGGTGCCCGGTCTGGCTACTGTTTTTTTCTGTGGCGCTGGCATGGTGGCGACCGCCGCGGGTACTAACGGTGGAGCTAAGAGTGGTGCGCCTAGCGACGCCTGGACGGGCGCGGCGTAGGCGTAGGGCGAGTCCATAGTGTTGCTGGAGGCGTTCGCAGGGTCGCGGCGGCGGCGTATTGGAGATTGGTGCTAAGAGCTTCTCCGGCGCTCTCCTTTCGGCTGCTGTCGCACGGCGGCGGCGCGGCGGCTGGACTTCGCGAGCTAAAACGCAGCGGACTGTTGGGCGAGTCCGTCGGGATGGCCGGATCTTCGCTTCCGATTTGGGCTCGACTTTTAGCCCTTGGTAGGCGCACCCCCTCCTCTGTTTAGGAGCAGGGGCATTTTGGCAGGTAAAAAATTAATTCCAAAGCACCCTGAAGATCAATCGCACGCCCACGCCACCCCCTCGCCGACCCGTCAAACCGAGGGCTCCTCCTATCTCTCACGCTAGTGCGCATGCCTTGGTTGCCGGTCGCGCTGGTTTCTTAGCAGCGCTGGTCTCGCCGGTCGCCGGTCGCAGAGGCGGCCGCGGTTGCCCGGATTGACTGCTGACCCCGCACCCCACGGCCTCCCCCACGTAGACTGTGCCCAGGGCAGCACCAAGAGAGTACAGGGCAGCCTCTCCCAGGGTTGAGCAGAGCCCATCCAAACGCCATGGGCAGCGGCGCGTCCACAGAACAGGGCCAGGCGGCCCCGGCCATCATCGACGGCGAGGCCGCCATCCTGGAAAGAGCCGGCGGCGTTTTATTACCAAGAGACGACCTCTACGAGGCGCTCAAGGCAAAATTGAATGGAGCGGACCGGCCCGTCGCCGTCGTGGCACCGTCCGGCAGTGGCAAGTCGACGTTCATGGCGAATTGTGTGACACGGTTGCGGGAGGAGTACGATATAGTAAGGGCGGTTTTCGTCGGCAGCGCGGGCGGCTCGACGAACCTGGTGAGAGTGTTGAGCGAGTTGTGCGCTTCGTTGGTGCCCGCACGGAAGTCCCGTGAGAGTCTATCCGACTTGTGTACCTCGGAGAACTCCGTCGAGGAGTTGGCTGATGATGTACTTGGCCTGTCTGGGTTGCTCGAGAAAAGACTGCAAGTACTACAGGAGGAGAAGAAGAAGGTCCTCATCGTTGTGGATGCGGTCAACGAATTGGAGGGCGCCGCCGCTCTTTCCTTGGGATGGCTTCCCAGACGCAGTGGTATTGTGGTGACGACGATTCGCGGTGGGGCCAATTCGAAGGACCCGAACGTGAAAACTGTCTTAGCTGCTCTCAAAAAGCGCTTCGAGATCACGGAACCCTTGGTCGTGCCTCCTTTATCTTCTGATGACCAGATCTCCTTGTTGACGCAACTCGCGGGTAGAGCACCTACTTCCCAAGAGCAGGAGGCCCTCAAGACGAAGAAGGACGCCGCCTCGCCGCTCTACATCAAACTGCTCGCTCCAAAACTAGCGCGGGGGTCGCCCGACGGAAGCGCGTTACACCCGCTGCTCGGTGGCAAATCATTGAATCTGACGCCGCCCGCATCCAGGGAAAATAAAAGGAGGGGCGGCGGCAAGCTCAGACGTGCGGCTTCGGGTGTGATAGCAGCAAATAGAACGAGGAGCCCCGCCAAGAGTACGCGAGGCACGGATCCTGTAAGTTCAGCACCAGATACGATCCAAGCGGTCTTTGATGATCTGTTAGTAGGATTACCGGCCGACGCGGCGAAGAAGATCCTGACGGCGATCTATGTGTCTGGTGGTGGGGTGTGGGCGTCTCAATTGAGAGAGCTCGCGAGACATAGTACACTAGAAGGCTGGCTCGGGCCTCTAGTAAGGTGCGGCCCGGACGGCCGTGTCGCCTTCGTGCACCAGCAAGCGCGAGACGCCGTGCAACGGAAGTGGCTGAAGACGCCGGAGGACGTCCAGAAGGCGCATGGGATGTTAGCGGCCCACTTCAGTACCTTATACAAGTTCTCGGACCACGACCGAGAGGCGGATAAGGCACTGGAGTGCCAGATCCTGACGCGCCTGCCGCGGCACTTGATTGGTAGTAATGATGCGGAGCGGTTAAAAGATCCGGCGTTCGGCGAGAGGAAGTGCGCGGCCGGTCTGGTGGGCGACTTAGTCCACGACTTCGCGGACGCGGGCTACGAGGACTTCGCGGAGTGCGTCCGGGCGAACGCCCACGTCCTCGCTGTCGGTCGTTATGTGCCCGGGCTGTTTGCGCAACAGTTAGCTAATTCTAGAGACGATTCTACTATAGACACGAAGGAATTGCGGGCTCCCTTCCGCTGGGTCAACAAGGACCAGAAACGACCCGCTTGTTTGGGCATCATGTCGTCGCCGGCGACGCATTACTGGGCCGCGGCCTCGAGCAAGTCAGGCAAATCATTAGCGCTAGGCGGTAGTGACAAGTTGATACATATCATCGACGCCCAGGACCAGTACGAAAAAGCTCTGTTGACTGGACATCAAGACGACATCGTTTCTGTCTCATTCTCGCCGACGGACGAGGCGACGCTAGTATCTCTAGCTCGAGTCTCGCGCCACGAAAAAGCCGCGTTCGACCTTTTCGTCTGGGACGCCCACGCCGCCACGAAGCTCGCCGCCGCCCAAGGAGCCGGATCGGCTTCGGATGCAAGATGGTCTTCAGATGGGTTGTACGTCGCCGTCGCGTGTTCTGGCAGATGTGAGATCTATTCAAATAAAGCTACACTACAAAAAACGTTGAAACTTGACGGCGACGCCGCAGCGTGCTGTTTCAGTCCAACAAATCATAATGGAGACAACCAGTTCGTGGTCTGCGCCGTGAACACGCACATCCAGGCCAAATCATTAACAGGAAAGTATACGCCTCCGACCTTTGAAGGCCAGCATCCCGAAAAAGTGAACGACGTGCACTGGGCCTGCGGCTTCGTGGCTACCGCTTGTGATGATGGTTCAGTGGTATTATTCGACGAGAAGTCGGGCGCGCGGCTCGCGTACATCGAGGCGCACGAGGACATTTGTAAGAGCGTGCGCCTGACGAAGAGCCCGGGGGCGGGCATCCACCTCGTGTCGGGGGGCGAGGACCGATCAGCACGCTTATTTAGATTAAGTGGAGGCAGGTTGAGCGGCGGTAGATTGAGCCCGGACCAGGCCGTTTTAAGAGGACATAGTGCAGCGGTGGCGCACGTCGCGCACTTACCCGGTGGATCTTCTTGCTTAACAACATCAGAAGACGGGTCTTGCCGCATCTGGGACTACGCGCGGGCCTTCGGTCAAGATAAAGCCCCAGGCAGTGACAAGGGTATTGCTGCTTGCGTTTTTGTGGAAGAGCCCGCGGGGCTGATCGTCGCGGATGGTGCTGGGGTACTAAGGTTGTTCGACCCCGACGGCAAAGGAGAAGTGTGGCGTACCGAACCTTTAGAAGCGGAGCATCGCGCGATTACGGCCCTCGCCGTGGCCGAGGGCGGGGCTCGGGTCGCGGTGGCCATGTACAAGCGGGTGCACCTAAGGGAGATCGCGGGAGGAGCGGAAGCCGCACCACCACTAGTATTTGACGACTGGGTCAACTGCTGCGCCTTTGTCGGGGGTGGCGCGGTCGCGTTTGCGGGAGATGCTGCTTCAGTAAATGTGTGGGATCGAGGTAATACGATAACAATAACGCATTCGGAAGCGAAGAAGACCGACAGTGTTCTGGCCATGGCCTGCCGCATCACGGGCGACGAGGCCACGATCGCGACAGGGGACAACGACGGCCGAATAAATGTGTGGACGGAAAAGGAAAGAGAAGATACCTCTGAACGGCGCGAGTTCGAGCAGTACCGCTTTACCAAAATAGAGGGCTGGGTCGTGTCCATCTGTTTTTATGCCCATGGATTAGCCGCTTGTACATCTCTTGGTAGGGTGTGTGTTCTCGAACCTGGGAAATGTGAGGTCATCTCCATGTCCACATCGTTGGAGTGCGCCATGGCCTGGGTTGGAAGTGTAGGAGATCGGTTGGTCACGGCCTGCGAGGCGAAGCTGGTCCATGCGTGGCGGAGGCAGGGCGATAGTCTCGAGACGCTGGGTGTGGACGCGTTGTTTCCCGGCGCGGCGCGCTTCGGTTCGCCGGACGGCGTCGGCGGCCAGGGCGCCGTCGCGGGGAAGCGCATCGCCGTCGGCGACGAAAGTGGAAGGTTGTACGTGCTGGACACGGAGTTTGAACGGAGGGCCTCGTTCGACTCGCCGCCGCGCGACGCGAAGCCGCGGCACAAGTTCGTCCGTACGGATAGCGGTAGGTTATTCCTGGAGGAGGAGACGTAAGATATTTTTGTTGTATATTCCGAATCTTAGCTCCTGGTTTTTTTTTCTAGTAGCTATACTCACGCTAGCTTGCGCTGCAGAGCTGGCACGGGAAAACGCGGCGGGGTTATCGATCAGTTATCGCTCGAATAATGCAGCTGATACTCTCCGCCGCGTGCCTGGCAGCAGCCAGCGCGCTCTCTGCGACCACTCAGACGCCATCGACGCGCGTCAAGCTCCCGCACCTCAAGGCTGAGGCCTTCCGTCACCCCTTAGACAAAGACCTGACGGCGTCCGTGCAGCGCTCGCCGCTGCGGTTTCTCGAGACTGCGGTGCGGACGGGTCTTGCTCCGCCCCTCGAACAGATGACGCGCCTGGACAACCTCGCGACGGGCGTCAAGGTCAGCGAAAAACAGTATCCCGAGCTCCACGCGAGCTTCCAGGAGGCCATCGCGTGCCTCGGCGGGCTCAAGCCGGAGCCCGAATTATTTGTCAAGAGCGATCCTCGCCCGAACGCGTACACGCTGGCCCTGCGCGGTGGCGCGCCCTTTGTCGTGGTGACGTCGGCGCTCGTGGATGGGTTCTCGGCAGCCGAGACTCAGGCCGTGTTGGGCCACGAGCTCGGCCACCTCGTGTGCGAGCACTCGCTGTGGTTCTCCCTCGGGAGCATCGGCTCGACCTTGCTGCCGCCGCTGCCGGGCGTCGGCGCGGCGGCCGAGCGCCTCCAGCAGGAGTGGCGCCGCGCGGCGGAGTTTTCGTGCGACCGCGCCGCCCTGCTCGTGACGCAGGACGCCGCGGTGGTCAGCGAGGCGCTCATCAAGCTCGCGAGCGGTTCGACAAGGCCCGTCGACGTTGAGGCTTACCTGCAGCAGGCCCGCGAGTACGACGAGGCCTTGGAGAAGTCCAGTCGCTTCGTGCGCACGATGCAGGGCCGCATGCTCGCGGACGCGACGCACCCGCTGCCCATCCGGCGCGTCGCGGAGTTGGACAGGTTTGCTCGCTCTGCGCAGTATTCGCAGATCCTGGCCAAGGGGGAGGCGTTGTAGATTAATCATGTACTTTGTGGATAATCATGCACCGACGGACGCAACCCAAACGCAAAATATACGGCCCGGCTTCGCTCCCACCTCGTTGGTGGGCATGCGGATGATTACTATGCGTGCTGAGAGCACTATCTTGGCCTTCGTGATTTTCGCCTCGGCTTTATGGCCTCTGCAGGCCCGATGCTCTCGACGCCTTAATTCGCTACGAATCGACGCGCTAGACGTGTCAAGTCGTCAGAGAGGACCAACCGATACAACGACTGAAACTGCTCTTGAAGTAAGCCCAAAAACAAACCGCTAGACCACTATCAACACCACAATCAACAACACTATCAAAAGATGAAGCTAACCATCCTAAGGCATCAAGGACTATGCGACCGCCTTCCTCGCGGCCACGGGCGTCACGCTGCCGCCGCTCCAGTACGTCGCGCCCGCGGGCTCGTCGAAGGTCGAGCCCGGCACGACGCCGGCTCAAGATGTCACGCTCACGTACGCCACGGTCGACGCGCTCGCGGCGGCCTGCGGCGCGTCGCGTTTGGATGGAGGCATGCACTTCACGGGCGCCGTCGCCGCCGGGGAAGCGCTCTGTGCGGGCATCGGCACCGCGGGCTTCGAATACGCCTCCGACCTCATCGGCGGCGAGTGGTAGATTCTCTCGAGATCTCCACAAGCTACATTCCCCCTCTCTCCCCTACCCTTTGACTACATTCCCCCCTCTGAGCGAGCCCTAGGCGTCGTTTAAGAATCATTCGTGTTGATACAAAAACGCATACAGCACACCCTCTCCCCGACGTCGTCGACGCGCCCGGCCAGCGCGAAGCCCGCCCGTTCGAGCTCGTCGAGGAACCACCCAAACACGTCGCGGTACCGCACCTGCTCGACGAGCACCACCTCGGCGCGCAGGGCGGCGAGCGTTCTGACGAGGGCCCCGTGCGACGACGGGTCGTAGCCGACGTCCGTACCGATGACGAGCATTGGTCGGAACGTCGTGGCAATCTTCGAGGCCGCGTCGACGTCGCCCCAGCGGAGCACCGACGTCGAACACCGCGTTCCGAAGCGGGAGGCGTTACGCGCCGCCGTGTCTAGGCACGCCGTATTGCTGTCGGTGAAGAGGACGTGCGCGGCCGGGTCGCGCGCCGCGACGGCGCAACCTGCTACCCCACAGCCGCATCCTAACTCAAGCACGCGCGCGCCCGGTGCGACCCACTCACGCACGGACGACTTGTCCTCCAGCAGCAGTAACTCGGCCAGCTTGCAGCCGGCGGTCCAGGCCGCGCGACCGGAGGTGTCCTCACTGTCGTCCTGCAATTCGCCGGCGGTCGTTTCCAGCTCCAAGGGACCGATGGTGAATCTGGATGATCGATGGGGCACCGTCGCGGCCATTAGTCCCGTCAAGTCAACAGTCGCTTAATGACCATCTGTCTCGGAACGCTTGTGCAGAGACGTCCATGTTAGTGTGCACAATGGATGTCAGTGTGCAGCGGTGTGACGAGCGAGCTGCGCCTGAGAGCAGAGCACGGAGAGCAATGTGTGCAGTCGCCGTACGGAGTTAAGCGTGGGGCGCAGTGGCCACAGCGCGATTGGTGGTGACCGTAGAAGTCCCGCGACGCGCTTAACGCGTACGTATTCGACCTACGCGCAATTTGCCTCGTAAAAGGCAGCTAGCGTGTATTGACATACTAGGAATATGGCAGCAGTCCTTTAGTAGGCTGCACGCGGCGCTGGCGTTCGTACGTTTAATCATTGATCCTCCTTGGGCCGCTGGCAAGCCGTGCTGACGCTAAGAGCAGACGTGGGAGCCATGAGCGACTCCGATTCAGACCTAAGCGAAATACCGCTCTGCGACGCGCCGCAGCCGACCAAGAAAGCCAGAATAGATGGCATAGCGACGTCAGACCACTCGTTGGAATCGTCGGTAGCAAAACGCGAGGCCGCCGCGCGAGCGAAAGCCGAGGCGGAGGACGCCGAGCGCGCCGCCGCCGCACGTCGTGAGGAGGCCGAGCGGCAGCGCGCCGCGGCGGCCAAGCCCGCCGTCGTGGAAGACCCCACGAAGCCCGCGCCCGTCAAATTTGTGAAGTCGAAGAAGCGGTCGGCCGACGAGACCACGCGCCAGCGCAACAAGCGGAAGGAGGGCCTGGGGCAGGCGAAGTTCACCCTCAAGGAGGACCGGGACTGCCCTTCTATATGGGATGGTGGTAACAGTTAGTATTTTACTCCACATTTCTCATAGCCCGGCAGCGTTGTTGTATTAGCGAGCCGCGTCAGCCGCCCGAGCGCGCCGACGCCGGCGAGGAACGTCCGCAGCGTCCAGCCCATCACGGACCGCGCGTCCAGGCCGAGCGAGTGGGCGAGCGCTCCGGCGTACGCGGCTTCGGCCGCATGCGCCGCAAACATAAAGTTGACGCAGAGCTCCATGACGGCCGAGGCATACCCTCGAAACAAGTAGCGGGCCAGCGCCCGCACCCAAGCGAAGATATGCCACGTCGTGAAGTGGGCGCCCAGCAGACTCGTCGCCATGAAAACGAGAGGTATCGCGATAACGTCGAAGGCCGGCCGCAGCGCCTCGCCGCGCAACGCCGCGAAGCGTTTGGGGACCTCCTCGACGGACTCGAGTGGCGGCTCGAAGGGGTACGCCAGTTCCTCGCGGATGGGCGAAAACCCCGTCGCGCCGATCAGCAACCGCTCGCGCATGACGCCCGTGACCTTCGCTTGGCGCGCCCCGGGCCAGAGATTCGTCGCGAGGCCCAGGACGGTCGTCGGGTCCCGCGCGTTGAGTTCCTTGCAGAGGCGCGGGGATTCCTTTGCGAATGCGGCGTCGAGTTTTCGCAGCGCCTCGGCGGCGTCTGGCTGCCTGCCCATTTTTGCGCGTCACTCCGCCTTTCGCTCCACGCGCAGGCTGGCGTTAGGTCAAAAACGCTGGAAATAGAGTCAGGAATGCCCTGGTGGCATCTATAACAGCAGTACGCAAGAGATGCAGTCGACTGCCGGCTGCTTGCTAGTGCCTTACATGCCGCTAGCTCCACTTTTACGGCCGATCATTTGACGGCAGATTGCTGCCTGATTGCTGCCCTGTCTCACGCCGCACGACCCAGGTGGACGATTGAAAGGTCTCCGCGCCTTGTCACTTATCAGCAGGCGCGACAATTTGCGTGCAGCCCCTCGGCTGCGTTCTGAGGCCTAGGTGCAATTTGCGTGCACTGAGAACAGCTGACAGCCGCTTCAATGCGTCTCTTGTTAAGCCTAATAACCTCAGCCGCAGCTCTGAGGCCGTCCAACGCGCCGCTGCCGCTCGTGGAGAAGTCGCGGCGCGCGTTCGGTGCCGCGGCGGTCGCGGGCGCATTCGTCGCGCTGCCGGCGAACGCCAAGATCGACGTGAACAATGCCATGGCCCGCGAGTTTTCCGCGTACCCCGGCCTCTTCCCCACCGTCGGGACCAAGCTCGTCAAGCGCGGCCCGTTCAAGTCCAAGCGGGACATGTACGCCGCCCTCGATACGGACGTGGAACGCGCCGCGCTCAGGAAGTACGACGCGGCCATAGTCCTCAACGCGAGACTCGGCGGTCATGCAGTACAAGGGCAGTCAGATCTGCAAGTACGAGTGCGGCCGGGGCAAGGGCGGCGGCTACCGCGACGAGCAGATCCGCCAGGTCCAGACGAACCGACGGTGACGCGCCGCGCCGGACGGATATTTTTAATACGAATGTTTATTCGAGGTGTGACGGCTGATTCAAAATCGCGCTAGCGTCCTGTAAGACACTCTAGAGCAAGCAGGCAGGCAAAGCAAAGTTAGCAAAACACCTCAAAGCAATGAAGCCAGCACGGCCTAACAAGTGCAAACGATCGTCCGTGTGAGCCCGCGCCAGCAGCAGCCGCGGTTTCCATCCGTGCGGCTGTGTGAGCCATGCGCTGCTGGCCGCACGTCGTCGCCGCCGTCGCCGCGGCGGCGCCACCGGTCGCTGAAAAGAAGCTCTTGTACCCAATCATGATCCAGGGCGGCCCGAACAATCAATATCAACAGTTCCTCGAGAGCATGGTGCTCGCAAAAGCTTTGAGAAGGAAAATAGTCCTCGCGCCCTTTCTGTCCTGGCCCGGCGGCGGCGACCGCCAGCGCGTCCACGCGTTCAGAGCGACCTTTGACGTTGATGCGGTCAAGAGATTCGTCGACGTCGTTTCTACGAAAGACATGGGCGAGGCAGGTACGACGATCGTGGCGGCCGGCGGCGCAAAAAAACCAAAACACGAGCTCCGCGTCATCTGCGGCATGGCCGGGATACGGGGCGGCTGGTGCGCCACGCAAGCGACGTCGACGCCGCTGCTGACGCCGGCGGCGCGCCAGCGCTGTCGAGCGCGGGAGAAAACGTGGGGCTCCTTCGCGCGATGTTTGAGCGAGAACTACAACGATCGGGTCCTCGGCGCTGCGCTCTGGGCGTCCATGAACGGGCTCTACGGACAGCGCGCCCTGAGGAAGCCCCGGACGCTCCAAGCCGTCCGCGCGTTAAGGCGGGCGCCGGCGATACGCGAAAAGGCTGCTCAACTGAGGACAAAGCTGTTTGGCGACCGGCCCTACCTCTGCGCGCATATCAGGAGAGTCGAGAACGCGCAGCGGTGTCGCGACGGGGGCAGCGTCCGGGCGCCCCAGGTCTCGTGCCCGCCCGTGAAGGCCGGCTACGTGGCCACGCGGCGCCTCGCCGAGACGCTGCGAGAGGCATCAAAGGCGGTGGGCGTCGCCGACATTTATGTGTCGCGCGTGGCCCTGCGGCAGGGACCCTTCCGGAGCGAGGGCGCCGCGTTACTCGGGTTCTTGCGGAACGGCTCGTTGAATTCGGAATCCGCGTCGGTCGGCGATCAGGACAACTATATGACGTCGCTCGTCGAACAAGAAATGTGCGAGCGGGCCGCCGCCTTCGTGGGGACGGCCGATAGCACGTGGACGTCGCTCGTCGCGCACCAGCGCTTCGCGCGCGGCGAGAACTGCTCGACGTCGTTCGAGCAGCTGCTGTCGCGCCAGCCGCGGTTGAACCTGAACATGCCTCAGGGCCTGGTCGCGCGGGAGCTGCTCGCGCGCGGCGTGGACGACTTCCAGCGGCGGTGTGTGTGATAGATCTGTGGTAAGTTGTGTACAACAATCACTTAGAATAGGCCGCGCCGGCCGGCGTCGCTCCTGCAGGGGTCGGATGCCGGACGGCCACGCGATGAGGCGCGCCGGGCGCGACTCGGTCGAGCAACGCGTTTTCGAACAACTCGGGCTGGTCGATGAAGATGTAGTGGCCGCCGCCCGGGAGCACCCGTGCAACGCCGTCGACGCGGCATCGGGCCGCAGAGGCCACGCCGCTTCGCGGATCCATCCAATCGTGCTCACCGTAAATATACGTCACGGGCATCGGCAGCTTCTCCACAATAGGCGCGATGGGAACCTTGGGCTGGGCGATCGGCGCGAGCAGCTGGTTCATCGAGGCCGCCGAGCCAATACCCAGGCTTTGGATCGCATAAATGTAATCAGCTAACGCCTCATTATATTCCTCGTCCGCCAGACCGTACCGCCGGACCGCATATCTTTCAACCAACCGCTTGCCCCAGGGCCCTAAAAAGTTCAGGAAGCCCGACGGCGTGTACCCGTCCTTCCACAGCTGCTCAGCTAAATCATACATTCTTGATTCCCCGGGCTGGACGCGGCGCGGCCTCGCTTGGACGGCCGCCGGCCCTACTAACACTAGGTGGTCCACGCGCTCGGGGTAACGCGACGCGTAATGGGCGGAGATCAAGCCACCCATTGAGTGGCCCAGGAGTACCATACGATCGACTCCCTCCTTGGCCCGCCAGGCCTCGAGTCCATCAACCAAAAAGTCGCGCGCGGAGTCGTGGTCGTCCGGCTCGTACGTCGGCCGGCCCGAGAGGCCCGCGCCGCGCCAGTCGACGGCGTGTATTCTGGCGAACGCGGCGGAGAGCGGCCTCAGGTTGCGCGTGAAGATGCCACCACCATTTGCCAAACCGTGGACCATGACGAGCGTCGCATCGCCGGTACCGTCGATGGAGACCGAATGAACGTAGTCGTCCGGTGCCGAGCTCGCGGCGGTGTCGCTGCGGCGCCACCGTCCCGCGCCGAGGCCGAGGTCTAACAATCGCGCCTCGGCTTGAGCGGCTTCGGGCCGCGTCACGCGGCGCCAGAACAAATGCCAGGCGAACGGCGCCATCGATGCCTTCTCGAGGGTGTCCGGCGGTGTTAGGGTTAACGCCCCGACCGTGAGCACGGATAGCACAGCAACTGCAGCGGCGCTGATTGCAGACTTGATCGGCGCAGAAACGCGGCGCAGCGCGAGCGCAATGGTGCTGCGAGTTCTTCGCAACGCCGGCGCGCCGCTGTCGTTTTTTGGTGCACTGCTGCGCTGGCGCAGAGGTCTGATGTGGAGAGCAGTGGAGCAACTGAAGGCAAGCACAGCCACGGCTCGTCGCATGTAGCCCAGGCAGCTGATGTGCGATGAATCGGGCCCGAAGGTGTCTGTACGGCCACGTACGACACGAAAATTGCCATGCGCACAAATGCACGCTAGCGGGCGTAAGACACTAGCGCAAATTTTGGCTTGCCCCCAGCCCTGGGCAGGGGCCCCGCCCACTAGTCCTAGCACCGTAAAAGACATATTGCTGGCCTCCAGGCGCGGCCAATACGCACACCATGCGGCAGATACTCCACGCGGCAGATACTCCGCGCGGCTCCCAGACGCCGTCGACGAGAAGACTAAGGCCAAGTTACTCACGTCAGGTACTTGTCGTCGTCGTTGACCTCGTCGACCTCGACGTCGACCTTTTTTCTAGGAGGCCTAGAGCGGTGCATGACCATGCGGCCCGTCCGCTTCTTCGGGGGCTGCATACTCCTCTCCACCGACTTCCGATTCTTCTCTTCGCGCTCCGCGTCGGCGACCTTCTGGGCCTCGATGCGATTCCGCTCGCGCCGCTTCTTTTCCTTGTACTTTTCTGCCTTCGCGACATAATCTGGAGGTAACGTTTCCACATGATCCAATAATTGCTCCAGTCTCGCTTCCAAATCAGCGAGCATGGTCAGAGTCTGACCGCCGCCGTCGCCGAAGCCGCACTGCTCATAGACTCTTGCAGTCGTATCATTCAATTTCCGCAGCAGCTCCGCTTGTTGTGAATCCGTCCCGGCCGACGCCATCCTCAACTCGAGTTTCTCCGTCTTCGCCTCCTCCTCGTCGATGGCCTTGTTGAGCTCGCGAATTTGCTTCCGTTGTGAGGCAGCCTTCGCATCGGTCTCCGTCTGAGTATCCGCGAATTGTTGCTTGAGCTCCTCGGCCTGGCGTTCGGTTTCCTGGCAGTTCTGGATGAGAAACAAATTCTGCTCCTCGAGCTCCTCGAAGATGTCCAGTAGTTGCCTTGGTTGTTTGAAGTACATGGGGCACTCCTCGTCACTGCTGGTAAGGGGCTCGTCGTCGAACATTGATGGATCGACATCCTCAGGAGGCTTCACTTTGGGAGATTCCGGAGCCACCTTATTCTTCTTGCCTTTCCTTTTAGGTGACGATGCCGCCGCTTGGGCCGCCGCTAATTCATGCTCGTAGTCGTCTCGCCGCCGCGCCTCCTCGGCCTCGACGCGCTTCGCGATTCTACGTTGCCGCCGCGCTTCCTGCCTTTCTCGTTTCAGCTTCTTGTTCTCCTCGAAGTGGACCTCCGGCGTCAATCCGTCGAGGAACTCTCTGTATTTAAGACAGTCATCTAAAGCTTCTCTTTGTTTGGACATCTCGCTGGAAACGGCTTGTAGTTGCTGGTTCAGTCGTTTAATCTCCTGCACTTTATCATTCTTCTTCTTGGTCGCCGCCTCGGCCTCCTTGACGGCGTCGTGGGCGCGCTTGTCGTTTTCCTTGAGGAACGTGTCGAACCTTATGGCATCCTCCTCGAGCTTCTGCTCACTACGCCTAAGTGCTTCCTCCTTCTGCGTCGCCTTGTCCTGGAGCTTCTGGATCTCCTCGCGCTTCACATCTAGTGAGAGTTGTGTATAAAACATTTCTTTCTTCTTCGCGAGAAACTCGGCCATGCACTCGCGCTCCCCGCGCCGTTCCAGCGCGTCCGGTTGTTTCGCGAGTTGACCTTCGCCCTTGACCTTGGCCTTCCGCGTCTTGGGCTTCGCCGCGGCCTCCTCCCCGATGAGCTGCCGCAGCCTTTCAGCGCCGGTCGGCAACTTCCCGCGCGTCGTTTTTTCCCAGACTTTCAGCTTCGACTGCGTCTCCCGGTACTCCTTCTTCCGCCGCTTCTCCTCGTCGCGCATCTTGAAGACCTCCTCATCGGAGGGCAGCGTGAAGGGGTTGCGCTCCTCCTCCATGTCCATGGCTGCTGCCTGTCTCTGGTCTGGCTGGCGCGCGGCGGCGCGTTCTGCGGCGCGGCGCCGGCGTCGAGCGGTCCGCGTTACGCGTGGGGACGGGCCGCACGGCTGAGGGGCTGCCCCGCTCGGCGCTCGCGTCGATGGCGCTGGGACGATGGCCACTAGCGGCGGTTTCGCTTATTACCTACTAGCGTGGGTCGGAGCGCACGCTTCTCCCGGCACCGTTATCCTGGCCGGGACCACGCTTGCGAATCGAGCAGTCCCGCACCGGCAAGTACCAAGTCGCAAGTTCCTCGTTCCAACACCGCGGAGACGCCCCGGACGCGCAAGGACCAAGGACCAACAAGAGCTCCTTAGTACGCGTCAGACGCCCTCGAAGCACACGCTACTCGTCTCGCCGGCGCTCACGTGGTGCTTGAGGACGAAGTACAACAGCGCCGCCACGAGGCCCTCTGATCTATGACCTGTCACGGCGAAGGCGCCGCCCCACAGGAGCAGGAACTGGACCCCCTCCGCCTGGACGAGGTCGCGCTGGACGGCGCCCGTCTTCAGCCCCAAGTCCTGGGCCAGGACCTGGACGATGCCGTAGCCGCCCGCGACGCGCAGCACGTAGTTCGCCCATCGGTCCGGAAACGGGAAGAAGCGGTGGAGCGGGTTGTGCGCGGCGTCGTAGACAATCAGCAGCGCGAGCGGCAGGAGGTACAGTAAAGCCGACGCGTTGCCGCCCTCGCGCGAAATGCCCATATATTGATCGACGATATTCCTATAAGCCGGCGCGTAGTGCAGGCTCAGCGTGATCAAGACGACTAATACGGCCGCCGCCCAGGCGCTGTGGTCCCACGTCCGGACGGGTCGCAGCGGCACGGGCGCCGCGGGCCGTGGTACGGGCACGCGCGCGACGGGCGCCGGGCTCGGCGCCCGCCGGACCGGGCTCGCCCGGGCGCCGACGATGCGGCCGTCCAAACGCCTTGGTAAAGGCGGCTTCCTCGTTTTCTTTTGTCGCGACGTCTCCGACGTCACGGAACCTTGGGGCGACGGCCGCTTCGGCGGCGTGCGGATGCGGTCGATGGCGGCGGCCGCGCCCCTCAATTCACTGTTGAGTTCGACAGAAGCCGCCTCGAAGCGCGCACGCGACGCCGGCGACGGCGCGCGCCGCGGCTTCGTGTGCAGGTCCGCCCGCAACGACTCCGAGTAGTGCTGGTCGGGGGTCTTGACGGCCTCGTGGCGGGGCGCGGCGTAGCTGTCTTGCGACGGCGCGCAGGCGCAGACGTCGAGGCGCTGGCCGCAGCCGGGGCAGTGCTGCGGCGGCGGGCTCGTCGGTTCCGCCCGGGGGCTGCCCGACCTTTGCTCCTCGAAGTAGTTGTTCCACATGCGTGCCGCGGGCAGCGGTGGCGTCTCTTGGGAGGGCTGCGGGTCCCGAAGTGGTCCTGCGTGGCTCTGGACGATCAGGCGTCAGGCAGTTAAATGTTTGTCAGGATCTGGGGATGATTAATTTTTGTTGGCTAGCTGCATATGGGCACTAGCATGGACAGCAAGCCAAAAAGCTGGCATATGAGCGCATGGATGCTCTAGAGAAAGCCTTGAGTACGCCAGAGGTCTCCAGGCCACTTAGCTGGGGCGTTGCTTGCGCAAGCGCAGCCACAATCCATGCGTATGCCTCGTTATTTGCAGCTGTGCCGAGACCCAAGACTCGCGTGCTGCGGAGCCTCGACGTCGGTTTCGTAATCTTTGCGATCAGCAGCACGCTCGCGTACTACAACCAGCCGCGACCGGACGAGTAAATGGGCCCGGCCCACCGCCGCGCGGACTCGCGCCGCTCGGCGCGCAAGAATAGCGGGTACACGCCCTGGCACCTGCTCCCGGCCGCGGCGCGCGAGGCGAAGAGGAAGCGGCCCTCGCGGACGCCCGCCAAGAAGCGCAGGGCGCCGCCCGCGCCCGCACGAAGCCCGTCGCCGACGCGACGACAGCCACTGCATCCCGTCGTCGCGCTGCTCGCCGCGCTCGCCGGCGCGGCGCTGCTGCTCGACGCTGCTCGCCGCGTGCTGCTGCTCGTCGGCGTGTCAGCGGCGGCACCCGCGCAGAGGTCTCCCTGCAACCGCATCTGCCGGCGCAATCCGTCCTTTATGGATGGAACGGTGTGTATCGGGTGTTTTCTCGCCGACGACGAGGTGCGCGGGTGGTCGAGTTTTAATGCGCGCGAACGAGGATGGGCGCTTGCTGATGCGGCGGAGCGGCGTTCCGAGTGGGAGCAATACACTGGCGTGACGGCGAGCGACGCGGAGGACGACTACGGTGGCTTTGATGCGACCACTGACGGCGCCGATGCGACTGATGCCTACGGCGGCTTCGAGCAAACAGACGCGGTGCCGCGGCCATGGACCGTGTTATTGGACCGGGACGGTGTGCTCAACAAAGACGTGGGCAGCCCGGGAGTCGTGCGCGCGGAACAATTCGAATTGCTGCCAGGAGTCTCAGACGCCGTTCGTGCCCTCAAAGAGGACGGGCACGCGTGTGTGGTGGTCACGAATCAGAACGCGAGGAAAAAAGGCCTATTGTCGGCAAAGACGCTCGACAAGCTACACGCGTCGCTCCGGAGGGAGGTCCCTGTTGACGACATATTTGTCGCGACGGGCCTTGACGGACCGGCGCTGAAGCCGGCGCCGGATCTTTTGAATCTCGCCCTGGGAGATGCCGACCGCGACCGCGCCGTCCTGGTGGGAGATGCAAGGACTGATATGATCGCCGCGTGCCGAGCCGGCATTCTCGCCGTGCTCGTGACGTCGTCGCATCACGGCGTCGCCTGCGCAGCGGAGCTCGCAGAAGCGCCGACGCCGGCCGTGATCGACGGCGGCGCGCCGGGCGGCCTGCTCCGCGAGGGCGCATCCGTAGCGGCAGTCTTCCCGGCCCTGCCGCAGGCGCTCGCGGCGATCCGGGCGCACGCTTCTTCTTTGACATAAATGTGTAGTTAGTACTGTTGTTGTTCGACGCGACCTGGCAAAACCCGCCCTGACGCCCGCAATTTTTTGGGTTGCGCGTGCTGTCTGAGGCGCATCGGTGGCTTTGGGTGGCTTTGAGGACCGTAACGTACTTCCCTTAAGCAGCATTGCTCCTGCTCTACGTGCGGTAGCCAGCGGCAGGTCGTAGAGGCAGCCCAATTATGGGCATGCTAGCAATGCATCTCCTATGCAGCTAAGCCTCGCCCTGCTGCTGGCCGGCACGGCCCGGGCAGCCAAGACGATGGTTGGCGGCGAAGCGGTGAACAACGCGCACCTCGCCCTACTCAAGCAGCGTTTCCTCGCGGGAATGGATCGCAGCGGCGGCGTTTGGGGGCCGGCGCTCAGCGATTGGTCGACGGCGCAGCGGCGTGAGCGCAAGGAGAACGGTAAGTTCCTCATCGCCTTCGCCGACGACTATGGATTGGGCAACCGCATCAACATCGTCACGTCAACGCTCGCGCTCGCGATGGCGACGGGGCGATCGCTCATCGTGCTCTGGCCGCACACGGATTGTAGATACCTGTGTGGAAATCAAAATTTTACGGCGCGTTCGTTGTCCTCCACGCCATCGACGCGACGCCTGCTCGATGGCGTGGCGATGCAGTACCCGACGCACTGGTTGATTTCCACACAGGCAGACACACGAACCACGGCGACTGCGACCCGACGTCGATCAACGACCTATTTGTGGAGAACGAAACGAGGGCGCAGTGGGGCGTCGGGAGTCATACCCAGTGCATAAATCAAATTGTCGCGGCGCGTCCGTCACGGCTGAATCATGGCCTCCACGCCATCGACGCGATGCCTGCTCGACGGCGTGGCGGTGTGGTCTCTCGCCGCTCGATTCAGGCTGTGCGACCGCGTTCTCGCCGAGAAAGGACTTGATGAAGAATTATCGGGCGCGCCCGACTCACTGGTTGATTTATGCACAGGTCATGCGCATGCCGCGATCACTCGGTGTAGAGACGACATCAAGCGCCACGCTAAGCCACTGAAACGGTGGGCTATTGGGGAAGAGGACGATCGGAAGACGGCGGACCACCTGCGTACCCACAAACTAGGTCCGGATTGGCGCGAGGAGCTGTGTGGAAATCAAATTTTTAGGCGCTTATCCCGGTAACTGCATCTGCTCGATGGCGTGGAGGTCTCACTGGTTGACTCCGCACAGGCAAGGAGGACCCCTACCTGTGCACGTACGGCTTTTTTTATTGGGGCTGGGCGTTGACGTGCAACAAGAACCTGCGGAGGGCGTGGGGCCTCGACCCGAAAGCGGGCAACCCGTGGGCCGAGTTTGGTGGATTGATGAGCTGGTTGTTGGGAGACGCCCGCGCCTCGATCGTATCTAGGGTGCACAAGGCACTCGGCGACAAAAACATAAAGTGCGACGTGGGAATGCATCTGAGACGCGCAGATAACCTTCCGGGCGACGGGAAACAACAGACGGAGAACTTGAAGTACAAGGTAGTGCATAAATCAATTGTTGCTGCGGCGGCGGCGCGTCCACTGGGGAACCATGACCCTGCACGCCATCGACGCGACGCATGCTCGACGGCGAGGGACTCACTGGTCGATTTGCACATAGGTACAAGGTCCACCTCGAACAAGCACTAAATGGAATCCCACATCCCAATGTTTACATCGCCGCCGACCACGAGTCGAAGAAAACGAAGTGGATGCTGATGCACCACCTAGAGGAGCGACCGGATACGCATATACTCTCAGTCGGTCAAAGGGGGCGCGTCGCGGACCGGGGATCACGTTCTGGTTTATTGGACGCCCTGGCCGAGAACTTCATCCTGTCGTCGTGCGATACGCTTCTACCTCGCGGCACGGGTGCCTCGACGTTCCACGACGTCGCCGTCGCGCGGGCCGCGTTTCAGCAAAAGTGGAACGAGTCGCGGGCCGCCGCCTTCGCGTTTCGACGGAAGGATCGGCCCGCGCGGCCGCTGATCAGTCCTGCGCTCTGCGCGGATCTGGACGAGCAGCGCAACGCGTCGAATAGTACTAGTTAATTCCATGTTTTACTTGCTAGTCACGGTGAGGTCCTCGAACCCCAGGGCGACGGCTCACGAAACAACGCACGTGTCGGCGTCCGATTCCAGGGCGTCCCGTTCTGCTTGCAACCGCGCGATCTGCCTATCGAGCATATCGCGCCGTTGCCGCTTCTTGGTCGCCAAGTCCGCGGCGGCGGCCGCCGCGGCTGCATGCAAGGCGGCCGCCTTGGCCCGCGCCGCGTCGAGCTCCTGCGCAGAGACGTCTACGGGCGCGTCTGTCCGGCCGCGATGGACCGCTTCGATGAGGTCGACGATCGCGAGCTTCATCCGCACGATCTCGCGTTGGTCGAACCAACTCTCGAAGCGGTAGTCGGCGATGCCGTGCGACGACCTGGGCGACGTCGTCTGGGACTCTCGACGGACGCCGCGGCCGAGGCGGGCCGCTAGCGTGCGCAAGGCTGCGGAGAAGGCCGAGGCGGATCTCATAGCGCGTTACCGGCGAGGTCGACGTGGTGGTGGTGGCGCCAACAAGAAGTTCGGAGCACGGACGGTTGGCGATCGTCTGTCTCGAGCCGGCCAAGAGGTGGTCTCGGCGGGCACTGGTCGGTCGCGAGCCGGCCAACCCTTTACTCGTTCTAGGCGCTACTGCCCGAAGACTGGCCGAGACGTCTATAAGTGTCCGTGCCAGAACTATCCGAACGACCCGTCGCACGGAAGCTCCATCGCGGGCGCGCTCTTAATGAGCGTGATGCGTTCGTCGGGCGTAGGAAGTGTCCGCAATGACCCGGCGCGTGGCGTTACAAATGGCTGGACGACTTACTTTGGCATCGCCACGGACGACATCTGCCCGGACTACACGCCCAAGCAGATTAACGAAATCATGCTGGCCTCCATGCCGAGGCCCCACGGCCGCCTCACGCTCGAGGAGGTCTTCAAGCGCCGACAGGCCGACGCCGATCACAAATTTAGCTACGACCACATTATACCGAAAAGCGTTATCCGCGCGGACTACGCGCGGCGAGGGCTACGACCGGCCTTCGACGCAAACGGCCGCCCAAACGTGGTCATCCGGGAGCTGTGCCATCCCTCCAACCTCCAGTACGCGGACCTTTACGCCAACAGGAACATTAAGGGTTCCGCGCGGCTGTCCGAAGTGTCCAAGGAGCACGAGGACTGGTACCAGGCGCGCCTCCTCTGTTTCTGGGACGAGGACGAGCTCAAAAAGCCGTTCGCCGACCGGACGCCGCGGCCCTTCGATGAGACCATTAGGATGCTCAAGGCGGAGGCGGCGAGGGGCCACTGCTTCCTCGGCTTCGAGAAGGAGGTCCACCACGAGTTCAACTATTAGCTGGCATGCCGTGAGTCCCTTCGGGCAGGGTACTTGCGCGTACTAAGTTCGATCAAATACTAGTCACGCCCACAGGGGCGACGCGCAAAAGAGGATCTACGAGGCGTAGCAGCGGGACGCTCTACGCCGCCGCCGCACGTCGCGACGCCGGAGACCAAGATAAAGCTACTACACTTACGCTACCCCTCGTCGGTCATGAACTGCTTGTACGTCGCGTTGCTCGTCTCCTCCGCGTACCGGTACCCCAGCGCGTCCAGGAAGGCGTCTAATTTCTGATCGTCCTCCTTGCTTTGGGAGGCCTGCAAGCCCACCAAGACCCGCCCGAAGTCGTGGCCGTAGTTTCTATAATGAAACAGCGAGACGTTGAAGAACGAGTCCTCGAAGTACGACAGGAACTTTCTGAGAGCACCCGGCGCCTCCGGGAACTCGAAGCGGAACAAGCGCTCACTACCCACATCCGCACTTCGACCACCAGCGACATGTCGTAAGTGCGAGGACACCAAATCGTCGTCCGTGACGTTTCTCGGTGCATACCCGCCCTTCTCGAGCCGCTCCATATATGTCGACGTCCTAGGTTGAAACGCAATGATAATGTCCGCCGGCCGGTTCGACTTGTAGAATCTGTACGAAAATTCGGTCACGTTGCACGGATAAATCTGTTCGTAAAACGCCCGGAACGCGCCCGGCTCCTCGGGCACCTTGACAGCTAGTCGCACCTCGCTCGTGTCCGCTCGCTCGCTCACGAAGCGCAACCGGTCAAAGTCCATGTTCGCGCCGGACGCGACCGCTACATAGGTAGGAACGTCGTCTCCACTCTGTGACGAGGCGTGCTTCTTCAGGCCCGCCAAGGCCAGTGCTCCTGCGGGTTCTAACACACATCTCGTGTCCTCGAAGCCCTGCTTGATCGCGGCGCCTGCGTGTCACTGGGTGTCGCGGCGACGGCGTCGGGACGATCGCGCGCGCCCTCGACGCCATCGACGCGACGCGTCGAGCTAAGACGCCATCGACGAGCGGTGCCATCGAAGCGACGCGTCGAGCTAAGACGCCATCGACGCGCCACGCCAGACGATGCAAGGACGCCGCGTGCGCGCAGATCTCGTCGTTGTCGACGGTGATCATGCCGTCCACGTACCGATCGCACAGTTTAAAGGTCTCCTGGCCGATGGCTTTGACCGCGGCACCGTCCGCAAATAGACCAACATGGTCCAACACGACGGGCTTGCCCGCTTCGAGCGAAGCCGTCATGCCGGCCGCGTCCTCGGCTTCCACCCCGTACACCTTCACGTCCGGTCTTACCTGCTTCACGTAGGCCGCGACGCCGGCCAGCAACCCGCCACCCCCACAGCAGCAGAAGATCGCATCCAACCTTCTGCCATTTCTCTGCCTTAATATTTCAGCACCGACGGACCCTTGTCCTGCGATAACGAGAGGGTCGTCGAACGGATGAACTAAGGTCAATCCTTCCTCATCTACGAGCCGTTTGGCCTCCGCCGCGGCCTCGTCGTAGGTATTGCCATGGAGTCGCACTTCGACGTTCGAACCACCGTGTCTACCCACGGCATCCACTTTTATTCTAGGTGTTGCCAAAGGCATCACTATAACGGCAGGAAGATTTAGTATTGAACAGCTCTTGGCCACACCTTGAGCATGATTACCCGCCGAACAAGCGACAACACCTTTGACGTCTCCGAGATTGACGATGCGGTTGTAGGCGCCGCGGATCTTGAACGAGAAGACGGGCTGGAGGTCCTCCCTTTTGACGTAGGCGTCGCAGTTCGTTATGGACGAGAGCTTCGCGGCGTGCTGGAGCGGCGTCTCGACGGCCGCGTCGTAGACTCTACTGTTGAGGATCTCCCGCAGGTAGTCGAACTGGTCGTCGAATGTTTTTATTGATGCCGCGTGGCGTCGTAGTGCTTTGGGTGTCGTGCTGCGGCGCAGGACGCGTGTTGCGGCTCGCATGGCTACTTCAATCTCTTGCAATCGATGAGTTATGCACGTGAGCCCGCAGCAGGTGCTCCACGGATGCCAAAGCACTCCTGCAGCAGTGTGCAATGGGCGAAAGCGGCTGAATGCAGCGTTAATTGCGTGGATTGCGGCGACTGGCTTGCTTGCTAGTGCCTTACAGGACGCTAGCTCGAGCCGAGATCCAAGCGAGAGATCCGAGACAAAAAAAGCCAACGCGGCGTCCCGTGGTCGCTGCAGCCGTGGAAAGCAGATAAAATGCGACGTACACTGGTACGACGACCGGCCAGGGTCCGGACCCTCGAGATCTTCAAGCGGGAGGCTGCCCTGATCGGCGCGCAGGGCGGCGAGCTGCCCGCCGTGGGCGCGGATCCGGAGGCGCGGGGCCTCGGCCGCCTGCGGGAGGGCGATCTCCTGTGTGTGCCGACGGGCCGGAGCGTCCTCGACGTGCTCCAGCTCTCCGGCATTTGCGCGGACGGCCACCTTGTGACGCGCGACGAGGAGCGCCGCCAGAACTTACGGGACGGTCTGCGGTGGCACCAGGGCGAGAACGACCCCAATCCCAGGGGCTGGAAGAGGATCGACAGCCTCGCCCAGGTCGACCCCTCGTGGTTTTGTAGGCTCATGCCCGACGAGACGCGCCCCATCCGCTTTGCGGTTATCGACGGTGTCACGGGAAGCATCGAGACTTTCACGACCCTGACCTTGAAGCGCGTCGCGGGCCAGGCGCAGCGCATCACGTTCAGGGAGGCCGGCACGGACGAGATCACCCTCGACGACTGGCTCGAGGCGCACGTCGGCGGCGACGGCAACGCGGAGGTGCGGGCCGCGGTCCGCGCGGCGGCGGGCGGCGACCTCCGGCGCCTGCAGGCGATGCGCCCCCGCGACCTCTCCCGGGAGCTGCCGCTCTCCCGGTGGGACCCGGCGCCGCGCGACGCCTTCCTCGAGGCCGCGCGCGACCTGCGGAGCGGCGATTTCGGCATCGTGCGCTACGAGGCCGAGGCCTTCGACTCCCTGGCGAACACCGCGCACCGCTGCGCCTGCGCCGCGTGCCTCACGACGAGCGCGACGGACACTTCCAACGACGACCTCAACCTTTGCCAGCTCGAGGTCCGGCGGTGGGTCAAGGGCTCGGACCCGGCCAACGCGACGGTCGACCTCCTGAGCCTCCTACCGTGGAACGACGTGGCTGTGGGCCTCGAGGAGACGGACGCGACGTGCATCGAGGTAAGGCTCGTCGATGCGACGCACAACACGCGGCCGATCGAGGACCTCCGCGTCTCGCTGAACATGAATATCTACCCCCGGGGCGACAGGAACGACGACGACCTGCTCAATGTGGCGCGGACGGTGGAGCTGCGACTCGAGAACGGGCTCGGTGGAGCTGCTCAATGGGCACGCGAGGCCGCCCAGCGGGTGGCTCTTCCGCCGGTGCCTGCGATGCCTGCCGCGCCACCGATGCCGCCGGCGCCCGCGCCCGCGCCGCGGCGCGAGGCTAAGACGGGGGGCGAGCGGCGAGGCAAGAAGCGCCCCCGCGCGGCGAACGGCACGAACGGCACGTTCGCGGAGGCCGTCCTCGCATCGGTGACCTGTCCAATCTCTCAAAGCCTCGTGGTGCGGCCGGTCATCGCGGAAGACGGCAAGTGCTACGAGCGGGCACACATCGAGCGTTGGCTGCGCCAGAAAAAGTCGTCGCCGCTCACGAATCAACGAATGGGCACGCGTCTGGCGGACCATACCGACGGCCGTAATCTAGTCGCTTCCGCGATTGAGAACGGCCTAGTAGACGGCAACGCAGCCGCTGCCTGGCACCTCGCGTCGGCGCGCCTCAAGCTCGTCGGGGAACTGCCCGGCGGCCTCGATTCTGCGAAGGAGCACCTCGCGGCGGCGGCGCCGTCTCCCGAGTGCGAGTGCGCGGAGGGGACATCGTCCGACCGCGACATGCTCCTAGAGGCGTTTAAGCTTCGAGAACAGGTGAAGTCCTTCGTCGCGCGAGCCGGTGAGCGGGGCTTAGGCAACGAGGTCGTGCGGCTGCTCACCGTCGACCGTCCCTCCGGCGTCGTTGCTGCTGCTGGTACGCCCATGACGGCGTGGCGCGGAGACCTCGTTCCGAATCAATCCGTGATACGCATTATCGACAATGTCGACGAGTTCCGAAGGCTCTGCGAGCGGCGGGCACCGGGGGCGGATAGATTCGTCGATTGGGTCGAGGACATGGAAGAACTCGCCGGCGAGGAATTTACAGTTGAAGGCCTTGACGAGGATGATCGCGCGTACAACATCGAAGCACACTTTAGGGTCCCCTTCGACGCCTGCATCCTCGTCAGGGTGTGATCCACGCGTGCCTAAGAATCGTCTTACCCCTCCTCGGTCCCATCGACGGGCGCGCGAACGTTCCCGCGCGCGATGCGGTTGCAGTCGTCGTTCGACGGCCAGCGGATCTCGTACTTCGTGATCTTTCCCGCGGCGTCGCGGATCACCTCGTCGACCGTGGCCCGGTACCACCGGTACCCGAACTTGGCGTCGACTCGGTCACCCTTCTTGAACTCTTGCTGGGGCGCTGTCCGCGCCCGTTTTGGCGGCGGCGGCGCGGGCGCGGGCGCGGGTTCGTCAACATCGACCAATTCGAAGTCCTCGTCGTCGGAGGCCTCGCGCATGCTCCCCCTCGTCGCCGTGGCCCGCGCGGACCTTCGCCCGCCGGTACCGGTACGCGCCGGCGCCGGCGCCGTAAAAGCCTCGTCGTCGTCGTCCTCGTACCGCGGCTTGCGGCGCTTCGCGGCCGGCTTCGCGGGCGCCTTGCGCTTCGGCGCGGCGCGCGGCGGCTTGGCCCCTTTTGCGAGCTTGTTCTGCCACGTGGTGTGTGCCCTGCGCGCCATCCCAAACTGCTTCTCGTCTAGATCCTCCTGGAGACCGCTCTCGTATCTAATGCGGCAGCGCCACGGCGGACCCTCGGCGACGCCCAGGACCTCCCCGTCCAACGCTTCTCCATGAACATCGCAGCGAACCTCGTCGCCGACCGCCTCATGGTCTAGGGTGAAATCAGCCGCGTCCGCCGCGCACACGATCCAGGCTTTCTTCCGCCTGTCATAGGCCCAGTCGCGACCTCCCGTGTCGCGCGCCCGCGCCTTTTCCGCGACCTTCTTCGCCTTCGTGGACCCCTTCGGCTGGGCCGCCTGGCGCTTGGGCCCGCGCCCGCCGACGACCTCGACCTTCTCGAGCCGTTTCGTCAGCGCCGGTGATTCGCGGCGCTTGGACACGTCGACCGTCGGCGGCGCCGCCACGCCCAGCGGCCGCGCGGGCGGGGTGCCCCAGGGCGTGCCCTCCAGGTCCTTTTTGGGCAGCTTTTTCCCCTTCGAGTCCAGGCACTTGATGCGGCGGCACACCATGTCGCGGTTGCTCCAGCAGTGCGAGCAGCCTTCTCCTTTACACTTGTGCTTCGGGATGTTCGTCGACAGGGCCCGGAGGAAAGCCTCGCGCGCGGCGCCTTCTGCAACATATTCATGACGATAGCTGGGCCGGAGGCGATCGCGCGGCGTCGGCGCCCACGTCCCAGCCGCCTGTAGCGCACGATGGCTCGTGTCGTGCGAGGCCTCGTACTTGTCCGCGGCGTGATTTTTCGGCTTGGGACGCCACCGCTCCGATCGGTCGCGCCCCCCGCCGAACGTGTGGTGCATGGTGATGCTCATGAAGCGTCGGCCCATCTCCGCATGTCTCGCCGCCACGACTTCGGACATCTGCCAGCCGAGCCCGATGCCCTGGAAGTCCGGCAGGATTACGACGCGGTGTTCGCGGCTCGCACCCGTCGTGCCCTCGCCGGCACCAACTTCGCCGAACGCGGACTGCACCGCGTGGAAGCCGACGGGCCGCCCGTGCAAAGTCACCTCGAAGCACCAGGCCCCGTCCTGGACGCCGCCGCAGAGGTAGTGGTGCTTCTCGAACGGCGCGTAGTGATAGTACGGCGCCCGTCGCATCTGGAGCGTCACCCGGGGCGGCTCGTAGAGGTTGGGATTGCGGCGCGGCGGCGCGGCCGCCGCGATACGATCGCTATTCAGCATCACGAGGCAGCCGTAGCGAACTTCGCCCGTCGGCTTGGGCTTCTTTCCATCGTCGTGCCAGCACGAGGTCGCGACGGCGGTCGGGAACAGCCAGCTCGGCCGAAGGTGCGCTACGACGTCCTCGTGAACAGAGGCCACGACGACGCGCTTCAAAGCGTGTTGTCGCACGTACCCTGAAACTCCCCTCGCCACGTCCCACGCCAGCGGTCGTGGCGCGAGAGACGTGAACTCGTCGAGCACCGCGTCTTCCGCCAACAGCCAAGCGACTTGAGCGCGCGCCCGGGCGCACGCGGAGAGCTCCGAGAACCGCATGGCGCGCTCCTCCGCCGACAGTGCGCACGCGTCGAGGCGTGCGGAGGCGTCGCCCGCGCCGAACTTTTTCTTGAACGCCGCTGAAACGACGTGCGTAGTGTTCCAATCCGGCGCGGCCGTGGCGACCTTACCCTCGGCGCCGCCGAACAGCTGCCGGAGCACCGTCGTCTTGCCGGAGCCGCTCGGGCCATGGACGACTCCGATATCCCAGTCCTGGGCGAGGCTCTTTCGCGGGAAGTCGGGCGGCACGAACGTCGATTCACCATAGAAGTCCTGTGTCGTTATCGAGCGGTGAGTGTCGACCGCATCGGTAGCTGAAGGCAACCTCTCTGATGACACTGCACGCCACGAAGTCAAACGCCTGGCTCGCGAGTTCTGCGACGCGGCCCATCGTCACATTCGTCGCGACCGCGTCGGGCAGCGCGCCGTCGCCGAGGACGATCCTCTCGATGGCCTCGGGGCTGACGTCGTAGGTGTTCGAGATCTCGCGCACGAGGTCGGTGTTGCGCGTCCCGCGCCGTTCGGCCGGCGGCGGCGTCTTCCAGTTCGTGCTCATCGGGCAGCCGCTCCAGTCGCACTCCCAGGTGACCACGGGGCTCCGCGCCGGGCCGGGCCGCCGCGTCATTGCTCCCGTCGCACTATCCAGTATCCAGTCCGGCTGGAGATACGCGCAGCAGTCCTCATGCGCCGTGGCCAGGACGAGTCCCGTCAGGCGCTCCCGTCGCGCATATTTGCCGATTGCGCAGGCCATGCTCATGGCGGCGTCGCGATTCACGACGCAGGCGAAGTCGTTCACCACGCAGAACCGATTTTTATTGCTCTCGTGTGTTGCGATTGCTGCGGCGACGTCCGCGCGGGCGGCCTCGCCGTTGGACAGGCAGTCATACGGTCTCATCCAACTCGGTACGGAGCTCAGACCGCAGGCCGCGAGGCGCCGCGTGGCCCGGACCGCCTTCTCCTCCTCGTCCGCCGCGCCCCGTTCTAATCGCGCCAGCGCGGAAATGACGGGCTCGTCGGCGCCCCAGTTGTGCGGCCGGCGCCACTTGTACTCAAACATTTCCTTCAGGTACGTGTTGCGCGCGCCGCCGGCGGGACCGATCACCAGGCCCACGCAGAAGTCAGTGGGTGGTCTATTGCTCATCTCTCACACGCGGAGGCAGCCTAAATGGCTGCCCTTCCGTGTGATCTCCTTCTGGGTAGGGATCCCTAGTGTCTTACAGGCCGCTAGGGCGCGCAAGCAAGCGCAGGTTTCAGATATACGCGTAGGTTACCTAAGCGCGAGGTTTCGCAAGAATTTTTATGCATGAATACCTCCAGGTTATGACCAGCGCGCGGCCCACATCACTTGCGCGCGCGCGCCTTCCGCGCCGCGCGCACGGCTTGCGTCGGGTGGAGGTCGGCGACGTGCTCGACCGCGCGAGACTCGCCCGCCCGCGCGCGGTCGGCCGCCGCGTCCTCGGCCGAGCGCATCGTCGGCTCCACCAGGGCCGTCAGCCGCGCCACGAGCACCGACTTGAGCCCGTCCGTGGGCGCTCCGTGCGCCTTGAGCTTCGCCTTGAGCTCCTTGACCGTCAGCATCTCGGGGGACATGTCGCTGGCGGCGTCCTCCACACAGTGCGAGCGGAAGCGCTTGACCGGCGTCGGCTTCGCCTTCTTGGCCTTGGTGGGCGTCGACGCGGCGGGGCGCTTCTTAGACTTCTTCGGCGACGGTGGCGCCTCCTGGACCGTGCGCAGCGGCTGGCAGGCGAGGCAAGCGTAGGCCGTCCGCGTCTGGATGTCCCACGACATCACGGGACCGCGACAAATGGGGCAACGGGACTTGTTGTAGACGTAGCGGCGGAGGTCGGGGCCGTACCGCGCGTCATCCGCAGGATCAACCGTGAGGATGGAGCCCTCCCGAAAGCCGCGCTGCAACAGCTCCACGCTGTGGCGCCACACCTTGTCGAACTCGGCGCGCGAGAGGTCCTTGCCCAGCTGGTCGGGGTGGATACGAGCTTTGAACAGAATCTCCGCGCGATAGATGTTGCCCGGGCCACAGAAGCACGACTGGTCCATGATGAGGGCGCCGATGCTTTTCTTGGACTTCGAGACCTTGCGCCAGAGCCGCTCCACCTGTGTGAGACGTCGTCGGGGGCACACGCGCGGGCGAAACAAAGGAACTTGACTCTTCTGACTCGGAGGCGCACGTCGGCGTCCTCGCGCAGCGGATCTTCGCCGAGCGTCGCGCGCTTCGGCTCGTAGAGCCCCGCGCGCGAGCCGTGCTTCACGGTCATCGCACTTAGGTGGGAAACGACGCCGCCGCCTTCCATCCTGAGTCTTGTCGTCGCCGTCGTCGCCGGCTCGTGCACGTTGCCGTTGGCGTCGCTCTCGAAGACCGCCCAGTTGCCCGCCATGCCAAAGTGGACGTGCACGCAGACGTCGTCGGCGCCGCCGCTGCCGAACCATGCGAAGAGGTTCTTGCCGACGGCCTCGATCGCGCGGAAGGGCTTGTTGCTGATGGCGGCAGCTCCTTCTGTGAACCGGCCGTTCGGGGACGTGCACGCGAACTTTTTGCCGACGAGTTTTTGGCGGTGGCGCGCCGCCACGCGGTGGACGGAGTGGCCTTCGACCATTCTTATCTGTGTCCTGACAGGTGTTGGGCGCCAGGCAGCGGCTCGGACCGCGAGCAGCGCGAGGATGGTGGCGCGTTGGTATAGGTGCGTCCGCGACGGAGTAAAGTAACCCCTGCGAGACTGCGGCAGCACGGAGTTCGACCCTCGCGGCGTTCGAACCAACTCAGTGCGCTGCGCTGTTGTGGTGATTGCTCGCGTGGCGACGATTTAACTTCGTTCCAAGCGTGCCCGAGCGATAGAGCGAGAGGATTGAGTCCTCTGCCTGCGATGCGGTGCACAACGGGGCGCTGAGCGTGGAAAAATCAGGGAGAAGCGCTGCTGCGCTGGAGAGCATATAATGCTAACATTGCGAGACATACTAGCATTCACGGGGAGCCGGCGCTGTGCTGCCAAGCAACGACTCGGGCAGCCCGACTTGCCGCCAGTCGAACGCATCGAGGCAGCTACGCCCGCCGCGCATGCTCCTCCTGCTCGCGGCGGCATCGATCACATCGTCCCGTCTGTCTGTGCGAGCCATGGCTGACCCTGGGCAAGCCGCCGCCGACGCGGCCCTCACACAAGCGGAACAAGCGCGCAACTCCGCGCGCGACCGCATGATGGCCGACATCGGCGAGGGGGCGACCTGCACTGACGCCGACGACGCGTCCTCGAAGACGATCCTCGTGCGCGGCTGCGACCCCGTCATGGCCGAACGCGCGGGCCAGATGCTGCCGCCTTTGTTGGGAGGCGTGACCATCGAGGCGGCGACGCAGGACGATGCGTTCTTCGAGCTGCTCGGGTCCTCAAAAAAGTACGACGCTGTGTTTTTCGCGCCCGGGGCGTGTCGGTGGAGCGCCGCACGCAAGCCGATCCCCGGCGGCAACGCTGAGACAGCTGGATGGTCCCTCGACGACTACCGCGCCAAGGTTTTACAGATGCAGCCGTCCGCCAAAGTCGTCGAGACCTGCGAGGAGCGCGACATCGTGCCTCTGTTGAGGCAGGCGCTCGGCCTGCGATGAGTCGACCACGAAGCCATCGTCGCCGAGCCCCATGCCGGTCACGTTGGCCTGTTGTTGAGCCTGCTGGAAGCTAGGACCGTAAGAGAGAACTACCTCCGAGAGTCGCGTCGGCTAGTAGTCAGTCAGTCGACGCGCTGTCGCGGCGATGGCGTCACCCTCGCGCCGTCGCGGCGACCGGGAAACAACTACCATAATAACACTTACGCCGCCGCCTGCTCGCAACATATCTCCTCCATCTCCTCCGCGAAGCGTACCGCTGTTGCTAGCTTTGCGAGAGTCGTCAACAGAGCCGCCACTTCCACCCGACAGAGTGGCCGCGTCGACGCGTCCGAGTAGATGAGTTTCAGAGCCGTCGCGACCCCGAACCAAGCCACCTTGCCGTGGATGCGGCACGCGCCGCACTGCACGCAGTCGAAGAGGCGCAATACCGCTCGAGAGCGCTGCCGCACCTGCCAGACGCCCGTCTCCTCGAGCCACTCGTCGTCGTCCTCATTGGTCAACACGGAGCACTCCGACGCTTGGGCTGCCGCGGCTCGCAGTAACGGCGCGACCCGCTTGATGTTCTCGCCGTCCATGAAGGAGTGGTCGTCAAACAAGCCCTGGACGAGTTCCCGCGTCGACGCGTCGATCTTCGCATCCTCGTCAAAACGGGTTTTTTGCATCGCCTGTTTCGACTCCCTCACTCCAGCTAATACGATCGCGAAGGCGAAGCGCAGGTTCGACAGTCGTTCCGGATCGCAAGCAATACGCCTCTTGTATTCCGCGGCGCACTCGTCGTCGTCGTCTGCGCGGGGATGGGTTGCGGCGATGGCGTGGAGCGCGGGCGGTCGCGGTGACGCGTCAGACACTGGCCCGCGGACCCGAGTAGTCGTCGACGACGTGGCACGCGATCGACGCATGCAACCCACTGACAGCTCTGTCGAAGACGTTGTGCCAGCCGTTCGGGTCGTTTTCTTCCTCGATCGCTTCCTTGCCGAAGGTTAGGTTCTCGTACAAAAACTTCCACACGCTACTCCCATCATAACCAGTATAGCCCTCGGGATACTCCTCCAAATCATAATAATCTTCAGAAGGCAGGTCGAAGCGCGCCCAGGCATCCAATTCGAAACCCCGCTCCTTCCGGTCGCGCTCCATGAGGTGCAGAGGCACGGGGTCGACCGGTAGGACCTCACATGCGTCGAATTCGCACTCTTCGGGCGCCCCGCCCAAATACGCGCAATTTGCGAGTAGATCAATGGAGTAGAGCGAAAAGAACTTCAGGCCCCGGATCTCTTCCAGTAAGGATAACGCGGTGACGTCCGCGGCGCCCTTGTGCGCGACGGCCTCGGCGAGCTCCGGGACCGTGGCACTATCCCCGAGGTCCTCCGCATTCAAGGGGTCGAGGACCGCTGCTCGGAGTTTTGTGTGCGTCGGTGCTGCTCGTGGCGGCAGGACGAGGGCGCTCGTCGTCGCGAGGAGCAGCAGGCTGGGCAACATGGAGCTCCTGCCAGGACGAGTGGAATCGTGCGGCGTCGTCGCAGCGCTGCGCATGGCTCCAATCGATAGCTCGTGGAGTGCGTAACCAGGCGTGCGAGAGCGGCGGGCAAGCTGCTTTTGAGTCGATGTGGAAGGCTTGAAACTCTAGCTTAAGACACTAGCTTTAAAAAATTTAGAGTTTCATACGAATAGAGGAATGGTTTTGTCTCTCGAAGACGTTTAGCCTCGAAAAGAGACGAGTCAACTGGCGCTCCCAAAAACGCAAGCTGGCAAGGCTGGGTGCTGGCGCGCAATACGTCCAGCATTGCTCGTCAAAATGCGACGACCAACCGCATTACTGGTCATCGGCGGCGCCGTCGCGCTCGTGCCGCGCGCCACGCCGGCGAGGCCGCGGACCAGGCTGCAGGCCTCCCTCGACAGCTTCCTGGCCGACCGGAGCGCCGCCAAGCTGTTCTACGACGGTGTGACGGACGGCGCGCTCAAGAGTTACGCTGGCGACGCGTTGCCGGACAACTCGCTCGACGACCAGAAGAAGATTTCCGCGCTCGTCGACTACATGCACACCGAGTTGATGAAGAAGTCCATGATGGCCGACTACACCGATGAAGCGGCGCCGCTCGGCGATGAATTTGACGACTTCATCGAAGAGGGCCGGAAGATGCTGGCCATTTCCCACTCGAGAGTTTGTGGCGGTTCTGATGAAGTGGCAGTGTCGGAGACGGTGTGGCCCGCTTTGGCTGAACTATTTAAAGATGAAAAAGAAGATAGTGGTATTCTTTGTTTGTTGCCCGATTTCAATTCAGACCCTGCTACTTTCTTAGATCAGGAGGTCGTCGAGCCGTTGTCGCAGATGGGCTTCGGGGATCGCCTCGAGGCGTGCGTCTACGCGAAGAAGGACGGCGCGCCGCACAATTCGTTTCGCATCATCGTGTCGCCCTCGGCCGTGCCGGCGGACGCGCCGAACAAATCCGACGACAAGGACACGATGAGCGCGGCCGACGCCGCGGACGAGGAAGCCGGTAGGAGCGGGGAAGGGAAAGTAATCTAAGTTAACATACACTAAAAATCGACGCCCTCCTCGCGCAGCACCCTTTCCGCGATCGGCGCGAACTCCTTCACCAATGATAAAGGGTGGTCCATCATCAATCCAATACCTCGCAGAAACATGCACAAGCGAGAAGGCATGATGACCACCGGCACGACTTCATCCCACGGGTCGGCCGCGAACATCTTGTCGAGGAACTGCTGGAAATTCAGGCCGTCAGTGACGTCCCTTCCATCTCTATCGAGCGCGAAAGTGAGCATTTTTTGCCGCGTGTAGTCGAGGTTGTACCTCGTTCGCATGCCGATCTCCTTCGCTAGTGCTCTTAATCGATCCGCGTCGTCGTCGCGCAACGCCAAATAAACTTTGCAGAGCCAGTGGCGCTCTTCCGTCGTGAGCTTCTTCACCTGGCCGTAGTCGATGCAGCCTATGCGCCCATCTCGTAACAGTAGGAAGTTACCAGCATGAGGATCTCCATTAAACAAACCATCCTTCAACAGCTCGTGGCCGTGCACCCGACACAACGTCGACATGACGCGCGCGGGGTTAAAATCCGTCAGCAACGGTTCCGCGTACGCCACGTCGTGACCTAACACTCTTCTTCGTAAAAGCACGCCCACGTTCACGAGCGAGCACTTCACGCGATCGGCGTAGCGGTACGCCTCGATGACGAACGGGGACGGCCCACTGTACCTGTGTGGGAATCAACCAGTTGAGTTCTCACGCCATAGAGCTGCCGCAGTTACGTGGTCAACGTCGCGTCGATGGCGTAGAATCCCCACGCCATCGAGCAGATGCAGTTACGGGGACGACATCGCGTCGATGGCGTGGGCGCCCGAAATTTGATTTCCACACAGTACTGTACGGCTCCGGGTAGCCCTCGCGCTCAAAATTTATCAACATATCTCTTTTCAAGTCATCTAACGTGAGGCCTTGCCTACGAGCCGCGCGCTCGCCGAGTGCTCGGATGCCGTCGACCAAATTGTCGCCCTCGAGAAATTTCATCACCAGCACTTCCTTCGTGCACATCTCGCTGATCGGTTCTGGAATATCGACGACACCTCTCCGCCACCAACTGCCCAGGAAACCCGCCTTTCGTAGATTATTTCTGACTGCTGACAAATGGGACGCCTCCCGGCGGTAGTCGAACTCGGTCGCGAACTGCGCCTCGACCTCGTCGAGGACGGCGACTTGTTCGGGAGCGAGCCACTTAAACAGCTCCTTGCCGTGTTTGATGTCATTCCTCATCACTTGTTCGTTGCCGGCACCGTACTGGACCTTTACTGCCACGCGAGTGCCGTCTTTTAATGTAGCTTTGTGGACCTGGCCGATGGACGCGCTCCCGACGGGTTTGTCGTCAAAGGTCGCGAAAACTTCGCTCACATTCTTCCCGTAGGCTCTTTGTATGGTCTCGTGGACTAATTCCGTACTTTGCGCGGGCACGGCAGATTCCAGCGTTCGTAACTCATCGGTCCAGACTTGTGGGACAATGTCCGGCCGCAACGCCAAAAACTGTCCTAGTTTGACATACGATCCTAACATGCGCCGCATCGTATCTACCGTACTTTTGGCGTACTTGTTATGTAGTGACTCCCACTCGGCATCTTCCAGTCGCGGGTTCTCGTGGTTTAGATATCGCCGTATTTGTTGCTTCTTCTCGACGAACCGATACGCTAGAATCACGGGCGCCATCTCCGTCAACAAAACATACGTTCTAGACGCGGTTTTGGGGTCGCTCGCGTAAAAGGCCGCGGAGCCTACGGCCAGAGTGGCGCCCGTGGCCGGCGCGACGCGTCTTGTTATAATGCGGCCGGCTGTTCGGAGCATCGTTGTGATGCTGTCTGCGCGCCGACGGCGTCAGCTGCGTGAGGCCACTGCAGTGATTTGCGCAATATAGATGCCAGCGGTTTCCGATCTGCGACGCCGCCGAGCAGTACCAGCCGGTGCGATGCGCTATCGATACCCGGCGATGCACGATCGATGCGCTGCGTCACGCGTCGAGCAGCTGATGAGCTCGAGGCGACACGCTAGATTCGAGCTCTAGAGTTTTTGGAGCAAATCCCAGCGAGTCTGATGGACGCATACTTACGATCACGAGTATCGCCCGCAGACCGCGAGGCCTCGCGCGCCGCTAAACATCTCAAATCAGGTGCACAGTGATTTTGGTTTGCCAGACGCCAGACGACGCCAGAGCGCGCGCGATGAAGGCTAGCATGCCGCACACGTAGAACACGAGCAGCGGCTCGCAACGAACACAAGCGGGCAGCCGGGCGGCGCTCACCGAGGAGGGCAGCCAGCCATGGCCGAGCCAGCCCCCCAGCCCCAGACGATCATGGACAACAAGTATGAACTGATAAAACCGATCGGCAAGGGCAAGTTCGCGGTCGTGCACCGGGCCAAACGCCTGTCGGACGATAGCATCGTCGCCGTCAAGAAGATTTCGGTGGACAGCATGGACGACAAGGCGCGCGAAAAGTGCCTCAAGGAAGTTAGATTGTTACAATCGCTGCAGCACGACAACATCGTGCAGTACCTCGACAGCTCGATAGATGGCGACGAGTTGATCATCGTCTTCGAGTGGGCGGCGGCCGGCGATTTGAAGAGGCAAGTGAGAAAGGCCAATGAACGGGGAAAACCGTTTGAAGAAAGGGTCATCTGGAAGTACTTCTCGCAGATCTGCGACGCGATCACGCACATGCACTCGCGGCGCATCCTGCACCGGGACCTCAAACCGGCGAACGTCTTCCTGACGCTCGACGGCACGGTCAAGGTCGGCGATTTAGGGCTAGGGAGGATGATGTCCGAGCACACCTTCGAGGCCCACTCGAAGGTCGGGACGCCGCTGTACATGTCCCCCGAAGTGCTGAGGGGAGATGGCTACGACTGGAAGAGCGATGTCTGGAGTCTGGGCTGTGTCCTGTACGAGTTGGCCGTGCTGAAGTCGCCGTTCAAGGCCGAAGGCTTGGATCTGTACTCCTTATTCCAGAAGATCAGCAAGGGCGACTACGCGCCACCCCCTGAACACTACTCTAGTACTCTACGGGAGCTCTGTGTCAGTATGTTGAGTGTGGACGCGAAGGACCGCCCGGACGTCGCCCACGTCACATCAATAGCAAATAAGATGCGGCGGGAGACCATGTCCGCGGCGGCGGCGGCGCGGGCGGACGCCAAGCGGCACGCGGAGGAGGCGAAGTACCCCGGGAACTATCGGGACGAGTCCAAGGAGGCGACGCTGGCCGACGGCTGGCCCGGGCAAGCGGAGCGGCCACGGTCGGGCGAGGCGGAGCGGCCGAGCACGCGCGGCGGGCGGTCGCGGCCGGACCGGCCGGCGTCGGGCGACGGCTTCGCCGACGCCCGGCCCGGCACGAGCGGCGGCCGAAGGCCGGACGCGGCGCGGCCGCCGTCCGCCGGTGCGCGACGCGACGACGACTGGGCCGACGCTAGACCGGGCACGAGCTCGGGGCGGCGGCGGACGAGCCCGCCAGACGAGCGACCACCGTCGTCCGCTGGGAGTCGACGGCCCGCGGCGACGCCCCCGGCGACGCACGATTTTGTGGAGGAGGAGCGCCCCCAGACGTCGGGCGGCCGGCGGCCCCTGTCTGCCGGCCGCGCGCGCGCGGCGGCCATCGACGACGACGACGACGTGGCCAAGGCCGCGTCGGAAGGGAACCGGAGGCGGCGCCGTCTCCAGGAGGACCAGCCCTTCCACGAGGTGCTGGGCGCCTCCGAGAGCATTGTTGAGAGGTTATATGTGCTCGGCTACGCTTCTAAAAGGAGAGAAAACCACGAGCCTCCATTACTAAGGACGCACTTCGCGTTGAGTGGCGCGGGGGTCAACCTTCCCCCGGTCGTCCAGTGGGCGGACTGCTGCTCGGCGTGTTTGTTCCTGATTAGTCTGGTGGGTGGCGACGCGAGGGAAGTGGGCGAGGCCGCGCCGTCGCAGCAAGCGACTGAGGTACTAAATAGGTGTCACGCCGTCGGATTCACCGGCCAAGCGAGACCGCCGGATCTGGCCAAGGGTCATGGCGCATCGACAACTCAAGTGCTCGACTTTCTATCAAGAAAAGCGATCGAATCAATTAAAATAGAGCCGCCGGACTACTCCCAGGTCGACAAGGTGGAAGACGCCAACGACGAAAGTGACGAGGATGGTATCCAGGAGGACTGCGGCTCGTACGTCGAGGACGACCTGCTCGAGGAGGACTACGTCGTCGCCGAGGATTCCAAGTTCTGCGAGGTCGACGAGAATGAGGACCGGGCCATCTTACAGGCGCGGACGTCGGTCAATGACTGGAAAGTGGAACTGGAGAGGGTCGGGCCTCGACTCGCAAGTAAAACAGTAGCGAAGGATAGCTGGAGGAGGAGGGTGCTGCTCACGAAGGCGAACGTAGAGAAGAGGCAGGCCATGGACCAGGTCTATGCATATACGAAGGTCGTCGCTCAGGACGCTTCACGAGCGTGTGAGGAGCTTAGACGAGGCGAGGGCGTCCTTGATCAGCGCCACTCCGAAAAAAAGGACCAGCTCATGCAGTTACGATCGACATTGGCGGAGATCGAGCAACAACGAGACGATCTCGAGAAGAGCGTCGCGACGAAGACGGACCAACTAGGTGTTGTCGTCGAGGAGGCGAACGAAAAGAGGGATGCCGTCGAAGCCAAGGGAAATGATTTAGGCGACTCGCGGCGCCTGGCCTTGATGCGGGCGGCGCTGAAGTCCTTGCGCGAGGAGTCGGAGGGAATGGAGATGATGTTGGGCGTGGCGTTGGCGCAGCACGCTCAATGTATGTTGCGGCGGTCTTCTCTGCCGTCGGCGCCCGAGGCGGAGGGGGACGACTCGTCGGCGATTTCCGAGAGCTTTTCTTAAGTAGTGGTGTGTGATCTAGTGTTACCCCAACGACTCGTGTCGCGGCGTCGCCCCGGCCTGCGACGCGACCCAGGACCCGAGCCTGGTCGCGGCGCCGAGCGCGTCAGAAGCAGCCTCGCCGCTCAACAGCCCGTAGACCAATCTAGCAGTGAACGAGTCCCCCGAGCCGACGGTGTCCACGACGTCCACCACGAACCCGGGGCTCTCGCAGTACGCACCCGACGCGTCAACCAGCGCCGCGCCCCGCTCCGCGCGCGTCACGACGAGATGATCGGCCCCCACGACCTCATTTAACTCAAGTAATGACTTCTCGAGCGTCGCCGGTTTCAGGTCGAACCACGCCTGCACCAATTGCAATTCGTCCTCGTTCATTTTGACCACATAACAACCCTGCAATAGCGGTTCGACGAGGTCGCGCACCTCAATCCCGTCGGGCAGGGGCCGCACATTGATGTCGAAGACCCTTCTCGTCGCGTCGGCCGCGAGCTTTCTCAAAGTAGAAGCCGTCTCCTCGCCTCGCAACGCCAAGGACCCATGAACGAGGCAGTCGAAGGACCGCGCCGCCGTCAGCAAAGAAGGCTCCGCATGAACACTGTCCCAGGCCGCGGGGTAGGCGATGTCGTACGTCGCGTCGCCGTTTTCATCGAGGACACAGCTCACGAATCCTGTTTCTAGACCGGGCCTTGTTTGCACGAGTTCGCAATCCACACTCAACGCTTCTAGGCGCCGTTTGGCGTCCCGTCCCAAGGCATCATCCCCAACGGCCGACGCGTAGGCCGCGTGGGCACCTAATTGAGCCGCGTGCACAGCAACATTTAACGGCGCGCCTCCCAGAAAGACGCCGTGCGGCAGCGAGTCGTAGAGCGTCTCGCCGATCGCCAAGATTGACGGGGGTTTGTTCGCGCTGAGTGCTGAGGCGCTTGTTGCGAGTAGAACGAATGTCCAGGCCATGGTTCTAGCGCAGGCGCAACTGGTGCTCTCAACAGAGGATCCAGGTGCTCTGCGGTCCAAGCGCTCCGTAGGGCGGCAAATTCGTCCAGCGCGCCTTGCACGCAGCGATAGGGTACCGATGGCTTACTCCTAAGCCTGCCCTTACTTCAGAGCGGCAGCTCGAGGCTGTCAGAGCCCGGGCAGTGCTTCTTGCTAGTGTGTTACATGCCGCTAGCTGTCTGCGCCGCGGCCTTTGCGGGAATAGCCTCGTATACTCGCGCAAAACCGGCACGCATTGCGTGACGGGCAATAACTGATCGCGCTGCTGTAGCTGCGGCATCGTGCGACGCGTAGAAGCAGTGATTGCTGGCCTGCAGGGCAAGCACGCCATCGACGCGGCATAAATAATGGTCCCAAGAGCAGCATGCCTCGTCGTCGCGGCCGCGTACGCCTTCGACACGCTCCCAGGCCAAGAACTCACGACGGAGGAAGCGATGCGATTAGTAGGAGACAGAAAAGCCTGGCGCGCCATCTTCTCTGACAACTATCCGGAGCTCGTCGCCGAAGGCTTTGCGTGGCCGGAGGGGCCGACGTGGCTCGAGGACGAGAAAGCGCTCATTTTCAGCGACACGATCACGGGCAAACTGCACATCTGGAAAGGCGGCGCGGTAACGTTACTCAAAGAGCACGCGGGCGGCTGCGCCGTGGACGTTGCTGGTGGATGTGATACTGAGCAGCTTGAGCCGGGGAGCAACGGCATGGCTAGAGTTGGCGACAGAATAGCCGTCTGCCAGCACGGCGCGAGAAGGCTGGCGTTCCTGGATCTCGCTTCCATGAAAGAGGAACTCATTGTAGAGAGACACGGGCGCGCGCGGCTGAACGGTCCGAACGACGTCGTCGCGACACCAGACGCGCTCTACTTCACGGACCCCTACTACGCTTTATTGGAGAAGCGCCGGCCGGCGGACGCTCAATACGCGGACGACAAGTCGGAGTTGGGATTTGCGGGCGTTTATAGGTACGACCTGCGGACGAAGGACCTGGAGGTGCTCGATAGTTCTTTGATGAGGCCGAACGGCATCGGTATCGTGAACGGCTCGCACCTCGTCGTGAGCGACTGCTGCCAGGGCCACTCAACTGACTGCCCGGCGGGCGAAGCACGGTGGCTGGTCTGGCCCTTCCGCGGCGACGGCTACCTGCGACGAGGTGCACAAGTGAAGATCGTGCACAGGGACTTTGTCAAAAAAGGCTGCTCGGATGGTCTCGCGTTCCACGAGGCCTCGCAGACGCTGGTGGCGTCGTGCCCGGGCGGCGTTTGTCTGGTCGATTTGGACGCGGGAGATGTCGTGGCCAAAATGCACCTGGGGCGGTCGGTGTCGAATGTGGCCTTCGGCGGCGGCTTCGCGTGGATCACGGCGGACAAGTCGCTGTGGCGTGTCGAGTTGCGCGAAGAACGGCGGGATAGGAGGCGTAGGGAGCTCTAGTATTCACAGTCTATTTATCTCCGAACTTCGCCGCGAAGTTCGACCGGATTCGTCCCAGGATGTAGTCGCCCGCGGTGATCGTCTCGCCCGACGACTCGATGAGCGCCTCCTTGTCGGCCTGCATGAAGAAGGCGATCGACTGGCGCGGCCGCCCGCACTCTGCCCCCGTCGGCGTGCGCACGCGGTGCAGGTTCGAGAGGACGCGGCCGTCGGCCCAGCGCCTACGTGGAAATCAAATTTCGGGCGCCCCAAGCCGTCGCCGCGACGTCGTCCCCGTAACTGCAGCTGTTCGATGGCGTGGAGGTTCACGATGACCTAACTCACTGTTTGACTTCCACACAGCCCAGCGCGAGAGCATATCCCCTATATTCACGGCGACGCCGCCCGCGACCGGATCCACCCTAAGCCACCCGCTCTGGCCGGCGCCCGCCCGCGGGTTCGCGGCGCACTCAAGCCCCTCGTGACCTGTGCGTGGTGGGTCGGTGAGTCGACCGCGTTTACGCCATCGACGCGACACCCCGTAAATTGGACCGGACGCCGCGCGCGGACCGGGCAGCTGGTACAACAGGGTCACGCAGCACCAGTCCGTGTGCGGCCCGGCGCGCCACAGGCCGCTATCAACTTCCGGCGGCGCCGTCGGGGGGTAGTGGAGCAGTCGCAGCGTGCACTGGCCCCCCTGGCCCCAGAGCGTGTGAGACTTTTGTAAAGTGCCGGGCGCGAGGTTCGGACACGCGCGCGGCTCGAGCATGTCCAAGATGCGCGCCGCGAGTCTTTGTGACGCCTCCATCATCGCCCGCGCGACGGGCTGGAGCGCTTCGGGCTCCGCGGGCCAGCGGCCGTCCATGGCTCCTTCCCGCGCCGTGATCTGCAGACTTTCCTTCTGGTCGGCCGTGCCGGTCGACGGCCTTATTTGAGAAAAGTACTCGAAGCCGCTGTTGAGTTGGGGCGCGAAGGGGCTCTCGCGCTGCTTGGCGTCGAGGTCGCGCGCGAAGAACTGCTTGGACGAGGCGAACGCGTTCTCGATCAGCTCGTCCGGCACGCCGTGATTGACGACCGTGAAGAAGCCGACGGACGTGGCGGCGGCCCACATCGCCTCGGCGGCGTCCGATTGACTCATGTCGATGACCGGCACGCGGCCGGCGCCGTCCGCCGCGCTGCGCGTCGTGCCAGTGGCACTGCTGCGCAACGAGCGCTCGACGTCCACGTCCGCTGCGATTGCTGCCATTTGTTTGCGCTCACCTGCCTTCAGTCCACTGTCAACTCCTCCTACGGTGAATTGTGGCGCTGTGGGCTGCCTCCAGAGCGTGCGGGCAGCTGCCGGCCCTCAGTCTGTCCCAGCTGCGCCCAGCTGCGCCGTAGACTCCCCGCGAATTGCGGCAATCATCTGATGGCAGAGCGAACTAGTGTGTCAACACACTGGCTCCGCGGACTGCCGCAGAACTGTACCGCAGAAAAAGACGCAGTAGCGCAGTATATACTAGTATACAAACTATTAGGCCGGCGGCGTCGGCTCCCGCGCAGCGGACAGCTCCGCGACGCCCGCCACGCAGTTCGCCGCCGCGAGCACGGCCACGCCGTGGTGCGCGCCCGGGAGGAAGTCCTCGACGAGCTCCACGACGGCGAAGCCGAGCGCGACCACCGCCATAGTCAGCTTGAGCCACCGCGACCCCAGGAACCGCGCGACGCGCGTCGAGGCGCGGGTGGACGTATCAACCAAATCGTGAGCGGCCAACAGGACCATACCGTGATGGCCGCCCGGCCTCAGGTCCTGGTATACCTCCCAGGCCGCGGCGAACAGCGCCGCGACCGAGAGGTTGCGGATCCTCTTCGGCGTGAACAACCGAGATAAGCGCGTCGAGTGCGTCCGTACCGCCGCCGCGGCCTCCGCACCGACCTCGGAAACGACCTCGACGACGGTCTCCACCGCGTCGGCGCCCGACTGGGTTAAATCAGTCACGGCGTGCGCGCCCCGCGACAGGGCCAGCATCGCCAGCCCGTGATGATGACCGAGTTCCCACAGGCTCGTGCTGAGCTCGACGGCCGCGAGGCCGCCCACGCTGATTGGCACGAGGAGCTGCCGGAAACGCTTCGGCCTCGCCGGGGCGGCGTCGTCGCTCGGCTGACTGAGTAACCTCCGGCGCCACGGCCGCGGACGGCGCGCGAGTGGCCCTGCACTCAAGGCAGTGATGCGTGCACGGCTTGTGGGTGGCCCTGCACTTAGAGCGGAGCTGTCGCTAGCCAGTAGCGCGAAAACCCATGCGGCCCGGCAGCACGAAGATGGCATCATTTGTGTGGGTGGGCAGTGTGTGCTCGCTGCCCTACCGTCACACGTGTTGCAGCCTCCTCGATTACTTAGCGGTATATTAGACCGCTTGATGGCAAAGTAAGCCAAAAACACGGCCGTCGCCAGTGTTTTTTTCGGCAGCCGCGATCTTCCAAGGAGATAGCGTAGACATACTAGGAGCTAGTACCTCTCACGTAGCCTAAAATCCAGGGGCACGCGACGCAAGTAGCAGTCGAGAGCCTCAGTGGGCGTGAGCCGAGCAGCGATACGAGGCGGGGGAGCTGCGGGACAGCCTCTGGAAGCCACGCGACGCGCCAGCCGTGCGCCGCGCGCAGACCTTGCCGCCGTCTTGAACAAATGCGTAGCTCTTCTATCCTCGCGTTGTGCGCGGCCCTGGCGCCCCTCGCGGGCTCCCTGGCGCCGCCGCCGCGCCGCGCGGGCCTCCGGCCGGCGCGCGGCGCGGGCGGCGCGCCGCCGCCCCACTTGCGCCCGGCGCGACGGCGCTGCGGCCCGCTCGGCCGCGCCGGCCGCACGCGCCTCAGTGTATTAGGAACGGACGAGGAGGCCCTCAAGGAAGCGAAAGCCGACAAGTACAAACAAGCGTTAATGGAAGAATGGTCCTCGGCCTGGGAGGAGGAGGGCGAAAAGGAGGGCTTCGACTGGGAAATGGAAAAACTGAGGTCAGTGACTCGGCGTGGGAGCTTCAATGACCTTCCTTACGCCATCGACGCGCGTCGTCACGCGAGGGCAGTTTCGCGACGGTCTCGTTCCACGCAGGCGGAAGCTCGAGGACGTGCCCGAGATGTACGGCGGCCCGAAGTTCTGGCGAAGATTTATTGAGGTCGAGCCCGAGAGTGTCTACGCCGCCTACGCCGAGTCTAGCTATCCTGGAAGTAAACCGGGCTTCCAGGACTCGTTTCGTATTTTATTCAACAACCTGCTCCAGTTCATCCTGGGCAATGATTCGGAGGACGGTGCCGAGGTGGCGTCCTGGGACTGGCAGGGAGCTCTGGAGAGGGCGGGCCCCAAGACGTTCTTTGGGAGTGTCGCGGCCGGCGACCTACAAACTTTGGTAGGGGGTCCCCTCTTCCTACTCCTCACGAAGTACCATAGGGAGCTCGGGCCCGTGTTCAAACTGGCCTTCGGGCCTCGCTCTTTTATAGTTGTGGCCGACCCGAGCATTGCGCGATACCTGCTCCGAGATGGAAGCCAGAACTTCGACAAAGGCATCCTGGCCGAGATCTTGGCGCCGATCCTAGGTAATGGATTAATCCCAGCGGACCCCGACGTCTGGAAGGCGCGGCGGCGCGTCATCTCGCCGGCCTTCCACAAGCAGTGGTTGCGAAGTACGTTGGCCCTTTTCGACGACTGCACGGAGGACCTGCTAGTGGACTTGCGGAAACGAGCGCGGTCCGTGGATCCCACTGCACCTTTACCGGAGACCGTCGACGCGTGGAAGGCCTGGAAGTACGAGGACGACGCGCCGGCGAGAAAGGCGGGCGCGGTCGACATGGAGGAACGGTTCTGTTCGGCAGCTTTGGATATTATTGGGCGGGCCGTCTTCGACTACGACTTTGAAAGTGCGTCGTCGGAGTCTCCATTAGTAAGGGCTGTTTATAGATGTTTGGTGGAAGCGGAGCATCGCACGACGGCGTTCATCCCGTACTGGCTCATCCCCGGCGCGCAGCTCCTCCCGTCGCAGCAGGAGTTCAACAACGACCTCGACCTGCTCAACACGAAGCTGGAAGAGCTCGTGACCAAGGCCTTCGACGACATCGCGAGCATGGGAGACGAAGTTTATAGGGAGGCCGGCCAAGAAGTTACTGATGAGGATGAAGTCAAGCATACATCATTATTACGCTTCCTCGTGACGGTGCGCGGCGAGGAGGCCTCGGCGACGCAGTTACGGGACGATCTGATGACGATGCTCGTCGCCGGCCACGAGACGACTGCAGCTTTATTAACCTGGACGCTGTACGAGTTGTTCCATCCCTCTGGTCGCTCGAAGCATCATTTACAAAGAGCTCGGGAGGAGGCCGATGCCGTGTTCGCGAAGCGCGCGGCGGAGAACAGGACTGGATCAGTGTACGAAGATGTACTGGACGTGCCCTTCATACGTCTCTGTTTAGCGGAGGGTCTGAGGCTCTACCCCCAGCCTCCGTTACTCATCAGACGAGCTTTGGATTCGGATGAACTACCTAGACCGTTCCCCGATAGCCCAAAAGTAACTCCAGCTCGAGGGTCGGACATTTTCATGAGCACGTGGTCGCTGCACAAGGACCCGAAGCTGTGGGACGATCCTGAGTCTTTTGACCCTTCTAGGTGGGAGCGCAAGAAGGAGCCGGGGCCCGACGCGCCGGCGGGCTGGCGGGGCTTCGACCCGGCCAAAATTCCCTCGCAAGCCCTGTATCCGACGGAGCAGAGTGCCGATTACGCGTATCTGCCCTTCGGTGCGGGCAACAGAAGGTGTGTCGGGGACCAGTTCGCTATTTTGGAGGCTACCGTGATGCTGACGTCGATCATCCACGAGCTCGACTTCGAGTTCGCGCTGAAAAATCCGGAATCGATCCAGCCGAAGACGGGGCTCGGGGGCCTGCCCGTCGCCGACGTGGGCATGCGCACGGGCGCGACGATCCACACGGAGCACGGGCTCTGGATGCGCGTCTTCGAGCGGTCGCCATCGTCGAGTAAGGAGTCGTAGTCGACTTGTATCGTGGGGTCTCGCGGCGATGGCGTCTCGTGGTAGGTGTGTCTTGTGGTGGTGAGGAGGAATACGGGTGTCCTTTCATTGGCGGCGGGCGCGGGCCGCAGCTACGCGCGCTATTATTGTTAGCTCAAGGTACGCGCTCCGGCGCTAGTGTGTTTCTATACGCTAGATAACTCGAGCACGTTGCGCCAAAAACACGGCCAAGCTGCGCCGTTACGGCGCCTGTGGCTCAGTGGACCGCCTCAGCAGTAAAACGAAGCTGCGGGGGCCTGTGTACGACGCAGCCGCTCGCCGGACGGTCCAGACGCTGCGATACGGCCCTCCGCGCCGAGCAACTTGCGCGGCGCATTTTCCCGGCCCTCCGGACCCGCTGGCGGACCCAGGCCGTCTGACGTATCGAGGATGCTCGCGCCTACTCCAGCGAGCCTCCCTTTTACCATCGCGGAAGACGTCGTCGACGAAACCGTGTACGACGCGCCGCCATTGCGACAGCAGACGCCGCCGCCGCAGCAGGACGCCCTCACCTTCTTAGAAGTCGACGGCGCCACGGCACTCACCTTGCTAGAAGCGGCCGTCACGCACTGCGCGTACGCTCACCCCCCGCCGGCGCGCCTCCGGCAACTCGCGGCGAGGCTAGAAACGCTCGCGGCGCGCCGCGAGCGCCGCGCCGCCCTGACGCTGACGCGCTGCCTGCGGCGCGTCGGGAAACATACTGCGCGTGACCGGTGTCTCCGCCACGCCGTCGCCGCGATAACTCACATGACCGCACGCAGGCCCACGCTCGTAGAACGAAGCGCGCCCTCAAACCAAGAGACACGAACGCGTCGCGCGCGCGCCGCCAGTCCGTCGCGATCGGGAAAGCAAAACCGTCGAAGGCCGAGGCCCTCAAGCGGCGCGCCAGCATTGCGCGTGCTAGGGCGCCCGTGCGACCGCGGCTGAATCGCGCCGCGGAGCTCGCCGCGCGCGCCGGCCAGAAGAAGCGCGAGGCGCAGGAGAGGCGGGCCGCGGACGTACGAAAGGAGATGCTCGGCGGCGGCTGGTGCGGCGCGGCGCGGCCGGCCTGGGTTGAGAATGATGAGGCGCTGTCGAGGAAGATCGAGGCGGGGCTCACCGGTAAAAAAGAAGACGACGCGTTGTCGCCGCTGCGCGCGTCGAACAGCCCGTCGTCGAAGGCCGAGAAGGCGGCGACGGCGTGGCTGAAGAAAGCGCGGAACGGCGACGTCCCTTTGGATGTAGCTGAGGTCGAGGCCGTCGTGGCTGTACTAAAGCGGTGCCGCGGCGTCGTCCCCGACGACGCCAAGGAAGCAGCACCCATGACGCTCGCCGAGGCGCGGCGGTGCCTGAAGAATGCCGTGGCGCAGCTCGTCGCGGGAGACGCGTCCGTCGAAGTGGAAGTCGAGCGCTGGGACGCCGTCGTCCGCGGCCACCCGGAGTACGTGGCGGAGCAGGCCGCGCGGCGGACGGCCTGGGACGCCGCGAACGCCGACGCGAATGCCACGGCGCTCGCGACGGTCCGCGCGGCGGTACCGCCGGACGTGAGGCACGGCTGGACGGTCGAGCGGCTGGTCGAGCAGGGTTTGCCCCCGAAGCTCGCGGCGCGCGTGCTACGAGTCCGGGCCCTGTGGCTCGTGCGAATGGCGCCGTCTACGATCGCAAAAATGCACGTCGCGGACTTACGCGGCGCCTACGACGCGCGCGGCCTGAGCCTGGACGAGCTGCGCGCCGTATACGCCTCGCTCCCGGCGGCGTGGGAAAACGACGGCGACGGAAAGAAACAGGAGTGGGCCGAGGCCATTCGAGACAAGTTGGTCGCCGCCGCCGCGTCCGGTGCGGCTGGACCTCAAGCCTGGGCCGACGCCGCGGCGCTCCCGTTTGACGCGACGTCGTACGAGCCGGCTGCGGCCGTCGCGAAAAACGACGAGGCGGTGGACCGCGCGTCCGAGCTCGCCGCCGTGGCCGAGGCGCGGAAGGCGCGGGAGGTCCCAACGGAGGGCGACGCCTGGGGCGAGCGCGTCGCGCGGCCCGCGCCGCGGCGGCTGTCGGGCGGCGACGGCTCGCGCGCCGCCATGGTCGCAAGGCTGCACGGGCCTTCCGCCGGGCCTCCTGTAGGTCTCCTCGACGCGATCAAGGCCGCCAAGCAGAAACCGCCGAAGCCTGTCGCCGCGGCCCCGGTCGTCGACCTCTTCGCGGAGCTCCGGCGGACGGCGACGCGCGTCGAGTGATCCTCGCTCTGTGTAACAACATCTATCTCGCAGTCGTAGGCCCCCGGCGAAAGCTATATCGTAAAAACGCACATTACGGTACACGAAGCCGCGCCCTTGCGGGCGCCGGCACGAATGGAATCAAGCCGCGGAGGGCGGCTCACGGAACGGAACCTCACTCGTCTTCCTCGACGACGCAGTGCGGCGCGAGGCACATGCGGCCTGGCACGCGGATGAGCTCGTCGTTCACCGCCACGGCGAGCACGATGAGCAATCCACCTAACGCGTCGCCGGCCGAGAACCGCTCGCCTAACAGAGCCGCGGCCACGAGCGCCGCCCAGAGCGGCTCCGACGTCAAGATCAACGACGCATCGACTGAAGGCAGGTGCTTGAACGCCTCCGTGCACAGCCAGATCGTAAATGATGTACTGATCACTCCAGTCCATGCTACGGAAGCTGCTAAAGGCGCGTCCAAGTGATTTACGGTGGCCAGCACATCACTCAAAGCACCATCGAAACCCTCCATGGCCGCCAAGGCCCCCACACCCGCACCGAAGATAGCTAAACATTGCAGCGCCGTCATCGCCAAGGCGTCGTCGGGGTGATCCCGCGTCGCCCGCTCGAGCTCGACGTACGAGGCCCCAAAAGCTAACGGCTGGCCCAACGCTAATGCTAAACCGACGGGGTCGAAGTCTCCGCCGTTGGCACCCAACAACTCCAAGCACGCGACGCCCGAGATCGCTAGGATCAGCCCTACTATTGTCCGAGGAGGCGTTTGCCCTTTGGCTAGTAGAGCTACTGCGACACATTGTAGGGAACAGACGAACGCCGCGTTCGCCGCGGGAAAGCCGTGGGCCAAGGCCGCCGCTTGGGCACCATAACCGACAGCGTACAACGCACCTACTTTCGCGCCGGCTATCGCGGCTTCCTTGGTAGAGGAAGCAATTAACCAAGGTAATGTCGAGAGAGCCGCCGCCGCGAACCGCAACACCACAAAGACGGCAGCCGCCTCGGACGCACCTAAACTGGTACTCGCCGAGATGTCGGCACAAGCATAGGCGGTCACGGCGAAGTTCGTGGCCCACGCGACCGTCACGAAGAGCATGGCGCCCTTCCAGGCCAAGCTTGACTCCTCGTCTTCTGGTATCGAGAGGGCGGCCTCTTCCAGGACCTCACTTACCGCATCATTCATTTGGTCGGTGATGGCGACGAGCTCGATCGCGCTCGCGGCGGCCTCGATGCTAGCCACATCTACAGTCGCGGGCAGGTCGCTCGCGTAGATCTCCACGGCAGGGGCGAGTACCGGCGGCGCATCCTCGACAAGAGAGACGACAGAGGGCTTCCGCGCCACCGTCAACGATTCCCGTCGCCGCTCGCGCTCGCGCCGCGCGAGTTCTTGGCTGAACGCCGTCGCCGTCCAGCCACGTCGATCCAAGCCTTCCAAGTAATAATCGGTGGTCGCCGCCTCGCGGCTCCGCAGCTCGTCGAGCTTGTTCGCCGCGCCGCGCTCGTTCAGCGTCGCGAGGTAGCGGCCCGCCTCGCCGCGCTCGCGCGCGAAGGTCGTGGTGAGCCACTGCCGCCTATCGAGACCGTCAAGATACGGCGCCTCGGCCGCGCGTTTCTCGCGCAGCGCCTCGGCGGCGCGGCCCAGGGGCCGGCGCCGCCGCGCGGGGGCGGCGGCGGCCTCGGCGGGCGCGGTGCGCGCCTCGGCGGCCTCGGCGTCAGCTGTGGCGGGAGTGCTCAGGGAGCCCAGATAGGTGCGCGAGGTGGTGCTGGGCGCCGGGGCCAGGCCCGCGGCAGCCCTGAATAGGAAGAACAGCGCCAGCATTGTCGTCGCTGGCCGTCTCCCGGGCCTCCCGCGGCCTTCCGGATCCATATCGCCCTGAGCTCAGTGTGATTCCAAAAGTGAAGGCTTGGTGTCACAGATCGCGTTTTAGCGATACTTCTGTCGGTCGCGGCGTCCTTTAGGTGCGGAAAATCGTCGCGAAAACGCCCGTAGCACGGGCGATATCAAGCACTCAAGCAGTGACCGCAGAGCTTGACCATGTTTTCGAGGCTCCGAACCAAACCTCCTCACGATCTCCTTTAGTTGTCGTGAGAGCTCAAACAGACCATAGAAAAGCTTTGTATCGTTCGGCTCGAGCTAGCGGCATGTAAAGACACTAGCAAGCCCAGGCGGGCCGGACGCGGCTCTAAAAGACAAGCCCAAAGCCATATAGCCATCGAGCTCTGCCTAAAATATACGCTGTCGACGCTTGCTCGACCATCCGCCAAAGCAACGGGCGTCCGACGCTCCCCAGCCTCGCAGCCTTCAGAGAGGCTTTTTGTGCTGCACAGGAAAACGCCCATTCCACTGCGAGGCGGAGCTACGAGATAGCAAAAACACAAAAGAAATGAAGCTCCGCACCTTCACCTGGAATGTCTGCGGCCTAGATGTAGAACATTTAGAAGCGAAAGACGCCGAGCGGCTCGATAGCATACTGGCACAACTCACCGCCACGGACGCGGACGTCGTCTGCTGTGGACTGGTGGAGGTCGTCGATCTGGACCCAGGAACGGTACTCAGAGATTCCATAAAAACGGACAGCGTCTTCCGCACGAGAAGGGTAGAAAGCTGGCGCGTCAAATGCCGAAACGCGTTGGGTGATGCCTACACCGAGATCACGTCCGGCGGCCTCGTGGGCGTGGCCCTCTTCGTCTTCGCCAAGCCCGATACTTTGGTAGGTGTGGACGTATCGACCATCGCCACCGGAAGTCTAGGAGGCGCACTCGGCAATAAAGGTGCGGTCGTGATGCGAATGACGCCGTGCAAATCCACATATTTCCACGTCGTCCACGCGCACATGGCTTCCGATTTGGATCAAGTAGCGGCGAGGAACGCCGAGTACGCGCAAATTGTGAATACGAGGTGTGTTCCCGAGGAACATTCGGCGTTAGGCGACGCTATAAGAGGCTCAAGACTGTGGCAGCTGATAGGCCCCGTGCCCTCGGAGGGTTTTGGTGTACTAGACGCGGACGTCGTCATCTGGCAGGGCGATTTGAACTACCGGCTTGGAGATGAGGGCGACGCGCCGCCGCCGCCCTCGCCTTCCTTCGCGAGGCGAGCCTCGGTCGTAGCGGGCGCGGTGGTGGGCGGCGCCGCGGCCGTGGCGACGGGCGTGGGTGTGGCTGTCGTTGGCGTCGGCGCGGCGGTGGCGGGTGGCGCGGCCGTCGGCGCGGGCGCGACGGCCGGCGCCGAAAAACTGGTAGCGGGGGGTAGCCCGGAGAAGGCGGCGACGCCCAAAGAGGACATTTGGCGGGACGTCGTCGATGCTATCGAGAAAGAGGACTGGGACACGCTGCGGTCGCGGGATCAATTAATCGATGCCATTGATAGTGGAGACGCCTTCGAGGGGTTTAGGGAGGCGGATCTAGCGTTCCCGCCGACCTATAAGTTAATCAGGAACGACGAGGACGCCTTGCGGTATAAACAAAATAGGCGGCCGGCGTGGTGCGACCGGGTTATATGGAGGGGCGACGCCGTCTCCTGTAAAGCGTACGACTGCGTGCCGTCGGCGTTGTCCGATCCTGTGTGGAAATCAAAGTTTTACGGCGCGTTCGTTCTGAATCATCGCGTCGACCTCCACGCCATCGACGCGACGCCTGCTCGATGGCGTGGCGATGCCGGTTCCTCACCGCTCGACCAAGCCAGGACGGCCGCGGCATCGCCGAGAAATGACTTAGTGAAGAATTGTCGGTGCACCCGACGCCACTGGTTGATTTCCACACAGGTCCGATCACGCGCCCGTGTTTGCCGACCTGGCGTGGGATGATGTGGCATTACCACCGCGCGTCGCGCCGGACAACCGGAGCGCGGCGCAGACTTCTGTGCCATCGGCGGAGCGCCAGACGTCCATCGCACGCGGCGACCGGAGTGGCCTCGGCGCAGCGGGGTGGTTCGGTGAGGGAGGAGGTTTTGTCTAATAGTCCTACTTACCCTGGTTGTAGACGTCGCCGCCCTCGACGACCTTGGTGAGGAACGGCCGCATGATCGTCGCGAGCTGCTTGGAGTGGGGGTCGGGGAAGACGTGCAGGGGCGTCCCGTCCGCCAGCGCCCGGATCACTTCCTCCGCGACGGCGGACGGCGCCTCGGCTAGCGCGTGGAGCCGCTCCGGCAACATCTCCGTGCGGACCGGTCCCGGGTGGACCGACAGGACGCGCACGTCGTGCGGCGCGAGTTCTTGGGCCAACGCCCGCGTGATCGAGTAGGCGGCCGCCTTGGTCGCGGAATACGTCGCGAAATCCTTTCCGGAGCACCGGAAGGCCGGGCCGAAGGACGCCACCGAGTTGAGCTGGACGAAGGCAGTTTTCGATCCGCGCGCGACGTTCGTCTTCAGGATCGGTGCGTAGGCCTGCGCCATGGCCATCAGACCGTAGACGTTCACGTCCATGTCGCTCTTCAGCGCCTCGACGGCGTTCCCGTCGAGCGCGGAGGTCTTCGACAGGACGCCCGCGTTGTTGATCACAATTGTCACGTCCTGAGAAAGCTCAGCTGCCGCCGCGATCGAGTCCGGTTTCGACAGATCGATATACACTGGGATGATCGTCTCGTCGTTTTCTTCGTTTGAGAAGGCGCGGTAGCGTGTAATGTCTCGCACGGCGGCATAAATCTTCTTCGCTCCATGCTTGAGGAACGCGTCCACGAGTGCTTTGCCGATTCCGCGGTTCGCGCCGGTGATCAGTACGATGGAGCCCTCGATCGAGGCACCACTTTCGCGGCGGAGGCAGGGCCGCGTAGCGCAGGCCATACGCGGGCGCGAGCTCCTCCATAACGCGCGCCGAGTCGTGGGGCTTCGTCGTCATGCCCGGCGGGAAGGCGACGAGGTGGAGGGTTGTTTCGTCGACCTGCGGCGCGCGGCGTGAGTCCACTGGTGCAATTTTTTTTTGTGCGCTGGGGCCGTACCGAGCCGTAGAGCTTGACATGCTGGGCTAGAGCGCTCATATATCCTTTCTCGTGCGGGCCTTCGCGTACCGGCGGCGACGTCATATCTCTAAGGTTTCCTCCTTGAAACTTCAGCCTCAAAGGATCAGATGGAGGTTGTTATCGGTTGCAGGCCGACGTGAGTATCGGAGCAAGTCCACTGAACCGCCCCGCCGCAGAGATAGCGACCTCGCTTGCGACACTCGCAAAGCTCGGAGATGCGTTAGCTAGCATTGTAAGACACTAGCAAGCCCAAAAAAAGTGTCGAGGATAAACCGCCGAGCAGCACACCACGCGAGGATAATTAACCGTTTGTGTCCTCAGCTATAGTTGCGCTGCTACCTTGCCCAGCTCCCGGCCATCGAAAAGCGCCGACCTCCCAAAGACATTTGGCAGCCGCGGCACGCCATTGCAGCACGTCGCAGCGGCCGTAAACGCGGCACGCCATCGCAGCACGCCGCGGCGACCGTAAACGATGGCCGGTATGGACGACTGGTCCCCCGTCGAGACGACGCTGGACGAACCCGTCTCCGAAACGATCCGGAGGGATCTGCGGGAAGTCGGCGCGAAACTGAAACTGGTCCTGCTCCCGCGCGCGTCGCAGCATGGGGTATTGGACCGCCTGAAGGAGTGGGACCTGTGGGGGCCGCTGGCCGTGTGTTTGACGTTATCAATAGCCCTGTCAGCGGGCGCGCCGGAGTCGCAGCGCGCACTGGTCTTCGCCGCGGTGTTCGTCGTCGTCTGGGCGGGCGCCGCGATCGTCACGCTAAACGCGCAACTGCTCGGCGGCCGCATCAGCTTCTTCCAGAGCGTGTGTGTGCTGGGCTACTCGATCTTTCCCCTGGACTGCGGCGCGTTCGCCTGTTTATTGCTCCACGCGCTCACGAGAAGTTTCCTCCTGCGACTCGCGGTCGTAGGGACGTGCTTCGCCTGGTCGACGCGCGTGTCAGTCGTCTTCTTCAGCGAGATCATCGAGGCGAAGCGGCGCGCGCTGGCCATCTACCCCGTCTTCGGCTTCTACGCGTTCCTCGCGTGGATGATCCTCATCATGGGGAACTAGTGATTAGACATAAGTCGAGCTTACGGAGCAGTAGAACAGCGGGGTAGGGGCGTATGTACAAGAGTCGGCGCTACTCTCCAGCTGCTGAAGGCGGCATCGCGCCGACCAGCCGTTCAATTTCCTCGTAAATCGCTAAGCGCAGCGCCGCGTTCTGGGCCTGGAAGGCGTCGACCTCGCCGCTCGTCTCGGGGTCGTCCCGTCGCAATTCTTCCGTGAGGCGGTCGTGCTCGGCTTGGAGTTGCTCGTTCTCTCGCGTGAGCGCCGCGACGTTTCGCTGCAGCTCCTCGACCTTCATCTTCTTCCTTCGTCTAGATTCCTGGGCCGCCTTGCGGTTCAGCTCGAGGCGCTTCTTGCGCTTCGCCTCGAGATCTTCGAGCGTCTGCTGGGGCGGGACGGTGGCGCTCGGCGGTGCGATGGCCGCAGTCAAGTTGTGGCCGCTCACGTCCAAATCGCTCTCCATGGCGTCGGCCGTCGCCGCCGACGCGACGGAGAGGCCCGAGGCGTCCATCCTTGTCGCGCGCGCCGATGGCGTATCGGGGCCTCGTCGACGTCCGGGCGGCTCACCGTCCGACGGCCCGCCGCTCCCTCGCGGCGCAGCACGGGAGGCTGGCGGTGTTGCTCTGGCACTGCTACCACACCTCCGCGGCGCGCGCTCTCGCCGCGGGGCGTTCAATGCGCAGCGATGCGCGGTCGGGGCGATAGCGATCCCCGCGCAGCGATGCGCTTCGGGCAGCTGCCCCGGGCCTGTTCAATGGGCAGCCGAATTGCTCCAAGCAGAGCGCCTCGCACTGTTGAATTCAGCTTGCTGAGCTGCGCCTAGAGCGGCGCAGTCAACCGCAGCGTTCGCCAAACGGCCGGTAGCGGTGCAGAAAGGGTGAGGAGGGCAGCCCTTCGCGCCCGCCGGCGCAAGCATGCGCCACCACTACCTGATGGTGCTGGCGGCAGCCCACGCCGCCAAGGCGCCGCCCCAGAAGCCCGTCGCCGTCTGCGTCACGGGCCTCGCGCGCGCCTTCCACGCTATCGATAGGGTGCACCGCAACATCTGGTCGCATATGATCTGGCCGATTGTTTCCGAGGCGGACGTCTTCTTTGTTCTCGATGATGCGACGGCGGGGCGCGCGGGCGTGCGAGCTGGCCAGGCGAGCGACACTCATATAAAGGAGGAGGCTCGAACGCTGTGGCGGCCGGTCTACGACGTGGCGCTGCGTTCGCGCGGCATCGAGGAGTCGCTCTCCGTGTGCCACGGGGCCATCGTGGCGCGGGAGCGGTTTTTAAGGAGGAACTACACCTGGGTGTTGCGCCTCCGACCGGACGCGACGTACCGGACGCATTTACCACCGTATGGCGAGTGGCCCCTTGCAAAAAACGTGGCCTGGGCGCCGGCCATCGGCGGGGGTGAGGGCGCCTGCTCCCGCGGCGTCGTCCGAGACGCGGAGACGCGGGGCGTCTGCGTCGACGACGGCTGGGCGCTCATGGGTCGTAAAGCCGCCGACGCGTATTTTTTCGGAAGCGAGTGGCCCGCGCGGCATTCACAAACAACGGACTGCCACCAGACGCACTGCGCCGAGTGCCGCCTGGGGTGTGCCTTGTTCCGCGCCGGCGTGCGCGCCGGGTCCGTGAACATCGATCTACATTTGGAACGGCCCGAATCTGTTGGAGGGAGCTACGCGGCGGTGGCGAAGCGCGACGCCGTCGACGTTGCCGCGGATCCAGCGATTAAAGCCGCGCTGAACGGCGCCGGCGCCGCGGATTTAGTGAAGCGCTTCGCGTCCGCGCGCCTCGAAGGCCACGCGCTCGCCTTCCTCGTCGGGGAGGTCTGCCGCGGCGCCTACGTCCAGGTGCCCTTCGCGGCCAGTGCATCAATGGGCGCGGCGCCGGCGATCCACGGCTTCGCCGCGCCGCTCTGGACGGCGGCGTCGGGGTGCCCCGGGCCGCCGTCCTCCTGATTTTTTTGTGTGTAAGTGTGCGTAGGAAAATCCCGCGTGGGCTAGCAGTAAGACACTAGCAACAAGCAGGCCGGCGTTGGCAAAGGGCAGCCCCTGCTGCGCTCAGTTCCTCAGCTTCCGAGCAAAGGACTGGGCCGTAGGACTCCTCATCGTCGTGGGCAGCGATCGAAGCCACAAACCAGCTATGCGACGACGATGACCCCATAACAAGACCAATGGGAGCCGAGGCCAAGGCGGAACGAGCAGCGGCGCCGGCTCCCGCCGACAGCAAGGCCAGCGACGAGCTCTTCGCGAAGCTCAAGGAGAAAGTAGCGCCGCCCGTAGCAGAAGCGAAAGGTGAAGAGAAGTCGGACGAGCCAAAACTGAACTACGTCCAGCGGCAAGAAAAACGCATCAAGGAGCGCCAGGAACGTCTAGCGGCGGCCGCCGAGGCCAAGGCCGCCGAGGAGGCGAAGTACGCGGACGAGAAGCCCTATGATGCGGGGCGGTGGAGCAACGCGCAGGGCGGCTGGGATACATCTCAGTGGGATTCGACAAATTACGACACGGCGGCCTACGAGCAGAGCCACTATGACCAGTCGCAGTATGCCTCGGGGTATGATGACGGCACCCAATACACGTACGACGACGGCACGCAATACCACGCCAGTCAGTACGAAGGTGGCGACCAGTCTGGCTACGAGCACTACGACCAGTCCGTCTACACGGAAGCGATCCCCGAGGAGGGCCAATACACGGAAGGCTACGGCCACGAAACGATCTACACCGCGCCCGTCGCCGAGGAGCCCTCTGCGTTCGGCGGCGACGCGAGCGTTTATAGTGCGGCGTACACCGCCGACCCCTCCGAATATGCTAGAGAAGAGCCGCAGCTTGAAGCCTCGACGGAGCAGCGGCTCTCGACGTACTCGGAGGAGCCGCAGCAAGTCGAGCTCGGTCCAAGGTGCCCCGACGCCTACACCGGCTACTTCGACACCGTGCGCCAGGAGCCCTACGCCTACGACGAGGCCACGGGCGAGTGCGTCTACGCCATTGCTGAGGATGGAGCCGTCTTCGAGGCCGACTATAGGCAGGTCTTGTGGGTGAGGCCCTACGAGAGCTCGTCCATCGTCGCGGCGCCGCCCGAAAGGCGCCCTAGGACGCCGTCCACGCAAATGGTTGAGTATGAAGAGGAGCGCGCCGCCTTGATCGTCCAGGCCGCGGTCCGGCGAGGCCAGGCCTGGGCCCGAGCCTGCGAGAGGGCCATTTCACTGTATGTGAAAAAACTCGACGAGGAGACGGCGTTCTACGCCTATGAATTGGTGGAAGGTGAGACCAGATGTGATGAGAAGGAGATATATCTTGTAAGCGCGCTCTGCCCTCAAATCGAGAATGAGAGGTTAAGAAGCGCCCTCACGGTCAACGCAACACAGTGGCACCGCCCCGCCGTCCTCCTAGGCACGAGGAGACGACGAGGCTTAATTCCATACGACAAGGACTGCCCCGACCAATCGGCAGACCTAGCCATGTACGACGACCACAGTGAAATCGTCTCACCACAAAATGACGACGAAGTAGATCGGTATGCCTGGCGCGTGCCCATGGAGCCCGCCTTGATGCTCAAAGGCCCTTTCTGCGCGCGGACGGGCCGGGGCAAGACGTGTCGGTTCGCGATCAACAAGCTGCCCGACTCGAAAGGGTTGCGGAACCACCACTCGGTGGACCAGAAAGTACCCTTGTTCTTGGACAACGACGAGATCGAGTGCAGCGAGTGGAAACTGGGCGACTGGGTCCAGTGTTTTGATGGGATGGTCCTGAAGAAGGCGCGTGCGCGGCGTCCCGTTCGTCTCGGTCAGAGAAGGCGCTGGGTGGTTTCTTACGGGAGATGCTCCGCGCAGGTCATGGTCGAGCCCTACATGCTTAGTAGGGGTGCTGGCGCCCAAGGCCCGACGGAGGTCGTGAAATTGATGCAGAAAAATCTCAAAAGACCGACGGTGTTGTACTTCTGTCTGATGAGCATCGCGAAGATGGAGTTGCGGGAGAGCGAGATGGGCCTGGCGACGAAAGAAGCTTCCGCGTGTGTGCTGCAGACCTTGAAGACGTTAACAAGGTATCCGAAAAATGAGCCATTAGTTGCGGCGGCTACGGGGGCCTTGGTCCAGCTCGCCCAAAATTACGCGACACGAGAGGTGATCTTAAAGGAGGAGTGGCAGCGGCTCGTCGTGAACGCGTTGAACAACCTCAAGAAGGAATCGAAGGAGCATCTCATAACGACAGTCGACGGCCAAGAAAAAATAACGGTGCACACGGCCACGCGGTGGGCGCGGGACACGGCGATGAACGGGTGCCGGCTGTTTGGGGTCTTCGCGGCGGACCCGAAACGGCGGGAGGACTTCGCGGAGGAGGCGATCAAATCTTGTTTAGTAGTCCTCGCCTTTTGTGATGAAAGCGCGACGGTCTGCTCGGCGGCGTGCGACTGCCTCTACAACTACTGCTACCGGTGCGAGTTCGCGGCTTTGTTGGCCGCGGAGCAGGGCGCCTACGAGAAGGTCCAGGAGGCCGTCGGGAATTTCATGAGTGATGAGCATTGCCAGAAGCAATGTGAACGGGCGATCAAAGTGTTGGCGCCGAACGGGTGGCGGGGGGAGGAGGTAACTTGAATGATAGTGGTTTCTCTGTCGTTCTTCGTTCTCGCCTCGACGGCGTCAACTCCGCCACCCGCGCCCGGCCGCGACGCGGATAGCCAGGACGCGTACTCTTGGCCTCGCATTGCTCTTGAGCCTTCCTGAGGCGCTCGAATGGCGCCTATGACGGGTGCGTGATGCGGCGGCGGAGGCAAAGGCTGGCATTTACCTGTGCAGCTGCGGCATCACGCGGGACAACACGCCTGAACGCCGAGGCGATACGCGAAGGCAACGTGTCGTCCGGTCACGTCAACGGGCGCGCAAGGCGTAAACGCGAAGTTGTCGCCCCCGTCGCCCTAGGCACAAAGTTAGGCCAGCCTTGTTTGCGATGCCGGACCGCGTTGCCGGAACAGCTGTACTACGCGCGGCCGGCGCCGGGCCCGCCGGCGAGCCTCAACCCGACGTTATTGGGCGCGAGCCCGCCGCCCGTACCGGCGCCCGTGCCGGCGCAGGCGTCGGCCGTGAACCCTGTTTTCATGCCGGCCGGGGCGTTCTACGGTAGCATCCCGGGCTACGTCTTCAAGCTCGGCCCGTGGGGCCTCGGTTATTATCTCGACCTGCCTCCGGCGCCCTCTACCGCCGTGATCGCGCAGCAGATGGCCCAGACGCGCGCGCCGCATCTCACGGCGCCGGCGGTCGCGCCCGCGCCGCAAGTGCAGGCGCTCGCGCCCGCCGCGGCGGCTCTGCCCCCGGCGCGACTCAAACCGCCGCCGCCGCGCACAAAAGGCCTTAAAGCGCCAGATGCCGCCCCACAAGTTCCGGCGGCGCCCCAAGCTGCGCCGGCGCCGGCGTCGACGGCCGCCTCGCCCGCGCCCGCGGCGCCGGCGTCGACGCGCCCGTCCCGCTGGACGCGCGAAGAGGAGGGAAGATTGCGAAGCCTCGTCGCCGAGCTAGGTGACAACTGGAGCCTCGTCGCCGAGCGGCTCGGTACCGGGCGGTCGGTCGGCGCCTTGGAGACCAAGTGGTCGAAGCTGGAGGCGGCCGCGCTGCGCGACCTTGTGCCCGACGCGCTCCCGGCACCGGCGCCCGCGCCCGTGAGAGAGGTGGACGAGTCCGACGACGAGGTCATGCCTACGAGAAAAAAACGCGGGTACGTCACGCTCTCAGACCGCGCGCCCAGACCTTCCAGACCGCCCGACACGTCCTCCTCGGACGACGAGGTCATGCCTACGAAACGGCCGCGCGGTCCCCCAAGACGGCGGGGTAACTAAGTAGCCACGACTAAATTACGGGCGCCGACAGGGGCAGCTTGTAGCCGCAGTCCTGGATGGTGCCCTTCTTGCCCTTGCCGTCCGACGACCCAAAACCCTCCATGCAGACACACGTCCCCGTCATCTCGTCGCAGAGGCCCCTTCCACTACATTCCTTCGAGTCGACGACGGCGGTCGTGAGCGGGTCGTCGCCGAAGGGGCAGAAGCGCAGCGAGCAGTCGTAGCCCCGGTAACCCTCGTCGCAGCGGCAGCCCCGGACCGCGTCGGCGTCCCACGTGTAGGGGTCGTCCGGCGTGCTTCTATAGGTAAAGCCGTTCGCCTGGGCTAGTTGCTGCATCGTGAGGCACTGGCCGTGGCCCGAGCACGGCGCCGTCTCGCCGGGACACGCCAGCACGTCGCACGCGGCCCCGCTAAACCCATCCTGGCAGAAGCAGACTCCTAATGTTCGATCACATGTCCCCATGCCCGAGCACTCCTCGCGCGTCACGTGGGCCACGTCCGTCGCCGTCGGGTACGCGTACCACGCCGGCCCGTACGGGCACGTCCGCTCCGAGCAGTCCGCGGCGCGCCAGCCCTCCTCGCAGCCGCACGCAAAGGTCTCTTCGTCGCAGACGCCGTGGCCGTTGCACGGGATGTCGCCCGGGCAGCCCGTGATCGACGCGAGGTTCACGGCGACGCCACAGTCGCCGCGCGACCCGCGCATGCCGTAGCCGTCGGAGGACCCCCAGAACTCGCCGTCGCACGCGCATCTGCCGGATAACGGGTCGCAGAGCCCGCGGTTCGAGCAGACGGCGTCCTCCTTGTCCGACGTCTGTTTTAACGCTACCGCTAACGAGGGTGAGATGATGATTGACGAATGCGTCAACTCCGTCGCGTCGGGCACCAACAACGGAATATCTCCGAAGTCCTGGTTGAACTGGATGATTGCCGTGACGCCCGACGCGGCGCATAAAGTGGTCGCTGCGTTGTCATATAACACGGAGACGGCGCGGCCGGTCAATTGGGCGTTCAATGGTCTTGGTAACATCTCCCGCTGGTCCCCGAAGGCTTCATCGCCCGCCCCACCTCGTAGAGTAGGCAGCTCCAACAACGCCGCGCGCACCGTCGCGGACGAAGAGTCCCACGCCAGCGGTCTGGTCGTCGCTCCGCGAAACGACAGAGCTACAGACCCACCATCACCCATGCACACGAGCATCTGTTGGACCACTCTAGAACCAGAGGTATACGGATCGTCGCCGCGAGGACATTCCACGAACTCGCAGTTCGGCCCCCAGAAGCCCGTGTCACAATCGCAGCCGTGCATCATGGTCGCGTCCCACGCGTTGTAGGTTTGCACCGGGGCGGAGAAGGGCGGGTCGGCGCTGTGGAAGTGGCTCAGGGATGATCTTGAGTCGCCTAGATCTCTCCGCAACGCCCGATCTTTGAGTGATCGACAAACACCTCTTCCGGTGCACAATAACGGGCCACAAGCCCGTCTCTCACACGCCGCGCCCTCGAAGCCGACACCGCAGACACAAGTACCCCCCAACCGATCACAATTACCTCTTCTAGAGCACTCCGCCGGCTGGTGGCCCACGCCGTCCCCCGTAATTTGTTCGGGGTGATCGGCCCACGCGGGCCCGTACGGACACGTCCTTTGCGAACAGTCGGCACCTTGATACGTGTCCGCGCAGTGGCAGACGTGCCACGCATCACACAACCCGTGGCCCGAGCAGGAGTTCGGGCAGGGGCTGAAGCGCTCCCTGGCTCCCGCTGTCGTGAGTAGTAGGGCGCACGCGAGGCGCCGTCCCATGGCTGCCCTTCCGCTATCGGTGCTGCCCCTGAGGCATACTTTGCTGATCTGATGTGTGGCTCGTTGATGGAGCGCGCCTGAGCACGCACAGAGAAGCGTTGGCCTCTCCAGCGCCGGACCGCAAAACTTAAAACCTAGCGTGCCGAAGCCTACTAGCTGAGACGCACGAAACGACAAGTACTAATCTCTCCCCCGGGACGTCGAGGGGATATGTTACGACGCCATCGCCGCGACGGCGTCCGGTGGGGTAGACTGCAGGCCCCCACCACCACGCCATCGCCGCGACGGCGTACACGTGGACAGAAAAAGAAATGCACCGAACTAGTCTTAGCCCGGCGGGAAAATTGGGCGCGGGAAAAGGACCTACTTCTTCGCGGGCGCCGGCGCCGGCGCGGCGTCGCCGATGATCGAGTCCAGCAAGCCGGGCGCGGGCGCCGGCGCCGGCGCGCCGAAGACGCGCTCCTTGAGGCCCGGCGCCGGCGCCGGCGCCGGCGCTTCGCCCATGATCGAATCCAGGAGCCCGGGTGCCGGCGGTTCCTCCTTCTTACCGAGTAAACGCTCCATCATGCCCGGCGCCGGCGCCGGCGCTTCGTCAGAAGTGAGCCGTTTGAGCGTGTCGTCGGCCGCCTGCAGGGCGTCGTTGAACGTCGCTTCCGTGGACTTGAGGGCCTCGTTCAGCACGGGGTACTCCTTCTCGACGGCGTCTTCTCTGGATGCGTCTCTGCGAACCGTGAAGTCCCACATCCTCCGGTAGAACGCTCCTATTATAGCGATAAAAGGCAACAAGACCAAATCCCTCCAAAACGTCGTCCGCGGCGCCAGACCGCTTCCAGCCCTTACGAGTAACCCAAGCCCAAAATCGCCGCAAGCGCACGCGTAGTGGCCCCGCTGTAAAGAAGATAGTAAAGCGGCCGCCACGCTCTCGGGCTGGTGCGTCGGCTCGCCGGCTTCGATCGCCCTCGTCACTCTAGGTTTTTCGGCGTTCTCCTTGTCGAAGCCGGGCGTCGCCATGCCCGGCGGCAAAGCCAAGTGGACCGAGACGCGCGTCGCCGCGAGTTCCGAGCGTAAAACTTCGGCTAGACCGCGCACGGCCCACTTCGTGGGCGCGTAGGCCGCGTAGCCGGCGTAGCCTGTTAATGCTAGACCAGACGACACCAATACTAAAGCTCCAGAGTCCCGCTCCAGCAGGCCCGGTAGAGCCGCCCGTACCGTGCGAACCACACCCATGTAGTTCAGGTCCATCTGTCGCTTGAACGTATCTCCCTCCGTCTCCAGGAAGAGCTTGGGTTGCGCCGAGCCGGCGTTGCAGACCACCGCGTCCGCGGGCAATTTTTGCGCGCGTTCCGCGGCTTGCAAAGCGGATTCGATGGAGCTTGAGGACGTGACGTCGCCGACGACGCCGATGCATTTTTTAGTTTTGCTGGCCTCGTTGATCTCGAGGACGGCGGCGTCGAGCTTGGATCTTGTGCGCGCGATCAGCGAGACGAAGTGTCCTCTCGCGACGAGTTTGTGCGCTAACGCCTTGCCCAATCCCTCAGAACCGCCCGTGATGATGACGTGGCAGCCCTTTGATTTGGGCAGCCAGCTCCTTCCTCCGATAAAGGAGCAGTAAAGAAACTCCGCGGCGAGGACCGCGAGGATTACTTGAGCCCACTGCGGTATCGACTCGTACCACGGCTTCGGGGCCTCCTCCTTAGACTTGCCCCAGCGCTTCTTCGGCGCCTCCTTGGGCTTGTCGGCGGGCTTCGGCGCCGTGGCTGGGCTGGTCTGCTTTGCCGGCGCGGCGGCGGGCTTCTTCCGCGCGGCAGTCGCCGGCTCGGCCGCGGCCGCGGCGATGGCGCATAGGGCGAGTACTGCTACGTTGCGCATTATGCTTTTGGCTGCTCGGAGAGCTTGATCGATTACTCCGCAGCGCGGCGTCGGCTGGCAGCAGGCTCGCGGCTGAATGTACCTGTTGGCTGCGAGTCTACACACGCTAAGTCACGGTCGCCCTTTTGCTAATGGCCCCGAGATATAGCACAGGATCGAGGCTGCCGAATTAATGGAAAAGGACCTAGCTTGAGACACTAGCAAGCAGGCCGAGGGCTCGCCACGGCGTCGAGGCGCACCCCAACGCCATCGACGCGACGCGGCGCCAGATAGCTACGATAAGAGTTTTCATTACGCGGACGCGAACGTCGACGCGGGGACTATGTGCAGCATGTGACTTGACGTGGGAGGAGTATGTACAGCTTGCGCCGCCTCTAGGCCGAGATGGCGTGGCCCGTGGACATGTCCTTGACCTCGGGCGGGACCTCGTCGGAGCCAAACGAGAAGTCCTTGCCCGAGTTCGACGCGTCCGAGGCCTTGGAGATGGTTTTTTCGAGGGCCGCGGCGTGCTTGTCCTCGATGACCGGGTCCGTGAGGCCGGCCTTCTGGAGGAAGTGCGACGCGATCAGGCCCGCACAGACCACGGAGTAGGCGATGGCGAAGCGCCAGCCCTCGTTGCCCGGGGCCCGTTCCGCCCACGTGACTTCGCCTCTCGTCGCGCGCCCGTCGGCACCGATACTATGACCCTGCAGGTTGTTCGAGTGCATGACTCCTGCGCGGAACGACGCTCGTGCGGCCACGTCGACGCCATCGCCGCGACCGCGTCACGTTCAAGGTTCATATCAAACGCCGGGTCCGTGCCGAACATGGACAGCCAGATCGCGACGAAGCAGAAGGCCGCCGCGCGCCAGTAGCGGTGGTCGATCAAATCACTAAAGATCGCCGTGATGATCAACGCGTTCATGATGCCGCCGCCCGCCGCGAGGTTCCACAGCCCCCGCGTCTTCTCGACGAAGGCCGCGTTCTCGTTGTAGCCCCCGCTCAACGTCCAGTTCGCGAGGACGCACATCAACCCGAGCATCATCGCCGGGTAGGATCTAGCATTTGTGACCCACAACGCGTTGCGCACGATCGACAAACCAACAGCGAGAATAATCACGTTCATAATAACTAAAGGAATGACGGCGTTGATCATCGCGAAGAAGCCCGCATTCAACAAGAACAGGAACAGCAACGCGTTCGCGAGCCCGTAGCCGCAGGACGCGCCGTTGCCCTTGTGGATCGGATGTCCCAGGTAGATTGGCTGGCTGAGATGAGCGCTCAGGAGTCTGAGGCCGGGTCGACCGACTTCTCTCTGTACGTTGCAAAGAGGCATGATACGCTTCTTTGATGCGTGATTCGCGTGGTTTTTTTGGCAATCGGACTTTCACCCCCGGCCCGGGGACCAACAACATATACTCTACACAGTAGTACGATTACGCCACGACGCATTGCGACGACGACTTCTTCGGCGGTCGACGCCGCGGCCGCGCCTGGGCGGCGGCCGGCGGCGGCGGCGGCCGGCTCCGCGCGGCCGCGTCCTCCTCGGCCTGGAGCTGTCTGGCCAAAGCAGCGTCAGCGTCCGCCTCCGCGCGCTGGAGTTGCCGCGCGAGGGCCGCGTCGGCGTCCGCCGTGGCCGCGCCTGGCGCGCTGGCCGGCGTCACCTCCGTCGCGGCCGCGGTCGGTAGCGGCGCCGACGCCCGCTCGCGCGCGGCCTCGTCGTCGCGCGCGAGCTGCAACGCTAACAAATGGTCGGGGTCCTCGCTGCTCGTCGGCGCCGCGGGTTTGAACGTCGCGTCGCAGAAGTCCGTGTCGCCGCCGACGTCGTCGAGGCGCTCCCAGATGATGTTCTTCTGCTGGCGGTCTGCGCGGGGGGTCGCGTGAGGGCACGCCATCGCCGCGATGCCCGAGTAAAGAAGGACGCCGGCCGCCGACAGCCGATGTCCGTCACTAGAGCATAGAGCACGCCGTCGCGCTTGAACACCGTCGAAAAGTGCAGGTTTCTATACAACACGCCGACCTCGTTCTCGCGTAACGTGGAATGGATCTCCGCGAGGCCGGCGTAGGTGAGTTGGGTTTTGGTGCGCTCGAGGAACGCGCTCACGAGCTCCGCCCGTTGCTTCGCGGCGCCCTCGAGCTCGTCCGTCCGCAACTGTACAACCTCCTGGATGCACTCGTTGTAGCTCCGGGAACCCAATGCTTCGGCCGTCTCGGGATCGTTCTCTCCATCCACCCGCCAGCCGTGGACCAATCTCACATCTAGTAAATCGAAGATGGCCAGATCGCTCGTGAACTCAAAACCGCCGTTGAACTTTACATTGACATCAAGCCCTTCCGCCAGCGTCGGCAGGCGCGTCACGGCCCCATCTAACGCGGCGCGCACGTTCAGCGACGCCTCGTCCGAGCTCTCCTGGGCGCGCTGGTTCGCCTCCATCATCCGATCCGCGAGGCGCGCGAGCACGTCCTGCAGCGTCAGCGCGCCGTGGTCGGAACTTATCTTCAGGGTCCCGCGCAGCAGCAACGCGTTCACGACACCTAAGAGCGCGCAGGGGCCGAACTCGTTCTGGCCGAGCGTCGGCACGTCGCGGCCCAAAAAGTTGATCGTGCGCACGGGGAAGAGGTCGTTGCTATCCACGGACGCCATCTGGTCGACGCGGCGACTGGCGTATCGCGGCGGCGGCGTTGCAGCGCAGCCCTACGAGCGGTCGAGACGCGGCGATGCGTGCGAGCGCTGCGAGAGGAAAGCAGTGTTTGGCTGCAGAGGTGTTGTTACTCCTTGCACGCGCACGAGCGCTGGAAAAACGCCCGCAGTCGCTGTAAGAGATGATCAGCTGTCTCGAGACAATGTATGAATGCACCAACAGCGCGTACGCGGCAGGCGGCGCTCGTGGAGCAAATTTCTCTCGGGTTTTACAGCTGAGCCACAATATTTTACATTCGTTTGGCTGCTACGCCGTCAATATCACTTCTCTGACCGGCTGCATGTGCTGCTGACACCCGTATTGTTATCTGGCATGGCTGAGGCGCCGAAAACAGCGGCTCCAGCCGCCAAAAAAGCGCCTGCAGCCACGCCACCTACTCAGAGTCAGCAGGGCGGCCCGCCGACGGACCTCGGCCCGGGCTACGCCGTCGAGCGCCAGATCGGCACGGGCTCCTTCGCCACGGTCTGGCTCGCCACGAAGGACAACCAGTCAGTAGCGATCAAGGCCGTCGATCGAAGCCGACTCACGAAAAAGCTGCGAGCCAACTTGGATGATGAGATCAAGATCCTTGGCAGTGTCAAACATCCCAATTTGGTGGCGTTCGTCGATGCGGTGCCGCGACCGGAGCGTATTTATGTCGTGCTCGAGTTTCTGGCCGGAGGCGACCTGCAAAAATATATCCGGAGCAAAGGTAGACTGCAAGAAAGCACGGCCCAAAAGTGGATCGGCCACCTCGCGGCTGGTTTAGAATGTTTGTGGAGCCGGTCTTTGGTCCACCGGGACCTCAAGCCACAAAACTTGCTGTTGACGGAGGCGTCAGATCAAGGTGTGTTAAAAATCGGCGACTTCGGCTTTGCGCGGCAATTAGGACCGTCTAAACTCGCGGAGACCCTTTGTGGAAGCCCCTTGTACATGGCTCCCGAAATCCTAGCTCTGAAGAGGTATGATGCAAAAGCCGACCTCTGGTCCGCGGGCACGGTCCTCTTCGAGATGGTCGCCGGCCGGCCGCCCTACACGGGGCGAGACCACCGGGATCTACTGAGGAACATCCGACGGAAGGCCTTGCGGCTGCCAAAAGACGTGACTGTGTCCAGAGAATGCCTGGATGTCCTCCAGAAGCTGCTGCGGCGGGACCCTTTGAAGCGGTGCGCCTTCGAGGACTTCTTTCGGGATCCCTTCGTGAACGGGTGTGCTCTTACACAAGTCGTGGGCGACCCCTTTGCGCTGGCGCCGGTCGCGGAAGTATCTTCCTCACCTCCCGAGAAGCTGGCGTCTCCGATACTGAGAGCGGCGAACGCGGCCGCGGCGTCTTCACTCTTAGCTTCTAGACCGCCGCCCTTCATGACCCCCAAGTCGCCCTCGGCCCCGTTCGCGGCCCTCGTCTCGTCCTCCTCGTCGTCGCCGCGCGCGACGCCTCGGAAGATAGAGGGCCGGCCGCCGCGGTCGCCGACATCTCTCAAGAAGCCGTCAATGCCCACGCCGCCGCGGTCCGCGCCCGCGTGGAATCAACCATTCGTCACTGCGCCGTAAAACTTTTGACTTCCGCACAGGTCCACGCCGTCGACGCCCGCGCGGAAAGGGCCTCCTCCCCCTCCTTTCGCCTCGCAGAACTCGCCAGCGAAGGCGTCGCTCGGACGCATGCGATCCATGTCGGACCCGACGGAGCCACCCACACCGGTGAAGACGCCGTCACCTCCAGCAGCTTCTCCTCGGAAGCGCTCGTCCACCGTCGACGGACGATCGCTCGACGAATTAACCTTACAAGGCTATGTGGTCGTCGACGATCCGACTTCGCTCCAAGCCCATCGAGTCCAAGTTTTTGCGGCTTTCGCGCTATCTCGCTTGGCCGACGGCGTCAAATCTGGTGAGGACGAGTGCGAGGCCGGCAAGGCCGTGGTCTTATATGGCGAAGCGTTGCGAGGTTTGAAGAGAGTCGCTACTGCCTTAGTACCTCATAAAAATGAAGCGAAGGCCGCCGAACTTTTGAGTCTAGTGGAGGACGCGCGCCAGTCGATCGTGGAACGAGCCGCGTCGTGCCGAGACATGCTCGGGGCTACTGCTGTTGATTTACCTTCTTCTCGCGACGTGGCGATGGGCGTCTGTACGTCTCTGTCCAAACGGGGCGCGCAATGTGATCAGAACGGCGACTGGAAGGCGGCCAAGGTTCTTTACGAAAGAGCCGTCGAGGGCTTCCGGGCGTTACTGGCTTTGGGCGGTTTGAGTGACGAGGCGACGGACCACGTGGTGGCCATGGTCGGGCCCGAGGGCGCGCTATTGGACGCGCTGAAGACGATCGACGACCAACTTTGAACTAGATTGTTTGTTCCTATATAGAGTAAGAAGCTTGTAACCTTAACGAATGCGCGGGTGGCGGGGGGTCTCCAGGGGACCCGTCGGGGACTTGCGGCGAGGCGCGCGCGGGCTGCGTCTAGTCATCTTCGTCGTCTTTGGATTCAGCGCCTCCAATGCTTGTGGTCCACCCGTCACCTTCCTGTTTGGAAACCGTCCCATTTGGATAGGTCACGGTCCACCCTTCATCTCTGGTCCAGGCGGACGTCGTGCCCGGGGAGTATCCTAGAAGAGAACCAACATCGCCAAGGTTGGGAAGGAGGACAAGGCCCACCAAGGCGATTGCGGCGAGAGTCGCGACCAAGCCTACCTGCAAACCTAAAACGAGGGCCGCGGAGCCGCCGGCCAAGGCCAAGCCCAGGCCCGCGACATTGCCTTGGATCGATCCCTTGCGGTCTTGCGAGTACCACTTGCCGTCTTCGCTGTCAGCGGGGAGGCCACGATATTTCCAGCTCGTCAAGGGCGCCTCAGCCCGCTCCAACAGCACGAACGTTTCTTTCGGGCCTTTGAACAGCGCTACTTGACCGTCACAGTCAATAAGTGGGAAAGAGATGTCAGGAAGGTTCATATCGTCAGGGTAATTCCAGGCGATGGCGCCGCCGAACAGCTCGGTCCGCCTAAAAGTAAAAGAGACATTGCGCGACTCTTCGTCGAACTCGAGCGGGCCATAGAATCGCATGACGGCCCAGTCTCCCTTGAAGAAACCGAAAGAGGCAATCGAGCCCGGAACATCGATGGTTTCGACAAAATCTCCTGCCGGGAAGGGTGCCACAAAGGTTCCGTTCGAAAGAAGCGCCGCTCGAGGGCAGGGTAAGGGGGACCCTGCGACGTAACTAGCCTGAGCCACAGGTTTGAGAGCCTTTGCGCGTCGATAGCGGCGCACGCCTACAAAATGAATCGGATCCATCCGTGCCGTGCGTTGTAAACTACTACTTACAGGTCGTCAAACCGCGCCACCTCTAAACTTCGGCCGGAGCTCGTGCGCCGTGTTCGTATAGCCCATCTTCCAGGCCGGCGCCGTCTTCACCGGAGACTTCATTGAAAAAGCTTCCGACCGCGTGGAAGCGGGCGATTGAGGAGGAGACGCGGGGTCGTCGGCAATCAACCTTTCAAATAAATCACGGGCGTCCTCGGCCATGCGCAGCCCCTCCGTGTAACAGCGCGCCGCCGCCGTCTCGTCGAAGTAATCTAGGTTCTGTTTTTTGGATTTGCGCGTGGCCGGCGATAAGGGTATGGTCGGCGAGGGCCTTTTGGACTTTTTGTCGAGTTTTGTGGCTCCGAACCGCATGTAGTTCGTCCTCTTTTCGAGTAAAACCTTCTTGGGCTTCTGCGGCTTCGGTCGCTTCACATCAGGTGATTTGTCCCAGAAGCGCGGCCGCCGATTCAATCTAAAGGGCGACGCCGCGGACAACGGCGACACGGCGTCGATCGGTTCGAAGACGGGTCCAGAATCGTGCCGCGCGACGGGCGTCGTGTCCCTCGTTGGTTCTTCTGGAGGTGGTGGTGGCGGTGGTGGCAGCTCTGGGGTTGCCGGTTTTACAAATGAGAGCTTGGGAATCACCGTAGGAGAAGTGGTAGAAGCTTGCGGCCGGTGCACGGGCAGCTCGATGACCGCCGAACTTCCAGAGGACTCGTCGTCGGAGTCGGGCTCGACGGGCGCCGGGGCCGGGTCGGACCGCTCCGACGACCGGCGAGAAGCGGGCGGGTCGGACCGTTCCGACGACCGCCTACTTCCAGCAACGCGCGCGAGGAACGCGACGTCATCCCCAAAAGACTCTTCACGACGATGCGAGGCCGGGCTGTCCGACGTCGGGAACGTCAGGCGCGACGGTCGCGCTGCTTCGATCGCTAATGCTGGTACTGGTGACGGTGAAGGAGAACTTCCAGGAGACCCGCCCCAGAATTTCAATCTATTGGCAAACCGCTCCTGCGAGTCGCTGCGGCGGTGCTGTTTTTCTTCGTTCTCCCGTTGTTCCACAAGCGCGCGGTAACCTGCTCTAAATTCCGAGAAGGTCAGCCGCTTGTCTCCGTCGCCGTCGAAGGCCCCGAAGGCCCTTATGAACTTGTCTCTAGATCCATCCTCCTGCTTGACGTGCTGCGGCTCCAAGCCTAAAGCTCGCGCAAAGTCCGCGTTGGCCCGTAGGGCTTTGATGGCCTCGATGATGGACACCTCGCCGTTGCTATTCGCGTCCGCACTCTCAAAGGCCGCCCGCAAGGCTTCGTCACCTAGTGGCGTCGGCGCCGGGGGTATCGGTGCTGATGCGAAGGGCTGCTGCGGCGCGTTCGCCTCGGCCCTGGCCCTTGCTATGGCCGCGGCCGCGTCGGCTGGGAGTACCGCGCTGTCGGTCGCCGACGCCGCCGACGGCGTGTCCTTGGACTTTGACGAGGACGGCTTCTGTTCCGACGACGCTTGCGACGTCGGCGTCCGGGCGGTCTCGGCCGGTTGTGCGGCCGGCGGTGCGACCGCGGCCGGCGCCGCCTTTTGTTCCGACGACGCTTGCGACGTCGGCGTCCGGGCGGTCTCGGCCGGTTGTGCGGCCGGCGTGGTGGCCGCGGCCGCGGCGGGCGCCGCGGCCTCGCCGGACGCGGCCGGCGCCGCCACCGCGACCGCTGCCGCCACCGCCGGCGCCGCGGCCGCGCCGGGCGACCAGGGCGAGCCCGGCGGGCCGCCGCCCGCCTCGACGCCGCCTTTACCGGCAGACAAAGGGTGCTCCGGCGATTTGGCGCTCCTCAGCAACACCGAGGACACCGGCGTCCGCGGGGGCTCGGACCGCGCCGGCGTCGCGCCGCCGTCATCATCGCCGCCGCCGAAGACCGCGTCTAACAAGGCCTCAGGATCGGCCCCGCGGTCCTGCTTCAGGGGAACACGGTCTACGATGGGAGAAGCATTCACGGCGTCCTTCTTCGGGACCGCCGCCGGCGACGACGGCGTCAGGCCCTTGGCCCAGGCTCGCCTCAACGGACTGTCCTCCCCCAAAGGTTTCCTTTCGTACGTCGGCGCCTTCGCGTCGGCCGGTTTGTTGATCTCCCGCGGTTCGGCGTCGAGCTTCCGCGCGACTGTTGGCGAGGGAAATACGTGTTTCCGGCGGCTCATCGGGCTCCGAGAAGGAGAGGGCGCCACGCTTATTTCGTCCTTCGGTAAGACCACAGCTCTCATACGCGCGGCTTCTGCTGGCGTGACCGGCACCTTGAGGGAAGGGCTCTTGAGGTCCGGCGACAGCGGCGCCGACGGCTCCTCCTCGGGCACGAGGCGGCCCTCTCTGGTATATTTTTTGACAATCGCGTCTAATAACTCGGGCTCGTGGACGCCCTGCTCCTTGTACTTCTCGATGAGCTTATCCGCGCCGGGCACCTTCTCGGCGTTGTGTCTAGCGTAGAAGGCGAGGATGTCCTCGCGGGCTTTCGCCCTTCTTTCTTCTTGATTCTCCTCCACAATTTTCTCGGCAGCCTCCTGGAGGGCCTCCATCTTCTGGGGCGTCTCCGGGCTTGTGGCGGGCGAGATGTCCAATGTTGGAGGTGGACTTTTGGGAGGCGGCGGCACGTTCGGCGGACTTTGGGGGTCGGCGCGCTTGTCGCGCAGCGGGTCCCGCCTTGACGTCTTGGTTTCTTCCACTCCAGGCGGCGTCGGCGGCCTCATGGCAATGACAGCTAGCGCCTCGCCACCTTGCACGCACTTGCAACTGAGCCAGCCTGCCACGGGCATTGAAATCCTACAGCGCGGCACGCCCTCCGGAGCGACGCTCACTTCCTCGACCACGATCATGTCGTGGGGCGCCAATTGCCTCACTTTGGCCGAGGCCATGTCCACGCCCGCTCTGATCAACGCGCCGGGCGCCTTGACGGCGTAGCGCCGCGGTAGCGTTTTCGCGGCCGAGAGGTGGGTGTCATGAGAGTCCTCCGGTGTCGGGGACGAGGGCTGGTCCGACGGCGCCGCCGCCTGGAAGGTGGGCGACGCCGCCTGGTCCAGCGACGCGTCCGAGGCCGGTCGGGGTGGAGGCTTCGCCTCCATCCGAGCTCGCAGCGCGGCCAGCTTCCCGCGCATCTCGCCGAAGTCCGCCTCCAGTTGTTCAGGCGCCGCAGCCCCCTCGCTCGACGCCGAGACCTCCTCGAACTCCTCGTACTCTTCGTACTCGCCACTTGTCGGGGAGCCGCTGTCGGTGCGCTCTTCGACGACCACCAGCTCCTCCTCGTCGTCTTCCGTCTCCGTGGCGCTGCCGATCAGGGCGTCGACGTGGGCCGGGTCCATTGTGTGTTGTGGAACAGCAGCGCGGCCGAAGTTGAGCTTGATGCTTTTGCGTGCGGTCGCCGCGGGGTTAGACTACCCGGTTGGCAGTCCCGCGGCGGCGTAGCTTGCGCTTCGCGGTAGCTGTGGAACAGCAGTTTTGGTCTTGGTGGCTGCCCCTGGATTGATTGCGGCGCAAGTTATGGATGGCCCGCCTGCTGCGCTTGGCAAAAACGCGTCCGACGCGGCGACGCACCGTGCGCGCCTGCCCCGCGTGGGGAATCTGTGCCGTCCGCCGCCCGACGCAATGCCAAACAGTGCGGGGAGCCCCAAGCCCAACCCTTCATTTCTACCTCTCGGAGCCCTCGCTACCGTTCCCTGGGTCCTCCTCTCGCTTCGATTGCATTTTTTTAACCCCCCTCCCCGGCCAGAGAGGCTCAAAAGCCTCTCATCAGCGCTACGTGCAAAGGCCATCGTTCGGCCCTCCCCGGCCACCTGCAGACCCATACGCCGGTCGCACGCCATCACAACAACCTCGAGCCCAGGTCCTGCGCTGCCCCGCTGCCGCCGCTGGCCCTGCGAAGGCACAACGCGGCCTCAGACACAGAGGCGCTGTTGAGCCCCGCGCCGTCGCCGCGAGCAAAGCGAGGCGCTATGACCACCCGCGGCAGCTTGATACAAACGTCCGTCCCCAACCTCACGTCCGCTTCCACTGTAAGTGGAGCGAACTTCACGCTCACGAAGCCGAAGGGCAAATATGAACAAAGTAAGAAGTACTTTGGGCCTCTGCAAGCCGCCGTACCCAGACCAACAGGAAAAACAGCAGTAATCTACGAGAAGGGAGGCTGTGATTTCCGGTTCTGCAACCTGTCCTGTTTGGGCCCGCAGAAGGTGAGCTGGCCGCACATGAAAAGCGGCGGCAACGCCACGTTCGCCCAGTTCGACCGGTTCAAATTGGAGCCCTCTCGAAGCCCGGGCCCCAAGTACTGGCTCCCCGGCGCGACGGGCAAGCAGGTGAATTCTACCAAACCGACGCGGCCCATCGTGGGCTTCGGGACGGGCACGCGCGACGGTGCCCTCAAACAGTACGGGGTGTGGTCGGCATAAAGGTTATCTTATACTAAAAGTTTGTTTGAGAGCGGATGTGGCGGTGACGTTCCACGTCTGGGACTGCTGTTCTATTAATCCATCTCCATCAATCTTCCAGACCAAGTACGACTCCCAGGGCTCGATCTTCGGCCGCCAGGGCAGCTGCAGCGTGCCGACGCTTCGGACCGTCGCCGAGATCGTGCGCTTGGCTTCGTCGATGATAGGACCCTTCACCAGGGTGACACTGGACTCATTTGGATCGAAGAGGATCGTGAGCGCTTTGCGGTACTTTGCTAGGGACGTGACGTCGTTCGTCGGGTCCACGAACCGACAATCGTCCCTGAATATTTCCGGGGTCAGGTCGCCGCTGATGGGATAGCCTCCTTTGCCCGTAGCACCCTTTTCGATATCCCTCGCCAACGTCTTGGCGAGCAGCGGCAGGCACTCGGGCAGCACCTCGCTCAGACAGATGCGTTTCGCGCCACCCAGAGTTGCAGTTGCGGAGCCGAGCGGCGCCAAGGCGGTGTATTTCCGCACGGTCGCGGGGAGCGCGTCCAGTGCGCGAGCGGGCACCGCGGTGCCGAGTCCTGCGCCGAACGCGGCTGTGTGCAGCCAGTGCCGGCGGCTCGCCTGGCGCTCGCCACATGCCGTCGGCGCGTGAGACGTGCGCACGGCAGCAGTGCTGCAGAGAGAGCAGAGGGCTGTAGACAGCGTCAACGCATGCGTGCGCATTTTTGCCGATGCCGACAGCTTCAGATATGCTTGTTTGGCGCCCGTGAGAAATTTGGATGGCAGGGGTCAATTTATGCGGGAGCTCTGCTCTCTCAGATGGAGGTCTGCTCTCCACAGCCATCTCCGCTAAAGCTGCCAATTCGGCGCGCTGAGACTCTCCGCAACGACTGCTCGTCTCCGCTGGCACCAGGGACCATCAAACTCATCGGCAGAGCAAAGAAACGGCTCGAAACGCCGTCTCGCGCAGAGAAACACAGCCCAGCAGCCGCTCCTGGTCTCAGCCACGCAAAATGTTCGCCCGCCGCCCGGAGCGCAACGCCCTCCTCGACAACGCGCAACCACCCGCTGATCCGCCGACGCCCACAAGGCCGCAGCTCAATCATTTCCACTCCATCAGCATCAGCGACCTCGACGCGTCGGACAGGAGCCCGCAGTGCTACGCCGCGCTATTGGTATTAGCCTACTTCGTGCTTGGGGTGCTGTACTACTCGTACCTGGCCGCGCCGGAGAAGTTCACACTTATTGATGCGCTCTACTTCACGGTCGTAACTATAACAACAGTAGGGTACGGAGACGTCAACGGCGACTACAAATTAGTCGACACGTCGCAGGACAAGTTGTTTACGGCGCTGTTTGTGTTGCTGGGTGTGGGTATTATTGGTGCTGCCGTCGGCGTCGTCCTATCGGCGATTTTAGATAGAGAAGACGAGCTAGCTGAACGACTAAGCAGGCAGCAAACAACAGAAACGGTCCGGAGGAGGCCCAGTTTACTAGGCAAGAAAGCCCTGTCGCCGGCCCAGGCGAAGTGTGTGGTCTCGGCAGCCCAATTGGTGCTGGTACTGCTCGGAGGCACGCTCATCTTCGAGCGCCTGGAACACGTTTCTCTATTGACAGCGTTCTACTGGTGCTGCGTCTCGGTGACGACGGTGGGATATGGCGACGTCGCGCCCGAAACGTTCGCGGGCAAGGCCTTTGCTTGTGTTTTCCTGCTCGTGGGCACGGTGTTGATGGCGAAATCATTAGGAGACATCGCGGGCCTGCCCCTCGAGGCGCGCCGGAAACGACTGGAGAAGAAGGTCCTCGAGCAGTACGGCGACCACCTCGATGGAGAGGAGTTCGCCGAAATTCTGCGGTACGCCCACTCTCAAGGCTTGTGTGACTCGGCGACGAGCTGCTCGAAAACCGAATTCGTCCTCTCGATGCTTCTCAAACTCGACAAAATTGACAAGGACGACATCCGGCCGTGCGTACAGGCGTTCGATCACTTGGATAGCGACCACTCGGGGCGCTTGGATGCCGGCGACGTCCTGGCGGCGGCCGACGCCGTCGTGTAACTTACTAGTGTGGTGACTTACTTAAGCGTCGATCAAGCTGCAAGTTGTAGTTCCTCCGCGCCACGGCGGCCGCGGTCGTCAGATGCGGTCGTCGTCGCGACGGGGCGCCTTCCCTAGGAGAACGAATCCTCGTCGTCGGAGGATTACTGAAGCGTATATTCCATTCGACCGCGCCCGACGGCGCGCCCCGCACGCGCTCGATTCGAGTTGCACCAATGTGCTGTCGGGGCAGCCTTAACAAAGAACCAAAAATTATACCATGCGCCGCACGCTCCTCGCCGTCGCGCTGACCACAGCAAATGCCCAGCGCAAGCTCTTCTCCCAGCTGCCGGCCGAGTTTGATGAAGCTTTCGACCATGAGCCCCTGTTCATTCCCGCCGCGGCGCAGCCCGACGACGCCGCGTACCTGGCCGCGCTCGCGGACCTCGCGACGCCGCAGTCCATCTACGCCGCAGCCTCGGCCACGGATGCTAGGTCGCCCACGGGCGACAAGGTGAAAATGCCCAGCTCCCACGAGGGCTGCGCGCACCACCTCGAGGACGGCGGCTCGTTCGTGGTCAAGTACGAAAAGCTGAGCGACGCCGCGCTCGCCGAGCCGGCGGCTGCCCCTCTGGTCGGCGCCTGGCACGACGTGGCCGACCGCTTCAAGACCGCGGCGTCGATGCACGTCTACGTCACCGGCAGCGGCGGCAAGGCCCTCCCGCCGCACACGGACACGACGGACGTCCTGGTGGCCCAGCTCAGCGGGTCGAAGGAGTGGCAGGTCTGCGCGCCGTCGAATGACAAGGCTCCGTTCGCCTCCACCGCCTTCCGCGCGGAGCTGCTGGAGGCGGAGCGCGGCTCCCACGGCTGCTCGCAGTTCGAGCAGGAGCTCCGCGACGAGCCGGAGCTGTCTTGCGAGACCTACGTGCTCGCGCCCGGCGACTCGCTATACCTCCCGAAGGGCGTCGCCCACTCGGCCGTCGCGACCGACGACAGCGCCCACCTCACGGTCGGCCTGAAGCGCGTGACCTGGCGCCGGGTCTTCGACGAGCTGCTCGACCGCCCGGGGCTGTTTGGCGCCGAGAGCGGCTGGGCGAACCGGCGCCTCTTTTCAGTATTTCGCGGCCAGAAGGCCCCGCCGACGCGGCGCGCGCGAGCCAAACGCGCCCTGAAGACCCTCGAGGCCGCGGGCGACGCGAGCGCCGTGCCGTGGCGCCGCGCGTTCCCGACGTGGACCCTAGGCTTCGACAACGGCCAGGCGGTGCCCGGCCGCGACGCCTACCAGCAGCGCGATGCGCTCGCGAAGGCACTCGTCGACGCGCTGGGCGGCGACGAGGACCTGGCCCAAGCTCTGGCGGACGACGACCGGTTTGTCGATGCCGTGCGAGCCACGTTTGAGTCCCCGAAGTCGCTGGGCTCGCAGCCCGCCGTGCTCGACGCGGGCGCGTGCGACGAGTACGCATTCGTGTCCGGCGCGACGCGCCGCCGCGCCACCACGGCGGATGTTAATTGGGAGGCCATGCACCCGTCGGCCAGCGCCAACACGTTGACTGTTGCCGCTGGAACCACTGTAACGTTCACGTGGACCGACAACCACGACGTCTGGGAGTTTGCCAGCGAGGCCGACTACAATTCGTGCAACTTCGCCGGCGCCGTGGAGAAGGCATCGACGTCGGTGCAGACCGTGGACGTGGCGGCGCCGACGACCGCGGCGACGACCAAGTATTTTGGCTGCGCGGTGAGCAGCCACTGCGAAGACGGCCAGAAGATCGCGATCTCCTGGACGGATGCGGACGGCTGCCTCTCCACCGAGGAGTATCAGTGCGACAGTAATTGCGACGGCTCGTGCGACCAATGCAATGAGGGTTGCGATGACAGTTGTAACGAAGACTGCGACGAAGACTCCGAGGGAAATTACTGCGACGACTACGATTACGGCTGTAACTACGACTGCGACCAAAACTGCAACATGGGCTGTGATGAGGAATGCAACAGTGACTGTGACGGATCGTGCGACGGAAGTTGCTCGTGCAAGGACGCCGACGCCGCGTCGACGCGCGCGGCGGCGTCCGGGGCCGTTCTCATCGCGGTGGTCGCCGCGCTGCTCTAAGTGAGCGCGCCTGTACATACCCAATTTGCGCCGGCGGAGAAGACCGCCCCTTCCTCATTTCCCTTCCCCTCTGCTTGATCGAGCTGAAGTAAGTCCAATGAATACCACCAAAGTAGCCGCGCACGCCGCGCACCAGAAAAACGAGTTCCTCTCGCATCATCTACTAGTACGTGCCAAGAGAAACTACAAGTCAATTAACATCACAGACGCCGCCGCCGCGCCCCCACCTCGTCCTTCACGGCAACGACGATCGCCGCCCAGAGCGGGCCCTGCCGGCACAGCTGGGCCCAGGCCACGGCTACATGGAGCGCCACGATGCCTCGCCGCGACGGTCCGATGATAGCGCCGAGGGCGAGTTGAGCGGGCAACGTCATGGTCACGCAGGCCGCGGCGGCGCCTAAAGCGTACTTCCGCCGGTCGACGGGCCCGCGGAGGCCGGCGAGGAGGGCGAGGGGCCACCGCTGTCCACTCGACGCGCGGAGCCGGGCGCCGAGCGCCGCCGGGCCCTCGTCTCTGTCTTCATTGCGCAGCGGCATGAGGGCCTGGATCGCCTGGCCCGCGCGCGCGAGGGCCGTCCGCGTATTGCACGTGAGCCGTCGCAGCCGCATCACGAACATTTTCATCCAGTCGCGGGGCGGCGGCGGCGGTGGAGTACCAGAAACGAGCCGCTTCAGGCCGTCGACGGCGCCGCGGAGGCGCTCTTCCAGGTCTCGGAATAATCTTGCACCGTCGCGCCGCGTTTCCTTGTCGAGCTGCCTGCCGATTGAGCGGAGCAGGCGGCCGAGGAAGCCGGGCGCCTGTTCCCGCAGCGACTCTTCGTTCTCGCGCAAAGCGCAGCCGAGGGAGACCGTCGCAACATCCGCGAGGGCGCACCCCGCGACCGCGGCGACGCAGTGCGCGGCGCGGGTCGCCGGCCGCATGGCGCCGAGGCGTGAGCCGAGCGACACCAGCAACACATCTTCGGACACGGGCAGACCGAAGCCCGTGCTGACCAGCGCGACGAAGAGGCCCGCCGCTCCCGCCCCGACGCAGCCGTCGCAGCCGACATATGGCCAAATGGGTGGGAAAACTTGTGCAGGTTTGACTCGGCGCATCGATGGTCGCATCGACGGCGTTGTTCCGCGCAGCGCTGGCGTCGGTGCGACGAAGCTGAGAGCTGCTGAGCAGCAGAGTGTGCAGAGCAGTATGATTTTTAAGCCGCTAGCCATGGTTTTTCGCAGCGAGGCTTGGTTGTAGCATCAATGCGCGAGCGTAATAGCTTCTGCGCCAATCAGCGCGAGCCCTAGCCTCATTTTTACGTCGATGGCTATTTTGGCTAGCTAGCGGTATGTAAGACACTAGGAACCATATAATTTTAACGGAGCTCCCCCATACGCCATCGACGCGCCCGCATCGATGGAGAATAAGCTCCCCGATGCAGGAGTCCTGCTAGTGTATTACATGCCGCTAGCTGACGTTTCGCCGCGCGCGATTTACGACACGAGGCGAGGACCGGCGCGCGTCTCCAGACCCTCTCAGAGCCGAACTAAGAGCGATTGCACGCGCGCTCCTCTGTTTGCTCACGAAAACCAGCTGTAACAGTTACTAAGTACTGGAACAGCGCTCACCTCTAGAGCTGACAATGGAAGTCTCAGACCTCGTCATTTGTGCGCTCGTCGCGCTCGTCACGCTCCTCGTCGCGGCCGTCTTTTACGAATCGAAGGCGGCGCGGGCGGGCGACGCGGCCGGCGAGGGGCTCAGCGAGCGCGAGGAGCAGATCATAGAGCGTATGACGTTACAGAGCGACAATCTCGCCGAGATGCGAGCGAGTAATAAAATGAAGCGCGCGCTGGAGGAGTTTGAAGAAAAAAGGGGGAGATTAATCCTGGGCACACTGAATCAGCAGTTGCTTACGATGTATAACCTTGGCATCAGCGAAAATGTCTCCCTGGATGATGAGTTGGATAGAATGAAGCGCGCCCTGAAGGAGACTGAAGAAAAAATGGAGAGATTAGTTGATCGAAGGATGCAGGCCGAATGCGCCGCGGCCGTGGCCGAGGCGCGGCTGTCTGATTTGAGAGCTTGGGAAAAAGCGGTGAAGCTATTCTCCTCGGCGCTCAAAGATGCGGATGCGTCAGCTCGCGCGGCCCTCTGCAAGGACCCCGAAGGCGCGATAGAGAAGCTCATGGAGGGGCAGACGGTCGAGAAGGTGACGGGGGAGCAGGCCCAGGAAGATGCGCAACAGTGACTCTGGCGCGCGACCGAGTAAAATTTCAAGACTAAAAACACAGACTTAATACACACCACTCCCAGCCCCACCCCCAACAAGTTACACGCTAAAGAGAAGCTACAGAGAAGCTACAGATTCCGAAATTACTCAAGACTAGAACGGCCCGACGCCGCTCGTCCGCCCGGAGCCGCCGGCCATGGGCTTCCGCGGCGCGGACCGCGGCGGCGGCCCACCGCCCCCGCCGCCGCCGCCGCCGCCGCAGACGTACAGGACGCAGCAGCACGTGCAGAGCGAGAACGCGAGCGACACGACGAGCAGCAGCCAGTTGTCCTTGATGAAGTTCCAGGGGTCCGTGAAGAGCGAGCCCCACGAGAAGCCCGCGGTCGCGACGACGTCGTCGGTCGAGGAGTCGTCGTCGTCGGCGGCCGCGACTGTTGCATCGTCGTCGTCGTCGTCTCCGGAGTACGTGTCTCCCGAGCCGTCGTCGTCGCCGTACGAGCTGTCGTCACCGTCGTCGACGGCGTACGAGCTGTCGTCGTCGTCGTCGCCGTAAGAGCTATCGTCGCCGTCGTCAGCGTACGAGCTATCGTCGCCGTCGTCGCCGTAAGAGCTGTCGTCGCCGTCGTCAGCGGCGTACGAGCTGTCGTCACCGTCGTCAGCGGCGTACGAGCTGTCGTCGCCGTCGTCGCCGTACGAGCTATCGTCGCCGTCGTCAGCGTACGATCCGTCGTCGCCGTCGTCGCCGTACGAGCTATCGTCGCCGTCGTCGCCTGCGTAGCCGTACGAATCGTCGGAGTATCCGTAGGCCCCGCCATCGTCAGAGTACCCATAGCCGTAGGTCGCGGCATCGTCGTACCCGTATGCGTACGCTGAGTCGTCCCCGTAGCCGTACGTGCTATCATCCGCGGCCGTGTAATAGTAGTAGGCAGGGGCATCGTCGCCCGCCGCCGCATAGTAATAGGCGTCATCGCCCGCGTCGTCTGCCGCAGCGTAATAGGCGTCATCACCCGCGTCGTCTGCCGCAGCGTAATAGGCGTCATCACCCGCGTCGTCTGCCGCAGCGTAATAGGCGTCATCGCCCGCGTCGTCTGCCGCAGCGTAATAGGCGTCATCGCCCGCGTCGTCGCCCGCATCGTCGTAGTAGGTAGCGGAGTCATCGCCGCCATCATCAGTAGCGCCGTCGTCGCCACTCGAGGCGTCGTCCTCGTCCGTGATGATGATGATGACCTCGTCCTTCTTCACGCGCGGCCCGAAGGCCTTGCGGGCCGCGCGCGGCTTCTTGGCGCCGCCCAGCAAAGCGACGTCGCCGTACAAACCCCGAGACCGGCCCGCTTTGTAGACGTCCCGCAGCATCGCCGGCCCCGTCGCGGCGCGCGCGTCGGCGGACGTCTCCACGGTTCTGGCAAGCGTCCTCCGGGACGCCTCGCGCAAGGCAGCCACCACGAATTGGTGCCCGGGCACGGCCCCGAAGGCATAATTGCCGATCCGCCACTTATCGCCATCACGTACACGGGGAAAGACCGCCGCGTGGCGCGTCGGCAGCGTCGTGGTGCCCTTCACATTTCGACCATAGGAAAAGCCGCCCTCGCGCGCGACGTAGGCCATGCGAAACAAATCCTCGCGCATCGCGCGGCGCGGCGCCTCCCCGTACGCCTCGAGAACGTCCGTGTTTGAATAGTGCTTTTCCAGATATGCTTTCCTCGCCTTGCCGTCGTAGTCGTCGATGCGCACGACGCGCCGCGGGATTTGCACCGCGTCGAGCGCCGTCGACGCGAGGGGCTGTGGTCGCCCGCCGCGGAACGCGACGAAGCCCACGAGATTCAAGACGACGGCGCCTCCAACAATAAAACGCGCGGCGGCCCGGCCGCGCCGCCGGCCCAGCAGCATCTGCTCGTCGCCGCGCCGCGCCGGCGCCGCGGCCTCGGCGTCGAAGCGCGCCGGGGTCGTCGTCTCGTCCATGGTTTCGGAGCTCGCTCGCTCGCGCGCCGCGGGCAGCCTCCCTGCTGTAGGTAGGGCTGCTCTCGCTTGTGCGCTTGCCGTGCGGAGCCGCCGAGGCTGCCGCGCCGATTCTGTGGGGCTCCCAGGCCTACGGCACTTCGGCTTTGGCAGTCGAAGCAGCCGAATTTGGCCGTGCAATTCGCGCCGCGCAGGGGGCCCAGGACCGAAGCAGGGTAAACAAGGGCTTGGCGGGTCCTTGGCGCCGACTGCCCCTCTGCTGCTTGGAGCTCTGTTGAGGGAGGCCTCCGCGGCCTCCGCGCGGATGGATGCCTGCGAACAAAACCCGGGACCTCCAAAAAAGCCCAGCGGACTCGCAAAGCGTCGCCATACGACGCCGCCGCGGCTTCCCAGACGGGCGCTGCGAGCTCAAAAGCTCGAGAACTCGCCCGCTGACGGTTCACCCGCAGCGCGCGGCGCCCCGCGGCCTCTGAACAAGGTGCTCCGCCAAAATGGCCGCAGCAGTACAACAAGCGCCCTACCTCGGCCCGTCGTCGTCCACGAACGAGTGGATCGAGACCCAGGCCGAAGACGAGCGCTTCCTGCCGACGTTTCAAGATGACGCTTCGTTAATAACTGAAGGCTTGTGGCTCGGCAGCGAAGCCAATGTCCGAGACCTCGCCTGGGTCAAGGTCGAAAAAATTCAGAGAATTGTCACGATCATGCCCTATGAAGTGGATCCCACTGATGGAGGCAACGTCTCGGAAAGCCTGAAAGACTGGTTCCGGGGAAACGTGCAAGTGCTCTTCCTCGACGCGCGCGACACGCCGACGCAACTCGTCTGATTTATCGTCCTTCCTTGTACCAATGTGGCTCACCGCTTCGCTTGCCGCAACTAGGTCTTTGAGCATCTGAGGAGAGGTGTGGACTTTGTGCTTCAAGGCTTGAAGAAGGGAGAAAATGTCATTGTTCATTGTGGAAGAGGTATTTCCCGAAGTGCGACGGTGGTCATCGCCGCACTCATGGTCAAGGACGGGTTGTCGTACAGAGACGCGCGCGTTTATGTGTTTTTTTTATGTTTATGTTATGTGTACTCACTGTGCCATGCGACTACAGATTTTCTCTGGTTGCTGCTAAACGAGCTTGTATTTATCCCAACGTCGGGTTTCAATTGCAGCTATGTTTGTTTGAAAAATTGGGCAAAGACTTTGACGAGGTATTATACTCATATGTATATTGTGTAACATGTCTATATAGGTCGACGCCGTCGTGGCCAAGGGCGCCTTCCACGTCGAATCGGAGCTCGCCGTGTCCATCAGGAAAACGTTAGACAACGCCGAGGAGCGCATGGACTCGATGTTCGACGACGACAGTCTGTGCGAGGAGGCGGCGCGGTGGGAGGACTTCGGCTACTTCATCCAGAACTGCCGCGAGTACCTCGGTCATGTCGATATTGGGTTGCCCTTGGCGCTGTTGGACCGGGCGGACGACTGCGCGCGGAAGCTGGGCAACCTCGACAAGGTCTTCGAGGGGGCCGGCGTGGCGACGGCGGGGCGCGTCGGCCGCGTGCTCGGCGCGTGGCACGGCCTCCAGAGCGCCATGGCCGCGGCCGAGACCGCGGTGCCGCGGACGGACGCGAGCTACGTGTCGGCGCTCGACCGCGACCTCGGAGGGGCCTCGTCGGCGAAGCGGCGGAAGACGAAGTAACTTGTTTTATGAATCTACTTTCCCTCTTCTGCCAGAGGCGTCTCGCGGGCGCGGAGCGCCGCTCGGGCGTGTTGCAGATCGATTTCAATGGCCGTTGTGAGCGGGTGCGCGCCGCCGAACACGCGCCGCGCAATCCGTTCCGTATCCTCAAGTGTCGTCACAGCCTCGCGGAGATAGTCGAGCGTGGCGCCTTCGTCATTGCAGAGCGCCCCCGCGTAAATTTTCCTCATTCTGAGCGTGAGATCATGACTGTCTCCTAGAACGCGTCGCGCCATGGGCACCGTTCTGCGCATCAACGATCTGGCTTCTTCGAAGCGTTTTAGATGAATGAGCAACGATGCATAGTTGTTGGCAGCTCGGAGGGTCTCTAGCGCGGCGCGCCCTGAAAAAGCTCGCGAAGCAGCACGGGTCTCCGGCGACGCTCGATCACTACGTGGCCGCGCCGCGCCGCGTCGACGTCAGCATGCTCCCCGCACAGTGGCGCCACCGCGCCTCGATCAAACTGGGCAGGCTTGTCACGTGGGCGACGCGCGAGCCGCCCTTCGCCATTACCTTGTACGTGGACGACGACACGTATTTCTGCGGCCCCGCGCCGCGCATCGCGTCCGAGCTGCTGGCGCTCGGGCGCGCTTCACCCAGCGTTGACGTGCGCATGACGAACTACTTCGCGGACCGGGGGTTTGGTGCGGATCGGAAACGGGCCTCCGGTCAGATGCGAAAAGCCGTGCGGGACTGCCTCCGCGAGCGCTGTGTGGCGTCGTGTGCCACGAATTCGGATGCGTGCCTCGCCTGCCGCACGACGTGTCACGATGCACCGACCGGCGAGAGCGGCGGGAGCTGCCCGGGCGTTCGCTTTTCGCCGCTCGAACGATTTAGAGCTCAAACTGGGTCCATTCTCGTGCGCCGCGGCGGCCACGCCAATGCTTTCTTCCAAGACTGGGCGAAGCGCTACGTCGAGATGTGGCGCGGCAAGCGGCGCCGGCTCCGCAACAACTCCGTGGGCACGGATCAAGCGCCCTGCGACTCACTGCTCGCCCGGAGCTGCGCTTCGAAGCGCGTCCGGCCCTGGACGCTGGGCTGGTTGCCCGCCAATTGGAACCTGCGACCGACGTACTCGCACGCGGAACCGTTGTGGGGCCCCGTGCGCCTGCTCCACGACGACGGCATCGGGCACCACAAGTCGCCGCGCGACCGCATCGCTCTCGGAAGGGCCGCCTGCGACCGCGTGAACGCCGCGGGCAACGGCACGGCGGGTTGGCGCGTTGTGGTTTCGTCAGGCTCGCGCCACGGCGCCGCGGTTTTGCGCGATACGAACGCGCTCGACGAGGTCGTCCGGCCCTTCGCGACGAGTGTGGAGGATGCGGCCGCGGCGCTGGTCGCGCGGGTGAAGAGGTCTGGTTAACACAATTACACTATACTATCGCGGATCTTCCAGCTCCTCGTCGTCGTCGACGTCGAGCGAGTCCAAGCGCTCCAAATTCCGCCGCCAGGGCCCTTCGTTCCGCGGCGCCGTCGAGACGAGCTCGTAGCCGCCGCTCGGCGTGGCGTCCTCCTCGCCGACGATCGTGCCGCTCTCCTTTATGGTGTCGTAGCGCCGGCCCATATTCAATGCGACGCCGAACAATGCCAGAGATACGACGAACGTAGGCACGTTCCCGTACTGCGGCAGCGACGTCCGCAGGCCGGGGTTCCCCTGGACGGCGTCGTTGATCGCGCTACCGAGGGCCTTGGCGGTCCGCGCCCCAACCACATCAATCCAGGCCTTGGCCTTGAACTTGATGTCGTTGCTTGTCGGGAGATACAACATTTCTAGGGCAGGCTCGTTGAGCGAATACGTCAGGGCTTTGAGTAGCGCCGTGGCGATAAACAGCGTCCACAGCGACGGGAAGCCGTACGCTAACAAGGTAGCAACTAAACATAATACCGGAAAGACCAGTAAGGTCGAGCGCACGCCCAGCGACCGCACGACGTACGAAAACAGTACCAACGAAAACAGAAACGAGACGGAGTTCACTAAAATGCCGAACTGCCCCATCAGCCGCGCGAATTCTTCGGCGCCGCGGCCGTCGGCCCCATATCTAGCTCGTCCCACAATTTTCATCTCAAAGTCCAAAACCGTGAGCACGATTTCATACAGCGTCGAGATCATCAGTAAATTAAACACGTAGGAGTGCCTCAATACCAAGTCGAGGCCGTCGAAGAGCCCCGCCTTCTTCTCTACGGGTGGTGGTGGTGGTTCCTCTTCCTCATCATCATCCTCGTCGACGGCCGACGCGACGCGCCGCGCCTCTGTTTGAGGCTCCTCGGCGAAGTAGTACTCAAATAACGCCACCATGCCGCACACTAACGCGCAGGAGCAGCCCCCGAGCACATACAAGAAGGAGATGTGTAATCTGCGTGCCTGCGTCGCCAGAGCCGAGCCGCCGACGGCTCCGAGTTGTGCGAAGGCCACGACCAACCCATACGAACTTTCCGCCGTGTCCGCATCGACGGACGCGTTCGTGAAGGCCCAGAACAGCGCGACCATCAACGACCCGTAGGACTCCACGGCGAAATACGAGAACCACCCCACCAATCGACGGGGGTCCGGCGTCGTATTTCGCATGCCGATCGTCTCGTGCGCCAGCAACCCGCCGATCACAATAAAGATCAACGTGTAGGCGCCTCCAATTAAATAAAACAACGTGGGCTTGTGCCGTATTCGTCTTACCAGCGTCGTGTAGCCGCTGACCACAAACAGCGTGACCACGACGGATATCAATTTCGCCTTGGGCTGGTACCTTAAACCGACCGTCGTCGCCAGCACCGTGTCCTTCAACGAATCCAATAACCAAAAACCGCCGATGATGCAGCATAGTAATGACGAGAGGAACAGGATGCGCGGGAGCTCCTTTTCTCTTATGTCGCCATATAGAAGTTTGATGAGCTCTTGGAGCTTGCGCGCGCGGGGGGTGTCGCGCATCGCTGCGGCCGCGTCGCCGGCGTCAGCGCGACGGCGCTGTCCGTATGCGGAGGCGACCGCTTGCAAGACGTCGAGCAGCGCTGCGTTAGCGCGTAGAAAGGGCTCGTTACGCAAGACACGTGACTTTGCTGCGTCACGACGTGTCTTGCCTTGCTTCTAAAGATCTCTATCGGCTCAATCGGCGGCCAAAAAGACACGACATTTTTGCTTGCTAGTGTCTTTACTGCGCTAGAGTCGTGCGAGGAAATAGCACCCGTAACAGGAGTCCCGCCGCCGAGGAAATCACTAGCTCGGTAGGTCTAACACAAAGAAAGACCACCAACAAACCGTTAATAAAGATACCCTAAAAGTGCCCCGGCCGAACGTCGAGCGCCGACGTCTCGAGCGATGCCAGAAGATCCGCCTGCGCCTTTGTTTTGACGAGCTCGTGCCTGAAGAAGTAGCGCGCCGTCGCGATTTTGCCCTCGTAGAAGGGCACGTCCGCGCCCGTCGCGGAGGGCAGCGCCTTCTGCGCGGCCGCCGCCTCGCGGAGCCAGAGCCAGGCCACGACCGTGTGGCCGACCATATTCAAATACTCGTGCGCATTCGCCAGCGCCCGCGCCGGATTCTGAGATAGCTCCTTTCCAAGGAGAGCCGTCGTCGCGCCGTAGCGCTCGACGGCTTCACCCAGATCCGCGGCTAGATCCGGCAAGATGTCTGCGTTCATATGGACATCTCTCATCATCGCCGTCGCGAGCGCTCTCGTGGCCGCGCCGTCCTTCATCACAGCTTTGCGCCCTAATAAATCGAGGGCCTGGATCCCATTTGTTCCCTCGTGAATCATGTTCAGCCGGTTGTCTCTATATAATCTTTCGACCGGGTAGTCGCGCGTATACCCGTAGCCGCCGAGCACCTGGATGGCCCACTTGTTCGCCTCCAATGCAAACTCCGAGGGCCAGGCCTTGACGACCGGGATCAATACCTCCAACAACGTGGCGGCCTCCTCATTTGTCTTCGAGTCATCTACCAGTGACGCGGCAAAAAAACATAAGTGCAGCGCGCCCTCGCTCAGCGCCTTCTGCGCGAGGAGCTGGCGCCGGACGTCCGCGTGCTCGATGATGGGGACTTGAGTTTTGCTACCTAACGCCGAACCTTGGATCCGCTCCTTCGCGTAGGCCAGGCTCTCCTGGAAGCCTCGGACCCCGCAGCAGGCCGCGTGCAGGCCCACGGCAACCCTCATATCATTCATCATCGTGAACATCTGCATCAATCCCGCATGTTTGGCGTCGCCGACCAGGTAGCCCACGCAGCCCTCCTCCATGGACCAGTAGGAGTTCGGTAGCGCGCGCTGGCCCATCTTGTGGTTCAAGCCGTTCAGCGCGACGTCGTTCGGCGACCCGTCTGGCAGTACCTTGGGCACGATGAAGAGCGAGATGCCCCGGTTGCCCGGAGGCGTGTCGTCGCCGTCGATCTTCGCCAGGACTAGATGCACAATGTTCTCGAAGCAGTCGTGGTCAAAACCCGAGGTCCACATCTTGCTGCCGCTCAGGCGGTACTCGTCTCCACTGACATGGCGCGCCTTCGCCTTGAGGTTGCTCAGACTAGACCCGCTCTGCGCCTCGGACAGGGCCATCGTGCCCCCAAATCTACCCTCGACCAATGGTCGCACATACGTGTCTTTTTGTTCTGTGGTCCCGTGGGCTTTGATCAAATTCGCGGCGCAGTGCGTCAACGCATAAAAGCCGCCCAGGCCAGAGGTAAAGCCGCACGAGATGATCGAGTTGACCGCCGTCGAGGCGGTTAGAGAGAGCCCGAGGCCGCCGTCCTCTATATCAGCGCCGAGCAGCGTGAACCCGCCCTCGCGCTGCGCGTCCAGGAACGCTCGCGTTTCGGCGGGGATTGAAACTATGTTTGTTTCAGGGTCCCAGGTCGGCTCGTGCGCGTCGGCGACGGCGTCGGCGGAGGCGTGGCTCTCGACTAGATCTTCGGCGGCGTCCAACATCGCGGAAAGCGTTTCGCGGTCGCCGGCTTGCGCCGCGAAGGCGGGCTGCTCCCACAACAAAAACTCGACGTTGCGCCGGTCGAAGATCGTGCTGCGGTGGCGGTCGGCATCGCTTGACGCGGCTCTGCGCGATGATGACAGTGCTGCAGGGCGCGTCGGCGCGCGCGCGAGCGCTATTCTTGCGGCTGACGCGGCTCCGCGCATGGCGCTTGCAGATGGTGACAGTGCTGTAAGGCGCCTCGGCGTGCGCGCAAGCGCTATCGTGCGGATCCCCCGCATCGATGCTATCGAATGCGCCTCTTTTGCGACCACTTTGAGTGCAAAACCGCGAGTGCTAAAAGCGCTGGCCTCCGCGTGGGCTAGCGGCATGTAAAGACACTAGCAAGCCGCGGCCGCGGCTGTGCACGGTGCGCGCGACTGCACTGCACGTCATGCATCGATAACACAATGCCATGAGTCTCTCATGGCGCAGGGGCAGCCTCTGCGCGACGCTTACCGTCGTGCTGGGACAGGACTTCCTGGCCACCTTTCGGAATGGGGCCCGCAGCCCGCCGCGACCGATGACGCTCGTCCTGCGTGACGACGCGTCGAAAAATGTGACATTGGCACCCGGCGACGGCGTCGAACGGCGGGCGCGACGCGGCCTGGTGGTCGACTGGTTCGACAGTGGGGAATTCACGGCGCGTACGGTGCTCAGCTCGGATCGCTTCGCGGACCTCGACGACGACGCGGCGCTGGCGCGCCAGTTCGTGTTTCTGGATACGCTGGCGATCGCGCCGTGTGCCGAGGCGGCCGCGGAGGCAACGCCGCTGCGACGGATCCAGGCGGCCGGTCTCAATATTGATGTCATTGCCGAGGATCCCGTCGTGGCCGTTGTGAAATCCTTCGCGTCGCGAGACGAATGTGCCACAATGCAGTCATTGGCGGCGCGTGGTGGTGCAAGGCGGAGAACGCCGAGGGAAGGCGCCCTGAGCCACGACGACCCGTCCACTGGCTTCCGTCGCCGCCTGGGACTGACGTACGACTGGGACCTGGTCGGGAACGAGACGCTCCCGGCCGCGTTGCTGCAACGCGCTGCTACGGTGGCCGAAGCGTTCGACATACGCGTGCCGGTCGGGCCTTTTCAGGAGCCGCTGAACATCGTTGAATACGGTCGATTCGACTACTACGAGCCGCACTGCGATGTGTCGTGTGAGCGCTCCGGCCCGAAGCCGGGCGGGCGGGTGGCGACGATGCTGCTCGTCTGTGAAATGCCAAAGCTTGGAGGCGCGACGGCGTTCCCGCGCCATCGCGGTAAAGCTCTTACGCTGCGGCCCGGCGCCGGCGACGCGGTCTTCTTCGCGTATGACAAAAATGCGCGGGAGTCGCTCCACGCCGGCTGTCCCGTGCGCGACGGCGTCAAGCGCGTCGTGTCGGTATTTCTGCGCGACGGCGTCACCGCCTCGTCGCCGGCGTCTCATTTTGACGTCGACGGCGGGGCGGCGGTTGGGGTGAATGTGGCGGGCGAGATTGGTGTGTAATGTATATGCTTAGTGACGCCTAGCGGCGGCGGGCGCGCGTCGACGGTGCGGCGGCGGGTTCGTCGCGGCGGCGCTTGTGGCGCCGCCCGTGGCCTGAGGCTGGGTTCTTTTTAGGGGGCACGAGTTGCCCGTCGACGACCGGGTTCGTCTTGCGCCGGCCTTCGAGGCCCGCTCGCCGGATGGCCGCGTTCACGGCGTGGGCGGCCGCCTCCTGCGTGTCGAAGTAGCCGATGGAGCGCAACTTGCCGTCCGCGTCTTGGTAGCGCGCCTGCCACCGTCCGTTGCTCTTGTTCCACGACACGCCCCAGAACTTGGACGTCGTGCCCGTCGGCGCGCGCGCCGGGTCCGGAGCGACGACGGCGGCGCGGTCGCGCGGCAACCTAGACGACGCGCTGGGCACTTTTGGCACGAGCGCGCCTGTCGCGTCGACCGCGTTCATGTGGCGCTTGCCTTCGAGGCTCGCGTCGCGGATGGCCTTATTGTAAGCGCGTGCGGCCTCCTCCTCGTCGTCGAAGCGGCCGATCGTGCGGTAAGTCTTGCCATCCGCGTCTAGGTAGCGCGCCTTCCACTTCTTGCGTGCCCGATCCCAGGTCACGCCCCAGAACCGCGACGACGACGTCCGCGCGCCGCCCTCGCCGAGGTAGGGGGCCGTGTCGTCGCCCGAATCGTAGCCAACCGTCGATATGTCGTCTTCGACGATCGAGCGCTCCTCCTCTTCTATCGGTGGAATGGCATAGAGGGCCCGCTTTGCGGCCTCCCCGAGCGAGAGCGTCGTGCGCTCGTCCGACGCCCAGCGCACGACGACCTTGCCGCCATCGAGGTCGATCTCGGCGATGGTGCCGCGGCGCTCGCCGTAGCCGGGAAATCGTTTCACGACGGTGGCGCCGACGACGACGTTCGGCGGCACGGGGGCCGGCGGTAACATCTCCATGTCTCAGGTGTTTCAGGACCAATCCCCTGAGGCGCGGACAGGGGTAGATGATATAATTTCGCGGCTCACGTCGCGAGTTTCCTGCAGCTTCACAGAGAGAGCACTTCTCTCTTAGCCACTTTCCTGTCCTTGAATTCAGAAACTCTGACGCCGCGCACACAGAGTGGCGCGCGTGAGGGTAAGGACTTAAATTACGGCGCTTGTCGGGCCTTTTTGTGGGCTATCAGGGCAAGGGGATGGCACTTTTCCTTCTAGTGTCTTACAACGCTAGCTATCGCTTTTGCTCCTGCCTTTTGCAAGCCATTTTACCGCCCGACAAGCAGCATCGGTGGTGCAGATCTCATATCTGGTCCACAAGAGGCCTGGAAAACATCGACGGCACAGCTAAGGCACCAGCAGGACCCCTAAGAGGGCACAAGCCAATGCGCCACCTCCTCGTCTGCTGCTGCCTCGCACGCACCACATCCGTCGTCTTCGAGACCACGCGCACCCTCGCCGTGCGCCCGAGCGCTGCCAAGCAGCTCTGGCTGAGCGAGACCTGGAAACGCGGCCGCTACGGATTACCACTGCCGCCGCCGATCAACCTCGATGGCAACGAGCGGCTCGTCGTGCCGCCGGGGCTCCGCGAAGGCATCGTCGACAATAGCGACGACGCCATCGCTTATCAAGTCATGAACCCGGGCTGGCTGTCGCTCTACCCGGTGCACCGGCACCGCGGACGCGTGCGCTTCGACACGGCGCAGAACGCGACGAGGATGACGTGGACGGTGGACTACGAGCCGTTCGACGATGGCTTCGCGGAGGGCTGGACGGCTTTTCTGACGAAGTTTATCGTCTCAAGCGCCGCTGACGAGCTCGCCAAGATCGCGTCGGGCGAGGACCAAATACCATCCCCGGTCGAGCGCTTCGTCGTCCGAAGATTGCTCGATTGGTTCCGCGACAGCGACCTCGTAGAAAAGGAGCACGCGAAGCACGTCGCGTCGCCCACCGTCTCGCACTTACTCAAGGGCACGCCGCTCGTGGAAGCCGCGGACGACAGCAAGCTTGTGTTCGCGTCTTCCTATCTAGGTCGACTCGTCGCGCGCGTCGTCAAGGAGGAGGGCGAATATTTGTCGGAGTGGAAGGTGGCGAAGATCGTCGAGGCGGCGGGCCCCACGTTCGACGCCGCCGCGGCGCGCGAGGACCTCCGCGCCGAGGCGGCGCGCGCCGACGTCGTCGTGTTCTCGTTCACGGACTGCCCGTGGTGTGTTGCCGCGAAACGGCTCCTGGCGGCGTACGACTCGGTTTTGGATATTGACCTGGAGCCCCTCGGCCCGCGGGGCAAGACGCTGCGGGCGGCGATAGCCCTCGAGACGGGCCGGACGTCGATGCCGGCGGTCTACGTCCGCGGCGAGGCGATCGGCGGCTACACCGACGGCAGGCCCGGGCTGCTCGCGCTGCACCGGACCGGAGAGCTTCAACAGCGACTCGGTGTTTGATTGTTTGTTAAAATTTACACACTTACTCACATACATCACTGCTTCTTCTTCTCGGCCATCAGCTGGCCAAAGCTCTTGATCTCGAAGTCGACACAGCGCGGCGGCCGCGTCCCCTTCGCTTTCTTTCGGGCCGAGGGCTTGGGCGCCGGGGCCGGCACCTTTGCCGTTCGCGCGCGCGGGGCCGACACCGGCACCTTCCGCGGCGGCGGCGGCGGTCTTCGCTCGGGGGCCTTCGGCGGCGCAGGCGGTGGCGGCGGGGCGGCCGGAGGCCGGCTCTGTTCCGGTGCCTTCCGCGGCGGTACACGATGTGCCCGCGCTGGGGAGGCCGGAGGCCCTCGCCGCTCGGCAGCCCGCGGCGGCGGCGGAGGCGCCCGCGGCGGAGGCGCCCGTGGCGGAGGCGCCCGCGGCGGAGGCGCGTCCGAGAACTTCGACGCGCGCCGCGGCGCCCGCGTAGTAGGCGCAGGTGCAGGTGCGTCCGAAAACTTCGAAGCGCGCCGCGGCGCCGGCGCCGGTGCGGGCGCGTCCGAGAATTTCGAGGCGCGCGGCCTCGACACGTCCGGCGCCGCTGAGGACCGCGGCGACCGCGACGCCGTCCGCTTGACGGCCGTGGCGGGCAGGCGATGCACCTCGTCCGTCCCCTCCTCCCGGACCGACACCTTTTCGCCGCCGCGGTGGATCGCAGTGACGACGCCCTTGCGGACCGACCGGTCGGGCAGCTTGAAGCGCACGCGGTCGCCGACCGAGAGGGGCGCGCGCGCCTCGTCGGCCTCGCCCTCCTCGGCAGCTTGAACCTCAATGGCGTGCACGGCCGCGTCTGCGTGAAAACCCACGACGCGTAGATACGGTTGCTTGCGAGCAAAAGAAGCAAACCCGCAGCCGTCCGAGATGTCGTGAAACCGACCGCCATCGCCCAGGCACCGCGCTAGGACGCGCCGCGCCGCGGCTCGCGCAGGAGCGACTTTCGCGATCCCATCCTCGAGCGCGCGACGACTTGCGCCGACGCGACCCGTGAGATCCGCGAGGCGCCAGTGCGGCGCGCCGTCCGGCGGCGGTTCCGCCAAGACCTCGAGCACCGCCGCTTTCACGACGCGCTGCCACTGGTCCCGGAGCGCGCCATCCGATAAAGCGGCCAGCTCTGCGGCCTCGCGGGCCGCCGCGGCCGCCTTCGAGACGACGCGCGGCTCGTCGAAGCGGCTTCGTTTCGTGTCGCGACGCGGACGCGACCGAGACCGCGACCGCTTCCCGGAAGACCGCCTAGGAGACCGCGACCGGCGCCGCGGCAGCGCCGTGTCGTAGCGGCTGCGGCGCGGTGGAGAGCGCGAGCGCGAACGGTTACGGCGCAGTGGAGAGCGCGAGCGCGAGCGGTTGCGGCGCGGCGGCGGCGACTCGCGCCGTTGCCGCGGCGAGGGCGAGCGCGAGCGCGAGCGGTTGCCCGGCGACTGAAGCCGTCGCCGCGGCGAGCGCGAACGCGAGCGCGAGCGTCGCCGCCCCGACGAGGAAGAGGACGAAGACGGCGACGGCGACCGCGACGACGCGACGACGTCAGTACCAATCACCCGGAAGCGCTTGCGGCTCCCCACGAACTCGGCGACCGTCCGGCCCGCGGCCGCCTCGCGGAAGCTCCCCGGCTCCGTGTGCCGCCGCCGCGCGGACGCCGCCGCGTCCCAGCCGCCGCGCCGCCGTTTCGCAGGAGCCGCGGTCAGCCGCCGCGCCGCGTCCGGCGCCCGCGCGAGCCGCGCGCGGACATCGAGCAGTTCCTCGAGCTCGTGCGCGTCGACTCCGGCGATGCGCTGCTGAATTTCTGCGGCCGGCGCGTCGAGCCACGGCGTCAGCGCCGCGACGGTCCAGCGCGCCAGGCCGCCCGGCGGCGGCCAGCGCAGCACGGCGCAGATCGCGGCCTCGATGCACCGCGAGACGCCTTCCGGGGTCAGCTCCGTGCTGCCCAGGACGCGCGCGCGCCGCTCGGCCGCGCGCGCCGCGGCCGCCGCCTGCTCCTGGGCCTTGCGGGCCGCGGTCTCGGCGTCGCGCTTCTTTTGCATCTCGACGGCCTGCTTCGTCTTGCTCTCGAGCTCGCCCCGTAGTTTTGCTGCATCTTGTGCTAATGCGGCGGCGATCTGCGAGGCGTCGATGGCCACTGGCGGCGGTGCTGGAGCTGGTGCGTCCGCGGCCGCGAAGGGATCGTAGGCGTCCTCCGCTGCGGAGAACGGGTCGTAGTCCTCTGCCATTGTGTTTGCACACTTCTCCGGTACGTGTACTCTTCAGCGCGCGACGCGCGCGTCGACGCGACACCAGGGATGCCTTATAATGGCTGACACAGCCCAGAGAGCTGCAATTTCTTGTGTCAGCGTCCCTTGGGATGCTCGTAGGCTCACTGCTGAGGAAGCACTCCCGGCAGCTATGCGCGCACTCGCTGTCAAAAACGAACCAATCCCGCGTGAGCTAGCGGCCTGTAACACACTAGCATGGCAGCAAAACAGGCTTGTGTGGCCGTAGCTCGACTCTAGAGTGGTAGCTGACCAAAGCAGCGAGCCATCGTAGCCCTCTTGCAGCCTTCGACGCCTCCCGCAGCCGTGCGAGGCATCAGACAGCTGTGAGCGGAATCAGAGCCCCGGCATCAACTACAAGTGGTCGCCGGAGCAGAGCCGTAGCCATGCGATTGCTTATCATACTACTAACAACAAGAGCCTGGCAGCCATCAAGAATAGCAAGACACCCGACGCACCTACGAGCATCAACAAATGAGGCCGAGGGCGTGCGACGAGGCCTCGAATCAGTGGTCTGCGTCTTCAGCACGACGGCGGCGCCAGATTATGGCCAGCCCTGGGCGTTGTACGCCGAGGAAGACGTTACGGGGAGCGGCTTCTGGGTTTCCCCTACCCAAGTCGTCACCAACGAACACGTGATCAAGCACGCCAGGGACGTGCGGGTACGGCCCCACGGGTCGGCGCGCAAGTTGAAATGTAGGGTGGCCTTCGCGTCGGCGGAGCGCGATCTGGCTTTACTCGAAGTGATTGACGACGCGATGTCGCCTCCAGTACTAAATTTTGCGCAGTCGCTGCCGGAGCTCTACTCCGCGGTGGCCGTCGTCGGCTACCCTCTGGGCGGCGACAACATCTGCGTCACCCGCGGTGTCGTTTCTCGCCTGGACGCGATGGCGTACGGGGGCGAGGGCCGCGGCGAGCGCTTGCTGGTCGTCCAGATCGACGCCGGCGTGAACAGCGGCACGAGCGGCGGTCCTGCTTTAGATGAGCGCGGCCACGTCGCGGGCGTGGCCTTCAGCTCCTACGCCGGCTCGGCGGACAACATCGGCTACCTCGTCCCGGCGTCGGTCGTCGAGGCGTTTCTGCGCGAGGCGGAACTTAATGAGCGGTGCCCGGGCCTCTGCGCGCTGGGCATCAGCTGGCAGACGGCGCAGAATAAAGCACTGAGACGGTCGCTGGGGCTGCGGGGCGCGGAGGGCATCCTCATTACAAAAGTGAGCGGCTCGACGGCAGGGGTTCTGGAGCCCGGCGACGTCGTGAGTTCCGTGGCCGGCGCGCCCGTCGCCGACGACGGTACTATACAACTACGGGGCGCGGAGCGCGTCCACGTCGCGCACCTTATCACTTCTAGAAGAGTGGGCGACGAGATCGACGTCGGCTTCGTGCGCGCCGGCGCGTTAAGAATAGAGAAGGTCACCCTGAAGCCGCCGGAGCGGCCCGTTCCGACGGTTGCGGAGTGGGACCAGAGTCCGTCCTACGTCATCCTGGGCGGTCTCGTGCTGCAGCCGTTGTCTGCCCCGCTCTGGGACGCCTTCGACGACGAGGAGGCCTACGAGGACCCGGCCGACGTCGCCGCGAAGTACGGCGCCGCTACGCATGAAATCGTGGTCTGGACCTCGACGCTGACCTCGGACGCGAACTACGGCTACTCGGAGCTGTCGCACCGGCTCCCGCGGCTGACGAAGGCCTGCGGTATTGATGTAGAAAGCCTCGCGCACGCGGCCGAGGTGCTGCGCGACGCGCGCGAGCGCGGCGACGCGTTTTATGATCTGCGCTTCCGCGACCCGGGCGCGTCGGACGAGGTGCGCGTCATTTTGGACATCGACGAGGTCGACGCGACGGACCTGGAGCTTTTGGACCGGTACTCGATCCCGGACCTCTGCTCGCGCGACATAGCCGACGCGTACTGGGGCCCGGAGCCGCCGCCGCCGCCCGCGGCGCGGCGGCGGCGGTCGAAGAAGCGCCGGCGGCGGTGAGAGGCCTGTTGTTGTTTAACCTTAAGGATCGTAAGTATAAGGGCTTGCTAGTGTCTTACAGACCTCTAGCTTCCCACAATCGTCGGCTTTGCCCAGACGGCCCGCGGAGGCAACGGCACCGGACAGGGAGAGGCCTGAGTTCAGTCGTCGACGTGCGCTGACTTTAGCCTGTATCACGTCGGTGAAACGATTGAACCGGCGGCGGTGAAACTTAGGTCGTCAGCACGCATTTTGATGTCGGCTCCTTCCTCTCGTCCTTGAGCGCGGACCTGTGTGGAAGTCAATCCGTGTGTCGAGCAAGCGCCGCATCGATGGCGTGAACGCCACGTAAAATTTTGATTTTCACGCAGGCGCGGACGCGTCGACGGCCGTCGGCTACCAGACGCTCGTCCAGACGCAGACCATGGCCTACCACGAGCTCGACGTGCCCGAGGCGAAGTTCTCCTACGACCTGAGCCCCATGGCCGTCGCCGTGCGCACGACAGGCAAGCGCTGGTACGACTTCGTGACGAGCATCTGCGCGATCGTCGGGGGAACGTTCACGACCGTCGGACTCGTTGACGCCGTCGCGCACAAGGTCCTCAAGGCGGGGAAGCAGCTCTGAGGGGCGCGCTCCGGATAGGTCCACGGTTCCATCAGACACCTAAATACTGGGGCTAGTGTCTTACAGGCGCTAGGCAAGCTGCCAAAAATTAATCGCGGCCCGGCCGTCGTGCGTCTTTGCGTGACAGTGCGAGTTATATGTGAAAAGTGCGCAAATCTACTGCAGCCTTCCATCGCAATCACAGCGCGACGCGCGATCAGTAGCAGTATCAGCAGTACATAGCACTCAGCTGCTCCACAACTTGCGCATTCAGTACCAGTTGTTCACCCAGCACAAATACATAGCACTCATCTGCTCCACGCGCCATCGAAGCATCGATCAGTCGTGACCGCTGCAAGCACGCTAAACGTGACCACGAGCGAAGATGATCCGAGCGGACGCGACGATGGCGCCCATCGGCGGCGGCCTCGCGCCGGCGGAGGTGCAGGCGATCGCGGCGATCGGCGGCGCCCCGCCGCCCGCGGCCGCGCCCGCCGCTGCGCGCGTCCCCGCGCCGGCGGCGGCGCCGGCGCGGCCCGTGCGCGCCCGGCCCGCCGCGCTCGCGGCCGCGCCGCCGCCGCTCGTCGTCCTGGCGCTGCTCGGCGCGGCCGCCGCGGCGTGCGTCGCCCACGCGCTCCTCCGCGTGCTCGACTCGCCCGCGCGGAACACGCTCGCCGCGTCGGCCGCCGCATTCGCCGCAGGATCGCTCGCGGACGGACGGGTCCGGCGACTCCTGGGTAAGGAGTCCGGACACTAGATGCTGAAGTTTTTTTGGGGAGTCTTTACTCACGCAGGGGGCGGCCTCTTTCCCAGGCTACTCTTCTTCACCCGGCCTCTTGGGGTCTTCTTCGGCGTCCGACGGTGCGCATCGGGCTTCTAGGAGAGGCCCGCCGTCGGTGCGGCCGGTCTTGCGTTTCGCCCTAACTTTGTGCAGTCCAGGCTGGTCTTGGTCCTCCGAGTAAGGTGGAGGGTCTTGTGTCCCACTGCCTTCACGTCCGTCGCGCCGGCGCACATACATGCGCCGTCTGGAACAGCGTCGCGCGGACGGATGCGATGGCATCGGAACGCCCCGGCCTGCGTGGACATCCCATTGCCTTCACGTCCGTCGCGCCGGCGCACATATATGCGCCGTCTGGAACAGCGTCGCGCGGACGGATGCGATGGCATCGGAACGCCCCACGGCATCGGCGTCGGAGCCGGCGTCGGAGCCGGCGTCGGAGCCGGCGTCGGGCCCGGCGAGGGCTGCGGCGTCGGCCCAGGACTGGGCTGCGGCGTCGGCATCGGCGTGGGGCCCGGCGATGGCCCAGGCGTAGGGCCCGGCGTCGGCAGCGGCGTCGGAGCCGGCGTCGGAGCCGGCGTCGGGCCCGGCGAGGGCTGCGGCGTCGGCCCAGGACTGGGCTGCGGCGTGGGCATCGGCGTGGGGCCCGGCGATGGCCCAGGCGTAGGACCCGGCGTCGGCAGCGGCGTCGGAGCCGGCGTCGGAGCCGGCGTCGGGCCCGGCGAGGGCTGCGGCGTCGGCCCAGGACTGGGCTGCGGCGTAGGCATCGGCGTGGGCCCCGGCGAGGGCTCCGGAGTCGGACCAGGCGTCGGCAGAGGCCTGTGCGTAGATCAATCGGTGAGTCGAAGATTCGCGGCGGTGTGATTTATGCACTGGCACGTACGTCGGCGCGGGCGTCGGGCCCGGCGAGGGCTCCGGCGTCGGACCAGGCGTCGGCTGCGGCGTCGGCTGCGGCCTGTGCGCGGATCAATCGGTGAGTCGACCGGGCGCCCGAGAATTCTGCACCAAGTCCCCTCGCGGCGAGAACGCCGCCGTGCTGGCCGGTGCGAGCGGTTCCAGACCGCAGCGAGCGGTACCAGACCGCAGCGAGCGGTACCAGACCGCAACGCCACGTCGTCGAGCTCGCGTCGCGTCGATGGCGTTATGCTTCGTGAGAAGGCGCGGCGAGTCGGCGGCGGTTGGATTCACGCACTGGCACTGGCGTCGGTCCGGGCGATGGCCCAGGCGTAGGCTGGGGCGTCGGTCCGGGCGATGGCGCGGGCGTAGGCGACGGCGTCGGCATCGGCGTCGGCTCCGAGGAGGTCGGCGCGATCGTGGGCTCCGGAGAAGGCCCAGGCGTCGGCGACGGCGTGGGCTCGGGCGTCGGCTCACTGGAAGTCGGCGCGATCGTGGGCTCCGGAGAAGGCCCAGGCGTCGGCGACGGCGTCGGCTCCGGCGTCGGCTCACTGGAGGTCGGCGCAACCGTCGGCTCCGGCGATGGCCCAGGCGTAGGCTGGGGCGTCGGTCCGGGCGTCGGCTGCGGCGTCGGCAGGCCCGTCGGCACCGCGGAGGGCGCCGGCCTGTGCGCAAAATCCACCATGCCTTTCCCCGCTCTTTTCGAGCGCCATCGAGCGATCGCGGGGCGGAAATTTCGCGCGTGTGGCTTCGTGAGTAGATTATGAACGCGACGGCGTGGGCCTACCTTCGGCTATCGGTCGGCGGTCGTAATACCTCGCCTGCCCTTACCAAGCCAGCAAACACCAGGCAAGCAATGCGTCTCAGCTTTGGGGAGGCCTCAACGCCGTCAAGAATCTTCGGTTCGGCGTGCACGAAGGATAGATCGGTTAACGACGGTTTTTGGTCGAGTCTAGTGTCTCTCATCTAGGCGATTATGCGGGCGTGTGCGCTCGGAGCCGAGCATAGGGCCATAGGGCTGGCACCCGTCACGTATCGGCATTTTGTCACCAGTGCTGCAGTGCAGAACCTGTCCGTCGAACACGTCCACACCAAACTAAGTTATAGCACTTTGCCAGCAGTGCTGCAGCAGACTGCAGCGCAACAATGCCGGGCGCCACACCTTCCCCCCTGCACGGGACCAGTGGAGACCTCGCGGCACCACTCCTCGAACCCCCGAGCGAAACAACACAAACGAAGCGCGCCGCGGGCGTGCGCCGCATCCTGCGGCAGTCTCGGCCCGAGTGGCCCGCGATGGCTGCGGCGACGCTCTGCCTCGTGCTCGCGGTGCTCGGCCAGGCAGTCATGCCCCTCCTCTTCGGGCGCATGGTCGATGCCACTTCGGACACGAGCGGGTCGCGCGACGCGCGGCTCCGGCGCTACTCGGCGGCCTGCGCCGAGCTCGCGCTGGTGGTCGGCGTGTCGCTGTTCTTCACGGCGGTTCGCGCCTACGTGTTTAACTCGGCGGGCGCGAAGCTGTGCATAGATCATGGCCTCCACGCCATCGACGCGACACCTGCTCGACGGCATGGAGGTGTCGGTGCCTCTCCGCTCGATGGAGCCAGCCCGGCCGCGTTCTCGTCGAGAAAGGACACGCGCGCTCGACTAACTGGTTGATTTGCGCACAGGCGCGAAGGTCGTCGCGCGGCTGCGCGTCCTGCTGTTTGGGCGGATGCTCGCGCAGGAGACGGCCTGGTTCGACGCCCGGGAGACGGGCGATCTCCTGAGCCGCCTCGCGTCCGACACGCAGAAGCTCCAGGCGGCGGCCACGGAAACGGTATCCCTCGCGCTCCGGTCGGCGATCTCCGCGCTCGTGTCCTTCGCGCTCCTGTTCCTGACGTCGTGGCGCCTGGCCTGCCTCGCGACGGCGGTGGTGCCGTTCCTGATCGGCGCGACGTTCCTCGCCATGCGCGTCGTGAAGCGGCTCGCCAAGGAGTCGCAGGCGGCGCTGGCGCGCGCGGGCGCCGTCGCGCAGGAGGGCCTCGCGAACCAGCGGGTCGTGCGGTCCTTCGGCGCGGAGGGCTTCGAGGTCGGCCGCTACGCCCACGCCGTCGGGGACCCCGACGCGGCCGAGCGGCCGGCGAAGGACTCGAGCCTGGCGCTCGGGCTGCGGCAGGCAGGAGTCCAGGCGGCGTTCATCACGACGACGGCGGCTCTGGGCTACGCGTCGGTGCTGGGCGTCTGGTACTACGGAGGGCTGTTAGTGGTGCGCGGCCAGATGACGACGGGCGACCTCGTCGCGTTCGTCATGCTGCTGCTCACGATCACCGCGTCGCTGTCGGTCCTCGCGCAGACGGGCGCCTCCGTCGTCGAGGCCGTCGGCGCGTCGGTAGAAATCTTCGCGGTGATCGACCGCGAGCCGGCCATACCCAACGATTGGTCCTCCAAGAGCGACGCGGACCGCGCGACGGAGCTGCGGCTCGCGCGAGGCGACGCGGCGGGCTGCGCCTTCGAGGATGTCGTCTTTTCCTACGCGTCGCGGCCCGACCTCCGCGTGCTCGACGGCCTGACGCTGCGCATACCGGCGAAGTCGCGGGCGGCGCAGGACTGTGTGGAAATCATATTTCGGGCGCCCCACGCCATCGACGCGACCTTGTGGATAAAACTCACTGACAGGCACTGGTGGGGCCGTCGGGCGGCGGGAAGACGACGTTGCTTCATTTGCTCGAACGCTTCTACGACGTCGGGTCTGGCAGGATTCTCTTCGACGGTGTTGATATACGAGCAGTGGAACCGACCGTTTTAAGGACGAAGATGGCCCTCGTCGCCCAGCAGCCGGCGCTCTTTTCGGGGAGCATACGCGACAATATTGCATATGCTTCTCGCGCGCGCGGCCTCCGCACCGACGACGCGGCCGTCGAGGCCGCGGCCAAGGCGGCGCACGCCTACGACTTCGCGACGGCGTTCCCCGACGGATTTGAAACAGCAGTCGGCGAGCGTGGCGTCCGGCTGAGCGGCGGCCAGACGCAGCGCGTCGCCATCGCCCGCGCGTTACTGGCGGCGCCGCGGCTGCTGCTCTTCGACGAGGCGACTTCCGCATTGGACGCGGAGTCCGAGGCCCTCGTGCAGGACGCCATCGATAAACTTTGCGTCGGCCGCACGTCGATATCCGTCGCGCACCGGCTGTCGACGGTCGTCAACGCGGACCTGATCGCGCTGGTCCAGGGCGGCCGCGTGATCGGCTCGGGCACCCATGACGCACTGCTGCAGGACTGCGCCGAGTACTCGAACCTCGTCCGCCGGCAGTTGCGCGCGGCCGACTCGTCCGCGAGCCTTGCGTCGTAAATGTACTCATCTGTAACAACTTGCTCTGTGGACCATTCTAATTCTTTGCTCTTGCATTGTTACGCTTCCTAGAGCCTCACAGCCTTCTAGCCCTATGTGATGTGAGCGCGTGCACTTCGTTCTGCGCGAAAACAGCCTCGGGGTTTCCAGTTTTGAAGCGCGAGGTTAGACGAATCATCGCGTCGTCATCGTAGCTTGCTAGTCTAGCGCGCGCACGGCCCCAATATTAACACAGAGCTCTCCATCCATCCATGGAACCACTGGAACCTCTCCGAGACGTAACGCGTCCGGAGCCGCGAGTCTCCGATCGCCAGAGGACTCAGCTCGCCGCGTTGGTGGCGGGCGGCCTGCTCTTAGTTTGTGCAACGGTGACGACTCGCGACTGGGCCTCGGGAACGGGGCGCCATCGGGTCCAAATGAGTTACTTTTTCGGGGGCAGATCGGCTCGCGGACACCCTCTGGGATAGGTCTGAGGTCGGGTGGTCGCCTAGACCGCATGCGCCGATTCTCGGGGCTCCCAGAGAGCTCTGGATCGAAAACTTTTGGGGATCATGGCAGTTGTCCGCGCACTGCTGGGGACCTGTCTTGATTTGCATCCACTGATCGAAGCGCCCGCGCACGCGGCGTAGGCGACTACCCATGTCTAGTTCCGACCCTAGGCGACGCCGGGGAGACCTCAGGACCACGAATCGACAGGATTCCACCGACGCGCCAGCCATGGCGGCGTCGTCAATTTCGCGAATTAAAAAAAAAAAAATTTTGGGCCCCCAGTACATGTCCCATTGATCTCTTTGGACCAGTAGCGAACCGAAGGATACTCGAACAGCTGCATGCCGTATTCCGTTTGCTAGTGTCTTACACACCGCTAGCTAGACCCAGCGCGGCTGTTGCGCGCAGCGGCCCAAAACGAGGCATAACTGAACACGCAGCGCTGCCAAAACGTGGCTCTGTGGTAGACTCATCTTGCAAGAAGTACTGGCTTCGAAACGCTACAAGTTTACAAAAATGGCAGCGCAAACAGAGGCAGCCGAGAGCCGCGAGGCCAAGGTCATGCGCCGCCTGGCCGGCGCCCTCGACGACTACGGCCTCTCGACCATCGGCAAGTCCGTGGCCATGGCCTACCTCCGGAAACTTCCGGAAGACGACATGGCACGCGTCCGCGCGTGGTGGCTGCGCAAGCTTAATGGTAGTGACCTCGTCCCTCCATCGAACACGCCGGCGCGCCAGCGCGGCTGCCCCGAGCTCTTCGAAGGATTAAGGGCGCAACCCGTCTGGTGGCGCGGATGCGAGGAGACTCGATCAGAATTCCCGCCGGAGCTGGCCTGGGTGGCGGACGTCGAAAGGAATGCGCCGGCGATGCGCGAGGAGTTGCTCAGACTCAGAGATCAGGGCGAGGAGCACTTCCAGCCGTACCGCGCGCCGTCGAGCGAGCAGAAGGGCGGGAGGGGCGCGACCGATAGAGGGGACTGGAATGTCTTTTATCTCGAGCTGCACAATATGGACTTTGAAGCTCACAGGGAGCGGTGCCCCGTGACGTGTGGAGTGTTGGAGCGCATTCCTCAAACCTACGGCCACGCGTTTTTTAGTTCCACGGCCTGTAATACGCATATCACGGACCACAACGGGCCGACCGCAAAAAAATTAAGATGCCACCTGCCTTTACTCTGCCCGGCCGAGGGCTGTAGAATAAGGGTGGGAGACGAAATCGTAAGGATGGCGCGCGACAAGGCCATAATTTTCGACGATTCCTTCAATCACGAGGCCTGGAACGACCACGCTTCTGAGGCGCGCATCGCCCTGATCTTCGACGTGTGGCACCCGGACCTCTCGGCGCGCGAGGTCAAGTTCCTCAGTTTCCTGCAGACGGCGGCGATGAAGCGCGCCAAGCGGGTCTGCGAGGCCGCGGGCGTTGTCGGCGACACGTTCTACTCGGTCATCGACCAGGGGCGGCGCGTGCGGCCCGAGGACGCGCGGGTCTGGGGCGCGGCGGCGGCGGCGGCGCCGGGCGACGCGTAAGTTTTCGTTTTTGAGGAGGTCGTCCGATGCTGCTGCTCGTGTCTTGGGGCACGCTTGTTTCCATCGTATGGTTACGGTGCTAGGACTAGCACGCTTGTTTCCACGCTTGCTAGTGTCTTGCTGCCGCTAGCTAAATGCAAATCTCGAGCGCCAGATTTTTGCGCCTTGAGGTCGTGTTGATCGCAAGTAGTTGAGATGATGCACCTCTCAACCGTGCTGCTGCTCGCACCAATTTGCAGCAAAGCATTCGTACCGGCAAGACGGATAAAAACGACACCGAGACTGGCAGCCGTGGCACCGGCAGCAGCCGTCGTCAAGAGCGCCGCCGGCGCCGGGTTCGCGTGCGCGGCGGTGGGCTTCGTCTCGGCCCACGCGGCCGTGAGTTACGGCTACGGTTTGGCCATCGCGTGGCACGCGCGGGCGGCGCTCCGGAGCGCGACGACGCCGGTCGCCGTCCGCGTCCTGCTCGCCTACGGCCTCAAGGTGACGGCCTACCAGGCCCTGCGCGACCGCGAGAAGCACTACCGCGACGCCGTGTTGCCGCTGTTCCGGGCCCTGGAGAAGGACACGAAGTGCCCCTTCACGCGGACGACGCACAAGATCCCGCTCGTCGCCGGCGTCGCTGTCCTGCTGGCGCTCTACGCCGCGCCGATCCGGTTTCTGGCGAACGCGCCGCGGCCCCGCGTTACTGTATTTGCTGGTGCGGCGGCGGCGGTCGCGCTGGCCGTCCAGACCGTCGCCGACGCGCAGAAGTTCCTGGCGAAGCGGCGCGCGCCGGACCGGCCGTGCACGACGGGCCTCTGGCGCGTGTCGCGCCACGTGAACTACGCGGCCGACGTCGTCCTCCACGGCGCCGTGGCAGCCGCGGCGGCGCTGAGCGCGCCGTCCGCCGCCGCTGCGCTGCTGGCGGTCCTAGCGCCACTCATGATGGTGAATATCGTCCTCTCGGCGACGGAGTCCCTGGACGGCCGCCAGCGCCTCGCCTACCGCGACGACGCGTTCGAGGCGTATGTGGCGGCGACGCCGCGACTCTTCTTCACATAAACATACACTTACTAGTCCCGGGAAACGTACTCCAGGAACGTCTTCTTCGGCGGCGCCGCGTCCACCACCTCGGACGCGTCCACGACGCCCTTCCACGCCTGCTGCACGAAGAAACAGTTCGGCCGGACGACGTCCATCAAACGCTTGCCGGGCCCGAACAAGTTGTCGCGGTCGGCGCCGGCCGGGAACTCCTCGAAGGTCTCGCCGACGTCCGCCGCGACGCGCTTTCTTAATTCCTCGAAGGTGCACGCCCGCGGCACGACGTACGCGAGGCGCCCGAACCCCGGCCTGACCAGACGCACGCGGACATGCGTCGGCAGCAACAGGATGGCGTCGCGGTGGCGCACCTCCCGCGACACCTTGTGGATGACCTTGTAGTCCGCCACGAAGTTCTTCGCCTGGCGCACGAGCGGCCTTCCCGTATTGTCGTTTCGTTCCAGCGGCGTACACCGAACCAAATCGGGTTCGTAGAGGCACCACTTCGTCTCATCCAGGAAATCGTTGTAGGTGTCGTAGGAGAAGCGCCCCGCCAGGTCCGCCTCGGACCATTCAGTAGAGAAGAACCGCCGCGACCAGTCGTAAGGCCGGATGAACTCATCAGGATCGTGGCTCTCCGTCTCCGGCGCGTACAGCGCTTCAATGACGTCGCGGGGCAGGCTCCTTAGAGTATCAAAGTTCGCTCGTATCTGTTCGAAGAGCCGCAGCTTGACATTCACGCAGCTCTCGTCCTCGTGGCACGGCACGGGCACGGCCTCGTCGCCCAAGGATTGGGGCGAGCGGAACTCGGCTAATGCGCGCAGAAACGGATCCAGGACATACACCTCCTGCACCATGACCGGCTCCCGGATCGCCGCGAGGTCCGAGAAGTACGCACCATCCAGCCCGGGCCGGTGGATCGCGTTGTCCGCCCCGATGCGCGGCCGGTCCTTCCAGAGGCGCGTCAGCGTCGGCGGGCCGCTCTGGAGTTTTGGTGGTTTCTTGCGCGGCTTGGGCGGTGCTTCGGCGGCCATGGGCTTGCTCTGCGAGTGCTGCGGGGCGTAGGCGTGCTCGAAATTTGGCTGCACGGGCTGCAGGTGTTTGTAATGAGCTATGCACGATGTGGCTTGAACTTGCAAGCACAATTGCGCACTCCTGCGGCCGAGCAGCAGCAGCCGCAAAGTGCTTTCTAGTGTCTTACTGGCCGCTAGGTCCAAGCGACCGGGCGAGTCCCTGTCCAGAACGTCGCTATATTGCTACCTCTTACGCGCTCTCCGACGGCGCCCGCCGGACGCAGCGGTCCGAGTCTTCCGGCGCAAAGATCAAATTGCCCTCATCCAATTCAACCTGGTACGGGGCGTGAGAACCTTGCGTGAAGTACCACAGCTTGATGACCGTGCCGGGCTCCCATTGATTCGTGCCCATGCAGCATTCGACTCTAGTACCCACTTTGAACCTGAGTGGGGTCTCGCTGGCGCGGAGCGCGGCTTGCGATTTTGCCGCCGCGGCGCGAGCATACGAACGCGTCGCGCGACACGAGGTGTTATAATTATTACGCTTCGCCACAACGCCTCGTGCGCTGTGAGAGTGAGCAGTCAGAAATACCGACTCGTAAGGACACACCGGTGGTTTGGTCCTTCTTTGTCTGCGGCAGACGCGCGTCGTCTTGATTACGTGCGACGCAGCCGGTCTCGCGCTGGGCATCCGCTTAAGGATCGCCGCGCCAGCCGGACGAATGGCCGACGAGGGCATCGGCGCGGACTCGACCGTCGACGCCGACGGCATCACGCAGCTCGTGGCGCTCGTAGGGAACGGCGCGGCCAAAGTAAAGGAGGTGGCCGCCGAGGGGTTGACAGACCTCGCCTCTGAAAGTGCCGCATACAGCGCCGCGATCATCGACGCCGGCGCCATCGAACCGCTCATGAGACTCGTGACGAACGGCACGTCCATGGGCCGGAAGAAGGCCATGGTGGCATTGTCGACCCTCGCCGAGGCGGAACCGGCCGAGGGCCAGAGGGAGGCCGCGTGGGCGTTGGTGCGACTCGCCGAGGCGTTGGTGCGTGGGGGACCTACGGACTATGATATGGACGCACGCAAAAAGGTTGCGGTCGCCGAGGCCGGCGCCGTCGACCCGCTCATCAGGCTCGTGTGCGACGCCAGTGAGGACTTGAAGTTTGGAGCCGCAGAAGCCCTGAGGGAGCTCGACCGCGCCACGAGAAGGCGGATACGAATCCTCCAAGACGAGAACAAGTCGCTCAAGCGCCAGCTAGATCGCATTGAAGGAGAACAAGTCGCTCAAGCGCTAGCTAGATCTCTTTGAATCTCAACCATCATTCTGGCGCGCGACCGAGTAAATTAGCAACAAAACTTAATACACACCTCCAAAACCGCCAACAACAACAGCCGCCTCCCGCAACCGCCCCGCGAACACCGCGTCGGAAGCGGCGTCCGCCCCCGCCGCGAGCGCATGCAACAGATCAACGGGAGACGGCAGGCCCGCGCGCGGCCGCGCCGAGAGCACGGCGAGCTCCTCGGCGACGAGGGCGTCGTCGCCGCAGGCGCGGCCCACACTTCGCGCGGCCGCCTCGACGGCCGCCCGCGCCGCCGCGAAGGCGCGCCGGTCGTCGGCGTGCGCCGTCGGGTCGTAGGCCTCGACGCCCGCGACGAAGGCCTCCGACGCGTCCGTTAACGGACACGCGAGCGCCGCGAGCGCCTCGGATAACAATCGCGGCGCAAGCGCGCGCAGCGGCGACGCCGTGCCGTCGACGGGAAAGCACGCGAGCGCCGCGACGAGCGCCGCCCGGTCGTCGCCGCCGAAGCGCGCGACGCAGGCGAGCGCGACCGAAGCCGCAGGAGTCGCCTCGCCATTTTTCTGGGCGAGGCCCAGCTTGCGCAATGCTTTAACAGAGCGCTTCGCGGCCTTGTCGCTCTTCTTCTGAAGACGACAGGCCCGTCGAAACTCGCGCGCGTAGACGCGCTTCAATAACTCCGACCGCGCGCCCTCGGAGAGCTCGTCGCCATCCCGACGTTTCAGCACCGCCGCGCGCGCCGTCAGCGAGCGGTAGGACGCCGCGTCGGCCTCGTCCTTGACCTCTATCACGTCCAGCTCATCCAAGAAAAGGGCGACGCGCCGCTTCTTCTTCTTCTTGCTGTCTTTGCGCTGCAGCGCCTCCAGCGCCTCGAGCGTCGCGCGGCGGCACGCGTCAACATTGCCCGGGCGACTCAGGTCCTCGGCCAGCGTCACGACGACGCCCGTGAGTCGTATGGAAGACGCCGGCACGCGCCTCACGTTCCAGCGCGGCGCCTCCTCCAGAACGACCTCCACCGGTCGCTTCGCGTCGTTCGTACTCCCGTGGCGCGCCGCGACCAACCCGACGACGCAGCACCACCTCGAAGCATCGCAGCGGCCGACCCTTCCTTTTTTCAGCCATGGCATCGCGTGCGCGGGCCTCCTCAAAATGAGCATGGCCCGCTCGTCGCAGGCCTGCCGCTCGTCGCGCTCGTCGTCCAAGCCGTCTTCAATTGATGAAGCGAACTTGCTCAAGCATGATGCTAGACCCGTCGTCACCAAGGAAAGCTGCCGCTCCGCGTCGAGCGTCGACGCCGCCCGCAGCAATAACGCGGCGGACAGGCGCGGCCGCGGGAAGACTTTCTGAGACGACGCGATTGCGTTCCCGTCGACGCACGCCGCGCGCCAGGCTTCATCATCGACACCGTCCAAGACCTGGACGATGTCGCATTCGGTACCTTCCGCCAACGCCGCGTAGGCGGCGCGGTCAATTTTGATAGGTTCGGCGACGACGCACGCCGCTGATGAGACCCGATCTGTCACGTTACAAACCACAACTTTGACGAGACCCGCCCCTAACGCTAAAACGGACGCGTCGCGCGACCACGCGTCGCGCACGACGCCCACACCAAACTGCGCGCGCCGCAGCCACGTCGCCGCCGAGGCCTTGTCCTTTTTTGAGGACGGGTCACACCTCCTTACAAATCGCCGGATCGCCTCCTCATCTGAATCACAAGAGAGGGCGTCCGCGACGTCCAGACGAGTGGCGACGACCTTGACCGTCGCATGATTCACCAGCAGGTGCGCCACGGCCTTCACCGTCGCTTCTCGGACGCTCCCGCCGACGTCGATGCCGCGCCGCGCGAGCGCCAACGCGCGGGGCCAGGCGTCGTCCTCGGCGCCGATGCGCAACCGCAACGGCGCGTCCTGGCCCGGCGGCCAGCACCACAGGCGCCGTTGGTGCGACGCGCCGACCGACGCGAGGGACGTCCCCAGCCACGCGGCGCACGCCGATGCATGGGGTCCCTCTCCTTCATTAAATAGGACCAGTCGGATCGACGACTGCGCCGCCCGCAGCACCGTACAGCAATCCGCGGCTACCGGGTCCGCCACAACATCAACATCGAAGCAGTAGGCCGCCGCCGACGCCTTTTCTTGGTCGAAATAGAGAGGCCGGCCTGACAGCAACTCCCTCCGTAACCAAGACGGCGCACACACAACGACGCGCCGGTCGTTGGCCGCGCGGACGCGGACGCCGCCCGCGAGCTCCCGCGCCTGATGGACCGCGGCGTCCTCGGTCGGCGCGAAGAGCCGGCCCCAGAAGGCGCTGTCCACCAATTCGGGCGTCGCGTCCGTCGCTATCAGTACGTCCCGCTGCGTCCGGAGCCGCGCCTCGACCTCGCGCGCCGTGCGCCGCGGTGTCGCCGTGACGATTACGACGAGGTCCTCGGTGGCGGACGCGGTGGCTGAGGCGAGTGCGGCGAGACCGGATCTCGGCCCGGCAGAGCGGGCCACGACCGTCGGACGCGCGCGGAGGAGCTTGGCGGTCTCGGTCGCCGCGGCGTCGTGCCGCAGCGCCTGCTCGGCGCGTGTGGTGAGTGCTGCCATGGTACAGGTCCTTCAGCCGCCGCAGCGATGCGCGCACGCGTTGTGCGATATGCGGGACGAGTGTTTATCGCCTCCAAGTCGCACTCGTGCTTAATCAGCGTTTTTGCGCAATTAGTCGAGCTAGCGGTCTTGTAACACACTAGCAAGAGGGCTTTGCGAGCTTGTAACTCGGCGCATTCATCGTTGTGCTTCTTGTGGGACTCGTTTGTCGACGAGAAGACTCCATACTGCTCGGCTGTTGCATCTGTCTCAGTCGTGCCACAGGCACGGCCAGGCACTGCACTGCTGTAAGCCTCTGCCGCAGCAAACGATGATGCCGCGACGACGACCAAGTCGCGCCGTAGGCCTCCTCCTCCTCGCCACACAAGCAGCCGCGCTGCCGAAGTGGCTCCGCTGGCCCGGCAAGACCAAGGAGCAGAAGGCCGTCGAGCGCGTCCTGAACGAGTTCGAAAGGGACGAGTTCTACGGCTGCATCGGCGCGAAGCCGTCGGCGAACGCGGCGGCGCTCAAGAAGGCCTACCGCGCGACGGCCAAGCTCTGCCACCCCGACAAAAATAGTGACAGCCGCGCGCCGTCGGCCTTCGACGCCGCGCGCGACGCCTACGACATCCTGTCGGACCCCGACGCGCGGCGCGAGTATGATAGAAGGCGGCAGGCGCGGCTGCGCGAGGAGAAGAAGAACCCGAAGAAGAAGGTACGTTTGGAGCCGAGCGGCCCGCTCGGCAAGGCGTGGCGGTACCGGGTCTGGGTCTTCATGAGCTGGGTGCTCGTGAAGACGCTCCTGGCATAGCACTACTAATGTTTTCAATTCTTAGAGAAAGCTCACGACATGACGAAATGGCCCCTCGTTGCAGACGAGCACCCTCGCCCTTTTGCGGTCGTCGGCCTCGTCATCCGAAGACGACTGGCGCTCGTCGAGCGCGTTCGCCACGAAGCGCAGCGACCGCTTCCAGGCGTCAGTGCACGATGAATCCCGTCGAGCGACGGCCCGGCCCCGCACCACCAACGCTCGCAGGATCACGACGGGCAACCGCCGCTCCCTTCGTTCGTGCTTCGCCCACGCTTGGGAAGCGGCGGCGCCACCGACCCTTAAAACGTCATGTAGGAATTCGAGAGTGGCGTTGTTCGGCCCCTGCTGGCCTCCTCTTTGTTTGGCCGCCGCATCCAGAGACGTAGACCCGCGGAAATCTCTCTCGAACAAGTTCACTCCTTTCTGCGCTAGATACTGCAGCGCCGCCACGTTGCCCCGCGACGCCGCACTTTGAGCCAGCGTGTTGCCCCGAGCCAAGCCTCTTGACCGTAAATCCGCCCCATGCTTCGCTAGTACGTCGAGGCACTTCACATTGGGAGTATGAACGGCAGTCGACACAGCTGACAGACCGCGGTTGTTCCGCCGCTGGATCGACGCCCCTTGCTTCAGAAAGAAGGTCACTAATTTATCATGGCCGCAGTGGCACGCTACTTGTAAGGGGCTTAAATCCGTTTCGCCGGTCGGCCACTCCAAATCGGCCCCTAGCCTCAATAGTTGTTTTGCGGCCGCCATGTTGCCCAGTCTGGCTGCTCGTGTGAGTAGCGTGTCGCCTCGACTACACAATTGTCTTGGCGCTCTTCTTTTTAATGCGTCGGCGTCGAATTTCGCGTCCTCTAGAAGAGCGCAGACGGCGCCGGGGCCGAACGCTGAGAGGGCGCGGAAGGTTATCGTCCAGCGGTCGTCGGGCTCTTCCGCGGCCATGGCTCTTTTTGTAGTGTTTGCGGGACCGCTCTGTGTTTTTTGGTCGGGGCGTCGCGGCGGCGGCGCTGCGTTAAGCTGTATTTTGTGAGAACGCTCTGCGGGTTTTTTTTTTTCGTCGGGGTGGCCTGGCGGCAGCGCGCTGCGCTGTGGCCGTTCGCTTAGAGTCAATTGCGTGCGTGACGGCCTTTTAATACTGTGGCAGCCAAGCTTTTTTTGTCAAGCACTCGATGCTGCTAGCGGCCAGTAAGACACTAGCAAGCCGGACGACTTCTCGTAGCACGCTCCACATCGCCTCCGGGAACGCTGCTTTGTGGCACGGCTCCGCCGCGACCCGTCCCGGAGACCTCACCTCAAATTAGATCCTTGCAGACCCATGTCACGTGTTTGGTAGCAGTTGCAGATACACGCTATCGATGCCCGATTGCTGCCGCACTTGCACATAAGCTTCCGTGCTCTTCCAGCCGCGGCGGGCAGCAAAAACGAGCAGCCTCGGGGCTCTCGATTGCAGCTAGTGCAGGGAGCAGCCTGCAAGCAACATGGTGCGCTGCTACGCCAGCCGCGGCGCGCCGTCGCCGGGCACGCTCGACGGCTGCGCCGACTATAAGCCGCCGCCGCCGAACCTCCACTCCTCATTACGGCCCCACATCTTGCCGCCGCACGACGGCGACCGGCTCTACGACTTGCTGCGGGACCTCTGGGACCTCTTGGATGCGTTGCGGATGGAGTACTGGGTCACGGGCGCCACGTTGTTGGGCTTGTGCCGCCACGGCGGCCAGATCCCCTGGCACGCCTCAGCTGCAGTTGCGGTGGGTCCCCTGGATTCACCTAGACTGGACAAGGAGCTCGAGGAAATAAAACAGGAGGGCAACTGGACCTTCGAGACTATTGAAGGTTGTATAAGATGTCGGAAGGTCGAGCAACCTTGGCCGTTTATTGACGTGTACGCGACGGAACTACACGTAAAAGACGATATCGACGTGACGCAATCCGAGGACAACGCGGCGGACCACCTCGCGGAGATCCGCTACGCGTCGGAAGCCGCGCGGAAAAAACGGCCGGACGACGCGTGGCGCATCTCAAAACTCTACCCGCTCAAGGCGTGCACGTTTCGAGGGTCTTCGCGGTGTCGTTCTCGCCCACCAGCGCCGCACGACTCGCGGGACTGGCTCGCGCGCGTCTACGGGAAGGCCTGGAAGACGACGGCGCGGCCACCTTCCATAAATTACCGTACACAACAGCGGAACGAGGTTGTCGAGGTTCCGTTACTCGAGTCGGACCGCGTCCCGCTCGGCCACCCGTCCCTGTCTCCACTGCCACCACCACCGCCGGCCGCCGGGAATTTGAGATATTAATCGTGTTGTTTTATACATAACTAGACCTTCTTCGCCGGCCGGCCCGCCCAGTGCTCGCCCGCCGGCACGGGCTCGACGACGACCGCGCCGTCGGCGCAACTGCCAAGCACGTCAGCATGCACAACGCTGTTCGCGCCGACGACGGCGCCGTCTCCAATGACACTGGGCCCAAAGACGACCGCGCCCGCGCCGACCGTCGCCTTCGAGCCGACGGACGCCGCGCCGTAAATCGTCGCCGACGGCGCGACGCAGGAGTCGGGCGCGACGCACGGTTGACTATCAGCGAAGCTCACGGTCGTCGTGTGGCGGCTCGTGTGGTCCCAGAAGGACTGGTCTCCCCCCAAGGCCATCCCAGCCCGCTCCATCGCGGAGCCCGTCTCGCGCAGGGCCTTGCCGACGGCGTGGCGCACGTGGGTGGCGAGGGCGGCCATTTTTTTTCTGCTCGACGCTTGGGTTGCACTCACGGGTAATCGGGCCGCGCGACGGCGACCTTGAGGAGCTCAGGAGGCTTGCTCGAGGTCTGGCGGGTGGTTTCGCGCAGCGTCTTCGACGGCGTCCTCTCTGAGCAGTCCGTGGGGGCTGTAGACGGTCAAATCGTGCCGCGGCGTGGCGCGTGGAGCTCACACTGTGATTGAGAGACGCTTGCAAAGATTGCTAGTGTCTTACTGGAGCTAGCTAGCTCGGTCGTTAGTAAGTCGAACTAAACGATTTGGCCTGTAAAGGCAGCAAAGTGTAGTCGATTCACGTGCGGACCAGTGCATACCTTCATCGCGGTCTCAGAGACCGCCCTGCTGCAGCCGCGGCGCCAGCCAGGGCGTCTCCGCGGCTGGAGCAGCGTAAGGACGCTCCGAGCTACTTTTGGCAGTGAGCGCGGCCCCACAGCGCACGGCGCTGCACGCCGAGAGCCCACCGCGCACCCACACACCCGTCCGGCCGGTCGGTCAAGGCCGTGACGTGCTTTCAAGCCAAACCGCGCGCCGCCGTTCAAACCCGACCCCCGCAGGCAGCGCCATGGAGTCTCCCACCCCCCTCGCGAACCGCACGAACGCGGCGGACACGCCCGTCGACGCGAAGAACATCCTCAAGACGCGCCTGCGACCGAAGCCGCCGACGGTCCTCAGCCCGCTCGCCAAGGACTTCGAGCCCGTGTGTGATGCCGACGACGATTCATGTGACGAGGACTTTGTGTACGACGCGGCGAAGGAGGGCAAGCTCAAGGGCGCGAGCGAGCAGTGGACGCGCGGCAAGCGGCCGAACGGCATCGAGGACGAGGCGGCCGTGAACGCGGTCCTCGACGCTATTGATGATCTCCAGCGGCCGGAAGAGGTGGACGCCGACGAGATGCTCGAGGACGCCTGTGGCGCCATGAGCTGTGCGCCGGCGCCGCCCGAGGAACTCCAGGAGATGGAGGCCCTCGAGGATGCGGCCGACGAGATCGAGTCGATCGAGGATCAAGCGGACGCGGAGCTGCTCGAAGACGCGTCGGCGGCGGTCGCCGCGCCGGGCGGGCCTTTTGAAGATGTGGCCGTGGCGCCGCCGGCGCCTCCCTCGCCGCCCCGTACGAGGTACCCGCTGCTCACGCGCTTCATGGAGTGCATCGGCTCCCGCATGTGAGCGCTCCCTATTACTAATATAGTTTAACAATACTACCACTCCTCCTCGACCGCCTCATGAGCTGAAGACGCGACGACGACGGATCTAAACGCCTCGGGCCGCGCGGGGCCAAATTCGGTCACGGAAGCAGCTAGAAACCCGAAGGGCTTCTCCGGCGCGAGGAGCTCCTCGTCGACCTCCGCGGCCCGCTCGACCAAGCGGCGCTCCCTTACTGATTGCGACGCTTTGAGTTGAGGTCTAGTTAACGCACGCAACGCGCCCACGAGTAATTCGGCATCCCTCGCGTGATCACACACGAGCTTGTACTTCTTGTGGTTGCGCAATCCACACACTCGATATATCGACCTGACCTTGAACTCTACGGTTCGAGGCCGTCGCACGTCATACAACGGGACACTCCTGATTCTAGACGCATCAATCGACAAGGGCATGACCGCTTTTTTTTCATCGAACGTCGCACCGAAGGTAATCCGTTCGCCCTCCAACCTTATTAGTTGGGGGATCTTGCCGCACTTGCAGCCGTCCAAGGCTCGCTTCGCCCGCACAGGACCGATAGATTGCCTCTGTTGGAACGCCTCGAGGGCTTTCACTTCCGCGCGGTCGTGCCTCTCTTCTAACCTTCGTTTCATCGTCGCCGCGGCCTCCAGATCGTCCAGGTGCTTCCGGGCCGCCTGGTACGCTTTTCGCGCCTCGAACGCGTCCTTCTGCTGCTCGATGCGCTCGAGTAAATACGCAGCCCGCTTCCGCATCTGTCTAGCTCGCCAATACCTTTGAACTCGTCTCACAGCAGTCCGGTAGGGCCCCTCGAACCAGGTCATCGCGATCTTGACATGTCTTTTATGCCTTAGTCGTCTTCTTAGTCGAGATAGGACGTAGTTCTGCGGGCCGTACAGCAAAAACCCAACCAGATGTAGAGCATAAACAACTAGATGCTCGACCTGGACCAGGGACCACATGACCAGCGGATGTATTAACTCTGTATATACGAAGACTGTGAGACCCGTTAGGAAGAACGCAAAGGCCACCGTTGCGGTCGCGACGGGGTCGTCCCTCCCATTGCAGACCGCCTTTAGCGCGCGTTGCCTCCGAGCTATAGATAATAACACCCGCTGGACCGGTAACAGTAAGGGAGCTAACGGGTTAAAGGACCAGAAGCTCTTCATCGGCCCGATGGCTTCCGCCGCTACTTTAGCCGCTTCTTCAATCTTCTTCTGCTCCTCCTCCTCTTCCTCCTCGATCTCCTCGTGGTGCGCCTTCATCTCGTTGATCGTTCGGTCCGCGACGACTTTTCGCGCTCGGCCGCGGGCCCACGCGAACTGTTGCTCGACGGGAATCGGTCGGATATCGACCTGCGGCTGGAGGCCCGCCACGGCTTTGAGCCACCGCCCAAAGGTCATGGGCGGCTTGGCCACGGACGGCGCCCGGCCATCACCTAACAGCGCGTCCCTTAGTCCAAGGCCGCTGAACACACAAATCCAGGCCAAACATCGAATCGGCCGCTGCACGCAGGACGCCCAGGCTACTAGTGCCAGTATTGAACGGAGAGGCCGTTCATATCTAATAAGAGAAAGCATGGCCGTATGGGCTGCGGCTACGGCATTTAACACATCCGCAACAGCTTCCCGCGCGTGGCCCCGTATGCGCTGCGTCGCGAAGGGCTCATTCAGCGCGTCGCAGGGGCAGCCGCCTTCACCAAATAATGTAAACCGCACGTTCTCCCTGACACGCTGTCCCGAGGCTGTTGCGGGTGTGGCGACCGAGGCCCGAACCGGAGCGTACAACACGTCGGCCAGAGCGCTGCGACAGGCCGCGACCCCACCATCGCTCCAGTCCACCCTAAACCTCACGCGAATAGCACCTCTAGACTCAGCTTGCGTCTGGTGGGCCGCCGCCTGCCGCGCCAAAGGCTCCCTGGCGACTAACGCTCGGCACGAATTCGCGAGCTTCTCTCCAGCAGTATCCGACAGCACGAGAGGCAACCAGCAGTCATAGAGAGTGTTCGGAGCGAAGGCCCTGAGAGCGACCGCACACCTCCCAATCGGCCAGTCCTCGCGCTTCCGCTCGTTAAAACACGCTAACGAGAGCGTAGCCGCACCGTCGTTGACCGGAATGCGAAACGCGCGCCGCTCGTCGTGTTTCCAGGCCGGCGCGACGCAGTCGTATTTGGTCGACGTCACCGCGACGCAGCCGTCGGACACGACCATGGCGAAGACGTCTTCCGCACTGAAGGCGTCGCCCATGTTCGCCCGCGTCCAGCCGCCCGCTTGTAGGATCTCAATATGTAGCAATCCAATCCTTTTCGTGGACGCGGCGTGCCTTCCATCTCTGTGCACGTCGCACCATTTTTCTGATGGAGCCTCATCAGCCGGCAGAGAAACCCCGGCCCGCTGGAAGCGCCGCTCCCTCCCTAATGTAACGTCCGCCGGCGCGAAGCCCCACGACGCTAATGCGCGAGAGGGGTCCAACGTGTCGAGCCAATGGATAAAGCTGTCGAAGTGGTGCGGCGACCTCCATATGAATCGTAACACGGCCTTGACCTCGGCGAAGACGAACACTATAGCCTTCCAGAGGTTCTCGGCCAGGTGCAGCTTGCGCTCTTCATCAACATGGTGGTCCTCGCTCGGGGACGCCGGGCGCGGCTGCCTCATTGGTGTTTGCCTAGGCCCGTGCTTGGCGGTCGCAGCGATGGCGTGGGCAGCCCCACAGTCGCAGCGATGGCGTTTGGACGACGGCGAGCAACGCAAACAACCCGTCGCTGCGTTTGAGCCGCTTCGCGATCTCACGCTCGTCGCAGAGCTTGCTAGTGTCTTACAGGACGCTAGGCGATTTCCTAAGCGCGGGAGCCCTGGAAGCCGCTCCCCGGGGCGGTACCCCCTAAACGCAGAGCGAATCGAGCTGCGTGCGGGATGTCTCTCTCTAAGCTCCCAGCTACCATGGAGCTAGTACTACGAGAAATCAACTTACGCCCCGTCAGCAATCGGCTCGAGCTCGGCGCGGCTGCGCCGGACCTCGTCCATGGACCGCCGCCGCGTCGTCCCCATGCGGTCCGGGCGCAGCTTTTCCAACGGCGCGCGCGCCGGTGTGCCGGCCATGTCCAGGACCGCCTTTCCAGTAAGCCCTCCGTTCTTCTCCAGGACCTCCTTGATCTTCTCGTCGCCTTCCGCGATATCTAGAGCCGACTGATTATATTCGTCGATCTTGTTCACGTCGGCGTTGGCTCTTACTAACTGATCCACGATGCCTTTATTCTTCTCTTTCACTGCTGCGATTAATGGTGTCGTGCCCTCGGAATCTGCGAGATTCACGTCGGCGCCCGCTTCTATCAATTTCTCCACTTCCTCGGCCTTGCCCCGCCCAATAGCAACCAACAGAGCGGTCAAGCCCGTCTCGTCCTGGTCGTTCAGCGAAGCACCCTTCTCCACGAGCTTCCCGAGGAGTTTCCGGTTCTTGGATAAACACCCGCTCCCGCAGGCCTTGATGATGGCCCCGGCACCCGTCTCGTCCCGGTAGGCACAATCCGCACCGGCGTCGATCAACGCGAGCGCCGCCTTGTCCTGTCGACAGTCCAGAGCTAAGAGCAACGCCGACGGTCGCGGCGGCTCATTGCGCGTACAGTTCAAGTGCGCGCCGCGAGCCAAGAGTGATTTCAGCTCCTTGGTCTTGCCACCCTCACAAGCCGTCAGGAATCTATCATCGAGCTCACCGGACAGTCTTTTCTCGACATGTGTTCTGGCACCGTCCGCCGTCTCCTCGTCCGCGGCCAAGTCCAGCGACGCGCGAGCCGCCGTCGCTGCCGCTCGTTCGACCGTCCCGTCGTCCGTCTTGAAGAACTGGAGGGTCGCGGCGTCGACCGCAATTTTTTGCCGGACCATGAGCGACTTCATCTTCGCGTGTTCTCGAGCGAAGTGCGTCCGTATCGTAACCTCCATGGACTCGCCGTCGCCCTCGGACAGCGACTTGGCCGCCGTCGCCAGCCCCAGGAACTCGTCGAAGTCGAGCTTGCCGTTTTTGTTCACGTCAAAACGTTTTACTAATTGTTCCACGTCCGCTTCCGAGACATTTTCCAGGCCCCACTTCTCGAGGACGCGCGCGAGCTCGTCGTAGTCGAGTTCTCCCGAACCGTCGTCGTCCACCGAGTTAAATACGCGTTGCAACTGTTTGAGTTCGGCGGGCTCGAAGGCGTGGATTTCGGTAGACGAATCGGCGACGCCGCCCTCGCAGTCCACAAGGTCGCCGGACTGGACCACGGCTCTTACTAACCTCCGAAATTCATCCACGGTCATGGACTCGGCTTTTTTGCCTTCGGGATTCGTTTCGGACGGGAACTGGGCATCACTCACGGCAAAGAACGCGAACAGCGTGTCGAGCTGGGCCGGCGGTAACACGATGCCCAATTGCTGGACGAAGGCGCCGACCTTGTCCTGGGTCAGAGGCTCTTCCTTCCCGATGAGCTCGTAGATCGCATTGATGCCGGCCTTGGCCTCCTCGGAGTCGGCGCCCTGCTGCCGCTTCGGCGTCTTGATGATGGTTTCCAAGGTCGACTGGTGCGTCGTAATCAACTGCTCGAGGGACGGGCGGCGGGAACCGGCCGGCATGGTGGCTGGAGCACTTGTCTTGTGGCGGCTGTTGTTGCTTCGCGGCGGCGCGGCGGCCACGTTTAGGGGCTGCGGGCAGCCTGCTGCTTGGTTTTAAGGCAGCCCGCGGCGTAGCCCAGCGCTCAGATAAGCACGGGAGGGCGCGGCGCTGGGCCGCCAGACTTTTAGGTCCGTTCATCTTCCGTTCAATTCCCCCACATACCCAAATCCCCCGGGCGAGGGCTCGGCGGGCGCGGGGGAGGACTCGACGCACGGAGTAGGGGCGTCTCTGGCAGCCAATGGGGCGAGAGCGACGGCCGCGCCGGCGCCGAGCGTGCCACTCCAGTGACTAGAGCCACAGGCACGCCATCGCCACGCAAAAAAAAGGATAAACAACCAACAAAAACTTACGCAGAATCGCCGCCGCCGCCCCTCAGCCACGCGTCCGCCTCCGCCGCCCCGAGGTCCCCGCCAATGACCTGCGCCGCGAGCGCGACGCCCGGCTCTAAGGACAAGACGGGCACGACCGTGACAGCCGGCGGGTCCACGTCTTCCCCCTCCAGCAGATCCTCCAACAAAGCGTGCACCGCCGCGCAGCTCATCGCTTCTGGAATAAACACGCGCAACCGGCAGAAGTGCTCCTCGCGCAGCCCGGCCTTTGCCAGAGACAGATGCGCGCCTCCCACTAAAGCACCGAGACACGTCGCCAGGTCCAGCTTTTGTTCCTCATTTTTCCGCGGCGCGCAGACGCGAACGAGAGACGCGCAGAACCCTCGCGGCACAAAGCAGCAGCGGAGATAGATAACGCAGCCGGCCTCCTTCGCCGCGTCGCGCCAGATGTGGACCGGCTCCTTGTATGCTACTGCTTCGATTTCGCACGGCGCGTTCGCCGGCAACGCGGGAACCTTTACGCATAGTATCGCGTCGGGCCGCAAATTATACCTCTCGGCAGCTCTGAGAACGTAGCGGTGGTCGTATCCGGTAATAGTGTACGCCACCATCGACAATGCGTGCCTGAGGGAACATGAAGAAGCGGTCAGTATTTGCTGGGCGTGCCTCAGAGCCAGAGAAGCGCCTTCGGTAGATAGGGTCATGGTCGGCGCATCGAGCGGAACTTGACCGGCCGCAAAAGTAATACCCTTGATCAGGGTATTGGCCTGGCAGTAAGGGCCGAGACACTGCGGCGCCCACTCGGACCGCGACCGGACGTGTAATGTAGATCTCGTGGCAGTAGTGGCCTCCACATCTAGGATACACTCGACACCCATAGGTAGGGGGACCTGGACACAAGAACGCGACGGGACCCTTCTACTACTGGAAAAGGCGGCCTCGAACACTGTATTGACGGCCGAGAATTGGCTCAAATCTTTCAAATACAAGTGCGCGAAGAAGACGTCGCCCAATCCATCAAAACCGTTCGTGCGTAACGCGCTGTCACACTCGTCAAGAGCGTTCGCGAGCTGCGCGGCCGCGTCGCCGCGTTCTGAAGGCAAATTACCTCCAACTGCCGCGATCCTTCGTCCAACGTCGCCGCGGGAACATCGACACGATCGACCCGCACAGACGCCGCGCACGTCCGTTTCTAGTATCACGGGCTCATGCGTCTCTTCAGTGAAGGCGACGTCGTCGACCGTGTCTCCGTCAGAATCGTCAGAGGAGACCTCTTCTCTCACCGTCTCAGTCTTGTCTTCGAGGGCCCACTCTATTACTTTGAGTAGTGATACCGCGCCGCAGCCACTCGGCTGATCATCTAGTCTTAGTGTTTCCGTCTTCGTGAGGACAATTCTCTTCGTGACAAAGCGTGGAGAATCTAAGACAAGAGACTCGTACTCGCCGCCCTCGCCACACACATGAAACTTGTACTTGTCGTGCAGGTCGTCGAACCTGGAACGCGTCGCTCGCGCCATGAGTTGCAATCCCAGATCCTCCGGCTCGAGACCTAACGTCGCGGTCTTGACGACGATCGCTTTCAAGCCGGATCGACTCATGTCCTTCAGGAGCTGTCTTTGGGGCCGCTGCCACAGGTACGCGAGCGACGTCAGCTGCAAGCGCTGACAGCACGCCTCCACTCTTGTGCGTTGGTACGTGGACAAAATAGCGCCCGACGACACTGCGGTAACGTCCGGATGCCTTCGTAAAACTTCCCGCAGCAGTTCGTACAGCTCCTCGACCTCGTCGCCTTCGGTTACCGTGTAGTTCAGACTTTGATCGATGGATCTGCCGTCCCAGGTCCGTCGTATCAAAGGCACACCCAAACATGCGGCGACGCCTTCGACCACATTATGGGCCGCGCTCTGAAAACAAAAACTGTCGAGCTCGTCCGCGTCGTTGTGCGGCGATAGGTGCGCGGCGCAGACGAGTTCGTGGCCGTGGCGCTCGCATTCGGTGGTCGCGAATACGCTGTCCTTGCCTCCACTTAATAAGGAGACGAACTTCATCCTTGTTTCGTTCGTTGTTGCCAGCGATACGCTCGCGCCGCTGCTAATGCCAGCAGCGAGCTGCTTTTGGGTTACTTGGGTGTGCTGGGCAGCAGTGGCACCAGCGATGCCAGCGCTTCACGTGGGATTGATGCTCGGTCGCAGATGTTATTTTCGCTGCTCTGCAAGTAACAGTATTGCGTGGCGGTGCACGGCGCCCGCTTGCCCAGCTTGCTGACTTCCTAGTGTCTTACAAGACGCTAGCTAGCCGCACAAGCACGGCTGTGTCGAGTCTCTTAGAGTCACTCGCTTGCGTTTCAGTTTGAGAAGAGTCGCGCGTGTTCCCGCGGTCGCATAAGTACGCAGGACAGGTTCGATCCTGAGCCAAAACCGAGCCTTGGGTCAAAATTGCTAATTGATCAATCGATCACAATGTCCGCACGCGGCGGCAAGAAGAAAGGCGCGAAGAAGAAGGCGCCCGCCTGGAAATGCAACTGGTGTCCACAAACCAAAGGCCGGCAGAACCGAGGCCCGGACGGCCCGAAGACGCTCTGCGGCAAATGCAACCATCGTTGGAATGCTGGCGAGACCGGCCCGCGGTCGGACGACTGGTCCTGCGACGATTGCGGCGCCGATGACTCCAAAACGTCAAGGCGGTGCAAGGGTCCGAAAGGACCAGCTACGCTCTGCGAGTCGTGCAACGTGCGCCGCGCGAAAGGCGCGACCGGCCCGCCGGCGAAGAACTGGCGTTGCGATTGGTGCCCAACGACAACTGGCTCGCGATGCATGGGCCCCAAAGGTCCCGGCACCCTCTGCGTCAAGTGCAACGACCGCTTCCTCCGCGGCAAGACCGGCCCGCTCTCGGAGGCGTTCGAGTGTCGCTGGTGCGCCTCGACCGCCACGCGCCGCCGATTCGACGGCCCGACCGGCGAGGAGGAGCTCTGCGACTCGTGCGGCCCGTCCTATGCCAAGGCGTCGGACAAGATCAAGGCGCGCCTCGACCACGTCGAGAAGGAGCTCGACCGCCTCACGAGCGTCCCCGTTTATGACGTGGACGCGGGCACTGAGACGCGCGGGCCGGCGCCCAAACGCGCGTGCGAGGCGCCCGCGTCCGGCCTCAAGGCGCTCAAGGCCGCGACGGACGCGACCGCGGGCGCGCTCGTCCAGGTAAAACGCGAGAAGGAGGCGCTCGAGGACCGCCTCCTGTGCACGATCTGCATGGAAGCCGACGCGCCGCGTTCCGTTCTCTTCGGGCCGTGCAACCACTTCCTCGCCTGCGCCTCGTGCGCCGCGCGGCTCGCCGAGTGCCCCAACTGTCGCGCGACGATCACGACGCGCACGACGATCGCGAACTCGAGCTAAGAAGGGAAATCAACAATTGCTATACATGAGGGGGGGGGTGGGGGGGGGAACAGAGGGGGTGGCGTCGACGATCGGGTTCGAGTCGAGTCGACGCGGCGCGGGTCGTCCTCCACCTTGTCCGAGTACGTCGAGTACGTGCGTAAAAGCAACACTCCCCGAAGTCCCCGCGCGCGGAAAGCACCAGGTATTTCCTAGGAAGCTTAGTCGTCCCAGCTCCCGTCGCTATCGCCTGCCGGCTCGAAGTCGACTTGCTTGTCGTACTCGTAGCCCGCGTCGCCCGGCCGTTTTAGGGATTGCGAAAATCCAACATCCATCTCGAGCTTCGCGGCTTTCAGTCGGAACTCCGAGACCTTGTTCAGGTCGACCTCCTCCCGCGCGGCGGCCGGCGCCGGCGCCGCTACCACAGGCGTCTCGGGCTCGAAGTCGTCCTCGAAGTCGTCGCCGTAGGAGGCGGGCGGCGGCGCGGCCCGCGCGGGCGGCGGCGACGGCGCCACCGGAGATGCCATGGGAGACGCCGCGCCGGCGTTGTCGATGAGTTTCCGCACCAGCTTCAGCGTCTGGCCGAACTCGACCTTCGCTCGATCAAAAAAGCGCGGGTGGTCCCGATATAAGCGGTTCGCCACCGCATACGGGTCCGTCGACGGCCTCAGATGACCCATGCGCACCTTGTAGTGGAGGTAGCGCCCATACGAGGGCGCGTACTCGAGGATGAGTGTCGGCGGCGAGAACTTGATGGCGACGCGGCGCGGCGTGAGTGATGCCATTTGCTCCTTGCGCTTGTCCGTGGCACTTACAGCTGCCCCCGCGTTCATAGCGCTCGAGCCGGAGAGCAGGGATGCCATGATGAAGACCTTTTCACTGCTGCGTCCCCGGATGCCGCTTCCCGGCGCGCCAGTTTGCAATTGGTGGGCAGCCTTGGGGCAATTTTTTTTTAGCAGCAGCCGCAGCAGTCTTCCGGCGCGGCCCCATGTAGTAGTGGCGTCGCACCGAGCGCTCCGCGGCCCCGCGGATCCCGGATCGCGGGCTGCCGACCCCGCACACAACGACCTTGGCGCTGTGCCACTCGCGAAGCAAGCGCGAAACGAGCTCGTTGCGGCCCGGCCACACGAGCTCGCGTGCCCCCAAAGCGCCCGCCGGGCCCTCGATACGGTCGGGGCAGCCTCACGCGCAGCGCGCACGTCGCTCGGCGGTGAGCAGCAACAACCAATGTCAGAGGCCGCCGCCGAGGAGGCGCCAGCCGACGCCGGCGCGGCGCTGGAAGCGGAGCTCGACGCCGCGGCGGCGGACCTCGCCGCCGCGCCCGCCGCGGCGCCGCCGTCGGACGGAGGCGCCGCGACGGAACCCGCGCCGCCCGCCGAGGCGGCGGAGGAGCCTGCGCCGCCGGCCGACGGAGGCGCCGCCCCCGCGACGGAACCGCCGGCCGAAGCGGAGGAGGAGCCCGCACCGGCCGCGCCCGAGGCCGAGGCCGACGAGGACCTGCCGTCGTTCGTTCCCGCGGCAGAAGAAGAAGACTCGTTAGCACCAAGTGCCGAGTTGTACGACTGCGAGAAGGGCTGTGGCTATAGAGGCACCTTTGATGATGTGGAACTCCACGAGCAGACCTGCAAATATCCCGATGTCACTCCGCCGGCGACCGTCGAAGAGGAGTCGCAGGAAGAAACGCTCAACACGGCGCAATTGGATCTCAGTGATCTGTTCAATGCGTCCGCACTCACGAACCTCTTCCAAGGGTTGCAGCACCAATTGAAACACCAGCAGAAGAGATTAGGACAACTCGAAAGTCAAACACATGAGTTGGAAGCGGCTCGCCTAGCGCATGCGGCGGAGAAGGAGATCTGGGAGGTCCAGCAGGCCGAGCTACGGCACGAGTTGGAAAGGGACAAGCGCATGTTCGATAGAAAAGTCAGACAAGCGGTAAGGGATAGCCTGGGCGGCTTACACGTTTTACAAAATGAACTCAACCGGGAGAAGGGCATGAAGCGCCTATGCGCCTACATGACGGACAAGGAGATGAAAGTGCAAGGAATGTATTTCAACTCCTGGAAGCATGCGGCAAATGAGATCACGCTGTTCATAAAAAAAAAAAAGATTTTATTAAGATTGGGCAACATGGGCGCGAACCACGGTATCATCCTGGGCTGGTCGAACTGGCTCGAGAAGCACAAGGCCCAGAAGCACAAGGAGGGCATGGCTCGAGGCTTTGAGAGACTAGTGGAGATATGTGTAGAAAAGCAACAAAAAAAACGGAGCTTCCACCACTGGACCGAGATCATCTTATGTGAACAGCTGCGGGAGGCCGTCGGCCATACGGGTGCCGAGGAGGACTTTTCGATGGAGCCCGACGAAAATCAAGCGGAGATTTTCAGGATTGCCGAGAAGGCCGCGAGACCCTACATGATGCGCGCGGCCCAGGCCGCCGAGGCCCTGAAGCTGCGAGATGCGTTCGAGAACTGTTCGTTTGGCTTCATGGCTTCGTTGAAGGTCCTCGAGGCCGAGGACGACATTGTTCGTAGGAAGGAGGAGCGGGAGATGGCTCTCAAAGATGAAGCGTTGCGGGCGTCGTTGGCGTCTGTTGCTTCTGCTGCTGAGGATAGACGAGTAGAAGGTATGGACGAGCTCGAGGAGCGGCTCAAGGAATTTATTGGCGCGTCGGTGACGTCTGCTACGACTCTACTAGATGCCAAGTTCGGTTCATTAATTACGAAGACCTGCGACGACCTGGAGCATAAAGTGAATGCGATCCATGAAACGTTGACTGAGAGAGTCGATGAGTTAGAAAGACAGATCAAGTCGACTCAACGGGATGCCGAGGTCAAAGCGCTAGCTAACCAGCAGGAGACGGAAGCGACGCTATCTTCCTACAGCGACGAAGTCACCTCATTAAGAACTGATTTAAGGGGCGTGTCCGTCGACGTCGTCGGCCTCGACAGGTCGCTGCGAGATGTGTACGAGGATGTTAGAAAACATGTACTGTGGGAACAGCTCCAGCGCAAGGAGGCCCAGGACGCGTCGCAAGCGTGGCTAAGGGCAGCATTAGGCCACCACAAGCACGAAAAAATAATTTGTTCCTCGTCGACGAAAAGTGAGAGAACAGCAGCTTTCAAAAAAGAACGGGACCACATCGCTTCATCGATAGCGAGGTTGTTGAATGGCCTAACGACAGCGTCGCAACTGACGGGCGAGGGCGTCGCGCCGCCTCGACTTGAAGTAATAGAGTCCGGCTTCGTCGATGATGTGATCGAGGAAGCGACACCATCGTTAAGACCGAGGACGCCCCAAAAACTCGAACCCCTCGTCCTCACGTCGGGCTTCGAGACGGGGCGCATCAAGGGTAGTTTGTGGGACGAAGTGGAGATAACGAAGCAAATGTATCGGGGCCGCATCGACGACGTCCACGAGTCGTTGATGAGCACGCAATCGAAGCTGCCCAAGGCATTGGGGGCCGCGCCGCCGCGGCCCCACCCCCAGCGGCTCGTTGAGCGAGTTTTTGCGCCGTACGAGGATTTGGTCAAGGAGAAGGGTCGGCTCGTCACGGTGCCCTCGGAACTAGCTTATGCGGCGGCCTATGCCGCAAAAGCATTGTCGGACCACGTCGCCGCGGCGGCGAACCTGGAGGAGATCGCTCGAGTAGCTCGAGGCACGGCGGCCTATCAATTACCTTCCGCTACTGTTGAGTATAGTGAGCGGACGGGCCGAGGCTTCACGACCGAGGCGGTCAGCGGCCTGACGGGGGGCCCCGACGGCATTGCGAACCGAAGGATAGAATTGGTCAGGGAATTCGTGCGAGAGCTCCAGGACGCGTGTGTTCGCTTGAGACCGCAGGCCGGCGCTTTGAGATTAGAGGCGCGCGTGCGCTTCGTGAGGAGGTTCCACGAGGCCTGCGACAGCGCCCTCAGCGTCTACGACCAGGTGATTGCCGAGGCGCCGACGCTCATGGGCCGGTCGTCCAAGCTGCCGGCCTGCGTCGCCTGCAACCGGCCCCTGCCCACGAAAATTCAAAGGGAACCGCGCCGCGACGACCCGGCGCCGCCGCCGCCCCGGGAAACGCGGCCGCCGCTGACCGAGGTGCAACAATTGCTCGCGTCGCGAGGACCGGAATTACCCCGGCCGCTCTCGGCGTCGATCACGCGTCGCGACGCCGAGATCGACGCGACGACGCCCAAAATCGAGCGCCGGGGCTTCCGCACGACGCGGCCGCAGTCGCGGAGCGGGCGCGTCGCGCCGCGATGAGTAAGAGACAAACACGATTACTAGTAGTTCCGCAGATACTCCCGCCGCGCGGCGTCGTCGTAGCTACTGGGGAGGAGGTGGCCGTAGGCGCGCCGCCAGCTCACGTCCCGGGCGTGGGCCTTGGACCGCGTTTCCACGAGATCCAGCGCTTCCACGCCGGCGTGCGCCGCGCGTAGTCGTAGGTTCTTGTCGCGCCTGCGCGGAAATTACATCTGAGTTCGAGTAGGCGTCCCCACGCCATCGGTTGCTTTCCACACAGTATCGCGCGTGCAGAGGACGGTCGTGCCCTCCTTCTGCGCGGCGAGCGCAGTGTCCAGAATTTCCTCGTCGGCGGTCCGGTTCGCGGCTTCTCCGGCGCCCTGCTCGAGCTCGAGCCACGGCTGCCGTCGAATCCAAGGGTCGCTGAAGAACGCGTTCGCCCGCCGCGCACGCCGCGCGACGTCGTCATCAGAGGAGCCCTTTAGGCCGTCCAGCTCCTTGGCCACACGCAGGGGCAGGATGATCCTCACCGCACCGCAGTCCTGCAACAAGTACGCCGGGCTGAGGTCTCCGGCGTCCAATATAATGTTGGCGTCGACGACCACGCGCAGGAGCGGCCGCTCCGGGATTTTTGTCGGGAGCGGCGCCTCCGGCGGCAGGGGCGTGGGCGGCGCGGGCGGCGGCGCGGGCGGCGGAGATGCTTCGTCGGATACGTCGAAGCGTACCGGCGCGCGCGCTTCGTCGGTCGCGGGAGGCGGGTAGCGCAGCCGGAAGCTCGCCTTGGCCTCGGCGTCGCCCTCCAAGAGATCGTCAAGATCTTCTTCGTTTAAGAGAGCGAGGCATTCGAGCGTCACTTCGTTGTCGACGAACCGTTGGCGCTGCGGCGGCGTCAGGAATGACAGCACCGCATCGACGTCGGCGGTCGGCGGTTGCGGCGGCGCGACCGATTTTGACGCCCCCGTCCGCGCCTTGAGGGACCGCGCCGGGTGGTGCTGCCACCGGACGCCTGTGCCGTCCTCGACCAAGGTGTAGGCCGCCCCATCATTATGGACCTTCTCGACGACGCCGCGGCGCACGCTGCCGTCCGAGAGCTTGAACGACACGGGCGTTCCAACCTCGAGCACGGCGGGCGCCCGCGCGTTCGACGGCCCCAGGGCCATCTTCGCGAGCGTGTCGCTGAGGCGGTCCTCGGCCTCGGCGACGGCGGCCCGCTTCTCGACGCCCGGCGAGGGCGGAGGCCGCAGGCTGCGCTCGACGGCCGTCAGCTCACGTTCCGCCGGTTTCTCTGCCGTCGGCAGCAGCGCAGTGTTTTCGAGGGATGCGGCGATCGCTGCTCGGCTCGCGGCGCGCTTGCGGCGGCCGATGATGAGCGTGATCTCCTCCTCGGACAGGAGTCCGGTGGCTTCCAGCGCCTTGCGCGCGGCACTGTCGAATGATGGCTGCTGCATTTGCAACCGGTGGAGTTTGATTGTGGAGCGTCCGCAGTGTCCCAGAGCGCGGTTTTTGCGCGGATCGATAAAGCAATCGCGTCTACTGCGCGGAGCTATCGCGTACACTGCGGGAGCAAGCGTGCGCCCTGTTCAAGGCAAAAAACCTCGTTGGCAGCTTTTAAAAATACCCGTGCGATACGAAAACCGAAGTACCACTCCTTTGACCGCAGTAGGGAAGTGTGCGAGACCGCTGCCTCGGGCCGTTCTTGTTCGATACCACCCGCGGCCTCGTGGGCTTCGAAGGCATTGCTGGCTACTCGCAGCGAGGCCTCCACGCTGGGAGGGCAGCAAAGAAAGGAGCGGAGCGGGGCCAGGCGACCTCAGTAACGCGAACTTGCAATCTGCGCGGGGGGGCAGCATATTGTTACCCATAAGTCAGCGAGATGGCAGGGAGATGCTGGGGATTATTCCTGCTGCCCGCGGCGGCAGCGCAACTCACGGCCACGGACTTCGTGCCCTACTACAACTACGAGGGCGACCTCGCGGTCGCGGGCACGGTGACGGTGACGACCGATGGCACCAGCCAGACGCTGGCGTATTCGCTGACCGGCACGGAGACTGCTTGCGCGGGCGGTGCGAATTCTTCATTGGCCAATTCGTGCGGCGTCCACATCCACTCGGGCACGGCGTGCGACGGCGACGCGGGTGGCCACTTCTACGACGATGAGTTGGTTGCAAGCGACCCGTGGGGGTCGATCACCTACGCTGGTCAGTTTGGCTCAACAGTGAGTGGGACCACAGCGAGCGTCGAGACCGGATATGATGATGCCGAGGGCCGCACGCTCATTATCCACGGCTACGACGGCGGCCGCATCGCGTGCGCGCTGCTGACCGCGCCGACGCCGGCGCCGTCCTCGCCGACGCCGGCTCCCTACGCGCTGGATTGGAAATTTTATATGGACCCACAAGAGCTGTCTGTGGCGGCCGGTACCACAGTGACATTCAGTTGGAGCGGCACGCACAACGTCTGGGAGGTTCCCGACGCGGCGGCCTTGGCAAATTGCGACTTGAGCGGTGGCAGCGAGGTTGCGCCGTCGTCGGTACAAACCTTTGACGTGGCGGCGCCAGACGCGCCGAAGACCAAGTACTACGTGTGCCAAGAGCCTGGTCACTGCGATGCGGACCAGAAGATCGCCATCACCTGGGCGGCGCCGGTAGTAGCGCCCACCGCGGCGCCGACGCCGCGCCCCTCCGTGGCAGCAACGCTTGCGCCGACGAACTCCTCCGATGAGCCGACGCAGAATATCGTTGAGCTTGCCCAGGCCACCGATTTTCTGTCAACCCTGGTACAAGCCGTGGTCGCGGCCGACCTCGTTGAGACCTTGTCCGGCGACGGCCCCTTCACTGTTTTCGCGCCAACAAATGACGCATTTGCGGCCCTGCCCAATGGCACGCTCGCGTCTCTGCTGCTGCCCGAGAACCAGCCACAATTAATCGCCATTCTCACTTACCACGTCGTTCCGGGCAAGATCATGAGCACGGAACTCTCGGACGGCCAGGAGGCCGCGACGGTTCAGGGAGACGTCGTAACGATCACGATTGCGGACGGGACGGTCAAAGTGAACGATGCTACCGTGTCTATACCTGATATCGAAGCAACGAACGGCGTCGTACACGTGATCGACACCGTGTTGATTCCGCCCGCAACGCCGGCGCCGACGCCGGCGCCAATTTCCGGCGAGTTCTCGTCTCCGGTGCCGACGGCCGCACCGGCTCCGGCGCCGACGGCGGAGTCCGTCGTGATTAACTCTCAGCTTGTCCTCGACCAAGTTACCGTGGACAATGAGACGCTCGAGAGCATTGTCAAGACTGCGCTCGTCGCGACGCTCTCGTACGTCACGAGCACCGACCAAATTGTGGCGTTTAGCGTCGTATCGTCGCGACGACGACGCCTGCAGCAGACGACCACGGTGGCGTTTTCCGTCCGCGTCGAGGGCACCGCGGAGTTCGCCGCGAGCTACACCGAGACGATCGTCAGCGAGCTGTCGGCCGCCGCCCAGGACGGAACGCTGAACACGGCGCTCGCCACTGCGGGCGACGCCGAGGGCGCCGTGGGGCCCACGGCGCCGGCAGACGCGAACGACTACGACGCTATAAACGACGCGACTGCGGTCGACGGCGCGCCGGCCCCGACGGCGCGGCCGACGCCGCAACCGGTCGCCCCGACACCCGCGCCGTCGCGGCGGCCAACGCCGCAGCCGGTCCGACAGCCGACCCGGCGGCCGACGCCGCGACCGACCGCCGGCTCCGCCGGCATGGAGGAGGAGGACGGGTCCGAGGACCAGGGCGAGGACCAGGGCGAGGACGAAAGCGAGGACAAGGGCGCGGACTCCGCCGGCGGCGGCCTCGCCGTCCTGGGCATCGCCCTCGCGGCCTTCCTCGGCCTGCTCTGCGTCGGCGGTTATGTCAGGATGAAGATGTTCGGGAGCCAGGACCGCAGCGACCGCGACTGGGCGCGCGACCTGCACGGCTCGGGCGTCAGCAACCCCGCGGCGGCGCGCGACCCCTGGGGCCGGCCGACGCCGAGCGAGACGCGCGGCGTCGAGATGGCGTCGACGCACGGCCTCCGGTCCTACCACTAGGTGTCCATAACAGAGTACATTACACAGACTAGGGGTCGAAGCCGCTCGGCGCGCCGGGGATGGACGGGCCGGGCCGCCGCGGCGGCGGCAGGTCGCCCGCCGCCGCGGCCTCGTCGCGCACGGTCAGCGTCAGGAAGACGACGCGCATGCTCTGGCCGAGGATGGCCTTCTCGACGGCGCCCAGACTTTCGGAATCGGTACCTTGGCGCCGCAGCATGTCCTCCAGCTTGAGCGACTCGAGCGTGTAGCCGCCCTGCGCCGCGTTCACGACGTCGTAGACAAAAGTCTGGAACTGCGAGCGGATCTCCGCCGGCACGGACGCGCCCACCGATTCGGACGCCTCCGATTCGTGGCGCACGTTCGCGAGCGTCAGATACACGAGCGAGAGCCAGACGCTCCGCAATTCGACCTCCTCCTGCATGAGCGGCCGCCCCGCGGTCTGCTGCGGGCACTGCGCGAGTTCGAGACTCAGCGCATTGACGGTGAAGCCCCGCTCGTAGGCCGTTAATGCTGCGGCGATGAAGAGCTTCAGCGTGTCGACGTAGCCCGTCGCGAGCTGCATGCAGGCGTTGACGAACGTGACCTCCAAAATCTGCGCGACGCCGGCCGCCGTCGACGCGTCGGGGAGCTGCGTCGGGTCGATGCCCGGCGGGCGGTCGGGCCTGTCCTCCGGGGGCACGGGGTTTTGTGACGACTTGAGTAGAGGTGGTGGTCGTCGTTGCGGGCGCGGTCCGAACGCGGCGGCGGTGCAGCACAAGTACAGCAGCAGTGGGCGAGGCATGCTTGTATTAATGCGTCAAACAATCGGTACGCAGTAAAGCTGGAGCTTGAGCTTCTCTAGTGTGTTAACGGTAGGATTAAAAGATTAACACAAACCAGCGCGGCTCGGCTCGGAGCAAGCGGAGCAAGCCGAGCAGTCTGGGTGCGTTCCAAGGGCGGTACTCCCGCTTACCACCCCGAGACCGGGGCAGCCGAAGTCTCAGCACAAACTGAAGAAAGAGGGGGCAAGCCAGCACCGCAGCACGATCGATGGGGCGGCTGCTACGATGGCTGCCGGTGGCGGTCGCCCGGGCGGTGCTGCCCGAGCCGCCCTTCGAGTGCGACAACGCGCGGTGCCGCGTGCGGTCACGGGGCACGATTTATGCAGCCGAGCGCGTGTGCGCGCCGGGCAACTACACCTGCGCGAGCTGCTGCGACCCTGGTCCAGACTGCCGCTGCGGCGCCGACTCCTTCGAGCACGCGACGGCGCCGACCACGAATGCCACGGCAGTGCGCCTGCACCTCCGGGCGGCCTTCCCCGACCGCGCGGCGCACCTCGCCGCCCTGAGCGACGCGCGCGCGGTCGAGGCCTTCAAGGGCCTCGCATGTCGTCCGAGTCTTCGAGGTCCCTTCCACGCCGGTGACGCGCGGCCGAAACTCACTCGTCGGTGTCCACACAGGCCTGGCGCACGCCCCGGTGCCCCGCGGGCTACTACGAGTGCGCGGGCTGCTGCGACCGCGACGCGGACTGCGCCTGCGACGGCGCGTGCGACCTGGGCGTCGACGCGGACTGCGCGCTCGCCTACGGCGCCGGCGGCGCCAAGCCCGACGGGTGGTGCCCCGTGGGCTACAGCGACTGCAGCAGCAGAGGCGGCGGCGATAACGACAGAGGCGGCTTCAATAGCGACTGCTGCAGCTGGGGCGCGCCGCCGCCCGACTGGGCCTGGGCCAGTGTTGGCACTATTGGCTTCAACCCCCACGACTACGGCGCGTGCTCGGGAAATGCCGGCGTCGGCGTGCCCGCGCCCCCACAGGACTTTCCTGAAGCAACGTGGCAAAACAGAAAGGAAAAGGAACGGGCACATAGAGAATTCACGAGCAGGTGGCTGAGCAGGTGCCTGCGCGCCGCGGGCGCCGTAAGCCGCGAGTGGTGCGGCGCCGGGCCGCGGGAACTCGGCGGCTGGGACGAGTTCCTGCCGGACTTTGAGTGCAGCGTGCGCAAGGCCGCGAGTGGAGCGGGCGCGGGCGCCTGCTGCGCAGGGCCGAACGAGACCGCCGCGTGCGCGGACGGCTACGCGGTCGTCGCGGGCAACGCGCCCTGCGTGTTCACGTGCTGCCGCGACGCGACGAACGTCACGGCCGCGGACGTGGACGCCGAAGGCTTCTGCTGGGCGCTGTGTGGAAATCAACCAGTGCGTCGGGTGTACCGACAATTCTTCACCAAGTCATTTCTTGGCGATGACGCGGCCGTCCTGGCTCCGTCGAGCGGCGAGGGACCGGCATCGCCACGCCATCGAGCAGACGTCGCATCGATGGCGTGGAGGTCGACGCGGCGATTCAGCGCGAACGCGCCGTAAAATTTTGATTTCCACACAGGCTGGGAGGCCCACGCGAACGCGGGGCGGCGCCCGCTGGAGTGGCGTGACTGCTGCGAGATGGCACCCTCGAGGCCGCGGGCTGAAAGAGACTGGGGGGCCCGACCGGCCTGCGCCGGCGGGAGGAACCGGACGACGGCCTACCTTCCTCTTCAGATTGCACACAAGAGGGAGAAGTCGCGGGCGAAGAGAGAGAGAAAGAGAGAGAGGACGTCCACCGTGGCCGAGGACCTCGAGGACTGGTTCAGCGCGGAATCCTGCTGCGCGAGGGCGGACGCGCCGGCGGCGTGCTTTGCGCCGGATCCCCGCGCCGACTGCGACCGGGCCGCGTGCCGCAATTTCAAGCCCGGCCGGCTTGAGCGGAACCGAGAGAAGTTCGAAATCACCGTTAATTCGGTGTTTCGAGCCTGGAGTGGTCTAATCGGTGACTATTGGCCAGGCGACAGTTGGATCGAGGTCGGTGGCGAGGAGGACGACTGCCGCGGCAAGTACGTGTATCATACTTACATAGACGATAATGGTAAAGAAAGAGCCGTACCCGCGGGAACGTCGCCGCCCGAGGCCCGCTACTGCGCCGACGACCGCACGCCGGCGGGCGTCGACGTCGTCCCCGGCGTCGGCACCTGCTGCCGGAACGCGTCCGGCGACGCGTCGTGCGTCGCCAAGACGGCCGCGTGCTTCCACGGCAGCGGCCCCCGACGCTGCGACGTCCTCCTCAAATACTTCGGCAGCTTCGACCGCCGCACCTGGGAAGAGAGAAACTACTGGGACACCAGCTCGTGGAACGAAAGGTCATCTCCGAGCGTCTTCGCCGCCGACGGGGAACTCGTCCGCGCCCGCCCCTGCGACTTTAGGGGAGAGCCCTACGCCTGCGACGACCTGCGGTGCGACCCGGCGTCCGGCGCGCTCTACTACGTCCGCGAGGACTCGTGGCGCTGGTGGGACCTCATCCCGCGGCTCTGGGCGGCGCTCGGCGACGAGGTCGCCTGCACGCGCAACTGGTGGCGCCCCGACCTCCGTCATACAAAGCCGTGGCCGGCCTCGGCGCGGAACCGGCGCCGGGGCGAGCGCCAGCGCATCAAGGCCTGCGGCGTGGTCACCGAGGACGGCGACTTCTTCCACGCGCAGCTCCGCGCGTGGAAGCGCTGGGACGAGGCGTGGCTGTACAAGACCGACTACAACACCCGCGGGAGGACCGAGTGGGACCACCCGTGGGAGAACTTCTGGGCCTCGACGCGCGCGCCGCGCAAATTCGCCGGGCTCGACGCCGCGCCGGCGGCCGCGTCGGCGGACGCGTGCGCGCGGGCCGCGGCGCGCGAGTTCCACCGCGGCTGCCGCGACGTCTGCGGCAAGACCTGCGCGGAGCTGGGCCACGACCCCGCGACGTTCGCGCGGCTCCGGCGGGCGGTGAAGGCGTGGCCCGCGCGGGGCGGCGGCGACGAGATCCCGGACGTCTGCGGCTTCGCCCCGGCGACCGGCGTCCACCTCTTCCGCCCCATCTGGGTCACGTGGGGCCAGGGCCTGACCTTCGTGGCCCTCGTCGGCATCTGGGTCCTTGGCATCGTCCTCGCGTGCTGCGTCTCGCAGCCGTCGTGCCGCGGCTACGCGCGGCTGCAGCGGTGCCGGAACTGGGTCGTCGCGAAGGCAAAGGACGGGGCCGTTTCCCGCTGGTGCGTCTTCGTCTGCTGCGGCGGCTGGGTCTTCGAGCTGGTCACGCGCCCTATCGCGCTGCTTTTCGCGGGCCTGGAGTTCTGTCGGCTGCTGCTCCGTCAGCCGGGCGAGGCGCGCGCGCGCTACGAGAAGTTCCGCGAGGAGGCGCGCGCGCGCTACGAGAAGTTCCGCGAGCGGCGCCCCTGGTTCAGGCGCTACGTCGTGCCGTGCCTGGAGAAGCTCTCGGCCGGCGTCGCATCGCTTTTCAGACGCCACGTCGCGCCGTGCCTGGATAAGCTCTCGGCCGGCGTCGCGTCGCTCAGGAAGAAGCGGGCCGTCGCCGCGCTTCTGGCAAAGCTGTCCGTCGCCGCGCCGCTCGCGTGGAAGGGACTGAAGAAGGTGACGGCCCGCCTCGGCCGCTGCCTCGGCCGCTGCCTCTACTATTGCTGCTGCTGCTACGTCTGGCGTCGCCTCTGCTGCTGCGCGCGCGCCTGCAGCTTCTGCCTGGTCAAGCGGCCGCCCGCGGCCGTCTACACCGCGGAGGACGGGACGGAGCAGACGGTCCCCTGGGTCGTGGCGCCGGGCCCGCCGGGCACGATCGTGGCCCGCCCGGACGGCGTCAAGGTACGCGTGCCGCCGGGCGTCCGGCGGGGCCAGCTCTTCTCGCTCGCGGAGGCGGTGCCCGTGGACGGCGGCGGCGTCGCGCCGAAGCACGCCGCCGAGCCGCCGTCGCTCATGGAACGCACCGCGCTCCTCGCGCGCAAGGCGTGGACGGTGAAGAAGCGCACGCTCGGCGCGCTGGTCAAGCAGGTCAGCGTGCCGCTCCTCGGCGTCGGCATCCTTTGGCTCCTGTACGACATCAAGGAAAGAAATAAAAAGAAGCAGAGCACCGTCGCGAGCGCGACGGGCGCGCCGACGCCCGTCGGCGGCGGAGCGGCCAGCCGCGAGCGGACGACCTCCGACACGAACCACGGCGACCTCGAGCTCTTCGTGTTCCAGTATCTCTTCGTGCCCTGGGTCCAGGAGGTCGCCTCGGCGCTGGTGGGGGACGTCGCCGCGGGCACGCGCGAGGCGACGCGCGCGGCGGGCGGCGCCGACGCGGCCTACTGGCTCGCATCGCTTTTGATCGAGGGCGTCGCCATCGGTGGAGGCGTCTCCGTCGCGATCGCCGCGTTCGCCGCGCCGGGCCTCTTCCGGCGCGCCGGCAAGAGTTTCGAGGTCGCCGCGTTCTTCGAGCTCTTCGCCCTCCACTGGCTCTTTCTGCTGGCGCTCACCCTCCAGACCTTCGTGGTGGTCACGTGCCTCCTTCGGTCGCAAATCGCCGCGGCGGGGCTCCCGCCCCTGTTGCACGCGACCCTGCACGGGCTCTACTTTGCTTGGAACCCGCTCCGGAGGTGGGCTTGGCGCGGGATCCAGGAGGAAGGAACGAACTGGCGCTTGTGGGCGCGGCCGCGCGCCCACTTCGCCAGCGCGGCTTTCCTGCCGCAGTTTGCCTACGATTTGTTGGTGGACTCGTTCAGCCCGACGGGAAAGCGAGCGGGCTGGCGGTGCCGGCTCGTCGCCGACGGCTTTGTGGGGGAGCGCTACCCGTGCAGGGCGTGCTGGAAAGAGTGCTGGGACGAGGCCCCAGGGCCGCGGCTCGAGGCCTTCGAGCAGTATCTGGCCAGCCAGTCGCTGATGCCGGCGCGCTGCGCCGAGGAGCATCTCAAGTGCGAGGACGTCTGGCCCTTCTGGTACGAGAAGACTGAGGATCGGGGCTGGCGGCCCGAGTCCTCGTGGACGGCCGGCGTCTACTGCATGCTGATGGTGTCCGTGGCGCTGTGGGCGGCGGTCCTGTGGTACGTGATCCAGGTCTCCACGTCGGCGGCGCGGGGCAAGGGCAAGGACCTGCTCTTTTGCATTAGGAAGGCGTACTGGCGACCGCCGCCGCCGGACGAGGTCGAAGAGAAGGCGCCGCTCGTGGACCACGAAGAGTGGTTCGAGCATGATAAAGACAGCGACGCGCCGGTCCAGGTAAGAGGCCTCCGGAAGGTCTTCGGGAAGAAGGTCGCCGTCTCGGACGCGACGTTCGCGATCCGCGACTCGGAGATCTTCTGCCTGCTGGGTCACAACGGAGCGGGCAAGACGACCACCATGTCGATGATGACTGGAGCGATGGCGCCCGACGGCGGCAGCGCAAGTTTCTTCGGGATCCGCACGCTCGGCCCCTTAGCCGACGCGGATGGTTTGGATAGGCTCCGCCAGCTCCTCGGCTTCTGCCCGCAGCACGACGCGCTCTTCGCCCACCTCACGCTCCGGGAGCACCTCATTTTCTACTCGCGGCTCAAGGGCGTCGAGGAGGCTAGAGCGGAGCACGAGGCGACGGGCCTGCTGGAGCTCTTCCGCCTCACGGAAATGGCCGAGGGGTTTCCGCTCAAGCTCTCGGGCGGCCAGAAGCGCAAGGTCATGATGGCCGCGGCGCTGACCGGCGGGTCCAGGCTCGTGGTCCTCGACGAGCCGACGGCGGGAATGGACCCCGTGGCGCGGCGCGAGGTCTGGACCCTGCTGCGCGACGTCCGCGTCGACCGGTCGGTGCTCCTCACGACGCACCACATGGAGGAAGCCGAGGCGTTGGCGGACCGGGTGGCGATCATGGCGGCCGGGAGCGTGAAGTGCTGCGGCACTCTAGCTTTCCTGAAGCGGCACTTCGGCGGGGCCGACGACGCGGCCGCGGCGGAACGCAGAGCGAAGCGGGAGGCGGAGGCCGCCGCCAAAATAGCGGAGGCGGAGGCTGCCGGCGACATGCGGGCCGCCGAAACGATAGCCGAGGCGCTCGCCGAAGCCGAGCGAGCGGACGCCGCGGCCGCGCCGGCCGTCGACCTCGGCGGCGGCCTCCACGTGGCGGTGACGACGGCCGCCGCGGCGCGCGATGAACTTAAAGCGGTCTTTGCGCAGCACGTGCCCGAAGCCGAGCTCGCGGCGGCCTCGAAGCTCGCGGAGGACCTCCGCCGGGCGACCGAAACGGACGCCGCGAACCCGCTCCTCGGGTCGACGCCGAAGGGCTTCTCGTCGTCGTTTCGGAGCCCCCTCCTGAACGCGACCCGGGGCGCGAGCTTCTCCGCGTCGCGGAACTGGGCGGACGCCGAGGCCCCCCTCCTCGAGGACGCCGCCGACGACGCGACGACGACGTACACGGTGCCCGCGGCGGTCGGCCGCGCGCGCATGGTCGCGCTCTTCGAAGGCCTCGAGGAGAAGGCCGACGGTCTGGGCCTCGTCGACCTGTCGGTGACGGCGACGTCGCTCGAGGACGTGTTCATATCCGTCGGCGAAAAGGTCGAGGGCGCGGCGGCGCCCGTGGAGGCGGAGACGCTGCTCGGCGGGGCCTTGGTGCCGGCGAGGCCGGGCGAGCCGGTGCCGCCGTCGCGGCTCGTCGTGGCCGTGGCGCAGTTCCGGCTCCAGCAGATAGCAAACGACCTCAGGTGGATCCCAGACCTGGTCTTCGGCTGTCGCGTGCTGCCCGGCGGGCTCAGACAAGCGATGGCGCGGGCGCGCGCGAGCAAAGACCACACGACCTTCACCGTGCCAACCCGTTTCGCCGTGCTCGCCGCGGCTTTGGTCTCAGGGTTTATCGTTTGCTGTGGCGTGGCTGCGCGCAAGGACGGCTGGCCCGGTCTGGGTTGGGGGCTCGCGGCCGCCTTCACTACAGCAGCGGCCGTGCTTCTGTTGGCGGCGCTGGAGTGCGGCGTGCGATACTACTATTTCAAATATTCGGTGTCGGCGCCGGGCGCGGTCGCCGGCGGTGTCGTAGGCGCCGTCGCGGGTCTGATAGTGTGGCGGCCTCTCGAGCACGCCGTGGCGGTGGGATCGACGTCGCTGGTGGCCACGGCGATCGCCCTAGGCCTCGAGGCCGGGCTCCGGCCGTATTTTGGTGTTCCAACGTCGGTCTTTGGTGCGATCGTGGGTATGATAGCGGGGCTGAGTGCGGGGTGGGGCGTGGGCTGGCAAGTGTGCAAGGCGGCGTTGCGGAGATGTAAACCGCCGGGCTGCCGCGCGCGGGCGCGGACCGCCGGCGGCGTCGCCGGATTCTTTTTTGGCCTCTTCGTGGAAGTTTTTCTCTCCGTCTTCGCCTCCGCGTTTTGTTCCGCCGGGATACATGGAACAACCCTGGTGCTCCTCCAAGTGGCGTCGGCGGCGATGCCGCTGGTCGTGCGCGGAAACATGGGCAGAAGGAAGAGGACGACAGGCTTCAAAAGTGGCTGGGCGGAGGGCTACAACGCCCTCGTCGTGGGGGTCCTGCTGGGCGGATACGTCCTCGCCGCCGGATTCATCGTGGAGCCCTACGTCCGCGAGCGCGCCAGAGGTCTGCGGAATCTGCTGGCGGTCTCGGGCCTCGACACCTTCACGTACTGGCTGGGAAACTGGCTCGGCGATGCGCTGATACTCGTGGGCGGTGCCGTCTGCGTCGTCTTCATGTTAGCGGCGACGCGCATGGCGTACCGCAAACGGTTGTGCAGCAGCGCGCCGACCTACGCGCAGCTCCACGCGGCCGCTCGGAAGGGGGATCTCGACCTCGGGCCCTACGACGCGACCGTCGCGTCCATGGCGAGCGCCTTCCACGACCGGTACCCGGGGGGCTTTGAAGAGGAAGAGGAGAGTATGTGGAGCTCCGAGTCCTACGATACCCTCAAGCAGTGGTACTGCGGCAGCGTCTGGGACCACAGCATCGGGGCCGGGGCCTGGAAGAACGCGACGAAATTCGTCGTGCGCCGCTGGATGGAGCGCTGGCCGTGGCTGTGGATTCTCCTGCCGCTCTGCAGCGCGGGGATCGTGAGCTTCTCGCACTTCGCGACGACGACCTTCGACCATCCGCTCGTGGCGGTCGGCGGCACGCCCTTTGTCGTCGGAATCTACGGCTTCGCCGCGCCGGGGGCGCTGGCGGCGCTCTGGTGGGCGGCCGCGGTCCAGAAGAACCGCTGGCTCCTCCAGGACCTGAGCTGCAAAGCCGCGTGGCTCGCGTCGATGGCGTCGCCGTTCGGCAACCTGGCGGTCCAGGTCTGCAAGGTGGCCTTCCACCCGCAGCTGAAGCGCATGGGCTTCCTCGAGGCGTCGGGACCCGGACCTTTATCGAGGCAGCCCGCGGACCCGCCCTTACCGAGCGGCTGGGCGGCCGCGCTCTTCGCCCTGTTCCACATCGTGCTTTATGAAGGAATAGTCATCTTTCAGGATCGGCGGGCCCTGCGCCCGCTCGCCTGGGTCAAGACGCGGGTCTCCAAGGCGCGCGCGGCCGCGATGCCCGACGACGTCGCCGCGGAGCGCGCGCGCGTCGCGGCGCTCACCGGCGCGGGCGACGCCGCGAGCGCAGGCGACGCCCTGTCGACGAACGAAGACGACTTCCAGATTGTGGTAGACGAGCCGGAGGAGGAAGCGCCGCCGTCGCGGCCGCCGCGGACGAGGTTTTCCGCCGCCGTGCGCGACACCGTCGCCTTGCTGCGGAACGTGCCGCCGGGCGACGACCCGTACCCGCCGCCGCTCGTGCGCGACATCAAGTCGGCGGACCGCGACGGCCTCGTCGTCTCGGAGCTGCGCAAGATCTATCCGCCGCGGTTCTTCGGCGGTGCGGCCGTCGAGTCCGTCCAGTGCGCGGCGTTCGGCGTCCCGACGGGCCAGGTCTTTGGTTTACTAGGCGCGAACGGCGCCGGAAAGACAACGACCGTCTCGATGATCTGCCGATCCATCGAGCCGACGTCTGGGGACGCCAAAGTCGGCGGGAGGAGCGTGCTGGCCGTCAAGAGCTGTGTGGAAATCAACCAGTGAGTTAGGTTGACTTTCACGCCATCGAGCAGACGCAGCTACGGAGAAAATATCGCGTCGATGGCGTGGGGCGCCCGAAATTTGATTTCCACACAGGACTTCGAGTCGGCAGCTCAGGCGCTTGGGGTCGTCAACCAGAAGAACGTCCTCTGGAACCACCTGAGCTGTCGAGACCATCTCTGTCTCTTCGCGCGGCTGCGGGGCGTCGACATCGAAGGAGACGCGCGCGACGCCGCGGAGCAAGCGCTCGCCGTCGTCGGCCTGTCCGACCACGCCGACAAAGCGGCGGGCCGCCTGTCGGGGGGCATGAAGCGCAAGCTGGCGGTCGCGGTGGCGCTGGTCGGCGGCCCCTCGGTGGTGTTGCTGGACGAGCCGTCGTCGGGCCTGGATCCAGGAGCGCAAAGGAATCTCTGGGACCTCATCAAGGTGACGATGAAGGGCCGCGCTGTCGTCCTGACGACGCACTCGATGGGCGAGGCCGACCTCCTCTGCGACCGCATCGGCATCATGGTCAAGGGCACCATGCGCTGCATCGGGACGCCGCAGGACCTCAAGGAGCGCTACGCGGCGGGCTACGAGATCTCGTGCCGCCTGAAAACGCGGGACGACGAACACGTCGCGGACCTCGTGACGTTCGCGCGCGAGGCCTTTTCGTCGCCGGACGTCGACGTCGCCGCCGCGGACGCGGACGTCGCGACGCTCGAGCTCGTGGGCGTCGACCCGCGGCGGACGCCGGCGCTCGCGTTCCGCGCCTTCGACGACGACGCGTGCGCGCGGCTCGGCGTGATCGACTTTTCGCTCGCGCGCGCGACGATGGAGAAGGTGTTTTTGAGGATCGTCGGGGGCGGCGACGGCCTGGCGCAGTCGCGCCTCGGCCGCGAGGTCGCCGCGATGCTCCAGGCCGAGGCCGACGACGACGCGCAGAAGGAACTTGATAAGGTGGTCTTCTCCGAGGCGACATGCTGCGGCTGCACGCGCTTCGCGTGCTTCCCGCTGTGCCTCTGGAACTTCTGGTGGGTGTTTGTCTTGACCGGGTTGTTGTACGCGGGGAAGCGGGAGAACCCCATCTACGAGTGCATCGACGGGCCGCCGGGGAACATGAGGGAAAAAAAATTTGACCTCACGAAGTGCGGCAAGAAGGACTATTGGCACATGTTTTGGGTGAGCTTCTACTACGCCCCGGTGTCGCTCACCCTTCTTACAAGGTTTTTATTTGCGCCCGTCGTCGCGCCCGGGTTCTGCCTCGCGATGTTCTGCCTGCGGCCGCGGACGGGATGGGCCGGTAGTAGTGCCGTCGCGCCCGGCTAAGATTCTTCATGTGACTCTTGCGTAGTTGTATTCATAGTCCTCGGGAATCCACTATTACACTGGTAGGTTATACCATCATCACGATTGCGCCGACGAGAGCGAGCGCCGAGGCGCGCCGTCCGAGCGCGGCATCTCGCTGCATGTGATAGCACACGTCAGGCCACGGCCACGGGAAGCCAGGTTCGGAGATCGCGGCCGGCGTCCGGTAGCACGTCGCGTTCGGGACGGCGCCGGCTGCGTCCAGGCACGCGCTGCCCGTCAGCGGCGACCCGGCGCCGTACGTCTCGCACCCTGTGGACGACGAGGTCGTGTCCCACCGCAGCTTGTCGCCGGCGCACACGGTATTCGAAGCTGCGTACGCCTGGGCGACGTTGACGCACGATTCGGACGTGCAGGAAAGGTCGCGCCGGAGAAAGTCCGCGCAGTCGCAGCCGCAGCCGGGGTAGTTCGACGGCAGCGTCAGCGAGTCGTCGTCCCCCGGCGGATCGTCCTCGTTGCAGGGGCCGTCCCAGAGGCCGTCGAGCACCGCCTCCCGCGCCGCGTACATCGACGAGCACTCGTCGCAGAGCGTGTCGACCGGCATAAATCCGTAGTAGGGGTACTTGCAGCCATCTGGGCCCCAGAGATTCATTGTGTTGAACAGCCCGCTGTCCCCGCACGGCAGCCGCACGATCTTGCCCGCCGGGACGTCTTCGATGTCGAGGTCGTCGTACAAGTCCACGTCGCCGCCGACGTGGCGCGCGAGCTCGGGATACGCCGCCGTGTCGATGGCCTCGTCGCAGGCCACGTCCACGAGAGCGCAGTCGGAGCAGGCCACGACCAGGCACGCGACGTCGTCCTGGCACGAGATCGGACAGGTCCCCGCGTTCGCGGCGAGGTCGCTGTCCCGCTTGCACGTCGAGTCGAGTTCGTTGGCGCCCCAGACCTGCGTGAATGCGGGTGGGGTGGGAGGAGAGCCCGCGACACTACACAAACTTGCCGATGGACACCGAGTCACACGGCGCGGTCCAGGAATAGCTCGATGGCCTCGTCGCAGTGCGTCACGTCGTCTAGGTACCCGCTCGAGGACCGGGTCTCGTCGAGCCGCCGCCGCGTCGCGCGCGTATTCTTGGCAAGCGCGTTTCTCAGCGCGAGGTGCTGAGGCGCCGAGGACGGGTCCACGAAACCGAAGACCGTCGGGTGCCTGTACAGCGTGACGAAGCCCTCGCCGAACTGCACGTTGGAAAGCGCGTGTCGCACGACGCGCGACCGCGCGAGCCAAGCGTCGGCGCCCGGCGCTTTCAGAAGAGCCGCCAGTTTTGCATCCGTCTCGGCGTTCGAGTCAATGTTACCATCCTGGCGCTTCAGCTTGAGGCCCGACTTCGCGAGCGGCGCGGCGACGACCGGCGGCGTCGTGGCTTTGTCGTATTGAAACGGCGCCGTCACGGCGATGTCCTCGCTCTGCCCGACCCCGAACGCGCCGTCGAGCGCCGCCACGAGCTCGTCGCCGGCGAAGCGCTCGTCTTGCGTTTGGCGCGCGACAGAGACGTCGCCCGAGGCGGCTTCGACGGCGTACTGGCGCATCTGTTGAGTTTTCATGTCGCCGAACTTCCACTCGACCGAGACCATGACCGAAGACGCCCGGTCCTGCTTGCGCGCGGTCCGCGGTAAGGCGTCGACGAGCGGCAGCGGCGGGAGTTCGTGGCCGCCGTAGTTCAGGACGTAGAGCTTGCACGCGCCGTCCTCGACCGACACGCCGAAACCGACGCTCGGCAGCTTTCTCGCGTCGTCGGCCTCGATGGAATCGAGCCACGCGTCGACGAGCGGCGGCGCCTTCAGGGATTTGGCGACGATTTTAGCTTGTTTGATGACCGCATCGCGCCCAAACGTCCAGCAGTCGCACGGCGGCTGTAGAGCAACGTGGTAACGTTTTGTTAGAGCAGTTCCGTCCTCGAAGAACTTGGCACTGACGCCGAGCGCCTCCATCGGCGCTTCCCGTTCGGCGAGGCTGGACACCGGGTGACCCGCCCTGAAGAGCCCTTCCAGCGCGCGGAACGGCGCGCCCCAGACCGGTTCCTCGGCGTCGATCCCCGTCGCCTCGAACAATACCTCACGCGTCGCACGGAGCTTCGTGCGCTCTTCGTCTTTCGGCAGCTTGCGGGCCTTGGACACAGCCCCCTCGCCACCGAGCTTCCGGAAAGCCTTGAGGTAGCCCGCTTCCCTCTTCTCGATGGCCGCGAGCGCCGGGCCCGGGTTCGCGCTGTCAAGCGCCGCGTGCAGACGGAACTCGTGCTCGTTCAGTAGATCTTGGCCTTTCTCGCGCAGGTCGGGGGGCAACAGGTGACCGTGGTCCGCGAGGAGGCGCGACGCTTTGGCGGCTCGCGCCGCGCTCCGCGCGACGGCGGGGCGGTGCTCCGTGCGAGTGCGCGCGGCGAGGGCGTGGAGGTCTTCGTCGCGTTTCGCCGTGCCTGCGGCGACGAGGAGGAGCACCGCTGTTTTCATCCTGCTCCGATGGATAAGGGCAGCCCCTACTTGATCATCTGAGGGCAGCCTTTCTCGTCACGAAATGGTGCATTTGCTGTTGTTTTAGTTTGTGGCCGACCACCTGCCAAGCAATACCGGCCGGCGCTACAGAGCCCCCAACACGCAGCGCGCAAAGCTCGAGCTAGCTCTGCATATCTCGCGTGCGGGGTCCGTCCCTCGACTCTTCCTCTCTCGACGCCTTTCGACGCGAAGTATCCGCTAGAAATTATCCCTCCCCTCGAGGCCGCCGCCGATGTCGTACTTCGACCGCCAGTCGCGGTCGCCGCGCGACTGCGGCGCCATCTCGCCCGCGACGCCGAGCGTCTCGTCCCGCAGCGCCATGCGGTCGGCGGAGAGCGTCGGCGGCGCGGCGCCGGCGGCGAGCGGGTTGACCGGCCTCGTTCGTTGTTGTTGGGGCGGCGGCGCGGGCGGCGGCGCGGCGGCGGGCGGCCAGGTCCACGACGTCTGCTGCGTTTTTGCGTTGTAGTAGTAGACCTTGCCCGACGTCGCGTCGCGCGCGGACTGCCAGTCGCCGTAGGCATCTGCGGCGGGCGCGGGCGCCTGAGTCATCCACGCGGGCGTCGTCGCGCCGCGGCCGCGGCCCGCCGGCGCGGGCGCCGGCGCCGGCGCGGCCGCCGCCGGTTCCGCGCCGACGACGCGGTTCCGCGCCCTATTGAGAGCCGCGTCGGCGGCGCCCAGCGCCGACGCCTGGGCCCGCGCGTCCCGTTCGCGCCGCGCGGCGACCTCCGGGTCCTCCGCCGGCACTGGCGGAGGCGCCTCCTCCTCAGCCGTTTCCGGCGCCTTGGCCTTCTTCCGGAAGCGCTCGGCCGTGCCGTAGTCGCTCTCGACGACGCCTGCAAGTTCCTTCCGCTTCTCCGGTTTCACGCCACCTCTCCTGTCAAAGCGCAGATCGTCCACGCGCTTGCCGCACATGGCGCAGATCCCGTTGTGGTGCGCGCACTCCTGGCAGTAGTTCGCGTCCTGCGCGACCTTGGACTTGCAGATTCGACACGTCTTGACGCCCGCCTGGAAGCGCTGCGTTGCGCCTCTTACTTGTAACAATGAATTGCGGTAGGTCGTGGCCCGTCCTCCATCGGTGCCGCCCGTGACGTTACGGGCGCCGTCCTTCCACTTGTCGGGAACGATGACCTTCGAGAGCTTTTTTTCGCAGTCCTTGCAGACCATGGTTCCGTGCGACGCGTCGTCGGCGCAGCGCTATGTGCGCAGGCAAAGCGCGTCGCAGCGGTTCGGCACAGTGGTGTTTGCCGCTGCGTGTCGCGTAGGAGCGCGCGGCCAGCGCTGCAAGAGGCAGGCCCTGGTGCTGCCGCAACAACGCAGTGTTGGTGCAGCGTAGGCAGCAGATGCGGTGAAGGCCGCAGCAGTGGTGATCACAGCAGTGGTGCAGGCTAACCTCGACCACCGATGTGCGCGTTTACGTCGACCGCGCCGCCTGGGCCGAGCTGCTTGCTAGTGTCTTACTGCTAGCTCACGTCGATTCACAGATGATTTACACACCACAGGCCCCAGGAAAACTGCCGACGCCGCGCTAGAATCGGCCGCGGCCCCCGCAGAGGGAGGGCCGCGGCGTCACGAATGGCGACATCATGAGCAAGCCTCCTCTAGGCCAGGAGCGCGTCGAGCCGCGCCGTGAGGTCGCGGGGGTGCACGCCGGCGAACGACTCCACGGTGCCGGCGCCGTCGACCACAAAGTAGGCGCCGAAGTTCCACTTGATCTGGCACGGGGCCTCGGCCTTCAGATAAAGGAAGACTTCGTCGGCGCCCGGCCCGTTGACTTTAACTTTCTTCATCAGGTGCATGCCGGGCCCATCAAAGCCGCGGCCCCGCGCGCCCGCCAGGATCTCCTCGGCCGAGCCCGACTCCTGCTTCAAAAACTGGTTGCAGGGAAACGCTAGAATGTGCAGCCCGCGCGCACCGTAGGCTTGATTTAATTTCACCAGGCCCTTGTAGTGCGACGCGGTCTTGCCTCATTCGGACGCGACGTTCGTGACGACGCAGACCCTGCCCGCGAATTCCTTGAAATTGACGGGATTGCCCTGGATGTCTTCCCTAACAAAGTCGTGGAAGGAGCCGTCGTGCGTGCTCTTCGCATCCTTGCCGTGGACGAGGCCCATGGCTGCGGCTACGAGGTTGAGGTCGCGGCGGGGTCTGAGAGCGCTGGCCGCGCGTGCCGCCCGGCGCGCCAGGAGCATACAGCACTTACCGCTGCCTGCGTTTGCGTGGTTCGTGAGTTGCACGCGCGTTGCTGCGTGCTGTCAACGGCGGCGGGCGTACAGCGCAGCGCGTCTGCGTGTGATGATCTGGCCTCTCAGAGAGCTTGCTCTCCCTGCCTCAACACGTCTGTTCGCGGCGCGAGGCTCAAACCTTCGCCAGCATGGATCTCTCGTGCACCCTGAGGAAATTCTCGACGCCGAATCGCACGCGTACGCAACGCTCAGCCGCTTGAGGGCTGAGGTGTGTTTTTGCTGTTCTAGAGCGTTGCTGCTCTAGAGCGCGGGTCCAAACGCTCCCTGGAAGCACTCCTCCCGACCGCTCCATACGCCTCGCGCGCCCGGAGGAGCCTTCCACGACGCCGCGTCTCCTGAGCTGCGTTTTTTCATCGCCGCATTTGCCCATTGCTCTCGACGCGCGACCTTGACGAGCGTCTCGTTTCAGCTTCGTACACGCGCCAAAGCTTTGACACAGCACGGCTGCGAAGCCTGCTCGGTCGCAGCGTCAGCTTGCGTATAGCTGGGCTCTTTGCCCTGTAGCACCTGCAGCAGCAAAACTCGGACGGACAGCGAGCGAGCGTAAACGCCGCAGCGCACGACAACACACAGCGTAAACGCCGCCGCCGCGCACCCACATAAAAACCATGGTCACCTACGACCTCAAGCGCTTAGCCGCCGTGCCCACGGCCGCCGAATTAGTAGACATTGTCTTGATGCGCACGCAAAGGAAGACGCCGACCGTCGTGCACCCCGGGTACAAAATCACGCGCATCCGGAGTTTCTACATGAGGAAGGTCAAGTTCACGCAACAAACGATAAGCGAGAGACTAGGCGCCATCGTGAGCGACTTCCCGCGCTTGGACGACGTCCACCCGTTCCACGGCGACCTCATGGGCGTGTTGTATGATAGGGACCACTACAAGCTCGCGCTGGGCCAGTTGAACACCTGCAAGAAGCTCTGCGAGACGGTCTGTCGCGACTACGTGCGTCTGATCAAGTACGCGGATTCTTTGTACAGATGTAAAGCTTTGAAGGTCGCGGCGTTGGGACGGATGGCGACACTGATCAAGAGGCAGCGGGCCGCCCTAGCTTACCTGGAGGAAGTGAGGAAACATTTGGGACGCTTACCAGCATTGGATCCCACAGCTCGAACGCTATTAGTATGTGGCTTTCCCAACGTCGGTAAAAGCAGCTTCGTGAACAAGGTAACAAGAGCGGATGTGGAAGTGCAGCCCTGGGCCTTCACGACCAAAGCGCTGTATGTCGGCCACATGGACCACCGCTACTTGCGGTGGCAGGTCATCGACACCCCCGGGATCTTGGATCACGAGCTCGAGAAGCGCAACGTCATCGAGATGCAGGCCGTGACCGCTTTGGCGCATTTGCCGTGCGCCGTGCTGTTTTTCGTCGACGTCTCGGAGCAGTGCGGCTACACCCTGGAACAACAAAAATCATTGTATGATAGTATCCGACCGCTGTTCGCGGACAAGCAATTGGTCATCGTGGCGAACAAGGTCGACGCCAAGCCTCTTGAGGATTTATCGGCGGACCACCAGCAGATGTTGAAGGACATGTGTGCCGCGCACGACCCGGACGCGGTTTTAGTCCCGATGTCGAACGTCACGGAAGCTGGCGTCCAGGCCGTGAAAGATGCGGCCTGTGATGTCCTGTTGCAGGCTAGGGTCGATCGGCGCCGGGCGGCGGCCGGCGGGTCGCGGTTGCGAGACAAGTTGACGCGACTCGTGGCCACGCCCGCGGACGCGGCGCAACGGAGGCCCGCGTTAGCGACGGCGCTACCGATGGGCGCCGACGAGGACCGCGGGCCGAGTATCCCCGCGTCCGTCTTAGCGGCGCGAAAGGCGAAGAAATTGGAGAAACGCGCGGCCCGCGCCGCGCAAGACGCGGATCGGTTAGAATTAGCGGCTCTGGAAGCGAGAGACGGCGGCCACGGCTCTACTACAGATGCGGCTCAACAAGCCGAACACGCGGCCCAGCAAGCTCGAGCCATAGCGCGCGACGCGGAGGCGGCGCGAGCCGCGAGCGCGAGGCCGCCTCGAACGACGGAACGGGAACGCATGTGGGCGGGAGGAGGCCCCGGCGTCTACTCGGGCGAAACGTCGCGGGAGTACATCGGCCAGCTGCGCTGCGACGAGTTCGCCACGGACATCCAGCCCGAAATCATGGACGGGAAAAACGTCCTCGATTTTGTGGATGAGGACGTCCTCGAGAAGCTCGCGGCTTTGGATGATTTAGAAGTGGAGACGGACCAGACGCTGGACCAGTTGGATGCGCAGTTGGAGGCGGCTCGACTCACCCCGCAAGAGGCTGCTATTATCAAGGCGATGAGAGATCGCCAGTTACTTGCTAGGAATCGAGCGCAAGCGTCGACGAATCGGCGGAACGCGCCCTTGCCTCGCGCTGCTAGATTACGGACGGAGGAGGCGCCGCCCGCCGATACGTTGCGGGGCCGAGCTCGAGCGGCCGCCGAGAAGCGCGGGCGGAGCTTGTCTCGTAGACCTGATGACGCCATGGACACGTCCGTTGAAAGATCGAAGAGTGTCGCTCGAGAGCCGGCGGCGAAGAAACGAAGGCGGGACGCCTCGAGAGCCGCGTCGGCGCACCGGTCGTCGTCGCGGCCGCCGCCGCGCAACGAGCAGGGCCTCGATGGCCAGGCGGCCCAGGACCGCGCGCGCCTGCTGCAGAAGAAGGCCCAGAAGAAGATGAACCGCATGGCGCGCGGCGGCGAGGCCGACCGCAAGACGGGGCCGAAGCTGATCCGCTGGATGAACGAGGGCAAGCGGCGCAGCGGCACGTCGCACCACCGCTAGGTCCTCTCTCATCCGTGTGTAACTCCCCTTCTCCTCCTACGATTGTTTTATTAGATTCTCGGGGGTAGGAGGGTCGAAAGCGTCCTCACTCTCGAGACCTGCGCGGGAGTGCTCGTGTCGGCGCGCGTGGTCGTCGTGTGGCGAGGGCGTTCGCGCGCGAGCGCGGTCTCGGAGATGATAGAGGAAGTTTGTTTTTGATTTTCAATCACGTGCCTAGAGCTTTCCATTATCAGTGTTCAAGCTCAAAACATTTTTCGTCATCGACCGCGTGGCCAGGAAGTCTTGTGACGGACGCCGGGTGCCGCGTGGTATCTTCGTTCTATGTACACTGTGATTTCCGTGCGCGCGAGGTCAGTCGCTCCACTCGCCGATGCCCCGTACCGGCACCTCCGGCGGCTCGAGCAGCGTCGTGGCCCCCAAAAGAGCCGCGCCGAGTAAAATCAAAGCCGCCTGCTGGCCGATGGCACCCGTGAGGCCGCTCCAGGCTTTTGATGCGACGGCGAGCGTCAGCGCCTCGAGGAAGAAGAGGCAGAAGAGCAAGAATAAAATAACGGCGCGTTTCGCGTCGGCGCCGTCGCCGTCGCCGAGCTTGCCCGGGATGCGCCTGAACTCTAAGAATAAACCGATCTTGACGAAGAATTTGAGGGCACTTTTGAGGCCCCGCGAGTTGCTCAGCGTCAGCGGCTCGCCGCCCTCGAAGCCGGGCGCGACCTTCGTCTCGGCGGCCGGCGCGGCGGCGACTTTTTTGACGACCATGGCGCTGCGACGCCGGGACGCGTCGGCGGCGCGCGTTTAGTGGGGTCGACGAGGCCGCGCGGCGCCGCGCGCGCGTCCAGCCCGATTGATGAAAATAAATGAAACCCCGAGTCACAGGCGCTCGCCGCTCAAACCAATAGCTCTGACGTCGAGCGCCTGACCGAGGGGACCGTTGGAGTCCCTTATAACGCAGAGCACGCGCGAGCCGACGCGGACGGCCAAAAAGCGAGAGCCGACGCGGCCAAAAACAGTGGCCAGAGCTAGCGTCATCGACACACTAGGAATGGCTCGACACGCCAGCTTCTAGAGGCGTATCGATCGGAGCACGCCAGAGCTTGCAAATCACTGCAGCTGCCCGCTGCACACCACAGCGGTCGTCTCGTCAACCTCTACGCCATCGAGCAGACCCAGTAACGATGCACCGCGCAGTGCGCCGCTTCAGCGCTGGACAATTCCGCGTCACGCCCGAGGGATCACTAAGACGTATTGCTATTGACCACCCAGCAAAGCGCAACGCGCTCACGCTCGACATGTACCGCCAGCTCCCGAGGATCGCGGCCGATGCGAACAGCGGCCGGGTGGCGCTCCTCGAGGGTGCTGGCGCGCATTTTTCGGCGGGCAGCGACATCTCGGAGTTCGCCACGTTGCGCGCCGACAGCTACCAGGCCGAGGAGTGGGACGCCGTCGAGATAAAGGCCGCCGAATCATTGAGGGATTTGGACATACCGCTCGTCGCGCTGGTGCGGGGCAACTGCTACGGCTCGGCGTTGAATTTGATGCTCATGGCCGACGTCCGCGTGGCCGCGGATGACGCCACGTTTTGCGTGCCTCCGGCCAAACTCGGGCTCGGCTACCCGCGGCATTTATTGGAGCCGCTCGTCGATACCGTCGGAAGGAGCGCCGCGTCGGAACTCATCCTGACCGCGCGCGTGATCGACGCGTCCGAGGCGAAGCAGCTCGGCCTCGTGCACCGCGTCGTTGCAGCCGGTGCATAAATCAACCCCTCTACGCCGTCGAGCAGATGTCGCGTCGACAGCGGTTCGCGAGAATTTGATTTATGCACAGGTTGCGGCGAGCGACGCTGCCGCCGCGGCCGAGGCGGCCGCGGCGGAGATCGCCTCGCTGGCGCCGTTGGTGCAACGAGCCGCCAAAGCGATGATGCGCGGGCGCCGCGGCAAGGACGGGCGCTTCATGGCGGATGCGAGGTATCAGGAATGCTTCGATTCGCGCGACTACCAGGAGGGGCTGAGAGCGTTCGCCGAGGGGCGGGACCCCGTGTTTAATGGCAGTTGAATGAAGAATCACAAGATAGGTTTAGCGCGCGATCCTTCGGGACCGGCGGAGTTCTGTAAGCACTGTGCCTAGTGCTGGAAGCGCGCGACGATCCCGGCCACGTCCAGGATGTCCACGTAGAGGATGACGACCAAAGCGAGCAAGGCGTAGTACTCGAGGTGGATCGGGGCCGCGAGCGGGTTCTTTTCGGAGGCGAGCGTCTCGAGCTGCGCCTGGGCGCGGTTGGCCGCCATCTTCGTGTCCAGGGGCGGCACGTCGACGATCTCGAACTGCTTCGTGAGCTTCAGGCAGTCCTCAATGGCCGACTCGCTGTCGGAGTTGACAATACATTGATCCATGATGTTTTGGTACCTGTATGAAGACTCGTCGAGGGCGTAACTGGTTGTTAATACGCTGTTACAATACTCGTCGAAGGTGACACTCGAATCCAAAGTATTTTTGCGCGCGACTTTGATCTTCCGGCTGGGCGTGAGGGCGTAGGTGGCCGTCGCCAGCCATGCTAAGGCGGTGAAACGCATCATTTATGCGTTTACGTGGAGTTTACAGCTTTTTCTGTGTCTTAGCGCTGAGGGCTAGACTCTGTGACAACCGCGCAATGGGTTGCCGCGTCTGGACGAGGCTGCAAGTGAGTACTAATGCGAGCTCTGCGCAAGTGCTGTGCGTTCACAGGCGTGTAGTACGGCTGTTTAAAGGCGTCAAAATTCCTTCTGGCCATCAACTTTTTAGCACATTTAGCAAAAGCGGCAAAAGCGGCAAATGACGCATGGCTCTCGACGCTCTCTAACTCGGTTCGCGACGGGTCGCAAGTGCAGATTCGCGTCCTTGTCGCGACTCGGCGAAAAACCCGTGCCCAAAGCAATGGCAACTTTGTGGAGCCATTGCAGCCGCGCTGTGCACCTCACAGACGCTTGGGGATCGATTTCCAGCCCTGCACATCCACCCCAGCCGGTGTGCCGAACGATTAGGCCAGCGAGCACACATACAGAGCAGGCTGCAGGCAGTGCAGCGCAGGCAGAGCAACCATGCGTCGCCTAGCGCTGCTCTACGCCATCGCCGCGACAAGCGCCTGGCAGCCGATCCGACCAAAAGCAATAACACGAACGAAACGCCACATGGTCACCGTCCCCTGGCTGCCCGCGTCGAAGCCGCGACGACGACGCGAAGGCACGCTCGCATCGGCCATGACCAAGACGGCCAAGCGGATATTTCTCCCAACTACCATAATAAGCACGGTAGCTTATATAGCCTTCGCGCCTTTAGCTCAATTCACGCACAACGTGCTCGGGAGAAAGACGGCCATGTTAATAGGCAATTCCGACCTAGCCAAGACCGTGCCCGGCGTGCTAGGTCTCCTCTTCTCGGTGGTCGCATCGAACACCTTCACCGCTCTATATGAACAGCAGGAGGCGGCGCACCTCGCGGTCTATGCGGAGGTGTCCTGTGCCCGTTCTTTACTGGAGCAGCTCGTCCTGGTCCTGGGCGGGCCGGGCGAGCCGCGGTGTCGCAGCGCCCTCCGGGCCTTCCGGCGCTACGTCGGCGACCTCGAGCAGGACGTCGGCGACCCGCGGCGCGGGCCCGCCAAGAGGCTCACGATCGGCGCGCCCGTTTGCAGCGGCGTCCTTAACTTATCGGGTCGCGGCGTAACGTAGATGCACACAGGTCAACACGACCCAAATCGTTTTTCGGGATCCCCTCGAGGAGCTGCTCTACGCGTCTTCTGTGGGCCTGCCGTCGACGCACGTCTACGAGTCCGTCAAGGACGCGCGCGCGGCGCGAGCTCGACGGTTAGGTGCCCTGCAGCGGAAGCTTCCCGGCGTCCAGTTCGCACTGTTGTACACGCTCGGGGGCGGCATCCTCGCTTCATTCGTCTTGGCGGTGGCGGGCTACGCGCCGGGCGTGTCCGTCGTCTTCGAGGCGCACGGGTTCGGGGCCCTGACCTTCGCGCTCGTGGCGTGTTTGCGGGTGCTCCGGGATATTTGGGACCCGACGTCGGGCGCCTACTCCGTGTCGGCGGTCCTCGAGACGATGACCGAGGGCTTGGAGGACGAGTTGGACGCGCTGCTGGCCGGTTCGTCGGAGTCGGAGGGCGAGGCGGCGCTGGCGTACGGGGTGATCTGACGGAGCCGTCGGTTCGCCGCGGGTGATCTGACGGTGCCGTCGAGTCGCCGCGCGGGGTAAGTAGTTGTTCTAAACGCTCTCTGGCGACGACCGTACCACTGGCTACGCGTACATAGGGCGCTGAACGGTGTATGGACGGTTGCTGAATTAATTTTTGCGGGTCGGCCTCATGGTAGCTTCAGTCAGATTTGGGAAACAGGGCAAAAGCGCGGCCGCGGCGTCGTCATTTTCACATTCAAACGTCGCCTGGACGTGTCGGTTTGCAACGGGGTCGCCACGGCTTTTCTCGCTCTCGTACTGCTGGTCTCACTGTGTCATGTAACCTTCACGCCCCGCGCGCGCCGCAGGCTATCACGATGAAGCTCCTCCTCCTCCTCGCCCTGCACGGCGGCGCGCACGCGTCGACGCGTCACAAGGCCACCAAGAACGCCGTCGACGAGGCGACCACGCAGCGCCTGGCCGCCGAGGCGGCGTCGGCGAGCGTCATCAAGATGCCGGGCGCAGTGGCCAAGTTATTCGGTCGCGAGGAGGGCGCTGAAGTGCCCGCCAAGCAGGCGCAAGGCCCGGTCAAGCAGCACCAGGACAGGTTCAAGGCCGGAAGCGACGCTCCCGGCAAGGTCGACATTTACTACCTAGGGGTCGCGGGCCCGCCGGCCGATTTCGTCCTCGTCGACACCAAGAGCGGCGCGGAGCACCGCATTCCTATTGAGGCCGGCACGCACATCACGTACGACAACTCGGTCTACGAGCACCGCGTCGACGCCCATCCGGACTCGAAGCGCACGCTGCTGGGCCCGGCGAGCCTCCCGTCGGGCGGGCGGCGCCTCGAAGCAGTTGGTGGTGCCCCGCAATGGTTCATCGACGGCTACTGCCCCGAGAATATCCAGTGCTCCACGTCCGCGGACTGCGAAGGCTTAGGCCCGGAAGAGTGGAATATCAGTCCATTCAACCGCAAGCTAGTCGAGCAAGCCGAGGCAGGAGGGCGGCGCCTCGACGACACCCCCCCACCGGGGCCCCCAATCTTGTGCATCTACGGGCTCGAGCCGCTCGGGTTCGGGGAGGATCCGGGCAACTTGCGCCGCAACCTCCGCTTCGGCAACTCTGGAGGTGGCAATGGTTGCTGCTTCCCCTTCTTCCCCTTTGGGCCTATCGGATAGGCCAAGAGGAACTGGGGCGTCGGCATCTGGGAGTAGGCGCAGACTCGTCCATCAACAAGCCCATCATCAATCCCCCGTATTAAATTACGATTCTTTAGAGCTCCCCGCGCGACGCATGATGGGACGGCTTCCAGACGGCGTCCCAGAAGTCGACCTCGTAGGCCTGCAGCGTCCGGACGTCGTCCTGGATCAGCTCGCAGGCGCCGTTCTTCTCGAAGTCGTCCGCTAATATAGAAAGCGCCATGTCCTCGAGGTTTGGGAGCGGCTCCGCGAAGAAGGCCAGAAACGCGAGGCCCTCCTGGTACTCCGCGAGGCCGCGCTTCTTGAGTTCGTTTTTCATGTGTTCGTCCTTGCGCAGCCCGTGGAGCACGCGCCGGCACGCGTCGCCCCAGGCCGGGAAGTTCACGGCCGCCGCGGCCGCGGCGGCCGCGCGCTTGCCGTCCCGCGCCAGCCTGCGTGGAAATCGACCGGTGAGTTAGGTTACAAACGTCGCGTCGACGGCGTGGAAACTCCACGCCATCGAGCAGGGTGATTTCCACACGGGCGCCAACAAGGCCCAGTACGCCCCATAAGCCTGCGCGCGCGGTTCCGGCGCGAAGAACGTCCCGTCTTCCGACCGGCCGTGGGCGTCATAATCTAAACCCGTCGCGTGGATTAGTCGCTGCAGGAGCGGCGCGGCGGCGAGCTCGCCCTTTAATAAAGTGCCGAAGAGCCCCTTCAAATTATCCGGTGGCGTATTCCGCCACAGATCTAGCAGACCGGCCGCCGTGGGCCGCCAGTCGGACCCCGCGAGCTGCGCGAAGGAAGCGGCATCGTTCGCTTGGATGAAACGCTGCTCTCCCACAAAACGCTGCAAGGCTTGCAACGGCAACCGGCCGCGCTCCGCCGCCTTGACGAAGGGGTGGTTTTTGAGAGCTCTTTCCGTCTGCGCGTGCCACGCCGTCGCCCTGAGGGACGCGAGGCAGTCTTTTGCTTTCGCCTCGGCGTACGCGCGCGTCACGCCCCACTGCACGCCGTTGTCGTCGATGAGCTCGGCGGAGGCCAGGGCGGCGAGCGCGGCGGCGAAAGCGTGCCGGGTGCGCATGGTTAGCGGGCGTTATAGCCTGTGGCACGTGTGCAGCGAGGTGTGCTGCTGCAGCGAGGCTGCACCCGGTGGCTGGCAGGTTTCGCACTCGCTGGCTCCGCGTGGTGGCAGTGTGCGCTTGGCAGTGCTCAAGTCACAGCGACAACTCTTGCACGGCTTGCTCGGGGCTCAAAAGCAAAAGCACGCAAACGGGGCTAGCGTGAGGTTACATACTAGATTTCGGAGACGTGTCCAGACCCCACAGAAAACGCCGCCGAAACACAAAAGAGTCACAAAAAACACTTACAACAGCAGCCCGGGCTTCCAAAAGTCCACAGAAAGCACATACCGCGCCTCAGTTTCATGCCCGTTCTCGGCCGCGTGGAAGAAGGAGTCGTCGAAGACCAGCACCTCGTCCTCGGAGTAGTTCCGACGCTCGCCCGCCACCGATAAGAAGGCTCCCGGTGGTGTAGAGAGGACCAGGTGGGCCTTCAGACGCACGTTCGTCGGAGCGGTGTGGACGTTGACGCGCGCGCCGGGCGCGAGCCGCAGCACGCTCACCCGACAACAGTAGCGCGGTTTTGGCGCCGCTGCCGGCACCGTTATTAAGGACGGCGCGTCGCGCAGTAGCGAACACGTCTTCGGGAACGCTTCACAGGTTTCCGCGTCCCAGCCTTCATTTTCGCCGTCGTACAAGACGAGCTCGCGCCACGGTTTACGACCCGTCGCGTCTCTGGTAAACTCGGCGCCGTGGCCCTCCGGGGACGCGCTCACTAAACGGTCGAGGTTCGCATTCATGAACTCGCGTCGAATGTCGTGCGTGTGGTCTCGGAGTATGCGAGTGAGGTCGTACGCGTCGACTGCGTGCCACGGTCTTTCATTTGCGACGGGCAGCCGCGCGAGCGCGCCGCAGCACGGCATCTGCCGCGGCGTGGTCCAGGGGAACGCGTCGGACTTCGACCGCGCCGCTTCAAACAAGGCGTCCGCCGCCTCGACCCTCTCTAACCGCCAGTAGGCGCGGCACGCGTCGTAGACGAAGTCGAGGAACGCGTACGCGTTTTCGTCCATCGCCAGCGCGGCCTCGAAGAGGCTCACGGCCTGCTCGACGCCTCGGCGTCGCGCGGCAGCTGTGTCTGCTAGATCAGCGGCCCGCAGCGCGCTCTGCGCGCGGTGCGCCGCCGCCTCATGCAATCGCGGCCAGAACAGGCGCCGCTCGGCGTCAGTCCTCAGAGCGGCCGCTTGCTTCCTCAAATCGAGCGCCGCCACTGCATCCCTCCAATTGCCCGCCTCGAAGAGAGCGCGGCCCGTTTGGAGCTGCCGTTCCAAGCGCCGGGCCGGCGCCGACGGCGTGCGCGCCCACAGCGCTGCGACCAATGCTGCGAGCAGCGCATACTTGCGCCAGGCGCCGCCGTCGCGCGGTTGCTTGCGCTTGCGCGGCATTTTGTCGCAGCCAGACCTCGTCTAGGCGGCTGCAACTCACGGATTTGCGGCGGCCGCGTGTGCTACTATATAATCAGAAATCGCTGTCCATCGATGCGATCTCCGCGTGAGAGTTATAGCACTTTAAAATGGCAGCTCTCCCTGCCTCCAAGGAGAGCGTCGCGCCTCGGTGGGCCACGATTTATGCAAAGAGCCATCCAAGGTTGCGCGCCGGCAGACGTCCTGCTCCGTGGGAGGAGGGCTGGAACACACAAAACCCGAACCCGAACCCTTGGTTTCGATGAGCTGCGCAAAGCTTTTCCTGCAGCCCTCGCACGCCGTCGAGCAGCCCAACAGCCATTTCTGCGACACACTTGCGCCGGCCGGGGGCTGCCCGCGCGGCCAGGCATGGACGACGCCGACGACAAGGAGCGCGAGGCCCTGCTCCTGCGGAGCAAGACCAGCCCACGGTTCCACTACGACGACTGGCGGCGCTGGCTCGCAACAAGGTACAGGCAGCCCCTCGACCCGCACAAGATCGAGGACTTTTGGTGGAGAAGCGACGACAAAATTGTTGATGACGCGTGGCTCGCCGATCTATTTGCTGTGCCCAATTGGAGCCTGTTATCGCACTACGTGAACATTGGCATCTCGTTGATGATGGGGGCCACACCGGTAACTTATTACTTAGTTGAAACATTACGAGCATCGCCGGCGACGGTCAATACTTATGCTGCTTTGACATATCTCCCATGGTGCCTCAAGTTCTTTTATGGATTGCAGACCGATTTAGTACCTTTGTTAGGGGTCCATAGACGTTCATACTACCTTTTAGGATGGCTGATTTATGTCATATGCAATCTTTGGTTGGCAATACTCGGAACGCCCGACTCCACGGCAATATTACTTCTGTCTTTTGGCTACACGGCGGGCTTCATGCTCGCGGACGTCGTGGCGGACGCCCTCATCCTAGAATGCTCGCAGGTCGGCGAAGATGCCAACAATAAGGGCCGGATGCGGACGCACGCGTACTACGTCCGCGCCGTGGGCATGGCGCTGGGAGCCTTAGCTGGAAGTTGCCTCTTCAACGGCCCGACTTGTGCAGATTCAGGATGCTGGGCCTGGGGGTTAGAATTAGCATCCTTGTTCTGGATCCAGTCGGCATTAATACTGGTGACGGTACTGCCTCTACTATTGACGATGTACGAGCTACCCATAAGAACTACCGGAGTAGCAGGAGATATACGAACGTTATGGGAGGAGACCTTTGAGTTCCTGCGGCACGACGGCGTCTGGATTCCATTGATGTTTTTATTTTTTTACAACTTCTGTTTCATCGCGAACCCGGCCTGGAACAATTTCCTGTTTCTCGGGTTGAACTTCACGAATTTTGGCTACGGCATGCTCGCGTTTGCGGGAGCACTATTAAGTGTGGCGGGTCTCTGGGCCTACGAGAAGTTCTTCTTCCGAAGTTCGTGGAGGCAGTTGTATCTCTGGGTGACCTTTGTGGTGGTCGTCTTCTCCTTTTTGCAAGTGTTACTGGTGCTGAAGAAGACGGGTATTTTTTCCCCCTACGCCTTCGCCATGGGCGACACGGTCGTCGTGGCCTTTGTACAAAATGTCGCGTTCATGCCGATGTGCATTATGTTCTTCCCCATGATCCCGGCTGGCGCGGAAGGTACCGTCTACGCGTTGCTGTCGACGTGGCAGAACGTCGCGACGGAGGCCGGCTATCAGCTGGGCACGTACTTGACGTGTGTGACGGACGTGTCTGATTCCGCTATAGAAGAGGGCAAGTGGGCCGGGGTCCTCAAGCTGACGATCATCTGTTCCGCGGTACAAATCCTGCCCATCTTTTTTATATATGCGCGGACGCCGGGCGGCATTTGTCTGCTGCCCGATAGTGTGGACGCGACGAAGGCGCAGTGCGATGACCGAAAGTCGTCGCTCGGTCCGTGGCTCTTCTACGTCCTCTTCTTCGGCGCGATCGCGTTCAGTTTGGGGCAGTCGCTGTGGTTGGCCGTGAATCCTGATGGGTTGTGTCCGGGGGGGGACGACGATGGGGCGTACTAATTACTAGTAGCATAGATCTGAGCGGGCGAGGTGTCGAGCGATTCGTGCCCGCCGAGGCGTTCACTACCTGAACCACCAAGCCTAGGGGCGCGTGTCGAGCCGCCGCGCGGCGAGGCGTCCGGATTGAGAAGGCTAGCGGCCTGTAAGACACTAGCAGGCTCTGCATTTTAGCTCCGAGCTACTTTTTAGAGGCTCCGATCACGCTTGCCATCACCAAGTCACTTTTTACATTTACCATTCATCGAAGCACATGGCTGAGTACGGCTCGATCGAGGCGCCTGAGCCACAGGAGAGTTTCCTAAGCTCGGAGCCGACACCGGTTCCTGCCCCGCGGCGCAAGTTACGGTACGCCGGCGGCGTGTTTGCGGCCTCCTTGCTCATCCTAGGGACCTGCGGACTGGCCTCCACCATCGGCGCTTTCTCAGTTGGCACCGCCGCCGCCGACGAGTCCTGGCTCGCCTCGGTCCATACCATAGAGTCTGACTCGGACTCGGAGGACTCGGACAAAACGTGGATCCCGATCCCGTACGAAGGAACGTACCACAGCGGCTACGAGAAGGGCTCCTACTGCAAGCTCACGGGCTGCACCGGCGGGAACATGTGTGCGCAGGGGGGATCGCTCTGGCACAAATTTGGTTCCGACAACATCGACGTCCGGGACGATAACTACGAGACGTGCCAGCCGGAAAACCACGACTTCGAGGGCGCCACCTGCACCAAGGGCGTCAACCTGCCGGCGCACACTCAGGCGCCGCGGGCGCGAGCTGCCCCTTATCACCTCGCGGGCGTCCGGCGCCCCAGTTTTATGGGGGGCTGCAGCTGCGAGGCAAATGAAGGCCAACGCGCGCATTCTTTATGCTGCCCCGGTACGCGGGGCCGAGCGCACCTTGCAAGCAAATCATGATTCATGTGATTCGGCAGAAGATCTAGAAGCTACTAGGCCCTGGCAGGCTAGCAACAGGACGCCGCCCACGAGTCCTAGCACCGTACAGAAAAAGAACGCGGAGAGCTCGGTGGAATGCGACATCATTTTCGGCATCTATGGAGAGCCGCGGCGGGGGTACTCATCTTGAGAACAACTACGCTTAGCCATGCACCCCGAGCCCCTCGCCCCGGTTCTTCCCGGCCACCGCGTGCTTGATGAGCTTGTTCTGCTTGAAGTCCTTGGCCTTGCCACCCGACCGGAAGCCGGCCGTCCGCATCTCCATGCGGTTCTGCGCGCGCTGGTCCCGCGCGAGCTGCTTGAAGACCGTCCTCCTATTATATTGGGCCGCCAGGCCCAGCAGGAAGCCGCCTCTCTCATGATGCTCGCGCCCGTACGCCGCTAGGAGTCTATCCCGTTGTTCCGCCCGCACCGCGACCGTCGCGTCCCTTTCATCGTCCAAGCGGTGGTTCTGGCGATAGTAGCTCCGGAGCCACCGCGCGCCGACGATCTTTTTACGACCATTACTCCGTAAGAGTAATTCACCAGTGCCTAATACCTTGACCTTCGGGGCCCTTCGAGTAACAATCTGATCATCAGACGTGGACGACGCCGTCTCCCAGCCGTCCTCGGAATTGTCATCTGCCTCGTCGTCGTCGACGCCCAACGCCTTCACCGCGTCGTCGTCCAATCCTGCATAGGATGCCGAGAAGTCGTAGTAGTCACTTAGTTCATCCACTGATGCGTCGCTCTCGTAGGCCACTTTCACGTGGGACTTGTCGATCATGTGCTGCTGGCAGGCTCGATAGCTTCGGAACTGCCTCCCGCACCAGAGGCACGTCCGGCCTTGTTTTACTTTGGCGCATAGGTACAATGATAACCCGTCCACATCACAAATGTACGGCGATTCCGGTAATACAAAGCCGTAGGTGCGGTGCATGTACGCCAACGCCTCCTCGGAGGTCTCAAACCGTTCATTGTCGAAGAACGAGTCAGAACACCGAGCTTCGGCTGTGACCTCCTCGATCTCCTCCTCTTCAGATTCTTCATTGATATCTTCCGTCGGCTTCGACGCGGGCCCGTCGGCCACATTTAACGAAGAACGGTAGCCCGAGACGGAATCCACGACCGACGCCCCTTTCAACTCTCGCCGCTTACTTCGTTTTTCGCGCTTGTTGGCCTTGACGTGGGCCTGGCCCTTCGGAGCCGGCGAGGCCTCTTGAGCCGCTGCTCGTCGCCGTTCGAACTCGTCGAGGGACACCATGGGCAGCTGCGCCGTCCGCCTCTTCAGGTTATAGCGGTGCCACTCGCTCTTGTAGTGCGCCGTGAACGCGGCCTTATCTTCAAACACGACGCCGGGCGCCGTGAGGCAGGTGAAGCCGCTCATCTTTTGGGTGCTGCGTCGGTGGCGTCGCGCTCTGCAGCAAGTGCTCCTCTGCTGTCAGCTGAAAGAGCAGCGCTCGAAGCGCCCCGCACGCGTGTACGGCGGATCTCGCGATGCCTGCTCGTCACCGCGTCTCGCGGCTCGACAAGAGCGGCTCTCACGCAAGCGCAGAGCGTTCGTCGCCCTTCAGCCTTGCCTATAATCATAGCGTAAACACACTAGCTTTTGCAGCGCCCTGATCAAGGCGGACGCCGGGGGCTGTCTGGCACCGAGCACTGGTCAGACTCACACCCAGCAAGCCCTCGAAGAACGCCGAGCCAGCACCGGGGGCAGCCTTGGACCACCGCTGGCAGCCATGCCGCGCAAGTCGACGGACAGCGTCGCGAGCCTCGACGCGGACAGCAAGGCCGACGACGCGAGCGTCAACACGCGGGCGAGCCGCGGCAGTAAAGCGGACGCCGGCAGCAAAGCGGACGCGGACAGCAAGGCGAGCGCGGGGGACGAGACGCGGGAGAGCCGCGGCAGCAAGGCGGACCTGCGCGCTTCTAGACAAGACCGCGGGTCCCTCGCCGAGCGCAAGGAGAAGGAGTACGTGGATCCGGACATTGGCAAAAGAGGCGCCATCGCCGACCAGCTCGTGTATCGTTCTACCGACTTCGAGATCTTGGAGACCCTTGGTACCGGTACTTTTTCACGAGTCAAACTTGTGAGGAACGTCATGGAAGATAGGATGAGGGTAGCCAAAATCATCCGCAAGTCTGATATTATTGGTCATGATTTATTCAGATACGTCTCCATGGAGGTTAAACTACTACGTACCTTAGATCATCCATTTATCATCAAGAGCTTAGGAAAGTACCAGGACGACGAATCCCTGGTGATCATCTTTGAACTATTGAGGGGAGGTGACTTACACCGACGACTGTCCATCGCGCAAGACCCCGACAGAACGCTCCACGAGCGCGACCGCGTCGACGCCGGCGGCATGGACGAAAGACACGTGAAATTTTATTGTACGCAGATCGTTACGGCTCTCCAACACATGCACGCCCAGCGCATTATTTATAGAGGCGTCAAGCCCGAGAATTGCGTGGTCGACGATGATGGGTATGTGGTGCTCGTGGATCTGGGTCTGTGTACCTTCTTACCCTTCGACGAGAAGGGTAAAATAGCGAAAACTTATACGTTGTGCGGTACGCCGGAGTACACCTCACCGGAGGTCATCCTGAGGAATGGCTACGGGCGGGAAGCCGACGTCTGGTCAGTGGGTGTTTTGGTCTATGAGTTACTGACGGGCTATCCGCCCTTCTACGGGTCCCATGCCTTTGAGGTGTACCGTAAGATACAAGAAGGGAAGTACGAATTCCCCAAAAAAGTCAGAGGAGACGATGGCCTCGTATATCCAGGGTTTGGCGGCGGCCTGCGCGCCAAAAACTTTGTGGCGAGTTGCCTCCAGAAGAACGTCAAGAAACGGCGTGGAAGGGAGGACGGCGCCGCGACCGGCAAACTCCGGAAGGACTGGTGGTTTTATGGCACGGACTGGAAGAAGATCACGCGGCGGACGTGCGAGTTCAAGGACGTGCCCTTCGTGCCGTCGTTGGACCGAGGGCAAGAGAGGGTGAACTTCGACGAGTTCGTCGTCGAGGAGGACGTGGCGCGGAAGTTGAGACCGCTTGAGCCGGAGGACGTCGAGGAGCTGGATTTGATTGTCAGGGACCGGTCGACGCCGCCGGGCACGCCCTTCCACCTGCGGTCGAAACGCGATTCAGAAGATGAAGAGGAGGAGGGGGATGAAGGATCAGTTCATTTGGACTCGCCCTTGACGCTCGAGGCCGAGGCGCCTCCCTCGAATTTCGCGGCGCACGCGATCAAGCCCGACTCGGACGAGGAGGACGAGTAAGTCCTTGTGTTGTGAGTCCGTGTTGGGGCGCGGCGACGGCGTCGTGGTTGCTACGACCCGGTCGAGGCTGAGGCTGAGGCTAGTTACGTCGCAGGGTTCCCCGTACCCCTCCCGCTCCCCCCGGGCCCACCCGTCCGGCTGGACTAGGACGCAAGGGCTGAGTCACAGGGACTCGCACGCCCCCCCTTCTTTTGGGACGACCCCCGTCAGGATGTGGAACTGGCCGCTGGCTCCTCTTTTACGACCAGCCGGAAATCAAGTGGTGAGAGAGATGCCCTCGCACACCAGGCCGAGCAATCCTGGAGCGGGGAGCGAGAGCTCCAACCCGCCCAGACGGCCCTTGACAATAACTCGCCGGAACGGAACTACTTGCTAGTGTCTTACAGCACGCTAGCCAGCAAACGCGGCGCGGCGCACTGAGACGTGGCTGCGCCCGGTGACCATCAGTACCACCGGCTAACTCGTATTGCTTCATACTGCAGCTGGGCCAGCGCGTGCAGCGCTGCTTGCACTCTAGGTCACCTCAGGTCATAAAAACAGACTCCTGTTACAGCAGTGCGCTACCAGAGACGCTGCGAAAAACAGGATGTCAGAAGGCTACAATACTCCGAAGATCGGCCGCAGCGGCCCGACCTCGCCGGCCGCCTCGGAAAAAACGACGTCGAGCCGCGCCGTCCTCGCGGCGTTACGAGCACTGCAGGACAAGATCGCACGTTTAGAAGGCGAGCGCGCCGAGGCGGTCCACGCGACCTCGGAGCTCCGCGCGCGGCTGCGGGAGGCGGAAGCAAGGCTGGACAGCGTCGGCGCGGCGCCGACGCCCGTGCGTGGCGGTGGCGACGAGCTCGACGAGCTGCGCGAGGCGCAGCATAGATTGGAGCGCGAGTACGCGGCGCGTGACGCCGCCGCCGCGGCCGCCGAGCGCCGCGCGGCCGAGAGCGAACATAGAGCGAAGCAGGCGGCCGCGCGCGCCGCCAAGGCCGAGGAATTGTTGGCGGCGTCGCGGTCCTCGAAGCCGGCAGACGCGTCGAAATATATGCGGAAGATTGCTAAGCTGGAGAAGAAGCTGCGGACGGCGGAGCGTTTACTGGAGACCGTGCTCCAGATGAACAAGCTGCTCGTCGAGGGCCAGGCGCCGCCGCCGCCGTCGTCGCCGCGCGTGCGGACGCAACCGCCGCCGCCGCCTGCGAGAGCGCGGCCGCGACGCCGCGCGCGGCGGACGCAACCGCCGCCGCCGCGCGTGCGGTCGCGGTCGCCCCTATCCAAGCCGAAGCGGCGGTCGCGGTCGCCGCGGCCGCGCGACGAGGCCCGGCCGCTGCCCTGGGTGCCGAGCTCTGACGGCGGCGTGAGCTTCAACCTGGCCGCCGCGTGCCAGTACGCGTTGCGCCGGACGCAGCACGCCTCTGCCGCGGCGTAATACTAGTGAGTACTCTGCCCCTACCAGCACGCTATGATAGGGTGCGATTTACGCACGGCGTTCTTTACTTGAGAAACGGTCCAGCGTCATTTACGCCGTAATTTACGCGTAATTTACGCGTGCATTTATTTATAAAACCCGCACACACGCAGCCAGAGCCCCTAAACAAGGCCTTGTGGCCACGCAGCTCAATAGCAGCACGAGCACGGCGCATAAGCGCACACCTAGAGTGCACACCTTGCTCGCAACAGCATGCAACTAGCAATTGGCTCGGCTCTGACAACGTTTGGGGCAGCCACACTCTGCGAGCTGCTGATCGCGAGCTAGAGTCTTAGAGGGCCGCTAGCGCCGGCTTCGGGAAGAGCCCTGGAAGGACTTTTGGATACCTCCTTTTTTACGCCGTTTTTTACGTGGGATCTCCTGTAGCGGTGCTTTACGTGTAACTTACGCGTTTTTTCCGCGTAAATCGCACCCTAGACGCTATCGCCGCGAGTCCCGCGACGAAGAATGACAAAGAAACCGCCACTTAGAGCTCGTCGCCGCACTCGTCGAGGACGAGGTCGTTCGCCGCGACGCACCGCGTCCGGCCCGACTGCGGCGGCGGCTCGTCCGCGGGCGGCGGCGGCGCCGCGGCTTCGTCCTCCGCGCCGTCGTCGATGACGAGGTCCTCCGCACCAAAAAACGTCCGCGGCCGCCGCCGCGTCTGCGTCGGCGCCGGCTCGGCACCGCCGCCGCCGCCCCAGGCGCTCGACGGCGACGCCGCGGGCGCGGGCGCGGGCGCTGCAGGTGCCGGCGCCGGCGCAGACGCCGGCGCGGCGGCCCCGTCGGCGGCCGGCTCCTTGAGCCCCAATGCGGCGAGGCGTTCCTCGAACGTGCTCCCCTCTGCTGCGCGCGTCATCGTCTTCTTCAGCTCGTTCTTCGTTTTTTGCGCCTCCTTGAGCTCCTTGTACTTGTCGTAGCATTCCCGTTTGCCCCGTCCTACGATGCCGCTGATCTGCCGCCACCGCTGCTGCTTCTCGACCGTGCTCGGGACGTCTTTGCAGGCCTTCTTCAACTTGTTTACGTCCTCCTTGGTCCACGGCGTTGTTTCTTTCTTCGGTCGCGCGGTCTTGGGCCGGGCGGTCTTTGGCCTGGCTCCATTAGCTATCGACTGCATTTGATCTTTGCTCATGGTGCTGCGCGGCAGCGTCGCCGCCATCATCGCGCCCAGCGCGTCGTCGCCGCCGAAGGCAGCCATCGTGGCTGGGTTGTGGGGCAGCCTCGGCGGCGTCGAGGCTGCCCGCCTGAACGCACGCGTCTGATGCGTTCCCGCCGGATGCGTTCCCGCCGGCCCGTTGGCGCCGACGGCCGCTCGACTGCAGGCCCTCACCAGCCACTGTTCCAGTCTGGCTTTTTATTTTAAAGGCACCGACACCCGCACGATCGATGGCAGCAGCGGTGATCTCTGTCCCATGCGTTCCCCAACGAGACGTCGAGGGCGTCGCGGACTCGCTGCGTCGGCGTCGTCGGCGAAAATCACGTACGCGAGTCGCGGCGACGCCCCCCGACACGCCGTCGCCGTGACAGTCAAGGTACTGTTACAAACACACTGTGATAGCCGCGCACGTCGGTGCGCGGAGCAAGCAATGGTCGGGGGATGTCAGGGGGAAATCAGGCGACGAGCGCCTCAGGAGGTGCCATAGGAGTGTTCGTCTCGGCCATCATCGCCGCGGCGAGCGCGGCGGCGGGGCCGTCCTCCGTGGCGATCATGGCCTGGAGGAGCATGGCGAGGTTGCCCTTGTAGGGCGCGGGCGCGTCCCAGTCGGTCGCCGGCGGCGGCGCGGCGGCGTAGGGCCGGTGCGTCACGATGCCGCGGGACGCCTCGCCGTTAATCGCGTGGCGCTTCGGGAGCACTTTCAGAGAGCGCGCGGCGCCGACGTCGCGGGGATGCTGCAGGCCCGAGCCGAACGCGCCCGCCGGGAGCGGGCTCGACGGCTCGCGGATCACGAACTCGACGTCGGCGAGCGGCCGCGACGTTGTGGGCGCGGCGGGCGGCGGCGCGTAGGCTTGGGACGGCGGCGCGTGGGCTTGGGGCGCAGCGACAATTCGGCCAATACCATCTAAGGACGGCTCGATGGCGGCCGGCGCGTAGGCTCGGGGCGGCGGCCGCGGCCGCGCCGCGGCTTCGGCCTGCCGCACGGCGCACGTCTTTCCGTGCGCGACGGCGCCCGGCGGGTGGGCGAAGGTCCGGCCGCAGCCGGCGGGGCAGAGGAACTTGCCGTGCTCATTTCTAGGAAACTGGCCGAGCGGCGGCGAGACGTAGGCCGGCCGCGGCGGCGGCACGGGCGCCGGCGGCGCGTAGGGCATGCAGGCTTGGGGCGGCGGCGGCACGTAGGCTTTGGGTGGATCGTAGGCCTCGGGCGGCAGGTAGTAGCCCTGGGGCGTGGAGCCCTCCACTTGCGGGAAGACCGGCGGCGGCGGCGGCGCGTAGGCTTGAGGCGGCGGCGGCGGCGACCGGGCTTCGACGGGGGGCGTCAGGGCCACGTTCGTCGGGCTCGTCGGCAGGCTCACGGTCGCGTGGGGCATCTGGGGCGGCGCCAGGCCCGCGGGACCCGGAAACCCAGCAAACCCAGGCACGTGGCCGGGCGGCAGCACGAGCGGCGCGCCGTCGGGGTTCAGGCGCACCGCCAGCTTGAGGGCCGGCCGGACGGGCGACGGCGGCTTGTTCGCCGGCAGGGCTTGGGGGGCGGGCGTTAATCGGAGACTCATTGTCGAGTTCTTAGTGACCTGAGCTTTTTTATCGATTTCTATCGCTCCACAGTCCACGCCCGGTTCGGATGCGTCGGAGGTATGATAGACCTTCGTTCTGGAACCGTCGGCGTGTCTCACAAGTACGTTTGTGGTCGTGCACAGGTGGCTATGCCTCGTTTTTGCCTGGAGCTCGCTTTGTGGGCCGGTCTTAAGCATCGGGAGGTTTGGCCCTTGTAGATCACTCCAGGGACGCCTCGAGCCATCCACCGGCGGTTTTTTGTCGTAGCTTGAATTTAGGCCATTTTTGCCCGCGGTTGAGTTTTATTTTCCTGGGCACTGGCCGATAATATGTCCAAGCCGGGCTTACGAGAGTCCATGGGCCCTCCCGGGAGCCCTCCCGGGAGCCCTCCCGCACGCATTCCTCGATCTCCCAAGGTGGCTCTTTTTTCTGGGGCTGCGACGCGGGCCCGCGCGAACGCCGCCGTTACGCCGGGGGTCGCCATTGCACGCCGCGGCGCACCGGAGCATTTTGTTTGTTGCATTGTTTGGCATTGTTTGGCATTGTTTTTGGGAGTGCTGCCCCAATCTCGACGTGCGGGCTCTGCCTTGCAGCCTTGAGAGCATAAGCTAAAAAAGCGGCCGCCTGCTGTCATACAGAAGCTGCACGCCAGCCGGCGCACGCATAACTCATTTCTGTGCAGCGCAGAACCTCGAAAATCCATCTCTGCTGCAACCTCGCGACACCCGCTTTGCTGCAAGCTGCAGACAGCCATGCGCATTACCCTCCTCGCAGCAAGCATAGCCATCACAAGCGGCCTGCGCCCGCTGCGCCGCACCATCCAGCATTTCAAAAAAACGAGACCGGCGGGCCTCTGGAACGATGCAACGGCGCCGACGTACGACGGGACAAAACCCTTAAGAGTCTGCGTCTGGAACGTCCAGTACGGCGCCGGCATCCGGCAGCACTACTTTTACGACGGCGGCGACGCCGTCAGCGCGCCGAGACCCGAAGTGGAACAAGGCATTAAAAAAATCGGCGACGCCATCGCCACCATCGATCCCGACGTCGTGCTCCTCCAGGAGGTCGACCGGCGAAGCCGACGGACGCACAAGATTGATGAGTTCAAACTATTGCGAGAACGCCTCGACTTTCCCTGCGCGGCGTCGGCGGCGTACTGGCGGGTGCCCTATGTCCCACACCCTAAAAATGAACACGTCGGCCGCATCGGCATGCACTTGTGTACCTTGTCGAAATATCAATTGCAAGATGCGACACGGCACCAGCTGCCCCTGCTACGGGAGTCGCGCGTGCGCCAGCTGTTTAATCTTAGGAGGTGCGTCCTCGAGACGCCACTAGTCAATGGCCCGACGCTCTTCAACACCCATCTCTCAGCGTTTTCGTATGGAGACGGGACGGTCGAACGGCAGATTTCGAGGCTGCGCGAATTGGTAGAGGGGAAGGAGTTCTTGCTAGCGGGTGACCTCAACTCTCTGACGCCGTACGAGGACGCTTCGACTCTCGCCAAGGACGAGGCCGCGCTCTACCCCGAATCGAACACGCCCGCGGCGCCGCTGTATGTTGATCCTAATATTGTGCCGCTCTGGCGGGATGCGGTGTGGAAATCACGCCATCGAGCAGGCGTCGCGGCCACGACATTTGGTTTCTACATTTATTTACCTTCGCGTCGATGGCGTTTCGCGTCGACGGCGTCTGGGGGGCTCCGCCGAGACGCCACACGAGAGCGCCACAACAACAAAAAATAGCCTAAAAATACACAGGCGGGACGCATCAACACGCCGCGCGACCTACAAGCCCTGGACGTCGCCGGCGCCGGACCGCACGATCGACCACGCGTTCTGCTCGCCCGGCGCGGCCTTCGCGGGCGGCGGCGTCTTCGCGACGGACGGCTACCTGAGCGACCACCAGCCTGTGGTGTTTGAGGTATCCTTTAACAACACATGATTACAATACCGCGTCAAGGACGTTGAGGATCATTGAATTGTACCACGGCACCGCGGGGCTCCCGTGGAGGCAATCTTTGGGTTTGCCGGGCCGCCGCTCCCACTTTGCCACGGGTACGCGGCGCGCCATCGCCGCGACGTCAACTAGCTTAATCCAGTCGTAGGCCTCCACCAAACGCGCCGCCTCGGCGTTGTACCGCTGGAAGAGGTCCCAGTGCCACCCGCGCGAGAACAATAAAGCGTCGTTCGGCACCGGCCGGCTCCCGTTCAGGACGCTCCAGACCTGGGCCTCCCAGTCGCGCACGACCATCTTCGAGTTGCAGAGCGGATTACCCTCGGGCGTCGTCCGGAAGACGGTCACGGGCCTCGTCGGACAGGTCTCGTTGAGCGACCGCAGGAACTTCGTCAAATCCTGCGCGAAAGGCCGCACGTCGGGGTAGTGCGCGCCCGTGTTCACGACGAGCGCGTCCGCTTTGCATACAGGATACGCCGTCTGCTGCCCCTTCGCGAGGTCCCGCTCGCGCAATCTGTCGGCGCGCAGGAACGCCACGTCGGCGTCGCAGCGTTGTACACGACGCTTAAAGTCCTGGAATTGGCGGATACTGATGCTGTCGCCGACCGTCAATATCCGGGCCCTGCTTCCGTTGCGCGGGATCTTCGCGACGACGGCGCACGCGAATGCGTCGCCTTTTTTTAAATCGCAGGGCGGCTCCAGGACGTACTTGTTATTGAGCCACCGTCCTTCGCCGAAGAATGACGGTCCGTCGAACGCTCGACCCAGCAAATCCGTGCCGTTTCGCGGCTCGTAGCGGCCCGGCGCCGCGCAGCGCTTCCGGTCGACATCGACTGCCGCGGCGACCGCGGCGACGAGAACGGCACTCCAGCTCATGTATGTTAAGGGTTTGAAGCAATCAATGCGCTTGAGCATGGGCAGCCACCACTGTGCCACCACTCCTTGGGCAGAGCAGCAAAGGGTGTAGCGATGCAGTAGGGCTGCCCACGGCGACGCAGATGAACCCTAAGTCTGCCACGACGGTGCGAATGAAGCGTGCACGCCGTGAAATCGATGTATGCTCGGTCGTAGTCAGTCGAGCGCAGCTAGCGTCCAGTAAGACACTAGCAAGCACAAAAAGTCCAAGCCGCAGGCAAAAAACTAGCCAAAAATCATCTACTGGCGTCTGGTAGCAATCTAGCTGGGCTCCCAGGAGCTGTCCAGTGCGACTTTGCAGCAATAGTGATGTCGGACAGCCCCCAAGCAGCACCACAGGCTGACGCCGCTGCAGCCAGCACCACCGGCGGCGCAGAAAATGAAGAAGACGAGTGCTGCGCCATCTGCCTCGACGCATTGAATGACGAGGTCGGTCGCCCCGAGACGTGCCGCCACCGCTTCCACCTGTCGTGTTTGCTGGAATGGGCACGCATCAACACGCTGTGTCCCTACTGCAAGGGCGCGTTCTCGGCGGTCATTGGCGACGACGGGAGCCGGACGGACATCGCGCCCGTGGACGACGACGACGACGACGACGAGAGCGAGAGCGAAGACGAGGACGTCTGCGCGGCCTGCGGCTACGGCGGCGAGCTCCTCATCTGCGACGGCGAGGGCGAGGACTGCGTGGGGCTGCTGCACGTGGCCTGTGCGGGTTTAGATGATGTCCCGGAGGGCGAGTGGTTCTGCGCCCCCTGTGAGGCGCGCAGGGCCCGCAGGGCGCGCCACGAGGCCCACGCGCGGCGCGTGGCGGAGGCCGCAAACGCGGCGCCGAGTCCCGCGCCGCCGCGGCGGCGGCGGCGCACGTCGGCGGCGGCGCGGCGCGCGCGGGCCCGCGGCGCGGCGAGGGACGCGCGGCGCGCGTGGCGCGAGCCGACGCCGCCCGCGCCGGCGTGGACGCAGCCGGCGCCGCCGGCCGATCTGGCGGCGGCGGCGGCGCGCTACCTCGGGCGGCCGCGCCCGGCGGAGACGGGCGTCCTCGCGCTCGCGCTGCAGGTCGGCGACGGCGGCGGTAACGTCAGCGCGCGCGCCGCGGAGATCATGCGCCGGCGGCGCGCGGGCCAGGGCGACCGCGCGGCCAAGGCGCTCGTCGCGCGCTTCGTCTCGGCGAGCCGCGAGGATTCTGATAGGGTACGGCGCGGCGGCGCGCCCTTCCGCGTCGCGGCCGCATGCGCGGACCTGCGGAGGCTGGGCGCCGGCGCGGCGCTCGGGGGCCTGTACGGCGCGGCCGGCTGCGCCGCGGCGCTCCAGGCGCTCGACATTGCCTGCGGCGCGGTCTGCGGCGTCCTCGCGTCGGTGGCCCCGGGGCCGGCGACCGGCGCCGCCGAGGTCGACGCGCGGCGGGCGCTACGCCGGCGCCTCGAGGCTATCGCGGAGAGCGGGGGGAATAACGCGGCGGCGGCGCGGACCGCGGCGGCGCGGCTGGCGCCGCCGCGACCGCCTCCTCCGCCGAAGCGGCGCCGGTCGGCGGTGACGGATCTGATTCTTGGGAGCTAAGCAAAGTTTTTGTGTTCAGCATCCCTGCACTGGTCCTTCTTCGCCGTCCGGAGTATCGCATACGTAGTCTACGGTGTGAGGAGACCTGCGCCGCGCCCCGCACAAAGAATGATCTCGAGCTGCGAGGCTCACAATCATTGCTGCCGCACGATCGCAATCGGTTCCTGCGAGCTGCCCTTTGCATACAGCATCTCACAGCAGACGACGACCGCGCTGCTGCTTCATTCCTGTTCGCTCCCGCTGCATGCAGCGGGTGTTCAACCCAATCCACCTCGCTGCTGCAGCTATCCTCGAGCCCGTGGTTGCCGCGACGCCCAAGAAAGCCGCGACCCCAGTGAATGGGCAACACCGCGGCCCGACAGGTAGCGCAACACCGACTGGCGCAGCCGCACTTTCGGGTCGCCTTGCAGCAGCGGTACGGAACGGTGAAAGTTCCCCGCGTTCGGTCCTCGACGAACCCGTCGATCAACCGCGCGCTCTGCCTCCTGAGTCGCTCCTTCACGGAGTGATCCCCGCGACCATGTGGACGTCAAAATTGGGAACGAACTATTCGCTCGACGACATTCGAAAGAACGACAAAAGGGCCCACGCGGAATTGCAGAGGATCCGGTGGCGGCCCGACAATTCGCGCTGCGCCGACTGCGCCGCGACGCCGACGGTTTGGGCCATTGTCAACCATGGGACCTTCGTATGCCTCCGATGCGCGTCCGTGCACCGGTCGCTGGGCACGCACATCTCGAAGCCGAAGGGCTGCACCGGGACGTATCTGTGGGGACCCGACGAGTTACAGGCGATGCGTCCCGGCAACAGGGCCGCAAACATCGCCCTCCTCGGCGACTCGGCTCCGCGACTGACGCCCGACGTCTCCGACGCGGCGCTGCGCGAGCATCTCGTCGACAAGTACGAGAAGAAGCGGTGGGCGCCCGCCGTCCGACCGCCGGAGCCGCCGGACCTGATGACGTTCGACGAGCCCCCTCCGCCGCCGGAGGAGGACTTCTTCGCCTCGTTCGGGGTCTGACTAAGACTAACGTATTACATGTACTTCGCGTCGTCCTCGTCGGCCTCGCGCTGCCCCCGCGCGATCGCGACGAGGAAGAGCAGGATAAACGCGGGGCCCGACGTGACGCCGATCGCCGCCGTGAGCGGCACGCCGAGCACCGGTGCCGGCGGCACGTTGTAGAAGAGCTGGAAGATGCAGCCCACGAAGGCGATCGCGCCGACGGTGGACGTTAATAACCACAAATAGGCGGGCACGGGGATTTTGGCCAGCGAGTCGATGGGGCCCTCATCACCACCCTTTTTATCGACGGGCGCGCCGGGGAAGGGCGAGTCCGCGGCCCACCAGTCGTCGCGCTGCTTGACGAACTTCTGGACGATGTCCGGCTGGTCTGGATTAAAATCCTCGTAGTCCTTGGGCTTGTTCGCGTCGGCGCCGCGGAATTTTGTGGAGGCGGTGGCGGCGGCGTCCGCGGCATCAGCGGTTTCCGGCTCGGTCGCCGCGGTGTCCGCGTCTGCGACCGCGACGGCGTCTGTGGCGGCGGCGGCGGCGTCTTCCGCGAGCGTCGGCGCGGCGGCGGCGTCGTTCGCAGGACCAGCGTCACCGCCCGCGGGCGCGTCCGAGCTGGCTGTGCTGGCGCCAGCACCACTCTCAGGTGGTGTTGATCGCAGCGCAGCGCGCGGAACTGCCCGTCGAATCGGTGCGACCAGTGCGCTTGCGGAGACGAGTGCCAGCAGCAACAGCTCGATTCGTCGCGCCATCATTGCTTGCCGCTGAGGCAGCTGAGACAGCTTGGCTCCTCCAGCAAGCTTGGCTCTCAGCCAATTTTAGAGGGCGTCCGAGGAGCTACAGACAGCGTCAATCCGGATTCGTGTGGCCCCTCGACAGCTGAGAAAGCCTGAAGGTCTGCTCCTGCGCAGCTGCGCGCTGGTCTCGTACAGAGAGCATCAGGCCTCTCCCAGAGTTGTCGGAGCAACCATGGCCCGCGTGGTGGTGTCACTCGTCCTCACAACGCCAACGGCGCTCGCGTTGACGCTGCCGACGCGATCCGCGCGTCTCCCAGGCCGGCGGGCTGTCGCCGTCGCCGCCGCGCCGGTTGCCGTCGCCGCCGCGCCCGCGGCGCTCCCAACACTCGCGGCAGCGTGCGCGGTGCCGACCTGTCTCGGCTTCTACAAGCGCGAATACGGCGTGTCGTACGGCTACGGCCTGTCGATTCTGAGCGCGGCGGGGCTCGTGCTGCGCGCGGAGCCCACGGGCATCGCGCGCGCGCACGCGCTGGTGCACGTCTGCTACGGCGCGCGGCTCTGCGCGTTCCTGCTGTGGCGGGAGCTGTCGGTGGCCAAGTTCCGCAAGCTGCGCGAGAAGATCGAGCGCTCGGCGCCGCAGGGCTCGCGCCTGAAGCGTGCGCCCTTCATCATCCAATGCGGGCTCCTCTACTGGCTCATGTCGCTGCCCGTCGTCGCGTCGGCGCGGGGCGCGGCGCCGGCGGGCCTCCGCGGGGCGCTCGCGGCGACGGCGTGTGTCGGAGCTTGGGCGGGCTTTGCGCTCGCGGCGGTCGGCGACGCGTACAAGAGCTTCGCCAAGAGAAGGGACCCCGGAAAACTCGTCACGGGAGGACCCTTCGTGCTCTTCCGCCATCCAAACTACCAGGGCGAGCAGTTGTTGTGGCTCTCGAGCTGGGCCGTGGGGCTACTCCACATGAATTTGGGCGTCGCGTCGGCGGCGACGGCCTTCGCGTCGCTCCTCGGCTGCGCTGGAATCCAGTTCGTACTGCTCCGCGCGACGACGAATCTCGACGCGCGCCAGGCTGTCCAGTACGGCGACGACGCCGCGTACCGCTCCTGGAAGGCGTGGCGCGGCCCGATCGCCAAGGCCGAGACGGGGTCCAAGACCGACGTCTCCGAATTGTATAACTAGTTGAATCGTTACTTAATGTTCTCCAGCGGCCGGTTGAAGCCCCCGCGCCGGTTCATGTACTGGCGGTAGGACCGGTTCTGGTTCTTCTTGACGGCGCCGCGCGCGGCGCCGTGCTGGTTGTCGGCGACCTCCTTGCCCTTCGTCGAGCCGAAGCCGCCGAAGCCCATCAGCCGCGCCATCTGCGCCTCCTCCGAGTCGTCCTCGGGCGCGGGCGCGGCGGCCGCGTTCGACGCCGGCCGGGCCGCCGCCGCGTCGGCGCCGCGCATCTTCGCGACGACGGCGCGGCGCGCGGCGCCGGCCGACGCCGACCGGCTCCGCGACCGGCTCCGGCTCCGCGAGTACGAGCGGCTGCGGCTCGAGCTCCGGCTCCGCGACGAGTACGACCGCGAGCGCGAGCTCGAGTACGACCGCCGGCGGCCGCGGCCGCGCGGGCTCGGCGAGCGGCGCCGCCGCGGGCTGCGGCTGCGGCTATAGCTCCGGCTGCGGCTGCGGCTGCGCGACGAGGAGTAGCTCGGCGACCGGCGGCCGCGGCGCGGCGGGCTCCGGCGGCGCGGCGGGCTCCGGCGCCGCCGCGGCGGGCTGCGCGACCGGCGCCGCGGCGGCGACCGGCTCCGCGACCGCGAGCGCTGTTTAGCAGCCCGCGCGGCGCTCCCGAGCATGGCGCTGATCGCGTCGTCCGTGCTGCCGCCCTTTTCGTTGGCCGTCATCCATGCGGGGCGGTTGTCGACGCCGCGGCCGCGGCCGCGCGGCGGGGGCATGGTCGTTTTTTGGCTTTCTGCTCGGCGCGCGCGGCGCGGCGAGGCAGTGACTGTGCCAAACGAAGGCGGCACGCAAAGCGGTGCTACGAAACTCGCAGGTGTGGAGGCAGGGGTGTAGCGAAGCACTACTATTGGGCCAAATATGTCCGCACGGCTTGCAGCGGCGCGTACAGCCTCGACGCGCTTAAGCTGTAGCTAGCGGCCGTAAGACACTAGCAAGAGCCGAGAGCAGCGCTTGCAGCCCAGCTCTCTGTCATTTAGGCTCTGCTGTGCGCGAAACAATTGCATTTTTGAAGCACTTGAACTTCGCAGTCGAGCCGCAAACCTTGAGCAATGCCTGCACGCTGACCAGGGAGAGCAGCAGCAGTGGGTGAGATGTTACATGCAAGGCTAGGCGCGAGACGAATCCTACCGCGTCTGTGGTCAAGCACCGCGACGCCGCCGCCGCAACCAGCCGTGTCCATCTTAAGGCTGGGCGCGCGACGGATCCTACCGCGGCGGTGGTCAAGCACCGCGGCGACGACGACGCAACCACCACAACCGGCCGTGCCCGTCCACGCGCGCTATTTAGCAAGGACGATCGACGTGTCGAAATTCCAGGAGCACTTTAATATGAGGACGCAGACCTTTGAACGGGACTCCGTCATGCTGACGATCAACACTGAAGAACGAAGGGGTCATGTGGTAGTGTTTAATTATGGTGCGGTCGTCTTCGTCAACGTGCCTCAGCAGCTAAGGGACTGGTGTTTGGACGCCTTCGCGCCCTTTTGCAACGACACGATCCCCGACGGCTTCCAGCCCGTCGAGGACTACAAAATGAATGAAGGGGAGCAGGTGGAAATTGGTTTTGACTCCGTAAAACTGCCGCAGTTGGATGGGCACAATCTGGCGGTCATCGCGACCGTGCTCGCGCAGTCCGTAGCTTTAGATCACTACGCGGCGAAGACGGACGCGATGCTCGAAGCATTTACACGGCTCAATAGTTCGGTGGAGAGAACGGGCGTCTTCTCCGCACTCGAAAAAAGATCCTTATTTAGATTGGTGGCGCTGAACAACACGCTGTTCACGGACGTCATCGCCAAAATTGGTATACTGGAGCGCTCGAACACGGCGTGGAAGTACCTGCAGTACGCGGACGTGTGGGAGGGCTTACAAGACGAATTCGAGATCCGGGACCGCTTCTGGAAGATCGAGTTCAAGCTCAATTTGATCCAGCAAAATTCCAAGTTCTTCCTGGAAGTGCTGGCGACGGACAAGTCGAATACGTTGGAGTGGATCATCATCGCTTTGATCTCGATTGAAATTGTCGTCATGGGCGTCGAGATCGCGCGGGGGATCTGAGACGCCGTCGCCGCGGCGCTTGCTCGGTAGCGTGGAGGGAGGCCAGCACGGCACCTGAACGACGCCATCGCCGCGACGAGAGAAGGTAATTATATGTATGTTTAGACATAGTATGTACAAGCACCATCATTCAAGGCGCAGCTTGCGCGAGCGTCGCCGACACGTCCAGCGACGCTGGTCTAGAAACCCCAGCGTGGCGCACGTCTATCACGGGACTGAAGCCCGTCGGCTCCGGCATCTCGATCAACCCGTGCGCGACGCCTTGATGTAAAGCCCTAACGGCGTCGCCGAATACCACAGTCGCCGGCGCCTTGATCTCATGTTTTTCAGCTAAGTCGGCGATGTCCGACAGGTCGCCCAGGACCGTGCGCTGGCGCGGCGTGGCCGCTTGCTCCACAACTAAGGCAGGGCAGTCGAGCGGGAAGTCTTGCGACGCGACGCAGTCGTCCACTATCGATCGCAACCGCCCGACGGCCATCAGCAGCACGATCGTACGGCGAGGGTCGTAGGGAGGCAGTTCGGGCGACGACGAGTTGCCCCGGCCGTAACCCGTGCTCACGAGCGTCTGGTGCGCGGCCCCCCGGTGCGTCACGGGCACGCCCGCCGCGAGAGGTGCTGCTAAGCAGGCGGATACTCCAGGAACAACCCTAGCTTCCACGCCCAGCCTTTCCCGCAACTCCAAAACCTCCTCGCCGCCTCGGCCGAACACGAACGGATCGCCGATTTTCAGTCGCACGACTCTTCTACCCTCTGTGAGACCTTCGCGGCACCAGTCGTAGATTTGTTGTTGTGCTTTTTCGGCGCAGCCTGGTAATTTTCCTGCGACTCGCAGCTCGCCTCGCACGAGTTCCCGGATCTCGGGGCTCACGAGTCGGTCGCAGATCACCAAGGCTTCGCTATCGGCAATTGCTCGTAACGCTGCGACCGTGAGCAGTTCCGGGTCGCCCGGGCCCGCTCCTACCAATGTGAGGCTGCCGAGGCTCGGGTGCGGCGGCGCTGCTTGTAATCTGACGGCGGCGCGCGGTGGTTGCGGCGCGACGCGCGCGGGCGTCCATGAGGTTGTTACCGTGACTAATGCTAGTAGTCGGAGCATCGCGGGATGAAATATTGCTGCAGCTGCTGGTGTTGCCTTTGCTTGTTCCTAAGCGCTCGTTGTGCGGTTTTCTCTTTCAGTGGCAGTCGTGGGACGTCTGCAGCTTAATGCAGCGCTCTCTGATGTCTGGTGGCCGCTCTGGCGTCGTTGCAGACGTTGCCGTGGAAGAGTCACGATGATGGCTAGTATGCCCACGACACTAGCTAAAAAAAAACATCCGTCCTCACCAAGCTCTGTAACAACGGCAAGGCCTCGTGCCTTCCCAAGCACGCCGCCGACGCCGCGGCCACTAGCCTTGCAAAACTCACAAAGTGTGAGAGACAAAATGGCAGCCCCACCCGACGACAGCGATGGCACGGCGACGCCTCCGAAAGCAAGCAGCGATGCCAAGCACCGCGCCACGCCCGTGAAGCAGCCCTCCTACACGCGAGAAGGCATTACTTACAGGCAATTGCCCGCTTGGCATGATGCCAACACTCTATACGAGTTCCGGCGCGAGCACGGCAAGAGCCAGTACAACGTCGTGAGCGATGCAAAGGCCCACTTCAAGAAGCTGGAAGCAGGTTCAATAAGTGTGTGGGCGGCTTACGACGGCAAGACGCTGGTCGGCCTCGTGAGCGCGGAAGCGACGTCCGAGTACCGCACACGTAATGGTAAAGGACGCCCCTGGGCCATCGGTCACCTGGTCGTAAGAGCGTCGCATCGCCGGAAGGGCGTGGGCAGCGCGCTATGTAGATTAGCGGCCGCTTTATTATTAGCGGGAAACCAGCAGTGCGCCGAGGTCTATGCGGCCGTGCACGCCGACGACGAAGTAGCGATCGCCACGTTCGCACGGGCCGGCTTCGAGGAGCTGGTGACGCACGCGGACTACCAGAGGGGCCGCGACGCGACCGTCTTTCGCAAGCGGCGGGAAGGGGGCGTGCCGACGGCGGCGGCGAAGCCGCCGGCGCCGCCTAGACCGAAACCGAAGGCGGAGGTCGTCCCCCGGTGGCAGCGCGACTACGCGGAGGGGCGGCCGGTCTATTCGGTCGCCCGGGACTCGTATCCCGGCGGGGAGCCGCGCGACGGGGCTTCGTAATTGTTGGTGTTTTTATTTGGACCTTCACTCGCCCGGTACGCTAGCCCAGCCAAACGGGGTCGCGCGTCGTGGCGAAACGCGCGGGGGAGACGGCGCTTTGGCGCTGCCCGATGAGCAGGCGTGGCCCCGAGAATGACACGAATTTGCAAAAAGCCGCGACGGACCACTCGCGCAAGTTGCCCAGCGCGCGGGTTCGTCGAAAGCTGATAACAAGCCACTAGCATTTGCCGTCAAGGGCAATCTACAGTGCTCCCCACCCAACGCGAAGGAGGCATAGTTGGCTGGCTCAAACGGTCTCCTATCACTGCATAAGACGCGCGCTGCCGCTTACCCGGTGAAAAGAGCCGGCGCTGGGGCTGAGTGCCGGTGTCGCCCACAGCGCATTCTACGCTCCCGCGGCGCATTCCTCGATTCGCAGCGCGTCCAGCGCCTCTCGCACGATGGCGCCCGCACTTTCAACGCTCGCCGCCGCAGCGGCAAGCGCTCTATACTTCTTGGCACCCGCTACACACGGGTTCGCGCCGCTGAGGCCACTCAAGAGACGGGCGGTTTCGATGCGAGACACCTACGACGTGACCATCGTGGGCCCCGACGGCGAGACGAACACGTTCCCCTGCGCCGACGACGAGTTCATCCTCGACGCGGCCGAGGAGGCGGGCTTCGAGCTGCCCGCGTCCTGCCGTTCTGGCGCCTGCACGTCGTGCCAGGGCCGCGTCGTGACCGGTGAGATCGAGCACGACGACCAGTCCACCATCGACGACGACATGCTCGCGGCCGGCTACGCCTGCACGTGCGTCGCCTACCCGGCCTCGGACGTGACATTACTGACACACCAGATGGACAACTTCGAGGCCGGCGTCACGGACCCCGTGAACGGCGCCGCCGCGGCGCCTGTTGCTGCGCCCGCCGCGCCGGCGCCGGCGCCGGCGCCCGTGGCCGCGGCGCCCGTCGCCGCCGCGGCACCCGCCGCGGCGCCCGCGGACGACGCCGCCTGGGCGCTCAAGCGGCCCATCGCGCTGCAGACGCTGGACGTGCTCGCCGTGACCGTCGCGGGCCGCGCCGACCTCGAGGCCAAAATCGGCGAGCTGCGGGCGCTCATGGAGGGCGCGCCGCCGCCTGCTGCCGTTAACGGCGTAGCCGCGCCCGTCGCGGCGGAGGTGAACGGCGCGGCGGTGCCGGCATCCGTTGATCCGACGGCCGAGTACACGCCCTACTTCTCCAAGGACACGGGCTACACGATCTGGTTGAACAAGAAGAATCCCCGGAACTCCTATTACGAGTACCCGGACAAGAAGAAGAAGTGAGCGAGAAACGCCCACACGCCTCTTCGCACCGCCTCTTGTTTAATAATATTCGGATTACAAAACTCAAAATCGCCGCCGCGACGCTCTCGCGAACACACACACTCGCGCCGATCGCGGCGATGGCGTGCTGAGACGGTTAGCCTTCTCCTGAGCCCGCCGCGGCGCACGCCTCCGCCACCCTCGCCTCGGCGGCCCGAATCTTCTCGTTTATCGTTCTGAGGTGGGCGTCGGCGTCGGCCTTCCGCCGCTGCGCGTCGCGCATCGCGCGGTACGCGCGGACCGCGTCATCAGGGCCGCCGCGAGCAGGGTCGGACGCGATCTTCAAGACGTTGTCGAAAGCTATGCGCAGCTTCGGGAAATCGGCATTCCGCGGGTCGCGCCGAAGGCCTTCGGCGAGGTGCCGCTCGAACGCGGCCCGGCATCGGCGGAAGTCGTCCGGCTGCTTAAAGTCGACGGCGCGGCACAAGAGATGCAAGTAGCCCATGCAGATGTTTTTCCGGCCGAAGGTATTGTCCGGCATGAGCTCCAGGAGCCGCTCGTACGCGACGACTGCGCCGTCCTCGTCCTTGAGAGTTGACAAGGTACTACCGAGGCCAAACCAGGACGTCGGATACGTCGGCAGGAGCTCCGTCGCGCGCTGGTAGAGGGGCCGCGCGCGGGCGGCGTTTTCCTCGACTTCGTAGATGTACTCCGCTAGGTTGTGGCAGGCCGGGCCGTAATCGCGATCGAGCTCGTGTGCCTTCACTAAGTACGGCTTCGCGTCCGCGTGGCGCCCCAGATTCCGGAGCGCGAGCCCTAGGTTCATCGTCGCGACGACGTCGGTTGAGTCGAGGGCCAGCCCTCTCTCGTACGCCTCGACCGCCTTGGCATAGTTCTTCGTCCGGAGCTTCAGGGCGCCGCGCAGGAAAAAGCACTGCGCGGCGCCCTGGCGGGCCGCGGGGTCGTCGATCGCCGCCGCCGGCGTCTTGACCTTGCGCATCGCCCGCAGAGCCTTGCACATGTTTTTGTGCCTCGACCAGTCCTGCTTCTGGCACGGGCGGGAGCAGTACGCCACGCACTTGCAGGCCGTGCAGACTTGGACCTTCGCGACCCGGCCGCACACCTCGCACGTGTCCGCGCTCGCCGCTTCCCGCAGCAGCTCGCGCTGCACGTCCGAGAGCTCGTCCGGCAGCGCCGCCAACTCCGCCGCCGACGTCTCGGGCGGTCCCCGCGCCGCTGCCTCCGCGCGCGCCTTCGCGACCTCTGCCGCGACGGCCGCCGTCCGCTCCTTGACCTTCGCGTCGCGGAACGCCCGGGCCGTGTCGAGGTTCGGCGCGTGGCCCTCGCTCAGGCACTTCGCTACATACTCGGCTCCCTCGCTCTCCGTGAGCCCCTCGGGGCGTACTCTCCGGGCGTCGCTTGACTCGAACTGGCGCCGCGTCGCCTCGGGGACCTTGAGCATCGCCGCGAGCGTCAGGCCCCGCCGTCTCGCGCCCTCGTGGCCGGCGGCGGCGAGCCGCGCGTAGGCATCGAGGAGGTCGTTCGGCATCTGCGGGACCGTCTTGCCGCATTTGCCGCACGGCGTCGGTCGCCTTGCTGCGGCGAGGCTGCAGCCCGAGCAGACGCTCACCCCGCAGCACGGCAGGAACTCGTCGTTCTTCCCGTGCGGCCGCGCGCCGCCGCAGAAGGCGCAGGGGTCCTCCATGCCCGCGCCAGGCGGAAGGGCGGCGTTGACTTTTTTCTCTGCGGCAGAAAGCTCGGCAAAGGCCCTGCGCATCGTGCCGGCGTCCGGCATCGCAACAAGCTTCCTGATGTTCTCGACTTTCAATGCCAGCGTCTTGGAGTCGTCCAACCGCACCTGCACCCGTTCGCCCTGGCGCCCGACGACCGCGCCGCACTTGCCATTGTGTTCGGCCGCGCCCTTGAGCGAGTGGAGCTCGACGCGGTCGCCCTTGCGGTACCCAGCAAGCACCCCCGGTTGGTTTAACGTCTGCGCAACCTCATCCATGCCGGCGCTCACTTTTCCTTACCGCGCGCGGGGTTAACTCCCACTCCTTAGCATAGCATACCGCATCATCTGCTGTGTGCAGCCGCCTTGCGCGTCTGAGAGTAAACGGTTATTGCGGCAGCTCTTATAAAGCGATCGGTGTGACTCGTGCACAGCTTGAATTGTGCCCAAAAGTCGCGAGCGCTGCTGTCGCTTTTGCCCTGGCTGGAGAGGCTGCTCTCCCATCGAGTTGCACAGCTCAATTTTGGGAGACCGTGCGACGCGCACGCACGGCTGAGCGATTTCAAGATGCTGCCTCGCCTCCTATTCTTAATATGCGCAGCGCTCAGCGCTTCGCGTGCGGTTGCGCAAGAACAGCAAGCTGTGGCTGATGAGCCACTGCAAGCAGCGGAGAGCGCCGACGCGGCGCCGGAGCCCGCCGAGCCGGAAGTACCGCAACCACCGAAGAAGGAGGAGGAGCCGGCGTCGAACCCGATACCACTAGCAGTCGGCGGCGCCGCCGCGCTCGCCGCACTCGCACTTTTACTAGGCGGCGGCAGCAAGAAGAAGCAACCGGCTGCTTTGCTACTGGGCCCTTCAAATGCGGGCAAAACCTTATTATTCCACCGCCTCGTGAATAACGAGATCGAGGAGACTGTGGCCTCCATGAAAAGTGACGAGGGCATCGTGGACAACAAACTGCTCGTCGACGTGCCCGGCCACCGACGATTACGCAACGAAGTAACAAAGGAACTCAAGCGCGCCACGAAGATCGTCTTCATGGTCGACGCCGCGGACGCGACGCGACAAGCGAAGGCGGCCGCCGAGTTGTTGTACGAAATATTTTGTCAAGACAGTCGCCCGTCCTTACTCATCCTGTGCAACAAGAAGGATAGACCAGGTGCCAAGACGCCGGCGCGAATTAAGCTCACGCTTGCCTCAGAAATCGAGACCCTTCATAAAACGGCGAAGACGATGGGTTCCACCGGAGACGACACGCAGCAGGTCGCGCCCATCGACACAGCTGGCAAGTTCTTCTCGTTTGAGAGCCACGCGCCATGCGCGTGTACGTTCTTGGCGTACTCGGCGCGCGAAGACAAGCTGGACGCGGTGCGCGAGTTCCTCCTGAAGTAGGCGCGTTGTGTAGGAGACTAATGAATCACGACTGTCGCGGCGATGGCGTCGCAGCTAGGAAATTCGCGCTAGCGGCCTGTAAGATACTAGCATTGACATTGCACAGCCGAATGCTAGCTCTGGGGCCGCGGGGCTGCCATAGCTGCCATACAAGCAGCAATCGTTTGTTCTTGGGGCTGCTTGCGTGGCTGCTGCTGGCGTTTGCGGCAACGAATCGCCTAGGGCAGCGTGTGGGCACCGCAAGGCATTCGGGGAGCAAAGCCTCGAGAGGGGCAGCGGGCATTTAAGCAGAAGACATCATCAGAATTGCAGGGCGAGACAGGCATCGATCGATGCGGCACGAACCACTAACTAATGGCAGGCAGCCCCTGCGCGCCGCACCGGTCCTCGCCGCCGCCGCTTTGCTCTTACTGATATATTTAATAGAACCGCACAAGCAGGGGCAGCCCGCGACGCACTTCCGGTACAACGAAAAGGACCACTGCGGGCGCTTCCACCCCGCGGTTACCAAGGATGAGATGGCGCGGAATATAGGAACCGTCGTCCAACAAAAGTGGTGCGGCCAGTTCGGCCAGGACCGCGTCGTCGCCTCGCTGCTGAACGCGACCACGACGGCAGTCCGTGGGACCTTCGTCGATCTGGCGGCGAACGACGCGATCCGCAACTCGAACACGTACGCCTTGGAACAGTTGTTAGGATGGCACGGCCTCTGCGTCGAGCCAAATCCCAAGTATCACCCCGGCTTCGGGGCCTACCGCCGCTGCGCGCTTGCCAAAACCTGCGTCACGGCCGAGACGCGCGAGGTCGAGTTCGCGCTGGCCGGCGGCAAGGGGCGCATCGCGTCCTCGGGCGGGGCCAAGAAGACCTTGAAATTAACATGCGAGCCCCTCTCGACGCTGCTCGCGCACCATAAAATGCGCGCGATCACGTACCTGTCGCTCGACGTCGAGGGCGGCGAGCTCGACGCGCTGAGGGGCGTCGGGTGCGGTGTGGAAATCAAATCGGAGCTCGTCTACACGTTGCTCCTGGGGCTGCGTCGGCTCGATGGGGTTGATTTCCACACAGGTTGACTGGAACACAACCACAATCGACGTGCTCACGGTCGAGACGGCCTCGGCCGAGCTCACTGCTTTTCTCGAGGCGCGCGGCTTCGCGCGCGTCTTCTGCGTCGCCCTCGACTCGGTCTTCGTGACCGCGCGGTTGAAGAAACGCGCGACGGACTGGTACGGGCGGGTCGGGCGGTACCTCGAGCCGCTATGCATCTCGGACGATCTTGAGAAATGCTCGGCGGGCACGCTCCTGGAACAGTGCTCCGCCGCGTGCACGCGGACGCGGTGCGTTAAGACGGGGTAACTACGAACACACATTAGCTCAGAGGCTAGGCGACGTCGGCCGCACGGTCGGCGTGACTCCTTCGGACGCCTTCCGGCGGCGGCGACACAGCGCGACGACGAGGCACGCGTTCAGCACGATCAACGCGCCGATCGCGGCGAGGCAGAGCACCAGGCGACTCCCCAGGGCCAGCTCGCCGCCCGGCCGGTCGTCGTAGATTTTTGGGTTCGTCACGGCCGGCGAGCAGTCATCACTAAAATCGGTCGGCACGTAATGTGAGACGACGGCGTCCGCGACCGCGACGGCCTTGTGCCAGCGCCCTTCACTCGTACCGTGGACGCCATCACTTTGAAGCCGCGCGCAGTCGCAGGTCTCGGGGTAACAAGATAAGCCGGGGTCGCGCCGGCACGTCTCCACGATCCTATCGTAATGATCAACAATCGTCATGTCCTCATGTTCAAAGAGTCGCAGGGCCTCGTCATTGAGTTCCTTCGCGTCCTCATTATCTCTTTGCTCGTAGGACGCGCCGACCGGCACGGCCGTCATAAACACCATGGAGCCGCCCGGCGCCAGGCTCCCTTTTAGTGATGTATACGTCTCCCACAAATTATTCCGGTACTCGGACACCGTCACGACGCCGTAACTATTCGGTTTAATATCTCTATGCGCCCATCCTATAACAATGACCGACCAATGATATTGGAGGTAAGGCTCAATGCAGCTCTTTAATCCAAAACTCGAGCCGCATTCACCATCAGACGCGGAGTGGGCTATATATATATGGCCCACGCCCAGATTCGCCAGCAGGGCGCGCAGCTCGGGCATGTACTCGTCAGTTGTGCTGTCTCCCACCACTAAGACGGAGCCGCACGTCACATTGATCGGGGCCGCGCAGTTGCCCTCGCAGCCGGCCTGGGCTTCGTGCATGAGGAGCAGCATGGCCGCGGCGTGGCGGCGCATCGTCGCGGGTGGAATCACCTGTTAATCCCGCTCCTGTGCCGCCGTGGGGTCGCGGTACCGATATGATGCTAGCCTCGCACCCAAATGGAAGTTAATGCGCAAAGTACTGCAGCGCAGCGAGCAGTATTCTTCGTCGAGTTGTCAGGCTGCCCCTACCACGGGCGCCGCTGCAGGGGTGCAAAATTTGGCTTCCATGAACAGCGCCGAACGGCAGCAAGCTGGCATCAGATGGGATTCTTGGGTGCGGGGCGGTTCAGTTGCGGTCCGCCCACTAGTCCTAGCTCCTAACAATCGGCAAGCGAAGGCGGTTCGGAGGCACTAAAATAAGTTCGCACACTCTTAGCCCCGCGTCGTCGTATCGCGCTCGGCGCCAAACGCGCACTTAAGGTCGCGCGACAGCGCCGCCGTCGCCGAGCGCTCGGAGCCCTCCTTGACCGGCTCGTTCTCCGCGTAGCCGCAGCGCCGCATCGCCAGGACGGGGTGTTCGGCGCCCAGCCCGACGGTCAGGTCCACGCCGCCGACGCCCGCCTTCGCGCGGCGCGCGCCGTAGGTGTAGCTCGACCGCGCCCGCTCGACCTCGCGCTTCTCCGGAGATAATTTGTCGAACGCCGCCTCGAGGCGCCGCTCCTCGGCTTGCGATAAATAACCGGGCCCCCGCGAGACCCACAGCAGCCGCACGCCCTCGTCCGTCGCGGCACATCGCGCACGGCTCCGCAAGACCCCGACCTCGCAGGTCCGTTCCGCCCAGGCTTGTAGGAATGCTATGGCAAACGTCGCGTCGGCGGCGTCATTCGACAGGCTTGCCAGGGTCCAGCGCGCGACTTCGCCCTTGCGCCAGTCGGCGGACGACACGTCCTTTGGTTTCACGTGCTTCTTCTCGCGTTTTAAGGGGCTTTGTCCGACCTTCGACCTGTGAGGACATCAACCGAGTGAGCCACATGTCGAGACGATTTCGCGTCGATGTTTCGCGTCGATGGCGTGGAATGAACTTTTAGACTTCAGCACTGCCTGCCGACGCGAAGCTCGCGAGCAGGACGACCGTCGCCGCCTCGAAGCGCGCCGTCGGGTCCGCGAGGATGTCGGCGGCCGCACTTGCAGCGTCAAAATGGCGCGAGACGCTTCGACGGGCGACGTGTGGCACTGGTGGCGCGAAGCCGTGCACAATTATGGCTCCGAACAGCAGGCGGCTGGGTGTGGGCAGCATCCTTCTTTGCAGTCGTGCAGGCTGTGCACGCTCTGCGACGTGTAGGTCTTGACTGCTGCAAAGTTGGAGCTATTCGTGAGGTATAGTGCTGATTTAGCAAGCTATTAGTCCAGCTGGGGGCCGCGGCCCGTGTTTTTCGCACGACAGCCTAGCTAGCGCCACAAAGACACTAGCATCACCGGAAAAATCGGCTCCAGCCCCACCGTACGCCGTATACACGTCGTGAGCGAAGCAAGGCATAGCCTTTCGTGAACTCTGGGACCTCGTAGAGGACGCAGACGACGAGAAAGGGCCGTAAAGCCAGCAGCGAAGGGCAGCCCTAAAAGCCAGCACAACGCAAGGGACGCAGCCGACGCGAAAGGGCAGCCATAATGCGCCTCCTCCTCCTCTGCACGGCAGCCGCAGTTGCGCAAGACAAATGCGCAGACATACCAAAACAAGACGTAGCCCCCGTCGCGACGACGGACATCATCCTCGGCAAGCCCACGGGCTTCCGGACGGTCCACGCGGTGCGCTGGTCGCACGAGACGGCGCGCCAGGCGGCGGCGCGCTTCTGTGAAAAAATATCGGACGACAAGGAAGCGCACGAGCGCGTCGCAAGGGCGCTGCAAGAAGGTAATCCCATGGCGTGGCGCCAAAATAAACTTGTGAAAAACGAGGAGTGCGAGGAGCGAGTTGCCGAAGAATTGAAACCGAGTTTAGATGTTGAAAATGGCGTGGCGTCGTTCATCGCGTCGCAATATGCGAACGGGACGCAACTGGCCGTGGGCGCGCAGCTCGCCGTCGCGGCGGCCATACGGCGGTCCTGGGTTCCTACGCGTCGGGTTCTGGTGTTCGGCGCCGGGCGCGACTCGAGGATGGTCTGCGCCGCGGCGACGACCGGTCAACGGGGTCGCGCGGTCTTCGTGGAAGACTCACCTGAGTGGGCGGCTTTGGTTCGAAAGGACCTGTCCGAGTATTTGATGGCTCAGGACCTGCCTGAAGATTCATGCGTCGTCAAGGACGTCACTTACAATACGCATCGCGCCCACTGGGCCGAGTGGCTCGGCCGGGGGCCGGAATTGGCCCAACGCGTCCTGGACCAGATCAACGAAGAGAGACAGTCCTTCGACGTGGTCGTTGTGGATGGCCCCTGCGGCTGCAACGACCTGTGCCCGGGGCGCATGGCGCCGCTCGCGGCCGCGGCTGAATTGGCGGCGCCGGGGACCGGCGTGGTGTTTGTTGATGATTACGATCGGTTGGTGGAACGCGTCTGGGCGAACACGATGCTCCGACCGACCTTCGAGCACGAGGTGTTGGTGCAGGACACGGTCCTCGAGCACCTGAAATACTTCACACACGATAAACAAATGGAGTGCGTCCTGCCCAAGGCGGCCGCGCCCCCTGCAAGTGTAGAGGACTACAAGGGCCTCGAGAACCACTTTCGGCCCGGCGGCGAGGAGGCGCGACAGCTCGGCTTCCCGACGGCCGAGGCCTTCGAGAACGCGACGCCCGAGCAGGCGAAGGCGGGGCTGCGCGCGCTCGCCGACATGATCGAGCGGCTGGACGCGCCGGTGGACCCGGCGTGGCGGTCTAGGTAGTCGTCGCGGCGATGGCGTGGTGTGGTGTAACAAGAGAATTTAGACAAACAGAACAGTCCTCAGGGATGGCGGTTCAAGTAGACGACGAGCGCGCACACGTTATCATCGGCGCCGGCGTCCAAGGCTGCAACAAGCAGCGCCTTCGGCCCCAGGTGCGGTTCTGGACACGTATCGCGGAGGATCTGGGCGACGGCGTCGTCGGAGAGCCGGTCCGAGACGCCGTCAGTGACGAGCGTGAGCGTCGCGTCGCGGCCCAACAGGCGGACCGGGCCCACGATGTGTGGATCGGGGATCACGCCCGGGTAGTCAGCGTCACCGAGCGCCCGCGTTATGCGAACGCCGCCTTTTCCGCTCCGATGAGCGACGCGCGGTTCTGCTTCGCCAGGTAGCGTAAACACGCGGCCACCGACGGCGGTCACGCAAACTGCTTCAGCCGCATCCGACGGGCGGTGGTCCCGCGAGAGCGCGACGACGCCGCCGGCGAACGGGCCTTGCGCCGCATCGGGCGACGCCGGGCAGGCACGGGACCACGTCCAGGTCTCGTCGCCGTCTCTATCGAGGATCGCGCGGCAGTCTCCAGCAGATGACACAAACAAATCGTCGCCTAGAAGCAGCGCCACAACAACGCACGCGCCGCCTTTGGCCGGGCGGCACGCCTCGTCGCCGCGGAGAAAGGCTCTATGTAGCGCGGCGCGCACCGCGGCGTCGTCCGTCCCGCCAGCGAGCAGCTCCGCGCCGATCAATCGCGGGAGCAGGTCCACGACGACCTCGGCCGCCTCGGCGCCGCCGTGGCCGTCGACAACAACATAGCACGCCGACGCGCCCCACTCCGCCGCCGCTGCGGTGTCTTCCATGCTTTCCCGGGGGCCCGGCGCGAGTTCCACACCGTGGCCGCGGCGGCGCGGACCGCCGGACCGCGCGCGGCCGAGGGCGTCGAGGCGGGCGATCTGCGCGGCTGAGAGCTCGGGTAGTGGTGGCGGCGGCGGCGGCGGCAGTTCGTGGCCTAGGCGTTCTGGTACGAGGAAGAGCACGTCGAGGTGTTTCCGGCGCCACGTCGGCTCGAAGGCCCCCTTCAGGAAGTGGATCTCCTCGCCTAAGCAGTTACCGTAGTGCGCCTCGCCCAAGTCGACGAGGCTCTCCGCGAAGCTCCTGGCCGTCGGCCGCGCGGCCGCGTCGGCGGCCCAAGCGCTTTCAACTAGCTGCGGGAACACGGATCGGCCACACGGGTCGGCCAGGTCGGGCCGCCGGCCCGCGACGACGGCGCGGCAGAGCGCGGGCGTCGTATAGGTCGTCTCTATAACCGTCTGCAGTTGCGCGTCCGGCCGCTCGGCGCCCTCGTACGGCGCTTTTCCAGACGCGACCTCGTTCGCCAGCACCGCCAGAGAGTAGACGTCCGACGCGAAGGTCGCGGCCGCCCGCATCGGATCAGCCGATGAATTGCGCGCCGGCGCCGCGTCGTAGGCCTCCAGGAGTTCGGGCGCGACGTATTCCGGCGTGCCTTCAAAAGTTTTTCGCGGCTTCCCGGCGGGCCCGCCGCCGTAGCGCGGCGCCGGTCTCCGCAACTCGTCCGGCGTGCCGGCCTGTGCGGACGTCGACCGGTGAGTGATCGTCAGCCTCCATGCCATCGATGTCGTGATTTCGGCACTGGTGCCGCACAAGCTCGAAGTCCGCGAGCCGCGCGACGCCGTCGGCGCCCACGAGGCAGTTGCCCGGCTTGACGTCTCGCAGTACGACACCTAGCGCGTGCGCGTGGGCGACGCCTTTCGCTGCGTCTGTCATCAGTAGCAGGGAAAACACGTAGGACAGCGGGCGGCGGCAGAGGAGGTCGAGGGACCCGTGGACGCAGTAGGGCATGACCATGGCCATCACCGGCGCCTCCACGATGGTGTAGATGGGTCGCAAGACAAAGTCCGAGTCCTCCGAGAGCGCCCACGCGTAGCGCCGCTCCGCGTCGAAGCGGCGCGACGCCGGGCAGCGGTCGGGATTCGCCGTTGCTGCTCTCACTCGTTTGAGGACGACCACCTTGTCATTTATGTGTCCGAGTGATACGACGTTGCGGGCGTTCTCGGCGAGGCGTTTTGTTTCTGTGAAGGCGGCTGCTGGGATCTGTTTTTCATTTGGTGGTTGCATTTTTGCTGTGCTGCTGGCGCCTACGCTCCCGCGCGGCTACGAGTATGCGCGCTGCTCCAATGCAGGCTGTCGGCTGCGGCTAGGCTGAGTGGTGCGACGTGTTATAGCTGGATTCGCGTGGAGATATGCGTCAATGCATATGTGCATATGTCAACACCGATGCGCAGCGCATGAATGGGCCAGTATGCGCGCGCGCCTGGCTGAGATGCCCAGCAAGTGAGAGAGAATGTCGGGTTTTCGTGGCCTAGCGAAGGCGTCCGATGAACCGAGGTAAGCGCACTGCAGGACGCCATCCGCCGGGATGGCTGCGATTTGCGAGCATCACATGACCTCGATCTTCTGTCTGAGCGCAGATACCCAGAATTAGGTAAAGCACAGCGCGCGTCGCGTTTCAGCGCAGCAAAAGCTGTCCTGCAGGCCACGTTTTCAAGCTAACATTCGCCCGGCAAGAAACGGCAGCAGGCGCGTCCTCCTGGCAGCAATCACTGCACCGCTTGCAGCAGGGCTGCAGCGATCGCTCCACCGCGCGGCGCCCGTGATGTCCGACTGGCACCTGTCACGAAGCGGCGTAAACGCCATCGCCCAAGCGCGCCCGCGAAACGGCCGCAAGTACGCGCCGCCGCCGCGGCGAGCCACGGCCGCCGTCGCCGACGCCGACATGGCCACGGAGGCGTTTGATAGTTTGGGGATCAACCGCCCGTCCGATGGAGACGCTTTCAGCTGCTCGTTACCGGAGCTCAAGAGCGTCTGCGTCGGCGAGGAGGAGTGCGACGTCGGCGAGACGGTACGGGCGAGACTGCTGAACTGGCTCGAGTCGGCGGACCCCGAGCACGTGAACTGGGATCATCGGGGCGAGCGCATCTTTAGATATGATGCTCCCAGCGACAATGTGGTGATGTCGTATTACGGGCCCGGTGGGGACATGCTTGAAGCCAAGTGGCCCTGGAACGACGCGTTCTTCGCGCTCTACGAGTGGGACATGATGTGCTAGATGCGCCTTCCACATTATCCCTCCGTAGTAAGTATATGAACTCAGCTAGCGCATAAAAGCTCTAGAGCACGCGGGCGCGCGCGGATTTGCACGCTTAGCTGCCATCGTGCGCTGCCTGAGCTTCGATCTCGGACGCCGCGGTCTCTTTCGAACCACTCGAGGGTCCAGCAGATCCAGCAGTCGCGCAGCGGTCGCTACACCGAGCTTTCAAAACAAGCTCTGCCAAAGCCATCCAAATCTGTTGCAGCGCTTTCGAGCGCTTTCGAGCGAATCCAGTCAAAACATGCCCCGCCAGCAAGCCTATTCAACGATAGACGGCAGCACGCCGAGCCGCCGCCGCAAGGCGCTCCTCGCCATAACGGGAGCCGGCGCGCTCATGCTCGTGGCCGCTCTCGCGTTCAACGTGCCCGACGCCCTCCGAGGCGCGATCGAGGACCCCAAAGCCGCCGAAGCCTTGCAGAAGGATGTGTTGACGGGAGACACCTGGGCCGCCCCGGAGGCGAAGAAACGGTGTGATTGGATCTCAAATCATTACGCAGACAAAGACAGCAAATTATCAAAGGACGACCTCCACACGAAGTACAAGGCCCAGGGCAAGGACGCGAATTCGTTTTATCGAGCGACCGCGGACTTGTTCTGGCACGACTTTGTCAATGGCGGGTGGGGCGAGTTTGACCTGTTGCGATTGGCGGACCCTCTGAAGGACGGCTCGCCTTTACAAAGGACGTCGACCTGGACCTGGGTGACCGGCGACCAGCACCTGTCGAACTTCGGAGCGTTTCATGCTAGGGATGGGGACGTGGTCTACGGGATGAACGATTTTGACGAGGCGGTATGTGTCCCGTGTCTTATTACGCCATCGACGCGACTCGTGTCCATCTCACAATGAAGTGGTTGGTCTCTTCTTCGATTTTGGGCCGATTCGGACCGCGTCGATGGCGTCACCGAGAGCGCCTCGAAACACCAACGCCGCGCAGGTCATCTACGACTTCCAGGTCGACGTCTGGAGGGTGGCCGTTTCCATCTACAACCACGCCCTGACCAACGGCCTCACGGAAGCGAAGGCCGAGAGTGCGGTGGAGACCTTCTGCGAAGCGTACGTCGAGGTCGTCAAGGGCTACGTGGGCAACGAGGATGCTGAATTGTTTGAAGTGAAGGCGAGTACGACGCCGAAAGATACCGCGTTGCATAAATTCCTGAAGAAGATGCAAGAAAAAGACGAGGACAAGGCCGTCATCAAATTTACTGAAAGAACTTCCAGTGGATTGAAATTCGTCAAGTCGAAAGATACGTCTCTGGAAGAACTTCCCGAGGACATCGAAACTAAAATCCGAGAAGGCTTCGCGAAGGAGGGCTACCCGGCGACGCTGCCCAAGGTCGCGTGGCACGCTCTTGAATACAGTCCTGCTTCATTCAAAGTTTTAGATGTAGCAAGAAGAGTCGGGTCGGGCATCGGCTCCTTCGGCGTGGACCGATTCTACGTCCTCTTAGCGGGCGAGGAGCGCCCGGCGGCGGCCGACGACGATGCGTATGATGTGCCGAGTGACGATAGAGCTGCGGAGGAAGATAAGCACTCGAGACGAGCGGTCATCTTGGATGTGAAGGAAGAACCGAGCCCAGCGGCCCGGGACGCCTTCGAGGCGACGTCTGGTAAGACTGGTGATGCGGCCTGGTTTGACCACCTCTTCAAAAATCAAGCTGCTAGAGCGGTCAAAGCCCAGAGAGCCATTACGTCACTCACGGACCCCTACGCGGGCTGGGCCAAGATCGACGAGCGAGATTTCGTCGTGAGGGAGCGGTCGCCGTACAAGGCGTCCTTCGACTTAGATGAATTAGATACCTATCAAGACTTCGCCGAGTACGTGGAACAGATCGCGGCGGCGACGGCCACGTCTCATGTGCGCGCGTCGGTGGGCAAGGCGCCGGCGCACTTCAAGGAAGTGATCGACGCCGCTTTAGGGACGTCGTACGCGCGCATGACGTGGGCCGACTCCGTCGCGCGCGTGGCCAAGGAGTACCGGGAGCAGGTGCTCCTGGACTACGAGTGCTTCTTCGAGTACGCGAACAGCACGGTTGGGCCTTTATAGCAAGGGGTGTCGACACTTCTAAGCACAATAATTAAAACCTATAGAAACCTCCACGCCATAGATGGCGTCGCGGCGACGTGCGGCGCGGCCGTCAAAGTAAAACCTATCGCGGCCGCCGCAACAGCGACACGGAGCCGTCGGGCTCGACCAAGTATCCTTCCGCTTCTTGGGTGTCGCATCCTAAAATCTGGGAGCGGCCCTTCTGATCGCAGCCCAGCGCCTCCGCCGCGAAGAGGGCCGCGGCCGGGAGGTAGATGGCCTGTGTGGACGGAACCGGTGACCTCGACGCCATCGAGGCGACCCCACATGACGTCGACACCGAGCCAGCACGTGGCCGACGACGACCAGCGTCCGCCTACGAGAGCATTGGCCGAAGCCCGCCAGCGTCGCCGCGACGCGCGCCGCCGCGTTTTCGGCGTAGTCGCCCAGGACCGCGTTGGCCCGCCCGTCCTTCAAATAAAAATCAAGCGGCGCGTAGCCGATCTCCCGGAAGACCGCGGACCCCTCCGGTTGCATGGTGCCGTCGTAGAGGCTCCGGTCCGTGACGAGTTCGACGTCGCGACCGGCGTCCTCCAGGAAGATTTGGGCCGTCTCGACTGCTCGAGGCGCTTCGCTGCTCAACGCCGTGGGCAGGAACGGCCGCAATGACAATCCATACGACTTCGCCGCGGCGACCGCCTGCCACCGGCCCTGCTTTGTCAGCGTTCGGTCAAAATCGACTTCGTTGGGTTCAGTGTTTCCGTGTCGCAAGTATGCGACGCGTACGTCCGTCGCCTTGACGGCGTCGGCCAGTGCGGATGCTCCTTCCCCTTGGAAGCCTCCCCATCCGTAAAACAGCGTGCGGCGCTGCGTACGTCTCGGGAGCAGCGCGGCGGCGGTTTTCAGAGTCAGAAGCAAGCGACTGCTGCGCGGCATGATCAATGCTGCGCGTTTGAGCGCGTTTGCAAGCGCTAGGTTTGCCGCAGTGCACAAGGTCAAATGACCAATTGTAGGCTTAGTGTGCGCCGTAGAGATCCCCCGAGCGGCGCAGGACTCGCACGGGACCTCAACGCTCGCTACCTAACGCGCTGTGACCAGTGCGTCCCGCCGCTGGCTCTGTACGCCGCTGCACCACCTGCACAAAGGCTGGCTGTGAGCTTGCACGCCGCCTGGCGGACGCGGACACGAGGCGGCAGGTATCACAGAGACTACTACTGCACGAGACCATCGCCGCGGCGCTGACTGCCTTCCTGCAAAATGCCCAGCGCAGCCTCCGAGGCTGACGCAAAGCGAGTGGACGACGCCGTGCGAGCGAAAGATGAAGCAGCGCTGCGCGACGCGGTCAGCAAAGATGACACGCGCGAGCTCGGCTCGCTCGCGGTGCTGCGGTGCGCGGAAACGGGCTGGATCGAAGGATTAAGAACGGCCGTCGACGCCGGCGCGATCTATCGGTGCAAGACCGCATCGGGCGCGTCGCCGGCGCATCTCGCTGCGATGGGCGGCCACGACATATTGCACGTGATCCTCGACCTCGACAAATCCGCCGTCAAGGCCGTCAACGCGCAAAAGCAGACGCCGCTCCACTTCGCGGCCGTCGGCGGCAATGCTCTGGCCGTCTCGGCGCTCGTGCGCAACGGCTCCGACGTAAATTCTCCTACGTCAGACGGCAGCACGGCGCTCCACTACGCGTGCGGCAAATGCGCGACGCTCGCCGAGAGTGAGAGACCCATGGACGGCTGGGAGCGGTGCGTCCACGTGCTGCTCGACAACGGCGCGGACCCCTTCGCGCGCGATTCAAAGGGAAAGACGCCGGGCGACCGGTTACCAAAGGACGCGCGGGCGCGGGGCGTCCTCGAGGATTTCATGCGCAAGAAGGAAGCCGCGGCCGCGGCGGTCGCCGAGGCGCTCTGCGCCGAGCCCGAAACCCAGGCGCCCGCGCCGAAGAAGAAGGGACGGCGTCGCAAGCCGGCGCCGCGGGCCGCCTCGCCGGTGGTGGCGCCTTCGTCGGACTCGGGCTCGGGCTCGGAGACGTCGGGCGCGGCGTCTGGCGAAATGGCGGCGGCGGTGGATCGGGCTCGCCACTTCCACCAGCACGAGCTCCCGGCACTTACAGCACGAGCTCGCGCGGCGTCGCTCGCTGACGACACCACACCGTGGTCCACCGTCGTGCGCCGGCGCGGGGCTGCTGCGCCCGAGCCCGCGCCGCTACCGGAACCGTCACCGCCGCCGCCGCCGCGCGACGTCAACGAGCTCTTCGCGGCGCTCTTCCCCGCGGCGCCGGCGCTGGCGCTGCGGGCCGAGCACCTGCTCCTGCCGTCGGAGGACCTGAGCCCGTCGCAGCTCGAGGCCGTCCACGACATCCTCGACGCGTGCACGCGGCGGGTCATCGACGCACGCATCGCGGTCGCGGCGCGGACGCGGTCGGAGGCCGTTGCTTTGTAACTCTGTGTGCATGTAGTCGTACAAAAAGATCTTACACATATCATCAAAGCCGAGTGATATCCCGACCGAAAAGGGCCGTCTTGACCCAGTCGAACGTGACGAGCACGCGGTTCCGCGTCGCGACCTGCTTCACAATGTAGACGGACCTCCACAACAGGAAGGCCGCGGAGCCCGCCCACGCGCCGACTCGGGCGTCTCCGACCTGGACCTGGGACAAGGCTTCTCCACCTCCGACGTACGCGAGGAGCCCTAGGTTCAGAAACGAAAACTCCGACGCCTCCTCCGCGCCCCGCAACCGGAGCCAGTTGGCGACCGGCGTCCGAGTCTCGGCTGGTAGCCGAGGCGGCGTTCGGACGCAGTCGTAGCCGCGATTGAGCAGACGAGCGACGTACGCACCCTGCTGGCCGGCGACCTGTGTGGAAATGGAGACAACATCGCGTCGTGGGGCGCCTGAAATTTGATTCCGCACGGCCCGCGACCTGGGCGGTCTGCGGAACGGGCTCGCTCTCGCCGTTGGGTATACAGCAGAATGCGTCGCCCAGACCGTAGACAGTGCCTGGCGGGGATCCCGCCACCCGCAACCAACCGTCGACAAAGGGTCGACCGTCGTCCCCGACAGGCACCGGGAGCGATTCGGTGAAGGGCACAGGTGCCGTGCCGGCGCACCTGCGTGTCGACGCGTCGCTGCGATGGCGTATGGGTCGTTTCGGACTCAGAAACGTACCACGCGCACAGCGCACACGGCACGTCCGAGCCGTCGTCGAGCCGTAACGCTTCCTCGTCGACGCGCTGGACGCGCCGCCCCAACCGCACGAGGACACCACGCCGCTCCAAGGCCCGGAGCGCCTCAATGCGCAAATCCGGGTCGAACTGCGGCAGGAGCTCGTCGCCGCTATGCACCAAGACGACGCGCGGCGCTTCTTGCGGCAGCGACGGGTAGAGCCGCCCCACGTCGTTGACAAAGTCACTGAGTTCTCCGGCCAATTCCACACCGGTAGCGCCGCCGCCCACGACCGCGAACGTGAGCTCGCGGGCCGTCGCCGCATCGCCCGCCCGCGCGGCCCGCTCGAAGCGCTCACCTACTGCCTCCCGCAGCCGTCGCGCGTCCTCGCAATCCTTCAGCGCAAAGCAGCGCTCCCGCGCCCCGGGCACGTTCGCGTCGGCCGCTCGCGAGCCGACGGCTACCACAAGGGCGTCGTAGCTGATGCGTTGCGGCGCCGGCGCGTCCCCACCCAACGGGACCGGCTGCACCATCACGTACCTTTGGTCAAGATTCACGCCCGTGGCCGCGCCCTCGACGAACTGCACGAGGGGATTTGCCCCTCGCACGCTCTCCGTCATCGACCTGTACTCCACGGTACCGACGGCGGCCGAGGCCAACATCGGCGTAAAGACGAAGTGGTTCCGCGGGCTCACGACGACGACGCGGTACTTGTTCGCGTCGACGACCTTGATGAGCGCGTGCGAGGCCCAGCCCGAGCCGAGGACGACGAGCGTCGCGCGGTCGTCGTCATCATTTCGCGGGCCGACGTCCTGGGCATCGCCTTCCGACAGGCGCGTGAGATGGAGCGTCGCGTCCTCGAGCGTGTCCAGCGCGCGGTCGACGAGCGTCGTGGTCGCGAGTAGGCGCGTCTTGTGGGGCAGAGTAGTCGTGTGCACGAGCGCCGCGGCGGCGTGCACCGCTACCCACAGCAGAAGGAGCTGCATGCTTGGTCACAGCCTCGCGGGGCAGCCAAACGAGATGCGCAGGATGATGATGGTGCTCGGGGACCCACGAATACTAATTTTGGAGGACTGTCGCGTTGTGTGCGGCCAGTCTAGGTGAGATCTTGCGCAGATCTCATGAACTCTAGCTAGCAGCTCTAGCCACATTCTAAGCTCACCTTACAACAGCACTAAAAAGAAGTCGTCGCGCCTCTGCGGCACCCATCAGATCCTCCCGCACGAACACGTCCGAGAAGTGGACGTTGATCCCGCCGGGGTTCAGGGCGTAGCCGGCCTCCGCCATGTACTCCCGCACGCGGTCCCGCTTGGCGCACCTCGTCCTGCAGTCTTTATTATACGCCTCGGCAAAGACGAGTGCCACGTCGACCTTTTTCAAATCCAGCGTCGCGAGCACGCGGTCCTCCGAGTTTTCTACGTCTAAAGAAAAGAAGTCTATTTTCGAATGTCCAGCTTTCAGCAGGATGTCCGTGAGCGATACACAGGGCACAGGTACGGCGCCGTGCGGCGCCCCTGGCTCCGGGTCTGTCCTGGCCGACGTGAACGGGAGCGGACTCATAGGAACCTTACTCTCAGTCTCGCACATTGGAGAAGCGTGAACCAGCGTCGAGTGCGTCCGACCTGCAGCCTTGAGAGCGTCGAAGGCGCGGGGATTCGGCTCGACCAAGACGCCGCGCCAACCAAGGCACCGCTCCATGATGATTGTGTTTGATTCGGTGACGCCATCAAAAGCTCCGATCTCAAGGAACGTCCGGCTGGAAGTCCAGTTGCCAGCTCCGCCAAAAAGGCGAATCGCGAAGCGGTCCTCGTTGTGCGAACTCCTAGCGTTCTGGCGGTTGCCCGCGATGCCGTCGTACGCACCGGGGTCAATCCTACCGCCCTTGTGCCTCCTCCCGCGGGCTGTGAAGGCATGCACGCAGCGCCGCGACTCACTTGCACTCGTCGTGAACGGCAGCTCGAGCTTATGGCTCTCGATGTCGCTGACGAAGGGCGGCACCGGTTTCTCCAGATCCGCAGGGACGAGTTCGTAGCCGCATGCGGTCCCGACCAAGAGGAAGCTGCTGAGCCATCGTGTCATGAGTAGAGACTGTGGGGCTGCCCGGTGGCCTCAGCGTTGCCGAACGCGTACGAAAGTGGGCGGGCTGCCCTGCACCGGCCGGAACAGGGCGACTGTGGTCGCAAGACGATGCTGCGCTCGCGTGCACGCTACCGCGCAGCCATGGCAGCATGCAAAAAATGTTTCCTAGTGTCTAATGCTGCTAGTTATTATGCGGATCGAGTACAAAAACACTCACACCGTGTGGATCGGGCAGTAAACGTGCTGTGCGCGCACACACTGCCGTAAACAGATCAATTTTCGAGCTGTAAAACGCGTCGCGCCAGGGCAGCCATGCATGCCTGGCCCCTCGCCTTGCTACCGACGCTCACGGCGGCCCTCGTGCCCTTCGCATCCATCGACTGCATGCGCCCCTGGCTCGCAAGCAGCACGCACAAAGTCGTGGGACACGAAGGTCTCCTGAAGCCAAGACTAGGCACCGACGCCGACCCGATCACGCTCGGCCTCATGGAGGCCGACGACGTCGCCTGCGTCTCGTCATTGATCGCCGACGCGTTCGGCGGCGGCATCGAGGTCATCGATAACGGCGGCCAGAGCTGGGAGGACAAGGCCTTACGGGGCGTCGCGGCCGCCGCGAAGACGTACGACAGTACGGAGTACGCCCTAGGGTTAAGGGCGCGCTGCGGCGCGCGCCTCAAGAAGCCGACACGCATAACGGATCCAAACGACCGCGGCGCGGTGATGTTAATCGCGGCGCGGCCGTCTGGATCAGAATGCGTCGCCGCCGTCGAATTAAGACTAAGACGAGCCGACGGCGCGCACCCCACTCCATTGCCGATGTTAGATGCATTACGAGACGCCTTCTCGGCCAAATCATCAGCACCAGATAGGCCCTACATCTCGAACGTTTGCGTCGCGGACTCGTGTCGACGGCGCGGCGTCGCGCAGGCCTTGATGGACGCCGCGGAGCACCTCGCCGGGCCTGCGGGCTGGGGCTACGACTCCGTCTTCCTCCACGTCCACGAGGAGAACCCCGCGGCGCTGGGCCTGTACGAAGCGTTAGCGTACGAAAAGCTGGACGCGCTCGACGAGGCGCCGCTGCGCTACTTCTACAAGCGCCTGAGCGAGCATGCGCCTTCTGTGTCCGACGTCGTGGCGGCGGCGGGGCGGTAGCACCTCGCGGCGACGTTTGAACCACCGGGAGGGTTCTAGTACTAGTAAGAATGTGAAATCACACAAACGGGGCGCCTTATGCAGACCCCTACGTATCTCCTAAACTTGGATGTTCTTCTTCGTCGACTGGGGCGCCGCTGGCCCTGGAGACTAAAGGAACGGCGTCCACCCCAGATACATGCGGCAGAGATTCAAATCCGACGTCGACTCCTTGATGAGCCGCTCGACCTGGCCCGGGACCGACAGCGGCAATTCGTCGGGCGCCGAGCAGCCGCCGCGCGCCGCCGCGCGCGCGTCCCGCGATTGTGTCGAACCGGGCGGCGGCGGCACGGGCAGATTATAAATGCCGTCCAACCGTCTCGAAACAACTCGAAGCGTCGCGGCGGCGTCCTGCTTCTCATTACGTCTCCTTTTCGTCGGGGGCTCATCATCTATCTGGGCCTTGCCCGGCCGTTCCCACGCTACAGTAGTGTCTCGTAAGAACGGCTCCAAGACGTGCAGCAACGTCTCTTTATGATCTCGCAAACAACCCAACGTCAACTGCAACGATGTTCTGAAAGCACCATCAACCCCGGCCGTACCAAAAGCTTCCACCATATGCGGTGTCAATCTAAATGGTACGATCTCCGGTTCCTTCAGAGCACACCCTTTGTCGAACAAACAGTCGAAGTCGACATGCACGCATCCGCCCGAGTCCATGTCCACCAAAATGTTTTCGCCATGCCGATCACCTAGCCCGAGACAATGGCCGACCGCGCCCCAGGTCGCGCAGGACTTCATGAACGCGCCTCGCGCGGACAACCACTGCGCCGGGTCCGAGGCAAATCTCGAGACGAACCAACGACTGGTGCATGGTTCATACAACGACAACACATTTTGCCTATAGGCTTTCGCCATCGCGACACAATCGTTCCGATGCTGACTTTGGGCCCGTTTGAAGGGCCCCGACACCTTCTCACTATGAAACACGGGCAGCTTCTTCCCCACGATCCGATAGGCCGCATCGACCACTTGTTTGAGTTTTCGCGTCCTAGGCACCCATTCGAGCAGGCCGCACTCCTCGTCCAAAATAACGACCGCAAAGGTCCGCAACCGCAGACCTCGTCGACGTGATGAAGCATCTCGATCGAGTAACCGGTTGACCACTCCATTAAAGTCCTGCACGCGCGCGTCCTTCCGGAGATCGCCGGCTTTCTCACATTTGCACAGTAACCTCATTCTTGTACCGTCGGACGCATCCAGAGCGATCTTCTTGGGCCTCGCCTTCGATCGTAACACCTCCACGTCATCGGACAGTCGTGAGATCCGAGGCGCCCGGTCGGGAAACGTCGGCCACCGGCCCTTCGACGACATGCGCGGCATCGGCGTTAACGCTACGCGAGCCGGCACGAGTAACCCTTGACACTGCTCGGCCGTGACGAATTTTGATAATCTAACCTCTCTGCGACTTTCGACGGGCATGTTCCGAGCCAAGCGAACAAATTGCGTGAAGACTTCCCTAGCCGTCTGGAGCGTCCTTGCCGACTGTTCGTAGTCCCTTTTCTGCGCGGGTTGGTTGTCCCGCTGGGCTTGCTTGGCTGATTTCCGTAGTCTTGTAGTTGCCAACTCGAAGAGCGACTCACCCGTCCTTTTCCGGTTGTCATTCGTACTAGTAGCCAAGTACGTGATCGTCCACAACGCTTGATCAGGATGGACCTGGATAATACGCGCCAACAACTGTGTAACACCGGTGTTGATCTGCTTCCGCGTGTGGGCCGCATGTGAGATTAATTGAGCCATGACGCCATACCAGACGGCCGCCGGGACGTGCTTCGCGGCTCGCCGGATGATCTTGTCGGCGTGCGCTTGGAGTCTTCTGAGAGAGTTCGGATCGTTTGTATTCGGCAAAGTCTCGTCCGGCCCTAAAGCAGCATAGGCGAACCACGTCGTGACCAAGCGCGGTAGGGCCGCCTGGGCATGCTTCGCGGAGTGTTCTAAACCACGAGCGTACCACTGCATGGCTCTTCTAGCATATAAGTGTAAAACTTCATCCGTCTCCTTATTGACATCGGACTCCCTCGCTGTGGCTAGCAGGTCGAAATATCGAGCTAGTGACAAGTACGCTCGGGCCCAATCAGGACGTAAAGCTACACAAAGTTCATATCGCCTAATAACTTCTTCCCCGTGCCTCAGACGAGCGTCGACGACGCAGTCCGTGGCCTGCAATAACCTTTTGGCCGCTGGTATTCTTTCATCACTATTGTCGAAGCGCATCGGGCCATTTCTATCTAACACGTCCAGAATGTTCATGGACCCGTGGCAGTCGTCCAGCACCCGCTGGATGCCAAACCTTCGAGCTATGACATGGCAGTTCGCCTCGATCGGTTCTAGTAAAGCATAAGCTTTATTTGCTGCTGTTGCTATTGCATCTGAACGTTGGACATGTCCACCAAAACGACTAGCGCCTCGTTGACCGGCGGCGCGCGCGACCTTCGCTTCGGCTAGCGACAAGGCTTCGGAATCGATGCCTAGTCGCGCCGCGTCCCTCAGATCGCCTCGCGCGACGGTCAACCGCCCAGCCTTCCTAGCTAATGTAGCCGCCTCCATGCAAGCAGCGCCCGCCTTCAGCGGAGCGCCACAAACTTCCAGACACCGTCTCCTCACAGCCAGCCACGACGGGACCGAGGACGCCGCCCCGGCCTTGCGGCGCGAATCCCATCTCCTCTCGAGCTCGTTCAGGTCGCCGCCCTTGATGTACTCCCGCGCGTGTTCTACTTCCCGCACGGCGTGCAAGCGCGCCACGAAGGGGTAGGCCCGCCCATAAGACTCCATGGACGCGGCGCCGAGACCCGCCATCGCCGCGAGTTTCGCACTCTTCGCCTTCTCTGTGAATAGCTCAGGTGACTCACTCACACTTCTCAAAGCAGCGACCGTGGCCGCCAGCGCCACTCTACTATCCGAGATGTCCGACTGTGGAATTTTGTCCCACCGCCCGAGCGACATCGCGGCTTCCGCCTGCCAGGGAGCTACAACTTGCGACAGAGAGGGGTCCCGCGCGACGAAGCCATCGGCATGCAACAGCGCGGATTCGCCATGTCCTAATTCCAACAGACATTGCAATAAACCTTGCGCCGCCTGCTGCTTCGGCATGGAAGCTCGAATCGCCGCGGCCCCCTCGTGGATCTTAATCCCATCATCCATGGGAAAGTCCTCGTCTTCATCTGTTATGACCTCCTCGTGGGCTCGTAGCACGTGCTCGTAGCCGTCGAGGGCTCTCCGCCAGTCGCCCCGCGTCTCCGCCTCGCGGATGTCTTGGGACAGCGTCGCGCGGAATTGGGCCTTTCGTCTCACAGCGGCGAGACCCGATAAGAAATCAGGGTCCTCAGCTACCCTAGCACCCGCCTTCTGCAGTCTCTCAAGAGATCTAGGGTCGAGTCTAGGTAACCATCCATCCGCACCATCGTTATACGCCCTACCTTTGGGCTGGCGCTTCCGCCAGGCCTCGTGTTGCGCCTTCGCATCCAACTCATACGACAGCACCGCCCTCGCGTCGGCCTGGGCCCGCGCCGCCGCGTCCGCGAGTCGAGCATGGGGCAAGGCCTCGAGCACGGCAGAAAACTTTGAGGACGCCTCCGTCGTCTGATTCGTCGTCTCGTGCGTGAAGCACTGCAGCCCAAAGGGCTTCTGGATCCTACCCCTATGACTGGGAGGCTTTCGATGCTTCAGCTCCAATCTGGAACAAGCGTCCCTCCACGACTCGATCGTGCTTCTCAAGTCAAAGACCAGTTGGAGGATGACCGGATCCTTACCTACTTCCACTGCTGCTCGTAACTCCCGCGCCACAAAGGCCTCGCCCGCCGACCCGCCCGTAATACTGACATCGGCCACGAGGTAGGGCAGTAAAAAAGGCGCCAACGAATCGCAGCGCGTCAGCATGGGCCGGCAGATCCTGAACACAGGAGCGTGGGTCTTCGAACAGGCCCGCAAACACAAATCCCAAGCTAGTCTGACGGCCCACTGCCTTGCATCATCTCCATACCGATCCGCATTCGTATCCGATTTATCTCGCAACTTGGCCTTGCCCTTCATCACATAATCCGTCGACGCGTACGGGGCTACTAATTCATGCACATTTCGTTGTTCGAACGCTTTGCGCGCCCACTTCGGCAGTTCTCGCCTTCGACTACCTTGCGAGTCCTCGTCGTCGTCTCCTGCTAGTAGTCTCAACAGTTCTTGAATACCATAAGCCGCTTTATCCTCCACCTTATCACCGTGCAACGCGCTCACGAGATGCTCGGCGACGATAGCTACCACGAGCTTATCTCTAGGTGAGGGCGTTTGATCTTCATCACCATCACCCCACGGCGGTGCTCGGACGTCTTCCTGTCTTAAAGGACCGAGCATGTCGCTATCTTGTGTTGGGGAGGACCCTACAGCTACACTACATCTCGAAGCCGCTTCATCTTGCGTCTTGTGGAGGGCGACATCCAAGCGAGTAGGGTCCAGGGCCCCCAACTCACCCAACGCAGTAGCAACAGCCAGTCGGAATCGTTCCGACGACGCTTCCTCTTTTGAAGCACCTAATGACGCCGCCGCTCGCAGCAGCGCGGACGCGACGTCGGCCACCTCCGGCGGCACATCTACTTCATCATCATCCTGCATCATTTTCGTGAGGTCTTCATGTCTTGAAGAGAGTGTCGTCGAGAGCGCTTCGGCGGCGGCGACTCGGACCGCCGGGGCCTCGGCGTCGAGCAACGGCGCCAGTCGCATCAACTCGCTTCGGAGCGGCCTTTGTTCGGTATCGACGCCGTCGATCGTCTCGGGTAACGTGGGTATGGTACAAATAGCGCTTTCCAGAGCATCTCTACGTTCGACAAGTAACCTCCGCAGTAAGTCTCGTGCGCGGCGACATCGAGCGCGAGGAACGCCCTTTTTCGACGAAGGCGCCGCGGCCACGACGATAGCCGCTAAGTGTGCTCTCAAAGCTTCATCGGGTAGTAACGATGCAAATCTGTCGAGAGCATCAACCGCAACAGCGGCTAAAGTTTCGGCCTCGGCGCCGGACGCCGTGTCGTCCAGGGCGGCCCCGAGTATCCCTAGGACTTTCGGAGCGTGCGTCGCCGCATCCGTTGGTGTCAACAACTCCGCACACGACGCCAAGGCCCTTAAACGAGCGGCCCGTTCCGTCCTATCTGCCTTTTCCCAAGGCACTCCGGCCCTGTGAACGACGACCGCATGCACCAAGTGGACGAATCTCCTACCAACAAAGGAAGACAAAGCCTGGTCCACACTACCGCCCTTCTTCCGCCTGGACACGCCCGAGGCCCTCGCTCCAAACACGGCGTGGCCAATGACATCTAACGCGTCTCGAGCTGCTGCCGCGCGATCGCCGCCGAGTTCCGCCGCGAGTAGCACCAAGACAGCGTCGGCGTGGGCCCTCAGCAGATCTTCCTTGGCTCGATGGGCCGGTGGCGTCGAGATAGCTTCGCCAGAAGCGAAGGCACTTAATGAGGCGACATCTGATAAAAGTCGATTGCCAGCATCGGCAGCGACGCTCCTGATCTGCAACAATGCCGCACACAAACAGCGAGGCAGACACGCTTCGAGTAGCTGTCTTCTAGAAGCAAACAGCACTTCCAGCGTCCTCACCTCGCGCCGCACGACGAGTGACGGTGCCACGGCCTGTGAGACGACGGAAGGAGCACTCCCAACAAATACTGATTGACCATGATCGACCAACGCACTAAGAGCTTCAAATGCCCCAGAGTTCTTCGCCGCCTCGGCGACGACGCATGCGAGCTCGGCGTGCTGCGCGTCGTCGAGGTCTTTGGACGCAAAGACTAGGGCCCGCAGCCTCTGGACGACTTCTGGCCTTCTTAACTGCGCGTAGGCCGCTCCCGAACCTAAACCAGAAGTGGCCCAGGCTCTCGCGAGTTCGGACAACGCCCACGCTCGCAAGGGAGACGGTTCATCGTCACAAGCGACAATCCCAAGAATGCGCGTGGCGTTCGCGAGCGTTTTCAGGTCTTGGTCCCGTCGCGATTGGTCCAACCGCGCCTTGAGAGCTTCATGTATGGTCGAGACGTGCGCTCCTAGACTCGCACCTAATGAGGCTCGAGCTGCAGCGCCGGGGAACCCTGTTAAAGTAGTAAAGTTGTCCGCTAATAATTGTAGATCCTCCAGTAAATGCTCAAAGGCTTCCGGTGCTTTTAACCGCAACCCTAACCGCCTCAGGTCGTCGGGCGGGCAGCCTCGGGACGCCGCATATGCAGATAAAGCACTCAGCGCCTTGAGGATTCGCACGGCATCCTTTTCAATATTCACTTTCAGGTGACCGTCTCCATCAGCTAATGAAGTGATGGCCCGGTCATTTACTGCTTCATCGCCATCTGACGAGGTCCTCGCTACGACGTCCAACGCACAAGATAATTGAGACGGTGTGGAAGCGTGCTCGAGCCAGGCCGCCGCGTCGACGGGTCTCACTTTCAAAACCGCGTCGGAACAAGCTTTGGACGTAGCATCATCGTTCACCTTGCTCAGAGCTTCTTTGATGTCCCTTGCGGACGGTTCTGAACCTAGACTCGCGGCCGTCAACCGCGCGACGTCAACGGAAGACGTGGTCTCGGGTAAGGACGCGAGGACCTTCCGCGCACACACGGGATCCTGGGAAGCGCCCTTCAGGGCGAACTGGACGCCTTCGTTCGTCTCGGCGCGAGCTTCACTTGATAATAAAGCCTCTCGTAGAGAACCCTCTCCCGTGATCTTCAGGAGCGTCGCCTTCGCACAGACCGCGCCGTCGCCCTCGCCCTGCAAGGCTCTCCTCACTAACACGTCCCTCCCGTCCTTGTCCTCGTCTTCATCTGCCATGTCGTCCATGCGAGAGAAAGCTCTTTCCACGTCGCCCGCGAAGACTTGGGCTAGAGCGTCTCCTACTAACAAAGCACCGGGTCCCAGGGCTTCATCACTCCAAGCCGCGTCGGGCGGTTCGCGGAGCGCTTTTAATGCATTTGTCTCCGCGGTTAAACAAGCCTGGGACCACGGCGTCGTCCCGTCGGCCGATACTCTAGCGCGTCTTGCCGCCAAGGCCAATTCGGCGGCGGCGTGCTGGGCGTTGTTGTTACTATGTGTTGAGAAGCATGCTGACAAGGCTGTCAGCGTGGCGGCGTCGTTCGTAGTGCTCCGACACAAGGCCGAGGCGGCGTCGGCGCAGGCTCGAGCTAATGCGCCGCTTGCGGGCCCCGGTGCGTTTTGCGATGAAGAGGCGGCCTTCGCAGCAATTTGTGAGAGCGCGCGACCGGAAGCCCCTCGGGACGCGTGTGTTATACCATCCCTCCAAACGCGCCAGGCCGCGCCCGGGCCGGCCGCCCAGAAATTTGAACATAAGAACACTCGAGTGTCGTCGGCGCACAACTCCGACGCGATGGCTATGGCCAGCCGCGCGGCCCACCTCAAACTATCGTGCGAGCAGTCCGGGGGCAGCCTGACCCTGAAGGCGCCCTTCAGACGTCGACTCAAAATCTTCTCTGCCGCATTGCTACTTTTGGCCAGGATGTCCGCCTCCTTTCGGGCGTGCGCTTCTAAACCTTCGAAGAAATTTGTGGAGTTCTTGTCGCCGTTCAATCGATCTAAACAAGCCCTCGCTGCTGTTATGGCGTCGTCATTCAGGACGCGCGCGACGCACGCGTCACCTCTTGCTACTCTCGCCGCATGTAAACACGTCTGGGATAGGGTCGAGGCCTGATCGCATACCCCGGCCAACGGCGCCTGAGACCATAACAAAGCGGCTCGTCCCGCCCCAATAGTAGGATCGTCCAACACGATCGACGCCTTCGCGCGGCCCGCGTGGAGGGTCGTGGCGTATTTCGCTATTAATTGGAGGCGCTCCAGTCGTCTCGCGTTCGGCGTCTTCGTACTGGGTGGGGGTGCCCGCCGCAAGGCGTCGGCGGCGCGCGCTTCCGCGGCGAGGGCGGCCTCCATTATGTGTGCCGCCCGCGCGCTGCGCGCGCCTTAGCTCCAGGTAGCCGTGCGGCACCGGTGCGCGCTCTCCGACGTAGCGCTGTCGGCAGGCGTCGCACCGATCAAAAATACGATAGATGAGATCGCTGTGGCCCTTCAAAAGTGGCGGTACGCCGAGCAATGCGCTGCGCGCGCGCTCACGAGGACCGCTCGTCTCGGGTTTTGTCGATCCGTCCGGGGCACGTAGGAATGGTACTTCAGGTTTGACATTGATCAAACAGTCGACTGGTCGTGGCAGGAGGCGTTCTTTTTACCTTGGCTAGTGTCTTACGGCCGCTAGCCCACCTGCAGCGGCCATCGTTTTTGCGCTGTATGCAACGTAACCGCGGAGTTACGCGTGGTTTGCGTGAGTTAACAGTTCTCTGAAAGCATACGGGCCACTGGCAGCGCCGCCAAAGCTCTACGCGCAGTCAAAATTACAAACACTGCATCCAAACCGTAGCCCTTGCATTCGTACGCGGACCTCGCAAAAGACCTCAAATTTACGTTGTTATGGACCGCGTAGTGTCTAGTACCGCCAGCGGCACCTCAACGAACGGAACAGCAGCGAAACGCAAAAGCACCGCCGCCGCGTCAAAACGCCGCGTGACCGCGGCCCCGCTCGACAGCCTCCAGACGCTCTTCGGCCCGCCACCGAAGCGACGAAGCACGGGCAGGCGCCGCTCGCGCAGCGGCACGCCGCGGCAACCGCCTAAACCGGCGGTCACCGTCTCGCCATCAGACGAGAGCGTCGACAGCCGCGACGGCCGGCCGCCCGTCGTCGACGCCCGCTACCCGGCGCCGACGCCGCCGTGGGAGTACGAGGTGGACGGCGACACCGACATCATGCTGCCAGATGGCCGCATTATCTCGACCGCGGACGCCGCGGACGCCGCCTTCGTTGCCGCGGCCGCCGCGGCCAGCGCTTTCGTGGGCGACGCCGTTGAAAACAATGACGACGCCGCCGCCGCCTTCGTCGACGACGCGGCCTCCGTCGACACGTCCGTCTGCTCGGAGCGGCAGACGGAGTGGGTGTGGCGGAGCGGCCTGGACGTCTCCGAGCTCGTCGACGACTGGGGCTGGGAGGACGCGCTCGCCGAGCGCAAGAAGCGGCTCCTCGCGGAGTTCGTCGGCGACGACTAAGAAGACTTATGAGTACTCCTAGTACTGGGGGAACGTCGGCTTCCATTGGGAGGTTGCGAGCGGCTCCCACGTCGTCGCCGCCGACCGTTGGGCGTCGGCCGTCGCTGGTCGGCCGGCAGCCATCGAAAAGTGCCGGTCTCGCCGCGCTTGAGCTGCTCTTCTAGCATCAGCGTCCGCCGTCGCGGGGCGCAGCGACGGGTGGAGCTTCCGCGCTAAATGGGGCGGGAGATCATGATCAAACTCCACAGGAGGAGCGCCCTCGGCCTCAGCTAACCGTTCCTGGCGCATCCGTTCCTCGCGCTCGCGCTTGTCCTGGGCTCTTTTAAAATTTTCCGCTTGGACGTTCAGGTGAGCTCTTCTAGCTAATTCCTTCGTCCGCTGGAGGCGCGCCCGGTGCTCGTTCCATAATTTCTCGCGCAAGGCCTTCTCCGCGTCGTTGAACGTGACCGGTCTCCTATTCTCCTTCGCGGCGAGCTTCGCCTGCCAATCCCGTTCGATCTCCTTCTGGAGGAGTTCCGAGGCCTTCCGGTCCTGCTCCTTGCGCGCGTCTCTCTCGCTCCAGCTCAGGCCGGCCATCGACGGCTCCTCTAATGACGATTCCTGCTGTTGGGCCATCTCTTCCTCGAGCTGGGTTTGTCGCGCGAGCTCCAACCGATACGCGCGCTCCATCTCCACCCTCTTCGCCTTCTCGATGCGTTGCTTCTCCAACTCCGCTCGATCCGCCGCCTGCATTTCCTCTACCTCTGTACGTTCCTCGGCGATGCGGATCGCCTTCTCGGCCGCCTGGCGCTCGCGCAGTTCCGCGGCGTCCTTCTCCAACGCGTCCAACCTTTGTTTAGCCTCGCGCCGTTGTGTAGCCACCGCATCCTCATCATCCTTCTCCGGCTCGAAGAGCGACGTCGTCTGTAATTCTAGAGCTCTTTCCTCAGCTTTTTCTTCCTCGACCCTCAAAGCCTTATGTTCTTGAGCCTGCTGCAGCTCCTTCCTGTAAGCAGATTGCGCTTCATGTTTAGGCGGCCGCGCCAATAAGACCGCATCACTATCGACCCATTTGGCCCTTAAACCGCGCACCGTAACCTCGCCGGCCTCGACCCTCGAAGCCCACGCCTCCACTCGCTCTTCGATGCTCGACCGGTCGCCCTTGATGACTAACGTCGCCGCCAATTCCGGCTTTCCCTCTTGATTCACGCGCACCGCTAGACCCAGCGGTTCGACGGTCAACGCATTTGGCGCATCAAAGGCCTCGACGCAACACCGAGAAAAGGCCCGCCGCTTCGCACCCGAACTCAATGTGCGCGCCCCGTCGTCGTCGAAGCCAATAGTGACTTCGCACTTCGGCGCCTTGTGTTCGGAAGGAATAAAGTGATCATTGACGAGGTCGGTCTTCACGGCGCACGGCGCCGCCGCCTTTGGGATGGACGCGTGCTCTACTAAATCCTGGGCCCTCTGTTGTGTATGCAGATGCATCTGCTTCAGGCGCTCGGCCGCTCGGTATTCGGGTGTCTGGGCTCGTCGGTACGCCTCCAATCGAGCCCTTGCGATGTCTCGCGCTTCGCTCTGTTCTTCTTTGCGGCGCGCGTCGATCTTTCGCGCACGCTCGAGATCATCCTCTACCGGTACTTCTTTTTTAGGCGAGGCCGCCCACGCCTCCTGCTCCTTCTTGTAGAGCTCTTCCAACCGCTTCCGCCGCTCCTCCACTTCCGCCGCCTCCTGCTCCTGCTTCGCGACGGCCGCCGCCTCCTCCTCGCGCCTCCTCCTATCAAGTCGCTGCGCGTTCCTCTCCTCCCACGCGTTCCGGTGCAAATTCCGCTTCATCGGGTCGAGGAACGCGCGCGCGTCGTCGTGGCGCTGCCGCGCGCTCTCCTTCGCGGCGAGCATGGAGCGCTGCGCTCTGGTCGTGTGGCCCATGCCCACGCGCGTGTTGGCGTTCACGAGGGCCGACATCTTGGCTACTGAGAATGGGGCTGCCCTTTTCTAACGCGCTTTCGGCGCTCGGTCGCGACGGCTGGCGTCCTCTTTCGTGTGTGCTGCTGTCCACGTTCGCTTTGCGTGCTGTGTGAAGCAGCAACGCAGCACTTGGTCCGGCAAGCGTTTGAAATGAAAAGCTAGCGCAATGGTACTAGAAAATGCAAAAGCCACGACGGTCAATCCCTGTAGGATCTCTCCGGCCACGCTAAGGTTGCGGCGAGCTCTGGCTAGCCTGCTGGTCTGCCGCCTGGAGAGAGTGGCAAGGAGGGGCCATGGCCTTGCAAAGCTGATAAAAGCGACGCGACTCGCGCCCACGCAGCCCCGAGGCGTTCGCTGGTACAAGGATAGGGTGTCCCAAAAATACTCCATGGTCCTCACGCAGTGCGCCGCCTGCGCCACCGAGCTTGGGCTAAGCTTGGGCAAGAAATGTGGCCGCTGCAGCACGCGCTATTGTGGGCCTGAATGCCAGGTGCAGCATTGGAAAGAAGGCGGCCACGACAAGCTCTGCAAGAAAATTAAAAAAGCAGGCGGCGCCGAGCAGTTTCGTGCGAATCAGAAGTGCACGGAGGCCGTCGCTGTCGCGGCGGAGGCGTGCGCGGAGGACACCAAGGGGCAGACGTGCTACATCTGCACACAAGCGCTCCATTGGAAAACGAAGGAGGGTCTCGTGCGCGGGTGCGCGTGCCGCGGGACGTCGGGCGTTGCGCACGTGTCGTGCCTGGCGGAGCAGGCGAAGATTTTGGTCGCGGAGGCCGAGGAGAACAATTCAGACGACTTACAGTGGCATCGGTGGAACACATGTAGCCTGTGTGAGCAAAAGTACCACGGCGTCGTGCGGTGCGCGCTCGGGTGGGCGTGCTGGCGGACGTACGTGGGGCGGCCGGAGGTGGACTGGGCTCGGCGCGACGCGATGATGCAGCTTGGGAACGGTTTAGCCGATGTAGACCACCACGAGGACGCATTGCCTGTGCGAGAAGCCGAGTTGGCTATTCACCGACGCCTTGGCCTACCAGAAGAAAACATTCTCGGCGTGCAGACCAATCTTGCACTTACGTATTCATGCCTAGGACGGAAGGAAGAGTCCCTGCGCATGCGACGAGACGTATACTATGGACGTCTGAAGCTCCATGGCGAAGAAAATGAATCAACCCTCGAAACTGCCAACAACTATGCGTGGGGTCTTTGTGGCCTAAAGCGCTTCGAAGAAGCCAAGGCACTGTTGCGCAAACCGATGCGCGTGGCACGTCGTGTTCTTGGAGAGAATCATGAACTCACGCTCGTGTTGAGCTGGGCTTACGCGAGGGCGCTCTACAGTGCCGAAGGCGCCACGCTCGACAATCTCCGCGAGGCCGTGACGACGCTCGAGAAGACGGAACGGATCGCGCGGCGCGTGCTCGGTGGCGCGCACCCGACCACGACGGGGATAGATGATCATTTGCGAAACGCGCGAACCGTGCTCCGCGCCCGCGAGGCGGGTCATCGGGTTATTTTTACCGACGCAGTAGTATAAATTAGCTGTTAAATATACCCAAGCAAGAAGACGAAAACTACTCGTCGCTCACGAGCCAGTGCGGCGCGTAGGCGCGCTGCCACGTCGCAGTTTCGGGCGGCCGCTCCGTGCCGCCGTCCGAGCCCCGTACGAGTAAAATAGGCTCGAGCGCGCCGTCGGGCACCCTTACCGACTTCGTCTCGCCGTCCATGAGCACGTCGTACGTGTAGAGGCCATCCGTCAACGAGGCGCCCACTACTAATCCCCAGTGGGATTTGGGCTCCCAGGCCAGCGGCCGGCACCAGGCGCCGTCCGGCAACCGCGGTAGGGCCCGCCACTGGTCCGGTGTTAAGCGTGGCACGACGCGGTCGACCGTCGCCGGCGCGCCGTCCGCGAAGACCACGTCGACCCTCCCGTCCTTCCGCGGACGCGTCTCCGCCACTTTATAGGGTAAGCCGTCGTCGGGCCAGGCCGCCTCCAACACAATATCGTTCGTGTCCCGCCGTCGCCGCGCCGTGAGCTTCTTCCCTCCCACTAATGAGTTTCGGACTTTCTCGAGCGCTTCGTCTCGATAAGGCGCATGCACGATCAGCGAAGTACAGATACCCGACGAGGCCTCATAACCTAAACCGAGAGGTAGCGCGACACTCGAACCCATTAACGAGCGCCAGTCGACGGCAGCTTCCCTCCAGAACGTCCGCCGCCCATCGAAGTAGTGGGGCGTCGACAGCTTTCCGTGACGCGCCAACCGAAACGCCGCGTCGCACCATAAAGCTGACCGACATCTAGAGCCCCGGCAATGGATCCCAAAAATCCGCCGCACGGCCTCCCTGAAAATAACATAAGAATGCGAATTCGCCTCGGTCCAAGCCGACCAGTACGCGTCGCCGTAATCGGCCAGGATGACCTCGCCGGGCACTATACGACGCGTGGCCTTCATGCGGATGCGCCACGACGACGGCGGGCCGTCCCTTATCTCGACGTACTCGACGTTCCGCTTCAGCCGGTGCTCGAACCAGTTGTCCCTATCGGGCCCGATCGCGTCGTTCACGAAGGGCGTCGGCGGGCCTTTGGTAGGATCGATGTGGGGCCACAGCTCCACACTACTTTCTTTGAACGCGTACGTGTACGTCCGCCACCGCCGATTATCGAAGGGCCGTCCTCCCTGTAAAAGTGAAGATGCTTGCTGGTCGTTCAGGACGATCGTACCAGGGTAGGGCATGGACTCGCCCCGCTGTATTAACTGGGTTGCTATCACTTCATACTGTCCGGGCAGGTGGGCACACCGTCTTACTTTGCACCTATCCAGGAACCCTCGATCATCTCCGCGCTTCACGGCACTTCGTGCAGCGAGACTCCGCAACTGGTCGTCGGGGTCGCAGCCGCCCCAGGTCTCGTGCAAACGCTCCAGGGCCTTTTCTACACTTCTACAATGTTTCAGTTCCGGCTCGTCGGCCTCCAGATAAGCTTGTGATGCCTTCTCCAGACTCCGAAATTGGTCCTTGGCGCTCTGGACGCGCGTCGCATCCAGCAGGAACTCGGCCGCGCCCTTGGACAGAGCGTCGCGCGCGGCTCTAGCTGCCCTTCCTAGTGACGCGGCGCCGGCGTTCACCGGTTTCTTCGGAGCCTGAGCCGCTCTTCTATCATCGCCCAGCGGCCCGGGCCAGGGCAGCAACGGGTGCGCCTCTTCCACGGGTGCTGGTGGCGGCGCCGGCTCTACATCATCGTCGTCCTCGTCGTCTTCACCAATGTAGCTCCGGCCGTTGTCCACGAGCGTCGCGAACGAGGTCACGGGCTTCCGCGGCCGCGCGCCCTCCCGCGCCAGGCGCCGCGCGAGGGCCGCGTCTCCACTGGTATCCGGCCGCGCGCGCTTGGGTTTGGGCTCCGACGGCGACGTGTCGTTGCTTCCCGTCGTCTCGCTGCAGGTAAAATCGGAGAGGTGGCTCGGCGCGCTCTTCATTCTATTGCTGCGGCTCGGGCTGTCGGCGTCCGCCATTTCGGTTTCGGTGTATATAGCGTTTCGGTGGATTTTAGCGGCTCAAGCGATGCTTACAGCCTTGATGCACTGCTCTGATGCTTTAACGCGGTTGCGATCGTCGCGCGCGCGGGCAGATGCAGCTGAGAAACGCTGCCGCGTTTGTCCTTAGCTCAACCGCTGCGACGATGCAAGAGCCGATTCACCGATGAGTAGGGTAGTCGAAGAGTTGCTTCGCTGCGTCGGGGATGCAACGGCCCGCCTATCGCGTGTGAAATGGCAGGTGACTTTAAAAGCTGACAAAGGCACCTAGATAGACACACTAGCCACGCACTCCAATCCCTCCTGCGCGCGAGGGGAGCGATCCAAACAAACGCCTGCCCCATCGAGCCTCCACGCCCGTGCGGCTAGGCGCTGCCCCACTAGCGTCGTTGGAGTTTGGCCGCACTCGACGCCATCGACGCCAAGCGACGCGACGATGCTCCTCGAGCCCGTCGCCGCCGCGGCGCCGGCGCCGCCGCCGCGGCGCACGCCGCTCGCGCCGCACAACGAGCGCACGGCGCTGCCCCTCATCATCAGCAAGCCTGAAACAACAGCGAAGGAGGACGAGCGCCGCGAGTGCAAGATTTGTCTCGATGCGCCTCGTTCGGTGCGCTTCGTGGGCTGCGGCCACAGCTGCGTGTGTGTGGAGTGCGACGAGATGTTACGGGGTTTGCCGCCGGACCGCCGGCGGTGCCCTTTGTGCAACGAATTAATTAAGGAGCCCTCGGTCGAGGTCTTGGACCCGACGAAGACGTTCCGAGCTCCGAAAGAAGCTCCTGTCAAAACGAAGGCGGAGGACGGCGCGAAGGGAGCGCCGCGACGGGCGCTCGAGGACTTGGGGCTGGAATATAATGAGAGGGTGCTGAGCCGCGGCGCGACGAGGCACGCGGCGCCCTGTTTGTTACTGGTGCCGGGCGGCGGCTTCGATGGGGTTGGGGTCTGGTCTACTCTCCAATATCCGCTCGAGACATATTGTCGGAGAGCACTGACGCGAGGCTGGGGCATTGTGTGCGCGCCGTCGATGACAGGTTCACAAAAGAAGGACGCCGAAGAACTAGAAAAAGCGTATGACGCGGCGACGAGGTGCTCGGGCGACGGGCGCGTTGTGGTGGCCGCGCATTCGCTCGGCGGTGCGGCGGTCGTCCAGCGCTGTCGAAGGGCCCATAAAAAGCGACAATCAATGCCGTGTGCCTTGGCGTTGTTGGACTCGACCCATAAAGGCGCCCTGCCGCCGCTCTGCACAATACATTGGTGCGCGTCGCAGAAGCCACTGGACGACCCTTCACCTAGACCCTGGTCGCGCGACAAGAGCGGCTGTATCCGTTCCGCGGGCACGCGCGACCACAAGGCCGTACCCAATCAGTGTGTGGACAGCGTGTTCAAGTTCCTGGACGCGTCGTGCGCCGCGCACATGCCGCCGGCACCACCTCTACAAATCCCTCAACCACCGCAGCGACGGGTGGTACGGCGGCCGCCCGCCCAGCCGTCGTCTCCCGTCCGCGTCGTGCGGTCGCGGCCTTTAAATCGCTACAAGAAGGCGCCGACGAGCCCGCCCGTCGTGAGGCGGTTCGCGCGGATGATCCGCATGCGCGCCGCGGCCCGGAAGGCGCCGCCATCACATGATGACGACGCGGCGTTTCTGACGTGGGCCGACGAGCGTCGTGTTATTCCACCGAAGAAGCCCGCGCCTCCACAAAAGAAGCGCCAGCCGTCCTGCGCCGCGCGGCGGCGGTGGCGCGTCGCGCACCGCCTTTCCTAAGTATACTTTCGTGTCTTTGACACATCCGTCGACCGTCTGACTTTTGCGTGCGGGGCAGCACAGCGGCCGGCGCCGAACGCGGGCAGTCGCGGCGTGCCGTGCATAATCCGGGGCCCAACCCCGGGCTGCGCCATCGATTCCCGGTCCGCCGAGTAGCATACGGGCTCCACCGTCGCGAACGCGCGCCCTCGGGCAGCCCTGCGGCCCCCCCTGGCCAACACACAGCTCCACCTGCCAAGGACCAAGGTGTGCTAATCGGGGACGACCGCAACAAGGCACGCGAACCGGGGACGACCGCGACGCGCTTACGCCGTCGCCGCCGCGCCACCACGAGGAAAAACTATGGGCCGCGACGCCGAGCTTTTTGTTGATGCGGCGGCCATCAGCCGCCACCTCCTCTGCTCCATCTGCCACGGTGTGCTCGAGAGACCGGTGCAGACGGCCTGCGAGCACCTCTTCTGCGAGGATTGTCTATTGGCGTGGCTCTGCCGCAAGGCGACGTGCCCCGTGTGCCAGGCGGTCACGGAACCTGAGGCGGTCAAACGGGCGCCGCGGGCCATCGTCGGTTTGATCGACGACCTGGAAGTGCGGTGCGACCACTGCGACTGCGACTGGACGGGAGCGCTTGATAAACTCAATGCGCACCTCGACGAATGCTGTCACGCGCCGCGGGCGGAGCTCTTGCAGCGTTTGTCGGCGAAGCAGCGGCAATTGGACGATGCGCGGCGGACCATCGCCGATCGAGATCGGGAGATCGTGCGGTTGGAGGCGGCGCTCAAGGCGCGGCGCGACGGGAGCGCCCGCGACGCGGACAACGCGCGGCGGCGGCTCCGCCAGTTGGAGAGGGACGCGGACGAGGACCCGCGGCGCAGCCCGGGCACGACGCAGTCGCAGCGCAGCCTGCGGCGCGAGCGCTTCCGGAAGGCGCGCTCCGACCGCGCCACGGACGTGACGCGCATTATGAGTTTGAGGGACTCGCTCGAGACGCTGCGGCTCCACGCTGCGGACGAGGAGCCCACCGGGGATCGGTGTTAAAGTACACATGTTATGAATTCAATCCGGAGAAAACGTCCTGCCCGGAGGGTTGATCTCTTCGGTCGACCGTGGGTGCGTCGGGCGCGCGTGCACCGTACCGCTGGTCGCACCGCCCGTCCGCGGGTTCGCGCTCGTCGCCCTCCCACAACTCGGCGACGAGTACCTGTGTGGAAATCAAATTTTCGGCGCGTTCGTCCTGAATCGCCGCGTCGACCACCACGCCATCGACGCGACACCTGCTCGATGGCGTGGCGATGCAGGTTCCTCGCCGCTCGACGGAGCCAGCGCGGCCACGTGATGATGCACCCGACACACTGGTTGATTTCCACACAGGCAGACACGTTCCTAGTACCACTCTCAACAGGTGAGACGCAGTGGTACTTGTGGCTCAGGAAGAGGAGCAGGTCCCCTTTCTCGAACGGATGTTGAAGCATGTAGTCGCCCGGCTCCGACGTCGCGAAGGCGCCGCCGTCGAAGGCCGTCGCGTCCGAGAGCATGATGTCTATGGTAATCAGGGACCCGTGGTCGTAGTGCCGTTCGAAGGCTAGGTTCCCGGGCGGCGTTACCGTGTGATACTCGGCGCAGCGCAGGTTCACGGCCTTGCCCTCTAGTATACCGCCCCACAATTCCTGATCCGCCTCGGACGCCGCGGCGAAGACCCGCTCCCGTAACCACGGCAGCCGCCGTCCCAGTTCCGCGTTGAGGTAGACCGTAGACCAGCCGCCGCCGCGCGTCGGGCGCTGCACCGCTCCGACGTCGGCCTCGACGGCCGTGGCCGTCGCTGTCAATTCGTCGATTTCTGCATCGGTCAGGAAGCGCGGGATCCGCTTGACGGCCGTCCGTCGCGCGACGTCGACGGGCACGAGGTCCACCTCTTCCTCGACGGCGTCGTCCTCGGCACGCGCGGCCTCGATCGACGCCGCGTGCTGCGCGTCGAGCTCGGTCGCGTCGACGTCTTGTAGAAGGTGCAGGCACGCCGCCGCCGCGGAGTGGTCCGGGTCCGCATCCAACGCACGATGGAATAGGTCTCGTGCGTCTTCCGTAAGGCCGAACTGCACATTGAGTGCGCCAAGCCGGAACAGCGCATCGGGGTGATTCGGGTCCAATTCGACGGCGCCCTCGTAGGCTTCTAGTGCTTCGAGCGTGTCGCCGTCGTCCTCGAAATCAATCCCTCGTAACACGAGCGCGTCCGCAGCCGGCGTGTTCAGGCCCGCTCTTTGTAGTGTTGCTGCGGCGTTGGTGTCAAGCTCTGGACCGTCGTCTTGCAATTCGCAGACGGGTGAGGCGGCGAGCGGGCCAATTCTCCGCGGCGAGCAAGGCAGCTGCAACGCTGCGGCGTGCTGCAGCAGTGCCAGGCTCACGAGTTGCAATATATGCATCGCCTTTCGTCGTGCGGTGCTCCGTTGCAATAAATGCATCGCCTTTCGTAGCGTGATTGCTGAGCAGGGCCTGTTGCACAGCGTTCAGCCACTGCTGGGCTTGCCACTGCCTGCAAATGCAATTAATGTGCAGCACACGTCGCAGTGCTGCTGTTCTGGCAGCCGCAGCAACGTGTAGCGATAAATGAGGTCGCGTATAGTGTAGTTCAGGGCGCTCAGTGGCCGTGCATCAGCTTAGCATCAGGCTGACCAAGCTGAAGCTAAGTGCGTCTATGTACGCTATACAACTCTGGGCGGACGCATCGATAATAGAGAGGGGAACGGTATACACGAGAAAGAAAAGGACCGGGCGTTCTTCTCGCTGTTAGTTACCAGTGGTAGACCGGCGCGCGCGCGACTCGGGAGTGACACCCAGACTACAATGCTCATCCAAGTTCAATTTAGGACGCGTGGGGAGGGGATTTGGATCACGGAGAGCGGTGCGGTGTGGCTCAGTACGAGTACAAACTTTACAGATGTGCTCGGTACAAGCTTTGCGGTTTGGCTCACGAAGAGCGATGCGGATGGCTCAGTACGAGCTTTGCGGATGTGCGGATGTGCGGATGGCTCACGAAGAGCAGTGCGGTATGGCTCACGAAGAGCAGTGCGGAATTGGCTCAGTCGCGGACGACGAGCGATCTGGGAAGGCAACTACCAGCGCTTGAACCCCAGGATGCGCCAGGCAATCTCGTCGGGGCTCCGGGCCAGTATGTCGAAGGCCGTTCGTTGGTTGTCGTCGGCGATCGTCGCGCGGCGCTTCCGCACGAGCGCGCGAAGGACCAGGAGCTCCTTTTTCACGTAGCGCGCGTAGGACCCTTTGGCCGCGCGGACGCCGGCGACCAGACGCTTGATCTCGGGGAGTTGACTCGTATTCGTATGTTCGTAGGGAATGTAAATATCGTAGCTGCGCAGGATTGATTCGGCCGACAGCGGGCCTCGGACGAAGCGGCCCTGGTCGTCTACGAAGGGGTACTCCAGGCTTGAGTCACCGGAGTTCTCGATCGCGTCCAACTGGGCGCCGCTGCGCAGCAAAGCTCTGACCAGTTCAAGTGTGTCGAGCTCTGACCAGTGTGTCTTCATACCAACTGGCGCCGTGACGCCGCAGGAAATTTGCGCTTTTAATACCTCCCGCAGCACGAACGCTAGTGCAGTACGACCTTTGTGGTCCTTCGTCGTGTTAGGGTCGGCCCCCGCCTCACAAAGCAGGGGGACCATAACATCTGGGGCGAGGCCAGTGCATGCCTCTATCAGAATTGCGCCGTTCTTACCTGCATTTGGGTCCGCCCCCCGGGCTAGCAGGTCGCGGGCTAACGAGACGAGCTCTGCCTTCGGGATGGCGGCGGCACTAGTATACATCTCGCCGTGGACGATGAACGAAAGCAGTGTCCCGGCGCCGTCGCGCCCATAGTAGTCGTCGACGTGGTACGTCTGAAGCCATGCGTGCACAGCAGGCGTGAGCGGCCTCTGATTCAACAAACCGGGGAGCGAAGGGTCATTATATGGCAGGAATTCATGCTCCTCCTCTCTAGTGAGTCGCCGGGCAGCCCGGGTCACCTGCGTCATGGTTGCGGGCAGCGTGCGCGGTCACAGACGCCGCTGCGTCTCGGAGATGCATGCAACGCGAGCTGGCGCTGTACGCGTAGTTACGACGAAGCCCTGTCGACGCGAGCCCATCCCACGCGGGTTGCGGAGCCAGAGAAATGCGAAAGGACACCTCAGATTACTACGGGGCGTCAGGGGAAGGGATCGGGGATATAAGGGGAGAAAGGCGCGCCGCCGCGCACCTAGTAGGACACGACGCTGCCGCGCGACGACCGGCGCTGCGCGCGCTTCGCGACCTTCTGCGGGCCAGTTAAGTGCGTGAAGGACGCGTCCTCGAGCGACGGGTAGATGGCCATGCCCGCGTCGCGCGTGTTGCCGTGCGTGAGCAGGCCCTTGAGGCCGCCGGGGTTCGTCGCCGCGACCTTCGGCCGCTTGTGGACCGAGCCGCGCTTGCCCTGGAGGAGCTCCTTGTGGTCGTCGTCGATGTGCTCCTCTGCATCATGAGCCTCGTGGTCGTCGGGGAGCTCCTCCAAGACGCCGCTCGTGATGTGGAACGAGGCAATAAATATCAGCTTCGCGCAGTCCGCGAGGAGGAAGATGATGATCGAGTAGATCCAACAATAAATAACGTCCGTGCCCGTGAGATCACCAAAACCGTTGGCGAAGCGTACTAACAGCGAGAGGACGATGGCCCCGATGGCCGTCCCCAGCATGAGGTACGGGCTCGGTCTCGACATGAAGAAGACGCCCGGCGCTCTAGCTGAAAAAATCAGAAACTCGGCGCACAAACCGATCTCCAGAAACAACGCCGCCTGGACGTAGCGCGTGCACTGGTGGATGCCTGTGTGGAAATCAAACAGTGAGTCGGCCGGGCGCGCTATCGAGCAGGCGTCGCGTCGATGGCGTGGAGGTCGACGCGACGATTCAGTACGGACACAGGTGGATGCCCTCGCGCGTCACGAACTTTAGTTTGCGGTGTCTCGATAAAAGTTCGAGGCCCGAGTTCGTCGCCAATTCATAATAGATCAAGGAACCCGCCACATAGACGATGGCGTACACCACGGCCAGGATGATGATCGGCTTCAGGCGCGGGTCCACGGGGTCCTTCGACGCGTCCGCGTAGTCCTTCGAGACGGGCGTGAGCGTCAGGTCGTTAAACAACGCCAGGAGAATGACATATAAAGGCTTGAGCGAGCAGTTCCGGTACAACGTCAGTAAACAAAGAAACGTCACGATGTGGAACGTCGCCGCGAGCGGCCAAATACTTGGCTGGTTATGCGGAGCCAGCGAAAGTAACACACTAGCGTTCCGCGCATGCGTAGTCACTCTCGCGCACCTCTCCGCACGGACTCCAAGGCGAGTAGCACGAGTAGACGGAGTTCCAACAACGTGCGGGCGGCGCGGCGGTCGCGGCCGCCGCGAAACTGAGTATACCCAGGCCAACGCGGCCGCGGGGCCCCGACGCCGTCGCCGCGCTCAAACGAAGGCAACGCGGCCGTGGGCCCCGGAGGCGCTCGACTCGGGGAGCCCCGACGCGGGCGCCGCCGCGACCGCTCAGACGAAAACACAACAACGTTACACACTACTCCTCGTCGGCGCCGCCCCCCCCGCCCGCTTGGGCCGCCGCCGCGCGCTCGGCGTTCTCGCGCTTCCGCGCGGCGAGCGCCAGCCGCATCGTCGAGTTGACCTTCTTGCGCAGCGACCGCTTTCGTAGAGGCGGCTTCTCCTCGACGACGGGTTCCTCCTCCGTCGTTTCCGGTACCGAGGGTTTGGGCGGCGGTGTTAAAATAGCATGGATACGGTCCATGCTCCGCATAGGTAGAGGCGGCGTGTGCAGGCGCCGCGCGAGCACCTCGGACTGTAGCAAACATTGACAGAGCCGGCGAAACGACACGGCGTCCCGGAACCCGGCATCATTCAAACACTGCTCCACCACTTCCCACGAAATGGCCGCGGGGTGCGACCGTTTACCCTTCGTGGCATTGAGATAAACAACAGCCTTCTCTAGATCGGCCAGAGGCAAAGCGGCACTCTCACCTTCTTCTTTACCCGTCGGCACGGCCACGCCGTCATCAATCCTTACTAGTCTCCGGAAGAAGGGATCCAATGCCGACAGAAACTTCGAATGGTACCAGTGGACCTCGAAGGCAGTACTCAGTGTGCCGCAGTGGAACTTGCCGTCACTTTGTAACGCCCTTGGGAGGACGTGGATGATGCTATCTAATGTACTACGTGGAAAGTCCGGGCATATGACTATCAATAATTGGTGGAAGTCGGGAACCGTGAGGTCCATGTCCCGCAGCGGGTGGACACATTTCCGAAAAGCAACCACGAAGGCTCGTCTATTCCAGGCCGTACTGCTTACATATGTATATTCTCTTCCATAGATGTGTTCTAATGATAACACTTGTCGGAAGTAGTCGCGCAAACGCTCCTCATGTGTTAAGTCGTCTTCCGCGTAGAGGGCGTAGACGGCGGCGTCCTCGAGATAAGGTTCGAGCTGGTGCAACCTCAAGTACTCCTGGCTGTCTCTCCTGGACACGTTGACCGATATACCGACTCCGGGGCTCGTGAGGGCAGCCATCACTGGTATTTTGTGGGGCGGCGCTCGCGTCCTAGATCTATGGTGAGCGCTTGGAGGTGGCAGCCGGCTGGTGCGCGGCCCGCGCCGACCGCGTCGGGCAGCCCCCTGCCCAAGGGCTTGGGCCGGCCGGAATTTGAGCGTGTATACCCGCACGAATGAACTCTTTGCGAGCCATCCGTGCCCGTTGCGACCGCCCCGGGACTCGTGGGGCGCAGCGGTCGGCTTCTGTTTTCGCGCTTGCCCAGACTAGAACGACCTCAACTTGGGAGGAGGAGAGCGGCTTGATATTTCCTGCGCTGGCTCTGCGCCTAGACGTCTGTCGAGCTTGGCAGCTGCAGGGATACATCTCTACGACCACACCTACCGTGGGAGCAGCGAAATCCCCAGCGCGAGGGACGCCGATGCCGCCGATATCCCACTTCTAGAGCAGCGTCAAAAATAGCGCCTAGGACGGCCCCCGCTTTGTAATAGCTGGCCAGACTCGGCCGAAAGTGCATTCTCATTTAGATATGGCCTCTGCGATGGCCGAGAGCCCGCCGTCGCCGTCGCACCGGAAGATCATGGCGCCCGAGCCGCCGCCGCCCACGGCCATGACGGACTCGCCGCGCGCGAATCTCCAAAGCAGCGGCGCCATGACGGACTCGCCGCGCGCGAATGACGCGCGGTCCAGCGCCATGTCGGACTCGCCGCGCGCGGGCGCCGCGCGGCCCGCGACGCGCGTCGCGCCGTCGTCCGCCGCGCCGACGCCCGCGCCGGCGACGCGCGCCATGCCCTCGGTGTCGACGGAGAGCCCCGACGGCGCGACGCGTTCTGTAAATGACGCGGGCGCGACCTTTTCCAAGATCGCGGGCCTCTGCGCTTCGAGACACGCGGCCCCGGCGGACTTCGGGCGGCCCGGCGGCCTGCCGCCGCCGCCGCGCGAATCCGCGCCACCGGCGGGCACCTTCGCCTTCCTCTCGCCGGAGCCCGACGCGCCGCGACCTCCGTCGAGACCGCGCGCGTCGAGCGAAGGCTCCGCGCCGCCGTCCCCTCAGTTCGGTCAGATGCGGATCGGCGAGTCGCGGGCGTGGGCCTCCGTCACGTCGTTGCGGCGGTCCGACGGGCGGCTGTCGGGCGGTGTTGTGGGAGTCGCCGTGTTGGATTCTGATCCGGAACGACGAAAAAAGTGCGTCGAGGTTTTGAGAGATGCCGCGCGGTCAATTGGTGCCAACATCGCGCGAGCTTTAGCGGTGGAGGGCTTCTCCAACGCGTCGTCGTGTCGACGACGGATGGACGAGAGAAGTGGGCCTCGGTTTCGTTTAGTACTGTGCGATGGAGGGGATGTTGGTGCCGCAATTACCGCGGCCGCGGGCTTGCAAGGTGTCTCGGTGGTAGCTGTGCAAGCGCCCTCCGACGACGACGCGCGTCCAAGGACGTCGATGCGGACCATCGGCGGGCCCGTTACCTCATCTTTAGCACATGAATTACTGTGGGCGCACGCGCTGCCTCATGGCCCTTGTGCGGTGAGTGGCACGAAGCCCGTCACTTCCGCTTTGAAGCTAGCAGAAGGCGTCGGCGCTAGTCTCCGAGCCGGTGGGTTGCGCGGTTTACTCATGCTTCTCCACGCGGAACGAAGAGAACGAGCGAAAGCTTTAGATCAACTCTTGGATAGGCAGACGTCCGAGACGCCGCGGACGCCTTGTGTCCTCGTTGTTGATGACTCCGCAGTTGCAAGAAAATTGCACGTCCGAGCGTTGGAACGAGCTTTAACGTCCTTGGGCTGCGCCGGCGACGTCTTGGTGGAAGAGGCCTGCGACGGCCAACAAGCCTGCCAAGCGGTCCACGACGACGCCAAGAACCGGAAGCGGTGCGTGGTACTGTGCTTGCTGGATCTGGCGATGCCGATTATGGGTGGATGCGCCGCGGCGCGTCGTTTAAGGGCGGCGGGCGCCACGGCCCCGGTCGTCGCCGTCACCGCAGCCGCTCTCCCGCGCGAGGAGTTCGAGGACGACGACGACGATTCTCGGGCGGCTTTGCAAGATCTGGACGACGACGACGACGCGATCGCGCTCGCGTTCGACGACGTCATATCCAAGCCCTTCGGTTTTGGGGATGCTCTTTCTGCCGTGGAGCGCTGGGTCTTGCCGCGCTTGCATCGTAAAAGAAGGGGCGACTCGCCGGGGCGGCTGCCGCGCGTCGAGGTCGAGGGCGAGCCGGCGCGCGCGCCCGCGCCGGCGAAGCGCCGTCGGTAGTTCTCTCTTGCTTGCGCCCCCCCCCTCGCTCTGGCGGCGGCGCCTAATTCGTAAATGTCATCACAACGTTACGTTTCTAGTTCATCGTCCTCGGGATCCTCCATCTGGATGAGTCCAGCCATGGCGAGGTCCTCGGGCGTCCGCTCCCACGGCCGCGACGCGACTCGTTTTCTGGTCTCGGCGCGGGCCACAGCACAAAAGTGCCGCGTGGCCTCCGAGGCACAACAGCCCGTCGCGTTCGGATCGCCCAGCTCGCGCCCGCGTTCGTACCACCGGAGCGCGGCCGCCGGGTCCCGCTCGACGCCGATGCCGTCGTCGTAGAAGCCCCCGAGTCGGTAACAGGCCTGGCCATGGCCCCTCGCCGCGGCCTGCTCGTGCATTTTGATCGCGTCGGCCATATCCTTGTTGCATCCTAGCCCAATTTCCCGCATGACCGCGCATTCGAACAAGCAGTGCTTGACGTGGCGTCCCTTCGGCCTCCGCTCGAGTAATTCCCGTAGTAATAAATAACGAGGCGTCGCCGACTCCATCGGCGAGCGGCACCAGGGGCACTTGGCGCCGAACATTTTTGGCTCGTTGAGTTGGACCTTTTGCATTTGTGCCATCATCATCTTCTTGCGACAAGTGGAACAGTGCATACGGCCGCACTGGTAGCAGAGCCCGAAGGTCATGTCCGTTTCCTCATCCTCGGGTCTGTCGAGGCAGAGCTCACAGAGCTGCCGCGCGTTCTCGTCGTCCTCGTTTTCGTCGTCGTCGACGAGGAGCCATACGGCGAGCGCGCAGGCGGCGGCACTGGCGGCAACTACCTTCCAGGGCGGCGGCATCAGTGTGTGTTTTGCGTCACCAGCGATGACAATGCGGACGGTTAAGGCGCTCAAAAGGAGGCCTTGGTGTGGTACACTTGCTTGTACGCGTAACTGAGGGGCTTTCGCGGCCAAAGCGATGCGGCAGCAGCAAGAGGGATGTAAGATCAGTTCGAATGTGTTTCCTTGACACTCATAAGCAAAGCATTGCTGCGACGCGCGCTTGGAAATCGATTGCTAGTGTCTTACAGGCCGCTAGCACGAATTATTGTCGGGCAAACGGAGGAGGAGTCACAGCGCTGCTGCTCCAGACTTCGCGAGATACAAAACTATCTTTTGCTGCGTCCTCAAGTCGCTGTCGCGCTTTTGGCAGCTTCTCGAGCGCTCGAACACAGCTCAAGCCGACAGACAGGAGATTGGCACAAATCTGCACAGCATTCGCCGTCGACGCGCGCAAGGCTACCAAAAATGTCCGCACCACGACTCCTACTCCTCCTCGGCTGCAACGCGGCAACCGCCCAACTCGTCGGCCCCGGCGCTTTAGTGCCCGGCGGCGGCCCGCAAAACAACCGAAGGAGCGGCGGCTGGGGCGTCGTCGACCAGTGGCCGGTCGGCTTCTTCGTTGGTGGTAGTGATCTACAAAATATGAACGGCATCTATGTGCGCCAGCCCGAGTTAGATCATAAACTGCCCCACTACTGCGAGTTGTCCTGGAAGCACGTCGACAACAATTTCAAAGTGGCCTCTGCTACTGTGCGAGGCTGGAGTGGTATAAATGGAGCGGACAGGGAGTGGCTCTGGATCGACGAGCAGGGGAGGGATTTCCTCGCGCAACCGGGCAAGCACTACATCCCGGGCAATGCTCGAACGTGGTTACCTGTGAATAGAAATTTCCATTATTGGCGGGTCGGGGAAAAAGCGGAGACGTATGCGGCGGAAGAGGGCTGGTGGGAAGCGAATGAAGAAGGTATTATAGTACAGAACAACATGGCCGACGCGGAACGGCCCATACTGTGGGAAAGAAAGAAGGATGGTCGTAGACTGAATATGGGCGCGTGGCGGTTGCGGCCCCTTGAGCAGTCTAAGGAGAAGCGTGTAATGTTGGAAGACGATGCGTACGGCGATGCGATGCGGCCGTGGCAGGTCGTCGCGATCATGTCTCGGGATCGACTGGATGAATTAATTCACCAGAAACGGAGACATGACGAGGACTGCCGGCGGGCGTCGCGGGGTGGCCCGCCCGTCGTCGAGGACGGTGTGTTCCCGACGGTGTCCGTCAGTCACTTACTGGAAGGGAACGTGACAACGGATGAAAATGAACTGGTCGATAGTGATGTGGTGAAGAACGCACGAAGAGCCTGTAGAGACGGCCAGTCTGATGGAATCGAGCAAGCGAGGGCAGCCTTGGCCAAGGGCTTACCTAACGCTAGAGCCGCCGTGAGCTACTGTCTCAGGAGGAGTGGCGACCCCGGGAAGGCGATCGAGGTCGCGTCTGCTGGAGACGAGGCCTCCTCTCTATTGGAAAGAGCCTTGGCCATGTTCGACGTTCATTCACCGTGTGGCGCGTTACAAGCCTTAGATAGAGCCTATAATGCTGACAGGGCATTACCGGGCCTAGGTGCATGGATGCTGCTGGGACGCGTCCGAGCTAAAGCTGTTGGTTGTGGAGCCCCTATTGGAGATACGGGCTTCAAGGTCGGCGACGTCGTGCGCGCCAGACAAGATTTGCGGGGCTTCTGGAGCCAGGGCGACGAGGCCGACGTGATTGGGCTCACGGCGGCGTCGAACCCGATCGCGATCCAGATGCGGTATAATCGCAATAAATTAGTGGACACGACGGCGGATCGCATCGAGCGCGTCGGCTTCGACGCGAAGACGACCTTTGATGATGTGTATGCTACTCTGGACGTTCCCTGCGACTTTACGGAAAATGAATTACGAAGGGCCTACCGCCAGGCGTCGCGCGAGTGCCACCCGGATAAAGGTGGTTCGCACGACGAATTTACAAGAGTGGCGCGGGCGCACGAGATCCTCTCCGACGCCAAGCGGAGGGAGGAGTGGGACGCGGGCGCCGAGGTCGTGGACCGGCCCCAGGAGTTTCCCCTGAAGGACGAGTTGATTGCCTACTACTGGCCCGAGCTCAAGCCCTTCCAGCCCTTCGGGGACGTCCACGAGCACCGCCGCGCCTTCGAGAAGCAGGACGCGGAGAGAGCTGCCGAGCGGCGGGCGAAGGAGGACAGCTTCGCACGGGCGAAGGCGCGGGACGCGGCGCCCGCCACCAAGGAGGCTTCGCCGCCGGAGGAGCCGCCGGCGCGGAAGGGGTGGGGGTGGCCGTGGTCCTAAGAATAGTTGAGAGCTTACAACGGCGCCCATGCCGGGGATGACCTACTTCTTCTTGCCCGCCGCCTTCTTCACGGCCCGCTTCCGCATGAGAGCATCATGCAAAAACGCGGCACCTTCAACGGCGTGCATCGCCGCGAAGCCGCCCGTGACGCTCATGGGTAGACCCTTGTACTGGAAGACGACGACGGCCATGGCCAGGTCGCACAATCCATACGTGAAGAAGAGCTTCTGCCTTAAGAACGTCGACTCGGGGGTGGTGAAGACGGCGACCAGTTTATTGAAAGCCATGGCGCAGAAGCACACACCTAACATCTGGAAGAGGAACTCGACCTTCCGCGAGCCGTCGTGGAAGTGGTCCTGGAAGGCCGAGTCTTCCGGGATAATTGGTAACGGATAGCCGGGCGCGGCCACATTTCTGATACCAGCGATGAGCACGAAGCCGTTCACGAGGCCGGCGACGGCCTTGACGTGGAGCGGCGGCGCCATGGTGGGAGGGTGCCTGCGCGAATCGGTGAAACGTGATGCTCCGCGCGTAGAGGCGAGATGCTAGGCTTCTCTCGTGCGCGTCGACGGCGTGATCCGCTGCGGTCGCCGCGGCACGTGCGCGTCATTCTGCGGCCTCTCTGAAGCTTAATGTTGCATGTGCTCTCGCACGAAGCGATCGCTGCCCCGGCGCGAGGAAGTGATCCGGCCGACGGCTGCCGGCTTCCAATCGATGTCTTCGGTCGTTGCGACGCGGCCGCGGACGCTATTCAATGAGTGTGGCGCCAGAAACAGGGAGTCGAGTGCTAGGCCCCCCAAAAAGCTGGGGAGTCATCGACGCAGGCCTGGCAGAGCTCTCGGCGGCGGGTGTTTGTACGTCTAGCGTAATTTTGGCGCGCTAGTGTGTAACGTCTAGGTATTAGCATCCCGTTTGTGCGGCGCATTTTACGTGCGCTCGTGGCGGTGGAAGGCCTGACAGCGCTTGGCGTTTCAGGAAAAAGCGCCTTGACAGCTGCGCCGCGGGTTGTACGCAGACCGCATCGCGATTGGCTCGGTACCCGTCGAGTAACAGCCGTCAGAGGGCGGACAGCCGCCGAGCGCCGCCCCGCGGACGCGAGAAGCCCACAGCGCGCGCGCAAGACAAAAAACAAGATGCACGGCACCCTCGAGAAGAAAGTACCGCGCCCCTTCGGCCTCGCCGCGTGGCAACAAAGAGACGTAAGCCTCGAGGAGGACGCTTTGGTCGTCGTAAATGCCAAAAGACCGGCGGACACGAAGCGCTACCCCTTCGCCTTCGTCAGCTTGCAACCTTCCGCAAAAGCGCCCAAAAACAAGCTCGCCTTCGCTTTACTTGATGAAGATGGGGACGCGGAGCTGACTTTGGCGGTCGAGACCAAGTTCGCCCACCAGCGCTGGACGCGGGCCATCCAAGAAAGGTTAGATGCTCAGAAACAGAAGGAGCAGGAGCCGGCGACGCCGACGCCGCCGCCGTCGAAAGTGGTGCTCGGAGATCGGACGAATACCAAGGTGCGGCTCGTCGAGGCCAAGAAGCCGCCGACACCGAAGAAGACGCCCTCGTCATCTCCCGACGCGACGCTCGGGAGTTTTGGAGAGTCCGGGTCCGACCTGACGCCCGCGCCGCGCGCCGTCGTGGAAAAAGCATTATCGACAAAAAAGCGGACGCCCCAAGGGTCAAAGGTCGTCACCTACGCCCAGGGCGCCCACGCTGCCGCCGCGGCGCCGGCGGAGCCCGCCGCGTCCGGTGAGCCTACCGCGTCCGCCGCGAAGGCGGAGCGCGCGCGCGGCCTCGTCGCGGGAGAGATGGAGTGCGCCGTTTCCGAGGAGGCGGTCGTGGAGGAGGCGCCGAAGGAGGAGAAGTTCGCTGCTTTGTCAAACCTCTTCGCGGCGCGGGCGCCGCCGCCGCCCGCCGCGGACGAGCCCCCGAAGGAGGAGAAGTTCGCCGCCCTGAACAACTTGTTCGCGGCCCGCGCGCCGCCGCCGCCGCCCGCCGAGCCCCCGAAAGAAGAAAAGCATGCTGCGCTGTCGAACCTCTTCGCGGCGCGCGCCGCGCCGCCCGCGCCGCCCAAGGAGGACAAGCACGCCGCGCTCAGCGACTTGTTGGCGGCGCGCGCCGCGCCGCCGGCGCCGCCCTCGCCGCCGCCGGCGCCGCCGAACAAAGTAAAAAGCGGCGCCTTCGCGAACATTGGGGCATTATTCGCCTGTCGCCGGGCGCCGCCGTCGCCGGCGCCCTACGAGCGCTTCTCGCTGACCTTTGTCAAGGGCCCCCTCGGCATCAAGTTCGAGACGTCTGAACGACCTAGGGTGGAAGAAGTCACGAGCGACTCGGAGCACCGCGCGTCGTTGCAACCGGGCGACGAGGTCGTGGGCATTGGCAAAACAAGCTTCTTCGAGAAGGAAGACGATGTCGAAAAGGGCGGCGACGGCGTCTTCAGCACGGACGACTGCTACGAGCTGCTGGCGGACGCCGTCGAGCGGGAGGCCTTTCCCCTGGTCATCCATTTGCGGCGACGGCGCAAGGCGGCCTCGAAGCCTTCTACTCCAGTGCTCGAAGTGAAGAAGGCCGCGCCGGTCGACGACAAACTACTGGAGCCCTACCTCAAGATGAAGAAGTTCGGCCTCGACGCGGACTGCGCGATGCATAAAGCGAAGCAGGACGGCAAGCTCGACGCGAACGGCATGAACGCCCTTCGCGAAGCTTTAGGTCTGAAGCCGGCCACACCCATCAAGAAAGCCGAGGAACCGGTCGACGAGTCCAAGCTCTTCGCGGCCAAGAAGAAGAAGAAGGTCGGCGTGCCCCTCGAGAAGATCATGGCGACGGTCGTCGGCGAGGGCTGCAACCACGCGACGCTGGTGGCCATCGCCCGGGCCATCGGCGCGCCCATCCCCGAAGCGTCAACAGTACAAGCAGCGCCCCAGTCCACGACGAAGAACATCCACTGGGACGGGTTATCTTCACCTTCTATTCAGAGAAGGAAGGGGTCGTTGTGGGGTAGATCTGGCAGAAGGAAGCGCGAATCCCTGGGAGCGAGGGCGGAATCGCTCTTCACGGAGAACCAGGCCGCGTCCGAGATGCTCGAGGAGATGTTCGCGCTCGCGCCGGCGCCGAAGAAGGCCAGCAAACCGACTGGCGAGAAGGAGGTCCAGCTCCTCGAAGGCACGAAGGCTCAAAACCTCGAGATCACGCTCGCGAACCTGAGAGATGTGAAGCCCTGGCCGCCGACCGAGGACGAGTCGTCTTCTGACTCCATCGTTCTTGGATTGAATGATTGTAGAAATCTATGTGCGGACGCGCCGGGATTAGTAAGGGCATTGGTCGCCACTGGTCTCGGTAGTGATGATGTGGAGCGGTGCGCGCCACCGGACGTCCTGCGACGCTTAGTGGAGAACATGCCCGACGCGGAGACGTGCCGCAAAGTGGCCGAGGCCGCTTCGAAAACGCCAGACGCGAAATTCAACAAGGCGACGGCCTTCGTGGTCGCGGCGCATGGTTTCGGGTTGGCGCGGTTCAAGGCCTGTTTGCAGGGTGCGGCGACGTGTGGTGAGGCGCCGGCTGAGCTCGAAGCTTGTGTTGACGCAGCAAAGACGGCGTCACAAGCCTGTCGGTTAGCTCGAGAAGAGCCCATGCTGCGGGCGGCGTGCCATGCCGCTCTAGCTTTGGGGAATCGGCTGAACCAAGGTTCGCGACGAGGCTCGGCCGTCGCGGTCCGCTTGGTCGACCTCGAGAAACTCTCGCAGACCAAGGGCAAGGGCGGCAAGACGGCCATGGACTACCTCGCGCGCGTGTTGGAGGACGACGCCTTCGACCGGGAGGAGGGCTTGGACGGCGCGGAGATCGACCGCGCTCTCAGAATCATAGCCCCGAAGCTGAAGGCCGGCGCCGAGAATGCGATCGCCGAGAAGACGCTGGAAGTCAAACAACGTGAAATGAATGCGTTGAACGCCCTGGACCACTTCGTCAAGGGCGTGCCGAAGAAGACGAAGTCGGCGGATGACGAGGCCGTCGCGGCGTTCGTCCGCAACGTGCCGGAGGCGTCGAAGGCGACACGTGATGCATTAAATGAGGCCAAGAAAGCCCTGGACGAGATGCATCAGGAGCAAAAACTACTAAGGGAGTACGTCGGCGACAAGGCGATGCAGATTCCTGAAATTCTCGAGTCGATTGCCTCCTTCTCGTCGAAGTTGGTTGCTAGTCGCACGGTGCTGATGGCGGAGCTCGGGAGTTCCTCTCGGCGGTCCTCCGTGCAGACGACGTCGTCGGCGTGAATCCCCCATCCCCCCCTAAGACCAAGATTCTTGAACTTACTGCTGGGTAGAGCCCTCCTTGAGCCGGTCGCGCAGCACTCTCCTAAGAATCTTGCCCGACGCGGACTTAGGGATCTCCGGCACGAATGTCACGTTCTGGATGTGCTTGTACGCGGCGACGCGGCCCGCCACGAAGTTCGTGACGTCCACTGCTGACAGTTGCGTTTCTGGTTTCAGTACTACAAACGCATGGGGTCTTTCATCACCCGGAGTGCGTTGATCGGGCTCTCCGACCACTCCCGCGTCGGCGACCGCGGGATGGGTGAGTAATAAACCTTCGAGCTCCGCCGGCGCCACTTGCAACCCCTTCACCTTGATGAGCTCCTTGACGCGGTCCACGATGAAAAAATTGCCCTCGTTATCGACCGTGGCGATGTCTCCGGTTCTCACAAACCCATCTACAAGGGTCTCGGCCGTCGCGTCCGGCCTGTTGAGGTAACCGGGCATGACCTGGGGCCCCTTGCACCACAACTCGCCCTCTTCGCCGGGTGCCGCGTCCCTAAAGCCCGATGGTGAGGCCGGATCTGCTACTTTCAGACAGGCTTCCGTAGAAGGTACCAATTGGCCAGCAGCACCCGGCTTGCCGCCCTTGACACAATCAATGGTCAACACTGGCGACGTCTCGGTCATGCCATAGCCTTGCACGACCTCGCAGCCGATGCGCGTCGCCGCTTCCTGCTGCGTGTGCGCGTCGAGCGGCGCCGCGCCGCTCATGATGCACTCGAGCGACGAAATCATCTCGGGCTTGACGGCCGGATGTTTGGCCAGGAATAGGATGAGGGGCGGCACCAGGTGGGCGACGTTCACGCGATGCTGCGCAATCGCTTTCAAGAACGTCTCGGGCTCGAAATTCGGCAAAGTTACGAGCGTCGAGCCGTGGATCATCGAGTAGTGGAGGATCGTGACCATGCCGTAGATGTGGAACATGGGGAGTAATCCTAACAGTACATCATTGTCTCCTAGTAGGTCCGGTCGCGCCCGCTTCACTAGCTCATAGGTCTGCTCCAAGTTCGCGACTAGATTCCCATGCGTGAGCATGACGCCTTTGGGGAGGCCCGTCGTGCCTGACGAGTACGGTAGCGCTGCTAGGCATGAAGAAGCGTCGAAGGGTTCGGATGTGGATACGACGCCGCCGCCGATCGCGGTTCTGTCCCCATCAGCTAAGGAGAAGGTACCGGCACCACCATCTGCGCCATCCTGGCAGATGCTTGAATCGGTACCTAACACGCCAATCGTCGCGTCGCTTCCAGACAACTCCACAGCTTCTTTCACGGTGTCATGGAAAACACCAACCGTGAGGATGTGAGACGCGCCACAATCGGAGATTTGATGGGCCAGTTCCCGAGGCGTATAGAGTGGGTTCGACGTCGACACGACACCACCAAGAGCCAAAGCCGCATGGAAGGCGACGGGAAAATCCACACAATTCGGCGAATGGATGAGTAATGTGGAGCCAGCCCCGAACGGCTTCGACGCGGCCGTCTTCAACCGCTCCGCCGCTCGCGCGACGCGCGGCGCGAACTGTCCAAAAGTTAAAGTCTGGCCGCTTAATGCATCAACCAACATGGGCTTGTTCGGGTCGTGTTGCTGGACTTTCGCTGCCACGTATTCAGTGAACGACTGGTTCGGTGGGGTTATCGTGCCGTGGGGGCTGGTGTGGGTTGCTAGCGCGCGCAGCAGCGGCGTGCGGCGCGTCGCGCGGGAGAGGACGACGAGCATGCTGCTAATGCCTTATTGCAATCAGGAGAGCAACCTCCAAAATAGGAGCAGTTCTGTGCGTGGCTAGGAGTTGTCAGCACAATAAGTGCTGCAGGTCGCAGGTCACGAGAGACTGCACGCAGCTACGGCCTGATAGCGCTCGTATGCGATCCTTTGCGCTCGTGCAACAAAAAAAAAGCTCGCTAGTGTCTTACTGAACGCTAGCATGCTCTTTGGCTCCTAGAAGCCAGTGTCATCGCGCGACGACGTCGCACGTGAAATCTAGTGGTTTTGGAACGGCCGTCCGACGCGTCTCGAAGGACTACAACGGCGCGATCTCGAGTTCCGAAACCAATCGAGAACAAAATCACTGGCAGGGAGAGCCCCTGGCCAAGTGACGTTTGAGGATTTATTCGTCGCCAATTCCGGGGACGACGCGCTGGCTCTTTGGGCCGGGGCGGGGCTCGGGGACCTGTGGTTCAAGGGCGACTTCATCGTCGCGTCGAACCCCGGCATCCGCCAGCAAGGCCTCTACGGTGACTGCTTCGCGAGTTACGGCGGCAAAAAAGTCGTGTTCGACAGCTTCACGTGCGAGGATCGCTCGTGCGACGAGGGGGTGCAGGAATCGGGCAGTTCTAGCCCCAACGCTTGCAACGCTTTGAACGGGGCCGGCGCCGTGGTATTATGGGACCAATCTTCCTTCGGCAGCGCGTACCCCGAGGGCAACATGTTCGTCTTCGGCCACGACAGCGGCAAGTTCGTCTGGGCCGACCTCAAGGGGAGCGACAAGGTGGGCTCGTACCCGTACCCGAAGAACCAGCCGGACAAGTACCCGTACTGGGACAACCTCGGCGCGGACTGGTTCTACGGCGGAATTTGGGTGTACAGAGACAAGTACAGCGCCGGCCACCCGAACGTCTGGAAGGAGGACAAAGAGTACAAGTGGGACGAATGAGCACGCGACCGTGGAACCCCCCGCAGCCCCAGGGTAACCACTCATCCCTTAACTTGTTATTCGAAACGGGGGCGGGGCGAAACCGGAGTCCTCCGGCGCCGTCACGAGCAGGCGGACGGGCTCCTCCGACCCGACCGCCTCCGCCTTGTCGACGGCGCGGACCCACTCGTCCCATCCGCCGAGGCCCCGCGAGAACCAGCAGCCCGACACGGCGTTCCACTCCATGCGGTGCTCCCAACGGCCCGTCGATCCGAGGACGGCGACGCGCAGCGGGAAGTCGTAGGCGCAGTTGCACGTCGGCCGGCACGCCTCGAAGGGCATCTTCTGCACTGTGAGGCACAGCTCGTCGTCGTCGTCGTCGAAGTCGGCCTCGTCGCTGCTGGACCCCGTGTTCTCGCGCATGCAGCGCAGCCGCATGAGGCGCTTCCGCTCGAGGCGGATGTCCCACCTGTCGCCGCCGAACTCGAAGAACGCCCGGTGGTAGCGGCGCCACGGCACGGGGTCGCGCCAGAGCTTCGGGCCCTTGATGCGCCGCGAGTTCAGGTACGTCATGTCGAGGCCGGTGAAGTGGCATTTCTTGTGATTAATGGGGAAGATGGTGTCCGTCCGGAGCCCCCGCGCCAGCAAGGCCGCGAGGCCCGTCTCCTCCGTGGGCCGCGCCGCGCCTTCCCACAGGAGCCGCGCGCGGCCCAAATGTAGGTACACGCGCCTCACGTGGCGCGTCCTGACGCCCGCCCTGAAAGACACGCCGACGTCGCGCAGCGCCTCGCGCCACGGGGCGACGTTGCGGCCGCGCCGGTGCGAGAGGAAGAGCGCCCGCAGACCGTCCGGCGCGTCGCGCGTCGCCTTCGCCGCCGCGGCAAAGCGCGCGATAATTTTAAAGACGTCGTCGGGCACGTCGTTGAGGAACGCCGGCCGGGGCTCGGGCTCGCGCCGCTGCTTGTCTATGCACGCACGCCATAGATGCGCGCCAACGAGCGCCGGCGCCCGCGCCACGAGCGCGGCGCTCACCGACGGGATCCCGCCGATCTCCTTCCGCGTCCTCAGCCCCCTCACGAGGTAGCGTAGCTCGCGGCGCTTCGTCGGCGTGAGCTTCGGGATAAGGTCGGCCATGAGCCGCTCGAGGTCGAGGCTGCTCATCTGCTTGTGTCCGCGCCCCGGACGCTCGGGACAAACGAGCTGCAGTTCGAAGCTGCCAGCTGCAAGGGGCGTGTCGAGCGCCTCTCAGCAAGTCTGGCGAACGGATGGCGACGTGCCCACTTGTAACGCAGCGTGCAGTGCCAATGCGATGACTTCGATCGCACTTAGCCCACTGTTGCAACGCGTCATTTGAGCTCGGGCAAAGCTCTGAGCTAGTGTCTTACAGGACGCTAGGTCCGACGGGTCCCAAGCGCCATGGCTAAGAACAACACGCCTCGCGGAGCGATCGCCCGCAAAAGCGCCGCCCCCACTAGGACGGCACGGCTCCCATACTTCTCCCATCGTCGCAGGGCAGCTCTTCTCGGCCGAGGGAGGGGCGTGGCGCAAAAATGGACGTCGAGGCGCCGGCCGCGCCGCGCTGGCGGAAGCGTATGCTTCCCATCACGCACACGCGCCAGCGGAGGAGCTATTTCCAGCCTCTCCTCCTGGGTGCACCACAGCGCCTAAACGCAGCCCGCCCCCGTCCGCGGCCGCATGCGGGCGCTCGGGGAGCCGGCGGCGCGCCGCGCGCCGCCGACCCCGCGATCGCCCGAGGCACCGCCGACCGCGACGCGCCGTTCGGCTCGACGGCGTTCTCTCATCTCACCTCTTCTTCCAAACGCAGGCGCCATCGTCGCGTTCATGCTCGTGTTCCTGGGCTGGTACGAGTTTTTGGTGGTCCCGCGTTTGGAGAGGATGCGGCGCGAGTCCGTGAACAAGGAGCGGTGCGACTACGCGGCGACGACGCTGTTGCTCACGGAGTCCTCGACGTCGAAATCCGCGCGGCTCTTCCTCCAGGGCTGGCTCGGCACGGCGAAGAGCGAGGGCCGGTGGGAAGACATCTGGAAGCCGTCCGACTCCGCCGATGCCCAGAAGGTCATGCAGCGCAACGCCGCGTGGGGGCTGGGCCTCGTCGCGGCGACGGACGTCATGGCCGCCGGCATCGCGCCGGAGTCCAAGGAGGTCCTGGACATGCGCCTCCAGCTCCTCGTGGCGCCGGTGATTGATCGCAGCGACGCGCCGGCCTGGGAGGACGCCTGGCGCGAGCTCGCGCCGACATGTTATAAATGCGCGATGGACGAGGGCATACGGCCACTGGCTGAGGGGGTCTGCGCAGCAGCTAAATCGGGGCTTTTGTCCCTGTATTGCTCGAAAGACGAGGAGGCTGATCGAGAACAAGTGCTGGAAGACTACAACGTCACGGGCGTGAAGTTGGAGAAGAAGGACGTGAGCGTCTGCGACGTAGACGATTTTTCGGACCTGTGTTGCGCGCTGGCCAACGCCGAGACGATAGCAACGACGGTAGCGGAGGAAGATACGGTGTGTTATGAAAACGTGCTGACGATCAACGGCGGCAAGATCGCCGATGAGCTCACGCAGGAAATGATCGACAGCATTCCCCGCCCGGTCTGGGAGTTCGACCACGATTTGACCGCGGACAAGATCTGCTACGGCGACGACGACAAGCACTGCACGGGCCTCTTAAAGGACTTGGACGAGGCGCCGCCGCCCACCAACCCCGACGTCGTCCAGCAGTCGAAGATCGCGCCCTGCACGTACGCGTGGTGGTACAACGACATGGACGACGTGACGACGCGCGCGGGCCCGGGCAACTACACGGCGCCGCCCGGCGACACGACCAAGGGTTGGAACGACGAGGAGTTCAACGTGAGCCCCTACGACTTCGTGCTGGGCATTGATGTGATTGCCTATTTGGGTGGGCGATTAGCCGAGGAGGGTAGCACGTGCGGGGCTCCAGCATCGTTAAGACCCTGCACGGCGCTAGATGTTCTAGCTAGAGGCGAGACCTTTGTGGAACAGCATGATGATCGGAACTGGGCCTTTTTTTATGTGTGGGAGGAGGGGCCCCACGGCGCGGCCGTCAGGACGCCGACGGACGACGAGCCGTTCGCTGGTGTGCTCGCCGTCGGCATCATGATGTTCCAGGGCCCCAAGAGCGTCCTTGAGTTGCTCACTCTAAAGCACCGCCGCATCCACTATCGGGAGGCCGATGCTCGTAAATTACCCCCGGCAGGCGAGTATAATCCGCAGCCCGATTATACGGTCGATAAACGTCGCGTGACGAAGGGCGACGACTACGCCAAGGCTACTGTTAGGAGACCGTTGCATACCACTCCTTTCGAGATCGTCTGCGAGGACTGGACGCCCTTACCGAAGCTGAATGAGGGCAACCTGCGGTTTGTGGTCACCCTCATCATCTTGGGAACGATCGCTCTGTTGACACTCGCACTAGTGTGGCGCTGGGACGAGGAGCACGCGACGCACCAGAGGTTATTGACGGATGCGGACGCCGTGATTGATCACGTCGGGGACGGTGTTGTCGTCCTCACGTACGATGAAGACGGCTATCGAGTATTAAAGTGCAACCAGGCCGCGGACGTCGTCGCGCCGAACGGCGATGTCTTGGATGGTGTTTTACGACAAAAACCGGTAGACCGGTCCACGGGGACGGCCTTGGATGCGATTCTCGCGGGCCCGAATCCCACGCAACGCACCGTGACCGTCGCCGTCGATGTTGAGGGTGGCCGGACCGTGGAAATCGTCGCTCGCCAGCGGTTCAATGGGCGGTGGAACGTCGAATTGTCGTGGGTCGTGTGTCTGCGAGATGTTACTGAAAGATTCAACGAACAACGAGAGAAAGCACGCGTCGAGTCGCTGGAGCGGATGACGCTGTTTGTGGTTGGGGTGCGGCGGGACGGTGCCGTTGCTTTATGGTCCCACGGTGCTAGAGAGGCGACTGGTTTGGACAGGCCTGGATCACTTGCGAACCTACCCTTCGCCCACACGTCCGACCGGAGGAAAGCCCTGCAGGAGGTGCGGAGAATTGCTGATGGAGGCGCTCCCAGACCGTTCGCTCTATCATTACGAGCGAGGCACGGTTTTGTGTCACTCGTGATGCAGAACGTAAATGACATTTCGGGGACCGTGGCCGCCACGTTCATCGGCACGCCCATCGACGCCTCTCTATTAACACTAGCGACGGACGGCACGCACTTAAAGAACGCGGAGTTCCTCACAACCGGATCGCACGTGTCGAGCTGGGCCTGCGCGGTGCCGGTGGCCGAGTCGGTGGCCGAGTCGGTGGCCGAGGCGTCGAACGTGCATGAAGTCGGCCGGGCGCCGCCGCTGCCGGGTATCGAAGAAAGGTCCGAGATGAACGCGTCCCTATTTGATCGGAGATCCGTGGTTTCTGGATTTACTGCTAGGACCGACGAAGAACAGGCGGCCGTCGAGAGGACGGCCTCGCAGGCGCCCTTCATGCGCGACCCCGCGCGCCTTAGATCTCTCGTACTAGGCCCCGGCGAAGGTTGTTTGTTGGGGATCTTTGATCAAGCCTCTTTGCCGCTGCGGGTCCATCCTCTAGTGCAAGGTGCCGCGCACGAGCAGCGCATCCAGATCGGCGCGTCGGCCTGGCAGGTGGCTCGCGCGGACATCACCATAAACTTACCAGCTGGGACGTATGCTTTTGCCGCCGTGCCCCAAGAAGGGGCGATTCGCATCGGAGTAGGCGCCCATTTCGAGCGGCGAAGGCGGGGCGCGCCGTGGGCCGACCCCGTGGGCGTCGACGACGCCATCGACGACGACGAGGGCGCCTGGTACGCGCTCGTCGGGTTGGGGGGCGCGGACTTATTGCACAGATACGCCGGCGACTTCGAGACGTTGTATGAGGATCTGCGGGCCGTCGCCGGCGGCGTCCTCGAGGTCGACCCCTTGGGACAATTAACAAGGTGGGCCGTCGTCAACCCGTACGTGGCGGACCAGGGCGAGACGGCGGCGCTCGCGGCGCGCGTGCCGCTGCCCCAGGACAAGTTGTACCTCCAGTCGTCTGCTGGTATTCTGACGACGACGCCGGCGGGCTACGAGACGCGCGCCAGCCTCGCCAAGGCCTGCGCCGCGGCGCGCCGCCGCGTCGCGCGCGCGGCCCGCGCGGCGCGGCGGACCCATAGCCTCGACGCGCTCCTCCAGGCCCAGGCCTCGTTCCTCGCGCTGCGGCGCAAGCTGCGCGACGCGGGCGGCGCGGGCGCCTACCAGCGCGAGCGCGGCCAGCGCACGGTGCTCCGCGACCTCGGCTTGCTCGACGACCGCGAGAAGCGCTTCCGGGCGCGGCGCCGCCTCTGCTGGATCGGCCAGCGCGACCCGGGCTCCATACTCTCCCGCCTGCCGGCGCACGTCCTCGACGAGGTCGTGCCCTACTTTGACCCCGCGCCGCGCGCGGCGGTCTGACCTCTCCCCTGCCTAGCCACGTTCGCCGCCACGCGCCGCCCCCAGGGCCGCGGGCCTCGCCCGTCTCTGCACATAGCTTACTCCACGACTACTGCTAACCTTAGCACAAAGAATCTTTTTTGTTTTCTAGTCGTCTGCCCGTACGTTGAATCACATACGAATCTTATCACTATTCACTCCTCAATCACAAATTCTCCCTCGTCCTCGATACTGAGGGCGTCGTTGTCGAAATCCTCAACATTGAGGGTGGGCGTCCGAGGCCGCGAGTCGTAGTAGCCGCCCGCGCCGGCCGAGCCGACACTAATGCCAAAGGAAAACGCCAGGACGTGCCAGACGATCTCGTTGGGACTCTTCGCGAGGATGTCGAAGGCCGTGCGGTGGTCGCCCGCGTAGAACCAGGTCGTCGCGGCGCGGCCCTTTCGCACGAGCGCGAGCAGGACCAGGATCTCCTTCTTGGCGTACCGCGCGTAGGACCCTTTGGCCGCGCGGACGCCGCGGAAGACGCGCTTGAGCTCGGCAAAATGGGGGTCGGCGGCGTACGCAGGCCGCTTTCTCTCCTGTTCCCGCAGGACTTCCTCAGCCGACTTGTCACCAAAGCACGCATCCAGCGGCGCTCCGGCACGCAGTAAAACGTGGACTATCTTCAATGTGTCGCGCGTTGAGAGCTCCTTATAGCTATGCGTCAAAGGGTCCCAATATGTCTCCTCCTGCCTGAGGACAAAAGATAACGCCGTCAAGCCACTCTCACGCGTGATGGAGCTGGCACCATTTACGATATGAGAGTTGATCAGAGGGCCGCGAGCCTTTGCACGAACATCAGCGCCAGCGTCGACTAGGAGAGAGACCATTTCCATGGAGGGCGCGGCACGCCACCCTCGGCAGCCACACGCATTCATTAAGGCTGTAATGCCCATCTCATGGCAGCTGTTGCTAGGGTCTGCTCCACGAGCGATGAGATCGCGGGCTAACCGTAGCCAGCATTCAGCAGAGGGACCGTCATGATTAGGGTGGGGCCATGGGGCGAGTGTAGCCCACCAAAGCAGGGTCCGGCCGGACCCACGCGGTCCAACGCCCCATCCCGGGCGATCGAAGTCGTCCACGTGATGCGCCCTCAGCCAATCGTGCATCGCACGGATGAATTCGTCACCCCGTTTTTGAAACAATCCTCCGCCGTGCCCCGCATAGTCATACGCTTCCACGCCATAGAGTTCATCCTGCTCGGCACGGGTCAGCTGTCGGGGGACCAGCGCCATCACTGCAGCACAGCTGTCGAGCGGCCGCAGTGGTGCGATTCACAGCCCCTGGTGCGATCTACAGGCACCAGACGCACGTGTGCTTGCGTTTTTGAGACAAAAGTCACTGCTCCATAAAAGCTCGAGGCTAGCGGCCTGTAAGGCACTAGCAATCAACAAGCTCCGACCTGGGACCACAGAATACGTACTCTAAAGTCACGCCGCGCCTCGATTTTATCGATTCTGTACGCCAAGCATCACTGCTCTGCGAGCCCGCCGCTTCTTGTGACAGCTTACCACCCACAACACACGACGCTCTCCTAAGCGCAGACTGGCATTTAATCAGCGCCTCACGCCATCAGCGCGACGTCACACCACCAAACCTCACGCCATCAGCGCGACGTCACAACAAACCATGGCCAGCGCCATCTCCGACCTCCGCCTCGCCCAGGCCTGCGTCGCCGCCGCCGGCCGGCTCCGAGGCGTGGCTGCCGAGCGGCTCGAGCCGAAGGCGCTGGTCGAAGCGCTCGTTTCCGAGCGACCGCTCGTCGGGTTGGAGGCGCTGCCGAAGGGAGCAGCGCTAGGGGCCGTCCGCGACCCGGCCGTCGTCGCGCTGGCGGCGCCGCCCGACGTCTCGGTCAGGCAGGCCGCGGTCGACGACTGGCCGAAACTCACGAAAAAGCAGTCGTCCTGGGCCGATTACGTATATGGCAAGCAGCCCCTCTTCGCGAAGCGGCCCGTGGTCTTCGCGGCGGCGGCCGGCGACGCGACGGCTTCATATTTGGACCACGCCGCGTCGATCGCCGGCGCGCCCTTCTGCTGCCTGCGCGACGCGGACACGATGAAAGCTTTCGCGGCGGCCGCGGGCTGCGCCGAGGTTATTGAGGACGCGCCCTCTCCAGAAAGCGCCGCGGCGGCCATGGGCACTTCATGCCACGCGCTCAACGTCCACGCGACCTTCGCGCAGCTCTACGCGCCGGACCTTCCAGTGAGACGCGTGCTGGCCGTGGCGGCCGGCCCGGGCACGCCCGAGCTGCTCAGAGAACTGGAGGACCTCGCGGCGGCGCTGCGGCCGGCGGACGACGCGGACGTGGACGTCGACGCGGCGCTCGACGCGCACAAGGCGCTCCTCGGCGCGTGCGCGGTCTTCGCGTGCGACCTGGAGGGCGACGTCTTCGAGCTCGCGCCGCGGGGGACGACGCTTGGCGGTGGTGGTGCTAGTGAATAATAGTATGTGAACTTATGATAAGGGGTAAAAGGAACAGGCCTAGTCCGCCTTCGGCGTGCGGCGCCGCCCCCGCCGCGGCGCCGGCTCCTCCTCCTCGGACTCTTCCTCCTCGTCCTCGTCGTCGTCCTCCTCCTCGGCCTCGTCCTCATCCACAACAGCCTTCTTCTTCCGCGTCATGAGCAATGTGACGATCAACACCAACAGCGTCCCGCCGGCGGCCAAAGGCTGGTCGAGCGCCTTATCTAAAACCGTTTGACCGACCTTCTTCGCCTTCAGCAGCAGCCCGCGCCAGCCCTTGCCCTTGGCCGCGCGCTTCGCGGCCTTCTGAGCCTTCTTCTCGGCCGCCTTCCTTGCTTCCTCCTCTTTCTTCGCGTAGTACGACGCTGCCGAATCCTTCGCCTCGACCTCGGACCCGCCCAGGTAGAAGTTGTCGTACGCGATGCCGCCGTTCGTCGTCCAGACTTCCACGGCCACCGCGCCGACGGGCTTCAGGTTTTTGGAAGGGTTTTTGGGTTCGAAGAACTCCTTGTTCGGGATCTTGCGCGGCGCCCAGGGCCCTTTGTAGTCAGGGTTGTCGATCTGCGGCGGGTACCACTTGCCCTTGTAGTCGGGGTTGTCGATCTTCGGCGGCGACCACGGGCCGCAGCCCGGCGCCTTGTCGCACTTGGGGTTGGCGATCTCCTGCGGTGGGTGGTAGACGGGTGAGGCGCGGCGACGGCGTGGCGGTGTGTTCGACGCGCACTCGAGGGCCGTCACGCCACGCCACGCCTCGACGCGGCGTGGCGGGTGGAGGCACGGCGTGGCGGCGGCGGCATGGGTCATACGCCATTGACGCGACACGCCACTCGCGGGATACGCGCCAGCCGCCTCGACGCCATCGACGCGACGCGACGCGACGCGTAAAAGGACACGGCATCCAGACCGGCGCCTCCCATTCCCCGTCCTCCTCGTCGTCCCAGTCGTCGGGCGCCTCCGCCGACGGGTCCGGGATTAGTAAAGGCTCGTCCTCGAGCCACCCGGCCGGCATCGTCGCGGTCGCATCATCAATTTCCCGCGGCGCGTCCTCGTCCCAGTCGTCGGGCTTCGACGCCTCCGGGTCGTCGATCTTGGCAGCATCGACCCAGTCCTTGGGCTTGGAGTCGTCCGGGTCGTCGATCTCCTTGGGCGGCGTCAGGGGCGGCTCCAAGGCGTCCATGAGACTTCCCGAGAAGGCCTCCTCGTCGTCAATGTAAATAGCAAAGGTGTCGTCACTATTAATGACCGCCTTGTAGAGGTGCGGGCTTCTATCAGCCTTGGCCCGCGGCGCGTCCCGCAAGTGGTGCTCGTACCACGTGTTCGATTTGGGGTTCTTCTGCCGCACGATGAAGTGGACCTTATCGGTGGCGCCGCAGCGGTCCGGCCCGAACATGAGCACGTAGGGCGACTCGTTGTCGAACTTCGAGGTGTCCACTGGTGATTCTAAAAGTTTGACGTAGGCGCCGCCGCAGGTCAGGCCGTCCGTCAGCGTCGACTCGTACTGGATCACGAGCTTGTCGTCTAATTTAAAAGGCGGCTTGATCTCGGCCGCGACGCCGTACATGCGGTTCGGTTCCTTCAGCATCAACGCGCCGTCGACGATGCCCACATCTTGATTGGCGTAGCGGTCGTTCGTCGACTCGACGAAGGGCGCGGTGCTGTCGCCCTCGAACGTTGCGGAGAACTTGGCGCTCGCCGCGGCGGCGACGACGAGTAGCCTCCCGACGAGGAGCGGCATGGTTTCGGCTGGCTCTACGCGATCTTACGCTCAGCGCGACGTCGTGTCGTGTGCAAGAGGTAACCAGCCGAGATATGCACCCTTTTTCGTCGCGCTGGATTGCCTCCTCGGAGCGCTAATCCGCCGCGTGTGGCTGCGATTTCGGAGATGTGTGTGCTAGCGTCATCGATACTAGAAATTTTAGCTCTCAGCAAGCTCGGGGACAAAAAGCGCTCGCTCGTAGCCTGCTGAGTAGTGCGTCGATCGATAACTCTGCCTATACGACCCTTGCGGCTGTAGCCAGCACGGCTGCGCAGCCACAGAGGCATTCACATCGGCTTGACCACTGGTACCCCAGCTGTACGCCAGCCGTCGTGTGAGGGCAAGATGCGCCGAGCCCTCTTTCTACTGACCACGGCCCACGCGCTGGACTGGGTCAACCCCAAGTACTGGCAGCTGCAAGCGTCGACCGCGAAGCTCGTGAGCGCCTGTATAGGGCGGGGCAGCACGGTGCTCGAGGTCGACGCCGTCGACGGCGCGAAGAACTTGTATTATTTGCCGATGGGATGCACCATCACCCAATGGCTCAACCCCCAGGAGGCGGCGAAAGACATTGGGCCCACAAAAATGGCAGCCTCGAAGAACGGTCAGGGTTTGGAAACGGTTAATGCCAGAGACAACGGCCGGAAGGCGCCGCGCCTGCAGCCCGAGTCCTTCGACGCCTGTTTGATGTTCGGCGCGCTCGCGCGCGCGGCGCCGCGCGGGCCGGATGCCGTGTTCGAGACCTGTGATGCGGCTCTCAGAGCGCTCAAGCCGGACGGGCGGTTAGTGTTCGTCGAACGGACCGACGACGCGGAATTGTTATTAGCGACGGCCTTGGACGACTCCGACCTCGTCGCCGACTGCGAGTCGTCCCGCGAGCACGGGGCGATCATCGGCGTCGTGACGCGCGGCTTGGATCCGGCGAAGAAGCGGAAGAAGAGTAAGAAAGGGTTCTAGCATGATACGCTGTCGCGGCGACGGCGTCTGCTCCTAGTATGTTACGCTAGGTGCTCGACTTTTGGCGCATTGCTGGCGCCTCAAGTGCTCCAGTGATTGCATTTGTGCACCAGACGATCACTTGTTCAAGCCACTTGCACGCCATGATCCATGCGCTCCTCCTCTCCACGCTGCTCGCATCGGCAGGCGCCCTGCGCCCACGCACGGTGATTGTCACTGGTGCCACTGGCAAGACCGGCCAAGCTGTCGTGCGAGAACTGCTCAAAGACGACCAGACGACGATCCGCTGCTTTGTGAGGAACGAGACGAAGGCAAAGGAAGTGCTACCGGAGCACCCGCGCGTGCGCATCGGACCGGTGGATCTCGAGGACCCCGAGAACGTCGAACAGCGGACGCTGGACGGCGACGCCGACGCAGTGGTCTGGTGCGCGACTGGCCTGGCCTCCGACGGCTCGACACTCATTGATCAAATATCGCTGCCGACCCTGGCCAAGGCGCTGCCCAAGGTGTCCCGGGACGCGCCTCCGAACTGCGTGATGCTCTCGTCGGCCGCTGTTACAAGGCCGGGCTGGTCGTCGCGCAAGCAGAAGAAATTCGAGCGGAGCTACGACATACCTATTGTTCGTTTGAACCCGGCGGGGATCCTGGGCAAGAAGCTCAACGCCGAGAAGAAGCTGGCGAGGGCGACGCCGGCGTTCTGCGTCGTCCGGCCCGTCGGGCTCAACGACGACTGGCCGCGCGGCCGGCCCGTGTTTTCGCAGGGCGACGTCGCGGTCTGTGTAGAATACAAAATTTCACGACGCCTTCACGTCGCGTCGACCTCTACGCCATCGATGCGACGCTTGCTCGATAGCGTGGCGGGTGCACGACACACTGGTTGATTCCGCACAGGTCGCGGTCGGCCGCTCGAATCGGGAGGACGTGGCTGCTGTCCTCGTTGCTGCTTTGGACGCGGCGGACGCTAGGGGCAAGACTTTTGAGATGGCGACGTTGAAGGGCTACCCCCCACCCTCGTCGTATGACGACGCGTTCGGGGCGCTCGCGTACACGCCGTCGCGGCGCGCCACGGCCGCGACCTACGCGCTCGTGCAGCAGCTTCTGCCCGGCGTCGAGCAGGACCCGACACGCCTGGAGATGGGCCGGCGCTACGAAGAGGTCGACAGCGGTGCCGTCGACCGCGAACGGGGCGCGGCGGCGACGGACCGCGAGAAGGCCGTCGCGGCGGGCGCGGCCGAGGGGATGAAGTCTTAACAACACTACAACTTATTCAAACGACGATCATCGGGCAGTTGCGACGGCGGGCGGTCCTCCTGCCGATCCGCCACAATATTCAACTTCCTCGATTGAGTTGGTGCCAATTGGAACTCCATCGCCCCGCCGTATTTCTCCGGCTTCTTCACTATTAACCCATAATGTTGGCAGCGCTTCGCGATCCAGGTGCCGGCGCCCGAGCCCTTGGGCGGGATCTCGGGGTGCCGCTTGTAGAACGCGTTGAGGTGGTTGCTTCTCAGGGGACCCATGGTCTGGATATCTCGTCTCAGAGTGTCCATGAATTTGACGTCGGCTTCCGGGATGACGGGCGCCTTGCTCTTTTTGTCTTTTTTCTTTTTCTTGCGGTCCCGCCGGCTGCGGTCGCGGCTGCGGCTGCGGCTGCGGCTGCGCTTGCGGCCCTTGAGCTTCTTCGCGCAGCCCCGGCAGGCGCGGCACTTGACGAGCTCGAGCTTTCTTTCGCCTTGTTCCACGTACTCGAAAGGCAGCTCGAAGCTCCGCAGGCCGTCGCGCGAGTCGCAGCCGCGCGCCGCGCATATTCGTTCGCCCTTGCCGCTCGTCACTTCCGCGGCGGTTCGCCATCTTAACCCGACGGCGCCCTCGCGCCACCGCGACAGATCGCAGATCGCGTATTCCTTGTGCAGCGCGTCGTAGTACCGCCGCGCCATGCGCGTCTCCCAGCGCCGCGCGTTCTCGGCGTCGGCGTCGTCGTCCCGCACGAACTCATGCTCTTGCCGAAAAATGCGCTGCGTCTGTGCCGCGCCGGCGCCTTCATCTAATGCGTCGGTCAGCGTCGACGAGGCGTCGGAGGGCTGGCGCTGCATCGATGGCGTGCCGGTGTTTTTTGTCTTTTTAGCAGGCAGCACAGGCAGCACTGAAACGAGCCGCAGCTTTGGGCACGGATGCTGCTGCTGTGCAAAATCAATCGAAATCAACGAGCCTCGTATACCTGCGCCTCGGATGCGGGCCAAACTCAGCTCTTCGTCCGTGCTTGCTTGCTAGTGTCTTACACCGCTAGATAAAGATACTTAAGGTCACACAAACAGTGCCTCACGAGTCAGCCGGCGTCGCGGCGGAGGCCTCCGCCTCCGCGACTTTCGCGGAGAGGAGCTCCCGCGCCCGCTCACGCAGCTCACTCTTCTCGAAGCAGCCGCGGTCGTTGCCGCCGGCCACCTTGATCAAGCGCCGGAGATGCGCGACGGATGCCCCGTCGACCTGGGCCAGCTGGCTGGCCCATTGGCGTGCGTGCACAAGGCCGGCCGTCGGGGGATGCATCATCGCATTGATCCCCTCACGCAACATCGCCTCGGGCATCGCGGCGGACGCGGGCTTGCCCCGGGCGCGCATGCTGAGCCGGTCGAGGCACTTGAGGGTGACTTCGCGCTTGCCGTTGTGCCCGAGGACCGGGTGCCACTGGGCCAGGTCATGCAGCATGGGCCAGGGCGCGTGGGCCCCCGCTTCCGCCAGGCACTCGACGATGTCCACGCGCCCCTCCTCCACGGCGACGCGGATCGGATAGCGACCGTAGTTATCTACCTGGTCGACGTCGCAGCCCAGGGCGACCAGTCGCCGCATCGTCGAGAGCGGGCAGATAATCGCCGCCTGGTGCACCGGCGACGAGCCGTCGAACCCAGTTTTGGCGTTCATGTCGGACCCGGCGGCCGCGAGCGCGGAGAGACCCTCGAGGTTGTTCGAGCGGTTCGCGACGTGCACGGCCGTCAGTTTGTAGTCGTCCAGCGTCGTCCGCCGCTCGAGGTCCGCGCCGAGCGCCGCCAGGCATCTAATGACCTTGGCCGAGTCGTAGCCCTTCACGAGGCGCTTGCGCGCCGGGCTCCAGTCGGGAAAGATGCCCTGCAGGATCTTTTTCATTACTGGGCCCGGCGTGAAGAACGCGGCCTGCAGTAGGGCCGTTTCCGCGCCCATGCACGCCGAATTGTCGTGCCCCACCGAGAAGCCCTGCTTCGCTAGCGGGTCGTTCTTTTCATCTTCTTGCGACTTCTGGACCGCGCGGCGGTTCGTCGACGAGTCCCCCGTGATGTGCGAGATGTCCGCGTCGACCGGCACCTTGTCCTCCCGGACGAGTCGCTCGATGGCCGCGACGTCGCCGGTGAACACGGCCGCGGTCAGCTCGACGAGGAGCGGCTCGCGGTCCTTCCCGGCGTCCGTGCCGCAGACCCGCTTGTGGCTCTTCCACGCCCGCTTGAAGCAGGCCCGGTCGCAGAAGCGCGGGCCCAGCTTGCCGCACTTGCCGCACTGCTGCGTCGCGCCCGTTCGCCCGCAGTAGCCGCACAGCCGCGCCAGCGCGTACGTCCGCCCGCCGGTCGTATCCGTCTTGACCGAGTAGTGCTCCCGCTCCGCGAGTGCATCGGCCAAGTCAGCTCTGGTCGGCACGATGCCGCACTCCTTCGACAGCCACCTGACGACGTGTTTCGCGTCCCGGACAAGCGCCGCAAAAACGACCGAACGGGCCGGTCCGGAGTCAGTTACCCGCGACGGCTTCGACAGGTCCGCACCGTGCGATCGCAACAGCTTCAGCCCGTCTAGGTTGCCGCACATCGCGCACGTAAAGCCTGGGGAAAGTTCTGATCCCCCGTCCGGGTCCACGCCAGCCTCGAGCAGCCACTGCGCAACTGCTAGGCGCGCCTCCATCGTCCACCACGTTTTTTTCGTCGTGACAGTCCCATCCATTTGCCAGTGGGTTACGTCAGTGGGTCGACGCCTCGCGTCCGCGCCGCGCGCCGCCCGCGACGCATCGAAAGAAATACTCGCTGCTATCACCGTATCATCGAGTATTTGGCGCAGGACGGTGCCACCGCCAGAACTTCCGTCCAGGTCTACTCCCGCGTCACGGAGGGCCGCGAGGACTGAAATGACGACGCGCGGGTCCGCCACGCCCGCCTCTTCTGTCCTCGCGACGAGAGCGAGCATCGCCAACGGCACGCCGCAGGGGCGCATGGGCGCGTTCAGTTCGCTCAGGCACTTGATGACCTCCGGTTTCCCTCTCTGGATAGCGAGTTCCACGAGCGGCGGATCGCACGCGTTCAAGTTAGCGCCATTGGCGACGAGCTGTCTCAGGCGCGCGACGTCTCCCGCTGCAGCGGCTTTGAGGAGAGGGTCCGCCGCCATTCTCGCTGCCCTAGGCCCCTCTTGCGCTGGCGTCGCTTTCAGCGGCGCAAACCGCTCCCGAAGAGGAGACGAGGCCTTCGCGGATCAATGTCGATCACAAATGATCGAAAACCGATAATAGCGCTCCTCGCGCGCTCAACAACACGCTTTGCCCAAGGCACAGCCGAGCTAGCGTCAAGTAAGACACTAGAAAGCACAAGCTCCCAAGCCTCACAGCTGTTTGACGGGGCTTCCGGGGCCAAAGGCTGAAGAAACATTGACCTGAGCAGCGCATCACTGCCAATTCGTCGCGAACCGCTGAAATAACCAGCCGCGTACGCCCCAAGAGCATGTCCTCCTCAGGAGAGGAGGACGAGCCCACGTGTCGCATCTGCTTCGGCGGCGCCGAAGACGGCGAACTCATCGAGCCCTGCAAGTGCGCCGGGTCCATGGCATTGATCCACCGCTCGTGCCTCGACGCCGTGCGCGTGAGCGGCTTCGACCCGTCTTCGCTGGTCAAGTGCGGGCTCTGCAAGGAGAATTACGTCCTGGAGGGCACGGGCGGCGGGCCGCGGCAGGAACTAATGTACACGGTCGGCCGCTACTTGGGGCTGCGGTTCCTGGCGCTCTTCGCGGCGGCCGGCGTGTTGGGATTCACGCCGCGGCTCGTCCCCGGCGCCGCGCAAGAGCTCCAGGTCGCGCGGAACCCGGTGGTGAACCACTTCAGTGTCGGCGGCGTGGCGACGCTGATCCTGACGGGCGGCTACGCCGTCGTCGCCTTTGTCGGGCCACTGAACCTGGCGAACCTCTCGCGCGGCCGCTGGGGCTCGCGGCGGAACCGCGACGAGAACCTGCAGGCGACGCTGGCTTTGCTGCTGGTCGTCGGGCTGTGCTATTTACTGTACCACCTCGCGACGTCGACCTACCGCCTGATGCGCACCGGCGTGCCGGTCGCGCTCGACAGTGTGCGGGCCGCGAACAAGAGGGAGCGGGAGCGCCTCGCGGCGAAGTACCCCGTCGTCGACCGGCGAACGGGGGCCGCGCCTCCGCGGCGCGCGCCACAACCACCACGCGCCGCGCGGCGGTGGTGGTTATTTGGGCTGCTCGGCTCCGCGGCGGCGCAATCGACGGTCCCAAGGCGACCGTCTACGGGAATTCCGCCACGCTTCGCCCGGAATCTCACACTGTATCATGTGAACGAGTTATCGGAGGGCGTGGTCCCGCGCGACATGGACGTTGCTGATTTGGGCGGCGAGATTTTTTTCGAGATGCGAGCCCTCATCCTCCCAATCGAGTGCGCCGCGGGGCCCGGCGGGCTGAGTGGCGGCGGCTGGCCCGGCGACTGCGACAACCTCGAATTGTATGGGACCAATCTAGTCGTGAGCAAGCTCGTCGTCGAGGTCGATTCGCGATGGGGCCAGTACGGCCTGTGCAACGAATGCGGGCCGGACGGCGTCGACGCCTTCTCGAAGCTGCCGTGCACGCCCGGCAGCTACTTCTGCAGCTGCGTGAAGGCGCCCCTACGGATCCAAGAGTGTGATACCCCGGACACATTGAAAGTCGGCCGGAACAACCTCACCCAGAGCTTCGGCCGCTGGGCGGCGGGAACATGTACGTGGGACCAATACATCGCGCGGCCGTGGACCTGTTGGGCCATGTCGGTGGTCGCAAAGACCGGCGGTGCCTGGTACAGCACGTTCGCAGCGAGCGAAGGCTCCGCCTGGCGCGTCGTCGAGGTCGAGAAGGTCGTGACCAAGGCCTGCTCCGACGCGTCCCTCTACGCTGCCATCGAGGCGCGGGACTCCGTGAAATGTTTTGACGCGTGCGGTACTGCGTCGTCGTCACGGAATACGGCGTCGTCGCCACGGAATACGAGCAGCCCTTGTTGGATAGGGTGTTTTTACCGCACAATACTGGGCGCGGAGGGCATGCTGCCCACCGGTGCCGGACGCCCGGGCGGCCTGACATACGACGCTTTGGCACAGGCGTGGGAGGCGCCGTTCGCCTCAAGCGATCCGTCCCGCGGCGGCTGCCCGGCGGTAGCGGTGCCGGACATGACCGGGACGCGGCCGGGCGTCGTGTCTGTGTCTCGCCGACGGCGGCGTCGTTTGGCGTCACGAGGGGGGTAGTTGTGTGGCCCCGTTGTAAGTGGATATATGTTTACTACGATTATCCAAGATTTACTTCTCCGTCGCGGCTTGGAGTACTGCTCGCGCAAGTCGGAGATTGTTCCCGATTATCTTTGCGAGCGGATGCGCGCTCCCGAGCACGCGCCGCGCGATCCGATCCGTGTCCTCGAGCGTCGTCACGGCCTCGCGGAGATCGTCAAGCGTCGCGGCGTCGGCTTTGTAGAAAGTCTCCGCGTAAACCCACCTCATCCTGAGCGTGATTTCATGACTATCTCCGAGAACGCGTCGTGCCACGGGAATGGTTTTGCGCAGCAGCGACCTGGCTTCTTTGAAGCGCTTTAGATTCCTAAGGGACGACGCGTAGTTGTTGGCTGCTATGAGAGTATGTTCATTTTCCATACCATTGAGCTTTAGACGTCCGGAATATACATCTCGATATAGATTTGCGGCCTGTTCAGAGCGTCCAAGAGCATCATATGAGCCCGCAAGATTGGCCTGGACGACGAGCAATGCGTCGAGCATGCCTCCTTTTTGCGGTGGGCTATTGGCTTGCGCGGCGGCTTGACTCGGCTTGAAAAACCCGATTTTTCAACTCACAAAAATGCTAGATTACAACAACAACCACAAAATTAGTCTGATTCCATGTCCTCGAGGCCGACGTCGCACGCCTCCTCGTTTTTCACGAGCAGCTGGAGCATCGCGTGGTCCCGCCGCTGCCGCGCGACGTCGATCAAATTCTCGGGCGGCTCCCCTGGCCGCGACGCCACGAGCATGGCGCAGTTCGCCCCGGCCTCGAGCAGCGCCGCCGCGGCGTCGACGCGGCCCCGCGCCACGGCCAACAGCAACGGCGCCTGGCGGACCGACGACGATTGTGTACCTTTGTTCGGGTCTGCGGTCCGCACGGGCGCCTCGGCCTCCTCCGACAGTAACGCGCGGACCACTTGGATAAAGTCGCCCTCGATCGCGGCTAGTAACGGAGTCTCGCCGTTGTCGACGGCGAGGTCCGGGTCGGCGCCCGCGTCCAACAGAGCCACGGCCGCGCTTGTCGCGCCGCGCGTCGCGGCGATGTACAACGGAGTGGAGCCGCCCAACTCCACCGATGTTGTATCTACCAGAGCCCCATTTTTCACCAGAGCCTCGACGAGGTGGCCGTCGTCGTTATTAGCAGCAAAATGTAACGGAGCGCAGCCCGAGTCCTCGGACTTGAGGTTGGGGTCCGCGCCCAGCTTTAACAGACGCTTGGCCGATGCACGTGCCCCCTTGCGCACCGCGTGACTTAGAGGGGGGTCGCCCGTCTTCGCCTCGCGCGAGTGCGTAATGATCGAGTCCGTGGCGGGGCCCGGTATCCCCAGGGCTGCTTTGAGGTCGGAGGCGTCCGCCAGGGCGTCTATCAACGTTTCGTCGGTCGCCGCGACCAGCAGCGGCGTCACGCCGTCCTCGGTGGCACTCGCAGCCAGCCCACCTTTCTGCACAAGAAAGCGCAATACCTCAACGTTGCCGAGCGACGCTGCCGCGTGCACGGCCGTCGCGCCGTCTCTTCGTCGAGCGTTCGGGTCCGCGCCCCGCTCAAGTAAAGCCTCCACTATTCGCAGAGACGCGACGCCGTGTTGCAGCGGCGTCGCGCCCCGCATATCGCCGATGTCGACGGTCGCACCCTTCTCCAATAACAATGAGAGGACGTCGAGGCGCTCGTAGCCACTCGCCAAATGTAAAGGAGAGACACCGCTCATGGACCGGTCATCAATGGGAGCGCCCGCCTCCAGGAGAATAGAAACAACATCCACGTGGCCGTGCTCCGCCGCCGCGTGCAACGGCGTGGCCCCGTTGCCGGGCTCGGCGTTCGGCCGCCAGTCGTTCCTGTCATGTGCGGCGGCGACGGCGCGCGACGCGGACCCCGCTCTCCGCTGGATCGTGGGGGTGAGAGATGCGCCTCCTTGCACTAAGGCGCGCGCGGCGGCCGCGTGGCCCTCCAGAGCTGCTAAATAAAGAGGTGTCGTGTCGTTGTTCAGGAGGGCTTCTGTCGACGCGCCGCATTCCAATAAAGCATCAATGGCTTTCCCGTGGCCCTTCTGGGCTGCCGCGTGCAGCGGCCTTCCACCTAATGTTGTAGAGGCGTCGGCGTCGGCGCCCGCGTCACATAGCGCTTTGATAATCTCATGATGGCCGTCCTCGGCAGCGAAATGTAACGCTGTCGAGTTGGCGAAGGCATGTCTAGCATCGACGACGGCGCCCCTCCTCACCAGTTCTGCGACGACTTTAAGAGCGTTGGCGGCGGCCGCGGTGTGCAGCGCGGTCAGCCCGTGCGCGCCGCGCGCCTCTATTAGTGAACGCGCGTCGTCCGCGCTATCCAGAAGGAGCTTTGCTACCTTTATGGAATCGCTCAGCGCCGCCGCGTGAAGAGCGGTCGTGCCGTCGGGCAGCGCCGCGTCGCTCTCATAATCGCCTTTCAACAGCCGTCGCACCTCGGCCGCGTCGTTTGATGCGGCCGCCCGGAAGAGCGGCTCCGACGATGCGTGCTCGGCCACGGAGAACGCGACGCCGTAGTCCCGTAATAGAGAACCCGAGTCGACCTGGCCGCTGCCTGCTGCCAATCGTTGGTACTCGTCCCAGGCGTAGGCCGGCCAGGCGCCGCTCGCCACTAGCGAATGCACCCGCTGTTCTCTTTCCGAGGCCTCGCCGTGCGTCGCGCCGCGATCTCCTAAATGCTTCGACCACGTAAATAATTGGTCGAAGGCCGGGCCTTGTCTTATTTTGACGGCGACGCCCGTCGTGCCTATCGAGAGCGTTCGCATGGCCTTGTCCTCGGCGGCGGCGCTCGCGGCCCAGAGCAGCAGCAGGGCTGCATTTGCTCGGGCGTGCAGCATCGCTGCGAATCGATCTCTTATGGTCTTCGGGTGGCAGGAGTGGTCCAAATTAGCATGCGCGCTGATTTGTCCAAGCCTAGCGGTGTTAGTTTAACCCAAATTTGTCCGCCGGCTGACAGCTAGCGGCTGAAAGACACTAGCAATATCGAACGTTGGCAGCTTTGGCTGGCCTGTTTCCCAGGACGCGCGAGCGGACGCATCGCACGCTTCGTGGCTCGCAGCCTACGCATCGCTGCAGCGCGCATCGGCTGCCCCCGGACCGGCCTTCCCCCAACGCCATCGACGAGACGTTACCTTCAAAATGGCAGATGTAGGAGCATCGAAGGAGATGCTCCTCCACCAGCTCAACGCCTTGATGGCCGACGCCGCGGGCGACGCCGAGACCATGGAATTGTATCAAGCGAAGCTGGCGGAGCTCGACGCCGCGCGCCGAGCGAACGCGGACCTCGAACAACAGCTACTGAATGAAGCTAACGCGAAGGAGAACCTGCAGCGGCAATTGCAGACTGTTGCGTCTGATGCCAAGACCGCGACTGATGCTTTGCATGATCAGTTACAAGCAGCATTGGCCGACAAGGTCGACCTCGAGAGGCATCTGGAATCTGTGCAGAGGGAATTAGGAGACGTCCAGGAGGCGAAGAACGCGGCACTCGGTGATCTAGAGAGATCACAAACCGAAGTGGATTCGTTGAGAGAGGAGTTGAGGGAGATGCGGCGGCGCGTCCAGGCCGCCGAGGACGCCGGTTCTGAGGCGCAGAAAGTCTTACATGTTATGTCTGCTGAGGCCGAGGCGAGTCGTCGGGAGCAGGACAATCTGCGGGAACGGGTCGCGGGCGTCGCCGAGACGCTCGCGGCCGTGCGCGTCGCGGAAAGGGCGGCGGCCGACGCTCGTACGGCGTTGGATTCGGAGGTGGCTGCTTTGGCGCATGCCGCCGTGCGCCGGGGCGCGCCGCCCCTCGCGGTTCCGAAGGTGGCGGGCCCCGGGGCGCAGGTCCCGCCGGCGCCCGCCTTGCCGCCGATGCCTGCGGCGCAACGACGCGAGGCGAAAAAGCGGACGACGCCGCCGGCCGGGAAGACGCGGAATCCGTATGCGGCGAGTAATCGGGGCTAGTTAGTGTTCTTGTCGCGTCGATGGCGTTTTTGGCCAGTTTTTGGCTAGAGTGTTTGGTTTTGTTTGCTCGTCTCGCGGCGGTCGCGAGCGCGGTCCGCGGATATCAACTACCCGCACTAGAGACGGTCCGGGGGCCCGGGAAGCGTAGGGCGAGTAGTCGAAAGTCTCCTTATTTGCTGAGACTGAAAAACTTGCCCGTTGCCGTACAACCTCCTTGCCTTGCCCGCCGTTTTGCGTGCCGCTCCTGGCTTTCCCGAGGTCGCAATACGTACATCGCCGCGTCCCGCAGTATCTCCTGACTCGTGTCTCGCGCCTCGCATCGACAAGCGGACAAATACTCGCGCGCGCGTGGCGCAAAACACAACTCTCCCTAAGGTGGCCTCGGGCACTGCGGAGCGTGTGTACACGCGTCGTGGCTAATCCCGCTTCGGACGCGCCACACACATCGCTCGCGTCCTCGCGCGCTATTTATTTTCGGGAATCGCGTCCTCCTCACGGGCTGTCACCCGTCCATGTCGGCCGCGCCGCGGCCGCCGCCGCACGTCACGTGCGCGATTGCCGCGCGCAGGCACCAGCACTCCACACGATGAACAAATCTCTCGCTCTCTTAGTAGCGCTCGCCGCCGGCGCCCGCGCCAACCTCTTCTGCAACTCTGCTTGCGACTGGAATGCGCTTGCCGCGAACGCCGAGGCGCCTTCGGCCACGTGCGGTGACCGCATCACGTGGCTAATCAACAACCGCGCCATGAGCGAGGCCGAGGCGTGCTCGACCGTCGCGGGAGAATTCCCAAGCATTTGCGGCTCGTGCGCCGGCGACGCGCCGGCGCCGGCGCCGGCGCCGCCGGTCCAGCCAGGCGCCGACCTCGAGGTCGCCACGTTCAACCTCTACGAGTGGAACGTCGGCGCGAATAATCGCTGGGGCGCGCTCTACGACAAGATCCAGAGCCAGTCCTTCGACATCATCGGCTTCCAAGAGGCGACCGGCGTCGCGAACGTCATCAACTCCGTGCCGCGCATGAACGGGTGGAGCTACTACGAGCCGACCGCGATCGGCGGCTACAACGACAACCCGTCGCCGATCGCGTGGGACGACGCGCGCTTCACGCTCCTGGCGTCGGGCTGGCGCGAAGTCGGTAGCGACCAGTGGGGTGCTACGGGTCGCGCCTCGAGGCCCTCGAGAGCGGCTGGATGGACGTGCCGCGCGACTGCTACGCGCAGCGCACGGTGACCTGGGGCAAGTTCCAGATCCGCGCGACGGGCGACGAGTTCTGGTTCTTCAACACGCACCTGCCGCATAACGGGTGCGCCGCGACGGACCGCAACACCCACGCGGGAATTGCGCGCCAGCTGGTCGACAAGCGCGAAGAGCTCGGCGCGGGCGGTAGTCCTACCATCGTCGTCGGCGACTGCAACCCGTTCGCCTCGGGTGGTGCGTCCGAGGGCTCCTTCGAGTCGAACCTCGCGAGCCGCGGCATTCCGCTCGTCTACATGGGAACCGGCCAGTTCGGCGGCTACGGAGGCCTGGACAAAATCTTCGCGACAAGCGAGTGGACGACGATCGATGCGAGAGACCGCGGCACCGGCGGCTCTGACCACCCAGCCATCTCGGCCGAGCTGCGTCTCTGAGACGCGCCCTCTGCGCGTTCGCTTTCTTAGGCGACGCCTCTTCCTTCCCTTCCTCACGCGTTTCCCTCTTCTATACTTTGTTCTTTTCCTGAAATAGGAGTACCCGGTCCGGGAACGCGAACACTCGGGGCGACGGCGTATGAGGACTACTGGGCGGGCGGTCACGCAGGGAAGCTACTTGGAACCACCTTACGCCAAGGAATCTACTCGTAGATCCAGCCCTGCGAGTGCGACGTCCACGCGTTCGTGCCTTCCGGGAACCAGAGCGCGATCTCCTTTTCCGCGTTCTCGACGGTGTCGGAGCCGTGGCAGATGTTGCGCCCGATGTCGATGCAGAAGTCGCCGCGGATGGACCCGGGCAGCGAGTCGGCGGGGTTCGTCTCGCCGAGCATCTTGCGGCCCGTCTTCACGGCGCCCTTGCCGGCCCAGACCATGCAGAAGACGGGGCCCGTGATCATGTAGTCGATCATCGACGGGAAGAACTTCTTGCCCTTCAGGTCCTCGTAGTGCTTCTCGAAGTGCGCGCGCGACGGGCTGTAGAGCTTGGCCGCGACGAGCTTGAAGCCCTTCTGCTCGAAGCGCTTGACGATGTCTCCAATAAGACCGCGCTGGACGCCGTCGGGCTTGATCATGATGTAGGTCCGTTCCAAGTCCATCATGGCGGCCATCTTTGTTTGTGCCTGCGTGGCGACGGCGTCTCGAGGGTGCGCATGTGTGAGCGCGGCGACGGCGTCTGGCGTGTGTTTCTTGCAATACCGCGGCGACAGCGCCTCGTGTGTGCTGGTCAAGCGGGGCGCATGCGCGACGACGTGTGTGCTGGCCAACCGAGCTGCAAATGCATCATCTGACGCGCATCCATTGTGCGCTGCGCTCGTCGCATGGCCTCGCATTGCTGAGATGCATAACCGTGCTACGGCGCCGCCTGAATCTCATCAGGATAACATTTCAGAGAGTGCAGCGTGCCCCGCAGGAGGCGCACGGCTTGCCGCGGCGTTGCAACCGTGATCCGTTCAGACCAAGCGAGCAGCAATGCGAATGTCAGTATTGGAATTGATTAGCGGTACGCGGTGTTATACGGTGTTTTAGGTCGATGCCGTGTTATCTCCAAATTGCCGAGGCGCCGCGAGCCGCACCGGTCAAGTACAGATCACGATCGCTGCAGAGACGAGCCAACGGGTTAGGACACGCCAGAGACGCCGTCGCCGTGTTGCCGAAGACCCGGTGCCCGGCGGCCGTCGGCGCGGACAAAAAAATGACTACGACACACTCACCTTACACACGACACACCTCACGCCGACGCCGCCGTCCCAGAACTACCCGTCCCCCGCCGCTTCCGCGCCGCGTCGCGCACGCCGCGCTCATCCACCACGAACGGTGCAGAACCGACCGCCCTCACTGAACTCTTCGCCAGCGTCGCCGACCGCTTCCCGGACGCATCGCGCTGCAGCATCAGCCGCTCGTCGCAGGCGTGGGACCAGGCCTCGCCTAAGGCCGGGCCTGGCTTATCCGAGGTCAGGTTCGAGGCGAGTTGGTTCGAGACCACCACAGCCACGCCACGCCGAGCCACCCTCGACAAGTCCAAAGCGAGCTTCGCGATGATCCGAATGCGCTCGCCGGGGTCACCCTCGAAGGTCCGCAGGTGCGCCGCGACGCTGTCAACAACAAGGAGCTTGAGATCGGGAATTGTCGACGCCTGCGCGAGCGCACGCACGACACCGCCGTGATCCAAAGCCCGGTAGACGTGGATGGCGTCCAGGCACGCGTCCTCCGAATATGAAGCCGCTGCTGCTTGGTGTTCCGGTTTTTTGCGAGCGAGCCGGTGGACGTGCTTCGCCACCTCCTTGGCGAGCTGGGCGCACCGCGACGGTGCGAAGGAGCCGTCCGCATCTATAAAAACGCTCGAACCTCCAGCACCGCAGAACTGATGGGGAATCGTCGCGTCCACACACAGCTGTAGTAATAATTGCGTCTTCCCGGCGCCGGGCCCGCCGCAGACCTCCAGGACCTTTCCTGGTTTGGCGCCGCCCTCCAGGAGCTCATCGATGCCTCGGCAGAACGACACGACCGGCACGCGCTGGTGCTCCTGGGCTTCGAGTTCTCTTGCTGAATGCCAGGGCGGTGGTTTGGCTTTCTCTTCGACTTCTTCGAGTAAAGCTTGGGCCTTGTCCGGGCCTATCCTCATGCTTGATGCGGCTGTGTTTACGTCGACTCCCACCAAATCGCCTACTCTTCTAAAGCCGCCCCTGCCTAACAACGCGTGGTCCTTCGGCCGCAGCGCTACATGTTCTAATGGTGTGGAGGCGTGGGCGTCCATCGTGCGCGTCGATGGCGTTTGAGTGCTGCTCTCTGTAGAGCACCACAGCGGCGGCGGAGCGACGCCAGCGATCGAGTGCCTCTCAGCGCAGCAAAGGAGAGCTGGAAACGAAGCTCTGCGCAGGAGATGGTGTCACAGCGGCACAGATTTGGGCCGCGCGCGGCAGTTTTCATTTTGCTAGTGCCTTACGACCGCTACCTAAAGTCGACGATCGTCAACTTTTGCGAGCTTAGGCGTCCAGAATCGCTATCGCTGGCACCGCTAACGGCGCACTCTCATCTCTATTGACGCTGCGCAGCGAACGGCGCAGCTCTGCCGCCAACTGCAGCCGCAGCGACGCGTGAGGAGCACCTCGCCTCTCCACAGCCACAGCCACGCAATACGCCGACGATGCCGCGCGGCGGCCCGGACATCGGCGCTCTATTAAAACCGGACGAAGTCCGGGAATGGCGGTCCTTAACCGTCGAGAACCCGAAGTCCAAGCCCACCGCCGCCGAGGCCGCCGCTCTAAAAGAGAAAAAGGCCGCGGAGAAGAAGGGCAAGGATTCATTGCTCAAGAAAGTCGTGGAACGTATTAACGATTCTACCATAAAGAAAGATAAAATAAAAAAAGCGCTAGATAAAGCCGCCGCAGAAGCACCACAAGAAGAGGTGCCGCGGCCCTTCTGGCTCGACCCACCGTCCGGGACGAGAGACTTCGAACCGGCCGAGATGAAGGTGCGGAACTGGCTTTTTGATCATATGAGACAAACAGCAAAAGAGTTCGGGTTCAAGGAGTACGACGCGCCGGTCTTGGAACATGTCGAGTTATATGAACGAAAAGCAGGGGAAGAAATAAGCCAGCAGATGTACTGCTTCACGGACAAGGAGGGGGCCCGCGTCACGTTGCGGCCGGAGATGACTCCGAGTCTAGCGAGGATGGTCCTCAACCTCACGAATCTAGCTACGGGCGAAGTTAGGGCAGCTCTGCCCCTCAAGTGGTTTAGTATACCACAATGCTGGCGCTTCGAGACGACGCAGCGGGGGAGGAAGCGGGAGCACTACCAGTGGAACATGGACATCGTCCGTGAACTGTGTGGAAATGATCCTGAGGCTACTGCGAGAGACCTTCGTGAGCCTCCACGCCATCGAGCAGGCACAGCATCGGTATTCCCGCGCAGGTCGGCGAGCCCGGCATCGTCGCCGAAGTTGAGTTGCTCACGGCGGTCGCGACGTTCTTCAAGCGACTGGGCGTGGGTCCGGACATTGTCGGGATTCGGGTCAACTCGAGAAAAGTCTTAGATGTGGCCATCACGAAGGCAGGCGTCCCGAGGGACAAGTTCGAGCGCGTTTGTGTGGTCGTCGATAAATTAGACAAGATCGGCGCCGAGGCGGTCAAGTGCATGCTGACCGAGGATCTCGAATTACCCTCACAAACAGCTGATGTTATCTTGCAATGCTTACAGGCTTCTAGTGTTGATGACCTAGCGAAGGCCGTCGGTTTATCCCAATCAGACCCGGCGATTGCCGAACTCAAGACGCTGTTCGAATTATGCAAAGCGTACGGTGTGGGGGACTACCTCGACTTCGATGCAAGTGTAGTGCGAGGTTTAGCCTACTACACGGGCGTGGTCTTCGAGGCTTTCGACAGGAAGGGTGAACTCCGGGCCATCTGTGGCGGGGGTCGGTACGACCGGTTAGCGGAGTTATATGGAGGCGAGAAATGTCAAATCCCGTTCTGTGGCTTCGGCTTCGGGGACTGCGTCGTCGTTGAATTATTGAAGGACTACGGGTTGATGCCGGACGCGTCGCCGTCGGTCGATGTGGTCGTCGCGCCTTTTGACGCGACGATGCAGCCTCATGCGCTGAAAGTTGCCGCTTCCTTACGAAAAGCGGGGCTGTCGGTCGACGCCGCGTTGACGGCGTGCAAAGCGCGGAAAGCTTTTGATCTGGCCAACCGGCAAGGCGCGCGGCTCGTCGCCTTCGTGGCGCCCGGCGAGTGGGCCCGCGGTCTCGTGAGGGTCAAAGATATGGAAGTTAAGGATCCCTCGACGAACGAGGGTTTACAAGTAGACGTGCCCTTCGCTGACTTGGCGAGCGTGGTGTCGCACTTGCAGAATGCGGCTAGTGCGAAAGGTGCTTCTTGGGTGCCGCTTGGTGTCGATGCGGCGCCGGCTCCTTCCACTCAAGTGGGCGCGACGCTCGGGACCGCGGGCAAGCTGTCGCTGAAGGCGACGGCGAAGTTCTCGGCGCTGGCGCTCTGATTCGATTTGGGGGGTGCGTAAGGCTAGTTAGTAGCTTAGGACCCGAGCGACGGCCACTCGTCGGCCCGCAGCATGTCCGCGTAGGACGGCGCCGGTCGCGGCGCCGGAGTGGGCGGGACGTCGTCGTCGTCATCGTCCACCGATGACCGCCGCCGCGTGTCCATGAACGCACATACGAGTTTCTTGACCGTGAACTGCGGAATCAACCGCGTGTCCGTCAGCGGCTCCTGGGTCATCGGAGACGTCCCCTTCGTCTTGAGCCACTCCTCGATCGCCACGCGCTCATACGTATGGCCGTCCGCGGCGGTCACGGGGTCGCAGAACAGCTCGAGCGTTACGATGCGCCGCCACATGGTCATTGCTCTCTGAAGCCTGAGTTGAGTCTCTAAGCTCTGGGCTCCTGGAGCGACGCTCGACGCTCCCGCGGCGCAAATCAACTGTCAGTCGTTGCGCGCGTGGGCGAGCGCAAGCGTACGAGCGACGAGCGCAAGCAGGCGAGCGATTATTGACCAAGAAAACCCGTCACTGCCCCTGAGGTCCTAGCTCTAGCACTGTCACAATATAGCATAGCACCATAGCACAGGACAATCTCCACGCCGGTCCCCGCGAGGGATCAATACAGTCATAGATGTTAAGAGCCACGCCTCACTTCCCCCCAAGCTCGCCCCCAAGCAGGTCCGAGAACGCGTCCTTCTCCGTCGCCGCATTAGAAGACCAGCGCTGCCGCGGCGGCGGCGCCGCGTTCGCGTTCAGCGCCGAGGGCGACGGCAGGTACGAGGGAAACCCGTTCGCCGGCGGCGGGATGAGGCCCGGACCGTTCTGTGAAGGTGCACCCATGGAAGAAAACAGCTGGCCGTCCGCCATGAACCGCTCCGCGGGCGACGCGCCCGACATCATTTGCGACGGCGCGGCTCCAAACGAAGCGAAGCCCGGCTGCGGCGGCGGCGGCGGCGCGGCGGCGAAGGCCGCCCACTCGTCGGTCGCCGCGGCCGGTGGGGCGTCTCCCGGCGGCGCCGCCAGCGCGGGCGTCGGCGCGCTCTGGAATCCCGCAAAATCATCATCCGCGGCAGGTGCGCCCTGGAAGGCCGCGAAGCCGTCGTCCGCCGGCGCCGAAGCCTGGGAAGCGCCCGCGGTCTCGAACGCGCCAAAATCATCATCATCACCGCCTAGATTGAGGTCCAATAAATCGGCGACGGGCGCCGCCGGCTCCGGCTCCTTGGGTACCGGGCTCGAGTCCCGCAGGTCGGGGTCGTAGGAGTTCCGCCGCGAGCGCTCGAAGCCACCACCACCCGAGTAGGAGTCGTACCTACCGGAAGCGCCCTCGTTGTACGCTGGTTTCCGGTCGCCCTCGTACGTGTTCCTAGCGGCATCCGCCCGCAGCTCCCGGATCTGGTCGAAGTCATCTAGGAGCGTAGCTAGTTCTTTCGCCTTCTCCCGCACGAACCGCCCTTCATCGTTCCTCGTGCCCAAGTAGCCCTTCGTACTGTCATAGCCTTCTAAATCTTGAATCTCCCGCCGCAGATGCCAGGCCCGATCGACCACGTGCTCCGGCCCGTTCACCACGAGATGGCGGACGCAAGCCAGCGCTCGCTGTAACGCTCTATAAGCAGGAGTCGGCTTCAGCGCCTTGCGAATGTCGTCAAAAATATCCGCAGCTTTCCGACGGTCGCCCATGTATCTTGTTAGAGTTCGTAAATCAGTAATCGACGGTGCCGGTAAATCATCTTTATGGATCATCCGATGCACCAACTTCCTCCACTCCTCCGTCGGCTCGAAGAACTCGCCGCCCTGGGCCGCGCGCATGAAACCGGCGGCGGTCGACTTGGCAGTTTTGGACAGGTCCCGCACGGTGTCTTCCTCGGCGAGCTTCGCGCCGAATTTCTTGAGTTTCGAGGCCGCTTCCAGAGCCGCATCCTTGACGTTGTCGGACGTGAACTCGCCCTCCCTAAGAGATTGAATTCCCGTCTTCTGGCCGCGGTACTTGCCCGTCGACGGGTCGTAGTCGCTATTGGACCCGACACCCTGCATGGTCGTACCGCCCCGGTAGCTGCCGTCGCTCCCGACGCCGCCCAGGCCGCCTCCACCAAACTTCGCGCGCATGCGCGCCCTCGCCTCGGTCTTTAATTTTTCTTGGCGCGCGATGTACTCTCTGGTGCTTTCGCCGGGCAGAGCTTCCGCGCCGTTGGGGTCGGGGCGGCCGAAGGGGTCCATTTCTTTTGGCTGTGCCTTTTTAGATGCTGCTCGCGGCGTTGGCGTGTGCCGGGCTCCGCTTCCTGAGGCTGTGTGCTTTGGCTCTCAATTAATCTATTTGCTGGCCTGTCGCCGCGGAGCGCGGTCGGCTGCAGCAATTCGATCTATGACAAGTGGCGACGACTTACACGTGTCAACCACTCTCAAAACGGCAGCTCGCTGCCGGCTTTGCGGTGCCTAAATGCCGCGGCAAGCCCTGCCGGCATCGGAGAGGGCCGCGCGTCGCGGTGACCACGGACGCATCCGGAACCCCTCCACGCCGTCGACGCGACTCGTCTGCAGCACTAGATTCGGCGACGAGGCGCCTCCGCAGGATCGCGCGCGGCCGACGCGGCCAACGCGGCCAAAACAACGAGTAGCGCCGCCCCCAAGGAAATACGACGTAAGATGCTTAGAAGATAACCCCTCTCAATCAATGTCTACACCCACTCCCGCGGCGTCTTGAAGCATTTCAAGATCTCCGCCTCGCGCGACCCTTCGGCCGGCGTGTGGTCGTACTCCCACCTGGCTGTTTCGGGTAACGACATCAGAATGGACTCAATACGACCACCGGTCTTGAGACCGAACACGGTCCCTCGGTCATAGACCAGATTGAACTCGACGTAGCGGCCCCGCCGCATCAGCTGCCACTCCTTTTCTTGCTCCGTGAAGGGCGCGTCCTTGCGTTTAGCAACAATAGGCAGATACGCATCGGTCACGGCGTTCACGCACTCCTTCGAAAACGCGTAGTGCTCGTCCGGGCTCTTGTTATTTTGGTCGTCGAAGAAAATGCCACCGAGACCGCGCGTCTCGCCCCGGTGCTTAATCAGAAAGTAGTCGTCGGCCCACTTCTTGAACTTGGCGTAGTACTCCGGGTCGTGCTTGTCGCAGATATCTTTATAGGTCCCGTGGAAGTGCGCCATGTCCTCCTCGAACAAGTAAGCAGGGGTAATGTCCGTGCCGCCGCCGAACCACCAGACGCCGCCGTCCGTCTCAAAATATCTATAGTTGAAGTGCATCGTCGGCGCCATCGGGTTCCGCGGGTGCATAACACTCGACAGTCCACAGGCGAAGAACGGCACGCGCTCGCCCGGCTCCATGCCCTTGGCCCTATCTACTCCTCGCTCCGTCGCCGACGCGAGCGCCTCCTGGGGCATGGAGCCGTACACAACACTAAGGGAGCAGCCCGCCTTTTCCCACACCTTGCCGCCGGCCATGACCCTAGAAATGCCGCCGCCGCCGTTCTCGCGCTCCCAGACGTCCTGGCGGAACGTGCCCTCGCCATCGAGCTCTTCTACCGCCGAGCAGATCTTGTTCTGCGCCTCGCGCAGCATCTGCTCGAACTTCCGCCGCATGGAGTCGTTGCCCTCGACGCCCTTGACCATCGTGTCGGGAGCTTCCGGGATGGCGACGTGGTCGTCCCAGGTCGGGCCCGTCTTCGCCGGGGCCGTCGCCGTGGCTTGGAGAGGCGCGGTCGGGGCCTTGGCGTGCGGGGCTTGTAAAGCCGTGGCGCTTACGGCCAACGCTAATAATCGCCGCGCCATCTTTGCGTTTTATGTATCGCTGCTGCAGTAGACCTGCGCGGGGCGTGGCGTCGGTCGATCGGTTACTTCCACCCCGTCCCGAGGGCGGCGTCTCGAGGCGCGGTGCCTTCTTGTGTAGGGGGTCGCGGCGGCGTGCTGGGAGACGAGCAGTCGCGGCAGTACGCCATCGCCGCAACACACTCGTCTACTCTTTTACGGCTTCGCTGCGCGGCGGCTGCTAGCTACAAGCCTCCCAAGGCGAAGATGCGTCGCCCACGTCAGCTATCCAAGAGAGCTGGCGTTGCGATGCGCACGAGCGCGATTCGACGTAGTAAGACGCTGTGAAGCGCACGCTAATCTGTATCCGCCTGCGTCCAGCCAGACCAACCTGGATCCTGGCTGTGCTACGATGCAAGTGCCACCACTAGTATGTCTACACCACTAGATTTTTCCCTTTGATTTATGCGTACAAGCTGTCGATTGCACGTTCAAAGCGAGTCGTATCGGCCGCTCCTGTTATCCGGCCCCAGCTGGGAGAAAAGTCCAACCTCTCCGCATTGATTGAGCCTGAACGACGGCAGCGGGAGCGCAACACAGCGCGACGGCTGTTCATCACACTCTCCACGATACCACCTTCGCACTCGTGGCGAGTTACAGCTCTCGTCGTGCCTCTCGCGCACCGTAGACCAGCAAACACTCTATTGAGATGGCGCCAACCCGCGTCCTCATCTTCGGCGCGACCGGTGGCTGCGGCAAGCACGCTTTAAGCAACTTGTTAGACAGAGGCGTCCAGTGCGTCGCCGTCGTGCGGTCGGAAGACCGCCTGCCGGCCGGCTGCCGCGGCAAGAGCAATCTAGACATCGTCGTCGTCCCTGACGGACATTTAAGCATGGACGACGGCGCGTTCAGTGCCCTGGTCGACGGCGCCGACGCCGTCGTGTCTGTATTAGGACACAATTTGACCTTCAAGGGCATGTACGGCCAACCCCGTAGATTGTGCGCCGACACGGTATCTAGGGTCGTGGCCGTCGCGTCCGGACGAGCCAAGCCCCTTAAACTTATTGTAGTGTCGACGGAGGGCGTCGACCAACCCATGAGTAAGGATCCGCCGCGCGGCTGCGGCGAACAGGCGTTGCTGAGCACGCTGAAGTGCCTGCTGCCGCCGCACGCGGACAACATGGCCGTCATTGATGAGCTCGAGAAGGCTCATGCAAAGATCGAGTTCTGCGCCGTGCGCCCGGCCGACATGGTGGATGGTGGTGAGGTACCGTATGAATGCCACGCCGTACTGCAGGGGGGGGCTTTCAGCGGCTTCAAGACGCACCGGGCCAACGTGGGGGCCTTCATGGCCGACCTCGTGACCGATGATAGTGTGTGGGCGAAGTGGAAGAACTCGTACCCGCACTGCTACGACACGCCGGCGGACAAGAAGGGGGACTACTAGTTGCCGGCACGCCATCGACGCGACGCAGCAATCACGAGAGTGTCGCGGCGATGGCGTCCCGCCGCGCGACACCAGTGGCTGCCAAACGATGCCCCGTTGTGACTAATCACGTATTTCTGTACCAAATTACGCCATCGGCGCGCGCAGCTATGCCGCACGACCGCACCACAACAAACAAAGCTCACGGCCGCCAGCGCCAGGGAATGAAGTCGTCGAGCGACCCCCACGTGTCCGACGCCGGCGACCCGTCGGCGTTCGGCAGGAACTCCGCGTCCTTCGCGTACATCCTTATTCGAGAGCGACAGCATCTTATCTCGTCCGCCGCGCGCTCGTCGGAGAGCAAATCATCCGAGTAGGCCTGGTAGACGTCCTGCGCATCTAGCACGGCCTCCACGAGCTTCTTGACCGTCTTGATCGGCCCCGCGTGCCAGAGCCGCGCGAACATCAAATCCACTTCGTCCTCCCTCCGATTGTCGAAGGCGTCGACCATCTGCCGCCGCACGACGCTCTGGAGCTCGGGGTCCTCCATCTTCTCCGCCGTGAGCTCGAAGCGCGGCGCCGGCCCGCCGAACACATTATCTAGCACGCCGCCCTGCAACGCGGCCCCGAACAGGCCCCTCCCATCATCTTCTTCGGGCGCTTCGTTGTTTCCACTAAACTTGGGCCACTTGCTCTTGTCCTCCGGTTGCTTCAGCATCTCCGCGGCGAGCTTCCGCGCCTCCTTGCGCCGCTCCTCTAGCACGGCGTCGGCCAGGCCGAGCTCGTCGGCGTAGTTCGCGGCGGACTCGTCGTCGAGGACGGTTTCTTCCACCAGTGCGGCCTCCGTTTGAGCCGCGTCGGCGCGTAGCGCGCGCGCCCGCCGGATCAGGTCCTCGACGGCGTCGTCGGCGTCGGCTTTCGCGCGGCGGCACGTGTTTCGCCGTCGGCGCGTCGACGGCGTCTTGCTGCTGGTGCATGCGCTGTGCAGAGCTTTGTGCGGCCCAGCGACGAACGCGCGCGCGCTGATTGCAACGAAGCAAATCAATCGATACATTACTGCTCCCGAAGAGCTGGGCGCGTCTCCAGAGTCGATTTTAGGGCCCAGATCTCAAAAGCTCTGCTTTTGGCTGAGAGCTGCCTCGCAAATCGTGGCTCAGCAGACGCGCAAGCGATCCCACGGCACGGACACGCCGTCAACGCTTCACAAGATAGCCAACGCAGCTGTTTGAGCGGTCACGACCATGGACGCCACCGATCTCTTCCTCGCGGGCCTCCAGCTCTATTTCATCACGATGAACTGGACCGTCGAGCGCAGCTACTGCGCCGCGCCGATCACGGAGGGGAGCGACTGCTTCCTCTGCCCCGAGACGCACGAGTTCTGCACCGCGCACAACCCGCTCTTCCTCGCGCGGCCGGAGTGGCTCCGCCTCGCGACGTGCTTCAGCGCATACGCCTTCTGCGTCGGGTACTTGGTGATATTGTGGGCCGCGCTCACGGACGGCTGGGCGAAGTTGCGCGCGCCCATTTTGCTCTTCATTGGTGCCAAGATGTACGCGCTGATCTACTACCACACGATGGAGTTCACGTCGGAGACGCCGCCGCTCGGGCTCGGCGCCTACTTCGGGGTCGAAGGGCCGTATTTATTAGCCGGCGTGCTGGTCATCCGCAAGGTTATGGCCGGTAGCTTGAACCCGCTCAAGGCGCGGAGGTCAGTCGTCAAGTATTCTTCGAAGCGCGTGCCGAAGGCGGCGACGCAGCGAGCGCTCGAGGCCGCGATCATGGCGCCGAACCACTTCCTGTCGGAGCCGTGGCGCTTCTACACGTGCGGCCCCGAGACGAAGGCCAAACTCTGCGGCCTGAACGAAGATAAACGCAAGGCCGCGGAGGCCGTGCCCGAGTGGCTGATCGTGACGCTGGCTTCGGAGCACAAGCTCACGGAGAAGCTCGGCCTCGAGGACCACGCGGCGACGGCGTGCGCGGTGCAGAATTTCATGCTGTCGTTAGCGAGCGAGGGCATCGCATCGAAGTGGATGACGGGCGCCCTCGGCGCACCTCCCGAGGCCGTCCTCGAGTGCGTCGGCGCCGGGCGCGGCGAGAAGCTCATGGGCGCGATCTGGTACGGGTATCCCTCGAAAGCGCTGTCCGAAGACGCGACGGCGCCGCGGCGCAAGAAGGGGCTCGAGGGGGTCCTGACGGCGTGTGCTTAGTAACTTCTTATTCGTCCCGGAAGATCGCCCTTCTACAAGTCTCGGGCGGCTTCGAAGCCGGCGAGCCGAAGAGCGAGTCCATCTCGCGGAGCGCGATCGCCGAGTTGATCGTGAGGTCCTCCTTCTCCGCCCTTCTTAATGTTTGAGGCGCCCGCTTCGACGCCGTCGAGAAGAGCAACCTTTTTGGCTTCATATTCGTCATCACCATCGATTCATCGACCGCCTGGAGCTCGCCGAAGGCCCGCCGCGCCGTCTTGGGAGCCTGGATCGCAGCGATTCGGTCCTGGGGCCCGACGCGCGCGCGCCGCTCCTCGAAGCTGATCTCTTCTTCGACTGCGAAGGCCACGCGGCCCCGCGGGGCGGCCTCGGCGGGCGCGGCGGCCGCGTCCTCGAAGATGGCGACGCGCGGCCCGCGGAGTGCGGGCGTCGGCTTCGGCGGGGCATCACTATTGTCCTCGAAGATGCGGAAGCCCCCCGGCGTCGGCTTCGGCGCCGCCGGCGCGTCCTCGAAGATGACGGGCGTGGGCCTCGCCTCGGCGTCGAAGCGGGCCGCGAGCGCCGCGGGCGCCGCTACCGCACGGTCGCCACCGGCCGCCGCGGCCTGCTCGTCGGCGACGCCGCCCGCGTCATCATCAAAGATGGCGAACGATGAGGCCGGCGCCGGCGCCTCGTCGAAGATGGCGAACGGTTGTGCTGTGGCCTTGTGCAGCGCGAGGACTTGAGTTGCAGTGGCCGTAGCATCCTCATCAACAACACGCGGCGGCGTCGGCGGCTCCGGAGGCGCCTGTTGCTGGTTGAGCCAGTGGCGCCGCATGCGCCGTTCGAACTCGCGCCGCCGCTTCACTAATAAATCCTGTGGAGCTGCCTTCATCTCCAGCCCGCGCGCGAACAGCGCGTCCGCCTCCGCAAATTTCTTCGCCTTCTCGGCCACGAAGGCCCGCGCGACCCAGACGAGCGCGAGGCTCTCTCCCACTCGATGCCGCGCCATCGCGTCAAAGACGGCGCCGGGGTCGGGGCTCGCGGCCGCGAGCGCGAGCCAGACGCGGGCGAAGCGCTCGTCTCCCCTATAACGCGCGTCGGCCGCGAACGTTTCGACGCAGCGCTGGCGGAGGCGGTGCCTCTCGGCGTCCGGCGCGACCGCGATTTCGGCTAGGCGCGCGGCGAGCGGGTCGCCGGCCATTTTTTGTTACTGGTGGGGTGTGCGCGCTGCGGCAGCGCTTTGGGTTGCGTCTTGTACGTCCGTGCGGCCCAACGGTGCGTTTTAGAGGCGCTGAATGTTCGGGCCGCTGTTGCGTCGTTCTCAGCCGCTGTGCCGGCGATTTCGGCCCGCTTTGCGGCTAGATCGCGACCGCTGCGGTGTGGTGCCGCTGTGAGACGACTGGTTTGTCCGTAGCGAGCGCAGCGGCGTCGTTTCGACACCCGCAGTTGCGTTTTAGCATTTTTTAGCAGCTCCTTTTTTGCGCTTTTAGGCGTCCCGGCGGTCTCCGGAGCTCTCGCAGCACTCCGGTGCTCAAAAGATCACGCCGCCTGAGTAAGCCCCGCCGCGCACGCCGTCGCCGCGAGCCACAAGACGCAAAAGGCCCCGCGGCGCCGTGAACGACAAGCCCACAAGTAACCTAAACATAAACTTATGACGTCTTCTCCGGCGGCGGCCCCCCGGAGAACACGCCCCAGGGCAGCAAATAATCGGGCGTCCACTCGTCCCGGAACCGCCGAGCCAACCCCCGCTGCCACGCTGGCATGTCAGCAATCTTCGCGTCGGTCAGCAGGAAGTTCGGTACCAAATACTGCAGCGACCTGATGGACGGCGCCCGCCGCCCATCCACATCCGTAAAATCAAACTGCGACGCCAGCTCGGACACGACCTGGTACGACCCCGTGTTTTCGGAGCAGTACTCCGGTTGTCGCAACAATGCGACGACCGCCCGCCCCGAGAATCTAGGAGACTCGGCCTTCGCCAGATCCAAGCCACCCGACGCGGCGGCCCACTCGCCGCGTTCCTCCATCTCGAGGTTGCCTTCAGTTGCAACAACACCAGGATACAAGGATATCGTGTCGACGTCATGTTTTGATAATTGAGCGGAAGCATCCCTCGCTAATCGGTCCGTAGCCGCTTTACCGACCCCATAGGCCACGTTGAACGTGTACGCCTGGCCGCCGAAGGAAGAGATTAAACAAGCGAGCGGCCTTGTATCGTATTTTTGTGCGGTTTCGATGAGCAACGGTGTCGCTTTGAGCAGAGTAGCGTAGGTGCCCCTTAAACCGACCCCGTGGCAGCAGTCCCACATCTCCATGCCCTGCTTCCAAAAATCATCACGAAATGCGGCATCGGCTAGTTTCGGGGGTGTGGCAAACGCTGACGGGACAATGACATCGAGTCTCCCTTCATCACTACGTATCCTCGCGATGACCTCCTCGATGGCCTTCTCGTCGGAGCAGTCGCAGGGCACTGGAATGCCTTTGCCACCATTCAAAGTGACGTCCTCGGCCGTCTGCTCCACCGTCAATTCACCGACGCTCGCCGCGACGGGTCGATCATCCGAAACAAAACCCGTCTGTCGAGACGACCGCGCGGCGCAGTATACTGTACAACCGGCGGCGCCGAGCTCCAGCGCGATGCCCTTGCCAATTCCCCTAGATGCGCCCGTCACCAATGCGACGCGGCCGGTGAGTGGTTTGAGCGATGTGGCTCCTGCCAGCAGTAGGGCGTATAAATGCATCGCTGCGATGGATCTGTGGCACAGTGGCTGCACAGTGGCTACAGTGTGTGGCTTCCACAGCTCTCAGTTTGCACTCTCGCTGCCGCAGCGATGGCGTCGCGGTCCGCAGACGATTGATCAGACGTCTTGTGCTCAAAAAGCCAGCACGTGTGGCTCTGCGTGAGCCAGGATCGAGTCGAGCAGCCTCGAGGCCGAGGCTTGCTAGTGTCTTTGGCCGCTAGGCCACGTCTTGCGCAGCTCTTGGAGTCCAAGGTCAACTACAGAAACACAGGCTTACTTCGTGAAGGTTCAGAATTCGTCGCCGCCGTCGGCGGGCCGCGACGGCGGCGGCACCGCGATGGGCCCCTGGGCCGCGACCTGCTGCCGCGCCAGCTCCATCAACAAATCGTGCCAGTCCTCGTCGGTGGCCTCGAGGGCGCGGGCCATGCGCTCCGGCGTGAGCGCCATGTTCGCGCGGGCGAGGCGCGCGCACCGCTCCGGCAGCGCCGCGACGGCGGCGGGCGGCGGGATCGTTTCCAAGAGCCCGGCCGTCTCGGCGATCTGGTCGTCGGTGTAGCCGAGGCGCTCCCTTAGAAAGGCTTTCATGTAGGACGGCGCGGGCGGCGGCGCAATGGTCGTGGTTGTCGCCGTCGCTTTCGTGCGCATCGGGCCGTCGGGCACCGAGTTGTACTGGTGGTGGACCAGGGCCGCGGCGGGCGCTGACAACGCGCAGAGGGCGAGAGTACGGCAACGCATTTTTTGTGCAGCTCACTGAATCGAATAGTTTTTAGCCCCTGTAGGCGAGCGGCGCTTCTCAAAATCTCTTCACAGCGCTGGGAATGGATGTTATTTGTGCGTTACAACGGGTCTCTGACGTCTACTTGCCGAAGTCTCCTCGCAGCGCACCGGTGACGGCTGACTTGGACATCGTCGTTTTGCAAATCGGGTTTCGGTCACAGCTCTCACCCCACCCGTCGCAGCGATGCCTCCCTCGACAGGTAAGCCCGGGAACAATAAGAATAGGGCACTATCGCCCGGCGCTAAGCAGCAGCGCAGACATGCTCTCCGGGGGGAGCAAAGCCTCGAGAGCCGAGCGAACGGCCAGCGGGGCAGCCGGAATCATGCGCGAGACGACGCGTCAGAACAGCTCATAACGCGACAGCGCGCGCCGGCCCCGCGAGGCGCCGCGACAGGCAGCCCAGCGCCATGCGCCGCCTCCTCCCCCTCCTCGCGGTGGTCACGGCCGACGACGACTACCGCGCCGACGGCCCCATGACCGTCCCCTACGACCCGGTCACGGGCGAACCGATCAGTACCGTGCGGCCCGGCTGGAGCTGCTCCAACCCCTGTCCGACGGAGTTCACGAATTATTATGGGCCGTGCTGCCTGAATTCGGCCGGCGAAGCTCGATGGAATTTAGATAATTACTGCGAAGATTCGCTCAAGTTCCATACTTACTATGACAGTGATATGAAATTCAATTACGAGTGCGAGGCGGCCGTCGACCGGTACGGCTGCGGGCCGCCCGTCGACGAGCTGAGCGGCTGGATGTGCGCCCCGGCGTCCCACGGTCGCGGCGATGGCGTGCTGGCGGGGAAAATACGCCACCTCCACGCCATCGACGCGACGTTTTCCACGCGCAGGTGGCAGTACGACCTGCGGATCGAGTGCTGCGCGACGTGCCAGCCGGACCAGACGCGGCGGCCGACGAAACTACCAACTCCGAAGCCCACCATGTGGCCCATCGCCGAGAATATCACCGTGGTTTATGGTGATGATTTCGAGGAGGAGACGACGGACGAGTTCCAGCAGGGCGTCGGCTTTGCTACCGCTACTGCTGGTGGGTCTGTGGGAGGTGTACCTGTGGCAGCGATCCTTGGTATTGTCCTAGTCTTGCTCGCAGCGATAGCTATAGACAAACTACATAGAAGACATATAATGAGAAAGTTCCGGCAGGCGCAACTGGCGAATAGCGACGACGCCGCGGCGCGAGTCGGCGACGGCACGCCGCCGCCTCGGACGGACTTGACCCTAAGGCAGCGATTATCACGATGTTTATGGAGTATCATACAATCGATGGCGTGGTCCTTTGGTCTTGTCATCACAAAGCCTATTGACCGGATTGATTACCTGCGAGGCAAATTCGGCGGTCGGAGGGTCGACGAGGCCTTCGATGAGTTGGGGATCGACGATCCGTATGAACGAGTGAAGTGGCAGGACAAGTGGCTCGAGGTCGATGCTGACGAGTCCATGGCTGTTGATAGGACAGAGTTTTCTGAGTACTTTCGTCTACCAGATGATACCTATGGGAAGCGATGTTGGAACATGTTCCGCAACAAGGGCAATGATTCCTGCGGCTTCGTCGAGTTCCTGAGGAGCTGCGCGGAGTGCTGCCAGTGCGATCGGTTGAGTAGTGAGAAGTTCGCGTTTCGGTTACTGTCGCGGTATTGCGATGACAAACCTGAAAAGTTCTTGAGGAAACGATGCCTGGACGTGGCGGACTTGGAAGCTTTTTTATTACATAGAAGCTACGACAGTACAAAACAGGATGCCGACTACGTCGCGGCGCAAAAAAAAAGAGCAATCAAGATTGGGCTGTATATCGATGCGGACGCGTCGGGCGGTATATCGTTTGAAGAATTTCGGAATTTTTGTGAGAAATCTTTGGTGTTCGTGGCGCTCGGGCACAAATATCAAACGGCCCTGCGACGGCGTGTTTTCGGGGACCGGTACTGGTTCGACCTTACACGTAGACTGCGGTTGCGGAGGGAGCCGCCCCCGAAGCCGTGGTACCAGCGGATCTTCTCGAAGAAAACCAAAAAAGTCGCGCCGGCGGGCGGGCCGGCCGCGCCCGACGCCATCCGGGCGCCGCGACGGCTCGCGCCGCTTGGCGGGCCGGCCGCGGCCGATGCTACCAGGGTTCATTCAAGGCGCCTCAGCCACATCTCGGAGGTCTCGGAAGGCTCGGAGGAGCACTCTGTACGGTCGCCGAAGCGCGTCGCCTTCTCCGATGGCATCCCGCCGGCCTCGCCCGCCGCGCGCTCGTCGTCGCCGACGCGCCCACGGTCGCCGAAGCGCGTCGCGTTCACGGAGGCGCCCGTGTCGCCCATCACGGTGGTGTCGGACGATTCGACGCCGCCGCTCCCGCCGGGCGCGCGTCCTACTTCCCCGAAACGCGTCTTCTTCACGGACGACGTCCCGACAAGACGGCCACCTTCCCTGAACATCCGGCCGTCCTGGGGCTCCGAGTCGGAAGTTTCCTCTGTGTCGTCGTCCTCGGCCTACTCGGCGAACCTGTCTCCGCTGTCCGATGGCTCGCAACGCCGCTTCCCCATCCTAAAACCGAAGCCGCGACTCGGAATAAGAAAGTGGATGAAGCGCCAGATGTACGGGGTCGCGCCGGAGGAGCGGTGGCAAGAGCAGATTGAAGATTACTGTGCGATCCTGTGTGGAAATTTTACGGCGCGTTCGTGCTGAATCGTCGCGTCGACCTCCACGCCATCGACGCGACGCCTGCTCGATGGCGTGGCGATGCCGCCGCTCGGCCGAGCCAGAAGGGCCGCGTCATGGTGCACCCGACACACTAGTTGATTTCCACACAGGTGCCATCCACTATCCCGATCCACGACCTTTTGCCGACTGGTGTCCTTTGTTCAGAGAGGACTTTGGCTTCGTTTATGAACAACTAAAAAAGGCGGACGAGCAGCGACGGGCCGTGGCGAAGGCGTCCGACGACCTCCGGGGCGTCATGGACGAAAATTTATGCAGGAGGTTGATCGAGACTTGTGAAACGCTATGCCATGACCCGCACACGCTAGAAGGCGCTTTTCATAAATGGAAGGGCCGCATGCTTCGTAGTACGTGGAACGAACGACCCGTCCACGCGGACGTCCAGGATCGGATCAATGCGAAAACACCTTCCCACGAAATCATGGCGGACCACCACGCGTTCCATCAGCGCAAGCACGAGCTCCATCGACCGAACCCGTCGTTTCGCGACGACCTCGCGCCGTTGCCAGATTTACAAAAGTCGCGGAAGAAACGGCCGCGGACCGCGCCCGTCGGGCTACGGGAAAAGCGTAGGCCGTCGTCGGCCCGCGGGTTGCGGCCCTACGCCTACGAGGCGTCAGCATCGTCGCCAAACGAAGCCTACCGTCAAACTAGAAGGGCGCCGGTGCATCTGCCGTCGCTGCGGGGCCGGTGCATGCACAAGCTCGGGAGCGACGTGCCCGACGGCCACAAGATCGTCGTCGGTTCGCATGGCGTCGGGCGGCCAACTTTCTCCGGGTGCGGGGCTTTGTCGAACATTGGGGCTTCGCGGCGGCCGCGGACGGCGCCTAGTCGATCCGTGCTGTACTAATGTTGTTTAAGTTTCTTACTCATGCTCACGAGCGGCGGCGTTTCTTCGGAACACGGCCGTCCCAAGGAGGCACGTGCCAACCCGGACCTATCCGTAATAAAAGGGGTTCTCGTAGCCCCGGAAACACCGAGAGACGGTGGCATTTCTTGGTCGTCCTCAATCGGTAAATTGAACCGCACGAGGATTTGACGACCGCTTGGCACACAAGCCCGGGCTCGAACCCGCGAGTGGAGCCGACGTCGTCGACTGATATCACCTCGACGACGTCGGACCAGATCCCTAGACACTCTTGGAACGCTTCTCGCACCGAGAGCATCTCGGCCTTGATGCAGTCTCGGTACATGGTCTTGAGCTGCGCGGCGGTGTCCGCCGATAAGTTCAGCCGCGCGACCACCGCCGCTCGAACCGCCCGGGCCGTCAGCGACCCGTCGACCATCGCGGAGCGCAGAGACGCGTCTTTAACAATAGTGTTCCTCGTCGCTTTCTTGATTGCTACTTCGTTCTTGCGATATTCTACCTTCGCTTCGAGGTCCGACGCGTACGCCATCGGGCGACTCGTTCTATCTACCAGGAACGGCATGACGTGCTCCTCCCAGACTGCGGGCAGAGCTCCAGATCCGATCGTGGACGCGATCTGGTACCCGAGTCGCAGCGTCTCCCCGGCGAAGATTCGCGCGGGTTGCGGGAACTGTTGGTGCGTTAGCCGCGAGAAGCGCAGGTTCGCGGCGTCCTCGAGCATGCTTTCGAGTTCGAGATCGAAAGCATACTCGTAGTGACATATAGGCACACTACCAATCTCAGCGCCGGCTTCGAGTAAGATTTCGACACATTCAAATATTTTGCACGCGCATTTCAAACAACAGTAATTCTCGTGCCGGATATTATCAATTGCCCTGCGGAGTGGCGTGACACCCGTAAATGTAACTTGCTCGAGCAGTTCCAGGTTCCCGGTCGCCAGAAGCGCTTCGAGGCACGCGGGTTGAGCGTGAACGATGCAATGGTGGATCGCTGGAGTATCGTGATGCCAATCAACAGGCGCGCCGGTGGCCAGCGGATCCGTGCCCGACGCAAGTAGCTTGTTGACCGCCTCGACGTCGCCGATCGTGCACGCCAATTTGAGTTTGCTCAGTGGGCTATACTGGCCTGGCTTCAGCCCAATGTGTTTCAGGAGCATCTGGGTCTCTGGCATGTTGCAAGGAGAGCAGTCTTGGTGTTTGTTTATTGTCTCTACGTGTTTCTCGTTGAGTGTGCGATTACGGCGCGATCCGTGCGAAAGGATACTATACGCCCGACGTTCAGGTAGCCTAGATCACTGTGGGTACTTGTGCACCAGGCTAACCAAGTCGGAGAGCGCCCTGCCTATTCTCGCGGGTTTTGATCCTCTCGTGAGCTCATTGCTTCACAAAAACAGACACTTACCCGCCTCAACGCCGTCGACGCGCGGGCGGCGCCGGCGCCGCCCCCCCAAGAGCCTGCACGCGCAGCCGCCGCGTCGACTCGAGCCACGACGCCCGGTCTCTGATTCTATGAGCGTCCCGGTCGGAATCGTAGCCCAGGACCTCCTCGGAGATATTATCTGGCAATCGAGTGCCAATAACAGCATAATTGTAGTGGAACTGTCTGGAGCGAGACGCATCCGCGAACAAATCCGCCGCCTCGCGGCACTCGCGAAATTTTTCTTTGGCCGCCTCGGCCTCTTTCCCAGTAATGTTGTTCTGCTGCAATTTATCGGGATGGTAGCGCACGGCGCATTTCCGGAAGGCCGCCCGCGCCGCCTGCGGCGTGATCTCCTCGCCGTCTCGCTCGACGGACACTCCAAGCGCCTTGCAGGCCTTGGACGCGTTCAGTCGAGCTACTCGGATCGACGCCCAGGGGTCCTTTGGTGAAGTATCGATGCCGAAGGCCTGGAGGTCGCGCATGAAACTTGTACGAGACTTGTCGAGGGGCGTGGCTTTCGTGAAGGCGGCTTGGGCGTCCCTCTTGGCCGCGGCATCCTTGCCCATGGCCCTTCTAACTCGAGCTCGCCTCAGGAGAATCGCAGCATTGTCCGGCGCGAGTTTCAACGCATCGGTGCATAGTCTATCGGCGGCCAGTTCCTTGCCTTCGTTCAGGGCGCACGCCGCCGCATTCCCTAATTCCCGGCCTGCTCCCTCATCATCACCAGCTTCCTCGTGGGCCGCGGCGAGGTTCACAAAAAGGGTCCCGGCCTCGTCGAAGGCGCGCCGCTTGAAAGCGCTGTCGGCGTCCCGCTTCATCTGCTTTCTACCGTCGTCCGGGGGCGACCTTTTCTTCCGCGTCGCTCGCTCGGTCGCTCCCCTCACGTCGTGGCGCTTGCGCGGGCGGCGGTCGCCCTCGATGGGCGTGCCCTTGCTCCGCACGGAGTCGCGCGGGCGCTTCCTCCTTTGTTTCGGCGGCGCGGTCTCCTTCGTCAGGTCGATGACCGGGGGGCCCGTGACCTCGACGTCGGAGTCCTCGGCCGTTAAGTCGATTGGGCTCGACATTACTGTCCCGTCGCGTCGATGGCGTCGCGCGCGGCCTGGAGGTGGGTCAGGCTGTTGCTCTGTCTGCGCGGCGGGCCAGCTGCTCTAAGCGTCCGTGCGCGTTGCCGTATGGACGAGCGGTGCTCCGCAGCTTGATTTCGGCGGCCCGTATCGCATGTATAGGGGATGCGCGGCTGTTTTTGGGCTTGGGTTGGGTCTGCTAGTATGTTACATACCGCTAGCTCGGCGAGTTTTTGCAAGCCCAGGCCGCTGAGGACCACCTGACCCCAGCACCGCTCCTCGGACACTGTAAGCTTCATCAGTGGAGCGGCCTGCCGCCCAGCACAGCTCGCCCGTCGCCGCGTGCTCCCCGAGCCGGAGAGCCTCTCTAGGCCTCTTTGCAGCAACAAGCGCCGGCGCGAGGCGACGCGGCACGGCTCCAGCGTTCGGTAGCAGCGCGGACGCCGCGCCGTGAGATTGGAGGCCGCACGCCGCCGCCGCGCGCGCGCCGAGCACCATGGGCGGCTCGAGCAAGCTCGACAAGCTCAAGGCGATGCAGAAGGAAGGCAAGAAGGGTATTGTGGTGGACAAGACCTTTGGGTTAAAAAACAAAAATAAGTCGAAAAAGGTCCAGCAGTTCTGCAAACAAGTGCAAGAGACGCAAAACAAGAACAAAGGAATTGATGCGGAGTCGAAGAAGAAAAAAAAGATGACTAAATTGGCGAAATTACAACAAGAAATGGAGCTCAAAGCCCTATTCTCGGAAGGTCTCTCGATCACGGTCAAGAAGAAGGACCTGCACAAGAAGAAGGCGCAGCAGGGCGGCGGCGGCGGCGGGGGCGCGGGCGACTACTACGACGAGAACTGGGCCGAGAGCGAACTGGCCAAGGCCCAGGCCGCGGGCGGGTCGACCGAACTCACGCTCGAGCAGCGCATCGAGAAGAAGCGCCAGGAGCTCCGAGACAAGGGCGTCAAGGGCACGCCCGTGACCCCCGAAACCTTTAAAGCGTGGAAAGAGAAGAAGGCGAAACGCTTGTTGGCCGAGAAGATGGCGTTGCAAAAGGCCGAGACGCTCAAGAAGAAGGGCAAGTCCGTCTTGACTGGCAGAGATTTGTATCTCGTCCAAAAAGACGTCTTCGTCGACGACGCCGAGGCGACGGAGGACTACACGCGGCAGGTCGTCGCCGAGGAGGGCGACGAGTTGTACGACGAGAACGGCGCTTTGATCGAAGACGCGGAGAGGCCAGCAGTGTCTGTGGACGGCGTCAAGGTCGACGCGGCGCTTTATGGCGACGACGACGACTTGGACGACTTGGACGACCTGGACGACGACTAACTTGATATATGTGAGTTTCTTTTTGGGGTTGCGTAATCGCGTGCTTCGTCTTGTTGTCTGGGGTGCCGTGCACGCGCGGCGGTAGAGCGCGGCGGCCGTGGAGAGGACTACCGTCGCCGCATTGGCAGCGTCAGGGTGTCGTTTAGAGCCGAGGGGTCGTCAGCCTCTACGCCATCGACGTGACACGTGCGAGACGCTTGAGTTGGCCGGCGCGTTCTCCAGGTCAGCATCGGCCTTTTGCTCGGAGGCGTCGGGAGGCGTACGGAGCGGTCTGGAGAAGCCACTGAGCTCTGAATTGGGGGTTTTCAGTGGGCCTCGTGCGCTGACCTCAGGCGAACCAGCTTGGCCGGTCGCCTCATTGTCATCTCTGTAGCACACACGCACGAGCGCCGCCATCGCATCGCAGCGCTGTCGTACATTGTGCCCGTTGCTTCCTTGCCACGCTCCGCAACTTCCATTGCATTTCGACGCGCGCAGACTGCAAAACAAGCACATTCAAGCCAGCATCAGTTTGACCACTGACTCAAACGCGGTCGCAACAACCAGGGCAAGATGGCATCGAATATCGGCCTCTCCCTCAGCGACACCGCCAGCGAGACGACGGCGACGGGCCCGCGCAGCCCGTCCTCAACCTTGTACAGCTCGGACGACGACGCCGCGACCGTCGCCACCCCAGAAGTCTGGAACGCCGACGAAGCGGTCCTCGTGACGGGCGGCGCCGGTTTTGTGGGCTCCCACGTCGCCGAACACTTGTTGAGGCGGGGCGAGAAGGTCTTAGTCATCGATGAACTTAATGAGTACTACGACGTCAGTAAGAAGAGAGCCAACATACAACTCTTAGAACAGTTAGGTGGAAGGAACTTCCGCTTCTTCAAGGGTGACATCTGCGACAAGGCCTTCCTTGCCGAGGTCGAGAAGAGTTGCAAATTTCCCAAGAGAGTTATCCACTTAGCCGCGAGGGCGGGCGTCCGCCCGTCGATAGACGACCCCTTCGTCTACGTCCACTCCAACGTCGAGGGGACGACCAGACTCTTAGAACTAGCAGGTCAAGCGCATGGCAACGACGCCAAGTTCGTCTTCGCCTCCTCCAGCAGTGTCTACGGTGGCAGCAAGAAGCAGCTCTTCTCCGAGACGGATGCGGTGGACGCTCCGGTCAGCCCGTACGCGGCCACCAAAAAAGCCTGTGAGTTACTAGCGTACACCTACCATCATTTATACGGCATGAATGTTGCTGGCCTCCGGTTCTTCACGGTCTTCGGGCCGCGCGGGAGACCGGACATGGCCCCCCTCAAATTTGTGGACAAGGTGTCGAAAGGTCTCCCGATCGATAGATACGGCGACGGGTCGTCGTCGCGGGACTATACGTATATCGACGACATTGTGGACGGCGTTATTAGGGCCTTAGATACACCTCTAGGATACCAGATCTATAACCTCGGGAACGGCCGACCGACGCGACTGAATGATTTTATCAGATTGGTCGAAGAGCACTCCGGGAAACAAGCGATTATAAATGTTATGCCAGAGCAGCCTGGTGATGTTCCTAGAACGTGCGCGGACATCTCGAAGGCGCGCGAGTTGCTCGGCTACGATCCGAAGACACCTTTTAGTGAAGGCATCGCCAAGCTCGTCAAGTGGTACAACGAGTCGCGTCCGTCCATCGAGCTGCCCGAGGATGGCGCGCAGCAAGTGGCCGTCGTGACGCCTGAGCGCGCCTGAGAGACGGCCTGCTGATCTACCCCTCCCCGCCCGACGTCTATACCAAGTGTTTTTGTAGTTATGGTGTCGCGGCGACAGCGTGGCCTGGGACTGATCCCTCGCCCGCCCGGTGCGTCTGCAGGGCGTTGGTCCCGCGCCGACGTCAACGCCGAGGTCAAGGTAACATGTGAGAGTGCAGTACGAGTGTCCAGGCCGCAGCGTAGGCATCCTAACAACGCGCGTCAAACGCCGCCGGCGCGCCCCAACCAACCTACTCGCGAGCCAGGAAAAGTTACGCGCGAACGAAAACAAGCCTCAATCCTTCGCCGCCGCCTGGTACATCTTCGCCGCCACGGTCTCGTCCCATAACACATGCGTGTGCGTCACCGGGCACAGCAGCGAGTGCTGGTCCGCCTGGAGTTGATGACTCAAGATCCGCTGCGCGAGCGCTTCCGCGTCGGCGCCCTCCATGCCCTCGGCGCCTTCTAACGACAATCCAGGCCCATCACCATTGGAAGCCGCGCTCGCTCTCGATCGACCGGCCCCCCCTCTACCCTTCCACTCCTGGGCGTCCTGGAACTCCTGGACGCATAGTAACTCGACGACGTAGGCCGGTGGTTTGGCGCCGTGCTTCTCGCACAGCTTCATGACGTGGCCGACGGCCTCGTGGAGGCCCGTGTTCTTTGTTTTTTGGTCCGCGATGTATTCTCGGCGTTTCGCGCACCTGCGGCGCGGCGATGGCGTCAGCGCGACGCGTCGACGGCGTGGGGCGTGACGCGACTCGGATCGAGTGCTCTCGAGAGTACGTCTACCACCAGCACGCCATCGCGGCGATCCTCGTGGCGATGGGGTCGCGGCGACAGCGCGTGGGGATGGCGCGTCGCTCTGATGGCGTATAAACGGGACGCCGCAAGCAAACGTGTACGGGTAGTACAAGGAGTCCTCCTTCGTCGCCTCCTCATCTTCAGAATGTCCGGTGAAGATGATCGTCACCTTGCGTGCTGCTTGCGGCCGCTCCAGAGCTAAAGTAACTCTCGCCCCTTCCTTCGCTAATTGCTCTACATTTGTTAAATCCTTCCGCCCCTTCAGCACCTCAACTAACGTAGAAGCATATTGATCTAAGAGCAACACGTCGAAATCATCTAAAACGCAGACCATCGTCGCGTCGCATTCGGGATCCGTCAACACAGCCGTGTGGTCGCCCTCCATCAAGCCCATCCTTCTAACCCTCAACGCCATGTCACAATCATGTAACGCGTTGATGACCGTCTCGATGATGCGGTTGCCTCGCTTCGACACGTGTCTCCAGAGCAGCAGGTGCACATGCAGGTCAAAGGCTCGCAGCGACCCTTCCACCCCACCAATCATGGCCTGGCGCGGCGCCTCGCGGGGCGCCGTCCACTTCTTGAGGACGATCTCCGCGAAGGAACTGCGCTGCGAGCTCCGGCCCATCAAGCGGTCCCGCAGACTATTTCTCCGATCACCCCCGGACGCCGCACTCCCTAAAGACTGTCTTGATTTTCTTGTCATGCCCGCATCTTTCAGCTTGTCCAGCATGGACGCGCCCATGCTTAAGCCGCGCATGGTGGACTAAGGGCTGCCCTTAGCTTTGGCTCCTTGAACGCGTGTCGGCTCCCCGTGTCTCCGGGACCGGGCAGGACTGGGCGCCGCGGCGACGGCGTCGTGGGCCCTGTGGCTCTTTCGCTGGCGGTGCCGGCGGTGCCCAGCTCTTTATTGGCCGGCGCTGGATGGCTGCTCCAGTCGCGCGAATCCCACTAGCCCGGAGGCCCGCAGGTGCCCCTATCCGTATCGGACGTCTCGATGGACAGCTATGTACCGTCAACTCACGCGTTCTTCGTGGCCGCTTGCGAGAAGGCCTCGACTGCGAGAGGGTCATTTGCGCGTCGTCGGCGCGCGGGCGCAAGGCACCGCGGGGGCAAGAAACGAGCCCACGGGAGCGCCTTGCTGTGCTGTGCACGGCGGGCTGCGCGGAAGCCGGGCAACCATGCTCCGCTTGCCTCGTGCAGCTCATTACTCTATCTGTGACCTGCTCTGCGCGCGCGAATTGGCGCGTCTGAGCGGAACCGCATCGCAGTGGTCACGGAAAGACGACCCGCGTCATGCGGCTTTCTTTGCGTGCCTCGCCGATCGCGTGGCGCGGGCGCGGGGCGTCGCCGCGTTCATAGACTACGATAGACCATGGGGTACCATGTATCTCGTGCCCGAAAAGACCATTTCCTCAATGCTCAATTATCTCGAGGCCGTCGAGCGCCTCGGTAACACGAAAATTGTGGAGCAGACTACTCATATGCGCTGCGGCGCCGGGTTTGACCCTCTCACCGTAGACGGCCACGAGGACATCGACGGACGAGTGGTGGCGCGAGCAAGGCTCGAGGAGAAGCCTCCCGGGTCTGGCCATGCGATCCTCGTCGCCGGACAGCACGTCACTCGGATCGAGCCCCACGAGCCCTACGACGCCGTCAGCTACGGCACCGTCGTGCACGAAACAAAATTGCCGGGAGGTGAGACCACCTACTACGTCGCCTGGCCCGACATAACTGGTGTTCGTCAGGAAATGATGGGCGAGAATGGTTGCCGCGTCGTCACGAAGCGGCCGTCTTGGGAGCCCAGACCAGCCTGGTCGCCGGCGCAGCAGAAGGAGATAGAAAAGCATGCAAGGCGGGTGGCCCGCCAGGACGAGGTCGCCGACCTGCTCTTCGAGGTGAGCCTCCTCCGTTACTTCGACGTCTTCACGCGACCCGAGAACGAGATTGACGTGGTCGCGATGCCGGCGCTCACGCGCAAGGAGTGGGCCGACCTAGGCGTACCGCTCGGGGATGAGGTGCGCATCAAGCAGGCCCACAGGTACCGGTACCCGGAGATGTGGGCGTGCGAAGCGCGGTGACCCGACGGACGAATCCTAACCTATCCCTCATCCGAGTCTATAAATTAGAGCACCAAGTAACAACGTGATTGAAACATGAACTAAATTATCCATAAAACGAGAGAGACTAGGGACCAGCCGGCGGCGGTTGAGGCTTCTTGAGCACCTTGACCACAGGAGGTGGAGGCGCCGTTTTCACGGGCGCGCAGACCTCGGTGCCGTCCGGCCGGACGTGCTTGAAGGTGCACGCCGCACCTCTATGACATTTCCCCTGCAGGAAGTAGCGACAGGGCACGACCTTGTGCGGCACCGGGACGGCCGGCGGCCGGCCGCCTCTCCTGCTCATGGCGTCCACATCCGCCATGGCCTTCCGAAACGCTTCGTCCCCGATGGGCAGGCGCGGCGCCCGGCCCTGGTTCTGGTAGAGTCGCGGGTCGGCCAGTAGATCTTCGGTGGCGTCTCCACCAAATTGGTAGGGCGGTTCGTTCGGCGCCATTTCGGGCGGTCGGTAGGCCACCCTCACGTGGTCCAACAGTCGGACCGAACCTTGCAACGGGTCCGACTCGGCCAGGGCCACCCAATTGCTACCAGCATTCGGCGGGATGGCACAAACGAGTTCGGCCGGGCCATTTCTGTTCCGCCGCCGCTCGTCGGGTGTCAGAGTAGGTTGGATTTGTGAGGCAAAGGTCGACGCCACCACCTGAACATCAATAGGAGGAACGAGAGCGACCCACAACCATCTCAAATTGGCGGGCTTGCCGTTGGGATCGAGCGGAAAGTCCCGAGGATAGTACTTGGCCAGCGGCGAGTGTTGATCGGTCATCAGGCGCTGGGCGGCCCGCGGGCAGCAATGCGCCGACGCCGGTGGTAACACGCACATCAACTGCTGCAAGGGTGGTAGGGGTGCTCCTCTTTCAAAGCGCGTGCAGCACTTGCGAAGACCTTCACCAGGCTCCAAGGCTACACGAGCCAGATCCCTCGCTAGAGGCGCGTAGTGCCACGGATAACACCACGACCAAGAAGCACAACCTCGGTGATAATATTCGGCCACGAACCTGACACCTCTCCAATACTCCACTGACAAATCCCTGATAGCCGACTCGCGATCAGTAACGCCTTCCCGCTTGACCGGGCCGTGCTTCAGCACCTTCCGGTAGTACCGCTCCCGGAACCCTTTTTGCCCAATACAGGGATCATTCAAGTCGCTTTCCTTCAAGAGCTTTTCCGCGTGCTTCTGTATAGCTCGCTCCGCCAAGTGTTTCGTCGACGCCGCTTCCTGTGGTGATGGTTCTCGCAACTCATCATCATCCAATGAGAGAGCATCAAATTTACCGCAGGCGCGCGCCGCCATCTCGACCAGCGCGTCTTTTTTCGCATCTGAACGTTCTCGAGGTTTGGACGAACTTTGCGCGTCCCTCCGCGCGCGCCTCCTCAAAATCTCCGGTTCCAGGTCCGCAATGACAGCTAGTAGAGCGGCGACGCGCTTCACGTGGACCCGGCCGGCGCCGCAGGCGTAGCCGCGCTCGCCGCCGTCGTCGGTGAGGTAGCCCCCCAAGCTTCGCGGTAAAGCTCTCGAGTACAACGCTAGCAACAAATCTAAACCACCGTCCGGTATGCTGAGACACGGTAACTGCGGCAAGAAATCATTTCCCACAAAAAAACAGAGCAGTACGAAGTCATCCAGTAAACGCTCGTCGTCGCGCTCGAACCTCGATAGTTTGTTCCGCGGATCTAGTTGCTGCGTGCACAGGCCGTTGATGCCCGGGTCCCTCACTAAGCAATGTCTTAACCTCTGGGCCGATAAGTACTGGAGTCGCGGCGGGCCCGTGGACTTGCTTCGACCCGTCTGTACTCGTTCCCTCAACACATAAACTCGCGGCGCATGTAAGGCTAGCGACAGGAACATGAGGTCCGCGTCCTGGCCTGCGTTGTTTTTTGTTGTCGTGTGCTCGCGCCCTGGCGTCTTGGCGTGCTCTCTCTCTCTCGCTCGCCCTGACGGCACGATGGCGTGCCTGTCCTGCTCTCCCACGCTCTGGCGCGCGCCTCGACGGCGTCGACGCGACGCCAAGATGGCACAGAAACGCGTCGACGCTCTCGCGACCGCGCCGACGGCGCCGAGGCGGCGTGGTCTCGCGAAGACGCCATCGACGCAACCACGCGACCACGCGACCACGCCGACGGCGTCGCTGCGACGTGGGACGCCATCGCCGCCACCGGATCAAGTTCAAGTCCATTCACAACACTGAGTCGCGGACCGCACACCGCGTGCCTTTCCTCTTCGCCGCCGCACCGCCGGATGTGGTCCATGATCTTGTGCTCGCCCTCGCCCGGCGTCGACGCGTCACTTATAATAACTCTAAGAGAAGGCTGCCGCGCCACCGCCTTTGCAGCCCACGTCCGACAATACGACGCCAGTGAATCCATGAACGGGGTCCCGGGCGTGATCGCGTTGTGGTCCCACCGTTGTTTTGTGGACGGTTTGTGCCCCTGCCTCTTCAGTAACAAGCCCAGGGCCCGCTCACTTTCCTCGGCTTCCCGCGCGCTACAGAATCTACGTTCGCGCTGTTGATTCATCTTCGCGCGCGGCGCGCAGCCGTCCAGAGCCAGGTAGACTAACTTCGTAGGTCGCACCGCGGCGACGAGTCGATCCAAGTACTTGCCGACGTTGTCGAGCATCTCCCGTTCACTTTTAGGCTGCGGCGCGCCGTTTTCCGGGTGACAGCACGGGTGCACGACGCCGTTGCAGTCTATAAACAGGTTGTCTACTTGCACCCAGCGCGCGAAGTCGCCGCTCGTCTCCTTGACTAATGAAGCGTTCGTGCTCCTATCAAATTCTCCTCGTTCCTTCCCTTCGAGCAAGTCCAACATCACGCACGGGTAGCGGTTCGCGAGCCAGCGGAAGAAGGCGGGGACGCCCATGGTTGCGTCGTCGTCGCGTGCGTCGTCGGCTCGTCAGTTGTGCGGGGGCGCCGTCGCGCGCGTGTGCGGGCAGTGTGCGGCGAGGTGTCTGGTTTGGAGTCCTTATGCAGAGGCTACGCCGCACGGCGACGGCGTATCGTTCAGACCCATGCTGGTGGAGCGCAAAGGGCTCACGGACGTATGCTCTGTCCACTGGTGCGATGCTATTGTTTTATACGGCCGTCGCTGCCGCGCCCCGGTAATATTAGTATGTTACTACTCTAGCTGGGACTCATCTGTTACAACAAAGAGATTCTTACCCGCCGCGCCGCATGGCTCCTTGATCGAACACTCTCGGCCGGTAACCGTACACGGCCTTGGACTTGTCGAGGCCGCCGACGCCCGCCTCGCAGTAGGCGTTCTTCCGGTACTCCTCGACCCACGTCTCCAGCCCGAGGGCCTTGACGAACTCGTAGCCCGAAGCGAAGGTATTCATGTCCCCGGGCAGCAGCCCGCGGACGCCGACGATGCGGTAGAGCACGCCCTCGCGCCGCACGCACCCGAGCGCGATGTGGTCGAGGTCAAAATACGTCTCGCGGCCCATGAAGTCGGGCGCCCAGAACCGGCCCCTTATCTTATCGGCCGTCGTCGACTCCCCGTTGGACGGCGCGCGCACAAACTTCAGCGTCTTGCCGCCAAACCGTTCTCTCAGGTGGCGCAGCCGCTCTGCGTCCCGGCCCGTCGCCGCGGGACCTGTGCGTGGACGGCGTCACGGTGGCGTAACGACACCGACGCCATCGACTAGACACGGCCACCGGGAGGGCGGCGTCGCGTCGATGGCGTCGGTGTCACGTTGAAGAGTTCCACGCCGCGTCGGCACCTGTCTGTGTCGCGCCCAGCAGAACGCCCTTGAGTTCTTTCATAATAAAATACATCTCCTTCTGCTGCTGCCTCTGGACATTCCGGCGCCACCACTTCGGTTCGTCCTCGACAGGAAACTCGAACACCCAGTGCTTGCCGATGGACGAGTCGAAGCACAAAGCACGCTTCAAGTAGCCTTCGAAGTAAGTCCGCTCGGCGGCTCGCGCCATATACCACTCGTAGCCGGGCAACATCTTGTTCAACTTCCCCCAGATCAGCCCTCGGAGTCCAAGCAAGTAAATCGCCCGCTGACCGTCAATCCAACGTAACGCTACATGGTCCCAGTTCGTCTTCACTAGGTTGGGCCCGAGGCCTGGGAGATCCACCTTGATGAACGGCGCGAGCACGTAGGCTCTCTCATCTTTATCCAGACCAGTGAGCACGCTCCGCGGCACGTCCACTTCCTTCGCGATGGCCTCGAGCAGCTCCTCGTTCCGCGAGAGCCAGTCCTTCAACGCCCCATGGTGGCGCTCATGCCACAACGTCGGGTTGTTTTGTCTCAACTCCTCCGTCTTCGTGCGCGTCAGCGCAGCGTTGTCGTCCTCAGGGCGGTAGGACTGCCGCGGGGCGCGCGACGCGCGGCCACCGCCCGCGTTGCCCATGTCGCGCATGGCCTCGAAGGCTTTGCGCTCCTCTTTAAGGATCGCGGCCAACCGTTGCGCGTAAAACGTCGCGCGGTCCCAGTGGTCGAGCATCGTCGCGTCGTTCCCGCACGCATCCTTCGTCATAGCAGACTGAGATGTCACAGTTCGTGCTAAGGGCCCGCGGTACCAACCACGCGGGCGGTTGGGAGGTTTCCTTCCACTCGGACTTTTGATGAGGTCGTCCCACTCGGGCAGTACCTCGGCGCCGGACCAGTCCCCGCCGTGCAACAACGTCTGGAAGGGCTTTGCCCCGGAATTAACGAAGCCCTCCCAGTAGTTCAAATCGCCATCGCGTTCAGCCGACGAAGAGACGAGCGTCAGGCCCGCCCACCGTCTCGCGTCGTCCTCGCCCTCCAAAGCTACCACGCCGCCCGCGCCCGACGGAGCTAAAACCGCAGCACCAGTTCGTTGCGCGGCGGTCGCCTGGATCTCCTGAGCGTGCTCCGACTTGCTGACATACTCGCGTGGGCCGAGATGCCAGAGCTTGCTCGAAGTGCCTGTAACCGTCACCGGCCGCACAATACTTTTCAAGTATTTGTCTTCGTCGCCGAAGGCCTCCACGAAAGCGGACTCGCCGAATTTGCCCTTGAACGCGTCGAGAGCTTCCTTGGTCGACATAGCACGGGACGCCTGCTTCTCCCTGGCCTTCTGGGTCAGCCGCATGAACGCCTCGTTCCATTGAGGCTGCAAGCGGGTCGACGTCTCGGACGGCGGCGGCGGCGGGCCGCCTTTTACGAAATTTAGCGTGGCGTCGTCGAAGTGAACTGGGCTGCCCGGCCGGGCGGCTTCCATTGTCGTATTTTCGCACTCTTTCGACCAGCGGTGTGCCGCGGCGACGCGGAGGCTAGCCAGGAGGGTAGCAAAGCACAATGCAGCGACGCTGTCGTTGCAACAGCGATGCTCGAAATCGGTGCAGGCTGTTCGAGAGGAACCGTAAGGGTCCTCCGGCGGGTCCTTCGCTGCGGAAAGACTGCGCGAGCGAGCGGGGGAGGCTGGGCAAAAAAGCCAGGCTCATCGTGCGGGGCCGCGCCTCCGGGAATCATAGAGCGCCTCTCTAAGAGCTCCAGAACGCGTCCGCGGGACGGTCAGACAAATGAGTACATTGGCTTCGATGTGCGAGACCGCAAAATCGACTTGCAAAATCGAGGTCGATAGCTCGAAAAAACCGTAGTCATAGCAAAATGGATCGACAAACTACGTAAAACGATGCCGGACTTCAGCAATTTAATGTTGCTTCGGCTCGCCGCGCTCGAATTGCTCCGCGCCGCCGACCCTAACCTTTCACACTACTGCCTGCTGGTCTCCTGTGCGTCGCCGTGCAAAGATAAACCGCGCCGCGTCGACGCGAGCGGACGCCCCACGCAGCGCTGACGGATGGCTCGCCGAAAGGCCGGTTCTGCTTCGTGCCCGCGCCGTTCCTCGCGATGAACGGATGGAAATCACAATTCGACGCGCGTCGACGGTCGCTACGGGCGCTACGGTCTCTACTATTGATCCGACGTCGACGGCGTGCTGGAGCCATCGCGTCGGCCGCCACGCCATCGACGCGACGTCGTCGCGAGTCGCGACGTGCTCTCGCGCAGGTCCTCATGGTGTACCAGGCCGTCGACTTCCTCTCGCGCCTGGCCAAGGCGCGGCCCCACGTGCTCGGCGGCGGCGGCGAGGCGGCGCTCCAGGCGTTCTTCCCGAACCGCGTCCCCGTCGCCTGGGACATCCGCGCCTGGCCGCCGCAGTTCCCGCCGCTGATGGCGGGCTGGATCGACACGGTCATGCGGCGCCGCGAGCAGCTCGGCGAGCCGCTCCGCCGGACGCTCGTGTCCATGGTCGAGCAGGCCGAGGCCGACGCGACGACGCCCGACGCGGAGATCCCGCGGATCCTCATGCAGTTCGCCCAGTCCCTGCCCGACCGCGCGCACGACATCTACCAGGACAAGGACGCGCCGATCGCGTGGAACGACGTCGCGGACGCGGCGACGATCGCTGCTCTGCAGATGCCCGACGGCTTCGGCTCCGGCGACGTCTTCCCGAGCTCGGTCTCCGTCGCGCGCTCGGTCGCGGCCTCCTTCGTCGCGGCGCGGGCCGGATCGAGGGGCTAGGAACCATACTAAGTGGGCCTACTTCAGTAAGTTCCATACAAAAAGAATAGTCGCCCGCGGACTGCACATTGACTCTCACACTCTTACTCGCCCGCAGCCTTCGCCAACCCCCGCCCGATCTTTTCGGCCTTACCGACGATAATTTTCATCTCATCGCCGGAGAGCCCATTGATCCTAGTGTGTCATTGAACTAGCTAGTCTGCGCTTCGTGCGTGGTGTGTCTGGGTAGCGCTCCCAGGGGTTCACTCCCGCACATCGCGTCTCTCTTCTTACCTACTTCTCTCTGCTGGGGCAGCCTTGCCGTCGATCACCGCGTGCGCGCGAGCTTGGGCTCTCCAGAGGCTCTGCATCGAAAAAAGCCAGCTCGACGAAAATGCAAGGAGAGCAGTACCAGGGTGAGCGCGAGGCGATGCCCCCGGGCCACGTCTCGGGCGCCGAGGCCGCTGCCATGGCACAACAACAACCTCCTGTTGGCACGGTCGTCGTGCAGCCCGCGGCCGTTTCAGTTGTGCAGCCCGGTCTACAGCCCGTGCGACAGGTCGTGTACGACCAGCAGCAACCCGTGGGCCAGGTCGTCTACCAGGCGCCGGCGGCCGTGCAGCCGCCCGCCGTCGTGGTCCAGCAGCCGCAGCCTGCCGGGCCGCATCGGGAGAAATTCGTTGGGGTCGTCTCTCTTAGTATCGCCGGGGTCCTGTTCATCTGCGGAGTCTGGCCATGCTGTCTCATCCCGTTCTGCGTGCCCTGCGACGAACGGTCCGTCTACCCGCCGCAGCAGCAGCAGTCCGTCGTGACGGTTCAGCAGCCGCAGCCCGGAGTCGTCGTCCAGGCGCAGCAGCCGAAGCATTACTAGGCCACTCGCATTTGACAAATAGCTCTACTACTAGTACTACGCGGCTCCAGCAAGCAGCAGCCGAAGTATTACTAGGCCACTTAACAATTAGCTTGATTACGCGAGCACGCCCGCGACCCAGTCCTCGCCCGCGATGCCGAGCGTCCGCGCGCACGGCCTCGCGTGTGCCCGGCACCTGTGTGGAAATCAACCAGTGTGTCGGGTGCACCCGAAAATTCTTTCTTCACTAAGTCATTTCTCGGCGATGACGCTGCCGTGCTGGCTCCGTCGAGCGGTGAGGAACCGGCATCGCCACGCCATCGAGCAGGTGTCGCGTCGATGGCGTGGAGGTCGACGCGGCGATTCAGCGCGAACGCGCCGTAAAATTTGATTTCCACACAGCCCGGCACTGCGACCCAGCTAACGAACCAGACACGCTCCGGAAGCCCGCGCAGTCGGCGAGGGCTCCGAGAGCGAGGGAATCACGGTGTGCGGCCGTCGGAAAGATCTGCGGCAGGATTTGCTGCGCCATCATCGCGACCTGCGCGCCGGCCTGCGAAATGCGGGCGCCGGCGCTCGCGGCCGAGGACTGGGCCTGCTGGGCGTCGAAGTGGTCGCCGTAGCACGCGGCCGCCGCGACGTTGTCGGGAATCCGCGCGCCCTCCGGCGCCCAGAGCTTTGCATCTACCGCGTTCGCCGCGTCGCCTGTGTGGAATCAAATTTCGGACGCCCCACGCCAGCGACGCGACGTCATCCCCGGGACTGCATCTGCTCGATTGCGTGTAGATTCCACACAGCGCGTCGCCGGCAGTCCCAAGCGTGCCGCGCACCGACGCCGCGTCCGCGTACGTCAGCGACGTAAATATAGTGGAAGGGGGAATAAATACGACGTCGCCCGGCTTTTGACTTCCTTCCCGGTAGCTCAGCCCCTTCGCCCCCAGATCCAAATCTTCGACGAGCTCCTCGAGCTGAGATTCAAAAAACACGAAGGCCGACGACGGCTCCAAGGCCCCGGAGGCTTCGGCCTTGCTCCGTAATTTCATGAAGGTGTCCGGCTGCATCGTGAACCACCGCCGCTCCCCGTGCACAAGGCCGTCGAGCAGCGGCGTCGGCTGCTGGCGCAGGTGCTCGCCCGCGCCGGCGGGACCGACCACGAGCCGCGTCGACGCGCTCTTCAATGCCATCTTCGCCGCGTCCACGCCATTTGAAACCGCCTTCAGCAGGAACCGCGTCCGTCCGAGGTCGGCGTCGAGGGCCGCGCCCGCCACCTCCAGGGACTCCGTCAGAAGGCCCGTCGCGTTGCCGCCGAAGAAGGTTGACCACGCGACGTCTTGCTCACAATGTTCCGTCTGCGCGCCGCCTCTCTTGCGGAAGTCCGGCTTCGCTCGTAGGTTGAAACAGTTTACGAAGTACCGCTCGACGGACACGTCGTTGTGCTCCCATTCTTGCGGTTGCTGGTTCTCCTCGAAGGTGCGCTTCTGCTTTGACACGGCCGGCGTGAAGTATTCTAGCGTGACGCCTGCATGGCCCATGAGCGCTTCGGCGCTCAGCAGGGAGCGGAGCTCGTCGAGCGCCCCGACGCCGCCCTCGACGATCAGAGGCTTTTTTAGTAAAGAGGCGGCCTTGCCGTCTTCGACCGCCTTCGCAAAGTCGGCCACGGTCATGCGCTTCATCGCGTTGGATTTCTTGGGCTTGGCGAACGTGGATTTGAGAGCACGCACGCCGACCGTCGCGTTCGTGAGCGTTTGGGGCGGGCCCTCGTCCTTCGTCTCCGAGAGCTTGCTCTCCGTCGCTTGCTTTGCTTCTAATTCCAGAAGTGAACGGCGCACCTTGTCCGCCGCCGACCGCAGCAATAGTTGCACGCTCGTGCCCATGCCGTTATCCACCGCATGCTTCAGCAGAGCGTCGGCGTCGTCGCGCGTCGCTTCATAGGTGGTTTTGCCGGCCTCTACGATCAAATTGAGGTTGTATGTCGTCTTGCCGAGGTCAACAGCAGTCGCTGCGGCGAGCAGCCATGTGAGGAGGTGGAGGCGCATGGCTGCAACGCGGCTTCGCGATTGATGCAACCCGCGCTCGCGGCGACGTCGTGCTGTGAGAGCTCCTTTGCACCTAGCCTAGCGATCGATAGGATCTCAGCGCCGACGATTGGGCGCCGCAAAACTTGCTTGCTTGTTGGCTAGTGTCTTACAGGACGCTAGCGCTATTTTCGGGTCAAGGTTTCCGGCCCCTCACGCAGGGCAAGGAGGCGCGAGGGGCAACCTCGTGGACCGCTCACGAACCTCGGGCCGCTGATTGATCGGCCCGTCTCCAGGTTGGTAAATTCGCGTTCTGGTACCATGGCCCTGCCCTTCGACGCGCTCACGGCCGCCCTGGACGCGTGGTTGGGGCTGCACGTTCCAAACGCGACGCGGCGGGCCCGCGTGCGCCGGGCCGTCGACTGCCTGGACGACCTGCGATTGGCGCCGCTCGCCCACATCGAGTTCGCCACGGACCTGAGCAGTTGGCCGGCGATTCCTAGGTTACGGTTCCTGTCGGCACTGCGGGAGCTAAGGGGCGAGCCCGTCGCGCGCGCTCGTCGCGACGCGCGCGTCGGCCGCTGGGTAGAGGTGTATTGGCCGGGAGATGGCCGTTGGTACCGGGGGCGCGTCACGACACAGCGGGATCACGAGCTACGCGTCTTCTACGACGACGGCGAGGCGTGCTTCCACGCGTTCCGCGACGAGCCTTTCGTAGGAGACGGCGCGCCGCCGTTCGCGCCCGAAGACGCGCCCCAGCAGTGGCGGTACGCGTTTGCGCAAATCTACTAGTGTAAGCTAGGAGGTGCCCCAGGGCTCCAGAGCCTTCCGCAGCGCGGCGATATACCCGCGCGCTCTAGAGCTCTAGGAAGCTGCAAAAGCACAGGCATTGGCTCTGAGAGCAGTGCTGCTCTAGACTCGGTGAGGAGGGGGAAACCAGTGCCGATTCTTCTACAACCTAAACGTCTCGTGAATACTAGTTCACGACTCCTCGGCTTCTCGCCCTACGTTTACGCAAAGTTCCAAGGCTCTCACTGAGACTCTGAGAGGCTTCCACTGCAGCCGCGAATCCAGCAGTCAATTCACTCGCAATGCTCGCAGCCAGTGCTCACAGCAAGACCCTGGACTCTCCCACAAGTGTCGCCGGCAAAAAGATAGAAGACCCGTCGGCCACGTCGCGCCAGGGACACGTCGTCACACGCGCCGAGTTGGAGATAATCGTTGACGACCCGTCGCTCGCGACCATCTGCGAGGAGCTCCAGATCGCGAGCCGGCGAAACGCTGGTGTTCTCGAGGTAGAGTGGTTCCGCGACGGCCGCGAGCTGACGCTCTTCCAAACGTACGCGAGCAGCGAGGCCGCGGCGAAGCAGCACGCCGAGGCGTGGGTCGGGAGCGGCATCGGTCGGCGCCTGTGGCGCTTGTGCCGCGTCGTCCGCGTCATTCAATACGGTCGCTACGATGACGACCTCGTCGAGATCGCACGGACGGCCGACGCCTTCACGCGCACCGCGGACGGCATCGTGCTGGAGGTCCACGGGCCCCTCGGCCAACCGCACCGCCGCCCGCGCCCGGTCTGTGCGCCCGAGCGCGTGATCTACGAGATGGAGGTCGTGGGCGATCTCGAGGCCATTAATGAAGACATACGCGTGCGGCAAGAAAACGCGCGCTCCGATCCGGACCTCCTTGATTTCGAATGGTTCCTGACGCCCGACGGGCGGTTTTTGACGCTTCTTTGTACTTACGCCGACGTGCTGGCGCAGCAGCGGAGCTTCGTGAGATCTATGAGAAATCCTTTACCGGAGTCGCTCATGCTCCTGAAATCCATGCGCACCTACGGCCACGCCGCGCTCCGCCCGGGGAACGACCCCCCGCCCGGATGGACCGAGGTCATGCTCTTGACGGAGCACCAGGAGCCGGTCGGTCGCCGGAGCTTCCAGCGCTGATAATGACCGTGACGGCAGAAGATCTGGAAAGCATCTCCCCGCTCGTGATAAAGCTGGTCGAGCAGCCCGTCGCCGATCCCCTCCCCCAAGAAAATAAAAAATGACATACTCGTCGATGGCGTCCGGTGCGTCCTACGCCATCGCCGCGACGCTCCGACACACGCGCGATGTCATTTCAAATTACGCGCCCCAGCAGTGGCGCTTCGCGTTTGCGCACATGTAAGGCGCCGTCTGTTGACGATTGTGCGCCTTCGAATAGCCTTCGCGGAGGCATCCAAAAGTTCGGGTTGGCATGCCCTTTTGGCTTCGGCTCGAGACAAAGCAGCCGCGCGGGGAAGAGGCAGCCCTTTTGGCTGCCATGGCCTCCGCAGATGCCGCAGCCAGAGACGCGTGGGTCGCAGACCACGTCAGCGGTGAGGAGAGGCGGCGCTTTGTCTGTAGACAGGCAGATGCCATCGGGGACTTCCAAGCTATAGCTACGCTCGAAGACCTCGACGCGTTCACAGGTTTTCAATCCTGGTCGCCGATCGCGCGCGCGCGCTTCCTACGGGGATGGCGACGGCTGAGGGGCGAAGCCGTCCCGTCGCTGGCCCCCGCGGCCGTCCCGCCGTCCCCGGCAGCCGTCCCGCCTCCGGCCCCGGCGGCCGTCCCACCTCCGGCGCCAGCGGCGGCCCGGCAATCGCCGGTCGTCGCGGAGCAGACGCGGCCGCCGCCCGCGGCGCCGCCATCTCCCCTGGCAGCTCCCGCGACCGCCGCACCGCCGGCGCGGCCGCCCCAGCCGCCCGACGAGCACGTCAACGACGACGACGACGATAGTGGCGAGACGGCGCCAAAGTGGGCGTGCCCGGCTTGCACCTTCCTTAACAAGGACCATTATGCGGCGTGCGACGTGTGCCAGGAGACGCGCCCGGCCTCGCCGGTCGCGCCGGCGACGCCTTCTCCGAAACTTCCCGCCAAGCGGCGGCAGGAGTGCATCGACGAGGGGCCCCGGTCGACACCCGCAGCGAAGCGGGCTCGCACCAAAGGAAAGGCCGCCAAGGCTACTCGCGCGCCGCCCGCGACTCCGGCCCGGGCAGCGGCCACGGCACTCCACGCGGCCGCCGCAACGCCCGCGGTGCCGCCGCCGCCCGCGCCGCCAGTGCCGTCACCTGCACCCGCGCCTGCACCGCCGGCGCCGGCGGACACCGTCCACTCGCTTAGCTACCTCGACCAGGTCAAGGCCGAGTTCGGCGACAAGCCCGAGATCTACAACGAGTTCCTGGAGATCATGAAGTCTTGTACGAGCCAACAGACCGACATGCCCGGCGTCATACGTAGGGTCAGCACGCTCTTCCAGGGCTACGGGGAATTACTACACGGCTTCAACACCTTCCTGTCGGAAGAGGACAAGATCGAAGTACCAGACCATTTACGAGAGCAGGTACGAGGCCAGGTCAACGCCGAGCCGCGCGGCCAGACAGGGCGCGGCCAGCAACAAGCCCCAAGGCCGCGCTTTCCGAACACGTTCCCGGCGAATACTCCGCCATCGGATCGTTCGAGAGCCTACGGGGACTGGGCGCAATTCGCCGACCCGCTCTCGGACAAAATATACTACTACAACGTCAAGACCGGCGTGAGATCGCCGACCTGGCCGGTTGACGACGATGTTCCCATGGCCGGCCCGCCGGCCGACGACCGTGGTCCTTCCGATGATGCCCCGCGCCGCTCGGGTCGAAAGCCAAAGCGCTCGTACACGAACTGGGCCGACAAAGACGACGCCTCCCCGGCCGTCGCGCCTAAGAAGCCCGCAGCCAAGAAACCGGCGCGCCGCAGGGCGGCCGTCTCGCCGGGTCCTGCGCCGAAGCCGAAGCGCAAATATAAGCCCCGGCCAGAGAAGCCTATCCCCTTCCTCGTGAAGCTCGTGCAGCTCATCCGGGATGAGCCCGACGTGATCAGTTGGACGCGCGAGGGCACCATCGTCATCCCGGATCCCGCCAAGCTCGAGTCCAAGCTCCCGAGCTACTTCCGGCACCAGCACTACTCGTCGTTCCAGCGCCAGCTGAACACCTTCGGCTTCAACAAGCAGCACAAGTCCGCGAGCCCGCTGAACTCGGTCTACGTGCGCGTCAAGGGCGAGCAGCTCGCCAACGTCGACGTCGACCAGCTCCTGCGCCTGCGGCCCGTCCTGGAGTAGAGTCCTGGAGAGGACCTTATGTGCTCTCTCTCTCTCTCCTGGAGAGACCCCAGGCGGGGGGGGGGGAGTAGTAGACCTAGTTTCACGTTTCGTTACACAGGGATATAGGAAAGACCTACTACTGCAGCTGGTCCATGGGGATCTTGTCGATCTTGCTATAGAACTTGCCCTGGCCGACCTCCTCCCGACTGATGCGCCAGTAGTGCTCGGGCATGGACGCGCCCGCCTGGGCCGCCATCTCCGTGCGTAGCGTGGCGATAAATTCTTCATCATGAGTAATCACGACGAGCTGGAAGTTCGACTGCCGCGCGCGGTCCGCGATGATCCTCGAAAGACCATGCGCTAAACTTCGGCGATTGGCCTCGTCTAGGTTTGTGGTCGGCTCGTCTAACGCCAGAATGCCGCACTTGATGCAGAACGTCTGAGCTAAAGCCAACCTAATAACAATAGAAGCCAACACCCGCTGCCCGGCCGAACACCGCCCCTTCATATCTAAGGCAGCACCCTGCTTGCGCATGCGCACGTGATAGTTATAGGAACGAGCAGCTCTTTTAGAACCGTTGTCCTCCCCCGAAACAATCTCGATCGTATCTATATCTTCGCCCATGTACGTGACCGACCATAACTCCTTAATAATACGATTAATTTCTTCGATTTTCAAGCGGTGGAAGGACCCCAGGGCCTTGTCGAGGGCCGTCCAGTAGTGCTCGACCTGCGTGGAGCATCGCGGTCTCCGAACGGCCTCAAACTCGAAAAAGAAACCACCCACGTCATCGTGAGATGGACACGAGTCGCGTCGATGGCGTGAAGGCATCTCTACACAACGGGACGCCGAGATCCACATCTTTACAAGCCATCTCGGTCGTCTCCTTGTCGATCATGGCCCTTCTATGCCGCTCTTCCACACCTTTGTAGCGCGCCGTCGCGAGGTCGTTCGCGTGCTCGCGCGCCACTTCGCGCGCCTGCTTCCGTTGCCCTTCGTGCTCGCCCTTCTCGGCCGCGACCCTTTCCAGCTCTTGCGTGATCCTCGATAACCGACGACTAAGGTCCTGCTGCGATCGACCGGCAAATTCATCATCCTGATCAGGTTCCTGGTCCTTGGCCCGCCTCAATTTCTCTTCGCAGGCCTCCTTCTTCTTCTGCTGGGCTCTATACTCGAGGACGCCTGCGCGGGAACGGAAGCGTCGCGACACGCGTCGACGCCATCGAGCCGACGCAGTCACAACATCGCATCGAAATTTGATTTCCACACTGTTCACGCACCCTCGACCTCCTTCTTCTCCAACATCCTAGTATCTTCCGACTTCGACGCGTCGGCGATTTGGGCGTTGACGTCCGCGGCCGCATCTTCCGCCTCCGCCACGTCTCTTTCGAAGCGCGCCTTCGTCTCTTGTAATTCCGCCAGGGTCTTCTCGGCGTCGGCGATGCGCTTGTCGCCCCTCGAGGCTTGCGCGACGGCTTGTTTCACGGCGTACGCAGCTGCTTTCGCGCCGTTCGTTTTGGAACGAGCCTTCTTCTTCCGCGCCGTCCATTGGGAAGTGGCCTCTTCTTGATCACGTTTAGCCTTATCTAAGGCAGCTTTGCGCTGGGGCGCGTCGGCCTTGATGTCCTTCTCGCGCTTCTCGCAGTCGCGCTTCGTCTTGGCGGCGTCGTCCCGGGAAGCTTCCCAGCGCCGCTTCTCGGCGAGCTGCTGCTCGAGATCACTTACAGCTTTGGACGCCTCGGCCTTGCGCGAGATCATGGCGTTCTCCTGCTGGAGGCCCTCGGCCTTGTCCTTTTCGGCCTATGTGTAGTTACGGTGTCATTTGTGGTGCGTCGCGGCGATGGCGTGCGGGTGGCGCCGGGCGCCGTCGACGCGACGCCATCGACGCGAAGTTAACAGACACCGAGTGTAACCTGCGCCCGCTTGTTCACCGCCGCCTCCTTTTCATCTTGCAAGCGTTTCAAATCTCGGGTAATATCTCTGCGAGACCGCCTCCCACCGGTCCCGGCGTCCTGCGCGACCCTATCCAAAGTTTCTTTTTTTGCGTCGCGCGCGTGGACCGCGTCGCGCAAACTCGCTCCGAGATCCGCCAAGTGGCACGCCTTGTCGTAGCTCGAGGAAGCCTTCACTGATGATGCTTCCGCATCCCTCAAAGAATTAGCGGCATCCTTGGCCGCATCCGAAGCGGAAGAAGCGGCACTTCTTTTGTCGTCCACATCTTTTTCAGCTAAAACTTTCTTCTGCAGCGTCGCGACCCAGGCGCGCCACTGCGGCTCGAGCGCGTCCAACTCACCTTGGATCTCGGCGCACGACGTCGTGAGATCCGTAAAAGCGGCGCCGACGCCCTGCGCGTGCTTCTTCACGACCTTGTCGAGGCGGTCGATCGTCTTCTGGGCCTCTTCATTATCTTCGAAGTCGCGCTTGCAGACGGGACCTGCGTGGACATCAACATTTTACGGCGCGTTCATGGCGTGGCGATGCCGGCACCCGACGCACTGGTTGATTTCCACACCGCACGGGACACATCTTGCAGCCCGTGTGTTTGTTCGGCTTCGTGCGCACTTTGTCGAGGAGATACTCCATGGCTCCCGGCAGCAGCGTCGCGGACTCCTTCCGACGCGCCACGACACTAGCGATGCCTCGGACGAAGGTCGCCGTCGCTTGGAAGGCGTCCGGCTTGCTCTGCGCCAGGGGCGTCGCGACGAGCGTCTCCAAGGCCAGGTCGTCGTCCCCTTTGTCGATGCGCGCCCACTCGAAGACATTTAAATCCTCGGCAGCCTTGTAGAGCTCGTCGACAGCTTTGACGTCGTCCTCGGTCTCCGCATCCTCATCGAGGTGTTGCGCGGCGTCCTTCTCCGCATCTCGCAGAGCTGCACATTTTTTCTTGATGGCGGCTAGCTTGGCACGCGTGTCGGACGGTAAGGCATCGACCGCGCGCGACGCTTCTCTCTGTGAAGCGCGGGCGGACGCTTCCGCCTGCTGCGCCGAGCGCTCGTCGGCCGTCGTCGACGCGTTCCTCTGGGAAGCGGTCTTCGACGCGTCGTCCAACCGCGATTTAGCCGAAGAAATGAGACTTTTGAGGCGATCGGCGAACTCCGGGCCATCCTCTACGGGTGGAGGTTCCGGCACGACGGCGCCGCTCCCGCCATCCTGCTCGTAGTCCTCGGCGGCTTCTCGCAGGTCCGCGGCGTCCCGCGAGTAGGCCTCCGAGAAGCGATCGAGGGCCTGCGCGGAACATCGCGGTCGCTCGAAAATCGAAAACGAGACCACCCACGTCCATCATTCCCGGAGACGATTCATGAAGAGACGCCGCGAGCATGCCTGCGTCGCCGCGTGCTCGAGCACGCCGAGCTCGCGCTCGTCGTCCTCGTTGCCCTCGAGCAGGCCCAGACTCCGGTTCGTCTCCTCGATTTCATCAGCCAGGCGCCGTTCATCTTCCACGCACTTCTTGATGACCGTATCATGCGTCTTGGCACCTCTCTCTGAACGGAAGTCACTTAACCTCTTCTCCTGGTCCTCGACCTTCTTCTTCGCTTGGGTTAATGAGGCGTCGGTGGCGTTCCGCAGCTTCCTTAACTGGTCGTCGGCCTCGCGTTGCGCGCGCTCGGCGTCGGCCACCTGTGTGATATGTATCGAGTCACGATCTCGCCCGAAATGCGCTCAAAATCACAAACGAGACCACCCAAGGCCTCGTCTGATGGAGGCGAGTCGCATCGATGGCGTGAAGGCGCCGCAGCACCGCGGGACGCCGAGATCAGTACCTTCGGCGCAAGCGCGGCCACTTCGTCCGCGGCGCCCTCGACGGCGTTGCGCTTCTCCGCGACGACACTTTCCTCCCTCCTCAACGCCTCGTCGGCCTGTTTTTCGGTCTCCGCCTCCTCCTTCGCAAGTTCTTCACCTTTTGTTTCTAGTGTTTTCTGGACTAGCGCGGCCACGTCGCGATCCAGCGGTTCTGAACTACTCAGAGCTTGCGATAGTCTAGCATACGCATCGGAGGTGTCGTCGAGGTCGCCCTTGGCGTCGGCCAGCGCGTCGCGCAGGTCCGACACTTCCGCCTCGCCGCGCCGTTTTTCCGCCTCGGCGGACCCTTTTTCGCCGTCAACCCTGGAAGCCTCCTTCCGCGCCTGCTCGGCCAGCTCCCGATGCTTCCCCTCCTCCCGCTCCAACTTACGAATGATGTCGAACTGGGAATCTTCTTCTTCCTGCAAGCGCGCCGCCTGCGTGCGACGTCACGTCATCGTGTGTGAGATACGAGTCACATCAAGGACGCCGCAATCAGTACCGTCGCCGCGAGGACGTCGTCGTCCTCGTCCATCAGCGCGCTATCAGCTAGTCTCTCTTCGAGGTACTTCAGCGACCGCTCGAGCCCGTCGACCTCCGCCCGGCACTCCTGGAGGCCCTGCTCCTGCGCTTGCAGCTTTCTCAATTTATCATTAATACGACTTTTCTCATCTCGCAATGATCCTTGTTTATCGTCACAAGCCTTTATCGACGCATCCGCACTTTGTATAGCTTTCTCGGCGGACGCCTTGCGCTTGAGGTGGTCCTGGGCGGCCACCTTGTCGGCGTGCAGACCCTTCAGATCGCCCGAAATGTCCTTCGCCTTCGAGGCCAGACCTTTTTTTTGTTTATTCAGCACGTCCAGAGCCTTCGTGTAGCGCGCCGAATCGAAAATGTCGTCAAACCTCTTCTTGAGCACCGCGCCCTCCTGCAGCGGCCAGCTCGAATCCTCCTGGTGGCAGAAGATGACACTTTCCAGCACCGCTCGCGAGACGCCTGCGCGCGAAACGGCCCCAAAATCAAAAAATGAAACCACCCACGACATGATACGAGTCCCAGCAACAAAGTGAAGGCCCCGCAACACGTCAAAACGCGGAGATCGCGCCGATCATGATGGGCACCGTCTTGTCGAGCTCGCCGCACTTGTGCGTGTAGGACGTCTTGGAACCGTCGGGTTTCGTCGCGCGAATCACGCCGTCGAGCTGCTTGAAGGTGGCTGTTGTTTTTTTTTGTGTCAACTGCATGGACCGGACGACGACCATGCGTTGCCCTCCATAGTTCTTGAACCTTAGTTTGAGTTGAGCTTTCACTTCAGAAACACCCGTCACCTTCGGGTCGTGCACGAAGGCCTTACCACTCGCTGAACCAGGTGGGGCCTGGCCCGTCGTGCCGAACTTGAGGCATTCTATCACGGTCGTCTTGCCGCAGCCGTTCGCGCCGACGATCATCGTCAACGGCGACTCGAACTCGATGGCCTGTTCTCTGTCCGGCGAGAAGGCGCGGATGCCTCGTATGGCGAGCTTCTCGATCTGGGACATGGTTGCTCAGTGGGGCTCCGGTTTCGCGGTTTTGATTTCTATCTGTCTGGTGGGTCGCGTGCGGCGCGAGCGGTGAGGCTCACGACGCCGCGGGCGCGCGGCTCTGCTTTGCTTTCAAAAAGCGTCTCCCCTGCTCTCGGCGCAGCGACGGCGCGCGGCGGCCTGGTTTCGCGCGCTTCGCTGAGAACCAGTGGTAAGCGCAGCGCTGCGGGTTTCTCGCTGGAAACGGGCGAGCAGCGGTGTGAAGCGCGGACGCAGACCAAAGCTGCGCGGATGATCCTGCTAGTGTCCATACGACGCTAGTATCGAATGCCGTGCGAGTTTGGCGGACGCGTTGGGCCTCAGGCCCACGTCTGGCGCATCTCAACTAATATATTAACCCTCGCGTGACGCCATCGGCGCAGCAGCTAACAAGCCGCCTCCGTCAGCCGCGCCACCAATTCCTTCGCGTTGCCCTGGATGGACAACCCTCTCAACTTCAGCTCCTCCTTGAGCTGGGCAGGCTTCATCTTCTTGACCTTGCGCTTGTCGAGTTTTGGAGGGGCTTCGTCGGCCACTTCGAAAAAAGAACCTTTTCCTAATTCTTTCGCGAGCTCCGTGCCGACCTTGTCGAGCGTCTGCGCGCCCTGCATCATCTCCATCTGGGCCTTCGCGAGGGCTTTCTGCCTTGCTTCTTCTTCCGTTTCTTTTGACCGAGCGGCCTCGGCGGCCTCTCTCCTAGCTTTCGCGGCTCGCAGTCGCTCGAGATCAGCCTTCGCTTCGTCGGTCTGGCCGGCAGCATGCTTCTTGGCATATGCTGCCGCTCGCCTCTGTCGATCGAGTTCCTCGCGCTCTCTTCTTGTCAGCTCCGGCTTCGGAGCCGATCCATCGAGCTGGGACATTTTGAGGTGTTGCTTCTGCGGCGCGTTCGGGTTCGCGGTCTTGATGAGGCCTTCGGTAGTGCTCTTCTTCTTCGGGGCCTTCTCTGAAGTGTCGCGCGCGGCGCGCATCGCCTCGGCGGCCTCCGCGTCAAACTCGGGCAGGTCCTCCTCGTCGCTCTCGCTGCCGTCCTCGCCGTCCTCGCCGCGCCGCGCGGCGCGCTTCTGCTGGTAGGCGGCCTGCTGTTCATTTCGTAGCGCGAGGTCCTCAGCGCTCGTGACCATGCGCTTGCCGCGGCCCCGGCCCCTGCCTCGGCCGCGACCCATGGTTGCTTTTGTCTAGCTTCTGCTTGTGCGTCGACGGCGTCGACGGCGGTCGCGAGCGCTGCGGGAGCTTTTTGCCTCTGCAGCTCTCTGCTTGTGTGCACCGGCTGAGGGCTCTTGTCGCGCGCGGCTTTCGGCGCAAGTGCTAGGTGGGAACCGTGAAATGGAGAAACGCTGTCGCAAAGACGCGTAGGCGCCGCCAGCGGTCGCAAAAAAAGCGCCGGCTCTCACCCGAAGCTAGCGGCGTGTAAGACACTAGAACCGTGGTACTCCTCTGCGGGTCGGTACTGAGAGGGCTCCGAGAAGGATGCCATGAGGGTTCTGACGGCGGCTCGAGCCTTGCAAATTTTAGCTCAGAGTTAAAACAGGTTTACAACCGCTGCGACTTTGTACGGCCGATAGCGCGTCTCTCGAGCCTACACAGGACTCGTCAAGCGACGTAGGCCCCAGCCGTGCTGCCAAGACTTTGTAGCTGCAAGCGCATCGGCCAGCGTTACGTAGCTGCGGAGCTACAGACAGCCCCAGCAGCACACCAGCAAATTTGCGTGCGCCGAACGCCGCCGCGACCGCTCAACAACCAAAGATGGCCGAGTGCGCCGCGAGATTCCGCAGCCGCGCCAACGCCGATAGTATAGGCGCGCTCTTACACCCCGGGACCGAGAACGAGCGCCAAGCGGCGTTGCGGAGGAAGGGCCGGCCGGCCCGCGACCATGCTAGGGAAAATGTCCTGGCGATCAGACGAGCGGAAAGGGAGAATCGCCAGCGGAAGGAGGAGGCCGCGAACGCCGTGAAAAAGCCCTACAAGATGAAACAATTTAGAAATGTTGCTTCAAGGGCAGTGCAACAAGCTGAAAAGTGGGAGAACCCCACGCTCTCGCCGCGAGAAGATGCTACTTATTTGAAACGAGGTGCGGGTCGGCGCATGCCGAAGCCGGCGGACGTGCACAAGCAGCGCGTAGAACAGGTGCCGAAGCTGCAATTTCTGAACATGTCGCCCAGAGCTCCCGAGGAGCGGACGCCGCGGAAGGCGCCCTTACCTAAAACTAGAGGCGAGATCAAGCACCATAAGCCGGTCGATCGCATCGAGCAGAATAGGGTCGACGCCCAAAAACCGATACCCCCGAAGCCGAAGGCTCGCGTGACGAAAGTGGCCAAAGCATCACCTAGAAAGCACGAGAATTTTGGGAGTGTTCCCGCGTACTTAGATCAGCGGAAACGGCAGTTGCGAGCTGAGGCCGAGGCGAAGAAGGCCCTGTTGCCGGACCCGCAGTGCCCCGAGGGCATGACGCGCATGCCGGATGAGGAGCGGCTGCAGTCGTTGAACGATTTGAAGAGACGCAAGGCCGAGATCAAGGCGGAATTGTTCAAATTACCGCTGAACGTCAATAGCATGCGCGCTCGCAAACATCAAGAGGCTTTGCATAAAGCCTTGGACGACGTCGAGAACTCGATCAAGATCTTCGAGCGGCCCGTGGTCTACATCCAGGCCTAGGTGGGGTGCGGCGTAAGGTTTTTGGGGAGTCACAGACTTAGGCGTCGGAGGGTCTGCTAGCTATGTGTGCAAGGGGGGCGGCCTTCGTACGGCCTACGGCGGCGGGAAACCGTCCGGGCGCTTGAGGCCGGTGTCCGCGAGGATCGCCGTCAGCTCGGGGCTCTTCAGGGCGTCGATGAAGGCGTCGACGGCGATCCTCGCGGGTTGATATCGAGGAAGGGCCGACGTGCAGCAGCGCGCGGAACAGCGTAGCGATGTCGGGCCCGTCGGGCGAATCGGCTCGTCGCTGGATAGCTCTGGTGCCCCGTACTGTCAACGCAGTGGTCGCGACGGGCTCGGTGGAAGATGAGCTCCGCGTTGTAGAGTCAGACCCCCTGGGGGCGCGGACCGCGCGTGCTCTCTCGACGCCCCCTTCCGCTGCACGCGAGGGCCACAACTTTCCTCGCGTCTCTCGCGGTCGCGTCGTTTGGTCCAGCTCGTCGGACACGGTGCCCCACGGCAAAAAAATTTCAAACGGCCCCAGGCCCTCGGGGCGCGCTCTTTTCCACAGCGCAATCTGCGGGTCGTCGACAGCGGCGCGCACTTGACCACGTCCACGTAGTACGAATCTCGTGCGTCACCGCGATTTTGGGCCCCGTCCGGGCCGCGAGCGCCGAGAGGCTAACTTTTGCGGCTAGCACCCTTTCAACTCGTCGAGTAGCTTGGCTTTTGAAAATCTGCTCACCGCGCGCGACGACGCGGAGCCAGGCGACCGGACGCCAACACATTTACGACCGGACGCCGCGCCGGAGTTCCGTAGCCATGCCCCAAGTACCCCTCCAGCGCTGGACGGACGTCGCCCTGAAGCGCGAGGGCGGCGCGGAGATAACGAAGGGCGCCGCCCGCCTCTACGGCGCCGTCCTCGTCCGCGAGACCGAGGGCCTCCTCAAGCTCGTCCTCACGCGGCCGGCGCGCGTCACGGTGCCGGGCGAGACGGACGCCTCCGCCCGCGTCGCGCTCGCGCTCGGCGGCGGCATCTCCGTCGACGGCCGCGACGTAAGTGTAGGAGACGGCGCGGCGGCGCTCCAGTTCGCGACCGCCGCGGAGGCGGAGGCCTTCGCGGCGGCGACCGGCGACCCGACGCCGGCCGCGTCGCTCGAGTCCCTGGATCTCAACCGGCCCGAGGTCCAGCGCTACGTCGCCGAGCTCCTCGTCGACCCGAGTTTCGACCGCTTCGTCGGCGAGCTCGGCGAGTACTACGACCGCCTCAAGAAGACGCTGCCCGCCGACGATTCCGGCGCCGGCGGCGCGACGCCGTTCGTCCGCGGGCGCGGCGGCACGGCCTCGAAGCGCACGGACCCCATGGACGACGACTGATCCCGGCGTCGTCGTCGTCGTCGCGCGCGCGCGCGACCAAGACCTAAGAAGACCGAAGATCGACCCCTCCCCCAAGTTGTTGTCTCGGGGCCGCTGCCGACTCGGAGTAACGCCCGACGAAGTTCGACCGTGGACGAGCGGGCAAGTAAAAGTCGCGTAGCTAACAGTAAATTTCGTGTAGAACCCTATGCCCGAGCGAGCACGGCAGCGTCAAAACGGGTTTTTGCTGCACTCCGAACATGCTCTCACGCTAATTCGGGCGCTCCTAGGCGTCTACAAGCCGTATCATCACAACTCACATTCACCATTAACATCATCGTAACCATGGCGAGCGTCACGACCACTGCAAACGGCTCAGAAAAAATACACGTCGCCCTCAGCCTCGGGCGAGGCTCATTGTCGCTTCGACCACTGAGGCCATATAGGAACGCGCCACGGCGTGAGCGGCCTAAGGGCATCGGCGAAGATGCTTGCAGCACTCGGCCGATTGGTAGGGGGCACTCAGACGCCGGAGACGCGGCGCGGGACGGGCCGCTGGCAATCTACACCTGTCGTCGGTGCCTGGACGTGCCTCGACTGCGACAAACTATTTCACGGCTCAAAGATCGCAGCTCTTGTCGCGGGCGGCCGCGTCTGCCATACTTGCAAAAGGAGACGAAACGATGATTTGCCGCCGTTGAACGAGCGCAAAACTGACCGGTGTTTATGCTGCGCGTCGCCTACGGACGTTTTTTTCCTGGGTCCTGATGGCAAAGATACGGCGTGCCGGTCGTGCCACAACCGCTGGAATGCAGGACTGGACCCCCTCGATCCTCCGGACGCAACCTACTGCATCAAATGTGGATGCGGGATGGACGCGGACCCAGGGATTAGGATCAGCAATTTTGAATGGAATGGTGAGATGATCATCGGCTGCCAGTCCTGCCGCTCAGCTTTGGCTAGATATGGCGCCCCGTCCGCCGCGCGCGTTGAAAGATTTGGCGGCCCGACGCCGGCGAAGAAAGCTGCTTTAGCGAAGGCCATAGAGGCCCGGGCGCTCGAGGTGGAGAAGCTCCGCGCAGACTTCTTCCGCGCCACCGAAGCCGAGGCCGAAGCGGAGGAGGAGGCCCAGGCCGACGCGGCCGACGCGGAGGCCGCGTTCCGAGACGAAGTCCTCGACGACGACGAGTGCGCCGAGGCGTCGAAATTAGCGAGCGGTCGGTCGGTCGCCGAGCGGATAATGGGCGTGGGTCGGCCTGAAGTCGTCGCCGTCGGCCAACGCATCGAGCAGCGCCGCAACTATAGGGGCGCGCTCGGTAGAATTGAGTTCAAAGTTGGCCATATAGTGCAGGCGTTGACAAAGAATGTCGAGGAGCAGTGCTTGGTGAGCGTGTCGTCGGTCAACGGCGACGATGCCGCCCGGCACGACGCGTGGAGGTGTGTCATCTGCGGCGACCCGGACCACAGCGCGTTGAAGGGCGAACGCTTCCTTGTCCCGGGTCTGCCTGACCTCGTCTGCAAGGGCTGTGCTTTGGACGCGCAGACTGCGGCGCCCGCGCCCCAGCGCCGGGTCGATACGACTGGTGCGCTCCGGCTCCGTCCTTTAGATGATGACGCGGATCTGATCGAAGCCACGACGTCTGGCGGTGTGTTGTATGATGGCGCCCCGCCGTCGGGTGACTTAGCTTTAGAAGCTTCGAGGGTTCTTGCGGGCGCGGACCACGCCCGGAAGATCAACAAACTACGCGCCGATGTCGTGAATGCAGTTGGACTCCCGAAGGCGAACCACGAGGCCACGACGCGGACGTTTGCTATAGCTCGGCCCCTCGGCGCCGGCCTGACGGACCGCTCCGTCGTCGTGGCGTCCTCCAAAGACCGCGAGGCGGCCGACGCGGTCGGCTCGCATATCTTTTTGAGGTGCGTCGCGGCCGCTTGCAAGAGAGAGGCCTTCACGGCCGAAGCTGTCGCGCCTTTGATGGACGCTATCGAGGACGGCGTGCCCATGAACGAGGAGGTGCGCGACTTCCTCGGCGATAATTGTAAAGAAGTCGCCGCGGCCTGGGCGCGCGTCGCGTGCTCGCGGCGGAACAGACGCGTCGCGCACCACGTGTTCTCCGAGGCTAGTTTGCGTGTTTGGTGGCACGCCGAGCAGAGAGCCGCCATCACGGTCGCGTTGCGCGACGGCGCGACGGGCTTCGAGGCGGTCTCGCTCCACCAGGAGTGCTGTGGGTTCTGCGCGGCGTCCTTTTCGGCGCTCGGCGCCGTCACTAGCAAAGGCGCGATCCCGGCTTGGGCGCTGCCTCCAATGGTAGGGCCGCGTCACCGGCACAGCCTGATCGCCGTGCAGTACAACGGCGTCCAGGAGGAGCGCTGCGTGGAGTGCGCCGCGTGGCGGGTGCTCCCGGCGGGCGTCTCTTTTGAGGAAGGGACGTTCGCGTGTCACAAGCTTCCGGGACTGACGTGCGCGGCGTTGGCCGACGAGTATGATGACGCGGGCGACGCGGACGACGCGGACGGACCCGCTTCGAAGCGGTCGCGCGCGGCGTAGAAAACAAGCTTCGCGGCACGCCATCGACGCGATGTACTGCGTCTGTTCGATGGCTTAGAGGTCGACGAAGGTCTCCCGCAATAGCTCTCTTCACACAGGCCGCGCAAGAGGGGCGGCGAGCTCATGGCCCTCATTCGCGCCCAGGCGTGGCGCGACGCGCTCGAGGGAAAGCTCTCGGAGGTGTACCGCGATCGGCTCGGCGCCGCCGTACTTCGCGAGTACGAGGCCGGTCCCGACGCCGTGTGCCCGCAGAAGAAGGAGGATGTGTTCGCCTGTCTGAATAAGACGGCTCTCGAGGACGTGAAAATTGTCATCGTGGGCCAGGACCCGTACCACGGCCCCGGGCAAGCGGACGGCCTCGCGTTCTCCTACGCGGCCGACGCGGATGGTCGACTTCCTCCGACCTCGCGGAACATCATGAGCGAGCTCGAGCGCAACTACCCGGGCGCGGCGCCGTCGGAGAAGGACGATGGAGACCTCTCTTCGTGGGCGCAGCAGGGCGTGCTGCTCCTGAACGTGTCGTTGACGGTGCGCGCCGGCAAGGCGGGGTCGCACCTGCAGCTCGGCTGGGGCCGGCTCACGGAGGCCATCATTAAACTCGTCGACGCGGGCGACAAGGGCGTCGTCTTCCTGCTGTGGGGGGACAAAGCGCACAAGCTCGCCGGCCTGATCAACGAGGCCAAGCACAAGGTCATCAAGACCTCGCACCCCTCGCCGCTCGGTTATACCAAAACCGCGGCGCCGTTCGCGCGGTCCGGGTGCTTCAAGGCCGCCAACGATTTCCTGGAGGAGATCAGCCGCGGGCCCGTCGACTGGGACCTCTAGATGGGCGGCGACGCGACCGTCGTGCTCTTTGAGGACGACGCTATATAATGGCGGCCGGAGCAGCGCCTGGTCACCGCGTTCGCCATTCTACGCTGCAGCAGACCTCGCAAATGTTATGCCGCTGTGCCCTTCCCCCCCGCGACGATAGCGTAAGTCGTCCATACTACATTTAATAGTAGGAGACAATTGTAGGATGACTCGCTAGCGGCCTGTAAGACACTAGCAAGCTCAACAAGCTGATGAGTCGTGAGCTGCACACGCACGAGTGCTGGCACCACGAGTGCTGCAATCCTTACGTCGTGATCAAAGAACGGCTGCGAGCTGTCGATATACAGGGTTTTCGAGCCGTGAGGCGGCGTACTGATAAAATCACTGGACTGCAGGCTGAAGGCTGCAGTAGCAGCATTAAATGCGCAGCGTCCGCGCCTGGTGCCTCGACGCCGCCTCGAAGGGAGTAGTGATCGTAGTCATCGCGCGCGCGCTGCAGCCACGCATTAACCTGGTAGCACAGCTCATGCTGTGCCTCGAGAGGACGCTCCGCCTGCGGTCGCGCCACGACGCGCTCATGGTGCTCGCGCGCGCCGACAACGCCCTCCGCGCCAAGGTTTCAGAGATGGTCCGGTCGATCAAAGATCACTTCGCGAAATTACCGCAAAGCGCGAAGTGGGCGGCCGGCGGCGCCTGCGTCGGCTACCTCGGCGCCTACGTCGCGCTCGCGCGACGGCCGAAGCTGACGTCGCGGAAAGGCGTCACGGAGGACATTTTGGCCAACTGTGACATTGTACGAAGAAGGTACTGGCCGCACCCGGTAACCGCGTTAAATGGAGCGAGCGCCACGTTACAGCTCGGTTCGAGGATGCCCTACGCCGGCTGCGGCGTGCTGACGGCGCCCTACGTGGAACGCTTGCAGTTGGATGATGGAGGCACCGTGGCGTTGTCCTGGTGGCGCTGCCCGCACCAGACGTCGCGGTCCGACGTCGCGGTGGTCTTCCCTGGCGTGAACCTGTGTGGAAATCAGGCGGCCGTGCCGGCTCCGTCGAGCGGTGAGAAATCGGCATCGCCACGCCATCGAGCAGGCATCGCGTCGATGGCGTGAAGGACGACGCGACGATTCAGCACGCCGTAAAATTTTGAGTTCCACACAGGCCTGAACAACTCGAGCGAGACGGGCTTCGTGCGGTCCTTACTGGCCCAGTTGGATGGTGCGGGCTTCCTCGCCGTGGCCTACGATTATCGGGGTGCGGGCGCGTCCGGGGTGCTCACATCGACCAAACCTTATAGTGCTGATGCGTGGCGCGACTTCGACGGAGTCTTGGAGCATATAAGGAAGGAGGTCGGCCCGAAATGTCGTTTGTTTCTCGTGGGTCAAAGTTTAGGTGGTGCGATCCTGGCCAAGTATCTGAGTTCGAGAAATCCACGCGTGACAGCTGCATGCACGGTCTCGTCGCCGCGATCCTTCGCCGCGAGCAGCGCCCAGATGCGGAGCGGTCCCTTGGCACGTCTACAAAACTTCGCCATAGCCATCCCCCTGAAAGTAAGCTGGTTCTTGAGTGGACGGAAGAGCGGCCGCAAGCGCGACGTTCTTTTTGCGCGGTCGATCTACGACATCGAGGCGGCGGTCATCTGTAAACCCTGGGGCCACGCGAACCCCGAGGCCTACTACGAGGCGAACGACGGGTTTGCGGATCTAGGGCGGTTGAGTTGTCCGTTGCTTTGTGTGCAGTCAAGTGATGATAATGTCGTGCCCTTTTGTGGCAAGTACGCCATCTCCGACGCGACGCTGGTGAACCTGAGTCCCTTCATTGCGTGCTGCACGACGTTGTTAGGGGGCCACCTGTCCTTCCTAGATTGGCGGGGGCGGTCGTGGGCGGACCGCGCCGTCGTCGAGTTCTTCGCGGCGGCAGCTAAACGGCTGCCTTCCTCGCAAATCGGTGAAGAGGAAACGCGTAAACGGACGAAGATGCGCCGGTCGCCCTCGTGGCGCGAGGCCGCGCCGCGCGCGTCGCCTCCCGAAAAGCGGCCGCCCGCAAAACCGGCGGCCGCGACGCCGGTTTCCGAAAGGCGGCGGGCCCTGCCGTCCGTCAAGGGCGTGCTGGCGGGGATGTAGTGAGTAAAGTGATTAACGTACCTTCTTACACACTCGCTGACGGCGCCTCGCGGGCGCGAAGGGCTTCTCGCGCCTCCTGCAGGGCTACCTCGATCCCTCGCGTGTTTGGGTGCGCGCCACCAAACACGCGCCGCGATGTCCGTTCAATCTCCTCGAACGTTTCCACGGCCTCGCGGAGATCGCCGAGCGTGGCACTGGCGTCCTTGTAGAGCACCATCGCGTAATTCCACCTCATCGTGAGCGTGAGTTGATGGCTCTCTCCGAGAACGCGCCGCGCCACGGGCATTATTTTGCGCAGCAGCGACTTGGCTTCTCCGAAGCGCTGAAGACGAACAAGGGACGTCGCGTAGTTGCTGGCTGCTATGAGGGTCTCTTCGTGATCCTCGCCGTTGAGCTTCAAACGTCCGGAGTATACTTCTTGCTCCATGCTTAGGGCCCTCTCAAGGTCTCCTAGCTCTCCATACGTAATTGCAAGATTGCTCTGCACGACGAGAATGTTTTCTTCTGAGGCGCCAAGGCGCCGCCTCATAGCCAACTCGGCCTCTCTCACGGGCAACGCGTCCTCGTTATGTCCTGCATCAGATAAACCGTTCCCGAGCAGCGACAAAGCGCCGATCCGAAGCTCGTCCGCCTCCAGCCGACCCAGGTACGTCTTCCAGCACGCCCACCCAAGCGCGCACACCACCACCCCATGGTACTCTTGCTCGCACAGACTGCACGTGTTCCACCGATGCCACTGCGAGTCGTCTGAATTGTTCTCCTCGGCCTCCGCGACCAAAATCTTCGCCTGCTCCGCCAAGCACGACACGTGCGCGAAACCCGCCGTCCCACGACACGAGCACCCGCGCACGAGGCCCTCCTTTGTTTTCCAATGGAGCGCCTGCGTGCAGATGTAGCACGTCTGGCCCTTGGTGTCCTCCGCGCACGCCTCCGCGGCGACTGTGACGGCCTCCGCGTACTTCTTATTTGCGTTGTATTGCTCCGCGCCACCAGCCTTTTTTATTGGTTTGCAGAGCTGGTCGTGGCCGCCCTCTTTCCAGTGCTGCACCTGGCATTCGGGTCCGCAGTAGCGCGTGCTGCAGCGGCCGCATTTCTTGCCCAAGGATAAGCCAAGCTCGGTGGCGCAGGCGGCGCATTTTGTGAGGATCATCCAGCAAGTTGGGCAGCCCGACAGCGTCGTAGCCTCCAGTTTGCAAGTTGTGTAGAGCTAGCGTACACACACGCACTAGCTTACAGCGGAGACGACGCTGCCGCGCGTCAAATAAATGGAGGGCCTCAAACCCGAGGCGGCCAAGAGCCTCGCCGAGAAGGAGAAGGAGTTCCAGCGGCGCCTGGCCAAGGCCAAGACGCACCTGCCCCTGGCAGCCATTCTCAAAGGGCGGCGGGCTGCCCCGCCGAAGGAGCAAGCGAAGAAATGAAGCCCCGGGGCCTCCTACCGAGGATGCTGGTTTGGTGTGATCGCCATCCTAGAAAAGCCGCCTTTTTGTTATCGCTAGCGCTACATGTCAATTCCGTGCGGAACGGCGTCGTCTGGGACGACCGCGCGTCAGTGACCTACAACAAGGACGTGGCCACGGGCCCCGACTACCTGAACCACGACTACTGGGGCCAGCCCATGGCCGCGCCGGACTCGCACAAGTCCTGGCGGCCGCTCGCGACGTGGTCGTTTCGCATGAACTACCTGGTCCACGGCTATGCACCTTTGGGGTACCATCTCGTCAATGTGTTGCTCCATGCCTGCTCGTGCGCATTGATGTTGAGCGTGGCGCGCAACGCCTTCCGCAAGGACGAGACGAGTGCGAGGCTCGCCACGCTAATCTTCGTTGTGCACCCGACCCATTCCGAGCCCGTCGCGTCCGTCGTGGGCCGGGCCGACGTGTTGGGGGGGTTCCTCGCATTGTTTGCCATTGTACTCTATCAAAGAGGCGGGTTCGCCGCGATGCTCGCGTTCGTCGTGGCCTTGCTCGCGTCGCTCGCCAAGGAGGTCGGCGTCGCTACGTTCGCTTTATTTGTGGCCTTCGACGTCGTCGACGTGATCTGTGCCTCTCCCACAGTAATGAAAGCCGGAAAACGCCTCGCGAGATCCAAGGCGTTTATTCTAAGAACAACAGCGGCCCTCACCGGCGTTCTTGGAGTGTTGTGGCTACATACCAGGAGACACGGCCAACACCTACTCTATAAGTGGACGCTCCTCGAAAACTCCGTGGCTGCTGATTTAGCAGATGACCGACTTGCCACTTATCTAACGTATGCCCACTTCCACTGGCGCTACTTCGTCAAACTCATAACGCCCTGTTATCTATGTTATGATTATGGCTACCCCTGCCTGCCCCACATTCTCCACTTAAACGATCGGCGCAACGCCTACCCTTTGATACTGTACTCGTTTATAGCTTATATGGCATACGAGGGCCTCTCTAACAAAAAGCGCCACGTTTTACTGGCTTTGGCGTTAGGATTAGTGCCGTTCCTACCCGCGGCCCACATCTTATTACCGGTGGGCACGCCCGTCGGCGAGCGATTGTTGTATCTACCGTCGGTCGGCTTCAGCATCGGCGTCGCGGCCTTATGTCGCTACCTCAAAGTAGATGAAGTCTGTAGCAGCGCTCCGGACACCGGTTTGTATTCTTCCATAGTGCCGAGTCGCGGTGCCGTATCAAGGTCGCAGAAGCTCTCGTTACTCTCTGCACTGTTACTGGGCTCTATCAGAACCGTCGATCGCAATTCAGCCTGGTCCTCGGAGCGGTCCCTGTTTGAAGCTTCATTGGATGTCTGTCCTCGCAGTCTAAAAATCCTGAACAACCTAGCTTTAGTTCTGTTAAATGGCCATGACGCCGAAACAATAAAACAGCGGGACTTACCGCGAGCTAGAGCTTTATTGGATGATGCTTTGGGGACCTACAAGGGGTTCCCCTCCGCATTGTTTAATCGGGGCTTGGTGCATCATCTCGAAGACAGACGAGTAGCCGCAGCTCGCGATTTCGCGGATGCTCTCACAGCAACACCCGGAGGCACGGACCAACGCATCGAAACGTACCTCGGCCAGGAGCTGTGGTTGTTAGCGAAACCGCTGGAATTCTTGAATGACCCCAAGATTCAATTACTAAGAATGTCGCTCATCGACCTCGCCGCGGATCACATCCAGCGGGGCGACCCGGAGCTGCCCCTGACGCACTGGGCCGCCGCGTCGATCGCGTTCGAGCGCGACGACTTTGAAGCTGCCGAGATTTCTTCGGTGAACGCGTGGAATCTGTCGGAGCAGTACCGCGAGCAAGGCATACATCCCGATCGATGGGTCAAGGCGGATGCGTGTCTGAATTTGATCGGTTTGGCGCGGCGAGGCCGGAAAGACGACCAGGGTGCGCTGGTGGCCTTCGAGGCGTGTCTTGAAAGAGTTCCCGGGAGCTCGGAGTGTCTGGCGAATGCCGCCTCAATTCTAAGTGATCAAGGATCAGACGATCAAAGGACGGCGGACTTCTATGAGCGGGCCATGCAGGTGGCGCCGGACTCGCCCGAAGTGTTGAACAACTACGGTTTTTTCCTCGAGACGCGCGGGCGAGTTCAGGAAGCTCTGGAGAAATATGAAAAAGCGGCCCAGTTATTACTGCCGGCCGTGCACCACCAGATCGACACGAACGTCAGGAACGCGCGGGAGCGCCTCGCGCGGGGCGACGTCGGGGTTCCCGATTCTCAGCGCGCGCGGCCGCCGCCGCCGCCGCCTCCCGAGGTCAAGGCTTCTGCTCCTCCGCCGCGGTATACGTGGTCGACGAAGGCGTGACTGACGTGTGACCTCGGCCTAATATCTCCTATGTTTTGAGTCCGTTCTTGCTAGTGTCTTACAGGCCGCTAGCCCGCGGATTTCCAGCGCGCCCGGCTACCAGGGCGTATTATTGCGCTTACGTAGCGACAGTCGACGCAAGGCTTTCTATTATTACCGGCGACCATGGCAGACGACGAGAAAAAGCGGACGCAGGAAGCCTCTGAGACAAATTTTACAACCAGAGGCGGCAGACAGGACGAGACGTCCGGCGCGGGCGAGACGTCCGGCGCCGGCAAGCCGCAGACCTCGCCGTGCAAGAGAGGCCCCGGGACGATGGGCGCCCCCGCGGCTCCGGCGGCCGATGACGCCGCGACGGTCGTCGGTCCTCCGTCGCCGGCGTCCTCGCTCCCCGGCGACGTGATTGAAAAGATCCTCACGGCCCTGGTCCAACACGCCCCCTTCGACACGGCGAGCGAGGCGGGGCGAGCGCTCCTCGGGTGCGGCCTGGTGAGCAAGGAATGGCAGGAGGCCTCCGCCAAGGACTCGGTCTGGCGCGCGCTCTTCCTGCGGTGCTCGCCGGCGCACGTCCGCGCCCGCGACGGCCCGCTCCCGGCGCCGGAAACCGCGCCGTCTAGGGAGGAAGTGGTTCCTATGGACGAGGAGGACCGCGGCGAGGAGACGGCCGCGTCGTTGCTGCGGCGCAGCCGCTACTTCGCGGACTCCATCGTCTCGCCCTTCCGGGTGCCGGTCCCGCCGACGGGGTGCTCCTTCCGCGCGCTCTTCCGCTCGCGGTGCCTCGCCGGCCGGCGCGCGGCGGCCGCGTACCGCATCAGCGGGAAGATGCCCGCGGAGAGCGGTGGTGAGCACTACGAGAGGGAGAAGTTCACGTGCGCGACGGTGGTCCAGGAGGGCAAGACGCCCTATGCAGAGCTGAGCGCCGGCGCGAGAGCGCACCCGCTCTCCGACATCTCGTTCATCTTCGAGCTGTTCGAGGTCGACAAGAGCCGGCGCCGCCGCGACAAGGACCGCGAGTACTGGAAGGAGCACCCTCGCCCGGGCGAGGACCTCGGGGAGGAGCAGCGCGACTTCGTCACGGACGAGCTCCGGCACGCCTTCGCCGGTCCGCCGCATTTCGCCATTCGGGGCCCTCCGCCCCATCTCGACGCCCCCACCGACCTCGGCGACGAGACGGAAAATCTGCTCTGGGCGGCGACGGTGCGCGCGAGCGAAGATGGCATCGTGCAAGCGCTGCTGCCGCTCGACGACCGCGGCCGCGTCATGCGCACGCACTCGGTCCCGATCGACACGTACATGGACGATTACACGTCCGAGTGGTGCCGGCCCTGGCGGCTGGTAGTGACCGCCGTGCGCGACAACGACGGGAAAATGTGTCAGATCGTGGACGTGCGCGGGTCGAAGCTGCCCGACCCGCGTCCCGAGGGTCGCCACACGATCCACTTTCCAGAGGCCCTGATGGACGCCACAGGTCCAAACGGGCCACACGACGGCTTCTACGAGTACGGCGCAGACACGTGCACGGGTTTGTGCTTTTTTCGCGTCGCGCCCCTGGGGGGTGACTCGGAAAGCCTCGAGTGTCGGCTCCACTTGGGCTGCAGCGCGAACAGCGGCCCGAAGTGGCAGGGCGTCGCGCACCGGTGGGACCACGACTGCAACGTGCTTTGTGCGGAGTCGTGCGCTCGCGCGCGCGCGAGGGGAGAAGCGGGACCCTACGTCTACGGGGGCCGGGACAACGAGCCGACGTCCGAAGACGAGGGCGACGATTCCGAGACCGTGGGTGGCGGGTCGGCCGAGGTTACCGCTCGCCAGGCGTTCCAGGAGTTCCGGCGTATCGTGCCCCAGTCCATGGGCGCGCTCTTCCAGGTCTCGCTCACGTGGCTCGAATACCGCTACCGCCACAACGAGTTAGACGCGAACGTCGAACATAGCTACGGCAGCACGACGGCGCGGCGCGCTCAAGTTTGGGCCGCCGACGACAGCGGGGATCTCGTGGACATGTACGACGAGGCCATCGACTTCCACCTGACGAAGGTCGCGGGCAAGCTCGCGCAGCTGAACTGGACGTGACTCGACTCCTAGCTTCCCCTCCGATTAAAAATATACCAGATATATATTCTCCGGTTGACCACGACGCTACTAGACTAGAGATATATCATGGGTCGAACAAAACGGGTTCTGGAAGATACCGGGACGTCTGACAACCGGAGACACGGTCCCGTTTAGGGTAATCCTGAAACGCGCTTGCTTGCTAGTGTCTTACAGCCGCTAGCTCGCTCAGGCTCGGCTCTTGTTTTTGCTCGTTCCCGAGCAGAAGCTGGATTTGTTCGACGCGAGTCACGAATCGCTGTCCACGCACCTCGCGCCAGCCACTGCAGGGGTTTGGGGTCTTCGGAAGCGGTATTTACGCAGAGCCCACAAGGCCACCTAGTAGTGGCAACTCGCTGCGCTCCCTTTCGGCTAAATTTTGAGGCGCAGCGCTCGGCTGCGCCTAGAATGGCTGAATCCGAGCCCTTGCTACTAGAGGAGGTATTCGAAAGCGCTATCGATGGTGAGCCCGCCATAAAAAATTGGCTCGCGCAGGGCGGCGACCCGGATCAAGGTCTTGCGCATGTGTTTCACGGCACCGATGTCTCCTTCGCACAAGGATCGACGTTACTCATGGTCGCGGCATGCATGGGCCGCCTCGACCTCGTGCGCCTCCTCGTCGATCACGGCGCGGACGTGAACGTTACCTGCACCGCAGGCGAGCACAGCCCAGGCTGGACCGCGCTCATGTGGGCAGTATCAAGTCGTAGTGCTGACTGCGTCGAATTTCTCCTGGCTCGCGGTGCCAACACTTCTGGAATAGTAGATGGACCAAGGATAATCTATTATGAAATACATCTGGAAAAACCGCGTATCGTGCGAATGCTATTGGCCGCTGGCGTTGCTCTCACCACCGCTCGTTTTGATGGTGTTTTTAGTAATAGAACTCTTGAAGAGCTCGCCAACGCCGAAGCTGCCTACTGTCGCCAGTACGTGGCTGATCGCGAGCCCGACCAGGGCTCGCTATCGCAATGGCTGCAGACCATGACTGAAAGAGGCGATCGCTATGCCGAATCGGCATCGATCCTCGAAGGCACGCGCCTCGCCGGCCACAGCTACAAGCGCTGGGTGCTGAAGGACTACATGGCATTGCTCCGCCTCCGGTCGCTGCTCGCGCGTAAACGGGCGCGCGCCGGTCCCGAGACCACCTTAGTCGTCTGGCGGCTCTTCGACACGTCGACGGCCGTGGGCGTGCCGGATCCATGCTTCTGGCTGGTCGTCGAGTACGCGTGGCTCGGGAACTGGCGCCGACCCTAGAAATAAGACTAACCACAAGAAAATTACAGCTCCCCCGAAGACGACTCGGCCCGCCCCCGCGCGACCGCCACCAACAAGCTGTCGTCGTCGTTGCCGCAGGTCCTGACGTGGACCTCGCGCGACGTCCGATGTCTCGTCTCGCCCAACCTGCAATCTTGACCGGCTTCCCAGACCATGACGCCGCCGAGACGCCGCCGCGCGAGTTTTGTTTTTGCGACGATGGCGGAAGGCGAGTTGAAGGCCCAGCCGCCCGTCTCGCCGTCTCTAGCTGGTGCTACACTATCTAAATCCGTATGATACGCCGCACCCCTTTTAAGTAAATCTTCGTAGGTCTCCCACCGGCCATCAGCATGCCTCCCATAAAACGGTAAGCCCAGCGTGCATTTCGAGGGATCCAAGTTACTACTGAGGGCGTTCTCGACGACCCGCTCCGCGAATCCAAAGGTCGAGTGGTGCTCGCCGTGCTGGTCGTAGGCCATGGCGTGGTAGTGATTCACGTCCGCGTTCTCCGAGGCCGCCGCTAACAAGTTCTCTTGCCTTCCGTCGGGATAGTAGGCCACGCTGATGACGGCATTTGGTAACGCTCTCCTAGTTTCCTCCAAGAGTAACTTCAAGCCCCGCCATTCGCGAGAAATGCGCGCCTCACTATAACCCGTCTGGAACGAGTGGCCCGGGTACTCCCAGTTGTAGTCGACGCCGTCTAATTTTTTTTTCTCTAGGAGCTTCGCGAGATTTTCCACAAATTTCTTCCGCGACTTGTCGGAGCCGGTCATCGCCGCGAAGCCCGAACTTCTCCCATTCCCACCGAAGCACACGAGGAGCTTCAGGTCGTTGTCGTCGGCGGCTTTTCTCGCTTCCTTCAAAAGTTCGGGTCTCGGTAAGCGATCTAAGCCGGTGATCGTCCCGTCGGGCTTCGGTTCCGCCGAAAAGAAGATCAAATGCGTGAGGTGCGTCGCCAGGCTCTCCCAGTGCGCGCCCTCGTAGCGCCATTCGGGCAGGTAGCCGGCGACGACGAAGCCGTCGGGGTCCTTGTAGGCGTGTGTCGCCAGCGCGAGCAGGAGGGTCGCGAGGCGGCGCATTGCGGTCGAACGTGTGTTACGGTTTCACGTGCGCGTCGACGGCGTAATTGCTGCGGTCTCGTTGCGGGGGTGTGCCCCCCGCGGTATTTATTGCGCGCGACTATTTATTGCGCGTGAAAAGCTGTGGCAGCACTGACTGCGACCAATGAGCTATCGTCGCTGGGAGATGACGCGTTCGTTCAGGGCAAGCCGTAGGGCGATGAAAGCAATCTCTGGCGTTATTGCCAGCCCTCAAGTCGATGCTCAAGCTTAGCAATCGACCTATTTTTGGTAGGCGCTGCGTGCTGGCTAGTGCCTTACAGGCCGCTAGCCCCATCGAGATTAACTCGCGCCGGGCGCCTGGAACCGCACGTAAAACCGCGCACGACGCTGGGCTGGAGCGCCCCGCACTCGCATTGATCGCGTACGTGACGCATGCGTTCGGCCAGCATCGCTGCGAGCCTGTGCTGCCTTGCAGCCGCCAAGCAGGAGCCCCGCGCCCTCGCCGTCGGCGCCTCCCTCGAGCAAAGCACCCACCTCGCGGTCGCATCGATCGAAAACGAGGCGCTCGCCTACCCGGCGCAGCGTATCTGGCGCGTCGACGACGGATTATCCATCGCGACCGTGGGAGTCGCTGCCGACGCGAGAGCCGTCGCGAGAGCCGCGACGATCCTGTGCCTCGAGCACCGAGCCACGTACTCGGCGCCGCTGCCTCCATCAAGGCTGGCCCGGGCCCTCGCGCAGCGCTTCGCGGCGGCGGCCGCCGGCGACCGGTCGCTCGGCGTCGACGTTTTGGTCGCGGGCGCGGGCGCCGTCGCCTCCGTCACCGCCGACGGCCGCGCGCGCACGGGCCGCGCCGCCGTCGCCGGCGGCGCCGAGACGGCGGCGCGGCGCAAGCTCGAGGATGCCCTCGTCGCGAGCATGGACGCCGGCGACGCGCCCGCGGACGCCTGCGCTGCGGCTCTTGCCGCTGCTGACCTCTCGTGAGCGGGGCAGACGTAGCTCACTCCTGCGGTACGTGCTTCATGCGGCGCTCGTCGCCACCGCAAGTGCAAGCTGCTCCGTCAACGCCTCGTGCGTCGTCGCGCGGCGGGGCAAGGGGCAATGCGCGCCCGTGACGCCGCGCTGCGCGAGGCCGTGTGGGGCGTATCACGTGCACATGCGCGGCACGGGCGGGAAATGGTGCTGGCCCAGTGTCGACTTCATGGCGGGTCGCGTCGATGGCGTCGAGCGCACACGTCTCACCGGATCCGTTCCCGCGCAGGGTCGGCGAGCAGCTCCTGAACCACCTCTACTACCGCGAGGAGACCGCGTTTGTGATCGAGGGCTCGAGCCTGCGCTCGGCGAAAGCGACGCGCGAGGCCTATGCGTGCGCGCGGCTCGGGAGTTGCCTGCACCTGACGATACTGCGGCACCCCGTCGACCGCGTGATATCTCGGTATGCGACCCGGTGTCCTTGTAGCGCCTGCGTACACCATCGACGCGACCGTGCCTGCTCGATGGCGTGCCACGCAGGTACTGGTTCGAGGGCCGTTGGGGCCTCTTCAAGAAGCCCGTGAAAGATGAGGAGATCTCCTTCGGTGACTGGCTGCGCCAGAAGAGAGTAATTCATGCCGGCCATCGCAACGAGCGGCTCTGGTCCGTGACGAGCGAGCTGTATACGAAGACGCTGGCCGGCGTCGTCGTGGACAAGCATCTCCAATTGTCGTTTGTCCACTTGGAAACGGCCAAGGAGTGGTTAGATGCGGCCTTTCCGCTGATCACGGAGTGGCTGAGTAGTCCTCACACGGCGCGCGCGCTGGGCCGGCGGCTCTGCTTCGCGGACGGCTCTGGGAAACCACCAATACACGTCCCGAAGCGCCGCGCGGCCGGAGGACATACGTCGCGAAGGCCGGCGTCCTGGTTGCCGGACGTTGACGATCTAGAGCTCCTGTGGAGCGACAATCGCCACGACCTCCAGCTCTACGACTACGCGACGAAGCTCGTCGGGAAGCGCTTCGCCGACGCGTCCCTCGGCCCGCTGCCACAAACGCCGCCGACGCAGAGCGCGGCGGCGTATCGGGAGTGGCTCGCGGCGCGGGCGACGTGAGGACTAATTTTCATACTTAGTACTTCAGCGCGCAGAAGCACGCGACGCCGGCCTTGATCCAGTAGCTCTGGTCGCACAACTTGATCTGGGCGTTCGTCTCGCTCACCAGACTATTCCGGTAGCATGTTGGTTTCGTCGAGGGCACCTCGAGCCAAAAGACGAAATTCGTACTGTGACCAGTTGTTGATAGAGTACCCGTCCTTGTTAAAATCTTGTACACCGGACATCTATATATTCCACCATCTGGTGGATTGGGCGCCCGATCGACCTCGGGCACCAAGTGGATGACGGGCATGGGCGCGAAGAGCTCCTTGGGCTTTGGGTCCGTTAGCGTGTTGTTCCTCTTGTCCCACCGCGCGCCCTCCAGGAACAAGCCGTAGATGTAGCAGCCCGACGCCGGCTTACTCGTAAGTTCCGAGGGCTCCTCCCGCAGCAACTTATGGCCGAACTGCACCGTATCCACCGGAATCTGTTTTCTTCTGGCATAATTCTGGACGTTGGCCGTCATGAAGCCTGCGTTTGATAAGAGTGAGATCTCGGCGTTTTGAACTCGTCTCCATCAATGATGAAGATGGGTGGTCCCTGGTCCTTCAATGAACCGGTTCGCGGTCCCGACGCGGTCCGAACGGCCCCAAACTTCATCAGAAGATGGACACGAGTCACAGCAACAAAGTGAAGGCGCCACAGACCCCCAAATTCAAGCTACGAGACACCGAGCCGGACCTTGCGGGAAGAAGAAGACCGAAATCCAGATGACGTCCGGCGTGCCATTCTGAATCCACCCTTCCATGAAGTCCAACCTCCTAAGTAAATCGGCATACCATAGCGGCAGCGGTTTCAGCGAGGGATAGCCTTTCCCCATCCACGGTAGGGGTACTTTCCCGTCGTAGACCGCGTTGCCCATGGCCTCCAGCTCTGAACTCAAAACTACCAATCCTTTCAGGGCTAACTGCAAGGATGCGAGAGTAGACACCATGACCCGTTCGAGCCTCGTAAACTTCGTCACCTCCTGCACAAGCGTCGTGTTGAGACATTCATTATAATCCGTGGGATACCGCAGATACACGTCGTCCGGGTCGAAAACAGCTGGCAAGCGACTTTCCATGTCCCGGGCCGCGTCACCCATGACGTCCTCCCGCGACACACCTCCTCCACCAGACGTTCTAGGTTGGAGCGATAAGATGATCTCGCAGTTCGAGTCCGACTCGTTCAGATCATACGTAATCATGGCGTTGCCGTGCATGCCGAAGACCTCGGGCTCGGGCATCATCGGTAGCGAGTCAATATACTCCAGATACCCTTTCTGAGAATCCGTACTGATCGTCTTGTAGATGCCTGATCTACTAAACTTATAAGAGTCAGCTAAAATGTCCGGCGTCAAGAAGTCCGCAATGATGATATCCGCCGTCCGCATGTCCTTATCGTCGTTTATGCGCCCGCCGTAGTTGACCACCGACGTGAGCATACTGAGTACAGTAAAGGGGATCTCCGCGAATTTGTTGACATAGAGCTCGAGCTGCGAGATGCAGATGTCTAAATCCGTCTCGTTGAAGGCGTAGGCCGTGTTCCTGCGTGGATATGAGTCAAGTTCAACTTCAAGGTCAACTTCAACGCTGCGTCGCGGACCAGCCGAGCGGGCCGAACTTTTTTCTCTCAATAATCAGCGCGTGGAAGAAGCACAACCCAAAGAGTAGTTTGCGGTAGTCCGCCGGCTTGTTCGTCCTGCGCGGGAACGACGCCGTCGCGAGGCGCTGTGGTCTCATGAAGACGCCGTCTTCCCAAAGTTCAAGTTCAGACGCCGAGTCAGCACCGGTTCAACTTGTCGTCGTCCATCTTGAGGAACACCGTCTTGAGGTTCGCGCGGAGACCTGCGTGGGACGAGACGGCTCACGACCTCGTCTGACGGAGACGACGCCGCGTCGCGGACCGCGCGGCGGCTCCTTCGTCATTTTTACAGAAACTTGCATCACCGCCACGGGGAAGTGCGGACTCGGCTTCGACGTGAGCCAGAGCCGGAAACTTTCGTGGACCTGGTCCGGCTTGAAGTCCTCGACGATGCGCTCGAGCGTCGGTAGCCAGGATACACATAAATGACAATTCTGCAGGAGGACCCAGGAGCCGTCCTTCGTGCTCTTCTCGATGAGTTTCTCGGCGATGGCCCCTTGCCCTTGCCCTAAAGCTATAGAGGTCCACTTGTCCTCCATGGACAGGTTCCGCGCGAGCTCCTGGATGTCTTTATTTGGATCTGAGCCGGTAGATAGAATAAATACTAGAGGTGTCACGTTCTCGGAGTCGTCGTAACATGCAGGTAGGTCAAAGGGCGGGGGCTCCGTGTATCTGCGACCTGCGCGGGGCATCGTGTCCATCTCACTTCCATGAGAGTGGTTTCTTTTTCGAGTTTGGGGCCGTTCGGACTCGACGCGTCGATGGCGTGAAGGCGCCTCTACACAACAGGACGCCGCGAGCGCGCCCATCTCGTCCTCGACGAACTTCTGGACGCCGTCCATGAGCTTGTCCCGTCGTATCACTCGTAGGACACACAAGTTCTGCAAGCCTGACAATTTATCATATGGTGCGGGGTAGCCGATCGACTGCGGCGTCTCGGAGTCGTAGACCTTGCGCCAGCCCGCCAGATTGTCCTTGAACGCTTGCGGCAGACCTTTGAAGACATCGCTGAGACCCCCAAGCGCCAAGATTTCGGTCCTGCGTGGGAACGACGCCGTCGCGAAACGGTCGCATCGACGGCGTCGAGGCGACGCCGTCTCGTGAAGACGCCATCGACCAGACGTCACGTTCAAGGTCATTTTCGGCGCCGAGTCACGGACCACGTGTTGGCCTCGATCCAGTCGTCCGCGGGATTTTCCAGGGCGAGCGGCTTGATCGTCTGTCCACTAATGCAGAAGCGCCACTCGAGCGCGTCTAATCTATTATCGCCCATCATAATTTTAATAGTCATCAGGAAGGAGAAGAGGAGCTTGTGGGCCTCGAAGAGACTTCGGCACACCTGCGCGGACCCGAGACCACTCAGCGCCTTCTCTGACGGAGCCGAGTCGCGTCGACGGCGTGAAGGCGCCTCTACACGACACTGACGGCGCACGTTCGTGTACACAAAATACGTGAAGAAGACGTTCAGGTTCTCTAATCTTTGTTCCATGTCATTTGATGCTGGGGCTCTACCGACTCCAGTGGCAAAGAGGGCCTTGAACCAGGGCAGCGCGTACTGGTACATCGGATCCACATTGGCCATGTCCGCGAGGCAGAAGTACAACAGACTAGCGCGTTTGGCGACGGGCCGGTACTCCTCGGACGTCTTGTTGACTTCTACCGCCGTGACCTCGGCCTCCTGCATGCGGATGTTCACCTCGTTCGACCTGTGTTGATTGATACCGTCGCGACGCGCTCGGGAGGCTCTCTGACGGCACAAGGACTCTCTGGTGATCATGAAGACGGCGTCGCGGTGGCGTCGCGTCGCGCCGACGCCATCGACGCAACTTCAAGTTCGGAAATTGAAGGAAACGGACGCCGAGTCGGACGTCTTCTTCGCTTGCGCGAGCGTCTCGATCAAGTTCGTATCATCTAGGATGTTGCCCTTCGACTCGGCCAGCAGTTTCAAAATACTGGATTCAATATCAAACAGCTGCTTGTTCATGGCTGCCGACTGGACGACGAGCTCGCTCTTCTTCTCCGCGAGCTCGGGCATCTCGAGCTCGACCGTCGCGCCTGCGTCGCGGCGCTCTCGCTTCCTTGATACGACTCGTCTCGATTCGGACGCCGCGCGACGCGCCGAGCAGCTGCTCCTCCAGCCCCGACTGCGTGACGGTAAAATTCACAAGACTGATTTTGACCTGCACCTCCGGACTGTAGTGCGGGTTCGGCATTTTGGTGGTCAGAAACAGCCGGAACTCCTCGTTGTACGGGATCGTGTTCTCGCCTACATAGTTCAACATCAAAGTTCAACTTCAACATCAATACATACCGAGCTTCATCATGTCCTGGCCGCCCTGCTTGAACGTCTGCTGCATCAATATGGGCTCGAGAGCAGCGTCCAAGGTCTCCTGGATGTTTTCCAAGAGCGCCCACTTGCCAAATCGCACCGCGTTCTCGAGCGTTCGCAGAAAGTTCTTATCGGTCAGTTTCGCGACGTCGAAGCCGTTCATGCAGATGTCCTTGTCCTTGGCCATGCGCCGGATGTAGCGGTTCGCTTGTCCTGTGTGGGAACGACGCCGTCACGAAATGACCGCGACTCGCTCACGAGGCGCGTCGACTCCCATGCGGCCGCGTCGACGGCGTCGAGGTGGTCTCGCGAAGACGCCATCGACCAGACGTCAAGTTCAAGTTCAATTTTCACGCCGAGTCAGCACCTTGCGGGTCGATGAATAGGGACCATCGTCTAGCTCTATCGAGCATGATGCCGTTCTGCGTGCTCAGGGGGTCCGTCGGCAGGCCGTACATCTGCCAGATGCGCAGCTTGACCGGCTCGACGAGCGTCTGCGTGATGTCGCAGCCCTCCGTATGCTGAATCTTGAATTCAATTAATTTATCTCTCCACGAGTCGCCGACATCTTGTCTAAATTCGGCGGTAAACGGTCCTAGGTACGAGATGAATCCCGCACTTATGAGTATGTCGCCGATGCAGTTGTCCACCGCCACGGTTAAATCAGCTACTGTTTGCGTCCAGCGGACCCGTTCCCCACCGAGGCCGCCGATGAGTTTATCAGCATTGGATAACCGTACTTTACATTGTTGTTCTTTATCAGATAAAGATTTCTTCTCGTTCACGGCGTTCTGGAGGGCCTCCTCCAATCGCTCCAGTTTTTCTACGACTGCCGCGAGCTTGGCCCGGGCCTCATTCAAGACTCCAGTGGCCTCCTCCAACTCCGCTTGGGCCTCCGCTAACTTAGCTTTTTTAGGGGCAACCCCGAGCGCGACGAAGTGATAGGTATGCATCGCGTGCGCCCTGTGTGGCACGGACGCCGTCGCGAGACGTGTAGACTCTCCGACGGCCACGTCGACGGCGTCGCGGTCTCGCGAAGACGCCATCGACCAGACGTCAAGTTCAAGGTCAAGTTCAACACGCCGCGTCGGACCACATGCAGATGGCCTTGCACGCGACGGAGGCTTTTTCGATCGCCTTGGGCGTGAAGTCGGGGTTCTCGATGTAGGGGCCGACCTTCTTGATGACCTGCGCGCGTGCGACGCGGTCTCCATCTCACGGTGCCGGAGGTGGTCTCTGGTCCTTCCATGAACCGGTTCGGACCGCGTCGAGCGAATTCACTCGAAATCAGACATAAAACCACCCACAACATGATACGAGTCCCAGCAACAAAGTGAAGGCACCGCAAGACCTCAAAAAACGCACCTTGTCCGGGATGTTGTCCTTGTCGAAGTCCTGCAACATTTCCAGGAACTTGCCCGCGTTGCTCAACAAGCTTTTGCCGGCCGGTTCCACGTAGTCAAATACTTTTTTGGACGGGTCCTCGGGGTCCGGTTTTTTCACGGGCGCGACCTCGAAAAAGACACAAGCTACTTCTAGCGTCAGTCGGACGCCACCGGGAGGCTTCTTGAGCGCTTTCACTTCATCAATATGGGCCTTCTTGAGTTCTTTCAAGCATTGGACGGCGGCCGCGAGGGCAGGTAGGGCTTTATCTAAATCCGCTTGCGCGTCGGCCGCGATGGCCCCCGCTCGCTCCGAAATCTCCGTGGCACTCGCTTCTTGGACCAGGACCTTCTCCTTGACGACGGCGGCGTCCTTCTTGTCCTTGTCGATGACGACCTGTGTGAGCATCGTATTCACCGGAAACGGTCCGTAGACTCTCGTGCGGTCGCGTCGACGGCGTGGCCGTGGTGTAGATTTCAGGGGCGAGCCATAGATCTCACCGGTACGCCATCGCCGCGACCCGTGAAGATTGCTCTCGCGCTCTCTCTCGGGAGTGCTCGCGTCGAGGCGACCGCGTCATCCGAAACAGCTCAAACTCGACAAAGAGACCGCCCCACGACCTCGTGAGATGGACACGACGCACATCAAGGGACGCCGCCATCAAACCATCATCTCGTCGACCTCTTTCCCTTTAACAACTAACTGCGGCGCCAGGATCTCGAGTTCCTGCGTTGATACGAACAATCACGAAACGATGGCGTGGAGCGCGCGACGACTCCACCAGTTCAAGTTCAACTTCAACTTCAACACTGAGTCACGGACCTTCTGCATGCCCTCGACGAGTTCTCCCGTCGAAATTATTTTATCCAGGCCGATCTTTAATCTATCTTTCTTCGTCTTGACCTCGCCGCGCTTGTAACTCAATAGCGTGTCGAACGACGACAGCAGTTCCAAGTAGGACGTAGGCGTCACGTAATTAAATCGCCGCAGCACGTCGTAGAACTCCCGGGACTTGCGCTCGACGTCCTGGTGGATCTGCTTGAACATTTTTACTACTCCACTTCGGTTCTCGGGGATGACTTGATTGGCTTCCACTAACGCACTAAGACCAACAGATTCTAGCGCCTCGGCCGGCCATTCGGTAAACCAGTCGATCGTGCTGCAGTTTACTAAAGATGGAAATTGTCTTAACCTTTCCCGAAAGGTCTCACCAAGAGGAGACATGCACAGGCACACGTGCATGTTCCTTCGGACCCTCACCACGTACTGGGCAAAAATATTCGTCTTCGTCGGCGTGATTTGTTTTTTTTGGCAGTCGACGCGGCACGCGCTCATGATGGCGTCCATCTCCTCGGGGCCGTAGAGGTTCGGGACGTCCTGCGCGGAGCGACTGCGTCACGAGACCGCCGCGGCTCTCTCGCGAGACGCGTGGACTCTCATGCGACCACGAAGACGGCGTCGAGGCGGCGCGGCATCGCGTCGACGCCGTCGCGGCGACCACGTCATGCGTGGAGCATTGTGGTCCCCCGACTCGGTCCGAACGGCCTCAAAATCCAAAAAGCGACCACCCACGACCTCCTCTCTCGAGGACGACGCGCGTCGATGGCGTGAAGGCACCGCAGCCCCGCGGGACGCCGAGATCGCGTACCCCGGCGTTGAGTATATTATTCACGTCCTCCAGGAACGACTCCATGACGACCTGCGCGTCCGTGAACACGAAGGAGGTGGGCGTATCCTTCACGCCCGCCTGCAAGAGGCACCTCCTTAAATCTTCCCGCCACTCGACCATGCCTGCGCGGAGCATTTCCGTCAAAATGGCCTCTTCAGCAAGAAAGAAACGACCCACGACCTCGTCTGATGGACACGAGATCAATGGCGTGACTCTACACCTCAAAACGCGGAGATCGCGCCGTAGCCCTTGGCGATCTCGACCTGGAAGAGCTCGTAGCCGCTGATGTAGGTCGCCATCTTCGACATGGACTGCCTCCCCGAGCCGCCCACGCCCAGTAACAACGCGTTGCCCTGGGGCTGCCTCAGGATGCGAGCAATGCGAAGGACGTGCTCGATCGCGTCCAAAAACATGACCAGCGGCATCGGGCTCTTCGACTCGGCGTTGTGCTCCTCGAGGAAGTCGTTCACGACGAGTTTCAGTTTGTCGATGTCCTCGACCTCTTGATACACTCTAGGATCCGCGTTCGGGTCGACGAAATCGCAATACAAGAGTCCTGCGCGGAGCATCGCGGTGTCGCGGCGGTCGAAGCGCGTCGTGTCCACCTCATGATGAAGTGGGTGGTTTCTTTTGTTGATTTCGAGTGCATTCGGCCGCGATGCGGGGCCGTCGCTCGACGCGGTCCGAAGGGCCTCAGAATCGAAAAAGAAACCACTCTCATGGAAGTGAGATGGACACGAGTCGTTTGAATGAAGTGAAGACACCACAACACGACGGGACGCCGAGATCGCACGTTCCGTGCGCACGATGTCGGCCCACTTCATGCCAAATTTCTCAGAAACACATTGTTCAAGTTGGGAAACGAACCAGTCGTGATCATCAGAAGTAGTCAATCGATCTTCAAAAACTCTTTTCAGTTCATGAGACCAGAGCCGCACCTGCGTGGCACCGACGCCGTCGCGACACGGCCGTGGCTCCCACACGAGACGTGTAGACGCTCATGCGATCGCGTCGACGACGTCACGGTGACGGGAAGTCACGTTGACGCCATCGACGCGAACTTGAAGTTCAGAAAACGTCAGAAACAGACGCCGAGTCCGCACCATGCCGATCGGTTGCTCGATGAACTTCGGCGAGCCCATGAGCGTCCCCTGGAAGACCTTGGCTAAATCCCGCAAATTAAACGTATAGTGGCTCTTGGCCGGCGTCGGTAACAGGGAAGATACGACGTTGTTAAACGTATCAATAGTGGACTGGACCAACCCCGAACACAACGTCGAGATCTCCGGCGTGAACGACGCCAGAAAGTCGCCCAGGATCGTCTCGAAGATGCCCGCCTTCGATTGATCACTCATCTCCGCCAACCCCACAACATTAAACGGCCGCACGAACCGCGCCGTCATGTCCTGCCTGCCTCCCCCAGGAGGTCCGAGAGAAGCGATGAAGACGATGTCGATGATCTTCCGAAAAGCCAGATCATTCGAGCGGTCGAACCAGCCGCCCTGCGAGAACCTGCGCGGAACGACGGCGTCGCCAACGGTTCCCACGCCATCGACGCGCGTCGTCTCCATCAGACGAGGCCGTGGGTGGTCTCTTTGTCGAGTTTGAGCCGTTTCGAGGCGTTCCGCGGTCCCGAGGCTCGCTCGCGAGACCCGTAGACTCTCTCACGACCACGTCGACGGCGTCGCGGTGGCGTGACGTCGCGCCGACGCCATCGACGCGAACTTGAAGTTCGGAAACGTTCCGAGAAAAACACTGAGTCAGAACCACTGCCGCAGAATTTCGATCGGCGGCTGCGCGCCGTACGTCTCCCGTTTGGGCATGTTCAAATCGTCGACGTGGATCGCTTGAAACTTGCCCGCCGGCGGCCCGAAGATGCCTCTCCGTCTCTTCTCGAACTTCCCGTCCAACGTGTCCTGGGTCATGTTGGCCGAGGTCTGCGCGCTGAACGTCATCGTCAGCGGCATGAGTTCTGAGGGAGCTGATTTGCCCTCGCACTTCGACACGCCCTGCAAGTACTGCGAGATATTGACCGTTTTACCAGTACCAGTCTCGCCCACGAGCATGCAGTGGTATCTGTTCTGTAGCAATTTAGCTAGGATAAAAGTAGATCGGACAGAGTCGGGCGTCGGCACGATGAGCTCCGCGAAAGATAATTTGGAGTCGACCTTGTAGTCGTCGATCGTGGCCATCCAGCCGGCCCACCTGCTTTCGTCGGCGTCGTAGACCTGCGCGGCGCATCGCGGTCTCGCGGGGACTCTCGTGGGATCGCGGCGACCACGCCATGCGTGGCGCATCGCGGTTCGGTCCGAACGGCCTCTTCAGCAAAGAAGAAACCACGCTCACGGGACGCCGCGCGCGCACGTAGTCGTACACTAATCCCTCAGCTGGAAAGGCATCTTTCATGCCGAACTGCGCCAACTGCAACCGCAGCCATAAATCAAATCGAGCTCGAGATTCGTTCGGCCCCGTGCAGCCCACGCTCCACACCAATGAAAAAATGAACCGCGCCTCGAGCTGCGCCACGGCCTTCGCCACAACTTCCTTCTTAGGAGTATCCCGACCCTCCTTGTCGCAGAACGGCTCCAAAAAACAGTCCAACAGCCTCGTGAGACTTTCGCAGAGGTTGTTGTCCATCGTCGGCAGCAATTCAGCCATCTGCCCCCGCATGAAATTGATCGCCGTGAATAGATATCTATCAAAACATAAGGCCATAATACTTGTGAAGGACGTGTCCCGGAAGCAGGGGCACTTGTTTAAAGTTCTCGTGACCCACGATTCTCGTAAAACGTCCAATCCTAACGCTTTGGGCTCCATGTAGATGATACCAACACGACTAACGGTGGCAGGTGACGCCACGAGCAAATCTTCAACTTCGAACATCATCGTCATCTCGTTGCTCATCTTTATCGACTCGCCACTCACCAAACACAACTTCTTATTATCATCCAAGACCGTGTTCATGTTCTCGATCCAGATCGCGTCGACGGGCCCGTCGAACATGACCCACTTCCGATCGGAAGTCGTCGAGGTCGCGGCGTGGCGGTACATCGTGCTCATAATACCGTCCTGCCATTCTCTTGTATTGGGATCGAACTCGCCGTACATTTGACCTGCGTTTGATGGATAGCGTCGCGACACTCCCCTCGCGAGACGCGTCGACGCTCTGATGATCATGAAGACGGCGTCGACGCGATGCCACGACGCCATCGCCGCTCTCACAAAAAGTTCAAGTTCAAGGTCAACTTCAACGCCGCGTCGCGGACCCATCGTGATGCTCTTCGGGTTCAGTTGGTAGATCTTCACCTTCTCATACGCAAAACCCTGCTCGCCGAGGACTTTGAGCTGGCCCAAAGTGTCTTCTAGGACGTGTAAGTTGCGCGACTTGCCGCCGCCCGTCGGGCCGACGAGCATGAGGCCTGCGCGGAACGACGCCGTCGCGACACGGCCGCAGCTCTCTCATGCGACCCGTAGACTCTCTCACGACCACGTCGACGGCGTCACGGTGTCGGAACGTCGCATTGACGCCGTCTTCACCAACTTGAAGTTGAGAAACTCGAAGAAAAGGACGCCGAGTCAGCACCATGTCGGACCACGATCATTTCATACAATTCGATGACCTTGCCCATGAACCAGGGGTGCGGCTGTAACCCATGCGCATCGATGGTCTGCTGCATGACGGAAACGAGGGCTCCATAATCTAATTCGGGACGCTTCTTCCCGGGAAACAGGTCCGAGATGATGCCTCGAAAGAGAGGCAGGTCACCGTCCAGGAACTTCGGGATGTTCACGTCCTGCAAGGCTCTCAAAAGTAGTACCAACTCGTCGGCCTGGGGCTCCTTCCGCTTCAGATTACCGGCCGCGGTAATGACCGTTTTCACGGCCCGCATGCCATAGTCGTAGTGCGGTTGGGAAGAACACTGCTCCGAACACAACCGGAAGGTCGTGACCATCTTCTGGCCGCACTCCTTGCCGTTCGCGAACCCGTACGCAAAGAACATGATCTCCCCGATCAGCGCGTAGTCGGGGACCATCATCGCCACTGGTCTAAATAAAGCTGATAGGGAGTCGGGCAGTGCACTTCTTCCAGCGTAGCCGGGATTCATGGTTATAAAAACGCCGAAGCCCGGCAGGACTCTTATGGTAGACCCTTCGAACTCGATCTTGTCGACCTTGCCCTGCGTGGGAACGACACCGTCGCGTAACGTAGACGCTCATGCGGTCGCATCGACGCCGTCGACGCAACTTCAAGTTGCATTTGACGCTGAGTCAGCACCTTGATCGCCAATTGGATCGACATGACCTGCTGGCCCACGACGCTCAAAACTTCGATGTTGATGCGGTTGAACTCGTCGAAGCAGGCCCAGGCGCCACACGACGCCAAACCTTTAAAGAACTTGCCCATCGCCTGGTAGTCTAAACCGTCGCTACAGTTGAACACGACGCATTGCATCGCTACGGCCTTCGCGAGGTCCTTCGTGGTCTCGGTCTTGCCCGTGCCCGCCGGACCGGCCGGCGCGCCGCCCAGAATCATTTGTAGCGCGCCCATCAATGTAAGATAGCATTTATCTGTTAAAGGTGTTATAACTAATCGAAACGAGTTCCCGAGGTACTCATAGCCGTATTTCCGGTCCGCCGCCACCATCTGCGCATACAAATCGTCGTCGCGCCAGTAATAGCGCAACTGCGACGTCCACGTAAAGTCCGAAATGTCACTCACTCGTTCCTTCGTGAGTCGAATCATGACGTCTCTCGCATGCACGTCGATCACAGCGAGAGCGCCGACCTGGTTCCGGACCGCTCCTGGTAGGTCACCTCTCACTAAAAGAACCATGGCCGACAACTGCTCGATCTGGTGCTCCAGCATTTCCGGAGGTCCTTTTTCACCCTTCTCTTTTATCAGAGTTTCGGTCTCGGACGTCCAGTACATCTGGCTTCCATTTAACACGCACATGGAGGGCCTGCGCGGAACGACGGCGTCACGAAACTGCCTCCGTGCACTCCCGAGGCGCGTAGACTCTCATGTGATCATGAAGACGCCATCGAGGCGGTGCGGTTTCGTGAAGACGCCATCTTCACAACAACGTCAAGTTCAAGTTCATTTTCTGCTCTGAGTCACTGGCCACTTCTGCATCCAGACCGTCCGCTCCTGCCTCGCGTAGTCCTGGATCGCCAGGTGCATGACGTGTCTTACGGAAAGGCGCATCATGTCCTCGACCTCGACCATCCAGACCTGCGCGGCGCGACGCGTGTCTGGCGGGTCGCGTCGATGGCGTCTGGGGGAGAGCAGGCCGTGGGTGGTCTTTTCGTCGATTTTGAGCCGTCTCGGACCGCGTCGAGACGCGACGGCCCCGACGCGGTCCGAAAGAGCTCGAAATCTCTCAAAAAACCGCCCACGACCTCGTCTGATCCATACGAGTCGTATCAATGAAGTAAGAAGGACACCGCACCACGAACTTCGACGCTCTTCTCCACGGGGTCGACGGGCGCCATCATCGGCACGACCTCCTTTTCCGGGGAAACCATCTGCGTGATCGCTAACTCGCTAATATCTTCCAGCGGTTCGAACTTCACGGCATCGATGGCTTCGAAGCACTTCTTGAAGTGGGGCTGGACCCTCATCACATCTTTACTTTCTGACAAGATAGAAAGTAAGTCGTCGTTCGAGAGGAAATAAAAGCGCGCGAAGACGCCCCGCTTCGTCTCGAGGTAGTCATTTAAACCTTTCTGCACCTGATCCAAGAGCACGGCGCTGTCGCTCAATTTCTTGAGGAGCTTCTCGTCGTCGCAGAACTCCATGACGACCTGCGTGGAAAGTTCAACTTGTGCTTCAACTTTGGGTGTGTCGCGGTCTGGGTGAGGTTCTGCTCTCTGGATACGGTCTCTCGGAGGTCGTGTCCGAGTTTGGGCCGCTCCGAGGGCCGCGGTGCCGAGATCGCGAGACGCGACCGCTCTCACTCGGCGAGAAGCGAGGAACGCGTCGCGTCGATGGCGTGGAGGGCTCGACGACTCTCTCAGACGCCGTCGACGCGAAGTTGAAGTTTTTCACACTGAGTCAGCACGGGCCGCGCCTTCGCGGCCGTGACCGTCGCGCACCAGTTCTTGTTGACGGTCGCGAACTTCTTGCCCTCGGCGGGCAGCTGCTTGTTGATGTCGGGGCTCTCGAAGATGGGCTGGAGGTACATCCAGTTGCGCTGCACCTCGAGCCACTTGTCCAAGACCTCGCCAATGATGAACAGCTTGTGGTTCCAGGCCTCGATGCGCTCCTCGAAGGGCCCCTTGAACGCCGAGAACTGCATGGCCTGTGCGGAACGACTGCGTGAGCATCGCGGTCGCTCGACGCGGCCCAAATCGCCTCAAACTCGAAAAACAAACCACCCACGACCTCCTCTCCAGAAGACGACGCGCGTCGACGGCGTGAAGGGACGCCGCGAGCGCGCCTGCGTCATCGTCACGTGCTCGTCCAGGATGGCCTGGACCTCATCCACTCCTTTGAGGACACCGGTCCCCGTATCCCTATAAGGAAATATCTGCAATTCGAGGCCCGTCCAGTCGCTCAGCATGTTATCTAACGTTACTTCGATGTTGTACTCCTTGGCCGCGGCCTCGGAGACCTGCGAGGAACGATATGCCGTCGACGCGACTCGTCTCCACCAGAGAAGGCCTCGGGTCCTTCAACGAACCGCTTCGGACATGAAACCACTCTCAGGGAAGTGAGACGCGGGCACGGACCTTCGTAATCAATTCTTCTTGGGAAGCGGGGTCGAGCTCGAGCAATTTAGTTAATGTAAAGTCGTCCGAAGGCTCAAAATCTTCCAAGCCGAGCGCCGCACCGACTTGCTTCCAATGTCTAGGGCGCATGCCCTGGTTCCGCAGCGCGACGATGATCGGCACGTAGGGCTCAAATGATTTGACCTGGTCCCTGATCGCCTTGGCGATCGCCGATTGGTCGCTCAAATTGTTTCTATCGAAAAATTTGAAGGCCTTTTGGATCGCATTTTTGTACAAATTCACGTCGGTTTCGATTTGCTCCGCTTCCAGCGTTAGGAAGGACTGATTGTGCCACTCTGCCGAGGCAGTTAACCACTGCTCAGAAGTATCCCACAACTGGAAGTAGGGCTCGAACCTCTTTTTTACGTTCGCGAGCTGCTGGTAGTCCTGCGCGGGAACGACTCACTCGCGAGGCGCGTGGACAACAGACGCCGAGTCGGCACCGTGACTTCCCGCTCGAAGAGCAACTCGCGGGCGTTGAAGAGCCGAGCCTGCTCGCCCGCTTCCTCCACTTGGCGCATGCAATCTCGTGCTTTCGAGGCGGCCTCCTCACATACTGATAAAGAAGTATACTGGTCAAAAGACAGCGCGAACTCCTGCAGCTCATTCAAACTGTCAGCAAAGGCCTCCTGCTCCCCTATTTGCGCTTGCAAGTACTTCGCTCGGATGGCTTCACAAAATTCCTTGGCCTTCTCCGCCTGGTCTCCAACTTTCACGGGCCACAACGCGACGGACGTTTGTCTTTCGAAGTGCGAGTATTCTACTCGATAGAAGTACTCGTCCAACACAGAATTCATGGCGCGCATCTCATCAATCAACTCCTGGTTGGCTCTCAAATCGTTGCTCATGTTCCCAATGTACTCCTCGAGGGCCGCGGTGCCTGCGAGTCTCAAACTCGAAAAAAAGACCACCCTCCACGATCTCTGATGGAGACGCATTCATGAAGATGGCATCAGACGCCGCTTACGGCACCCTCGATGTCCTCGGGCTGCTTGCAGAGCTCGCGCATCATGGACTTGTACCTCGAATCTAAAAAGTCGGAGAACTCGAGGATGTGTTCGGAATGCGTCTCCAGCACTTTGTTGATGATCGCCATGTGCTTGTCACCCAACTCGGTTCGCAATGCGAAGGCATTTAATTCACAAGCACCGGCCGTGATGGCCTCGGCCGGGATGTCGGCCTCTATACGTAATTTGGCGTCGACGTGACTCGTCAGCGTCTTCCGGAGCATGGCCAGGTCGACCTGGATGGAGGGAGCGTCGGGCTCCTGGTCCTCCTCGTAGTCCTCGTCGTTGGGCACCTGCGCGGACATCAACGCCGTCGACGCGACTCGCGGCCATCAGACGAGGTCGAGTCGAGCGACCGCGACGCTCCACGCCGTCGAGCCGACGCGGCCACGGGGCCGACGTCGTAACTTTGATTTCCACGCGGATCGGCACCGCGTGTTTTAGGGATGCAACGTACTCGTCGACGTCGAGGTTCAGGAACTGCTCCCACTGCTTGAAGCACTCGAGGTAGGCCTCGCAGGGCTCCAACGCTTTCTTGATGTTAGTAGTAATGCTATCAATGAGTGCACCGATCCACGCCTCGTCCCCGGCCACCGCTTTTATGAGCGCGGGCTTCGGCCAGAACAGCCGCTCCATGACGTAGTTCTGCGCCTGCCGGATGTTGCGGCATTCTTGGATCGCCTTCGTGAACGCAGAAACGACGCATTCCACTGACTCGTTTAGTGGAGTTTCGTAATCAAAAGTTCTCCCTTCGACCGGCTCGACTTTTGATATCGGGCACTCCTCGCCCTCGTCCGCCGTAGCTTGCCACTCCTCGATGCGCCGATTGGCCTCGTCCACCGCAGCTCGGTTCAGCACCCGTCTTTCCGGTGTGGACACTACAGTCATCCGAAATAAAGGCTGCAGGCGCGGCGGGTCGCCCTTATTTCTGATAGGGTAGTCGCATGTGACGTCAGCGATAGAATTCACGGTCACAGTACCTTCGCACTGCGATTGGACGTACTCCGCATATTCTTGCAAAGACGTCTTCGTGAGGTCAAGTAGGTCCTGGACCATGGCGTAATTAATACGCGTCAACAACAGATGGAGTTTGTTCGTCTTGGACTCGTGCTTTGCTATTGACGATTCACCAAGATTGTATACGGACTGGTCGGCGGTCCGGAGGTCGGCGTTAATTAACGTACTAGTACGCATGACCCAGCCCTCCCTCAATTTACGCACCGTATCTTTTATATGCTTGTCCTGGTCCTCCGTGAAGGTCGAGGGCGTCCGCGGGAACTGGTGCGACGTCGTCAACAATCTAGTTGTTTTCACCTCTTGCGCGGCGTTGAGCGCCGTGGCCAGGGCTGAGACGACCTCCGGGCATTCGAGGAACGTTTTATCTCTAAACTTAAGTTTGTTGGGCTGCACTTGTTCCCTTGGATTGTCTGCTACACCACAACCAGGTGGTCCTTGGAACGGCGGCGGCAGCGGCAGATCCCTCGCTAAATAAGCTTGGAGGTGATAGGGATTCAGGGAGTCAGCGTTGAAGATGACCGTGTTCATCGCGTTATGGTAGAGAGAACAGACTTCGCCACATAGTGATGTTGTTGCTGAAGCTAGTCGTGCATCACTCTCGGTGATGTCTGATGGAGGCGGCGGCAGGGCTAACGCACTTCTACCAAAGTTGTATCGCGACTCGAGCTGTGCAAGGGCTTCTCCCCTGATAATATCGGAGTCGAAAGGGGCTCTACTAAGTCCAATTCTCAACAAACGCTCCCACGACGCTCGGACCGGTAGCGTCACGCTGATCTCATTGACCGGGACGTTTTGTATAGTATGCGCGAAGGCCAACAACGACTCGGCGTCTCTCCTCCGTTTCAGGGCGGAGGTCAAGGCTGCGAGCGTCTCTCCCGTATCGCTCCAGGCCGGGAACGCGACCTGACAACTATCCCTCGTTTCTGTCTTATCCTCGAAGATACAAGTGTACGTCTTCGCGCCCGTGAATCCACCAATGACCGTACATGAAACCCACGAAGCGCAACTGACTTCATCTGTGAGTAACGCGACGGCATTTTCCTCAACACCAATTTCTTCGATCTGAGTAATAGGGCACTCGGCGCCCTCCTCTTCATTGGTGGAATGCCACTCCTCAATGGCCTTATTGGTCTCGTCAATCGCTCGTAAATTAGCAAGGCGCGTCGCATCGAACCTTGAAAAGCGCTTCCGTATCGGCTCACGTAGCACCTCATCGACATAAGGACCGAGCGGTAGTTGAGGCGTACTGCCAGCGACGCGCTTGCCGATGGGCGTGGCAAACCACGCATCCAGCCGCCACGACAACGCGTCGGCGGACGCTTCCTCCGCGAGGGGATTCGTCGCGCGGTCCGCAGCAAGACGCTTTTCGGCCAACGTGCGCGGCTTCCGGTTCTTGCGCGCGGCGGCCGTCGGCGGCGCCCAGCGCCGTTCGCGCTGGGACTTGCCCGGCGACGGCGGGTCGGACGCGTACTTTTCCATCAAGGCGCTCGTCGAATTTGTCGATTCCATCACTTCGTTGATGAGCTGGTCGGTCCAGTCGAAGGGCATGTCGGCCACTTTGGGCTTCTTGGCGCGGGCGGCGCCCCTGGCGCGGCCCATCTTTGTCTAGTTTGCTCCGCTCGGCGCCGCTGAGGCTAGCTTTTTAGCTGGGGCAGCACAGTGGGGCTGCCCGGCAGCAGCTTTCTGCGGGCCGTCGCTCGTTGGAGCTTCGAGCGGTGCTGTCGAAGCCTCGCCCAGCCTTCTCGGCTCGCGGGCGGTGCTTTTTAGCAGCCCTTTATCGGCCCAGCGCTTGCTTTTTGCTAGAGTCGGGCAGTTTCGCCCTAGTGGTTTTCGTGCTAGTTGGGCGCCCCCCGCGTGCTTGACGATAAGCGTATCCCTCGCGCGCGTCAAACCAGTCGCGCTGGCATGCACGCCATCTCCTATCGACTATTACTACTATATACAAACCCCGAGCTCCTACGACCCCGCCTCGACCTCGACGATGGCCTCGATCTCGACGGGCACGCCGAGCGGCAGCGCGTTCGTGCCCACCGCGGAACGCGCGTGCACGCCGCGGTCGCCGAGCACCTCGAACAAGAGATCCGAGCAGCCGTTGACGACGCCGGGCTGGTTCTCGAAGTCGTCGGAACACGCCACGAAGGCCACCAATTTGTGGACCTGCTTGACGTTGTCGAGCCCGACCGCATCACTCAAGGTCCGCAGCAGCGCGAGGCCGCAGAGGCGCGCCGCGTCCGTGCCCTGAGCTTTCTTCAGGTCTCTCCCGACGACGCCCGTGCAGATCGAGCCGTCGGGGCGCACGGGGATGTGTCCCGCGAGAAACAACATGTCGCCCGCGCGCGAGTACATCGCGTACGAGCCCTTCGGCGTCGACGCGGGCGGCAGCGCGTAGCCGAGCGCCTCTAGTTTATCCTCCGTCGCGCCCTGGCAGACGCTCCGCGCCTCGCCGGCCCAGTCCGTGCGCTTCGTCGTGATGGCGCGGCGCGCGACTGGCCGCATGAAGGCCCTCGCGGAGCGTGCGACGAGCGTGCCGCCGACGATGCTCAGGCGCAGGCCCATTTCTTGGCTCGGCTGATGCGTTGTGCGCGAGCTCTGAGCTCTGCTATTCGCTCGACTGATGAGTTGTGCGGGAGCTCTGAGCTGTGCTTTTAGCTCGACTGATGAGTTGTGCGATGAGTTATGCGAGAGCTCTGAGCCCTGCTGCTGCTGGGGTGCTCTTGTGCTGTGCAGAGCGGGAAAGGGCAAAACGAGTCAGGGCGCGATTGCTGCTGGATGTGACGCTTCGAAAACAATTGAAAACGAATGCGAATTGTGTTCTTCACTGCACTCCCGCCTCTTTTTGCTCCGAGGCAGCCTGCAAAAAGCAGGCAAAAAGAGTGCAAGCAAACTCCTCCTAACGCCTGCCAGCAGTCTTTTCGCGGCCTTGATACTCGATGAACGCGTGAAAAACTTCAGCGCTCTAGATGCTAGACATACTAGTCGGCTAAGACATCCCTCGATTTGTATCGCGTTGGCTCAGCGTAGCTGTGGCCTCGAGGGTATCTGTGTTGCTTTCGGATCCCTGAGCCAGCCCATCAAGCAGTCCAGCTCGTTTTCGGCACCGCTGAGCCGCCGAGGCGCCCCTGGGAGCTCGGAGAGGAGGGCCAGCACGATGTCTGCCGAGACCGAGACCGGCAGCGACGGCGCCACGACACCCACGAATGGCTCCACCACGAAGACGAGCCCCGCCGCCGCCTACCGCAAGACCAACGGCCACGACCTCGAAGGAAGTTGTAGCGCCCTAGAAGAGGCCATGGCCGCCTGCGCCACACACATCTCGAGCGACGCGTCGCGCACCACATTAGCGAAGGCCCGGGACGCTTTGTCAAAACTCTTCGGGGCCCAAGCGAAGCTCACGGCGCAGATCGACTCCAGTCAAAAACCGCCTTCCGAGAAAAAATCATTGTTAGATCGCTGCGAGAAGCTCGAGCAGGCCATCGAGCACGCCTCTCTAGAATTGAAGGACGCCGTGCAAGGCGCTTGTGTTAAAAGGCGAGAAGCTGGTGATGACGCGTATGCTTCTCAACAATATGACGCCGCGTATGCCGCGTACGCCGCGGCTCTGGGCTTCGCGCCGGACGACGTCGAGTCGTTACTAGGCAAAGCTAGATCAGCGTCGCAACTCAAAGACTGGCCGGCGTGTATTAGTGATGCGCGGAGGGCGGCGCGCCTCGACGTCCAGGCGTCCGAAGCTCACTCTTTACTCGTCACTGCGTTACTCGAACAAGGCGACGTGCAACAGGCCGCCCAGGCCCTGGGGAACGCGCCGGACGATGTCCTAGAGTCTAGTGAAGAGTTACAGGTACTAGGTACCGATACGATACCCGAAGCAGCCAAAGCATCAGCCAACGCGTTGTTCCAACGGAAGAAGTTCCCGGAGGCGCTGGCGTTGTACACTTTAGCTGTCGAGTTGACGGACGGCCAACGACACGTCTATCTCTCGAACCGGTCGGCCTGTCTGCAAGCGCTGTCGAGGTGGGAGCGCGCCGCGGACGATGCCCGTAGAGTTATTGAATTGAAACCGGACTTCGCGAAGGGCCACCTGCATCTCGCGCGGTCGCTCGTGAGACTCGACCGCAAGTTAGAGGCTTGTGAAGTGCTCGAGGAGGGCATCGAGGACGGTCCGATCGCGGCGTCCCGGGGCCTTTCCGAGATCATGCGCCATCTTCATGAATTCGCCTCCATCAGACGAGATCGCGACTCGATATATATCACACGCAGGTCCCGCGGACGTGTCGGCGCTCGAAAAACTGCTGCAGGAATTACGCACCGTAAGACCGCCGGCCGCGCCGCCGCGACAGCAGTCGCGACAGCTGAGAGACGCGGCGACGTCGGCGTATAAGCGCGGCCTGTACAAGGAGGCACTCTCGTTATATACGAAGTGCCTCGCTACTGATTGCGCCGAAGCGGATGCGGTCCTCGCGAACCGCGCGGCCTGCTGGCTCATGGTCGACCAAGCGGAGCGGGCGGTCGACGACTGCCGGAAGGCTTCTTCAGTGATTGCGGAGCAGCTTCCGAAGGCTGATGATGATGAAAGGAAGCGCCTCGTGTCCCAGCGGAGCAAGGTCGCCGCGCGTCTCTCGTCGTCGTTGCAACGGCTGGGGCGGATCGACGAGGCTTTGTCAGTGATACAGGACGACCCTTCATTAACAGAGAAACGGAATCAGTTGGAACAGTGCCAAAGTACACAAAAGCAAGCCACCGAAGCCTACGAGGGCGAGGAGTACTCGCGGGCGAAACGATGCTTCGTGAAGCTTAGGGATGATTATAACGTGACCGACGACGCCGACGCGAGGGTCAAGCTCGCGGCCTGCCACGTGCGATCTCGGCGTCCCCACGCCGTCGACGCGACTCGTGGCCATCGCACAATGAAGTTCCGTCTCGCCTCGAAACGGCTCGAAATCGACAAAGAGACCACCCACTTCATCATGAGGTGGACACGACGCGCGTCGACCGTCTCTCGCCGCCGCGCGACCGCCGAACCGCGACACGCGCAGGTCCATTTGAAGGAGTACGCCGACGGGAGTAGAGAAGCGTTGAGTGCCTTGGCGACGAAGAAATTACGCGGTAAAAGCTTGGTGGAAGCCCACGGCGTGCGGGCCGACGCTCTACTAGCCCAAGGTGATCGCAGTCGAGCCGAGCAACATCTAGCGGCTTGCTTGCAATTGGATCCGGACAATTCGGACATCAAGACGCGACTGAAGCATTTAAGACGGTCGACGAAGGACGCGGAGCGGATCAAGTCTGATATTGAGAGTCTCGTGAGGCGAGGTGAATATGACAAGGCCAGTCAAGCCGCGTCCGAAGGCTTAAAAGTAGATCCATCGGACAAGAAGCTCACGGCGGCCATGCATGTCAGGAGGGCGAAGTGCCACCAGCTCCTCGCCTTGAAGGTGCTGAGGAGTAACGGCGATAGAGACCAGCGCCAAGACAAAGCGTTGCCGCACTGGCGGCGCGTCCACGCCGACTCGTCGGCAGCGTTGTATCACGCTCCATCCCCTCTAAAGACGGCGTATTTGTTGGGAAGTGAAGCGTTGCAGGGCATGCATCGCTATGGCGACGCGGTCGATTTGCTCGAGACGGCGCTAAACACGTTACCCGACGGTAAGTCGGATAGGGATCTCGTTCAAAAGTTCAAGACCGCCCAACGACTCCTGAAAAAAGCGCAAAGACCTGATTTATATAAGTTGATTGGCCCGGACCTCGACGAGCACTCGGACGAAAGCGCGATAAAAAAGGCCTACAAAAAAGCGGCCATGCGGTGGCACCCCGACCGCTTCTCCTGCAAGGGCGAGAAGCAGCAGAAGGAGGCGGAAGAGCAGTTCCAGAAGATCAATGACGCGTACGAGTTTTTGACGGACGCTCAACGAAAAAGGTTGTGGGACCAGGGGTATGATCGGGAGGAGATCGAGCAGCAACTGGAGATGCAGAAGCAGCAGCAGCAGTACCGCGGCGGCGGCTTTCCTTTTGGCGGGTTTCGGCGGGGCTGAGGCTAGGGGTCTGCTGTGCGGTTCACTGTTGCCTGATGACCGTCCTTCCACGGACGCGACCGCGACGGTATTTCGTTCGATTCGTCGTCGACCGCGATCTAACGTTTTAAAGATATAATTAGCTCAGGGCTGCTGCATGCCGATCGCCGCGAGCGCCTCGGCGACCTGCCGCTCGAGCCGCAAACGCCCGAGCGTCGCGTCGACGACGTCCTCGTTGCCCGGCGGCAGCTGACGCAATCTTTCTAGCGTCGCCCGCTCGCGCTCGTCGCGCGACGCGTAGTGCCACGTCGGCGGTTGTACGTTCGCGCGCCGCGCCGACGCCGTCACCAACCGCAGCGCGTGGCCCGGCGGCGGCAGGGCCTCGTACGGGACACGTAATGGTGCTGCCGCGTTCAGCGGGTGCTCGACGGACTCGTCATCTGATGAAGCATCGAAGGCGACTTCCACGGGCGTCTGCGGGTTCTGCTCGCGCGGCCGCTTGCGCTGCGTCGTGACGACGGGGACGCCCGGCGACGGCATGGACTGCTTGGCGCCGCGCGGCGTCACTTTTGTGGAGGACTTGCGCTTTTGTGGCTTCGGCGGTGCCTCGACAAACGCCGGCCAGAGCGCAGACGCGGAGACCTCCTCCGCCGTCGCTGCTCGCTCAATCTTCTCGGGCACGAAGAACGAGACCCAGCCCTCCCTGTTCTTCACGTCCCAGTGGCAGGCGCCCACCAAGGCCCCGCCCAGCGGGACGGCGACGCAGGCCACGTGCGCCGGCGCCCCGGAAGTCGCGTCGACCTCCAGCAGTCTGTGAGAATCGCCGTCGTACCAGGCCACGGCGCCGTCCGCAAACGCTACGGCCGCCGACCCGACGCCGCACCCGACCGACGCGACCGTCCGCGGCGCGCACCGTCGGCCGGCCCCCGGCTTCGGGGGCGGCGCGAGCGGCGCCCTCATGGAACCGTCCGGCGCCGCAACTTCTATTAAAGTTGCGCCGCCCACCGTCACAATATTACGACTACATACCGAAGGCGCGCCACAAACACCACCTTCCGTCGAAGCAACCGCCACGACGCCCAGCGCCGTCCGCGCGTGCCGCAGATCCTCATGAGGTTTGTCATCCCCATCGATGCGCCACAACCTGATCGTACCCTGCTCGGCCTTGGCCCAGACCGCACACGCCGCGTCGAGGAAACCGCCGGTCACTAACGAGCCGCACGATTGCGTCGGTAGTTCATACAGTAAAGACCAGTCTAAAGCCGCCCCCGGCGTCGCTCGACACACTTTCCAGACGTGGGCGCTCTTGATGCCCCGCCCACACAGGAGCCTATAGTCGTCGGCGCCTTTCCGACTACAGCTCACGAAGCCTCGTAATTTAGCTTCCGATTGCGACTCCTGAATTGTGGTGGATACGATCTGTAGTGGAGACGCATTCGCAGGAAACGCGCCGAAGGTCCAGGCCAGCACTTCCGTGGCTCCTTTTTGCGCTCCGGCAAATGCGGTCCGGCAGTCCTCCGTGATCGCTACGGTCACGAGCAGCGTGTTGTTCATGCCCCGGCTTACTAACTGGCCGAGGTTCGCCGGGGGCAGTTTACTGCCCATGGCGCATAGTCGGATCGAGCCGTCCGTGCATCCAATTAACGCGAACGCGCCCGTCCTTGCTATAGCCACGGACGTCGGCGCGAGTTCTAATGAGACGCGCTGGCCGTGGGCTGTTATCAGGCGGCGCCGGGCGCCCTCTAACTGAATTGTTGTTGCGGGGCTCGCGGGCGGCGCATCGTTGGTTGCTGGATCCATGGCCGCTGCTTTTGTCGTCTTGGTGTTTGTTGGCGCAGCGCGCGCGGCTCCTTGCTGCGGCGAGGCTGTCAGTGCCCGTATACGCGAACTTGCACAGGTGTGCGGAGCTCGCGTGGCACTGATTTTGCCCTGCCGTTTGAGACTGGTTTGAAAGCTAGTGTCTTACAGCCGCTAGCTTTACCCGAGGGTTCCGCCCTTGGATACGTGTCTAAGGTCATACACGAACTGCAGCGCGCGCCTCGCCTCCCGCCCGGATGGTCCAAGCCAAGCTTGGGAGGCTGCAGGCGAGGTAAACGCAGCCAAGCAGGCAGCGCTGCTGCAGTTACGCATCGGTTCGGACTCGTCTGATTGACTTGACTGCACGACTGTCCAAGTGCCACACAGAAAACGCAGCCATTCCAAGCCATGATTGCATTTGCAGTGGCTGCTGCTCTCCTTGCCAGCGCCGGCGCGAGGCCAGCAGAGATGCGGTACCGCGGCGGCATCAGTGTCCGCGGCGGCGCCGCGTCCCAAAGCGACATGCTCGAGCGACTCCGAAGCGGCGAGGGCTTCGTCGCGGCCCTCGACCAGAGCGGCGGCTCGACGCCCGGCGCGTTGGAAGCCTACGGCGTCCCCGAGAGCGCTTATAATGATGAAACCGAGATGTTCGACCTCGTGCACCAAATGCGCGAGCGCGTCGCGACCGGCTTGGACGAGCGGTGCGTCGGCGCGATCCTTTTCGAAGATACGATGGACCGCAAATTTGAAGGAAGGCCCGCGCCGGCGTACCTCTGGTCGAAGCGAATCGTGCCCCTGCTCAAGTGCGACAAGGGTTTGGAGGCGGAAAGGGACGGCTGCCAGGTGATGAAGGAGATTCCAGGGCTCGAGAAGACTTTAGCAAGGGCAAAACTCCTAGGAATCGCGGGCACGAAGATGCGGAGTAGGATTGGAGCAGCCAATGAAGAGGGCATCAAGAGCGTCGTGAAGCAGCAGTTTGCGCTCGCGAAGCGCATCTGTCGGTGCGGCTTGGTCCCGATCGTCGAGCCCGAGGTCGACGCGTTCATTGGGGACAAGGGCCACGCCGAGGAGATTCTGCTCAATGCCTTGCACGCGGAATTGCATCTGTTGCAACCGGGCGAGCTCATCATGCTCAAACTGACGCTGCCGGACATCGACGACTTGTATGCCTCTTGTGTCGCGCATCCTAATGTGGTCCGGGTGCTGGCCTTGTCCGGCGGCTTTGACCGCGCCGAGGCGTGTGCGCGACTCAAGCGCCAGAGTGGGGTGATTGCGTCCTTTTCTCGCGCTTTAACGGAGGGGCTTTCTAGAGATATGGACGACGCGACGTTTTCGAAAGCTCTGGACGCGTCCTGCGCGGCGCTCTACGACGCGTCGTTCAAAAAAATAACGGAGGAGGACGGCGCGGCGCCGGCGATGTATCGGGACGTGTCGGGATACCTGGGTAAAGACTAAAACAGTTAAATTACTATCACACGGCGACGCCGTCCACGTCGTCAGAAACAAAGTCCCACGTCGCCGCCGAGCAGTCGTCGGCGCAGGACACGAGCGCACCGCCCTCGGCCACGGTCACTGCTGATAAAGCCGCGCCGTGCGCCTTTTCAACAACGTAGCGCTCCTCGGGCGCCTCATGTTCATCCCACGCGACCAGCGCGAGCGACCCGTCGGCGCGGCCCGCGACAAGATACAACGCGCCGCGCGCCGCCTCGGCCGCGACGAGGCACCGCGGCTCTCCTGATAAATCGAAGCGCCGCAGCTCGCCGCCATCCAAGGCAACTTCTTTCATGAGACCGTCCTCGGCCGCCGCGAGGATGCGGTCGCTGCATATATCAACACAGACGACCGGCGCCGCGATTGATATAATAGCGTCGCCGACGGGCGCACGATCTATTTTCGACGCCGGCCGCGCGTCCCAGACCAGGAGCGCGCCGTCGTCGGCGCCCGCTACGACGAGCGACGCGTTCGACGATAACGCAATGCAGGTCACGGGTGCCTCGTGGTCGACTAATTCGAGGAACGGGCCGCACTCACCGTCACCGCACAAATCGGACACGGACCACAGTTTGACGGTCGCGTCCCAGGCACCCGTACAAAACACAGAACCTCGCAGGCGTCCACAGGCGACGGCCGCGTCGTGCGCGTCGTCCAAGCGCCTCAGTAGGGAACCGGTGGCCGCGTCATATACAGAAATAGCGCAGTCCCAGCCGCAGCAGATCACACAATTTCCGTCGTCCGTGAGTTGCGAAGCTGTCAGCGCTTTCTTGGACGCCGCGACGAGCTGCCTCACGCTGACGAGGGCGCCGTCGTCCCTTAATCTGGAAACGCGGAGCGTGCCGTCGCGCGCCGCCGTCGCTATTTTACCCGCAGCAGAAGACACGTCCGTCGGCGCGTCGCGGTGGGGCCGCGCCGTCTTCTTCAGGGCGAGTTTGATGGGTTTCGTCGGGAGCCGCGGCCGCCTTCGATCGACGGAGGCCCGCGGGAAGGGTCTCAATTTCAGGGAAGGGGCCGGCGCTTTCGTTAAAAACGCGGTCGGAGACCGGACGGGTGCCGGCGGCGGCGCGGGCTTCATCACTGGTTTTGGGGCCGCCTTCTTCACTGGAGTCGGCGCCAACGTCGGCGCCCGCTTCACGACGGGAGGAGGCTTCTTCACCGGAGGCGGCTTCACGTCCACTGCAAGGGGCCCGTCCCTAGGTGGATGCGCCTCCCCAAAGAGCCTCCGCGGCGTCTGGCCGAACTCGTCGATCTGTAATGAAAAGGCCGCGCGCCGTCGCGGATCACCAACACTATTCAAATCGATACCTTCGTACGTGAGCGGATGGAACACGTTGTCATCTTCAATAGATCGTTGTTTCCGACCGAAAATCAGGTCGATCCACAAATGGATGCGCTGACTGACATAATCGCTCTCCAAGGCTTCCCTATGTCTCTTGACAAAATCTGCCGGCGAGGCGCACCACGGCGGCAGTGTCACATCATGTAATCGTCGTCCGGACTGCGTGCTTCCGAGGGGTATATTCCTATCATTCTTCAGGAAGGACCCGTCTCCACTATAAAACTCGGGAACCAGTTCCTTCACATCTGTTGGGGCATTACAAACACTATCAAAAGCATCCTGGACCGAATCGAACATCCGATCCGGCGCATCAAACTTCCCGTTCTGCAAACAGAGCATGAACTCCGGTATCACTCTCACCAAAAAGAAGAGGACGTAGCCCGGCGTGCTGTAGTGCGTGCCGTACAAGAATGGGGCATCCTCATCTCTCTGTTCCACTGGAGGTGGCGGCGGCGGCTTTGACGGTTGTTGTACTAATTTACGGCCGAACGCCGTCTGCGCGATCAAGCCAGAAAAACCTTCTTTGATTTTGGTCTCGTAGCTCGTGTCCTTCGGTGCCTCCACTGGCAAAGGGGGCGCGGCCATGTGCCTATATCGCTCCCGGAACGTCGCGAGGCGCTTCGCGTTCAACGCGCCGACCGGCTTCGAGAGGTCCCGAAAGGACGACGGGTCCTCCAGATCAAGAGTTCTAGACGCGTAGTCGGCGAGGACCCACGGATACACCGGGTACTGGCTCAGGTCGTGCACGGACCTTCCTGAAAGCTGGTTCAGGATTGCGAGATAGGAAAAGGTATCTAGATCCCGCCGCTGCCAGGCCCGCGTCGCATCCACTAAAGAGGGCGGTGAAAGCTGTGGCAGCACGTCCAGACACGCGTCCCGCGCCTCCGTCGATGAAAAGGCGATTCTTAACAAGGTTCTCCTTGCATTAATTTCCAGCGCCGTATCCCTCAGCAAATGCCGGCCCGGCGTTATCGTGACGACGTCATTCAATGATAAAGTGACGCGCCCGTCGCCGCAGTCGTTGAGGGGAGCGGGCTGGAAGTAGACTCGTTTTGAAGTAATGGCGAGGACGCCCGGCAGCTTCGTCAACGGTGCTATTCTCTCGCAGACGAAGCGCCCTCTTACGTCCTCGTCGAAATCTTCCAACATCGACGCGTCGAAGCGCGCCGTCTTTAATGGGGAGGTGACCGGTTGTAGTAACTCAAACTCGACGTGCGGGCCCTCCTTCGCTACTCGCTCGGCAATTTTTTGGATCCGCTCGATTTTCTTTACCAACTCCGTCGGGTCGGCGTGGTCCGGCCGGAACCGCCTCTCGGTGAACGTCGTCCGCTTCACAAAGGGCGCGGCGATGTTGTTCGCGAGGAGCTCATAATATAAAGTTGTGGAGAAGGCGACGCCGTCATTATCGTGCGCGAGGCGTTCTACATTCCTCAGCGGAAATTTTAGAAGAGGCGCGCGCGCGTCGGCCGGCTCGAACACGAGCGAGCGGCTGCAGCAGCGCAGGCGGCCGCGCGCGTCGTCGAGCGTGCCGCCGAAGTCGTAGAGGAAGAGCTCGCCGTGCTCGAGGAGATAGAGCGAGAAACGGCTCGTGCCCCGCCGCCGCGTCGGCACGGCGAGCACGGAGAACTGCTGCGCGATGTGCTGCGCGGCTTGCATGGCTGCTATGCGCAGGCCTGCCGCTACGGCTGTCAAGCGCTTAGACCAGCGGTTTTCGGCCTCGTATGTTCGCGAGAGATATGTGTGATGACTCCAACCCGCCTTCTGCTCGCTCAGCGCGCCACAGGAGGCAAAAAATGCGAATAAGCCGCGGCCGAGTCGAGCTAGCGGCATGTAAGACACTAGAATGCCGGAGCACAAACCCACGCCATGCAGCTATTTGAGTATCGCTCAGTTCGCTAATGGTCCAAAGAGACCAATGGGACACGTACTAGGGGCCGAAAAAGGAATTTTTTTAATTCGCGGCCGAGGGCGCCCTGCGGTCTATGGCGGCCGCGCCTGTGGAATCCTGTCAATCCCTGCCAAACAGGTCTCCCTGGGGTCGCCTAGGGTCGGTACTATACACGTGCAAGCGCCTACACCGCACGCGCCGTCGCTTCAAGCATTTTTGGTCGATTTCTCTCAGCAGAGCACTCGGTTTAGCCATCTTTAGGCTAAGGTTTGCTTCCAGAGCTCCCCGAGAGCTCTAGGCTGCCGCATCGACGGCGTATGCGGTACAGGCGACTACCCACCACCAGACCTACCCCGAGAGGCCTCCAGGAGCCGATCTGCACCCGAAAAAAGTGAGCAATTTGGGCCCGATGGCGCCCCGTTCCCGTCAAAAACGCCAATTACCCGAGGGCCCCCAAGAATCGTAATAGCGGTCTCGTTGGACCCCATACTACCCCAGCGATAGTCAATTACAAGTATATGACATCTACACGCCGAGAAGGGTACTTTGCGCTGCCCACGCTCGGGACGTGAACATCTTGATCTGGACCTCGCGCAAGTCGGTCGGTCACGGAACAAATGATCGCGTTATGGTCCATGGTGATGGTACACGCGCTGATGGCCGCAGGTCTGGGTATTGTGGCCCCTTTACGCCAGATGATGGGCTCGCGAGACCGACGACCCGCGCCGAGCATCTTTGGGTCTCGGAGCAATGTAGTAGTCACTCAGCCCGGTTATCTTGCCCGTCCCACTACTAAAGCGCCTGACACGCAAATTTATTTTACAAACCACCGGTCTGGGGCCTTTCCGGTGCTCCGCGTACGCACCGTCGTCCGCGGAGAACGGGCAAGTCGGTCGATCGTGAATAGAACAACGGCGTTATGGTCCATCTGGGTGGTGGCGTCGCTGATACTCGCGGGTTTAGCTTATTTGGCCATCTTCACATAAAGGTGGGGTCGCGAAGTCGACGAATCGCGCGGCTCTAACGGGTCATCTAAAATAGCTCAGTAGCCGCTGATTTGGCCTAGTTGGACTCTACCTCCAACAAACGGAAGGAAACGAACATAAACTCGGGAGTTGTTTAGTAGAATTCTTTTCCCGCCCTCCGAGCGCGGGCCGTCGGCTCCGGTTCCGTCGATTGTGTATGAAAACTAGGCTGGAGTTGATATAATGTACTATTTGGACGGTAGATGGCGGCGTCAATCGCTGGTGTACTTTGGCAACCCGTAAGTCTCATCCGCGAATGTCGCGGGCGGTGCCTTCCGGGAGGCGCGAGGGTATGTTCCCGGGACGCTACTCTGAAATATTTGGTCTCGGCGAACGACTAGGATGTATTCTGACTTTGGGTCATTCTTTTGACGTTATCGAAGCGTATCTTTGGATTTGCTAGAATGTCGAGACGCTAGGTATTGATTGCATGCTCGCTGCGGCTCTCTAAGGACTAGGGAGTCAACAACCAACAAAAATTTACTAGGACGTATGCACCAGGCTGTGGATCGCGTGCATGCTTCGCGTGCGTCGGTCGTCGAGCGCCGCGTCGACGAGCGCCAGGAACTTCGCGGCAGCCTTGGCGTTGTCGCGCTCGTTGAGAATCAGGGCGCGGTGGACCCACGCCACGTCCTCCAAATTAGATAGCTCGGGGATGCCAGCGTCGACCATGAGCATCAATAGAATCATGAGGTGGTCTGCCTCGTCCCGAAGGACGACAAACGCCTCGACGCACAACTCTTCGAAGCGCCGGAAGCGGTAGCCCGCGCCGCGCCCGCCCAACACTGTCTCCATATGGGGCGTCAGCACAAACGAAGCCGACTCGCGCTTCACACCGAACTTGGACTTGAAATGTCCTAGAAAATGCCCGAAGTCCACGTGAAAATAACGCCCATCCGTGGCTACCATGATGTTATCGTTATGCCGGTCGCCCACACCGAGCACGCGCGTCGCGACGCTGTACCCCGCGAGTGAGCGCACGAAGTGATCCAGCACGCTATACACCCGCGAGCCTTCTTGGAGAGGATTAACTTCTTCCCTTCTCCGCGCGGTGCGCCACTTCGGCGGCGGCGGCAGCGTCGTCGGTGGCGCGAGGCCCGCGTGCCGGAAGGAGCCGGGCGGCCCGAAGCTTACAGCGGGAGCTCGCTCGCGCGCCGCCCGCGCCAACCACTTCAATAATGCATCGGATCCGTAGTAGGCCTCCTTTGCCGCAGCGAGCTTCCGCACCTGTGCGCAAATCAACCAGTGAGCGGGCGTTCGGAATTTGATTTGTGCACTGTTCCGCACCGACTTGAGCAGGGGGGCTCCATGCCGGAAGCGCTCGTCGCGCGTGATCTCGGACAAAGTGGAGGCGTTCGGCACGACCTCGATGAAGCCCTGGTGCCTAGCCGTCGCGACGCAGCCGTAAGGCGACCTGTGTGGGAATCAACCAGTGCGTCGGGTGCGCGGCCGTCCTGGCTCGGTCGAGCGGTGAGGAACCGGCATCGCCACGCCATCGAGCAGGCGTCGCGTTGATGGCGTGGAGGACGACGCGATGATTCAGCGAACGCGCCGTAAAATTTTGATTTCCACACCGAAGGCGACATGCGCAGGTCCAGGCCCCGCGCGCGCCAGAGCGCGTCCATCGACCGCAAGAGTTGCAAGGTGAGCTGGTCTTGGCGCCTGTGCGCAAATCAATCTGTGAGTCGGGCGCGCACCACACCGCCACGCCTTCGTGTTGACGTCGCGTCGATGGCGTGGAAGCCATGATTCAACAGCGACGGATGTCCCGCGACAATTTGATTTATGCACTGCCTGGCGCAGGTCGTCGCCGGTTTTGAAGATGACGACGTGCGGCGCCGCGCCGACGACCGCATTCGTAAATTCGAGCCAGAGCGGACTCTTCGCGGACCCCAGGACGCGGCACTTCTCAATATTCAAGCCGGCACAGACCATGTAGGGCGAGAGCGGCAGCTGGAACGTCGGCGCGAGGACGACTTCGGAAAGCAACACCCGCAATTTATCATCGCGGTTCGACTTGACGGAGGCTAGTTTGGCCGAGATCGCCGCGAGGCGCTTCACCAGCAAGACCTGGTGCCCGAGCTTCGCGCGGTACGCGCCGCAGCTCCGAGCATAGACGTCGTGCAGGACGCGGCACGCGTGGGTTTCTTTATCGATCTCCGCCGCGAGGGCCCAGTACAAGGCGTGGCCGCAGACGAGCGGGCTCCGCAACGCCCTCCTCAATAAGAAGCGGTTCAGGGCCGTGTCGTGGCACCGGTCGGCCTTGACGACCTGGACCAATTGCAGCGTCACGGCCGCAAGGTCCGCGTCACCTAAAGGCTCGAGGCAGCGCACCGCGAAGGCGCGGACCTTCGCGTCCGGGAAGCGCTTACTCAAGAGCTGCAGCGCGTGCAGGGGCGGCAGCGGTGCCCACTTTCCTAGCAAACGGTAAGCTTCGCGGACCTGACTCTTCACGCTCCAGTCGACGGCGAGCAAGACCTTGGGCAGCGCGCGTGGTTCACCTACGAGCGCCTCGCGCGCGGCCCAGAGGAGCCGCTTCTCTTCCTTTGAAGGCCGGTGGAGCACGTGCGCGGCGATGAGTTTTTCGAGCCCGGCGGCGGGTGGTGGTGGTGGTGGCGGCGGGTCGTCGGCGTGTACGCTATCGCGGCGCGCGGTCCGGGAAGAAGCCAACGGCGCGGCGAGGGCCTCGGCGAAGATGGTCGCGGCCGGCACCCAGCTCGGCGGGATGGATCCGCCCCGCAGCTCCAAGATCGCGAGGAGCCGGCCTCGGCTCGTGACGGGCGCCGCGAGCGCGGAATCCGCGACGACGATTCGATGCGCCTCGCCGGCGACGGGGTCGCGGACCGCCACGGTCCCAGGAAAGACGCGCTCCGCGAGGCCGATGATACGATCGACGGCTTCCTCCGCGGACAGCTCCGGCGTCAGCTCCGCGAGCAGTAAAAGACGCAGCTCCGCGGCTTTGACGGGAGACAGCGCGTCACCATTAAGCGCGGACGAGAAATCCCCGTCACCGCTCGTTTCCGACAATAGCGCCGCGTAGTCCGCCGCGAAGGCCCCAAGGCGGCCCGCGCCCTCGTCCCGGGCGTCGTGCTCATAAGCATTAAACGAACGGACCCACGACGACCGGCGCCGCGTCCGCTTCGAAGGAGACAGGTCCTCGCTTCCCCGGGCGAGCACGGCGTCCTCGAAGGCCTCCGCGTCGAGCACGAGGCAGGCGCAGCCCTCCGCGTCGGCGACGCAGGTCGAGGCTCGCGGCTCCCGCAGGACCAGGGCGCGCTCACCCACGTAGTCGCCAGCAGATAATACAGCTACCTGCCTCCCATCAACGAAGACGCGCACGCGGCCCGACGCGAGGACGAAGAACGCGTCGCTCCCGATCGCGGCGCCCTGCTCTATTAAAATCTCGTGCGCCGCGTAGGCCCGCCGCCGCAACGCGGCCCGGATTCTCCTTAGTTGATTCTCGCCGAACCCTTGAAAAGCCGGAATGGACCGTAAGAACGTCGTCGTCGAGGCGTCGACGGCCCCGTCAGTTCCGAGCCTCTCCACGCGCGCATTCCTCATCGCGCGCACATTCTCGGCGCGCTCGCGCGGCGGCGGCGCCGGGGTGCTAGGCTGCCACATTTGCTCGGACCATCAGAGCGATGGGGCAGCCGTCGCGCGCATCATTTTGCACGCGAAAGGAAGGCGCAGCGTCAGCCTGGCATCTCTTTGCCGTTCCTCGTCCGCAGCAAGGCTCACCAGGCTTGCTTTTGCTAGTGCCTTACGGGCCGCTAGCAGGCTTTCCTAAACGCAAGAGCCCTCGACGCCGTCGCCGCCGCGTATGTGACGCAATGGAGGAGTTGGTCAATCTTAGACGACGCCTACCGCGCCGCCGCCGCCGCGGCCGCCCGCTGCCGGTGGCCCGCCGTCAACTCCCGCCGGATGTCGTGCGTGATCGTGTGGTGGCGGTGCGTTTTGAGCAATTTCAGGATCCGGCCCGAGAGGTCGTCCGACAGGTCGCCCCTATATCTCTGCACGAACACTAGTAGAGATTGGTGCCACAACACCGGCCGCTCGGACGAGTCGTCGGCGTGCGCCAGGAACGCCTTCGCGACCTGTGTGGTAATCAACCAGTGAGTTAGGTCCACGCCATCGAGCAGATGCAGCTACGGAGACAACATCGCGTCGATGGCGTGGGGCGCCCGAAATTTGGTTTCCACACAGCGCGCGACGGCGCTCACGACGCGCACGGGCAGCGCGTACTTCTTATTCAATAACACTATCAGAAACACCGACTGCGCGCCCGAGTAGGGCAGCTCCGCCAATTTCATTATGACCACGGCCGCGTGCGCCTGGGGGACACTGGCCTTGGCCAGTACCGACCCAAACACCAACGCCTCCCTTAAAGTGCAGTCGCCACTCTTCACTAAAGGTAGCAAAACCCCTTTGAACCAGGGCGCCGGTTTGAACAACGCGCGGTGCAGCGCCTGATACAAGTGGTAGTTGAGACGACGGTGCTCTCGGATGTCGTCCCGACACCTTTCCAGCAACACGTCCCCGTAGAAGGTACGAGCCCGTTTCGGGTCTAAATTCGAAGCGAAGACCCGAGTCGCGGCGTGCACGCAGTGCGGGCTCCATTCATCTGGACGGGTCATCCAGAGGATCTCCTCCCACCTCTCTAAGGCCGGGATGACCTTGAAGGCCTTCGGTAATTTGCCACACCTATATCGCCGCAGCAAGGGCACCATGCCGGTATAAGCTTCTACTACTTTGTCTGGCAATTGATCATCATCGTCCTCATCGTCGTCGCCGTGCTGCGCGGCCTCCTTCTCGGCGATCTTCTCCATGATCAGGTCCGCCAGCGTTCGCGTCCGCCCGCCCGGGTTCAGGAAGGAGTCTACTAATGCACTTTGTGAGGGCGACAGCGCCTCCGCGCCGAAATCTAGACCATCTATATCCTCGCCGTCGTCGTCTAGTCCTAAATCGTCTTCACTTTCGTCGTCACTGGACGAGTCGTCTCTCATGATTTGCACCTCTCTTTGTAATTCATCCGAGGCCTGGGCCCGCGCCATGGTCTCGATCTTTTTTTGTTGTTCAGGGTCGAGCTCGTCGTCTGAGTCCGCTCGACTTCGTTGCTTCGGCGCGCGCGGCGGCTTCGGCTGCACGATTCCTGATGATTGTGCTAGGTCCTCCCTCAAAACGACCTCGAGGTTGTCCGTCTTCCGGCGCTTGTCGCCCTTGTGTTTGAGCTTGTCGGCCCGCTTTTGCTTGGGCATGGCTGCGATGCGCTGCGCTCGTTCACGGCACGCGTTTGTAACTCTACGAGTATTTATGCGTTTTGCACTGCTCTGCACAGCAACGCGTTGTTCACGCCAGGAGAGCCTTTTTCAACCGAGCTTGCTTGCAGGGCGCGTGCCGGGATGTCCGGCGGTGCTATGCCGCAACGTGCGCTGTCCAGTGATAAGTTTGCGTCGCGTACGAGGCTCGCAATGGCAATTTATCACTGAATGCTGCTCTTTGGCGTCCGGACAACGCTGGCGCCACGAGACGCCGTAGAGCACCGATTAGAACGCGTCGCCGGTAGAAATCCGGCCGTGACTACCGAGCTAGCGGCTGTAAGACACTAGCAAGTCCAGGTTCGGCTTGATTGCCAAAATTACAGCGTCTGGAGCCGCAGCGATTGCGCGGGGAACGTTTCTCGTCCTTACGGCTTCCAGCGCACCAGCTGTCCGGCCGGCTCGAGCGCTGCGCGCCCACGCGTCGCAGGGACCAATCCCACTGCAAGAGTCATCTTGGGTCAGCGCCGCGCCAGCCGCCGCGGCGTCGCCGCCAGCCCTACCAGCGTAGCAGCGCACGACTGCGCACACACGCAAACGAACCAGAGCGACACAATGGACCGCCAGTACCCCCCGCCCCTGCCCGACGCCGACGACGAGGACCTCAGCGAGACCGGCTCGACGGCGACGGGCAAGCGCTCGCGCTCCGAGACGCTCGAGGCGCGCCTCGACCGCGGCGTGAAGAGGTTACGGGTCTCGTCGATGGAGGAGGAGTCGCCCTCGTCGCCGTCGCCGTCGCCTTCCATGGAGACGCGCGCGCTCACGCCGCGACGATCAATAGGACCGGACGACGACGAGGCCGACCCCGACTTCCGGCAGATCAACTCGGTGCTGCGCAATTTGCACCTGGAGCGCATCCAGCGGCGCGGGCCGCCGCCGCCACCCCCAGAAACGCCGAAGGAGCCACCACCGCCGCCGCGGAAGGCGCCGCGGGGGCGCCTCTCGACGGACCCTTCGCCGCGCAACCTCGACTCGTGACCCGATATTTGTATGCCGTGTGCCTAACTTTATGACCTTAATTTATTTATTTATTTATTTATTTATGATCTGTCTTAGCGGGTCGGACCCCTCGACTTCGTCCCCCAAGTTCGACGGTATGGCGCCGGCCATTTTCTTTTTTCGGAGGTGCCATCCTCGGCTCGGGAGCTCAGGCTGTCGAGTAGACAACTGGCACGACCCCTCCGCTCCGAGAAATGGAGTAAACCCGAATTTACGTCGCAACCTAGATGCGTCAAAGTACGCGTCAGCGGCTCGAGAGGCGTGGTCTAAACGCAACAGGACTGGGGCACCGCGTGGCTAACCTCATGATACTGTCTTAAGCGGGTCCCTCTTCTCATTCTTCGCCGCCGCCGCCAGCTTCTTCCGGAAGTGGTCCGTCACCTTGAGCTCGGCCTCGTGGACCGCGTGCTGCTTCGCAACCACCGCAGCCCGGAGCTGCGTTTTCAGCTTCTCGACTTGTTGAAGGAGCTTCTTGTTCTCGAGGGCCAGTTTTTTGTTTTCCTCGTCTCGCGCCTTCTCAACGTCAACGCGCTCGGCCTCGGCCTTTCGCAGCGCCGCGGCGACGGCCTTGCGCACCAGCGCCTTCGCGTGGGCCACGTCCACTTTAAGCGCGGCCTCGCGCGCGTAGGCCTCCTCCAGCTCGAGCACGGCCGCGTCTCGACTTCGCAACGCGTCGAGGGTGCCCCTGCACGGCGCGGCGCGAAATCTCGCTTGTAACGCCGTCAAAGCGACCTTGTCCATTTGCTCGTCGACGTCGGCGTCGCTGGCGTCTTCATTGTCATCCGGTGGCGGCGGCGGCGGTTTGACTACAGCCTTGCGTTGTATCCGAGGCGGCGCCGTCGCCGGGCGCGGCATTGAGACGCGCTTCTTCCTCTTTTTGACGGGAGACGGCGGCGGCAGCCGCTCGGGCTCCCGCCCGCAAAAGGCGCACAACCTAAAAAACCGCAGCGACTTTTTATCCCCGGTCGCTTCTAGGATGCAATCGACCTCGCCCGGCCCCACATATCCTAAACCAGCCTGTCTCAACTTAGATTGGAGGTGTTCTCGTTGTATGGACCCGTTGGGGTTTTGTGGTAGCATTCGAGCCCACAGCTTGGCCATTTTGCCCTGGAAGTGCCTATCAACAACGTCGCAGATCAGCTCCTTGAGCTTGTCTATTGGTCTCGTAGGATAGAGCCACGCCCCGAACTCCGACCTACTGACCACACCATCACAGTTGCGATCTAATCTTTCTTGAAATAAAGTGCCCTGCCTTCTAGAACAATTCGATACCTGCCGCGCCCAGACGCCCAACACGTGCGTCGGTAATGAGTGCGGGCTGTCTCCAACAAAGGGTCTCTCGGTCAACCGCGCCACACTCCGGAAGGCCTGGGCCACCGGCGCCAAGGTATCAGAGGGATCGAACGTCTTCCGAGCCGCCTCTCTTAACGCTTCCAACACCACAGCGAACTCGTGCTCCCCGGCCTCCGGCGCGTCATCTAAAACGAAGCGCTCGACCTCCTCCCTTTCAACAGAACCGGACGCGTCCGCGTCGACGGCCCGCCACAACGCCGCGACGTGCCTCTTCGCGAGTTTGTAGAGAGACTTCCTCGACACGACCAGCGAGACCAGAGGACCGGTCTGTAGAGCGAACTGTGCACGCTTCGTTAATGCATCCAGAGGATTGTTCTCCACAAATTCCGAATCTAAAGTCGCGGCCATCTCGTTCACCGACTGGCCACAGATACTTTTTATGATGTCACCAGCTCTCAACCCCTCCACTCGACTACTCTTCAGCGACAGCGTCCGTAACCCTTCGCACGACTCGAGGAGCTCGCATCCCAAGCCTTCCCACGTCCTCTCGTCAGCCTCGACCGAGACCATGACGTCCGTCTCGCCCACGCTCAATTGATCCGCATCGACGACGTCGACGATCGACGCGATTAACGCCCCAAACTCGCTCTCATCTACAACACCCGATTGATCTGTGTCGACCTTCCGGAATTCATCTGCCAGCGCCTCCTGGGCCTTGCCGTAGTCGTCCGCCGACCCAATGCCTCCTGTGAGTCCACACCGTTCCAGCAGCGCCGCCCGCAATTGCTGCGCCGCGGCCTGGAACAATGAGGTAGAATCTTCCTCGCCACCCGTAACTGCTTCTTCGTCCACGAAGTCGCTCCGCCCCTGCGACAGCCACGTCGTGAACTCGTTTACATCGACGCAGCCGCTGCCGTCCGCGTCTAGCTGCGTGAGGACGACGTCGAGCTCTGTTCTCGTAAAAGCCCGCTCGAAGAATTTCTTCGCACATAAAACCTTCTCGAGGTCCCTTCTCGAGGCCAATCCCCGGCCCCTCCGGTCCAGGGCGTCGAAGCACACCTTTGGTTGGGATTGGTGACTCGCGACGCACCAGCGCTGCAATTGCTCCCTCAACTCCTCGTGTTTCCTCGGCACGACGAGCCAAGCCAGGGCGTCCTTCTCATCGATGATGCCATCTCTATTGATATCGAGGCGCTCCGCGAGAATCAAAGCGCCCAGGCTCGACATGGGGAGCTCTTCGAGATCTAGTAAGCAAGCGCTCGCGTCCGTCCTCGTGACTTCGTCGCCGCAGCCCTTGGCCTGGAACCACGCTATGACGGCCTGGCCGTCGTCACATTTCTCGGCGAAGAACGCCCTGGCGCGCTGGACGAGAGGCTCGACGTCGCGCGCCTCCTTCACCAATACCAACTCGGCTAATTCATCAAAGGTCACGCCCCGCTCCTGCGGCTGGCCCCGCAATACTCTTAGGGAAGCGGCCGCCTCTATAATAGGTGCGATGCGCGCCTTGGCCGCGAGCGTCGAATCCAAAGTGACGCCCACGGCGCCGCACCAGATTTCCAAAGCCTCCGCGTCGGCGCGGCCGTTGTTGTCGCAGTAGGCGAAGGCCCTTTCACATCTTTCCCTCAAGGTCCTCAAATCCTCCTGCCGCGCGTCCAAGTCCGCGCGGACGACGCGGCAGGCGTTCTCTACCGTGTGGGCGGTGCTGGCCATGACGCTGATGTCTTCGGGCTGCCTTCGTGACGACGATAGGCGCCTGGCCGCGACGAGCCCTTGAGGCACGGAGACCGACTTCTTGTGTGGGAGGGCAGCCGCTACAGGCTGCCGGAGGCTGCCCAACGTTTGCCGGTTTCCTAGAGTGTCGACGCTAGCACATGCACAGCGGCGTGGGCAGTCCACAATCCGGCTGGGGCCCAGGCGTGGCGCACATTACGCTGCAAACGTCCTCCCGGCTGCCCGATCTATGCGCCGCAGCATGGCGAGGTGAGTGACCACACTCCCCCACCTGTTTGGGCTTGTTTGGCAGCCCCACGCCGACACGCCGTCGGCGCGACCTCCGTGACGCCTGCTCGACGGCGGCGAACCAAGATGCAGGCCGAGGACCGCGACGCCTACGTCGCCGACGACGCGGCGATCGCCGCGGCGCTCCGCGACGACGAGGCGATCCTGGACGTATACCAAGAGGCGGGCGGCGCGGACGTCTGGCGGCGGCCGCCCACCGCGGACCGGCCGCCTTCATCAGATCACTTGACTGGCGTCCGGAGCCCCGCGCCGGGTCCGGACGACGCCGCGCCCTCGAGGCCGCAGAGCCCCGAGCCGGAGCCGATCGCGCCGACGCGGAGGCGCCCCAGCACCGCGGAGGCGCCCGCGCCCTCGATACCCGGCGACGCCAAGTGGGTCAAATCTTGTAGACCGCACACGACCAAGCGGACGGCCGAGAAGTGGCGACTCTACAACGAAGCTTTGCTATGCCTCGCGCAGAACGATTATGAGGGCGCGGCAGCATTACTCGAGCCGCTCACGGACCAGTACGATCGCAAGGCGCCCTTCCGCGAGGACCCCGACGCGCTATTTCGCATGGCCCAGGTCTCGCTCTGTCGCATGCGGCGCGACGAGGCGCAAAACTGGCCGGCGGCGGCGTGGCTGGACGAAGAACGACCGCCAAGTATGAGGGAAAGACTGAGTTCCGTGAGGACGAAGATGCGGACCTTCGGGAGCTTCGGTTCCAGGAAGGACGAATCCTTGGACGAACGCCCCGTGTCATTGGGAGACGCGCCGCGGAAGAAAAGACCAAGCTTCGCGTCGGCCGCGAAGGCCCTGTCGCGGCTTGGATTGGGACGGGCGCCGGCGCCGGCGCCCGCGGCTTTTGTGGATCCGATGGTTGCAGTCGCTCAGAAGGAGCTCGCTGCCGCCATCGCGGCGCCGGGGACCCAATACAGAAAAAGACGGAAGGCCCGCGCGTTGCAGATTATTCACTCATATTTGGATCGCGCTTTACAAGCCATCGAGAAGCATTCTGTAAAAAACGATTTTGACGACTGCTGGCGGCGCATCCAACTGGAACGCATGAATTTGTATTTAGAGCACGGCGACGAAAAACAAGCGTATGAGATCGCAAAGCAGCGTGATTTAGTTCTGTTCGAGCCCGAGGCCGCGCTCTATCTAGCTGAAAGATACCTGGAGGAAGGGAGGGATGACGAGGCGTCGGCATTGACGCGAAGAGCTGTCAGGTGGCACGCGCACGTCCAGCGGATCCAAGGTTTTGTGAATGAGACGCCGCCCGAAGTGTCGCACGACCTCGACTGGGCCTTCGGCGACGTCGGGGAAAGGAACCCCTTCTTCGCTTCTGATGAAGTAGATCCCGTGGAGGAGGAGGCGGCTCCTACGAAAAAGTCGGTCTGGGCCTCTCCGGACATCGCGCGCCCGGCGGCGGCGCCGACGGTCTGGCGGCCCGGGAGGACCGAGCTCGACGCGGACGTGGCCCGCGAAGACGGCGCTCTTGCGGCCATCACCTTCGGGCGCCGAGAACTGGAGATTCCTGACAAAAAACCGCCGCGGGGCGGCGTCCTCCACTTCCCGGGCTCGGACACGCTGGATGACAGTAGTTTCAGAAACCCACCCCGCGGCGCGCCGCCGGAGGGGGATAATATCAAGTAGTCTGTACTCCATGCCATAGCGCTGTGATGTGGGCCATTGCGTGTCCTCCGTCCTCGATCTATGGAGTAGTTGTTACTCAGGCTCGTCCTCAGGGGCGGCGGCGACCGAGGAGACCTCCCTCCGGACGATCGGCGCCCAGTTCTCATACAACGTCCGCCGGATCGCCGCGCGCTGGTCCGGGCCGTAGCGCCACTTGTCGAGGAACGCGGCCCAGTCCTCGTCCACGTGAGACGGCGCCGCGTCCGACGACAGCCCGAGAATCTCGCCCAGCTCCCCCAAGTCGTCGTCGCGCGGCGCCGCGGCCTCGTACAACGCGCGCAGCGCCTCGGCCAGACCCGCCATCATGTCTCTTTCCAAAAGCGCGGTACACAAAGCCGCCGATCGTAACGACGTCGCCCGCGACGCCGCGGCCAGGTCCCGATGCCCGTCGCGCTCGTGCGCCACCGCCGTCGCCGCGCTCATGGCCACGTTCATCACACATAACCGCAAGTTCGGCTCGGGCCGCGCGGCGATGGGTTCTAACAAAGCATCATCGATCGGTGGCACGAACAGTTGCGCGAGGTCGTCGTCCGTGAGCAGGGACACGAACCAGCCGCGCGCGCCCGACGTCGTCGATACTAAATCCTGGAGCAGCTCCCTTGCCTCATTATCCAACGTTTTCTTATCCCTCAATTGCTCGGCGAGTTCTCTTCCAATATCTTGGGCCGCCTCGAAGGACGCGCCGCGCTTCGCCCGGCGGCGCTGGGCTGCCGGGCTTAGTTTTTTCTTCGCGTGGCGGCCGCGCTGCTGGGCCGCGTGGTCCTCGAGCTTCGCGCGGATGCGGGCTTCTTCTTCTAGGTCCGGGCTGTTCGTGCTTTGGCGGCGCGTCAATGGTGGAGACGGTCGGAGCGCTTCGACGACGCAGAGCGCCAGCACGGCTAGAGAGCGCCGCATGGCTTTGTTCCTTTTGTCCAGCCGCGCGCGTCCTTTCCGCGCGCGTGCTGCAGCCCAAAGATCCAAGAGCTTTTTGTTGGCTGTTAGGCGACGGCCTCACGACGAAGGCGGAGCACAGCGCGCAGAGATCGAGAAAACAAGCACAGAACAAAGTTAGCCGTCGCGACGAGCCTCAACGCGCTTGGATGCGCCAAAAAAAGGCGTGCATCGAGATGCCTAGTATGTCACGCTAGCCTGAAAAAATAATCCAACTCGAATCCGTTGCTGGCCGACAGAGCGGGAGTCGTTGGCTGCCCCAACTTGAGTAGAACCTGGGCCAGGCCCCATGGACTAAGCACGCTGCCGCATCCATGCTTGACTGCCAGTGTAGGTAGTGCCATGGCCAAGGAGCTGCGCCTCGTCATCGACGTCGCCCTGTGCCTGCGCGCGTGGAAGAAGGTGGCGCGGCGCCAGCGGCAGAAGCGCGAGGAGGCAGCCCTTTCAGCGCCGCCGCCGCTGGCTGAGCCGCAATCACCTCCGCCGCCTACCGACGCGCCACCGCCCTCGCAATCGCCGCCGCCTCCCGTCGAGCCGCCGCCGCCGACGCCGCCGGCCGAGACGGCCGCGCCAGATGCGCTGCAGGCGGTGCCAGAACCGCCGCCTCCACCGACCGGGACGCCGGAGGACGCGACGAACAAGCCGCGGCCACCGCCAAAGCCCCTGCGAGACAAGAGCGCGCAGCTCCCGAACGCGACGCTGCGGGGCCCCGTCGGCCAGGGCGGCACGACGAGGCTCTGGGAGCTGCTGCGCCCGCCGACGCAGTGTTTGGTACTGGAATTCCACGCGCTGGACGGCCCGCGGCGGATCCCGCCGCTCGTCGCCGTCGACGCGTGATCGCGGGTCAAGGCGGGCGAGACGCTCGACGAGCTCGACGCGCTCGCCGCGATGTTGGAGGATGCGAGCGTGTCGCAAGCGTACGGCTTCGCCGAGAAGGCCATAAGGTGCGCGGCCTGCTGCGTCGACCCGTCGCCGGCCCGGGCCGTGGCGGCGGCGAAGCGCTGGCCCCACCTCGAGCACTATTGGTTGGATGAAAGGGCGATCCGCGACCTGGGCGTGGGCCGCGTGCCGTCGCGCCTCGTCGTCGACGGCGAGGCCCGCGTCCGCCGCCGCTGGGACGGCACGCACGGGAGGGTACTGCAGGGGCGCCACGGCGCGTCCCTCGGAAACGGGAGCCACACCCTCGTCCTCGAGCTCGCCGACGTCGTGCACTCGTGACGGCGCGCGGGGGGGTTCGCCCCCTCGCGCGCCCGACAACGCGCGACGTATGTACTGGTGAGTAACAAACAAATAAATTAGTGGTAGTCCCCCGCGTTCGCCGCAACAAAACACACGGCCTCGCAGATCCGCGCGACGTCCCGCGCGGTGCAGGCGAAGGGCGGCATCGTGTAGAGCCGCGTCCCGAAGGGCCGGAGCCAGACGCCCAGCGCGGGGCACGCGGCCGCGACCTTCGCCGCGTCCAAGGGTGCTTTCATTTCCACGACGCCGATGGCTCCTTTCACGCGCACGTCAGCCACCGTATCAAGCCCAACGCAGGGGTTCAGCCCCGCGCACAATTGCCCCTCGATGGCGCGCACGCGGCGCCGCCACCAGCCGCCCTTTAAGAGCTTCGACACTGACGCCAGCGCAACAGCACACGCGAGGGGGTTGCCCATGAACGTGGGACCGTGCATGAGCGGTAATGCATCATCTTGGGAGCCGGGCGGCGCCGCGCAGACGTGGGATGCCACCTTTTCCGTCGCGAGCGTCGCGCCCATGGTCACGTAGCCGCCCGTCAAGGCTTTGCCGACGCACAAAATGTCCGGCGCGATGCGGGCCTCGTCGCAGGCGAACCAGTGGCCCGTCCGCCCAAACCCCGTCGCGATCTCGTCGCAGATGAGTAGGACGTCGTGGTCGTCGCACAATTGACGTGCTTGTTGTAAATAACCGGGATCATAAAAGTGCATGCCGCCGGCACCTTGCACGAGCGGCTCCAGTATTAAGGCCGCGACGTCATCTCTTGCCAGTACTTCCGCGAGACTTTCAATCGCTTTCGTAAAGTCCGCGCCGCGGCTCGGCGGCCGCGCCACGAAATGATGACGCGGGATCGTCGCAAAGGCCTCGTGGCGCCCCGTCGCCGGGTCGCTCACGCTCATGGCGCCCAGCGTGTCGCCGTGGTAGCCGCCCCTTAACGCCACAAATCTACATTTCTCCGGCCGCCCGCGTCCCCTCCAATACTGCGCGGCCATCTTCAGTGCAACTTCTACCGCTACAGATCCGGAATCCGCCAGGAACACACGATCCAAACCAGGCGGCGTGCACCTCACCAGCAGCTCGCCGAGCGCGACGGCCGGCCTGCGCGAATCGCGGTCTCGACACGAATGAATTGGCTCAAAATCGAAAAAGAAACCACCCACGTCATCGTGAGATGGACACGAGTCGCGTCGATGGCGTGAAGGCACCGCAACACTTCAAAACGCCGAGATCAACCGGTGAGTGAGCCCCCCGAACATCACGTGCGCCACGCTTGAGAGCTGGTCCGCGACGGCGCGGTCGAGCTCGGGGACCCTATAACCGTGCACGGCGGCCCACCAGCTCGACATGCCGTCTATTAATTGAGTCCCGTCCTCGAGCTCGAGGCGGACGCCCTCTGCTGAACGCACGGGCAGGCACGGCGCGCCGGGCGTCGCGGCGTAGGGGTGCCAGAGCTTGGCTCGGTCGGCCTCAATGTGTTGTGGTGTTGGGCGCCGTAAGGCTCTTTCTACCACGTCTGTTTTTAGTGCGGCGCGGCGTTTTGATAGCGCAGTCGCATTTTGCAGGCGCGTTTGCTTGCCGAATGGCTGAGGTGCGCGGCGGCCGCAGCGGAGGCGCCACTCGGCCACCGCGCGTCTTGCGTTCGTGCCGGCGCGGCGGCGCATGGCTGTTTTTTGGCAGGTCGTCTACTTTGAGATGTTGGGGCACGAGTGATGAAGCAATTACTCGCGCGACGGCCTAGCTGGGCTCTCGGACAGCTGCTTTCACGTGACAGCTGTATCCCTATGGCCCTTGTATTGCAGATCTGCGCCGGAAAGGAGGTTGCCTGCCCTCGTGCTAGTGTCTTACATGCCGCTAGCTTCCGCTCGCGCGCGCGAAGCCCAAGACGCTCGTCTGCAGCTTGCTGGGCAATTCACGTGAGATTCGACCGATGCGTTTAGCTCGCTGAACAGTTTTTGGAAATTGTGATCGATTTCAGGAGAGCTTGGATCATGCGCTTCCGCAAGCTCATCAGCGGCACCTGCAGAGTCGACGCGGGCGAATGGCTCGACACGGACGAGGACAGCGCTTGGTATGCCGGTCTGCGGGAGGCGGTCCGACGCTGCCGCGACGACGACGACACGCGCCACGTCGCCTACGAGGACTTCGACGCCGCCGGGCGGGCGCTCGTGGACAATGGCGTCGCCCGCATTCTGACAGCGATGAAGGACAGCGCGTTCGTGCCGCGGTGGTGCCGTCTGGAGCGGCACAAGGCCTTTGTCATATCTTATGATGCCGCTCACGAGTGCTCGTCGCACGCCGAGCATGTTGACCCAGGCAGTGATGTCACGATCAATTGCCCGCTCACGCCGGATGACGAGTATGAGGGCGGAGAATTGATGGTCCGGGTGTTTCCGAGTGCGCCGCAATTGAGAAAGGAGGCAGATAAAGAAGACGCCCTCCGCTACCTCGACCAGGTCAAGGCCGAGTCCCGCGACGAGCCCGAGATCTATAATGAGTTCCTGCGTATCATGAAGTCCTATAAGACCGCGCAGATCGGCACGCCCAAAGTTATTAGAAGCGTCTCCGCGCTCCTCGCGGGCTACCCGCAACTCCTCTACGGCTTCACGTTCATAATAAATCGATACGCGATCGAGGTTCCGGCCTTGAAGGTGACGCCGCGCCGCGGCGCCCTAGTGATCCACGGCGGCGGAGTCCAGCACGGCGCCAGAGAGTTGACGCGCGGCGCGCGGTCCGCACTCATAATTTGGACGAAGCGGGCGTGCGCGTTTGAGAACTTTAGGCGCGTTCCGGACGACGTCCAGCGCAAGCACCTGTTGCCGTATTGGACGTGGCGCGATCAAGTGGCCTTCGCGACGGCGACGACACGGTGTAGGCGGCTCGTGGCGCCGCTCTGGGCGGCGCGGCGCGTTCACATGGATCGGGCCCTGGACATGGAGCGTCTTGGGGGTGTTCTCGCGCAGGAGAAAATTGACACGATACGGAGCATCATCACACACTCCGCGCCGCCCGGTCGCGACGCCATCGCGGGGACCATCTCAACCCTGGTCGCGGTGTCGGAAGTCGCTCTTTCTTCCGTGACACCGGCGTGGCGAAAGACCGCAAAGCAGCACGAGTTCGTCCTCGTGGCGCTCGACAGCCTGCTTCACGATGTCGTTGTTATGCGATATCGCGACCTGCCCTGGAACCTGTGGTTCGACAAGGATCTTGTGAAGAGTGAGTAAAAATTATAGCATTACTACAGCGAGGCGGCGCCGGCCGACGCCTCGCCGGCGCTCCGCGGCGACGGGTTCGTGAACGTCTCGGGGACCTCCTCGCCCACAGCAGGAGACATGGACAACCGTCCGCCGTCGACTTCCGCCGCGCCGTGCGCGCGCAGGAACTCCGCGACGTCGGCGTTGCCGTGGGCGACGGCGTACCTCAGCGCCGTGACGCCGTTGTTGTCCTGCTCGTCGACGTCCGCGCCCGCCTGCAACAGGCGCGCCGCAATTTTGGTGTCGCGCGTCGCGCAGGCGGCCCAGAAGGGGCCGCGGCCGTCGCGGTCCGCGTTCCTCGGTGACGCGCCGGCCTCGAGCAGTTTCGCGACGGCCGCGTCCTTGCCGCCGACGGCCGCGGCGTAGACGGCGCTCCGCCCGAAGCTGTCGCGCGCGTCGCGGTCCGCGCCGGCCTTTAGGAGCGTCCCGACGGATTTCGTGGCGCCCGTCTCCGCGGCGAGGAGCAGCGCCGTGTACTCATTTTCATCCCGCGCGTCGACGTCGATGCCGCGCTTCAAGAGTTTCGCGATTTGGTGGGTGTTGTCCGTTTCCACCGCGGTGAAGAGGCTTTCACGGTCCGTCGACCTGTGCGCAAATCAATCAGTGCTCAAGTCGGGTGCTCATGCGGCCGTCGTGCTGACTCCGTCGAGCGCACGTGAGGAACAGAACAGGCACCGCACGCTATCGAGCAGGCTTCACGTCGATGGCGTGGATGTCTACGCGACGATTCAGCACGAAGGCGCCGTGAAATTTTGATTTATGCACACAGGCGTCGACGAGTCGTCGCTCGGCGCTTTCTTGACGGCGCTTTTTGAGGAGCAGGCGCCCATGGTTCAATGCGACGACTCGGCTGATGTCAAACCGCGCGCGGGATGCCACGCACGGCGCCGCGGCACGCGAACCGTTTTGTACTCAAATTTTGTAATTTAGCAACCTTGGTTCCAAGCGGGTAGAGATCTGCGGCTCCGCCGCGAAGCGCTTTAGATGCGATAATAAAATAACCTCCAGCTTCTCTGTGAGCACTCACGCGCCGTAAGCACACCCAGGGAAAAATTGATGCTTGCTAGTAAGTCTATGAACTAGCTCCAAGCTCTCTTTTAAGTCACGTTTGTCCTCTCCGCAGCAGTGAAAAAAGGCATTCTTTCTGCACGAGAATTACACGAGAACTACTTTCGCAGCCCAGCGTTCCTTGTCTGGGAAAAGAAAGGGCGGACAGCAAAGAGCAAGGCTCCCTGCATACAGGAGCCATGGCAAGCCAAATGCCGAGGAGCCTCGCCGCGCACAACACGCCGGGTCCATTCTGGGGCGGCGCGCCCGCGTCCGCGCCGGCGCCGGCGCCCACGCCCACGCCGCCGCCACCGCCTGCGCCGAAGACCCAACAACCGCTGCGCCTCGACCCCTCATTAAAGCGCCTCCACGACGAACTCGTGGCCCAGAAGGCCGACCCCTCCATCCTCAAAGATTGGACGACAGAAAAGCGCAAGGACGGCCCGAATAGAGGTGATAGGGTATACTACGTCGATCCGACCGGCAAAGCGCATCGAAGCGCCCCCGCGGCCCGGAGAGCCATCCTCCAGACCGGGCCCGTGACGCCGCCGAAGAAGCGCAAGACCCAGGATAAAGATAGGTCGCAGCTCGTCAAGTGGAAGCTCTCCGGGTGCACGGTGGCCGTCACTCCTGCTCCCCCGCGAACGGAAGCCAATGAAGCAGAATTAGCATTGGAAGGTAAAGTGTTTGAGGACGAAGGCATCCGGTGGCGCGTCGACGAGGTCTACTTCGACGAAGACGTCAAAGCTCTTTGCGCGTCGTACTATGATTTCGACGCTCGAGGCTTCGTGCCACCGGACGACGAGGACGCGTCCGAAGTCACGCCCTTGGAGGAGTTGCGTACGTTCGCGGCCTGGGTCTCGGACCCACGAGTCCTGACGGGGTCGGAGTTACAATCAGCAATAAAGAGGGAGGACGACCGGTTGGACGCGCGACGAGCGGCGCGCGTGGCCTGGGACTGCATCGACGCCCTGGCGGCGCGACGGTTGAGGAGGCAGCCTTGCATGAAGGAGCTGCCCGTCTGTGCTATTGGAGACACTCAACGCTGCGGAGAACTCATGGAGCGCCACGGCGTCGTCGTCTTCCGCAACGTATTATCAAAAGATGAAATAAAGACGTCCGAAGCTAAGTTCTGGGACTGGGCCGAGACGGCGTCGCCGGGCCTGAAACGAAGTGACCCGAAGACGCACGCCGACCTCGGTAAGATGGGCTGGGGCGACACCGGGATTGTGGCCAAGCAGGGCATCGCCCAGTCGCCATTCATGTGGGGGGTTAGGTGCGCGCAAGGTGTACGGAAGGCCTGGGCCACCGTGTTAGATTCAAATGAATTGAGCGTGTCCTTCGACGGGGCCGGCGCGTGGCTCAACCCGCACATTCATGGCGAGGGCGTCGCGACGCGCGGCAAGTGGTACCACATCGACCAGTTCTACGGGAAGACGCCCCATCGTAAAGGTTTTCAGGGTCTCGTGACGTTGTACGAAGCTGATCATGACACGGGCTCCTTCGTCTGCCTGCCCGGCTCGCACCGCGACTACGAGCGGAACTGTCGAGGAAGGAACCCGCTGGGGAATTTCGTCAGGATGAGTGGCAAGAAGGACGCGGACTACTGCGCCTACCGCGCCGTGCAGGTCGCGCCCCTGTCCGCGGGAGATTTAGTGGTCTGGGATTCAAGGGTCGTGCACTGCTCGGCGGGCTTCGACGCGAAGTCGGACCCGGCGAATTTGTTAAAACTTCGGAACGTGGCGGAGCAGCCGCCCCTAGCTAGGCTCGTCGCGTACGTGGCGTGCGCGCGCAAGGACGCGGTGTCTGATACAGTACGCGAGAAGCGGCGCGAGGCGGTTTTGAAAGGATACGGGGGCAACGCCTTCTCGTCCCACGACGCGTCGACGCTGCGCAGGGCCGAGACGCCCGCGGGCTACCGGGTGCCCGACGAGAGTTCGCCGGTGTGGGACCTAATCTAAAGTTAAACTTTTACGCGTGGATCTCCAAGCGGGAGCCAGAGGAGGCCCTTGTCGTCGTTAGTTGGGACGGGGACCGCCTGGGATCGGGGGGAGGCGTCTCGGCTCTGCGGAGCCCTTCAATCTTGGTTGACGAAAAAATCCAGTAAGAAGTCGTAGCTCGGGCAGTTGAAGACGACGTCCTCCGCTTTCGGGTCTTTGCAAACTGGCTGCTCCTGGTTTCTGGTGAGGATTTTCCCGTTAGACCCCTTCCTGACGATGCACTTTTTTCGCCGCCGGCCCCATCTCGCATAGATCACGGTGAGCACGCCGGGCCAAGCATTCGTCGAGGTGCGCGACCCGCGTCCTTGCGCCCGCCTGCCCGCCCCCGCGGGAAGAAGTCGAAACGCAGGCTGCTGGTGGATCTGACGTCACCTTCACTTGCTACGGCACGGCGGTGACGGTGGATGCTGGCGACACGTATACTTGCAACGGCATCCCGTAGGCCCTCGTGCCCTGCCCTTGCCCTTCTCCTCTATGACCTAAGTCATTTAGCGTACACTACTTACCCCTCCTAGGGCACGGGATGCGGGTGCGGATGCGCGTGCCCGTGCGACGACCGGGCGCACGCCTTGACCCCCGCGTAGGCGACGTGGACGTGGCGGCCGTCGCCCGCCAACCTTTTCAAATCCTGCGCCGTGTGCGCGTGGCCGTGGTCGCGCTCCGCGTGGATGTGGTCGAAGATGCGGTACAGCGCGAGCCACGCCGCGAAGAGGACGAGGGCCAGCAACACAAATAGTGAAGAGAGCTCCGCCAGTTCCACGAAGGAAGAAGGTTCCGAAAAGAACACTAAAGTAGTCAAAGCCAGCCCGAGCTCCATGGCGCCGCACAACGCCGCCTCGACGCCCTGGCAGGCGCCTCTATCTCTCTCGTCCACCAGCAGTTGCTGGAGCTCGACGTAGCCCACGTCGAACGCATATAATCCTGCCCTTGAACACGCCACGGCCGCGCAGAAGACGAGGACCATGTCGCCGTCTCGTAGCGCGTAGACCGCCAGGCAAGCACAAGTGAGCTGGAACAGCAAAGCGCCCAACGACGCCATTCTTAATGAAGACACGCGCCGCGCCGACCGCGCGCCGGACACGCTTTCGTCAGAAGTGGACACGCGGCTGCATTGCGAGAAGACGGCAATACCAATAAAGCCAAAAAAAGCGCCGCAGATCCGGAAGACCGCGATGAGCTCGGGGTCCGCGCGCTGCGTCGCCAGGAAGGCCGTGAGGACCGCGCCGTGCGGGGCTAAAGCAGTGAACCACAAACAGCAGAACGCCAGCGTGATCAGGGACGTGCCGGACGGCTGCGCGGCCCAGCGCTTCCAGGCGTTGACTTTTTCTTCCTCTACGACTTCGCGGACGGCTCTCGGCGTCCTTAGCTTCGAACACTTTGCATATAAAGAGTCCAAAACGGCCTGGGCCGGCGCCGACGACGCGATGTTCAAAACGCCGGCGGCGCAGGCGCCTCGTCTAGGGCCTAAACAGGAGACGCAGAGCGCGCCCAGCAACGGCCCGACGACCTCGGCGACCTGGCCCGCCGTGGCGAGCGCCGACGTCGTGCGCGAGAGCTCGTCGACCAGTTCGTCGCCTGCGTCGATGCATGCGTAAGCGCCGTCGCGGCGATGGCGTCACGCTCGCGCCGTCGAGGCGACGCGCTGTCGCGGCGATGGCGTCACCCCCGCGCCGTCGACGCGATGCCCCCGGAAAGTCCCTTGACAACGACGCTGAGCCGCAGACCGTCGAAGAGCGCCGGCGCCCAGTCCTTCTTCGGCGCGTTCTTGGAGACGACGGCCGCGACGCTCTCGACGGCGCCGCCGAGGAGCACGAGACTTAAGGCTGCGTAGTTTTGTCGTGACCCGTCGTAGACGAGCGACGCCACGCCGAGGACACCGAGCGCCGTCCCCAAAATCTGCGCGAGGCGCGCGACGCGCGACGCCCTCCTCCTATCGCTCCGGTCGGCCCAGGCGCCCGTCCGCGGCGCTAGCGTCGCCGTCGCGAGCGTCGTGGCGAGGGCGAGCGCCGCCGGTGCTCTTAATGAAGCGTGCGGGCCCGGCGGGCCCAGGAGAGCTAAGGGGACGGAGAACTCCCACGCGCGTGCCGCCACCACGGTGATGACCTCGCTGCAGACGAGCCAGCGGCCCTCATTTGTGTAGCTCGCGGCTTCTTCTTGTCCTGTTTCTTCGATGGCGACGGTGTTGTAGTCCGTTTTCTGAGGCGGAGCCATGTGGTGCTTGTTTGGATGGCTCTGCTGCTGGGAGAGCTGTGTCCTTGAGATGATAGCTCGCGGCTGTGATGCGTGCCGTTGCGGGCGCAATGCTTACCCTGCACTGCTCGTTTTCGCGTGGATTGACCGCGGAGAACTGTCTGGATTGGCACGCGCCCGCGAGAAGGCCGTGATTATGTTTTGCACCCTAGCTTGACATACTAGCATTACAGCAAAGCACCAAAGGCACCGCGCTGCGCATACAAGAGCTCGCGCGAGCGAAAGGCACCCGCCACCGATCCATATCATCGGCCTGGTCCGACAGACAGCAAAGAACGCCCGCGCTGCGGACGCACAGCCGCCAAAAAAAAGGGCTCTCATAAAGAGCACCAGAGACGCGAACGCACGCGGCCCGCGCAAAAACCCCAAACGGAGCCCGACGCGACTGGCCGGTCGCACGCAAGCCCAACAATGAACGACGACGACGACCGCGACGAGGACGAGGAGGAGGAGGAGGAGGAGAGCGAGGAAGAGGAGGAAGAAGAAGAGGACGACGAGGCCGAGGCGGAGCGGCGCTTCGAGGAAGAGCTGCGGCGGGAGATGGAGGCGGCGGCGGCAAGAAGGCGCCAGGAACAGGGCCCGCGCGGCTGGATCACGAAGGTCGCTCGACTATTAACGAAGCCGCGGCTGGGTGCTGTGGGTAGAAGTGCAGCGAGGGCCTTCGCACAGGACTACAGGAAGCTGTGCGAGCGGCTGGAGTGCCCCCCGGTGGCGTTCTACGCCGACTCCTACCGCCAGGCGGCGTCGTCGGCGGCGTCGCAGTCGAAACTGTTGCTGATCTACCTCCACTCGCCCTTACATCAAGATTCGGAAGACTTCTGCCGAGGCCTAACGTCCGCCCAGTTCCAGGGTTTTTGTAGACAGCGCTTCGTGTTGTGGGGCGCTTCCGTAAATTCGGCCGACGGCCACGCTTTATCGGATTCACTGGGCGCGACGCGGTTCCCGTTTTTAGCGATCGTGATCTGCGACGAGGCTGGTGAAAAAGTGGTCGCGAGTATTCACGGCGCGCCCTCGGATGGTGACGCGCTCGTGGCGACGCTCGACGGGGCGCTGACTCAACAAAGAGGTGTGTTACAGGCGTTGCGACGCAAGCAGCGCGCGCGGCAAGAAGCGAGACGGTTGCGGACGGAGCAGGACCGGGACTACCAGGAGGGGCTGGAACGCGACCGGTTGAGGGAGGCGCAGCGCCAGGCCGAGCGCGAGGAAGCGGAACGTGTAGCGCGGGCCGAAAGGGAAGCGAGAGAGCAGGCCGAGCTCGAGGCGGCCCAGGCCGAGTCCTTGCGGAGGGCTCGGTTAGGCACGGAGCCGCCTCCCGGTTCTGGTACAGCGCGCGTGCGCGTGCAGTTTCCCGACGGCGCGCGCGTCGACCGGCGCTTCCTGCTGACGGATCAAGTGGCGTTGTTGCGCGACTTCGTCGACTGCCACCGCCAGGACGCGGGTTTACCTCAGATGAACTACGGCCTGGCGACGCACTACCCGATGCGCGAGCTGGACGGCGAGTTGTTAGAAAGGACGGTCGCCGAGGCGCACCTCAACGGGGAGGTCGTCTACGTGCACGACCTCGACGCCTAGTAGGACCTCCTTTGTCCCTGGCGCTGCGTCTGCTCGATGGCGTGGAGGAGGCGGTGCACACCGCTTCTACGCCATCGACGCGACACCTTGAATATAAGTCTATTACGTATAAATTTACAGTGCCGACCCCTTCCGAGAGGGACCACGAATTGACAGATCAAGGCGCCGACGGCAGCGCGTCGGGCGACGTGTTCGCCGGCTCCCCCTGCCACGCCTGGCGCCCGCGCACGCCCGGCAGCGCGCGCACGCTCAGGTCGCGCCCCCGGAGCTGCTCGCACAGCTCCAAACACTCGTCCTTGCGCCACGTCCCGAGACACGAAAACCCTTGCGCTTGCGCGAAGCCCGCGTGCTCGATGGCGTCGGGCTCGGGCATGGCCAAGACGAGCGTGAGCGCGCCGGCGGCGTAGGCCACGGACATGCGCGGCTTGGCGAACGTCTCATTTAACAAAAGGATGTGGAAGTTGTCGCCGTCGTTGCGCGACGCGTCGGCGTCGATGGCCCACTCGAAGTCGCTCGGCCCCTGGCGGACGGCCGAGCCGCGCGTCGATGCGGAGCCGACGTTGTATTTCGGGCGCGCCGTCGTCGTGCGCTCCTCGACGGTGGGGATGGCGCCCATGCGCGGCGCCACCGCTGGCCTCAGCGCCGCCCCGCAGCTGAGAAAGGAAACAAGCAGAGAGAGCATGTTGAGCCCGACGCGTGGTCTGCGGCTGGTTTCACCGGTGCTTCGGATGGTAAGGAAGCCTTTGGAGTTATTCAGGAGCAGTTATACAGTCCAGGTGCACGCAGTGGCGGAGACGACGAAGCCAGCGCAGCTCGATGATTTGGGCTAGTGTGTCTATGATCTAGCCAAGTTCGTAAAAATAATCCCATGGAGAGGCTCCCTCCACTATTCTCGACACCGCAACAGAGACACCTCTCTCGACGCCATCGCCGCGACAACTCATCACACCGAAGCATACTTAAAACCCCCACGTCCGCGGCGTTTTTCCAAACTTCGCCGCGACCAAACCTTCAATGATGGCCCAGTCGGTGGGGGTGTCTATCTCAGCCAACGTATCCTCGCTCATCTCGAAGGCCGCGATCTTGCCCGATAAGCGACTACCGGAATCCCTCAGAGCTTGGGTCTTGAAGACGTAGAAGGCGCCGTTCTCGATCAATTCCCCATTCCAGTCCTGGCGCCGCGGGCGCTTGACGGGGTCGTAGTTTTGGGGCACGGCCTGGCCATCTTTGATTGACCACAAAAACCGATGGGCTCGGACCACGGTCACGAGCGAGTCCGCTCCAGAAGAATGGAACTTCATCACGCCGTTCCGGAAGTCCTCCGCTGTTGTGAGCGGAGACGTGCACTGCACCAGCGCGCACGAGACCAACTCGGGGACCGTGTCGCAATAGTCGAAGAGCCCGCTTTCGGAGGAGGCCGTGTCCTTGGCCGACTCGGCCGATCGTTTATGGGCGACGGCGCCGGCCTTGACTGCTATTTCTAGAATCTCGTCGTCGTCCGACGAGACCACAACTTTTTCAAAGGCGCCCGACGCTAGACAAGCTTTGACGTTATATACTAGAAGAGGCACGCCGTTCATCGGCTTAATATTCTTGCGCGGGATGCCCTTGCTGCCGCCCCGCGCTAGTATCAAAGCGTGGGGCTTCGGCGGCGACGAGAAGCAGTTCAGGATGAAGGACATGGTTTTCTAGCTGGTCGCGGCGGCGGCGTCGGCTGTCTGATTTGTGCTGGTAGCTGTGCGTCTTTGCTTTGCAAAAAGTGGTCGGCAGGACGGGTCAGCGGTGGCAGCGGGGCCGAGGCGTGCTGGCGTGTGGGCTGGAGCGGCTCTACAAGCTCGCCTTGCGCAGGCCAAAAAATTGCAGGCTAGCGTAATGTAAGACACTAGCAAAACAAGCTGCTTGGCTTTACGGCGCTCAAACAGCACAACCAGTGGTTACTGCACGTCTCTGGTAATAGCATTTATCACTAATCTTGGCACTGGAGAGGCAGCACCACTGCTTTTAGTGCTGTCTGCTCTCCTTTGCCTGCTTTGCCTGGTGCCTGTCCAGCGCGACGCCAGCGACGCGAATGCCAGTCGTCCGCCAGCAGGGCGAGGGCTGGTGGTACAGCGAGCTCGTCCCGGAGCAGAAGGAAGGAGAGGAGGACCCGCTCTTCGACCTCTCCATCCTGCAGGAGCCGAAATTTATCGCGGCCGTGCTCGGGTTGATCACGGCGCAGGTGTTAGTGTTTGGCTACATTCTGTGGGACGAGCGACGGAAGGCGCGAACCAAGAAGAAGAAGGCATGATTGGGATAAGGCGCCTCGCCACGCGCGCCGCGCGCCACCGGAAGAAATGGGCGCCGCCGCCGCCGACCGAGGAAAAAAGGCCGCCGCCGCGGCCGCTGTCGACGGCCTCGAAGGTCATCGCCCTCGTGTCGTACACGGGCTTCGTCGTATCTTCCTATCTTGTTCTTGTCGCGACAGGCGCGCTGCCGGCGCCGCTGAGTGGTGGACGGCTCAAGCGAAAACCTCCGGACTAAGTTATGTGAACAACTTACGAGTACGCCTTCGCCCGCGCCTGGCGCGCCGCCTTCTGGCGCTTGCGGGCCTTCGGGTTCGGGCGCTTTTTGAGGGAGTCGGTGACGTCGCGGTACTGGGACGCGACGGACGCCACGCTCCGGAACACGTCGACGCGGCCCGAGAAGTCGAGGCCGGATGGTCCCTCCGGCCGCCAGCAAAACCACGCCGTCGTGAAGGGCGCCGTCGTCCGCGCGGCCGCCGCCCCTCGGGCCCACGCGGGCGGCAGGTACGCGTAGCGCCGGTGCGGGCACACGTAGAACGGCGGCGGCGACAATTGCGAGGCAGCGCGGCGCCAGACGTCGCGGCCCAGGTAGTACGTCGGGATCAGCAGCGCGAAGGGCGTCTTCGCGGCGACGACGTGCGAAATCAAGCGGTCGACGTGGTCGCCGCTGTAGGGCGGGTTCGTCACGAGCACTGCGTGACTCGGCACCGTGCCCTTCGAGACGTCCGCGTAGAAGTCTCGGTTCTCGTTTATTACGTCGCGAAATCCCAGTGCCTGGAGCCGCCGGACCACGCCTCCATCACAATAGTAGGGGTCGTAGACGCGCCCGCCGACGGCCCGCATGAAGGGCGCCAGGTCCTCGTAGGCGTTGACCGGGGTCTCGGCGTGGTCCGACGTCTGCGTGACCTCGAAGGCGTGGCGCGCCGTGGGTTGCGTCCAGCTGTCCGCGGCTTTCTTCTTCTTGCGGCGTTTTTTTTTGGTTTTCGCTGCCGCGGCGGCGGCGCCGTCGTCCCGGGCGCGCTTCATATTTTGCTTTTGCTCTGGAGCATGTGCAATGCTTTGCAGCAATGCTGTGTACACCCGCTTGCCTGCCAATAGTCGTCGCACGAGCGTCAATCGATCAATAACTCGTGCTGCGCATGCGTTAAACTCGTGGCGTTCAAGACGGACGGCGTTTCAGGTGCAGCTCTCCAGCCAAGCTCTGCAGCAGCGTGGAGCAAGCAGTCTCTGCCGCGCGTCCGCCGACCTAGCTCTCGGCGCCGACCGTCGAAGCGATCCAAAAATCGCTCGTCGGCACTCCGCACAGTTGGTGAGCCAGCATAGATCAGCAGGCGAGGCTGAGCGAGCGACCACAAATGCACAGGACCCACGGCTGCTGTGCGTGCGTCGCAGCCGTAGGCACATGAGAATGATGGCATTTGCGCGCGCGGTCAGCGCCCGCAGCGCGACCGCTGCGGCGCTCGCCACTTACGCAGCGCGCGGCGACAGCAACATGGACGAGCAGCCGTATCGCGTCCTCGTCGTCGGCGCGGGCCTCGGCGGGTGCCTCGCAGCCAAAGAGCTGCGACGGCGCTTCGGCGCTTCGGCAGAGCTGCACGTCTGGGAGCGGGCGACCTACACCGCGGGCCGCTTCGGCGCCGTCGCAAAGGTAGGCGAGCTGCGCGTCGACCTCGGTGCCCAGGTGCTCTCGGTCGTCGATCCGCGGGATCCGCGTGCGTTGCCGGGTCACGGCATCACGCGAGACGCGCTCGACGGCGCGTGGGCCGAGGTTCAGGCGCTCGCGGCGCGGGGTCTCGTCGAACCGGTAGGAGACGAACAGCTCGCGCCGACCGAGGAGCGCCTGCTCTGGCCTGAGCTCTGGCGCCAATACGCTGCCGTCGGGTCGCTGAGCGACGTGTGCGCGGCCCTGCTCGCCGACGCGCGGCCCGATGCGGTGCACTTTGGGCGCCGTGTCGATGGCCTCGAGCGCGATGCTACGTTCGTCGTCGCCGCAGCGCAGCGCGACGGCGATGGCATCGCCACTCCCGCTCGCGCGACGTTTGATGCGGTCGTGCTCGCGGTGCCGGCGCCGGACGCGCTCGCCATCGACGGCGTCGCCGACGCGCTCCCGTCGGAACTCGCTGATCTCGTTCGCCGCACGAGATACGACGCGCGCACGGCGACCGCGGTTTTCCTCCGTGACGATGATGGTGAGGCGTCGAGGGTTCTCGACCGAGTGTTCGGCGGTAGCGTCGAGCGCGACGGACTCGGTGGTCTTGAGCTTGTGCACCGCCACGGTCGCGGTGGACCCGTCGTCGCCGTTGTCGCCCATTCGGCAGCCGCCGCCGCCGTAGCGCAGCAGCTCAGCGTCGCCGACGTCCTCGCCGCCATCGATGCCGCGGCGCTTCGGCCTCTCGTCGTGTCCTCGAAGACGGTGCGGTGGCACTGCGCGCAGATGATCACCCCGCTCGAGGCGCTCCGGCCGCGCAACCCGGTCGACCGCGGGCCATGCGTCTGCGACGATAGTTCGACGCTCGTCCTCGCCGGCGACTACTGCACGCAGAGCTCGTTCCTCGGGGCGTATGCCTCGAGCCGCGCCGCGGCCGAGGCCGTGCACCGCGGGTATCTTCGGCGTGGCTGCTAGTTGTTGTTGTTGTTAGCGTAATTTGTACAGAAGTGCCCTAGCCCCTCTACCTTACGCAGACCCCAACCTACTTCGCCAGCGCGTTGTCGATCGCGGCGCACACGGCCGGGAACACCTCCTTCGGCGCCCGATTGCCATCGACGACGACCAATTTATCAGAGTACGAACCAGACACGGCCGTCGTGTTCTTGTGGTACTGGCGGATGCGGTTCGTCATCTTCTCCACCGTGTCGTCACTGCGAATCACGAGCCTTTTTTCAATTTCCTCGGTCGGAGGCTTCTTGTACTTGACGTGGTAGATCTGGCGCGTGACGGGGTCCTGGCGCCGGCCGCAGGCGCGGTCCATCATGACCTCATCAGGAACGTCTAATCTCAGAAACAAGTTCGGCACCAAACCCATGTCCTCCAGCGCGTCGCACTGGGCCTTCGTCCGGGGCATACCATCCAAGAGCCAGCCGTTGTTCTTCGCTTCAGAAGTCTCCATCTCGGCCTTGCAGATGCCAATCACGAGACTATCAGGTACGAGGTCGCCTCGTTCCATGTAGGCCTTGGCTTCTCGGCCTAAATCCGTGCCCGTCTTCACGTGATGTCTGAGCGCGTCTCCTGTACTAATATGTTTCAAACCGTACTTGTTCACTAAGAGCTCGCACTGCGTGCCTTTGCCGCTCCCGGGGCCGCCCGAAATAATCATCTTGAGCTGGTCCTTCTTGGGCTGGTTCAGCTGGTAGAGGCCGTAGGCCGCTACTCCTGCGAGAGCGCCTCCCGCGGCGAATTTGAGCGCCATTTTGCTGCTTTTTTAGCGCTTTTTTGATACGTGTAGCTGCTCGCACTACGCGTCGCAGTTATGCAGCTAGCGTTCGCAGGACTCGTTTGTCGTGTCTCTGAGAGCTGTCTCGTCGTCCAGATCGCAGCGATGGCGTATCGTGGGACCAATAAGGCAGGGTCGCCGGCTTTGGCTGCGGAGATGACTCGTGATATTTTTTCGAGCAGGCGTCGCCAGGGCCTCTCGTAGAGCCCTGTAGGTGCATTCTAGACGGGTCCCGGGAGTTTGAGGACGGCTGCTAACGGACGGGTATTGATTTTGCGGTTGCAAACGAAGCACAGGCTGTGCTCGGCTACAGCGCAGCGCGCACGGTTGAGCAGCGCTCTACGCAATCTCAGACATCATGGCGGCGGTTCTGGTACTTCACTGCGTCGAAAACGGGCGCGCGCACGCTGTAACGCCATCCGCACTTGGCTCAACAAAAAACGGGGCGCGAGGCGCCGGTGGCCCTCCCCGGCCGCCGCGCAGCGCCCCAGCGAAGCGCCGCAGCGCCGCCACCGCGGCTGGCACCCCAAAAGCCATCTCCGCGGACAAACCGAAACCGCGGCGGCACAGCTCTGCGGCCGCCTGCACACACACAAACGCCGCCGCCGCGGCACGCAGCGGGCCTCCCTCGGCACGCCGCCGCAGCGCGCAGCGCCTCAGCGCGCCGCCGCACGTAGCCACACACACACACACACCGCTCGCGCCGACAAACGCCGCAGCACACAACCACTCCCATCACGCAGGGCGACGCCACGAACAGCCCGCCGCCCAAGGCGCCCAAGGCGAAGAAGAAGGGCACGAAAACAATAGAACAGACCTACCAGAAGAAGACGCAGCTCGAGCACATTCTGTTGCGGCCCGACACGTATGTCGGCAGTATCGAGCAGTCGACGCAGCCCATGTGGGTCCTGGACGCGAAAACGAAGCGCATCGTGAAGAAACAGACGACCTACGTCCCGGGCCTCTTCAAGATCTTCGACGAGATCATGGTCAACGCCGCGGACAACAAGCAGCGCGACCCGTCGATGACGACGATCAAGGTCGACATCGACCGCGAGTCGAATACCATCTCCGTGGCGAACGACGGGAAGGGCATCCCCGTCCAGATCCACAGCGAGCACAACTGCTACGTGCCCGAGCTGATCTTTGGGCACTTGCTGACGGGTTCGAATTTTGACGACGACGAGAAGAAGACGACGGGCGGCCGGAACGGCTACGGCGCCAAGCTCGCGAACATTTTTAGTACCTCGTTCACGGTCGAGACGGCTGACTCTTCGACCGGTAAGAAGCTGAAGCAGACGTGGGTCAAGAACATGTCGAAGACCGTCGGTGAAGCTCAGATTTCGACACACAAGGGCAAGAAGGACTTTACCCGGGTCAGCTTCACGCCGGATCTCAAACGGTTCAAGATGGACTGTTTGGATGACGACGTGGTGGGGCTGCTGTCGCGGCGAGCTTATGATGTCGCGGCGTCGTCGTCGTGCCACGGCAACGGGAGCTTGAAGGTGGAGTTGAATGGTGAAAGGGTACCAGTTAAAAGTTTTGCGCAGTACGTGAAGCTGCACGACGGCCTCGAGCCCCCCGCGGCCCTGGAGAAGCTCGACGACAACTGGACCGTGGGCGTGGCGCCGTCCGACGGCACCTTCACGCAACTATCCTTCGTCAACAGTATTTGTACCTCAAAAGGAGGGCAGCACGTCGACGCGGTCGCCAAAAAGGTCTGCGACTTCCTCGCGAAAGCCGTGAAGAAGAAGAACAAGGGCCAGGAGGTCAAGCCGGCCTTCATTAAAGCCCACCTTTGTGTTTATGTGGACGCGTTGATCGTGAATCCCGCGTTCGACTCGCAGACGAAGGAGACGCTCACTACCAAAGAACGGTCCTTCGGGTCGAAAGTTGTCTTGCCGGACAAGTTCCTGAAGGCCATCGAGAAGTCGGGAGTTGTGGATCGCGTCCTGGCCTGGACGAAGTTCAAGCAGGACGAGCAGCTCAAGCGGAAGGGGGGGTCGAAGAAGATGCGCCTGACGGGCATCACGAAGTTGGACGATGCTAATAGCGCTGGAGGTGCGAAGGGCAAGGATTGTACTCTGATATTAACGGAGGGCGACTCGGCGAAGGCCTTGGCCGTGTCTGGGTTGGGCGTCGTCGGTCGTGATTTATATGGCGTCTTCCCTCTGAAAGGAAAACCTCTGAACGTGCGCGAGGCGTCGCACGCGGCGATCATGAAGAATGAAGAAGTGCGCTTGCGGCGTCCTTACGCCATCTTCATGAATCGTCTCCATCTTCCGATTTTGAGCTGTTTCGGGCCGCGTCGGGGCCGTGCGGCGTGTCAGAGCGCGGTCGCGGGAGGACGCTTGCTCGTTGTCCATCGAGAGGCTGACGCCGCCGACGCGCCTGGAACGAGCGTCCCGCAACGCAGGTCCAGAACGTCGTCAAAATTTTAGGACTGCGCTTCGGCACGAAGTACACGGCCGAGAACATCAAGACGCTGCGCTACGGCCACCTCATGATCATGACGGACCAGGACCACGACGGGTGCTGTGAGCGGCGTCCCTACGATCGCTCGCCGCGACGGCGTGGAGGCCTCGGTCGCCCAACGCGCCGCGCCGTCGACGCGCGCGACGCAGGTCCCACATCAAGGGCCTGCTCATCAACTGCCTCCACCACTTCTGGCCCTCGCTCCTCGAGATCCCGGGCTTCCTGCGGTGCTTCATCACGCCCATCGTCAAGGCGACCTCCAACAGCAAGAAGGGCCCCTCGAAGACGTTCTTCACCGTTTCATCGCGGCGTCCGTCGCGACGCGACGCCATCGCCGCGACACATGTTCAACGCAGGTCCCCGAGTACGAGGCCTGGAAGGACTCCATCGGTAGCAACGCGTCCAAATTCTCTGTAAAATACTACAAGGGTTTAGGAACCTCAACAGCCGCGGAAGCGCGGGACTACTTCTCGGACCTAGCGACGCATCAGTTGGACTTCGATTTACTGAGAGAAGGCGACGGCGATTTGGTGGACATGGCCTTTTCCAAGAAACGGGTCGAGGACCGGAAGACCTGGCTGCGGTCCTTGGAGCCCGGCGCGTTTGTCGACTACGGCGTCGACGCGTTGGCGTACAAGGACTTCGTCCACAAAGAGTTATCTTTATTCTCGGTAGCTGATAACCAGCGATCTATTCCTTGTGTGGTCGACGGCCTGAAACCCTCCCAAAGAAAGGTCCTGTTCGCGTGCTTCAAACGTAAGTTGAAACGCGAGATCAAAGTGGCCCAATTGGCCGGCTACGTCTCGGAGCACAGCGCATATCATCATGGAGAAGCCTCGCTGACCGGGACGATCGTCGGCATGGCGCAAGATTTTGTCGGTTCCAATAATGTGAACCTGCTGGCGCCCTGCGGCCAATTTGGTACCAGAATCATGGGCGGGAAAGATGCGGCGTCTTCCCGTTATATTTTTACGAAGTTGGAGGCGGTGGCTCGGAAAGTGTTTCATCCCGACGACGATGCTGTCCTCAAGTACCTTGATGACGACGGTCAAAGCATCGAGCCGAACTACTACGTGCCGGTCTTGCCGCTGGCTTTATGTAATGGGGCGGACGGTATCGGGACGGGCTGGGCTACCTCGGTTCCCAATTACGACCCTAAACAACTCATAGCGGTGCTGAGACGGATGATCGCGCACGCCGGCGACGACGTCGACTGCGACGAGACGTCGCTACTCGCGACGTGCGCCGCGGAGGACGTCGGTGCCGATGGCTTGGCGCCGTCGTACCGCGGTTTTAAAGGAGACGTCATTCTAAAAAAAGCTGGATCGTACCAAGCGTTGGGTCGCGTCGAGCGCTTGGACGATACGAAGGTCCTCATCGACGAGTTGCCGCTGCGCAAGTGGACGCACGACTACAAGCAGTGGCTGGAGCAGCAGATTGTGGGAGACGACAAGACGACGGCGTGGCTCAAGGACTTCAAGGAGAACCACACGGATACTACGGTGTCGTTTACTGTAACGGCCCTATCGGGAGCTAAGTTAGACGAGGCCGAGAAGGCGCCGGGCGGGCTCCTCAAGAAGTTCAAGCTCGAGTCCTCGATGGCGACGTCGAACATGAACTTCTTCGACAGCGGCGGCGTGGCCATCGAGCGCTACGCGACGCCCTTCGACATCTGCAAGGCGTTCTACAAGGTGCGGCTCGAGACCTACGCGAAGCGCAAGGCTCATTTGGTGAAACAGAAAAAGGGCCAGGTTAACGTGCTCCGCAACAAGGTCCGGTTCATCTTAGCGGTTTTATCCGAGGAGCTCGTCGTTCATAATAGAAAGAAGGCTGAGTTACTCGCGCAGCTCGTCGAGGACGGCTACGACGCGGTGATTCCCGAGAGCGCCAAGAAACCGAAGACTGCGGCCGCGGCCGAAGACGACGCGTCCGACGACGAGGAGGCTCCTAAGCAGATTGAGGAGCCGGACGACCTTCGGACGCTCGCGAAGGGTTATGATTACTTACTGTCGATGCGGCTCTGGGCGCTCACGCGCGAGCGCGTCGACGCGCTGCGCGGCGAACTCTCGGAGAAGGACGCGGAGCTGCGCACGCTCCAGGCCACGGCCACTACTGATTTATGGTTGACGGACCTCCAGGCGCTCGAGGAGCAGCTCGATATTGATGACGCGAAGCGCGAGGCCGGCGAGGCGCGTCGGCTGCGTCTCTAACCTTCCGTCACGCCATCGACGCGACACCATGCGCGCGCAGGCCGACGCGGCGAAGAAGGCCAAGGCCCACGCCAACAAGAAGGGCAAGAAGGCACCTCACGGCGTCCCCGTGATTCCGCCCGCCGGCGTGCCGCGACTCGCGATCCCGCGCAGGCCGTCTCGAAACGAGCGCCCAAGAAGAAGAAAACCTACGACAGCGACGAGGAGTCCGACGGCTACGACGACGACTCGGAGGACGACTGGGGCACGCGGCGGTGTAGAATTCACACGTTCGGTACCTGACTCACCCGTCGACGTCGCACAGGCGCGAAACAAAAGAAGAAGGCTCCGGCTCCTAAGAAGGCGGTAGCGACCGGCGCGGAAATTTCACATTGTATCCCCGCGTGGACTCACCCGTCGATCCACGCAGGCCCCGAAGCCGAAACCAGTCGCGAAGCCGGCCCCGGCGCCCAAAGCTCCGCCGAAGGCCAAGGCTGCGCCTAAAGCCGCGGCCAAGCCTAAGCCGAAGGCGAAGCCTAAGGCCGCGTGGTCCGATGAGGAGGAGGAGTCGGACGGCTTCGTCGGGAGCGACTCGGACGACGACAACTTCGCGTCGTCGGCGCCCGTCGCGCCGCGCGCGAGGAGCGGCCGCGCGGCAGCGACCAAGAAGACGTGCGGCTCTCTGCGTCCGAACTCGCCGGACCGGCACGTTCGCCACGGCGGCTCCCACCGACGGTCGCCCACACAGGTACCAGTTCGACTCGGACGACGACGCCGCCGAGGACGACGATGGAGACTTCCCGATGACTCAAGAGACCGTCGAAGCGCCGCGGCCGGCGCCCATGGAGGAGTCCGACGAGGAGGAGTTCGCGCCCGAGCCGGTGAAGCCGAAGCCGAAGGCCGCGCCGAAGGCCGCGCCGGCGCGCAAGGCCCCGGCCAAGAAGCCGCCGGCGAAGAAGAAGCAGAGCGCGTGGAACAGCGACGAGGAATCGTCGGAGGACGACTTCTCCCTAGATGATGATAGCGAGGACGAGTTCGAGTCCGCGCCGAAGCCGAAAAAGGCGCCGAAGAAAGCAGCCGCGGCTCCGAAAGCCAAGGCTCCGCCGAAGCCCAAGAAGGCGGCGACCAAGCCGCCGCCGGTCGAGGAGTCCGTCTCTCAGCGTCCCTGGAGCACTTCATACGCCATCGACGCGACGCCGTCGACGCGCCGCCATCGACGCCGTCCCGCGCAGGTCGCCGCTGCCCAAGGCCAAGGGCCAGAAACGAGCGGCGCGCCAGGTCGAGGATTCGCCCGGCGCGTGCGTCTTTAGCCCCGCTCCTCCTTCCGCGAAGCCGAAGAAGACCAAGAAGCGCGTCGTCAAGGACGAGTCCGAGGACGAATTCGAGTTCGATGCGCCAGTCGCGGCGCCGGCGCCGCGCGCCGCGCGCGGCGGCGGCCGGGCCAAGCAAGCCGTCAACTACGCGGCCATCGCCGGCAGCGACTCGGAGGAGGACGAGTGGGCGAACTCGGGCGACGAGTCGGACGGCTTCGTGGACTCCGACTAGACACCCACATGGCTGATTGCGCGCGCCTCCCCATTATTCGGCGACCCGGCCTAAGATTCAAGCAAGTATATGCCTTAGTATAGGTCTTCTAGGATGCGCTGGCGTTCGGCGAGGTCTGCTCGAGTGTCCTCGAGCACGCGTAGGGCCCTCGCCGTTAGCGGGTGGGCGTCCCCGAGTAAGCGTCGCAACCGCCGACAGACATCTTCCAAAATTGCAGTCGCCTCGGTCAAGTCGCCGAGGGTAGCGTCGGTGTCGTCACAGAGGGCCATCGCCAAACGCCAGCGCATCTTTAGCGTAAGGTCGTGGTTGGGTCCATGTACTTCCTCGAACAATGGCATTTGGTCATTTATGAACTGCTTGGCCTCGGCCCACAGGCCGTTAGTGACCAGTGACTCGGAGAGATTGCTGGCATACAAGAGCGTATCTTTAGTCGGTCCGAGTGCAATTTTCCTGGCGTATATCTCGCGACGCAACGCGAGAGCCTCCTCGTGTCGCCCGAGGCAGCATAAAGAAACGGCTATGTTGGCTCTCGTATTCAGAATGTCCACTTCATGTGAACCCATGATACGTATCACCCCAAGTTGTGGAGGCGTGCCTATCCGCACCTTCTCAGGGCCGGCGCGAGGATACCTCACATCAGCCCGAATTATCGCACGATTCCGTACATTCAGAAGGTAGTGGCCGCGGGAGGCTTCGTTCCTTACGAACGCGCCCACCGCGCGTCCCTCGCAGCGATGTTCGTTCCAAAATTCCCGCAGCTCCCGGGGGAGATTGTTCCGCGTATCGTCGAGTTTTGGGCGCACACCGGCTTTTACTAAGGCAATTTATCATTACGGTAGTTAAGTTATCACTAAACCCCGCGCAGGCGTGAGCATAGACGCCTGGCGCGGAGGCACATCGCGGCTCAAATGGCCGCGTTGGGGTGCTGGTGATTCGTTGGTGGCCGTGGCGGCGTCGACGCACGGGAGGCGTCGCGGCGAGGCGTTGGCTTTCTTTTTCTTTTCGCCACGGCGAACGGTATATATGTACAGCGAGGGGTGAAGATGATCGTGTTTCAGGGGGTGGTGATGGTAAGCCCCGCGCCACACGCGGCGCGGGCATCATTATCATGTGGTTTCCAAGGCGTATCCTTGGTCACAGCGCCCACAGCGAGGGCTAGTTAGTTCATGTGGTTTCCAAATTCCGTGTGATTCTACTATGAGATGGCGCACTGGCACGTCGGCAGGAGCTTCGTCGACAGCGGGTCCTCGGGGCCAGGATGAGCGACAATATCCCTACAGACGTCGCGGCACCGCGCGGCGTCGCAGCGTCTATCGGCCGTCGCCCAAGCGGAAGGAAAAAGCTCGATCAGCCGGTGGTCCCAGGTCGAGGGAATCACCGGTCTAGCCCCGTTCCGCACGACGCGCTCCGTGTGCTGCGAGACCGACAACCCATGAAAGGGCTTGCCCCTTAGGTGAAAGATCTCGTGCGCGCAGATGGCCCAGCCGTAGACGTCGACGCTAACACCATACGGCTTGCCCTCGGCGACCTCGGGCGACATGTACCTCCTGGTACCGGTATCGCCCGTCAGCTCGAAGGTGTCTCCCCTCGTGCTATGTTTGGCGAGCAACGCGACGGAGAGACCGAAGTCGTAGAGCACCAAAGAGCGGGTGGCGGTCAGGCCAAAATTGGGAGGCTTGACGTCTCTGTGTGCCACGTGGGCTCCCAAAATCGCGCGCGTGTGCAGGTGGTCCAGGGCGTCGGCGAGCTCGCCCATGAGTCGTAACCTTTCTCGAGAGGGCCACTCCCTTTTGACGGTCGCTCTAACCTCCGGGTCGTGGCCGACCTCGTCCAGACGCAAGGACCGGATGACCGTGTTGTCGCACCACCTTAACAAAACGCAGGGCAGTCCGCTCAAAGTCGTCGACACGCCGTACAAGGGTACGATGTGCGCGTGCTTGATGCGCGCGAGCAAGTGACATTCTCGCACGAAGGCTCTCCTTTCAGCAACAACTTCCGCCAATTCGCGCCGCATGACCTTCAACGCAGCTCGTTTTCTATGAACGGTGACCTCATAGACGAAAGCTTGTTTCCCGGAGGCCATCGGCTCGTCGACCTCGCCGAGTGTCGCATAATCAAATTCGGGCAACGCGCAGCCGTCTCCAACAATACGTTCCGGCAACGGTCGCCGCGTCTTGGCTCGTCCATGCAACTCGTCGAGCTCAGAACTGCCCGGCCAATGCCTCGGTGACGAGGAGGACGAGGACGACACGGACGGAGAGGGAGGGTGCTCCTCCTTGCTACGGCGGATAGTAATGGGGCCCGAGGCCCGCAGCCACTTCGCGTAGCGGCCCTTCGGAGTGGAAGGATTGCTCGCGAAGATCTCGTCGAGGTCGAACTCGTCGTCGGACGTGTGGCGCGACGGCGACGACGCCGTCTCGCCGCCGGCGCTGTTGTGCTGCGCCGCCGTGAGGGAGTCGTCAAACCCTTGCGCGGGTGATGGGGTCGCTCGCGCCGGCGACGGTGGTGGGGTACCCAGCCTCGAGCGGCGCCGCGGCGAGCCGTCCGTGGAAGACGGCGTGACGGACCGCGCGCGCCGCGCCGCGGCGGCCTGCTGGAGGGGGTCCGCGGCTCTCAAGGACTGGGTCGAGTCGTCCATGGCTAGGCCGGGTTTTACGAGCGAGAGGCGAGCTCAGAGCGTTCGGGTCGGCGCGGGAAACGAGTCAGGTTGAGGGTTTCGGCGGCTCGCGCCTTTTGGGACAGCCTGTCAGAGCCGAGGGACGCTTGCGCCAGCGGGGCCGGCCACGGCCGGCCGCGTCAATTCGTATGCAGGCCAGCCCCTGGCTCCTGGGAATCGCTGGCTCGCTCGCCGCCGCGGCGATTTCGCTGCAATCTCCGAGCTCGGGAGGCCAGCTGTGTTCTCTGCACGCGCCCGAGGTAGGTTTTTGGCGCCCGGGGCGCCCGTAGGCAGGCGATACGGAGCGACTCGGGGCTGCAAGCCCCTGCCTACGAAGCTGGTCGAAAAACGGACCTACACGCATCCCGGGGCCCGCATACGGCTCTTCGGACCGCTCTCCTCAGGTTTCAAGCACCGGGGACGGCCACGGTGGTTTTCCTATTGTGCGGGTTCGAGGTGCCAGCCTGGCACAAATCGAACCAACACGCACGCTACACGCCGCAATCACGCTGCAGTCGACGTGCAGGAGCCTCGCATAGGTGCTGCATCGGCTGCGGAGACAACTGGAGAAGTTCTGTGCTCTGTGCCATCGATTACAGGGGCACACAGCTGGCAGGATGCAGCTAGCACTCCTCGCAGCGCTACCGACAGCTGTCACAGCACTGCAGCCTCTCAATGGCATAGGAGTCAAACCACTCGGCGGCGCCGCATCGATCGACGTGGGCGCATTGCTCGACAAGAAGGCAGCCGTGATCTTCGGCACGTATGCTGCGGACTTTAACGCCATCGAGTACGGCCAGCGGCTGCGGCACTACGCCCCAAAGCTGAAGGAGCGGGGCGTCGAGTCACTGCATCTCATCCTGAACGCCGACGAGGCGGCTTCGGAGAAGTTTGTGGAGCTGCTCGGTCTGGAGGGCGTCTGCGACGTGTACTGCGATCCGAATGGCGCCGCGGGCCGCGCGTTCGGCTGCGGCCGCGGCTGGCTGCCGGACGAAGATAGTCTCTTCGACGGTCAGATCCCGATAAACGCCTACGGCAAGCTCTTCGGCATGCTCCTCGGTCTCGGAGCTTGGGCTACATTACCAGCAGTCATCGGCGGCTACATCGGCAACCCCTGGAGGGCCCAGCCCTGGATCGCGGACGCGATGGCCCAGGGGTCGGCGCAGGGCCGGTGGCCGGGCACGGGGCTGGTGGTTGAGACGGGTCGCGGCTCCGGATACGCCTTCGACGAGCTGCCCGTCGTCGGCGACTGGGGCCGGCGGCCGCTCGAGCTCGCGACGCTGCGCCTGCAGAACATGATCGGCGTCTCGTTACAGAACTGGGACGCGTTGAGGCCGCGGGACGACCAGCTCGCCGTGCTCACGCAGCTCGGGGGCCTGGCCATCGGCGACGGCGCGGGCGGGCTTCTGTACGAGTGGAAGGACCCGGGCATCTGCGCCGTGTGCAACTTCGAGGACGCCCTCGACGCGCTTGACGGGAAGACTGTGTAAACAACTAATTTAAGAATAAGCCTAAAAGAGCACGCTCGCGAGCTTCTTCCGCGCCCGCAGCGACTCCTTGCCCGGGCCCATCGCGTCGATGATCGTCACGCAGAGCTCCCGCGCCGCCTCGCGCTCGTCGTCGCCCGCCGCGGCCTTGACGGCGTCCAGCGCGTGGTCCAGAGCGCCTTCGACGTCGCCCGACGCGAATATTCTGCGAGCCACCGACAGCGCGTCGCCGTCGCCGGCGTCGCCGTCGAGCGCCAGGGCCAATCTACTGACAGCAGCCTTCAAATTCGGCTCCTTGTCAATAACGTTCTTCCTTCTTTTATCCCGCAGCGCGCCCAAGATTTGATCGGCGGCCTCCGGCTCCGACGGCGAGTTTTCCAGAGCGCACCGCGCGAGCCCGTACAGGCACCAGGCCATTTCGATGGATTCGGGCCGGTCGGAGTCGTATTCCAGCGGCTCGACGCCCCGCGACTTCCGCGGCGCGGCCGGGTCCGCCGCGGCCTTTGCTCGATCATTCTCGTCCATGGTCCTTAATCTCGTATATTCGCCCTGGAAGGCCTCGGCGGCGCCGGGCACATTTCCAGAATCCAGCAGCTGAAAGGCCTGGACCCTAGCCTGCGTCGCGTCCTCGGGGAGCTCTCCCTCGGCCGGAGCCAGCGACGCGAGAAGGGAGACGAACTGCGCCACCTGAGGCTGCGGCACGGCACCAATAAGAACCAGCGGGTTGCCGGCGCCGTCCTTCGGGACCGTGCCGCCACAAAAACCCATGACCGTCGGGAGCTGCTGGACGCCGAGTCTTCCTGACAACTCCTGCTCCGCGTCCACATCCAGCGTCGCGAGTAACACTTTGCCCTGGGTCTTGGCGATTTCCGCTTCCAAAATGGGGGCGAGCGTCTTGCAGGGGCCGCACCAGTCGGCCTGGCAGTCGAGGACGACGGGCTTTGGGTTTTGTAGCACTTGTGCGATGAAGTTCTCCGCGTTCGCGGCGAACGGTGCTGCGGTCGAGAGCGCCCGCGTCGACAGCGTACGCAGCACTGCGGCTGGGCGACGCAGAGTGGCGAGCAGCATGTTGCCCGGTAAGCTTGGCTATAGCCTTGCACGCACTGTGGGCGATCGCAGCGATGCAAGCAATCAATCGCTCGCTCCTTTACGTCCACAAACGCCACAAACGCAGCGATGGAGGCAATGTGCCAAAGCGTCGAAGCTAGCGCAAAAAAGACGCATAAGACGCACTAGCTTTTGGGCTCTGCTCTATCCGAGCAACCCTGGAAGCCCCTCGGTGATAACATAGCAGAAAAGGGGCTTGGAAAACAATCTCTTGAAGGCTGCAATCACTCAGCATGAGAACAGCACGCGTGCTCATGCGGGGAGCGCGATCCGGCAGCAGCAGCCACCCATCTGCTGCCGGCGCGGCGCGAGCACGTCTGCGGAGCAGCCACCCACACGCTGTCGGCGAGTCAAGAGCACGCCGCTGCCACCCACACGCTGTCGGCGCAACGAGAGCACGTGCGCGGAGCCTCGCTACCGACCAAAAGCCGCCATTGGTACATCAAATAGCAACACTACCAGAGGCCGAGTTCAAGAAGCTCGCCGCGGCCGTCGGAAGACGTTTAGAGAAAGAAACGAATATGTCGGGCCAAGCGATAGCTGCGGAGGCGGACCTGAACCACGACGGCGTCGTCACGGAAGCCGAGCTCAGCGCCTGGTGGCGGCGGCGGGCGCCAACCCTGCTCGCCGTGTCGGCGAGCCGCGCGACGGAGCCTCCATCTAGATCGCAGTTGATGAAGCTTGGTTTAGTGGCGGCGGTGCCGTGCTTTACCTTTGGATTTCTGGACAACGCCATCATGTTGGTGGCCGGCGAGCAGATCGAGGCGCATCTCGGCATGAGTCTAGGCTTGAGCGCGATGGCCTGCGCGGCCATGGGCAACATCGTGGCCGACACGACGGGCCAGGTCTCCGGCGGGACGGTCGAGCGTTTATTGAGACCCGTGCTGCCGTGCGCGAACCTGTCGGCCGCGCAGCGCGCGACGGCGAGCGCGACGCGCGTCCATGCATTGGGCGGCGCGCTGGGCATCATCGTGGGCTGCGTCTTCGGCATGTTTCCGTTGCTCTTCTACGAGGACCCGACGCCGTTCCCGCCCGCCGACTGCGGCTGCGACGACTGAGTGTTTTTTGCGGGGGTAATCAATTCGTTTTTGGATGAACTGGGTCGTCTACGAACCACGTTGCCTCGATGGCGTGAAGGGGCAGCAGACCCCTGGCGGTTTGACGATGTTACGGTGCTAGGACTAGTGGGCGTAGTCCCTGGGGGGGAGACACCGCGCGTCGCCGATTCATCGGGGCTGTGCAAAAAAAATGCTAGTGTCTACACGACGCTAGTTAGTCGTGGCGTCGACACAAAAGAGCTGAGCAGGCACGCATTGTTGCACAGCTCAAGCGCAGGTGTGCAAGCGTTGCTACTCAGCAACCGCCCCGAGCACACGACCATTCGCCGCGCCGTCCTTGACGCACAGTCGTCGGGTGGAGTTTGCGTGGCCGACGACACAGTTTGCGCACAAGGAAAAGGCAACGGGGCTTGCGCTGCACGACAGCTGCAGCCTTGCATGCGCCGTAACAATAGCAGCAGCAACAAGCTAGCAGCCGCCGAGCAAGGCCTGCCAAAAAAAAAGATGCCAAAGCCGCAGCCGTGGCTCGTACTACTCTCGCAACGACGCGTCGCCCTCGCTGGAGCTTTGGTAGCGTTCGCCGTCCTATACGCGTTCTCACGACAAGACGAGGCCAAGGATAATGAAGAAATACCATGCGACGTCCTCACAAACCCCCGCTGGGCGCCGCGCCTCCCTTCTTTGGTCGAGCTTTCGTTGAGGAACTGCGGCCTGACGGAGCTGCCGGCGGCCATCGGCCAGTGCGCATCGCTCAAGAAACTTGATTTAGGAGGCAACGACCTCACGGACCTACCGATGACGTTAGCAAAGTGCACGCGGCTCGAAATCCTCTTCGTGCTGGGGAGCAGACGCATGCAGAGTGTCCCGAAGGTCCTCGCGCGAATGACGTCGCTGACGCGCCTGGGACTCAAGAGCAACGGCCTCACCAAGTTACATGGAGACGCGTTACCCCCGCACTTAATCCACGCCATCTTCACGGACAACCAAATTACGACAATCGATGAGGAAGCGTGGCGCAAGTTCTCTTCTATAAGAAAGCTCATGTTGGCGAACAACAAGCTCACTTCGTTTACTGGCGGCACTAACCCCTCAAAAAACCTAGCATCCCTAGAATTAGTGCGCCTCGCGAACAACGACCTGCAGTCCCTGCCGGACGAAGTGCTGAGGGCGCCTAGATTAGCTTGGGTCGCGCTGGCCGGGAACCCGCGGCTCGTCGGCTTCGGCCAACTGGCTAGCGCGCTCGAGACGACGATGGCCCGGATCGATTTCAGCGACGCCGTCGCCCTCGGCAAGGGCGCTTCCGGCAGTGTGCGGTCCGCGTCCTTCAAAGGCACGCCCTGCGCCGTCAAGGAGCTGCTCGAGACGTCGTCGGACGGCGCCGCGCGGGACGAGCTCGCGGTGCACGAGCGCGTTGCTGGGGAGACGCCTTCCACATTAATCAAGACGCTGGCCATCATACGAGAACCGCCGGCCGTCGTCATGGAGCGCCTGACGAAGAATGCGAGGGACCTCGCGAGGCCCCCTACCATAATAGAAGTGACGCGGGACCGCTACGAGGACGGCGAGCGCTTCTCGAGCGCCTTCTCCATTACGCTCCTAAAGGGTTTGGCCGAGGCGCTGCGGTACCTGCATTCGAAGCGCGTGGCGCACGGCGACGTCTACGGCCACAACACGCTCGTATTGGATTCGACGGGCGCGGCGAAGCTCGGGGACTTTGGCGCGTCGTTCTACTACGGCGAGCTCGCGCCGTCGGCGCAAAGGCTGATCGAGCGCGTCGAGGTCCGCGCGTTCGGGGTCTTGTGCGCGGAGGTCGCGACGCGAATCGTCGGCGCGGCGGCGACGCGGGACCGGCTCTTGGCCGTCGCCGACGACTGCCTCCAGGGCGACGCGGCGGCGCGGCCGTCGTTCGAGAGGCTGGTGGCGGCGCTGGGTAATGTGAACTAATCGTACCAGGTACTTATGCGACGGGGGGGGAGCGATTTCTTGTGAAGGTTTGAGCAGCTAGGCCGCGACGAACGTCTCTCCGTCGTATGTGCCACGGACGAGCGCGACGTCGGCGACGTCGGACCAGGGCTCGCCATCGTCGACGTTGTACACCTCGTCCGTCGTGAGCGCTTCGTCTGTGCGGCACGGGCCGGTGCACGCCGTGCAATCTTCCTTGTACCAGTCCTTGTACTGCAGTGAGGCCAGGCAGACAGGTATTTTTGGCGCGCGACTCGCGCGGCCGAAGCTCTCAGGGCCAAGGCGGGTACGTATTTTTAGAGTTGGGGCCATTGGTAGCGGCGGCTGAACAGACTTGTGCGGTTGTGTGGAGCTCCCGGTTTGCAATGCGAATGCTGAATGCTGGGTCTGCACATCGAGGACCCCCCCACTCTGGGAAATGCGCTATGCCGGAAATTCCGGACGAGATCGAACGTCTACCAAAGCTGAAGCACGGCTCGCTAGCGACTCAGACGCGGTGGGATTGGTTCCTATCGCGCTCGCGGGATTTTCCCGCGCGCGGGGAACACGAGATGGACAGGTCGCGTTCACAAACGTTACGAACAGCAAACAAACTACGAACGGCCGCGTCCGCGAGACCGCGGCACGCGCGCCCCGCCGCCGCTACTCGTCGGCCGATACGCCGCCGCGGCGTCGCCGCGTCCACGGCCTCGACCGCGGCCCTTGCCGCCTCGTCCGCGCTTGGGTTGAGGCGGCGGCGGCGGAGGGCCATGTCGAGGCGGCGGGCGTTTTGCGAGCGAGGGGGCGGGCGGTGGAACGACGGTAAAGTGAGCGGGCGGTGGCGGAACGATGGCATGGAGAACGGGCGGCGCAGAATACGACGGCGCGGCGGCGTGCGGACCGCGCGGCGGCGGAACAGGGTGGCCGCGCGGCGGTGGTGCCCGTCCGCGCGGCGGCGGCGCCCGGCCGCCGCCGCCACGCGCTCGGGGCAGAGGCGGATACGCTGCGGCGCCGTCGGCAAGAAGCCTAACAGCGGTGCGGCCCTTGGCGTCGACGATCACGGGCGTACCCCAAGCCGGAGGCACCGCTTCGTCGACGGCGGCTTCAATAGCGTCGACGTCGATGGCGTCGTTCGCCCCCCACCAAAGACTGGCGATGGGCGAGCCGTCGTCGAGGAGCAATCGCGCCTTCGTCGGTAATAAGGCCGCAGCGGACCGCCCTGGAATCAAACAAGCTAGCGCAGCGACGGGCGAGATCGGCGGCCGCGGTACGCACTTCGGGGCGGGCGCGCCGCAGGCCCGCACGAGGTCCCCGACGGACGGCCTGCCGGGGTACGCGTAGAGCAGGCGCCAGTCCACGCAACGGCCGCGCACGTACATGGCCAGGGTCCACTCGAGCTGGTCCAACCAAGCTGCCGCGTCCCAGGCGCGCTTCATGGGAGCCGGGATCGCGGGCGCCGGAGCGTCGTCGTTCGCCGGCGTTTCGGCCGCGGCCGGCTGGCGCTTCATTTCCGCGGCCGTGTGCGCATCGTGTTCGTCGGGGCCCAGCGCCATACAGAAGCTTTTCGCGCGCCGCTGCTTCTGAGTACGCGATGCGCCCCAACCTTTACTGTTCTTCGCGCTCGCGCAGACCTGTGTGGAAATCAAAATTTTACGGCGCGTTCAGCGGCCGCGTCATCGCCGAGAAATGACTTAGTGAAGAATTGTCGGGTGCACCCGACGCACTGGTTGATTTCCACACAGGCGCAGACCTCGACCTCGCCGCCGCCGGCGGGCACGCGGATGGGCACGCCGTGTTTGATTGTCTCGAGCGGAACGGCGTCGAGCGGCGCGCCGGTCTCGTAAGCTTGCGCCGCGCACCACGCCCCGCCGTTGGCGCGCCGCCAGCGGACGCGGTACGTGAGAGTCTCCGCGCCGCGCGCCACGTCACCGAAGTCCCGCGGCGGCAACACGCGGACGTTACAGAGGTCCGCCCGCCTTGGCTCTAACGTGGTGATGACGGTCCGCGGAGCTGCCGGCGCGCCGTCGGCGCGCCGCCGCCCGAGCGCCGCTTCCCGCAGATCGCCGCTCTCGCCCTTCCCTTCGCGCGACTCGCCAAACGCCTTTAGGACAGCCGCGAAGGCCGCGCGGTCCAGCGCGCCGTCGCGCCAGAGCGGCCCCGCCTTACTCTTTTTCAACGCACTCCAGAGGTGTGGTGCGGAATGTTGCAGCCCGGGCAGGTAGTCGTTGCCGCCGCCGGCGATGGCCAAGACGGCCAGGTCTAAGGGGTGCGCCGGCGCGACGCGCTTCGCTAGAGTCTTCACGTCTATGAGCCGCCCGTTCTCGTCCAGGATGCGCAAGCGTCCTCGTCGCTGGCACCGCCTGTGTGGAAATCAAAATCTTACGGCGCGTTCGTGCTGAATCATCGCGTCGTCCTCCACGCCGTCGACGCGATGCCTGCTCGATGGCGTGGCGATGCCGGCTCTTCTCCGCTCGACCGAGCCAGGACGGCCGCGTCATCGCCGAGAAATGACTTAGTGAAGAATTCTCGGGTGCACCCGACGCACTGGTTGATTTCCACACAGGGCACCGCGAAAGCGCCATGGCCACTAAGTCGGCATCACCACCGTACACGACGACGTCGCGGTCTCCGTACGTGTCCGCGTACTCGAAGGCCTTCAATTCGCCCTCGCCGGCGACGGACGCGTCGCTGAGGACGACCCTCCGGAAGCCGCGGCCCTTCGCGAGGCGCTTCGCCGCCCAGGCGTCGAGGCGCTCGGCGAGCGCCCTCGAAAACGCCGTGCCGGGGCTGATCATCAGCGTCGTGAACTTGGCCTCGTCCACGACGTCTTCGTCGTAGCCGTCTGCTCGCGCTGCGGACCGGCCGCGGAGCCGCCGCGCCCGTTGCGTCGTGAGCTTGGCCAGAGGAGCGGGTCCGTCGGAGAAGAGAGCGAGCGTTTGCGACGCGCGCACCGTGGGGCCCGGCCGCCGCTCGTCGAGCAGCCCTTCGAGTCGCTTGAGGATGAGCTTGTGGGCTTGCGCCGGCGTGTTCGCTTTGCGGGCGGCGCCGTGGACGAGCGAATTCATATCCACCAACAGGTCCTCGCAGTCGACCCTTGACGCCTTCTGCGTGCACCCAAACGTCGCGTCGACCCACTTGTGGAAGTTGTTGATGCCCATGGCGACCTGTGTTGTCCGACCGTCGCGGCGCTCGGCCCCCGTCTTTAATCAGAGGCGATCGACCGCGCGGCCGTGCGCTGCGTTTTGCAGCGCGGCTCTTCGCGCCAAAACCCCATGCGCCGTCGAACGGTAGAGTCGTGGAACATGCTGATGAAGGAGGCGCGTTTTGTTTTGTTGTGGTTGGGACGCTGTGCGCTACTGCTGGTGTCCTTGCGACGCCGCGCGCGCCGACCTCTGCGCTATGCAATCAGTGCACAGCCTGCCAGTGACAGGCTTTGCAAAACAGCGTCTCAGCCTGCACAGCGTAGGGCTCTGCCTCCTAGCCTAGCCTCAATTTAACCGACGGGTTTTGCCTCGGGAAAGCTAGTATGTATGTACACTAGTTCACTGCTTCTGCCGACGTGCAATCGCACGCAGCAACACAGCAGGTGCCAGCACTGCACTCGCAGCCGCAACATCCCACCCGGGGCAGCCAAACACGCGCACCATGCCCGTGGCCAACCAATTGCCACCGGGCCAGCAGCAGATTTACGACCACTTCGACACGGAGAGCAGCTACAGCCTTGATGACCTCGCCGAAGAGTTCCTTCAGTACTCAAAACGAGACATCGGGAGATTTCTCGGGCGGCTGCGCGGGCGCGGCTTCCTGCGGTACGAAGAGCTTAGCGGGCGCTACACACGCGTGCCGGAGCACGAACGCGAGGACGAGGAGCAGCCCGTGGAGGACGAGGATGAGGAGCCGCCACGCGCCCTCGACATCTCCCTTCTGGTGGCGGGAGGTCTCTTCCTCCCGATCCGGCTCCCCTGCTTTATTCCCGGCGTTATGGAGCACGCCCCTGCCTGTCAAACATGGGCTGCTTCCCTGCCTGTCTTCGATGAACACGTGTTCTTGATCGAAATGAGAAAGAACCTTGCGCTGACGCTGGTGCTGCTCTGCGCCTGGGCTTCCCTGCTGCAGACCAGCGTCGCGACCAAGAAGGCAGTGCTCAGGGCAGTGGCCTCGCTCATGAGCATTCAGAACCTATGGGCCACATTCGTCGCGCACGGACTGGCGTCTCCCGAAATGCTGGGGGACTTCGTGTTTTTGGCCGCGCTCATGGTCGCGGCGATTCTTCTCACCGCACCGGATGCGAAGGCGGGCAAGAAGAAGTGAGCAGCCGACGGCATGCACACCAGATATTTCTTTGAGACGCTTCATTCCGCTAGAACCTTTAAGTCATGACTCACCCTTAGCAAGCCCCCACAGCATCTCGTAGAACTCCCGGTGGACCGGCTCCCAGGCCATGCCGTCCACCGACAGCGGCCGCTCGACGTACTTGCCGTCGACGGAGCCGGCCGCGCAGATGGCCTCGAGGACCGCGCGCTCGACGCCCGCCTCGAGATCGTCCAACGCGGTCGGGAAGAGCGCGTGCGCCGCGGCTTCCAGCGCGGACCCGCCCCAGTTCGACACCGTCGCGACGAGCGGGTGGTCGCAGGCCCGCAGCGCGCCGTTCACGCCCAGCGCGCAGAAGTCCTCGCCAGGCGATAAGGAAGCGACGGCGTCGAGCTGGGCGACCCGCCCCAGTCCGACTTCGTTGCCACCATCCCCAATCCCGACGGAGACGGCGTCCTCCCGAATGCCCGCTTTCCGCCGCGCCTCTCCACAGGACGACCCGTCGACGTGGGGCCACAGCACGTCGACGGGCTCCGTGTGCGCCGCGAGGTCGTGTCCTCTGATGTTGCGGTAGGGCTCGGACAGGCGCTCGACGGCGACGAGCGCGTCGACCTCGCCAGCTGCCTCCCAGGCCTTTTCCAGGGCGCCTTTGAGCGCCTCTAAATGATCGACACCGTCGGGGACGTCGACGCAGCGGCAGTGGCTCCTTAATCGATCCGCGACGGCGGGCCTCGTGGTTGCATAGTACGCTATCATGGCGTCGAAGCCCGCTTTCAGGACGGGCCCGTTGTGCGCGTCGCAGTATAAGGACGTTTGCACGCCGCGCGCGCAGAGGGCCCGCACGACCGCTAGAGCTCCCGGCGGACCGTCGGTCTCGCACGAGCCCGTCGCGCCCTCCAATTGATCGTGGAGCACGTAGAAGCCGCTCACGACGAGCGCGTGCTTGACGGTCCCGTCAAAGAGGGCCGTCGCCGCGCGTTCCAGCGAGCCCTGCAATCGGCCCTCGACGTAAAGCTTCTCGACGTGGCGCCCGCAGCTGCTGCCGGCGTGGCGGAAGCCGCCCTCGAGGCCATACAACTTCGCGTCGTCCAGATTCATGGCCAAGTTGACTTCCATCGCAGCCACGCGCCTTTTTGGAGCTGTGGCCATGCTCCGCGCGAGGCCTATTAATGAGGTGCGTGCGAGGGCCGAGCGCATCCAGCTACTTGTGTTTTGCGGCTTCGGCAGTAGGCGCATCGCGCTGGCGCAGTAGTTTGCAAACGCGACGTGTGCGCTGCACGAGGCAGCCTGCTGCAGCCTCTGGCAGAGAGCTGTGGCTTTGCAGCGCGTCAGGCAGCGCGCGACGGCCGGCAGCGATCGATGCGATGCGTGCGCGATTCCTGAGTGTGCAGAATGCGTCTCCTGCAGAGCTTTGGCCAAAAAGCAGCGTGCAAAAGCAGGCATGGGCTAGCTGCAAGACACTAGCAAACGTTTCGAGAGCCGTCCTTGCGAGCCGGTATATCAGCACTCATAGCGCGACCTCCAGAGTTCTCGTATCATGGGAAGGTGATCTCCGGGCACGACCCGAGCCGAAACTTGAGTGGCTGGCTGCGAGCTTGACCCGAAGGCGAAACACGCGAGCGGCGCTGCCCAACGGCGCGCAAAGACGCGCGTGCTACCACGGCTGCTTCCGCGCTGCCCCGGACGACGTCGCGCCTCGTAGCGCGACGCAGCATCGCCTACTTTCTGGTGGTCAGAGCCGCCCATTGCAAGCTGCCCCGCCGCCTTCACCGCATCATACCACGCAAGCCACGCAGGATGCTCTGGGACGAGTTCTGCTTCGCCACGACGCAGCCGCTCCCCGACGCCGAGCTCGAGAAGCTCCAAGCCGAAGAGGCCGCGGCGCGCCGCCGCATCTGCGAGGGCCTCTGCGGCCCGACGCTCGCGCCTCTACTCCAAGACGCGTGCGCCCGCGTCTCCACCCACCTCGACGCCGCGGCGACGGGCTGCGAGAGTTTGTTGGAGGCGACGGAAGACCGGCTCCGCGCGATGCGCGAGGCGCCGCCGCTCGTGGAGTTCATCCAGCGCGACTGCGTCATCGCGGCGACGGCGCCCTTCGCGCTCATCGCGGAGGGCCTCAACTGCCTCACCCCCCAGACGCCGCCGCCGGCCGCCCCCGAGCCCGTGGAGCCCGAGAAGCCCGACGGCTTCATCAGTATCGACAACAAGTTCGACGTCTTCGTCTGCACGAACGTCTAGAAATCCCCTACCCATTGCCTAAACACTTACAGTCGCCTACTCGCACTCACCAAATCCGTCGCTCGAGATTCGAAGGACCAGGCCAATTCCCCCTCCACGTGAAATTCCAAAGCGACGCCGACCGTGTGGTCCTCGAGGTTGAGCACGGCGTGGCCCCAGCCCGCGGGGACGTAGAGCGACGCGTTCTCCGGCTGCACGCACTGGTAGGCTCTCGCATCCTTCCTGTCCAACCACGACACGGCGGGCACTCTAGAATATAACGCCGACGCCGGCGGCCAGAGCAGCCACCGCTTCTTGCCTTTTACTAGGAAATTCATGGCATGACTATGGTAGTGCGCCGGGGCGCCGCTGTAGCGCGAGCCGACGAAGAACTGCGCGTCGTGGATAATCATATCACTGACAGGGGAATCCCCGACGCGCGCCTTGATGACGTCGAACAGCGGATGGTCCGTACTCACACCGTCCCACCGGATCTGCTCGAAGACGTAGGACGGAGCTTCGACGTCTTTCTTTTTTCTGCGCTGCGTTTCCGCATTTGCCGACTCGTCGGCGGACCGCGCCATGGCCTCCCGCAGTGTCAGCACGCGTTCGGTGGTTGCGAAGGCCGACGCGTAGGGGATGGGGCCGCTCCTCACCAAAGCGCCGCCACCTAACGCTTCTAAGCGCGCGCGGTCGCCCCAGTCCTCTCTCGCTTTATTCCATGATGCATCCAACGCGTCTCTGCGTATCACCGGTCTGTGGTTGCGGATCGCATCCAGTACCTCATCATCCGTATGCGCGACGGCCACTACTTCATCACAGTTCTGATCAGAAGCGTCGAAAGAGGTGTGCGGCGCGGGTTCTTGTTTAGGTGCGTGCCACCGTTCTCTTTCTAAGCGCGACTCCGCTAGAAGTTGTAAAGCGTCCGGATGCTTTGAAACGGCTCCACTAATGACGTCCTTGTACGGCACGTCAATAGATGGTAGTGCCGACGCCGCGTCCCGTACCAAATGCGGGTGCAAAAAGTGGAGGAAGGTTCTATTTTGAGAATCCCGCGCATCGACGGGAGCACCGTTCTGGACAAGTAACGCCACGGCTCTCCCATAAAATCCGCACTGCGCTAAAACATCGGCGGTCGCGAGCGCCGGCTGCCCGTCGCTCGTCGCCAAGGACCGCACGAGGGGAATGCAAGCCTCATCCAAATCCAAGGCCTGCGTGTTCAGCTCGCCGGCGCCCGCCAGTAATCGCGGGAGCGTGACGGACCAGATCTTCCACGAGCCTCCACACACATGTAAGGGGGCGAAGCCGCCGAGGGCGTCTTTTTGTGTCAAAGCTCCTTGCAAGGTCTGGGATCGTTCCAATGAATCCAGCAGCAGTTCTAAGGCTCTGACATTTCGTTTGGCGCAGGCGATGTGCAGGGGCGCCTCTTTGGAGGGAGTGCGCGTCGGCTGCGTCGCGTCGGCGCCGGCCTCGAGCATCCAGGCGAGCATCATGTTCCACCTGTGAGGCATCGCGTCGTTTTCCTTGCGTTTAAGTGGCGTGCTCTCGTCCAGCGACGGCGCACGAGCACCAGCACACGCGTGTGTTATCGCGTGGATCACGAACGAACGGGTACGCCGTCGACGCGTCACGCGTCGGCCCCACGCCATCGACGCGACGTCCGCTCGATCGATGGCGTAGAGGGTAGAAATCCTGCTTGCCCTTGCGTTTGAGTGCGCGACGCGTGCTCTCATGTGTTCTCGCGTCGATGAAGGCACGAAACTGACGCCGCGTCGAGACGGGTTCTGGACCGGCCGCGTGGGAAACCACGACGACGCCCACAAGAGTAACACGCGGTGTATCGGATTGAGACCGTCGTGGGGCGTCGTCTCGTCCTCAAAGTCGATGCAAGGTTTGCCGCAGTGGTCGATAAGCACCTTGGCCACCCCAAACACGTTGCGGTCCTGGCACTTCAGCGCCAGATCTAATGCGCGTAGGTCGCGGGCATCTCGTAAGCGCGGATTCGCGCCGAGCTGGAGCAGAGCCATCGTGGCCCGCGGGTCGCAGTTCCGCGCGGCGCGCAGCAGAGGCGTGTCGGCCGTCTCCATTGAAGCCGCCGACGCGAAGAAGCCGCCCACGCCGAGCGCGCCCCTGACATCAACATCAGAATCCTTGAGGAGCTTCCGGAGCTGCGCTATCCGAGCCTCGACCACCGGCTCGCGCGCCTGCGTCCCCGACACCTCCTTGAAGACCGCGAGCACCTGTTTGAGGCGCGGCGACGTCGTCGTAGCTATTTTCGTGCCGCACTCGACGTCCAGAGCCAGCAAGGCGCGGTCGATCGCGCTCGCGTTCGTTCCCGTCGCGAGCGGCGTCTCGCCCGCGGCGCGCACGAGCGTCGTCGTGGAGCTTCTTACGGCGGCGACCAGGACGGCGTCGTTGGCCCGCAGCGCTGGTGCGATGCTCGCTGGTGCGGTGACGACGCCGCAACTTGGCAGTGGCACGGCACAGTCGTTGCTCGCGTAGCATTTCAGGATCGTCTGCGCGTGGGCCGTGGCCGCGTCGCGGTTGAGAAACACTGCGGCGACGGCTGCGATCGCTGCGACGGCGGCTGCGACGTAGATGCTGCTCCGCGACGGCTTTGGTGCGGTGGCATCTCTTGCAGCAGCTTTGGTGCCGTTTTTGGACGGCTTGCTCTTATTCTTTTTGGCCATTTTTGCCTGCAGCACTGTGACAGCACTGCTGCGCCGCACTCTGCGCGCTTTTGACGGCAGCAGAGGCTTGCTTACCTGAGCTCAGCCTGCTTAAAGCTGAGGTCAAGTCTCGCTCCTAGAGTCCCTGTACGCTAGCTGGTTCAATTCAAATTTTGACGCGTCTGCTGCAAAGGGGAGTCTGAGGGGGCAGCACAGGAGCCCTGGAGGCTTCAATTGAGGGTTTCGTCAAATCATCAGCCGCTGGCACCTGTCCAAAACAGCGCATTGCGCGGGCGAGGCTTGGCCGAGGCTACACACCCAGCCACCTCCACCCGCCAACGAGGCCACCCTGCCGTGATAAATTGAGCTGCGCCGCCACTTTTCACGAAGCCGGCCCTCGTGCGCCAGTCGTCAGAGCAGGCTCTTTTGTTCACCGGCGCACAACCGCGTAGCGCAGCGGCCCGCCGACGCCGCCGACGCCTCGTAGCAGTCGGTCAGCCCCCCGGACGCCGCCGACGCCTCGTAGCAGTCGGTCAAGACCCGGCGAGACTAACACATCCTCGCGGACCACGCGGAGGAGTCACTCGCCCTCAAAAGAACGCCGCACGGCACGCCGCCCACGAAGAACGCAAAAAGAACCATGGGCCGCCACCGCCCGAAAGAACCATCGCTCACGAAGCTGCAGCTCATGCTCGCCTTCAGCCTCGTCTCGACCGCCCCGTGGACGACGCTCTGGTCCGCGCCGCAACTCCCCACCATCATCGTGGACCCGAGCGCCTCGATCCTCCGGAAGGGCACGCAGCATTTGGAGCAGGCCATCTACGTGTCCAACAGCTCGCTGAGCGTCATAGAGGTCGCAGAAACGCTCGACACGCTCATGCCCGTCATTACCGTACTGGCCTCCTTCATCACGACGCCCCTACAAAGGGATAGTGTTAACCTCAGAAGAGCAGCAGAAGTGACGCTCGAGACCTCGAGGCAGAGCCACGTCGACCTCGACGACCTCGTGAGCCACGAGGAGGACCTGGCGTATCGAGGCCACCGGCCCGTCGCCGCTTCTGCGTATTGGTCCTTGCTGTTCCTGGACTTCTTCGAGCACATCCTCGAAGGCGTTATAAAGAAGAGCTCCATCACATTGGACCCCTCACCAAACAAAGAGAAGGAGGCGAACGCGGCCATCAGACAAGCGGGCAGGGACGCCTACGACAAGACCTATGCACACCACCACAATCGAGTTGTCAGAGCTATTGCGAGAAAGGTCTTCGATTTCCTGCCTCCTAGGGAGGTCTTCTACCGCGCGTTGGGCGACGCGGGCGCCGATAGACACAGGTGGGGCAAGCACCTGCGCCGCGACTTCGAAAGCTTCCTGAAGGCGTCGCGGCCCTTCGTGAAGCGCATGCGCGGCCACTTCGCCGAGGCGCCGGCGCCGACGTTCTAGACCGACTGTTGTTGTTACATCCCTCCCCCCTATAGATAATAAAGAGAAGTTTATTCATTCGTCGCGGCGACGGCGTCGTTGGGGGAGGCTGCGGCGCGGGCCTCGCGGCGACGGCGTGGGCCGCGGTAAGGCCATCGTGAGCTGTTGTGCTCTCGGGTATCCCTCTATCCGTGGGGAAAGCCCCTGGGTACGGCTGTATGAGTCCAAGGGAGGCGCACGTTCTGGGGAAACTGCCCCAGAACCGCTGAGATTTTGCCTCGAGAGTTGAGCCGATACAGCAAGCCGAAGGCAGTTTTCGCTGCCCTTTTGCATTCTCGCGAGCGGAGACTCGCGTACTACACAAAAAAAAAGTACCACGCGCGCGTGCGCAGCCGACCATGTCCAGAGCGCGCGTGGTGCGCACACTTTACCGCAACCTGCTCAGACAAGCTCGAAGAGCCGACGCCGACGTGATCCTGCGGCACCAAATCTCCAAGCAGCCTGTGGACGTGCTGCAGGTCGCCTCCGCGGGCCTCGGCCGGAGCTGCCGCTCGATCAACGTCCAGATACGCGGCCAGCGCGGCCGCATCCCACGGCTGCACGCCGTCTATGACCGCGACGTGGCGCCGGCGGACTTCGCTGCCGCGTCAGCGACCGTGACGCCCACGCCGGCGACGCCCGAGAAGGTCTGGATGTCAACGGTCGACAAAAGCACGGGCCGCACGTACTACTACGACCTCCTGACGCGCGAGACGACGTGGCAGAAGCCGGCGGGCGAAATTCGAGAGTCGACCGGCGACGACAGCGCCGCGGCCAAGGACGCACTGCTGCCCAAGTTAGCCTCCGTTCCGGTAGTTGCGCAGCACGCCGACTACGGCGACAACGTCTTCTACGACGGCGCCGCTACACCAGCCGGGCCGGACGGCGTCTTCGTGAACTTTGACGACGGCGACACCTACGGCTGGACGGGCGACGAGGCGCAATCGAACGTTCGGCGCAAGGTCCTCGTGCGCGAGGAGACGCCGGAGCCGGGAACCAAATTATTGGTTGTGGCCGCGCACTACGGCCGAGGCCCCATGCGGTATCATAAGTGGGTGCGCGCCGAAGCCGCTGCGCCGGTCGCCGACGAAAAGCCGGCCGCGTGGACGCTGACGAGCTTCTGCCGCCACGCATTCCGCCACCCGGAGGCGCTGGAGGGCCTGAACTACGCGGAGGGGGGGAACGCGGCCTCGTCTGCCAACGACGGCCTCGCCGAGGCGCTGGACGCGTTCACGGCGGAGCGGGCGCAGTTGGACAAGGGGTTTGAGGTACTCAAGGCCGTCAACGAGGCGGCGGGGCGTGTTTCGCGCTACGGCGCGTCAGATGCCGACGAGGTACAGCTATCACCCCTTGGTAGCGAGCCGCTGCAGCGCCCGGACTTCGACGAACGAACGTCGCTCATAGCTGCGAACGCCGCCTACTACTCGGCCGTGCGACGAAAGGACGCGGACTTGATGGAGCAACTCCTCGACGACGACTGTACCATGGGGAACTCCCATAATTACACGCGGGGCAAGGAACAGAACGCGAGGGACTTTCGGAACTATTGCGAGAATCAAACGCCGCCGAAATACCCCTACCTCGTCGAGATCGATGACGTCGAAGTGTTCCTTGACTCGGAGAACGTCGGGCGCGTCGTCGTCACGGAGCGCAACACGGCGGACTGGTGCGCGTCGTCCGACGACTGGCGAGCGTCGCAGTCGCCGGTTACTATTGCCCGCGAGGTCAACGTGAACACGTTCGCCCGCTCGGCGCCCGGCCAACCGTGGAAGCTCCGGCAGCGCCAGGAGACGCGTGTTGATTTCGAGACGAACGCGCGCTCGGACCAGGCACAGGCGTGATTCCGTTTTTTTCCCTTTGCTTTGCTTAGAGCTAGACTGCGTAGCCACCACGACCGACGCCTTTCATTTTTATGTCCCTTCAGGATCCCCTCAGTACTAAGATCAATTGTTAATTACATACAATCCACACAACATCAAGAAGCCTCGTCGGCGACGCGCCGCGCCCCCGCCACCAGCTTCGCCACGTCAAAGCTCGCCGCCCCGTCGCCGCGCCGCGCCGCCCCGAACGCCAAGCGATTGGAAAACGGAGCGATGCGCGTGCCGAACTGGATCGCCCGCTTGACGAGCGTAGAAGTAAGGGGCAGGCCCAGGCTGAGCGCCAGCGAGCGCAGCGCGCGCTTGCAGCCGTCACCGGGAGGGAGCGCCAGGTCCGCGACGCTCGAACCCAGGTCCATCCTCACACAACGCACGACGTCCTCGTCGAGGAACGGGTAGCGCGCCTCGCGCGCCCACGCCGCCGTGACGCGGTCGTCCCGCCCCAAATTGCGCGTGGCGATCCGCGCGACGTCGCCGCCGACCTCGCGCTCCAACTCCTCGAGGCCGCCCCGCTTGAACGCCGTGCGGTGCCGCGCGTAGCCCGCTAATAATTCATCGGCGCCCATGCCCAGCAGCAGCGCCCGGGCGCGCGTCTTCACTATCGCCTTTTCTACGACGGCGGGCGGCGGCGCCGGCGGCGCGTCCGCCCGCGCGCACTTCTCGGCGTACGTCAACCGCTTGGGATGCGCGCCGCACGCGTAGGCGGCGTCGCTCCGGCCCTTCCGGCGGCAGCACCCGCCGCAGAGGCCCGACACGCACCGCGCCTTCGCGGCCTTGCCGCAGGTCCGGCATTTTCCGTCCGCGCGCAGGTCGGGGAGTTCTTCCCGAGGCGCGTCCGTCGCGTAGCGCAGCAGGCGGTGCTCACCATCGCCGCCGTCGGCGTGGTCCGCGTCGGAGCCGTCGTACAAAACGCCCTCGCCTTTCGCCGCCACGTAGAGCGCCGCCGCGATGTTGAAATCCATGTGCGTCGAGCACGGCGCGGCCAGCGCGGCGACGTCGTCGGCGATGCGCGCGAGGTCTCCGGGCGCCGCCGTCGCCTCGATCAGGCGGAACTTGCGGGAGGGACATGCGGTACGCAGCTCCCGCAGCGCGGATCTCGCCGCGAGGCGGTCCGGCGCCTTCTCCGCGTCGCCGCGCCGCTCGCCGAAGGCCACGTTGATCAAGTCGATGGTCGCGTCCGCCGGCAGCGCGTCGTGCGCGAGCCGCGCGAGCACGACCGAGTCGAGGCCGCCCGAGAATAGCACCGCGACCTCCGAGAGGCCGGCGCAACGCCGCTTTACGGACGCCGCGAGGGCCACTCCAAGCGTTTTGGATGCGTCCGCGGGCCCGGCCTCGCGCCACGGCCGGCCCGCCGGCGGCCAGCCCACGCCGTCGAAGAAGGACCGGTGCCAGGCCGCGCAGCCTCCGACGTAGTGCACGCCCTCCGTGGTTACTTCCGTCCAGCCCGCGCCGTCGTCGCGGGGCGCCGTCGACGCGATCTCTCGTCCGCGCACCACGAGGCTCCGCCGGCCGAAGGGGTCGCGGCAGTAGAGCAGCGTCCGCGCCGCCGCGCAGTAGAACGCGAGCGCGTAGGGGCCCCGCACGCTTGCGGCCAGAGCGTCCGCGGCGCGCGCCGCCGCCGTCTCGGCGTCGGGCGCGCCCGCCGTCGCCTCGGCGAGCAGCGCTAGCACGGCCGGCGCGTCGGCGGCGTCCGGCGCCGGACCGCCCTGGAACCACTCGCCGTTCCAGCAGAGGGCGTTGCCGCTGGCGTCGGTCGCCGGTTGCCTCGCGTCGCCTTTTGAGCGCATGGTTAAAACGCTCGCGGCGAGAGCGACGTGCGGTGCTGGTACGCAGGCGTCGAGGCTGTCGGGGCCTCTTCGTGCTATGCCGCAGCGGGAGGCTAATTTGAGGACTGCGGCTTTTGCGGCTTTGGCATCTTCGGCTGTAGGCGCGTCCTCTGCCTCCGCCCAAAGGATGGCTGCAATGCCGCACATTGGCTGCAGTTTGTCACAGCGATGCGAGAAATGGACAGCGATCGAAAGTGGCAGCGCAGCGATGCAAATACAATCTCAGGCCGAATTCTTGGCAGCTATAGTGGCTGATTAGGAGGCTGCTGCGTAAAAAAGCTGGAGACTAGTGTCTTTATAGTACGCTAGCCCCCTGTTTGCGGATTTTCCGGACGCGAGAGCAAGCCCTAGCGCTGCCCAGCTAGCAAAGAGTATCTTTTGCATCGATTATACGCGCTGTACGAAAATTCATCGCTGCGGCGCATCGCTACAGGGTGTGCAAGCCACTGGCAGGCTGTGCACTGATTGAAAGCATGCTGAATCGCGCTGCACGGCTTGTCGCGCGCTCACGACGCGCAAGCACGACGGGTGCTACATCGCAGGAATGGAAAGCCGCAGGCTTGGGCGCACAATGGGCGCCTCCAGAGACAACCCTTAACGAGATCGTGTTCGTGCAAGCGGGGATGGGCTGCGACCAGCATGGCACGGCTGGTGCGAGCAAGGCCGCCACGCGTGCATGCCGCCAGGCCATCGAGTTTAACGCGTTGCCGTATATGGAGACGCTCCTGCGCGACCGCGGATACGAGCGCGGTCGCGGAGATATGTTGCTAAAGGTCGAGATCGGAGTGCCGGAAGACCTCGTGGACTCCGTGTCCGTCGAAGACATCCGCGCCATGTTTCCGTACGGTCGGATGCTCCCCGTGGAGGTGCGTGCGGGCGGCCTGGACTTCCAGTCCGGTCGCGTCGTGGAAGCGTTAGGCGACGCCGCGGATCGAGCCGTCGTGGCCGTCGCTGCGGTCACGGTTGGGTTTTAATTCTGTTGTTCCAGTTACTCCGGCGAACCCCCGCCGCCGTCCGCGAAACCTAAATGAGTGAACACCGTCGCCTCCGCCCCCTCAAAGACCTCCGCCTCCGCTTGAGCCTCATCCACGCGCGTCCAGGCGTCCCCACACTCCTCCTCGTCGGGCGCGGGCAGCCCACGGTTTGTGGAGGGAGGATCGGGCATGCGGTAGACGGCCCACCGCCGGTGGTGCGGCTGGTCGTCGCCCATGGCGCCCGTGCACGCCTCGTCGGCGCAGCCGCAGAGCTTCGCGCCTTCGTCGGCGCACGCGCGCTCGCAGCCGCCGGCGACGAGGTCGCCCGACGGGAACGCATTTCGCGCGTCCGGGACTAGATCATCAAACAAGAAGCCGTGGCCGTCCGCGTCGCGCCGCGCGCACGCAAAATAGCGCTTCTTTTGCTTCGCGGCGTCGCGGACGGCCAGGCGGTACCTCGCGCCTCGTTGCCCCCCGACGTAGGTCCTATTTTCGAACCACGTCTCGGAGCCGAAGCAACCCACATAAGAAGCCTCCACGTCCAAGTCCCTCCGCCCGGGGGCCGCGCCGTGCTCGACGGCGGCGGCGGCGGCCGCCGACCTGTGTGGAAATCAAAATTTTACGGCGCGTTCGTGCTGAATCATCGCGTCGTCCTCCACGCCATCGACGCGACGCCTGCTCGATGGCGTGGCGATGCCGGTTCCTCGCCGCTCGATGGGTCCAGCACGACCGCATCATCGCCGCGAAATGACTTCGTGAAGAATTGTCGGGTGCACCCGACGCACTGGTTGATTTCCACACAGCCGCCGACGCCGCATCTAAGCTTAAGGCGGAGTCGGGCGCGAACCAGGCCCAGTCCGGGTCTATCGTCGCGTCGCGCGCGTCGGCGTGGCCCGCCCTTTCCAAACGGTTGCGGAGCTGGCGCTCGGCGGCGCGGCGCCGCGACCTGTGTGGAAATCAACCAGTGTGTCGGGTGCATAAGTCATTTCTCGGCGATGACGTGACCGTGCTGGCTCCGTCGAGCGGTGACGAACCGGCATCGCCACGCCATCGAGCAGGCGTCGCGTCGATGGCGTGCAGGGAGACGCGACGATTCAGCACGAACGTGCCGTAAAATTTGATTTCCACACAGGCCGCGACGGCGGCAGGAACCGCTTCAGATTGTCGTTCTGGCCCGGCAAGCGCGTGAGTTTGCGGTAGGCTAAAGCTAGCTCCGGCCGCAGCATCACCAGGACGCACAGGCTCACGGCGACGGCGCCCGCCCGAATCAATTGCGTGCGCGGCGAGAGCGGCGGCCGCGCGCAGGCCTCGGCCCAGGCGGCGTCGTCCTCGCGGGGGCTGCCGTTGCCGCGGGGCGTCCCCGACGACGCACGCGGCGACGACGAGGCGCTGCCTCTGGCGCGGGGGGAGGGCATCTCACAGCTCTGCCGACGCGGCGACGATGGGGTTGCGTCGGGCGCTTAATAAAGGGGTCCCCACGTGTCGTAAACCTCGGCAGCGATGGCTTCTGGGGGTCTTTACGTATAGAGTTCAGCGCTCTTAGTGTAATCCTAGTGTGTCAACGCTAGCCCAGCCTGCGAACGTGCCACAAAGTCTTCATAGTGCAGCTGCGAAAGCTCATTGATTGATTTTATTGGTCATAGACAGACTACAGTGCAGCTGCCTGCTGCATGCAGACTTTGGTCTGGTGCAGACTTATGCACTGAGGAGACCTTGCTCCGAGCCTCCGCGCGAATTGAAGGCGGCCGAGCAGGCCATCGCCAACGCGCAGCGATGATGTTATTGCTCGTGGCGGGCGCCGCCGCGCTCGTGGCGCCGGGTTCCAGGCCATCAGGTGCTGTGGCGTGTAGAGGGGCTGCTTACGATTACTGCGTCCAGGCCTTGGGCTGCACGGCGGCAGAGGCCAGCAAGGTCGAGGGAAAGCTGATTCCGAGCAGCGCGAAAAGCTTGACTCGCGCGCAAGCCGAGGAAAGGCTTGGCTGGCTGCAGTCCGAGCTTGGGCTGAGCGACTCGGAGCTGAAGAAAGTGGTAATGCGTTTCCCAGCACTACTGGGCTACAACAGCATGGCGCCAAAGCTCGACTGGCTGCAGACGCGCCTCGACCTGGGCGACGCGCAGTTGAGGAAGATGGTGATGAAGTTTCCGCAACTGCTGGGCTGCAGTATCGAGGACAACCTGGCGCCAAAGCTCGAGTGGCTACAGACGCGCCTCGAGCTGGACGCGGCGCAGCTGAAGAAGCTGGTTGTGAAAAAACAACAACTGCTGAGCTACAGCGTCGAGGACAACATGGAGCCGAAGCTCGATTGGTTGCAGACGCGCCTCGACTTGGATGACGAGCAGCTGAGGAAGATGGTTATGACGAATCCGTCGCTGGTGTATCAAAGTGTCGAGGACAACATGGAGCCGAAGCTTCAGTGGTTGCAGACGCGCTTCCACCTGGACGACGCGGGGCTGAGGATGATGGTGCTACGGCTACCGGCACTGCTGAGCTACAGCGTCGAGGCCAACATACAGCCAAAGCTGGGCTTCTTCGAGGAAGAGCTTGGTCTCTCTCCATCCGAAGTGCGCGCTTCAATAGTATCCTCGCCAGCTCGTCTGGGCTACAGCCTCAAAACACGATACCGGCCCCGACTCGAAGTTTGCCGCGCCGCCGGGGCTGATCCTGCCATAGTCCTCAATAGCGCGACGACAACAGACGAACAATTCTGCAAGCGCGCCGGCGTCCCCCTCGCGGCCCTCCGCGCGGCCCAGGAAACCGACGTCACCGTCGCCGTCGCGCCGTGCAAAATGGTAGCTCTCTCACCGGCACCACGCCTCGCCGCGCCACAAGTGCTCGACGACGCCGCCAGCGCGGCCGCTGTGCTGTCGTACAAGCACCACGAGCCCCACCTCCTCGAAACGGCCTACGCCGACCTCGCGCGGCGCGGTCGACTCGAAACGCAGCTTTCGCAGCACGACCAAATGATGACCGCGACGCTGCCCCTCGTGCCGCGATTCTTAACCATTCTCGCGCTGGCCGCCGCGCACAGCACGCTGCTGACGGAGGGCGCCGCCATCGCGCGGTCGCTGGCGGCCGACGCGGGGCCGTCGCGACCGCCGCGCCGGAGCCTCGTCGGGACCGTTGAGGGTTACGACGTGGCGCTGCTGCGGGATAAACTCGACGGCCACGAGCGGTTCTCGCTGATCCTTGGCAATGATAGGAAGAAGGGCGCGAAGGCGGCGCGCATTCTCTGCGAGGTCGACGAGTTGGCAATCCACGTGCGCGGCGTCGAGGTCGCCGAGGAGCAGCGGGGGCGCGGGCTGGCCAAGCTCGCGTTGGGGACTCTGGCGGCGCTTGGTGTTTTAGTTGATGCAGATGTACGTGCTAGACCGCAGACGAAGCCCGTCGTCGCGCGGGCGCTGACCAGCCTGGGCTTCCGCCCCGTCGACGCGTCGTGGCCGATCCTGATCGCGCCAGGCGCTGGCGGGCGAACGGTCGTCTGCCCCGCGGACCCGACGGACGAGCGGGTGCATTTCAGCTTTGCGCAGATCCGCGCGCAGCGCCTCGACGTCGTCGCGGCGCCGCCGCCGGGCGCGAAGCCTACGTTTGTTCGCACGGCATTCGTTCATCCCGATACCAAGGCCCTCGCGGCGACGGTGCCTGCGGAGTTCTACGCCGCGCGGCTGCTGGCGTTCGCGGGAACGGTGGAGGCGATGCGGCCGCGGCTACTGGCGCAGTCGTCTTCTTTGTTGTTGTAATTTGTCTTTAGATTCCTACGAGCTCTCGCGGGCGCGGAGGGCTGCTAGCGCGTGTCGCAATTCGTCCTCTATCCCTTCCGTGACCGGGTGCGCGCTGCCGAGCACGCGCCGCGAGATCGGTGCCGTCTCCTCGAGCGTCGTCATGGCTTCACGGAGATCGTCGAGCGTGGCGTCCGGGTCTTTGTAGAGCGTCTCCGCGTAAGTCCACCGTATCTTGAGCGTACCCTCATGATTCTCGCCAATAACGCGTCGCGTCATGGGCATCGTTCTGCGCAGCAGGGGCTTGGCTTCTTCGATGGCCTCTTCGGCGAGCTGGCGATGGGTTTGGTGCCCTTCTGGCGCCCGTCGAAGATGATCTTTCCATTTCTCATGTGGCAGATGCACATTGGCATTTTTATCCTACAACATATTTTATTTGCCGACTTATTGACGTTCATCCCGTTGTGGGCTTTAGCTCATGCCGTCTGCCATGCGCAAGATAGAGACGGCCCCTGGGGGCTCTTTCCACCACTACTGGGTGCGTCCAAGCGAAGGGCGGCCATGCTCGCCTACGAGGAGAACACGAAAGAGTTAAGAGAGAAGGAGGATCAAGGCTTCCTACGAGAGAGACGCACGGCCTCATCGAAGAAAGGTGCACGGTTCTGCATCCTGCTCATGGCCGCCTTCTCGTGGAACTGGATCTTTGGGTATGAAGCTTATCCGTTAAATGCGTTCCGCATGTTTACCACCTATGAGACGGAAACCGGATATTCTAGGCAGGTCACGGAAGACACGGACGGCGTGCGCGGGAGGAACTGGCACTACCACGAGTTGAATCCTGTCCTTAATAGGAAGCGCGTGCTCGACGCTTTTAGAAACTGTGCCGACCAGCCGCGGTCCCACGCGTGCCGCCACTTCATCGCGTTCGCGCAGCCGAGAGCTCTCTTGATGGAAGGCCGGCCCGCGCGGCTCGTGTTCCAGACGCGGACGTGGGATTTTGATGCGGATCTCGACAAGGAGTTCTCGTGCGACGCGATGGAGACGTATACCTTTTACGTGGCCGCGGGCCGCGTCGAGCACGAGTCGCACGCCCATTGCGACTACATCGACTGGACGACGACGTGGCGCTTCCAGCAGAATTTGGGGACGATCTAGGCGCGTTTGTGGGTGAGGGCGCGTCGGGTAAGACCTTCTATCCTTGGTCTCGTACGCTATTGCTAGTGTGTTACCGCTAGCCTCGATGACTGGACCCAACGCAAGCCATCGTGAGCCACCACCACCATCTGCTGCTGCCCAGCGCTGTTGTACCTGTATTAGATAACGTTCGGCTACGTTCGGGCGCTTTTTGCGCAGCCGACGGCCCACAACTCCTCTCAATTGAAAAATCACATCTGACGCTATCGCGGCCGCACACTCGCTATAGCGCCGCGCCGACGCTGCCGCAGTGATCCATAGCAAAATATGTCGGCCATGGACACATCTAAGGAGGCCGAAGCGGTTCCCCAGGTCTCGCGCGACTCGTCGGGCAGCAGCGACGGCCCCATGTCGCTGGAGCTCCTCCAGGTCCTCGCGAGCACGCCCGACGCGCTCGTCGAGGCCGAGGAAATGTACGACGACGACGACGACGCGAAGACGCCGGCGGCGCGGCGCGACGAGGCGCTCGCGGCCCTCGACCCCGCCGTGCGCAAGGCGCGCAACGACGCGGCTTTACAATTATCGACGCGGACCCTGAAACGCTACGTCGGCGCGCCCGTGGATGATTTGAGGGCCCACGTGACCTGGCTCGCGCGCGTCAAGCCGACTTCATTGGCATTACCGACCGCGGCGCCCGCGGCCTGCGCGAGCGGCACTTTACGTATAGTGAAAGCGCAAGAACCGCACGACGTCGCCATGCTCTTTGACGGCCGCCGCTGGCACCCCTGGACCTACGACGCGTGGTCGACGGACGAGTGCGTCGACGCCTTTGAGCGCTACGTGGCCTTCCACTACGAGGTCTGCGCGAAACTTGTGGAAGAGCGGGGCGGCGGCGACGCCTACGAGGGCCCGACGATCCTCGTCAAGCTCGCGAACCGGCCGCAGCTCATGCGGCCCGTGGCGTTAAGGTGCACGAAGCGCCTGGTGGACGTGGCGCGGCAGTACCCGCTCAAGAAGGCGATCCTGATCGGCGCGCCGCCGCTCTTCGCGGCGGCGTGGCGCGGCATCCGCCCCTTATTGGACGAGGCGACGCACGCGAAGGTGGAGTTCATGGACGACGAGGCCGCGGGCGACCGGGCTTTTCAAACCATCGTAGGGGGCGGCACGCCTTTTGCCGAGGCGGACGAGGGCCCGCAGCCGGGGCCCCTGAGCATCGGGAACATCGAGGAGGCCGTCCTCGCTGCGAGCCTTTAGTTTTGCTAATTTTGACACATCATGACTTACTCCGTTCTGCTAGTGCTTTTTTAACGTTCGCCTCGACCTCGGCGCGCTTCGCCGCGATTTCCGCCTGCTTGCGCTGCGCGGCTTCTTCGGGCGTCAGCGTCTTGGCCTGGATCCAGGGCACCTCCTGCTTCTTGTCGGCGAGGACGCGGAGCCAATTCGCGTCGTCGGCGCCGCAGGCGCCGCAGACCGGTGCCTTCGCTTCCGGGTCTTTCGCCAGGCCGCAATACCCACAAGACCAGCAGACCGCGCCCCGCCCCAGCGAGTGCGCCGCGCCGTCGGGGTCTGACGCGAGGATTTTGAACCTGTGTGTTGACGTTCACGCCATCGATGCGACGTCAGCAGACGTGACCAGCCATGAAGGCGCCTCGCGAGACGCCGCGGCGTACATGGCGTTCGTCGTCTCCTGCAGCTTCTCGGCGTTTCCGACAAGACCGCAGCGCAGGAAGAGCTCGGCGGCGTTGTGGAGGTTGCGCGGCATATTTTTGTCTCTCGCCTCCATGCCCTCCTCGCCGACTACTTTCACGTTCGCGAAGCGCGTGTCGACTTTCAAGTGCACGTCGCGGACTTCCGTGGCGCCGTCGAGCGATGCGGTCTGAGCAGCCATCTGCAGTCACAGTGCAGTGTGCAGTCTCACCTGGAGTCGGCACAAATCGATGTAGCGCTGCAATCGCTATCGCACCGATTTGAGCAGCCCGTTACACGTCTGTGTGTGCTCACAACGCCCGTGTACGCTGAGCCTCGCCCAAGCAACAGCAGCCTCGGCTAAAAGCTAGTATGTTACTACACTAGCACCACATGGGCAGCGTCGTAAAAGCCCATAATTGCCGATCAAGGCTGCCCGATCACTCGCAGCCACAGCTACGATGAGCACCGCGCCACAACCGAGCCCAGCCAGCGTTCGCATCGAACTACTGGCTCCCAAACACTACAGCGAGGAGTTCCCCCTCATCCTGGACTTTCTCGCCTACAAGCGCTGTTGTTGCTGCATTCCCGCGAGCGCTGGAGAAACCGAAGCGGGCTGGACGAAGAAGCGCGAAAAATGGCCCGTTGACAAGCTTTCGCTAAGTGCCGTCGCCATCGACGCGTCGACAGATCGAGTCGTGGGCTTCGTCCACTGCTCTGGTTATGGCCATCCGTGCGACATGCACACGCCGAAGGAAGGCGAGATTTACGTGGACGAGATCTGTGTCGACAAGGCGTTTCGGAGACGCGGTATCGGAACCCAATTGATGAATTGGGTCGAGGGCGTGGCTCGCGAGCGAGGGGCGACGAAGCTCTCTCTGCTCGTGTTGCGCGGGAATCCCTCGTTTGGCCTCTACGAGCGGCTGGGCTACGTGGCGAAGAAACAGTCCTGGTGCAAGGAGTGTCTCGACTGTTGCTGTTTTAGCTTGTTCTTCGGAAGCAAGGGCTATGATATGATGTACAAGCAGCTCGCGCCGCCGGAGGAGTCGGGGAGCTAATGTTTGCTAGTGTCTTACTACCGCTAGCTCCATGCCGGGTCGAGAGAGGCTCGAACGGTGAATCGGCACAGCTGATTAAGGATTTGAATACGGCAGGACGCGCCTGTACAGCTGGTTGTCCAGCGAAACCATCCCTACGATTCTAAGAAGATTTTCTGCGCTGCATCACACATCTGGTCATCAGGGTCACCTAGACACAGTCCCACGCACGCCGCCGCAGCGATATGGCGTCCAGCATCCGCATAGAGGTCCTGACCCCAGCGAGGTACCGCGAAAACTATGAGATAGAACACGCCTTCCTGTCCTCGAAGAAGTTCTGCTGCGTGCTCCCGTGGTCGTGCTGCGGCGGCTTCGGCGAGTGGCGCGCGCAGCGCGAGAAGCAGGCGCCCGAGCACAAAGCGCTCTACGCCGTCGCCGTCGACGAGGCCACGGATAAGGTCCTGGGCTTCGTGTACTGCTGCGGCCACGGCATGAAATGTGATTTACATAAACCGAAGCCGGGCGAGCTCTACGTCGAGGAATTGGCCGTGAGCGCCGACGCGCGGGGCAAGGGCGTCGGCACGAAGCTTCTTCAGTGGGCCGAAGCGCAAGCGGTATTGAGAGGCGACACCGTCATGTCGCTCGCGGTACTACGGGGCAACCGGGCGCAGGGGCTGTATCAGCGGTTCGGTTTCGAGGAGCAACCCCACCAGGACGGCTGCGACGAGTGCTGCGAGTGCTGCTTCGTGACGGTGTGCTTCGGCCGGCCCTACGGCTGCTGCCACGAGGGCTGGGGCAGCGCGTTCATGACGAAGAGTTTACTGGAGAAGCCGGCCGTCGTCGTCGTCAACGCGAAGGGCCCCGTCGTCGAGGCGATGGAGCGATCGAGCGAAGACGTTATCGTGGAGAGCGGCGTGGTCGTGCGGCCGCGGGGCCTCATGCGCCAGGCGTCGCTGAACCGCGCCCTCTCCCGCTGAAATTTTTGATGTGTTATAAGTACAAAGTAGTCTTTACGCCTTCGCCGCGAGCTGTTTGCGGATGACCCAGTCCTCGTCGATGGGCGCGAAGATGAGCGTCCCGTCCTCGAGCTCGACTTGGTACGGCGCGGGCTGGTCCCAGCCTTCTTCCACGTAGTCTAAAGCTACTACCGTGCCGCGCATCCAGGTCTCGTCGCCGACGTTGCACTCTACCGACGTGCCCACCGCGAACCGCAACCCCCCGCCGCCCTCGACTCTTTTTTCCATCTCGTCCAACTCAGCATCCGTACACAGCGCCTCGTCCAAGTCGCTCCGTAACGTCGCTTCGTCCAGCCCCTGGCCGATGATCACGATCTCCGATTTCTGCTCGTCGCCGGCCCAGGGCCCCACGTCGTCGAGGCCGAAATGCCTTCCGGCATAAGCCCATTGAATCATGCGGCGGGGATGCGTATCCAACCAGACCGTGCCCTTGGACCGCAAAACACTCTCCCAGGGGGACTCGACGCCCTTCACGCCCGCGCCGCCCGGCTTCAAGTCGCGCACGTCGAGCATCGTCTTCTGCGGGATCGGCCACCGCGAGATCATGCCCAGTAATCTATCGTAGTTGAAGGGCCGCTTCTGCGTGTAGACGAAGTTGCCGAAGTCCGTCGCGTGGCTCGGCAAGTCGTGCGAGTGCCCGTGCTCGTGCGAGTGGCCGCTTTCTCCTAACTCTGCTGCGGGTTCGATATCCTCGCCGTTCCGTCGTAAATAATGTGTATCCGCCTCGAATTCCGTGGGAAAGTGCTCCGTGAAGATCGCGGTTGGACCACTACTTTCTATGGTAAACTTGGTCTCCTCAGATGATTGGTCGAAGACGAGGTTGTAGCACTTGCCTGGGGTAATAACACCGCCACTTTCGACGTCGACACACTTGTCGCTCTTGATCAGCGCCTCGCCCAACCCTTCTACACTCTCAAGAGCGTCCCGCGTCACACCAGACGCCCGCAACACGACCATCCGCATGGCCGGATCCGCATATTTACCACCTACTTGCTGCGCCGTCCACTCGTATGAACCCTCTTCCAGTGAGAACACGCCCGCCCACTCGTGTCCTGAAACCTCGTCGCAGCACGGTTCACTGCACGTCGACAACGTTTCACCGCTCACAGTGCACTTCTCCGGTAATAATTCAGATAACGGCGCCCGCCCATATTCCGTCCGCAGCACTTTCGCGTCGGGCATCAACGCCGAGCACGTGACGACGGCCTGCTCCGTATCTTGAGCAGCCTGGTCGATTTTGTTAACTGCAATCACATCAGCGCACTCGACCTGCGCCGCTAATAAAGCGGCGACCTTTTGCCCCGCCGCACAGGGATCGGCCTCCAGATCAGCTTTGGATGCCAAAGCCTTCTTCATGCTTGTAGGGTGGTAAGGATCTTCATTGTCGTCCTTAATCCTATCTTCCATCACATCATAACTCATCCACTGCTCGCAGAAGGCCGGCGCGTCGACCAACGTGACCACTCGTTCCACATCCACATCTCCTTGTTTTAAATTAGCCTTGACGACCGACGGGTCCGCGACGCCGCTCAGTTCGACGACGACGTGGTCGAAGCCTCGCCCCTTCACCATGCCTCTTATGCTCTGCGCGAGTTCGCCCGCTTCGGGACCGCAGCAGACACACCCGTTCTGTAGTTCTAACAGTTCGACGGGCTCGCCGTCCGTTTCTACTAACTCTCTTTTCACAATAGATCCATCCACATTCACCGCGGCCACATCATTCACGACCACCGCTACTTTCAGGTCTTCTCGGTTCTGTAAAATGGACGTGAGCATCGACGTCTTGCCGGCTCCCAGAAAACCACTTAGTAAGGTGACGGGCGGCACGGTGTCCTCGGCGACGGTCGTCGACGCGCGGAGGCGCGTGCGCGTCAGCCGGGCGGCGGGGCGCAGCGCCCGGCATGCGCCCAACAGGAGGGCCATGCCGACGAGTTTCATTCGGCTTGGCGCGCGGCGGGAGCCCCTACAGTCTGACACTGCGGGCTTGCAACGCCTCGGAATGAAGCGAAAACGGCGCGGCTGCAGCGGCGACTCTTTGAGACACTTGTGAGGTACTCTCAGTCGCGCCTACTGGCTTCGACAACACGCACGCACGTATTTCTCGCCACTGCTACAGGGGCTCGTGCCAGTGTGTTGGACCGGAGAGCCAGCGCGCGGAATCATCCGATGGATCCATAGCAGGCGTCAAGACCCCTTGAACAAGCACCAGCGCGAGCAAGAAACCGCTTGCGTTACGTGCGGGTCCAGCCAGCAGCAAAAACTTGAGTGGGTGTGTTTCGCCTCCCATTGCGACGCGCGGCAGCGAGTGCAGCAAAAGGCAGTGATCTTGCATCACACAAGTCGATACGAAACGCCGGGCAGCCGTTACGAAACGCCGGGCAGCCGTTGACCGTGCACAAAGAGGAGACCTTGGCAGCATCATGCCGCGCCGGCGGAACGCCAACGCCATCATGCCGCGCCGGCGGCACGCCACCCTCCTCCTCCTGCCTCTGCGCGCGGCAGCCGAGACGCCCTACGCCAAGACGCCCTACCAGCAATGGGAGGAGGACACGTACTACCCGCACAGTAGGGGAGGGCCCTACCAGGCCTGCTTGAAAGCTCATCTGGTCCCGAAGCCGAACACGTATTCGGGCTGCGGCCGCCTACCAAAAACCGTAAAATACTGCATGACGACCTTTCCGGAGGAGACGTCATCGGAGAACGAGGAGCGCGAGGCGTGTCTCGATAGATATTACAAGTGGTGGGACTGCGTCTTCGAGGCGTGCGAGGAGACGCACTGTAGCTACCACGGCTCGTGCCCCGAGCACCCGCCCGACGTCGAGTTTCCCTACGACGACTACCCCGAGGAGTCGACGCACCCCGAGAAGCCGGACGCCGACTACTGGGAATCCCTCAAAAACCAGCCGAACATCTGGGGCGACTTCACGGAAGGGCGGTGGGCAAATGATGGTGGCGTGGCACCGCGCGGTTCAAATTGTCCACAAAAATGGCGTTTTTGCTCCCGCTGCGGCTCCGTCTCCGGCGACGTCGCGCCGTCGGTTTCTCCCCTCGTCTGGTAGTACGCGTCGACGCGCGCCAGCGCCTCGTCGGCGCCCAGGTCGGGGTAGAGCGCACCTAACAATGATGCCGCGACGAGGCCCGTCCTACCTCTCCCGTAGGCGCAGTGCACGTACACAATCTCTCCATTTCTCACTCGCGCGGCGAGTTTCTGCACGATCCCGTCGAGCGCGTCGAGGCTCGGCGCCGGCGCCAAATCAGGAAGCGGATACGACGTCCATGAGCTGAATGCGTGGTCGTAGACCGCATTTGTCTCGTGGGGCTCCTGGAGACTCACGGCGGCGTCGCAACTCCGCGCGACGGCGTCCACGCTCCCGCGCGTAGGATTCGCGCCCAGCAACACGCGCCCCGGCAGGAGCCAGTTCGCCGTACCGGAATAGTAGATGTGCTTCGCGAGCGACGCCGAGGTCACCTCAGGGAGCGGCGGGAGGTCATACGCCGCGGCGGCGCGCGCTGCCCCTCGTCTCTGGACGGCGGTGGTCGCGGCGACGGCGCGCGCCTGCAGCGCCCAGAGGGCCGGCCGCGCGAAGCGCACCATGCTATTCGAGCGCGCTGCTCAAATGAGGCGCCTCGTCGCCACGAACGCACCAGTCGGGTCGTTGTGACGCGCGGCCTCTGGACCGATCCCGGGCTCCCCGGATCCGTGCTTGGGGCCGGGGACGCCCTGGGGTGTCGGGCGTCTGCCCCGCGAGCGGTGCCGTCGCACTGCGCCGTCGACGCGACGACTAGTACACAAAACCCTCTTAGAAGTTGCACATCATCTCGAGGAACTCGTCGCGATTGACCCGCGCGTCGCCCTGGCAGTCGACCTCGCCGATCATGTCCTTGATCTGCTCCTCCGTTAAGTGTTCCCCGAGCGACCGCATGACCCTGTCTAGATCGTTCGCGTCGAAGTACTGCTTCCTATCGGTGTCGAACAGTTCGAAAGCCTGGTTGATGCGATCGACGTTGAATGACGCCTCCAAGGTCTCCTCCAAAACATGCGAGAACTGGTGATATTCCACTTTCCCGTGGACCGGCTCCATGCGCGTCCAGAGGTCGCGCCACTCGGCGTCCGTGGGGGCCATGCCCAGCGCTCGAAGTACCTTATAGACCTCCTTTTTGCGGAGGCCGCCCTTCTTCTCGGCAATTAAATTCCAGGCCTCGTGGAGCTCCGCCTGCCGTTCGGGGGTGATGGGGCTGTGGGTGGCTCCAGGCATGATGAGGTGCCGTGTGACCGCTTAACTGGCTCTCCTCTGCTCCTCTCAGGTGCTGCCGGAGATTATTTCGATTATTTCCTCTCTGGGTGCTGCCAGAGATGCTCTCGGGCGGCGGTCGCAGGGGCCGCGGCGGCGGGCGCAGGGCGTTTGGCCAGTAGTAGGCGACGCCTAGGAAGTTTGTGTGCGGTCCTCGGTCCTCTGGCGCGCTACGCAGGCCCTACAAAGCCCTGTGAAAAGCTGGGTTGATCCTAGTGTCGATGTACGCTAGCGCGTATGCGGCTCAAAGCGCCGGAGTCCGCTGCACCGGCCTAGTCGAGCCTAGGGCTGATAATTCGACACGTGCGTATAGCATTTGACGTGGTGTGAAGCGCTGGGGGCGGATCGAAGCATTGGGGGACCACTGCAGACTGCTCTCACTGGCAGCCCGCTGGCCTGCACTCACCGCAGCAAAAAAGCGATGGCCGCGGCCGCCGCCTGGCGCGCCGCGCGGCAGAAGACCGCAACATCATTACTCGCAGCAGCACCGACGGAGCGCTTCGAGGCCTTCGTCCGTAAATGGGCCGAATCCGACGACGAGCCCTACGCCGCGCGGGGCCAGACGTTGCGGGCCCGCGGCGACTACCCGGGCCTGAGCGAGCGCCCGGCGTGGCCGCGGCCGGCGTGGGCCGATGAGTTAGAAGCACACGCTGATATTATCGCCGCCGAGTACGTCGCCGCGTCAAACACTGTGGAACTTGCACCTTATTTTGGCGGAGATTATGGAGACGACTACGCCGGTTTGGACATCGCGAAACAAGGAGAAATTATGCCGGGCGCTCGTAAACAATTCCCGGAAACGATCAAAGCGCTCGAGCACGTTTCAGGTGAAGACCCCGTCGGCGCGACGCGCCTCGCCTTCTTCGCGCGGCAAGGACCGCAGTCGCACGTGCCGCCCCACTCGGACATGGTGAACTTCTTGTTGACGTGCCACCTGGGGGTCGCCGTGCCCGAGGACTGCCGCCTCTTCTTCACGACTTCCAGGGAAGCGTCTCCAATAGAGTGGGCCCGCGGCGCGCTCGCGCCGCCGCTGCAGACGTCCTTCGAGCACGCGGCCTTCAACGACTCGGAGCGCGAGCGCGTCGTGCTCTTCTTCGACGTGTTTCATCCCGAGCTCTCGCGGGAGGAGCGCGTGGCGCTCGCGGACTTTGAGTCGAGAAGACGCGCCGACGAGGAGGCGTTCTGGGGCGGCGACGATCGCGCGGCCCCCGGCGGCGATGACGCTGCGTCGCTGTTTGCAGAGGCTGCGCGGCTCCGACGGGAGGCCGCGGAGGCGGAGCGAGACGCGGCGCGGCCGCCGGTCGCGGCGCCGCCGCGACGGACGTTTAGCACCGATGTTTCGAGGCCCCGACAAAACGCGGCGGTCGCCGCACCACGCCGGGCGTTCGGCACTCTGTCGAAGCCTGCACAAGTGGACGACCTGCTACGGACGCGGCTCGCCTTGTCTAAGGCGGAGCTGGAAAGGGTGGCGCGGCATCTGCTCGTGGGAGCGAGAGCTGCCGTCGCGCCGAAGCTGGATTGGTTCCAGACGCGCCTCGAGCTGGACGCGGGGCAACTGAAGAGGATGGTTGTGACGCATCCGTCGTTGCTGAATCTAGGCGTCGAGGAGACCCTGGCGCCGACGCTCGACTGGCTCCAGCGCCGCCTCGGTCTGGACGCGGCGCAGTTGAGGAAGATGGTTCTGAGGCTTCCGCCACTGCTGGGGTACAGCGTCGAGGACACCATGGAGCCGAAGCTCGACTGGCTCCAGCGACGCCTCGACCTGGACGCGGCGCAGCTGAAGAAGGTGGTGGTGCCGTTTCCGGCTCTGCTGGGCTACCGCGTCGAGGACAACCTGGCGCCGAAGCTCGACTGGCTCCAGACGCGCCTCGACCTGGACGATGCGCAACTCAAGAAGATGATTCTAACGTCCCAGTCGCTGCTGGGCTACAGCGTCGACGACAACATGAAGCCGACGCTCGGGTGGTTACGGACGCGCCTCGAACTCAGCGACGCGGGGCTGAAGAGGATGGTCCTGGCGCTCCCGCCCCTGCTGGGTTTAAGTGTTGTGGACAACGTCGCGCCGACCCTCGCCTGGCTCCAGAGGCGGCTCGACTTGGGCGACGCGGGACTGAGGAAGATGGTCGTGGCGTATCCGACGCTGCTGGGGTTAAGGATAGAGCGCATGGAGTCGAACTGCGCCTGGCTGGAGCGGCGCCTCGGTTTGGATGAGAAGCAGTTGGCGAGGGTCGTCGTGGCGAGTCCGCCTTTATTGTACCTCAGCGTCGATGATAATTTAAAGCCGAAGCTCGACTACTTGCTACGGGCGACGGGCCTCTCTTCATCAGAACTTCGCGACCACATCATCAGAATTCCCGCCATCCCGAGCTACAGCCTCGAGCGGCGCTACCGCCCGCGCGTCGAGGCGTGTCTCGCGGCCGGCGTCGACCCGGCCTACGTCCTGACCTCGGCGCCGTATACGGACGAGAAATTCGACGCGCGGCTCGGGCTGAAGAGGGACGTCGTCGTCGCGACGGCGTCGGAGCGCGCGACGACGGGCATTTAGCTCCAGGGCTGCACGGACGAGTTTGCCACGTGCTCGGCCACGAGCTCGGCCTCACCCTGACGGGATGTACCCCTAGAATGTACCCCGACCAACGCCCCGCCGACGCGAAGCTCTGCAAAAATAGCAGTGTAAGTCTGTTGTGATTTAGTCCAGGGATGGGAAGACCTACATGCCCGGCAGCATCTCGCCGACGTCCGCGTCGTCGAACTCGTCCTCGTCCGGTCTTTTAGCCGCCGTCCGCGGCCGCTCCGGGTTCTGGTCGGCCAAACCCCTTGCTTTAGGTGCTGCTAGGTGTTGTTGTTGGGGCGGCGACGCGCGCCTTTCGGGCGAGTACGGTCGCGGCGGCGTTCGATCCCGTTGCGGCGCGGCCCTTGTGAGCTGCCCTTGCGACTGCTGTTGCGTCCGTTGGTCCAATCGCGACAGCTTCGCCTGGTAGTGGTCGCAGGGCTGGCCCAGGTCCTTGCAGATGGCGACCAGGTAGCGCAAGCACTCCGCATTTTCGGGATGTTCCGCGTGGACCTTTTCGTAGAGCTCCAAGGCGCGCTGGTAGTTGCCCATCCTCCGATAACAACTCGTGACCATCAACCTCCACTTCACCTCCTTCGGCTGGATCTGGGCGGCTCGTTCAAAAAAATGAATAGCTTTTTCGTACATTTCGGACTTGACGTACCAGACCCCCAGCCAACTGATGACGTCCAGGGACACGGGATAATGTCTGTACGATTCAAGATGAAAATGAAAAGCCTGCGCTTCATCATCATTGCGATTACACAACTGGCCCATCCTCAACAGTACTCCTGGATCGGACGGCACGCGCGTGATCAGGATGTTGTACCATTTGAGAGCCACGTCGACCTGGCCCTGGGCTTCATGGAGCGCCGCGATCTGGTAAATGACCTCCGCGTTGTTCGGCACGACCTGATGCAGCTTCTCGAAGGCCTGGAGCGCCTCGGCCCAGAGCTCCATTTTGAGATTCACTAACCCAAGGTCGTAGATGGCCTCGACGCAGTCGGCCTCGACCCCGATCGCTTCCAGGTAGAACTGTTTCGCCGTATCATAATCACCGCGCACGGCCAGACAGTTGCCCTTGTTCACGAGCGCTCGCGCGTTGTACCTATCATGTTCATACGCCAAATCCGCGTACTTGTCCGCGCTCCGGATGTCGCCCTCCAGGAAGTAGATAAAACTCAAATTCGTCGCCGCCATGGCCTTCAAGTGCTGGTCCCGCTTCTCAAAGGCCTTTAACGCTTCGATGGCCTTCCCGAACTCCTTGACCCTCATATATTTGAGAGCCCTTTCAATTTCCATTTCCGACGACACGGACTCGTGGTCCTGCTTGAGACTCTCGATGCAGAACTGGTAGCCCGCCATCTTGCTGTCGTCGCCGTCAATTCTCAGTTCGGGCGCGATCAGTCTAGCTGCAGTCAGCATGTACGTCCGCGCTTCCTTCTCCCTTTTGAGGAGTTCATGCCTTAGTCCATCCTTCGCGGCCGCCGTCTCCTTGTCGTGCTTCGTTTCTTCCTTGAACTCCTCCTTGCTTTCCGACCCTAGCGCCCGGTCCAAGTCGTCGGCATCGTCGTCGTTCGCCTCCAGAGGTATCGAAATTAATTTTTGGAAGCCGCGGCGCATCTTTTCGGCATCACCCAATGCATAGTAGCATAGTATCAAGTTAAAGCCCGTGTGGAAGTCCGGGTCGCCGCCCATGATCGTCTCGTACGACTGCACCGCGTCCGAAAACTGCCCCAACTTCACGAACGCGTTCCCAATATTCCGAAAAATCTTGAACCGAATGTGCTTCCCCGTGTTCGGGATCTGGTCCAGCGCCATGCGGTACATCTTGATGGCCGTCTGGTACTTCTGCTGCTCGAAGTAGATGTTGCCCATGTTCACGCGTAGTCTTCCTGATTGGGGATACTGTTTATTTTTAACCAACAACGAATAAGTGTGTAGTGCTTCATCATGCATCCGGGCCCCATGATACGCGTGCGCCAAGTTAAAACATACGGCATACGTCAAATCAATGTTGATCTGATCCACGAGTCCGTTCGCTTCGCGGTGCTTGCAGAGCGCTCGTTCCCGCTTGCCCGCATCTTTAGCTTTCTCCAGGGCGCCGTCCGCATCACCCTTCAGAGCTAGATCGGCCGAGGCCTCCACTAGCGCATGAACTTGTTTTTCGTATTCGCGCGCCTTGTCCTCCGCGCTGTTATCTTCGCGCTTCGCGAGAGGAGGCGCGGGCCCTCTCCCCTGATTCAAGGGATCGAAGTTCGCCGGCCTTCCCAGTGAAGAACCAGGTTTGCTCGAGAAGCCTGAACCTGTTGTTGAGGTCATCGGCCGGACTTCCGTACCTCCCGCCGTCCTTAAACGACTGGCGGTGCCCATGCGCGACGCCGGGAAGCCCGGCGTCTTCGGCTGGAAGGGGTTGCTCGACGGGGCGCTCCCGAAGCCGCCGATGTCGTAGTCGTAATCGCTGTAGAGGTCCTCGTTCGCGTCCATTTTTAGACTCGCTTCGTACTGGGCGATCTGCTTCCGTAGGAAGTCCTTGGTTTCCGCGTGCTCCTCCTGGCCGAAGGACGGGTAGGAGTCCAGCTTTCACCGGTTCCTCTGGAGCGGCCTTCCACACAGCACGGTGGGCGGCGCGAGGCGCGGCGCTCGACGTCGACGAGTGCTGGTTTGTACCAAGCCGCCTGCGCTTCCGCGAGGCAGCCCCGGTGGCTCTGCGGGCGGTTTAGGCCCTGCGCGGCGCGGCCGGTTGGGCAGCCCAAAACACAAAAAACACCTAGCCCTGGCCGCGATGCTACGGCCCCGTAGCGTCCCCGAGCTCCTCTCTACGCGTGATAGAAGTCCTCGGGGCGCAGCTTCCTTTTTTGGGCTCGGAAAACGGGTTTTACCAGCAAACCGGAATCGGCGCAAATTGAGCCGTATAAGCCGCTATCTGTGCTCGCGTGCTCGGATATATTCTATTTTTAATCGCTTTACCTCGTGCTGGTGTCAGTTTGCGCTCACGCGCCGTCGCCGCGCTACAACACAATAGCCACAGCACTGTGTTCGTTTGTGCCACGCCGTCGTCGCGCATTTCCAATAACTACAAGCACTGGCTTGAGCAGTGCCGCGCGCGTACGCAGTGCTGCACAGACAGGATGATGCTCCGCATCGCAGCACTCCTCGCGACCGCCGCCGCGGTCTCGCAGCAAAAGGACTGGCTCGTGCACAGACAGGACTCGAAAACGCGACTGCTCAAAACTGCGAGCGGTCTCAGGCTCACGAACGGGCTGATCGAGCGCGCCTTCGCGGCGCAGCCGGGAGGCTACTTCTGCACGACCGACCTGAGACGGGGCGACCGGTCCTTCTTCCGGGCGCTGTCACCGGAAGCGAATCTTACGATAAACGGCCAGCGGTTTAATATCGGTGGCTGCCTCGGCCAGCCGGAGAACCACTACGAGTTCTGGTACGCCGAGCGCTGGCCGCTCGCGAAGGACCCGGATGCGTTCGCCTACCGCAACTACACGCTCTCGAAACCGTCCAAAGGTTTTGAATGGCGCGCGCGGTCCGGCGCGCCATCGATACCGTGGCCGCCGAAAGGACTCCGCTTAACCGTCGAGTTCGCGCACGCTTCTTTACAGAATGTGCGCGTCTTCGTCCACTACGAGATGTACGACGGCGTGCCAGCGTATCGGAAGCTAGTCTCGATTCGAAACGACGGCTCTGATACAATAACTGTCGATTCGCTCGTCGTGGAGTTGTTCAGAGCGCAAAACTTCTCACCCCAAAGAATCACGGCGCTGGCCGAGCACTGGAACAACGCACCAGTGCCAAATGACCAGCAGGTGCCCGCCGTGCCGAAGTCGCTCCTCCAGGAGTCGCCGCGGTACTGGTACGCCGACCCCCACTACGACCAGTGCTGCGACGATACACAATTACATGTGCCCCACACGGCTTATACATACCTTGTGGCCGGGTACACGCGGGACGTGCGCTTCGGGGGGGGCACAGGCCCGGGCTGGGTCCTCGCGCCCGGGTCGTCGAGGAGCTCGTCGTCGCTGCGGGTCGTGCTCCACGATTCGGACGAGAGTGAACGCCAGGGCCTCGGCGTGCGCGAGACCCTCAAGGCGAGCGCCGGCGCCCCACGCCATCGACGCGACCTCCTCACGGGTTCGTTTCCCCGCAGGCGCTCGCGCCGCAGCTCGCCGAGGCCCCCGTGAATTTTATGTTGTCCGACCTCTCAGCTTTGCGACGCATCGTGGATCAAGCCGCAAAGACGGGCCACGAGCTCGGCATCATTGGTTTTGGTGCCGAGGGTTGGTGTGCTTTTTGCTCGGCACAAACGGAGGACGCGAATTTCACGGCGTGGCTCGCGAATGAAGTGCGCTACGCTCGCTCCAAAAACATAGAGTTGTCCGCCTATACCTTGATGCAGGGCAACGGCTGGGGCATGGACCCCATTCCGGAAGATGCCAAAATTCTGAACCGGGACGGCTCGCGCGGCCCGACGGCCTGCTTCGCGACGGACTGGCACGCGTCGTATCGCCAGCGCGTTTTGGCGTTTGCGGCGAAGGTGGGCTTCTACGGCGTCGAGACGGACGGCCAGTTCGAAGGGGCGAGTTGTAGTGATCCAACGCATTCCCACCACGGCGTCGCGAACAGCTTCGACGCGCAGCTCAAGGCGACGCAGCGTTTTAACAATCAACTGAAGGCGCGCGGGCTCTACCAGACGGGCGCGGACGCCTACGTCTTTTCCGGGGCCAACCGCTGGAACGCGGCCGACACGGACGAGGCCATTTTCCACATAGACAACGTCGTCGAGTGGTCGACGCTGGGACGCATGTACGCCTACGACTCGACGTTCGACCGCGTGCCGACTTCTGGGCAATATACGGTGGATGATTTGGTGGGAAGATGCACGGACGACCCGCTGCAGGCGGATCTCGTGAGATGCGTGGATTTCGTGCTGGGCGGGTTCTACCTCTTCGGGACGCAGCCGTTCTTCCACGCCGTCCAGCTGTGGGATCCCCTCCATAAAGACGCGGCGGCGCTCGAGGCCTCGGTGACGCGCTGGACGGGCTTCTTCCGAGCGCATCGGACGCGGCTGCTCGGCATGGGTAGAATGCTCCACCTGCGGCGGCCGACCGCGCGATTCTTGGAGGCCGTGGCACACGTGACTGCGGACCCGTCGGAGCCGCTGCGAGCGATTGTTGGGCTCGTGAATCCGACGTCGCGAGGGATCGCGGACAATATCACCGTTTCGCTGTACTACGCGGGCCTCGCGCCGGGCGCCACCGTCGTGGCGTCCGTGCTCAACGCCGACGCCGCCGCCGCGACGTCGAGGCCGCTCCCGGCATCAATGGCGCGCTTCGTTGTCGGCCCGGATCCCGCGGCGTCGCTTTTTGAGATTGTACTACCCGTCAAGGTGGACGCGTTCTCGTATGCTTCGATCGGGCTTTCGCTTGTGACGTCTCCCATGGCAACGACGCGGTGGGCGGCTGCGTACTAGTAGTGGTGTAAGTGTTGTTCGTTATGAAAAGGCGCGTGGGGAAAGAAAAGAGGTCGTGGAGGGCGGGAGTTTCGCGTGGAAGGGAAGAGAGAAGAAGAGAGATCGACGGCGTGGGAAGTGTCACCGCCGGGCTGCTCGTCTAGGCCTTGGCGCCGCGCAAGTTGCGGCGAGAAGGTCGGCAGACGATAATCTGCGGGTAGGTGCCGATCAGAGGGTCCGACGGGTCGCGGTCCTGACGCGGCGTCGAGTCGTCGACGCGTGACGCGTCGTTGCAGCGTTCTTAATTGTGGGACGATCGTGGGCGCGCTCAGCTCTCCCTCGCGATCGAGCGATATCCGCGGGGCCGAGACGCGCGAGGATAGCTCACTCGAGCCACGAGCGCCTTTGCGCGCTGCACCAAAGCGAGGCCAGCCCACTCGAACTCCGCCGCAAAACGCGTTTGAAGGTTGCGATTGCAAGTGTGTGTAGATGAAGTCCTTGCAAAGTCGACGGCGGACGCGGGAGCGAGCTTTGTTCGAGTCGCGATGCGCACTGTCCCGCAGATCAAAGCGTTTGCCCTGCCTGTTTGCCTGGCAAATTCGGGTCCCGGCCGACGCCTTCGCGGGGAGTAGAAAGAGTAGTAGGCGGCCGGGGCCGCGGAGAGCTTCGACATCGAGCAACTATAGTCGAAAGATATTTAGACAAACAGTAACGAACGATCGGCAGCTACGCGAGGACGACCTCGGCTTTCTCGACCCAGCCCTCTGCGCCGCCTCCGTCGCCCTTCTTGGCCCCTGGCGCAATCTTCACCTCGCCCAAACCAAAAGATTCGCGCGCGACGTGATTTTTGATCTGCTGTTCAACACTCAATTCCTCGCCGTGCCAAGAAGCATAAGTAGAGCGCGCGCGCGGCCGCCACTGCGCCTCGGGGATGAACGTGCCCACTAAATGATCGGTGAGCGGGCAGCACACGTTGTAGTTGCCCTTGCCGCCGATGACGTGGTGCCCTTCATGATTCACGTACAGGAATTTGAAGAACCGCGACGACCGCGCCCAGGCGAGCCACGACGACGGCACGCCGTCGGAGATGGGGATGTCCGGCAACGAATGCATGTTCGGATGTAAGGCGTTCCAGACCGCCGCGTGCAACAGCATCCCGGGCGCGAGGCACATGAACGTGTGCTTTAGTTTATAACCCATCAACCAAAAAGTCGGGATCGTCGTCCAGAGCATCTGGAAGGTCATGATGCCCGTCACCGTCCACGTGAAGGCCGTGCCTCGGTACAAATCATCGTCGAGCGACTTCGCGACCTTCGTGGATCGCCACTTCGCGTCGGTCTTGAGCGTCATGTCATCTAAGGTCTCGGCGTGGTGCTCGACGTGGCCGCCGCCCCGCGTCTTCGGGACTTTCTTGCCGAGGGGGCCGTAGACAAACGTCCGGGCCAACCATTGGAACCACGGGCTCGTGTTGAACTCCGCGTGCTGGTAGTATTTATGGGTAAAATACTCGTTGATCGACATCAGCGCGTAGAGGGCGGGCGCCGCGGCCAGTTGTCTGATGGTCGGCAGCTTCAGCGCGCATACCGCCTTCGGAATCGCGGCGACCGCGGTGGCGACCACTTGCGGCAGGGCTGCGCTTGGTGCGACGCGCGTCGGCTGGCGTGCGGGGCGCAACTGGGGTTTGGAAACGGGTTTGCTCACGAATGCGGTCGTGGTGGCAAGGAGCAGCGCCGCCACGGCTGTTCTCCTAATTGACGTCATTTTTGCTTGTTTTTGCTGGCGCAAATTGGTACGTAGTGCGTTGAGGTGTAGCTGATGGTGTCAGACGACTTTGCACCTGCTATCAATGCCTTTCGCACCCAGACAGCTGGATATAGACCGGCTTCGAGTCAGCTCGAGGCCGCCGCCAGCCCACATTTCGCCGCGCTAGAAGAGGCTTCGAAGCAAGGTATCAGCTCTCCGTGGAGTCTCTGTTCACACATACAGGAAGCTGCAGGGGAAAAGAGCAAAAAATCACTAGCCGCGACGCGCGAGGCAGGCAAGACAGCTCCCAAAGACAGCTCGCAACAGACAAGCACGGATCCGAAACAAGAAATACACGAACCCTACGACTTACCCGACCCCCGCACCACCACTCCTTCCAGCACCGAGTCCTCGGCACACTCCTCGACCTCGTCCTCGACCTTCATCTCGTCCAGCAGCTCCTCCAACCTAACACCTTCTTCGTCGTCGTCGTCTACGTGATCTCCATCTTTATACAGGTTCACGCGCGACCGCATCTCGCGGTCCGTCTCGAGCTGCGACAGGAAGATTTCCCGGTCGTCCGTATGGTCCGCCTCATCGTGAACTTCATCCGCTTCCATCGTATCTAATTTCCAGTGGCGCTTCGGTGTGGGACCGTCGGGGTCCTGTTTTCTACATTTCCTCACTAAGACCACATCTGGTTCATTTCCGCCGAGACCGTCGACGGACGACGCTAAGTTCGCGGCTCGCACGTCGTAGCCCAGCACGCGGTCGCCGCACCGCAGCAACGCACCGAGATGCGTCCTACACGTGATCTGGTCGTCGTTGACACCTAAATCGCGCTCCCGCGCGAGCGTCACGTCTGCCAGAAATCCCTTCATCACTCGAGGACCAGTCGGCGCCTCCTGCCTTCTTCGTTTTTTGGAAGACGCCTTCTTCTCCGGCGGTTGTGTTACTTTCGGCGTTTCTACTCGTTCGACGTCTAGCACGACGAAGGGCTCGAGCTGCGACGCGGAGAGGGCGACCTGTGTGATTTGTGGTGAGTCGCGGCGATGGCGTGCTGGTGGAGTGTAGTCGCACCGCGGCGTCGAGCAGGCGGCGACCGGCAAGCCATCGACCACCGACGGCGTGCTCGGTGCCCCGCATGAGAAGAACAAAGGACACCGAAACGAACGGACGGCGGCGCCTTGAAGTAGCCCTCCGTGTGCAATTCCGCGATGCGACCCGTCTGCGGATCTACTAACCGGACCACCGCGTTCACGGACCGCACCAATAGCAAGCGCGGCAACGAACCGAGCCGAGACGCTGTTCTAGAGTCAACGACCACAAGGTCCTCCTTGCAGGCCTCGGCCAAGGTAACCAGAGACGTGTACTGGTGGTTGAACAGGTTCGACTTTGGATCTGCGCGGGGCATCGCGGTCTCGCGACGCGGTCCGAATGGCCTCAAACTCGAAAAAGAAACCACCCACGACCTCGTCTGATGAACACGAGTCGCGTCGATGGCGTGAAGGCGCCGCAGCACCGCGGGACGCCGAGATCGCACCAGCGGAAACCAGTTTTTTCGTCTCCTTGACGCGGCACGGGACACAATCCTTCAGGAACTGCACGAAGCGCACCGCATCATTACGCTGGCGGAAGAAGAAGTCCAACCCGTCGCGGAACTGTTCGATCTTGACCGCAGCCGCCTGCGCGTTCTTCTTGAGAATCGCCTGCTCGAGGTAGAAGAAGGTCCGCTTGTGGCTGACGCGCTGCCGCACCTGCACCGCCGCCGTCCAGGCGAAGTTCTCGAACTGCTGGCGGCAGTCCGTGCACTGCTGATTCCGGACCACAAACTCGCAATCTAAAGGCTTCTGTAGTATAGCTCCTGGTGCTACCTCCTTCTGGATGGTCAATCTAACTTTCAGTCTCATGGAGTGGGGTTCCGTCCAGATCCAGGCCGCGTCCGCCACCCTAACTCTTTTCAAGCCTCTCACGCGCTTCAGGCATATGGCCATGAGTTCCCTGGATTCCGGCTCGCAGGCCACATAGGTAGTAGCACCCCCACAGTACCGTTGACACCGTCTACATTTGAATAATTGCCCATTCGGGCAGACGCCCTCGGCGATGTCCGCGCGCGCCTGCAGGCAATTGACGCACGTCATCGTCGGGTGCGTCCGCGGATCGAGGCCGATGCCGCACTCGCAGCAGCGTCCTAACAGGACCTCTTCCCTTGGGATGTCCATGGTGTCGGCCATTGGTGTTGATGCGCGTCGATGGCGTGCTGCGGACTGAGATGCTTGCACTGCTCTCAGTTCACGCCAGGAGAGCCGTTTTGAACCAAAATTGCTTGTTTGTCGCGATGATGGCTGTCAGGCAGTGCTATGCCGCTACGTGCGCTGTCCAGTGATGGCTTTGCGTCGCGTATGGCGTGTAGTCTCGAGCTATTATCGACAGGCACGGGTTTTTCCGTCCGAGAGGAAGGAGCCCTGTTTTGAATTACGGGACTCCTCGCACATATATCTGCTCTGAAGAAGACGCCTGGTGCCGCGCGACGATGCCTGCGCAAACCCGAATTGCGCATGCCAGCTCGACGGCGCGGCGCCGGTAGTGGCCGTATAGCTGCACCTCAGAGGCCGGCCTCACTGATTCGCACCCTCCTCTGGCAGCCTTAGCTGAGGGCGCATCGATTTCACTGCTTGCATTGCGAGTGGCGGCGCATTGGCCACCCGAGATCACCACCTGCACCATACGCGTCGCAAAGCGCAGCCGACGCGACGTAAGATGTTTCGTAAGGCAGCATCGCGCCTCGCGGGCGGCACCGTCGGCTACGTCGGCTGCGTCGCTTTACATAACACGGCCTACCCGCTGCACGTCGTCTGGGATTTAGATGAAACGTTAATCTCATCCGAGCGCATCGACAACAAGTGGCGCGCGGACCAGGCCATGCAAATCTTGCGCCTGTCTTCCAGTGAATGCGAGCACGTCGACGACGACGCGCTGCACTTCATCTCAACGATAAGGCCGAACGCGGCGCAAGTACTTAAAGTACTGCACGCGTTACCGGGCTGCCGCCAGAGCGTGTCGACGGCCGCGTCCGCGGGCTACGCGGCGAACGTGGTGAGGCTGCTCGAGGAAGCGGCCGGTTCAAACCTCTTCGACAAGATCGAAGCGGACCAGCCCTCTTCCGGGAAAGCTCTGACCATCTTCTCGCCGTTGCGGCGCGGTGTATTAATAGACAACCGCCAGTCCTGCCACTCCACGCAACCGGGCAACGGCATCTGGGTGCCCGACTTCGACGCGTCCGCACGAGTCCTGGAGCTGTCGGGCGGGACCTACGCGCTGGGCGGCGCGTATGCCGTGCGCGCGTCGAAGCAAGCGAGACAGGCGCGGTGGCCCCTCGAGCCTAGACTGTTCTCGGGCGCCATTGTTGGGGGAGGGACGGCCTTCGATAGTAATGGAGATGCTTCCTCAAAACCACGCATGAAGACTCGCAAAACGCTCGCGGCCTTAAGAAGGCGGCGCACGGAGGAGGAGAACGAGGTCGCGGATCGCATGGCCGTGCGCCACAAGTTACTTGTTGCTGCCTTCGCTGAAGACGACAGTCGCCGCCGAAGGAACGCGCGCATCCGCGAGCTCGTCGCGCGGGCGAAGAGCGACGGCGGCGCCGCGTTACTTGTTGTGGATCCGAAGAACGTGCAGGCCGCGCGCGTGCCATCGGACGTCGACTTTCCGGTGATCACGGCGGGCTCCGCGGCGGCGCTCGCCGTGGCGAACCCGCACGCGCGGAACCACGACCCGCGGACGACGGTCACGTCGGCCCAACTCGTGCCGCCGCGCGACGACGTCCTCGTGAGTGTGCTGTATCGGCTCTTGCTGTGCTGGCTCGTTCCCGACGTGCGCTGGGTGCTGCCGGGCGTCGAGGCGCGCTTCGGCAGCGCTCCGGCGCCGGGGCGCGTCCCGGGGATTCAGTAGTTGTTCTAACAAGTATGTTTTATCACTGCCCTCGGCTAACACAAATTTCACTTAGGCCTAATACGCCGACTGCGCGCCGGCCGGCGAGTCTAGGCCGCGGGCAAGTGCTCCGGCCGCCCCTGAGCGATGATCGTGAGACCCGTCTCGACGCCGTACTCCACGAGTGTCTTGGCGTCGTCGTCAAGCACTCTCCCCATGAAGATGAAGCGCGGCCCGGCACCGATGCCTAACGCCGTGCGCAAATCAGCCACCGTAGACGTAGCCGGGATCGTCAACGGGCGCGTCGCGTCGGACGGCGCCCACTTGATTGTGATCATCAGCAAGTCGGTGACACAGTCGATCTGATCCCCGTCCTCCATGTCGATGTCCTCGGCCGTCTGCTCGCCGTCAACGCGCTGGCCGTCGAAGAGGAAGCGGTACGCCGTCACAGGCTGGCCTTTGCGTGTACACCACGCGTTGAACACTTTGAACATCTTCGTCGTCTTCTTGATCTTGAAGAACGTCTCCTCGCCCGTCGCGTCGCGGACGCGGATGTTGAGGGAATCGGACACAACCGCGCGGAGTTGCGTCGCGACGCGCGTCTGGGCCGCGCGCTCGCGCGCCGCGGCGGCCTTCTCGCGCAGCGCTTCGGCCTCCTCGGCGGCCGCCTTCGCGACATCATCAGCAGCACCGCCGGCGAAGTTGATCGCTAACTCCCTATCCCTCTTGGCCTCCTCGAGCTCTTCGCGCATACATTCGAGCTCATCCCTCATCTTCTCGACCTCGCCGGCCGCGGCCAGTTTGAGAGCCTCCTTGTACTCCTCGATGGTCGCCTCGGCGCGCGACGCCTCCGACTCGACGCGCGACTGCGCCTCGTCGAGCTTGCTCTGGAGCTCGCGCTCGGCGGTCGCCTTGCCGTCGCGCTCCTGGCGCAGCTTGTGCACGGCCGCCTCCGCCTTCTTTTGGTTGCGCGCCGCCTCCTCGAGTTCGCGCGACATTCGCGCCGTCGTGGTCTCCATCGCCGCGACGACGCGGGTGGTGGCCGCGAAGTCCTTGCTCAGCTCGCGCGCCGCGTCGCGCTCCTGCAGCAGCTTCTCGGCCTTGGCCTCGGCGGCCTTGCGCTTCCTCGCCGACTCGACGAGCTCCTTCTGCGCCATGGCTACGGTCCGTTCCCGCTGGTAGTAGAGCGACTTGGCCTCCGTCAGTCTCCGGTTCAGGGCGTCGTAGTCGCCGGCCTTGGCCTCGGCCGCGTCGAGGCGCGTCTTATAGTCGTAGAGCTTCCCGCATAGGATCGCGATAATCGTCACGGCGCCGGCCAGCAAGGCCGTGGCGTATTTGTCGACGAACGCCATCATATTTTTCTAGGTACTGGTGCTGCGCGCTGCGCTGTGTTTTAATTTCGATGCTGCGCGCTGCCTTGCCTTATTTCTTGACGTCGGCGCGCCGCGCTGCTTCGACGGCGCTGCTGGGAGGTGTTGCTCCACGAACGCCGATACGTGTCGCTTACACTGCGCAGGTCAAAAGGAGCCCAAAACGAATGCCGAAAATGGCTTGCGCCGGATCCTAACCCAGCACGGCCCCAAAACTGCAAAGGCGCAGCTTTGCGGACCTAGCGTGCTGTAAGACACTAGCAAGCAGGCCGCGCGCTAGCGGCCTGTAAGACACTAGCAAGCAGGCCGAGTCTGGCCAAAAGGGTGGTGTAGGCGCCTGGTTGCACAGCTGCGGTGTGCATTGACGTGCGTGCTGGTCTCTCAGCGGAGAACGGCGGTGTGGAGATGGATTCGTTGCCAAAGCCGACGTCATGGCTCCAGGGTGGTGGTGCTTGTGTGGTCGCGGCGCGCGCGGACGCGTGGTTCATCGTGGACAGCGTTGCTAGGCTAAGCGAGGCGCTACGGGACGTTGACATTAATGCTGACAATAACAAACAAAAAGTAGCCGAGGTGTGCGCAAGATTCGCGTTGGCGTTCCTCAATGCTGATCGGCTTGAGGAAGCGTGGGAGTGGGGTCGCGAGGCACAGACATTCGATAACGACAACGAAATTGCGCAATGGTGCGAGGCGGAAGCGAACAATAAGCTTGACACGCGCCTCGGCCGCGCGGTAGAATTGTACCGCGGACTGGCCTTTGGCAGCGGAAATTATGCCAATTCCGCACGGAGCCAACTGAATCCAGGGATAATAGCTGTTGCACAACTACCGCCGGGTTCTATCCGGCGGCGGTACTGGGAGCAAAGGGCGGAGTTATCAAAAGACAAGGGTAACGTTGTGCACAGACATAGCCGTGCAAAGGACCTCAAGGGATTCGGACCCGAGACCTTACGTAAACTGGATAGCCAAGGTAACGACTCGCTAGATGCTACACTGCGCCAAGTGCAATTGTGGCCGAAGCCGGGCAAAAAACTTGTGACGGTGGAAAACTTATATAAACTCGTAGATGAAACGCCCCCGCAAAGTGGTAAATTGCTCGAGCGCACACTTCGCGCGTTCCGGGCGACGTCAAAGAAAATCGTCTCGTGTAACATTAAGCTGATGAACCCTTTGGACTACAGTGACAGTATCTTCGAGGGCGTTCTGCGCGATAAAGCGAAGAACTTTGCCCGATTAGTTGTGAGAGAAGAGGCCGACATGTTTGTCGTACAGGAGGCGCCAGGGGCGGCTCTCCGCAACAAAGGTAAAGTTAACGGCAACGCGCGCCGCTGCGTCAAAAACGGAACGTTTCTCGATGAGTTGCTGCGGAATTTGGTGGAAAATTCGGATGGTGATCAATGGCGTGCTGAGAGTAGAGAGGTGCCTAAATATGAAGGAAAAGTGGATATGGGCGAGAGTCACGTGTTTGCATGGCGTGAGGATGCCTTCAGTCTTGTTGACGGCCCCAGTCTGCTCTGTGTAGTTGATAGTAGTAGTGAACGCTTCCACCGGCCGCCGAGCTGGTGCGTCTTCGATGTACGCCGTCCCGGTGTGCCGACCGGAGAACGCCTCCTCATCGTTAGCGTGCATCTGAAGGCCGTCCAAAACAACGACACCACCAGGACAAGGGAAGACGTGCGAGTCCTTGGGCGCGCTGTTGTGGAGCTTCAGCGGCAGCAGCGCGGGACGGTCACCGTGATTATCGTGGGCGACTTCAATGCTTCTCCGACCCTCGTCGTGTCCGAGTTCCAGGAAGCCGGACTCGGCGACTTTGTTAGCGCTCTCGACAATTCGAAATTTACGAATATGTACCGCTTCTGTGGAAACGGTGCAGACGGCCATGTGTATGACGGGGTCTACACTAGCAATCGTGGCCAAGTCGAAGGCGGCGTGCTCGACGTCCCCGAAGTTGATGCGGCGTACAACGAGATGAAGGACAAAGCGCCAAACCTGATGGCCGGTGACCTTTGTGCGATTATGCACCGAATTGTTTACGGCGGAGATGCGGCAATCGTAGACTTAAATGGAGTCCCTTTGGGGCTACGGACGATAGTCAGGGAGGAGCTTTATCGCCAGTGGAGCGATCACATGCCCATTTATGCCAAATATTCGTGCCTCATGGCGAGCGACGCCGATGCGAAGGACACGGGCGTCGCCGAGTCCAAGGAGGACGAGGGCGTGTCCGAGTCGAAAGGAAACTAGGGAATATCCCTTGCCTTGATTAGGCCTCATCATCATTACAATTTCAACAACCTTAAGTATTTGTTGTGCCATTATAAATGCCATTGGCGCCAGTGTGTAGGTCACGGTCGTGGATTATTAGGAAAACGGGCAACATTAGATACTAGGCCTTCACGGCCACCGGCTTGCGCGCACTATGCTCGAACGCCTTCGGCGGCGGCGGCGGCGGCGGCGGCTCCACGACGGGCGCCGGCGCCGGCGCAGGTACTGGAGGCGCCGCGGCCGCCGTCGCCGCGTCGTCCGCCGCTTTCGCCGCGGACGCCTTGAGCTCCAAAGCGCGCAGCGGCGCGTGGTCCGGCTTGAGCGCCAAACCCCGCAGGCACGCATCCAAGGCCAGGGCGTGGTCGCCGGTGTTGAACAGCGCCGTGCCCAGGCGGTGCCAGCACTTTAATCGGGAAGGATCTTCCACGAGAGAAGCGGCGGCATCCCTACACGCCGCCTGGTGGAAGCCCAGATGCAACCCGGCTTGGGCTCGGTTCGCATATAAAGTCGCTCGTAGGGACGAGGCCTCGTCGTCGTTATCTGCATATCGAATAGCCTTCAACCCATCAGCATAGCGCCAGAAGGCCCTCCGGTAGTTCCCTAAGGCTATGGCCGTGTTCCCGTCCTTCCGCGCCTTCTCCGCTTCACTCATATCCACCGTAGGATTCTTCTTCGGTGCCCTTGCGATTTTTGGATTATCGCCCTTGATCACGGCCCGGACGAACGCATCGTGCGGGCCCGCGCCGCGCTCCGTGATACACAGTGACGAAGCTGCTTCGGCGGCCTTGAACTCCTTCTCGGCTTCCCTCGCTTCCCGCGCTTCTCTCGCCGCGCGTTGTTGCCTCGCATGTTGTACCAAAGCTTGCGCATAATGTTTGCTGTCCTTTTCATTGCGTTCGTCCCGATCGATCTCCCTTGTCAGCTCGTCCCATTTTCTCAACCTTGCATTCTCCTCGCGCAGTTGTCGGATCTCGTCGCTTCGGTCCTCGGGCTCGTCTTGTCGCGTCAGCACGCGCGCGAGGTCGGCCTCCGTCGCCGTTGTGTTGGCGGTCTCGGCCTCGCTGGCCATGGTTGCTCTCGGAGATGCGGGCGTCCTCGTGGCGGCTGGCGCGGCGAGTGGCGACCCCTGCTTGGGATAGCTTTGTCTGCGCGGCAGCGGGCTTCTCGCGGCGGCTGGCGCGGCGAACGGCGACAGTGATGCGCGAATGTGTCCGTCCAGGCGTGCGGGATGCCCAGATCTGCGCAATAGGCTCGCAAAGACGACGACGCCCTCGATTTATCTAGCCGGTTGACATACTAGGATTTTAAAAAGACGACTCTCTTAAACCACGAAACCACCGCGTAGCGACAGTTGGACCCATGCTCGGGACGAATGGGCACTCTAGCCTGCCTGCTTCTCGATGCCTCCCTCTCGATGCGAAGAGTAGTGAAGAAAGCTACCTGTCTTCATCAAAACGGAAAAAGCTGGAGGCGCTGGAGGACGCGTTGCATGAACTCGAGAAAGTGCGCGACGACAACGAGGACAAGCTGAGGGAGAGTAAAGCTGCGTTGGGCGACGCCGACTACGGTGACGACGGCGCAAGGTGGGCCCTTAGGGCGTCGGGCAGTCGGCGACGTGGGCGCGAACGTCGCCGTCGGCGCGGGCGTAGGTCTAAGCGTTGGTGCAGCGGTAGGCCTAGGCGTCGGATCGGCCGTCGGCTTGGGCGTCACCGTCGGCGCGAACGTGCCCTCACCGCCGCCGCACGCGCAACACTGCTCGCTCGCCGTGAAATCCTCGTCGTCGTAGAATCCACAAAGATAAGGATAACTGTCGTAAACCGACGAGCACGTATAGCCATATGCATCACTGGTCGAATCATCGTTCACACACTGCAAGCGCCGCCGCCTAAAATTCACAAGTTCATCAAAGGTCACACACACACGATAGTGGACGCGGGGTGTACTACCTGTCATGAACGACTCTCTCTCTCTCTCTCTCTCTCTCTCTCGAAGCGCTCGGGGTCGTACTGGAGGTGGGTTCAATAAGCGACTCTCCCTCTCACACGGGATTACCGAAGCGCGGGAGCCCTGGAAGCCGGGGAAGGATAACTAAAAACTTAGACCAGCCCCGAGATGTCCCCCTGCGCCGCCTTCATGAGCTTCATCGTGTCCGCCGCGATCGTCGGGTCGTCGGCGGCGCAGGCCTGGATTTTCATGACCACGCTCATCAATTCGTCGGCCTTGAAGCCGTGCTCCGTCAGCGCCGGCGCCATGAGCTGCTGGACCTTCGGGAGCAGTTGCATCATCTTCTGCATCTGCTTCGAGGACGCGTCGCCCGGCGCATTTTCAATATCTTGGATCGTTTTTGTTAAAGAGTCCTTGTTGGCCTTGAACTGGGCGAAGGCCGCGTCTAGAATGGCGCGCGCCGTCTTCGGGTCCATCTTCGCTGGGGACGGCGCCGGCGGCGGTGTGACGTTGGAGTCCTCGACTTTCTGTGAATTGAACTGCGCGGCCTTGGCCTTGCGCCGCGCGGCTCTAGTCCGTTTCCAGAGGGCCTGGTTCTTCGTCTTCTGGGACTGTGTTGAAGTCCAGCACAATCAATGCGATGCGAATGCAAAAGCGGTGAGCGCCAGCAAGCCAGGGCAGCCATCTGCACGTTGCGCACACTGTACCTTGGAACGGCATCGATTTTCGGCAGCCCCCTGTTCGGCAGCCCTCTACAAAGCATCTAAGCACAACCTTTGCTTTGCTTAGAGCTAGGCCGCCTAGCTACCTGGAACCTTTGCTGTGTAAAAAAAGGAGAAGACAGCCATGGGCAGCGGCCCCTCGGTGCCCGACGACATCCGTGGGCACGTTGCCAAGTACGTGCCCGACCGCGCGCCCTTCCTGGCGCTCCGGGCCGCGTCCAAGTTCGAGCGCGACGCCGTCCAGCGGACCATCGCGCGGCGGCCGGGCGCCGTCCGCCGCTTTGGTTTTTATCCACGGTGGGCAGACGGGGAGACGCTCGCCTGGGAGCCCGACGAGCAGCCCACGGAGTGCGCGGCGTCTTCATTAACGATCGCGACGCTCGGCAAGGTGTTCGGCAAGGGCGTCATTCATTTATCGGCGTGCGGCCGGGCGGCGCCAGCCGTCGCGGCGCTCGAGTTCTTCGTCAAGCAGACGAACGGCGGCCTCGAAACGCTGGAGCTGTATCGCGCCAACGTCGCGCCGGACCGGCTCCTGGAGCTCTGTCGCGCGTGTCCGCGCCTCAAGGAGCTGCGGACGCCGGTGCATGCGCTGATACCCTGTCTGTGTCCGGCGTCCTTTGTCTAATTCTACATCGACGCGACTCGTTGCTCACTACCCCATTCCCGCGCAGACAGCGTGGTCGAGGCGATCGCGCAAGCGTGCCCCCTCATCGAGGGGATCTCCGTGACGAATAACGGGCGCGACGAGCCGCTGAGTCCCGCCGAGACGTGGGCGCGCCACTTCCCGCGCCTCAAAGCCCTATCCTTCCGGAACGGCTGGCTCGAGTACCGGCCGACGCGACTGGACGCCATCCACGCGACGGCGCTCGTCACGAACGCGACAATGATGGACGTCGACGGCTGCCACATCACTCTCGATGTCATCGAAGCGCTGGTCGGCACGCCGTTCGGCGACCGCCTCGAGCGGCTCGGCTTCTCCCAGGGCACCAGCCCGACGCGGCTCGAATACGCCGCCCTGATCTGCGCGATGCGCGGCTTCCCGCGCTTGCGGGCGCTAGCTATTCCCGGCTACATGGTTTATGGACGCGGTTTCTACAGGGACCTCGCGAGGCTATCGAACGCGCGCCCCGCCGGCACTGGTCTCAGAAACCTCGCCATCCGCGAGCTGGACGCCACTGACGAATGCGTCGCCCAGGCGTGTCGCATCGAAGGCCTCGAGCTCCTCACGCTCGACGGCATCGACGCCACGCGAGGCATAGTCGATGCGATTTTGGGAGGCGCCGCGGCGGCGACGTTGACAACGGTGAGCATCCGCTACTGCGCGTACGCCCCGCGACCGACGGCGTTGCGCGCCTGCGACGTTTTGAGGCTCGTGCAAGGCTGCCCGCGCCTGAACCGCCTGAGCTGGTTCTGCGACGAGGAGTTCCAGGAGGGCACGCTTCTGCTGCGGGGGGTGTGCAATCAGATCGTACGACTCCTCGAACGCCGCGGGGGGCGCGTCGCCGTGCAGCCCACTCGAGCCTTGCCCGTCGCGGTCGGCCGCCGGGTCCGCATGAAATTCCCTACCGGTGGCACGAAATTCCACTGGTGTGAAGGCGTCGTGGAGTCCGTAGAGGACGGACTCTGCGAGATCGCGTGGTCGAACGGCGCCACGGATTCTATGGAGGTCTCGGCTGTCGCGAAGATCCTGCGGGACGACGGGGCGGCGACTCGAGTGCTCGTGCCGGGAGACGAACGGGAGCCCGAGGTGCTCTTCAGCTGCCGCTACGACCGCGCGACGGAGCGTTATTACTGAGTAAGCTCTTTTTCAACCTGGGTGAGCAGATGTATCCCGTCTTTGAGACGGGCCCAAAACCCGAACCCGATCTCATTTCATCGGCGTGACATCGCGCGCGCGCGAAGCAATCCTCGACGCAAGGGGCTTTACGGGCAGCAGCACCACGCTCTCGACGCATTTGGGCAGCACAGCAGCCAGATGGACTCTTGCCTGTCCTCCGCCTCCGGCAGGGCTTCACCTGGCTCACCCACCACCATGATGGGGAGATTAGCCTGTGGCCTCGACTTGCTACTGTGGGGTTCAAATGATGTGAGCTTGGAAGATTTACCGCCCCACGGCAGCGAGACCTGGCAGTGGTTCATCTCATCGAACCCTAAAGCCATGCGCGCGCCCTTAGTCGCGGACCCAAAGACCGAGGCGGCGTTCCGGATGCTCCGGTGTAGAGATGATGATGTATTTGTTTGCTCTTATCCGCGATGTGGCCTGTCCTGGGCGCATGCGTTGTCATGGCACTTGTTACGTTCAAATGAAAGTGGCCAGCTGCCGTTCCGGGACCCTACTACAATTGTAGGCGGTAAAGGACCGGTCTATCCTGATCAGCCCCCCACAAAATGGACGCACCAGGACGTGTCGGCCCAGGCGCACCCGCGGCTGCTGTCGGGCCACTGTTCTGTACAACGTTTACCGCCGAGCTTCCTACAATCAAAAGCTCGCCTGATCGTCATCGACCGGGACCCGCGCGATGCTATGGTGTCGACGTTCTTCCGGCTCAAGAGACTGGGCCAGAAGTTCCGGGCCTTGGAGTGCCACGACGCCCGACTGAAAGAGCTCGCCGACGCCTGCGAGGCCCTGACGCTCGAGCGGTGCTACGACGATTTTGATTCTCAAAAGACCTCGCTCGCGCTCGGCATGGACGACGAGGCGCATTACGAGACGCGGAAGCGCTCGGCGACGGAAGACGTCTCCGAGCTCGACTACGGCGACTACTACGAGTGGCACGCGCAGTACGCGTCACTAGCGTCACAGTTAGGTCAGAGGGTGTTGTGGCTCCACTACGAGGACCTCTCTACTGATCCTCATTCAGCGGCGGAACGTATACATACCTTCCTCTTCAGTAAACCGGCTACCTCCGATAAGATCGACGGGGCCGTGCGCTTCGCGAGCTTTGATGAAACGGCGGCGCGCGGCGACGACGCGCTGCGCAAGGGCGTCGTCGGCGACCACAAGATCTATTTGAGTAGAGAGCACTGGGACGCCGTGGCCCACCAGTGCTGCCGACGATTAGGTGGATACGACGCGATGCATTATCAAATAGCGCGCCTCGTACAGGACGTGCCGTCAGCCCTAAAGCGCGTCCCGAAGTCGAAACGAAAGGCCGTCAAGGCGCTCTCCGCGCAGACGCGGCGGGCGCCGTCGGACTCGTGGGACCTGCCCGCGCCCGGTTCTACAAGAGCGTCGAGCAGCTGGTTCAAGCGCTAGTGAGTAAAGAAGTTACCCGTCAAACCCTACATGACCGCGCAGAGCTGCGAGAAGCCCGACGCGGGCTCCTCGGGCTCGGCCATCTTCATCAGCCGCGTCCAGAGCGCCAATGACGCCAAGACTTCGTCCCGATCCAGCACGCCGTTGCCGTCGGCGTCGGCCTCCTTGAGGATGAAGTCCACGTCTTCGTCCGACACCTCGGAGTACTTGACGACGTCGTCGCCGCCGCCCTGCGCCTTGTGAAGCTTCTGCATGTAGCTGTTCTTATCCAGTATACCCTTGTTGTAGAGGTTTTCGAGTGAACTGAGTTTGTACTCCCGCCCCTTGGAGTTCAATTGTAGTTTAGCGCCGTCCCTGAGGATGATCTGGAGCATGCGTTTTATTTCATCTCTATCGAGATTCCCGTCCTTGTTCGTGTCGAACTGGTCCATCAACGCATTGAGGTACTCGTGATGAACTAACGACTCTTTATATTTGACGACCGTTTCCCGGAGCTTGTCTCGCGGTACGGAGTCGGGATTTTCCGTGCCCTCGGTGCACTTCTTGAACAGCGACGCGATCACCTCGGGCTCGATGGCGACGCCCTGGCCCCCGTAGACGCCCTGGATGAGCTTCTCGAACTCGCCCTTCTCGATCATGCCATTCCCATCGGTATCGTACTTGTTCATCCAGTCGTCGACCTGTTTTTCTTCCAGTTCCCGCTGGTGCCGCTTCTTCTCGAGCATCTTCTCGTACTTCAGCTTGCGGCTGCCGCCGGCCATGGTGGCGGCCATGGTCTCCTACCCCGCCGCGGACGCGCGCGCGGAGGGCTGCCCAGGCTGCCCGCCCTCTGGGTTCGTGAGCGCGCGGCTGCGCTGCGGCCAGCGGTTCCCTGGCTTCCGCGAGATCCGGAGCAACTATGTCGAGCTCTGTAGGCCCGGAGCCTCAGCCTCGCGTCCTCAGCCCGGCAAATGCGGTCGACCGAGGGCGCTGGGCAAAGTTGCCGCTAGTGGGTTGCCCACCAGCGAGCGGCCCGATGCCCCTTTTTGTGTCGTAATACGGCTGCTCGGAGCGCCTGGGGAGCCCTCGAGGCGCTCGCGGCGCGGGAGGTCCGAAGGGCAGCACTTGTGATGGGTGCTGCAGCACCGCGGCGCTCCGAGCTGCTGTACGCGTACGCAGATAGCAATAATCGTGGCGTTACGCCGGCGCAGCGATGCCTCGAACGCTGCGACGACGACGGCGAGCGCTGCTGTTAGCAATCGCTTTGACACAAACAGCAGCCCTGCTGCCATCACTGCCACCGCGCAGCACAACGCGACAAAGAGCCACGCCCATCGCCGACGACTTTTGCGTGCTGCCGCCCGACGACGCCGACATCAGTGCGACGCTCGACGACTTGCTCACGGAGACGCGCGGCTTTGACCTCGCGTTACGAGCGGCACCGATCGTCGCGCCGGGCTTTGCGTTCATCGCCTACCCCTACGTCGCTGCAGCATTTAGAGCGGTCTTCGAACTCGTGAAGAACGCCCCGTATGTCGAGGTCGACGGCGGCCAGTACGAGATCAATATACTTACCCCTACTCTCATTGGTATTGTGATGCCCTCCCTCTCGATATCGTTCGGTACGCTCGTGGCCACGACCGTGAATACGTTGAGGCAGCGGCAGCTGGATCTGCGCGTGTTGCTGAACCAGGAGCTCTCGGCGGTGCAGCTGTTAAGGGTCGGGCTCGACGCGAATTTTCGGGGAGCCACGACGATGAACGCGCGCGAGGCCGACGCGCGCGCGGCGTTGTTGCTGGAAGGATATGTGGCGCGGGTGATCCAGGAGTCGAGCGGGCGGTCGTGCGCTGCCTGTGTCCGTCTCGCGTCTTTGTTTGCGCCGTCTCGCCCCTGACATCTACACCACCGCCGCGCCGTCGACGCGGGCTGCGAGAGAGCCGCGGCGGTTATCCTGAGAATATTTGCGGAGGCCTTCGTGAACCTCCACGCTATCGAGCAGATGCAGTTACCATGTCGCGTCGCAGGTCCGAGGAGAGCGTCTCCGTCCCGAACAACGAGCTCGGCGCGCTCTCCTCCCTCTTGTCGGAGACCGCCGCCGACGCGTCGTCGACCTACCAGAACAACCTGCACGCGCTCGTCGCCACGTTATCTGAAAGGCGATCAGCGCGCCTGGCCCACCTCGCGACGACGTATCCCGCCGTCCACTACGCGGTCCTGACGGCCATCGCCGCGTCGATCGTGCTCGCGTATCTCGTCGAGACGGACCAGGAGGTCTTGCAGTTTTTATCGTCACTCCAACTGCGGCTGTTATTCACGATCCTCATCGGCGTGTTCTCGGGCGTCGGGTCCGTGGTCACGGACATCGCGGACCCGTTCCGCGGGGCGTACCGGATCACGTCGACCGTCGCCCAGTTCTTTCCGCTGCGGGAGGCGCTGATCTGCGACGTCGCGTGCAAGCGGACGGCCCTCGACGACCCCGAGTGGCCGCCTGGTTCTGAACACATCTAGTTCTTTCTCCCGCTGAGAGTTTGTTTAATATGGTTTATTATTAACAGACGTCGCGTCGACGCCTTGGGGGCCGGTGCTTTTCTCTGTCACAGGACCTCTGCTCGCTCGCGCGACGGCGCCGAGTCGCAACCGCGCGGTGATGCTTTGGCTATCAATTACGCGAGGATCAATCCGAAGACTCATGGTGGACGGCGTTTGCGTGCGTCCACGGGCTCGGCACTCGGCACGGGCTCGGTTATTCAAAACCTGGGCCGGGTTTTCATTCGCGAGAGAGATATCCATTTTTGTCGGCTCTGCGCTCGGCCCCCTTGCAGTCTCGAGCCCCCGTGGCTCTCAGGAAGGTTCCCGCAGTGACATTAAGGCGGGAGCTGGCGCGAAACCGCGCGCGGATCCGCGAGAAACGCGATTTTTTGTGGCTGGCGCCGAGAACACAAAGTTAACGCGCGCTGCAGTGCGCCTCGCGGTCCCGGCGCCTTCAGAGGCCAAAGCTATAATATTCTGAGCCTTCCAAGCGTCCTGCGCCCAAGAAACCCCGTGGTCTGAGTATAATCTCGTTCCGGCCGCAAACGCGGAAAGCGGGCCTCTGAGGAACCAGAGGCTCCCGGCGCTCGACGAGGGCCAGGCGCACCAGGAAGGTGATCAGGAAGGTTCCAAGCCTACCCTGCGAGGAGATTAACAGGTAATTCCACTCCTCCGCAATGGCCTCCGACCGGCCCCTGCTGCCGACGCTGCCGACGAACTTCGTCGAGGGCGTCAGCCTCTTCGAAGCCGACGCGTCGTCGCCGAAGAGCGTCTGCTCGGCGCTCGCCGACCGCGCCGAGCAGCTGGGCGGCGACTTCCCGGCCATCTTCCACGACTTCGCGCTGCGCCGCGCTGTCGCGCAAGCGGACGACGACGCGGTCCTGAAACAACAAAAGGAGGAGCGCCTGCGGCGGGTGACGATCACGCCGCCGCCTGGCGTCGTCTCGCCGGGACCGGCGCCCAAGAAGCCGCGGCTGGTCGTCTCGGCGACGGCGTGCCGTGGAGGCCACCGCCTCCGAGCGAACACTCGGGGCGACGGCGCATGAGTACTGGGGGCCGGGCGTACGATCGCGCAGCTGGTCACGCAGGCCTGCGCCTAGGTGGACTGCTAGCTCTAAAGGCAAAGACTACTTACGCGATCTCCCCCAGGTATACCGTCGTGTCCGACGACGCCGACGCGAGGATCGGCTCCTTCGGGTGGAAGTCGACCTCGGTCACTGCTCCCTTGTGTCCCGGAAGGTAGTACAACTCCTCCGTCGAGGCGACGTCCCAGACGTGGACGATCTGGTCCGCCGAGCCGCAGGCGACCTTTTCGCCGTCGTGGGACCAAGAACACCGCAATAAATTCTTGTGGAAGTCGTGCGAGTGGCCCTCGAAGGTCGCGACGCACCGCTCGGACGGGCTGAAGGGCGCGACGTCCCACGCTTTTAATGTACTATCCATGCTGTTCGAGAGCAACCGAGAGCCGTCCGGCGACAGGCTTAGACCCGTGACCGTGTCCCCGTGGCCTTTTAACTCCAGCACGACCTCGTCGCTCCGCAGGTCCCATCCTCTAATCACATTATCGAGGCCGCCGGCGAAGACCCGATTCTCCGAACCTTCCAACGCGACCGCACATAGCGCGTACTGCGTTTGTAGTTGTTTGGCGGGCTTCCGTTGTCTAGCGTCCCACAACAATACCGAACCATCGTCGCAGGCTACCGCGACGTGGTCGTCCATCGACCCGGCGCAACAGCCGTTCGCTATCGAAGCACAAGGTAATTTCCGCTTCCTTTTACCTTTATGGGCGTCCCACAAGGCGCCACTCTTATCGGCAGAAGCCGTCGCCAAAGTTCGCCCGTCCCGAAAGAAGGATAAGTCTAGGATGGCATTTTGATGACCTCGGAGGACGTTGTAATTTGCACAATCCCCGTAGACCTCCCACAGATAAATCGCCTTCTCGGCGCCCGCCGACGCGAGGACGTCGCCGGTCGGCGAGAACTTGACGCCGTAGACGGGAGCGTCCTGGCCGCTCAGTAACATGATCGGGGCTTGCAAGTTACTTGTGCGGGGCTCCTCGTCGTCCTCTTCTTGTAGCGCTCTTAACCCACTCCCGGGGCCGCTCGTCGCGATGCTCGAACTCGGCAGTCTTACCGCCACTTCATTGTTGCCGCGGCGCTTCTTTTGGGCTTGGACGATGCTCATGCCTGGTTTGAGGTCTGCAGAGGGACGGTGGGCGACGGCGCTGCGATGGATCGCAGCGATGGCGTGTGGGTAGGCTTTAGATGATCTATTCGGCCGCGTTGAGCTGCTGCCGCCTCTCGGCGAGGCAAAAGGCCGGCTTGCCGCTTTGCTCTAGTGTCTTACATGCCGCTAGCTCTTTATATTTTTTTGGCAGCAAATCGTCGTCTTTTTTGCTGTTAGCAGCCCTGCGTTCGGCAGGAGACGGCAAGAGCTGTCGAAAAGGCGTACTTTTGAATTTGTTGTCAGCTCACGCGCTTCCTGCTGCTTCCGTGCCGCAAGCACAGCGTCCAGCAAACGAAGATGAGCGCCCTCCTCGACGCCACCAATGCGACCCCACAAGCGTTAGTAGGAACAAGAATCAGGGACGACAACGACTTCCGCGGCACGATTAGATATGTGGGACCCGTCGCCACATCCACAAAAGACCCGAACGCGACGTGGTACGGCGTCGAATGGGACGACGCGACGCGCGGCAAGCACGACGGCGCCGTCGAGAAGGATTCCCAGGAAATTCGATACTTCACGTGCCCCGCGGGCGCCGGCTCCTTCGTCAAGCCCAAGAAGGTCGACAGAGGTTCCAGTTTAGTCGAAGCGTTGCGACAGAAGTACGTTGGATTGGACGCGCCCGTCGAAGCGCCGCTGGGTGTCGATAAAAATGAGGCCGATTCCAGAGATTTCCTGAAGGGTTCTACGGAACAGACGAAGCGGAACGGGGAGGAAATTACGCGGGGCACCTTCGAGCACAAGGCGTACACAAAAAGAGGTAACACGAAGGCGATCCAGTTCTGCGGCGAGTTGAATGTACGGAAAGAACAACAATTGGACGACGGCGTCGTCGATCGCGTTGTTCTCAGGTGTGCCGGCGTGTCGCGACTGGGTTCATTGGACCAAGCGTCGACGGAGCACCTGGCGTCGCTCACGATTTTGGACCTGCAGTGCAACCTGCTGGCGGCCTGGACCGATGTGGGAGACATCGTCAAGGCGTGTCCCAATTTGACTTCCCTAGATGTCTCGGGGAACCGACTCCAGCTGACCAGCAGCGAAGACCTCGCTCCCCTGAGAAATCTCAAGTCCCTCGCGGCGAACGGTGTTGGTCTCAAATCCTGGGAGGAGATTTTGTCTATTGGGAGAGCGGCGCCTTCACTCGAAGTGCTACATGTCGGCAAGAACGCCGGTTGTTGCTCAGGAAAGTGTGAAGTGAAAGACGCGTTCCCCTCGTTGCGGTTGTTGGACGTCGCGTGTACGGATCTCAGAGATGCGACGCCCTTCGCCGCACTCCCGAAGCTGGACGAGCTCCATGCCGCGGAGAACCCTCTACTGGCGAACATCACCGGATGTGTGTTCTCGAAGTTGACGGCCTTAGGCTGCGCGGGTTGTGGGTTCGCGGCCTGGTCCGACGTGGACGCGCTAGCATTGTCCTGCCCTCAATTGACTCGATTACGCTTCGGCCGCGACAACGCCGTGACTTCTGCCTTGGGCGCGTCGGAAGCTCGAGCGTTGCTCGTGGCGCGCTTGGCGACGGTGCGCTTGCTCAATGGTGCGGAAGTCTCACGGAGAGAGCGCACGGAAGCGGAAAAGAGATATATCCGCATCGCCAAGGCCAAGATTGAACAAGGTGGCTCGGAGCAGGACCACCCGCGACTGAAGGCACTCATCGAGGAGCACGGCGAGCCCATGTCCAAGCTCGCCTCGTCGAATCAGGGCGGTCCTTTGGGAGCGAACCTCGTCACGCTCACCTTGAGATGCATGTGCGCCGAGCAGTGCACGAAGGAACCGGTTCGCAAAAAGTTCCCCGGCTCGACCAAGATCTCGATGCTCAAGCGCATCTCCACCAGAGTGTTTGGGGTGGACGCGGCGGAAATCACTTTATATTTCGTGCCCGAGGAGGGCTGCGCTCCCACATATTTAGATGATGACGACGCGCAGCTGTCGTATTTTGGCGTGCCCGACGGCGCGACGGTCGACGTGGCGGACAAGGTGGCGTTTGACGAGTGAGGCGTTTTTTGGCGTAAGGTTTTATATGATATCTAGCTTACTCGATGTCGTCCGCGTCGTCCTCCTGCGCCGAGACGTCCAGGGTTTCGTCGTCTGACGTCTCGTGGGCGCGGAGCGCTTCTTGCAGGTGCCACTCAATTTCCGTTGTAGTCGGGTGCTCGCCCCCGAGTACGCGCCGCGCGATCCGTTTCGCATCCTCGAGCGTCGTCACACTCTCGCGGAGATCGTCGAGCGTGGCGCCTTTGTCGCAGTAGAGCGCTATCGCGTAAGTCTTCCTCATATTGAGCGTGAGGTCATGACTCTCTCCGAGAACGCGCCGCGCCACGGAAATCGTTCGGCGCAGCAGTGACCTGGCTTCTTCGAAGCGCTCTAGAAGATTAAGGGACACCGCGTAGTTGTTGGTTGCCAAGAGGGTTGATCCATGTTCTTTCCCATTGAGCTTCAAATATCGGGAGTATACCTCTTGTCGCAGCCGTAGAGCTTCCTCGAGCCGTCCGAGTGATCGATACGTGTTCGCAAGATTGGTCTGCACGGCGAGAATGTTGTCTTCTGCATCGCCGAGGCGCTGCCGCATAGACAACTCGGCCTTTTGCACGGACAACGCGTCCTCGTAGTAATTTGCAGCGTATAAACCATTCCCGAGCACCGTCATCGCGAAATTCCGAGCCTCGTCCTCCTCCCGCCGCCCCAGGTACGTCTTCCAGCACGCCCACCCGAGTGCACACGATACGACCCCGTGGTAGTCTTGCTCGCACAGGCCACAAATGCACCACCTCTTCCACGCCGCATCTAACGCATCGTCATCCAAATCCCTTGCCTCGGCCTCGGCATGCACGACTAAACGTCTCGCCTGCTCCGCCAGGCACGAAATGTGCGCGATGCCAGACTCCCCGCGGCACGCGCACCCACGCACGAGACCATCTTCATCGCCCTCGCCATAACAGATGTAGCATGTCTGGCCCGCCGTGTCCTTCGCGCATTTCGCGACCGCGACCGCGACGGCCTCCTTGTACAATTCGTCAGCTTGGTCACGCCCTAGCAGCTGCGCGGCGGGCCAGCCGCGGCTGGGCCGGTCCCGCGTTATCACGCGGCCCACGTAGTACCATTCACCTTCTTCTGACTGCATGGACCAGCCTTGTTGCCGAAGTTCGGGCGACAGCAAGGGCGGCCGGCCCCGCGGCGTGCCGTGGCGAGCTCGCGCCATGCTCGGGCCGATTTCATGAATGGGCAGCAAGCAATGAGCGTACAATGTCCCAATCAGCGGGAGCCTCTAAAACTTTCGGCTCTGCGGAGATCTGCGGCGACCCCGCGGCGCCAGCACGCGAATCAGCACGGCCAGGGCTCGTGACAGATATCCAGACCCACTCCTAGGCACGCCCCGAGACGCCATCGACGCGAGCAAGCCGAAACGCGGAGACCCCCAAAAACAAGCCATTGTCAAGTAAGTAATTAAAGTGTCGTGCGAACGCCTCGGGCATCCACCAAAGACCCTAGTCCGAGTCGTCGGCGGGCGGCGTCCAGCACATGAACCGCTCGTCGCAGAGCCGCGGCGGCCGCTTGATCGCGGCTAATTTAGCAGCGATGTCCTTCCGGTCCGCGCGGACCACGAGCTGGCCGCGCCACTCGCGCAGCAGCCCTAAATGTTCCAGCGTCGAGATGACGTCTTCCGAACAAAGACCTTTGGTCCGAGCCAACTCTTTTAGCGTCAGGTCGCCATCATAGTCCTCCAGGAGCTTCAGACTGATATAGGACCAGTAGGCTCTGTAACTCAACTTCCCTAAATCAGACAGAGGCTTTTCTGGAGAACCAACCTTCTGCTCCCGTACCGATAGAGCATACGACAAGCTAATCATCAGCGTCCCGACGCCCTGCCTCTGGAACTGCGGCAGCGTCAGAATACAGGCCAAATTATAATTCAAGGCCGAGACCTTCTCCTTGGAAAAGTAGCCCATGAGCGCGTGCTCCTCGACGCCGTCGTCACCCACACTCTTTTTGGTGAGGCAGTAGAATCTAAACGGTTCCGCATCAAACGACAGCGTCTTGTGATCTAAGAACAGCTTGGCGAGCAAACAGAGGTTCTGGCAGTACCTAGGCTCCGATTCGCCGTCGACCTCCCAGAGACAGATGTCGTCGTCGTCCGGGCCATAACAACGTACGCCTGGAGGTCTACGAGGCGCCCTGGACGCCTTGTACTGCGTCCGATGTTCCACCGCCAGAATCTGCGAAGTAGTATACCGCAGCGTCCAGTCGCAAAAGTAGAGGGCCTGGTGGTGGTACTGCTCCGGGAAGGGCGCCCAGTACCACGGTTCTAAGCGCCACTGGCTGAAGATGACGGCCTCGATGTTCTTCACGGCCGTCTTTTTGTGGCGCGCCTCTTCGAGTAGATGTGCTACGGACGGGTCCACTCGCGACGAGTGCAACCCGCCGCCTCTCGGTGTTCGCCTCGGGTCCGCCTTGCGCTGGCGCTTCCTCGACCGAGGCTGCTGCCGCGGCGACGTCGGCGTCCTCACCTTATGGGCCGCACCAGGCGGCGTCGCGCACGGCTGCCGCAGACTATCCAATGACACCCACTCGTCGTTCCTTCGGTCGTGGGCGACGTAGTGGACATACACTCGCCGCTTCGACGCGTCCAACTCCACGACCTCGGCGATCTGCAATGATGAATCCTTCCGTTGGACGACTCCCGTCCAGCCGACTTCGATGCTCGACTTCTGCGCTAGAGGCGCGGACGGCGTCACCGTGCGCCGCGTCACGCTTTTGGTGGTTGTTTTCAAGATGGCCGGGGGCTTGCCCTCCCGGGCCCGGGTGGCGACCGGGGAGCTCGACCGTAATGTCTTCATGGTCGCCGTGGTTAACGGCGGAGCGCCGGCGGAGCTGCCCTCTTCGAGGGTGCCGCCGGATTCGCTCGCTTCGATGGGCGCTGCGGCGCTCCGGCGGGGCTTCCCTCTGGGAGGGTGCCGCCGATTCTAGCGCTCGCGGAAGCCGGGTTTCTGGGCTTTAGGGAGGCACCCTGCGCCCGAGCTGGGCCGCTGGGGGGCTTCCTGAAGCCTCGAGCTGCTGCTCGACGCGCGGTGTAGCTCGCTTTGGCCGCGCGGCCGGCTAGCTTCACTGGGAGAGCTCCACAAGCAAGAGCCACGAATCGGCCCGTTACGGCGTCGCTGGCCCTGGGGACGCGCGCTGGCGGCTTGGAGGGTCCCTGGGGGCGTGCGCTGGCGGCTTTTCCAGCCGAAAAAGGGGCGCCCCCGGCTGAATTAAGCAACAATTGCGCCTCGCGAGCAATAAAAGTCCGCAAAGTTTTGGCCCCCCAGCTGCTTCCTAGACCTCTTTTCCGCCCGTCCGAGCCCCTCGTGGTCGGCCGCGGCGAGAAAAAACCGAAACCGCGCATGCACTTAGTGCGTGCGGGGTCTCCACCTTTTATGAGCGCCGAGCCAGACTGAGAGGCGCTCGCTCGGTCTCTGATGCGGCCGTAGGCCTGGGGCGACGCTGCGCACCCGGCCTCGGCTGCCGCTCCAAGCAACAAGCTCACAAGCTCCAGAGATAACATCGGGGCAGCCTTTTTGGAGATGCGCCTACTACACCTCCTCCTCACACTCACCACTGTCAACGCCGCGAGCTGGCTCACGCGCTGGGCCGACGACGCGGACTGTATTGATGGAGTACGAGAATTGGAAGTCCTATGCGTGGATGACGACTTAGTAGTAGCAGACGCCGAGTGCACCGCCACAAAACCATCAACAACAACATCCTGCATGGACACGGTCACCAAAATAATCGATGCGAATGAAGGCGACGACGCGAACAACGGCACGGAGGCCTTTCCGCTAAGAACGCTGAGGGAGTGCATACAACGGTTCGGGTTCAAATGGAGTTCCAACAAGAATTCACCAGACGAGCAACTCCCACAGCTCGTGTGCGCTCTCAAAGGCGGCATCTACAACGACGAACCCAGTACGCCGTTGGACAGCGCGGACCATCTTTTGGTCAGACCCTACGATCACAATAAAGTTATTTTTGATGGAACGGACGCCTTCTGGGACGTCCGGTGGGCGCGGCACCATACTTTCGAGGATGTGGTCACCGCCGCAATACCCTTCACGCGCCGCCCAGAAGTACTGGTCGCGGGCCACAACATCATGTGCGCCAACGAAAGTAGTATTGTTGATGGGAATCACGACCCCAAGGCCGGCTATGGGACGGCGCGCGCTCCATGCTTCGCCTGGTCGCCTGATGACGCCTGGGTGTTAGGTGATGCGGCCTTCGCGCTGGACGACGCCGTCGCCGTCTATGAACGGGGCGAGACCCTTGATGAGGATCGGAACGTGCCCTGGTTCTGGGTCGACGAACGAAAGGGCGAGGTCCACGTCGACACCAGTAAAGCCCCATCGACATACCCGATCCGCGTCAAGAACGCGACGAGGAGGGATGTGTTGTCTATTGATGATGGCTGCCACCGCATCCATGTGCGCGACTTGTATTTTTACGGGACGTCGTGCTGCGGCGCCGGCCCGGCGTACAACTCCTTACAGTCGACGGATCTGAGGCTTACCCGGTCAAGGTTTCTGTACGCTCCGGTCGACGGGATTAGATTAAAGTCCACGAAGCAGACGAAACGCGGCGGTACGCCCTACGTGAAATTCGAGAACAACACGGCGGAGTTTGGCGAAGGTGCGTTGTACTACAAGGGCACCGGTGCTCGCATTCTCGGGAATTATTTCGCGTTCAATTCGTTCGAGCAGCGGACGGCCTACACGTTGAATAACATGGCCCAGCGGTCGGTGGTGGCGCACAACACGTTGCTATCTGTGTGGAAGTCAAAGTTTTACGCCGTCGAAGCGGCGCCTGCTCGATGGCGTGGCGATGCCGGTTCCTCGCCGCTCGACCGAGCCAGGACGGCCGCGTCATCATCGAGAAATGACTTAGTGAAGAATTGTCGGGTGCACCCGACGCACTGGTTGATTTCCACACAGGTTGCTCTATAATGGCGATAAAGCAGGGCACTACTCGTGGGCGCGCGGGAATATCCACCACCACAATCTCGTAATAGGACAGGACTTCTTAGGTCCCCAGTTCGACGCCGCGGTCTTCCACGCGTTGACGGGCGCCCAAGAAGGCTTGGTGATTGAGTACAACTGGGTCCTCGGTCCTTCCCTCGTGAGCTTCGCGAGGTTAGATACCGCGCAGTCGACCCAACCTGACGAAGCAGGTAGGTATACCACAATCAAACACAACGTGCACATGGGCCTGGGCATGACGACGAAGGGCTACAACCACACCATCGAGCACAATACCGGTAGTAGATTTTTACAAGTTGAAAGTTGGGCCTCCATCGACGACCACAACTTGTATACCGTGGCGAGGTACAACGCGCACTCCGAGGTGAAGAGTCGCGGTTCTACGCTGGAGTTTGATGCCATCCCGGGCTACGCTTCTCTCAATCTCTGCGGAGATCTAGTAGTTTGCAACCCGCGCAATCATACTGCACCACCAGAATTAACGAGGCAGCTCCTCCCCTTGACCGACGGCGTCCAGGAGGAATTGATAAACGGCGCCTGGCCCGCCGTCGACACGTCGGGCGTCGGGGAAGGGGAAGATTCGTTTAATGAGGCTGGGGTTATTGACGGCGACGACCTGCTCGGGTTGTTCGAGCCGCACGAGATCGGGACGCCGACGGCCGAGGCCATGGACTTCCGACCGAAGGCCGACGGGAAACTGGTCTGGAGCTGTAGCGACTGTGCTGGAGACGGGGGCACCTATAACTACGTCGACCAGAAACCGTCGTGGACCGATTTTGATGATTACGCCGGCGCATATAGTGTAGACGACGAGCTCTGGGTGCCGGGCTGCCACGACTGCGTCACGGGTGGAAAGTTTGGTGGAGGCGTGTTTCCTTATACTCCGCCGGAGTTCGCTCCTACTTCATCCCCTACAGCTATGCCCACCACTCCCATGCCGACGCCCAAGCCGACGACGACGGCGGCCCCCGTCATCTCGTGGGCCCCGACGCCGCGGCCGGTACGCGTGGTGCAGACGCAAGCACCCGCCGCCTTATTCGTTGTGAGCGGCGAGCTCTACTTCGAGGGGATCACGTGTGAATACGTCGATTCCAACGTCGACGTCTTCGTCGCTGCCATCGCCGACCTGTGCAGCGTGGACGCGGCCGCTGTCAGCGTGGCGTGCGCCGTCAGCGATGGCGATGCGCCGTCGCGCGGCGTGCGGCGGTTACAAACCGACGGCGTCATCGTGACCTACGAAGTGAGCGTCGAAACTGCGGACGAAGCGGCGGCCATCGCGGCCGCGATCGAGGGCATTTCGACCGACGACGTCGATGTCGCCCTCGACAAAGCCGCGAGCGACGCGGGCGTCGACCTCGGGGCCGCGGAAACCACGGCCGTCGGCGCGCCCGCGTGGGACTCGCCGGCGCCGACGCCGCTGCCCACCGCCTGGCTGTCGTCAAAAAAGAACAAGAAGGCCACGCAAATGGTCGTCATCATCAGCGTCTGCGTCTGCGTCGGCTTCTGCTGCCTGGTCGCCGCCTGCGGCATCGTCGTGACCTACGCCCGGCGATCGAACAAGACGCCCGGCTTGCAGGAGCCCTCCGCGCCGCCGCTCGAGGCCATTCCCGTGCCGCACTTCTTCTCGCGGCGGAAGAAGCAGCATAACGCGTCCGCGCCGCCGCTGGACATCCCGGTCGCGCAGCCGGTGGGGAAGATCTAGTCCCAATTCGAAGAACTAACAACAAGTTTTAAGCCTGAGGATTTCGAGTTCTGCGGTTTGTCGAGTTTCTCCGGTTTGTCGAGTTTCTCCGGTTTGTCGAGTTTCTCCGGTTTGTCGAGTTTCTCCGGTTTGTCGAGTTTCTCCGGTTTGTCGAGTTTCTCCGGTTTGTCGAGTTTCTCCGGTTTGTCGAGTTTCTCCGGTTTGTCGAGTTTCTCCGGTTTGTCGAGTTTCTCCGGTTTGTCGAGTTTCTCCGGTTTGTCGAGTTTCTCCGGTTTGTCGAGTTTCTCCGGTTTGTCGAGTTTCTCCGGTTTGTCGAGTTTCTCCGGTTTGTCGAGTTTCTCCGGTTTGTCGAGTTTCTCCGGTTTGTCGAGTTCTGCGTCCCGCGAACGCCGCGAACCGTCGGCGGCGAACGCCGCGTTTGGGTGGTGCGGTGAGATGGCGTCGGAGGGGGTGCAGGGCTGCGCATGCGCAGATCCCCGCGGTCAAAAAATAATGCCGTCATGTGCTACAGAGCAACACATAATTTGGTTCATACATCCACAGGGTCGAGCCCAGTGCAATGGAGCACTCCCCAAATCTCCAACTGCCTCAGTGATCACAGTCAGATGCCGGCCAGGTAAGTATGAAAGACCGTGGGCAGTAGACGCCTGATCTCGCCGAAAAGCGGCGCCCCGGCCCCGACCAAAATCGCAAACAATCAAGGAAACGCGCCGAGGGCAGCCCAAAACAACACAAAAACGCTGCCCTTTCTACCAAAATGGGGTCAATCGACGTCTACGCCCGCGTGCGGCCCCTTCTACAGCGCGAGCTCCATGAAGAAGCGCCGCGCGTCGTCCAGACCACCGACGGCGTAGTGGCGGTTCAGGTGGAGACGGACGGGACGCTACGGGAGCGGCGCTTCCGCTTCGGGCGCGTCTTCGGCGAAGCGACGACGCAAGCCCAGGTCTTTACGGCATGCGCCCTGCCGCTCGTCGATGCGGTCATGAATGGCGCGTCGGCGTGCTGCCTGTCCTACGGTCAGACCGGCACCGGCAAAACACATACGATGCTCGGCGCCATGGACGGCCTCATTCCGCGTTGTATGGGCGCGCTGTTCGAGCGCGTCGACGGCGCTCGTGTCTCGTACGTCGAGATCCACAACGAACGCGTCGCGGATTTGCTGTCGGACCGAACGTCGTTGGATATCAGGGACGACTGTGGGGTTGTCGGTGCCGAAGTCGTCGATGTGTCTTCATTAGATGAGGTCCTCGACGTGTTGCGGTTGGGCGCGGAGCGACGCGCGATTGCGTCGACGGACTTGAATGAAAGAAGTAGTAGGAGCCACACGATCTTCTCCGTGGAGGTGAATGGCGCGACCTTGCGACTGGCCGATCTAGCTGGTTCTGAAAAGTGGCGGACCGAAGAGCTCCGGGACTACTCGAAGCATCGGATCAAGGAACTCACGAGCATCAACCAATCACTCTCAGCACTGGCGAACGTCGTAAGTGCCTTGAAGGACGGGCGGCCCCACGTGCCGTATCGCGCGTCGAAGCTCACACGTTTATTAAGGGACGCCTTTTGTGGAGGGCGCTGCGCCTTCGTGGCGACGCTCTCACCTTCATCATTGTGCGCCGACGAGACCATATCTACCTTACACTTCGCGCGGCGGGCCATGCGCGTGCGGACCTTCGCGTGTGAGGTCGCGCCCGAGATTACCTCTGGAAATAATCCGCGGCGCGTGCGCGAGCTCGAGGCGGCTCTGCAAAGCGCGCGCGCGGAGATCGCGCGGCTTCGTCGCGGGTCTGCGGCCGCCGACGCGTCTAAGGACGCGTCGGAGGTCGCCGACGCGAAGGTACTCTGCGAGCGGCGCCGGGTTTTAGTGGACGAGTGGGACACCGCCGCCGACGCGGAAACCCGAGAAGCCTGGCTCCACGACTACCACGCGTGGCTCCGGGCCCTGCCGCCCTTGCTGCCCGAGGACCTCGCCGGCGCGTCCGTCGAGCTGCGCGAGCGCGTGCGCCTCATGGAGGCCGCGGTCCTCGTCCAGGCCGAGGTCCTCGCCTGTGTGGAAATCAACCAGTGAGTTAGGTTGCGTCGATGGCGTGGGGCGCCCGACATTTGATTCCACACAGGTCCTCGCGGCGCGGACGACGGCGACAAAGCCGCTCGCGGCGGCGAACTCGCCGCGGTGGCGGACGACGGGCAGCGCCAAAGCCGACTTGCTTCGAAGCGTCGGCGCGGACCCCGGCGCCGTCGACGAGCTCGCCGCGGCCGCGGCCCGGGCCCGCGCCCGCGCGAACTACGAGATAATGTGACACAACATATAAATTAAACAATCGTCCGCCGCCGCACGAGCGCCGATGGCTTTGCAGCCTTGTCCGTGCCCGCCTCGGCCGGCGGCGGCATCATCTTCAGGGACAGGTACGTATCCCAGACGTAGGACACGCCGTTCGCCACCGCCACCCTGTATTTGAGGGGCACGAGCGTCTGCTGTCCTATTTGTACCGGCCCCCACACAATCACGGAGTTGACCCAGGTCGGCCAGAGTTCTGCCTCGAGCTTGTTCTGGATCGCGTCCACGGACGCGCCGTTCGCGGCCGCACAAAGCGCGAACATCGACCCGATCATGAAGGGCCCTTGGAGCACCTGGTCGATCACGAGCTTCGCGGCGACGCGCGCCGGCGCCCGCCCGGGCAGGAAGCGCTCCATGACGTTGAACCAGTACGTGAGCAGTGGCCCGACCCAGAAGCAGCCGACGGCGCCGAACTTCAGCGCGCGCGCGGCGCGGTCCTGCACAGTTTTGTCTTTCTCGCCTTCGATGGCCTGCGCCGTGCAGTCGCTGGCGACGTAGGTCGCGCCGGTCCCGAACGCTTTGACGCTGTAGGGGTGGCTCGTGAGGCGCGCGTTGTACCAGGCCAGGAAGCCGCGGCCGGCGAGCGCCATGCTTCTGCTCGTGTGTCGTCGCGTAGAGCAAAATCGCTCGCCGCGGTCGCCGCGGCAGTGATACAATATGTGACGTGTGTTTTTGACGCTTTCTTCGCAAACGCTCGTGGAGTACAGCTTGTCCTTTGCCCTGGTCAAAGCAGTGATGCAAAGCTGTCTCGCGAGCGCAAGCGAGTTTGGCGACTGTTCAGCCGTGAAGCTGAGATGCCAAAACGAGTCCGGCTTGCTCGCTGAGGTCCCTCACACACCTCCACGCGAGCCAAAAAAAGCTGGGCTTGACGCTCGCTAGAGTGTCTTACAGTCCGCTAGTTAATCCTTCGAGCTCGATCGACAAGCGCCCCAGCCGCACGCCATCGACGCGTCAAAGGGCGCAGCGAGCATCACTATCATCGCCCGCCGCAGCCCCGGTCGACCGGCGGCTGCCCCGGCGGGCGCCATGCGCCGCACTCTACTATGCTGCTGGGCAGCCCTCACCGCGGCCACGGACGTAACCTTCGAGCCCGGCCCGGGCTTGAAGAAGAACGAGGACGGCACGTACTCGCGGACCTATGACGCCCAGGCGGAAGGGGCGGCGGCCGACGCGAACGCGACCGCGGCCGCGCCCAAAAAGCCGAAGCGGAGCTTCTCCATCAATGACATCGGTAAAAAGGAGGAGAACATCACGAAGAGCGACTTCCAACTTCAAGCCGAGAAAATATTTCCAGCATTACTGAACGCGCGGTGGCGGCTGTATACACGTATTTTTGTGGTCCTTCTACTCCTCTGGGTCATGGTGAGAAGGTACAGGCCTCCGACACCACGCGTCGTAAGACAGAGACGGACGTATGTCGCGCGACGCTACTGGCTGCCCTTTGTTTTACTGGTAATAACGATAACGAGGCACATCCTCGCGGACTTCACGGTAACTTTGACCGAAGAATACCTACGGAGGTGGAACGTCGAGCACGGCGAGGTCATCAAGCGATTGGAAGCCGATCGGCCCTGGACCTTCAACTTCTCGCGGTACGAGTGTCGCAACGCGTCGAACGCGACCATAGCCGAGAAGGTCCACGCTAATAAAAGGTTGCATAAAGCTGTGGAAGAGATGCACAAGCAATTGGGCTGGGCGAATGCGGAAGTGGCCCAGCAGGCCGTCGAACGACAGAGGCTCGAGGCGCAGTTCGAGGTGGAACGGGCGGCCTTATCGGCGACGCTCAAGCGCCTTGCTGCGGTCGAGGACGACGTTGCTGGTTTAGCTAAAGCGTTAGGGTTTGCGGAGGAAGAAGAGGACGATGATGAGGGTCTGACGAAGTCGATCGTAAGACGAGCCAAAACAGCAGCTCTACACGCGGCTATTGCCGAAGATCTCGAGCTGCTGAACGAGACTGAAATTCAAACTCTAGCAACGAAGAAGAAGGGCCTGGAAACGGCCTACAACAACACGCTCAAGACTTTCACACCTGAAGCGGAGCGCAGACAAAAGGAAAAGCAAACGTCCATGAAGACGCACATCGACCGGAACCCCGCCGTCACCTTTGAGCGTTCACTAAACTGGACGGCTGTTGGTCATGTCCTTGTACAACATGCTCGATACGATTTCAAGCGGCGCGGCTGGGAGCAGTGGTGCAAAGACCTGTGGACGAACTCACCGCGCTTCATCCCCATCAAGGTGTATCGGAGGTATACCCTCCTCAAATCTACGTTGCTGTGGATGAGGCGCGGCGAGTTGGGGCGGAGTATTGAAATACGAGTGCTGAACGCTACGATCCAGTTCAATGATACGCTCAAACAAAAGTACAACTTCTCGCTGAACGACGTGTCTTCGACGTTTGCGCCTCTGGGCGCGCAGCTGTACCAGTGTTGCGACGAAATGATAATAGTGTCCGAGCGCTGGTTCTCGGCTTTTGCGGGTATCGTGCGCTACATCTACGAAAATATGCGGGAGTTCATAAAACCGCGCTGGAAGCGCGCCTGCCGTTTCCTCAGGCGGTGGGACGCGGCGCCGCCCGTGGTGAAGAAACGGCCGGGCTACGCGCTCGCTCTGTTTATATCTTCGCCGTTCGTCGGGCCGCCGTTATTGAAATGCTTGTTCTATTGGCCCGTCGCCGCGGTGCGCGCCTACCTGAGCGATCTCCGGTGGGTCCTGGGGCTGCTCGGGTTTGGTGTGGTGGTGGAGCGGGTGCGGCGCGCGGCGGCAGCGGCGTTTAACAGCGGGCGGCGCGTCGCGGCGGCGACCGCTGCGGCCGCGTTCGAGAGGCTGCCTGTGGTGGGGTCTTCTTGATTTGTGAGTGGTAATTGTTTTTGTTGCATTTTCTCTTGGTTCGTTCCTTCCTCGACCCGTATCCTCGACCCGGTAGAGACCGCAAGAAGAGTGCTAGTGTGTCTACATCATTTAGCCCAGAGTTGCTTGGCCAGTGCTTTTGGCAGCCGCGATCGCGAGACTCGCGACCTCGCCGCGCTCAGACGCGCGTCAGGACGTAACGACTGAAGCCTTGGCCGCGCCGCTCTCGCGCAACGCCCGATAGAGCTCGAAACTTGGCTTAGAAAACTCGGCCCATGTAACCTAACTCACCGTTTGATTTCCACACAGGTGTCGCGTCCGCAAAGATGTGGACTACAGCAAGACGCACTACGCGACGGGGCAGCGGCTGCCCTTCGGTACGTTCCTGGCCGTGGCCTGTGCCGCCATCGTAACTTTGGCTGCCATGGCCGCAAGCTTCTACTTCGCGTGGCACGAGGAGCAGGCGGAAGAGGCCTTCCAGAAGCGCCTCTCGAAAACGAGAACGGAGTCGATGATCCACAGCGAGGACAGCGACCGCCGCGAGTCGCGCGTGATGAAAACGCCCTCCAATTCCGTGCTCATTGGTGGAGCCGGGCCGGGAGCGCCGATGGCGCCGGCGGTGGCCGTCAAGCCGATGAGCGTCGACGAGAAGAACCGCGCCATCCGCGCCAGGGCCGTCGCCGAGGCGAAGAAGTAGAGACCCCTCCCCCAGACTAACGTACTAGTATATACATCACTTATCACAGGACGGCTAGAACTTCTCCCCGTTCAGGAAGCGCTTGAGCATCTCGAAGGCGCGGTCCGGCGCCGTCTCCGGCACCTCGTGGCGGCCGCCGCGGACGGTCGTGAACACGAAGCGCCCCGGCACGTCAAACTCTATCGCGTAGCCGCCAATTTGCTGGTACGGCCCGTCTTTATATTCCCAGGGGTGCCACGGCTTCGTGATAGGGTATCCCATCGATAGCGTCCACGCCTCGTTGTCCGTGTACGGCACGCACGCGTCCCAGTCGCCGTTGTAGATCAGGACATCTAAATGTTTGAGCTTCGGGTACGTGTCTCTTGGCAAATTCGGGCGCGTGGACGTGTACTGCCAGCCCTCGGCGCTACCGCAGACCATCCAGTTCTTCACGCCTGCGGCCTCGACGTGCAACGCCTTCCGCACGTCAGCTCGATTCAGGTAAGCTGAGGCCTCGTAGGTGTTGACGCAGGCCGTCGTGCCGATGGTGGGCGTCGCGAGCTGCATCTGGCCGCGCGTCGCGTAGTCGTCGTCGTCGATGGGATTCGGTTTTTCCGGGCAGTCGCAGTACACACAATACGTATCGAGGTCCTTCGTCAACGCCCCGAGCTCGTCGACTTTTGATGAGCAGCCGTCCGAGACGGGGCCACCTTGGGCCCACGTAGAAAAGTCCGCCGCGCAGGCCGCGCGCAGGTCGTCCTTCAGGGTCTCCGGAGCGAAGCCGCTCGACAGCAGGAATTTGGTGGTGTAGAAGGAGCCCTGCGTGCTTCTCCCAAAGGCGCAGATGCCGATCTCGGAGCCCGAGCAGCCGTTGCCCACGGCGATGCCTTTTAGTTTCGCGCCCGTGTAGGCGGCTCCCTTGGCCACAATCGCCTCGGCGAGCGTCGGGACGTAGATGCCAGCGTAGCTCTCGCCAGTGATGTACAAATCTCTGCTTCTAAGCTTCGGGAACTTGTCGAAGAGCGATTCGACCGCCGCGAGATTATCCAATGCTGCCGTATCATCAGTAGCGTTGTAATCGCGCTTCGTGTTTTTTGCGGTAGAATAGGAGAATCCGACGCCGCACGGCGCTTCTATGTAGACCATCGTCGCGAGCTTGGACCAGGCATAGTCGAAGCGGGCGAGCGAGGCTTCCTTGCCGTCGTACTGCACGCGGAACGGACCGTGCTCGTAGAGGAAGCCGTCCAGGCTTGAGCAACCCGGACCGCCGTTGAACCATAATACCACCGGGTCCTTATTCCAGTCACCTTCACTTTGGACGAGGTAGTAGTGCAGGCGCTTCGTAGGCGACGCTTGTAGGTAGCCCGAGAAGTGGCGCGACGGCAGCGCGTGGTCCCAGCCGGGGAGTGCCTTGACCTCGTCCTTTTCGTAGGCCGGCGTGTCGCGCGCGGCGACCCGCGCGGCGGCCGCGAGACCCGTATTCGTCGTGGCCAGCAGGACGGCCGTGAGAGCACAATGCAGTGCGGAGAGCATGGCCAATTATTGGGCGTTTCGAGCAGTTGCTTCGGCGCGCGGCAGCAACAGCGTCCCAGAGTGATCTTGGGAGGTGTGCTAAGAGTCTTTTTGCTATTTGTACGTCAGAGAACGGCGTGGTTCAGCCCGAGCACAGACCTAGAGTCGATTGACATACTAGCCTCCAAGAGCGCCGAGGTAGGTTTTTGGCTTGGGAGCGCGCACGCAGCCGATAGAATTGTCGTTTAACACCGTTGGCAGCTTCTCCAGCGCCGCAGGAAGGCGTCTCCCAGCTTGCAGCACCGGAGGGAACTAAAAATGTCCCTGAAAGGCCTCAAGGCCTGGTTCGGCCGCGGCGCCGCGGAGGAGGACGAGGACGAGACCATGGTGCGGGACCCGAACGTATAGTACAGCGTCCCCCACATCACGCCATCAGAGCGACGCGCCATCCCCACGCGCTGCCGCCGCGGCGCGCTCTCCCCGCATCACGCCATCGACGCAGGCGCCCATCTTCTACTTCTTCCCGCCCTCGATGGTCGAGGCGCTCCTGCCGACGCCGCGCCTGAACCACCAGCCCGAGGACGAGGCCGCCGTCGCGCAAGTCCAGATGTCCGAGGCGCACCTCGCGGACCCGAGCGTCCCCGTTTTTTGGATTTTGCCCAAGGGCCTGATCACGACGATCTTCCCGCCCTTCAGCTCGCCGCCGGAGGCCTTCACCGCGGGCCACAAGGCGCTGAACTACGTCGCGTCGGCGGCGTTGATGGTCGTCATCTGCCTGACGACGTGAGGCGCTGCTGATGATGGGCCGCCCAATTAATTTTCTTAGTTTTCTCTCTCTCTTCTCGCGGCGCGGCGTAGTTTTCTCTCTCTCTCGCGGCGCGGCGGACGCGCTGCGTCCGCGCCCCGGCGCCGAACAACACAACAAGGCCCGTCGACGCGACGCCTCAAGGCTCGCTCGCGACGGCTTCGGGAGGGGTGGGTGGGTTCGGCGATGTGCGCGCGTAGCGCGGCCATCTTGAGTAGCTCTCCTGAAGGTGCGCTGTCCACAGCGGCTCACGTGAAGGGCTAGAAGTGACAAGAAGGGCTGTGGAGTAGCTCTGGGACTTCAGCTTTCGCTCTGTGAACTCCGTATTTAAATCGGCCCTGTGTGCGCAGACCTAGGTGGCCAAAAGAAGCAGCTGTGAGAACGACCTCGGAGCGCGAGGGGCCCTTAGTTAGTTTAACTTAGGCGCCGCCGCCGCGACGCCACCGCCGCGCCGCCGCCGCGTCGTCACCTCACACCCTCTCTTTTGGTGACCAGCGCGTTCCGGCGACCCGAGTCGACCCGGCACACCTACAATGTCCGCCATCTACATGCGCCGGCCCAGTACGGGAGACGCCGCCCCACCGACCGCCGGCGGCTGGACCCTCATCGACCAGACCGACGCCCTCGTTGACGACGCCGAGATCGCGACCGCGACGAGCGAGCTCAAGCAGGAGATCGGCCTGCCCGACAGCATGGAGGGTGAGGAGAGAGAGAATGTCGAGGCCGACGCTGTGATCAACCGCGGCGCGGCGCTCGCCCGGGACCCGCGCGTCCAGCGGTCGGTGCTCGAGTCGCTCGTGGCGGCGCAGCCCGTGGCCGCGGCGCCGGCCTTCCCGGACGAGGCCGCGCGGCTGCGGCGCGAGGTCGAGGAGCTGAAGAGAGAATTGGGCCGGGTCCTCCAAGAACGGACAAACACGACGCCGCAGGCGCCCGAGCCGTCGCTGGGCGTCGCGTCTTTACTGATCACGCGGTGCCTCGAGCGCCGCCGGGAGCGCGGCGAGGAGGAGAGGGACAGAAGGTGCCCCTCGCTCCAGGCCTGCCTCGCCGTGCCCGGGGCCGTCGTGCACTGCCTCGCGCCCGGGCCCGGCGGCCGCCTCGTCGACTGCCTCGCCACTGAACCTCCGACCATGGTCCGCGACGTGCGCGCCTGATGTGAACACCAAGAGATTATGTAAGTACAAAATAAGTCTAGCACACGTCGCGTCGACGGCGCGCCCAGGATGAGCCCAGGGAAGACAAGAGCAAAACATAGCACTTAGCCCTCAGCTTTCAAACGCGTCGACCGGCGCGCCATTCATGAATCGTCCTCGCCCCGCCGTCACGTATCACACGAAGCACCGAAGAGCAGACGGCTCACGCATTCGAGGCGTCGCGCAGCATTTTGCAACAAGACAGCCCTCATCCTCCACAGCAATCGAGTCGCGCGCGCGACTCGATATACCGGCACTCACGATCCGTTCCGCAGGCACAAATTACCGCACAATGCAGAAGCTCGTTATCGCCCTGATGCTCTCGCGCGCCGCCGCCGCTAAGACCGGCGGTGACCAGTGCGTGCCCGGTGACCTCCTCCAGATGCGCTGCGAGGGCACGGCTACGTATCAAGTCAAGTTCACGGGCCAGTGGACGGCCGAGAACTTCCCGGTGGACTACCCGGAGAACGCGCACTGGTCGCCGCCTGAGTGGAAATCAACCAGGGCGTGGAGGACGACGCGACGATCCAGCGAACGCGCCGTAAAATTTGATTTCCACACAGGTCGCCGCTCGTCGGCGCGACGCACAAGACCTACGATGCCTTTTGGTACCGCAAGGGCCTCGCGACGCCGGGAGTCCAGGAAGTCGCGGAGACGGGCAATCCGGCACCCCTGCTCGAGGAGCTCGACAACGACATGTATCTGAGCTCGGCCCGCGCGGCCGGGCCCGTCTTCCAGCGCGATGGCCCTCCCACGGAAATGATGATCGAACTCACGGCCGACTCCATGAACGACCAGCTCACGGTTATTTCTATGGTCGCGCCGTCGCCCGACTGGTTCTCTGGCGTCGCTTCCCTCGACCTCTGCGACCACAACACCGGCGAGTGGAGGGATTCGATCACGATGGACCTCAAGGCCTACGACGCGGGCACCGACCGCGGCATGACGTTCACGGCCGCCGACGACGCCATCGAGGACAAGAAGATCATTCGTACGGTCAAGTGCCGCGGCTACGCATTCTGCGGCGAGCGCGGCGACTCGTCGCCGCCGGAGGAGGTCATCGGCGTCGCTATGCTCGAGGTGATGGTGAAGGAGATCTCGATGAAGCAGTCGTGATTCCGCTCGTCAAGTTTTCCCCCTTTTGCCCCCTGCCACGTCCCCGGGTAAGCTAGTACTCACCCTACATACTCTAAGTTACCTCCCGACAAGTCGTCGCGTCCAAAACAACGATCCGCGCCGCGTCCACCGCGAGCGCGTACCGCCGCCGCAGCACGTCCAGGCACGTCCGGGCCAGATCGACGGCCTCGTCCCGGTTCAGCGACGGCGAGTACGCCTCGTCCAACAACCCTAATACAAGCGGCGCGCCGACGCCGTGCGCGCCGTAGGGCAGGTCCGCGCGCGCCCCGGATTCGTCGACCCAAGTCAAAGCAGCGCCCTCATCATCCACGGTCCCGAGCAGGGCCCGCAGCTCCGGCGTGTTGCCGTCCGTGCGCCGCCGATCGGCGATCTCGCGCCGCAGGAAGTGTGCGATGGCCTTCGAGGGGCAGCTTCTCCCGGCGTCCAGGCGGTACGCGGTCAGCGACTCCCTCAAAAACGCCGCGAGATCATCCGCCTCGCCCTGGTGGCCGACGCAGGACAAAACAGCGCCCGCGTCCACCCTCCTAATCGCGCCGCTCCCGTCGGCCGCGTACTGGAGCGGGCCCTTGCGGTGCCCCGTCTCGGCCGCGAGCAGCACAAAGTCCGCGCCGCGGATGCCGAAGTTCACGCCCGTAAAATCGCCGCCGCGGCGCGCTTGTGCTACCGCTGCGACGATTAGGAGGCGCTGCAGCATCTGTGTGTGGTCTCAGTGCTGCATCCAATTGCGCTTCTACCGAGCGCAGCGACAGAGGGCCGTTCGAGCTTGTCCCTCGTGCCTGTCTTGTTGGGCCAAGGGCATTTATGCGGCAAAAAAGCGCGACGAGGCACCAGGGGAAACCCGTTTTGTGATTTTGGATTGCGGCCGATTCACTTCACGAGTCAATTCTAAGGGGCGACACCCCTGAAGACCTTCCAGAACTCCGTGCTGCCTGCGTCGGCGGCATCGTGATACCCGAACACACGCATGATTGTGCGCCTTTGACGAGAAGCCTAGCCAAAACGCGACGGGACTGCGGGTTGGAACCCATTGGTGGTGTTCCGGCAGGTACCAAGGGCCCCTGGCGGCGGCAGCAAGCGGCACCAGGCTGCCCCGGTTAGTGACGGGCTCAAACCCCCTTGCCGTGAGCATTCGGCTGCCCAGCGTGAGATCCGGTCCCATCGATTCGGGCGCTGACACAGCCGCAGAAGGCGCTGTTCGCCGCGTGCGCAAAGGGTCGTGTGGACGCGATGCGGCAGTTGTTCGACGAAGGCGCGGAGCTCGACCGGGTGGACGTGGACGGCAATACGCTGCTGCACTTGGCCTGCGAGAACGGCCGCGTCAACGCGGCGCAGATAATTCTAGACAAAGGCGCGGTGGTCGATTGCGCGAATCAGAGTGGTGCGACGCCGCTGATGTTCGCCTGCTACAATGGCCGCGTCGATGCTGCGCAGCTGTTGCTTGACAACGGCGCGGAGGTCGATCGGGCGATGAAGGACGGCGCGACGCCGCTATTCTTCGCCTGCCAGATGGGCCGCGTCGCCGTGGCGCGGCTCTTGTTAGATAAAGGCGCGGAGGTCGATCGGGCGGACGAGGACGGCATAACGCCGCTATTCATCGCCTGTCAGGAGGACCACGTCGACGCGGCGCGGCTGTTGTTAGATAAAGGTGCGGAGGTCGATCGGGCGATGGAGGACGGTGCGGCACCGCTGTTTATCGCCTGCGAGAACGGCCACGTCGCCGTGGCGCGGCTCTTGTTAGATAAAGGCGCGGAGGTCAATCGGGCGATGGAGGACGGCATAACGCCGCTATTCATCGCCTGCCAGGGGGGCCACGTCGACGCGGCGCGGCTGTTACTGGGCAACGGCGCGGATGTCGATCGGGCGGACAAGGAAGGCGATACGCCACTGATCATCGCCTGCTCGAAGTGCCACGTCGACGCGGTGCGGCTCTTGGTGGACAAAGGCGCGAAGGTCGATCGGGCGACCGAGGACGGTACGACGCCGCTGTTCGTCGCCTGCATGAAGGGCCACGTCGACGTGGCGCGGCTGTTGCTGGAGAAAGGCGCGGTGGTCGATCAGGCGAATAAGAACGGCGCGACGCCGCTGTACGTCGCCTGTCAGGAGGGCCACGTCGACGTGGTGCGGTTGTTGCTGGACAAAGGCGCCGACATCGATCGGGGGAGAAAGGACGGTTCGACGCCACTGTCCATCGCAAAAGATCAAGGCCACTCGGCCATCGTCGCGCTGCTCGAATCCCAGGCCGTCGGTGGCGCCAGTGCAACCGTCACGCCCGACGGTACGCCGCCGGAGAAGAACGCCAGTCCCGCGCCAGCGCCCGCCGCGACCAGTCGGGAGAAGGAGGAAGCGGCAGAGCGAGCGGCGGCGGCACTTCTACGCGAGGAAGAGGATGAGGCGGCGGCGCGAGCCAAAAAGCAGGCTAGGAAAAGGAAAAAGAAGAAGAAGCGGCGCGGTGCGGCCACCGCCGCTGTGGCCGACGAAGAGAAGAACGACCTGCCCGATCTCGCGCCGCTCGCGTTCGAAGAATCGAAATCGCCGGAGGCCGCCGCGCCGCCGCCGCCGCCCGGAAAAATTCTCGTCGACGAGGAGACATACGATGACGCCGCGGCCCGCGCTGCCGATTTAGAGACGTCGCTCACGGCGCGCCAGGCCGAGGTCGAGCGCCTGAAGGCGATTTTGAAGCAGCAGCGGTTGGAAATTCCAGACGCGTACTTGTGCCCGATAACGATGGATCCCATGGAAGATCCCGTCATCGCCGCCGACGGCCACTCTTACGAGCGGCGAGAAATCGAGGCCTGGCTCGACCGGGGCAAGCAGATATCGCCCATGACGGGAGCCCCGCTGTCGCACACGCACCTGATGCCGAATCACGCCCTGAGGAAGGCGATCCAGGACTTCCTCGCGGAGATCCGAAAGTTCGAATTATAAGATTACTAAACTTACACATCCAGGGCTACCTCGCCCACCCGCGCCGCCAGCACGCCCTCACCATCGTCCGAGAAGTGCGGCTCCAGCTCCACGAAGACAAATCCCTCCCGTTCGTACGCGCGCCGCACGGACGCCAACCTATCGACATCGCAGGTGCCCACGACGGCGCCGCCGCTGCCCGGGAACTTGGCGACCGCGCCGTTCTGCTCCGCTATGCTAATGAGCTTGAGGTTCGTCGCTCCCAGGACCGCGTCGCCGAAAAGCTTCCGCCTCAACCTAAAGTTCTCGGCCATCAACCGTCTACATTCTGAAGCGTCCCCCAATCGTATCGCTTCACGAGCCTTCGCGGCGACCGAAGCGATAGCGCTCATGCCCTGCACGGCATCGGCGTCGCCGTTCCGCCATCTTTGTTTCACGTCGCTGTGGATGGCTCCGGAGTCCGACGGCTCGCCGGAATACGCGAGCCACAACAAAGGTAGAGCCGCATGTAATTGCGAGGCCGTCAGCCGCTCGTACACACCGTGGCCCTTGGCCTCGAATGTAGAGGGATCAAAGTCCATGTATACTAACCCCTCAAAGGCCTGCACGACCCTATCCTGTAGTCCGGCGTTGATGCCCAGCTCCGCCTCCACACTCAAAACTAAGTTGGGCAATATCTCGACGGGTACATGCGTCTCATCCAACGCATAGAAGCGCATGAGCGCCCGCACGACGGCCGTCACGATCGCTGAGCTACCGGCCAGACCCACTTGCCGCGGGACGTTCGTTTCATACGATAGCGTGAAGTTTCTTTTAGGTAGTGCGATACCTCGTTCCACGCAATATTCCAAAAACCGCTTGCAGGCCGCCTGGAGCAGCCGCATGCCGCCCTGGTAGCCCTCCCTCCTACTGATGAAGTGGAGGTCGCGCAGCCCGCCGAAGTCGCACCTGCGTTGGTGTGGCGTCGACGGCGTGACGTGAGTCGCGTCGACGCGGCGGCGCGTCGATGGCGCGACGTGAGTCGCGTCGACGAGCCCCGCAGAGTATCTCGCGGCTCCAAGAACGCTCCACCTCCACGCCATCGACGCGGGGACAGCCGTCGACGCGAAAAAAGGACGCGGAAAGCGCACGGATCGAACAACGGATGCGGCACCAAACATAGTCGTTCCGAAGGGGCGATCGTCGCCTCGGCCCAGAAGTTCGCGATCGTCAGCGCTATGGTCTTCCCTCCGTACCCATCCGACGGGTTCCCGAACAATCCAACGCGCGCGTAGGCTCTGGTGGTCAGTCTACCCCTTCCCAAGGCTCCCGAATAGGTCGGCGAGTCCATGCGCTCGAAATGTTCGATCATGTCTAGGTAATCTTGCAGCCCCGCGTCGCCAATCAACCGGAAGCATCCTGGTAATCTCACGGAGCTGACGTTACTACCTTTGTCGTTGACCGCCCACTCCATGAAGCTGCCCAGCGACGGCTTGCCTTCGTTACTTTCCACAAATTCCGGTAAGAGTGAAGCGACGGCGGGTTTCAAGACGTAAAACAGGGGGCACGCCTGCCTCGATACCGTTTCATCACCACAGGGTTTCTCCACAAAACGCGTCACGCGCCTTGTCCTTTCATCAACCTCGACCACACCTCGCGACGACGCCGCTTCGCCCTCGGCTAATCTATACGACACGGCTAACGACGACCCAGCTCTGACATGCTGGTCCGCCACGAGAGCTGCTAGATCGAACTCCCGATGAAACAGCGAGTCGCCCGCAACCACAACGACGTCTCGGTCGTTGTTGTAGCCGCATCTATTTAAAGCCAGCAACAAATCCCTCGCGGCACCTAGCGACGACGCTCGCGTCGTCGTCCCGTCGTTGACCACGTTCTGCGACGGTAGACCCCGCGCCGTCGCCCAGCGCTCGAAATGCTTGAAGGACTTGGCGTTCGTGACGAGGTACACGTCGGAGATCTGGCGCTGGGACTCGATGGCCGTCCACCAGTAGTCCAAGACTCTTTTCCCGCCGCTCACGGGGAGCAGGGCTTTTGGTAATCCTGCTAGGTGTTGGTATTCCGAACCCGCATCTAAGATTTCTTGTTCTAATTGGCTGTCGACACTCGCGACGAGGACGACGCAGATGGTCATTGTTTTTTGTGCTTGCGTGTCTGGGGCTGAGAGGTGGCTGTGTCTGCGGGCTCGCGGCGGCGGCGTTAGCAGCGCAGCGCTGCGGCGGCGTGAGGAGACGACCGCTTACTAATGTCGCAGACTGGCACGCTGGAAAAAAAGGCCGGCGCGGCACAGGATTGCTAGCGTCCTGTAAGATACTAGCAATGAGCAAAAATAGCCGCTTGCCATTCATACGGTCCAAAGCAGGCGCTCTGCTGGCTTACCAGACGCGCTTCGAGGTCTCGTGTGGGCGCCGCCGCGAAACGCCGCGACAGATCCAAGTTTAGCCACCACTCAAATCAAAAAAGGATAAGCGGTCACGAGGAGAGTACTTAAGCGGTCACGAACGCTAGACTAACTCGTGCGCCGGCGAAGCTGCGTACACGGAGAACACTCAAAAGGATGGAGGACCCCAACGCGACCGTCGATTCTGCGTTGCGTGAGGCCATAACTGACCAGGACGTCGACGCGGTCCGGCGGCTCCTTGCGACGCCGGGCTACCGGTTCCCCGCAACGCCTACCGCTGTGTTTAGCCTCCTTGCTGCGCAAAGTGTGACAGTCGGCCACGGCCAGTCCGCGCACGCCGACCCGCCCAGCGTGTGTCGCCGCCGAGGGCAGGACATGCTTCTCGCGCTTGTCGCGGCGTGCGACGAGGACGCGCTGTGCCGGCGGACGTTACATAGGAAGTATGTGGATCTGGATTGCGACGAGGCGGTGACCAAGGTAAAAAAAGAACTGATATTTCCTGGCATAACGGCTTTGCATCACTTTGCGTGGAACGGCGATGTAGAGGCCGTCCAGACGATACTCGATTTACCGCAGTGCACGGCGCGCGTTTTGAATACCGGAACTGGGGAACACGAAAAACACGACGTTATTCCTGATAGGAACGACGATGATCGCGTGACAGCACTCCACGTGGCGTGCGCCATTGGGCGACCTTCGGTGGTCCGCGCCATTCTACGCGACGGTCGCGCTGATTTGACGCTTGTAAGTGTAGATGAAGTCGCGTCAACAACCATTGTCTTCGCGCTGGATTCGCTGAGACTTTCTGTCAGCTCTACTACCAAATTTGTCCCCCGGTTACTTGTGGACTGCGTCCGAGCGCTACTCACGAAAGATCCTCGGCTCGCGGACGTCTTCTACACAGTGTCCCCAGGAGTGTTTCGACACGCGGTGAAAAAGGCAAGCCAGTTAGCCTGCCTCGAGGTGCTGTATTTGATGCTCGCTGCTCTCCCCAAGATAAACCGACTCGAGCCGGTCTTGACCCGCGGAGAGCTAGAGGGGAACGAAGACTTTCAGAAAGAACTTTCGGAGACAGGACTCGAGGGTCTTCTAGCCCGCGTCGGTTGGGGGCACTACTCTCGCTCGGACCCAAACCGACCGCGCGATGGCACGTGGCCGTGCACGGTGTTTCTGCTCGAGTGCGTCAACGCCGGGTCGTTCAAAGCGTGGCGCGCGGAGAAGGCGCGCGAGATGCTGTTTCTACGACGGCTCTTCACCAGACAGCATCGTCGCGCGTCGTGCGCCGACCTGAGCTTGACGCACCGCCTCTTCCTCCTCCGCGACGACGCGCTCTTCCTCAGGTGCCTCGAGTACTGTTGGTTCCTGGACCCGTGGAAACGGTATCCCAGCGAGACGGATTACCGCCGCGCCTTCGGAGCTGCTGACACAGAGCCTGAATCCTAGGAGCCATCTATAAGTTCAGTAACACAAATTAACTAGGGAGGAGACCTAGGGTCATCGCCTCCCGAAGAACCTAAACCGCCGCCGCGGCCGCTCGAGCACGTGCGCCAACTCCGCGCGCAGCTTGGACACCTCGTCGTCCACTTTCCGATCCAACCTATCTAAGGTAAACGCGTAGCACGCCTGGAGGTGCCCGAGGTACAGCTCGTAGATCGAGTGGCTGATCTCGAAGGCCCGGATCTTGTCCATGAGCGTCTTGAAGACGCTCTCGAACTGCGTGCCCGTCCCGACCGCCGCGGTCGCGTTTTGACCCTTGGACTTCGCGAGCATCTGAGTTTTGAACCGCTTGAAGTCCAGGGCGTAATCACAACGCTGCTGCGGCGTCAGCGTCACGTTCGCCGCGGTCGCGTTCGCGCGCGTCGCGTTTACTACTGGTAGAGTCGCATTTGTCGCGTTCACCGCGGCCGTCGCATTCAGCGCCGTCGTGTTTACAGATACGGTCGCATTTGCGGCTACGGTCGCGTTCGTCGTATTCACGGAGACGGTCGCGTTCGACGCGTTCACCACCTCCACAACGGGTACCTCGATAACGATAGGCTCGATGTCGGCCGAGGCCGGCGCGACGGGTTCGACGACCTCGATCTCGTCCGGTAACGTCGTCGTCGTCTTGTTCGCCTTGCCCATCACTACATCAGCAAGGCCCGTGACCGCGTCGACCATTCTAGAACCGACGGAGGCGTTTTTCGGAGTTGTAGCATTTGTAGCATTGGCGCGTGTTCGATTCCGCACCTCCTCCACGGCCAGCGCCGCCTCGGCCGCCTCGAGCTCCGCGACGGCCTCGGCCGCCTTCGCGGCGGCGGCCTCGGCGGCCTCCTTGCGGTCCGCGGGCTTCGCATCACCCTCCTCGGAAACCTCGACCTCATCAGGCAGGACCTCCTCCCCGATCGACTCCATCTGCTCCTCGAGCTCCTTCTGGTGCCGCTGCAAGTCGTCCTGCATGCCCTCCATCACCGTGATGCCGTGCACCTTGAGCTGCGACACCGTGCACGACGCCTCGTCGCCGTGGTGCGTATTAAACCTAACTTTGATGTAGCGGACATACTTCGGGTCGGGGAACACAAACAACTGTTCTCGTTTCGCGTAGGTCGCCTCGAACGCGCCGAGGTGCAGCCATTCTTTCGTCGGGAAGGTCTGCGAACCGAGCACGTCGAAATCTCGCACACCGGAACTATATTTCTCATACTGACACAATATCAACTCGGTCATGCGTATATCTTCCGACAGACCTATCACCACATACTTCTTCTCACCGCAGTCCGTGATGCCGTATTTATCCTTGTTGTCCACCAATAAATTGTCGAAGCCCTTCGAGGTCCCGGACTTCTCGACGACCAACGCGCCGGCGTCCTTGGACGCGTAGTTAATGACTTTTTTTGGCGCCGCGGGCGCGTCGTCCTCGTCGTCGACGTCCTGGACCATGATGGGCGCCGGTTTCTCCTCGACTGAGGGTGGCGTTTCCTCCGCCTCGGGCTGTGCCTCTTCGGTTTGTGGCTCGTCAACGGTCGCTTCGGCGTCCGGCGGCGGCAGCGGCGGCGACGTGACCTCCTCGCCCGGCGTCGCGGCCGGCGCGGCGTCGGCCGGCGGCGGGTCCTCGGCGCGGACCGCGGCCGCCACGAGCAGCAGCAGTGCTAGTCGTCGCATGAGTTAGGTGGGCAGCGCGCAAACAAGTAGTGGTGTGTCGCAGGCAGCGCGCAAACGAGTAGTTGTTTGTCGCACCGCTCCACGCGTCTCTAAACAGCGGTGGCTGCCGGCGAGGGCAGCAAAACGCTGCAGGGGCTTTGTGCGGCCAGCGGTTGCTGCAGCCTATCGATGGATTACTCAAAACTGTTCTCAAAACTCGTCGCTCGCGCCTGTTCGCGTGCTGCACTTGCCAAAATCTCGCGCGAGGCGAATCAAGCTAGCGGCATGTAAAGATACTAGCAAGCAAACTCGGAACGCGCATGCAGCCGTTTGAGTATCGTTCCGTTCGCTACTGGTCCAAAGAGATCAATGGGACACGTACTGGGGACCGAAAAGGCAGTTTTTTTTATTCGCGGCGACGATGCCGCCATGGTCCATGGCGGCCGCGCCGGTTTAATCCTGTCAATCCATGGCCCAGAGCTCTCTCTGGGGTCGCTTAGGGTCGTAACTATACATGGTTAGTCGCCTACACCGCATACGCTGCCGCTTCCAGCATATTTCGGCCAATTCTCTCCCCAGTGCGGCCCACTAAACCATGAATAGCTTGGCATGGCTTCCAGAGCACTAGGCGGTCGCATCGATGGCGTATGCGGTACAGGCGCTTACCCACAACCAGACCTACCCCGAGAGGCCTCCAGGAGCCGATCTGCCCCCGAAAAAAGTGTGCAATTTGGACCCGATGGCGCCCCGTTCCCGTAAAAAACGTCAATTTCTCTAGGGCCCCAGGAATCGTAATAGCGGTCTCGTTGGACCCCATACTACCCCAGCGATAGTCAACTACAAGTATATGACATCTACTTTATAAGAAGGGTACTTTTGGCTGCCCACTCTCGGGACGTGAACATCTTGATCTGGACCCCGCGCAAGTCGGTCGTTCATGGAACAAATGATCGCGTTATGGTCCATGGTGAAGGTACACGGGCTGACGGCCGCAGGTTCGGTTTCTAAGCCCTTCTTTGCGAGATCCTGCTCTCTCGGGGTGGCCGAGCCGCGGTGGAGATTACGGTCAATAAATCCTATGTAGTATCCGTTCAGGCCGGTTGTCTGGCCCTTCCCACTACTAAAGCGCCTGAAATGCAAATTTATTTTACAACTCACCGGTCTGGGGCCAATTCAGTGCCCCGTGTACGCACCGTCGTCCGCGGAGAACGGGCAAGTCGGTCGATTGTGAATAGAACAACGGCGTTTTGGTTCATCTGGGTAGTGGAGTCGCTGATACTCGCGGGTCTAGGTTATTTGCGATATTTGGATAATCAGGGGGCCGCCGATTCGTCGTTTCGCGCGGCTATAACGGAGCCCCTAATATAGATGAGTACGTGTTCAACCGGACTAGATGGCATCTACCCCCAACAAACGGATGGAAACGAACATAAACTCGGGAGTTGTCTAGTAGAATTCTTTTCCCGCCCTCCGAGCGCGGGCCGTCGGCTCCGGTTCCGTCGATTGTGCATGAAAACTGGGCTGGAGTTGATATGATGTACTATTTGGACGTTAGATGGCGGCGTCAATCGCTGGTGTAATTTGGCCAGCCGCAAGACCTGGTGAGCTAGCGTATCGACATACTAGCACACACAGTCGAGTTTGGCCTGGGTCGAGTTTGGTAGGCTTTTACGAGCTGTGGAGGGCTTCTCGTTGTGCTGTCGAACTCCATCGCAGTGCTGCGCTGCCGCGAGCTTCAGCTGTGATCAAAATTTGACGCATTTGGACAGCTCCGGGAAGGGGGGGCCTTGTGTCTGCTGCCCTCCGCCCTCCCCGCGTCGCATCGCTGCTCGCCATGTCGCACTTTGACGAAGACACGCCCGCTCACTTACGCGCGGCGTTCGCCGGCGACCTGAGCACCGTCGAGGCGTGGCTCTATGACGGCGGTGATGTGAACCAAGATGATTATCTTTACGGAAGCTTACTCTCGTCGGCAATCGCGGGGTCCCAGACGCAGATGCGCGCGTACCTTGTCGCGCGCGGCGCGCGGTGCGGTAAATCCGACGTCTATTGCCTCTGTGATGAGATCCTTGACAGCCCCAGTAATCTTGACGTAGCACGACTTCTCATAGAGCATGGAGCCGACCCGGCGATGGGAAACGAGATAAATTCTAATTGGGGCGCACAACATAAATTGGCGGTCCTCGCCTGCAGCACTGAAAGAAGAGCAACCCGGTGCGCGCTTTTGATTCGTTTGCTCGTCGAAAAAGGCGCCGCGGTGGACCCCCGATTAGGCGGAAACACCCGATTTGCAGTTGGCACGACATCTCTCATGGTCGCCGCGTTTTACTCGGCGCCGGTGGTTTTTCTGCGAGAGCTGCTGCGCCTCGGCGCGGACCTGGCTGCGACGAACGCGCTCGGCGAGAGTGCGTTGAGTTTGGCACGTAACGCAATTTACACCCACGATGGCTCAGCATCTGTTGCGGACAAACGGGCCATCGTAAATTTTCTCTATGAAGTGAGCGCGGCCGGCACGTTTAAATGTTATGTGAACGAGCCGAGGAAGAGGCTCCTCGTCCTCGCCAAGCTCTGCGAGCGCGGCCGCGCGACGGCGCCGCGCCGCGGTGCCCTCGCACGCCTCTTCCCCACGCGACGCTCCCGGCGCGCCGGCGAGGGCCTGCCCGACGTGTTGTTCTGGAAGGTCCTGTCCTTCTGGCGCACGTCGCGCGACGGTTCCGTCTAGTCGCTGTGACATGTGAGTAAGGACATGTGGATACAGAAGTACGTCACAGCGTTATCTTAAACATAGCTAAACGAGGTTCTGCTCCTCAGGCCCGGCGAAGAAATGCGTCGGCAAGGGCTCGGAGTTGATGCGCCGGTGGCCCCGCGGCGGCGCCCGGTGGTTCGTCGGCGTCATCTTTCGCCGCCGGCGCAGGCGGCGCATCGGCGCGTCGAGGCACGCGAGGACGCCGCGCACCAACGCCTCGCTCACCGTCTGCAAACAACTGGACGCGTCCGCGCAGAAGCGGCGCCAGGTCCGCGGCGGCGGCGCGCGCCGCTGCTTTTGAGGGGACCGCGGGCGCGTCGGCGTGGCGCCGTGGCCGCGGCGCCGCGTCGGCCCGAGGTGCGGCTTCTGGGGCGAGAGCGGCCGCGGCCTCCTCCGCACCGCCGCGAGGCACCTTCCTCGGGCAAAGACCAGCGTCAAAGGTCTCGGCGCGTCTCTAATTTTCACTAACAAAGCGTCGAAGGCCGACGGCGTCAAATCTACGACTAAGTCGACGTCCTCGACGGGCGGCGCCTCGTCCGCGAATGGGGATGTGGAAACGCCGACGAGCTCGTCCATCGGCCTCAGTAGCGCTCGAGCGACGCCCCCACCTCTATCGGAGAACGTGTCCTCGACGATGACTAGTCTTCTCCCTTCGTCGTCCTCGTCGTTGAGGTCGCCGTTACTCAAAGTACGTCTCAACGTCTTCTGGGGCGTGAGCTCCTTGCGCTTGAGCTGGTGCGGCGTCGGGGCGAACCGCGATAGGACCAGAGACAGACCGAGTGACTGCGTCGCGAACGTCGCCGCCACGAGCTTGCCCTGGCTCCTTAAAGATTCATAGGCGTCGCGCGCGTCCTGCTCCACCCGATGGTTGATCTCCTTCCTCACGTTTTCGTCGCCCTCTTCCGAATCAATCGAATTGAGCTTCATGCGGAGCTGCCGCCGCCTCGCTTTCACGGCGTGGCTCAGCTGCGCGTTGCTGTCGACGTGGAGCGCCGGCGCGGTTTCGGCGCGCATCTCCAAGGAGGACGTCGAGCGCTGGATGGGCTGGACGCTTGCGCTGCTGGTGTTGCGCGAGATGCTGCCGTCGGACAGCGCGCCGTCCATTAATGGTGTTGTGGGTTCGTCGCTGTACATCTCCACCGCTGTCGATTATATATTTATTTGCAGCTCAAGAGACGTGAGAAATTAAATTTTACCGTGCGCTGCGCGCAGAAATTGCAACTGCGCGCATCCGTTGCAGCGCTGCTGCGATATATCTATGCTGCAGCGCTCTCAGCTGCAACAGCGGCGCGCACAAGGCAGCGCCAAAAAATGTCACATCAAGCGCGAAACCCGTCACAATTGCAAGTGGAGCTCCTGCTTTCCTCAGCAATCACGGACGCATCCATAGGACGCGTAGACGTCTGCATAGACAGGTTTGCGGCCGTCTCCGGACGCCCCTAGGGCCCTCGATGCAACAAAGCTGTGTGCTCGCGCGACGCGAGCGGCATAACTGCAAGCTGACGCCTGCACAGCATCGCTGTAATCGGCATTGCTCGAAAGCGAACGTGCTTCGACAGATAACGCATCAGCTACTTTAAAAAGTGCAGTGCAGACTGCAGGCAGCAATGCGCCCAAAGCTGGCGGCGCGAGCCGTCGTCGACGCGTTACTCGCGCCACCGGTCAACCATCCAAGAACGCTGCAAATGCCCATTCAGCAACGAGCCATCAAACGCCACGCGTTCCAGCGCGCCGCCTTCGAGGCGGCATTCGAGACAAGGCCGCGCGTCATCTCCGTCGTCGGCACGAAGGGCAAGGGCAGCGTGTCCGAATTGTTGAGGAGCGCGCTCGGTCCGAAGGTGGGCTGCTTCACGTCGCCGCACCTGCACGGCTGCCGCGAGCGCATCCGGGTCGGCGCGGAGCCGATTTCCGTCGAGGCCCTGCGAAGGAATGGTGAAAAGGCGCTCGACCTCGCTAGAAAGCTGGAGGCGGACGAATGGGGCTGCGTCTTCTTTGATAGGTTGCTGGCGACGGCTTTATTACATTTTGGGGAAGAGGCCTGTCCTCGACTGGTCCTCGAGGCGGGCGTCGGCGGCGTGCACGACTCGACGAACTTCTTTACTGATCAGGAGTTGGAATTAGCCGTCATCACGTCCATCAGTCTGGACCACACGGCGCTGCTGGGCGACACGCTGACTGAGATCGCCACGAACAAAGCAGGTGTAATGCGACCAAAAACCAAAGCCGTGACGCCGTCGACGCAGCCGCCCGAGGCCTTAGAAGCTTTACAAAGCGAGGCGGACCGCGTCGGCGCGGAGTTGGTGGTCGTCGACTGCTCTGGGACGAGTGAAGAACCATCGACGAAACGGGAAAACCGCCTCCTCGCAGCAAAGGCCTGCTCCCTACTCAATGTGGAGGCCGACTTTTCATCCAGTAGATGGCCCGCGCGCTTCGAGGAGATCCGCGTCCACGGGAGACTCGTTATTGTCGACGCGGCGCACAACGGCGATTCGGTCGCGAAATTTCTCGAGGCGGCTCATATGAAGTTCCCCTCGACAAAATTCACGGTCGTCTTCGGCTGCGGCGCGGAGAAGGAGGGCCTCGAGGCCATGGTCGACGCCGTGCGGCCGTTCGAGAGCAATGTGGTGTGCGTCGAGGCCGGGTCGTCCTTCGCGGATCGGCCGCTGCCGCCGTCGAAGCGGGGCGAGCCCGCTCAATTGTTGGCGGCACGCGTCGGTGCGAATGCGGCGGTTGCATCGTCGGTCGCCGCCGCTTTATCACATTCCGCGGGCCCCGTTTTAGTTTGTGGCAGCGTCTACGTCGCGGGCGAGGCGCGCGAGTGGTGCGTCGCCGAGGACCCGGCATGTCTGCCGGCGGACGACTGGGCGCGGACGCTGCGGGACGACCTCCTTTGATGTTATTGTTATGTGCCTAATAAATCACTGTTCATCTCAGCACTCAGATCCTCGTCGGGGTTCTCCTGTCTATACAAATTCACGTCCGCGACGCCGATGCCGGGCAGCCGCCGCGCCGCCGCCCAGGCGAGCAGGCGACTTTCATCTAAACCCCACTGCTCGACGGCGGCGCGCGCCATGCCGCCGAGCTTGGGGAGCGCGTCCGCGAGGAGCGGCGAGTCGCGCGTGAGGCGGCCGCCGTCGTCGTGCCGTCTGTTTCTCGGCTCGCGGTCGCGCGACCGCGACCGCGACCGCGACATGGAGCGGGCGCCGTTGCTGTCGTCGTCGCTCTCGCTGTCTTTTCGTCGGCCGCGGAGGCGCGCGGGCTCGCTGTTGCTTCTTCTCGTTTTGTCTCCTGTTTTTTTGTTGTTGGTGCTGCTCGTGCTGGACATGATGGAGACTTGTACGCCGCGTTCCGGAGCCCTGCACGCGTAGCTAGCGGACTCAGCCTGCTCTGTGCAGATCGATTTGCAGTAGCAAGCTCCCAATTTAAAAAATCGCGATAGCAGCGGCAAGCAGGTTGACAAATAACAGCCTAAAGCTGCCGTGCAGGCTTGGAAGCGCACGTATGCCGGAGCAACCCCGCTTCGACTTTGGTCCTTGCCCTGTGCAAAACCTGCACTCAGGCAGCCCCGGCATTCCTTCCTATCGCGTCGCGATCGCTGCGAGGGGCTCCTGACGGCGGAGAACGCTCTCTGCGCTCAGTCGCAGCTCGGCTTGCTGGCCTTGACCTTTGTGCTTGGACGAGCTGCTCTTTGCCGCACGCGACGACCACGCGATAAGCGCTGACGGTTAGTTGAGCACTTAGCATTGTTGCGTGGATCGCACACTTTGCGCAGGAGTAGCTATCCGCGCGGTATAAAACCACAGCAAGAGCAGCCTCCATAAGAGAGCCAACACCAAGCGCAGCGACGATGGGAAGGATAGCCGTAGCGGCGCTGGCCACCGGCGCCGCCGCGCTGCGGCCGACCCTGCCGGTAACACCGGCGCGCGCGCGCGGCCGGGTCGCTACGAAGATGGTCATCGACCCGAGCCACGCGCACGACCTCATGACGGCGCACGTCGGCCACGACTGGGGCTCGACGTTCCAGATGGCCGCCATCCAGGGGCGGACCTGCGTCGACGACACGGGGTGGTGGTGGTGCTTTTGCGGCGTCCTTTTATTCTCTTCGCGTTGTTCGCGTTGGCATCGCGTGCCACGTCCACGTCGCGTCGATGGCGCCACGTGCCACGCCATCGACGCGATGCCCCACGCAGCACGATCCAGAACGGCGTCGAGGGCCTCATCGCCGGTTTGCACGACGTTTTGCACGACAATCTCGGAATCGAGAACGGCTCCTGGGGCCTGTCCATCATTTTGTTCACGGCCTTTTTAAGGACGCTCATCTTCCCGCTCAACTACATCTCGTACGAGGCGACGGATCGGAACAAGGCCCTGAAGCCCTACATGGATAAAATTAGGGAGCGCTACGCGGAAGATCAACAAAGTATGAACTTGGCTACAGCTAAGTTGTATGAGATGACGGAGACGAACCCCTTGGCTGGCTGCCTGCCGGCGATCGCGCAGATTCCGGTTTTTATCGCCTTGTATCGATCTATCCTGAACCTCGCCTTCGAGAAGCGCATCGGCGAGGGTTTCCTCTGGCTGCCGAACCTGGAAGGCCCGACCTACGACAACGGCCGCGGCCTCCAGTGGCTCACGGACAACTGGGTCGACGGCGTGCCGCCGTTAGGGTGGCATGACACGCTTTGTTTTCTCGCACTGCCCGCCGCGCTGGTGGTCGCGCAAAGCATCTCGATGAAGGTGCTGTCGCCGCCGCCGGACCCGAACGACAAGGCCGCGCAGAACGCGAATCGCGTTTTGAAGTACCTGCCGCTCATGATCGGCTACTTCAGCGCGAACGTGCCCGCGGGCCTCGGCCTCTACTGGATGACGTCGAACGTGTTCTCCGTGGCGGGCTCGCTCGGGGCCAAGGCCTACCTCAAGCAGAACCCGCCGAAGTTGGATGTTGAACTAAAAGAGTTAGGAATCGACGACGAGTCCGCGGGCGTGAAGATCCCGGCGACGCTCGAGGAGGCTTTAGTGGATGCGCGCCTGAACGCGCAACCTATCCGCGCGCCGATCCGCCCCGGCATCAACGCCGTCCCGGCGTTCCTCGCCGTCGACGTCGGGGATTTGGACGTGGGCGTCTCGGACGAGATCGCGTTCGTCGACGAGATACAATTTGTCGACGAGATGCCCGACCCGGCGCCCGAGGCGCCGGTGGCCGCGCCGGCGCCGCAGGCGGCCGCCGCGGACACGTCGTCGGTGAACGAGCTCTACTCGCGGTAGGCGCGGACGTGTGGATACCCCCTTCCCCTCCTCTCCCCGCGTATAAGAGTTCCGAACGTCTTCCTGTCACATCGACGGCATCGCTCAGGCCTTACGGGTTTTTCAAACTTTGCGCCATACTTTGATCGCCCTAGGACCCGCGTTGCTCGCACGAGCGCACGCGCAATTAGTTTGAGCAGTGGCCCTCCTGATCGGTGGCGAGAACCGGCCGAAACCGCGGTCTAAGAGGCCCGATTGAGAAACTTTGACCCAGGGCGCCGCGGCGCGTTCGGCGACGACGTGGCGCCGCCGACACGACTCCAGCCCGCGCCAGCGACGACGCGCCGCGCGCCGGCGCCGGCGACGAAACGCCGCGCGCCGGCACCCGCTCCGAGGTCGGCGCCCGCGCAGCCGCAGCGGTCGGCGGGCGTGCAAGCCTGGGCCGCACAGCTCGACCGCTGCGGCTGGGGAGATGCCGAGCTGAAGCGATTGCTCCCGGAGCCGATCTCCCGCGGGGACGACGCGTTCTTACCGGTCCACGAGAAAGTCCTCCACGCCTTCGAGCTGGTCAGACCGGAGCAAGTGAAGTGCGTCGTCGTCGGTATGTGCCCCTACAAGAACCGCGACCAGGCGTGCGGCCTCGCGCTCAGCTCGCCGATCGGCGCCAAGAAGCCGCCGACTTTGACGCACTGGATCTTTGGACACCTCAAGGACGAGTCGATTAACGGCGGTCTCGGCTTCCACGGGCGGAAGCCGTCGCACTGCGACCTGACGGCCTGGTCGACCCGCGCCGGGGTGCTCCTCCTGAACGCCACGCTACAAGGTCATAAGAGGGGCGAGGACGCGTGGCGCCCGTTCATCAGCCGTGCGATCCAGATCGTCTGTGGACACACGTGCGGCTTTATCTTCATGGGCAACGACCACCCTCGCCGACTCGCTTCCGCCGTCGTGGGAAGGTCGCGGGCTTGCGTCGTCGCGACGCCATACCCGGCTCAGTTCACGCGCGACGATTTCAACGCGCTCCAGCCCTTCGCCAGCGTCAACCGCAAGCTCGTCGCGGCCGGCGCGGAGCCGGTGCGCTGGAACGCGCTGCTCGACTAGGGATCCCAAATGCGCCGGGGAGTAAGTCGTGAACTCTCCAATACGTCTCCGCAAGTGCCACACGTATCCCGGCATTCGCGACCCCGCACATCCCGACCGCCCGCGCTGGATTGCGAGGCGCTGCACTCATCAGGGGGCGGCATCAGCCAACGAGGCGCCGCTGCAGCCTCGCACGCCAGTAAATCTGCCGCAGCGTCACTTGGCGCAACGACGGCTGCCCTCACGGCTGCCCCACAGTCGATCAAACATGATGAGCACCACCACCAGCCGCGTGCAGCCCCTATTGGATGACGAGGAGGAGGCGGCGGAGGGCGGCCTGAGGCGCATCACGGGCACCGACACGAGCGGTGATAGAGACGATGAAGCGCTGCCGCCGGTCGGTGGTTCGATCGGCGTCGTGAGCCACCCCGACGGCTACCAGTACGTGGTCAAGGCGCGGCTCGCGGTCACCGTCCACGCGCTGCTCGACGTCGTCGAGACCTCGAACACCTTCTCGGCGACGGTGGAGCTCGCGCTGGAGTGGGAGGTGTCCGAAGACCAATGGATAGGCTGCGAAACCTTCTGGCGCGACCACTTCATACCGAAGGTGCTGCGCGTCTTTTTTGACAATGCGAAAGATAGGGAGAACCTCTTCGCTGCGGACGCGAACGAGGACGAAAGAGTGGGCCGCGACGACGTCGGCGCGCCGCTCGTCGACTCGGACACCGGGAAGCGCGCGCGGCTGTTCCGCTTGCGTCGACGACGGACTGTGGAATTCCGGCAGCCGCTCGCGCTGCAGCACTATCCGTTCGACTACCAGGTGCTGGCGATTCGCTGCGTGGCGGAGGGCGCGGAGCTGTTCGGGAGGTACTTCCAGCTCGAACTCATGCATCCAAAGCGGTCGAACTACGGTCCTGGTAGACATACCATAATCGAGGACGCCGACCACGTCGACGATTTGGACATAGAGTCTATTTTCGCCCTTGACGGCCGCGACATCGCGAAGCCCGGGTCGGAGCGGCCGCGGCCGCAGGAGTACGCCGTCCTGCTTTTCGTGTCGCGTCAATACAATTCGACGTTGATGAACGCGATTGTGCCGGTTTTCTTTATGGAGATGCTGAGTCTCATCATCTATTGGGTCGAGCCCTGTGACGTCGCTGATCGCGCGGCCATAACATTGACGATCTTTCTTGCGGCGGTAACGTTCAAGACGTACATGTCGACGCTCTTACCGGCGCTGCCGTACCTCACGAGCGTCGAGCGGTTCCTGTTGGGGGGGATGGTGCTGCTGCTAGGTCAAGGCTTGTTCATTGCCAGGGTGGGTTGGTATTGCGTCAACGGCGAAAATACTAAGGGTTTCCATGGACACCCTTGGGATTGGCGCTTCCGGCACTTTGAAGAGGACGAAGATGAAGCCTGGCGTCAGTCCGCTGATGGGACCAATGCAGCCTACTGGAAGGAGGACGATGCGAGTTACTGGCTCGGCTCCGACGCGGCGCGGCGCCGGATGTCGGTACGTTGGGACCAAGTCGCATTCTACATGACTCTCTCCAAAGCGCTACTGACGGTTCTAGCCCTCTTCAATAGAATTTTCTGGCTCTACTACAAGCTCTACCGGATAGACTACGAGAAGGCAGTGGCGGAGAGCCTGGGAGACGAGAGAGCTCTAAACAAGCAATCGTTTTTGTCGTACGTCGCGCGGCGCGCGCGCTGTTGCTACTCGCCGGCGGCGGCGGTGCGGCGGCGCGGGGCTGCCCACGCTGAAAAAACGCCCAGGCTCGAGGAGCGCCGGAGGCGGGCCGTCGCGTTCTTCCGGGACCTAGCGTCGCAGAGCCTCGAAGGTTACACGAACCCAGAGGTGAGTCACAGGCCGCGCGTTCCCAAGACAAAAAAAGCCAAGCCCGAGATGGAGGCGACGCTCGACGAGGACCGGTGCATTATTTTTGACGTGGGTACTGGCGAGGCGAAAGCCATAGCCTACGAGTTTGTGCCGGAAACAACCGCGGTCAAGGTAAAAGATCTGGCGAAGTTCAAGGACGGTAAGGTCGCCGTGAAGGATTTGTGTCACGACCGGGACACTTCATCCTTCGTGGATTTTGTCGGGGAGACGCTGACGCCGCGCCTCGTCGTGAGCGGCTCGACCAAACCGGACGGGTCCCCAGAAAATCTCTGGAAGCTCCAGGGGTTCAGCGCCGTCAAGCACGAACGCGCCGAGGGCCTCTACACGGTGGAGTCGTGGGATAGTGATGATGCAAAGGCGTGTGATAGAGGCAAGGGTACTGCAGTCGTATTTGTAAACAGGGAGCCGTATAGTCCGGACCTCGCAAGGGAAAGGCTCGAGCGTGCTGCGGAGCTGAAGAATAAGGCAGTACCTGCAAAGGACATCAAGGTGGGAGACCGCGTCAGGGCGAAGGCGGCGATTCGCTACGCACGAGATGCTGATGGTTCCGCAGTCCCTGTCGGTGATGTATCCGCACCGGAAGCTATCGTTCTGCCTGGCGCTAAGGGCACTGCTATGAGCGTTGCGGGGAGCGCGGACGCCAAGTTTGTGCGAGTGCGCTGGGACGACCACGAGGACCTCGGCGCTGCTCTCGTAAAGGCGGACGACGCCATCGTGGAAATCGTGCCCGAGGTCGTCTTTCGGTTCTGGGCGCATGCTTCCATCGAGCGCAGCGGTGATGCGAAACCGCGATGGCGACGGTCACCGTTAGTAGTGGGCACGGGATCATGGTATCGAACTTCGAAAGGCGGCGACCGAGCGGTGGCACATAACCTTTTTGGCGAATTACGGAAAAAGTATGATGCCGCGGTAGTAATTCTATCTGCCATTGACGAGGCTTCGTACGAGGAGACGGCCACGCTATATGCGCACAAGCTTATGAAGTGGGAACCGCCTGATGCTGTTATTTCTGGCGGTTCCGGGTCTACCCAGGCCTCATGCATCTCGCCGGCGGACATCGGCGACCTTGTCGAGTACAAAGGCAGCGAGGCGCAGGTGGTGGGCCGCTGGCGATGCGAGGACGGGCACGTCTACGAGGATGGAAGACAGAACCGCTGGTGGCCTCGGAAGCGGTCCGGCAACGAGAAAGAGTACTGTCACGGCTACGCCTACGACATCCAATTCGAGGGCAAGCGCCACCGCGTCGACGAAGTCGAGCGCGTACTGCAGAGATGGGGGAAGGGGACAAAGCGGCAGTCGACGCCGCATCTTATTCAATGTGGCAACCGCGAGGGCAAGGACTTGATTCTTGCGGCGACGACCGTCGAAGAGGGCTGCGAGGCATGGGAGAAGGTGATCAAAATGAGGTTCCACGAAGCTGGCTTCAACCGCGACTCGTACATTAAGAGCTGTACACTGATGGGCGCGTGCTTTTACGCCGCAGAATATGCCGAGGTGCCCCTGAAAGGCACTACAGTTAAAATTGCAAAGGATAAATTCGAGGCCCACATTCGTACACTCAAGAACGCAGCAAAGAAAGTCGAGCGCGATGAGAAAACGGCGACGACGAAAGACACGCTCGCTAAAGTCAAAGCACCTCCGTACGAGCTCGGGGGCAGGAACGCGGCTCAAACACTCTCGAACCTCATGGTCCAAGCTCGTATCTGCGAGATGCTCGGCGACGGCGTCTCAGTGCGCTACGTCCGCGATTGGAAGCTTCCTGGCGCCGACGGAGTCGTGGAATTCCGCACGACGTGGAGCGCGGGCTATTACCTCCAGGACCTCGTCCGCCGGCGCCCATACCTCCTCGCGGCAGAAGATACGGGGTTCCAGGACCTTATTTAACTGTTTGTGCTTCTAGATCAATCATTATTCTTAGTTCCACCGCGGCTGCCGCACCTCTCCCGAAGCAGCACGCCGGCCCCCGAGCGGCGCCGACTTCGGCCGTTTTGCTCGCGCCGGCGCCACACGCGCCGACGCGCCGGAGAAGATCTTCCGCGCGGCGTGGAAGGATCCGCGCTCGCTCGACCGCGCCCGGTTCTGGGACGCGGACCGCGGCCGCGGGACCCGCCGCGCGGGTCGAGGGGACGGAGGGGGAGACCCAGGCCCGTCCTCGTAGCCGATCGTCCCGAACGCGTTGCGCTGCTGGTGCTTCTTGAGGCGCTTCAGGCGCGCGCGCTCGCGCTCGACGCGCTTCAACTCGCGCTCGACGCGCTTCTCGAGGTCCTCTTCCCTTGTTTTTCGCTCCGCGGCGACGGCCGCGGCCTCCTTTCGCACGTCCTCGAGCTCCCTTTGTTGATCATCGAGCGCCGTTTCGGTTTTCGTCTGCTCGTTCGACCGGGCGATGTCGCGCTTCGCCGCGGCTAACGCCGCGCGGATCGCCGTCAACCGCTTGTCGTCGCGGATCGACGCGAGGACGTCGTCGATCTCTCTACTGGCATCCTCGGGCGACCGCGACCGGTGGCGCCGGCGCGGCGATCGCTTCTTCTCGCGGCGCGGCGACGGCGACGAGTCGTAGGGCGATTTTTGTTGTTCGGCGTAGGGCGACGTCGGCGGCGTCCGCGAGGCCGGCGCCCCCCGCGCAACGGGCGGCGCCGGCGGCGACAGCGGTGCCCCGCCGTCGCGGCGGCGCTCCTGGTCCAACAAACCCCAGAGCTCGTCGGCGGTCGCGTCGCGCGGCGCCGGCGCGGGGCAGCCGTTCGACGCGAGGAGCGCCCGGTACTGGGCCGCCAGGTCGTCGCGCAGCTCCGGCGGCGGGCGCGCGTGGGGAGTCGTGGGCGGCGCCACGGGCGGCGCCGCGGGCGCAACCTCGGGCGCGCGCGCCTCCGTCACGATTTTTGGCGTCGCCTTCTTGGGCGCCGGTGACGGCCTCTTCGGCGTCGACTTCTTGGGAGTTGGGCGGCGCGATGACGGCGGCGTCTTCCGACCTTTCACCGAGGAAGCTTCGCCTCGGAGCTCGGCCAGCGATTGTCGTAGCGAGGCCCGGACCTCCGGGATCGGCGACGTCGCCGTCTCTGACACAGAGGGCTTCGCCTCGGCGGCGTCGGCGAGCTGCTGCGCGACGCGCGCGCGGCCCTCGGCCGCCGCGGCCCGGCGCTCGGCCGCGGCGCAGCGCTCGTTCGCCTCCGTCGCCGTCCGCAGCGCTTCTAACAAACGCGCCTCGGCTACATTCGTTTTCGCTTCGGCCGCGGCCGCGCGCTCGTCGGCTCCTTTCCGAGCCTCCTCCGCGGCTCGGGCCCGTTGTTCCGCCTCCACGACTTTCTGGTCACTCGCGGCCCGGGCCTCCTCCGCTTCCAGCGCGCGGGCCTCCGCCGCGGCCGCCTTGTCACGCGCGGCCGCGGCTCTAGCTTCGCTCTCCCTTCCAGTAGCGTGTGCCGCGTCGAGCGCGGCCCTCGTGAACACCGCGCGTCTATTCAGAAACAGCACGTAGAGGCCCCGAAATCCCCGTTCGAGCTGCCTTGACATCAAGCGCGTCGCGCAGGCATTCAAAACACGACACACCACTCTTAATGACTGCGTCCGCCGCAACCGCTGCCGCGCGGCCTCCTTGCGCACGTCGGCGTTCCGCACATTTTGTGAGCCGTCCGCGGCGAGGGCCGCGCGCGCCCTTAGTAGAGCGGCGGGCTCCGGCGACGGCGGCGGCTGCACGACTCTTTTTTCGACGGCGCCGCCCGCCCGAATAAACGTTTCGACGGGCACGTCCGCCGGCACGAGGCCCTGCGCGACCAGGTTTTCTCGCCTTTTCTGGCCGAGCTTCGCGAAGGAGAAGCCACCGGGCTTTTTTGGTGGTTTGGCGTCGACGCGGCCCTCAGCCTTCGCTTCGCGGCTGAGGGTGCGGTTTTCCTTGCCCTCCATGGTGCGCACGCGTTTCGCCGGCCGCGCTGCACCGCGTTGCGTGCTGCCAAACGACCGGTTCGCGCCGGGCAGCCGCCTGAATGTGTGGCAGCCCGCCGGGCTAACTTGCAAACGCCCCGACAAGCGGCATGGCCACTAGCCCGACCGCGACGCGTCCGTCCCGTTTATGTGCGCTTCAAGACCGATCGGGCCGCCCACGAGTGCCTGGACGCGTGCTTCACCGGACGCCATTTGCGAGATGCTGCAGCGCCAGGCTCTCTCTGGCCGCGCGAGCTTGTGCAGCTTGGAAGCGACGCGCATTTGAGCAGACATCGACCTTTTCTGTCCACCCTGTTCGCAGGAAGGGGCTGCCCCACGAGCGCGGCTCCCCACAAGCTTCCAGAGAGGTGCCCAGTACTATGTGCGATGCGTCCGTGCGCACGATCGGGCACGACGACGAGGCGTCGCTGTGGACGACCACGAGCCATTCGACCATCGGCATCGACCACCTCAAACAGAAAGGGCCCCAGTGGTACGACATCGACAAGCGCCGCTGCGGCGAGTTCGGGCCGCTCATGACGTCCTCGCCGCACAACCCCTTCATGACGAACGGTAGACAGAGGCCGCCCACGTCCGAAAAGAGCACGGCGACGGTCTACCCGTCGGGCCCGCTGAGCGACGCGGTTGTCTTCGATTCGCTGATGACGCCGGCGCTCCGGCCGCGCGACCCGGCGATGGCGGGCGTGGGTAGATGCAGCAAGGCGGTGATCGCGGCGCCGCCGGATTTAAGTACGACGCGGAAACTCGTCGAGACGCGAATCATCCCGATGAACCACCCTTCACGAACATCGCGGCAGTTCTCGCTCGTCGACTTCAAGTCGATTGCCCAGGGTGTGGATTTGCCGGAGAAGCCCGTGCGGCACCAGGTCCGCGGCGCCGAGTGGACCTTCCACAGGGACTGGGGGCGCAGCGACCACTGGGAGCGGCCGCTGACGCCCGGGTCGCGGCCGACGACGCCGGTGGCGCCCGGGAGCCGGCCGACGACGCCGGCGGCGCCCGGGAGCCGGCCGACCACGCCCGGCAGCCGGCCGGCGACGCCCGGGAACCGGATCATAAGGGATATTCCTTGATGGCGGAATTGTTGAAGTGCTAGGACTAGTCAGGTAATTGTTACGGTGCTAGGACAGTGGACAGAGGGCTCGGCTAGCGATGTAAGACACTAGGAATCTGGCAGAGCTTGGAGGCGTGCGCAGAGCGTGCAGTCTATTAAGCACCGTACGCATGCTTTTTAACCTGATCCTAGTCACCGCGTTGGCCTCGCCGAGCAACGCCTTTAAAACCAGCCAGAAGCTCGTCGGCAGAGCTTTTGGTGCCTCAGCTGGTTAAGCCAGTGTGGGAAGCACTCGAAGCACTCGTGTGGGAGAGCACTCGCCTTTGCAGCCCTTAGCATTGCCTTTGCAACCCTTAAAGTACGCACGCGTCGCACAGGTTACAAGCAGGCCCGCGGCAGATTCGTAGCCATGCCGACGCTCGCCGTCCAGTCTGCCGCGACGCCGAAAAGCGGCGCCGAGGAGCTGTGCAAGAAGCTCTCGTCGACGGTGGCGGGGACCCTCGGCAAGCCGGAGTCGTACGTCATGGTCACGTTTCAGAAGGTCGACGCGATGTGTTACGCTGTGCGGAAATCAACCAGTTAGTTAGGTTATCGAGCTGCCGCAGTTACCGTACGTCGCGTGGTGGGGTGCCTGAAACTTGATTTCCACGCAGGTGCTACGGCGGAACGACTGACCCGGCCGCGTTTTTGTATCTCAGTTCCCTCGGCTCGATCGACCCCGACACGAACAAGGCGACGAGCGCCGCGGTCGCGGACATCCTCGAGGCCGAGCTGGGCGTGTCCAAGGGCCGCTACTACATCAATTTCTTTGACTCCGAGCGATCGAATATGGGCTACAACGGCGGCACGTTCTAGAGAACACACCTAACAACACCTAAAACTATGCCTGACGCCGTCGGTCCCCGAACGCGACGCTCCAGCCCTCGCCGTCGGCCTTCGCGAGGGCCTCGCCCTCGATCTTGCCGTAGAAGTTGAGCTCCACGACGACATTTGATGCGGCCTCGAGGTCGCCTCCATCAACTTCCGCGCGGAGCCGCGCCTTCGCATCTACAACGCGCGCGTCGTTCGCGGCGACGAGCGCCTCGAGCGCGCCGCCGTCCGTCGCCTCGTCAATGGCCTCGCGCACCTCCATGACCTCCATCAGTAATGAAGGCGGCGCGGTCCGCGTCTCATCATCTAAAACGGAGGTCCCGGTCTCGAGGAGCAGCAGGTAGTCCGCCCGCCGCAGATCGTCTCTCAGGACCGCCGTCGCGCCGTTGACGCGCGCCGACGCCGCGTCCGCGAGGTCCCGCTGCTCCTGAGTCGAGGTCGCGAAGCGGTCCGGGTGGAGCCGTCGCTGCAAGACACGCAGGCCCTCGTCGAGCGCATCGTCGTCGACGTCGAGGCCCTTCGGTAATCCGAGGAGCTCGAAGTGGGAAACTTGTGTAGGGTCCCGTCGGAGCGCGCCGTCCTTGGAAAAGAAGTGGTCGCCGAGCGCGAGAGCGCGCCGCGGGACCTGCGTGTCGCGCGGGGATTTAGGCGGCGGCCCAGGGTCGCGTTTCCGCGGGCCGGCGCCGAAAGACGACCCATGCATTCTTCTCGGCGACGCTTTGCGAGATGGGCGGCGCTACGGGGGAAGCGGAGCCCAGGAGAGAGGTCGCCTGTCTGTTTATGGACGCCGGTGCTTGCGCGTCGGGCGAGGCGGCGGGTGCAGAGGTGCAGCATTGCTTTGGCGTCGGCTTTGCGCGCGTCGGCAGCTTCGTGAACGCACGCGTCGCGCCGGCCAGAGCTGCAGCTCAAAAGTGGCCGGAGAGGCTGTCTGCAGGCTGGCTGTAAAAACAGCCTCTGGCGGAGGCCAGCTGTTCAAAAAGCGTTGTGGGCGCCCGCTACAGTACGTGCGCGACGGCTGACGAGCTCTTCGGCAGCGGCGGCACGAGTGCCTTGCGCCTGAAGCCGCCACGCACAGGGCTCATAAATTGCAATTGCTCATCGAATCGATGGAACCAGAGGTCGTGAAGGAACCAGAGGTCGCAATAGTCGGAGGAGGCATCACGGGAACGGTCGCCGCCACGACGCTGGCGCGTTTGCTCCCCGGCGCGCGCATAACGTTGTTCGACCAAGGACGAGGCCTCGGCGGGCGAGCGTCGCACCGCCGCGTTGATGACGGCGAGGTCGTGGCGCCGTGGGCGCGCTCGTCGATGGCCTTTGACCACGGCTGCCAATTTTTCCAGGGCGGCGACGCCGAGTTCCGCGAAAAGATTCTCGATCCGTGGCTCGCGGCCGGCCTCGCGGCGGAGTGGCAAGGCAAATTCGCCGGCGCGGGCGATTTCTTCGGCATCGGTAGCGAAACGGTATACGTCGGAGTCGGTGGCATGCATACGGTCACGGCAGGCGCCGCACAAATGTTAGAATGCAACCACTCGAACTTTGTGGCGCGCTGCGGTGTTCGCGTGGGCGCCGTCGCGCGCGCTGGTGATCGCTGGGCTCTGTCAGGGGTTGGAGGCGAAGCGGCCATCCACGACTCGAAGCTTAAGTCTTCAGATGTAGAGGCGGCGCGTGCGGCCGCAGCGCTCGGAGAATTCGACGCCGTCGTCGTCACCGACGCGTCGGCGGCCCAGGAGTCCTGGCACCGCGCGTCGGCGGGCCTGCCCGAGGCGTTTCTTGCGATGTCGAAACGCGTCCGGGATCGGGTGCGCGTCGCCATGTTCACCGCAATTGTCGCGTTCGAGGAACGAGTGCCTGTTCCCTACGATGCATCGTCTTTCCAAGACTCGACGCTCTGGTTCGCGGCGAAGACCAATTCGAAGCCGGGCTTTGAAGCGCTCGAGAAGGAGTGCTGGACGCTCGTCAGCACGCCGGCGTGGGCGGCGGCCGAGGTCGAGCGCGTGCCGATGCGGGACCCGGCCACGGGCGCCTTCATCCCGCAAAGCCCCGAGGTCTTGGAGGCGCCCGCGCGGGCGCTGCTCGATGCCTTCGCCGCCGCGGTCGGCGCGCCGCTACCGGCGCACACGTATCTCCACGCGCAGCGCTGGGGTTCTGCAATGCCTGCACCGCTTACGCACGGCCGCGACGCCGACGGCCGCTCGGACGCAACAAAGGACGTGCTCGGGACCGCGTTCGACGCGTCGTCCACGGAACAGTTCGCGGGTCTCGGGGGCGGAGGCGCCGGTGACGAGGACTTCGTCGACGGCGGGGACCTCGGCCTCTACTACGCCGGCGACTTCTGCTCGCCGCGGCCGCCGGGCGTCGTCGCCGCCGCGCTGTCGGGGAAACACGCGGCGGAGGCGTGCGCACAGCGCCTCCATGTTAGTGATGTGCGGTATAGTTAATAAAGACGGACAAACCTAGGGCAGCTCGTCGCCCAGCTCCTCCTCGATCTCCTTCGCGATCTCCTCGTCCGTCTGCTTCTCCTCCTTGTCGTCCTCATCCGGTTGCTTCTTCTTGCCCGTGTCCGGCGGGTACTGCATGGCCTTGACGGCCTCGTTGCGCACGTCGAGGCAGAAGACGATGCGCCGGTGGAAGGCCTTCTGCGGCTCGTTCGTACTATAGACGTCGGCGACTCCTTTAGATCTAATCTGCTGGTTGTCGTGGTCGATGACCGCATCTATAACACCGTCTTTAATAGCCTTGGCGCAGACGAACTCCGCGGAGGCGGCGCTGTCGAGGTGGAGTCGCGCGCGGACGTCGTCCAACGAGATCCTCGAGTAGGAGACGTTTAACCTCCTCAGGCCCGTCTTGACGACATTTCGTTCCAACCTTGCTACCAACGACCGCGTCCGGTCGCGATCGAACGTATCCGCGTGCTCCGCGACGCACGCGCGATAAGCCGGTAGGTCTCCCCTCCGCACCGCCCTTGTGAGTTGTAAGTAGGGCTCGAGCGCCCTGCCCTTAAAACCCTCAAACGAACTTCTATCAGGTACCTCGCCCATCAATAACTGCACTAAAACCGCGAGCTTCTGGATCTCGACGCGAAACCCCACAGCTGTTGTGGCCGGCGCCTTGCGCTGCGACTGCATCAATTTGGTATGGGCGTCCGTGTAGTCCAATTGCAAAGCTTGGATGCGACCCGTATAGTACAAGTAGCGGCAGAACTGGGGGTTCGACGCCGACTCGGGAAAGTCCGTCTTCGAGACGAGTTTTAAGGCAGCTTCTACTCTATTGGCGGCTAACAAACCGCGCAGTAATGCATTCAACAACGTGGCCGCAGACACGTCGGCGTGCTGCAAGACCGCGGTCCTATGGGCCGCGAATAATGTAGCGGCAACATTGGCAGAAGTGCCGAGCTTCTCGTGACATAAGGCCAGGTAGAAGTAGAATTTTGCTGCCAAAGCGTCCACGGCTCTACGCTCCCGCATCATGGTCCGCAGCCTTGGTAAGGACGCCTCGCAGAGTTTTGTGGCGTCCTCATACCTCTTCTCCCTGACCAGAAACGCGACCACCAGAAACGCTAAATACACTTCCACTTCCACGGGCGCGTCCTCGGGGACCTCATCAGCATCCGTCATGGCCGCATCCGTTTCGACGGGTCCTAATGCAGCGAGCGCCGCGTCCCGCAGCACGCGCGCATCAGAAGGCAAGTGCGCCCTAAGAGCGTTTGCGAGGTCCGCGGCACAACACTTCCGGCGGACGGGCGTCGTGTTCCGGAGCGCGCGCGCGAGTAATCGCGGCTGGGAACCTTCCACGGCCTTTCTTACAAACCCAACGTTCTTCGCGATGCCCTGGGCGACGTCGAAGGGCGGCGGCGCCTTGTCCTTGTCGTCGGCCGCGGCGGGCGCGGGCGCGGGCGCGGCGTCGGCCATCTCGACGTCGGCCTTGGCCATGCTTTAGGCGCGTTTCGGCGCTCGCGCGTTGCGCAGTGCTGCGCGCGGCGTCAGGCGCGTCCTGAGGCCCTCGCGAGTCTAAAGGGGCGGACTCGCTGTGGTTGTCGGAGCGCGTCGCCCGAGCCAAACTATTGACCACAGCGTGAATAATTTGTGGTGAACGAGCTCTGGACGGCGCGTTGCTTGCAAGCGCGCGGCCTCGAACCGCGGCGCCGGCCCTTCCTAGTATCGTTATCACTAGCGTGCAACAAATTAACTCGGCACCACCGCGCTAAACGCTGCAATCTGTTGCTCGGGGACACTTGACACCCGGGTTACCAGCTCTCGACGCCATCGACGGCTGATCGGCTGGTTTGCACCGCCTCCGCTTCGCTGCGTGCCAACTTAGCTCAGAGCAGTGGCTCCCTGACGCACTGACTCGCGGCGTCTGAACGAAGCCCCATGCTAACAAGGAGCACAACGATGGTGCTGCTGATGACTCTGCGCCGCGCGTCGACAATCGCACCACGCGTCGCCTGGAAGCCCAAGGCGACTCTAAGCGGCCGCCTGGAAGGGTTGCTGCAAGCGCCCGCCGAGAAAGACGACCCGGCCGCCGCGCAGAGGCTCGCGCAGTGGCTCAGCGACAAGCGTAACGTCGTCGTGCTGACCGGGGCTGGTCTCTCGACGGACAGCGGCATTCCTGATTATCGTGGCAAGGCGGGCTCCTATCGACTTGGTCACGTGCCTATCGGCCATGATGAGTTCATGCGGAACGAGTCGTCACGGCGGAGATACTGGGCGCGGGCGCTCGTCGGGTGCGGCCCTGTGTGGAAATCAAATTTCAGGCGCTCCACGCCATCAACGCGAGTCCCCATAATTCACTGGTTGATGTCCACACAGGTATCCGGCCTTTGCGGCGGCGAAGCCCAACGACGCGCATTTTGCTGTGGCTGCGTTGGAGGAGGCCGGCGTGGTTTCCCAAGTGATCACGCAGAACGTCGACGGTCTTCACGAGGCCGCGGGCTCGCGGAAGGTGATACCGCTCCACGGGCGTGGCTATCGGGTCCAGTGCATGTCGTGCGGAGCAGAATCGTGCCGCGGCGAGTACCATTCTACGCTGGCGGCTCGGAACCCGAACTACGCGGGGGTCATTGGCTCGGCGCGTGACGGCGCCCAAGCGCTCCGGCCCGATGCCGACGCGGCGGTCGACGACATCTCGGGCTTCGACGACATCGCCCCGTGCGGCGCCTGTGGCGGCCTCATCAAGCCCGCTGTGACGTTCTTCGGAGACGTCGTTCCGAAGGATCGAGTCGAGGCGTGCTCGGCGGCACTTGACGATGCCGACGGGTTATTGTGCATTGGCACGTCGCTCGCTGTCTACTCAGCCTTCCGCTTCGCTCGCCGCGCGCGCGACGACGGTACTCCGATCTGCATATTGAATCGCGGACCGACGCGCTGCGACACCGAGGACTTTCCCGGTTTGACGAAGGTGAACGCTGGCGTTGCCGCGCTCGCGGAGGCGGTTGTTGGGATGTAGTGTGTAAATATATTTGGTCTGTCTATTCTACCGCTAACACCACACACATTGGGGCCATTGCTGTACAGCAGTGGACGCAATCCCCAGAATTCGTTCGCTAGCGGTAAGACACTAGCAACCGCGCCGGCTTTTTAAGCTGCGGCTGGCTCTGGCGCTGCGCTTGGCAATATATGTGGGTTGTCGCGCTGCGGATTAGCTCCAGGCATACGGCTCCGCAAGGCTGTGCCCAAAAATAGCCGCGCCGTGCCGTTAACAAAGGCCTGAGTTTAAAACGCCATCCGAGCTCCTGCTGCGCTGCGCAAGCGCATTGGTGCCAAAATGAACGATTTCTTCAAGCCGCGCAAGAAGAAGGCCAAGGTCGCGCCGCCCGCGGAGGCGGAAGCGGCGCCGCCCGCGGAAGCGGCGCCAGCGCCGGCGCCCGCACCGGCCGCCGCGCCTCCGAAGCCAAAGAAGCCGCTCGCGCCCATCTTCGCGCCCAAGAGGCGCAAGGAGCCCGCTGTCGTCGTCGTCGAGAGCGACGAGGACGAGGCCGAGGACGAACCTGAGGCGCCGCCGCCCAAGCGCGCGCGGCAGCCCGCGGCCGAGGACGACGCGGAGGAGAACGACGAGGCGCCGAAGCGCGCACGGGAGGACGAGGACGAGGAAGAAGAGGCCCCATCAAGACCACGGCGCGCGTCAGCTAGATTAGCGGACGCCGCGCGGCGCCGGGCCGCCAACAATGACGACGACGAGCCCGAGTGGAGCGGCAACGACGACGAGTCTGATGATGAGGACGTCGAGGCGCTGCGGAAGAGGCGCCGCAAGCCCAAGAAGAAGAAGGCCGCCATCTTCAAGACCAAGGACGAGCGTAAAGCCGAGGCCGAGGCCGCGCGGCGGAAGGCCGAGGCCCAGAAGCGCGAGGACGACGCGCGGCGCGCGGCCCAGCTGCGCTCCGTCGAGACGGCGGCGTTTGGTGGGGGGGCCTCGAACCCCTTCTTCGAGAAGCGCGCCGCGGCCAAGAAGCCATCGCAGAAGGCGGTCTCTACGGCTCCGGAGCGCCTCGAGGCGCCCTTCGCGCCTTCAGTGCCACGCGCCGGCTCCGCTTTTAGTGATGAGAAGGCGGACGGCCTCGCGTCCAGTATTCTCGAGAAGCCCTTCCCGACCTTCGGTACTGATGACGCGCCGCGGCTGCGGCCCGCGCTGCCTCTAAGCATCCCGGCGGAAGCGACGGACGATGTGCTAAGGACACTCGCTCGGAAAGCAAGAGCTACACAAGTGCCGCCTCCTTCGGACTCGGAGCTGATAGGAGAAAATTGCGTCAACGCCCGGCGCGGTTTGGTGGAGTGGCTGCGGACGCAGTGGGGCGCGGCCGGACGAGCCTCTTTATCAGATGACGACGCGTACTTCGACAGCGACGACGAGGCCGAGGTCCAAGGCGCTTCACTGATCGCCGGGCCCCTCGGCTGCGGCAAGACAAGAGTAGCGCGAGAAGCGGCGCAGCAGGCTGGGTTTTCGGTGCTGACGATGGAACTAGATGCCTCGGCGCCCGCGAACGAGCTCCAGAAGCGCTACAAGGAAGCCACGTCGTCGCGCCGGCTCAAGGGCGCGCGCCAGTTGGTTTTAGTTGATGACGTCGACGCTTCGATAGTGAACGACCCGCAGCGTGCAAGGGCGTTGCGAGATCTAGTGAAGAACGCGCGCTGCCCCGTCGTGGCGACGTGTACGGTCTCTAGGGACGCCGACGGCGCGCGGTGCGGGGTCTTGGCGACGAAGCTCGGCTGCCCGCGCTACTTCCAGCTACCCTTCTGTTCCGACGATTCTCTCGAGTCTTTGTTGGCGGCGCGCGCACCGGGCGACGCGTGGAGTCTCGTAAGGGCGCACGTCGCGGCGTTGGCTGACGGCGACGCGCGCAAGGCCCTCGTGCTGCTCGATGCTGCTTTGTTAGATGACGGGCCCGCCTCTGAGGACGAGGTCGCGACGACCTCTCATGAAGAAATTGAGCCGTGGTGTCCCTCGCACGACGCCGAACCTCCTTCTATAACCTCCATCTCACCTCAAATCGTGCCGCGAAATGGAGGCCGCGTGCTCATACACGTGGCGTGCTGCGACGACGGGTACGCGTTGATTGACGGAAGGCGCGTCGCCTTCGATCAAATAACGCACGTCGGCGGGCGGCTCCAGGCCTTTGTGGATATTCCAAAGGCGCGGCCCGCCCAGCGCTTCGAGGCGATCGTGGTCGTCCGTAGTGACGGCGCGCGGTCCGACGCGGTCGCCTTCGGCGCGCTCGTCGCCTACGAGGCCGAAGAGCCCGACGACGAGGACGAGGCGCCGCGCGGCCGGCTCCGGCGCCACGCCGGCGCGTCGGACGACGAGGACGAGGCCGTGCCCGAGAGCCCCTCGGCCAAGGATGGTGTGGTTGCCGAGGTGTCGCCGGAGAACGCACCGTCGCCGCGCAAGAAGCCGCGGCGCCGCGTTGTTGTCGATGATGATGATGAGGAGGAGGAGGACGCGGCGGCCGACGCCGCCGACCCGCTGCCCGCGCCGGACGTGCCGGCCGCCGCGCCGGTGCCGGCCACGCCGCCCGTCGTCGTCACGCAAGCGGCCCCTATGGAGACCGAACCCACGGTACCAGCTACACCGGCCGAGCCGGAGGCGCCTATGGAGACCGAACCCGCGGCCCCGTCGGCGCCGTGGGCGCCGCCGCCGCGCGTACGACCGCCGTCAAGCGACGCCACCGCGCTCGCGGCGGCCGCGGCGCTCGCCGAGGCGCGGTCCGCCGTCGACGCCTTCCGCTCCGGAGACGCCGACGAGCGCCTCGTCGACGACGACGACACGCGGGCCGCGCGGCGCGCCGGCGTGCTGCGCTTCGCTACAGCGGCTCCGCGGCCGTCGACCGGCGCCGACCGCGCGGCGGCGTCTTTAGGGCTAGACCTGCTCGTCGCGGCGCCGACGCCGGCCCCGGTGCGCGAGCGCCACCGCGACGCGCTATACGCGGCGCGCTGCGCCGTCGGCGACGATCTGGCTCCGCCGCGGCTCGGCCCCGAGCCGGCCCTCGACTACGCGCCGGCCCTGCGGGCCATCTTCGGCGGCGAGGCGGCGCGCGAGGCGACCTTCGCGGGCCGCCGCTTCACGCACTACCTGCGGGACGCGCGGCACTCGGCGTCGGCGCTAGCGTTCGCCTATGCCGCGGGCGACCTCTCCTGTCCGCCGTCGTCCCACTAACTAACAACAAGCTTATTATATCAAACTCGACGGTTCGCCACCGTGCCGGACGAGTATCGCACGGGTTTCTCAACTTTTTGACATGGCTCGCTGAGCGCTTTGCCGTCTAGTTTGTGCACTGACCACCCGTTTCAATACCTTCGTGTATGCGCCGCACCGGGGGAAGCGTCGCAAGCCGTGGCTCGAGAGTTTGCAAACTCAGGTCTGGCCACAACTTTTGCCAGGCTTTTGGGATGCGCTATCTCTTCCTCAGCGCCGTCTGCGTCGTCGCGACGGAGTCGAACGCGACCTTCGGCGCGCTCGCGGATCGCGTCGAATGGAGCCGCGTGAACAGCATTGCGTCGTACGACTGGCCGGACTCGCGCCTCCGCCACTTCGCGCCGGCGGAAGCGATGGACCTCCTGCGGGGGCGACACGTCCTGGTGCTTGGCAACAGCGTCGCGCGTCATGTGGTCGTCGCCCTTCACATGTTAATTGGGGGCCGAGCGCCTGACGCACACGGCGTCCGAATCGGCGGCCAAGCATTACCGGAGGCCGAGGTCTCGATATGGCCCGGACACGGCGCCGGATCCGCGGAAGTGGCCCCCGAAAAGGTCTACGCGTCCGGAGTGTGCAAGCGCAAACCTGGTGGCTCGCGTATCCGCTCGTTTTGCCCGGCCTGGCTGCTCGGCTGCTCCGGCACCGACTGCTGTGTTGTAAGACGCAAGGCCTCGCGCGAATCGATGTTATTGACCTACGCATTCACGGGGACGCCGGCCGAAATTCAGATCCACCGAGCATTGAAGCGTTGGGCCGGAACTCCGAGCTGCGCCGGCGCCTCGGCGCCGGACTATGCCGTCTTGTTTCTGACCGAGGTGAATCATAAAGCTTTCCAGCGGCTGGCCACGCATTCCGCCGAGCTTCGGACGCGGCACCCGCGCACGACGTTCATTTTGGTGACGCCGCCGCACACGCAGTGCGACGACCGGACCATCCGAAAAAGCGAGAAGCTTTGCAAGCGCGGCGAGAATCGATCCGCGTTAGAGGCGTACGACGCCGCGGCGGTCGAGGCCGCGACGCCGTTCGACGGGGTCGTGGCGTTGCCTATTGGCGAGGCGACGGCGCGCGGCCTTTCCGAGGGCGCTCTGCGGCACGAGGTGACAAATCCATATCACTTCCACGATGCGGGGCGATTATTCGTACTGGAAATGCTACTGAACGCGTTTGCGATCGCGACCTCGCGACGGCCGCCCCACTAATTCCGTAACCTTGTTTCACCCCGCGGCGGCTCCGCGGCTAGGCGGCCTAACTCTAAGCAAAGCAACACCACTGCACGTTACGCTAGTGACGACTCTAGATGCGCACGATCTCGTCGCGCCCATCAAGCACACCGCTTTTCTTGCCGAGCGCGCCGGCGACGGCTGCTCGCGCGACGGCGTCGACGGGCACGGGCGGCACGCCGGGCGGGGGCGGCAGGCCGGGGCCGCCGCCGGAGATGACGCCCGGGCGGATGATCAGCGAACTGCCCCCGCCGTAGTTCCGCTGTACGGCCGCCTCGGCCTGGGCCTTGCCCTTGACGTAGTCAGCGAAGAGTAACTTCCCAGTGCCTTCTGAAATTGCCGAGGCGACGGATATGTATACGAGGCGCCCTACCTTAGCCTTCTTGGCGGCGTCAGCTATCCTTTCATTCACCGCTCCATTCCCGTCCAATTGATTCTTTTGCCCCGGCGCCACGCCGACGCAGGAGATCACCGCGCTCGCGCCCTTGAACACGTTGGAAAGGTCGTCCTTCGAGGCGTCGAGCGAGACGAAATCGACGAACTGCTCGTATTGGACCTTTTGCGCTTGCGCTGCGGCGCTGCGACGGGAAACGGAAACGACCTTGACCTATGTGGAAATAACAGTGAACCTCGCGTCGATGGCGTGGAATCTACGCGCCATCGAGCGGATGCAGTTACGAGGACGACGTCGCGTCGATGGCGTGGGGCGTCCGAAACTTGATTCCACACAGACCTTGACGCCCTGCGTCGCCAAGAGATGCGAGATTTCAGTACCGACGAAGCCGGCGCCTCCGACGACCACGACCTTACCGCCCGCAGCCAGCGCTGGTGGTACGACGGCAGCGGTGCCGACACCAATGCCAAACTGGCGTCGCGTGGGCACCTGCAGCGCTGCCGCGAGGCTTGCTAGGCATGCCGTAAGGGCTGCAGTTTTATACATGATGATGAGCAGGTGTCTCTGCAGCTCGTTGCGGCCCTCGACAGTTCGTGTGAGCGAAGAGCCTGAACAAAGAGCAGTCACAGGACGGTCAACGTGTGGATACGTAGGGTATAGTTGTGCTCTCGTGTTTGTTGTACTGAGAGCAAAATAATCATAGCGTAGACATACTAGGAAGCTCCCTCGACTCCCTAGGGCTGCCCATCGTGCACCAAATGAAGCGTACCCACGCATTACTCTTGCTCTTTCATCGCGCCGCCGCGCAGCAATGCGCAGTCTGCTTTGCTGGCAATGCCGTGGGCCTGATGCAGCCCCAGGTGAGGCGCTTTGCCAAGGAGCGCATGGTCGATGCGCTGGGCTGCGCAGCCGTGGATTCGTTCTTCTACCTTACCCTTGACAACACACAACAACGGGACGATTTGCTGCCGGCGCCGAATGCCTCAATCGAGGCGGTGCACGCCGCGGCGCGCGAGTTTAATCCTGTCAGCGTGACCATGCGCGTACGGGACGACTCTCTCGGAAGTGACGAAGACGACGCCCACGCGCAACTCTCAAAGGCCGCCGCGTGCTACGCGTTGGTCGAGGCCTCAGAATTGGCTGCGAGGAAGCGTTATGATTGGGTCGTCAGGACGCGACCGGACCTGGCGTGGGTCGCGGCCGTTCCGCCCGTCAAATCGCTGTACGAAGATCGAGTCTACGTGTCGCAGCACTCCTGGCCGGTCGGAGACGCGTTCTTTGTCGCACCGGGCAAGCTCGCGCGAGAAGTCTTCCGGGCCGTCGACGCCCTGGGCCAGGACTCGCATTGCGACGCCTCGCAAGTCGAGAAAATCGGGCACCTCGCAGCGGAGAGCGCGCTCCACCGGCACCTCGCCTCGCGGAAAATACCGACGCAGCTCTACGACGGCTTCGCCTTCGTCGCGGCGCGGTGGCGCGAGGGCGGGGACTGTAGGACGCTGGGCCAGGTCCATGCGTCGGCCTGCGTGTTGGCCGCGAACGAGGGCCTCGTGAGCGACGAGTGCCAGGCCGCCGTCACGCGGCCCTACGAAGAAGGGTGTAGAAGGGACTTCCCGCCCCTCGGCGGGGAAGCGTCCTCCGCCGAGGCGCTGGACTTCGACGACGCCGCGTGGCGCGCCGCCGCGGCGCCGAAGTTGGCAAAGGCGCCCTTCGTCGGCCAAAACCGCGTCCTCGTCGTGACGACGGCGGGCCACGACGGGCCCGCGCTGGTCGGGCAGCTCGCCCTCTGCTTCGTGGGGGCCGTCCGCGTCGACAACGTGGCGAAGGCGCTCGGCGCGCTGCTCGGCGACCTCTCCGAGGGGGCGTTGGGCTGGACGAAGGCGCGGAAGGAGCTCCACGACGCGACGCTCGATGGGTTGTGGTCGCACCACCGCGGCACGGTGCGGTGCACGCCGGCGTGCGCCCAGGCCGACGTCTCGCCGGTCATCGAGGGCGTCGGGCACCCGCTGCGGTTCGCGTGTTAGTGTTAACACGCGCACGAGAGCCGCTGCGGTTCGAGGAGCACTACGCGCACGAGAGCCGCCGCGGCGTGCACGACGTCTCGGCGTTGGGTGCTGCCTACGCGGGCAAGATGCGCGCCTACTCGCCCGTTTGCGGGAAGACGTTCTCTGATAAAGTGCTCCTCGTGCACGGCGCCGCGGACCTGACGGCGCCGCTCACGAGCGGCGCCGAGGCCGTCGCGGCGGTCCACGCGGCGGCGCCGGACGTCGCCTTCACGCGCGTCGACGTGGAGGGCGGCCACCTGGACTACGCGATGCGGGCCATGCGCGACGAGACGGCGCCGTTCCTGGACTGGGTCGACGGCCTCGTCGATGGCGTGGCGGGGGAGATGGAGTAACCACTGACTGTTGTTAGTTCTGCGACGCGTCGCTGCCAGGAGTGCCCGCCGTCGGCGGTCCGGGCGCCGAGCGCCGCGGCCGCGTGCGCGGCGCCACGTGGACGGCCGAGAACCGCCTCCGCTTCGCGGCGGAGTCGGAAGGCCGCTATCACAAGCAAAGCGGACGCGAACTTGGCGGCCGAGCTAGCGGCCGGTAAGACACTAGCAATCCCAAAAAAAAATACTCAGCATAGTATTATTGCAATCGTTTTCAGGATGAGGCCGCTTCCCCGCGACCTCACTCAAGTCATCGGATGGTCAGCGAAAGACCTCGTGAAAAAGGAGCGCGGTGGCAAGTGGGTACCCAGATTTGTGTCAGTGATCATGAGGGCGGCCGCGGCGAGGCAATACTGGCAAGTAATTATTATTAGAGACCTAAGACGCCCGCCTGTTCCATAACCTTCCGGATGCCCTCGGCGTGGGCGACGGATTCAGTGACGACTTTGAAGCGCTTGTGACCGTAGTAGCGCTTGACCTCATACGGGTCAATGACGGCGCCGTGAGAAAACCAGCGGCAGTCTAGCGAGGCCGGCCGGAGTACGAGCGCGCAGAACGGAAGTTCCACGGCATTGTACATCGCGGCGACGACCCACAGCCCGCGCAGGTCGTCGAAGAGGTCGTCGGGCAGCTCCACGTCCTCGGCGATGCCGTACTCTCGCCGGAGTACCCGGCACGCAAGCGCGCGGTCGCCCCAGAAGCGTAGATTAATGTGGTCGAGCCACTGCTCCCGCGGGAGCCTCAGCGCTTCCTGCCAGTAGCCGTAAAGACGCTCGTCGGCGTGGGCCATGCCCAACAACTGCGACGTGTTGCACGGCCAGAAGAACTGCCAGTTCCTCGCAAACGTGATGTCGTGGGTGCGCAGGGTATCGACATGGATACGCTCCAACGTCTTGCATACGGGCGCGGCGTCGCGCGTAGCTCTGCAGTACTCGCCGGGCACGTCGTCCCGTCGGCTCCTGGAATCGACGGCCCGGACCAACGCCACGTAGGCGGCATGGAAGACCAGCGGCGGACCCAAAGACGCCGCCCAGTCGTCGTCGCTATCGTCATCTTCATCAGAAGCGGCGCCGCCGCGTCTCCAGCTCGGGAGCTCGCGCAGCGACAGCGGCAGTTCGCCGTCGTCCACGACGCGCCGCAGCAGCGACGCGTCGTCCGCGGCGCGGGCGTCGCGCGACTGGGCCGAGCCCTCGTCCGAGTCGTCGTCCGAGTCGGAGCTGTCCGCGGCGGCGGCGCGTCGCCGCCGCGCGATCCGCAACCACTCGCCGACCCGTTCGCGGCTCACAACCGCCGCGGCCGCGGCGCCGCGCGCGCGCTTCTTCTGCCGCGCGGCCGCCTCGTCGTCGTCGCTCACGTCCGTGCCGTCCGCGGGTTTGACGCGCGCGCGTCGCCGCGGCCGCGCGCCGCGCTCCTCTTCATCGGCGTCGTCGGGCGCGCCGAGCATATCCTCGTCCGACGACTCGTCCGACGACTCGTCCGACGACTCCACTAACCACAACGGCAGCGTGAGGGCCTTGCCCTCCCGCGCGTCAACGGCGGCCTGGCCGATCTTGTGGGGGAGGAGGTGGAGAGGGACGCCCTTGTCGAAGGCCTCGCGGTTCTCCTTGAGCTGCGCGAGCCGCACGGCGTGGCCGCATCTCTCGAGGACGAACTGGGCGGCGGCGATCCGGCCCGCGGTGTCGTACGGGAACTTGGCCTCGGGCTGGAGGACGCCGTCCTTGTACCACGGCACGAGAATGGTCTTCCCGTCGCCCGACAGCTTCATGCCGGGGCCGATGCGCTTCTTCGCGCCGCCCTTGATCGGCGCCACGACGCCCTTGGCCGCGAGGCGCTTGTTAACCTCCTTCATGACGCGCTTCCTCAGTTTTTTGTCCTTGATGAGCGTCTCCTGGCCCTCGTGGTCCGGGTGCATGAGCATGGCGACTAACGTTTCGAAGAGCGCCGCGTCCTTCGCGGCTTTATCTTTCTCTTTGTCCGTCTTGCCCTCCATCGCCGCCGGCGCGAAGCCGATCGGGCCGCGGTCGCGCAACTTGGAGGCGTAACACACGCTTTGCCGCATGCAGCTGTAGTACGCGATCACAATCAACGTGCCGACGAGCAGCACGGGCAGAATCAGATCGTCGAGCGGCGAGGCCGGCGTTTTGTCCTTGTGCCACGATACGGGTTGCGGCGGCGCGATGTCCGCCGCCGTGCAGAAGTTGTCGCGGACGTAGCGGCCCACCTTTTCTTTGTTGGAGCCGTCGGTTCGGAACTTGAAGGTCGAGTGTTTCAGCACATAAGCTTTCAGCGCTGCAGAATCGGTGATGGGCGGCGTCTGCGCCTTCGCGGCTTTTACGCAGCGCTCGACCTCGGCAGTGTGTTCCGTGTTCTTCTTGTTGAAGATAACCCCGTCAACCATCTTGCAACAGCAAGAATGCGGGCCAACGGCTCGGCTCGGCTCGGCGGAGCGGTAGCGCGGAAGCGGTGCCGGACGCAAGGTTGGGTCCGGAAGCGCCTGTTGCAGCAAGGAAACACGCGGCGGTTCAGCGCAGGGCTCTGGAACGCAGCGGCGTGCTCTGCGCGTCGGCAGACAGTTTGCTAGGAGCCGCGTTTTATAAGTTTGCGACGGCGCAGCGGCGTACGCGGCGGCGTCGAGGCCAGTGCGTAGTCACAGCGGTCGCAGCGCTGTGGTGGCGGCGCTGAACGGCTGTCGTGTTCGGTATAGGCCCGCAGCACAGCGTTTTTACAGCCCAAACCGTTGATAACCCTAGCTTTGACATACTAGCGCTGAGAATAGAAGCCGGCTAGGCGCCATCGACGAGCACGGTAAAAACTGTTAACATTATGCACTACTCGTCGCCCCGTAATGGATCAGCGGCGACTTGTCCACGCCTTCAATGGAGTCGCCGAAGAAGAGCGACCCGCCCGCGGTCTCGGGGTCGAAGGCCCGCAGATATAAATAACTTCCAAGAGCCATGTTCGCCGCGAAGGCGAACATGGTCCAGGCCATCGCCGACGCCGGCTGAAATAGTACGTAGATGAACCCGTAGCAGCCGGCCCCGAAGCACGCAATAAAAAACAACCAGTTGCCCAATAACGCGTCCGTGCCTATCCGCGCCTTCAGCCAGGGCCAGTCGCAGCCGCAGCACGTGTCGTACAAGACGGACGAGCCCGCGCCATCATTACTCTGCATGTTCGCCGGCATCGCCGCGTAGGCCCAAACAAAACACGCGGCCTGGCCCGCAAAAGTACTGAGAAGGAAGGTCACGCCCACTAAAGGCTGGCCGTAGATGATCCACACGATCCCTGCCGCGTAGTAAAAGCCACAAGCAAATATAAACATCCAGATGGCTATTAAAAATTTGTTCGCCGTGAAGTACTTTTCTCTCCATGATAATTGGTCCAGATCGACGCCTAAAGAACTCCGCTCGAACTCCTCGAGCTCCGCCGGATAACCTAGTAGTGCGAAGTACACGCCCGCGACGACAAAAACTAAAGAAGCGATCAAGTTGTCCCACGCAAAAAACACCCGCGGGAACGTGTCGCCCCACATCTCCATGAGGAACAGGATCGAATACGCCGTGTAGAAGAACGTCGCTAACAGTAAAAGCCAGCCCGCGGCGAGGACGTCGGTGCCAAAGTGCCGCTTGACGAAGGAGAGCTCCCGGTCGGGCATGGTGATGCTGCGGCTGCTCATCCGTTTCGCTGCGGTTCGGCCTGCTTGTTTTGGGCTGCCTCTGGTTGTGTCTGGCTTTGCCCTCGCCGGGCTGCCGCGCTGACTAGGCTTGCCTCGCGCCGCTGCGAGCGATGCCTCTCGGACCTTGCTGGGCTGCCTTTCGGGCGGCCGCCTCAGCCTGTGTCGCGTCGATTGGCGTCGGCACGCGATGCCCCGGGCATCGAAGCTGCGAAACTAGGCTACGTGAACTCCTAGGCTACATGGGAGTGTCAGCGTCCGTCAGCGGCACGGCAGGAGTAGAGCGACACACCAGACGCCTATCGACGCGCTGGCGGCGTCGGAAGTGGCCTTTCGTGATGTGGTGTCCCGCGGCGGAAGGTGCGGGATCGAAACGTGGATCGACTACTACTTTCTTACCCGCTCCCAATCGCCTTACCGTCGGTCACGGCGTGGATCGCGCGCGCGACCGTCGCGACGTTGCCCGCGTTCAGCCCGGCAATAGAAATGCGGCCGTCCTTCGTGAGGTAGATGGCGTGCTCCGCCGTCAGCTCGTCGCACATGTCCGCCGTCATGCCCGTGAAGGCGAACATGCCGATTTGATCGGTCACGTGCGACCAGTCGTGCTTCGACCCCGCCGCCTCGATCTCCTCCCGGAGTCGCAGACGCATGCCGCCGATGCGCTCGGCCATGGCCGCGCACTCCGCGTAGTACTGCTTCGATAGCGCCGCGTCCGATAGGACTTCCTTGACGATGAGCGCGCCGTGGATCGGCGGCGACGAGTACATGGGCCGGATGATGAGCTTGAGCTGCGACAGGACTCTGGCAGCTTCGTCCTTGTCCTTGCATAATACGGATAAAGTGCCGACGCGCTCGCCATATAACCCAAAGTTCTTCGCGAAGGACTGCGCCAGCAGTAAGGAATGGCCCTCTTCCACGAACAACCGAATCGCGAAGGCGTCCTTCTCCGCGTCGCCGCTCGCGAAGCCCTGGTAGGCGCAGTCCATGAGCACGTGGTGGCCCTTCTCCAAAATCTTCTGCGAGATCGCGCGCCTGCGTGGAAATCGACCAGTGAATTAGGTCCCCACTTGAGTTCCACGCGGCAACGCGCCACTGCTCCGGCGTCGGGTCGACGCCCGTCGGGTTGTGCGCGCACGCGTGGAGCAGGAAGATCGAGCCCGATGGTGCCGCTTCCAAATCACTCATGAACCCGTCAAAATCCAGCGTATTCGTCGCCCGGTCCAGGTACTTGTACCTTTTGACCTCCAAGCCGGCTAATTTCATAATCGGGATGTGGTTGCCCCAGGTAGGATCAGAAGCGTAGATCGCCGTGCCCTCCGGCAGGAAGCGCGCGTAGAACTCGCCCGCGATGCGGCACGCGCCCGTCCCGGACAGCGTCTGCACGCCCGCGATGCGGCCCTCCTTGAGAGGCGCGCAGTCGCCGTAGGCGAACTGCAAGGCCAGCTTCGTGTAGTCCGCCAGGCCGTCGATGGGAGCATACTCCTTTTTTTCTCCTCGCTCCAGAATGCGGCGCTCGGCCTCGCTTACGGACGGCAGCACGAAGGGCACGCCGCCGTCATCCCTATAAGCGCCGACGGCCAGATTCACCTTGTTCTCTGCATTGCTTTCGCGGAAGGCCTGCGCTATTCCTAAAATGGCGTCCGGCGCGCCTTGCGGGATGTCCGCGATGTAGCCTGATGAAGCTGCGTGCGGCGTCAGTGGCTGGCGCGCGCGGCCCGGCGGCGTGTAGCCCAACGCGACGACTGCTAATGTTGAGAGCTTGAGCATCTTCTCTTCTCGCGGCACGACGGTCGGGAGTTGTAGCAGTTTTGCACTGCTGTGCAAGGACGACTTTTTGCAAGCGGACAGGCGCTGCCGGACGGAGCACGATTACTCCTGGACTGGATTTCGCACAAGTGCGACTGTTCGTGAAGTTTGTAGGTGCAGGCGTCGGCTAGGCGCGTCGCACTCCACTGGCACGCGAGCCTTGGCGGCGAGTGCAGCTCGAGGTCAAGCAGCTAGTCCACGCCGTAAAGCACACCAAATTAGCGCACGGCTCGCGTCCAGCGCTGAACGGTCGTCAGTGCTCACCTCACCAACCAGTTGTGCACATTATAGCCGCCGCGGCGCGTGCAGCACACTTCTACAATGGCACCCAAGCTGCTCCTCGTCGCGGCGCTCGCGAACGCCTGGCAATTCAACAATGTAAAAAGGCCCCAGAAATTGCGCGCGACAACCCTGCAAGAACCGGAGCTCTCGCCCCTCGTCACGTCCCTCAAGCCGAGCGCGACGATCGAGGTCCACGCGTTAACTTTACAGATGAAGGCCGCGGGCGAGACCGTCGTGTCCTTGTGCGTCGGCGAGCCGGACTTCGCGCCGCAGCGGGAGATTTTGGAGGCGATTGGGGAGGCGGCCATGAAAGGTCTGACGAGGTACACGGAGGTTACCGGTACCGGCGAATTGCGGAGCGCCATCGCCCGGGATTTGAAAGAGAGAAAGCATGTTGAATACGACCCCGGGGAGATCGTCGTGGCGAACGGCGCGAAGCAGGCCGTCTACGAGGCGCTCATGGCGCTCTGCGGCCCCGGCGACGACGTCATCCTCCCGGCGCCCTACTGGGTCTCCTACCCGTCCATGGTCGACATGTGCGGGGCTTCTTACACCACCGTATCGACGTCCATCGACGACGGCTTCGCGCTGACCCCTGCGCAATTACAAAATGCTCTGAAGCCGAATACGAAAGCATTGATACTGTGCAACCCGTCGAACCCCACGGGCTGTCTCGTGAGCGAGGCGCAGCAAAGAGCTCTCCTGAAAGTCCTCGACGACCACGAGGCCAAGACCGGCAAAAAGGTCTGGGTCGTCGCCGACGAGATCTACGAGCAGCTAAATTACGGCACGCCCCACGTGGCCTTCGCGGCACTCGGTCCGAGCGCCTGGTCGCGCACCGTGACGATCAACGGCTTCAGCAAGGCCTACGCCATGACCGGTTTTAGGTTGGGGTATCTCGCGGCGCCGCAACCGGTAGCCAAGGCCTGCGCGAAGATCCAGGGCCAGATCACGTCCTGCGCGTCGTCCCTGGCGCAGGCCGCGGGCGTCGCGGCGCTGAACTTGCCGAGCAACGCGCTCGACGATGATATTGCTGAATTTAAAAGAAGGCGGGATCTGGTGCTCGAATTACTGGAAAAAGCGGCCCGGAACGGCCGCGTCGCCGCGCCGCCGCCGCCGGAGGGCGCCTTCTACGTTTTTTGTGATGTCGCGCCCTGCCTCGACCTGACCGTCGACGGCGAGCGCGTCGGCACGTCGACGAACTTCTGCAAGCTCCTCCTGAAGAAGCGGAAGCTGGCATTGGTGCCCGGCGACGCGTTCGGCGCGCCGACGGGCATCCGGCTGTCGTACGCGGCGTCGGAGGAGGACCTGCGGACGGCGCTCGCGGCGCTCGACGCGTTTGCGAACGAGGATTGTAGGTAGCTTTGTCGTTTTTTTTCCTTCTCTGTTGCGGTGCTAGGACTAGTGGGCGGAGGTTCCCGCATGCGACCTTTCTTCTCCTCAGCACCGCCGGTGCGTCGCGCGGTCAGGTCTAGGTCGCAAGAGGGGCCGGCAGGCTCGCCCAGCCGACGAATCCGGACCCAAACAACGGATTTCGGACCAGTTCGCCGCATGGCTTTTTTCCCCCGCACGCTCACACAGCTCAGCCTCAGCCTCAAAAGAGGTTGCAAATACGCCGCGCGCGCATTCCCAAGGTGCATCGCTGACAGCTTTGCTGCAACTCCTCGTTGCCAGTCGTCCACTACAAGCGCTGCCTCCACCGAAACGCATTGCTGAGACCTGAACTAGCCTCAGTGCATCAGAGAGCAATCGTGCAAAAAGACCGGCAAGTGCAAAGACAATGCGCCTCTTGACCTTCATAGCGCTCGCCCCGGCAGCGAATGCCTTGCTGAAACCCACTCGCCGCGCGCCCGTCCCCAAACTAAGGGTACCAGCCGAAGCCGGCGGCGCGGCCGTCGCGTCCAAGTCGTCCGTGACGTCGTCGACGCTCAACCTCGCGAAGAACATTGTAGGAGCGGGCGTCTTGTCCCTCCCGGCGGGCATCGCCGCCTGCAGCGCGTCGAAGAAGGCCGCGGTGCCGGCGTGCGGCCTCATCGCCGGCCTCGGCCTCGTCTCCGCGTACTGCTTCGCGCTCGTGGGCCGCGCCTGCGCCGCGACGGGCACGACGACGTACCGCGGCGCCTGGGAGTCGGCCGTCGACAAGGACAGCGGCGCGCTCATCACGGGCATCACGACCTTCAAGACTCTTGTGGGCTGCATCGCCTACTGCATCATCATCGGGGACACGGCGGGGTCGCTCCTGTCGGGCGCGGCCGTGCCCGAGCTCCTCAAGCGTCGGGATGTGTTCTTGTCGCTCTTTGGAGCCGCCGTGCTCTTCCCGCTCTCGATGCTCCGGGACCTGAAGTCGTTGGCGCCGGCGTCGATCATTGGCCTGGGCGGTATGTTGTACACGGCGGGCGTGACCGTGTTAAGAGCGTTAGATGGCACGTACCAGAAGGGCGGGCGCCTCGCCGCGGCGCTTGTCAAGGAGGGCAAGGCTTTACCGAAGTTCGGCGGCGCCTTCTCGCCGGGCGGCTCGCTCCTCTTTATCTCCATGCTCGCCACGTCGTACCTCGCGCACTACAACGCCGCGGCCTACTATGACGAGCTCGAGAACCCGACGCTGCCGCGCTACAACCGCGTCGTCTACGGCGGCTTCGCCATGGCCGTGGGCTTCTTCGTCGCCATCGCGGCGGCGGGCCACCGCACCTTCGGCGCCGCGAGCCAAGGCCTCATCCTCAACTCCTTCGCCGGCGCCGACAAGCTCGCGAACGCCGCGCGCGCGCTGGTGGGCGTCGCCGTCGCGTGCACGTACCCGTTGCTCTTCAAGGGCGTGCGCGACGGCTATTTTGATATTGCCAAGGTCAGCCCGGCGAACCAGGAGAAGCAGCGCACGCCGGCGACGATCGCCATGGTGGCCCTCACGGTGCTGGCCGGCATCAAGATCACGGACCTCGGCTTCGTCGTCGCCTTCGGCGGCGCCATCCTCGGATCGGCCATCATCTACGTGATCCCGTCGCAGATCGCGCTCTCGGCCTGCAAGAAGGGCAAGCTCGCGCTGGGCGGCGCCGAGAAGCTCGCGTGCCGCTCGATCAACGTCATGGGCTACGTCCTCGCCGTGCTCGGCGGGACGGCGTCGGTGCTCTCGCGCATGGGCAAGATCTAGACCGGGCGCCTGCCCCCCTCTCCCCCTAGTACATATCTAAAAGTCAGTATCCCCTCGCACCGTGGAACAAGAGCCGGCCGCGTAGGCCTCGCTGAAGTTGAGGCGGGCATGAATCGCGTCCATCCAGGCGAGCGTCGCGTTGCCGAGGCGTGGGTCGTCGCGGTAGGTGCCAACGTGGTGCCTGTGGCGCGTCCGTGCGCCGGCCGCCGCATCCAGGGCGCGCGCCAGCGCCGCGTCAGCTACGGCCGGAAACCCGAGCGCCGCGGCCATGCGGCGGAGGGACTCGTGGGGACACCGCACGAGATCCTCGTAGGCGACGTCTAGCAGCGCGCGGTCAGAGAACCAGGCCTGACGAAAGCGCATCCAGAGGGCCGTCGTCACGTAGCGCTCGCGCACGCAGCCGTCTAGATCCGCCTCCTGGTGGAGGTGGTAGCAGGCGCTCACGGCGACGGCGCGCGGGTCGCGGTGGATGTGGGCGGCGGCGTCCGTTTCATGCACGGGTTGATTTGCACACGGCCTCCGACGAGTCGTACCGCAATATTTTACTTTCGAAGATGCGCCCCGACAGCGCGCCGCGCAGGTCTCAACATCGCGCTCGTCGCTCGCCTCCGTGAGCGCGCACGGCGCGCGAACGTGGACTAGGGTGTTCGGGTGCGCCACGCAGCCCCCGACCATGTCCGGGATCGTGTGTTTCTTCACCGTTGTGACCTCCACCGTCGTGCGATTGCCTTGTCGTATGTGCATGTGGAGGGCGCGGTCGCGTGTAGTGCCTCGCGTCGTCCACATTTGACAATCTTTGACGCAGAGCATCCCTAGCTGTACGAAGAGCGCCTCGAACCACGTCGTCCCGGATTTAGGCTCGCCCTTCAGGTGGATACGCTGCGCCGTCGCCAGCCGCACGCGGAGCAAGAGCCCGGCTGCTGCCCAAAGAGCTGCCCCAAGGCTCTTCCGGTGCCGCATCGCTGCCCCTAGCTTGTGGCATTCATGCAAGCCCTAGCCTGCATCCATTCTGGACAATGGTACGACGACGACGATGCATGCACCGGCAAGATTTAGGCTCTTGCAGGCTCTTGCAATGATCGACGTGATCTCGATCGTGCGGGTAAAAAAAAGCGCAGGACAGCAAACCACATGCCTCCGACGCCTCAACACAGCTCAGACAGGACCGCCGACTCCTTGTAGACGTGCGCTGAGATCACCGGCATCTCTCACGAAGCGACGAAGTCTCGAGCCGAGGCCGCGGCGCAGCCAAGCAAAAGGGCTGCCTGAATTGAACGGTCCGCGCGCAAAAGCGCTGCAACGCGATCACTCATGCGCGACACAATGCGACCGCTATGGGCGGCAGCACTGTGGTGCCTGTGGGCAGCAGCCCAGGATGTCACGCCGCCGCCCGGCGCCGTACTACTGGACCTCGAATTGACGGTGGACAACACGCCCACGAGGTTAAGGCTGCACCAGGACCAGAGCTTTCTGGATGCGGCGCGGCAGGCCTGCACGCCGACGGAGACGCCCGAGGCCAAGGACAACTGCGTCGGCGGCGCGATGTCGATCATTGTGAACCAACATTTGCGGGCAAGTACAGTGCACAAGTCAAAGTTTGCGGCGCTTTCGATGCGACCCCGGTTCTCACCGCGCGACCTGGCCGTGCTGAAGCACCCGTCTCACTGGTTGATTTGCACACAGGCGGCGAAGGACGGCCAGGCCGCCGACGCGACGGCTTTGGCTTCGCCCGGCGTGTCGCTCGTGAGGGACGACCTTGAGAAATACGATCCCGTGAGCTGGGTGGGGCAGTCGCCGCTGCACGTGGACATCGAATTACCAATTCAAGTAAAGCGGACGGTCTGCGACGCGGAAAGGTGCTTCGAGCTCGGTGACGACGACGGCGTACCGCCGGAGAACCACACGCTGCAGGTGCCCGCGTGGTCGTCGAACCTGACTGAGACCGCGCGAGAGGTCGCTGCCGCTCTGGATCTGTGGCGCGAGATGGACCTGACCTTAGTCGAGCATCGGGTAGCCTTGGAGCGTACAAGAAAGGCCACGCCGTTGGATCAGCGATTACACAGAGCTCACGATTCCTCCCCAGTCGTGTCCTTCGACGGTTTCTACCCGGTGTACTTCGTATTACATAATGGGGCACTCTTCTTCGACGCCCAACGAGTCAAGGTCTCGGGCGCATTCAGGCCTCCGATAGACGGTGAGGTTTGCATCGCGGTGACGTCCCTGGGCGAGGGTAATGCGGACGTGAATCCGCCTGCCGAGGCGGCCGGCGAGGCGTGCTTCGCCGATACGTACAACGCTGTTTTAACGGGCTTCGAGCAGGCCAAGGGGTCCCACCGGCTGACGGCGCGGTTGCGGCGGAAGGACACGGACGCGACGGTCGGGGAGGGCGACTTCTCGACGTTCGTCGCGGCGCCTCCATTACGACCGACTACTCCCTGGGACTCGCCCCAGGGCCGCTTCATAAAATTGCTGCGCGACGCTGTGGTGGGTTGGTTGTACCTCGACAACGTGAACCCCGATGACCCCGGGCTTGCTGGCCCGTGTACCACTGGCTGGAACGGCCACACCATGGTGGGTGTCCACAAGCTGGACTGGTTGCAGGCAATGATCGAGGGTTTGGTTAACGACCAGGTACCCGGCGACATTGTGGAATGTGGGGCCTGGCGCGGTGGCGCGTCGATTTTTAGCAAGGGCGTCGTGGATGTCTTGGATCCGACGGGCGGCCGCAAGATTTTGGTGGCCGACACGTTCGTGGGCTTCCCGGCGGCCGACAAAAACGATGGCGTAGATACTGACGGGTGGGCCTACCAGAATTTTCATGTCGGCGGGTCCGACGCCGTCGTGGCGACGTTTAAGAGATACGGCGTCTTCGATGACAAGGTCGTGATCGCGGCGGGGCTCTTCAACGAGACGCTGCCCATCCTGCCGACGGAGCAGATCGCGTTGCTGCGAATGGACTGTGACATGTACCGGTCGACGATCGACGCGCTGTCAAACCTCTACGACAAAGTCGCGGTTTGTGGCAGTGCATAAAATCAAATTGTCGCGGCGCGTCCACGCCATCGACGCGACGCCAGCTCGATGGCGTCGCGGTGCGGTCTCTCTCCGCTCGATTCAGGGGGCCCGACTCACTGGTTGATTTGTGCACAGGTCGGCGGCATCGTCGTTCACAACAACTGGCAGTACACGTCCGCGCGCGCCGCAGTGGTAGACTTCCGTCGCGACCGCGGCATCGAGCACCTACCGCTCCACCTCGTCGACGGCAACGCGATGGCTTGGATTAAGGAGGCATAGTCTATTCCTGTTTCCCCCGGGTGGTGTCGCCGCGAATCTGGCTCAAAAACCTCCTCGCATACGCACGCAACGCTAGCGGTACGTAAGACACTAGAATCAAGCAACGAGGCTGCCCGCGTCGTGGGCGGCGCTCTCCTGTCCTCGGCCCTGTCTGACCTGATCAGACTGTCTGCTCGGACAACCATGCGTCTCCCAATCTTGGTACTGCTGCTGCGAAGTGCCCAGCCCCAGTTCCACGCGCAAACCAGCATCTTCGTCGACGACCGGGAAGTATTGATCACGGCCAACCTCCTTCACGAAGACCCGCTGAACGTGGGAAAACAAGCCTGCGACGAGCTCCACATCGGGGAGCCGCAGGGCGAGCTGCGGGACGGGCGGCCGCGGTGCGCGACGCTCATCGCCGATGAATTGGCGGAGTCCATCTTCTGCAACGTCAGCGCGCGCGGCGCGTTGGAAGAGGCGATGCGCGAGAAGGGACTGGAGGGGCCGCGCGGCGCCTTCCGGTTCTACCACGGGACGAATTATTTTGATAGTGAGGAGTACGAGTTGTTGAGACAGCTCTTCCTGCGGCTGGGCTACGTCGAGTGCCTTTCAGGAGAAAGGATGGGCGGCGCCGAGGACGCGATCTGGTTGCTGGGCCACTTCGACGAGCATGCCCTATTCTACGCCAACTTGGCCAAGCACACGGTGGCGAACGCGCTGCCGAACCCGCAGCTCCTGGGCACCAAGGACAATTTGTACCGGCTCCTCGATCGGTTGAGGGACGCCGTCGGCGACCGAGCTACCAAGTTCCTACCCAGAACGTGGCTGCCCGACGACATCGCGCGGGAGCGAGCACTATCCAAAAGCGACCGGCTCGGCGGTTTGTGGTTGAGGAAGGACCCGGGCCAGGAGCTCGGGGCCGGCATCAAGCTCATCACGCGCTGGTCGGAGCTCGAGGGCTGCGCGAACTGCATCCTGCAGCGGTACGTGGACCGGCCCTTTCTGTTAAATGACGCGGCGGCGGGCGTCGTCGACGCCAAGTTTTCGTTTGGCGTGTATATTTCCGTATCATCATTAGCTCCACTCGAGGTCTGGATCCACCGTGAGATGCTCGTGCTCCTCGCGACGTACCCCTACTCGGGCTACGGGGATTCCGAGACGGACCACGGGGAAGACGGCGACCTCTTGGCGCATCTGACGAACGGGCTCGTGAATCAGAGATTAGCGGGCGATGCCTTCGACGCGGCCGAGCGCGTCTGGACCACGGATAGGCTGTTGAAACATTTCGAGCAGGCCGGCGTGGCCTGGAGCGACGTCGAAGATCAAATCCGCGAGGCGGCGACGATGGTCTTCCTGGCCTCGCGGGAGCCGCTGTTAGAGTCGCGGTCGAAGGCCCGGACGGAGGGGCACCTGTTCTGCCACTGGCGCTTAGATTTCTTATTAGATGCGGACGCGCGGGCCTGGCTGCTGGAGGTGGAGATCGTGCCATCGACGGGCACGATCGGAGGTGTGGATGAAGTGATCAAGACCTCGGTACTCCGAGACGTGCTCGCCCTGAACGGCGTGGGCGGCCCGCCCTCGCAGCTCGAGGCCGAGTACCCCTGGTTGAATGGGGAGACGTGGACCGATCTCGCGAGTCCGGCGGAGCCGCCGAACACGCTCACGCCGACGCCGGACGCGCCGCTCGCATTGTTCGGCGACGACGCCGAGAGGATGGCCGCGCAGGAGGCCTGGAACTTGCTAGAAGAGCGGGGCGACGCGCTGCGCTTCGACGCGCCGTCGATGGAAACCATTGGCAGGTACGAGGCGCGGAGCCGGCGCCGCGGCGGCTACCGGCCCCTGATCCCCGTGCCGCGCGGCGTCGAGGGCTTCGACGGGAAGATGCGGGCGCCCGCGCCCCGCGACGACGACCTGGCCGAGCTGTTCCTGGCCAGGGGCGCAATCGCTGCTGACTTTGCGCTCGACCGCTGGGTGAGCGGTACAAGACTATCATCGGCGAAGGACGCCGAACCGTTCGTGTCGTACGAAACGCTGGACGCCGCCGCGACGGCGTGCCGGGCCTGCGACCGCACCTTCTGCGCGACGGTCGCGGCGCGGCACCCGGACGTCGGCGTCGACGGCGCCTGCCGCGCGGCCACGGCGTCCTGCGCCCACGCGCCCGGCGGGCTGGTGGATGGTGTTCCGGTGGATGCGTGTGACTTCCACCTCAACGACACGTCGTTGGCGCGCATAGCCCTCGGCGCGCGGGCGCCGGTCGCGTCGCAAGTGTCAAAAGCACTCGAGACCTGGTGCGACCGGACGCTGCGGCGCGCGCCCTACGACGCGGACAGCGCTTCGGTCCAGGTCCGACGCTTGTGCCGCGGCACGTCGCGGCCCAGAGCTTCCATCGCGGAAGCGAAAGACATCGGCGAGGCCCTGCTCTCGAAGAAGCCGGCCGTCTTGAGGAATGTTGTAAAGCCGTTTGCGGAGGACCTGTCGCGGGGCCCCGACGACGACGCGACCAGGGTCGTGGCGATGGCCTACGACCGCGCCCGGAACGCGGCCCAGCAGATCTACTCCGCGCCCATGACGTATGGCGACTTCTTGGCTTGGTCCGCGAAGCCGGAGCTGCTCGACGAGGCGACGCTGCCCTACGGGAACACGACCGCGCTGTACCTGTTGGTGACGGACCGGCACCGGTTCCAGCCCGAGGCGAGCGGCACGCTCGCGGACCCGAACGGGGCGGCGATGCGCGACGGGCCCCTGCCGCGGCTGTTGGAGGAGGCGGACCGGGCCTCGCGCGCCGTGCTCGAGGGCGCGCTTGGTGAGAGCGGCTTCGACCTCGCGTGGACGTCGCTGCGACTGGGCTCGGCCTACGCGTATCCCACGCACGTCGACTGCTACGAGAACGTGATCTTCCAGCTGCGCGGGCGCAAGAACGTGACGGTGTATCCTCCGGCGACTGTCTGGGATTTGCAGCCGGATATTAACCACAAGCACTGGCCGACGGGGTCGCCGCAGGAGATGGCGCGCGCTGCCCGCGACGCGGCCACCGTCGAACTGCAGCCGGGCGACGCCCTGTACGTGCCGCTCATGTGGCCCCACTCCGTCCAGAGCGTCGACGCGTCGGTGACGTCGAACAAGTACCTCTACCTCGCGGAGGGCTGGCGCGGATACATCGACCGGGCGAAGACGGCGCCGTGGGTGGTGTACGAGATGGAGCGGGGGGGGCTTTGCTAACTTGTCTAGTTGTGAGAGAGTAGTTTTGAGACTAGCCAATTTTGCTGCGTGAGGCTAGGGCGCTGTGACTCGGGTCAGATTTTTTTTTTAAGCGACTCCCGTGCCGACCGCCGCAAGTGCCGGTGCCTGAACTTGCATAGGGGCTTATTGTGGCCACATACGCCGCGCCCTTTCGAGCTATCGAATTATTTGACCGCCAAATCCATGGCCACTCTCAAGTGGGTCCTGGCGCTTGCTCTGTGCCACTCCGCCGCGGCGGGGCCGACCACGACCCTCGCGAACTGCCAATCCGCGTGTAATTTGGGCGAAATGCTCTGCCTGAACAAGAATGCTTCGGCGACGTTGTGCTCGGCCATACAAGGCGCGTGCATGGCGGGGTGTTACGCGAGTCACGTGGACTGTGGATGCGAAGATGCCTCGGTCACGCACTGCGCCAAGGAGTTTGCCTTGAGGCATCTCTCCGCCGAGGTCCTCGTGGGGATGTGCGCGAGTCTGTCCGCGCTAGTCGTGGTCGTCCTGGGGAAACGCTGCCGGCGCATGGAGTGGCCGCGGATCCAGTTACCGACGGCGGGACGCGCGAACCGAGACGATCTGCTCCTCGACCTCGAGTCGCCGTTACTCCTGGGTGAAGACTACGCGCCGGCGCCGCCGGCGAGCCCGCCCGCGCTTCTCCTCCCGGAGACGCGCGACCGGGCTTCGTCTATCTAGGGTGGGTTCGGGTTACACAATAATAACTTAAGTCTCCTCCTCAGCCGGCGCCACCTTAGCAGGTGTCCTCGCGCGCTCGGCGCGCTTCTTCTCGATAGCCATCTGGTTCGCCTCGAAGGCCGTCGTCCGCTGGTTGAGCACCTTCTTGAGTTGTTCGTTGCGGATGAGTTTTTGGCCGTCTTTGTTCGCGGGCACGGCGTCGAGCGCCTTTTTCGGATCCGCGGGCGCGGGGGCGTCGTCTTCGATGTAATGGTCTTCGGCCTCCCTCTTCTTTGCCTCGGCGGCGTAGGGGCCCTCGCGCTTGCCCGGAAAGCTCGGTCCCGCCCATGGGCCGACGACAACGGCTTGGATATCGGCCTTGCCGGTGACGTGCAGCATGTTCGCATTCCCATCCTCGGGCTCCCAGCACGAGGCGGACCAGCACACGAACTCGCCGGGCGCGGGGCGTTCGTACCAGGTCGGGCCGTCCTCGCCGGGCTCCGTCGCCGTCTCCCGCATCTTCGACGTCAGGACCTTCTCGCCGATTATCTTCCCGGTGTAGTGGTCGATGCTTGCTTTCGCGGCGAGCTTCAGCTTTTGTTTCGCCGCTTTTGACTTTTTGGGAGGGAGCACGGCCACGACCGAACAGGTCTCGACGCACCTTTGTACTAGGTCAGTCTTGACGCCCGGAGGCGGATCGCTGGCGTGCAGGACACGCGTGTACGCGTCGCCGTAGCCTAACAGGGTCATGGTCCGCCGCTCGCCCAGGATCTCCTGGCGCACCTCGCTTCGAGCGATAACGACGCGCGGCCAGTTGTCGTCGATCTCCGCCTCGGCCACGGCGTCCTTCCACCGCTCGTAGTACGCGCCTTCCACGATCTGAACCCTCACGACGCGCAGCAGCACGTTCTCGTAGCGCGTCCAGGCGTTGCGCTTCGCGTGCGCCCGCTGGTGGTATTCATCTACTAAATCGTAGCCGACGTGCGTGCTGACGCTGTTCGCGTACGGCGAGCCGAACGTCGGCACCTCGACGAGGCCGGCCTTGCGGTCCTCGGGCTTTTTGGGGGGGCAGCAGGGCCAGTAGAATTTCGAAAAGTCGACGAGGGGGCCCCGCCGCTTCCGGTGCTTCTTCTCCTTGCCACTGGGAAGCATGAGCGCCGCGACCTTGGCCGGGCCGCCCTTGCGCACGAAGAGGAAGGCGCCCGCGGCGACGAGGCAGAGCCCGACGACCGCCGCGCCGAGGACGATCAATGTCATGAGCGAGAGGCCCAGGAGCACGGCGTCGCTCTTCTTCTTTTTGGGTGGCGTCGCGACCGAGGGCGCCGCCGTCGTGACGACCAGCGTGACCGTCGCGTCGGCGAGGCGGTCGAGCGTCGCCGCTTCGTCGACGCCGACCGTCTGGAACGCGATGGCCGCGGACGCGCCCGCGGCGGCCGCTTCCGCGATCAGCGTGTCCAGGAACTCGCCGCTCGACACGGCGGCGGAGAGCGAGGTCGTGATGTCACTCAGGATAGCAACGCCGCCGTCCGTCACGGCCGCCGCGTCCTGCCTCACGATAATCGTGTAGGAGACCGCGACGCTCGCCTGGAGCCGCCGTCGCCGCGCCGCCGCGGCGACGATGTCCGTGACCTCGGCGCCGGCGAGCGACTCCGGCAAATGCGCGAGGATCGACTGCGCGAAGGCTTCCTGCTGGTTCGGGTCGGAGTTGAAGTCGGCCGCGTCGATGCCCGTGAGCACGACCGCGGCCGAGACCTCGACGACGGCCTGCGCGCCCGTCGGCGCCGCCGTCGGCTGTGGCACGCCGGGCGGCACGCTGGGCCGGGGCGTCGGCGCCGCCGAGGGCTCGGGCGCTTTTCGGTAGATGCACTTGCCGTCCATGTCCGTGACGTTCGTGGAGCGCGCCTTGACGGCCGCGCTCCGGTAGAAGGCCCGGCTCGCGAGGTACTCGGCCCAGGCGAAGCCGTCCAGCAGTGCGTCGTCGCCGTGCGTCCACTTCGTACCCGCGGGGTTGACCGCGGGCAGCGCGCCGTAGAGCAGCCCGTCGCCGCGGTACGCGAAGCCGCCGACGCCCCGCGTGAACCCAAAGTCCATGACGCAGCGGCAGCCGCTCGGTGCGGGCGTCGGGACGGGCGTCGGGGCCGGCGTGGGCGCCGGCGACGGTCGGGGCGAGGGCGCCGGCGTCGGTCCGGGCGTTTCGGCGTAGCGGGACGGTGAAGATGTAGGCAGGGTCGAGGGCAGCGACGTCGGGAGCGACGTGGGTAGTGAGGTAGGTACGGCCGTTGGCACGGCGACGGGCACCATCGAAGGCGGCGACGTGCCCGTTGGTGGGGACGTCGGCACGCCCGTCGGCGGGACGCTCGGCGCGGGCGACGGCAGCGCCGTCGGGACGGCCGTGGGCACGGGCGTGGGGCAGGGCGTCTGCACGAAGCGGCAGCAGGCGTCGACGCCGCTCGCCGGGTCGACGCCGCCCTCCCAGGGCCCGTCCAATCTGTGGCTTGCGCCGTCCGCGCTGGTGACGGCCTCGGGGCCCTCTTTTCCCGACCCCGTGACGGCTGTCACGGCGCCAGTCGTCGTCGGGTCGCCCTCGAGCCAGACGTGCGCGGGGCACCGCGCCGTCGGCGCCGGCGACGGTGCTGATGTCGGCGGCTGCGTCGGCCGCGACGTCGGCGCGGCCGTCGGCACGCCCGTCGGGCGCGCCGAGGGGATTGTTGTTGGTCGCGAGGAGGGCAGCGCGGACGGCGCGGCCGATGCCGACGGTGTAGGAGTAGGTTCCGTCGTGGGCACGGCGGTCGGCGCGCGCGACGGCGCCGGCGTCGGCAGGGCGCTGAACGCGGAACTCGGCTGGCTCGTCGGCGTCGACGTCGGCGGCACGGTCGGCACGCGCGTCGGTTGGCTCGACGGCGGGGCCGTCGGCGTTGATGATGGCGGCGACGTGGGGACGCCGCTCGGGTCGCCCGTGGGCACGGCCGACGGGTAGGGCGTCAGCGAGGGCCGCGGCGTCGGCACGGGCGTCGTCGGCGCCGGCGTCGACGGCCGCGGCGTCGGCGCGACGGTCGGGACGACGCGGGCCGTCGGCGCGAGGGTTGTCGCGTACTCCGCGAGGACGTACGTGCAGTTGCAGGCGTCGGTAATGCTGGCGAGGCAGTCGCCGGTGGTCGGCGCGACCGTCGGTAATAGACTCGGCAGCAGGGTCGGCGCCGGGCTCGGGACCGTGCTCGGGAGCGACGTGGGCACTTGCGTCGTCGGCGCGGGCGACGGTAGCGACGTGGGCGCGGCCGTGGGGTAGCGCGTCGTCGTCGGCGAACGGCTCGGCTGGGCCGAGGGCACGGCGGTGGGTGTGAACGTCACGGACGGCGCCGGGCTCGTCGGTATCGCGGACGGGTCCGACGTCGGCGTCGAGGAAGGCGGCGTCGTCGGCGTCGGCGAGGGAGGCGTCGTGGGGACGGCCGTCGGTTCGGACGTCGGCAGCACGCTCGGCCGCGGCGACGGCGGCGTCGTGGGCACTGCTGTCGGTTGAGATGTTGGTGGTGGCGACGGCGCCGAACTAGGTGGTCGAGTCGGGAACGCGGTCGGCGCGGACGTCGGCGTCGGTGTTGGCAGGGCCGACGGGATTGATGAAGGCGGCCGCGAGACCGCGGCGGACGGGAGGACCGTCGGCAGCGAGGTTGGCAGCGACGTCGGCGCCGAAGAGGGCAACGAACTCGGGAGGCGGCTCGGCGCGGCCGTCGTCGGGGGGCGGCTCCCGCCCCAGGTCGGCGCCCGCGACGGTTTGGCCGTCGGCGGCGGGATGATGGACGGCGGCGCCGACGGCGCGGGCGTCGGGGGCAGGGTCGGCGGCGACGTCGGCGCCGACGACGGGACCGTCGTCGGGAACTCCGAGGGGAACGGCGTCGGCGGGTTCGACGGGATCTCGGACGGCGGCGACGTGGGTATGGATGTGGGAGCTGCCGTAGGGTCCGACACCGGGACGCTCGACGGCGGCCGCGTCGGATGCCCGGAGGGTTTTGATGTTGGGACGCCCGAGGGTGAGGCAGTGGGCACGCTCGACGGGTTGCTGCTCACGGACGGCAGCGCGGACGGCAGCGCCGTCGGTACCGCACTGGGCACGGTCGTCGGTAGGCCGGTGGGATTGTGCGTGCAGTCGTTGTACTCGTAAACAAAACAGCAATCCTCGCCCGCGAGCAGCCCTCCTCCTAGACCAAGTGCGTCGCCCGTGTACACTTCATCCATCCCGTAGTTGGCGCAGGAGCCGGGGTCGTGGTCGAACTTGCTGCGATCGTAGTCGTCCGGCGGCGCCGCGAAGGGCGCCGGCGTCCGGTAGGTCGGGACGGCCGACGGTGAGCGTGTTGGTGGCAGCGTTTCGTAGGTCGGCGCGGCCGACGGTGCCTGGGCCGCCGCCGCGACCGCGAGGAGCAGCAGCCTCATGCTGGCCTTGTCTGTGCTATGGGGCTGCCATAGGCTATTGAAACGTTAAGGTGCTATTCGTTATTCGTCGAACCCATTTCCGGGCTGCCGGCGCTTGGCTACCCATCGTGCCCGTCTTGGGCAGGCTCGCGCGAGGCGCTGATCTAACCGCATCGGCAATGGCAGCCCGGGTTTTTGGTGGCTCAGTGTTGCGTGCGAGGTCTCTCCGTTGCCTTGAGCTTTGGGAGTGGTATTTTGTATGCTTCTGCTTGCTTGCTAGTGTCTTACAGTCCGCTAGCTGCCGCCGCGGCTGGTCTGCGAGAAAGGTCTTAGCGACCTAAAGCGCTCGCTTGAGGCTCGGCGCTGCTCGATTTCAAATTATTAAGCTGTCCACTGCCCTCCGTGAGCTGCGCGCGCCCAGCTTAGCCCAGATCTCGCTGTCAGTTTGCGCAGCGCCAGGTCAAATCGCACAGCTCGCGGTACACATATTTGTACAGCGCCACGGCTCAAAGCGCACAGCGCTGACGCCGCCGACGCGTCAGGTTCTCGCAGCGTACAACCGCAGAAGCGCACACGCCGCCGACGCGTCAAGACATGGCGCCCAAGAAGAAGGCCAAGACCGCCGCGCCGCCGTTAGCCTGCTTCGCCGGTGCGAAAATCACGGTCATCGGCGCCAACCCGTTCCAGCGCAAGCTCTGGGAGGCGAAGATCGGCGCCGGCGCCGCGTTCCTCAAGCCGTCGCAAGCCGCCTCGCTCAAGGAAGGCAACGACTTCGTCGTGATCGCCGCGGAGAACGTCGACCCCGCGACCGTGCGGGCCAAGGCCGGCGCCGCGCAGCTCGTCGGCGACCGCTGGCTCACGGACTCGATCGCGCGCAACGAGCGCCAGAACGCCGCGGCCCACGCCTGGGGCGCCGTCGAGGAACGACCGGAGGAGGCCGCGCCGGCGCGGCGGTCCGACGTCCTGCCCAAGTTCGGTTGCCAGCGCAAGATTACAAAAGCAGATGATCAAAATAAACAACTCACGGGCTGGCTCAAGCAGCAGCTCGAGTGGTGGCAGAACGGGTGTATAGAGGGCGACGCGAGCCAGCACACGGCCGTCGGCCTCACGTACAAGGTCATCGCGTTAATTCGGTCGTGGCCCACCAAAATCACGCCGGAGAACTGGGAGGACCAGCGCATGCTCCTCGCGAAGCAGCACTTCATGTCCGGGCGGTCGTCGAGCGCGAACGGCGGCTGGCTCGCCTACCTCGAGCAGCTCGTGACCGGCGGCCTGCCCGCCTTGCAACGCGTCGACGCGTTCACGTTCTGGGAGAAAGATCCGGTTCGTGTGGCCGTAAAAGAGATCACGGAGATGTGCGAAGCCGCGTCCAGTCGTCTTCGTTCGGATGGGGTGACGGATTGCTCGCCGCAGGCACATGGGCATCACCAAAAAACAGATGGAGGCCCTCGCGCGGAAGCACGGCGTCCGGGGCGCCCGCCTGTGTGGAAATCAACCAGTGCGTCGGGTGCATGCCATCGAGCAGGCATCGCGTCGATGGCGTGGAGGTCGACGCGACGATTCAGCACGAACGTGCCGTAAAATTTTGATTTCCACACAGGCGCCCGCGACCTGGTCGACCGGCGCCGCGAGCTGCCCATCTCTGATGTGTTGAGGCGGAAGTTGGAATTGGCTCCATGCGGCTCCGACGCATACCCGAACTCGCACATCCCCATGGACGTGCAGGAGACGAAGCAGATTCACGGCATCCTCGAAAGCGCCGCGCGCTTCATCGGGCTTCACATGACCGTCGTGGGCAGCTGGCGCCGCGGAAAAGTCGGTGGCCACGACGTCGACGTGATCATCCACGCGCCATTAGATGGGCCGCTCATCGACGCGCGCGCCTACGCGTTCGAGTCTCCGACGGGGCTGGGCAACGAACTCATGGCGCGATTCTTCAAGGCGGTTGACCAGTTTGGACCGCCGGGCTTTCTCCATCCGCACCGCTCCAGCGGAGGCGAGATCTTTGGGAACGCGGGCGGCCGGTTACCCAAGTTGAATACGAAGCACGCTTTCTGCCTCTCGCCGAAGGTGCACGGAGCCGTACCGCGCCCGCGTCCGAATCATTGCGTCGCCTCCCTTCGCCGTCGACGCGGCGTCGTCCCTTGATCACGTCTGCTGCCGCAGGTCCGCCGGCTGGACATCATCCTCGCCCCGACGGATATTTATGCCCATGCCGTCATCGGCTGGTCCGGGAGCACGGGCTTCCAGCGGTCGCTGGCCGAGTACGCCAAGAAGGCTCACGAGGGCAATTGGAAGCACGTGCCCGATCAAAAACCGATTGTGGGTCGCGCGGGCTGGGAGCTCTCGCCGACGGGCGAGAAGGTGCGGCGGGTGGAAGGGCGCGAGCTGGGTCCCGGCGAGCACTGGGCCTGGGGCAAGCACGGCATCTACATCGCGGAGGGGTCGCGGCACGACGAGCGCACGGACGTCTACGTCGAGGACAACGCGTCGCTGCGCACGGAGAAGGACGTGTTCGAGTTCTTCCACCTCGAGTACTTGGAGCCGCGGGAGCGGGAGTGCTGAGAGGTGGCGTCGCGGGAGCGGGAGTGCTGAGAGGTGGCGTCGCGGGAGCGGGAGTGCTGAGAGGTGGCGACTAAGCACTGTGTGTTAAACTTTCTAGTATCTTACAGGTCGCTAGTTGATTAGGTTTTTCATAAAAGCGGCTGTGCCTTCACACCTCGTGCCCGCTTTGGCTGCACGAATTGGCAGGTTGTGACATCGCTGCTCGCGCTCTCGCAACAGTGTGGCTGCTCAAATTTACGCAGCGGCGCTCACGTTGCAAGCTCTCCAGGATATAGGTCATTTGGCCCCACTGTGTGAGCCGCGTCCGCGGGCAATCACAGCTGATCACAGGTAGCATCATGCCCTCACCTCGGGGAGGCCGCGGCGCTGGCGGCTTCAGAGTCGTCGCTGGCGGCAAGGGCGGCGACGCTGTGAATGGTGGTCGCGGCGGAAGAGGCCGCGGGCGCGGCAAGGGTGGCAAGGGCGGCGCCACGGGCGGCGACTGGACGTGTCGCCGCTGCGAGACGTCCGGCAACTTTGCCTCGCGCCGAGAGTGCCACCGCTGCGGCGCGCCGCGGGGCGCCACGCCGTCGAAGAGCGCCGTGGCCCGTGCGGACCCGAAGGTCGTGTCAAAACACGCCAAGACGCTGCGGAAGCGCTTGTGCGAGAAGGGCGAGGCCGTGCGCCTACTCGAGCTGCTGGACCAGACGTGCCTCGCGCTCGGCGTGCGGTACCTGGACGAACTCGGGCTGCGCATCCAGGACGTCGACGAGCTGCGGGCGTTGCGACACCTCGAGGGCCTCGTCGAGCTGCAGATCTCTGCCTTCGTCGAGTCGCGCTTCGTCGCGACGTTGTTCGATCTCGAGGCCGAGCTCGTGTCGGTCCACGGCCTGCGGGAGAGCTTCGACGAGCTGCGGCTCGGACCGCTCCTGCAGCAACCGCTCGTCGGGTCCAAGTTTCTCCCGGACCCGGCGCTGCGCACGATTCCCCAGCTCAGCCTCGGCGACGTCCTGAAGGGCCTCCACAGATATAGGACCGAAACGAAAAATTTCAAGAACGTCGAACTTGTGGCGTTCCTGAACTGGCTCGCCGCGAAGCGCGGCGCGTCCTCGCCCCGCTCGCTCTGCGTCGCGGTGAACAAGTACGCGATTGGCAGCATGATTAAGTTCTCGGGCAAGGCCGGGCGCGACGCGAAGGCCGCGCGCGAGAAGGCCATGCGGGAGCTCGTAAACGAGAGCAAAGCCGAATATAAGGCCGAGCTCAAAACCCAGGAGGCCGCGGGCAAGGGCGCGGTCCGCACGGCCGCGGTGCTCTCGACGGCGGCGCGGGATCTCGCCGCCGACGCCGCGGGCTGGGCGGCGACGGACCGCTTCGACGTTGTGGCGGCGAACCTCGCCGGAGACGTCGTCGAGGCGGTCCGTCGCCGCCCGCGGAAATACGCGAAACACGCCGCCGCGGTCGCGGAGCTCGCCGCGTGCTACGCGCTCACGCTCGTGGGCAGCGGCGTCGACGTCGAGGCCTCGCGCCGGACTATCGAGGAGGCGCGCGGTCTCTCGGACGAGGACTTGTCGCGCGAGCTGAGCCTCGCCCTCGACAGCGGCGACGACGACCACCCGTCCGTCGTGGCGGCGCTGGCCGCCGCGGAGGCGGCGCTCGTCGAGCGGCTCCAGGTGCCGTCGATCGACGCCCTCCGCCGCGGCAGCTTCCTGGCCTTCGCGGCCCGCGCGCCCGACGCGGCGGATCTTCTCGCGCGGACGGTGTGCAAGCGCTTCGCCGGCAAAGCCGACGCGGGCGACGAGGAAGACAAGGAGGCAGGCGACGGCGCCGCCGCGCTCGCGGCGCTCGCCGACGCGTGCGAGGAAGTCCTCGCCGCGGCGCCAGACTCTCCGCTCCAGGCCCTCGCCGCGCTCGAAGCAGCTTTAACAGCGCGCGCGGGCGCCGACGCGTTCGCTGGCGGCTCCTTCGCCGCCTGGCTGGCGGCGGCGGCCGACGAGGACGAGGGCGTCCGGGCCCTTGTCGGAGGCGGCGGCGGCGGACCCGCGCCTCCACGGTTTGCGGAGCGCGTAGCGACGGCCGCCGCTACGCTCGGCCCCGACGTGCTGGCCGGCGACGGCGCGCGGGCGGCGCTCGCGGCGCGGGCCGGCGTGGCCGACTTGGCGGCTCTCGGCTGCGGGGTCGACGTCGCCGCGTTCGCCGCGCGGTGCGCTTCCAACGCGCGGCCCGAGGTCCGCGAGCACGTCGTCGACTATGTCGCGCCTGGCACGCCGCGCGCCTCAGCGACGGCGTCGGCCGGCGACCGCCTCGCCCGCGCCGTGGCCTCGGCCCCGGACCTCGAAGATCTCTCAGCGCGGCTCCGCTGGCGCGCGGCGGGGCACGAGCGCCGCCACGGTGATCTCGCTGATTTCTGCGCGACGTGCGGCGTCTCGGTGGTCGTCACGGACGGCTCTGTGCACAAGCTGCGGTCCGACGCGTCATTCGAGGAGCTCGGCGCGGCGGCGGTGGCCGGCGACGCGTCCACCGCGACGGCGCACGCGGTGACGCTCATGGCGCGCGGCGACGCGGCTCCGGAGCTCCTGCGCGCGTGCTTCGGCGAGGCCCTGTTGCGCCTCGGCGCCGAGGGGGCCGACGTCCCGGCATTTGTGTGCCAGTCTTTGCTACGAACGCCGGGTCCGCTCCGGCCATCCGTCGCCGACGCCCTCGTGCCAGCCCTCGAGGCTCAACGCGGCAGCACGAAGCGGACGGAGGCGGATCTTCTCGCGGCGGCGGGAGATGCGGTCGGCGCGCTGCACGATCTCGCCGTGCGCGCGGAGGACATCGACGGCTCGCGGACCTACCCTTTGCTTCTTGAGGACTACTGGAAAATAGTCGATTCACCGCCCAAGCGAGCGAAGGCGCCGCCAGTAGCTGTCGCTCCAATTGCCAAGGCACCGACGGTGGACACCGACGCCGGCGCAACGACTGCCGAGGCGGTCGCTACAGAAACAGAGGACGTCGAGAACGACGCGCGCGCCGCGAACGACGCCGATGCACCGTCGCTCCCCGCCGACGACGTCGCGGCCGCCGCCCCAGTCGCCGACGAAGGTGACGAAGCCCCGGCCGCCGTCCTGGCGGACATCCGTAAGGGCTTTGGCCTCGACACCGTCGATGCGAGCATCGACGTGTCGCAGAGCCTCCAGCTGCAGGCGCTCGACAACGCGCTGAAGGTGATCGCGCGCGACATTTATAGCAAGGACTCGCATTTCTTACTCGAACTCCTGCAAAACGCGGACGACAACGACTATCCCTCGAACGCGACGCCGACGATCGTCTTTGACGCCTCGCCGGACTCCATCGTCGTGCGGAACAACGAAACCGGTTTCAGAGAACGGCATGTGAGAGCGCTCTGCCACGTCGGCGCGAGCAGCAAGGGCGTGGGCGGCAGCGGATACATCGGTCAGAAGGGCATCGGCTTCAAGAGCGTCTTCCGCGTGTCGGACCGGCCCGAGATCCACTCGCGCGGCTACGCATTCTCGCTCGACCAGCACATGGTCGTGCCGCGGCCGTGCGTCGACGCCTCACCGGCGTGTCGAACGTGGCTCGCCGCGGCCGGGCTAAAAAAAGTGCCAGCACAGGGGACGACGATTCTGCTGCCGCTCACGGAAGAGTTCCGGGGCGAGGCTAAACGGGCGGAGCTAGCAGAAAAGATCGGCGAGATCGACCCGTTGCTGCTCCTCTTCTTGAACCGCGTCCGGCGCATCGATGTGGTCGAACGGTCGGGTGATGAAGAGGATGCCGCGACAACGCGGTCGATGCGGCGCCAGGACGTGGCTTCGGGGACGGCATCCGTCGTGACCCTGACGGACGCAGTCGGCGGCGGCGAGACCACGACGACGTGGCTGGTGGTCAAGCGCGAGGTCGAGACGGTGTCCTGGGCGCGGCGCGGCGACGCGGCGAAGACGGTGCTCGCCGCGGCCTTCGACGCGGGCGCCGCGCGCCGCGCCGACGACGAGCCGCTCCCGGTCTTTGCCTTTCTGCCGATAGCACCGGCAAACCTCGCCTTCGTGCTGCACGCTGACTGGATCCTGGCCTCGAGCCGAGAGACTGTACGCGAGGACTCGGCCTGGAACCAGTGGCTCCGGTCCGAGGCTGCATCGCTCTACGTCGACGCCTTGCGCGCGGTGCAAGCTGGCGCGGGACAAGCGCTCGACGGCTTCGGCGTCGCGCGGGTGCTCGACGCGCTGCCCGTCGAGCATGAGGTCGTCGGCTTCTTCCGGCCGCTCGCTGCGGACATCGCACGGCGGGTCCGAGGCGTCCCCTGCGTCCTCGCGGCGGATGGGTCCTGGGTGTTGCCGTCGAAGGCGCTCGCCGTGCCGGAGCGCCTGCGCATCGACCCGTCGTCACAACTCGCGGCCGAGTTCGCGCGCCTTGACCTGTGGCCCCTCGACGCGGGCTTCCAGCTCCGGTTGCGGCCGCAGACGCTGGCCGCGCTCGGCGTCGAGGAGCTCGATGCGGCGCACGCGCTGAAGCTCGGCAAGGCTCTGGCAGCTGCCGGCCGTCTCACGCCGGCTCTCTTCCGCCAGTGGGCCGTGCTCCTGTATCGCGCGGCGGGCAAGCGCGGCGGCCTCTCGCGCGCCTCGAAGGCCGAGCTACAGGGCCTATCGGTGATTCCGCTCGCGGGTGGAGGCCTCGGGTGCGTCGACGACGCGCCGATCTACGTGTTCCAGCAGAGCGACCAGAAGGCGGCGACGCTCGACTGCTTCGATACTGTTAAGGAGAAATTGCGCATCGTCGACGCGTCGTTGCTCGCCGCGGCGCCCGCGCGGCCGATGGTGCTGAGCGTGTTACGCGACGCGGGCGTCGTCGATGCCTCCCCGGATACTGTCGTCACTCAGCACGTGATTCCGGCGCTCGTGGAGGGCGGTTGTGATCGGAGCACTGTCATAGCCTACTGGCGGTTAATAAGAGCGCTGCTCGCCAAGGGCGAGGGCCGACGAGGTCTCCAGGCCAAGGTAGAGCGCGGCAAAAGGGAGGAAATCATCAAGCGCCTACACGATGCCGCCGTACCCGTCTGCGTGCGGGCCGCCGACGGCAAGAAGGGATTCGAGAGCCGTGGCGTCGCGTTTCCGCGCGACGCCGACGTATTCCTCGCGCGAGAGCACGGCGCGTCTAGCGATGCTTTAGCGGAGCTTGGTACGCTGGCACGACGCCTCGGGTGGAGCTACGCCGCCATCGGCGAGCTCGCGGGACCGACTTCTGGACGCCCCCAAGCCTGGGTCGAGCTCCTCCGGGACGTCGGCTGCGTGGAAGGCCCGAAGCCTCGGCCTCGCGTGGTCCCGCGCGACGCCTGGCCCGAGACCTGGGCCGCCGCCGCCGCGAAGGCGGGCCTCAGTTCCGAGGCCGCGCTCGAGGCGAGGGATTTGCACAGCGAGACGCTGAAAAGCCTACTGGAGGAGCTGTCGCGCGACGAGCGGCCAAAACAGTGGGTTATTGCCGCGCTGTGTGAAGTGGCGACGACGTGCGCCATGGCCGCGGCGTCCACGGCGACGATCGCGCGCGTCGGCGCCGCAGTGCCAAAAGGCGGCGCTTTGGTGCCCAGTCAGGTACACGTCGGAACGACTGCTACTGTACTGAGTTCGCTGGCCATGCTTCTCTCGGAGACTGCTTGGCTGCCCGGCGGGGGGACGTCGGGCGCCGTCCGCCTCTTCCGACCTCGAGACCTTTATTCCCCCCTCAATAACGACGCGGAGAGGTACGGCGGCGGCTTCGCTCCCATGCCTACGCCGAACCTGCGAAAGGTGCTGCGCGACAACGCGACCGCGTATCAGCGGCTGGGCCTGCGTAAGACGTTCGGCGCCAACGACGCGCTCGCGCTGCTGGAAACCTGGGCCGCGGAAGGCGGAGCCTTCGAGACGTCTGTGGCGCACATGGAGTCGCTCTATCGCTTGCTGGCGAGCGAGCTTGTCGGCGCGCACGGCGATGCTGTCCGAGCGTTCTTCGCCGCGAAGGACCGGCCGTGCGTCTGGGTGCCCGACTACCGCTACGAGGCCGCCACCGTGCCCCGCGACCGCTACGACGGTTCGTTCCGCGACGAAGACGGCAAGCTGAAGCGCGTGCCGGGCCGCTTCTACGCGCTCGACGCCTGTGTCTGGGCCGACCATAGCCGGGTTCTGGACTCCTGCGTCCACCGCGGCGTCGAGGCGCCGCGCGTGCTCCAGCGGCACTACGCCACCCTGCAGCGCTTCTGGTGCCGCATGTTCTGCTCCGCCTGCTTTGCTGGGCGCCTCGGTGCCCGCGGCACAGCAGGATGCCGCAACTGCGTCGACAACGGCATATCTTCAGGTCTACCGAAGGCCCTGCTCGCCCAAGCGGCGCCGCTGGAATCCCATTTCACGATCGCGGCGGCGCTCGCGGCGTCAGACGCGCCCTACACCTCGAAGCGGGACGACGTCCTCAAGGTGTTGATGGTCGTGTCCTTCGAAATCCTGACGGGCTGCCTGTCGGCCTACCCGACCGCCGACTTCGTCCCACATCTCCTAAAAGGCAAGCGGGTCTGGCCGACGCTCGCCGGCACCTTCGAGGCGTCCGGCGACGACGTGCTCCTTGCGATAGATGACGCCCCGGCGCTGCGCGAGGCGCTCTTCGCGGACAAGAAGGCGGACGTCGCCTCTGCCATCGCCATCGTGGAGCCGGATGTCGCGAAACCGGATCCCGTAGATTTGACCATGCTCGGCATTCCAAGGGACCAGCAGGAGTCCTGGCTGGCGGAGCGCCTCGACGCGGCGCGGCGCGAGGGCGTGGTCATCCCGCCGGTCGCAGCCAAACGGCAGACGGCCGGGGAACGGCTGCTCGCCGAATTTGATGCGCTTAGCGCCTCGGCCCGGCCCCTCCTCGCGCAACTGGGCGTGCGGCCGCTCTCGCAGCTCGTCGATACGAAGACGTATCCTGAGGGCGTGCGGTTCGCGCGCCACCAATTGCACGACGAACTCGCGTCGCTGTTGCCGCACGCGCAACGCTGGCTGCGGTCGGAGCTGCCAGCGGCCTACGAGGTAAACGGCGCTGTGTGGGCGAGGACGGTGGCCGGGCTCCGCGCGTGCGTCTGCGACGAGCTCGAGGTCGTCCATTCAGTGGCCGGTCGAGTCGTTCGAGTTCCGAAGGCGGCGTTTATCAACGATGGGTCGACCCTGTACGTCGCCAAGACGACGCTCGAGGATGACGATTATGATGCGATACTCTCGGCGGTGTCCGAACTCCTCTGCGGCCCGGGCGATCGGGCGACGGAGCTCACCGACTTCCTTGTTCTGGCTAAGTCTTCGGGCGAACGCCTCTTCGAGCGCCGGGGCATCGCGCCTTTGCCTTCGGACGAGACGCCGTGGCAAGCGGCAGGCATCGAGGCGGCCATGGCGCACGACGCGCCGATAGGACCCCCGGCTATTCAGGACGACGACGACGACGACGACGAATCCGAAGAATCCGAGGAGGAGGCGGCACCCGCGCCTGCTAAGGCGCCGCGGAAGAAGAGGGAGGACACGACGCCGGGCGCCTGCTGGCCTCCGACGGCGGCACAGGCCGCCCAGCGCTGGCCACCGGCCCAACCATCGGCGGAGCCGGAGCCGGTGGAGCGACGCGACGCGACCAAAGAAGCGGCTTCCGCGTCACGATGCGACCCGCGCGTCGCGCCCAGCAGTCCGCCGCCGGTCCCGCCGGAGGCTCCCGCCGCGTCGGATGGCGACTGGTTTGACGGCGTCGAGAACGACGCGGCGGCCGTCGCTGAGGAGGATATTTCGCCCGCGCCGCCCATGCCGCCCGCGCCGCCCGTCGCTGAAGCTCCGGAGCAGGACGTTGACGCCGCGCGACTCGTTGGTGAACTCCATGCGGCGTTCCTGGCGCGCGACGCCGCGGCCGAGCTGGCTGCCTTGCAGGAACTTCTCGCTCGCCCGGCGGGCCCCGGAGACGCGGCACTTTCGGAGTTTGTCTGGCCGGTGCTGTCGGCCGCTCGAGACCACGACGGTGGGGCACCTAAGGTCTTGCGCTCCAGCGGCCCGGCAGCCGACGCTTACGCGATGGCGCGCGGGCGCTGGGGACCAAGCTATGGGACCGGTTGGGTTTGGTTCTGGCGGCGGCGGCGGCGGCGGTGGCAACGGTGGCGGTAGCGGCGGGCGCCCGCTCGATCTCGTGGCCTTCCTGGCCTCGGCGGATCTCGCGCACCACGCCGAGCGGCTGCGGGCCGAAGACATCGAGAGCCTGGACGACCTCGCTCTTCTGAACAGCGAGGATATCGAGGCCTGTGGTATCCCTGCGGCCGACGCGGCCCGAATCGAGGCCGCGCTCGCCGCTTTACACCTAGGTGGTGGCGGCGGCGGTACCGGCGGTGGAGGCGGCGCCGGCGCGGTCTCGAGTGCCGACGGCGCCACCGGGTCGGGTCCATTTGTGCCGCGGCGGAGCTCCGAGTTGGCGTCATTCCTCGCGAGCGAGAGACCAGTCTCGCCGGAGGACGCGACCGAATTCTCTCGATACCTGCCGCGCGGCGACCCGACGGCTGCGCAGCAGCAGCTTGGCCGGGCGGGCGAAGCGTTGGCGGCCGCGTACCTACGGCGCGCTGCCGAGCGCGGAGAGCTCGCGGACTCCGTGGGGCCCGGTTCGTGGTTGGTTATATGGCGGAACATGGGCGAAGAGCGAGGGGAGCCGTGGGACATCTTGCTCAAGGGGTCGAGCGGCGACGACGCCTGGGTCGAGGTCAAGACTACCATGGTCGACGACGAGCACAAGCCCATGGAGGTCTCCCTGAATCATTTGGACTTCGCGCGGGTGCATCCCGGATCGTACTTTATTCTGCGCGTCTTCGCGGCACCGGCCGGCGGCTCCTTCGAGGCGCGCCGCGTCGCTCTCTACGGACGCGTCGCGGCGGCCATCGAGACCAAGGCCATCTCGCTGCTGCTCAAGATGTAGTCTGTTTACTAAGTATGTTTAAACTTACAGAAAGCACACATACACATCAGAGCGCAATCCGCCACGCCGTCTCGCAAGCGTGGAGCGCTCGCAACGCGCGATCGCCGCGCGGATAGAGCCGATCCAGGTCGCCGCCACCCAAGAGATTCTTCGACGCGATCATGTCCGTCAGGTCGGCGGCGACGTCGTCGTCCTGAGCGTCGTCGCCGTCCTCATCGAGCTTCGCACCGCGGTAGGCGTCGCGGTCGACGCAATCTTGCAGACAGTCGCGCCAGTACGGCTCGCCCGCGAGGAGTTTCGGATGGCCCACGATCACGCAAAGGGCCTTCGCTCGCGTCACGGCCACGTTGAAGCGCCTCGCACCTAGTAAACCGATCGGAGGCGCACTGTCGTCGTCCTCGTCGCGGTTCGCGATTGGTTGCCGGCTCAACGTCAGCGTCACGATGACGACCTTGTGCTCGCACCCCTGGAAGTCGTAGATTTGCCCGACCATCACGTTTCCGAGATTCTTCGCACGAAGCATTTGCCTAATCAAGATCGTCTGCGCCCGAAACGCGCACAGCACGCCGACGTCGCGTGGCTCGCACTGGACCTTGTCGCTCCGGAGCAAGGACTCGAGCAGCGACGCCACACAGTTCGCCTCGTCGTGGTTGAGATAGGACGGCGAGTCGACGGCGTGCGCGTGGGTGCCATTTACGCCCCAGCACAGCAGCGACGTGCCCTCCCATGGTAACAATTGGGCGTGCGCGGTCTCACTGGCAGGGACCAATGCGTCTCCGTAGAACAGCCGCGACGGCAGCGCGAGCAGACTTCCGTGAGCTCGGTAATTTGTGTTCAACTTGCAGACGATCGGCGCGACGCGGGCCGCGCTTCCCAATCCGAATCGCTTCAGGCCGGGCGGCGCGTCGCCGGAGAGCTCCGCCGCGGTGAGTAGGAGTCGCTTCAGCAGAGACGTGCCAAGGCCGCGTTTGAGCGCGTCTGTTGATCTAACGGCCGGTCCGAGCTGGTTCGGATCGCCGGCAAGAGTCACCCGCGTCGCCGGTCCGGCCAGCGCTACGGGCACCAGCGCCTCCGGCTCCAGCGCCTGCGCCGCCTCATCGACAACAATATGGCTAAAATGCCCTCGCAGACCCATGCGCAGCAGTACGCCGGCGCAAGCGCACGTCGTGATCACGACCGTCTTGTTCTTGATGTTGTTGCGCGAGAACACATCGAACTGGCCGTCCCGCGTCGAGCAGTACCGCAGCAGCGCCGGGGCCACAGAATCCTGCTTGCGCTGCCACCAGTTGAGACGGAGAAGCGACGGCGGTTTGTGCGGCTCCAGCGACTCCATTGCCGCCGCCACCCGCCGCGTCAGCACGTCGGCGGCTTCATCCGACGGCGCGCAGCACAGGATACGCGCGCCGCGCCGCGCCGCCAGGCGCCGAATCGCCTCCGCGACGACCGCCGTTTTGCCGGTGCCCGGCGGACCGAACACGACGACCGGCGGGAGTCGCGGCGACGGCGCGGTGATCGCGGCGACGGCGGCGCGCTGCTGCTCGTTGAGGTCGAGCGCCCCCTCCGGGACGTCGTCGACCGCGTCGCCGTTGTCGGCAGAGCCGGCGTCGGTGCCCGCGCCGCCGAGGAGGATCCGCTCGAAGGGAGCGGGGTCCGCGGCGATCTGCGACAGCGCGTCGTGCAGGAATTTGGCGCCAGCCTGCTGCGGCCGGAACCGCGCGTGCCAGGCCATCTCGGCGGCGCCCTGAGCCTCCCGCTCCAGGAGCTTTTGAATCAGCGGGCACCGCGGCAGCGCGAGCGTCAGTACGTCGGCGCGCACGTCCGCGACGACGGCGCGCAGCTCGTACACGCCGCCCGCGAGCTCGGCGAAAAGCTGCCGGCTCTGCTCCGTCGGGCGGAGGCGTATGGCGTCGCCCTGCTGGATCGGCGGCCGCGCGCCGGACGCCGACTCCGACGCGCCGGGAACAGTGAGCGTGCAGCGCGCCGCCTCCGAGATGACGGTTCCCGGCGCGAACCCAAACCACTTCCACGGTGTCGCCGGGGCGTAGTAGGGGTTCGTCGTCAGCGCCGGGAGCGCCTGGATGTTCCGGAGTTTCACTTCAAATACGTCAGCCGCCTCGAGGTCCAGCGTCGTGCTTGCCTCTTCCAACCACAAGAGCGCGCGCAGGTGCGCCATGCGGTCCCGGAGCGCCGCGTGCGGCTGCGCGCCGAGCCGTCGCCCGTCGTCGAGCGCCGCCGCGCGCCGCTGGATCAGGTCGAAGTCGAAGGCTTCGCCCTTGGCCGCCGCGCGGCAGGCCGCCAACAGCGCGGCGTCCGAATGCTCGTGGAGGTGCGCGGGAATACTGCTGAGCGGTTTGGCGCGCTCCGCGCTCGCGACAAGCGGCCGCAGGGGCGTCGCGGTGGTCCAGGCCCAGCCGACGTCCCGCCGGTCGAATGGGAACGTGAGCGCGTCCGTGCCCTTGAACGATTGCTTCTTCTTTTTTTTCAACGATCCGCGCCGTGCCCCGTTTATGGGGGTCGGTGCCACGAACGCGTTGCCCTGGGAGTCGCAGGTCGCGTCGAGCACGTCGCCCGGACGGAGCCTGCTGAGCCGCTCCATGCCGAGCCGCTGGGAGCCCCCCGGGAGCAGTGCACAGGCCGGGTCGAGCACGATCAGGCGCAGGCCCTCAGTCAGCCCCGTGGGACCGAGGTGCGCCGGCTGCGTTGCGAGCTGGAAGTGGTCGCCCGCGCCGCCGCCGACGGCGTCGCGGCTATCCTCTAGACCGAGCGGCCGCACAAAGGGCACGTCGCTAAACAGCGACGACACGGCGAACATGTGCTCGTCGAAGACGGCGCGCACGTGCTCGGGGTGCCACTTCGGCGCCTCGCTCGAGAGCTTCGGCGTCGCGAGCAGCAGCTCGTCGGCGTTGCTTCGCGTCACGAAGACGCACTTCCAGGACACGCCGACGCAGCCGCCCTCGGCGCCCGTGCTCCAGCTCAACGCGCCGTCGCTCACGTCCCGCCGCCGCGCCAGGTGGGCCACGACCCAGCCGCTCACGGGGCCCGCGTCGCGCTCGTCGGCGTCGCCCGTCGCCTCGACGACGAGCCGCAGGCCCGAGGCCGGCGTCGGCGCGACCTCGGCGTCGTCGCCGCGCTCCAGGTACGCCGTCACGCGCGGCGACAGGTCGGGGATCAGCTGGAGCTTGACGACGTGGCGCTCGGCGGCGTTCTCCGACTCGAGCGGCACGAACTGGCACACGGCCCGCGAAAAGCGCGGCGCCGGCGCCGGGGGCTTCCGCTTCTGCAATTGGTTGTAGGGCGCCGGCGCCTCATAATCGTCGTCGTCGTCGTCGCTCGACTCGTCGCCCAGCAGCACGGCGCCGAGGTCGACGTCCGTCACCGAGAGCGCCGTGTCCAGGCTCGGCGCGCGCAGCTGCGTCCGGCCCGGCGCCGTCTTCGCGGCGGCCTCGACGCTCGCGAGGAACTGCGGCGGTGGCGGCGGCGGCGTGTCGACGTCCGTCAGGTCGCGCTCGCTGAAGGTCGAGGCGGTGCTGCCGAGGCGGTTCGGCGGCAGTGGACGCGGGTCCCCGCGCTCGCCGAACGAGGCGCCGCTGGGGAGGCGGGCTGGCGGCGGCAGGCGCCGGTCCCCGCGCTCGCTGAAGGTGGCCCACGTCGGCGCGCGGCCTTCAGGCATCGATGTTCAATCTGTCTTCGTGCTTGTTGGAACCGAGCAGGCAGCAGTGCGTCTGGCTAGTGCGCCTGGCAGTCCACTCTGGCAGTCCACTCTCTTCAGGTTATGCTGCACAACTCCGCGAGGCAATCTCGCACAGCGCTCGCGGCTTCGCCCAGCGCTCAACTGTCTAAAATACAACTACCAGCGTCTCGCATAAGCTGCGATAGCCGTATACGCCTGCGTATAAGCTTGTGAAGCCAACTTTTGCACAAGCGTGTCGGGTTTTGTCGATTTCGAGCATCCGTCGACCTCATCCGCGACACGTTAAGGACCGATGCGCCCAGGCAGGCGTAGGAACGAGCGACCCCCACCCCCATCACACAACCCCCCAGCCCAAATTAGCGCAGGCAAGCTATCCGCCGGCGCTGAGCGGACGACGCGCGGCCACCAGCCCTCACAGCTCGGCCACAGGTCCGCCTGAGAGGCTCGCAGTCGTCGGAGGCTGCCCCGAGACGGCACCATGGGCCAGACCACCTCGAGCCTGCAGCCGCCCGAGGGCCTGGAAGCCGTGACGCTCGCGGACGTGCGCCGCGCCGTGGTTGTCCACCGCAAGCGGCTGGGCGGCGCCGTGCTCCTGAGCGCGCGCCAGGCCCAGCAGCTATTACAACCAAAAGCGGAGGGCGACGAGGCCCGCGCCGTCGAAGCGGCCATCAAGAGGTGGTTCGGCGGCTGGTTCAAGGGTCCCGACGGACGGACCGTGGACCGGGTCGGCGGCAATTTAGTACTAGGCGCCTTGGCGTGCGTCGCAAAGGGCGACGCGACGCCCGGCGACGAGGGCGCCGTCCGCGCGCGGGCGACGGCGCTATTCGCCGTGCTCGCCGCGGGGGCCACGCACTTAGATTCAGATCATGTGGCCTTGCGGTTAGACGGCGCGTCGAGAGCCCTCGCGCGCGTCGAGACGGGCGGCAAGCGGTGCCGCGAGGACGGCGAACGGCACTTCAAGGAGTTATGTGCGAGCGCCTTCGGGGGCCAAGAGGTCGACGCGCGGACCTTTACCGTCGCCGCCGAGGAGCTCATCGAGACGACGCCCTTCGAGGAGGTGATGTTGCTGCGGGCGTCGTCCGAGGCGCCGCCCACCTCTCCCGAGCACGCGCTCAACGCCTTGGAACTCCCGGACGAGGGCCCGGCCGAGCCGCACGTGCGCCGCAAGCTGCGCCACTCGCGCGAGTTCGACCGTCCTGATGAAGAGGAGACGGCCGAGACGGAAGACATGCGCCTCACCGAAGAAGCCTTCCTCAGCGCGCCGCAGCCCGTGGAGCCGTCGCGGTCGCAGCGGTCGTCGCGCCCGAGCCTGCAGGACGTCGACGAGCTGCCGGAGCGCTCTTCTCCAAGAGCGTCGCCGCGGCCCCCGATCAACGTCGTCGACCTCACGGCGCCGGCGCCGGCGCCGGCGCCCTTCGACGGCGGCACGGCCCTGGCCGACGCCGCGGCCGCGCCGGCGCCGGCCGCCTCCATCTCAGTCTCCAAGGCAGCGGCCCCGCCGGTCGACGAGGACGAGGACGACGACGACGGCGCCGCGGAGCTCGCCGCGGCCCAGGAGGCCGCGGCCCAGCGGAAAGCCGAGAAGGCCCAGAAGAAGGCGGAACGCGAGGCCGCGGCGAAAGCTCTCGCTGACGAAGCTTCTGCGGACGAAGATGAAGATGACGGCGCCGCCGAGTTAGCTGCCGCCCAGGAAGCCGCCGCGAAGCGCAAGGCGGAGAAGGAAGCGTTGAAAGCCCAGAAAAAGGCCGAGCGCGAGGCCGCGGCCAAAGCATTAGCCGACGAGGCCTCTGCTGAGGATGAGGACGACGACGACGGCGCCGCCGAGTTAGCCGCTGCGCAAGAGGCCGCCGCGAAGCGGAAAGCTGAGAAAGAAGCCCTCAAGGCTCAAAAGAAAGCGGAGCGCGAGGCTGCCGCGAAAGCTCTCGCCGACGAAGCTTCGGATGAGGACGACGACGATGGCGCCGCCGAGTTAGCCGCTGCGCAAGAGGCCGCCGCGAAGCGGAAAGCTGAGAAGGAGGCACTCAAAGCCCAGAAAAAGGCCGAGCGTGAGGCCGCAGCAAAAGCATTAGCTGACGAGGCGTCTGCGGACGAGGACGACGATGACGGCGCGGCCGAGCTCGCCGCGGCCCAGGAGGCTGCGGCCAAGCGCAAGGCCGAGAAGGAGGCACTCAAAGCCCAGAAAAAGGCGGAACGCGAAGCCGCCCTCAAGGCCGCCGCCGCCGACGAGCCGTCCGAGGAGTCCGACGACGACGGCGCCGACGCCGTGCTCGCCGCCGCGCAGGAGGCCGCCGCGAAGAAGAAGGCCGAGCGCGAAGCGGCCAAGGCCGAGGCCCGGGCCAAGAAGCAGGCCGAGCGCGAGGCCGCCCTCAAGGCGATGGAGGCCGAGCCCTCGGACGACGAACCGGACGACGACGGCGCCGACGCGGAACTCGAAGCCGCGCGCGAGGCCGCGGCCAAGAAGAAAGCGGAAAGAGAAGCCGCCAAGGCCGAAGCAAGAGCGAAGAAGGACGCCGAGCGCGAGGCGGCGAGGCAGGCCCTCGCGGAGGCCGAGGCGGAGTCTCCCGAGGAAGAGTCCGACGACGACTCCCAGGCCTCGGCCGACGCCATCGCGCGCGCCAAGGAGGCCAAGGCCCGCCGTAAAGAACAAAAGAGCCGCCAGAGGCAGCGCGAGAAGGAAGAACGGCTCAAGGCGCTGAAGGAAGCCGAGGCCTCCTCCGACGAGACGCCCCGCGACGACCAAGCGGAGCAGGCGGAGCTCGAGACGCTGAGACGGGCCAAGGAGGCGAAGCAGAAGCGCTCCGCCGAGAAGGCGAAGAGGAAGCAGTTCGAGCTCGAGCAACGAAGGTTAGCGCGCGAGCGCGAGCTCCAGCAGGTGTCCGAGGACGAGGACGACGACGGCATCTCGCCACGTACCAAAGCCGCGGAGGAGGCCGCCGAGGAGGAGCTGCGGCAGGCGAAGGCGAAGGCGGCCGAGCGGCGCGCGGCTCGCAAGAAGGACAAGGAGGCCGCGCTGCAGAAGCGGCGCGAGGAGCGCCAGAAGGAGCTCGAGGAGGCCCTGAAAGACGACTGGACGCCTAGACCGGAGGATGATGATGATTTCGAGCGCCAACTGGCCGAGGCCAAGGCGAAGAAGGAGCAGCGCCGGCAGGCGCGCCAGCGCCAGCGCGAGGAGGCGAACCGGCGAGCTTTGGCCGAGGCGGCGCGCGACTCGCCGCGGACGGACCCGGGCCCCAAGCCCGTCCACATTGATGGGAGGACGCACGAGATGCTCGAGGGCGAGGCGCCCGGTTTACCCGATGATCCGGAGGAGTATTGTTTACCAGTACCGGACACGGACGACTACGCGTTACCCCCCGCGCCGGCCTACGATGCAGATATTGACGGGGCGACGAACTGGAACTGGCGGGACCAGGACGCGCACGGTTCGAAGTACCAACGGGGCTTCCGGGCCTACCAGAACTACAAGCCGCGGCCGCCTTCCGTTCCTGGAAGTAAACCGGAGAACTACGAGACGGACATGCGTTCACTAGGATCGGGCGACGACTCGCAGTCTTTGGGGTCGGCGCAGATGCGGACGCGCAAGGCCATGTTTCCCCCCCATGACGGTGACCACTGGCAGGAGGAGTGGCAGGAAGGTAGTATGGCTTCCGATACGGGGCTGAGTCCTCCAAAACGTGTGTACGACTACGAGGCGGACCTCGGCCACCAACGGTCGGGGCCCATGGAGCCGGACCCGGAAGGGTTGGAGGGCGGCCCCTACCGTAGGTTTGGGCCTAGACCGATGCCGCCTCCGGAATTACCGATTCCGAACGGCGCGTCGCGGCCCGTGCCCGACGATTTGGGCTACCGGCCGCGCGCGTCCGACTCGGCTTACGGGGTTTTGGAGCACGTCGACGAAGCTAGACATGCGTCGGAGCGCGCGGGGGACGTGGCGAGGCAGGCCGCGGATTATGAACGGAAGCGGCCCTCATCACCAATCTTCCGGGAGGCCATGATCGGCGATAATAGGGATGACGTCGAGCGCTACGTCGGCGAGGCCAAGGAGGCGTCGCGGCGGGCGTCGACGTACGCGCGGGAGGCGGTCATGGCCGGCGAGAGCCGCGAGCAGTTCACACCCAGTAGGACGGACGAGGCTTATGGGGTGGACCGCCTCGTGCCGTCCGTCGCGCCCCGCGCGCGGCCGGAGCAGAGCCTGCCGGACTGGGCCGGCGGCTCGGAGCAGCTCGGGCTCTCTGGTCATGAAAAGACCGATTTAGGCCCGCGGTCGCCCATGGAGCCCTACCAGGCCGCCGACCCCTATTCCTCTAGAAGTCCGCAGCAACGCTCGGAGCTCGACGACGCCCACGGCGGGGGCTACGGCGAGGCCTGGCACGGCGAGGACGCTTATGGCAACGACCCGGACTTCGAAGGCGGGAAATATCAAAGGGGCTTCCAGTCCATGTCCGAAAAAGGCATCGACTCCATCGCGGGCGCCTTCTCGCACTTCAGCGGGCGCCAGGCCCAGGGCGGCTTCTCGACGACGCCGGGCACGGGCAAGCGCGCCGTCGACTTCGACGTGGGGCCCTCGCCGCCCTTCGACGGCGGCTACGGCGGCGCCATGGGCGGCTCGGGCGGCTCCGGCCAATTCGGCGGCTCGGGCGGCTCAGGGGGCGGCCGCTTCCAGCTCGACCGCAGCCAGTCGATGCACGCCGAGAACTGGCAGGGCCAGGACGCCTACGGCAACGACCCCGAGTACGAGGGCGGCAAGTACGAGCGCGGCGCGCGGGGCTTTGGCATGCCCATGGACGACGGCGTGGGCGAGTCCAAGTTCGACGGCGGCTTCGGCGAAGGGGGCGGTCCTTTCGGTGGGAGTGGTGGAAGCGGTGGCGGCTTTGGCGGAAGCGGCGGCCCCTTCGGTGGCAGCGGCGGGTTTGGGGGGAGCGGCGAGTACCAGCACGACCCGGACGCGTATGGCGCCGAGGTCAACGAGCGGCCCGAGGGCGGCTACTTCGGCCACGCCAACGCCGTGAACAGCGGCGGCTTCGGCGGGAGCGGCGGTCCGTTCGGCGGCGGCGGAGGCTTCGGCGGGAACGCCGACGCGCCGCCGCCGCCGGGCCGGCGCTTCCAGCTCGACCGCAGCCAGTCGGCCCACGCGGAGAACTGGACGGGCCAGGACGCCTACGGCAACGACCCCGACTACGAGGGTTCGAAGTTTGAAAGGGGCGCGCAGGGCTTCGGCGGAGCGATGCACCAGCCGCAAGGCTTCGGGATGCAGCAGCCCGCGAACGAGTACGGCCACCACCGGCGCGAGCCGACGCAGTCGTCGTCGCCGCTGCAGGACGACGACATGTCGCGCGTCTCGCAGATCTCGGACCCCTACTCGCCCGTGCCGATCCGGGACAAGTTCGGCAACGACGCGGATTTTGCGGGGGGCAAGTATCAAAGGGGCGCCCAGGGCTTCCGGAGCTGGGAGCGGTCGCTGGACCCGCTGCCGCTGCCGCCGGAGGACGGGTCGTTGGCGCCGTACAAGCCCCGGACGGCCGCCGAGTTAGATGAGATGTCCACTCATACCCCGATGCGCGGCGGCGCGGTCTACGAAGAAAAGGGCCAGCTCCACCAGGTTGGTGGCGGGGTGGGCAAACTCAATATTCGGGCCTGGACGTCGTCGGACGCCGCGGTGCTACGGGAGGTGCCGAGCGTTTTATGCGTGGGCTTCGGCGACGGCGTCGACTTCAGCCTGCAGACGAACGTCAAGGCCGCGGCCATCGCCCTCGAGGTCATCTCGTCGCCGGACTACCTGGGGGCGCAAGTCGTCTTCTGGGACGGCGCGGAATTAAGGCACGACTCGTACACGTCCGTGCTGCCGGCCCTGGCGGCGCGGGGCTGCAAGCTCGCGGCCTGGCGCGCCGGCGCGTCCGAGGCCCAGAAGAAGCTGTTGGCGTCGAGCTGGGCCTGCGTCGACGCGTGCGACGCGGTGGTGGCGCTCTTCGACGACAAGTCGCCGCGCGTCGGCGAGACTGTAACGGGAAAACCAGCGGAGCCGCGGCACGCGTCCAAGGCGGCGCTCAACTGTCTGAAATTGATCCACTACGCGGGCGTCTCGCGCGTCGTCTGCTTCGGGGGCGGCCAGGACGTGCTGGACCTCGTCGACAACGCGCCCGGCCACGTCGAGTTCCACGTCATCCCGGCCGTCCGTTGCGCCGACAACGGCGCCGACGGCGTCTTCGGGACGGACGACGACGAGTTCGAGGAGGCCCACGTGCTCGCCTACGGCGGGAAGAACGCGCAGCGCGTGCACGTGTATCAGCTTAATGGCTAGTCATGCTTTAGTCTGCTTAGGACTCCCCGTCCTCATCGGTCGACTCCTCGTCCTCGTCGGTCGCGGGCTCGCTCTCCGAAGAAGGCGTGTTCACGAGCCGCGACCACTCGTCGGTGTAGGCAACCGTAAGTTCGCCCGCCTCGAAGCGCCGGAAGAAATCCAATTTGCGCGCCATCGCGCCGTCGTCGACGTTCGAGAACGTTCGCACGCCGCGGAACGGCAGGATCGGCTGGAAGCCCGTGCTGTAGATCGACGCAGCGAGGTGACGCGCCTCGTTGATAAGCTCGGGCGGCGCGCCGTGGCACGTGAGAATGGCATGCGCCGCTGCGAGCCCGCCCGCCGCGCCGAAATCGTACGGATCCTGCATGGACACGATCAAGCCCCGCGCGGCGCCGAGCGCCATGATACAACCCATGGGGTCGCCGCCGGCGCCACCCTGGGCCAGCAATATAGCGACGAGCGCCTGCCAGGCGCCGGACTCCGTCTCGTTGCCGATGTAGATGCGAGGCCTCGCGGCTGCGTCGAACACGACTTGCAGGAACCCGAAGAAAAAGTAGGCGACGACGCCGAACGCGGCCCACTCCCGGGCGAGCGTGCAGACAGACTTCAGCGCGCCGTCCACGACCTCCCTTCTCGAGATCCGTCCAGCCCTCACTTCCTCCGTGTAGACGGAAAGGAATGTGCACGTTTGCATCATCGCGATGGTCGGGCAGCCGCGCGCGAGCACCGAATCCAGATAGGTCTGAAACACCTTAAAGTTTTGCTGCTCTCCAGGCATCTCGCTCAGCTTCTGCATGAGGCCGATCTGCCCTTCGCGCTGCTCGGTGTCGCGCCGCACGGCGCGCGCCCACGTCGTCCGCGCCAGCCGCGACGCCTCGCCGCGCGACAGAAACGCACTCAGTCTGACTTGGATGCCCGCGCGTTCCAAGGAGCCGACGGCGTCCAGGTCCTCCGGCATCTTGTTTCCTTTAGATTTAAATAAGCCGAGCCATGCCATGCCCTCGGTGTCACTCTTGAATTCGGCGGCCTCGCTCGCGAAGTCGCGCACGGCCCGGGGTCTACCACCATCGCGCATCCGGAGCTTCAGCGTGCAGTGGGCCATCTCGGTGGGAATGCGTCGGCAGTTCTTCGGCCGGACGCGCAAGAGCCGGCGGATGTCCCCCGGCTCCCGTGCGCCCATAACCCCTGAAAACGTCACCGTCATTCTTCCGGTGGCGTCCAGCTCCTCGACGACCGCCGCCATGCGCCCGTTGAGAGGCTGGAGCGCGGGAGCCGCCGTGAGGCCGGTCAGGCACACGATCGACCGCAGGGCGAACCCACCGTCGGTGCGCCTGGGATCGAAAAACTTTGCGGCAATAGTCTCACCGACTTTCTCGAGTGCTTCCTGGTACCGAGGGTCGTCGCGGGAGAGAGGCTCGCGCCCTGCCATCGTCCTCTTGTCTGAAATGTCTGTCCCCTTTGCCGTTTCTCCGCGTACACAGCTTCGCCGACGCAAGGGTTAGTCTAAGTTACAGAGCAGCTCTCTCTGAAATGTCTGAAGAAACTGTGTCACCAAGACCCAGTGTTGATTAATCCCGTGTCAAGGGCGACTGCTGTGGTTCGCTATAACTTCGCCACGTCGATTGCGGTCGTCCACTCGCAGCAGCGAAACGCTTATGCACTGAGTCTAGCGCCCTGTAAGACACTAGCAAGCGGGAGGGGTACGGGGGACCCCGCGACGTAATTAGCCTGATCACTACCAAGTCATTACCACCACCCCCGCGGCGGCGGCCACGAGAGCGAGCGCCGACGCCGCCGTCGCCGCGGCCGACGACGACGCGCACATGTCCAGGCACGGCGTCGGCCGCATGTCCGCCTCTGCCGGCCACCGCCTGGCCCGCGCGCCGCCCAGGAGCTGCGTTCCGGGTTCGACGTCGCGCCAGGGCCAATTCGAGCCGTCCGCCAGCCAGACCTTCTGGCCCTCCGCCAGGGTGCCGTTGCACCGGTGCGCGATCTGGCACGAGAGCGCGTCCCAGAACTGGCATCCGCACGCGTTGATCTTGTGCTTGAGGTTGAAGGACACGCCCATCGGCGAGTCGTCGTCCCCGGCAGCTCCTGGCGCCCCGTTATTATCCGTCCAGCGCATGGGCGCAGCCCCAAGGCCGTCCGAGGCGTCGCCCCAGGCGCAGCTCCAGGGCTTCGTCGTTGAATAGACGCGGTCGCACATGGCTTCCGTGTTGTCGTCGTCGAGGAGGTTTGGTTCGGTCGTGCGGTTGACTAGTCGCAACACTCCGTCCTTGTTCGTCCAGTTGTAGACCGGGTCCCAGATTTCGGGGGCGTACCTGTGTGTCGACCAGTGAGCAGGCGCCGTCACGATGGCGTTGGCGGGACCTCCACGCCATCGAGCAGTAATTCCCACACCGAACCGCGCTGGCAATTCGTAACATAATCACAGCCAGCCGGGCAGTTCTCGCGCGTCCGGCGACTGCGGTCGGGCTGTTTCGTCTCCTCGTCGCCCCATTTCGCGCAGAGGTCGTAGGACGTGAGGTACGCCCGCGCCGTTGCCTCATCGTCGCCGGTCGCGCGGACCCGCTCCTCGACGAGTTGTGTGATAGCTGCGTCCGTCGGCGCGCCCTCGCAGCGCGGCGTCGTCGCGCGATCCGGCGCCTTAGCGAGCGGCACCGGGCAGGCCGAGGTCTGGAGGCAGAGGCTGTACTTATGTATCTCTTCGATGCACCTGTGCGGAAATCAAATGTCGGGCGCCCCACGCCATCGACGCGATGTTGTCTCTGTGACAGGGCGGCGATAACCCGACTCACTGGTTGAATTGCACACAGGGCAGACTGGATGTTCACCGCGTCGTCGTCCTCGAGGAAGACGACGCCCATCTTCCTCAGGCGCCGCCGCGCCAGCTCCTCGATCTCTGGCGCGACATCTGTAGCCAGGGCGGCTGCGCAGACGAGGAGCCAGTGCTGCCCCATCGTCCAGCGGGTGGGGACCCGAGGCGGACCTGCCTTCTCGCTGGCGGCTTCGGGGCAGCCTTTACGCTGCGACTGATGCGGACCTTAGCCTCTCCGCTGCGACTGCGTCGGACCTTAGGCGGCGGGCACGCTCCGTGAGTGCCACAGCGCCGTTGGACAGCCAAGACGAGCTGGCTAGTGTCTTACTGCCGCTAGCCCACGCGGGCTTGTCGGAGCTTGCCGCTATTTTGCCGGGCGTGGGTCCCGCTAGGCTTTTCCGGCACGCCCATTTACATCAAGGGGACCATCACTTGACGCTGGGGACCCGACCGCCCCCCTCGCGAACCGGTCGTGGCCAATTTACAACTTACAAGCTCAAGGCTTAACGCTCATTTGACGTTCGGACCGTCCGTGGGCGCCCTCTTAACTACTCTCATCCGTGGCGGGGAACCGACGCTCAATCGACTGTGCCACCGACAATGCTCTCCTGCCTCGCCCGCACGCCATTCAAGCCGATCAACAACGATTCGGACTCGGACGACGACACGGACTGCAACAGCGACGCGACGCCCGCCGGTTCCCCGGATCGCGAGGTGGGCGGCCGGCGGCTGATCGACGGGAGCCGCTGCCTCTATGTCGACTCGCGGCGGCTCTCGGGCTCGCGAGATCCAGCCGGGGCGTTAGCCGCCGCGGAAATAGTCGGTCGGAGCATCGCAAAGCCGACCGAGGCGCCAACGTCGCTCCTCGTCGACTGCCGCTCGGCAGGGCCCGACCTCTTTCCCTTTTATAGGGGGCTGGTGACGCAGCTCGCGAAAAGGCCATCGAGGTACGCGAAAATAGTCTTCAGCTCGACCAATCACGCGACCGACATATTCATCGTAAAGCTCCGAACAACGCTCCCGACGACGCTGCAGTCTCGGGTCGTCTCGCTGCGCGCCGACGGCGTGCCGACGCACGAGCTCGGCCAGATGGGCTTCCGGCAGAACGCGCTCCCTTCGTATGTGCGCGCCGACTATTCGCGCCTCCTCGAAAGCGAAGATAGCCTTTAAGACAACACAGTGTTAGTTCACAACCCAATATTCAGCGCGCCGATCATCGGCGACGCACTGACCGGCATAGCCGGAGCAGTCACGGGCGGCGCCTCGCCGATCGCCTCGTCGACGGCCGAGGACAGCTGGGCCGCAAGCTCCCGCAGCTCCTTCTCGGGATCCGCGGCGGCGACCGCCCTTAAAGCGTTTCGCGCCTGCGCCGCCGACGCCGGCGGCAGCCTCGTCCAGAGCTCGCTGTCCACGCCCACGAGCGACGAGAGCAGCACGAGGCCGCCCCGCCGCACGGTCGCGTCTCCAGAAAATCGCGCCGCCTCCAACGCGACGCCAAACACGTCTGCGGCCGCCACGCTTGATGGAACGCGCTTCGTGCGGAAGACGATGACAAACAAAGCCTGGAGCCAGGCCGCGCGCGTCACGATGGCGACGGCGGCCTGCGCCGGCGTCGAGCCCGCAGGCGGCTCGCGCGGCGCGCCTCCATGGATACACGCGCCCGCCAGCGCGTCTCCCAGCGCCACCAACGCTTTATCGTCCGTGAGCTGCCGCGCGGCCGTCGCGACGGCGTTCGCGCACGCGACCCTTAATACCCCGCAGCCGTCGCGCCGTTGGAGTGCTTTTATAACGTCCTCTGCTAACCCACTCGACAAAGAAAACGCGCCGACGGCGGCCTCCACACAATCCGTGCCGTACGGGTCGCCGCACGCCGCCACCAAACGCGCGAGCGGCGCCGGGGCCGCGTCCTCAACATCTGAAACCTCCACGACCAATGGCCGTGCCTTGGGCGGCGCTTGCGTCGCACAATGAGCGCTCTCGGCGCCCAGGAGCATAGCCAGCGCGTGGGCGGCGCCGCGCTGCGCCTCGGCGGCCCGTTTTCCATCCGAATCGTTCGGCACGTAGTGCAGTAATGTGAGAAGCGGCTCGAGGACCGGCGGTTTAGCTGCGAGCGTCGCGGAAGCACCGTGGACCGTCGCGGCGTGGCAGACGGCGTAGAGGGCCGCGCGCGCGGCGTCGGCGGTTTCGGCCGACGGCGTTTCCACGTACTTGAATATATCCTGGGCCGCCCGGGCGGTGTACGACGGAGGCAGGCGCCCGAGCACCTCGGCGGCGATAGTTTTCACGGCTTTGTGCTCATTCATCATCAGCGCCGCTTTGAGGAGCGCGAAGGCGCCGTCGGCGCCACTAAGGAACCAGAACTTCGCCGGCGCGCGCTTCATCGCTAATAAGGGAGCGAGGCGCGCGAAGAGGTCGTCACTTTCAACAGATACGATCGCGTTCATAGCCGCGCGCGCCGTCTCCCTATCACTGATCTCATCACATACACACCCCCAGAGCCGCAACGCCGCGGCGTCCTTGGGCACGCATGCTCTAGCTGCACAGCCCGCAGCCGTATTGGTCCACCGCGTGCCACCTTTCGACGCGATGCGCCCGACCCAGAGCGGCGCGCTCTTCAACACGCGGTCGGCCCACGCTTCTAACTCAATCTCGCCTTCTGTTGGAGACGCGTCGCCCTTCAGGCACTGGCCGAGGAAGGCGAGCGCGCCGTCGGCGTCGTCGCTTCCCGTTATATTGATGCCGACGCAGGTTTCGAGGGCCGTTTTCGAGGTTTCTGTTTGAGCGCGCTTCAGCGCGGCGCGTAATCGAGGCAGGGCCACGTCCGCGTCGATCTTCGCGAATAATCGTGACGCCCGGTCGCGCCGGTGCGCGTCGGTTGAGGTGGAGACCTCTCTACATAAGGCGTCCGCGGCGTCGCCCCCGATGTCCCGCCTTCCATTTTTTTGGGCCGCGTCGAGCACACGTTCTAACGCCGTGAGGCCGCCGCCGTTGCCACCGCACCGTGCTAACAAGGCGTCGAGGACCGGTGACTTCTCCTGTAGAGCGAGCGGCGCGAGGAGAGCCCCCACCGCGGCCGACGCCGGCTCATCCGGTTTTTCGCCACTATCCAAAATATTTAAAAGGGGCGCCGCGAGGTCGCTTGCGGAAGAACCCTTCAGTAAAGCTCCTTCCAGGGACCTCTTGAGCAGCGACGACGCTAGAAACGCCGTCGCGGCGTCGCAGCCGTCGGCGAACGCGTCTTCTTCCCCTTTGTCCGGGTCGCCTCTCAGTAAAAAGGCGCAGCTCGACTGCAGAGCCCCATGAACCTCGGGTCTCGCTTCGAGTAATGAATCCAGCCGCTTCGCCTTGACCTGGCCCAATACCAAACACGCGCGGCGGCAGGCCGCCCGCTTCAGGTCCGCTCGCGAACAGCGCGCCTCCCTTCTTTTCAACTTCTCCTTCTCGGGGTCGAAGCCGTCATCATCGCTATCGTCGTCCGATTCTACTTGATTGTGTGATACGGCTTGTAGTTCCTGCGCGACGCTCGCGACCGTGGTCGCTATAGAATCCTTGTCCACAAAGAGCAATGAAGGCGGCGCCGCGCGCAGCACCCAGGCCAGTCTCAATGAAGCGGCGTTTTGCGCTCGGGCCGCGGCTTGCGTCACCTCCGCTGTATCCCGCCCGTCTCTATCATTTTCTTGTATTGTAATATTTAACTCAGAACTCGACGCCAGCGCGCTCTGGATGGGCGACTTCTGTCTAGCTTGCGCCGAGGCCGCGCCGGTGCCATCGACCTTCCCCGCCGCGTCGGCGCCGAGCTCTGTCAGCAAATCACGTAATGCATTGACATAGGACGCGCGGTGGCTCGACGTCCCCGCGTGCCAGCCGACTTGACCGTGGATCGACCGCGCGATTGCTGGCAGTAGCCCCAATAATTGCGTGCGGCATCTCTGGTACAAATCGGGCGCGCACGACTCGTCTGTTTCTCCATCCGTGTCGTCATCACTATCCGCCTCCCTTAGAGTGGTAGAGGTCCACTCGGCGCCGCGAGATAAGGCATGTACTAACTCGTGGAAGGCCCTGGCGGCTGCAGTACTTAAACGCGTGGGCTTCTCCGCGTCTGATATAATCGATGATAACGCCTCCCCGATATGTGCGAGGGCGACCGCGGCTACGACGCCGCCCGCGTCCTCAATACCATGACCCGCTTTGACGTGGCAGGCTCTTCCAATTGTCTCGCAGACGCCGAGGACGCGCCACCTTTCGTCATCACTATTTCCCACGGCCGCCGCGAAGGCCCGCGAGGCCTTCACGGAGCTCAGGCCGCCCTCGCCGCGGCGCAGCAGCCACCGCGTCAAGAAGCCGCAGTTTTGGGTCAATTGGTCGTCGCCCCTCTTCGCGGCCTTCGCCGACGCGTCGGTTATGAGCTGGAAGACGCGTCTCAGCGCCGCGGCGTCTTCATCATCATCGGCCTCGGCCCGGATCAGTAACGCGTCGAGCGCGGCGACCTTGCTCTTGCTTTTCTGGGCGTACGGCGCCGCGCCGCGGGTAGCCGCGCGCGCCGCGTCGCGGTCGTGTTTTAGGGCTGCGTCTACTACATGTGCAAGCATCGTAGTTTGTGTCTCTCCGCTCGCTGCGCTTCTTCGGCCGCAATCGCTGCGCGCTCTCCGAAGCTGGCTGCTCTCGCTTTGGCTACAGCCGTACAAGCTGGCTACAGCGACGCGCGTGCGTGTTCGCAGCAACTGTGGCGTGCTTTGTATGTGTTTCACCACGCACGCAGAGCGATGCTTGCAGCGATTTGAGGCGAGCGCGCCGGCTCGCAGCTAGCGGCATGTAAGACACTAGCCGCACAAGCTTTTTGATCGATGACGATCGCGACTGCTGTGTAGCGCACGCGAAGCACATTAGTGCGTTGACCTATTCAATAGAGCGCTGCGCCCACTCTACAGCGCGTTCGACCGCTTCGCCGCGCGCTGGTCTGCAGTGCTAGCTGCACACTGCACACTGAAAAGCCGCAACAAGCGCGCGCGAGCGTCGACCACCGGTCGCAGCGCGCCCACCAATAGCAGCAGCGAAGAGCTCGCAAACACTGCTCGCAAGCACTGCACACTGCTGCAGCGACAAGATCTCGCAAACATGGGTCGAATGAACAACGCCCGCCGCCAGCAGCAGAACGCCGAGGTCATCAACAAGTCGACGCGGTCGCGGTTCAGCACCTGGAAGCCGCCATCCAAGAAAAAAGAGGGCAAGGGCGGCAAGGGCCGCGGCCGCGGCGGCGGCAAGGGGCGCCGCGACGAGGCCAAGCCCGAGGCGCGCGTTATTGGTGGACTCACCGTACGAGCTGCCAAGAAGAAGACTGACCCTAAGCCGCAGTCGGCCACGTCGGCGGCGCTCGAGCGGCAGCGGCGCCTGCTCAAGGGCGTGGACGTCAACGCGCTGGAAGCGGTCGACATGTCGAAGGACCACGCGAAGTTGGTCGAGGAGTTGTTGCTGAGCTATGGTGTGGTCGACGACGGCAGCGGCTCTCAACAGGCGTCCAAGGTGCCCGCGCCACCACCAAAACCGAAACCATTACCGACGGGCGACGCCATGCCGCCCAAACCCCCAGCACCACCGCCACCGATCGATGACGACGCCCCGCCGCCCGGGAAAGAGCAGGCGGCCATCTGGACCCATTTAACTAAAAGACTGTGCTTCAAAGATTCGAGAGCGCGGCAAGCACTCCAACATTCTAAAACCAACACATTGTCAGCTGCATTAGATTGGTTGTGCGTCACGTGTGATGAAGCCGAGCTCACGAAGTCCCTCAGAAGAAATAATAAAGCTGCAAGGGTCACCGTCGTCACCGGAAGTTCAGGTGGCGTCGAGCTCGCGGGGTCGATCGACTGGCAGCTCGCGACGGCGGCGTGTGGCTTGGAAGCATTGGGGTTCGACAGCAAGGACGCCAAGCAAGCGTTATCGGAGGCCAAGGGCGACGAGCGGCGGGCCTTGAATCTGTTGACTCAGAAGAGCTGCTCTTCACTAAGAGCGTCGGACGCCGTCGAGGCCGAGCTCGCCGCGCAGGAGCGGAGCGACGAAGTCGAGGCCCTCAAGGCCATCTTCGGCGACGATGCTATTTCACTCGTTGATGATTGTGTGAAGATCAGCCTCGACTCGCGCGAGTTCCTGGAGCTGCGGAAGCCGGCCGGCAGCGTGAAGTCGTCGCTCGAGTGTTTTGTGAGTGGTCAGGACGCCTACCCCGTGCGCGGGCCGCCCCGGTTGTTGTTTCGGAACGCATTGCTGCCGCCCGGCGTCTTGCGGGACGTGCATCTACAATTATGCAAGCACGTCTCCAGCATCGAAGGGCCCGCTTTATATGAAGCGTGCGAGTGGCTCCGCGACGCGGTCCATGAATCGCACGCCCGTTTTTTAGGAGAAGGCGTGGCACCGGTCGTGGATGAGGAGGAGGAGAAGGCCGCATCCATTTGTAAGGCCGAGGCCGAAAGACGCGAGGCCGACAAAGTACAAAAAGAGGCCGACGCGGCGGCACAAGCGAGGGCCGACAAGGCGTCGCGCGTCGCGTTCCTCAAGAGTTCTAATTCCAATGAGGACTTGGTGCAGGCGAGGCGCGATGCTGAGAGAGCAAGGAGCGAGGCGTTGCGCGCGGAAGGCGTCGTTGAAGATGAAGACGAGACGGACGAGGATATTGTTATGCCGAGCCAGCTCGGCGCGGAGTTCGATGAACGAGCATCATGTCTAGCGGCGAAGCTACAAGCGCCCGAGGATGCTTGTAGAGCGCTGCTGAAGCAGGCTTCAGTATCGAAGGAATGCAAGCGGCTCTTCCAGGCCAATGATACGGAACGGGCCTGGCAGCAAGCGATCCAGGAGGCCGAGCGCCTCCACGGCGTGCGCCGCATCGGCGAGAAGCGCGGTTTGTCGGTGAACAACATGCCCGAGAACTTCGCGCCGTCGCCGATGCTCCTGGATATCATGGCGCAGATCGATGAACAAGTACAACAACATCCTTATTTGGAGGCGAACAACGACCCTCCACCGGAAGTGGTCGAGGAGGAGCCGGAGGATCCCGCGGTCACGAAGCAAGCTCTGGAAGAATCCAAGAAGCTGAAGAAGGAGTTAGATACCAAGAGAAGCAAGGACGAGACGTATAAGCGGTTATTGGCTCAAAGGAAGCAGCTACCGGCCTACCAGCGCGGTTCAAGTGTCGTCAAGGCTATAAGGGAGCGAAGAGTCGTGGTCGTGAGCGCCGACACCGGTGCGGGCAAGACCACGCAAGTGCCCCAATTGGTGCTAGATGACTGCATCGATCGAGGAGAAGGCGCGCGGTGTTCCTTGGTCGTGACGCAACCTCGAAGAATCAGTGCCGTGGGCGTCGCGCAGCGCGTCGCCGAAGAACGAGCAGAAAAAATAGGGAAGACCGTCGGGTATAGTATAAGGGGCGAGGCCAAACGAAGTACGGATACGAGGATACTGTTGTGTACGACGGGCGTGTTACTGCGACGGCTACAGTGCGACGGGGAACTCAAGACGTTATCGCACGTTTTTGTGGACGAGGTTCATGAACGCGACGTCGCTACCGATTTCCTACTTATTGTGCTGCGACGGTTACTTACCAAAAGACCGAAGCTCAAACTCATCCTCATGAGCGCTACTTTAAATGCGCAAGTGTTTGCCGACTATTTCCGCCAGTTCGACCCGTACCTGGCCGAAATTCCGGGCCGGGCCCACCCCGTCCAGGCCTTCTACCTCGAAGATGCGTTAGCGTTGACGGGGCTGCGCGTGGACGCGAGGGACGAGTGCGCCGTCGGGAGTTTTCGCTCGAAGCAGGCGAGTCGTGGTTCGCAGCCGAAGAGCGCCCTCGTCGGGTTGACGAAGCGCGACTGGGCCGCGAAGCTCAAGGACTACCCCGACGACGTCCACTCTTCTTTATCTGCGTTGGATCCGGCCTGCGTGAATTACGCATTGATCGTGCGCGTCGTCGAAGCCATCTTTGTGCGGGGTAGTGATCCGTGGACGAAGCATTGCTTCGAATCGGTTAAAGATGATAAGGATGGGGCCATCCTCATTTTCGTGACTGGTTTAGCCGAGATCACGGCGACCGTCGAGAAGCTGCGCTCGTCGGAAGTGCTCGAGGGCCGGGCGACGATCCACGCCCTGCACTCCCAGCTGTCGACGAGCGACCAGCAGGCCATCTTTCGGCGGGCGCCTAAAGGTACTCGTAAGATCGTCGTCTCGACGAACATTGCTGAAACGAGTATCACGATCGACGACGTCGTCTACGTCGTCGACGCGGCGCGCGTGAAAGAAAATAGGTACGACGCGGACCGGGGGTTAGCGACGTTGGAGGAAGTGTTCGTGTCGCGGGCGGCGGCGCGGCAGCGGCGGGGCCGCGCCGGCCGCGTGCGACCGGGCGTCGCCTTTCATTTGGTGACGAGATTGGCCCACGACGGCGAGTTCGACGCGTATCCTCAGCCCGAGATCCTGCGGACGTCGCTGGAAGATCTCGTGCTCCAGATCCTGGTGCTCGATTTAGGGGATCCCAAAAAGTTCCTGCGAGGTGCCGTAAGTCCGCCGACGGCGCAGGCCGTCGACCGGGCTCTGGAATTGCTGGCGCAGATCGACGCGCTGGAGCCCATGGACAGTGACGGCTCTCCTAAGGTCGCGGCGCTGACCGCTCTAGGATTTCATCTGGCAGCTTTACCGGTCGAGCCGCGCGTCGGCAAGCTCTTGTTGGTGGGTGCGATGCTCGGCGCGACAGGAGCGGCCCTAACACTAGCCGCGGTCATGACCTCGCCGCGAAGCATCTTCGTCGCTCCATTTGATATGCGCGACCAGGCGGACGAGGCGAGGCGGCATCTAGCTGTTGCGTACTCCGACCACCTGACGGGCGTCGCGGCTTTTGATGAATGGCGCCAGCAGAAGAAGTCGCGGAACGAGTTCCGCTGGGCGCGGGCGAACTTCTGCGGCGGCCAGACGCTCAAGGCGATCGACCAGTCGCGCGACCAGTTCGCGCGGCACCTGCAGTCCATCGGGTTCATCGGGAAAGGTAATAAAGCATTGCGGGAGGCGTTGAATGGTACTGCGGACTTATTGCCTGATTCCCAATCTGGGAGTAAGTCCGCTTCGGACGCGGCGGACGCGTCGGCGCGGTCCGCGGCGTTACTCAAAGCGTTACTGTGCGCGGGGCTCTACCCGAACGTGTTGGTGGCGCCGCGCGACGTGCGCTTGTTGGGGGAGAAGGCGCCCGAGGTCTCGGTCCGCGGCCGCGTCCTTTCCTTACGAGTGTCACGGCGTGGGGTCGGGCGCCGCCCGCGATTCACCCCTCATCACTGCTTCCTCGCAGGCGGAGCCGTCCTTCACGCCCTCGTCCAAGAGCAAGACCGCGGGCGAGTGCGCGTTCACGCGGTGCGACCCGGACGTCGAGCGGTGCATCAAGGAGCGCCAGGAGAGCGGGAGGAGGCCTAGGTTCGACGACGGGCCCGAGGACGCGGCGTACTTGCATCCCTGTTGTTTATGCTTTGATGCTACTGCACTAGATCACCGCTATGTTGTATACAGGGAGATCGTGCGGACGGCCAAGGTTTATGTGCGGGACGCGACGACGGTGGCGCCGCTGGCTTTGATCCTGTTTGGGGGGCGGCTCACGGTGCACCACGAGCGGGGCATCATTTCTGTGGACGAGAAGGTCCACTTCCGCGCGCCGCCCAAGGTCGCGACGCTGGCGTCGATTTTACGAAGCGAGCTCGAGGCCTTGTTGCTACGGAAGATCGTGACGCCGGACGCGCAAGTCGACCAGAGGGAGCGGGCGTTCGTCGACGCGTCGCGCGCGGTCCTCGGCGCCGAGGCTCTCGGGGACGCCCAGAAGCGGAGCACGAACAAAGGCGCCGCCTTCCAGCCGAAGTCGCGGCCCAAGCCGAAGAAGAAGGAGCGGCCGCCGGTCGTTGTTTCCACGGGCCAGGACCACGACGAGTCGGCGACGCACGGCGACGCCCAGGCCTACCAGAAGCCGGCGGGCTTTAAGGTGCTCCGGGGCGACGCGGCGGCGTACCAGCCGACGAGCAACGGCGGCGGCGCGCGCGTGCCGCGGTCTCGCGGGCGTGGTGGGCGAGGGCGTGGGCGCGGGCGGTCGCGCGTCCAGCACTAGCTTTCTTTCTTTCTTTGTGTAACTATTGTGGTTTTGATGTCTTAATGTTTTTTAGGAACGCAAGTCCTTACGCAAGTCCTACGCAAGTCCTTACGCGGCAGGAGGAATTTCCTTGCGATAGCCCTCCAGCTTTCTCTGAGCACGCAACACGTCGGGGTGAGCCGGACCCAAAACGCGCCGCATGACTACGACAGTGTCCTCGAGCATCTGAAGCGCCTGGCGCTTTTCATTGCCGGAGGAGTCTCCGTCCAGTGTCGCGCGAGAGAGATCCTCGCGCAGAGACAACGAGAGCGCGTGTTCAGCACCGAGAACACGTCGCGCTACGGACGCCACTTTGCGTAGTACTCTCTTCGCTTCTTCGAAGCGCCGTAGAGTACTAAGAAGCATCGCGTAGTTGTTGGCCGCTCGGAGGGTCATTTCATGTTCCTCGCCGTTAAGCTTCAAACGCCCAGAGTATACGTCTCGCTGCGTGCGTAGGCAGTCGTCAAGTCTCCCAAGTGATCTGTAGGAGCCCGCAAGGTTGTTCTGCACGACGAGTATAGAGCCTGCGAACAAGGATCAGCTTGTGAAAATTTTGACTTACCACGTCGTGCCCGGCACGGCGCTCTCGACCGACCTCACGGAAGGCGTCCTTCCTACGGTCCAAGGCGAAACGGTCGAGGTGACGCTCGACCCGATCGCGATCAACGGGGCCGGCGTGGCTATCCCCGACATCCTCGCAAGCAACGGCGTTGTACATGTGATTGATGCCGTGCTGACCCCGCCGGAGGGCCTCTAGATCTTCAGACGACGAACGACCTACTCCCTTTTCCACTACCCCGCGCGTCCTTACCGTGTAACTCTGGTGTTATGCAACTAGCTGGACGAGTTGGACGGACGCAACTTGGCGGCGGGCAGGTCAACAGAGGAGTACTAGAAATCTTTTTACGTGAGGGAATGGGGCACAGGAACTATAATTCATCATCTCCGAAGTCGTAGTCCTCCTCCTCCTCGCCGCCGCCGGGGCCGCCCGCGCCCTGGTACACGTTCCGCATGATGGGATTGGCGATCGCCTCGACCTCCTTCTGCTTGGAGGTGTACTCATCCTTGTCGGCCTCCGGGTTTTCGTCGAGCCAGTCTAGCGCCTCGTTAATCGTATTTTCGATCTCCTCCTTGTCATCAGCAGACAGCTTGTCGGCCACGCCCTTCTCGTCGTCGTCGAGCGTGTTCTTCATGTTGTACCTGCGAAATCAACCAGTGAGTCGGGCGCTCACGCCGTCGAGCTGGCGTCGCGTCGATGGCGTCGAGGTGGCGCCACCAAATCACGGACGCCGCATTGTACAGGTACGACTCGAGGCCGTTGCGCGCGTCGATGCGCTCCTTGACCTTCTTGTCCTCGTCGGCGTACTCCTCGGCCTCGCGGACCATGCGCTCGATGTCCTCCTCGGACAGGCGGCCCTTCTCGGCCGTGATCGTGATCTTCTCGGCCTTGCCCGTGCCCTTGTCCTCGGCGCTGACTTGCAGAATACCGTTCGCGTCGATCTCGAAGGTCACCTCGATCTGGGGCACGCCCCGCGGCGCCGGCGGGATGCCGGTGAGCTCGAACTTGCCGAGCCTGTGTGAAAATCAACCGGTGAGTCGAGTGGTCGCGTCGATGGCTTGAAGGGGTCGCGGACGCCGCATTTCTACAAGTGGTTGTCCTTCGTCATCGAGCGCTCGCCCTCGAAGACCTGAATCAACACAGCCGGCTGGTTGTCCTGGTACGTCGAGAAGGTCTGCGACTTCTTCGTGGGGATGACCGTGTTACGGCTGATGAGCTTCGTCATGACGCCGCCGACGGTCTCGATACCCTGGGACAGCGGCGTCACGTCCAAGAGAAGTAAATCCTGGACCTCGGCCGAGTCGTCTCCGGAAAGGATGCCGCCCTGCACGGCGGCACCGTACGCGACGGCCTCATCAGGGTTGATGCCGCGGCTCGGCTCCTTGCCGCCGAAGTAGTCCTTGAGCAGCGACTGGACTTTCGGGATACGGGTGGACCCGCCGACCAAGACAAGTTCGTCGATCTCCGTCTTCGCGAGGTCGCCGTCCTCCATGACCTTGCCGACCGGGCCCAGGGTCTTCTTGAAGAGGTCCAAATTGAGCTCCTCGAAGCGCGCGCGCGTCAGCGTCTCGGAGAAGTCGTTGCCGTCGTAGAGCGACTCGATCTCGAGGCGCGCCTGGTGCTGGTTCGAGAGGGCGCGCTTGACGCGCTCGACCTCCCTCCGCAGCTTCTGGACCGCGCGCTTGTCGCTGGTGATGTCGTTGCCGTCCTTCTTCTTGATCATCTTGATGAAGTACTGCATGATGCGCTGGTCGAAGTCCTCCCCACCTAAATGGGTGTCGCCGTTCGTCGCGAGCACCTCGAAGACGCCGTTGTCGATCGTCAGGAGCGTCACGTCGAACGTGCCACCTCCGAGGTCAAAGACGAGGATGTTCTTCTCGCCCTCCTTCTTGTCCATGCCGTAGGCGATGGCGGCGGCGGTAGGCTCGTTGATGATGCGCTGCACCGTCATGCCGCTGATCGTGCCCGCGTCCTTCGTGGCTTGGCGCTGCGCGTCGTTGAAGTACGCCGGCACCGTGACGACGGCGTGCTTCACCTCGGAACCGAGGAAGGCCTCGGCCGTGGACCGCATCTTGGTCAAGACCATGGCGGAGATCTCCTCCGGCGCGAAGACTTTTTTCTCGCCGCCCTCTAATACAACTTGCACGTAGGGCTTGTCGTCCTTGGGCACGAGCGCGAAGGGGAAGAGCTTCTTGTCCGCTTGCACGGACTTCTCGTTGAACTTGCGGCCGATCAATCGCTTGACGTCGAAGACCGTGTTCTCGGGGTTGATCGTCGCCTGGTTCTTGGCGGCGTCGCCGATCAGGCGCTCGCCGGCGTCGTCCCACGCGACGTACGAGGGCGTGATGCGGTTACCCTGGTCGTTCGCGATGATCTCGACCCTACCGTTCTGGAAGACGCCGACGCACGAGTACGTCGTGCCCAAATCAATCCCGATGACCGTCCCGAGGTCCTCCTGGGCGACGGCCGCGGTCGCGAGCGCCGCCGCGGCGAGCGCGGTGCGCATCATCTTTTTTTTACTGCTGCTTTTGTGGGTACGCGTGTGCCTGTGGGGTTTGTGTGTTATTGCTACGCGCGGCGGCGGCGTGAAGTGGGTGTATGTTACGGCTGGCCGCCGCCGGGTCAGAGCCGAGCGCGCGCATCAATGCATGCAGCGACAGCGTGCAGGCGGTTTTGAGGCGCCTCGGCGACGCACAGCAGCGCAATGCACGAATCAAGTGTGCGCGGCTACGGCCGTGCCGTGCGGCCCGATTATTGATCCTCGCAGTGGGTGCCACGCGTCGACCCGAGTGCGGTTATGCGCGGCGTCCGCTGGCGAAGGTGTGCTGGCAGGGTTGGACGCGGCTTTGTACGGTTTTTGAGGCAACCGGGATGCTCCTGCGTTGCACAATTGCTACGCGTGGCTCACTGCGAGGTCGAGTCTCGGCAAAATCGCTCAAGCCCTCGGGTTTCGTTTCGTCGATCGCAATAGTCCTGAGTCGGGGATCACAAGGCTCCGAGCGGCCCATAGCGACTAATACACGGCGTGGAAGAAAACCCGGCACCTCCAGCTGGAGCCTCGAGAGAGAGCCGGCTCCCCCAGACGCGTCGTTGGGGCTGCTGCCCCAAAGGAGCTACAAATGATCCTCACACAGTGCGCCGTCTGCGCCACCGAGCTTGGCTTAAGCTTGGGTAAGAAATGCGGCCGCTGCAGCACACGCTACTGTGGGGCAGCCTGCCAGGTGCAGCACTGGAAAGAAGGCGGGCACGACCAGCTCTGTAAGAAAATAAAAAAGGCAGGCGGCGCCGAGCAGTACACTGCGAATCAGAATTACACGAAAACCGTATCGGTCGCGGTCGAGAAGTGCGCCGAAGACACCAAGGGCCAGACGTGCTACATCTGCACGCAGGCCCTCCATTGGAAGACGAAGGAGGGCCTCGTGCGTATGTGCTCCTGCCGCGGAACGTCGGGGTTTGCGCATGTGTCGTGCTTGGCGGAAGAGGCGAGGATTCTGGTGGCGGAGGCCGAGGAGAACAACTTGCGCGGCAAGGTGTTTGATGAGAGATGGGTGCGGTGGAACAATTGTGGCCTGTGCAAGCAAGAGTACCACGGCGTCGTGTACTGCGCGCTCGGGTGGGCATGCTGGAAGACTTACGTGGGTCGGCCGGAGGCCAACGTGTTACGGATGCACTCTATGACAACGCTCGGAAACGGACTTCGCGCGGCCAGTCAGAACAGGGAACGGCTTGGACTCCTCGAGTCCCAGTTTGCCTTGATGCAAAGAAGTCGTGTTAACCGCGAAGCGATTCTGGCCGCTCAGGGGAATATGGCGAACTGCTTGGAAGATCTCGGACGTATTGAAGATGCCATTGAACTATCAGTCCAAGTCCACAGCGGCATGAAAGCCCTTAGAGGTAATAGACATACAAATACGATAATCTGCGGTTTAAACTTGGCTGCTTCTCTGCAAAGCAAAGGAAGGACCACCGAAGCTCAATCTCTCGCTGCCGAATACCTTCCGATTTCAGAGAGCGTATTCGGACCCCTCGACGTTAATACACTGGGACTACGCAGCACTTATTTACGGGCCCGGTGTAGGGACCCTGACATATCCCTAGATGACTGGCGCAAAGCTGTGTCGTCGATGGACGACCTCTATCGAACAGCAGTCAAAGTCCTCGGAACCCAGCACCCGTTGACGGTGCAATGCAAGGATGACGGAGAGGCGTCCCAAAAGGCGCTCGCCGAAATCGATGCGCAGGCTAGCCTAGAAGCACTCGCATTGTAGGAACTAAAATTTAAAACAACCGTTAAAATTAAACATCATCTAAAGCTCGTCCGCGACCGCGTCCAGGTCCTCCACGTCCTCGTCCTCCTCCGCGCCGTCGACGACCTCATCAGAGGCCTTCTTGTCGATGCCCTCCTTCATGATCTTCTCCCAGTACTCCTGCTGCGGGTCAGCGACCTTCCGGATCATCGCGGGGTATTTCGCAACGAGCTTGTGCAGTAAAGCGCCGAATTTCTTCGACGTGTCCGCCTTCGCGGCGAGGCCCTCGGCCTTCGACGCGTCCCCTTTATTTTTCTCGTAAAGTTCGGTCAGCGTCTTGAGCCGCCGCGCCGGCGCCTCGTCGGGCTTGACGCACTTGCACGCGGCGACCTGGCCGTCCGTGTGGCGCTTGCAGGCGCCCTGGTCCATGGACTGCATGAGCTGCATCATCGACTTCTTGCGGTCGCACTCCTCCTTGTCGGGCGCGTCGTCGCAGGCCTTGTCGGCGCAGGCCTTGAGCTCGGCGTCGCAGAATTTTGTGGAGGTGCCGCAGATCGAGTCGCAGGCCTGGCGCCGGTCGCAGCACGCGTCGATGGGCGTCGGCTCGGACTGTTTGGCGCTGAACCTGCGGTGTGCCGCCGCGCCTTTCCGCGACGCCGTTCTCGCTTTGATACGGCCGCGACTGAAAGCGACGGGTCTCTCTCGGGCCGAAGTTACGGCGTGCTGGCGTGAACATGGCGCCGCCCGCCGAAGAAGCTCGACGGCCCTTTGTTGCTATTTGATGGACGCGGGTCCGCGCATCTGCATGCCCGCGCCGCTGTTCAGCGCGTCGCAGCCGCCCTTCTTCGCCTTGAAGGACAGGCGGTTCTGCACGGCCTCCTTCTCCTTCGGGCACTTGTACGGGGCGCAGTATTTTTGCTGCCCAAACATGTTGCCAAAGTCCTCTTGAGCCGCGGCGAGCGCGGAGAGCGCGACCAATGGCAAGAGGCGTACCATTGCAAAGTCCTCTTGAGCCGCGGCGAGCGCGGAGAGCGCGACCAATGGCAAGAGGCGTACCATTGTTCGAGAACTCGCTGCGGGAGGAGTGCAGGGCTGCACTTATGCGCGTAGGCAGCGATTTCGGCTGCTCGAGCCGCCTCACGCCCTAGTGTGTATCGGCACGCTAGGTCTCCACCGGGACTCAGGCAAAAAGCGGCCGTACTCTTGCCCTTGGTTTGCCGTAGTAGTGTGAAAGTATCACAGACATAGTGCTTGTGACGCTCTGCCCAGTTGTGCGCGCATTCAAGGACTCCCAGACCCACAGCACAGGGCGCCATTGCGAGCAGCCGCACGATATGACGCGTACCAATCCGCGCCAGCCCCTCTGGCAGCGCGTCAAAGAGGAGGCCGACTACAAGACGCTGGGCAGCGCCCACGACCGACAGAAGCTATCAACTCTCGCGGACGGAGCTAGATGGGAGCACGGCGCCGACGCTGCAAAATTATCAACCTACGCGGCGCGGCACGCGGCGGCGCAGCCGGCCTACGACGCCGCCGCCGCGCGCTACGCCGCGGACGACGGCGACGACGACGACCGCTTCGCCGAGCTGCCCCGCATCGCCAAGGACGTGCCGCGGACCTTCGGCGGCGTCGACGCGCCCTGCGCGGCCGCGGCGCGGGCGCAGGCGTCTCCAGCAATGCCGGGCTGGGCGTTAAGGTTGATAGGCATGGCGCCGACGGTGGAAGAGGACGACGACGGCGACGACAAGGAGCTGTATGATAGGCGGCGCGCGGAGCGCCTCGCGCGGCTGCTGAACATTGGGAATGAGCAGCTACCGTACGCCCAGGGCATGAACTTCGTGGCGGCTTCTATACTATCCGAGTGCGAGCGCGGCGGCGGCGCCGACGAGGCCCTGGCGTTCGGCCTGTACTGCTACGCGCTGCGCGACCTGGGCTGCGAGAAGCTTTATGGGAGGCGCCTGCCCGCGGCGCTGGCTGCGCTAGACTTGAGTTTAAGAAGGCACGCGCCCGCGCTGCACGCGCACCTGTCGAGCTGCGGCTTCGACCCCCAGCTCTACGCCGTCGAGTGGCTCTCGGCGCTCTTCGTCGTGAGCGTGCCGCGGACGCTGTCGCTGGCCGTCCTGGATCTGCTGTTCGCGGGACTCGAGGACGCGCCTATTAGGGTGGCGGTAGCGATTCTGCGCCAGGCGGAGAAGCCGCTGCTGCGCCTGAAGACGCTGGACGACCTCGTGGCCGGGTTCAAGCCCGCCGTGCGCGCCGTGCGGCCGAAGCTTGTATTGATAGACGTGCTGCGCGTGGCGAACCGCGTGCCGCTGCTAGCGTCGCCCGCGTCGCCGAAGAGCGCGCGCAGTAACGCCGTCGAGACGCCCTTCGGGGAAGGAATCGTGACGGGCGTCGCAGCCCAGGGCCGCGTCGCCGTGGCGTTGACCTGGGGCGGCCGCGCCGAGCTCGAGCGCCGCCTCGTGACGAGCGCGCCGCCGCCGCCGCCTCCCGACTCGTCGCCATCCATACCGACGGCGCGCTGGACGGGGTCCTCGCCCGACGTCAATTGGTTCCGCGCGCGCGCGGATTTTGCGGATTACTGATCCCCCCTATACGCCATCGACGCGATCCAAGCAGGACATCTGGCGGCCGTTGGGCTCGAACGACGGTGTTGATCTCGCGACGAGGCCTATTTTTGTAAGTGTTGTTAAAAATCTATCCGCTCCGGTCCTGCTGGCGCTGCAATTCACTACGCCGCTCCTGGATCTGCGCCATCTTCACCTGCATCATCTGGACGATGGCGTCGTAGTTCTGCTGCTTCGAGGCCACGACGGTGTTGATGTCCTCGGCGTTCTTCGAGACGGTCCCGATCTTCCTATCTAATAATTCTGTGGCGCCTTGTTGCGTTTTCTCGATGTAATACCCCGTGCCGAGCTCGACGAGCAGCTGGTCCGGGTCGCCCAGTTCCCCGGGCACGTATAACGATTGGGTGAGGGGCACGAGCATGCGCCGCCCCTCGTCGTCCTTCGAAATGGCCGCGAGCGCGTCCTTCGATTGCCGAAAACGGCCCTCGGCCTGCTTCAATCCCGAATGTCTGGCATGTAATTGTTTGATCTCGTTCTCGAACTGGCCCTTGTATGTGTTCAATTGTTCGAGCGACATGGCGCTGATGTCGACCTGCTGCTGGGCCATGGTGCTTTGGCGCGGCGGCGGCGTTGGCAGCTCGCGGCGGCACGGCTACTGCTTATGCGGCGGCGGCGGCAGCTGGATCTCAGAGGAGCGAGCCGCGCCAAACAGATGATTGCGGCGGGTTCTCGAGCGAAATGAGGGCCCAAATGGAAGCACGGCAAGTGGTGGCTGGCTGCTGGTGTGGCAGGCGGCTGAATGTCCTCGGCCTGCGATTTCCAGCCGCGATTATCTAGTGTAGTGACATACTAGCGCGTCAGGTGAAAACGCGCAAGCCGTGTGCTGGAGGCAATCTCGCGCACCAGCGACCCACAGAACTGCAACAATGCTCCTCCTTCGCCGCGCGACGCGACCACTGCGCCAGCTGTGCACCGCTGGGCGGCCCATCCACGTGCTGCGCCGCGCGACGCGACCACAGCAGCTGTGCTGCGCAGCCAGCACCACTCAGCAAGGGCTGCGCAGCGCGACGCGACCAGCGCTCGGCCGCACCCTCGCCACGGCTGCGCCGCAGCCCATCCACGACGCATTACGCCAAGTCCTGGAAAACGGCACTAAAAAGCGACGGAAGTTCGACGAGTCCGTGGACCTCGACGTCATGCTCAACGTCGACCCGCGCAAGCCGCTGCAGGCGGTGCGCGGCGTCGTGAGCCTGCCGCACGGCGTGGGCCGCAGCGTCGTCGTGGCGGCCGTCTCCGACGACCCCGCGGCGCGGGAAAATGCAAAGGCGGCCGGCGCGGACGTCGTCGGCGGCGAGGACCTGGTGGACCGCGTCGCGGACGGGTACGTGGAGTTTGACGCGTGCGTCGCGACGGCGGACATGGCGCCCCTGCTGAAGCGCAAGGCCGCGCGCGTGCTCGGGCCCAAGGGTTTGTTACCGGCGGCAAAGAACGAGGGCACGCTCGCCGACGACGCGGACGGCTTGGGGGCGCTTGTCGCGGAGCTCAAGAAGGGCCGCGTGAAGCTGCGGACGGAGCCGAAGCGGGGCGTCCTCCACGCGCCCTTTGGTAGATTGAGTTTTGGTGAGGACAAGCTGCTCGCGAATTTGAGGAGCGTGATGCTCGCCCTCGTGGCCGCGAAGCCGGAAAAGGCGCCCAAGGGGAAGTACTTCCTCGCCGCCTCGCTCTCGTCGACGATGGGACCCGGCGTGCCCGTCGACGTCGACTCGTTGGACCCCGCGTCGCCGCGGTTCTTTAGGGAATCTGACAGTTAACATCAAAATTACAACAGTTCACGACTCCTTCGACGAGCGCTTCTTTTTCTTCCGACGCTTCTTGCGCTTCGAAGAAGAAGACGCCTCCGACGGCGCGGGCCGCTTCGCCGGCACACAGAGCTCGAGCGCGACGAGCTGCACCTTGTCGGCGACGGCGCGCGCGTCGCAGCGCGCGACGGCCGCGTTCCCCGCGAACCGCGCCGCGTCGAAGGTGTGCGGCACCTTGAGCAATAAATGACGGCACCCGAGGCCCGCGACGGTCTCGACGAAGCCGTCGAGCGTCCCGGTACCTTTCAAATGGACGCCCTGTTCCGAGTCGACGTCCTGGCAGTCCTCGTAGTGGCGGCCGCCCCAGGGCGGGTCCGCGAAGACTAAGGTAGACGACCAGTCGACGTCGAGCGTCGGCAGCTTCTCCAAGCAGTCGCCCTGCACGACGTCGACGCGGCCCAGCCGCTCGAAGCGCCGCACGTGCGTTATGTTGTGCGCGAGCATGCGCGACCTCTCCATATTCAGCTCAATACTCACAACGCGCGGGAACCGCCGCGCGAAGGCGATGCTGTTGCCGCCGACGCACGCCGTCGCATCCACAACACACGCGACGCCGTCGATCTCCGCCGCCTTGGCGAATTTTGCGGCGCAGATTTCATTGGAGGCGCCGTAGGCGCCCTCCTCGTCGATCTGCAGCAGGTGCCGCTCGGGCACGTTCCCAAACAGGTGGTCGATGCGCTGTCTCCGTTCAACGTCGCCGAACGTCGCCGTGGCCCTGGCGACGTAAAAGTCTCGCTCCGACCGGTCGCTGCGCCGCCGCGCCTCCTGGACGAGCGCCGCGGCGCAGTTTCGCGTGTCCTTCTGCCGCCGGAAGCCGCCCACGCAGTAGCACGCGTCGCCGTTCAAGGCTACGAAGGAGCCCTTCGACACGTGGTCGTTCGGCACGTCGTCGTCCTCGACGCGTTGCGCGCACAGCGCGGCGATCGCCGGCCAGCGCGCCTCCGCGGCAGCTCTACGGCAGCGCACCGCGACGACGCGGCCGCCCTCCAGTTCGCGGCGGATTTGTGGTGTTGTCGCATCGTCGAGCGCCGCGAAGACGGCGAGCCGGCTCTTGCGCGGCGGGCGCTTCTGGAGCTTGGCCTTCATTTGCTCCAGTTTGCTCGAGGGCGCGCCGCCCAGCGTTGCCAGGACTTCCGGGCCCAAGTCTTGCACGAGTTGAGTGGTTTTGGCATCCATTTGCAGGCTAAATTGCAGCACAGCAGGGCACCGCTGATTGCTAGCTCTGTAAGGCAGCAGTGGTCTAGAACTTTTACTATGCGCGAGCGATAGCCAGAAGCTAACAAGAGATGCAACTGTAACTTATCTCTGACGCAAATCACTGGCAAAATCGGCTACCGCAAAAACAGGCGAGCTAGCGTCCTGTAAGACACTAGCAAGAGAGACAAAAAAAAGCTGCCCACGCGCCGTACGAGCGACATCGATGCCCGGGGCAGCCGTCACTGATGCATAAATGAGGCCCCTCCACCTGATAGCCGCAGCATGCGTAGCACGCGCCCAGAACGCAGTCCTGCTCTGCGGCTCGGCCCACACCGGCACGCACCACGTCAAGCTCGCGCTGGAAGCCCTCGGCCTCGATGTCACCGTCGACCACCCGCACCTCGCGCGCTACGAGGCGCACCTCGCGGCGCACCCCTCTTCTAAAGTTCTGCTGACGACGCGCGACGCGGGACGGTGGCGGACCAGCATCCAGCAGAGCCGGCCCGAGGCGGCGCTCGAGAAGGCGCAGGCGCGCCGCGAGGCCTACGAAAAGGGCGTCCGCGCCGCGGCGACGACCTTGCTGGAGCTCGACCTCGAGGCCGGGGCGTCGTACGGCGCGTTGTGCGCGTTCCTCGGTATTAGCGAAGGGTGCCCCGCCGCGACGGACACGCTGCCGCGGAACCTAGCTATGCAAAAGCCTCCAAAAATCGCCCCGCAGAACCACGAGTCCGTCTCATCATTACTCGCGATGGCCCGCGTGCGGTCGACCGTCGTGGCGTGCAAGGCGGCTCTACTGGTCTACCCGGGCTTCGAGGAGCTTCACCGCACGGCGATCGACCGCGCCGACGAGGAGTGGCCCCTCGGCTGGGAGCTGCGCGAGTTCCTGCCCGAGGTTTTTGTGGTGGATAGCGTGTTGCACCACCCGTGCCGCGCGCCCTTCGACCCGTCCCAAAAATTGCCGCTCGTGAGCACGCCGCGGCTCTTCGTCGTGCCCGCGGCCTGGCGGGTCCTTTCGCTCGTCCAGGGGGCCCAGGAGCTGCTGAAGCGCGCCTGGGCGCTTTTCGATAAGGTCGTCGCCGGGAGGTACTGGGAGCCGCTCATGGAGCACCACGTGCTACTGCACATCTCGACGGCGCGCGTGGTCGACGCCTGGGGCCGGCGTTTGATGGACCACCGGCTGATCGTGCCGCACCTCGAGGGCCCGAACGGCGACCACCGCAAGGAGGTCCTCGTGCCCGGGCCGCGGACGGTCGTGGCGCCCTACTTCGTCGAGCCGCCGCGCCTCGTCGCCGCCGCGCTGGACGCGGCGGGGCTCGCGGCCGCGCCGCGGTCGCGCGTCTTCCTGCGCGCCGCGGGCCAGAAGGGCGCGCGCGCGCGCCACGCCGTCGCCGCGGCGTTCAGGAATGTCGAGGGCGCCGACGTCACCCTCGTCGAGAACCGCTACGAGGGCGTTTCTAAGGTGCGCGGGGAAACCGTGAAAGGCGCGTCGAGCGACGCCACGCGCCGGCACTTCCTGGACACGGCGTCCAGGACGCGCAACGCGACGTTCTGCTTGGTTCCTTCGGGTTATACGGCCTCGTCGCGCCGCTTCTACGAGGCGCTCGCGGCCGGCTGCATCCCGGTCGTCATCTCGGACCAGTTTCCGTTGCCGTTCCGCGACGCGCTCGACTGGAATAAAGCCATCGTGCGCCACGGCCAGCGCGACGTCGCGTCGCTGCCCCGACGGCTCGCGGCGATCGGCGACGAGGAGGTCGCGCGGCGCCGGGCCGCGGCGCTGGAGTTGTTTGACCGCGTCGACTACGCGTCGGGCGCCGCGGTGGACATGCTGCTCGACCGCTTCGCGGCGCTCGTCGCGCCGGGGACGAGATCCCGGCCCGGGCCGGACGTCAGCGTCGAGCTCGTGGCGACGGGGCCGCTCCGCTTTAGAAAGGGGACGCAAGACGCCGCGCGGGCGAAGCAGTGCCTGCCCGCCGGGCTCGTCGCCGGCGCGCTCGGGGTGGACGCGACGCGCATCGCGGGTAGCGAGCGGGCGCTCCGAGTCCTCCTCGACAAAGCGGCCGTGCTCGCCGATACGGCGCCCCGCGGCGACTGCGACCGGAAGCTGTTCCTCGCGGCGGCGGCCGCAGCGCTGCGCATGGCGCACCCGGACGAGGTTGTGATTAATTAATGACTTTACTTACTTCAAAACCACAACAACAGCCTAACCAATCCGCGGCGCCAAATGCGCGAACGCCTGGGCGAAGGTCGCCTCGCCCTGGGTCAGCGACCGCAGCGCCGTCGAGTAGCCGAGGAGCGTCTCTAGCGGCGCGTTTGCGATGATGACGGAGCGGGTCGCGCGTGAGGTCACGTCGAGGACCTTGGCGCGCCGCGCGGTCGCCAGGTCCGACAGCACGTCGCCGACGGAGCGGTCCGGCGCCTCGATCTCCAGCCTCACGATCGGCTCGAGCAAGACCGGCTGCGCCCGCTTCAGCGCGTCGGCGAGCGCGAGCGCCGCGCACGCGCGGACGGCGCCCGGCGTCGTCGCGGGCCCGTCACTTTGCAGGGAAAGCGCTTCGACCGCGACGCCGGCGAGGGCTTGCCCCCGCAGGACGCCGCGCGTCGCCGCCGCCGCGAGGCCCTCCTCCAAAGCCTCGCGCAGGAGCGGCGTGGCGTCGACATTGGTGGTCGTGATCGGCACGGCCGCTTCGTAGGCCTCCTCGTCGGCCAGCGGCGTTACTCTAAGACGCAGGCCGCAGAAGAGGCGTTGGCCGCCGAGCGTTGCGTCGTAGATCACATCCGTTGATTGCTCGAAAGCCATTTCGACGCTCTCGCGCAGCGCGACGCGCGGCCGCGACAGCGAGGCTTTGACCCCAAAGTCGCTCCGCAGGCGGTCGCAGGCCACCTCTAAATGTAATTCGCCGGCGCCCCTCAACACTAACCCGCCGTCCTCGTCCGTGACTGTGAGCGAGGGGTCGTCGCGGCACATCAGCGCCAACGCCTCCTCGAGGGCCGCGAGGTCCGCCGTCGCGACGGGCTCGACGGCCGCGGCGAAGACCGGCGGCGGCGGCGCCGTCGTTCCTGGTAATGCGGCGTGCGCCTCACCTTTAGTATGGCGCTTCGCGCGCGCGCCGTCCTTCGTCACCAACGTATCGCCCGTCCGCGCGTCCTTGAGGCCCGTCACGACGCGCACCTCGCCGGCTTCAAAGGCCTCGGATAGTTCAAAGTCGTCGGCGAAGGGCGTCAGGAACTGCTGGGGCCGCTCAACGGCGAGGCGGCCCCCGAGCGGTGATGATGGTGACGCCACATTCACCATTGTCTTCGGTGATAGAGCGCCGCCGTAGCAGCGCGCGAAGCATAAAGGACCTCTTCTCGCATCGTGCGACACCTTGAAGATCAGCGCCGCGAAGTCGGCCTCCTCTTTTAATATATCGCGCGGCGACGGGAGGAACGCCGCGACCGCGTCCAGGACCTTTTCGACCCCAAGGCCCTTGAGGGCCGCGGCGCAGAGCACGGGTGTGATGTCCCTGGATTTCGTGAGGCGCGCGACGGCATCTGTCAAATCCTCGGAGGTAAAGGCGTCCTCGATATACAACTCCGCGAAGGCGTCGTCTACATCGGCCACGGCCTCCGCCAACACTTTGTCAGACTCCTCTATCAAATCGCGCGGCCCCTCAAACACATCCTTCTCCACTAAAGGGGCCTGGACTTTGATGGGGGTCAGGTCGCACCTTACGGAAAGCGACTTCGTCGCCGCCTCGAAGTCCGCGCCCATGCGGTCCATCTTGTTGACGACGGCAATCATAGGCAGATCAAAGGTCTCGCGCGCCGCGCGCGCCACGGCCTCGGTCCGCGCCTGCGCACCCGCGACGGCGTCCACGACCAGCACGACGCCGTCGACAGCTCTTAACGTCCGGTCCACCTCGAAGCCAAAGTCGACGTGGCCCGGCGTGTCCACCAGCACGATGTTTGTGTTGTTCCAGTCGAAGTGCGCCGCGGCCGACTGGATCGTGATGCCGCGCTCGCGCTCCTGCTCAAGGAAGTCCGTCGTCGCGCTGCCGGCGTCGACGCGGCCGCTATTTCTCAGTACGCCGGCCTTGTTGAGCATCTCTTCGGTCAGCGTCGTCTTGCCAGCGTCGACGTGCGCGACGACGGCTATCACTCTCGTGTTGGCGCAGGGTTGCGTGAAGTGGCGTGCTGCTGGCCTCAAGTGGTGGCGCAGCGCTCGCACGGCTACCGCATGCATCGTGGTTGCAGCCGCTTGTGTTTTTCAGCGGCGAGCCCTCTAAGCTGCGTCGGCGCACGACTGCTCAAATTCGTCCAAATGGTGTCGTTTGCAGCCGTGTGACCCTGCGTCGAAATTTGACCAGCTCGACTTACGCCCGCGCTGTCCACAGCCAAACCAGCTCGGAGAGCGTGGCTTGGACAGCTCGCTTGGCAAGGCTAAAAAGCCATAGTGCTGCATTAAGATTTGCGACCGAGCAAGGAAAACGAGCGTTGTGCACTGCTGCGAGATATCTGAGGTTTCACACGTGCCAGCAAGCGGCGCAAGGCATCGATCATGCACAGCAGCCTCTGGTTTGCCAGCTGCGTCGCTGCCTTGCAGCCGCCAGCAGCGAGACCAGTTGCACCACCAACGCGACTGCACGCCGTCGCTCCGGAATCACAGTGGCAGTGGCAGGACAACAAGATACGCTACGCGAGCGAGGGTCCGGCCGACGGCACACCAGTGCTGTTCCTCCACGGATTCGGTTCGTCACTAGAAACGTACCGAGACAACGCGCCGGCGCTGGCGCAGGCCGGATATAGGTGTCACCGGCTGGATCTACTCGGTCTCGGACTCTCGGAGAAGGCGCCGGGGCCCTACTCCATCGGCCGCTGGCGCCAACAGGCCGCGGCCTTCCTCGAGGCGAACGCGGGCGGGAAGCCGGCGATCCTGGTCGGCAACTCGATCGGGTCGCTGGTCTCCCTCGACGTCGCCGCCAAACGACCGGAGTTGGTCAAGGGCCTGATCCTGAATAACTGCGCCGGCGGGATGAATTCGAAGTTCGCGGTGACGGACCCCGCGGTGTCGGAGCCGTCGCGGGCCGTCGGGGCCGTCTTCTTCGCGGTGCTGGACTTCCTGCTCGGCATCAAGCCGCTCGCGCGGTCGCTCTTCGACAGCGTGCGCGCGAGAGAAAATGTGGAGGCGGTCCTCAAGCAGGTCTATACGAACAGCGAGCGCGCCGACGCGGTCATTGTCGATTCGACGCTGGAGCCGGCCGAGGATCCCGCGGCGCTGGACGTGTTCGTGGAGATACTGTCGGGCGACCCGGGCCCGCGGCCCGACGAGGTCATGGGCGCCGTGACGTGCCCGATCCACTGCCTCTGGGGGCGGAACGACCAGATCACGCCCCTCGACGGGACGGGCGGGCGCTACTTCCAGGGCCTCGCCGCCGAGGGGCGCGTCAGTCTGACGCTCGTCGACGCGGGCCACGTGCCGCACGACGACGTCCCCGACGAGGCGAACGCGGATTACCTGGCGTGGTTAAAGTCTATTTAGGTTTACCTGTCTTCTTGGCGCAGCGGTCACGGCCATCTGGAGCCGGGTGTGACTAGTAGGAGCAGCCCTACGCCTGTATGGCTCCCGCCGAGGGGACGAGGAGTAGCGTCGGCGCTCTTGATGGGTCCACTTGCTGGCGAGGATAGCGAGCCACAAAACGGCCTGGCGCTGTGAGAGAGCGTCACGGCAAAAACGCCGAGGCGTGGCGGTGCCGAGTCGACGGAAACGAAGGCAGCCTCGCACGGTGACAGAAGCGGTGCCCGAGGCAGCCCCGGAGAAGAAAAGGGCTGCGCACGTCCGGTTGAGCCACAGAGCAAGGAACGGCAGTAAACCATGGGCCGCAAGCGCGAGAAGAAGGACAGGGCGCCGCAGCGCAACAACTACAAGGCCGAGGACCTCCTGCGCATCTGCTACCCGGACAACGATGGAGGCGACGAGGTCACCGTCAACACGCGGCGCCTCGCCGGCTCGCTCCCGCGCCCGGTGCCGCCCAAGATGGACAACCGGCCCATCGTCCAGCCCGGCGACCAGTGGTCTGATGAGAACTGGCTCAAGACCGAGCTGGAGAAGATGGATTTGAAATTGGAAAGCCGGTCGATCTCGCGCGGCCTCTCGTGCATGCGGTCCACGGTCTTTGAAGAAGACGAAGGACCTCTATCAGACGAAGAGGAGAAGACCGTCCCGAAGATCGAGCTGACGGCCGAACAGAAGAAGCAGCTCAAGGCTTCAGCTAGATTAATGACGCACTACACGGGCGTCGCGGGCACCACAAAAAAGTCGCTGCAGCAGCGTCATACCTTGGTGCACTACGAGCCCTTCGTGACGGCCATGGGGAAGTTGGGGCGGGCGGCCGTCATGTTCAACGGGGATAGTGCGGATGGTGGCTATTCTCGAGCGTTGAATAGCGAGGTGATGACGGCATCCAGACTAAACACGTTTTTGACGCAGTGCTTCAACGTCAAGCTGACGGCCGAGGAGCTGGGAGCTACCATGCGCTGGATGGACTACGACGGGAACGGGACCATCGATGGCTCTGAGTTTCTGCGCGAGTTCTGGAAGTTCGGGGCCGTCGAACATTTGCGGAGCCAGCGCGAGGCGCGGCGGCGCGAGAAGGCCCAAGCGCGGCAGCAGCGCGCGGCGCGAGCGGACTGGATGACGCGGTTTAGTACCGTAACGCCGGCGACGGTCACGCCGACGTTCACGGAGCGCGATTTGCGGGAGGCCGAGCAGCTCCTCGCGAACGCGGCCGCGGATTTAGATATGGGTTCCGTCCACTCGCGCATGATCCGCGACCAGGTCTTTGACGGCGCGCCGATGACGCCGGCCCAGCTTGCGACGGCACTGCAAAGGAACTTTAGGGTTACATTGGATCCTCCCAGACTCGCGGCCATCGTGGGCATCCCGTGTGGAAATTTGTAACTGCATCTGCTCGACGGCGTTGATTTCCGCACAGGTGGGCACCTACGACGACGACGGCAACGGCACCATCGAGGGGTCGGAATTCTACCGCCATTTCGTCAAGCTAGGGGTCCGGGAGCGGCGGCGGCGCCGCGACCGCCACGCGCAGGAGCTCGAGGACCGGCGGCGACGAGGCGATAAACTCAGCGAGGAGTGCCAGCGCAAGTTCAACGCCGCGGAGCGCGTCACCGACGTCGTCTTCCCCGAGGAGGTCAAGCGGCGGCAGCGCCGCGCACGAAAACAGGGCCTCACCTGGACCGAGCCGGTCCAGAGGCCGGGGCGCGACGAGCGGTCCGTGCCGGACCCGTCGCGCGGCGCGACGCGCGGGCGCGCGCCGAGGGTCCTCGTGGCCTAGCACCCCGAAGAAGAATTCCCCTTGCCCCCATGACTCATAAGGACTCACAACAATTAGGTCTCTTCGCGCGGGGGCCGTTGCCGCGGCCCGCCGCGCGAGAGGCGCGCCGCCGCGGATTCACGGTCCGCGGCGCTCAAGGTGGGCGCACTGTCGCGGCCGCCGATCTCTTCGTACTCGAGCGGCGCATCCTCCGGTGGCGGCAGCGGCGCGCCGAGGTCGCCGTCAGCCGTATCCAGGCGCCGCCGCAGTCGATCCAATTCGTCCTGCAGTGCGAACGCGCCGCCGGCCTCCATGCGCGCGACCTGCTCCCGCAGGCTCAGGATCTCGTCGTAGAGCGCCTCGACGGGAATCGCCGGGTCGGTCGGCTTCTGGGGGCTCGTCACGACCTCGTCGTAGGTCTGGCCGGCCTCGCTGCCGCCGCACCGCAGGAGGTTGTCGACCATCGACGAGGGCTCGTCCTCCGCTGGCGGCGGCACGGGCGGTGGTCGACTGCCGCTCTCCGTCCCGTCCGCAAATGCGGTGCTGATGCCACAGTTCACGATAGCGGCCAGTGATTCGGCCCAGGACCCATGGTCCTCGTCTTCGCTGTCGTTTTGCATAGCAGCCCCTCGACCTGGAGGTCGCCTAGCGGCCTCTCCCGGTCGTGCGCCTCTCTCACTTTTGTCCCCTGCTGCAAAAGGACAGCCCTTACAGATGATCCGTGCTGGATGCGAGCAGCCTCACAATCACCAGTGATCGGGCCGCCGCTCTCCCATCGTCTCAAATCTTGCTTGTGTGCGGGTATATTGCGCCGCGCGAAAACGTCGACCGGACTTCTAAGGGATTGATTCGGGTCATTTCAGGGATCGACGAGTCCAAGGGAAGAAAATAATCAAACATTCTTACGCAGGCAAAAAGCCCACCGTTGCCGTTACAGGCGGCACAGGCGCTTCCGGCGGCGGCGCCGGCGAGTTAACAGCCTCGTCGTCGGCGCCGAACACGAGGCGCCGGCCGCGGCTGAAGCGCTCCCCAAAACCTCTCGGCGCCACCGGCGTGGCCGCGGGCGCCGCGGCGCGCCGAAGCGGCGACGTGGGGTCCTCGGCCGCCCGGAGCGCCTCGATGTGGGCGATGGTCGCGGGCGCCGCGGCGCGCTTCATTGGCGAGGCGGGGTCGTCGCGGTTCCTCCGGAGCGCCTCGATGTGCTCGATCTGCCATATGCGGTACTCCCGAGGCACAAGCGCGTCGCAGTCGCGGCGCAGCATGACGTCCCTACGCTTCTTCTTCTTCTTTCGCCGCACGGACCGCGGCGCCGGCGCCGGCGCCGAGAGCTCCACGGGCTGGAGGAGCGGCGCGAGCGTCGCGTCGGCCGCGGCGGCGCCCCAGCCTTTCAGCAGCGGCGGCGGCGCCTCGCCCCGCTCCGCGAAGAGGGCGCGCTCCGCTTCATAAGTCGCGCGCAGGCGCCGCTCGTCGCCGGCGTCTATAATATCACCGGCCATCGCGCGCTCGAGCAAATCCCAGGCCGGCTCCACAAAACCCTCGTCCTCCTCCTCCGCCGGCCCGCCCGCGGCGTCGCGGCGCAGGAGCCACCTCACCACCTCATCCTGGGCGTCGTCCGTCGCATTGGCGGCCTTGTCGAACACAACGCGCTCGTGCGCCACGACCTCGCCGTATAAACACCCGCGGTAGCGGAAGGGCGCCGGCCGCGCGAGGCGCCGCCGCCACTCCCTTATACTGAGCTCGACGGCGCGCGTCGCATCTTCCAATTTCGCCGCGAACGGCGCGACGGCGCTCACCTGGTCGCCGTCGCAGTCCGCGGCGGCTTCCAACGCCCCTTGGACGATCGCCTCGCGCGCCTTGCAGGCCTTGATCGCGGCGATGGCGTCGGCGCGGTGCCTTCTTAGCAAATCCGCGTGCGCCTCCAATATTCTATCCGCGGTCGGCGCGCGGCCCCGCAGGATCTGTGCCTTGACTATCGTCGTAATCTGGTCCCGGTCGCGCTTCGGCACGCCGAGCTCGCCGGATAAAGCTTTGAGGGCCCCGAAGGGCGTGGGCTTCGGCGCCGCCTCCTTCGGCGGCGCGAGGGCCCGTCCCCGAAAGGTCGACCGCGCCTTACTTTCGACCTGGTCCACCACCATTTTGCGCGTCGCGGCCACGGACCCCGGCCTTTTCCTGGCCTGGGCCGCTTTTACACCAGCGCCCGCGGGCCGCGCCGACGCCGGTCGCTGGCGCCGCCGGATCTGCGGCGTCGCGTAGGGCAGCAGCGTCTCGAGGCGCTCTCCTTGTATTGTCGTTTTTGCGGCCTGGGCGCGCCAGCGGCGCCGTACGGGCCCGGCCGGGCCTAGTATAGGCGCGCCGTACGGCGAAGGTTTTGTCTGTCGCGGCGGCGGCGGCCGCGTGCGCGACGCTATATACTGTTCCTTGGCCGCGGCGCTCCGCGCGTTGGCCACGTAGTCGGCGCTCGGCTCGCGCACGGTGGGCGACGCGAGCTGCCCTCTGTCCAAGTGCGCCGTCGCGCGCGGCAGCGTCTTCCTCATGTCGTCCAGGGCCGTCTTCACGACATCGTCGCCGTGGCGGTCGATGCGGTAGAGGGGCGAGCCGAAGGCCGCTCGGAGGGCCGCGTCGTCGGCCTCGTCTTCGCGCGCTTGGCGCCGTTGCGACAGCTCTTCCTTGGAGTTGCGTCGTCGTACCGCGCCCTGGAGCATCGTCGCCGCGCCGTCGTCGCGGACCTTGCGCCGCTGCTGAACCTCCTGCTTCGCGTTGCGGCGTCGTACCGAGCCCTGGAGCATCGTGGCCGCGCCGTCGTCCCGCGCTTGGCGCCGTTGCGACAGCTCCTGCTTCGCGTTGCGTCGTCGTACCGAACCCTGGAGCATGGTGGCTGCCCCGTCGTCCCGAACCTGGCGTCTCTGCGAGAGTTCTTGTTTGGCGTTGCGTCGCCGCACCGAGCCTTGCAGCATCGTCGCCGCGCCGTCGTCCCGAACCTGGCGTCTCTGCGACAGCTCTTGCTTCGCGTTGCGGCGCCGCACCGAGCCCTGGAGCATCGTGGCCGCGCCGTCGTCGCGGACCTGGCGTCTCTGCGACAGCTCCTGCTTGGCGTTGCGGCGCCGCACCGAGCCCTGGAGCATGGTCGCCGCGCCATCGTCGCGGCGTTGGCGCCGTTGCGACAGCTCTTGCTTCGCGTTGCGGCGTCGTACCGAGCCCTGGAGCATCGTGGCCGCGCCGTCGTCCCGAACCTGGCGTCTCTGCGAGAGTTCTTGTTTGGCGTTGCGTCGCCGCACCGAGCCTTGCAGCATCGTCGCCGCGCCGTCGTCCCGAACCTGGCGTCTCTGCGACAGCTCTTGCTTCGCGTTGCGGCGCCGCACCGAGCCCTGGAGCATCGTGGCTGCGCCGTCGTCCCGAACCTGGCGTCTCTGCGACAGCTCTTGCTTGGCGTTGCGTCGTCGCACCGAGCCTTGCAGCATCGTTGCCGCGGAGTCGTCGCGGGCGGCCTCCTGGCTGCGCCGCGCGTCGTCGTCGCTGCCTTCTTGGGGCTCCATCGTGTGGTGTGCCTCGCCGCTTGTTTTGGGCAGCCTTTTCGGCAGCGCGGCGGTCTCTTGGCGCGAACCGCGCGAGCAAACCTACCGGTACTGCGGTCTGCTAACGACGGCAGGGCGCCGTGGTGCTTTGGCGCTGTGGCACAACGCAACTTGTCGGGGCGCCGGCATCGACAAAAGCCAGTGCTGCACCCCGAGACCTATGGCTCCAGGCGTCGGGAAGATCCTTGTTTTGTCGTGTTGGTTTCTCGTGCTTTCTAGTGTGTTACAAGCCGCTAGCTGATTATGCTTATGCGCGGCAGAGGTTATACGACTGCATTGCCTGCGCTGCAGCGATAGTTCCTTGACAGCTATCGCATCCGTCAAGCGGTCAGCCTAGCACTCTCGTCCGCCGACTCCGCAGCACCACATAGAGCTGCTGAGAGCTGCTGGGCGCCTCCCTGCCGCCGCGGCGAAAGCAAGCCGTGTACCGCCAGCCGCGCAAGCCTTGGTCTGGTCATCACGTAAGCAAGCCGCCGCAGCGCTAAAAATAAAAATGTACCTCCAGCTCATGATCATCAACAAGTCCGGTGGCCTCGTTTACAACCAGGACCTGTCGCCCCAAGCGGCCCAGCTCGATTCGAACGACTGGTTAAGGATAGGCTCGACGTTCCACAGCCTGCACGAAATCGCTCGGTCCATCCCACCGGGCCGGTCGTCGGGCATCGTCGCCCTCGAAACCAGCAGTTTCGCGCTGCGCTGCCTCGAGACGATAACAGGTATTAAATTCGTCCTCACGGCCGAGCGCGGCACCCAAGTGCTGGAGCCGGTCCTGCGCATGGTCTACGAGCTCTACAGCGACTACGTCCTCAAGAATCCGTTCCACGACCTCGAGATGCCCATCCGCTGCCGGCTCTTCACGGAGCACGTCACGGAGTTGTTTGAGAGCTTCCACACGACGGGCACGAACGCGAACGCGCGGCACCAGTTCTTCACGCGGCTGCGATAGCGGCGGCGGCGGCGGCGTCGTTGTGCTGTAATAATTATACCTCTAGTCACATGCCTGCCGGTGACGTTTCTCCTCCATTATTATTTGCTGTGATAACGAGTACGCGCGGTTACGCGTCGCGCGGTTTTTTTGCTAGTGTCTTACAGGCCGCTAGCATTTTAACTTTGCGCGTATTGGACACGGGCAGCGAGCTCCTAACAGTCTGCTTCGCGCAGTTTCTACTCCTTTCAGATCAGTCATAACAGCACCGAGCTGGTTTCAACACGTGCGCCCGCGTAACTGCTGAAAAACTGCCACTGAATGGCACTGTGCAAAATGGGAACAGCAGCGAAACACTGTAACCAAGTAAAATGAATCCCGTCACGCTGCTCCTCGTGCTCACGAGCGTCGCCGCCTTCTGGCTCCAGCTCGCCGGCTTCGTCGCCGTCTCGCGGGCGACGCGCTCGTACGCGTCCGAGCAGCTCTCGGGCGACTCGAAGCGCGCGCGCCACACCATCCTGCCGGCGTGGCGGCCGCTGCTCGTGGGCAAGTGCTACGTCCTCGCCTTTGCGGCGGCCGCGGCGACGGCCGCGGCCGCTTCGCTTATCGCGTGCCATGCGATCGGTGCGTGGGGCGCCTGGGCCTGGGCCGACGCCGCGGCATTAGTTGGCGTCGCCGACGCCGCCCTCGTCCCGGCGGTCGTCGCGCAGGACGCCGTGACCGTGCGCGCCTTCCGGAGAGCCGTCGCGCTCCCGCTGCTGGCGCTCGTTATTCAGCTCGGGCCCTGGGCCGGGCGGTACTTTAGTTCGACGGAATCTTCGAGAGTTGCGGCGAGCGCCGTCCTCGTCGTGGCCGGCGGCCTCGCGCCCCTCGCGGCCTCTTTATTGATTCTGACGGGCCGCGTGCCGTCGCGCGTGCGCCTGCGGTCGCGGACGCACCGCGCGGCGTTCGTGCTGCACGCTGTTTTAGCGTTTGGGTTCGCACTGAGCTTGGGTCTCCGGCTCGTCGACGCGCCGCGCGAGGCCCCCGCGTGCGGCGCCGCCGCCGTCGCCGTCGCCGTCGCGGAGCTCCTCCTCACGGCGCTGATCCCCGTCGCCGCGCGGAAGACTTTGGTGGCGGACACGAAGTACTGGCGCGGCCTCGGGAAGCATAATAGAGATTCGGAGCTCGGCCGCGCGACGACGGAGCGGCGGCTGCCCGCGAAGTGGACGCTGAGTCTCGGGACCTGGACGAGTTTTAGGAGGAGCCGGGACCTCGCGCTGCGGCCGCGCGCGGAAATGAATCTTAACGTCGCCTCGACGAAGCTGCAGTCGATCGTCGAGGAGGCCTCGCGCAAGAAGTCTTTGATAAATTCGGACCGGCTCAAGGTCGTCGAGGGCGCCGTCCTCGGCGCGGGCGCGTCGGCGACGGTCTTCCGCGGGTCGTATCGGGACCAGGACGTCGCGGTCAAGGCCTTTAGACCCGTGGAGTTGTGTGACGAGGACGTCGAGAAGATCGGGCGCGAGATCGGCATCGTGGCTGGGTTAAGGCACCGGAACGTCGTGTACCTGCACGGCTTATGTGTCAGGCCGCCGGCGGTGTGCGCCGTCTACGAGTTCTGCGACCATGATTTATCAGTGGAGATCCGCGACCGTATCAGTGATAAGACGTGGACCGCGGAGGCTCAGTGGCGTTGTACAATCGACGTGCTGAGCGGTATTGCATATGCCCACGCCAAGGGCGTCTGGCACCGCGACGTCAAGCTCGAGAACTTTTTAGTGGCGGACTGCGGCACGGTCAAGCTGAGCGACTTTGGCGAGTCGGTGAGGCGGCCGACGAGCGGCGGGCTGGACGACGATTCGGAGGACGAGTCCGACGACGACGCGGACGACGTCAAAGACGTCCTGGCCAGCTTACGGCGGGAGACGGCCAAGACCCTGAAGCGGCAGGTCTACGGCGCGCCGGATCGCGTCCGGGAAAACGTCGTGGGCACGGCGGACTATCTCGCGCCCGAGTTGATTGCGGCGGCAGCGCACGACGAAAGGGTAGACGTCTACGCGGCGGGCGTCGTGCTGCGGTGCGTCCACGCGGGCGACGACCGGCCCTGGCCCGCGGCATACGGCAACTTCGACATCTTCGCGGCCGTGCAGCGCGGCGAGCGGCCGTCCCTTGAGGGTGTGGGGTCGAGCGCGACGAAGTTAGTGGAGAGCGCGTGGCGCGGCGACGCGGCGGCGCGGCCCGCCGCGGCGGCGCTGCGGGACCGCGCCGTGCGGGCGCTGCGTCTGGTCGCGGGCGCCGAGGCTCTGGCGCGGCTCCGCGACGCGCTCGACGCGCCGCGGGCGTCGTCGCTCCGGCGGCCCTCGCGCGTCGAGTCGCCCGAGGCGCCGCCGCTTCGGCGCGTGTAGTTTGTGTATTCTCTTGTGATTTTAACCATTCTCTCTAGGGTATTCCTGTGCGCTGCGGCGCCACGCCCCCGACGCGACTAATCCGAATCTACAAGTAAAGGGGAAATTAGCCTCCCGGGCCCCGACCAGGGAGTCGTCAGAGCTCCCTCGAGCCCTTGACGGCCTCCGCGGCGATCCGCACCTGGCGGATCGTGTCCGCCTTCGCGGCGGACTCGGCGTCGCCGGCCTCAATTAATTCTTCCTCCATGAGCTCGGCGACGCGCAGGAACGTGCCCCAGAGCATCGCGGGGTGCCTCACGAGCCCGTTGAAGAACCGGTCGAACTTCGCCGGCAGCGAGTCGTCGTCCAAGTTGTCTCTTTCATCTTCCAGGAGCTCCTTCGTCCGCGCGGCGACGCTCTTGACCATGGTGGGGTGGCGCTCCATGCCCTCCCTAAAGGTCTCGACGACGTTCCGCTGCTCCTGCGTCAAGGGCTCGGCGCGGAGGATTTGTCGCGCGGGCCGCGGGGCGGCCGGCGGCGGCGCGAACGCTGCAGCTAACGGTACGAGGGCGAGCACGCGCATCGTTGCGACGGCTGCTAAAGCTGCCTGGGCTCTGGCTCAAAACTCAAAAAACTCCCTCCCGCAGCGGCAGGGGTCAGTTTCTTTGTGTGTCCACGGAGCCTGGGCGACGCAGCAGCACTCCGACGTGTCTTGGAGCAGCCCTTCGTTCAGCACGCGCGCGCGCGGCCAAAATATCCGAGCAGAGCTCCGAGCCATTTCACGGGTTTTTGAAATCACGCGTCTTCTTGCGCTTTCCCGCGCGTTTAGACGACTCGTTCTCGGGCACGGGACAAGCGAGGGCGGATTCCGCTGCCGACAAAACCCGCTACCCTCGAGCAGTGCTCGAGCAGCGCGCATGTGAGGCGGCTATACCACACAAGCAGACGTAAGTGGTACATCATTAGTGTGCTACGAGCGCTGGTGCAACGCTCGAGCAAGCTCGCCATCGCTGCGCCGCGCTAAGATCTTGCTAGGGAGAGCGCTCTCCCTCTCACAAGCAAAAGAATGCTGCGCCTCCGCCCGGCCATCCGCGCCTTCGCCACGAAGAAGCTGAACCTCAACGCCGATTTAGGAGAAGGCTTCGGCCCCTGGCGCCTGACTGATGATGCTGCGCTCATGGAGCTCGTCACGAGCGCGAACGTCGCGTGCGGCGGCCACGCCGGCGACGCGGCGACCATGGTTCATGCGTGCGCCCTGGCGGCTGACCGGGGTGTGAGTATAGGTGCGCATCCCGGCTACGACGACAAGCCGGGTTTTGGTAGGCGCGTCATACCCTTGAGCATGGACGAGGTCGAGGAGCTCGTCGCTTCACAAGTTGGGGCGCTGCGTACCGAAGCGGCGTCCTTGAAGCGTTGGGGTTGCATCGAATAGCGTCACGCAGGCGGCGCGGCGCGGCTCGCGCGCGCGAGGAGCGACGTCCATGTAGATGTGACGCACGTCAAGCCCCACGGCGCCCTGAACAACGTGGCCTGCGTCGACGCCGCCGTCGCGGCGGCGATCTGCCGCGCGATTCAGGCGATCGACGCCTCGTTGATCGTCCTCGCGCCGGCGGGCTCGGAGTTGCTGCGAGCGGCGGAGGCTCACGAGTTGCCGGCGGCGGCCGAGGTCTTCGCGGACCGGGGCTACCTCGCCGACGGGACGCTCGCGCCGCGGAGTTTGGAAGGGGCGCTCATCGCCGACGCGGACGAGGCTGCGGCGAACGCCGTGCGGCTGGCGCGCGGCGAGCCCGTCCGGGCGCTGGACACGGGCGGGGACGTCGTTTTGAAGGCGGACTCGGTCTGCGTCCACGGCGACAAGCCGTCGGCCGTCGCGCAGGCTAAAGCGGTGCGCGACGCGCTCGTGGCCGCGGGCTTCGAGCTCGTGGGGCTGCCCGAGGTTGTGGCGTAATGTTGTTGTGAGTAGTGGCTGGCTGTTCTGGACCGAGGCCGCGCATTCCTTGATTCTTTCCTGGACTCTAGAGTACGCATGGTAGCGCATCCTCGCCGAGGGCGGGCAAATGGGCGACGCGGGGCGCTTCGAAGCGCCCGTGCCCGACGAGGTGCCCAAGATCGAGATGCGGAAGGTCGGCGACGCGCGCGTCTCGCCGCTGCACTACGGCGACGACGCCGCGGAGGGCGTCTGAAAAAGCTTGTTCGCGGTCCCGCCCGGAGCGCTCCCCCACCACGGCTTCGGTCGTCTCTGCCTCCGGGCTCTGTCCCGCTCCCCCACGTGTAAATAAAGGACACTGATATAGCTCGAGATAGATAATTAGACACAACGGTATATAGATATGCACACGACGACGCTCACGCCTTCGCCGCGCGGCTCCGGACCAGCGCGCGCTTCAGCCACTCGTACACGCCGAAGTAGATGACCGTGAAGGGCGCCAGCCAGAAGACGCGCGCGCCGGCGCCGTTGAGCAGGCTGCCCCAGCCCTCCGCGGCGATCGTATTCCGGAAGACCGCCACGGGCCCCGCGCCGCCGCCCGTCATGATCCGCGTCTTGACGACATCCAATGGATTCGTGGCGAAGCCCACGACGGCCCCTGTCAATGCCGCGGCCAGGAGCTCGTCGCCCGACGACGACGTCGTGCGCCTCCTTAATCTCCTGACAAACCCCTTGAGCAGATCATAGAGCCCGAGCTCGCCCATCGTGTACGGCACATCCCTAAAGAGGGTGGCGCGGTAGCCCGTGAAGCAGCCCCGCAGGCCTTCGTCGCGGATCATTTGTAGCGAGCCGGCGACGATGTTCGGATACATGCCGTTCTGGATTCTTATCTTCAGAAGCTCGCCCGGCACGAGGATGACGCTGCAACATAAAAAGGCGACGGCGGCGCAGGCGAAGCGCGCCAGCGGGATGTAGTCCTCCGGCAGCTTCTTCGATGCGGTCTGTTTGAGCTTTTCATAGACCGCGAACTTGACTGCGGAGCTCAGGCCGTCTCCTAATACATAGGGCGTCACGCCGTCGTAGAAGGCCCCGAGCTGGCCCCGTTGCCAAATTTTCGAGCAGGCCGGGCCGAGACTCAGACCCGTCTGCTGCACGGTTTTTATCGTGTCGATCGGGTGCAGCGCCACCGTGCCCGCGGCCGCCGCGAGCGTGCCGGCGAGGGCCGCGTCGGCGATGGGCGTCTCCTTGGGGACCGGTGTGGGGATGGGGTCGGCCGTGCCGCCTCTGATCGTTTTGAGGCGCGGCGGCTGCGCCTTGACGTGGCCGCCGCGGACGCGGAGCTGCAGCGTGCCGCGTCGCGCGCGTGAGGCAGCACTGGTGCAACACACAAGCAGCACAGCTGACAGGCGCATTGCTGCGCGCCGTGACGGCGCCATATTTGTGCGGCGCGTCTGCGCTCCTGCAGCACGGGGTTGCAGTGTTTGAAGCTGCTCTCCCGAGGCAGCAACAGATGACGCAGCTTGACGCGCAGCGAGAGGTGGCGTCCCGTGCGTGTGTGTATCGCCTGATTAAGACTGCGTTAAACCAGTGCCTCGCCCGCCTGCCGCATTTGAGCATCAAAACAGGGGCTCAACCTTGCAGGCCGCTGAGGAGCCCCAACCAAAAAAGCCCAGGAGGGATCTCAAAAGACCGCCACCAACAAGCCACATACAAATCAGACGCCGCTTTCCCCCGTCGCCGCGTTCAGCGCGGGCCGCGACGAAAACGAGAGACAGAAAGACAACTTATATATACAACCAACTATCACACACTCTTCTTCTTCACGGCGTCGAGCGCCGAATCAAAAAACACCAGCTCGTGGTCGCCGTAGCCCGCCCGCTCCTTGTGGCGCTCGAACAGATCGAAGAGCGCCTCGAAGTAGGCCCGGTGGCACGCCTCGACCGCCGCCTCGTCGACGGCGCCGTCGACGGGCAGGTCCACGGGCCGGCCCACGACCACGCGCACGCCGCGCGGCGGCCGCCGCGGCAACGGCAGGCCCCAGCGCCCGTACGGCCAGAACGGCACGGGGAAGCCCAGCCACGACCGCGTCCACCGCTGCATGCCCTCCATTGATACGTTGTCCATGAGCTCCCATTCCCCAAACGAAAAGGCCGGCACCAGGCGCGCGCGGTGCTGCAGCGCGACCCGCACAAAGCCGCGGTGGCCCCGATAGATGCGCACCTGCTTTGAGTATGATGACGTCGCGAAGAGCTCGGCCTGGCCGCCCGGCACGAGCACGACCGACGCGCCGCTCCGCAACGACAAGCCGATCGCTTCCCTCGTAACTTCGCGCGCGCCGAGCCACTGGCCCAGGTCCCGCATCCAGGGGATGACGTGCGTGAAGGCGTCCGTGCAGACGACCGCTTTCCCGCAGGGCCACCGCAACGTGGCCAGCGCCGCGTCGAAGGGCACGACGCCGTGCGGATGAAACCCCACCAAGCACGCCTCGCCCTCGCGCAGCGCGTGGCGCTCGCCCCGTTCTTCGCTCGCCGCGAGGCCATCCAAGGTCGCCGCCGCCCGACTCAGATCCCGCACCGCTCTCCTAATTTCGGCCGTCGGCGCGAGCGGAGTTACTTCATTTATCGCCTCCCTTGTAGCCGCCGCGGCCCGCTCCAAGCGCTGCAACGCCGCCGCATCCACGGAACGCCGCGGCGCCGGCGCGTCCCGCACGACCTCCAATCCTAGGTAGGCCTCGACCGCGTCGAGCAGAAACGGCTTCAGCCAGACCCGCAGCGCCGGCCACTCGCGCGCGCCCGTGATCTCCGGCCCGTCCGCTTCCGGCTGGGGGGGCAGGTAGGAGGCCGCCGCGTAGAGGTAGAAGGCCATCGACGCCGCGAGCGTCGCCGGCAGCGACGCCGAAGAGCGCTGCGTCCAGACGTACACCGCGAAGACCCCGAAGCACGCGCCGCCCAATCCAGCGCGGTGCCGCCAGCCGAAGCGCTCGCGCCGCCGCGTCGCAACGCCCTTGACCGCGCCCGTCGCCAAGACCAGCGGCGCGCAGCACCAGACAAAATACTGCGCCGTGTCGCGCAGCACGCCCGCGTGCGTGCCCGGGTCGCTCCTCAACAAGAAACTCTCGACGAGGAAGGGGTAGAACGAGAGGCCCGGCGCGACGAGGTGCGCGTTCCACACCAAGTGCGTCGCGCACAGCTGGTGGAGCGCGCCGGTCCTCCTATGGTAGCCGTGGAGGCCGCAGACGGCGAGCGGCAGCGCCACGAGGCCCGTCGACGCGCCGTGCACGAGGAGGGCCGCGAGCAGCTCGCGGCGCCGCGTCTCCGGCACGTAGCGCGCGCCGGCGAGCGCTATTGCCGCGGCGACGACGGGCAGGCCCAGCACGAAAAACGCCGTGGCCGACGCCTCGAGGAAGCCTTCGACGGTGCTGCGCTGCCGCTTGGGTGGGTGGCGCCTCGGCGCTGCGGGGTGTAGTGGTCGCGACGTGAGGCAGTGGGTCGCGGCGCCGTCCATGGTTGAGCACTGCTTTGCCGACGCAACTACTGTCGGCAGTTATACCTGCCGTCGGAGCCCTCGAGCAGTCCTCCGTCGGAGCTTGGCTTGGTGGACACGGGTTTTTGAACTCCTGCGAAGAGTCGTCGTAGATTTACCTCTCTGCTGAACCAAACACGCCTTAGGAGTCAGCTGAAAATGTTCCCACCCCATCCCAGCGCTCTGCGAAATGGGCAGCATGCAGACTTGGCTGGGCCCCACCGCCGCGTGCTAGGATAAAGCCCACCGGCCATACGGTGCCTCCCAGCGCCCATCCACAATCAGAGTGGACAGCCACTGACAACGTGCAGGGCAGTCAATCAGTTTGTCGTCCGCCAAAACACCGGCTGCAGAACGATGAGCCAAGACGCCGAGCTGGGCGGCTGCGGCTGCTGCCCCGTGGCCCGCGGGAAAGAATGCTGCTGCCCCGTTTGTTACAATCAGGCGTGTTGGGCCGGGAACGCGGCGGCCGGCTGCGGTTTGTGGTGCGTCGCGCTGGTGCTGTGCATCGTCGTGATGATTATCGACAAACACTGGTGGCTCTGGGTGCTCTCGTTCTTCCTCCTCTGCCCGATCTCGATCATCTGGGGCGTGACAGGCTGCAGCTGCCTGGTCTGCTGCCGCGAGCGCAACGACCGCGTCGCGCCCGCCGTCGAGATGCAGCGCTACGGCGGCCAACCGTCGGTCGCGTACGACGGCGGGCCGGTGATGGCCAAGATGGCGCCTGCCGGGCCGCCGCTGGCCCCGCAGCCCGTCGTCTACCAGCCAGCCGTCGTGCAGCAGCCCCTCCAGGGCACCGTGGTCACCGGCACCGTCGTGCAGGCGTCGGTCGTCGGGTCCCCCGAGGAGAAAGAAGAAGCGTGGTAGTTGTTGTCTAATGTTCTTTGTTTGATGTTGGAATTTTACACGCAGGACTCAAAGGAGCGTCAGTCGAGCTGCGCCGCGGCGAGCTCCTCGGCCTCGAGCTCGCGCTCGGCCTGGAGCATCTGGTCCTCGGCCCGGTGGAGCATCGCGTCGACGTCGTCCTGCGCCTCCGCGCGCAGCGCGAGCTCCTCCTCCTCGGCGCGCAGGAGCTCCTCTTCTTCTCTCATGAGCGCCTCCTCGTCGTCCTCGGAGTCGTCCAGCTCTCTCCTAAACTCCTCCTGCTCGTCCTCGAGTTCCTCTTGCGTCGGGAAGTAGAGGATCCGGTGGCGGTTCGCCCGCTCGCGCTGCTCGGCGGCCGTCGGCGCGAGCTCAATGTCCAGCGCCTTGGCGACGTCGAGCGAGCAGCTCGGGCACGTCGGCGACCGCTGGAGCCAGTCGCCGACGCAGCGCGCGTGGTACGAGTGGCGGCAGGGGAGGGCGATGACCTCCTCGTCCTCGGCGATCTCGCAGAGGCAGATGGCGCAGGCCTCGTCGTCGTCGTGCTTCGCGCACTTGGAGACCGTCGGCCGGTCGGCGCCGCGGCAGCGCGGCAGCTCCGCGACCTGCTGGGGCAGCAGGCCCTTGTGCGTCTCGGGCCGCACGTTCATCGAGGCCGCCGGCACGAGGCCCGTCGCCTCCAGGGCCGGCATGAGGCTGTGGAGCAGGTCCATCGACTCGCTCACTTGCGCGAGGAGCTCGCGGTGCCGTACCAACTGCCGCGGCGAGTGCACCGCGCGCGACGCCGAGTTCGCTCGAGCGACGAGCGTCATGGCCAATCCCCCGAGCAGCTCGCGGCGCTGCTCCTGGAGGTCCTCCAGGGCGAACTGCTCGGCGAGCTCGCGCGCGAGCACCGCGTCGCTCCCGGGCGCGTCGGCGTCGCTCGCGTCGTCGTCGTCGTCGTCCCCGTAGAAGTAGTCGCCCCCGTCCTCGTCCTCCGGGTCGCCCGCGTCGACGACGGGCGTCGGGGCCCGCGGGAGCGAGAGCGTCTCGCCGAGCGCGTCGGACTCGGCGGACTCGCCGTCCGACGCGTCGTCCGGCGGGAGGCCGTCCGCGGCCGCGGCGCCGGCCGGGGCCTCGACCGCGGGCGCCGCGGCCGGGGCCTCCGCGGCCTCTTCAGGGGCCTCGAGGGCCGGCGGCGCAGCGCGCTGGAGCGCGCCCCGCTTGGCGGGCTGCCCCTTCTGGCGGGACGGGCTGGGCGCCGCCGCGGGGGCGAGGGTCGCGGCCTGGACCATTGTGCCGCGCTTCCCCGTCGTGTTCAGGCACGGAGAGAGCAAGCGCTACCGAAGAGGGGGGTGCGAGAGGGCGCCGTTTTTGCGCCGCGGAGCCGTCGGGAGCACTGCTCTCTTGTCCGCATGGACTGGGAACCCCCCTTTTGGCTGGCTGCGCGCGCCTCTTTTCGTACGGGTTCGATCCTCGATCCGCTCAAGTTGGTCCTGTCCGCGCGCGGTGCCCCTTATCCATCGTAATTACGCGTCGTCGGCAACTCGTATATTTCGTTTGCTACTGGGAAAGCAATCCTGGCATCAAAAGATGCAGCCGCGGCCGCGTTTGGGCCAAAATGGCGCAAGCAGCTGGCGCAAGCAAACGCGGCCGCGGCGGGGCCGAGCGGCTGCTCCGAGGCTCCGCACGCTGTCGCGCACGCGTCGGCTGCTGCAGCTCGGCTGGATGGCGCGCCGCGACCGAGAATGAGAGAAATCCCACGACATCGGAGAACGCCGAACGAGACCCGCGTCCCACACAGGTCGTTAGAGCCATGAAGCTCGCCGTGTGCCTTTTGGCCGCGCCGGTCGCCGGCCTGGTGGCGCCGGCCGCGCCGAAGGCGGAGACGCGGCTGCACAGCAGCGACTACGCGAAGACGCTCTACGGCGTCGGCCCCGAGACGGGCTACTGGGACCCGCTGGCGCTGGCGGACCTGGGCACCGAGGTGACGGTCGACTTTTTCCGCGCCGCCGAGGTGAAGCACGGGCGCATCGCGATGATGGCGTCGCTCGGCTACATGCACCACCTCGCGGGCATCCAGCTGCCGGGCTACCTGAGCCCGTCCGAGGGCCTGAAGTTCTCGGACCTCGGCGCCATGTCGCCGGGCGAGGCGTGGGGCAAGGTGCCTGCCGCGGGCGTGGCGCAGATCTTCGGCGCCTGCGCGGCCGTCGAGATCTACTCGATGACGCACGACTCGAAGGGCGACTTCAAGGGCGGCGACTACTGGTTCAAGGGCGGCCTGTCGCCGAACTTGGGCCTCGACCCGCTTGGCTTCGGCAACGCCGACGCCAAGGCCGTCGAGACGTACAAGACGCGCGAGCTGAAGAACGGGCGCCTCGCCATGATCGGCATCGCCGGCTTCGTCGCGGCGGACGTGATCCCGGGGTCGGTGCCGTCGCTCGCCTAGGTGTGTGGAGGCGTAATAAGCGGTTGACGTAGTAATTCGCCTTACCCGCCCGGGGAACTTACCAGCGAGCACGCACTAACTAATCGTGGTCCTGGAGCCTTGCAAGCAAATCGGCGAGGTGCGAGCCGCGCTGCACGCGGCACTCGGCCCGCAGCGCGTCGACGAACTGGCCCGCGAGGCGCCGCCAGCTCGCGCCGGCCGCGCGGACGCCGTCGACGTAGGCCGGCAGCGCGGCCGTGAGCGTCGTCTCGGCGAGCGCCGCGCGCGCGCCCGGCGCGACGCCCGCGCGCCGCGCCGCCGCCGTCGCCGCGTCGAGGGCCGCCTCGGAGAAGCGGTCCGCGGCGTCGCAGAAGCGGTCGCAGCTCCGTTCCAGATCCGCGACGAGGCCCAGCAGGCGGTGGTTCGCCAGCAGCAGGTCCCGCAGCACCGCGTCCAAAAACGCGTCGTGCGCGGCGAGCGCGGCGTCGACGTGCGGCGCGCGCCGCAGCTCCTCCTCGAGGCCCGCCCAGCGCGCGCCGACGACGTCGGACGTGGCGTAAAACACGAGCGACTGCGCAAAGTGCAGCATGCGCTGCCGCAGCAAAAACGCCGGCGCGAGCGCCGACCGCGTCGCGCCGCGGCCGCACCAGCGCTTCGACGCCTGCTGGTCCGTCCAGCAGCTCAACAACCGCCTTTCGACGCGCTTGGCGCGAAAGACGCGCCGGAAGGCCAGCTGGTACTTGACGACGCTCCGCCTCGAGAGCAACAACGCGGCGGGCCACGGCGCGCGGCAGTCCAGGACGAAGGCGTCCACGGCCAGTAACGGCGTCTCCGTGACCACGGCGTCGTCGTCGTCCGCGCCCTCGTGGCGGTGGATCGCGTCGAGGTGCGCGCGGAGGTCGCGGCTCGCGAGCGCGGGCTCGAGCCGGAGGCCCTCGATGACCGCGCCCTCGCCGCGCGCCGACGCCGCGAGCGCCACGGCTAATAAATGCGCGAGCCGCGTCGGCGACGCCTTTTGCGCGGGCTTCCTTAATTCCGCGTCGGCGAGGTCCAGGAAGTTCGCGAGGAAGTCGCCCTGCCCCGCAAGGAAGAAGCGCTTCAGCACGCGCAGCTTCTCGAGGCCCCGCTCCCGTTCGAATAAGACGGCCTTGAGCTCCGCCGCGCTCGCCGCGTAGGCCTGGTCGATCGCGCGCGCGAGGCGCCCGGCCGCGTCCTCGACGACGTCCGCCGGTGTGAGGGCGGCCCAGGTCGCCTCTAGCTCATTGTCTTCACCGGAACACGCGGCGTCGCGCAGGACCACGCGGTATTTCCCCGCCGTGAGCACCTTGGCGAGGTGGCTTTTGACGGCGCCGCCCGCCGCCTTCCCGGCGTCGGACGTGAAGCGCTCGTCCCAGTAGCTCGCGTTGTAGTCCCGCGCGACGGCCGTCTTCTCGGCGTCGACGTCCTCGGCGACGCAGAACTCGCCGTACGGGTCGTCGAGCTGACCGTCGACGCACCAGCGCCGAAGGGCCTGGAGGTAGGGCGCCGCCGCGGCCTCGGCCAGGGACGTGAGGACGCGCTTCGCGTCCGCGTCGCGCGCGTCTCGCGCCGCGTCCGCGAGGGCGTCGACCACCGCGCCGCCGGCCGGCGCCGCGTCGACGGCCGCGCACGCCGCGACGAGCGCGTCCAGGGCCACCGACGCATCTCTACACGTCGCGGCCAATCTCGCGAGCCCGCCCTTGCCGCTCCGGACCACGGTCTCGAGCTGCGCCACGAATACCAGGTACTCGCGCAGCACCTCGCGGAGCTTCGCCGCCGCCGCGTGGGCGCAGCGCCCCCGCTCGTAGCGCGCCGCGCCGCGGCAAAAGGCCCGGCACTTTAGGAAGGCGTCGCCCAGCGGCACGCACCGCCGCGCCAGCTCCAGCAGCGGCAGCTGCTCCGGCTTGACGTTCCCGTCGTCGACGGCCAGCCGCCCGTCGCCCACGGCCCGCCGCACGCGGCCGCCCTCGCGCCCGCCCAGCGCCGACAGCACGTCCTCGGCGAGGTCCCTTTCAAAATCGTCCGCGGCGCCCGCGCCCCCGACCTCGACCGCGCGGCTCGCCCACGCGCCAAAGGCCCCCGACAGGTACGGCCGGTCGTCGAGCCAGCGCGACCAGTGCGGCGCGCCCGCCGCCGCGAGGCGCCACGCGCCGTCGGCGCCCGGGCCGTCGGCGCCGCCCCGGCCCAGCTCTGCCGCGTCGTCGGCCCCAGCGGCGCCGGCGCGCCTTCTGAGGTACGCGTCGCCCGCGCGCGGCGCGCGCAGGTTCACGCTGTCGCCCGACCGCACGACGTCGCCGCGCCGCGGCGCCGCGGCGCCGCGCGCCGCCGCCGAGCCCGCGTCCGCCGCGGACAGCACCTCCCAGCGCTCGCCCGCGCCGACGAGCGCGCGCCGGAAGGCGGGGGCTTCGTCCTCGCCGGCGAAGGCCGCGTCGCGCACGCCGAGGCACCGGCCCCGCGCCAGCCGGCTCCGGAGGCCCACGACGTCGCCGTAGCGCACGGGGCCCTTGTCGTCGCGGACCATGGCGTTGCAGACGACGAAGCGCTCGTCGGCGGCGCCCAGGTTCAGGCCGCCGACGGCCGCCTCGAAGACGACGTCGTCCGCCTCCCGCACCGGCGCGACCGAGAGGCCGAGGCCGCGCGCGCCGCGGAGCGAGACCTCGGCGCCGTAGCGGAGCGCCAGCGCGTCGCCGTCGTCCTGTGCATTTGGTTGCGCGAGCTGCGTGCTCTGCTGCGCGATGAGCGCGCTCATCTCCTTTAAAGCTGCTTGAGAGCTTTTTGTAGTTTTTTAAAAATCGCGGTTGTGTTATTGCTGGTGGTGGTGTCGTGCCACCACTGCTGTGTTGGCAACACTTTGCTCAGCGAGTACTTACGGAGCTGATCGAGACGGCGCGCGCGTGGGCTAGGCGAGAGACATACTAGGTTTTACGATGCGACATGAAGCCGTTTGAGCAGTATTCCGTTCGCTACTGGTCCGAAGAGATCAATGGGACACTTCCTGGGGGCCGAAAAAAATAATTTTTTTAATTCGCGATATTGACGACGCCACCAGGGCGGGCGCGTCGATGGAATCCTGTCGATTCGTGGTCCTGAGGTCTCCCGGAGGCCGCTTTTGGTCGGTAGTAGACGTGGGCAAACGCCTACAGCGCATGCGCGGTGGCTTCCTTCGGTGCATACATATAAGCATGGTCCTTTGCGCTCTATTGCTCTGGACCATGATTCCCCAAAATTTTCGATCCAGAGCTCTCTTGAGAGCACCGAGCGCAGCCACATGCGGCCTAGGGGACCACCCGACCTCAGACCTATCCCGGAGGACGTCGGCGAGCCGATCTGTATCCACAAAAAGTAAATAATTTGGACCCGATGGCGCCCCGTTCCCGTAAAAAACGTCAATTACCCTAGACCCCCCAGTAGTCGCCGTAGCGGCCTCGTTGGGCCCCATACTACCCCAGCGATAGTCAACTACAAGTATATGACATCTACATTATAAGAAGGGTACTTTTGGCTGCCAACGCTCGGGACGTGAACATCTTTATCTGGACCTCGCGTAAGTCGGTCGGTCATGAAACAAATGATCGCATTATGGTCCATGGTGATGGTACACGGGCTGATGTCCGCAGGTCCAAGTAAGTTGCTTCTATTGGCGAGATGTTGGGCCCGCGAGACCGACGACTCGCGCCGAGCATCTTTGGGTCTCGGAGCAATGTAGTACACAATCAAGCCGGTTATCTGGCCCGTCCCGTAACTGAAGCGCCTAAAAAGCAAATTTATTTTATAAACCACCGGTCTGGGGCCTTTCTGGCGCTCCGTCTACGCACCGTCGTCCGCGGAGAACGGGCAAGTCGGTCGATCGTGAATAGAACAACGGCGTTATGATCCATTGGGGTAGTGGCATCGCTGATACTCGCGGGTCTAGTTATGTGTCCCTCTTTGTAAAAAGACGTGGGGCGCGGATTCGTCGTTTCGCGCGGCTCCAACGGGTCATCTAATCTACCTAGTAAGTGTTCTGGCGTTATGGATAGACTCTATATATAACAAACGAATAAAAACGAACATAAACTCGGGAGTTGTCTAGTAGAATTCTTCTCCCGCCCTCCGAGCGCGGGCCGTCGGCTCCGGTTCCGTCGAGTGTGTATGAAAACTGGACTGGAGTTGATATAATGTCCCATTTGGACGGGAAATGGCGGCGTCAATCGCGGGTCTACTTTGGAAGCTCGTAAGACTCATCCGCGAATGCCACGGGCGGTGCCTTCCGGGAGGCGCGAGGGTATGTTCCCGGACCGATACTCTCAAATATTTGGTCTCGGCGAACGACTAGGATGTATTCTGAATTTGAGTCATTCTTTTGACGCTATCGAAGCGTATCTTTGAATTTGCTAGTATGTCGATTACGCTAGCTCCGATTTCACCACAAGTCTATCGCGAGCCGCACGAGACCATAATATATCGGAGGTAGCAACGCACTGTTGAACGCGGTGCTTCTAGCTGTTCCCCATGGGCGCAGGCGCGTCCGCGGGCAGCAATGGGCAGCTCCTGCCGCCCAACAAGAACCCCGCAGCCATCCCAATTTTCACTGGGCTGAAGGCGCTACAAGCTAAACTTGTTGAGGAGGGCTCGTGGACGGAAGGCGACCGCGAGGAGATCGAAGGTTTGCTAGCAAAGGCTAGAATTTTCTACGACAGTCAGATCGAGGGTGCCAAGCGCGTGCAGCCGCAACTCGAGGCGAAGCTGGCGCAGGCGAAGGATGACTTCTGCGCGATGTACGGCATGGTCTTCAAGATGGTCCAGCAGGATGCGGCCTATTCGCGGGCGATGGAGGCCGCCGACCGCCTCGAGGCGGCCATCGCTGAGCGCGGGCCTCGGACGCGCCAGGTCGTGAACCAAATCGACGTGCTATACGAGACGTCGGCACTCAAGCAGAAACCACCGTTCGACGAAATGGTCCATCGCCTCGGCGAGGACACGAAGGCAATCGATATCAAGGTCGCGCCACTGAAGAGCTTGGAGCGCGCGTTCGAAAAAACGGCGATGAAGAAGGCAGACGATAATCGCTTCGACTCAGACCGGCTGCTTGACTTGGTCCGGGGCATGCTCGTCTTCCAGACGATGGAGGGCGTCGCGGCCGCGCTCGAGGCGCTCGAGAACTCCAAAGAGTTTGGGTGGACGGTGGTCCGGATCAAGAACCGCATGCGCAAACCTACGGGCGGCGGCTGGGCGGACGTCCTGCTCAACCTCACAAAAAACGACGACAATCATAAGTTCATCTGCGAGCTGCAGCTCGTCCACAAGAAGATGCTGGTCACGCGCGAGGAGCTCGGCGGCCACGACGCCTACGACGACTTCCGGACCGCCGGAGAGTTCCTCGAGCTCGTGCAGGAAAAGACCGAAGCGGGCGTGGCCGCGGACCTCGAGCGACAGCTCGCCGAGGCCAGGAAGAATCGCGACGGGAAGAAGTGCAAAGAGCTCAAGGGGCTCATCGAAAAAGTCAAAGCCTTGGACGCAGAAATAAAAAGGCTCACCGCCGCGGAAACTGCTGCCTTCGACGACGACGACTTCGACGAGGGCGATAGGCTTCACGGCGAGCTCGAAGCCCGAAAGGCCGAACTAGTGGAGTTGACCGCCAAGGCGGCCGGCGGGGACGCCGTCGACGCGCCAGTGGTGGAGAAGGTGAGCGTCAAGGCCAAGCCATCGGCCCAAACACAGTTTGATGGCGGATGGCAGACGAGCGCCGGCACGTATAAAATTTTCGCGAGCGGCGGTACGATCACGGCCGAGGGAAACCCCCAGCCATGGTACCCTGGCACCTATGAGTGCTGGGGCCCTGCGGTCAAAGCGACGTGGAAGCATGGCGCAGTATCCAATGGCACGATTGCGACCGATGGGACGATCAGTTGGACTGGGGCTACCTCCAGCACCTGGAAGCGCTCAGATGCGAGCGCCCATTTCTCCGGCGTGAACACCGAGACCTCGCAGGACTCCAAGGAGGCAAAGTCGCCGGCGGCGTGGTACTCGGAGGGCCTGGCGCTGGGAAGGAACGGGGAGAAGAAGTGGCCCGAGGCCATCAAAGCGTTTCAGAACTGCGTCGCGCTGGACGCGAACCATAGCAAGGCGTGGTTCTGGCTCGGGCAATCGTACTACTTGCAGAACGGGTCGAAAAACTGCGAGGCCTCGTACGAGCCGTACACGCGGTGCATCGCGCTCGACCCGAAGAACGCGCTGGCGCACGGCAACCTCGGCAGCGTGTTGCAGTACGCGCGCAAGGACTACGACGGTGCAGAGAGGCATTACAGGAAGGCGATCGAGCTCGAGCCGAAGGCGTATGCGTGCTGGAACTTGAGTCTTATCCTCGAAAACCAGAAGAACGACATCCCCGGCGCCATCAAGCTCGTGGAAGAGTGCGTCCGCCTCGGCCGGGCGAATTGCGAGCAGCGCCTCGCAAAACTCCGAGCCAAACTATGAAATAAGACTAATGTGAATTTACTAAAAAGGCCTCACCTTACAGTACGGCCTCTTCCCCGACCGGGCCCGGACCGCGGACCTGTTTGTGTTTTCCCTCGAACTGCCGCTCCGCCGATCTATCCCTCCCTGTTTTCTTGCACACCCCTAGGAGGTCTAAGCTAGGCGTCATGCGTTTGTCAGCGCAAGTGGGCCTTGCCCTGGTCGGGAGAGGCCGCGCTGCATACGGCACTCCACGGAGCCCAAACACGCGCGGGCAGCCTTCCTGTCTCCAAAATGATGGCGTAGGAGGGACACGGTAGCCTTCTCCACGCGTCAGCGACAACCACCACTGCGGCTTGGTACACCACAAGCTTATACCACAGCTCCTCTGAGCTGCTGAAAAAATGGGCGGCGGCGCGTCGTCGATGCAGCATCGGCTCCACAAGCTCAGCGCCGACAGCGTGCAGCAGCTCGTCGAGGGCATCGGCCCGTCGTTCGTGGAGATTGCGAAGCAGCTGCGCGAAAACGGCTTAGACGGCGAGTACCTCGAGTCGGCGTCGGACGAGGACCTGAAGGAGATTTTCGACGATCTCAAGGTCCCGAAGATCAAACAGAAGCTCCTGCGCCAGAAGCTGGCCAAGCTCAAGGACGTCACGTCGTCCACCGGTTCGCTGGACACGCGGACCGACGGCAGCGGCCGAGGGATGGGCTCGTCGACGCTGTCGCCGACGGTACGCCGAATCGCGGCGGACGACGTGGTCCTCGAGTCCGAGCCGATTGGCGAAGGCGGCTTTTCGATCGTGTACAGGGGCACGTGGAATCAGCAGGGGACGTTCGGTCGCGCGATGACGAGGTCTCGTAGAATCGCCGCGAAGCGGTCGCGCGTCGCTGGCCTCGGCGCGGAGATCCAGAACGACATGGTTCGGGAGCTAGCGGTCATGGCCGACTTTCCCCATCAGAACGTGCTCATCGTCCACGGCGTGTCCGATATACCGGGCGCCGGCATCCACGTCATTACCGAGTTGATGGCCTACGACCTCGACGACGTGATCCACCAGAGCAAGCGCGGGCAGCTCGTCCACCAGGACATTCTGCACGTGGCTCGCGACGTCGCCGCGGGACTGGCGCACCTCCACGCGAACCGCATCATGCACCGCGACCTGAAGCCGAGCAACGTGTTGGTAGCCGAGGGCAGCGGCATAATTCGGTGCAAGATCGCGGACTTTGGCATCAGCAAGGAGCTGACGCACACGCTGACGAAGATGACGGCGGTCGTTGGTACCTGCATGTACATTGCACCTGAAGTGCTCTCGGATGACGCGCGCGTTGGCACGAGCGCCGACGCGTACGCCTACGGCGTGCTTGCGTGGGAGCTCCTGGAACGCAAAAAGCCGTGGAGCGGCAAGTCGCAGCATCAAATCCACAGCGCGATTAATCGCGGCGAACGGCTTCCCAGGCCCGAAACGCCCGTCGTGCCCGAGCTGGCGGATTGGGCCGTCGAGTGCTTCGGCGTCGCGGCAGAACGCCCGACGATGCACGCGCTCGAAACGAAGCTCGACGAGCTACTCAGTACGGACGAGCGGGACCTCGACACGCTTCGAGCGCGGCTCGCCGAGGCGCAGCGGGGTGACGCCGACGCGTACGACGAGGCGTGGGAGAATTACGCGAGCGATCCGCGCTGCGGCGAGATGCTGGAATTGTGCGCGACGCTCGCGAAGAAGCGCGCGGAGACTCCGCGGCAACCGGAGTCGTGCAAGTCCGTCGAAGAGCTTCAGAGCCTCGCGAAGAGCGTGCGCGATGATTTTCACGACGAGCTTCGAGCCGTCGTGACGCGGGCGGGCGGCACGTACATGGCGGCCGACACAAAGGCGCGGGCGCGCTGCGTCGAGAAGGCGAGTCGCGAATACGACGGCGACGTGCGCCGCATTGTCGACATCGAGCGGGCGGCGGCGTTGTTTACGAGCGTGCCTGCGCTGCATGAAGGCGTAAGACAGCTCTCGCAGCTCGGCGGTGATCTCGAGGTGGTTCGCGTGAAAGACAGCTTCGGCGAGCCCAAGCCGTCGGGCTGGCGGTGCATCTACTTTAACTTTAAACACGTGCCGTCGGGCGTGGTCGGCGAGCTTCAAGTGACGTTCGACAGAATAAAGAAGATCAACGGGCGGTCGCATGCGATTTACACCCTGCTGCGATGCCTCGAGCGAGGCGTGGAGCCGGCTCCCCGCGACAAGGTCGTCGCAGAGCAGCGGCGGAGCGAGGCCAAGGCCGCGCGCGCGGCCGAAGAGCAGGAACGAAAGCGCGAGGCCGCGGCCGCGGCCGACGCGGGGGAGAAGCTCCGCGCGGCCGAAGCGAGGGCCGCGGAGGCGGAAGGCAAGCTTCGCGCCGCCGAAGCCAAGGCCGAAGAGGAGAAGCGGCGACGCGCGGCGGCGGCGGGCAAGTCGCCGGCGGCGTGGTACTCGGAGGGCCTGGCGCGGAAAGAAGAGAAGAAGTGGCCCGAGGCCATCACAGCGTTCCAGAACTGCGTCGCGCTGGACGCGAACCATAGCGAGGCGTGGTTCGAGCTCGGGTGGGCGTACTACGGGCAGAATGGGACCTGTGAATCCTCGTACGAGCCGTACACGCGGTGCATCGCGCTCGACCCGAAGCACGCGGCGGCGCACTCCAATCTCGGCCTCGTGTTGGAGAACGTGCGCAAGGACTACGACGGTGCAGAAAAGATGTATAGGAAGGCGATCGAACTTGGGCCGACTGCTATAAAGTACTGGAACTTGAGCGATTTACTCGAAAAGAAGAACGACATCCCCGGCGCCATCGAGTTCACCGAGAAGTACATCCAAGCGGGCAACCCGGACAACGACGGCGAGGAGCGCCTCGAAAAACTCCGAGCCAAACTAAAATACTGTTGAATTAATTAAAAAGGCCTCACCTTACAATACGGCCTCTTCCCCGAGCCCCCGCCGTCGTCGAGGTAGATCTTCTTCTGGGGCCGCCCCGACGTGTCCTCCTCCGCGGGCCCGGCGAGCGTGTCAAAGGCGAGCTGCGCGTGGAGCGGCGACTTGAAGACGAGGGCGCACTTGCCATAGGCGTCGCCGCGCGCGATCGTCGCGTCCGCCGCGAGCGCGACGCCCGTCGTCCGCTCGACGGCCGCCTTGAGCGTGGCGTCGTCGACGCCCGCCGGGATGCGGTGCGCGAAGAGCGACCGCTCCTCGCGCGCGTGCTTGCGCCGCGCCACGGCCTTGGGCAGCGTCTCGGTCCCGCCGATCAAGTGGTAGGCGCACAGCGCGGCCGTCCGCGCGTCGACGCGGGAGTCGTGCGTCGCGCTCTTGTTCACGGCGTCCTGGGCGGGCGGCAGGACCGCCGCGGCGACGTCGCGTAGACTTGGCGCGACGCCCGCGGCCGCGCCGACGACGCCGTAGGCGACGGACGTGTCCACGATGCAGCCGTGGCGGAAGCGCAGCGCCTCCAGATCGTTCGCGACGGCGTGGCCGATGAGCACGGTCCGGTCCGAGCAGAGCTGCGCCAGCGCGGCTTGCGCGTGCGCCAGCGTGAAGGCGACGCCGTCGAGGTCCGAGGCCTTGATGCCGTGGACGCGCTCGACGGCGTCCTTGATCGGGAGCGACGGCTTCACGAGCGAGTCGAGCACGACGTCGTCGTGCGCGCCCGCCGCGGCCGCCGCCGCGCACGCGTCGAGCCGCGACGCGTCGACGATGGAGATGCGGACGAGGGCCTTGCCGTCGAGCGCGCCCGTGGCGGGGTCCTCGGTGACGCACATCTCGCAGTCGATGGCCAGCGCCTGCGGCAGGTGCGCGCACCACGCGCCGTAGGGCCGCGACCGCACCCACGCGGCCGGCGCCGCGGCGGCGAGCGCGTCGAGGCGCGCCGCCGCCGCGCGGTAGCGCTCGCTCGCCGCCGTCTGCGCGGCGAGCGCGGCCCAGGCGCCGAGCTGCGGCGTCGTCGCCGGCGTCGCTTGTTGCGGTTTAGCTTCAGGGGCGGCCGGCGCCGAGGCGCGCGGCGCCACCGGCGACACGGGCAACGCGCCGACGATGGACGCGGCGGTCGTCGTCGCGGCCGGCGCCACGGGCAAGGAGGCGACGACCGCCGCGGCGGTCGCGGCCGCGGCGGGCGGCGCCACGGCGGTCGCCGCTGCGGGCTCCTTGCTCGACGACTTGCGCGCGCCGCGCCGGGCCTTTTTCTTCTTCTTCGGCGGCTCCTCGGCCGGCGGCGCGCGGCGCGCGCGCTCCTTGGCCAGCGCCGCCTTCAGCTCCGCGACCTCGCCGGATTCCTTTTGTTTGCGCTTCTCGTCGGCGACGGCGGCGCGCAGACGTGCCAGCTCCTGCTTTTGCTTCTCGGCCTCGACTTGTTGCCGCAGCGTTTCCAGCTCGGATGGCATTGTGGTGCTGTGCAGCAGTGGTTATGCGGCGAGTGAGATGTTGTTGTCTCCGTTGACAGGTTAGCGCGTCGGCTGGCGTCGCGCTGAGAGATTATATCGCCCTTGCCAGAGCTGTGAGAGCACCGCCCACTGAGAAGTGCAATTGGCTCTTGCGAGCTGTGCCCAAGAGTTCTTGGCAGAATGGGTCGTTATTGATCCAGCTCTCAATTCGGCGCCGAGTTTCAGGTGAAACGCGGCGGCCCACAGCACGCAGCAGTACAACAATGCGGCTCTGGCTTGCCGTCTTCGCGCTGCAGCGGGCGGCTGCGTTCGCCGCACCGCGCTGCCTCTCGGCGCGTCACCGACGAATGCCTACGGCGGCGGCTGACGCACCGATCGACGGCGAGCGCGCGGTCGTCCGCGAAGTCGCGGGCATGGCGCTGCCGCTGCTCTTGGTCTCGTTAAGCTCACCACTGCTCTCGCTCATCGACGTCGCGGTAGTGGGGCGTCACGTCGGCGTGCTCGGTCTCGCTTCGTTGGGCCCGGCGACGAGCGTCTGCGACCTATCGATGTACGTATTCAACGCGCTCTCGGTTTCGACGACGCGGCTCGCAGCAGCCGCGCTCGCAGATGGAGACGACGCCGGCGCCGCGAAAAATGTCGGCGATGGCGCGGCCGTCGCGATGGCTCTCGGCATTACGTACGGCGCCGCTGTCGCTCTCGTGCCGGCGCTTTTCTTGGGACCATTCCTGCCCCAGGCGGTCGACGCGCGCGCGCTACCGCTCGCGGTCTCTTATACGCGGGTCCGCGCCCTGGGGTTTCCGGCGGCACTCCTGACCGTGGTCCTCCAGTCGGCGGCGCTGGCGAGGCGCGACGTACGGACGCCGCTCAAAGCCGTCTGGCTTGGGGCTCTCGTCAACGGCGTCGGTGACTACGTGCTCGTCGCGCGATGCGGCGCGGGCGTGGCCGGCGCGGCGGCGGCTACGGTGGCCGCGCAATGCGTCGCGGCGGGCGTCCTCCTCCGCGCCGAAGCTCGCGCGGCCACTACTCTCCCGCGGCGGCTCGCGGACCGCGCGCGATCTGCGTGGTCGTTTCTGATACGTTGTGCTGCGCCGGCGCTGGCACTGTCTGCGCGGCTCTCGGTACAGCTCTCCGTCGCCGCGACGGCGTCGGCGTGCGGCACGGCGGCGCTTGCCGCACAGCAAGCTCTCAGTGGCACCTTTCAGATTTTTCGGCCGCTGGGCGACGCTCTAGGTCAAACGATGCAGGCATTATTACCAGCAGTCGCCTCGAACAACGCGGTCTCGTCGTTGGACTCGTGCTTGGGTCTCGGCGACGCTGCGGTCGTGAAGACGGACGGACCGCAGGTCCTCTCGACAAACGCAGTCGCCGTTTTGCGCGCGATGATCGGCGGGGCCCTGGCGCTCGGCCTTATTGATGCCGCCCTCGCAACTGCCGGCCCTGTTCTATTTCCGGGCGCGTTCACTGCCGACGCGTTGGTCGCGGCGGAAATTCGTAAAACTGCACCCATCGTCGGCGCGTGCCTCTTCGTCCACGCGCTCTCGGTCTCGTTAGAAGGCGTCCTCTTCGCGACGAACGACGCAAAATCGGTAGCGAAGCTGTACATCGGCAACGCTCTCGCGATGGGCCTCGCGTTTTCCTGGGCTCGCGCCCGCGGTCCGACTCTCTCGACCGTATGGGGCGGCTTCTTCCTCTACAATATCGTGCGCTGCGCGCAGTTCTCGGCGCGGCTGGCGTGGAACCAGCGGGATCGCGGCGCGCGGCGGCGGCGCAAGCGCGACGTCTTCGCGGGCTGGGCGCTGGCGCCGAAGACTGCCGTGCCCGTCGCGCCCGTGTATTCGACGTCGTACGCGGCGCGGAAGTATTCGAGTGTTGATTATGATGTTTAATATGTTCTTCCTTTACTCCTAGCTCATACCTCACCGCCGCCGCCGGCACTCCTTCGTCCAGGACTCCATGTCGATCGGGTGGCTCTCCGGGTCCGCCTCGGCCTGCTCCTTCCAGATCTTGACCGTCTTGTCCGCCTCGCACGTGATGAGCCGCGTGCCCGAGCGGTCGAAGGCGCAGTCGTAGATGCCGGCCTCGCAGGCCAGCGAGCCGGGCTGCGCGACGGTCTCGAGCCGCTGGAAATTGTACCCGGTCCGGTAGTCCCAGAGGCGCAGCGAGCCGTCGTCGCCGGCCGTCGCCAGCACGCCCGCGGAATTGACGTCGCAGGCGTTCAGCACGGCGTTGTGGCCGCGCATCGTCCGCAGCAGCGCGCCGTCCTTGCGCCGCCACGTCCGGACCGCGTCGGCCGCGGCCGAGACGAAGCTCCCGTCGAAGGGCGCGCAGGCGACGGCGCGGATGCCGCGCTTGTGGTGCGTCAGCGTCGCGCGCGTCTTGCCCGCGGCGAGGTCCCAGAGCCGCACGGTGTTGTCCGCGGAGCCCGAGACGACCTGCGGGTCCGTCGCCGCCGCGGCGACGCTGTTGATCGTCGCCTGGTGGCCGCCGAGCATCATGACCTGCTTCGACGTGCGCTGGTCCCAGCAGCGCACGCAGCTGTCGCGGCCGCCCGTGAAGAGCAGGTCGAGCGTCGGGTGCAGCGCGAGGCAGTAGACGCCGCTCAGGTGGCCGTGGTAGCGTCTTACCACTTTATTCGTTTCCAAGTCCCAGCACAGCACCTTTTTGTCGTCGCCCGCGGAGAAGGCGTACGCGGACCGCGGCGACACCGCGAGGCCGCGCACGGCGCCGACGTGGCCCGTCAGCGTGAGCTTTAGGCCGCCCTGGGCGCCAGCGGAGCACTTTGCCAGGTCCCAGACCTTGATGGTGCGGTCCGCCGAGCCCGTGACGAACCACTGGTTTTGGGGGTCGAACGCGACGCAGCGCACCCAGCCCAGGTGGCCGCTCGCCACGGCGTGGAGCGCCCAGGGCGCATGCCACTGCGGCACGGGCACGGCGGCCGCGCGCCGCCGCAGCGGCACCGCGAGCGCCCCGCCCTTGGCGCCGGCCGTCGCCGTGCCGCCGCGCACGACGATCGCGCCGCCCTCGGCCGGCGCCGGCGGCTCGGCTTCGGCTTTCGCGCCCTTGGCGCGCTTCCGCCGCCGCGCGCCCGACAGCGCGGCCGCGAGCTCGTCGACGTACGCGCGCCGCTCCTTTTCGTCGGAGCAGCCGGTCGGCGCCGCGCCCGGCGCCGGGCGGGTTGCGGCGTAGGCGTGGAGTTTGCTGGCGACTTTTGCTTTGAGTGCCGCGACGGGCGGCGCGGGCGGCGAGAAGGGGTCGTCGCCGGCGAACAGGGCGTCGCCGCCCTGTGCGCTGCGGGTGAGGGCCGCCTCCATATGTTGCTTTTGATGGCGCGGCGACTGTTGCTTCCTGTTTCTTATGCAAGGGCCACGTGTGTTGGGTGCTTTTATGGGGCAAGCAATGGGCTCGCGCGTCGCCGCGGCCACAAAATGTCGAGGGTTCGCGGGTTTTACGCTGCCTGTGGCCTGTTTTTTGCCCGCGTGAGCCAGCATCGATCAAAAAAGGAGGCTGAGCAATCGCGCTATAGTCCTGCCAGCCGATCTGGGCAGTTTGCACAGGCCAACGGCTGCGTAGGCAAAAGCACACAGCCACTTGATGAGGCGTCTCTGGCTGCGTATGCGACCACTGTCGTCGCGCGGCACGCCGCAGCTCAGTGGCCGATGTGCGTGCGGCGGCGTGACGATCGACGTGAAATCAGTAACGCCGTCGCACGCGCCCGCGTACTGCCATTGCAACACGTGTCGCGCGATGCACGGCGCGGCGTTCGCGCTCGAAGCCGGCTTCCGAACGGCAGACGTCGTCGTGACCGGTGCGACGGCGTCGTACCGCTCGTCGCGGCACTACGAGCGCAGAAGATGTGCGACGTGCGGCGCGCCGGTTGGCGGCGTGCACCACAAGCTCGGCGCCGTGTTCGTGCCGACCGCGCTCTTCGCGGCGCCGGGCGCGCCGCCGCCAGAGCCTCTCGCGCCGACGATGCACTTGTTTTATGGGCGGCGCATCGTCGGCGACGCCTTCGACGGCGACGGGCTGCCGAAATACGAGGGCTTTCCGCCGAGTGATTGAGCCTTCTTCTCGACGGCTGTTTGTTGTAAGTGGTGTTTTTATACAGATACACATAATTAACCACTAGGCAGAGGAGCGATTCAAGCCAGAAGACGCCGGCCGAGAGGAAGGCCGAGACGGCCGCGACGACGGCCGGGAAGACGGCCGAGACGAAGGCAGGGACGACGACGGCCGAGACGACCCTGAGGGCGTCCCCACGGACGCGCGGATACCCGCGGCGTTCTCGGACGCGTACATCTCGTAGCTCCGCTGCGTGTCGTCGAAGCGGCGCGCGGCCAGGTCCCGCTCGCGCCGCGCCGCCGCAATGCGCCCGGCCACGCGACTGTACTCGGCGTTCGCCTCCTCGAGGTCGTGGTGCTGTTGCGCCCGCCTTTCGCGCGCCGCGGCGCCGCAGTTCCGGGCCAGCGCGCGGTGGCCGCACGCGACGGCGAGTTCGCAGGGCGTCGGAAGGGGCCCGGCGTAGCCCTTGGGCGGCTTCGTCGGGCCGTGAAAGTCGCCGCCGCGGTCGACGAGGAGCTGCGCGACGCGCTCCGCGTTGTGCGACGCGGCGACGTGGAGCGGGTTGTGATAGGGCGGGACCGTCGACGCTGCCAGCGGGTCGGCGGCCCAGTCGAGGAGCACGGCGGCGCAGCGCGCCGAGTCGAAGCGCGCGCAGACGTGGAGCGCCGTCCGGCCGTCGGCCGGCGCGGGCTCGTCAGGTCGGGCGCCGGCTTTCAGGAGCTGTAGGCAGATGGCGGCGTCGTCGTTCTTCGCGGCGAGGTGGATCGGGGGTTGCTTCGCCGGGCCGGCGCGCAGCAACTGGGCGAGCTTCGAGTCGCGCGCGGCGTCGCCGGCGGCGCCGCCGCCGATTTCGAGCAGCGCGTTGACGACTTTGCCCTGCCCGCGCTCGCACGCCGCGTGCAATGCCGTCTTGCCGAATTTGTCGCGCCGCGCGGGGTCGGCGCCCGCCGCGATGAGTCGCCGCACGACGGCGGGCTGGCCCGCGGCGGCCGCGACGTGCAGCGCGGACCGCGTCGTCTTCGCATCCATGGCCGTGCGCGCGAGCGACGGGCAGGTCGCCACGTGCGCGTTGACGTGGTTGATCGCGGCGGCGCCGTCGCCCTCGTGGAGCAGTTCCACGAGGCGGCCGTTCGCCCAGGCGCTTTCGCCGGCATCGGCCGGCTCCGCAGGCCGTGGCGTTGACGGTGTCGAGTCCGTGTCTATCGTCGTCGGCGCGGCGGGGGCCGTGGCGCGCCGCCTCTGGTCTTTTGCTGCTTTCTCGGCGCCCGAGGGCGAGGAGTGGCGCTGTTTTGGTCCCGGCATCTTCTTCTTCTTGTGGTGCTGCTGAACGGGCTGCCCTTTGGTAATTTGTGGCTTTGGCAGCGCTGCAACGAGCTGTTGCGGCGCTGGGGCATGCAGCCTCCATTGCATGGAACCCGAACGTTCGGGAGCCGTCGGACGAGCAACACTTTTTCGCCCCTTCAATGACTGCGCGCCGCACAGAGCGCTGTCCAGTCACGAAAGGCAAAACCCGCCACTGGCTTTCGGCCTCTCTGGATCCTGTTCCCACCAAGGGCTGCCCGTGCCGCGCGTGTCAACCGAAACAAGGCGAGAACCAGCGTCCGGCAGCCTTAAGTACGAGCGCGCCGTTTTTCTACCGGTCGCCTCGCAGCAGAGAGCAGAAAGAGCAGCCAGAGAGAGCATCCATTTGGAGAGGCGAGGACGCCTCGCGCGGTCGCGACCCACGCGACAGTGCAAGAAAAGTCGCTCCCCACAGGCCGACCATGGACGACGAAGAAATCTTCACGGCGAGCTTCCCGGCGGGCCGCAAGCAGATTTTCGTGGACGTCAAAGAGAACAACATTGGCAAGTACCTCAAGATCAAGGAGCGCGGCGACTCGCAGACGAACTCCATCCTCATTCCGGGCGGGTCCATCGTGCAGCTGCGCAACGCGCTCGACGAGGCCGTGCAGGCCCTGGGCCTCGACTCGGGCAAGGGCGGCGGCGGCGGGAAGCGCGTGGCCGGCAACCAGTGCGTGTGCCACGTCGGTAATCTCTCTTGGGAGACGACGGGCGACACGCTGCGCGAGCTGTTCAGCGGCTACGGCGAGGTCGTCAAGGCCGAGGTGCAGATGTCGCGCGCGGGCCGCTCGCAGGGCTGGGGCCTCGTGGAGTTCGCCAGCGCCGCCGAGGTCAAGTACGCCATCGAGCAGTGCGACGGCCTCGACTTCGACGGCCGCGAGATCCGCGTCCGCGCGGACAAGGGGCGCGTGACCAAGGCGGCCGCGCCGGCGAAGACCCAGCGCAACGACGCGGACAAGGTCGTGGACCCGACCAAGATCTTCGTCATGAACCTGAGCTTCGACGCGACGGAGGCCGAGCTCCGCGCGCACTGCTCCTCCGTGGGCGAGGTCGCGTCCGTCGAGCTCCTCACGCGCGGCAAGAACCAGCGGCCCTCGGGCTCGGCCGTCGTCGAGTACCGCTACTCCGAGGCCGCCGCCGCCGCCGTCCAGGCGCTCGAGGGCACGGAGCTGGACGGGCGCGACCTGCGCGTGCGGGCGTACTTCTCGAACTGAAGAATGCTCAGCCCCCATGACGAATAAGAAACCATGATGACTGACAAAATTAATATCCTCCAGCAGGCTCCCCCCCGCCCGGACGTGGTGGATCGAGACTGTCAATCGTGTCTCACGCGGGTTTTCTGGTGACGGGTTTCGCTTACACAAAAATTGCCCATAGCGGTGGAAATAAAGCGCCACCGTTCGTGAGCAGGCTCGACAGTAGTTCTCCTTTAGCACCGGCAGCCGTGCATCCACCTGTGAGCACCGGTTGTAAGCACCTTTGCTCGAAACTACAAATGGCCGCACTCAACGCCGCCGCATCTTTCGATGCGAGCGCCGTAGCGAAAGCGCAGGACGAAACGCTAGCGGAGGCCGAGCGCCTGAACGTGCTGCCGGCGCCTGAAAAGACGCCGTTCGAGCACAAGTACGCGGCGCGCAAGCTGCTCCAGGAGCGCTGCCAGGTTTTAGAAGCCGCGCTGCCGGGCGCCGGCACCACAACGCCCTGGGTCCGCGCCCTGCTCGGCGAGTGCGAGGCGGCGCTGGGCGACATTGGCTACGACGTCGAGGAGCCGCACGCGGCGGACCCCTGCTACGCGCGCGCGCTCGCGGCGCTGGCGCCCGGCGCCGAGGCGCTCGACGACTCGGGCGACCACGGCGACGAGGACGCATCGGAGGAGGCGCGACTGCAAGCGGCGGCTGCCGACGAGGAGACGGCGGAAGACATCGCCGTAGCGAGTGCGGCGTGCGTCCGCGACGCGGCCCTGGTGGGCGCGCCGAAGCACGCCCGGGGCGCCGAACTCGGCGCGGCGGCGCTGCGCGCGCTCAATGGCGCGGCCGTGCTCTGGCAGGGCCGCGAGCAGCCGCGCCGCGCCTTTCGGCTCCTCAAGGCCGCCGAGGCGCTCGAGCGCCTGCCGTCGCTCCCGGGCGGCGCCGGCTTCTCCGCGGACACGCTGCGCGAGGCCGAGACGAAGACGATCTACTACCTCGCCCAGGTCTGCGCGTCGCTCGGCGACGGCGCGGCCAGCGCGAACTACTGCGCGCAGACGCTCGAGCGCCAGCTCGTGGGCCCCACGCCGTCCTTCGACGGCGTCACGCCTCTGGACTGGGCCAAGAACTGCGTCGGCCTCGCGCGCTTCTTCGTGGACCAGGGCGCCGTCCTCGACGCGATGAGCTGCTGCCGCGCCGGCGTCGCCGCGGCGCGGCTCGACGGTGTCGACGACGACCCGGACGAGCCGCGCGGCAGCGTCGTCGCGGACGCGCACAAGTGCTGGGCGCAGGCGCACGCGAGTCGGGCGGAGTCTTTCATCGCGACGCGTCGCACCGTCGCTACCTGTACAGAGAAGGACGCTCACTGAGAGAAAACAACACTCACACAATACGCACGCACAGGTCGGCTGGCTCTCGATACTCGCCGAAGTGGAGGACGGCGCCGCCCCGCCAAAGCCGCCCGCGGCGACACTCGCGGCCGACTTTCGGTCGCTCGGCGCGCCGGAGCGGTCGCCGGATCTGGTGGACGGTATTGGCGGCGACCTACGCCTCGCCTTCCGGGCGGCGCTGCGCGCTTTGCGGCGCGCGCGGAGCTACTACGTTTTGGACGGCTTTGTGACCGAGCACGTCGACCTCGCGCGGCTCGAGTCGACGTGCTGGAAGCTCGTGAGTCTGAAAGAGCCGGACTACGCGCGGCTCCAGCAGATGCGCCGGCGGCGCGTGGCCTGCCTCGACCCGCTGCGGGACGCGCTCCAGGCCGATGCGTACCGCGACCTGCGCGCCACGCTCGGCTACGAGGTCGCCCAGGTCCTGGCGGCCATCGTGGAGGCCAAGGCCGAGCGCCTGCGGCGCTACTCCGGCCAAGCCCTGCGGGAGCGGCAGCAGGCGCTCGAGGCGCTCAAGGATCGAACGTGCGACGTCTTCGACGACTTTCTAAAACAGTGCGCGGGCGACGCGCGGACGCAGCCGGGCGACACGCCGCGGTCCGCGATTGAGCGCCTCGCGGAGTCGGACGTCGAGGCGTACATGAACGCGCAGTTCGTCGCCGCGCGGCTCCGGGGCAAGCGCTTCGTCGCGATCCCGGGCGACGTGCGCCACGCCGAGGACTCGCTGCGACGCTACAAGCAGTGCGTCGCCGACGCGGCGGCGGCGAAGAAGGCCCGCAATTTGCCGGAGGACTTCTTCGCGCGGGAGCTGGACCTCTGCGAGCAGATGATCCACCTGCTGCCCACGAAGATCCACCACGTCCGGACCACGGGAGGCGTGCTGGAGGATTTTTAATTTTGTAAAGTCAAACACACAACTACTCTACAACAACGACGACTTTTCCTGTTGAGGACCCGCTCTGCAGGTGACGGAGCGCGTCGGGGAGCGCGTCGAAGGCGAAGGTCCGGCCGACGAGTGGTGGCCGGTCGAGGAGCACGCCGGCCATGCCGTCGAGGACCTCTGCCAAGTAATCTTCCTCACCCGTCAGCCAGATTAAATTGAAGCCAAAGACCGCTCGATTCGTCGACGTCAGCTCCCCGGGATCGACGCGTGGCCGTCGCAAGTAGGCCGCGACAAGGCCCGGCCACTTGAGCAGGCCGCCGCGTGCCGCACCGTAGGCGGCCGTCGCTCCAAAGTGGATCAGCCTGCCGCGAGGCGCGAGGCGCGACAGTCCCTCGTCGAACCACGGGCCTCCCAGCGACTCCATGACGACGTCGATCAAGCCGAATGAGTCGAGCGCGGCACGGTACGCGGCGTCAGGCGTGGATTCCCGAACGATTATGTCCTTGACTTCGGGATGCCTCGCGCGCACGACGTCCGCCTTCGCATCCGAGCCGACGACCGCGGCGGCGCGGCAGCCGAGCTTTGCGCAGATCTCGAGCGTCTGCAGGCCGACCCCACCGGCAGCCGATTCGACGAGGACGCGCGAGCCCTTTTTCGCGTTACCGAGCTCGACGAGGCCGTAGTAAGCCGTCATCCCTTGTACCATAACTGACGCGGCCTCGGCGAAGGACCAGCCGTCCGGGATCTTCCTCAGGAACGCCGCGCGCTGCGTGAGGCGGTCGGCGTAGGCGCCGAAGCGCGTGAAGCCGAAGACGCGGTCGCCGCTTTTGTACGGAGCCTCCGGGCCCGCGTCCTCGACGACGCCCGCGAATTCTAGCCCTGGCACGAAGCCGCTGCTTGTCGGCGCCGCCGCGAGCACTTCGTTGGCAGCGCTGTAGAGACCAAGCACGGAGAAGATATCTGCGTAATTCAGACCAATGGCGCGCACCGCGATCGTGCAGGCGTCCGCGGCAGCGTCGTCAATTGGAGCGGTCGCGAGTTGGAGCGCGTCGATCGATCCGAGCTTGCGAGACTGCCAGACGCGGCGCTCGGCGTACAGCCAGTGTCTGCTGCGCACATGTGTTGTCGGCGGCAGCAGTGCATTGGCCAGCGCAAGCACCAGGCAGCATCGCATAGCGTGCAAAGGTCGTGCCGACTCTGGTGAACTGCTGGGATCAGCTGATAGGACTGTAGCGCGACCGCTCAGCCTCGCTTTTTGATCTATGCTGGCTCACGCGTGCCAAAACCGCATGCATGCAGCTGTGCAGGCTCGGGGTTTACAGCATTTTTGCACGGACTCGGCTCTGCGCGAGTGCACAGGCGATTCTGCAGTAATGATTTGAAATATATCATCCCAATACAGCGCTACACGCAGCGGTGGCACTCGTCATGCGGTTGCAACTACTCACACTGCTTTTGCAGCACAGCACTCATGGCCTCGTGCAGCCGCCGCGACGTGCGTCGTCCGCACTGATTGCTCAAGCCGCGCGCACGGGCAAGCGCCAGCGCGTGGCGAGCTGGTTTCGACGACGGCGGCGACAACCAAACACCGAGCCCTCCGAGACGCCGCCGCTGTCGCTCCTCGAGCGCGATTCGTCGCTGAGCGTTACGTGCTGGGAAGCGATGATGGGCCTGGAGGCGCCCCAAACGCTGGCGGACCGACGGCTCGCGTTTCGTGTGGGTAGAGACGCGTCCTGGACTATCGTCACTGTCGACTCTTCGTGCAGCGTTGCCGTCGAGATCGAGAGCTGCCTCGAGCGGCCTGCGGTGGACGCGTGTGTTACGTACGCAAGCGAACAGGTCTTCGAGGCGCTGATGGACGAGAAGTATTCGTCGGCGGCGGCTGTGGCGACCAGACGACTGAGGATTTCGGGCAGCTTGAGCGTCGCATCGGCAAGCGAACCACTCTTCGACGCCGTCGAAGTGAAACTAAGGAATACGCGTGCCGTCGCGGTCGGCGGTGCCGAGGTCGCCGCTGCTCGGCGCGCTGCTGCGGAAGCGACGCTCGACGCGCGCCTTCGCGATGCAGCCGCGCGTCCGTGGTTTGAAAGGTGGCGTGCGCGGCACGTCGGGACTGATCAACAGGTCGCTGTCCGTGTCAATCAATCAATATTTGCGTCGACTGCGCGCATCCACAACTCAGATCCACGCGTAGGTCGCCAGCGCGCTGCTCGTGCTCGGCGGTGTCCTGTACGTGATTTACTGCTTCGTGGTGGTCGCTGCGGCGGACTCGATTGATGTACTGCCCAATCAGCTTTACCTGGCATCCGCATTGCTCTGGCTGCTGGGATCAGGAGCTCTGGTGCAGGGATCCTATCCTGAAAACGTCCTCGCGCTCGCAAAGAAGGCAGAGGCCGATGCCGCTGATGGAGGTCTGCGCCGCGGTGCACTGGTCTTTGTAGAGCGCTACTGTACCGACAGCGCCGTGTTAGTTGGAGCGTACGGCCTTGGCGTAGGTGCGCCGACATTTCTTGCTGGCGCGGCGGCTGCTATCGCAGCGCATCCGGGGGACGTCGTGCCTATCTTATATGCAGTCGCCGGTGTCTACATTGTGGGTGCGACGGGACTTCTCGTGTATGGTGCTTTACCCGATTCACTCGCTCAAAACGGCGGTGCGGGAAGCACGAAACTCCGTGAGTCGTTTTCGGTTTTGCGAGACTCGCGCTACGCCGAGACGGACGTTGTGGCCGGGGCGTGGGCGTTCGCAGCGTTCATGTGTGCTTGCTTGGCTTTCGGAGTTATTGATTTAATTGCGGAGCCGTCGTCTCTCGCGGTGTTGTTCGCGGTGTCACAAGTTCCGTTCGCAGCAGGCGCTCTGTTGCTGGCGGAGGCTACTTATCCAGAAAACACAAATAGAGTTTCCTACGGCAACTCAACGCGGGGTATTGACGAGATGGTACTACGCGGGCGAATGCAGAGAGGCGATGCGTTGGTGTTGCTCGAGTAAAAGTTGTTGTTGTTAATGCTTTGGGGTACGCGGTGCGGGACCCGGGCGGCAAGCCAGTGATGCTGGTGACCGTCAGTTACCAAGTGCAGAAGAAAACCTAAGACTACTAAGCCCTTTCGGATGGGTTCGGGCCCGGAGGGCCCGGAGGGCCCGAAGGGCCCTTCCAGCCCTTTCCAAGAATACCTAAGACTACTAAGCCCCTTCGGAGGTTAGGATCACTGTGGGTTCGGGCCCGGAGGGCCCGAAGGGCCCGAAGGGCCCTTCCAGCCCTTTCCAAGAAAACCTAAGACTACTAAGCCCCTTCGGAGGTTAGGATCACTGTGGGTTCGGGCCCGGAGGGCCCGAAGGGCCCGAAGGGCCCTTCCAGCCCTTTCCAAGAAAACCTAAGACTACTAAGCCCCTTCGGAGGTTAGGATCACTGTGGGTTCGGGCCCGGAGGGCCCGAAGGGCCCGAAGGGCCCTTCCAGCCCTTTCCAAGAAAACCTTAGACTACTAAGCCTCTTCGGAGGTTAGGATCGCTGTGGGTTCGGGCCCGGAGGGCCCGAAGGGCCCGAAGGGCCCTTCCAGCCCTTTCCAAGAAAACCTTAGACTACTAAGCCCCTTCGGAGGTTAGGATCGCTGTGGGTTCGGGCCCGGAGGGCCCGAAGGGCCCGAAGGGCCCTTCCAGCCCTTTCCAAGAAAACCTTAGACTACTAAGCCTCTTCGGAGGTTAGGATCGCTGTGGGTTCGGGCCCGGAGGGCCCGAAGGGCCCGAAGGGCCCTTCCAGCCCTTTCCAAGAAGACCTAAGACTACTAAGGCCCTTCGGAGGTTAGGATCGCTGTGGGTTCGGGCCCGGAAGGGTGGTGGTCTCAAACGTAGTGAAGCACGCTTCCCGCCGAACGCTAAAAGACCGTCAGCATTTACTTGCGTGGCCTTCGACCCGCGCTCCGCAAAAACGTGTTTAGTGGCTGGTACGGATGGGCGCGTCCGCGTCTTCCGAGAGAAACATGAAGTGGCAACCTTCGCGGCCCATGAAGGTTCTGTGGCTTCTATAGATGCTGTCCAAAGGGGCTCTTTATGTGTTGCGGTCACGTCGGGCAGCGACGGGTGCGTCAGAAGGTGGGCCGGCGAGCAGTTGTCGAGCGCGGGGCGCTGCCGGCTGTTGAAGAACGGCACCGTGGTCAAGTGCTGTCTCATTGATGATTCTGAGGACGACTACGCTTTATGTGCGACGGAGCGGGGTACCGTACTCACTTGCGTGCCCGGGGCCGACGACAAAAAGAGTATCTGCCGCTCACCGGCGAAGACTGTGGATCAATCGAAGGTCGCTGCTGTCGTCGTGAGCGGTCATTTTGATACGATAAGATGCCTCGCGGCGCACCCTTCACAAAGTGTCTTCGCGACGTGCGGTTCCGATAGCAGAGTCATCACCTGGGACGCGGACCAGGGCTCAAAACTGCGTCATACTTCCCTGGAAAGTTGTGGTTCTGCTATAAAATACGACGAGAAGGGGCGGTACTTGTTCGTCGGGAGTGACCAGGGCACCGTTTCCATATTGGACGCCTCGTCCCTAGATATCGTACGAACCCACAACGTCTTCAAGTGCCCCGTGACTTCGATCAGTGCGTCGCCGGATTCGAAGCTGATAGCGGCCTGTTCTCGCCGAGGCGACGTCGTGGTCCTAGACGAAGAAAGAGCTTTGGCTTCACTCAGGAGCGGGTCCGGTGCTTGTGTGATAGCGGCCGACTTTGGGAGAGACGCCAAGCGTCGGTTAGTGTTCAGGACGCGAGGAGATGATGGGGTTGTGGACTACTGGCGGCTCGACGGGCGGCGGACGCGGCGGTTATTTCGGGTCGAGGACCTGCCCGGTCCTGAACCGTGGGCCTGGCGCAGCGGCTTTGCCGAGGGAAGGTGCGTGGCGTCGAACATGAAGGGCGTCGTCGCCGTGGCCGACGACGACGGTCTAGAACTGCGGAGGGGCGCGGGCGAGGCGCGCGGTTCATTTAGAGGCGAGGCGGCGTACGAGGCACACGCGCTGGCGTTCCTCGCCGACGGTCAGCGGTTGGTGACGGCGGCGCGGGGCGCGCGCGCGGCCGTCGTCTGGGACGCGGCGCGGGAGACTTCAGTAGCTTGCGTCGACGAGAACGCGGCGCCGCCGACGCCTCCCCCAGCGGTGGAGGCGCGACCGCGGGTCGCGGTGGAGGGGGACTGGCCCTTCTAAACATACAGTTAACAGTCTAGCTCCGTGCGCCAGTACTCGAGGACCTTCCAGGCGATCTCGTTTGGGGACTCCACGAGGAACGTCATCCGGGCGTCGCGGGGCTCGGCGCGGCCTTTGAGCGCGAGGCTGCGTAGGAGTAAGACCTGTTTTCGCCGCAGCATCCTGTAGGCTCGCGGGCTCCCGGCTACGTGTACGTCGAGGATCAGTTGTCTGGTCGCGAGAAAATGCTCGCAGATTTCCCCGGGGCGAACTCTCTCGAGTTGATCTACGATTAGCCCAGAGAGCGGCGCGCCGGCGCGCAGTAGCATTTGCACGATTCTCCGACAATTGAGATGGCACTCCGAGGCCTCGAAACCACGAATCGCGGACACGAGTGGAGAAGTGCCCGAAGAGTTTGTCGCAACCCTTCCACCCGCATCGAGGAGGAGTGCGACCATATCGACGCTGCCAGTACCGAGGCCTCGGGCTGCATAATTCAGCGGCGTCAATGCTCTGCCGCGCAGGTTCGGATCCGCTCCCCGGTCAAGGAGCGCGCGGGCTAGGTCGACGTGGTCTGATCTGATTGATCCGGCGGCACAGCACGTAAGGAGGATGTTACATGCAGTGTCTCTCAGGCCGTGCCTCTCAAGCTGCTCCAACACATATTGTGTGCGGCCATCACGCGCGGCGTCTTTAACGTGGAAACACCACGAATCTAGCTTGTAATTGTCCCGGTCAACGGTCGCCATCTTGGGCAGCGTTTAGCAGCAGATGCACGCGGCCTGACTCATGGTGAGACCCGAAGCTTCGCGATACCCGCACGCAGCTGCAGTCGACTAAAGATAACTCCGAAGGGCGCATGGACCCCTCTCAAGGGCCCTACGACGGGCTGCCTGCCATTTAGCCACACGAGAAAAGCAGCTTTCCACCTCCGCTCCGCGACGAGCGCTTGCCGTAGGCACGCTACTGGCAGCCTCGAACGCAGTTTAAGAGCATCCGCCGCGGCCCTGGGGCTGCCCCGCCGCACGCCGTCGACGCGACTCCCGCGCATCATTGTTTAGGAGCAGCTTGGGCCCTCTGTAGCCCAGCGGGAGGACGCCATGGCCGACGAGGCGGCGGCCCTCCTCGGCGACTCCGTCGAGGAGGCCTACGACCGCGCGAGGCATAACAAACTGACGCCCGAAAAAGCACGAGAGCTACGCCACGCGCGGTGGTGCGTCTACGCGAGCCAGTTCCTGCACAAGGTCGCGTGGGGCGCCTACTCCGTAGTATCGCCCTTCTACCTCGCGCTCTTCATGTCGACAGCCGCGGCGGCGAACGTGGCCACGGCCGAGTGGGCGGCGTACTCGATCGGCCAGGTCCTCTGCACGCCTATCCTGGGCGCGGCCACGGACCAGGCCGGGCGACGGCCGGTTTTTGTGGTGTGCCAAATGCTCATCACGGTCGTGTTCCTGGTGTTATTCTGGCCGAACTTGTACTGGTGGGCTATTACTGGATTTATCCAGGGCTGTTTTAGCTGTACGTGGGCCGTGAGTATCACAATACTGGTGGACTGCGTGAGCAACGGAGCCCCGCCGGGCGGCGAGGACGATATTCTGATCATGCGGTTGTTTCGTCGCATCGCGACGCCGGCTTCAGAAACATTGGATGGGGAAGTGCGCCAGGAACTCGCGGTCGCCGTCACGGCCCTATGGTTCGTCGCTGGTGCTGGTGAAGTAGTAGGCTACGGTGTCGGATATGGTTTATGGGCTATATTACCATCATGGTTAGCTATCGTGTCGTGCGGCTTCTTCCAGTTGGTTGGGGCGCTGATTGTGTACGCGTACCTGCCGGAGACGGCGCCGTCGAGTAAACCCTTCGCCTACGCGGAGGCGCTGGACTCCGCTATGGTCGCCGTTAAGGCGCAAACCCAAGCAGTCGCTATGGTGTTGCGAGATACGCGGTCGACCTATTTGACTGCTTCTTATGTCTTACAATATTTCGCATTAACAGGAGTGACGGACCTGTGCGTCTTCTGGGGCCAGGCGAAGTACGACTGGTCCGCCCAGGCCGCTGCTGTATATCTGGCGGTGTTCACCATTTCACCCGGGGTAGGAGCTTTGATAGGCTCTCGATTACTCTACCCTTCGTCGTTAAGGTACGCGAAGTCCATCGCTCTAATGCTCTTCAGCGCGGCGGTCGGTTGTGTGCTCGAGGGCTTGGCCTCACCGACGGTCGCGTCGGCCATCGGTCTATCGATCCTCGCGACGGCGGGCGGTGGTGTGTACCCCGCGATCCTCGCGCTCCTCACGCCCGATATAGCTCCAGGAAAGCAGGGCCATCTGCAGGGCGCGCTGTACGCGATCGCGACGCTTGGGTCCGTTGCAGCATTGGGCATTTATCTGGCGTTGTTCAACACGACGGAAACGTTCTTGAATGGTGCCAGTATATGGCTCCTGTCGGCAGTGTTCTTTGTGTTTGCGGCTCTTTTCTCCTACGCGGCCGGCGAGCGCATCACCGTCGAGCGAGGGCAGGCGAAGCACCCCGTCATTCCCGGGAGTCCACCACGACGACGAACAAAATATCAAGATGTGTAAGATAGTTACTCAGATGTACACGTCGAACCGCTCCCGGAATTCCGGAGAGGTATCGCGCGACACGAACATGCACGCGTCGAAGGGCACCGCGAAGGTATCATCGGTATCTGATTTGGTCAGCTCGTAGCCACAGGAATTGGAGTAGACCGCCTCGATCGCGTAGTGGCGCCCGCACATGGCCTCCATGTCGTCGCACCATTCCACAGCCTCGACGGCGCCCGGCGCCGGTCGTTCACACAGTCGCTGGAATTCGTCTCTATCTGGTATGACTCGGACCAAAGCGCCATCCAACGTATCGTCGAAGCGTTCCAACGGCCGCCAGCCCGCCGGCGGCCGCCAGCCGTCCGCCCGAGGTTGCGCTGGCATCGTAAAGAAGGCGTCGACGCCCTGCACGTCGAGCGAAGCGGCCTCGTTTCGCAGCGAATCCATTTGAGTGCGTAGAGTAGCACACCTCAACAGTAGATCAGTTTCTGGCGTCTTGGGCGCCTCGCGCAGATGCTCTATGGCAGAGGACATGCCGCCGGGCACGTCGCCCGACGCCAATAATTTCGCCGACGAAATGTGCCACTGGGCCGCGTCCTCCGAAGGCACGGCGCCCTCCTTGACGGCGGCCTCGACCATCAGCCGCGCGTGTCTGTTCGGCGTCAGTCGATCGCCCATCCTTTCATTGGTCATCGGACTTCTATAATTGGACTGGAGCCACTGGCGGATGGCCGCACTTTCGTAGGTATTTTCATCTTCCGCAACTACAGGATCGACGACCAATTGGCGTGTAATCGGACAGGTGATCGCCTCGATGGCGGCCTTCTTTAAGGGCGAGGCTTCAGAGCCTTTCGGCGGGGCCGAGGCGGAGCGTTTCTTGCGGGGCGGCATTGTGTGTCGTCGGGCGCTTGCGGCAGTGCTTCCGTGCCTTGGTCAAATGCGCGCGTGCGCTGGCAGCGAATGGGCGCGTCGGCGTCTACGCGCGTGCTCTTGCAGCAAATTGGCGCCCGTGCAAGGACGCTCTTATGCGGCTCGGAGTCGCGCAGAGATGAAGCGCAGCGCGGCAGGAGAGGCTGTGGACGATGCTGACGTACCGATGCCCCTTCCCTGGAGCCCAGCGTGCCCGTCGACCAAGCTTGCGCCTAAAATGCTTAAATTGCCGCCGCCCGCCCAAAACTCATATAAACGGGTTTCAAATTTTTAAACACAAAAAGTTACACACACACATCCCCCACCTCTCCAAAAACAGCGGCAAGCGCGTAGTTCGAGAACAGGAACCCGTCCGGGTCCGTCAGCTTCAGCACCTCTCCCTCGACGACCGCGAGGCCCAACTCGATCGCTTCTTGCGCCCCGCGGCGCACGGCCCGCTCATATTCCGAACTGTAGACGTCACGAACACGCGTCAGGTCGATGCCCGCCGCCGTCCTCAACGATGTCAGCAGCTCGTCCTCGAGCGCGTCGGCACCGTGTGGAGGCGACGACTCAGGTACGATAGCACCGTCCGCGACCCACGCTTCATAATCCTTCATTTTGCGAGGTCTCGAGAACCGGGCGCCTTGCTCCGACGAGGCCGCGCCGAGCCCTAAACCAAGCCACGACGCCCGCGGCTTCCAATAAGCCGAATTATGTCGTGATTTTTCACCTTCAGTGCGAGCGTAGGACGACACCTCGTAGTGGAGATACCCACGCGAGCGCCAGAATGAGGAAGCAACGCGGTAGGCGTCCGCCGATTCTTCGTCTTGTGGTAAAGGTGGCCGGCCATTTGATTCGCCATCACTGTACCACTTCCCGAACGCCGTGCCCTCCTCGACCTGCAGGTCGTAGGACGAGACGTGGGGCGGATTTAAGGAATGAGCCTCGTGCAACGTCTCCATCCAACCTTCTGGTGTCGTCCCGGGCAGCCCGGAAATCAGATCCAGGCTCCAGCCATGTCTAGGACCAACACGCTTCACCGCCTGCACAGCATCGAGAGCGTCCTGCCTCCGATGCGCCCGGCCCGCCGCCTCCAGCGCTTCATCGTCGAACGATTGGCAACCCAATGAGACGCGTGTAACGCCGGCGTCCACATATTTTTGTAGTTTGGCCGCATCAAACGTGCCCGGGTCGCATTCTAATGTAATTTCCGCTTTACTAGAGATGCCGTGCTTCGCATCAATCGCATCGAGCAATTGCTTGATGAACCGCGGTTCTACCAGAGACGGAGTGCCGCCCCCGAGGTAAACTGTTGCGAGTGGTTTTGAGGACCGTGGTTGCTTTGATAGTTCCCGCTCGAGCAATGAGACATAGTGCGCGACGCGGTCCTCCTTCACGGCGTCGCCGGCGACCACCACTGGAAAGTCGCAGTAGAAGCACCGCCGCCGGCAAAAGGGCAGGTGCGCGTAGAGGCCCGACGCTTGTGGCTGCAGCGTCGGCGTCGGCCGCAGCGCGCTCGCGGCCAGCGCCGTCGCGACGAGGCGCATCGATACGTCCGGCGGCGTCGCGCGAGTTAGGCGTGAGCAATAGCAGCGCCTGAGTAGCGTCCTTTGGTGCACCGCACGCGGCTCGAGAGCCCGTGAGCTGGCGTGTCACCGCGAGCGGTGTCCCAATACGAGCGCTGACGCAACCCTGTCTCGAGTTTGCGATTAATTGCGCACCGCTGGCCGCTGCAGCAGGCATCTGAGGGAGGCGCACACTGAGCAGCAATTAGGGCTCGTGCGCGCGCGCAGGGTGCCAAGATCTAGCGCAGAGGCTGGCATTCGTCGCATACGTGCCACAATTGGCCAGCGCTCACGCCCGGAACGCGTGCCTCCAGCCTGCAGCCACACAGAGAGCAGCCAGGCCCTGGCGGTCCTGGCGCTCGCCCTCCTCGCCGCCGCCGCGCGGCGCGGCCCGCGACTCACGCGCCGCATGAGTTTCAACAGAGAGGCGATAAGCGAGACGCACGAGGTGCCCGCGCTACTCGTGCCGGCCAAGCGCACGAGCGCCTACGTCAAGGCACTTAGAAGACATCTCGTGGACGTGCCTCGGTATAGAACTGTGGCATCGGTAGACGACGCTTCACAAAAGAAGATCTTGCTGTCGCGCCAACTCCCGCGAGACGACCCCGCGTCCGCTCTCCCCGAAGAGGCCGCTCAGTTCTTGCGGAAAGCTTTGGACGAGGGCGAGGCGCAGCCGACAACCCACCAAATTACGCTGGCCTACGACCACTTCACGGCCGAGGAAGTGCTGCGGAAGCTGCTACCAGCATCAATACCAACACCATCGGCTTTTGAACATGTGGGTCATGTGGCCCACTTGAATCTGCGGCCGGAGCACGATCCTTATAAAGCGCTCATAGGGGAGGTTTTGCTGGATAAGGTCGCGAACGTGCGCACAGTGGTCAACAAAGTAGGCGAGATCGCTACGGAGTACCGCACCTATGAGCTAGAAGTTTTAGGAGGAGATCCTTCAACGCAAGTGGAGCTCAGGGAGCAGGACTGTGTATTTAGGTTCGACGTGCGGGACGTGTACTGGAACTCGCGGCTGCAATCGGAGCATGCGCGTTTATCTGCGACGATCCCGCGGGACGCTAGAGTTGCCGACTGCACGTGCGGCGTCGGGCCCTTTTCTATACCCTTGTCGAAACGAGGCGTCGCTTGCTATGCCAACGACTTGAATCCGAAAGCAATCGATTTTTTGCGGGAGAACGCCCGGTTAAATAAATGTCAGCTGCAGATTTCGGAGCCGTCCTGCGCGCGGAGTTTTCTTAGAAGTATAACGGACTGGCGACCGACGCACTGCATCTACAACTTACCTGCCACTGGAATTGAATTGCTGGACGTGTTTCGCGACTTTACTGGTGAGGCACCTATCGTCCACTGCTACTGCTTCGGGAAGTCTAGGAATGATGTCGACGCCATGTCCGACGTCCACGCGCGGTGTGTCAAGGCTGTCGGGGCGTCATTACCAATTCCGGACAAGCTCCTGCCGTCGCCGGCGGCGCGCGACGCTTCCCAAATTGCCGAACAGGGCTTCGCCGTGCGCTGGGTGCGCAACGTGTCTCCCAACAAAGACATGTACTGCGCGTCGTTCCGCGCGCCGTCTTCGCGGAAGCGGGCGCGGACGGAGTAAGGAGTCACAAAGTTAGTTAATTACATACACGCCCGCCACGCCATCGACGCGACACGTAACCGCGGTCGCCGCGCCGTGGAAGATGAATTCAAGAAGGCGCGAAGGCGGCGGCGACCAGATCGACGCAAGACTGGTCCTCGCCCGGGCCCGCCTTCACGTTTGAGGGGGGAACCTTCTCCACAACCCCGTGGGAGACGTACTCGACGAAGTCCCCGCACTCGACCCCTTTCAGCGTCGCGCGCGCCGTCTCAACATCGTCGAGCGCGAGATTTGTTGAGAAGTGCGCCCGGAACGCTTTCAGCGTCTCCAGCAAAAAGCCGTGCAGGCAGTCGGCGCAGACCAACTCCCGCTGCACGTCCGCGGCGCCTTCCCGGAGGCGGCGCGCGAGGCGGTAGTTGTCCGTGATCTGTTTCGCGACCTCGACGGCGGTCGTCGCGTTGAAGACGAGGTGCGTTCGACCTTCTTCTAAACCAGCATAGTAGTGCTCCTGGGCCGGGTGGTCCCAGATCATGACGGTCGAGCCGGTGGCCCAGAGGTGGTTGAGGTTCCGACTGTAGGACCCCGTCGTGCCGCCGGGGAAGTGCGCCAGGATTTTATAACGCGCGTAGTCGACGGGATTGACCCAACTCACGTCCTGGGCCTCCGAGAGGCGCTGCACGAGCCCGTCTAGGCCATCAATACGAAAGGGGTACTTTGCGGCGCCGTCCTTGCATTTTGTCGCATGGAGGGCCGTCGCGTTCGTCCAGATGCGCTTTCTTGCCTCCAGATGCCGCACCTTCACGTCAAATTGGTCCGGGTGGCGCAAGGTCAACAGCGTCCCCAAGAAACGGGCAATATTCCCGGACTCGTGGTCGCAGTCCTTGTTCCTCCATCTAATATGGCCGCGCCAGAAGCTCTGGGATCGCGCTTCCAGTAGGGGTGCTTCCGCGACGCGTCCTCCAACAGCTGCGCCACATTTGACCAATGGTCCAGGTCGCCGAAGTAGGGGTTCGGCACTAACACGCCACATTCCTTCGAGGAGTACTTTTTTGCGATGAGCGTGGTTGGCAAAAGCTCGCCTTTTTTATTCTCGAGGCAGCTCCCGGGCGGCTTCCGAGTTGTGGAGGTAGGCCACGTTTTTTACTTTGGAATGCCTTTCGCGGACGGCCGTGAGACCATGGTTAAATGTTGTTGGACCTTGCCGCCTTCTTCGTTCGCGAAGACGCGGCCATTTAAGATGAGAATGCGGCCTAACGCGCCGCGCTTCGCGGGGCTCAATATGTCGCGGACGTAGTCCTGGGCCCCTTGCTTCGTCTCTACTTTATCCCACCTTTGCAGCGACAAACGCATCGCGTCGAGGACGCGCTGCGTCGGCGTCGGCGTCGCCGCTGCCTCTCGCGCGGCGGGCGCCGTCGTCGCGCCGGCGGCCACTGCCGGGTTTCCCGCCCGTTTCGCTGCCCCGACGTCTCTGGCCGCTCGGTGCGCCGCCGTGCGCAGCCCCGCGGCCGCGCGCACGCCGCCCGCCGCCTGCACGGCCAGCGGGGCAGCCACCAGCAGCAGCAAACTTCGTGAATGCGCGCCCATGCCCCGACCGCGCGCCGCGGCGTGCCCACCAGTCACACGAGGACGCGTTTGCGCGACAGAGGCCGAAGCCTGCGGCTCCAAGCGCGCGCTCGGTGCGGCTGTCTAAAATATTGCAGGCCACCAGGCTTGGACTTGGCGCAGCGCCCGCGCGGCGACGGGGCGTCCCGGGAGCGCTCGGAGTGCTGCGGGACGTCCTCTCGTTGGGGCCGTGACGCGTGCGGTTTGAATTTGGAAGATGGGGCTCTCCCTGGTCTTTGGCTCTGGCAGCCCTCGCGGCGCGTCTAGGAGGGCTCCTCAGGGCTCCCTAAGAGCGCTGGAGTTCCTTTCGCGCGGCTTGAGGCTGCAAATTCCGTGCTACGTAGGCCAATGCCACCGATGCTCTGGCCGGCGGCGGATGCGCGTTTTTGGTTCTCCATCCTGCGGGGCTGTCATAGCTGGCGCGCCTCATCAGGGCATTCGCAGTATCCCAGCGGTACTCCTGTGCAATTGCCGCGCGCGGAGACGCGCCGCCGCAGTAGAAATCAATAAAAATCAGCTCTGAGGATCAACGAGCGATTTTTGGGACGCGACGCGGCAGCGGTACATATTTGAACATAGAATAGCCCCGCCGCCTGCACATAACACCATGAGCGAGCTCGACGTCCACCTCGCGGCCGCCTACCTCAAGCGCGTGTCGCTCTCGTCGAGCGCGCTCGACGAGCTGCTCGAGGAGGAGTCCACGCGCAAGCTGCGGCGCGTGTCGTCCTCCAATAATCTGGAGGAGGGCCAGAACGTTGGTTCTACCGGTGTCCGGTTCGACGGCTCGCCCAAGGGCAAGGAGCACGGGCGACGGCTGCGCGGCGCCGACGACATGCGAAGAGTTGTGAGCGCGGACGACATGCGGCGCGCGGCGCCGGGCGCCGCGCCCGACGAGACGTTACCGACGGTCTCGGACGACAGCAACACGTCCGTGCCCGCGTCGAGCCCGCCGCCGACGACGGAGGCCCTCGATGCCCTGCTGGTGCGCCTGGAAGAGCGGCGCGCGCTGGGCCCCGTGGAATTGGGCCGGTGCTCGGAGCTCGCGGACGCGACGGACGAGTTCGTCCGGCGAGGCTTGTTCGACGCGCTCGTGGCCGCTCTGGACAGAAACGTCTGGAGCGAGCTCGGCGCGTTGGTGGATGTACATAGACGCGCCCGACCCTACGACCTGCGCGACGACCTGCGGCGGGCCATCTGCGTCAATCGGCAAGAAGCGGTCAAGAGGCGGTTAGCCGGCGACGAGGCCGGCGCCTTGGAGGCGATGCGTGATTTCAAGAAGTGCCAGTGGCAGCTGAAGCACGTCATCGAATTTTTTGATGCGCACATCGCCATGTACGGCCGCCGGTGAACAGAAAAAAAATCAGGAATCTCCCCATACCCCCTCCCGGCATTTCGTGCGCGAGCCAGTCGCGCGCGCCGCCACCCCTTCCCTCGCGCCCCCCACATCGACAAGACCCTGTAATGACTCATTCAATGGCGGTTACTGTTTTTTTGATGCTTACGCGGTGGCGTGTGTGTCGGGGGACTTAGGAGGTATGATCTCGCGCGCGCCGCCAGTGCCACACCTCCGCGTTCGCGCGTCGCCATCGCCGCACCGCCATCGCCGCCCTCGCCATCGCAAGCACTACCAGCGCGAACGCCAAGGCATAGATAACGAGATTCCGCCGATAGGGCCGGGCGATTCTAAGGCTCTTGGGCCATAGGGGCCTCGGGGGCAAAAAGAGCCCGTCGACGATCTTCCGCTGGCCGATCGGGGCGGCGAGCTTGATCGTGATCGGGACGAAGGGGTTGCCTGGACACCTCCCGCCACACCCCGCGATCACGCCCATCGCGACTCGAATTTCGGTGGCGGACTCGATCACCTCGGGCTTCAGCATGCGCTCGACGCCGCTCCTGCCGCTGGCGCAGGCCTTCTGCGTCACGAGCAGGTGCAGCGTAGTCGAGTCCGAGTCGGGCGGATTCCGCCGGTCGAATTGCATTTCCACCTCGCCGATGAAGTCGGGGAGGACGAGGCGTACCTCTTGAGCATCCCCGCAGTCGCCGGTATACTTTGAATCCGGGACGCGTTCGTCGTCGTCGCACTCCACGAGCGGGTTAGCGCCGGCGTCGGCCATCGGAGCGAACCGGTCGTCGACCGTCGGCAGCCGGATTGAGCCGTCCCACAGGGGCCCCTCGACGCAGACCATTCCGTGGAACTCGTCGTCGAGCGCGTCGGCCATTGCGGATATCTCCTCGACGGTGGGGTGGCCAGGGCACGTAATATCGATCTGGACGCGATTGCTCCCCCCTACATACCAGCCGGCCATTAATGTATCATCGTTTTTCCTCTCGAAGAACTGCCTCATCATTGAACTCACCCTCTGCTGGGCTTCAGTGAGCTCAGCATGGCTGTATGAGGTCGGAACAATGTCCTGGCAGAGGTCGAGCGGCAGTCCTGGGGACGTCACGGCATCGCGCCGATGCGGTCGGAGTCGAGGGAGTCCCCTTTTTGGAGTGGCGCCTTGAGCCAGGCGCCTTCGCCGGACCGCGTCGTCGCGGCGAGTCGACGCGTCATCGAGCTCACGCCTCGATCCCCTCCGCAGACGCATGAACTCGAGGGGCTCCGGGGGCACTATGAGCCCGTCGACGATCTTCCGCCGGCCGATCGGGGCGGCGAGTTCAATCTTGATCGGGTCGAGCGGGTGGCCTGGACACGCCACCGCGCCATCCGGCGGGATCACGCCCATGGCGATGCGGATCTCGGTGGCGGACTCGATCACCTCGGGCTTCGGCATGCGCTCGACGCCGCTCCTGCCGCTGCCGCAACCGCTCTGCCTCACGAGCAGGTGCAGGGTGGTGGAATCCGGGTCGGGCGGGTTCGTCCTGTCGAGGCGCATTTCCACCGTTCTGAGGCCTTTGGGGAGGGCGAGGCGTAACCCCTGCCTCCCGCCATAGCCGTCGGAATTGCGGAGCCACACCCCGACCGGCTTCGAATCGGCGTCGACGGCGTCGGCCATCGGAGCGAACCGGGCCAGCAACCGGTCCTCAAGCGTCGGCACCCGTATCGACGGGCGCCCCCAGAGACAGACCTTTCCGTGGGCCTCGTCGTCGAGCGCGTTGGCCATCGCGGCCATATCTTCGAAGGTGTATCCTGACAGGCTGATTTCGACGCGACTGCGCTGCGGGTCGGAAGCGTAGGCATAGCTCTTCAAATTTGGGCGACCGCGCAACTTTTCGAACATTTTGTCGACCTTCTTCTCGGCGGCCTTGAGCTCTGAGTGGGTGTGGGGGGCCCGAACGACGTCGACGGGCCAGTCACCGGTCTCCGGCGGCCGCCGCCAGCGGATCGCCTCGAGGTGGGGCTTCGGGTTGTCCGTGAACGCGAGCACGAACGTGCCGCCCGCGTCGCGGGAGTACCACTCACCCGCATACGTGTCTAATCCTGCCGCCACCGGGCCCGGCTCCTTTTCGTCGTCGTCGTCGTCTTCGTCGCCCGGGCGGTGCTCGTTTTTATACGTCCTGAGGAAGTCCATGAGCTGCTCCGGCGCATTACCTCGCCTTGGCGGCTGGGCGAGCACCCTCGTGTCGATCTCCTCGATGTCCTCGCAGAGCGGCAATTCCGCGGTCGGGTCGAAAGCCGCACGAGGCCGCACGAGGCTGACGATGGATGCCGTCGCTACCGCCGCGGCTGCGAGGAGTTTGATGACGGAGCGCGTTGATCGGCGTCGACGCATGGTGATAACGTTTCAGTGTGCTCAGCAACAAGTGCTGGTGCAAATATTTACCAGGAAGAGAAGAGACAAATTGATTGAGTTCAGGCGTCGTACTCTCGTCGAGAGATGGCTGGCGCGATCACCTTACATAAAGCGAACAATCAACAATGTCAAGGCGACGGGGAGCGCTTTTGACAAGTGTATGCCGTGAATGCTTGCCTTGCTAGTGTCTTACTGACCGCTAGCTACGCATCGAATTTGCAGTTTCGCGCCGAGATCTGTGCCGCAAGCGCTCCTCAGACGCTGGCGAGCAGGTTTCATCACCTTATCAATCACACGAAGCGGTCTGGACGAAGAAAAGCTGCGGCACGGGGCTAGATCAGGAGCAGCCACAAAGCTGCCAAAGACGGATGGAAGCGCGCTTCCTCGAAGCCGAGCCCCAGTCGCCGAAAGAAGAAGAAACGACATCCATCGAGGCGCGCGTCGAGCGCTACGCCGTCAACGGCACGGTCGCGACGTTCGTCGTCCGGGCGTCGAGCGGTCCGACCGAAAGAACGTTGGGCGTGACCTACGAGCAGTGCCGGCGGTTGCACGAGCGGTTGCGGGATGATGGTGGTGTTTTATATGCGGCGAGGGATCGCTTCCCGAAGCAGATTCGGGGTCAAAGATTAGGCTTGCGGCCGACGCCAAGACAAGCTTCAGACCAGTCCCAACAGCTGGACGCGTGGCTCCAGTTGTTGACAAGAAGGACGGATGACCTCCCTCTAGCCTGCCAGAAGGCCGTGAGGAGTTTCCTCGAGCTCGACAAAAAGGGCCCCTGGACCACAGCTGATAGAGCTCCTGTACAAAGGGGCCTCTTCAATAGAGATTCGGTCACGTCGCAACGACGGGTGTATCCTCTGGGCGACCCGCAGTCGCTGCCGGTGTGGAAATCAACCAGGCGTGGCCGCGCTGGTTCCGTCGAGCGGTGAGCAGGTGTCGCGTCGATGGCGTGGAGGTCGACGCGGTGATCCAGGAGGAAGGCGCCGTAACGCCGTCGCGGCGATGGCGTCGCGGCGATGGCGTCGCGGCGACGTGATCTCATGAGGCGAGACAACGTAAAATTTGATGTCCACGCAGGTCGCTGCCCGGCGTCACGCGGCGAGGCCGCCTGGACTGTTTAAGGAACGGCGCGTGGGTCCCCGCGCACGTGTTACTCACACATTTATCCTTGCTGGTGTTCGACCCCGTGAACGAAAGTGACGGGCGGTTACTGCACCACGTCCACGTCACGGACATCCTCTCTATCCTCAGACACGGCGAGGCCGGGGTGGACGCGCCACCCTTACATCATCGGTGCTTTGCTTTAGGAGGTTTGGATGCGTCGAAGACTGTAGAACTCAGAGCGTCTTCCGCAAGGGAGTGCCTCGCGTGGTTACGAGCCGTGGCTCGCGCGCGCGATCGGGCTCTGCGGGCCGTGGCTCGGCTCGACGCGCGAGCGCGGGGCCACGACCTCTGTTTAGCTACCCTAGTGGATGCGAGGAACAAGGAGACGTTGCTGTCAAGGGAGACGGACGCCTACGGCTGGAGAAGGCCGTTACGAGTCGACTGTCGCTCGATGAAAGCGAGATTGGATCTGCGGTGCGGCCGCGTCGACCTGGATGTTGGGGATTTGGTGCGAAGAGCCCACCACGACCATAGGAGGGGGCTCGGCGCGCCGTCGTCGGCGGAACACGCCATCGCCGCGGCAAAAGTGTCGAGAAGCGCCTTCTGGGCGTCGGTCGAGACCGAAGAGCAAGAGGACACGGACGACTCGAATTTGGAGGTGCTGGTGGCCGTCGACGCTTCTGTTCTACTGGAGGCGTCCAAGAACGACGACGGCGCCGCCGTGCCGCGCTGGGCCGCTGTGCTCGCTCGAAGTGCCTCCGATTTGGTAAAGGAGCCCGCGCGCGGCCTCGCGTCGCTTCTCGAACCTTACGTCGGCCGGCCCGCCGCCGAATCGATCGCATCGATGGCGTCGGTGCTGCTTCTGGTGCATTTGATACGGCGCTACTTCCTCGGAAGGAGTCTGATGTTAGTGAAGGAACACGGCGCCTACCACCTCAAGGCGTCGCTCGGGTCGTTGCTGGGTCTCGCATTTCTAGTATTCATCGTCTTCGCGTTGGCCGCGGCCGCGGCGGAGGTCGACGACGAGGAGCCCTGTTCAGCTTTACGCTACGCGCGGAGCAAGGGCGGCTGCGTCGACGTCCGCTTGGTGGACTGGCGCTGGCGCCAGTCCGACGTAAGTGATGAAGAAGAAGACAAGCCGGAGAGCGAGGACGCGCGACTAGCGAGGGAGGCTTGTGCAAGGGCCTCCATCCCGCTACCGGCGGACGTACCTCGAAGATTCTTGTTGGCTGTGCGAGGCGATAAAGATGAAGCGCGGCGGCGCTGGGCCGAAACTACGGTATATGGATGGAGGCAACGGAACCATCCGAGGGAGGTCCAACTAAGGCCGCAGCCCCACTTCGCTATTAAACGGCGACATATCCATTTCTTACATAAAAGGGACAGAAAAGGACACCTGCTCTGCTCCTACGAAGTCATCGATAGACCGAATGCTACGTTCCGACAACTTATTGACGAGGGCGTTTCCATAGAAGATATCGTAGAACATATGCATTTCGTCGCGTGCTGGACCTACGCTACTTTGTTGGATGATGTGGACGAGGTTGGTCGAAGGCCGCTCGATCCCGGCGGGTACTTTCTGAAGATCATCGACTGCCGCAATGTGGGTCTCGGGGACTGTGGGGGGAGCTGCCTGAAGTACTTTAACTTGGTAGGTGCGGTGAACAGGCACTCGCCGGAGCGCGTGTGGCGGACCATCGTGATTAACGCGCCGGCGGCCTTTGGGGTGGTCTGGTCCATCGTGTCGCCTTTGCTGGAACCGCAGGTCCGCGCCAAGGTGACTGTGTTAAGGTCGGACTACGCTTCGACGTTGCGGGAGCTCGTCGACCCCCGGGACTTGCCTCGAGCGTTCGGGGGCGACGACGACTGCGAGGTCGGGGAGGCGCCCGAGGAGCTGGCTTTGAAAGTGGGTCGTCGGGGCCGCGCGGGGCTGGACGATGTTGATTAAATGCCGTCGCTCGGCGCCGCCGGATTCCGTGAGGGCACCAGGGTATCTGGTCATCCGTTATTTTCGCTTGCGGGTTTAGGCCGTCATCAGCCCTTGTAGAGGGCACTCACGAGTCTTCCGCTTCAAACCAAGATATCGCCAGAATGGCCAATTGGCCAACTGGAAGAGCAGCCTGACGAAGGCTGCAGTTCCTGAAAGCCGGCCACTCCGGCATCTGCAAGCGCAGGAGAAGTTGCCATTCGTCCTTGTCTAGCGCTGCAGCGCGTACTCTCGCAGCGCTGCGCGAGTTACGGCGAGAGGACTGCAGTTGAGCGCACTCAGCTGGCAGCATAGCTGGCCTCCGCAACCGCGCGCAGCAAAAACGCCGTCGACGCGCAGTCCGCGCGACGCAGTGACCGCAGCCATGACGACGCGCAAGGCACCATCGTCGTCTCTACAGACCAACAAGCGTGCGCGCGCGGAGGCTGCGCCGCAACTATCACAAGAAACCAGCACGTCGCCAGTGCCCAACAAGCGCGCGCGCGTCGACGCGGCGCCGGAAGAGCCCAACAAGCGCGCGCGCGTCGACGCGGCTCTGCGATCGCAGCTCGAGGAGCACCGCTGCCCCATCACGCTCGAGCTTTTCGTCGACCCCGTCGTCGCGCCCGACGGCCGCCTCTACGAGCGAGAAGCGATCACGCGCTGGCTCGACACGACGAACCGCGTCGTCGTCGGCCGGTCGCCGGCGACCAACGACATGATGGTCGGCGAACTCATCCCGATCCACCCGGTGCGGTGCGCCATCGAGGCACTCGTAAAGGGCGGTTGCGTGGAACCGGAGGACGAGGCGCCCTGGCAGATGCGGCGCGGGCGGATGCTCGAGGCGCGCGGCGACCGCGCCGGCGCCGCGACGCAGCTGAAGCGCGCGCCCGGGTACGAGGACGACGCGCTTTTGCTCCTGAGGGAGGCGGCCGCGGCGTGCCCCGACGCGAAGCGGGCCCTGGCGGAGGCGGGCAAGGTCTGGCGCACGGCCGGCGGCCGCCTGTCGTGGGGGCCCGAATCGCGCCGATACGACCCGCGGCTCCTGGACGTCGTCGTGAGCGGCGAGCGCGACGTCGACGTCGACGCGGGCTGGCGCCTCGACGCGCGCGCGTCGTCGAAGAGCGCTCTAGTGTGGAGGCGGGAGGGCGAGACGGTCTGGTGGGTGCGGGCGCGGCGCCCGGCGGCGTAAGAACGTTGTGTTTATGATTTTCTTGCCTCCACGCCGTGATGTCGCTGCGCTGGCCGGCCCTCATTAGGACTGCGTCTCACAACAAACAATTACTCAGCAAAAAGGACCGACGGGTCGACGCCGGCCTCGCCCAGCGCCGCGTACCACTCCGCGAATTTCGAATTGGAGGGGTCGTACTTCGACCAGGGTTTTTTGTTGCCCGTGAAGTGGTAATACGCTAATGGTGGAGGCGCCTCCTTGCGGACGAAGGGGCAGGGGAACGCCGCCCAGACCTTTTGCGAGAGGTCCGAGCCGTCGCCCATCGTAGAAACGACGACCTCCCTCGATAATGAATAACGGACCACTTGCGACGGGTAGAAGAGCACCAGATCCCGCGCAAAAAACCTAAAGTAGGCGTACATGTGGCCCTGGTTGCCCCGGGCGTCGAAGAAGTCCCAGCCGGTGTTCATTTCTCTCCCAAGAGCGTTCGTCCAGGCCGGCATCGGCACGCCCCAGCCTTTCGAGATGTCCCACTGCCGCGGCCGGCGCATGCCGCGGTACCAGAGCAGGTCCGTCATGCGCTTGAAGGTCTCGCAGTCCGGTGTCAGCGAGAACCAGCCCGCGTTTAAGACACTATCCTTGCCCGGGCAGCCGACAAATGGAGATGCTATCGGCAGGTCGAACAGCGCGTCCATATTTACGAGCGGCAGGACGTCCGCATCCAAGACTTGTATTCGGCGGTACTCCGTGTGCTGCCAGGCCCACAATTTGTAGTGGCCCATGTGGAAGCCTCTTATTCTAGGTTTTGGAACGTAGCGGTACCGCACACCGGCCTTTCGGAGCATGGCTTCCTCCCAGGAAGCATGCGATGGTGTTCCTTGTCTTCTTCCAGAGCTAGGAGCGCGAGGACGTCCGCGCGCGATCCGCGTTTGTGCAAAGCGGCCTTCAGCGCTAAGATAGGATATACCCACTTGGAATACTTCCGCTCCTCGGAGATGGGACCCAACACCACGGCGTAGGCGTTCGTCGACGCGTTTTTGCCGTTGATGACGCAGCGGAAGGACTTGTCCCAGATCGGAGATCTGGGGGGCGGCCGGTCCCTCTTACTGCTTTGCAGCGAGGCCTGCCAGGCGTCGCGCGCGCCGGCGGTCGCTGTTGCGACGACTGCCGCTAGGACGGTGCAGCGCAGCATCTGTGCACACGCTGAATCCAGCAGCTCTTGCACCAGTGCTCGAAAACTGATGAGTACCGAAGAAATGCTTGTCCTGCAACGCAGCACAGCGTGTTGGCCAATGAGGCAGCCAAAAAAAAAATCACCAGCCAAAAAGCGGAGCTAGCGGCAGTAAGACACTAGGAATATTTTAACTTTTACATGAGGGAGAGGTGGGAGGGAGGGGTCGGGAGGGTTGGTGGGTCTGGTCGACGGCCGCGAAGGCCGGCGGGGACGACGGATTTGTTTTCGACGTCTAGCGTTCCATAACGTCCATCGCGAACGGCGTGGCGACGCTGTCCGGCAACTTGTCGACGACGTCGAGCGACTCGAGGGACGCGACCGCCGACACGCTGCCGGGCTGCGCCTCGACGACGAAGACCTCCTCTTTCCCGTCCATCACCTCGATCGCGGGCGGCGCGCCGGGGGCGCGCGGTGGTACGGCCAGTGCGCGTTCGTGCGCGCGCAGATACCGCAGTGCGCGGGGGGACGTCGCGTGAGCGGCGAGTCGCGGAGCGATGGACGCCGGGCCCCGACGGGGTGGCACGCGAAAAAGCAGAGGGCGCACGTCAGCGGGACCTCCTCGTCGCCGCGGACACGCGATGTTATTCACGACGCAACAGCACTGGCCCTGGTGCTTGATGCACGTCGACGGACACTTACAGCCGAGCGCGCAACAACACAGACCGCACTGGCAGCAGACCTCCTTGTCGACGAACGACTCGCAACACGTGAGCGGCGGCACGCCGGCCTTGAAACAGCAACGCTTGACGCAGCAGCAGAGCTCGCCCTTGCAGGACGCCCCGCAGCACCTGCGGCGTTTCTTTGTCGCGACGGCGGCGACGCCGCGACGCGTCGACGGCGTCGGGGCCTCAGCGTCGCGGCGCGCGCCAGTGCATTTGCCGCGATGCGTCATGGCCGACGTCGTCGCCGCGGAACTGACTTCGGACGCGGCCGCGAGACTCAGGAAAATCCGCGTAGAGCGAGGCGTTGCAGCAAAGACAGCCATTGATTAGGATCAGGCTCGATTCGTTCACGACCTGTACCCAGCCGCCCATTGTTCAGAAATCGAGTTCAGGGTCTCGGAGTCGTCGGCTTTCAGTTACTTAAGACTCTCCTAGGGATTCCGGCTCCGAGCGCTGTTTTTCACCGCATTCAGACTCAATCGACGCGTTCTCGTGCGGGTATTGGCGATCAACAGTCGCACGATCGAGTAGAGCGGCTGAATGCAAGCAGCACTGATGCCAGCCCTACTTTCTTCGGTTGAGGCGAAGGCGCGTGTCGGGCACAACGATGACGCCGCGGCGGCCGCGGCCGGCACTTACTACGTGCGGTCGCGGGCATGGAGGGTGGGCGTACAGAGACCAGGAGCCACTGCGAGCCGCAATCCCCTGCACCGGCTTGACAAATCGTTAACGCTAGCGGTAAGACACTAGCAAAAGCTCCACTAAGTCTTTGCAGCGGTACAGCTTGCAATTGGTGCTAACGCGGCCGCTCTGCAAGACTACAACTCATAACGACCGCTGCTGCGAGCATCGATCAACCGTCGCTGCAGAGAGCACCGCTGGCTGGGTAGCTCACACAGAGAGCGTCGCTCTCAGAGACGTCGTCGCGGTGCGCAAAACAAAACAAATGGCCGCCCAGGCCGAAGCACTAGCAGAACTCGAAGCAAAACACGAGGAGGAGTGGAGAGAATTCAGAGAGCGAGCAGAAACGCAGCGGCAAGGAGCCTCGAAAAAAAAACTCAAGCAGATCGAGTTCGCGCTGCAGCAGGAGGAGTCCGATTTGCGGTATAGGCACCACGAGGAGTTGGAGGACCTTGAGGGCGGCGACGACGCGGCCACAGTGGAAGAACCGGTTGTGGTGGAAGACGCGGCCGCGAAGCGGCGCGAGGAGGAGGAGAGGCAGAGGGCGAAGAAACTTGCGAAAGCGGCGAAGAAGAAGTCTAAGAGAGAAGCGAGGGCCAAGACTGACAGCGCCAAGGCCCAAGCGGACGCCATCGAGGCCGAGGAGGTCCGACGGAATTCCGAGAGAAAAAAAGAATGCGAGGCCATTTCCAAAAAACTCGTGGAAATCAATCGTAAAATAAAGGACGTGGCCGCCGACGGCCACTGCTTGTACCGCGCCGTCGCGGACCAGAGCGGGTCGACCTATACATCAATAAGGGAGACTTGCGCTTCTTTCATGGAGTCCCACGAAAGTGACTTCGCGCCGTTTATTGAGGATGCGAGCTTCGGAGACCACTGCGCTAAGGTAAGGAGCAGCGCCGAGTGGGGCGGCCAGCCCGAGGTCCTGGCGCTCGCGCGGGCTCTGAATAGGCCGATCGTCGTCTATTCTCGGGATAGCGCGCCGCTGCGCATGGGGGACGGTGAAGGTGAGGAGCTCGTCGTGACCTACCACCGGGACTACTACGCGCTCGGCGAGCACTACAACTCGACGGAGCCGCTTAGGCCGTAAGAGGAGACTGTGTGTAACGTGTGCCACTGGCATTGCTGGCACTGCGCGTCGATGGCGTATGGGGGAACAGCCAGAGCGCTTGTAGTAACAGATAGAAAACTTACTAGTCCTCCGCCACGAGCGGCCCGGCCCGCACGAACCCGAAGAACGCGATCACTTCCGATAAATAAATCGCCGCCGTGAGCGCAAACACCGCTTTGAAGGAGCCCGTCGCGTCCAGGACCCGTCCCGTGGCCACGTTCGCGACAATGCCCACCAACACGCCCACGGTATTGGTAAACCCAAGGATCCGCCCTGAAGCGGTCGGAGCGACGTCGGTCACATGGGCGTGCAAACCAGCCGAGGAAAAGGAGTGGGCCCCGAGAGCGGTCACTAACAGTACAAGAGCCGTCGCTGGGCTCTTGACGTAGGACAGCGCGAGTAACGCGCACGCGGGCACGATCGACGACAGCGCGACCATCCGCTTGCGCACCTCGAACGGAGCCATCCGCCGTAACAGAGCGGCCGATGCTTGGCCGGACACTAACGACCCGAGGGCCATCGTCGCGAAAGGTAGCGCCGAGAACAACGCTGATGATTTCATGTCGAGCCCGAGCTCTGTTGCAAAGTAAGTGGGCAGCCACGCCTGCATCACGAAGAAGCTCCAGTTGATGCAGTTGTGGACGTGGGTTAAAGCTGCAAGTTGGAATGGGAAGCTTTTTGTGAATTTTATTGGTTTTTTTGTCGTTTGTATGGTTGTGGTTTGTTCTGTGGTCTGCGTCAGCGCGTATAGAGCCACGACAGCGCCTAAACCACCGGCCACGACCGACAGCGTCCGCCAGCCGAGCAACGTTAATAGAGCCGCGGCGGAGAGTAACCCGGCGGCCGAGCCCACGTTGAAGCCGCACAGGACGGTCGCGATGCCCTTTGCTCGTGAGTCGGCGTCCGGCTGGGAACTCACGACGGCCAGAGAGGCGGGCAACGCCGGGCCCGAGGCGACGCCGAAGCCGAACCGGCACAGGGCCAACGCCGCCACGCCCAGCGACGCGGCGGCGGGCGTCAACGCTACTAAAGAGGACCACACTACTAAACAAAGAGCGAGCACTTTGGCGCCGCCCACTCTATCCGCAGCAGCGCCGCCCGCGGCGTTCGTCAACCCATAACCCGCTAAATAGGCAGCTTGAAGCGCGCCGACGGTCCGGGCGTCGAAGCCGAGCGACGCCTGGAGCTCCGGCATCGCGGCACTAAATACCGTGCGGTGCGCGCTGACCAGTAACATGGCCGACGCGGCGAAGGCGACGCCGCCGCCGTTGGTGCTGCTGCCGCCGCGCGCGACGGGTTCGGCGCGGAGTCTTGGTGATTGGCGCCGCCTTGCTGGAGGCATGGAGAGGGCCGTGGCGACCGTGAGCGTGCTGAGCGTTGCGAAACGCATCGATGCGTTGTATGAAGAGCCCGCGGTGCGCCTTGCAAAGCAGTACCCGCGGTTTGAGCGCGCGCAGGTCTGGCTGTGAGCTGAGAAATGGCAAAGTCTAAAACGGGTTTCAAAAGTCGTGTGGGCGGAGGTACAGCTCACGTCGCGGTGGCCTCACGAGCACGAATCTCCCGAGAAACCGCGGCGGGCGTGGCGAAGGGAGCCACGCGGGCAGCAGGAGGGGCAGCCCTCAATTGGAGCCGCCGCAGCACCTACGAGCCGTCGCCGACACAAACACACCCGCCGGAAACACAGAAACGAGGCGTCGCCCCGAGCAGATTCGGGCCCGCATCTCGGAGCTGTGACGGCGAGGGCGACAGTGCATACTTTCAAAAGCAACAACCATGGCGCGCAGCCTAGGCGCCTCGATGGCGCGCGGTCTTGGCATCCTGCTCATCATGATGACGCTCAGCGAGATCGCGGCGACGCGCGCGGCGCCGCGTCCCGCAACACAAAGGGCTGCTCCATCCCCATGGAGACGTCACCGCGCGCCCCCGCCTCCCGCCCACGACTCGCGCCCGTGTCGTCGGTGGGCCGCGGCGACCGCGTGAAAAGAGAGGGGGCAGCGTCGCCGCGGCGCGCCCGATCCACACGCACGCGACACGCGACACGCACACGAAACAACCGCGATCGACGCAGGCTCGGAGTTCAACGAAGACGACTGGACCTTTTACATCGTTGCTGCCGGTATTTGTGCGTTCTTCGCGGCCTTTGGCATTGGTGCCAATGATGTCGCGAACGCCTACGCCACGTCCGTTGGCTCCAAAGCGATTACCGTCCGCCAAGCGGTCATGCTCGCGGCGGTCTTCGAGTTCGCCGGAGCTGTCCTCATGGGTAGTAATGTAGCCAAGACGATCCGCAAAGGTATTGCGGACGCGGGCTGCTTCGAGGACAATCCCGGCCTGATGATCTACGGCATGACCTGCGTCATTATTTCTGTCGCGATCTGGCTCATCCTAGCTTCCTATTTTGAATTACCAGTATCAACAACTCATAGTTGCGTCGGCGGCGTCATCGGCATGGCCCTCATGACGCGAGGTTCGAGATGCGTCATCTGGAACTACACGAGAAACGACTATGGCAACGGCACGACGAACATGGCGTTTGAAAATTTCCCCTGGCTCGACGGCGTCGCCGAGATCGTCGCGAGTTGGTTCCTCTCGCCGATCGCTTCTGGTATTTGTGCGGCCATACTGTATGGAATTGTGAAGTTCGCGGTTATGAGGGGCGACGCGCGTACGATCTCGGCGTCCCGCGGTGCGGCGGTGCCTTCACGCCATCGACGCGACTCGTGTCCATCAGACGAGGTCGTGGGTGGTTTCTTTTTCGAGTTTGAGGCCGTTCGGACCGAGTCGACCCACGATGCTCCGCGCAGGTACTTCCGGTGCAAGATCTTCTTCCCTCTTATTGTGTTGGTCGTCGTGTGGATTAATGTGTCGTATTGGATCCTGAAGGGCACGAAGGGGCAATGTGAAAGATTTAGAACCTGCCGACTCACGAGGGAGGCCAAGGCCGGCAATTTGTGGCCCGCTCTTTTAGTTGGTTTATATCCGTCCATCGCCGCCGGCGTCGTCGCCGGCGCCATGGTGCCGACCCTCTCAAAGAGGATCGACAGCGGCGACGTCGTCGGCGCGAACCGCGCGCTCGCGGAACGGGCCGCCGCGGGCGTCCGGAAGGAAGCCGCCGACGAGGAGAACACGCGGGACGCGGAGCCCGCGCAGAAGGAGGAGAAGAAGAAGTCGGGCATGTCGTACATCACGGGCCAGCTCGACAGAGATACCCATAAAGACCTAGATACGGACGCGAAGGTGGCCGCGATTCACGACAACGTCACGCGCCACGACCCGCGGGCCGAGCAGTTCTTCAGGTACGTCCAGATCTTCACGGCTATTGTGGATTCCTTCTCGCACGGGGCGAACGACGTGGCCAACGCGATGGGCCCCTTCGCGGCCGCGTACGTGGCGTACAAGAAGGGGAAAGTCGTGAAGCAGGCCGAGATGGACCCGGGGACCATGCTCTGGATTTTGGCTTTGGGTGGCGTGGGTATTGTGGTCGGTTTGGCTACCTACGGCTACAAGATCATGAACGCCATGGGCGTGAAATTGATCGCCATTACGCCTTCTAGAGGGTCTTGTATCGAACTGGGTGCTGCTTTAGTGGTGATCTACGGCACGGGCCAGGGCTGGCCCCTCTCCACAACGCACTGCCAGATCGGCGCGACCGTCGCCGTCGGTTTATTTGAGGGCTGCCAGGGCGTCAACAAGGAATTATTCCTGCGGGCCTGCGGCGGCTGGGTCATGACGCTCGTCGTCGTGGGCTGCACGACGGCCATGTTGGTCGGGCCCTCGCCGGAGCCGCTCAAGAACGAGTACTGCAAGGACTGGAGCCCCTAGACGTAGCTAGCGGAGCGCCCCGCCCCACTATCCCCCCCAAGGCTGTAATAATTCATATCGCAATGGTTTCTTTGGAAATTTACACGGATCAACACGGAAAGACAAGCTTCATTTGGAGATATTGAGCTTCGCGTTGATCATGGCCTGCAAGTCCTCGGCCGTCGCCGTCTTCGCCTTCTCGCGGTCCGCCAGCCGCTGCTTGTAGTCCTTGTTCGCGGCGGCGACGATCGCGGCCGCCTCTTTTTTCGTCGCCTCGGGGTCCGGGGGCGCCTCCTTCGGCGCCTCCTTCTTCGCGGGAGGCGCCTCCTTCGGCTTCTCCGGCGCCTTCGGCCGGTCGGCGAAGGACTGGGCGAGTCGCTTGTTGATGAGGGCCTGGATGTCGTCCTTCGTCGACGCCTTCTTCATCTCGCCGCGGGCCTCCTCCCTTAACTTAATGTCCTTCTTGGCCTGGGCGACGATGGCCATGGCCTCGGCTTTCACGGCGGCCTCGTCCTCGGGCTCGCCTGCGTTGCGTACGCACGTCGGTCGCGCGCGTCTCGGGTTATCGTCGAGCGGGGCGCTGCCTTGCCCGAACGTGTCGCCCGGCGGAAGCGGGCAGCGTCGGTTCGACAATCATGCATTTCGAAGGATTCGCGGGCGCTGCATTTGTACCAGGGGGCATGGTTGCTGCCATGGCGGCCATGGTGGTAGGCGTGCGCTGGTGCTTTTTTGGCTGGTGCCTGGCAGTCCCGTGTGGACCGTGGGCAAATGACTTCTGCTGCAAAGGTGCTGAAACGTCTGCAATAGGACGCTAAAGAGCTGCAATGATGGCGATACCGAGCTTTAGATAGAGGCACTAGGATTGCCAGGACGCATCCGTTGCACGGACGCTCAGGGGTCGTCGGGACGAAGACGAGATCGCAACGGGCGGGAGAGGACGTCCGACCCAGCAACAAAAAGCCTCTGACTTTGTGCTCATTGCATGCGGTGGACAGCCATAAAACCTCACAGCTGCAACACCGAGGCATCGCATAACTGCAGTGCATCAGGAATAACTCACGTGGCTCGGCGCGCAAGCAACAGCGTGCATCAACGCCGCTGATCATGGCACGTGTGCACATCGCACTTGTTGTCACGTCCGCGCTCGCGCTACGTGTGCCGCTGCGCACACCTATGCGACGAATACGCCAGTCACCGCTGCGCGCGACGAACGACTACCTCGCGAGCATCTCGGCGCCGGAGCCGCCAGCCGCCGCCAAGCCCCGAGCCCTCGACGAAAATTCAATCAGTGGCGACACCTTCCTGGGCGCCTTCTACAAGTTCACGCGACCACACACGATCCGAGGGACGATGCTCGCCGCGTTTGCGGGCGTCGTGAAAGCCATCGGGGACGCGGGCGGTTTACAAAAGTGCTGGTCCTGGGGCCTCGTCCCGAGGGCCTTAGCCGGTTTGATCGCGTTGTTGTGTGGCAACGCCTTCATTGTCGGTATTAACCAATTATATGATGTCGACGTCGATCAAATAAACAAGCCCTTTTTACCTATTGCGGCCGGTGAATTGTCACCCAAAAGAGCAAAACTTATACTGACGGCTTGTGCTTTAATAGGGCCATCCGTAGTCTTCGCTTTGTATCCGCCGCTCATCGTATCTTTATACTTATTCGGAACGTTCATCGGAACGGCCTACTCCGTTCCGCCTTTTAGACTCAAGAGCCGAGGTCCCATTTTCGCCGGTTTAGCTATTGCGTGCTGTCGGGGCTTTCTGTTGAACTTCGGGGTCTACTACGCCGTGCTGGAGGCGCTCAAAGTGCCTTTTAAGTGGAGTCCTGGCGTGGCGTTTATGGCGCGATTTATGACGGCGTTTGCGGGCGTGATCGCCGTGACGAAGGACTTGCCGGATATTGCCGGGGATTTGGCGACGGGTGTGCCGACATTGGCCACAAAATTCGGGGTCGGGCGGGTGGCCGCGGGGGCGACGTTCGCGTTGTTGGTGAACTACGGAACAGCAATTGCCCAAGGGCTCTTCGGTCCTTTCAAGCGGTTACCGATGGTCGGCGGCCACGCGCTGCTGGCGGGCTTCTTGCTGCGGAACTACCGCCGCTATCGACAGGTAGGTGCAGAAGATCCGGACGCGGTCAAGGGCTACTACAAGTCCATCTGGGACAACTTCTACCTCGAGTACCTGCTTTACTGCTTCATCTAGGTCGTTGTCTTCGGGGTTTAACTTTAGGTTCTCGTTCCTTGTCTCCTTCGACGCTTCGTAACACTCGGGGCGACGGCGCAAGGAGGTGCCGCGCCCATGGCGCGGGGGGGCTCTACGCCCAGCAGCACGCCGTCGGCGCGTCATGAAGTAATGCGAAAGAAACTTACTTCGGTCGACACACAAAATCATGCAGTCTTCGCCTTCGCCCGCGCTCCAAGGGAAGCGCAAGAAAAAGCACAAAAAGACGCCGCCGCCCCGACCGCAAAAGGCGCGCCGGGCCAGCCGAGCGGCGCCCCCCAGGCGAAGAGCCCACCTAAGACTTTCGAGGACGCCAACACACCCAGCGTGCCTAAGGACGAGAACGACGCCGCGAGCTCGCCGCGCGGTGGTGTCGAGGAAGGGTGATAATCCAGCGCGAGCTGCTGGATGATCGAATCGGCGCCGAAGCCCGGCGAGCCCAGGGCCAATCCTACAAGCATGACCCCGGGATGCGTGTAGTACGACCATATGACCCTTTGTAGGGTGCTACACGCGTAGCCCAGTCTCAGAGCGCCGGCCGCGCCAAATTTCTTGACCAGGGGTCCTACAAGTAGAGCCTGGGACGCCGCGAACGTCGCTCCAACCACGGTCATCGTGAGAGCGAGTCCCTTCGGCCCGGCCCCCCAAATATCGACCATGAACGGCGAGTAGACCGCCGACTCGCCGCGACACAGCGCTTGGCATAATGACGCGCAGGCGAGATACCGCAACGGCGCGCCTTCGCTGAAGAGTCGTAGCGGCGCGACGAACGGGTTCTTGACCTCCGTCTTCGTACGTGTTCCGGCGCCGGCCTCGGGCACCAACACCAATTGACCGAGCAACGCCAGCACGCCCCCGAGGATGGCGACGACGCCCGTGCCGCGCGGGCCGTATTTTGACGCTATTGTGGCGCCTAAAGCAGGCCCCAACAGCATGCCGACGCCCATCTGCATGCCGCCCAAGCGCGCCGCGGTCTTGGCGATTTTCGTCCGGTCGTGGGCGTACGCATCTGATATTGATGCACTGGTGGTGGTCATCGCGGCCACTGTGGCCACTTGCCTCAATAACCACGCGGACCAGAGCTGCAAGGGCCCGAGCAATCCTTCGTGGGCCGCGAGGACGGCACACGCCCCCAAGGCTTGCAGCAACGCACACGCGACGAGGATGGGCTTCCTTCCCAGTTTACCATCACCAATAGCGCCGCAGACCGGCCCTATGATTAACTGGATCGCGCTCCCGTAGAAAATCCAGTCGGCCTGGTACATGGCGACTCTGGCTTGGTCGCCGCCCAGCGCGCTTTTGAGGATGCCCGGTACCACAGGTGTCAAAACCATGCCGCTGACCGACCGCAGCAGTCCAATTGACAGTGCGCGTTTCGCCCAGTGCTCGGCGGCGGCGTCGGCGTCCATTTCTGTTGTTTTTGGGGGTTTGCACATGGTCTGCTGTTTCGCGCTGTCTTCGTGCGCAGTCACCACCTCACACTGCAGTGCAAGCTTGGTTTTTGGCTGTTCAGGCACCTGGACTGCGGATTTCTGCTCCACGCGGTCGATTACGTGCTAGGTGTACTTGCGTACGTCAACAACCAGCTCTACGGCAATTCCAAGCCCGCAGCCGCAAGTTGATTGCAAGTTAATCCCGCGTGGCTAGCGGGCTGTAAGGCACTAGCAATCGGCAATGCCTGCTCGACGCCTTCCGGGCTGCCCCAACAGAAAGCTGTCCTCGCGCGACGCCTACGCAACGCAAACAGTCACGTGTACGAGTCCGACGACGACCAATCGACGCCACCCCCGGACGCCGTTGACGCGCAACGGACGGAGACCGCGTATCAATAAACCATACTGTTAATAGACTCACGCGAGCGGGTACTTCGCCACGTCCCCGCTCATCGACACGCGGATGCCCTGCGTCTCCCCCAGGTCCATGTCGAGCAGCGCCGCCTTCGCGCGTCGTCGGACGCGCCCCCGCTGCTTGCGCTACTTTATAAGCGATCGCGTTCAGGAAGACGGCGTGGCCGAAGACGGCGAGGCCGCCGCCGTCGCCGGCGGGCACCGCGGCGGCGGCGAGCTCGGCGCAGACGGCGTCGCCGTACGCCTGGAAGGCGTCCTCGCCGCCCGCCGCCTCGAAGAAGAAGGCGCGCGCGGCCCGTAGCCCATGGTCTCGAAGAGCGCCTCGCAGGTTTCGCTCATGCCCGCCGGGTGCACGCCGGCGACCATGCGTAAATATATAGAGCCCACCTTCTGCTCCTCGGTCTCGGTCCGGTCCGTCATGCGCATGGCCGTCTCGGGCGCTGCGCGCGCCGGCGACGTGAGCGCCGCCCGCACGTCCAGCTCGCGGAACCAGGCCGCGGCCGCGCACTGGTCCTTGCCCTTCTGCGTGAGCACGCGCATCTGGTCGCGATCTTCCAGTCGTGCGGCTTCTCCGCGCGCTTCGCGGCGCCCGCGTGCAGCGGCGCCGAGGACGCGTGCCGCACGAAGACCACGAAGTCCAGCTTGTGCTCCCGGCACTTCGCCACGAAGTCCTCGGCGGCGCCGGCGGGCATCGTGACGCTCTCCGCTTGGGCCCTGGCAAGGTTGCGGGCTGCCCCTCACCAAGGGAGCGTGTGCGCTCACAAAGGTCGCGGGCTGCCCCGCGCGCAGCGAAAGCCTAGTGCGTGTGCGCTCACAAAGGCCGCGCGCAGCAAACGTCGCGGCCCGTGAGTTTGGCTGGAGCGCGGCGCTCTCAGTCAGGTTCAGAGATGCGATTCGCTTTCTCGTCGTGCCAATGCGGGCATTTGTCGCGAGCAAGCGCCGAGAGGTGATGTTTTTCTAGGATGGGTGAGGCGTTTTGCATCTGCTTCTGCTCTCCGTGTTTTGCATCTGCTTCTGCTCTCCGTGTTGTTTTTGCTGTGTGGGCAGCCTCAATTTGCCTCCCTTGCCGCCAGCGCTAGCATTGCTACAAAATCGGACATACTGTGCACGCCTCGACGCCGCGGAAGCGCTTGTGGCACATCAACACGACAGACAAGGGGCTGCACCCCATCTCAATGCGTATCGTCCGCGCCCTCGCCGCCCTCGCGGCGCAGCCGCGCGGCACGCGGCGCCTGCTCACGGTCCGCTTCGCCTCGAACGTCGCGGACGCCGTGGTCCTCGCGGGCTTGGACGATCCTGTGATTCTCGACGTCCGCGACCCCGCGGAGGTCGCGGCCGGCAAGGGCGGCCCGCCGGCGTCGGTCCCGGGCGCCGTGCACGTCCCCCTCAATATCGACGGTGCCAGGCAGAGCGAGCGGCCGACGACGCAGGAGGAGTTCCTCGCGGCCGTCGCCGCGGCGGGCCTCGCCCTGCCCCGCGATCGGCCGGTCGTCACGCACTGCGGCTCGGGCGGCCGCGGCGGCAAGGCGGCCGGACTTCTACGCGACGCCGGCTACGACGCTTATAATGGAGGCGGGCCGGCGCACGTCGCGTCGGCGTTAAAGTTATCAAGTTAAACACAACTAGCGCCGCTTCCGCGGCGGCGGCGGCTCCGAGAACTGGCCCAGGATGAGGCAGAAGATGAGCGAGAAGGCGCCGTAGATGACCAGCAGGATGCCGACCGCGGACACGCCCGACGACTCGTAGACGTCCAGGCCGCTCACATCACTATTCGTGACGTACTCCTGGATCTCGGAGACACGTGATTTTGAGTCGCTCCTACCGACGGACCCGTAGGACATGACGTGTCTCGCTTCGCGCCCGTCGTCGTCCAGGCGCACCACTAATTGAAACGAGTAGCCCAACTTCCGCACCTGCTTCCGCCGCATGTTCTTCGGGTTCACCGCCCGGCCCCTCCTTACCCTGATAGCCTCGGCCCTGAGTAAATCCTTGCCCGGGAACGTGTGGACCACTCGATCTTCATCCTCCGTGAGGACTACGAGCTCACACAAATCCTCGCGATCCCTGGGGCACTTCAAATGTCTCAGATCCGTCGGCTGGCTGAGGAAGCGGATGCCCCACACAATCACCGCCAGTGAAATGACGAGCCACGCCCACGACCCGCCCGTCGCGCAACTTGGTAAACGCGGCGTGCGGAAGGAGGCCCTAGCTGGTCGCCCGCCGTAGTGGTGCATGGGAATCTCGCCGGACGAGCGCTGGCGGAACATGGTCTGCGGTGCCGCGGCGGCTGGCGCTGCCTCGCTCGAGTCAAGCGGGGCACAGCGGTGCGCGGCGGCGGCGGCGACGCGTGCAACGTCGGTTAGCGGTCTGGAAGGACCGGTGGCGCGTCTGAACGCGGCGCTTGCCTGCGCACAGTCGAGTTTGCTTGCTTTTGCGCCGATGGCGTTGCTAGCGTCTATAGATATACTAGCCTTCGCATTGGGCGCGGCTTTAGACAGCTCAAACTCGGCCACAAGTGGTCGTCGGACGCTCTACGCCGGGCATCGTAGTCTCGCCAGTGCACAGGCCATTGCCACCATCGCTTTCCACGTGCCGAGCCGCGCAAGCGTCAGCACCACTGCAGCTCTCACTTGCCAGCTCTCCGCCGCCTCGCTGCGGTCGGCGCCGTGCACCGCACAACTCTCAAATAACAAGATGGCCTACGACGCCATCCCGCAACAACCCACCGCCGAGACCCAGCCGCCGCGCAAGCGCCTACCTTTTGTTGACGGCTCGCGCGGGTTAGCGTCGCTCTGGATCGTGTGCCAGCACTTCTTACCGCACTCGAGCGACGGCCCGTTGGTAAAGAGCCTCTGGCGGAGCAACTGCGCCGTGGACTACTTCATCGTGCTGAGCGGTTTTGTGACGCACTGGGCGGCGCGCGGTAAATTCTCGCAATCGGCGAATCGTTGGCCTGACGCCAAGCGCTGGTACGGGCGGCGCTTCGGCCGCGTGCTCCTGGCGGTGTGGCTGGCCATGGGCGTGTCCGCTATCCTATTGTATCTGGGTGGGAACGGCGACCTGGACGCGATGCACCTGACGCTTTGTGCGTTTCTCGTAGAACCGTGGCGTTCTGTGTGGAAATCAAATGTCGGGCGCCCCACGCCATCGACGCGACTTGATTTCCACACAGGTGGCGGTCCCCGAACCGGTGGTGCCCCGACGGCCAGTCCTGGACGGTCGCGGCCCTTGCGCCGTCGTGGCTCCTCTATCCGGTGCTCTACGACCCGTTCCTCTACGAGCGACGGCATTTGATGGTCGTGGCGGTCGTCCTCGCAATCGTACCGTCTTTGATAGCGTTGCTATTCGTCTCCGGTGGCTTGAGAGCGGGCGCCTACTTCAACAATTCCGCCCACACGGCGCTCTACCTCTGGCCGCCGGCGCAGTTGGCGGATTTTCTGTTGGGTTGCGTCAGTGCCGAGCTCGCGGCTCGCTCGTCAAGAGAAAACACGGCTTGGCTCGCGGACGGCGCCGTCTTCATCATAACGCTCGCCGTGCTCCTCGTCCCGAACCCGCACTTGGACTACCGCGAGCACGGCGAGGTCCTGTACGACCACGGGCTAGCGCCGCTCTTCGCCGTATTTCTGTGGGCGGCGGCGCGCGACACGGCCGCAGCCTCGAAAGCATCAAAACTCTTTGCCCATCCCGCTTTGTCATCAATCGGCAAGTGCTCCTTCGAGGTCTACCTCTTCCAGTGGCCCGTCCACGCCGTCTTCTACGGCCTCGGCCTGCCCACGAGCGATCACGCGGAGAATTTCGTGGCCTTCGCGTTGACGCTGTATATGCTGGCGGCGCTGTACGAGGTCCACGTCGAGCGGCCTTATGTGCGGTGGCTGCGCGAGCGCTTCGCCGCGCCGCCATTACGGACGGCGTCGCAGTCGTCGCTCGCGGCGTTCTAGGCGTCGCCGTCCTGTATCTAAGCTAATCTGTTGTTACTTATACCTGGGCCGCCAGTCCGGGTGCTTGAGCGCATACAAAAGCTTCGTCCGCGCCCCGAGCGGCAGGAGCAGATCCTTCAGGTCTCCTGCTTCCAGACATATCAACGTTTCCATGTCCGCGGCCTCCTCGGCGAGGAGTAGCGGCAGGAAGTGCGACAGACCAAGCTCGTCCATGAGCCGCGCGACGTCGGGCGCGGCTTGGATGGCCGGCGGCCGTCTTGCCAACTCGGCGAGCTTGGCCTCGCGCTGCCGTCGTTCGGACACGGCCTGCTCGGCCCGTTGCCGCAGCGCGTGGAGGGGTGCCAGGTCGGCGCTGGCCGGCGGCTGCGGCGGCGCGGCGTGTCGCGGTGCCCGCACCGCGCCCGCCGGCGCCGCGTAGCGCTCGTAGGCCTTGCGCTGGCTCTGCTCCGCCGTGTAAGATTGCGCCGACATGGCGAGGGCGCGCTGCAGCTCGGCGTCCTCCGAGAGCGGCGCGGCGGCGGCGGTCCGGCGCGACTCCTCCATGGCCCGTCGCAGTAATTCGTCCTCGCTGCTGGGCGCGGCCGGCCGCGGCGGCGCCCCGTTTGTGGCCGCGGGCGTGGCTGCCTTGCGCTGCCGCTGTCGCCTCGGCGGCATGCTTTGAGTGGGGGTGCTGCCCCGCCGCGTATGGATGCTCGTGGGCGCTGCCCCAGCAACGAAGTCGCAGCAGGTTTCTCTGCGTCGCTTGCACGGCCACTGCGACGAGCCTAGAGGCTTTACGCGACGGATGCGGCCGGAAAAACCTGTGCCTAGTGTCTTACATACCGCTAGCTTGAGCGGTGCTCGAAAATCGGCGGGAATTGACCTCCAGCATCCACCGCTGAGCTCCAAATCGTGCCCGGTGCGAGGCCCCGAGAAGCCATAAAACGCCAGACCACGCAGCGCTGCCACCGAGCACCGCAACAAAGGGCTCTCACTTGCACCCGGTGCTTTCAGAGAACCAATTAAACACCGCCGACGCGCGGACGGCTGGCGGAGACCACCTGTGAGACACGCCGCCGCCGCAGCGTCACACGAAATCGACGGCACCATGCTCCGCGCGCTCAGCCCCCGCCGCAAGTTCTCGTTCGACTTAGCTTTACATAGATCGAAGGAGAAGAAGCGCAAGGATTCCCTGGACGATGCTGCTTTTGCCGCCATGGTCGACGAGACGCTCGGGTCTTCAGAAAGACCGGCGCGGTCGAAGTCTCGCGTGGCGCGCGCGGCGTCGTTCTTTCGGTCGAAGTCTCGCGAAAGAAGTGACTCCAAAGATTATTCATCATCAGCAAGGGCATCACGACCGTCGACGCGGGACACGTCCGCCCGAAGTTCTTGGTTGGCCATGAAGGAGGCGAGGGAGAAGGAACCTGCGAAGAAGAAAATGACGTATGCGGAGCGGCGGGAGGCCGAGAAGCGGGCGGGCAAACATAGGGAAAGAGGTCGTCGTTCTGCGCGTGGTGATGATGCGCCTCGCATCCGGGACTTGTCCCGAGACGCGGCGGCCCGTCTGGCGCAACAGCCTCCACCTCCAAGACGAGCTGTCAGTGCGCAGCCTCGACGTACACAGCCGCCCCCGGCACCTAGAAGGGCGCGGGACGACTCTCATCGAAGGGCGCTGCGGCGCCGGCCGGCGCGCGCCGTCGTGGCAACAATTAAAGGCGAGAGCGTTGGCCGCCGACGACGCGGCCATGGCGTCGTACATCGAGCGGGAGGGCGGCTTCACGAGCGTCGGTGGGCCCGCGTTCACGGACTGGTTTAGAGAAAGGTTTCGAAAATGACGCCTCGAGTGCCCCTGCGGCGCGCACAAGGCGCTCTGGACGGAGCGAGAACGGCAAGGTAGATTAGATGCGGCCGGCTTAACACCGGCGGAAGGCGAGTCGCGCGGCTACCTGGCGCGACTACGGGTATAGCTCCGAGTCGCCCAAGACGTTCAAGTCGGGCGCTTCACTTAGAAAGACGTCCGATGGGCGGGACGTGCATGTCGTCACTTGGAGGGTCGAACGCTGGTCCTCGTTGCCGGCCGGCTTCCGGCAAGGCGCTCGTTATAGACCGCCCGGGCCCGCGCCCTGGTCCCTCGACCTCTACAAGGGCGGTATCAAGAAGGAGCGGCCCGGATTTGTATCTTTATACGTGCACTACGCGGCGCCGTCGCCCGATTCCACGGCCAAGGTGGCTGCCTTAGAACTGTCATTATTACATCAGGACGGCGGCGCGCACCTAACGCGCCGCCACGAGGGGAAACGCGTCTTCGGCGCCAAGGCCGACTTGGTGAAGAAGATCTCGACATCAGCGGGCACGGCGGCGCTAGCGCACGTCGTCCTGACGCAGGTCGAGGCTTTAGGATTTGTGAAGGACGACGCGGTCGTGTTGCGGGCGGAGGTCGAAATGGCACCGGCAGTAAGGATTCTTTAGCTGAATGTTGCTTATTGGGCTAGCCCCTCTCGCACGGGACCCCGAGTGCGTCACCGTGGCGTACCAGCCGCGCGCGCGGTTTTGACCGGTCGGGTAGGTGATGCGTCAGTTCGGGACGTAACCAGTTTGAGGAGGTACCGCAAGCGGCCGGCTCCAGGGCGTCGCGTCGACCAGCCCGGGGGAGAACCATAAGATACTTAGACGAGGCTCAGGCTCCCGTCCAGCACATAATCCCGCACGGGCCCGTAGCGCAGCGCGTGCGTGTCGCCCTTCGAGATGAACGCCGTCTCGCCACTACTATCGATCTGCACGTCCCCCAGGTCCTTGTTCGCCTTGATGAAGACGAAGCGGTCCAACGCCGGAGCTTTGGAAATAGCTTTGGCCAACACCTCGGGGCAGGCCTCGTCGCCGTCCTTGCGCTCGTCGCGGAAGGGTTCCGGTAGATCTTCGAGTAACGACGCGCGGTGGTGCTTTTCGATCAAATCCAAGTACTTGACGGCGTGCGTCTTTTCGGCGTCTGAGAGACGACCGTAGGCGTCGTCGTCCGCGATGATGTACCCGCACTGTCTTTCTAATTTACGTAGTCGACAGCGCACGTACGAACCAACCACAAAACGGCACCGCGCGAGCTCGCTCTCGTACAACGGCGCCGAAAACAAGCACTCGTCGACGTCGCCCCCTTGCTCGACCGTCGCCTTGACCATGGCCTCCTGCTGCTCCGCCGCATCTAATAAAGCATCTACTAAATCGCCGCGCCAGGGCAGCACTTCCGGGCAGGCCTGCTCCGACCGCCACGCGGTTAAGAGCTGCTCGTACGCCGGGTTCCGCCGCGGCGCGCCTTGATTAGTGCCGCCCATGTCCATGTCCATGCCGCCTTCATCATTGCCGAGGATGGCGTCGAGCTCGGCCATGGTGCTTGTGCTTGGCGCGTCTCTGGGCAATCTGTGGCGCGTTTCTTCGCGGTGGCCGCTGCGTGCGTGCTGTCAGGCCTTCTTGCGCTAGCAATGAGGTGCCAGGTGTCGATATTAGCCGCTTGCGCGCAGATGGCGCGCGATGTAAACCCGCGAGTTACCGGAAGCTTTTTGATTTTTAAACGGGTTTAGGTGGCCTACGCGCGCGCGTGACGATAACGCTGTGCTTTGGTCGGTTCGCTGCTCGCAAACGCGCCTGCGACAGCTCCGCTGTCAACGCCGCGGCATAGAGCACAACCCTGCAGCCACCTGAGACTCAGTGAGAGCAAAATCACCCCAGCTCAGCGCACAGCGATGGCCCTCACAACAAAGAGCGGCGCGCTCTGGCAGATGAGCCGCGCGGAAAAAGAAGAGGGCTGGACCGACGAGGGCCACGCCTTCGTCGGCCGCGAGGTCGTGCGCAGCACGTCGGCGACGGCGCAGTCCGTCGGCACGATCTACTGCTGGCTGCCGCCCACCGTCGAGGACTGCTACGAGGACGAGGACGGCAAGCCCGCGCCGTTATTTAAGGTGCGGTTTTTGGTGGGGGAATTAGATGGCGACGTTGAGGACCTCGACATCCGGCAGGTCGTCGAGTCGCTCGTCACGGAGAGCGTCCTGCGGCCTCCGGCGCCAGCTCCGAAGCCGACGGCGAAGCCGAAGGCGAAGAAGCGGCCGGTCCCAGTCCCATCCGATGAGGACGACGACGACTACGACGCCGCCGCGCCGGCGCCCGAGTCGTCCGAAGACGACGAAGCCTCTGATTATGAGGAGGCTCGCAAGCCCGCGGCGAAGAAGCGCAAGGCGGCCTCCCCGCCGAAGCCCGCGAAGAAGGCGCCGGCGAAGCGCAAATCCCCGGCGAAGCCCGCGGCGCCGAAGCCCGCGGCGCCGCCCGCGCCCGCGCCCAAGGTCAAGCCTGAGCCGGCGCCGGCGCCGGCGCCGAGGCCGAAGGCGCCCGCGAAGCCCTCGGGGCGCCCGGGCGCGGAGCGCGCGACGGCGCGGTACGCCTGGGAGCCGCTCTCGGCCAACCAGCTCGCCCTGGCCGCGGGCGACAACCTCGAGGTCTGGCCGACGAACGAGTCGTGGTGGTTTGCGCGGAACGCGCGGACCGGCGCCGAGGGCCGCGTGCTTAGCGGCCACGTGAAGGTCGGGCCCTGGCACGAGGACGAGGACGAGGACGAGGACGCGGCGCCGGCGCCCGTGCCGGCGCCCGCGCCCGTGCCCCCGCCGGCGCCGAAGGTGAAGGCCGAACCGGCGCCGGCGCCCGCGCCCGCGCCGAAAAAAAAGAAGAAATGCATCCTGGACACGTCCTCCGACGAGGACGAGGCGCCCGCGGCGCCCGCGGACGATTCGGACACGGACCTCGAGGAGGCCGGGAAGAAGGCCGAGGACGTCTTCGTCTGCCGGCCCGGGTCCGGCGCCGACACGGATGGCTCGGACACGGACCTCTCGGCCGCGGCGCCCGCGCCCGCGGCGGACGACTCGGACACGGACCTGTCGACGTGAGTTTAAGATATGTGATTTATACAGGGTTCGAGGAGCGACGCGAAAGCGAGCGAAGGTTCTTCAGAGCCGGTTCTTGCCGTGGAACACGCCCAGCTTGAGCATAGGTAGGATGAAGAGGTAGTAGGGCAGGTCCAGGCCCGGCCTTTGGAACGCCTTCGGGTGCTGGTGGTGCCACCGGTGGTACGCCTCGCCCATCAAGTTTGATAATGGATCTAACGGAATGTCGCGAGCCTGGCAGGCCCCGGGGAACCTGTCCTCCTCATGGTCCGGGTGTGGAACGCGGCGTTGAAATACAGCGTGGCGAGCTGGCAGATGATGCTCGACCACGCGCTCACGAAGAGGGCCCACTGGATGCCTCCGTACCGATAGAACGCGTAGTGCGCGGCCAGTACGACGCCGAAATGCAGGTTCTCCATGATCGCGAGCTCCGGAAACGCGAGTAAGTCCCGTACGAGTCGTCGGTCCGTCCCGGCGCCGAGCGCGCCCTCGTTCCCGGGGACGTAGACCCAGCCTATCCACGCCATGAAAAAGCCCTTGACGACGGGCGAGTGCGGGTCGTCGTCCGTGTCGCAGGCCGCGTGGTGCCGCCGGTGCATCGAGGCCCACCAGATGGGGGAGCCTTGGGACGCTAATGATCCTCCCAAGTAGAGTAAGAATTGGACGAATCGACTACACGTAAATCCTCTATGAGCGAAGTATCTATGTAAGCACGCCGACATGCCAATGATCTCCTTGAGCATATAAATGCCAAACATGTGGGGCATCACGCTCCAGCTAAAGTGCTGCCGGTAGTAGATCGATAGCAAAATAACCCCGGGCAGCTCCAGCAGAAACAGGGGGTTGAGCTCCAGGTGGTCGATGTCCTTGAACCAGTTGTGCTTCTGGAGCTTCTTGTTCAAAGTGTCCTCGACGCCGTTCGGGCTCGGGCTGCGCTTGCGCCTTCTTATGGTATCCGGGTGGTCGGCGCGCGGCGCCGTCGCGGTGGCCGTGGCGCTCATTGTACAGTCGTTGTGGCTCGTGCGGGCAACACTTGCTCCGGGAGTCGGGGTAGCAGCTCTTCTATGGTCCGGGCGTCGGGGCGGCAGCTGCTTCTCTGCTGAACCTTGGAACTGCTAGTTTCGGCAGCCGCTGCGAGCCTCGTCGCTGCCGGATTATGGGAGAGTGGGGCGACGGCGCGGTGCGGTACCTTTGAGACCGGTCGGGCAGGTTCTCGGGGCCTGAGCTGGACGTCGGGCGCTAAATAGCTTTGTCTGGTCAGCGGTTGTCCCTCTAGATAGTCCCACTAGCATCTTTATTTAGAGCGCGGCGTCGACGGGGCGTGGCTGCAACAGTCCTTGTATGCTCCACGACAGTTGCATTCTAGTGTCCTAGTGTCTTACAGCCGCTAGTCTTTATGCAAAGACAGCCGCGCGCGCGGCTCTACGCGCATCAGCAGACACCAGTGCTTACGCTGCTTGGTGCGAACAGCGCTCCGCTCCCGACACACAGCTTCGCCGCGACGCATAACTGCGTGCATCGCTGCCAGAAAACTACACTTGCCGCCACTCGCTGTGCAGACACAACTGCGCGCGCGTGTAAGACGCATAACTGCGCAAGCAACGATGCCGTCCCGCTCGCGCCGCCGCCGCAGCCGCAGCAAGAGCAAAGATAGGGACCGCGACCGCAAGCGGTCGTCTCGAAGGAGACGCTCCGAGTCCCCCAAAAAGAAGGACGAGGCCCCGCCCATGCCGGCGGCGCCCGTGGGCCGCGGCCGCGGCGCGACGATGCCGGCCTGGATGACGCAGGGCGGCGCGGCGCCGGCCGGCGCGGGCGCGCCGCCGGCGCCGGCGCCGTTCGCGGGCGCGCCGCCCGGCGCGCCGCCGCCCTTCGGCCAGGCGCCGCCGCCCTTTGGGCAGGCCGTGCCGCCCTGGGGCGGCGCGCCGCCGCCCTTCGGCATGGTGCCCGGGGGTATGGGCGGCCCGCCGCCCTTCGGCGCCTTCCCGGCGCCGCCCTTCGGCGCGCCCCCCTACGGCGCGCCGCCCCAAGGGATGCCGTGGGCGCCGCCGGCGCCGGCGCCGCAGGTGCTCGCGGCGCTGCCGCCGGGCGCGGCGCCGCCGGCGATCGCGCCGGCCTTCCCGCCCGAGGGCCGGCCGGCCCCGGTAGTGCCGCCAGTTCCACCGCCGGCGCAACCGCCGGCCGTCGAGGCGCCGGAGCCGGAGCCCGCGCCACCGGAGCCCGAGCCGGGCCCGAGCCCGTCGACCCGAGGTGTTGAGGCGAGACCGCGAGCGGAAAAAGCGCCTGCAAGCGCCCATCACGCGCGCTCTTTTGAGTGATAACGCGCTCTTCGCCGAGGTGTCGCGGGCGCGGCGCCGCGGAGGTGGAGGAAGACGAGCTCCTGGCCGCGGACGACGACGGGGCCGCCGCTGATGTTGGTGAAGCGGCCGACGACGGCGACGACGACATGTACGGCGATTTGGGGGGAGGCGACGACGACATGTACGGCGACCTGGGCGGCGACGACGACGTTGCCGGGGACGCGCCGGCGGAGGAGGCAATTGATCAAAACGCCGCGGAGCTGCCCGTCGTCCAGGCCCTCGGCCAGCTCGAGGCGCACTCGTCGAGACCGCCGCGGCGCGCGGAGCTGGCCGGGCGCGCCGCGCACCGCGCGTACCTGCTCGAGGCCCTGACGTCGGGCGCGTAACTTGTCTCGTATCCAGCCAGGGAGGAGTATGCACGACTCGCGGGCGGCGGCGACAGCTGTGGCGACGTCTCCGGCGGGCCGAGTAGGGAGATGGCAGCGCCTCCTCCAGCAGAGCGCCCGTCTCGCAATCTGCGGCTCGCAATACGGGCGCATCGGTCGCGGGACGAGCACACCGACGGCGTACGCCTCGGCCTTGTGCGAAGGCGGCCGATCCAGGGCTGCCCCGGCTGCCGTAGAGACGCCACCATGTTGTTGGAGCACTTGGATGGGTATGAGGCTGCCCAGTGCATCGCCGCGGGCGGCGCGGTGCTCGCATTAGGCGCGGGCGGCTGCACTGCGTACGGCGTCGCCCTGGCCTTCGTCGTCTTTTTGTGGCTCGCGGAACTCGCGCTGCCGCACCACGCCGTCAAGGCGCGCATCCTGTCGCCGCGGGGCACGCCGCGGCCGTCGTCGCAACTGCGGAAGGTGCTCGCGGACGCCGAGGTGCCCGAGATCGAGGAGCAGCTGGCCGAGCTCGGCGCCAAGGCGCCGGGCGACGTCCAGTACCTCGACGACGCCGACATCGCGGACCTCCAGCTGTCGCCCGAGCAGGGCTCCCGCCTCAAGAGCGTCGCGGCGCAGGCGGCGGCGCAACCATAGGCTTACGTCTAACAACAACAAGCAACATTTACAATTCGCCGTGGTCGCGCGCCCAGTCCCAGCCCTTCTGGGCCTTGACGCGATGCCGCCCGAAGCGCCGCGGCTCGTCGATCTCGCACGAGACTAGCCGTCCGGGCGCGAGCGGGTGTGCAAGAGCGAGGCGGCGGCAGTAGAGGAAGAGGCCGATGCTCTTGCGCGGGCCCCCATATAAGTCGTCGCCGAGGATAGGCGCGCCGAGCGTCTCGCCGCAGTGGCGCCGCAGCTGGTGCCGCCGACCCGTGACGGGCTTGAGCGCGACGTCCGTGAGCACGCCGTCGACGGCGCAGGGCGTTTGACCGCGCGCCGTCACGACCGTGGTCGAGGCGAGGCCGTCGATGGGAGCATCGACGGTCCCCGACGCCACCGCGCCGACGACGAGCGCGCCGTACTCCTTGTCGACTTCGTTCTGCTCGAAGGCGCGGCCCAGCGCGACGTGCGCGGACCGCGTCTTCGCGCAAGCCACGGGTCCGGCGACGCGCGCGTCAAGACGGTGCCGGGGCAGGGGCGCCGGGAGCGCGTCGGCGGCCCGCGAGGGTTCCAAGACAAGCGGCAAGACGTCGTCGAGGCAGAGCTGTCGTCGCTTCAGCGTATTCCGCCAGCTCATCGCGTGGACTCCTGCTGGTTTCAAAACGACGGCCATCGCGTCGTCCTCGTAGAGCACCTGCAACGGTGGCGCGTGCCGAGTTTCGTCGCGGAGCGCGGCGAGGAGCCGTTCCCGCTTCGAGATCCAGGCGTCGCGTTTCTCTTCGTCGTCAGGTAGGAGCGTCCGCCGCTCCGGCGGCCTTGCGAGCGTCAGCACGTCTCCCGTTTTGACGATCCGTGCGCCCGACGACTTCTCGCCGTTGCATAGGAGTCGGGCAGCCCTGCACGCGAGATTGGCCGCGTTAGTGGTCACGAGGTCGTCGGCGAACGCGGCGGTTGCGTAGCGCCGCAGCCGCGCCTCGTCCGAATCTGGGACATGTGTGACGGTGTGCACCGCATCGGTGCGCGGTCTAGCCCACGCTTTGAATCTCGCCTCTGCAGCATTGCTGAGGGCTGCACCGATGCGGAGTTGCACTGCGATGAATGCATAAATCGCACGCATGGCGGCTGTGCGCAGCCTGTACCGCAGTGTGCAGCGTGTGCACCTGTAGGTACGACCTGTTCTGGCGCAGTTTCCAGCGCAGGTACCGAAGCGCAGAGATTAAGCACGCCTCTGATTTGCTTGTTTGAAGCTCATAGCCGCGCAATTGAGCCAGAGCTGCAAACGAATGCTTTTCTAGTGTCTTACAGACCGCTAGCGAAAAAAAAAGTCGCACGTACAGATAGTTCAAACACAGATGGCACGCTAGCGCCGAGCGGCGCCCGCCGCGTCGCGCCGAGGAGCGGGTGCGCGACGGCCGGCGCCGCGGCGGCGACGCCCTCCTCGAGAGTGAGCTCGACCTCGCCGCCCTGGGCTCGTCCGGGGCGCGTCGCAGGCCGATCCTAATTCCGCACAGGTTGGCTGCGCGTCGGGCGCCAGCAACGCTCGCCGCCCGTCGCGTCGACGGGGCCCTTCCAGCGCCGCCACGCGCTACAGTGGCTGCACGACACCCACCGGTCCGTCCCTTTGTTACGATGCGCGCTGCAGTAGAAGACGTTCGACGACTCGCCGTTGCCCTCGTCGACGCAGCCTCCAGATCTGAATAACGCACAGGGCGCGTGGAAGCTCCGCGGGCACTCCTTCACGCCACAACCCACCGTGGCGCCGCGCTTCCCGCAGGAGAAGCACTTGAGCAGGCGCCCGCGCCGCAACGCGCTCAGCCCGCGGAAGACGTGGCCGCCCGACCGCACGACCTCCGGCGCGAGCGCCAGGCAGGCCGCGTGGTGGAAGACACTTTTGGGACCGTCTTTCAGTGGCCTCGTGCACAAACCGCCCGGCGCCTTGGATTCAAGTAAGGATAACGACGGAGACAGGCAGAACGCGCACTTTTGACCCTCAATGGCGACCGCGTCGCCCCGTCGGTCGGGCTCGACGGCCTCGGGCGACGTAATTGATGCCTTCACTTCACAACTATTACAAGTCGTATCTTCGTTCAGCTCGCAGAACCAGTCGCCCTCAGGCAAAGGAGCGGGCCGCCCCGTCGTTTTATCTACGGTCTTCCAGGCCTGTGTGGAAACCAACAGTGAGTTAGGTTATCCTGAACCTCCACATCATCGAGCCGACGCGGCCACGGGGACAAAGTCGCGTTGATAGCTACGGAAAGCACGTCGCGTCGATGGCGTAAGACGCCCGAAATTTGATTTCCACACAGTCCCAGGCTCTCCATTTAAAACAGCGGTCGCACTGCACGGCGTCCGGCCAACTCGCGTGCTTCCGGCAGTGGAACGTCGTCTCGCCCTGCAACAGCCCGTGGGCCGCAGCACATCTCAAATGGAAGGACTTCGAGCAGCGCTTCTCGCCGCAGCCCACCGTCGCGCCGCGCTCGCCGCACGCGGCGCATTTCAACGACCGGCCCCGCTTGACCGCAGCCAACACGTTGTACAGGTCGCCCTCGCGCTCGCCGTGGACCTCGGCACTAAACAACGCGCACTGCGCGTGGACCCAGACCGGCTTCCCATCGTTCCCGCGGAAGGGCGGGAACAGCAAATCACCCTCGAGCGTGCCGTCGGCGTTCGGCGTGCCATGATGCTTCCCACAAAAGGCGCAGACATCTTTACTGGTTGCTGAGTCGGCTAAGTAGAGGCGTGGATCGGGCCGGTCGCCCTGGCGGACGGCCTCGGCCGTGTGGATTGGCAGCGCGGCCTCGGCCTGCGCCAGGGCCTTGCGCAGCTTTGACACCTCCTCCCTTAACATATCGCGCTCCGCGACGACGCGGCGGTGCTCCTCCAGAGAAACGACCTCGACGGCCTCCGACGCCTTGGGCTTCTTCCGCGCCGGCTCGTCCTTGCGGGCCAGCGTCGCGAGGTCCTCGACCTTCGCCACGCCCGGGTGCACGTAGGCGAGGTCCGCGCCCGTCTTCGCTCTTGAAAACCCGTAGTAGTTGAGCTGGCGCGCGAAGGACGGGAAGGTCGCCGTCCCGGTCTTGACCGTGAAGTACCGCGGCATGAGCTCGGCGCAGAGCCGCGCCTGGTCGCGGACGACGAGGCGGCCGTTTTCCCAAGTAATAACATTTGAATGGTGCGAGACCATCTCGAAGAGCTTCGCGGGGAACTTCGGGGTGCTGCCGAAGCCGCTCAGCCGCCGCTTCTTCCGCGCGGGCGGCGGCGGCGCCGGGGCGTCTCGGACGTCCTCCGTAGCCTCCTCGGCCGTCGGCGGCGCCCGCAGAGCGTCTCGGACGTAGCGGGGCACGCCTAGCGCCTCCATAGCCTCCTCGGTCGTCGGCGGCGCGGTCGGCGGCGCCTCATCGTCGCCGGGCGCGCCCAGCGCCTCCATGGCCTCCTCGGCCGTCGGCGGCGCGGTCGGCGGCGCCTCATCGTCGCCGGGCGCGCCCAGCGCCGCGAGGGTCTCCTCGGCCGTCGGCGGCGCCTCGCTCGTCGGGCGGGCGGCGACGTGCTGCTCGAGCAGCTCGAGGATCGACGGCAGCGGGCCCGCGTCGGGCGCGCGCGGCGTCGTCCGCTGAAGCGTGGGCTTGGCGCGGGCCTTGGGCGGCGGCCCAAAGAGCTGCGGGCCGGGCGGCGGCGGCCGGTAGCCGGCCAGGTTCCTCAGGATGGCGTCCACGTCCTTCTGGGGCGCGGTCGAGGCGGCGGCTTCACACGAATTATGCGACCCAACCGGGAGGCGGATCGTCAGCTTGCGCTGCGGCGGCGGCGGCGGCGCCACGGTACTATCCTTCTGTGCGCATGGCTCTGCTTTGTGGGAGAGGTTCTGCAGGATGGAGTCCATTATTACTTGGCTTCTGTTTTGGCAGGAAGGCTTTGAATTCAGTGGCCTCCCGCCGCAGGCTGCGCGCCGGCAGCTTTTAACCCCCAAATAGTCTCCAGACCGGTATCTATCGGCGCTCTTTTGCGCGCTGCCCTCCTCGTGTGGCTGCCCCCTGTGTTTTTGCAGTGAAAAAACGGGTTTTTCCGCCGGCGGATCAACGGATGCCTCGCCGACGCGGGGCGCCCGAGGAGTAGACGCCTCGCAGACGCTTTAGCTGGCTTCGACCGCGAGAGCCCACAGCGCAGCGCTTTGCACAGCGCGAGAGCGCAGACGCATTGCAGCGCTAAGGCTGCCCCAGCGACGCACGATGCGCCGCGCGCCGGTCCGCATCCCGACCGCACCCCGGCCGCCCGCCCGCGCAGCGCCCGCCGCGCCGGCCGCCGGACGACGAGAGACTGGAGCGCATCAAGCACGTGTATGGGGTCTACGACGACGCCGTGCCGTCGACGCCGCCGCGCGCGCGGAGCCCGCCCAAGAGAATACAGCAGCAAGCCGAGCAGGACGTCGACGACGCCGATCAAAGTACGTGGGCCGCGCCCGGCGACTTCGTCGCGGCGCGTCGTCGCCGCTGCATCAGGGCGAGGGGTCGCCGAACTACGGCATGATCTTCAAGCAACTCGACGTGTGCGGCCACGGCGGCATCCAGCGCCACAACCTCAAATCGCGGCTCCGGTCTTTACTGAGACCGGCGCCCAAGGACCGGCATATAGATCTGTTGTTCGACGCCCTCGACAGCGACGATAGTAATGAGGTCGTGACCCTCAAGGAGTTCGCCCAGTTCGCGCGGGCCGCCGAGCTGCCGGCCGACTTCCCGAAACCGAAGCCCAAGCTCGACAGAATCGTGAAACGGCCGAAGTCGGCGCCCGCGGTGCGACGAAGAATCCGGACCCTCTCCATCCAACAAAGCGAGCGCGCGGCGCACCCGGCGACGCGAAAGAAGGCCATCGAGCTGTTGCAAGCCCTGCACCGCACCGTCTCCACCACAGACGCGCAGCTACGCTTCACGTTTCCACATGAAACGCGGGACCGCCTCGTCTCGCGCCTCGGCGCGCCGCCGAACCAGCTGACGCCCGCGCGGCTCTGGCACAAGATCGCGAAGTTCGGTGTGGTGGACCGGGATGAATTAAGCCGGCGCGTGCGGGAGCTCCTTGGAAGCGACGTGTCTGATTCTGATGTCACGTGCCTCTACGAGTGCTGCGACCTGGAGCAGCGCGGCGTCGTCACGCTCCAGGACTTTGCGCACTTCGCGCGGCGCGTCGACTTAACGATATCACCGCCGCCGCCCCGGCGGCCGCTCCCCAGGAAGACCTTCGCCGAGACCGTGCCGGCGCGGCCGAGGCCGACGGAGGTCGTGGTAGCGCCGCGGCCAACGTCCGACAAGACGGACCGCATGGCGCGCGCCGCCGCCGAGGCGCTCTTCTACGCGCTGGCGTCGACGATCCAGCGCGAGTCGGAGCAGCACGAGAAGGTCAACTACGCGCGCATGTTCCGCAAGCTCGACGTGCACGGGCGCGGCCGCCTCGACCGGAATGAATTGAGGCACCAGATCGTCCGTTTACTCCCGTCTTCACCGGCGCGCTTCGCTACCGACGCGCTCTTCGACGCCTGCGACACGGACGGCACGGGCTTCGTCGAGCGCGCTGAATTCGCGACGTACGCCCGCGGTTTGGCTTTTGGGGTTGCGGCGCGCCACGCGGAGCGGCAGCGCGAGGTGCAGAAGCCTGCACAGCGCGCGCCGCGCGACGTGGGACGGACGCACATCGCCCTCGAGGTGTCCGCCCCGCCGCGGCGGCCGCCGCTCGCGCCCGAGGACCTGGCGCGCGCCGCGGCGCTCTTCGAGCACATCGCGCGGCGCGTCGACATGGACAGTGCGGATCGCGCGGGCGGCTTCGGCGTCGCGAAGCGGGACATCGCCTACGGCCGCGTCTTCCGGAAGCTCTGCGTCTTCGGCGAGGAGTCCTTGGACGCCGGCGAGCTGGTGCGGGCCTGTCGCCGCGCGTTCCTCGACAACTTGAAAGGCGTGGCCGACGCGGACCTGCGGCTGCTCTACCGGGCCATCGACGAGGACGGCACGGGCGTCGTGGCGCTGGAGGACTTCGCTCGATTTGCGAAGAAAATACGGGGCCGGCTGTTTGACGTGCAGGTCGCGCGACCGGAACCGCCGGCGCCGGAGCCGCGCGCGTCGCGGGTCAACGCGCGCGATAGAGCCAGGGCGGAAGCCATCCTGGGCCGCCTCGGGGAGGTCGTCGCGAGCCGGGGCGGATCGCCTGGATTCGACGACGCGACCAGGGGCCAGGGCGTCTCGTACGCGCGGCTCTTCCGCGTCCTCGACCCGGAGAGCGGCGCGATGGACCGAGCTGATTTGATCGAGGCCGTCAAGAAGCGGACGGCCACCGTGTCTGATGAGGACCTCGCTTTTCTCTTTGACGTGATAGACGAAGACCGCTCGGGCCTCGTCACGCTGGGCGAGTTCCGCGCCTTCTCGAAGCGAGTCGCGGTGCCGAGCGAGGGCTTCCGGACCGGCGGTGGACCACTGTCCGAGACGCGGGGCACCGTACCATTGCCGCCACCGTCAAACGCTCCCCCGGCGCGCGCCAAGCCCAAGTGGACGCCTCGCTCCGTGAAGCTATCGGATCGTAGCCGCGACTGCCGGGGCGGGCCGCCGGCGCGGTCGCGGCGGCCGCTGTGCCTGGACGGGCGGGCCAAGAAGCTCGTGCCCCAGTAAGTTTATGTTTAGTTACTTCCCTCTAGATACAGGGTGCGGAACGCGCGCGTTTCGGATCGCTGCTAGCGGCTTGTAAGACACTAGCACTCTGAGAGCAAGCCGAGCTGGCGTGCGGTCGCAAGAGCCGTGTGTACTGCCCGCTGTCGCACGAGTGCCGTACTGCCTGCTGGCGCACGAGAGCCGTGCATACTGCAGCCTGCTGTCGCACGGGAGCCGTGCGTACTGCATACACACAAGCAGTCAGGCGCATATGCGCCTGGCGACGCGCGCCTGGTGCGTGTCCAGCGCGTCGGCACTGTACGCGAGCCGTGCCCGGCCGCGCCTCGCACGGACGATGGCTACCTGGGTCGACGCCGACGAAGCAGCCACGGTCCAGGCGAATGTCCAGGCCGTGCGCGAGCGCGTAAACAAAATATCAGAAACCGCGACGCTCATCGCCGTCTCCAAACTTAAGCCGCTCTCGCATGTGAAGGCGGCCTTCGACGCGGGCCAGCGCGACTTCGGGGAAAATTACGTGCAGGAGCTCGCCGAGAAGGCCGAGGCGGCGAAGGACGTCGAGGGCTTGCGGTGGCACTTCATCGGGAGCCTCCAGTCGAACAAAGTAAGGCAATTGTGCCAGGTGCCCCAGTTAGCATGCGTGCACACGGTCGAGCGCGCGAAGATCGCCAATTCTCTAGATCGGGTCTGGGGCGAGCTTGGTAATGTGGAGCCTTTGATGTGCTTCCTCCAGGTGAACACGTCGGGCGAAGAGACCAAGGGCGGCTGCGCGCCGGACGCGGCGCCGGAACTTGCAAAAGCCATCCACGCGAAGCCGCACTTGAATTTAATTGGGCTCATGTGCATCGGGAAGTACAGTGGAGCGGAGGGCGACGCGTCGCCGGACTTCAACGTGCTGCGCTCCTGTCGAGACGCGGCCGCGGCCGAGCTCGGCGTTTCTGCCGATACGCTGGCCCTGTCCATGGGCATGAGCCACGACTTCGAGCAGGCCCTAGGCCTCGGCGCGACGCACGTCCGCGTCGGCTCGACGATCTTCGGGGCCCGGCCGGCGAAGAAGTAAACCTATTTGTCTAGTCTACTACCCCAGGGGTTCCGGCGTCATGTAGGTGACCCGGCCGGCGAGGCGGTCGAAATACCCATCACGGCGCATTTGAGAGAGAGAGCACTTACTCGTATATCAGTCAAGCTTCGTCTGGCCGCGGCTCCCGCAGCCCGGCTTCGTGCCGCGCGCGCACCGGAAGCCCGCCGTCAGGCCGCCCCCATACAGGAACTTGTTGCCGCAGGCGAAGCACGTCGCCGGCTTCTTGCCCTCGTCGCGCAGCTTCTTGAGGACCGGCTCGCCGTGCTGGTTCTCGGTGATGCGGCGCTTGGGCACCGTGATGGACTCCCACGGCCGCGCGCCCCCCACCTTCGCTAAGTCGGACGCGTCGACGGTCGCCATCTCGAGGTCCGATATCTTACAATCGATGGACGTTTCTAAAGCCGCCTTCTCCGCCCAGTCGTCGTCCCAGCCCTGCAACAAATCCAGCGACTCCGGATTCCCGTAGACCATTCCGGCGGAGACGGTCAGGGCTCTGAAGGACTTGATCACAAGCGTGTGTCCGGTGGCGAGGCCCTGGAACAACGTACACGTCGGGGTGACGATCTGCCTCGCCCCGCGCGTCCTCGTAGGCTTGTTCCCGCGCAGCGCGTCCCGCAGCCCGTTCTGTCTCAAAAAGTCGTGCACCTTGTGGACCCCAGGATACTTCTCTTCTAACAATCTATCGACTTCGTCGAAGTCGTCTCGGAGCCGGCCGCGTCCCTTGTCCCCAGTGTAGCAGATCTCCGAGAGCGGCAGCCTCCGAAAGTCGAGGCCGCCGACGTCGATGCATCGGAACTGCGCGGACCAACCGTGAGGTCGTCGCGAAGGGGCGTTCTCTCGACGTGAGTTCTGGAGGACCACGCCGCGTCGATGGCGCGGAGGCCGACGCCGTCGCGCCGCAAGTTGAAGTGTCTACGACTCGGACAACGTGCATACTTCCCGAAGCAGCCGCGTTCAATCGCGTGGGCGATCACGTCCTTGCCGAAGTTGCCTATTAACAGCTTCGTGCCGCGCGGCACCGCCCCGCGGCCGAGGAACATCTCGTTCGCGGCGCGCGCGTGCTGCGGGTTGACGTAGCGCTTGCAGAGGGGCGCGACGTCGTTCGCGGCGCCGTGGAAGCTCCCGTGCTTGTCCGTGCGCAGCGATTCGATCTCGCCCGAGTTCGCCGTGGCGTTGCCGAACGAGCAGTCGATGGTCTGCTTGATGATCGGGTCCAATTTGTCCCTCGTCGCCGCTACGATCCACAGCTTGTGGAAGAGCGACGACGCCTTCGACAGCTCGGCCGTGTCACCGCTCATGTGGCAGGAGCTGTAGGCGCCCTTGACGCCCAGGCCCGCCAACTTGCCCTCCACATCACCATTGACCGTGATGCCGACCTTCTGGAGCTCCGCCCACATCTGCCGCAGGATCGGCCCGTGCGCCGGCTCGGGGCCCGCCCGGTTGGGGTCGTAGGTCATCATGTAGTTGAGGATCTTGTTGATGAGGCGGTTCCACGATGCTTTGGTGAGCGCCGCCTCCCTCATGTCGTTGCAACACTCGAGAGGACTTAACGTTTCGCGGTTGTCGAAGTACAACCGGCTGACCTTGTTGACGACGTCGTCGGCGACGTTGAGGTAGCCGAGGCCCTCCAGGATCTCGATGGTGCGCTTGCGCTGGTCCTCGTGCTTGAGGTACACCCAGTCCCACTCGTGCTTCGGGTAGGTCGCTCCAGTACCCGCCATACAAACCCGATCCCGCGGTGCGTACGCGTCGTCCAGCGCCGCAGCGGCGTGGGCGTCGACGTCCACCGCTTCATGACCTCTGGCCGCCGCGAGGCGTCCGCTCGTCTCTTACGAGCCGAGGGGTCTTGAGCTACTTTTGGGGCGGGCGGCTGCGCCGCCGCCTCCTCCGCGAGATACGCGAGAAGCTCCGCGCGCTCGCCGTCCGACAGCGGAATGAACTCGCGCTGCGGCTCGCGCTCCGGCGCGTCGCGCGCGGCGCCGAGGGCCGCGAGGGGCTGTCTGGGCTGTCCATTGCCCGCGCGCTGGACGGATGGTGGCGGCACATTGTTCTCTTCGCCGTTGCTGCACTTGTGCGCGGCGCAGGCGTCGGCCTGCGTCTGTGTGAGGTCGGGGCTCTCCATCGTTGTCGTTGCGATGTCCACACCTCGTCTGGTCCCGGGAACTAGCGGATTTTGGCGCAAAATTGCACCCATCCGCGCTTACAGTCAGAGAACGAGGCGCTTCCCACCGCCCGCTAAGACAGATCGCGCCGAAAATCCCTCAGGCCATGCCCACCGCGTGCTTCGCGTGGTCCACAGCGAGTACGGTCGACTCGCGTACCTGGTCGTAGACCGCGTCCGCCGAGTACACCGGCTCGGCCACCGGCAGGCGCGGCGCGGCGCAGGACGGCACAAGCCGCTCGAGAGCAAAGACGATGAGGGCCGTCAAGCCCGAGGCGACTGCCGCGGCGACCAGCACGAAACCCCAGTGCGAGTCGACGTTCATCGCCGCGGCCGCCGCGTCGACCGCCGTCACGACCAGCCCCGAGGCGATGACCGACCCCGCCTGTGTGGAGATCAAGCGGTGAGTCGAGTGAGTCGGGCTCACTTCTAGGCGACAACGATGGCTGAATCGAGGGGCGTAAGACCCACACCGCCACGCCGTCGAGCAGACGTCGCGTCGATGGCGTGGAGTCCATGAAGCAACCGCATGCGAGAAGATTTGATTTCCGCACGGGACCAAGCGACGTTCGTACTACAGAGCCTGGCTTGCCCCCCAGAGAAGACAGCAGACACACTGCTCTGGACAATACCTACGCAACGCTTGATTTGCTCTTGAATAGGTGGGGTGCAGAAGATAGAGGTGCCCGGCACGGCTTAACCCACATGTCCTCGAGGTACGACTTGGACCATGAGGCGGCGACCGCGTGTGCCGAGCTGATTTGGTTCCTTGTTGGAGCCACCTTCGCGCGAATGCTGCCTCTCGGCCAGCGAGGCGAAGCGGATTGCAAGGCGGTGATGTGTGAGATTCGCACGCAGGAAGCCGACTTCGTCCGTCACCGCACCAAGGTTAACAACCCCGGGTGGTCCAAGACGTTCTACGAAGTGACGGCGAGCTACCTGGAATTCTTCGACGCAAAGGCCGAGGCGGGGGAGGCAATTCCTGGGGGCGACGATTTCGCGCGCCGCATGCTGCGTCTCCACAAGCTGACGATGTCCCTGACCCGGGACGACGGGTCCGACAAATGGGTCGAGGCGAGTCCTATTGAGGATCTAGAAGAGTCCGCGTAAGTATTCCATAGCGTGCGGGTTCGCGTTGGGAGAGCGTCTCGCAGCGCGTGTGCGGGAGCACCGGGAGCGCCGCACCAGGACATTGACAGGCAGCCAGGAGCACCGGAAGCGCCGCCCCCCAGCTTCGGGGCAGCCTCGGGGCAGCCTCAAGCCTCGGGGACACCAGCTCCCAGAGAGCACTCAAGCCTCAGCCCTGAGCAGGGACACCAGCTCCCAGAGCATCGGCAGCCTCAGCAAAAACATGGAGGAGCTGCCGCCGCTGGTTCCGGACCTGACCGCGTGGTTCGAGGCCCTCTTGGCCAGAGTGTCTGCTTTAGAATCGCGGTCCGAGCAGGGCGGCGCCGCCGCCACCGCCAAAGCCGAGGCGCAAGACAAAGCACTGCAGGATCTCCAAAAACAAAAGGAAGCGGACGCGGTAGCCATGACTTCCATGCGCGAGGCGCTGGCCGAGAGAGAAGCCGAGCTCGCGGCGATGAGACAAGAGATGGATTCGATACGAGCCGACCTCGCGGCTCGTGGCGCCGTCTTCGGCGGCTTCCAGGCCGACGTCAAAGAAGTACGGGGCATGCTCGTGGCCGCGCGGCTCCTCAAGACGGCGCGGGACGGCACGGCGGCGTCTGCATCGGTCGCGGGGCTCGAGGACGAGCGCGCGGCGAACGAACAAAAATTCGCTTCGAGGGAGGACGTGCGTATTTTGAGCGAGACCGTCCGGGAGCTCGAGGCCATGATTACGGGCGTCGAACGGCTCTCGGGCGAGGCCCAGGCGCAGCTCGAGAGCATGCGAGATGAAATTGCGGAGCAGCTGCGCGCCGAGGCCGAGGCGGACCGGGAGCGGGTTGAGCGGGAACGGGCGGAACGCGAGGCCGAGGCCGCGCGCCTCGAGGCCGAGATACGGGCCGAACGGGAGGCGCGCGAGGCGGCGGAACGGGAGCGGGCGGAGCAAGAGGCTGCAGCAAGGGATGCTGCGGAGCAGGAGCGAGCTGACAAAGAGGCCGCGGACCAAGAGGCGGCGGAGCAGGAGCGAGCCGAGAAGGAGGCGGCGGACCAAGCGGACCGCGAGCTGGCGGAGCAAGAGGCCGCGGACGAAGATGCGGCGGCGCGTGCGCGGGCGGAGCAAGAAGCAGCGGATCAAGCGGCACGCGCGCGGGCAGAGAAGGAGGCCGCGGCGCGCGAGCGGGCGGAACGCGAGGCCGCCGAAGCCCAAGAAGCCGCTGGCCGCGCCCAGCGCGCTGGCGCGCGCGCCAAGTACGCCCGGACGCAAGCCAAGATGTTCTGCACGATTCGAGCCATGAAGCCGCCGGACCGCCCCATCCCCCTGCACGACAAGGCCGTCTATCATAGATTGAGGGACGGTGTCATCGAACAGGACGCGCTGGCGAAGCGCCTCGCGGCGCTCGAGAATGTCGTGAAGGACGACGCGAAGTTAAGTGCTGATATACTACGGAAAGGCGTCGTCGGCTTGGGCGGTACTGGACCAAGTGACGAAGACGACGCCCTCGTGGAGCGTAGAGCGGCCCAGAGCGCGCTCATGGCCGCACTGGTCGACGGCAAGCCCACCACGAAGACAGAGACGGTGGAGGTCGCGGCCCCGCCCGCGGCCCTGGCCTACGGCAACGGGCGCGGGGCGCTCGCGGAGTTTGACAAAGATATTGACCGGCGCTTCGCGGAGTTCGCCTGCCGCCAGCAGAAGCTGTTAGATGACTTTCATGTGGAGGTCGAGGTCTTCACGCGGGCGCAAGAGAAATTAGAGAACGGTTTAGTGAAGGTGAACGAAGACTTGAATCGTATGACCTCAATCAACGACAAGCGCTACGCCCAGCGCAGCGCCGCGGATCAAGAGCGCGATTCTAAATTAGAGGCAGCGGCGGCTTCTGCTAGAAGAGCAGCCGAGGCCGTCGCTCGACTGGCCAACGTTCCTCCTACAACAAGTGATACGACTCTGAAGTTCGCCGAGGCGCCGGCGGCCGCGCCCACGGACTTAGGTGATGTCTGGGACCGCATCCACACGAAGGCCGACGGGACGGCCGTTCTGAAATTAAGGGAGGAGTTGAGGGAAATCGCCGCTGCGCTCGCGGGCGACCCGGCGCTGACGCGACGACGGAAGGCCATCTGTTCCGGCGCGCTGGGCGTGCGCAAGAGCGCCTACGTGCTAAAAGACGGCGTCGAGGTCTGTATTTCTTGTCAAAGACCGGGCTCTCCGACAAAAAGAGAATCGGTGCAGTTTGAAGAGCGTCCGAAAACATATAAAAGCAGGCCACCCATGGGCGCGCGCGCGAAGCCTTCCGTAGGACGCGTCCGGCCGGCGTCGGCGGGCCCGCTGCGCAATTCGAAGAGACGGGGCGAGGGCGCCTTTTCGGGGCGGATGACGGGCCGGCCGGCGTCGGCGACGGCGCGCTTGCTAGCTGAGGGCGACGCGACGGCCGAGGTCATCGACTTGCGGTACCCCGTGCGGCGGCGCGACGAGCGCTCCGAGGCGGACCGGAGGAGGGCAGGGTTTCCTTCCTATTAAACCTAAGTTAAACGGACAGCTCGACCATGTCCGCCAATGCCCCTGCAGCCGTCGCGCCCGCGCCCGCGCCCGCGCCGCGCACGACCAGCGGAGACGGGTCGTACCACGTCGTGTAGTACTCCACGAGGTTGTCCGTGCCCGATAGTGATCCTAGCGGTGAACTTGTTGACACCGACACCAGACCGACGGTCAGTCGCCCGTCTTCGACCGTCGCCGCGTAGCGCAACGCCTCGCCCCGCGCTTTGGCCTCCTTCGCTCGTTTCGCGAAATCTTCATCAAGCGACGGCAGCTTCGCCATGAAGTCGTCGACCGTTAATGAGGCCATCTCTGGAGGGTACAATGGCTCGACGTTCACGTCACTCAACTCGAGCCGCCAGCCCAGCCCCCGCGCCAAGATTAATGCTTTCCGCGCCACATCTACACCACCTAGATCATCTCTAGGATCCGGCTCCGTGTAGCCTTTGGCCTTCGCCTCCAGCACAACTTCGGAGAAGGGCCGCCCGGCCTCGAGCCCGCTCATGACGAAGCCCAGCGTTCCCGAGAACGTTCCGGCGATCTTTCTGACCTTGTCGTCGGCCATGGACAGTCGATTGAGAGCGGCGATTGCGGGTAGACCGGCGCCCACCGTACTTTCGTGTCGCACGTTGTTGTGCCGGATCGGATGGCCAACTAATGCATCGTAAGCAGCTTGGTCCGAAGAAAACGGCTTTTTATTAGCGCTCACGACCTTCTGGCCCCGTTTCAAGGCTTCGATGAGTAGAGGTGTCGTTGATCCTGAGGCCGTGACGTCCACGACCAAAGCACCTTCACCCAACGACGCGACGGCTTTATCAACGTCGCCTTTGGTGGCCCCTGGCAACTTCTTTCCATCGGCTTTCGCGGCCGCGGCGCTTTGCAGCTGCGCGTCGTCGAGGTCGCCAGCGAGGTAGCCCGACGAGTCCGCTAGCACTTTCACGTCGAAGCGCAGACCGTACACATCTTTATGGTGCGTCCGCGCGCCGACCAGCGCCTCCACTAACGCGCGGCCGACGCCGCCGACGCCGAGGAGTGCGACTGGCACTTGTTTTGCAGCCATGCAATCGTCTGATGCACAGGTCTTGTCCGTGTCAACCGCTGCAGCAGTGGTCAGGAGCAATGCGCACAATAACCTGTGCATGTAGCTTGCCTGTGAAGCACTTCTCCGGCGCGTCACCTTGCCCAGCCTGCAGTGTGAGTGGCGGCGATGCAATCGGGGACGCGCATCGTTCCAGCCGCTCGAGGAGGCGTCGGCAACCGATTTGTGCGGTACGAAGGCTCTGTTGTCTCCTTTGCTAGTGGCTTACACCGCTAGCTCGTCTTGCAATTATTTTTTTGGTAAGACCTTGGTCAGATTGCTGCTCGCCACAGCCGTTTGTTCAGCGTGCTGACGCGCGCTTTGTAGAAGCATCGCTGCATCCGAGTGCCCGGGACAGCGAAACTGCACGCCAAAAACGCGGAGGCCTCACTTTTAGCCCCAGAATTTGTCGATAGTCGACAATGCTCCGCCGCCTCGCCGCCGTCGGCGGCCGGCGCGCAACGGCGAGGCCGCTCTCCGCCCTGCCGCGCAGCGACGACGACGACGCGCCCTTCTGCTCCTCGACCGCGGAGCAGCCGCACGCCACGTACCCGCGCTTGTTCAGTCCCCTCACCTTGCCGTGCGGCCTTGAAATCAGGAACCGGTCTTTGATGGGCTCGATGCACACCGGCTTGGAAGAGCACAGAGGCCTCAAAGAAATGGCCGCGTTCTACGCGGAACGCGCGAAAGGCGGTGCTGGACTCATTGTTACCGGAGGCGTGGCTCCCAATAGGGAAGGCTGGGTGCTGCCGCTCGCGGGCAAGATGTCGACTGTAGCCGAGGCCGAGGAGCACAAAGTCGTTACTGATGCGGTCCACGAGAACAACGGTAAGATCGCCTTGCAAATACTACACGCGGGACGGTACGCCTACCACCCCTTCGCCGTCGCTCCGTCCAAGAAGAAGGCACCAATTAACGTGGTCACGCCGCGGGCTTTGTCAGAAAAAGACGTACAATCTACTATAGACGACTTTGCGCGCACGGCAGCGCTAGCGAGGAGCTGCGGCTACGACGGTGTGGAGATCATGGGCTCGGAGGGTTATCTGATAAACGAGTTCCTGGCCGAGCGCACGAATCAACGGGGAGATGCGTATGGCGGGTCCTTCGAGAACCGGAGTCGTTTAGCTCTAGACGTGGTACAAGCCGTAAGAAAAGCCGCGGGCCCGGACTTTGCGGTGGTCTTCCGGCTGTCCATGCTGGAATTAGTTGAAAACGGCATGGCCTTCGGCGAGGTCGTCGAGCTAGCTCATTTGTTGGATGCTTGTGGTGTGGACATCCTCAACACGGGCATCGGCTGGCACGAAGCTAGGGTGCCGACGATCGCCACTTGTGTTCCTAGAGGTGCGTTCGCGTTTGCGACTACTAATGTGCGAGAAGCTTTGTTATCAAAGTACGGGCAAGCACCGCTCATGTGCGCCACGAACCGCATCAACAGCGCCGAAACGTGCGAAGACGTGCTGGAGCAAGGTGCGGACGTCGTTTCCATGGCGCGGCCCTTCCTCGCCGACTCTAGCATTATCGAGAAGGCCTTTCATGGAAGGGAGGATGAGATCAATACGTGCATTGCCTGCAACCAGGCTTGTTTAGATCATACCTTCAAGATGATGCCCGTGTCGTGCCTGGTGAAGCCCTGCGTGGAAATCAAACAGTGAACGCCGTCGAGCAGACGCAATTACGAGGATGACGTCGCGTCGATGGCGTGGGGCGCCCGAAATTCGATATCCACACAGGTCAACCCGCGCGCCGGCCACGAGACGTCGCTCGAGTTGACGAGGACGGCGACGCCTCTGAAGGTTGCCGTCGTCGGCGCCGGGCCGGCGGGCTTGAGCGCGGCGTGCGCTCTCGGTGAACGGGGCCACCGCGTGACGCTGTTCGAGCAATCGGAACGGGTGGGCGGCCAGTTCCTGCTGGCCGCGGCGGTGCCGGGCAAAGAGGAGTTCTGGGAGACGCTGCGCTACTTTCGCACGATGCTCGACGTGCATTCTGTGGATGTGCGGTTGAATACGTATGTGGATGCGTCGACCGTGAAAGACTTTGATAGGGTAGTGGTGTCGACGGGCGTGCGGCCGCGGGTCGTCGAGGGCCTCGCGTCGTCGGCGAACGTCCGCGTCCACTCGTACGCCGACGTGCTCTCGGGCGCGACAAAAGTCGGCCCGCGCGTCGCCGTCGTCGGCGCGGGCGGGATTGGATTCGACGTGTCCGAGTTCCTCACGCACCGCTCGGGCGACGACTTCTACGGCGAGTGGGGCGTCGACCTGTGTAGAAAGCAACCAATGTGTTGGGTACGCTCATTCGAAGCACCGCGACAATTTGATCTCCACACAGGCGTCGACACCGCGCCGCGCGGCTCGGGTTTAGCTGAGCCATCGAATGTGGCGCCGCCGCGGACTGTGTACTTGCTCCAGCGCAAGGCGACGCCGCTCGGCGCCGGATTGGGCAAGACGACGGGCTGGATTCACCGCAAGGCGCTGCGCCAGCGCGGCGTCGACTTCCTGCGCGGCGTGACGTATAAACGAGTCGAGGCCGACGGTTTCCGCATCGAAGTGGCCGGCGCGGAGCGCGTCCTCGACGTGACGGACGTCGTGCTCTGCGCGGGCCAGACGTCCGTCGACGACTTGTTCCGCGAGCTCCGGAATGATCCAAAATTTCCAGTGTATGCCATCGGCGGTGCCGAGCACGCCGGCGAGTTGGACGCCAAGCGCGCCATCGACCAGGGCGTGCGCCTCGCGACGCGGATCGAGGACGCCGCGCCCGGATCCGTGTTCGGCATGCCGGTCGGGTGGCAGGCGGGCGCGCTGGAGTGGCTCCAGCGGAACGTCATGAAGAAATGAGTCCTCAGGCTGTGTTTATAATGTGCTCTTTTTAACCTGTACCTATCTCTGTACCTCCGGGCACAAAACCCGAACCCGAACGCGCAAGGGGCCGTGTTTTGTCAAAGGCGGATCTCGCGCCCGGCGTGGCTCTCCTGGGACGCAAGCGCACGTTCGACCCGCCTGCCCCCATACGCCATCACCGCGGCAGCCGCAGGACGCACCTTCGAGCTGTGTGTGGTAGCAGCCCCACCGAGGCCCAACAACAAAAAGACACTGCCCCGGGCGGTCCCGACGACAAGGAAATGGAGCGCCCGCCCCTCGCCCCCGCGACGAACCGCCCCGCCGTCGAGACGCACGTCGTCACCGAGGAGGCGAAGCCCACCCGCAGCGGGTCGCCCCTCGCAAACACGCTGCTGGGCTTCGACAGCGCCGCCGCGCGGCCGGCCGCGGAACGCGTCTGCTGCGCGCGCGCGCCGCGGCCGCCGCCGGACGAAGAGGGCGCGCCGCCGGAAGCGGAAAAAGAGGACGACGACGACGACGACGCCGAAGCTCGCTGCTGCTGCGCGAGCAGCTCAAGGCGACCGAGCGGGCGCTGGAGCGGCGGAAGCGCGAGGAGGCCGCGGCGACGCCGTTCCTGGCGGCCGTCTTCGAGGACGCGACGTTCGCGCCACCTGCGACGCCGACGCCGCCGACGTCGCCGCCGGGCCTCGTCGCGCCCGAGGCCGCGCGGCCCCAGGTGCAAGCCGCCGCCGCGGCGCGCGACCGGCTCGAGCAGACGCGCAAGCCGCGGCCTGTGTGGAAATCAACCAGTGCGTCAGGTGCTCACTACGTCATTCTCGGCAATGACGTGGCCGCGCTGGCTCCGTCGAGCGGTGAGGAACCGACATCGCCACGCCATCGATCAGGCGTCGCGTCGATGGCGTGAAGGACGACGCGACGATTCAGAACGTGCCGTAAAATTTTGATTTCCACACAGGCCGCGACGGCAGCGGCTCTCGGCGAAGAAGCAGCGCGAAACTCCGGTCAGAGTGGTCGTCGTCGACGACGAGCCCGCGGGCTGCCTCCTGCCGAGCTGCTTCGAGGAGACCATCGATTCCGAACAAGTCGACGTCGAAGTCTCGCGCGCGCCGGACGAGAGCAAGAACAAACTCGTGGTCAAGGTGCACCGCGCGCGGCGGCTGTTTGGGGGCGGCTATGGGTTTGAGGCCGTCGGCGCGACGCACCCCTACGTGCGGGCGGTTTATGGAGATCAGACGCGCGAGACGGCGTGCCGGCGGCGGACGACGTCGCCCTGCTGGAACGAGGAGCTCACCTTCGAGGCTCGCGGCGCGACGACGGTCAAATTGCTGTTCTACTCGCGCAATACGTACATGGCCGACTCGCTCCTCGGGGGCTGCGTCGTCGACCTCGGCGCGCGCCCGGAGTTCTCGCTCGGCGCGCCGCGGCCGCTCGTCGAGAAGTCCTGGTTTAGCGTAGAACCCGAGCGGCGGGCGGCGGGGCCCGAGGACTTTTTGTACAGACACCGGACCGCCCTCGGCAGCGTCGAGGTGTCGGCCTACGCCTACCGGGCACCTTAAATACAGAGTCACATTGTTAAGCCACCGTTCCACGGGCCCCCGGAGCACCCTTCCAAAAGTCCGCGCCTCGAACAACGCCTTCCCGCGCGCGGCGACGCGCGCCCGTTCCACGGGCCGCTCCATATAATATTGTAACGTCTCCACCAGGTCGTCCGTGAAGACGACGCCCTCCGCATACGCCGCACACTGGTGCTCCACACCACACGCGCCCTCGCTCACGACGAAGGCGCCCGCCGCAAGTAATTTAGCCAACCTAGGCATCTTCCACTCGCGCGTTTTTGTCGAGTCGAAGGCCTTTAAGTCCAAGACGATGGCGGCGCTCAGGATCAAGGCATCCAAGGCCGGCGCAAAAGTGCCGTCGGTTTGGGCGTTGGCATGGAAGATGGGCAGGTCGTTGCTCCGCAACATTTGGAGGGTGCGCTTCCTTCTGGATGTCAACGTACCATAAAATAAAATAGGGATGTCCTTGTCTTGGATCAACCTCGATAGGTCACGATGGGGCCGCCAGGCCGTCGACCAGCCCAGCGGCACGTGTTCCACACGCGTTAACGTCGAGAGGGGTTCGACGTTCGCGAGCGAGTAGTCCCAGACGCGCGCCGCCTTTTTTAGGGTAGCTAGGGCAACGGCCGTGGCGAAGGACCCATGAGCGTTCTGGACGTGGTCCGTTTTTTGGGATGAAGCCTCCGCCACTTCCGTCGCATTTATTACGTTAGGCACGTACTCGAAGTTGAAGGCCACGTCCATTGAAAAGCGGGGCAGGAAGTCCCCCCTCTTCAGCATCAGTGGCGCCATCGTCGCCAGGTCGAGGAACACCTGCAGGTTGTGCGTCGCGAGGTGGATGCGCCTCTCGTGGTCACGAAAGGCGCAGCCCTGCGAGGCGTCGACGCAATGCGTCAAACGTGCTCGTAGGCCCAGCGCCCTTAACCCCCTTACCACAGCTCGCGAGATTTCAAAAAACGTGCCTCTTGTAGACGTATCATCCTCGCCCTGGTGGTAGACGACGACGGCTATGTCGGGACATGTTTCAGCACAGCTGAGCGGCGTTTCCGGCGGGTCCTCTTCCTGAACGTCGTCGAATAGGTGCGCGACGGCCCACCATGCGCGGTAAAACTTAGCGGTCTCGTCTCCCGATAAGCTTGATGGAAAGGCCAGGACGCTATCTCCAGAGATGTCGGGAATGGCCACACCAAACGAACCGTCGCCGCCCCGCGCGTGCCGGATGCGCTCGTGCTCGGCGAGGACCTCATTCAAACTCAATTGTGGTGCAGATTGAGTAGCGACGACGACCACGCTCCCTTCGATGAGTGAGGCTTCTCGAAGCGCCTCGTCTTCCGTACGAGCGACCGCGAGGCCCGACGCGTTTTGGTGAGCCGCCCGTGCACAGTCCATCTCCTTTCCGACAAGCACCAGCAGCGTCCCCGGCCTTTGTAAAGCCCAGTCCGCGTGCTCGCTCGTAATCACAACGGCTCGGGCCACGGGCGCGCCTCTAGCTTCGCGCGCGTGCGCGGCCTCGACCAAGGCGTCGCGCGCGTCTTCACCAATAGCGTGCTTCACGGAGAAGGCCGTGGCCGCGTCGACGACCGAGCCGCCTATTGAGACTTGGAACGCGACTTCGCGCTGCGTGGCGTCGCCGGGCGCGGACAAAAACACGGGCAGCGACAGCGGCGGCGGCGGTTTTGTGAAGAGGGCGTCGGGGCACCAGTCGACGGCTTGTGCTGCCCATGGGAGCAGCCAGGCGAGGGGTCGCATCATCGCATGGCAGCCCCTGCTGCTGGTTGCTCCCAGCACGGCCCGCAGTCGTCCCGGAATCGGTGCGTAAGCTACGTTGGCGAGCTTTTTGGTGCCGTGGGGCAGCCCCAGGTGCTCGTCGGTGGTGCGCTGCGCCGCCTGTTCCAGGTATGGCTAGTGTAGCGACACACTAGACTTTTCGAGCGTCGACGTCTCGCGCGCTCAAATCGACTTTAAATCGCTGCTGACGGGCTAGCGGTCGTTTCCTTGGAGTCCTCCGCCTGGCTTCGGCGGCGGACCCGGACGATCGAACGCTAGCTGCCACAGAGCCAGACGATCGAGACCCCGGTGCCAGCCATGGCGGCGCTCGCGGCCGCGCTACCCACGGCCCATAACGACGACGACGCCGACGACAGCGACGACGACGGCTACGAGGACGACTTCGTGGACCCCGAGGACTACACGGACGACGACTTCCAGAGCGTCGACACGGCCGACGAGGATCCTGATTATGACCCAAAGCTGCCGGAGGTCGCGGACGCGAAATTGCCCGTGCCGCGGCGGCCGCGCCGCGCGGCGCTCGCGGCGGCCGCGCCGCGTGCCTCGGCGCCACCGGCGCCGGCGCCGGCGCCCGTCGCGAGCGCGGCCGCGCCGGCATCGTCGTCGTCATCGTCGGCGCCGCCTCAGCTCATTGAAACTACGACAGAGGCAGCTGAGGCACCCGCACCGGCGCCCGCGCCGCTGACGAACTACGACAAGTGGGACAAGATTGATGATGCGGAGCAGGGGTCGCCCCCGTCGCCGGTCGACCACGCCGGCGCGCTGCCCGCCATGCGCGTTTCCGAAAGGGACGACGGCGGCGTCTCGTTCGACTTCACGACGATGCAACCAGAAGCGAACGACGACTTGGTCACGCTGAATCCGCTCGGCGGCGACGACGTCGACGAACGAAGCCAGGCATCTACCGCCGCGCGACGCCCGACGAGGCGCCGCGGCCGCCGCCGGCGCCGCGCGTGTTAGGTGTCTGCTCCTCATCAACTTGCAGCAAGGACGCGACGCTGCGCTGTGGGGTCTGCAAAGTCGCAAAATATTGCTCTGTTATATGCCAGCGCCGCGACTGGAAACTCCACAAGGCGGTCTGCGCGCCGATCCGGAGCGAAAAGGCGGGGACGCACCTCCGCACGAGCGCCGAATAGTAACTACTGAATGTTAAACACGGCGTCGTAGGCGTCCTTGCGAGGAATACTCGAGCCCGCGGCCGCGACGGGCCAGTGCGTCCGCCCGTTTGTGCGCTGGGGCGCGTTGAGCGGCACGCCCGCCAGCGCGACACCAGAACCCCCTTCCTCAAGAAGCCCGAGGTCCCGCGCGCATTGTATCGGCGTCTTGCCACACCATATGATGTCCGACCAGGCGTCGCTCGCCAGGTCCCGTTGCACCTTGGCGAGGTCCCGTTCGGGTTTGGCGTCGTGGGAAGACTCCACAACAGACGAGCACTCCGTGAAGAAGAGCTCGACGCCGCTCTTTTCCGCGCGGTCGATGAAGGGCTTGTACGTCGCGTTCTTCCGGTTCAGGAGGGGGTTCTTCGATGAGTACGGCTCCCGGACCATGTCCTGGAACGCCTCCGTAGATGAACTCGTCCAGGCGTTCGTGAGGACGCAGAGCATCTTGCGAGGCCGCTCACTCCTCGCCGGCGCCCTCCGCTTCGGCCGCTTCGCCGGCGTCAGGCTCGGCGGCGGGCTCGGCAGCCGCCGGTGCTTCGGCTTTCTTGGGAGCATAGGGGTTCACAAATTCCGTAGGAATCAGTCTATGTTTGGTATAGATGGGCTTGTCGTCGGGATTGGCCCCCAGCGACCGGGTCCAGGCCCGCGTGCAGGCTATTCTAGCTTCGCGGGCCTCGGTCGATTCGTTCGTCGGCGGCGGCACCCTAAAATTCACCTCCCGATGCGGGCCCTGGAGCCACAGCAGCGTCTCGGCCGGGAGCTGCGATATCAACTTCTTCGCGTCGACCTTGCCCTTCGTTCGCGGCGGCGGCGGCTTGGGCGGGTAGCGTTCGATGAGGCGCTTTAAGGGGTCGACGCGCGGCGTCTCGCTCAGGTCCTGGAGGACGGGCTGGAGGCCGACGGGGACGTCGTGGATGGGGTCCTCGGCCATGGGCTGCCCTACGGTGCTTTTGCAGGCTGGCGTTGCGCCGGATGCCGGCTGTTTGCTAGTGTGTTACGGCACGCTAGGTGCGCGCTCGAGCTCGAGACTGTATTGGAGCTTGATTGGCCGTGCACGCAGCGCAGCGTTTTAACGCGAGACGCAGTGATCACCTACCGACACGTCTGCCGCTGCACAAGCGAGCGCGGCACCGCTAAGCAGCACCATGCCCCTATCCGCAACTCTAGAGGGCTCCACCTACGAGTTAGAGGAAGTAGATTTAACTTGGACGCTGCACGAGTTTAGAGATGCTCTAGCGAACGCCTGCGGGTCCTTCAAGATCTTTGACGCGGACGAGTGGCGCGTGCGCAAGGGGCCAGACGAAAAAAAAGACGACCTGGTCGGCGAGACGCTCTCATTGCTCCAGCACGGCGTGCCGCTGGACGCGACCCTAACCGTCGTGCGCGTCGCGGCGTCGTCGCGGCCGCCCGGGACGTCTACGCGGAGGAAACTTGTGGAAGGTCCGCCGCCCGAGTCGTTGACCGCGCGTTTTGATGTTGTGATTGATATTGACGACCAGCCGCACACGAATCAAATTTATGGGGTGCGCACTCGTCTGCGCGACGACGCGTGCGACCGGGAGCTGGAGCGACTGCCGGACGCCAAAAGGGCCGTTTATTTAGCGGTCGACGCGATGCTCAAGGCGGATGAAAAAAGGAGGGTGCTCGACGCGAGCGTTTGTGGTGCTGTGGTTGAGGTGCTGCTCGTCGACGACTGACTAATTGTTTTTGTGGTGTATTTTTCTTTTTTCTAAAGCGTCGTCCGCCTACGCGGATTTCCTGTTATAGTGCTAGGACCCGCGCCGTCGCGATTTCCTTTCACTGCACAGTTCCCTCCAAGCAGAGCCGTCTCGAGGATTATTGTTACGTCTCGGCGACGGATGCTAGTGCCTTACCGACGCTAGATGCGCCTGTTTTTTGGCTGGCTTTTTTAGCGTTGTTTCGCGCTAAACAGGGCTGCGGAAACCGCACGGCTGGGTTTCTGGCTAAAAGCTCTTTATGAACGGCTCAGCCAACCATACGACGCCCGCGAGACGCCGCCGACGTGCTAGCAGACACCAAGCAGCACCGTCCTCGTCGACGCCGTCGCAGCGTAACGGGACGCCGCGGCAGCGTAACGGGACGATGCGCCAAGACAAGCCCCTCCAGCGCTACGCCCATAAGCACAAGCAGGCCCTGTGGCCCCTGACCATCACCGCGTGCTTGATCGGCGGCGCGGGCGTCTTCGAGTTGCTACGGGTCTTCGCCGCGACGCCATGGTGCCGGCCGATCTGCTACATCCTGGTAGGCTTTACACTAGCTCTGAAGGCCTTCTCAGTACATGTGGCCAATGAAGGCGGCCCCATCGCGTTGTTGCCCACACCGTTGAAACGGTGGCTCCTGACCACTTCTGTCTTAGATGCTGCTTCAGAAGTAGCCATGCTCGTCGACTTCCAGCACTGGATCGGCGTGTTTATTCACGCCATCCAGATGCTGCGCTTGGACTCTCACGAGCGCGAGGAAATCCTGCACAAGCTCGGACCTACCATACGAAGGTGGGCGACGCGACCCGGGCTGCTGCGAGCGATCCGGCCCTTGCACGACGCTTTAGTCTGGGAGGAATCGGATGATGACGACGAGGTCCCGGTCGCGCCCCCGTTTCTGAAACGAGTGACCTCACGCCCGACGCCGCCGCGTTCGTCGAGGCCGCGGCCAAGATCAACCCCTGGTCGACGCTCGTGCACATCCTGTCGACGCGGGCCTACCGCTCGTTGCGGGCGAACTTGTCTCCTTCGGCGCTGGCGGTGTCGGCCGCGGTGCCGGCGGGCCTGGTCGCTGCGGTTTTAACGAGGCGGGACCACCGGATCCTCTTGCAGCGGGAGTTCTCGCGCATTATTCTGACGGGCGGCGCCGTCGCGGCGGCCGTGCCGTTCGCCGCGCTAGTGGGCTTGCACGTCGCCCCGGGTCCCGAGGGCCACAACGACCCGACCTCGCCAGTTCCCGAAAGAGGGGTCCCGGCGCTTTGGCCAAAGCTGGTGGTTTGGCGGCGGTCGTCTTTTCGGTCTTCGGCGGGCTCCTGTCGCCGGCGGCGTGGCGGACGACGTTTGGAACGATTGGCGGGGGCTGCGGTAACGGCCTTTGTGAGTTTGACTTTTAACGTTTCGCGTCGATGGCGTGGCGCGCGCTGGGCCATTTTGTCCGCGAAAACCCGTCAAAGACCAATCTCAGTGCCGCCTCTCGCGCGCCGGCGTGGCTGAGGCTGCCCACTTGGCCTGTTGAGCGTCCCGGCGCAGCATCGCGTGATCCCACGATGGAACTGACTGATGATCCCATTGAGAACTCCCAGGACCAACTTGATGCTGTGCCTCAGCAGCAGGAAGGAGAAGACATCGATAACTCCGACGACGAGGCACCCGCCGCGCCTGCAAGTGCACCACCAGTAGCGCCGCCGCCGCCGCCACCTGCACCGCCCGTGCCGCCGCCGGTCTCGCGATCGGCGCCACCGCCTCCGCAGCCGCGGCCACAGAAGAGGGCACGACATTCGTCGTCTGGATCCGCTTTTGAGACCGGCAACCTGCTGTTTGCAAACACGGCGCAACGAAGCGTGCTCCGCTTGGTCCTAGAAGACAAAAAGAACGTGTTCTATACCGGGTCCGCGGGGACCGGCAAGTCATTCACCACCCGCCTCATCATCGGCCGTTCCGAAAACAATACGGAGACAAGTTTAATCGGCGCGTCGCCGTCGTCGCGCCGACGGGCATCGCTGCGGCGAACGTCGACGGCACGACGATTCATCGCGCGGCGGGCGTCGGCGTGCCCGGGCAGCTGCGGGATTTCGGGCGCATCTGGGAGAAGCGCGTGGACGTTCCCGGTTTGTCGCCCGACGAGAAGGCTCCCCTGCTCTGGAGAGAGCTCGAACATCTGATCATCGACGAGCTGTCGATGCTGTCGGGCGAGTTCTTGGATCGGCTCGCTGCGGAGGTGCGCAAGATGCGGGGCGACAGTAGGCCCTTTGGCGGGATCCAGCTGATCGCGTGCGGCGACCTCCTCCAGCTGCCGCCGATCGAGAATAGTTACGAGCCGGATCAGGGCGTCGAGTTCGACGCCGATAATCCCGCGGACGTGACAAATCAGCTGGGCCCCCTCTTCTGCGCCCGCGGTCGCTGCTTCGAGGCGCGATGTTTCTGGGACGCGAGATTCCACTACGTGAAGCTGACGGAGTGCTACCGCCAGGCGGACCGCGTCTTCAGCGGAATTCTCGACAGAATCCGCGTCGGCGACGCTTCTGATCGCGAGGAGCTCAACGAGAACTGCCTACGACCGGCGGGTCCGGGCCTGACGTTATTTCCACGCAACCGCGAGGCCGATGCGCTGAACGACAGGAAGTTCAGAGCGCTGGAGGGCACTGCCGAGACCTGGGCCGCGACCGACGCCGTTTGCCTGTTTCAAGAGGCTGACAAAATTTCGCGAGCGAACGCCGTCGATATCGTATCCGACTGTTTCAAAGACTTCCTGGCGATTGATGAGGTACAGCTCAAGGTCGGGTGCCGCGTGCTAATGCTCGCCAACGTCGACCCCAAAGCATCGCTCTTCAACGGCGCCCAAGGCGAGGTCGTCCGCTGGGCGACGCCGGACGAGCTGTTTGCGCGCGCCATATCCGACGCGGAGACTCTCGCGGAAGATTGCGAGGTCTGGAGGACGGTAGCTACGGCCCTCCGCGGCGGCAACGCGAAAGCCGCACAGGACGCTCTGTGGCGGCGGCCCGGGGCGTCAATGAGTCAGAATGTGGACGTGGCCCCGTTCACGCGCGATGACTACATGGCGGCGAAGAGCCACGTGAAGCGTCGAGACCGCTGCGCGGCGGCGTGGCTCGTGGATCGGCTGGTTGAGGGCGCTCGCGTGCCGGTCTGTCGCTTCGAGGGGCAATCAGAGGTCATTGTCACGGCGACGTTGTTCGAGCGGGAGGTTGCGGGTATCGGCGTCGCGAGGCGGAGGCAGATGCCCCTACGGCTCGCCTGGGCGCTGTCCGTCCACAAATCTCAGGGCATGGGATTGAAACAGGTAAGGTTCGACCCTGCGAAGACCTTCGACGACGGCCAGGTGTACGTGGCGCTCTCGCGCGCGACGACAATGGAGGGCCTCTCGCTCGTGTCTCGGGTTCTGCCGCGGCACCTGCGATGCGATAGCCGCGCGTTGCGCATGATTCGGTACCTCGATAGCCTCCTTGCGGATGGCGCCGCCGACGTCCAGCTGCCCGCGAATCCGCCGGAGGATCTCGTTAGGACTTGGGAGCAGCGGCCTCCGAAGATCCGGAGACGGAGTTCTATGGCGCGCGCGATAGGGTCCTCGTTGTTTTAAGTATGATTGTTGTGGTGTGGATTTTACTCAGTCGCGAACGGGTCCTCGTCAGGACCACTCCGCCGTTCGCTAGCGTCAGACACACTAGCAAGTCAAGGTGCCTCGCGATCGGCGTCTACGCCCGTAGCCTCATACCGTCTCCACGCAAGCTCAAGAAGTCTCCAAAGCCGGTATAAATGATCCTCACACACTGCGCCGCCTGCGCCGCCCCGCTGGGCCTAGCCTTGGGGAAGAAATGCGGCCGCTGTAGCACACGCTACTGCGGGCCTGCGTGCCAGGAGCAGCACTGGAAAGAGGGCGGCCACGACCAGCTCTGCAAATTGATTAAAAAAGCTGGCGGCGCCGAACAGTATAATGCCAACACAAAGTACACGGAGGCAGTATCGGTCGCGGCGGAGGCGTGCGCGGAGGACACGAAGGGCCAGACGTGCTACATCTGCACGCAGGCCCTCCATTGGAAGACGAAGGAGGGTCTCGTGCGCATGTGTGCGTGCCGCGGGACGGCGGGTTTCGCGCACGTGTCGTGCCTGGCGGAGCAGGCGAAGATTTTAGTGGATGATGCAGAGGAGAGGAATCTGGACTACGAAATCAGGGATTCGAGGTGGGCCCGGTGGACCGCGTGCGGCCTGTGCGAGCAAGAGTACCACGGCGTCGTGTTGTGTGCGCTCGGGTGGGCGTGCTGGAAGACCTACGTGAGCCGGCCAGAGGACTCGAATACGATCCGGACTTGTGCGATAGGAGTTCTTGCGCATGGACTTGGGGATGCGGGGCGTCACGAGGAGCGGCTTCAAATCCAACAGACACAGTTTTCCACTCAAATGCGCTTGGGCTTATCAGAGCAAGAATTGCTGGCCACGAGATGTAACATTGCGGTATGCTTAGAAGAACTCGGGCGTGACGAGGAGGCCCTAGCATTACGCCGCGAGTGTTATGCCACGTCGAAGCGGCTTAACGTAGCAAATCCTGGTGACTTATACATCGACGTGCTAAACCTTTCCAAGTCGTTACTCGACACACACCGTCACACTGAGGCGAGGTCATTTTTACGAGAGCAGCTCCCCAAGGCACGACGCGCGCTCGGTCCAGCAGATGACACACTTTTCAAGCTTCGCTGGAATTACGCCCTTTCTCTTTGCGACACTGGCGCTTCCCGAGAAGATGTGCTCGAGGCTACGACTCTTCTTGAGGAGCTATCCTCGACGGCGCAGCGGGTCTACGGGCCCTCGAATCCCGTAGCCGCGGGCGTCAAGAGAGACCTCGCGCACGCACGGCGAAAGCTCGCATCGTCCACTGACTCCTGAGGTCCGCGCCCGCATTCTAAGAGAATCCACTATACTTTACTCAGTCGCGAACGGGTCCTCGTCCGCGTCGCGGTGCCAGGACCACTCCGCCGCCGCCGCCACCTGTTCCGCCTCCTGACGGACGTCTTCGCGGCCGAGCCCTACGAGCGGTCGCCGAAGAAAAAACAACGCGTAGCCTGACTGAGGCCTCAAGTCGGCGGCTCGCGCGCCAGAAAGCTCGAGCCGACCGCCTCCGCGGCCCGGGACCACGACGGACCGGACCCATTATCTTATCCCCCCCCACCCCAATCGCGAACGTCGTGCACATATGCCTATTTGGTCGCGGCGGCCTCCTCCCCCGGGCCCGCCGCGCCGCCGCGAGAAGCGTCCCGCGGTGTCCATATAAAACTTTATCTTAGTATGTCTCCTCGCGCGGCGTACGAGCCCGCGCCTCGTCGATGGCGTACCGTGGCGTTTAGACTGCGGCGCGCCCCAATGATTCGCCTACGGTCCCCCGGGCGTCATCGCGGCCACCATGTCGCAAACGGAGCTCACGTCGCGGCCGCCTTCGCGAGCGGCGAGCCTGTCTCGCGCAATTCGCAAGTCGTGCTCAATACCCACTACAGCCGGGTTTGCGGCACCGAGAACGCGCCGCGCGGTCCGTGCTGTCTCCTTGAGCGTAGTCTCGGCCTCGCGGAGTTCGTCGAGCGTGGCGCCGGCGTTCAGGTAGAGCGCCCTCGCGTAATTCCACCTCATCTGGAGCGTGAGCTCATTACTCTCGCCGAGAATGCGTCGCGCCACGGGCATCTCTTTGCGTAGCAGCGTCCTGGCTTCTTCGAAGCCTCCTAGATGGACAAGGGACGACGCGTAGTTCAGGGCTGTTACGAGGGTCTTTGGACATTCTTCGCCCTCGAGCCTCAGGGATCCAGAGTATACCTTTTGCTGCATACGCAGGGCCTCTTCAAATCGTCCAAGCTGTCGATATGAGAGCGCAAGATTGCTCTGCGCGGCGAGTATATTGGCTTCTGGTGCGCCAAGGCGCCGCAGCATAGCCAACTCGGCCATCCTTACGGACAACGCGTCCTTGTCGTGATCTCCACCGTGCAAACCGTTCCCAAGCTGCCTCAACGCCAGTACCCGAACCACATCCTCCTCCGGCCGCCCCAAGTATGTCTTCCAGCACGCCCACCCGAGCGCGCACGCCACGACGCCGTGGTAGTCTTGCTCGCACAGACTGCACGTGTACCACCGCGTCCACCTTTCAGTCTTCGCCTCGTGATCCAAATTGCTCTCCTCGACTTCCGCGACCAAAATCTTCGCCTGCTCCGCCAGGCACGACACGTGCGCGAAACCCGCCGTCCCGCGGCACGCACACATGCGCACGAGACCCTCCTTCGTCTTCCAATGGAGGGCCTGCGTGCAGATGTAGCACGTCTGGCCCTTCGTGTCCTCCGCGCACGCCTCCGCCGCGACCGATACTGCCTCCGTGTACTTTGTGTTGGCATTATACTGTTCGGCGCCGCCAGCTTTTTTAATCAATTTGCAGAGCTGGTCGTGCCCGCCCTCCTTCCAGTGCTGCACCTGGCATTCAGGCCCGCAGTAGCGCGTGCTGCAGCGGCCGCATTTCTTGCCCAAGGTTAGCCCAAGCTCGGTGGCGCAGACGGCGCACTGCGTGAGGATCATTTACAGCCTCGGGCAGCCCGATGGCGTCGATACAAGCTCCCTTTTTACATGGAGGCCAGCCAGGCCACCGCGAACCCGAATTTGACGATTTAAAAAAGCAGGCGTTGATTCGACCGTTTTCCCATCGCCGCACCGCGCGACGCGCGCGCGGTCGCCCGCGAAGGACCCCCAGATGTGCTGCCATCTTAAAAGCTGCCGCACCGGCTGGCCGCTTTGGGGCTGCTCGTCGCGCACGCAGCAGCCGCCAGGCACGCGATAGGCCTTCGCGCACGAGGCCTCGCAACGACTCTGCGCTCGGGACCACTGCCCACGGACGGAGCGGCCCTGGGCAGCGTGTAGCAGCAGACACCCATACGCAAGATGCCGGCCGAGGCGAAGGATGACGCCGCTCCGAAACGTAAATCGGAGGGCATCACCGTGTTTTTAAGGATGCGCCCGACGAAGCACCCGTCGAAGTTTTATGACGTGGGCGACAACGAGGGCAAGGGCCAAAGTCTGAGGTGGGACATTCCCCCAGACGCGGTGACCAAGGACGGCGAGTACATCAACAACACGAAGACGCAGTGGGCTTTTAAATTTGATCAGGTCTTGCCCATGGACATCTCGCAGGCGCAGGTGTTCGACCGCGTCGGGAAGCACGTCGTCCAGAACGCATTGGATGGCTACAACTCTACCGTGTTTGCGTATGGCCAGACCGGTTCGGGCAAGACCTTCACGATTACTGGTGGTTCCGAAAGATATGAGGATAGAGGTATAATACCAAGAGCTCTCAGTATGATCTTCCAGGCCTTTCGGGAACGGTCGGATTGTAGCTGGTCCGCCCATGTGTCGTATATGGAAATATATAATGAGCAGGGCTTCGATTTGTTAAATGAATCTTCCGGAGCGAAAGCATTGCAAGATTTGCCGCGGGTGCGCATGATGGAGGACGAGCACGGCAACTTCCATCTGAGGTCCGCGACGCAGCGTGGATATTGAGCCTTACGCCATCGACGCGACTCGTCTCCAGGAATGATGGCGGTGGGTGGTCCCGTTTTCGATTTTGAGCTGTTTCGGACCGCGTCGGAGAGTACGCTGTCGCGTCGATGGCGTCTTCGAGACCGTGTCCACGCAGGAACCTCTCCATGCACCGCGCCACCAGTGAAGAGGAGGCCCTCAATTTGTTATTCTTGGGAGACACGAACCGGGCCATCAGTGAAACCGCGATGAACCAGGCGTCGTCCCGAAGCCATTGTTTATTTACCGTATTTTTGGAATGTCGGGGCGCGGGCGGCTCCGACAAGGTCCGCCGATCGAAATTACATCTCGTGGACCTGGCGGGGTCCGAGCGCGTCCACAAGACGAAGAGCGACGGCATCACGCTCAACGAGGCAAAGTACATCAACACCTCATTGTTTTATCTCGAGATGGTCATTGTAGCTTTGAATGAGAAGAACAAAAAAGCTCGGGACCACATTCCTTATAGAAACAGTATGATGACTTCCGTTCTCAGAGATTCATTAGGAGGCAACTGCAGAACAGTTATGATCGCGACGTGCTCCGCGGAGAAGCCCCAGACCGAGGAGTCGATCTCTACGTGTCGCTTCGCGCAGCGGGTGGCCCTGGTGAAGAACGACGCTGTCCTTAATGAAGAGACGGATCCTTCCGTCACGATAGCACGGTTGAAGAGCGAAGTTTCGACATTACGAGCGGAGATCGGCTACTTGAAGGGCGAAGCGGGCGAGGGCGACGAGCTGACCGATGCGGAAAGAGCTGAGTTGCATAGTGCGTGTGAGGTCTACGTGAAGTCGCGGGACCCGGACGAGACGTTGCGCGTCGCGCCCTTGACGTTAACGCGCATCCGGGACTGCTTCGCGCTGCTCAAGAACATGGTCCTCCAAGCTTTAGCTTCGCAAGGCACCGGCGGCTCGACGGACGAGCAGTTGAAAGCTACTCTGAAAGAACGCGACAACGAGATCGCCATTTTGGTGAACATGGTCCGCCAGGCGCGCGGCGGCGGGACCGCGCCGACGCCCTCCATCGCGAGCGAGGCGAAGGAGTTCTCGCCACCTTCGTCAGAGAAGAAAGCTGAACCTGTCCGACGGCTGGACCCGCGGGAGCAGTTAGCTGAAGACCGCGCGAGGATGAAGCATCGGTTGCCCGATGAGGTGGCAGGTGTCTCCATCTATGTGGACGATGCGGAGGTGCGAGACGATCCGAAACGAGCTTGGTTGTATTTCCGCGAGAAATGTAGAATAGCCCACGTCCTCGAGGACAACAAACGCGTCCTGAAAGAAAAATACTGTGAGGCCAAAGCGTGTGGCGAGAAGGTCAACGCCACGCGGAAGGCCATTGCGTATTTGAAGCAATCTATAGAGGCTATTCGTAGAGAAAGAGCAATAGAGGGAGTGGTCAATGAGGACGACCTCCAAAAGGCCGACCCGGAGGAGCAGCGGAAGATCGACGCCATCGCCCAGGAGAAGGAGGTCTACAAGCAGAACTTTGAATCATTGAGACGCTTAAAAACTGAGATCGAGCATGTGCAAAAAATGTTGGAGTCAGGTCGGAAAAAATTGCAGAAGGAGTACGACGAGTGGTACGCCCACGTTTTAAGGAGGGGGCACAACAAACAACCGACGAACGCGTGGGCGACGCCGCCGGCCTCGCCCGCGCAGTCCGCGGTGTCGCCCACGCAGTCGTCGCAGCCCAAAGAAGAGGACGACAACGAGGACGTCCGAGCATTTTATGCCGCGAAGGCGGAACTGGAGGCTCTTAGGGCGAAGCAATAACGGGATCTTGTTTAATTATTAAGGTTAGGCCTAGCGTCGACGGCGTCGGGCGCCGAATAAAATAGCGCTTCGTCAGACAAATGTCAGCAGGAACGGCAGCGGCGAGAAGCCCATGACAACCAGGACGACGAGCTTGACGATGTGCTTTCGCAATCTAGCGATTGTCAGCCGCGCCGCACAACCGACCCGCGCGAGCGGCCGTTTCTTCGTCAGACATGCCGCTCGAATGACCGCCACGGTGTCTTTGGCCAGGGGCGCGACCTGTGTGGACATCAACCGGTATGCGTCGATGGCGTGGGGCGCCCGAAATTTGATTTCCACACAGGGCGCGACGGGCTCGGGCGGCCGGCGCAGCGCGGCGCGGCGCCGCGACTCGCGCGACAGCGCCGGCGCCGCGCCGGCGAACACACAAGCAAACGCGACGGCGCCCGCGGCGAAGAGGTAGCCGCGCCGCCGCCGTTTAGCGGTCGGCGAATTCGCGGCGTCGTCGAGGCCGAAGGCTAACAGCAAATGTTTGGAAGGCGTAGTCGGCGTCGACGGCGTCCTCTGTAAGCTGCGCCAGGACTCGTCCCTGACGACCGGCGGTCGTTCGACGGTCGCGGGGTCCCAGGAGACCTGGCGCCTCACGGGCGTCTGCATCGCGGCGCGCTCCGCGGCCTCGAGGCGGTCTAGCAACGCTTCGAGGCGGCGCTTGGCCTCGGGGTCGATGGTGGCGCGCGCGAGCGTGTCGCGCAGGTCCGCCCCATCGAGGTTAGTGCCGCCGTTGGGCATGCGCACGGGCGTCCGCAGCGTCGGTGGCGTTTGGAGAGGCGTCTCCGCGGCGAAGTCGGCCAGCGCCCTTTCCTGTGGCGTCTGCGGAACGGCAACTTCCTCGCTGCGCAGCGCCGTAGGCGTGCTCGCCGCGGCGGGCGAGTAATAGATGCTCGCTGGCTTGGATTTGCGGGGCGTTTCTTTTTTCTTGCGACGGAAGAGGCGCTTCATGGCTGTGCTGTGGCGCTAGCCCAACGATGGCGTACGCGGCGCGTTTTATGCAGCAACTTTTTTGAGTCTGTGCGGTTTTGGGTCTTAGCAGGCTCCAAAACGCTTGAAATTTAGGCAGCAGTTGCAGCAGGCCGTGATATGGCTGCCAGATGTGTAAAAACTGCTCCTGTTGCCTGTAATGCCTCTTTTTGGCTCAGAGCAAATTGCTTGCCAAAAAACCTGATTTGATTGCGTAATTAATTCGTCCTGCGTTGCGCCTTTTATCTATCTCAGGGGGCCTACATTGACTAGGAGACGCATGCTAAGCACCTCTCGAGCTCGCCTCGACGACAAGCATCAAGCATCCACTCAGCCTGGATTTGGACCACGATTGCGGCCGCTATATCGACGCGCCTTGCAAGCATTCATCGCGAAACGATACTACGGCTACTCGCGAACGAATAGCTGCAGCAACAGCAGCGAAATAGACAGCTACAGAGCAGCAATAACACCTAGGTGGGCACAGCTCTCACAGAGGACAGGACACGAATCGCATTACGATGCCAAAACACCAAATACTGCTCCTGGCGACGACAGCCACCGCGCTGCGCCTGGCGCCGCGCCGCACCGTCGTCCGCATGGCCACCACCACCGAAGCCGAGACAAGGCCGAAGGTCGTAGTTGTGGGAGGCGGCTGGGGCGGCTTCGGCGCCGCATTGGCTGCGGCAGAAAATAACTGCGACGTCACTTTGATTGATGCGGGCGACCCGACGAGCGGCATGACGACGGACAGCGGCAAGCCGTTCGAGCCCGGCATGAGGGGCTTCTGGAAGGACTACCCGAACATCAATCAATTAGGAGACGAGCTCGGTATTGAGGGAGCGTACACGGACTTCACGGAGAGCAGTTTCTTCTCGCCCGATGGTCTCGAATGCACCGCTCCTGTGTTTAGTGGTAGTAGGGAACTACCTTCCCCACTCGGACAGGTCTTCGCGTCGTTCGACCGCTTCAAGAGGTTGCCTCTGAGAGATAGAGCGTCGATCGCGGGACTATTGGCGGCGATGCTCGACTTCAACAGAACGCCGGAAATTTTTGACCTTTATGATCGGATGACGGCGTACGAGCTCTTTCGGCGCGTCGGCGTCACGAAGCGACTCGTCGATGATTTTCTCAGGCCTACTTTGTTGGTGGGGTTGTTCAAGCCGCCCGAAGAACTGTCGGCAGCCGTCACGATGGAGCTGTTGTACTTCTACGCCTTGGCGCACCAGACGTCCTTTGATGTCCGATGGCTCGCTCGTGGGACGGTCCAAACGACTTTGCTGAAGCCGCTAGCTGATCGATTAGTAGAGATGGGTGTAAAAATAAAACCGAGAACGTTCGTCACGCAACTCACGTACGAAAATGAGCAAGTGACGTCCGTAAAAACGAGCGAGGGTTCGGTGGCCTGCGACGCCGTCGTGCTCGCTTTAGGTGCAGGGGGCATGAAGCGCGTCCTAGCTTCTTCTACGGAGCTGTCGAAGGCAGCGCCGGACCTAGCAGCGTCGGCCTCATTGAACGCTATTGATGTGGTCGCCGTGCGACTCTGGCTCGATCGTACTGTCAAGACAGATACACCAGTAGGCGTTTTTGCCAAGTTTCCGGAGCTACGCGGTGCTAGACCTGTGTGGAAATCGACCAAGTCATTTCTCGGCGACGACGCGGCCGTTCTGGTTCCGTCGAGCTGTCGCCACGCCATCGAGGTGTCGCGTCGATGGCGTGGAGGTCGACGCGAAACGCGCCGTAAAATTTTGATTTCCACACAGGCGCGGGCGGGACCTTCTTTATGTTGGACCAGCTCCAGAAAGATAATTTGGAGGAGTTGTGGGGTGATGATGACGTGCAGGGTTCCGTGTTGAGTGCGGACTTTTACAATTCGGGTGCGATCGCGCCTCTTTCTGATCAAGCGATCGTCGAGCTCGAGATGAAGTTACTCTCAGAGGCCTATGCTGGGTTCAAGGACGCCAAAGTCGTCGATAGCTGCGTCAAGCGCTACCAGGGCGCCGTGTCGTGGTTCTCGCCTGGCTCGTTCTCGAAGCGGCCGCCCCTCGCTACTTCGGTGAAGAACGTCTGCTGCGCGGGGGACTGGGTGCGCATGGGGTCTCGAGAGCACGGCGCGAAGGGCTTGTGCCAGGAACGAGCTCTTGTTTCTGGATACGAGGCGGCGAACGAATTGGCTTCTCGCGGAGTCTTGAACGGGAACCGGCGCATGAAGCAAAGGCTGGAGATCCGCGACGACGAGCCGGCCTACACGATGGGCGTGCGCGCGTCGTCCGTGATCCAGGGGGCCCTCGATCGACTGGGTGTTGGGTCTGTATGGGTCCGCTAAGTTAGTTGTGTTTCTATAATGGTCTCGTCGATGGCGTGCTGCGGCGATGTCGTTCGGCGCTGCAGCCTCGACCGTAGGCAGGCAACCAGTAGCGCTAGTGTTACGGTGCTAGGACTAGTCGAGGCAAACAGCAAAGGCACGAAGGCACACAACTAAGCGATGCGGCAGCCGCCCTCCTCCTCTTTCTCGACGATGTCAGACTCCTCAGCGGGCGCCTCGACGTCCTCACCATCCGCCGACTTCGAGCGCGGCCGCCGTTTCGGGCCGCCCCGGCCGCCCACGGCGCGCTTGTGCGTCGACTCGCCCGCATCACTGTTCACGAGGTGGAACCAGCACAACGCGAAGAGCGCGATCACGAGGCACATGACGATGGCGAAGAGCATGAGCTTCATGCGCGTGCTGCTCTTTTCGAGTCTACGGTGGCCGGCCTCGTTTTGCATCAATGCGTCCGCCGCGAACTGGAGCGCGTCCATGGCGTCGGAGATCATCGTCGCTCACCTATGGGTCGCAGCTGTGCGGTCGTCGCGCGTGCGGCGCGTATGCGTATGCAACTCTCTGGGAAGCAATTTTTGTCTGCCTTGGGGCAGCGCGCGCGGCAGCCCGCGTATTGAGGCGCGCACCGCGAATTGTTCACGTACCTTCCTTGGGCCGCAGCGGCGTATAGAGTGCGATCCGACCGATGCTGTCACGGTGCTTTTTGGTGCAAAGTGCGGGGCTGCGATCCTCGTCGAACGGGAAGAGTCGTCGCGCGGCTCGCCATAGCATTCTTCGGCGCGCCCGAGAGTTGTCAACGGAGCATCCTCGTGGCGGCCGGAGCAAAACTGAGCAATCCGGAGAGAGAGCTGCCTCTCGGCGCGGCGCCGCAAAAGCACGGACCGCAAGGCAATGCCGGTCGAGGGCAGCCCCGACGAGCCGTTGCTGCCATCGATGCGTGCCGTTGTGTGCTAGCCGTACATATATGAGGCTGCTATGGGGCTGCTCTCTGAGTGTCGTCATGCGAGACATTGAGTGACACGAGGCGTATGATGAGGCTGCTGTCTGTGGGCGTGCTCGCGCTGGGCCCGATATCTGCGGAGGCGAACGGCTGCTACTGGACGAAAGTAGTCGTAGAAAACAACGTAAAAACGGTGCACAAGGGCTTCCGCGACCCCTTGAAAAGGAGAGGCTGCCGCTGGAATCATGATAGCGGACTGAGACCGCCCGAGGCGTATGCGCTGGAAGTGGCCATCTTGGAACGCTTAAACGAACCGCGCAACGCCAGCCAATGTACCGGGAGGTACTTTCCGCGGTTGTTGCGGCGGCACGACAACAATCTAAGCTTCGTGCAGTCGTACGACGGGACGAACTTGTTGGAGAGCCCGTCGACGGCGCAATGCTCATTATCAAACGAGGACCTGACGCGCTTCGCGACGTGTGCGGAAGCGTTACTGGAGGCGGCGCACGTCGTCCACTACGACCTCAAGGCCAAAAACACCGTCATCTCTGGTGACCAGCTGACGGCCATCGACTTCGACCTGGCGACGCTGGATGGACGGCCGTCGCTCACGGACTTGAGTGATAGGCGCTACCGGACGCGGACGCGGACGGCGTACGGCCCCGCGCTGCGGGAGGCGCGCGCCGCGCGGTGCGCGCTCGAGCGTCGGTCCGCGGTGCTCCGTGATCGAGAGGTGCGCGGCCCGACGCACGTGTCGGCGCGCCTGCGGCAGCGCCGCGAGGCCGTCGAGGCGGCGCGCGGCCGGCAGCGCGACTTCCGCCGGGACCAGTCCCAACGTCTCGCGGCGGCGCGGCGGCAGTCGAAGCCGCCAGACGATCCGTCGTAAGAGCCTAGACCTAGCGTGCGGGTGCCAGCTCTCCGACGGAGGCGCCGCGGCGCCACGGCAAATAGACGCCACCACGACACACGACGGGGCGCGCACGCCGCCGCCGCGAAGCCTAAGGACACGGGGGCAGCGCCACCGAGGGCGCCGCACCGCCCGCGGCCGAGCACGCAAGGGGCAGCCCCACAACGCCAAGGAGCCAATCGGTCGCAACGCTAAGGGATGTACAGCACGCGGGGCAGCACGCGCGCCAACTGGGCCCACGGCCACACGCGCAGCGCCCTGGACCCCTCCATCAAGCTCCAGGGCTACCCTAATACTTACTCAGCCATCGGCGAGTTCCACCGGCAGGACCTAGATCGGCACGCGCTGGATCCTTTACATAGGCCGTTCCGGGACCACTCTAGAAGGAGAGAGTACCCGTCGGAGACGCGGCTGTGCCCGGACGTCCCTGTGCAACTCGAACCGCGTTTACCGGACGACGGAAGGCGAGCTGGCTGCCCTTTGAAAGGCAGTCTATCCAAGAGCAGGAGTTCGAAGATGTATTGGATGAACTAGACCAGCGCTTCAACGTGCTCGGCGCGGTGTGCTAGACGTAGACGATCAACTCTGAGAATATCGAAGCAGGACCAGGAGGACAATACCGTGTATGAGGACTTCGCGGAAGAGGACGAAAAAGTAGACGTACTGGCGTTGAAGAACGCGTCGCGCTTCGGCGACCCTTCTACAAACTTAAAGAAGGACAAGGACACGCTCCAAAAGATGGAGGACTACTTTTCGTCAAGGGCTACTTTCGAGGAGCCGGGGTCGAGGCCGGGATCCGCTGGAAGTAGACCCGGCTCGTCGAGACCAGGATCTAGACCAGGATCGCGCGGATCGTCTAGGGGAGGCTCTAGGCCATCTTCTCGAGCGCAGCAGCGCGCCGCCGAGGCTAGAGCAAAATATTCGCAGCCTAGAGATGAATGGGACTTGAGGATGAAAAAATGGATCGACGGGAACCGGAGGCGCATCCAGGCGATCGAGCGAGAGAATGCAGAGTATGAACGGCGCCTCTCACTCCGAAACTCGCGCATGAGCCGCGGCAGTTTGGACGACCGACGGCGGTCCCAGTCGTCGCTGCTCGACGCGCCGCTGGGCCTGCTCGGCGACACGACACAACACGCGAAGACAGAAGTCGAGCCGCGCAGCACGATGGCGTTTATTAAGACCTAAATTATAACTCGCCGTAGGCGCTCGAGACCGATCGTTTTCGACGGTCCCGTTCTTTCTTTCTTTTAGCTAGGTCGCGCTTGCGCTTGAGGAGGTCCTTGCGCGCCTGGCGCTGCGCTTTTAGGTTGTCCGCTTTCGTCGCTTTCTTGCCCTCCTCGTGCTTGCGGCGCTGCCACTCGCGCTGCTGCTTCGTGCGCCTGCGTTGTTACGCTCGTGTGTGGGCCCCGCGCCGGCGACGCGACGCCATTCTGCGACGTTGTCCACCCCCGCACGCCATCGATGCGACGCCCTTCGCTGCTCGACGGCGCGTCTCTCGGCCGGCCGCGCTCGCCGCGACTGCGATGAGACGCCGCATCCGCACGCCTTCTGGTGCGCGCGCGCCTGGTTCATGATGTGCTGCGCGTGGTGTTCCCGCGCGTGGGGCTGCGCCGCCGCTTGTACGAGCAGGGCCGCAAGCCAGAAGAATATGAGGGGCTGCCCCAGCGCTGCGAAGCGCCGCCGTCGGCGCCGCCGGAAGTCGCGCATGGGTAGCATGGCTGCCGCAGTGTGTTTTTGAAGCAAATGGGCAGCAATGTGGCTCAAAATCGGTCCGCTGCGCTTGAGATCTCGACGAACTGCACGGGTTTTCTGCGCGCGGACCCGAAACTCGGCCAGGAGGCGGCGTAGCGCGCCTCCCTGCAGTCTCGCAAAGTTTGCAAGGCCGGGGTGGAGGGGCACTCATTTGAGCAAGGCATCTCAGAGAGGCCGCGCGCATAGGCTGTAACAATAACACACTGCAGCCCTTCGACGCGTTCGCAGCGGAAAGCGCGAGCTATCCATACGCCAAAGCGATGCCCGCGAAGAAAGCCGCCGCCGGCACGCCTGCGGCGAGGTCGCCGCCCCCAAAGTCGGCGCGCCAGGAGGTGCGGCAACTGCGCGGCGAGCTCGAGGATCTCTTGCAGGACATCGACGCCGACGACGCGGCGCCGGCGCCCGGGCCGGGCGTCGTCGACGCAGCCATTTTTGATTCCGGCGACCACGATCGAGAAAGTTTAGCAAGGGAAGCGCTGCGACGAGCATTAGCCCAGGAGCAGGACGCGCACCGGCGGACCGCTGCTGGTGTTGACAGTGTGAGGCTGGAGGCGGAGGAAGCGAGGGCGCACTTCCAGGTCGCGCTCGCGACGGAACGAGCAGAAACGGTCAGACTGAGGAGTTTAGTGAGGAAGCTCTCGGTCGCCTCGTCGGGCCAAGCTCTGGTAGATGACTACGAACGCCAATTGGAGAAGCTCAAGAAGCGCAACGCGCGGCTGCAACGTAGGAATGTGCAATTGGAACTGGCGCGACGCTCGTCTACAACAGCAAAACCGACGCCACTGCTGCGCGTCGCGAAGCGCCAGGCCAAAGAACTGAAAAGGCTGGAGACGGAGAACGACTTGCTGAAGAAGAAGAACCGGAAGCTGCCTCTTGCTTTACGGATAGCCAAGTCGCAGACGTCCGCGCGACGCCGAGAACGAACGAGGTCCAATCTCACCAAAAATTGTTAGCTGATGAAAGATTAAGGGCGCGGCGTTGCAGGGTCGCAACGAGCTCTTGGAGGCGGAACTGAGGCTGTGCCAGAGCGACATCCGAGATTTGTCTTCGGATCGGGCCGCGCTTGTAGCTAAATTAGGCCAGCTGCGCGACTTCGTGAACGCTCTACCGGCGGCGCGGTTTTCTGATTATCAGCAGGACGAGCCGAAGCGGGGCGGCGTGCCGCCGCCTCCTAGACGGCGGAACTTCGCGGCGCCCGGGCCGCCGCGGCCGCCGGTCGGGCCGCCGCCTTGCGACGAGGCGCGTTAGTTTTCGGGTAATGGTAGTTTGAGGTATGCTTCTGTGGTGTGGGCGCGCGGTGGGCCACCTTTGTGTCTAGTTTTTGCACCGCGCCGCCGCGCGCCGGCCGATGGCTGGCCAACGCGCCGCCGCCGTGGTTTGTAGGCGTACAGGGGACGGCTCTGGGGCCGCCCGGCGAGCTTTGAGCGGGAAATAGGGGGGTCGGCCGCGGAGGCTCGATTTGGGTGCGCCGTCAAGGAGGTGAGACCGCCCTATTTACTCGGTGCCTGACCGTGCATTATTCATTCGCAGCCCGTTTTCGAACTCTCTTATGGATCATCTACGGCTCGTAGCTTTTGCGTTGCGTGACGGCGGCGGCAAACAGAGGACCGCCTGCTCATCTGCTCATGGCTGGATGGCCTATTGCGGGCCATCCTAGCCGTGCGGCGCGCAGCTGTCGGGCCTCCGTGACGGCGCCGCTCGCCATGGACGCACTGCTCACTTCGTCTCGGCCGAAGGGCCTCCGTTCGCATGAACGGTACGACCTCGGACAGAGCGCGCCAGCGGAGGCCGGCCGCCCTGCGCGGCGCGCCACCTTGACGCCAGTCGGCGTGGCCTCGGCCCCAGTCTGACGCGCCTGGACGCTGCCAGGCTGTCTAGACCGTCCTTGGGTGAGCCACGAGGGCGGCCGCCTCCGGTCGCCATGGCGAGAGGCCTCCACACACCCCAGTCGCGCGACGTCGACGCGCGCCGCCGCCGGCACCCCACTCACCCCCTACGAACGAAACGCAGGTCGTCACGATGGCGCGGACCGTCGCGGCGTTGGCCCTCGTGGCCGGGGCCTCCGCCCTGGTGGCGCCGGTCTCGAAGGTCTCGAAGGTCGTCGAGAAGTACACGGACTCCACATTAAAATCGTCGCCGGGCGGCTTCATGGAGCAGGGCACGGAAATGTTCCAGGAGCAGTTCCCCGAATTTAACAGCTATGGCTGGGGCGTGTCCGTCAAGGCGGAACGGTGGAACGGGCGCCACGCCATGTTCGGCTGGGCCTTCATCATCGCGACGGGCTACTGCAAGGCCCACGGCCTCATCCCCGACCCCGAGAAGCTCTTAGATTTCAAGCAGTGGGGCACGCTCGCCATCATCTCCGGCGGCAAGGGCGGCGGCATCACGATCACGAACGAGCGCGCGTGCATCCTCGTCGCGAACATCCACTTTTTGGTGGTGTCGCTGTGTGCCGCGTTCTGCCCGCTCCCGTTCCAGGACACGCTCCTCCTCGAACCGGGGGAGCCCGACGAGGAGCCCGCCGGTCTGGTGCCGGCCTTCGACACCGGATTAACCCCCGCGGCGGAGCTCTGGAACGGCCGTTTGGCGATGCTCGGCCTCATTATCTTCTCGGCGTACAGCATGATCTACCAGATCCCGTTCCTGAACGCCGTGGACAACGCGCTCGGCGGGTTGCTGCTGGCGCCGGCGGGCGGCGCTGCGGCGGCGGTCGCGGACGTGGCCGAGGCCGTGGCCGAGGCGGCGCCGGTCGCCTAGAGAGTTCCTGGTGGTGGGGCTCGTGTAACAGACATTCGTTCTAGTCTCTTCTTGCCGCGGCGGCGGCGTGCTGGCCAGGACTTGACTTCCAGAATTTCTGCGGCACGGGTTTTTTTTTTGCTCTCCGAACTCATTTTGGCTCTCGGTCGCAACAGACGATAGAGCTAAGCTGGTGGATGCAAGACACTCAAGACACCTTCTACAGGTCGAAATTTTCACAAAAAGAGCGGTATCAGGCGGCACCGCAGCAGTCCTAGCTCACATGGAGGCCTCACTACATGTAGTGCAGTGCGCTCGCGGCGTTGCGGAGCTCAGGCGCCAGAATGTGACACCCGCGAAATTGCGCGGCCTCAAGGTGGCTTTACGTAGACAGAATTGTGCGACCATTGACGGCGACGCGCTGCAAAAAGCACTCGCGACACAGAACTTGCGGATGAATGACGCGAACGCTGCAGCGTTCATTAGGGAGGCGGCGAGGCGGGCCGCGAACAACGAGGAGGGCGCGCCGACGGACGCGCCTTTAATAGGTGTCCTCACTTTGCTCGCGGACCTCTTCGCGCCCGGTTCACAAGCGCCGGCGGCGGCTCCGGCCACCGTGGCGCCATCGGTGGTCGTCGGCGCCGCAACCGAGGAAGCGGAGCGCGCGCAAGCGCCGTCCGCCGACTCAGCTTCGCCACCACCTCCCGCGCCTGTGGAAGACGTGCGCACGGAAGTCGAGCGACTTATAAACTCATTGCGTTCCAGGCAGGGTGCAGGGAAACCCGCTACCACAAAAGCCGTTAAGGCTTTGGGCCAAATCGCCAAGACATCCGCCAATCGTGCCTTGATTACCGACGCCGGTGGCATCGGGGCTCTCTTGTCGGTAGTGACGAACGACGGTGGTATTGATTTAAAGCGGCGCGCCGTGGGAATATTAGGGCAACTCGCCAGTGGGAATAAACTCGCCTGCGACGCTATTAAGAAGGCCGGCTGCATCTCGCCGCTCCTTGAATTCGTGACAACTGCCGGGAATCTCGGTGAGAACGATGAAGACGGGGGGCAGAAACTCCGTCTCGCGGCAGCCGCCTCAAAGGCGTTGGTGGTCATTGCTGGCGACGACGGCGCCACTCGTGCCACCATTAGTGAGGCGCTCGTAGTATTATTTTCAACCACGTCGCCCCCTACTCAGACTCAGGCTTTGCAGGCCTTGGGTGCGTTCGTCAGAAAAGCCGCCAATTGTGACGCCATCGTCGAGACCGGTGCCATCCCGCGGCTCGTGGAAATCGTGGCGAACGGCTCGGAGATTGGCCAGAGATCTGCTGCAAAGGTGTTGGCTAGAATCGCCTACGATGCCCGCAAGAGTGCCGTGATCATCGCCGCCGGCGCTCTCTCGCCGCTCGTGACAGTACTGAGGAACGGCAAGGCCGACGACAAGGCGGCTGCCGCTCACGCATTGCGGTCTCTCGCCCACGACCATGAATCCAAGGCTGCGATCATCGCAGCCGGCGCTATCGAGCCGCTCGACGGAATGCAGAAATACGGCACCCCCACCTGCAAGCAGGAGGCCGCGAAGACGTTGCATGCGCTTGGCGAACGGGTACTAGACGGAGGATGCCGGTCGCAACTGAGGGATGAGAACGCGACGCTCAAGCGCAAACTCGAGCACTACGAGCCCAAGGTGGTCGATCTGACTCAGGACGACGACGCTGGCGACGACGCCGCGCCGCCGCCCGTCGAAAACGAGCTGCTCACACAACACGCGCGGGCGACGAGCGAGCGCCTGGTCGCGGTCAAGCAGGAGGCGGCGGACGAACGCGAGCGGGCCGACTTCCAGGGGACGAACGCGATGTATCTCACGGCACAGAAGAGCGAGCTCCAGCGACTCGTGAGCGACGCCGCGAGGGCGCTCATCGAGGCGGACGTCCCCACGCACGAATGCCCGGATGACAAGACGCCCTTCTACTATATGCTCGAGTCGCACCGCGACGACGGCAAGCAGACGGTACCCTGGAACCCCGAAGCCGGCCGCGCCATGACGCTGGCCGAGGGGATCGCGTGGCTCCGGAACAACCCGCCATCCAAAAAGCGCCGGACGAGGCGCCCGGAGTCCGATCGCCTCACTGACAGTCTCAGTAGCTCGAGCGTCCCACGCCGCGCGGCGGCGGGCGGGCGACGCGCCTGAGGACCTGATCGGCGCGGCCGCTGATGGCAGCAAGGCCGCGTGCATAAACACAAGTCCCCACGCCATCGCCGCGACAGCAAGCAGAAACTCGTTCTAATCTCTTATGAACACGGCAAGGGATGGGGGGAATCACACAGTCACACGGCGCCGCCTCACGCGACGACGCCGCCGCGGAGCTTCTTCGCCGCCTTGAGCAGCGCCGGCTCGACGACGCCGACGACCTTCTCGAGCAGCTCCGGGACGGGCTTGTCCTTCTTGACCTTGCAGTTGCCGCCGTCCTCGAAGCAGTGGACCTGGTTCTTCTTCTCGGGCGCCGTGTAGTCCTTGACGGTGGCCCACGCGCACTGCTGCTCGACCTTCAAGCTCCCAAACGCGACGCGGATGTAGCCCATCTCGCCCCAGTACTCGCCCCAGGAGTTCCGCACGATCCAGTACTGCTGGTCGTTCTCCTTGCCCCAGCCCACGACGGAGATGACGTGGTCGACCGTCTCCAGGAGCCCTTTGTGCACGGCAATGCCGCTCTGGTACTCGAGGATGGCCGACGCGTCGATGCCGCACGAAATGGGCCCGCGCGCGTAGATCTCCTTCTGCATCGCTTTTTGACCAGAAATAGAACCGTAGTCGTCGATCGTGATCTGCGGGTAATCAGCAATTGCCGCGCAGAAGCCGCCCGCCGACGGAAAGGTAGAACAAGTCCGCGCGACGTTGATGTCGCTACAAGACCAGTCCTGGCCCTTGCAGATGCCGTCCTTGCTTTCCGACGAACAAGCTAGGTAGGGATTGGACGTCTCCAGACTAATACCTTTGCCCTCCTTGGAGAGCTTGTGGAGCCACTGGTAGGGGCCGTCGACACTTCCACCGTGGCAGGAGCCGCCTCCCCCACAATTCAGGATGTGCTGCACCGACGGGTTGAGGTCCACACCCTTAGCTTTTCTAGCGATCTTGACCCGATCGGCCAAAGCCGACACGGAGCCGTGGGCCCAGCAACTTCCACAGTACTGGGGGATGTGCTGGTTCCGCGACATCGTCAAATAATTGACGCCGTCGACATTGCCCCACGTGAACGCGTCCGGCAAATCATCGTCTTTGATCTTCTTGTGCAACAAGTCGTGGCTCGACTTGGCCGTGGCGTTGCCGCGCCAGACGAAGCCGGCGGCCTCGACCTCGTGCTTCTCCCAGACCTCTGCGAGGGGGCGCGGCGTCGGCGTACAGCGTGGCGCGTTTGATGGGGTGTGCGCGCGCACTCATCTTCGTGTGGTCAGGTGTTTTGTTCGCGTGGTGTCGGGACGCTGCGCGGTGCCGCCAACGATAGCAGAGGCAGGTGCCGATAGGAGGAGCGCGATGACGAGCTTCATTTGAGCGCTGAGGTTCTAGCGGCAGTGTACCAGGATTAATCAAGCTCTGATGCGCGGCGTCTTTTTGGGCTAGTAGCTTTGACCCTACCTCCCGAATGCAGACGTCTCAAATCAGCGCCTTCTCGGTGGGAAACTACGTAGTTCAGACAGAAAACACAGGTCACAGGCGAGGCAGAGCCAGGCGCACCGCGCGTGACCGCGCCTCGGGTCGCCCGTACGCCATCGACGAAGCTTGCGCCATCGACGACGACGCGCCACGACACAACGAAAGAAGAAAAAACATTGCCTTCGCGGACGCGGCCTTCTCCCGCGCCCCAGATACCATCTCCGCGAGCTTCCCCTTCTCCGCTAAGACCTTGAACAGGTCCACCACCAAAGGCACGTAGTTGTGGTGGCGCCGGACGTTCTCCGCACTCCACATCTCCCGCTTGGCCACCTCTCTAGCTAGATCAGCGTCGCACTCGGCCACAGAACCAGCGTCGCCCGCGGCCTCCAACAAAGCGCGTTTTTCCTGCAACACGGCTCTCTTATCCCGGATGATGGCCATCAGATTGAACTTGATCTCTGAAGCTGAATACTTTTCGATCCTCGCTTGAATTGCGGAACGCGCCACGCCCAGCCAATCGCTACCAGACTCACCTAAATCACAAGGCCCCGGCCGCAGCCCATCCAATTCATAAACGCGACCGCCGAACGGCACGTAGGTGATGAAGTGGAACACGTCGTCGTCCTTCGTCGCCTTGCGATCATCGGACACGAACGGCTCGGGCCTCGCGAACGCGTTGTGCGCGGTTCGTATTTTTTCCGCATTTTCTATAGCTAACCCTCTCATATCAAACGGTAAGTCGGCGGCGAAGGTCTTCAACTCCTCCAGCGCCGGGCCCAGGGTCAAGCCCTCCGCGTCGGCCCTGTTCAGCAGACACCCGAGAATCGCTTGCGTGGCACACGCGTTCGACACGACCTGCTTCGCGAAGAAGAGCCCGGGCACCTCATCACAACAGGGCCGGTCGTCCTTCTCGCCCGTCCACTTGAAGAGAAAAATGAGCCCGAAGACCGGTTGGAGTTGTGCGAGTTCCGCGTCGTCCAGACTGTATAATTCGGCGAACTCGCAGCCGGACGCGCCGAACTTTTCTACTAATTCGGTAAAGACTCCCGGGTCGCTTTCTATCGTGCACCAGGACATCTTTGTGTTGCGGCGGCGGCGTAGGGGTGTAGTTGGCGCGGCGGATGCGGTGTGATCTAGCAACGGCGCAGCGGCTCAGCGTTCTGTGGCGACGCACAAATGCGATAGCGCGGCACAGATGGGCTCAACTAGCCTGATTTCCACAGCCCGCGCGCCCAGGCAGAAAAGCTAGCATGCGAAGACGCTAGCACTGCCAGGATAGGAAAATCGGAGCAGCGCCGCCCACAGCGGTCAACGGGGGGCTCGGAGGGCCGGCGGGACGTCGCCAGGCACGCGTGCAGGCTGCCCCGCTGCCCCTCTGTCGGTGACCCCATTGGTCAGGCCAATCACAAACAATGGCCGGCGGACGCGCCGTCGCCGCGCTCGTCCTCTGTGCCCGCACCGCGACAGCAACCAACGCGACGTGGTGCAGCGCCCGCAACCATCGGCGCTTAGCGGGCGGCTGCGTCCATTCCATAAGGCCAGCCCTGCCCCACGCCGCCGCGGCGCGCCTCGGCTCTTTATTACAACGGGCGTGGCAGCAAAACAGCTTCCTCTACGCCACGAACTGCCGACGAAGCGGCAACGCGTGCGAGTGCGGCAACAAGAAGATGCGCATGAGTACAAAGGACTCCGCGCCGGCGCAAGCCGCCGCTGTATACTGCAGAGATAAACGAGGCGGTTTTATTTACTCGAAGCACGAGCTGGACCGGGCTTCCACCGCCCACGCACTCCTCGAAAAAACTGTGGACGCGCTGATACGGCCACGGCTCGAAGACGCGATCGGCGGGCCCGTCGCGAACCTGACCGACTGGTTCGCGTCCGCGTTCCAGAGCGGCGGCTGGCTCGGCATCCATACCGATGTTGGATTGGGGCACGTGGCCTTCGTCCTGAACCTGACTCCTGACGACAATGCATTTAGGGGGGGTGACTTGGAGTTTGCCGAGGGCCACGTCATGGGCCACGCCGTATCTCCGAAGTTCAACAGCCTCGCGGCCTTCCGCGTCGGAAGTGGCGCGCACCCGCTGCCGCACCGCGTGACGGCCGTCGACGCGCCACGGGAGAGCCTACCCAGACTCGCGATCACGGGCTGGTACACGATTCCCGGGGCAGACCCGCGTGCCGTCAGCCCGGCGATTCTAAACGCGGAGAAGGGGAGACGGACACGGTAAACTTGTTTTTGTGTGACAGAGCGTGTTCCTCGACATTCTTAGGCGGTGAGAGCGCCTAGCGTCGCGACGACGCCGAGGAAGTCCTATATGGGGCAGCAAGGGACCGAACGTCCAGGACAAAGGGTAGGGGAAGGAATGTATGTCGACGACCGCTCCCGGCCGTCGGTGTGATGACCGCCCGCTCAGGGCTTGGCCAGGTAGACGCCGCAGAGGACCTGGTCGCGGTAGTCGCGGCCGCAGTGGCCGTGGCGCCCTCGCCGGCGACGAAGTGGCCTCTCGCCGCGAGGCTACAATCAGCCGTCGCCGTTTTAGAGGAGAACTTTCCCGGCTCGCAGGGCTCGCAGGCGTCGTTGCCCGCGCCACTCGAGTAAGCGCCCGCGTCACATTTCTTCTGCGTCGTCGCGCCGGACTTCCCGACGAAATGTCCCGCGGAGGCAGGCCTGCAGCTCGTCTGGCCCGGTGAGTTGGCGTACGTGCCTTTTGAGCAGTCTTCGCACTCGCGAGCGCCGGACGTGCCCAAGAATTTCCCCGCCGGGCACTGCTGGGGCCTTGACGCGCCGTCGGACGGAACGAAGAAGCCGGCGTTCGCCTTAGTAGCCGTCGTCGACGTAGCCGTAGTCATCACCGTGGTAGAGGAGCCGCCGCGACCCGGCCAGCGGCGCCCGGCCACGCAGGCGAGTTCCGCCGGCCGGCGCGCCGGCCAGGGCGCCCCAGAGCGCGAGTGCCAAAACGCCGCCAATCAACCCTCTCATTCCTCTCCGCTAGGGCTTCCCGGCGTGTGGGGAATCTCTTACAACTAGCAGGAAACAGCAGGAATATTCAAACCGTTATAGATGTCGCTCCTTCACGGGCCTGGCCGGATGAAAAACAGTGCAGCTTTGCTAGTGTCTTACGCCGCTAGGGATTTCCACGCTCTGGGCCATCAACCCGGGTTTTGGAGGATACCTGCCATGCTATTCCCTAATTTTACACTCACTCACCCCGTCATGATCGGCGACGACGACGCCCGCGGCCGCAGCGGCGGCGGCGGATACGAGGGAGACGCCGGCCCGAGCATGTCCTCATCATCATCATCGCCGAAATCGTTGTCCACGGCGAGCGGCGCCTCGTCATCGTCGTCGCCGAAGTCCGCGTCGACCGCGAGGGATTGGGGAGGCGGTTCCCACCCGCTCTGGCCCGAAGCGCACCGCTGCACCAACGAGATCTTCTCGGCGCCCTTCAAGCCGTCCCATCTTGACCCCCAGGCCTTCTTGACCTTGCCGAAGGCCAGGGCCATGGGGTCCGGGCCTGCTATAATGGGCTTCGTCAGTCGCAACACGACGTAGAGACTGGCGACGTCCCACTCCGCCTGGGACAACGATCCGGACGTGTCGGGCACGCCCATGCGCTCGAGGGATGCGCGACCCTCCGGCGTCTGGGCCCGTGCTTCGACGAACTCCGCGAACGGTGTGTAGCCGTCGACTCGTAAGCCCGCTTTCTGGGCGAGGTCGTCGATGACCTCTCTAGGTGCCAACCATTCGGGAGCGTCGACCGCCGTCGAGCCGTCCCCATCCAGCAGCCGGAACCAATATCTTAACCCACATCTTGGTGTTTCAGCACCCGGTTCCAACCCACATAATTGTAGATATGTCTCTTTACTTAACCACACCTCCAGGACCCGCCTTCGACGTTTGAGGGCGTCCTTTAATAGAGTTAAACCCTTTTCATCCATAGGGGGCTCATGATCAACAACGGCAACATACCATTCTGCTATGTCCGTGGAAGGCGGCGTCATATCCGACGAGGCAGGATTCGCCGTCGATAGAATACGCGCACACAGCGCCGTGCAGTTCACCGTCGTCGCGACTAACGAACCGCCCGGTTTGAGGGCGCCAAAAACATCACTAAACAATCTTGATGCTCTTTGTTCGCTCTCGAACATGTAGTGTAAGGCGAACTGCATCGACGCCACATCAAATAAAGATGGAGGTACGGCGTAGGGTGCCGTGGACCACGTACTGTCGGCGTAGACCTGGCGCGGTGCCGCTTCTAGTATGGATGAGCCGCCCAGAGAGCATTCCACAAGGGTCACGGGCACGGCGCCCCACCGTCTCGAGTCAGATTCTAACCGTTCCACGGCGTCCTCCAGCGACGTCTTCGCGATGTCAACACCCACATATCTACCGGGCGCGGCCCGGATGAACTTTCCGAGGTCGCCGCCCTTCCCGCAGGCTAAGTCCAATATAGCTGGCGCCTCCTTGCCCTTACACGCTTGGGAAATGATCTCGGCCTTGACCCAGTTGTTCAGGCGTCTCAAGTGATAGATTCGCGTCTGGCCTCTTTCCCCTTGCTGTCTTGTTCGTTTCAGAGAATTGTAGAAGTCCGCCGCGGCTCGTTGATTGGCGTTGTCCATCGACGGTGGTGGTGGCGGTACGACGTCGGGCGGCGGCGGGAACGCCGGCGACGACGGCCCGCGCGGCTCGACATCGGTGAGCGCATTACGGTCAATGACGAGCTCCAAACTCCCGTCGGTCGCCGACGTTAACCAAGCACCTCGTCCCGCGTTCGCGAACTTGTTGCGCTGCCTTAACCAGGTCCCGAACTGTCTTGCTCGCTGGCCATCATCCTCAGATGAAGCTTGTAAGGGCACCACGCAACAGTCCGCCGCCGTCGCTCGCAACAGAAAAGCATGATCTCTGGAATAGGTCGTGACCTCAATATTGGTCAAAGGACAGGCCCCCCGGAGGGCGAACTGCGCCGTAGGAGTACCTCTCTCGTCCAGGACGCGCACCGCCACATCGCTCAATGAACCATCTTCATCGAACAAACAGACGGCGCGCCCGTCCCGGGCGACGGCGGGCGGGATGACGGCCGTCGGCCTTCCATCGTTGCTTCGTTGCAGCACGGCAGCTTTGCCGTACGGGTTGGGAGGTCTAGGTTTGGCCAAATCAGCACAATACGCCTCGAGCCGCGCGCGGCCGTCCGCGTCGCTTGGTACCAAAAAGCACCGTCCTCGCAGCCGCGCCCATCTTCCTGAATCTCTTTCGTAGCCGTCGCTCACGTTCACGCGGAGCACCGGCGGGAGGGCGAGGGACGCGGGCTCACATGTTAGTGATGCGATGGCGTTGCCGTCAACTTCGAGGAGGCTCATTTTTCAGCGCGCCGCGGCGCCTGGCGTCTCGGGAGGGCGCTCTGTCTCGCCGGCGGTTTCGGGACCTCCCCTGCGCGCACACGTCGCTTCCGCAGCGCGATACGCAAGGAGACGTCTTGCAGAGATGCCGCCACGTGTCTTATCGCCCTCGTCCGTCCCACACGCCCTACTCGGCCGCCGCTGCGAGCTAGCGGCATGTAAGACTCTAGCAAGCAAGGAGAGCGCGTTTTTGACGTGCCCTAGCGCGCGCTGACGGCGGTGATCGCTGGCCGTGGCCACGGCAGGTGAACACTATCTGCTCGGGAATACGCTCGTGAAGAGTTTGTGCGCACTCGTGCCGCACACGCGACGCAACCAACTTGCAGTCATGATGCGACAGCTCACCATCCTGATCGCATCGATGCCTTTGAGCAAAGCTATGACCTATCCAAAGGCAGCTGTGGGCCGGCGCAGCGCATTGGGCGGCGCCCTAGCTGCAACCTTGGCGCCGCCAGCCGTCGCGGCGCCCGACTGGCTCCTCGACGTCCCGACGGAGAGCGCCGACGAAACCTTTGCGGCGGCGCGCAGCGAGCGGCTCGGCCAGGCGCCGTCCGCCGTGATGACGCCGTCGACGCAGCGCACGCAGAGCTCGCGCGAGACCTCCGCAGTCCTTGCGGCGCAGAAGGCCGCGCTCGACGGGACGGCGGCGGCCACGACGACCGTGCGCCTCTCGATGCGCATCGCGCGGCCGGACGGCACGTTTTACGTGAGAGCGAAGGGTGAGGAGGATCCCGAGCCGCCGCGGATCGGCGACGTCGACGTAGAGCTCTTCGGCCGTGCGCCGGCGGCCGTCGCTACCTTCTTGGCCTTCGCGCTCGGCGATCCCGCCGCCGCGGAGGCGCCGACGTACGCGTCGGCCATCCTCGACGAGCGCGCCGCCGACGCGCCCGTCATCTACGCCGCGCGCCGCCTGCGGGGCGTCGAGACGCGCTCGATCGGCGGCGAGCAGATCCTGGTGCGGAGTCGCGACGGCGGCGAGGTCCTCTCGCGGAATGCCGAAGCCATCGCCGCAAAGTTGCGAAAAGAGCCGTCCGCGGTGGCGCACGACGCTGCGGGCATACTGACGCGGCAGCGCGGCGATTCTCCTCAGGCGTTCGGACTGACCGTGGCCGGTTCGAAGGCGTTGGACGCGACGAACCAGGCGTTCGGCCGCGTCGTCCGCGATCCGTCGGGCCTCGTGACCGCCGTCGGCGCGCTCAACGCATATTCCCTGGACGCCGTCGGCCCCTCGACAGACGTGCCGGGGGCAGCCGCGCTCTACCGCGCCCAGAAGGACGCCTTCCGCGGCGCGGCGAAGGCCTTCGGCGACGGCCGCGCGTCGAAGATCTTCCCCGGCAAGCTCCTGCGGCGGGTGGAGATCACGCGCGTGGAGCTGCTGTAGCGCCCGCGCCGATCGCTGCGCTCGACGCCCTCCTGGAGCTGCTGTAGCTCCCGCGCCGCCACGGCGACGGCGTGCTGTTGGAATCCGCACGCCGTCGAAGCCTGGTAACCATGTGATAGAGTACTCAGCTACTTACAAGGCGCTCTCCCTTTCGATCTCCCCGAGCAGCGCGTCGACCTCGTCGTCCTCGAGCTCCTCGAAGCGCTTCTGGATGACCGCGTCCTCGTACTGCTTGAGCTGCGTCGAGTAGGTCATGTCCTTGGAGAAGACGCGGAACACGTACGAGAAGGCCCACAGTAACGACCCGCCGATGACGAAGACGCCGGACAGGGCCACGCCGACCTGGTTGCCGTCCATGCCCGAGGCCTCGAGGGCGCTTTTTAACGCCAATGGCGCTACGATCAAGAAAATAGTCAAGACGATGACGCCGCCGTACGTCCCGGGGTCGAAGAACCAGGGGAGGCGCTTCTCCTCGTCGTCGCTACCGGCGCGCAGCGCCGTCGTGGGTCGCGCGGGCGCGGCGGCGGCGTGGGCCGGCGCTCGCCGCGCGATTGGCCGCGCTGCGGCCGTGATTCGTCGTGCCGGGCAGTGGAAGGCTGCTGTGGCCCAAGCCAGGCCGAGGAGGCCACACGCGGTCCGCATGGTTCTCAGCGATGTCACAGCTCCTCTTTTTGTTCGCAGGGTCGCGCAGGGGCACCGCTAGCGCCTCGTAAACTCCGACCACGAAGCGCTAGCGTCGATAAAGACACTAGCAATTGCTTTGCCATCGCATCGATAGACGGCTGTTAGCGTGTACGCGCACGCACGACAGCGATCGACTAGCCCTGGCACGCCGCAGTCCACGCGCGTGTGAAACTTCCGCCAGATTTGAGCCAAGAGGAGAGCAACTAGTCCAAAGCCAAAAATGGCCCTTCGCCACGCTATCGCAGCGCTCCTGGCCACAGCGATCATCGTCGAAGGCTTCGTCCTCCCACGAACAGCCCACCACAATGTGCACAAGGTGCTGAGGGCAACCAAGGACAATAACCCCGAGCGCCAGCGGACGCTCGACGAGGCCAAACGGATCCTAGCAAGGGCCGCGAACACACCCGTAGAGGCAGATCAAGGCTTAGGAGGAGCTGTCACCGGCGCGCTCGTCGGCAGCTTTTTACTCGGGCCCCTGGGCATGCTGATGGGCGCGAGCGTCGGCTCGAACGTCGGGCAAGCGGCTTCTGCCAAAAAACAGATGGAGCAGCGGCTGGCCTCATTGGGCGTCGACGACGAGGTCATCCGGAACGTCGGCGAGGCTAGTCGCGACTTGGCCGAGGCCGACGAGTCTAGAGGATATGTCCAAAGTGCATTAGAGTCGGCCTCTGCCTTTGCCGCAACTTTGAAACGAGACAGGGACGCGGCGCAGCAGGCCGCGGAGCGGGCCGTGAAGGACGGTGATGATGATTCTGCTCGAAAATACCTCACGGCTCGGATAGCATTGGACAAGCGGTGCGCGGTCGCCGAGGCCGAGGCCGTCGACGCTACCCAACGGTTGAAGCGGGCCGAGGCCGACGTCGAGGCGCTTAGAGTGAGGTGCGACGACCTGGATTACTTGGTGGCGCGGGCTGTGGTGGCGAAGTCGCGGGGCGAGGCCGTGTCGCCGTTCCCGGGCGGCGCGGAGGACTCGCTGCTGGCGCGGTTCCGGGCGCTCGAGGAGGAGTGATAGATGTGTATTTTGTTTTTTTACTTGCAAAATGGTCAGTCCTCGGGGGGCGGCGTCGGCGGAGGCGGGGGTTCGTCGTCCGAGGCGTCCGTCCAGGCGTCCGACTCCGCGCAGGGCGCAGCATCGCGCCGCGGCGTCAGGGCACCTGAGCTGCCGTCCGTCCAAGCGTCCTCGTCGCCCGGACGCGCCGGAGCTGCCGTTTCGGCGCCACCGTCCGCGTCGAACGCTCGGACCTGATCTCTAGACAAAGCCTTCTCGTTCGCCGGATCCTCGAACTTCGCCAGCACTGCCGTCGCGTCCTGGAGCACGCGGCTCGAGGCCTCGATGTGGCGAGCGACGTCTCGCGCCAACTTGAGGACCTCGAGCGAGACGCCGGCGTCGTTCTCTTTGTCCACGCGCGCGCTCGCGGCCCGCGCGCGCCGCACCGCCCGAGCCGCGGCGTCGACGCCGCGCGCCGCGCCGTCGAGGCCGTCACCGTCGTTTCGCACGCGCCGCCGGCCATGGTACGTCGTGTGCGCGCTCGCACCGTCGGCACGGGCGACCGCGCTCGCACCGTCGGCGCGCGCCACCTCGAGCTCCAAGGCGCGTGTCCGCGCTCGTACCTCCGCCTCAAGGGCCGCGCCGCCCGATGCGCTCGATTCCGGTATCTTCGTCGCCTCGGAGGCGAGGTAGCGCTGCAGTAATTTGGAAGGCGGCGTCGGCGTCGGGGCGGTCGGTCGCGGCGCGGGCGACGACGGCGCGTGCACGCGCCGGGGCACGGGCGTCGGGGGTTCTTCCAATGGCGGCGCGTGCGCGCGTGCCGCGGCCGCGCGCGCCTCGCTGGCGTACCTATCGCGGAACGGCGTCCCTTCGGTCGCCATGGTGCTGCTTCTCGGGTCTGACCCAATCACAGTTGTATGCAGTACAAACAAAACTACGGCACGCGAGGCGACCGTACGGCGTCCACAGCGGCAGAGGGCTGTCAAAGGTGTAGCGCAAGTACTAGTTGCCAATTTGTAGGCGAGGTTAAGCGGCACAGGCCCAGTTTTGCCTCTTCCCTTTTTGCACGCCTAGCGTAACCCTACTAGCCAAAAGCTAAAAAAATTTGGCCAAGTGCTAGCCAACGAGCGTCGCAGGGCTGCGTTGGCCAGCAGCTGCATCGCGCACACACGCCAGGTCTCGCATACGTCCGGCTCACCAGTCTACGTCGCTGCGACGCCGCGCAAGAGCCCCAGGACTGCCACAGACGGCTTCGCTGCCTCGCGTGCGACGCCGCGACGTCGCTGAGACGACAAAACGACTGCAGCAGCACCATGAAATGGCTGCTAGCACTCGCAGCAGTAGTAGAAGCCGGCCTGGGCCCGGACTGCGACCCGCTCGATCGGAAGTGCACGCTCCCGGCGCCCCAGAGGGAACCCTGCGTCTGGGTCGGTCCCCATGACGGCAAGTGGTTAAGGATCGTTGATAGAGAAGACATCCCAAAACCGTGCCCGCCCGTCGGCAGCGCAAGCGATCATGACCAATCGATCGTGTATGCGGCCATCGCCTCATTCAGAGATTCGATCTGCCCGGACACGATCACGAACATGTTTTTGCGAGCCAAATACCCCGATAGAATACGAGTGGCAGTGATCCAGCAGAACCTCCCAGAGGACCTCGATTGTTTAGAAAAGTACTGCGACGACGCGAGAATCGCTCAGAACTTACCCGCAGATGCGCCCTGCCCTAGGAGAGGTCAAATCTCCATCAAACGCTTTTCGTCGGAGGAGGCCAAGGGCCCGACGTGGGCGCGCGCGCAAGACACGGACATGTTACCGGACAGTGCCGAGTTCTGCCTAAGGACCGATAGCCACATGACCTTCGCCCAGGACTGGGACACGTTACAGATCCAGCAGTGGTATGATGCTCAGAACGAATATGCAGTTTTGAGTACGTACGTCGCCGACTCGACGAATTTGAACGACGACGGGTCGATGAGAAACGTCAATGGGGTGCGATCTCGGCGTCCCGCGGTGCTGCGGCGGTTTCACGCCATCGACGCGACTCGTGTCCATCAGACGAGGTCTTGGGTGGTTTCTTTTTCGATATCGAGGCCATTCGGACCGCGTCGCGAGACCGCGATGCTCCACGCAGGTCTGGGAGGTGCCCCACTTGTGTTCGATCCAGTGGGAGAACGGCCACGTGCGGAACATGCAGGCGAAGGCGGCGCGGCTCCTCAAGAAGCCGAAGCTCACGACGCTCTGGGCGGCTGGTTTATCATTTAGTAGGTGCCATGCGGAGCGGACGGTGCCCTACGACCCCTACACGCCCTACATCTTCTGGGGCGAGGAGTTCTCGAGGACGGCTCGGTTTTTCACGCACGGATACGACATATATACTCCTCCCAAGACGCTCATAGCCCACGATTATAAACATACGCAGGGCGATCCCACTCATTTTAAATGGAACGGGCGAGGTGCGATCTCGGCGTCCCGCGGTGCTGCGGTGCCTTCACGCCGTCGACGCGACTCGTGTCCATGCGATGCTCCGCGCAGGTGGACCTCGGCTCAATCGCAACCAGACGATTATCAAAGCGAGAGACGCGGCCAATAAAAGAATATGGACGTTGCTGGGCATGCCGGGCGGTGATCCTTCTATGGTGTCCTCTTTAGGAAAGTATGGACTGGGCACGAAGAGGAGCTTGGACGACCTGATCGCGTTTACCGGTATCAATCTGCGGAATCGGACCGTCTCCGGCTCCGGCAACAGCGACGGGAACATCGATTGGGTGCCCTGGGACTGCGGCGGCGGCGGCTGGGCGGCGCAGGGGCTGGAGCACCTGCACAACTCCATCACGCCGCCGAAATCGCTGCACGACGACTTAGCTAGGGAAATCTGGCGGGGCGAGCAGTTCGTCGAGAAGGAGGCGCACGAGGTCGTCCACGAGGCCGAGGTCGTCGAGCACTTCATCGCGAAGGAGGCGCGTCAGTTGGTGGCGGAGGCGCGCGTCGTCGGCTCGGACATCCGACACCTAGAACAGAGGGCAGCAGAACACCTTCCGCTGCCCGAGGACGAGTCCCTGAATCTGGTGACGGTTCTCGTCGGGCTTTTTTGTTTATGGACGTCGTACAAAGCGTGTCGGGCGGTCTTCGATCGGGGCAACAAGCAACAAAGCCAGTAAAAAGGGGCTGCCCGTGGCCAAGGAGGTGTAAGTTTAGCTTTATTTTTGTGTTGCTTCCCGGCCGAGGCGGGTTCCGCGTGACCAGGGGGCGCTACGCCTCAACCGGCATGCTGGAATGGCCATAAATCGTCCCTAGGCGTACGATAGAGCGCCCCACTGCTGCCTGGCGCGTTCTGGGGGCCGCCCGGGGACCCTCCGTGACGCGTAGACCGGGGTAGGGAGCTATGGGGCCGGGTTATCCTGGCGCGACGCGGGCCGACGGGACGGCCCCCAGTGGCTACGTACAACTGCTGGAGGCAAGACTGGGAGCCTATGGGAGTGTACCCCAGCGGTTCTAGGGTGGGTGGCTGCCACCGAAAGCTCCCCTGCCTGGGTACAGAGACAGAAACCCCCTCTTCAGGTTTTTGTTGAAGCAGTATTTGCTATTTTTAGCTAAAGTTGTGAGAGCATCTCGCACTTGCGAGCTGCCCCGGGGCGCTTAGGAACACCGTCAGCGACGGATTTGGCAGCAACACTACTGGTATGCTCGCTCACAACGTCCGCGCGCACGAAAACGGCATGAACGCGCAGCATAAGGAGCCCAGAGGCCGGATTTGGCGCTGCCAGCCGCTATTCGACGTGCGACGGTCGACTAAATGACGTAAACCGGTGCTACGCGCAGCGAAGACGCCGTATATGATGTCCTCGACGAATTGGCAATCGATCCTCGACGCTTGGTTGCAAGCGAACATCCGCGTTAGCTCGCGGGCGTCGACGCCGGCGTCTCCGCGCGAGTATCCGTGACCGCCATGTGACTCCAGTGTCAAAGCGGGAGCCTCCGGAGGGGCGAATGAGGGTACTTAGGGCGCCTACGCGGCGGGGGCGTCCTCCCTGGGCCTTAGGGGCTCCGTTCTTACTTTTTGGCTATGCTGTTTGAGGCGTAGCGCCCCCTGGTCGCGTGACCCCCGGCCCTCATACGCCGTCGCCCCCGGGCCTCGGGAGTGAGCTCGGAGGCAGCGACGGCGAGGGGGGCGGAGGCCGGGCGTAATCCAGGACTCGGGCATTAGTACTATGGACATTAGGCAGCAACTCGAATTAAGGCTCCGTGGCGGAGCAGCAAACAATATGTACAATCTTCACGAGGGCCGTCGCAGGGGCCCCGCCAGCTTCGCCTGGGCCTCCCACCGCCGCGCGTGTTTCTTCGTCTGCCAGTACCTGTGTGTAAATCAAAGTTTTACGACGCGTTCGTGCTGAATCGCCGAGTCGGCCTCCACGCCATCGACGCGACGCCTGCTCGATGGCGTAGCGATGCAAGTTCCTCGCCGCCCGACGGAGCCAGCACGGCCGCGTCGTCGCCGAGAAATGACTTAGTGAAGAATTGTCGGGTGCACGCGACGCACTGGTTGATTTCCACACAGGCCAGTACCGCAGGTTCTGCTTCAGTCTAGACAGAGGAAGCATGTCCGGGTCCACGAGGTCGGCGACCACCTGTGCGGAAATCAACCAGTGTGTCGGGTGCCGCCATCGAGCAGGCGTCGCGTCGATGGAACGCGCGCGTAAAATTTTGATTTCCACACAGGCCACCACGGTATAAAACGGCATGCAGATGAACGAGAAGAAGCCCACCTGCGACTTGGCCACATCAATATCTGTGGATCGATCACACAAGGGCGAGATCGCCACGTCCAAACTCCGCTCCCGCTCCCCGAGCGCCCAGAACTCGTTCGTGATGCGAGCCGTCCACTCCTCGTGCAACACGCGTTTCTTGCAGGCGTGGCCCAAATCAGCAAATTTGAGAGCTACGGCGGCCACCAAGTCCCGCCCGCACTTCTCGGGATCGAGAAACGGCGACGTCCACGTTTCTTGACCGGAGTTCACGCGCGTGCCGTGGGACCTAGCTCCTTCGAGCATGGCCATCTCATTCAATCTTTCCACATAAGTCATGTGCCGCCCCAGATCCGTCGCTAATACAGCTTTGACGATGGCCTTTCGCGCTCTCGCGTAGCCCGCGTGATCCAGCGGCGCCAAGATGTTCAGCTCCGGCCGCCGCATCAACGCGAAGGCCGCCCGGACGTGGAACTTTTCCAGGATGCCCGCGTCCCCAAAGGCCTTGTGCCTCTTACTATCAATCTTGACCTCGTGCTGATTGGTCGTCCCGGGGTGGGCAAAATCATGCACGACACCCGCGATTAAGACCGCGAGACAAGCCACGGGGTCGGCGAAGCGCGTCTCCATGAGGTCGTGTTCTGACAGAAATAAATGTACTGCAACAGAAACGTCCGCCGCGTGCTGGGCGTTGTGGTACGGGTTCTCGCCGTAGTTCGCTTCAATTGATGCGAAGAAGCTTTGCACTACACTTTGATCGAGTGCGCATCGCTCCATCAGACTATGTCGTTGTAACAAGATGGGCCCTACAGCTGCGAGAGCATGGCCATTCGTCATCTCATGGAGCTTAATCACGTCGTACTCCCACGAATCAATGTCGAACTGGACATCCTCCGTCCACGCGTCCACGGATTTGAACGCGGGCAGCGTCCTGAAATCGTCCTCGGCGTCCGTCGAAGTCTTCTCTCGTTCTTTCTTTCAGCGCCGCGAGCCACGCCTCCGTGACCCTTACTTGCACGTCCACATCATCTAATTCGTCCGGGAAGTCGTCGAGCGTCAGCGCGTGTGTCTCGAGCGACGAGAATACCCTCGAGGTGCGCCCCTTTCCATCAGATAGTCTACCACAGCAGAATGACCCTCGCGCTCCGCATCATCTAACGCAGTACCGCCCCACCTATCTGATACGTCCAATGCCGCATTGAGCTCCTCGACCAGCACTCTAACAACATCTAACCGACCACTACAAGAAGCCAAGTGTAGCGCACACCGCCCGTCATAATCCGCCTGATTCACGCCCTGCTGCTTCTGCATCGCCAAGCGCCGCAACCGTGCCACGTCGCCCTTCTTCGCCGCGTCGCACAAATCGGCACCCTCGTCCCACTCTCCTGGTTGACTGACACCTCTTAAACCACCTCTACCCTCGAGGAAATCTTTGACAGACGTATGGGCATGTCGGACCGCGTCGTCGAGGGGCGTCCCGCCCCACCTATCAATTGGGGAGATATTTGCGCCCAATTCATCGACGAGACACGCTACTACGGTTAATCGGCCGTTCGACGCCGCCAAGTGTAGAGCTGTTCGCTGGTCGTAGTCGCCGTCGTCAATTCTTTCTTTTGGTGTTTTACGTAAAGCTTCTAAATCACCCGCGGCAGCAGCAGCTATGATATCGGTCTGGGAACCTCTCAGTGTTGATACAGACGTCCGAGCGTCCGTCAGGAGAAACGTCGAGGGCAGTCCAGTGACCGACGTCCGCGCATCCGTGACGTCGGTGGACTTTCTCACATCCCGACCTTCTTGGTCCGTACACAAAGTAGTTCTCAGCCACGTCTGGACCTTCTCATTACTGTGGGGAGCGAAGTGCTGGAGGTCGTTCAATGAACTGGCTTTTGAATCGTCGTCGTCGTCGTAGACGCGGCCGTGCTCGAGCGTTGAGATGAGCGCTTCGAGCTCCAATCGCGCGTGGTCCGGTAATAAGGTAGAGTGTTTATCTACGGCTTGCGCGTGGAGGAGGCAGCGTTCCCTATCGCCGCGGCCGAACGCCGAGGCGGTGCTGCCCGTGTCCTCGGAGTCGCGTGAACCTCGGCTCCGGCGGTCGTGCCGCTTGGGCGTCTGCGTCGAGCCGCCGGCGCCCATCCTTCCCTGGGATCACGGCAGATGCAGGGAGAGGCTGCCCCTGGGCGGCGCGCCGCTGCCGCACCGGGCTGCCCACGCGCGGCTGCAGCTGCGCAACGGACTGCAAAGCGCGTGGCCGGCGCTCGGCCGCGCCCTCCCGCGCACCTGCGCGAATTTAGCGCTGGGAGCAAAAACGAGAGGGCACGGCAAATATCGGTGACGGGGGCTCTCGTTTTGAAGTTGGAGCGCGGCTGCGACGGAGCGCGGGAGCCGTCGCGGTGACGCCTCGCGGGGCGCCGGCCTGGGCGGCGGGAGCTTTGGTTAGTGCAACCCCAACCCGCAACCTTTCGCTTGCGCATTTTGGGAGAGAGGGCAATTTGCAGCCGCCGTAATTCCCACGGGCTGCCCCCGGGACCGTCCTTGGGGAGGCAGCACGCCTGATTCAGTGTCACCCCCACATCGTCGCCTGCGGGACTCGTGCGCCTGCGAGGAGGCGACGCGAGGAGGCGCCGAGCACAGCTGAGCAGCCATGGGCTTCTTCTCGTCGCCGAAGCACGCCGATGATGACGACGAGCCCGCCCAGGCGACGGTGCGGTACTGTAGCTGTCTACCCCAGTCCGCCACCACCCGAAAGAAGCGCCTCGAGCGGAATAGAAATAGAAGCGATCTCCTGAACTCCTTCGCGAAGTTCTCGCCGGCGTCTGTCCATGCGGAATTATTAGAGGTCTGCCCGCCGACGTCGCCGAGCGTGCGAGACATCCTGTCGAAGAGCACGAGGCGCTTACCTGCCGCGTGTGATCAGCCGTCCGCGAGGCCGGGCCGCGGCGCGTTGCTCTTCGTCGATATCAGTGGGTTTACGGCTTTGTCGACGTCACTCGGGATCGATGCATTAAAAAGACATATCAACGAGATCTACACGCGAGCCGTAGGTATAATAGCGAGGAACGGCGGCGACGTCTTAAAATTCGCGGGCGACGCGATGCTCGTGCTCTTCCCCGTCGCCGGTGCTGGCGAGGGCGACTTGGACGGGGCCTGTGCGCTGGCCGCGAAGTGCGCGCTCGAGCTCACTAAAGCATCCACCGGTGGAGTCCATAAAGTGGACGAGGACGGCGTTTCCGCCGTGCTGCGGATGCACTGCGCCATCGGGTGTGGTAGCTACGTTTTGTACCGAGTCGGGGACCGGGACCGGTGGGAGTCGGTCATTGCTGGGGAGCCCTTACAACAAATTACGATCAGTGAACCGTGCGCGTCGGCGGGCATGACGGCGTGCTCTCCACAAACGTGGCCGCGGCTCGAGCGCAAGGGCTACAAAGGGAAGAAAACACACAAAGAGTGTCGCATCATCCAAGCGCAGCCGCGGCGCAATTCGTTTGATTTCGGCTTTCGGCGAGACCAGGAGGAACCGTCCTTGATCCAGTTGCAGCACCAAGGGAACAGTAGCTCAAGATTAACGCAGAAGGCCCACATGAGTATTTTGAAGACGTACCTCGTCCCTTCAGTCCGAGAAATTTTTGAACAACTGGGCGACTCCGGGAGCCTGTCGCCGGACAAGAAGAAGTCGCTCGTGGAGAAGGCGCCGGAGGACCATTTAGCCGAACAGAGGAAGGTCAGTACGGTCTTCGTCGAGATTCGGAACCTCGAGGACGCGTTGCTGAGTGGCGACTTGGATCGAGTGCAGACGTGCTTTCTCACTATAAAACTGTGCGTCGAGGACAAGCGCGGGATGTTAAGGCAGTTCATCGTCGACGACAAGGGTCCGTGTCTCGGCGTCCCGTGACTCGTGTCTCACACACGATTTTGAGGCCGTTCGGACCGCGTCGAGAGACCACGTCACCCTGAGATGGAGGCGCGTCGCGACGCCATCGCCGGAATGACGTTCGATGGACACAGGCGTCGTGGCCATCGCGTTCTTCGGCGTCCGGGGCCACTCGTTCGAGGACAACGAGTACCGGGCGGCGCATGTTGCTTTAGCGATTGTCAGTGCCTTGAAGCGGTACGACTTGCGGGCGAAGTGCGGCGTGACGGTCGGCGTCGGCTTTTGTGGACTTGTCGGCGCGCCGAACCGGTCCAGACCAGCGTCCCGTGCTACACTCCTGTCCGTCTCACGATGACGTGGGTGGTTTTATTTCCGACGTCATGACTCGAATCGGCCCAAATTCGGACCAGAGACCTCGTCTCATGGAGACGAGTCGTATCAGTGAAGTGGAGGCGCCGCAACACTTCACATGTCGTCCTCGCAGGTGCGAGTACGCCGTCATGGGCCCTTCCGTGAATTTAGCGGCGCGGCTCATGTGCGCCGCGGCCAAGAGCGATAAGGACGTCTACGTCGAGTCCGGCATCGAGCGAGCTACCTCAGTTTCTCCGCAAGCTCGGCTCTGCGTCTTCAACGCGTGCGAACCCATCAAGGCCAAGGGCTTCTCGGAGATGGTCAAGGTCCGCGATCTCGGCGTCCCACGTCGGTGCCTTCATACCATGCGACTCGTGTCCATCAGACGAGATCGATTTGAGGCCGTTCGGACCGCGTCGCTCCGCGCAGGTGTTCAGCCTCGAGGAAGCAGCTAAAGATAGAGCTCATACTCTCACTCATGAAGACGTGGCCTTCACGGGCAACGATGATGTATTAAGAGACATCAGCGCAGTGTTAGATGCGGTGCGAGGCGATAGTAGGGCGGGCAGCGAGTATTCAGATGAATCAGAGGGCGACGAGTTTGACATCGGCGACGCGTGTCGCGTGATTAGTGTCGATGGGGAGTCGGGACTAGGCAAATCTCGGTTGCTCAGAGAGGTCCGTCCGTGCATCAAAATGAGTGGAAATGTGTGGAAGCCCACGCGACGAGGTCTCGCAGGGCCGGCCCTTCGCCGTCTGGCTGTCGATCATCAGGAATCTACTCACCGTCAGGATGAGCGAGCCCGAGCCCAAGGCTCTGGGGCGGGAGTCGCCGCTCACCCTCGACGATTCGGCCCACGAGTTGCTCCACCTGTCGGCACTGGCCTCGAAAGTGGGCAAGGCCCTCGACATAGAAGAGGAAGAAGAGTACGAGGGCGGGGAACGAGCTAAATTTGTTCATGGCAAGATGACGCGGAGTCAGCGCGTCAAGTTCGGCGGTCACCTGTCGTGTTTTGATGAAGACGACGAGGAGTGCGCTCTCCGCGTTTTATGAAGGTGCCTTCATTCGATGCGACTCGTACCATGTCGTGGGTGGTTTCTTTTTCGAGTTTGGGGCCATTCGGACCGCGTCGGGGCCGTCGCGGCGCGGTCGCGTCGATGGCGTCTTCACGAGACAGCGCCGCCGCGACGCCGTCGACGCGATCCCACGAGGGTCTACGTGGTCATCAGGACGCCGTCGACGCGATGCCACATCGGACCGCGTCGCGAGACCGCGATGCTCCGCGCAGGTTGACTGGAAGCCCGGTCTTCAAGCGCGAATTTCTGGGCGCGGTCTTTGCGGCCCTCACCTCAAGTCAGGGCAAGGGCTTCCTACCTAGAAGAACGCTGATACTCTTGGACAACGCCCATCGACTCGACGCGCCGTCGTGGGAGCTCCTCGAGGATTTAACGGCGAAGCCGCCGGCCAGACGTGGTCGAGCGAGAGTTGTCGTCGTCCTAGCTAAAAGGGGCGGCGCGGAACTCCCCGCTGCGTGGGAGCGGTTAGCGTCCTTCGAAGATCGCATCCTCCACCTCACGCTACAGCCTTTGGACGCCTTCGCGTCGTCAAGACTGTTGTGCGCCGCACTAGATGTACCCTTACACGCCGTGACGCCGGCCACCGTAGAAAACGTGAGGAGGAAGTGTGCCGGCCTACCAGTCTTAGTACTGGCGTTATGTGACGACCTGTGTGGAAATCAAACTTCAGGCGCCCTGCGTCTGCTCGATGGCGTGGAGGCTCACGAAGTCCACCTGTCCGAACGGCCTCAACATCGAAAAAGAAACCACCGCAGGACTCACCGGTCGCTGGCCGCGCAGGCGACGCCATCGAGAACCACGTGCGCAAGCTCGAGGACGGCCAGGTCGACGACGTGCTGCCCGACGATAATGAAGATAGAGATGCTGTCAGAGGTATGGCCTCGCCCGAGACGCGCGAGGTCGTGCGGAGCGCTCTCAGAAAAGTGCCGTGCTTCATTAATTTAGATGATGAAAAAAAGTTCTCGTACTGACTCGGTGTTGAAGTTGACCTTGAACTTGATCTGGTGGCGGCGCTGGCGTCTCCACGAAGCCGCACCGCCGCGACGTCTTCATTGAGACCGCATGAGAGTCCACACGTCTCCACACAGGTACGTCTGCCATCGACTGCGTAGACTACATAGCGCACCTGGAGAAACTGTGATCAGTGAAGGAGAGCAGGGGTCGACGGTCTACATCCTGCTGGAGGGGACGATGGAGTGCTTCGTGGCCGGCGTGAAAGTGGCCGAAATTAGCGAGGGGACGGTCGTCGGCGAGCGGGCCATGCTGACGAACGCTGCCAGAAGTGCTACCGTCGTGGCGGCGACGGCCTGCGTCTCCTGGGTGCTGGAGCGGCGCCACGCCCGGTACCTCATGAAGGAGGCGGACGGCGTCTGGCGGCGCGTGTTGGCGCTCGAGTCGTTGTCGATCCCCTCGCCCGACGACAACAGCATCATGCCGTCGGGTCTCGAAGGCATCATCACGCAGAAGCTCGACGCTTTGAGTTTGAACGCGACTACCTTCGCGAAGCTCGCTTCCGCATTTGGCGCAGTGTTTCATAAAGAGGCGCTGCGGACGTGCTTTCCGGGCCCGAAGGATAGCGGCAACGACGACGCCATCGACGAGTTAGTGAAAGCTCAGTTGATCGTGGCGGATTCGCATGGCACCGATACGCAAAACACTAGAGCGGCACAGCGCCTAGCTTGGTCGCAACGAATTGCGGAGGAGCGGGGCGATCTAGGCGGTTCGGTGTACGGCGGCGGGCGCGCGTCGAATTATGGGGATGACTTTAGATCTGTGGCGGGCGACGACCTACGGTCCATTGCGGGCGACCGCATGTCGTGTCGCGGAAGTGTCGTGGGTGGCGATAGTTCGGACGTCGGAAGCACGGAAACTAGATTAAGATCGGATTCGGCAGAACCAGTAGATCATGAAGATTTACTGGAGAAGTTTAGAGCATCAGAAAGAGCCAAGAGAAACAGGCGGCCGGCGGGCCTGTACCGGTTTAGGAACCAGCAAATCGCCGAGGTGATTTATGGGGTGGTGCCCGACGAGCAGAAGCGCGAGTACCACCGGCGCATCGCGGAGTTCTTCGAGGACTGTCTATGTGTCTTGGAAGGTCGGGAATGCATCACGCATACGGACGAACGGAGAGCCATCGACACGGTCGTCGCTGCCTTGAAACTCACGACGAAGGACTTGCATCTGTTGTTGGCTGATCATAGCACGAAATCACGGTCTCTAGACGGCAAGGCGAAAGAATATAGTCTGTTGGCTGCGAGGGATGCCACGGCGCTAGGCTTGTACCGAGAAGCGGAACAGCATTATAGAAGGGTCGTAAGCATGGAGCAGCCGTCCTTCGTCGAAGAGGAAGTCGGGAAATTATCGCTAGCGAAAGCTGCTCGATTGTCAGCTTTTCTAGGGTTGGCTGAACTCTATGCGAGGTTTGAATTGGCACCTAGGCCAAGAGATGTGGACCGAGAGCAAGCGCCTTTAGGAGAAGGCCCGATACCCCTCCTCACAAGGGGATTAGAGATGCTCGGCGTCGACTCCGACGAGCTCGCGGAGGCCGACTTTAGTGCTGGTTGTATAGCTAAAAATGAAACTGAGTTACCGAACGAGGAACTCGACTTATTAGCAAGAGCGCTGAACCAACTCGGATGGTGCCTCATGCGTTCCGGAGTAGCTTTGGAGAGCAGACGACGCTGCCGGCTCACGGAGGGCTGCTTTGCGCACGCCGTGCGCATAGCGAAGAAGCGCAACGACCTACCCTTTGCTGCGAGTGCTTTGAACGGCTTCGGGACCTTCTACCAGAACTGCGCGCAGCGCGTGGGCCGCGAGAAGAACAAGCGGTTGTGCGACGTCGTGCACGGCGACGCGCGGACCGTGCTCCGGAAACCTTCTCTGAAAAAACAGGTCTCGGCGAAGAAATTCGTGAAATATCAGAAGGTGCCTCCACCTGCTAGCGGTCGAAGGTGCTGACTCAGCGTGGTTTCCGAACTTTTCCGAACTTCAACTTCGCGTCGATGGCGTCAACGCGATGCCACACCGCCGTGACGCCGTCTTCATGATCATCAGAGCGTCTGCGCGTCTCGCGAGCGAGCCGCGGCCGCGTCGTGACGCTGTCGTTCGACACAGGTGGGGCTCGGCCTCCACTTCATCAATGGAGGACGACGACTTATATGGATCTACGTTAATACTAGAGCGTTCTGCATTGTACAAAAAGGCCGAGGGTAAATTGATGGAGGCTCTGCGTATCAGGGAAGATGGGAATGGTTCGCATTTGGACGTCGCGCAAGTGGCCGTATCACTAGGATCGTTGACGGTCGAAATGGCCATCTTCGACGCGGCGCGGGCGTTCTTCGATCTGGCATTAAGGAATTACACGTTCGACGAGGCGCCGGCGCAGCACCAGCGGCGCACGCGCTCGCGGGCCTGGCGCGCGTCCGGCGCCATCAAGGTAGCAAGATGCTCCAGCAGCGCGACTCCTTATCTGCGAGGCGGGCCGGGCTACTTGTCTTAGACGAAGCCATCAACTTCCAGGCCCAGGCTGTTCGCAGTAGAGCTTCATTGGGCCAGCGCCACGGCTTGTACCAGGCTTCGGTTGCTGAATTAAGGGCCATGGAAAGTCAAAGGGATCAAGTGGAACGGGCCATGAAAAGTGCCGACGCCGACGCGCCGCCCTCGCCTCCGTCCTCGATGGCGGCGTCGTCGCCGGAGCGCGGCTCGCCCCTGCGCGAGATCAGCCCGTCCGGGCAAGTTAGGGTGATAGCGCCGACGGCTCCTACTTTAGCGGAATGTAGGGGCTCGCCGGCGAACACGCCGCGGAACGGCAACCCGGCGCCGCCCCACGACTGAATTCGTACTTTACCGGACGTCCATCTGCGCGTCCAATCTCTCTCTCTATACGGTGTACATAACACTTGAATTGTATCTCTTACTCATCAGGGGCAGAAGAGGCTCTCCGCCGTATTCCCAGAAACCCGCTTGCAGAGCTCCTTCTGCACGTAGGGCTGGACCACCGCCTCCGTGAAGTCCGCGCCCTCGAAGGACTTCGCATCCAAGATCGTCTGCGAGAACGCCGTGCCCTCGGCTTTCGCGCCGGCGAGGACCGCATCTTTTAAGTTGGCGCTCTCGAAGGACGCGCCCGTGAGGTCGGCTCCTGTAAAATCGGCCCTTTCACAGTCGGATTTGAAGAAGCGCGCGCCGCGGAGGCTCGCCTTCTTGAAGCTCGTGTCTACCGCGTCCGCGCCGCTAAAGTCCTTGTTGTCGAGCTTCTGGCCGTCGAAGTTCTGGTTTTTTATGGTTGCTTCGGCGTAGTCCTTGCCGCCTCCTGAAATGGCGGTCGCGGCGGTGGGCAGCGCGACGAGCGTGCTCAGAGTTTTGAGGGCCGCGCGGCGCGCCACAGGTCGGAGCGCCGTCGCGCTGGCTACGAGGAGTCCTAACAAGCACCGCATGGTGAATTTGGGGCAAGCAGCAACCTGACAGCAGATGAGCACTGGCAGGCTCAGATTCAGTAGTCTCGTGCCCCGGCGCTTGCAGTGGCTACAGGGATCGACGGAAGCAATCAAATGATGCCTTCTCGGTCTTCTGTTCAGCGGGGAGTTGCTCGAACAGATGCACTGACAGCAAATGTCAAGTTTGCCAGAGCTGCTTGCTAGTATCTTACGCCGCTAGATCAAATCGGACGGGTGGGCCCGGGGGGAGCGGGAGGGGTACGGGGGACCCTGCGACGTAACTAGCCTGAGCCCAAATTACTCCCCGGGCGCCGACCACCACACCCTCGGCAGCTCGCGCGGCGCCGCCGGCGCGGGAGGCCTCAGGTTAACGGCTGCGGCCGCCTGGCCGGCCGCGAACGCCGCGGCCGCGGCCGCGTCGACGCGAGCGGCGACGGCGAGCACAGAGGCCTTGTCCGGCGACACCTCCGCGGGCGGCGCGGCGGCGGCCGGCTTCGACGCCTCGACGGATGGCGCCGCCGCCGCGACGGTCGATGCTGCTGCCGGCGCGACGGTCGATGCTGCCGGCGCGGCCGGCGTCGGGGCCCCGCGCCGCGGCGAGATCGATGTCGGCGGGTCGCGCGGAGACAACGGCCCCGCCGCGAGCGCCGGCGGCGCGTCCGGCGAGAGCGGCGAGCCCGCGGAGAGCGGCAGGTCCGCGGTAGTCGGCCGCGCGGGCGTCCGTTCGACCGGAGCCGGCGCCGCGGCGCTCCGTTCGGCGAGCCGCGCCTCGGCGGCGTCCGCCCTTGCCACGGCCTCCTCGAGTTTCACCTCGGCCGCCTCGCGCGCCGCGTCGGCGTCCTCGCGCGCCCGGAACGCCTCGGCGCGCCGCCCCTCGGCCTTGTCGCGCGCCGCCGTCGCCTCCTTGACGCGTTCCTCGGCGTCGGCCCGCGCCGCCGCCGCCGCCTCCAACTTCGCCTCGACGTCCCCGAAGGACAACGACGCGACGCGCGCCTTCGTCTCGAGCTCGGCGACGCGCCCGTCGCGAGCTTGGATTTCGTTCCGCAGCTCCCTCACGATCTTATCCCGCTGGTCGAGGTCGTCTCGGAGAGCACGCGCCTCGTCCCGCACTTTGGCGAGGGTCTCCTCGGCGTCCTGGGCCCGCTTTCGCGCATTGGCGAGGGCCGCCGAGTCCTTCTCGACGACACCGGGTTCCGCCGGTCTTTCCCTAAAGCTCCTCACCAATGCCTCCTGGCTCTCCCGGATCAACCGCAGCTCGGCCTTGACCTCCGCGGCGGCGTCGTCGATGGGCGGCAGGGACTCGCGTTTGGCGGGTGTCTCGAAATCAGGCTCGTCGCGCGTCGACGCGAAGTCCGTGGGCTCGTCGTCGCGCGTCGACGCGGCCTCGATGGGCGGGAACGTGTCAAAAGGTTCCGGTTCTCGGCGGCCGAAATGCAAGGGTGATGGCGGCGGCCGCCCGGCGTCGCGCGCGATCTGTTGTTGGAGCCCGGCGATCATGACCGCTTGGTCCGAAGCGGTCCGTTCCGCCTCGGCCAACCGCTTCGACGCTTCGTCGTAGCGCGTGTGCCAGTCATCATGTAGATTGGGCGACCGGGCTTGTACTGAAGGACTCGCCACGCCCAGGACGTCCTCCGAGGCGAGATAACTCTCGAGAGCGTCTTTGGGCGTCCGCGGCGCCGTCCCGGAGAACGTGATCTGCTTGCCTTGCAACGTTAAGGCTGATTTCAACTGCTTGACATGATTTTGTAGCTCCGCGTTCTCCTGCAGGGCCTCCCGCGTTCGCTCTTCGGCCTCTTCCGCCCTCCGACAGAACTCCTCGGCCGCCCGCACGGCGCCACTCCCGGCCGCCTCCGCCGTCGCCCGGCGCTGGTAGGTGAGGCGTGCCTTCTCGGCGTGCTCTTGCACGGCCTTCAGCTTCTGGCTCAGGTGCTTCGTGCGCTGCCGCAAGCTCAAATTCTCGGCCTGGAGGGTCGCGTTCTTGCCGACGGATGCGGTGTCTTTGTCTTTCAGCTGCTTGGCTTGCTTGCGGCAGCGCCTCTGTAATTCAGCATGGGCTATTCGGAGCGTCCTTAGTGATTCGGAGGCGTCGGCCATCGTGGCGTCACGGCCGTGGTGCCGCGTCGTTGGGGCGTGGCGTCGCGTGTCCCGCCGGCGGTGGGCGTCGCGTCGACGGCGTGGGGCTCACGCTAGGGTGGGGACTTTGCTGCCCGGCGCGCGTCGTTGGGCTGCCCCGAGTCGTAGACGTGGAGCCGTGCGTGTGGTGGCAGCTTAAATGGGGAAACCCCGGAGCCTGCTCCGTCGTACGCGCACAGCCTTCGCGCACGTTGGCTTGCAACCGATTTTAGGCGGCGCGGGTCGCGGAACTCTCGGGGCGATCGAAGGCCTGCCGTATCGCCGTACCTCTGTGCGCGGCACATGTGGTGTTTGGACTTCTCGAAAAAGCATCAACAAAACGGGTTTCTCTGACTAGCCAATTTCCAGGTTTTTCGAGTGTTTCCGGGCGTGCCGTGGTAATATCGCTAGCGCATTACTCATTTCCGAGCCTGACGGCAGCGCTGCCCAAGTTACAGCGCTCAGATTTAGCTAGAACACATCGATTACAGCATGCTGCGCGCGGTGCGCGCACGCTGGGTGCATCGATGCCGCCGAAACATGGCGCACTTCCCGCTCTTCGTGCAGAACGAGCTGCGCGAAGCGGCCGACGGTGCGACAATCGACATCGAGGACCCGGCCACCGGCGCAGCAGTAGCGACGTGCGCGACGGCCGGCCCAGCGGACGTCGCCGCGGCGGTGGACGCCGCCAAAGCCGCGTGGCCGGCCTGGCGCGACGTAGGGGCCAAGAAGCGGGCAACGATCCTACGCAACGCAGCGCAAGAGCTGCGAAGGCGCGTGCCCGAGCTGTGTGACATAGAGACGCGCCAGACGGGCCGGCCCCGGCGGGAGTACCAAGCACAATTGGGAAGGGTCCCGGAGTGGTTTGAGTACCACGCGTCGCTCGCCGAGACGACGGAGGGCGCGGCGCCGAATTTTATTGGAGACCCGGACCATCTGTGTGTGGTCCAGAAAGTACCGCTCGGCGTTTGCGGACTCATCACTCCGTTCAACCACCCCTTGCTCATCGCGTCGAAGAAGCTCGCGCCCTGCCTGGCCACGGGCAACACGGCCGTCGTCAAGCCGTCGGACCTCGCGCCGGGGTCTATCATCAGACTGGGCGAGATCTTCGCGGTGAGTGGCGCGCCGCCCGGGGTGGTGAACGTGCTCCCGGCGGCGCCGACGCGGCGACGGCGCTCGCGGCGCACGAAGCCGTGGCCAGCGTCGATTTGACCGGGCGGTGCGGCGGCGGGCAGGCGCTCGGCGCGATCGCTGGCGCTCGCGCCGCGTCGTACGGCGCCGAGCTCGCGGGCCACGCGCCTCTACTAATTTTTGACGACGTCGACCTGGACCAAGCGGTCGCTGGTGCTTGTTTCGCGGCTTTCTTAGCTGCGGGGCAGACGTGCGTCTCGGCGAAGCGCATCTTCGTCGCGCGAAGCATCTACGACGAGTTCGCGTCCCGACTCGCGAAAAGAGCGGATGCGCTACGCGTCGGAGATCCCTTCGCGCCGGAGACGGAAGTTGGGCCTCTGGTCTCGGCGAAGGCACTCGCGGCGGCGCGGCGTTTTGTGGATGAGAGCGGCGCCGAAATCTTAGCTGGCGGCTCGGAGCCGTGCGCAGAGCGCGGTTACTTCTTCCGGCCGACGGTGCTCGCCGGCAGCGTGGACCTGCCGTGCTTCCGGGAGGAGTGCTTCGCGCCGGTCGTATGTATAGCGCCCTTCGACGACGAGGCCGACGCGATCGCAAAAGCGAACGCGAGCGCGTACGCGCTCGGCGCTGCCGTGTGGACGCGCGATGTAGGGCGAGCGCACCGCGTCGCCTCAAAATTGCACGCCGGCGTGACCTGGGTCAACTGCCACCACCGGAACGGTCCCGACGCGCCGTGGGGCGGTTTTCTGAAATCTGGTGTAGGGCGAGAGAACGGGCGCGATTCTCAAAACGCGTACACGGCCTCGAAGACGCTCGTCGTGCGCACGGCTAGTGAAGGAGAGGACTGGTTCGGTGGAGGCGCGCGCTACGGTTAATGTTTATGTCTTAAAGCTCCCCGCCGCGCCGCGCCATGGCCTCGTTGAGTAGTCCGGCGATCTTTTTGCGCGTCGCGTAGGGGACCGCCGCGTCCTCCGCGACCTTGAACGCGTTTTCGCCCGCATTGCCAGTTAATAACGGATCCGCATCGAAATCTAAGAGTGATTTGGCGATCTCCAGGTGACCCAACCGGCAGGCGAAGTGCAGCGGGCCCCAGCCACCCGACTGTTCCTGCGTGATCTGCGCGTTCGGGTCCGCGCCTCGTCGCAGTAGGGCTTTGACGACGTTGCGGTCGTTGGAGCCGACGGCGAAGTGGAGGGCCGTGTATCCGGATGGCGTCGCGGCGTCGACGTCGACGCGAGGATCCACCGCATTTAATAGAGAAGCGGCCAGCACGGGCTGCCGCAGCTGCACCGCAATCGACAATGCCGGCACGCCGTGGTCGTCGCGCGCGTTCACGCCCACGTGATCTTCGTTCACGAGCTTCGCGGCGACGTCAAACTCGCGCGCCTTCAGCGCGTCGATCAGCCGAACGTCGTCGGCGCTCGTCACGTGCACGACCTCCGCCAGCACCTTCGCTCCTTTCTCGCTCGCACGATGCCGGAACTCCTCGGGAAACTCGTCAACCTCAACCGTCTCGCCCGCGCAGGCGCCGGTCAGGGGATTGAGGATGCGCCCGTCGACGACGGCGTGGACCCACCGCGTCGTCAGGTGCTCCGTCTTGTCACCGACCGCCACTGACGCGTTGTAGAGCACGTGGGCGCCGGCGCCGGCCGGGTGCTCGCAGCGCTTTGCCTCCTTCTCGTCCTTGCCGGGCCCGCAGTGGGAGCCCGCGCAGTGCTCGCCGCCGACCCATTGCCCCATGTTCTGCGCGACTGCCAGGGTGGCGCACAGTATGACGCGGTGCGGGAGGCCCATGGTTGTGCTTTTTTTCACCAATGCGATGCAACAACAGCCCTACACGCGTCGCTTGGGCAGCCTCGTCGAGCGGAAGTCTTCGTGGGGGGCGCCCCCGACGCCGGCGCGCAACGACTCGTCGGCGGCCTGGATATAGCTATGAATTACGCGATATCGGCGCCAGTCACCCTTCTTTTTGGTGCGGCTAGTGTGTCTATCTCCCGATTTGGCAGGCTAGCTTTGGCTGTGCCTAGGCGCCTGCCTTGTGGCCACTCGGATAGATCAGGCTGCGCGCATCGCACCACGGCTCGCGAGGAGTAGCGCGCACCTTCGACACAGATCGCTGCCTCCGTCTTTGCCGCGTAACTCGAGCTATGGCCGAGGTGCTCGAGGCCGGCCCGGACGGCTTCGACCTGTCCGCCGAGCTGGACGCCACGTCGATATCAACCACAATGAAGACGTGCAGCGCCTGCCACGAGGACAAGCCGCAGGATGCCTTCTCCAAGAAGGCGTGGAAGGCGCGGCAGGTCCGCCGCTGCGTCGAATGCACGACCGCGGACAAGCCGGTCACGGTGAAGAGCAAGGGCGGTGGCGCGGCGGCGGCGTCGCCGTCGCCACGCGTCACGCCGGCGAAGGGCAAGGCGACGCCGCCACGCGCCGCGGGCGGCGGAGACGACACCGAACTCCCGCTCGATTCCCCGCCGTTCAAGGCCTACGAGCGGAAGCACGGCACGATGGCGGCGCTGCACCGCAGCGCCGAAGGCGGCGACGGGAAGGCCTACGCGGAGCTCGGCTACATCTATGCGCACGGCAACGGCGTCGTCCCGGACCAGGAAACGGCGTGCAAGTACTGGATCGCGGGCGCGGCGATCGGCGACGTCGAGTGCCAGGGGACCCTCGGCGCCCGGTACTGCATGGGCAACGGCGTCCCGATGGACGCGGCCGAGGGCTTCCGCTACTATAAAATGTCCGCCGACCAGGGCTGCGTCCAGGGCCTCAACGGCATGGCCACGTGCTACGAGAACGCCGAGGGCGTCGCGCAAGACCTCGACGAGGCGCGGCGCCTGCTGGAGCTGGCGCTCGATAAAGTTCCACGCGGACCCAGCGCGCCCGGCGCTGGCGCGCGCGAAGGTCTACCACGACGACATCATGACCGCGCTCGCGCGCATCGACTCCCGGAGACGCGGCGGCATGGGCGCGGCCTTTGCGGTCACCGGCGAGCGACGCGACGGGACGGGCTTCGCCGAGGTTATGCCTCAGATGCCCTACTAGTAGACTCGCGTAACAATAGATCTCACGCCTTGTCGACGCGCCGTAGTAGAGAAGTGCCGCGGTCGTTATGTATGTAGGAGTTTATTTTTAATTTTTTACTCGTACGTTGCGTCGGCGAAGATCGGTCGGGGGGGATTTGACGGAAGCATTCTCGGCGCAGCGGCCTCGTAATCGCGCTGCTTACATCATGTCGTCGCCCTCCTCGTCCTCGTCGAACTCGCCCTCCTCCTCGGCCGTCGCGTCCTGGTACTGCTGGTACTCGGAGACGAGGTCGTTCATGTTGGACTCGGCCTCGGTGAACTCCATCTCGTCCATGCCCTCGCCCGTGTACCAGTGGAGGAACGCCTTGCGGCGGAACATGGCCGTGAACTGCTCGGCGACGCGCTTCCACGTCTCCTGGACGGCCGTCGTGTTGCCGATGAACGTCGTCGCCATCTTGAGGCCCTTCGGGGGGATGTCGCAGATGGCCGACTTGACGTTGTTCGGGATCCACTCGACGAAGTACGACGAGTTCTTGTTGACGACGTTGAGCATCTGCTCGTCGACCTCCTTCGTGGACATGCGGCCGCGGAAGAGGCACGAGCACGTGAGGTAGCGGCCGTGGCGCGGGTCGGCGGCGCACATCATGTTCTTGGCGTCGAACTGCTGCTGCGTGAGCTCCGGCACCGTGAGCGCGCGGTACTGCTGCGAGCCGCGCGACGTGAGCGGCGCGAAGCCGACCATGAAGAAGTGGAGCCGGGGGAACGGGACCATGTTGACCGCGAGCTTGCGGAGGTCGCAGTTGAGCTGGCCCGGGAAGCGGAGCGAGCACGTCGTGCCGCAGACCGCCGCCGCGATGAGGTGGTTGAGGTCGCCGTACGTCGGCGTCGTGAGCTTGAGCGTGCGGAAGCAGATGTCGTAGAGCGCCTCGTTGTCGAGCGTGAAGCACTGGTCCGAGTTCTCGACGAGCTGGTGCACCGAGAGCGTCGCGTTGTAGGGCTCGACGACCGTGTCCGACACCTTGGGCGACGGGATCACGGAGGTCGACATGACGCGGTCGGGGTACTCCTCGCGGATCTTCGAGATGAGGAGCGTGCCCATGCCGGCGCCCGTGCCGCCGCCCATGGAGTGGACGAGCTGGAAGCCCTGGAGGCAGTCGCGGGACTCGGCCTCCTTGCGCACGACGTCGAGGACCGAGTCGATGAGCTCGGCGCCCTCCGTGTAGTGGCCCTTGGCCCAGTTGTTGCCCGCGCCCGTCTGGCCGAAGACGAAGTTGTCCGGGCGGAAGAGCTGGCGAAGGGGCCCGCGGACCGAGTCCATGGTGCCGGGCTCGAGGTCCATGAGGATGGCGCGCGGCACGTAGCGGCCGCCCGTCGCCTCGTTGTAGTAGACGTTGATGCGCTCGAGCTGGAGGTCCGAGTCGCCGTGGTACGTGCCCGTCGGGTCGACGCCGTGCTCGTCGGAGATGACCTCCCAGAACTTGGCGCCGATCTGGTTGCCGCACTGGCCGCCCTGGATGTGGACGATCTCGCGCATGGTTGCTTACGTAGGTGTTGCTTTAGAACCTGCGGGGCGCGGCGGTTCATTCTCCCGGCGCTACTCTTTTGGGGGCTGCCCCATTCTGGCGTTAAGCTGCCCCCAAACGCGCCGCGCGCTTGGGGAGGCGTCCGTCGGCTCCGTACGATGCCTTTCAAGGCTGCCTCGCGCGTCTTTTTATGGACGCGGCTGTCGCGCGGGATGATAATAGCGGCGTCCGGCTGCTGGCTTTCCTAATGGGATGTAACATAAAACCGCCGGTAGCCTGTAGTCCCTGAGATTTAGGATCACAAGGCCCGTCCGCGGCCCCACCGCTCCGCCGGAGCCCCCTCCGGCGGACCGCTGCCCCGTGTGGTCTTCCTGTGCTTGGGTTGCCGCGACTCCCGCGGTGACTCCCGCTTGCCCGGCCCCTGCGCCGGTTGTGGTGTGCGCCGAGGCGTACTACGGGTCCCGTCGCGGAGCGGTGGTGCGTGCCTGGGACGTTGTTTCCTTTGAAACCGAACTCGGCGCTCATGCAGGCCCACGTCCGCTCGCACTGCCGCTCGGAGCGCGGCTAGTTTGCCGCGCCGGCGGCAAGCAGAGCATCTCGGCGGGTCACTCTGACCGCCAGCTCTCTCGCCAGCTTCGGTCGTACGCCGTCCGCGGCCGCCGAGGCCACATAGGTAGTATCCTCCGAAATCTGACTCGCCGTATACGCGGCGACCGCGGGCCCGCGGGACGCCGCCAGCGCTGTCGGAGGCACACCGAGCGCTGCCGCAGCCGACGCAAACGCGGCGCGACAAAATGCTCCTCCCCAAGGGCGTCGAGCCGGGCGACTGGCGCACGGCGTCGCCGGACACGACTTGGTTGGATTCCCACTCGCCCTTGCCCTCACCGAGACCGCCCGCTAGAAGCTTCGCGGACGTCGACGACCTCGAGCAGCAGGAGGCACCAGTGAAAACCGACGAAGAGTGCGAATGCTCGCGGAGTCGAGGACGGTGCCGGTGGCTCGCGGGCGGGCTGTGTGTTGGTGCTTCTATACTCCTAGGTGTGTGCGCGGGGCCGGCGCGGGGCCAGTTTTTACCTGTTCAGACCGTTCCTGACGTCATCCTCGCGGCTCATACGCGCAAGAAGGAGGCCACGGTCGTACTCATGAGGCACTGCGACAAGGACGAGAAGTACTCGGAGACGCACTGCACGCCGAAAGGTGTTCGAAGAAGTGCCTGGCTCCCCTCGTTATTCGACGGGACTCGCTTCGACCCCCCTTCGTACTTGTATGCGCGGAAGCCGGAAAAACCGCGGAACGTCATGCGGTCCATCGAGACGCTCGAGCCCATGGCCCGGACCTTTGACCTGGAGATCGACGTCCACTTCGGGGAGAGTGACAACGAGGAGCTCGCGAAGGACGTGAAAAAACATCTATCCGAGGAGGGTCCCATCATTATAGCGTGGAAGCACGAGCGCCTGCCGTCCCTGGCCAGGGCCCTGGGCATGGAGAAGCCCGGGACCTGGAAGGCCGACGACTTCGACTCCCTGTACGTGCTTTCGTACGAAAGTGGCAAGCTCGTCTCGTCTCGTAAAGACAAGGAGGGCTACGCCGAGTGAGAAATTCGCAGAAGAACCACCATGTTTTCTGAAAAATGTGTCCATAGTTTGTGTCTATAATTACTTTGAATATGAATTAAACACGTACTAGGAGGGCGCCGTCGCCGTGACGCGACGAGAGTGTGTGCCGGGTCGCGGCGGCGGCATATGGGTGACGCCGTCGACGCGGTCGCCTAGCGCGACGACACCACCAAATGGATGAGGATGTTCGAGCACGCCGCCAGCGACAGAACGATCGCCAAGGCAACCGGACCGTTCTTGTCCTCGTAGGGCCCCGGCTCCCTCCGGCGGATCGCTCTAGCTCTCGCGTAGTATTGCCCGAGCGCGTGCACGACAAAACAAATCGCCACGGGCAACAACACCAACCCCGGCAAGGGCGACAACCCGCTCTTCGTACTGAACCCGATGATGCCCACGGCCATGCCCCCGAGCATCAACGCCATGTGCACCCACGCTAAAAACGTGCGCTCGTTGGCGAAGAAGACCTGCGCGGCGCATCGCGGTCTCTCGCCTCGTCCGATGAGGCATCGCGTCGACGGCGTCCTGATGACCACGTAGACTCTCGTGGGATCACGACGATGGCGTCGCGGCGGCGCTGTCTCGTGAAGACGCCATCGACGCGACCGCTGTCTCTCTGACACGCCGCGACGGCCCGGCGTGGTCGAAACAGCTCAAAATCGAATAAGAAACCACCCACGTCATCGTGAGATGGCCACGAGTCGTATTGAGGAAGTGAAGGCGTCGCTAGACCACGGGACGCCGCTTCATCACCTTGGGGTCGACCTTGACGGGCTGCACGCGCGGCTTGTCCGCGTTGCTTACACTAGGTTCGCCGATGGCGTCGTAGCCGCGGCGCGGGCCGAACATGGTGGATCCTCCTTTTGAGTTGTTTTGCTGTGCTCGTCGCGCCGGCTGAGCTTGCTTGCGAGAGGCACTGCTGTCTGCGCCTCAGAGGTCCTCGCGAGACGGCGGCGAAGCGCTGTAGTGAGAGCAGGGATCGATGTGGTCCTAAGCGCGTCAACTGACGAGCTATGCCGCTCGCGTAGTGGTTTACGCCGCAGATTCCAGTCTGCTGGTGGGTGATGAGGCTGAAGACAACCTCATTCATGGATTCTTCTGACGACGTATGCGTCGACGGAGACGCATCTTTAACAGCGGAAAAAAAAATAGGGAGGATCAGCTAAATGAAAAAAATCGGGTCGTGATCGTCTCCCAATTTGCGCGGCTTTGACCTGTGCGCGTGCGCATCGCACCGGCAGGCATCATAGAGCGCTGCAAGTGGTTCCTAGCACCGCTGCTTCGACCGCGCAGAAGACGCGAGCTCCAGCGAGCGCGCAGGCGGCGCGCAAGCTGCGATTGTTTAAACCCAGCGAAATCGCCACGCGCGCGGTAGATGATGCGCGGCCCGCGGCAAGACGACGATTCTGTTATAGAGAACCCGCTGAAATTAGGACTCATCCAAGCGAACCCGCTCGCGATAGGATTACTCCACGCGAGCAGAAACACGCGAAAACTCAAAATCACCGCGGCGGCGGAATGTGATAGAGCATTACTAGAAAGGAGCTGCGAGCCCGAGGAACTGAAGGGCGTCAAGTGGTACGAGAGCTACAACGCGATTTTAAGGGACCCCGACGCGACCACCCGAGTGGACTCCGTTTTTATCGGAGGCACCACAAGCACGAGGAGCCAGTGGGCCGTGGCCGCGGCCCAGCACCACAAGCATGTTTTAATTGGCTGTCCCGCGGCGGCGGACTACGAGTCGACGGTCGTCATGCGCGACGCTTGCGTCGCGGAAGACGTCGCGCTGCAGGACGTCGTGCCCTTCTCGCACCACACGCGCACGGAGGAGATCCTGTCGACGATCGCGGAGTCCCGGTTCTTCGGCGAGGTGCGGCGGGTCGAGCGTGGCCTTCACGATCTCCGCTAGTAGGGACTTTCTAGAGGGGGCGGGAAAGAATCAACGGCCAAGGACGACCCGCTCGGGTGCTTGGGCGACCTCGGCTGGGCCTGCGCGCGCATGGGGAAGCTCGCGTACGGCGTGCTGAACCCCGTGTCGGCGCAAGTGATCCACAGCGAGGCGACGGCGGAGAACGTGCCGGTAGATGTTACAGCGGTAGTCTACTTCGGCGAGAACTCCACGAAGCCCTGCCACATGCACTGTAGCTACGTCCATCCTTTGCAGCAGTCGTTCAAAGTCATTGGCGACAATAAAATTCTCAGATCACGGCGACTTGGCGTACCAGCGCCGGCCGGGACTGCTCCTATACGATCGAAAGCTTCCCGGCGGGCGACGAAGGGCGGTCCGCCTTGGTGGACCTGGGGCAGTGCGTCGTGAGCGCCCTAAATACAAGCAGGTGCTTCAATGCCCAGAATCAGCGCACGTCTCGATGTTAGATCAATTTGCCGACCTATGTGCGCTGGAAGATGAAAATGACTGGCGGCGCCAGGGCTTCGAGGGCAAGCACCAAGCTCGCGAGCTGTTCTCCTCTCAAATTATTGGGACGCAGGCGCCGTCAGTGCAAGCGGCGGTCGAAAGTTTGCGGAACCGGGCAAGGCCATCGCCGTGCCCGAGGACAACATGCCGCCGCCGCCGCCGCGCGACTCGCGCATGCGCCCGACTAGCAGCCCTCCCTCTAAGAACACCGGCGATACCTGGCTTTCGATGGGCATCTCCAGCACGACGCGCGCCATTCAAGCGCGCCATGGCGCCGTTGGAGCCGCCCTTGTCCGGTGATCGCGGGGTTCGGGCCTTGTAGGCCCGGTCGATCACCGGCAAATGCCGGTCTCCTCCACACCGAACAATTCCGCGCACTCGCGAATAGCCGCGGTGCGCGACGGCGACCCGAAGAACGAGCCCCGCCCGAAATACCGGTGCGACGCCTCGGCGCCCGTCGCCGCGCCGATCACGTAGCCGAGCAGGCCGCCCACGAGGCGCGTCGCCCCCTCGGTCACGCCGTGGCACGCCGTCGTCCCATTGCCGCAGAGCGCCGTCGCGACGCGCGCCGACGCCCTCCGCCTAGCAACGCGCCGGCCGCGCCGCCGCCGAGGCCGCCGGCGGCCGTGCCTACGGTCGTGACGGCGCGCAATGTAACGCTTCGAAGGCGTTGTTGCCCGGGTCGTTCCCGTTCAAAATCCAGTCGTTGATGCGCGCGACGGTGGCCGGCGTGAGATCGCAGGGGTGGTCCTGGGCGCCCGCTGCCCGCAGGGCGAGGAGCCAGGCGATTCTTCGCATGACAGGTTCGGGCTGCCCGCTGTATCGCAAGCTGCCGCACCGGAGCCGGAGCGATGGGTGGCGACACTGCGTCGGTCGTGCAGCCTCCGGGAGGACAAATCGAGCCTCCTGAGCCGCGGGAGAGCAGCTTTAATTATTTTCCTAGTGTGTTACAAGCCGCTAGCTCCGCGCGCGACGTGGTTTAGCTCAAAAGCCGGCAAAAGTTGCAGTTTCGCGGCAGCCGGGCGCACACTAGACTGTCGCCAGCCGCCAGACGCCATCGAGCGGCCGCGCGGGCAACTATATCTGATATCTGAGCACAGCCCTGCCCGCGCCAAAGCGCCAAAAGCGCCAAAAAAGCGATGGTCGTCCACGACTACAACTGGATTTTAGGAAGCGAGGCGGCCCTGGACTGCGTCGCCAAGTGCCTCACGATCATTTATGGCGAGGACGACGGCTTCGCTGCTGCCGCCGCGGAGCCTCGCCTACTACGACGACCTATGGACGTGGTGGACGCGCCTGCGGCCCGTCGACGTGGAACCGAAGCTCGCGGCCCTCGTGGCCAGTTGCCACGCCGACGCCTGGCTCTCCGAGGACGTGGGGGGGAACCAAATTTTCGTGGCGCCCTCGTACAGTATCTTGGGGCTGCTGCTCCTGGCCGCGGGCGCGCGGGCGCCGCGGGACCTGGCCCACGCCCTCGTGAGCGCGGCGCGGCGCGACTGCCAGCGCGTCCTCGACCTGGGCGCGCCCGCCCGAGTCGCCGCGCCGCAGCGCACCGGGCGAAGCTTCGTCAAGCGCCTCTTCGCCCACGACTTCGGGAGGACGGATCGGCGGGAGTTAGTCCGGGAGCCCTTCGGGCCGCGCGAGGTGCAGCTCTGCGCGAAGGTCGCGGACGGCGCGCTGACGGTGGGGACCGGCGACGAAGCCGTGCCGCCGTGGTTTCCGTCTCAGAAGGCCGTCGCGCCGCGCCTCGCCGTCTCCGGCCTTGGGGAGGACGCCTGCGCGCCGTGGTGCGGCGCACCGACGTTATTCGCGCTGGCCGAGCGGCGCGAATCAGTTCCCTACTCCCCTCCGCCGCGGCCGGCGCTCTCCACGCATCTCCCGGCGCTCGGCGGCCTCGAGGTCCTCGACTTCGCGCCGACGGCGGCGGAGGCGGAGGCGGAGGACGACGAGCCGCCCGCGCCGCCGGACCTGCGGCGCGAGGCGCCCGACGCGCTCACGACGCTCGGCCACATGGGCTACGAGCCGGCCGCCGCGAAGCGCGCCCTGGCCGCCGCCAAGGGCGACTTCTCCAAGGCCGTGCGGGCGCTCGAGCGCGAGTGCCGCCGCGCGTCGGGCGCGGACCCGGTCCTGGACGCGGCGACGGGCGGGCGGGCGTCGGCGGCCGTGCCGCCGTCGCTCGCCGACGACCAGTCCTGCGACGTCTGCGGCGCGGGCAACTGCAAGCGGCGCTGCGGGCGCTGCCGCGAGGCGTACTACTGCTCCGAGGAGTGCCAGCGGAGCGCGTGGCCCGCGCACAAGGAGGCCTGCGCGGCGCCGGCCGCGAACCGCGTGACGCCGACGCTGCATGTCTGGGACCCAACCGCTTCGCCCGCCTCTCCAGATAGAGCCCGTGGAGGTGCATGGGCGTTGCTCTGGCGCGCCTGCGAGCTTGAAGACGAGGAGCATGATGATCAGGCGCGCCCAGAGCGGCGTCGGCGGGATCGTCGCGTAGTAGATCGCTGAGGTGCAGCATACGACCCGTGGACACCCTCGCCATCACGCGACGGCGCCCCCAGAACCGCGTCAGCTCGACGGCGTGAAGGCTCACGCACACCGCAAGGCACGTGAGACAGCGTCATCGTCGCAACATGTATGAAGTCCAACGGACCGTTGTCCGGGTACAGTAAGTGAATCGTCTGCGCCGCGCCGCCCGAACTCCATGGCGACGCCGCCCGAAGATGAAGATGCCGGGGGCAGTCGTGAAGAAGAATTGAAGGATGATCACCCAGCACCCGAGGTGGTGCGCCCAGTACATGGCGTCCATCCTCGCGTCGAGCAGGTAGAGGCCCAGGTCCTTGAACATGTACGCGTAGATGAGGAGGAGGAAGATCCGCTCAGGGGTGGCTGCTAGCTTATCCCAGGGCGCCGAGAGCCATTCGATAAAGCTGCCGTCGTACGCCGCGACGCACCACGCCGCCACGGCGGGAAACGCGACGAGTTGCACCGGCAGGCAGCTCAGCCAGTTGTAGAGCGGGGATCCATTGAAGTCCCGCGTCGGCAATAGTCTCGAGCAGATGAACGTGTAGATTAATGATGCGAGGGCCCAGAGGGCGCACTGCGCGACGAACTCCGGCAGCGTCCAGCCCGAGCGCAGGCAGTCATCCTCGGTGCAGTCCTGCGGGTGGCGGCCGTGGACGGTGATGAGGTCCATTGCTGCGTTTGTTGCAGCGAGGAGTGGTAGATATGAATTGGCAGCTGCTTTGCGACAGCCCTGCGTGTAACTGCACCACCTGTGCACGGCGGCAAAGGAGCGCACGGCGCGATCACGTTTGGAGAGCGCGCACGGGTTTTATCGAAATCTGAGGAGAAGGCTCCGGTGCCGACGAGGTCCAGTTTGGCGCTTGGGGAAGCGTACGCTCAAAGGCGCAGCGCTATCTCGCAGCGCTGCGGTTTTTTGTAAAGTGTCTGTGTGGGCCGCTCCCAAACGCGCTGCTGTGCGCTGCGAGTACAAGTCCAGGATTCAATTCTACAGCGTGCATTACAACCACTGAACGGGCGTTCAATTCTACAGTGTTGTTGTTGAGCAGCCCCCACGCCTTGCAAACAAAGGGCAGCCAGTGAGGTCAAATGGAGCCTGTGTGCTGAAAGTGGAGCAGCCAGCGTAGAGCGCCGGAGATAGGACAGCGCTAAAGAAATGGGCGCCGGCGCCAGCGTCGACGCCCTCTCCCTCGACGGCGAGCTGAAGGAGCTCTTGAGCTACTACGACGGCAACCTGGAGAGCGCCGCGGGACGCGGTGAACCGCGAGATCGTGCGCGTCGTGCCGAAGACTGGCAGCGGCCGCTTCGTGCCCGAGCGCGGCGAGCAGACCGCTGTGCAGGGCGTCGTGGACCGCGCGACTAAGCTCGCCAGACTCGCCACGACGAGTCCGCGTGGGAAGGCTACAAGGCCGCCGACGGCGACGCGGCGCGCCAGAGCGCCGACGATTTCCTCGCGGAAACGAGGCGGCTCGAAGAAGATTTCCCTGATACGCCGCCGCCGCCGCGCTGCGACTTGCCAGAGGGCGCATCCATCGACGCGCTCGCAGCGCTGGCCTATTTTCACGGGGAGGACCTGCTCGAATCGCTCAGGCGGTTCGTTCAGGATGCGGGCGGTGAGTATAAAAGGGGGCCGCGAAAAAGCAAGAGCCGCATCAGACAAAAAACCGAGAAGGACTACGGCGGCGACGTGGCCCGCGTCGTCGACCTCGAGCGCGCGACCGGCATCTTCGACTCCGTGGACGACCTGAGCTTCGCCATCTCGCTGCTGAGGGACGCCTCCCGCCGGGGCGAGATCACGATCCGGCGCTGCAAGGACCGCTTCAGCCACCCGTTCGAAAACGGCTACCGCGACCTGCAACTGAACGTCGAGCTGGAAGGCTTTGTTGGGGAGCTCCAGTTGAATTTGAGGCGTATTATCGAGGTGAAGGCCAAGGCGCACAAGATCTATGAAGTCGAGCGCGTCATCGAGGCCAAAGAAGACAAGGACGCGCTGCAACGCGCCGTCGACGGCCCGGGGCTCGAGAGCGAGCAGGTCCTGCGCCTCACGATCGAAGGTGGCCGCTCGATCGACGACGCGTTCGGATCTCTCGCCGTGTTCGAGGCGGCGCTGGCGCGGGCGCTGCCGCCGGGCTGCGTCGTCGCGAACGTGTATTCCGGGGAAAGGGGCGAAGTGCGCGTGCGGCTCGGTCTCGACGAGGTCGCCGCCATGGCCCAGCTGCGGGACGACGTTGTCTTGGAATCGAGGGCGTTTGAGGATGCGCTTAACGAGAGCTTGCCAGACGGAACCAAGATCAGCGTCGACCGCGCCGCCTTCCTCGAGTGCTACTCGCGGATCATGATGCGGTTCGGGAAATTGACGCCGCACCAGCGCGAGAAACTCAAGGAACTGCGAGCCGCAAATGTCGCCGTGCTACTGTCGCCTGCGGGCGGCGGCAAGACGTTCCTCGCGATCCAGCGCGTGCTCGAGGAGCTTCGGGGCGACGCTGGCGCGGTCGTGCTGTTCGCGGCGCGGAACGTCGCGTTGGCGCTCTTCGTCTGCAAGTGGCTGGTCGTGGCATCGCGAAAATCAGCAAAGCATGTTGTAGATCGCGTGCACGTATTGGTGGCGCCCTTCGAAGACGGGCCGCGGCGCGTGCGCGTCGAAGGGAGACGGCTCGTGCTCGACGCCGTCGGAGAAGCCGTGAAGTATGCTCTAGTGGTCGTCGACGAGGCGCACCACCTCGTGAACGACGCCGCGCTGCGTGCGCAGCTCGCCCATATTAGCGCTGCTCAGACGCGCCTATTGTTGCTCGCGGACGCCTCGCAGGCGACGGCCACGCACAAACCTGATCAGATCGCGCGCTCGCTCGTGGATCTGCCGCACGAGCAGAAAGTCGCCGTCGCGACGCTCTCCGAGGTCGTCCGGTCGACGAAGCGTATCGTCGCAGGAGCCGCCGCGTTTCAGCTCGAGGCTGGGCGCAAGGCGGAGACAGAGACGCACGCGGCGTCTATCGGGCCGCCGCTCGTGGCCCGGATCTTTAAACTAGCGGACGGCCAGGACACCTCGGAGCACTACGCGCCGGAAGTCGTCGAAGCACTTTCAGCTGTGCAAAAGCAGCTTACGGACCTGAGCGATCTCGACGACCGCGTCGCCGTTGTCTGTCCAGACGAGGTATTCGTCGAGAAGCTTCGAGGGCCATTGGGGCTGGCACTTGGTGGGTTCGAGCTCGTCGACGCGGCGACGGCGAGCGCGGCGCTGCCTCGTGACGAGGAGCGTAGCTCTGGCTCAAAACCGTGGCTTGTTGTCGACAGCGTGGATAACATGGACGGTTTGGAACGGCTCGTTGTTATTTGTGTCGGGCTCGACCAAGTCATCGATCGCGGCGCGGGCGTGTTCGAGACTCGCTCGCGTTTGTACCGCGCGATGACGCGCGCGCAGCTCGCGGTTGCTGTTGTGAATGAAGTGTTGCCGGGCGGGTGGCTCGAGTTCCTGGGGCGCGTCGAGCTGGATGATAAGAAGTTTGATGATGCCAAGGAGCGCAGGAACCGGGCGGAGACGGCGGCCGACGATGTTGTCGGTGGTGTGGTTGAGGAGGCTTCGGCGCCCGTGCGTGACTCTGTCGACGCTGACAAGGGCGCTGTTGAGAAGGCATCACCAGAGGATACCGGTGCACCGGCGGAGGCGCCCATGCCGGCCGACAAGGAGGCGATGCGCCGCGGCGGCACTCTCCCACCGTACGCGGAGCCGGACCGCGGCCTCGTCCAGTTCGACGCCTGGCGCGAGCGCATCGCCGCCGAAGAGGAGGGCGTTGCCGAGGAGCTTGTCAGAGCCGTAGAGGAGGAGGCGGTCGCCGTACCTTCGCCAGAAAAGAAGGGCGCGACCGAGGTCGTCGACGCGGACGCCGCCACGACCCCATCGGAAGCCGAACCGATGAAGGTCTTGCAGTCGATCTGGGACGCGAGCGCGGTCGCGACGGTGGCGCGCGGCGACCTGCGGTTTATGCCGTTTTCCGACCCCCTGTCGAAGCTCGTCGAGCTGCGGACGCTGAGAGGGCACTCGCATGGCGTGCGTTTCGTGCGTTGCGGCGTCCACTGTGCTTTTGTGCTGATGTGTCTTCGTCGTAGGTCTGGGGCGTTGCGGTGTTTCCGGACGGGCGGCGCGTCGTTTCTTGTTCAGGAGCCGAAGTAAGAATTTGTCGCACGGATTCTAGTAGTGATGATGAGTACATAGATAAAGGAGAGATCAAAGTCTGGGACGTGGCGACCGGTAAATGCGTGGCGACGCTGGAAGGGCACTCGGATTGGGTGCGTTGCGGCGTCCACTGTACTTTCGTGATGATCTGGCTTCGTCGTAGGTCCAAGGCGTCGCCGTGTTTCCGGACGGGCGGCGCGTCGTGTCTGGGTCGCGCGACAACACGCTCAAGGTCTGGGACGTCGAGACCGGCGAGTGCGTGGCGACGCTGGAAGGGCACTCGGGCAAGTATGGCGTGCGGCGCGCGGCGTCCGCTGTACTTTTGTGATGATCTGGCTTCGTCGTAGGTCACGAGCGTTGCCATCTCCCCGGACGGGCGGCGCGTCGTGTCTGCGTCGGGCGACAAGACGCTCAAGCTCTGGGACGTGACGACCGGCAGATGCGTGGCGACGCTGGAAGGCCACTCGGGTTGGGTGCGTTGCGGCGTCCACTGTACTTTGTGATGATGTGTCTTCGTCGTAGGTCTCGAGCGTTGCGGTGTTTCCGGACGGGCGGCGCGTCGTGTCTGCGTCGCGCGACGACACACTCAAGGTGTGGGACGTCAAGACCGGCAAATGCGTGGCGACGCTGGAAGGGCACTCGATGGCCGTGCGTTGCGGCGTCCGCTGTACTTTTGTGATGATCTGGCTTCGTCGTAGGTCTATAGCGTTGCCGTGTTTCCGGACGGGCGGCGCGTCGTGTCTGGTTCGTACAAGACGCTCAAGGTGTGGGACGTGACGACCGGCAGATGCGTGGCGACGCTGGAAGGGCACTCGGGTTCCGTGCGTTGCGCGGCGTCCGCTGTACTTTTGTGCTGATCTGGCTTCGTCGTAGGTCTTGAGCGTTGCCGTGTTTCCGGACGGGCGGCGCGTCGTGTCTGCGTCGCGCGACACGACGCTCAAGGTGTGGGACATCGCGACCGGCGAGTGCCTGGCGACGCTGGAAGGGCACTCTGTGCGTTGCGGCGTCCGCTGTGCTTTTGTGATGATGTATGTTCGTTGTAGGTCAATTGTGTTGCCATATCTCCGGACGGGCTGCGCGTCGTGTCTGGGGGGAATTACGGCGAGCTCAAGCTCTGGGGGCTGCCGGAGTCCTGAGCGCCGCGGCGGCGGCGTACGAACCCGGGGAGGCCCTCCCAAGGAAGTAAGCTAACACATTCAGTTACGGCGGCGGCGGGACCGGCGGCCCGACCGGCGCCATCTCCTCGTCGTCCCCTTCCGTAGGGTACATGCCCTCGGGGTACTCGGAAAGGTCCGGCAGCGGGCGCCCGTCCAAATACGGCGCCCGCTCGTCGTAGCCCCACGAATAGGGCAGGGTGCAGAAGGTCAGGTAGGCCGTGTGGCCCCGCTGCTCGGGGTAAGGCACGGCCATGTAGGGCGGCAGCGGCCACATGCCTTGGTCGTCGTCGACCTTACGCGCCTTGGCGCCCTCGACGACGCGCTGCGGCGGCGCCACGACCTCGGCCATCTCATTTTTAACGACCTCGAACTCGCGCTCGCGGACCTCGATCGTCTTGATGTGGTCGCAGTGGCGTTCTCGTAACTTATCAACTGTTTTTTGCACTTGTTCAATACAAGGACTGTAGGAGCAGAACCGAGCACCGTGTTTACAGGCCTCGATCGCATGGTCGACCGCGAGCCACGGCTCCGGCAAATCCAGAAAAATCGCGTCCGCCTCCCTGCTCATCCCGAAGCCTTCCCCACAAACATCCCTATAGCGCGGCACGACGAGCGGCTCCGTCAAGCCGTTCATCTCGAACTCGTCCCGAGCTTTCTGCGCTCGCACTTCATTAAATTCGAACGTCCGCACCGACCCGCGCGGCATGACACACCTCGCCATCGCCGTCGTCATGGCTCCGGAGCCCGTACCTGCTTCTATCACTATTTTCCCGTCCCACAACGACAGCTGGAAGCAGATGACGGCCTGGTCGCTCGTCTGGACGATCTGCGTTCTATGAGGTAAGACTTCGGTCCAGAGCTCGGGCGTCGGGCACAGGGCGTACAGCCAGCCCTTTTCCGACGACTGCTTGCCCCTCCGTCCCACCTTATTCGTCCTCGAGAAGATCTTCTCTCCAAATTCCTTTCCGACGAAATCCCGATGATCAAAATCCCCAAATTTGCCGCTGTGTTTCGCGAAATTCTCGGGCCGCAAATAAAGATAGTCCATGGACTCGTCCTCGAAGTATAATATGACTAAATCTCCACTTTTCATGGGGCCGTCCTGGGGGTTGCGAAATATCCCTTTGTTATATACCGGTACTTTTTCGCCCTCGGCGTAGGGCTTGGGACCGTGCTTCGTGTACACTTCCAAGAAGGCGGCGGGTAAAGGGTCCTGGCGCTCGCCCCCAGAGCGGCCGCCGCGGTCCATCGCTGCGGCCTCTCTGCGTTTGGTGTGCCGGCGCAGCGATGGCGCGCAGGCGTCGGCGGCGTGGGCGGGGGCTGTGTGCCGCTATATGAAACGCCCCTGCACACGTCTAGCGTCTGTCTGGGCCGTCCTCCGGGCGTCAAGTGAGTGAAGCTCGGAATTGCTAGTGTCTTACATGCCGCTAGCGCCTAGGTCCCGGAAAGCCAAAAACAGGGCAAAGCGGTGGGCTCTGTCCATTCCGTGGATAGCCCACCTTCGCAAATATCGCACTCGTGCCCCAGAACCAGCGCTTTCAATCGTTGGGTGGCTGCACAGTAGTGAAACCTCCTACCAGCTTTTTTCAGCCATCTCCGGGCCCCGACTGCAGGCTACGATCTCGTCTCGGAAGCAATATATTTGCTAGAAGGCTCTTTAGCTACATTCAGCATAAAATTCAGGAAAATGCCCGTCGACGCGCGAGGCCTCAGCGCCCACGTCCTCGTCGACGGTCGAGCGGTCCCGGAGCTGTCGGACCCCGACACCACGCCGCGGGACTGGGCCTTCCTGCGTACCGCGGCGACGAACGGCCAAGTCAGCCCCGAGGCGGCGGCGGCCTGCGCGCAACGCAAGTGCCTCGTCGCGACGACGGCCGGCACGCGCTTCGAGGTCGTCGTGGTCAACGCCACGCGCCACCATTTGTGTGTGGACACGTTCGTCGACGGCCGGAAGATCGATTCACTGTCGCTCTTTGGCCAGCACGCGGTGCGCGACGAACAGACGGGCCCCTACGGCCCCGACGAGCGCTACATGTGGACGGCTCGCATCGAGGGCGATTACGTCGGCGCGACGACGGCGTCGATCGCCACGAACGCCGTGCGGCCGATGCGCTTCGCCCAGCTGCGACAAGTGGAAGAGGGCGGCCCCGCGACGCGCGACTTCGGCGCCGCGTCCCAGGCCGGGCGCATCGATGTGGTCGCGCGGGTCATCGAGGACCTCGGCGACAAGAAGCTCATGGCTGCCGCCCCGGGCAGCGCGCGCGGCGAGGACGCCCAGGCCACGGGTGCGACGAAGAAGGACATCTTCGGGCTGGGGACTTCTTATGGAGATGCCATCGCGACGGCGGCGAACTCTTCCGAGTACGGCGCTATGCGCACGCCGCGCGTGTCACGCGACTGCTTCGCCACTTTCAGCTTTCGCTACGCGGCCATCGAGGCGCTCCACATCGCGAAGACGACGCCCAAGGCCTGGCTCGACCGCGAGACGGCTTTGATCGAGGACGCAAGGCAGTCGTCGCGCGACCTGCGCCGCCACCTGCGGGCGGGCTTTGCGATCTCGGAGCCTCCGACTTATCTGTTCTCGTCGAAGCTGTCGCCGCTCGCCGGGCCGGGCGCGCCCAAGGCTGTCCCCGACTCCGGAAGGCTCGACAAGGCGCTGCGGGGAGAAGGATTTAAGCTCGTCGGCGAGCCGCGGTCGCTTTTCGATGCGCTGAGCCACCAGCTCTGCGGCACGCACCAGCTCTCCAGATATGTGGAGCACGCCGTGGCCACAGAGCTAAGGGTGGTGGTCGGAACCAGAGCCGAAATCACGCCAGCGACGCGACGTGGCTCATTGGTCGATTCTCACAGGAAGACTACTGCAGCGGCGCGCCCGTGGACTTCGAGGAGCAGTACGGGGCCCTCTACCGGCCGACGGACGCGCCTTTGCCCTACGCGGGCGAGTGGCGCGACCACTTCGAGCGGTGCCGCAGCGCGAACGACGGCCACGCGGCGGCGGGCCAGCGCTACGACGACGGCGCGGCGTCGGCGGCGCGGCCGCCGCCGCTCGAAGCGGGTGATCTTGTGGACGTCTCCAAGGAAGACGGCTCGGGCGTCGTCGAGTGCTCGGTCCAGGGCGGCGACGCGCGCGTGGTGGTCGTGAAGCCGCCGGGCGGCGCGCAGGAGGAGATCCCGCGGTCGTCGTGGCGCTTAGGCGGTGGCGGCCCGCGGTCGCGGCGCGGCGCCCACGTCGCCGAGCAGCAGACGGCGCTGCTCGTCCAAGCGTTCGCGACGGTGTGGAAATCAACCAGTGAGTTAGGTTATCGCATCGATGGCGCGGGGCGCCCGAAATTTGATTTCCACACAGGTTCGCGAACGCGTTCGGCGTGCGCGTCTTCCTCCTGTGCGTCACCGGGAAGAAGAAGCAGCTCCGCGTGGTCAGGGTGGAGCCGCGGAACGGCCGCCGGGTCCTGATCAACGGCTACGCCATCGCGCATCTCGGAGGCGTCGCGTTCGACTCGGTCGCGCGGCACCACGACGTCATCGAGATCCAGAGCGGTTCCGAGAGCGAGGACGACGTCGACGTCAAGCCGGACCCGGAGCCGCCGGCGAAGCGCCAGCGCGCCGCGCCGGCCGTCAAGCGCGAGCGCCACTAACAAACACATACTTAATACCTACTACGCGTCGCGACCAGCGCCGCGACCGTCGGCAGCGCCAGCACCACGTAGCGGGGCCACCGGTCCAAGCGCAACCGCCCCGCCAATTCAAACGCGAACCGCCGCAGCACGAGGTAGTGGAGCTGCTTCTTCGCGTCCGGCGGGACTTGCAGTTCCCTCACGCGCCGGCCGTCCTCGACCTCCCAGGCCGCTCTCAATACCGCGACGCCGTAGTATTCCGAGAGGCGCACGGCGACGGCGCCCTTCAGCGAGCTATTTTTTAGATCTCTTGTTTTCAGCAGCAACCGCACCGTCTCGCAGAGTCGGCCCCGCTTCTTTGCGTCAGAAGCCGCAACGGCGTTCGGGTCTCTCCCCTCAACTCCCTCGCCATCGCCCGTCGAGTTCCGGTCGGGGGCCCAGCTCCTCGCGCCCGTCAATCTCCCGACATTATACCCGAGAGCTTTCAGCTTTTGGTGAGCCGCCCGCGCGAGGTGCGCGTGCCTCTTGACATCGCCCTCCAATTCATCAATACTCCCGCTCCCCTCATTAATTTTCGACCGTAATCTACCATCTTGATCCTTATCGAAGGGGGGATTGAGATTTTGATCGGCCAGCGTCTCGGCCATCTGCCGCACCGGCATCGTCTTCTCCTGGCCCCGAAAGTCCTCGTAGGTCACGTGGGAGTCGACGGACTCGCCTCGCAGCACCTTCTCGAACTCGCCGACCAAATCTCTTCGAGCTTGCTTTCTTGTCTTGCGTTTCTTGCGCTTGGCACTCGCGGAGAGCAGCAGGAGGCAGAGCCAGAGCGTGCGCATCGTTCGTGGGGCAGCTTGTGCTGCCTTCTGCGTGTGCTGCAGAGGCCGGCGGGCAGCGCTGGCGGCGTTTTGCGGGCAGCCTAGATTCCTAGTGTGTTACAGGCCGCTAGGTGCGCTTTTATTGCGGGGGCTGCCCCGGGCCTAAAAAATCCGCAGCCGTCAAGCTACGGGCGTCTCTAGAAGTCCCATTGGTGTACCAATACGATCGCGTGGTATTTGAGGCAGGCAGCCCACCGACTGACCTCGCAGTGGCTGTGGGATCGTCGGTGCTCTCCGGCGGTCCCGCTTGCGCATCGCTACCAATGGCGGAAGAGACGAAGGAGGCGCAGGAGACGACGGAGGCGACAGCAAAACGAGAAACTACCGATTGGTCTACGCACACGTACGGCGGGCTCGGCTCGCTGCACGACGGCAAAAAGCTCCTCCACGACCCCAAAGGCCAGGCTGAAGCCTGCACATTCGCCACAATGAAGAGAAGGACGACAGAGCAGCGCGCGTGGCGCCCCATCGACGACTGGATGCGGCAACACGCCCAGAAAAACTTTCCGGTGGACCCGCAAGCCGTCGCCGGCGCCACTGAGTTGCTCCTCGGGCAAACGAGCAACACACGGGTCGTCACGACTTACTTTGACACGACGTGCACCTTCTTTGCCCTAATTACGCAGGTGGAGCAGAAGGGAAAAACAAAAGGCGAGCCGCTCGTGAACGTCTACGCGCTGAGTGGTCACGTTTTGCTTCCCTGCGAGTCCGGAGCCATGATGCAACTATCCGAGGGCGAATATGTCTTCATGCTCCCCGACGAGGCGTCGCCTCCCGTCATGCTGATGCGGTTTCCGTTGCTGAAAAACCAACCGTTCATGCTAGATGGGGTGGTAAGCGCGAGCCGAAAGCTACGTACCTGCGCCGCCTGCGGACAGGTCTGGCGCCGTTCGATGAAGAAGTGCGCCGGTTGCGGTGAGGTCCCTTACTGCAGCCAAGTGTGCCAGCGCCATCACTGGTCCAGCCATAAGGCTGCCTGCAAACGCGCCCGGTCGCAACGGAAACCAACGCCTGAGGGGGGAACTAAGTAGAAGAAGATAACACTAGGAACTAAGTAGAAGAAAATAACACTACGCTCGCCACTTATTCGCCACCCCGTCGCCCACGAGCTCGTCACACGACAATGCCGCCCACCGCGCCTGGACCGCGGCCGAGTCGGCGGCCGCGCCCCACGACGTCCCCGCTCGGATGCCATACCTGAGGCGCAGGCTCCGGCACTCGTCCCCGGGCGGCGGGTAGCACGGTTCCAAGCACGAGTCCAGGAAGCCGCCGCGCCGCGTGTCGCCGCGGGCGCGAGCTCTCGACAAGCATGCGAGCCAGCACGCGTCGAAGTCGAGCGGCGGCCGCGGGACCTGTGTGGAAATCAAAATTTTACGGCGCGTTCGCGTCGTCCTCCACGCCATCGACGCGACGCCTGCTCGATGGCGTGGCGGTGCCGGTTCCGCACCGCTCGATGGGGGCAGCACCGCCGCGTCATCGCCGAGCAATGACTTAGTGCTGGTTGTTTTCCACACAGCTCGGGACGGGCGCGCAGTCCAGGCGGCGTTCCGCCACGGCCTTCAGCTCCGCGAGAGGCACGGTGTACCGCACGAGCCGGCTCTTATAGATCTCCTCGGCCCGCACGCCGGGCACGTCTCGGTGGACGTAGAAGTAGGCGTTTGGGCCCCGCACGACCACCCCGTCCACGGGATGGTCCGTGCCGCGGCCGTAGGACGCCGGCGTCGATTCTAGCACTCGTAAGAATTCAGAAAAGTGCACGCCGTCACACGAAAACGCCATCCCAATAAACGCTTTCCGCGTCGGCTCTTCGCGCACGACCGGCGCCAACAATATGTAGCCCTTCGCGACGGGGTTTCGCAAGACCACGGCGAAGTAGACGTTGTCCCCACTCACGGGCGGCGCTCCCACTCCACGGTAGTCGCGCACACTGATCAATTCAAAATTCGATAAAGCCGGTTCAAATTTCAGAACTTGCACGTGCCGCCCGCCGAACATGCCGTTGGAAGCATTTCTCCTCACCAAGTTGGCCCGGGCATACAACCTCCCGTCGACCACGGACACTTTCCCGTCGAACTCGCAGGAACCGCGTTGCCGCGGGCGTCGGTCGACGCAGCCCTCGTGGTCGCCTTGGACCAACACCGGACCCTCGTCCGACGCGAGCAACTCGTCTATGCTGGAGAAAGGTCCCCGTCGCTCGAGCCCCCTTTTTCTCGTTCCCGGACCCCAGAGCCCGCCAATCACATACCATTGGTCATTTGCCACGTAGATGGCCGCGTTGTGCGCTAATGAGGAAGGCCAGGGCGCCAATTGTGTATTTGAACGAGAGATGCAGTTCAGGTTGTGGTCGCATCCTGTCCACAGTAGCGTGCGTGGATTCGGATCCGCGTGCGGATAGTGGCCCGTCCTCGCATAGACTAGTAAGGAGGAATTGTAGTCGACGATGCCGAAGTAGCGCGCCGGGTTCTGCCTGCCGAACTGTGCCACTACTTTAGGTGAGGTGAAGAGCTCTGCATGGACAGCTGTGAGGCCGAGCAGCAGCATCGCTAGGGATGGTCCGCGGCGCCGCGGGCAGCGTCCTCACGTCGTGTCTGGCCCAAAATGGGCAGCCATTCCATCTGCGTCGACGCGTCCCGCCTGAAAATTCGCGCTAGCGGTCTGTAAAGACACTAGCCGGGGACTGCGTTGGTGACAAATGCAACTTACACGCGTCCTACTTCAAAGGACGGGCTGCGGCAGGGCGGCGCCGATAGAAGAGAATCGTCGGCACCGCCCCCTCCTCGGCGACGTAGGCCTCCAGCGAGTCCAGGCGCTCGACCGTGTCGTCGTCGAAGAGGAACCAGCACCGGGAGAGCTCGTGGTAGGTCACCGCTACGTAGTGACCTCCATTCCCGTAACTTAAGAAAAGGACAGCGCCGACCAGGTCGAAGACTTCGGACGCGGCCGGTCGGTGGACATACCGCGTCATGTCGAGGCCCTCGACCGGAAACGAGATGGGATCGTCCAACAATGCGGCATTGAAACGCGTGCGCTGGGTTGCTCCGTCCCATTGATAGAGGATGAGGTTAAATACAAGTACGCGGCCCGTGCACCAGATGGTTCTCTGGAGAGTCCCGTTGGAGGCGCCGCCAAATTGCTCTGGTGCGATTGCAGCGTCGATCATGTCATAGAGGGAGGCGCCACCGCGAGGCTGGAGCCGCAAAAAGCAGTTCAGCTCAACTACGTCGAAGTCTCCCGTCTCGTCCTTTGTAACCCTTCGCTCGTAGCTAGCAAGCTCGGCGTATAGGACACCAGGCGCATTGGCCCAACCTGACTTTGTGCAGCTCTTAGTACGGCGCCAGCGTCGTCCGCGTCATAATGCGACGATGCGAGCGTCACCGGGCGGTCGCACGGTATTCTTGCAAGGATATCATCGAAATGCGAAAGTATATCAGCAAAAACATCCATCGCATCGCCGGGCTGGCCCTCGGCAGGGAAATTTGAATGCGACTCCATGAGCACCTGCCGCAACGTCGTCAGTAGCACCCGAGCACCATCTGGGCCGTCCGGGCCGCCCGTGCGATTCACGTACGCCTCCAGCGCCGCGTACACTCCGACGTCGCGGCCCAGGCACCCCTCGGCACGCAAGAAGGACTCCAGAGGACACGCCGCGAAGAGGCAGAAGAGCGATACCATGCAGTCGCCCCTGCGGTCCAAGGGAAGCGGCCGCGGCGCGGTCGCCCGCGAGCTGCGGCTCGACTGTGGTCGCCAACCACTGGATGAGAGGCACGGCTTCGTGTCGCGTCGCCAGGAGCGTCGGCGCGCGCACCGCGACAGCAGCGACAGTCCGCTCGACATGTGCCTCGGCCCAGCGTCGCCCGTCGGCCCGCCGGGACGCCAACACGAACCGCGCGAGCGCTCGCGCATCTAGAAACGGGAGGATGTTGACCCAGGCTTCCTCGCGAAACCACACGTCAGAGCTCGCATCCACGACAGCGTCGGATGCGAAGATGACGTTTGCGCGCTTGATGGCAATGCTTCGGCCGTCGATGACGACGGCCACACGGCCCACAGCCGCAACGTCCGGCGGAGTCGCCGTGACGACGCCGCGGCGGCCGTTGAACGCCGCGCTTGCGAGGCCCTGCAGCTCGACGAAGGCGCCGACGGGCGGGGCGTCGTCCGAATCCACACTTCGGGACGACACAGATTCCGCGCCGATGATCACGCGCAGACCGCAGTCCAGCCTGACAACGACGCGTTCGCCGTCGATGCCCTCGACGACGCCGACACAAGTGTCCGCAGCTCCGAACTCTACCGCGCGAGCGAGTGCGGCTCTGCGAGCGATGGCTGCGACTTGCGAGCGTGCGGCTGAGGCCCTGTTTGCGCGGGCGTTTCGCAGATCGCTCTCGTCCGGCACCAGGCGCGTCATCGCGATGCGCGCGCCGACCGTGATTTTGGCATCGGCCGTCGCCTGAGAGCTGGCTGGCCCGAGGCTCAGCGCCCGCAGCGCGTCCGCAGCGCTACGCGACGACATGTCGCAGAGTTACGATGCGCGCGCAGTCCGCTGGCGGCTAGTTGCTCAAGGCACACAATCTCTGCTGTCGGCGCTCTCCGAAGCTGAAACGGCCGAACGCGTAAAAATTCACAGCGCTTTGGCCTCAACGGCGCCAGAGACGTTAATTTAAGCAACTGTCTGGCGCACACGCACCGCTGTCGTCCTCACACGAGTAGGCGACCAAGCCGCAAGCGCAGCTAGCGTTGTAAGACACTAGACACGTACAATTTCGCGCGGCCAGACCCTAAGAGCCCCTTAAAAGCCCCCGTAGAAGAACGCTAGGCCCCCGCCGCCACGGCGAGCGCGACCGCGAGGCCCCGCGCGGCCCCCAACACCGCGGCGGCCCCGGGCGGCAGGCTCCGCAAGGCGTGGACCTGGAGCTCCCTTTTTAATTGGGATGCGAAGGCCGCGGCCACGACCAAGTAGACGACCCTCGAATTCGTATCATATGAGAGGGCTTCGGGACCCTGGATCAGATAAGCGTACGGCAGGAGCAGCAGCCCCGCCAACAAGCTCAGGGACGACGCCACGTTCGCCGGCGGGCGCTCGTCGACGCCGAGGGCCGTATGAGCGTGGGCCGCGGCGTGCCACGTGGCTGCGAGCAATCCGCTCCCGAACGCGAGACAAGCCAAGACCCCGAGCTTCGAGGTGGGCTCGCCGTCGCGATTCAGGAAGCCCGGCGTCTCATCCGATGACAGTATCGATGCAATATGCGACGCTATGAGAGCGGCGGCGACGGCCGCGGCCGCCCCATATGTCGAAGACGGTCTAGGATTCGCGCCGGCGTAGGCTCCTAAAGCTTCCAGCATGGCTCGGGACGGAGCTAATGCGCTTCGAGGCCCCAACCTATCAAAGGTCGCGAGGACGTCTGTCGACGTACTCGACGCGGCGACCTTGCCACCAGTCCAAGACAGCGAAGCGTAGGCCGCGGCGACGTCGCGCCGCGTCGCGGCCAACGACCGCCAGGCGCCGTCCACATCGACGTCTCGGAGGATCGGAGCGCCCCGGGCATCGGCCGCGAAGGTCGCACTCACAGAAACAGCAGCCAGAGCTAACGCCGCAGGAAACCAGAAGCGCGGCACGTCCTCGCCGTAGAACGAGGGCCAGGGTCTAGCCCCACAGAGCCAGAACGGCAGAGCCGTCAACGGTCCCAGGAGCAACTCCGCACACGCTACCGAAAGTGCATACGGCCACGCCTGCAGCAAACGCGCCGTGCAGACCACGGAACACGCCTCGGCGCCACAAACCAACAACACGATCCAGGCCGTCGCCACGACGGGGTCCTGGACGTCCAGTATATCTCTCTTAATCTCCTCGGCGAGCACGGAGTCGGTCGCCGGCGGCCGGCGCTCGTCGTCCGTCGACAAATCTAAGGAGCCGCGCCGCCTCGGGGAGTTCGGCGGCGTCGCGTCGCTCAAAATGGAGTCGGCGCGACCGCGGGGGTCCTCCTTGTCGAGGGGCGGCTCCATGAGGCTACGTGGGCAGCAGTGGGCTGCCTCGACGACCAGTCGTTCTGCCGCGAGCAGCGACGAGAGACGAAATTCGCGTCCGCGCCTCTTCACACCGTCAATCTGCGGTCGATTGCGAGCCGATTTGCTTCGACAAGCTATGTGCTGGCTAGTAGCTCTATGAGCTAGCCATTATCTGGCCGCAGCGCTGTTGGCGTCGCGCCTCGGACGGGCCCAGTCCTGGCCGACGGACCGATTTGCACCGCCCGGCGGGGCCTCACGCGCGCGCTGCCGGCCGCGACCGCGTATTGAAGGGAGACCGGAGGCCTCAGCGCCCAGGAGCAAGGGGCAGCCCCAGACCGCTGCCCGGCGCGGCGCCCGCGGCGCACGACCATGCAGATCTTCGTCGAGGACCTCGATGGCCGCACGCGGACGCTCGACGTCGCAGCCGACGCGACCGCCGCCGACATCTGTGGAGGCGGCAGGCTCCTCCACAACGGTACCTACATAACTGGAAGTCTGAGAGACGCCAACGTCCAGAAGGACGCGACACTCCACGTAGTAGCATGTCTGCGCGGCGGCGTCGAGCGGGAATACAACTCGAGCGACGAGGACAGCGTCACGACCGACAGCGACGAAGGAAAAGAGGACGACGAGGACTCGTCCGACTACTCGAGCAGCGACGACGAGACGACGCTGCCCCAGGTCACGACGCTGGAAAGCGTGTTGGCGATGATTCCTTTTACTCCGGACTGGTGCGAAGCCGCGTCAAAGTTCAACTGTGCTTCAATTTGAGGTTTGTTGGGGTCTGGGTGAGGTGCTCCTCTCTGGATACGGTCGCGTGCATCGCTCGGAGGTCCCACTCGTCGATGTCCACGCAGGTGGGAGGCGCGCGCCGCGAACGAGGCGTTGCATAATCGCCGGAAGATGGTCGCCGAGACGAATCGGGCCAAACATTTGGTGAAGCTCTGCGAGGCGGGCATGCACGCCGACGCGCTGCGCGAGCAGCTCCATGATTCAGCACAAGATTTCACGGATTTTAACCACGTGCGTGACGCGGCGTCTGTTTCTGAAGTTTTCTGAACTTCAAGTTCGCGTCGATGGCGTCGACGCAATACCACGTCGCCGTGGCGCCGTCGACGTGGCCGCATGAGAGTCTACGCGACTCGGGAGCCGCGGCCGTGTCGCGACGCTGTCGTTCGACGCAGGTCAAAGATGCCATGATACAACATGAGCAGTGGGTCTGGAAGCCGCCGCGCTCCATGATCAAGTCCGCCGAAGCGAGTGGTGCCGACAAGTCCAAATTGGAAAGTTCCGCAGTCCTCAGGAAAGTGCAACGCGACTTCCGGCTGATGACGCTCGACCGGCCCGGCGAGAAGCCCATGCACCTCCAAGATTGGCCACAAGTCCTAAAGAAGGAACGGAGGCACGCGCAGTACATGGCCGAGCTGCTCGGGAAAGAAGTGGCCCCGGAAAAGCAGCTCGAGGAGATGCGGCGCGCGCTCCGCGTCTTGATGTGACTCGTATCTCACCCACGACGCCGGGGGTGGTTTCTTTTTTGATTTCGAGCGACCGCGATGCTCGGCGCATGACGTGGTCGCCGTGATCACACGAGAGTCTACGCGTCGCGAGAGGGAGCTACGGCGGTTTCGCGGCGGTTTCACGCTCTCGCGACACGCAGGCGGAAGATGCGCGAAGAAGCGAAGGAGGCTATAAGGTGCCAGTGGACGCACACGGACGAGGCCACAGGCAAGAAGTACCTCTGTTCCAACGAGCGCTTCGTCCACCCGTGGCGGCGGGTCGTCGACCGCTTCGGCGTGAGTGTCCTCGAGGAGTTCAGCTGTTGCGCGTCGGTCTCGGCGTCCCGCGGTGCCTTCACTTCATTAATACGACTCGTGTCCATCTCACTTCCATGAGAGTGGTTTCTTTTTTGCTGAAGAGGCCGTTCGGACCGAACCGCGATGCTCCGCGCAGGTGGCACATGTCGTACTGCGCCGGCGACCACGGGATCCGGCCGCGATCTATCGCCGTGCCCAACGATTTAGCTCTTTGTACGGCGTGTTACGTGCGCGAGACGCACGTGCCGCCCGAGGTCCTCACTCGATTAAAAACACCAGGAGTCATTGTCAGCCACAAGAAGAAAGCTCAACATGCCAAGACGAAGTGGGAGATCGAAGCGGATGAGCGGAAGCGCATTGTGGAAAAAGTGGAACGGGAGTGCATCGAGCGGAGAGCCAAGTTAACCACCAGCAGTGTGTGTACGTGGTGCCCCGACAAGTCCGTGCCGCGCGAGCGGGGCCTCATGTGCGAGAATTTAGTACAAATCAGTCCCGTGACGGGCGAGCCCCTCGAGACGTGCCCCTGGCATAGAACTACGTGTTGCATGCCGCACGAGACGGAGGCGCTGACTCGGGCGTGAAAATGAACTTGAACTTGCGACTGCTCGTCACCGTGACGCCATCGACAGTGTCGCGACGGCGTCCGTTCCGCGCAGGCTTCCGCGTCGATTGCCGTGCCCAACGGTGATGGATTATGTGTGTCGCATTACGTGGCCAAGTACGGAAGGCCTCCCGTCGACGTGGGCTGGCCCCTGCCCGGTTCGGAGTTGCTCAGCAAGGTGATGGCCGCACTGGCGGAAAGCAACGCGGCGAGACACATTTTTTGTCCTTCGGACAACTACATCGAGTACGACAACGGCAAGCAGTTCGAGGATCCCGTGAAATACGCATGATCTCGGCGTCCCGCGGTGCTGCGGTGCCTTCACGCCGTCGACGCGACGCGAGCTTCGTCTCGCGACGGTGTCCGTGCCACACAGGTCCCGCCCCAAAAGGAGGACTGGCTCACGCGGAAGATGAACGCGCCGTTTGAGAAAGGTGAGTCAGTGTTGAACTTCAACTTCTCAACTTGAAGTTGCGTCGACGGCGTCGACGCGACGCGATGCCACCGTGACGCCGTCGACGCGGCCTTCCGACCGCTCTCGCGTCGCGGAAACGCCCACGGCGTCGGTGCCACGCAGGTCAAGAGAAGAAGCGCTACGCGCAGTGGAAGAAGATCGGCACGATCCAAGCGTTCTGCCGCGCGCACATCTCGCGGAACGTGGCCTACCGAAGGAAATTACTCAGAAGATGTAGGAGCGCGTCGCCGCCGTCCACGTGCCTCCAGGCGGTCTGCAAGTCGTTCACGCAGCGTCGTGGCTACCAGAACTGCCAAGAAGCGTGTTTCTGCTATTGAGTTGATCCAACGGATTTTGAGGGGTGTCGTCTTTCGGGAGAGCTCGTCGTAAAGGAACGCCTCCGCCTGAACAAAGCGGGCCACGTTTTGCGGGAGAACATGCAGCGCCAAACCATAAACACGTTGCAGTATCAGAGGCGGGAGGCGTGGCGCGAGCGACGAGCTAGAGAGATCGTGAATCGGGTGATGCTCGGGTGTATCGGTCGCTTCAAGGCCGCTGCTGCCAGAAGGCTCTTCAGGGAGAGAGAGAAAGCTAGTACGGGCCTCGCGAAGATCATCCGCGCTAAACTGTCGCGGGAGGCTGTGGAGCGGCTGCGACGACAAAGAGCCAGGGAGGTCCAAAAAGCTACCTTGTGCCAGGCGCTGTTCCGCGCGTTAATTTGTCGGCGGATCATGCGCAAGAAAATTGCGAGGCGACGGAAATGCGCCAATGATATCCAGCGAGCGTGGCGAGGCTATGGCGGGAGGACGCGCGGCTTTGCGAAGCGAAAGATAGTTGAGGAGTGCTGGCGCATGGTCGGTTCCGTCTCGCCCGAGAGGAAGCGCGACCTCGAGGCGTTGCTGCCAAAGGCGTCGTACCGCGTCACTTCAGATGACGTAGAGTCCGTCACGACGATCACAACAAGTAAGTCGTGGCAGCGGCCGGAGACGTGGTTCACCGATCAAGATAAAGTACATTTTCTACCTTATGATGATCTGGAATTGGGAAACTGCTCGAAGTTCGAGTTCCGGAAGGCCCTCAACGCGTTGTGGCAGGCGAAAGGTTTACCAATACTCCCGTCGGAGGTCGAGGGCTGGGCGTCGATGTTCGACAAGAAGCGCAACGGCGTCGTCTGCTGGTGCCGACGCGGCGTCTGTCGTCGCCTTCACGCCGTCGACGCGACTCGTGGCCATCGCACGATGACCTGGGTGGTTTCTTTTTCGAATTCGAGGCCGTTCGGACCGCGTCGAGGGACCGCGATGCTCCGCGCATGACGTGGTCGCCGCGATGGCGTCGAGGCGATGCCGCGTCGCCTCGACGCCGTCGACGCGGCCGCACCGCGTCTCGTGAGTGCACAGAGGCCGTGTCGCGACGGCGTCGGTGCCACGCAGGCGCGACTTCCTCGACTTCGCTAGGATGTCCTACAGACCCTGTTCTTTACACCGGAGGATCGTCTGCTCGTTGTGTGTGTCGAGGGGCCCGTGCATGAGGAAAGGCTGCGAGTGCGACTGCTATGCCAGTAAGGAGGGCGTGCGCGACTTGATTTGTAAGCATTGCGGCCACACGCCCATGACCCATTTGTTGGTGCCTACTTGTTGCGTCGAGGCGGACGTGCACGGGCCCGTCACGCGACAGTTGCTGCGGGACATCTTTCATAACAGATCAGATAAGCCTACAAAGCCAAAATTGGAACTGGGGCCGCTCATCTCCCAAGTGGTGGGGGAGCAGGCTTCATCGCAAGTGGTCATGGAGTCGCCAACGCGACCCTCGAGCCGCTCGCGCCTCATCCCTGAAGACGACGCGTCTCGGAGCATCGACGCGCCGTTCGAGCAAACGTACGCAGATCCAGAGCCCGTGAATGATGACGTCTGCATCGCAAGACCAGCTAAACGACTTCTGGACCCGAACCGAAGGAGTGGCCACGTCCCTGCAGCCGAGCTGCAAGCTTTGGCGCTGGTCCAAAAACAAGAAAGCCCGGGCCGGCACCACCTGGAGTCCATAGCAGTGGCCAAGGAAGAGGAGGAAGCGTTGTGGCAGGAACACTTCGCGGGCAAGCTCCAGTCCCAAAATGAACTGAGGAAGGGCTTTCACCTGACGCGGCCGATTCCCATGATTCTGGACGGCGAATTGAGAATTAGTACGGACCCCACGGAAGTGTATCTGGAGCTGCTGGATCGGTTCGGCAAGGAAGATTTGAATTTGCGGGAGCATGAGGACACGGGCTTCGTGTCGCTCTGTTTTAGGAACGACGTCTTCCTCGAGCGGCACTGGAAGAAAATTCTGAGGGATGTTAGATATGGTGCGCTCGCGGCGTCCCACGCCGTCGACGCGACTCGTGGCCATCGCACGATGCCGGGGGTGGTCTCTTTTTCGAGTTTGAGGCCGTTCGCACACAGGTACGCTGAACCGCCACCTCGACCTGAGTAAGGAGCGGCGCCACGAGCTCACGCAACGATTGTACGCGAAGCCGAAGCACGCTTCCCAACTCGAGGAAGCCTTTCGCAGATTAGGATTCCACGCGCGCTCCGCCGAACGGAGTGGCGCGTCCGCCAAGGCGATCCAGGACGAACCTTCAGTAGATACAAAGTCGAAGAACGCCTCCATGCGGTGGGACCAAGCTATATCATCAGCTCTCGAGGACCCGAGCAAAGCGAGAGCGGCGGAAAAACCCGTCGCCGAGATTCCGGAAGAGCGGCCGCAGACCAGTCGTTCTGTCCCGGACGATTTTAAGGAGGAGGACCGCGGCGCGACCAGTCGTAGCGTGCGCTTCGCTGGTTCATTGAAGAGCAGGGACTCGCGGTCGCGGTACTCCTCGCTGTCGTCTCGTGATAGTTCCTACTACGAGGACATGTCGGAGCCGACCTCTAGAGCCTCGTCTTCCAACATGGGCCGGTCCGGTACTACTAGACCTTCTGTCGGTGTGGAATATCGCATCTTAGAAAGGAGGAACTCCGAGTCGGACATGAGGGTGGATACGCCCCAGTCAGATGTGCACAAACTAGCTCACGACATCGCGACGGCGCCGCGACGGCAACTCCAAGAGTTCGAGCCCATAAGGCAAGACCGGCGCATGCGGCCCTGGCTCTGTCCCCACCCCGGTTGTGGCGCCGTCTTCTCCACGAAGGAGGCTGCAGTACAACATGCGAAGAGGGAGCATTTAGGGAGAAGGAGATTGGCCGTCGCGACGCCCGAACAAGACCAGTTCTTTAGGAGGGTCTGGCCGGACGAGAAGATGATCTGGGAGCGAGGCGAGATAGCTAAAAAAGATAGGGAGAAGTGTTTATTTCAGTGCCCGATCTGCTTCCAGCCGTGCGTGACGCGCGACGATCTGAAACGGCACCTGAAGGTCGGCCATTCGAAGCGCGAGGTGAAGAAGATCTACGTGGAGTTGAAGCTGGCGGTGCTGACTCAGCGTCTTCATTGAACTTGAACTTGACGTGGTCGTGTCGATGGCGTCAATGCGACGCAATGCCACCGTGACGCCGTCGACGTGGCCGTCAGAGACCGTCGTTCCACACAGGCCAAGGCCGACGCCATGGAGGCCGGCAAGGGCAAGGGCCTCGCCGACGTGAAAGGGAAAGCGCAGCTGACACCACCCTTTCCCCCACCTAAAAGAGCTCCTCTCGCTGTCTGTCTCAAGCACAAGCGGGAGCGCTTCCGGTGCTGGGATTGTGGTTGTGCTAGACGGATGAAAGGTCCGGTCGCACCGATGAAGTTCTACCCTGAAGTGGTGGTCAAGGCTCCGTCGGCCACCGTGCCTGGCGAGCGGCCCGTGATCACGGACATGACCTTTGCGGTGCAAAGTGAAAGGTGTCCCTACACTATGGGTGAGAAGGGCGAGCGGCGGCCGTGCCAGTTGATTGCTACTTGCAGAGATGAAGAATGCAATGTGTGGATTTGCGTGGCCTACTTCTTAGACGCGGAAGGTGTGAAGGCTCTGAAAGGGGTCACGCATAGACTATTTGACCACGAGCGGGAGCTCTATGAAGACTCGCGAGTGACGTGGTTGCGCGCGGAGAAGCTCGCGGGCTACTGCTACGTGTTGAACGTCGACAAAAAAGCGTTCTACGAGCGGAAGCGGTCGCACTTACTGCCGAACCACCCCCGCGACTACGTCTACTTCGCTTCACGAATATTTGATTTTGAGAAGCTGAAGCCGGGTCCCCAGCGCCAGTTGAATAGCGAGGTCTCCGCGAAGGAACTAGGATTGACGCAAGAGGCGTATGGGGTGGACGACGGAAGTGTCGTGACCTGGTCCACGGAGCCGCCAAAATTTAAAAGAAGATATTCAAAGGACGGCGAGGCGAACCCCTACGCTGTGAAATCAAGGCCGGGCTCGACGGAGGTGTCCCTGCTGACGCGCGACGACGAGGAGGAGTCCTTCAAGCCTACCGACGCGGGCATGGCGGCGGCGCTGGGGTTCATGGTGTAATGCTTTTGTGTGATAGTCACGTCGACGGCGTGGGGGTGACCAGTTTCGAGAGTTACCTCGCGGCAGGAAGTGTCGCGTACTTTGTCGCGTCGGTGGCGTTTCGGTGGCGTCGAGGGCGCGGGCCCCGACGCCGACGACGCCGCGACGTGGTGGTGACTAGCGTATGCTTTGAGTCTTCTTCTTGCGGTAGAGCGCGGCTTTGGGGCAATCTACCAGTGCGCCGGCGGCGCCGCCTGGGGCAGTTCCAGCTGATGCGGCGGGAAGTGCGCCCGCTGCGGCTGCGGCGCGTACGCATGTTGCGACCGTGCGGGGCGACCCGCGCGGGCCCAATGAAACATGACGGTTCTCGCCCCTAATGGCGGGCGCCTGCCGGTAGTCCGCGACACGGCTCGAGCCGGCGCCGCCCAGCACGGCGCGACGGCGGGCTCGTGCGGCACCATCCTTCTAGCTGGATCCATGATCAAGCGCACTTCCACCGCCTTGGCCCGACCGTTGTGCGTGCCTCTTCTAAATGTCACGCGGTCCCCGACCGCCGGATTATAATCATCAGCAGCATCGGACGGATGCAAGAACAAGTCGTCCCGACAGATCCCTTCCGCATCTAAGGTCGCCGCGTCCGGCCGCACGAACCCGTACCACCCATTATAGTACGTCGCCGTGCTACCATCCAGTCGACGAGACGTGAACGCGCCACACAGTCTACGACTGAGATGAACTATGGTCCCCGCCATCCTCGCGTGCGGGTCGAACGGGACCTGAGGCTGCTGGGGATAGCCCGGCACGAATTCGGGCGCTTGCGTCGACAGGCCCGGCATGAGCGGCGCACTGTGGTCCACGGGGCCGACGGGCGAGCACGCCGGCGTGACCTGATTCACTTGTGAACGCTGAGGAGCTTTGGTCGGACTCCACGCTCGCTGCGCCATCTCCATGACCTCGTTCTGGGACGGCGTCTGCAACGGGCGCAGGACGGGCGACACGGGCGGCTCCTCCCAGCCCTTGTCCTGGTCCAATTGATGACTGGAGGTCGCCGTCCAGATGAGCGCGTCGTCGTCGGGGTCGTCGAAGAACCCGGGCGTCGCGAGCGGCGGCGGGTGGCCCAACCTGGGGCTCTGGGGCAGGCGCCCGGGGCTCGGCGGGGACATCATCATCGTGCGCGAAACCGCTCCGGGCGTTCCCGCCTCTTTTTTTTAGGGCGTCGATACGCGGCGCGCGGCGCTCGCGAGGTTCTCGCGGGCCTTGCGGCGCGGGCGGGTCGAAACCGCCGCGGTGTTCCCGCCTCTTTTTTTAGGGGCCCGGCGCGGCGCGCGGTGCTCCCGAGGTTCTCGCGGGCCTTGGGTGGCCTCGCGCCGCGGTTCTAGCGCGGGCGCCGGGTCCGCGGCGGCGGGCGGCGGCGATTTGGGCGCGCGGCGCCAAGTCTTCGCGCTGCGGTTACGCGGCGCGCGGGGTCGCGAAACTCGCTGTGGGTCTTGAGATGGCCACTGGCTACTGCCTCCAGCGCCCGCTGTGTTTGGCGAGGGGGCGGAAGTGCCTTAATCCAGGCAGTAAATGAGCAGCCTCTCCGGGATGGGGGTTTTGCTCCTAGTATGATTATTGTTTAAATCACCGATCCCAAAAACGCCTCTCCGCCCCACCGCCGAGCCCCAAGACCGCTCCGCCCAAGCCTGCGACCCCGTGGGACGCCCCCAGCAGCCCCAAGACCCAACAAAAGCACCCAGCCCACCATGGTACCAACAAAGCCCCAAGACGCCCTCCCGGGGCAGCCCCCCGAGCCCTCAGCCAACAACCCCTCGCAAGGCCGCGCCTAGCGTCTACTAGACTAGTGTATCCTGATGCCAAACGCGGGCCAGCGGGGAAAAAACTTGCGCAACAATGACGCGCCCCAGGCGTAGCTAGGCGTGTCCATGGAGCTGCCGACCTTCGACGTCAAGAAGCGGTCCTCATCTAAGGATGAGGGGGCTGCGCGCAGCCCCCGTGTCAAAGCAGCGGCGCTAACAGCTTTGCTAGCGGCGACAGCTTTCGCGGCGCTAGACTATCGGAGGCGCCACCCGCCCCCGCCCCCGCCACCGCTAGAACCGGGCCAGATCCTGACCTGCGGCCTGCGGCACGGGAGTTTTTGGCCCTGGTATTACGCGGTCGCCGAAAACACGCATACTCCGGCGCCGCACGTGGTCAATGACCTCGTCATCAGTATAACGACGCAGCCGGAGCGGGCCGAAGCGCTGCCGATCATGCTGCGGAGCTTAGTCGCGGGCAAGACGGTTCCTGGAGCTATATACGTTGTGGATAGTCACGAGCGCCCGAACGCGTGTCCTCATTACTTCTCGCGGAACCGAGACAAGCAGCACACCGTCGACGTGCATTTCGTGCGCACGGCTTCCGACCGAGGCCCGATTGAGAAGTATATTGGTAGTCAAGACGCGATCCGCAAAACTCGCAAGACGATGCCCCGCTTTTTATTAGTGCTGGACGACGACCACGAATATAATCAACATGTCGTCGAGAGGTACTCGAAGGCCTTACGGGCGTCGCCGTCGACCGTCTTCACGGTCCAATCACCACCGTCTCAATTAAACTTTAGGCCGCGCTTTCCCGTGGCCTACGGTTCTAGAGGTGTTGGAATACGATTAGACTTAGCGTTGGACGGCGCCCTCGCAGCCTATGCGGCCATGGCGTCTCGTCTAGAACCTACTTGCCGCGTGGTGGACGATATAGTTGTTTCAGCATTTCTAGCAGCGCGAGGTATCACGGTCAAAGACGTGCCCGGCTTCTCGTTTGAAAATAGGCCCTGGCAGTCGAATCGGCAGATCCACGCGTTGTCGAAGAAGAAGCAATTACGTAGTAGTGATAGAGATGCGCAGAACGGGCGGTGCCACGACGCGTTAGTAAGGCGCAACTGGCGCTGGGCGCGCGCGGCGGCGCTGCGCGGTCCAGAAGCGCAAATCCGCTTTACCAGGGGAGCGGGAGCTTCCGCTGCTTCCGGTCTTCGGGAGCGGAGGATTGAACCATATGAGTCCTTGGTTTGGACACCCTTTCAAATGGCGCCCGCCGTGCGCCGTACATAGACAGTTTGTTCCTATTGAACTTAGCTCGTTTACTACCGCGCCTCCACCGATCGAAACGAAAGCCAACGTCGCGTCGATGGCGTAAACAGACGAGCACCTCAAACCCGCACGTTAAGGCGATTCGCAAGTGTTGCGGCGCGTCCCGGTGCAGCTGGGTCGCTTAGGTGTCGCGCATAGCGCCCGATATCCCTGCATACGAGTGGTGTCGAAATTCACATCGATTCGCCGCCGCCTGTCGCTCTACAAGCATCTACAAGCACTGCTCTCCCTAGCAACTCGCTCTTGTAGCGCCGCTGGTAGCCGCTAAGCGCTTCCAGATCCCGCGCACACGTGCGCAAAAAGCGGCTCTCACATGTCGCACCAGCAGCGCCGCGCCTGCATCGCCGCAGGCGCCGCCGCTGCCGCCGCCCTGCTCTACTGGTATCGACGAAGACAGCCACCGGAGGGCGCCACGCTCCTCGAAGCCGTGCTAGACGAGGAAGAGTGCGAAACGCTGGAAACATTGCTGCGAGACTTGCTGAGGAACGGCTCGTCACTACCAGGCAAGACGTACAGCCCCGTCACCGCGCCAGCCTTCAAGAAACGGAACCAATCTCGAGAAACGCTCCAGTTCGGCGCTTATGTGGACAAAAATAGGGTGCAAAACGCCGCGGTCGCGCCGCTGCCGCCTGCTTTGTTACGCGTCGCCCGGAGACTGAAGAAGCTCGGGGTCGTGCAGAGCGTTCCTGACGCTTGTTGCGTGAATTTCTACGGGCAGGGCCAGTGGCTCCCGGACCACGTCGACTCCAAGAAGTTCGAACGGCCTTTGGTCACGGTGTCGCTGGGCTCGGAGCAGTGCGTCGTCTTTAGGAGGCGCGGGTATCTCGCGCGACGGATACGACTGCCTGTTGGAAGCGCATTACGCTTGGGCGGCGATGCGGCAAATGACTGGACGCACGGCCTGCCGCCCGCGACGCGTCCTCGCATCTCGCTGACGTTTCGACGATTGAATGCGGAGACGAAGCGCCACTTTGCCGACGAGACCAAAGCAATAAAGGAGCGCCGCGACGCGAAGAAGGCCTTGAAGCGCCAGCAGCGCAACAAGCCGCCCAAGCCGTCGGTGAGAGCGGAACGGCGGCCCGAGGCGGCGCCATTGCCGAGCGAAGCTACAGATAAGACGCCCTCAATTGAACTCGAGCACGTCCGGTCGGTGTATAACGCCATCGCGCCTCAGTGGCACGGCACGCGCTACAAGGCCTGGCCGCGGGTCGCGAAGTTTTGTTTGATGAATTGCGGTGCTGGAGCGCTCGTCGCTGATGTTGGGTGTGGAAATGGGAAGATGGCAGACGCCGCGTGCCGGCGCGGCGCCTTTACAATAGCGTGCGATACCTCTGATGCATTAATAGACATCGCCCACACAACACACAAAGATAAGCGGTACGAGTGCCTCGTGGCCGACGGCGTGCGACTGCCGTATAGAAGTGGTGCCTTCGACGTCGCGCTGAACATCGCCGTCTTACATCACTTGTCTACGGCTGAACGACGCGTACAGTGCATCCGGGAGACGTTGAGAATCCTCAAGCCCGGCGGCCGGGCCCTCTTCTACGCCTGGGCGAAGGAGCAGAAAAATGGCTCTGAGAACCGAAGTGGCCACCAGTTCGATTCCACAGATGTATTGGTGCCCTTCCACCTGCGCGAGCACGGGCCCCACTACAACAAGGAGACGGCTCGGCAATGCCCGGCGCACGCGGTCCGGGACGAAAGGAAGAACGCCACCGTCCTCAAACGGTACTGCCACGTGTTTGCGGAGGGCGAACTGCGGGGATTGGTGGCGGGGGCGGCGCGCGTCGACGAGTGCTACTATGACGAGGGGAACTGGGCCGTGGCCTGCACCAAACTGTGACGCGACGTGCTTCCGTAGCTGCGTCGGCTCGATGGCGTGGCGATTCCACGCCATCGACGCGACGTTGTCCCCGTGGCCGCGTCGGCTCGATGGCGTGGAGGATAACTATGTTGTTGTTTTACTACTCCTACCACTCCCTCATAAAAAATAACCTGCGCGATATACATAAGAGGCGGAAGAGGCATCGCCACGACCCTCCCTTCAAAAAACGCGCGTCGGCTCTCAAAGATTAAATTTTGCGTCGTGTTTCAGGAATAAACAGACAGGTGGGTCGTCCCCCGCGCGCGTCATGACCAAAAAGACGCTGACAAAAAGACCTAGTCGTCCTTCTTCGAAGGCTTCCGCGCGACGGCGCCGTCATCCGCATCGGGGTTCACTCCTAAAGCATCGGCGAGAGGATTGGGAGGCTTCGCGAAGGGCCGCGCCAATTTCCCTTCGGCCGGCGCGCCAAACACGTGAATCTTCACCAGGGGCTCATCAGCCAGATTCATGGGCAGCATGACGCACTGGAACAACAGGGGCATCGGCGACCCCCACTTGTAGTGCATGAAGCTCGTCATCGCCACTTGAAAACATAAAGCCCGCACTTTGGACACCGCCTCCCTTTGATCATAATCAGCTATGGTAAATTTCTTCTCCACCGTGATATTCTGGTAGTTCTTCTCCTTGACCGTGACCTCGCCGGGCTCCTGCTTCTTCTGGGCGAGCTGGCCGCACATCAATGTCGTTAATACGGTTAGAGCCACGGCGCACGCGTACCCAGCTCGTAATTGCGGGACATACAGCGAAAAGTCGAGCTTGAAGAACTTGACGACCATCAGTAGGGCCGGGACGACCTGCGGCGGGGGCGGCGTCGGCGCGGTAGTGGTGCTGTGCCTGCGCTGCAGCCTACGAACATCTTGGGCGACAGCTCCGGCTCTGGCCGCTTCGCGGACTTCTTCGGCGGGTTGGCCATGGTTTTTGACGAGCGCTAAGTGCCCTGGGCCTGCGCTCAAGTCGATTTGCGACGGAGAGTCCGCTTGCTAGTGTCTCACTGCCGCTAGCTCTCCGGCTTGCCAGACTTTGTACGACGGGCGTGGACGTGCTACGGGCCGATCGCTGCTCGTTTGAACACCTTCATCCACACTGCAGCCCGTCGCTGACAAGTGGTGGCCTCTAAACCCAGCTCGCTGACGAGTGGTGGCCCTTGGACCCAGACCCAGGATCCGGGCGCGCGCGGTCCTCGCATCACATAGCGACACTTCCGACGCCGTCGACGTAGCGCGCGGTCTTCGCAACACCTCGCGACAGCTCGTCGGCGACGCAACGCATAGGTCGAAACCATGGCGGACGAAGCCGCCAAAAAGGCGCCGCCCGCGAAGAAATCGCTCCCGAGCGAGCTCATCATGAGCGCGCGCTGGGATACATTACTGGAGCGGGTCGTCCTTAATTCGGGCGCTGGCGCGATGATAGGACTGGCCGCGTCGCTGGTATTAAGCCGCGGCCGGACGGCGCGGTGGGCCATCACCTTCTTCGGCGCGGGGACTGGAGTGGGCATGGCCGTCGAGCGGTCGAGCGCGGAGATGTCCGCGGCGGCCGGTCCGGCGCGGCGAGTTAACCTAAGTCGCCGCCGGGGCCCTCTACGCATCGACGACGCGCGCGACACGAGGCTCTAGATACACCAGGGTCCCCCTCGACGCCATCGACGAGGCTCTAGATAGACTGGTTTGACGTTAGGCTCGCGACGCGTCGGCGCCGGCCTTGATTGGGGAGGGCATACACACCGGAATAACGCTCTCGCGAGCGCGTTCGGGGCGCCGGGGACTTGGGCGCCGGTTAAGTGTTCGAATTGGGGCCGCCAGGACGGTGCTCCTCGTCGTGGCGGGGGAAGTTGCGGGTGCGGGTTTCCTCGGTCCATCGTAACCTACCCAGTAGGCCACAACGGACGTCATAGGCGCGACTTCCGGGAGTAAAGCTAGCTGCCGCGCAGCGCCGCGCAGACCGCGCCCATGTCGCGTTCCGTGAGGCCGCTCTCGGCGACGGTGTAGGTGGCGCACGTCGGCGGGCGGTCGACTCGGAAATGTTTTTTTGGCTGTCGTCGACGAACAGCACATCGCCAAAGGCCCAGCCGCGCCGCGCCATGAGGTTCTCGATCAAGGCCGCCTTGACGTAGTCCCGCTCAATTAGTAAAGGCGAGTCCTGGCCGAAGACGCGCGACTCGGGGAAGTAGGAGGACAGCCCCCAGACGTCCAGGTGGCGCCGGATCGCGCCCGTGAAGCCCAGGGACACGATGTACAGAGCGCAGCCCTGGCGTTGGAGCGTCTCGAGCATCTGTCTCATTAACTCGACGCGCTGGACACCGCCGCCGTTCGCCCAAATCTCCTCGTCCGTCAAGGATGAAATCAAGACCTCCTTGTCGCAGACGGCCCAGTTCTGCAATCTTTCAACGTACTTCGGCGTCGACAGCGTCCCGTCGAAGTCCAACACGACGCAGCGCGGCGCGTCGTCCTCGTCATCTAGGACCGTAGGGGATTGGGACGACCGCCTAGAACCAAAGGACGCCCTCGGCGACCGACAAAAGTCCATCTCCTGCGCCTCGTCCGGGCTGATGAGCGCGGCGGCGCCGTCGAGCGACGCGGGGCTGTAGCCTCCATCAAACGTCGGGCTGCCGTCCATCTCGGCGGGCGAGCCGCCGATCGACGGCGGCGTGACGCTGTGGTCGATCGCGAGGCGCTCCACGGTTGTTCGGCGGGCGCGCGAGGCGCTGCTTGTTACTATGGCCCGTGTTTAGTTTTACGTGGAGCGAGAGGGGAGCTCCACGGGCGTTTCGGCGCTTCGGGGCGCGTAGGTGCTTCGCGCGGGGGCGCTGGCTGTTTTCGCGCGCTGGCCTTCAGTATGGCTGTGCGGCGGCGCTGGCAGCGCAATTTGCAGCAGGAAAGCTGAGCCTCGTAGCTAGGGCCTCAAGGCTGCAGTACGCGTGTACGCTGCCTTCGAGGTTAGCCCAGCGGCCCGCTGGGAGGTAGGCCACCGCCTGCCTCTCTGCAGCTCCGTTGAGAGCTAGTATCTCAGCTTTTCGTAAAGTTGAACAAGAGACGGTTCCGGGACGCCTATGAGCCGGCACAGGGACCACTGGCACCGGGTCCGGGCCTAGGACCCGCCTATTTAAAGACCTACCCGCCTGAGCTCCACGTCCCGTCGCTTCCGCTCCAAAACCACCTCGTCGGAATAGACGCCCGCGCCCTCCAAGAAAACGCGGCTTTAACGAAGCGTCCCAGGCCTTCACCTTGCCTCGTTCGAACATACAAGACCCAAGGGCCCCGTCCCCGCGCTAACCCGCACGTGTGCGAGGACGTAGTCGACGTCGCACGGAGACTGGTTGAAAACAGATTCTTACTAAAAAAAATTCAGAGGCGGAAGACCCCGGCCTCCTTGCGAACAAGGCGGTTGAAAACCGCGACGGCGCGGGCCCAGACGGGGTCCCCGACGCGCTCGCGCTTGAGCGGCATCGCGCGGTTCTCGCCGAACCACTCGTTGATCCTGTCCATCTCGAGCCTGCGCGGAAGAAAATGAAGCGTCGGAGGCTGGCCGCGAGCGCGCCCCGTCGAATCGGCGTCGATTGCAGACGCGGGCCGCGGACCACAGGTTCTCGTCGAAGTCGCAGCCGCTGCTTACGATGTGGTCGACGTGGACCGCCTCTACAAATAATTGTAGCAGTTGAGGGTCCGCGTCGAAGCTCGGAACGAGCGACGGGAATTTGAGACGAACGAATTTGTCCAGCATCCCCGTCTCCTCGAGCTCCCTCCGAATTTCGGACTTGCGCGCGTTCGTGAGCGCGCCGCGGTTGGCGGCGCCGAGGTCGGACGCGCGCCACGCGGCGAGGACTTCCCGCGCGAAGTGGTTCGGATGCCCGAGCCACGAAATTTCGCCTTGACTTTCCGGGCGGTACGGCAGGATGCGCGTGCCGTCGTCGAGGAGAGCCTTCGCGACGTCCGCCTCCTTCTCGCGCAGCTTCGCCCGCAATTCGTCGAAACGCATGTTGGCCTTGGCGGCGCTTTTTGCCCGGATAATCTCCATTCGATCATATTCGCGGACCCAACGCGCGGCCCGGACGTTGTCCGGCGACTCCCGTCCCACAAACTCTACAAAGGCCGCCACGTGGCCTTTGTCGTCGCCCATCTTCGACAAATAATGCTCAAGCTGCTCCGGCGACGTCCTGAGGTTCGTCGCCGCGGACGCGAGCCCGCCGTCCTTGAGCCGCCGGACGGCGCCATCCGGTCCCTCAAAAAGCGCCGAGCGGAGTCCCGTGTCGCGCGGCGGAGGTTTGACGCGCAACCACCGAACCTGCACGTCGCCGTGCAAACCCTTCGCGACGGGGCAATCGGCGAAGACGCTCTCGGCGCATTTGGTCAGGTAGATTGTCTGCGCCTGCCGCACGGCCTCGTCCTGGCTCGGCTGAAAGAGGGCGTTTCTACCGTAGCGGTCATACCAAGTGTGACGGCTGCTCCGCGCTCTGACTCGATACCACCGCGTGCCCGCGGCGTCGACTTGTTCGTCGAATTCATGGACTTTGTCCCTCAGCGCCGGCCAGCCGAGTGCCAACGTGTCCGCTTTTTCACCCGTCGGGGCGGCGACCGTCGGCACCCGCCGCGACGTCGACGACGACTGGTCATCTCCGTCGAGGTCGAGCCTTCGGCCTTTGAAGGCGTTGGCGTCGCCCGTCTCGGCCGCGTTCTGTTTGCGTGCCGAATTGTTGGGGTCTTCGTCGCGTCGCTGTGCTTTTTGGCCGCCGCTCCGGCGAGTCATTGGAGACGTCTGGGCGGCGCGTTCGCGCAAGGTCGGCACACCGCTCGCCTTCGGCATCGCGGGCAAATAGTTACGAGCACTACGCGGATCCGACGATGCGACGATAGGCGCAAAAAGCGAGGCACAAATAAGGCCAATGCCAAGGCTATCGATGCGATGCCCGGACGGCGAGCCCGCACGCGTCCGCGCAGGCGAATACGCGTCGGAACACTCGGTAGCGACGCCCGAAAAACAAATTGTCGGGATACAGAAAAAGCACAGTTAAAGCATAACTAGTTGGACCGCATGGACTCGCTGTCCACGACCGCCAGTACGCCGTAGCCTCGTGCCGTCCGCGCGCCGACCGCCACCTCACCGACTCTCGAGCCGGGCGGCGTCGTCCACCGCGCGCTGCGCCCGCGCCTTGCGCGCGTCGTGCTCGCCAGCGAGGCGTTGGATCTCTATTTGTAGGTGTCGGATCTGGGCGTTAATGCCGTCGCAGAGCTGGAACTCACGCGTGGCGATGGCCCGCAACTCCGCGACCCGTTCCCGCCGGCTCGCGGGGTCGTCGTCCACGAGCGCGTCGTCGTCGTGGGCAGCGGAGGCGTCGTCGGCGTCGTTGGCGGCGGCGAAGGGCGCAGCAGGCGCGTCTTCGTCGCGTTGGATGACGTCGCCATCGCCGTCACCGCGTCGATGGTTCATGAGCGACCCAAACTCCCGCCCAGAGACGTTCGGGATCAAACCGCCCACGTGATCAGCAACCGCTTTCGTGCACGCGCGGCCGCTAAAGTACGATCTCCAGGTCTCGGGGTACGCCTCGAAAAGAGGGGTGATCCCCCCGTGCACCAGCGCCAGCGCCCCGATCGAGTACGCGGTCTCCTGCTTAACCGCGATCAGCTCGTGGACCTCCGCGATGCCCTCGTAGTCCACGTCGCTCAATTCGCGCCCGAACATCTCGTTAAACGCCGCGCGCAGCAGGCCCTCGTGGTCGCGGCGCAGCCTCGCGTACATCACTCGCAGCACCTCGGGGTCGTTCGGCCGCACGACGCCTCCTCGAACCGTCGCCACGACCTGTTGCACGCCGAGCAGCACGGACTCCAGCGCTCTCTCATTATTAAAGCCGACGAAGGCGCCAGGCGACGCCGGCCACGACAGGGGATCCACGTCCAAAAGCTCCAGGCCCTCGTTCGCATAATTGAAGGCCTCCACGAACTCGCGGTGCATGTTTGACACCTTCGGTTGCCGCGGCCCGCGCCGTGGCTTGGGCGGTGGCGGCGGGAGCAGCCGTCCGATAGCGAGGGGCGCAGCGTCGCGTCCGCGACGCGCCGCGGCAGGCGCCGGCGCGGCCGCGGCAGGCGCCGGCGCGGCCGCGGCCGCCGGCGCCTCGGCCATGGGCGTGTCGTCGCCCGGCGGCGTCGTCGCGTCGGTCGCGTTGCCGTGAGGGACTGGAGACGGCGCGGTCGGCGGCGCGGGCGTGCCGGGCCGCGTCGGCGCGTCCTCCTCCATGGCGACCGCGGCGTCGGCGTCGCGCGCGTCGCCCTCGTTGGGCGCGAAGGTGCGACCGTCAAGCTCCGTGCCGTGCTCGCCGTTGCCCTTGAACTTGAGCGCTATTCGGTACCTCGAGCACCCCAGTTCCCTACTGAGAAACGTCTCGAGCGTCTCGCCGGGCGAGCACGACGCGCGGCCCGCCTCGAACGCCGCGACCAGCGTCACCAAGCGCGCGTCCTCCTCCTGATTCCACGCCCCGACGCGCGGCCACACCGCGCGCGCGCCGTCCGTCGCGGCGGCGGCGGCGCCGGGCGTCGGTTCGGCGTCGGCTACCGCGAGCGCCCAGCGCTGCCCCGCGTCGAACGACTCGCGGAACGCCGTCTCGAGACGGCCCAGCTCGGCCCGTTCCTCGTCGGTCAGAGCACCAGTGCGGACGAAGGCGCGACTGCTGATCCCTGTGACGTTCGTGAACTTCTTCTTTCCGCTTTTGACACTACCTTCTTTGCGAAACAGCCGTTCGGCGAGCAGCGCGTACAGCATCGTGCCGTCCGCACAATTTTCGAGCCGCCCCTCGACGAACATCCCGGCGATCATCGTCGCGTATCTTCTCTCCGGCGCGTCCCAGTTACCCTTGCGCAGCGGCACGGCGCTTGACGCCGTCGGCACGCCGGGCGTGGCCACCCGGCGCCGCCCCGGAGCCGCCGGAGCCGCCTTGGCCGCCTCGAGGCCCGCCACGAGCGCCGCGCGGCCTTCCTTCTTTTTTTTTAATGCACACCACCGAACCGTGAGCTGCCTCTCCGTGACCACGAAGTCGAGCCGCTCGGCGACGGCCTTGTGACTTACCCTCGCACCACCAGCTCTCAGAGGCTGCACGCCGACGCCGCTCCCCACGAGCGCCAAGACCGCGGCGTCCTTCGCCGCCGTCCACTGAAAAGGGGCAGTAGGTGCAGTGGTCCCACTCGCAGCGCGCCCCGCCGCGAGCGCGTCGCTGCCGTCGGTCGTGTCTTTTAGATGACTCTGCCAGCGATTCGAGCACTGCTGCCAGTCGACGTCGAAATTGAGCTGCGCGGCGACGCGCTTAAAATCTATTCCGTGACTGCTGAAGCAATCTCCGCCGCGCAGGACGGCGAGGAGCGCGGCCTCCTCGTCGTCGGTCCACCGATGCGGCGGTCGGTTGCTTGGTTGTGAATAGTCGTAGATGTCGTCGGCTTCTCGCCGCGCCCGGGCCAACCATGCCTCGTTTTGCGCATCCCTTTGGCCGTCCGCGTCAGTATTATGAGCATCTACATAGGGTCGAGTGGGCTGCCAGGGTAGATTAGGGTCCTGGCTCGGGTCACCGAGGGTGCCAGCCGAAATAGCAGCTGCGGTGTTATTTATTCGGCCTTGTTTTCTTTGATTCGCGTCCATCAGCGTGTCGCGTCTGCGTCGCCGAGGCACTATCTAGCTGAGAGTTACTAGCCTGGATACGCGAAGACCCATATAGATAGACTTAGACCAGCAGGAACGACACCGCCGCCGCCCCGTACAAGACCCGGGGAAACTCGCGCAGCCGCGCCTGGAGGTACTCCGCCGACGTCTCCGCAAACGCCAAGACCTCCCCCCTGAAATGATCAAGTTTCTCTTCCTGCTGCCGTTGCAGTTTTCTGTCATAGGCGTCGCGCAACCGGTCGTCGGCGAGCGTCTCGCCCGCCTCCCGCAGCTGCTCGAAGGCCAGGCGCGCGTCGGGCGACGGATTCTTCTCGGGATGCACGAGCAGCGCCTTCTGGCGGTAGCGTTGTCGGATCTCCATCTGGGACGCGCTTCTGCGAAGGCCTAACACGGCGTAGTGGCCGCGCTTGTAGTTCTTGGTGATCCTACTAACCTCAGCCGCGCAGCTCCGCCGCTCCCGCGCCGGCAATTCGGCCCAGGCCTGGGCCCGTCTTAATTCTGTCGAAGGATCGACTTGCGCGCGCGACCGCATCTCGGCCAACTTCTGGTCCCGTTGATAAATGTCCTTTAACTGAGCCGCGTCGGCGGGCCGGAGGTCGCTTTCGAGCGGCGACCGCGGCTCCTGCTTGATGGGCATCGTGTGCTCGCGCAACGCGTCGGTGGTCACTCCTGCCTGTTGCTGCGCCTCGGCGAGCGTCGCCTGCTGCTCGGCGCGGCGCGCGAGCTCGGCCTCGCGCAGCTGCCGCTGCTGCTGCGCGACGGCCTCGCGGAGCCGCGCGGCGTTCTCCGCCCGCAGCGCCTCGGCGGCCGCGGCCTGCTCCACCGGCGAGGCCTCGTCGGCGGCCTCCTCTGCCGCGGGGGCCTCTTCAGCAGCCTCCTCCTCCTCGCCACTAATGCCGCTGAGCGTTTCGGCCGCGGCGGCGTAGGCCTGCGCGAGCTCCGCCGCCTCGGCGTGCATCGGCGTGTGCGTCGCCGTCTCGGGCGACGCGTCCTCCTGCGCCGCCGCGGCGTCGGCCTCGGCCTTCGCTGCCGCCTGCGCCTCCGCCTGCGCCAGCGCCTCGGCCTTGGCTCGTTCCAACGCCGCGGTCTGGGCGGCCTGCTGCTGGGCCGCGTATTGGCGCTGGGCTTCTTCCAAGCGCTGCGCGTGCTCGGCCCGCGCGCGAGCTTCCGCCTGCTCGGCCGCTTGGGACAGCCTAACACGCTCGGCCTCCTTCGCCGCTTCATTTTCGTAGTCCTCTCCCACAGCAGGCATGAAGGCGCCGCCCAGCGAGTTCATCGACGCCTGCACTTCGGGCTCGTCCTCGGCCGGCGGCGCGTCCCGTTTCAGGGTGACGGTCTCGTCCGCATGGTTTACGATGATCGCTGCGGCGGCGACGAGCAGGCGGAGCATTTTTAGTGAGCGCGGTGCGTGCCGCGCGCTTGTTGCTACGCGTGTGCTGCTGCACAAGGTCAATTGGAGCACGCGAGCGGGCGCGGCGTGCCGTTTAAGGCGTCAGTCGCACGTACTCGAGCGATGCGCAAGGCTGATGGCGAGCGCCGCTCTAGCGGGGGCGAGCGCTGCCGTGCAAAAAATGGCTCAAAATGGCTCTCTGCAGCTTGGCTTTATGACTGCTGCATTCAGCACAAAGGCATCAAGTCGTGCCAGAAACCAAGCGAGGCTGCGGCGAGAGACAACTTTTGCAATCGCTAACCACGTGAGCAGCCGTGGCTGCGAACCGACGGCGCAATACATCACTCATGCTGCTGCTGCGAGTGGCATCGCGACGCGCCGTCGCTGCAAGCCGGCGCCACTTGACCGTAGCAGTGACGGGCGAGGTGCTGCTGCGAGGCGCCGCAAGACGCGCCGTCGCCGCGGCCAGCCGCCGCGACCTGACGGTGGCCGTCACCGGCGCGAGCGGCTACGTCGGCTCCTACATCACCGAAGAGCTACTAAAGCGCGGGCATGAGGTCAGAGCGCTCGTCCGCGGCTGCGATACCAATAAAGAGAAAGCAGCACACTTACAAGCGCTGCCCGGTGCTGATCGATTAACACTGGTCGACGGCGGCGACCTTGGAGTAAAGGGCTCCTTCGAGGCGGGACTGGCCGGCGCCGACGCCGTCGTCCACGCGGCTGCCACCGTCGTCATCGGGAGGGACCCGTCCATCGCGAGCGCCGCGGTTGATGGTGTCGAAAATGTATTGTCGTCCTTACCTAGTACATGCAAGACCTTCGTGTTGACCTCGTCCATCGCCGCGGTCATTTCCCTCGACAAGGCATCGTTAACCTTCGACGAAAGCGACTGGAACGACTACTCGTCCCTCAAAAATGGAGACGCTTATGGTTTTGGCAAGACGCGGGCCGAGCGCCGAGCGAGAGATCATTGCAAGAACATAAACTTCGTCGCGCTGCACCCCGGCATCGTCCTCGGGCCCGTGATGACGAAGCCCCACACGAAGGCGTCGCCGGTGTTCGTGCGGAATCTATTGCTGCCGAAGCCTATCTTAAATCCGAATTCGGCGCATTTCGTGGACGTGCGCGACGTCGCCGCGGCGCACTGTATTGCGGTGGAGCGGGCATCTGAGTTGGACGGGGGGCGGTTCGTCCTGTGCAACGACGAGACGTGCGCGAGCGTGAATCCCGTGTCGCTCGGAAAGGTGGCCGCGGAGGCGTGCCCCGAATACGAGTACACGGCGGACCCGCTGCTGCCGCCCTGGAAATTTGCCATTGGGAAGGCGCTGAGTCATGTGCCTGTACTTGGTCCGCGCGTGATGACGGAGTACGAGCGGCGCGTCTTCGAGGCCCGCACGACGCTGTCGAACGCGCGGGCCAAAAATGAATTAGGACTGACCTTCCGGCCGCATGCGGACACGGTCGCGGACACGGTGAGGGGGTGTGTTCAGCTCGGCATCGCGCATCGACGAGCTTAGTGTAATTGTTTAACAGTACATTCAGTGACCCCCCACGTCGAATACAAACTCGAGGACGCGCCCGAGCATGTCGGCCGGGAGATGAGGGAATTTCGGCGCGAAGATCGCCACGAGTCGCTGGCGGTGCGCGTTTTCATAGGCTTTGAAGCCTCCTGCTATGCGGATTTTCTCACAGAAGGTGCTACTAGATAGAGGTATTGCTGCTCCGGCGCGCATGAGCGGAGCGTAAGTGCGTTGGTTGCCTTTCGCAATCGCTTTTACCAGCGCTCGGTCTAAACCCACTGCGCCCGCCGTGATGAGCTTCTTGACGGTAGCGGCCACACCACTCATTGCTGCAGTTTCTAACACTGAGCCCCCAAAGTAAGTAGTGTTGACATCGGCGCCCGATTTTATGAGTAATGCGATGACGGCTTGGTATGATGGGGTTTTATAGCTCGCAATGTAATGCAACGGCGTTCTTCCATCGGTACCCTCGGGACCTAAATCTACTGAAGCGCCGGCCTCCAGCAGCATCGAAATGCACGCGAGTCGCGCCTGAATAGTCCTTTCGGGACGCACCCCGCTACCCCAAAGTATCGCGTAGTACAACAGCGGGAATTTTGACCGTGGTTCCCTTAGGTTAGGGTCGACGCCAGCAGCGAGGCATCGGCGCAAAGCTTCGACGTCGAAAGCTCGTACAGCGTCGCAGATCTCTTGCTGCTCTTCGGGAATGGAGTTGGAATCGGAATCAGAACCGGAATCAGCCATTGCTGCGGCTCGGCCGGTAAGGATGTACGGGATGACCACGCCCGCTGGTCCAGGGATGGAGCGGCAGATCTCTGACCAGTTCCGGTGCGTTTAAGCTGTGGCGTGCCGCTGCGCGAACGCCAGCGGAGGCTCAGGCTCCGAGCGAGAGGCTGGTCTCCCGATTACGGATTTAGCTAGCGGCATGTAAGGCACTAGAGAGACCTCGGCGCGCGCTTGCACCCGCAACAAACCCCGTGCACGTTCACAATATCAAGAATAAGGCCACGGGACGTCCTATCGCAGCCCTGAGGCACGCTGGCTACGCCTTCTCTGCGTTGCGGTAGCTAGGAGCAAGCGTGCAACGAAGAGCAAGCAGGAGGGCAGCTGCAGCGCGCGTCGCAGCAATGCCGCGAACACGACGAGTCGCCGCAGCGCTCCTGGCCATCACGCAAACGGCGGGAGGTTTCCTTGCACCAAGGCCAAAGTGCAGCACTGCACTCCGCGCCGCGACGCAAGAACCTGTCGCCGAGATTACGGCCGAGCCCTGCAACGTCGTCCTCACCACCACAAACTGCGACTTCGACTCGCTCGCCGCGGCCTGCGCCTTAGCTTCTCTATGGGGCCGGGACCCGGAGTTTTCACTCGTGCCGGCGCGCGTCGTCATGCCACGCGGCGCGGTGCCGGTGGTCCAGCGGTTCCTGGCCTACCACAAGCATGTGTTGCCCGTGCGCGGTTTCAAGACCATCGACGGGTCTGATATTGAGGCATTGGGCGTTGTCGACGCGCGTCGGGCCGCGCGCCTAGGACGGTCGAAAAGATGGCTCAGTCTCGCGCAGTCGCTGCACGTCTACGACCACCACGTCGGGGGCGAGGGCGAGGAGTCCGAGTCGTTGGGACTGCATGCCACGGAGGTCGTGGTTGAACCCGTTGGTAGCACCACTACGCCATGAGTGGAGCGACTCCGGGACGCCGACGTGACCCCATCAGTACCGGAAGCAACGTTGTACGTGCTAGGCATCCGGGCGGACACAGGCGGCCTCGCCTACGAGACGACGACGGCGCGAGACGCCGACGCTTTAGCGTGGCTGCTGCGCAAGGGCGCGTCCCAAGCCGCCATCGCAGAGTTCGGGGTGGAACGAATAAGCGGAGATCAGCGGAAGATCCTGGCGACGGCTCTAAGAACTGTGGAGTCGCGTTTGTACCGCGGCGTCGGCGTCGCCACGGTCGCGGTCCGCAGCAAAGGCTACGTGCCCGGCTTAGCCGCGGTCGTGGAAGAGTTGCTCGAGCTCACAGCTGCCGACGTGCTCATCATGGCCTGCGAGCACCAGAACGGCCTGGACCTCATTGGAAGAGCCAGACCGGGAGCCGCGACGGTCGACCTCCGAACAGTGATGTCCAAATTTGGAGGCGGCGGCCACGCGAGAGCTGCGGCGGCGGCCGTGCCGGAGAACGACCGCAAGGCCATGGGCGCGCCGCGGAACGTGCTCGACGTGGCGCGGGAGTACGTCTTGGGGCAAATACCAGCCGAGCCGACGGCGGCCGCAATCATGACATCCGCAGTAGTGACGCTCAAGGACGACGCGACCATCGCCGACGCTCGTCGATTGTTAAATGCGCACTCGCTGAAGGCGACGGCCGTCGTCGACGCCAGTGCATAAATCAAATTGTCGCGGCGCGTCTCCACGCCATCGACGCGACGCCAGCTCGATGGCGTGGCGATGTGCACCCGACTCATTGGGTGATTTCCACACAGGTCGACGCGAAGGGCCGGCTGCGGGGCGTCCTGAAGATGAGCGACGTTTCTAAAGCTGAAAAAGCTGGAAGGCAAAATGATAAAGTGAAGGGCGTCATGCGCACGCAGGTGACGACCGTCAGCCGGGATACGCCTCTGGCGCGGCTCGAGGAGATCCTCGTCACGACCGTCGGGCGGGTTCCGGTGGTGGAAGACGATGGCCGACTGCTGGGCATCGTGACGCGGACGGACTTGCTGCGCCTGCGGAACTACTACGGCGGCGAGCTGCCGCGGCCGTCGGCTTTGGGCGTGTCCGGCGAGGCGGGGCCCGGGTAAAAACAATCAAGTATTATGGTTGGAGTCGGCCCTTCGCGTCCCGCTGCGAACACTGGTCGCCTTCTAAACGGCTCCACTCGCCGGCGAGCTCGTACCAGCAGTAGCCCGTCCTTTGGTTGACCCCAGTGCGTTGGGCCGGGCCCGCCGTCACGTTGAATCGCGAGGGGAGGTCCGTGGGGAGACTCTTCGTATTGAGGGACGCGTCGAGCCTCGACGACGCCTCGTCGAGGTCATTTAATAAACGCCGCGCCTGGTCGCCGGTAGACGCGAGCAACAAAACGCGACGTGTCACACTTAGAGCTGAAGCCGCCGCCATCAGTATTAATATTCTCGCCGCCATGGTATTAAAATTTGGGCTTGCCGACCTCCGGGTACGAGATCGGGTCGGCCCCCTGGAACTTGAGGTAGGCGTTCGTCGCCTCCTGCCAGAGCGAGCTTTTGTGCGTGCCGGGCACGCCGGAGGACCCCCAGAGCGTGTAGGCCCCGGCGCAGACGGCCGACGCGCCGAAGAGTGCCGCGGTGCCCGCGAGGTTCGCGGGCGCCCAGGGCGCGGGGCCGCCGCCGAGCTTCGTCAGGTACTGGATGAGGCGCGTGTGGACGGTCGCCATCGTGCCTGCGTTTTCGACGGCGTTTGAGGCGGGGCGGTTTTTTGGGCTCGCGCCGTCTCTCCCGGCGTTCTCTGCGCTTCGCGTGCTTTTCAATCGTCTCGTCGATGGCGTTCGCCGGCGTTTGAGGCAGGGCGGTTTTTGGGCTCGCAAGGTCTCCTCGCCGGCGGGCGCGCAGCACAACTCGTTCTCTGGGCTTTGCGCGTGGTTTTTAATCGTCTCGGGACGCCGCGCCCGCACCGGATGCCGCAGCCAGCCGTGTCCAGGGCAAGCTGTGCTTCCTTGCTAGCTAGGCCTAGTGTCTTACATGCCGCTAGCATTTTGATGAATTAGCTATACCCGCACCGCCAGAAACTTCTCTCCGACCTTCGGAACAATCGCCTTGTTGACGCAGACGAAGAAGGAGTTGTACGAGTCCGCGCCGAGGCGCCACAACTCCGCCGCGGCCGCCCAGTCGACGTCGTCCGCCGATAGCATATCGGCGATGCGCTCCGTCGCGTAGTGGAACTCGTTGATGTAGTACCTCGCCACGAGGACCTCGCGGCCGAGGCTGCCGCTGTTCGCGGAGATAAGCAGCCCGTCGGCCAACAACAGGGCCTTGCGCGACGCCTGGCGTAACGAGGAAGGCGCCTTGCCCTTCTCGCCGCTGTCGAGCAAGAATGAAGCCGTGTTCAGATCTTTCTTCCGCAGGGCCTGGCCGAGGTCGGCCAGGTCCTCGGAGGCGGCTCGCACCGTTAAACCGTGCTTCGAGTAGGCGTCGTACCGCTGCTTCAGGGGAATGTACGTGCACGCGTTCGACCCGTCAGAACCGGATGCGCACTCGCCCCAGGCGTTCCATTTCGGATCGTCACGCGGTAAGTTTTGGACGTCGAGGACGCGCGGCGGCTTCCGTCCAGTCACGAAGTAGAAATCGTTCGCGATCAAAGCCTTCTCGTTCAGGCCGCGGTCCCTATTCTCGAGGATGCCCGGCGGCGGCGGCGCGTCGCGTGCCAGCGCTGCGTTTGCTACTCCCGGTATTAATGTTGTGAGCGCGGCGGCGAAGGCGCGGCGGTCGACGGCCTGAGGTGCTGGCCTTGCGACTCGCAGCGCGCTGCCCACCGGCAGGATTGCCCCCAACAGGACAGCTGCGCGTCGCATTGCTCGAAATACAAATATGCTCTCCGGCAGTCTTTGTGAGGCTGTGGGCAAACACGGCTGGATTCGCCGACGCCGTTGATGGAGCTACCTATGTCGTTGCTCTGTGCAAATTCTGCAGCCGGATCGAGCCACACAGCGTGAGTAAATGGCCTTAATCAAAATCGGATCGAGCAAAAAACCCGTGAGCAAATCTTAGAGGAAGACAACTTACTCTCCGCCGCGTGATAGACGCACCGGAACCGATCGAACGACAGCACGTCACCGCAGCTTCTTCCGCTCCGCCAAGCGCGGCGACGACCGCCTCGGCGCGTTCTTCGGGCTATCGGCCCTTAAAGACCCGCGCGCGTAGTACGCGTCCTCGAACTGCTCCTCGAGCTCCGCCAAGACGTGCGTCTCCCGCGCGATCAAGCGACCCGTCTCCGCGACGCGCGCGACGATCTCGATCTCCGCGATCAGACTCCTCACGAGTCGCCGGTGGTGCATCGCGAAGCGCAGCAGCGAGAACAGGAGCTGCCGGATGATCTTGCCCGGCCGGATGAGTTTCTTGGGCGGGTGGAGCCTGATCTTTATGTGCGTCACCGCGAAGTGGAGCGGATGATTTAACCCAGTCCGTCGTAGAATGTAAGCCAGTAAGGCCGAGATCAAGCCCGGCATCAAGCACCCCACATCGACCGAGAACCACCAGCTCTTCAGGTAGGAGTGGTATAGGGGTTTGAGGTCCTTGTAGCCGTCCTTCGACACTTTTCGTCCCGAAATCAAATGGACGAAGATGTCCAGCAAGAGGTACCACCACACGATATAGTCGACCTGGTGCACGTAGGCGTGCAGTTTTTCATCGTAGAGCCGCTCAGGGTGGCCCACGGCCGGCTTCTGCCACGCCTTCGTGATGCATCTATTGCATTCCACGCCCTCGATGGTGCGCGGCGCGCCGTCCGTGAGGCACTGTTCCACAATATGCTTCGCCTTCCACGTGTCCCGCAGCGACAAGGAGTCGGAGATGGCCTGCGCCACCAAAAAAACAACCCCTGCGAAGCGCCAGAGCCGCAGGGGCGGGCTGCTGTGGGCTAGCAAAGCGGGGAAGGTCATCGTGCTGGGCCTCCTGGGGACGAGGGCTGCCCCGTTCGGCGCGGGCCCAAGCTTCTTGCGCGAAGCCGTGGCACTCTGAGCCAAAAAAAACGGTGCCGGGGCGCCGCCTCGGTCTGGCCTTTCCCGCCGGCGGCGGAGGCGTCGCGGCGGCGGCGGGGGGTCCTGCCGTGGCGGTCTTCGGCCGGAGCCGCGCGGGCACTAGCCGGGCCCTCGGCATCTCCCTCGGCGCTGGCTGATCAGCTGATGGCTGATCGATGATCCTGCTTATCCGAGACTGAGCAGCTGCTGTGCTTAAGTTGTATCGGGGCTGCGCCGACACACCAGCTACACCTTAAAAAAAGGAATTGCCCATACGCGCAGCGATCTGGCACTTGGGGGCAGCCTGCAAGCCCAGAGCACATAGATACCTCCATATAGGAACAACAGCCCGCGATAGCACATGGGCTCAGGCGCGTCGACCGACAGGAAACCGCTCACCGAAGTAAGGCTAAAAAGCGAGGTCGGCGTCCTCTTCGACGACAAGGCTAAGCGAGCCTTTGATGCGGCCGCGACCGAGGGCCCGGACGGGACGCGCACGGTGCCGTGGCCCACGATAGAGGCCCACGCCAAGGAGCACGACGAGCGCGCGCTCGACCCGCGGAAATGCATGTTTCACAACCTGAAGGCGTTCAAGTCCGCACGGGAGCAAATTGCAGAGATCGCGCGCGTGCACATCAAGGGCCCGGTGCGCGAGATCCCCTGGGTGGGCAAGAGTCTCGGCGACGAGTGTCGGCAATGCGGCCTCGACGGCGAGCCGGCCGCGTCGCTCGACGCGCTGTACGAGGTCGCCGCGCTAGCGAGCGTGCAGTTTGAGCAGATTATGACGGCCGCGTGCCCCGACGGCGTCACGTTAAAAATTGCGCCGCTGAAGGGCCGCGACCGTGCCGGCGCCAAGGCGAGAGACGAGTACGCGGACAAGACGGCGCCGTGCTACAGCTGGCTTTTTGATATTACGCGCGGCGCGGCTCTATGTCAGACCGAGGAGGCCATCGTGCAGCTCTACGCGTCGCTCGAAGCGGACGACCGTGTGGATATTGTGCGGACGAAGAACCGTTTTAATCCTCCACTATTCAACGGCTACCAGGACATTTTGATGAACGTCGCCGTGAAAGTCGAGAACGTGACGCACTTGTGCGAGCTTCAGATCCATCTCATGCCGATCAAAGATTCGGAGGCGCTGCACCGGAGCCACACGGTCTACGAGTACTTTCGGTCGTTTTTCTTGGGCAATTCAGACGCGGTCGCGCAGCGGCTCGAGATGCTGTGCAAGCTTCCAGTCGACGAGGCGAACGATGTGGATGAGTTGGTGGACCACGTGCTCGGCTCTGGTGCTGACGCGAAATTGCTTGACGGTCTCTGCGCGTTGCTCACGTCGATTCAGGAGTCCGCGGGCGTCGTGAAGGTCCGGGAAGCTATCTTAGCGGAGAAGGAGCGCGCGTTTGGTGCGGAGAGCAAGGAGGCGGGCAAGGCGCTGTTTGATCTTGGGGTCGCGTACGGGCGCCTCGGCGACGACTACGCCAAGGCGCGCGACGCCTTGGAGCGGGCGCACCCGATCTACGAGCGCGAGTACGGTGAAGATAGTACGAAAGTCGCCGACGTGTTTCATCATCTCGAACGCGTGACGGGGCCTTGGCGACTACGACAAGCTGCGCGACCTGCAGGAGCGCGCGCTCGCGATCCAGGAGCGGGCGTACGGCCGCGACCATACGAGCGTGGCCCTCACGCTGACGAACCTCGGGAGTGCGTACGGCTACTTAGGCGACCCCGCGAAGCAGCGAGACATGCTGGAGCGCGCGCTCGCTATTAAGGAGCGAGCTTACGGCCGCGACCACGCGGAAGTGGCCAGCACGCTGACGAGCCTCGGGAACGCGTACGGCAGTTTAGGCGACCACGCGAAGAAGCGAGACATGGTGGAGCGCGCGCTCGCGATCAACGAGCGGGCGTACGGCCGCGACCACCCGAACGTAGCCAAGACGCTGACGAACCTCGGGAACGCGTACGGCGACTTGGGCGACCACGCGAAGTCACGAGACGTCCTGGAGCGCGCGCTCGCGATCAACGAGCGGGCGTATGGCCGCGACCACACGCAAGTGGCCCGCACGCTGACGTACCTCGGTAATGCGTACGGTAGATTAGGCGACCAGGCGAAGAAGCGAGACATGCTGGAGCGCGCGCTCGCGATCAACGAGCGGGCGCACGGCCGCGACCACCCGGATGTGGCCTTACCACTCGCAAATCTCGGTAATCTGTGCGATGGCCTCGGCGACCAAGCCAAGGCGCGCGAATACTACGGCCGCGCCCATGCAATTTGGGAGCGCGCCTACGGCCCCGAACATCACTTGACCCGACGAGTCCGAACTTACCTCGCAAGCGTATCGTAGTTGTAACATGTGTGATCCAATACGCCTCGTCGCCGCGAAGGGTGTACTCGATGCTTAAGAGGCGGCGCGGGGGAAGGGGAAACCACGTCACGGCAGGCGCGTAGCCATGAGTGAGCGGGGGGGGGAAGGGGAGCGTCGCCTCGAAGCCGCGGCGTCCGCGACTTACATGATCTTCTGGCAGATGCAGTTGACCTCGTTCTGGTCGTCGGGCAATCCGGCGGACTCGCAGTCCGTCGACTTGATCCAGTTGCCGTGGAGCTGCTCGTAGGACGTGACCGAACCCCCGGGGAGGTTGAGCGCCGCGGCGCCCGTGTCCGTTTGGGCGTTGACGAGGACGGCGCAGCCGTCGGCGCCGTCGAAGTCGCTGCCCGAGCACTCGGGCTTCGAGAGGTCGCCCTCGAACGCGCAGCCGTTGCGCTTGACCATGTCGCCCTTGAACTGCGCGTCCTGGAACGCCTGGCACTCCGGCTCGACCCAGTCGCTGTCGCGGTGGCCGACCCAGGCGAAGGACTTGTCGGGGCCGTACTTCTTGGTCATCCAGGCGAGGAGCTGGTGGTTCATGTCGAAGGACGTGATGCACGGGATGTGCCAGAAGTCGTCGATCGTGGGGCACTTCTCCACGCACTCGTCGAAGGTCGTCGTGCCCAGCTGCTGGTCGAAGACGTACAGGGGGCGGAAGAAGGACGTCGTCGGCGCCGCGACCGTGGCGGACACGGCCGTGGCGGCGAGCGCGCCGAGGACGAAGGAGGCCGCGGCGGCGCCAGCCACCAAGCCCTTGAGGGACTTGCCGGCCGGCTTGTCGGCGACGAGGGGCGTCTCGATGGTCTGGTAGGCGGCCATTTTGTTGTTGTGTCTGCGGGGCGGGGGGCGTGACGGGCGTGCTGGCGCGGCGATGGCGTTGGGCGGGCCCGGAGGGTTAGTTTTGCTTGATGTAATACATCCAAGCGTCTCGAAAGCAGACGCGAGCTGGCTGCTTACAAGGCCGGGTTTTAGCCTCGTCAGCGGCCGTGGCGGCTCCGACCGCTTCCGTGGTCCCGCGCGGCGCCTCGCGGGCTTGCGCGCGCGCGTCCGCGGACTTTTTGCGTAGAAAATGCGAGCAGGCAAAAATAGTTTTGCGCGAGACCGGGCGCGACGCGCGCCGCGACGGCCGAGGGTCGATCGAGACCGCGCCGCGATGCGCGGCGCGCGTTGTAAAATTGCGACGCGGGCGGCGACGTGGCGTAAATGCGGGTTCGATGAGTTTCGCAAGGAGCTTGTTGGGAGCCACCGATTTTGGCGGGTCTCATTACGCATCTCCGCCCCACTCCACGCCTCCCAGTCCTCCCCAGGACGGGTAGCGCGAATGACACGGGCCAGTCACCCCGCGGCGGTCGCGGGGCGCCGACGAGCCCGAGCAAGTCAAGCTCAAGCGTGGCTTCGATAAACCAAAATTCAACGTCGATCGAATCAAAATTAAATGGTTTTGACGGCGGCGCAACTGCATCCTCTAACCCCGTTATCTCGCGTTGTGCGTCCGTTGCGCGTGCGCCGGACTAACGAAAGCAGTGTTCAAAGCACCCGCACGAATGTCCAAGGACGCCTGCGGGAGGCTAGACTGATCCTTCGTTGAAGGTGTATCACTTACGCGGTGGCGGTGCGTGGGAAGGGAGAGGTTCACACCGACGGCCCCAAGGCTGGTCCCATGAGCGCGGGCATGGGGCCGCTCGTGCCGCTCGAGAAGTTCCACGAGCGCAAGTTCGCGGGCGCCGCCATCGCAGCCGAGTTCGCCATGCGCGTGGAGCGGATCGGCCCGACGACTGAACCATCAGGATGGAAGTTCCCGGCCGCCGCGTGCGCGTATCCGACGAGCCGCACCTGGATGTGGCCGAGCAGCGCCGCCTTGAGCGAGACGTGGTGTAGGGCCTTGAGGCCCTGCGACTCCAGATAATCTAGCTTCAGCTTCTGGAGGGAGTTCATGCAGCCCGCGCATCTCGAATACTGGACGATGTTGAACCGGGTCGTCCCTTCCGACGCCCCCTTCCGACCCAGTCTCTCGAGCTGAAGCCCACCAATTAGCCACACCTCGCCGCCCGCCGCTTCCGAGGAGGCGTCGCGCATCTTCGCACACAGGACCTCGCAGTCCTCCATTAAAGCAGACAAGCCGCCGGGGATCTCGCCCGTGCTCTCGAAGCGCGCGTGCCGGAAATCTTCGAGCGTCCCTTCCGTAGTGACCACCGCCGTCGACGAGACGAGCTTGAGGCCGAGCGACGACCGAACCGCGTCCATGTCGTCATGTCCGCCTAGGGCCCACGTCGACGCCCGGTCGCGGAAGTCCAAACAGAGAGCGAACGGGCCCCCGCGGCCCCGGTGCGTGACGTAGGTACCATCACCTAGTGGATGGCCGTTCCACGCGTCGCCCGTCATCAGCGCCGCGTCTCCATCATGCACTCGCACGACCCGACCGATGGGCTCCTGGTCCTTGCCTCTACTACTGAGCCCGAGCTGAAACTCGGAGCCCCGACCTAAGATCACCTTCTCCTGCATCTCTCCCGCCTTGATCAATACGGGCTGGCCGGTCTCAGCGTCCTTGGCCCAGACCAATTGCGTCAGATCTGGAGCAACGTGATCGGGAAGAAGTTCTACTTGTAGGGGCACGACGGACCGGTGGAAGGCACTGTTGGGTGGGAGCAGCGCCCCCTGATCATCCTCGAACTCCCTTAATGATTCGATGGCCTCGGCGTCGGCGTCCGCGTTCATCTTCCTCCGCTTTGACCCAGCGACCGCAGCAGCACGTATAGCCGGCGCGACGTGCGCGTTCTGGGTATACGTGCTTCTGTGGTCGAAGTCGAGATCGGCGCAGCACTCCCGCGTGGCCGTGATCCGCTTTTCGAGCACGCCGTCGGCCAGACCTCGATGATACCTGATGAGCCCGCGCCAGACCTCCCGTGACGTGGGCATCGACGCGAAATCTAAACCGTGCTCTTCTGGGAGCGCGGTTTCCGCCCACTTGATGGCGTAGTCCTTGTCCTCGAAGGCGAACCCTAGAACCCTGCTATCGAATCCGCTTAATCCGATAGCACGTAGGGCCTCCTGCGTCGCGCACTTGTCTCTCACGGCCTTCTGTAACGCTAAGTCCGCCTTGCGGAGGGCGTCGTGGACCGGAGCTAATTTCTCGGCGAGCAGGTCGTCCTCCGACTTCGGAACATTTCGTAGGCGGCGGCGCAATGGGGCGCACGGCACGACCGCCGTCACCTTAGTAGTAGCAGCAGCATCATCATCATCACTATCAGAACCGACGAAGCCGTCCGACTCCTCGTCTTCGTCATCAGAACTTCCCGACTCCTCCTCGTCCGACTCGTCCTTCTTATTTTGGTACGTCTCGTGCCGCGCGTTGAGCGTCTCTTCTTCTTTCTTAGCTAGGTGGGTCCGGTGGACGAGGTCGAGCGCCGACCGTACCGGCACTTCCTTGACGTCCTTGAGGCCGAGGCGCGCCATGAACGCGGGGACGAACCTATCATTATAGGCAACTTGGTCCACATATCCGTATGCGAGTCTTGGTGCCTTGCAGAGGTCTAGCGCGTGCTGCACGGCGTCGGCGGCCTTCTCCTCCGAGATGCCCTTGAGCTTGTCTCCGTAAACCGGGCCCGTGACACCACCCATCTTGCACCCGCGGCCGCGTTAGAGCGCAGCGCTACGCTCGGTCTGCGTGCGAGAAGGTCGACAGGCGCCTCGCCGCGCGCGGCGTGCGAGAACGCGTGCGGCCATGGTGAGCCCATTATTGCTGCCGCGGCGGCTGTGAAAGCGGCGCGCGCGTGTTTAAATGATTGATAGTGACGTATGCGAGCTGTAGCAAGCTGCGCGTCAGGATTGGTTGTGGACGCTGCGAATTTGCGGCCAATTAGGGTGCAGACGAACCGGTCTCGATCTGCGAGGAAGACTCGGGCCGTCCCGGGATTGCTCGCGAAGGCATAATGGTCGGCTTAACTTAAACTTAAGCCTCAACTTGCACATCAGCGAATGCCGCGTCGAGGAATGCCGCCGCCTCGGCGCCCGGGCTAGAGCCGCTCGCCGCGAGCGCCGCGCCCGCGAAGATCAGGGCGCCGCCGCCGCCGACGCGTGCCGTGAGGCCCTCGCCGAGCACCGGCGCCGCGAGGAGCGCCGCCCAGATCGGCTCCGATGAGAGGACGATTGACGCCTCGGCCGCGTGAATCGCGGCCTGGGCTCCTTGTTGCAGCACGTCCGCGAGCGCTCCTGGGACCAGGGCGCAGTAGGCTACAACCAATAAAGCGCGCGGCGTCCAGGCGCCCGAGGCCTCGACGGACGCGGACGAGGCCCAGCAGATGCCGTAGAACCTGTGTAGACAACATCGCGTCGATGGCGTGGGGCGCCCGAAATTTAATTTCCACTCAGCGCGTAGAACCCGGCGCAGGCGAGGTTCTTGCGGGCCTGCACCTCGAGCGCGCCCGCGTCCGGCGGGATCGCCGCCGTGAGCACGATGTACGCCGCCCACGCCGTCGCCGCGGCCACGACCAGTAAATCGCCGGTCCGCTGCTGGACGATCACGAAGGAGTCGTCCGGACTGCTCGTCAGAAACGCGCAGCCCACGCACGCACACAATGCTCCGAGCCAGACGCGCGCGCCTTGCCGTCGCCGCAGCACAAGGTATTCCAGGATCGGCGTAAACACGACGGACAACTGGAGCAGGAACGCAGCCTTCGCCGCCGACGTCCGCTTGATGCCCTCGAGCAGAAACTCGTTGGACGCCACGAGTGCCGCCGCGAGGCCGAGCGACACGGACCAGGGTGGAGCGGCGCCGTCGCGCCTCGAAAAAAAGTAGGGCGGCGCGAACGCGGCGGCCTGGATCAACGCTTTGACCAGGGCCACGGCCGGCGGCGACGGCGCCGCGGTTAGCGTCAGGACGAGCCGCAGCGCCACGTCCTGCGAGCCGTAGCTCAGGGCGACTGCCAGCAACGTCGCGCGGGCCGCGGAGGGCCGCATCGTCGCGTCGGCGTCGTGCACGTGTCGCGTCGTTTGCTGCAGTCAAGCTGCAGTGGGCATGCTGCAGCTGTACACTTTCAGTGCTGCACAACTATGGGGTGCAAGCTGATGCAAGTTTCCCGGCACATTCGTGCGCACGTCGGAGGAGTGAAACTGCAACGTAGCGCTCCCTCTTGCGCCGTACCTGCAAACCCAGCCAAAATCAAGCTAGCGGCCTGTAGACACACTAGGAAGCAGGCGAACGACATGCAGTTGTTTGAGTACCCTTCGGTTAGCTACTGGTCCAAAGAGATCAATGGGACACTTCCTGGGGGACGAAAAAAGTTTTTTTTTTAATTCGCGATATTGACGACGCCACCGTGGCGGGCGCGTCGGTGGAATCCTGTCGATACGTGGTCCTGAGGTCTCCCGGGGATCGCTAAGGGTCGGTACTGTACACGTGCAATCGCCTACGCCGCATGCGCGGGCGCTCCCATCGGTGCATACATATAAGCAAGGTCCTTTGCGCTCTATTGCTTTGGACCATTTTTTTTTTTTTTTTAGTGTTTTAGACCTTACCTTCGAAAACAACCCCCCGGCCTCATGGAAAGGGAGGGAAAAAAAACTTCGGGTAGGTGCACCCTCCGAGCGTGTCTCGCCGGTCCAAGTGGGCCAACGCGACCGGACGTTCCTACCAGGTCATGCCGCCGCCTGCCCGTCACCGCCGGACTCACCACGCGGTCGGTCTGCCCTCAGGCTCCGGACTTCGCGCCGCCGACTCATAGGACTTAGGACGTTTTCGCATCCAGTAACTGCTCCACGGGGGAAGCTGATAGGACAATCCAGGGATTTACATTGATCAATGCCTTCTCCACGTCGGTACGCCGTTGGGCCAAACTAGACCGCCCGCCGGCCGCCGAACCACTCCGTCGATGTTGTTCAGTTGCGCCGGACGGCCTCGTGCCGCCGTCCGGGCTCTCCATTGATGATGCCTTCACGCCGTCGGGCCAAACGAGACCGCCCGCGGGCCGCGAGGTCTGCCCAGTAATGCCATTTCAGTTGCGCCGGTCGGCCTCGTGTCGCCGTCCGGGCTCTCCATTAATGTTGCCTTCACGCCGTCGGGCCAAACGAGACCGCCCGCCGGTCGTGAGGTCCGTCCATCGATTGTGAGTTCCAAGTATACACGGCCGCCACCGTACCGCCGTCGCGAGGCCGCACCGTCGCCGTCATGCTGAAGGCCGTGCCGACCATGATTTGCCAAAGATTTCGATCCAGAGGCCTCTGGGGAGCCCCAAGCGCTGGCGAATGCGGCCTAGGGGACCACCCGACCCCAGACCTATCCCGGAGAGAGTCCGTGAGCCGATCTAGATCCGAAAAAAGTAAACAATTTGGGCCCGATGGCGCCCCGTTCCCGTCAAAAACGTCAATTTTTGAGGGCCCCCAGGAATCGTAATAGCGGTCCCGTTGGACCCTATACTACCCCATCGATAGTCAACTACAAGTATATGACATCTACATTATAAGAAGGGTACTTTTGGCTGCCCACGCTCGGGGCGTGAACATCTTTATCTGGACCTCGCGTAAGTCCGTCGGTCATGAAACAAATGATCGCGTCATGGTCCATGGTGATGTTACACGGGCTGATGGTCGCAGGTCAAAGTAACTCGCCCATATAAGCGAGATACGGTGGTCGCGAGACCGACAAGGCGCGGGAGCATTTGGCAATAGGAAATCAAATGTAGGACACGCTCAGGCCAATTAGCTGGCCCGTCCCATAACCGAAGCGCCTGAAACGCGAATTTATTTTATAAACCACTGGTCTGGGCCCTTTCTGGTGCTCCGTCAACGTACCGTCGTCCGCGGAGAACGGGCAAGTCGGTCGATTGTGAATAGAACAACGGCGTTATGGTCCATCTGGATGGTGTCGTCGCTGATACTCGCAGAGTCAGGTTCTCGGCTCACCTTTGGGTAAACGCGAGGCTGCCGAATCGCAGTTTCGCGCGGCTCCAACGGGACTTCTAATATAGATAGGCTCATGTCCAGGCGGCCTAAACGGCCTCTACCATCAACAAACGGATAAAAACGAACATAAACTCGGGAGTTGTCTAGTAGAATTCTTCTCCCGCCCTCCGAGCGCGGGCCGTCGGCTCCGGTTCCGTCGAGTGTGGATGAAAACCGCGCTGGAGTTGATATGATGTACCATTTGGACGGTAGATGGCGCCGTCAATCGCTGGTGTATTTTGGCGAGCCGCAAGACCTAGCGATCTAGCGTATCGACATACTAGGAATCCGTATATATATATACATGTTACATAAGTATAGTATACATGTATACAGGCCTAGGCGGATGACTTTTGAAAAGGGACCTCTCCGGCTGACCCCCGAATAGTGAAGTTCAGAGCTTAATTCCCGCTCTGTCCGGGAGGGAGATTATATGCATACAAAGGAATATTACAAGGGGGAATTTCAAAGCGCTCAACCAGTTTTATCATGAGCCGGGGCATACCTTTCATCATGCTCTGCTGTACTTGAGGGAGCGGCCTATCCGCTTCACGCCCGCAAGACGCGCGGGCGGCGCCCGCGCCTGGCCCATCGCGTTCACCTTCTTCTTTTATTCCGAATCAACGGTTTGTGGCGGCGCTTCGTTCTAGTGACTGGGGAGCTTGACGACGACTCAGTGTTTGAGCTGCTTTCACTGGCGCTCGGTGAGACTCGTGACCTTTTCGGCGTGCGTTGCGACGGGCGCTTCTTGAAATCGCGGTAGGAATCCTTAGTATAACCCAACCACACGCAGCAACCGCACTCGGCCATACAATTAACGCGATGGTGAGCAGACTCAGCAGAGTTTCAGAGGATGACCAAAGCCTCGATGCTTGTGCTATGCGCGAGCGATTTTCCTCTGGGCCGAGGGCGCGTAATGAACTTATGCTGTTCGACACTTGACGAGTAAGTGGGACCAAAAACGTGCGCATCGGACAAAACCCGCGAGAATAAGCTGTAGAACGTCAATAGGCAGAGGAACACGACGCAGCATAGGTCTAGAAAACAGCAAAAAATTTTAGTCACCGCCGTCGCCGGCGCGTCGCGCGACGAACGCCATCATCCTCCGGAAGTCGCGCACGGCCTCGGGTTCTTCGTCCTCGTCATCACTATCCCCAACGTCCGACTCCCCATCACTCTCGGCATCCCACCAGGCCTTGCAGCCCGACGAGCGCCCGTTCAGAGCTCTAGCCGCTTGCCCCGAGTGGTCCTCGTGCGCATACGAAGCGAGAGGAAAGACGGAACGCGCCGCGTCTTGATCATCATCAGCTCGTACGGAACGCGGATGCGCGCGCAAGTTTCTCCGCGCCGTGCCGCCCAGATACGCGCCGCGACTCGACACCTTCAGCGGCCCACCTGTTGAAGAGGGGTGCAGGAACTCGATATTGTCCAAATTGAAGCAGTGGTCCACGCGCAGATGCGTCAAATACGGCGCATCCAAAATTAACGTCCGCAAGGCTTCGCAGCGGTTGACCGTCACCTCCCTTAGACAGTCCGAGCAAAATCTCAAATCCTCGGCCGGTAGACATCTAGCCGCGAACGTTTCTAAATCAACAGCTTCGGCTAATAACGACCGGACGCAGTCGGCCTCGCCCTCCCAACTTCTCAGATATAGATTCCTGCGCGGACCGACGCCGTGAGTGTGCAGTGGCGCGTTCACGCCGTCGACGCGGCGATGGCGTAGGACGCGGCAACGTACCGGATCTGCGGTAAATCCAAATGCACCCAGCAACTTCGTGATTTATGTTGCAATGTTAAATCTTGCAGCGAGGGCACCGTGACCTGGTCGAGGTAGACGGTCCGAAACCCTTCCAGCGTCTGCAGGGACAAGACCCGCAGCTTTAAAAAACGCAAACCGTCCGGCTGGAAGCTCACGCTCACGGGTCGAGTGGCCCCCCACGTCACGGTCAGTATTTCTACATCATCTGGCACATTATCCAAGTGCTCCTGGAGGTCGTGGGCCCGCGACAGCGTGACGGCGTTCTCGTGGACCCGTTGGGGATCGCTCCGCAAACACTGGGCGGCGTGCACTCCACAAAAACACACCAAGTCACCCACGAACTTCGACGACGAGATGACGCCGTTCTTCGCGTCGACGACCTCCTTGAACTCGGCGCCGCACACGCCACACGCGTAGAGCGACTCGTACGACGAAAAGGAAAACGTCGCGCCTCGGTCCCGCCGCAAGTGGGCCGGGTGCTCCACCATACACTTGGAAGAGTCGCAGGCCTTGCCACATCGGCCACATCGTCTAAATGAATTGATGTATGATGTAGCGTCGTCCCCGAGAGCTTCCGCGAGTTTTTGCCGGAGGGCCTCTTCCAGTTTCGGCGGCGGCGGGGCCATGGGCTTGCGCCGTGGTTTAGGTGGTTCGAGGACCATCTTCTCTACTTGTTCGACGGGGGGCGTCTCGGGCAGCTCGACGGGTGCCGGTTGTGAAGGCGGCTCTTCCGCTAGAGTCGGCGAAGCGAGCGCGGGCGCCTCCATCAATTGGGGCGAGGGCCGCCGCCGGGGCCGCTGCGGGCGCTCGGTCGTGAACGATGGCGAGAAGGGGGCCGTGGCGGCGGCGGAACTGGCCGGGGCCCTCCGCTGGGGCGACGTCGCGAGCTCGGGCGAGAGCCAGGCGACGGCGGCGGCGGCCGTGGCCTCTTCTTCGACCTCCATCGGTGTGCCCGTCGGCGGTGCCTCGGCGGGCGGGGCAGTGCTTGCCTCCTCAGCAGAGGGTGATGGAGGGCCCAGGCCCAGCCAGGCGCTGAGTCGGGGGAAAGCGGCGTTCATGGCGCTTCGTTCAACGCTTCCGTAGAGCACGTAGACCCCTGTGATGTTGTTGTAAAGCGCAAAGGAGGGGGAAGGCGAGAGCTAGTGTAGACATGCACTAGGAATATACAAGCCGGGCTTTGCTCGGGCCACTTGCTCGCCCTGTTGTGCAGTAGGAGTGCCACGGCTCATCAATAGAGACCAATTTCAACTCATTCTCGCACTTGCGATTCCCGTGTACAACCTGCTCTCAGCTTCCCAGAGAGCACCACCAGCTTCGGAGAGCACCAGATAATCACCGCAGCGATGGCCGCCGAGACGAGTTGTCCGTTCAAAGAGCAGCAGTACGGCCTCGGCACTCACACAACAAAGAAGGGCACGAAAGTGACGATCCGCCTCGCGACCGAGGCCGACGTCGGCACGATCCGAAAACTCATCGTCGGCCTGGCCCTCTACGAGAAGGAGCCTGAGGAGACGGTCGAGGTGACGGAGGACGAGTTACGGAGGGACGGCTTCGGTGCCCAGCCGGTCTTTCGCTGTTTGCTGGCCGAGGTCGAGGGCGTCGCAATCGGCTTCGCGCTGTTCTTTTATAACTACAGCACGTGGCAGGGCCGCTGCATCTACCTCGAGGACCTGTACGTGGACGAGTCGGCGCGCGGCACGGGCACGGGGACGCTCCTCCTGAAAACCGTCGCGGCGATCGCGCACGTTGAGGGCTGCAAGCGCATGTCGTGGCAGGCTTTAGATTGGTTCGTGTGCGGCGTCCTCGTGGTGATGGGTCGCGAGAGATACGCCATCGACGCGCCTCGTCACTCATGTGAACACAGGAACACGCCCGCGCTGGACTTCTACAAGGCCCTCGGCGCGAACCGCCTCGACTCGTGGGTGAACCTGAGGCTTGGCGAGAAGGAGCTGACCCAGCTGCTAGGCATCTCATAACAAGTCACATTTATACTCGAGCGCGCGCGGCCTCGTAGTACCCCTCCCCCATTTCCACCCCGTAGTCCTGGTCCGTCGTCAGCGGCGAGTCGTCGTCGTCGTCCACGAACGCAAATTCAGCTAAATCATCAACCATCAAATCGGTGGCCCGCGTCGTGGGTCTGGAGGACGCCCAGCCCGAAGTTTCATCTAATTCCGCGACGTATTTGGTAGCACTTCCTTTCGGCGCCTCCTTGATGACTAACGCCCGCAGGAATATGTTTATTGTGAGGTCGTACCGACCATCCACCATTTCCAAATTATCAATCTGGTCCGCCAAATCTATCAAATACTCCGCATCTACAGAAAGCGGGATCAACTCGCACGTCTCCATCTGCTCGAGCTGCACTAATACACTATCATCAAACCAGTTCACGGTGACGCAGACCGATAAATGAGTACCAACGCCCGGTAAACCGAAGCACTTTATTCTACGCATACCGCGCCACAATCTTGATTCAAGGCGGAGGCGGGGCTTCTCCTTGTATTTCGTTCTGAGCACGTGTTTGAGGAGAATTCTAGCGTTCTTTGCATCAAACACATTACCAGAGTGGTCCCGGTGCTTCTTTCCAGCAACGGCGACTTTCGCGAGGAACGCTTGGGACTGGTTCTTGTCGAGGAGTCGCTTCCGCACCGTGTCCGAGATACACAGCTCGCGGCGCAGCCAGGGCTCGAGCTTCGTAGTGGAGACGAAGTTGTCACTCATGGGAGGCTTCTTAGATAAATTCGACGCAGGCGCCGCACATAAAGCTACACAAGCGGCCTCGAAGGCATCTTCACCGGAATAGGCGACGGCCCGCTCCCTCTCTTGGAGTACAGGTAGGTCGGGGACCATGCGCACGTCCGCTAGCAACCTCTTACATAAATCGGACCAGCAAGAAGCACAAGAATGGCGAACATGTTCCTCGGCGTCGTCCGCCGAGACCGAGCACGCAACCGTACGCACCGCTTGTCGCAAGACTTCCTTCACAACTCTCTGAGGCTCTTGGAGAGCATCATCAACGCATTGCTCGACCAAGTCCCGAACAAACTCCGAGAAGGTAGCAGGCCCGCGAAACTCCATACGACGAAAGCCACCGCAATAGCCATGCAAGCTTTCTTCTCATCCCGCGACATGCCCACTTTGGGCGGCCCGCGGCCCTTCTTCTTCTTCCGCTTCTTCCTGAAGCGGTCGCGCACGCTCATCGCCATGCCCGCGGCGGCGTTCGCCTTCGCGGCGTCCTCATCATCAAAGTCGTCGAGGCAGGCTCCTTCCGCTACGATGGCGGCGTTGCGCGCATCGAGGACGGCCTCCTCCCTCTTCACGTGGACGAACTTGGACGACGCCGAGGCCTTGCCGTATCTATCAACAGCATGTTTCCGCAGGGGCAGCGTGTAGGTCTCCCTGACGTCGAAGAAGAGCCGGAGCTCGTAGTTGTCTTCCAAAGTCCGCAGGCACTCGAAGCGGCACCGTCTCCCTTCTACGACTGAAGCGCCTCGCGCTAGCAATTCTTTCTCCACGCAGCGAGCATGTGTTCTTCTTTTGATGAGTCGGTACGACCCCCTTTCTGTGGGAGACGAGGGCGTTTTGAGGGGAGATGACAGAGCGTGCACCAACCCCGGACCGTAGCCCTGCTGCTTGAACAGACAATCTCCCGCAATGCCACTTTGTAAATAAAGCGGCTTCGTGTACTTCTGCTGCGCATGCGTTTCTAGCACATTCTCACCCGTCAAATAGTCCGCGTCCAAGGGGACCGATCTAGGACCGATCTTCAGGACCTCGAGACTAGGACCCTTCTCGAGCAATGGTGCCTGTGGCCCCGGCATGCCGCGCGCGTGGCACCTCCTCACTGATTCGGCGTGGGCCTTCCGCGCCAGGTCGTTCTCGGAACAGAAAGACAGCAGCGAGGGAATCTTGCGCGCGAGGCGCTTCCGGCCCTCGACGTCGTCCTCGTCCACTGGCTCATCGGTAGACGTCCACTTGGCTAAATCAGTATAAGGCAGGCGACACTCGTACTCCAATCCGGTCCTTATATGAGTGACTCTCACGGTGCAGATCTTGTTGAGCAACGCCGGCGCGTCGTAGACCCGGACTGCACAAGATTCACCCTTCACATAGGCCCCGCAGGCCACGACGCAGCCCCGGTACCGTTTCGGCGTCAGGTGCCACTTCGCGGCCTTGTAGGCCGCCACAGCTTGTTCTCTATCTTTCTTGATTGCTCGTTCGACGTGTCTCACTTGGTCCAGGTGGACTCGTCTGACGGGCCCCACGCGTAGGGCCATGCACAGTCTCACGGTGTAGGCGCCCGGCCACTTCTCGGGCTTCTTCTGCTGTCTCGAGGACGGTCTCGCGCCTACGCCGGCCGCCGATGGTCTACTACTCCGGGCGGGCGCCGGGGCCGCCGCGCCGACGCCGGCCGCCGATTGTGTACTACTGGCGGGCGCCGGGGCCGCGGCGGGCGTCGGCGCGGACACAGCTGGCGGGGGCGGGGCCGAGGGCGGCCGCGTTGTGGACGACGCCGGCCGCGACGGCGACGGCGCCTCGAAGAGAGTAGTGGCATTCTTCTCGGGGGACATGGCCCGCAGCAGCGCGAGCCGCGCCTTGAACCGCTTCTTCGCCTTCGTTTCTCTATAAACTCTACATTCGTCGGGCAGATGCGGGCCCTTCCTCGGGATCACGCCGGGCTCCGCCTCCCACTGTTCCAAATGCGTGTAGTACGTCGTCCGCGTGCCCTTTAACTGTGATGACTCTTTCTCGACGTCGTTGTGCTCGCCGAAGGGAGCACTCGTACCCCATCCGGCCGGCGCCTCGCGCCCCACCAGCACTCTGTGAGAGCATAGACGAAGTAGCTGTGCTCCAAGAGAGCGTTGATCAATTTAGGACGGTTCCCCGGCACCAACAATGAATCTCGATCCTCGCGCTCCGAGAAGATGTGCAACAGACCCCGCCGATCCATCTGGTACCAAGAAATTGAATTGGAGGGAGCCTGGAACTGGATCTTGATCATGCGCGTGCTATGATCCTCGTCATGTAACTTCTCAAACACGGTCCCGGCAAAGCCAATCCCAATCACGCTCAACCGGCCTCGCGTCCGCGAGATAATGGCTCCTCGCGCTTCGATGATGTGCGTGGATGCTGCTCGTCGTAGTTCGGGAACGAACCGCGTGCGGTCGCCGCCCCAGAATTTATCTCTGATGAAACCTCTGTTCTTCGTCTCGCGCGCTCGACGCCGTCGCCGTTTCTCAGTACGAGGTGGTCCCGCCACGACAGGGCGCGCCAGTCCTTGTCCCGGTCTCGGATCGGTTCTCTGAGTAGATCGACTCTATCTTTATTGGCTCCGATACGATGTCCTGGCATGAACCCTTCGAGCGGGTCTCGTTCGACGCGATCCAAGTGCAGGCGCGGCACGGGCGGTTTTCGTTTTTTTATGGTGATGGGACCCTCCAACCTTATTAATCCTTCGGTCCTCAATGCCGACGCGTCTCCTAAATGATCCAACGCGACTATTGAACGTGTGACAAGCCCGGACGTCCTCAGACCCGTCACGGGCGCCTTACTAGCCTTGTCTTTCGTAGTAGGCAAGGGGTTGAAGATCTTCCGCCGGGCCACGGCGTACTCGTCGTCCATCGCTTCGGACTTGGCTAATAAAGCGCCTATCCTCCTCAAATTCCAGTCGGACTCGAGGGAGCCCTCCCGCCCCATCGGCTCCCTCACCAAGGCCTCGACCTCGGGCTGGCCCGCCTCTGGAGCATTACCGACGGCGAGCTTGCGCTTCACGACTTTCACCGAAGTCCCTTCCTTGAACGGTAACAATCGTCCCGGAGGCTGATCCTTCAGCACCGCCTTCTTCGGCGCCGGCGCGGGCTTGTGGCGCTTCGCGCGCTTCGCGCGGAAGACTGCGGCTTGGCCCAACAAAGAGTTATCGTCGAAGGGCTGGGCGGCGGCCGCTTTCAGGAGGTCCAGAGGGGCTCTTTTCACGCGCTTCCAGCGGTCTGCTGCCGTGCGCACCATGGTTTACTTTGGGGGCAGTGGTGGGCAGCCCCTTTTTGCGTCGGTCGCTTGTTGTGGGCGCCGGGCTTTAGCGATGGACCATGTCTTGTAAGAGGGGGCTAGGTTTCCCCATCGTTTTATGGGCGCTCTCCGCCTGTGCAGCATGGCGCTGGGATGCAGGGAGCTCACGAGATGCTCACAGAGACCGTTATGATCCGTCTTGCTTCCAACGCTCGGCCCGCGCGAGAGATCCAGACGTCCCAAAAAGCTAGTGTCGTCTAGGCTCTAGCCCAGCCTCAGAGTTGCTGCTCGCGCACTGCTCGCGTAACAGCACCCCATTGCACCCTGCATCGGTTTCGAGGTCGCCTCTGAATCCTCAACCCAATATAATTGCAACGCGCTGCACGCCGTCGACGCCACAGCACAAACAACACCTGCAACCCCGCAGCACCACCATGAAGCTCATCGCAGCGCTGCTCCTCACGGCGGTCCATGCCAAATTAGCACCCGTGCATCTCGCGAAGAAGAGCGGCGTCAAGGCCGTGCAAGCCATTGATCTGGGCGGCGGCAAGAAGGCGTCCGGCGGCTACGGCCAGTGGGCTAAGGATAATGCCGCGGCGAACGGTATTATTATTGGCGCCTTCAAGACGGCGGCCGCCGATTTGATGGCCCAGGTCTCGGACAGCGAGTCCGACTTCGACCTGAAGCGCAACCTGTTGTTCTTCGCGTTCGGCGGCGCGTACCTCGGCGCGTTCCAGTACTGGTACCAGGTCAACATCTTCAAGCGCATCTTTACCGCTACTGAGAGATTCACCTCCCAGTCGTTGGAGAAGAAGCTCAAGGACACGGAAGGTTTAATACAATTGGCGATGCAGATCGCGTTGAACCTGACCATCTTATCCTGTGTGTACTTACCCACGTTCTACCTCTTCAAGGCCGTCTTCTTCGGCGACTGCGGCTTGGCGTCGTGCTTCGGCGAATCCTGGGGCACTTATACGGACAACTTCGAGAACGATCTCGCACCATTACTGAAGTGCTGGGGCCCCGCGGACCTCCTCTGCTTCTCGGTACCTCTATATCTCCGCATCCCGATCCGCCACGTCGTCAGCTTCTGCTGGACGATCTACTTCTCCATCGTGCAATCGAAGAAGTAGGCGTCGCGCGCGCGAGGCTAAGTTATCAAGTCATCTACTTAGTCCTTCGGGCATCCGAACCAGACTTCGTGCGCAGAGGGTCCCAGAGGCCGTTCTGCGGGCAAAGGTCCCAGCGGCGCGACGTTCAAGCGGTCGTCGAAGACTCGTCGCCGCTTGCCCGCCGGTGCGCCCGACGTTTTGAGGATGGAGCTGTTGGCGGCGTCGTCGGGCGTAACGATAGACGCCGTGTCCACGTCGTCCTTGGGGGGCTCAACAATGGCCGGCCGCGCCTCCGACTGGACGTCTTCCTCGACCTTCGGCAGCGCGTACTCGATTATTTCAACCGCGGACGGGTCCACAACTACGATCGCGCCGTCCCCGTCTTCGATCTTGAACCGCACGCTGACGCCGTGGTGGTTGTCGTGGACGACGACCCCGCTCGTGCAGCAGACGCCGCCCGGGCTCGTGACCTCGACCTTCGAGCCCGTCGTGAACGTGGCCGCGTCGAGGCGTTCGCGCGCCGAGCGCCGCATCGCATTGAGCGACTCATCATCAGAGTCGGATTCGTCGGCCGCCTCGGCCTCGGGCTTGGGCGTCCCGGCACTCTCCTCGCGAGCCTTCGCGGCGGCCTGCTCGCGCGCGTACGCCTCGCGGATCGCCGCCGTTGCCGGATCGAGCGCTTGCACGGCGGCGGGCGTGGCGGGGGGATCCGGCTCGTTCGTAGCCGCGGGGTGAGTCGCGCCGCCCGCTCCGCATGTGGGGTCGGCGCTGATGACGCGCCGCGAGGCCTCCTTGAGCGAGAGCGTCGTGTGCTCGTTCGTCTCCCAGTGCACGACGACGTCGTCGGCGCCGACCTCGATGATGGTCCCGCGGTGGTAGCCGTAGCCCGGGAATGACTTGCCAACCGTGGCACCGACGCGAACGCGCGACGCGAGCCCGTCAGCGGGCGCCGGCGCCGCTTGCGCGTGACCGTTTAGCATGAGATCTCCTTTTGGTCAGGTCTGAACAGTCTCTGGGTGTTTCCGCCTCTGAGCGTCCGGCGGGCGGCTTGCGGCGACCGGACACGCGCACGGTAATGCTTCTGAAGGTCGAGACTTATTTTCGTCGCGACGCGCCGTAAAATAGCTCTCGAGACCGTCCTGTAGGGTCACGCCCGTCGCGCCGCCATCGATGCCGCCGCGCCCGAAACCGCGGAAGCGACCGAAAAGGGGCTTCTACGCCGCCTACGCCGAGAGCTCCGAGCCGGCGCCGACACCAGCGCCACGACGGACAAAGAAGCCTGTCGCGCCGTCGGGGAACTGTCCCATTTGTTACGAGACGCTGTCGGCGGACGCGACGGTCTTCGAGTGCTCCCACGCGATGTGCGCGTCGTGCGCGGGCTCCTACGCGAAGTCCGAAGTGCAGCGATCGATGAGCCGCCGCAGCGGCGTTTCGGTGGCGTGCCCGCTCTGCCGCGCGCCGTCGAAGGTCGCCCTGCCCGGGGAGATGCACACCTCGGTACCCTGAACTATGAGTAAGACTCCAACCTTAGCAGCGGAGCCCCGGGCGCGCATGGGGGAGGGCGCGCATGCGTCAATGACTAGCGGATGCCCTTGGCCTTGAGCGCCTCGAACTTGCCCGTGGCCTCGCCGTAGGCCTGCTTGATGACGCGGCGCTGGAGCTTGTTCGACGCCGTCAAAGCCCCGTTTTCCGGGGTCCAGGGATCCTCGAACTGCGGAGTTTCGTTGTCCTTGGCGCCCGTGCCCGGCAACAACAAAATACCAGCCAAGATCTCGTTCGCGCCCAACTTGCCGGACTTGCCCGCCTTGATCAACGAAGATAGGACCTCTTTATTCATCTCCGGCGTCGCACAAAGGTCCGCGAAGGTGCCATACTCAACACCATTACTATCAGCCCAGGCGCAGCACTTCTTCTCGTCGGCGACCACGAACGCGACCGGCCGGTCCATGTCCGAGTCCCCATAACACATCAAGCCCCCGTTGACGCCAGACACGTAGGACGACGTCGAATATTCTTTTTCCATACTTTCAATAGCGATGTACTCGCCGCCCTTCAACTTAATAAGGTTCTTCAACCGATCGACGATCTGCAGCTGGCCGTCGGGGCGCCACACCCCCACATCTCCCGACCGGAACCAGCCGTCCTCGGTAAACACCTCGGCCGTCTTGTCGGGCTGCTTGAAGTACCCTGCGGTCACGGGCGTGCCCCGCATCTGCACCTCGCCGCGGCCGCAGCATTTGGAGCCTAGATGCGACGTGTCCGTCGATCTATAAGGCTTGCCGTCTCTATCAGTAATGTCGCAAGATTCTAAACGAATCTCAATCGACGTCAAGGGAGCGCCGGCCACCCCGTCGATGTTGCCGTCGTCGACGGGCTGCACCGTGGCCGAGCAGCACGTCTCCGTGAGGGCATAACCCTGCACGGCGGGCGCACAAAACGCGACGCGCGCAAACGTCTGCACTTCGGAACTAATAGCGCCACCGCCCGAGATCGTAGCCTTGAGCTTGCCCCCCAGCATCTTCGCGAGCTTCTTGAACACGAGAGCTTTCAGGAGAGGCGCGTCTCTATGTTGTCTGAGAGCCGTAGCTCGACCGACGTAAGCAACATTAAAAATGAACTTCTTGACGGGCGACATCTCGGCCACCTTGTCCTCCATGGCCTGTGCGGAAATCAAGTCGCTCGGAGGTCGTGTCCGAGTTCGGGCCGACAACAGTGATGGCGGCCGACGCCATCGAGAAGTCTGGAGGACGCCGCGCCGCGCCTTCTTCAGGATGTCCCAGACCTTGGGCACGCCGGCCATGAACGTCGGGCGGAACTCCTGGATCGCGCCGGGCGGGCACGGCCACTCGGGCTTTTGATTTATGGAGCCGTCGGGGCGCTCGCGGACGGCACCCGTGCTCGTAAGGGTTCTAGGGTCCGCGTAGCCGATGTGCATGCCCAGCGCCAAGCATGTTAATTCCGCGCAGAACTCCAAAATGTGCGACTGCGGTAAATACCCCAGGTAGCAGTCTCCCGTCGTGGCCGCCTTGCCGAGGACATCTAACAACCCAGCAATCGACGCCAAAACGCTTTCGTGCTTGAGCAGCACCCCCTTGGGCTTGCCCGTAGAACCGGACGTGTACATGATCACGGCGACCTGGTCGGGCGTCGGCTCGGCCGCTTCCTTCGTCGGTTCGAAGGCGAAGCAGTCCTCGAGGGGAATGGCCGTGAGGCCCTTCGGCACCGTGATTGGTTTCCCTTGGTCTTTCGGCTCGACGTGGAATTCGGTATAAATAATCGTTTGTAGGGTAGGGCACTGTTTCTTCAGTCCCGCGACTCTTTCCACGTTCTTCCTGTTCGTCACGACCGTGGTAATGTTCGAGGCCTTGATAGCTTCGCCCACCGCATCTATTCCGAGCGTCGCGTAGGACGTAGCCACGACGAGAGACTGCGACAAAGCTCCGAGCGCACACGTCATCCAGTCCGCGCACGTGTCCTCAAATAACAGGATAGTATGAGGACCGGTCAAATCTTCCACATTTTTACCCTTCGGCACGGGCTTCATAGCACAGCCGCCCTTGGCCCTTGAAGCTACTAATGCGGCCCCAAACGCGTCGGCCTTCGTCTTGAGCTCGCGGAAGGACATCCACGTCGTCGCTCCGAATTTTTTTTTTTTTTTTGCGCCAGCCGGCCTCCTTGTATTCGCCTAGGTACGTCCGCGTGCCCATGGCCTTCTCGTCGCCGTACTTGGCCGCGGCCCAGGCGAAGAGTTTCGGGGTCGTTAAGACGGCGCCGCCGCCTTCTCCTTCCGGTACTGGTGAGGTGAAGAGCTTGTCGACGGCGGCTCTGTTTCTTCTTACTGCCGGGCCGACCTCTACCGAATAGGAAGGTTGGAGGTAGAACTTGATCGTTTTCACCCAGCCGAAGGTCAGGACCCAGATCGCAAAATCCAGGATCCAGATGAACCAGGCGAGGGGGTTCAGTAATAATGCGAGCGACGGCGTCGACGACGCTTTGAACGTTTTGCCGCTGGACATGGTTTTGGATGGCTCGGCGGCGCTGACGATAACGGTTGATGACTGAGATATCCGTTCACGCGCTGGCGGCGCGTCGCTGCGGGCGCTGACCCCACACGTGTCAAAATAACGTGCTGTGAGCTCACCGGGCGCTCGCTGACGGTTTCCTTGCGCAGTCAGCTGTCGGCTCGGGATTCCGAGCTTCCTGCTGTCGCGTCGGCTAGCGCGGGCGTGTGAATACGCCTTGCCTCTCCGTGGGAGAGAGCTGGATGCGGCGCCGGGTTTTTCGCGAATAGCCGTCGGAGGCCGCGAGAGCGCTTCCGGTCGGTGGCGCAGGCACAGAAGGCAATCCTGCGCGCGGCTAGTGCGATTTTGACTGCATGCAGCGCCTCTGGCACAGCGCACTGTGAGAGGCGACGTGTTGTAGGCCCAGACGCGCGCAAGACCGGGTCGACGCACCGTCGGCGCGTCCCGAACTCCAAAACCACCGCGTGTGTCGCGCACGGGCTGCGTTCGCGCGCCCGGGGCAGCGTTGCAAGCGACAGAGCTTGGTCAGGAGCGCCGCCGCCGCGTCGTCATGGCCGCCGCCGCCTTCGCCCCGGTTTCAACAGGAATACTGGTACCAGCGGACGCGGCCGACCAGTACCCGGAGTCCTTCGACAAGACCTTCAAGCAGACCCTCGTCAAGACCATCGACGGCTTCGACGAACAAGCGTACAGAGAGCGCTACGCCGATTGTGAATTAGATGAACACACGACGGAAGTCCACAGAGTTGAGTCAGCACCGGTCGTCAAGGCTGGCGCCGTGCAGAAGCTCTTCTCGAAGCCGCGGCGACGGGCCGAGATCTTGTCCTGGCATTTAAGAAGGCAGGGCAAGTGGCAGGACGCGAAGAAGTTCGATGCGACGTTGAACGCTGTTCGTAAGCCTCCCAAGGAAGATCCCATGCTCAAGGAGCGGTCGAGGTTCTGGAGGCGGCACGCGCCTCCTAGGTTCAAATTGGAGGCGATTTCGGCCACGCAAGATCGCCGTGATTTACATCGGGACCCGCCAGTCCTAACCTGGGGCACGGAACATGAAGCGATGCAGCGGGACGCGTCTCCACGCATCAAAGAAGCTTATAGACAGAAAGCTGCTGAAAGAGATAGACAAATGGCCATTCGAGAAGCAGAAGAGCTACTGAGGGACGCCTGCGATAGTAGGGATGCGGACAGTGTGGACCATGCGCTACGCCAGGCCAAACACGTAGGCGTGCCTCGCGATTCGGAGGCCTATGAACTTGCTAAATTTGTGCAGAAGGATCTCGTGAGGCAGCGGGCCTACGACGAGAAGCAGGCTCTGCTGAAGCGAGACAAGCAGGAGGTCGAGAATGTCGGCAAGTACCTCTGGAAGGCGCGGCACTACACGGACCCGACGTGCTTCGGGACTGATGACGACATCGTGCGAAGCGCGAGAGAGGCACAGATGGACCTCGCCGACGGCTCCGTGTCGACCATAAAGTCGAACGTGAACCCCAAGAAGCTGCCGCCCGCCATCAAGCCGCACGCCGAGACCTTCCATCCACAGCGCGTGCGGCACCACTACACGCCCGGGTCGCCCACCGTCACGGTGGAACGGGCCGGCGCCGTCGTCTGCAAGCGCGCTACGCCTCATAGAGCCAGGCGGCGCTACCCCTAGCGTCGACGGCGTGCCGGGTAGTAAGACTCGAGAGTGCTAGTCCCGTGGCGGTTCGCGAGCGCGCCCGGCCCGAGGGTAAGGATTCCTGCAAATTGCCACGGGACCGCTCCTAGGCGTAAGCCTGTGGCCCCGACGCCCCTGATTCCGCGTCTCGTTCGCGCGGGTCTCGTTATCGGCTCGCTTTTGCTGGGTCGTTTGGGCGGCGCTGCGCAAAACGCGTTGCGCGAGGCCGACACAGTGCACTCATCACACCAAAGCAGCGCGACAGCAGCCCCGGCCCCCGCGCTACTCCATCGCACGAAAGGGCTGCGTCCCAACCGGGCCCACGAGCACTGCTCACCACCTCCACGCCATCGAGCAGACGCAGCGTACCAAGATGCCCCTCCGCGACTTTGCGATATTACACAAGCTCGGCAAGGGCACGTTCGGTACGGTCTACAAAGTACGGCGCCATGAAGACAAGCAGCTCTACGCGATGAAGCGCGTCAAACTGTCCAATATGCCCGATGTGGAGGTCGCCGACGCCTTGAACGAGGTGCGCGTGTTAGCGTCGGTCAAACACGCGAACGTTTGTGGCTTCTTGGAGGCGTTCTGCGAAAGTAGTGAGCTAGTGGTTATTATTGACTTCTGCGAACGAGGTGACCTGTCGCAACGAATCGACCGAGCGAAACGGGGAAGAAGATTGATTGACGAAGGTCAAATACGAAGCTGGCTCCGGGGCATCGCGAGCGGTCTACAATGTCTCCACAGCCATGGCATCGTGCACCGCGATTTGAAGCCGGCGAACTGCTTCATCGCTGACAACGACATCGTAAGGCTGGGCGACTTCAACGTCTCGAAAGTCCTCAAGAAGAACCAGTGTCTCATGAAGACGAAGATCGGCACGCCTTATTATATGGCGCCCGAGGTCTGGGACGACCGGCCCTACACGTGGTCGGCGGACGTCTGGGCCCTGGGATGTACGGCGTATGAGTTGTGTGCCTTGCGGCCGCCCTTCGTGGCTCGGTCGTTGCCGGGCTTGGGTCGGGTCGTGAAATCTGGAAAATTTGATGCTCTACCTCGTACCTATTCCAAGGAGCTGCGCGACGATGTTGTTGGTGTTTCTTTATGTGTAAGTCCACAACGACGACCGTCCGCCCAAAAGTTAGCTCAAGTGCTTGGGTCAACTGTCTCTCCACAGGATTCGGTCGCGACCGATGTCTCACTGTTGAAAACTATCAAGGTACCGAATAACCGGCAATTGATCGGCAAAGTATTGCCAGAAGCGCAGTACGACGAGCCGCGGTCGCCGATCGCGTGGGAGGAGAAAAAACAATTTCCGGACCCGCGGAAAAAAGCTTTATTGGACTTCGGCCGGAAGATCGAGCAGAGCAAAGCGGCCGCCGCGCCGCAAGCGCCCGCCGCGCCCGCCGCGGAGGACGCGCCGTCGCCGACGTGGGCCGAGCGGCGCAAAATGCTTGAAAAGAAGTCGGCGGCGCTGGACGCGCGCCGGGCCGAGATTGCCAGAAGGGCGGCGCCGCGCGACGAGCACCTGCGCGACTCGTCGCTGGAGCGTCATGAAAAAAGATGCCGGAGCCGGCGCGGCCGCCGCGCGAAGCCCGTTGTAAGTGCTGCAGCGGCGGCGCGCGCCCTGGCCCCCGCGTTCCCGGCGCGCCTCGCGCCGGCGGCGCCGCCCGCGCCGGCGGGCTCGCCGCCGATCAAGCCGCGGGGCCCCGCCGCGAAGGTGATCCGCGGGGCGCTGCGCGACGTGAACGACGACGGGAGCGCCTCGCCGCAGAAGTCTCCCCAAAGGCCGCAGCGGCCTGTTAACAGCAACGCCGCGGCGCGCGCGCTCGCCGCGCGCGAGGCCGCGGTCCGCGCGAGCTATCCGCACGTGCGCGTCCGGCCGCAGCGGCCGGCGGGCCTGCGGCGCCGGCCGACCCGGCCCGGAGACGTCCTCCCGGGGGGCGCGGCGGCGAAAATCCAATCCGTGATGCGGGGTAGCAAAACGCGGAGGCAACTCGCCGCGCTCAAGCCGACGCCGGCGCGCTTCTGGAAGCCGATGGACCCGTTTGCCGCCGCCGCGGCCGCGGCGATGGCGCCCGCGCGGCCGTCGCGGCCCGTGGCGCGGCCCGCGGCGCGGCGGCCCGCGCCCTACTTTTGACTAAGAATAACGCCATCGACGCGACGACTACAAAACTCCTCCTTACGCCCACGGCGGCACCCACACGCTCCGCCCACTCTTCCGCTCGTAGTAGAACGGCGGGTCGACGGGATCGTCCGTGCAGCACTCGACCCAGCCCCGGCACAAGACGTCCTCGGGCGCGTCCCACTGGGTTTGTCCTGTCGCTAAATCTTTGTAGAAGTAGTCGTCCGACGTCGACTCCGTACTACCGGCGGACCGACAACTTCCCACTCGCACGAAGCGCTTCCGTGCTCGAATCCACGGCCGGTTCCAGCAGACAAAGGAAGTCGGCTCATGCAAGTAATAAGGCGGCTTGGCCGCGACGCGCACCCAGTCCGACTCGTATACACCTGGAGGGGGTTCTCGCGAGATATGTCCAGTAGTCTCGTCTTCGAACCACCTTTTACCTCTCTCGTTGACGACGCGACACCACCGCGGCTGGGCATCAAACAAACTGCTGGTAACCCACTCCGTCTTGCCCGTGATTCGTGACAAGACATAGGTCCTCCCACTTTCAGGGTCAAAATGCTCGGTAAATTCCGCTTCATCCAATGCTTTTTTAAGAGCAGAAGGCGCGTTCCAGCAGGCCGTGCCACCGTTGGGCGGGCGGTAGAAATGTGCTTTATTAGAATCGTCCCAGCACCGCGTCCAGCCCGCTGTGCGATCTCCGACAATCTCCGCATTGGCCGGTAGCTTCCAGCGCGCGGGACCCTTGTAGCTATGCGGCTCGTAGAACACGGCATTTTGTTTCGGGTCCCATTCGACCGTATACTGTTGGACGGGCGTCTTTGGAGGCGAGGGCGTCTTCTCTCGTCTCACAGAAGGGCTTCTAGCTGAAGGAACGTCGTCGTCCAAGACTTTGGAGCGCCACTCCTTCCGGGGCCCCGGACTGTAGGGAGGCGCCTGCCTCCTGTTGGCATTCTTGGGCGACGTCACGACTTTGTTATAGTGCGTGTTAAAACCAACGGGGTCTGCTAACCAGGCTTCCCGCGCGGCGACGCGTTTTTGCGCGTTCTCGAAGAACAGCTCCCACACTCGCGCAATCTTCTGGAGCTTCTCCTCACTAATGTTCGGGTCGAGGTCGAGCGAGGCGCCGTTGCCCATGGCGCCGACGCGGCGGCGGCGCTGCCCTCACGCAGCGCCTGGGCCTCACTCTGGTTGACGGCGGCCTGGGCTGTTGAGCGCTGCCCTCCGCTTTAACGATGGATCACCGCACTGCTCTAAGTACCATGGCTTCCCGCCAGGGCGCGGCGGTGGCGTGCCGCACGGACATCTTTGACATCAGCTGATCAGCCGCTGCAGTTCCAAGTGCGCTCGACGGCCGCGTCCGCCGGCGTCTTTTGACGGCGTGTGGCTTCGGGCCGTGGGGTTGAGGGGTTGAGGGGCTCGGGACGACTCAAAATTCGCTAGTGTCTTTACGCAAGCAAAGCTCGCCCAACTCGCGATTTTGCTCATTTGACTCACTGTACGCGCCTGTGTAGACCTGAAACGAGAGACGGGCTGTCTACGAGTCGCCTGGGACGCTCTGGGACCGCTGGCTGCCGCGCGGCGCTCGGCTCTGGCGAGTCGCTGAAGCTTAGCTTTGAGGGCAAGCGCGTGCCTGCGCGGCGCGCGAGGAGCCCAGAGCTGGGGAGTCAATCTCCAGTCTCTGACAGCTGCGTAGCCACGCGGAGCACGAGGGACTCGGCAGCGAGTCTCACTGTTGCCCCCCGCCGCACCGCCACGAGCGCGAGCGACGGAGCACGGGCACGCCGTCGACAGCAGCTGAGAGGCTGTGAGAGAAAGCACGCCGTAGCGGAAACGCTCACCGTCGTCATCCACGCAGGTCCCTACAGATAGACAGACAGACAGACAGACGCAGAGAGCCGACGAAACGAAAATGTCGGAGGGCAAAGTAAGGTTATACGTCAAGGGCGTCGTCATGGGCTACAAACGGGGGTTGCGGAACCAGTACGCGTCGACGTCCCTCATCAAGATGGAGCACGTCAAGGACAAGGACGCCGCGAAATTTTATTTGGGCAAGCGCATCGCGTACGTCTACAAGGCGCACACGCTGAAGAAGGGCTCGAAGTTCCGCGTGATCTGGGGGCGCGTGACGCGGCCGCACGGCAGCTCGGGCACGGTGCGCGCGAAGTTCCGGCGGAACCTGCCGCCGCAGGCGATCGGCGGGCCGGTGCGCGTGATGCTCTACCCGTCGCAGATCTAGTTCTTGGTCGTAAAAAACTAGGTGTGTTATTTAGATTTCGGTTACTGCTGATTGTGGTGGGGCGTCGTAGCCGATCGCCTCCGATAGTGCATGAAGCTGCGCGAGCGGCGCCGTCTTTCGCAACGCGCCTTGGCTATACAGCTCGACGGCTCCACCATTGATAGTGGCGCGGTAGGGCTTGGGCGGCCCGAAGCGCCGCCACCACGGCTCCGTCGCGAGCTTCCAGGCGACGGGCGCCGTCGCGTCCGCGCCGCGATGCAAAACTAAAGCGCCCTGCGCCGTCAGCCGCAACAGCGACGGCTCGCAAGTCCCAACGGCGCACTCGCCGGCGCAGCCCCGCAGCGCGTCGCCATTGGCCAGCGAGACGCCCTCGGCGAAGGGCACGTGCCGCGCGCACGGGCCCCAATCGGCATCCGCCGGCGGCAGCAGCAATTTGGCCCTCACAAGGACGCGCTGCAGCCCTTCCCTGCGGCGCGTCGCGGCGAGCGCGAACAGGCCGAGCACGTAGGCTAGTGCGAGGCCCGAGCCGCCGCGCATTTTATCGTGGTGGCTGCCCAAATCACTCGGGCTGCTCTGTGCGTCGTCTCACGCCGCTGTCGCCGTGGGAATGGGTCAGAGAGCGTCCTGCGATGGATTTGCCGTCCGGCTGCGGGCAGCGCGCTCCAGATTTCGCGTGATCTTGTGTGTGGCTCGAAATCCTAGTGTGTCGAAACGCTAGCTCTCTCAGCTTTTGCTCTGCGGCCTACCGATGGACAAGTGCCCAATATGCCTCGATGACCTCGACGAATCGTCGCCCGCGCTGCCTTGCGGGCACCGCTGTCACGCTGATTGCCTGGGGCAGCTTTCCGAGGCGACCGGATCGGCACCTACTCGGCGGGGGGCGGTGATCGCGTGCCCCAGCTGCCGCCAGGAGTCACGAGTCGCCGCCCCGACGCCCGTCGCCGCGTTTGGCGTCGGCGACGCCGTTCTGGCGTTGTGGGGCCATAAGTGGTACCCCGGCGAGGTCTACGCGGTCAAGGACGGTGGCAGCGCCTACGAGATCGCGTGGGACGACGAGGATTCCTCGAACGAAATTCCCGCCTCTAGAGTCCGGGCCGCGCCGCTCACGGTCGACGTCGACGCGCCGACGGCGCGCCATGCTCGCCGCGCGGCGGTGGTGACGTCGCGGGCAGCGCCACCGGCGCCGGTGCCGCGCCACGTCCTTCTCCAGAATTGCGACGAGGATGATGACGCCGCGTTCGGCATCGAGAGTAGTGCCGTGAGCTTCTCCGCGCGCGGCAGCGGCGATCTGCGCGCGCCACCGGCGGCGCCGCCACCGTCGACACGCCGAGCGGGCACGCGTTCATCCGGCCCACCGCCGGCGCCGGAGCCGCGCGCCATCGTGCCTCGAGAAGCACCGCTGAGACTACGCACCGTAGCAGTGAGGGGAGCTGCTGTGCCCCTCACCTATCCGTGCCCGGCGAGCTGCGGCTGCGGCCTACGCCATCGGCGGTGTGGTGCATGTGCCGCCTGCCGCAGGAGACTTGGCGACGCCTGCCTTACGCCCAAGCCGGTGCCGAAGCCGACGCCGCCGCCGCCCGTGACGGCCTCGGCCGTGGTCGCAGTCTGCACGGACCTGCTCGAGGCCGCCAAGGACCGCACGAACATGAGGGGCCTCCGCAAGCCGCTGACGAGTCGCGGCTTCCGCTGCGGCGCCGAACAAAGGAATGGAGCACAATTCTCCATCACAGTCCCGCCGGACTTCCCATGCTACTACGACGTCGTCGGCAAGAACTACGTGGTCCAGGGTCACGCGAACACGCTGCCGACGTTGCGGAAGTATCTCGAGGGCGCCCTTGCCCTCGCGCGTGCCGGCGGCACCTACCGCACCGACGCCGAGTACAAAGGCGCCCAAGCCTTGGCGCTGCCCCCCGCCAAGACCAGTCGATTTACGGGCGTGCACTTCAGCAGGACTTTCGGCAAGTGGCGTGCGGAGATCAGAGTGCGAGGGTCTTATATACCCCTGGGCTACTTTGACGTCGAGGAGGACGCCGCGCGGGCCTTCGACGCAGCAGTGGCGAGGTACGAGCTTTCTGAGAGGACGCTCAATTTTCCCGGGGAAGCGCCGCTCGCCTCGGTGCTGGCCGCGCTACCGGCGGCGCCGGCGGTGGCTCCACTGCGCCGATCTGGACGCGCGCCGGTGCCGAAAGTCAAAGCCGACGCGCCGGGATCAGTTCTGCGGTGCGAGCGGGGCTTGCGAGATTTCACCACGGACGAGGACCAGCAGCCGACACGGGAGCTCCTCCCGTGGTGGTCGGCGAGCGAGGACGCGGAACTCACGCGGTTAGTGCAAGCCCGGGGCCCAAGAGGGTGGGCGACTATCGCCGCGGCCATGCCCGGTAGGACCGGAAAGCAGTGCCGGGAGCGGTGGCTAAACCAGCTCGACCCGGCGGTGTCGAAGGCGCCCTTTACCGTCGACGAAGTGAGGACGATCCTGGTCGAGCACCATAAACGGGGCAACCGCTGGGCCGAGATCGCGCGGATGCTGCCGGGCCGCACGGACAACGCCGTGAAGAACCACTGGAACGCTTCCTTACGGAGACGCCGAGCACTTCGTGGCCGGGAAGTGGGTCCCGAGGCCATACAACAGCAACCGTCTCGCCGCAAGGGGCCGGGCTCGAGGGGCCGGGACGCGTCGACGCCGGCCTTTGACTTGTCCGGGCCTCTATTGGAGAAGGCCGTTGCGGCTTGCGGCTTGCGTGCCCCCTGGGCGAGACCAGGAGGCCGCCCGTCGCCGCCGCCGCCGCCGCCTCAACCGTCACGCCGATCCGGACGCGCGCCGGTGCCGAAGGTGATTGTCGACGCCCCGGACGAGCGGGACCCCAGTCATAAAAGGCGGGCGGAGCGTCGGAGAAAGCGGGAGACCGGCAGGCATGTTGGAAGGAGTGTCGAGGGAGCCACGCAGAATAAAAACGGCAAGTGGAGCAACTCCGAGATGTTCCCCGGCCGCGAGTTCGACGACCTCGACGCCTATCGCGCGGCGAAGAAGCAGCGCGCGGCGCTGCGCAGCGCTTATTTGGATCAGGAACACCGGCTGATGAACAACAAACGTAAACGCGTGGAATATAGGGGAAGACTAGTGTAAGACATCATGTGCTAGGAAAATTGTCTTACGCGGTAAAAGGTCAAACCCGGTCCGCCCACCCGTACGTCGCCTCGACGGCCGCCCGCCACGATTCTAGTTTTGCGGCGCGCGCCTCCGACGATATTGATGGAGCGAAGCGCGTCGTGCCGCCTGTGTCAATGGGGACGGCCTCCAACGAACCAAAAACGCCGGAGCCCAGGCCCGCCGCGACGGCCGCGCCGAGCGCCGTCGTCTCGACGTCTGAAGGTCTCGCAACTTCAATCCCAGCACAGTCGGCCTGCATCTGCAATAAGACGTCGGACTGCGCGACGCCTCCGTCCACGTACAGCGTCGCCGCTTCGTTGGCCGTGTCCTCGGCCATGGCCGCAATGACGTCGTTGCACTGCAATGCGACGCCCTCCAGGACGGCTCGCGCGACGTGCCTTCGGTCGTGGGCCAGCGTCAAGCCTACAAGAGCTGCGCGGGCGTCGTCGCGCCAGCGCGGTGCTAATAAGCCAGAAAAGGCCGACACGAAGTACGCGCCCTCCGTCGACTCGACCGAAGAAGCCAGATCGGACAGCTCCGGCGCCGTTGCCACCATACCTAGGGAGTCGCGGAACCAATTGAGGCCCACGGCGCAGCACGCGACCGCACCCTCCAAGGCATAAGTTTTTTTCCCACCAAAGTCGTACAATGCTGTTGATAGTAGACCGTGCTTCGAGGGTACTGGACTATCTCCAGCGTTCGTCAGGAGAAAGGCGCCCGTCCCATACGTTATCTTCGCGTCTCCGACCGCAAAACATCTTTGCCCAACTGTCGCCGCCATCTGGTCGCCCAACACGCCTGTTATGGCACAACCTTGCAGAGGGCCTTTATCAATGACGCCTAACGTCTCGGCACAGCCTCTGATCTCCGGTAGGCGGGGCATCATCGAGGGAGGCAGTCCCAGCGCATCAATACAACCTGCATCCCACTCACCAGAAGCGAGATCCATCATCAGCGTTCGGGACGCGTTCGTGAAGTCCGTGATATGGTTCCCAGTCAGGTGGTGCATGAGCCACGTATCCACCGTGCCGAAGCGTAACGAACCTTGCTCCAGGGCGTTACGTATTGATGGTACCTCGTCCAGGAGCCATTTCAGCTTCACGCCCGAAAAGTAGGTCGAGATAGGTAAACCAGTGACACCTCGCAAGGCATCAATACCACCTAACTTATCTTGTACTGATTGGGAGACATCTCTAGTACGAGCGTCGTGCCATAATATACAATCATATAACGCGTCTCCACTTCGTGAATCCCAGCAGACCGTGGACTCCCGTTGATTCGTGATGCCCACGCCGACGACGTCTTTCGCCGACGCGTTCGCCTTGTCCAATGCACCAGCCGCTGCTTGATCGACGCTCTTCAATATGGCTGCAGGGTCCATCTGGGACCAGCCCGGCTCCGGAGTGGACGTGGCCGACTGCAGCTCGACTTGGTGCGAGGCGACCGGTTCTAATGTTTCGGCGTCGTAGAGGATGACTCTTGAGCTGCTCGTCCCTTGGTCGATGGAGGCGAGGTAGCTCAGCGCCCGGAGCCGGCGCGTCGTCGGGCGGAGGGCGCGCGCGACGAGCATTTTTTGGCAGCTCTAATCTGGCTTCGAGTTTGGTGCGGCTATTCTGAGGCACGCGACGCTGCGTTGATGGCGTGCACGCAGGGTGTGAATGATATACGGCTCCAGAAATGCGAAACAAACTCCTGGTCGGATGCACGGTGAGCAAAACAGGCAAAAGTGCGATGCTGCCGCGATACGATACCGGTACCATACCGGTACCGGTACCGTAGTACCTCTCGTGAGCTCACGCCACCGACGCGTTCATTCCGAAGTCTTACCCCGGCGTCCGCGGCGCCGGCGACTTGGGAGGGCTATCGAGCGACTCGCGCTTCGGGATGTCGATGCCGCCGAGGTTCAGCGACCCTCGACTAACCGCTCTAGAGGGAGGCTGCGACATGGAACCGCGACTTCCACGCGACGCCGTCCGCACGCGATCCACCTCCATGGAGGCCCGCTTGCGAGCCGTCGCCACGCGCAGCAGATCAGCTAGTTCCTTCTGCGCGGCCCCGATGTCTTGCAGCGCCTCCAGGACCACCACCGACGGATCGCTCACGCTCCGCTTAAAGTCTTCGCTATCCGTCTTCCGGTCCTCGAAGGGGTCCTCCGGTATTTCCTCCTCCTCCTCCTCGGCCTCCTCCTCCTTACTCTCTTCCTCGTCCTCCTCGTCATCGGTGTCCTCATTCGCTAATTTCAAGAGACTGCGTTGATCCGGCACGAGCGCCCCGACGATAGGAACATAACCGAGCACCTTGCAAGTAGGTCTAAAAAAATGAGCTAGATCCTTCAAGACTCGAGGCGTCTTCTCGTCCTCGGTACTAGCGTTGGCTTCTTCGATCGCTTCCTGCGCCGCCGACACCATGGCGAAGAACATGGACAAAATAATGAAGAAGACCACGACGCAGTAGATGCCGAAGGCGATGAGCGCGAACATGCGGTTGTCGACCTCCATGAGTTCCCCGAAGTCGGCCTCGCCGAATATAACCTTCACTAAGGTTAATACGGACTCCATGAATGATCTATAATTGTTCAGCTCATACCCGACGATCATGTTCATGGTCACGCCCCACCCGATCAACAAGATGCCGATACACACGGATAGGACGTTCATCCTCATCATCGAGGCCATGAGTGTATCTACTGGTAGTGTCAAAGTAGCTGAAAATCTAACATACTTGAAGGCCTTCATAATAGACAGTATAGCATTGATCGCCGAGGTCCGGTCGTAGTGTAGGATCAAGTCCCTCAGCCGGATCGGCTCGTCGAACCTCCCCTCAACATTACCAGACTCCATGGTCTTCCGCAGCGTGCGATCGAACTCACTTTGCATGGCCAATCGTAATGCGAACGTAAGCACGAAGCACAACAAATTGGCCAGCTCGATGCAATTGTAGACATCGGTCGTAAAATAGTGGTGCCACCCGTGCGGGAACTCGTAGCAGCAGTATATTTCATAAATGAGCTTGAATAAGATATAGACGTACAAGATGACCTGGTTCAGCGTGTAGAGTTGATTGGCCGGCGTGTCCATGGGAAACTCGAGGTCCCTCATCGCCGCATGCGTGAACCGGGCCTCAGGCACGAGATCACCAGTTGGGGTGAATATAGTACCTAGCTGTACTATCGACACAATATCCGCATCAGGACTATATAACGCGTATTCGACCCAGACACCGCGAGTTTGTCTATCGAACCACGACTGGTCGATGAGCGACTGGAACTCCTCTGCTGGATTGTACGAGTCGAGATAAATCGTGTGGCCGCCATACGCATAGTTCTCCTGCGTGCCTATGGACCAGTACGCCGAGAACAGGTCCTTCAGCGAATCATCAGCTTGTTCATACTTGATCGGTTCGCCGGTCCGAGGAATCTCGCCGTGCGGCGTCGTCTGCACGAGCGTTCGCTTCCGCTCGTTTTTGTTCTTAGAATGACTCCACCGCGCCGTCGGCGTCTCGTCGCCGTAGACGTAGGGACCGACGCAGCCCTTGCCCTGGTCCGCGCACAAGTCGTCGACTTTGCCGGCCGGACAAAACTCTAAAGGAATCGCACATTTCGCGTTCATCTTCATCCGCAGCTGTCTCACCCGGACCTTGCCGACGCGGATCGGACCCCAGTCGGCCATGAAGCCGGGAGCGGCGTGCGCGCAGTCCGGGCTGTATTTGGAACCGCACTGCTGCTTAATCTGGGTAAAGTTCTTTCCTAAATAATTTTCTGACGGAAAGGTAGCCGGCACTAAGAGCAACGAAGCCCACGACAGCCAGTCTTCGGAGGTCACCGTGTTGCCGTAGTACTTTTTCGGATGCCATTCGCCGCCCGTCAGTTGGTTTTCGAGGTACAACGATATATAATATTTGGACTTGTTCTCGAAGGTCTGGCCCAGGTAGATGCCGTAGATAATTACGAAGAGCAAGAACGTGGCGAGCTCCCAGAAGTCCCTGCCGTACTTTCGTTTTTTGAGCGCTTCCTTGGGCTTGTCGAGGAAGGTACCTTGTCTTTTTAGTTTGGGCTTCTTCTTGAGTTTCGGGGGGAGGAGCTTGTCCAACATGGCTGCCTCTCACCACTGGCTGGGGGCTGCCTCTTGGGGGCTTGCCTCGGTTCCGGCTGGGACTGCCGCGCCGGCGGTCGCGTCGTCGACGGCGCGTGGACTGACTCGTCCAGAGTGTGTGGACTGACTCGTCCAGAGGGTGCGCGCTCAGCACCAGCGGCGCGGCGCTGCCCAGCAAACTTGTCTGCGCTGCCTCTAGAGGCTGCCCACTAGCTGCCCGGCGCGGGCGCATGCGCACGTCGTCTAGCAGACGCGACGGGCGCGGCGGCGCGCCGACACCTCCCTCGGCGACGGCCCGGAGCCGTACTACCGACGGGGCCCCAGAGGTCTATCCCGGGCTCGCACGCGGACGCCAAACTACTTCGACGAGCCTTAGCCCCCCAACCGAAACGACGACCGCACGGCCCGAAGACTCTTCCCGTAGCTCTTCCATTGGCGCTGGTCCACGCCGCACTCCCACACTACTAATTGGCCGTCCGCGACCGTCGCAGAAACCAGGGCGACCTCGACGGGCGGGCACACAATCAACTCCTGTTCTGATCTAGCACAGCCGTTCGTGGGGGGCACGGCGAGGTCCCACTCGTAGAAGAGGCGGTCGCCGTCTTGTCGCCTTTTGGCCGCAACAACGTCGCCGTTTCCTCTATTGCCCCGCAGCCCCAGCTTCGTCAGGTCTAATTTGTCTATGTTCCCAAACTGGTCGATGGACTGCGCTTGCGTGGACGCGCTCCGCGCCCGTACGGACGTCGTGATTGTCCCTAATATCGACTCGGAGATGCTCTCGCCGTCGATCTTCCACGTGCCCGGCACCTCGACCGTGCCCGGGCCGTATTGGACCCTCTTAGGTTTCACGTCGGCTTCCTCGTCGGCGAACGCCGGTTTTGTTGTGATGAGTGCCGTCGCGGTTGGTATGAGCGCGCGTCTCGTGAGGCGCAGCCCAGCCGCGGGGTATAGCGCTGCGACTAGCGCTGCCAGGCGCATCGCTAACACACTTATTCCGGCTCCGGTGCGTTCGCTGGGGGTTTTGTTGCAGCACCTCTGTCAGTGCTCTCCCTCTAAAAATGAGGGCAGCGATGGCTGCTCGTTCCAATTTTTATATGCGGCGCTGCCGATCTTATGCAGACGTTCCGGGGCCCGCTCGATGTATTTTAAAGGGCGCGCACAGGCAGCACGCGGGGCGTGCGCATGCGCATGCGAGTTAGCTAGCGGCCATAAGACACTAGCAAAATCCGACGCCGTCGACGCGCACAAGGACAACTTACACATACCTCCCCTACTGCGACGGCGTCCCCAGGAAGAACCAGTCAGGCCGCGCCCGCAGGACCGCGAGCTCGGAGCCGTAGCGGTCCTTCACGAGGAACGAAACGAGGTCAAACAAAAGGCGCGCGGATTTCCGCCACGGCGGGTGCGCGGTGGCGTGCTCCTCCAGCAGGCGCATGAGCCCCTCCACGTCCTCCAGCCGCGACCGCTCGACGAGCTCCGACGCGAGCTCCAATAGTAATAAAACGGTCGCGCGGTTCTCGGGATCCGCCCGTCCAAGGAACATGGCGACGGCGGGGCCGACCGCGGCCCAGGATTCGACGCGCCCTAATAACGACGGCCCTTGCACATATTCTTCTTCCGGAGGCACCTCTACACTCGACACCGACGACGCGTCATCCACAACCTCTTCCACAGCCTCAGATCCAAACCCCGCCTTCCGCAGGTTGTTCCGCGCGCGCACGACGGCCAGCGCTTCATTTGTAGGACCAGAGGCCCGCCACAATAAATACGGCCCGGGGTCCTGCCGGCAGCGCCGCGCCGCGCTGTCGACGACCCACTGCGGACAGACGGCGGGCTTGGCGAAGCCCCGCTTCCGCGCCTTCAGCTTCTTCGTCTGCGCCGCCGTCATATTGACCGCCACGATGTGCGTCGCGCGCCGGTCCCGAGAATCGCAGACGAGGCCGCCGCCCGCCACGACTAGCTGCTCGAGGTCGTCCGCCGGCGGGTCCGTCAGCCCGTCGATCCAGACGACGCAGCCGGCGAACCAGTTCCCTTCCGTTCGCCTTCGCTGGTCGTCGAGCTTTCGGCGCTTTTGCTGCAGGTATTGTTGGTGGTCGCCGCCGTGGTCGCCGTACTTGTCCTCGCGCTGCTCCGTGTTCTGCCAGTGGTCCATTTGTTATGTCGCGGCGACGGCGCGTTCGCGGGCCGCGCAGGGATCGATGCCAGTGCTGCTGATTACAGCACTTCTTGTCTGAGCTGCGAAACGCAAGCAGCGCTTCAAAACTTGTATGAGCGCTGTGCAGACAGTGTTTTTATCACGCGTGAAGCACCGCACGCACCGTCGAGCCGCCGCTTCGCGCGCGCGCGTTTTTGAGGCTAGCGGCCTAAGACACTAGCAAGCGAGGCCTTGCACGGGCGTGAGATTCTTGCTGCGGATGCAAGTATCCGTCTCGCAAGAAGAGAGCTGAGCGGCACGCCGGGCGCACGAGTGGTGGAGGTTGTGTGATGCACATGGTCATGCAAAGCTGCCTCCAGTGGACGTAACCATAGATATTCGAACGATTAATCAGTCGAAAGGCATCTGAGGACCGTGCTTGAACGGGGCGGAAAGTGTACAAAACGCCAGCCGACGTGTGCTGTGCAAAGCAAGCACACAGGCCTGCATCATCATCATCGCGCGCAGTCGTCGTCGACGATGCGACGCAGCATGTACCTCTGGATGATGGGCGTCGCAGCAGCCCTGGACTTACCAAGAGGCGGCGTGACGGCCATGCGCGGCGCCTCGAACGTCATACGGAAGCTCGGCGGAGCGTCGAACAGCGACAGCGCGCGACATGGAGACTTTTTCGATCGGAGCGAAGCCTTATTACGCACTGAAAACGAATTGGAGGAGTTAGATGGCGGTCAACCGGCGGCCGGTGCGGTCGTGAACGTTTTAGCGTGGTGCGTCATTTTGGGCGTTGTTTGCGGCTCTCTATACCTAGTCACGGCCGACGCCATCTCGAAGTACGCCCACAAGCTCACGGAGGAACTAAATGTAAGTTCCGAGCCGCTGCAGGCCGCCTTGGCTGTGTTGGGTGTTTTATACTCCGTTCTACTGGGGTCGACTTTAGGAGCCGCGATGACGCGGCAAGAAACCCAATTACATGCGGTCGGGGCGGAACTCGCCGCCGCCGAACTATTGGAAGGCGGCCTCAACGATTTAGATGCGCCGGAGACGGAAGTCTACTTTCAAAGAGCATTGGCGGCGGCGGCCGCGCACTGTCGACGACTAGAGGCGTCCATAGACGACACGCAGCGGCGCGGGCGTCGTCCGAAGTCAAATGAGAAGCAGCGCTTCGTCGACCCGCTGGCGGACTGCGCCGCGGCTCTGGCTGACGCTCGGTGTCCGCCGACGCCTCTGGGCGCTCGCGCGGACTTGGAAAGACTGCATGAATACCGAGCGCAACGACGGGCGGCGGGCGCGGGGCCGCGCTTCCCCTCGGGCCACTGGGTCGTGCTGCGGACTCTGGGAGCGTTCTGTGCGGCAACTGTTGCGGTCGTTTGTGCTCTAGATAGAGGAGCAGCCGGCGGCGCCGTGCTCGTCGGCGTGACCGCGACCGCCTTGCCTTGGCGCTGTCCGAGACGATCGTGGCGGACGTGGCCGATCGGAATTCTGGGATGTACACCGCGGCGCGGTCGTTTCTACCGGCGGTCGCGCGCCTGCCTGCGCGTCTGGAGCGCAAAGCGGCAAGGGCAGAAGCTAGGATAGAGATGGCCGCGGCCTCTGCGAAGCCGGCGCCAAAAGGCCTCGCTGCCTTACTGACGCCGCCCGCGCCGCCGCCCGAGCCGCGGCCGGCGGCGTCCCTCGATCCGGGGCTATCGTGACGTAAGTTTGTGGGAAATCAACTGTGCACACGAGTCGCGGCGATGGCGTCGTCGTCGACCAGCACGCCGTCGCCCCAAGCCATGCCTGAACTGATGGCGAGCAACGCGCGTAACGGCGACGGCGCCTAACACGAGGGCCGCCACGGGCCGGGGGATGGGAGTGGTGGATGGGTTCAGGACGAGGCCGGAGCCGACGGCGAGGCCCCGCGAAAGAGCGCGGCTCTAGGCCTGCTCCTCGGCGACCGGCGGCGCGCCGTCCTCCTTGCGGTCCTCCTTCTTGGCCGCCGAGTCCGACGAGCCGACGATGGGCACGTGGACGCCGGCCGCGAGCACCGCCAAGATCGTCGTGATCACCAACTCAATGAGCAAGAAGGCGGCGACCGTGTTCGCGCGCGGGTTCGAGTCCTTCCAGTGCTTCTTCGTCGCCTTGTACTCCGAGCCGAAGCGGTTCTGCGCGCGGATCGCGTTGAAGGCGTAGACCGTGGAGAAGAAGAAGAGCGTGGCCTGTGTGGAAATCAAACGTTCGGGTGAGTAAGCCTAAGACGCCTCGTGTGAGGACGCCAAGCACTCTCGCGCTGCGTCGAGACGGCCAGAATAGTAAATAATACATCCAGGCCGGCCTGACGCACTTGTTGATTTCCTCACTGAGCGTGGCGGAAAGGATCGCCGCCTGGAGCTTCGTCTTGCCCGTCAGGGCCTCCTCGCCGCCTCCAATAAACACGACGAAGTTGGACAGGCCGTTGAAGAAGCCCACGACGAGCGAGATCGTGATGATGTCCACGATCGAGCCCGGCATGCCGAAGCCCACGTTGTTGCCGTTCTTGTTCGGGTTCTGGCCCGGCCGCAGGCGGTCCTGCATTACATACAACCCGTAGATGACGAAGATGCCTGCGCGGGCCCGCGTGAGCGCGCGCCGTCGACCGCGGACGCCGCCGGCGCGCAGAAGTAGCTCAGGACGTGCATCGCGGTCTCGATGAGGTTCGCCATGGTTTTTTTTGTGCTTTTCTCTTGAGTTGTTGGAACCTGCGCGCGCGGGGGGTCAGTCCGACCGGTTCGCGGGAGTGGCTCTCGCGCGCGTCGGCGGTGTGGGTGGGTGAGTCACTCGATCCGACGTCGACCGGCCGCGGCCGCCGCCTGTTTTCCCTCGCGCGTCCGGGCGGCCAGCGGCGCGCGGCGCGGCGCAGGGCACTCCTCGGCGGTCCCGCGGCGGTGGTTTTGAGGCGTGCCGACCCGCTCCGCGGCGACCAGTTAGGAACAGAGCTAGGAACAGGGATTTTGCTTTTGAGCGCACGGGGGGCTTGATCGCGCCGGCCAACGGTCTCTCGCGTGTCGTCTTGACTTTGGCGAGACGTTTGAGTGTTTTGACGATCGATGAGGACGCCCAGGCCGCACAGGAGGAGAGCTCGGACTTGTTGTCTGCGCAGCTTTACGCGGAGCCAGGTCTGCGTGGCAAGCATAGAATCAACGCATAGCGCCTCCCAAGAACTAGATCTACAATTACCCAACGCCCGCCGCCATCAAAACACCCCCGGCACGAGCGCGTGCGTCGCCGTGAACGCCTCCTCGTCCTTGAACTTGCGCTTGTACCGCTTCAGTTTTTGTTTTGACCAGATCCCCATCTGCAACGCGCCCAGAGCCGTGAACGCCCAAGCTCCCAGAGACTGTGTCGCCAGGGAATAACAAATCCACGACCCGATCTCGAACGAGTAGTTCGGCGAGCAGAGGCGCCGGAAGGGCCACGCGGTAGGGATTTTTGCTTCTCTTGACCCATCGCTTCTGAGAGAAGCCAGGTGGAGGTGCGTATATAGGTTCAGCACCTCGCAGAGGGCCCACGCGCCGACAAATATTTTCGTCTCTGTTGAAAGCTGCGCGAAGAGTTTCGCGAGCTGCGCGCTGTAGGGGCCGCGCCGGCTCACGTCCCATCCGACCAACGCCGCCGCGCCTCCATAGTACCCGCAATTTTTAAATAAATTCGTGAGAGGCATCGTGCCCTTGCTGAATTTGTGCACGAATAACGTTTCCAGGAGCCGCTTCGCGAAGTGCACGGTCCAGAGCGTCGACGCTAATGTCGAGAAGGGCCCGCTTCGTGCCACGACGGGAAATACTATGAGAGGCGCCGTGTACTCGCAGACGAAGACCGTGCGCCACGGGATGCGCGCGGCCATCGTCGTGGTCATTGGTCGCGGCGGCGGGCGTCGCGGCGTCGACAGCGTCGGCGCGGCGAGACGAACGCGCGTGCGCCCGCGGCGAGGGCCGCGACCAGGATGCGGAGCGCCATCCGTGCGGTGGCGACGTGCCGAGTCGACGCGATGTGTTTGATGTATGCTTGCGGGGCTCTACGCGCGTCGCTTCACGGCTCTGCAAGCGAGAGTGCCAGTGCTCTGAGATGATTTGCTCCGCAGCTGCGGCACGAGCCGAACGCAGCGCTGCGCAATTACAAGAGCACGTACGGAACGGTGCGTCAACAACCTCGTTTGCTGTCTAAGGCGCTAGATGGCCTACAGCCCAGAGCACTTTTGCTGTGCAGGCAGAGCAAAAGCCGATGGTGTGCTAACTCAGCGCGAGTCGCCGCACCGCTCTCCAGACGCTGCGACAAGGACGCACGGATACCATTGATCACAGCGCAGCGCTGAGCTGGAAAGCGACGACGTCTGCCGCTCGCACCAAATGGCAGCCCAAACACTGGCAAGCAAAAGCACCGCCATCGTAGAAGGCACCGCCCTCGTCGCCGGCGCCACACGACAACTCACCGGCCGCCTCGCGTTCAGCGGCACGGGCCTGAGCTTCTGGGGCGGCGTCGATCCCGTCAGTGGCAAAGTTATCGACGAGAGGCACCCGTTGTGCGGGAGACGAATCACCGATAGCATCCTGGCCATTCCTTCCGGAAGAGGGAGCTGCACGGCGTCGCAGATCGTGCTCGAGCTCGTCCTGAACAACACGGCCCCGAGGGCGATCGTGTTGAGAGACCGCGACGCCGTCGTGGCCGTCGGCGCCCTGGTGGCGCGCGAGTTCTTCGGTGCGATCCCGCCACTCATCTTGGCGTGTACGGATTTCGACGCGTTGGAAAGCTTGGACGGCGAATTCGTTTCAGTGACGGCAGACACAGCAGCACTACCACTCCCTCAATTAACAGAAGCGGACCAAGCCGCTTTGGACGGTGCAAATGGCCCCGCGGTGCAGCGGGCCATGAGGATCGTCGTCGAAACGGCGAGGATCCAAGGGGCGGCATCACTGGTCGACGTCGCCGCGGCGCACATCGACGCTTGTACCTACGTCGGGCCGGGCGGCCTCGCCTTCGCCGAGAAGCTCGTCGAGCTCGGTGGTAGTGTCAAAGTGCCGACGACCACCAACAGTTGTTCGGTGGACCGCCGCAACTGGCGCCGCCTGGGCGTTTCTGAGGAACTGGGAGAGCCCGCGTCGCGCGTCGCCGACGCGTATGTCGCCTTGGGCTGCACTGACAGCTTCACGTGCGCGCCCTACTTGCTAGAGTCGGCGCCCTCCCAGTCCACACATGTAGCGTGGGGCGAGAGCAACGCCGTCGTCTACGCCAACTCCGTGCTTGGTGCGAAAACACAAAAATACGCCGATTATTTGGACGCGTGTCGCGCTCTTACCGGAAGGGCGCCGCTAGCGGGAGCTCACATCGAGCGGGACGCATCGGTAGATATTGTGTGTGACCTGAGTGCGGGCGAGAACGACTTCTGGCCGCTCCTGGGTTATGTGGTGGGCCTGCAGGCCGGTTCCAAAATTCCTTATGTAAGGTTGGAGGCGTCGCCCTCCCGAGACGACCTCAAGGCGTTTGCCGCGGCCTTCGGCACGACCAGTGGAGCGCCGCTCTTCCACGCGCCGTGGACGCCTCGTATCGGTTTGATCGAGCGGCCCCGGCCGTCCATGACATTGAGCGAAGGCGACCTCGCGACGGCCTGGGCCGATTTATGTAAAGGCGAAGGCGACGTCGATTTGATAGCGCTCGGGAGCCCTCATTTATCATTGGATGAGTTGGAGGCCTTGGCGTCATATGTCGCAGGCGAGAAGAAGCACGACGCCGTGCGAGTCGTCGCGACGCTCGGCGGCGCCACGCGACGAAAAGCTTCGAGCGACGCGTTGAAAGCCCTCGACGCGTTCGGCGTCGAGCTCGTCGAGGACACGTGCTGGTGCATGCTCACCGAACCCGTCGTGCCGCCTTCTTCCGGAAAGTTGGCGCTGACGGACTCCGCGAAGTACGCGCACTACGCGCCCGGTCTGGTCGGCCGCCGGCCGCGGCTGGCTTCTATGTCTCGTTGCGTCGCCTCGGCTATTTCCGGGCGCTTCGCGGCGCGGCGGCCGGCGTGGCTTCAGTCGCGCCGGGGTTTCGCGGCGGCGGCGCGGCGCGTCTTGTTGGTGGTGCGTTAGTGTTGTAATCCTTTGTTGGTTGTATCGTAATCGTTTTTTACGCTGGCGTGCGTGCTTGGTATTAGTCCGCCGCTAACATTAACTGACGGGTTTCGGGACACCTTTGCAAGATTGCTGCGTCCTTTTGCAGTGTGCCAGCGACGCGAGGGTCCCAAACGTCCAGAATTAGTATCTCGCAGTGCGCTTGATACCGACGAGCGTTCAATACGACGGGATTCGTGTCGAAAACCCAACAAAGTAAGCTGAAAGATCGCGGCATCCGCCTTGCGTTGAGCAATCTTGCGGAAGGAAAAGATGCGTCTCATTCTCACGGCCTTAGCGCTAGGACTCACCAGCGGCTTCAGCTCCTACGAGCGGAAGGAGGGCTGTCCGGAGCTCTACTCGCGCGGCGTGCTCGAGCTCGAGTTTAATCCGGCGTTCCTGCACGTCGACGAGTACGCGGACGGCCAGGCGCTCACGATCACGTCGTTCTTCAATCTGCAGGAAGTCGTGTTCACACCGCCGCCGCCGTTCCGCCGCCGCCGCCGACGTTCGACTTCTTCAGCCCGGACCTCGTGGCGCGTGCGATGCTCGACGCCGACGCGTCGTTCCCATATACTGTTGATCCCGTGCCCGTCGAGGTGCTCACCGAGCCGACCGGACCGACGGTGCCCAAGTGGCCCAACGAGGCCGAGCTGGCGCCGGCCGGAGTCTTCCCCTTCGAGGCGCTCGTCGTCTGCCAGGGCTTCCTGAACCCGGGCGCGCGGCCCGGCCGCATCAGCGTCATCAACATGGCCACGCATGAGGAGCAGAACATCTCCGGCGGCGGCGACTGGTTCTACCACCGCGTCGTGTATTTGGACATGGACGGCGACGGCGACGACGACGTCGTGACGGTGCGGTCGAATTGGCCCGCCGGGCCGCCGGACGCGAACACCCGGGGCGAGCTCGTCTGGTTCCGGAACCCGGGCACGGATGCGTTCCCCTGGGAAGAGACCGTGCTCGTCTCGGCCCCTGCGATTGGCCCCTGGCCCGCCGCCCCCGACATCTTCCTGCAGGCGGCGGACTTAAATGGCGACGGCACCGAGGAGATCGTGGCGACGCGTCTTCTTCGGCAGCGAGATCACGCTCTACGGCGCCGCCGGCGGCGGCTGGGCCGCGACGGACGCCCACAACATCCGGAGCGCCACGATCTCGGACGGTCGAGGGAGGCCTTTCGGCATCGAGATCGTCGACCTGGACCTCGACGGGAAGTTAGATGTGCTGGCTGGCGACCAATCACCAGCAAGACAACTGCCCAGCCTTCCCCGAATCCATCGCGGGCGCGGTCTACGCGATCGCGCAGCCGGCCGGCGACCTGTTCGCGGACGCCTGACGACGACGATTCTCTTCGACGGGATCTTTCCGCAGCCGTCGTGGCAGGCGGCGCTCGAGCCGCCTCGCGCCCGGCAAGGCGAAGGCGTTCTACCCGAGCCGCGCGCAGGAGGCGGACCCCTCCACGCGCCCCTGCATCGTCGTCGGCGGCGACGAAGCCGGAAGGTCTGGATCCTCACACCGGTCGAGGGTCCGGTGACCGGCGACCTGGAGTACGAGGACCACGTCATCTTCGACATAAACGTCAAGTTCGGAGACACGTGCAAGACGCAGACGGACGTGCGGCCCGGCGTGACGATCTCGACGCTCGGCGCCGTCGAGACGCGCTACGACCGCACGGGCGCCGACGGCGTGACCGAGATATTCATCCCCGTCTTCGAAGGGAAGGCGATCTACGTCTACTCGTTCCGCGCCGAGGGCGAGCCGGTCGAGTGCCTCCCGGACGAGACCCTGGGCTGCACCGAGTGCGGCTCGCCGGGCCCGCCTTGAGGCGCGCGGCGCCGCCGGCCCCAGGACACCCTCCTTAGATGCCCCAAATAAACTTGCGATTCTGTGAATTGGAATCGTATGCGGTAAATTAGTTAGTCTCGACCCGCGGGAATAGGAGAGCTTGCTAGTGTCTTTACAGGCCGCTAGCTCGCTTGCTCTTGCCGACAGTCGAGCCGCAAGCGCTGGTCTACAGCTCGCTGCGCGTCGCCGAAAGTACCTCTACGCACGGCATCATTGGTTCAACCAGCTTCGCTCGCTAGGCGACGTGTGAGCTCTCACAAATCGATTGCACTGTGACGCCGCAGCCGCACGCCATCGCAGCGATGTCGACACCGACCTCGCCCACGAAACCGGGGTCGCCCGCAAAGATGCCAGCGCCACCACCGGGCCCGCCGCCCCCCGAGAATGTGCTGCCACCAATGCCGCCCGGGCCACCGCCCACTGAAAATATAATAGACCCAAAAAAGAAACGCGAACGCGAAGAAGACGATTCAAGACGGAAGAAGAAGAAGCGGGTCAAGATCGAGCTGGAGCGGGATCTCGATAATGGGATCGGCTGGCCGAGCGGCCGACCGCGGGAGCCGCGATACCGGCACGGCTGGTTCCTACCCACCCATGAAAGAGTTTTCGAAAGGGTACTGGCAGATGTCGGTGAAGTGAAAGTAATACTGGAACTGGGGAGCTGGTACGGTAGCTCCACGGAGTGGCTCTGTGAAAGGTGTCCGGACGCCGCGGTGTACGCGGTCGATCTATGGGACGATTCTTTCATCCTAGACAAGCAACGGGACCACTACAGCACGATGGGCGACCGGAAGCTCGAGAATCTGTTGAATAACCATCCTCTATGGGATACATTTTTGGCGAATCTGTGGTCGTTTCGCGATCAAGTGGTACCTCTAAAGATGGAGACGACGGCGGGCGTCAAAGTACTAAAGGACAAGGGCATCAAACCCCAAATCATCTACATCGACGCGGACCACCACTACGCGCCGTGCAAGGCGGACATCCAGGCGTGCCTACGAGCATTCCCTGACGCCATATTAGTAGGAGACGACTACGGCCACTACGAGTCGGTGCGCAACGCCGTCACGGAGTGCGCGTTGGAGTTCAACAAGTTTATACATGTAGACCAGAACCACTGCTGGACCTACCACCGCATGGAGTCCGGGACAGGTAGAACGTTCAAGCCGAAGCCCAAGGCCACCGACTCCTTCGCCTCATTGTTAGCGGGCTACGCGTGACTAAGTCTACTTTCTAGCATCGGTGGCGTACAACTCCCCCACGCCGTCGCCGCGACGCCCGCACATGAGACAAGATACTTACAGCCGCCGCCGCTTCCGCTTGTCCCGCCCGAGCTGCTGCTTGCCGCCCTTGCCGCTCCCCAACTTCCTCTTTTTCAGACCGTTCAGCCGCGACTTCTTCTTCTGCACCATCAAGTAGTTCTTCGTGCGTCTCTTTTCACTATTGGTCTTGCCGCCGGCGTGCGTCTTCAGCTGGAACTTTTCTCGGTCCAAGACTTGGCGTGCTTTCCGCTCTTCGACGGTCGTCCTTCTCTTCACGGCTTCTGGGACGATGTCGGCGCCGGACAGCAGGCCCCGATTTGTCGCCGTGCCTTTGAGCTCGTCGGCCCGCGCCTTGAGCAGCTTGATGCGCGCGAAGTCCTCCGCCGACAGCACGCGCGCGGCGGGCGCTACCTCCTCTTCCTCGTCGGCGTCGCCGTCGTCGTCGCTTCCAGCATTACTCTCGGCGTCACTATCGGAACCCTGGTCCACGTCGACCCAGCCGTCCTCGTCCTCTTCATCATCGGAGCCGGAGTCGGCGTCCTCCCAGCCGTCTTTATCATTGTCGGCCGCCGCCGCACCGTCTTCCTCCCCATCACTCACATCAACCCAGCCATCGCCGCCGCCCTCCAGGTCGTTGCACGCTTCCACGACGTCCTCGAACTCCTCGGGCAACTGCCCCCGCTCGTACAACCTCAACAGGTCCTCGCCCGGCACTGATGACGTAGCAACGTCAGCGCCGAACGACAACGGTGTCGCCTTCGAGCGAGCTTTATCTCTACCGCGGTCCTTCTTCTGCAGGAGCTGGGGGTGGTGCTCTCTTACAATATTGATCCAGCCCCTCGCAGCGACCACAACCGACTTGTCCCTATGTTTTGAGTAAGCGGCTAAATCTCTAACTAGTCCAAGCATCTCCGGCTCGTCCAACACGGCGGGGCACCGTCCACATACCTCCCTCAAGGCATTGATACCCAGCGCCATGGCCTCGGAAGCGTTCCGATCAGAAACGAACGCGTCGGCGACGTGTCGAATAATGGGTACGAGCTCGTCCGGCGGCACCAGCTCGTGGCACGCTTGCGCGAACAAAACTAGGAGTCGCGGCGCTTGCTCTTGCGACGGCTTCAGGTATCTCCTCATATAGGAATAAAACGCCACGAGCTGCAGGCGATGCGTACAGGCCACGCGACTACATAAATCTAACCGAGCGACTCTCTGTTCAAAAGCATCCACTTGCCTTCTTGCACGAGCTAACAACGCGTCGCACAAGCGATGGGGATCGTCGAGCAGCTGCATCGCGGGAAACTTTGGTTCGGCCCGTTCCGACTTCCCGAGGGCCTTCTTTTTGGCGGCCTTCTTCGCGCGCTTCGTCTGCCGCGCGCGCGCCCGCGTCTTCTTCGAGTGCTTGTGCTCGTCCACCGCTTTGAGAGCATTTTTCAGGTCTCTACCTTTTTCGCCCTCGTTCTCGTTTTCAGACGATTCGGAATCTAACACTGGTGCTCTATCAACACCTAGGAAGAAGTAGACCGCCCCGAGAGCGACTCGTGCTCGTTCGTCCGCGGCGCACCTTCCTAAACAATTAACTGTGGCCGCGTCGGTCCACGATCCACAAGCGTACAACCTTACTAGGACGTCTACCGCTACTCTTGCAGATGCGGCAGAATTAGCTTCCGACTGATCCTCGGCCGCCTTGAAGACGCAGCGTCTCAGGTTCCTACCTAACGTGCCGCTCGAAGCTTTCTTGCAGTCGCGGACCACGTGGTCCGCGAGGAACTGCCTTAAGGCTTTATCTCGTACTCTTCTTATTAATTCAAAACAAAGATCAGCTAGGACCAGGGGATCCAGTAAACCCTTGCTTCGAGCTAAAGCAGCAGCTTGCGCTAGACGTAATCGTAAATCCGGCTGTAACGTCGCGCAGCGGTCCTTGAGGAGTGCTACGAGGTCCGTGGCGAACCGCTTCGACGCCTCCTTGTAGTGGACGCCGCAGTGGGCGACGAAGGTCGCCAGATCCCCTAATTTTCTTTCGTCGTCCCCTCTCGTCTTCTTCTGCGACGCGCCTCCCAATCGAAACGCCTCCAATGCCGCGAGGTACTGCCTCCAGATGGCCTCGAACTCTTCGCGGTAGGCGGACGGGTCCCTCTTCAATAAATTTTGGAGCACCGGGAGGGAGTGCTGGCGGACCTTCATCTGTACGTGCGTTTTTTGTCGATATCGCCTGTTTTGCCTCACGCGGCGCACCGGTCGACCTGGCACTTCGTGCTTGCACGAGCGGTCGTCCGCAGCCTTCTGATGTGTCTGCGCAGCTTGGAGCCTGAGCTAAAGCCGTGCGGACGCCTAAGTCAAGCGCTTTGCAAAGGCAGAGCAATATTTATCTAGCGTCGTGTAAGACACTAGCAAGACAGAGGATCGCATTTAACTTGCGAAAAATTAAACTCGGGAGTAATACGTTCCCGAGACTAGCCATGAAATCGCATAAAAGACGAGTCCGAAAACGTCTCCGGTTGCAAGGGTCCTAATTCAGTCCTAGCACCTCACCAGAGGCAAGCGTTCTTGACTCCAAGCACGTTGGAAGACGCATCGAGTCCACCGCACCGCTTCCGCGCCAAAAAACGCACGAAAACAGCAATCATGTCCCTCACAGACCTGCCTGAAGAGCTGGTGCCCCTAATTGCAAAGTACTTGCCGCGCAACGATCTGCTTGCGTTAAGACAGTGCAACAAGTCCTCGAGCGCTGCAGTGCATCGCTCCATACAAACCGACGACCGCTTCGCGAAGATGATCTTCGACGCGCTGGCCGAGCCGCGCAACATCGAGGCGGAAGGAAGAATCTTCGGCAGCGGGGCGAGAGAGCTCGTCAGCTTCTGCGCGGCCGACGCGGCCCTCCCCGCGCTGCAATCTACCATCACGGAAACGGCGGGAGGTCTCCAGAAATTGTGCCTCTACCGCTGCGCCGTCACGGACGCGCGCCTCCTCGAGATGTGCCGCGCGTGCCCGTTGCTGCAAACGCTCGTCTGCGTCATCGACGTGCCGAACATCGAGACGGCAGACGTCGAGGACCTGTCCACCAAGATATCGCAAGCGTGCCCGCTGCTCGAGGTCGTGAAGCTACCGTGCAACGGCAGCGCGGTCGAGGTCCGGGCCAGTGCGCAAAACATCGCGTCGACGTCGCTTGTGCTCGAGAATGATTGTGAGATTGTGAGGAATTACAAACGCCCCCGCCACACTGGTTGATTTCGCGCAGAGTTACGCGGCCGCGTTCCCGAACCTGCGCTGCCTCGAGTTCTTCAGCCACGGCCACGGGTCGCACGTCATCCCGTCGCGCTTCGACCGCATCGAGCGCGCGCTGCATACCTGTACGAATGCGGACCAGATCGACTTGGACTTTTGCGTGGTGAGTCTGGCGCTCGTCGAGTGGCTCCTCGCGTCGCCGCTGCCCGGGCGGCTCGTGGCGCTAAGGATGGGTAGGACGGCGATCAGTCCGGACTTGATCCTCGAACTTGTACGCGCCTGTCCGGCGCTGGTCGAGCTCGCCCTGCCGTCGCTGATGTGCCTCGGTCGCCCCTTCTACGAGGCGCTACACGCGACGCGGCCGACGCTCGAGCGTATCTCCCTCCCCCACTGCGGCAACGACGGCGACGAGTGCTTCCGGGTCCTGGCGAGCTTCGGCCTCGCGGAGCTCAACGTCGCGTCGATGGACGCGCTCACGCCCGCCGTCGTCGACGTCGTGCTGAAGGGGAGGTGCGCGGCGAGTTTGCGAGCCGCGAATCTGTCGTGCGTCCCGGCGCTCGGCGCCGCGGAAGTGCTCAAGCTCGTGAAGGGCTGCCCGGCTCTCAGGACGGTCGCGTGGGAACTGGCCGGCGAGGGCGGTGGCTGGGGCCGCGTGACGGCCGACGACGAAGGCAACCTGAGAGCCCTCATCGCGCTCCTCGAGACTCGCGGCGGCGGCCTCGAGTCGTCGGAGTCCGGCGTCGGGCGGCTCCTCCACCCCGAGGACTATTCTAGTGAGGAGGACTACGAGGACGAAGACGCGGACGACGCGTCGGGGGACACCACGGTAAGATAGTACAAGTGTTTACGACAACGGAGGCGGAGTGCGGGTTTCCTCGGCCGGGCGACGCCTACCCAGTAGGCGTCGCCGGGCGTCATAGCGTCTCCTTCGTCGCTTCTTGCGATGGTCGCTGCGGCGCGGCGCGCGTCACCCGAGTCGCGGCGCGCGGCCGAAGTCGACGACCTTCGGCCGCTCCGGTCGGTGGATGTAGATATGCACGGGCAGACAGAAGAGCGCGACCGGCCCATAGACCGCAGCAATGGCGCTCATGACGAGCGTCGCCCCCGCCGCGAGGTACTTGCCCGCCCGCAAATCCCGCGCGACGGACAGGACCATGAGCGCCACCACCACCACCGTCACCACCGTGACGACGGATTGGCCGAAGACCGTCCTTTTTTGAAAGTTGCACCAGAACGCATCCTCCAGGCAAATCTGGTCAGGCACGCTTAATACAAACACCGGCTCGTACGTCCGTAGCACGTTCTCGGGCGCTTCGTCTAGTTTCGTGGAGTCGTAGCCTATTCTTTTTCGACGACGTCGTAGCCGTCTGTCAATCGCGCGAGGCGGTCTTTTCCATATATGCGCATCAGGTTCCAAATAATCCTGTCGGGCCCCACCGGCACGCTCAGGATAACTTTAGCTCCTGGCGCGAGCGCTCTTAGTAATAACCGCATCGTCAGGAGGTCGCCGTCCGGCGCGATGGGGTCGCCGTAGCGGCCCAGTCCATCATGATCCAGCGATGAAGCGGAGACAACGACGTCGTATCCTAGATTCGCGTCGTCTAGTTGATTCCAGAAGCTCGCATTGACCTGGTCCAGTTGCGGGTGCTCGTATTTTCTTGAACCGTAGTCGACGGTCGTCACTCTTGAAGCGCCCAGAGCGAGGCACACGGCCTCGTGCCAGGGCTCAGCGCTGCCGACGACCAGCACCGACGACCCGTTGGCCACGTGGCCCACGAGCGCCTCGAGGAAGTGCGCGTCGTTCGGGCGCGAGCCGTATTGTCGCTTTTCCACGACGGCTTGGGCCCTCTCTACCAACGCCTCCACGTCTTCACGGGCGTAGCCATAAGTCGTGCCCGCGCCTTCATTGGAATCGTCCACAAATAAATCCGTGTCGTTCGCGTACTTCCCGCAGCGCGTGAAGCCGTTCTGGATCGTCGCGTTGAGGTCGGCCCAGCGCGGCGGCGTCGTACTATTCGCCGTCTGCCAGGGCTCGCGCGCCGCGAGGAGCTGTTTCGCGCCGTAGGGGCAGGTCGTGGGCTCGAGCGTCAGGACACACGCGACGCCGATCGCAAGGGCCATGAGCACGCCGAACAACACCGGGTCCTGGGGCTCCGTGCGCGGGCGCCGGCGCGGCCGGACCGTCGTCTGTTGTTCCCCATAGCCCCGCGACTGGTACTCGGCCCACATGCGCGTCTGCTGGGCGTTGTGGTGCTCGGCCGCTCTTCGCCACCAGAGGCTGCGGAGACCGCCCATGATTCTTCGTTTCTTTCGACGGAGCTGTTGCGGCGGCACCGGACCAGCTTATCCGTGAGCCGTCACAAATGCCGTGGCGTCTGTAGACCGATATATGACTCAGCTTCAGCGCAAGGCTGCTTCAAAGTTTCCAACTCGAAAACAGGGGCGAACTGACGCTTCTCACGCTGGTGGCCGCTCGGAGCTGCGTTTTTTAAGAATATGCCTATGCCGCGGCACGCTGGGGCGTTAGCCCAGCTCCAGCTTCAGCGGCGGGAGCTAGCAAAACCTGGCTAGTGCCTTACATGCCGCTAGCTACGGCTGCCTTACCTTAGCAATTTGTTTTTATCAGTCGCTCTTGCAGCAGTACTACATCCCAGACATCCGTTGGAACCGAATTGAGCACGGCTGTCGACGATGGAAGCGACCCCTGCAGACAACACTGATGCCGCAGAGGTTACGACGCCGCTCGACGCCGCATTGCCGCTGATCCTCCCGTTCACGTCTTTACAATGCAAGGGCAGAGCCCAAGCGACGAGCAAAATCGTCCGGGAGAGCGTCGTCGTCGACGAGCTCGACGCGCGACCGCTCTACTCCAAGCTAGGAGCGACAAAAGCGACAGCACTCTTCCCACAACTCCTGGAGAAACACCGCCTCGTTTCATTAAATCTCGAGTTCTGCCGCGCCGCATCGATCCTCGACGCCGTCGCCGACACTCAGCACGCTACATTAAAGCACATAAACTTAAATGGCGTGCCGGACGCGGACCCGGCAACAGTCTCAAGATTACTAGGAAACTGCCGCCGGCTCGGCGTCGGGGGCTGTTCCGGCAGGTCCGGTTGGGTGACGACGCGTTGGCGGCTCTGCCCAGTAGCTTACAAGAGCTCTCCGTCTCCGGCTGCTCGTTAATTAGCGACGCGGGCATCAAGGCTCTGGTCGAGCACGCTCCTCAATTACATTTCCTCGACGTTACAAGGTGCCCGGAGCTCACCGACGCGTCTCTCATGACTCTTGCTTCCCTGAAACTGACGGGCCTCGTGTGCTACGCCAACGCTGGACTATCAATGTACGGTCGCCTTCGAGCGTTTGACTTAAGGCGCCTCGACTGCACCGGGAGCCGCGGCGTCGATGGTTCTGCAATTGCGAAAATAGCGCGCGCGGCAGCCGCAAAGCTGGAAATTTTGAATTTGAGCTGGTGCGTCGCGGTCGACGATGAAGCGCCGCTCGCGCTCGGTGAGTGCTGTCCCAATCTGACGTGGCTCTCGCTCCACGGCAACCGCAACGTGACCGACGCCGGGATTGATGCCCTGTCGACAGGTTGTCTGAAGTTGACTTCATTGGATGTGAGCGGTTGTAGTCAAGTGACGGACTACCTGCGGCGCGAGGGGTTTGCTCGTGGGGAAGTTTTGGCGTTGTGAAGTGGAGGCTGCACGAGGCGACGTTGGTCCGCGCCGTCGACGCGATTTTGCGCCGCGGCGACCCGCTCCACGCCGTAGACGCGACCCCTTTGTTTAGCTAATGTTCTTGTCCTTGTGACTTACGCGCCGTCGTCCTTGTGACGACTACGAGCGCGTGGGGCGCCGACGCCGCGCGTTGTCCACCTTTAGGGCGGTTGTACGGCGACCAGAAGGGGATGCCGAAGCCGTAGTCGCGCTTCTCCTCCGAGACCTGGCCCATCTTGAAGCCGAACTGGCTGAACCAGTACGCGTCCGCCGGGAGACCGGTTCGAACCAACGGGCCACCTGATCGAACGCGACTATAAGGAGACCAGCCCGGCACCCCATTCCCGTAGTCCCGCTTCTTCTCCTCCGAAACGGCCCCTTAAACCCAAACTGCTCCCACCACTCCTGGTCGCCGAGAGCCGACTCCACAGGCGCAGCAGCAATGGCTTCGATCTGCTCCTTCGTTTGATTACTACGGTAGTAGGGACTCCACTTCGGCGCGCCGAAGCCGTAGTCCTTCTTCTTCTTTTCCGAGATCTTCGAGGGGTCGCCCACCGCTTTAAAGCCCTGCTCCTGCCAATACGCCTCATCAGTAACCAGACCCGCATCGCGCCGCTTCTTGTACTCTTCGATGAGCTGCTTGTCCTTCCAGGTCACGTTCGGCAGGTCGCGCACGAAGGGATCTCGGTACGGGTCCTTCTTGTCCATGTCACTGTAGGGGTCGGCCGGAGGCTTCTTTTCCGGGAAATTGAGGGGCGCTTGGAAGGCTTTGGGCTTCGGGTCTCGTCGCGACGGCGCCGACTGGGCCCGCGACGGTCGCGGCGGTCTCTTGGCGGGCTGGCCGTTGACGGAGCATTCGGACTTTCGGACCTTGAACCTTTGCCCGGGTCGCACGTTTGGCGGGACCTTGGTCTTGCATTTCAATCCACCGTCGCGGAAGAAGAGCGCTTCGCCGGGCACCGTGTTCTCGGGGCAGACTAGTACTACTTCGTCGTCCTTGGGTCGTGCTGTCAAACCAGCATATTCTTGCGTCGTCGGCCGTCGCGTCGTCTCCATGACTCTCCTACCCGTAGACGCGGCGCTGTTCGGTCTGGAGTTCTTGGGCGTGCTCCTTCTACTCGTATCTGGGGTCTTGCCTCGCAGCGTCGCGTTGCGCGCGATGACCTGCATCTGCTCCTTGGAGAGGGCCATACTTAACGTGTGGGGCTGCCCCGCAACCTTCTGCGCGTGTGGGGCAGCCGCTGGCGTCCGTGGGGGGCTCGCCGGAGGCCGCGGAGGCGCTGGCGACCGTCTGGGTTGCGCTACGACGGCGTGTGATGGCGCCGAGCACAGCGCGGCCGCTGATGCCAACGAACTCGGCTCGCCGCGCCGCGCTGATGCTCATGGACGCCTCAGTGGTGGGCCCAGAGCTCTGCGGGCCGGCCGGCGACGGGTCTACGCCTCCGCCGAAGTCTCGAACCCGAGACAAAAATGGTCTCAACGCCGCGGCCTCTCCCGGACGAGCTTGTTGAAAGGGCTGCCGAAACAACGCCGCCGACGACGCACCGCGCGCGCGGGACCAACGACTGGCGCCCCAGCGGCTCCCGTGAGGACCGGTACCAGCGGACCGCCTGAAACCAAACACAGCGACAGGGCAGCCTCCAGACGCCGCCGCCGCGCCGCAGCCATGGTCGCGCCCCTCACGCTCATCTGCCCGCCCGGCGCCAAGCCCGGCCAGCAGCTCCTGTTCAAGGACGACGACGGCCAGCGCTTCACGACGGAAGTGCCGAAGGGCGTGCGGCCGGGCATGAAGTTCCTCGCGCATCGCAAAGCATTGGGCACGGGCTACGTCGGCAAGGACGGCGTCCGCTTCTCGAAAGTAGCGTCGCAGTCGAAACTAAGGGCGAGACAGCCGACGCCGATGCCGAGCGCGGCACCGACGGAGCGGTCCTCGCGCCAGCCCTCTGGGTACGGCTCGCGCCAGCCCTCGGCGTACGGCTCGCGCCAGCCCACGGCTCGGGGCGTCGGAAGCAAGGATCCGAACCGAGCCAAGTGGGACATCGACACGCACCGAACGACGTATCGAGCACCCTCAACTCAGAGATCCTTCCCGCCCGATACACCCTTAGGCGACCAGGAGTGGTTCGAGCAGTTCGGCTTTAGTGGAGCGGTCAGTGAAGAGAAAGCTAGAGATTATGGCAACGGCGTGCCCATGTGGTCGCCCTACTTCCGCAATCCGAAAGACTACGTCAAGCAGCCCCTTTCTGGATTGGCTCCCGACGCCTACTGGTTCGAGCAGTACGGCTTCCGGGGCGGGAAGTTGTCCGAGGACCAGATTAGGATCAAGGCTACGGCGTGCCGTCGTGGTCGCCCTATTACCGGACGGGGGGGCCGAAAAACGTCGCCGAGTCGTTGGCGTCGCGCGATCCTTCTAGAGCGCCGAGCCGGTTGCCCACGACCCGCGAGGAGTAGGGGGTTCTATAAATTTTATCAAGCGTCATTACGCGGATCGGCGACTACTCCGTCATGAGCTTGTGGAAGCCGTGCCTGTGGGTGTACCGTCGGCGACGCGCTCCTACTACAACATCACCAGTGACCGATACGCGATTCGAACGCGTAACCTTCAGGACTGGAATCTGACGCGCTGCCGTTGCGCCAATCGGTCGAAGGCGGGCGAAGGCGTACGAGGACGCCGCCGCGGTACCGCGCCCTAGTAGATGACGACGCACCGGAGGCACTCGCCGCTCTCGAGGATGTGGATAGCCTCGTTCGTTTTCTCGACGCCCTGCAACGTGTGCGAGATGGGTGGTCGATCGGCAGCTGGCCGGCGAGGTGCTTGTCGACGAGGCGGGGGCGTCCGTGCCTGTGGGCGTACCATCGACGGTCGACGGAACATCAAGTGACCGATACGCGATTCGAACCGCCCTTCAGGACTGGAATCTGACGCGCTACCGTTGCGCCAATCGGTCGAAGGTGATGTACCGAGGACGCCACGGCGATGCGGTCTTGAAGCCGCCGAAGGCCGTGAGGTCTGCGTCTGAGAAAGTTTGAGGTGGCGAGTTTCACAGCAAATTCTGCTCTGAGGGACGACGAGTCTAGTGGTCCTCCGATTTGCAGAGGCAATGTAGATAGGGCTACTAACGTCGATTCCAAGCGCAGACTGGCCGACGAGCGGCAAGCGGCGGAGATGCAATGGCGTAATTGGCCTGAAGTGAGAGCTCAAAACAGGTTTTGCAACCTCCGCCCCGGGAAGGCTTCGGAGGTTTCCAGGTTCGAAAATACAGACGACAAACATTACGCTCACTTCTCCAAGGACGCCGCCACCCCGGGCTCGAGCGGCCGGCCCGGCCCGAACGACGTCGCGTACCCGGCCAACGATAACTCGCGCAGCTTCTTGTGCCGCGCGCGCGTCGCCCGCAGCTTCTGCTTGTTCTTGCGTGGCGTGTACCGCCAGCCATCAACGCAGCCGGAGCACTGCTCTCCACATTTTTCAGATCCAGTCGGGTCAACGCCGCGCGCCTCCAATCCTTCGAGCACCTTCTTCCCGACGGCGTTGTCCCGCGACAGCAGTTCGTCGGCGAGCTGGGCATGCAAACATTTGACGTCGTCCAGTTTTGACGGAGTGAGGCCCGTGATGCCTGAGTCGAGGACGCGGCGCACGGTGTCCGCACCTAAACGAGCCTCGGCCCGCGCGAGCGCCTCGCCCTGCACCATCGACTTTCGAGTCACCGCGTGGCGCTCGTTCACTTTTCGCAGAGCGTCGCGGTTCGCGTCCTCCGCGAGCAGCTCTGCTGACAGCGCGCGCACTGCGCCCTCGGCCTCCCACGCGTCGACGGCCTCGCAGAGGTGAGGGCACGTCAGGCGCAGCATGCCGGCGCCGAACTTGTGGGCGCCGGGGTCCTGGAGGACGGCCTGGGGGTAGCCGTGCCGACACAGCGACACCGCGGGCACGCCGACCATGTTGGCCGGGTGGCCCAGCTGCCTTTGTTCCACGACGTCGGCGTCGGCGGCGGACGGCGCGGCGACCTGCCAGCCTTTTGGCACGTGCTTGAGGCGCTCGGGGTTTAGCGACGCGCCCCGGCGCAGCGCGGCGAGGAGCATGGCGATGGTGAGCATGTGTCGCTGCGCGGGGCGTGCGCGGTTACGCGGACGTTTGCGTGCAGGTGTCGCCGTCGCGGCGAAGAGCCGTGAGCCGTCAGGAGATTGAAACGTGTCTCGTCAAACGCGCGCGTCGGTCAATACATGCATCGTTTTGGTTGTTTCATCAGCCGGCTCGGAGTGATCAATTTTGGACGCCGCGGCGCGCGGCGATGGCGTGGACGCGTTGGGCTTCAGCTGCAGCGCTGCAGTGCTGCTGGCTGAGTCTTTAACGAAGCGCAGGGCGGCGGGTGAACATGCAACGCCTGCACTTTGATGCTATGTACAAATAGAGCTACCCAGCGTAAACCAGCGCGTCAAAATGCAGCGCTTTGGGCAAATGCACAGTGGCAATGGCTTCGCTTTGCAGCAGCCTGGGCTAGAGCCCTATTCATCGAACACAACCTCGAGCCGCTCTCGGAGGAGTCCTCCAGTACGCCTTGTTGTATCCTCGCGACCTTTGGCTGGGTGCTCTCCGACAGGCCAACCTGCCATCATCTCGAATCCTGGCGCTATATCTCCGGCTGCACGCGGCTTTGGAACCCAAGGCATCGTTGAGACGTTCTTCAGGAGCAGTGTTCCTCGCCTTCAAGAGCTTGCATCGCTCGGTTTGCTAGAAGTCAACAAAATGACCTCATAAGCCATTGCACCCTCTGCTGCAGCAATGCTCAAGCTCTGCTGCGCCCTCGGCGCCGTCGGCGCCGCGGCCTACACCGCGCCGCTGGCCCGCCACCGACGACTAGCGCTGCGCACGCCGTCGGCGCGGCGCGCGACAAACGAATGGACGGGCAGCGACGTCGACCCCTGGAATCCTATATCTGAGGATAGAGTCTTCGAAGTGTGTTACTTGGACGAGGCCGGCGAGCACATCGAGGAGTGCGTCTGCGAAAGCGAAGCTGAATTAATAGAAAAGGGCCTCGTGCCCCCGCGACGCGGCAAGGACAATTCTGATCTGCTGTTCGCCGTGCCGAACTCGGGCGCGGACGGCGAGACTCTCTTCAGTTTGGCGGACTACGAGACGTGCCTCGCCGACGACGTTTGTGAAGTCAGTGACGAAATTGTGGACAAGGCCTACGGGCCGGACGTCCTCGAGAAGATCAAGGCCGCGCGCGGCGAGGAGGAGACTGCCTCGATCCCCTCGGCGAAAGCGGCTAGATTTCATGTTCATTTTGGCGCGGGGCGCTTGGGTCTGGGACTCGTCGTGCCCGCGATCGCGGCGTCGGGCGTCCCCTTCGCGGTAGTACAGAGACCAAAACCTAGATGGGAGCAGTTGTTTGCCAACTCCGAAGAGATCGACGTGAGCGTGAACGGCGAGGTGAAGATGAAGGGCGCTCAGGTGCTGACTCGGCGTGAAAAATGACCTTGAACTTGACGTGGTCGCATCGATGGCGTCGACGCGATGCTGCGCCGCCTCGACGCCGTCGACGCGGCCGCATGAGGGAGCCGCGGCAGTTTCGCGACGGCGTCGTTCCCGCGCAGGTACTGGCAGCGCACGAACGACCCCCGGAGACGGTCCCGGCCACGTCATTGGTCTTTGGAGCTTCTTCGGAAGATCTAGCATCCCTCCTGTCGCGAGCGACGTCCTTCTCCTGCTCGCTGGGTGCGGCCATGCGAAGGGTGATGACTTCTACGTTAAGTGCATTACCGGAAGTAGTGTCGGAGACAGATGTGGCCATCGAGACAAGAAAGGAACAGCTGCGATCTAGGAAACTACGGAAACGACGACAGTTCGACCCGTCCTACGAGAGTGCCACGGATCGCGTCTACTCTGGAGACCTCTCCCCAGAAAAGGACCCGAGGCCCGTACTCTACTGCGCCGAGAACGACCACGAGTCTGTGGCTCGTCTGAAGAGGGAGTTGAGGACAAGAGTCCGCGTCGTGGACTGCATGGTGGATAGGGTGTGTACCGGTAGGAGGATCGGCCCGCAAGGTGTTGAAATTGATGCAGAACCGTGGCCAGGATCCATAGTGGTGTTAGAACCAGGATTCGACCCGCGCTACGTCCCCTTCGCGCCGTCAGTAGCTACCCTACCAGAAAGTTTGAGACATGCCGATTATCTCTCAGAGAGAAAATTTTCACTCGTCAACGGCATGCACACGGTCGTGGCCTTTCTGACGCTGGACTACATGTACAACCCGGTCGATCCGGGCGGGCGGGAGTATGTCTTGATCAAGTACTCGAAGATGCGAAGGGCCGAGCAGCGCAAGGTCGAGGCGTGGCGGACGGCGCGCATCGCGAGACTGATCGAGCAGTTCGGGATTGAGAGCATCATGCGCTGGGAGGGGGCGGACAACGTGGTGGAAGTGTGGAACTCGTTGCTGGCGTTTGGGGACGAGGTGTTGACCGAAAGGTTTTCTGCCGTTGACGACTTAGTCTCTCGAGTGCTAGGTGGCGGAGTGGCAAATAGGTACGAAACCCGATTAAAACCGACCGTCAAGTGGCTCACAAACAGACAACCGGACGCATTATCAGCGTTTTTTCTCCATGCCGCGCGGTGGGATCGCGCACAAGCGGCGAAGACGGAAACGACGTCCCTCGAAGCACCGATCCAGTCAGCAGCCGAGGCCGAAGCCTTCGTGCGAGATACCTGCTCAGAACTCCTGAAGCGAGGCAAGCGCTTCTGCAACAAGGAGCTCGAAATTACTCATAAACAGCTCATCCGCGAGCAGCGCCAGTTCGGCGGCAAGAAGTTCGCGCCGCTCGTCGTCGACGCCATCGCCGAGGACAAGGCTCGGGCCGTGGCGATTCTTCAAGAAAGACGACTGAAGCGGGAAGAGCGCGAGCGGGAGATGCGCGTGCTCTACGAGTCGTCCACGATGGTCTGATGCGCGGGATAGCGCACGACCTAAAATTTGAGTGTTCATATTTTTTTCGTTCGTCGGAGCCCTGTCGATCGATACCCAGTACACCGCCGCCGTGCCCGATTTTCGAGCACCCACCCGCCCTCCCCTAGGGGGGTTCTGGTTAGCACGCCCTTCACGGGTCCGTGCGACGGGCGAGCAAGCAAGCAATAATGGCATCTTCGATGAACTCATCTCCGAGCACAGTAAAAGCTACTAGCCCGCGGCGGAGAGCCGAATCCGTGATCGCCTCGACGCCCCGCGACGCCGCTTCGACTTCTTCGACGTCGACGCCGCTGCCCATTCGACGCCGCTGCCCCTTCTGCCCATTGACACATCGAAACCTGGCGCTGCTTTGAGGCTACCACTGGAGCTTCCAGCTTCTGCCACTGGCACAATGGTGCTCCCCGACAAGATACGGGTCGCCGCGAGGGCCGGCTACGTCGACATCGTATCAAAATGGCTCGACGCCGACGCGGCGCACGACGTCAACGACGTGGCTGCGGCGGCTGATGACCCGCGGGTCCGAGGCTGCGGCTTGTTGTTTTCGGCGCTCCAGTACCCCATGCCCGGGCACGACGGCGAAAGCGCGGAGGCGATGGTGAGCTACCTGGTGGCCCGGGGCGCGGACGTCCGGCATCGCCCGCGCGGCACGGGGCCCACGCCGCTCCACATGGCGTGCAGCCGGGCGTTGACCGGGGCGGTCCGCGACTTAGTGCGGGCGGGCGCGGACGTGAACGCGCCGTTCCTCCTCTCCCCGCTCTCCACCCCCTCTGTCCACGATTTTCTCATCCCTCCGCTCTCGATGCTGTTCAACGATTTTCTTCTGGAACTCGCGCATGGTGATAGCGACGATCGCACGACCGGCGAAGTGCAGGAAGACATGTACGCGTGCATGTTGGAACTGCTGCGCGCCGGCGCGGCCATTGACTTCTTCCATCTTGCCGAGGGCGCTGGCGACCCCACCGCGCGAGGCCTCGAGGACGCGATCATGGAGCTCATGCGATCGGAATACGCGGGCGAGGATGCGGAGGACGCACCGCGCCTCAGCCACATCTGCCCGCCTGGGGTAGAACCGGGCCAGCGGTTCCTCATCGAGGACAGCGACGGCGAGGTTTATGCTGTGGAAGTCCCGACGGGCATACGGCCGGGCATGCCGTTTCAAGCTCATCCGAAGACGCTCGACAGCTTGAATGAATGCTTGGAGGTGGCGCGGGCGGTGCGAGCGAGCATGTATCCGTCGGCGTCGTCACGCCTGACGCCCTGGCGCCAGTACCTCCTGGCCCCGCGGCTCGAACTCCTGCGGCTCAGATCGCTCGTCGGAGGTAACAGAGCCACGTCGAGGCTAAAGCGGCTGCCGTCGACCGCCGCGAGCAGCGACAGAACGCCGGCTCGGGCTGGCGGTCCTACGGCCGCGGCGACAGGGGCCCCGACCCGATGCTCCCCGTGGACCGGACGCAAGTTCGACTGCACGACGCGCGCGGGCGTCCTAGACGCCCTCGCGCAGACAAAGCCGGAGCCGGCACCGACCGGCCGCATCATCCCGCCCCCGCGCCAAAGCTACAAGCAGCGGCCCCTGTCCGTCGCCGCGATGCGCCATATCGAATGGCTGATGGCGCCTCAGACGCCCAGAGAGCTCGTCTGGAGGGTCCTGCAGTACTGGAATCCGCTGGCGTAAGAATGTATGTACCCTACCTACGCGACTCAGTGGCAGAGCACCGCGCAGACCGTCTGCAGCTGGAGGTGGTCGTTCGCGCCGTCGGCGAGGCACTTGTCCGCGGCCGCGACGGCCTCGAAGAAGGTCGCCTTCTGCGCGTCCGTGACCGCCGCGTCTTTGAGGACGATGTCGTGCAGTTCGGAGAAGCACGTCGCGGCCGAATAGCCTTCCAGGGTCAAGGAATCGATCAACCGCGACATCTCCGTCAGGTTGTTCGCCTTGACGGCGGTCCAGAGCGGCTCTATTAAGGAGGCCGGGACACCACCACTTAATTCCTCGACGTTCGGCGTCTTGTCGCCGTAGAACGTGTGGCACGACTGTAGTAACGTCACAGCTCTTCTCATGTCGCCTCCTGAACGATCTAGGATCTGATCATAGATTGTCGCATCATAATTCACGTCTTGCGCCGAAGCGATATCGAGCAGACGCTTCTGCATCGCGTCTCTTCCTAAAGGTGAGAACCTTAATTTAGCACAACGCGACACCAGGGGCTCGATGATGCGACTCACATAATTACAGATCAGGCAGAAGCGCGTCGTCGACGAGTAGACCTCCATGGTACGCCGTAGGGCGCCTTGCGCGTCCTTCGTCATGCTGTCGCACTCGTCGAGAATGATGATCTTGAAAGGAGGTGAGGGATACCCATCAAACTTTTGCGAACTCACACTGTGGGAGGCGAAGTTCTTAATTTTGTCTCGCACGATTTTTATGCCGCGCTCGTCCGAGGCGTTCATCTCCAGCACGCGATCCTTCAGTACGGAGGGGTGGTACAAGGTTCTCGCTACGGCTAAGATGGTGGAGGTCTTGCCCGTGCCCGGCGGGCCGTACATCAGCAAATGAGGCAGCTGGCCCTGGGCGATGGCGCCCCTCAGGGTTTTGGTCACTTCTTCTTGCGACGCGAGGTCGTCGATGCGCGTGGGGCGGTACTTCTCGACCCAGAGCTGCGTGCGGCCGCTCATGGTTGCTGCTGTCGCGTCGACGGCGTGCTCGATTGGCGGCTTTTGGTCACTGGCGCGCTTTTTGGCGCTGCGGGCACGGGCGCGGCGAAAGCTAAAGCGCGCGCTGGTAATATATGGGCTGTTTGGACTGCGCGAGCTGGCGCCAGATGTGGTGTCGATTGCCGGCAGATAAAAAGGCTTTAGTCTGAGGATTTGAACTAGCGTATAACGATACTAGCTAAATCCTGCTCTCAGCCAGGTGCTCAGCGCAGGCGCACCGCTGGGCGTAGAAAGCCAAGACCGGTGCTCTAAAAAACACCGCAGCGCTGCCATTGGGCGCCAGGGGCACCGCTGAGTGCGTAGTGAGCCGCAGGATGGTGCGCACGCAGCGGGCTCACGCGGCCATGCTTTTACGCCTGCCGAGCGATATGCTCCTTAAAATTGCCTCCCACGTTGTCGCGCCTGGTCTTGTCGTCGCGGCCGGCAAGAACCTGGAGGCGCGGACGGCGCTGCGCAAGGGCACCGACGCGGCCGAGCGGTCCCGGTTCGGCGGCATCGGGCTCACCATCAAAGAGGCGGAGCACCGCCTTCGCGGTCCCTACATGCTTGACGGGCCCGTAGAGGCCAAGCACCTCGAGACGCGACGGGCGGCCGGCTCGGCGCTCCTGAAGGCAATTCCCTATCCGGACGACGAGCTCGCCATAGCCTTAATCGCGTACGGCGCGGACGTCAACGCAACGCACCCGGGGATCGGATATACGCTCCTGCACACGGCCCACGAGGCGAGGAATCCGCCGCGGCTCGCTTCATTCTTGATCGCCGCCGGGGCCGGCCGACCTCGGCGCCCGCTGCAGAGCTCCAAATAGCGCGGGCTTGTCGCCGTTGACCTGGTCTATAGATTGCGGGAGCGGGACCGAACGAAGTTACGCGTTGGCGAGCTTTTTGATCGAGCAAGGCTGCGACATCGTCCAGGCCGACGCCGACTTCGCCCATCAGAGCGAACACGAATCTCTACTCGCGGCCTTGGATGACCACCCCACAACGCCTGCGAAGACACGCCTCATGGAATCTATCAGCCTTTCGCTCGAAACCGCAGAGCCAGCGCGTCGCCAAGCGGCGGCTGATGCGGCGCGGAGCCTCCCCACTCAATTTGGCCCCGATGCTGTGGGCATGCACTCAGGCTTTGATTCTGACGCGTACTCGGACTACTAATGTACTAACTATAAGCAACCCGCTACGCCCTAGTGCCGTTGTACGCTAGCTCGCCTGGTCTTTGCCCCTTTTGTAACGCGGCGCTGCGTCACTATAAATCCAGGCACAGCAGCGACGTATCTCACTTCACGCAACGCGACCAGCGCTGCGTCGAAAACGGGAGCGTTGGGCATCACTAATAGCCCAAATTCATAGCCAGTCTAAACCAGTAAATCACAGTGCTCTTAAATCATGGTGCAAACGCGCCGCGCGCGACGCGTTGCTACGGCTCCGCTGCTGCGGCTCCCGGCCGAGATTCTGCGTAAAATCGCCTCGACCAGCGTCTCGCCGGGACTCGTCGTCGCCGCCGGGCAAAACGTCGAGGCGCGGACCGCCCTACGCAAGGGCACTGACGCGGCCGAGCGATCGCGCTTCGGCGGCATCGGCGTCACCATCAAAGAGGCGGAGCAAATCCTGCGGACGAGGTACCGGGAGTACACGGACGATCGTTGGCTCGCGTCCCGCGCGGCCGCCGGGCGGGCGCTCTGCCGGGAGAACTTATTGCGCTGGGCGGACCGAGACAAGGACCAGGACCACCCCGATTTCCCGGAACGCGAAGAAGACTTGAGATGGGAATTCTCGGAGCGCGAGCCGGGCAACACGGATTCGGTCTTTTATTTCGAAGAAGTGGGCGTCTTCTTCGCGACGGGGTGGTGCAAGATGATGATCGCATACGGCGCGGATCTCGACGCGCAGAACGCGGGCGGATACACGCCGCTCCACTACCTGGCGGCGTACGCCCCTCCTATCGCGCTGGCCAGCGACCTTGCCCGACTACTTATCGGGGCGGGCAACGACATGGATGCCCGTTGCCAGCCCTACTACGAAAGCCGTGGCCCGACGCCCCTCTGCTGGTGCCTGACGGCGCACCCCTGTCAGCTTGGTGGTCCCACCGACGCCCATTACGAGCTCGCGACGTCCCTCATTGAGCAGGGGTGCGACGTGCTCCTGTCGCATCGCGGGTACCTGAGAATGGGCCGGTCCTATCCCCAAGACGACGATTGCCCCTGGCCCTATCCCGAGCCGCTGCTCCATGTCGTAAAGCGACGAGCCTTGCACCAGGCCGACCAGACGCCAGAGGTCCACGGGCGCTTCATGGCGTTCTTCCGGGAGAAGCTCGAGGCTGCCGGCCTGGAGTTGGACTCGGACGGCGAGGAGGTGGTCTCGGACTCGGACTCGGACTCGGGCTCCGCGTCGGACTAATGTACTAACTATAAGCAAACCCCGCTACTTAGACGAGCTGTAGGCCGGGAACAGGATGTTCGGGAACTTCTTGCTCACGATGACGAACTCGTCGAAGGTCACGACGCCGTCGCCGTCTTTATCGGCCTGCTGCATGATCGTGTCCGCCTTGCGCGCGACCTCGGCGTCGCACGACGCCATGTGGTTCGCCCGCAGGATGCGCGTCAGTTCGCCCTTCGTGATGACGCCGTTTCCGTCTTCGTCCTGCGCGGGGCGATTGCGTGACGGCGGACGACGTCGACGCGAAGAATCAAGGACGCTGGAGTCAAACGAAGATCATGAAGGCGAACTTGAGCTTGTCGTCCTTGCCCGCGCCCGTGAAGTTCGACAGCGCGATCATGAACTCGCGGACGTCGATCTGCCCCGATTTCTCGTAGTCGAACAATTGGAACAGCCGCTCGCCCTGCGGCGACGGGTCGCACTGCAGCACCTCGCAGAACTCCGTGTAGTCGATCATGCCGCTCTTATCTTTATCCGTGGCCTGGAAGCGCTTGTAGGCCTTTTTGATACTCTCGGGCTTCAGGTTGTTGTCGCGCGCGAATTCGTCCAATGCCGCCTTCTTGGCGTTGCGCGCAGCCACCACACTTTGTCCTGTTGGTGGTGCCGCCGATGCGGAAGCGCCGGGCGCGCCCATGCGGCCACCGCCACCAAGTCCGGCGGGCGGCTGGCGGCCGCCAGTGACCATCTCGAAGAACTCCGTAAAACTGACCTGCCCGTCGCCATCCGAGTCGATCATCCGAATCATCTCGTCCACTTCTTCATCTGTCACTTGTTCTCCTATATTAATGAGCACGTGCCTAATTTCCGCGGCCCCGACGAAGTTGTTTTTGTCGAGGTCGAACGCGGTAAACGCCTCCCAGATCTCCTCGTCCGTGAACTTGCCGTTCGGGTCGCGCGCCGGTCCGGCCTGGGCCGCTCCGACATCTTTCGCGGCTCCGGCTTCGTTGCTCATTTGAACTAAATCTGTAGACTCTTTCGTCGCGCCTTGCGCCACCAATTCTCCGCCCTCGCCCGGTCGGAAGAACGTCGCTTTGAGGTTGACCTTACCGACGGGTCGGTCGGACATATCCGTGACGTCCACATCTCCGGTAAAGGTACCGGCCGCGATCCAATCTACTATGGAAACGCGGGCGTGGCCCATGAACTTGTCGTTGCCCACCTGCTCCTTGTCGAAGACTTCTAAGAGGAGTTCTTTTTCCGTCGAGATCTCGAACGTGTGGTCGGCATTCCAAACGGGGTCCTTCCCGCCGTTCGCGTGCGGGTTCGTCGCAAACACTTGATTGCCCAGCGTGAGCTTGGCGTAGGGGTCCGCGCGGCCGTACATGGACTGGCCGGCCTTTAATGAGGAGCCTCGCACGACGTGGACCTGTGCGCGGGAACGACACTGTCACGAAACTGCCGCGGCTCCCTCACGAGACGCGTAGACTCTCGTGCGGCTGCGTCGACGACGTCGATGCGACCACGTCAAGTTCAAGTTCATTTTTCACGCCGAGTCAGCACCTGGAGCTGGCCAAATTTGGGCAAATCGGGCGCGCCCGGGACCTGCGGAGCCCCGCCGCCCGATTGCGGCGGCGGAGGCGGTCCTCGCGGCGGCGGACCCCTCGGAGGAGGTCCGCGAGGCGGGGCACCCCTCGGAGGCGCTCCGCGCGGCGCTCCGGGCGGCGGACCTCGCGGTGGCGCGCCGCGCCTGTGGGGAAATCAACCAGTGAGTCGGGTGTCGCGTCCATGGCGTGGAGAAGCCGCAAAATCTGATTTCTACACAGCGCTGTGCGGTGGCGGACCTCTTGGTACACCTCTAGGCGGCGGCCCGCGGGGCGGTGCGCCTCTCGGCGCGCCGGGCGGCGGACCTCTCGGCGGAGGGCCTCGCGGCGGCGGGCCGCGGCCCTTGCCACCTGGACCTCGGGGAGGCGGTCCTCGCCTGTGGAAATCAACCAGTAATCACGAAGTCCGGAGGTCGACGCGACGATTCAGCACGAAGATACGGGATTTTTTTTTTCTACACTGGTCTTTGCGGTGGCGCGCCCCTCGGAGGAGGTCCGCGAGGCGGCGGACCCCTCGGGGGCGGCCCGCGGGGTGGCGGGCCGCGCGGCGGTCCGCCCATGGTGTTCTACGTCGCTTGCAGCCGCCCTCTACGTCGCGGCTTGCGCCCGGCGGCTGTCCTCTACGACGCTCCGGCTGGGCGCGCCCGGCGGTCCACTAGGGCAGCGACGTAGTGGCTGTCTAGACCGGCGCACCCAGGGCTGCCCTTGACAAAGCGGCAGCCCAGCGGTTCGCAGCGAAACTCAGGCCACGGCCGGTCACTCTCCTCCAGAGACCGTACAAAGTACCCCAAGGCAGCGACAACGTCGGGGTGCGGCGTACGCGCCGAAAAACTTAGCAGCCAGCGGCTCTCCTCCAGGTTAAGCTGGCGCTGGCGCCGCCCGAAAAACAAGCGAGAGAGGCGAAATATTCGTCCCCACGGCGTGCTTGGAAAGGTGGATGGGTGCAAAGGCAGAGAATGGCGAAAACTCGCGTGTGGCAAAATGGCTCTGCCAATCTCTGCTCTGCGGCGGCGTACACCACGCCTGCTCCGCTAGCGCTGCTAGCGTGAAGACCAGGCTTTCTCCTCAACGTCGTGGTCAAGCTGCGCAAGCGTGCGTTTGCTCTAGCTCGCCCTGGAAGCCGTACACTGCCAGCCTGCTGGGCATTGCTGCCTACAGCTGCCCGAAACGATAGAAATAATGAAGACAGCCTTGGCAGTCACACTCCCGCTCTGCACGGCGATGGCGCCGCGCTTCGTAGAGGCAGGCGAAGCGATCCGCGCCGCCGGCGCGGCCACGAGCGACGCGCCGAGAGGCTACCGAATTGGTACTCGTCCAAACAGGGCCTGACCGAAGAAAACCCCACTGTCTTCGGCAGTGCGGGCCTCGGCCTCGAACAAGCCGGCGACCGGCTCGTCGCGGGAGACGACTGCGTAGCGGACATCACGTTCGCGGCATGTGCATTGGAACCAATAGAATTGGACGCAGACTTGCACGACGCCGCGGACGCGTTCCTCGCAAACGACCCTCACGCGGCGGCGGAGTCGTTCGACGCCGCGTCGGCGGCGTTCGACCAATACGCGGAGCTCCTGAGCCGCGAGGACCACGCCGACACTCATGAAGGTGCCGGCGCCACGTTAGCCCGAGCGGCATCCGCGCTGCGGGACGCGGCGAATGCACTAAGATGACGATATTTCGATTCTTAGGAACCTACATCAGCGCTCGAGCCGCGCCACGACGTCGCCCGCCGTCGCCACGCCGGACTCGAAGAAGTCCGCGAGCTCCTCGACGGACCGCGTCCGCGACTCGAGCAAGCGCGCCGCGTCGCCCAAAGCCCAGCGCGCGTTGTCCTCGTTGCTGTTCACGTCCGTGAACTGCCCGCGGCCCCGTAAGAGGGTTAAAAACGCCACGGCCTGGCGCGGGTCCGACGCTAGGAGCTTGCGGTGCTTCCTCCGTTCACACGCGACGGGCGCGCAGAGCCACACGAGTAGCGCGCGAACGCGATTCTCGTCCACGCTCCCATCCACAACAGCGGCGTTGGCCGCTTCGACAGCAGTAGGCGAAAACGCGAAGCAGGGCAACCCTAACCTATACCCCAGGTCAAAAGAGGCCGCCTCACATTCCGCCTCCCTCCTCGCGTCCCTGGCCAGTAACCGATCGACGCCGGCACCCGCCTTCTTCGCGATCTCGCCGCCCAACAAATAGGCGTCGGCGCCGAAGGCCGCCGCGTCCGCAACCAATGTGAAGGTGGCCGGCCCGGGCGCGTCGCCGCCCGTGATGGACGCCGCGACTTCGGCCAACGCGGGGAAACCCACGCAAGCGAGAGCCGCTAGAGCAGCCGCCGTCTCCGTGGCTCGATCGTCCGTCGGCAGCTCCGGACATTGTTGGAGAGAGCTCTGGAACGCTTGTGGAGAAGAGGGAGGCAGTTTTGGCGAACCCGCGGCAGACCCATAACTCCGCGCGCCGCCCGAACGCTTCGCTACCGTTAGGACAGCATCGACCCTTCGCGCGTCTTTGGTGGCTACCGCGGCGTCGACCAACGCGCCTACGACCTTCGCGGGCACCTTGCCCACGTTCGTCGCGGCCATCTCCTCGATGAGTTGCAGCGCGATATCAATATCGCGCTGCTGGCCGCTCAGCGCGGCGAGTAGTAAAGCTTCGTACTGCTGGGCTTTTGGTAAGCTCCCGAAGCGGTCCGAGGGCGACGATTGTAGGATGCATGCGCGTGGTCGTCGCGGCGGCGGCGCGACGAGGGCCGTCGTCTGCAACGCGGCGGCGAGCAGCAGTGTAGCTTGCATCCTCATTTGATGGCCTCTGGCGCGCCTTGCGCGGGCTGGCGCAGCGCGTGAACGGCTTAGCGGTCGAGTTCGGATCCGAGTGAAGCCGTGCGACGAGCGATTCTTCCCACCACTGCTTAGTTGGCGCGCACAAGGTCTGATTTTGCTGCTGCTCTCACCTCCAGCCTCTCGCAGTTTTTGGCTGCCTGATAGCTCGCCTGCATCAAAAGTCTACACGTACGCACTCCGCAGGCGGCTGACGAGCACCGGGAACTCAACTCCTGTGGCTCCCTTTGGTCGCCACCGCGCCCGGCGCGAAGCAATCAGCAAAACACGCCAGGACCTGATCTGTGGCACTGTGCCCGCCGCACCGCGCAACGTGTGAAGAAAGCCGCCTCCGCGGCCCCAGGACTCGCGCGCGGCACAGCGACGCCAAGAGCAACAATGGTCCGTCCCCCCTCGACGCCCTGGCGGTCCCTCGGCCTGTCCGCCGGAGAACTAAAGCTGGCGCACACGCTGCCGACGGGGCAGGCGTTCGGCTGGCGGAGAAATGGAGACGAGTACCATGGCGTGTTAGGTGATGCGGCCGTCGCGGTCCGCGAGCATCCGTCCACGAAATGCTGCGAGTGGCGCGCGGCCGCCGATCGCGAGGCCGAGGCGAAACGTAGGTTAGACGACTACTTCCGCGTGTCCACGTCCTTCGAGGAGTTGTATGCGGGCTGGTCGGCGTCGGACGAGCGGTTTGCCGCCGTAGCGCCCGCCGTCCGCGGCGTGCGCATCCTGAGGCAAGATCCTTTCGAGTGTCTGATTTCCTTCATTTGCAGCTCGAATAATAACATCGCGCGCATCACGCTGATGTTAACACGATTACGGGAAGCGTTCGGTACGAAGGTGGAGCTGCCGTCGCTCGATGATGGTGAATCTATCATATTACATACGTTTCCTTCTCCTGACAAGCTATGTGACATAGACGATAAGGTCCTGCGGGACCTCGGGTTCGGGTATCGGGCGCCCTACGTCATCAACACGTGCAAGACTATTGCTGAAAAGGGTCCTGGTTTTCTGGAAGGATTAAGGACGAAGACGCGGCAGGAATGTAAGGAAGCTTTACTGGAATGCAGTGGCGTGGGCCCGAAGGTCGCGGACTGCGTAGCTCTATTCTCCTTGGACCAAGCAGCGTGCATCCCCGTCGACACGCACGTCTGGCGGATCGCGCGGCGAGACTACGATGCGACCTTGGAGGACGTCGCGTCGATCACTCCAACAGTATATGAGCGCGTCGGCGACTTGTTCCGGGACCGCTTCGGTCCGACGGCGGGCTGGGCGCACGCCGTGCTGTTCGCGGCGGAGCTGCCGGCGTTTCGAAGCGCGCTGCCCGCGGCCGTTGTCGAGGAAATGGACGCGTTTCGGGACGACGAGAAGCGGGCGGCGAAGGAGGCGCGCGAGGCGCGCAAGGCCCGCGTCGCGGCGAAGAAGGGCGGGACGCCTCCAAAACCCGCCTCGAAGAAGCCCGTCCGGAAGGCGACGGTCGCGAAGCAGGCCGCGACGCCGCCGCCGGCGCCGGCGGATCCGGAAGACGACGCCGACCTGATCTGCCGGCCGAAGAAGTCGCCCGCGAAAAAGCCGTCGGCGCGGAAGCCAGCAGCCAAGCCGTCGTCGAAGCCGGCCAAGCCGGCGGCCCGGAAGCCATCGGTGGCCAAGCAGGCCGCCAAGCCGGCGAAGAAGGCGACTGCTGCGAAGAGGTCCGCGAAGCCGGCGGCCGCCGCGAAGCCGCGCGCCGCCGCGAACGCGAAAGCTCGGCGGAAGAAGAGTGCATAAGTCACAAGTTTATCTCTATATAGGGCCACGCGGCGGGCGGTGGCGTCGCCACGGCGTCCCGCGAATCCTAGTATGTCAGTCGCTAGATAATTACGGGGCGCTGCGGCACCACGTTGCGCCCTGGTTTCTAGCACCCGAGCGTAAGTTCGCGAGCAGCGCTTTGGATTTATCATCTCTACAACGTGCTTGGTCTGTGCTAGGACGGGCGAAACGCAGTTGCATCCGTAGCCTCACAAGCCAGGAGGGCAAGCAGGGCAAGGATGTGCCGCGCCCCGCCGAAGCTTGTGACAGTAAAACACGCCGTCGACGGCCCCTACGCCGCCGCGCTCCGCAGCGACGCCTACCGGCTGAGTTGCGGCACCTTTGCGGTCTTCACGGTACTCTCGCTGTTGTACAGACGCGACGAGATGAGCACGGAGGCGTTAATACATGCGTGTATTGGACCGTTGCAGTCCTACGCGTCGTACATGGGCGACGTCCATCTGTTGGGACGAGGGCACAACTACTGGCCGGATTTAGTATTGGCGCCCCTCGTGTCGTTGTGGGCGATGAAGCTCTACGGCGCGCTGCCGGCCTTCCGGCGGAGCGCGGGGTTTTCCGTGTCGTGCTTCGCGCTCGCCTTGTATCGCAACCACAAATGTAGAGCGGACGACTGGGTGCTTTTCCATATTTTCTGGCACGCGCTGCCCCTGACGTTGTACGCTGGGGGGCTGTTTGTTGATGGTCCCGACGTTTTGATAGCCAAAGGGTTATGTGGGCATTGCTGGTGCTGCAAGCCACGTCGTCGAACCGCCTCGCGCCGAAACTCCGAAGACCATGACCACGATCGCCGCTCGCCGTTTTTCGTAACAACGCCACTAGACCGGTGCTTTTTGCGCCCCCGCCATCGACGCGGCGGCACGTGTCGCGGCACCGGCGGCGCGTCCGTGGTCGTGCGCGGCGACAACAGACGTCGCGTCGACGGCGCGGAGGTCGACGCCGTCACCGCCGCAGCTGCGCCTGGGCCTTGACGACGGGCCGAGCGCGCAGAGGCGACTCCCGCGACAACTCCTCGACGGTCGCACACGTCGTAAACCCCCAGCACTCGAAGTTCACGACCTCGAAATCCGGTGCTGACGAGAGTTGCGGGTTGTTGTATGTTTCCGACGTGCCCGACGTGCCTCTTGAAAAATCCTCCTCCACCAGAAACCCGAACGACCCGCCGCCGCCCATCGCGACACTTCTATCGGAGCAGAGCGCGAAGTAGGAATATTGCCCGTCCAGCCGTACACTTCCACATTCGTGATACGTTTCTGGCGCGGGGACGACGAGAAGCCTCTCAAGAGAGATCCAGGCCTCTTGATGTCGCATTTGTTCGTTTTTCGCCACAAGAATGACTGCCCAGTCCCGTAATACTCTTCCGACGGCCGCCAGGGCATGGTCATGTAGCCGCCAAACACTTCGCCTCGCGTCGTTTGTATCGCTATGAGTGTCCGGTGGTCGAATTGACATCGGGCGTAGAAGGTCCCGGGGTCCGCGCCGTGCTGCTGGAGACTGTACAGTAGTTTGAGGTTGTAGCCTTTCAGCGTGTCCGGGAGCTTGTTCGATAGGGCCGCCGCGAGTGCGTCGTCGAGGATGTGGGACTTTGCCAGGAGTCTAGCTACAGGCGATTCGGGCGGCCGCTTCATGGGCGGGCTTCGTGGGGGCCGCGGCGGCGGCGGCGGCGGCGGCTTCGAGGAGGAAAGCGACAGCTTCGACGCTATTGATGAAGCTAGGTCGGACAATGAAGGGTGCGAGGACTTTTTCGGAGGTGGGGGCGGCGGCGGCGACGAGTCCGTCGGCTGCTGCGTCGTCGCGTCCATGTTTTCCTTGTGGCGCGGCGTCCCGCGGCTTCGATGAGTTGTCAGGGCCTCTGCTCTCTGTAGCTCGGTGGCGCCTCGGGACTGCCGGTTTGACACACCGTGCGCTCAAGCAGAGCAGTGGGCTCCTCTGCAGCGACCAATGCGTCTCAGCGGCCCGTGGTTGCCGCGGTCGGACCGCTACGCTTTTTTCGCAGTGTTAGCTAGCGGCATTAAGATACTAGCGAATCGTCTTGTTCCGGCGTTGGCCTGGTTGGGGGCCAAATGGTTGCCCTATTCCCGCGAGGACTGGCGTAGGGCAGCCCACGCACAGTCAGGGGCACGCCATCGACGCGTCGCCCCAGGGCAGCTCAAAAAAGAGCACAATAGGACAGTAACACAGAATGGCCCGCCGCGGCGGCACGGACTACGCCAAGTGGGCCGCCTTCGACGACGACGACGACGACCCCCTGGCGAAGCTCACCATCGGCAACGAACGGCGGCACCCCTCGTTGCCGAAGGTGGTCCGCAAGCTCCCCGAGGCGCCGAGCAGCGCCAGCAAGGTGGTCCCCAGGCCAAGAAGCGCCAGCAAAGGGCGCCGGGCCCCGACCGAGCCGGCAGCACCGCCGAGGGAGCTGCCGACGGTGCGCGACGCCCCGACGCCCGCCGTCGCGCCCGAGCTCGCGCCCCTCAAGGCCAAGTACTCCATTGAATTATTGTGCGACCCGAACTGACTCTGGACCTGGCCCTGTTTGAAGCGCCTCCGGAAGGCCATCGCCGCCATGGGCGCCGCGGACCGATTCGACGTATCAATCTTCCCGATGCAGGCGTATATGCACTTCAAACGAGGAGAGGACGCTCACGACCGGAGGGCGGCCTACGACGAAATTTCCAGAGCGCACGGCACGAAAGGGGATGATGTCTGGGCTCGGCTGCAGGAGGTCTACGCCGAGGAAGGCTTGACGTTGACGCGGGACGGGAAAGTGGGCAACCCCTTCGACGCCCAACGGCTACTCTGGTTCGCCGAGAAGTCAGGTAAGTCGTTGGACGTGCTGGAAGCGCTCCTCGAGGCCTGCCACGCCAAGGGCCAGCCGTTATCTGATCTTGCCGTGCTCAACGACTGCGCCTTCGCGGCTGGTTTAGCTAAAAGTGAAAGGGACGACGACATGGCGCGCTTCCTCGTGTCCCCTCGCGGAGGGTCGGACGTCGCGTTACGATTGGGCGAATGTCTTACAAGAGGGGTAGTTGCGTCGCCCGTCGTCGTGCTCGACGAAAAATTTCCCCTGGAGGGCGCGCAGCCCTACGCCGTCGTCGGCGCCGTTTTAGCGGAGCTCCTCGCGACGGGCACGAACTTCCGCGTCGTCGAGCCGTCGGGCATGGACTCATCAAAATGGCCCTAGCGGCTCCCGTGACGGTCTCTCACTTAAGGGTGTGGGGCCCGACTGCTGCTTTGGCTAGCTCATAATATGGTTTCTTGTAGTTACTAGCGTGGATAGAACGTGATGACGACCGCGCCGACAGCTGCTAACCCTGCCCCGATGCCGTCGCCGGCGTCGGGCCGGTTGCCGTCGACGGCCCAGCCCCAGGCCAGCGACAGCAAAATGAACCAGCAGCCGTAGGCCGCGTAGACGCGTCCGAAGTCCTCCGTGCCGGCCGTCTGCGGCTGGAACGTCGGCACGACGCCGTAGAGGCAGAGCATCGCGCTCCCGATGACCGCGTACCACCACGGCTTGCCCTCCCGCAGGGCCTGCCACCACATCCAACCGCCACCTGCAAATCCATCAGTCGCGTCGATGGCGTCGTGGATTTTGATTTCCGCGCGGGCGGGCGCCGATTTCGAGGACGCCGGCCGCGAGGAAGAGGGCGACGATCAAAACGTATTTTGTTGCCGGATCCATCTTTTTCGCGGGCGCGGCGACAGTGGTGTCGCTTAGGGATGAGGTGTGAAAGCGCAGGAGGCTCATGCAGGCGTGCGGCTGGGAGAGCGTGCAGAGCGCGTGGGGTAGATGGTGTTGTCTCGCGCGAAAGGCTTGCGTCTAGGCCAGAACGCGACGTCCAATGATCAAATCCAAGTCCTTGATAAGCTGCAGTGACGGTGGCAATCAGCCAGCCAGCCTCAGACTTGCAAAAACGCTGCTGCTAGTGTCTTACAACCCGCTAGCTCGGTGCTACGGCCCCGATGCGAGAACGCGCCAAATTCGGCCGTTTGCCATCTCTTTTACAGTCCAGGAGAGCCACTGTCTTGCTGCGACACGCTGCGCTAGGTTGCTGCAGTGACAGCCCTCGCACACTGAGCAGTGCTGCACTCCGCAGCTCAATCACAGCCATGCGCCGCCGCCGCATCATCGCAGTCGCACTGCTCGCCACGAGCGTAGCGCCCCTCGCGCCGCCGGCGAAACGACGCCTCAATTTCATCAACCTCACCAATGGCATCGAGGCGCTGCCCGTGCTGGACCACGCCACGAACATCTGTAGAATCCAATCATCCAGATGTGAAGCGAACGATTTTTATGGCGTCCTGCAGGACCTGGACCACAACTTATTGTTTCATTTGGCGACGGGCGCCGAGTGCCGCATCTATGACTACGGTTCGCGCGGGACGCGGTGGCCCGGCGAAACGGAGCAAAAAATACCAAGAGCGATCTGGTGGGGCTTGGTGTGGGTCCGTTATGCGCTGGAGGACGTGTGGAAGATACCTCATGATGATACACCTACTTTACGAGGCTACAACGTCGAGACTTTATTTAGGGAGAAACTGGGACGGTTACCTAAACCCATCTACAAAAAACTAAAGTACTACCGCAAGTTCTCTCCAGCAAAAGTGGATCTGGTGGGCTGCTACTTCGTCGAGGGTACCGTGAACGACGGCCGCGACGACGTTTATGCCGAGATTGTGGACGAGTGGCTCGCGGGCGCGCCTTCTGCAAGCGAGGCGCTCCCGCCGGGCTTCAACATGTATCGGGCGGCGGACTGGGCGGGCGTCGGGCGCGGGAGCTGCGCGCCGAAGGTAACGTAGTGAGGTTGTGTATTTTCTTTTGATGTGACATGCGGCGATGGCGTCGGGGGTGACGGCGTCAGCCCAGGCCTCCCGATCTACTCTCGGATACGCTAGATAATCCCGCTAGAAATCCGCAAACTTGAGCTTTCACGTTGCTCGGGCTTATCTCGCTCCGTACTCAGCTTCCAGGGCCCGCTGACCTTAGGCACAGCGTCCACAGCCTCACAGCGACCGGTGCCATAGTCTGAATTGACGCGCGCTCGTTGAAACAGCGTGTAGTGGCAATATCTTGGCCTGAGCGACACACAAAGTGCCACGCGGCCTAGACAAGGCAAGACAGCGCAAAATACCAACTGCGCGAGCAATCTCGCCGCAGTACAGGACACGCAAGCTACAAAACTCGCAAAAAACTCGGCTACCCTCAAAGATGGTGAGATCCCCAACGAAAGCCGCGGCGCGCCGCGCTCTGCGCCACCACCGCATCGGCCTTCCACCCGCCCGACGTCGTCGGCACCAGCAGCGTCATGCGGCCCGACCCGAACCCCTACGGCGGCCCGACGCCGGCGCCGCGGCCGGCGCCGCGACCGGTCGCACGACGGAGGAAAACGCAGCGCAAGATGGTCGACGTGAACCAAGCCGCGGAGGAGAGCGTCGCGCCCCGGGACAACACGCAGGATTTGCTGCGCGGCGCCGTGGCCGTCGGTTTGCTCGGCTTCGGGACCGTGGCCTGGGTCCAGGAGTTCCTCGCCACCCAGGCGCCGGGCCTGGCCGTGTCGGCGCTGTGCCTGCTGGGGGGCTGGGCGGCGCTCGTGAGCCGCGTGACGGGCGGCGTGCCCGACGACTTTTATGATAACAGTCAAAGTTAGTTCTCCTCGCGCTTGTAGACGCAGCGCTCGACGCCGTAGTGGCGGAAGACGGCCATGATCGACGAACCTCGACGGTGATGGTGCCGCGCGTAGTCGAGCGCCGTGAGCCCGTATAGATTCGGCCGCGCCGCGAGCAGCACGCGAGTTTTTTCGTCCGCGAACCTCAAAACCAGATTGCATCCTTTCACGCAGTCCCGCGAGGCGAAATAAGCCAGCGCCGAGTTCCGGTACGAGTCCATGCGCAGCAAATCGTCGACGCGCATCGTACGCAAAAGTTCCCGGAAGTTGCGCGCGCCGTCGATCGTCAGCGGCGCCGCGACGGCCGTCGCCTGCCACATCGGCGGCTCGCCGTAGCGCGGCGGCGGCGCTATGGGCCCGAAGTTTTGATTGCCTCGCATCAGGGCCGACTTCTTTTTGCGCATCGCGTCGCTCACGGACGGCTTCATCGAAGGTTGCGCCTGCGGCGTCTCCACCAATAAAGGAGAGGGCCCCTTGATTGTTTCTGTGGCCGTCCAGCTCCCGGTGATCCATCGTTCCCTCGCGCGAGGACTCGAGGCCGTCATTTTTGCGGCGTGTCGGTCCTGCAGGTTCAGCGCCTCGACGCCGACGGGCGACTCGTCCTCGAAGGACACGCTCTTCTCGAGCTCCTTCGAGGGGCGCCGGCGCGGCTTGTCGCGCTTGTCGCCGTCGCGCAGGTCGCCGCCGCGCCTGCTCCCGTCGCGCTTCACGCCGTCGCGCCGGTCGCCCTCGCGCCGCCTGCGCCGCTCGCGGCGCTCGGCGCGGTCAGTGCCGTCGCCGCGCCTACTGCGCCGATCGCGCCGGTCTTGCCGTTCCTCTTCAAGGCCCTCGTCGAACTCCTCCGGCGCCGAATCCGTGGCGCCGGGCTCCAGGCCCGCGGGGAGCCCGCAGTTGCAGAGGAGCCACTCCATCGGGTTGTTGCCGTGTGTGAGGGGCAGCAACTGGGGCAGCTACCGATGGGTTTGTGAGGGGCAGCCCCCGAGCGCTCGCTTTAAATTGTTGCACGCGTCGACGGGCGTCAGGACGGGCGTCGGGCGTCCTGAATCTGCCCGCGCGTCGCTCGTGAATAGGCTCAGCGCCGTAGGCTCAGCGCCGGCGCTGGCGGCCATGATGAGAATTAACTCTCGAGCAAAGGCAAAGGATCCTTTCGAGGGTTCCGAAGATCCATGTCTCGCGGCGGCCCACGGCTGGGCGCGCTGGTGAGGGCGGGAAGAAAACCCGCAAGGCGCGGCGCGCAAACCAGTCACTACTCTTCTTACACAATCTCTGCAGTGATGCCGGCGGTCGGGACGACGGAGGGAAGATCGCCATTGATCCGGGCCGCCGCGGCTTCCGCTTGCTCGATCGTGGCGAATTCTACAGTGACGCGCCCGCGCCGCGGCGCCGGCGTCCGTCCGGGGAGATAGACGGTGGGGTCCTTGTTGTGGCAGAGGTCCTTCACGTACTTCCAATCCCAGGACGACGGGATGCCTTTGAGGAGAAGTGAGGCCGGCCCGCCGCGGGGCTTTTTGCTCGGCGCGGCCATGTCGACGCCCGGCGGCGCCTCGTCCACGACCGAGGCGACCGCTCCGGCGACCTCGCGATTGATGCGCTCGACCGCCGCGGCCGCGTGCGCGGGCGTTGAAAACGGAACGTAGCAGACGCCTCCCCACCCCGTCGCCGCCGTCAGGCCCAGCACCGACGTCGAAGGGCAACCGGCGACCTTCACGAGGGTCGGCTTGGCCTCCTCGTCCTCCGCTTTGCGTTTGCTGGTGGCCTCTGTCTTCACCATAATCGATTGCTGGGTCACTCTAAAATTTTCAAACCTTGTCTCTCGCGAGGCCGCGCGGCCGTGGAAGACGGACCGCACTGGTAGCAATCAGGCACGCCCGCTACTTGGCCTCAGACTCCCAAAAAAAAACTTGCTAGTGTCTTACACCGCTAGCCCACGCTCTCTCCTCTTTTGAGAGCAGTTGAAGGCCTTGTTTGACCAGTTGAAGACCTCGTAACGTTGCAACTGTCATAATAATTCAATACGGTCGACTGCACGCCAGCTGTGCACGTTCTTGCAGCGGTTGGCTAGCGTGCACTCCACTCTCTTGCAGCCACCTGGTGACAAAAGCAGCGCGGACGGAACAATGCCGACCGCCGCCGCCGAGGGCAAGAGGCCAAAAGGAAAACACGGCGTGCACGTCGCGGCCTCGCCCACCCCGGACCGCTTCCTCTTCTCGGACCTCCCGACGCGCGAGGTGAAGGCTCTGATTCGGGCGGCGCTGCCCGCGGGCGCTCCGGTCAAACTCGTGCTCGCGGTGACGGCCAAGGGGCGGTGGCGGGGCTGGGCGAAAATCACGGCGGGCGACGAGGCGCGCGCGGCCGCGGCGGTCGCCGCGCTGGACGGCGCGGTCGTGAAGGGGGTGTCGCTGCGCGCGTCGCGCGGGCTCGGGCGGCGCGACAATATCTTCCCGTTCCTTGACCGCGGCCTGCGGGAAAGCTTCGAACTCGACTCGACAGCCGCGTACTCCGCCATGGATGAGCACACCACGGCGCTGCTGGCGTCCTTCCTGGCGGTCGTCTACGCAGGGGAGGACCTGGCAACGCTCGCCATAACGGACGCGTGCGCCTGCACCGGCGCGTGCGCCGTGGTCCTGGCGAGGCATTTCAGAGCCGTCGACGCCGTGGAGCTCGACGCGGGCCGCTGCGCGGCGCTCCGCAAGAACGTTGTGCTGTGCGGCGCGGACGTGACGGTCCACCACGGTGACTACAACGCGCTCTATGACACGCTGCGCCAGGACATCGTTTTTCTTGACGTGCCGTGGGGAGGTCCGGACTACGTGGAGGCGGAAGGGTCGGCCTGCGACGCGCTCGGCGACGTTCCCCTCGTCGACGTGGTCTTGAGGCTCCGCCGGCGCGCGTCTGCCGTGGCGCTGCGGCTGCCGACGAAGGGCCGCTTCGACGTCGACGCCTTCGCCGCGGCGCTCGTCGCCGATAGCGCATGGGCGGACGCGGAGGAGCGGTGCCTGCCGTTCCGGATCACGACGCACCTCGCGCACCTAATTGTCGTCTGCATGCCCGGCCCGCGCTTCGGCCTCCGGACGCTCGACGCGACGATGGCGGCGGCGCGCGCGTGGGACGAGCGCTGGCGCCAGGACCTACGGCCCGCCTTCTACGACTACGAGGCGAAACGGTGGATCAGAGCGAGCCGGTGGATCCCGGCGCGCGCGAGGAGGAGCCGACCGGCGGAAGACGACGCTCCGACGGCCTCGGATGTGTAAGAATAATGTGCATCTGACCTCCTCTAACTTCGCCCGATCACAAGCTGAAGCCGCAAAAGCAGAGGGCGGTGTTATGTTCAGGTCTGTTACTCACGGGGGATTGCAGCACGTCATTGTTCACGCCCAGCCGCTGCAAGGGATGGAAGGGGATGGCGTCGCGGCGACCAGGCAACTGCCGCGCGTCCGCCAGATATATAGGAGGGGGCCGAGCTCGTCGTCGATGCCCGGGATCGACGCCGTTCGTCCGCGGCGTCGTCGGTTGATGAGCGCGTAGTCCGCCTCGACCTCACTGATCCGCAGCGAAATGATGACCGAAAGTATATTCAGTTCCGTCCTCCGGCTCAGTGTCAACCTTATGGCCGTGGCCGTGAGCCGAATACTTGGGATCAGCACCAGAAGCGAAGAAATACATAACCTCTTCGCCGGAGCCGGAGCCGGAGCCGCTAGCCGGGTGGCCACCCGAGCGTAACTCGAGGGGAGTCGTCTCGTTCATGACCGCGCCCCGCACGACGTAGCCCGCGACGAGGCCGAGAACGGCGGCGACGACGACCGCGAGGCGCCAGGCGGACGAGGACTTGGCCGGCGCGGGCTTGTTGAGGATGGGGGCTTCTTCGTCGGCCATGGCCTGCGAGGCGGATCCGGGGTGGACGACTTCCGGGGCGCGCGCGGCGGCCGAGGCGGCGTCTCGCGCGTGCGCGCGGGCGCGCGGCCGGAACGGGCCCGAGCGCGGGTCGCGGGCGCGGGCGCGGCCGTCGCGCGGGCCGGCTGGCGGCCGGGGTCTTGCCGGCGCGCGGGCCGCCAGGCCGCGCCGCCCGGCGCCCGCGCGCGCGGCGGCCGCGCGCGCGACGATCTCAAGGATTCCAGGCCCGGTTTCGCTTCCAGGGCCGCGCGGGGCTCCGGGGGCCGCCTTTGGCGCCCAAGGCGCCGCCGCGCCGCGGGCATTCCTTTGATCAATAGTGCAACACCTATTTTGGGCCTCGGGGCGCGGCGCGCGGCCGCAGATTCGCGCGGACAGTGGTCGGTCGCGGCGCGGAGGCGAGGGAAAGGCGAGGGGACTCGGCCGTGCGCGCTAGGAGTTGACGATATTGTCAGGTTTGTGCACGCTTGCGAGCAAGGAAGCGAGTTGGAAAGGTGTGGTCGTGAACCGGAGACTGCCCTGGGATGAACATGGGAGAACTCCACGCGATGCGCTGCAAAAAATATTGGCTACGTCCTCGCGCGAGGTTACGCGCCGTAACAGCTTGACGATAGTCAAAGAAGAGGCACACAAAGATCTTCTTAAAACAACCGAATCGCATTCTTCTTCCGCGCGCGCGGCGCCGGCGACGCCGGCGCTGGGCTCGACGCCGCCTCCTCGGCCGCGAATTGATCCGCGAGCTGGCGCGCGAGGGCCTCGTCGGCCAGCTGCTGGGCCAGGGCCGCGTCCTCCGGCGCAGCCGGAGGCGGAGCGTCGTCCTGCGCCAGGGCGCGCGCGAGCGCCTCGTCGCGCGACATGTCGGCGCTCATGTCGGCGCGCGACGCGGCCAGCGCCCGCGCCAGGTCGGCGTCCTCCTCCTCCGGCGCGTCGTCGAACGGGTTCGGCGCCAGTTGTGGCAGCGGCGGCACGGGCGGCACGGGCGGCGCGGCGGGTGGCACTGGCGTTGCGGGCGGCGCGGGCGAGACCGGCAGCGACGAGTAGTTTGGTGGCGCCGGCGGCGCCCGCTCGCGCTCCGACTCGGGGTTCGGTCGCGACGGCACATGCTCGGGGGGCCGCATGAGCGAGTCCCAGGCCGGCGGCGGCGGTAACGCGGGCTCCTCGACGGCGTGGTCCGGGCCGCCGGGCTCCTGGCTCCAGACCGACGAGGCCTCGGACTCGTACGCGGCGTCGTCCTCTTCTTCCCGCGGCTCCTCGGGCGCCTCGGCGACGGGCTCCAGCGGCGGGGCGAGCGCAGAGTAGCTGGGTGGCGCGGGCGCCGGCTGCGGCGCCGCCAGCGCGAAGTAGGCCGGCGGCGGCGGTAACGCGGGCTCCTCCACGGTCGCCGCCTCATCGACTGGGAGCGGCTCCTGCGACCACTCGGAGCTCGAGTCGGAGTCGCCTTCGAAGGGGTTGGGCGCGGCTTCGTCCGCCTCGGCCGCGGGCGACTGCGGCGGCGGCGCCAGCGTAAAGTACGCCGGCGGCGGCGGCAGCGCGGCCTCGTCGTAGGCGGGCGGGGCCGTGGCCGCCGGCAGCGGCTCCTGGGAGAACTCGCTCGACGCGTCGGACGCGTACTCCGGCTCTGACTCCTCGGGCTCCGGCGCGGCCGGTAGTGGCGGCGTCGATTCCGCGGGCGGCGGCGCGGAGGCCGGCGGCGGTGGCGCTTGCGGCGGTGGCGTAGGTGCTGGCTCCGGCGGCGGCGTAGGTACTGGCTCTGGCGGCGCGGGCGGCGCGGGCGCGGCCGCGGGCGGCGCCTCGGTGGCCCCGCCGCCGGCCATCTCGAGCTCGAGCTGGCGCAGCTCCGCCTGCAGGTCCTCGCCGAACTCGGAGTCGAGCGTGCTCCGGCGGCTCGACGGCGCGGGCGACGGCGCCTGCGGCGCCGGCGCCGGGGCCGCGGGCGCCGGCGCGGCGGCCGCGGCGGCCGCGGCCGCGGCCGCGCGGGCCGCGCGGCGGCGCTGCAGCGCGGCCTCGAGGGCCGCCTCGGTCAGCTCCACGGGAGGCGCCGGCGCCGGCGCGGGCTCGGCCGCCGGCTCTGGCTCGGGCGCGGGCTCGGGCGTCGGTGGCTCGGGCGCCGTTGCTTCGGGCGCGGGCGTTTCTGTGGGATTCGCCTCAGCCTCCAGACCCGCCAGTGCATCGGCAGCATCAGCCTCCAATTGGCGTCGCGCGGCATCGGCGGACGTAGGCTCGTCCTCCGGGACCGCGGGCGCGGGCGGGACCGACGCCTCGTCGAGCGCGTCCGACGCGGCGACGCGCTGGAGCGACGACGACCGCGGCAGCTCGGGCAGCGGTCCCACGGAGAGCGCCTCGACGGCCGCCGCCGCGTCGTAGCCGTCGGGCACGCCGTCGGGCACGGGCGTCGCCTCGACGGCGCCCAGCGACGCCGCGGCGACCGCCCGCAAGCGCCGCTGGTCCTCCTCCGCGAGCGACCGCCGCGACGCGGCCAGCGCCGCCGCGAGGGCCTCGTCCTCTTCCTCGTCGTCCTCCTCGTCGTCCTCCTCCTCCTCCGCGTCGCCGGCCTCCTCCTCCGCGTCCGAGTCCACTTCGAGCTCCACTTCCGGCGGCTCCGCCTCGTCCTCCTCGTCCGCCGGCGCCTCGCCCCGCAGCGCCGCGAGCGCCCGTAGGAAGCGCGCGCGCGCCAGCGCCGGCCACGTGTCCAGCGACAGGACGTCCTCCGCGTCGGGTGTCGCCGCCAGGTCGTCGAGGCCGTCGCACGCCCGCAGCACGAACACCCGCCGCGCCTCGTCCGACACGTGCTCGTGCAGCCACGTCAACAGCGCCGCTCGCTGGGGCGCCGCCGGCGCCTCCGGGGGCGCGTCGAAGTAGCCCGGGCGAAAGCCGATGGTGGAGGCGGTCTCCAGCAGGACGCGGATGGGGTCGCACGTCGGCGCGGCATCCTCCAGTGGAATGAGGCGCCCCGCGAGCGCCGGGCGCAGCGCCGCCCTGTTGTCGCTTGCGACGGCCGCGCGCGCGAGCGCGGCGAGCACGACGGCCGCGCAGGGCCGCGCCAGGTGCGGCAGGACGGCCTCGTCCAGGATCGTGCCCAGCAAGCCCTCGTCGCTGATCGTCTGGGCGTCGACGACCTGGGCGAGCGCGCGCGCCGCGGCCCCCTCACCGACGCAATGCGCCTCGTCCTTGTAGAGGCGCACGAGGCGCGCGAGCCGACGGACCAACTCCGGCGACGCGACGAGCGCGCCGCGCGCGGCCATGCGGTAGGCCGCCTCGCAGAGGTGCGTGAGACGCTCGATGCTATCTTCGTCCAGCTCGCCCGCCTCCTCGGCTGGAGGCGGCGGCGCCTCGTCGTCGCTCGACTCGCGCGCTTCGGCGGCGGGCGGATCGGCGGCCTCGGCCTCGGCCTCGGACTCGCTGGACGCGCCGGATTCCGCGGCCGGCGGCACGTACAACTTCGTGCCGTCGGCCATGACGAGCTCGTCGATGTACGACGTGACGAACTCCTCCGGGTCGCTCCCTTGGACCGCCACCTCGCAGATGCCGTCCTGGATGCACGCGACGACGCCGTAGCCGCCACCCTGCTGCATGGGAATGACCACCTTCTTGCCGATGACCTGCGCCAGGTGCGGCGGCAGCTCGTCTAAGGAGACGGAGACGTCGTCCTGGACCAGCGGCGGGCTCGCGGGCAGCGTGACGGCGACGAGCGCCGCCGCGACGGCGGGGCCGAGCGCGTCGCCCGGCGCCGCGCAGAACGCCAGCGCCGCCGCGCACCGCGCCGCCGCGCCAGCGACCGGTCGTCCTCCAACCGCCTCACAACTTCGTCCACGACCGCCGCCCTTGAATAAACGCGCCCGCGCGCGCCGCGCCGCCGCCAGCAGCGCAAAGCACCCGAGCGCCGCGTCACTCTCGTCGCCGAGGCGCGCTTCTAGAGCGGCGTCCACGTCCGTCGTAACGGTCCGGCGCGCACTTGTACCGAAGGTCAAGATGGCTTCGAGCGCGCAGAGGGCCGCCGCCTCCTTGGAGACGCTCGGTCGCTGCGCGTGCGCCGCGGCCCGGTCCAGCGCTTCGGCGTGGCAGGCCCCCGCCGCCGTGGCCGCGGCCCGCGCGATCACGTCGTCGCCGCACGCGCGGACGCCCGCCGCCCGCGTCGATTCGTCTGATGACGTGAGCGCGCGGCACCGCGACCGCGCGAGTACGGGGCCCAGATCCGTGAGCAAACCGCGCGCGTCCAGCGCCGCGAGCGCCGCGACGGCGTCGGGGCCGGCCGCCTCCGCGAGCGCCCGCGCCGCGGCGGCGACGGCCTCGAACGGAAAGGCGCGGCACGCCTCGGCGAACGCGTCCTTTTCTAGGCCGGCGACGATGGCCCGCGACGCGCGCGCGACGCACGCCGACGTCCGGTCACCCATGACGAGCGGGGCCAGCGCGCGCGGGTCCTCTGCGCAGGCGGTCCAGAACGCGTCGCAGCCGTCGGCTTCGGCCGCGGCCTCGGCCAGGATGTACGCGGCGTCGTCGCCAGAAGCGCAGCGCCGGGCGAGCGCCGCCGGCGCGCCTTCCGCCGCGGCCGCGGCCGCCTCCACGACCTCGTCGGCCGCCCGAGGGCCAGAAGCGGCGCGGCACCGCTCGAAGGCCAGCAGCGCGTCGTCGGCCGCGTTCAGCTCAAAGGCCGCGGCGATCGCGGCCCCCAGCAGGCTGCCCGTCGCCGCCACGGCGAGCGGCTCCGCCTCCGCCAACTCCGCGACGGCGCGGATCGAATCCCAGGCCGGGTGCACGGATGCGTGGCGCACGAGTGCCGCGACGGCGCCGGGCGCCGCCGCGAGGCGCGCCGCCCCCCCGCCCGACGCGACGAGCTTGAGCACGTCGCCCCCCAGGCGCGCGACCTCGCGGTCCCCCCAGGCGCTGCCTCCCGGGAGATTCGGGTCGAGAACGGAGGCGATGCTAGCGAGGCACTCCGGGCCGATCAAGTTCGTAGAGACGCTTGCGCACATCAACAACACGTTCTCAGTATGTTCCGTGCCCAGAAATGTTCCGCAGGCCGCGTCCAGCGCGCCCGAGAGGTGCGCGTCGTGCGCGTCGGTTTCCGACCGGCGCGCGACGACGTGTAGTAATGCGAGGGCCGCCTCCTTGCAGCGCCGCGCGTCGACGGACCACGCGCCGACGAGTGACTGAGACGAAGACATGGGCGGCGGGCCCACGGCGCCCGGCGCCGCATCTTCAATAACCCTCCGCTTCCGCGTCCGCGGCGCGACGGGCCGCAGGAGCCATTTTAAGGACGCGCAGGCTCCCGACGGGCTCCACTCGTGATACGCTCCCGCGACCGCGGCCAGGCACCCGCACGCCGCCGCCGCGACGGCGCCGCCCCGCGCGCCGCCCACCAACGCGACGACGCGCGGCAGGGACCCCTCGACGACCGTGGCCTCTGCAATGCGGGCGTTCCCGCGGCACAAGGCCGCAAGCGCCCGCAGCGCAGCAATACGCACGAACTGGTCCTCGGTGTCTCGCCGCGCCGCGGCCTCGCCGGCACCGAACGCCAGGTCGTCGCCCGTCGCCAGCTCGAGCAATCGAGACAAGGCCGACCCCGGGACAACCACAGATTCCTCCTCATCTATCATAGTACCGCCGTCGACGTACGACGGCTGGGTCGACGCGGAGAGGACGCGCGGCGCGTCCCGCACGAGAGGTATGTCTTCTGATTCCTCGGCGTCGGCGAGCGGGACGCGCGACGCCGCCTCGTCCCGCGAGACCGTGGGGTCCTCGTCGTCGGGCGTCCACGAAGCTAATGACTGGACGCGGCCCGGCTCGACGGCGACGGCGTGGGCCGTCGCCGTGCGCACGTCCATGCACCTCTGGTAGATGATTTCTCGCGGTTCTGCCCTTTCAATAATTTTACACGCGACGGCGGCGCCTTCACTGGTATAGAGGAGCTCCGCTATACATTTCTTGAGGAAGGGTTCTGGTAGTTCCAGAGCGTCGCCTTCTTCTTCCCTTTTTGGAGGAGCTTCGTCGCAATTCTCGGAACGGCGCCGCAACGACAGCCGGAGCGGAAAGCCCAGGCCCGCGAAGAAGGTCGATAGGGCATCCTCCTCGTCACTCTCAAAAGGCGGGGCGTAGCCGTTCGCGGCCTCCACAACATCATTCACCAGCACGCCCGCATGTGCCGCGCGGGACCCCTCTTTGACCGAGGCGACGCGGCAGCACCTCACCCCCTGATCGCACCGGTGCACCTCCACGACGCATCCCAACGGTCCTTCTTCTAACATAACATTGAGGGAAGATGCGTTCCTTCTCTGTATAACATCGCCCCAAAAAAAGTGCTCGTCGTCCGTCGGGAACGCGCCAGCCACGCCGGCGTCGTCATCATGGTCAGCATCATGCGGAAGGCAGGCCGCGACCAGCCTAGCAGCTGCTAAATGGTCCATCTGCGCCGCCACTGACACAGCTCTCTCCCGTAAATCAGGAGACAGCTCCCTCGCTAAAGCCGCGCACGCGTCGCAACTCAACCTAGATTGTTCTTCTTCCAATCTTCGCACACATGCTTCACCGACCCCGGCCTCCGTCAATGTACGTCTCGCCTCGGAAGCTGATGCTGATACTCGCTTATAAGGTGCTTCGACCGCCCGTCTCCTCAGAAACACCAACCGCTTCGGCCACGGCGCATCTCTGACGGCCGCACACGCCGCGACCATGGCCTCCCTCACTATTTGAGAAGATGCGTCCTTCTCTATTGAGTACTCGACCCTTCTACCGTTCACCTCGACCAGCAAATCGCCTCTCTCAACACCTTGGCGCCGCGTAAAACTATTGGCGCGGTGCACGGACGGCGCCACACCACCGTCAGACCAGGGCCCCGCCGCCAATTCTAGACCCAGTCCCCTCGCTCCTCCTCCTTCAAACACAACAGCGTACGCCTCTCCCTCTACTTGAGGAGGCGTGTCGCCCTCGTCGGACGACCACGCCGCTCGTTCTGCGTCGTCGTCGGACGACGCGTCGTCGCCACCGCCTTCCGTCTCTAATGAAAGCGGCGGCTCGCTCAGCGCCGCATCGTCTCCGATAAGTGCTACGACCGCCAGGACGTGATCCCCCTGTCCTTGGAGCGCCTTCGCAAGCGCCGGCGCCAACGACGCGTCGTCGACGAGCGCCGTCCGCGCCTTCTTGCGCGACGCCCGTGTTAACGCAACACACAAAGCCGCGGCGCCCTCGGCGCCCGCCTCCAGCAACCGGGTGACGCGCGTCCAACAAAGGCGCGCGAAGGCTGCGTCGCCTCGTTGTGCGAGACTTCGCCTCCGGTGGAGCGTTGCTGCCAGATGTTGCAGACCGGTGTAGGGGACGTTCCTCGTTTAATAAACCAGCGAGGGCAAACAAAGCGCGGCGCGCGCGCAGGCGCAGCGCGCGGCGCGGCCGACCGATGTTGGAGACGATATAATTGCCTCGAGCGCGACGCACGCATCGCGCGCGGCGGCGCCGTCGTCGCGGCGGCTCGCGCGCCGCGCGCCGCCGCAGAGCGCGACGGCGCAGTCCGCCGCGACCTCCTCCTCTATCAAGTCGACGACGTGCGCCGCGGCTCCAAAGGCCGCGCGCGCCACCCTTGAATCGTCGGCCGCGCAGGCTCGAGCCGCGGCTTGAGCGCCCTCCCGGAGCCAGACGAGCGCGGGCCGCCGCCCGCGCGCGAGGGTCACCATGTCCTCGTGGAAGGGCACGCGCCGCGCTGTCATCAGCGCCCGGCCGACGGCCGCCAGCGCCTCGGCTCGATCGGTGTCGCCCTCGCGCAGTTTAATAGCGAGGGCGCCGCACGCTACAGGAGGAGGCGCTATACAGCCCGCCAGCACGAGCTCCGCGAGCCACTTATCACGGGTAGACGCCGCCGCCGCCGCGGGACCGCAAAAGCCCAGATCTAGCGGTGGCGTCGCCTCGACGCGGATGCGAAACGCGGGCCGCCCGCCGGGAGCGGCCTGGAGCGGCGTCGTCGCCAGGGCGCCGGTCTTCTCCGCGATTGAGATGGACAGATTGCTCAGCTGGAGCTCTCTCACCAATGTCGTCTTTTCCGTCAGCTGCAAACAGGCCTCCGCGGCGCCGTCGCCCCGCGTCACAATCGCAGAGCAGCGGCGCCAGCCCAGGCGCGCGTTATCGCGCCGCGCGTGGACCTCTCCACTAAACGCGGTGCCCGGGAGGGCGGCCAAAGCCGTCACATCGGGCCAGCTCTCTCTACTGGCATCCGAGGCGGCGTCGTCGTCGACTTCCGTGGGCGTGTCCTTGAGCGGCACCTCGGCGGCCGTGGGCGTGTCCGGGACGTCCATGCTTTGGTGGAGTGCGCCTTCGGGTCTCTGTTGTGCACAGCTCTCCTACGCGGCCCAAGACTTCGCAGTTGTTATGGCGTGGTGTACGATAAAAAGTGATGAATTATCGACGTAATTCGTAACTCGGCTGTGTGCGTGTGAGGCAGCACAGCGGCCTGAAGAGCTTTGCTCCAAGGAGAGCGCTAGTGTGTCGATATGCTAGCTCTGTGCTACGTTTTTCCCTTACTACCCCCGGAAAGACGCCTCTTGTCATCCTCTTCGACCGGCGTCGCGACGACGGCGCGCCGAGAAAGCCGCCGCCGCCAGAACGGCCGCGACCGCGCGGCGCCGAGCAGCGACACCTCCCTATCACTGGTCTCGTACCGCTCCCGCGCCTCCTGGGCGGTCAGCACGTAGCCCGTCGCGCGCCGGACCGCCGTCGCCGCGCGACCCCAGTGCACGTCCGCGAACTTGTGGCGCTGCGCCGCGACCTCGGTGCGCAGCACGGCCTCGGCCTCGTCGGACCACGCTGTCGAAGCCTCGGGGGGGCGGGCGCTCTCGTCAGGCGTCGCGAGCCCCGGTGGCGGCGGGGGGCTGCAGAGCCAGTCGTCGCCGAGGTCCTTGGTCATCTGGTCCTCAATACCATTACATGCCAGCCGCGTGGCGACGGCAGCGGCAGCCGTAGCCATGAGTTATCTTCGTCGGAGTGCTTCTTGCGTCCACTCGTGCGATTCGCGAGCAGTGGTGCCGGGCAGGGGCAGCCTTTTTTTGGTCTTTTTACCACCCAGCTGCTCGTCCCTCGCAAGGATTGTGGCGCGAGAAGGAAGCTATCCGAGCTTCCTGCTGAGCGACGATAGGGCCACGCTGGGTCCTCTTTAGGAGCCGGACGCTGCGCAATGAGCTAGCGGCCGGTAAGACACTAGAAAATGCGAAGGGTCACGTGCGGGAATCAGCCGCCGGTGCAGCCAGAAATAGCAATCAAGATGAGCGACGACTCACCCCAAGCACCGCCGCGGCGCAGCACGAGTGATACCGAGGGCAGCCCTCCACCCTCCCCAGTGGCCATGCCAGAGAGTAGCACCAGCCAGCCGGAAATGGCGACCGTCGACCTCGAGGCGGCGCCAACCACGACCGCCGCGCCGCCGACGCAGCCGTTGCCGCCGCCGCCGCGGCAGCCGTCGCCTCGGAGAACGGATCGTCAATCTATGGCCATCGACGCGCCGCCTCCAGAAAACGGAACTAGCCCGAGCCTGGCCTCTCCGCAAGCAGCCCCCGAGATGACCGTGGATCAGGACGAGGGCGACGTCTACGGCGGCTTCCGAAGGCGTTTTAAACTGAAAAAGTCGCGGTCCGCGGAGCCCTGGTCGACGACACGGAAGCCGCGCTTACCTGCAATAAAACGTAGAATCGCCTCGGCGTGGGCGCACAATTATTTTTGGTTGTTTCTCGTCGTACTCGCCGTAATCACATCCATTTCAGCTTTCGTCATGGACGAAACGGCCGCGAACCTGAGGAAAGGACTGGTCAATGGTGTGTTAAGAACAGGAGGGTCCCAGAAGGACTACGGTGTTATTCTATACATTTTCCTGCGAGTATGTATCACGTTAATCGCCGTCGAGCTCACGAAAAGAATCGCCCCAATTGCCGCGGGAAGTGGCATTCCGGAAGTCAAGTCGATCCTCGCAGGGTTCTCGATACCGGGCTTCTTGGAACCGAGGACGTTAGTGGCCAAAGTGCTTGGCGTTGTGCTTTTATTGGGCGCGGGCCTACCCATCGGCAAGGAGGGGCCTTTCATCCATACCGCAGCTATTTTAGCCGAATTACTGATGCGCGTGCCCTTCTTCGCGAGGCACACCAACGAATTGTTCAGGAACCAGATGCTGTCCGCGGCGGCCGCTGTTGGTGTCTCTGCTGCGTTTGGCGCGCCCATCGGCGGCATTTTGTTTTCTATCGAGGCGACGGCGAACTATTACGCTACTTCTCATTACTGGGGCGCGTTCCTATGCGCGACGGTCGGGGCGTTCACGTCGCGGGAGTTGGCGTTCAAGTCCTACGGGGCGTTCTCGCCGCACTTTGATACGGTGTCCTATAAGCACTGGGAGGTCTGGATCTTCCTACTGTTATCAGCGGTGTGTGGCATCCTGGGAGGCTTCTTCGTGACATTATTTACAGCTTTCGTGGGGCTGCGGCGGCGGTGTGCCGCTCTGAAGATGAAGGGTTTATCCGCGATCCCGAAAATAGTTCTAGGCACGAACCTCGGCTTCTCGGCGCTGGTGGCTCTGACCAGTGGCCTCTTCGCGTGCTGGATCGGCGACTTCGCGCTGCTGGGGACGCGCGAGGTCATGGACGACCTCTTCTCGGAATTTCCGCTGCGCGAGGACGCGAACCCGAAACTGCACCAGCGGTCGAGGTGGGACGAGCGCGACGGTGGTGTTGGGGCTTCTCTATGTCTGTTCATTGTCTTCACGTTCTTCTTCTCGACGCTGTGTATTGGCCTTCCCGTGTCGAACGGCCTCGTGACGCCGTCGTTCGCGATCGGCGCCGGGATCGGAAGATTGGTGGGCGAAGCCTTGAGGACATTAACGACGTCCGTCACGGGAGAATGTCCGTTGTCCCCCGCCGGCGGCTACGCCATCGTCGGCGCCGCCGCGTTCAGCGTTTCTGTCACGGGCAAGCTGTCCATCGGCGTCGTCATCTCGGAGCTCACGGGCCAGTTGTCCTACTCGATACCCGTGCTGTTCGCGTGCGTCGTCGGGTTGGGCGCCGGTCAGTTAGTAGAAATTGACATCTACGCCATGATCGCCCGACTCAAAGCCCTGCCCCACTGGCCGGCGATCCATGCCGCGGCAAACTTCTCGAAGACAGTAAGCGATGTGGTCGAGTGCACAAAGGCCTACGAGGAGCCTTGTTTGGCTCTCGTGGACGACCACCCGCCGGCAAACGTCCAGGACACGCTGAACAGCGCGACGCACGTCGTGATTCCCGTGGTCCGGAACGGGGTCTTCGTCGGCGTCATGCGCGTCGCCGATCTAGCGAGTGCGATGGAAGGTGACTTTACCGCTGCTATTGATGATGCCTGGCCGCGGTGCGCGCCGTCGGCGACGCTGTCGCATTTGTGCTTCCTGTTCGACTTGCACCACAAGGACCGGGTCTTTGTTGTCTCTGGTGGTGGGCGGCTCGTGGGTCACGTGGACGCGTCGGAGGTTGGACAGGCTCTGGCCGCGAAGATGCCAGCACAAGAGACGTGCCCAACCGATGCGCGCGACGGCGGCGGCGTACTGGCGGGGGCGGCGCGCGCAGCTCTCGGTGCAAGGTTCGGGGGCCGTTTAGTAATCTTCAAGTTTAGTTATTGACACAATACACTGTACACATCGCCGCGGCGACGGGCGTCGGCGCCTGGTCGCCGCCCGCACGCCGTCGCCGCGCTGGCGCCGTCGCCGCGACTCGGCTTTCGGGCTAGCCGCCGGCGAAGCACGGGGCCCCGCGCTCCGTTATTGTGAAATACGCGTCGACGGCCGCCGTCGGGATGGGGGGCACCGATTCCTGGCGCCGCGGCCGTCTCAATCGTCGCGCCGACGCCGGTAACTCCTTGGCCATGACACAGCCGAGCGAGAATAGCAGGAATAGTGTCCCAGTCGTCGGCGAAGGTGCTGCCCACACGAGCACGGCAAGCGCAAACCTTACTGCAAGCATAACGCGCCGAGGGGTCCAGCCGCGCTCCGGCGCACTGCTGCTGACACTTTCAACGCGCCGCGGGGGCACCGTGCGCAGGCGATTCATCGTCATGATGGGTGTGCAGCGTGTTGCAGCGTGCAGTGTGTACGAGGAATGTCTCGAAGCTGGAGGAACTGGCGTAAGTACGTTCGTTGGGCACTGTTCGTATGCTCTGCACAAGAGCAGCGCTCCTGGACAGCAGTTATTCGGCACTGCAAAAAAGAGGCATGTCAGTGTTTTTTGTAGCTCGTCCCAACGTGAGAGGCCGCCGCGGACGTGTCCCGTCAATCGGTTCGCGCCGCGTCAGGCTTGATGACGCGCATGATGATGCGGGGTCGCTCAGAGGCGTGCGGTGATGCGACCGCGCGCGACGAGCGCCTTCTTCAGCCGCCGGCGTAGAAATTCTGTTGCTCAACGGCGTTGTTCGCCTCATTCGTCGGTCTGGGCCACGTTACGGTTGACCGGCGTCGAGGTCGGCGGCGTCGCGAGACCGGCACCGCCATCGCGGCGACGATCGCAGATGACACACAAAGCAGCGCAGCGGGGTAGCTGTTGTGCGCGACGTCTACCGCGAGCAGCAGACATGAAAATCCAATGAAATACCCCACTATTTTGTCCATAAGGAGCGGTTTTTGTTTTGTATGGCTCATAGCTCGGGATAGGCGTAACCGCTCGGGCTGAACGCGCCGGAGGACGAACATTTATATAAATGGCGGCGGGTGTCGATAGGTCGCGTGATCTATACTTATTTATTTCGCGTCCGACAGGAGCCTGGCCATGTGCGGCAGGCTCCGAGCGCCTGCTGCGCTTTTTTTTCGACAAACCCATGCACGCAGCCATCTTGGAGGAAGGCCCGTGTACGTATTCTTAACGACGTAGCAAGCAGCCATGGCGTCGTAGTGGGTTTCGCGGAGCGTCGCGGCCGCCGTTGGCCGGCGGCGGTCGCACGCCCCCGTAGTCCGGCCATTGGTTCACACAGCGGCTTCTATGCTTCGGTTCCAGCGTGAGAGGCGTGCGTGGGTAAATTCGGGTGTAGCTCATCGAGCGGGTTTTCACTGGATTTTGCCTAGGCTTCCTGTCGCCGCGCGCGGGTCCACACGCCTGCGATCGAACCGCTCTGTGAACGCGCCAAATCCGCCAGCAAGAGATCTCGGCCTGAGGTCGCCCTGGTAATAAAAAACCAGCAAGGTTGAGATCCAGCCTCCGCGGACGCGAGGCCGCGCTAGACCCGCGGCGCGAGACACATAAGGCCCGCAAGAGCCCCGGAAGACTCATCCAAGACGGCGCTACGCGGCCGCCCGAGACGGAAACGACGCGGCATCGACGCCTACCTCGCGCCGGATAAATATCACAAACCCGACGCCGCCGCGGTCAAGGACAGCCAAACGCCACCGCCGACGATGGAGATCAAGGTAGGCGAACCCACGACGCCGCCGCCGAACCTGCCGAGCCCGACGCCCTTCCCGACGCCGACGAACGTGGTCTTACCGAGCTTCGCCGAGCGCGGCGAGGACGTGGACGTGGACGACGACGGCGTAAACGAGCCCCAGCGGCCGACGCCCGTCGGCGGCCAGTCGATCTGGAACCTCTTCAGTCCCGTGAAAGAAGAAACACCCGCCGAGAAGCGGCGGGACAGCGCCATGTCCATGGCGACGCCGGCCAACGACGACATGTCGCTCGCGTCGCCGGACAACAAGCCCGTCGCCGCGCGCCACGTGTCGGAGCCGCCCGACACGCCGAAGGAGCCGCGCGAGACCGAGGCGTCGAAGATGTCGTTCCTGAGCGTCTTCTCCTTTGGCGGCTCGCCGACGTCGCAAGACGCGCCGACGCCGACGCCCGTTCAGCCGGCGGCGGACGAGGTCGTCGAGATTAAGGTCGAGGCGCCGGCGCCCGAGCCCGCGGTGGAGGTCAAAACTGAGGAGCCGCAGCCCGCGCCGGCGAAGAAGGCGTGCTGCGTTGTTTGCTAGGCCGCTCCCCGCTGCTAAGTAGGTCATCGATCTCGAGAGGGAATGCACGTCACGTCGAGAGGCCCCGAGACGCGTCCACGATGCCGCGGCGATGGCGTCGGGGTGGCGTCCGCTGGACGACATCGACGCGGGACGCCGTCGCGGCGCCACTAGGGGCTCCAATGTAACTACAAACTCTTACGCGACCTTCCGCTCGTCTTCCCGGTCGTGGCCCAGGATCCGCCCGAAACAAAACAACCCGGCAAGCGCGTCGTTCGCCGCGTACCGGATCATCGCCGGCGTGTACGTCCGCTGGCCCCAGGAAGCCGTCGACTGGTGTTTTGATAGTCGTCGACCACCGAGTGAGGCCACTAAGCCCCGCAGGCCTCGTCGTGTCAGCGAGGGAAACCTCGCTTCTGCTAAAGGAGCCAGATCAACAAGCCCACGAACAGTCAAGCCGGGCGCGTGCCTCGATAACGCATTCGTGTCCTCGGATAACGCCACGCCTACTTTCAGCACGCCCGGGTCCTCCAACAGGTCCTGTAAAGAAGCCGGTATATGCCTCATGTTCTTCAGCAGAAACAGCACGACGAGGTCGTGACTGGCCAGCTGCAGGCAGGCCACGGGCTGCTCGGGCTGGCCTAGTCGGAAGGTCGGCGTCCGCTCCGTGTCGAAGCCGAGGCAGTGGAGCTCCTTGCCGTGGAGCGTGAGGGACGAGTCGCCACTTTGTAACGCTTTCCGTAATCTTTTGACGCCGAGGTCGAAGCCCGTCTCGGAAGCACAAAGTAGAACCTCCGCGTCCTCGGCGGCGTCGAAGCGCGGCAAGTTTTTTATGTGCTCTTTGTCGACGTCCGTGATTGAGGCGTCCGGCGGCAGGAGTTCGGAGAGCGTCGGTCTCTGGTCAAAACCGTTCAAGAGGCTCTTCTGGAGCTGCCGGATGCCATTGACGAAGCCGATCCTGCCTCTCGGTAATGTTTTACTGGTCAAATGCGGGGGCTTCGGCGAGGAGTACGCTCTAGCTTGCTGCGGTTGCTTTCGCGCGGCGACGACGAAGGTGCGCTGCTGCGTCCTCCGGGGCGCGCGCCTGGCCGCGGCGCGGAGCAACATGAGGGGCGCGGGCGGCCCTCGACGTGAGCCAGAGCCAGTGGCTGTCACGCGAGGCTCTCCCCTCCCTGCTACTTCAGGGACCACAGTTCGGCACGCGCAGCAAAGGTGCGATCAAAGGGGATGTGTACAAGGCGTGCAACAGCTCAATTGGGTCGGGCGGCCGCTACGCTGGCTTGCACCGCGACGTATGCGTTAGCTAGCGGCGTATAAACACACTAGCAAAACCTCGCGCTCAGATTGATAAAAGGGGCCTCGGAGTCGTGCGACTGATCTGGAGGGGCCTTTGGATTGATGGCGCTGGACTCATTGCCAAGCATAATCCACAGCCTCGTGATTGGCAGCCTCGCCTGCCCTCGGGACGTGCGTGAGGGACGTCTCACGCCTCTCGCGTCAAGCGCTGATAGGTAGGCGTTAGTCCTCGCGCGAAACCGCGGGCCGCCGGGCGCGAGGAGGCGAGAAAACTCGACCAGAGAGCATTCACACCAAAACCACGATGGCTGAGACCGCGGCGCGGCACGTCAACACCATGGAGGCCCACCACGCCCCCAACTGGTCGCGCAAGCAGCACGTCGACGGCGCGCACGACAAGCCGAGCGCCACGTCCGGGAGCCACGGCCGGCGGCGCACAACGCGACGGCCGAAGACGAAGCACGCGCCCATCGACGGCGAAGCCTGGTCCCACGCCGACGCGCGGGCGGCGCGGCTGGGTAGGACCGAATCACTGAGCGGCTATCTGTTCGGTTCAGCGTTTTCAGCGCCCGAACGGCAGCGCCCGGCCGAAGAGAATAGAAGATTGTGGCCCGAAGAACACGACGAGGACGCGGCGACCTACTTCACGCCCTTCGACGAAGGTAGAAGTGGTGTGAGACCGGACGGCCCCGAGACGACGTCCACGGGCGAGAACAAATTCCACCTAGAATTTCAGGGCAACCACGAGCCCCACGACGGCGAGTGCGAAGCGGTAAGGTTGCCCGGTGAAGACCACCGGCCCATCGACGAGGACGAGCCGTTGTACGCCGGAAATGTTAGATTAGCAGAAGTATTAGGAGAGCGAAAGGAGTCCTTCGACCTCACACCGCGCTTCTACGGCCCCGACGAGGCTCGAGCTCATGTTTTGGAGCGGGACGAGCCGCAGCCCGAGTTCGACGTTGCTGGACATGTGCGCCTCAAACCAGCTCTACACGAGGAGACGCCGGACCTATTAGCTGAGTTGGTCGAGAACGGGTTGAAGGAGGGCCTGAAATTAAGGATGGACCATTTGGACGCGATTGACGACGAAGTGGCCGCGATCTATGCGGAGCCGGCCGTCGTGGCCAAAGTCCCTAGCCGTTTCGTCGACAGCTCCTCGACTAAGCCTTCGCTGATTAGTTTGTCGAGATCGTCGTCCTCCTCGAAGTCCTCTCCGTTTTTCTTGTAGTACACACGCATCTTGTGGCTCCGGTCGTGGCGGATGTAGTGCCCGAGGAACGACAGGCCCAGCGAGAACACCACCATGCCACCGAGGATCCAGCAGAAGTTGTAGACTCGGGCCAGGATCTTCTTGTTCATGCGCTCCGACGTGAGATGATAGTCGTACTCACACTGCGGCTCGCAAACTGGTGTGCCCGTCGGTGTGATTGACGGAGCCATTGTCAGCGTCGGCGCGAACGTCTGCGCGACAGTCGGGCTGAGCGACGGGCTGAGCGTCGAGTTCCGGACCGGCTGCGCCGAGACGCCGCCGCGCAGTGCGAGGGCCGCCGCGAGAGCCGCCGCGAGGACGTGCATAGCGCTGGCTGAGCCTGGCACCTTGGGATTTCAGTAAACCTCGTCTCCCAGTTCGTGGAAAGCCGGTGCACAGGAGCAGGCCGTGTCGTGCTAGATCACGGACTCCCGTAGAACAAATTTACTAAGGAGGAAAAACGCGGAGCGTCGGGGAAAGCTACGAATGTGGCTGGAAAACCCGTGTCGACTACTCCGGCCCCGCGACCCGCCCCGGGAGACCCGCTCATAACACAACACACTTACCAAGGCGCTTGCTCCAGTGCGGATCGTCTTCGCCGGCGGCGTGGCGACGGGCTTCGTGGCGGGGCGATTGACGGCGCGCGGCAGGGGCTTACCGTTTCTTCTTCCCCGAAGCGCAAACGGCCGATTTCTTCTTGGCAGTCTTCTTCTGGCCCCGTAAATTTTTGACGGACTGGTGCGACGCCGCCGCCTTCTTCGACGGATTGTCCAGCGCCTCCAGCGCCAACAGATCGGGATCGTCCTCCTCAATTTTCTTCTTGCGCGCTTTCTTGTGCCGCCGTTCATCTTCCGCAAATTCACTCCAGTCCTCGAGGATCTGGTCGTGCTGCCCTTTTCTTTTCCGCGGCTCGTCTTTCCTCTTACGTACCGGAGGAGGCGCCGCCGACGCAGCGAGCTTCTTCTCCTCCCTAACAACTTTCTCGGCCGCCACCCTTTTCAGGCGCGCCGCTTCCCGTTTTTGATCAGCATATTTTATGGTACCGGTCTTGACGTCGCGCCGCTCAAAGGCAAAGGCCGTCATCCAGTCCTTGCCCCTCTTCCCAGCAGCCTTGGCTCGTTTCCGCAATTCCGGCATGTCCGGCAGCTTCAGCAGAGCGTAGAGCCGCGCCGTCGAGCCTGTGCGTGAACGACAGCGTCGCGACACGGCCACGGCTCTCGCGTGATCATGAAGACGGCGTCGAGGCGGCGCGGCGCGCCGTCGACGCAACTGAAAAGTTCAGAACGGACGCTGACTCACTGACCGACGTCTAGCTTCTCCCACCGAAAGATGTACGGCAGCCGGTGCTCCAAGTACGCTCGCACATGACTAGTGAAGGCGATCGTGCCCTTCTCGAGGATGGCTCGATCTTTGATGCACGCTTCTTCCAGAGATGTTCTCAACTCATCAGCACCTGTCACCTCAACTTCTACAGACGTAGTAGCGGCCCCCCGCAGTCTCAACAACTCCGGGTACGCGTCCTCGTGGGGCTCTAGTAGTAAAACCGCCCTGCCACTACGACCAGCCCGCGCCGTCCGCCCCGCGCGATGGACAAAAGTGTCGGGTTTTTGCGGCGCGTCGACTTGGATCACGAGGTCGACGTCGTCCCACGTCGAGGCCCAGCGCCGCGACGTCCGTGCACAGCAGCGCGACCCTCTCGGAAGTACATTCGCGGAACTGGGCCCAGACGGCCCTCCTCTTTTTGGCGCCATTTTCCGTGCAACGCGTTTATGATAGGGAGGCCCGTTCCCACGTTCGCGGCTTTGAGAGCCCTTCCAAAAAAGTCTACGGCGGCGCAGGAGTCGAAGAACACTAACGACTTCCTCGCTGTTTTGAGTAAGTCCAGGGCACATCGTAGCTTGTCCTCGGCGCGACAAATGACGTGCTGCGAAACTAATTCTGTGGGCGTCTTGCCCGTCTCAGATCCAGAGTTGACCTTGACCGAGACAGAAGCGGGGTTCCTCAATCCCGCCCTCGCCAAGTCGCGGACTGCTCGCGTTTGCGTTGCCGAGAAGAGACACGTCCTTCTTTGTCGAGGTAAGCGTTTCATGATGCGATCGATCTGTAAGGCAAACCCCAGCCTAACAAGACATCAGCCTCATCTAGAATGAGTAATTCAACACCGGAAACGTCTAGGATTGCTCTTGACAGTAAGTCATCAAGTCTACCGGGCGTCGCTATTAGTATATCGCATCGTTCCGGCGCCTCCACTGTTGAACCGCCCGTGATCAACTCGCTGTTGAGTGAATGCGCTTTGCACAGCGTGGCGAAGACTCGGGAGGTTTGAGCCGCGAGCTCCCTTGTTGGAGAAACGCAGACAACACGAATAGGTCCTCTCTCCAGACGCGCAGTAGCCTCGACCGCCGCGACGGCGAACGCAATCGTCTTGCCCGATCCGGTCACTGCTTCGGCGACGACGTCCTTCTGCGTCAAGAGGAGAGGTAATGAGGCGGCCTGGACCGGCGTCATTGTTGAAAAGTGGAAGTCATCTCGTAGACAGGCTAACGTTGCTTGACTGAGCGTCGGGCGGAGGGCGGCGAAGGACTGCTGCGCCATTTTGTCCGTCCTTCGCTGCGGCGGCGTTTGAGGCTGGGTGTAGCAAGTGCAGCCTAAGCAGCCACGCTCGCGTTATTGCCACAAACCGGAGCAGCGCTCGGTGACGGCGTGGGTGTAGCCTGAAGCGATTCTGCGGCAGCCAGAGGCGTCCACGCACGCGTATCGCCCACTGAACACAGAGTCGGAGAGCTTCCTAGTGTGTTACATTCGCTAGTTCCGACCTCGGCGCCTCTTTTTTTTGGCTCTGATCGCTGGCCCAGCGGTCGTCCAGGCGGCTAAAAGCCTATTATTTGTGCCCACGCGTATCCCAGCTAGCTGCGCGCGCTGCACATTTGCCCGACGCCCACCAATCGAGCACCAGAGAGGCTGCTCTCAGCCTGCTCCGATTTGCAAAATCGGGGCGAACGAATCATCGGAGGCAAGTGCTACGCCTGAAGAAAGCACAGCCATGGTCAAATGGGTCGTAGGAGATTCGGTCGACTACGAGGTGAACGGCACCTGGTACCCGGGCTACATCGCGCGCAGCGACTCGAAGAAGCTGTACTTCAAGTACGAAGCGTCGAAGTTCAAGAGTTACGAGGAGCCCATCGACAAGGCGAGCCGCGACGATCTGGCGCGGCTCCGCGCGGGATCGGGCAGCGGGCCCCCGGCCGCCGCCAAAAAGAAGAAGCCGGCGGCCAAGAAGTCGTACGAGCTCGGCGTCCGTGGCGCGATTGTCGTCGCATCGATGGCGTCGACCGGTCCCCGACGCAGGCCCGCGAAGAAGCCGGCGCGCAAGCCCGCAGCCAAATCTCCGGTGAAAAAGAAGACCGTCGCGAAACCCGCGGCCCGGAAACCCGCGGCTAAGCCCGCCGCCAAGAAGTCGTGCGAGCCCGGCGTCCACCGCCGCGCCGTCGCCGCGGCGCCACGCGAAACCCCGGCGCAGGCCCGCGAAGAAACCGACCGCCAAGAAGTCGCCCGCCAAGAGGAAGTCGCCCGCCCGCAAGAAAAAGAAGTAGCAGTCTTAAGGACAGTATATTTGCTCGCGCCACTACGAAAATGAACCGTGGAAAATCAACCAGTGAGTCCCAATCGCGTTGCAATTGATTTCTAAACGCAGCACGCGACCACCCGGTAGTGATGATCTTCTCCTGCGTCGGCGACGGCACGCCGCGGTGCGTGAACGTCCAATCGGCCGGCCAAATCAGAGTCAAGCCCTTCTTCGGCTGCACGATCAGGTTCTGGTGGCAGAACTCCGTCCCACCTGCGCGGGAACGACGCAGTCGCGACGCCATCGACGCGACCGCGTGCTCTCCGACATGCCGCGACGGCCCCGACGTCTTCCAGAGACTCAAAATCCGAAAAGCGACCACTCACTTCATCGGAAGATGGAGACGATTCATGAAGATGGCGCAAGGGCCAATGTCCACGTCACGTTCAAGATTCAGTGAAGACGCCGCGTCGGCACCGGCATCAGTGACATCATTTAGATAGGTCATGAACACCAAATGACGACTGCCTTCGGGTTCGCCCCGGCCCGTGCGCTCGGTGTGAAACGTCTTGTAGCCCCCTGAAGGCGGATACAGTTGGACGTTCGTCCGTCCCGTGATGGAGAACGCTCCATAAGCCCCGGCATACGGGTAGTCCTCGAGATAAAGACCCATGGCCGCTTTGAGTGAGAGCAGATACCTTCTCCAAGCAATAGAGGGATCGTTCGCGGGAAAGGACATCTCCAGCGAGTCCTTCACGGACGTGTCGACGACGGGCTCGCCGTTCGCCGCGTTCGAGACCATGCCTCGGAGCTGGGGCCTCCCATGAAACTCCTTCACGAGGTCGTCGGCTACCGATTCGTCCTCTATGAGGAAGGCTCCCGTGAACTGCGGTTTTATGCCATCAGCGTTGAGGACTTCGAACCTCGAGACGGGAGGGACGCCGTCCAGGCCCGGCGGCAGGGGCTCCAGGGGCTTCGGGGCCTTCGGGGCCTTCTTGGTTTTTTTCTTCGGCTTGGTTGCCGCGAAGCCGCCCTTGGCGAGGCCGGTTGCGGGCCGGAGCAGGAGTGCTGTCAAGAGCCACCGTGTGATCATCTCGGATGGTACGCGGTCGCGTCGATGGCGTGAGCTGGCGCCGCTTCGCGTCGGGCGGCGCGTCCGAAAGAGCCTGGTATTTGAGGAGAGTGAACTCGGCTGCCGCGTGGATCGGTGCGCAGCAAGGACCCGTCGAAAGGTGGGTTGAAATGTCTCTTTTATGCTGGTCAGCCTTTAGCTATAGCACTTGTGCGTTGCGCTAGCTGCGGTTGCTGTTGTACGTCTGGCTTCCTAGTGGCCTTACGCCGCTAGCAAGCTGCCAGCTCGGCGCGCGTGCACGCTTGTTACAGCATATATACGCACAGTAGAATTTCGATAGTGCTGCATTGCAGCGCACCAAGCTGCACAAGCATCAACAACTCGGGTGCTTGACCACAGGGCTCAACACAGCACTCTGCCAGACTGCTCTCACAAGACTGCAACAATCATGAGCGACCGCGAGACCCGGATGATGGCGCGGATAAGGCGCGAGGACGAGGCGCGGCGGGCACGGCGGGACCAGATTACAACCTACGGCCTCGTCGCTGTTATTGTGACGTTCGGCGGCGCCAGGTACGCGGGCCACCGGAGCATCGAGCGGGCGTGCCTGGCGCTCCTCGGCGCGTTCGGGCTCTACGCCGTCGGCGTCTGCGGCGGCGTCTTCTATCCACGAATATCGCGTCGACGGCGCGGAGGCCGAGATCGCGTCGATGGCGTGGACGCGGGACGCTCGGCGCCGTCGCCGCGGCGCGAGAGTACCACGCGCAGGTCGCGCTCGCGGCCATGAGCGCCTACTCCGAGTCCATCATGCAGCTGCCCGAGCCCGATTCGGACGACGAGGACCACGACCACAGCCATTTTCATGCGGGGAGTATTAGTAGTTCCGACTCGGAAGAGGATAAAGACAAATAAACTTAGACACAACAGTCATTTCTCGAGCGCCCGTATACGCGCCCTCAACAGCTCTAGTTCAACATCCGCCGACGGTTTCGAGAGGACCGGGAGCCTTCTACTCGCAGAAGAGTCGTAGACCGGCGAAGAAAAGCGCCCCGGATCACTTTCAACCACCCTCCACACACTCACGGCGTCGTCTCCACACCTCTCCGCATCCGAGTCCCTCAGAAAGTTCCCGAAGAACCGCGAATACACGTGTTCTTTGAGCAACGCCAGTAATGATTCAGTGAACTCGAAGGACGCCGGCGCGCCCCGCCGCAGCGACTGCACGCACTCCAGGAACTGGTCGAAGACCGGACCGGCTTCGCCCTCGCCCTTCGATCCACTTCTCATTGCGAAGGGGTGGCCGAAGGCGCAGAAGTCCTTTTCTATGAGCACGGCGAAGCCTTTTATTGTTCGAAAGTAGGGATCCACTATTATTTGAGCCAAAGCACACACTTGCGGCGTGCGGTCCCAGCCGTCGCTACAGTGCACAAAACAAGGATCGCCTCTGTCCAAATGATCCGCGACGACCTTCGCTGCACTAATTAGTGCTTGGACGTAGACGGGCCAGCGCGATTCGTGCAACGCGCGGTAGTAGTCCTCCAAGGTCGAAGCTTCTGACAACCGTTTCTTGGCGTTGCGAATGACGTGGAAGTTCTCCAGATCCAGAAACTCGAGCGTCGCGGCCCTCGAACCACCTAATTTGGAGGTAGTCTCGTGGCCCCGGCCGGCCAATTGGTTCGCCTTGGCCGCTACAATAGAACGACAGTCGCAGATGCGCAAGATCGGCGCCGTCGTGGATTTGTACGGCGAACTATTCGCAAAACCTTCCTCATCATCAAAAGCCGTCGGGTCGTCCAAGCGCGCCGCGACGGCGCCGCGGCTCCGCGCGGCGGCCGCGCGCACATGGAGGAGAGCGGCGTCATCCACATGAGCGCCCGTGATGCCGGACTTTGGTTGGGATGCTCGTATTAAGGCCGCACCACTAGCTCGATCGTACCAGGTCAAGACAGGTACGCGCCGCTTGGACCGCCATCTGGACCCTTCCTTGAGTCGGGCGTCGCTCAACGCCGCCGGCACGATGAGCAGAGGAGGATACGTAGCACAAAGGTCATAACTCGAATTCGCTTGCGTAAAGCGCCAGCGCGCGTCGGTGGCCACGCCCTGCCTGGCGAACTCTGCTCCTAGGTCGACGTCGGCGCCGCTTTGTGACGGCGCCCGCTCCTTCTGAGGTTCGATGAAGCGCTTCAGCCGATTCCGTCTCAATGCGCGGTCGTCGAGATCATTCAGGCCGAGCCTCGAGAGCAGCTCCGTGTCCTCATCTTCATCGTCATTATCGTCGTGATCCGCCGTCACAACCTGTGTGAAAATCAACCAGTGAGCTAGGTTACTACGGAGACAACATCGCATCGATGGCGTGGGGCGTCCAAAATTTGATTTCCACGCAGATCACAACAGCCTCCGGCCTCGCATAGAAGCGGTCCTCGCCGACGCGCCACTGCCACTCGGAGCGGCACCAGCTCCAGTCGCGATTGGTGGCGCTGCGCGACGAGAACGTTATTGATTTATAGGACCGCGTCGTCAGCACCAGCACCAACGCGTCGTCGCGCTGGACGACCTCCACATTTAAGATGGACGCGTGCGGCACACTAATAACATCTAACGTATGAGCCACGTGCAAAAAACGGTGCGACGTGACTATGAGGCACCCTCTGTCCACGTCGGCAAAGGCGTCCAGAGCTTGTTCTGACGCGGGCACTATGGTACCATTAATGTGCTCAAAACAGGCGTCGTGCACCGTGGTCCCGGGCGGGTACAACTCTGATAAAGCCACGGGCCACATGTGTTTCGACGTTTGAGGTGGTATCGTCGCGACTTGTAGAGGTTTCTTCGCCGAGGACCGCGTCGCTTTGACCAGTACGGTGCCCTTAACACCACCGTCGCGCAGCAACTGGATATGTCGTTGGCCTTCTTCGAGGAAGACGCGACCTCTTCCCACGACGTCGTCCCTCACTGCCGACGACTTGGACTTATCACGAGCCGTAACAATGACGTAGGCGCCCGCGACGCGCGTTGATGATGGCAATGTCATACTGAACGAATTCCCGTCGCTGAGCACGCGGCCGTCGGGCGCCCGTACTTCCAGAGCTATGTTTCTGATACCGTCGGCGGCCACATCCATCAATTCAGCATCATACGCTACATCATCGTCGGCGTGATGTGATGGAGGCGGCGGCGTCGCGCTCCGGCCGCGGCCGAGCCGCGCCCAGCAGTCGTCGCAGACGCGCTCCGATTCATTTGTAGTGGTGGTGAGCATCGAGGCGGCCGTGGCCAGCGTCGTCTTGGCCAGCTGGGTCCCTACATTTCGTATTGAGGACGAGGGCCGCTGGATGCTCTCCAAACGCATGCTCCGGCTCGAGCAGGCGCCGCAGACCAAGCGCGCGCAGCTCCGGCAGTGGTGCCTCCGGTTCGTAAAGCTAAAAGCCTGGTGGCAGAGCAGGCAGTGCTGGCTCGCGCCGTCGTCCATCCAGGGTCTCGCGGCCATTCTTTGCGCGGCGGCGTGTTCCGACACGGCCTTGCACCTCCTGATGGGCTTGAGGTCTCTCTGCTGCTCTGCGAGTTGTCTGCGGCCCCTCGGCCCGAAGCGGTTGAAGCAGCGCAAGCGTGGCGATTGGGTCACTAAGTGTAGCTCCTCTACAATACAAAGGCTGTCCTGGGGCACAGCTTTTGGCTTTTTTGTTGCGGCAGGGAGTGCTGGCTAGTGTGTCTTACATGCCGCTAGCAGCTCGGCCAAAAGCGCGCATTTGTTGACGAGGCGTCACACCGGTTGGCGCAGCAGTGCTCCGACCGCGGCTGAACAGCCTACGAGCGAAATCGGCGACGCCTAAGGGCCTGGTGCAGCGTAGCGCCTTGCACACTTCTTGGGTGGGTCATATCGGCGCGCTGCTGCAGAGCCAAGCACTGGCGTGCGGCGCAAAAACTAGGCGTAGGAGCTCACCGCATCAACCACCAAATGAATAGCGACTCGGAAGAAGAAGCAGCAGGGGTACTTCCAGAGGCGATCGGAGAGGCCGCCAACGAAGGAGACTTCGAACGGGTCAAGGCTTGGCTAGACGGCGGTAGCGAGTTGGCTCCGCGTTCTGTTAACGACCTCGACGAGGACGGCTGGTCGCTTCTCTTGTGGGCTTCGGGCGGTTACGGCGATGTGCTCACTGAAGACCACGTCAGGATTGCCCGCTACCTAGTCTCACGGGGAGCCCGCCTCGACGTTGCGAGTCGTGTCTCGGGATCCACAGCGCTGCATTTTGCTAGTTCATCGCGGGGTGCCTCCCCAGAGTATGTATCTGTGCTCGTCGCCGCTGGCGCGCAGGTAAATGCAGAAGATAATGATGAGGTGAGACCGCTTGGTAGAATTATATCGGACACGGTTCCTAGTCAAATGCACCATGTAGAGATCGTAAAGATACTTCTCAGATCAGGCGCAACGCTGGATTCTGCCTGTGGCGCGTATCATTCCTTCGACGACGCTTTGCGGGATTGTCGAAGACGGGATCCTACGCGCTATGGCGAGCACACCACTGCAATCGAAGAACTAGTGGCAAGTGTGCGCCAGCATGGCTCCTGGAAGGCCCATTGTCGCGCCGGACATCGGCAAATCCTCCGGATCAGGTCCCTCGTCGCGCACGGCCGCGCCAAGCTTCCTCGCACGCGCCGGAGGCCGCGCGGTCACGACGCGCGGCAGCAGCTCGCCCTCGAGTTCGTCCTTCGCCAGGGCGACAATGGTATTGTGTGGAACATCCTCTCCTACTGGCGGGAGACCGGGTAAGATGTAAAAACGAACCCCACTTATATCAAGAAGGGGAGAGACCTAGGCGTAGGCCCCGGACATGATGACGTCGTCGATCTTCAGAATCATCTTGACGACCTGCGTCGCGAGCTGGACCTGCTGCTGCTTCCCGATCAGCGTCTCGAAGACCTTCTGGCGCTTCATGTCGTTCGTGCCCTGTTGCAAGCAGTCGACGCCGAGGAACGGGCAGTTTTGTGCCACCTGAGCCGCTTTGACCGCGGTGAGCTCGGCGATCGGCGACAAACCACTGTTCTCGGCGAGGGCCATGGGCACGTCGTCCAGCGCGTCGGCGAAGGCCCGGATGGCGTACTGCTCGGGACCCGTCGCCGCGTCGGCGGCTTTGCTGACAGCCACACTACACGCGATCTCGGCCGCCCCTCCACCGTACACAATTCTATTATCTCTCACCAAGTTCCGCACGACGCACATGGCGTCATGTAACGACCGTTTCGCCTCCTCCACGATCATCTTGTTGCCGCCTCTCACCAGTACTGTGACCGCTTCTGAGGACGCGCAATCTTCGATCACCAGCATCCTTTCTTTGGTCGTGCCGAAGGACACCTCCCTCACGACTCCGGCCCGGCCTAGTTTGGACGCATCGAGCTCCGAGAATCTAGGGACGATGCGGCCACCGGTCGCGATCGCAATGAGTTCGAGCTCGACGCCGCCGACCCATCTCACCGCGGGCAGCTCCGCCTGCAACAGCAAATGGTTCGCCTCGTCGTCGAAGCCCCACTGGCAGATCACGAGGTTCGCCCCGCAGGCCTTGCACTGCTCGACCATGTCCCCGAAGTAGGCCTGCTCCCGCTGAAAAAGCTTGTCGTAGTCCTCCTTCGAACTGATGTCGAGCTTGTGCTTCGTCTTGGGTTTTGGGGGTTCAAACGGACACGTGAGGATGCACATCTTCACGTCCCGGATTTCCTTGGGCATCTGGGGGTGGCTCATGTCCTTGTCGATGACGATGCCCTTGATCAGCTCCGTCTCCTCCAGCCGCCCGCCGGGCTTGCCCTCCATCTTGATCAGGTCGAAATTCACGTCCGTGTGGTCGCCCACCGTCTGCGCGACACTTAACACGGCGTCGACCTGCGTTGTGGAAGCGACGCGTCTCGTTTCCACCCAAACTCGAACAGCACGCTCTGCGAGGCCCGCGACGCCGTCGACGCGACGCGGCCGCGCCGTCGCCGCCACGTTGAAGTGTCAGACACGGAAACGCGTACGGCGATCTGCGCCATCTTCCTCTTGTGCACGTTGATGATCTTCGACGAGAGCGTGGTCGACGCCGTCTCGACCAGTACTTTATCATCCACCTTCTTCTCGAAGTGCACCGTGTCCGCGATCTTCTCGAGGGTTTCTAGCGAGACCTGGCAGGCCGCTTCGAAGCCTTCCGCCACTCGCACGGGATGCAATCCGCGATCGAGCAACTTCTCGGCCTGTTCGAGCAAAGCACCAGCTAACACGACAACGCCCGTCGTCCCGTCGCCGATCTCGTCGTCTTGGGACTGCGACAACTCCACAAGTAATCTCGCGACCTGGTGCTCGACCGCCATCTTATCTAAGATGGTCGCGCCGTCGTTCGTGATCGTCACGTCGCCGTCGGGCGAGACCATCATCTTGTCCATCCCTTTTGGGCCTAATGAGGTTCGCAGCAAGCCGGAGACCGAGCGCCATGCGCCATGATGTTGTGTTTCTGGGCCTGCAGGCCCTTGATGCGACTCTTGGCCTGCTGCTCCTTCAGGATGATGAAGGGCCGGCCGTACTCGTCGAAGACCATGGACATGGTGGCTGCCTAGGTGCCGCGCAGCGGTCTTTCTCTTTGCAAGGTTTTATTTGCGCGCGGCTAAACGCGACGACGGCGTGCAGCGAGGACTTCTCGACGCGCGCAGCGCTGCCGGAGGGTTCGATTGCTGGCTTGCCAACGTTCGGTGGCAGCGCTAGCAATCGAGCGCGGCCGTGTACGGGCTGCCTCGCGGTCGTCCTCTTTACAAGCTAGTATGCATACCGCTACGAAATCTGCGATCCTTCATAGAAGTCGTCTCCAGCAAGACAATAGAGACCTCCGACGCTGGCTTGACCCTTCCTTTCTGCCGCGCCAGCTTTTTGTTTCTTGCAGCTTGGTGGCTGGCTTGGCTGATGCTCACGCACGCGCACGGCCGGCATCGTCACACGACAAAGGGTGCAGGCTGCGGCCAGCAAGCCTGGTGAACGCTCGACGAGGCTTCGCGCTCTATTGCATCCGTGCGTTCGATTAGCACCTTACTGCCAGCTGTGGCAGCATTGATGTGGTCTAAACTCCAGCCGTCCGTAAAGAGACTCTGGCTCGGCGCCGGCGGGTTATTCATCGCGGGCAACCTCTTCAAATATTATACTTGGGTCATTGCGCACGACGCTGTCAGCAAGGTCGAGCAGGAGGCGCACGAGGACGCGAGCCGGCAACTGCGCGAAGCAAGAGACTCGGCCCAGAAGTACGCGCTGCCGCCGCTGAAAAAGTAATGACCACTGCAGCGCGTCTCGCGCGCCTCGGCCTCCGCCTCGGGCCCCTGGGCGCGCCGACGCTCGTCGCGAGTTTCGCGCCGCCGCGGCCGCGCGTCGGAGCGCTCGTGCTCATCCCGCACGGTAGGACGCCTTCGAACCAACGGCTGATCTTCCAGAACCACTCCGAGGGGCCCGACGCGACGCTGTTACCGGAGTCGCTCGTCGAAGCCGGCAAAGGCGCCGAGGTGTTTCTGGACGCCTTCGGCGACCGCCTCGAGAGGTGCAGCTTCCGGCGGTCGCCGCTGCACCGCTGCGCTCAGACGTGGGAAGCCTACACAGCCGTCTTAGCGGACCGCGGCCTGGAGGTTCCCGAGATCGCGGTCGACGAGGCGCTCGTCGAGATCGACCACGCGAGCTGGCACGGCAAGACCGTCGACGACCTCTCGGGCGCGGACCGCGCCTCCGCCGCCGCGCATCGGGCTGGCGACGTGCTTGCGAAGCCTCCCGACGGCGAGTCGCAGCTCGACGTGCTCGAGAGGGCGGCCGCTTGGGTCCATGGGCTCGACGCGCCCGACCGCGTCGTCGTCGCGTTCGGCCACGGGACGATGCAGAACGCGATCGAGGTGGTGCTCCGGACGTACGGATCGCGGCCGCCGGCCGAGGTCTTTACGCGCGTGCCGGGCAAGTCCCATCTCAAGCGCGGGTTCCCGCACGTCGTGTTCGACGCTGACGGTGGGGCGCTGGGTCCGCTCGGGTAGCGTCGCTCGCGTGTTTATATGTTTTAAGTAAGAAGTTCCTAATCGCGCGTCGATGGCGTACTGGTGGCGAGAAAATATCACGCACGCTGTTAGATGTTACGGTGCTAGGACTAGTAAAACCTAAGCTTACCCTAGCGCATAGCCCCTCTAGCCCGGCTGCATGCGATCGCGCAGTAAAGTAGGGTGCACTCGCCCCACGCATTGGCATTCGTCGCCCATTATTGCGGGCGGGCACACACGCATACCATAGACCCAACTGCTGGGTCTTGTGGCACGGTTCGTGCAACACTGCTGCTAATTGCACTGCTGCTAAAATTGCACAGCACAAACTCACACATCAAACGCAAGCATGCAGCGCTTCCGAGCGGCCCAGAATACGCTGGTGCTCTGCGCCTCCACGTTGGCCCTGGCCCCCAAGACCGTGATCCTCGTGAGACATGGAGCAGTGAACCGCGAAGCCGCAGGATTAACCCCAGACGGCCTTTATGGAGGTGATGTGGATGTACCGCTGAGCGAACGAGGCGAGGCCGAGGCGCGAGCGGCCGCACAGTTCGTCGCCGATACCTTCGGCAGCAAGGTGACCTCCGTTTTTGCGTCGCCGATGAAGCGCGCCATGTACGGCGCCGAGCGCACCGTCGAAGCCCTCGGCAAATCCATGAGTGTAGAAGCGAGGGAGGCCTTCCGCGAAGTTAGGAGGGGCGACTGGGTCGACAAGAGCATCGACCAAGTCAGCAAGGAGTACCCGGGCGAGGACATGCAACGGTTTTTAGATGATTACGACTTCAACCCCGCGGGCGGCGGCGAGTCCGTCAATGAAGTGCAAGCTCGGGCGAAGAAGTGCCTGCTGGAGGACGTGTTACCTTCTATTAACGAGGGAGAGTGCGCCGTCGTCGTGTCGCACCTCTTCATCACGCGGTCGCTGCTGTCGTTCGCGGAGCCGAGCACGCCCGTCGCGGAAATCTCCGTGCCGACGGCGAGCGTGTCCACTTTGGAATTTACCGGAGACGACGTGTCCATCGACCTGCGGGGCGTCAAGCCGGAGCTCAGCGCGGAGGACGACGCGCGGCTCGCGCCGGGGTCCGCGGCACCCGACGTTTGGCTCAACGGCGCTGCGCGGCGGGGGTGAGACGCGGTCCCGGGGCCGCCGTCGCGTCGATGGCGTGGAAGAGCGGACGCGATCACGGGGGTGTCCAGGACGCGTCCTCCTTGAGGAGCGCTATCCCGGCGACGACGGGCCCCGGTGAAAGCTTGCACTCAATTGACGGGATGCCATTCTGCAGGCGCCGGTGCTTCTGCCCGGCGGTGATTGCGTGGGCGACACACGTGTCGACGTCGTCGCCGCTGAGGCAGAAATGGAGCGCGCGCGCGAGTTGCGGCGTGGCCTTACAATCAATTGACGCGCCGTCGTCGCCGCGCAAGCGCAAGATCAGCGGCGCGTCGCCATTCAGGACCATCATCAGCAGCCGGCCCACGGCTTGATCCGACTCGCCCCGCCCGATGCGCGGCTGCGCGACGCTGATCGCGGCCCGCGTCCAGACGCTTTTCGGACTTTGCACGGCCGCGCCCAGCGGCAAGGGAGACCAGTAGCTCCCGGCCGGCGGCGCCGGCCGCGGCCGCTTCGCCGGCCGCGCCGCGCCGGCGACGCGCTGGACGACCGCTTTTGCATGGGGCGCGTCGCCGGCGCGCCACTCGACCCTCAAGTCGCGGCAGCCCTCGCACACGACGACCGCACCATCACAGTCGCTCCGCTGGACGACGCACGACACGACGGCGCCGACCTCCACCAAATTCACAGCCGCCTCGGCCTCGCCCCGCCAGAAGACGCACCGGCTCCGGCCGTCGCCGTCCTCGCCGTGTATTTCGAGGCGCGGGATCTTCTTCTTTGGCGTTGGGGATGGATCGAACGACGTGACCAGGATCACGACCCGGAGCGGCGGGTGGTTGCTCCGGTTCGGCCGGGCCGCCTGGCTGCGTAGCTGGGTCGGGCCGCAGTAGGCCATGGTCCGCGGCGGCGGCGTCGACGCAGCGTCCTGTTGCAGCGCGGCCTCCTTTGCCTTCTCTTTTTTTGCCGCAGGCTGGTTTGGTTTGTGTTGCGTGCCCGTCCACACGTAACTCGCGCCTCCTCGAGGCCGCAGCAGCAGTACGGTACTTTTGACAGCGCAGGAAGGCCACTGCGGACCTCAGCGGGTACAAATGCGAGAGCTCGGGTCGGTCTCGAGACCGTCCCCCCGGGCACATAATCCCAAAGCTCGGCTAGCGTTGTAAGACACTAGCAAAAATCACTTGTCCCGCACGTAACATTAGACTAGTCCCGCACGTAAAGAAAAACGCAAAAGAACGGACGATTACACAAAAGAAGAGGGCTACTACTAGGCGGTCCGCGGCGGGTCGCCCGGCCCGTAGCGGGAAAAGGACTCGTCGTCGGACGACGAGTCGTCGGGCGGCGGCGGCGCGGCGGCCTGCAATTGCATCCGCGCGATATCTAAGACCTCGTGGACGCCGAGCTGGGGATTCGCGGCCTGCAATTCATGCAACCACGTCCGCACCTGCTCGCGTTCCACTACGCGATGATTTGACGTATGCCCCTGGTCGAAGCGCCCGCTCACGACGAGAGAAGAGCCGCGGCACTCCGCGCAGAGGTCAAAGCCCACGGCGTCGGGGCAGTCGAGACACCGAAACGCCGCCCCCCTAATAGGAAAGGCGCCGCAGCCGTCGCAGCCCACGCCGAAGTGCACGTACGGGGTTTCGTCGCTCAGTGCCCGTTCCGGCGCCGGCGCCTCCAAGCACTGTCGAGGTGCGCCCGCCGGCGCCCTTGTTTTGTGGGACGCGAGCTCTAGGAGAGCGCAGGGCACGCGAGGCGTGAACACACGCCTCGCGCCGCAAGCACAGTCCTGGTCTCGACAGTCCTCACATAACGCATGGCCGCAGTTGCCCACATAAACGGAACCGGGGGCGCCGCAGGTCCGACAGCAGAAATGTTCATCCTCTGTCTCTTCATTACGAAAGGTCCGGCAGATAAAGTTATGTAAAGGCTCACAGACCGCCCCGAGATGCCGGAACGGCGCGCGACACAAGGGACACGCACTATCGCAGAGCTGGTCCATGGCCTTGTGCGTACATAGAAAGCAGGCCGCGTGGCCGCACTGCTTGATGACGGGTTGGTACAGTAGTTCTCTGCAGACCGGACAATGGAAATCTTCTTGGTCGAAATCCCTGGAGACGCGTTCTTGCCTCTCGGGCGGAGGCCGCCTTTGAATTAGCGCGCGCACGGCGGCCCGGTCTCGGGCTCTTGTCGCCTCGTCTAAGGCCTCGGCGTCGTCCATGGGTCCTACTAATCTAGCTTCTCCCACGAGCCGCTCTTCGGTCTCTCCGAAAAAGCGCACGGCCCACGTGTTCGACTTCGCGTCAAAAGCGTCGCAAATACCGAAGGGCCCCGCCCGGAGGCGAACGACGGCGCCGGTCTTTAGTAGAGTCTTTTTCGTTGGCTCTACGTCGATGTAGGGGCTGTCCGCTCTTGACGGCGCCGGGGCCGGGGCCGCCGCGGCGACGTAGTGCCGCGCGCGGCCGCGCGAACAGGGCCGGCGCGCCCGCGACGTTCGCGGCGTCGTGGGAGCCAGCATCGTGGAGGCTGCCCCTGGTAAGCTTCGCTGGCACTCCGGGCAGCGCGGTTTCTCGCCCCAGGCGTGAGGGCCACCTCGATCCGAGCGCTGGCGTGCCTGGCGGGGCTCGGCGGCGTCTGGTGCGGCCGCCTCAGCCGGGGAGCAAGTTGGCAGTGTGAGAGCAAGGCTCAGCTGAAGCGCTACCCCCCCCCTCCGGCCCGCGCCGAGCGGGAGAGCTCGCTTTGTAGTCGGGGACGGGTCCTTCACGCCATCGCGCGGGCGCTATGCCATATTGGGAATTTCGACGTGGCGCGACGCGGGAGGACACAAGACTAGCTAGACGGACCTTAGGCCGGAAGCTCCTCAGTCGAAGTCGAGGTGCTTGCGCAGGTCCGAGTTCTCGTCGCGCTTCCCCCCGAAGACCGCGCCCGACCGCGTCCGGTTGAAGCCGTCGCCGTGCAAGATGCGGGAAGCCACTCCCGGCGAGTCGATGAACTGCTCCAATCCACTCCGCAGGACCCGCTCCGTCCTCCTTCGTTTCGACGACCGCTGGACCCTCACATCACTGAAACCCAATTCGCTGAAGTCCTCGTTTTCATCCTCACTTTCACTCTCATCACTAAACTCGGAGTCACTCGCGACGTGGTCGTACTCGCGCATCAAGCCGTACATCGTGTCCACGTGGGCCTCGAGGTCGGCTCGCCGTTCGGGCGCGTCATCCGACAGATGCTGCAAGTGGGGCGGCGATTCGTAGTACGCCTCGCATCGCGCGCGGCACCACGCGGCATACGTTTGTAAAGCGCTATCAGGTGCCTCACCGCGAGAAGATGCTTCCGTCGCCCTGTCTTCTTGGGCCCGTTCATAGTCCGCGTACTTCGAGCGACAGGAAGCAGCCAACGCCGCCTTGCGTTCCATTCTATCTAGGTGGGAATCGATGCGCGTCGACGTCCGGTGCCCCAAACACGCGCAAGAAGGAGCGTTGGGGCCAGTCGCAGCCGGGCCGCTCCCACTGGCTCGTCGCGCCTCCATTCGGTGAGGTATGAACATAATACCAGTCGCCGGTTGATCTACTTTGTTTTGCGGACCAGCCTTGTCGGCGTAGTTCTGGAGAGAGTGCTGGTGGCTCTCCTCGACAATCGACATGGTGTCTCAGGTCCAACGCGGCTCGGAGCTCCGGCGCTCTTACCTCTATCGTAGTTGGTCTTCGATTCGTGCCCGCAGATGATAGCGTCAGGGTCCACTTTCCCAATAAACCCAAATCATCGCCTTCGCAAGAATGCGACGTGACCGTGGCCCTTCGCAACGAGGGTGTCTCGTCTGACCAAGACCACGCCATGCACCTCGATCCAATCGCTTCCGAGGGAGGGTCCCTTTCAACGTCTTCATCCGATCTAGGTAATGATCTACGAGCCATCTCGGCGTAGGGCTGCTTGCTTCTCGAATGGACCCAGAGCAGCCGCTCGGCGTCCCAGGTGTAGTTTTGAGGTGGCAACGCGACCTTCGCGCCATTCAGCGGGTCGTCCTCGCGCACGCCGGGCACGCTCTCGAGCTTGCAGAGCTCGTAGTCGCGGCGCTCGTCGTCGTAGGTTAAAGTGGCGCCTCCGTACTGGTCGTGGCTGACCGCTCGTACTCTCGTCAACCGCGGGAGCGACACGCGCACGCCGGAGAGCTTGCGTTCCGCCATTTTTTGTGCGGCGCCTAGCGTCGGCGGCGTGCGCTGTCTTTATAGATGCGCGCTGCGTTTGCTACAGCTGATTTGGCGGCACAGCTAATTTGGCGCGCTGAGCGGTTTTTGACAGCGCTCTTCACGTGGCACTTGATGGGCGCAATGCGTGTGGCCTGCACACAATCTCTGCGGGCCAGCGGCAGCTTACGCGCTGAGTTAGGAGCTCTTAATTATTCAAAATGGCACCGCAAAAAAAAAAATTAGGGGGGCTCCTGAATTTGTCTGAAGCTGTCGTCTTTGCATTCGATTCTTCCGTATCCGTCTGACAAGACCTCTGGCCGCAGGCGTCGTTCAAGTCTAGTGTCTTTCACTCCGCTAGATCGTCGCGATCGCGCGCGCCCGCGCTCGCTGTGTGCCATCAGCGGTGCCAGTAACGTAGAGACGGGCGCTGTTCGTTCGATGGACAGTGCTCGCTAACCTTTGCTGCTCTCGGGTACGCTTTGGGGTTCAATACAGCATATCCCAAGGAGCAGGGAGGGGCGCCGCGACGCAGCGATGAGCGCGATGGACACGTCCCAGACGCCGCCGCATCGGCACGCCTACCGAGCGGCCGACGCGGTATTAAGGAGCCACACGCCGACGAGCCAATTCGGCAAGAGCGCTTTAGTAAGGCAGTGCCTCGACGGCACCGCCTTCGCGCCTCCTACTAAACAAAGGGAGCGCAAGGCCGACGCGGCATCAGCATTGAGGTGCTGCGCGGCGTGCTTGCGGCCGGGCGCGACGCGACGCTGCGGCCGCTGCGGCAAGGCGTCGTACTGTAGCAAGGATTGTCAAAGAACGGATTGGGCTAGACATAAAAAAACATGTCTGGGGAGAGATGATGCTCTAAATGCGCCGATCCAGTCGTTGACGTCGGAACTGTCGAACGTCTTCCGGTTGGGCGAGGACGCTCTGAAAAGAGCGGGCCTGCCGAACCCGTCGGTGAGCTGGTCGAAGGAGGTCCTTGAAGCTCTCTGTGATTGCTGCTTGTTGCCTGGCTTACAATTGGTCCCGTCCGACGACCGGCCCCACGAGGGTTTGGGATTGGGCCTGCGGACGATCGCGTTGCTGTTTTTGAGGCATGGTGCGACACCGACGCCCAAGCTCTACAAATGGTCCTCGCGCACAAATCCGTGGAGAGCGGGCCTGGCATGGAGGATCCGGCGGCTTATATCGTGGCGCGCGCATGGGGCCGGAGACGTTTCCTTCCGGTCATCCCTTGCGCTGGCCCTGCGACGACGCGTTGATTCGGCTCGGGCCGTTGCTGCGGCACGCGTCTTCTGTCCAATTGCCACCGGAGCCTTTATTGGGACTGGGGTCCGGCGAGGATGATAGGGTGGAGATCATCGGCGCGCTGCGGTCGCTGGCGTACGTCCAGGAGCCGGCGCCTTCCGGGAAGGTGGATCTTGTTCGCATGCGCAATTTTAGTCTGCCTTTTTGTCGATGCGCGCTATATTCTATTCGTTGCGTCGATGGCGCGCCGCGGCCAGTTTGCGAGTTTCCCGCAATTTATTCGTACGCTGATGGTCGAGAGACGTAGCGACGCTTCGCGAGACGTGTGATTTCGGCCGTAGCGGGCAGTTCAACCACAGGAAGTTTGCTCAGCTCGAGATTTACCCATCAGCTGAGCTCTGCCTCGTTTTTGGTGTGTCCATATTTCCGCCCACCTTCGCAAACCTTTGCGTACGAGCCAGCGTAGAGCATCTCGATTGAGTCCTTACTCGGTTCGCAGCGAAACTGCGCTGCGCGGCGCGACAGCGCTGCCAAATTCAGCAGCAAAATCGAGCGGCCTGGCCTCCGCGCAGGCGCGTTCCCCGGTTGCACAAAACTGCGTAAAAAATGGCCATCAAAGACGCCTGGCGCTTCGACAAGTCCCAATGGGCGCTCAAAGCCGGCATCGCTTCGGCGCTCGTCCTCGCGACCATTGCGTGGTACGCGCTTGAGTGCGCCCCGGTGTTTCCGATCCACGCCATCGATGCGACGTGTCACAGAGCGAGCGCGGTTTCGCGACGATGGATTCACGCAGGCTGATACCGGCGATAGAGTGCAATGACCAGACGCTCCTGGTCTTCGGCATCGTCTACGTGGCCCGCCTCTACCAGCGATGCTCGTGCTGTGGTCCCGTCCGCCGGATTGGCACGAGATCCCCATCGTCTACGTCTTCTTCATCCCGTCGATCTTCTACACGATGGCCCGCGGCAAGGTCGACGAGTGCTCGGCGCCCGTGACGGCCGCCGCCATCGTGCTATACGTCGTGGGTTCGGGATTCTCGACCATCGGCGAGTCCCAGCGCTACATTTTCAAGAAACAGCCCGCCAATAAGGGTAAGCTGATGACCGGCGGCTTGTGGTCTCTGACGATGCACGCCAACTACTTCGGCGACACGCTCCTGTTCACGGGCTGGACGCTCGCGTCGAGCGGCCTCGCGGTGTCGTGGACGTGGTGGGCGGTGCCCGTCATGACGGCGTTGTTCGTGTTCATGCACATCCCGGGCCTCGACGAGTACCTCGCGGACCGCTACCCGAAGGAATTCCCCAAGTACGCCGCGACGACGGCGAAATTCGTGCCTTTCGTCTACTGAGAAGCCCCTCCTCCCCTTTGTACACAAATACGCCATGGCCCACCCTAAGATACGTCGACTCTCTTACCCGCGCCTACTATCCCAGGTAGATGCCCCCCGCCGTTTTTTGGGGCGGCGGCGGCGGCGGCGGCGGAGCCCCTCCCGGCGGCGGCGGCGGCGCCGCCCGGCGGCGGCGGCGGCGGCGGCGGCGGCGCGGCGCCGACGTCCGTCATGAGCTGGTTCGCGCCCTCGTCGTCCTTCGAGGCCTCCCAGTCGTCGTCCTCGAGGAGGTCCTCCCAGCCCCCGTCAACGAACGCGTCCCAGTCGCGCGACCGAGTCTGGCCCAGCTCGACCAGCGCGATCTGGAAGTCCTGCCAGGTCACGCCGTCGTTCTCGGGCGCGAGCTCCATGAGCTTCTCCTCGCACGTGTCTAGGCTCAGTGAATCCTCGCCACCTAACAAAGCGAAGACGGCCCGGCCGCCGGCCTGCGAGTAGGTCTGCGCTGCCTCGCTCTTGGGCGAGTGCCAGGGGTCCGCGAAGGGCAGTGCTTGTAAACCTTCCTCGAACTCGGCCAGGGAAATGCTTTCCTTGCCCGCAAACACTTCCATCCACGTCGGGACGTGATCTTTCCTGAAACTATACGCGGGAATCCACTTCGGTTTCTTGGCGGTTTGCGTCGTCTCGCCGTCCTCGGCGACGCACGTGCTTTCGGAGAGGCGGCCGTAGATGCTGACCATGTCGGGCGTCGTTAACGCGCTGAGTTTTGTTGCTTGTCTTATCGACGAAGGCTTCTGGAAGCCGTCGGCGACCGCTAGGGTTACAAGGAGTTTGCTGAGGGAAGGCATGGTTGCGTTTGCAGTCGAGTGCTACCCAGGCTGCAGCGACAAGGACTGTCTTCAACTGTGGTCGGGTGGTGCCAGGCTGTGCGTGGGGGTGCTGCGACGACGAGTAACTGTGGTCGTGCCTGTAAGGTGAGCACGGTTAGCTGCACGGGCAGCGCAAAGGTCGTGTCGACAAGTCTGCTTGCTAGTGCCTAACGCCGCTAGCTGCGGAAACGCGCCCCAGAGCCCTGCGCGGGTGGTTGCACTAGCGTCGACGGGTTTCGGATTACTAGTACAAGGAAATGGGGGGAAACCCATAAGGGAACACGCGTGCGCGCGTCGGCCGGTCGACCTAGGAACACATCAAGTACAACTTAGCTCACCAGGCAGCAACCCCCCGTAGGCGGCGGAGCGGGCGCCGGCGCCGCGGGACGCGCCTCCGAGACCACAACGTCAGGCACCGGCCCGAGTCGCCCGAGCCGAGCCGCGTAGCGCACGAGCCGCCGCTGGAAGTTCGTATTCGAGAGGGCGTCGTTGCCCCGCCGCGCCCTCAAAGTCCGGACGGCGTCAATGACAGATACGCCGTCTCTTACCAACGCGGCCGCGACCACCAGGCCGCTCCGGTTCAAACCCTGGACGCAGTGCACCAGGACTCTTCCCGACGTCCGCGCTTTTGATAGGAAGGCCTCGACGTCGACGTGGCCATCCAACAAAGCACAGTTTTCATTGTCCTTCGCGGCCACGGCCATACTCCGTATACCGTGCTGAAGATAAACGGCACTCATGTCGCGCGTCTCGCCGGCGGCGCAGTTGAGCACGTGCGTAATACTCAAGCTTTTGAGCCGTTCCATGTCGGCGGCGCACCCGGCGTCGCCCAAGTAAAGGTTTGGAGTCACGTCGACGGGCAGCCGGTGCATGCGCCGGACCTCGGCCCCTCTCTCATCGTCATCTAAACCCGCCGCCCAGTCGAGGTGGCGCCTATCTTTGAGATAAAGGCAGTAGGGCTCGAGGCGCCGCTCCTCGTCCACGCCTCGAAATAGATTCGATGGGAGCGCCGCCAAACACGCGTCGAAGCCGCCCCGCACGACGGCCACGTCCAAATTCGGATACTCCCTTCTCACAGCCCGCGCGCTCCTCACGTCGAGGAAGATCAATTTACGATTGGCCTCGCACAGCTTTCGCGCCTCGGGCGTGAGGAAGTCCCACTCGTGTTGGGGCACGTGGACGCTGTCCAGGAGGTAGCCCTTCGTGCGACTCGCGTCGACGACCGTGGCCGTCGGCAATAGTGAAGGCAGGTCCGCCGCTTCTATGGATGTGAGGTCGTCGTCGACCTGTGTGGAAATCAAATTTCGATGTGCTTCCGTAGCTGCGTCTGCTCGATGGCGTTCAGGTTGATTTCCACACGGTCGTCGACGGGAAGCGTCAGGCACTCCCCCCGCGCCACGGGCGGTGGCTTTTTTTGCTTCGCCTGCATGGTGTCGAGGTGCCGGCGGCTCTTCTTCGCGGCGGCGCCGATCGCTTTGCCGCGGCGGCCCATGGAGTCTGCTGCTTGTTTGTGGCTGCCCCTCTGTCGGGCTGTGCGGTGCTGGTGCGCTCTCGCCGAGCGCTGCACGCCCGAGACCGATGGATTTCAAGTCGTCTGACGCTGCCCGATGTGTGACCTCGCTATAGCTGGGCAGCCACTAGCAAAAAATCTGAGGCGTGCTAGTGTCTTACGACACGCTAGCTCCGATTTTGAGCGGAAAGCCCGCGGTCCGAGCCGTTTAAGGCAGCGTCGGAGCAACCTGGTTTCGAGGCCTCCCCGACTGCCTATGACCTCTCCTTGATGATCCGAACAGTGGTGGCAGCGATGCTCGCGCTCCGAGCTGGCGCGCTGGTGGCCAGAGCAGCCTCCCGGCGGCCGCGCGCCGTGCTCCGAGCCGCGAAGAAGTCCACGAGCGCCGAACCACTAACAACGAACTTCGAGGCCGCCGCCGCTTCTGTAGTAGCGAAACCGCAACGATTACCTTTACCGGCCAAAACGCGGAAGACGGTCGCGTTCAATCAACAGTACCTCTGCGCGGGCTGCGGCTGCTTGCTGCCGCCGGAGCACGAGATCGACCACATCGTGCCCGTGGCGCTCAATGGTTCGGACGCCCTGTCGAACTTGCAAGCGTTGTGCAAGCCATGCCATCAGCAGAAAACGCGCGACCAAAGGCACACGATCCTCGACGCCGTGAAAAAGGAACCACCAGTAGTGGAAGAGAAGGAGGTGAAGCGCGTTCCACCGCTGAAGCTGAACGACCAGCAGCGCGCCGCCGTCGAAGCGTCTACGGAACCGATACGAGTCGTCGCCGGCCCCGGCACGGGGAAAACTCGAGTGTTAACGCGACGAGTGGCTCACTTGGTGGAGAGCGGCGCGCGCGCGTCGTCGGTGCTCGCCTTGACCTTCACGAACCGAGCTGCCAATGAGTTAAGAGAGCGATTGGAAGAGGAAATAAACCCCCAGGACGCCTCGTCCATCAGCGTCGGGACCTTTCATCGAGTCTGTTTGACGATGCTGCGCGACGACGTGGAAGCGCTCGAGTCTCCTATTAAGCGCGGCTTCGCGGTCTACGACCAGGCCGCGATGATCAAGCTCTGTGTGCGGCGGCGTCCTTGAGCCATCTTCACGAGGCCGTGGGTGGTTTCGTTTTCGATTTCGAGCCGTTTCGGACCGCGTCGGGGCCATCGTCGCGTGAGAGACCGTCGTACAACGCAGGTGGCCGCTGCATCGCCGAGAAGCCTCCCGTAGGCTTAGGCTGGGACAAGTCGGAAATAAAACCGGCGCGCGTCCAGTCCGCGATTTCGTCCCTAAAAAACGCGGGCTTCGACGCATCATCATATGCGGACCTTACGAAAGAGGGATACGGCGACCGCATCGTCTCGAGAGTTTTCGATCTCTATGAAAAGACGCTGCAGCAGCGCAACGCGGTGGACTTCGACGACATGCTGTCGCTGACGGCGCGGCTCCTGGAGCACTCACCTGCTACAAGAGCCAAGTACGCGGGCCGCTGGAAGCATGTGTTAGTGGACGAGTTCCAGGACACGAACGGCGTGCAGTACGACGTCCTCAAACTCTTAGCGTCGGATAGTGTTTTCGTCGTCGGCGACAGCGACCAGGTCCGTGGCGCGGCGTTGTGAATGAACTTGACCGTGACGCCGTCGCGGCGATGGCGTTGACGCGACACCACATCGTCACTGATCATCAGAGAGTCTACGCGCCTCGCGAGAGAGCCGCGGCCACATCACGACGGTGTCCGTGCCACGCAGGCCATTTACGGGTGGCGCGGGGCCGACTACGAGAACCAGCAGCGGTATGACGATGATTTCGGGGCGCGATTACTTAAACTGGAGAGGAACTACCGCTCCGCGCAGCCGATCTTGTCCGCGGCGTCGGCGGTCGTCGAATCTACAACTCGTAGAAGGGACGCTCTGTCGTTGGAAGGGCGCGAAGGCTCGTTGGTGCCGTCGATCGTCGAGCTGGAGGACCAGGACGACGAGGCGCGGTGGATTGCCGATGTGTGTGTGAGAGCCGAGGGCGACGTCGCTGTTTTATACAGGACGAACGCCCAGTCGCGAGCCGTCGAGCGGGAGCTGCTCAAGGCCGGCGTGTCGTACCAGTTGTTGCACGCCAAAGGCTTTTTTGAGAGGAAGGAGATCCGCGACGTCCTCGCGTATTTACGACTACTACTCGCGTATCCGAAGGATGATGATGCCTTTGAGCGGGTTGCGAACGTGCCGCCGCGGGCCGTCGGGCCTCGCTCTCTCGAGCGATTACGGGTCCAAGCTCTCGAGGGTGGAGAGGGCATGCTGCACGCCGCGGCCAACGCGAAGAGTCCGGTGCCCGCGCGCGCGGCTTCCAACCTCAAGGTGTTTACCGATGCTTTGGATGAGTTGCGAGAGCTACAACAGGCGACTTCAACACCAATCCCCGCCGAGGAGGGCCACGCCGGGCCCCTCGTGGGGTCGATGGCCTGGTTTTTACTGGAAGTGCTGGTGCGTGCGCGGCGTCCCTTGGCCCTTCGACGTGTGTGGCGCCTCGCGGCGATGGCGTTTTGTGCGCCTCGACGCCGCCACAGAGATACGCTGTCGACGCGACGCCGTCGACGCGACGCCATCGACGCGACGCCATCGCCGCGCCGCCGTCGACGCTTAATACAACGCAGGCCCGCACGGGCTACGAGCACTACCTGAGACATGAATCTGTGGATGGCGCCGACCGCTGGCGGAACGTGAGGGAGTTGGCCAACCTCGCCGCGCCCTACGCCGCGGGCGAGCTCGTCGAGTTCCTGGACACGCTCGCGCTCGTCCAGGACCAGGACATGGCCGCCGACGACACTGAGGAGAAGACACCCCCTAAAGTTCGCCTCATGACGGTCCACGCGTCGAAGGGCCTCGAGTTCCAGACCGTGATCATTGCGGGCTGCGAAGAGGGGTTGTTGCCGCACTACTACGCCACTGCTGATAAGGATGGCGAGGAATTGGCCCAAGCTGTGGATGAAGAGCGGCGCTTATTGTACGTGGCCATGACGCGGGCCAAGGAGTCGCTGGCCCTGACGCGGGCTAGGACTCGCTTGACGTGGGGCGTCTCAAGGCAAATGGAGGCGTCGCGGTTCTTGGATGAAATTCCCGCCGATTTACGGCGCGACGTCCGCGTCGCTGCGCCTCCTTCTTCATCGCGGCGGAGGCGGTGGTCGTCTTCTCGCAGGAGGAGTGATGGGATGCTTGCGGGGTTCTAAGTCTACTTGTATTTTATATTTCGGTCCCGCGTGCGTAAAACGGGTTCCTGTGAATTTGCCGACTTGGCACGACGTGCGTGAGCGCCTGTTTGACGAACGGTCCGAGATTAGTCACGGCGACTCTCCGAAACAACGCCTGCGACGCGTAATCGTCGAAACTGAGCCGGAGCGGCCTGCTCTCAGCTTTGAACCAATGACCACTGACTTTTGTTGATGGAAACGCCGTCGGAAGTCGACCTCCTGCTCTCCGTGTCGCGGCCGTCGCCGCCGCGCGACGACCACGGGCCGCCGAAGCGCCGGCGGTCGCAGCGCCGGCCCAAAACGAAGCCCGTCGGCGACGCGTGCGACGACGCCCGCAAAAAGCACCGCGGCAGCCACGGCGGCGCGGCGGCACGCGCGCGCGGGCGGCGCCCGCGCCGCCCGCGGGCGTCGGAGGCATCGCGTGGGCGCCGCCCGCGATGCCTCCGACGACCGTGACGCCCGCGACGCCCGCGCCACCGCCGCCCGCGCGGCCCCCAGAAGCGGTCGACCAGGACGCTCTCGCGGCGGAGGCGATGCGTTTGCGTCCCGCGTCCCTTTTTTGGCTTTCTACTTCTAGCCCTCTCGACGGTTCTGGCCTGCGACGGCGGACCGCCGCGCTCATGATCTAGCCCACGGCCGAGCTACCGCTCGACGACTGAGCCTACGGCGAGGTCCCCACTCGTGGCCTACGGCTGACCCCGCGGCCGAGCTCCGCGGCCGTTTGGAGCCTGCGTTGGAGCGCCACGCGCACGACCTCGCGGCCGCTCGACGGCTGAGGGCCAGCATCTACCCCACAAATACGCCATCGCCGCGACCCGCCACCAGGACGCCATCGACGCAGGCCTGGACCGGGAAATCCAACAGATGGCCGACGTGGCCGACCAGCTTGTCACGACGCTCGAGAAAACAGTGGAGGAATTGAGGCGGCGGGCGGGCGTGCCGCCCTACGACCCCGCGAACGCCTACACGCTCAGCGCGCTGGTCGCGGCGCCCGCGCCCGCGCCGGATTTCGACGCGCAGCTCGCGGCGGCGCTCGCATCCGTGCCACCGCCGCCTGGTCCTCCCGCGCCTGCCTGACCTTTGGCCCGCGCTCCTCTGCGTGGTGTTACAATAACAATGCACATTAGTGAATCTCGGCGACGCGCCCGAGCATTTCTTGAACTTGAAATAACAATTCATTCACATTAGTGACCCCCAATATCCCATGAAAAATCGACGACGCGCTCGACCATTTCGACGGGAAGCGCAGGGAATTTCGGGAGGAACATCGCCACGAGGCGCTGGCGGTGGGCCTTCTCGTAGGCTTTGTATCCTCCCGCCGCGCGGATGTTCTCTATGTACGCGCGCGTTTGCGGGAAACCGCGCCTTGGCGGATACTGCGGCGGCGCGGTTATTACGGCCGGTAGTGCCGCGCCGGCGCGCAGGAGCGGAGCGCAATTGCGTTGTTTGCCACTACCAATCGCAAGCTCCAATGCTCGATCTAAATCCACGGCGCCTGCAGCGATGAGCTGCCTGACGGCGCCGGCCGTACCCTCCTCTGCTGCGCTGGCTAACACGGATCGATGATATTCAGTAGAGGTCCAAGTCCTGTCCGTGAAATTAGGATCGGCGCCTGCCTCCAAGAGCATTGCGATGACGGCGTGGTATGCCGCGGACTTGCTTGTCACACTCCATTGCAACGGCGTTCGTCCATCGGTAACCAAGTCTACTGAAGCACCAGCCTCCAGAAGCACCGATATGCATTCGAGACGCTCCTGAAGACGCCTCCGCAGGGTACTTACTCCGCCAAAACACCGCGTAATGCAGAAGTGTGGTGGTTGACCATTCGTTTTCTAGCATGTCAACCTCGCCGCCAGCCGCAAGTTCGCGCCGCAACGCTTCGGCGTCGAAGGCCCTGACAGCAGCAAAAATCGGGCCCGGATCTTCCTGGGCCATGCTACGCGCCGCGCTGTCGGCTTTGTTGAAGAACGCAGCAGATCGGCGGCGGAGCCGACGCAGCGATGACGAGCGGCAAAGCCTGGGTGAAAAACGGGAGCACAAGCCTAGCGCTCTATTGACACACTAGCCCTCAGCTTTGCGCGAGCTAAGCTTGCTTGATCTCCCGCGTACCGGTGCTCAGCACGCTCGTCGGACCACCCACGCACCGCTCGTGACGAGACGCCTGGCTGGCGGTGATTCCTCGCGCCGGGCTAGCACCTTGATAGCGACACCACTGCGAGACGCCGTCGCCGCGAACGCAGCAACAAATGACGACGACCGCCGAGGCCTGCGTCGAGGCCTACCTCCAGGAGCAAGCCAAACAGCAACCGGTCGACAAGAAAACAAAAAAACAAAGGGCCGCGCTGCGCAAGCAGGTCGAGGCGCTCTTCGCCGACGACGCGCTGTTACTGCTCGGCCGCGCGCAATTATCGGAGATAAATGCCGCGGGCAAGTATGCGTTACCGCTGAGCGAGCTCGCCGCATTGCCACGCTTGAAATCTCTCCTCAAGAACCAGGACGGAGAAGCCCTGATCCGCGCCGCGCTGGAGGACTCGGAACTCGTCTCCATCAGTGACGCGTGCGTCGAGCGGCCCCTGGCCCAGGACCTCGTGCAGCAGTACGACGCGCAATTGAGGAGACACGTCTCGTACATCTTCTCGGACGACGGCCTCCAGTCCTGCCCGCCCGGGAAGTTGAGAAGTATGCTCGACGAGGACGAAAATACGTTGTTCCTGCCGCTGGCTTCCGTGGTTGACATCAAGAAGATCAAAGAATTGTTAAAAAACGAAGCTGACAAAGTAGACGCGTGCCGCGCGGCGATCGACGCGGCCGAGCCGGGCACGCTCATCTGCCGCGTCGAGGATCATGAACAGGGGCCGAGAGTGGTAAGGACGCAGGACCTGCCTGATGAAATTTGGGAGTGCGTTTTTCTGCGTCTTCTTTTGTTCTATGTGTTTGGCGGCGCCTCGACGGCGTTCCCGCGCGACGGCGTGTTGTCATCGTTCCACGGCTGAGCCTACGGAAAAGTCCCGCGGCCGCCCTCGCGGCTACGGCTGATCCCGCGGCCGCGCCTCGCGGCCGTTGAGCCTGTGGCGAAGCGCCCAGCATCTACCCCACCGTCACGCCGTCGCCGCGACCCGCATCCGCGCGCAGGCTCCTCGAGTCGAACCCCGCCGGCGGCCGCGCCGTCGCCGTCACGAACATTCGAGGCAAGGACGCGCCGGCTTTGAGATTAGCCTTCGCCAAGGTCGGGACCATCGAGGCCGTCGAGCTCGGCGAGGACGAGCGCGGCGCGCCGACGGCGTCGATTATTTTTGACGAGGAACTCGGGGCGATCCGCGCCGTCGAGGAATTGAACGACGAGGACAACTGGCGCTTCGGCATGCGCGTCCGATTAGAATCGGGCATGGCGCCTTCTGCAGCAAGGAAGGCCGCCGGCCTGCCACCCCGGCCCAAAGAAAAAAAGCCCCAGTTCAACGAGCGCTGCGCGACCGAGGGCTCGAGCCGCGCGGCGGCGCCGCCGCCTCCACCAATACCCGTCGTCCCCGTGCCCGTGATTGTGGAGGAGATCCCCGAGGGCCGGCAGCGCGGCAAGCTCGTTTATTTGAAGGAAGGTTTGTGTTTCTGTGTCCGCGGCTTCCATCGACGCGCCGTCACCGCGTTTCCAACCGCAGGCAAGTTCGGCTTCATCCGGCCGCGCGACGCCAAGTCCAAGGACGACCACGCGTTTTTTAACATGAACGAGCTGTGCGTTTTTCCGCGTCCCTTTGTCTGCGCACTCTCGGACGCCTGCGCCTGCGACAACGCCATCACCGATGCCTCGTAGCCCCCCCGACGCCATCGCCGCGACCGCGCCTCTCCTCCGCAGGCCGAAGAACCTCAAGCTCAAGCTCGGCGACTACCTCGAGTACACGCCCGCGACGGGCGAGCCCAAGAACGGCGCGCCGGGCAAGCCGCGCGCGACGAAAGTGGAAAGGGCGCCGCGGCCAAAGAAGCCGTCGAAGAAGCAGCTCGAGGACGCGGCCGAGGCGGCGCGCGTCGCGGCGCTCGCGGCCGCCGCGCTCGAACGACGGAACGCGCCGCCCGTGTCGAAGCTCGAGGCCCTCGCGCTGCGCGTCGAGGAGCGGCGGTCGACGTCCGAGAGCGCCGAGGTCGACGAGGCCGAGGAGCGGCCGGACCGGCTGCGGTCGCGGCTGCGGTTGAAAGCTAGGTCGGCGTCGGAGCCCGAGCAGCCGTTCTCCGACGTGTCGAAGCTGGCCAAGGGCCCCGACGGCACGACGGGGTTTCTTCGCACGCGGACGATCAAGCCGTTTGGGTTCTCGGCGGAGGTGGCGGAGTTCGTGCCGTCGTTTTTGCCTGCTGATCCTCCGCACGGTGGTGGTAACATATATTAGTTGATATATGTATATTTTAGAATTACCTCTGGCGATTCCGGGCGCCGCGTTCGACTTGCCGGCCAACCGCGGCGCGCGACCGCCCGCCGACCATGAGCGCCCCCTACTGACTTTTCGTAGCGGGTGACGCACCAGCACCCGCGCCGACCACGCGGTGCGCGACATTCGTCTCCAGGGACTTCTACCCCACCAGCACGCCATCGCCGCGATTTTACGCCATCGACGCGATTCAGCAAAACATCTTGCTTCCGCGACCGCCCGTGTTGAAGCTCGAGGTCTTCGCGCTGCGCGTCGAGAGCGGCCGGACCGGCTGCGGTCGCGGACTCGCGGCTGCAGCTCAATGCTCTCCGACGTGTCGCGGCGGCGTCTCGCGTGACGCCCTGTCCCGCAAGCGGATCTGGCACCCTCGCATCAGTGCGGCGGTGGCGACGCCGGCCTTTTGAGATAAAGAGCCTGCTACTGATGCTCCATCATCTTTGGTGCGCCGCGACGCTTGCCAGGGCGTCTGTCCGACTTCGGAACTCAGGCGGGCTCTCAATACTGCATCCCTGACCGTGGTGGCCACTCGCAGCGCGTGGCCTGCGACGGAGCACCAGCAGCAGCTTTTGGCCTCCGGAAGAGAATGATTCAAAAGCGCTGCGCTCATCGGGAAACCAGCGCTCACAGAAGTGCAACCAGAGATCCAGGTTACGCAGGAGACCAGTAGCTGTCCTCAAAGGACTGCTGGTTCCGGTTCAATTCCCTGAACGCAGACGTGTTTTCACGCATGCGAGGGCTCGGGGAGCTCAATACGACGTCCTCGTTAGTATAGTGGTCAGTGCTATCTACAGCGACTTGTATTCCTGCCTGTCTGATCTCTCTTTTTTTTGCTCTCAGACACGTCGAGACAAACGAGCGCACCGCTTTGAAGGAGTTACAGCCATTCTCAGCCATTTTTGGGTGGATCACGGACACGCTGTGAGCCCGCGAGCAGGACATACACGCGCGTAGCCAAGAACAACGACCACCCCAAGGGGCAGGCATCAACATAAAATTCTCCGACGCGCCTGGCGCCGACGTAGCACCCTCCCGTCGCCGTGCGCGTCGTCGGCGCGCTCGCGAGCTCATTCGTTTCAAGACGTGCGAGCTGCGGCGCTCGCGCTGCGGCTGTCCGCGGCCTGCTCGCGTGTCGCGCGCGTCTCTCCATCACGGCGCCGAGCAGGCGAGGCGCCGCCGGCCACGGGCAGCCTGCAGCTGAAGCTCAGCGAGCAGCAGCAGAGCAGCAAAAGAGCGCAGGGCAGGTGCCTTGGCCTTTATGGCAGCGCCGGTTGGGTCTGCGAGTACGATGAGCCTGCAGCACTGTGTTTTTTCAGGAGAACAAAAAGTCGGCCGCAGCTTCCTACCAAAAATAATGTAGAGAAGTAAGATTAGTAGTAAAATTCTATCTCAATCGCAACTAATCGTACCTGTGCGGACACGGTGAGGTGCGTTGAGGCTAGAGACCGCCAAGGCGGAGACTCGAGACTTGATTGTTGGCTTGGAGCGCCTGGAGCCTGGCTTTGCTTGCGGATCCGCCGCGCGCGGCCGACCGAGCCCGCCGAAGGCAACGCCTACTCAGAGAGCGCCGTCGAGCCGCGCCGAAGTTAAGGGTGCGCATTCCGTCCCTCGGCGCTCCGTTGGCGGAACGGCGCACGTGGAGGGCATTGTCTTTCCTTTCGAATCCGCCGCGCTCCGAGCCGGGCCCGCCGACGCCAACGTCGGCCGCCGTACGGACACGCTGATGTGTGCCGACCTTGCCGAGGGCGGGCTATGAGCGGCGGCCCTCCCTGCGCGCCATCGACGCGGCGCCGCCCAGCATCGCCCGTATTCGCCGGCGCCGTCGAGACGACCCCGTGGCGTCGTTAAACGGTACGCGATGGCGGCGTCATCTTGCCTAGTAGTAGTCCAGGTCCCGATCAAAGGTCCCTTAAAGCGGAATAAGGAGAGAACTCGAAACGGCTCCAGTGTTGGCCCCGTTCAGTGCGCGACATCGAGACGACCTCGCGGCGTCGCGATCTAGTACGCGTTGGACGCGTGACCTCGCCTGAGCGCGCCCCGGGCCTCCTGGAAAGCGGCGTAAAGCGGGGAACCGCGTCGATGGGAAATGGGCTTGACGTTGGCCTCGTTCTGAACGCGACGTCAAGACGACCCCGCGGCGTCGTGAAAACGTACGCGTTAACCTCGTGTCGCTGGTCTTGGGCCCCCGATGAGCCGCGATACAGGGTATGGACGGGTGTGGACACGAATTTCAACTCAACGTGGTCTGTTCGAGGCAGCGCTCGGCAGCGGGCTATCTAACTGTCCTGAAGAACAACTTCGCCTGTACGCAGGCAGCGGAAATGGGCGAAGACCCGCCACTAACTTATTTTTGCAGGTCTAGAGGCACATGCGACGTCACCTCGGCCCGATCGAGGCCACGCCGACTCGGCGGCACGACAGAAGTAGCGAGGGAGCTCCAATTCCACGTAAACAACTTAGCGCCTCTAGTAGCGGTCCGTCCACCGCCCGGGGAGTGGAATTTGCGGACTTGGAAGCAGAGTGCGCGTGCAGCGCGCTGCCACGCCTGCTCGGCGTCCACGCAGCCGCCGTACGCCGGTGTGGAGCGTCAACCTAAGTGCCGTCGAGCTAAAGGCGCCACGGCGGCCGTCGGCTGCGCGTCGATGCAGCGAGAACCAGGCGCCTGCGCGCACGACGGTGCGCACGCGAGCTGCACCTTGCCTAGCCTAAAATCGAATTTGCCATGCGAGTTCCAATGAGCACCGGAGCCCGCCCGCACCTGCATTTCGCGTTCATGTGACGGGCAAGGGGCCAGGGGCAACTTCATGCACCAAATCGGAAGTGGAGTGTCGAAGTGGCACGTTGCCTCCAGCTGCCGCTGCTGCTGCTTGGCAGCTGCCCTGGGAGCCTGGCTGCGCGCTGCAGCACGGTACGCAGCTGCAGAGGGCCAAAAAGTGCCAATTTGGACGTGCATTTCGCCTTGGGAAAAGTATTAGGTATAATGGGTTGCACAAAAATGGTGATTATACACAGTAGGGTACTAGATAGGGGGTTCGCAGTACTTTTCATGGCCATCACCGTACGTGGCGACACCCGGTCGCCGCCACCGCTAGGCGGAAGGTTCTTAGCAGTAGCAGTCGTCGTGGTGCACTGAGTGTTGGGGGCTGGGGGCTTGGCGAAGTTGGCGCGTCGACGCCGGCGCTGAGTTCGTACTGATTGTCAGCCTGGCCTTAGCAAGACTCCGCCGAGGCGCCGCCGAGGCACACGGGCCACGCGGGGCGGCCCTCGCAGTACGCCGTCGACGTGCCGCAGTACAGCTTGGCCCGTTTCCGTACTTCCGCACCGCGTCGAGGACTCGTACTTGTTGTCCGCTTGGCTTTGAGTGAGACGCCGCCGAGGCACGCGGGCCACGCGGGGCGGCCCTCGCAGTACGCCGTCGACGTGCCACAGTACAGCTTGGCCCGTTTTCGACGAAACGGTCGCGCGCAGCGTCGAGAACTCGTACTCATTTTGAGCCAGGCCGTGCCTACGCTCGCCCAACAACTTCTATTAAGGCGGGCGGGCCGGCCCCGTGCGCCGTCGACGCGCCGTCGGGGCCCTGTGCTCTTTTAATTGAATAAATTATTTTTTTACTCTATATATTACGTTAATGGGGTTTTTTCCGCGTTTGCACGTTGGCGCGCGGCGTCTGGGGTCTGTGGGGCTGCCTGCATTGTACTGGAACTTCATACCGCTGCCCACGGGTGCTGCGTCGCGCAAACAAGGCAGCGGCACGGTGGGCGCTTCGTGGTTTTGGCTTGGGACGCTGTCATCCAAAATTTGGGCTTTTTGGGGGTGCTACGGCGCCGTGCGGGACGCGGAGAGCGACGTGGGGGCGGCGCTGCGGCGGGATGGTGGTGCGGCATCGTACGAGGACACTGGCGCTTGAGGCTGCAGCGCGCGTGTCGACGGCGCTGCAGTGATTCCGGTGCTGTTGGGCGCTGCCCTTGAGCGCCGTGTTTATGGAGCGGCGCGCGCGTCGCGGCGCCAGCTTGGGCGAGCGGCGCGCGCGCGTACGACGCTGGCGTAGCTGTGGGAGGGCGTCGCGTGCGGAGCTGTCGCGGCGACCGGCACGCGGAGAACTGCTCGTGCCGCCCTCGCCCTCGGCGTCGGCGGCGCCCCCGCTTCGCTCGGCGCCCTCGCACTCGCGGTCATGGCGACGTGGCCTGCCGTGCGAATGCCCTCGACGCCGTCGGCGCGGCGGACCGACGCAGGTGGCCGCGCGCTCGGTGCCAGGACCCGTCTTATTAACTAGGTAGTTCCACGTATCTAATAGCGAACGACGGCGTCGACGCGTTTCCCGGACACCATCTCCGGACCCATGTCATCTCCGGACCATGTCACATATGTGTACGAGAGCGGCGCCGCTGCACCCACACGTGTCGCACGGGGACCCGCATCGCTGCCCGACGTATCCCTCGGGCCCGTCGCAAAGCGCTGCAGAAGCTTGCTCTTCTCGAAAGGGCGGCATTTCACCGGCCTTGCCCAAGGGCTGCCGCATTGCAGCACATCCGCCGAGCGCGCGCGCACGTATAGCACCCAAAGAGATCGACCATGCGGCCCCGCTCCCTCGCCAGCGGCTCCACCACTACACGCCGCGCCCTGACCACCGCCACGCCGCCCGCGCCGAAGTCGCACGCGCTGGCCGCCGTCGGCGTCGCGGCCGGCGCCCTCGGGAGCGTAGCGGTGGGCGGCCTTCGTCGCGATTCTACTCACGACTCGGCTGGACGTCGCGCACCACGCGGTCAACGGGACCTTTCCCCTCGACGTCATGTGCATGGGCGCGGCCGACGCCGCTGCCTACTACGCGGCCCCCGGCGCCGACGACGTGAATGCGGCCGCCGTCACGGTCGCTCCCGATCCGGTCGTCGTCAACGACGACGCCGCCGACTTCGTGGCGTCGGGGCCGTCGCGCGTCGCCGACCTAGGCGCGGGCTCGGTCCGGTCGGCCGGCGCCACGCGTCCGAGGCGCGGTCGACGTCTTCGCCGTCGACGCGATCGACGTGCGGCCCCCGGCAAGCGGGCACGCGGCGGACGTCGTCGCCTCGCACCGTTCCAGCCCCGAGCGCGCCGGCGGACGTCCCCGAAGATCCCTGGCCGTCGCCCCGTACATGTTCGGTGTCCGCCGCCGTGCCTTCACGCCACTACGGCCTTGTCGTTTGCGCGGCGTTCCTACGACCGAGCGACCCCAGGGCCGCCGCCTACGGCTGATCCCGCGGGCGGGCCCGTGGACGTGCTTGAGGCGCTGCCCATTGCAAAGCCTGGAGCCCACGGCCCGTCCTCTACCGCATCGATACGCCATCGCCGCGACCCGGACGCCATCATCGGCGCGACAGTCGTACTCACACAGGGGCCCTCGCCGCGCTGCGGCGCGCGGGCGCGCGGTCCGTCGACACGCTGGCGCCGAGGGCGCGCCCTGGCGGCGCCGCGTCGTGGAGTCCTTGTGGCCGCTACGGAAGCGCTGACGGTCGGCGCGCGCCGCGCGCGAGCCGCCGCCGCGACAGCGTCGCCCGCGGTGATTGTCTGGACGTCGGCGGGCGAGCTGCGCGTGCTAGTGCGCGCCGACGACGCCGACGCCGCGCCGCTCGCCAAACGCCTCGGCTTGCGGTCGATGGCCGACGCGCTCTGCTGCCGACGCGCTGACTGGCACCGCGTCGCGTGCGGAGCTGTCGTGGCGGGCGGTATGCTCGTGGGAGCGCGGGTCGTCTGGGCGCGGCGAGCGCCGATCGGCGCGCCCATGTTGCCCTCGGGGTCAAGAGAGACATGCTGATGCTGTGGGTGCCGGCGTCGCGGCGGCGTTCCTCGCGGGCTGCCTCGCACGGACTCGCCCACGGCGCGCTCGCGGACGACGACCGTCCGGCCAAAGAAGCGGGCTTACGTCGAGGAGACGACGCCGCCGTGTCCTTCCCAATGTGACGCGCACGAACCGAGCGCGCTATGCGCCCGTGGTCTCCTGTAGTACTAAGGTGTGCGTATAGTAATGTAATTTATCCGAGGGCGGCCAGCCGGCCTCCGCCGGCCTGTCCGTTCGCGTTCGGCGCACGACTCCAGCTAGAGTTGTGAGACACTAGCCAGCAACCAAAAATCGGCCCGCCAGTGCTGCGTATACTGCCGTTATTGCAGTAGCTGTTACGTTCGCGGAGGCCGCCAAGGACCGCGTTGCTCAGAGCCTGGCGCTTGCACCAGAGGCGGCCCCGTGCGCGTGGTAGCAGCCCCCTGCACAATGAGTTTCTGGGACGAAATGAATCGCGTCAAGAGCGAGCGGACGGGCGACCAGATAGCTTGCGGTCGCTGCGGCTACCCTCAGAAATGGTGCACGTGTGAAGGCGACGACGACTCCGGCGAGGACGCGCCGGCGCAGGACGAGGAGGCCGCCCTCGAGTGCGCGCCGGCGCAGGACGAGGAGGCCGCCCTCGAGTGCGTGCCGAGGAAGGTGGCGCGCAAGAAGCGCAACAAGGCGCCCGCGCCGCGCGCGCCGCAGCCGGCGCTGCCGCCGCCGCGCCAGCCGTCGCAGCCGCAGCGCGCCCTGCCCGAGCCGCCCGTGCTGCAGGTTGTGTCGCCTTCGCCGTCGCCTTCGCCCACCTTCGCCGCCGCGCGCGCCGCGAGCACGCCGACGCGGGCCGCGGGGATGGACGTCGACGACGACGAGCCTGCGGTCTGCCGGCCCGTGCCGACAGGCACGATGCTTGAGGGGCTGACCGTAGCGCAGCTCAAGGCCAAGTGCGAGGCCAAGGGCCTCAAGGTCTCCGGCACGAAGGACGAGCTCATCGCGCGGCTCGAGGGATGGGAGGGATGGGCTGTCGAAGACAGTGCGCCCACGTCAAGCAGCCAGCGCGGCCCGCGCGGCGAGCCCACGGAGCCGCTAACGACGCCACCGAAGGCGGACCTGGAGCACATGCCCGGGATGATCAAGGCTTTGCGGATCAATGGCACGCACCTTTCAAACTACGCGCTAGGTCGGAGCAAGCCTGTACGCAAGGCCTGGTCCCCGGCGCTCCTGAATTTAGCTAAAAAAAAGGCTCCGCCGCGGCGCGTGACGGTCACCAACCTCGGCAGCAAACCTCACCCCTCGAGCATGCGCAACACCGAGTCCGCGGGCGACGACGGTGCAAAGCGCGCGCGGACGGAGGACGACGAGCAAGGGACAGAAGGGCCCGGTCACGAGTTAGACCCTCACAATGAGGGCGAGTATCCGGCAGATCAAGCGTTGCAATGGGACAACGTCTCGAACGGCACGGACCAGTGTGGCGAATCTCACGGCCCGACTCCGGTTTGCGAACTCACTGGTTATTGCACACAGGTTCCCAACAGTGGCAGGCGGCCCAAGCGGCGTGGGCGGCGGCGAGGGCGGCCGCGGAGCCGCCCGTCGCGGTGACGCCCGTGCCAGCTGCTGTGCCGCCCGCGCCATCGCCCATGGCGCGGCGCGTCGCGGTGCCGGCCGCGCGGCCTCCCGCTTCGCCCGCCGCGCCGACGCCGCCCGCCGAGGCGACGCCGCCCGCCGCGCCGACGCCGCCCGCGGCGCCGCCGGCGCCGGCCGCCGCGCCGCTGGCGCCCGCCGCGGCGACGCGGCCCCCCGCGCCGACGCCGCCCCCGCCGAGGCGCCGCCCGCCGAGGCGACGCCGCCCGCCGCGCCGACGCCGCCCGCCGCGCCGACGCCGCCCGTCGAGGCGCCGCCCCCCAAGAAGAAGGAGAAGCGGCGGTGGTCGAAGTCGGAGCCACCACGGCACAACCAGATGGTGTTTGGCGAGGACCACAGAGCGGCCTATGCGCCGCGCCAGGCGGCTGGCATGCTTTGCTCGGCGATGTTGCAGGAGGTCTTCGGCGCTTCGGCACAGGAGGCCCGCGTGTGGTGTGTGAACCACGCGGACGTGGCGTTCTCGGTCGAACTCTCTCATTTAGCTAGGAATCAATGCGGCGGTGTCAACGGCAAGTGCTTGGCCGAGCGGACCCCCGGAGTCGGCGCACGACCGTATTACGGCGTCGCATTTACGAACGTCACGGGTGAGGACCGGCCGACGGCGGTGGCTCGGCTTATCCGGGGCCTGCGGGAGACGAGGACGGCCTGGCTGTGCGGAGACTGTGGGAGGGCTCATGCAGAGACCGTCGGGTGGTTTATGTTTAACATGCATGGGGCGAGCGTACTGTGCTGCGGCCCCGGCGGCCGCGGCGACCCCGATTCCTTCTGTCTCAGAAACGACGGGTTCGGTTGTTTGGCGAGCTTCGCGCTCGGCGACGTCGGCGGTAGCGTTGACGAAGCGGCGATCGGGGCCGAGTACGATCTGCTCAACGAGGGCCGGCCGCAAGAACGGAACATCTTCTGCGGAAAATGCGCCGAGGAGGCGGCGGATCAGCGCGGGGGAACTGTGTTTCCGATTGCTCTTCTTGGTCGAGGGGACAGGGACAAGGCCATCAAACGCGCGAAGAAGAGGGCCGAGAAGGTCGCGGAGAAGCTAGGGTCACCGCGGCAATAAACTTGTACCTGTGAACTTAATCTTTCGTGCCTCGAGGCCTCGAACCCCTCCCCGCACAGACTCTCTCTCTCTCTTACCCGCACCTTCCAGCCCTGGCAAGTATGGACCCGTAAAACCCGTTTTTATTGAAAGAAATTTTTTTTTCTCTCGCGCGTCGCGGCGCACGCGGCGCACGGACCGCGCGGCCGTTTTGAGGACCCGAGGGGTTCCACGCCGCGTACCTAAGTAGCGTCACACAAGAAAAAAACACCGCGAAATGGCCGCTTTGATAGCTGCAGTTACAGGCGCCCTCCTCCAGCCCGCCCCCAGGGGCGGCGTTCACTGGGAAGGAATTGTGCGGGTGCCCGGGCACCGAGAGTCCCAGGTCTTCAAGAAAGGCGAGCGGTATTATACGACGGACGGCTCCACCCTGCCGCACTGGACGCACGAGCACCTCGAAGGCCGCCCCGAGGAGCCGCTAGGCCCCGGCACCTGGTGGGGCCGGCCGGAAGAGGAGTCGTTGGCCGACGTCGTGGGCAACCCCTCGCTGCTCTACTACACAGAACCCGATGCGACGTGCCTGGTGGTCGCTCTCTTGGACCGGCCGCGCTTTTCTCAGGGCATGTACGAGAGTAGATACATAACACTCATGATGAAGATCATAGCAAAATTGCGGCCCTGGCAATATAAACATCGTGTCTGCAAATGCAACTTGGTGGCCGTGGACGTTTTCCCGGACGCCGACGAGTTCCGCCCGAGCCCGAACTCGAATGCCTGGAAATCCACCCACATCACCATGCCCGACCCCATTTGGACTGCCGAGGAGATCATGGCGTACGTCGACGGGCTGGGATCGCCCGATGTATACTGGGCTTCCTTCGGTTATTACCCTACGACCTACGAACCGATGCTTCGAGCGGCCTTCGACGAACTCGTCGACGCCCGCGCGGCCGCGGAACCCTAGTATCTAGCTAGCATGCACTAATATTCTTATGGTCCACAAGTGCCACTAACAAAGTCAAAACACGAACCACCCAGGCCCCTCCTCAGCAGAAGCAGCAGAAGCAGAAGAAGAACCAAACACCCGTTCCACCGCCCGCTCCACGTCCAGAAACGCCGACGCGTTCGCCAGCTGCTTCGCCGCCGCGTGCGACGCCGCGTCGTCGCGCCCGCCGTCGACGACGCGCCAGCCCGCGTCCGACGCCGACGCCGCCGCCGCCGCGAGGCCCCGCGCGTGGAAGCGCGTCGCGTCGAGGGCCGCCACCCGGAACCGCGCGGACCGCGCGCGGACGAGCGGCCGCCGCTGCGGCGCGAGGCGGCAGACGAGCGCGACGTCGGCGTCGCCGCGCACGACGGCCCAGCTCTCGCGGACGGGGCCGAGGTCGCGGTCCGCGCCGGCGACGTGGTCCGGCGCCGACCAGACCTTTGTGGAAATCCCCGTCTTCCGTGCTGGCTGAATTGGCGTCGCGTCGATGGCGTCGCTGGTTGATTTCCACACTGGACCAGACCTCGGGCGCGGCCGGCACGGCGCCGGCGCCGGCCTCGAGCGCCCCTGCGCGTAGGTCCGGGTCGCGGCGATGGCGTCTTGGCGGTGGGTCGCGGCGATGGCGTATTGGCACCGCCTCAAGCACGCCCACAGGCTCGCCCGCTGGATCGGCCAGGAACGACGCCGCGGAAACGACAAGACGCCGGCGCAATACAAGCGAGCCGCCGCGACTTCGACTGCCACTGCCAGACGACGACGTGCTCGGCCGCGCCGTCGCGGAGCCGCACGCGGACGGCGACGCCGGCCTCGTCGGCCGCTTGCAGCCACTGGCCGAGGCCCCGGGGCTCCACGACGCAGCGCCGCCAGGGCGCGCCCTCGCCTGCGTTTCGCGGTCGCGTCGATGGCGTCGTCTCTAGGCCTTTCCGCCCGCCGCGAACCCGTCGCGCCCGGGCAGCCGAGGGCTACATGCAGCGAGGATGCGCTCGACAGAGTATCGCCGCGGAGGCAGGGCAGGAGCCGCGCGATAACACCTCGAAGTTGAAAAGCGGACGCCGCAAAGGACCGTCGAGCGCGAGCGTGCCGGCGGACCGCGCGCCCGCGCGGCGCAGCGCGGCGAGGGCCCCTGTGTGAGTACGACTTGAATCGCAGGAACGCCGCCGCGGAAAAACGACGAGACGCCGGGTCGAGACGGGGCGACGGCCAGGGGTCCTCGGGGACGTCGGGAACGGTGCGAGGCGACGACGCGTCCGCCGCGTGCGCACCGAAGCGGACCGAGCCCGCGCCGAGGTCGGCGACGCGCGACGGGCCCGACGCCACGGAGTCGGCGTCGTCGTCGTCTTCGTCGCCCGGCTCGGGCGCAGCCGCGGCCGGCGGCGCGCCCGCCGCGTCGAGCCGCTCGAGGGCCGCGCGCGCGTGCCGGAGCCGGAACTCGACGCCGGCGGCCTCGAGCGCCGCCAGTGCCGCGCACGCGCGCTTGGCGCACCTGCGGTGGTCGTGGCTTGGGGCAGCGCGGCGGTAGCGTGGGCGTGGTCGCGAACGGTCCGTCGAGGGGAATCGAGACGAGTCGCGGCTCTGCGGCGCATTCGAGAGACCCCTCTGCCGTGCAACGAAGAGACAGTCGCCGGGCCGTCGACGCCATCGACGCGACTCGAAGACGTGCAAGGACGCCGCCTCAGAACCGTGGATCAGCAAACAACGCCCCGGCGCCGTAGTGCGCGACGGCGTGCTCCGCCGGCTTGAGCTGCGGCTCTTCTTCCACCGCGAGCGCCGCGAGGCTCGCGGCGAGCGCGCCGCCGTTGAGCAGTTCGATGAGCGCGAGGCGGCCGCGGCCCCTGTGCGCACGACCGTCGCGGCGATGGCGTCCGGGTCGCGGCGATGGCGTCCGAGTCGTGGCGATGGCGTCCGAGTCGCTGCGATGGCGTATTGGCGGGACGAAGGACAAGACGCCGGGGCACTACCAGCCGACGCGGCCGAGCCAGCGCCCGAGGCGCGCGTCCTGGGCGCGCGCGACGGCCCGCATCGCGGCCTCGCGCGCGCCGCGCGCGGCCTGCCCGTCCTTGGCGCGCGCCGCGGCGACGGCCGTCGCGGCCCCAGCCTGCGTTTTTTTTGAGGCGTCTTCCCCCGCGATGGCGTGGAACGCGACGCAGCGCGCTCCCACCAGCACGCCATCGCCGCGACGGTGAAGGCGCCGCATGGACACCGCATGTCGGACCTCGAGCAGGAACGCCGCGTAGCCCGCGGCCGCGCGGTGCGCGAGGCACGCCTCGACGGCGGCGACGACGCGGCGCGCCACGCCGTCGCCGTTCCGGTAGGGCTCGCCGCGCCAGGCCCGCCGCGCCTCGTCGCAGGCCGCCTCGAGCCGCGCGAGGCGCTGGTTCCGCTCGTAGGCCCAGCCCTCGGCGCGCCGGTCCCACGTCTGCGCCTCGTCGCGCTCCGCGGCGGCGTCCGCGTCGGCGCCGTCGTCGCCGCCGTCGCGCGCCGCCCGGCGCCGGAGCGCCGCGAGCGCCTCCGCGAGCGCGCGCGACGACGCGGCGCGGGCCCGCGCGACGTCGACGCTCCGTAATTCTTCGGCCATGGAGAGCTTGCGCTCGAGGGCCTGGGCCTCGACCTCGGACTTCGCAGCCCGCTCGCGGACGCGGCAGAGCTCGCCGAATAGGAATGCGCTCGGCGCGCGCTCCTCGCCGTCCGTCTCGGGCTCGGGCGTCGGCGCGCGGCCGGCGTCCCGAGGCGGGGGCTCGGCGGCCTCGTCCGCGGAATCGGCGGAGTCCGAGTCGCCGATGAGGGCCGCGAGCCGCGCGGCCTCGTCGTCGGCGACGTTGGTCGTCATATTGGCTCTTGCTGTTCGTGCAGCTCTGTCACTGGTGGCCTATTTCGATCTGTGCGCGCCGAGAGACGGTGCTCTCAGGTTGGTCACTGAGGAGCACACCCTGGTTTGTGGGTATGCGGTGACCCGCAGCGCTGCGGCAGCGTCGATGGCGTATGTGCTGTGGCACTCCTGCGCCAGCGTACGGCGACCAGATGTGCGTAAAAGCTCACTACCCCGTGGCCGGCCAGACGCCGAGCTAGCGGCATGTAAGGCACTAGCAAGCCAGCAGGAAACGACATGCAGTCGCTCGAGTAGCGTTCGGTTCGCTACTGGTCCAAAGCGATCAATGGGACACATACTGCGGGCCAAAAAAATTAATTTCTTGATGTCGCGATATTGACGACGCCGCCATGGCGGGCGCGTCGGTGGAATCCTGTCGATTCGTGGTCCTGAGGTCTCCCCGAGGCCGCTTATGGTCGGTTAAATACATGTGCAATCGCCTACGCCGCATGCGCGGGCGCTTCCCGCCAGAGATACATCTGCCAAGATGCATCTCAAGCCAGATGTCTGTAGCACAAAATGCCAAGGTTTTGGATCCAGAGCTCTCTGGAGAGCCCCAAGCACCGGCGCATCCGGCGTAGGCGACTACCCGACCACAGACCTACCCCCGAGGGAGTCCGGGAGCCGATCTGCATCCGAAAAAGTAAACAATTTGGGCCCGATGGCGCCCCGTTCCCGTAAAAAACGTCAATTACCCGAGGGCCCCCAGTAGTCGCCGTAACGGTCTCGTTGGACCCCATACTACCCCAGCGATAGTCAATTACAAGTATATGACATCTACATCATAAGAAGGGTGCTTTTGGCTGCTCACGCTCGGGACGTGAACATCTTTATCTGGACCTCGCGCAAGTCCGTCGGTCATGGAAAAAATGATCGCGTCATGGTCCATGGTGAAGGTACACGGGCTGATGGTCGCAGATCCAAGATCTATGTCCCCCTGTAGAAGATAGTGGGGTCGCAGGATGGACGACCCGCGCCGAGCATCGTGGGGTCTCGAGCAATGTAGTAGCCGCTCAGGCCGGTTATCTGGCCCGTCCCACAATAAAAGCGCCTGAAACGCAAATTTACTTTATAATCCACCGGTCTGGGGCCAATTCAGTGCCCCGCGTACGCACCGTCGTCCGCGGAGAACGGGCAGGTCGGTCGATCGTGCATAGAACGACGGCGTTATGGTCCATCTGGGTAGTGGCGTCGCTGATACTCGCGGGTTCAGTTCCAATGCTCGTTTAACATAAAACGTGGGGTCGCGAAGACGACGAATCTCGCGGCTCTAACGGACTATCTAAAATAGCTCAGTGGGCGCCGATGCGGGTTAGATGGACTCTACCACTAACAAACGGAAGGAAACGAACATAAACTCGGGAGTTGTCTAGTGGAATTCTTCTCCCGCCCTCCGAGCGCGGGCCGTCGGCTCCGGTTCCGTCGATTGTGTATGAAAACTGGGCTGGAGTTGATATAATGTCCTATCTGGACGGTGGATGGCAGCGTCAATCGCTGGTGTATTGTGGCAACACGTAAGACTCATCCGCGAATGTCGCAGCGGGGCACTTCCGCGAGTATGTTCCTCGCCTTCTCAGGAAACGTCGTATCGATCTCATTGGACCATTAGCGAACCGAACGACATTCAAACAGCTCTAGGTCGCGTCTCTCGCGGGAATTGAAAAAGCAACAAAACGGGTTTCTCACGCTTACGCGCCGCCGCCGCGACCCTCACAGACCCCGCCAACGCAAAATGATCCTCACAAATTGCGCCGCCTGCGCCGCCCCACTGGCCCACAACGCGCCGCGATGCGTTAGATGCAAAACGAGGTACTGCAACAAAACTTGCCAGCATGACCACTGGCGCCGCGGCCACAAGCAGATTTGTAAACGTATCCACCGCGGCGGCAACGCGGAGCAATACTACGCCGACAAAAAATACAAGGAGGCCGTCGCGGTCGCGGTCGAGAAATGCGCGGACGACACATAATATAAAAATTGCAAGTTACGAGGAAGCCTCCGAGTCGACGCGGCGGCGCTTGGCCAGCGACTCCGCACGATAGGCCGCGAGCGCGTCCCGCGCGCGTTCATTTCTCAGCTGCGCCTCCGCGACCTCCGCCTGCACCTCCGCGAGCCTCGCCTCCATGCGCGCGTGCGCCTCCTCGTAGCATACCTCCGCGAAGCATTTGGTTTCCGCCTGCGCGATCTTCGCCCTGGCACTAGCCTCCCGACCCCTTGCGTCTGCTTCGGTCATTTTCCAAATGCCATCCACAACTTGAATAGCCGCTGCCGTTGCTTCGCTCTGGGCCTCTAGTAATTCCTTCTGTTCCCGGCAGGCGGCTGGCGAGTTGCAGTGCGCCATGAGGCGTTCTATGTTCTTGAAATAATCCGATGATTTGATTTTGTCTGCGACGTCCGCGCGCAGCTCGCGTCTTTCCGTCGCGCCGGGCTTCGACCGCGAGCGCCGCGGATTCTTTCCGTTGCGCGTCGATTTTGTCCATCTCGGCGCGGTGCCAGGCGTCTCGCAAGGCGCGGCCCTGGACGCGCCATGCGGCTTGGGCTACAAGCATGGTCAACTTGATCAGCTGTCAGAGGTCGAGTTTGCAAGCAACGGCCCACAAAGGAGCACGACAGACTGCGCGCGCGTCCTGCGCGAACCGGGACGATCGAGACTCGTCCGCGAGTAAGCGATCGCTCTTGCGACACAGGGCTTAATGCAGACGACAGCACAAGTTTTTGGCAAACGCATCAGACGCGTCGACGCCATCGCCGCGACCCATAGGAATCAAACTACAAATATACACAATCCTCACGGGAAAACTAGTGCGCCGCGCCCGGCTCCGGGACGACGACGGCGGCGACCGCCTCCCCGGGCGCGGCGCGCCGCCGGGGGAGCCGCCCGAGGACCTTCGCGAAGTCACGGCGCCGGTCGTAGGCCTCGAGAACAAAACCAGCGCACACGGCCGCGAGCGCGGTCCGCCGCCGCGGCGCCGCGAGGCGCCCGCCGAAGCCCGTCAGCGCGAGGCCCGTCGCCGCCGCGCCGCCGAGGACGAGCAGCGCGCCGACGCCGAGGCGCCGGTGGCTCTGGTCCGACCAGAGGAAGCGCGGCGCGGCGCGCCAGGGCGGCCCGTCGCGCCAGACCTTGAGCTCGGCCGCGAGCAGCGCGCCGAACCACGCGACCAGGGCGGCGGCGCCGGCCCGCGCGTGCGCGCTGACGAGGTGGGGGCGCCGCGCCTGGGCCTTCGACAGGAAGACGGCCGCCGTCGAGAGCACGAGGCACCACGACGCCGCCGCGCTCAGCACAAAGTGCAGCTTGACGCGCCGCTCGAGCGTCGCGCGGCGGTCCGCGCCCGAGGCGCGCTTCGCGGCGGCGGCGCGGCCCGCGACGACGACGCCCGCGGCCGCCGCGAGCGGGAGCGAGAGCGCCGCGAGCGCGGGGTGCCAGGCGAAGAGGGTCGTCGGGACCGGCGCCGTGGCGGCGAGGGCTATGATCGCGGCGGCGACCTTGAGGCTTTGGGGGCTTTTGTTTTGTTGCCGTTTTTTGTCGGGTTTTGGCTTCGTCTTTGAAGGTGGCGCGGCGACCGCTACAAGTGTTACGGCGTCCATGGCCGTTGGCTGCGGCGCCGCGGCGGCCGCCGGACCGGCGGCTCCGTCGATGAACCCGGCCTCGGCCTCGACGAAGGGCTCGGCGGCGGCGACGGCGCCTTGTTTCCCGACGTTTTCGTCCTTCGACGCGGACAGCGCGGTCGTCTGTCGCTTTGGCGCCGTGCGCGCTGCGGCGTTTGGTGCTTTGGTTCTGCGGCGCTTTGGTTGGCAGGGTGGTGCTCTCCTCATGCTGATGCCATGCTGCCGTGGGGGAAGCAGCGCTCGCGCAGCCGTTGCGAGGAGGATCGGGAGGAGCCGTTTGGTGTTTGGGCGAGCCATTTTGCTCGCCGCTTGTCGCAAACGGCTGCGGTCGGAAGCTGTAAAAAACCCGTTTTGATTGCACCCGCACGCGGCTGTGGATGCGCTTCCGAGCGATTCTACCCATTCAATCTTTATAGCTACAGATCTCAGCGAGAAAAGTAGAAGGTCAATTCAATTTAACAGGAGACCACGGGCGCGCGGCGCGGCGCGCTCGGTTTTCTTGCACATCAAGTAGGGGGAGGGACACGCGACTACTACAGGTTCGCGGCGGCGTCGTCGTCGACGCGGGACCGCTTCTTCTGCGCGAGGCTCGCCGCGAGCTCGGCGACCGCGGAGTCGAGCCGCGTCCGCAACACGTCCTGAAGAGCCTCGTTCAGGCGCGCGATCTCCTTCTGCGCGGCCGCTAGTTTGATCTCCAATTTCCCGACCGTTCCCTTCAGCACGGCCATCTCGACATAGTGCCCGGGCCCGGGTCCGCCGGCGTCGACGCCGCCGAGGCCATTTCGCGTCAGGTGGTTCTGCTCCTGAGCCGTGCGGTCGAGCGTACCGAGCATTTCGATCTCCCGTTGTGTTACCAAGAAGTCGGACTTGAGTTGCATATACCTATCTTCGGCTTCCTCTACAGGACATTCACATGCAGCCTGCATCGCGGGCTTCGCCTCGTCGGCGGCGACGTTGCCGTCCTCGACGCGGGCGCGCTTCTTTGGGCGAGCGACTTCCGAGAGCAGAGCGTCGTGCCGCGCCGTCACGAGCTCGAGGTTCAATTGGTGCAGGCGCGCGTTCTCCGTCTGCGCGGCCTCCAGTTTGACCTCTAGTTTCCCCAGCGCCACCTTCAGCTCGGCGATCGCGATATAGTGCCCGGGCCCGGGTCCGCCCAGGTCTACGCCGCCGCGGGCGCGGCGCGTGCCCGCATTCTGCTTCTGTGCTAAACGCTCGAGCAGCCCTTGCTTTTTGATCTGGGATTCGGTTAGTAGCGCCTCGCGCACGCTTCGATCGTGCCTGATCTCGTCTTCGTCTCCGGCCACTTCTGCGAAGTCCCATAGCGCCTGCTTCGCGCACTCGTTCTGGGATAGCTTCGCCAACACGGCGTCGTGCTGCGCGTTCAAGAGCTCGAAGTTCACCTGGTTCAGGCGTTTGACCTCCGCGTCCGCGGCCTCCAACTTGGCCTTCAGCTCGTCGAAATCTTTCCCCCGGTACGGCGCGGGGCCGCCGGCGTCCGCACCCGGTTCCTCCACATCCCCTCGAAGCGCCAGGGTCGTTTCGCGCTGGTCGCGGGCAGCGTCGGCCATGGTGACGAGGTGCTGTCGCGAGCAGCGCGCGCAGATTTGACCGCTCGCGGCGCCACGCGCAATTTGTGGCGCTTAAAGGAGAGGCCAGGCGACCTGATCACCTGAGGCGTGAACCCGCACGGTCCCTGCGGGCTCTACTTGCTGCCGGCGCTGGCTTCGTCGCATGCTGCATAGACTATGAGTGTAGTACTATTATTTACATGGGGATGACATTACCAGGAGACCACGGGCGCGGCGGGGCGCGCTCGGTTTTCTTGCACATCAGGGGATATCAAAGGGGGAGGTTCGGAGGAGGCCGCGCCGGCTGGTGGCCGCTGCCTACGCGGAGTCCGAGCCCGCATCGATGAGGCCGCGGGCCTTGCGGTAGCAATCGCGGAGGGTAGTACCAGGGGGCCCCACATCGACAGGTAATCGCTCAATCATCTCCCACGTGGCCTTGACGTCGCGGTTCGTGATGAGGGCGTCAAAAGCCGCGAAAAACTTTTTCAAGGCCTCGAGCTCCGAGAGCTCCGCGGCGAGGTCGCCTGAAGAGCCGCGGAAGGGGCGCTCGCCGTCGGCTCGGAGGGGACGACTCCATCGGTAGCGTCGCGGGGCGGCGACTCCGGGGCGGGCTCGATGTGGCGCTCCGGCTGCCAGTCGGCGCCGCCGCCCGCGGCGCGCGTCTCCGCTCTCGGCTCCGCGCGGCGCTCAATCCGGCGGCGGCGCTCGGCCTCCATTTCCTCCCTCCGTTCTTCGGCCCGCCGCTGGTTCCTCTCCTCCCGTCTCCTCTCCGATTCACTCGCTTCTTCGCATTCTGCTATGAACTCCGCCAACCTTCTTTTGCCGAGGCGCTCTCTGTCCTCGCGGGCAGCGTCGGCCATGGTGGCGAGGTGCCGCTGCGCGCGGCGCGCGCAAATTCGACCGCTCGCGGCGCCACTGAGCGTAGCTCTATGTGCCTTTTGGCACTGTGTGCGCAAGCGCGAGACCCGCGCGCGGCCGCAGCCATCCGAAGAAGACACAGGGAGAAATAATAATTAGTTACAACAACACAACTACGGCTTCTTCAGCAACGTCTTCGCCCCGAGCGCGACCATGAGCGCGCCGAAGCCGAGGCGCATCGGCTCCTCGTCGAGGCCCGACGCCAGGCGGCCGCCGGCGAAGGCGCCGACGCACGTCCCGAGGCCGAGAGGCGCCGCGGCCGCGAGCTTGACGTGGCCGAGGCGTCGGTGCGCGAGCACGCCCGCGACGCCCGTGGGCACCATGGCGCAGAGCGACGTCCCCAGCGCCGTCTTGTGGTCGAGGTCCGTCGCCAGGGCCAGGAGCGGCACGACGACCGCGCCGCCGCCGACTCCAAACAAACCCGCGAGAAAGCCCGCAGCGGCGCCGACGCCGAGCAGCGGCACGACCTCGCGGACCGGGTCGTCTCCTGTTTTGGTGCGGTCCGTCGCGCCGATGGCGTCGAGAATCTGGTTGCGGCCGGGCACGATCGGCGCGACCGCGAGCATGAAGGCGCCGAGGGCGCGCGAGAGCGTAGCAGCGCTCAACGCGGCGGCGGCCCGCGCGCCCGCGGCGGCCGTCAGCGCGCCCGTCGCCGCGACGGCCGCGGCCGCCTTGACGTCGACGGCGCCGTCGGCCGCGTAGGCCGCGGCGCCCGCCGCGCCCGTGCAGACGGCGCCGACGAGAGAAGTCCCGTGGGCCGTGTGCTGCGAGACTCCCAGCCGGGTCATGAGCGGAATCGCGACAAAGCCTCCGCCCATGCCCGCGAGGCTGCCGAGCGTCCCGGCCGTCGCGCCGACGGCGGCCATCGTGTGCGCGGCCGGGTCTGGCGGCTTGGCGGTGGTCAGGGCGCGGCGCGCGGTGGTGGAGCGGCTAGCGAGAGTGCGGAGCAGCATGCTTACGAGTCCTTGTTCACGGCTACGCGATGCGTGGCGCGGCGGCTGTGATGACAGCCTTGAGCAGTGGTGTGGCGTCGCGGTGGCTCGACCGGGAGGCGGCGCGAGATTGCGCAGCACTGTGAATAGGAGTCACGCGAGTTGGAAAACGACGGCCGTGCCACGCCTGGCCGGCAGATTGCACGCCTTTGTGTGCTGCAGCTGGAGAGGCTGCAGGCGACCTCCTCGAGAGCGTGGTGCATTACCCGGCTCCCCTAGCGTGAGATATATATCGTACAGGCTGCACACGCCCAGACGACAGTCATGGCGGCCAATCGTCAGCGAACCTCCAGCAACGCGGGCGAGAAAGCCTTGAAAGCCCTGCATGTATTGAGACAGAGTGGCGTGGGCACGGTCCAAGCCGCGCGCTTAGATGCCGTGAGTAAGTCGCTCGCGCTCAGCGACCCCACGGACAAAAGTCCTGATGACGTGGTTGGGCGCCTGACGCTCGACGCGAGACCCCGCGGCGGCGACTCGTCGACGCCATCCAGACCACGCCGCCGCCGTTGTCAGAAGCGGGCTTCGGGCCCTTACGCGCGCGCAATGCTTCGAAGCGCGCCTGCGACGCGGCCTATTCCCTCTTAGAGTTTGCACGGCGCGGCGCGTGCGACGGCGCATCCCTGCTCCTCGAAGCCGGCTTCGTCCCGGCCGCGGTCGAGGCCTACCACCGCGCCGTGTCTGTGGCGCTCGGTGGCGCCGCGGACGCGCCGCTGACTGTCGAGAAGATCGACGCCTTCATGCTCGCTCAGAGCTGTGCCGACGCGCTCGAGAAGGTCAGCTACTGCACGGACCCTCTTTTTTCGGGAAACCCGCACGCGCTAGGGACGTCGCGGGACGCCGTCTGTGGAGAATATGCGTCGCTGGGCATCCTCAGTCCCATCTCGGTCGTGTTCGCGGCACGCGGCGACTCGCCGCAGCTCGCGAGTCTGCGCGAGGCCACGTTCCGTTTGTTGCGTGAGCTCTTCATGGGAATCAGCGACCGTTCGCTGGTCGATGCGTCGCTGGTCACGGCCCTTGGCGCTTGCCTCGGCGGCGGCGATGAAAAGGCCGCCGCGAGTGCTGTGTGCGCGCTATTTTCGCTCGTGGACCTCACCGGCAGGGCCTCGGGCCAGGACCTCACCGACGCGGCCTTACAGGCCTTCTGCACGCCCGAAATGGTCGGTGCCATCGTAGACATGCTGGCGCGCGGGCACGCTGTGGCTTGCGGCCACATCATCCAGCTCCTGGTCAAGTCGACGCCGCGACGCGCTGCGCGTTCGCGACAAGGCGCGTCGTCGGCGCGCTCCTACAGGTCGTTTCTCTCGACGGCGCCGCGCTCGCGGCCTATACGGAGCAGTTGCGCGGCAAAGAGCAATTTTTTCGTGTAGCAATTCACGCTGGTTTCCCGCCCGCGGCTGGCGGCCCGACATGGAGCGCCAATTTGGGATCTCCGACCGACATGGAGCACCGGGTCTCGGCGGCCGAACAGTGTGTCGAAACGCTGTCGGCCATGCTGGACGCCGGCTTGCTCTCTCGCGCACTTCGCCGCCGACGTCATCGTCCCGCTGGTCGAAGCTCCGCGAGCTGCGTCAATCCGACGCCGGGCCCGAATCTCTACGAACTTCGGCATGTGTGCTTGGGTGTCCTCGAGGCGCTCGCGCCGCGCCACGCCAACGCGATCGTCGCCGCTGGCGGCGCCGACGTGGCCCGTCGATTTGTTGAAGCAGCTGAAGCTGCCCGGGTCGACGGCGAGGCCCGAGCTGACGAGAGCGGCCGCGAGGAACGTCTGCGCGTTTCTCGATCCACTCATCGAGGCCGCCACGCCCGTCGACGCCAACAGGGCCCGCCTCGAGCTGAAGGCATTCGCGTCCCCGCGAAAGTCCCGAGTTCGGGACCTTTTGCGAATACGCCGGAAACTCTCGCGGCTGGTTCGACCGGCAGCTCGTGGCCGCGCCCGGCGGCCCGCCGGACTGGCTCCAGGAGGCATTATTGCAGCAGCAGGGAAACTGAGTACGCCATGTAATAAGTAAAATTTACAGTGACTACCCGATGCGCCAAGATACCCCCACAAACCATTACCGCACCCCATCACGCCCGTCGCCGCGTGTCGCCACGAAAAGCGCCACCGCAAACGTCACTAGCGCGGCGAGCGACGCGACGGGCCGCGAGAACGCCGAGGGGTAGAACTCGCGAAGGCAATTGCGTTCCACGACGAGCTTCGCGCCGACGGCGACCCAGTGCGCCGCGGCCGCGCGCGCGACGCCGCGGCGGAGCACTTTTTGATCCGCGGTCGCGAGCGCGAGCGCCGCCGCCGCGTAGAGCACTGAAAAAGCGCCAAAGGCCCGCGAGAGGCGCCGGCCCAGCATCGTCGGCAGCGTCGCGAGCGGGAACGGCGCCAGCGCCGCGACGAGCGCCCAGCCCGCGAAGGCAGCAGCGACTCCGCGCCAGACCGTCGACGGCGCGCGACCCTTCGTCGGCGGCGACGACGCGAAGGCCGCGCCGCAGAGCAGCGCCGCGCCGCCGTGGACAGCAGCAGCGACCGCCCGCAGCGGCGCGGGGTAGGTGATGGCCGCGGAGTGCGCCATGTGCGCGAGGCCGGGCGCGCGCGCCGCCGCGGTGGCCGTGAAATGCGGCGCGAAGACGACGGCCGCGCAGAGCCAGGTCGACGCCGCAGCGAGGCCGAGCTGTACGGTGCGATCGTCGGGGGCGGCCTCGAACGACGCCGTCAGCAGCGGTAGTGGCGTCAACGCTTGCAGGATGGACAGGCGCGCGTGCGCCGCCGGCAGCGCGAGCGTCGGATGACGCGACAGCGCCGTCACGGCGCAGGCCGACCAGGCCGCGACGGAGGCCGCCGACGCGAGGCGGTAGGCATTATTGCCTTTTTCTTGTGGTGCGGTGCTCGCGGCGTTGCGTAGTTTTGATCGGCGGTGCCGGCGCGTTGGCGGGGTTGAGAGGGCTTGTGCGTGAACGGAGAGCAGGAATAGGAGCGATACCCGCATTGTTGTGTCTATACGACGGACCCGCGGGTGGCTTGGCAGTGGTCACGGCGCGGCGCGCAGCAGCGGAGCGCAGGGCCAGGGATGTCAGCGGCGCGGTCGTAGCCTCTTGACTTGCGTTCGCTTGAAGATGCGCGAGGAGAGGCTGCCACAATGGCTGGCAGGTTGGCAGCTTTTTGCAGCGTGCAGCGGGGTTTTTGAGGCGGCAGGCTTTTCTCGCGGCTGTGGCACACTGCTGTGGTCTGCCTGATGCAAGCCCGGTGTAGTTTCGCCGATTCGCGCGCGGCGGCAGGGGTCAAATCGCGAAAAAAAGGTTTTCCCCTAGCGCAATTTACATCGCGGCCGTTTTCCTCGGGAAGCAGCGATCTCTCCTTTGAGGAGATAGATCGCTTAAAAATAAAGGAGACGCTCCTCCGGTTATTCATTGGTGAAAGCAAAAGATTGAGTCGACTTTAACCAGTCGGAAACCTGGTTCGAATCCCTCTGTGGACTGAAACGTCCGCATGGCCTAATGGATAAGGCGTTTGGTCCTTTTTTTTTTGTCTAAACCTTTTTTTTAGAGGAGAGGACCATCCTGACGGAGTTTGGGCCACATTGGTCAACCTTAGCCTCCGCGAGCCTCCGCGAGCATCGTCCGAAGGTTGTCGTGGGCATTCGTGGTAATGAAAACGGCGTGAAGGAGCATCGCTCTCGATCCTTGTCAATGCAAGAGGGTGTGCTTGACCTTGAGTTGCATGTAGACGCCGAAAAGTGACATTAGTGGCGTGTCGCATGCCATGACGTTACGGGCTAATGGACTTGAAATCGTTGTATGCGTACCGCCACGGATGTTGCTGCGGGTCCCCGGTCACCGAAGCGTGCTGGCCGAAAATGGCAGACCCTTGTAGAGGGAGTAAAGTGAAGTCGGCGTGTACTCGGAGCGGACAGGGGCGCGGCGTCGTAACCAAGCGAACTGCGCGTGAGTAATGCGATTATAATGTCCTTAGTCGTCGAAGGGTTGCCTCCAAACAGCAACGATGGCCCCAAAATAACATCGGACTTAGAGGCCACAGACGATGTCCGGGATCTGTCGACGCCGAGACATCGTGAAATAAACTCTGCGTCGCACCGCGGAAGTCGACGCGGGCCCGCAGCCACGGGATCGGGCCGTCCTTGAGTTGCACGCCGTTCTCGGAGCCGTCAAGTACCGCCGGCGTTGCCTCGGAGCTCGCGAGGCGACGTGCGGACCGCGATACTACGGACTTCTGGGTGGCGGCGCGGACGTCGTCGCGGGTCCGCGGCGAAGGGAGCAGGCCGTCGGTGGCCTGCAGGCCGTTCTCGGAGCCGTCAAGTACCGCCGGCGCGGGCTCGGAGCTCGCGAGGCGAATGGGGACTGTGGGAATGGCGACTTCTGACGTGCCCACCCCCCCCTTTCGGTAACTAGGGCACCTCAACGTCAAAAAATGCAAAAAAGAAGCCACCAACGGTCCATGCTCGTCGCGTGTGCGCGATCAACGAGAGGTCCTCGATGGAGATGATAAACCACTAGACTTTTCAGGAAATTTTATTTTCCTTATGACATCAGGGAAATATGACGTCACCGTTGAATGTGTAAAACAGGATTCGAGCCCGGGCTATCGATGCGTTCAATGATGAACACGTTCTCGGAGAAGCGGTGTGGCGGCTAGGAGGCATCGGTCGATCTTTCGCATTTATCCCGAGTCACGCAAAACCCTTTTTCGGAGATTTCCCGTGCGACTGGGTGCCGCCCGGCCGCTGCGTGCCAAGAAAGGCGCTAAGGACGCCCAAGGCCCGCTTCTGACTGCCACTGAGCCGCACAGCCCAAAAAAACCAGCCCTAAGCCTTCAAAACCCCGGGAGAGCACCTGCACTCTGGCAGCCAAAAAGCTGCCAAATGTACCCCGACGAGCCCACAAAGCACTAGCCAAAGGCCGAGCAATAACAACAACACACGCGAACAACGGCTGGACCATCCGCACCACCCGCGCCCCCATCCTGAGCGTCGCGAAGCGGAGCCTCGCCGCCGACAGCCAGGTGGCCTGGAAGCGCGAGCTCGGGCTCGGCCGCGCGACGAACCAGGAGCTGCCGGCGCGCTCTACGGGCGGAACCTCCTCGCGCTGCGCCACGACGCCGGGCGTGCGCCTCGCGTTCGACGCGCGAGAAGCGACGCTTCTTCAAAATGGGTCGCGTCGATGGCGTGTCGCGTCGATGGCGTAAGCGGGGCGACGGCGTGCCGGTGGGGTAGAAGTACTACCACGCTCTCGAGAGATTGCACGCGCCGCGCGCGGAACATTTGAGACGACGCTGCTTGCGCGGTTGTCTGCAAGCGTGCGAGCAGACGACCGCGGCCTGGGCCTCGCGGCGCGGCTGTGATCGGGACCGAAAGGCCAACACAAGGCCTCAAAAAGGCACGCGCCGAGGCAAAGGTCGGCGCGGGCACCGGTCCGTCGGGCTTGACCTACAAATGCACAAGGGCACTCTCATGCGGGAAGATGGGGGCTAAAGCCCCCAAAATTCGCGCATGGTCGGGTGGGTCGCGCCGCGTTCGACGGCCGGCGAGCGGCCGTCGAGCAGCGCCCGGAATCGCCAGAGGCGATTCCGGGTGAAAAAACGACCTGTATAGTGCGACGGTCGCGCCGCGAGCCAAACAACAAAGGGGGGGCAAGTCCAGGGGGCCACGGGCAAAGGCGAGCGGCCGTCGAACGCGGCGCCCCGGAATCGCCAGAGGCGATTCCGGGTGAAGGAAATAATAAAAATATTTCTACTGCGAGCCAATCACAAACACACGGGCCTCGAGGCACGGCGCTTGCTTGCTAGTGTCTTACAGCCCGCTAGCCCACGGCGCACTCGAGCCCAGGACAGCCCAAAGCCGTGCCCTCGCAGACACAGCGCTCGTCCACGGCTCGCATTCAACCAACCCAAGCCTCAAAGCAAAGAAAATTCCAGCGCTACGGCGGCCGTGCACAAAAAACCACTAAGAGAGCAGCTCTCACAAAAGCAAAAATGTACCCCGACGAACAAGCCGCCACACTAGCAGCCGGCAAAGCAATAACAAAAAAGCACACAACGAAAGACGGCTGGACGATAAAAACAAAACGCGCCCCCATCCTGAGCGTCGCGAAGCGGAGCCTCGCGGCCGACAGCCAGGTGGCCTGGAAGCGCGAGCTCGGCCTCGGCCGCGCGACGAACCAGGAGCTGCCGGAGGCGCTCTACGGGCGGAACCTCCTCGCGCTGCGCCACGAAGCGTCGGGCGTGCGCCTCGCGTTCGACGCGCGAAAGCGGCGCTTCTTCAAAATGGGTCGCGTCGATGGCGTGTCGCGTCGATGGCGTAAGCGGGACGACGGCGTGCCGGTGGGGTAGAAATACTACCACGCTCTCGAGAGATTGCACGCGCCGCGCGCGGAACATTTGAGACGACGCTGCTTGCGCGGTTGTCTGCAAGCGTGCGAGCAGACGACCGCGGCCTGGGCCTCGCGGCGCGGCTGTGATCGGGACCGAAAGGCCAACACAAGGCCTCACAAAAGGCACGCGCCCGAGGCAAAGGTCGGCGCGGGCACCGGTCCGTCGGGCTTGACCTACAAGTCACAAGGGCACTCTCATGCGGTGAAGATGGGGGGGGCTAAAGCCCCCCAAAATTCGCGCATGGTCGGGGGTGGGGTCGCGCCCGCGTCGACGGCCGGGCGAAGCGGCCGTCGAACGCAGGCGCCGGAATCGCCAGAGGCGATTCCGGGTGAAAAACTGACCCGTATAGTGCGACGGTCGCGCCGCGAGCCAAACAACAAAGGGGGGCCACGTCTAGGGGGCACGGGCAAAGGCGAGCGGCCGTCGAACGCGGCGCCCCGGAATCGCCAGAGGCGATTCCGGGTGGAGGAAATAATGAAATTGTATAGTGCGACGGAAATTCGTCCGCGCGCCAAACAACAAGTGGGCCAAAGCTAAAGGGCCAAAAGCTAGAGGGCCAAGCTAGAGGCTCTGAACCGGCCAAGCCGTGGCCACGCTGCCACAGGAATCGCCCACGGACTCCACCGAACACCAACCAAAGCTCAAAGTCCAAAAAAGCCAGCGCTACGGCCGTGCAAAAAAATACCACTGAGAGAGCACAGCTGCCAAAACAAACAAAGCGCGTCATCCGCTGTATTGGCATACGCCGGCGTGTACTGCGCCTCTGCGGCCTACCGACGCTGTACCAGCAACGCCGCACGAACGCCGGTCTACGCGGCAGCACACCGCAATCGTGGGCGGCACAAGCTCTCCCAAACAAAAAAAAAAGAATGTACCCCGACGAACAAGCCGCAACCCTAGCCGCCGGCAAAGCCATAACAAAAACCCACACGACCGGGAACTGGACGATAAAAACAAAACGCGCCCCCATCCTGAGCGTCGCGAAGCGGAGCCTCGCCGCCGACAGCCAGGTGGCCTGGAAGCGCGAGCTCGGCCTCGGCCGCGCGACAAACCAGGAGCTGCCGGAGGCGCTCTACGGGCGGAACCTGCTCGCGCTGCGCCACGACGCGTCGGGCGTGCGCCTCGCGTTCGACACGCGGCGCCCGAGCTGGGCGCTCCTCGACGCGGCCGATCCCGCACCGGTCCTTGGCGGCGTCCTTCCGCTCGACGGCGTAAAACGCGGTCGCGCAGGTCCGCGGCGCCGAGCACCTGGGACTGGGCGTTCACGACGCCCGTTCGGCGTCCGCGTAGCAATCAGACTTTGCATAGATGGCGCGGCGATGGCGTGCCGGTAGACGGTAACGTACAAACGCACAGGTACTGCGGCGCCACGGCCGTCGCCGCCATCGACGCGCGCCGCACAGCCGCCCGGCGACTCGATCTTCCGCGTGCCCAGGGCTGGCTGCCCGACTGCGGCTTCGGCGACGACGCGCCGCGAGTCCGGCGGCCGACGTGCCGCTGCGTCTACGGAGGCCGCCGCTCCTCGGCCCGCCGCGGATCAGGACGACGACGACCGACGACGGCCTTTGCGCGCCGCCGCCGCCGCAATGGAAACCAACAAAAGAGACCCTCGACCTCGAGGCCCTCATCGCCGCCGACGGCCGCGCGCCGCGCTTCGAGGTCCGGGATTTGTGGCGCGGCGACCTCGACCCGCACTCGTTCGGCTTCTTCCGCGTCCGCGTGCGCGCGCACGAGCGGTTCTGGGTTGCCTACTCGCGCTTCTTCATCCGCGTCAACGGCGTCCGCGCGCGCGTCATCGACGCGCGGTTCGCCGGCTTCGGCGACCGCGTGCTCCGCGAGCGGTCCTGGCGCGAGGGCGACTGGACGGCCGTCGCGGGCGCGGGCGCGCCGCCCTGCGTGGACCTCGGTGGCGCGGGCGACCGCCACTGCGCGCGCGCGTTGCCCCTCGTAAAGCGCGAGACGGACGAGCTGCGCCTGCCCGCGACGCTCCTGCGGCGCGTATCTGTGCCGCCGGCCGCGGTCGCGTGGTCCCGCGGGCGAGGCGCGACGCTCGTGGCCGCAACGGCGCGCGTCGCGGTCCTCGTCGACGACGCGTCGATCGCCGCCGTCGACCCAACAACGGGCGCCGACCGCTGGACGCGCTGCTGCAAAGCCGCGGCGACGGCTGTGGCCGCGAGCGACGAGTACGTGGCGGTCGGCTTCGACGACGGCCGCGTCGAGGTCTTGGCAGCGGCCGACGGCGCGCTCGCGGCGACGGTTGAACTGGGAGACGGGTCGTTGGACCGGGCCGTCCGCGGCGTCGCCTTCGCGAAGTCCGACGTCGTCGCCGCGACGACGCCGCGATGCGTCGTGCTGTTCGCGGCGGGGACGGGCGCCGTCGTCAAACGGCTGGCGCTGGACCGGCCCGCGACGGCCCTCGCCGCGGCCGACGGCGTCGCCGTCGTCGGCGCGGCCGCCGGCAGCGACGCGCTGCTCGTCGTCGACGCCACGACCGCGAAGCTCGCGTCTCCGGCCGCGGTGTGCGCGCTCGCGCTTCGCAAAGGTCGCTACGCGGCGGGCTGTCTCGACGGGGCCGTCCGAATATATGGAGGCGGCGACGTCACGACCTGGGCGGGCTTCCAGGCGCCGGTGCGCGTCGTCGCATTTTCGGGAGGCGGCTGGTTGCTCGCGGCGGGCGGGCGCGCGCTCGCGTGCGTCGCGCCGGGCCTCGACCGCGGCGAGGCGCCGGTGCTTGGCGTCGCGCCGCGGCGGCCGCGCTGGGCGCACGCGGCCTGGCGGCCCGGCCCGCGCCCCATCCTGGCGGCTGCGGCCGTCGACGGCCGCGTCTTCGTCTTCGACGCGGCGCGCGCCGATTTACGCCGTCCTGCGCGCCGCGGCGCCCGTGCGCTGTTTGGATCTTGATGCCGCGGCGGCGGTCGCGTTTTCCGGTGGAAGGCTCCTGGTGGCGGGGCGCGGCGGCGCGGTCGGGGTCGATGAGTGTATGGATGATGTGTAATATTTTTGTACGGTCTTACTCATCGCGCGCGGCGACGGCGTCCTGCGCATTCTCGGCCTTCAGCTGATCGTCGTCCTCCAGGCCAATGTCCGCGCACGTCTGCTCGCCGTCGACGCGCGAGCCTTTGAAAAGGAAGCGCAGCGAATCGCCGGCGACGCCCTTGCGATTGGCGTACGCGTCGAAGATCTTTTGCAGCAGCGTCGTCGGCTTCACCTTGAAGTATACTTCGTCGCCCTGCGGGCCCGCGACGGAGATGACCAGCGGCAACAAAGGTTGTTCGCGGGCGCGGAGCGCGGCTCGCGCGTGTTGCAGATCGGCCTCAATCGCACCTGTCACAGGATGTGCGCCTCCGAGCACGCGCCGCGCGGTCGGCACCACATCCTCGAGCGTCGTCACGGCCTTGCGCAGATCGTCGAGCGTGGAGGCGCCGTCCTTGTAGAGCGCCTTCGCGTAAGTCCACCTCCGCCCACCGGCTCGTGCATCGCGTGCTGCCCCTTGTGGCGGGTGTTACATCCAATACACCTCGCCTTGTGGTCGTGGGCCAGTGGGGCGGCGCACTTTTGTGAGGATCATTTTTGGCTTGGCGGCGAGGCGTCTAGGGTCCAGTTGTTGCTAATGCTAGTGTCTTACATGCAGCTAGCTAGTTTCAGGAGCGCGGCTGTGTGAAGTTTGCTGTTCAGAACGATAGCCATCGTGCAGCAGTGCTGCGCCTCGAGCGAGTGTGCGCTAGCAGTGCTAACCCGAGCACCACTGCTACGAAGAGATGGCGCCACGCCTGCTAGCACTCATAACAGCAGCCTCCGCACTCATCGCGCCACCGCGCACGAAGCAACCAACAAAGCTCCACGGCACCTACCGCTTATATGACGTCGTCGTGCCGCAGGGCGCGGACCCCGGCGCCGCGGCGCCGTCGTCGCAGCTCTCGCCGGCGCTGAAGAAGGCCTGCAAGAAGCGCGTGACAAAAAGGGAGGCTCCGGCGAGTAATAAGAGTGGTCCGCAAGTCGCTCGACGTGCGGAAGAAGCTGCCCGAACCGCGCTGGACCTACGTCGTGGACGTCGAGTGCGCCGGCGCTTCGCTGAGCAGCCGGGCGCTGCGAGCGGCTCGAGGGTTTGACCGTAGCGCCCGCGCGCGTCACGGACACGAAGAAGAAGCGCACTGTCGTCGTCGTCGGCTCGGGCCCCGCGGGCCTCTTCGCGGCGCTGCAGCTCGCCTCCGACGGCTGCGCCGTGACACTGATCGAGCGCGGGCGAGCCCGTCGAGCGCCGCGGCCGCGACATCGGCCGGCTCATGGCGGGGCGCCAGCTCCAGGCGCAGTCGAACTTTTGCTTTGGCGAGGGCGGCGCGGGCGCGACGGCGGCGTCTTAAGGAAAGCGTGGTGGTGGGGACCGTCGACCGGGGGAACGCGACGCAGGCACGTGGTCCGACGGCAAGCTCACGACGCGCATCGGCCGCAACTCGGGCGACGTCCGCGCGGTCCTGCGGACCTTCGTGCGCCACGGCGCGCCTTCGGAAATATTGACGCAGGGCGCGCCGCACCTCGGCACGGACGGCCTCATCGGCATCCTCAAGTCGCTGCGCGGGCAATTGACGGAACTCGGCGTGGACCTGCGCTTCGGCACGCGGTTGCTGGGCCTCGAGACGGAAAATAACGAAAGCGCGCTGGCGTCCCGCGTGCTGGGCGGCCGGAGAGGCCACGATACATGCGGACGCCGTCGTCTGCGCCGCGGGCCACAGCGCCGACGACGTCTACGACGCGCTCGAGGCCGCGGGCGCCAAACTCGAGGCGAAGCCCGTCGCGGTCGGCTTTAGGGTGGAGCACCCGCAGTCGTTGGTGAATGGTCTGGCCTACGGCGACCTCGCCTGCCGCGTCGTCACGGGCAATTCTAGAACCGACAAGGCCAATCTGTTAAGGCACCCGACCGACGAAGCTTTGTCGAGGGACTCGGAGGCTCTGTTACCGGTCGCGGCATATAGACTCGCGGCGGACGTCGGCGACCACTCCATATATAGTTTCTGCATGTGTCCTGGGGGGCAAGTTGTTCCAGCTCTAACAAAACCGTCGGAGATGGTCGTCAACGGCATGTCCTACTCGCGGCGGCACTCGCTGTTCGCGAACGCGGCGCTGGTCGTGAGTGTTGCGACGGACGACCCGTGCTTGGATCAAACGAAGGGTGCGCGGCGCGTCCTCGCCTTCCAGCGGTCGTTGGAGAGGAAGGCGGCTCTCTTGGGTGGCGGCGACTACGTCTGCCCCGTCCAGCGCCTGACCGATTTCGTCGACAAGAAAGCGCCGCGTCAGAGACCGCCGCCGGCGTCGTCCTATAGATTGGGCGTGCGCGAGGCGTCATTGCACGACGGCTTACTCCCAGATCCCTTGGCGGACGCGCTGCGGGCCGCGGCGACGGGCGCGTTCGAAAGGTCCATGCCCGGATTTGTCGGCGACGACGCGATCCTCCACGGCGTCGAGACGCGGACGTCGGCGCCGTTACGGGTCGTGCGCAATGCTGAATGCGAGTCTGTGTCCCTCAAAAACTTATACCCGTGCGGCGAGGGCGCGGGCTACGCTGGGGCATCGTGCCGCGGTCGTCGACGGGCGCGCGTGGCGCGGGCCGTGATCGGCGGGCGGTGCGGATGTAGGCGCGGCGACGGGCGTCGAGGACCCGCAGGACGTCGCGGCGGTGGCTTCTGTTGGCGTTTTGTGATATCCATGCTCGCGTCGAGCGCCGGCGCGATATTCCCCAGGCAACTCGGCGGCGCGAAAACATGACGATAGTGCCGTACGTACCCTCCGTGATCAGCCCGAGCGCGTCGAATCAGGTCGTAGGACGGGTCGCCCAGGCGAGTTCAGATAAAATTTTAGCTGCATCGTCATCTCTGTATCGCTTCATCTCCTAGACTTCGAGCAAAAGCAGTAGTCAGGGTTATATTTCGCGGCAACTACGCTCACTTGCTTAACTGTAAGGATACGAGAGCGATTTGCTAGAGCTGACTGTGCATCTCTGACAGTCACATTGCAACTCGAACTAACGCGCAACACGCGACTATGAATGAATCGCAAACGGCCGCCCGCGCCGCCCCGCTGGTGGGCCCCTATCCCATCGACGAGGAGGCGCTGCGGAAATTGAAGCGCTTGCACGACGACGGCGCCATCGACGATTACACGTTCCGGTGCATGAAGGCCGCGGCCCTCGGTCTCACGCGCAAAGCGGCGCGCACGAGACTAAGTTTGCTGCACCTGCCGGCCGACGTGCTCTCAAAGATTGCCTCGCACGCCGTGGGTCCCCGCTCGCCGTCGCGGCCGGGAAGGACCTGGAGGCGCGGACGGCGCTGCGCAAGGGCACGGACGTGGCCGAAAGGTCACGCTACGGCGGCGTCGGCCTCACGGTGCGCGAGGCGGAGCATATCCTGCGGACAACGATCGAGCGCCCACGCTAACCTGGCGTCTCGTAGGGCGGCGGGGCGGACGCTTGGGCTGGTCACCTCGCTCGCGGCGAGGAATGACGGGTTCTTTGCTGAAAAGTTCTTTGTGGGATTTGAACTTGTTTCTCCGTTGGTTGCCTATGGAGCGGACCTCGACGCCTCGATCGGACCCAGTGGAAAACATCCGCTACACTTTTTGGCGGTGTACGCCCCTGGCGAAGCGATGAAATTCGCCCGGCTACTTCTGGCGGCGGGCCGCGACATCGACCCTAAGTGCGATATCGGCACGACCCCTCTCTGCTGGTGCCTCACCGCGGGGCGGCTAACCAAAGCTCATTATCAGCTGGCGACGTTCCTCATCGAAAACGGGTGCGACGTTCTCAAGGCGCACAGAGGTTGGAATCGAGCTTTGGTCGTTCACAACCCGCCCGGTGTTCAAGGACCTATGCTGATGGATATTCTACGTCGAGAGCCTCGAACGACGACTAATCTGCGCTTTACGCAGTACTTCAGGGAGAAACTGCTGCATGCGGGGGGTTTTAGGTTTCCTTCTGCTGCCCGCTTCCCCCCTCCCGGCACCAGCGCGGTAGACTCTTGCAGGCCGATGTAACATCCATCTTATCCATCTTAAGGGTTAGACTAGGGGTAGTAAGAGCAAACACGGCTGCGCGCGAAAAGACACGAGCTACAAAGGTCAATCGTTACTCCGAGGACTACATCGCCATCGCCGCCTCGAGCTCCCGCAGCGCGGCGAGATCCGCATCTTCCTGTTTCGCGGGTGCGGCCGGCGGCTGCGTCGGAACCGCAGGCATTGAGAGCGGTGCATCGGGCAGGGGCGCCACGGGGATCGGCGGCGCGTCCAATAATTGACTTTCGAGCTCGTGCTCCTCGAGCTCGTTGAGCTCGTCGAGCAGCTCGTCATCTCCCAACAAATCGCCGCCAGGAGCGCTGATCGCCGCCGAGATCTCGTCGGCGGTGGCCATCTCCTCCTGGATGTCGTCCATCAAATCACCCACGGCGTCGGCGTCGACATCAGCCAGCTGCGTGCTTCATGGCGGTCGCTCCCGATTTCATCGCCGCGACGGTGTCCGCATTCGTCACCGTGCCCTCGAGCGCGATGATCTGCGACTCGAGGGTCAGGCGCGCGCCGTTCAGTTTCTCGATTTCCGCTTCGTACATCTTCTTCTTTTTAAGGCAAAATAAAGCGCCGCGCTTGTCCTTTTTGGCCATCTTCGCCTTGGCCTCCGCGACCTGCTTGGCGATTTGCTTGTCGAGGTGGGCCTGGCGCTTTTCCAACGTGTCGAGGGTGCCCCGCAACGACACGATCGTCTGCGCCGGGTCCTGACGCCGGGGCGCCCCGCGGCTTCGACCGCCGCCGCCCGAAGAGGTTCATGTTTGCCGGCTGGCCCGACGATTTGCTGCTGTCGTTGCCTATCGTGGCGTCCCGGAGGGCTGACCGCGATCGGCGGCGCCCCTCGTAGACGCGCGGCGGCTCGCGGCGTCTGTCTCCCGAGCTGAGCTGAGCGCACGCCCTGGCTGGCGCGCGCGGCCGCTCTGTCCGCTTGAGACCTGCCGAAGTTTCGACAAGGCAGCGGCTCTCTCCGGCGGGCGGAGGCGAGCGCTGGTCTGCGGAGCTGAAAGCTGTCACGCAGGAGGGTTCCGGCTAACAGTTAACGCGTCGCCGGCTAGCTGTGGGCCCGCACTGCGTAACCCCAATTAATCTTTGTCTCTTGGTAAAGCTGTAAAGCTAGCGGCAAGTAAGACATACTAGCGCCTGGGAACTATCGCGGCGCCTAGGGAGGGGTCTCGGCCAATAAGTAAGGCGGAAAAACGGGTTTCTCAGGCATCCGAAGTAAACTATTCATATATACCTCGGCGCCAGACGACGACGCCGGATCGGGTTCCACGTGGAATGGATCGGGGCAAGCACGCCATCGACGAAGGCAAAAAAGATTCACGAGATAATAGGGGTTATTAATAGGTGTCCCGTCCACGGCAGCATATCGCCGCCGCGCGGGGGACTCGATGGGGGGGGGTCGTTTTTCGCCGGAGGCCTGGAGCCCGCGGCACACGCATAGGGTTGATATCAGTCAGCGGCTCGCCCAGGCCAGGATCTGCACCCGCGGCCCTTTGGTAAGCTTCCGCAGGCGCCAGGTCGTCGTCCGTCATGCGCACCAAAGTTTGCACGCTCACGTCCTCGCGAAGGTGGCCTCGTACCTTTCTAAGCTGACCACGAACGTAGGGCCTCGCGGACCGCCGGCTGGGCCCGCTCCGGCGTCTCTGTCTGAGCGAGGCGCACCATGAGGTCGGCCGGCCCGGCTGCTCGGCGAGCGTGACGACGTCTTTGAGTTGAGGCGCTCTCAGTAATGCGGCCAGGGACTCGTAGTCGCCGAAGAGCGTCTCGACCAATGCTGAACCGAAGTCCCGCTCGAACGCTCTGGACAGGTGGTTGCAGCAGATGCCGCGGGACTCGCCCCGCGCCAGTATCGACCGGAGTTGGGCAACGAGCTCGGCCCAGCCTAGGTTCTGGCGCGTTTCGGGGGTGTCGTCGGCCGTGGCGTCGACGTCGCGCCCGGCCAGTAGAGCGGCATTGGCCGTGAGCATGCGTCGGAGCGCGGCGCCCGCGCCCGCGGCGTTGACACCATAAGCACTCACGAAGACGCCGCCGCCGTCGCGCGGTCGCACCTCGACCCTACAATGGTCGCCGCGTTTCGCGCGCTTTCGCGTTTCTCTTCGCCGCTTGAGCTTTTGTATAGCGGAAGCATTCCCGGCCTCGACGGCGCTTTGCGTGTGGGCCCGGAGCTGCTCGATCGGGGCTGCTCTTCTAGCGGGTAAGTCCGCCGTCGCGAGCCAGGGCGTCTTCTGCTCGTCCACGGGCACGACCTTGAGCGCGATGCGATCCAGAGCGGAAGCACCGTCGGACGCGACCGAGGACGACACCGACGAGGCCCGCGGTCTTGGTAAAGGCGGCGCGCCGGCGGGCCGCGTCGCGGCGGAGGCCCAGGTCGGCTCCGCTTCAGCTAGACCGGGCGGCGGCGGCGGCTGCGCCGCTGCTGGGCGGTCGAAGGCGCCGAGCGGCTGCTGCGCCGGTTCGTCGAGCATGCCCGCCAACCACGGCGGCGACGGGTCCGGCTGTCTTGGGCGGTCTCTGTTCGGCGAGGCCCAGCTGCCGCAGGTCCGACGCGAGCTCCGTGTCGGGCAGCGGTGCCGGCCGTTGTGGTCTTTGCTGCGGCGTCAGGCCGGCGCGTCGAGCGTCGCGAGTAGTGACGCGGCCCCGCGATCCGCGAACTCCGCCGGCGACGGTCTTGGCGGTGGCTGTTGGTAGCCCCCGCGTCCGAGGCGTCTGAGCTTTCCGTCACACCATCTGAGAGATCAGACGGCAGTCGCGCCCGCCGATCGTCGAAGGACGACGCTCGCGGCCGCTGGTCGTAGTAGCCGCCGTACGGCGCCTGTCTTTGGGGAGGCGGCGCCCGTCCCGCGGCTCCGGCACGGCGCGGCGCTCGCGGGATGTCCAACGGCGGCTCGGGCCGCTTGAGCTCGGCCATGTCGCCCTCCTCCCAGGTCACGAAGCCGCTCTGCCAGCACAGACTTTTCGAGGAGAGATGGAGCTTGAAGTCGACGACCTGCCCTTGCTCGGGCAATTGCTTGCCCTGGCAGCGGTGGCGGTGGCAGAAGACGTCCTCGAACCTGTGTCGGGATGGACGCGTTCGCTTTTCGCGTCGTGGTAGTGCGGCGACGGCGTGTGTTGTGTGTTGTGTGTTGTGCGCGACGGCGCGCTGACAACGGTAAGTCCACCTCGACGCCATCGAGGCGACGCCGTGGGAACGACGTCGCGTCGATGGCGCCAACGTCGCAAAACCGCCACGCCGTCGAGCCGACACCGTCATAGAAACGACGGCGCGTCGACGGCGCCGCGGCGCGCGCCGGTGACGCGAGGCCACCAGTTCACACCAGTTCACACCAGCGCCACCGCGCCGTCGCCGGCAATGCGCGCGCCGCGCGCCGGCCGCCGCAAGCCCCCACCATTGTGAGTTGAAGGCGCCTTGAAGTTGACAAACACAGGAAACGCACCCGTCGTCCATCTCGATGAGGCAGTGGTCGTCCCAGTCCTCGCGCCTTCGGACGATGCCCCGCGCGAGCTCGCCGTGCTTTCTTCGCGGCCGCTTCTTTTTTGCCGGTCGCGCTAACTGAGAAGGAAGCGGCTCCTGGGCCCGATAGGGCCCCGGATCCCCGTAAGTGGGCGCCGGCTGCTCGTAGCGCGGCTCGGGCGGGCGGCCGTAGGCGGCCGCCAAAGCCATCGAGTCGGCGTAGGCCTGGCGACTTTGCGGTTGCTGGGCGCGGCGCCTGTGTAGTATACAAATCGTCGACGGCGTGTGGACGCGTTGGAACGCGAGTGGACGGCCGTCGGAAGGCCATCCTAGAGTTTCCTCGAGCGCCGCCGTTCGAACGCGCGCCGGCGCGACAGACTCTCCATGACAAGAAAGGCCCCTCGGCGGACGTCGGACGCCGAGCGCGCACGCGGCCTCCCAGCCGCCGTCGTCGAGGGGCGCCGGGCCGCCGAGGCCGCCCGCCGCCGTGGGCGAAGGCGCGCCGTACGGCGAGTAGCCTTGGGCCGTGTTTAAAATGGTGCTGTCGGGCCCGCGGCGGTCGTGGTGCGCGCCGCTACTTCTTTAGATGTTTGCTGCGGGCCCCTTTTTCAATCGGGGCCCTGGGCGCTACCCTGGAGGTGCGCCGCGAATCGAGGCGCTTTAAACTTGTTTGGGGGCCCGCTGAGCCGATTTGAATTCGCTCAGCGACACCAGCGCTGCAGAACGTCTTCGCCCGCGCCCTAAACGTGTCCTATCTGTTACACGTGGGCTAGTTGGCGCGTGGAGGCGTTCTTATCCACGCGGCTCCTCACCAGCCCAGCAACATTTTGAGTGTAGATTGGTGGAACTAGGCAGCCCCTAATAAGCGTCTCGACACCCGTCTGGACGTCAGAACGGCAGCCCGCGACGACCTGCGAGCGCTCGACGAGTTGCAGCGAGTTTAAACGAGTTTTGATTTCAGCCGTCCAACGCGTCCCGAGCTCGAGGGTTCTCCCCCAGCTCGCCGCACGGGTCTCTCCTGGCGTCCGAGAGGGCTGCTTCGGCGGCCCGGCGTACTCTAGTGAGCAGCGAGGCTCGACATCGCCGCTTAAGGTGCGTCCGCCGCCGCCGCTACGCAATATCGAACGTCGCGGATCCGAGACGTGGGCGGCGCGTCGTTCGCGCCGACCGAAGCATGGTTCCATAACTTTAGTTTGTTCTTATACAACCAAGATGACCTAAAGCAGTCGTGTGGCCGCGCGTCGGGGCGAGACTGGGCGTTTTGCCCTGTTGCTTTTGCCAGCGGTCTGAGCGAGACCTCGCACGGCTGGAGCGCTCGCCTGGAGGGCTTCGCGGGCGGCTCGCGGGCCTTTGTCCATTTTGCCTCGCTTTGACATCGCCGTCTTTTGGTGCGTCTAACAGAGCCGCTACGCAAAACCGGACGCAATCGCTCGTCGCACCGTCTTACTGACAACCCATCGCTGCTCGGTGGCTCGAATCGCTGCACGCCGGCGGCCGCACGGCACCCAAACAAGGCAGCAGCCAGCTTACGAGCAAGCGGTGCCTCGCCGGCCGCGCGCGCACTCCAGCTTACGAGCAAACGTGCCTCGCCGGCCGCGCGCGCACCGCACACACACAAAGGCTCGCGCGCCGCACGAAACGCAAGCAGCTCACCCCTCGCAACCGTAGGTACCGCTTGACTCGCGCACAGACGCGGTCGAGTGCCTCGTCGAGGCTCAAAGGTCTTTTAAGGCGACACAAAGATGGCGGAAGAAGAAGCCCCCAAGGCCTGGTCCTTCGCGGACCAGAACAAGGACGAGCAGGCCGTCGCGCTCGCCGCGCTGGTCCTCGACCAGTGCGGCGAGGGCGACGACAAGTTCGCGCCCGAGAAGTTCGAGGCCGTGCTGAAGGCCGCGGGCCTCTCGGTCGCGCCGCACTGGGTGTCGGTGTTCTCGAAGGCGGCGACGCTCGCCGGCGACCTCGACTGCATGTGCGGCGCGCCGGGATCGGGCGGCGGCGGCGGCGGCGGCGGCGGCGGTGGCGGCGGCGGGGCCGCGGCGGCCGAGGAGGAGAAGAAGGAAGAGGAGGAGGAGGAAGAGGTCGACATGGGCGGCGGCATGGACATGTTCGGCGACGGCGGCGGCGGCGACGATTATCGCGTTCTTTCTCTCAAACCGCGCGCTACAAACGCATACACATATCAGTCTCACGCGAGCTCACAGAGCGGCGCTCGGGCGTCGTCGTGCATGCGCTTCCACGCCGCGGGGAGCCAGGTGTGCAGGCGCCACGGCGCGAGGGGCCGAGCCCGGAGGTGTTGCTCGGCGTCGATGCCCAGCTCCGCGTGCGCGAGCAGCTGGTTGAGTTCGTTGTGCGACGGCAGGTTCACTCCCAGGTCGTTGTTTTGGCTGCCGAATTTTGGGAGAGCTTCTCCTTCGCGGCCTCGCCTCAACGGCGAGGGGGGGGTCACGCAGCCGGTGCGTGACCCGACGTTTCCTGGGCCCCGCGACCCGCTCGGGGTGCGACGAGCCTTCCCGGCGGCCGACGCCACTAGGACGCGAGCGCCGCCGGCCGCGCGCCTCGCGGTCGCCGCGGCGAGCGAGCGCGACCCCCGTACTCGTGCACCGGGAGCTCAACGCCGCCGCCGCGGAGACGCCTGCGTGCGGGTCGCGCCCCGCGACGATCGAGCACTGGCCACCAATCAAGCTGCCCGAGCACAACAAGCACTTACAGCGCACCATCGATCGTCATACTGCACGGAACCATCCCCCATCGATCGAAGCTTGAACAGAAACCAGCCATAGGCTGCCCGCGAAGCCGCAGGCATGGTCAGTTCCTTCCTGCTGAAAAAGGGCGGCTCGGTGGTCGGCCTGCGTAGGAATTGGAAGCGACGCTGGTTCCTGCTCGAGAACGACACGTGCGAGCTCCACTACTACGCGGACCCCTCTTTGATGGATCAGAAGGGCACCGTGCGGCTCTCCGCGAAATCGTCGGTGCGCGTGCCCGAGACAGTGAGCATGCGCGGCCGCCACCGGCCGAAGCCGGGCGAGGCGACGCACTATTTTGAACTCTGGGACGTCCAAGATGCTCATGGTAGATCAAGGAAAACTTTCAAGGTCCGAGCGGAGTCTCCTAGAGATTTTGCCAACTGGCTCGAAGCTTTGGATGCGTGCCTCCGCCGGTTGCGGGGCGACGCGGAGGCCATGTCGCGGTCCTCGAACGAGGCCTGGGCCGCGCCTCACACTCCACGCAGTTCAGGCGGGAGGCAGGAGAGCGTGTCTTCAATGATGATGATGACTACCCCCGCGGTGCGCGTCGATGGCGTCGCAGCGGACGCGGCCTTCTGTAAGGGCAGCATCACCACCGATGCCCGCCACATTGCCGTTAGCGCCCCATCCGGCGACCGTGGAAACACCTAGATCAGAAACTCATGACATCGACGCCATCCTGAGCCACAGCGAAACCTCAAAACGCGAGAAGATCATGGCCATCAACCGACTCGCGATTCCCGGTCCGCTGAAGATGGCCGGAATCCGCGGCGACCAACGGTGTAAAAGCTCTGGCGCCGCGCCGCCTCCAGCGCCGTCCGACCCGTCTCTGCCAAAGAAGCGGGACGATTTGCGCGGGCTCATCGCGTCGACAGACGCCTGCGCGCTGGAAGCGGCCGTCGACGCCGTGATCGGCGCGGGCGCCGACTACGACGACGATTTACTGATAGCAGCACGTACTAGAGTACTTCGCCGTGAAGACGGACGACGCGCGCGCGGAGCTGGAAAAGGCCCTGGCGGCCTGCAGCGACGACGCGTCGGCTCTAGGCGACGCGACCGCTATGATCGCCGGCGGCCTCGATCCGGAGGAGCCGCCGTGGCGTCCTGCCGGAGGCGCCTTGGGGCGCGGCGCGCGACGACGACCCGCCGCAGCCGCCGCCGCGGTAGGGCAGAATGGCGAACAACATTGTGGGCACTCCAGGCTCGGACGTAGCCCCACACCTGCATCGGGACCTTGAGCCGGATCGACAGGTCACCGCTAAGAGAAAAGGTGCGATTGCGATATCCTCTATCAATAGAACTTGTCGCCGAGTAAACTCGGCGCTCTGCTGGAACCGGGAATCCCCTCTGATCGAAAGAGAGCATTCGGGGCGTGGGGCGAGGAGACGTCCATGCCGTACGTCGCGTGCAGAGTGATCACCCGATCGGGGTCATTGTTATCCCAAATGCAGGGATATGGGGTCTGGATCTGGACGGCCGCGACGGTTTCGTCCCAATCTTCGGCGTCCCAGCTCTCGGGCCACTCGCCCTCGGCCTTCTCATGACCATAATCTGGCGAGTCCCACGCGTAGAGGACGACCACGCGCGACCGGAGCACGCCCATGATACGGACGGCGCTTGCATTGGCCATACGCCTAGCCCGCTGCTCACCCCTTAGGGAGCCAGTGAGAACAACTTCGGGCCCGACCGCACGATCGTCGAGGACGCCGTCAGGATCGCGCACGACGCGCCCATGGCAGAGCGTCGCTTCCAGCGCCAGGCATTCATTCCACCTGTTATCAGGTGCATCGTGCCAGGGGAAAAACTCTGCCCAGAAGAACGCATCGGCAAGATCGTGTGGTGGCAGCGCGCCCAGACCAAATGAGAAAGCGTCTTCGTCAAACGGGCGGCGGGTAGCGTCGCGTGGTACCCAGGCGAGGGCGGTCCAGTGCGCGCCGCCGCCGCCGAAGGGCGCATTCGTGCGGCGGCCGAACCGTCGCGCGGCGCACGCCCAGCCCGCGCGCTCGCACACATCCGCGTAGCGCTTGGCAACGCATGCTAGCGCTGCAATAGCTTCCGGCGGCGCGGTGGCAAGGAGCTGGATCAGCACGTCGTCTGGCAACTCGCTAAGAAGAGGCGGCTCCGCGCACCGCTCGTTTGCATTGCGCGCCTTCGCCACGAACGCGGCCAACGCGTCCTCGAAGCCGTTGCCGCCGAGCGAGAGCTTGAGCCTGGCAAGTGAGTGATTGAGGCCACCCGGGTCAGCCATTGCACTCTCGCATGAATGCGTTTCAGAGTATGAGCCGCGGCGCTGCGAAGATGCCTTTGCAGGTGTTCTTTTGCAGCGCTTAGCTACAGCAATGGTTCGATCAGCGAGCTATAATTGCCTCTCCTTTTTTGCAAGACCCAATGGCTAGATGGCTAGCGGCCTGTAAGACACTAGCGAGCAAATCCGCATACGTCCGAGGCACGCAGTCCTCGCGCCCGACGCCTCCGCAAGCCTGAGGACCTATAGTGAGACACACTAGGCGCAAGGCAGCCCGAAGCGCCGCCGCTGCGGCCAAAAAGAGGCTGCCCCGCAGCGTGAACCGACGATGGCAACGTAAACAAGCCGCAGCCATGGCCGACGAGATCAACTACGCCGTCGGCAACGCCGCCGTCCTGAAGATCCAGAGCTTGTGGCGCCGCAGTCTAGTGAGGGAGCGCACCTACCTAGAACTCAAGGCGGTCTGGGAGAAGATCTTCGACCCCGTCCAGCAGATCTACTACTACTACAATACGGTGACCGATGAAGCCAGCTGGAAGCGGCCCGCGCCTTTGCTGTGGCGGGACCTCGGCGACGTGGCTCCGACGTTCACGGACGAGCAAGCGGCTATTTACATGCAGTGCGCCTGGCGACGACTCAAATTCCTGAGGACCGTGCGAAGATTGGTTGCAAGTGTCGTCTCCAAGGTCTACGATGAACATAGTCAAAATTACTACTACTATAATGCCCAAACGGGCCAGACGTCCTGGACGAAGCCTCTACTACTGGGATCGCAGGACATCGAGCCGGGCACGCAACGGTTAGTGTCTAGCGACGGCCGGATCTTGGCCGAGACGGCCGTCGTCGAGCTCGAGTCGGACGACGATAGTGAACGGGAATCGATTGGTAGTGGTTCTACTAGAAGAAGAACAAGATCGATGTCATCAGACGACCTGGGGTTGATGCCCCGCGAGTACCCCCGGAGCGAGGCCCAGAAGAGAATAGATAAAGCTGAGGATACGCCCGAGACCGATACTCTGGACCTCTCTGGACTGAAAATGGCTCGCATCTCGTTTCGCGCTTTGGCTATTGAGACCTTGACCCATTTAGATGTGTCGGACAACAGCATCACGCGCCTCGTGCCGGACATCGGCGGTCTAGCTTCCCTAGAAAAGCTTGATGTGTCGGGCAACCAATTGAGATCATTACCCAAAGAGCTGGAGGAACTGGAAGAACTCACGTGGTTCGCCTGTGCGCGCAATAGAATAGGCTGGTTCCCGGGCAATGTCTACCGACTCGAACAACTCCAGTACTGGGACCTGTCACAAAATCAGTTCAGGGAATTACCGGTGCAGGTCGGCGACCTCGAACTCCTCCAGCAAACGCGGGTCTGGGCCGTGGGACCCGGCATGCTTTCGGCACTGACCCATTTAGATGTGTCCAAAAATCAACTGACCAAGTGGCCGAACCAATTGGACCAACTAACAATTAGCTTCGTTGAATGTCAGCGACGCCGGCGTTTGAAACAAATTTGAACGTGACGCCGTCGACGCCGCCGCACGAGCGCCCACGCGTCCCGCGCAGGTCTCGCATAACCAACTAAAAGTCATGGCCCCCTGCAAGATCGCGCAGAGCGCCGACCAGGACAAGCAAGAAGGCATCGGCGAGCCCGACTTGAACGGATGCGACTGGGGTAAGCTCGAGAGTCTGGCGTCGTTGGACGTTTCTCATAACCAGCTCGAGAAGCTACCGGATGATCTGGCGAAGATGACGGCGTTAGAAAGTGTGGATTGTCGAAACAATTTATTGATAGAATTGCCACAGACACTTGATCTAATGAACTGCACGTCCTTTTTACTAGACGACAATAAGCTCGAAGCATTGAGCGATGGCTTCGCCGTCGGTCTAGCGAAGAAGCTGGAAAGCATCTCCGTAAGAAACAACGCCATCACTTCGACCAGTATGCGAATAGGGGACATGCGCCAAGTTAAGTCAGTGTACTTAGAAAACAACGCGTTAGAAACTCTAGACAAGGGCGTGACGCAGTGCCGCCTGCTAGAACTACTCTCGCTGAGACACAACAAACTCATCTCCACGCCGAAAGGCTTCGCGACCATGTTTAGATTGAAAACGTTAGATCTTAGTTACAATCTGTTCGAGACCATCGACGAGAAGGCCATCGAGTCGCTCGTGTCGCTCACATCCTTGGATCTGTCGCACAATCGTTTGGTGAACTTCCCGCAGCGGTTGGGCAGGCTGAACAAGCTGCAATCTTTAAATTATTCGCACAATCAACTCACGCTCCTACCGCAGAACTGTTTTAAGGGCTGTGGGGAATTGTTCACGGTACGCATAGACCACAACCTCCTCACGACCAAGGGCGTGGAAGCCGGCCGGTTAGACAGCGTCCAGTCGTTGGAGGTGCTTGCTTTGGACTTCAACGAGATGGACCAGCTGCCGGAAGAGTTGGCTGACTTGCCGCAACTACGCTCCTTGACCTTCTCGCACAACCCGTGTTGTGCGAGGCCCGAAGATGCCCTCGAGCCGTTCTATCTGTTGAGGGATAGAGCCCAGTCGATACACGTCGGGGCCGCGGAGTTCGACGAGCCTATTGAATTAGATGAAGAGGACCCTTCTAGGGACGCGAGAAAGGCGAGGAGGTTGATGGTCTTGCAAGGCTCGTCGCGAGGGACGGAGCGGCTCGAGCGCGGCGAGCCCCTCGATGCGGTGGAACCTCTCAGTAGAGCGGCGGAGAAGCATGCTAGACTACTTGTAGATGAACCAGATACAGCGAACTTCTCGCACCATTTCCATCTGGGCGCAGCCTATGTGGCGCGAGCGCGAGCGAGAAAATTAGTGGCTGACGCGGAAAGGAAACGCAGACAGGACGAGGAGGACAAGATCGAAGCAGCTCGTAAACTAGCTGAAAGGAAAGCGATGCAGATGGGGATCTTTCCTGAGGATTCCGTCGATGCGACATTGGCGCAATCATCCCTACAGGACCCGTCGCTCATGGATAGCACCGTGGCGACGGATACGTCAGGCTTGAGGCTATCGCGACGAGCCCTCAACTCCAGATCTCCGGGTCGATTGGCACCGTCCCTCGGAAGCAATTTGTCGCACAAGTCGCCCGGCAAGCTCGACGCGGCGATCGACGCCGACTTGATCAAGGCGCAGTTAGCTTTGGACGAGGCCGTAAAGATCGATGTCGAGCTACGGAGAGAAGACGGCGATATACAAGGTGAGGACAACATGGCCTTCCAAGAACCTAGGAATGTAGCCGTCGAGATCCTGCACGCGCGCGGTTCCGCTTCCCTCAGGCGAGGCGACGCGCGCAAGGCTGTGGAAGACCTGAACCAAGCGTTGTTAGCGAGGAAGGACCACGCGCCTTCCCTAGCGTTGCGGGCCCGAGCACGATTATCATTAGGACAGTTCCCCCAGGCTAGTCGAGACTGCCAAAAAGCCTGGCGCATCGAGCTGAAACGAGCTGACCTGTGGCCTTTGAAGGAGTTCGACTTAGATAACTTACATAGAGATGTCAACAAAGCACTACAACCATTGGATCTAGTCGAGTTGCGGAGGGAATGCGACCGGGGCGTGCAATCGATACGACTCATGAAGTGCGACCTTCCGGAGAACGATAGATGTTATTTACAAACGGCGGAAGGGTTATGTTATCGACGTAGACATGAGATCAAGGCCCTGGATGTCGAGGGTCGGTCGAAGCGACGACGGTGGCTGGCTCGGCGGAAAGCAGAACATGATGCTATAGAAAAGGCGGAGATCGACCGTCGAAATGATGAAGATGCGGTTGTCGCTTATAATAAAGCACTAATTGATCGGTCGACGGCCGAACTTGCTTGGCGGAAAGCTAGGTATGATTTGGAAATTATTGAAGAGCGTAAAGACGCGGAGGAGGAAGCTGCCGCGAAGGCCGCTGAACTCGAACGCCAGGAGAAGGAGGGCGCTGCGGCGCGCGAGGCGTATGAGTGCTGCATGATGACGGAGAACGAATGCGAGCCGTGTGGATCGCGATCGACCGCGCGCCCGCTCGGGAGGCGGAGGAAGAACGATCTGGGAGCATCAAGAAGGCGGCCATGGAGAAGAAGAAGAAACATGGGGAAAAGGAAGCCGGCGGCGCGGAGGCGGCCCGTAGGCGGGTAAGTTGCATTTGTTGTCTTATTGTTACGGTGCTAGGACTAGCCGCGCGTCGCGATTCATCGGCGGCGGGCGCGTGCCGCGATTTTTCATAACAGCACACCTCCTTCTATGCAGAACAGCGCCGGTCCGGAACAAGGCTGGGACATTTTTTCTAGTACCTCTGTTGCGCTGGTTTCACATCTTCGCGGGCCTCTATCGCGAGCGCCATTGCTCCACGTGTGAGCAAGCAGCGACTCACACATTCACAGAGCACTGGCGGTGGATCCAGATCTTACTGCTCACACGTCGTCACAACCGCGCGTGCCGTAGCAGCAGACATATCCAGCTCCTTAACAGGCACAGCTCTACACAGCTCTACGCCGGCGCCGCGACACACCAAGCAAAAAATGGCCCGGGACGACGACTCCGACGCCTCGTCGGTCTCGAAGAGCAAGAGCCGGTCGCGCTCCAAGAGCGCCGAGAAGGCCGACGACGGCAGCAAGAGCCGCTCGCGCAGCAGGAGCCGCAGCCGCTCGCGCCGCAAGAAGGACCGCAGCCGGTCAAGAAGCAGGAAGCGCTCGTCGAGAAGACGCCGCTCTCGTTCTCGAAGCCGGTCCCGCGGCCGAGCTGAGAACCAGCCGTCCGGCAACCCGACGCGGGCCTTCGGCGGCGCGGCCCGATTATATGTAGGAAACTTACCTTACGAGATGACCACCGAGCAGCTCGCGGACACGTTCAAGAGCTGCGGAACGATCGTCGATAGCATCGTGAAGATGGACGGCCGCACAGGTCGGAGCCGCGGCTTTGGAGTTGTGGAATTTAGCGATCCGAAGGAGGCGGAGAAGGCGATCGACGAGTTCCACAACAAGAACATCGGGAGCGGGGACGGGCGGCCTTTAGTGGTCCGGTACGACCGCGAGGGCAATCGCGGGGGTGCGGGCTTCGGCGGTGGTGGTCACGGCGGCGGCGGCTACGGTGGCGGTTATGGTGGAGGCGGCTACGGCGGCCCGGGCTGGGGCGGCGGCGGCGGCGGCTATGGAGGCGGCTATGGAGGTGGATATGGTGGCGGGCCGCCCCAGGGGGGCTATGGAGGCTACGGCGGCGGAGGTTACGGTGGTGGCTACGGCGGGGGCCCGCCGCAGGGCTATGGAGGGGGCTACGGCGGCGGAGGCGGAGGCGGCCGCGGCCTCAGCGACCACGACATCCGCGCGCGCTTGATAGAAAGAGAGAAAGCCCGCGTCGCCAAGGATTATAGAGTGGCCGACGACATCCGCAGCGAGCTCCAACGAGAAGGTATTCGTATTGACGACCTCAACCGGACGTGGTCGAGCGCCGACGGCCGCCACGGCCCGCGGCCCTCGGCCTACGACGACCCGTCTTTCAGAAGACCGGAGCCGGGCTTCGGGGGCGGCGGCCACGGTGCGGACCCGGACCGCCACCGCGACCGGTCGCGGTCGCGGTCCCGCGGTCGTAGGCGCCGCGACCGGTCCGCGTCCAAGGACTCGGCCAAGGACGACGACAAGGAGGACTAGGCCGCGCACCTCCCGCCGGCGTAAGGGGTGGCTGGTGATTTGGCGCCCGACTGCGCGGCGCCGCCGGCCAATGCGCGGGTTCGGGCGCTCGGTGGAGCAGATTGCGCGGTGGCGTCCGGCCCGTCGCCGGCCGCCGCCGCCGCTAGCCGTCGAATCGCCCCGCGCGACGGCGGACGCGTCGACGGCGTCCCGGCGCCGCAAGGCCCGGCCGACGGCTCGAGCAAGGCTCCGCCCGTCGGAATGCTAGTAGCTTTTCAAACAATAGGTATCCTAGTAACTCGCAGCGCCTCTCGCAATCTCCGCCGCGCCGGCCCGCCGTCGCTGCCCCAAGACCCATACAAGCTGCCCCAGCGCTAGAACAGCACCGCGTACCACCATGACCAACGTCTACCGCGACCCCCGCGTAATGGTCGGCAATTGGTCCGAGGATAGAGCTGAGCCCCTGGAAGGCGTGCTCGTGGACTACGGCTACCGCTCGTACAACACCACTTCGGGCGACGCGTTCCCCGTGCCGTCCAAGTCCCCGCCGAAGGACGCCGCCATGACGAGAGCAGCAAGGATGCAGCGCCGCGGCATCCGAGGCACGGACTCGACGTTTAACATGTCCCAGAAAGGGAATGTTTTTGAAGCGATGGCGCTCAGTGTCAACCCTGGAGATGGCACTGGGTTCACCTGGAGAGCACCCGCCCCCGAAAGGCCGGTGGGCCAGTACTCCACGACCTTTGGAGATACGTTCGGCCGCTTCAATGGCGAGCCTGCCGTGCCGGACCGGCCCGCCGGCGCCAAGCGGAAGGTCGACCGTGGGAGAAGTGCCACGGGCATGATCGGCGAGGTCTACATGATCCACGACGAGCCCGGCCTCGACACGCGGTGCCAGCGCGTCTGGCTGCCGAACAACGACCTCATCATCAACCCCGCGGACCGCGGACATATCAGCTCCGCGACGCTCGCGCGCGGCTGATTCGTTTTGATGGGGGCGGGCGCGCTAAGTATAGGCTTTCTTTCAATCACTGCGGCGGCGTTCGCGGTGTTTGGCGTTTCTGCGGCGCACAGACCCGTGCGAGCAGTTCGATCGAGCAGTTCGCTCAGGCTCAGGCTAGTTACGTCGCAGGGTCCCCCGTACCCCTCCCTGCGAGAGTCGATGTTACGGTGCTAGGACTAGTGGGCGGAGCCCCTGGGGGGGAGACACCGCGCGTCGCCGATTCATCGGCGGCGGGCGCGGGCCGCTTCTTTCATAGCAGCGTACCTCCTTCTAAGCTGAACCGCCTCGGCAAACCCCCCCGAACAATGTGCAACGTTCGCCCGTTCAATCAACTTGTCCCGCGACTTCCCGCAGGCGACCTTGGACCGCGGCGACGCGTTCGGTACCGTACATTCCAACAAAGCCAGTAGACACTCGGCCCGACCCTTGACAATCGCCACGCCCCACTCCCGGTAGATCTGGGCCTGAATCATGGCCGCCGCGTCCTCGACCGAATCAGCGTCGATCAGGCCCTTTCGGAACTGCTTGCCGGCGATCTCGTCGGCGCAGACGCGTGCGAGGCGATGGACGTCCGCGGACGCCTCGCCGGCGCTGCCGAACGCGAGACCACAAACCTCGCCGCGGCTCCGGATGGCGTTCTCCATCGGACCGCACTCGACGCCCCCGACCGAGTTGTACTTCATATCCAGCTTGTGGGCCTTTTTCAGGTACTGCCCGTTCACGAGACGGGCGCGTCTATCAACCGGCGCATTACCGCGCTTGTGCTCCGCCCTCATGTAGGCCTCGATATGGCCCGGCGCGTAATGCTCGGTCGTCGCCGCGACGGTTTTGACGTCGTAGAGGACGTTCTCGATGGCGATGTCCGGGACTATGCTCCCTTCGAGGTCGCCCCCGTCCGCGTCAGTTAAAGAATCCCAGACTTTCTGCACCTGCTCTCCACCGAGCCCCTCGGTGCATAACTGGATCACCAGGCCCTCCCGGTTCGCGCCGCTAGTGTCTTACTGGCCGCTAGCGCGATGCTTTTTGTTAAAGCTGGCATTGGCGTGTTTTGGCGTGTTACCGCTGTAATTTGCAACGCGTGGCGCGCACAGGTGCTCCAAAAGACGCTTTGCTTGCATTCTTGAGAGCAGTGCGGCCAAGCTAGCCCCAAAAAACCTGCATAGCCAAAACACCTCAGCCCACAATTTGAGCAATGGCGCACAAATGGCTGCTGCTCCTCGTCAGCTCATGCACTGCATTCACCGCACCACGCCGTCACGCGGCATTGGAGCGCCACGCGGCGCTGCACCGCCTCGGAGCGACGTCGACGACGACGACCGAGATGTTCGACAGCGCCGAGGCGATACTACAAAGGGAAGCCACCTTAAAAATAGGCAACGTGCGCTTCACGCGCGTCCTCGACGCCGACGACGATGTAGAAAGGGAGCCGCTGCTCTACGTCCCGGGCATCGAATTTAGAGGTATCTCCGTCGCGGCGCAGCTCCCGAACTTAATTGAGAATGCCTACGACCCGTGGTACTGCTGGGTCGACGGGGAGGATCGGAGTTCGTTTGATGAAGTGGTGGAAGCGGTGTCACAATTCGTGCGAGACAAGGGCGGTATCCTGGCGGGCGAGTCGATGGGCGGACTCATCGCCACCGCGGCCGCGCTGAAGCTGAGCGACTCCAGACAAATAGACAAACTAAGAGGCGTCGTACTAGTCAACCCGGCCACCTCTTATGATAGGACGCCCTGGCCCCTCGGCGGTAGATTAGTGTCCTCGGCAGAAGGCGTCGCCTACGCGGGCGCGATCGGCGCCGCCGTCGGTTTACTAGCGTCGGACGGGTCCATGGTCTCGAAGTCTCTGCAAGAGTTCTCGACGCTCGATTTCTCGGGACTAGAAAGAGCTGTCAATGGCGCCCAGGCTTTGGCTGACTTGGTCCCTCCGGAAACGCTGAAGCATCGAGTAGAAAATTGGCTCGATGGTGGTTGTGCCAAGACGAATGAAAGGTTGTGGCGCCTCAGAAGAAAGGGGCGCTCGACCAAGTTCTTGGTCATCTGTGGGGAAGATGATCGGTTTCTACCATCCAAGGACGAAGCGCAACGACTGAAGAAGGAACTCGATGCGGAAGCCATCACCTTGCGGGGCGGCGGCCACGCGGTCCTTGTAGACCCGCAGCGCCTCGACTTCGGTCAGTGTTTGAGAAGCTCCAAAGCACTCTATGGGGCCGAGATCCGCGCGCGCAAGCTTAAGAAAGCGCAAAGAGCAGTCGACGACTTCGTGAGGCCCAACGCGACGCAGATCAAAGAAACGCGCGACAGCGTCGTGGACCCCTTGAGGCGGCTCGTGTCGCCGAAGTTCTTCTCGACCGTTGAAGGGAGAGTGGTCGAAGGGTTACGAGGCGTGCCCTCGCCCCAACAGGGACGACCGGTCCTGCTCGTGGGCAACCACCAGTTGTTTGGTGCTGATCTCTCCATACTGGTGGACGAATTTTTGCGGGACCGCGACCTACTCATAAGGGGATTGGCGCACCCGGTGGCGACGAACGCGCCTTCCCTAATAGACGGTAACCAACAACAGGGGCCGCGGCCGTCGCCCAATTGGTGGAACGACGGGAGACGCCGCGACTCGTTTACGGGCCAGGGCAACGAGCTGTGTGGAAATCAAATTTCGGGCGCCCCACGCCATCGACGCAACTTCGTCCCTGTAAGTGCATCAGCTCGATGGCGTGGAGTTTTTAGGCCATGGACGCGAGTTAGTCGCGGTGACTGCGTCGGTTCGATGGCAATACCTAACTCACTGGTTGATTTACACACAGGCGACGAGTCCTTCTTCCAGAAGTTCGGGGCCGTGGAAGTGACGCCGCGGAATTTCATACGCTTACTGCAGCGCGACGAGTGCGTGTTGTTGTTCCCGGGCGGTGTCAGAGAATCAAATCATGGCAAGGGTGAGAACAACAAGTTGTTCTGGCCCGAGGAGACGGACTTCGTGCGGGCGGCGGCCAAGTTTGACGCGCTGATCGTGCCCTTTGGGGCGGTGGGCGCGGCGGACTCCGTGACCTTTCTGCGCGACAAAACCGGCGAGCAGCCGAACATTCCGTCGGCGCGGCGCTGGGCGAACCGCACGGAGGACTTCCGCTTTCCGCTGGCCGTGCCCACGAACCCGCGGCGGTTTTATTTTCGCTTCGGCGAGCCGATTTCTACCAGTGACGTGGACGCGTCGGACCGGGACGCATGTTCACAAATCTATGCGCAGTCCCGGAGCTCCGTGGAGTCGTGTATAGCGTGGCTGGTCGAGGAGCGCAAGCGCGACGCGTTCGACTCGCCTCTGGTCAGACTGCCCTTCGAGGCCGCGGGTCGAGGGGCGCAGGCGCCGACGTTTACTCTGTGATACTAAGTTGATGTGGTTTTCAAGTTCTCCTTCTCTCCACGTGGACTTCGCGTGGGAGTTGTTGGCATTCGTCGCGACGGGGGCGTGATGGCAACGACATATAATTAGAACATACCATCTTACGCCTTCGCCGCGTTCGAGTTCGGGCCGAAGCGCTTGCCGCCGACGCCGGCGACGACGTTGACGAATCGGCGGTTGTAGAGCATGCGCTTCTTCGCGCGGCCCGTCGGGAGCTTCTTCTTCTCCTGCTTCTCGACCTTGGGCGTCTGGCCCTTGACCTTGCCGGCGCGCGCGAGCGAGCCGTGCACCTTGCCGCCGCCGCGTAACCGTAAAACGAGGTGGAGCGTCGACTCCTTCTGGATGTTGTAGTCCGAGAGCGTGCGGCCGTCCTCGAGCTGCTTGCCCGCGAAGATGAGGCGCTGCTGGTCGGGCGGGATGCCCTCCTTGTCCTGGATCTTTTGCTTCACGTTGTCGATCGTGTCCGACGGCTCGACGTCGAGCGTGATCGTCTTACCCGTCAGGGTCTTGACGAAGATCTGTGTTGTGTTGAGGGTGAGTGTCGCGTTGTTGGGGTGGCGCGCTCTCTTTCTCTCGGAGGCGTGCGGCGGTGGCGTGCGACGGGCCCCGCGGCGTAGCGCTCCACGCCTCGCTTGAGCCAAGGCCCGCGGCGCGGCGCTGCTCGCCTCGCTTGGGCTGGCGGCGAAGGCCGCGTCACGGCGTCTCGGCGGCCGGCGGGGTGACGGGCCATCGCGCAGCACCACCGCTGCGCCGTGACCCGTAAGGGTGCTAGTGCGGCTTTCTGGGTGGTCCGCGCGGTGCGCCGTCGCCCTCAGCCGTCCGCAGTGAGCCCCAGCCTTGCATGCTCGCTTACGCCTCTACACGCCCTCGCGCGTCCAAAATTTCTCGTGCACTGAAGCTTGCCTGCATGATGCCTTCTCTGACTTGCTCGACGACTGTCTAGTGTCAAATTACGGCTGCTACAGCGTGATTATTGATCGTCGCTCAGCGATTTTTTTTGCGGTCGGGTTTTTGAAATGAAGAGCTGCGACGCTTGTTTTCCCGTTTGTCATTGATACAACGAGGTCTCAAGATGACTGTACGAGCCACGCGCATCGAGAACCCGCTTTGGCCTCACCCACTGAGACTTGGCCTGCCACCCCCATACTAATACGCGGAGGCATTAGCGCTGAAAGGACGGGACGTCAGGGCTCCACCGAGACCACTCAGTACCGCTGCGAACCGCAGAAAACCGCCTCGGCACGCGTGCGCTGCAGCAAGCAGCAGACCACAGCAAATGCTGCGCCTCACACGCCGAGCCTTCAGCAGCACGCCGTCGCCGCGCGTCGCCGTCGTCGGAAGCGGCCCGGGCGGCTTCTACACGGCGAAGTACCTCCTGAGGGACAGCAAAAATGTACACGTCACGATCCTCGATAGGTGGCCGACACCTTTCGGGTTGGTAAGGTACGGCGTCGCGCCCGACCATCCCGAGGTGAAGAGCGTGCAGGACGACTTTGAAGAGGTCGCGACATCAGAGAGGTTCTCGTACGCGGGCCACGTCTTCGTCGGGCATCCGGCTGATGCCCCATCTCATACCGGTCCCGTAGTACCTCTAAACGACCTCATGAATCTATATGATGCCGTCGTCGTGGCGACGGGCTGCGATTTAGCGAGGAAGTTGGACCTGCCCGGCGCGGAACTGGAAGGTGTCGTCAACGCGCGGGCCTTCGTCGGTTGGTACAACGCTGAGCCGACGTTTTCCCATTTACAGTTACCTGACGTGAGCGACCAGCTCCGAAGCGTCATCATAGGCCACGGCAACGTTGCTTTAGATTGCGCGCGCTTGTTAGCCGCGCCTTCATCGCATCTCGACGCGACCGACATCCATTCAACAGCCTTTGAGGCGCTGCAGAGGCTCCCGTCGAAGCGTCTTATACACGTCGTCGGGCGGCGCGGCGCGACGCAGGCGGCCTTTACGACGAAAGAGGTCCGCGAGCTCACGGAGCTCGAGAACGCCGCCCTGGTCATCGATCCCGCCGAACTGGAAGCGGGCGACACGGAAGCGTCAATAGAAGAAGGGAAAGCACGACCACTGAAACGCAAGCGCAAGTTCCTCGATCAGGTGCTGCTTCGACGAATACCGCGGAGCGGAGGTGCACCTCCGGTTTCTGAGGCGGCCCGTGGCCTTCGAGGAAGGAGCCAAGGGCCGTCTGGGAGCGGTCGTCTTCGAGAAGTGCGTCTTGGAGGGTGATGTGAATGCGCAGACAGCCGTGGGCACCGGCGCCCTCGAAAGCATAGAATGCGATCTGGCGGTCTGCGCCGTCGGCTACACGGCGAGCCCGCCCTGCCCCGACGGCAGGCGCGCCAGGCCTCAAGACGGCCCGGCGGGGACCTACGCCCAGGTCGGCAGTCGCGTCGCGCCCGGTTGCGCCGCTCGGGATGGGTGAAGCGCGGGCCGACGGGCATCGTCGGCTCGAACGTCGCCGACGCGCGCGAGACGGCCGCGGCCGTGCTCGAGGACCTGGCTGCTAGTGGTGTTGCCGGTTATGGGGAGGGCACGTCGTGGGCCGACTGGCGTCGGATCGATGGGGTCGAGAAGGCGAACGCGAGGAACGGGGCGCCGCGGGCGAAGTTTTCTGACGTCGAGGGGATGTTGGATGCGGCGAAGTCGTCGTAGATGTTGTGTAAAAAGAGTTTGTTCCGCCAACAAATCGGGTTTTCAGAATTTTTCTTGGCGCTATCCGCGCTAGTCTGCAGATATCTGTGCCGGCGCGGTACCGATAAGGGTTCATAACAAGGCGCTTTCGAGGCTTAGCGGCTTCGCCGCGGTCGCGAGGGATTAAGAGCTAGGCTAGTCACCATGGTCATGTGGCGGTGCTTGATCGTCGCCGTCGGCGCGGCTCTGGCGCGAAGCGACGCGCGACGCAGCGGTAATCTTCAGGAGAAAATGGACGCGGTGGTTTCGGCACTTCAGAAGGGCGACGTCTCGTTCATGAATGACGTCGAGGCCGTGCGCGATTTTCTAGATGCTGGTTGGGACGCCAACAAAAGACACGAGGATTATGGAGTTACGCTCCTTCATTTCACCGCTGCGTACGGGGACCCTAAAGTCGTTCAGCTCCTTCTAGGGCACGGTGCGCACGTTGACCTTAGAACCGGCCGCGTACTGCTACGTGAACGATCCTGGTCGACCTGCGGGCGCCTCGCACCAGGGCGGCGTCGAGGCGAAAGCAGCAGTCTACGGCGTCGCCCACGCGATCTATCCCACCGCTCGTGCATCAATCCGCCGCGACAACTGCCAGGACGAGTTGACGCGGCTCTGCGGCGACGTGCCTCCGCCGCCAGATTTCCGGACGAACGCCACGTGTCAGAAGGCGCGGCGAGCAGTAGCTGAGGAGTGGCGCGCGGCGTTCGACGCGGGGCCGGCGCCCGAAGGCTACGGCCGCGCCGTCGGCGTCCACGTCCGCGTGCCGGAGGGAGGCGCGGCGCTGGGGCACCTGGAGCGCTACGCGGAGAAATTGCACGACTTGCTGGCCGGGAGCAACGCGACGGTCGTGGTCTTCGGCGAGCGCTCCGGCGACACGATCAAAATCGTCCAGAGCCTCGGGCCCCGCACCGTCGTCGTCCACGAGGGCCGGAGCCCCCTCGACGACCTGCGGGCGATGGCGCACGTGGGGATATTAGCGGTCCACGGCTCCTCGTTTTCGGTCATTGCCTCGATCCTGCGCGCCGGCCCGGCCATTTCGGAGCACCGCGCGCCGATCCACGGCCGCTACGCGGGCAACACGTACCCGTGCCAACTCGGCGACTCGTGGTGGTGGTCGCCGGGCTTCGGGCGGGACGACTGCCCGGAGGGAGGGTTCTTCAAGCGACCGGCTCGCGGCGATGGCGGGGACGGGGTACGGTAATTTGCACATGCATGGCCTCCCGATGCAAAACGTTGTGGCTAGCGTCCTGTAAGACACTAGCATTGGTTGCTGCTGCCAAAACGCGCTCTGAGCCGTCAAACGCCAGCGCTGGCCGCTTCTATACTGGCCACGGTATCCACAGGACTCCTCGTTGCAGTGGGCAGCGGCGCACACAATTAACCGCATTCTCAGACCCAGCCAGCGCTACACTGCCCAGCTTCAGCAAGGCAGAGAAAAATCACCCATGGCGCGGCGCCGCCAGCGGTGGACCCTCGCCGCGCTCCTCTTGCAGCCCGCCAGCGGCTTTTACGCGCTCTCCCGACATAACGCCAGGACAGTGCTGCGGAGCTCGTCGTCGGACCCCGCGGCGGACGACGACACGCCCGTCCCCGTGCAAAAGGCCCTCGCGGCGATGACGGCCTTCAGCAACCGCTACGTCAAAGTGTCGGGGACCAAATACTGCTCGGAACCTTCTGTCCCTGCGGTCGTCATCCGCGGCCTGGCCGAACACAAGGCAGCCTTGGGCGCGCCGCTCTGCCCCTGCCGCAACTACGTCGACAAGGAGGCGGAAGCGAAGTCGGGGTATTGGAACTGCCCCTGCGTGCCCATGCGCGAGCCGGCGTGGACATCAAACAGAGTTAGGTTATCTCGCCATCGAGCGGACGCAGAATGGATGCAACCTCGCGTCGATGGCGTGGAAGCTCCACGCCATCGAGCAGATGCAGTACGGGGACGACGTCGCGTCGATGGCGTGGGGCGCCCGAAATTTGATATCCACACAGGCGCGAGCGCCACGAGTGCCACTGCATGCTCTTCCTGCCCGAGGAGCACGGCTTCGCGGGCGACTCCGACGAGATCGGGCTCGCCGAGGTTGAAGAGCTGACGGCGAATTTTAAGCCTCCCCCGCAGTAAGATTTTCGTTCGGTATTATACACATTAGGTAATGAATTTCAGTGCGTCAGGTGCCGCCCCGACAGGTCCTGGGCCCGCTCCATGTGGGCCAGCGCCCGCCCGGCCTGAGGCGAAGCGGCCGTCGCCGCCGCGGCCGTCACGCCCGCGCGCCGGTCCATAATCGAATCCTGCAGTTGGTCGATGACCGTGAGCTCCTGTTTTATGGACGAGGCCTCGATGTCGGCCACGCGTGAAGCGCCCCGTCTTAAGGATAAATGCCGCTGGCTCGCGCGCGCCGCTCGTCGAAACTCCGCCTGGGCAAATTCCCGACAGTTCTCGAGGTGGTGCTCGAGCTGCATGAGGCCCTCGCCGAGCTCATCCCGGTCTTTGGACGTGATGATCCCTTTGCGGTGGAAGCCCTCGAAGATGTGGTGCTTGACGCCCACCAAGACCTCCGCCGCGAGTAGAGCGTCGACTCGAGCCCGCGCATGCGCCGGCAACTTCGCCGCCTCATCTTCACATTGTTTTATTTGCGAATCGATCTCCTCCTTGAATTGCTCGCGGGCATCAACGGCAAAGGCCGAACTCTGTACAAAGAACGCAAACACCTCGTCCAGATGCTTTGAGGTCCTCATATAGGCCGCATGGAAGGCCGTTATTAAATAATAACGCTCAGTTGCGGTCGACCAATGAGACAGCGAAGATATGATCCTATCACCTAAACAGCCTCGCTTCTCCAGCCCTTCGAGCCAGGACACGAACAACTCCACACATTTCTCGATTTGCGAATAAATCGGGATCGACTCCGTACTCTTCCTCAGGACCACTTCAAAATGATGCAATTTCGTGTGCACATTTTGCAGCTCGACGTCACACGAAAACGGCAATATTTGCGCGGCGAAGGAACCGCGCGGCACCAAGCCCTTCTCGATCATCTCCCAGAACTCGGCCTTGAGAGCTCTCAAAAACATGCCCCGCATCCTCTGGAGGACCTGTTCGTTGTTTTCCGTGCGAGCTTCCCTATCAGCGGCGTCCAAGTCGTCCTCGCCAACGTTGCCTCCATAAACACCCGTGTCGTAGGCCAAGGCTTCCTGCACGACGCCTAGTCGTGTGGCCGCCCGGACGCGGTTCCAGCGCTGCGTCGCTTGCCTTTGCAGTTGACTCTTCTCGACTTGCGCGGCGCCGTGGACGTCCAGTCCATATTTCGCCACGATGTCGTGCAACGCGATGGCCGCGGCATGGGCCGCTGCACTCTTCGCGTAGGCTCTCACGTGCCTCGTGTCACTACTCTCAACGGTCATGCCCAGGTAGTCCAGTAACGTCTTGCAGGACCACCCATTTATTAATAGTGTTAACATAGCAATTCCACTCACTAAAAAGAGTAACTGTTCCGCACTCTTCGCTTCATCCGAATGGGCCCGTTCTTCCTGCACGACCAATGCGAGAGCTAGTCCAACAGCGCCCCGAAGCCCGCCCCAGGCCATCACGACGCCGTCCTTCCACTCGAGTTGGTGCGCATGACTATACCGCTGTTCCAACCATTTCAAGAGCGGCCAGAGCATGGCAATGGTCAAACATCTTATGATCACCAAAGCGAACCACGTAAATAGTAACCAGCCGAAGTCGGCCACGTCCAGCCAATCACCCTTACCCCCAGAGTCCTTCCAGTTCTCGCAGACGATCTTGCCCGTCAGGGAGCCGGCGAGCATGAATACCACGGTATTTCCCACGTACTCGAGAAACTCCCAGACCGCGTGCACCGTGTGCGCCTCGTCGACGTAGACCCAGCCGTACCTCGCCACACAGAGGGCGGCCATCACGGTAGCTAACACTCCCGAACACCCGCAGGCGATTTCCGAGAAGTAGAACGAGGCATACGCTACTATGATTGTTGTTGTTATTTGCAATGTCGTCGAGACCTCGTCGAACTTGCGCTGGCACAACCGTAGACACAGCAACGCCGCGCCGCCAAAGGCCAATCCAATAAAACAACCTCCAAGGACCATCCTTGCAAAGAACTCGATAACCTCGTAGGGCGGGTTTCCCGCCCCAGAGATGTACTTCTTGTGTTTTTGGGCTAGAGAATCGAACAGTAAAAACAAGACCATGGCCGTGCCATCATTAAAAAGCGACTCTCCGGTGATGGTCATCGTGAGGCCGGGGGACGCGCCCAACGCATTCAGCAAAGCTACGACTGCTACGGGGTCCGTCGCTGCGGCGATCGAGCCGAACATGCACCGGAAGAACCAGCTCCACTCGTAGGGTAATAAAGCTGCAAAATAGGCGGTGGCAAAGGTCGAGATCAACACTCCCGCGGTCGCGAGCAGCAAGCACTGGTACATCTTCGTGTAGAAGGTATGTAAATTGATCTGCATGGCATCTCCAAATAATAACAAAGGTAGAAAACCACATAAGAGCAGTTCGGGGTTCATGCGGCGCCATCGACCCATAGATCTAGAATAGACCCCTAATAACCTTTCTTCCGTCGCGTGGTCCACCAAGGCTAATACTAAACCAATGACAAACACGGCCATCGTGTAGGGCACCGCTTGATAAAAGCGGCTGATGATGAACAAACATAAGGCTCCGATCAGTAGCGAAGCGCCAAAATACACGCCCGCCTCGTACGTGTGCGCCTCGTGGTGCTCCTCGTGGTGCTCCTCGTGCGGATGAGGGGCGTGCGTGGCTGTTCCCAGGGCGCGCCGCGGCAGGAGGCCGTGCGTGGCGAGCGCGGCGCACGCGCGCGCGTCGAGGCCCTCCTCCTTCAGTATAACGGCGCAGGCGTCCTCATCTGAATTGATGGGTATCACAAAGGCGGCCGCGAGGAGCAGGCGGAGCGCCGGCCGCATGGGTGGCTGCCTCTGCCCTGGCTAGCTGGCTGCTGCCCTGCTTGCGCGCTGCTGCTGAGCTTGCTGCCCCGGCTTGGCTGCAGGCCTGGCTCGCTCTCTTCCTTGCGTTGGCTGCCTTGGTGCTTGCTGATTGGCTACGTTAGACGGCCCACAATGTGTCCTCTCGACGGCTGCTGGACGAGTCGGGCGCTAGCTCGGGATGGTGATTCAAAAACGAAGCGTGGTCTGACTGATATACTGCGTCCTTTGGGAGAACTTCCGTGCGGAGCTTTGCTAGCGGCCTGTGACACACTAGCAGCAATGCCCTGAAAGCCAAAGGCAGAGCAGGCCAGGGACGCAGCTGTGGTGCACAGCTCTGCTGGTCGCGGTCTGAGAAGTGAGCGATGGGCTGTGGCGTGCGCCGCCGCGTGTGATATCAACGGCGCGTCGACGCCTGCCGTAAAAACAGCAAGTGGAGCCACGAGCTGTTTCGAGCTGTTTCTGGTGCCGCGCGGCCGTCGGGGCGCCGGCGGCCTGCGCGCCGCGGCCCGCGGACCGCATCCGTGCGCGCGGCCCGTATAAATGCCGGCGCCGGGCGCGACGCGGCCCGCGGGCCGGACAGACGCAAAGGCGCGCGCGCGAACGCCGGCCTGCGCAAGCGGCCCGCCGCGCGCGGACCGCATACATGAGAGAGCGCGAGAGAGAGAGCGAGAGCGCCGAGAGCCCGGACGCGCGTACGACGCCGTGGACCGCGCGCGCGACCGAGAGAGCGCTCCCACTCACACAAAACAACGCAGGGCTCCAAGGCCGGCGGGTCGGGCGAGCGCGCCGACGCGAATTCTGAGTTTGCAAGGAAGTACAATTTAGATGATAAGGAGCTCGGCACGGGCGCCTTCAGTAGAGTCATCCTCGCGACGTCCAACGAAGGGACCAAAGTGGCCGTCAAGTGCATCTCCAAGAACGGGGAATTGAAGCAGGAGGATATTGACTCGTTGCACGAGGAGGTCGCGGTCCTACGGTCGGTGGACCACCCGAACATTGTCAAATTATATGATTTCTTCGACGAAAAGCGGTACTACTACATGGCCATCGAGCTCATGGAGGGCGGCGAGCTGTTTGAAAGGATCGTCAAGAAGACCTTTTATAACGAGATGGACGCGCGGGGATTAGTTCGCATATTGCTCGACGCGCTCGCGTACCTGCACCACCGGGGCATCGTGCACCGCGACCTCAAGCCCGAGAATTTGTTACTGAAGTCGCCGTTCAACGACTTTGATATCAAGCTCGCGGATTTTGGCTTCGCCAAGAAGGTCGAGGGCAAATCCTTAGATACCCAATGTGGTACGCCCGGCTATGTTGCTCCGGAGATCCTCAAGGGCAAGAAGTACGGCACGGCCGTCGACATGTGGTCGTGTGGAGTTATTGTCTACATTCTGCTCGGGGGCTACCCGCCGCGCGGCGCCGCGTCCGAGTTATTTCGCGGCGACGACGACGCGACTGCGCCGGCCCCATCGCGGCGAGGGACCGGCACGGAGGCGTCGCGTCGATTCGTCGCCGACTCGCCGCGCGTCTGCCGAAGCATAACGTCATCGACGCGACGCCAGCTCGACGACGTGGGGCGTGGAGGTCGACGCGCTGCCGCCCGCGCAGGTTCCACGACGACAACCACGCCGTCTTGTACCGCAAGATCAAGGCCGCGGACTACGCCTTCGACCCCCAGTACTGGGACCAGGTCTCGGACGACGCCAAGGATTTGATCAAAAAGATGCTCGTCGTCGACCCCGACAAGCGGCTGACGGCCTCCCAGGCCCTGAGACACCCCTGGTTCATGGTCGGCGACCACGAGCTCATTTCCAGAAACCTCGCGAAGACGCTGGACACGATGAAGAAGTTCAACGCGAGGCGCAAGTTCAAGGGCAAGGTCAAGGGGATCATCCTGGCCAACAAGCTGGCGAAGGGGGACCTGTTCTGAGGTGTAGGGGCCTCCCGTTCTTAGTACGTTCGTTCACGCTACTAGTACCTACCTAGGACGTGTAGAGCGCGTCGCCCTTCGAGTCGTGCGGCGCGTACGTTAAGGCCACTTCCTTCTGGAGCGAAAGTACTCTGCGAATGTTCTCGGCGACGGCCCGTTGGCTCACTTCATCCGTTCTGTGCTTCGTCCACACGCCTAGTCGCAGACTCCCGCCCTTCTTGAGGGACAGAGAACAGCCGCACACCTCGTCCAGATCCGCGTCCTCCGCGGACGGCGTCAATTGACCACCGATAGCAGCTAAACACAACCGCTTCCACTGGTCGTCCAAGTCGGCACTTCGTTCCAACGGTATGGACCATTCTCCGCCGTTCGCGTTTGAGGGGTCCTCCCACGTCGGCTCGACGTCGTTCCGGAAGAGCTGGTAGGTCGCGCCGTTGCCCAGCGTCGAAGGTTTTTCCAAGGCACCATGTAATCTGAAAAAGGCCTCCGCGGTGCGGATTTTGTGCAGCGGCTCGGACGCCCAGGCATTTTTCGAACCGCGTTCCGGCGGTCGCTGCCCGCGCCCCCAGAAGGTCCAGTGGTCGCTATCTAGCGCCGTTTCCTTGGAAGGGTCGCCATCTATTGCGACGGGTAACGCAGCGGTCGGGCGGCGGCGTCTCCCAATGGGCCGTTGGACGCCGCGCGGCGGAGGCTCGGCGGTCCTAGGCGTCGTCGCGGCGGGGCGGCGGCGGCCATGTCGTTGCTTGCTGATTGCTTTTTCGAGTGCTTGCGGCGGCGTGCGTATTGGCTATGCTGTAGATTGCACTGCCTGATTATCCTTGCAGCGTTGCAGTTCTAAGCGCCGCTTGGGAGTCGTTCAATTGCTAGCGTTTGAAAGCTACTTCTGCTGTCACAGTGCTTGCAATGTACAGATGCGCGTATTTGGACGCAAAGTTTGGTCTCGCTCAGCTGCTTGTCCCTCCTCAGCCATTTGCGGTAAGGGACTCACGACTCCTCGAAACCACGACAGACACGTCGCTGAGCGCGAATTCAGTATTTTTTGTGGCTGGGGCCGAGACGGCTTTGTGCACGGGTTTCGCACAGCAAAAACGCCAAAAAACAGGCGTTGCGGGCGGTCCCAACGCGTCGCAGCGCTGCTTCAGTATCTCTTAGACTTGCGGCCGTTCGACTGCTGTGAGAATCAGACGACGCCCGAGCAGCGTGGCCGCGTATAGAGGCACAGCTTTCGTGCTGCTGTGCAGCCGCCGCGCGCCGCAGCCGTAAACGATGGCCGACGCGCCGCCACCCAACGAATCGTCGGAGGACTACGCCGCCGCGCATGCTCTAGAATATAAGAACCGCGGCAACGCGAAATTCAAGGAGCGGGACTACGAGGGCGCCGTGCAAGCCTTTTCTGAGGCGATAGCGCTGGACCCGTCGAATGCCGTCCTCTACTCGAACCGCTCGGGCGCGTACCTCGCGATGAGCCACGTCTCCAAGGCCTTCAAGGACGCCGAAGAGGCCGTACGGTTGGACCCGCAGTGGCCCAAGGCTTTAGCAAGACGCGCGACGGCCGAGCACGCCCTGACGCGGTACATCACCGCCCAAGCGACCTGGCGGAAGGCGCTGCAGCTGGACCCCGGCAACGAGGCCTACGAAAAAGCCCTGCAGGCGGCGAAGGACGGCGAAGCGCAACAAACGAAGGAGCGAATTGAAGATGAAAAACGCAAGGAAAGGGAAGCCGAGGAGAAACGTCGAAGGGACGCCGCCGACGAAGCGAAAAGGCGGGAAGACGCGCGGAACGAGGAGCAATTGAAGGACTTCTTCGGGGTGCTCGAGGACGACAAAGTCCAGAGAGCTCGGAAGAAAAAGCTCGAGACGAATCCCATCACGGAAAAATATCAAAAACAGAAATTAGGGAAAGGTGCGGACCACGTCGCGCCTCACGGACAAGCACGCGCAGTTCAAGAACCTAGATCCGTTCCGAGTCCTCGTGTTAGATACCGATGCCACACCAGATGATATAAAGAACAGATACAAGAAGATGAGTGTCTTATGTCATCCTGATAAAAATGGCGGTTCCGAGCAAGCCAACAAGCGTTCGAGGCCGTGAAAGATGGCGTGCCAAGTTATCTGATGAAAAGAAGCGCGACCGGACGATCCTCGTGATCGAGGGCGCCCGAGAAAGGTGTCGGCAAGAAAGGGCTTTTAAGCTGTCGAAGGGCGTGGACCCTGCCACGTTGCCACCGGAGGAGGAAGCCCTGCAGAAGGAGGTGGCCAAGACTTTTGCGCAAAATGAAATGAAGCGGAGGGATGTGGAGGAACATAACCGGGTCCAGCAGCAGCGCGAGCGGGACCAGGCCGCGGAAGCGGAAAAAAAGGAGGCCGACGAGAAATTGTTCGAGAAGCAGTGGAACACGGACGACCGGCGCGGCGCGCGCGTGGGGATGTGGCAGGACTTCCAGGACGACAAAAAACGTTCCGCGAACGTCAAACGGCAGCGGACGGCCGTCAACTTTAAACGGGAGGAAAAACAGGAGACGAAGAAGAAGTACGGCGAGTGGGACCGGGAGAGCTGGCGGCGGGACTGGAAGTAATGATATTTGTGTTATAAATAGTCTTACTAGGTAGCACGGGCCGGGACGATCAGCCCCAGTAGAACTTCTTCCCGTAGCGGTCCGTCTTCTCGTGCTCGGGCCCCTTGCGAAACATGCAGCCGAACTCGCCGTCCTCCGGGCAATGGACCTTGAATGTTTCGTCGGCCGCGAGGGCCCTCAAGCGGTCCTCGAACGACGAATCGCTGTCCGGCTCTGCGGTCGTATGTGCATTGGTCATCCACCCGTATTTGAGAGCTTCCCTGGCGAGGCCTCTGATCGTGCCGCCTTGACGAAGCGCGAAGCGCATGGGCCAATATTCGCCGCCCTCGGCAACGGTTCGCGCGCGCGACATATATGTCGTCCTCGAGGGCCCTTTTTCTATGTCGACCGCCAGAAAAGTGTGGGGGCCATCGACCCCCATGCCGGCGATGAGGCAGTTATCCATGTGGCACCAGCGCACTTCGGCGCGCGCGCCGTCCGTCACTTGAATTGCATGGTAGTGGTCGCCGTTGAACAGGCAGTTGATAACGCCACAAACGGTGCCGCCGCCCTTGCGAAATAATTCACCACCAACGTCGGTTCTAGCAGTGCCGCCGCCCTCCACCAAAACACCGTAGACGCTCCTATTGAAGGTCACGTCAACCGCAGCGAGCCAGGCGCCATCAGTAACTTTCAGCGCCACGGTCTGGTCCGCGAACCAGCAATTCTCTACGTACACGGTCGGTCGCACCGTCTAACGCGTGAACGCCCGCAAACACCACGGATTGAGGTGCTCATCGTGGACTTGCAGACCATTCCCGTCGTCTGCGGCGAGTTCCGGGGCGTGTTTACAACACCGCCGCGGTGACCGACCCACGCGATGCCGTACAGCGAGAGCTTCACGGCCGAACCCGAGGCTGTGATCGCGGGCAAGGGCACGGCGCTGTGCCCTCCACTTTCCTTGGGAAGGCGCCCCGCATTGACGGTGACCATGACCTCGTTATCTGTCCACGTGGCGTTTATCTGCGCCTCTGTCTGCCAGGCCGGCGTCCGCCACAGTTTGGTCGCCTCGGATCCTCTCACCATCAAAGCGGAACTCGACTGACGCCGCATCCACACCCTTCCTTCTCGCGAAATCATTGAATGCAAGCGCCAAGAGAGTCGTCGTCCTAACCCGGAAGAAGACCGCTTGAGGCTGGGGCGTATCATCGTGTCGATCGTTGATGCGGATGTTCAAGACCTCGCCGCGCGGCGAAACTTGTGTATATGGCGGCCCCGTCACGTCTTCGAGATGGTACTGCTGCCCGGGCTGGCAAATCGTCTCGCGTTCGTCCTTCTTAGCGGCGCCGTAGCGGCGCCGTGTCGCCGCGGCGATGATCAGGTTGAAAAGCGGCGCGGTAATCGGCGCTTCCAGTTGCACGGACTCGGTCAAAAGCACCACGTCGCGATCCCGCGCCGCGGCGACGGCTGCTTCCAGCGATGGGTGCGCGGCGCTCGGGCACTTAATTACCCGCGAGCGGAACGGCGCGAGCACCGCTTTCAACGACAGCGTGTCCTGCGGCGTCGGCGAAACCGACGTGGTGAGTGTGTACACGCGGCCCGGCGCCGCGCCAAGTGTCCGCAAGTAGGAGAGGATGTGAGAGACCGTGCCCTCGTCCAGCGCCGTGGCTATGCGCCGCGTTGGTGATCGAGCCGAGGTGCGGCCGCGGTTCAACGGGCTGGTGCTTGCGCCGCTTCTTCGGCGGCAGCGGCCCTTCGGGCAATTTCCTTGACGGCGGCGGCGTCACGCGGCCGGCATCGGTCAGTGGAGCGGCGGCCGGCGCCGGAGGCGCGCCGGCCATCGCCACGCGGCCAATGGGCCCGACGAGCCGGTCGCCGCCGACGTCGGGTGGGAAGATCACCACGAGGCCTTCGGGGCCGTCGAGCCTCACGACGACCCCGTCGCCCCGCGGGAGGCCTCCCTCGCGAGCTGTGATGACCGTGCCCAGGCTCGCGTTCGCGCGCGATATGACGCGATCGCCGGGGACGAACACGCGCTGGGGCCGCGGCCGCGCGCGGCATTTGGGGACGGACCGCGGCGGCGGCGGCGGCGGCGGCGGCACGTAGCCTCGCGCCGCGCGCCAGCGCGTCTTGCGGTCGGCCAGCCACGCTTCGAAGTCGGCGCGAGGGACGCGCTTTAGACTTGTCCCGATGCTCGGGGGCCGGGTCCCGCCCGCGCACGCCTTGCCGTGCTGCACCGCCGCCGGCGCGTGAGCAAAGGTCCGCGGGCAGCCGGCCGGGCACGGGAAGCGGCCGAGCTCGTCGCGCGGGCCAAGCGACGGGCCGCGCTGCTTGGGCGCCCCGACACTCGGCGTCGCGGCCGGCGGCTGCGGCGCGGCCGGCGCCGCGGCCGCCGGCGGCGACGCGTCCGTCTGCGTCGAGGCGTCGCGCGACGTCGTCGTCGCCGCGGCGACGACCGGCGCGCGCTCGGCGCACAGCCGCTTCCAGGCCTCGACGAAGCGGCGCCGCGAGATCACGGGCCACCGCGCGAGGCCGATCGTTTCTTCGAGGTCGACGAGCTCGACCGCCCGGAAGTCGTCGAGTGAATCGACGCAGGCGCGGACGGCGGCGCGCCGGGCCGGGTTGCCTATGGTTGCGGCGAGCCACGAGTCCAAGCTGTTCATTGTAGTTTTTCACAGAGCGGTTTCACTGTGCGAGCTGATGTGTTGGCTGTTTAGGAGACTTGTGACTAGTGACTACTTCCGAACCTTTCGCGTCGGTGTGACCGGTGCAAGTTGTTCTGGGCTAAGCTGAACTCGCTCTCAAGCTTTCATGAAAATGCGCTCTCCAAGCAACCTCCTCTTCTCAGGCCAGACGACTCCGCCAAAACTATCCACAAACTTACACGCAACAACAACACCACTTCTATATCGACCCGCCCCCGCGAGACACCAACTCCTCGAGCGGGTAGGCCGGGTCCGCGTACCGCGAGGGGACGAACGCCGAGGCATAAGAAGGCAGCGTGTTCCCCAAAACGTGCGCCGCGCAGAGCTCACCGGCGGCCTCAGCAGCCATCAACCCAAACCCAGCAAAGGCCCCATTCACGTAATACCCCGGGACGCCGCCGGGCCCGATCAGCGGTCGGTTCTCGGGCGTCTGGGTATAATAGCCGCCGTCGATCAGTGGTCGCTCGCTCTCGCCGTCGACGTACGCCCGCAACCCTGGTATGAAGCCCGCGAGCCCTCTTAAGCAAACTTCCGGGTAGAGGTCCGCGTCGAAGCTTGGCACATCGACGGGCGGCTCCTCGACGTCACAATCGGCATGCCAGTAATCCCACAGCAACAGAATATGTTCGTCGCCCCAGGGGCGGAGGTGGACACCCGCGGGCGCCAGTCCCGTGAGCTTCGCCGCTGTTGCAGCGCCGAAGGCGTCCTCGAGCCCGTCGTCGTCCATAATTCTCGTAGAGTCGAGGGAGATGAGCATGGGCGCGTTCCGAGGCACGGTCCGCAACGCATCTCTGAAGATGCACTTCGCGTGGACCTCGTTTGCAACCGGCAGCTCCGGCGCCGAGACCATCCCATGTATATGCGTCAGGTAGGGCCCCGCGCAGTTCACCAGCGTCGACGTCGCGACGGGGCGCCCGTCGACCCGGACGCCCGCGACGGCGCCGCCTTCGCACTCGACGCCGTCGACGCACCCCGCCACAAACGTGACGCCCACCGCCTTCGCCCGAGCGACGAGCTCGGCGGCGTAGCGGCCCGAGTCGACCCAGCCCGCGCGCCGCGCGTGCACGACGCCCACGACGTCCTCCGCCAAAGCTGGGAAGGCTTGCCTTGCCGCATCTCCGTGGAGCACGTCGAAGCCCGCGGGCAGCGCGTCGACGGCGTCCAGGTTTAAAACCCCGCCGGCGACGGCTCATACGCGGCGAGCGTCGCGTGGTGCCTCACTCCACCGAGGTCCTCGCACTCGGCCACGGCCTTCGCGAGCGTTTCCGGCTGCCGCGCGCAGTAGGCGTAGCCGCGCCGCGTCAGGCCGATCCCTGCTTGCGCGCGTCGCTTCCATCAGGTCGATGGACCGCGACATTAACTCCGCCATCTCGCGGCTCGGCCAGAAGTCGCGGTAGCATTCCGTCGAGACGGCCGACGTGTAGGAGCACGGCGGGTGCCGCGTGACGCAGAGGACTCGCAGGCCGGCGTCGGCGAGGCGCGACGCGGTGCTGACGCCGACGAGGCCCGCTCCGACGACGATCGCATCTGTGCGCTGCGGCGGCGTCGACGCTTGACGGATGCCGCGCGCGGTCGCGGCGGCGGCGCGGCGGAGCATGGTCTCAGCTGCTGCAGCACAAGTTCTGCAGTGGCTTGTTTCGTAGCGCACAAGGCGCAGCGCTCAATTCTTTTGAAGCAGCAGTCGCAGCGCTCTAAAAGCAAAGCGTGACGAGGCTGCCACGCGCTATTTCGACCGCTGCGCCGAGTCTCGTCCGCAAAGGTGAAGCTAGCGGCCTGTAGAGACACTAGCAAGCCAAACTCGGAACGCGGCATGCAGCCGTTTGAGTACCGTTCAGTTCGCTAATGGTCCAAAGAGATCAATGGGACACTTCCTGGGGGCCAAAAAAGGAATTTTTTTAATTCGCGATATTGACGACCCCGCCATGGCGGGCGCGTAGGTGGAATCCTGTCAATTCGTGGTCCTGAGGTCTCCCGGAAGCCATTTTGGGTCGCTACTAGACATGTGCAATCGCCTACGCCGCCTACGCCGCCGCTTCCAGAGTGAGATACATCTCCCATGGTCCTTTGCGCTACTGATGTATTGGCCATGATTTGCCAAAGATTTCGATCCAGAGCTCTCTGGGGAGCTCCAAGCACGGGCGCATGCGGCGTAGGCGACTACCCGACCCCAGACCTATCCCGGAGGGAGTCCGCGAGCCGATCTACATCCACAAAAAGTAAATAATTTGGACCCGATGGCGCCCCGTTCCCGTCAAAAACGTCAATTACCCGAGGGCCCCCAGTAGTCGCCGTAGCGGTCTCGTTGGACCCCATACTACCCCAGCGATAGTCAATTACAAGTATATGACATCTACATTATAAGAAGGGTACTTTTGGCTGCCCACGCTCGGGACGTGAACATCTTTATCTGGACCTCGCGTAAGTCCGTCGATCATGAAACAAATGATCGCGTCATGGTCCATGGTGATGGTACACGGGCTGATGGGCCCAGGTCCAAGTAATTTGCCCGTTTAAAGCAAGATCGTGGGCTCGCGAGTTGGCCGAGCCGCGCGGAGCATCGTGGGGTCTCGAGCAATGTAGTACACGCTCAGGCCAGTTATCTGGCCCGTCCCACAACTAAAGCGCCTGAAACGCAAATTTACTTTATAAACCACCCGTCTGGGGCCTTTCCGGTGCTCCGTCTCCGCACCGTCGTCCGCGGAGAACGGGCAAGTCAGTCGATTGTGGATAGAACGACGGCGTTATGATCCATCTGGATGGTGGCGTCGCTGATACTCGCGGGTCTAGGTCTTGAGCCCCTCTACACATAAACCTGGGGTCGTGGAGTCGCTGTTTCGCGCGGCTCTAACGGGTAATCTAAAATAGCTCAGTAGTCACTGATTCGGCCGAAATGGACTCTACCACCAACAAACGGAAGGAAACGAACATAAACGCGAGAGTTGTCCAGTAGAATTCTTTTCCCGCCCTCCGAGCGCGCGCCGTCGGCTCCGGTTCCGTCGAACTTGTATGAAAACTGGGCTGGAGTTGATATAATGTACTATCTGGACGGTGGATGGCGGCGTCAAGCGCGGGTCTACTTTGGCGAGCCGTAAGACTCATCCGCGAATGTCGCGGGCGGTGCCTTCCGGGAGGCGCGAGGGTATGTTCCCGGGCCGCTACTCTGAAATATTTGGTCGCGGCGAACGACCAGGATATATTCTGAATTTGGGTCATTCTTTTGACGCTATCGAAGCGTATCTTTGAATTTGCTAGTATGTCGACACGCTAGGTATTATTTCCTCCCTGCGTGAAGAAATGATCGCCGATGAATCGGCGACGCGCGGTGTCTCCCCCCCAGGGGCTCCGCCCACTAGTACTAGCACCGTAACATCGACGGGATGAAGAAATGATCTAGGCGGACGACCACACGGACGGTGAATAATCACTAGCAAGCAAACTCGGAACGCCTGATGTGCAGCCCCTCACGCCATCGATCAGACGTCCAGCCCCACGAAATCTACAAGGGAGGCGTACTTAATCATCATCAGGATACAGGGAAGGGAAGAACGATCACGCGTCGTACTCGACGAAGAAGAACTGGCGCCGCTTGTAGCAACTGTCGTCGTTCCACTGGCCCGTCGCGTACGTCCGACGCGTCCTCTCGCCGTTCTCGTCCGGTTCTCCTTCCAAAAGTTGCTGTAAGCGCCAGCGACCGGCTGCCCATCTCGATAGAAGACGCTGCCGCCCTTAAAACCGTCCAGCCACTCGAAGGTCCCCTCGTTCGTCATGTCGTTGGCCCCGATCCAGCCGGGCGTTGCCCGACGCCGAAGCCCTGGTGGGCCAGCATCTTCCCGAGCAGAAACGCGTTCTCGGCCGCGTCGTCGACCGTGGCGAGGTACCCTGGGACACCGCCATAGCATCTCCCCCAAGCATCCATCTCGGCCTGGCGCCACGTGATCTGCGCCCAGTTGCCGCCCACGATCTGGTAGTGGTGGCCGTTGTATTCATAGACGGGATCGCCATATAAAGCTTCGCCCATGTACTGGCACCGGTCCAGCCAGTGGCTCTGCTTGCCGCCGCCGCCGCCCTTGCCCCGGCCGTCCGGGCCCGGCTTCGGCCCGTTGCCGTTTCTATTGGCTGCTATACCATTAACCTTCGACATCGCCGAGCAGGCGATGACAAAGCCCACGAAGGACATGAGGTAGAGCACGATAATGTGCTGCTGGAGGAAGGCTTGTATGAAGTTTCTTCTCGGTGGCGGCGCGTAGGAGACGGGCGGCGGCGCGTAGCCGCTGTTCCCCGACGGGACCTCTTCGGGCGGGAGGTCGTCGATGAGGGCCGTGCCTAAGGGGTTCTTCGTGGCCATTTTTGTGTGCGTGACGCGTCTCCAGTGAACAGCGCGTGCTGCAGAGATATTGTGTCCCTCGGCCTGAGGGTCCTTTAAGCGCACGCCAACTTAACAGAGGCTGGAGCCGACTCAAGTGAGAGGCTGCGAGAACTGTGGGTAATTTCCTAGCGTGAAACCGTGCGTACAGGCCAAAAAACAAAGTGACCGAGAGCCTGGAGTCTAGCGTCCTGTAAGACACTAGCCAAGTACACGCATTACTGACTAGCTATGTTCGGGGGGGTTTGCCGAGGCGGTTCTGCTTAGAAGGAGGTACGCTGTTATGAAAGAAGCGGCCCGCGCCCGCCGCCGATGAATCGGCGACGCGCGGTGTCTCCCCCCCAGGGGCTCCGCCCACTAGGAAGTCGGCGGGCGGCGAAGGTTTGTCGGCGGCCTGATACTGTTCTTTGACCTCGCTGCGGAAGTCTTCAACCACACGAAGGACGCAGACACCTTGAAAACGCTCTTCGGCAAGCCCCCGTACGACGACGACAAGATCAAAGCTGCCTACTGCGTCGCAGCGCTCGGCGAGATCAGGCGACGGCACTTAAGTGGCGCGCAGGTCATTGCGTGCGGCGAGGGCGCCGAGCGCTCCTGGGGCTGGGATGGAGAACTCATGCGGGCTCAAGAGATCTTTTTCCGATTATGCAAAAAGTGGAACTACGTGCTCTGCGAGAGCTATGATGGCGCGCACGGCGAGGCGGTGGCCGCCGCGCTCTACAAATTGAACTTGCTTGGAGTGTACGGCAACCCATTGGCACGGGGTTTGGGCGACTCAGGAGATGTGGTCGATTTCGATAGGTTGGCAAACGAGGGCATGGCGTTTCAGGCCAAAGACATAGGTGGTAGTGGTCGGAAGGGCGTCGACGCTGTATTAAACGACACAATCAAGAATCAGGTCAGCATCATGGGGGTGCGCATTGTGGACCCTGATGACCGGCGCCTCTCGCTCACGGGCGACGTCCTGTTCTTTACTCAAATATTAGTGCTGCCCGAACTCAATCGGTACGACGCCGAAAACCCAGGCATCTTCGACGTGATAGCAGGCATGGACTCCATCGGCGCCACGAACAAGCATCTACACGCGGCCATGAAGCTCGGAAATCTTGCGCTCAAGCTCCAACGGCTTCGCTCGCACCGAGACTGGCGCCGCGACATCATGGACGTCCTCGTGCGTGTCGCCAAATTGAGGTCCGTCGAGTGGTTGCGCGCCAAACTGGTGGAGCTCATGCCGATTGCGCCCGCCCTCCTAGAACGCCGGCCGGTTTCCCTGGCGACGTCATTGAGAGGAGATGATCTCATCCGATGGTTCGAAGACGTGTTACTGTGCCTGCCGCGCAACGGGGTACAGGCGACGCTAGACTACATTGCCGAGGAGAACCGGTCCTGGGACGCGGCCCTGCGGGGCGCAGCGACGTGCCGCCCTTTCGAGCCGCTTGGGCCACTCGCGTCGGCCGACACGGTCGAGGCGGACCTCCTGCGCGAGTTTCCGTGCCTCAGCCAAGCTCACGCGTGGACCATCGCCAAGAACGCGGTCAATGCGGCGCGTGCGTGTCGCGTCTGGCACCGCGACGGCTGTTTCGAGGCGCGGGAGCCGCAGGGCGCTATGGACCGGTTCCTCGCGCGAGGCAGCCGCGCCCCCTCGCCGCCGCCGTCCGCGGCGGCGCCGGCGCCGGCGCCCAAGGGCATGGATCGGTATATGCAGAAGCAGAAGCCGCCGCCGGTGCCGCCGCCGCGGGCACCTAAAAAGCCAAGCGGCATGGAGCCGTTCGTAACGCAGAAGAAGCCCCGCGTCGCGGCCGCGCCGCCCGCGTCGCCGGGCGCCGTCGCAGCCATAGCGGGGATGCGCAACTTGGACGAGGCGCCGCCGGCGTCGCCCGGTACTTTGGCGCTAATCGACGCGATGGAAGACCGCGAGGCCGGCGCGGCGCCGGCGCCGGCGCCTTCTTCGCCGGTCGCCCCGCCCGCGTCGCCGGCCGCGCCGCCCGCCGCCGCGCCGCCGCCGCAATCGCCAGCGAACGACGCCGCGGCCGAGGGCGAAAACTCGTGGACCTGCCCCGCGTGCACCTACCGGCACGTAGAGGCCGAGGCGGGCTTCCTGGCGTGCGCCATGTGTGGGGCGACGAAGGTCGACCTGGACCCGGACGACGTCGCCTAGTCCAGCCGGACGGGTGGGCCCGGGGGGAGCGGGAGGGGTACGGGGAACCCTGCGACGTAACTAGCCTTAGCCTTAGCCAAAAAGAGTCGGTCGCATGGACGCCGTCGCCGCGGCTCACTCACACCGTTTATACTTTTTACTCAATCTTCAGAAGCGCTCCGCGCCCCGCCCTTCTCGACCATCTCCACGAGCTGTTCCGTCTCCTCGTTATCTGAGTCGGTATCGAGGGGCCATCCTTTTTCATGATACTCCCACTCGATGCGAAACAACGCCCAGACCGTCCTCCTCGCCAATTCCGCAATTTCAAACGACAACATGCCCATGCCGCGCGTCGACACGTGACCGAACACCGCCAAAGCCCAGGCAAACCTCAGACTGAAGTTGAAGAGCACCAGACCGGCATAAGCAGCATATATAAACATATCGCTACGTTTCGAAAAAACGAGTGATTTCGGCTCCCTCATCTGGTCGACCTCGAAGATGCCACAGAGTAATCCCCCTCGCCGCTTCTTGAAGAGGCCCCAGTCCATGCACAGGTCCCAGGCGAAGGTTGCGGAGGATTGCACACAGGCCGTCAACACTACTAATCTACGAGTTTGATCGGTCGGCGCGAGTCGGTCCAGGTACCCCGCATAGACGAGAGGAAACGCCGTCGCGTATTTCACGGCGTTCCAGAAGTTCTTGGGCTCGCCCGTACGTCGTAGTACCGATAGGCATTGAAATAAACGACACCAGAAGGGCAAGGCCAGCGCCCACGCGTTTAATTCGGACGTGACGCAAGCCCCTCTGGTCTCCTCCCAGAAGACGCCGTGCGTATCTGTTGTGAGGTGGGAGTAGGCCGGTGAAATACCGGCGTACCACGCGACACAACCCGTGACGTGGACGTCACCGAGTGCCTTGGCCATGCTCGTGGCCTGTGTCGAGATCATGTCACGAGACCGCCGCATCGACGGCGTCGCGGCGGCGTGGTCTCACGAAGACGCTCTCTCTCTCTCTCTGACACGCCGCGCAGCCCCGACGTGGTCCGAATCGGCTCAAAATCGAAAAGGAGACCACCCACTTCATCAGGAGATGGCGACGACGCGCGTCGATGGCGTGAAGGCACCGCAGCACCGCGGGACGCCGAGTCCGCACATAGTCGGCCACGATGACGTGCCAGAACGTCACGGGCGCGAACGGCGCGCATAAAGATTCTATCAGAGTTCTCAGCAATGAACTTCGACCGTGGGCCGTCTGCAACAGCCAGCCGTGGTCGTAGCGCTGGTGGGCCTTACACCTTTCACTGGAATAACCCGCTTCATCACTACCACAACAAGCAGAGGGTGGCGCCGCTAGGAGTAGGATGCATGCGGCGTACGCCACTAGATCGAAGAACAAACACCACCGCCCGAAGTGCTCCGTCTCGAAGACCACTTGGGCCACGAAGGGTACCAGCCGACAGAGCAGTATCACATCCAATAAACCCAAAGCGCTCCGCAGAATGATTCTTGGTGATAACACGCCCTCGCCCAAAGCTCTCGAGAGCCTTAACCCGGCTACTTGGCCGCAGTGCACGACGCCCGCCCATCCTACGAGTATGACCACCAAGAGGATGGGAGGGCGTGCTGACGCCGACCGCCAAAATAACCTCGATATCACTTCGAAGGCGTCGTGCGGGCTCGCTTCTCGGAGCGTGAGCGTGGCGAAGGCTATACTCAAAGCTCCTAACAAAGCGAGCTCGCCGCGCGCGGCGTGCGTGCCGGTGGCCATGGTTGTTTCCTACGCGTCGACGGCGTCTTGTAGCCGCGTCGACGGCGTTTTTTTTGTCGCCGCGTCGACGGCGTTCGCGCCTCTCTGGTCCCAGCCCTTATAGCCGATGCAAGCCGACCCACGCCTTGAGACAACAGCTTGTGGCTTGCTAGAGTGCCAACTCGCAGCGCTGATGTGCTGAGACTGCTGCGACGGTACTGTGCCAAGCTCAGAATAGCCTCGGATGCCAGGCCGACGCTGTTATGGCGTAAAATTTTGCCACAGTCGACTGTGCTTAGCTAGCGGCATGTAAGACACTAGCAAGCAGCGCGACGCCTCTCACGGAGGACCAGCTTCTCCGGCACGCGCGAGAGCTGTGCCAGAGCGCATGCGCGCCAAAAGCAAGCTTACCCACAAGCCGAACCGATCTCCAGGCCGTCGTGATTGAGCCTGATAAGCTCAGCGCTGAGGGCAAGAACACACGCGCTGCTCCTCCAGCAGTGCCGCTATCGCTGCGGTACCGCGCTCTCAACCGCGCGTTGAGATACAGCTCGTATCTAGCGCGTTCAGCGTTCAGAGCTGCAGAGCTGCAGGCGCAGCGCGCCCGGCCGCGCTGCGACAGGATGGCGAACACGCAGGAAGACGAGGAGATCATGGCAGCCATGGATGCGATGGAAGCGCAGCCGAGCGGCGAGGCGGAGGTGCCGTGGTCTCAGGAGGACAACCGATGGTCGTCGCAGCAGTCTGCCGAGGACGCGCCGGCGGCGGCGCCGCAGAACCCGCAGAAGCTGTGGTGGCACACGCAGCAGGACGATCCCGCGCACGTCGAGGCGAGCCTCGCGGCGATCACGGACGCCACGGGCCTCGACTTCGCGGCCGTGCGACGCGGTTGGGACAAGACGCGGCGCGTAGCCGAGGACGCGGACGTCTCCTACGACGACAGCGTCACCGCGTTTGGCGAGCTCGCGCTCGCGTGCAAGGAATGCAACACGTCGCCCGACACCGTCCCGGCAAACGCCGTCGTTGTGATCAACAGCGTGCGGCGGCGAGGTAACGACAACGGCGTCAAGCGCGCGATCGAGAAGCTGGTCGGTCGGCGGGCGTCGCCGCCGCGACCAAGCCATCCGAAGCGGCCCGTGCCGAGCCCACCGAAGCAGCGCAAGAGCCCTCCGAAGCGGCCGCGGCCGGCTCCGGCGGCCGCCGCGCCGACCGCGGCGCCGGCGCCGCCACCAGCAGCGCCCGCGCGGCGGCCGACGCCGCGCGAGCTCGGGACCAATCCCCGCGCGCTCGGGACCAATCCGCTGCGCTGGGGGACCAGCGCGCGCGCGCGCTCGGGACCAACCCGCGCGCGCTCGCGGCGCGGGCGCCACCGCTGCCGCCGCCGTCGGAGATAGAAGACGAGTCGGTGACATCGCCGTCGCCATCGCCACTGACGCCCGCGCCGTCGCCGGAGGACGCGGCGGCGGCGGCGCTGCCAACGACGGACGAGGTCGAACCCCCGCGGCCTCCAACGCCGCCGGACGACGCGGCGGCGCTCGAGCGCGCCCGTGGCAACTTGGCGCGCGCGCTCGCCGAGCCCGAGCCCAAGCCCTCGGAGGAGAACGAGAGCGACGGCGACGAGGACCCCTTCGGCGCCGTCGCGCCGCGCCCGCCGCCGCTCACCGGCTTCGCGGAAGAGCCCGTGACGGAGAACCAGCGCGCGCGCCTGGACGATCTGCGCGCGCGCATGGCGGCGCCGCCGCCGGCGCCGCAGGACGACGCGCCGCGGGCGCCGCAGATCACGATTCATCCCGCGGGGTCGCGCGCGGCGGACGAGCTGATCGAAAGGGCGCGCTGGCGCCAGACGTCGCCCGACATGTTGAAAAGGCTCAGCCGCGCCGGCCGGGACGCGCTGGGCGAGGAGCCGGACCTGGCGGTGAAGCTGCTCCATGGCCGCTGCGCGGTCGTCGAGGTCGAGGACGTCCGCGGGGGCGAGGCGCTCGCCAAGCACATGCTCGACACGAAGGCCACGCCGGACGAGGCGGCCTGCCGCGCGCTCGGCTTCACGTTCCTACGGACGACGACGCTGGTCGTGAATCGCGCCGTGCCGCCGCGACAAGTCACGGTGAAGGCCTTGTTCCTCGACCGCGAGACGGCCGCCGTCGCCGCGGCCTTCGACGCCGAGGGCCGCACGGCGTTCCACCGCGCCGTCACCGCGGCCAAGCGCTACGTCAGCGCCGCGCGCGACGCGGTCCAGGGCGCCCAGTACTGCGAGGGCATCCGCTACGACCGGCGGCACAACGCGCACAAGCAGGACCTCGGCCGCGACGCGTACCACACGTTCTGCCACCGCGATGAGAAGTGGCGGCGCGACGCCACGTACAAGCGCGACGTCGTCGAGCTGCTCTTCAAGGTGTGTGAGCTCGAACGGATTTTCGTCCCGCGGCTCGGGCGGATGCGCGCGCTCTTCCGCGACGCGATGGGCCTCGTCCCGCTGAGCCGGACGCTCGAGGACTACATCTCCGCGCCGATGCTGGTCATGTCGGAGTCGTTCGGCTGCGAGGTCCACGTCGATAAGAGCGCGGACAAGTTCGCAGAGTCCATCGCCTGGGTGCGCGGCACACGGCGGCACCCGTGGCACTTCATCGTGGCGTGCGCGGGCGTCGCGTTCGAGCTCCACGAGGCGGCGCCGTGCTTCCTGACGCTCCAGGCGTCCTGCACCGCGCACGCGACGCTTCGGACGCCCGGCCACGAGAACCACCCGTCGAAGGGCGCGGCCGCCGTCACGAAGCGGACGCTTGTGACGGACGCCGCGCGCGAGAAGTTCCGGCCCGGGGAGCCTAGAGAGGAGTAAAGTTTTCAAGATCGAACTATAGACGGGGGCAGGAGGGGGTATGACTACGTCGCCGAGATGCCCGCCAACTTGGAGAACTTCTCGAAGAAGAGGAGCTGGAGGGTCGTCGTCGGCGCGATTCTAGCCCACATAGGTATAAATCCGCGCCAGAGCGCCGGCGGCCCCTCCTGCGTCGCGATCTTCGCGAACGTGTCGAAGAGGTTAAAATAAACCTTGGGCTTGTCCGCGGGCTGGTTCATGAGCCGCGTGCGGCAGATGTCGAAGGGCGCGACCGTGCACGTCATGAAGAAGCCCGCGATGAATGACGCTAAGGCCTGCATGGGCACGCCCTCGTTCAAGGGAGAAGGGGCGTAGTCCTTGACGAGGCCTTTCGAGGTGTCGTAGCAGGCCATCTTCGTGCCGTTGTTCACGATCGCGCGCATGATGTTCGCGTCGATGCCCTTGTAGAAGCCGATGAGGCCCTGGTTGGTGTAGATGGACGACGCGGTCGCGCCCAATCCGAGACCCGTCTCGGACGCCATCATCTTCGTCTTGAGGATGTCGAAGGGGTTGCCGACGATGGAGCCGAGGCCGCCGCTCGCGCCGCCCGCCGCGAACTTCATGATGAACGGCGAGTCCGGCTTGTCGGCCCCGAACGCGTGCTTGAGCGGCGCGTAGAGGCCCAGCCGGAACGACGTGTACGACGCCTCGCGCATCCACGCGGCGGGGATGCCCTTCCAGAAGGCGGCGATGCCCTCCTCCTTGGCGATCGTCGAGCACGTGCCGGCCAGGCCCAACTCCGCGTAGTTCCGCGCGTTGCCGGTGCCCGACACTTGTAAACGCGTCTTCACCGTGTCGATGGGGTGGATGAACGTGACCGTGATCACGGCGGCGCCGCCGGCGCAGCCGAGGTTCGTGAGGATGGACGGGGCCATCGCCTGTGCGCATACCAATTGATCATCCGGGCCGGCGCCGTCCGCCGTCTCTTCGCGACGCGCTTCCAAACTGCGACCGCGGGGGCACCGCGGCGGTGGCGTCGCGCACGACTACATTTCGCCTCTCGCGTACCGAAACCGCCGGCTAAAACATGCCGGCAAGCGATTGGCTGCATTGCTTTTAGGGCTCAGGCTTGAAATCTCGACAAGTCGTTACGGCAGAGTGATACATGGACACGGTTGTGCACGAGTTGCACCTCCCTTCTGTCTCGGCGATCGTGTGCGGGCGTATTAGCCGGGTGGATGCCGTCCACGCGTGATTTGGGAATCGCCAGTTTGGCGTTTTTGAGCGGAGCTCTCTTTTTGTTGAGCTCTCGGAGGCTTGCGTTTGAGCAAAACAACGCCGTGGACGGATCGCGCGGCTCGCGAACCCGTTTTACAAGTCAATAGAGGCACACAAAAGTAAGCAAAGAGCTTTGTCTGCGGCGCGAGTTGGTGCGTCGTTGTAGTCACAAATTATCCTCTGATAGTGCAGAACGACGCCACGAGCGCTAGCTGCAAAAGCAACGCACTTGAGCATCAACAAAAGCCATCTGAGTCCTACCGCCCCCGCGCCGGCACCTGTCGTCGCTCCGCCGCCCGCCGCCGCGGCGCCAGCGCCCATGGAGATGAGCACCGAACCTTCGCCCGTGGTCGCCGCGGCCGCGTCTGTCCCCGCCGACCACGTCCCCCTCCTCGCGGGCGTCCGCCTTTTTATGTTCGGCGCCCGGGACCAGCTCAACTCATACGATCTGCGCCACCTCTCCGAGGTCCCGGACGGCGATCGGCCCCCGGCGCCGGCTGACCTGACGAACATCGCGAATTTCTTCCGGGAGTCACCGTCATCCAACGGCGGTCTGGACGCCGTCGCTCTAGGTCTCTGCGGCTGCGAGGTCGACAAACCCGTCGTCTTTGCGCTACAGACGCTCACAGTCGTCGGGACGGACACGGTGCGGATTTCGAAGACCGCCGTGGACATGACCCTCATGCCGCACCTCCCTCTGCAGTCGCTGCTCGATCATTTTGCGGCGCAGGTGCCCCGCTTCGCCCGGCAATTACTACCGGGCGCACGCTACGTCGCCTGCGAAAAGGTGGACTCCTCGCGCACGGGATATCTATGGGACCCCGACTCCCAGCGACACCTCCCCTTCGAGATCTGGCAACCCGGCCCCGGCTACGCGAGCGTCTTTCCCTCCAACGCCACGGGCGTCGCGTTTCTGCGCGCCGAACTGAACGCTCCGGGCGCCGCGGCGACGGCGTAGGGCTTCCAAGTCATCATAAGCTCTCATTATTATCTAGCGGCCAGTAAGACACTAGCAAGGTCTTTGCTGCGGACGCCGCCGACGCAGCAGTGCTGCCCAAAGCCGTCACACCACCACCAGAGCACCCCCGAGCAAAACCACAGCGACATGCCGCGACGGACGCAGCGATGGGCTGCATAAATAACAGAATGCTGTGCATGCTGCTCCTCACGCTAGCGCATGCAAGACGGATGTATCAGATTCGCAAGTTCCAGGAGGCCGAGCTCAAACGCCGTTCATTGAGACCCTGCAACGCCACGGATTTAAGTGAAGGCCTGCCCGGTACCTGGCGCCTCTCGCCCTTCGCCAGAGGCGACGCGTACGGCTGGGACAAAACGGAGTCCGAACGATTACGTAGAGCGGACGCGTCGGAGGCCTACGAACGGCCGGTCCACGAGTATTTGCCGGATCAATGTAGGTTAAGGCGCTTCGACGCGCGCGACGCGATCGGAAGGTGCTTTTCAGGACGACGATTGGCCTTTCTGGGCGACTCGCTCGCGGAGCAGGTCTCCAAGGCCTTGTTAGGTATGTTAGGACATGCGGGCCACGCCGCGACCAAGACGGAGCACGGCGACGTGTTTTCCATGGACAAGGCACCATCAAAGGAAGAGTTTATTGCACGTCCCAAAAAACGCCACCCTCGGTACTGGAAGCAGCGCGACTTTCGGAGGCGGCTCACGGAAAGTGGTATGGAGGTCTTGGAGAGGTTCAAGCTCGGAAGGGTGGACCTCGATCGATTAGAGGACATCGACGAGACCGTAAGGTTCGGGCCGCGCGATGTTATTTTAGTGAGCTTCGGGCCGCACTACAAGAACGCGTCGCGATATGAGAGAGACCTGCGGTCCTTTTGCGCTTGGATGAAACGCGGCAGAGATAGAAAAAGGGCGACGCTCATTTGGCGCGAAAATAGCGCGACGCATTTTCCGGTATCAACAGGCACGCACGAGGAGATGATGCAGCTGAACTACGACGGGGGCTGCCCGCCCTACGCCTCGAACTGTTTGACGTGGCCGCTGAAGTGCTCGTCCCACGCGTTAACGCACGACGCCGCATTACCTAAACAAAGGTGGCGCAACGACGTGCTCCGGGCCGTGGTCAAGGAGACGAGTTGTGGAAGTGTGCTGCCCCTCTTCGAGCTCGTCAGAGACGACTGGCGGGCGCATCCCGGGAGCACCGCGCCGATTCAACGAAACGCGTGCGACGGCGCCGTCACGGCGCGGCAGGCCAAGTGCTGCCGGCGGAAGACGGGCGCCGCGTGCCTGCTGGACTGTCTGCACCTCGCGCCGAAGTACAACCACCTGACGGCGCGGCTCCTCTACCACCTCCTGTGCTTTTCGTCGTCGGGGGCGTAGTAATGTGTGTACCTTGTCGCCGCGGCGGCGTCGTCGTGGCGTCGTAATAGTACGGGCTTGTAGACTCCCACTTTGGAGTCGCGGCTCGGAAAACCAGCGAACGCCGGTCCCAGCCTTCCGCAGCGTGCCAATAGTCATCCGAGGGCTCCGGACCTCGGGGGAGAGGCGTAACTCGGGTCGGTGATCTGCGAACCCGGCGCAAACCGCCGTCGCAACGGGCGCGCAGCGCGACCGTAAAGGCGCGCAATCCTGCACAGCCGCCGGCTGCCCTTGCATCATAAGAAGCGCGGAGTAGCACGTCATCGCTGCACCACACGCGCAAACGATGCAGCGGCTTAACGGATAAGCATAAACACCAAAGCCAAGTGACCCGCTGGGCCAACAGCATAAAGAAATGCCGCGGCGCGTCGCGAAAGTCGCGCCGTCCGGCTGGACCTACGTCCGCAGCGCCCTCGCTGATTTAGCGGAAGAAGGACGCCGCCAGGACCTCAGTAGTTCATTAGCGCAGCTCGCGCGCACAAGGCAGCTGCCGCCCTTAACAAACGCACCGGTGCACAATCCCTTGGATGAGGAGAGCGACGCGACACCAAGAGCTCAGGGCCCCGGCAGCGTCGCGCGGCACCGGGCCTTCGTGAAGACGGTGGAGAAGGAACACAGTAAAAGAAAAGAGGCCTACGCGAAAACGAGAGAAAATGTGCTAAAGAGCACGCCCTCGAAGTCGACGCGGCGTCGCATAGAACGCGATTTGGATCGCGCAGAGGCGGCAGCCGAGCGCGAGACGCTTGCTACATTAGCGCACGCGCACCAGGAGCTACACGACGAGCTCGCCGCAGAAGAAACGCCGAGGACGCCGCGGCACGACGGCGAGGCTGCTCATCAAGCTGCACAATCCGCCTTGAGGGAGAGCCACCGCAAGGAGGCTCATCAATCTCTCGAACTCGTAAGGGAGGCCGTGCGCCAGCACGACGAGCAGGCGCCGCCTCCTCTGACCCTCGATACCTCGTCCTCGTCTGATGAACATACAGAGCCACCGATTTCCCCTTATAGGGAGGAGTGCAAGGAGGCGCCCGCCGAGGACGCCTACGAGCCCTACCGGGCGAAGCTCGACGGCACGCAGACGCCGGCGCAGTACGTGCGCGAGCGCCAGCCGGCCATCGTAGTGTTGGGTGCGATGGGCGCCGCACTTTGCTTATGTGGTGGGGCGCTCGGCGCGTCGGGCGCCTGGCGCTACGGGCGGTCGAACCTGGCGCTCTTCCTCGCGCCCACGTTGCTAGGTTTTGCGCACGCTCTCGTCGGCGCCGTTTGCGTCGTCGCGTGCCTCCGGGTCCGGCGGGACCTCGAGGCCTATTTCGAGCCGAGACCCGTCGCGCACGCGCACCAGCAGCTCGCGGAGGAGACCCCGCTCCGCCGCCTGATCCGCCTGGACGAGGCGCGGCGCGCCTTGAAGGAAGGTGGGACGTCCCTCGAGGTCGCGCGCGCGGTCAACGAAGAGGGCAAGTGCGTCGAGGCGCCCGCGGACACGCCGGGCCAGCGCCTGCTCGAGTGCTGCCTTTATGTCTGGTTGTTCCTCGCCATCCTATGCTTGGGCTGCGGCGCTGGTTTGATAGCCAACCGGCGGCTGGGTGAGACGCACGCGGCGAACCTCGCGGAACGACGGCCCGGGCGCTTCGCCGAGTACTTTGATGGTGAGGAAGGCGCCGCCGGCCGGGAATTAATGAATTGGCTCCTAGGACATGGGATCTCACTGTTGGTCCTCGCCGTACTCGGCTTACTGCCTCTATTGCCAACCATAAAAATCATCACGGTCTACGAGACCGTGCAGAGCGGCCTCGAGTGGGGCGGTGCGTTCCTCAGTATCCTTGCGATGGCGTGCGCCGTCATTACCAGTCTCACGCTGCGTTACAAAGACGCGGTGGACGGCGCGGCGTTCGCGGCGCCTTCTGATGGTGCGCTCTGGGCCTCGGTCATTATATCGGCGATCGCCGCCTTCTCTGGTACCGTCGCGTGGCGGGGCGGTTACACCGAGAACGTTCGACTATTAGCCCTCTTCGAGGGGATGGGCGTCTTCCTCGTCCCGTCCATACTCATCGCCTTCGCCCTCATGGTCGCCGCCGTCGCGCGCTTGCCACCGCTTATTGAGAGGCGCTGCGACGACGTCGTGCAACTATTAGGCGAGGACTGGTGGGATGCGGTGCTCGGCTGTCGCAAGTACGCGTCCGACGCGCGGCGGCATTCTTCCTATGTAAGAGGCGCGGGCGAAGGCTGGTCCGTGACGTGCGACGACGCATCGTCCAATGTGTTCGCCTGGGAATATGACGACGAGCAGGGGAGTTGTGGCTGCAAGGTTGATTATTATGGGTGTCTCAACTCAAGGCCCTGTTGCAACTCCCTGAAGGTATTAATCGAGACGAACTGGTTCTTCCTCGTCTACGGCGGGTTAGTCGTGCTGATTCTTTTGATGGGCTTAGTCAAGGCGTCCCACTACGTCCGCACGAAGATCGTCGATGGTTGGGACCGCAAACGTATTTTACATCATCGGAACAGCTCCGTGAGCGGGTCCCTCGCCCTGTCGTTTGGCGTGGCCCTCGTCGTGATTGGGCTGTCCGTGCTCCTCGCTTCTACGGGAAAGCGGGTCCCGCCGAACGAAGCGCGAGGCGTGCTGACCTGCGACTACGCGCCCTTCGAGAACGCCACTTTACTAGATAGGCTCCCTCCAACGGATCTGGTGGACGAAGGCAACGACAGGGTTTTACTAGAACCGATCACGGAGTTCTGGCCCTACCCCACGCCGGCTCCCTCCGTGTCGCCGTATCCTACGACATCCCAGCCTTCGCCGGAACCATCATTCCTACCGTCGCCGATGCCGTCCTCGATACCGTCGACGGCGCGTCCGTCGACGGCGGCGCCGTCCTCTTCACCAAGCTCGTCGCCGCCTTCCTTGAAACCATCGCCGGCGCCCTCGCGCCTGCCGTCGCCGAGACCCACCGCGCATCCTTCTGCGGCGCCGTCGCGCGCCCCCCTCGTGCCGACCTCGGCGCCGACGTCCATGCCGGTGCCGGCGCCGACGCCGCTTCCCTCGACTTCCACGCCGTCCGCCGTGCCGTCGTCGCGGCCGACGCCGCTGCCGACGCCCGCGACGCCCGCGCCGTCCTACGCCCCGAAGCCGCTGCCCACGTCCCGTCCGACGACCGGCGCGCCGAGCTACGCCCCGTCGGCGGTCCCCACGTCCCTGCCGACGCCTGTGCCCGCGCCGCGCCCGACCGTGAACAACGTCATGACCGACGGCAACATCAGAACGGCCGTCGCGGCGTGGCTCGCGGACGCGGCCGCCGCCGAGGCGTTATATGGCCACATTTCGACGTGGGGGACCAGCGCGGTGACGGACATGGAGGCTCTCTTCGCCCATGCCGCCTCCTTCAACGACGACATTAGCGCGTGGGATACCTCTAGCGTCACGACGATGTATGAGATGTTCTGGGGCGCCTCGTCGTTCAACCGACCGATCGGCGGCTGGCAAGTCGACAAGGTCACGACGATGGAATTCATGTTCGAAGACGCCTCGGCCTTCGACCAGCCCATCGGCGCATGGGATACCTCTAGCGTCACTACGACGCACTACATGTTCGTCGGCGCCTCGTCTTTCAATCAGGACCTCGGCGCGTGGAATGTCTCTAGCGTCGTGACGATGTATGATATGTTCTTCGACGCCCCGTCATTCAACGGGGACATCGGCGCGTGGGATGTCTCTGGCGTGACGTCGATGAAGTACATGTTCGACGACGCCTACGCGTTCAACCGACCGATCGGCGGCTGGGACGTTTCCAACGTCGAGGACATGTACGGAATGTTCGAGGACGCCTTCGCGTTCAACCAGGCCATCGGCGCGTGGGATACCTCGGGCGTGACGACGCTCGAGGACATGTTCTTGGGGGCGCGATCCTTCAATCAGTCGCTCAATGATTGGGACATTTCCAGCGTCACGGACATGTCTTGGATGTTCCAAGACGCCTCGGCGTTCAACAAACCGCTAGACGCCTGGAACCCCGCCAGCGTCACGGCCATGGACGGCATGTTCCACAACGCTACGTCGTTCAACCAGCCGTTGAGTGAATGGAGCTTTCCCAGCGTCACGCGGATGCACTCGATGTTCCGCTACGCCAAGGCGTTCGACCAGGACCTCGGCTGGTGCGTGGACGCCGACATGGTCCTGGCGATAAACGACCAGCCCGACGACGTGAGCAGCCTGTTCTACGAGACGCCGTGCGCGGCGACGTCGTGCGGCGTCACGCAAGATGGCTGCACGGGCTACGCCATGGACGACACCACCATCCGCACGGCCGTCGCGGCGTGGCTCGCGGACGCGGCGGCCGCCGAGGCGACGTACGGCCACATTTCGACGTGGGTGACCAGCGCGGTGACGGACATGGAGGCTCTCTTCGCCCATGCCGCCTCCTTCAACGACGACATTAGCGCGTGGGATACCTCTAGCGTCACGACGATGTATGATATGTTCTTCGGCGCCTCGTCGTTCAACCGAGACATCGGCAAATGGCGGGTCGAGAGCGTCACGGATATGAGATATATGTTCGAAGACGCCTTCGCGTTCAACCGGCCGATCGGCAACTGGGACGTTTCCAACGTCAAGGACATGTACGGGATGTTCGACTGGGCCTTCGCGTTCAACCAGGCCATCGGCGCGTGGGACGTCTCCGGCGTGACGCGGCTAGAGGAGATGTTCGAGGGTGCACGATCCTTCAACCAGTCGCTCAATGATTGGGACATCTCCAACGTCGGGGACATGTCTTGGATGTTCGCAGACGCAATAAAATTCAACAGACCGCTAGACGCCTGGAACCTCGCCAGCGTCACGGCCATGGACGGGATGTTCAAAAACGCCACGAAATTCAACCAGCCGCTCAGCGCCTGGAGCTTTCCCAGCGTCACGCGGATGCACTCGATGTTCCAATTCGCCAAGGCGTTCGACCAGTACCTCGGCTGGTGCGTCGACGCCGACATGGTCCTGACGATCGACGACGACGACGACGGGTTTCCCGACCACGTGAGCAGCCTGTTCTACGAGACGCCGTGCGCCGCGACGGCTTGCGGCGTCGCGCAAGAGGACGCGAACGGGACTTGCCCGGCGCCCACGGCCCTGCCGACGTCGCTTCCGACGGCACAACCGTCGTCGACGCCGACGGCGCCCTCGCCGCGGCCGTCGTCCCACCCGTCCGTGAGTCCTAGCTTGCGACCGACGCCCGCGCCTTCGGTAAGACCGACGCCCGCGCCTTCGGTAACGCCGACGCCCGCGCCCACGACGCCGCAGCCGTCGTCGACGCCGACGACGAGCGCCCCCTCGAACGGCTGCGTCATGGCGCTGCACCAGTTCCTGCAACCCCTGAGCTGCGAGGGCTGCGCGCGCTGGATCGATCAGCCGGCGGACGACAATTGTATAAGGGAGCTCGACGGCGTCGCGACGTGCCAGAGTAAAGCCGCGGCGATCGCGGCGGTCCCCGGCTGGGGCGCCGACACCTGCCCGACGGGCTGGACGGGCTGCAGCACCGATGTTTTTGACGTCGCGGCGACGTCGGGCGCGTGCAAGACGTACGAAAACGTCGTCGTTTTGCAGAGTGACGAGAGGGCCAAGGACTGCGACGTCGTCGTGCGGGCGTCCGTCGACGGCTTCGGGTCCTTGACCTTCTCGGATAATTCCCTGGTCACCTCGTCCTCTTATGCGAACGGCACCTCTTCGTACAAACTGCGGGGCGCGGCCGACGCGGTGGCGCAAGCGCTCGCGACCTTCGAGTTCTGCCCCGGGTGCGTCGACGAGACGTACGCGTTGACGTTTTCATTGGATGACGTAAGTTGCGGCATCTGCACCGTGGCGGGCGTGAGCCATGATCTGAAAATCAAGGCGACGACGCAGCTCACGCACGTGTTTCATGGGAGAGTCGTCAAGGCGGGCTGCGGGGGCGACTGCTGGGCGGCGGGCGTGAGCGACGCTTCGGTGTCGGTCGACGCGCCCGGGTGCGCCTACGCGGACGCCGTCACTACAAAAACCGACGGCGCCTACGCCATCGAGGTGCCCTACGACGTCCGCCAGCACGGGAGCACGGCCTCATTATCGTTCTCCAAGGAGGGCTACTCGACGTACACGAAGAGCGTCGTCCTCGGCGCCACCGCCCTCCCTACGTCTTCGGGCTACTACTGGGCCTCGTCGTCCAACAGTTCGATCGGGGACCACTGCGCGGACGGCACGACGCACGCGCCCGTCTCCGCGTTATATTGTGCGGCGCACGGCGTGGACCTCTGCGCGATCTACGCGGCGAAGTACTCGGCGTCGTCGACGTGCCAGTGCTGGGCCGGCGCGCGCATCTATGGGGGCGGCTACGGGACCTGCTCCGGGCTTCCCGCGGCGACGGGCGCGGAGCTCCGCGTCGACGCGTACGAAGGCGTGCCCTGCGCCTGCGACCAACCGGTCTCGGCGCACGTTGTGGGGGCCGCCTATCTAAGCTCGGCGACGCTGCCCCCTTCGACATCACCTCCCTCGACCGCCTCTCCGACGACGCCGCAGCCCTCAGCGCAGCCGTCCGTGCGGCCGACACCGGCACCGAGTCCAGCGCCGAGCGTGACCCCGACGCCGCGGCCATCGTCCATCCCGACGTCCGCGCCGTCTCTTGCGCCGACGGCGCTTCCGGTGCCGGCGCCGACGCTGACGCCGACCTCGGCCCCGACGCTTGCGCCGACGCCATCGCCGGCGTCGTCGGCGCCGACCGCCGCGCCCTCGCTCAAGCCGTCGTATGCGCCCTCCTACGTCCCGACGACGGCGGCGCCGACGCCCAAGGTGCCAACTCCGCGCCCGACTCGCGCGCCGACGACCGCCGGACCGACGTCTGCGAGTCCTACGCACGCGCCGTCGCCGCTGCCTTCGGTCGCTCCTACGAATCTGCCATCGTCAAATCCGACCCTGGCTCCGTCGCCGCTGCCGACCACACCGCCGTCGCCGATGCCGTCGACACTGCCACCTACGTCGCCCGCGCCGTCATTGACGCCGACGTCGCTGCCTACGACCCAACCGTCGCCGCCGCCGACGGCGCCGCCGTCGTTGGCGCCGACGCTGTCCACGGCGCCGACGGCCGCGCCGACATCGAAACCTTCCACACCGCAACCTACCACGAGCATGCCTACGACGCCCGTTGCGTCCGCGACGGCCACTGTCGTGTGTCTATCTGCCGGTACGCGCAAAGGGGGCCTCGAGTCCGTCAGCGGGACGTGTGGTCTCGACCTCGTCGACGGCTCCAGCTTAGTCGTTGTGGATACGGCGAGCGTCGGCGCGCCGCTCGCCGTGGGTGCGAGCGCCGCTGACGCTTCATTCTTTGGCACTGTCCCGGACGGCGCCTTCGTCGAAGCGACTTGCGATGGTGCTTGCGCGGGTACGACAAAAGCGACGCTCGCGCACCCGGGCACGGCGCTGCTACCCTTGACCGGCCAGCTGGCGGCCGACGAAGTTGTCGTCGCGCTCGTGTGGGCGACGGCCGGCACGGACCTTGATTTGCGCCTAGGCTTTCGAGCCGACGACGACGAGCGGTGCTTGGTGAGCGCGGGCAGGCCGAACTGTGGCGACGCGACCCACACCATTGCCGGTGAAGGTCTTGAGTTTATCTCTATCAAGCCCTTTCGGGCCACTGACTACCACGTTTGGATTCATGGGAACGTCGAGGCCGCCCAAGCGTATGTGTACGTCTTCGACGCGGGAGGCCTCGTCTCCGTCAAGGCCGCGGCGCCGCCAGTCTGCGGCGCGACGACGGCGGCCGAGGCCGCGACTCAATGCGTTTACTACGACGATCCAGCCTTCGTGAACGCTGAGTCCGGGAAAGCTATCTGGGCCGCACCGGAGGCGAACAGACTGCTGGGCGAGCACACGGAGGCGCTCTGCCTCGAGGGCCTCGGTCTCGGAAGTGTCGTCAAGCCGCTCGTCGTGGAGCGGCAGCGCCACTACACCGCGGAGGCCTTTGACACGGCGCAGCTCGTGGATAGTTGCTCGGCCCCTCGTGAGTGCGAAACCGCGGACGAGGCCGTCTGGCACTGCTCCGCAATCATCGAGCGCGGCGTCTTCCGGTGCCCGGGGGCGATGCGCCACATGGTCTTCTGCGACGCTGGTTACGAATGTAATCCGGCCGCGGCGCTGGACGTCGCCGTGACGGACGCGGCCGCCGTGCGCGCGGCCATGTGCGTCGCGCCGCCGACGCCCGCGCCGACGCTGCAGCCCATCGCCCTGACGCTCGACCTCTAAGAGTATGTGTTGAAACTTCGAGTGATTTAGGGAGGGCGCGGCGGAGGCGGCCCCGGCGGGGGAGGAGGGAGTCCTCCCGGAAAGCCTGACATGGGGAACGGAGGCCGTGGCACGGATCCTGGCGGTGGCGGGATCGAGCCTGCGTGGAAATAAAATTTCGGGCGCCCCACGCCATCGACGTGATGAGACAGCCTAGCTCGCTGGTTGATTCCACACAGCTGCGAGCCCGGCGGCGGCGGGAAGCCCATCGGAGGCATGCCCGGCATGGCCATACCGGGGGGAAAGCCCGGCGGCCGCGGCGGCGGAGGAATCGACCTGTGTGGAAATCAAAATTTTACGGCGCGTTCGTGCTGAATCATCGCGTCGTCCTCCACGCCATCGACGCTACACCTGCTCGATGGCGTGGCGATGCCGGTTCCTCGCCGCTCGACCGAGCCAGGACGGCCGCGTCATTGCCGAGAAATGACTTAGCGAAGAATTGTCGGGTGCACGCCGACACACTGGTTGATTTCCACACAGGAATCGACCCCATAGGGGGAGGCACGCCCAGCGGCGGCCGCGGGTAGCCGAGCGGTGGCCGCGGGATCGAGCCGGGCGCGCCCACGAGCGCTAATGGTGGGGCGACGCCCGGGCGATGACCGAGCAGACCCACGGGCGCGCGGCCCGCGGTCAGCGCTCCGAGCGAGCCCATCGCCATACCCGGAGGCATCATTCCCATGCCGCTATTTTGTTCATAAAACTGCTTCATGTACTGCTCGTAGTACTGCTTCACATTTTCCCGATGCTTCCAGCCCCGGATGTGCTGCTTTCGACCGGGCGCGGAGTCGTGCGTAAGGTACACATCACAATAATCACAGAAATAACGCGGCATCGTTGTGTGTTGGGCTTGGGTGCTCGGCGACAGCGGGCCGCGAGTGCGCGCGCGGGCCCAGGGCAGGCGGCGAGGGGCGGCCTTTTATAATCACAGCGCAGGGGCGGCGCCGGGCTAATGTTGCGCGTGGCAGCAGCAAATAAACGTGGGAGTCTCTTTCAGCGCGTTGGCTTGCCGTGTGGACGCCCAATAGCCGCCCGCTGAGTCGCGCTCGGCTGAGATTATTAGCGTGCATAAACATACTAGAGATACGCAGCGCGGCCGGTGGGCAGCCTTTACGGCCTTATACGCGCCCAGGAGCAGGGCTCCGGCCGAGGGCTTCAGCCGAGGGCAGCTGTCGGACGTCGGACGCGCCTGTGGCCCGCAGCAAGGGCTGCCTGGGCCCAGTGTCACACCGACCACCATGAGGCGGACACGCCGGCGGCGCGTGAGCCCCGACGACGACGACGATGCCAACGACGACGAAGCACCGCGCCGGCCCCGCTCGCTCCTCCCCTGGAAGAACAGTAATAGGATGGTCGGCGGCGCCCCCGGCGCGGCGGACGACCAAACAGTAAATACGGAGACGACCGGCACGCGACGCCAAGCGGCCCAGCAAGAGGAAGACGACGACGACGACGACGGCATCGACTGGTCCAAAATGCCCCCGGAAGAAGTGTTCAAGCGCTTCGATACCGATGGATCTGGTGAAATCGACCTGGAAGAATTTAAGGTTATGCTCAAAAAGTTAAAAATACACATGTCCTCCGCCAAGGCCGTCAAGTACTTCAAGATGTGCGACGTCGACGACAGTGGCCAGATCGACTTCGAGGAGTTCCGCGTCGCGTTGTTTGCCTGCGACCCGAACAACGGCAACCCGATCGGCTTCGCGCCGAACGCGTTGTTGACACCGATCGACGCGTTCGAGATGTTCGACGAGGACGGGTCGGGCAATATTAACGAGGACGAGTTCTACTTCGTGCTCGAGTACCTCAAGCTCGAGGTGTCTGACGCGAACCAGGAGCGGTTGTTCCTGAAGTATGATAAAGATCAGTCGGGGGAGATTGACTACGACGAATTTAGACAGATCTGGCTCGCTGTCGCCGACGTGAAGAAGGAACTTACTGACAGAGGTGTCGACGTGCCGAAATTCGCTTCCCGCAAGAAGCTCGAACGTATTTTAGAAAAATGTCTAGACGAAGAGGAGGAGCAGGAGCGGCGGGCCATGGCCGAGGCCGAGCGGTGGCGGACGTGGCGGGCCATCCTCGACCAGAAGAACGAGTACATTAAGCATGCGAGGCGACGGGCGCAGATTGAATTGTGCAAGGCTCTGGACGCGGCCGGTCAGATCTACGTGTTTGGTCGGGGTGCTAGAGGACAGTTCGGCGCCCAGGGCGAGAAGGACGGGACGCATGAAATCGTGCAGAAGCTCTGGACGCGACGAGTGACCGCGGGTAAGGCGGACTTTGACCCGGACCGGAAGATGGACTCATTGGAGACAAAAGACGCCATCGACGTGGAAGCGCTGAAGAACGAGCTCGCGTCGTCGCCGTTTAATGATTTGGTTGTGGGTGAAAATGCGGCGAAGCTGTGGGGCAAGCGGGTGTATGATGCTGCCATCAGTGACACGGTGATACTCGCACAGTCGGACCTCGGGGAATTGTGGACCTGGGGCGGTTCGGACCACTGGTGGTACGAGATCGAGCCCGACGCCCACTGGCAGACGCACTGGCGCGGGGATACGACTCCAAGGTCCCAATTACTCCTAGGGACGCGGTTCAAGCCCGAGCCGCCCCCACCAGAAGTCGACGAGCTAGGAGAACTTAATGATGGCAGCGAAGCGCTGAAAGTCGTCTTGACGTACTACGGCAAGTGGTCGGCCCCACCGCCCGACGTAGACAGGAGAAAATTTTATGCCGACGAGTGCCTCCCAAACGTCGATTATAACTGGATCGTCACCTCCCTAGAAGTGCGGGGCAAGCAGCCCGAGGAGATGACGAAGCTCATGCTTTGTGATCTGTTACATAGAGATATCATGCTGGAGAAGCGGGTGCTGGGCGAGCGGGCCCATCGGCGGATTCACGAGCTCGAAGAAGAGATTAGGGAATTGAAGAAGGTGCGACGCGTAGCTCTAGCAAAAAGGTTAGTGGTAGACATCACGAAGATGTGGGCGCCCCTGCGCGAGATTCAAGCGGAAGAAGATGCGAGGGACCGACAAAAGAAACAAACGGAAGTTGTGGAAAACATCGCCAAGCGCGAGCACGCCTACGAGGCCTGGCGCCAGCAGGTCAAGGAGGCCGCTGAAGCTACTTCTCCGGAAAGGACCGCTCGTGGCAACTCCATTGTTATTGAGTCCGGTGGTATTACGGCAAGGGGTGCCGGTCATAAAATAGCCCAGGGCTACGCGGCCATAAAACAAATAGCGGGCGGCGCGCAGCATTTTGCGGCGGTGCATCAGTCTGGAGCGTTGTACACGTGGGGCCTCGGGTCTGGTGGGAGACTAGGATTGGATATTACGGAAAATGGGGACCCGCGAGCGGACGCGACGCGACCGACCGTCGTGCAAGCATTGGCCTCGACGCCAGTGTTGACCACAGCCTGCGGCTACTCGCACATGGCCTGCGTGACGACGTCGAGGGACTTGTATGTCTGGGGCTCGGCGGCCTCCGGCAAGCTCGGTTTAGGATTAGCGGCAAAAGAGGAGGAGTGCTACGCCTCACTCCCGGTCCACCTGCCACTAAGACCGAAGAACCGACCCCTGTTGAGGACAGTGTCCTGCGGCGCGGCGCACACCGCGGCTACCACCACTGATGGTGAACTGTTCGTCTGGGGCTGCGGTGATGGTGGCCGACTAGGCCTTGGGAGGGAAGGTCTGGCGACGCACTGGTCCCCGCGACGAGTGGACGCTCTCTTTGAGGCCGGCCATAGAATAGGAGATGTGTCTTGTGGCAACGCCCATACCCTAGCAGTCACATTAATTGAAGAAGTCTGGACCGGGACGGGAACGAATCGAATGAAGGAAAAACAAGGTGGCCAGGTCTTCGCCGCCGGCTCGGCGTCCGTCTTAGGTCTATTTCATCCGGCTTTTGATCGCGTCATGGGCGAACTCGCGAGTGTCCAGGCCGTCCAGGCTTCTGCCGGATTCGCCCATAGTGGCGTCGTGACGTCGGAGGGCGAGCTCTACTGCTGGGGCATGAACGACGACGGGTGCTGCGCGGCCCATCCTAAAGTTAGATTTTTGGCGGAGCCCACGCTCGCCGCTTGTATCTATTCGCGGCCTGGGAATTTGGCTTTAGGAAGACCCGCAAGACAATCAAGCTGCTACGGCGGCCAGGACGCTCATGTGGCCGTCGATGGAAATTGTGATGGTAGTTCACCAGAACTCTGCACGTCCACCCAACAGGACCCCCAAGCCTGGTGGGAGGTCGACCTGGGCGATTTTGCGAATTTGCACATTGTGAAGCTGTGGAACCGCACGGACGAGCCGCCGGACCAGACGATGGCTAGGGACAAATATTCTTCTCGGTTAGTCCCGTGCTGGATCATGGCGTCGCAAAAGCCCTACTCCGACGAAGTCGGCGGGTCCTCCCTGATCAACGCTCTCGGGCAAAGTGTGGCGCGGCCAGATCGCTAGGGATAAAAGATGCACGACGTGGCACGTCCCCGAGAACATCTCGGCGCGGTACATCCGCGTGCAGCTGGAAGGGTTCAACTTTCTCCATTTCGCGCAGTTGGAGGTCTTCGGGATCATCGGCGTGCAGGGTTCTGTCGGACGATGTAGCAGAGTAGTCTGCGGCAAGCACTGCACCGTGGCCATCATACGACCGCTGTCGGACCCGGCGGACATCAACCGCGTCTACAAGCGCGCTATTTTGAGCGACGCGCAGAATGCGGACATTTTGAGGGAACGGGAGACCTTCGCCCTGGAGTACGACAAGTATGGGAGAGGCGGCAAGGACATGGAGTGCATCATCTGCACGGGCGGCCAGAAGTGCGAGAACTGTTTGATGAAGGAAAGATTTGCTGGGGAGTTGAAGGATCTGTCGCTCGGGGCGGCCGGCCGCGTCCTGACGTTGGACGAGATGGCCGAGATGTTGTTAGATGCACCAAAACCACCATTGAACTTCACCCCTAAAGTAGTGGTGGACAACTCCTGGGCCGGCAAACTCCAACAGCGCCTCGCGGGGAAGAAGAGCGACGATTCCGTCAAGAAGGCCAAGGTCGCGCCGGACGACGGCTCCGTGGCGAGCGGCGGCTCGACAAAATCAAAATCCTCGAAGCGGTCGAAGCGGTCGCGGTCGTCGCGTGGCAAAAAATCCGAGGCCGGGTCGAAGAAGTCGGGGGGCGCGCCGCCGGCCCCGGACTGGCTGGTGCCGGGGGCGGGGTGGGCGACCTAAGGAGGGTTATGTGTAGTTTTCAGTCAGGGGCTAGTATCTTGGGCTAGTACTGGGCTTAGGCACTCCCCGGCGGCGACAGCGTCTCGCAGGCGCGGAGGAGCACGGCTCGCGTAGTTCCCAGGTCGTTCCCCATTTCTTTTGTAATAGGGTGCGCGCCGCCGAGCACGCGCCGCGCGATCCGTTCAGCGTCCTCGAGCGTCTCCACGCTCTCGCGGACATCGTCGAGCGTGGCGTCGGGGTCCGAGTAGAGCGCCCGCGCGTAAACCCACCTCATCTTGAGCGTGTGTTCATTCCCCTCTCCGAGAACGCGTCGTGCTACGGGCATCGTTTTGCGCAACAGTGATTTGGCTTCTTTGAAGCGCTTGAGACCATTAAGGGAGTCCGCGTAGTTGTTGGCCGCAATGAGGGTGTTCTCATGTTCCTCGCCGTCGAGCTTCAAACGTCCGGAATATACACCTCGAAACGCATTTACGGCCTGTTCGAGCCGTTCAAGCTGAAGGTACGAAATCGCAAGATTGCTCTGAGTATCGAGCAATGACTGTTCTGATGCGCAAAGTCGCCGCAGCATAGACAACTCCGCCTCTTGCACGGACAACGCCTCCTCGTATTGTTCCGCATTTTGTAAACCGTTACCAAGAATCGAAATCGCTATTTGCCGAAGCTGGTCCGTCTCCGGCCGGCCCACGTACTTCTTCCAGCACGCCCACCCGAGTGCGTTCATTACGACGCCGTGGTACCGTTGCTCACACAGGCTACACGTGTACCACCGTTCAAACCTCTCATTCAACGCCTTGGCATCCAAATTGTTCTCCTCGGCCTCGTCCATCAAAATCTTCGCCTGCTCCGCCAGGCACGACACGTGCGCGAAGCCCGCCGTCCCACGGCAAGAGCACCCGCGCACGAGACCCTCCTTCGTTTTCCAATGGAGGGCTTGCGTGCAAATATAACACGTCTGGCCCTTCGTGTCGTCCGCGCACGCCTCGACGGCCTCCGCGACGGCCTCCTTGTATTTTTTGTCGGCGTGGTATTGCTCCGCGTTGCCGCCGCGGTGTATTTTCTTACACATCTGCTTGTGGCCGCGGCGCCAGTGGTCATGTTGGCAAGTGGCGTTGCAGTAGCGCAACTTACATCTAACGCAACGCGGCGCGTCGTGGGCCAGTGGGGCGGCGCAGGCGGCGCATGTTGTGAGGATCATCTTGCGTTTTGCGGTGAGTTATTGGGCTTGCGCGGCGGCTTGACTCGGCTTGAAAAACCCGAATTTTCAACTCACAAACGCCGTCGCGCGACGCGAACACGTCTGCACGGCGTCGGTATTTGATACACACCTACTTAGCCACCATCCACGAGTTCCACCCCCGCTCACGGTACGTCACGACGACCTGCCGCGGGCACTTCTGCAGGTCGGGCGCGGCGTAGGCCGTCCCCGAGAAGAAGTCGTCGACGGCGCCGCGGACCGCCCGCGGGTGCTTGGACCAGTCCTCGCCCGCCGTGTGCGGGTCGAACGCCATGCCGCAGCCGTTGACCCCGAACGCGGGTAAGCATGGGTCGGTGAAGCCGCCCTCATGAAACTCGCGCACGGGATACTGCGACGCCCAGTCCATCGCGACGAGGGCCTCGGCCATGCACGTCTGGTTGCCCCGCGCGCAGCCCGCGCCCGACAAATCGCGGCCCTCGAGGAAGCGGAGCGCCGCGTCGACCCTAGATTCGCCGAACCGCGTCTCGACGGGTTGCTCTCCTTTATCATCGATCGAGACGGACACGGCATGATCCCCATCAAAAGGCTCGGGCCACGCATCGTCGTCTGGTGCGCCGTAGGCCCACGCGTGCGGCGCCGGCTCGCGATGCTCCGTATAGTCGTGGCCGGCCATGACCTGCGCGAGTTCGGTTGTGCTCCACGCCATCGAGCAGTCGCAGTGACAAAATTTGATTCCACGCAGACCACGGACGCCACCATTTTTAACCTTTGGCCACCAGAGGTGCAAATCCATGAGTACATCAATTCGATCGTGCGACGCGTCGACGTACACGAAATCGAAGTAGTCGTTCGGATATAAGTCGGCGCAGTCCTCCGTGCGGTTCGCGCACTGCTCGCCGCTCTTTGCGTAGCCCAGCGCGACCGCGGCGTCGAGCACGGCTTTCGCCCGCTGCCGGTGCCGCGCGTGCGTCTCCGCGCTGTCTCGCTGCGCGCTGTCGCCCGCGCGCTCCGTGCCGGCGCCGTCGCCCAGGGGCCGCCAGGCGTCGACCTGG